ACCACTTACCGTTGCTGCTGCGATGAAACGTAACGTCGAGGCAAGAGAAAACTAAAAAAAAAATTGAACAAAAAGTCAAAAAGAGAGCATGCGCCTAACGACGCATGGCATCTAGACTAGCAGTTAGCTGCTTCTCTTTTTCGCCACGCCAGATGCTTCTGTCGCATTAGCTCGAGACAAGCAGGCCAGCAGGGCTGAAAAGATGGTGCTGCTACTGCTGCAACACACACCAGCGACAGCCAGCACACAGCACGCCGATACATTAGTTAGTTGCGCACCGGCCCCCAGCATAGCCATGCCCCCGCCACTCCCTGTCACTGTGTAATAGCGCGGGTGTGCTGTACGTCAGTGGTGGTGGTGCCGCTTGTCGGAGCAGATTGCCTGCCAGTCTGCCTGCCGGGAACACCACAATGTACGAAGCATAACTCTCTTTTCTTTTTTTTCTTTTTGCCTTGCACCAACGCCTGTGGACCATCAGGGGGGGGCGTGTGATTGGGGCTCCTTGCGCAAATCTCCAAAAGAGCCCTCGACTTTCTTCTTTCCTCTTTGGGCCCGCTATGGGGCCCCCGTTAAACTGGTCGAACATGATTGGTCCACTGAGCGACGCAGCCATTCAGAGGCAAGAATGCGACGATTTGCAATGTGGGGAACCCAAGGGGCCATGCGACGGCCAGGGCGCTGTGTCATTGCTGCTGCTGCTGCCATCGCTGGAGATTACGATATTGTACAGTACATGCGTTGCCCAGCATGCAGGAATACGTTTGACAGAAAAATTAACGAAGAATTATGGAAAAATAAGAGCAAGCGATGTATACATTGTACACCATACACACCCACCCTTTACGTCCGGAGGGCGCGGCCACCAGATCCGGGGGCCAAACTCAGCCTGCGTTTGCTTGACGTTGTCAATTGTTTGTTGCTTTTTGTGCCCATATTTGCCCATCCACACACAAACGGCCCCCTCCCCCAGTTGTGAGTTGCATGGCTTGCTGCTGCCCTATTTGCTGGAGGAGCGGAACATGCATAGTATAGGGTGCGCCTGCTAGGCTGCTACAATACTTTACATTACAGTAGGGTCGTCTAACCCCCAAAGAGGCAGGCCAGTGGAAGCAGACAAAGTCGGCTTGCAGGGCTGAAGAATGACACCAAGGGCCCCCTCCCTCCACGGAGCTACATCGGCGGGCTTGCTCAGCTCGTTCTTGGCCTACGATCTCCCGCGCTCCTCTCTGCTGCCTGGCCTGGCCTAGCTCTGCTCTCCACTGACCGGGCTACGGAGCTAAGTTGGTAACCGAGTGCGCGTGCGGGTGCGATGATTTTGATTTGGGGGCGAGTTGCTCGTTTAGCCGGTAATCGAGGATTATCATTTTCGGGAACAGGATCATCTTTCGGGACCTTGTTTACATTAATCAAAAATGGTCATCTGCTACGAAAGCGGTATCCTATGCGGACATATGCTTGTGCGGTTGGTATTGCTTGCTTCGGATACATTGAGATTACGTCCGGGGTTCTGTCGGTATGTGTGTACTTGCTGTTACTGCTGAAGTTGCCGCTGCTATTGCTGCTATTGCGGGCGGCGGCGGGTCACTCACAGCCAAGAGCTATACAAATTGGGCGACAAATTGCATACTGTATTCTGCGTTAAATTCTTTATTGGATGGTGGCGTTTTTCTGTACAAAATGTCTCCTTTGCGCTACTAGGCGTCTGTTTGTCACTACAGACTGCTCCAAACCAAAGGTTCCTTTCTGCTTTTAGAACAGCAAGACGGCCCGCTGTAAACACTCAACTGGGGCTCAACGCCGTCACGAAGTCCCTCCGAAGAAGCGCGCCTCGGAGTGAATAAAAACAATAAAAATAAAATACGATGAAAAAAAAAAGGTAGTCAGTCAGTCTTTCGCAAGGGATTCTCACTATACAGGACCCCCCCTTTCATCTGGGGTAGGAGTGTGATGAGAAGCCAGCCTCCCCAGGTTTGTTTTCTTTGTGTTCTATTTACGGAAACTTTTCGTGCAGCAGAGTAGCAGTCTTGTCCCTGCATCATCTGGGGCCCATCATCATCATCACCATCGTCATTATCCATATCGCCAGTAATTTAGCCAGGACCACTACTGCTGTTTGCTCAGTGGTGCCCTGTCAGCGCACCCTTGCTCTGTCCGTCGTTTGTTCGCCCTCTCACAGATCCCGTCACACTTCTCACATGGTTCTATTTCTGGCATCACATCACCCGCTAACCCAACTTCGTAGCTAGCGCCATTGAGCGCCCCAATTAAAGCCAAAGCAGGGTGCTGGTAGCGTACCCAGGTGGCGCGGCGCCCCAGCAGCACAACACACAAGTTTTAGCGCCAATAGTGGATTTGAGCGCCGCCCGGCCACCGTCATCTCCAACCCTTTTTTACTGTAGCGACCACTTTTTTTATTCCTGCCTGGTGGTGGTTTAACTCTACTACGGGGCTCTCTCCGGCCGGTGATTCCACCCGTCGGCCGCTCCTCCAAATCTGTGCAACGCCGGTGGATTTGGTCCTTTTGGCGAGTAATACAAGCGACGGGTATCTTTCCCACGCCGCTGTAGCTCTCCCACTCCGAGGCCCGCGCCAGAAAGTGGGCGCACACCCGTTCAGTGGCGTTTAAAAAATCCCTTTACTGCTGGGCCAAGATTAGCAGCTAACGGGGAGTGTAGGCTTTGGCTTGCCAAAAAAAAAAAAAAAAAAAAAAAAGACGGTTATCCTCATGGGCGCGGAATTGGGACCGCTATTAGACGAATTGCCGCGACAGCGCTCGCTCAGTAGATCAATCAGCCCTGTGTGCGGCGCGCGCTGCTTGCCTCTCTGGGCGGCTTCCGCCATGCAGCACACACTGGCGGATATTAATTATTAAAAAAAATTAGAGACATACAGGGTGTGGTGTGCAGACAATAGGCGCTGCTTGTCTCACACACAACCAAAACGTCGGGCGCAAAGTCCACGGTGGCTGCGGCGATGGGCAATTTACAGCAACGAGGCGCGACGATCTCCGCAGAGCAAAGCAAAAAGTAAAGGCACGTAAATCCCGACACCGCAGAATTGTCCATCGGGGCTCGTTCGCCCCAGCTTCGCACGGAGCTTGTCGGTATTTGCGTTTTGGGGGCTGCGCAGCAACGGCACTTGGGGACTTCACGGACTCTAATGCCAAGTTGCCCCTAGGACTTTTGCCCTTTTGGGAAATCACCCAGGAATTCTCGCCAAATAGACCAATCATTCCACAGTGTATAACATCATTGAGGGCTCTATTATTAAGCCTCCCCCGTCCATCTACCGTGTCCTCTGCCTTGTTTGTACCGGCCCGAGCGGTGCCGGATAGGATGGCGTCCATCCCATATCGGGAGTTGCGATGCGCTCCGCCAAACACCGAAGTCTCCCGGAATTCCGGATGCTCTGGCCGACTTTGTAAATGCAAACTTGCTTCTTCTGCAGCAATAGACCGCAAGACACAGAAGGGAAACGTGGCGTCAGCCCTAGCAATGATCCCAAATGCCTACAGACAGCCTCGTTTTCAGAGTTGCATGGACACCCGACCCTACACAGACCCCATTTTCTTAGGAAAAGGGTGCGCACGCACAAGTGTCCAGCCTGAGGGGTCCAAAAATGTCGCCTTAGCATAGCCCAGTATAATGGGCGGGTGAACGAGTTGAGGTCCATCGTCTGGTAGCCAACCAGATGCCCTCGTCAGTTCCGCCTTGCATCAACACCCTGTCCCGAAACACATCCAGAAGCTTCATAGAACCTTGTTTCCAAAATTGGAAAGAAATACGTTGTGGTAATGGGGAGCTACGGGTCGGGCGCATTCCGCTACCAAGAGTATCAATGTGACCAAAATACACAGAGAACGCCTAACTGGCCACACACATCCATACACACACCCAGAATAGTCACAGTTGGAGGCACTTCTCCTGAAGCAAACGCCCTACGCCCTTGTTTGACATGACCAAAATCGTAAACTAGGCGTCTGACAGACATCAGAGCGTTTAAGCCAGTGGGTGTAGATGTCAGCCACGCGCGGTTACATCTCTGCAACAGAACCCAAAACCCACGTTTTTGTCAAGGATCTTCCCGCAATATCCTCCCTCGGTTGCAATGCTGACCAGTACTCAAGGTGCATCTCATCTCGTCTCTGGAGCTCGGCATCGCGGCCATGAGCCTCGGGCCGGCATCTTGGGAGTCATCTTTGCTGACATGCATCACTACGCCCGCAAATCGCCGCCGGCTGCGCTCAGGAGATGCTGGCCCCCCAGATGCGTGCTCTGACCAGCAAAGATAAACGCTCCCGGGCTCGCTCGTCTAGATGGGCGAACGATGCAGCGAATCGGAGATATTCTGGCTGCCCTAAAACGTGCTCTTCAGGCGTCCAGGATCCCTGGCACGTCGACTTTCGGCTGACTTTGGCGTGTAATCCCGTGTGTACGCCCCCCCAGTAGGGATTGCCAATTAGGAGTATCTGCATCGAGACTGCCTCGTTTGCGGTTATCTATTATGCCCCAGGCTTTTGTTCAAGTTGGGGTAGGTATTATTAGCAGGCTGTAATTCAGCCTGTCAACGCATCTGGGCGGAGATGTTAGGGTGTGAGATGGAGAGTGGGTTGCCACGAGGCAAAACGACCGGCGTTATTTTGCGGCCGACATGGGACCAGTTCGCAACGTGTAAATTGGAGAAAAAGTAGCCTCCGAAAATAGATTCATTTTTCAGGGATGCAGTTCCTTGCAACTGTCTGTCTGTCTACTTTGGTATCATGATTGGCTCCTTGTGCCAAGCGAAAAGTCCCCGAAGACTCGCCACGGAAAACGCCCAACGACAACACTCCCTCGTAAAAAAACAGGTTCTGCAAAAGTACATGCTCAAAGAAGAAGGGCGAAAATAGAAATGATCAAGTCGTGAAAAGTAATAACATTGGGTTCATGCTTAAATCGTACACGTCGTAAAAAAAATAGTCATTGCCAAAGACAGTGTCATGATTCGTAGTGTAATGCAAGTTAACGCTTGGCCGCTCTCTGCCGCACGTGAGGAGATGATACTCCCTTACGCTTGCGGTCTTCGAGTGGCGAAGGTTGTAAATGTGTAGTTGTTGCCGTGCTCTGGCTTTTGGCTGACGAAAAAGATGTTGCGACACTCGTCGTGGCCGACGATGAGGCTTGAGACTCTAGCATCGCTTTACGTTGCTCCATGCCGGGTTCATCCTCAAGATAACGCCAGTTGTCCATGTTGCCCTGGTCGAATCCGTCCTTACCGGAAAAGTGCAGGTCGATGTGATCGCAACGAGCAGTCCACGCACCGCTTCCTCCATCACCGCCGTCGAGAACCTTTGCGCAGAAGCCGCACCAGAACCGCCGGTCCTGTCGACCTCCAAATACAGAAGTAGAGATGTACGCATGCAAATCGCTGACCCCCACTACGCCATGATACTGCGTAATATGGGCGGCAAATGCGTCCTTGGTAGGATAGAAGCGAACTTGATTGCATGAGCCGTCGCAGAACCACGTCTGGCTTTGCTGGTCAGCAGTTTCGTGCTGGCTGCTCTCATGACGCTTCCAATCATTTTTGCTACCAAATCTTCTGTTGCTGCAGCCCTTAAAGGTGCATGGATATGGCTTCAAGTGACGTTTAATATGCTTCCTATGACAGTGTTAGCAGATGCAAGTACCAGGCATACATTGTTTAGACAGAATACTTACTTGAGTTCACAAGGTCGCTGGAATACCTTGTTGCACCATTGGCACTGGGGCCCATCCTTGTCTCTTTGGGGCTCTTCAGCAGCACCCGAGGTTCCAGGCTCGTCTTCTTTGCGAAGTGCAAGTTCCAAGAGCTCTTTGGGGAATGTTTTGAGCATCTTTATGATAGCGGAGTTGTCCATCCCAGTCTCAAGCATGGCATTATAAGACGATGCCGCGATAAAGCTGGATTCGGTGCCCGTCTCATCCATGGCTTCGTCACCATCTTCAGGGACTACTGCTGGTGTTGCCTGCGATAATCCCACAGCCGAAAAGTTTTGCTCCAGTGAAACCGCGGGTGAGTGGTCACCATTGGTTTCGGCAACATCAGGGAATAAATCATTCAGTTCTTGTGGAGGGTATGAGATGTCTGTATTTCCAGTCATCTCGGGCAGCGGCATGGCTTGCGGGTATGAGAATGAGTCGGGCGAGTACATTCCAATGGTAAGTGCAGCAGGGTGAATATAGGTATCATCCGTAACTGGACCCATAGACGAAAATGCTAAATCTTTTAGCTGTGTGTGATGATTATGATGCTGTTGCAGCTGTGGCTGTGGCTGCGGCTGGGTTGGCGCTTGCAAGAGTTCGGCTGAGTCGTCAATCATGCCAACATCTACCAGCTCCTTTTGCTCTTGCGACTGAACAGGACTCTCAAGAAGATCCTTATTCAGTAGTTGTGAAGGATGGCGAGCCATACCTTCGCTACTGAGGCTTTGTAGATCGGTCGCACAGGGCCCTTCACCAATACCTCGAAGGTCTCGCTCGTCATTGTAGTCGCTCTTCTCCGCGGATGGCCAGTAGTGGTACTTTGAGAGGTCATCCTCGGCCGTGATTTCCAACTTGTGCAGCTTTTTTAAGTGATTGCGAAAGTTGTCTGCACGCGGGAAAGCCTTTCGAGGTTTTCCTGGATTGGGTTTCGCGCACTCGCCATGACTGCATGCGAACATGGGGCCGTGGCCTTCTTCCATGTGGCAGGACTTTTTATGTCGGACGAGGTCGTTGAGCGTACCAAAACCCTCCTTGCGAGAGCATCCCGGTACCGTGCAATGATGTGGTTTGATATGTCGGTAATTATGCTTACTAGAAAGCAAAAGTGGTTAGTGAGGGACGCTTGGCTAAGAGGGAATGGAGTGAAGGTATCTTACTTGAACTCTGCCCTGGTGCTGCTTCGATGGCCACAATGGGTGCATCTGTATTTCTTCTCGCTATAGCCACCAATGCTTCCACGAGCGCTTTTCGAGCCGCGCCGTGATCGAGCCAACTGTAGTGTGTTGAAGAGCTCCTCCGTCTGCTTTGTTTCTGGTGATCGGTCTTCAGCGTGATAGGACGCGATGGAAGCAGTACCATCGGCGCTAAAAGCTGCACCGTCATATCCTATATCTTCGGGAATGGTGCCCGGGTCTGACGTTAAAGTCGGGCCTCGGTAGCTGCCACCAAAACTAAAGGGAACAGCTTGATAGTAGGGCTGCATGCCGAGGGCGTCGTAGGGGCTGGGGTCGTTGATGCTGGGAGCAACTGTTCGGAGAGGCCAAGGACTATCGTTGGCCAGCCCCGAAAAGTCGGGGAGCTGGTCCAAGAAGTCGCCATTTTTGTTCAGCTGGTAGCCGCCAAACTGATGCTTTCCTGGAGGCGGCATCCAGGCGTGGCTGTCTTCGTCGTCCTTCATAGTGACGACAGGAAGGCTGTGACAAAAAAGCGGCTGTGGGTAGCTTTGGCTGATAGCACAGATCTAGTAGGAAGCAGAAAGTAGGCTGCCGAGCTGAAGCAGGGTATTCAGCGAGATATAAAGTAGAGATGGGGTCACAAGGGAAGCAGCAGCATCGGAGAAAACAAAGTCAGGATGGCGTAGCACAGAGAGTTTGTTGGCGCGGGGGAATGGAGGGGAGGGCAATTTGTCTGTGGCACGTTGCGCAGAATGCAACAGGACAGAAGTGATGCTTGTTTGTTCTAGAATTTTGAAAAAGAAACACAAAGAGACAAAATGCGGTGTTTCAAAAAGACAAACGAAGCCGGAAGAAGCGGAGCGGTGCACAACCAACGTCGTGCAGCTTTGTGCTGGGATGGATCAAGTTGGGGAATTTTGGTGGTGATGCGATTATGTAGGTTGATGGAGGCGCAGCACCAGCGGTAGTGGTAGCCGTTGCAACAGATAGCTGTGGGTAGTGGTGGGTGGTGCGCTGTAGCAGACTGACCACCTGCTGCCAGTGACGACACAGCCAGCCCAAACCCAATCACTGTACTGGGGCGTACGGCGTGTGTCCGCACAACAGTGGGCAGTGAAAAGGCGGTGCTGCGCTGGACAGGCGGTGCTATTCGACGTGGCCCGGTCAAGAAGCTCGTTCGGTTCGTGCCTAACAAAGATGAAGAAAGATCAGGCAGCTGATTTTCTTCAAGGCCTAACAAAAAAAAAGCCAAAGTAAAAGACAACCACAGTTCATGGCCAGTGGCCGTTGGCAGAGAAAACGGCCCGTAGTTGGGATGCGAACCACTTGAGGCGGCAAGGCGACCAACTTGGCAGAACCAACAAAACGCACAACGGCGGACCACAGCACCAAAAAAAAAATGGATATGTAAGCAACACTGCCAGCTACCCTTGAGGAAATCAAGCGGTGGAAAATGCACATGGGATTAATTCTTGATAATTACGCAGTATTGTACTATTGTATGGTTGGTATTATTTTGATTTTATTATTTTATTATAGTCATTGTTTTTGGAGCCAATGCTTTTCCCACGCCTGTTGCCGTCTCTCTAGTAGTGCTGCCTCCATGCAACTTCGCCCATCTGCGTGCAATTCGGTCGATAATATGCCCTTGCATACCAAAAAAGCCACCCGCCAATTAGTCCTCCAATGCCCCAATTGTTTCAACTGCCACGTTTTTCTGGCCTTGCTCATTCCAAAGCTTCGAGAGCTTCCCAAATAGGCAAATAGCTCGCCAGAGAGGTCTCGACCAAAGCTTTGTTCCCTCGTCCACGTCTTGCCCCTGACAATCCGTCTTCAGCCATGGCCATGATGCTGCTATTTTGAGCGCGTCTATGGGCCACGTTTGAACCGGGGCTTGTTCCAACAAGCATCTCCGCGATGTCACTGACCTTGACCCCTTGTCCACTTTCGCAAAATGCCACGGGGTGTGTGGTCTTTTGACTCACCAACTGCTGCAGTTCGCGAATGGATCCCTTGATGAGTGGGCAAATGTTCAGGCACGCTTGCTGCCACCCCCCCTTGGATGGTAAGCTGGCCCGCTTCTCATCTCGTCAACCGAAAAATAACCATCTCCGTCGTCGGCTATCGCTTCAGCTGAATCCCAGCCCAGCCGTGTGCGCGAACCCAGCCTAGGACCAGTTTCACAGCGTGGCGTATCTTCAAACACAGTGATCGGGGGGGCGAAGGACCTACCACCCACCCGGGCCGCATATCTGAGATTACACGAGGGACGCTTTTTCCGCGGTGATGGGAATTCGATGGCGTCTTGTTTGGCACACCCAACCACCACCCGCCGCTAGGTGAAGCTAATGCACTGCGCAGCCTGCGATATTTTGCCCGGCTACTATGGCGCTGGCATAGTGGGCGTGTACTTAGCACCCGGTGCAGATTGCTTTGAATTCCCCCCAAAATGGCCACGATTTAGGAGAGAATGAAATTTATGGCCTATCTGGTCCGAAAACCTTACCAATCGCCCAATAGGGTAGACCAAGTTCGTCCTTGTAATGCCTTGCCTTGCCTAGCCCGTGCTTGCTGTGCCCAACCAAGTACCTGGGCTGGGCTCGCTGTCGTCGCGCTGGTCGCCTGGCCACCACAGGCGCGTTTCCCAAAAAGGAAATATGTTGTTCCTGCAAACCTCCATCTGCACGAGATCTTGTCGACGTCACTGTTTAAACCATAATTCTGAATTTCAAAAACCGCAAAAAAGGGTTCCAATAGACGACTATCAGCCTTAAAACTTAATTCTCACCTTAATCACATTGCATCTGCCCCGCCGCTATCCAACTGGCTGGCACGCAGCGCCTAAAACAAAATGAGAGTCGCTCTCGGGACGACATTGGCGGCCTTCATTCCTCCCATCTTCGCCGGCCAAGAAGCTACAGCAATTCGCAAAGTCGCCCCAGATTCAAATGAAAAGATCTTAGCCCACCACTTGGCCTTTGCGCCGCTCCAGGCTTTCACGCCTGGCGATGCGGCCGCTGCCGCGCATGCCTTTCTGAACGCCCAGAGTGCCGAAGATGTGCAGAGCCCGACAACAAGATACCGGCCCGCCTTTGCCCTCCATCATGACGACTCCGAAAGCAACATATTACAAAGAGCCGCAGTCGCCCTTTCTATGCTCCAGCGCAGGTCTTCCTGTCCAGCAGGCATGTCGGGATGCGATGCCATTGGCGCCCCAAACAAGTGCTGCCAGCAAGGCACTCACTGCGTATCGGTGCAAGATAGTACCGTTGGCGGCGTTGCTTGTTGTCCCAGCGGCTCAGACTGTCGCGGTAATGTGGGAAAATGCCCTCCAGACGCAGTGAGCTGTCCTGCACAATTAGGTGGCGGATGCTGCATCCCCGGCTACATCTGCCAGGGCGAGGGATGTAAGTTATGCACTTTCCATATTCTCCCAGAACGACGAACAAACTAACATGCGATTATTCGCAGGTGTTCCAAGTGCTTCAGCCAAGCCAACGACCGAGACAAGAACAGTTATCCAAAGCACAACCAACCCAACCGAACACGAAACAATAACCAGAACAACCATTGTCGCAGGAAGCCCAACCACCGTCATCGTCACGCAAGTCGTCACTCGCACAGAGTCGTCCAAGCCCGAAACCAAGACCACCACGCAATACGTCACTGAAAAGGGCACCACTACCGACGGTGGCGGCGTAGCACCTTGGCGTCCCATCAGCGGCTCGACAACCGAAACTTCAGAGCCCCAACAGCCGACGCAGAGCGGCTGCCCGACAGGATTTTACGGATGTCTGGCCACGCACGGCGGCGGCTGCTGTCGAACAGACCGAAACTGCCATACGTCGTCGTGCCCGCCGCAGGCCTCCAAGACAATCACGTCCAACGGCGTCACACTCGTCGTGCCGGAGACCGACGTCCCCGCGAATCCTACTGCTACTTGCGCCGGCGGCTGGTTTCTCTGTGGGCCAGATGCCGGACCTGTGGCAGGATGCTGCCCGAGCGGCTACGAGTGCGGAACAGCAAGCTGCTTCACGCGCGGGCCGACGCAGACGGGGGTGGTGCAGAAGCATTTGCCGGGCAGTGGTGTCGGTGGAAGAATCGTGATGCCGTGTAAGCTGGCCATCCTCGGCTTGGTGATGGCCATGGTTTTATGAATGTCAAGATAATCAACGGATGTACGAAAGAATGTAAAAAGGAAATACCACGAGAGAGATAAATGTCTTTTTTATGTACATGTATGTATAGACGGAAATATGTAATCAATCTATTTTATGCCTTTTCGGTGCTGGACAGTAGTTCAAATCTGGCAACGCGGCCTTTTTCAATGTACATGGCTGCATTCATACCCGTCATCATGTCACCGCGATGGGCAATCATCATGATTGTGCAGTCCACAAAGTTCTCCGCAATCACTTTGAGCATTTGGCGCTCCGTCGACGCGTCCATTTGGCTGGCAATCTCGTCAAACAGCGCCACCTTGGACGATGTGTGCTTGTGGTGGACAATGGCGCGTGCCAGACCGAGCAGCTGCTTCTCGCCCGCTGATAGACTCAAGGCAATGAGGTCGGCGTCAAGACCGCCGCGGGGCTCAATCTTGCTCCAAAGGGCGGCTCTCGTGAGAGTATCAATCATGAGTTCATCGCTCGCTTCGACGTATCCGTCTTCCTGGGAAGGCTGCAGGTTTTCGCGAACAGACCCGGCAAGCTCATACGTATCTTGCGGGATGGTGGTGATGCGGGATCGGATCAAATGGCGTGGTAGTTTGTTGACCTCCTCACCATCAATGGTGATGCTGCCAGAGTACTCGATAAATCGGAGGAGTGTGAGCAGTGTTGTCGATTTACCGCTGTGAGCATTAAATGTCAATATCAAATCCAAGTTGCGCCTTGATGATAAGGATGAAAACTTACCTGCCTGTTTTACCCATTACAGCAACCTTTTGCCCGGATTGGAGCTTGACCGATATGTCCTGAAGGACCTTGGGCTTCGATTCGTCGGTACTGTAGCTTGCGGATACTTCAGAAAAGACAATCTCTCCGGATGATGGCCAATTGGCTAGCTTTGCCTTTCTGTCGCCATCGAAGGACGCATCTTCCTCAACCTCAGTGGTCTCGACGAATGCTTTCATTCTTGACACAGAGCCCAGCGCTGTTTCGACTCTCACATAGCCTCCCATGAAGACGGTGACGTTGTAACTGTAGGTAACTAGACCTAGAATACCAAGGCCAATGGCACCCTGGCTAGTAAACGAGCGAGCCTTGAGGGCCAAGGCGACGAGGAAGACACCCATAAACGCTACGACGAGCTCTGTGACCAGCATTAGGAATTGCTGGATAGAGTACATGTAGTAGTAGGGCTTTTGGGATCTGTCCATGCGCTTCCACCCTTCTTCTTGGAATACACCCTCTACACCAAAAGCACGAATGGTGTAGATGCCAGCAGCGACTTCCGTGATGTGCTCTGCAATCGGTGCGTTGCCTTCGAGATCTAACTGTCGCATTTGTCGCGCCGTTGGCAAGTAAAACTTTTGCAAAAAGTAGAAAATGGCAATGACAAATGGTAAGATTGCGGCAGCAAAGCTCGTACCGCTTGCAATGAGACCTAGGTCAAGGAGCGCAAGCCAAAATTGCGCAATGACGTGTACCATGGCGCCAGGCAGTTCCTTGCTGATTAGATTCAGGTCTTGAGAAAACCGGTTCAGGAGAGAGCCAGAACTGGAAGATGTTAAGGTCGCCCAGGTGCCATGGAAGACAGCATTGAGTAGCTTAGAGTGAACATTCCTAATCGCATGCAGCACTGCGATCAGGTACCAGTACCTAAGCCATGATTGTCAGTATTAAAACTTAGTTTTTGATCGGTTGACTTACAAATAGGTTCCTATGTAGATGAGAAAGCTAACAAAAGGGAGCAAAGCAAACCCAATAACGTAGAGCTTCTCATCGGGATGTTCGGACTTCCAGACTCTGAGGTATATCACTGTTGACATGTTTAGCTACATTTCGCACCAAATTACTCGTGGAAAGCAACTTACATGGTACCTTGTCAATAACCGAACTTATAAACATTGACACAATGAATAAAAGGAGTGGCACCGACCCGAGCGCACTCGCATAGAATTTGAAGATGGATATATCGCCAGCGTTTTTGATGACCCGCGTTGCTTCAATATCCTTGTCCTCTAGGTTTACATCTGCTTCACGTTTCAAATCTGTAGCATCATTTTCGGCAACTGTGGCATCCTTGGTCTCCTCGAGATTTAGGTCGGACTCGCGCTGAAGAAAGTCTGTCTGGAGAGAGTCGTCAAGCATCTTGTACTGTTTTGCAGTCCCATCGGAGTTGAGCATGATGATCAAATTAGCATGAGAAAGATGTTCCACTAATTAATGTACTCGTTAGCTCAGGTCGAAAAGATTTGGTCGAGACGGCTCCCACCTAGATTTGTAGTCATGACGACAGTGGTGTTGAGTTTTCGCAAAAGGCCATGGTCCAAAAACAAGCTTTCAAAGATGTTGTGACAGGTGTTTCTGTCCAAACTGCTGAAGACATTGTCTAAGACTAGAATGTTCCTCTTGGAGTAAACAGCTCGGGCCAATGCAACACGGTGTCGCTGCCCTCCGCTCAGGTTGCAGCCGTTTGGACCAACTCTGGTATTATCGCATGCTGAGAGCATCGCGAGATCGGATTGGAGACAACACGCTGCAATTACTTCATCGTACCAGGTGCTGGAGAAGTCGTGTTGGCCGACAATATTTTGTCGGATAGTCAAATCCTGAAGCCAAGCAGCTTGATCACAAAAGGCAATAGAGCCCTTCTCGACAAGCAACCTACCCTCCGTTATTGGTACATGGCCTAGAATTAGTTTAAGCAGGGTAGACTTTCCACAGCCGACAGGGCCCACAATCATGTTCAAATCACCTCTCCGGAACTTGAGGTCTAGATGCTGGAATAGCTGTTTATCGTCGCCGACAAGCACATTGCGGATATTGTCCAGCTGGATGGGGTATTGCACTATGCCGACTTTCTCGTCGACGTCTGCGATGGGTTCCATTCTAGGGTCTTGCCATTCGTCAATCATGAGATAGTCGTGGACTCTACCCAGGCATGCCTGACAGCTTTTGAAGAGCATTGGGGCACCCATTAGGCACCAGAGGGGATCCTGAATTAGAGTCAGGGCAGCGTAAGTGGCCAAAATCTCAGAAATCCCGAATGTGTCATAGTTCGAACCCCAAAACATGGCTGCTGCAATGACTACGGTCACTGTCACAGGCTCGGACATGGCAACTAGAGAAACATGTTAGAAATCACGACGAATGAGTTTGGTAGACTTGTGGAGATTCTTACGGGAGGTCAAGTAGAAAGAGTTGCGTAATCGAAAACCCATAGAGGCCGCAATTTCGATATCTAAGAACTTCTCAAGTTTACGCACGACTGTAGTGGTGAGCCCAGCCATCTTGATGCTGCGAACATTCCGGAGTGCATCACTAGTATGAGAAACTCTGTCTGCAGCGCTCTCGTTCCACTTCTGTAGGTTGGATACAACTCCATGAGATCCCACGTGATTCAATACAATCAAAACTATTTTTGCATGGTTAGTACTACTTCCGTTTAAGGGGTTTTGTGTACATGCACGAGGACACGGTAAACTCACAGATTGTAGCGGGTGCTATCGTGGACGCAGCCACTCCAGTATACGTTTGCAAAACATAGGCGCCAATTCCCACAGACAGTAGCCCGGACCAAGCATCATGGAATATCTGTATAGTCATACTGATTCTCAACGTGTCAGTAGTCGTCAAGGTCAATGAGGGAACCTTGCTGAGGGTTGCGAGTGGTAGCCGGAGGCTTTTGTCATTGATAGCCACAACAACAATACTGCGGATACAGACAATGGATCGGTTCTTAAGATAGGTGTAGTATGCCATTGAGATCTAAAAAAACAAGTCAAAGAGAGAGTTTAGTTTAGTGTTATCCAATAAGACGTGAGGACACTCTGGCATGAAAACTTACCGCTTTACCAGCAAGAACAAGGAAAGTTGCCCCAACAAGACCAGCGATAGTGTCGGATGATAGACCATCCTCATCAACTGCAACCAATATGCGTGACATGAGATAAGGTAGAGTGAACGAAAAGGCGATGTTGAGGATGCGTGGAATGCAGGTAATGGCGATATCCCACTTGATGACACCAAGGCCAGCCAGGGTCAGATCTGTCAGGGACTTGGTTTTTGCTAAAGGGATTGGTTAGAATAGTCGATCAGTAGCAAGTTTAGGTTCAAAAAAAGACATACAAGCGTTCCATTTAGCTTGAAACTTTTCGTGCAGTCGCCTTGCTCGGATCTCGGGCTCAAGGTCTGGTAGGTTGTCAATTGTGAGGATGGTCCGGTAGCCCAGGATGAAGATGGAGATGAACCACGATGCGAGACACTTGGTCCAGAATCCAGTGTAGACCTCTTTACTTGACAGCTCCCTATGTGTGATGTCAAGCATGAGGCTCTGTTTGGGCACCTCTTCCAGGACAACTAGAACAAGTCTAATCGCTGCTGCTAAAGCCGACAGCACTCCAACCGACAGGGTATCCTGGCGAATAAAGAAGGACCGAGACTGAGTCATGTCGAACAGAAATGTGAGGCTGAGGTATACACTGAATAGGCTGATTGTGTGGACCGAGCGAGTGTGCTGGACATAGTTGAAGACAGCGACCAGGATGGCAGCAACTAAGTTGAGAGCAGCTGCTGGGGGGCCTAAACCGAGACCAGCTGCTGGGACAAGAGATCGGACGACGAGATTGGCTATTGAGAGGCCAATAAGAACGATGCTAAAGGCCTGTAATGTCAGGGTTAGTAAGAAGCTGGTGTTGGTGTCGCTTTGCGAGGGAGGGCAACTGGACTTACAGCCTTTGTCCAAAGCAGAGCGCCTGGCCTAGCAAGCACAGGTTTCCAGTAGACAGCTGCAACATAGGCAAGAGCAAAAAGCGTAAAGAGAGCATGCGGAAGAATTGCCATCAAGATGTTTTCAAACTTTAACGTGAAATCAAAGCGATCCAACCATTGCGGGCCAAAGAGCTCGTCAGCCGCCTGAGCAGCAGAGAGAGCGGGATCCATGGCTGCAGTAACCAATGCTAAGGAAAATCCAAAAAAAAAAAAAAAAAAAAAAAAAAAAAAGATGCAGCTATCAGAGCCCGCTGTCAACGCAGCCGCTGAATGTGCTAGAAACAAGCAGCAAAAAAAAAAGAAGATGTGGTGAAGTTGATGTGAAAGTCGGAGTCAGAGGTGGAAGTGGAAGTGGGAGGGATGTGGCCCCGGCCGAGAGATCAATCTAGGGAAACGGCTGGCTGGGGGGATCAGGCGCAGCGAATCTCATGGCGCTAGATTGGCCGAAGCCCAGTTGCTGATTGCCCTTCGGGGGGGCTTGCATCACAGACCGGGCCCGCTAGTGCACCCGCTATAGCACGCTAATGGAAATGGGCTGCAGAACAAAAGTACCCCCAAGGTCAGAGCGCTACAGCATAGCAGGGAAAAAGGAGCCAGCGATTGACTGCTCGCTGACTTTGTGTTTGCAGCTGCAAACTGACTGTAAAATAAAGTCCTGTATATAAAATAAAAATAAAAAAGGCCAAAATATAGTTAGACTTCCTCAAAGTTATATATTTGCATCTACACACAGAGTAGCCAACCTTCTGTAATAAAATTGTTTGGCGGCTCCTCCTCCCCTCCTCCCGTTTCACCACACCGCAGCCTGACTCGTTCCTCTCGTCCCTAGTGGCCAACTCATCTGTGGCGTCGCCCAGTCTCCATCGCAGAGGTTCCTTACCTGTGATTGAAGGACTAATCTGCAAAAAAAGAGGGTATTCCGATGTGTCTGGACTTTTGCACATGCCTATTTGAGTCCGGGTTGCTCGCGCCGAAATGCGCTGCTTATAGTGCGGGGGCCTCGTACTGTAGGTGTACGGAAACAGGAGTACCTCCGGGCGCTTCAGCATGTGGCGCTTACAGAAGCTCCACAGCCGTGCAGACACCAAAACTGTGTTTGCTGATGGTTGCAACGGCGCCGCCCGTTTTCTTTCACGCCACGCCCTCGAACCACAACAAACACGCCTTCAACAGGAACCGGACCTGCTGTACAACTAAGATGGTACAAGTATATACTCAATCATCTACGCGCCAAATTGTATAAAGACCATGAGTACCGCGGCATATCTGAAACAAAGTTAGTGTCGTGTCCTGTAACGGATGATGCAATTCAACGTACGCCGCTGTTGCACCTAGGGCTTCAAATGGTTTTGCCACCATGGCAAATGACAGAATAAGGAGGAAGAAAAACACAAACATGGTTATTACCACTAATTTCATCGTGAGACTCTTCATCGCTTGGAGGATCCATATCGGTGCAATCAGCATCACGGCACCAAGACCAACAATCACACTGGAGGCGAATCTATCGATACGCTTGTCGGAGTAGTAGGATACATAACGAGCATCATAGCCTGTCATATCCTCCGTTTTTCGTTTCCAAATTGAAAGCGTACGTAGCCGGAGTGAACTGTCAATCACCCTACGCAAAGGCGTGTTGTCCTTCTGAAATACACAGATGAGATCGTTCTCTTCGTTAAGATACAACTGTTCATCAGCAGCTATTGCAGCATAGTCGTAATTGTAGTGCCAATTCATGATGCTCTTAACATCTTGGGAGGGTGCTCGCGTAAACTTCTTGATATTGGATTGTTGAAGAATCATCTCATCTGCAATTCGTTAGCCGAGCCCAACACTCTGGGCCTGCCTTGAATACCTACTATATAGACGCAACTTGTCCGTAATCATGCTTAATAATAGCGTGCGGTCCTCCAAATCACCTCGTAAGGTTCCGTTGTGGACGTCTTACGATTCCTTCCTACTGTATCTTTTGTCCAATATATTGAGCTTCTCCTCTAATACGGAGACTTCATCTTGAAGTGCCAGCGCCACTCGAATATTCAAGGAATTAAACCGGCGAAGGATAAATAGGCTATCGTCAGTTGAGATAAAATTCGTGTATCCTTTGTAGCCAACAAACTTCCACGGTTTCCGCTGGATTTCCTCCTCAGATGGCTCAGCCCCTCCCAAGCTACTGCTGGAAATGCTCTCTTCAGACCCAAGCTCTGCTGCCGGTTGGGTTCCATTAGTGGACGGATTTGACGACATTTGAATACACTAGTTTTATGTTCTGAGGGGCTCTTGGTTGAGCTTGCATTCCGTGTTTGCAGCTCGTTGATTTGGATACATACGAAATTCTCAATAGCTAGTGCGAAATTGTTTTAGTTATTCACACTATGTTACACGTTGCTAAACACAGCCTGAGGCGCTTTTTCACAAAAAGGAAAAAATGAAGCGCAGCGAAGGCAGTGAGGGGTATACAGACGAGTGGTGTAAGTTAGATCTCGGAATGAGCTGAACAGGCAGCACTACTCAGCCACAGCTCAGGCTCCTACAACCTATCACGGCCCAACCCGCGTAATCCCATGACTTAAGCCTTTGTTTCGACAAGGTTGATTAACCTCCGAGATATATACCACTAACTCAGCTCATCAAGTCGAGAGACTATCCTCCTCAAGCACCATTACCACAAATAAGTACTTTGACTATGAACTCAGACGACGCAACGAACGTCTCCATGGCGGCCGTCAGCACCAAACGGATCCTGATCATAAAATACCCACAGAAGCAAGCAGTTTCTACCGAATTCACAAAACGAAACAAATGCTCTCTGCCAAGTGAAGGTGGCACTGAATGTGATACTGAATACCGTCGGCACCCTGTGCATGTCAAGAAGAAAAGCGGCGGAAACAGCGGAGTGAAAGCGGAGCCTCCTCCATCTAATCCGCCAACCCTTGATACCACAGTGTGGAATCGCCCATCAAACCAGAGAAGGACAAACAGAAATGGCGACGGAGATGACAGCGACAGTGATTCTGGTGGAGGTGATCCAATGGTCGACTCGGACGACGATGGCAAAAAGCGTAAGCGGACCCAGCCAACCGAAGTTGGTGAATCGTCGAAGTCGAGTTCTTCTACTCTACTCGAAGACCAAGAACGTATTCGGCTTTTTCATACCTTGCGGCAAGTGGAGGAAAATTGGGAGCATATCCGAGAATACCGACAAGAAGTCCAGGCGAATTCGGTTCTGAATAGACTTCAGCTTCAACGTCGATTCAGTGACCAGGGTTTGCATAATCTATCCTCTCACGAACTCGCTCAACTGACCTCCTTCATCAAGGAGAAGGACAAGGAACTCCATGAATACCTCAAGGATGCTCTATTTCATGACATTGAAGCAAAACTCAGGGGCGAGGATTTAAACAGCAATGAACCTATAAGACCAACTGCTTATTTGGAGGACATTCTGAAACGAGTCGAATTTCGATTAATATGGCGCTGTAAGAAGTTCGATGTCACCAGAAATAATTGGGGAGCGACGCTACCAAAACCACAAGTGCGCCTTGTCTCCATAATACAGAAGATGCAGAAAGTCCTATGGGACCTTGTCGTTCAACAAGACCCTGGTCAAAGGGACATCGCGATAGCGATCGGAACTTTCGTGGCGGAGAACGGCTTTGGTCCCTTGTCCAGCTCCGAGGGTATCAACAATGAGGAGATCATTGACACTGTCAGCTTCGCCAACGGCGAACAATCTTACGACTTTCTCGTCGACGCGTATATGACCAAGGTTATCAACGGCTTAACTGAGGCAGTTATGCTTGACTTGGAGGCTGGTAAAACAACACCAGACCCGAATAACGTACGGCTATGCAAACATATTGAGGATTCTCGCAGAAACGAACATCTCACGCCTGCATATATAGATTGGATATGCGCCAACATAGATGATTCGGATATCGATCGATGCTGCACAGCATGGCGACATAATGTGCGAGAGGAGAGATGTCGCATATTTCGGAATACTATGGAAGCATGCCGGATTAACATTAGGCAGGAATTCTGCCCCGACATTATCCAACCGGGAGTTGTATCACTCGTTATGTTTAAGGGAACTAAACCATCGACAGTCAAGGAGGTCTCGCTAGAAGATCTAGGCAGGATTGGGTGGTTTTTAGATACAGATCCTGATGCAAAAAGGAAGTATTGGCGATATCAGATGCAACCTTGGGAGCAGAGAGGTGACTGGTATTTGGGGTCGGCTATATTCAAAGTGAGTATGGATGGGGAAGTCCTTGACATGGTATTTATGGGTATTTAGTCAGCTCGCATATGTTCTTTTAGCCTCTGGTAGTATTATTCGGCGCAAATCTAGCTTCCTGCTTCTACATCTGGTGCCGCTTGCTTACGTTGCAGCACATACCTCCGGCATATACTCCAAAAGCGACACTGGATCTGAATACCATTTGTATGCAGATAAATACTTAGACACATTGTAATCATTCATCATGAATAAAGTTACGAAATAGAACTATCCGTACCGTAGCACTCCATCTTCCACTCAATGTTTAACGCCCTATCCCGTAGTCGTTTGCTGTCGTTGATCCACAACGATACGCATTCTGCCTTGCGACATCTCGGCTATAACATCCATACGAGACATGATCTCTTCTTTCTGTGATACAAACAGCATGGTACTAGTGCTAAACACACTACACATGAGCTCCTGCATTTGGAGCTCAGTCGCGAGGTCCAAATACGGAACCAGTTCGTCCACCAACACAATCTTTGACTGGGTATGTCGATGGTGAACAATGGCGCGCGCCAGGCTTAGTAGCTGCTTCTGCCCTCGCGTCAAGGCCATTTCAGCAACGATACTGTCCAGGCTTTGCTTTTGTCGTACAAACGTCTCCCATAGCCCAACCTCGGTCAAGGTGCGGATCATGAGCTCATCAGATACGCCCGTCTCGGGATTATCGTCTGCTAGTGGATCCAAGTTGAAGCGAAGACTTCCAGGTAGTTCTAGAATATCCCGCGGAATTGTCGTTATTCGAGTCCGAAGAAGCTCGCACGGGATGCTGCTGAGTTCCATGCCGTCAATCGTGATGCTGCCGGTATAGTCCAAGAAGCGCAGTAGTGTTAACAGAACCGATGTTTTTCCACTAGCATAAGTTAGCATCTCTCGCACAATGCATGTATGGGAGATGGGCAACTTACCATCCTGTCAATCCTGACAGTCCAACCTTTAGTCCAGGTCGTATATGTATATTTATGTTGTGAAGTGCGCTTATTGAAATCTCATTGGATAATCTGCACTGGTTAGCTTAGCAAACCAGAGTCAATGAGATAGATTTTACTTACTTATAACCGGTCGAAACATCTCTAAACTCAATGTCACCCTCCTGTGGCCATTGTGAAAACTGACTCGTATCATCGAGCGGCATTTCGGTTTCAACCTCGGTGGGTGTAGAATCGCAGATAAATTGGAGTCGAGACACGGAGCTTGAAGCAGATGATAACTTGAGCAGGCCGTCGATATACACTGCAGCATCATCTCCGAATGTGAAGATTGTGGCCATGCCTAGGCTGGCGGCTAGTTCAGACGCCAGCGGTGTGCCATACATACCAGCGACAATGGCGGCAACCGCCACTGCAGTAGCGACAAAATCGGTTGCAAGATACAGAAACTGCTTGAGGCGATGTACGTTGTAGACTAGCTTTTGCGATCTGCCGAGGAGTTCTTTGCTTTGAGTTTTGTACTTTGCTTCCCATTTGTATGTGCGAATGTGTTGTATCCCATGGATGGTTTCGATGACGAGTGATGCAAATGGAGCTCTCGCTTCGAGCTCTAGGCACTGGATTTGCTGTCCGACTTTGAGATAGAAATCTCTCACGATTGAAACTGCACAATAGGCCGGGATACCTATAGCCACTGGGGCAAAGATGGATGAGCTGCTAAATAAGCAGATGTCGAAAATCAAGGCAAAGAAAGCTAATCAACCAGTGAGTATTTATACGGATATAGAGCCTGAAAATGAGCATACCCATAGAAGTGGCACTGATCACACCAGGAAGTTCGTCATTTAGCACGCTGATATCTTCGAAAAAGCTGAGTATGGTTAGTGGATGTGTTTGCGCATGAGAGGTGGAATAAAGATTAAAGACCGTACCACTTGATGAAATATCGGGCGTCGATGGACGAAACAAATGCAATAGGAAATCTAAGAACTTTGTTAGTGAGTGCACTCAGTGTGCGGTATGTTCCAAAAGACATGCCTCAGAATCTTGTGTAGCAATCGATTATGCAGTTCTTCCACCACACTGAGTGTCCAGTGCTTATACCAGAGCCTACATGTAACTGTTAACAACAAACCATGGTGAATTCGTATCGGTTGTCATACTTGAAGGCTATAAGCCAAATAATCGATGGCGTCAATACTGATATCCAAAGTATAGCCAGGTGAGGTATTTCTGTGACGTTTGTAATGGCGTTGACCTTTACAAGAATGTCTACAAAAAGTGTCAGTAACATACTTCCATCTCGGGTACTCAGAGATACATACGTGGGAGTTTATCGCAGAGGCTGCCCACAACGAGAAGACCCAGGAACAAGTTCCATTTTCGTTTGCCAATCGCTGTGGTGTAAAATTTAGAGACCATGGCGTCCTTGGAGCGCAACCTTTCTTTCGCTGCTGGCGCATTACTTGGCGTCTTGACTGTTCCTGCCGTTGGTGTTGGTACCGTAGTACCCGGCTCTGCTAGTTCGGCTTCCCACCGTAGAAATCCTCGCTCTACCAATTTGTCGGCATCTTCAATAGAGCAAAGATTGCCAGCATCATCCAACTGTAGCACAACATGAGCGGCTGGAAGATGTTCAACTATTTGAAACCATTAGACACCGTCGAAGATGTCAATACGCATGGTAACTTACCAATATTTGTAGTCATGAGGACGGTCTTTCCATTGCTCTTCAAATATCCGCGTGCGCCAAACAGGTTCTGGAAAACTGTGTATGCTGTAGCTCTATCTAGACTGTTGAAGACATCGTCTAGTAAGTAGATGGTGCTTCGAGAATAGATGGCTCTAGCGAGAGCCTTTCATCAATTGTTAGCACAAGTACAAAGCTTCTCATCCGCAAAACTTACAATGCGTTGCCTTAAGCAAAGTTTAAGGTGGCGGCCATGTGTTCCAGCTAATGCACTATCACCTTCTCGCATTCTAGCAATATCTGCTTCCAAGTGGCATATTCTGAGAACCTCATAATACCATGACAAGTCTAAAGGTGCATCTCCAATGATATTTTCTCTGATACTGATATTTCTCAACCATGGATCTTGGCTGCAATATGCGATGGAGCCCGAATTGAGAGTGATGTTGCCAAAGGCCATAGGAGTTTCGCCGGCCAAAATCTTAATCAAAGTAGTTTTACCAGAGCCCACTGCGCCGACAATCATAGTTGTGAGACGGTTTCCGAAAGTAGCCCTCAGATTGGGGACCATTTTTCGGCCGGCTGGTACACCTCCAGCAACGACATGCTGCATTTTGATGCCAAATTTTCGATATGACTCAACTTGGCGGCCATCGTAAAGTTCTGACTGGATTAAGAAGTTCTGGATTCTCTGGAAGCTTTCCAGTGACGATTCTAGTCGCCCGAAGCCATTTATCGTACAAATAATGGGCTTGTTTAAAATGGCGACTAGTGAAATAATGGTGAATATGTCGGCTGTGGTAAGTGATGAGTCGCCTTTTGCATAAAATAATGCCATGCCAACAGTCATAGTACACGATAAGGGTTCTATAACTCTCACTGTATATGAAATTAGCTAATAAACAGGTGAAGTTGTGCAGGAAAGGGATACATACCAAGGGCGTAGAACACGGCAAGTTTTCGTCGCAAGCTAATGGATCCTTTCAGCTCTTTGCTCATCTTCGATTTTATCAAGTTTTCAAAAACAGGTGCCATGCCGCCTATCTTGATTGTAGTCCAGTGATGGAGAAGCGAAAGAGTGTTGGAAACTCGACCTTTGACACCTTGGCTGCTTGCTTGTTCGGCTGGCGCGATATAAAGCAAAAGAATATAAGCTATGAGCGAATAACCTGTATCAAAAAGGTTAGAAATGGTCCAATTGACAACGCTGTCGCTGAACTTACATGATACTGGGATAAAAACCATGAAAAATAGGTTCTGGAGTTGCTGCAGCAAAAGCCATGTACCCAAAAAGGTCGTCAAAGCAGCACACCATAAGTCGTTAAATAGCATTACTGCATTCTCAACTGCCTCTATGTCTGCGGTAAGCACATTTAATGGGCCCAAACGCTGTAAGACAGTATCCTGTAGACGCAACATCTTGTCGTAAATGGCCGTATTTAAGCAGCTTCGATACAACGATGCATTCCTAATACCTAAAGATTGGCAATATGAACGAGCAAACTGGCAAAAATCGTTAGCGAATACAAATAACATACTCAAAACACTAGAGACTCACTCCATGGCTAATAAAAACCACAATGGTGGCCGCTAATGTAGGCATGAGAGACTTGAGCGACTGATCCGGCTGACCAGCAATATATAATATGCGATGAAACATCAAGGGGCGGGCTAGGGAAAGCGCGGCAGCAAGCAGCCTTGGGGTTAAGCAGCTGATAATATCCCATTGGATGGCACTCGCAACTGTCTCAACCAGACTATATTCGGTCTTTTTGTACACTGAACTTTGTTAGCCATTGGAACATTGATATATCGCTAGATATACACATATGCAAGCATTATTGAAGCATGATATTTACCTTTTCGCCACTCGTGCTGAAATCTTGAATAGAGCGCGCTTGATTCAGTCTCGGGGTCCATATCTGGAAGGTCTTCTATAGATATACGATCTTTAAAACCCAGTCGGCAGATGCCACTGAACGACTGAATCAGAGATCTCTTGTAAAACAAAATCAAGGGCGATAAATAAGAGGCGTTATCGTTGAGGTCTGATGTCGACTTTTCCGGTCCTTGCTCAAGGAGCGCAACGCCAAACTTGAGTACGGAGCAGACCAGCGTCCACTGCGCAATGACGGCAGAACGCCGATGCAGAAACGGGGCTCTTAACAGATCTAGCATCGAAGCTAAATAATAGAATTTGCCGATAAAGGGCCTTGGCAGAGGTGGGCGTGTTCGGCCTGAGTCAACAATGAAAGCAGCACAGCCAGAAACAAGAGCGAGAAGAGCTCCTTCGGCAATAGTTGTTGCCGAGCCATAAGTTGTCTTCTGCACCCATATCAGAGCAACCTGAATTTCGGTGCTTGCCAGGGCGGTAAGAAGTATCTAGAGGACGGAGGTTAGCTTATACCTTTCAAGGTGGAGTTGCGCAAGCATACAATCTGGAGATAGATATGAGCGCACTTGCGGTCCAGTACTCTGATCTCGGACGCGGGTGACAGGTGTATAGGAGTTGACAAGACGAATATGAGCGCTGGGATGATGCTCATATAGTGTTCAAAGCCCGTGCCGATATCAAAATAGCGAGGCCGTGGGTGAGCCCAGGCATTGTGAGAGACCTGCTCCAGCATGGTGCCACGGGAGTGTCGTAGGCAGCGAAAGGAATTGATTCTATTCAATTGCCATGCCGTAACGAAGCTATTTATTCCAAGGCAAGTGCGGTTGAGCCGCAGGAGGGTTGATGGAGGGATGCGAGAACGAAAATAGCAACAAAAGCACAGTGGCCAACTCCGTCGGGCTGGCAGAAATGGGTGGTGGGTGGACGGGGATCGGGTCGACAGCACGTTTAGCGCTAGTTGCGTGGGTGGGTGATGGGAGCGGCGAGTACCTATTGGCCCCCCGGCAGGCGAGCGAAAGGCGTGAGAAGCCACCAAATCAACCACCACGTTAGTGGATCTAGCCTCCACCCAGAGGGGAGGCGGTCCACTGTAGAGCGCCTGTGCGAAAAAGGGTGCGCAGTGCGCCGCTCCATTTTGCGGCTAACAAGGTTCTGCTCTGCCATTGTGACCCTGGCGCGTTGGCTCCAACAGCGTTACTTTCCCCCACCATCATCGGTCTACAGTGCTGCGTGAGGCACAGCCAGGGCTTGCGCTGAGCTTTGATGTTGCAGCCAACCGCCTCAAAAGTGTGACTGTGATGAGGAGGCGCCCGGGGTTGGGAGGGGGCACCACCATGTCAATCACGAGGCGAGCAAACACCACTGCCAAACCGGCAAGTAGAGCCTCGCAAGATGCTCAAACTAGAAGAAGAGAAGCTCAAGCTAACGTTTACGTGAGTCAACCATGTTCCAAGTTGTCTAAATCAGCTCTGTAGGAAACTTTTCGATTCGCTACAAAATTAGGCCGGCCAGTGACTAACCGTCGCCGCATTAGCGCGACGCAATGTTGGGGCCACATCGGCTAGACACACAGATCAGCCTCCTAAATGCTTACGACACACCAGGCCCAAGGCAGCAGCGCTCCTCGCGACAATGCGTCCGTGCAATCACCATCCGATGAGTAAAATCAAAACTTGATCCGTCATATTAGGGATTGTTGGTCCTGGCGGAGACGACTACCCCGATGGGCCTTCAGTTGGTGATGGCGTAAACCTTGTTCAATATGTGGCCTATTTGACCGCAAATCGCCCGACGGGTCCTGGTCGACAGGGTCGCCGCTCTTGCCATCAGCCTCGTTTTCTAAATCGGAAAGCCGTGCTGACGCCTTAGCAGCATCCTGCGCCTGCGGGTTTAGCAGTTGCGGCTGCCCTGCAGCACATCTGTCTGAACGACAACCGTGATGATCACCACGGCAAGCTGCAGCAAAGCGCAAGTGCGCTTCAGATAATCACCAAGTTTCGTGTTTCAACCCTGTTCGTGGCTTCTCGCGCTCGGTGAGGTTGCTTCTTGCCTTGCAAGGAGACAATGAGTCGTGGCTTGCCTCGGCCACTAGCTCTTGCCACAGCCTGATTTTGAACAGTGAGGATATTATTAAATGAATCCCCGCAGCCTGCTTTGCCATTCCGTTATGAAAATCCTTTCCAAACATATAGCCACGCTCGCATTGAATTTGTTATTCTTTACCAACTTCAATTATCCGACTTACATCTTAGTCAACACTGCTAGCTTCACTGCATTTACGCCCCCATTATGAAGTATTCCATCGCCCTCGCGGCAGCTTCAGCTGCTGTTGCTACTGCACGCAATGTTCCTCGCCAAAACGTAGACGGCAAAGAGAAAGTATGCTACCCCGACTCAACTGGCACTGTTGCTCCTTGCCAAGAAATCTACAATATCGAACAGGCTTGCCAGCCTAATGGGACGGCCCCAATTGACTACGAAGCCCATGCGCAGTGTATGTGCAAGGGTAGCTACTTTCAGGACTGGGCCGGCTGCCAAAAGTGTCTCATGGTACATGGCCTGCGCAGTGAACGCGATAACATCCAGTACAGCAATGTCCTTAGTGTTGCTTCCAAGGCACTCTGCTCTGGCACTCCCACTGCCGCCTTTTCTTCCTACTTTGCGTCTGCGGAAAGCACTGTGCCAGTTGTGGCTACTGGAAACACTGCCAGCTCCGATCAGTTTCCCGGCAAGACAGAAGTGAGCCTGTACTACACGCCGACTGTTTCCCAAGGACCTGGTGCAATTACTGGCTCTGCCGCATCTGCTACGCACAAGGCTACACCAACGGGAGATGCAACATCTCCTGCTTCCACCAAGAGCAATGCTAAGAGCACAACTAAATCCTTCAACGACGCCGAAGGCCCTGGCGCCACACATACATCCAGCAGTTCCACTAGCAATGGGGCAGCCGCACCTACAAATCAGGCTGGCATGGCAATGATTATTGCTGGTGCAGCCTTGATGGCACTTTGAACTCGCTTAGGCATAGTTTTATGATTACGGTTGTACGCAGTTTGATGGACGAAATAGATGATGGAAAAGCACGCTGTACGATGCCGTTAGGGAATACCTTTAATGAATTTACGTCATTTCAAATTCACTGTCACTATGAATTGATTGATGCTTCATGTATTCATATATCATAAACGACTCCAGTTTCGTCAACTAGTCCGCGTAAGGATGGGAACTGTATGTACTATCGGTGTCTATTCTGGCATATGGGTAAATGGTTTGGCCAAGTGCTCTTGGCAGAAGGGAAGCTTTCCAACGGTCCAGATTTCGGTATCCTATGCAGTGTTAAAACAATACGCCAAATACAGTCAACTTTCCAACATTGCTACTTACAGGCTTGAGCTTAGCGCGCTGATCGGCATCCAGACAGCCGCCCTTGAGTGCAATAATTTCGGGAGCAGCATCGGGGTCGTGTGCAATGGGAGAGCCGCAGTCGGAGCAGAAGAGGCGATGGACAGCCTTGCCCGAGGAACCGGTGCCACTCCACTTCTTGATCGGGCCATTGATGGTAAGCTTCTCCTTGGGGACGACGACGACAAGAGCTATAGTAGTAGAGACAGAGTCATTAGCTACTGATTTGATTACGATCGAATTTTCGATGCTAAAAGAGCTGGCAACTTTCAACAGCAGATAAAGGACGTACAGTATGTGGAGCCGCTCTGACGTTGGCAGTCGTCACAGTGGTCGTAGCCAGTGAGGAGGGGTTCCTCGACGTCAGCAGAGAAGGTGACGGCTTTGCAGAGACAGTGGCCAGAGATGGGCATTGTGGAAATCGACTCGGTGGCTAAAGTGTGTGTAGATGATGTGTTGGCGGTCGTAAGAAACAAAAAGCAGATTCTGCAGACTGGGCTGACGCCGCACGACGCTGGCTTTATACACGGTGGGAAGCTCGGGGCAACTAGGCTTGTTTTCTCAGCAGCGCAAGTTATCGTGTCATCATCTCATCATCAAGTCGCCCACCTGCCGCTCGCCAGTTAGCGGCAAGGTACACAAGAGCCGGCTGCACTGTAGCTTTTGCATTGGTGGGGCTCAGGATTTCACCCGTCATTGACAATGACGTGGGGGGGAGGTGAGGAGGCGGGCGACATGGTGATATCTCGGCATTTGAGATTTCACTGTCTGCAGGCCAATTTTTCCGCATCGTATTTGACCAATTGAGACATTCGTGTAATAGTGCTCCTCCAGAAAAGTACAAGCTCGATAACAACCAGCCCAAGATGCGGCATTCTGCTGTGGAGGGATACAAAAGCCTGTGGCTGCAGCTAGGTACATACCTTACCCCACCACCAGATGCGCAAAGATTATTTGTCATTCGTAGCCACCACAGAGTGAGCGCCGGGGTCGATAACCCTATGGCAACTCAGCATCAGCTGCCAACCTGGTGGGTTTCAGGTCATATCGTGTTTGTGTATTTGGAATATAATATCTCGGTCGTAGTCGGCATCGGTCTCGGTCGGCGCGGAATCGGATATCGGTAGTCGAAATCACCAAACAAGGAATGTGCCTCGTACAGCAGTCTTGACTGCGAAAAACATACCAATCTTCGCCAATAGGATACCTACTGGTAACAGCTCTGGTATACCTAGGAAGAAGCGCTCCGTGATCAATTGCTGCAAGGTAGCCTGCCTATACGACGTCTTCAGCGGTCGGCTAGCCTTTGAAAAGAATACATCCATGGATGATGCCCTGTATGGTCTTGTCTCGCAATCTTTCTGCGGCATTGGTGTGGTTTCAGCAGAGGTTAACGGTCGGCTAATCCGTTCGGGCAGTCGGCGCAGTAGCTGTATGGCTCGAAAGTAAACCGATTCTAGAAACCAGTTGTTCGTCGAGTCGTTCGATTCCATCACGGTGAAGAGCTGTCCGAGCGTAGCAACATCGTCTGTCCAGATGGTCAAATCTTGCTCGGCTTCCTCAATGATCGCTCTGCTGGTATTGGTGTATTGCACGATACGGGAGTAAAATGCCGGCGTCAAGACTTGAAGTTCGATAATGCGGGGGTCGACTTGGGCGGAGGTAGGCGACCGGTACGTCGTTGGAACATAGTTTGTAATACCAGAGGGCGTGTACTTGACAGCCAACGGTTCCTTCGAACTTTCGACAACGGACTGTAAGTATTGCCGAAAGCACAGCTCCAAGTCAGCTTCAACAGACGTCGCAACTCTCCCGAGCGTCGTTTTCAGTGGTTCTGGTCTATACCAAACATGCAGACTCCGCTTGAAGAAGAGAGCGGCCGCTTCCTTGACGATTCTAGGAAACGTGACAAACCCGATCCAGCACCAGCTCATGACAAATTTTACAGTCTGCAAAGCTGACAACTCCCGCGCATCAACTGGTGGCCCGTCACCAAACAACCGGGCGACAAGCTTTGAGTGTTCTTTGGACGAACTGAGTCGAATAGTGACGTCGAGGCCGTGAAACTTGGTCATAGATGTGTTGAGTGGATCTCTGGCAAGTAAGCTGTATGATCCTTTACGAGAATTAAAGGGTGAGACATGGAAGTCCTTGTCCCATGAGCCTGTGATCTGACTTCGCTCCATTGCGGAAGATTCTTCGTCGTCCTTCCCTCTGAACACAATATAGGGTCGGCGTTCGCCAAATGTGTTGTTGACCTCCAATACTATGGCATCGAGCTTCTTTTCCTCAGTATAAAGATACCAAAAGGAAACTGGATTAAAATGATAGCCTAAGAACTTGGCCGCAGTGATGAGATAGGCGTGAGGGTACTTGGAGGGATCAACATCCTTCTAATTGTTAGATTATTTTTCGTATCATTCCTGATAGACAACCTACCTCGCTGCGAAGAAATTCTTCAAGTTTCCCCCGTAGTCCACTACGGTTGGTCCCGCGGGCAAGATAGTCTGTGCCATCCACAGTAAACAGGGTATATGAGAGAGCCCTCTGGAGCCAGCTCCATCCCAAGGATGAGGTATCGACAGAAAGTAGTGTGCTAGCTCTCCCCTTAAATCCAACAGGTATTCCAACCGTTAGATAAGAGTAGGAGAAAGAATGTTTCTTAGGGAATAAACGAGTGTGCGTGGTCCGACTGGGAATAAAGACCGGTGGCACAAAGGCGCGCAAAGGATTGTCCTTCTTCGTAGCGGAAGAGACCAAGTTGGCTATAAGCAACAACAGAAGCCCAGCCAACAGAGACGTCGCCGCTGTATTCACCTGGGTGACATATTGGCGCACAAACAGAAGCGGTAGCTTTGGGTCAAGAATGAGAGCAAACAGCAACGTATCGAGCAAACTTCCCCAGATAATAACGTAGGTGCCTATGATAGCGGCAAGTCCAGCACCATAAAGCCGGCAATGGACCACACGGTCTAGAAAATCAGCCCATAGGCACACCTCAATGGAAATTGTATTGACCAGCCCGTCCATTGATTACCGACGGCAAAGCGTTGCCAGGGGTTGTGGCTGCGCGCCCGAAGCAAAGGCTCCCAGGCAAGAAAGTCGTTGCAGCTGGAGAATAGAGAGGAGGGGTCGACTTTGGAAGCAGTGGAAACAGTCTACAGTAGTCTTGTGAATCAAAAGTCTCTTGTGCTCAACTAGCAGCCATCAAGGTGTTGTCGCGCTCATGGCCCTCCGAAACGTCACCTTAGTCATTACGCTGCCAGGGAACTCTTTCAGCGCCTGTGCTCCAGGCGGCCGGCACCCGCTAATGCCGCCGACCCCAGCACCGTGCGTCATAGCCAACCCCAGTGCCGCCCGTCTTAGCTCAGCCTCCAAGGAAGCCAGCAAAAAGGCTCTAGCACATTCCATGCCACCAATCGCCGTGGCGCCCCACGAAGAACCTTTTGCCGATTGACTCAACTCTGGCCACCCTGACCCTGATCAGCCTTGACTTCTGCATCTTCATATAAATTTCACGCCGTGCGCCGCTGAGTATTCGTCGACCAAGCAAAATACCAACCTACGCACTGATTTTCGACTCGCATTCCGCCAATCGAGCCGATCACGTTTTACCCCGCCACATCCCACCACCTGTTCAAACCTTCACCGACAGCAAACATGTCTGACGACTGGGACTCCGCCACCAAGATTGGTAGCCGCGTTCGTGGAAACGGCGCTGGTGTCGCTCGTGAGACAGTTGTCAAGGGCAGTGCTCTGAATGCTGCCAAGCGTGCTGGTGCCGCCATTTCCACCGAGAAGAAATACGCCTCAGCCAATGCCGTAAGTGTTTGATCTGGGGGTGCCGGGGGAGTGATGAGGAACCAGATCAACGCTGGTGTCTGATTACCTCTGGCTCGCCCAATTATTAGCCGTCTACTTGAACCAGAAACAGAAAACTAACACGTCCAATATAGTCCAGCGGCGGTGCCGAAGGCCAGCGACTCACCAAGGTCGACCGTAGCGATGAGATCATCAAGCCCAACACCGTCGGCAAGCGTGTTGGCGACGTCATCTCCCAGGCACGTCAGGCCATGGAACCCAAGATGACCCAGAAGGACCTCGCCACCAAGTGCAACACCACACAGTCCATCGTTGCCGACCTCGAGCGCGGCAGCGGTGCCCCCGACCAGAAGGTTCTGGGCAACATGGAGCGTATTCTGAACGTCAAGCTCCGTGGTGCTGACATTGGCAGCCCCAAGTTCCCCAACAAGAAGAAATAAGCAAAATAATGTTTGAAATTAGCGGCATGTAAATGGAATTTTGTACTGTGGGAACGGACTATCTTCAGCGGAACTGAGGTATTCACTACGGGCAGAATATCCCAAACGGAGTTTTAAAAATTCATGACTTCCATAGACCAATAGAAGACTTTTTTGGAATCCAGTTTCTGTTTGATCCTTTCAGATGCACGAATATTACTATAAAACAATGCGTTCATGCGGGTTCACGTCACAGTCAACTCACCTTCTTCACCTCTCACCTCTCGCTGGATTTCAAATCATAATACCAGGCTTTTCGTAATTGCCTGCTTTAAATCCTATGAGTGGTACGAATTTCCATCCAACTATTCGCAATGTTCCAGCCCAAATAGCAAACGATGATGTATCCTACGCTGGAACAACAACCTTTGACAGCTGCTCCGTTGGACGTGGGCAGCGCTCTGGTAGCCGACTGAAGCTTCCTCGATCTTTGTACGCAAATGGCAATCACGATTCAGTTAGATCTATCGTTGCTTGGATGGAAACATGGCCAGCCACACCGGCCTATCCACTAGATTCTACCTCGACTGCGGATTTGGCTTGTCCTTCTCAAACTTCAAAATCCGAAGAACTCGACTCAAAGCCGCCCAACCGCGTGCCAGTTGCTTTGCAAGATTTAAACAACGACAATACGACTTGTGAGAAAACCACTACTAGCTTTTCCGATAGCTACGAACTCTGCCGAGACACCCTTATCTTCACTGGGCCCAAAGCCTCGGAATCTGTCGAACCAAGAGATGTGGTGACATTCTAGAGCAATGTCAGGGCATATCTCTGGATTCCTGACGAGGAACTCGAAGACAACAAAACCGCGAAAAGAAATATTTGAGTAGCACGGGTCCTGAAGATGGATGTCAACGAAAAAGGGAGAAATACTGTCACTAAATGCTGATATCATGAGTTGTTTATTTCAAGGCACATCACAGATAGCTTGCTGTAGTTGATCCTATATCGCGCACATAAACACAAGTCATTATCGTCATCTTTTTTCTATCCTTATAATTAAGCCGCAACCTTTGCTTTGTATTTTGAGGCAGCCTTGTCGAAGGCGTCGCTCTTCTCCGCCAAATCGGTGAGCAATTGGTGCTTGGGGTCGGCCTTCTTCAACGAGCTAAACAACATATTAGCAGGCATTTGGGGTAATGCAAGCTCGTGTACTTACGCAGAAAGTTCAGCAGAGTCTTTGCCGGTGACAGTAGCCAAGACGAGTGTGTTGGCAATGGCGTGTACGTTACCCGGCTCCTTCTCGAGAGCTTGGTCAAGGGCAGCCTGTGCTTCCTCAACACGTCCAAGGTGTAGCTCGCAAACAGCTTGTGAGACAAGGCTGCCAACAGAAGATGTAGCAGGAGCTTGAGCAAGCTCTTCAAAAACGTAGAAAGATTGTTGGTACTTCTCGCCGCCCTGTATGTCTCGTTAGAACGTTGAAACTGCTGGTACCAAAAGAGTGCACTTACGACTCTCAAGCCGACCCAAGATTCGGCAAGGTTTACCAGCAGGTTATCCTGCGCCCATCTTCTGGCAGCAGTAGTTTCCTTGATCGCAAGGTCGGTTCGGTTTTGCTGAAGGTGGATCTGCACGATCAAAGCGACGGCATCAACTGCATCGGCGTCAGTACAAAGCTGTTCAAATGGCAAACCGGTTTGACAACTTACGGCTACCCTGGTGCTGCGACAAGAGCGCAATTGCCTCTTCCGACTTTCCAGCAGCCTGTAAGACGGTACCTCCAACTACTTGGACGGTTGTGTTGTCGCCCGCTGAAGCGGCAAGCTTCTCAATCGTCTTGACAGCGTCGTCCTCCTTGCCGAGAGCCTGTTGTGCGAGAGCACCAACGGCTTCAAATTCTGGCTCCTTTGCGCCCTTGACCTCGCTGAGAACCTCCTTGGCCTGTCCCAAAGCAACCTTCGAGCGCAGGACTAATACCTTGGCGGGGATGGCATTCTCAGGAGAGAAGGCGGAGGTATCGAAGTCGACGACTTCCTGATATTGGCCTTGGTGGAAATGGTTATGGATGTTAACCAATTCACCTTCTGCTGAGTAGGGGTCCATTTTGTCGATTTCGGTTCGTATGTCCGTCTACTGAGCCGCCCGTCGTCTATACCGTTGGTGATGGCCCAGGCTATACATACAGTACAGCTGTCTCGATAGCACCCAGCACGTGATGTGGCATGGAGGGGTGCTCTCGCAACGACCCCACCAGAAAATGGGGACCACTTTTTTTACTGGCGTCAGACATGTGGCGGTGCACTTTTGCCTTGAATGCAAGGCAAGATTGAGTCACACACTAGCCACAATGCGCCACAGTCTCGACTAGGAATAGTGCCGACCCTAGCTGCCCACAAAGTGAGAAATCACCAAAACCAACAAATTTCAAGCGGGACTCCGAACTTTGCTTCGTCAAACACTAGTCTCGACACCCAGATACAGCCGTCAAGATGGTACGTATATTTGCGCATAATTGAGGTTTTCATCATATCCCTTCAACATATCGATCAAAATATTTTCCCCGGAGCCAACGACCGCGCTTGTACGAGACCAACAATTCCGTTAGCGACGCCGCACGACACCTCCGGACTCGACGACACTTTGACGACGAAGTTTTGCTTGTCGGCAATGATGAATGCTTCAGAGATACGGATTAGGTTGTCTGCGTAAACGGCGCCCGGAAAAACTGCTCTCGTGCGAGCGCGAGCGAAGCGAATCCCGATTTCACGAACCACCATCACGAAACGTTTTCATTATCCGATCTTTTCTTACTGACTCTCGATCCCTCCTCCAGGTCAACATTCCCAAGACGAGAAACACCTACTGCAAGGGCAAGGAGTGCCGCAAGCACACCCAGCACAAGGTCACCCAGTACAAGGCTGGCAAGGCCTCTTTGTTCGCCCAGGGAAAGCGCCGTTACGACCGTAAGCAGTCCGGTTACGGTGGTCAGACTAAGCCTGTCTTCCACAAGAAGGCCAAGACCACCAAGAAGGTTGTCCTGAGACTGGAGTGCGTCAAGTGCAAGACCAAGTCTCAGCTTGCTCTCAAGCGCTGCAAGCACTTCGAGTTGGGGTACGTTTATCTGTGTCGAGAGAATGCGCCCGCGGGCCGTTGTAGGCAACGACTTGCTAACATGTTGATTACAGTGGTGACAAGAAGACGAAGGGTGCTGCTTTGGTTTTCTAAGTGCAACGTGTGTTGGTTGGGTCATTTCTCAATTATTCGTTCTTTTCGGCGGCATATGGGCTTCACGGACAACGGCGAAGGGAGATGCATGTCCTCGTTTGAGGGAAAGATTCATAGGGAAATGAATGAAAAAAAAACAAAATTTCAATGATACACATTACCTTACGAAAACCGCCAACCATTCTCTATGTGTATTATATATTATATGGGGAGGGGCTATGGAAAATTGGTCATTAAAAAAAGCCCGTCTACGTCTAACTAGGAACAGGAAATGCGAGAGAAGCAGTCAGCAGTAGGGGATTTAGAAACCCTCTCCAACGAGAATGGATCGGCCGCCGCCGTACCAGAGCGTGCCGTTGCGAGCATCCAGGCCTCTCTCTTGGCCTACCACCCACTCACCAACGAATTCGGCGTCCTCCTTGTCCCATACCTCTGTCATCAACCACGTGTTAACGTCGTCTATGGCCTGGACCCAAGCTGCCCGCTTCTCTGGCGTATCGTGATCATTCTCCTTAAGATATCTGCCGAGTGTGATGTGGGCACTAGGCACCTGGTATCGTGAACCTACTTGAATGCCTGCCCCGTTTGTCATGTTGAAAACGTCGCGGCGTAGGTGGTGATATGTGTAGTCGTCTCCCTCTCTCACGCCGTCCTGTGCATCTGGTGCGGTGGGGGGCGGCGAGAGCTTTTGGTCTCCAGAGGCCGGAAGAAAAGACACAGCAAATGCAGATAAATCGTAAGAGACTAGCGGGCGGACCAGCCTGGACCGGTTGTGGCGCGTGTAAGAGGTAATAGCGGCGACTGCTGGCTTGATTGTGTCGACCATTTCGCCAATCTCCTGTGGGGTTTTGGAAAATGCCAGTTCAAGAGTCGTCATGTGCATTCGGTATGAGGGCATGAGCCAGAGATCTATAGAATTGGGTCTGTTAATACTGGGCAGCTCTCCGTAGAGGTAAGGGTGGCTTGACATACTCGGTGCTGCTTTGCGAAGCATCTGTTGGATCTTGCCGGCGAGGAGCAGGATATGCTCTGGGGGTCTGGCCCAAAAGGTGAAGCAATTCCTCTCATCCTTGAACCCGGGTTGAACGAGGGGATTCTCAATTCGTAGTAGGTACTGGTCAATCACAAGCTCTTTGAAATCTGACGAGAGGAACTTTTCTTTTTGCTGGGCATTGCGCTTCAGTCGGTGTGCTTCGTAGAGAGCCCGGATTTCAGCCTAGATAAACCGGTTTAGATGATGCAAGGCAATTGGAGCGATACCGTAGGTAGATGGCATACGTGATTATCGTGGCATGCCTCAATAAAGACTTGATACGGGTTCTGGCCGGGCTGGATGACAATGCCAGACAAGTCCTCGTAGGCATTTCTAGAATCCACGGATACCAGCTGTTCAGGCATTTTCCTATCACCGTATTTTTGTTTTGTTTTTGTTTTCAAAGTGAATTAGAGGTTATCGTGGACTCCGAGGCTACTTATGCCGCGTCATTGAAAGAGGAGCTGAGCATCTCCGCCCTAACTGGGCTGAACGACGAACCGGATACGGATGACTAATAACGGTAGGAACGTACGCGTACGCAATATAAAATATTTACCCTGTTTAATTAAAGAAGGCGTTATATAAAGCATCTGCTACTTTTTGTTTGCTCAATATCCGTAACCCTAGGACCTTTTTGCGCCGGTTTTTCCGGTTTTATTATGGAGAGAAGTGTGCGTGTAGGTCGCCGTTGATCCCACTAGCCGCATTCAGACTGACCAAAGCACTTACCCCAAGTCCAAATGTATGAAATATCTAGAGGCTGGTGGCGGTAGGTCTCCTGTAGCTGTTGTTGCTGGGAATTTCAACAGTCAATTTCGGCTCCCTGCCGGCCTCAGCGGCAAACTCAAGCAACTGGCAGTCTTCGTCAGCTACGCCGCTAGCAAACTGGGAAACCACAAAATCAAGCGTCGTGCCAGATTCCCCGAGTACCACCATTGGTGCGTGCCATGTTCCGGCGGCATACGTTACGGCTTGGTTGGCCTGTGCAACAAATGCTTTCAGGTTGGCCAGATCAGGCAGCCCGCGTCCAGGCAAGCCAGGGCCACTAGGTACGACAAAGTGGCTGTCCTGTGGTGAAGCAGGCAGAGTTGGTGCCACTATAACAAGGTACGTTGATGCCATAGAGCTGATCGGAGAAAAGGTCTGTGTAGTGTATGGGTGTCGCTCTAGATACTTGACAGTAAACTCAGTACGGCGGGACGTCTGGTTCAGCGGAAGCTGTCGGGCCGCACAGACAAAGACACTCATTATCGGGCTCCCTGAGCCGCTAGGTGCCTGTTCATACAGGCTTTGGATGCGTGCCGCATTTCGATATTGGATAGCAAAGCCTTGGTTGGCAGTGAAGGCATTGGGCGGCAGCTCGGACGCATGCTGATCAAACTCGCCCGGGTGGATATTTGGTCTTGGATTCTGCGTGACATCTCCAAATTGTGCGTAGGATTCTTGGGTGAGAGGCTGCGCGGTCACTCTAACCTCAACGTCGCCTGCTTGGATAGTGGTGGCCATTTCGGAGCGAGGTTGTGTGTGCGGAGGGGTATAAGAAGTAGCAGGTTGCAAGTGTCGTTGAACAAATAAAGTAGCGGGTGTTTGTCGTTACATCATCATCCTTTTAAATCATTCCAGAAGCCAGTCGGTTCTATTCGCTGCGTGAATTAAAAACAATGCCGTCTCATGTCGTTGGGAAAGCTTGAGTTGCGCACCGCACAAGGCGTCGGAGGACGCCGTACCGTGTTTAGCAGGGCCGATGACGGGGTGCTGTCCGGGGCCTGCCGACAATGCAGTGGCCGGCGCTGGTGGGATTCCGAGCGGGCGGCGGTTGTTGGGGATCCCCGCGGATTATAAACGCCATGGAAAATGCACCAAAAATAAAATGCACGCACTTGGGATGACACAATCTCAGCCGGATCATCTTCTTCTCCTTCTTGCCCACCGTGATTGTGGTGTGCCGGTTCCCATCTATGGCGCGCTGTAGTGGCCGCCCTGCCACGCAACAACCTGCATCTTGAGGCTCAGTTCGTTAGCTAATCGCTGCATAGGATTCAGCACGCGACCTTGCGTGGCGCCCTCTGCCGCACAACAATTGGCCCAACTTGCACGTTTAGCGGCAACAAGTTCCCGTTCTGTGTCCGTCCTCACTGCGGCCGCCCACTAAAATGTGTGCTTCCAGCAGGCCTCTCATCCGCCAGTGGGGCAATGATTAGCGGTCGGTGGCACTGTTCCAACACCTTCGTTGTAGCGCCGGCGGCGGCACCGGCAATTTTTGCAGTCTAGCGTGCTCGACGCCATTCTTTGCTCATTCACAAACCAATACACCGATTTTCTGGTCCCGAACGGTGATTGAAATGCTCACCTTGGAATCGATATTGTAATATCTTTACTTTGTGCACCTTTTGCATCTTATTCATGGCCCTCACGTGCCCTCTGTCACCACCAAACCACCACTCTATAATAGCACCGATAGATTTTCAACGGCCCGCGACGATTACCCGGTTGTTTCATACGACAACGCCATGGTTGCTGGTAGACGGCGTAGCTCCAGCGAGAGCTTTATACAAACTGAACATGATGATATATTGCCAGGACGCCATTCCGATGTTGGGCAGCCCATGTCGCCGCTCAGCGCTGCACCACCACCAGACACCAAGAAGGATGTCAGTTGGAAAGACTTGCCCCGCAAAGACCAGCTTGTGATTCTCATCATGGCCCGTCTGAGCGAACCGCTAGTCCAGACATCATTACAGGTAAGAATTGTGCACCCAGTACTCCCACCTTCACAGACAGCATGGCTAACCTAGCTTCGTTTTCCAGGCATACATGTTCTACCAGCTTAAATGGTTCAACCCCGATAACTCCGACTCTACAATTTCCACACAGGCCGGTATACTACATGCAAGCTTCATGGCAGCGCAGTTCACCACCTCCATGATGTGGGGACGCATTGCAGACTCCAGCCGTTTTGGTCGTAAGATGGTCCTCTTCACCGGCTTGGTTGGCACGGCGCTCTCATGTGTTGGGTTTGCCTTTGCGACTAGCTTCTGGCAAGCATTACTCTTTCGAATCCTCGGTGGCATCACCAACGGAAACGTGGGCATTATCCGAACGATGTAAGACTGCTGTTCATTCTTCTTGATCCACTAGCCACTCATGTACTAACTCTGCGCCAGGGTCAGCGAGACAATTCGAGAAAAGCGATTCCAGTCTAGAGCATTCCTGTTGATCCCCATGACAGCTAACGTGGGCATCACCATTGGCCCGATCCTGGGCGGCCTGCTTTCCGATCTAGCTTCAAGCTATCCATCGACCTTTGGCTCCATTGGCTTCTTCAAGGCCTTCCCATATGCCGCCCCGAATCTCTTCAGCGCCGGATTTCTCTTTTTCGCTGCTTGTGCCGTTTGGCTAGGCCTCGAGGAAACGCTAGACAGCCGACAAGGCCTACCGGATCGCGGTATACAAGTTGGCAAGCGGCTAGCCAAATTTGTTCGAAGAGTCACAAAGAGAGGTCACCACGCCGATATTGAATACGCTCCCCTTGCCTCTCACGATGTTGAGCTCGTTGACGAGAATACCGCGCCGAAGAAACCCGCAAAACGATATACGCAGAAACTTCCGTTTCGTCGCGTATTCACACGCAACTTCATCATCACATTACTTGTCCACTTTTTGGTGACGTTCCACTTGGGCACCTTCAACTCGCTGTGGTTTGTCTTCCTTTCGACGCCAGTACACGATCCCGCCAAATCCAACCTCACCACACGTCTTCCTTTCCAATTCACCGGCGGTCTAGGAATGCAGCCGCAAGAGGTTGGCTTCGCCATGGCTGTCATTGGGTTTCTGGGCATCATCATGCAGGTGTTCCTATACCCAGGCGTCGCGGCACGCTATAACATTGTTAGTTTGTGGCGATGGGCGATGCCTCTGTATCCAGTCGTCTACTTCCTCGTCCCGTATCTCTCCATCGTTCCCGGCGACCAAGCGCCTCCTACAGCTAAGACTGGACTCCTTATATGGATGACACTCGCAACAGTGCTTACTATACACGTAGTAGCCCGCACATTTTCTATCCCAAGTCACATTCTTATTGTCAACAACAGCTCTCCTCATCCTAGCGTTTTGGCCACAGTTCATGGTATCGCCCAGACTGTAGGCAGTGCCTCCCGCACTCTTGGGCCCATGGTTGGCGGTGTGGTGTATGGCTACGGTTTAAACGAGGGCATTGTCGGGCTTGTCTTTTGGATATTAAGCATTGTTGCTGTAGTAACGTTTATTGCCAGCCTCTTCGTCAAAGAAGGAAACGGCCATGAGATTGTGCTTGAGGGAGATGACATCCAGGAGTAGACATTGTACCAAACAACGCCAGCACGAAACTCAACGACTATAATGACTTCATGAATTCAGCATAAATATACCATAGTATCAATACATCTTCTGCTTGAATAGAAACGCAACTGTTTATAGGATGGTATTGTTAAAAAGAAATGCAGCAACGTGAGCAACTGAACCATGTCAACGCCAACCTAACCCAAAGCTTACAGAAAAGAAGGTAAGCCAAAAACATCGAAACCCGAATTAAAATAGATATATCGTGTGTCCTTTAGTTCATACAATCCGCCCCTTATTGAGCAGCCTTTGGTGTTGCTACCGCGCCCAGCTCAGGCTCGTCAACGTATGTATGGCCGGCATTGCCTTTAGCGCTCTTCCAGGGAGACACAGTCTGGAGATCAATGCCTTGTTGGTGGCCTTCCCGGTCGCCCTGTTGGTTTATGTCACTATACTCGGCCGCCTGGGCTGAACCAAAAAGAGCAGCATCGCGGCGTTTCTTAGCAGCACGCTGGAGCCAAAATAGGTAAAAGAGGCATCCAAAGAGAATCAAGATGATGACGCCGGCAATAATCATGCCTGTCTTTTCGTTCATGGCGTAGCGGAATCCACTGTGTAATTCGTTAGCAAGTTAGACGGCAAGACAAATACGCTTACAACACGTACAGGAAGCAGTTGATCCAAGCCAGCAGCATGACACCGCGGCCAAGCCAAAGATGAATAGGGCTCCAAAAAGTAGGGCCTTGTGTTTTCTGAAATTCCATGTGGTGGAAAACGCCGAGAGTAAGTTGCGTGATGAGCAGGCCGAGTGTAATAAGTCCAATAATTTGATGCGCAGAGTTGAAGTGCCACGACTGTGATGACGGGTTAGCTATTGTTTGAAGAACTGTGTGGGCGATGATTGGCTGTACATACCCTTCTGTAATAGAAGCTGTCTGCAATTCCGAGTCCAACGGCGGCCAAGATGATGATGAGAGCAATAAGCTGGGTGAATCCATGCCATTTTGTCCATTTTGTCACGCGCAGGAAGACAACACCAAGAGGTAGAAGCACCAGAACAGCGAGAACCATGAAAGTCGCGTGTAGTGTCGATCTTGTGTCAACCTGGTTCGATTTATTGTAGCGCAAAGTTATGCCATCGCTTTTAGTATCCTTGTTCAGCGCAGGGATATCTTCAAAGGTATGTGTTCGCTTCAAGTTGACAGCGACAACGCCGAACTCCTCGTGGAAGCGGAGGTTGGCATCCTTGGCGTCGCTGTAGAGTTTCTGCTTAGGTCCAAGGGCGTAGATTGCAGGCTCATCGGGTCTGCTATAATCAAACCAGCCGCCGTTTGGAGATTCCATCTGGGGCCATCTCAAGTCGTTAATCTGCGCGGTGACAGACATGAAGCCGTCCGCCACGGTAGTAAGGTTGTCGAACACTTTGTAGGGGAGTTCGCCATAGTATTCGGGTTCGTAGTTGTGGTAACTGACACGGGGAGAAAAGGTAACGTTGCCGCTAGTTTCGCCTTGGTAGATGATGAACATGAGGGCACCAAACATGTCGTCGCTACCGAGGCCGAAAGCACCCCAGGAGCGGGAGGTAGACATGCGGAGGCTAACCATGTAGCTGGATTTGTCGTTGGCGACGGTGATGGCGAATCCAAGCGATCCGTCTGGTGTTACAAAGCTCGATTGTCCAGGTTCGTCTGCCGCGGAAGCGAATGGCACCGAGAGGGCTATGTTGAAGTTAGCATTATTGAACAGAGAGCATCGCGCCACGTTCAGCGAGTTTTCGAGTCGGGGATATTTACCGGCAGCTGCCACGGCTACGGCACGCCGCAGTGAGAATCGCATGACGAAGAATAGAGATGTCGCTATACAAATCGGCCGTGCTGCTGTGTCTAAGCGTGTTTTGGGTTGATGCGTCGGTAGATGATGTCGATGGGGGCCAAAATCAACCAAACACGATGCCGGTCGATACGAGAGAGAATCGCGCCGGAAATTAAACTGAAAATGAAATACGAAATGTGATGTGCTTAATGAGCGTGGTTGATGATGAAGAAGCACAAAAAGGGCGGGAAACGAGTGTGTGTGTCTCTGGAAGAATGTCAGAAGACAGAAGCCAAGGAGGCGGCGGCGTTACGGTGCGCTGCGTTGTTCGCTGTGGTACGACGCCCCAAAGGGAAAGAAAGCGAAAGGGAACGGCAGTGGTTCTCCACAGGCGCAGACAGGTGCCGTGACGGCCGCTAGCTCAAGCCGCTAAGGGCGCTATAGCGGATCGTTTCCTACAGTAGTCAGGGCAAAGGAGGGAGACTGCACACGGTGCGAAAAGCGCGGCGCCACTCACCGTAGCTGGCATTCCAGCAGCGCTGATTGGTGCGCGGTCGTGTTTCTTGGCGGTCTAGGGGCACGTAACTTTTTCTGGGACCAGTGTCTGGGCTGCACTGTCCTACACTGTATTTAGCGGGTGTACCTTGCAGCAAAGTTCGATTAACAGTGGGGAACTACGCTAGGGATTCCCTGTTTCTGCTGCCCCTGAAAGTGCTCTTCTGTGGTCACTTGTAGTGGGCGAATGGGTAAATGAGGCCAACTTCAATAAACGGCCATGCCAGCATAGCCACCGTGGAAAATACAGTATGGCATAGGAGGCGTTGGCCGCATTGTAACTAATTCCACAGCAAACACTCTGCCTCGTTTAATCTCCAAAGCTCTCGCTTAGTACATACACAAGTCACCCGTTGTCATGCCGCTTTACGAGCTGACTTGGCCAGCCGCGATATTCCTAGTTTCACTCCAATAGTAAATATAGCGCGCTCAGGTGGAAAGTAACCGTTTCATGGCCAGGCCTGTCAGACTTTGCTATAAAGAAAAACGAAACTGTTTGTGCATTGATGTAACATGAATGTGCTTACCGTTTGGCTGGCTTGTGACGCTGCCCCTCAGTAATTGCTTGGCTGTGTATAAAGGTCCGCGCATAAAATATGTGAGAAAGTTTTGAAATGGCGATGCAAGTAGAAAATTGAAGATCTCATTTTGGGTGACTTGTGTTATTTTACCCTCTTGCATTGGATCTTTTCAGATGAACCTAATGACTTGTTTCATCGAGATTTGCTTTGACTTGGAGTCAATGCGTCCATGTTTTAGAGGCTACAGGAGTACTGCTCCAAACGTACGCTTGGGCTGGGTAAACTGTGCACATAGTAAACCGCCTTTTTAAGACTGAAATAATACCAAATTCACCCGTTCTGTTTAAAAACTGCAAAAATATCGGCAAAATTAAAATTGGAATTAAATACAAGGTGCAATACCAACATTTGGATACTAGAAGTTCCCCCAACCAAGTATAGGGTATCCTCAACGTCACCCATACGTTTTTTTTCGCGACGCGGCTCGCAGCCTTATCTTATCAGTAGCCGCCCGCTACAGAAGCTACACGTATCGTCAACCGTTCGCAAGGGAAAGAACAGACTCCAAACACAACCCATCAGCATCATGTCCCAGCTTCTCTCGCTTGCTGGCTGGGCATTTTTGCCGTCGGTATGTATTGTTATGCAATCGTGAAATCCTCGATAAAGACCTACACTAACCTTGCTCATTTCAGATCGCGACATCATGGGTCCAAACCATCTACTACGGAATCACGATCAGGGCCGGTGACCCAAAGCCGATGCCTGGCAGCCCTCGACACACATCGCATCGCAATAATATTCACATCCTCGTCGTTACAGCGTACTTAGCATACACAATCTTCGAAGCCAACTACGAATTGCGGAGCAGTCCTTCTTTCTACGCAGAGCTAGGCATTCCCATAACCGCCAGCGACAGAGAGGTCAAGTCACGATTCCGTCGTTTAGCTGCCCTTCACCACCCCGACAAGATCAGTACCGATGATCAAGATGCGGCGTCCTTCTTCATCCACCTCAAGATGGCAAGCGACACCCTTCAGGACGCCGCAAAGCGCTTTGCCTACGAGCGGTTCGGTCCCGATATGCTAGCCTGGCAAAAGTGCGTTACCATTAAGGATTTTGTCAACCATGGCGCCATGTCTATCATCCTGCCCTACTATGCTGTTGCAGCAGCCACAATCTACATCTTTGGCCTCTTTGGATACATGGATTTCGCAAAGTTCTACCGTTGGCTGATCTTGCTGACACTCTGTCTTTTCGAAATCACTACGATTACGCGCCCCAATTTCCTGCCCTTTGTGAGCCTTTTCAACTATATTTTGAACATCTTTGGCTCACACCCCCCTTATCTGCCATTCCAGATCGTGCAACTGGCCCGAAAACTCGCCCTTACGGTATATATCGCCATGTCCCAGATTGGACCTATCTTGGCAGCACAATTTGGAGGCCCCAACGAGCAACAAATGGTCGATGATGATCAGAAAGCACTGAGACAAGGACTTGAGCGATTGGAAGAATCTACAAGGCAGCTCGACGCCGATGTTGCGCGCTTGCTCGACATGGAGTTGACCCCATTCAAAGGAGACGCCGAGGCAGTCTCCAACCTGCAAGGCAAAATGAGGGAGTGGCTTATTCAAAATACAATCCGTGCTGATCCCATGGTTCGAGATGCACTTGGTACGTCCTTTAGACGTAGACGCATGGATGCACCCGCCGGGGCCAAGGGTAATAGATAAAACGGGTAGACACATTTTAATTAAAGGGAATTTTGAATTGTATTTCGCGAATTGCCTGCTGTAGGTGGCTATAATAAATGGAAAGTAACAAGTAATACTACATTAGGAGATCTTAGAGCCTTGATGCTCCACGAGTCTCGATTGGAATGAGGCACATGGCCAAGAAAGCAGACAAAATCAGCACGGCTGAAATGTAAATTGGCGCAGTTGCACCATCACCTGGGATATTCGCGGCGAGGACAGGGGCCATTAAGCCAGTGATGCGGTTCAAGAAGCTCGCCATGCCGGTACCTGCGCCGCGAACGGGAGCTGGGAAGATTTCTGGCGTGAAAGCATACAAAACACCATACATGATGTTCTGGGCAAAGGCTTCGATGCAAGAAAAGATGAGCTGCGACGTCGGATTGGTGCCGTATAGCACGAAAATAAAGAGAAAGATGGCAGAAACTAGCGTGGAGCTAGCCAGGGTGCCACGGCGACCAAAGAACGGCGATGGGTGGTCAACTAGGTAAGCAGCAAGCAGACTGCCCGGGACTCCCATGATGGATGTGATGGCATAGTTGCGGTAAGTGACATCAGAGATTTGGTCGGTTTCTGAAGCGACACTGCTGCCTGCGCCGTTATTTTGGCGGGAAAAGTATTGGGGCAAGAATGCGTTGAAGAGAGGATAGCCCATACCAATGGACGCCCAACAGAACCAAACAAGTCCTGTCGCCATACCCAAAGTCTTGTTCTGAAAGAGGGGTCTCAGTCGATCAGCAGAAAAGCTCTTTAACTTATCCTTTATAAAGCTTGATGATGAAGAGCGGAGAGGAGCGGCTGCGGTATCTTGCTCATATCCATCCTCTGAAGCAGCGACTTCATCGAGGATTTTAGACGTCAGCCAGGTCTTGCGATTATTACGGAATGCAATGGCGTGTACAACGGCCACAGCCTCGTCCTGTCGACCCTTGTTTAAGAGGAACTTGGGCGACTCGAGCAGGCGAAAGAAGAAGAAGCGCACAATAAACATGATAAACGTAGCAAGGCCAATAGTGACAATGAAGTATCGCCAACCTTCCTCGACGGGCCATCTGGCAATGAAGAACCAGGCAACAAGGGAGGAAGCCAGCTGGCCAAAGGGCCACCAAACCGACAGCAGCGTCAGTAAAGCGCTGGAAGCGTCGGGCAAGAACTCGAGAAATAAGGCGCCGTCGACTGGAAGGTTGCCACCCACACCGAAGCCGAATGCTGCGAAGAAGAAACAAACGCCACCCCAAGTTTGTGCATAGGCGGCCATGATACCAAAGACGCTGGTGATTAGAAGCGTCATATTGAATGCGATACGGCGACCAAAGTAATCGGCGCCAATGCCCCAGAGGAAACTTCCAACAGAAAGACCAAGAAAACACGCGCTGGTAGTATAGCGAACAGTCTTTTCATCTATTCCAAACTCGCCGGATAAAGATGGCAGCGTCAGAGATACGCCTTGGAGCCATAGGCTAAAGTAATGTTAGTACTGGTGGTCTACAGCTGCCAAATCGAAAGGAAAACCTTACTTGTCAGCAAACCAACCAAAGCCACAAAGAACAAAGAGTTGCCAGTTGTAGTAGCCCATCCCTATGTCTTGAATGGCCTTATTTATAAGCTTAGACTTGACTAAGAGACCGTTAGCGGAGGGGTAGTTGCAGGCATGCATGCGGTCGGCTTACTCTCATATTCAGTCCACTGGCCGCGTCTCCCACGGCGCATTTCCTTGCGTAACCCTTCTATGGTATACTCAGCAGCATCCATGAGTAACATGCCATCCGATTCATCATCGTTGCCATCCTTTACTCCCTCCTCTTCATCGCCATCCGAGCTTAGATCCCGTGCTTCAAATTCTACTCTCCCCGTGCGAGCCGAGTGGCTATGAAGATGGGCTTCCACTAAGGGGACTAAGACACCGGCATAGTCGTTAACCGATTCAACATGGCCATAGCGGATGCTTTGAAATAACTGCATTATGAGCGATAGAACGTGAGCCAGTGAGGCATGTGTCCTGGTAAAAGCGTGTTGCTGCGTCTTTCAGTGTACTCCGAGGGCCTGCCACCGGATTTTATTGATGTATAGAACGAAACAAATAGTTTTGAATATCCAGGTAAGTGTAGAATTCCGTGATGAATTTTCAAGATTAAAAGAGTAAAAGACGGATGTGACAGGAGGCCATGTGATGAACCCAGCTGATGCAGTCGTCAAATGTGGCCAATAACGAGCTATGGGAGCCCTGAGATTTGGTCGTTTATCAAGAAAAGGAAGAACAACAAGAGAATAATAAAGAAATGCGAATAAAAATGGCTCACATAGCCAGAGATGGTGAATGAAGTCGTCCGTATTAACCCCTTGGCTTCCAGTGCTTAGCAATCCACGGAGGTCACCTGATGTGGTAACATCTGGCCGTTTCACGTCGAGACGCGGGTATCTGGTGGCGGAAGCAAGCCGAGCTCCGTGCTTGATAATGGCGCTCGTTCTACATTATGTTGGTTACAATCGTTAGCATTGAACCCTCGTTAATTTTGATTTACTGGCATCAATATTAATCACTTGCTTTTCTTTCCGTTTTATTTGACGTCATTGCCTGGCAGTATTTGCGCCCTTTCCCACGTGACTGGATGAGGCTGTCAGCCAGGACCACAAGAGCTGCTGGAGCTGTCAAATCTTGGACTATGCATCTTACTTCTTCAGTGGAAAAATACTCCGTCCAGCCTGCAATGGCGACAATTGCCTACTGTATGTTCTCTCCTCTATTTTCTCACTCTTCACCTTGCCCTTCACATTAAGCATCTGATGAATTTTCCTTGTGAAATTACCGCGGCTTATGACGCTCCTCGGAGCTGCTGATTACCACTTTTAACCAAACAACTACTCTTTCTGAACTTGCTTAATTCACCCCTTACTTTGCTACACCCGACTTATTTGCGAAGTAACAAGCGCTAATTCTTTCTGATAGTGTAGGCAGAATAGAGGCCAATCGCTGTATGATCATCCCTTGGCTCGATTTCGATCCCACGCCGGTGCCCGGATCAGCACTCTTTTTTTTGCACTTGGCGATGTGATTGTCGCAGCGCTCCGAGCTCAGCGCTTGCTGTAACATGTATATGCATATCCTGTGACTATTTATGACTTGTACGACGCGGTACCGGTTTCCGAGTGAAGTGCAACGTTGCCGATTAGGGCGCTCCATAACGACAGCCTGATCGACAATAGCATCGCCATCACCTGCGCGACAATGTATTGCTCGGCTTTTAAGTCTGCCCGATCACATTGGAAACAAAGTTTTATGGTATATTACGCAGTTTGAAAACGTAGTAAAGGCTCTCGATGTCGGCCTACGATGTTGCGTCGAGACGAGTATGCCAGCCATGGGAATAGCTGATCTCGAAATCTGCCCAGCTCAAGCTTTACGCCACGGTAGAAATATGGCACCACTTTAATCGGGATGTATTTCATATGAACCTGGATTCGAACGAGCCTCCCATCGGATCAATCTTGGAGGCTGAGCGTGGCCAACTGTGCGATATAAGGCCAATTCCCTGTCCGCCGCTCATCAGGTAGCTGCGCTACACCGCATATAGGCACCCTATCGTTGGCTGATGGTAGTGAAAGAGCTGCTGCTGGCAATAAGAGGGTTGGTTTAAAAGCCATCTGGCAACCAAACGTTGCTGAGTGACGTTCTGTCACTCATACTCTGGCCCACTTTAGCCGCGACTTGAACGAAGCGGGCAACGTGCAACGTCGCATTTCTCGCCTCGATAACAACCCTAGTCCTGGTTTGACACCGTGTTACGGCAGGAACAGCTATTTATGTTTCATAAAGCGCGAAAAAGGCCGCCATTATTAATGGTAGTCTGGATGCTGCTGTCTCACCAGAGGCTGGAATCCCCAACCTCAGACATCCCATGCGCCCCCGATTGTCGTTTTTCATCCAGGAAAGGGTTCTTGACGTTACAGCATGAACCAGAACAGCTTACCCAGTTGGCTCAAAAAAGAAGTAGCTACGTATTCGAAAGGATGGCGATCCCGACAATAGCGAGTAGACCAACAGGCGCCGCTCGGTCAACAGCCGCACACCAGATCTCGTGTGGCGTCAATATCTTCAAAACAAGCAGAAAATCCTGTTTATTTCTATTTATTTGATTTACTCCTCGGATAAAACTCTGAAATGAGGTCACCTCATGATGTTCTTGCGCTAAAATCTCGTATTACTTAGTTTCGAGGCTGCAATACCGAAGATGTTGTGTGAGATATGGTGACGGGTCTTCAGCTACCCATGAGCTTGTCTGAGTGCAGCAGCATAGACAGAGCTATCGCTAAAGGATAAGCTCACGGCATCTAGAATGCCGAAGGCTGAGGGTGCAGAGTGTGACTGTCGCATTTTCTCTTGATCGACTAGAGTCAAGTTGTTGGTCAGTGTCGCCTCGGCGCGCAGTGCAACCATTGTTCGCCAAGAGTATCATTGGGGCTTTGAGGACACACAGCATGCTCGACCGCCAAGCCACTCGCATGTCCTTAATAAAGCCTCGTTTCTCTCTTAGTCTGCCCTTGTTGCTTTTGATTTCTTCAACCTGTCTTCTCGGCCTGTCTTCAAACTTTGTCGCGAATCTTGCATTGCGAAACCAACATGCGTTGCAGACCATCCTCCTCGCTCGTGGGCGTGCTCTCCACCCTGTCCCTCTTGACCGGCGTCGTCCATGCTTTGACAGTTGATAGCAAAGTTCTCATCATCGGAAGAGATGATATCGATGTTAAGAGTACCAGTACCGGCCTTGATGCCTACGGTATCCCATGGGAGGCTGTCATGATTCCTAAGACTGGTGGTACATTGCCCACTCTTGCAGCCTCTTCTGACCGTGGAAATTTTGGATCTATCGTCCTCGTTGGCAGCGTTTCTTACGAATATGAGACTGGCCATGCTAGTGCTCTTAAGCCTGAGCAGTGGACCCAGATTTACCAGTACCAGTCGACTTACAAGGTCCGCATGGTCCGCTTGAATGAATACCCTGGGCCAAACTTTGGTAAGCAACCGTGTATGAACTACAAGGGTCATTATGAAACTAACATAAAAACCTATAGGAACACTCCCTGCCGATTCGAGCGGGTCTGGCTGCTGCGATCCAGGCGTTAAGCAAGACATCATGATTACCGATTCATCCGCTTTCCCCGGTGCCAACCTCAAGGCGTACGTTTATCATTAATCTCTGCTGTCGATTATCAAGTCATTCTAACACGAGTATAGTAATGTACCGGTTCCTACTGACAACCTGTTCCACTACCCTGCCGTCATTACGGCAGCCAACATGACCACCCCCTTTGCCCACTTTGAGCCTGGAGACCGCTTCACCGAGAGAACAGTCGCCGGCGTTATTAACAAGATGGATGGCCGCGAGCAGATGGTCTTCTTCTTGCCATTTGCACCCCAGTGGTCTCTGACTTCTGGCTATCTGCAGCACTCTTACCTCCACTGGATGACTCGCAGCACTTTCTCCGGCAAGCGCAAGACACATCTCAACGTTCAGGTCGACGATGTCCATCTCAGCACCGGTCTTTTCTTCCCCGAGGAGAAGGAATTCCGCAGCCGCACTGGTGATCTTCAAGCTCACATTGAGTGGCAACGCAGCATCAACTCTCGTCTCCCCAGCGGATCAGACTTTTGGTTGGAGATGGGCCACAACGGCAACGGTGATATTATTAGCGCTACCAACAAGTCGGAATCCCAGGGTGTCTGCATTCCGGGACAGGCGGTTGACTACACCTCCCCTCTTGATACCGAACCTGAATTCAAGAAGCCCCTTGGCACCGGTACCGACGTTTGGCCCGCAGAGTTCACCACATACAACTGGACTAAGCCCTGTGCTGACATGGATGATCTTGCTTCGTGGTTCATGAACCCTTCCAACAGAGATGCCTTCGCTCACGTTTCGCACACCTTTTCTCACTATGAGCTCAATAATGCTACCCACAACGATGCCACTCGTGAGGTTCACTTCAACCAGGCTTGGCTCAAGCAGACCGGTATTGACCAAGCCCAGCGCTGGTCGCCGAAGGGTCTCATCCCTCCTGCCATTACTGGTCTTCACAACGGCGATGTTATCCGAGCGTGGACTGAGAACGGTATCAGCCTGGTCGTTGGTGACAACACCCGCCGTGTTCTGCGCAACCCTGACAGCAAGTACTGGCCCCTTGCTACTACTACCGAGAGAAATGGTGGCGAAGGTGTCTGGATTATCCCCCGTTATGCCACCACCATCTACTACAACTGTGACACTGAAGAGTGCATGTTGGAGGAGTGGAAGTTCGTCTCGAATCGCACCGGCACCTTTACCGATCTTCTCAACGATGCTCGCAACGTCAACCTGCCCTACCTTCTCAACCTCCAGGCTGATCCCTACATGTTCCACCAGGCCAACTTGCGATGGATTGACATGCCTGAGCGAACCTTGGGCACTGAGACTGGCACCTTTTCCGTCATTGTCAGCTGGATTGAGACGATCGCTCAAGAGTTGTACCGTCTGACCGACTGGCCCGTTGTCTCTCTCAAGCATGACGACTTTGCCCAGTACTTCTTGGACCGCATGGCTGTTGACAAGTGCAAGCCCATGGTCAGCTACACCTACTCTAGCGATGCTTCCAGAATTGCCAGCCTGACCGTCACCACCGAGGGCAACAGCTGCTCGGCGCCCGTTCCCGTCACTATTCCCCGTGGCAGTGCCTCTGGTGGTAATAGCCGTCTGGACACTGTCGGCAGCGAGCCCCCCATCGTCTGGGTTACCATGAGCGGCTCTCCCGTGACGCTCCAGCTTAGCGAGCCTGTCCGTCTTTAAAGCCAACACAGCGGTTCTACGTTTTACGACGTTTCGTTTTTATTAATGAGATTAATTCATGGATATGATTTTGTTTGATTGGCGAATTCTTATCGGACGGGTATCCGTAAAGGAAACGCTGCGTAGCATTTGGCGAGACGAGGCTTGGGAGGACAATAACGAAAAGGGTTCTGTATGTGGTATGTAGATAATGTCGAAACGAATGCGTACAATTATTATTTTAAGGCATTTTTAATAATTCAACGTGTGATTGGTAGGAGCTCTTATGAAGTAACTCCTTTTTAATAAATATTGTTACTAATGGCTCTCCAACCAAAGGCATGCTATGTACAATATGCTGCCAGACCATGTAAGCGGTGCTTCGGAGGCATCGGTGTCAGCGCTTGGGATGAGTGCCCGGCCCCACTTGAAGACGTCACTGAGGGCTAAAAAAAACGACAAACTTCGCGATTCTTTGGCAATCCTCTGTAGTCAGCTACCACTACAACACTGCCATTTATTGTTAATTGCACAGCCAAAGAAACCATGGCGGAACGGAAACGAGTTGTCGACTCGGACAAAGGTACCCTTCACCATCTTACAGCCTTTAGGCCCATTGAATCCCTGTCTGTTTGTCTCGTGGCTAACGATCCTCATCTGCAGTCTGGACGACACTCATCACCAACCTCGACTACCTCTCCGGTCTCCTCACGCTCGACTACTCGCTTCGCCGCGTCAAATCCGCATACCCACTCGTAGCGCTCTACACTGACACATTCCCCGAAGAGGGCCTTGCGGCGCTCAAGGCCCGCGGCATCCCCGCGCAGCGCATTCCCTACCTGCTGCCCACCACCGGCAAGGACTACTCCAATGACCCGCGCTTCTACGACTGCTGGAGCAAGCTTGTGCCCTTTTCGCTGACCGAGTACTCACGCATTGTCCAGCTCGACTCGGACATGCTGGCTCTCCAGAACATGGACGAGCTTATGACGCTGGACCTCGACCCGCCGTCGCTGTCCGAGACTGGCACCGTCAGCACCAGCAAGCGCGTCTTTGCCGCCGGCCACGCCTGCGTCTGCAATCCCCTCAAGAAGCCTCACTACCCGAGCAACTGGATCCCCAAGCACTGCGCTTTCACATCGCAGCACGGCGACCCTGAGACGGCGCAGACTGTAGGTGCTGACCCGGCCGTCGGCCCGCTCGGCTTTATGAACGGCGGCCTGCAGGTGGTCAATCCGTCGGCGAAGCTGTACGAGCAGATTGTCGCACACATGGAGGCGGATGCGGTCAACATGGACTTTGCGGACCAGTCGCTGCTGTCGGATCTGTACCGTGGGCGATGGGTGCCGCTGCCGTATATCTACAATGCACTTAAGACGCTGCGCTGGGAGGGCGTGCATCACCAGATTTGGCGGGATGACCAGGTGAAGAATTTACATTTGATTCTGAGCCCGAAGCCGTGGGATGAGATTAATGAGAAGGGTGAGTGGACGGGTAAGGACGAGACGCATAAGTGGTGGATAGATGTGAATAATGAGCGTAAGGCGTCGGAGAAGGAGAGGGGTGTTGCGGCGGATCGGTTTTAATATGGCATGAAATGAACGAGCGAGGCGTTGAGAGGGGAGCAAAATGGTGTATTAGCATATATTTTGGAGTATGAACAGTTGAGATAGACTTGTTGAATATAGCGTATAACGAAGCCTTGAGTGATTGTAGTGGTGTAGCAAACGGGCGTGTTCAATGCTTATTGGAGGGTATTAGGATGTGGCGTTACGAGATGTCCTTTGAAGCTGTGGTTTTGAGGCTTTGTAGATCTTGCGTGTGCCGAGTATAGTTACGAGGGTTCAGTGAGGCTTGAAATAAAGTATTCGCATCTCCGCAGGGATCACCCACCATGTCCAACTTAGCGCCTCAGCCTCATCCTCAGCTCGTCTAAGAGCCCTGTCTTCCGTAGCTATATATAGAGAAGGCTGCTCTCTAAAACAGCCATCTCACAGAAATAGTTCCAAAATATCAATCCTGATGGCACAATCACTTACACCGTATGAAAACTGTATTGTATTGTGCGATGCGGCATTCCAGGCAGAGCACAACAATCAGTTAGCAGATGCTTACAACTTGCATGGGCAAGCAGCCGACAGTCTCTCCCAATTAATAACCTACAAGAAATATAAGAATGATGAAGAAAAGAGATTCGCTCAAAAGCAATTTAGGTTTCATACGGGCCGAAAGACTCTACTGAGTTCGTTAAAAGACAAACCCAACGCGCAGCTCTCTGTTGTTTTGCCGACAGCGCTGAGTGCCAAAGACGATCTTGAGCGAATATACAACGGTCCCCGCGGTAGCTTCTACCCAATCAGTCTCGTACGTGTAAATCTCTAGTTTGTGTTGATTACGCCGAATATACTAAACCCTGGCTTTAGAGGATAAGCTTCTACTATCCAACTATGAAGCGCAACGACAAGCGAATCCGCAAGCCCAGCCAAACCTCGCCATAGAGCATCTCCTCGGACAGCCAGTGCCTCCATTCATTACCAATCTTGACCCAAAGACCCCCCCCTACCCGCTATCACATTTACTATAGCTTTGACACAGTTGGCTATGGCAAGCACATGTTTTACTACAAGGCCAAGTCCCCACTGGAGCCACGGCAGACTCTCTATGTCTTGCGCGCTTTCAAGAGGTATCGCTACCAAATCCCAGAAACGTTCCTACATCGCTCTACCGAGTTTTCAAGACCTTGCGCACGAGTGATTGTAACTCCGGTGTCCACGCCTGGCACTAAGGCCAATCTAGTCGGACGATCGCTCCAAGTATTCAACTTGACTGGACGACCTATTCTTGACTAACCCGATCGGCCAAGCAAGCCGACTTGGGGTCTTCGATGATTCACGTATGGCGGTCGGCAGTTTGTTTGGATGCAAGCCGAAGGCATTGCTCCGAGATCGCTGGATCTTTATGAAGTAGACAAGGTATGGTCGAAGCCAGGTAGCAAGACTGGCAAGAAGGAGCATTCTATTGTGGGATACAGAATCTCATGGGGAGATCCGAAATGGGCAATGTCGAAAGCGGCCATCATTTATATCGCGGGAGGGGTTGATCAGTTGTTTCGAGAGTATATTCTCGCTGTACAAATGACTGTGACTATGGTCAAGCACCGCGGTCATCATTAATTTTCATTATGCCTCTGGTCGTTTGGATATTAACCAAAATCTTTCAAAATAATTTTCTAATTTTATTATTACATTATGGATGTGTCTATTGTAGAATATAATATAACCTGGTTAATTGTATACCATGTAAGTGATGTACGGTGCGAATGAACAGTGTGGAAGGTGAATGTGCACTGTATGGCGGCACCGCAGAAAAAAAAGTTCAGCGTCTGTCCCGCATCCACCACCCGCCTTTACTTTGGTCAACATCACCAACTTCAAGACATTTACCTACAAATCCTTTGGCAACCATGGCCCAGGGAACCATCAAGATGACGGGCAAGCCCAAGCCTGCCAAGGCGGTGCACTCGAAGCGCCAGGCATCCAAGGTGTCCAAGTCTGGCACCACCAAGGCCCAGAAAGTCGACAAGGTGCACAAGAAATTTACGGCTGGTCTGACGGGGAGAACAGAGGCTCTTCTCGGCGAGCGTGCTGGCCATTTGGAGCTGATTGGTCTCGGAAAGAAGTCCAAGAAGGCGAGCATCAAGGGCGGCACCAAGAAGTTTGGTTAAATCTGCGCTTTTGCGTCTGCCGCAGCTGGCCCTTTTTGCTCTTGATTTGTTCTGCATGCACTACACGGCTTTTGTGTTTCTGGATTGGCGTATGGCTGGCGTTGCGATTAAAATTTCTATTCTTTTTCTCTATACATTACGGATTACGACACAAATGTCCATCTATTTTCTTCTTTATTCTATTACGAAAGCCGGGCGACCAAGCGACAACCGAGAGCGAGCCAGTCTACTGCTGCTCAGCAACACCGTCAAGCACCTTTTTCACAACGGCAAAGTCTCGCTCAACATCGACTCGCCAGTTGGACACGGCTACACGGACAGCCTTTCGGCCAGCCCAGCTCGTGCCGCTGACATAGACGTCTCTAGTGGCGTTGATCTTGTCCACAAGAACCTGGTTGAGTGCGTCGTCCTTGGCGCGGAACAAGGTCACCATGAAGACTTCGTCAAAAGAGGCAGGCTCGTCAGGGAGCAGATCATAGTGCGGCGAGTCGCGCAGGTACTCGGCGATGTGGCGGGCCAGGAGCACCATGTTGCCGACGAGCGCGGCGAGACCCGGACGGCCTTCACTGAGGAGGACGGCGTAGGCGGGCAGTGCGCGGAAGCGGCGGGAGTTTTCGAGGCCAATGTTGAGCGGCGAGGCGATGCTGGCTGCGGAGCTGGACGAGAGGTATGCGGCGTTGGGGTTGGTGAAGACGGCCTGGAGCGTGGCTGCGGACCTGGTGAAGAACATGCCACAGTCATAGGGCTAGAGAGAGAGGAGATGAGGATTAGTAGAGCCCCGAAGACAGATGAATAATTGAATGAATGGGAACTGTACTTACCACGTTCAAGAGCTTGTGTCCGTCTACGGTGATGCTGTCTGCGAGCTCGATGCCCTCGAGGCGCTCATGGATGAGAGCGTACTGCGAGTCGTCCTTGGGAAGCACCTTGCCAAAAATGCCGAATGCTGTGACCTGTTAGCTACCATAACTTCCGCATTATTTTATTTCAGGAAACGTACCGCCGTCGACGTGGATCCAGGCGCCGTACTTGTCGGCCAATTTTCTAACACGCACCCACTCAGCCTTACCGGCGAGCGCAAAGCGTCCCGAGTTGACGTCACCGGCACTAATGGCAATGATGCTCGCAGTGCCCTCCTTGCTGAGGGCAGCCTCCAATGCGTCCAGGTTGAGCTTCCAAGGCTGGTCCTGAGCGGCAGGGAGCTCCTTGACGCTTGCGCGGCCAATGCCCATGATGCCGGCGGCCTTGTAGAGCGAGCTGTGCCCCGCGCTGGTGAGGACCTGGATCTCCGAGACACCGGCCGTTGCGCACGCCGCCAGCAAACCCAGTTCTCCAACAGATGCGTCCTTGCCAGGGGCCTTATTGGCAACAGATACCTCCCGGCCGCAAGCCAGACCAATCACATTGCTAGCCGTGGCTCCCGTAGTGAACGTACGGCCGGACCACTGCTGGCCGCCATCGCTCAGGCCAAGAACATGCACCAACATTTCCAGGGCGGCATCTTCGACGGCCGTGGCCACAGTTTGCTCGGGCAGATGGACCTGGACGTTCTGGTCGAGGCGGGAGACGACATTGTCTGCCCACTCGGCGACGGGGAGCACGCCGCCGGTGACGAAGCCGTAGTATCTTGCTGACGAGCCCTGGCCATTGAGGGCCGGGACAATGTCCCTAACAATATGCTCGCAGACAGCGGTGGCATCCTGGCCGGCGAGGTATTCTGCACTGGAGGGATTGGGCAGCGAGGCCTCTGCGGCGCGGAGGGCCTGTTGGGTGGGAAGTGTTGGGAGGTTGTCTGTAACGGTGCGAGATGCTGCACTAGAAGCAGCAGATCGGTGCGCCACGCGGGCAGCAATGTGCTGGGAGGAGAAGAGGTCGTCTTGCATGGTTTCTGTGAAGAGAGATTAAAAAAATTATTAAAAAGAAAAGTAAGAAAGAGAAGGCAAGCAAACAAATAAATAAAAATGAGAAACTCGCCCAAGGCTCGGAAGAGAGCGGTGGAAATTGGGCGGCGTCGACGTTGCGGCCAACAAGCGAGCCTGGTGGAGCAGAGCCGCAAAGGGCGTAACGCACAGAACATACACAACGCAAAGCCGCCGGTTAGCGGGGATGGCGTCTCCATTCAGGTCCATAAAGGAGGGGAAGAAGGGAGATCAATTAGATGATAAAAGGGTTCATGATGTCTGCATTGGAATAAAAAGAGAGCTCTCTACGTTTTATCGAAACAAAAGAAAAAAGAAAATTCCACTTCCTCTCCGAAAAGAACAAAGAGGTATAGCTATCCAAGGCAGATATAGATAGATATCCGTAACAACCGAAAAAAGGGCAAAACAGCCCAAAGAAATCCAAGTCTTTTGTCGCCGCGTGTCTAGAGTAGCAGGAAAAAAGGACAGGAAGTAACAAAAAATGTACACTTGCCAGAAAAAGACGCTCTCTGGCAAAGAGAACACACGGATGCTGGTGCCGGTACCGGTGCTTGTGGTGGTGCTAGACGGAGGTGAGGTCCCCATCATCAGCAGCACTCAGACAGCCAGACAGCCGCGTGTCGATGGCATCGTTGTGAAAAAAAGGCCGTTTACAGCTTGGCGCTCTCCTCAACAGCGCCAATCTTGTACTTGTCGCCGTACTTGGCGAGGACAGAGTCGCCGTGGTACTTCCAGAAGGCCTTGGTGGCGTTCTTGCCGGCGAAGCGCTGGATGACGCGGGGGCCGCCGGGGTGCTCGTCAATGAACTCTGTAAAAATCAAAGCGGTTAGCCAATCTGGTCCTGATCCCATATTTTCTTTTTTATTATCTGCGCTCTCTTTTTGCGGCGCGGCGCAGGTGACGCTGGTGCAGGTCATCATCGTCATCAGCAGTTTCAATTGACACGTGCTTCGGGGGGCGGCGCCGCGCCCGGAGAGTGGAAGCAGCAGCGCCAGCATCACCGACGCGACGACTGCAACAACGACAGCGACAATTGTGATAGCATCCAGTGGTAGATGAGAGCGCAGTTAGTGCAACAGACGAAAAAAGACTTACGGGAAACATCGTAGACGTCGTTCTCAATGATGATCCAGATGCCAGAGTCCTTGTCCTTGTGCTTGCCAACCTCGGCGGTAGAGTATGTCTGAGCCATGGTGATGAATGGGGGAGGGAGGGATGCGATTTGCAAAAAATAGAAAAGTGAAAACCGTTTATGAGCGAGATTTGGAATCTGGAGAAGAGAAGCAAAAAGTGTGGGGGAAGAAGAAGAGAAGAGAAGAAAGAAAGATGGTTTTGCCGAAGAAAAGAGGTTTTGTACCAGGAAACGCCGTCCGCTTAGCCTGCCACTTGACTTTGGCTCTGTTTGCGTAACCTCGGCTCGGCCCCCCGCGTGCTGCCCCACGCCTATAAGTTGGTGTACAGCACGTCAGGGCCCCGTTAGCCAGTGACGAGACGGCCTATCAGAAGCCTGGCATTCGTAAAGAGCGCGAGATCGGGGTTTTTCATTCCTTTAAGAGTCCGTTTCCCTTTTTGTCTGACGACATTTCCACGGTGCGGGGAATCCGAGGACTTGGGGCAAATCGGCTGTATTGGGCGGGCCAACAAAAACTGCACTGTATTTTAATAGTGCCAGCAGCATGTGCTTTTTCTACAGTACAAAGTGTAGCTTATGCTAACTGTTGCTTTGCTGCCAATTGCCAACACAGCCATCGCCTATGCTAAACAAAAAAAAAGAAAATCTAGTAAATTTACAAAAAATCTAAAATGAAACCACCAACGCCATCATCTACTCCATGTACCAACCAACACTCTACAAAGGCACATCGCGCTTGCGCTTCTTCAGCGCCTCGCGGAACCGGTCGGCAAACGCCGCCGTGCCCTGACAATCGCTTGATGCCTGCTTCTCCAGCGCCTTGGGCATCCAGTGCGCAATATTCGCAATACGGTGCTCGTTCTACAGTAACAATCCCAGAGTTAGCCCGCTGAAACAAATCAAGCCATAACAGAGACAAGAAAAGAACGAAAGAAACTCACTGAGGGATGCGTGCTCAGCATCTCAGGCACCTCCTGCCCACCCGCCTTGGACATGGCCTCCATCCGCTGCCAGAACCCAATCGCCGCCCGCGGATCGTAGCACGCCTCCGCCATCATCATCAGCCCAATACAGTCCGCCTCGTGCTCCTGCTTACGGTCTGCCGGTAAAAACAGCAGTAATTCCTGCAGATAGTAACCCCCTACGAATGCCCACGCGCCAAACAACGTCAGGCCTGTCCAGATACCCGACAAGAAGAACAGACATCCACCCGTCAAGTAGCCCGTAGATACAAGCGATAACCGCTCTGCCGCGTGCGAGGCCACATTATGTGCAATCTCGTGGCCCAGTACCGCAGCTACGCCGGCCTCGCTGCGCGCCAGGTTGATGATGCCGCTAAACACAAACACTTTGCCGCCTGGTAGAACGAAGGCATTGGCCGTGTCTGTCTCGTGCGTTAGCAACATAGTCCTCCCTCCACCTAGTTCAAGGCGTAGTAATAGTAGTGCCACGGCACAAGGGGAGCAAACACTCACTGTCGTCGTCAATCACGAAAATCTCCCAATTCAAGTCCTTCAACCCGCTCACCGGAATCAGCCGGTCCAGCACCCTCTTGACAAGAAGCGTGCGCGAATCATTCTCCGGAAGCACGCGGCCGCCCTGCTCATGCACCTGCGCAATCACACCACCCACTGCATCGCCCTGCGAGAAAATCACCACCTCGTCGGACAAGAAATTGAACCGTCGACGCCCCGTCACCGGCACAGTCTGTGTGTTGAGGACGTAAAAGGCTACTGCGGCGCCTACACAGCCCGCTACGAACAAGCGCGAGCTGCGCGGCGGCTCCGTCGTGTAATGTTCGTGGCTCTGCTGCTGCTGCGGCCGCTTCCTAAGTAGCGGCTCAGCCCGTCGTAGCTGCTCGTATGGATCGTGTTGGAATTGTCGCTCTCGCCGGCATGTTGTCGAAAAGGACTTTTGCTGTTGTGGTGCGCCGACCTTGCCGAAGACGGCGCGGGCGCAGCCATTGCTGCTTCGTGGCGCAATCTGCCGTCTCGATAGGAAGGCTGTCGCCCGTGCAGCGGCAGCTGCTGATGTTGTCGTCGCCATTGCCGCGAAGATGGCCGTGAGCGTGCAGCGGTTGTTGGGTTTGGTGGTTTGGCGGTGCGATGTCGGGACAGATGTCGTCAGATCTGGCGGGCGCCCACGGCTCAACACTTTTTTCGGGTTGCCGAACGTGGCGCCGTGCGGGCTGGTGGAGCCTCCCCTATACGCTGGGGTGTGGCAGCGCTGAAACCGTCCCTGGTGGTAGATATTAACTGCTGAATGAAAATTATGAATTTAGATACAATTCTTATAATTATGTTATATTTGGTGTGAATCTATGGCCGGCTGGAGGGATCACAGTACTGCGCCGCGTGACAGATTTCCTATTCCGGCCCAATGGGTATAAGGTCAGGAGTAGATAATTTGCCAGCTGCAAACAAGACGCCAATTGTGTTGTGATGAAATCAATACTATGCTTTTGTGCTCTACTAAATCAAAGAACGCTAATAGAACTCCAAAGAATCAAACCCAGCCTCCCTTGCACTGCATGTATGCTGACGCCGAAATCAAACATCGGTATACATGACGGTACAGCGTGGCATATCTTGTCAGATTGTCCATGAAGACGATTTAATTTCAAGATAGACAGACAGAAAATATGTATAGACAACGCTGAACATGTCCAAGGCCAATATGATGGCGCTGACATTCGTCAGCCAAGCTGAAGCATCAACAGTTTTTCAGACTGTCTCTGGTGCCCTCCCAGATAATGTTGGATTATTATCAGTGCCTGGGACTAGAAAGTAAGAGCCAGACATATCCGAGTTTATAAATCGATCGGAAATGTCGTCGGGGTGCGGAAATAATCAAAAGCGTTGGGGCACGTCGGTGGCGCGCAAGGCGATGCTGGGACCGTGGCTGACAGTGATGGGTGTTCGTAAATATTATTCCAAGTAAAAGGTCGGTCCATAATCACTTGTAGAGCTGAAATATAGTCTAAAGATCGTCCAGTGTGACAAGTTCGACTTTTTGGTGCCTCGTGTGTTGGTGGTATACCAAGATTGGAGTCATATATAATTGGTGGTAATCATCGCCAACAGTGATGATGTGCCTAATCAAATCGTTGAAAATGTCCTCATGAAGTCGATGCCTCATCAGGAAATGGCTTCCTTCCCCAAACAACCCAGATGGGGATAAAGGCGTGGATTCGCGGATCAGACAGCTCCCGTCTGACATCGACAAGAAGCACCTAGCAAGTAACGTTAGCAAAACCCATAGACACACAACGGCTGATATGCTTACTTCAGTCTCCTCAGCTGTTCTGGAAAAAGCTCTGTTGAACAGCGTCAGAGAAAAGCCGCTTAGGCCCTGCATAAAGTTGCGCTCCCACATTCGGCCCAACTGTTTCAGCTCGGGATCTCTAGGCCAAGCATTCGTGGGCATCTTGAATACACGCTCTTCAACGTCGACGAAGCCAACACGCTGGAAAATCTCCTTTATGCGGCTCGAGAAGACAGTAGGCCGATGCAAGATCTCGCTGGCAACCGATATTTCGTGGAACCACGTCGTCAGCGCCATACCTGGCTTTAGTGTGTCGTCGTCGCAGCCAAAGACGCTATCAAACTCTTGAGATTCAATGTATCCGCCAGGATTCAGTGCGTCAAACGCTTGTTGTGCTATTTGAGTTTCAAAAGATTTCCAGCATCCGGCTGTTATGCGTGTGTGAATAAAGTCAAACTTTTGTGTATAGTCCCATGGGTCCGATCTGTTGGACAAGTTAGCAAGAGTGCTAGTCAGCAATTGTCGGCATCACTAACGAATCCTCGACGTAAAAGGTTACGTTGGGAGGCACATCCTCAGGTTGGATTGGCGATAAGTCGGTACCGATAACTTCCGCTTCAGGAAACATGTCTCCCATCTGAATGACCCAGCTGCCTGTTCCAGTGGCAATGTCGAGTATTGCTTTCGGTTGAATCTTCTCTCCCACCGGAGCAAGGAAGAGTTTGTCTCCAAAAATCTTGTTAAGAGCAGTGAATTGCAATTCTAGCCGTTCTCGTTCTATGTCATCGTTGGGAAATGCGTATGCTAGCGTTGCTACAGTTAATAACAGCAGGTTGCATCAGAAGTGATGCAGACTTACATCCAGCTCTGTATGCGTGGTAGGTTCTACCGAATTCTTCAGGAAAGTTTTGTACACTTTCAGACAGTGAGGTAGAAGAATCGCCACTATTGAATGGTTAGAAAAAGGTATTAAGCCAAGTAACGCTAGATACACACGGGCTACTCATATCTGGCTGTTGTGGTTCCATTGTTAGTAAAAGAGAGCCAAAGCTATAGCGTTGCTGGCTTGGGAAAAGGACGCTTACGTCTGGTTCAATAGCACCAGTTGATGGTACTTGGAAGGAAAATTGGTAGTCTTGAATATTGACGGTGCGTCTCGAATCACCAGCACCCTCTTGGGAAGAGCTGCCGAGAGGTGGTTGGCCAGACATGGTGGATAGTGGAATATAGGCACTGGGACAGGGGTGTTGTGGCAGCTGGTAACTTTCCAGTTCAATGCGGATGGCTAAATGAAGATCTGACCACGTTATGACCCGTATAAAAGTGCCAGGGCGCAAAAGCAGGAGTGTAAAAGGTGAACGATGGGTGTGTGATGGGGTATCGATGCAGGGGAACAGAACCGGGGTGTCGGCAACTTTAGTGATTGCACATGCTAATAGCGCAGAGAGAAATCAAATATGCAACAAGAGGGGAACTCGGGGTGTAAGTGGATAATAGGGACGCGTTTCGTTGCGTTAGACAAGTATCGTTGGACAGCGAAAGCAAGATTGCGGAAAGGACTGTACGGTAGGATCGAGCCACGGCTGGCCAAGAGACGGTCTATAAAGCAGAGCTAACGCACAGAAAGACGGGAGCCAACCGACATCCGGGATCGAATACACAACGGTTGTGTTTTGTCTCAAGAAACGGGAAGCAGATGACGCCCAAAGGACGGTTGGGCAGAGGGCTGAGAAGGGGAAACACGCGAATATCTCAGACAGGGCGGTGGCGTTTTGGAGCAGTGGGCTCTTGTGACGCTGCGTGATTGCGGTGCTTTCTTTTTCTTCGCTGTGATGGAGGCCCAAAAATAGAGGCAAGGCTGGCGCACACCACGCAGGTTGCCTGATTTGGAAGCTATATTGGACGGGGAGGGGCGGATGGCTGTGTGAGAAGCGGCAAGGCGTTTTGGAGAGTCGGTCAAGACAAGGAGAAAAAAGACGGGAAAGAGTGTTGAGAAGAGAGAGGGAAGAGGAGAAAGCAACTCCAGCAAACGAGCCCAACGTAGGCGTAGGAGGAGGAAGAAGTGGACGAAGAGCACTGAGGAGGGTCGTGGACTGTAAGCCAAGCGTGCCAGGCGTACCAGGTGGTGCCAGGTGGTGCCAGGTGGTATTCTAGGCCCTGTCTCTTTTTTTCTCAGTTTAGTGGGGTGCTCCAGCGTGTTACCCCCCCTTCTATAGGGGGCGTGCCGGGTGGCAGCTGTTGGGGTTTCCGTTTGGTGGAGAGCAAACGGGGTGGCTTTCACAAACACCACAGGCGGCGGCCAGCGTGGGCAGTTTGGGTGGGAAAGCATGAGATGGGTGTGTGGAGGCGGATGGGGAACCCAAAATCTTGGGACGCTGGGTGGAACAGTGGGAAAAGACGGATTTAGCATGAGAAGGGCGGCTAATTGGAAGAGAGCAGAAGGAGTGCGGTCCAGGAGATAACTCGGGATTATTAGGTTTGCTCGCTTTTGAGCAGTTAGGTACGAGCTTAGCGTAGTACAGTAGAAAGTGGGCAGACAGCAACAACAACGTTGGGGGGGGGGGGGGGGGGGGGGGGGGGGGGGGGGGGGGGGGGGAGGGGGGGGGGGGGGGGGGGGGGGGGGGGGGGGGGGGGGGGGGGGGGGGGGGGGGGGGGGGGGGGGGGGAGGGGGGGGGGGGGGGGGGGGGGGAAGGAAGAAGAAAGAAAAAAGATGTACAGTAGGCATGGTGGGCGGTCTGGATAAGACCAGGAGACTACACGGGAATGGCGGACGAATGAAAATCTACTCTGCTGTGCAAAAGACATGCATGCGCGTACACTTCCGGGACATGCACATGCGCCCAGCACAGAAAATACACAGCGCAAGTATAACTTTGCCTTGGCTGCATAAAATCGTCGACACAGACGGGAACGCAGCATACATCGCGCGCTTGCGTGCAGTAGCGTAGCGCCGGACGGGAAGGGGGGGGGGGGGGCCAGGGTGCTGAACCACAGCGCTGGGAATCCCGAGAATCTGGGTCGATGATCCCTGGAGCCAGCAGTACCGCGCCATTGATTGCACATGTTGCTTGCTCGACGCGCATCCTTTCCCCTTCCCCGCGGCGCCGCGGTTGGCTTGGGGCTTATTTGCTAGCTGACAGACGTATCCATCTATTTTATATTAATTGCCCAGCCCCATTCCCATAAAGGGGAATTCATGCGTTGTATGACGGAGACGGGGCAAAGTGTAAAGCGGTCCTGTTTGATTGTTGGCTGGCTGGCTGGCATACGGGGAGCTAGCGGAACATCGGCTTTTACAGGCTAGTCAGCACTACTTGTACTGTACTGTACCGATTCTATAGTCTGTGTACAGCACAATTGCTCTGCATACTGCACAGCACAGCACAGCACAGCATAGACAGCAGCACTACTACTACGTCTACTGCTTGCTACTACACCTTGTTCTGTTTCATACACGCCAAACAAAACAAAACATCGATATGTACAGCACAATGCACAAATCGCTATGCTTCCTCTACCGGCATTAGCGCCTTCCCTTGTCAACCTGGATCATCCACGCCCCCCTCCTTTTTGTAAGGTAGGTACCCTTGCTGCACCAATTTTTCTTTTCCTTCCACGCTGTAATCTCGGCTATCCTCTCCGCTACGGTAACGTGGCGTGCCAAAGCACCACCGGTAAATAGAATTGCATCTTTTCTCTTTCTTTCTTTCTTTTCTTTTCTTTTCTTTTTTTTTTTTTTTTTTTTTTTTTTTTTTTTTTTTTTTTTTTTTTTTTTTTTTTTTTGGCTATTATTTTCTTTCCCAGTTCTATCTCCCAGTTGCCTCTCCCGCCGCTTTTCTCTAGCGTGTTGGGCTAGTCTGCAACACTAACCTTTCTGTCAAGGAGACTCGGCGCTGGCCCTACGGCACCATCACTAATACAAAAAAAAGACGCAGATTCAGTATCCATGAGCCTAAACCTAAAAAGCAGTGCTCATACGGCCTTGCTGACCCGGCTACACGGTAACGATGGCCCCCATTCCCCTGTTTCGGCAAAAGCGTTCCATTCGCAATTCCGACACGCCTCTTTTGCCCTGACAAATTGTGTCGCTGGTATTCGCTTTTACAAGTCTCCGTTCTGTATAATTGGTACGCGGCGCTCACTAAACAATCTCATTTTGCAGAGCCGCCCACCGAACCAGGCCCCCTGTGCAGCACCTGCGCCGGGCCGAGAAAGTAGGTCGCGTCACCGTCCCAGGCCAGCGGATCGGGCAGGGCTTTAGCTTTCCCGTCGCCCCCTAAAAGTGGCCCTACTGGCCCCCTAGCCCGCCAACAGCACCTCCACTGTGACCGTAGATGCCACCCTGCGAACTGCTGCTTTGGGACGGCATTTTACACTTTGGACGAATTGCCGAGACACAAAAGGACCTTGGCACTGCTTTTCTTCTACTGGCTAGCTCAAGAAGCAGGACAAAAGCGGCAAACGGCCAAAAAGGAGAGGAGAATCCATCTAAATCAGTCAGTGGTGGTGCTGGCTACGACATCGTTTCAACTACCGGCATCCCGCCGATGCGATGCACCTGTGCTGCACTACACTACACGGGGCCTGCCTCTTCTGGAATCACCTCTTCTCTACGCCCAATCAACTCTAGACAGCTCGCTGTCGGCGGAGACCCGAGCCTGACACGCATGTACGAGCAAATCAGTCCCCCCCCAAAGTTTCCGCTGTTCGTTGGTACGTCGTAATACAGCCAACCACGCAACATGTCTTCGCAATTATTCCGCCGGTAAAGTCCTGCCGCGGGGCAAGTCAAACCTCCAATTTCTCCAGACGTTGGCCCCGTGGCCGCCGCAACTGACACCCACCCACATTGCTGGGAGGCCTACCCCCCTCGCGAGTAAGACAGCAAGCATACTTTGTAGCAAGGCCCCCATGTATGGTATAGTGCTGTACAAAGTAATACCCATCACAGCAATATGCGTGTATAGGTACTGTAGCGGGGGATGGATGATTCCACAGCCGTGGATAGTAACCCGACTCGCACAGAACGCCATTCCCCCCATGCCATTGAACCAACGGGCCCGGCTAGCTGTCTAACCGAACCAGACCCTCGGAATCAGCCCAATGTGTACACACACGCCCTGTTGCCGCTCTCTTACCTCCTGGCTTCTTCTTTCCCGGCACTCGGGTTCTTGTCTCAACTGGGCTGCCGGACGATCTCCGTGCCGTTGCAAATGGTCTCCTCAGAGCTCTTACCGACAGCTTGGTGCAATCTCAGGGCCTTGGGTCAGACGATCCAGCCAACGATTGCCCTGGCGGCCACACAACCCTGCTTGTTCTCGCCGCTTGTTGTCTCTGCACATCGTATGTTGTTTGGCTGACTTGCAGCAAACAGTGTGGACTGTCCAGTCCATCTCCGGTAATTACAAGCACTCTCACTTGCACAGGAAAACATGTATAGACAAATAAAAAAAGACAAAAAAAGGGTCTGGGGGGTATATAATCTAACTATACGTCTAATACCAATGCGAAATAATACAAAACACATCAAGAATATCGTCAGGTCCCTCCGGTTTCCAAAGCACACTTTGCCCCCAGCTGGCTGGCTGGCCTTTTGCCGCGGACCGTGTCCGAAAATCCCACCGCAGGTCATTAAATAAAATACTTCTATCCAGGGGCAACGCCGCGGCCGCAGCCCAATTCGGCGGGAAGGGGGAGGGGCGTGTTACCCAAAAAAATATTATAAAAGAAAAAAAAGAGACAGAGAAGAGGTTTAGAGAAAAAGGGGGGAGAGGGAAGGAGAGTGTTTGTGTGGTGGTGAGAGCTTGTACCATGCCAGGTTGGTTGGTTGGTGTACGTGCTCAGAACTCGCTGCCGGATGGCGGGCTCGCGCGGCCGCTCCCAGCATTGCTGTCACCTGCCTCCATGAATGTTTGGTCGATGCGCAAGATCCAGTCCATCTTGTCACGCTCGCTCCTAGCGGCGAAGAGCCACGTATTGTCGGTGCCGTAGATGGCAAACACCGCCGCCTGCATGCGCTCGCTCAGGCGCTGCAGGCCGCCTTGCCCACTGCCTCCCTGGCCGCCGCTGCCGGTCCAAATCGTCGAGATGACGCGACCAGACGCTGTCCGGCGGTGACCGGGGGTGAAGTCGGGTGTGCCGTTGGACCCTGTGCTGTCGTAGTCGTCGGGGCCATGCAGCAATCCCAGTACGCCGGGCTGGCTGTCCACTCGCGAGTTTCGCAGGCTCACCAGTGCGACTTCGTCGCCGTCGGAGGCAGAGTGAATGTGCAAGTACGGCCGGCGTAGTTCCACAAATCGCTTGACCCAGCGTGTTGATTCGCTGTTCGGTACCAGCAGGTAGCCACCTTTGAGGACCTTGGGGTTCTTGGGTACACGCACAATGGTCGTAATGAGACTAGGCGGAGCTGGGGCTTCTGACGCAACACCGTTACTTGGTGGCGCCGTGTTGGATGGGCTGAGAATGCTTGCGAGAGGATCCGGATAACTGTTCCACAGTTTAACGCATTTCGCGAGGAGGGCCAGTTGGTCCTCGTTGTATTCGGGTTCAGGCTCTGTAATCTGCAAGTCGCTGATCTTAATGGTAGCCTCTCCTTCTTCAAGCAGGCCGCTCTCGCCCTCAGCGTCCTCCTCTTCCAAGGATGGCGTTTGGGAAACGTCAGGTGTGTCATGAAGGAGGTCGTCATCATCTGGTAAGATGGGCTTCTGAAACTCCGGCTCCGACTCTGGCTCTTCGTCCTTTTTGGCAGCTATCTGGCTTTCATCTATGCCGAGAGAATGGAGAACGGCTTGGATATCGCTCATCTCTGTCATTCGTTTCCTCTTGTTTCGTGAAATGATGTAGTCACTAACAAGAGAAACGCCACGCGGTGTCCAGCTTGACAAGTTCTCTTCTCCCTTGACATAGTCGTGTAAGCTATTGACTCTCCACAAGTCCCCAACTCGCTTGATGGGAGCAGGGCGCATTGTCAGTGTGAAGATGGCTGTGGAGGAGCGGATGAAGCGGATGTTTTGGAAGAGCGATGTAAACATGGATGTCTGGCGAACGAAGCTGCGCGACAAGACCTGGACGCAGACTTTCTGTGAGAATTTCATCGGTTCAGAAAACTTCTCAGAGCTAATCTCCCAAGACACAGACATCTGGACCTTGTACTTCTCAGCTGTAACTCTGTCGAGCAGGAGCGAGTTGTGCAAGCTCGAGTCCCATTGCGCAAAGACGGTGATGCTGCGCGTACCGTTAGGGTTTTGGCGGTACACCGGATTTGAGGTAAGCTTGAGAGCAATTTCTGATTCATGGGCTCCCATATCGGGTGTCTTGCCACTTGAATCTACTAGCCGCACCTTGCCAACGCGGACAGATGTGATTTCTCCCCAAGGCAAGGCATCACCAGAGCTGTGTGCAATGTTGATAGCGATACGGCGCTGTAAGCCTTGATGCAGCTGGAAGGTTCCTGCATCCAGTTCACTCGCCTGTGTGACCTCCACAGGAGCATACTCTCCAATCTCGTTCAGTTCGAGTATTTGTAATCTGGAGAGCAAGTCGTGCTTTTCCTGTGTGTAAAACTGCGCCTCATTGATTCTGGCGCCCTTGGATCCATCCTGCATAGGCCCGGTATCTCGCATATCATCCCAGCTAAGGAGTTTATCGAGATGCATCGTGGACACCTTGGCAAAGATGGACGCTCTTAGATTCACATCCTGAGGCGCAAAGAGAGGCACGCTCATACTGTGGACGCTTTCGAATCGGATAGGGCCCTCATCAAAGTCATTGATCATCTGGGTCGTTGTAATACCATCTTCTTCTGAAATGCCGGGGATGAAGAGCTGTGCATGAACATCGGTGCCTTCACGCTCAGCAAAGCCAATGAGCTCGTGCATGACCACGTTGAATTTGAGAGTATTTGTCGGTGCACGAGCATGCGATGGCTCTAGCGATAACTTGGCAATGCCAATAGCGTGGGATGTGTACGGTGATAGTACGTCTAGCGAAAAGTCTTGCACCCTGCTTTCAAACACGGCCTTGAGGGGGACGTCGACCTCTCCAACCAGGGTGTAGGATGGCATGCAAGTCTCAACAAAAGGGTTGTCCAAGCTGAGATGCTGAGCATATTCGGGTTGATCCAAGTACTGGTGCATTTGGCGCATTTGCCGTACTCTATCGTGCAATTTCTCCAAGCTCCACAAGCGCACCACACTGTTCTTATAGTCAACCACTCTGACGCCAATGCATGGCTTGGCCGCCTCTTCAAGCGCAGCATCTTCGCCTTCGCTTGTGAGGCCATTGAGGACCATGTCGTACGAAGAGCAAAGAACATGACCAACGTCGACAACCGTAAACTGGAAGACTACGCTTTCATCCAATTCATTGCTCATGATTTGAGCCTCCTTCAAGATGGCAGCATTTTGAAGAACCGTCTCGGCCATCTTGACAAAGTGGCGTCCTCGCCATACTTTGAAGACGTGCTTGGCCTTGTCTATTTCCTCTTCAGACAACTTGGGGTTCGCCTTGGGTCGCTTCAAGGGATCCATCTTCTCAATCTTCTCTTCGTACTGCTTGCGCTGTGTGTTGAGCTGCTTTTGCATATCCTCCTTAAGCTCGACAAGAGCGGCCTCCATCTTAGCCTTTTCTTTCTTAATTTCTTCGACTTCAACGTTAGCGGCTTCGGCGCTCTTTAATTGATCTTGGTATTCTTCCTTTTGTCGATCCAGTTGATTTTGCAGCTCTTCGCGCACCTCGCGAAGCTTATCATCCGTCTCGCCCTGCTTAGGTGTCGACGGCATAGTGAGGGCTGTATCCAGCGAGAAGTTGTCCAGGGTTCCTGTCGACATGTATTTTTCTCGTAGCTGGTACGAAGTGACCGATTCCGAATCTTCTCCATCTTCGCGCCCATTGACACGTTCTGCTCGTGCCTTTTGCACTTCTTCGAAAAGAGAGTTTAGTTCCTCGTCGGTAAGACTTGTGAAATTCTGGTCAGACCCAAGAATAGCACCAGCAGCTTCACGTCGAGCCATGGACCAATCGGAATCGCGACCTCGTCCGAGCGGTGATGGCGAATCCGGGCGCGAATCTCCGTAATCTGAAAACTTGCTGTATGATCGCTCATGCCCGCGCGGGCCTGGACTTGGGCTAGGTGAAGAATTTCTGTCCCAGGCTTGAAGTTGACTTGCAGTTACAGATTGTCGCAAGAGACTACCGCCCACCTCAGCCCTTTCTGCGCGCGCTTCCATGGGATGGTTGAATCTAAAGATGTGGAAATCGCCCAAGATAACTCTGTATCCTGAGTGGAGCTGTGTTGGTTCGCTAATTCGCTTACCGTTGACCATGACAGATGCTCCTTCGCTTGGAATGACGGTGACGGTTCCATCCGCGGAGTTATCAAAGGTACAGTGATCGTGGAGGATCCTTGTGCCATTTAATCTAATATTGACTTGGTTGTCTGTGTTGGTATCGACGTTGCCGACGCTCGTTGTGCCCGGTTTTAGGTTGTACACCAAGCACTCTGCCAATAAGGGATCATCTGACAAGTTGACCAAATGGGGCATTTTCTTTGGCGTGTGTAGACCAATAAAACCCTTTTCGATGCTGATGCCCAGTTCTTCCAAAGCGGCTTCTCTCTCTTTGTGGATTTCTTCCGTCTTTTGCAGCTTCTGTTCCCATGTTTGGTTGAGATCAGTCAAGAGCTTTTCACTCTGGCTAAGCTGTTCGGCGATTTCCGCTTTCGAAACTTTTTTGACGGTACCATCAGGACCGGTGATGCTGACCATTTGCTTTTCTAGCGGTGTGTTCGGATCGTATTGTTCGTCGGAGGGATAGCTACCAACACCGCCAGAAGTTGGCGCACCGCCGAGCTTGCTTCGGAGCAGCGCAAGCTCTTCCTTGAGCTCTCTGATCATGCGAGCATTGGCATCTTCGTTGATGACGGCGTGGTTCTTGATTCGTTTGGCGGAATCGGCGTATCGGAGGGTACTGAGGGTTTCGTCGTAATTGATATCGGCAGGACTAATGGCAGCAATCATTGCCGTCATACTGTTACCACCGAGCGAGTCTTTAAGGAGCCATGTCAACACACTGTCACGGTATGGTACCTGTCCAGAGCCCTTCTTCTTCTTGCCCGTCGAGAGATCGGCGAGGGCGGCAATGACACGACCAAGCGTAGACAGTGATCTATTGATTTCAGCACCTTCCTTTAAACGAGCACCGGTGGCACCAGTAGAATTTGCACGCTCCGAACCAGCCAAATCGACTAGACTGATCTTTGCGACCTTTTCCATCTCCATCTTTGTTTCGACGTCATACTTCTTTTGCGTCAGCATGAGGGTGAAGACGGCGTGACTTCGACTCGAGGTTTCGTTCATGTTGGTGGCGGCGACTGTACGGGCCTTGTTGCCTTCGTCCATGAGGTTTTCGATTTCTTGGAAGCTTCCAACCACGAGCTTGGCGAGGTCTTCGACGTAGGGTCCGGTGGAGGGATGTTCGCGAACCTTGAGGTTGCCTTTTGTGGATGGATTGAGCAAATCGCGGACTCGTTCGTTGTAAATTTCGAGATACGACACTTCGACCGTACACTTTGTCGTTTTATCTGCTTGCATCTCGTCTATTCTTCGGAACATATCCTGGCAAATCATGGGGATAATACCAATCTCCTTGCCATAACCCATCATGGAATAGGACTTTCCGGAACCGGTTTGACCATAGGCGAAGATACAGTTGTTGTAACCCTGGAAAGCGTTTTCAAGAAGAGGACCTCCGAGGTCTTCGAATAGGTTGGATTGTCCAGCATAGCTGGGATCGTCTTTGTTGAAGGACCAGTATGATCGATCGAAGGCGAAGGTCTTGGGGCCGCCGTCCTTGGCCTTGCCGTCAACCGAGGTCAGGACGGTCTGGTTGTCTTTCATTTCGATGATACATTTTGCCCCTCTATCGATTTCTGTGGACTAGTTAGCTGCATCTACCCGAAGTGGCGCATGCGACGGCGTTTGGGGTCAGCGAAAGGGGGGTTGCGGGAGCTCCTGCGTACCTCTGTTGTTGAAGGGTCTACATCTCACCACCACCTTAATATTGCCTCCGCCTGCCATGGTGGGCTAATCTTGTGTTGGGGGACCTAGTTTGGTCCCCTCGTAGGTGATGCGGGAGAATCGGCGGGAAGTTGAAGTGTTGTGCTGTGGTTGACCCCTGGATGGGGAGTCGCACGGGATGATGTCGTCGCGGGCAGTTGATCGGCGTATGGAAACTATGTAGACGCCTGTAACATGCTCGTATAGGGGATACCCGGTGTTGTAGAGCAGGCCGTCGGATCTACAGACTCGTGGGATGTGCTGCCGACGGCGACTTGCAGAGGGAGGATGACGACAGATATCGTTGAGTGGCGCGGGGCGTAACGTCGTGAGCAGCAGTAGCAGCAATAGCGCTGAACTGGAAATGGCGGAGTAGTGAGATAGGAGACGCAGACGCAGACGCAGCAAGGAAAGAATTCGTAGGAGGAGCCAGGGTCTTTCTGGCTGGTGCGGCGGGCTGGTGTTGGTGATGACCGGAGGGGCAAGACACCAGAACTTTGTTGGTGGCAGCTCGGACGTTGAGGCTCTGGGAGGCGTGACGAAGACGGACGCGGACGCGCTTCGACGCTAGTTGGATGGTGAGAAGGCCGGTGGGTTGGTTGCATGTGGCCCCAGCGGGAAAGGAGGTTTTTTGGTGGTTCACGTGGAGCCGCCAGCGGCGGAAGCCCCACCAAGAAATGGCAGTTTACAGCGGGAGAAATACAGTACAGTGGGCTACAGGGGATCTGGGGGACAGGAGGGGCACTGTAAAATGAAGGTCGAAGCACATGGAAGCCTGTGACGAAATGGCTGCACACCAGGAGAGGAGGTGGGCGAGATAAGCAGGTTTAATATTGCATAGAGAAATATAATACAAACCAGTATACTTGATATGCACACTGATGTTATCTATTCGCTTAGGTGGTCACTGCAACGGTTTCCCCCTCACGAACACGTCTTTACTTGATTAATTGATGCTACGCTCTGGTCCTGTAGTAACTATGGCACCCGCGTGGTCTGGCTACTAACCAAGGCCTCATACTCTTCCAAGTCAAACCGGCCGTTGGTTGACCACACTAACAGCGCTTGTACACGAGCTGGAGATTTGCTCTTCTTGTTCTTCCTCTCCACTGTGCCTATCACGTTGAGCCACTGGCCAACCTGGATGTCGTCGCTTGATAACCGATGCAGAACCAGCTGCACATCCACGGCCACAGTGACGTCGGTGCCGGCGGGGTATAAATGTCCTAGGCTCAAGATACCAGTTTCTGTAGCGTATCCAGTCACACTACAAGATTCATTGTTAGATACAGATATGGTGGGAATCATATAAAATTGTGCATGCGCATTAAGTTGCCCCAGACTCACCAACCAAGAAACCTGACCTTTAGCCCGGCCGGCTGATCAGGAATCGACGATAAAAGGCATAGTTGGGACGGAGGCGGCCCTCGAGACATGGCATTTACATGTCTTGCCTTGAAACCGCGCCGCCCTGCTTTGCGCGTTCGTCGCTTTGTCTCTGTTTATTGTTGGGGACGCCAGGGCGGGATGCGATGGTTTGCTCTTTAACAGCAGAAGCGGGGCTTACAGTAGGACGTGATTGAGCGTGCACCCACAGTTCCCAAAGAGTTCGCAGTGAGTAAGTTGTAAATTTGGTCCAAAAAACCATTCTTAAAGTATATCATAAAACTTGGTATGTAGAAATATCGCAAAAATCACAAGATAACTAGTAATTGGAAAAACTTTTACAGCTTAACCGTTATTCTCTACGCTTTTACTAGAGTACAATGTCCGATACAGCAGTCAAGAATAACTGACTTGACTATACTTTTCTCTATTCTTTACTTAGACCCTTCCATTACCGTTTAGCTTACCAAGGGCAAAGAATGGTTTTGAACCCTTTTCTATTATTGTTGGTTGAGCAATTAGAGTTTGAAGTTGATTAATTAAAAAAAAAGTGAGGCAATTGCCCCTGAATAATGCAGTCTGTTCTTCTTCTTTTTCTTCAAGTTTTAGTAGTTATTTACGATAGGTTACGGACCGTCGGCATAAACACCAGCATAACAGTCTATGTTTGAGGAACCTCAGTTTCAGTGTGTTTATTTAAAAATGGTAGAAACATGGCTTCACCTCTCAAAGATATAGCATATTATGAGCACTGTGTCCCTCCCATATCGCCACTAATCTATACCCCGGTCATTTATTCCATTGGCGTTCTCGAGTGAGCGAACCAGATCACCGGCCCGGCCCGAGCTCCGATATAGCGGCATTTCAACAGCTAACGAACAGCTAAAACCAGTTGGCACGTAAACCAATTGTCAGTTGATAATCGGTGTAGCTCTAATATATGTGATGATGCTAATACAGACTGCAGAAAAAGTTTTGCGTTAGTATCCCCAAGTCTTGGACTCTTTAATTATAGCTGACAACCGCAATTTTAGCCGGCCTGGTGTAAGCTTACAGAGGAAGGTTGCGTGGATTCGAAAGCCGTAAGTATTGAATGTATCAATGGTTTGATACGGCCTAACAGTGTTATACTTGTAGAAATTCTGCGATGTAACGATCAACCCGCCCCCCCTTTGCTATGTCTCCTCTGGCCCTTGCGGCTTTGGCCCGGATGGATGTCTCGATGACGAAGAGGGCGATTGGGATGGCCTCTCCGTAGGGGCTCACAAGGGGCACTGGCCAAGCGTTTATAAAGCTTGCGCCACTTGTCAACAGAGCAAAGCACATCTTTGCGCAGACGCGACGGACTTTGAAACTAAAAGTATATGTGAAGAATATGTCTGTGTATGTCAAACTGTTTTTGATATGCTTTCCTATATCAATGCTAATGTCCACCAGTCGGTAGCGTGCACCAACAATTCCGCAGCTCAATGTAATCAGTGCCCGGGAACCCAAGCAGGAGGAGTTTGTTTGCCTGTCGTTCATGCTTTCCAAAGCCCCGAGTGTCAAGAAGTCTGTGTATGTATTTCGAGTACCACATCAGCAGCACAAGAATTACTAACGTGGATGATAGGGTATATCATGCTTCACCCCTGAGCGAGATTGTGAAAACTGCCGCGAGTTTAGCAAGGAACTTTGCAAGGCGACACCTCGTTCTAACTGCGAAGAGTTGCTTTGTGTCAGTACACCAACCTCTCGCCCGTTCCCAAAAAGGCACATATCTGCCATCCAAGGCTAACAAGCTAATAGGGACCGTCGTGTTGTGAACGAGACCAGACTTGCCTTCATTGCCGTACTTTACAGACACGCCGTTGTACTTACTTTAAGGACAGCCGTCGCCGCGAGCTCTGCGAAGCAACAGGCGTTTGTGTATGTCTATCCATGCCTCGCTCCTCAGCTCTGTCTTGATCAACTCTGGACGCTTGAGAAGTACTTGCTAATGACCTTCTTAGGCCAATTATTGCGCCACTCCACAAGACCTGTGTGATATTTGCTCCTTCTATCAAAAGGACGCGTGTGAAGACCGTCTCCCGCCAGTAAAGGATATGCCCAAATGTATCAAGGACGAAATTACAAAACAATGCGTACGTATTATTATCCACTTTCTCCCAAGTTCCATCGACAGTCGTGATTAGACGAATGTCAGCTAACTCTACATGATATAGTCCAAACAATGCATTGAGGCATATGGCAAGGACTAGAAGGCACCAGATATGACAAAGTAGATGTCAAGCTTGAATCCCACCGAACTTCACAAGCCAAACAAGTGGGAAGTTTGCGGACCCGGCAGGCTGGTGGTCAACCTAAAATACGCTTGTTTTCAAGGACATGTAGAGTAACGCTTAGTGTTTGTCCTTGTTCAATTCTACAAGAGAACTCATCACTAGTAGTTGACAGATCGAGCTCAGTCCATAAGAAACGTCAAAATATAATTGAAATTGACTTGATAGTATATGATAAGGAATTAATTATAGACATTATATACGGGTAGTTGTCGTCTCATCAGATGGGACCTGAATGCTGCGCGTGTGGTATGCGCCGTACACCCGCTAACCACCTTGGCGGGGTCGGAGGGGCTGTCCGAGCTACTGGCCTGGCGTACCCTGAACCTGAGTGCGTTTCCATAATATGCCGCTTTTCTACCCTCGCAACATCCAAAGACATACATCTACACTACAGAAACTAAATTTTCAGATATATAAATAGCACAAAATGGCTCAAGAATCACCAAAGTACATCTACAAGATCCTCCCAGAGGCGCCTCCTCAGCCAATCCCTGCCGTCATGGACAAGTCTCCCCTTGATGCGGGCGACGGGTTTATTCATCTCAGTGCTGCTTTTCAGGTAAGATGGAAGATACTAAGAGTATAGCAGACAATTTTGTATATTAATTACCTCATAACAGGTTCCCGGTACCCTGGGTCTTTTCTTCAAGGATGCTACCAGCGTTTGGCTGCTCAAGATTGAGGCGGGCAAACTTCAAGATCCATTGAAGTGGGAGGACACTTTCCCTCACCTCTATGGTGACCTGGGAGCTCGTGACGTCTCTGATAGCAAGCGATTTGACCGACCTGACAGCAAGACGTGGGCAGAGGTAATGGCTGGTGATAGCTGGCTCGAGTAAGCACATACGAGTAACAAAACACAAAAGTATCGAACAACACAATAAAACTTTTATTTCGCCCCCTTCTATGCCATCTATCATCTGTCTGTTTACTGTCGTTTCTTAATCATTTACTTTTCTGTTTTTATATCATCTACAGCTTAAGGTCCTTCTGAACCATGCCCTTGCAAATGGGGTGGTAGAAGTCGCTGTTCTTGGCAAAGGTCTCGAGGGCAAGCTCACGGTTGACCTTTTCGAGGCCGCGGAACATGACACGGACAAACTTCATGCGGCCAACGCTGCCGAGAAGCTCAACGATACCGTCGACGCAGGAGGTGTCGTTGGCCTTGAGGGCAACGCTGAAGTAGGCACACTTGATCTCAACGTTCTGCGAGGAGACAATGTTGTAGACCTTGCCAAGGAGCTGGGCTCTCTCGGCGCTCAAAGCGCCCTCTTGGTCAAGCTGGCCCAAGAAGACGAGCACCTGGTTACCAGTGAAGTTGGCAATATCCGAAGCCTGGGGCTCGAAAGACTATAGGGACGTGGTTAGTGTTTGGTAGTTTGACTGGAAAGGGTTGGCTACACTTACGGGATCCTTCCACTTGGCAGCCAACTCGTAGCAGACGTCCACCATGCTGGTATCGAAGACGGGCTTCTCGGGAAGGCCGGGGGTGTACAGCTTGGAGTCCCAGTCAATGGTGGCAATCTTGGCCTTGATCTCCTCGTCGCCCAGGCCGTTGAAGAAGTCCAAAAACGTGTCACGGAACTCAAAGGAGTCAAGCGACTTGTAGGACCACTTGGTGAAGTAATGGGGGATAAACTTGTCCCAGGCTTCGCGGCCGACAAGGCGGTCCAGGTAGTAGAGGAAGTGGAAACCCTTCTCGTAGGCGACACTGCTGTAAACATCCTCAGGGTCAGCGCCTTCGTGGTTAATAATGAGCTTGGTGTGCTCATGGTCAGCGCCAAAGTGTTCGACGGCATCCTCTGCGTACAGGTTAGTAAAATTAGCAATAGAAGCACGTCAATTATGTCTCCGACTGACCAAGGGCCTTCCAGCCGATAATGGCAGAAAAGTCAAAAGCAGGGCCGCCGTGGAGGTGGGCAACAATACGTCTCTCGAGGTAGACGGTCCAGCCCTCGTTCAACCAGCTGTGGAAATTTTTGTTAGCACTATTAACATTTCTAGAGAGTTCTATGTTTGGCACTTACAAGTGTTCCCAGCTGGCGTTGGAAACAAGGTTACCACTCCAACTGTGAGCCAGCTCGTGGGCAACAACGTCGACGTTCTGCTTGTCACCGCTGATAATGGTGGGGGTAGCAAACGTGTAAATGGGGTTCTCCATGCCTCCGTAAGGGAAGCTAGGAGGCAAGACGAGAACGTTGTACTCGCCCCATCTGTAAGGGAAGACAATCTTCTCAGCGGCGTCCATGAACTTGTCCATGTCGCCAGCAAGCTCCCACTTGCAGGCAGCGACCTCATCAGGGCCAGCAACGACGGAGCTGTTGGCACCAATCTTGGCAGACTCAACATCACCGGAAGCAACGGCGAAGAGGTACGAGGGGATAGGCACCTTTTGCTCGAACTGGTAGACCTTTTCGGTGCCGGGAGTAGGGGTATGGTCACCGACAGCGCAGCCACTGGCAACGGTAGGCAGCTTGGAGGTCAGCTTGAAGGAGAATGTCGACTTGATGTCGGGAGTGTCCTGGCAAGGGAAGATGGAGCGGGCGTTGATGGCCTGGCACTGGGAGAACATGTAAGGGTGCTTCTTGTTGGTGGTTTGGGCGGGAGTAAGCCACTGGAGCGCAGTGCACTTGTCCGTGGTCTCGAGCTGGATCGTCAGGTCAATCAGATCGCCCTTGGCGGCACCGTCGGGGATGGAGACGTGGAGAGGGGCACCGAATGGGTCGGAGTGAGGCTTGAGCTCCCACTGGGACTCTGTGCTGTTGATGGAAGTGTCGATGACCTTGACGAATCGGGTGTCGAGGATGATCTCCTTGCTCTCCTTGTCGGTCTGGCTCTCCAATTGCAGAGTTACGGAGCCCTTGAGGCACTTGTTGTCAAAGTCGAGAGCAAAGTCGACGCTGGTGTGCTTGGTGCGCCAAGCGCCGTAGTTGGAGAGCGTGGTGGGATCTCTGGCAGCGGGCATCTTGACGGTTGCGAAACGTCTCTTTACGGTTACAGAGAGGGTTATTCTGGTGGATTGGGAAAGGGAAGTTCTGTAAAACGTTGAAATCCACTTCATGTGCGAGAATATCCAAATGACGTAAGAAATATCAAAGCCTTCCTGTTCTGAGGGGATGCGTTGGGCCGCCGGCCAACACACACAAAGTTCCCATCGCGGGGCATCACGTGCCCGAATACGCCGTCTTTAACCAACCATACCCGCTCGTTGCCATACGGCTACCTTCCGCAATGAGTCGTGCAGATCCCACTTCTTTGAATCGCAGGGTCTTTCCTATTTTATTGCTGTAGTTGCTCAGAACTGTATATTATGTGTGACAAGTCTACATTTTCTTTTACTGGACGCAATCGTCGTGTTACCACCAGCTGGTTTGCAATGGGTAAGGATTGTCGAACGCCACGCGCAACCTGGCATGAAATGACGTCGGACTGCACCGCGACTCGGCCGGTGCGACCGAGCGAGGCTGTTTCGCTTGGTAGGGGAGAAAGGCTACTCCAGGACCATTGCTAGCTTAGCCTGGAAGGGGAGGCTGAGTTTAGAAAGCAAGGAGGCTTTCAAAACCAGGAGGCGGCTTGCGCCAGGACCAGGCCCAGTCAAACGAGAATCATCCCAAGTTCGGCGAATAAACGAAGGGTAAAAACGAGAGAGAAAAAAGCCGTGACTATGTGGCTCATGGGTAACAATTTCTGCCACGCAAGTGGGCGCAACTGTTTGAAACCGCCTCTTCGTACCAAAAGCTTCCCCGCCACGAGAGGCTGCATGTAATTTCTCGCCTGCAGCTTGCGTTGCTCTCGTGGTCTTGCTGCAGGTCCGCGGTGGCTAGCTCTTGAAGGCGCACAAGTTGTCTCCAGCTCTCGTCGCTAGTTCTTGCGCCACCCTACCAACACGGGCACTCGAGCGATCCTGGCCCAGAACGCCCCTTGAGACAGCTATCGGTCGTGTTTCCTTAGTTGGACGCTTGAAACTGCTGGCGACGGGTTGGCAGCTGATTAGGAGACAAGAGCTGCTAGCCCTCGCTATAACACGGCCATACTGTCGTATTCACTATTGCATACGGTAAGCAGATCTGTTTCATGACCAGCCGCCACCCAACCACGTCAAAAAGAGTGCGGAAAAGAATACCGACTTTGAGATGTCCGGAGCTTCGGAGTTTTCCTCTGACTCAATCGGTTAGCGAACGCATTTGAGCCAGTGATACTGCCTAAGCCAGGCACGCATCTCGAACTATCCATTTGGGGCTTGCCAAGGTGCATTTGGTTTAAATTACCGTATCGTGCTCGGACGCTGCTTGCACGGCAGTAGTGTATGCATGTAAGCTCTCGATGAACCTCCGATGGCTATCTCACAGTGAAGCTTGCAGCCTATATCTGACCGAGACTATGGCGAAGCGTGGCCGCCACAGCATAGGAAACTGGTCATTCGGTCTAGGCTGGCCCTTGGGCTGGTGCATCGGTGGTGCCTAGAGCACAAGGCATTTACCGACGGCGGACTCGGCGGCGACGACTTATGCAGCTAGCAGGTCGCCTGACGCGCCGTGGAGCAAGGTACCAGGAGGCTAATTTGAGGTGCGTTCGTGGAAAGATGTTTCTGTGAACCGTGTGCCTGCGTATCGTGGAGAGAGGCGGCGCCGGCATTGGCCGCCCAAGTGGATTTTGCGTGCAGAAGGGTTGCGTGTGCAACGGCTACTTTTGCTTTTTTTTCTTGTTTCTTTGCGGAACCGTTGGCGTGTAGATTAGATGTCTCTTGTTTTTTTCTTTTTTGGTTTCCTTTCCCTGGTGTTCATCCTCGCTTACGGTTCGATTCCCTGTTAAAAATAGAACCGACACCCCTCCTAGCAAATCGGCCGCTAAGCACTGCCGTGATCGCCCAAGAGCGGCCCTTGAGCCCCCCAAACGTCCCTGTGGCAGGTCTTGCGCGGTGGATACTCGCTGTAAAGAACAGTTAGTTGCCTGGCGTGGCACGGCCGTGGGGCGGCTGGTCCAAAGCTCTTACAGCGCGGCTTCAGCGGTCTTTAGCGGCGTTGAGCACCCCCAAATCCGTTCCTTAGCGGAAAAGTGTCTGATTTTCCCGACGCTCCATATACAGCCCAAACACACTTGTAAACCGTATTTATTTATTAAGATACGTTCTGTGTTACCAAAAAAAAACGTATAATCTTGTAGAGTACGTGTGATTATCTCAAACATTCTAAAATATAACAATGTTTTCGTCCATATAAATAAATGTTGTTTTTTCTTTGAGCGTATAGGAATTCAGTATCTCTCCGCTAAGGCAGCACAGAGGCCGCACAGGTAGTCCGCCCCAAACACCTAAACTGTCTGTCCTCTCACCAAAAATAACCCTGGCATCTTCACCACTCGCTTCGCTTAGGCAAAAAAGCAAATCCATCTTGTTTATTTGTGCAGGACAAGACAATCAATAAAACTGACGTACCTATATTAATCACATAAAAAAGCAAACACAAAGCTCATCTAAAAGCAAAGACAAGGCAACGTTTCTCGCTAAACAAGAAGCAAAACATCACTCAAGCCACCATGCTGTCTCGGCCGCTGTGCTGTTCACAACCAAACCATCGCATCCCGGCTTAATATCGAAGACGTCAAGATGTCGAATCTTCCGCTTCGGGTAAAGACCTGCACTCGCACGCCTGCGTGGATTCGCGCTAGCCGCATGGTAGGGTAGCGTCGCCAAACAATCTGTGACAACTTGGGGTGCGCTGGGACCTCTTCAGTGCATATTTGCTGCCCACCCTGGTTTCGAAGGGCCCATCGCCGCCTTCAACACCGCTACTACTCGGCCGCTGATGCACTGACCGGCTTGAATCGCGCTGCACACACACTGTACTTGGCCTCTGCTTCTGGGCTAGCAACACGGAGCATGCCCCTGCTCTTGCACCAAGTCGCAGGTTCAGCACCTCACCCCACCCCAGCCAGGCTCAATCACTCTGACACGATCCGGGCACCGCTCACTTTCCACCTTCATGTCATCCTCCCAGGGCACAGGCCAAGGATCCACCGCCCGAGGCAGCGTGATGGCAGAGCTTGGCCTGGCCCAGGCGTCGGGATGCGTCCCATCGACCAGATTCAATATATACTGCGTGGCTCTGGTCCTGATGCATTGATGCGTCCTGTTCCTTCCCACCCATACACATCTGTGGTTGTATAATACACACCTACTATACCTAGGAACAAACTCCAACACAATCTTTGTCTGTGCTAGCCTAAACACCAAGTCTACTACATAGGCGCCTTCGTCTCTTACACCAACTTGCGTTTTACACCACCTATTGCCCACCATGGCTCACATAGCCAACTGCTTGGCCAACGGCGAGCTGAAGCCCTCATCGCCCGTCCCTACATCCTATTCTGTAAGTTGATAGGTTTGACAAGGTAAATAGAAAAGGTCAAAAGCTCATCATCGATAGCCTTCTCCGTCAAGATCTCCAGGCAATTTACCATTTTCTGCACGGATGATACCAGAACAGCAGCAACAACAAAGATATCAGCTCTTCCCAAAGGACAAGAAGCTCCCGCCCATTATCCAAGGCCGTCCCTCGGAAACTGAGCAGCAGATTGCAGCAGCTACCAAGTCGGAATTGCCTCCTCTCCCAAACAGCATCAGAGCGAGATTGAACCCTCACAACCTGGTGCGAAGAAGGAAGATCAGTGTCCCAGAACTCGGCCCAATGACCACAGTACAAGAGCTTGCCATGGATTCACCAACGATACCAGGTCGACCTGCCCTCCACGAGAGATCGAGCAGTGCTCCCGAGGACTCTAACATGAGCCGAGCTCATCCAGACCAGCTCTATGTGGACAGCATTGACACCCTCTATCAAGTTGTCGACGATGCCTTTGGCGTCTCAAATTTTGGTAGCAACCCTTCAAATCCTACCAGACGACTTGCACCCTTAGTAATCCCCCAGTCTACTACGGCTGCGCCTCCTGTACTACAGTCGAAACTCTCCAGCGGTCAACTGCGAACAGGCACTTCGCCTCCCATGGAATCACTACGCTCAGCTCGATTTGAGAGCTCGCCCCTCAACCCTGGACACTATACACCAGAACTACCACCCAAACTAGGAGCAGACTTCATCACCACACCAGTCTCGGCCTCCATCCTTGATCCACGAGGAGAGTTTGGCCAGCTTTGGGATCTCCCCGCGCCGCCAACGTCAAGATCTGAGGACGCCAGCCGGGTGGCATCACCATACGGACACGCCCGTGTACCTTCTGATTCTGGTAGCATCATGGACCGGGGCCGCCCTAGAAAGCGCGGAGAGAAAGCCAGCAATAGCCCTCTTTGGAAATGCCAAGATGTAGGCGAATCTTTCAATGTGGAGCGAAAGGCGTTTGAGGAACTGCCCAAGGGTACCACAGCGGCAACCGCCCCGGAGAAGCTCTCGCGAAAGGACTTGGCTGCATTGAAGAAGCAAGCCACATGCCAAGCTGAGAAGTTTGAAGTTCTTAAACTAAGCGACGTCGAGATGCTTTCCAAGGTAGGTCAAAGACACAGTGTGATATGCTGGTACGTTACATTTTGCTAATCTATATACACTAGGAACTACGACAATTAGATGATAGAACTGCCTATCTTCGCCGCACATACATGTCGCTTAGATCTGGACGCCGCAATCTCCATTCTCGCATCTGCCAGTATCTCAGGTCTACCAGTGCGCAGCGCTTCAGCCAGGAAGCCATGCTTAGGCAAGAAGAGGCTCTTGGCGAGCTAGACGCCTCTATTGATGAGTGGTTCAACAAGCTTGAGCAGGCCGAGAACCGCAGGATGCGTGTACGCCAAAAGCTTCTGGAGCATGTTGCCGCCGCCACACTTTTGCTGGATGAGACCACAGATGGAGCCTGCTGCATGCATGCCTCTCGGCCGCAGGATCTCAACACTCCACCCCGGAGCCCTGAACGCCACGGCAATGAATCACCCTGCTCGGAGCCCCAGACAGGCAGGGGGAGCCCTGAAAGCGACAACTTGCAGTCCCGATCTGGAAACAACACGCCGCCCCCTACAGCGGTTGTTGTCCCGCGGGTTCCCAGTACCATCCTTGAGCTGTGTGCCGACGAGCCTAATGCCATTGCCATTGCCAAGGAAGTCATGTCACCTACAAGTGTCTACTCCAACGACCGGAGGAGCGAGACCGAAAGCATCCGCATTTATGCTGGCAACGATTTACTTGCCCTTCTGACAGATGTGGAGAATGAAATTACCAGACTCAGCCGCAGCGCGGACAATACGAAGCCAGTGCTCCGCTCCGACTCAGTCATTGCACGGTACGCCAGAGGCATCACAAAGGCAAATGCTATGCTTAGCGGTGAGGCCCTTTCCAGCGCCAATGTACCTTCACTGCGCACTAGCGGCATTAAGAAGGATGGAGATGGCGACGTTACAAGTGCCACATCTACTCTCCCGGCACAACCCGAGCAGATTGTCGAGGAAGACGAAGACGACGCAGCGGATGAGCATAAGCCAGAAGCGGCAGAAGAGCAGCATCAGGAGGAGCCTGAGAAGCAAGAGGAGCCTGAGAAGCAGGAGGAGCCTGAGAAGCTGGAGGGGCCTCTGCAGCAGCAGCAGCCAGAGGAAGAGGAGGAAGAGGAGCTAATTTTTCTTACAGATGCCGTTTACAAGCCGTAAACTGGTACTCTATGCATAATGTTTATTGACCTACACTGCTTTTTTCACGAGGCGTATCGGCGAATATGCGGGCGCACGGACGGCGGATGACATTTATTGATACCCCCCAATTTTTCTTTCATAATTTCATATTAATTGACCACCTACCTGGATGGCAAAGCACAAGACCAATAATTTAATCTATCTTGCAAAAAACAAAAAAAAAAAAAAAAAAAAGAAACCCAACCTTGCGTGAATGCACTGTGAAAACTGGGGACCAGCATTTGTAAAGAAGGGCAGCACCGTTTCCTGAGACTGTCGAGCCAAACAAATACCAGACAATGCCCGGCCTAATCTGGCGCAACCTGAAACTCGCACATATACCGCCACTTGACATGCGGGGAGCGTTTGACACACGCCGTATCGCATCGGGCCTGACTGACCTTGAGGGAGTAAAAGAAAAAACAGAAGGCCGCTGGGAAACTTTTTAGTTTCACCCTCCTCCTCCTTCTGTAGATTAGCGGGCGGGCGGTTGTCCGCTATTCCATCGCATCACACGTTGTTCAATGCGCCCAGCCATGGCGAAATGTTCTAGAAACGCCATCCACTATAGCGCACCTATAGCACAGCTAAAAGCCGAGCTGTACTGTTATGCATGACGTCCGGCTTGGCACGAACTACTTGTGTAGGGCACATGTTTGCGCGACTGGCCAGCGTTTGCGGCCGCGGATAAAGCATAATCAGAACGAAGGAAGGCCGAGTTAACGGCGGGCGATTATAACGTAGAGTAGGTAAAGTAACGCAGAGTGATAATGTAGGGCCTTGCAAAGAAGAGCCGGCGCACGGACGTAGTTTTGCTAGATGCAGACAAGGAAGGTGTCGATCGCAAGTGTTGCTTGGACCTCTTGTTATAGAAATTGTCACAGGGGTGAGGAAGATCGGTGTGCTAGATGCTCAAAGTATATGGGAAAAGAAAGGAAACCGTTAGAAGCAGCAGGGGATGCTTCTCAGGGTCTTTGTATTATGAGACTATACGGGTTCTAAAATAGTGGTAGTAGTAGGCTAAATTGAACTGGTCTAGGCGAACCGGGCGCTGCAGGACGGGTTCAGCAGGAAATGAACGAGAAAAGGAAGCAGATGGGAAGTGTGAAGGGGGCTTTCTTGTTCTCTTTTTGCGGCTTTGGAGTCCGCATCATGGTGTTGTTCTATACATGGTTGGTGTTGTTGTTCATAAGTGTCGTCATAGAAGGGGGGTGTGTGTAAGTAGGAAGGAAATTGTGGTTTTGCGTAGTGCAAGCAAGGTGGTATAGAGGGAGAGATGTGTATGTAAGAGTAAGTTCCGGGTTTAGTGAGTGAGGACTTTGACGGCTTGCGAAATGAGGCCAAAGATGAGACCGCGCGCAACCTCTTCAATCTGCAGACAGTCAAAGACGCGGCCGAGGGCTTCGCCGGTGGCAGCCTGTCCCATGACTCCCATGAGAGCGGCAGGAACGCCACTCTTGATGAGGAGCTCCCGGGCGCGGATGGCAAGCTTCTCCTTCTCCTCAGCCGTCAGCTCTGCCGGCCACTCTGCCCGCTCGTCCTCCGTGGGCATGGCATTCTCCCGAATCTTCCTCAAGTGGGCCGCAATGCCGGCGTCTGAGGTGTGGGCGTCGAGCACCGATGTCTGAATGATCGACTGCACCGTGAGTAAGGAGGGGTTGCCGGGGCGGAGGAGGAACGACTTTGCGGCAGTTAGCAGCGTGCGGCGAATGTTCCACGCAGATGAGAGCGTGTACATCTCGTTGATGACTGCAAACAGAAGCTCGACCGCCACGCGCGTTTCACCCTCCGTCATTTGCGAATGCGATTTCGTCGACTTGGGTGCGGGCGCCTTGGCGGAGGGCGTGGCTTGCGCGGACGTTGACGTCTGAGGCGACCTAAGAAGCTCTTCGCCAATGGTGACGGGCTGCGAGGCCGCCGCACCGCCGGGCGACTCATAGTCGTCGGGGATCTCGTCAGGTGGAGGAGGTAGTCTAATGTGGTCCAGGCTAACGGCGGACGGTGAACGAACAGGCGCGAGACTCGACGCTCGACTGTGCTCCCTACTAGGTCGCGCACTTACGGATGCCGATGCCACGGATCCCATGCGTTCAGATCGGCCCATCCGCATTCCGCCTTCACCCTCATTGTCGCTTTGGAAGAGGAAGCTTCCCCTTCGCTCCATGGGTGGCATCTTGCCAGGCTGTGTCGAGATGACAGATGAGCGCTGGCTGTCCATACTCGTGCGCTCCGACCTCGCAGGCGAGGATCTCAGAATATCTCCACGCCCAGGTGTTGACAGCGAGAGCCGGCTGGCCGCTGGGCTGAGATCGACAGATTGGCTGGCAACAGGCTTGCGCGCAATGCCCGGGAAGTTTCCGAAGACACCAGTAACACCCCCAACAAGTGTCTTGCCACCCTCCATGGCGCCTTTAGGGGCGTTTGATAAGACGTCGAGCATGTTCTTGCCCACAGTGTCCCAGGCAAAAGACTTGGATGCGCCGTGTGTATGGCCCTGAGACTTTTCCAAGAACCGCTTCATACCCTCACTTTCCGCCAAGGATTGGTACCAGCAGGCGTCGCGGAGGTAGCGCTCCAGCTCTCCACGAAGCGACTCACGTACGTGTACCTTCCAGCTAGGCAGCTCCTTGTGAAGCTCAGTGAAAGCAGTTGCACCGGAAACGGTGGCGATGCGGCGCAAAATCTCGTGTAGAGTCTCAAAGTCCGAATAACGTCGAACAATCATCCAGCCAGGATAATCAGACGAGGACGGTTCCACTTGAATCAAATAGTCCCAGTTCGGTTTGCTCTTGATGCGAGCATCGTCAGTAGAGCTATCATCATGGATAGTGAATGATGCATTGTGTAATGTAAGGGGAGCCTTTCGGGGCATGTCCTCCTCGAGAGGCTCGCTATCTGGGGTAGGGGGCACCAGCTGTTCGAAGCTTGTAAACGGCTTTTTATGTTGTTGTGGCGACGTTGATTCTTGACTTGCTGAATCCATTGTGGACGATCGAGGCGTAGCAGGAGTAAAGACAGGATCATTGCGACTGGCAGCACCATCAGTGGACGTGCTCATTGCCGAAGATCGCTCATCCATAGTCATGGACCGTTCATGTCCTCTCCATGATGGCTGGCTGATGGGTTCCTCGCCAATGCTAGGGATTTCCAGGCTGCGGTTTGCTCTTTCAGAGTCAGCAACATGAACGGATCCGCGAGAGTCAACAGTCGGCAGGCCACCCGTGCGCTTGAGCTCGCTGATGGCCTCTTCTATTTCTTCGTCTGCTTTGCTTAGCTTCTTTCTATGAGCAAGCGATTCCTTGCGTCGGCCACGCTCATATTCGCCCGAAAATCTTCCAGGCTTTGCAATGCCTACGTTGCCCATGTTGCCGTCGAGATCGAACAAGATGTTATTGCTAGAATCGGGACCGGTCTGCATGCCAACATCGATTGCCTGGTTCAAATCAGGCTCACCTGCCTCAAGCAGATATACGATCCAGCCGTTGATCCACTCGGGCTTGCTGCAGATTTGTAGCGTCGACTCAAGGACGGTGTTGGCAAGGATCTCACGCAAGAAGATGCGCGCTGGGTCGCAATCATAGGCGCTCGGCTCGAGAAACGAGAGCAAGTCCTCAGCAACCATACGGAACTTGGCTGCCTGTTGTCGCTGGTTCAAAAGCGTGTTGAGGCGCGATTCGGGATTGGAGGCTAGATAATTGTATACGACGTCGACGGCTGTCATAGAGGTCTCGGGAGGCACGTCGGCAAATGCGCCCGCTAATTCGGACATGAAGGCGATGGCGATGGAAGAAGAGTTGGTCAATAGGTCGAGGAAGGCATCTGCCGGCCGTTTCTTGCACATGCGATTGGAGATGGCCAGAATATAAGCGGTCAGGCCTTTGCGACAAGCCAGCGGAAACGAGTGGTCGGTTGGGATAATGGGGCTATACCACCATTTAATATAATCGCGGATAACTGCGTCGAGGAGTCCAGTTACAGCTTCTTTTGTTTCTGGGCCAAAGTCATCAAAGCTCTTAAGGGCAGCATCCTCATCAGCAGCTTCCTCGGCCTTGCCAGCAAGGGCTCGTGAGCTATCGAGGTCGGCCCAGAGGCGCTCCAACACATCGGGACCCTTTTCGCCTTTGACTGCTCGTGCGATTTCGGGATTTCTGCCTTCCCAGATGATGAAGGAGATAACACCGCCAACTGCGCCAACTACAACGAGGCCAAATTGGCCAAGCACTGCGTATGTGACGCCCGCAAAACCAACCGCTATCGCCGCCAGCGTGGTTGGGGTTACTGTGGAAAGAAATTGAAGGAGGCGACTTGAAACTGTCGTAGAAGCAGCTGTATCGTTTACGTCTTTTAGGAGCGGTTTTGTGATATCCGTGGCTTCCATGGCGCTTTCCTGCTCGTCGTCACTGGCGTCGTCGTGTTCGGCAGCCTCGTCTGTAGAGGCCACCAAAGCCGGTTCAGACGTTTTTTCTAGTTCTGTATGGAATATATCAGCGGCTCGCGACGGCTCGCTTGGTTTTTGTCGAATTGTATCTTTTCCGTCACCGTCAAAATCAACGGGCGGGATGTCGGGAGCGTCGGCCATTTTTTTGGTGGTGGAGGGGGTTGCCGCCACGCGAAGCTAGCTTGGGGCTGTTGTAAATGCGCGACGTCGTAGCTTGGCTATTCGAAGGCTGGGACCATAACCAAGAAAAACGATAGAAGTAATATGGAAAAGGGCGATCAAACGAAGGGACGATCGTGCGCAAAGCGGGAGCAAGATGGAGAAGAAACAAGGAGAAGCGTCGGCGCAAGCAGCCAGAGCGGAACTCCTTATCGAGAAGAAGGCTTTGAGATTGCGTAGTACTGGACAAATTGAATGGGTCTAATTTTAGTGGCAGATTTGATCCGTAGCGACTGATGTCAGGGGCGTCGAGGCGAAGCAGGGCTTGCGCGGGCAGACCACCCCACCAGCCTTTGCAAAGTATCAACGCTAGCAATGAACGCCGCTACTGTACCCGGCCAGGGGAGCTAGCATGCCCCTGGAGCTAAGGAAGCTGATGCTGCCCGTTGGTGCTTTGGCGGGTCGGGGGGCAAAGTGAAACTTTGGAACTGCTTTTCGATCGTGGGAAGCCCAGCTGAGTCAGGCTCTGGTATGCGTGTGCTGGAATCGAGAGCGAATCAGAAGGCGATATTACAACTGGCAGAGAAATGCAGCGCTCAAAGCCTGATAAATAAGAAAGAAAAACAGGCTAAATGCTATGTCTAAGTCCTACAACACGCCATGGCATCGTTCCACGTTGCAAGTGTCAAAGCAGCAAGTGGCAATGCGCTTGCTCGGCCTCGTCACGTGTGCTGGTGACAGATGCGCTGATCGCCAAGGCGCGCGCCGCGTTGCAACCCGCTGCGAGTCGCGTCTCACTTGCGCCTCAAAAGCTGCAAGTTCCTGTCCCTTTTATTTTTTCTAACAGAAAAAAAAGAGGTGGCAGGGAATTTGATGCGGACAGCGCCCGAGAAGCAGCTTTGTCAACCTACAAGAGCTCTAGCAATAGTCAGCCAACGATCCTGAACCACGCAGGCTATGTACGGTACAGTGAAGTTATAGCAGGCAATAGAATACCATTCAACCTTAACCATGCTGCAACAAACCCAAATGCACCCAATTTGAATATTGGTCAAAATTAGGCCGCCTGAGCTATTTCTGGCTTTAAATTGTAGTTATCCTCTTGATATATAAAATACGCTCGCGGCTGCCCTTCTGCGTTCATGTATCTGGCAGCCATAGAAGCTCTAGAGGCCCCTATTTGGGGCAAATTGGTATAGCTTCAGATATCATTCACAAGGCCAGGTAGTTGGTAAAGTAAACCGGTGTATCGGTGTAATATTCATAATATTATTAGATTGATAAAGAAGACAAATGCCACAGCACAAGGCATCTAACTGGTGCTTGTAGGGACAGACATTTCTGCCCTTTTGGTAGGCGTTAAGGATATACTGGGCAGCCAGTCGCGCGACAACCCCACCACTCTCACTTCACTTCACACCAGCCATATCGCGTCCAGGAACACGGCAACATCAGCAGCTCAACTTCACCTGTATCAACAAACACACTATAATCATCATGACAGAGCACTCCAAGAAGCGCCGTGCAAGCACCGAGGATGATAGCGACGGCGGTGTGCCTCACAAAACATCCAAGAAGACCAAGAACGTAGCAGCTGCCGCTGCGCCAGCGGGCAAAGATGATGAAGGAAACCCATTCTGGGATGTGAGTTTATTTTTGTGACACAATTGCTGCCTCGACAAGGTCTAACTGCCCTCAAGTTATCCAACAAGCGCCGCGTTGGAGTCTCACAGTTCAAAAACATGTGCCTAATCAACATTCGAGAATACTACGAAAAGGACGGCAAGCTGCTTCCTGGTAAAAAGGTATTTATTCCAATATAAGATTCATAAAACCCAACCAAGCTAATCACAACTCCAGGGCATCTCACTATCTCTTGAGCAATACACAACACTGGTCAGGGCCATTCCCGGAATCAATGCCCACCTACGCTCCCTCGGTCAACTCGCCAATACCAGCGACGACGTGGACGACGACGATGCGGCGGCCTCAAAACCTTCCAGAAAAGCCAAAACCAAAGCTGAAAAGGCAAACATTGACGCAACAAGCGACGAAGAAGAGGATGACGATTAAGTGTCAGCCGCAAATCGCGACTGTCACTTCTGTACAGTATTTTCACAAACAATCTAGCACATGGCCTTGCCGACAAAATGGTTGTAACCCAATAGCAATTCTAATATATATATCTCAATATATGGATACAAATCTTTCCAAAAACTCCAGAAAATGCTTTCATGCGTCCATCCACGCTATCTTGAGACCGGCTCAATACAATCTAATGCTCAGACAAATAGGAAAAAGAGACAAGTTTTTGTACAGCGAGCAACGGGTTTACTCGAAGCCGCGAGCGCAAGGAGGGCATCCAGCAGGACGAGCCTTTTGCTTCTTGGGAGCAGCACCGGCACCGGGGCCTCCTACATCGGGGAAGCCGCAGCCACGCTTGCCGGCAGCATTGCCGACAGCAGGGCCGGAGCAGACGGCGCCATCACCAAGACCGGCACAGCAGCCAGACGCGCAGTCAGCGTTGCTCAAGCAAGCACCAGTGATGAACTGCTTTCCCTTGCCGTTTCCAACGTTGGCGGCGCCAGCAGGGTCGCCGACAGCAAAGGCAGTGACGGCAACTTATGCGAGGTGTTAGTCGGCGCTCTGGCTGGACGAAGTGTGAAACTTACAGGCGATGACGGTGGCGATAGCAATGCGGACCATTTTTGCGGTTGAGGTGATTAAAAAGGGTGGTTTGGAGTTTGGTTTGTTGTTTAGATGAATTGTTTGGATTGTTGGTGATGATGAGACGGATGAATAGGACAGGATCTCAGGCTTCCTTTATACAAACACAACGTTCATCCCAGCATAGCGCTGAGAACCGCCAAAATACTAGTCGAAACTTTTCCTTAGCAGTCTTCCTTATGAAACGAGTCTGCCTGCCTTCCTTCATCTCGCCTCAAGTGTCTCCCGGTTCCAGGTGCTGCTGCCATGCGTGTAAGCCACGGCCCAGCGAGATGACCCCAGGGGATGCCCCCAATGCGAGGATCCCTCTGGAGGATCCACGTTGCTACACATTAGTTGGTTTCGATTTACAGCTAGGTTTCCTTGTTATTTTTTCCCGAGCTGCGTTTGTCTGCCCCTGCGTGGCTGGCGTGGTTGCGTTTTGAGACGGTTTCCGCTGCAAGCCCCGAGTTTCATCTTCGGATCCGCAGGTTTCGGCCCCTCGGCCAGCACCACCTAATCGGGATGAGACGAGCTTAGCATAATGGATTATGCTGAATTTCCAGGGCGGCAAGCTACGCAGACGGGTATATAGGAAACAAAACTTTATGGTGTCTCGACTAGATGCTTTAGTTGGGGGTCAATTCAGTTTGCAAAATAAGAGCAACGTTGCGCTTGTTGGACATAGCTTGCGGTATGAGACGTATGAAGGAGCTTCTGCTGAGTTTTGCGCCCTATAATACCAAATGTTAAAGCACGGCATTATGAGTCTGTAAGAGAAGGTTTGTGTTAATTTAGAAGGGTATCTATCCAAGAGTGCTTGATCCTGCAAGCATCGGCGCCTATGAAGACACACTTTGAGAATCTACCATCCATCACCCCAAGCGTCATCCTCGTCTTCTGCCGCAGCTTTAGGTGCCAAGTCAATCTTCTTTGCTGGTGCTGCTTTTGCGGCGGGTTTAGAGACAGGCTTTACTACAGGCTTCTTTGCGGTCGTTGGTTTTGACAGGCCCTTGGGCAGCGTTTTGGCAAGTCCGCTCTTTTTCTGGCTTTGCGCTGCCAACCATCCAGCAAAATCGGGTTCGCTGTCATCGAAAGGTGTGGCTGAAGCCGTGGCTTTCGGCGCGGCTGCCGAAACAGACTTCTCTTGAGATGTCTCGCCAAAGCCGTCGTCATCTTCATTCAGATCGCCCCAGTAATCATCACCATTATCGGCATTGTCATCTTGCCAGAACGCGTCGGCTACAGCGCTTGCGCTTGGAGAGCTGACGTTGGATGCCTCCGGGTTTGGCGATTTCAGGACTTGGCGATGCATCGGCGATGCTGTTCCGGCAGTCGACTTCCTTGGTTCCATCGCAGGTGAAGGAGACATGGCAGGCGAAGTGGCCGCGGCGGCTGCCGCAGGTTGCATCTCGCCGGCTGCGCTAGAGATTTTGTTTGTAAATGACGAAATGGCCCATCCGGTCCAGCCTTGACCTCCGCCGCTTGGTTGAGGTGTACCCATGCGGGCTGCGGGAGCGTCTTCGCCAGTAGGTGGAGGCAAAGCTGTGTCCGGCATCGACGCTGCTGCTTTTCGAATCTTTTGAAGATATGCATCCACTGAACGACTTGCTTGGTCACGAATCATCTTCTCCTTATCAATAAGGAGGGGAGAGATGGCGGGAATGATACGAGCTGCGCAGTCCTCCTCGGTAAAGTATTCGGTAGTAGCTGCCAGGGCCATGAGAGCTGCATTTCTGGCGTGAACGAAAGGGTCCCGTAGGGATCTAGAAAAGGCAGCAATGAGCACCTTAGCTCGCGATGATGTTCCTAGATGCTTTGCAATCTTTCCTAGACAGATGGTCGTATTTGTTCTAATTCCAGGCTGTTCGTCGTTGGCGGTCTTTGCAAGGTGCTTTAGCAGTTCACCATTGATTGTTCGGTCTGACAGCTTCGTAACAATAGTAAGAACAGATTTCAGGGTCTGTTCTCGGACAATGGGGGCCATATCTGTAAATCCAGTTACCTATTCTCTGAGTTAGCATAGACGTAATGCAGTATTTTTTGGGATACTTACCAGCTGGGGAAAGATCTTGTCATTGACAATCTTTTGTGGTAGGCGATCAATCATATTTGGCAGGCTATCCAGCAAGGCCACACGGATAGCACGATCAGGGTTGCCAAACGCCCTGACAATGAACGGGATCATCCTTGACTCGAAATCATCGCTAGGCAACTTGGAGGCGATTTTTAATGTCACGCCAATTGCCTTAGGACCACCGCCGCCGAATTCCACAGATTTCATAAGCTCAGGCAAGACCTTCATCTTGAAGAATTCCTCGGGGAAATCGTCGCTGACTTGATCGAGGCCTCTGGTGTCTGTTAGCAGGGTATTTGTAGGCATTGAGTGTTGCTTGCTTACTCTAGGAATTGTTCTCTTTCTCCGTCAGTTTTAATACCAAGATTATCAATGCCTTCCGTTAACTTGATTAAGGGGGTATCGAAGAATGCGCCGGTTCTGTTTCCTTGGTCAAGGAAAGCAGAGACAGTAATTCTAGCTTTGGGATTGGCGTTGCATAATCGCTTGTAGCTGGCTTGCATCGATGGAGGAATATTCTTAGTTTGGCCAGCCTGATCTCTGCCGGTGTAGTCGCCGTTGAATACTTCAAATATCAGAGTACCAAGGTTGAATGCGTCCACTGCTGTATGCGGGTTCTTCTTAACCACTTCCCAGCCGCCCTGAAGGACCTCTGGCGGCGAGTACCGGGCCGAATCAGGCACTAAGCTGCCGTATGTCTACTAGGATTAGACTTGTAGACGACAACCAAAGCGATACAACTTACGTAGATTATTGATTCATCATCTTTGACGCTGCTGAGAACATCGAAACCGCCGAGCTTCCATTCTCCGCTTTCAGACGTATAAATAGATCCGACCTTGATACTTCCGTGGATAGACGAGGCGTCGCTATTGATAAATTTGATAGTCCTCTACGGTCCAACTTAGTAAAGGCCTAAAAGCAGAAGGTGGCTACTCTTAGCTCTTACAGCAATGCTATTCAGACCCCATTTAATCGTTTCAGGAGTGAGGCTCTGTCGGCGAACGTGCCATCGAAGAGGCACAACTCGTTCGGTCGCCACATAGATGTAGGTTTCGGTCTATAGGTGGCCGCCATTAGCTGTGAATCCGCATAATTCTGTTATAATAGTGTGTACCTCTACTGTATCCAGGATTTTGATGGCGCCGGGGTGTCGAAGGGTGCGCATTTTCTTGAGAGCATTGCGAGCGAGGGGTAGCTTTCCACCGCGGTTTGCGGCTACGTCGAACGAGAAGATGCTGCAGTTTGAGCCGTCCTCCTATATAGGTTTGCGGTTAGATACAATCTCCAACTCTGTTCTTTCCGCTACCTACTCTTCTTGTGCCATTATAAAGCGTCCAAATAGATTCGTCCACGTCGACCTGATCGCCAAAACTGTACGGGAAGGGCGGGCCCGAAGCCATAGCCGAGGCCACAGCAGACTTGAGAAAGTCCATGATTTCGATTGCTTGAGGAGGATTTCGTTTTCTATCGGCTGCAATGGGTCGTTTCGCGCGCAGCTCCCCGAGGAAACACAGGCTTGGTGCAGTTTGCGTGGGTTGCCGTCCGTGACGTTGGATTCCAGGCTACTGCCCCGCGCTAACACGTGTCTGTTATAGTGGGCTGTTGCGGGTGCACGCGCCTGCGGACAGCCACAGTGGGCGACGGAAGCGAAAGCGTCACTCCTAAGCTTCGACCTTTCATCAACCGACCAGGGTCAACAAGTAGCGCAAACCTTTGCAATGGCGGGCCGCAATTCCCTGATGTGCATGAGGCGGCGTCCCAGGACGGTGAATTGCATCTTTTCCAAAGAGGCAAGGCAAACGAAATGAAGGGGGCAACAAGGGCCAACAACCAAAACACCATACACATCCTCAACATTTGCGAGCACGGAAAAAAAAGTCATGGCTACCCTGCACCAAAAATTTCAACTCTACCCTGGATTAGATTTCCAACGGTACCGAAAAGATCGTCTGGAAAGCTCTGTTCCTCAATTATCGATTTGTCTTCCTGAGATATTTTATCGAGGTTAGCACTGTGAGCGGCCAGCACAGCAAGGGCGGCTTTCCGTCTAGCTGGGCAACCCCTATGGCAGCTAAGTAAGTCAGACACCTATCAACAACAACACCAACACACAATCAATGCCTTTAGAATGATGCCCAATGGTAAAAGGTCTGACCCAGTGAACTCTCCGGGTTCGATCAGTATGACACTGTTCAGGTTGGCTCTTCGCGTCGTCGAAAGACGTCGGAGCATCATGCGAGGGTAGCAGGTTTGACTTCATCCCCGTTGATTTTGAACCATGACGGGAGATTTTTGTCCCCCTGCCCTGCAAACAATACGCTAGATCGCATATTTGGAGTATCAATCTTTTATCAAATGAGATTGGGACCAAAGGCAGCGACCGACAGCCTCCCGACACACGTGTTGCCCGATCAGAACCGTTGAAGCCTGGGACTTGACGACAGTATATAAGAAACTGAAAAGATCTGACTTTAAAGCTTTCCTCTTCAACATTTCAATCAATAGCTATTCAAACATGTCCACTGACGGAGAGTTGCAGGCTCGAGCGGATTGTCATTGACCTGGAAGCGCCAGCTTCGCCAGCGCCTACCCCAAGCCCAGGAACCCGGTACTCTCCGATCAAGATCGACGACGACGACGAAGAAGAAGAGGAAACGAATACAAAGAGTGAATGGGAAGATGGTAGCCAGACAGAGCCGGCGCTAGTGCGCTCCAGTTCCGCTTCTACTCTGCCTAGTTCTCCAGAGATTTACGAACCAGAGGATCTTGAGCTACCAAGGTGCAAAGAGGCTGTTGGATTGTTGTTGGCTTTTGTGCAAAGCTCAACGGGAAAGATTCATGATCTTCAGAAGATATTTCGGCCCATTTTGCATAAGCATTATGGCTCGGCGCAGTGTCCTATAGTATTATTGGACGACGATAACAACCATCAGGGTGTGACGCAATCCGACGCTGATGGTTCTAACATACACCTGCCGAAGTCGAACGAAGCCCAAGACCTATTCATGAAACTTGTGTTTGCCGACGTCGAGGAAATCAAGCAACTTAAAAAATTAGCACCCTTGTTACCTGATCCATCCGGGCTGCAATTGCCACCGTTGACGTTGCCGTTACCAAGGCCCGTCACGAAGGTGTCAGCAAAGAATACTCTGAATCGAAGCCCAACACAGAGGCCATTGACAGAGTCAATCTCTCCAAAAAACCCAACAATGGCTGGCCGACCTCATTCACGAGCAGCTGGTAATGCATCTAGACGTGTTAGCGATAGTCGAGTCACGCGAGCTCAACGCAGGCCGGCCGTTTTACAGTCGGCTATTAGCACCATATCTAGTAGCAGCGCATCAAGTAGCATAGGAGACATCTCGTACAGTGAATCGCGAGATCTACCATCTCGCGAGGACATGTTTCGAAACAATCGCCGCGTGAATCTGTCCAGTCTAGATGACATTCTAGGGGGCATGCTCACAAGAAACAGAGCCGCTCGGGAGAGTACCAGGGCCACCAAGCAAAAAGACATGGCGAGAATTACGAGATTGGGGGATCAAAGTGTAGCAGATTGGACTCCATCTGCGGCGAGATTGTTGGTATGGTCTAATCAGATAGATCACGCGTGGAATGGTGTTTCACCAGCGGAGGACGCATCAAATTAGGCGTTACAAATCCAGAATAGAGGCGGGCTGGTTAAAAGTTAATATATTTCTGGTATTCTGTCCCTTCCAACGATGAAAGACTACTTTTGAAAAACACACGTATAAAATAAACAATACATGGAAAGCAAGGGTAGCTAGCTTAGCCAGCTGGCTTTGCGACAACTACTGGTCTAAACAAGCCCGAAACGACGCCTTTCAAAAACACAACACCCAATGCGCTTAGACGCCCTTGGAGAGCAGATTCAAAGCGCTACCGGCAAGGATAAAGCCAGCCTGGTCCTTGCTGATGACGTGCTTGGTGGGAATGAGAACCTCCTCGCCGCTCGCCTTCTTGACACAGAGCTGGACATCACCCTTACCGCCGTTGCGCAGCATTTCATAGAGACCAACAGTGCTGACCTCGTCGCCAGCAGCAATCTTGTCGTAGTCAGCCTCGTTGGCAAAAGTCAAGGGCACAACACCCTGCTTCTTGAGGTTGGTCTCGTGAATACGAGCAAACGACTTGGTCAAGACAACACGGGCACCGAGATAACGGGGCTGCAGGGCAGCGTGCTCACGAGCAGAGCCTTCACCGTAGTTGTGCTCAGCAACAACAAGCCACTCCTGGCCGCGCTCCTTCCAGGCTGCAGCCAGGTCGGGGATGGTGTGCTTGGAGCCGTCGAGATCGTAGGCGGCGTTCACCTCGCCCGTCTCGGCATTGATGGCAGTGTTGAGCGTGTTGGTGCTAATATTGGGCAGATGGCCCTTGTACTTGAGCCAGGGGCCAGCAGCGGAGATGGTGTCGGTGGTGCACTTGCCAGTGACCTTGACGAGGACGCGGAGGCCGCTCAGGTCAGACTCGGGGAATGACGAGAAGGGCTCAAGCAGAGCGAGGCGCTCCGATGACGGCGAAATGGCAACCTTGATGCTGGGGTCGGCCTGCTGAGAGAGAACACCGAGCGACTGGACACCCGATTCGAAGGGTGTCTTGGGACCTTCGAGACCATGGGGAGGCGAGAACTTGAAGTCCTTGCCGCTGGGCGTCTTGATGGTGTCGGTGGCCGGGTTGAAGGTGGTGGAGCCGGCAAAGGCCATGGCGGTAACAACCTCAGGCGAAGCCAGGAAGTTCATGGTCTCGGGGTTGCCGTCGTTGCGGCCGCGGAAGTTGCGATTGTACGAGGACAGAATGGCATTGCTTGTGCCCTTTTGCACGCCGTCCTGACGCTTCCACTGGCCGATGCAAGGACCGCAGGCGTTGGACAGGAGAATGCCACCAGCACCCTCGAACGTCTCGAGGGTGCCGTCGCGCTCAAGCGTAGCGCGGATCTGCTCACTGCCGGGTGTGATGTAGAAGTCGGCAGCGGGCTTGAGGCCAGCTTCAGCTGCCTCCTTGAGCAAGCTCTCTACTCTGGTCATGTCTTCATACGAACTGTTGGTGCAGCTGCCAATGAGACCGGCAGACAGAGCCTCGGGCCACTTTTGCTCCCTGACGACGTCCTTGAACTTGGATAGCGGTGTGGACAGGTCCGGTGTGAACGGTCCGTTGATGTGAGGCTCGAGCTCGGACAGGTTGATGGTGATGCGCTGGTCGTACTCAGCACCCTCGTCGGCACGGAAGCGGAACTGGGAGTCAGGGCTGGAGGCGTTGTTGGGGAAGTTCTCAAGGCTCTTGATGTTGGCAACGGCCTGCTCACGGCGAGTCGCGGCCAGGTAGCGTGCAGACGCATCTGTGTACGGGAAGATGGAGGTCGTGGCGCCAACCTCGGCACCCATGTTGGTAATGGTAGCCATACCTGTGCAGCTGAGCGTGTCGACACCGGGGCCAAAGTACTCAATGATGGAGCCAGTGCCACCACGGACGGTGAGCTCGCCAGCTAAGCGCAGGATAATATCCTTGGGAGACGCCCAACCGTTGAGCTTACCGGTGAGCTCAACACCGAGAATCTTAGGCGCCTTGAGCTCCCACGGAGCTCCAACAAGAGCCTCGACAGCATCAGCACCGCCTACACCAATGGTAACAGTGCAGAGACCACCAGCGTTGGGGCTGTGAGAGTCAGTGCCGAGCATCATGAGGCCAGGCAGGGCGTAGTTCTCCAAGACAGTCTGGTGGATGATACCAGCGCCAGGTGGCCAAAAGTCCATGCCGTACTTGCGGGCAGCAGACTCCAAAAACTCAAACACCTCCTTGTTGGTCTGGATACCCTCGCTCAAGTCGTCCTGGGCGCCCTTGGATCCGACAATCAGATGGTCGCAGTGGATGCTGGCGGGGATAGCCGGGCGCTCCAAGTTGCACGACATGAACTGAAGCAGGGCCATTTGCGCAGAGGCATCCTGCATGTTGACTCGGTCGGGGTTGAGGCGCAAGTTGGCCTTGCCGCGAATGTTGCGGCCATTCTCGGTGCCGGTGAGTAGTGACTCCTCGACGTTGTGCAAGTGGCTGTAGAGGATCTTCTCGGCGAGCGTGAGGCGCTGCTTACCCAGAACCTTGCGGACCTCGGTGTACTTGTTGAAGAGCTTCTCGTAGGTTGGCGGCAGTGGGCTGCTGGTAGAATAGTTTCGTGAGGCAGCAGCAGCACAAATTGAGCGCTGTAGAGGGCCGATGCCGGAGCAGCTGCGACGAAGCATTGCCTTGCGAGCAGCGTTAGGGGCATTGTCTAGAATAAATAAATAATATTTTGAGACGAATGACTTACGTTGACGGCGCTTCCTGAGCGTCCAGCAGTAGCAATTCGCGACATTGCAGATGAATTGGCGTGGTGTTTGGTTTGACAGGTGAAGGTGTGACTCGGCAGTTTTTAGGTGGGGATGTGCCAGCCGGTGGTGTTTTTGCAAATGCTGCGCTGCTGATTGGGTTTTCCGCTTCAAGCACGTGTGGAGCCGCCGAATTTGGGTGCTGACAGCTATTGTGGGCGGTGATAAGGCGCTGTACTGCAACGCTAGCGCTTGGGAAGGGGAGGGGCTCTGCGCTTCTTCGCCGTAATAGGTAGGTATTTTTACAATACATGGAAGTATGGAACAATCACGAAATAAAAAGACAAAAAATGTTGTGATGGCGCCAGTGGCATCTAGGTAATATTGAAATTAAGGAAATAAGAAAGTAAACAGAAAAGACAGAAGATGACAGCGACGCAAGCCCTGCGTCAATACAGCGAAAAATGCTTTACACCTTTGCAAACCCGTGGGCCTCCCAAAAACACGCCTTAAAACAGTTGGTTTTTTCCTTCCTTCTTTTTTTCTCGTCTTCCAGCTTAATATACAAACAACCCATCTGCCTCGGACAGCCAGAGAGCAGCCAGGTCCTCTGCTAGGCCGAAGCGCAGCTTGCGAAGGACATCCTCGCTCTTGGTCGTGGCCTTCCATGACTTACGCCAATCCCAACCACGCGTGACTTTGCCGGCTGTTGCAACAGACTTGCTGATGTGGCTCGCAAGCATTGTGTTGCCTGTCATCATGTATCCGCCGGCAGTTGACTTGCGCATCAGGTCTGCTGGGGTAGATCCCTTGAGGCCCTGGCCCGACGACAGCACGAGGTTGAAGAACTCGTCACATGCTTCGTAGACTCGCGATCCTACAGTCTGAATATCCTCCACTGCCTTGAGAATGACATCCATTTGGCTCAGAGAGACGACGGCTGGTGTCTGGCTGATAAAATATGTGGCTTCGCCAAGCAGCGCCAAAAGGAAGTCTTCGCTGACGACAGCATCGCGTGTGTCGTCGTACAGGCCGCCACGGATGTTATCGTCAGAGCTGGCAATGACAGCAACCAGGGCTGTCATAGCTTCTCGCTTCAATGACAATGCCTTGCCTGCAGACATGCCGCCGTCAGAGTACTGATCGCGAAGCTCGTAAAACTTTCGAAGTGTCGCATAGCCACTAAGCATGCGGCCGAGAAGTTGAGCAGCTTCCAAGTCTTGCTCGGCTCTGTGCTCCAGAGTCTCGGAACGTTTGCGAAGAAGGTCCTTCAAGTCAGGATCGAGCTCGTTCTCTGGTGGGTATGGTGTCGATTGAACAAGTGAGTAGGATGTCAGGAGGTTTAGAACTTCGCGGACCCTATCGGTGCGATGAGACAAGGCAAAGTACCAGAGAGCCTCTCCGTATCTATGAGACTCCTTGGATAGGATATCAGCGAAGGTCTCGGCGGTTTCCTCGGCAAAAGCAATCATGCCAAGCTCGTTCAAAATGTGCCACATCTTGTTGACCGTTCGGCTTGAGTTTTCGTCTAGTGTTGCAAGCAAGTCTCTCAATAACTCGCCAACAGTTTCCTCTGACTTCTCGGGAAGATCCATTCTGCCAAGCACTTGAATGGCAACCTCCCAACCATCTTGCTGTGGCGACATAGGGTCAATGCCAGCTAATTCTCTGGCATACAAAACCAATGTAGTGTCTTTGATGCCTTCGTTTTCATCTGCAGAGGGGCCAGAAATACCAAGCAGAGCAAGATCATCGAGATCCAGGCTGTCGCTGGGCATGGCTGTGGGTGCATCTGGTGGAGGAAGCCATTCGCCGAGGGCCGCAATCTCTGCCACAGAGCATGCAATAGGTAGTGACCAGGTGCGGAGGATTCCGATGACGGCGTTCATGTTTCCTTCAAATACAGAAGCAATAGCTACCTCTACAGGGTTCATAACGTTGGGGTTAAGATCGGCTTTGATGACCTGGTAGAAGGCTGTGCCTAAGCGCTGCAGGTAATCATCAGAGGCACCGAAACGGGACGATGAGAGGTTGTTGCGAGACCGCGAAAGACGTAGCTGGTTTCGTCGCTGGCTGTTGTCGTTCCACCAACCGAAAAGACCAATGGTCGCTTCGCACCAATCTTGGGCCGTGTCAAGGATTGCCTTTTGATCTCCCAGAATAATGCCGTAGGTCAACTGCAGATTCTCATAAATGTCCCAAGGAATTTGGCTCGAGGCTTTGCGAGCCATGGTTGACATGGACTGCACTCTTGGCGCAAAGTCGTCCTCCATCGAATCATCAAGCTGAATCTCGTGGCCTTCAGCAAAGAGAGCGAGTTTGTCTAGTGAGCCTTGGGCCCTAACGCGGAACAATGTCCAGGCACTGTTCCAAATATCCCAGTCCATGTTGGCTCCAGGGCATTGATCTAGAACATCACAGGTTGCATTTGCGAATCGTCGAACGTTGTCAAGCGCTTTGCCGACATATGCCTTGTCGCCACGAGCCGACTTACGGACGTGCTCCCAGCCGGCATTGCGCAGCAATTGCGATGCGCCCTTGACGTCACCGCGTAACAGAGCGTTTCGGAGAGTGAGCCAAAACATTTGGTGGCATGCTGGGCTAGGCTTATATCGGTTAATTTCTCGTAGCTGGTCTGGGTAAAGGTTGTGACTGTTTTGCATCCATTCAAACATAACCTCAGGTAGAGGAGGCGCCTTCTCGCCGTCTTGTGTAGTGTCGGCTCTGGTGTGGTGCATGCGGAGGACCAAGTGGGCAATATACGCAGCCTTTTCGAACGGTTCGGCCTGGGAGCTGGGACCAATGGAGGCATCGTCCTCGCCTTCAGGTTGTGGTAAGCTCTCCACGTACTCGTCCCACAGCCCAACGAGGTTGGATGCGATATTGGCCAACGAGTTATCCATCTTTTCAACGTTGTCTTCCGTTCCAACTCCTTCATTGTAGAGGCGGCAAACGAGGCTTTCGGTCTTGAGGATCAGCTCGGGTGGTTCGGTAAGTCGGGCAACGTCCTGTGTTGTGTAGGCGTCTTTGGCGATGGTCGCAAAGTGGAAGTGTTGAGCTTTGATGGAGTTGCCGAATCGCATAGACGATCGTCGATATATCTCTTCTGCCTCTTTTCGAACTCTGTCTGTTGCTGCCGGCGTGTTGAGCACCATGAGATCGGATTCGTCGCCAATGATGGGTTGGCCGTAGGGTCGGTCGTCATGTCGCATGTTCAAAAACATATCGCCAACTTCTGAACCGGCAATTTCTTCGTCTTCATCTTGGTCTTCGTCAGCTTCTGCATCGTCTTCCATGTCCATCTCTTGGTCAATCATTTTCTCAATATGCGCATCCATGTCGTTCTCAGCTGTATCGCCTTCCGCATCTTCGTCAAAGCCAGCAGGCGCCAGTGATGTTCGGAAAAGGCTGGTGCGCGGGGGTGGTAAATCGTAATCTCCTTCCGCGTCAACATCCTCTCCCTCAGCATCTTCCTCATCAACATAGAACTGTTGGCTCAAAGCGGATGGCCCTCTGCCACGAATAGAACGGCCCAATGGGGCGTTAGCAGGGCTGTTTCGGTCGAAAAGGGTACGCCCAGGGGGTGCAGCTGTTGAATTGCCAAAGCCAAATGATTTTCCAGTAGCAGCGCCACCTCGCATCATGGAGCTACCTAGAAACGAATCGGTTGGCGCACCGGCTGGTGTGAAAGACGCAGCGGAGGATGGAGGAGGTCCGGCGGGTGTGGTCGACGGTGCATCATCAAAACGCATAGAAGCACTGCCGCGGGTGTATTTTCTATCCGGCGTCGATGGTGCCTCGCTCGAAGTCGGGCTGTCGGGGACGATGAATCGATGCGCCATGGTTGGTGTTTGCGTCCACGCCTAAGCGTAGGATACGTGCCAAAGTGGTGACCCGTCGGAGCGCGTCTGTAGATGAAACGCTTCGAATAATCCGTTTCAAATTGTCGGCATATATCGTCGTTACACAAATTGGATCTTGTGCAAGGGCGCAGAATCAGATGGAATGAAGCGACAGAGCGATCGGGAGCTATGGTCGAGATGGCCAGCACGCGTCTAGATATTTTTTGGCAGAGCTCTGTCTGCATCACCGTAGCTTGGCGGGCCTGGTTCCTGAGCGGGCCGACTTTTTGCCGCTGTGCTCTACACTTACTCCATCTCTTTTTGTAGTGGGCGCCAGCATTGGCGTCTAAGCCTGGCACCACCCACCAAGCCCTGCAATCTCCTTGCGCATAATCTCGCTACGTTAAAATTTAAGAGATCTACCGCCCAAAAAACAGGATAATTGCAACTGCTGGATCCGATCGACTTGTTCGCTTCCGCTTAGCAGCTAAACCCCGCGGGGGGCGGTCGGCCTTATGCAGACCACTGCAAGCGTGCTTGTGCAGAAGTCTATCGCTGAACCCCACCCTGATTCGGGGTTACGCCGCTCAAAGATGTATGTGCTTGTGAATGGGGCAAGTGATATAATTGTGCTTTTGAGTGAGCCCATGTTTTAATCTGTGCAGGTGGTGCGGGACGCTTGTAACGTTTCTGCGAGCTGCATCTCGCCATCACGACCACCGAGCAAGCAGTAGGCTCCACGCCGTCCAAGTTCACACGACAAGAGGAGAAGGGCATGACGAAAAACAAGGGAGGAAAGAGTCAGGAGGAGTAAGAGAGGGACATGATGCGCCTGGCCGCGCCTCGACTGGAGACATGCATGGTTGGCGTCTTCCACGTTGGTTGCTCGCCGTTATTTTGAGGCGCGCAAACAGCACTAAGGCAGGACTGCTGAAACGAAACGAAACGAAAAGTATGTGGCCCTTGTTTATCTATCTACCGGTCTGGATAGGAAAACAGGTTTGTACTTTGGTTGGGACGGTACTGTGCAGTGCAGCAGCAGCACATGGCTCACAGCTACCCCTCATTCGATTCTCTTGTTGATCAAGCCTACGGACCGGCCTGCTCTGCTCTCCCGCCGCTTGTTCCTGTCCATCGTCCTCGCCCTAGTACAGTACTTACTCGTACCTCCAACAACAAATCATCAGCGTCATCGTCGCCAAACTTTCCAGAAACAAACCTACACTAGCCTAGCCATGCAGCCAGCCCGTGGGGCCGTTCCGTCGTCAAAGTAGCGGGAGCTAAAACAGACACAGGAGCAACACCCAGCATGGTTGCACCACAGGGAGCTACCCCGGCTAATTCAGGACAGGCAAGCCCACTAAAACGCCCCCTCCTTGGGGCCCTGGCTACCGTTTTTAGCGGGTGTTTTTAGTGGCCACGGCCCGCGCCAGAAGCCCATTTGGAAGACGCTCTGGTGGGGCGGCTGTTCTGCGCGCCCATGCCGACATCAAGCCCACCTTTTTTTGCTTGCAAACAAACACAACGCAGCGTGGGGACTAGACGAAGAACAAACGTGCTGCTACCATGAGACAATCAACGAGGCGTCACCGACATGCGAACAAGACGAAGCTAGGCTCAATGGCAGAGACACTAAACGAGACGGGCTCCCATGTTTGCAGCGGAACGCAAATTCTCCGGCTACATACAATCCACTTGCGGTGATACTGCGTTCTGCACGTAGATGTTTAAAAGCAAACATGCACAAGGCCGTGGTGGCCTCGGCTTCCCTTCTTAGACGGCTATGTCGAACTATTCTCCACGGAAACACACATCTTTCACAGCCCAAGCTTTGTCCAACGGCGCATGGCCTTGCTTACCTAGAACTTTGTTTGCTTGATTGCCTGTTTGACCAGCTGGTCGGCTCATCGGGCCTACTGCTGCTGCATCACCGTTAAAAGACAAACCGGTTCGATGCCGCAGTCAAAGGTGCTTCTCCTGCCACGCTGCATTTCTCCAACATGACGCAGAGCCTGACATTAGATTGGTCTGCGTTGGCGCTGGCGTAACAGATTAAGCACTGCACTTGGCGGCGTGCGCCAACAGGCTTCCACAATTCATAGTCAATTTAGATTGAGACCAGCCATTACTCGCGACGGGATACTCCAGAGGGGCCACCAGCGCTGTTGTCTCTTTTTTTTGGGGATCGCCGCTGACCAGACTCATCACTAAGTGCCGTCGCAAAAGGAAAAGATGCGGCGCCGGAGATGCGCCAAGTGAAATGCACAGCCCTGAAAGGACGGTAGCCACTCCAACAGACCAACCCAGACCCCTCCCTGGACACGCTTCGAATGTTCTGATTCTGGACTCGGCTTAATACGCAAAAACCCGTCAACAGTTCAGCCTCAACACGCCGGCATCCAGAAGCTACAGTGTGAGACCCTATCTACATGGCCACCAGTGGCAAACAAACGCTTCTGCCGAGCATGGACGAAGCAAGTGGCATCAAATGGCCGCCCACCACCTTGGAGCTTGGGCGTAGGAGGGATACGCTGCAGGGGTCTCGATAGCTTCTTTGCCGTGCGGTACAGAAGGGTGGTCATTCTGCAAATCACCCAACACGGCCATGCCGCCCGCTAAAGCGTTGACGCAGGCAGCCCACAGTCGGCTGTAGGTCCCTTTCAGGCAAGACGTTGCAGTGAAGCTCAGTGCTGCGACTTGGCTCTACGACAAGCGCTGCAACCACTGTGGGGTTTGTGACCCTCCACTCTCAACGGCCCCGGCCAGGGGCTTGCTGACGCGCGCCCGCCGCCTCCGAGTTGGTGGTGGTGGTGGTGGTGGTTGTGCTTAGTGGGTGTTGGGTGCATTGCGTGGATGCCCTGCTGGCGTCTGATCAAGCCTGGCAAACTGGTTCCGGCCAGCAGCATGTCGCTCGCTCGCTGAGCGTCATCTGTGGTTCGAGGTGACCTCTTTTACCCGACAGGGGACGTGGTGATGCTGCCCCGAGGCGCCAGCTTTGTTTGAGTCTGGAAATGTCTAGGCAGATCAACGAATTCAGCCACAGTGGAAGGCTCAACGGTCACGCAACCATTCCGCAAAAGACTGATTGGCTCGCATTACTAGGACGATCCGAAAGGTCAATGTCGACAACGGCGTGGAGGGCCAACGCCATCCGTCTGCAGCACACTCCCTAACCCCCCACCTGCAAGAAGGACAAGAAGGAAAAAAAAGTGATACTTTCTGCACCAACGAGGGGCTCGAGGGACGGTCCGGCCTCGCCTGCCGGCTGTTGGCTTTTGAGCTGCTAATCGAGCCCAATGGTCAGCTCTTCGGTTTCATCAGACGCGTCCCGAGTTTCAGGGTCTTGTCCGCTGTACGGTGGGATTTGCCGATGTAAGTTGACCCCTCTGGCTCTATCCTGAGAAAGAAGCTAGCCAGGGCTGGGATCGCTTGCTCAATGCCCTGCCTCGTGCTGGCTGTCCGCCTCTAGCGTCACATCTCGACGAGGTGAAATGTTTTATCATATCTGCCAAACACCAAGCCATGGATGGCTCCACCCCACTAATGCGGGATGTTCCTAGCACCTGGTTAGCTCCCTGCTGCATGAGCCTTATTATTTCTCGCGTACCTTGAGTTCCGCTGCAGAAAGTGCCCTGCAGGCGCAAAGTGCGGCCGGTCTTGTTCACATTTGTGGCTACAGCCCTCCAGCAGCGCTCTTTTGCTATTCGGGAAGTGTCCAATCAATATTCCGCCACATATCCGATCCCACGAAGCGGCCCACGCTCACGATCATATTAAACCCCCCCCATATACCCCCCTCCTAAAGTGCTATAGCTCTGGGTAAGCCGGCGAGCAGCAGGCGACAAACCCTTTTTTATTTTTCGGCCGTTCGGAAACCCCTACTCCTCATCCTCGTCTCGGTTCTCCAAAGTCTGTCGTTTCCTCCCTAGGTCGATCTTGTTCCACGTTTAGCCGCCGGACGCCCAATGTTGAGCTTGGGCAACAGTCTCCAACATCGACCCAACAGCGTGGCACTTTACTGCAAACAACCTACACAAACAAGATGCCATGATGCAAAAACAGAAACACAAGACCAAAGCCTCTGTCTGGAGCGATTGGTCTGATTGGGAGTGGAACGGTGCTTTTCAAGCCTTTGGAAGAATACGTAGAGATGCGGATGGTATGAAGCTTGCCGCCTAAAACTACTTGACTACAGTTTTTCTAATCAGATCTAGGTAACGTCGAATACGAATGGGAGCAACCAAAACGAGCCGGTAACATGGAACAACAAACACCACGAGAGGCAACGATCGAGGGCATCACCGAAGGTATTGCCAATCTACCTGCCGCCCATACCGAGACACAATGTGAGAAACCCACTCAACACAACAAATTTGCGCATGGCGTTCCAGTCGAGACGTACGATAGATTAGATCCATGTGCTAACCAGTTGCGGCTACCAGACGATGAATACGCGTATATTATGGCTGCTTCCAAAGCTAAACAGCGCGCTCACGGCGATCCTCGTCGGGGTGGTCACCCTAGCGGCAGCTCCCACGGATCGGGCTCTAGAAGCGAAGCGCAAACAAAAACCCCCAATATTCAATGTAGGGTCAAATGCACAATAATCTAGCACTTCCAACATTGCTAACCGCCTCCATAGATGACGAGCAAGCACAGTACTATCAAATGACGGAAGGCGCCGAACCGTTTCGTGAGTTTAACAATTGGCAACCGTCTAAGTGGGCCAAGGCTAACCAATACTAGCCGAAGATGCGTCGTCATACTACGGGACACAAATACAAGGAGTTGCATATTCACACGGTACGTCTTTAGCTCAAGGCTGTAATACAACGCTAATCAAAAATGTGCGGATAGTGCCGGGCGCGCAGAGCTACTTTGAACTATCTCAGACTAAGGCAGCCAACCACTTGGGACAAACCACCCCACAACGACCGAGACTTTATACGCGGTCGTCCTTAAGTACTCAGAGCTCTTCTACAGGAGCCCTTTACCAGGGTACAGGCGGCGAGGTGATGGAATCTGGCTCAGCCGCGTTGGTTGGCGGTTCTACCATCTTCGAAGGAGAGCAAGAATCACGTTGTGCTCCAATTGGTACCATGGGGCGACCTGTAGCGAATATGCCAGCAGTTGCCGATGATGGCACTCTTGAGCTTGATCCAAGTAAGCGGCATGAATCTAACCTGCTCCCGAATCTGAGCTAACATCCAATAGGATACAAAGTCGAACATTCAAGCAAATTTGAGCCAGGAGAGGTATGTCTTAGAACGCAGTCCTGTTTACGACGAAAGTTTCACGCTAACAACCACTGTGATAGGTATTCAAAGTGCACTGGTCTGAGCCACAGGGAACAGGAGGCGAAGGTCTTGGTGGAGGTGGACCATCAAACAGTAACGATATCCAAAATAAGTTTGGAAGCAAGTTTTTCGTTGGCTTCCGACGGTTCATCGTTGTTGCAAATGACCACGGTCACTGTACTTGCGTGTAAGTTGACTATGAAATGAGACAAGCAAAGCATTATCTAATCTTCAATAGCCCTATCCTAACATATGGCGGAAAGGCGTGTAAGAAAAAGGGCGTGAAACCTGAAAAGCATGGCATTATCATTGAGCAAGGTCAAAAGCCTCGACGCCTCGACGGCGAGCCAGCACTTGGTTTCGGGCCAGTACGTATGATTATGCGACAAGATAGTGAAAAGCTATCCAAGGAGTCGCGTGTCAACTACTCAAAGCTCGTAACGATTGAGCACAACATCAAAGTCTTTTTCATTGGATCTGTTCTCGCAAGCGATTACCATTTGGTGGGAGAAGCAGTGAACCAGTGTTGGAGCAAGAAGATTCTCTCCAAGCCAAGACCGAAATAGTGGTCACCATACATTATTCTCAAACAACAGAAGCAGCAGCAGCAAGAGCCGCAAACGCAGCAACAGCAACTATGCACGGAAAGATACCCAAGGCAGGAATGAAGACAGCGGCTGACGCTACGCAAGACGACGACATATTATACATTTCAACGTTTAACGGCCGACTCGGGGTGCTAGTCTTTGGCCCCCGGTGTACAACGAGAGAGACTTTCGACACCCTAATGGACCAGAGAGCAGTGGAGTTTTCGGGCTGGGTGCAACCGCTATGGCTAAAGCGCTCTCTTTGCCAAGCAACCATATTGTATTTTACGGTTATGACTGACGGCCGAAATTTGAACTGATACGTTCCTTACTATATCTGCTCTTTATGTTTTTTTTTGACCTTGTCTTTTTTTTGTCTTTGTAATGTTAATACAGAAAAGTCGTTTGCATCTTCAGAGTGTAGCCGGCTGGATGACCGCCATTGTGTATGCGTGTTGTGCGTGGTTGTTTGAGACAGATCACTGAATCAGCGTCTTTGGCTACACGGCCTTTATCTGTTCTTCCATTCGTGATTGCAAATAATATTTGATTACCAAGCATGTTGATTAATCCTTTATTTTTTCCCATCTCGCTACTCCAATACCCCAAGAAATACGTGCTTCCGGCGTTTACGGAATTTTCCCCGCCATTAGCCTCGGTTCGATCCCCCGCAAAACGTTGTTTTCTCCGGTCGCCGATCCCTGTTGTTTCTCTCCGGTCCGGACTTGATTGAAGAAGACCACCACAGCCAATTCTCTTCCCCAATTCCTCCTTTCTACATCCCACACCACTCCAATCCGTCCCATCACCATCGCCGTCACCATGTCTGAAGCCAAGGCCCAAACCGAACTGCACGACTTCCCCTCGCTCTTCTCCCTCAAGGGCAAGGTCGCCGTCGTCACTGGTGGCTCCCGTGGCCTCGGCCTGCACGCCGCCTCTGCGTAAGTCTCCTCGTCGCGACGACCAATGAACACCCTCTAACAAGTTGCGCCGCAGCTTGCTCCAGGCTGGCGCCTCCAAGGTCTTCATCTCCTCCCGCAAGGCCAAGGCCTGCGAGGAGGCCGTCGCCGCCCTCAACGCCCTGCCTAACCTTGCGCCCGGCGCAAAAGCCATCTCCGTCCCTGCCGACTCGGGCAACATCGAGGGCATCAAGAGCCTCTTTGAACAGGTCAAGAAGCACACCGACCGCGTCGACATCCTCTTCGCCAACGCCGGCGCTACCTGGGGCGCTCCCTTCGACACCCACCCCGACGATGCCTTCGCCAAGGTCATGGACCTGAATGTCCGCGGCGTCTTCAACACAGTCCGTCTCTTTGCGCCGCTCCTCGAGAAGGGCGCTACTGGTGCCGACCCCTCGCGCGTCCTCATCACTGCCAGTGTCGCTGGTCTTGGTATCGGTACCGTCGGCAAGCAGGGCACCTATGGCTACTCTGCCTCCAAGGCTGCCGTTATCCACCTCGGCCGCAACTTGGCCATTGAGCTTGGCCCTCGCCATATCACTGTCAACTCTATCTGCCCCGGTTTCTTCCCTAGCAAGATGTCCAACGGCCTCATGGAGCTTTCTGGCGGCGCTGATAAGCTCGGCGCTCAGAACCCTCTTGGTCGCCTGGGTCACCCTGAAGACATTGCTGGTATTGTTGTCTACCTTTCCAGCCGCGCTGGCGCGTATGTCAACGGCGAGGCTATTGCCCTCGACGGTGGTGCTCTGTGGTCTCGCGGCCAGATGTCTGTCGAGTCTAAGCTGTAAATGAGAGGCCATGTTCGCTGGATAGAGGATGTTAAAAATGTATTGATGAACTGTTTATTATGTGCAGGGATCTATGACGATTTCTTTTTCTTTTCTTAAATATCAATCATTAGTTTTACTCGTTAACTTTTATTGTTTGCGCGCAACCCATGCGGACGCTTGGTATACCGTCTGCAACATGCTCTCGCTGTCCTGAATGTACGGAGCTGCAATTCCATCCTGCGTCCACTCCACTTTGAATCCCATCGCTTCCAGCAAGGCGAGAACCTCGTCATTGGCAAGCTCGAAGCTGCCCGGGTCAGCGATCCCTGAGGAGTTGTTGGGGTCGTGTTCGCCATCGCCGTCGTCATCATGTCCGTGATTGCCAGGTGCATTGTTTTCAAAATGCCACAGTAGTGGGCCAACGTTTACGAGGATACCCCCGGGTTTTAAACAGCTCTTAATGACTTCCAGGTATCGTATTAAGTTTGGGGCTGTGTCGAGGAAGAAGACTGTGGCTACAGCGTCGTATTGCTCGACATGTTCCTCATCGCCGTAGAGACAAAGGAAATCGGCTGCGCACATGGCCATCGTTCCAACACCAGAAGCACTGGCTAGTGTTTGGCCAGGGTGAATATCAGGGACTTTGTAACTGCGTAGGTGGTTGCTTCGTGTCAAGTGATTCGAAAACGTATGAATCCAAGGGAATATTGTATGGGTTCCTGCTGCGGGGCATTCGTTGAGGATGTATGACGAGGCGAGAAGCTGATGGTAAGAAATCTCGTTGCCTTCGACATCGTAGCCAGCATGACAAAGATCAAATACTAAACGACCCAACCCGGCACCGGGTACCAGAACTTTATATAGCTCAGAGCCCTCTTCTCTCTTGGCTCGCTCCTCTTGCAGTGCCTTTAGAACGGGACCGTATGATACCTCTCGTTCTTTGACACCTGCTTCTGTCCAATCGCGATAGAACTGGCGTATAGTGCTTCTGGCCTTGTCTATGTCTGAGTGCTTGGCGATGCCAGCCCATTCTTTGGGCATCTGTATTGTTGGTCTATCTTCCGACTCCAGAATTGGGCTGAAGGACTGCAAACCGGATTTGAGAATGGCTCGAGAGAGCTCTGCATTGGAGTCAATGGCTGCATCTGTGTCGTCTAGAGTCTTGAGATAGTTGAAAGGCGGCGCAGCAAGCATCTGCCAGTGAGCTTGAGGAAGAGCATAGAATGACCGACGTCGGAGATGGGTTACGTTGAAGTGTGCAATCTTTGCGTATTGTCTGGTGCAGGCAATTATGAGCATACGAGCATATGTGTGGAGATGCGAGTATCTTACGAGAACGAATCGAGAGCAGAGAAAATGACGCTCACTTCCTCAGGGTCGTCAGCATTATCCTCTACTCCGGCCCAAGAAGACTCATGAGCAGGCGGGGTCTTCGCGTGGTGGTCCGCATCCGCCATGGTGATAACGATGTCTTTTCTTGCCGCAGTTTTGACAAGGACAAGGGCTGGTAGGCTTATTTGCTAGCTGGGATTCAATAATTGTCTTAAAAAGACTCAATTGCCAGCTAAAATATGTGACAATAATGAGTAAGTGATTTTGATAAGTATTCTGCCAATAGCCTCCGCATCTCATATTTTCGCAGCAACACCTCCTCTCACGCTATCACCTGACCCACAGCATCTTATCACCTTCAACAGCTGCTAACAACGACGACACTTCACCGGGATTCAGGTGTTAGCTGCATTAATTGAGATAATATGGAAGGCCTATCTAGCACAAAAACTTTTGAAGAGTCATTTAGACTCCCGCGATCTTTAGACACCAGAATACATGTGCGCGTGTCTAAGCTACAAAAGGCGCTCGTCTTGAACCTATCGACAGCAACTGCTGAAGAGCTCGGCACGGCTGTCCCCATGGGCTCATTTGTATACGCTCTGCCAGATGTAAGTGTCAACTAAACAACCGACAAGAATTACTGGGGGCCAAAAAGCCAGAAAGACCCTTGCTGACCGCAATACTAGCGGTTCAACGAGCAGCAGCCTCTGGCAACGACTTTGTTTGCCCATGAGCCCACGATTGAGTTTACTACCCGTGTGGCGCGAATCATTGCTCGAAAATCAAAAGGCCCTGTCTACGTGACAAACTCCATCAGCTTCCGGGACGCTGGCCTGGGTGGCACAGTAGAGGAGGAGATGGAGGCACTGCAGAACGTGGTCAAAGTTGTGCAGTCACATCTCTGAAGCACACCCCTGAGTCGCAGAGAACGGGAAGAAGCAGAGAGCTATCCAGGAGGACTATCAGCATCGGATGGTGGCATTCAGACGTCAACTTTTGGCCGCTTCGTTTCTCGGCGGCGGTCTGCATGAAAGACCATGCACCGTCCCGCGCATGCGTGGAGAGTTGCGAATAGAGTGCAAAACAGGGTGGTCAACCCACCAACGCCTAACTCTTTTTCGGTATGTGATACAAAATAGAGGAAATACTGGTAATATTTAGCGAGCATGATGAATATACGGCGACAGTTTTGCAGCGCACTAAACTAACCCATTTAGTAGTAGAGACACCGCGACGCAAAAGCGCAATCTGCGCCGAGACCAAGCAATATGCGCACACATTCTGAGCGGCATATTCCCCGCCCCGCCACTTGAAAAGAGACAACTAAATGAAAATGACCTCTATTGGAGGCAACTACGCAGCTTCCCATGCCAGAAACCCGGTTACCGGAAACTCCGCGAACGCTAGGATCAGGACTTGGTGGCAAAGCGATTGGTTTGCTACAGCCGCGGAAGCTAGCCGGTGCACCTCCAAAATTATAACAACGGATAGAAGCGTACTGGTTATGATTGCATGTTTCTCGGGTTATGGCATGGCTGGTTTGGCTGGGATTCAGTTGTGGCCATATAAACCAGCAAAGGCATCATGAAATGATAAATAGAATCTTGAGAAGAGAAGCAGAGCACTTAGCTACTACGTTATCATCTATATAACAAGTTTCACATGCTACTTTATTCTTTTTATTTTGAATTTTTCCCATCGTCGCATCACTCTGTCGTTGCCCATCACTTGTTTTTCTGCCCACTATCCAGTTATCCTTAGGGGTCTTATAGTGCCCTGAATTACCACCGTTAGTGCCCCGTCCCCCTGTGAGCTACAGTGCCCGCAGTCCATCCTCTTACCTAAAAAGGGCCCCGCGCTAGCACCCAGACGGGTTATCGTTATCGCACCCCGCCACATCTTGAATTTTCGTTGCATAGCGGGGTGAGCCGCATTTTCTGCTTGGTCTCAGCATCGCCGTCCTCACATTCGTTTCAACCTGCCGCCATTTTAGCAGCAGTCGGTGTCTGGGTCTATTTCGGAGTCCAAGTTTTTGCACTCCAGCGAGATATACACAGACTTTTTGCAATTGCCGTATATTGGCCACACCGCATTACAGTGAGTAAAATCTGCCGCAGCCCACGCTACCTGTTTGGTCACCGCTGACGACTAACGCCGATGCAGAAACTGTCGACGATACCGATCCGCCACCACGAATAGCTTTTTCAAAAGAAATACAGAAAGCAGTTCGCAATGGCTACCAACGCCGATTTGAACTGGCAGCCTGCGCCAGAGTCCCTTCGCCAGCTTGCGGGCTGCCTGAAGGACTCTCTTAGCGGCTGGGACCAGGCTGCCCAGAAGCAAGCCTTGGTTGTATGTGCTACCATCAGCCCGCGCCGCCGCAAATACTGACAGCTTCTAGATGCTGGAGCAAGCCAAGAGCTCTCCCGATCTTAACAACTATCTTGCCCTCCTCTTGACGAGCGCCGAACCCCCCGCTGGCCTCCAATGCACCCCGCAAGACTACGCCCTCATCCGACCCGCTGCCGGTACAAGGCTCAAGAATAACATCCTGGAGGATTGGGATAAGATCCCTGCCAACAGCTTGCCCTTGATCAAGTCTGCTATTATGATTGCTATCCAGGATGTGTCACCTTCTATTCGCAACCCTGCTGCGTATGCTGCTTCCAGCATGATTCGCAAAGGCGGTGTCCTTGGGTGGCCAGAGCTTCTTCCCAACCTTGTCGAGATCTTCAACAACACCTCTGGCAGCCAGACCACTGCCGCTCAGGAAGGTGCCATGTCGGCCATGTTTATGATTTGCGAGGATAACCACAAGCTGCTTGCCAGAGAGGTCAACGGAGAGCGACCTCTGAACTTCTTGTTGCCCCAGCTCATCGCCGCCACCAAGAGCCCATTGGTCAAGGTTAGAACCGGTACCTTGAAGTCCATTAACATCTTTGCCCCTGTCGAGTCGCAGGCTATGCTCAACTCCATTGATGAGCTCCTTCAACACCTCTTCGTCCTCGCTACCGACCCTAGCGTCGAAGTCCGCACACAGGTCTGCCTTGCCTTTTCAACACTTGTCGAAGCCAGACCGGACAAGATTATGCCCCATCTCCCTGGCCTCGTCGACTATATTCTTACACAGCAAAAGGATGAGGACGAGGCATTGGCCTGCGAGGCTTCCGAGTTCTGGATTGCTATTGGCGAGCACCGCGATCTCTGGAAGGCGCTGGAGCCCTACCTCAGCAAGATTATCCCTGTCTTGTTGGAATGTATGGTCTACAGCGGCGAAGAGATTGCCATGCTAGGCGGCCAGTCTGATGATGACGACGAGGATGACAGACAAGAAGACATTAAGCCCAAGTTTGCCAAGCGCAAGGCTGCCAGAGCTGGAAACGCCAACAAGGAGGGCGACAAGGCCGAAGAGAACTACGAGAAGCTCTCTGGTATGGATGATGATGACTTGGATGAGGGCGAGGTGGAGGAGGAAGAGTATGATGACGATGACGATGGCAGTCTGGCCGACGACGAATGGACTGTCCGCAAGGGATCTGCTGCTGCCCTGGATGTCTTTGCCGGTGACTTTGGCGCACCCGTGTTTGAGTCTATTCTCCCTTACCTTTCACAGAACCTCAAGCATGCCGACTGGCCCCAGCGTGAAGCTGCTGTCCTCGCTCTCGGCGCTGTCGCCAAGGGCTGCATGGATGCTGTCACCCCTCACTTGCCTGAGTTGGTTCCCTACCTCATTTCGCTCCTCCAGGATCCCGAGCCTGTTGTTCGTACCATTACTTGCTGGGCTCTCGGCCGTTACTCGCCTTGGGCTGCAAGCCTTCCCGAACAGTCTCAGCGTGAGCAGTACTTCCTCCCTATGATGGACGGAATGCTGCAGCGCATGCTTGACAAGAACAAGAAGGTACAGGAAGCTGCCGCTTCTGCCTTTGCCCACCTAGAGGATGACTGTGGTCAAGCTCTTGAGCCCTACTGTGAGCCCATTGTCAAGCAGTTTGTTGTCTGCTTGGCCAAGTACAAGGATCGCAACATGTATATCCTATATGACTGCATTCAGAGCCTCGCCGAGCAGGTCGGTGCCGTTCTGGCCCAGCCTCATCTCGTCCAGCCTCTGATGGGTGGTCTTATTGCACGCTACAACAACATTGCTGATGACTCGCGCGAAATCTTCCCTCTCCTCGAGTGTCTTTCCTATGTGGCTTTGGCTCTCCGGGATGCGTTTGTCCCATACGCTCAGCCCATCTTTACGCGCTGCATGACCATCATCCAGAACAACCTCCAGCAGGCGTTGTCGGCTGCCAGCAACCCCAACTTTGACGAGCCCGAGAAGGACTTCTTGGTGACTTCCCTTGACCTCATTAGCTCCATTATCCAGGCTCTTGAGGAACAAAAGGCCGTTGAGCTTGTTCAGAGCTCTCCTTTCCCCTTCTTTGATTTGCTTGGCTTCTGTCTCGAGGACCCCGCCGATGAGGTCCGCCAGTCGGCCTTTGCTCTCTTGGGCGACAGCTCCCGCTTCATCTACCCTCTCCTCAGCCCTCACCTCCCCACCATCATGCCGATGCTGTTGAAGCAGCTCGACATGGACAACATCTTGGACGAGAGAATCGACCAAGCCTTCGGCGTCGTCAGCAACGCCTGCTGGTCTTCTGGCGAGATCACCCTCCAGCACGGCAAGGGCATGGCTCCTTGGATCAACGACCTGTTGAAGCGGTTTGTTGAGATCATGACCAACCCCCGCGTGCCTCCTGGTCTCCACGAGAACGCCGCCATTGCTCTTGGCCGCCTCGGTGAGAGCAACGCCGAGCTCCTGGCTCCGGCGCTGCCCAACTTTGCCGAAGACTTTTTGCGATTGATGCAGGATGTGGACTACTCCGAAGAGAAAGCTACTGCCTTTCTCGGATTTTCCATGATCGTAGGCAGCAACCCGCAGGCAATGGAGAGTGTCTTGCTCGAGTACTTTACCGCCATTGCCGAGTATGAGGAGATTGGTCTTCACACTCCTCTGAAGCAGCGCCTTGAGCAGGTCTTCTGCAACGTAAGTCTTTTCGTCCTTTTTACTTATATAGGGACCGTGCTAACCACTCTTGTACAGATTTTCACCGTTTACAAGCAATTGATTCCTCAGTTCGACGAGTTCATTGGAAGAATGTCCCCCCAGAACCAGCAGAAGCTCAAGGCCAACTACGGTATCTAAAGGGAATAGGTCGCATTTCTATTATTTGAAAGGACTCTTTTTTGCTTTTGATTTGCATTGATTAATGGAGGGGAACAACTAAGCATGGGCGTAAAATGGAATTCCGGCCGCGAGGTGATCGGATGGAGGACAGGACGCGGAACTAAAAAACGACTGACGAATTAGGCCAGGGGCACATACATGAATTTTCGGCATAGATAGACTTTGCATCATTTTCTTTTTCTTCTTTTCTTTGTTTCGCGTTAGATAGTCAGATAGCAGCAGTTTTAGGCAAAACTTAGCATAGCTTTTACATAGTCTTCGAATACTAATTCACCAAGCTTGAACGCGGTCCATTTTGTAGTTTTGTAAAAGTGAGCGTATTTAAATGAAGTAATCTAAGTTATTCATTTAATTCACTCTTCTAAGATCGACTTGTGTAATCGAAAAACGTCTGGAAACGAACATAACCCTATACAATGAGGACAACGCTCTGCTTTAGAAGAAGTAAACACATGCTCGACAAAAATATTGCCTGCCAAATGTTAGTATTATTTTATTTTACAATTTTCTAAATTTATTTTACAATTTTCTAGGCCCCAATATCTTGGATAACCTCCAACATCCGCCAATGCCGGGTAGACTTCAGCCTCGAGTACCCCACTATGCCGAATGCCGGTGGGTTGTCCGCCCGCCAAATGTTGAGAGTCACCGCAAACCGCAACCGGACCTCTCGTACAGCTTCTATCAACACCGCCATCAACACCCTACAACGAGAAAAAATAAAGAAGGGCATCTTAATATCGAACGAGACTACAAATACGAAGATAGAATGTCTTACATTACTGTCGCGGCGGCCACGCTACCCAGTGTCCCGCTGGACTTTGAGGGCAATCTTGCCCGCATTCTAGAGAGTCTGCGCATCGCTAAAGCAAAGGGCGCAAAGCTCCGAACCGGTCCCGAGGTAGGTCAATGGAGAACAGAATATACGAAGAAAAATGTTGACGGCGAGATTTAGCTCGAGATTCCCGGCTACGGCTGCCTCGACCACCACTGTAAGACTACCACGGCCGACAAAGGCAACATCACCGTTCAAAGCTAACAGCAGCAGTGGAATACGACACCTTTCTACACAGCTGGGAGGTCCTGGCCAAGATTATTGACGATCCAGTATGCAAGGACATGCTTGTCGACCTGGGCATGGGCGTCCGCCACCGGAACATCCGCTACAACTGCCGCGTGCTCTGCACATACCGCCACATCTTCCTCATCCGCCCCAAGATGAGTCTGGCCAACGACGGTCTCTACCGCGAAGCTCGCCACTTTACTGCCTGGAGCAAACCGAGAACTATTGAGACATATTACCTCGAGAAGATCCTGCGCGACATTACCGGCCAGCGAACGGTGCCTATTGGTGATGTCGTCCTCTCGACCATGGACACGTCTGTTGGCTGCGAAACGTGTGAGGAGCTGTTTACACCATCAAACCCCTCGACATATATGGGCCTGAACGGCGTCGAGGTGATTCTAAACTCGAGCGCGTCACATGCCGAGCTGCGTAAGCTGCGCACGAGACTCGACTTGATCCAGAACTGCACGCGCAAGTTGGGCGGTATCTATGTGTATGCGAATGCGACGGGTGTGGATGGCGAGGCGCGCATGATGTTTGATGGCTCGTCTATGATTCTTAGCAACGGCCACGTCCTGAACCAGTCGTCGCAGTACTCTCTGCAGCCTGTAGAGGTCATTACTGCGACAATTGATCTCGAAGACGTGCGCAGTCACCGCAGCAGCATTGCGCGCAATGTTCAGGGTGCCGCGCAGCCCGACTATCCCAGAGTAGACTGCGATTTGTATCTTTCGCGGCCGGCCGACGAGGTCTTTCTGTCCGACGACTTGCATCTGGCGAAGCACATTGATATTAAGATCCACGACCCCATGGAGGAGATTTACATGGCTGAAGCAGCGTACCTGTGGCAGTACCTCACGCGATGCAGCGCCGGCGGTTTCTTCTTGCCGCTTTCGGGCGGTCTAGATAGTGCAACGGTGTGTCTGTTTGTCTTTGGCATGGCGACGGCCGTGCTCAAGTCTATCAATGAGGGCGACAAGAATGCGCTGGCGGACCTGCGACGCATCACTGGTGTCAAGGACCTCGTCCCCAAGAAGCCACAGGATATCACATCGCTTCTTCTGCACACGTGCTACATGGGAACCAAGAACAGCGGCGCGCAGACTCGATCCCGCTCGAAGAGACTGGCCGAGGCCGTGGGTGCGTTCCACTCCGACGTGAATATTGACGATACGGTTTCAGCACACGAGGGCGTCATTCGACAGGCACTCAATTTTGACGCCAGGTTTGCCGTCGAGGGCGGCACGGCAGCAGAGAACCTGGCCAAGCAGAACATTCAGGCCCGCAACCGCATGGTGGTCGCCTACGAGTTGGCGCAGCTGAGCACAACAGCACGAAAGCTGCCCCGTGCGGGAGCAAGCTTGTTGGTGTTGTCGTCTGGTAATGTCGACGAAGCCCTCCGCGGCTACGTCACCAAGTACGACGCCAGTTCTGGCGATCTGGCGCCGCTTGGCAGTATTTCCAAGTCAGATGCCAAGTCGTTCCTGGCTTGGGTACGCGATCAGTGGAGTTTGCCGATTATTACAGAGTTTTTGGAGGCTCGTCCGTCGGCAGAACTGCTTCCTTTGTCTGTTGGCGAGCAGGACGACGAGTCGGAGTCGGAGATGGGCATGACGTATGACGAGCTCAGCAAGTTTGGTATTCTGCGTAAGGTATGTTTTTTTTACAAGATTTTGTTTCATGACAAGGTGATGTGCTAATTAATTGGGATGTAGGTTGAAAAGTTTGGCCCATGGTCCATGTACTTGCGTCTCTTGGTGGACTGGGAAGATCGTAACTTGACGCCGACGCAGATTGCGGGCAAGGTGATGCGCTTCTTCCGCTTCTACGCTATGAACCGTCATAAGAGCACAGTGCTGACACCCAGTGTACACTTGAGTGGCTATGTGAGTTTTCTTGGGTCTTTTACTGGAGTAGATGTATGCTAACATGTTGGTGTAGATCCCGGATGATAACCGCCACGACTTGCGCCCGTACTTGTATGTCATCAACTTTCCGTGGCAGTTTGCCAAGATTCAAGAGCATGCGGCTGCACTAGAGGAGGCACGTTCCAAGAAGTAAGCGGTGGATGGTGTACAAAGTGCTACAATGAATATACGTTTTCAAGACTATATTCTACAAGGGCGTGCGCGAGGCGCACGCCCGCATATCGTTGTCCATACGTACCAGCCGAGAAACATGTTGGTAACTTTTATAGCTCCAAGCCGAATGTAGAAACTCCAAAAACCATTGGGTTTGGTTTAGGCGATGTACCTCGGGTGACGGAAATCCTTTTGCCTAGAAGTGAGACCGACCCGTGCCTGCTCAAGCGTCGAAGCTATACGAAGTCAAGCAAGCTTGACTGTCCGTGCGGTGAGCCGTCTGTGGGCTGGCTCTAAGATTACATTCGACGACTTTTTATGTAATGGATCGTGAACCGGTATCACGGGCTGCTTCACATTGGTGGGCGGCTTTCCGCGGTGCGTGTGGGACACGTCGGTGGACCTGCTGGAAGTTGATTAGCGCCGTGCAGCTGAGAGAAAGTAGCGCATTAACGTTTTAGAGTTGGGATGTGCTGGTGGAGAACTCAGCATCACATATTATAACCGACTTGGGCCGCGGCAAGGCTTCCGCGAGATCAGAGGCGCTACTGAGTCGACGCTACACGCCAGAGACGAGCAAGGGTAGTAGGCGAGGATGTGGATATATGTGGACGGTGAGATGGGAAGTGGAGAGGGAAGACAGGGAAACAGACGGCGAGAAAATATCTTCACGGAGGATGTCCGAGGTATAGACCAAGAAGCGGCTCGGTTGTCAAGATACGCCGTTCGCAACTCAATCTGGCCGAAGCGGCGCCTCGCCTACACAATGCTTCTGCTGCTGATGTGCAAAAGGCACGCGCCATGGTTGAAAAAGCTTCTCTAGAGTCTGCTAGGCTCAACGGTCTCCGAATGGACAATCCTTCTGAAAACCACTGGACGCTGCGCCCTGGTACCATCATCAATGGCCAGAAGAAGTCTCGCCGTGCTCGGGCTGACGAGACGGAGTGACGGATGATACTGCGGCACTTCAATTTGCCGTCAACAACGCCACTGCTGCCGGCCAAATCTTGTTCATCGATGCCGGGTCTTACATTCTCACACACACGGTTGTTATTCCCCCAGGCGCTGTTATTGTTGGCGAGACCTGGTCTCGGCTTGCAGCCAGTGGGCCGTTCTTCTCGGACCCTGAAAATCCCAAAGTCATGCTCAAGATTGGTGAAGAGGGTAGCCAGGGATCTGTAGAGATGCAGGACCGTATTTTCACAAGCAAAGGTGCTACGGCTGGTGCTATCCTCGTCGAGTGGAACATCCAAGCAACTAAACAAGGTTCTGCAGCTCTTTGGAATTGCCACGTCCGTCTTGGAGGTGCTACGGGCACTGATCTTACTCCAGCAGAATGTCCAACGTCCGATTCAGGATCGCCCAAGTGCCAGGTTGCAAGCTTGATGATGCACTTGACTCCCAAGGCCTCTGGATACTTTGAGAACATGTGGCTCTGGGTAGCCGACCACATGATTGACGATCCCAAGCCCGACGACCCCAGCAACGACATGGAACAGTTGTCTGTATTTTGCGCTAGAGGCTTCTTAATTGAAAGCCAAGCACCCACATGGCTGTATGCTACGGCATCAGAGCACTCGGTCATGTACCAGTATAACTTTAATGCCGCGACTAATGTGTTTGCCGCCATGCTTCAAACCGAATCGCCGTACTATCAGCCCATCGCTAAGCCACCAGCGCCTTTTGACAGTTCTGTAGGCATATTCAAGAGCGATCTTCCATATGATTGCAAAGACAACGAGTTTGGTGGCTGTGATGCATCCTGGGCCGTGATTATGCGAAAGTCGCAAAACATCTACATTACTGGTGCTGGCTTGTATTCATAGTTCTCGTCCTACAAGCAAGCTTGTATCGACACCCAGGAATGCCAAAAAGCCCTGACGCTCTTTGACGACAACTACTCCAACATTCGCATTGATGGGCTGATTACCATTGGAGCCAAGTACATGGCACTTATCAACGGCAAAGGAATCGAAGCCAAGGACAATATCAACGTCAAGGATCACCCGCGATGGTCACTTGTGGTTGCCTTGGTGATCAAGCCAAAGGATGGTAAAGCCCCTACCGATAAGGGTGGCCCAATCTAAACTATTTGGGTTGACGAGAGCATCTGGGACCCCGACCAACCCAAGACCATCGGCTGCGAGCCGCCCTGTGTTGTCAAGCTTCCTCCCTGGCCGAGTCAATCTACCACAATCCCGTATCCGGATATCCCAGTCACCAATGGCACCATAACGACCACCTATAGTCGTACTGCTATTACGGTCACAGAGTGGTTCATAAACTCCACAACCATATCGCCAACCTTCTCAAGGCAGACTAGTGCTTCCTCGTCTTCATCAAACATCATTGTTGTGATTACCCCCTCGACGTGGAGCACGGAGACATGGCCGCACTTGAGGACTAATAACATGACACTGTATCCCGAAACCTCGCATCCTCCTCCCCCCCCTGGAATTGGCCCGTTCCCAAACATCACTGTCCTCTCTACCACTCCTTTCCCCACGGTGACTCCATGCGCCTATCCCACCCAATCTGTCCTCCGGGCATCAGCCCAGACGAACCAAATGATGGGACGGGCAAGAATCCAGACGAAGATCCAGAGGAGGAAGACCCCAACTCCGCGTACTTCTGCTTCCCCGGCGATTTACCCCCACCTACCGGCAAAGCTTGCAACAACCACGGCGAGTGCGCTGGTACCTGCGGCGATGGTCTACGTCCTTTTTGCGGGAGCACTGCCCTTTGCGACTGCCGTATACCCCTCTCTAGCAATCCTGCTGGACTTGAAGGAGGTAAAGGCGGCCTTGCTGGCGGCGGTCTTGATGGCAACGGCGCCTGTGAATATCACGATGAAGGCGAGGACTACGCCTGCTTTCAAGACGAGCAAGTCCCGACATGCAACAAGGGACGTTGCAGTTGCGAGGCCCAGGTTTTCCACGGAGGCGCCAGTTGCAAAACTATTCAGTTTTGCTACTACAATGCTACTACCACTGGTTGTCTAAAGGGCTATGGTGCATCTGGCTGCATCGATGGCAGCTGCGTCTGATCCACAGGACTGGTTGGAGAAGTGTCCTGGCACCAAAACTATAGTGGAAATCCGCCTATTACCGTCACACGGCAGTTTGATCAAGCATATTACGGTTCGCCCTTGTTCCCGGGTGGCGATATTAGCGTCTTCAAGCAATTCACTCAGCGGTTGGATATATACACGGAGACCTTTACGGGACCTCACGCCAAGGCTGTGTACTACTACGGAGGTACTGATGTCTCTACGGACTACATTTACAATGGAAAGACGTATAAACTGTCCATGTGCGGTCTTGAGCCTCGCATTCCTGCGTCAGGCGACAGGGCTCGAGACTATGGCTACGCGCCCCAAGATTGGCCAGGCAAGGACCCGGGCCAGCAGTACAAGATTACATAGACAAAGAGGGAGATTGTTGTATAATCTGTAGGGGATTTTCATTTGTCTGGTATCAAAATAGTCGAATTTAAAAGCAAAATAAAACAGACAAGTTTGCCAGTTTGTTGAAACAGGCCGGTTGCCTATGACATTGGTCGAGAGCTCATAGAGCAGGGGGTTCTTAGATTTGGATCTACAGGGAGCTGTGAGACGATGCAAACACCATCCTGGATTGTTTGCCGAATATCCGGATTACATTAGATTCGTTCTTTTATAAAATTACTTTAACAGCGATTATCGCTGACCAGACTTGCTTCTAGTTTGACACTATTCCCGGAGTGGGCCGGTTCGCACTCCGATGCCTAATACCGCTTAGCGCCGGTGCACATATCAGGACTGACGTCAGGGCAACAAAACTCCCAGCCCTCGGCAGACGCAAAACTTTAATTCCTCAGCATGCGGAGCGTGACTATGCACTTTCCCAGAAGGCAAGAAACAGAGCGGAACAGTGTTCCCGTGGGGCCGGCCGTCTAGTTTTGCCTTGACTCGGCGACCAACTGGCAAGCTACTAAACGATGCCAAGAGCAGGGCCAAGTAAAGAGGGTATCGTAGAAGGATGAAAATAGAAGCAAAATTTCAAATCCCGAGGGACAGAGTCTGCCGAGAGAGCACATGCATGCCCGTGTCGCTCACATACATCATACGATTTTGCAATGCTACTACAACAGCATAACAGAATGCAAATCGTTTCAACGGAGACGCCGACAGCAGGCTAGGGCCCTATTGCGAAATTCAGTCACCGAGAGAGAGAGAAGCAAGAGTCCACGTCTCCTATAGGCAGATAATGTCTGTAGGGCTGGCTGTTTACGAGGCAGGCGGTGCTGGGCGGAGAGATCTCTCCCAGATCGGCGTCGAGTATCGCACGCCATAAAAATAGAAAATAAAAGGCATGTAACAACAGGTAGCTTACTCATACCAGTTGTAGCATCAGTCCTTGGCCGAAAAAGGAAGAAGAAGAAAAGAAACTCTACGTCAAATTTAGGGTGCGCCGGGCGATGAATGCCCCCATCGCGGAGTCTCGGACCGCCTTACCAAGGAGCCGGACAGGGCGAATGTGAGGCTTTGACTCAGCATATGCACCATGCACCGTAGGGCGCTGTAAGGGCCGATTAGAGGCCCTGTAAAATGCGCTGTCTTAGGCCGACCGCTAGCCAGTAACGGGGCTGCGTTGCCGAGATCTGTGGTCCCGCTGGCGCCCATCACCAAAGCAGGCTCCGAGTGGTATGCAGGCTTCATAACGGAATAGGAAACAGTTTTAAAAAAGATTGAAACGTTTAATTGTTTATTTAGGATTAGACTGTATTTTTCTCCTTTTTTGGGGTTTTTTGCACTTGATCGAAAATGCGGCTAGGGGTCCAGTCATACCGATGAGGCTCTGCCCGCTGTGTGTGACGCACGCCCAGCGAATGCGCTTCGCCCCATGCAACGTTTCCTCGGCGGGCGGCTTCAGTATCCCCGTGTAAGTCATCTTTGCCGCAAAAAGGGATGGCCGTCATATGACGCTCAACAACAGAGGACAGGAGGCCGCAAAACAAGTATTTTGGTTTAGGGGATTGATGGAGGATGTGATAGGACACGTAAATGAATGAAGAATGCATTTTTGACAACCAGTGGCTACGTATGTTGTTTGCGCCCCATGTAGGGTAGCTCTACGTCATCACAACTACTACATGATGTATGCTCTATTCTAGCAGTATAGATAGATATAATATATTATAAAGAGAGGAGAAGATACAAAGGATTATTAGTCTAGTGACTACAGCAGCTGTGCTCGCTCATACGCTGATTTGGCTCATTGCACCATCCACTCCGACTCCAACACCTGTTGAATGGTTGCACGCTCGTCTGGCCGGAAACGCAGCATCGCGCGCACGAGGTCCAGTATCGCTGCCGCTTCCTCTCATCCAAATTCACCCATACCGTCCTCTTGCCTGAATTGCTGGACACCCTCTGCAAAGGCATGCTCCAATGACTGCCATAGTCGCCCTATATGGCCCATTTTCCTTCAACAAGGCTTCCCACTTGGCTTCCCAGTCCGTGGGTAACGGCCCCACCACATGAAGCAGCCTACTAATAAAATCGTTCTCTGTACACAAGAAGCTGCTAAACAGGGGCTGCATGCCGATAATATCCCAGAGAGCCGTGGCAAGACTCCATATGTCCGCAGAAAACGAGAGCGGCACGTCGGGCGCAAACAGCGCTTCAGGGGGCCGAAAGTCCAGTGGTGTGTGGCAGTCTCGACCAAGACGAGTCGTTTCAGAGGGTGTAAAGGCTTACCCGAAATCAGCCAAGTATATACCGGCATCAGCCAAGGAGAAATCTTCCGCACGCTTTCCCATGTAAAAGGGAACTACAACATACTCTGGAACACTGGGTGGGAGCGGGTTTCCATCTGCCCTTTCTACCGTTTTCATGTCTGGTTCACCATATTGCTCGAGCAACTCTTGCGGGGTCCATTGGCTGCGATCTCTTGGTGCTCGAACTAGAATATTGCGCAAGTGAATATCTAATAAGCATTAGAAATGGGGACTTATAAAGTGACCCAGTATGTATACACCTCCATGGATATACCCGCGCTGATGGATATAAGAAACCGCCAGCGCAAGCTCGTATGCTATCGCACGAGCCACATCCAGCGCAAAGAGTCTACTAAATGACACTTCTCTCAGATTACCAAGCGATATATGTGTCGTATAGCAAGGGTATGAGCCATTGGGCCCTTGCAGGCGAAACTCGTCGAGGATATGCGGAATGGCCAGGGCGCCTCTATGCCCAGCCTGATCTGCTTGTAGAGCACGCAATATCGGCACTTCACTCTGCAGACTGTCTGCTATACCGACTTTTGTGGCAACGCCTTGATCCTGTTCAAGATCATGGACTAACCAAACTGTAGACCATCCTCCGTAGCCAAGCTTGTCAATCACCTTATATCGGTTGTGTAAAACATCACCAATGCGTATAGGATGATATCCTCCTGAAGTGTAGTTTTCCAGCCGTTCCACTCCATCAATGAAATGATATGGGGGACGATCTATGTTGGGAAAGCAGCGCTTTGCGAGAGACGAACACCGGACATGGTGATGTTTGTAGCCTGAGGCTACTCTTTGTGAATCTCTCACTGCGCTGGAGTGATGGGCAGCGCGCCGGCATACAATTCGAAGAACAGATGGATGGGCTATATGGAGACATTTACGGATACATTCCATTGAGTCAAGTAGACGAAAGGTTGATAGGTGATGGTTATAGCAAGACGTAGGTGCAGGACGGCTGGTTACGCGGTTAGGCATGTCATTGTCACACAAGGCTGCCAGGTGCCAGGTGTAAAGAGTCACGTGCGAGACAGAACAAGCCTCCTTTTACACGTTCACTATATTCATGTATTACTGCTTTCTATCCACGTAATTATACCTTATCTTTCTTGTAAGGCTGGTCTATATGAAACGATAACGTTGTCTTTGTGCTCGGTAGTTCAGCCAGTAACACGCTCGGCACATCCTGCAGCGAACCACAGCCCCGGTACTGTGCACTGCATATTCAGCCAAGGGCCCAATTGCTCAAACGGGCAAAGAACAAAGCAGATCGAACACAATTAAAGGGAGATTTCTATTTTTGACTCTCCCGCTCCGCAAAGAACCAATTTCCAGCAGCGGGCGGCGTGCTACGGCAACACTGGCCAGGGGTCATCGTGCTACGCAGGGATGGCACAGTGGAGGGACACGAGGTGGAGGTTTGCGCACAGGCGGTGGTGCGCAGCCAGCCGCAGAGGGCCACAGCGTGCTTACACGGGGCAAGCTGGCCCCCAAAAAGGGACCCTTCTGAATGATGGACGCCGACAACGTCATTGTTAGGACGCTAACCACGCGACAATTGAGCATGTTTTTTTTAAGGCTAATTAAAGCTTAACAACAAAAAACAGTAGCTCGAATCATTCACAGCGGCAATCTCGTGAAATGTTCCTGGTTCGTCTTGTCATGCGAGATCGGCCAGCACATGTTGCGCAGCGCCCATCAGCTCATGTTTCCCTGAGCGACGTCGCTGTGGCCAACCAAAGGGAGGCGCTAACCTCACTGTAGCTTAGCGCCATACAGCCGCCCACCCCGCTAACTGGTAGCGTCTTGGCAGCCACAATGATATCACCGGAAAGTCCCTTTTTTGGGGCAAACACCGCCGGGCAAGATTTCTTTTTTTTATTGTTTGCAGCTAGCTGGCTATGGAGATGCGGGAAACTCTGTAACATCTCAAGGTGAAAAAGCAAGGGTGGTGCATATAATTGTCCGTAGGAGCATCGGGATACCCGGGGCTGACCCCGGACACCAGATGTTACTGGTTGAAGCGTTTAGTTGTGTGTACTACGAAAGGTATTATACTGTAGTTGAAGTAAGCTCAGGGCGGTGCTTGGCGGTGTCACTGGGCGGGCCGTCCAAATTCTATAGAGGCCATTGAGAGGACAGAAAGCAAAAAAAAAAAAAAAAAGGATGAAGATGTAAAAAAATGAGTTGGCAGCGGAGCAGGTCACGCCATTCGAGGTGGCAGATCTGACGATGGGGCACCCTCAACAATGGCGGAATACAGCGCACTGTAGATGGTTCTTTTTAGCGGCATCTGGTTAGCCAACTAAGCGAACACAGCCTGCCATCAGTTTACCAGCAGCAGAAGCAGGCTAACGCTGGTGAGTTAGCGTACCCGGGCCCCGCCGCCGTATCCAATTACTCAAAGTATGCTAAAAAGGTGAGCAAGATCACAAAAGGTCCTTGGTGAGTGAAGTAGGTAGGTGGTATTTAGCGGTGCCGTGCCCGCCCGATTGCGGTAGTAGCTGTAGTGCAAGTATTCGGGCCGGCCGTCGTGGATTCGCAGTGATGGCCTTGCTGGGTCACTCAACGCCATGGCGCCTTTTTTTTCTCTTCATGCCAAATCAATTCCATCACCGTAATAACCAAGCGAATGATAGACAGGGCTAACTCGTGGAGAGTGGACTGGGGCAGCGATTGATATGCCGGGCTGGCGTATGTGTTGGGTCTTTCATCCGGCCGCCCGCGGGTAATTCGGGTCACTATAACACGCAAAGCCCAGCCAGCCTGTTACTTCAAAGTGTATGATGAACCATATTTAGTTTAGTTCCTGGGCGGTGGCAGCAAGCAAACCCTGGTCTGTTGCGCATTTATTGTTTTTGTTAGGCCCCCCTCCAAGTTAATTAGCCCAGTGCCGCCTGTCCAATCCCACGGCGAGAAACGCTGCTTGTCCGGGGCGATCCCATGCCTGTCTTGGCAAGTCCGTAGGAGAAGAGGCAAGCTTGCACCTGAGCCGTCCTCCCGTCGGATTATGCTGCCGTTTCTGCTCCACCAATGCCTGTTCGGCACCTTTTATTTTATTTTTTCTTGTTGCTGCGGTCTGTCGTCAGCCAAGCCCGTGCCATGCCCTGCCCCTTCTTAATTATAGGTTCTTATGGGGAAGAAGAACGTGAAACGGAATCCTCGGCGAACTCTGGCGGAACAGTGGCGGAACAGTGGCGGAAGTAATAAGAGGGGCGGCGGGCGTACATAGGAGCTGTAGCTACAGAACCGCTAGGATCTGGCTCGTTTGGTTTGGCCGGTCTATTTTTCGGCAGAGCGTCGGGTGGATGAAGCTGGACGAGGCGTGTTGAGCCCCAACCAAGATCAGAGGCGAGAGTTGAAGCTCCGCGCTCCGAAAGCAGTGTGGTGGTGGTGGTGGTGTATGCCACAGCGCTGTTATTGGCTGGGCCTTGTTAACCCGACTTGCAGCAGCACTACCTACACACAGTATTTTTCTTTTTGCCTCAATTTTTTTTGGAGAAGGATTTGCAGCTGTCTCAGAGGCTTGTGAGGAGACAGCGCCAACAAAGAAGAGCTAGCTCTATTTGGGTAATGCATGGATGGGCTAGCGCAGACTGGTAAGCGTTGTTACTCTGGTGGCGATGATCTCGCTTACGCGAGTCCCCCCAAACTCAGGCGATGATGAGTTCTCGATGAGACACGAGATGTGGCCGTCGCCGCTGGCTAGCAGCTATTTTATTTTTCTGACAGGGGGGCTGTTGACTTGGATGCCGTGCATGCATGCATCACTAAATGGGCTTGTCTGTAGTTCGACATCTCCTACAAAGCGTCTTAGACCCTAGGCCGGTGCAGACGGCTTTGTGAGTGCGTCGCATTCCAACGGATACGAAAGGTCCTTTTGCCTGCGACACCCCATCGGCGTTATGACGCAGCGACGGACAGTGCTACCTACCTACCGTAGCTGACGATGGGCCAAGAGTGCACTCTAGCACTAGCACCCAGTATGGGGGAGTTGTGACGCCAGAATGACGAAAGATGCGACTGGCTGGGTCGCTGGCTCTCGCTGGCTATCGCTCTTACAGTGGCGAGTTCTGTCTATGGTATGCCACATGCCAGCTGCCAGCAACGTGTGTGGAGTAAGGAAGCCCGCTGTAATGGGCAGTCTTTTGTTCTAGAGACGGGAAATTCTTCGATACAGACGACGAGCACATTTTCAAATTTTTGTCACAAAGCATCTAAGAACTGGGAAACAGTGCAACATGCAGAAAGAGAGACAGGTTCGCGCCCACCGCGATGAGACAGTGTTGCCACCTCGTTGTCCAACTGTGAGGAACCAGCTCGCTCAACTTACTCCCCGATGCTGTGCACGCAGCGAGCGAGCGCCCTGCAGCAAGCTCTTCTCCCCACGCTGGGAGCCGTCGGCAGCGGTGCCAGGTGATTGGATGGGCTGCTGTGCATATGGAATACTCTATGTATGTATGTATGTATGTATGTATGCACGAAAGTATACATTTTTGACGGGGCCGTGTGCTGTAGGAGGGGCGGCGACTGGCTGACAATTGTTTTGGCGCTATTACTCTTGCCGTACGCGGCTCGTGGGATGGATCGTTGCGTTGGGCTATGCAGTGTTGCTGGTGTGAGCCCGACTGGCTGGGAATGCGTGTGTACGTGCGTGCGTGCATTACAGGACCATTGCAGCGTCAGCAAATAGCGAACAAGCGTGCCATGCTGTTTGTTGTGTTGACCAGAGCAAAAAAAAGGCGTTTTCTATTTTTAGCCCTCTTGGCTTGGGGTGGCCCTGTCTTGTGGGTGTTCGGCAGCGAAAAGTGGACCCAACTGCCGGCCCTTCTTTTCGGGCGTCGGCGCCGCTAAATACTACGGCGACAGTGCATCGCAGACAATGTGTAGTGGGTTTGCAGAGCATCTGCTGCTGTGGCTCTCTCGCCAACCCAAAAGAAATCATAAACCGAACCTGCTGTCGCGCACGAGGTGGGCGTGCTTGGCACCACTCGGCTTGTGGGTTTGTGCAGCAGCAGCAGAGTAGCGTAGTGCTGTTCTGCTTACTTTTCGATTCCCCGACTTTTGCGCCGTTAAATCTTTTTTTTTTAGTTTTTAGTGGCTTGCAGCTGTGAGCTGTCGCCTCGTTCTCAGGGCTGTTTATCGGTGTGCTTTGTCGGGATAGAACAAAACACGGGCTTGGAGAGCATGACACTTGGCAGTTCTATTTACAAAAGGAAGCCTGATGAGAAAAGAACGTCTCCGTAAGCATCACGCAGACAGTTCAAGTTCAAGTCAAGGGCGCAATGGCGTTTGTGCGTCATGCCACCACACAAGTCGTTGTCTCTGTGTCAAATCTAGCGTGTGATGACGAGGACCCCTTTGGAGAGAATACACTGTCTATGGTTACAAAGTAGAAGCAAAAGGTCTGAGACTGTAGCAAGCAGATGGCACCACGCCCGAGCAAACAGCATATCTTGATTACCCACGATGCCAATCCCACTTCTTTTCTTTCTAGAAACTTTTCTACAAGCGGGTTATTCCACCCAGAGAGTAAATTGTCTGGCGGATGCTGGCCACCAAGGTGCTGGGTAGCCTTGCCCGCGTGGCCCATCTTTGGAGAAAAAGTCCGGGTGGGTTATTTTTAACCTGTGCAGAGTGGGGGCAGCATGCTGAGCGAGGGCTTGACATCATTCCCAGCACCTCCGAACTGGGGGTGGTGGATGCTATTCCGCCGTCCTAATTTTTTCTTTTTAGTGGCGACTCAGAAGGAGCTCTTGCGTATGCCAAGCCCCGGCCGTCTCGTGCGAGAGAGCAGCGAGCCACAGCAACCACTGGAGGTAGACTCGGGTCAACGGCCGCGGAGCAGAACGATAGAAACATGAGTAATGTCCGTCACAAAAGAAAATTTCTAAAAATTTCAACGGCTTGCATGAAGTGGAGAAATATCCTTAATAAAGAAACCCGTCTGAAGGGGAAACGATATGACGGGCATGGAACTATTGGCTGTGAGTGCATGATTTGACGGGTGAGGCTGGCGGACGGACGACCGCTATGCACTGGCATGGTTGCTTACTGACCACAGCAGGCTGTGCAGACGCAAAAGAAGCATCTAAAAAACAGGGGATCTGTTTAGCAGGATGTGCGATCACAAGCGCTAGTGGCGAAAAAATAAAAATAAAAAATCTAAATCTAAATCTAAATCATCCAGTTCAAACAGAAACAGGACGACAGGACCCAAATTGCTGGCTGCCATGAAAGAGCGTGATGATGGCCTGCTAGCCGCTGTCAGTAACAGCCACGGGTTACATCACGCCCCCCAAGATGAAACTATTTGGCCCGTCTATGTCCCAGAACAGAAGCCTACAGCGAGCGCACAACAGCGTCAAAAAAAAGTCAGTCCACCCACCGAGTGTGAGTCCCCGCTGGGCCAACCAACCCAGAAGCAGTTAAAAAAAAGAAGGTTCCGCGGCGTAGCGCTGTCGCTCCCCGACCCTAAGCCTGCCAGCGTGACCACCCACACCTCCCAAGCAAGCCCACCCTTGTCTTGTGCCTTTTTTATTATTTTATTATTTTATTATTATTTTCCATTTTCCTGTTGGCTCACCACCACTCCCCCACCCCAAAGCTAACGCCAGCCAGCCCAGCCTAGCGTGGCCAGCCCACTTTGGCTCACTCACTCACCAAACTGGCCGGCTGGCTGGCACCTGGCTGGCACCTGGCAGGCCCCCCGCCCATGCTACGTTTGGTCCGCTGCGCCCGCCTGTTTGCTGGGCCGCACGCTGGTCAGCGCCGCCCCCAGCGCCGCCTCTCTATTTAACATTTCGGGTCCCCCCATCTTCTTCCACCACACCTCTTGCTCTCGATATCTTCATCACACAAATCAACATCTTCAACGCATAGCGGCTGCTCAAGCTCATCTCTCCAAATCTTCATCCTCCTCCCTTCTCCTCCCACTCTCGCTTTTAGGAAGTCCTCGTTGACTCCTGTCATTCGCTTTATCGGTGTATTTGCTCGCTTCGCTTCTTCGTTGAAAACCCATCCTCTCCTCCTCTTCCGCCTCTCTTCTTCCAAATAGTAAAAAAAAAATACTCTGATTGTATCGAACGGCTTTTTGGATTGAAACAAACAAACAAACGAAACAGATTACAACAACACAATAATCTGTTCTTTTCGTCTTTCGATTTACACCCGTAGTAGTCGAAGCAACAACAACCTCGCTCGCTTGAATACCTCCCCCCAAAACCCGACGACTTCTACTCTTCAGTCGACGATTTTGACATTCAACCGGCTCTATGTCCAACGTTTAAACGAACTCTTTTAATTTACAAACACACCAACCCCACGATCGCTACCCGTTCTAGGAATTCTTCGTCCTTTTTTACGAACCCTTCCTCTTTGACTGAAACGCTTTTTGTTTCCGTCTTTTGATTTGCCGCTTCGCTTCATCTACACTCGCTATCTCGACCGCACGGATTCTTCCTGTGGTCTTTTACGTCTCTCGCTTTACCAACTCAACTCCTTGCAAAAATGGCTGGTCCCGGTGGCGGTCCTCCTCGTCGCAGGTAAGCATCATCACCATCCTTATCTATCATGGCCGCACATACTAATGAACTCGAAACAGCCACACCAAGTCCCGCAAGGGCTGTGAAACCTGCAAGCGTCGTCACATCCGCTGTGATGAAAGCTTCCCTCAATGGTAAGTCCCCGCCTCGCACTGCAGCTGCACTAGCGTTTCCAAAATGCTGACCTCCGACCTCTAGCAACAACTGCACCAAGCACAAGATCCGCTGCCCGTACAACGATGTCAAGGTTGCACCTGAGCCTCAGCGTGCTCCCACTCCCGACAAGGCCGATCTCATGTGGACTCCCGAGATCGAAACCGCTATTGTCCAGTGGCAGCAGACGGGCGTCTTCCCCTTCCCTTCGCTCAACGTCTTCCCCGAGCCTGTTGCTCAGATGTACTCGCTTGAGGATCTGCGCCTCATCTACCACGTAGCTGCTGTCTACGCCCAGCTCGACTCTATGGAGGGCAACAACTTCACTCTCTGGACTCGCTATGTTCCCACCCTGATCAGCATCGGTGCTACCAACCCCTTTGTCATGCATGCGCTCCTGGCCTTTTCCGCCATGCACATTGCTTTCATCACCGACTGCCGTCTTGTGAGCAACATGGCCTTTGAGCACCGCGGCATCGCCCTCTCCGGCCTGCACCTTGCCATCGGCTCCTTCTCCCCTGAGACCTCTGACGCCATCCTCGCTGCCTCCCTCGTTCTTTCGTGGCAGGCGGCTGACTGGCGCAGCTGGACCCAGCTCATGCAGGGCACCTCTGCTGTCATCGAAGCCATGGGAGACTGGAAGTACCAATCTTGCTTCACCGACTTCATTGCTGAGAGCTGCACGTTCCCCACTGCTCCCGCCTCTCCTGAGCCCGAGCACCGCCCCAGCCAGCCTCGCAAGGATGATCTCTATGCCTTCCAGAAGACTGTTGAGCAGCTTACCAAGGTTGAGGCTCACCTCCACAACCACGGTGAGGACATCAGCCAGATGCAGCACCTCATTGGCTTCCTCAAGGGATCTCGCAAGATCACCGCTACCATGTCTGTCGCCCAGCAGTTTGAGCGCCTCCAGCCTCTCCGTACCTGGCTCTTCTGGCTGCCCGTCAGCCACCTGCAGCAGTACCAGGGCGCTCCCAACTCGCTTGTCGTCATTGCCCACCTTTACACCGTGGCTCTGCACATGGAGCGTCTCTTCCCCGAGATTGGCGCCGCCTACTTTGGCAGCATGTCCATCATCCCCGTCGAGTCCATTGCTCGTCGCCTCATGGCCGTTGGCGGTTCTTCTCAGTCCAAGATTGAGGCTCAGACTCCTCTGACCCTCATGGAGTTCCCCATTGACACCGTTACCGAGTTCCGCACTCGCATGGGCTGGAACACACCTGAGCGTACCCAGTCGTTCCCTCAGTTCAACCCTCCCAACTTCCACATCAACGAGGAGCTTGCCATGGCCCCCATCTCTGAGCCCTACACGCTCTACAGCAACCCTGCTTTTAGTTACAGTGGCGAGGAGATGGCCATGCTGAACGCCCCCATGCCCACCACCCAGGTCGAAGGAAGCCCTCTTATGGCGTCTTCCCCCTTTGTCGGACAGCAGTACCTCAACGTGCCTTCGCCCTCGTTCGCTGCTTACTCGCCCGCGTCCTCTACTTTTGAGGGCTCCGTGGCCTACAGTGACCCCGAGGACTTTGGTACTTTTGACATGCCTGCTTTCCCGGCTGACCAGTCGACCCTGTTTGGGGATGCGCAGAACAACTTTGGCGTCGGGTTCGTTTCCCCCCAGCAGACCGTGTGGATTTGAGCCATGTCGGCAGCCTGCCCCCTTTGAGACAAAGAGACAGACGGATTGACACTTTTTTTTCTACTTTTCAGGCCTTCTTCATCTACCGCCCAGTCGTACTCGTTTTACGGCATGGGTCCGCGCAGCGTCTCGGCAGCCTCTCTGCCCACAGACTTGACTCTGAGCATGCTTCCTCGCCCAGAGTCGCCGCTGCAAAGCTCGCCTGCACAGTTTCGACACCGTCATACTGCTTCTCTCTCCTCTGGGCCCCATGCTTCTTCTCCTCTTCGTCAAGCGCCTCTGTTTGCACAAGACGATAAGAACGGGAAGCGACGAGCTCTTTGATCTTGAGCGACATCTTCTGCTTTTTGCTTTCACAAACTTGTTTTGGTTTTGTTTTTTTCTGCTTGCTTCATTTTTTTCATCTCTTTTGCAACAAGAGCACCATGTATCACACTCCTTACACACTCGCTTATCTCCAACTCGTCTACTATTGTTGACGCACGATACCTTCCTTCCGAGTTGATCTCGAAACACACACTTTTGCCCTCACGGGCCCTGTATTATTTTTAATACGTTGCTATCCTTGACGACACTAATATGCCCAGCGTGGCACGACACTCCTTTATGATACCCACACCATCTCACGATGATGAATGCACTCCTTATGAACAACAACATAGACACTCCTTGGCATGAACATACAACTTTTGGGCATTACACTGGCCGTACATGGGCCTCTTGCATAGCGAGCGATTTTGATTTTTTCTGATCTTTTATGATTTTCTGGTTTATTAGCATGGCGTTTGGAAACATGTATTACTGAGATTAGCCGCGATGGCAAAAATGGCTTTTGTTTGATTTGATTATGGATGATTTGGATTACTGCGGAGGATTTAATACCAGACCGAACTTTTTGACTTCGAATTTTCTGTTCTTTAATATGTGACTGTCTTTTACTTGTATCTCTATAAATCCATACTGGTTGAATTAGTCTTGGTTTATCGACAGAACCACTGGTGCCGATGAGACCGATCACCACTACCAGAATTATCCCTCACGATATCTCTGAGAGCAGTATCTATGCGTGCTTTAATCCTATGTGGCGAAACTGTGCCATATACCATGACAGTGGCGTCGAGTAGGAATCATCCAGGCCGGTGGTGGTTTGCTCTACTCCCTGCCTCCCAACCGTCACGACGCCTCACTGTGTAACAGGGTATACATACAGTTTGTTATTATTCAGCTTATTGTCACATTGAATACATAAGTCAGGGACGATCGAAAAATGGAAGAGTGAAAAAGATATGTATTCATGATTGATCCAACGAGTGAGTGATAGGACAACCCCATTGTCTATCCATCCATCCATTCATCCCAACAAGAAACCAGCCGTGGCAGAAACTTGAGCCACAGTTTTCGGTAATAGCAAAACGAGGTTCATAGAGCAAAAAAAAAAAGAGGTAATATCAAACAATGCTTATGTGAGTGAAGAAAACACGCCCGGCGCCAATGCAAGTAATCAGTAGTAGTAGTAGTAATCCCATCCATCGCTAAGCAGAAAAATAAAAGACATCAGAGAAAAAGAGAGAAAGGCAGTTGGAGACTAGAAAAGACAAAAGACTTGTATATCATCCGTCGTGTATGGGTCTCACTTTCCAGAGTATGTATGCACAGACGTACTCATTGCAATCACGATTCTTGCTCGGAGTCAGACTCGCTGGCTGAGTCGGTTTCGGCGGCCTCAACCTCTTCGCCTACGGCATCGCGGTAGCTCGGTACAGGAGACAGTCGCTGTGCGGCGGCGGGTGGTGCTGGGGGCACGGGGATAGCAGCCGAGTTGTTCCTGCTGCGGTTAACAACATGGATCAAGGGTTCCTCGTCGCTATCGGTGCTGTTGCGGCGAGACCGCTCGCTGTCGGATTGAGTGGGACTGGTGTAGTCTGGCGGAGGGTTGGTGGCGTCTTCGAGGTGCAGTCGGAGTGGGTTGCTGTCGTGTTCTGTTTCATGGCTGGCCTCGTCGGCTTCGTCGGTAGGGACGAGCTGGGCCAGCGAGATGTCGGTAGAACTGCGAGCAGGACCAGGGCTGGTTGGTGGGAGGATGCGAAAGTTGCCGCTTCGAGTTCGGCCGTGGCGAGCTGCGCTGGGGACGCTATAAGTTGAGCCGCTGAATGAGTTTCCGTGACGGTGGCCGTGAGATGATGGGGTATAGGAATCCTTGTTGCCCGTTTCCAAAAGGATACTACCCTGTTCAGAGCCGTACGGAGGAGGTGGCGCAAGGCTTCCAGTTACCGGAGCAAGACCCCATTTCTTGACATTGGCCTCGATAAAGACGAAGCCGGCCTGACCGAGGTTGACGTGGACGGTGGCAGGGCCGGTTGCTCCGATGGCGGGGAAGAAGTTTTGCGACTTGAGGCCATGGACAACCTCTTCGAGACGTTTGCCGTTGCGAGTAAAAAAGATGGCACCAGTGCGAGGTCGGTATCCAACACCGACGACATCGCCTTGAACGAGAGCCGGGCCGTAGGGTGTGGAAGTAAAGGGCTGGTTATAATGACGCGAACCGTCAGAGTGGTAGGCGACTGAGTATTTATGCAGGCCTAGACGACGAGTTAGAGACGGGTGTACACCGGAATTGCACAATATAAAAATGAGGCATACCAGGAAGACGGAATAGTGGGTATGGCTTTGTGGCCATGCCGATGCCAAGCGTGGTAGATTCGGGCTTTTCGTAAATCTTGGCTTCCCAGTAGTAAACGTCGTTTTGTTTGGGGACCGGCAGGTTGCACATGACTGTACATTCCGAGTCGTAGAATTCGATTTCTGTTCGGCCTTCGACGAAGCAGTTTGCGATTTCAAGCTCGGGCTCAAACTCCCAGGCAGAGATGCCCTTTTCCTGGATGGCGAGGTATTGTGAGAGAGAGATGTCGGTCTGCAAGGACTCGGGCGGGTTTGCTGTTACAAATGCTGCGGCGGGTTAGATCGATAGAAATAAAAGAGAGTGGGAGAGCGCGTTTGGATCCAACGAACCTTTTGCTCTGAGATATTCGGTTCTGGCCATGTCGTCCATGGTCAGCAGAGCCTCTTCCTCGTCGCGGAGAAACTGCTGCTCGTCATCGTACTCGCCGGGCCGGCCAAAGCGGTCGAGCAAAATACGGCTTGAGCCCGCGCATCCTGAAGCCCAAAAGATGAATATGACGAGGGAGATGAGGATTATAGAGCCGAAGGAGGAGACGAGGCCGATGATGATGCCTGTGAGGGCGGATGAGGGATCGGGTCGGTAGGAATCCATGGTGGCGTAGCGTCACTGACTGGTGCAGCAGCAGCGGCGGGCGGCGGCACGAGCGATGATGATGATGATGCTGGTGACAGTATGGAGAGCGACGATTATTTCGAGAAAATACTGGGCGGGGCTACCGCCGTAGCGGGCAAGAGTCGTGAGGAGCGAGCTGCGGGAATGGGCGTGTGTCGAGGGCGACCGAGTTTGGTTTTGGAGATGATGACGAAGGCGGCAGCCGCGTGGCGAAAGCGGTCGGGCGGGCGACGGAGCGAGCGAGCACCAGGCGACGGAGGCACGCGGGAGAAGAAAGAAAAAAAAGAAGAAGAAGAAGAACCGCGATGAGATGAAGCCGCGATGAATGCAACGGCGGTGACGATGAGCGGAGGAGAGGAGGAGGAGTGAAGAGAAGGGAAGAAAAAGCAAAGGGTTGGATGGTTGGTGGTGTTGGATGGTGTCTGGTTGGGCCTGGGCTTTGGGTGGTGGTTGTTGGTTTGGCGCCAAGGCCAAGTCAGTGGACAGACAGCAGACAAGGCAGGGCGCAGGGCAGGCAGCCAGTCGCTAGTCACAGCGCTAGGATTAGTGGTGGCAGTAGCAACAGCAGCAGTTGCAAGCAGTGGCAGAAGCAGGGCTGGCGAAGTGGAGTCGTGGAGGAGGAGAGAGCGGGGACGCAGAGTGTCGCAGCAGGTGTTTCCAAAAAAGGCCTGGGCTTGGGTGTTTGGTACAGTACACACTGTTGTTTAGTGGGGGATGTGCTGCAAGCATGCGCTGTAAAAGTGTCAGCATGCCACTGTACTCAAGTCACGCACTGTAGACACCAGCCTGGGTCAGAACGCATAAACATGCTTTTTCCATACAAAATGGAAACAGTGCATGCACTCTGCTGAGAATTTACTCTAATGATTTTGTTTCAAGCCCCAGACATAATGACGGCGTGTGTATGCGTGTGCGTGCGCACAGAGCATGACGGGAGAAGCGAGCACGCGGACAGCTCACTTGTCACAGGGCATGCGACAGCTGTATAAAGTGGTTGCTCTCTCCAGTAAAGATAGACCGCAATACTAAGAAAAAACGAAAGAATATTTTATAACTGTATAATAAATAATCAGCATTACCCAAGCCGCCTTTAAGGTATGCATTTATCCCATCTACTCTACTCGGCACGTGTATGCAATGCAGGGCAGGCATCCTTCATGTTCCCTGCCAGCCTGGTGCTATGAACAGCAGCAAGCCCGAAACAACGCCCCAGGCAGGGCAGCCCTTGTTGCTCTCTGGCTCGTGTTGCAGTGAGCGCCACCACAGAACCCTGTCTGCATCTTGCATCACCCGCTAAAAATAACCTCCTCCTCCTCCTCCTCCAAGCATAAAGCACCCGCAAGGCCTAACAACCAACTTGGTTTCCGTTTATTACCAAACCGAATCCAGTATGCCACAGTGATGGCAAACAATCTCGACATCCACATTACACTCATCGCCCAAGGCCCTCAGTTCCGACACGGACTCTTCGTCCTCCCAGTCATCCAACCCGTGTAGCATCACCGCAAAAGACTTCAGGTTTGGCGTCCACGTCGGCTTGTAGTCTCTCCACCAAACACGGAGGACCTTTAAAATAGTAACCGGTGTAGTCGCCGTATAATAGTTGTTGCCAAAGTCGTCAGTCAAGCTAAGACTCACCAAGGACAGTGGTAGGCATCTCCATAGGATCAAGATGGTCCCATCCGCTGGCTCCTACAACAAACCGAGGCCTTTCATGCCCATCTTCTTTCCTGAGGAATCCAAGAAAAAACGGCGACGCCGCTTCAATCGTTTTGAGCTTGGAGAACGTCGCCAGCTGCCGCAGAGACCCTGTCGGTGACGATGCAATATCGCAGATACTTTCCAAACATCCCTGTAGCTTCAGGCTCGCCAGCGTGTCGCGTACATGGGCCAGTGCATCTCCCAGCTCGTCCAGATCCAACACATTCTCATTCATATCGCCCATCCGCTCGGCTTCTTATATCCACCCCCAGCAAAAGCCGTTCCTCCCGCGTCGTTTGCTGTAGGATAGCACCAAGACATACTCCTCTCGCTCGGGTCAACGAAAGAGACGTCAGATTCTCCAGGGGCGGTGGAGATGATGGTAGCGGCCATGAAAAAGTACGGCTACTATCTAGGTCGACCGCAAAGGCTTGCAGGGCCGGCAGGTTGAACCATGACAACACTTGGTCTGTGTTGCACATGGATGCCGAGCCTGTTTTGTAATGTCTCGCCTTGACAACGCTACCAAATCCACCTTCGCCCAATGGGCCGTCCATCAAATAATTCGGTGCGCTCTGATTAAGTGCGCTTTCCATAATGTCATCTTGGGGTTCGGTAGCCGCACCTCCTACACTGTCGCAAAACTCCTTCCAAATTGATAGGAAAGCCTGGCGTTTACCGCCATGTAGGGGCCTAAACAGAGCAGAGTGAACAGTCCAGTTGAACATCTATAGCCTCATTTTCTGGGGTAGCTCTTTGGGTCTTGACCTTTTGATATCCCAGGGATTGTGACGAAATAACGGTCCTATGGCGGCGGCAGTTCCTCAGGATAAGTGTCCCGTTCCGAACTAGAAGGTTGAACTGTAAGCCGCTTACGCTGTGCATATTCGCTGGAATTGCAACATCGCAGTTTTCATGTTTCCCAAAAGTAATGCCGTGAGCAAGGTCCTTAAAGGTGAAACTTGTTCGAAGAATTAATGCCTTCCGAGTATATGCTTCCGGAACCGGCGTCTCGTCGCCCGTGCCAGATTTTGGCCGGAATCTAGAATCATCGTCATCGTCATCGTATTCGCCATCAGAAAGATTTTGGGTCTCTTCGTCTTTAAGCTCCATGAGGTATTTCCTATTTGCTGGTTCGCCTTGCAAGTCTATTGAGTAAATCACCAAGAACGCACCTACTGGGAGGTAAGACATGTCGTGGGTACGATTGGCAATGGAAGGAGTCGGAAAAAAGTCGAAATTCAGGAGTATAGAAAGAGAACAGAAGGCAGACAGAAGGCAACTCTTTGCTGTGTTTGTGCACCCTATTATTATTATTATTATATACAGAGCCTCACTGCTTGGTGATTAATTGCATAACACTCGTGATACCCGATGCCTCACACATGGGCGTATTCTCACATGGGGCCTTCACTCAAAACTCAGCCGTGACATGCCATCGCGATCATCTAGCCAACACTTTAAACACCGGCAGCTCTCTGGCTTTACACTACACAAATCCGCAAAATGGGCTCAGATATAGCCAACCCGCTAACGGCGGCCAATGTTCACTGCCTATCGCCAAGCTCCACCGAGCTCACGTCCATTGACATGGGCCCCGGAATGGTGGGAGTATAGAAAGGCCATGTTTGGCTCTAGAACAATGCATCAGTGGTGGGTAGAGTTCATAAAAAATGTGATGAAGGAGTATCCAATAGAAACAGACGTAGATATGGCCTTGGAAATGTTTTGACAGCGCGTACCCATCGTTCAACGCTAGTGGTGGCCCTCTCACCACCACCACCCTGCACCCATACACTGATACAGCAACTTCATGTCTGTCTGTAATAAAGACACATAAACGATATAAAACAAATACTTGCTTGCATTGACTAGATAGATACATTCTGGGTGTCGATAATCTACATAAAATTCATTCCATCCTTACTTCCATCTCTATATCCGCAGAGTCATCATAACAGCTCTCTACAAATCATCGTCGTCATGTCCACGGCGGTATCCTCCGCGACGAGCCCGGCGCTCCTCTCTCTCCTTGTCCCTCTGCCCTCTATCCCGAGGAGAAGAACCGCCATTCACACCCCTCAACTCTGGTCGCGGGTGGTGGTAGCTCTTTGTTCCCGAGTCAGCATCTTTGCCATCTACCATGCTCTCCTCCTCCAACAGACTATCACCAGCACCTGCACGCTGGAACGAAAAGTCCCGACGCGACGAGCGCTCCTCACGGGTTCGCTTAGCCTCTGTTCTAATACGTTCCGTCTCTCTCTCCGTGGTGGAATAGACCTTGCGGATGCCGCCCTTCTTGGTAGGTGTAGTGGTAGGAGTGCGCTGGCGATGGGACAGAAGTTCCGAGTCTACCGTCGAGTTGGTAGGGTTTGTAGATCGATCCCATTCCGAACCATCAGCCTCCTTGTTCAGACCACCCACACGGGCAGCCCGTTCATGTCGATAGCTGCGAAGCTCAGCCTGTGCCTTCTTCTCCGCAAACTCATCAGTCACACCCTCCTCGCCAACGTGGCGGGTAGTGCCTTCTTTTCGGCGGCGGTCGTCCTTTTCGCGGCGTCTTCTCTCACGCTTCTCTTCGCGTCGTTCACGGGCAGCAATGTCGCTAGCACCGGCAGTGATTCCACTTAGGCCAGTAGAGTCTGTAATCGTGGTCTTGCCATCGTCGTCAGCCACATCCTTGTACACGCTGCCGCCGCCTAGATCCGTCACGGGCGTAGCTCCAGATAGCAGTGTGCCGTTAGGACCCCTTCGACGTAGTACTGTTGTCTTGTAGTCCTCCCAGTCGGTGTCTTTAAAGTGGAAGCCGCCATTCTTTGCCCAGAAGAAAAACCAAATGCCTGCAATCACAAAGCCCAGGCCAATCAAGGCAAACAGCACAAAGAAGCCGACATTGTTAATGTCGTGCGGGTCTAGTACGCCTTTGCCTGACGGCGGAGCTGGTGCATCCTCACGAGCTTGTAAGAGATGGCTGGCCGGGCTGGATCGTCTAAGCAGAACAGCTGCTTGTTGGATGACGGCCGGCGCCATTGTTCGTTGGTGCGTGTGCCCTTCCCGCTATCGAAGCGAGGAATGCGGATGGCAACCGTAGAGTTTCGAAACCGGTCAGATTCCAGTGCACAAAGCCCAGTCTCAGTTGGGCCTGTCGCACGTTGAGCAGCCGAATTCCAAAGAACAAGAGATGCTGAACCAAAATCGAATAGCGGGGAAATTCCAGTCGTAACGTCGTAAAAGTGTTGATACTTTGAGGTTGTTGAATAGTTGGTTTAGTTCATGGTAAAAGCAGCTTGGGTAGTGAGTGCAAAAGGAGAAATGAGAGTGACTGCGTGTGCAGGCAGTGTCACCGTTCCTACAGAAACAGCCCCCGGCACGTCACAGCCTCAACGAGTGGTGGCGAGTGGCTGGGAGAGGTTGGGTGCGTTTTGCCTCACGATTGCTTGACACCTACGATCATGTATAGGAAAAATATGAACCATGAATTATTTTAATTATTTCATTGAAAATATTATTATCCTTCTCTTTTTTTTCTCATTTATTCACCTTTTACTTAATACCAGCAGCTGGCTGTTCAATGGTGGCTGTCACCCATGATGTAAGGCGACAGTAAATAGTCGCTGGCCGGGCAACCACCGTTTTACCATGTCACCGTTTTTGACGGTGATCACCTCCAAACAGCCGTAGACCAACATTCACGACAAACTACGTCACTAGTATAAAAAGAAGAGATCATCATAGTGGCAGTTCAATCTGAGCCCGTTATTTCATTTCAACATTATATAATGCTAACATAGGAAGTTCAAGGGCGCCCAATTTTTTGGTTGTTCCCCAATATACCCGCCCAAACCCCCCAAGGCCTACTAAGTGGCCAGAGATGACACAAAGAGGTGCGAACCTCGTGTACAACTTCCTTGGAAATGAAATCTATTCCTTACAGCCCATATCGCGGCTATAAAATCAAGCAGAACCGTCTGCAGCCTGCTGACAGACTCAAAAAAAAATAGGTGCTGTAATTGACCCGTATATCATTGGAAAACAAAATCTTTTTTGTCAAAACATCGGATCGTACAACCAGACAACAGTAACAAATTAGGTCGACAGCTTCTGCTGACTCAACATGAAAAACAGTGAAAACGAACGCTCTTGCATAGCGCAGGTTAACCAAAAAGAAGAGAAAGATAAGAAAGATCTGGATAGATCGAAAGAAAAAAGAAATGCACGCTTGCCCCAACCAAACAAAGAGAAAAGAAGAATCATGCTCAATCTCATAACATCGTTACACGCTCTGTGGAGCAATCTGTTTTCGTGGCAAAAAGAAGAAAAAGCATCATCCAGTGCATCAAGCACGGTATGTCTGGCCCATGTATCGGTCATCGTACTGATGATATCCCTGTGGTGGATATCGGCTTTGCAAGCTTTGCTGACGCGGACGGCCGTGACTGCGTGTGTCTCCACGGCCTCGGTCCTCCAACATTCTGTCCATGCCCAACCGCGGGTCGTGGTTTTCTGTCGTCATTCTGATTTGTCCATTAGGAGTAAACTCAATATTGACAGACTTGTTAACCGTCAGGGTGACCGTCGCTTCGGTTGCGCCTCCTGCGGACGAGGTGACGGCAGTAGAGAGGCTATGGCGCTGCTCGCTATCGTCACGGCTACCACTACTTCTTGTCGAACGGCTGCTGGCAACGCCTCTTCGGGTGTTCTCATTTAGTGCAGCCATTGTCAATGGTGTTGGGCCGCCGTGCTGCATACCCCCAACGCGCTCCTGGTATTGCTGAGCCGAGCTGAGTTTGAGATTCTCGTGTATGTCAGCGCTGAGCAAATCCATCGGATCGGGGGCTCGTCGCTGGCCGTAAATCGGGCCGCCATTATAGCCTGATGATCGTCGGTTCCGGTGACCAGCAGGTATCATATCTGCTTGCTCATAATAACCAGAGTTGCGTCGGCCCTGCGTTGCATAATGAGGCTCTTGGGGTGGCATGTCGGCATATTCGGGATACAGGCCGTATTCATAGTCTGGCTCTCCTTCCTGAGAATACCTGCGGCTAGCCGGTGCCCGCGACGGGTTCTGTCGGATTTGAGGACGGGGTCCTGCGGCGGAAGGCGGTCGGAACATGCCCGAGGATTGTGGCACGGCCGACATGGCTCGGTGCGGAACGCTGGTGCGATGCGGGATGGTTACTGGTGGCGGCATTCGCATACGGTCGTCGTCCTGCCTCGTGCGAGATGGCCGTCTTGATCGTGGTGGATCAATGTACTCATCTTGTGGGTACATCATTCCTGGGTCTCGATGGCTGCTTGACGATGGCGGTCTGCTACTAACAAATCGCTGCCTGAGATGATCATGGGAGGACATCGGCATATCTGCAAAGGGAGGAGGAGGGCCGATCGGGGATTGGGGTGATATCTCTCCACCGCCAGGATAGCCAACAGGCATGAGATGATGGCCCCTGCTACCTGCTGGGTATCCCATTTGGGGTGCGGGATACCCTGGACCAGCCCAGGCCGCACCCATGTTCGCAGTAGGTGGCGGGGCACCAGAATAGCTCAGTGGCCGCGGCTTCGGTCTCGGTCGCTGTGGCTCTGCCACATTAGACGATGAATGTGATTTCGGTGGATAGCCGCTGGCATCTTCGGTGCTAATACGCCGACTTGACGATGGCGGCGCTGGGTATGTGCTCGCATGCCCAACCGTTGGCCTCCGCATCTTAGCGTTGGCTGGTGGTGGTGCGCTTCGCTTGTGTGAAGCTTCCGGGCGAGAGCTTCTGCGCTCTCCACGCGGCCGTTCAGCAGGCTCTGCTTCACGTGTACGCCTTGACGTTGGTTTCGGCTCTGCCTTAGATTTCGACTTGGACTTGGAGGACGAGCTTTTCTTGGGCAGGCTCTCTCGTGACGATCGAGTTGAGTCGGAGTAGTCATCTTGGGTAGACGAGGCCCCAGAACGGCCCTCTAGAGGTGAAGCGATGTCGACGGGAGAGTTTGGGGCGCACGAGTCTGTGGAGCTTTGGCCTTCGTCTGTTCTTGCGTACTGGCGAGTGCCTGCAATGGACTTGTCGGTATCGGGGTTGACATCCTCACAGTAGGCGACCTTGGAGGCATCCTTAGAGGCTTCCATGAGTAGCGTGGTGGTTAAAACCGGATTCTAGTGAATGTTGTAAAAAGCCGCAATGAATTTTAAATACACTGAATCAAAAGGAGCGGCGTCTTAATGCGCGCAAAAGCGCCGTCGAGTCGAGTAGGTCACCCCTTGTATTGGGTAGCTGGGCAAATTATTTTTTGGGCGAGTCGGCAGTGGTCGTTGCGTTGGGAACAAAGGGCTGAGCTGGGCCACAATGGCACCACGTCAGGTCACGACTCAAGCTATTCTCTGTAGTAAATCGAGCAAAATGTAGGCGGGCTGCGTTGATGCTGATGTAAATATACGGGATAAGCGCAGTGAAATCGAAATATCGAAGGCGTTGGGTTGTGGTTGTGAAAAGGAAGCAAACGAGTTGCACTTGATGACGGAGAAGAAAAAAGGGCGGTCGTCAGGCAGGAAAGGAATACAAAAGTGTAGAGTGGGGAGGGGGGGTGGCATAGAGGGTGTGTGCTGTACTTTGCTGGCACTGCCGGCGCACTGCGAGCGCACTGTGCAGTGCTGGCACTTGTTGCTGGCGCCAGGTGCCCGCTGTTAGTTGCCAGGTGCCGCCAGGTGCTGCCAGGTGCTGCTAACGAGAATGCTGCTGCGCACAACTCTGGGAGACCAGCCGGCCACTAATTTCACTCGCAGGGGCGCTAAGTCGCCCCTCTCAACCGTCAAGATGCCAGAGCTCTGCAAAAAGGCACCGCTAGGATGATGAGGCTGACGCTACCGAGGTTCCAAAATACGCAGCACGGCGCAACAAAAAACTAAAAAAGATGCTTTGATCTTCTTACAGGTAGGTGTCAGACGCCCAGGGGGGAATCGGGGTTGGACTCCGGGAAACAGCCCTGCTACGGGAACAGTCAGAACGCTATGATGTCTGTTGAGCTTCGGATGCCAATGCAGGCCTTGAAACGGTCAGAAGGCTAATTCATCTGCTTCTGGTGGCAAAAATCAAGATGCAAAGCAGAAACGTGTCATGGTAGTCGTTCGTCTTGCCCAGGCACACGCTGCGGTACACGTAGCAATAAAGGCGCTCATTTTACCTTCACTGGCTGCAGGGCAGAACAACAGCACCATACCAGCTGAGGTCGATGCGCTGGCGCAAGGGAGGGCCAAATGGCTCCTCAAGTGAGGCGCGCGCGTCGTAGGCAACGGAAAAGGCATCCAAGTGCACGAAGGAGTCATCTTATTCCGAAATAGGGTGCGCCACCGGTAGCGAGGCGAATAGAAAGGCTTTGTGTGTCTTTGTTTCCAAGGAGACAGCGTTGCGTCTCTACATACAGCGCCAACGAAAAAGGTGGTGTGTGAGGAATGCAGAGCGCTGCGCAAGACATCCAACACCAATCCGCCTAAAATCTGCCTATCAATGCAAAGTGCCGCCAGTATACGTCAAACCTGGGGCGCCGAGTTGGATGGTACTCAATACACTCGACGAAACAGTGTAAGGTACACTGTTAGCTGCTTGGGCGAGGCTGTGGTCAGAAACGAGTGCCACGCTAGAGGATCATTTTGAACCAATCCTTTCGCAAACTAGATGAAGTGTCCAGACACTTTGGCTCGCGTTCCTATACAGAATGGATAGCGCTTAACAATGGTCAACCTCGGCGTTATTTTCACTCTGACGAACAAAATCCGTGTAGACAGCGCTCTGGCCACTTGGATGGGCTTCTAGAAGATCTACTTGAATGCGTGGGTCGTCTTTACAATAAGCAGCCGACTGTACCAATATCAACTCAAAGCCTACAGTACACCTTGCCCTGTAGCGGACACGCAGACTTCGCGAGCATCAGAGCAGCAGGGGTGCCCAAGTGGTACATCGCGCTAGGCGTTGGAGCACTTTGTGCGTGCTGATTGTCGCCCAAATCGCCTAACAGTGTAGAGGTTCGGGATTCCTACGGCTTAGAGTGGCATGATATTATACCTTTGCTGCTGATGCAAGGGCTGGAATATCTGCCCAGAGAGTGCATTGGATCTAGAAGGCACAACGGCTTTGGAAATGATGTGTTAGCGCGGATGACGCCGACGACAATCTGACAGACCGGGAAACGACGTCTTCAGTCGATCGTTGGCGGAGTTGACCATTGACGGGAAATTGAACTTGAAGGTACAACCTTGCCAGTTGAATATACCTCCAACCGCTAACGATTTGGAGGTGCTGACAGGTACTATGCCGTGAACAGCGGGAGGCGAAAGCAGCCCTGGAAAAGACGGCTAAGCATAATCGAAGGGCACAAGACTAGAGCCGCCGTGGCCAAAGCAGTAACCCACCCCGCTTTCCCTCTGGAGGGAGAATCAGAGACTGGCAACTTTTCCTAGAGATCAGTGTACTGTGTGAATACTCTATCGGATCGTTTGACACCATGTACCCTTCAGATGGTGTCGTGACTCCGTCTCGTCAGCGCCTTATGCGAGCAATTGTGGTGACGACCCTTGTTCCTAGCTTCTTGGGCCCCTTTTCTTTTGCTCTCAGCTGGCTGGTTTAACAATAATTTTTCTACCATGTCCGGTTACAATGCCATGGAAAGATTTGCTGATTTCCAATGCTTCTTTTCGGAGCCCAACTGTGGATCTTTGTTTCTTCCCGAAGCCAATGTGGACACCCCGCGGGTCGGTGAAAGTACCTTTTGCCTACAAATTAGCGTGTAGAAATACCAGAGGTCAACTAGCTCCCCGGGTCGTCTCGCTGCCCGTCGTGGGGAACGCGGGACCCTGAAGCAGCGACGAGAAATACTTCTGGAGCAAGGTGCGGCATCCGAGACCCAGGATGCTGGTTCAACTCCCCCCCACGAAAAAGTTTTGCTGGGCATTCTGTATCACAGACATGAGCCGCACGGCTTGTCAAACGTTGTCCAAAGATACAATTCAATTCGTGTCTACAGTATATGGAAAGACATATTACGAGGCAGCAACAAGGGCGATGAGGAGCGCACGATCAAAGCATTGCTACGGACACGCCCCGTATGAGTTTTAAGGTAGCACGATGGCACAAAACCAACCCGACGCTCGGGTGGCATCGAAACACCTACAAAACGACGCCGTTGAACGTGCCATGGAACTTGAACACGCCAGTATCGACGACTTATCAGAGTATTTCCGTGATTTCCCAAATCGGTTTGCCACCCGGAGTCATAAAGCCATCGAGGCCGCTGGCCGGTAGATGGCTCGCGACCTATCTGGCACTAGGAAAAAGTCTGTCGATGCAGAGGCATGTTTAGCGTGGCAAGGCGTCAAGCCGCTGCAGAAAGAACAGCGTCGGCGACCCAAGTGAGGGGCGTGAGGAATTGTGCGCAATTTCTCGTGGGGATGCAGATGTGCGGTATCATGATTGGGCCGTCCAAGCCGCGTCATGGAATCGTCCACGCAATCGTGAGTAGATCCAAGCGGTTACGATGCTGGTACCTCCAGATGCTAGTTTCACGTTCATCTAAATGGCACTGTCAAGAACGCATAACGAAAGACCTGTTAAAGTCTGGGCTCATGCGGCTGGATCACTTTGTGTGCCATGCCAAGCAGATTACACACACGTCTACAGTGTTGTTGGTGATGCTTTGAGCTCGGCATTTGGCCATCATGCTGTCTATTTGCCCTCTTAAATTACCGGCAGACAGGCCAGTGCCAAATCAACATCGTGAACTTTTGGCATTAACCAAGAAAATCCAGTCATCCGGGATGCATGTCAGTCGGGCGTCTGTACAAGTCCATAAACCAAAGTACGTGCATTAGCTCGCTTGAAAAATGCCCACCGCTCTTTCGGACCACCACGATCTTTCCGTGCGCCACGAACATTATCACGCTTCGACATATACGAAAAGTTCCTTTTCGTAATAATATCCATGGCAAGAAACTACATCAAGTCAATGGTAGAAAAGATGGCTTCCGAAAAATCAAGGTCATGGCATGTTTGTAAGACAACAAAGGCTGCCCGATTGCGGCCTGATGTCGACTGCTGGTGACGCATCCGAATGTTGACGCTACTTGGGGTTACGTATTAAACGGTAGGCAACCGTTTCGATCAGCACCAACCCCATGTCGGATTTACGGCGCTAGGCAGGGTCTTCACTTGCCCCTAGATCCTGTATCAGGAAGATCTCGAGGATCAACCATCAAGGCATGGTCTATAAAGTGAAGAATAGCTCGATATGGTTGATAGTATCACCGTTCCATGTAGACTTGGTCATAGTGCCTGCTCCAGTAGCGGACAGCTACAAACATGAAGAATATATCCAAATAGGAAATACGCCTCTCGCCACCGGAGAAGTGTACCCGGCGGTACGACACGCCCCATGGGAATCTTCCGACGCTACACCTTGGAGTTGCAGGCTAGAGTGGGGATGTACAGCTAAACAGCTCACAAGACTTCGCGGTATTATACACAAACAAGCTCCGGCTGTCTTCCAATAAGGTCTTGCATGAGCCATTCATGTCAACGGCCGCTGTCCTTCTGACGTCGAGTGGCGTATGCCTTTATGCGGCAGTGCTGGCAGGCGTCGTACCAACTTACATGGTAGAATTCGGTCAAGATGACGCATTCTATTGGTTGGATAGATCTGTCGTTGTTTGTATGCGGCAGTCATTGTAGCCGACTAAACCTCCCGATGGTCGGCTGATTACAGCTATTCGGGCCTGATGTCAACTACGCTGATTACACTGAACTTGGATTCGCCTGTTCATCCCCATTGGACATGTCGAGCATACCATATAATTACAGTTGGGCATTGAATCCTTACGCGTTTATCCTAGGTACGTACTGGTTTTAGGAGACGCTTATTCGCAGCTGTAAAATGACATGTATTCTAACCCTAATCCTATAATCGAAATATATACAAAATTGTATAACGCTATAATCAAAATCCCAGCCCATAATTCAACAGATCCATCATACAGGCAGTACAAAGTCTGCAACGACTGGACGATGGTCCGAAATCATAACACCGTCGTCAAAGACATTGGCCAAGGTGCCAAACGTCTTGACTTGTACACTGCGTGGTTCCTGCACAAACAGAAAGTCTATCCTCTCTCTAGTCTCCTTGCCAAACCCAGTATATGTCAAGTCATTTCCATAGCGTTTGCCCTTGCCAACTAGAGCATGGACGTCTGACATGCCGGATCCCTCTGCGACCATGGCCTGGTACGCACCGTCACCTGGCGGGCTATTGAAATCGCCTCCAATAAACACCGCCGAGGGGTTGTATTCGTCTCGCCACTCCTGTGCAAACTGGATCAGCAGCTCTGCGCTGTGCTTGCGAGCCACTTGGCCAACATGATCAAAGTGAGTTGCAATGACAACAACTCTGGTATCCGTAGCCCGGTGCCGGAACACACCAATGGTGGCTATGCGATTCAGCACGGCATCCCAGCCGCGCGAGGGCTTAGTCGGCGTCTTGCTGAGCCATCGCGTATCCCATCGCTCACACTCCCAAGTCTCCGGCTGATAGAAAATAGGCGAGTATTCACCATCTGTTTCCTTGGTATCGCGGCCTCGGCCAACAAATGCCCAAGCCGACCCTAGGCGCTCGCCAATCTCAACAACCTGTTCATGAAGACACTCTTGCAAACAGAGGAACGCATTGTCGTGTCCAGCCGTGATAAACTGTAGCTGCGTGCCAAGCTTAGGTGCCCGCACCTTCCATGGCTTCTCACCAGCATCAGGCGACTGCGTCGCGTACCGCACATTGTAAGTGACGACACGCAACGGAAGCGGTGCGTGTAGCGAGCCAATGTTGTCATCCCTCCAACCCTCACGGGCATCTGCCACATATTGTTGTAAGATGGCCTGTGTGTTGTCCATGCTTCGTCGCTCAAGGGCCGCTGACATTGAGGGCATTCGCCAAGCAACCAAGACACCGACGACGAAACAGCAAAACAGAAAGTAGCGAATGTGAGAAGAGGACCGCAGCGCCCTCCGCCGTTCAAACAGAGCGCTGGTTGTCATATGCGCCAAGCACCGCTGGCCTCTTTGGTCAATAGGAGAGTATGGTAGTCTGGTATCGCCAACGTCTCACCGTTGACTCTGGGGTTGTGACGTCGATGTTACGCTGCGCGAAAAGCGGCATCGTGGAGTTGGGTTTAGCGTCTAAACGCCTCCATGGCCATTTGTAGATGGTAGTCACGTGCTGTGCCAAGATGCGAGCTGTGACGCGGCACGGATAATTTGGAGGAAGTTTAATCCACTGTGAGAAATTCCATGGACTAGTTAGACATGGTAGAATATTTTTAGGGATTTTATCTCGATCGCTGCAAGTAGTGTAAGCTTGTGAGGTTGTGGTGTGTTTACAGTTATCTACCTCTCGCGCCTAGACTGGACACTGTATTGGTGGCTTAGCTTAATTCGCTGTCTTGAGAGATTTTGAGCCTCAATTGCCTTTTGACGTGATTAAAATGTTTTCCAATTTTTGCTTTTTAAGGTTATGAGCTTCGCAAAGGCTATGAAACCACTGTTGTCTGGGCGCCAATGTGCGCGCAGGCGGTTATTCTTAGCTGCAAAGGGTGGTAGCCGATGGCAGTGGTCTCTCACAGCCGAAGCCTTCGATTAAGGTTTCTATGGGTTTTTGGGACCAATTTTAGCAACAATTTACATGAAATAAGATCTGGTGCAACGTAAGCTGTGAAGAGGCAGATCCGGTTTGCCTCTGATGTTGCCTGGTGTTGCTACCCTAGCGATGGCGGCGTGTAGACCCTCGGTCTCCCTGCACTGAGCCATCGCTGTCTTTACCACATTATTTGAGGTTCTGATTGGGTTTCAACGGAATTGAACTTCCTTTGAACGCTTTTGGGTCCTGAAACGATTGCGTTCTAGATGCGCTAAGGGAGACCGTCGAGATTGTCTGTGTTGTGTCCAGTTCGGCTGTTAGTGTCACCTGCTATATTTACCAACAGTAAGGGTGTAAAGACAGCAATAAGACGAACGATTGCGATGAATCGCGCCAAACGTCAATCTGCACCAATCGATCTTTATCGAGCTAGTTTTTACTGGATGTTGTTCACTCTTATGGCGTTGTGCGCGGCTGCATGTAACTGTAGCAATTGCAAGACTTGCATGAAGTTAAAATTAGAAACTGGAAATCGGCTATCGCTGATCCTACCATAGTAGGCAACTATTGCGACGAGTCTGAAGCCAATTCAACTCTAGAAGCAGATATTGCAAGCTGTTCATTGTGAGAGAGGAGCAATTGCCACGACAAAGATTGGCTTGTAGGGCTGGCGGCGCTGCCTGCACTGGAGCCCACTATCACCCGCTGCATCTCCACTGTGGCATCTTGCTTTTTCCTCTCCACACACTAAAATGGCCCGTCCCGTGCGGGGAGTAAGCAGCCATCAACGCTCGCTTCATCCGCTATCTGCATTAAAAATAGAAGGAACAGCTGCTTCTTGGATGAATACACAGCATTCAATAGATAACGCCTTCAAATATAGAGCGCCACTCGATAGGCGTTCAATGCTTGTCTAGCTGCATGCGGGGATGCAAAAGACACGGTATCGTATTACTCGCGGTTGACTAGAGCAAAGGCAAAGGCTGCACCGTGACTTTTCTTCAGTAAGAGACAAAGAACCTGACTGAAATGACGTCTTGGCTCGGGTATCAGTCAGCGACGTTTGGTGCTATAATAGGATCCGAACAGACGATGCCAAGGCAATGTAACTATACGACAACCACATGAACCACCACTAGCAGTTTTGCACTGCACTGCACGTGCGGAAGCGGACACGGACAACTTTCGATCGCTTTGCAGCAGCTCAAGTAGCAGCACCTCTTCGAGCTTATCGCTGTCTTAAACATGGCTGTCTGCACGCTGAAATCTCAAACTAGATGGGCTGCTCAGCTGCCCACCTCTCGGCAAGTTCCTTTGTCTGCATGAGCGCGGGTCGTGGGTACGGCGAACAATATGCACCGCACCGTCACTAGAAGCCATGTATCTATTGTCTTGGCCGGAGAGAATCTCGCTTTCTTTTTGGGAACCTGACAGGAAGGCGGCGTCATGGCGGCGGTCACGCTGCCTACGGCTCACCACTCAGCATACAGCCCTGGGGCAGATGAGCCACGAGGATGGCGAAGCCGTGGCTTATGGCCGGCGAGCGGCTTTCATTAGCACGTTTTCTTCTTGTTCTTCTCCGCAGGTTCCGGGAGACGTATCTATTGTATGAACTGGTGCGATTTGGATTTGGAGTGTCGTACATGTACTCAGTTGCCGTATTGTGTATTGTTTCTTGCGGCGAATGGTTGGTGCGCACTGCCTGACTAGTCACATTGTGCCAATGCTACCCAAGGCGTCACTATCACCGCCCTCGCCACTGGAAACGGTGAGTGCCGTACGTAGCGAGCTTTTTCTAAAAATTCCATTTTTTTAAGAGATGGGAAAAGCAACAGACACTACTGGGGATTGTAGCTGACGACGGAACGGGGAACGACGTCGGTTGGTGTACAATGACGCCACTGCAAAGGCATCATGCAAGGAACCATGCAGACATCGCCGTCGAGTTGGACAACGCAAACTGGACGACCGCGCTGCGATCCTACAAAGCAAGCCCGATCCGCGATGTGGATCATGCAGGTTTGCAAAACGGAGCTATTGTCCGCAAGTCCATCTGGCAAATGATCATGAACAGGTTCCGCTATCTGCAGTTGACCATGAGCAAGAGGAGCTACTTGCGAGGTCATCTGGCCACCAAAAGAGGGTGTGAGGTCTCAGCTTACGAGAACCCCCGGCCAAGCGGGAGCGGTGCGTGCAGGCTCTCGCGACGAGCCGCTACATGCATGCACTATAATGGGTTCGTCTTCTCCACCGATTGTCTGCTTCCCGCCCCATGCGGCCAGTCACTAGCAGCAAATAGGATGCAGCATGCAGACTGCGGGAGCGCAGACGTGATATCGCGATGTAACGGGCGGGTGCAACGCGACACCATCCGCAGCAGGCATGCCTGTTTTTTCAAACGGGCACCATTTATTTCTATTGACGGTCTTGCCGAATCACACGGCAAAGCGTATGACTCCTCGTAAAAGGAAAAGAAGAAAAAGATACCAAACGGGCAAACTGGTGCGCTTGCGGTAGCCCTGTCACTCTCTGGGGCTAGGGCTAAATGTCGCCGCCGCAAAACATGGCGTCACTCGCCGAACCACTCGGCAGCCTGCCGTTATGATAGGTCTCTTGACTAGGGGGGCGCTACAGCCCATCATTACCCATCCCATATTGGGCTGCCTGGTGTGCAGCCAGCACCAGCTGCCTCTCCACCACACCAGTCTCACACGGGCAGTGTTCGCCCACCTGCGCTATTCGAGGACGTGACCAATGGAACAAGAGGCGGGGGTACGCAATCGCGCGGCTGAGAGGTGGGAGTGGCGTGCGGTGCGTCCGTTTAAGTAGGAGCCTGTCTTGGCGCTGGTGATGTCGGAAGTTTTATATATTTGTCTCGTCGCCCTCATTGTCGAGCAAGACATTTGCTCAGAGCTCATCAGCCACTTTTTTCTTTTGGTCCTGATCGAAACCAGCCGCCCCCAAAGTCTCATCTATCTCTGACCTTGTTACTGAATACACTCTTCCTCATTAATATATAGTTGGCCGTCTCGTCCCCCTCGTGAAGCTGGGATAGAAACCCCCAGAGCACAGCTCTTCTCCCCCAAAGCCTCATTTTTTGTTTGCTGGCAGAAAGGAAAAGCTAAACAAGAAAGCAAGGCATCTGAATAACAAAATGTCTTTTGGCTTCAACACATCGGCGCGCCGGGACTCCTGGCCGCCCACCAAAATCGTCCTTTCTCGAAGCGTCTCGGCCAAGAGCGAGCCTCTGCCCGAAGATATCGACAAGGACCCTCTTACCTACTTCCTCACTCCGACCGCCGATGACGATGACATGGACCTCGACGAGGAGGACCACGCCATGATGGACTTTGACGCCGGCATTGAGGACTCTGCCCATCCCAAGCAGATTGTCCGCAGCCTCAGCCCGTCGAGCCTCGAGGGCCTTCGCCGCGGACCCCGATCCCCGTCTCCCGACTTTGACTCGGATGACTTCACCTCCGATGACGACGACAACGAAGACTATATCCGCTTCTCGCCATCCACGCTCAACCTCTTCCTGCAGCCCGAGCAGACGCTCTACAACTCTGGCGTCCGCTCTCGCAGCCCCGTCTTCTACCCCGTCGACAGCGACGGCTACCTCACTCCCGCTTCCTTCCCTGCTCCTAGTCCTCGCCGCAGTTCTTCTGCTCGCCGTGGTCTCTATAGAAGCTCGTCGGCTCGTGCTCGCCAGGGTCATCTCTGGCGCTCGCCCAGCCCTGACGTCTGGTCCATCAAGGAGGAGACTGAGGACCAGCTCCTTCGTGATGACGGAGCCATCCAGTCTCCCCTTGGTGGCAACCCTGTCGTTATTAAGAAGGACAATACTGTTCCTCAACTGAAGAAGAAGGTCCGCTTTATCCTGCCTCCCAAGGAGATATAAAGATCTATATTACACATACACATATACATGCATTGCTAGGCGTTTTCGGTGTTGCAAGGCGCGTGTTTGGTATTTTTGTTTTGTTTTCGTTCTGTCTATATTTTTGTTTTCTGTTCATTCTGCATCGGCGGTGCTTTCGGAGTTTTTTTTGCTGCATTTTTGTCTTTTTGGGTCCCGGTGTTTTCGGTGTTCGTGGTACATTGTATCAGTTGGTGATGGCTGTTGGGATACGGGTATTCCAACGCATCACCTTTTTGTTCTTGCATTACACTCCTTTTTATTTTCTCGGTTTTTATTTATTTATCGAATGGCCCGGGTCCGCGGGAATTCGCTTGTTTATTAGTTGCTGGATCACCTAATAGTTATTGTTGTTGTCCCTTTCTTTCCTACTACATACGACATTTATACAAATTTTTGGATTACCATGCCTGCTCTGCTATATCTGAATAGCAATACAAAGTGAATATGTGATATGCTGCTGATCCACCTGCTCTCCTCTTATCCTTCCATCTCCCCGATATAAACAAAAGTACGGTAATAGTAGGTTTACAGCTTGGATGGCACCCACTCCGGCTTCTCCTTCATGACAAACGCCATAAGACCAATCCGCAAATTATCGCCCTGCATCAGCGCCTTTCCATATCGCTCCTGGTTCAGCTGCGCCACGCGCTCCACACTAGCCGTCTCCCACGTCTCGCGGAGCCCGTGCCGCGTCACAATAATGGCGTCTGGCGACATGTCTGCTACCGCAGAGGCCAGGGCGACAGCTTCGTCGATAAGCGTCTCTGGGCTCTTGGCCACGCGTGCGAATCCATGGCTCGCGGCCTCTTCGGCACTCAAGACGTGGCCGGCCATGGCAATCTCACCAGCCTTTTGCATGCCAAAGATGCGAACCACGCGCGGGATGCCGCCTGCTGCGGCGAACAGGCCACGCTTGACTTCAGGCAGACCAAAGGTTGCCTTGGGCGAGGCAACTACCATGTCACTAGCAACAGCGTTAGTCATAGACTGAGATAGAAGGGTAAAGAAGAAGGGACGTACCAGTTGAGAGCAATTTCAAAACCGCCACCCAGCGCAAAGCCGTTGACGGCCGCAATGACAGGCTTCTTGCCCACGCGGCGTGTCAGGCCCATGAATCCACCGACAGGAAATGGTAGTGATTCTATGCTGCCGGGGTTTTGGTTCTTTTCGGCTTGTTCTTTGAGATCTGCGCCTGCGCAGAATGCCTTGGATCCTGCGCCGGTGACAATCGCCACGCGCAGCTCAGGCTCTTCATCGAACCAGTGCCATAGACGCTCGCCATCCCAGTGGCCAGAGATGGGAATAGCGTTCATGTTGCGCTCACGATCAATCGTGACGAGCAGGATATGAGGCGCGGGATAGGAGAGCTTGTAGAAGGGCGTCGCCGGTGGTTGGGTGGTGAGTTTGTCCGCCATGATTGACGCGTTGTATGTGTGGAAGATGATGGAAGCGTAAGAGGAGATTCTTTATTTTAGAGCAGATTTGTTTTAGTATTTAAAATGCAAAAAGAAATTGGCGTGATTTTGTCTGCGGTTGAAGAAATAAATGAACAGAGTCGGCAACACACCAGATAGCCGGGCTGCCGTTTTGTGTGGGGGAAGACAGGCGCCATTTGCGGGGGAGAGATGCCGGAGCCTCGGGCTAAATTGGCGGGTTTCCCGGTCCGGGCGGGCAACTGTTAGGCGCGTGTCTTATTTTTACTAGCAAACTGCCGTGTGAGTTGGACAGAGCACTATCATCATTTGCAAAAAATAAAAGCAACAAAATCACAGACTTATTACACAACAGTAGAAAGACCATGCAGCACGTACCCATCATTGTTGGCGTCGGCGACGTCCGCAACAAGTCCTTCGAGCCTGAAGATGCCATCGAGCCATCCAAGCTCATGATCCAGGCCATTCGCAGAGCCGCGGCAGACACAGGCATCGCAGAGTCGGCGCAGAAACAGCTGCTCTCTGCTGCGGATGCTCTGCGTGTCGTCCCAACTTGGACTTGGCCGTATAGCGATCTGCCCGGTTCCATTGCCAACGGACTCGGCATCAACCCGGCGTATCGTGAGATGCCGGGCCACGGAGGCAACCAGCCGGCGCTGCAGTGCGATGAGGCTGCGCGCAAGATTGCCAGGGGAGAGAGCAAGGTGGCTATTCTTACGGGAGGAGAGGCCCTCGCGTCCTGTAAGTGCTGAGAGAGATTCAACAGTAAGGCTGCTGGCTGATCGGACATTTTAGTGGGAGCGTGTCAGAAGGCTGGGCTTAGCCCACCACCAGGCTGGGAAGAGTCGGACCCCGATGGCTCGTCACTCTCCATGGACCTGTCTATCTTGAAAGAGAGTAAGTAGTGCTCGTGACGGCTATATGGGGAAAGTGCTAACGCAGCAGACTCTGGCTCCCTTCACTCCATGGGCCTCCCCATTCACGTCTATCCTATGTATGAGAATGCTCGTAGAGCGCTCAAGAAGCAAACCGCACGGCAAAATACTGAAGAGTCCGCCATCATGTACTCCAAGTTTGATGCCATTTCTAGCAAGAACGAATATTCGTGGAATTTTGGCGAGACTGTCAAGTCGCCAGAGCAGATTGGTACTGTTTCCAAGCGAAACCGCATCATTTGCGATCCCTGTACGTTATGATTTGCTTGTGATGGATAGGAAGAATACTAATAAGATTAGACCCTCTGGTGATGAATGCCTTTAACACTGTCAATCTCTCTGCAGCAGTCATTGTCACGTCGACAGATTTTGCTACCCAAATAGGCATCCCCAAGGACAAGTGGGTGTATGTTCTCGGTGGTGCCGGCACGCACGAAAAAGAAAATTGTAAGAAATTATTTCTGGCGTCAATCATGCGTATTCATCTAACTGGCGTATAGTTTGGGAGAGACCGCATTTCCATGATAGCCCGGCCATTGGCAAATCGATCGACTCGGCCCTCGACGTCTCTGGCTTGACTAAGAACCAAGTCGACATTTTTGACTTTTACTCGTATGTAAATTTGTCCAATATGTCATGGAAATCTACTAATGATGTTTAGGTGTTTCCCAATTGTTCCCAAGCTTGCATGCGATCACCTTGGCCTCTCGACAACCAACTGGGATAAACCCATTTCTTTCCTTGGTGGCCTCACTTCATTCGGTGGCGCTGGCAACAATTATTCTATGCATGTACGTTATCCCTGATATTTCATTCTGTAGCTCATACTAATCCAGCAGGCCATCTCTGCCATGACACGCCAGCTCAGACAGCACACCTACCAAACAGGTTTAATCCTCGCAAATGGAGGCATGCTGACCCATCAGTATGTCATCTGTCTCTCGGGAAGCCCACGTAAAGACGGCAAGCCGTATCCCAAGGCCAATCCCCTTCCAGAGCACTATGCGCACCCTGAGCCATCTTTCACAGAAAAGGCTACAGGCAGTGCCGTCATCGAGGTACGTTTTGCATGTCCACTCTTACAAAGTAGCAACTAACCTGAACAGACATACACTATTGAATACGATCGCTCAGGGTCACCTGCACTCGCCTTGATTGTTGGAAAGCTGCAGAATGGAACTAGATTCTTAGCCAACCACGGTGATGATGCAACTTTATCGCAGTTGGCGTCCTCTGCGGCTGAACATGTCGGTCAGCAGGGAAGTGTGCGCAACGATGAGGATGGCAAAAATCTATTTTACTTTGATGTCAAGACAAAACTGTAGCTTATCGCAGTTCCTACATAGAATATCTTTATAAACTCTACGCCTATCATATGTGGCATATTTACTTTGGAGCTTATGATAGTGACCGTCGAAATTATTTAATCTTTCTATATTTAGCTCTAATTCAGTTGCTATCCAAAAAAGCTTCTGTTACACTTTTTCCAGAGTGGCTATGCTACAAAACCTTTAGGTCATTCTTTCAAAAACGCCAATATCAGAGGGACTGAAGAAAGAAGCTTTTCGCCAGCGAGCATATATAAAGTGATATAGGTCAGGATACACAAACCGGTAGGTAATAAATCAAACTTCACCATGGCTACAAACATGAATCCTGCTCCAGCATATACCGCAACTGCACTGCCAGGCCAGGCAACCGCGCCTCAGCGGATAGCCATGGTAGATCTTGAAGCAAACCGAACTGTGAACACGACAGTCAACGCAACAACAGTCAACACAACATCAGCGGTTCAATGCCGATACCGACCATGGTATGCTCGCAGATCACTTGCCATAATTTTCATGTTATGCATAACTATACCAGTTTGCATTTATTTGGTATGATTAATCCGCGGTAAGAAGATAACCCAGCAGCAGTGGCTAACATGACCAACACAGTTTATGAGGCGATACCACTGACTTAGCAACTACATTTGCTCGCTGTTGTCTTGTGATGACTCGTTACGGAAAAATTTGAAGACATTTGGAAACGCTCAGTCTCTCGCCAATCTCTAGAAACAAAGTCCCGTGCAAATGCCCCCCCGTATCGTTCGGCGGCGGCGAGTCATGCTGAGGAATGGAAGCAAGTAACAGGCCTAGACAAGCGCTTTTATGGTGCTCACCATCTTCACGGTTTAGACTAAACAAAGCATTGATCGGTTGATTCTGCGCAGTCTTTAAATAGAAAAGAGAGACAATATTCAAACGACTCATTTACATGCGTAGGCGATGCTGGTGGTGGGGGGCATTTGGGTCCCATGCAACATCACCATGGCCTGTGAAGGTTTAGCGTAGAACATGGGGATACCATCCGCAGTGGAGGCGACCATAAGTAAAGCCAATTTCCCTCCGTGGTTTTCTAGAACATCTTCTCTAGATAGGCCCAAACAGCATCCCATGAAGCTCTCTCTTATCGTATCGCTAGGCGCTGCTGTCGCTTCTGCCAGCTTCCACAACGACGCGCTGCTCAAGCACTTTGCGGGCAAGCTGGGTGACAGTCTACCCCCCGTCACAACAGCCACACATCAAAGGCCTCGATCGGCTACTCCAGAGCCCAATCACCGGTTCTTGACAGACAAGACTCGCAGTATGAGGCCTCGCTTGCATACAGAGACACCAAAGACCAACTAACACGTTACAGAGTTCGCAGTCAATGGCTCCGCGCTTCCGGACGTCCATTTCAACATAGGCGAATCCTATGCCGGGCAGTTGCCCATATCGAATAAGACCCATGAAGAGAGCAACTTGTTCTTCTGGTTCTTCCCTAGTGCCAATGAAGAGGCGCGCAACAAGAAAGAGATTGTCATCTGGCTCAATGGTGGTGTAGGTAACGCCCGCTCCTCTCTTCATAAACAGCCTTGGTTAACTCAACTACATACAGCCCGGGTGCTCATCCCTTATCGGCCTCGCGCTAGAAAATGGTCCGTTTGTATGGATGGATGGCCGTGACGCTCCCGAGCAAAACTCGTGGAGCTGGCATCTGCTCACCAACGTTATTTACATCGACCAGCCTACCACTGTCGGCTTCTCTACAGGCAAACCAACCGCCAACGATGAAGACACAGTAGCCCAGCAGTTCATGGGCTTTTGGAAAAACTTTTATGACGTGTTCGACCTGCACGATTACAAGGTCTACTTGACCGGCGAGTCGTATGCAGGCATGTACGGGCCATATATTGGCAGCAACATGATTAACGCCAAGGACAAGATCTACTTTGACGTCGGTGGTCTACTCATCTTTGATGGCAGCGCATGGGACTTTGTTGTTCAAGCCTATGTTCCTCAGCAGACATTTGGAGAGCAGTGGAGCGGCTTGTTGCTCCTCCCGGATCCGACGCGCGATGCGCTTCACAAGCAGGCCCAGGACTGCGGCTTTTACGATTTTGAGAAGCAGTATCTGCAATTCCCTCCTCACGGGCCCATGCCACTTCGGCCTCCTGGCTGGGCGCTTCAGGAGAATGGTACGGCCTACTACCGCCAAGAATGCGACGTTCTCATGGGCCAAACTTGGAGTGCGTACGCCATGGCAAATCCTTGTCTTGATCAGTATGATATCCGCGGCAAGTGCCCATCTCCAACGCCGCACATCATGGCCGAGCACAGCTGGTTTAATCGCCCCGAAGTAAAAGCTGCCATTCATGCTCCAAACAAGGACTGGAGCCCTTGCGTGGATGGTGCTTTGACAGGTTATGACGATTCAGACCCTGCAAGCGTCAAGGTTCTTCCCCATGTTATCGATGCCACACAGAATGTCATTTTCTCTCATGGAGCCACTGATATGCTACTCAAACTCAACGGCATGATGCTCGGTATTCAGAACATGACCTGGGGAGGGCAACTTGGCTTTCAACAGGTACCATCGGATCCGTTTTATGTACCCCTGGTTGGCCAAAAAGATGGGGATGGACGGACAATGTACGGGGAGAATCTTCCCGGCGGCGGAGGTGTCCTTGGTACCACTCACACTGAACGTGGATTCACCATGGTAGCATTGGCTGCATCGGGCCATGAAGCGCCAATGCTGTCCCCAGCAGCTGCTCTCAGACAGCTTGAAAAGCTCTTGGGTCGCGTTGCAAGCTTTACAGATGTGTTGCCATTCACACTGCCTCAGCTAAAGAACGCGACGCAGCTAAGCGGCCCGCTTGGAAAGGGTGTCGTAAAGATTGGCTGCATCGGAAAAGAATGTGTCGGCCCATAGATAGCAATAATTTGTCCTGTTGTATATAGTTGTGCATCATAATTCAATCGATTCAGTCTTAATCAGTATCCCAGTGGCTTTCCTTCTCCAGTGGCGCATACGCTCTATCCCTCCCTTACGTATGGACATATTATTATATGCCGATGCATGCACTATAACTCAGTGCATGGATGACACCTTGACCTGCTACGGGAACTTGCCTGTGTGGTCCGGCTGAGTGTGGTCATATGGGTCAATGCAGCCTGATAGGATGTGAGATGGTGTGCAGCCAATTCCGACTAGGCCGACGCCAGGATACGACGTATTTTGTCCATCTTTAAGCCTGCTTTACGCTGCACCTGGTCATAACCCAGAAATAGTTGGGCAATAAAAGCTGGAATCGAGATAGGGCGCATAAAGGCCCCGGTCAGGCAGATTCGTTATGAGTTGTTGCTCGAAAGCCGCCACCAAGTCATACAATCGTGGTCCTGGTTTGCTTTGTTTTGGTGGTGCCTGCTTGGGTACAAACGACCACAGAAGCGCATTTAACCACAGAGGAATAGTGTCCTGCCTCCAATCCAAGTGGTGGTGGAGAGTTTTGCAGCCAGAAAAAGCCACTCCTACGGCGCATCCATACGGCAGCTGTTGCATGAAACGTATAGCAGCGGGCGTCATACCATCATCCTCATCAACAACACATCCAAGACCTGCACCGTCGGCCATCCAAACAGGTGACATGCAAAAGGAGCCGCTAAACAAAAACGCCGCTAAGAAGAAAACAGAGTTAGCTGCGGGAGCAAGGCGGTGGCTGCTGCTGTGGAGCGTCCCGTCAGAAGGCCCAGTGGTGGAGTCGCGGCGTGGGCGGGGCGTTACTGCGGCATCCAGCACAGGCTACAGCTGGCTTTCTTGGTTTGGCAGATGGCGGCGGCTGGCGCACCTGGCACAGCTGCACCAGCTGCAGACAAGCTCCATCTTTTGTGCCTTGGAAGTGAGCCAAGGTCGACCCGGACGGCCCTTCAACCTCAGCATCTTATCTTTACCTTTTGTTTTTATTGCTTGCGGTGTAGATTGCAGGGACTTTTCTTCCGATCTCGACATTTGCGCAAACTTGCAGCGACTCCTTTTCTCCTTTGCGCGTCTACCGAGCAGCAGACAGCTACACTTCTACATTCCCCATTGTCTACACTCAAAGGCCTTGTTTACACACCCCTCGCTGGCCGCAACGCGACGACAACCATCGTACGACAGCACAAACAACACATCTGCAAAGATTGCTTTGTAGCCGGAATACAAAGAAACACTGAATCAAGACACTCACTTACATCTGGATCAAAATAATATGCTAATCGGGCTGTTCTATTGTAAGTCGCGCCCGCTTCCCGATCAAGTAAACACAGGAATGTAACAGCCACACCAGCATAATACTTGGTGAAATGTCGCCCGACGACGGAGCCGAGAGCGACTACGGTCCGAAGACGCCCAAAAAGACAACCAACGCTTTCAAATCAAATCATGGCACGCCTACAACTCCAAAACGACGATCCCCCACTGGCGATGCCGTTCCCAAGTTGGCACCGGCGGGTGGCCGACGACGATCGAACTCGAGAAGACACGATGCCACTTTGCTATCCGACTTCTTCATGGGCAAGCAAACCCCCGAGAGAGTCGCTGCGGAACGCGCAGAGCGCAAGCGACGTCTTGCGCTGCAGGCTGAGCAAGCCGAGGCGCGCGCAGAAGAAGCCCGGTTAGAACAACACGATATGAAGCAGAGCGCCGTCCGCAAACTTCAGCAACCTAGCGGCGTGCGCGATCGAGTTCGAGCCTGGCAAAACTCAAGCGGTGCAGCGGCGGTAAGGGGCAATCCCGAGTACGCCGCCACGGAACCCAGCGATGTTGCGTTCAATGGCGAGGATCTCGAGAGTGTTACGGAGGAGGATCGCGTTCGAATCAAGCTTCGCAAAAGAAGGCAGTCGGTTGTGAAGATGGCAAAAGACATAGCAGACGCTGAAGCAAAGTCTACGGCAGATAATCAGGACTCACAAGACGACGATGATGTCCAGTCGGTCGCGACTCCTCGAAAACGAGTCGTCAGCGATCGCAACTGGATGAAACAGCGCTCACAAAAGACACCACCGAGAAAAGTGTCACCTACATTATCTAGAAGCTCCACAGGAAAGCATGCGCTTCCCCGAAACTTCCTTGCAAGACCAACGCCTAATCCCTCAGCCTCACAAAAGGTGAAGAGCTGGGCTAGCAAAGTAGAAACAAGCAGCGACATCAGCAGTCACTCCTCATATCGCCCGCCCAAAAGCAAGGACGACGACAACTCAGGCACCGTTCGAGCTACTCCAACAAGACATAGAGGCTACGACGACGGCATCCGCGTCACCGGCTCAAACCCATCATCGGTTGTACGGGATGATGGCATCCGCGTCCGTCCTACCGAGGGTTCTGATATCTCCTTCCCTGGACAAACGTATAAACCGCCCCGCAGGCGCCGAAGCAAGAGTCACAGTGATAGCTCGCGCCTAACAGGCTCCGCCAGCGTGAGTGAGCTTAGTGCCAAATTCTCAGAAATGAGCAAACCCTCCGATGTGAGCGATTGGAAGCCCCCACCTTCAACAACCAAGGTTCGCGAGAGAGCCAAGAGTTTCCATGCGGCCGTTGAAAAGGCTCGCAACGGGGATGGTAGCACCTTATCTGACAGTGCTCTGGGAAGTAACTCTGACCTGGGCTCCAACTTGACTGCCAAGACTCTCGCCGACATCCCAGGAGATATACCGTTTGGGCATTCGGCTTTCAGTGAACTTGATTTGACGGTTGGTGGTACCGGCAAGAGTCGACCCAAAAAGCCTAATGTGGAACGCAAAAACAGCATAAAGGGTATGCCCAACGTTTTCAAAAAGGTGGTTGAAGAAGGAAAGAAGATTATCCAGGAAGTCAAGGATAAGGAACCGCCTCGACCACAAGTCGCAAACAAGCCTCCAAGCATAGAGACGTGGCTCAACACAACAGTAGATCCGTTTGTCGACACTCCCTCTGGGAAGCCAAAGACGGAAACCACGGCGCCAAAGGCAAAGGATACTACAAAATCTGAAGAACCAAAGAAAGTTTCTCAAAGACGATCGTCTGTTGTATCAAATGAGACGGCTAGCGCAACGCAAGAACGAGTTCGTGCTACCGAGCCAGAGACCACTGAAGCAAAGTCTCCCGAAACTCCGAAGACCCCAACACCGGTGGCTTTAAAACGACGAAGTGCTACAAAGACCACACCTACAAGGTCAACAGGAAAGGGACAGTTCCTTGGCCTATTGAAGCAAGCGTTTCAAGGCGAGTCGGCAGGATATTCACCACCACCAAAGACCTACCAGACGAAAGAGGAACGGAAGTTTGACCCTCGTCATGAGCCTGTATATGACGAAAGTACCATTCTGTCAAGTACTGTGACAGGTAGTGAGCTTACAGAGAGCACCTTGAGCCAAGAAACAAGATCCACAGGTCGCTCAGATGGCTCCTCGGAATTACACAGCCCACGTTATCGCCCTCCCACAACTGGCAGACATGAACTCTCTACCATCATGTCAGAAAGTGACCACTCAAGCTCGCTAGGCTCAGATCTCAGTTCACCTGCAACCGAGTCCACCTTGACGCAGTCGACAGTTGTGACAAAAGAGAGTGACGACTTGACGACAAAGGAGCCAGCGTGTGGATTAAAGCGAAGACTAACCAAGCACTCTGACCTCGTATCAGTCCTTTCACTCCCTGACAACAATGGTATCGCTCATGATATTGCAACCGGTCGATCACGGCCCAGCCTTCGACGCAAAAAGGGCGGAGCCTCTGACGCCACCGCCGACGAGCTGTTGAAAGAATTCTGCGATGATGAGGTTCTATATATGCGCGAGCTTCGGACCTTGGTTGACGGCGTTATTCCTGTTCTCCTTAGCCATGTCATGAACGGAGGTAGCGGCATCGGGCTGTTTGACTCCAACGCGTCGGTTGATTTGGATAGCATGTCCAAGTCTGTTGTGAAAATGGGTGTCGCGTTGGAGAAGCTCAAAGTCGCCCACAAGAAAGCCCCAACTGCCGATATTCGTCGCCTAACACACTGGGCCCATGGTGTCATTCCTGTATACAGTAGCTATGTGTCTGCTTGGAGACTCGGCTTCCAAGATGTGGTCGTTAACCTTGCTCCTGCTGGCGATCGAGTAGAGGAGGACTCGCTACTAGACGCTTTACCTCAAAACGACAAGGGCGATCTGCTCAATGCTGATGGCGACAAGGTGGCAGTTGCACACTTGATGAAGCGACCACTGGTTCGAATCAAGCACATGACGAAGCTTATGCGCTGCGCTGATGATCTCCTCAACACACAAGATACCCATGATTTGCTCCGAGATCTCGAGAGCCTCCAAGAAAAGGCACGACGACGCAACCGTGAGGAGATTGCCAGAATCACAGATGAGGATGCAGCAAACACAGATATCACTCGATCAAGAGACATCCGAACTCTTGATGCGGCCGAAGTGTCCTACATCGACCCGACCCTCCAGGTCAATGCCAAGGACATATTCTCTCTCGACTTTGTACATTCAAATGGACAGCGCTTGGAATGTCGAGTTGAGATTATTTACCGCGATTGTTCTCGACAGCCGGATCGAGAGGGCGATATCCTTATCCGTGAAGTAGGCGATGGTAACCGAACGTATCTCCTTTTCCCAGCCATCCCCATGTCTCTTGTATCTGCAAGAACAGGCGACGGAAACTTTGACATGGTAATGATGATTCGGGGAACCCGCAAAGGAAAACAGTGGCACGAGCTTTTGACACTATACACCGATAATGAGGACCAAATCCTGGACTGGCTCGATCTTTTACCCGTCTCCCCAGTACCCCCGCGGGAGCCTGAGCCAAGTGTGGTTGACGACAGCGACTTTTCAAGCGATAGAAACATCCCCGTCGGAGTACGATACAACGATGGCCGCAAGTCTCCTTTGATAGCATCTCCAACTAGCCCGCGTACGCCAAAGCGATCACACGATCGCCGGGACGAGCATGAAGACATGGACAAGACGCCCACTCAGGAGGAATATAACAATACTACAAGCCCTCTGCACGACATGGTACCTGCTCCTCTCAACCTTCGAAACAAGAAAACACCGCCTCCTCAGGAAGATGACGATGCTCCTCCTCCTCCGCCAGCCCACCGAATTCCACCCTCAAGATCTCTTTCCAAGCATGAGCCGGACTTGCAACCCAGTCCCAAGGATCAACTCAAGCGACGAGGGTCATCACCACTCAAACATGAATATTTGCCTTCTGATGCCTCCTCAGCATCAGCATCTTCGCAAGTCAATAGTGATGAGGATTCGTCAGATGATGAGATTGACAGCATTGATATTCCCGAAACAGAGCTCGGCGTCAGTATCGACAGCAAGCCTATTCAACCAGTGGATAGCAGCAACTTTGGCTCCGAGGTCAGCCTTACACCGTCTAATTCAGCATCTCAGGCCCATAAGCACGCGCCATCCATGGCTGAGACGATCCCTCAGTATATGGCATCTATCTCCAGGTGGTCTGATAAAGGAATGTGGAAAGACATTTCTCCTCAACCATGCTCCATTGTCGTTTCCGATGGGTTGATCGAGGCATACGCATATCGCCCTGCTGGTCGGGGACGATCCAACAGCACAAATCACGGCGTCGTTCTCGATGATCAACCCCTGGTGGCCCTTGATCTGACTCCTCTCGTGCTCATCCGCCAGAGCACTGCCCTTGATCTCGAGGTCCGCTCGTCCTTGCAGCCGCATTGCATTCTCCAACAGAGCATCAGCTCAGGCAATTTCCGCTTCCGATGTCACAACGCGCCCGAATGCTTCGCCCTCTACATGGCTGTCCACCATGCCCGACTCAACAACCAAAAGTTTATCCAGCTTGAAAACGAGGCACGTTTCCGAAGCTTTGGAGAACGCAGAATGCAAGAATACAATGGCGACGATAACGCCGCCCCCAAACGACGAAGCTGGTTCGGAAGAAAGAACAGCTACCGTGGTTCTGTTCGGGCTCCGTCTCAAGACGGCAGCGTCACCCCATCATCCACCCCTTCAGCAGCATCATTCCTCAAGAGAATTACCAACTCGGGCAACACGGCGTTCAACTTAGAGCGTTCGTCAGTGGACCGTCACAGTGCTGGCGGCTCTGGCCAGAACAGCTTATACTCATCATCTTCGCATAGCGGTGGCCGATCCCAGGGCATGGGCAGCAGCAACGGCGAGCAGCGACTCTCTAGCATGGACAATGAAAACATTCGCATCCGCCTTCACCTTCTTGTTGCCGCTGCCAAATGGGAAGACCTGGGCAACTGCACACTGCAAATCCGCAGGCCGCCTCCAGGATGGCGCCAGGCCCTCCGTGCCAATCACGGTCTAGAGAAGCGTGTCACTGTCCTCACGGCTCCTAAGAAGGACGGTGAAGTTCCCCGAGTAATGCTAGACGCTGTCCTGGGAAGTGGCTGCTTCTCAACGATGGGTGCCCGAGGCATTGTCTGCGGTGTATGGGAAGAAGTCAAGGGCGCAGACGGCGTCATTGGCAGTGTGCCTCACCAGGGTGCTACAGGTGGTAACATTAAGAAATGGTGCTTCCAGCTCGCCAATGCAGCAGAGGCCAGCTGGGTGCTGCGTTTGGTTCACCAAGAAGTGTTGATGACTTGATTTCCATGTTGTTTTTAGATTTGATATTGTTTCGTCTCTTTTTCGTTTCCATGATATCCTGGTACAAGTATATACGGGGAGGAGTAATGTGGTAGAATAATTGTATTTAGCGATGTTGTACATTTACGGGGAGTACATATAGAGATGGATTGACATATTATACATTTGATTTGATTTTAAACACGTACATGTTGTGCTGTTCACTCACCGGAGATGCTTAATTTGTATGATAGTGTTGGTTCGTGATAAATCGCCGCGCCACTTAATCCGTCTTAGCAGATGCTGATTTGGGCGTCAGTTGTCCTCTAGTATAATATAAGTCTCTAGAAGAAACCGTAGTTTATTTTCTCAATGAAACATATTTCTAGGCTTTTTTTCCAAGTGGCAAAATCAAAAGTCTCGAGACCTGGTCGATGTCCAGGGTAGCCTTATGACCTGTGACTCCTCAAGGCGCAGCGTATCATCCACTAGGCTGACTCTGCCTATTCACCCCCCTGTAAAGTGGATTCTAAAATTACCACAGGGCTATCAATACGGCCAGTAAAACAGGTCGCTTCTGGATACAGGTTCCCAGGGCTCTTCAGAGTGTGAAGCAGCCAATGGAATGCCTGGTCTCCCCGCGTGTTGAACTACCAGGCCATCGCGACGAATGACTCCAAACCTTAAGAACGGCACGTTGCACTGAACCTCGAAGAATGGAGACAATGGGCTTGCGGAAACGCAGAGGAGCTAAATTCCACGAATGGTGGCGAGCCATACGCTGACGCGCTAGACAAATCGGGTAGAGCCGCGGGGCGTGGCTAGATATTCCCACTAATTAGGAGGCAGTTCGGGGTACCTCTTCGAGCTGCTCGGCTGCACAAAGAAGGTTATAGTGGGTGACGCCGACCACAATGCCAATATGATGGTGCTATAGAGGTGGGTTTGCATTGAAGGCGCCGTGAGATTTTAGTCGTGGCGCCGGAAGAATAGAGGAGCTGTCGAGTCGAGTCGAGTATATAAGAGGCAGAGCGAGGGCAGCTATCAAGTCGTCTCTTCGATAGAATCAACACTCATCTTATACCCAAATCCAATCAACATGCAATTCACTACTACCCTCGTCGCCGCTACTCTGGCCTTAACTGCCTCTGCCGCGCCCTCTGGCGAGATGGAGGCCCGCGCCGACCCCGTCAAAGGCAGCAACACTCCCGGCTCCATCTTCCAGTTTGGTGACTACAAGAAGTGCCGCAAGACGTTCCGCGACTCGGGCGCCTGCGGCATCAGCACCTACTTCAAGAACGTCGACCAGAACATGCCTCTGATTGCCCTTCCCAGCGGCTACTTTGACAAGCACGGCCCGTCGGACCAGGAGAACAAGCTCTGCGGCAAGGTCATCACCTTGACTCACAACGGTGTTACCAAGAAGGCTGTTGTCGCCGACGAGAACACCAGCTCCGAGCAGAGCATCGACATGTGCCTCGAGCTCTGGCAGGCCTTTGGCGGCCACGACAACGACGGTACCCTCATCAAGCCCTTTAGCTGGAGCATTGCCGTCTAAGCGTGTGGAGGAAGTGGACAAAATTGTAACTTTCTTTGTTGTATATCTTTCATCCTGGCAAGGATGCCCTTACAGACCTGGCGGTATGAGCGGCCAGGCCTGTCTTTGTGCAAATAGACGCAGCTCATAAAATATCACACTCGTACATACATTCTATGCGCGCGTACCGTTCCGTGTTCAGTTCAAGACCGTGTTTATTCGATGGACCCCTGTATTTTTCTGCTTGTTTCTGCCTTGTTGCTCCCTGCGCGTTGCATTTGCGTCTAAATTTAAACAGAGACCCCGAGTTGTGAGAGCGTAAAATGATGGCGGCCAGCAGGTCAAGCTTTACGTCAGTCAGGCTGGGCTGCTCCGCTGCAGTGGGCCAGTAGCGTGCGCGGGAGTGACCACAGGGGGATCTGCGCCACTGAGGCTACGGCCGTCTGCGCCACTGGGTCCCTGGTCGGCGGCCAGCTGGTGCCTGGATATAAAGCTGAAGGGGTTCGCCACGGGTCGTGAATTACTTTGCGATCATCATCACCCTACCGCAACCTTTCTCTTTCTTGTGTGTTTGCACAGTCCGGCAAGCCGATTCACTGTTTCGGCGCGTCCATCACGCAAAAAAAGTTTCTAAAACACAACCTCCGCTCTCCCCACGCATCGACTCTCCCCGCGAACGCCATGTCCCACTCCAAGCCACTATGGCTTGTCCAGCCTTGTTTGGATGCATCTGTCTATCGCGAGTCGCTCATCGGGAGCATCGTCAAATACCCCGATATGCCCTCGGAGCGCCATATTCCTTACCGATCGAAGGCTCGCCCCAAGGATATCCTCGCCGACCTTGACCCGGCTGCCGTGCAGGTGCGCAATGTCGAGTTCTGGAGGTCCAAGATCAAAGACGGCCACATCAAGGCTGCCGTCAACGATATCTTCAAGCTCATGGGCGAGCTGAACAACAAGGAGACACATAGCAACAAGGCCACTGTGGCGCGTATGTGGCATATGGACTCTCCTGGCGAAAAGTTCAAGACGCTGCTCCAGAATAAGGAGTACTTTGAGGAGGCGTTTGAGCTGCTCCGCGAGAACCATGGCGAGGGTTACTTCATCTCCGACATTGTCACCTTTGTCAACCTCGAGATTGCTGATAACAAAAGCAGCTCCAAGACTGGTGACATCTCTGCACAGATTCCTGTCGATCCCAGCACGGGCATCAACGTTGGGGGCGGCACGGGCATTGTAGTTGTCAAGGAGGACAAGTTTTCGGCGTCGTTTGAGGGCGAGCTCATTGTGTTTGTTGGCTACCGCCGTATTACGCTCCGGAAGACTAAGGGTTTCCGCGCCTGGCTCACTCGCCTGTTCCGCGGCTCCTACTACGGCTGTGTCATCTCCCCTGCTGGCTCTTACTACGGCTCCGACTATGTCGCGGAGGTCGAGGATAGACCTGTCGAGGGCCAGACCAACTTCCTGTCCGGCGGAGGCGCAGCAGACTTTACCGAGAAGCCTGAGACGGAGGAGGAGAAGCTCAACGCCAAGATTGTCGAGGAGCTCGGCTTTGATATTAGCATTGGAGGTCACACCAGCAGCGGCGCGACTACGGATGCGCTTTCGAGCGAGGCTGCTCCCGCCTCATAGAGTGCTGGATGCTGGCTCGTTTGTCGTTCTTCTATTGTTAACGTACTTCTTAATACCCCCCTAACGTTCTGGAATGATTCCCAATAGATATACACCTATAATAATGAATAGACGCAATCCATTGAAACTACCGCACACACTTTCTCTCGCTCATGGACACACACCGGGATTTAGAGTTTGTCTTTGTGGTTACTTGTGCAGTATTACATGGGGTTGGTGTGTTGGACCGCCCCACGCCTGTTGGACGCCAGTGTGTTTGGGGCGTTTCTACAGGTTGTCACACTTTTGCGCAAAACACCAACACTCGCCTGGAAAGTCGGTTTGTAGCATCGTCAACACGCGGCGATTTTTATGGTTCAACATCACAAAGCGAATGCAGCCAACCAAAAAAAAATTACTTCGTCACATCTCCAATATCCATCGTGTTGGCTGCTCATCACCTGCAGCCGTGGCGCATCCACCGGCCAGGCTCTCGGCGGGGGCGTCTTTGGCCGCTAAGCCAAGATGGACGATGGCGCCTAATAGCGTTTAACAGAGCCATTTTCTAGCGGGCTACGGCCGGTCTGATTGGCTACATGGCGGCTTTTCGGTTGCATTCTGCGACTCAAGCCGTTGTGGTTGTCTTGTGCAGTTCCCCGATCGCCGTGACCTGACCAAACACCCGTTCCCCTCACTCCAGGCCAGCGCCGACCAACACTCACCTTTTGCAACCAACACCAGAGGGCGCAACACCAACAACAGCGTCTTTTTCTATCGCCTCTATATTCTACAGACACTGGGCTTCTGGATATTGCGAATATGTTCAAAGTAGACCGGACCAAGAATCCCCAGCCACAGCCGCAGGCGCAGGCGCAGCTGCAGCGCAAGTATGAGCCTATGGAGGAGCTCTTAATCGAACTCTTCACCGCGCCAGGCCTCCGCCAGATACGATTCTTCGATGCGGTAGCCATCATGACACTCGTGTGCATATTTGTGCCATGGGTGCGCCGCATATCTCGCTTCCTTAACACGAGGATGAACCCAAAAAAGTCTGCGCTGTTGAGTCTGCCCTACGAGTTGCTCGACCACATCACCGACATCGTCTACGAAAATGCCCAACGCCCTGATTATAAAAGCAAGGAGGCCGAAGCATGGCGGCGCACACTCAGCAGTCTCCCCAGAACTTGCCGAGGCCTCAGGGAAATGATGCAACCCAAGTTATACCGTCGAGTCGGCACAAAGCAAGCGCCGCTCCGCCTGCTGATGGCCCTTTTAAAGTACGAAGAACTCGGCGAAATGGTCCAAGAGCTTGTGCTTAAGGACTGGCATATCGAAAGCTACAAAACATTAGAAGATTACCAGTCCATCAGCAAGACGATCAATGCTGCGCTCCGCCTGTATGGTGTCAGAAACCAGGCTGGCGAGGTTGCGACTTGCCCCAAGATTAGTTACTACACCCAAGACAACCAGGAGGTCCGACTGGAACTGCAAAATTATGTCTCTACGCTGCTTATTATGAGATGCCCAAATGTCAAAGTCATTCATCTGCGCGGCCTCTTTTGGGCTATTACCGACGTCGACAATCCCACCATCCTTGATAACATGCGCAAGCTCACAAGCGACGGCACCCGCGTTTATACCCGCGCAAACCAGCCCTTGCCCCCTACCAATTGGCTGTATAGATCATTGCACAACTTGGAAGAGTTTAGCGCAGATCATTCTGCGTACAGGCATGAACACGTCTTTAACAATTTCAATCTGTCAGCCATTTCTCTCACCATGCTCCAAATGGAGCGTGCCAAGCTGCTTTCTATCATGCGCCAAAATACACGCCTAACCAGGCTGCGACTTGTTCCTAACGACATGTCGGAAAACCGACGACAAAAGCTGACACCAAGAATCGCTGCCAAAATTATTGGCTTGCGTGCCGAGACGCTGCGTTCTCTGCACCTCGTCTGGCACAAGCATACCGACTGTTGCCGCTGCATCCGCAAGACGACGCACATTCCCAGTCTTCGCCACCTCCACAAGCTTGAAGAACTGTCCATTTCCATTCACGGAATCAAGCGTGGCCGCGGCTCCAAGACGGACGAAGAATTCTACAGGCGTTTCTTCCCCTGTGGTATCCGTAAGCTGGAGCTGCGCGATGACTTGGATGTCTGGGACCTGGGACCGCTCGTCGACGTCGTCAGCACCCACCTTTCACTGCTCACCCAAGTCACACTGCACTGTAGCAAGAGATCTGACCGTTCGCGAGATGAGATGCTCAAGATCGCACTCGCTTCCAAGGGCGTCACCTTGAAGTTTGTGGAGCCGAGATTTCCTGATCCCCACCACCCGTTGGTAGGCATCGATGAGAGGGGCAAGTCGTTTATCTGCCGTCTAACGTCCATGGACCGCCCCCGCTTGCGAAACGAGCCAGAGTCGGATTATGACTATGATGACGATGAGGATTGGTATGTTAACAAGTAGAGTATGTATAGTAACAGAATATATATGTATTTTTCCTCTCATTTACCCGATTACATACTCCTTGATACGTGACTTTCAGCCCATGCGCCTTGTCTGCCTAACCCTGTTGGCCGCGTGCGCGAGACAAGGCTGTGCCGTGCTTTGTGCTTTCAAGCTCACCCATACAAGAATTGAGACAAAATGCAGACCACGTGACTCTTACTTCATGCAGACTACGCATATCCCTAGTATTCCCTCGTGTCTGGCGCCTAGAAACGGCTGCCAACGCAGAGGGCTGTGCCTGGAGGGCCCAGTGGTCACGGCCCGCGAACCGACCCGTTGCGGGAGCCCGTCGTCGGGTGCTGGTGGGGGAGAGCCACAGCGCAAGCACCGCCTGAACGGCCCGCTGTATTTTTAGTGCACGATTGCAGGGGTTGCAGAGTGCTGGCTCCAGGGCAGTCAGCTGCTGCTGGCCAGTCGTTTTGCCGCCGGCCCTCGCTGCACGAAACCCTTGACCAGTCGTCCTTCATGCTTTCCATCACCAAAACTTTTGTTGTTACAGAACAAGCTTGACTTTTGCCGGGTGACTGCAGACAAACTCTCTTTTCTATCCAAACAAAGCATTTCGCTGCTCTTCTTCTTTTCCTAATGATTCTTCTTCACGTCCCGTGCCGCCCTCTGCCCATTCACCGCATCGTTATCGTCGACTCTGTCGTCACCATCACGCAGCACAAACACTCGCTACAGTAACCTGCAAACGCGTTACCAGAGTATTTGAATGGATGCAAAACTGACTCCCAAGAGAAGCGTTCTGGGGAGGGCGAAAGACGCGATTTCGCGCCAGCTTTCCTCAGAACGTGTTGGCCTCCATGTCCTGAGAGCCCCAGACAACGCGGAAATTGAGTACGTCGTAACCCTTCACTATGTGTTTTATATGGGTTATTCATCTCAGTCAACTAACTTGTGTCTAGTATTGTGGCCGTTCACGGTTTAGGAGGCAGAGGTTTTCGATCATGGATCACAAGGGACCCAAAGTCCGGGTCGTCCAAGCCCTGGCTTGAGGAGCTGCTGGCTGCCGATATCCCAAATGCACGCATCATGACCTACAGATACATCTCCAGAGAGCTGAGTTATGCTTCTATTGTTCAGAATCTACTCGTTGGAAGCGCCAAGAACCTGGCCTTTTCGCTAGCTGCCTTGCGAAATCAGGATGGCGCCAACAGACGACCACTATTCTTCCTGGCACACAGCTTGGGAGGTTGGGTCGTCAAGCGTGTTCTCATCTTGTCCCACGAGTCTGTAGAGTCCCAGCTACAGGACATCGAGGCTTCCACGTGTGGAGTGGCATTTTTTGGTACCATTGCTCCAGGAAAGCCATCGTCGCCTTCTCCGTTGGCTCACGTTGTCCGCCGCACATCCACCTTGACAGATACTAATAAAAGGATGGAAAATTCTATGGATTTTAACGGAAGCGGCAGTATCGAGCAGCTGGAGAAGCAAATGGGAGCGTTTAAAGCTATTGCCTCAAACCTGCCCAGACTCTCCTTCTACGAAACTAAGAAAGGCGAAGATGGATTCGTCGCGGAAAAGAAGCATGCGGTGACTAGTTCTGACGGCTCTCGAGTCGCGCTAGCTGCCACACACTCGGACCTTGTCACCTTCAATGGGCGTGATGACAATTATCATGCTTTCTTGTCCAAATTTAGTCAAATGATTGACAAGAAGCGAATCAAGACTCTCTTGGAGTCGAAGAGAAAAGAAACAGCACTTCCAAACCGTAAGTGGGATTATATATATATCGATTTGTTTGATTAACGGCTAACAGTAGAATTAGCAAACCGAGAAGAGTACCGCAAATATGGATTCTCACTGCAATACGAGCTTCCAGAGGATCCCCACAGCACTGTTCTGCGCAGCGAGATTCTCCGACAAATCGGGCTTGTCTGCAATGCAGATGAAGGCGATCCTACTTTGCGCATTGCTGTGCTAACGGGAGTCCATGGAAGCGGCAAGACAGCCATGGCGAAGCACTTTGCGAAGACGAACAAGGAGCTGTCCTTTGTATTCTGGATCCGTTCCGAATCTTGGGAGACAGTTGCCACCAGCTATCTCCAGTTCGCCGACGACATCGCCAGCCACTATGCTAAGAACATCCCACGCAACAGAGTCGAAGAGGAACTTGGTCTTACAGGGATCCAAGATATGCTCAAGATGAAGAATCCAATGGATCTGGACAGAACACGTATCATGTCTGTTGTCCGTGGCGTCAACGATTGGATGGTTCAGAGTGGCAACGACAAATGGCTCGTTGTTTTTGATCATGTTGTGCCGTCATATGATATCATGCCATTTATCCCACTCTCTCTGCATGGCAAGATTATCATGACAACAATTGATAGAGAGACGTGTCTTATGGGCACAAACATTACCGTTGGCCCAATGTCTGAAGACGAGTCTGTAGAGTTGTTGAGGCTCGATGCTGGCCAATTCACTGCTAATAGCTTGCAGCAAGGTAAGCCAATGTTTGTATGCATACAACCTGATGCAACTCTAACAGCGCGACAGACGAAGCCGCTAGGGCTCTCGTTAAGCAACTCGGCTACAATCCACTATTAATATCTACAGCAGCGTCTACTATTCGCAGTAGAAACATCACAGTCGTCGACTATCTCGCTGGCATTGAGGCCAAGAATACACCAACGCTATTTGGCTCTACCATCGACCAATCGCCAGTTACACGTACCTTTTTAAAGGTCAGCTCCATGCTGTCCTTGGCTGCTATACCTGCGTCTCTCTTCGCAGTACCTTGGGAAGCAGACCACGCTACCACAGAAATCAGCGAATTAATACAGCAAATGCGACAGTACCAAAACCAAAGCGGCCTAGACGATGTCATCCAGCATTTGCTAAACAGCAATTTCATCCAAATAGCACCATCTCCAGACTCAACTCCCCCTTCGTCTCCAAGATCCATTGTCACAACCCGCTCTGCTACGACTGTGGATTACTTTTTCGTGGATAAGGATACTCGAGAACACATCAGGGATACAATGTCCATAGACGAAACTGTACAGCATTCTTGGCTTGCTTGTAATCTCTGCGTCAATGGAATCCGTGACAACAATCTCGACGCCTCGAGTCTTCCGGAAATCCACAGCTTTGGTAGGGTTATGCTTCCTCATGCCAGGACTTGTTACGATGACTGGGCTGGTGTACTTGAAAATCCACCAGATGAAGTGGCCTGGCATGTTCTGGGAAATGTGTGTATGATTCAAGGTGCACTGAAACAAGCAATTGGCTGTTTTGAGCTCGCTCTGCGCCAAAATTCATCAACCATGACTACAGTCGAGCGAATCCAAACCTCGATATCACTGGCACGCTTGCTTGAGCAAGAAGGCAACGGAGAGCGCAGTCTCGAGGTTTTAACATCGATCGACATCGCATCTATCGACCAAGCACTAGGTTTCCAGGTTTCCCGTGCCAAGGCATCAGCGAACGCTTCTTGTGGACATCTCGACCGTGCCGAAGATCAGTTTGAGAATCTGGAGCACGAGCAAGAACAGGTTCTCGGCGCAGCCCATGCTGAGACGGTAGGCACTGTGCAGATGCTCGCTGCGACGCTCGAGCGGCTACAGAGGCTTGAGGATGCGCAGACTCTGTATCGAAGAGTCTACCTGTCATACCAGAAGACGTTTGGCCAGTCGCATCCAATGACACTTGGCTCCTTGGATGCTCTAGCGAACATCTCCAAAGCTCTCTTTGCCACCAACGAGGCTGAGACTCTGTACAAGCTCTCCGTAGAGATCAAGACACGCTGCCTCGGCCCTGATCACCCTCGCACAGCATTTGCCATGCAAAACGTTGCCACCATAGAAGATGTTCTTGGTCGTTACGGCGACGCGCGCCAAAAGTTCACCGCAGCACTCGCTATTATGCAGGATACCCTCGGCCCCTTACATCCGCACTACACCCTCACAGCGCACAACTTTGCCCGCTGCCTCTACCACCATGCACAAGTCCTAGGGAACAATACACCAATGACGAGTTCCCTTAACGCCGCCGAATTCCACGCACAAAATAGTGCCCGTCGCACCCACACACCTGCGGACGGTGTGATGCGCGAAACTGCCCGTCGTCGCGCGCTCATGGAGTCAGAGAAGCGCTACCTTGAGGTCCTGAACAATATGCGCAAAGCAAAGGGTATTTACCAGTACGAGCAACTCGTCAAGGTTGGTCGGGAGTTGTACCAGCTGTATGATTCAGAGGAGCTGTTTGCGCTGCATCGCTTTGAGAAGATTGAAAGCATGTGGGACATTGTGGAGGGCTCCAAAAGACGCAATACGATATCCTAATGACTACTAAGGTAGCTACTTTTGTTTATTACGAGATATGACCACTCTTTCTTTTAGTTTTAGTTTCACGAGCGAGCCAGCCTATCCTAGATTCGACATTGCTTATATATCATATACCACAAAGTCAGTTTGTTTTCTTCACGAGTCTCTCAAAGCGGTACAACGTAGATAGTCATGATGATACGAGTCGTAATATTTTTGTTAACCAAGCATGTATGCAAAACTCCTATATATAAACATCAAAGCATCCGAATAAACGCTGCCAATTAACGCGTACGCTAGGGCCCAGTCTTGTAAGCTCTCCCAAACGCCCGTCCGAGGTTCGCCCAATATTTTTATTTTCCGAATATTTTTTAATAATCCGTATAAGTAAATCGATAGAATACTGTGTACGATGTGAATTTAAGGTGGTGGTGGAGGAGGAGGCACTGCCTTGGTAGGCTCGGCAGTTGGTGGTGGTGCGGGAGGCGGCAAGGCTCGGCCGCCTTGGACCATCATATGCTCGTCGATTCTGCCCTTTTCGCCATACTCCATGCGCTTCCATGTAACAATGCTTCCCAACGAAGGGTTGATTTCAAAGACACGCACGCGGCGAACATAGTCCTTGTAGCCTCCGTAGCCACCGAGGCCAACGCCACCAGCATAACACATCCAGAGGGCAGGCACGCGCTTGTCGCCTTCGCCCTCGGGTGAGAGGAGGCAATAGTCGTTGGCGTGGTCACTATATACGAGTTAGCTTTTTGTTTAATACAACTTGAGACGGGACAGGAAACGCTTACTGGCCAGCGCTAACCATCACGACGCCTTGTTCGACAAGAGCATCGCGGAATCCAGAGTTGTATTTCGGCGCTGTTACACCTTCGCGCCACTGACCAACCCAGGGGCCGGTGGTCCAGTTGGTGTATTCAGTAAGGGGGATGTGGATAAACGAAATGTCGAGATGGGTGAGGCTGTACTCTTGGTGCTTCTTCTTTAGGCCTTGGGCTGTCTTCTTGAACCACTCGATCTGGCTAGGCTTGATCCATCCGTAGCCTGGGTAGTGCCTCTCATCTGGGGAGTAGGCATGCGTGTCGAGGAAGTACATGGTGATGGCAGAGTGGTCCGCGCCGCTTTCTGCTCCTACTTCAATGACATAGTTTCCAACGCCATCGACATCTGCTGGTCCGGCGGTTGCCATGGAGTAAGGTAACGTCTCCATGATTTCCATCTGCGCTTCACGGCTTAGGCCCTGCGGCGAGTCATCATGGTTTCCAAAAATGGCAGCCCAGGGCAGCTTGTGTTCCTTTAGCAAGGCAATGATCTTGAACATAGCCGATTGCGTGTCGGGTGAGCTCTCGCCGTTGACCTGATCTCCGCTAAGAACAACGAAATCAGGCTTTTCATCCAAAATCATCTGATTGACAAAATCAAGCGTTCTAGGATCAGCTTGACAATCAACCCCATTAAGCTTTGCGGGCACCGGCTCACGGCATGCACCGACACCAGTGCTAAGATGTAGATCAGCGACCTGCAAGATTTTGAACTTTCCGCCCTTTGGAATTTTGAGTTTTGGGACTTTATGCTCCGCGGGCATCCCTCGGCGAACAGTAACGTGGACGCTATGTTGCTTCTTGGTCCGTGACATTATTAGAGGCATGGCTCGGATTTCCCAGTTATCACGGACTTCGACTGCGTCATCGCCAAAGAGGACATCAATGGCCGTAATGGCATCGCCGGAGTCGCTTGAAATTTTCTTGTCAGATCGCAGCAGCCAGATGCCATGTGATCTTGGTTCCCAGGTCCCTTTCGGCGTGGGAGCTTGCACGTTTGCGTCGAGGCGTCCGATCTTGATATCTATCACGACCTTGTCCTCTGATGTGAGGTCTTCTTCATGCTTTCGCTTGATATACATGTAGGACTCGCTCCAGGCCAATCCAAGATAAAGCTCCTTGTCTAGCCTGGTCCAGCCGTCGCCCTCTAATTCGCAATTCGACAAAAAGTTGATTTTCGAGCATTTCGCGACTTCTACGTCAACGATGACAGACCCAGGGTGGTGAGAAGGGAGGTGATTATGAATGGCGACGGGCAGGACTCGGTAATTTCGATCGAGGAATAGCACGACAATGATACCGAATACAAGGGCAGCAGAAAGCTGTATTAACGTGCGAACCTATGGTACCTAGTTAGCATGGGGTGGCGGCTCAGAAGCGTATGTGTGGTATCGCATACGATGCGTCTCGTCATTTTGTAATATTTTGTACTAGCGTGTCGATATGTGCACAGGCGAGCCGAGTTATCAGAAAGATGAAGCCGCTTCAGCTTCAGTCGGGAGCTGCGGCACTGGTAATGTCTGGTGGCGATCAAGTCTCGTGATGCATGGCTCTCGGCAGTCGCAGAAGATCGGAGTGGCAGCAGCGATGAGCGCCAGTTGTCTTGATAGTTATGGTGCTGTTGTATTAATTCAGCAACAGTGCAGAATATGCTACACCTGTACCGAGATCAACTGCAAAGCGATGGCGGTGGTGAAATCTGGCCGATGGTAGAAAGCAACACGCAAGTAAAAAGAAAGGCAAAGGGGCTTGTCGCTACTTTCTGCTTGGAGGTTTGCATGCGCTGGGCTTAGCTGCAATCGGCCACTAAAAGTGGGAACCTCCAGCAGGGCAAAGTTCCCTAAAGGAGGCCGATTTTAGGGAGTGGGGTCGGCGCAGCTGGCGCAGCTGGCTAGTTTTGCTGTGCCGGCCCACTCTGGCAGGCACCACCAGCTGGCGCGCACTTGTTGCCAGCTGCCACGCTACAGTAGAGTGCCGACGCCGCGAAAAGGGACAGGTGGTCCGTGCGTCTAGCTTCCCGCAGTGCCACGGTCGAGATGCGCGCCATAATCCCAGCCTCTCATCGTCCACAGCGTCTGCCTCGACTACATCAACGCATCCGCATCACCGATTTGGCATCTTCCGTTTGATTCCGATTTCTTCAGCGCGCGCCGAATCCCGAGGTTGTTCATTCTAAACATCGCCAAATCATCGCAAAGACCGCCCTACGCTCTTCAATCCACGGATCCTACAGCCTCCCTTGACTTGCGACTCCATTTCGTGAAGCTTCGTTCGTCGGCGCAAAGAGCCATTCCTTCCGGTCGCATCGTCTCTACGCGACGCACCTCCCATCATCACATCAATCACCACCATCGCAATTCACAATGACCGACTACGCTAGCTTCAAAGTCCCCGAGCTCAAGAAGCTCCTCACGGACAGAAAGCTCGCCACCACCGGCAACAAGGCCGACTTGGTTGCTCGTCTACAAGAAAACGACCAAGCCGCTGCCGCTGCTCCTGCTGCTGCCGAGTCCAAGCCTGGTACGCGCAATTCAGAATCACCTCTCCGCAAAAATACGATGCTAACTAGCAAAACAGAAACCAAGGAAGACGAAATCGACTTTGAGGACGACGACGCCGCAAAACCTACCGAACCCGCGCCTGCTGCCGCTGCCCCCGCTGCCGCAGCTCCGGCTCCTGCTGCTGCTGCTGCTACCGAAGCTGAGGCTCCCAAGGCGGATGCTGAAGCCCCGAAGGAGGCTGCTCCCCTCTTCACTCTCGGTCTTTCGTCAACTGCTGCCGATGACGAAGCCCGCCGTCGTGCTGAGAGAGCCAAGCGCTTTGGCATTGAGGAGGACGACGAGGCCAAGAAGCTTGCTGAGCGCGCCTCGCGCTTCGGCATTGATGAGAAGGATCTAGCCAAGGGTCTCGACTCTGCCTTGCCTGAGCGTTCCCTTAAGCGTGGCCGCGGACGTGGTCCTGAGGACGGAAACCGACCCGGTAAGCGCCAGAGCCACGATCGCAGGGGCGATGGCCGCCGCGGTGATGGTCGCAAGGGTGGTGACCGAAACCAAAACAACCGCAACCAAGGCGGTGCACCCAAGGTTGCAAGCATCATGGATGATCCTGCTGAAAAGGCCAAGGCTGCTGCCCGTGCTGCCCGCTTTGCCACCGCCTAAGAAACTGAATGACCTGTACGAACAAAATGCAAAAAGGAATAAAATATTAGTTAATGTTTTCACATTGTTTTTCTTTTACTTTCGATATAAATGATTTCAGCACCTATCGCAGCAAGCCGCTCTGCACGGAAGATATTCGTTAATGGCCTATCATAGTCAGCAACTACAGCCGCTCCAATAGTCAGCACGCTCGTCGAAACATGGGGGTTATACTTGGGTCATTGCATGTACACTACATAAACAGAACGAACGTTTGGTTCGGGATATGAAACAAAAAGTTACGCTTCAAGGACCATTTACGATTTTACCGTGCGACTGTCTCCTTTGGCGACTTTTTCCATCTACAAGTGTTTAGCTGAGACAGAGGACAATCAACCAAAAACCGGATATCCATGAACAAGTATATGAATTCATTTAGTACTGATACACTTTACAAAAACTTGCCATCAGGATTATCCAGCACATCCGCCAAAGCAGTATCAAACGCAACAGCAACACTCTTAACCCAGTCATCTGTTAAAAACTCATAGCCAGGGCGACGCTTGTTGTAAATCAATTTAAAGGTCAAGTTGTGACTCCAGCCCTCAGAACTAGGCCAAAGCTCAACGAACAGGGGGAAACCAATGTCCAACTCCTTGTATGGCCACTGCAGGTTCTTGTCCTTGTGCCAACCAGGAAGATCCAGTTTGGCATCCTCTGTGCTATCGTCAGTAAAGATCTGCATGATGAGCAATGTGTCGAAGCGGGATGTACCCATTCTTGCAACATCTGTAGTAGGGCATGGTGTGTGAAGGAATGGAATCATTTCGTCATTTTGCTGCGACAGGAACTGGCAAATATCGCGGTTGGTGGACATCTTGTGCTTGGCAGTTGGCACATGCGCCAGATAGTTTGCCATCATGGGTGCCATCGCTCGCTGGGCTTCGTCGTCTAATCTGCCATTCACAACACTGCCAAACTGTACACCTGACGGGCTATCAAGCATCTCTGGGGTGAGCGTCTTGGACAGGACCTTGGCCCAAGCAGTCTGGGCAACAAGACTGAGAGAGGAGTTGACGTTGGCGGCTGCTTTGTTGACGAGTTGGTCCATGCTAAGCGACGACTGCATGTTGACACAGCCCATGTGCGTGTCGCTTGGGATGACGGAAAAGACCTCCTTGGGTTGGGTTGGAGGCAAAGCGATTGGCGCGTTGGGCCCAAGGACAAAGCCCGGTACTCCCGTGAAACGCTTCATGAGGAACATGGTCGTACCGATCCAATCAGTATCAAGCATGGTCCTGGTGGCTGTGCGCAGGGATAGGAGCGTCGTGGATGGCGTGACACCTGCATAGTTGGATGCAATGGCCTCGCGAATGTGCATGATAGAAGCGCCGTCATAGATGCCGTGGTACAAGGTCAGCACAACAGCGCAACGCTTCTTTGATTCCGACCAGACATATGAAGCAAAGACGGTAGGCTTGTCAAGCGTCATGGCGGCTTCAGCTTCTTTCTGAACGCTTAGCAGAGCATCGTGCCAAGCCTGTGTATCGCGCACATCGACGATATCAGCGTCTGGGTTAGGTACAATGACCTCTTTCGTCTGTAGCTTGGCAAGCGGCGACAAAGGCAGCAGCACAACCTGCGCATACTCGGCGACAGGATGTGTTGTGCGGACAAAGACGGTGCGGAAGCAGTCATGTTGAGCTACAGTGGCCTCAATGGCACGCTGCAGCCTTTCAGGATCGAGATTGTCAGGCACATTGTAGATGAAGTGCTCGGCTTGTGGCCTTCCATCGTAGCGCTGCAGGTCATAGTACTTGGCGTCACTGAAGACGTGGATGAATCGAATCTGCAACCCAGTGGCTGGGAGAACCTGATCAACTTCATCGGCGCTGACGCCGAGGCTATCGATACATTGTTGGCGGCAGTAGTGATCAAAGTGGGCAAGCTTGGCGTTTGTGGAAAGCTCGCTGATTTGCTCTTCGTCATCGGCCTCAATCGCAGCGACATCGATGTCGATTTTGGCGCTTTGTCGCTCATGCGCAGTGCCCTTTGCCAGGATGAGGTCGCCGATGGTGACAGCAGAAGTGATATCCTCAACACTTAGAGCATTCACCCCTTGTAGCTTCAGGCTATGCAGAACCACAATGGCACGAAGCTCGTTTAGCCCAATCTCCTTGAGGTTGGCCGTCTTGTCCAGTCCCAAGACGTGGGCTCCTAGAGCCTTGGACAGCGCGTGATAGACAGCATCTGTGCGGTCGGTAGGCTCAGCACCCTTCTTAGCTTGTAAGGCTCGAATAGCAATCAAGCGCGAAGCAGCCTGAATGATGGGGTCGTTGCTCATCTGGTGGCTAGTGACGGCTGTTGCCGAATCGTCCGTGTTGCCCATTGCACTATCAGCATTGTCGGTAGGTTCGGTGCTGTAGAGGGAGGAAGCATTGGCGGCAGATCCGGATTGCAGGACCGAGACGATATCAGCGGCAAGTTTGTCGAATACATGACGTGGTGCTTGGTCTGCTCGCATCTCAACAGTCAAGTGAGCACTGCTGCCGACACCAAATCGTTGGCGAAGGGACACAATGAGTGCGTGTTTCTGTCGCAGGATGTGGCCATTCGTTCTCTGGGCTTGTTCAATAGGGACCAGACGAATGGCGCATCCAGAAGATACACCTCGATCATCTTTCAACGTGCTCTGCTGAACAACTTCAACACCATCTGGTCCTGTGTGGGCGCGCAATTGGCCGCGGTATGTGATGAAATCAGCCGTAAAAGCAACTTCATCATTGCTAGTAATCTTCTGCAGAGCAATAGCAAATCTCTGGAATAAAATAGCGGTTTGTGTGGGAATTTCGGTAGTCGTGATATCAACTGCATGATACTCTGGTTGACTATCAGCAACACCAGCACCAGCCAAACCCTGGGCTAAAGGTGCAAGTTGGGTGAGTGGATATACTTCTGCAGTCATTTCGACCGTTTATTGTGCAATAAGAAAAATAGGATATATAAAACAGCTTTTGCGGCGGCCAAAACAGAGATCTCTCTTCCCCTACGCTGGCTCTGCGGGCACGGCGCCACATTTTAATACACGTCTACAACACCGAACAATAATCATCGTCCGCCTCTACATCGCGGACACATTCTTTGATCGCCAAGTGACCTTCAATTCCGACGAGATCGAGCTGAGGAGCCGACTTTTCCGGGCTTCAGACTTGGGAGCCAGATTCCAAACGGGACCCGGCTGGCTACTGGGGCGTGAGTAAGCTGCACATCTCGCGTCCACCCAGCCTTGTATTGAGTAATATTTCTGCCACGAGTATCCAGCTCTGGCAGCTTGCCCAAGAGTTCGGGTAGGAAAATGCGCCGCTTTGGTCCCGAGGCAAGGTTACCTTTGGCAGCGGCCTCGGCGAAATCCCAAACTGGGCAACCCATCGCGCGTCACGTTTACTGCCGATCCAGAACCTGTGGGTTCTCTAGAACAGCTTACAGCGGGATCGTATAAGTGCGTTTCTCTTCTTAGTGGAGGTTCCATTCGCCGCCGCTTTGGTTACCTGTTTCGGCGACCGTCCATCTAGACTATGTTGGGCCAGCCTCGCGGGAACCTCCGCCTTGTCCCCCTTAGGTCAGCTACAGCAGAAGAGGTAACAAAGACATCGCGTGTAAAGGTCTTGGCAGGCTAATCCTCCCGATCGCCAGTTTGCAGCCGCCGCTGAGGCATCGGTAGCGTCAGCCGAAAGACGGCAGGCCCAAGATGGGGGGTGCGTGAGACGGGATTAGCGCCAATCCCGTCGAGAGCCGCAGGGTGCCTGGCCACAATGTTGCTCGCTACAGGAACTATGGTCCCGCTAACGCATCCCCAATTGTATCATAGAAGGCAGCTGCTGCAGTCAGCCGTCGCTTGGTCTAGCGTGGCCGTCTATCAACTGGCGCAGTGCAGCTAGTGAGTGCGCCACAGGACATTCGGACACTAGCCGTGGGCGATCGGCCCCGAGAATCGTTCGTCCGGGGTTCGGAGCTTTAAATGGCCACGCTTTGGCGCTGGTCGTGCCGTGATCCGTGCCAATGCATGCCGCTGACCCGAGTATAGTGCGGAGGCTGCCGTATGGCAGCGGACGTTTATTGGGGAATGCTGGTTGGTTTGGCACACAGATATCACAACGGCAGGCAAGCAAGCGAACTAGCAACTCTACCCCACGCAAGTACATGGTATTAACGTTGCTTTTGGCATTACATGAATGCTTGGGCTTCACGTGGCAGCCTCGTGGGTGCGGCATGGCACGGCATGGCTGTCCAGTTCTGTCCACCGATCTCGTCTACTTGCTTCTACAAACATTCTAGACTAACCTTTCTGATTACCTTTTCCCGCGTCTGCTCCCAGGCACTCCTTTTTAATGATCTTCGACTCTTTGCAGATACATCGTACGCTCGAAATAGGCAAGCATCCTTGTCAGTTGCTGGTGGTGGTGCTTCTGTTTTGAAGGTGCATCCACTGGCCGCATCCCCAAGTCCGCCGGGATGTAGTAATAATAATCGAGCTGAGGACAAACTGGCCGCTGTCCTATTTCGGTAAGATGCTGTCATCCTTAGTGTCGAACCGGAATCTACTCCCTCGTCTTATGCAGATGGCTCGAGGTGGACGGTAAGCACGCCCATCGGCCGAACAGATGGTCCATCGCTGCTATATAATATAATATTCACTTGACCAGAACAAAAGAGAATAGATGTAGACGCTCATCTTTACCTTTATTCCATCATCTACTTCCTCTGCAGCAGCTGCATTCTTGATGACAATGGCTGCTTCTGCACAGGACAACATGGTGTCGTTGGACGCCCCCAACACAAAACTTCCCTACTACGACTTACTGTCCCGCACACATGGCAACCTGTCCCGTCCAGGAGCCGACTTTCATTATGCCACTATGCCGTTGACAGCCCTCCCTGCTGACCGCGAATCAACCCTCAAGGCTTTTGCTTCCTTTGTCAGCGCCGTTACAGAGCTTCCCCAGGTTGCTTTTGTCGCCAAATATACTTCAGAGACTGGTGAAGCTGAGACACGGCTGGCCATTGCTTCCACCGCTGCTGCTGACAAGCCACACTCTTACTCTTCCAGCGCCACGCAGATCTCGCTTGTTCAAACTGGTGCCATTGATGGTGAAGAGTTTGATTTTGAGATTCAATTGGACAGCAAAGACGAGACCCAGACACAGCCTCGCCGTCCCTTTGTCGTCTCTATCTCGCCATCTGCAGACGCCACATCATCCTCCGACCTGAAGCTCTCGTTTGATGCAGCTCACGGCCCACAAGTATCTGCTTCTCACCTGGCTAGCCTCGCTGCAGCCTACCTCACCTCCCAGCAGAATACCCCGGTTACTCAGGCTGCTGCTCTCAACTATCCTCCCGCACAAGCCACTGCTCCTCTCCTCAAGGTTGACGTCTCTGCCGATGCTGCCAACCAAGCACAAAACCCTGCATTGCTCCATGGTGCATTTGAGCGCCGTGTTGCCCAGACACCCGATGCTGTGGCTGTCGAGTACGTCGAGGACAAACTTGAGAATGTGCAAAAGCTCACTTACAAGGAGCTCAACCAAAAGGCAGAGGACCTCGCCACAGAGTTGTCCACAGCTCAAAGGCACCTCGCACAATGGAAGCCCACGTTGAACAGCCAACGCGCAGTTCCCCTCTTCATCCCAGGATCCCCCGCCTTTTACGCTGGTGTCATGGGTATTATGAAGGCCGGAATGGCCTTTTGCCCTCTTCCTCTCGATGCCCCTCCTCAGCGGCTTGTTGATATCTTGGAGGACGTTCAAGCTACAGTGGTTCTCGGCTTAGGTCCCGAGCCCTTCGCTGGCGTTGATATGAGCAGTCTTCCTGACGCTGGCAAGGAGATTATTAAGAATGTTGTCTGGCTTGACATGAACAACATCTCAGCATGGAGAAGCGTCGATGCTTCTATTCAGCCTGTCGCTGACAGAACCTCTCCTACTCCAGACCACTTGGCTTACATTCTCTACACATCTGGTTCTACTGGAAAGCCCAAGGGTGTCATGATTGGCCATCGCATGGTCACTACATCCATCTCTGTTCACGCTGAGGTCTTTGAGCCCTTCCCCTCTGGCCCTGAGCTGCGCTGGCTGCAGTTTGGCATGCCCACCTTTGATCTCACCATGGTGGAAATCTTCCTGACCATGAGCTACGGCGGCACGCTCTGCGTTGGCAACCGCCGCCTAATGCTCTCTGACGTAGAGGCAGCTCTCAACTTCTTCCAGGCCACTGCTGTTACTTGCGTGCCCACCATGGCTACGCTGGTCCGTCCCAACAATGTGCCTACGCTGCGCAACATGGTCTGCGGTGGTGAAATTGTCACCAAGTATGCCATTGACAACTTCTCATATGATGCTACTGTATGTAACCCGGCCAAGAGACTCATCAACGTCTACGGCCCTACTGAAGCCACCATCAACAACACCGCCGAGGTCACCCGAGTTGGTAACCGCGGATCTATTGCTGGCGGTGCACTCTCGTGCTGCTCCATCATTATTGCCGACGAGCACAAGACAGACGAATTGGTCCCCATGCCCATGGGCCTGGCCGGCGAGATCATCTTGGCCGGTGATCTTGTTGGCTACGGCTACCTCAACCGCCCCGAAGAGTCTGCCCGCGCATTCACGTCTGGTCTCGGCTTCGACCGCGCCTACCGCACTGGTGACAAGGGCCGCATTGTCTGGACACCCGACGGCACCCCCAAGCTCGAAGTACTCGGCCGCCTCAGCATGGAGCAAGTCAAGCTCAACGCCCGCCGAGTCGAGCTTGGTGAGATTGAGTCCACAATCGTCGAGCTACCTGAGGTCCGCGAGATCGCCACTGTCGTTCTGGATGGCAGCTTCCTTGTCGCCTACGTCGCGCTCAACGGTGATAATGCCAATTCCAAGGACTACCAGGACAGCGTTATTGCCAAATGCCGCGCCGCAGCCGAACAGGGTCTCCCGGACTGGATGCGCCCTGTCGACTACGCCGTTGTTCCAGCCATCCCGCGCATCACGAGCGGCAAGACGGACCGCAAGACGCTCCAAGCACAAGCCTTGAAGCAGTTTGGTGCCGCTTCTCTCGAGGAAGCCCGTCCATCCCGCGATGACCTCCCTCCCCTCGACTTTACAAGCGAGGACAACATCACAGCCTACATCAAGTTTGCTCTCGAGTCCGTTCTACCAAAGGATGCCCTCGCCGACGTCTCAGCCACACTCAAGTCATGCGGCCTCGACAGTCTACGAACCATGAAGTTCCTCCAAGAAGCCCGCAAGCTCGGCATCGAGGACGTCGGCATGGACACCGTCTACGCCAGCAGCACCCTCGGCGACCTCGTCACCAACACCATGGCCGAGCACAAGCGCCGAGCCGCCATGACGCCCATGGACATTGACGACGACGAGGAGCTTCCCGAGCTCGAAGACGAAGAGCAGATCCTCGAGTTCTCGCTCTCCGCCAAGCTCAAGCACTTTGAAGTCACCTGCCGCCCTACCTGCGTCAAGACACTCAACATCCCGTCCGAGGAAATCGCCCATGTCTGGCCCGCCACCGGCCTACAGACCCGCGGCCTCGCCTGTCTCGCAGAGTCCGAAGCCTTTGGTGTCTGCAAGGCCTGGGTCGAGCACTACCCGTACAACGTACCCGACACGCTCGACATGGACCGTCTCGAGATGGCCATCAAGACCGCCATGGAGGGCTACGACGCCTTCCGTACCATGTGGGTGGAAGTCGAGCATCCTCTGTCGGCCTTTGCCCAGGCCATCCTCACCAAGGACTCGCCGTCTGCCGCACACCCCATTATCAAGATCACAGTGCCCTCGTTCAGCACCGACCCCAACAGCCTCTGGAACCAGACACTCATCCACGCCCAGCGCGCCGCCGAAGATACATTCGGCCTTGGCTCCCTCTGCGCCGTCACCACCATCATCCAGTCTGCCGACAAGAAGCACAACCTCATCGTCTTCTCCATGTACCACGTCATCTACGACGGCCTGAGTCTGCGGCGCCTGGCCACCGACATCTCGCGCATCTACGAGGGCAAGCCCGTCCCCGGCGAGGCCACATCCGGCATGCTCGCCCCCGTCATGAGCCACTTCAGCGCCGACATGCTCGCCATCAGCTTGCACTGGACCATGAAACTCGCCGGTATCCCGCCCTTCAAAGCCGGTGCCCGTGTCATTGACTCCAGCGCCGCCCATGCGCCCTTCTTCTCTCTTGGTGTCGGCACCCGGTCTGCCAACCAGTCGCTCCTTTCCCGTGTCACATATGACGATCTCTTCACCAAGTCCCAGGACCTGCAGCTGCCATCGCCCATGGCCATTGTGCAGGCTGCTTGGTCTATGGCTCTCGGTCGCACAATCCCCGACCGCAGCGGCGACGTAGATGTCCAGTTTGCCGGCCTCTTCCACGGCAGACAGACCCCCGAGGCCCTCGAGGTCTTTGCACTCATGCTTCACTCGTGCCCTACACGTGTAACATTCTTGAAATCGCAGCCACGCACGCACCGCGATCTCTGCAACGACACGTACAACCAGTACGTTGAGAACTTGCCGTTTATGGAGGTTCCCTGCCCCAATGTCCAGTACGCGCGTGCCACTCGCCGCTTCGACAGCAGCTTAGTCCTCCAGGTATTCCCAGAGACGAGCAACAATGTGCCCACAGAGGGATTCCCGCTCTTTGATCGTGTCGTCGATGCCGTGGACCCTTGGCAGGAGACGAATGGTGGCAACCCGCTGATGATGGAGGTTGTTCCTTCGGGCGAAAAGGGCTCTGATAGCATGTGTATCCGTCTAGGTTACAGTGAGTGCTGGCCTGGATACGACTTTATGACGCAGGAATGGGTGCGTGGTGTGGTGTTTGCCTTTGACGAGGCGTTGTACGGCATTCTCAACAACCCTGATGCTGTATTTGATGTTACTCAGTAGACTTCTTAGTTGGCGCGGTGTATTTGCTGCTGGTCTTTTATTTAGTTTTATTAGTTGATGATCCTGGCTGTTCGCTTACTTGCTCGTTTTATACCAAACCTATTTACATACGTATATAACTTATACGAATCTTGAACCTATGTCTCTTGAGAACAATCACGGTGTTTACAGTCCAAATCACTTAGTGGCCATGTGATGAGTAAAACATATAGTAACATTATTAAACTCCAAAACAAAACAATTACAAAAACTCTATTTTACGTTTCTTGTCGTATACTACAAAAGAAAGCCGTCGTCAAATCATTTCGCTATCGGCTTTCTCAGAACCTGAAAGGATTGTCCGTGGCGGCAGGGGAATCACCACCACCAGTAGTGCCGCCGCTATTACCACCACCACCTGTGCCGGCCGTAGGGGCAACACCAACACCACCAGACTTGATGCCTGTGATCGTGTCGTTAGTGTTGTTGCGGTTGTAAGTATCTCTAGCCGGCTGAATCAAGCCGTTGTCGTTCAAAATGCTAACGTGCTCGAAGGTTTTTGCAGTGACGAATTTGGAGCCAATAGTCACTGGTGCGACAATGAGAGCCAGGAAAACTACCAAGAGAGCAAAGTACATGATGGCATAGCGGATAACACGTCTGCGTCGGAGCTTGGACTGCTTGATGGAATAAATTGGTGGTCGGATCTGACGGCTGGGGAGCAACCAGAAAAGCATCATCGAATGTGCCACATCCACCTTGGGGATCAAGATGATGGGCGCCATGAGGAAAAGTAGGATATGGCATAGGACAAAGTCAGCAGCAAACATGCTAAGTTCGGTAATCTTGCAGAGGAACTCTCGGCCCGGCTGCGAAATCGAATGCCAGCCCATGGAATACCACTTGCCAGTCCAGAAAGCAATGTTGGACGAGTCCGTCTTCATTTCGCGCGTTAATGCCAGCGACACAATCAGCTTGAAGATGAATCGCTGAATGGCCACGGCCGCAATCATACCAGCCCATGCCTTGGGGAAGTCAAAGCTTTCCAGAACAAGCATAGCTTCAAAGAGAACAAGGCAAAACACGACAGCGATGGCGTGCGCAATAGCAGCTAGAACTGAACCAAACTTCTTGCAGCACATGCTGAGAACAGGGCCCATGAAGCAAGCCATGCCAAACATGGCGGCCAGAACAGCAGCGTTGATGCCAATAGGGGCAACAGCAATAATCACCACGCGAAGCAATGCACCAGTAGGTTTGACCGGTGGTAAACCGTCTTTTTGTTTACCTGGTATGACACCTGTCTGCGCATTGATGAAAAGATAGGGAATAGTGGTCGCCACGGCAAAGAGGAAGGGTGTAAGAATCTCGCTAAAGAAGGTGTTGGCAATGGCAGCACGAGACACATCGCCAGAGAGCTTCGCAGATGCTTCGCCCATAACCTTGCGCTTGTATCCAGTGGTCTTGGTACGCGACAGGCGACAGAAGGCAATCCAGGAGGAGGCATGCGTTCTGGAGTTGCCACGAGAGAGCCAGCGGAGGAATTCGCGGTAATCAATGAAGAAGTCGGTCCAAGCGAACTGATGAGGGTTGTAGATGAATGGCGAGATCGTCAGACCAAACAGAGACACCCAGAAGTAAACAAGAGCGCCTTGCCAGACGGTCACTGTCGCGAAAAGCAAAAGCATCAGAAGACGGGCACCAAAGTAAATGGAAGGACCAGCAAATCGAGCGTAGAGCACACTAAACGGGATTCTAGCAGTGGCAAAACCACGGCCAGTAGCAATGTAGCGAGCGCCACCGAAGGAAAGATCCTGTTGAACCGAGTTGGCGTAGATTTGACAGACAAAGACTTCGAAGAAGGGCGAAAGCGAGCAGAATTGCTTGAGGAAACGAAGAGCGGCGCGCCAGACGCCACGTTCCGTCAATTCCTGGACAATCAGCGGCACAAACGAGATGAAGAAGACGACGAAAATGGATATAACGCAGCGGTAGATCCAATCCATAAACTCATCAGTGTTTGCACAGCCACTTGGGAGGAGAGGGTCACTAAACGGCTTCTGGACGTTGTAATCACAGCGAATTGTCTCGTGTCGAAGGGCACCGATGCTCATAACAGTAATCATAAACATTTGGATAGACAACATGATGAACATGTTGTTGAGATGGAAACCGGCGTGGGCGTAGTAGAAGGAGAGGAAGCGATCAAGAGGAAGTTGAGTACCCAGGTAATAGTATTCTCTCGAGAGCCACTGTTCACCCATACCAGTTCCAATCTTGGTTGTGAAGTTGAGGATAGAGCCAAAGCCAAGATCACGACCCTTGCCACACTGGTAGTATTCACAGTGCTTGATGCGACCGCCTCTCAAGAGAGCATTCATACCAGCAAAGATATCTTCGTTGAGATGAAGACCTTTCTGCGCTTTCGAAACACCACCACGGGTTGTCATGAAGACACCATTCAAAAAGTCAGGATGTCCGTAGTGCAGCTTGCCACCAATCTGAGCCATGGTTCGAGCAAAGAGCGTACCAAAGGTCTGTTCCTTTCCGGCAGCAACGTCACCAAGAATACCAATGTTCTCCGAGAAAATGTACTCGCGAGCGCCAAGGATAGCAACAGGGTCAGGGGTGGTATCCTTTACACCAGGCGTATACGGGGAGATGTTGTCGACCTTGAGTTCCTCAAACTCGGCGAGGACGCTTCGGATTTTGAGGCATTCTTCGAGATAGTTATCCTGGTTGGCATCAATGAGCTGGATGTACTCTCCACGGTAGAAGATGAGAGCATGGTTTTGGTTATCAGACTTTCCATCACCGAGAATGGGGTTACCAGACAATTGGACTCTGAACTTGGGGCGGCGCATTCCATTCTCCATGACTTCCGAGTGTCCATCAATGAGTACAGAGTAGAGGCGGGGTTCCTCGCCTTCAACAATGGCAGGTTCCTCGTCAAGGTAGGCGATTTGTAAGTCCGGGTAAGCACGAAGAAGGAATTCAGTGTTCTCAAGTTCTTCCTTATTAAACTTGGCGTAGCGTTGCATGGAGACGAGAAGCTTGAACTTGCGTCTAGCCATTCTCTCCAGTTCGCGTTCGAGATGGTCCGAGTTTCCACCAAACATTTGGACGATATCCGGGTTTTCGACTCGGTACAAAAGCTTAATCGCACGGCTGTAGTTCATGAAGCCCGAAATGGTACGGTACAACGTCTGTGATCGAAGTGAAGCCCAGATACGGGTGCGAAGGGTATATTCGGGAGCAGAGGACTTGAAACCGATGCAGTAGAAGGGAAGATCGTCAATCTTGTTCTTGACAGCGCCCTTTTCGCCATCAGAGAGCTCACCATTTGCCTGGGACGTCTCGTCAGCCAAGATTTTGGTGTCTTTGACGAAGAATTCCCACTCGTGGGGGTGTAGCTGCTTGAGATATTCCAAAAGGGTCACGCGAGAGTAGGGATCATCTTCACGAATGATTTCACGCAGCGACAGAAGGATCTTTTCACTGTAGTGAGGAATCATGACTGTGAAAGTGGGCATGTTATCGACGGGGACTGGCTCAGGGATCGGAGTGGAGAGTGACTGAGCGAAAAAGGAGATTCTTCGTTCCGCCTCGCTTTGTGCAGGGAAGTACTCGGCCTTGAAAGAGTGGTCATCTTGGGCAATGAAGAAGGTGGGTGCTCTTAGTGTTCGCTTGCCCTCCACCTCAGAGGGAACTTGGTGGTAGAGCAGCTTCTGAACATGCTCAATAGCAAGCAAATGTTCTCTATACATGGAGATAACCACAGCGTTCCAAACTTGCGAAATGAGCACCTTGGGTTTATACTTGATCTCCATATCACTAGTAGCAAGGATCTTGGAATAGAGTCTCTTTGGGAGTCGAGAAAAGACGTTGCGCCAAGGGGTCAGAATGGAGGTACCGAGGTAAAACGAGCGAGCGACGGAGAAGAGGGTGTTGATCAAGACATAAGTCAAGTACGTATCCAGGAAAAAGAAGATGACGTCAGTTGCAAACATCAAGATGAGGGTAACATAGTTTTGGTTCTTGCAAAGAATGTCGAAATTGCCATTGCCGAACAGCTTGTCACCCTGGCATTCAATCTTCATCATTGTGAGGTAGACGATGGAGCGTCTAAGCGAAGCCGTCAAGAAGAAGTAGGATTCGGCAAACTTGAGAGCAAAGACTGTCATCCACAGACCGTAGGACATGGCGATAGCCTTGCCCTTAAGCCTGGGGAAGCTTGCCGTGAATGTCTGACTGGCAACATAGCGGCGAGACTTAGTATTGAGGTAGCTGCCAAAGAGTCCGCCAAGGGGGAAGATGGAGAAGAAGATGAATGTCGCGAGCGAGATGAGAAGATGAACAACGCCAACAATAAGATCAATAGTATTGTCCTCAGTGATTGGAGCTTTTTTATCTCCAGTCCAAAACATGAAAACCTTGATACCAGGGGCAAGATTAAGAACGAAGACCAAGATCAAGAACAAGAGGCGTTTGGTCAGGTGTTGCGCTCCAGCCCAGCGACGAGGAACAAACGACCATTCCGCCAAGGTAGCGAAAATCTGGATAAGCGATGCAACGACACCACCAAAGCCTACGGCAGACAGTGTTTTGGACAATGGTGGTTTTGTTTCCTGCTGCTGCTCGTACTGGGGAAGAATGATTGAAGGAGCATTCGCAGCCGTGTAGATCCAAAAGACGGTCAAGTGGATAACCCAAATACGGTTGAAGTTGACAAGCAAGTGGAACCAAGATCGGGACTCCTTGTAGGTCTTGAAGAAGCACTTTTTCCAATTAATCTCCTTGAACTTGGCGTAGCGGTCAGCGGGTGGCATCTCCATGAGCTTGCTCTTGTCTTGGAGAACGATGCGATCGAGGCCTTCAGGGTACCAGAAGAGCTGGTTGCAGTCGTCATAGCCAATGATGTTCTTATGGTCACGCTCGCGTCTAACATACACGCCGTTGAGAATTTCGTAGCTCTGGTCGCGAACAAACTGGTAGAGGGGGGTGATGACGTTGTTGAGGAAGGCAAACTCCTCGACAGGCTCGACTGCGGATTGGCAGGCAGGAGACAGGTAGTAATCATCAGCGCACTTGAAGATGAAGCAGAGGCACTCGGGCATGAAGCGAACCTGGTTGGCTTCGCCCCAGCAAAGCAAGTAGAGTGCGATCTGGCGGACACGCTCGTGCTGCGACATTTGGTTCATGCGAGTCTTCCAGCGGAATTCAGCGCCCTCGAGGCTTTCTTCACTGCCGAATTCGGCTTGTTCCTCGTTGGGGTCTTCCGCATTCTTCTTTTGCTTCTTCTTCTTGGACTTGCGGCGCATACCGCCAGCCTTGGACAGGGCGAAGCCAGTAGCGTCGTCAAGATCAAGACAAGCAGCAAAGAACCACTTGCGGTAGTTGGCATGTTCGCCGCCAATGTAGTCGGCATGAAGCGAAAGCAAAGCCTGGTTGGGGGTCATGCGAGATGCTCTTGAATCCAGCAAGGTCATCAGATGGTCGTACATGTTGCGCATGCTATCGCGCTGGAAGCCAAACTTGGCTGTGAGGTCCATGAAGATGTCCTCAATTTCCTCCTTGGAGATGGGAATCTGGGCGTCGGCCGCCCAGGCAGGATAAGGCTCCCGAGATCTCTCAGTGAGGGCCTGGAAGTTGCTGTTGTAGTCCATTCCATAGTTTGGCGTGGATGCGCCAGAGGAGCGGGGCCCACCACGCTCGCTGTAGGCGCCGTAGAAGGAATCGCCCTGGTCGTAGGGCGAGGTGTCACCGCCGCTGTAGCGACCGTAATTGCCAGCATATTCGCCTTGTTCGCCGCCAGCATAGTTGTCGTGATAGGCGGAGCGGTCATCATAGTAGTATTCGTCCTGCTGGCCGTGCTGGCCGTGCTGTTGCTGGCTGTACTCGTCATAGTAGCCGCCATCCTGGTAGTTCGGATGTTCCGGGTTAGCGTTGTAGTACCCACTATTAAGATGGTGGTTAGCAAATGCTGAGAAAGATGAAGCAGCAAGTAAAAGGCGCTCACTGCCTCAAAAGGCGCGCAAAAAATAAAAACTTACGATTCATCGTAGTAACCGTCGTTGTAGCCCTGGTGTTGGCCGTTGTGGCCATCCTGGTAGGCATGGGCATCCTGGTGATAGGCCTGGCCATCATCGTAGCCCTGGTCGTAGCCATAGTCCTGGTACTGGCCGTCCTGGGGATGGCCACCAGCATGGCCTTGATCGCCATACTGATAGTGTTCGCCTTGGTTAGGCGGGTGTTGGTTCGACATGATGTCGAAGAAGGTGTTTGCGCGCGGCGCTTAGGTGGTGGTGAAGACGAGTGCGTCAGAAAGCAAAATACATGGATGAAGCGCTACAAAAACAGTCCAAAAGAGCGATGTTTTTGTGTAGAGGGCCTAAAAAGGCAGAAGAGAAGAAGATATATGCGCAATCAATACAAGATATAATGATAACAAGAAACGAATGGTGGGAAAAAGAGGTTGAATTGTTTCGGGTTGGGTGGTGATGAAGGAAGAAGAAGAAGAAGGAAAAGAAACTGCGCGGGACGGGAACTTTCAGACACTGTAGCAAAGCAGCGAGCAGAAAGAGCAGCAGCAGAATAGCAGGCTAGCGCAAAAGCAAGAAAATCATGCAGCAAGCGGGCCAATCAACGATGGGCAGCCTGAGCAGAAAATACGAAAAGGCTAAAGCGCCGATGGGACTTGCAGTAAGAAAAAAAGAGGGTGGGATGGCGGCGGGGTTGAATTCTTTGCACTGTACTGTACATGACGCTGGCGGTGCTTTGGTACCGGGCTGCGCTGGTGTGCTTTGCTGCTTTTCTTGGAGCGCCTGTTGCGGCTTAGCTCCCTCCAGCAGCGGGGACACGCACCCACACCCACCACACACTGGCGGCACGCCAAAAAAGGTACAAACAGTGTGCGCGACAAGAAGGAAAAGAAAAAGTCTGACGGGCGCCGTGGTGCAGGCTGGGCAAAGCACATGCAGGATTTTTTGGCTGCCCGGTTTTTTTCCTGTTTACCCCTGAAAAGTACGCACTGTGCTGCTGAGCTGTGATGATCGCATCGATGCTCGTCGTTTCACTTTTCTCTCTCTTCACGTCGACTTTTCCTTCACAACCGCTGCTGTTATATGAGCGATGAATGGGGATGACGTACCACTGGCCTGCCCAACCCCTCCTCCGGATTCCCAATTGTCTCTCGTTTTTGGGGCCCTGGCCGTCCATTCCAGCGCACAACCCGGCCTGTCTACAGGGGGGAACGTGCCCTTGGGCCTGGAGCCTGGTATTTTTTATGGGGATCCGGCGGAGGCCACAGCGACTTTGACACGGTGCGCCTGCTAAATATAGTGGCTTTGCCCCCCTGTAGCCCAGTCTGGCCCCCTGGTCATCTTGCCTTGTGGGTGAAACGGTACTCAAAACCCGTCAAACGGCCGGTATTGATTACCCTGCTGTCCTCTGCAATGCCTGCCAAGCGTGTCTCTCTTTGCGCCGCCCAGTACGAGAGAGGCAGTGCTTTTTGCCCCCGAGCAAGGAAGGGAGGAAACGGCAAACTTATGCGGAGAAACCATCAGTATCATACGAGCTCCGTTCCTTTTACGGCTACCTGCTAGAGCTAAAAACAGAAGAAAAAAGGGGGCGGCAGTGGCAAAGCTACCAGTTAGGCTGGACTAGCAATGTACATAGTCCAGGCGAGCCGAAGAAAAAAAAAGCCCGCCCGTGGAATGGGAGCTAGGCTGATAAGAGCAGCTGGAGCCAGTAACTGGAGCCTGCGCTAGCGGGAGTAGCTGCTCCTCCAGCCCTGTTTTTGCTCTGGGTTTATGATTTTACCCTACACTTGACAGTTTGCTAAGAAAAAGAGCCAGCGTAGTTTGCCATTGCCAGTTAAAATACCCTTAAGATGCACCTGAAGTTGCATTGTTCAACTGCAAATGGTATTTTAGCTTGCCATTCATCCAAACTGGGACGAGGGGGCGTAGTGCAGAGTTGCTTCGTACGTTGTATACATGTGGCAACACAGCACCACACCAGTAACGGGACAGATGTGAGTCCATCGGCAGCTTGTCCCCCATGTCTCAGCCATTGTCTACGGAAATAATAGATAAAGCAAATAGGCGTACTTAAGTGATACTTCAAATGCACAAATACAACAGTGTGAGAATTACAGCCACTGCCAGTGGACAAACCGCATGAAGGAAATACACTGCAACAAAGGCGTCTGCAGGAAAACAAGTGTCTGTGCTAGCGTCAGGGCGTCATCGGCCTGATCGCTGTGAAACACGGGCCGACCGTGCGGCACGAGCGTGCTGGTGCACTGCCCTCGCACCTCGAGTGCCAGCCATGCGCTTCGCAGCGCTGGAGCTGCAATGGCGCTGGATGAGTGAGCAATGCTCTTTGCGCGCGCATGCTCAGGCTCTTTAGCGCATCGTCTGAGCACTTCTTTCTCATGAACCGGTAGTGAGCGACGCTCCTTGCTTGTGTGATCTTCCTATTCACCGTGCAAATCTCGCTTCCCTCTTTTCTAAGCTACGGCACACAGTGTGTTTTTTTCTGATTCGCGGGTAAGCCGGACGTGGAGGAGGCAATGGGCGCTGAACCCCCCTGTAGTTACAGTGGGGATACAGCTGCCGTGGCGCCATGCATACGTACGTACACGCACTAACGCAGCTTGGGCTCGCCGTAAACACACCAGCCTAAAAGTAAACAACAGTTGATGCAGCGACGAAACTGCCACGCAGACGGCTGTGCAGTAGCGGCAGCAGCCACCAGAATAACAATAACAACAAGAGACGCCAAGTGTAACAGCCTGATTCTGGTTGCCGATGATGCGATGCAGAGACAATGCGATTCATGCTAATGCTGGGAACCATCCACTAACCAACAAGAAAAAAACTCAACATCGACGAGCGATAAGACTGCCCAACAGTGCGCGAGTGACATGCAATTCTCCGATAGTGTAGTGGAGCGCGCCGATAATGGGAAAAGCCAATGCCGGGCCCCATCGCCGATGATGGGAAAATGCTTATCTTGTGCTTATCTTATCGATTCACTTATCGATTATCAGCGGTCATCATAGTAGTGGTACGACAGGCAATTCATGTTAGTGAGAAAACATTCGGGAAAAAGTAAAGTCATAGATTCTGAATTCCGATCGGTTCATTGCCCGTTCGGCCGAGAGACTTTAGCAAGCTTGTCCTATTGTCCAGAAAGTGTTGATATTCCGCCTTTTGGAACGAACTGGGTCTCATCCTGCCAGATCTGATATTCAACGGCCCGCCCCCCATATACGAAGCTGATTCATGAAATTGCCATTTGGCTTCACTTTTCGTTTCATCTTTATACCTGAAAGGGCCATGTCAAGACCAAGGTTTTCTTTTCGCATGAGATATGCAATAACGACGGTAGCAGACCGTGAGATACCTTCTCTGCAATGTACCAAGACAGTATGTTGCTCGTTAAGCTGTTTTTTGATGAAGTCACATATGTTAGCCATTTGGGCGAGGAGTTTCATAGTAGAATTGTCCAAACAAGGAATAAAGCAATGTCTAGATTCGGGTACTATAGATCGAAGCGAGGGCGAGCCCCATTTGCCGTGCTTTGCATCCATGAGCGAGATCATAGCGGTTATGCTTCGTGATTGAAGAATGTCAAGATCTAGAGTAGCAAAGAGATTACTGATGAAGAGCTGGGGGCGAATTATTGTAATGGATGGCTTGAGGCGATTCTCAAAGTTAGATCGTTTCTGTTGGTCGGCCGTAACGGACGATGATTATGGCCCGGTATCCTCCATAGTTGCTATTTTATTTATAGGTAATAGATGTGTAGGATCTTTGCTTGTGAAAGCGTGCGTGTAGCAGATGGAGTTCTTACTGTCGACTGAAGCTCTCTCGTGAATCTTCAGTCGGGGAGATGGGGGGCTGCCAGTACGTACTACAGTGCCATTGAATAAGTTGGGACTGTTCGACGCGACGGGTATGCTATGCAAATATTCTTAGGATTGAAGCTTGGATTGGATCCATTGTAACGTATAGACTGAACTTATATACAATTGGTATAAGTTATATAATTGGTGTATTCATACTTATAGTGCTTATTTAGACCTCTAGAGCTGGCAAGGTGTTTTGTCACGACTGCCTAATTGCCCCCCACGCATCCCACTTGGGGTGGCGGCATTCACGCGTGGAGAGCACCAAACGTCCGTCCTCCATGCTTGTAACGGCAAAAGACGCGAGAAGCCAAAAAAGGGCAAACGCTATTCAATGAAACAATGCAAATTGCACATGACAGACAAAAAAATAACCATTGAAGTCCATAAGCATGTCAGCAAAATAATTGCTCTTCAGCAAAAGGCCAACCGGATGAAGCCGAAAATGTCATTCCCAGCTGAGCAATTGCAAGCATCAACTGGCGTCATCAACGCCACACACGGAATTATTCTTGCTGCTTCCGCTTGGTTACTAATGGAACTCTCGGAGAGACTCAATTGAACATAGGCGGATTAATTTATCATCCCAAAGCACCGACCTCGCTGCGGCGCCCTTGGAAAAAATAGAAGCAGAAAAGAAGGGAAAAAAGGGCCCATCGCTCAAGCACGCCATCGGCACTTTCTCCATCGTAAAGCACGGGACCCTCTCTCTGTCAAATGCGAGATGACAAGCTTAAAATGTCCGCCGGCTCAGCCTGCATTTTATGTTACATTTTAACTACAAAGTACGAAGAGGGGGCACGCGACGGACAAAAAACGCTAAAGTTGAGACCAATTTACCACTTCGGCTAGTGCAGCTCTTCGCTTCTTCTGTTCTCCGTTGACCGGCGCCTGTCCGCTTTCATTCCTCTTACACTGCGCTCGCCGCACCGCTCTTCCTTTGCTCCGTCATCGCTTCGCGACAAATCTCACACACAATGTCAGAGTCACCACCCCCCAAGGACCTCAAATCAGAGTCCTACGGCCAGCACCCGCACGTCGATCTCGTCGAGGGCACCATGTCTGCCGACCGCTTGCGCCGCTCGCTGTCGGCGCGCCAGGTCCAGATGATTGCCATTGGCGGCACCATTGGCACCGGTCTCTTTCTGGGCACCGGAAAGTCGCTGGTTACTGGCGGCCCAGCGTCTATGCTCATTTGCTACTTTATTGTTGGTGTCATTGTCTTTATTACTATGCTGAGCTTGGGCGAGATGGCTGCCTTTATGCCCATTGCCGGTAGCTTCTGCACATATGCTGGGTGAGTCGCAACAGCTGCAGTGACAATCGCAAGACAAGTTGCAATTGCTAACATCACCTTCTTATTTTAGGCGCTTTGTTGACGACGCCTTCGGATTCGCCTTGACGTGGAATTACTGGTTCAACGACGCCGTGTCGACAGCCTCGGATCTCGTCGCCCTCCAACTTGTCTACAGCTACTATTTTGATCCCGAAGGAAAAGGCGACGTCCACGAGGCCTTTCCAGGTTGGGCGCTGAGCCTGATATTCTTCTTTATTCTCTTGGCCGCCAATATCATCACTGTCCGCGCCTACGGCGAGGTTGAGTACTGGCTGAGTTTGCTCAAAGTTATTACTATTAGCGTCTTCATCGTCATGGGCATTGTCGTCAATGCAGGCGGTAACGCTACCGGCCAGTACATTGGTGGCAAGAACTGGCATATCCCCGGCGCGCCGTTTGTTGGCGGTATAGGCGGGTTTGCCTCGGTGTTTGTCACCGCATCCTTTGCTTGTACGTTCCGAACCTATTTCACTTGCCGTTATTCTTCCTTTCGAAACTAACCTACTATTCAAAATAGATGGCGGAACCGAGTCGATTGCCATTACGGCCGGCGAAACGAAAAACCCGACCAAGAACCTGCCGCGCGTGGTCAAGAATGTCTTTTGGCGAATTCTGCTCTTCTACATCCTGTCTGTGCTGCTCATTGGCCTCAACGTGCCATACACCTACGAGAACCTATACAAGAAGTCGGCCGCCACTTCACCATTTACTATTGTCTTTAAGCAGACCGGTGCCAACGCCGCCGCCTACGTCGTCAACTCGGTCATCATGACGAGCGTCATCTCAGCAGGCAACCACGCCCTGTTTGCGGGCTCCCGCCTGCTCTATACCCTTGCTGTGGACGGCCATGCACCGCGCGTGTTTGGCAAGCTGAACAAGAACCAGGTACCGTGGGTCGCGGTTCTCGGCACCAGCGTCATTTCTATTCTGTGCTTCGGGTCCAGCTTCATTGGCGCCGGCCAGCTGTGGACGTGGTTGCAAAACATCGTTGGTGTGTCGAACCAGCTGAGCTGGATCGCTATTGGTATTGCGTCGATTCGCTTCCGCGCCGGTCTCGAGGCCCAAGGCAAGACGCATCTGCTGCCGTTCCGCAACTGGACATACCCATACGGCCCGTGGTTCGTTGTCATTCTCAACAGTTTCCTGGTGCTCATCCAGGGCTGGAGCTGCTTCAGCCCGACCTTTAGCCCCGTCGACTTTGTCAGCTTGTACATTGAGCTGCCCATTATGGCGCTCATGTTTGTTGTCTGGAAGGTCATCAAGAAGACCAAGTTTGTCAAGCTGCATGAGATGGATCTCGAAACAGACGTGTACATTGAAGACCCTGAAAAGAAGGACGACGAGTTCCCTCCCGGCTGGAAGGGTAAGGTCAAGCGCGTTATAAACTGGGTGTTTTAAGACCATGTGTCTTGTACATAGGCATTTTATGAACCTTTTCTTCTTTTGTATATACATGCTACTCCTCCATTTTGGCATATAATTAGCATCGTTTTTCTATTTTCCGGCTTATCCCCTAGTTGACAAAATTTGATATCCACTTCTATATATTGATAATCTGTTGCCGCATGATCTCCAAACTACGCCACCAAGATCGACCCCGCAATCCCAGTACTCTCTTCATCACACATTCAATTCGTTTCATGGCTCCTTTATGTGCTTGATTCAGACTTTGATTACTATACTCGGGTTGAAGTGGATTTATACAACTGATTTTTATTTATATATATACAGGCGTTTCATGTGGTGATCTTCTGTATCCTGTGACTCATACGCTGTAAACCTCGTCCATGCCCTGTGACAAGCTGCGCTTGACTCCTCCTTCTACAACACACCCGAATTATCCTTAAACTTCCCCTCTAGCTAATACGACGACTGATTTTCTTTGGTCTCAACCTGGCAGCTGGCTCACAACTACTATCACGCACCAAATGGAATCAACTTCTCCCCGGCCCATATTCTCTGCATATTCTTCTGATTCAGACACAAGCTCAGACGATAAATCCCAAGTTTCGTCCCATCTACGGCTGGGTTCCCTATAAGGGCTATCCTATTTGTACGCGCACTCGCTGGGCCACTTTCGCCGTAGCAAAAGTCTCAGGCAGATACTACCCCCTCGCAGTCATCTGCACGCCTCGGCACGGCAATTATGAAACCAGCTATTACAGCGGCAAAAGAGACGACTCTATCTTTGCCAGCATATCGCGGCTCATCGGCACTCTTTCGGATCAAACCAACCGCAACGGCCTCCTTGCGGAGCTCGACGCGGCAGTCGACTGTTACAGCGGCGGCGGCGTTGCTGAAAGACTCTCGCCTGCCACTGCGATCCCATTGCACATCGATGGATACGAAGCTCGAGAAGATATGCGCAGCACCTACTATCTTGACAGCCTGCACTGATTCGCGGCGATGCATTTGGCCTGATGTCCTTTGGAAATGGACTTTCACAATAAGAGAAGCTTTCTATGCTGGACATAATCTAGCTCAAGACGATCATCTTTTATTTAATAATCAACTTATATGAGATATTGAATTTCCTTGTTCTGCTGTGACTTTATTCGATATCTACAAGAGAACGGTATTATATACTATGCCCACTTTCGACGCTGATACTTCAACGCTATGTACCCGCGTGGGGTTACGTAGACGTACAATTTCACAATTTTCATTAATTTATGGCTTGTAGCCCGCGTAGATGGGATAGCTCGGGAACCCCCAAGGCTTGGCCGTCTTGAGCAGCTCGTAGTCGAGACCCTTGACGCCGTTATTCATGTACATGAAGCGGGTAAAGGGCACCTTGGCGTAGTACGAAAAGCCCGTGTTGGCCGGGATAAAGGCAACATCACCCTGGAGCAGCGAGGTCTCCTTGTATCCGTCAACACGCAGGACGAGATGACCCTCGTCCATCTGTAGAGCAAAGTGGTGAGGCAGCGTGGCGCAGGCGGCGGTCTCATTGTGCAGGCGCGGCGACATGATGACTGTGCCCACGGTAAAGTTGCCCTGTTCAGGCGTAGCGAGCGGCTGGATAACCTTGTATCCGGACTCCGTGTTGAGGAACTTGGGACCGTAGTTGTTGGCGACAAAGTAGGGCTGGTCCTGGGCGGCAGGCAACACATTGGTGCCGTTGTGCCAGTTGGCCGTGACATCTCCCGCAGTGCCATTGATAAAGTCACGGCGCGGCAAAAAGTCCTTTTCCTCTACAGGCCAGACATCAAGACCCGTCAGCTTCTTGTACTCCTTGGGGGTGACGGGGCCGTATGGCTGGGCATCGGCAGGATCAGGCAGATACGGCGCGCCAACAGTCGAGTGGAAGTCGCCCAGGCTGTAAGCATCAAAGAGGCGCTCGAAGCCGGCCGGGTGGAAGATGTGTGAGAGCTGCGAGTCCGGGTCGATGAGTTGGAACGTGTGGATGGTTCCCTCGGGGATGTTGCCGTAGTCGCCGGCCCAAGCGACCTTTGCTTCCTGCGGCGAGGCCTGGTCCTTTTGCGCCCAAAGCTCTGAGCGGCCGCGCGACGAGTAAAAGTGCTCGTGGACAAGCTTGTGCGTGTGCGGACGGGCAATCAGCCAGTCTGAGACTTTGCCCGTGTGCTGGATCAGCGAGAAGGCGCCGTCGGAGGAGTTGGTGGTGATGGAGAAGCGGATGATTTGGGTGGGCGAGAGGTAGATGCCGCGGCCGTGGAACTTGGGAAGGACGTATGCGCGCAGGTGGTCTGGGGCTTCGGAGACGGTTAAGTCTTTGTTGTGGTTTCGGCCGTCGGTGTAAGACGGCGTTGTTGTTGTCGATGCTGCAGTAGCAGCAGCTACAGTGGTGAGTAGAGACAGACGCATGGTGCTTTTATCAGTTGCGATACTATGTGTACAAGAATATAATACGTATATATTTAAGTAAAATGGAAGAGCCGGAAAAAAAAAGAGAGCAGTTCCTCGCTCCCTTTTTATTATTATTGCCCGGCAGATGTCATAGTAGAGCGCGGCGATCTGACGGAAAAGTCGGCGGCATTTCCGATGCTGTCCACCAACCAGAGGGCCGAATTAGGATGGATTCCCGGGGTTGGAATTTTTCATCTTGCATATCATAATTGTAAGCAGCAAAAAAAAAGGTCCGTTGTAACCATAAAGTGGCCGGCTGGGGGATGGGAGGGGCCGAGAAGCTAAAACAGGGTCTTAGTGCTGATGATGCAAGGCAAAGTAGAAAGAAAAAGTTTTTCGTTGGCAGCGGGTGGGCGGGTAGATAGATGATAGTGCAATGGATTGGAAAAATGTAACTATAAAAACGAATTTGGAACAAGAGATGTAGATTGTAGATATATAGCTAGGAATGGGATTTGCAGTTGTAGTTGGAGATATCGATCGGACAATAGGCTGTATCCCTTTTGGGTAATGAATTAAGTTGGAAAGTGTCTCAGAGAAGGAACGGGCTGGAAATAAGCCGCTATTAGTCTATACTATGTATTGTGTATTGTATGCATACATTGTGTCATACTCTTTTTTGTTCCTTTTTCTTTTTCATAATTTCCCGATTCGGACCTTTGCGTCAAAGACATACTGTATGTTATTAATTAGAATGTAAACCTCAGGATTGTGTGCCTGTGCTGCGTTTGCCACCAAAAAGAGCCTAGCCTTGTGCCAGCTGTTACCGCGCCTTGTTTGTTTCACCATACAAAGGCAACGAGGCGGTAAGTGGGTGCGTAACCTGCAGGTCGGGCGTACATCTGCTGCACAGCACAGCCATCGCTGCTGCGCCATTAGGCGGCTGCATAACAAATAACAAATGTCACTGCTGAACAGGCGTACTCTGCTACACATGATATGTTTTTAGATTGTTCATAACCGCTGGCTTTCTCTCGCCTTCGTTCCCCCGCCTCATGACGAGCATCCACACAATGTCCAAGCCAAGCAAGTCTTGTAGCGCGCTTCGCGTCATTTCCTGGAGAACCAGTGAGTTAATTTCTTTTCTTTGTATATTGAAAATAAAATACATGGAACTTATTCTCTCAAAGCAGCAAACACAGCCCCAGAGGACTATACATGCAAGATTGACGACATTTCTCAAGACGGACACTACACACTATGCAAAGAGAGGGGATTCTCCATCATGTCAGAAATCTGTCTTCTACTAAACCAACAAAATAGTGGCTAAATTTCTTTTCTCTAGATTGGCGAGTGCTAATGAACTCAGCCGGCCCTTTCCCACCGCCGCTTCTGCGAGAGCACAACTCAGCACTCTCTTCAAGATCCCCGATGTCTGGTGGCAGGCATCATGTAAAACCTCCAACGGCTACTTTGGTAGCAAAACCATACACGGGGACAACAATGCTGGTCTAGGTCAGTCACACCTCGATATGCTCATTTAGACAAACCACTAACACATTCACCAAGTCACCTGGTGCAGCTTCAAGGTGAAACAACTCACAGCCACTGCCATCGAGGTAACCGATTATACATGGCCAAGGATGAATGTTATTTCTCGCTGGTACAAGGACACACAGCACACCGCCATTCTCATATTCGACCCGCCACCACATCTGGGCGACCAGTGGACATCGGCTCTTTTGCAGAACGCACCGCACGTCGAGCTGGACAACCCATTCTGGATATACCCCGTACTGGGCAATCTCTTGGTAGAGCTGCAAAACACCTCTGTCTGGACGTGTCGCGATCTTGTACGGGCCGTGGAAAAGGATCGCCTGGGCCTGCTTGCAGAACGCTTTACGTACGAGAGCCTGCACAATCTTTCGCGGCACATTATTCATGTTTCAGAAATGCTGGATGTTGGCGCCCAGGTTGCTGAGACAATACAGCAGCATCGGCAACTCTTTGAAGCCCGTCAACAAGACCGTCTAGTCCCGAGCGCTATACACCAAGAGCTCATGTTTATCCAGACGATGCTCAACAGTTTGAAGAAACGCAGTGACTCCAACATGGCGCGCTTGCAAAACGAAATCAGCCTCTGTTTCAACGTGGTGACGCAGCGGCAGGCGCATGTGTCGGTGCAGATTGGCGAAGCGGCAAAACGGGATGGTGAAGCGATGCGTGTGATTGCTGCCGTGACGCTCCTCTTTCTGCCGTCTACGTTCGTGTCTGCTATTTTTAGTACGAGCTTCTTCAACTATGACCACGGTGCGGGCGTATGGGCCATCTCGGATAAGTTTTGGATATACTGGGCGGTTGCTATCCCGCTTACAGTGGTGTCGGTATTAACGTGGGTGCTATGGACCAGACGCAGGGGGTAGACCAAACGTAGTGGTGTGATTGGATAGATGTATGTGTGATGATGTGAAACTGTTATGAAATAATGATATGCTATTCGAGCTGTGTCTGCTATACAAGTGTCGTTCGCTATAGTGTACTATGATACTGTAGAAGCGTCTGTTATATGCAAGTAATATACACACATATCCTTGTTTAAGAAAAAAGCCATTGGAGTTTTGTAAAATAGTATATATACATTATCCATATATATTCGCAGATTTAAGAGAGACATGTCCTCCCATTTTATACACAAAACATACATCAGATCAAAGACATAAGAATCTCAAGGCTTATTTGCCGGGGCTGCCAGCAAGGCAGAGGAACTTGCGGCCAGTCTTATCCTCGAGAGCATTGAGGATCAAGTTCCAGACATTGGTGTCGTAGGCCTCGCCAATGTGGCCAACGGGGTCGTACGGGCAGTAGTCCTGGACGTAGATGTTGTTGACGCCAGCCTCGTCTATGAAAGAAGTGGTAGTAGGGGTGACAAGCTCGTCATACTTGGAGGTGATGACAGTGACCTTGTTGCCAGGCTGGGCAATAGGCTTGCCGTCGTTGAGTTTCTTGATGGCATCACCGCCAGTAGAGAGGTCGACGCAGGCCTGGCAGCCAAAGGTCTCGAGGACAGTGTTGACAAGCGGGTTCAGGGAGAGAATGTCCGCCAGCTTGCGCAGGTTGGCAAAGGTGGTGCCGTGGGTAGGCGGCGCCAGGGCAACCACACGCTCGACAATGTCGGCGATGCCCTTGACCTTGGGCGTGTAGATGGACTGGAAGGCGCCCTCGGAGTGACCGACCAGATCAATCTTGGCGGCGCCCGTCTTGTTCTTGACGTCACGGACAAAGTCGGCGATTTGCTGCGACGACTCGTCGACGGACTTGAGGCCGCCGACAAAGGGGAAGTTGGGGTAGTCGCCGTAGGTCAGGGTGAAGGTGCAGAACTGGTTGCGCTGGAGGTAGTCCTCGAGGAAGTTGATGTCTTCGTAGTAGGTGGCGCCGAGGCCGTGGAGGAGCACGACGGGGTTGGGATGGACCGATGACTTGCACGAGTAGTCGTTGTGCTTGGGGACGGTGCGGGCAGCGAGGGGGGAGGCGGCGACGGCCGAGGCGAAGAGGAGGGCAACGTTGGCGAGCATGATGATGATGGTTTGTTGAAAAAGTAGAAGTATACAGGAAATAGAAAATCAAGACAAAAAGACTAAGGCTTCTCTGTCTAGCTAAGCTATAATGCCAGGGGGATGGATGGGCAGATCTCGATGGGTATATATACTGACCCTTGTCACTCTACGCACATCACCATCATCACAAACACCAGGAGAAAAAACACAAATAGGCAACCTGACCACCCAGAACAGAGCCCACTTTCTTCGCTTCTTTTGCCCAAACGGTCCAGGGGCGATGGCAGCCTACCGGGCGAGAGGCCCCTCTCCTCCAGGGTCGTATTGTCAGTAACTCACTGGGGTCGCGGCTAGCCGCCTCTGTCGGCCATGTAATTGCAAAGAGAAAAAAAGCAAATACCGCGAAAGAGGGGCCCGGGCAAGGTCAGGCCGGCGATTATGCCCTGCAGTGCAGCGTCACACTCCGCTTGCGTTGCCTTTCTTCGGGGAGTGGAGTGGGCGGGGAGGGCGAGAAGCTTTTTGCAGTAAGCAGGCTGGGGCCTTGTACATGAATGATATACTCCTCAAAACAATGGAGCTACAGTGACTTGAGTAGAGCTAGTACGGTGCTTTGCTATACTCGTCAAACGAGCCTGGCGAGGCTTGATAGCCAGTTCAAGACACCAAACAAACCAAATCAAAACGGCTCCGGTTCTTGTGCAGCCAGCAGGGACACAGGCCAGAGACAGAACCGAAATTGGGGGCTTTACGCTTCTCCCGAGACAGGGCGGCGCCACATCTCAGCTTGCTATGGGGGGAAGCTAAATTAGAGAGCTGTCTGGAAGGGGCGCTAGAAAACAAACAATAGCTTTCCCCGCTAAACTAGACAGAGCACTGCCCTAACCCAAAAGGACTAAAAAATAGTAGACTGGCATATTGTTTGCAACTGGAAGGGCGCTGTAGCGCCGCTGCTAGCGCAAGTACCGGGCATGTAGGCTAGCACTACCCCGCGTTTTTAGGCCATGCGAAGCAAAAACTCTAACGGCGCTGGCTAGGATGCCGAGGCATTGGGTAATAATGGAGGGTAGCTAATGTTGAAGATTGGCTAGGAGGATGACAAGAAGAGAGTCTGAGGCAGATCTGGCGAGGATGGAGACGGAGGAACAAGAGGTTCCTGTCTGTGAGGCATGGAAGAGGTTCCATTAAGTGCCCTGTAAAGAAGACGAAGACAATGAGAGCCGAGGTGAACTTTGCTAGGAACCATTGGTATTTGTATAGTTTGTAAGTACAGGTCCGTGTAATGGCCTATCGGTGCGCATTGAACACGGCGTGTTTTTATACATTGACGGAGCACTTCGTACAAATTCATTAAACAGATCGATTCGTACGTTTAACTAGACTTGCTTGAACGCATGACTGGCAGCGCAACCCGTACCCAGATAGCAGCAGCCTGTTAGGCACAACTACAGCAGCAGCAGCAACAACTATGTAAGTCGGCTCATCTTCCCCAAGGACGGCTTCCCCTCTCCAAAGCAGCTGGAGAATAAAAATAAAATAAATAAAAGAAAAAGAAAATACCCCTACCCCTTGCCGAATATTTCTTCTTCGCCTCTTCTGCAGCAGCAAGTGCCGATGGTGGATGGAAGATGGTGGATGGCGTCCCCCCTCCCCCCTAGTCTCTCACTGGCCTGACGCCACCAACTTGGTGATACTCCAATCACCCATGCCGCCTTCGTAAGAATTGCCCGATTAGGAGATGCAAAGGACCTATTACTTGCTCGCTCAGCCCTCCCTGTCCAATAAACTCTAACTGCAGTAGCAGCAGCGCATGTTAGCAACCTATAGACAGCACTAACAAAACAAAACGGCTTTCTCGGCACTTTTGCTGCTACACCACGTGCTGCATCCGCCACCAACGCTCTGATGTTTTTTTTTTTAATTTTTTTTTTAATTCCTTGCCTCTATATTCTATTACTTTTATGTGCATCTTTCTTTTTCTTTTGACATGTGCTTCAGCGGGTGCTTCAGTTCTCACCGTCGTCGTCCGCCAGCGCCGAGTACATGTTGCCATGGCCAGACAGATACGCTGCCATGCCGCCCGCCTTGTTGTCATTTTCCTCGTCATCATCAGACAACTCGACACCGCTATCCACAGCCTTTGTTCGCTGGCGGTGCACAATATCCTCAATCGCCCAGGCCACGCGCTCGGCTCCGACCTTGGCGCCGCCCAGATTGGCTGCTCCTGGCCCGAGTCGCAGCGCCGCCAGTCTACCCATCATGAATAAGGGAACGCCGTCCTTCCACATGAGGTCGTCGTTGAGGCACGGGAGCCCGCCGCGTGCTTGGATCGGGTGGCTGACCAGCATGGTCTGCAGATACGGCAGCGAGTGCAGGTCGGTCTGGATGCCTGTCGCAAAGTACATGTAGTCAAACAGCGGCGCATTCTCCAGGGGCGGCTCGGTAATGACTCTCCACACTCGGCGGCTGCCGCCGTTGTCGTCTATCGTCTCCAACTTGGCATCGACGATTTGCGTCTCTGTGACGAGCTCGGCGCGGCCTGTGGAGATGTGCTTCTTGAGCTGCTTGTGGAAGACGGGCGTGATGCTGCCGCCGCCGCGGGCCTCGTTGATGATGTCGAGGCGCTCCTCGTCCGAGTCGGCGAGCCAGAAGCGCGCGTGCTCTGTGTTCTTGTACTTGCCCATCCACTGTAGGTCCAGATCAAAGAGCTTGATGCGCAGTCTGCCGCGCATGATATGCCACACCTTGGTTACACCGCGGCGAACGGCGAGATCTGTGATTTGCGCGGATGTGAGGCCGCCACCCACCACTAGCACATTGGTGGACTGGCGGGTCTGTATGCGCTGCTTGAGCAGAGGGTGGGGGAATTCCTTAATCTTCATGCTGTGGCACGCGGGGATGTCAACAGCCGGGTCTGTTAGTGCTGCTACGGATGCCATGGGCGGAAGCTTGGGCACGTTGGCGGCCCCAACGGCCATGATGACGGTGCGGGCATATCGCACAACCTTGTCTGTGGTGATGGTGAAGACTTCTTCCGAGGACTCGGAGACGCCGTCGACGTAGCCGTATTCAATGTTGGTCACGCCCTCTTGGCGAATCAGGCCCGAGTCTAGCTTGTATCGCTTGGCAACCTGGCAGCAGTGGTCGCGGAAGACACCTTGGGACGGGGTGTAGTAGTCGTTTCTGTCTCTTAGGTTGATGACGACTCGCGCTGCTTGTCTGCAAACAGGGTGTCAGCCTTGTCCCTTCAAAAATGGATGACATGAAGACTCAATGGGAGAGAAGATGGAAGGAAAAGAAAATAGTACGTACTTGCCGCCGCACTGTCGTCCGGCATTCTTCTTGTGGCCATGCTTGCTGACCTCTTTACCCACACAGTTGCGAATCTCCACGAGCTCCTTTTCACGGCGGTTCTCATACGTATACGCCAACAGCGAGTCACGGTCAAACGGATCGGCGTGCCAAATCATAGGGCTACGCAGATGGGAAATGTCAAACATGCCAAACAGCGAGTCCCATTTCGCCATCCACTTGTCAGCCGTGGCATCCAGCACCACCATCTTATAGTCTGGGGGACCAGCACGAGCCGCACCGCGCCTCGTTGTCATCTTGCCGCTCTTGACATGCTTGAGAGATACTTTGCCGCCGTGCTTGCCGATCCAGTGGAAGCGGCGGTGCTCCTCGTCGGTGAAGAGGGCGTCTGGTGTGCGTTCTCGCAGACGAGCCGCAGCAGCGAGACCACAGGGGCCGGCGCCGACAATGACGACGTCGTAGATATCGTGTTCCGTTTCCATTGCGCTAGTACTTGTCCTGTAGACTTGTCAAATGCCAAAAAGGAGAAACAAATCACTCTGTGCAGGGACTCAAGTAGAGGGGGCCAGCGTGTATATAAACGACTACACCTGGCCCTGCCAAACAGCCCATGATCCCCCTCTAGGCTGACGGGTTTGCCCCTCCTGCTCCTCTATTTTTGTCCCACTACCACTGTAGACACGGGCTTTCTTTGCCTTTGTCCCATGTCTTGGTGAGAACCCGGACGGATTCTGGGTTTGAAGCTGTCAGGGCCCGGCACCGTTTAGCTGGCGCCGCGGTTGCGGCCGCCTTTGCTTACCACTTCACTTACACCCACCAGCTGGCAGCACTGGCAGCACGTACCCGGATGGGCAACTCTGGGCCCTGTCGCCTACCATCAGGGTTCACACCCGCGGATGACGTCTTGTCACGCGACTCCGCCAAACTCGAGGCAAATGAGATGGTGAATATTACAAACGCACGTGTTTTCTCTATTTTGACAGCGGCCGTTTTTTATTCTTATTTTTAGTTTTAATCTCTTTTTTTTAGTTGTGGCTGCTGTTTCATATAAAAGCTTGCGCCGCGTGGGTGGGGAGAGCTTGCTTAGCTAGCGGCTACTGAACACGATATCTTTATACACTTCAGCCAGCGAGAAGAAAAGTAACATACAAAATCTGACCAACTTGTTCGATACGCTCACACGCGCCACACTAATTTTCATCTTCGTTACTCGTATAAGCCATTACCCGTACTTTGGTCTTTCGGCCTGCTGCTGCTGCTGCTCCTCGTCGCTGCCTGAACCAAGACCCTGCATCTGGCCATTGTCGCCGCGCAGCATCGTCGTCTTTTGCAGAGCAGCTCGTGGAGGGAACTTGGCGTCAAAGACCTTGTCCATCTCCTCGAGAGTTCTGCCGCGCGTCTCCACGCCCAGGAAGTACCACAGCGCCGAGTAGATGATGTTAAGCCCGACAAAGATGAGATAGTATCGCCAATCAATAGAGTCCAGCGCAATCGACGTGACAAAGGTATTGTACAGATTGGCAATGTTGGAGATGATGACGTGCTGCAAACAATCTGTTAGCTTTCTCTTTCTCTCGAACAGTTCACACGAGACGACAAGTATACGTACAATGCCCATGCCCTTGGCACGAGTGGGTGTGGCCAGCACTTCGGCGCAGTAGGTGGCTGTAAGTGGCGTGTACACAAACGAGTAGGCGCATCCAAAGAGGAAGATCTGTAATAGGTGTTAGTCAAAGTTCTGCATAAAACCTGAGAGAAAGAAGGCAGAAAAAAAGACTTACAAATGCAACACCGCCATTGGAGTAGGCAGACGACACATTGGTGGGCTTGCCTTCAAACTTGCTCGAAAAGCCAGTCACACCGGCAAACAGAGCCGCAAGAACCAGACTGCCCACCCAGAGCTTGGTGCGACGACCAATTCGGTCATTGGTAGCAGAACCAGCAATGGCACCGGCGCAAGACACAATCGAGTTCATAAATGTCAGCAAGAGGCGTCGCTCGGCAGACTGGATGCCCAGCAGGGTGTACATAGAGGGCAGGTAGTAGGTCAACACAGAGTTACCCGCCATTTGCGCAAAGATGGACATGAAGACCATCATGGTGAATCTCCATCGTGCATTGTGGCCGCGGACAAGTGCTGTGTAGTCAAAGACGCTCGAGGCATGCTGCAGCTCGATGCTGGCCTCGAACTCGCGCAGCTCCAGCTGCACCATGGGATGGTTGATGTCGCCGCCACCGTGGTACTTGGCCAGAATCTCCGAGGCCTGTTCCTTCTTTCCCCACATGGTCAGCCAGCGAGGGGACTCGGGGATCAGAAGCGAGCCGATAATGATAATCAGAGGTGGGAAGAGCTGCAGGCCAAGCGGCAGACGGAACGCAAGTTCGGTCTGGTTCTTGTTGGAGGCGTATGCGACACCCGTGGCGAGAATCGAGCCTGCATAAAAGACTGCTTTTGGTTAGCCCAAAATTTACACAGTAATACTACAAAAATAGGCGAAATGTCTATAGATGGTTGGTCAACTTACATGTGTTGTAGTAGCCCACGACACGGGCACGCCACTGAGGAGGAGACAGCTCAAGGGCATACGTCGGTGCAGACGAAGTACCAATGGACACACCAAAGCCGAGAGTGAATCGGCCACCTAGGAGATACGAGTCGTTGCGCGCAACCGTCTGGACAATGGCGCCAACCATGATGAGGACGGAGCCGCAGATCATGCCGGCACGGCGGCCGAAGCGATCGCAGATGGGACCTGTGAAGAGCGAGCCGACCATGTTGCCAATGGTGTAGATCATGAAGATGATGCCCGTGGCCTTGCCAAGCTCGGTGTGATGGAAGTAGGCCTTGTACGCGTCCATGGCGTTGATGGAGCTAAAGATGGACTAGATTTGGCTGTTTTAGTTGCTGGTTCTACGTGCACGAAGAAGGGAGGAAAACTTACGCCGTCAAAGCCAGAGGCAACGGCATTCATGGCGGCGACAAAGAGGATACCGTAGAGTTGCAAGCTCGTCTTGGACCAGGGGTCGAGGGGTGCTGCCGTGACTGTCTCGTAGAAGTGTGCGTCGCCCTGGACTTCTTTGACGGTGCCGCCGGGCTTGACAATGGAGTCTTGTCTGTCGAGCTCGGCGTGCTCTGCGACGCCTTGGTCGATTGGTCTCGCCATGGTGGAGGAGGAGGTGGTGGTGCAGGACGAGAGAGAGAATGAGTGTGTCGTGCACTCTGGGGGGTGGAAGGATGGAGATGTGTGAAGGGAGGTGAGAAGGGATTGGGGGACTCGTGCCGTCTTAATACTGGACAACGTCGTTTATTGTTGTTGCATGCAGATGCAGAAGGTTAAAGTCCCAATTGAACGAGAGGAGCATGAAGGAAAAAGAGGCGTCGCATTAAGGGAAGGGCGCGGACAGCTGCCAATTGACTGGTGGTCGGTGGTGGTGGTGGTGGTGGTGACCCCCGTGTAAGTAAATTTAGCGAATGCTGGACGGAGAAAGGCCCCCCACGCTGGCGGACTGCGGGGAAGTTGCAGGGGGCAAAGAGCTGAGATGCGCTGCAGGGAGCTGAAGTAGGCGCTGGGGAGGAGCGCTGTAAAATCCACTAATCAAGTCTGTGCTGGTTGCTGGTATGCAAGACAGACGGGGTGGCGTTTTTAAATGTCCGACTGGAAGAAGTAGCACACAGATTGGCCAATGTGAAGCTATATTTGCTTGGGAAGGGGAAAGAAGAGGAAAAGAAGAAAAATAGATAAGATCCTTCATTTCCACAATCAGTTCGTCTTTTTTCTTTTACGCCGCAATGCCATCTTCTCTGCGCCTCCCACTGATTTGCGTCCCCCTAACAGCAGCGCGGGGGGCAGTACTTTGTAGAAGCACCACCACCGACCACCCACCGACGGCTAACGTGGGGGAGGAGAAAGACCGGCTGAACATGCGCCAACCCGCACTCTGCCCCAACTGTAACGTGCCGCTCATTCGCTCCCCCACACCGCCCGTCGTTTTTTTTTCTGGCGGGCAGGTCTCGTGTGAGGGAGACTGGATTTGGGGGGCAAACTGATTGAATGTTGATACGGTATAAGAGACAGATAGATGGTGCTGATAGTGGTGATCAAAGGGGGCGACTGGACTACCGCGATTGTGGCGTCTGATACAAACGGTTTCTCGCACTCCCCACGTAGAGCCGCCGTGGCGTGAAAGGGCGTTGGAAAGGTGAGCTCATGAGGCTGATGCAACGGTTCATCATTTGGCTTGGCGAGAGGGAGATAAAAAAAAAAGAGAGAACGAATAAAACGATAATCAAGTCATGGTTGAGAAGAATTGGGGGGTGTTGAAATGCAGAGTTGATTGTTGCAATTGGACTTTTGCTGCACTTAAACAAAATGGGGTCAGCTGCTGCTGGTGGTGTTGTATCAACAAGCAGCACAGCAGCCTTGCCCCAATTCTAGTTGTAAATTATATCTGGCAAATATTTTAATACCACCATAATCTAAAACACAATATCATATATTTCATTTTTTTTCTTCTTTTTTTTTCTAGACAGCTATAGCTTGCCATCATTTTTGTCTTGCCAACACCACCCCCTATAACTCGCGCTTCTACAGCGCTTCTAGAAGGCCTACTACAATGACAGACAGCCCGCCAGCGGCCACCCACCCCGCGACCACAGCCACTGCACTCTACGCGTCTCCCGTCTCCTGTGATCGCCACGCACCGCGTCTCTTCACGCCCATCGGCCAGTCAAATCTCACCAATTGCCAATGCTTTTCCTATTCCCTGCTTTCCTTTTCATCGCCACATCTCCAATGACTGCCTCTCTCACCATCATCACCTCTTACATTATTTAAAACACCAAAAAGCATGGGTGTCAAGGCAAGCCGTAAGGCTGTCTCCAGCATCACAGCCGCCGCTTCCAAGACCAGCAGAGCACGCGTCTCCCGCTCATCACCGTCACGCTCGTCCCAAGAATCCGACTTTGCCAATGACGCCGAACTCGACCAGCTAGAAGAAGACGAAGACGAACAAGAAGCACCGGCCGCCAAACGACGCAAAACAGCAAAGTCTGCCACCGCTGGCACAATCAACGCTTACCGCGGCCTGCTCGCCCAGCAAGCCGCCGCCCCAGATGCTCGCCCGACACTTGCTCCCACGCGAAAACACGCGCTCGGCTACCACACACCGCTGCTCCTCAACGGCGATTTTGGCCGCGAGAACCGTGACGTTTTTCTGAAATGGTTCGACTCCGTCTCGCTCGCCCGCGCTATGCCCTGGCGACAACCGTGGATCGACACCCGCAAGGTAGAGGATGCGTCTAAGCTGCGCGCCATGCTCGAGCGCCGTGCCTACCAGGTCTGGATCAGCGAAATCATGCTCCAGCAGACCCGTGTTGCCGCTGTCATTGAATACTGGAACAAGTGGATGGCCAAGTGGCCGACGATTCAGGAGCTCGCGGCAGCTAGCTCCGACGATGTGCTGGCGGCGTGGCGCGGTCTCGGATACTATAGCCGAGCAACGAGGATTCACGATGCCGCCAAGGCCGTCGTGGCTGATAAAGTCATGGACGGGCTGTTGCCGGACAATGCGGCCGATTTGGAGAGCAAGGTTGCCGGCGTGGGCAGGTACACGGCCGGTGCTATCTCGTGCATCGTCTTCGGTCGCCCGGCACCTATGGTTGACGGCAACGTCTTGCGTGTGCTGAGCCGCCAGCTAGGAATCTACGGAAACATCAAGACCGACAAGGCTGTCATTGACATGATTTGGGCTGCAGCCGATGCCCTCGTCCGCGCTGTCGCCAAGGACGTCCCCGAGGGCGAGGAGTACTACGAGACAAGTGACAGACCAGGCCGCTGGGGCCAGGGCCTCATGGAACTCGGAAGTACAGTATGTACACCTAAACCAAACTGCGCCGAGTGCCCCATCACCAAGACATGTCGAGCATACGCTGAAGGCGCGGCTTACACGGCCAAGACAAAGCCGCCGACGCTCACTGACATTGAGGACATGTGCACCGTATGCGAGCCGTTTGAGGAGGACGAGGTCCAAGCGCCAGAGACGCCCTTACAGACGACCAAGAAGCAAGGGAAGCAAATGACACTGGCTGCATTTGCTTTTACTAAAGCGGCCCCAAAGCCTGTGGCGGCACCGGCGGCCGAACCCAAGGTCGATGTGGAAAAGAGGGTCGAGTATGCGAAAAAGTTCCCCGTCAAGGTTGCCAAGAAGGCCGTGCGTGTGGAGGAGACCCTTGTGTGTGCGATTCGCCGCGCAGATGGCCAGTATCTCATCCACCGCCGGCCTGAAAAGGGCCTGCTCGCTGGGCTGTGGGAGTTTCCTAGTAGTATCCTGCCGACCAATGACTTGGCGCCAGCGAAGCGCAAGCAGCTTGCAAAGGACCATACGTCCAGTCTTGTCGGGAAGGATGTCAAGTATGTTGCGGATCTCGGTAGCGTGCCGTGGTTATTTTCGCATATTAAGCTCACTATGCACGTGTACCTTTTTACTCTGGACGAAGGCGGCGACGTGGATGCCAAAGATAAGCGCTGGACAGAGGATGTTGACAGCGAGTCCATGGGCACGGGCATGCGGAAGTGCTGGGATCTTGTCAAGGATGCGTAGGCATAGTTGGTTGGTTTGAAAGGTCTTTTTGGGTTGGCCTGTCGGGCTTACCATGTATACTATATAAACGGCGTATTTGTCTCTGGTGTATAGGAGAGGTATGAAGAGGACAAGGTTCAATTTGGTGAATATCATGATGGAGATGTACATGTATGCTAGTTTTAGCGAAAGCACCGAGGATACCCGATTCTTGTCATTTTGTAAATTCAAGATGATTTTTTAATATGGTAGCCGGCTATCGTAAGGCCGGCTCGTGTTTGCTGTTTGATGGTGATGCTCTCGTATGAAGGTGGTTCGGTTGCAACACTACCAACCACGATCGATGATCCAACTACCGACCGCAGCAACCCATCGTGTTCGACTAAACATGTGTCTTGCTCTCTTTACAAAGTGCAAAAGATTAGAATCATCACCAGAAACTCATTTTATATGTAGCTAATACAAACACAATGGTGGTCGTGTCTTACACCGTGACTCATCAAAGAGGACCATTTACCCAATGCAAAACACACTGACCGAACTGCTTCGACTCGACCGCATAATTTTAAAAGTACACGAAGCCCAGGCCCGCGGCAAGGCCATTTGCCTGGATTCCCTCTCAGAAACTGTTTCCCATACTGCATATCGATTGCCATCATGCATGGTGCTTACATTGTGCCGATGCTCGTCCTTGCCGGGCGAGCGTATGCTGCGTCCCTCGACCATTTAATGCCTGCAATGAACGCTACCCGTCTGATCAAGAGTTCCGAAGAAGATCCTGGCGAGTGGATTCACCAGGACGACTTGTTTGAAAGATTTACCTCCAAGGGCCTTGGTTTCATCGACATCACCGATATCGAGGTATGTCGCTGCTGCATGCCCATTTGGCTACAGTCTAATTTGTGTAGGATCCCGAAGTCATGGCCATTCTCAACGGCGAAGTCCCCTTTGAGACGGCGAGCGCACAAACCTACCCCGACAAGATGCTGCATGTGGGCGAGGCCAAGAAGCTCGTTGACGCCATCACCATGGACGGACCCAAGGGCTGGATTCGCGATCTCTCCCAGTGTGTATTTCTTTTATTGCCGTTCTTTTTTTCCCTTGGGTAAAACAAAATGAAGGTTCTAACTCTTCATATAGCTTCCACACCCGCGACTCGCGAGGAAAACAAGCCGTAGCCGCCGCCGACTACATCTTCGAAGCCACCAAAAAGGCCGCCGCCCCCAACAGCAACATCAAAGTCCAACAGGTCAAGCACCGCTGGAACCAGCCCTCGACCATTGCCATTCTCCCCGGTGAGAACCCCGAGATGGTCATTCTCGGCGCCCACTTCGACAGCACGGCCGGCGGCGCCGATGCCCGGGCCCCTGGTGCCGACGACAACGCCTCTGGCTGCGCCGTTGTTCTCGAGGCCCTCCGTATTGCTGCCGCACAGGGCTGGAAGCCCAAAAATACTATCGAATTCCACTTCTACGCCGCTGAAGAGGTTGGACTTCTCGGCGCAAAGGACATCTTTAAGGAATACAAGGCCCAGAAGAAGACTGTCATTGGCTTCCTCAACCAGGACATGGTTGGCTGGCAGCCTAGCAAGACACCCGCCGTCATGACCGATCATGCTAGCGGTGCTCTTGTTGAGTACATTACAAAGGTCATCACTGAGTATACCGGCAAGGCACCGAACCGGAGCAAGTGCGGATATGCGTGTTCGGATCATGCGCCCGCTACGGCAAATGGCTTCCGTAAGTACTATTCCCTATCATGCTGCTGAAGGACACCACTAAACTAAAGCATTTAGCTGCCGTTTGGGTCTTTGAGGATGTCTGGGACAAGAAGACGCCACACTACCATTCAGCAAAAGATGTATGTTTTTGTCATGGTCGTCCAGCCTGCTCGTCGTTTCTTGCTAACGTGGTCGTAAAACTAGACTATCGATACTGTACAATGGGATGCAGTCACCAAACACGTCAAGTTTGCAGTAGGATTCATGGTGGAGGCTTCGCATATTCCCAAATCAAACTAGAATGCATTTTTTCGTTCTGGATATACGCTAGATTCTTTATATAACTTATACAAATTCTTTATCTACTTATCCGATAAATTGTCCATTCTCATCAAATGGCAGTGCATCTCCAGCGGTGCGTTCCTCCTCGGCCTCAGGATCATAGACAGCAGTTGATAGTAGCAGTACAGGTCCGCTGTCTTCGCCTGGAGGTGGGCCGAGCTGAGGCAATGGCCGCTCCTCTCCCTGCCTCACTGTCTCGCGGGCTCGGCTGCCTCTCGGTTTGTAGTTGTCTGGACGAGACAACTTGGGGGGAGAAGGCGCTGTTGATGCGCTTCTGTGCGACGGGCTATCGGGCTTAAAGGGCGGGAACTCGTCTGCAAGGTCAGACAAGCTGGCACGTCGTCCTCGAGACGGGCGGTTGTCATCGTCGCCCGATCTCCTTCGCTGACTTGGCGCTGGGGTTGCAGTTCGGGAGCTCGATACACTTCCGGTTGCAAAGTAGCCAACAACGTCCTCGATCACAGCTACTTCTCCGTCCGAGATCTCCAAGATGACATCCATGTCTCGGAGTGTTTCAAGACGGTGGGCAATAATGAGTGTGGTACAGTCATGGAAGGTATGTCTCAAGGCCGCTTGGACCTGGTCATCGCTTCTCGGGTCCAGCTGGCTGGTAACCTCATCCATCAATGCTATTTTGGACTTGGTTTGAATGTGGTGTATCATGCCTCTAGCAATATTCACCAATTGCCGCTGGCCTTCGGATAGTTTAATGCTGGACAAGGGAGCATCTAACCCTCCTCGTCGTAGGATGTGGTCCCATAAGCCAATATCCTCGAGAATCACGATCATGGTTGCGTCCGTGATAGGTTCAGCCCGAGGATCAGCGTACGGGGATAAGTTATAGCGAACTGTGCCTGGTAGAATGACAAATTCTTGACTGATCGTTGTAATTCGTGAGCGGAGTAGGTCATGGGGAACTGTTCGCAGCTCTTCGTCATCAATTTTGATGTGACCTTCATACTGCATCATCTTGAGCAGAATCATCATCAAGGAAGACTTTCCACTATAGAGGTTTGCATATTAGCATCTTCTTTCCTTATGTTAAAAGCTGCTGAAAGGAGACATACCTTCCCGTGCGGCCAACAATGCCAATCTTCTCTCCAGGCTCGGCAATACAGTTCACACCAGTGAGGAGGCGTGGGCAGTTGCGGTTTTGTGGCCTAGGCTACTTAGTTTAAATGCTCATAAAATTCTGAATCATAATGCACATACTGGAGCCTAGTCGACATTCTGTCAAATTCGATTCTGCCATCTTCAGGCCATTTCTCACTTAGAACGCTACCACCCTCAATCGGTGGTGGCTGCTTTGGGGTGGACTCTGCAAAGTCAAGGACTCGAGAAACAGCTGCGCATGACGTTTCACACTCTGCCCAAGTTCTCATTGCAATGGTAATACCTTGACTCAGGGAAATCAGATTTACCAAAGCCAATCCAATGCCGTTGGAGGTTGCCGTCTCTCTTAGGCGGAGAGCCATGCCACTAACAACTGTAGCCAGTCCAACAACACCCATGTCCAAGACTAAAAAAAGCCATTGGCGGACACAGAGAGTTTGATAGAATGGGATTTGTGCATGATCCAGTTGGTCGAGGAATTCCTCTATGAAGAAATCTTGCCATTGTTGAGATCGGATGTGCTCGATTCCCGCAGCTGTCTCGCTGAAGAGAGTATAGATTGGTGCCATCGCAGCCAGTTGTAGAAGCCTCATCTGTCGTGATGTTCGGAGGTAGAATCTTTGTATGAGAACTAAGAATGAGGTAAAGGCTGGGATAATCAACGCTGCGTAGTTAGCACTGCCACAAATAATACCAATATCAACCATAGCGGCGAATGTATCTAATCAAGAAGTCAGTAACTGGAGCAAAATGGATTTACCTGGTTCTACTTACACATAAGCGCAAGCAGCATATTGTAAGGAAGATCTTGGCTAATCATTCCAATATCCTGGCTGAATCTATTTTTTTGGTTAATACTGGCAATGCGTTGATTCGAACTTAAACCACGCACCTGTTAAGAAGATTACCATGATCGATACTTGTAAGGAATTGTGTGGAAGCCCTAATACATTGTTAGTATAGTTGTTTTTTTGTATGGATATTTAACAAGATTGCCGTACCCGATCGTAGTATCTAGAAGAATCCCATGGATATTCATGTACGAGTTTCCGATAAGCCCTGCTAGAAACCACCTGTAAAGTATTAGCAATTATAAGCAACTTTGAGACTTTGCAATATTGAGATACCAAATAGTGATTGCGCAAAAGACTGTAGACCCTACAGCAAATGAAGTGTACCCATATAGGAATTGCGCATTAGATGGATTATTTTGGAACCACAGCCGTAAAAAGAGATCTTTTGTTGTTAGTAGAGAGACACCTTTGCTTGGCATATTACTTACTTGGCATTTTGAACAGCAGTTCACCAAGAGCTGTCAATCCGGTCCATGTTAATATCCGTGCCACACCAAATGAAGATATATAGTGGATATATGTGGTACTGTCTCCAATAGAAATATTATTGCCATCCTCTGCCGCTGAAGCAGTCTTTTGGTCGTCGGGTGTGCTACCGGACGCCTGCGTGCTGCTCGACTGTTGATCGTTGCTTGGTACAGACGAGATAGAACTTTGTCCATTACCGCTAGAAGATGGTGTTGCTTGCGGTGTTGGCAAGTGGCGATACGTTGGTATATGTAGCACACGACTAATAATACCCTTGGGGCTAAGCTGCAGGATTCTATCCGCGAACATATTATACTCCACTGTTTACTTCAATTAGCGGCGTCATGTGTAGTTGTAGAAGAAGATATACCTTGGCTTGTTGCGAAAACAACAGTAGACCTGGATTCACGCAGAAGACCATTCTTGCCAAACAGATTCATTACAATAGTCTTTCCGGTTTGAGCATCAAGACCATTGAATACATCGTCCAGCACCAAGATCGGCTTGCGGGAGTAAATAGCTCGAGCTAGCGCCTATTAAAAGAAGTTAATAAGGATAATTTCCTTCCATGAACGAGAGGCAAAACTTACAATGCGTTGCTTTTGCCCTCCACTCAGACTGCTGCCAGAGCTGCCAGCCTCCATACTGTCACCGTTTGGCCAGTCCCCAAAATCAACATTGAGGCAACATGCCTCTGTAACCGTTGCATACCATGTATCAGAGATGGGGTTTGGCCCTACGATGTTCTTTTTCACCGACTGGGCCCTTAACCAAGGGACCTGAGAACAATACGCGATCGATGTTCTATCGATTTTAATCTTTCCTTCGACAGTTGGGATTTCGCCCAGCAGACTCTTCAGCAGTGTCGTTTTCCCACTGCCAACGACGCCCGAAATCATAGTCAGCTCGCCCGCGGGGAAAAACGCTTCGGCATCTTGTAGAACCTGCTTGCCTCCAAAAATTGGGCTTGTACCTAGATTCTCGATTGTTGCAGAGAAATCTTTTGGCTGGTTCTTCATAGGCGCCGCATCAGCAGACTTTTCTGTTGATCCAGCACTTTTGTTTGATGCGATAGTGTCTTCGACAGCGCTCTTCGTGAAGCTCTTCTCAGTTGTGCTGGCTTCGTCGATAGAAATTGGAATCTTTTCTGACAGGCTCGCTTCATTTGCCTTGCTGGAATTCGCGGATTGACCTTGACCATTCGAATTCGACACGCTGCTACCAGAGACCTTTGGTAGTTCACGAACATCGACCATTTCTTGTTGAATAAGAAACGCTTGAATACGATCATGGCATGCCAAGGCGCGTGCAATCAATGATGATGTCTGGACGATATTGCCGAGAGGTGCCGCAATCAAGGCTGATACTGTCAATAGTCCGTAAACATTAGCAGTAGGTATTCCGTCTGTCCTCGTCCAACAGTAGGCGCCGATAAGAATGAGGACAGGTGTAGCCGCGATTCCAAAAAGATCTTTAGCAGTGTTAGTAGAGTAGATATAGTAGATATAGAATGATCTTACCAATAGTAAACATAATCGCATGATAATTGCGATACTTCTTTGATGCTGTTACTTCGGCAATTAGATTACCATTAATGATACCGGAAACAACATGTTGTAGGCCAATCATGCGGATGCTCTTAAAATTGCTGAGCATGTCTTTGACAGAAGTGATCCTTTCTTCCACTTTTACATTCCATTCTTTCTGAGATGCTTTGAACTTCCTGGCAAAGACGTAGGTGAGAATTGAACAAACTGTATATTTGTTAGTATCTTGTATACATTTGTGAATGGGTTGTTGCTTACCCAGAATAGGGACACAGGTTAAAACAGCAGCACCCCCAATGTAAAACCCGAGGTAAACAAGACCTGCAATAATCGAGACCAAGCTACCAATTGCACTATTTATTCTCATGAAAATTAGTTGCATGCCAGTCAGATCTACTGTAATCAGTGTGAGAGCTGCAGCCTTGTCTAGAGTGGTGGAGTCCACCAGCATCATTTTCTTGTAAATGACGGTAGTAGAACAGGTTCTAATAATAGATGTTGTGCGAGCTACGGCCTGCTGAGAGATTGCTCGAGTGATCTATAATAGATTTCATTAGTGAACAACAGACTTGTCGATGGGAGAAGAAGACCACTTACGGCGAACGCAAAATAGGAGAGAACGGTGGCACCAAGCAGCCCATTAGCAGTTGGTATATCCAATTCTGGCTCATTCATAGCGGTGATGATCCGTTCAATGATAAATGGCTGTGTATAGCTGAGTGCAACGTTCAGCCAAGTGGCCACCAGCGCTGTCCAGATATGGGCTGGTCCGGCTGTTTTCATCAGCGCCCAAAGAAGGCGAAAGTGAGACTTCTTTTTCGCTAGAGGTGTAATGTTAGTATCGCAAACTATATTCAACAATAGCGGGATTCTTACATGTCCCCCAGTATTCTCGGAATCTCTGGGCAACGTTGGCAGCTTGTAGGTCTTTGTCAAGCTTGTCCAAGTCATCGATTCTCAAGATGGCTTTGGCGCCTATCCAGAAGGTAGCATTGAGCCATGTGAAGAGTGCTCTGCTCCAAAAACCACTTACAGCCTCTCGTCCTGTATTGGTCTGAAGCTCTTCGCTGATGAATAGGCTTCGCTTAGAGACTTCCTCCAGAAGTATAAGCACAAGCCTACTTGCTACAATGACTACCTGGAGTACTGCTTCGGAGATCATGCTGCGATTGAAGAGGGAATAGGCCTTGATAGCATCGAAAACCAGAGTGATGGATAGGAAGAGGTTGAGGAGGAGAGATGGATGAAGGAAATAGAAGTGCTCAGCATAGAGTACCAGAATGACGCAGAAGCTGGCGACACAAGATACCGCACCAGCGGCAACACCAATGTCAGTGCGGAAATTGGCCAGCCCAGTCCAGAGTGCGACCGAGACTACATTGGCGGCAAAGAGAGTAAGACCAAATGCCTATCAATGTTAGTATCTTAAGGATCGTGTATATGTATGGTCGGTACGTGGAATCTTACCAATTTGAACCAGAACAAGTAGCCGTGTCTCACAATTCGCTTCTTCCCATACACCTCCCACACATATAGTGGCATGCACAGAATGAACAGCGCCTGTGGCAGAATTGTCAAAACCACTTGCTCAAAGAGAAGAGTGAAGTCGAAGAAGGATAGAAACCGAGGTCCCCAGGACGTTTTGTCCTGAAGTAACCCAGAAGTAATATCCAGATTGACCATTTTGCTGGTGTGCTGCTGGGCGTGTGCAGTGCAAGGGAATTTAACAAGAAGAAAAACAAGCAAAAGGAAATGAGAATGAGAATGAAACCAAAGACAAATTGCCTCTATGTTATGAATCTTTGGTAGGGCCAAAGTGAGTGATAGAGGACTGTAAGAAAAGTGTTGGTTGGTCGACAACGAATGCGGAGTGCGGGAGAGGGGTTTGAAGAGGCGCTGTTGGTCGGGCGAGATGGACAGCCACCCCGGGCGCCATCACTAACCCCGCCGATTCAGGCAACTTACTACGCGCCCGCTACTCGGGGGCCGGATCCTGGTGCCGTGATTGGTAGGCAGCCCACTGTGGCGTGCTGACGGCGAGTAATGGCCCAGCGGACCAACTTCAAACGAGGCTCTGAAGCACACTGACCTTCCTTATTCAGAGAGGAATCCGACACTAGTGAAATTACCGGCAAAAATAGAACCTGTGACGAGAGCTTGCATGCACGCAGGGAATTTTGTCACAACTCATCACATCCCATCACACCAGCGTGTCTTGTCTACATACAGTACGTACTGCAGCAGGCGGTGTCCCACTGTCGAGAGCCTGCCTCCCAAACGAGCATCGCGTCTCACGCCGTTTATTCTAGCTCCCGGTACGAAATACAACTATACATGTATTGTACAGTTCATAAGAGATAGCCTTAGTACTTGTTTTTACCTTTTAGCCTTACCCTCATTGTAAACCGTGGTGAGTGATTAAGTTACCAGCAGGATTCTTGCTCTCTCCTCAGTTCGATAGAACAAACAAACACTGCGGGGGCCGTTCATGCAGAGCTACACCATATCAAAGCCACTCCTGAATATAAATATATAGAAATATATGCATTAATTTTGAACACTTGAATCTTTTAATACGTGCGTATGATATATATGTACATGTGTCTGGTTGCTTTTAATATATGAATATTGAAGCTGTTCTATTATGAGCTCGCTATTTATTCAACCCCTCCCGGCATCATGGTTGATAAATACTCTCTAGCGAAAATCTTAGTAATTCCGTAAATAAAAAGAATTAGCGTTCAGTTACCTTGGAAAAGAGGGAACTCCAACCGCGAGATAATAATCGAAACATGCAGTTTTGCGGTCAAAACCAGAAAATGTACCGTCATGGCGGACGGGGCGGGCTACGCTATTTGTACCTGGTCGCAATTTTGTGGATTTCCGTAGCGTGACTGACTCCGTTCGCCGCATACTTTTTGAGAAGTTCTAGAAACCATCTACCGACCCATTCGATACACTAAACTATGTTTATATGGAAATTAGTGGTGGATTCTACCTTGGCAAAGAAGTATTCAATTATTGTGAGTCTAGAGTCCGGGCGACATTTCTACCTCAATTGGGAGTCGTACGTTGCCCTCACTCCCCGTAAAACCACAGGGGCCTTCACAGCTTATTTACTTTTTGGCGCCGAGTACACCACATCCGCGAAAAGCAACGACAACTATACATGTTGCAATAACTGCAGTTGTGAAATCAAACCACCTCGCAGCACGCAGACCCGCAAGCAGACTCTCCTTTTCACCTAGAGACGGCACGTGGCTCTCTTGGACACTCAGCTGAATGGCGGTGGCAATAGCTAAGCCAATGGTACGTCCAACGTTCCCAACCGTATGAAATATCGCCGCTCCGACACCTTGATCCTCCGGTGGGATTGCGTGCATGATGAATATGGAGAGGCATGGTGAGATGGTGTCTGCGCCAAAGGTGGACATGACCATAGCCGGGAATGAGTAAGCCCAGTAACTGGTGTCTGGTGGAATTGGAACGGCAAAGAGTAGATTACACAGGACAAGGCACACAGAGCCAAATATGACAATAATGTAGCCGTTTACACGGCTTAGAAGTTGTGCTCCAATAGCGACAGCAATGAAGCCAGCAATGCCAGTGGGCAGATAACGCAGCGTTGTTTGCAGAACATCGAGACCCAGATAATCTTGGTAAAAAAAGGTACCGAAGATGAGAAAGTTATTGAATGATGACCATGCAAGGAAGTACATTCCCATGGCTGCTGAGTATGTGCCAGAGCGAAAAACGGACAGCTTCATGAGTGGCGGTTGGCGGTTGCGTTTCTCAAGACGAAGCTGCCAAAAGACAAAGATGGCCAAAAGTAGCAGGCCGACACATAATAATGACAACACCCATGGTGTTTTCCATCCGACAATGTTTCCTTCAGACATGGCGACAAGAATAAACATGAAGGATGTGACGGAGAGAAGCAGGCCAATCCAGTCCATCTCCTGCAACAACGTTTGCGCACGTTTGCGCCAAGGAATGGCCTGAATTTCAAGATCTTTGGGTAATGGTGGGATAAAAACCAGAGAAAGTCCAGAGCAGAATGCAAGCAACATGGAAAGGATCCAGAAGGACCATTTCCAGCCGAGAAACTGGCCAATGATGCCTCCTAGCACGCCGCCGACAGCACCACCAACGGGGAAGCCCGCGGAGAATGCAGATATGGCGTAAACTTGGGCTCGTCCTTTTGGAAAGACACCGAATATAATACCCATGGCGCTCGGGATAGCGGCTGCCGTTCCCAAACCCTGCACGGCGCGAAACAAGTCAAAGACGGCTTCATTTGGGGCAAAGGGCGCCACCAGGCAGGAAATAGTGATGAGGATCATGCCAGACTGGAAGATTGCTCGGCGCCCGAGAATATCGGCGACTCGGCCCCATAAAAGCAAAGTTGAAGCATTGGCAAGGGCGGCAGACGAAATGATCCATTGGCTACGGCCTTGCGGAATCGCCAACTCGGCGTTGATCTCTGGCAAGACAAGAACGCATGCTTGGGAGACACAGGTCTAAAGGTATTCTTATTAGTGGGAAGACGCACACTGTAAAAAGTCAATGATCCGATTACTTACGTTGAGGAAGGATGACGAGGCAAGAATAGCAGCAAGGAATATACTTTTGGACAAAGGCTGTTGTCGTTGGACCTGCTCGGTGGGCTCCGCCTCCGGCTCTGGTTGACCAGCAGCTGTAGTAGCGGCTACAGCGACAACTGCCTTTTCAGCGTCAAGCTTTCCATGTTCAATAACATTCATTGCAATAAATAGCAATCCATGTGCAGCAACAGAAGTTGGGGAAAAGATCAGTCGTCCGCGACAGCGACTGACCGGTTGGCTGTCTTAAATCTAATCTAGCGGCTTCGGCGTCGGAGTCGGCGGGGCGCGGCTGAGAAAGTTTTGGTTGGCGGCCTAGTTCCGCGCTCGGCTACAGTTTTTGGTGAGTAAGCTTAATAGCCGACGGTGTGGGTGATTAATATGAAAGAAGCTCGCGTAAAGTGTTTTGTGGAGGTAGACGTAGTTAGACGATGTTAGCGCGTTTCCGGAATTCCGCTTAGCAGGGTAATTTTAAGATGCCATTGTCGGAGTTCATGTCGGTCTGGTCTATTGTAAGGCGATGCGGATAAGCTTTGCGCCGCCCGTTGTTATTGCCGGACGCCGCCACTTGTCTGGGCCAAGAACGAGCGTGATGGATCTGCCAGTAATAGCGAATCAAAGATATATATACGTGTATTTATCGATAGTCGCATACGTCAGTAATTCTAGAGTACTGGGCATTTCATTGGCTGGCATGGCGAAAGTAGCCTGTTGGTCCAGCCTGCCCGCGATTCTTCCAGATCTGGGTTGCTCCTCGTATACTAGGCGCGACGTAGATGTTGGCTCGGGCATAAGCTGGACAAGAGACAGTCGAAAAAGAACAATCCACGAGTCGTGCGCCCGCCGTTGTGCTGTTCAACTGTCTGAGACCAACGGTGCGTGGCGGGCGCTCCTCAGGCAAAGATGCACTCTGGGCGGTGGGTCGGCCGACGCCAGCTGCCAGCTGGTGGTGCTGGTCCTGGTGCCCGCACAACACGTCAGCGGTCGACGTCCTAGCGCCTCCATGAAACCCGTCGAGACATCCATCCCACTCATCAACACAATCCTCACAACTGTTCCCACGGCCAATTCCTTACGGCCAGCGAATAACTCTACGGCTGAGGCCCTCTCACTACCACTACTTTCCGACAGTTCTTTCCGCTTCGCCCGCCACTACCGAGACTCTTCATGACGTCCGCCACTACCGCGACCAAGCAACCACTCTTCCCGTAAAGGGGCACACGTGCGATCGATCGATCGATATATCTGGGATACAAACCCTGCCATGGACGTTGGTATCTCAGGGTCCCGCGGCGCCGTCAGGCCGTCAACGGCCCCTGATGGAGACTCGGGCCCGGCACCCCTCGATGCTGCGAGTCCCATTTGCAGAATTTGTCGAGGCGAAGGCACTGCAGCTGAACCGCTCTTCTATCCTTGCAAATGCAGCGGCAGTATCAAGTTTGTACATCAGGACTGTCTGATGGAATGGCTGTCACACTCGCAGAAAAAGTACTGTGAGCTCTGCAAGACGTCCTTTCGCTTCACCAAGCTCTATTCTCCTGACATGCCCACTACCTTGCCATGGCGTGTCTTTGTCCAACACATGTCAAAGCATTTGTTCTGGAATATGGTTACCTGGCTACGTGCCATCTTGACCATTAGTATATGGGTTGGCTGGTTACCTTACTTCATGCGCGGCGTTTGGTCCTTCATGTTTTGGGTCAGTAATGAGGGCCTAGGTGGCGGCTCTCTTCGACACAGCGCTGAACTAGCTAGTCAGTCTGCGTCGCTCGCCCTGAAAATAGGCAAGGCTCCGATTTGCCTTGCCAATCCGCTAGTTCCAGAAACTTGCACCAGAGTGCAGGACGTGGAACGGGCCATGTCGGTTCTCAGTGGCCAAAACTTTCCGCCACACTTTGTCAATCTGCTACTTGGCTCCATTTCGAGACCAGCATCGGCTGGAACCTTACAATCATCATCTGGTTGGTACTCCATGACGGGCATGGATGCAGATGATGGCGTTGGTAGCGTGCTGAGCGACGTTCGTTTCTTGCGCAACCTCACCCGCAGCCCCGCCCTAAACCGCCTGATTATATCCATTATTGAGGGCCAAATTATCACCATTTTGGTCATAATATGCTTCATTCTTGTCATATTGGTCCGAGACTATGTTATCCAGCAGCAACCTGAAATAAACGGACGGGCTGCAGCAGCAGCAGAGGCAGAGCCTCAAAACGACGCTGAGCAGCTTCCAGAGTTTGACAACGGATTAGCACAAGATCCACTTCAACACTTCGCAAACCCTGTACCGGCTGCCCATCAGGATGTGGAGGAAAGACCAGCTTCTGCGAACGTAGGTGAGTTTGCAGACGACTTCCCACAGCTGGATATGGCACTGATGACGGCGCAAACTAATGATGAGCGCCGTGTCTTGCGATGGAATGATGGACACGAAACTCTTGATGAATATATGGAGATATGGAATCGTGCAGACAGAAACCCACAGCGAGTCTTGGATCTCATTTACGCTGAGGGCGACGAAGAACGGCTCGCTCCGTGGGTCGAGATCACCAGATTTATGTTGGGAGCACCACAACTCGAATCAGACATTCGCACTGCATCAGCTCCCAATGTTGATGTCAATGCTGCAGACGAATTATTTCCGCATGACGAAGCCGTAGAAACTCACGAAACTGAACAACAATTGAACGATTACGAACAACCTGACACCAGCGCGCTACAGACTACATCGACGCATTTTGAGGCGCAGGAACGCCCATCTTATTTAGCAAACAGGCCTGGCTCAGAGTTTCAGTCACTCTATCAACAGCCAGAAGCTACATCTCAGGTAGATTCCAGAGACACCACAGATCATCGATGGATGCGGCCCCGCGCAGCCTCTGATGGGCCTACTGGTCAATCCTCCATCAACCCACTCGCCAGTAACTCTTGGAGTTTTGCCGACCTACCTGATGAACCGAATAACGGTTTTGACCCGCCTACCCAACTGAACAACGCGGGTACAGAACGATCATATCCCGTCCAAACAGCCCTTCAGCGTGATCCGTCGGCCTCGAGCAGCATTAGCCATGTTTACGCCTCGGGGCTACCCGAACTCGATTCGCCCGCATCGGAGCTGGAAACTCACAATGAAAAATCTAATAATTCTCTCCTGACAAGTGCCAATGACCCAGCTATCCCAACTGATGCCGCCACATCTCTCAATGGCCCCTCCAACTTTGACTTCGCTGCTCCCTTGGACATCCCAGGAGACCTGGAGCTGGAGCCTGAGACTAGCGATGATCTTGCTTCCCCTATAGAAGAGCTCCCTGATGGTCGTCAAAATCCCGAAGCCAATGGAATTTTAGAAACAATTGCTGACTTCATGTGGGGGGATGCCACTGAAGCGGATGACTTCAATGCGGAGGCTATGCAGGCAATGGTTGCCGAGCTGGACGAGCCGTGGGAGGACTTACCGATTGCAGGAGGTGAAGGCGACGTTGCCAATGCTGCAGATGAGCAAGAAGCCGCCCAAGATGGTGTAGCAGATGCCTTTGACCAAGACGCCATCGACGAGATGGAGGATTTCGAAGGGGTCATGGAACTCATTGGTATGCGCGGTCCCATCGCCGGCCTCTTTCAAAATGCCGTATTTTGTGCGGTGCTCGTCTCCGTGTCCATATTTGCCTGCATCTTCGTCCCGTACAATGTTGGTCGTGTGGCGCTTTGGACTGTTGCCAACCCAGCTCGAGTTATACGAGTCCTCATTGAAATCTCGAAAGTCATACAAGACACTGTTATTGCCTGTTTTGCACTCAGTTCTTGGGTTGGTGTCAACCTGGTTGAACTGGCCTTCCTCCTTGTCCGATTTGCCATGCCAAACAACCTTGTGGCTGTCCGAAAGTCCCTTTGGGCTCTGTGGAGGAGTGCTGCAGTTCGGGTGGCGTCGAGTGCCTTCTTCGACGTCCCTACATCAGCAACTGAGATTCAAAACTTTTCGGCCATAAGTCACGAGGCTTTGTTTACTGTCAGAGCAATGATCAAAAGCAATATCTCGGGTTTTCTCAATGCTCTCGGCACGGTGTATTCGGAATATATCCGACACCCCGGCCTGCATACCATTACTGCTGTACCCGTATTGGTAAAGCGAGCGTTTGAAACGTGTGTGTGGCTCGCAAAGTGGCCATTGACTCCTGAGCTCTGGCTTGCTGACCTTCGCGAGACCGATAATCACGCTCTTCTCAACCCTGAATTGACCAATTGGTCTGCCGGAGATCGATTTTGGGCTATTGCGGCAGGCTATCTTGCACTCTTTGCACTCGGTGCCATGTATCTCAACCGGGAAGCAAACGCCGCGCGTAATGCTCGTGGCTGGGAAGCTGGCATAATTGACAGCCTGACCCAAGCCAGCGGCATCATGAAGGTCATTTTGGTCATCAGCATCGAAATGCTACTGTTCCCATTGTACTGCGGCATTCTTCTCGATGTTGCTCTGCTTCCGCTCTTTGGAGGCGCAACCCTTGGATCACGGGCAGCCTTTGCCATGAACTACCCTCTCACATCCGCTTTTGTCCATTGGTTCGTTGGCACCGGTTACATGTTCCATTTCGCGCTTTTCGTGTCCATGTGCCGCAAGATCATGCGACCGGGAGTTTTGTACTTTATTCGCGATCCTGACGATCCTGAATTCCACCCAGTCCGTGAGGTGCTAGAAAAGAAGCTTACTACTCAGCTACGAAAGATCCTGTACTCTGCATTCATCTATGGCGCTCTGGTCATCATCTGCCTAGGCGGTGTAGTCTGGAGCTTGCATCTTGCTCTGCCAGCAGTTTTGCCGATTCATTATTCGTCCAACGAGCCTGTGCTGGAGTTTCCCGTGGATTTACTCTTCTACAACTTCCTTATGCCACTCGCTGTCAAATTCTTCAAACCAAGCGATGCCATTCACGTCATGTACACGTGGTGCTTCCGAAAATGTGCTCGCTACCTGCGACTCACCTACTTTATATTCGGCGAACGCAAGATTGACGAAGAGGGTGTTCTTCATCTATCGGAGGACTCGGAACACCAGCAAACCTTATATACTCGATTCTTCTTGGAGCTTGACGAGCGAAATCAAGTCGTGCCTAAAACCTGGAGCGATCTCTTTGAACGATACGACAGCAAGCCGAACCCACCTCTGTCGAAGACTGAGCGCAAGACATTGAAGCTTCGTAAAGCACACCTAGTCAACACCGGGCAGCTTGTCAAGGACGGTTACTTTGTCAGAGCCCCAGCATCTGATCGAATCAAGATTGCCAAGGGCCTCAAGATCTTCCTACCCGTGTCTGAAAGCAACAAGCGCAAGGACGAAGTTGCCGAAGAGGACATGTACGAATCAGACCAATTCCAATTCGTCTACATCCCTCCCAACTTTAGGACTAGAATCTTTTCCTTCATCTTGTTCATCTGGCTCTTTGCCGCTGTGACTGGTGTCAGCTTTACGGTTATGCCACTTGTCCTTGGCCGCGTTGTTTTCAAGATGGTCATTCCGGATCATGTCCGCACCAACGACATTTACGCCTTTAGCATCGGAATCTACATACTAGGCTCCATCACATATCTGGGTCTCCGTTTCACTGATGTCGTGAACAAGCTACAAGGCTGGCTGCAAGCCGCTCGAGATGAAATGATGGGCGATGGCGCCCTGGGGCGTTGTGCTCGCAAGATTCAATACGGTGCTGGACTCGTCTACACATACTTCTTTCTTCTCGTCGTCTTTCCGCTGGTCATGTCCATGTTCTTGGAAGCATACGTGTTACTCCCGGTCAACACCTATTTGAACCCACCAACGGAGCAAATCTTGCAAGCCAGCTCTGGCGCAGGTAACCAGAATGGCCAACATAGCATCCACATTACGCAGGCATGGGTTCTAGGCTTGCTGCATCTGAAGCTGGCGACAACTCTGGTAACCTCGCTCTTCCCAGGCACGCGCTTTGCCGTCGCCGTTCGTCGAGTTATGCGTCGCGGCTGGCTCGAGCCTGATGTCTCACTCTTCTCCCGAGCCTTTGTACTGGGCGGTATCCTCTTGTCCATCGTTGCTCTGGTAGTGCCACCATTGGCGGCAAATGTATTGATGAAGTGGAACGCTTTTGGACTTGGACATCCAGTGGGCATGTCCCAAATAGAAGCTCAGATTCACTCCATCATTGTCCACCGATACTCATATCCTACGGCGGCCATGTTGGCGGTGGCTCTGAAGTACGCACTCTCACTAACCCGTGTGGTAGACGGGTGGACTCTTGGTATACGAGACGAGGCATATCTCATTGGAGAGCGACTACATAATTTTGGAGCCGCAACTGCCGGAGCAAAGAAGGGTGCCGGGGCCTGGAAGGCTAGTGGACAGCGACTGGGTTAGCACGGAGACGGCGAGATTGGTGTATCGAAGCACGTGTACAGTACTTTACCATTGCCAAATAGACTATCGGCAATAGAACAGAACATAAATTCCAACTTTTTTACAGGAAATGACCGCATCTTGTCATCACCCTGGATTGCTCAGGCAGGGGGTTGGCTTCCGTTGGCGTTGACCCTGACGTTGATGGCCATTTCGTTACCCGGGACACCGCCAGGGGCTACCCTGCAAAGCGATTTGGTATTTGTGGTTGGTGTATTGCGGTACATGTTTGCCTGTAAAATAGCACACAGTATTTTAGGTCATTAACGTTTTATTTAAATGTATTCGTTTTCATTTCATTTTGGTAGAGGCTGCGGAGGATGTTTGATGGGCTGATGTAAAACGTGCAGGTCCGTTAGATAGGTATGGCAGCTTTCTGGGGAGAATCACCCGTAGGACCCCACTGCCGACTCAAGTTAGCACTAATTATAGGCGTAGGTCGCCACCCCATGCAACGACGCTGCGGTTCCCATGCCTACCTGATTAACAAATGTCAACAGGGGTTTTGTAAAGCTGTCTTTTGAGAGAAATAGTTTCATAAAGAAGCTGTCGCACCTCGACGACATCCAAAGATTTCAAAAAATTAAATTTTGGCGACGGACTGACCTTCAGCAGACACACATCGGCCGCATGAGCCGTCCCACGTGACCTTGGTGTTATTGCTGTGGCGTCCGTTGGGTTGTGGCGTAGCGTGTCGTTTACCAGACCAGCACCACATCAACAAATCGGTCGATGCTGTGAGTGGCTGCTGCTGGGCCTCCTTCTAGCGCCCCCCTCCCCCATCACAGGCCAAAACAAGGGATGCGACATCCGCTTGCGTGTCTTCCTTTTGCCAACAACCGCTGCCGGGCGCGTCGACAACTGCTGCTTGCTCCTATTTCCCCCTGGGATTCTTTTCTGTTTTCTACGACTCCGAGGTAAGTGACGGAAAAGAAAAAAGGATCTTTGCGCAGTGCCACCAGCAAAGACAAACGACGACCAACGCAACTCGATCCAATAACAACAACATACGGGGGATCTCCAGACATTTTTTTTGGTGAGCGCCATCCCGCCTCTCCCCCCTTGGACCACCTCGACAGGACCGTCACTGACGCGTATTTTCTCAACACAGAATATTCTTCATCACCAGAATTTCCTCTGCCCAGCCTCGTATCTTCGCGTTTGCCACGCCGCCGACCGCATCTTGTGCCCCCCAGACCGACTCTTTGGTGTCTCCACCTGCTTGCATTTCGACAGACGTAGCGAGAAAAAATAACACCCTGCAGCCCAACCACCCGAGAATATCGACAGTCCACATGGCTTGGTGCTAAATGCCACAATAGACGGGTTTCTACCAAGTCCAAAAACCGTTGTTGGCTCAAGAACCCATTGGCGACAACATCATGGCTGAACCACCATCGTCCCCCCCGCCGGCCAGCGCTAGCGCGGAGGACTCTCTGTCCTGGTACAAATCCCAGTATGAGCAGCTCGAGTCGGAACTAGCAGAGTTCCGTGACTCTAGCAGAGAGCTGGAAAAAGAACTCGAAAAGGATATCGAACGCGCCGAGAAGCAGGAGCGAATTCTCAAGGACAAGGCCGAAACATTGGGCTTCCAAGCAGAGGAATGGAAGCGAAAGTACAAGGAAGCAAAAGCAGAGGCTTCCAGTGCGCAGAGCAACTTGGAAAAGGAAATCACAACATTGCGGGATACGAATCGCACACTACAGCTCAAACTCCGCGACTCGGAGGTGGCCAATGATGACTTTGAACGACAGGCACGCAACACAACATCATCTCTAGAGGACATGGAATCCAAGTACAACCAAGCAATTGAGCGATCTGTCATTATGGAGGGCGAGATCAAGGCCGGCGAACAAGAGCGTGAGACCTTGCGCATTGAATCGCAGCGTCTGCGTGACGAGCTGGCCGATCTCAAGATTGAAGCCGAGCTTATGCAGGATCGCATCAAGAAGCAGGAGGCCCGCCACCTCTCCGTTATCTCTACAGATATGTCTATTATGAGCTCGCCTACGTTTGACCGCCACATGGATGGCTCCCCGGGCTCGACGGCAAGCTCGCCGCTTGTCACAACACCCCCCGAAGCCAAGTCGGTCACCTCGACGGCCACCACAGACATGTCGGGATCGGAACTCACTGACCCGCCTTCGCCGCCAATGTCCGACGCCTCAAGCTCGCGACCTAGACAGACACCTGCCCGTCTTCCCGGCGTATCAACGCTTCGCCGCAAGACCCGTCTACCGTCGTTGGACGGAAGCGCAAACTTGCCTGGCCGCCAGAGCCTGACTGCCGCCGCTACACCCAAACCACGACCTAGGGCACCAACAACAACAGCTAGAATGCCGGGAGCGCGCGACTCTGGCGCAGGCTTCCAAAGAACGCCTGCTGCTAGCCGCAGCACAGCCAACCTGCGATCAGCGGCATCATCATCGACTGCCCCCAAGCCCAGACTGCCGTCATCCAACTCGCTGTCACACATTCGCAACCTCACCGCGCAGATGCAGCGCCTCGAGGCTCGTGTGCAGTCTGTTCGATCAAGGCTTCCTGGCCCTACTTCCACACCTCCTCGCGCGTCTCCTCGATCCAGCGCAAAGGACGGCACAATGCCTTCGTCCGTTACGATTAGAGCGCGCAAGCGCACGACTGGCTCATCAACAACGTCCTCGACCAGAGGAGACGACACCACGCCAACAAACCACTCGACAACAGGTCACAAGAGCGGCCACGTACCGCGCCTGAGCACATCTGGCGTCAGCCGTCTCTCGTTTGGGCCCGGGCCGCTCCCCAACCGCAACCCGGACGCAGACTCTAGCCGGCCCAGCTCGCGGGCTAGCATGTCCGGCTACACCCGACCGGCATCACGAACCGAAATGGTACCGCCACCCCGACCCATGTCCCGATCATCCATCTCGGGAGCTCGGACACCCCTCGGCCGCCCGCGCTCCTCCATGTCTTTGCATGGACACAGCGCCTCGGTCGGATACATTGATGTTGGAATTGAAGAAGAGCATGAAGGCCAGTTCCGCACACCCAGCCGCCGCGGAACATACTCCAAGCTAGAGCTTGAAGGGCTGACGAGCGCCATCCCCATGCCGACAAGCGCCATCCCGACACCCGGTGGCCGCAGACAGAGCGCAAGCGGCGCAGCAGGCCGTCGGACAAGCACGGGCATCCCCAGCAGACCTGGCACGTCAAACGGACGTGCTCTAGGCGATCTGGGCGAGACGTATTAAAACAGCTTGAGCGGAGAGAGAGGACCTTGTACACCAATGCGACGACTTTTCTTGTTTCTTGTTTCTTCTTCCGTTTTTCTTCCCACGGCGCAACGACAATGATAGATGGATGGATGGATACCCGGTCACACTTCTTTTTTTTATATTATACATCTTGCATGGCCGTTTCTTTTTTTTTTTTACATGGGCCACTTTGAGGCTTCTCCGAGAGAGGCGAGATGGGAGACTGAGCTGCTACGGCTACAACTGCTGCTGTGGCAGCACGCTCTCCCACTGTGTATTGATTCTTTTGGCAGAGGTTGCGCGAAAATTCAGGCTTACGATTTTGTCATGTTACAATGGCCTCTGCTATTACTACAACTACTACTTATTATATCTTTAACTTGATGAATGGAATTTGCTGCTATTGCTGGTGCATCTTGCAGAACCTAGTTTGGATCAGCAAGCTAGCAAGCGACAGCAGTAGCAGAACTGGTAACGGATTGTTGCTTCTTTTTTTATGATGATATGGGAGGATATGGGTAGCATTGAAATTTAATTTACAATTCTTTTTTATTACCATGTTTGCAGCTTAATTGGCGTTGTGTGAGATGTGGAGGGGCTCTTGTTCTACCAGCCGAGGATGGATCTACATCGTTCTACGGATGGCTGGCCCATTGACCAACTAGGCTATTAGCTGAAAAAGGGAATGATGGATAAGTCAGCAAGAATGCAATGCAGTGCATGGAGACGGCGGCGGCTGCTGCTACTGCTGCTACACATGTAAGCCGGGAGAATCGGCCATGTGGCTGACATGACAATGGCCGTAAAGAGTAAGCGTTGGAACGGGCTCCCGGTGAGAGTAAACGCTTCGGGGGCTTTCTGGAACATGTCGTTAGCCCGGGGGAAGCCACGCGCTCGCTGGATAAGGCAGGCCATGCAGGACGGTAGCTAGACAGGGCTGCTCTGGATATATGCACCGGAATACGGGATTGCAAGCTGTGTTGGTTGGGTTTGGGTAGAAGGCAACACTGACGACGTCTTTGTCTGGAAAAGCTGCGGGATATATAGCATTTATGACGACTTTGCTATTGCGCTGTGTTTTCCACTTGGTCGTGATGGCATATCAACCGCTAGCAGGTGATTCTTTCATTGTTCGTTCGCTGTAGGTTGTTGTTGGAGGTTCGCTGCGGGTGCGCCGCCCGCTCGCGTGTGCGGATATCATTGCGGAAATGGGCCCCTGTTTCCCGGCCACATGGCAGCAACAGCAACAAAGCAGCAGCAGCAAGACCGTAAAATAGAAAGCGGGGAATGGTTGGAGCAGTGCTTATTACTACTAATCCTCAGCATTAGCAGCAGCATTAGCAGCAGTAGCCAATAAAAACGGTGGCAGCTGTGGCGGGACAAGGGCGAGCGAATTTAAGGTGAGTAGGTAAGCTGATGGTGCGTGGGCAGCTAGCTTCACTAGGCACGAGAAGAGCGAGGCCACGAGGTATGGATTTCACCTGCGGGGAGCAGACCAAAAGGAAGACGAGGAAGGCCAGTCCAGTAATAATAGTTCAAAGTAGTAATAATGCGAGCGCAGTCAGCTTGGGGCGTGGGGGATCAAGCGCCCTTTCTTCATGGGAGAGTGAGAGGCATGGGAGAGAGAGACCTGGACTCAAGCCTAGCAGGCAGTTAACGCTTAAGTGGAAGGAGTAGAAACGAAAACAAGAAGAGGTAATTAGCGGATGTCCATGTTGCCCTAGCTTCATCTCATCGCCCAGAGCACACTGGTCCGGCGATGGTGGTTTTCTTTTGCTGCAAGAGGATCGATGTTGGGGACAGCGACAGAGCACAGAAAAAAAAAGATGGGTCGTAGTTCCGATGGGGGGAGGGTGTGTGTGTAGCGAAAAGGGCCCAAGTCGGAAGTGGAGAGAAAATCTTTTGAGAGGCTCAACAATTGGGAAGAAGAAGCAGCGAAGCCAGTGGAAAACACAGCAAATGAGCTTCGTTGGATTTTTTTTTACTGTAGAGCCCATTGTTGCACGGCTGGCTTTGTAGAGAATGAAAGTTGGCATAGTTGTAGTAACGAGCGTGTAATGCGCCGACAAGGCGAGATGCATTTTCCCAACTCGGTGCTGTCAGCCAGCGCCAAATACTGACAGAACATACCGTACAGTACAGCCTGTTTCTGCAAGACAATGGCCTACAACTAAGCCTTATTTTTCTAAATTTTCTTTGGTCAGCCATTCTTTTTAGCAATCGACTGTCCGTTATAGCGTTGGCGTGCGGCCCGCGTCGGCGACGGCGGCTTTAGACAATATGCTGGAGGTACGTACTGTCTCTCTCCCGTCTGGTGTTGTCTCGGTATACAGTCCAGGCACCGTTTTTTTGGTAGGGAAAGGGGCTGCAAAGCACACACGCACGACACACGGCGGTTGGGGCGACGAGCAGGGCTGGCGGGTGGTCCGTTGGGGTAGACCTGCGTGGGTGGTGCGGCTGCTTGCTGCAACCACTGTACCATTCCTTGACTCTGTACAGTACAGTAGACGGGCGGCTTAGTTGGTAGCCGGGTGCTGGCTGTTGTTGCACACCACCACCACCGACCCAGACCCAGCGCTATCTAGGTGGGTGTGTGTGCCTGTCAACAAACAATAGGAGTTGGCAGCAGTGTTTGCTCGTCTACTGTCCGGCAGCTGAGATATATTTATTTCTTTTGAAGGGTGTTCTTAGTGGGAGGGCTAATCCAATATTTATACTGGTTGCCTTGCTACGAACATTTACTTTGCTGTTGCAGTCGAGAATCTAATACACAAAGAGAACCAGTTGCACGCTGTAGTGCTGTAAGCCGCTGCTGCTAGCTTTAGCTTTCCCCAAAACAAAACCCTACAACAAGGCACGCATCCACACAACCCGTTCCCCCCCGGGCCGGATGGGCTGGGCTTCATCAAGTGTAAACGCTGCCATTACCAAGCCAATGCCAACGCAGCAATCTGCATTTCTCTCTTCTTCTTCTTTGTCCCGACACAAAAAGATAGTTCTTCCGGCGCTGGCTGCTGGTGGCTTTCCCGTCGCTCGGGTTATCTTTCCACTACGCCGATATCCGCACACCCCCCTTTCCCCACCGTCCCCTGCACGACCCTGCCTCTCTGCCGTCATTCTGCTCTTACTGGGGGTTCCCCCTTTGGGCGGTCGTGGGCCTGGGATAAGTTGTTGGTGCAAGCAAAGCAACCAGGTGTAAGCGGCGGAACAAGGCCTGCGACACAATATCCAGCTGGTTTCCTACTTAGGCCTCTTCCTGCCCGCCTTCCCTCTTCTCCTCTGTGAATCTTGACCTCTTCTGCATCATCATCTTCCTTCAGCGCCATATTCTCTCCTCTTCCAAACGCCGGTCCCCCTCTCCTCCCTCCACGACGAAACGAACAGGGCCACGACATTAACAACCGGTAAGCTTAACCTTTCTACTTTGTCTCTGGGCCGCTCCTCGCCCGTCTACTACTACCACTTCAAAAAACACAATCGATTCTATTGGGCAATTTGCGATACCAATTCCCTCAATTCTCCCCCTTGGATAGAGGCACAAGACCAGGCTACGTTTCCCGCTCCGTGGGCAATGTAAGCGCAGAACCAACGTCAGCGAGGGCGAGCTGGCATCATCCGCATCAGCACCACCGTTAGCTGCACGGCGATGATGAAACAAGAAGCATTTGTTTCTTTGCTTCGGCCAGGAAAACTACACGGCACTGCACAGGATTCGCGACACACGCAGGCCATCAATCGCATGGCTGGCTGGCCGGCTCCTCAGAATGTCACCGGATCTCGAAGAAGCACACGCCATCGGACATCATCGGTGAATTCTAGGCTGAAAAATGCCGACTCGGATCGGCATTTGCAGGACTGCCGACAATGCACCGAAAAAGCATCGCGGCACTTGTTACAGTGCTCAGTCGACCTCCGATTGACATGGCCTTGAGATTGCATCTTTTGGAGATTTTTACCCAATTTGTCAGAAGCAGTTTCTCACCATCTCCGCGTTGTTGGCGTGTGTCCTTTTTTCCTTTCCGTGGCGGGGCGCCGTCTCGGCTTTAGCTACCTGCAGCGGGTGTGGGTGTGGAGAGCCTAGCTGGTACTGGTGCTTCTACCCCAACTGCTACCACTGAAAAAAAAAACAAGCGTACCGCCACAGGTGCCAGTAGCGCCGTGGCAGCCCCAACAAGATCGCAAGCCCTGCGATTCGCTGGCCTCCGGCTTAGCGCTCTCCGAATCCCGCCAGTTGGTTTGCTTCACCTTGTCTGCTCTGCTTTCTCAATGGGAGTAGAAGCAAAGAGACTAGCGACTCAAAAATCCAATTGGCGGCAGTCTTGGTTGTCTATTCTGGTTTTTCCTTTCTGCAGAGCACAATTCTTCATTCTCCCTTTCCATTCTCCCTCCCCGCTCCTCTCTTCTTCGTCCCCAGCATTCCAGAAACGTCCTAGGTCACTTCGCCAAACACGCTAAATTACCCAATTTACTTGCCTTACCCAACACTGTACGCACTACGCAACGGCGCCAGTGTGCTTATCCGCCGCAGAATCCACTGGAAGCCCCAAGGGAGCCAATCCCAACGAGGCACAGAGTGGTGACGCCAGAGGGGTGCAGAGCTAGAGACTGGGCCGTCAGTCGCCATTGGGGCAACCACCTACCCGCTAGGTTTGGGTGGTTACAGTGGACGGCCGGAAGATAGAGCTCCCAGCAAAAAAAAAAAAGTGACGACGGGGTTTCCTCGTCCCCTCCAGCGGGCGTCACCAATTTGGGGGGTTCCCTTTTTATGGCCTCGCCCACCTGCTGCTGTTGTTCCATTCTCCAAATCTTCGTTTTTCCCTCTTCACCTCCAAAACCACCTCCCCCTTCTATTCCGCTTTGCTTGCTGCCGCCAATTATTCTTGTTAATGCTAATTCCTCCCGTCTGGGGCACACAGACTTCTTCTTCCTCTCTCCTCCTCTACCAAACCTCGAAGCGACTCTCAATAGCCTAGCTTGATACCAACCAGCACGCATTTCTGTATTTGTCTTGTTTTCCTGAGCGGGTAAAGGAAAACTATACAAATCACGGTTCAGCTTGCTAGCTTGCTTCTACCGACGAAAAGACAATTTTCTGACGACTCGTCTCCTTCGACCATTTAGCCACAGGTCTTACGGCGTCATCTCGTCCAAAATACTCTCTTCGCCCCTGTCTTCGCTGCCCCCCTTCTCGGCCGGCTTCTTCTTCTCTCTTCTCCCTCTAGACAATATACACAGCTTCACCATGGCCGGTGATTCATCAAACGGCGCGGCTGCTTCCCAGGCCAATGGCTCTGCCTCGTACTCTCAGCGCTTCAACATTGCCGACCACTTCATTGGCGGCAACAAGCTCGAGAATGCCGCAGCTTCCAAGGTCAAGGACTTTGTCGCCCAAAACGACGGTCACACCGTCATCACAAACGTAAGTTGTTCTATTCTAATCCAATGGCTACTTCCAGCATGCCAGAGTTGACAGCTGAGTATGCTAACACTCCCGTTAGGTTTTGATTGCCAACAACGGTATTGCCGCCGTCAAGGAAATCCGATCCGTTCGCAAGTGGGCTTACGAAATGTTTGGCGATGAGCGCGCCATCCACTTCACTGTCATGGCCACCCCCGAAGATCTCCAGGCCAATGCCGACTACATCCGCATGGCGGATCACTACGTCGAGGTTCCTGGAGGCACCAACAACCACAACTACGCCAACGTAGAACTCATTGTGGATATTGCTGAGCGCATGGATGTCCACGCCGTTTGGGCCGGTTGGGGTCACGCCTCCGAAAACCCCAAGCTTCCAGAGTCGCTCGCCGCGTCGCCCAAGAAGATTGTCTTCATTGGTCCCCCCGGCTCTGCCATGCGATCTCTTGGTGACAAGATTTCTTCCACCATTGTTGCTCAGCACGCCGATGTGCCCTGCATTCCCTGGTCCGGAACTGGTGTTGATGCCGTCGACATTGATGACAACGGCATTGTCACCGTCAACGACGACGTCTACGCCAAGGGCTGCGTTACCTCATGGCAGGAGGGTCTGGAAAAGGCCCGCGAGATTGGCTTCCCCGTCATGGTCAAGGCCTCCGAGGGCGGTGGTGGCAAGGGTATCCGCAAGGTTGTCGGCGAGGACGACTTTGAGGCTCTCTACAAGGCTGCTGCCAGCGAAATTCCTGGCTCTCCCATCTTCATCATGAAGTTGGCCGGTAACGCCAGACATTTGGAAGTCCAGCTTCTTGCCGATCAGTACGGTAACAACATCTCTCTCTTTGGTCGTGATTGTTCCGTCCAGCGTCGCCACCAAAAGATTATTGAAGAGGCTCCTGTTACCATTGCCAAGCCTGATACCTTCAAGGCTATGGAGGACGCTGCTGTCCGTCTGGGCAAGCTAGTCGGCTACGTCTCGGCTGGTACTGTCGAGTACCTCTACTCGTATGCTGACGATAAGTTCTACTTCCTCGAGCTGAACCCTCGTCTTCAGGTTGAGCACCCTACCACTGAAATGGTCTCTGGTGTCAACTTGCCCGCAGCCCAGCTCCAGATTGCCATGGGTCTGCCCCTTCACCGTATCCGCGACATCCGTCTTCTCTACGGACACGACCCCAAGACCGCGACCGAGATCGACTTCGAGTTCAAGAACGAAGGCGCCACCGAATCTCAGCGTCGCCCCAAGCCCAAGGGTCACACCACTGCTTGCCGTATCACATCCGAAGACCCCGGTGAGGGCTTCAAGCCTTCCAACGGTGTTATGCACGAACTGAACTTCAGATCGTCTTCCAACGTTTGGGGTTACTTCTCCGTCGGTACCCAGGGTGGTATTCACTCCTTCTCCGACTCCCAGTTTGGTCACATTTTCGCCTACGGTGAGAACAGACAGGCTTCGCGAAAGCACATGGTCATTGCCCTCAAGGAATTGAGCATTCGTGGTGATTTCCGTACCACCGTTGAATACCTCATCAAGCTTCTCGAGACCGAGGATTTCCAGGAAAACACAATCTCCACTGGCTGGCTCGATGAGCTCATCTCCAAGCGTCTTACTGCCGAGCGCCCCGATACCATGCTCGCCGTCGTTTGTGGTGCCACTACCAAGGCCCACATCGCCAGCGAGGCTTGTATCGCCGAGTACCGTACCGGTCTCGAGAAGGGTCAAGTTGCCTCCCAGGATATCCTCCGCACTGTTTTCAACATCGACTTCATCTACGAAGGCTTCCGCTACAAGTTCACCGTCACCCGCGCCAGCCAGGACAGCTACCACCTCTTCATCAACGGCTCCAAGTGCGCTGTCGGCGTTCGTGCCCTCAGCGACGGTGGTCTTCTGATCCTGCTTGACGGCCACTCCCACAACGTGTACTGGAAGGAGGAAGTCGGTGCCACCCGCATGTCCGTCGACAGCAAGACTTGCTTGCTCGAGCAGGAGAACGACCCTACCCAGCTCCGCACACCCTCGCCTGGTAAGCTCGTCAAGTACTCCGTCGAGAATGGCGCCCACATCCGTGCCGGCCAGACCTTTGCCGAAGTCGAAGTCATGAAGATGTACATGCCTCTTGTTGCTCAGGAGGACGGTGTTGTCCAGCTCATCAAGCAGCCGGGAGCTACTCTCGAGGCTGGTGACATCCTCGGTATACTCGCTCTTGACGACCCCAGCCGTGTCAAGCAGGCCCAAGCCTTTGTTGAGAAGCTCCCGGCCTACGGCGAGCCCGTCGTTGTCGGCAACAAGCCTGCTCAGCGCTTTGCTCTCCTCCACAAGATTCTCGTCAACATCCTCCAGGGCTACGATAACTCCGTCATCATGGCGCAGTCCCTCAAGGAGTTCATCGAGGTCCTCCGCAACCCTGAGCTCCCCTACAGCGAGTGGAACGCCCAGTTCTCTGCTCTTCACGCTCGTATGCCCCAGAAGCTCGATGCCCAGTTTGGCCAGATTGTCGACCGCTCCAAGGCCCGCGGTGCTGAGTTCCCTGCCCGCGCGCTCACCAAGGCCTTTGCCAAGTTCCTCGAGGACAACGTTGCTGAGGGTGACGCCGATCTGCTCAAGACTACCCTCGCTCCTCTGACCCAGATCTGCGATGTCTACGCCGACGGCCAAAAGGTTCGCGAGCTCAACGTTATCAACGAGCTTCTCGAGAGCTACTACAAGGTTGAGAGCCTCTTCATCAACCGCGACCAAGAAGAGAGCGTCGTTCTCAAGCTCCGTGACCAGAACAAGGAGTCCATCGCCACTGTGGTCGAGACTGTTCTGTCCCACAGCCGTGTTAGCTCCAAGAGCTCTCTCATCCTGGCTATTCTCGACGAGTACCGTCCCAACAAACCCAACGTTGGCAATGTCAGCAAGTACTTGCGCGAGACCCTCCGCCAGCTTACTGAGCTCTCCTCCCGCGCCACTTCCAAGGTGTCTCTCAAGGCCCGTGAGATTATGATCCAGTGCTCGCTTCCTTCTCTTGAGGAGCGTGCCTCGCAGATGGAGCACATTCTGCGCTCGTCCGTTATCGAATCTCGCTATGGTGAGAGCGGCTGGGACCACCGTGAGCCCAACTTGGATGTCATTAAGGAAGTTGTTGACTCCAAGTACACTGTCTTTGACGTGTTGACTCTCTTCTTCGCCCATGACGACCCCTGGGTGTCGCTTGCTTCTCTCGAGGTCTACATTCGCCGTGCTTACCGTGCTTACCTCCTGAACAAGATTGAGTACCACAACGATGACACTGACTCGCCTCACTTCATCTCTTGGGACTTCCAGCTCCGTAAGATTGGCGGTGCTGAGTTTGCCGTCCCTCTTCAGTCCGCTGCTCCTTCTACTCCCGGAACCCCTCTTGAGGCTCCCACCCGCACCTTGAGCGACCTTTCTCTCCTCAGCCACAAGATTGAGGACGAGCCCAACCGCAAGGGTGTCATTGTTCCTTGCAAGTACATTGACGATGCTGAAGACCTCCTTCAAAAGGCGCTCGAAACTATTTCTTTCCACAATAAGCAGACCAAGGTTACTGGACCTGCTGGAGTCCGCAGTGAGCTCCTTGCTCGTCGCAACCCCAGCAACGTCTTTGGCATCTCCCGTGGCAAGGACGAGGAGCTCAGCGCCGTCATCAACGTCGCTGTCCGTGACGCCGAGAGCAACGATGATGAGGAGATCCTCTCCCGCATCCGCCCCATTGTTGCCCAGTTCAAGGATGAGCTTCGTGCCCGTGGCGTTCGCCGCCTCACCTTCATCTGCGGCCGCAGCGACGGTTCTTACCCCGGCTACTACACTTTCCGTGGCCCGGCTTACGAGGAAGACGACAGCATCAGACACAGCGAACCTGCTCTTGCCTTCCAGCTTGAGCTTGCTCGTCTGTCCAAGTTCCACATCAAGCCCGTCTTCACTGAGAACAAGAACATCCACGTTTACGAGGGTCTTGGAAAGAATGTTGATACCGACAAGCGTTACTTCACACGCGCAGTCATCCGACCTGGCCGCCTCCGAGACGAAATCCCCACGGCCGAGTACCTCATTTCTGAAGCTGACCGCGTCATCAACGATATCTTTGATGCTCTTGAGATTATTGGCGGCAACAGCTCTGATCTGAACCACATCTTCATGAACTTCAGCCCCGTGTTCCAGCTCGATCCCCAGGCTGTTGAGCACAGCCTTCAGGGCTTCCTCGACCGTTTCGGTGCCCGCGGCTGGCGCCTCCGTGTCGCCCAGGTCGAAATCCGTATCATTTGCACGGATCCCAAGACTGGCCTCCCCTACCCTCTCCGTGTGATCATCACCAACACCTCTGGCTACGTTGTTGATGTTGATCTGTACGCAGAGCGCAAGTCAGAGAAGGGCGAATGGATCTTCCAGAGCATTGGCGGCACCAAGGAGAAGGGATCGATGCACTTGCTCCCCGTCTCTACTCCCTACCCCACCAAGAACTGGCTGCAGCCTAAGCGTTACAAGGCTCATCTCATGGGCACCCAGTTTGTCTACGATTTCCCCGAGCTCTTCCGCCAGGCCATCCAGAACAGCTGGGTTAAGGCTGTTAAGACACAGCCTGGCCTTGCTGCTCACCAGCCCAAGGTTGGAGAGTGCCTGACGTACACTGAGCTCGTTGTCGATGACAGAGACACTCTGCAAGAGGTTAACCGTGAACCCGGCACCAACGCTTGCGGTATGGTTGGTTGGATGCTCCAGGCCCGCACCCCGGAGTACCCCGCTGGTCGTCGCTTCATTGTTGTCGCCAACGACATTACCTACAAGATTGGTTCCTTTGGCCCCAAGGAAGATGACTTCTTCCACAAGTGCACTGAGCTCGCCCGCAAGCTTGGCATCCCCCGTATTTACCTCTCTGCCAACTCTGGTGCCCGTCTCGGTGTTGCTGAGGAGCTGATGCCTCACTTCAAGGTTGCCTGGAACGACGAGAAGAAGCAGGAGAGCGGCTTCCGCTACCTGTACCTCGACGACGCTGCCCAGGAGCAGTTCAAGAAGGAGGTTGTCACCGAGGAGATTACCGAGAACGGTGAGAAGCGCCACAAGATTGTCACCATTGTTGGTCAGGAGGACGGTCTTGGTGTCGAGTGTCTCCGTGGCTCTGGTTTGATTGCTGGTGCCACCAGCCGTGCCTACAACGACATCTTCACCGTCACCCTTGTCACCTGCCGATCCGTTGGTATCGGTGCTTACCTTGTCCGTCTTGGCCAGCGTGCTGTCCAGATTGAGGGCCAGCCCATTATCCTCACTGGTGCTCCCGCTCTTAACAACCTGCTTGGTCGCGAGGTTTACACCTCCAACCTGCAGCTTGGTGGTACCCAGATCATGTACCGCAACGGTGTGTCTCACATGACTGCCAACGACGACTTTGAGGGTGTCTCCCGCATTGTCGAATGGATGTCGTTTGTTCCCGACAAGCGCAACAACCCCATCCCCGTCAGCCCCAGCACCGACACCTGGGACCGTGACATCACCTACTGCCCCCCTCAGAAGCAGCCTTACGATGTCCGCTGGTTGATTTCCGGTAAGACTGACGAGGACAACAGCTTCCAGAGCGGTCTCTTTGACAAGGACTCGTTTGTCGAGACCCTTGGTGGCTGGGCCCGCACCGTCGTCGTCGGTCGCGCCCGCCTCGGTGGCATCCCCATGGGTGTCATTGCTGTCGAGACTCGCTCTGTTGAGAACATCACCCCCGCTGACCCTGCCAACCCCGACTCTATTGAGCAGGTTTCCAACGAGGCTGGTGGTGTTTGGTACCCCAACTCTGCCTTCAAGACTGCTCAGGCTATCAACGACTTCAACAACGGTGAACAGCTGCCTCTCATGATCCTTGCCAACTGGCGTGGTTTCTCTGGTGGTCAGCGCGACATGTACAACGAGGTTCTCAAGTACGGTTCGTTCATCGTTGACGCTCTCGTCAAGTACGAGCAGCCTGTCTTTGTCTACATTCCTCCCTTTGGTGAGCTCCGTGGTGGATCTTGGGTCGTCGTCGACCCCACCATCAACGCTGAAGCCATGGAGATGTACGCTGATGTGGACGCTCGTGGTGGTGTTTTGGAGCCTGAGGGTATCATTGGTATCAAGTACCGCAAGGATAAGCAGCTCCAGACCATGGCCCGTATGGATGCTACTTATGCCGAGCTTAAGAAGGCGGCTGAGAACAAGGACCTTACCAAGGAGCAGGCTGCCGAGATCAAGGAGAAGCTCATCGCCCGCGAGAAGCAGCTGCTCCCTGTCTACTCCCAGATTGCTATCCAGTTTGCCGACCTGCACGACAACTCTGGCCGCATGAAGGCCAAGGGTGTCATCCGCGACCAGCTCGAGTGGACCAACGCCCGCCGCTTCTTCTACTGGCGTCTGCGCCGCCGTCTCAGCGAAGAGTACACTCTTCGCCACATGTCCAACAGTGCCCTCAGCGGCAACGGCTCTGCCACCGCCAACGCTGCCCAGGCTTCGGAAACCCGCTCCCGTAACCTGGCCAAGCTTCAGAGCTGGTCTGGCATTGCTGGCTGGGAGCAGAAGGATCGCGAGGTTGCTGAATGGTACGAGTCGCAGCGCAAGGTTATTGGCGAGAAGGTCGAGGCCCTCAAGGCCGAAACCCTCGCCGCCCAGCTTGCCGATGTTGTTCGCGAGAACAAGGAGGCTGGTTTCAAGGGTGTGCGCGAAGTTTTGCGCGTCATGCCCGTCGAGGAGCGCGAGGCGCTGCTCAAGTTCCTCAAGGGATAAAGCAATCATGGCATATGCCTATAGACTGTTTTGCTGATTATGTTATATTAATGTCCTTTTTTTATGTTTCCTTTTAGATTTGTATACAATTATAGTACATGCTAGTTTTAATGACTCTTATTACTTCAATGTCCCGTCCCAATCTTCCAGTGATCCATATGTCCGCTAGCGTTTTTGTGTGTGTGTGTGTGTGTGTGTGTTCAGTATTGTACATGTATGTCTGCATAGATCAGGCATATGTCTATTCGTCCACAGAGGTGCGCAACTGCAGCCCATGCCAGCTCTTTACCAAGTCGCCCAGCGCTGCATTGACCAGGCGCTGCTGCTTCAGGATAGACAGGCCCTTGAATTGGGGCGAGGCAATGTCGATCGAGTACATGCTGCCACAGCCGCCCGAGACGTCCTGCACCAGAAGAGACGTGGGCGATAGCTTTTCTTGTAGGAGGGCTGTGATTTCGCGCTCGGCTTCGGTTCCTTCACCGGCTGCAGCAGCAGCTGAGAATCGTGGTCTTGTCGTCGACAGCATTGCTCTTTGGGCGAGGAGAGGTGTTTGGGATAGCGCTGCGGATGTGCGCAGGGGGCTGCGGCATTGTGCGATGGGGAGAGCGCGAGGGGTGCGGAGGACGCGCGGGAGGATCGCTCGGCAGGATGCGCAAGTCATGATGGCGTGTGTATGTGTGGTTGGGCGATTGGGTTGGTTGTTGGTTTGATGCAAAGCTTTTTTGGCTGTGTTGCTGGTGCTGGTGGTGAAGAGACGACGAGTGGTGTTGATGGGATTATTCAGCAGGTGGGGTGGGGTGGTGGCCATTGTTCACCAGTGCAGTCGAACTCCTCCAGCGACCGTTATGCCGCTGTGCGGTTGATGTTGCTTGAATAGATCTGTTGCATGTGCCTGGATATTCTATTTTCCATCTTTTATATTCAGAAGCCTCAACAACACGGACAGATTGATTATAGTAAAGTTGGAGAATCATCACCTGGTACGTGGTGCAGGAGACAGTATGCATCAGGTAAAGCCCTCCTTCTACGCCATGGATTGATTAAACTCTGGGTTTGCAACAGAGCGCCCATCGTCTACTTTGCAGGCAAACAGGTCTGCAGTCTTCCCCGAGAATACGCCTCCCCCACCACAAACCCCAAGATGGCTCGGCCGCCGAGCCAGACCAGAGGGAACCTTTGTAGGGCCTCAGATTGCCTTACACAATGGAACTGTTCAACAGGCTCTTCTGTAACTGAATATGGCGCCACAAGGGTCTTGGCATCCTATATGACCTGCCAAACACGACCAACCGGAACAAACAACAAGAGTACAGTGGCATACAGTATGCTTCGTTTCGCAAACCAGCCCGATGCAGTTCATACGGCTGACACTCTTCTACGATAGATACAAGACTCGGTCCAATGCCAATGAACAAGACACTATAGAGAGCGAGACGGCGGCGCACGTCCCTAGCCTGAAGTGGCCCCTACGACGGTGGCCCCGCGCTCGTGTCAGCAAATTAACAAACTATAGCGCCACTAAACAAAGTTTATTCGCGCACCGGTGGGCGAGACACACGGGCTGCTACAGGGGCCGAGCAATGGCCGCCACAAAGGAACTAATCCCCCTAGCGCCACACTGCCAAGATGCGCTGCTCTGAAAGATGGTTTGCTGCGCTGGACGCCGCGTAGATCCCCTCCCGTAATGGCTGCCCTGGCCACCACCACCATCGCCCCAGGAAACCCCGCGAGTCGTGATGTGATCGAGAACATCTTCACTGATGAGGAGCAGATTTGGGGTGATTTAGAGTCAGGGTTACGCAGGGTGTCCGTAAAGTGCTGCAGAATTACCAACAGCCACGAGCGTCCAATCATCAGCACCAGCGGCACTAACATCTCGCTGAAAACCTTGTCTTGAGGCGCTTGCCTTTCTTTGTCTCTTGTACGCGTGTGACGAGAAAAAGTCAAAAGGTCCCCGCGCCCCGCGTTGCTGCAGGCTGTGCCGCCCATTCATCTCCTCTGCAGCACAGCTTCAGGGCATCGCCTAGCACACTGGGGCAGCGTTGCATTGGGGCGTCTGTACACTGCGCTATTGACGACTCAGGGTCCGCTTTGTTCTATTCGACGGCGTGGTCCGTTGAGAGGAATGCCTCTCGCGTGGGAATCGACAAAGCCTACCTCGCTCACGGTAAGTGATTCCGAATACAAGGGACATTAATAAGAACAATACTAAAACTTTAATGAGCATTGAGATGCCCTTTTGTTGGATAAAAAGCAGTTTCTGGCTGGTTTTGCCTGCTTTTGGCTGCCAAGGAAGGAATCCGGTGGCGGCACACCACTGCGTCTGGTCTGCCCCCAAGACAAGCATTGTAATCTAGCGTCTCTCGGCGCGCTAGTGGAGGTAGCCCACCAGCTACAGCGCCTCCGCCAGACCTTCCCTTGTTGGCATCGCGTGTGGACGCGGGTGGAGATTAGCAATGGGCATCCTAGTCATGCCATCGGCCCAACGTGCGTGATAGTGCTGGTAGTGTTGGAGAACCGGTGCCCACGGCCAAATTGCCGAGAATGCCGCCGGGTTTGGGGCTTGTCGCATTCGCTATATGAATTGGAGGACCCGTTGTCCTCTTTTAGAAGCTTCTTCTTTTGACTTTGATCTCTCCAAGACCAACCAAGCCCATACCACAATCGGACAAGATGGTTCGCACCGCTACCATTGCATCGCTGCTGCTTGCTAGCGCTGCGCCTACCCTAGCTGCTGTCCAGGCGCGCAATGCTGTTCCAGGCGCATACATTGTCGAGTTTGAAGATGGCCATGTTAGTTACAATGCCACCACCGCTAGCGCTGTTGCTGCGTCTACTCCAACAGCGCGCGCTCCACAGCGGCCAATGCCTGCTCTAAACATGTTGCTAACACTGTCTGACCTATAGGATACTAAGCCCGTCCTCGATGCCATCAACAAGGAGGGCGAGCGCCGCCTCGATCTCAACTTTGAGCTGTTCAAGGGTATGTCTATCCAGCTCAAGGATGTCAAGAGCGCCGAAAACAGCGCCGACAAGCTGGCCGCCATGCCTGCTGTCAAGGCTGTCTACCCAGTCACTACTGTCTCGCTGCCTGATGTCAAGGTCAACTGGGTTGCCAACAACGGTCAACCCGTCGAACCCGCAACCCTGCGAAGACGAGACGATGCCCCGGTCGATGACAGCAAGGATACGTTTGCTCCCCACGTCATGGTTCAAGTTGACAAGCTTCGCGCAAAGAACATTCGAGGCAAAGGCATCAAGATTGCTGTTGTTGATACCGGCATTGACTACACCCACCCCGCCCTCGGTGGTTGCTTCGGCCCCGGATGTTTGGTAGAGAGTGGTTTTGATCTTGTCGGCAAGGACTACGATGCCGACGGCTTCCATACTCCTCAGCCTGGCAAGGACCCCATGGACTGCCTTGGCCATGGAACCCACGTTGCTGGTATCATCGCCGCACAGGCCACCCATGCGTTCAACTTCACCGGTGTTGCCCCTGATGTTAAGCTGATGGCTTACAAGGTGTTTGGATGCGTTGACAGCACTTCCAGCGACGTTCTGGTGGCCGCTTTCAACCGCGCCTACGAGGACGGCGCACAAATTATCACGGCATCTATTGGTGGACCCGCTGGCTGGTCCGAAGATGCTTACGCCGTCGCTGCGTCGCGCATTGCTGAAAAGGGCGTGCCTGTGACCATCTCGGCCAGTAACTCTGGTGACAAGGGCGTCTACTTTGGCAGCTCTGGTGCAAGCGGCAAGTTGGTCAATGCTGTTGCCAACTTTGAAGTCACGGATGTGCCTTTTCTTACCCTCTCTGCCAATATCATCTCTGACGTCAACTCAACTGTCAATCTTGTGCAGTCCAAGCCTGCGCTTGAGAATGTTGAGCTGCCCATGTACGCGATGGGTGTGGACCCCAAAGAGGCTGTCGATGGCTGCACTATTCCTGACTCGACGCCCGACCTGAGTGGCAAGGTCGTCTTGGTCCAACGCGGTACCTGCGCCTTTTCCGCCAAGGAAGCCAACATAGCTGCCAAGGGCGGCAAGTACATGCTGGTATACAACAACGCTCCTGGTGTGCCTATTTCCATGGCTCTTAGCACTCCCCCCCTGGTTCAGGGTGCGGCCATGATTACCGACGTTGATGGCAAGGCTATCTTTGATAAAATCAAGACTGGCGTGCCTGTCACGTTCAAGATGGGCAAGAACGCCCCGATTGGCTACACGGTGAATCCTGACCCTGTCAAGGGCGGCTCTGTCTCAACCAGCTCCTCCTGGGGCCCTACCTGGGAAAACGAGATGAAGCCGCAGTTTGGTGGTGTTGGTGGCTCGATCCTGTCGACTTACCCCGTCGCCCTGGGCTCCTATGCTTCGCTCTCTGGTACCTCCATGTCTTGCCCTCAACTTGCTGGTATTGTGGCGCTCATTGCTGAAGCCCGCGGCACCTTTGATCCAGTGACTATCCGCAACCTGTTGGCTGCCAATGCCAACCCGCAAATCTTCAACACAGGTTCCGGTTTCAAGACTGGACTTGCCCCTGTTCCTCAGCAAGGCGCCGGTCTGGTGCAGGCCTATGATGCTGCCTTTGCCACAACGCTCCTCGAGCCCGCTGGCCTGTCCTTCAACGATACCGCTCACTTTACCAAGTCCAAGGACATGAAGATTAGCAACGTCGGAAAGGTGTCTGTCACCTACTCGCTGAGCCACGTCCCCGCATTGACCGTCTACGCATACAACACCCAACCTTATATGGCGGCCTTCCCCAACACTATTGTCAACTCGGCCGCTACTCTGGAGCTGAGCACCAAGGAGTTCACCCTCGCACCTGGGGAGACCAAGACTGTGACGGTTTCTCCCACCCCTCCCCAAGGTGTTGATCCCTCTCGCGTTGGTGTCTGGTCGGGCTACGTTGCCATCAACGGCACCGACGGCACCTCTCTGTCTATTGCCTATCAGGGTACCACTGGCACTCTGCACGACCACGCCGCTCTGGCGTCCAACGACGATATCTGGTTCACCAGACGTGGAACCAACGATGCCCCCATCTCGACCAACGAGACATGGGTGCTTCCCGCTCCCGGCAACGCCAAGGAGCCTGGAAACTTGCCCTACCTTGTGCACAAGCTGGCCACTGGTTCACGCAAGATCATGGCCCATCTCAAGCCCATGACGACTTGCCCTCCCAAGAACATGACGACGGAATTCATGGGCGAGAAGACGATTGGCCAGCCCGATGGATTCCCTGCCTTCTGGAAGTCTCGCGGCAACGAGGAGTATGTGTTCACTGGCAAACTTGCTGACGGCAACTACGCGCCTCCCGGCAAGTACAAGATTATTGTCCGCGCTCTTCGCATCTTTGGCGATGAGAAGAACGACCACGACTGGGATGTTGCCGAGTCACCTTCGTTCCGTTTCAAGTATGCTTAAGCTGAAGCCGAGAGCAACGGGTTTGCTAGGAACGAGGAGATGAAAGCAAAAAATAAAGGAAGGAGGGCGTATATAGCAGATTGAGCCTGGAAAGGTTTCATGTGTATACCGTATTATCGTATTTTACAAAGGAAATTTATCCATATTATCCCCCACACCTAAGGTTGTCTCTGGTCAGCAAATATCCGTCGGGGCATTGATGTTTTGTAATATTGAATGGACGAATGCAGCGCTCTAGCAGTGATTGTACAGTGCGTATATGTCACAAGTCGCCCAACAAACAAAGGGAGTATACTGTAAGTATAACCGTGGTGATCGACAGTTAAACGTACAGTGCGCGTTATTCCGTCAGCAAAAAAGCCAGGCACACCAGATTTCCCAGGCCCTGGCTCAGCCACCCGCTGGCTGGTGCTCTCGCTCCTCCAGGCAGCAGCATTTCCAGCGCTCCGAGTCGCTGTACTCCGCGCCGTGCCCCGCTAAACAAGGCGCTGCGCAGCTGCTCTGGGGTATGCGGGCCATTTGCCCACTGAAATTCACCCGACCGTTCCCCCTCCCCCACTTACAAACTGCTTTTCTTAGGCCGGGCGACAGGCTGCCGCTTTTCTTTTCCGCATTCTTTCTTCATCGGCGCATTATTGCTGCTGCTGCCTCTCCTAATTTCTAGATACCCTCTGTAGCCTGTTGTTTAGGCTACCAGAATTAACTTAACGACCTCACTGCAGACCCCGTTGACGGCTTGCACTGCGAATCCGACCGCAGTGTAGTGTGTCATCCTGCTGTGTGCTGCTGCTTGCTGACGACGACCACCAAGCATTTCCTCCTCATCACCTCAAACGGACACTTTCTTACACGTTACCTTGGTAGTCTCTTTAGCATCGGCTTAAGCAATACAACACGACGCTTTACAACGTTCGTCGCCCATCCTTCGATACCCCGCGCGGCCGTTGCATCGAATCATCACCAACCCACACCGAAACGACCATAATCGCTAGCCATGGAATCGCTGCTACCAAGAGGCGGCTTCCAGCTGCCCTTCCAGAGGCGCTTGTCTCGCTTATATAATGACACCAAGAAGTCGGGCGAGTTTGTCAAGGAGCCCATCCAGAATGAACAAGATCCCGAGGCCAAGGCTCTGCATCGCAAGCTGCGCATCCAAAAGGACAGACTCGTCAGCTGGGGCATGGAGTGGTCGGACCCGAACCAAGCGGCAGAGATTGACGAGTCGCTGTCAAAGGCAGGCCTCAGCGAGGTGGTTGGCAGCATCATGTCCACCATCAAAGACATTCTCGCCGAGGCCGAGCCGCTCTGGCTCAGCTCCAAGCGCGTTGTCGAGGGTACCCGCTCGTCCCCGGATAAGAAGCCGCCTCTGATTCAGTGGGATAAGGGCCGCTTTGAGGATCTAGTTAACGATCTGACAGCGTCTATTGATACTCTCTATGATCTGTCAAGGACAAGGTCGTCTGGTTTCAGCGCCCGCCGCCCTTCCAAGCATACGTACAAGGCAGGAAGCACAAGCGACGACCACACGACCTTTGAGTCTACCAGAATGCAGACTCCGCAGCAGATCGACCCGACCACGTTATCGTTCCTCAAGGCTGTCAACCAAACAACTCCAGGAAATGCTCAGCCTAGACAGGTTGTCTTTATGAGCAAGACTGCCTACGCTGAGCTCGCCCATGGCCGCACAAGAGAGCCATGGGGCCCACTGCTTCTCGAATACGCCGCTTTCGACCCCATCTACTCTACCACTGGCATCATGCCCTCCATGGCACGCTTCGAAAAGCTCTCCTCTGGCTTGCAGCAAGAGCCTCAGCGAGCTCCTGGAGCTTGGACCGGTCTCCCTCGGCTCATGGGATACTTTGAAGATATGGAGAACTCGCGACTGGGTCTGTTGTACAGATTCCCCACATCCTTCAACGCTGTTAGCATCGAGAGATCGTCCCAAAATGCAGTCTACCAGATGCATACTCTGCGAAGTCTTTTGTCACAGCCCGATGCCGAACCAGAACTCGAAGCCAAGTTCCGCATGGCGTATAATCTGGCAAACACAGTATTTGATATGCATGCCCGTGGAGTCACTCACGGCAGCTTGCTTGATGGCAACATCTCCTTCTGCGATACCCAAACAGCCGTTTCTTCGTCTTCATCGACAGTAGTTGATGTCCGCCGTCCTCTTGTTTCTTCGTTTGAGCTCTTTGAAGCAGAGGATGGTCCAACCAACCCTACCAACCTCTGGAGGCATCGATTGGATCCTCGTCGCTCGCAAACATCGCCATTGTCCAAGTCTACAGATGAGCGCGTCCTGGAGCTGTACGCGCTCTCTGTTCTTCTTCTGTCTATTGGTTTGTGGCAAAGTCCGGAGCTGCTAGCCCAAGACGGAGATTCTCACATCATTCCACACTCCGCTCTTACTTCACTATCGAGAAAATGCGGTAGCTTATATATGAAGGCAGTGCAGGCCTGCTGGGAAGCCGTTGATGATGAGGCATCTGGTAGAATGACGGGAGAGGGCCTGTTGTCGGATGTGCAAATCCGCGTCAGCCGATTTTTGGAAACTTGTTGCATTCTTGATGGCGTCAGTGGGTTTGAACAGCGAGTCCATCCAGAGCACGAGGTTCAAGACAAGCCTGCTACAAGCTCCGTTGCAGGCACTGCATCAGATAAGCCCTCGCATGCCACCGATACCAGATCACTACCACCACCGGCTGCCTTTGTGGACGCTCGAGCGCAATTAGAAGACAGTCCGGAGGGTGTTGCTTCGGCCGCTAGAGTAGAGAAGCTCAAGCTCTACCCCAACGTTCCTCTTTCGCCTGAGGCTGTGGAGAAGTGGAACACCATCCTAATGCCCCAAATCAACCAAGCCCTCCGCGGCTTTTACCGTAAGAACCCAGAGTCGGTAGAGATTTCGCTAGAGTCTGTCGGTCCCGATGCCCAATCGACGCGACCAACGGTCCTGGTTGTCTGCACGTCAGTCGGCAAGGTTCGCGCTATTCTCAAGAAGCGACTTGGTGATTTGTTTGACGGGTCTACCGGGTTCGGCTTGAAGGTCTGCCGCGGCCATATGCTACGTTCGCGCAAGAATTCGCGTCCCATTTACCGATCCATGGCGAGAGCAAGTGTTGCCAGCGGTAGCGTCAGCGGAAAGGCCGCAGCAAACCACGACGAGGATATCGAGGCCGTCAACCCAGAATATCAAGAATGTCCGCTGAGCGGTGCGAGTATTGGCGCTTGGATTGGTGACAGACATCTTCCTCCTGTCAGCTTTGGCGGTCTCGTTGTTGTGGACGACCAAACATATGGCATGACCGTTCACCATATGCTGGACGACCCTGACAAGGAATTCAACACAGATGATACTCTGCGCAGCGCCTCTCATCCGGGATTCGACTTTTACGATGATGACGGGGAAGATGTCTACGACGAGGATTACGGCTTTGACTTGTCAGACTCAGACTCTGAATCGTATTCTGAGACAGACATCACTAGCGAGTATGGAGACGACGATGATTATGACGACGACGATGAAGAATACCAAGAGCCCGGTGATATTCCCGGAATCGAGCCTGGCTGTGGCGATGGCTACATTGTTACTCAGCCAGCGCTTGACGACGTGGAAGAAGGCTTCTACCCATGTGCTGATACGGAAGACGAAGACCACTTGGACACGTTTAGCTTGGGCCAGGTGTACGCGTCTAGCGGTATCCGTCGCAAGGAAGACAAGGGACTTATCCACGAAGTCGACTGGGCTCTGTTTTCATTCACCGACGGCCGAGTGCCTCAAGACAATTCCGTCCAGCGCGCCGACGCGGCCAAGGATAGCCAGGGCAAGTGCATTAAGCCTACCAAGGTTGCGCCATCGACATCCCTCCCTGGTATGCGTGTACAGTGTGTAGCAAGAACCAGTGGTGTTCAGACTGGCCAAATCATGCCTGCCCTCTGCAGTGTCAAGATTTACGGCCGAACATCGCCCAGCCAAACCTACCAGATAGCTAGCGCGCGCCCCGAACAAGAACAGTCTTCTGGTACACCCACCAAGGCTATTCCCATGGGCATCCCGGGTGATAGTGGTGCGTGGGTTGTCGATCGCGACCAAGACCAGTTGTGCGGGCACATTCTGGCCTGGAGTCAGCGGAAGCGCGTTGCGTACATCTGCCCAATGGATGTCCTTCTAGCCGACATTGCGCAAACGCTGGATGCGTCGGATATCCGGCTACCGGGCGGCGAATCGCTTCCCATTGCCAACAAGGAGCACATGAGTAAGTCGAAAACGCAACAGAGTGGTGGTTCGGATGCCGTTTCAGATGAAGAAGACGAGGATGGCGATAGCGATGAGGCGCCGGAGCTGGTGGAAAGCACAGCGTCGCTTGGAAGCAGCACATCGAGATCTGTACCGACAGAAGAGCTGCATGGCCTGAGCAGCCGCCTGGCAGAAATTAGTCTGCCTATGGGATCTACATTTGGAGTTCGAGTCTAAATTATAACCAGCTGTATTTATTTTTTGGCCTTTTTTATATTTCTTGTATGTATGCAGCGAAGAAGCGCTTTTGACATGCGCCATCTATGGAATCGCATTTTGTCCCGTTTACATAAAGTCGTCCTCCCAATCCGCCGATCTATTTTGATTGCTCTGCTCCGCCATGTTCTCCTCTGTAAACATGTCATCGTAAGCATGCTCTTTTTGCCATTTCATCTCCTTCCACTCCTGTGCCTGTCTCGCCTCCTCCTTGCGCTAAACAATGTTAGCATTCACGTCACATGCACCAGCGTACAAAAAAGTAGGTCAAAAAGGGCATATCGTACCTTTTGCTGTGCAGCAGCTTGATCCTTCTTCCGGATCTCTCTGTCGTGGTCGTCCTTTTCTTGCTTCAGATCAGGTTTGCGCTCTACCTTGGTCTTGTTGAGGCGGTTGACAATGGGGTTTTCGCGCTGCGGGACATGGATGCGCTTCACGAGCTTCTGGTTCTTAAAGCTGACTTGGCCGACATCCATGGAGCCGTCCTTTTTCAGGTTCGACCACGGCGTGTAGATGACGGTGATGTTGTCCTTCTTGTTGCCTTCTATCGAGTTGGCCTTGGTCAGCTGTGCAAGGTCCATCAGCAGCTCCTGCGGTAAGTTGTCCCATGTTTGCGATGGGCTCATGCGTAGGTAAATATGGGCGCTGGAAAGCTTGTCTACGTGAAACTGGAGAGTGTGAGTTGCGCGCTGTTGGGTTGGTTTATAGCTTGTGTTCTTGTACATACCCTGCAATGAAACAGTGAGCGGGATGCAGTATCTCAATGAGCGCGGAATTCACTTACCAAACGTCTTCTTCCCAGCCGTACTTGATTAGGTCTTCGTCTGTTCGGTAGAGCATGCAATTAGCCTTTATTTGCCTTGTTTGCAGGGTTCTTTCTGTCGAGGCGTACTTTCAAACTTGTCTTTGCCAACATAGATGAAACCCGAGGGCTCTGTCACTGTGGACGTGTAGTAGAGAACCATTTTGTGAGATGTGTGTCCGTGAGTTTATGAATCCCTTCTTTCCTTGGTTCGATATATATACGTCGTCTGGTGTTTTTTTTGATTATTGGACACGGAGTATGTAAGGCAGTTGAAAGTCGTTTGTTACCTGACGTCGTTGTGTGGGCTTGCAGTTCCACGTGACCTGGAGATGCATCGTAACCTGTGCATGGCATCAACGCAGTTTATGCTGGGTATTGCCATATTACGAACCAGTATAAATTAAAAAGAAAGTTCCTGTAAATAGTATAGCTGATGAAATGTGATATTTTATCTGTGGGCCGTAATGTAGGTTTAAGAGCGTGTTCAGAAGAGTCGAGATTGCTGTTCGACATCGATACTCGGTGTTAGTTGTGGAATGGGACGAGTTTACAACGTCTTTTTGGTTCCATAGCCAATGATAGAGCCCCATAGCTAAATTAGCAGCTTCTGTTGCATAGAATGGTATCAAAATAAAGTATTCAATAGTCTAATTATCAGTTTATGGAAACAATGTAACCTGGATCGCTAAGCCTACCCTTGCAAAAAACGAAATCAAAATACCACCCAACCCTATCTTTTTTTCCGACAAAGGATATCTTCTCCCTCTAACTTTAGTATATGTGCTATAATGTCTTTCCATCATAGCACAAAAAAAATACACTCGTCTCCTGCCGTTGGCAGCAGGACGAGGACACCTCATCCATCACTCGAATGGCGCTGCCAGGCCACAATCAATGACCTCTTGTAAAATTGCCTTTTCGGATCTGGCTATTAAAGAAAAGAGTAATTAGCCAGGGTTCGTTCCCACTGCTCTATTTTCCACCAATAGAGGGTATCAGCAACTTACAAGGTTTGGTAGGCGAGACCGGGCGGCCCTTTACGGATATCTTCCCCGTATACTCTTGCGCCAATAATGTTGCGCCGGAATCGTCGCCGTAGACCATGCCGTATAAATCAATACGTATTCGAAAGTTCCCTTCCTTCAAAATGGCCAAGTCCGTAAAGACAAATGCCATGGTCCCGGACGCGAGGAAGCCGCCTGTCACGGCGGTTGTGCCGCTCAGCGCAGCATCAAGGACGTTCCCCGATGAATCCACAAGGACGGCTGTTGCAAAGAAATGTGTAGAAGGGTCTGCTTGGTGACCAGGAATCGTGAGGACAATAGGTGGATAAATGATCTGGTTCTTCTGGAGTCGAGACGGAGGCTCTACAACGATCTTTGCTGAGGTAGAAGCCGCCATTGATCTGGCTTGATTCCGTCCGGCGTGCTGACCAAATGGTAGAACAGGTACGCTCACAAACATCTCTTGGATAGAGAGAAAAGTTGGTATGCGCTGCCCGAGGACGTGGTTCGCACAAGAGCCCAGTTGATTCAATAAGACGGATGCATTGTCCTCTGGTGGAGTAAAGGGCGAATACAGATTATAAACAAAATCCAAGGCACGATCTGGGAAAAAAGAGGAAAATGTACGCAAATGAGTAGGTTGGGTCTAAGACGCAGAAAGGGATATCAGTACTCCAGGGGTGTCGGACGGAATGGCTCTTGGTGTGAGCGCAGGTAGAAACAACTGCGATAGCCGAAGACACCATGAGGGACCCTTCTTCCTACCGTCCCAGGTTTGTTTCTGCAGCTTAGCCCGGCTGACGAGCTGAACTTTTGATTTCAACGCTATACCAGATCTGCCGGCATGCCCAGTTCATTCCCAATTGAACGTTAGTGCCAAGTGTCGAAGAAGGCTAGTTAGGAGGAGGCGACGTGTGAAACATTCTCTTCCCTCGTAGCATTTTGGTAAAGGTGGCTAGCTCAAGCCAGGCATAACAGATAGAGAGATGGGCTGTGGGTGTTTGCGCGCGGAACCTCTTACGTATTCCCTTGCGATATGGCTGTAAAAAATCCACGATACACAAGCAAGATGCAAGGTACGTCAAGCATGAGAGATTGCGTATCCAGCTGACCGCATACTGCGCAAGGTGTAATAGACATCATTCGGTGAGGCCAGCTCGGCAGATCAGTAAAAAAAAAGTATCCCGCCCTTCGCACTTGGCTAAACATCTCAGTCAAAAAGAAAAGACACTCTGTCTTAGATCGAGCTCCCAACGTACCGGCCGACAATGCTCGGAGGCTAGCATACGCAAAATGCAAGCATTCCAGGGATCATTGCGAAGGTAGGGTGTGATTGAAAGGCGGGGAAACAACTCAACCGAGGGGGGAGGCAACGAATGTCGGCAAGAAACGGGGATAAGCAAAAGCTGAGCAAGGTCTCTCGATCATGTCGCGCAAAAGCATTCAGGGCTGGGATGGTTTGGACGGACGGCGCGGCGCATCGGGATGACAAGAGATCATGCGGCGCTCACAAGGCGGTAGTGCATCCGCACACGCCTCGGCATGCGACCATCGCGTCTATTACTTGGGATGGACTGTGGCCCTGGGTACGTACAAGGTGTACAGCATACGCAGATGTAAGACAGCGCTGTCCCATGTCCTGCAGGCCCAACACTAGGGTCCGACCCGACATGAATCGGGCTAGGCGCCCCTGTAAACATGGATGTGTCTAGGAAGGGAGCGTCGGAACAGAATAAGCAAACAACATCGCCAAAGAGAGTCCCACATCTTGTCTCGTTTGGCGGCACTTTTCTAAAGATGTTTTCTCTGCTAGGAGTTAGCGACGCTATTTAGATTTCTCGTCTGGCGAGCACCATTTCCCGCTGAAAGCCTTTTGCATTACTGGTGTCGCGCCATCCGGAGAACCAAGCTTTGGCTTCCGCCCTAACTATGCAGCCAGCCGTCCATGGGTTTGCGACAGGGGGACATGCGCAGTGTGGGTGGTACGGCAGGGTCTCTTTTGAGCCCGAGTGGTGGGTGGTGGTACTGCGCGCCTTACAAAAAAGCCACAAGATGAACGCACATTGGGCAATCTATGACCAGCCGATTAAGCATCAAGGGAGAGAAGATCTCCGATCAGCAGTGGCAGCATGCCAAGCGCCATGTGCTTCTATGCTATGAGTGCCAAGGGCGTGTGTGTCGTATTAATGCATGCTCTGTTGAATTTGTAGAAAGTCGCTAACGGCCAAGGCCTAACCTTTTTGCATTAAGTGCATTTTAGGACATAAGTTAATCGGCACAATGGCGCGTTTCAGATGGAGTCTCGCAAGCGCCGCCGCGCATGCCCCGAACGGTTTGTCGATCTGACTCAGGCGAGACAGGAATCGACGAGTATGCACCTCCCAGCCTACTGGTAACGAGGGAAGCGAAATCATTGCTATTCTTGGACACGAGAAATTTCGAAAAGAGAGAAAAGGAGACAAGATGGATCCTGCACCGCGCGAAGCTGATGGGCATTGCGCGGGAAGCGGATCCGGTCACCACAACACATTGTGTTACCGTTTGGTTGACTTTCAGCTAGGCCAGTTTCGAGAGAAGTAGCTGAGAATACACGCCGTGCTGTGTAATGGAGTAAACATGACGGAATTGAAGGCGCCTGTTCTGTAGATGAGAGGGATCCCAACATGCACTGCGTCGATGCACTGCGCATGCAATGCAGGAAGTTCCAGTTGTTGGGTTACCATCTCCGCGGAATCGTGCGTGCGTAGATGGATTGTTTTGTCATTTTGTTCTATCTTGCATGCGTTAGCTGCAAGATGCCAGACATGCCCTCTGGTGTTTTTGATGCCATGTTTCCTAGGGCCGGTCTCCGCGCCCGCCATGGAGCGGTGCAGCATGCGCATGGCTGCCAGTACAATACAGTACGGTACGGCCGGTAGAAGTCACTTGACAGGTTCTTAACGGCAAGCCGGAGAAGCATTTCCCTCTTCTGCGGCATCCTGTCAACCCTCGCAGCTGCGGGACGTCGTATTGCATCGTGGTGCCAGCGTTGCGGCTTGGCTGCCCTTAGCGCACCCAACACTGGACGAAAAAGGGCCAAGCATCGAAAAGACTCGTCCCAAAGTGATGTCGCACTGCCTTTTTAGGTAGAAGCCCAGAAAGTAAGGGCCGTGGAAAGCCGCCCATCGTGGGGCCTTTTGTGGTGCTAGGTGCTAGTGGTGGTGAACAAAAGAGGAAGCTCAGGCTCCGGCGCCGGCGGCGTGTAGCGCAGTGTGCATCTTGGCACCGAAGCCGAAAGACCACGCTAAAAGGCTATAGGTTGATGCTAACTGTGCGCAGATCAGTGTTGCATAGTTACACTGGATAATTAGAATGAGTTCATAGTATAGTTAGTTATTTTGCCATGTTAAAACTATCGCTCAACGGCGATGGAGTAAGCAACGTGGGGTCCATTAACTGCTGGTCCCTCCGTCACATGACATGTTGGAGATCTGACGGAAACCGTCGTTGATCGTGTCACCTTTGGAGCAGTGAGGTGAGTTTCTAAAACCACGACGACATGGCAGCAAGAACGAGGCCACTGGTATTTGATACAGTGAAAGGCAGAACTCGCCAGAAGAGATGGCTACCAAAATCTAAAACTGGGTGTCTGACTTGCTGGTAGGGCTGAAGCTAGTATCGCATACTTGGGATATTGATCACTAACAGGACATGTTATAGAGAGTGGCGAGTCAAATGCGACGAACGTTGGCCAAAATGCATTCGCTGTACCAAAGGTGATCGCGAATGTACATACCCATACGAAAAATATGCAACTAGGAATACCAATCAAAGCATTGCGCTCCTTCCGTTGCTAGCACAGCCGGCGCCCAGCACAGTTCCGACAGCAAACGTACCAGCAGCGCCAGACATTACACTATTTTCTATGTTTCAGACCGATGTTATCCATCATCTTACCGATATCTTCGATGAATCGTTTTGGAAGATGTGCTTGATGCAGGCCATGCATACATATCCGGCGGTTTGGCATGCCGCGATAGCCACTGCAGCAACCTTCAATTCTCTGTCTGGGGAAACAGGCAAAGCCATCATGGATTCGCAATACACAATATACAAGCATCGGCAAATGGCCTTGATCCACTGCAACAAAGCTATTCAGTGCTTGAGAGAGGTTGACCACGCAAATTTGACTCTTGCGAATCGCGAGATGCTCCTCATAGCGTGTATGCTTCTCGCTTTCTACTCTACTCTACGCGGCAAAAAGAAACAAGAGGTTATGCACATGCGTAATGGAGTGTACTTATCGAGGCCTTGGTATGATGAAATTCGAGACGGGGACACTGTATTTCGGCGACTCCCCAACTGTGTCGCCTCAGTCACGTCCATTACACTCATCTTCCGCCGGCTGGAGATGCAACCTTGTCTAGCACCACCCTTTGTACCGATAATGGATACAATAGGGGAGGGTGACCACCCAAACCACCCAAGCGCAGATGTCCCCTTCAACTCTGCACTGGAGGCCTACGCCGAACTGATGCCTCTTTCCACCCATATACTACGATCACTCCGGCATGTTGAATCTGACGGCTCAATTATGGCATACGCCACTGCACCTGGAGGGCTCCCTCTTCGTAAGGAGTATTTTCTGTGGAGCAGACGATTCCAACTATACTATCAGAATTATCTAGTAGAGCGGGCGATGGGTAGAGTTCAACCAGATGAGATCATACGAGCTGAACTGATGCATATCAGATGGCTTTCCGCAGAACCAACCTATCTAATTGATCCATCTGAAGAAGAGATGGCGTGGGATAAATTCGAAGATAGCTTCCGTTATATGATAGTGGTTTGCGAGCGCTTATTACCGATTCTTCCACCAAAGACCATAACCGATAGACGGCCGCGACTTATATCGCCACATGGCTATATCCTTGGTTCTGCCATGTCTCGAGTTATAAATTCTTGCCGTAATGCCGAACTACGTCAGCGCGTAATTGATCTCCTGGAGTTGGACCTTTATGTCGTTGGTATGGGTCGATCAGCAAACCACAGCACAGGAAAGATTATGATGCGTCTTGAAGAAGACGCATGGCAGCATGGCAGCGACAGCCACTGCCAGAGTGCTATTGTATACCTGGCACAACTATTTGTAACTTGCATCGATTTTGTGCAATGAGGATGAAGCCTGAAGAGAATGAGATTACTCATTACCTACTAAAATGCCATGACAGAGCAGTCGGGAATATTGGTCACAAGGTGATACTACCCATCCATAAAGAGTAAAATATTGTAATATAGTAACATATTAAATCTTTAATTATCTACAATGATTGTGTATTAAGATGGTAATTAACTTGCATAACAATAAAAATTACTGATTTCCCGGACGCGCAAAGATCAAACAACGTTTGTTTGTATACAAGAAAACATTGTAATGATTTAGAATGTTTGAGATAATGACACGTACTCTGTAAGATTATACTTTTTTTGTATCACAGAACGCATCTTAATAAATACATACGTTTTCAAGTGTGTATTTTGGCTGTATTTGGGGCGTCCAGAAAATCAGATACCTTCCGCCAAGGGTACTGTTTTGTTCCTGTGGATCCCTTCTGGTAGGGCGTATTGTGTGTACTGGTGCAGCGAGCGCCCAGTGGTTGGAAAAGTTTCCCACTACATCATCCTGCGCCACAAACCACGCCGAAGCCGAAGCCGCCCCAGCTCGTCCAGCCGTCGCTGCCCGCCCACTGCCACACCAAAACGTCATTGTCCAGCAGCCCAACCCACACAAACCCCACACTACTGTTGCACCCTCCTAAAAAATCATCCGCTCAGGCGTTGTAGGGGACAAAACCATGGCCCCCCACCACTATGCCCCTCCATTATTAGCAAGACTCGTCAGGCCGACCCTGACGTACCGACTCGTACGCTGTCATCTTTATAAACTCCATCCCCCGCATCGGAATTTGCTTGCAGAGCCAGATTCCTCTTTTGCTAGATTCATCTCATCTGCGCACACGCTGCATTGCTTTCGTCCGATCTTGCAACCAGCCCGCGATAGCCGCCGTTTGTTTGCAACGACCCCTCATTCCCCCAACATCACCAAGCCTACCACAACTACCACAACTATGGCCTACGAGAACTACGAGCAGGTCCTCGCCGCCGGCAAGTACCCTGCCAAGGAGCATGCCAAGCGTGCTGTTCAGCATATGCGCGAGAATGGCGTCGAAGCCAACGGTATCTTCTACTTTGAGTCCACCATGACCAAGATGCAGGAGAACAACGACTCTCCCGAGCACTTCCGGTACGTTGAGGCACCGCTGACCTGACTGACACCTTGATGATCTCCGACAAGATGTGCTAACCACTATTGACCCTTTAGCCAGCGCCGTTTCTTCTACTACGTTACCGGCTGCAACTTGGCTGACTCCCACTTCATCTACGATATCCAGACCTCTAAATCCATCCTCTTCATCCCCCCTGTTATTGACGAGGAGGTCATCTGGTCCGGTATCCCCACCACCGTTGAGGATGCCCTCAAGGAGTTTGACGTCGATGAGGTCCGCTCTACCACCGAAGTCAACCAGGTTTTGGCCGAGCTTGCCGCTGCCTACCCCAACTCCACTGTCTACACCATCGACAACCACGCTTCCGAGGGCATCAACGTCGCTGCCTTCCCCAAAAACGACCCCAAGTCGGCCAAGAGTGCCATCGAGACCTGCCGTGTCGTCAAGGATGAATACGAGATTGCCATGATCCGCAAGGCCAACTACATTGCCTGCCTCGGCCACGAGGCTGTCATCAAGCGCGCCAAGTCGGCCAAGACTGAGTCTGAGCTCGAGGCCACTTTCCGCGAGCGCTGCATTGCCCACGGCGCCAAGGAGGTTCCTTACCACCCCATTGTCGCTGCTGGCTCTGCCGGTGCCACTCTTCACTACGTCGACAACACCCAGCCTCTTGAGGGCAAGCTCAACCTGCTCATTGACGCTGGTTGTGAGTACAACAACTATGCTTCCGACATTGTAAGTCCTTGTGCTTTGGTTTGCACCTGAGTGACGTATTGCTAATGATACAATAGACCCGAACTTTCCCTCTCAACGGCAAGTTCACCCAGGAGTCTCGCAACATCTACGATATTGTCTACAAGATGATCATCGACACCTCCAACGGCCTCAAGGGCGGCGTTCTGTACGACGACCTCCACGTCCAGGCTCACAAGATTGCCATTGACGGACTTTTGGCTCTTGGCATCCTCAAGGGTGACAAGGACGAGATCTTTGCTGCCCGCACCAGCACTGCTTTCTTCCCCCACGGTCTTGGCCACAACCTCGGCCTCGACTGCCACGACACTGGCGGCAACCAGAACCGCCAGGACGCCGACAAGCTCTACCCCAACCTGCGTCTGCGCGGAACCGTCCCTACTGGTTCTGTCGTGACCATTGAGCCCGGAGTAAGTAATTTCGATGTCATTTGTACGTCTCTGAACCCGATGAGCTAACTCTCATTTCCTTAGATCTACTTCTGCGAGTTCATCATTAAGCCTTTCCTCTCCGACCCCGTCCACAGCAAGTTCATCGACGCTGCCGTCCTCGACAAGTACTGGACCGTTGGTGGTGTCCGGTAAGTGATTATGCTTGATCTGGGTTCAATATCTGAAAACTAACGCTTCATTAGTATCGAGAACAACATTGTCGTTACCGAGAGCGGCCACGAGAACCTCACCACCGCCCCTATGAGCGCCACCGAGATTGAGGCCCTTGCTGCTTAAATTAAAATCTTATCACGAAATTGTAAGGTATACCACAAAATAAAAAGTAAAACGTAGTAAAGTTAAATTGAAACGATGGATTCCCATGGTCGGATTGATTCTCTATAGATAACCGTATCGTTCCCCTGGGTCAATTAGCATTGCACCATGCAAATCGAGCATCGCAAATTAGTGACCGTGTCCCATCTCTAGTGACAACATTGTAAGGGTGAATTCACCATTTCGAATAATTGCACTTTTCAGACCTTTTCAATTATCGATGCGCCTACCAGCGCGACCCAAGTTGGCCCATGGCGCGTGGCAAAAGGGGGGTATCAGTGGTAAATTAAGCAGCTTGGCCCTCTTTACCCAGCAAAAGGTAAGTCGTCAACGTCAGACTCTCGCATACTGGAAATAACAAGTCTATCATATTACCAATAGCATTAGATATGATGAAGACAGAATGAGACCTCTTCTTCGCAAAGCCAAATCCAGCGCGACGCTGCGGCAAGATCGCCCGCCGTCACCCCCTCCGCCGCTACCGGGCTTCGTCACAGAGACCGTACCTCCTCCACCATATCAACAATCACAGAATCATCTATCACCAAATAATCACCGCGAACAACCTGAGCTTCGTCGCGCACGTAGCTCGTCGGCGCTAGACATACCGCCGCTGCCGCCCCGGCCCACGACCGCGTCTGGGTCTGCCTCACGCGAGGCATCGCCATTTCGCAAAGCCCTGGATGATGCACAATACTTTGCATCAGGCCTCATCACAAAGCCCTATGTAACCTCCAAACACTTTAGCATTGTTCGCCACTCCAGCGCCGTCATCTGGTACCGCGGCCCAACTACTTCCATCGCCATCACCATCTTCTCATCAACACCGGTACCTCCAGGGCGGACACTATGGCTGCAGCAACGAGGACATTCTGGAAACATGGGTATGGCTCTCAAAGCCATGGTAGGCAACAAGTCGTCCTGGATAGACGTGACGCCGGTCCGAGAAACCGCCGCATCGAACATTGATGCTGCTGATGAGAGGGCCTACCAGCGAGATATACGCCGCGTCCTGGCCAAGGTCAGCAACCACCATTCGCGCGAGACACATATCCTCCGCATCCCGTCCTCTTGTCAGGACGGTTATTTCCGCCTCGTTCTCTGTCACGATACCAAAGTCCTCTGCGGCAGCCCCGTGTTCCGTCTCGCCAGCACCTCGTCCGACATGTCCTCGCTGCGCGGCGCCAGCATCACCACGGCGCCATTGGAAATGGGGGTCAAAGTCGCAAGCACAATTGGACAGCAGACGATCCGCAAGTACACCGGCGTGGCAGGGCTCGTCGTGGGCAAGGCCATGGGAAACAAAGGCAAGCTCGTGAGCAAGATGGCCTTTGGAAGCGCCGGCGAAGTCCTCACGGAAAGCCGCCGCGCGCGCTACGAGCGACTTCTAGGAGAAAACATGCTGGCAGACAGACTCCTCATCATTGGGTCTCCCGAAGGCCCAGAGGGACCGTATCCAATCTACTTTTCAGGACAGGTCCAGCTCGGTACAGGCCAGACGCTCAACGGCGCGGGCTACCCAACCGCCAACGTACACGCTATCCCGGCGCACATAGCTCAATTGGACGGAGTCTACGCAGCTTGGATAAGTATCGACCCAGACGAATGGGTCGAAGGTGTGGTGAGCATGCTACCCACGACGACTTCCCGTACAGGCGTCGTGTCTAACAACTACGCCGCCACCCACATCCTTCGGGACCTCGACGGCATCAGCCTCGTGGGGACCAAGATCCGCATCGCACTCATGGGATGCATACGAGCAAGCAGCTACTCTGGCGAACCGACTGACTTGGCCGCTCAGCACGCGCAAGACGTATCCGCCACACTCACTACTCTCGCACTGCCCGCGTGGTCGGCATCCGCCGCGCTCTCCAAGATCAAAGAGGCCAAGCGAGCCCGGACATTCACCGACCGCGTCGCTGAGACAGCAGACAGAGTGCCATTACATTGGGCCGGCGTGCGTAGCCAGAGCGCGCTGGTCCAAGAAGCCAGTATGGGCGTGGGAGGCGTCTACATTGTTCGATAGATGGAATGAACATGCGTTGTGGCGTGCGGCAGATCCGGGGAAAGAAAGTACCAGTACAAAGGGAAACTAGAAACACTAGACGAAAGATATCATTCCCTTTTTTCCCTTTCTTGTCTTGGTTGTCAAAGAGCGGTCAAATCGGTGGCGTTGCCTTCAGCGCTCTTGTCCGCTGGTAAGAAGCCCCTCATGTGACGTTTGGTTCCTGCGAACGACACGCTGCGCCGGCGTTTTTTTTGGACCCTGATTTTCTGTCACATCGAGGCTGTTGTGTTCTAGACCGTCTTTTTGTATTGCTTTTTCGGATGGCGTCGAAAAAGCCCATCATGCACCCCGCCATGCAGGCAAGGTTCGTGGGGAAGATCGGACAACAAGCAACGTGCATGGGGCCCATGTCGTGCATAGATGCGACTACGACAACAAAATACTACTACTTGAGGAAGAAGAAGAAGGAGGAGACAAAGGATCACGGAATTGAAATTTAATAGAATAGAATAGGAGTAATCATCATATATTCCAATCGTCATAAAAAGCTACTGAATCGTAGGTCGATTCCACTGACTGCCGACTTCTCAACTGATTATACACTGAGGAGGGCGGCTGTCTTCTTTTGAATACCGACGCGCTCTTGCGAAAAAACTATGCGTCCAAATAACAGCAAATTAAAAAGCAACCAAACAAGAAACAGGGGACCACCATACCGCCAGCCCTCAGCACGGAAGAGACCATCTCATTCCCGCCGCCAGGCTTGCGAGCGATCGCTAATGCAAATGCAAGCTTGACCGGTCCAAGATTCCGATCGTAATCGTAAAACAATAATCATAGTCGTGAAAAGATGAACGAAATAAAAAAATAATAAACGCCAGCGAGAAACGCTCCCAAACGCCGTGCACAGTTCAATGTGCCTCGAAACAAAAAGTCCTGCGAATTACATATTCGCAAAGAAAGTAGAGAGTTGAAGGATAAAAAGCACAAGTTGGGTAGAATTACAACTTTGCTCCGATGTAGAGGGGACAGCCTAGGATGGAGATGAAGGCCATGCTAAGTAGGATTTCCGCGGAAGATGTATCAGTCAAGATATCCTCCTTGGAAGCTGTTTGCCCTGTGTGCGGCTTGAAACACTAGCCCCGGATCGCAGTCGAGGTAGAACTCTCTCCACGCCAAGTGAAGCTCTCCGAGGCACCGAATGCTGGTGACTGAGAGCGTGTTGAGCGCGGGGTAGAGCTCTGGCTGCTAGTTTGAGGTGGTGAAATGCTGCGGGCCAACGTAGCCACAACCGATGCGTCTTGGGTAAGCGCAGCCTGAACAACCTGCTTCAAGGACTGAGCCTGTGCATTTGTAAGGCTTTGCATACCAATCGCATCAGCCGCAACAACCTTTGTAGTTGTTGTTGTGGGTGCTACTGGCGGCCTGGCAGTTGGCAGTACTACCGAGTGGCCGACAGGAGGTGCTGTCGGCTTTGATCCAAACTGTATATCCATCCATGTTAGCGGCTCCTCCCAAGACAATCAGTGAGCGGTAGAGGGTATGGCAAATGTGGTTAAAGCCGTCTCCTTGACATCCATCGTCGGCAGTGAGCGTGTGATGACGGCAGTGGTGAGAGTGGTGATATTGGTGGTGCAAAGTTGCTGTGAGCGGGTTTGAATTCCAGGGGTACGTACAAAGCAGTATTTGTTGACTAGCTCCTCATATGACGAGCTGGCTAGCGTTGTGTTGGCAGCGGGGGTTACCACTGTGTGGGTGGAAATCAAATTGGGCGATGGACCCAAGCTTGGGCTGCTACCGCGGACGTTCCCCTTCATATAGAGAGCGTCCTTGTCCGTTGGAGAAACATCTTTGGCGGCCTGAACGGCAGCAGTCAAGGATGCACCAAAGTCGTAGCGGTTAGAAAAGGCGGCGCCGCTTGGCGATGTCAAGGTCTTATCAAGGTTGTCACTGGCCAAGCTGTTGAAAGACTTGGTTCTCAAGCGCAAGCCGGTCGAGTCCGACTCGCCAAGATATTCGTGCAATGGCTGGGTGAGCTTAAAGGCAGACTCGTTGCCAAAGTCATTGAAGGAGGCAGGGAATGAAACCGGACGAGGCAGGGTGTTTTGGCCCTGTCGGCGGTTGCTGCGGGGCAGACTATTGATCGACTTGGATGAAGCGCCCTGGAAGTTCTTCTTGCCATTCTGGGGCAGATGCTTCTTCTGGAAGTCGACCTGGAAGTTTAAGCCGTTGTTGTTGTCCCAGTATTCCTGGCCGCTGACAGCATATCGAACGCAAAAGTAGAGCGTCTTGCATTCCAGGTTGGCGGTATCAGCCAGCTGGATGGTAAATGTAAACCTGTCGTGGCCATTGGCGGTTTCCTTGGGCAAAATGGCTTGGCTATACTCAGCCGCCACCTCCGACGTTGTTTTCCAGTCATCCAGCGTAAAGCGGCAAACAACGGTTTTGTTGAAAGCAATATTTGCGACAGCAACAGAGCCCATCATGGACTTTTGATCTTTGGAGAGCCACACCTTCTCGAGGCGAGCGGGAAGAGATCTGCGAATAGGGTTGTTGTCGCGGGGGAAGTTGGTGGTAGCAAGCTCCCATTCAAATGGGGGCGCACGGGGCTGTCCAGCCTTCTTATCGCCAGAGGGGAAAGGATATTCTGTATCGCTATCATAGGCTTCGACTGGTGAGGAGCCTGCACTAACGGCAAGAGGTCTATCAACCTGCAGGAAATGACGGACGTGTTCCAGGTGCGAGTCAAAGTGCACAGCCTTGGAGAAAACGGGAGTTCCAGGCATGCTTAGCGGGCGGCGGTGGTTTGCAGATCGCAGAGCCGGGCGGACCAATTCTCCGGACTTCTTTCGGACCATGTGAGGCTTGTACTTGAGATCCTCTTCAGATTCCGAAGATGCCATGGCGGAGTTCTCGGCGGAGAGCGAGACAGTTGGTTCCGTAGATGAGCGAGTATGTCTGCGGGATGTCAAGTCCGAGAGAGCGCTTGTGCTGAAGCTTGTCTTCATGGCAGACTTGAGAGGTCTAGATGTATCTTCCTGGACTACCGAGGATGCGGTGGTGTGCTCTGGCGAGCCTGACTTGCCTTGTGGGATTTGGCTAACAGCTACTCGCAGGCTCTTAATATTTTGATCCTTGGCAGCGGCTGACTTTGCCGAAGGCTCCTCGTCATCGCTGCCAGATGCTGCCGACTCGGGGGGTGAGATCACAGCGCCCGAAGGCATAACACGGCCATCTGTTACTGGAGGGGGCGATTGGCGGACTGTGGCTCCTAGCGCGATGGCTAGGTTCTCGGTTACACCCGCGAGGTTGTCTGTGCTCGATCCATTTAGCGAATTTGCGGACGGCGTCCGTCTGTGCTTGTTCAGGTAAGATGCTGAGTGAGGAAGGGATGTAGTTGATCCATGTTGAAAGGAGCCTCGGCGGCTGACGTCGGGGGACGTGGAAACCGAGGAGGCCGGCGACCGGTGTGAGGGTGGTGTATAAGGCATCCCCAATTGGCTGGTCGATGTGTGATGTGTGGTATATTTCCTAGGTAGGCGCTGGCGGGGTGGAGGCGAGCGCGGCTTCGAAGGGATATCGAGAGTGTGATTAATACATAGGTGATGTGTAGGTAGAGAGAAGAGGATTAGGGGTATTAGGGATATGAATCTGGCGGGAAACAGTCGTTAGCATCACACCGTCTAATGTGTTTACCGAGATGGGCAGAAACGAGAGTGGATTGTTTGGTAGGCGTTGGGAAGGAGAGACAGAGCAGCGTAGGGTTACTTGGAAAAGCTGTTGCAATTATGAAATTGGGAGCGAAATCGAGACAGGTTCAAGTTGAGCGCACGTATTGAGCAAAATCTCAGATGTGGTGTATAATGGTGCAAAGTTTTCAAGCACAAAGACAAAAGGCTTGCTCCAATGCGGCGCAGCCGGTGGTGCCGAACTTACCAGCGAAAGGACTCTATGAAGCGACTGACCGAGCAATATTCCAGCAAATCGGACAATTCAATTCGAGAGAGTGTATCCAGCAAAGACGAGAGGATCGGCTGATTCGAAGCGAGCAACAGGTCGAGGGGCTGCCGGGGGGGGGAGACCGGCGTCGACTGTGTGTAAGCGTAGGTGGTGATGTTGTGGTGATCCGCGTCGTCCGAAGCTGACAAACCAAGCCGGGCAACAAAGAGAAAAGACGAAGGGGGGGAATTAAAATCACACTGGCTCCAACTGGGAATTCAACTAAGAACTCAGATCGGGAGCAAAGCCGTTGGGAGCAGAAAGGAAAAAAAGAAGAGAAAAAAAAGAAAAGCAAGAGGCTCTTTGGGGGAGAAAGGATGATGGCTGCGGCGAGGGTGGGATGGGGGGCAGAGCTTTTTCATACAGCGAGCGAGCCAAGGAAAAAACGCCCCGGATGCAGCGCCTGTCGCACCCCAAAGGAAAATACATGGGCACACCACTGGAACCACACACACAACTCACACACACTACCCGCCAGCCCACTCAACCTGACAACCATGTACAGGTACTAGTTTGCGCCAACAAAAAAAATGGTGGAATAAAAAAAAATCGGCCAACAGCGCTAAATTAAAATGGAAAAAGGAGCCTTTCAGCACGCACCACCACGCTAGACAAGGCCTATACCCCACCACTAATACATGAGTGGCGACCGAACTACAGCCCGCCCCGGGTCGCTGTAAATCACTGCTGCTGCACGTCACCCAGCTACTGTAACCACCAAGCAGTTCTCTACTGCTGCAGGCAGCCAAACCGTTCTGTGGTGGATGGCTGCGTCCTTTGTTGACCGGTTGTAATTATATTCTTGGCTGTGGTGGCAATTGCATGCACGGCAAACACAAGGACCCTTTTATCGGCTTTTCGCCACAAACTGCAATGCAAAGGGTGGCTGTTAAGTGGTAGGCTGCCTTTTGGTGTGAGCGTTCAACACGGTCAGAACTACAGTACCGCACGCACGGCCACTGTTGAACGCTGGGTGCTGTAGCCAGCAAGCGACCGTGCTGTAGCCTCGCGCGTTCCACGGCAGAAGGCCAGTGAGTGAGAGAAAGCCTCTAAAAAAATCATCGCCGCGATAGCTGCTATCTGTTGTTGGTTGTTGTTTTTTTCCTAGCTGCAAATTGCTTTTTACCCACAGCATCGTATAAAAACATCCATCTGTCAATTTCTCGCCCTGGATCCCCCTTGTTGTTGAGCATCACCCGGTGCCGGAGATTCACAAAATCGAGTGTCAGGAAGCGAGTGAGCTACGGGGTGGAGCAGGTCCTCCGCCCGCCTGTAACACCTACAAAAAAAGGATCTTGAGATGCAAAAATGCCCCAGCGAGGCGCTAGCGCTCTGGCGTTAGCACGGATTAGGCAGTATATATTGGCCCCGCATCGAAAACGTGGGTGCTGCTGGTGCTGATGCTTGGTGCTTTATCGCCGGCGGCCTATCAACAGCGCCCCTCTCTGCGAGACATGAAGCGCCCCCCAAATGGCAAGCTCTTTGGGGGGAAGATGGTGCCAACGACAAGAAAAATGCTAAATAAGAAAAAAAGTTAAATAGAGATACAAGAGCCAATATAGAATAGGCTTCAATGCTTAAAAATAAGCAAGCAACGAGTATGACAGACAGCCCGCCAGCTGAAAAGGTTAGCGCCGCTTAGGCATGCGATGGGGCCAAGATTTGTCTGGTATTACTACCTGGCTCACAGGCGCCGACAAAAAAAAACGCTTATCAAGACACCTGAGACGCCATAACACCAGCGGCGTGGGTAGCGGTAGCTGCGTTAGTGAGACACCAGTTTGCGCAAGCGAGCAGATGATAAAAAAACAACAAGGCCAGGGCAGAAACACGACAGTTGAGACATTGTAGCCCGCCACCAAGGAAAGAAAAAAAAAAGTTTCTCTCTAAAAGCTATTACAGGAATTCTTTTCCTTGCTATTTGCTTTATCTTGCGTCAGACAGAAGAAAAAAATCAAGGTACGGCGACAGTTCACGTCTCACGTTCGGTCAAGCAAACCTGGGACGAAATCGCGTGCTGTACGAGTCGAAAACAGGGCAAATAGGAAGACGCGTTCCAGCTTAGATGGTCGTTAGATGCCATGGGCGGCCGCCTGTCCATCCAAGGTAATTTTAAAATAGACCGGGTTTTTGGTGAGGCATCCCTGGTTCTTGGTTAGTCGATCTGCTTCCTGTCAAGGCCAGGGCCAGTAACCGCCCAAAGCACTGGCGTAGATGCGTTCGTTTGCTCGTTCGTCTGCTGCAGCTTTGGCCTTGGTTTGCCAGCACCAACAGCAGCCACAGCACGAAAGTGGGCGACCGCCGATCTCCTACCTAGCGCCGTACAGCATATTTTTTTCCAACTCTTTGCATCTGGGTTGGGGGAATCACAAGAAGAGATTTTTTTTCTCTGGTATATTGTTCGCTGCCCGTTTAGATGCCTGCACCATACCGCCCTTGCTTATCTTTGCCCAGCGGCCGTCACTGGTGGCGTTCTGGTTTTTTTTTCACGCCTTTGCCAGCTAACATCCATTCTAGGAAGTAATTTTTTTATTCCCATTAAAATGTATTTTTTAATAGGCGGCCTAGACTACACCTGGGACAAGACTTAAAGAATTATACTTTTCGGCCGCTTTCCAATTACACTTTCCACAACTACCGTCTAGACCTTTTGGCTTTGCTACGCCGTAATTGTGCATGGTTTGGATGCCCGTAACCATAACCCTGCTGTTGTCGCACTGGCAGGCATCCTTGCATCAACGGGTCATCACAACAGCACCATCAAGCCGGGGTTTGAAAGGGGAGATCGTGAGTCCGCGTGGTAGTGACGTCGGCAACAGCGCTTCAAAGGAACAATTACTTTTTGCGCGGCAGTGGTATCGAGTAATTTCGTATACAGTTTGCATCGCACAATGGCCAAGCCTGTCAGTGGCAAACAAGGGAATATCTGTATTGTTTGCGAGGCTTCATCATCTCCGGCCAAGGCGCCGATTTCCTGGCTGCGCCTCGCCGGTCCCGTCTCCGCCCTGCGTCGCGCGCAAGACGTGCTTCGACGACTGATTACAGCCAGGTGCATGCATCCGGGCAGCGATCGGCCACTGCCATGGGCAATATATCAGGCAATGGCTGCTGCGGCTCGTGTTTATGTTGGTGGAGTGACACCGGTATAAAAAGGCAAAGCGAGCTTTCGCCCTCTAAATGCACAAAGACTATATTTGCGGCTTGCCGACGTCGAGATAAAAGGGCGGCGCGGCACTAGCGCATCAAGGGACCAGCCAACCATGGAGCGAAAGCAAACGCCGGTGTGGGTTGGCGTAGCGTAGTGGTGTGGTAATGCCACCTATATGTGCCTCGCTTTGGAGCAAATTGCAGATGATGGGCTGTATCAACGGGCCGGTTGGAAAATTCTGTATCTGTAATAGTACGAGGGGTGTTATGCGCAGCTAGCTACAGTACACGAAGCCGCTGCTGGCTTTGAGAGCGAACAGCCCCGAGACGGTGCTACTATACCAGCAGGGCTCCTCCTCCTCCCAATGCAACGTCTATCACGGCATCTCAACGGGGGGGAGGCCCCCTGTCGGACTTTTACCGCAGCGCTGGGCTCATCATTGCTTGCTGCAAACCCGTCGCAAGGTACGCTACGCTGACTTGCAGTTGGATACGCCTGCATCCACTGGATGTACATGCGTACATGAGTCGGCCAGGTGCAATATAATGACTGATAGCAATATACGCCTCTTGGGCTTCCTGTAGTGGGCCACTGCCGCATCGATTTCCAGTGGTTTAGCTTTTTTTGAAACCCCTTGCAAGACTTGTCTATCTTGGCAAATGGATGGCAAATTTATCGTGCGTGTCTCCCGCATGATTGTGGATCGTTAGCGTCCGGCCGCCGGCCGGGAAGGGAGCGAGGCCGACGTAGCGAGGCTTTGGTTGGTATGAAAAAGTTTTTTTATTTGCTCGCTTCTGCCTGATATCAATGCAGCGTTTCAGTTGGCCAAGAGGACCAACCGTCCCATTTGCCTCCGCGGACACTGAAAGATAGACGAAAAAATAAACTTCAGCCGGGCAATCTCCAAGACGGGAGCTAGCTGACGGGTGGGTTCAGGGCAATGGGCGTTTTGCAAATTTTTGGGTTAGTCCCAGGCGGCGAATCCGGCACTGGCGGCGCTGGCCGTGCGTTTTTTTAGCCCTCGCAGCGGCGGGTTGGGGTAGTAATTCAGCACATCGCTACTCGTCATTTGTCGGTTTTTGGCGTTATGGACTAAACCCGCCCTGACAAACACGTATAACCATTCCATCTACACCGTCTTCTTCTGATCTCGATGACCATTTCTCGCGTGACAGTTACTCACACGCACGACGCACGCAATTCCTGGGGTTCTCCTCTTTTTTGATGGAGTTTTGATCTACCACCACAGAACAAGCACCTTGGCGGACCAGCGTATTTCCCCCCGGGGAAGATAGGCAACCGAGGAATCCTTTATCGCAAAGAAGTCTTTTTTTCTGGCATTTTTATTTAAGAGCATTGAGTCAGTGAAGCTGGGGCTTGTGCTGCAAGCTGGCGGAGGCCAACGTTTTGGCGGTGGAGGTTGAAGTGAGGTAGTGGTGGCCTGCAACGCAAGATAGACGAGCGAGAGCGAATGAGAGACAGCATCTGGGCAAAGATAAGGATGGATCTCCGCCTGGTGTGGTGCAGCAGCAGTGGGTCGCTTGCCCCCCCTGGCAGCACCAGCAGCAGCCCACGACTCCACTTTAGCCGCCAGCGCAAGTCGTCCAAAATACAAAAGACTCGTAGATAAAGGAAAATAATAAAATAATAATAATAATAATGAATACCATTTTCTTTTTAAAATCGTATTTTTGATTGTTTATACCTCGTAGTATTTGTTATTCTGGGGTCTTCTTGTATCATGCATATGCACCAGCGCGTGGATCAGACCTACAGCTGACGGCTCGTATATTGCGCTGTTTGCTTCACCCTGGCCCAGCCCGGCTTCCGATCTCCGATGACCAGACAAATTTAGACACGCTGAGTGCAGCATGCGCTGTTTAGTTGCAAGAGTGATGAATACATCAATTCATCAATATTAACATGTTCAATTAGCCTAGAGTCGCACTGCGTGATTTGACACCGCTGGCCTCGTCTAGTAGGGGCCTCCAGTATACGGATGGCCGTATATGCTGCTGCTGCTGCTGCTCCGTCGCCACCACCGGCCGCCGCCTTCACCACCATACTGTACAATATGGGCGATGTTCGGAGCATCGTGGTTCGCCACACCGGCCGTCTCCTACAAGCAGCAGCAAGCAGCAGTCGCCTCAACAGTTTCGTGATGGATGGAATGAGGAGTACTGTAGCTTTCCCACTGTGGCTGACGAGGGACCCCTCATCTTCTTCGGTCAGCCAACGACGTGGTGATGCTGCATTCAACCGTTGCACACGCACGGCACAGCGTTTCGCTTGATCCTTTCTGGTGGCTTGAACGCCCGCAGACGTTCTCCGACTCATGGTCTGCGAACGAGCAAGGGAAGAAAAAAAGAAAATAAAGACACCACTACTACGGCAAGCCCCTCTTCAGCGCTGTGGCGCCTGCTCAGCCTGATGGGTGCATCTGCTGCACAGCGGCCTGCGTCCACCAATGGCCCGCCCATGGCCCGCCTGTGCAGCCACGTCTTGGGGCGGCTGGGGTGTTGATCCAGTGGTCTAGAGGGGGCCACTCACTCGCCATCATGCAAGCCATCTTTTTCCTTCACTGCTTTTGCCACAGCATTGCGCTGAATCCTTGCTGTGGCTGTTTAGCAAAATTCAACTCCATGGCCAATTTTCCAGTTGGAATCACCGCGGAAAATCTGTCTTCATTTCTTTCTGCAAGATGGTGCGTGCTCAAGCTATTCCCCCCTAACCCATGAACTACATACAGTAGAGCCTCCACATGCCGCACAACCGTCGTCGGCTGCGGCGGTCGTGGCATTGTTCCGTGGTACGCTTTTCTTGTTTGGTGGTATTAGAAGAATGGCCTCGTTGCATTCTCAACAGGTTTCTAGTTTCCTTCCATCTTCTACGGTAATCTTATTTTCTTCTTTTGCAAACAGGTCAATGAAACCTGACCCGCCTACCATGGTACTGTGCCCTTTCGCGTGGCTGACCGCCAGCTAGCCAGCAGCAGCAACAGCTATAGCTGAGACCTGTCAGGCCATTCGGTAGAAGATATGCGCAACGCGTACCATGCAAAGTGGGCTTGCGCCATGACAAGTATTCCCTCTAGGAACAACCGGCGGCTGGTGGTGGTGCGTGGCTGCTCTTCCACATTCTCGTGGATTGGCTGCTATTACTGCTACTGCAGATGCTGCCGTTTCCAATTGGCGTTCCCAGTAGATGGAAGGGGTAGTAACCAAGGAAAAAAAAACGAACCCCTAATGGACTGGCTGTATTTGTGAGGGCGGCTTGGGTGCATCTGGCGCAGCTCTTCAGTGCACCTATACGGAGAGCCAGCACTATGTTGGTGGTTGCAAGGGTCGGCTCCGATGCACTGATTGGCCCGTGTCGATTCCGATCTTTGCATCCCATCCCCCCTACTTGGTGCAGTACAGTATGCCGGCGCGCAGGCTGTATTACTAGCATGAATGCTGCTGCTGCCACCCAACCCACACCAGGTTTTTGCAACCTCCCTTGCCATGCAGATGCAGCCGCCTGCATGGACGCTAGCAGGGGGCGTTGGTGTTCCCAAAGATGTTGATTTCTTTCCCTCGCAAGCCTCAACTCAACGGGGGATATGCGACGGTGGGCCAATGAGTGGCTATGGGGGCGCACCCAGCTCGTCGTCCCATCTGCCGCCTCTCATGTTGGCCGCAGCATAAATTTAGCAGCAGTCTGGCCAAAGGGGGAACTTTTCTCACGGATGCAGATAGCGATTTCGTACTACGTGCCGCTGGGGTTTCATCTTGTGTTTGCTCCTCGCCTAGTCTTTCCCTGAGAAGAGCAATCAAGAGAATGACAGGAATGGCGGTGGTACTCTTGTGCTGGTGCACCAGATTCCAGTGGGCAGCGCAAGGCTGTGCCAAAGCCCAGTAGTAGTGTCCGACAACGGCATGCTGTGTGGTTTACTGTACGCTTCTGCCCTTGGCAGCCACAGGCAGGCCAAGGGCCAAAAGCCAGGAATGGTTGGAGCTCGGAAAAAAGAGATGCTTGGGAGCCAATTGCGTGCTGAGATGCTAGACGCCGCTATACCTAACCCGCTACACGCACTGGTTGCCCAATTTCCCTGCCGTCAACGCAAGCACATCTATCCACGATGAGGCGTCGCAACGGTTTGCCACCCCACACACCTTCTCGCGATGTCTTCCCCCCGCTATAAGACGCAATTGTCTGGCAATAGCGCCATCTGCAGCGCCGCACCGCTGTGTTCCCTGTGCATGGACGCCCTCCCGTCTCTCTCTCTCTAAGCTTCAGCTTGCTCTGTGATGATACGCACGTTGTGGTCAGGATGGAGCCATCAGGGTCCTATATGCCGTCTCTGCAGACACCTTGGCACGGGTGAGAGTGACATCCCCCATGGCGTGCATCAGCATACAGCCAATGCTACTACAATAATGATTTTTTTGTTATTGTCAGTGATGTTTACACGACTTGCATCAACCGTGCGGCAAAATTGTTATATGCAAGCCCCATGCCATAGAGAACACGAGTGTTGTGACACTTGGACGCCGTCCCTACCGGCATACAGTATGAGCTTGGTCGGGCCCTTAGGAATTAGTACCATATCTGTACCCCAGTAAGAGATGCTATATTTAGAGCATATCGTAAGATTGTTGACTGCCTTCAAATAATTCTCTGTAATAAGTTCCTAAAATATGTTTGTATGCAAAGAGCCGTTCATATTCAGCTCGCAAGCCGAGCTCAATATATGGAACGGAATCGCAGTTGTTACGCCAGCGAACAGCTACAGCGAATAAAAAGGCTGTAGATAATCCACTCCCGTTAAAATGTAAACGCATACAAGTAATGCACTCACTTTGGAATTCTACAGCCATTTTTGAGACCAAGCATTGGCTGCGCCATCTCTGATCGCACACTCAGTAATAATCTCGCAAAGACAATTTTGCAAAAATGACTCACTTGACTAATGAAATTTATTTGAGCGGCCTGTTAAAACCCAAGTTGATTGGTTTAGTAAAGCGACCGCGGTATTGTATTCTTCTGGTGACACTGAGATAATGTTCCATATTATCTCACCAGAAGCTACGCCGCTCGAAAAGTCTTAGATCGGCACCTATGTATTATTCAAATATATCCACAACGTATACCGAGTCAATCAAAACGACTAAAATAGAATCAAACGGATGTAGTTACACCGTCCAAAGATCTTATTTCCGTAATACCACTGCTATTCGTATAAAAATATAATCCTAGGCATTCATGTATAAAAAGGGTCGGTGGGTGACTCCTCGGCTTTACTACCGTTATCACCGTCTCTTATACCTTTATTTCAATAAGATCCAACTCAGATAATTGATGCATCTATTCAGCGCTGTGAGCCTGTTGGCATTAGCCTCCGCTGCTCCGTCAGCGAGGAAGATGGCGCCACTGTTCCGGCCTGGCGGCGATGTCATCGAAGGCCAATATATAGTGATGCTCCACGATGGAAGCGCTCTTTCTGGCGCATCAAGTGCCCTTTCACTACTCAAGGAAGACCCGATTCACATATATGAGCATATCATCCAAGGATTTGCCGCCAAGTTCGATATGGAGACGTTGGAAGCGCTTCGACTTCATCCTGACGTAGACTACGTTGAGAACGATGGTTACGGGTATGCTCCTGTGGAACCATTCGATTCTGATGCTGTACAGTCACAAAACAGTACGGGTGCATCTTATGGAAACGAGATCGACTCTCAGGAAGTTGTTACTCAAGAGGGTGCCACATGGGGTATTAGCCGTGTATCATCCAAGAGTCCCGGAGCAAAAGACTACAAATACCATTCCTCTGCTGGAGCAGGAACTTGCTCTTACATCCTCGATACAGGAATCTACTTGGGACATGACGAATTTAAGGGCCGAGCCAAACTTGGCAAGAAGATTGCCCCCGGCGCCGCTGGTGATGCTCATGGCCACGGCACCCACTGTGCTGGAACAGTTGGTGGAACGCTGTATGGTATCGCCAAAAAGACACAGCTTATCGACGTTAAAGTACTCGACGATAAGAGTGTGGGGCAGTGGTCTGATATCATCGCCGGTGTAGACTTCGTTGGCGGTGATAATACTGACTGCCCGAAAGGCAAGTTTGTCAACATGTCAATTGGAGGTGGGCCAAACAAGGGTCTCAACGATGCCAGTACCAAGCTGTCCAAATCTGGTGTATTTGTCGGCACTGCTGCTGGAAACGCCAACAAAGATGGCAAGAGTAGCTCTCCAGGCTCTGCTAGCGATGTGTGCAACGTTGGCGCCACTGACAAAAGCGACACCAAGGCCAGTTTCTCCAATTTTGGATCTACGCTATCCGTCTGGGCTCCAGGTGTTGAGATCCTCTCTGCAAAACCACAGGGTGGTAACGTAAGCATTTCTGCCAATTGTACTCGCCCAAAAATATGATCGCTGACATAGCTATAGCAACTAATGCAAGGCACTTCAATGGCTTGCCCTCACGTTGTCGGTTTGGCGGCATACTTGGCTGCAAAAGACGGAGGAAAGGGACAAGACCTCTGCAAGAAGATTGCTTCCATGGCTCATAAAGATCTAGTGAAGAACCCCTCTGGTTCTCCAAATCTACTCGCCTATAACGGCTTATAAAGAGTAGAGTTTGCATAATAGAATACATTTTTGACTATCTCTGGTTCTGGGTTTCTCACCAGGCGTTTCCATTGCTGTAATAAAAGGGCATGAGATATATAATGCGGCAATTCCTAATATTATTATTGTTATTATTATCAGACCGAGGGGTGTGCGCTAAGCTATGCCGACCTCGGTACCTATCTCCAAGAAAAGAGAGACCTTACCCAGGCCGATACGGTACCGGACCTGCAAAACCACACTATGCAGCAACATATTTTGTCTTTGCGTTTTGCCGTGTTCCAAGATGGTGTGCGTAAAGCCTCTCGGACCTTTGCCAACATGCTGCATTGCTCATGCAGATGGACCCAAGGCCAGACCTGCAGATCCAAGTACAGGTACCTGCTGGAAAACGAAACGGCCCGGTATGCTGTAGGTTGCCCCAACCAAAAAGAAATAGAGACATGGGCACATGCGGTTTAATTAATTTGCTCCTGCGGGATAATCGAGGCTGAGGTGCGGGGTGCATGACGAGGAAAACGAAGTGCAGTTGGACCCTTGGCCACTGTAATAACACACAGCACCATCACATGCTCCCATGATGCGTAAAGCAGCCGGTGAAGAAGTGGCATACTGATGATTTGTGCGTTTTGTACTGTGGATGGCGAGGGTTGAGAGGTGGTTTGGTGGGCAGATGCTAGTGCCAGCGTATACGGGTGGTCAGGTAATAAACCTCGTATGCAATACAATATGAAGAGAATGCCTAGCAATGACGATGGCGATGAGTTGAGAGAGGGATGCTGCCTGTAGACCTCCCCGCACTGCCGTTGGATACGGTGTTATTGGGCGGGCACCATTAATTCGTTCTGTTTTCACCCAGATGTTACCTATCTTGCTCGCAGCGGCTGTGGCGTGGATCGCTCGGATGATTTGCTTGGAATCTGATTGCATTGCGTAATGAGCCGCAGCGCAAATCAGGGTGGAAGGACGCTTGCCACCCAGAGGCTGGTAGTACCTATGCCGCTCACTATACCGGTATTGTGGAAGTCTATTCTAGACTATGCACCCGATGTACACCAGTAATGTAAGCGTGCAACAGCTGGACCCTGTATTTTAATAGCCACGGGGATTAGTCGAGACTGCAATTGCTGGAATCACTATGGATGTAAACCGAGGATAAGCGGGTATGGGGTATAGAAAAATATGTTCATTGAAGTATAGTAAACAGAATGCTACTCATATATCGTGCTTTGTCCTGTCCTTTCTAGGCGTCGTTGACAGGGGGACCAGCGTAGTTCCTGTGACCCCAAGCCCAGTACCAAGCGCCAGACGCGAGAGCAGCGGCAACAAAGACAGCGGGCGCGTAGTTAATGTAATCGGGAGGTGTGGGCACAGTTGTCGGCATGCAGAATAGAGGGATGGCGAGAAGAGTCCACGCTAGTCAATGTTAGTTCAGATGTCGCTGAATTCATCTTGGGGCAGACAGATACTTACCAATAGAAATGACGTTGCAGACCATACCAAACTTGCCTTGGTAGAATTTGCCTTGTTGAACTTGCTTTCGGCCGGTAAACAGGCTGATCGCAATGGGCACCGCATAGGCAGCTGTCAAGCAAATGACTCCAACACCCGAAAAGGCATTAAAAGCAGCAGCCGATCCAAAGTAAATGAGGCCAAGCAGGATCTGGACAACCATGCTGAGCATCATGGCGTTGAGAGGGACATCGAGCGACTTGTTGACCTTGACCCACCACTTGGCACCGGGAATAGCACCGTCGCGAGCAAAAGCCCATACACAGCGAGAGGAAGCAGTGACGCAGCCGACACCACAGAGGATGGCGAGAACCATTAGCGGGACACAAAGAGCAAAGGCACCGCCTTCATGACCAACAGCGTTCTTGATAATGACAGGAACGGGCTGAAGGTACTTATCGGCGTTGATAAGATCCATATCAGGGAGGACAAAGACGAGGGGGATAAGAAAGAGGAGACCGGCGAATGTGTTGATGAAAATGGTCGCCACCATGGCCTTGGGGACCTGGGTGGATGGTTCCTTGACCTCTTCACACATGCTACCAAAGATGTCAGCAACGAATTGACGGGGCATCCTAGGAATAATCGTAGGAGAGAACCAAGACTTACGAGATAATCATGCCAGTCGATGAGGTAGCATAACCGGCATGAAGGAGACCGACGCAGAAGGACCATCCGTTAGGCCAGCCAGAAGCGGTTTCAAAATGTCCAAAGACCCAACTGGCCTCGTGGCGTCCGTTTTTGGCAATGGCAAGAACAGTCACCACAATAGCAATAACACCACCAAAAGTCCAGAAGATAGCAGCCGTCTGTAGAGGAGTTAGCCATAGTTGTTTTCTTGAATCTCATCGAATTATCAAACATACGTCCAAGATGGGAAGCCATCTGTTGCCAAGGGAAGAGATCGCGTTTGTGAGCAGGGTGATGGCGAGGAAAATCAGGTAGCGCTGGTATATCTCTCCATCAAAGACACCATTGCCACTGGCATCTGTGAAGATGTTGATGCAGCCGATGAAGAAGAGCGTGGTACCAAAGTTGACGGCGAGGGTGATTGTGATGTTTCCGACCAGGTAGAGCCAGCCGCAGATCCAACTGGCAATTCGGCGCCATTTGGCGGGGGCAAGCATGAATGCCTGGTAATAGACACCTGCAAAAACTTTATGTTAGCAATTGAACATCGCAACGGGCAGGCAAGCGGCACATACCTCCAGCTGTAGGATACACGCTGGTAATCTCGCCGAGCGAGATAGCGACACAAACAATGATGACAGAAACGAGAACCCAACCCCAGATGATGTCAACGGGGCCGCCTCCAGCCAATGGGTAGGCAAGAGTGGTGGCAAGACCGTAGGGGATTGAGGCGAGGACAAAGGACATGAATGCGACTTGCGCCGTGGAGCGGTTGCGCGCCAGCTCGGGCTTGTAGCCTAGCGACTCGAGGAAGTGGTCGGCCGTGTCATCGTGGTCACGAGAGAAGGTTGGTTCAAGGGCGTTGTGGTCCTTGCTCGAGCTGTCTTGGCTGGAGTCGGCCTTGCCGCGATGTACGACACCGTCCGACATGGTGTCTTTGCAAAGTGCTGGGAGGTGTAGCCGTGTTGGTACGCAAAGAGAATCGACAGTCGACGCCAATTGCGAATGATGCTTGAAATTTGCGCTTCGAAGTTTAAATCTGTAGCACTCAGTACAGAATGAGCAGAATGCGAAGCGCACAAAGACGAAGCAGTTGGATTGCGCGAAACAGGGCGGGATCGAGATCAGATATCGATGGCGATCAAAGCTGGGCAGAATGCCACAGGAGAGGAGGAGTAATGAAGAGGGATACAGAAAAAGAGAATCAAGGCAAAAGGTTCCCAAAAGCGACGAGCACCAGAAGGTGAAGGGGAAAAAAGGGAAAAGGCAAACTAGCAGCTGGCAGATGTGGACAGGGAAACGAGGCGTTAATATTCGTAGCCCAAAAGGCTAAAGCGCAGGAAAGCGGATGGAAAAGTTGAATGTACTGTACTGCGACAGGGGGCCCGCCTGTGGTTCTGTGGGAAAGCCACTATTGGGCTGCAGAAAAAAGTGCGGAAAGCAGGCGCTGTGGTTGGCCCAGCGCGGGGTCACAGTGGGGCGGCGACAGCCTGAACTACGTCAGTACGGGGCAGCTCTCACCAGAAACGACGGTCCCGGCGCTGCATCTGCCAGGTGCTGTGGTAGGGAGCCCAGCGCCAAAACGGCCGGCCAGTCCGCAGCTGGCACAGGTGGCACAGGTGGTTTCGTACTCTCTGGCAGTGCCACCAGCTGGCCTATCCGTCCCCCCATAAGCGAGGCTGCCACCACTGGCCAACGGCTGCCCGGTCTGTCGCTCGCGTGCTCCGTCAAACTGTACACACGCGACGAATGCTGCTCAAACAATCCCAGCATTCATCCAAAGTTTGTCACAAAACATACGCCCAATGCCGAATGCCGGAAACATAAACCCAACTGCCCAACAATCGGAGGGCCAATTTTGCAAGCCATCTGCTCGACGCGAGCGCCGCAACCCTGGCAAATAGGAAGGTGGTCACAAGAGCAGCACCCGGCATGGTACTGTCGAAGCCGCTCCCGATATGCCATTGATAGACTTGTCTAGACGCCGCTTAATGCACACAACCTACATTGGGGGCGCTCATGCCTAAGTTGTATTGTGGCGCTGCGGCTGCTCTTTATTCTTCTGCCTCTTCCTGCAACTCTTGTTATCCGCGCTACAAATAGCGTTAACTCTATTCGGCGATGGTTCGGCGTCTTCTTAACTATCGTCAATGAACCCCCATCCCCGGATAGCAACTATCAACTGCCGTTCTCTACTGGTAAAGAGCGAAGTCGGAATAACTACCACGAAAAGAATGCAAAACGACACTCGTCAGTCGTGGCCCATCCACGGTGACTTATTTCATCCACCCTGTCAGCTCACCCCGTCCGTTTTGAGGCTTGGCAATGAATCGTGCACGTCTTACCTCGCTGTGGAGACAACGTTGGCTCTAATTTCCCAGGCTCGCAGCATTCGGTATCCATTATGGGGATCCCCTCTATTGCAACAAGTACGTCATGGAGAATCAATTTGGACGGCTCTAAATTGTGGAAATTGGTCGCAGAGTTTTTGACGGCGCCGCGTGGAGCAAAACGGCAGTATCTGCCGTCTTAAACTTGAGCCGGCCCTTTGGTTGGTGCTGCTGCTCCAGACACATGTGATTGTTGAATCTACAGCACCTGGTCAAGCACGGCGCGCGCGGCCAAACGCGGCGCATGGGGTTTCCAATAAAGTGCGACAAGAGTATTCTCTGTACCAAGTACATCCATTTGATCCACCCTGTAGACTGGTACGCTGCCTATATCCTAGAACTATGGTCTATATCTGATACCCTATCTGCTCTGGTAGTGCGAACTTGCTGCGCACAAGACACACGACGAGCTGTCCCAATGCCGATGAAAGAAAACGCCTAGTGCAATGCTTCATACATGCTTTGATAGTCCCAATCGGAGTCGCTAGCCTCGACCGCCGTTGTAGTCGGCACCTCCAGCCTTTCGGAGGCGCGTTACAAGCTCCTTTTCGTCCAATTCGCTCTTATCTCCAGCCGTGATGGCCACGCTGTGGTGTGACAGGACGCGCTTAACTTCGCCGCTCTCCACGCTGACTCTGGCTTTACGCATAACCTTTGTGTTCTCTCCAATCCACACAATCAATGCAAACTTGACGCGGGTGCTTTCTGCGTCGTTGGCGTACTCGATTCGAACATAGCCGTACTGGACTTGGGAGTCGTCCAATGCCTCCTTCATCTCTGCTAGACCACCTTTGCCTGTCGATGTGAGAGACAGCTGGTTGCCGGTAGCACCGGCGTACGAGATGAGGAGCCAGTTTAGTTCCTTCTTGTCGTTGCGAACATCGTCGTAGGCGGTCGCAATGTCCGCCGCGTCAAGGCCTGACATCTCAGGGATTCTGTGTTGCGAAAGATATGGGTTCGACAGTAAAGCAATTGGCGCAGTTGTAAATCAGAGTAATTCGAGAAAGAGCAAAACCTTTGTCGACTGGCTGATGTTGTAACTGTTCGTCACAAGCCCGCTCCTCAGCGAAGGACCCCGCGCTTTTGCCCCGCGAGACCGCCTTTTTACACCACGACCATGTGGCAGCCGCCGCCCTAGCGTAGCTATGTAAAACAAGTCTATATGAACCTGGATAATTTAAAACTGACCATAATAGCGATTTTTTCAATGTTTTTCTTTTTTATTTAACTGGTTTCAAGGCCATGGCAACAGCACCAGAACATTCAGTTGAGCCGGCAATGGGGGTACGGGTTAGGAAGCCTGGGAATAACGCCCATCAATGACTGGGAAACAACCCATTCGAGTAAATAAGTATATATACTTGATACGAGAAACTAAAATCTAGAAAATATCGGTTTTTAGATGTCATTAGTAGTGTTTATACCACAATTTCTGTCTCTCTTCAAGCCGAAACATCATCTTTGGCTTTTGACAATGCTTCAAGGAACCCAAACATATCTTCCGCACCGTCCACTGTGTACTTGTCGTTGATGATGATAGTGGGCACTCCGGTAATGTTCATAGCAATGCTCTTCTTAACCTCTTCATCCACTTCTGTGTCACCTTTTCCACTCTCCAGCCATTCTCGAGCCTCGTTTGCATCAATACCTGCCCGTTGGGCTGCACCCACCAAGTCATCGAAACTTGTAATGTCGCCACCGCCCTCAAAGTACATCTTCATGATTGCCACGACAAGTGCATCTGCTACTTCCCACCCTTTCGTCTTGCCAAGTGCCACCAGCCTGTGGGAGTCGCGTGTCGGGCCAATTTTCCCCGTGAAACTGAAATTGATGCCCTCAGCAGCACCGGCCCGGGCTAGCTTTTCCTGCTTGGCGCGGGCGCGCTCGGCGCCAAACTTTGCCTCCGTGATGGAAGATGCAGATGTTGAGCCAGAGCTGGGGATATAAGACGCTTGGGGCGAAGTTAGCTGTAGTAAATGTGCTTGCCAGTGGATGGATATAGGTGTGGTAGAGCCACCAGGGACCGTTTTGCGAAAGATTTCCAGGGCACGGTTGAGCCGGTTGCGCGCCAGCAAGCAGTGAGGGCAGACATTGTCAGAGATGATTGTAATTGTGATCATTGTTGTAGGCTGAATGACGGTGTATATCTCAAGTTCTGATATTATATCCGAGAAAAGAAATGGACAACAAACTGGGCTGTCGGGCACTTATACCCACGATGGCGGAGTTGTATAGGCGGAGTTTCTCTCTAGGCTGCCAAATTAATCTCCTGGTCTCATTTGTCGGATCGGATCGTAGGCATACCATATTTCTATTTATTTTTGCTGTTAAAGCCAATGAAAATATTATTCCTCATTAGGAGAAATTCGTTCCAATGGGTAGGAGGCATGCGCCGAGAGAAAGGCCCTAGAAAGGCCCTAGAAAACCTTTCTCACTCTTTCCCATCGTCGTCCTTTGCTACCCCATCGATCTTCCCAGAGATGTGGGACTAAATAACTCCAGCCCATCGGAGCCGATATGCCCCGAACGGTTTGCATCTCTTCAAGAGTCACTGGCTTGACCAATTCATATAATTCCAAGACCGGATATCCATATTTGGACTTTTCAGACCAGCATTGAAGTCCGAGTTGCCAATACCATGAGGTTCCTCAGGCACAGTCCCTGAAGCGCCCCTTATTGTCGATAGAATAGTAGCGATATGACTATTGAGGAAACCGCATTAGATTAATAAGCCCAAGAATAGACCCAAACGTACGTGATTGCTGCATGCCCTGGATCGCGACGTGTGCCACGCGTCTCGTAGAGCCACAGCCGTTCCACCCCATCTTTTAGTCGATAGGTTCTATACTCATGATTCTTTTTCCTTGTAACAATATTTTGTAGGTGTACCGGTTGTATCGCAATAAGAACATCTGAATGTATGCGTTCTGGCACTTTCGGTGTGGCGGTGCGCTTGCGCTCGGCCGTGGACGCATTATTTGATGAGGACTTGCTCTTTTTCTTGAATACAGTACGTCGCAGTATGGTTTGGTTCGGGGGAGGAGCTGCTCCTGTACTTCCAGACATTGTATTTGATTGTAATTCTATATATGTTGATTCTACTAGAACGTACGTGTCAATATTAGGCATAACAACGCTGGAAGAAACACGGCGGGTAGTTGTTGGTAGTAAACCGTGCCTTGGGCGCAGCAAGGCGGCTGCTACCCGAGAACTAACTTCCAAAACTTACAAGGTTAGGGCAAGCGAAGAATATAAATGCATAAAAATTTCCACGCGCTCCATTTCATATATTTATTTACTTTGAATAAAAAGGATTCCGATAATTTGCTGAATTGAGATGCACTCGCGCTTTTCCTGATTTAATGACCCGCGTCACCAGTGGATTCGTCGCCGTAAATTTCCAAGATGCTGTCCCCCAAATGCTTTTCCACTTCCACATCAGTAAGGTTTTTGGAAAGCTTCAAAAATTTACCAATAAGTTCTCGTGCCTCCGGCCCCTGTGCTAGTTTTCTGTACTCTGCTCCGTTCAAGGCGATCTCGTCCCATGTTGGCTTTGTGACCAGATTGATGGTTGATTTGATGCTTGCAATGCTCTCACTCGGGAACAGGGCAATTCTCGAGGTCAAGTTGTGAACATGACGGTATAGATCGCTCGAAGAGTGGAAAGCCTTGTTAATCCAGCCGAGCTTCTCAGCTTCGAAGGCGTCAACATCTTGTCCTGACAACGCGTACTCGAGCGCACGCGCCCGTCCCAGGATTCGTGCCATGTTTATAAAGCCGCCCCCAGCAGTGTTGATGCCAATCATGACCTCTGGGCTACCAAGTATGGCTTTGTTCGACGCGAATCTCATGTCACAGGCGACAATTAACTCGTTGGCAATACCCCGAGCAGGACCGTCAATGACTGCAATGGTAGCTTGACGAAGGCTGGTGATCTTGTACAGTATCTTTCCTGCAAAGTCCTTCATGGCAGGGTCTCCAGGAGGATAAAGATCCGCTACATACGCGGCGCTGTCAGTGACTTGTAACTCTAGTGTTTGAGGATGATTTACTTACTTTCCCGAGGAATAAAATCGTAGTGCGCCGAGAAAAATGTCGGGTTGCCACTTTGGAAGACAACAATCTTGGTTTCCGCGTCATCCTTCACCTCGTCCATCAGCGTCTCAATCTCTGCTAGGACGCGCTGCCCAATCAAGTTGACCTTGCTAGCTTTGTTGTTAATAGTAACAGTCAACACGCCTTTTGCGGAAGATGTTTCCAAAGTAGTAAAGTTGTGCATTGTGGCAATGGTGACGCCGATGAATGGCAGAAGAGAGGGCAATAGGTGAGATCTCATGAGGGCTTGGCGGAAATCTAGTAGACTCTGTTTGTTCAAGACATGTTGGGGATTCTAACTGTTCTTTTTATACTTTTACCAGATAATCTAGGTATGATATTAGTAGTGGAAAATTTCCACTGATTTCTCCATGGTATTTCCCCGTCGTGAGCTCCGGTCACAAATTATTCCATCTCACTTGCTGGGATGATTGTCAGAGTCTCGATCTAACTTAGGAGCGATGGCGGACATAAGTGGACCACCACGGGCATATGTGGGTTGGCGGGCAAATGTAGTTGATGTCGTGAGGTGTAAGCAAGTCTACATTAACCTTCCATCTACCGAAGCTTTTTATGTTTAATGCTTCTTTTTAAAGCCAAAATCGTGTCTGAAATAGATCCGAACTAATATGCAACAGTTGGGTTACCCGAATCACAGGTTCCTCGCGGTGAGGTCAATCCACTCGCTGAGTACCCAGTGGCCACTCCAAAATTCAAGCATAGTCCAAGGAAAAATTCGAAATGTATGCAGGTAATTGTATTGTGTAAGTAACTACTTGTGACCAACTAATTCTAGGTAATGTTCAACTACAGAAATAACCTGCTCCTCGCTAGTCTTGAACTTGATCCCGAGCTCTGAGCTAGCTTTTCCACTATCCACCTTGGTTATAGTGGGAGCTGGCTTTGCAATGGCGTTGGAGTTGAACAGTCCATCCGCGTGAGCCTTGGGATAGCGCTTCTTGATTAACTCCAATGATTCAGCCCAGTTTGTAACACCGAAATCCGGACCAGCGGCAAGAAAGTCCTGACCACCTGCGATTTTGGGGTCCAATGCAGCAAGATGCATTCGAGCGACATCGTCGACGTGCACCGTAGCGTTGTGTTGAGGGTACTCCTCAACCAGGCCTAACAGAGGCCGCATAAGCAGTCCGTTAGTGCCTTTGCCGATATTCTTGGCATCGGTCACTGTCTCATCACGCCCGATGACAAAGGTTGGTAAAATATTAATTACATCAAAGGCGGGCTTGTTGTCGGCAATGAAGGTGTTCGTCGCTTGGTGTGACAGTGCTTTTGATGAAGTGTAGGCTACCATTTGGTTGGCAAAAGGGGCTGTTGGGATCACAGTAGTAGTGTGTTCTAATAAAGTATTAGCATGTTTTATTGCTGGATCAAATAAACGCAGTCCAGCATTCTCACCGTTGATGGGCTCTGTTGGGTCTGGGCGTGGGCCACTGGCAATGGATGCAACACTGGCTGTGATGACTATTCTCTTCACAGTTGATGACTTTAGAGAAGACTGTAAGATGCCAAGAGTGCCCTGGATAGCTGGTTGAATGATTGTACTTTCATAGTCGTCTCCGGCAGTGTTGCCAGCCAGAGGAGACGCGACATGTATGATGTACTTTGCTCCTTGAACAGCTTCATCATATGCGCCGGGAATGGTGATATCAGGGACAATGATACTGCTGAGCTGTGAAAGATACGGCTGGACTGATGGGAGCGACGAAATCTTCGCAAAGCTGTCCTCGTTTCGTACCGCAGCGCGGACTTGGTAGCCAGCTTCAAGAACGTCAACAAGCGTTCTAAAGCCAATCATACCGGAAGCACCGGTTATCTGGGAATATCACATTAGTATATTTATCCGATGCAGTTGGTCTCAGAAATAAACGAACCAAAATCAAATCGTTACCCATAATGAAGATTTGGCTGGGGTTTATTGCAGTAGATGGATGGTAGGATTGTGTGAGGCTCTGCTGTGGTATTCATGGGAGGTTTGCAGCAAGGCACTGGGTGTTGTTGACCGTTTTAAATAGACACTTGCTCACAGTATTAGGCATACATATAGTATGCAAAACATCGTGGAAATTGCGTTATATCTTACAAATCAATAATTTCTTCAAGTTTCCTCAGACATTTCTAATCATTGCCAGATCCCTCCGTCGGCCGGCGTTTCCAGACTTCCTATAAGCGTCGGACAATTGTGGGGCATTCAAAAGTCCGTAATGCCGCCGGTACCGACACAACCTGTGATCTTGCCGTTGACATTACTAACGCTCAACAACTATGATCTCTGAATCCGAATCTGATTCCATAGTATCGCCGTATTCGTGTGTACAATGCCGCGTGTCCAAGAAGAAATGTGATCGCATTGAGCCCGCGTGTACGGGATGCGCAAGGTAAGCACAGGGCGGTTCTGGCGGGCAAAGCTTACTTCGCGGGCTAATCAATTGGACAGAAAGAATCTCCAGTGCTCTTATCCTCGGCGTCGAAAGCAACGGAGGCCAAATGAAACGACAATTGCAACATATGCAACACCGTCCAACAATGGATTGGATCCGGAGTCAAGGATGGCCGTGCAAGTTCTGCATCCAGTCTTACAGCCCACAGTCACCACCGCGGCTGATCAGTTGCTAGCAGAGCGCTTCATGGATCCTGGGCTTTTCAATTTTGTGCAATTGAAGCTCCCCAAGCTGGATTTAAAGCATCTTATTAGCGAACAAGTGCGGGCGCTTGTCGGGGGTGTGACCGGCATCCAGGCCATATCCACGTCCTTTTTCCAAACAGTCCACTCGTGGATGCCAATTGTCTGCAAACACGACTTTGCACGCTTTTTAATCAAACGAATAACAGAAAAAGAAGCAGAATTATTCCTCCTAGTACTATCTATGAAGTTGTCTGGATCCGTTGTATCGGACGCCAGGACGGAGTTCTACAGAACGCTGAAGCAATACAGTGCTCGCGTTGAACAGTCAGGCGTCATGTCTGTCATGGTGCTTCAAGCAACAGTCCTGATTGCATTATATGAAATGGGACATGCCATTTACCCAGACGCATATTTTTCGGTTTCGCAGTGTGCAAGGTACGGTGCCGCGCTTGGTATTGACAAGACGATAGCATCTCGAGGCACAGATGTCGGAAAATGGCATAATCTCGAAGAGGCTCGGCGCGTTTGGTGGGCTGTTATTGTTCTGGACAGGTAAATGAGTGTCCATTTACCATTAACTGCAGTCCGTTATTCAGCTAACAATTCTAGATTTATGAATCTGAGTGATCCATCACGACAGCTCGTTACGACCGATCCAGACTCCACCAGCTTTCTGCCTATTGACGATGCAGAGTGGGATTCAGGAGTAAGGCATACCGACTAGAAGATCATTCTAGAAATAACTAACCTGCGTTTTGTCAGAACCATGACCCAGAAACTGTCTTTACGCTTGGATCTGCCATCAGTATGCAGCTTGGTCGATTCGCACGCTTCGCTCAAGCAGCCCATCTTCTTAGCCAGGTCTTGCAGCAGGCTGCAGACAATTCAAGCGACACGCGACAAATCAAGAAAACAATTTTCTCTCTGGTTACCATTTGCCGAATAGAGTCCGAAATGCGACAATTAGAGCTTTGCACGCAAATGGCACTCTGCTACAGGTGGGTGTGCCGCATTCGAACCTCACGGTTACCTTGACTGACACATAGCAGCGGCATTCTTGTTCTTGATGACCCAACATTTACACTTTATGAGACTGATCAGGTTTGTAATGAGGGCCTCTCAAGCGAGGCTACGTTGATACTACAAAGCGCCTTGAAGATGACACTGGCGTTCGCCGACAACGTGTTTACAAAATCGTGTTGTCTCATCTCGCCCTTTTTGCCGTTTCTCATATACCGGGTGGCTTTAATGTGTCTTAAATCAAATGTCAATGATCAAATGGCATCGCCTAGAGATCGACCAAACGGCGAGAAAATGAAGCTAGCACTACAATATCTACGCCATCGTTGGCTGGCTGCTGGTACGTTTGTCGTAAGGGTATGTAAGGACGTTGAACTAATTTGTATGCAGATATATATTTGTCGCTAGTCAATCGTTTTGAGACGCTACAGATCATTCAAACCTAGTACTTTATTTAATGCATACATGTATCTCTAATTCGTTGTCTTATAAGTCTGTCTCCCCTTGTATAATGTCGGAGGCGCGGGGAATTGCACAAACGTTTGTTCTGTACTCAGCCACCGATCCTGTGATTATTGCGTCTTTGTCTCTATTATTATTCTTTATGCGAATATATGTTTTTCGTATGTTTATTTATTTTGATCATAACGGGAATCGCAATGTCGAATGTCGCGGAAATTAGCCGGGCTGCAGGAGGCACACAGCCGGCCAAACAAAGCGTGCACGGCATGTCACGGAGATACTTCGCCGGCTTAGTGCTACCCACTTTGCCCAAAGTCAATAGGTGATGTCCCAAACTGGATGTACAGAACCTTGCAACTGGTTGCTTTTGGATTGCCAAATCGAGCAACCACAGCCTTGCGTGACTGTAAATCCCCGACGCGTCGCGGCTACTCTGCGGCAAAGGCGCTGGGCTTTTAAAGGAGTCTTTTTGCACATCATGGTGTCACCGTTTGCTATAGTATCTCTCGTTTAAAGTTACCATCTCGTTTACTTTATTGCGTCGCTGTACATATATATTGTGTTTGTTTTAACCATTGCAATGGAGAAAACTACGACCGACAGTGTGGATAACAATAAGGAGTATCGCAAAGGCCAAAAACTGATTCTGATATCGGTTGCCATTTGCTGCACCATATTTCTGATCTCTCTCGAGTATGTTGATCTTTACCTTGACGCCATTGGGCTCTCAATGGTTGTGGTCGCTGCTAACCTGGCTCAGTTTCTCAATCATTGCCACCGCCATCCCTGCCATTACCAGCGAATTCTCTAGTTTGAATGACGTGGGATGGTATGGAAGTGGTCAGCATCATCTTCCTTTAAATAATGCCCTTCAAACTAACTGTGCTTATAGCGTATCTTCTGACGACGGTGTCCTCACAGCTGCTCGTTGGGAAGTTTTACACAATCTTCAGCATCAAATGGGTTTTCCTGATCTCACTACTCATATTTTGCATTGGAAGTGCCATCTGTGGCGCCGCGCCAAATTCGGTTGCCCTTATACTTGGCCGTGCCATTGCGGGATGCGGCAACGCGGGCTTGCTGTCAGGAGCATTGCTCATCATGGCCCATAGCGTGCCCTTGGCACTCCGTCCTTTGTTCACGTCTGTCAATTATTAACGCTGACTTGAACCGTTTTGCTAACCGTCATTACAGCGCTATTACTGGAGGTCTATATGGCGTGGCCGCCATTGCTGGCCCTCCTTTGGGTGGTGTCTTTACAGATAGGATTGTAAGCCAACAGCTATTCGCTCGACACTTGTTCTTCACAGTCTAACATTTTGTCTAGTCATGGAGGTGGTGTTTTTACATAAACTTACCTATTGGGGCCATCGTTTTCCTAGTCGTCGCCAGCGTCTTCCGATCACCTCCTACACCTCATCGTCCCAAACCAACATCGTCGTGGGACCGCATAAAACCCTTTGATCCGGTCGGTACTATCCTCTTTATGCCGGCGATTGTTTGTTTGCTCCTTGCTCTTCAATGGGGTGGCTCTACGTATCCTTGGGAAGATGCCAGAGTAATTTCTCTCTTCGTGCTGTCTGGAGTTCTCATCATAATCTTTCTCCGTGTGCAGTGCTTGATGGGCAATGACGCCACAGTTCCTCCGCGCATTATAAAACTTCGCACCATATGGTCCTGTGCACTCTACCAGTTCAGCCTCGGTGCCTGCTTCTTCATATTCATCTATTATATCCCCATCTGGTTCCAAGCGGTGCAGGGTGTGAGCGCCATTGAGTCTGGCAAGCGCACGCTGCCCATGCTAATTGGAAATATGGTCGGAACAACGATGGCAGGTGTAGCAGTGACTATTCTCGGCTACTATGCACCATTCATGATTATCGCCACTATTCTGACATCAATTGGCGGTGGGTTGCTAACACACTTTCATCCTACAATATCCTCTGCCTCGTGGATTGGGTACCAGGCACTCGTTGGCTTCGGAATCGGTGTCGGCTGGCAACAGCCCATTGTTGCAGTACAAGCCGCTGTTAGTATCGATGATGTGCCTATTACCACGGCTGTCTTATCCTTTACGCAGACCATCGGCGGCTCACTCTTCGTCAGCATTGCACAAACGGCCTTTTCCAATGCACTTGTACGGGACTTTCATACCAGATTGCCTGATTTGGATCCTGCTTCTATTTTAGACTACGGAGCCACATATTTGGCACGTCATGTCCCTGGCCAGTACCTGAGTTCGGTGATAGAAATGTACTCAGACGCTCTTGTGCATTGTTTCATCGTCGCGACGGCCATGGCAGCACTATCCATTACTGGCGGATGTTTCGTTGAGTGGAAGGACATCAACGGAAAAAAGGAAACTACAGCATAGAAAAATGTGTAATTTCTTTGCAATTTGTTATCTGTGTGTCTACTTCTAGGGTCACTGGGTAGTTCTACCTGCAACAGCTACGACTGTGAGGGTCGGGGGACCACGGCCAGTGCTCACTCTTCTCGGACTTCTCATTTTTTTGATAGCTTTTACAAAATATCCAAGACCGCCACCAGTCTCATGAGTTGAATATTACATACCACAAGAACTGTTCTGGATTCACAGCTTGCATGTGCCGGTGGTTCTCGCCACTGGATTGCATGGATTGTCAGCTAGCAACAATTAGAGTGTGGTAGGATTGCTTACAGTAGCTTAACCACCACCCCCTGCCGCTTACAAACCTGTGCACGGACAAAAAGCGATCCCCAACGTGTGAGGTGTACATCAGGTGGGGTTTCCATCATTATTAGCCTCTGTTATTCTTTTAGGTGGTATCCATGCAGTGCTAGGCTAGTTTGCATGGCTACAGGACCAGAGACAAACGTGGTCGGTGGGTGCTTATGCGGCTTAGGAAGGGTCTACTTTACTGCTCTTTCAATATCCTGTCTTCCAGTTTATTCTCCTGTTCATACTATTCTTATCCTTTCTTCTTTGTTTTGTTGTACTATAAAGCTGTCATCCCGTTTGGCCTCGAAGCTTGGCCTAGTACAATTACCATGGCTAGCAAACTTGACCTTAACAGCGCTAGTGTCGAGAAGCTCGCTGGGACTCAGTCCCAGTCGGACAGCGACGATGCGAAACCTGAAATTGATCCAGCAGCCGAGCGTAAGCTTCTTTTGAAGCTTGACTTGATCATCTACCCAGTCTTTATTGTCATGTATATGATGTCATTTCTGGATCGAATCAGTATCAGCAATGCGCGCATTCAAGGCATGGTGCCCGACCTTGACCTTGTCGGAAACCGCTTCAACATTGCTCTGTTTGTATGTACTTGGGCTTACCAGTGGTATTGAATATGTGTTAACCGGCGTATAGGTATTTTACGTTTCATATGTTCTTCTTGAAGTTCCTTCCAACATTATCATCAAGCGAGTTCGACCATCCTTATACCTTTCCGGCATGACCTTCCTTTGGGGTATTACGAGCATGTGCATGGGGTTCGTTCACAATTACCAGGCCCTTGTTGGATTGCGCTTTTTGCTGGGAGTGTTTGAAGCAGGTGTCCTGCCTGGCATTGTGTATGTCACATCAATGTACTACAAGCGACACGAGCTGCAGAGGCGTTTATCAATTTTGATGTTGAGTACGGTCTTGGCTGGCGCATTCGGCGGCCTACTGGCCTATCTTATTACAACAAGACTTGGTGGTCGCTACGGAATCGCAGGCTGGCGATGGATTTTCATTGTCGAAGGAGCAATGACGGCCGGATTCGGCCTTGTCGCAGCGTTCCTTGTCATCGACTGGCCGGAGCAGACGAGATATCTCAATGACGCCGAAAAGGAGCTCTTGCGCCGTCGCTTAGCCACAGACGGTGGTGATGTATGCCGAATGGACACTCTAGACAAGCCGGCCATACGACGCATAGTCAAAGACTACAAGATTTGGCTGGGCGGCTTCATTTACATGGGCATTACGGTTGCTGGCCTCTCGGCCGCGTTTTTCCTCCCACTTATCATCAAGGAGTTTCAGTACACAGCCGAAGAATCCCAGCTCCGCACTATTCCTGTGTACGTGGTTTCTGCTGGCACAATGCTCATTGCAGGCTGGGCATCGGACAAGCTCAAACACCGCTTCGGCTTCATCGTGCTGGGCACCGTCATCAGCACTGTTGGCTACGCTATGCTGTTGGCTCAAGATGGCCACTCGCGCGAGTACAAGTTCTCGGCGGTGTTTCTCATCCTAGGTGGCACGTCAATGAACACACCAATGGCACTGACATGGCTACAAAACAACCTCTCTGGCCATTGGAAGCGGTCTGTTGGAGCCTCTGGGCAAGTCGCGCTCGGCAACCTGGGCGGCATCATTGCAAGCAACATCTTCCTCGACTCTGAGCGGCCGCACTTTCAGACCGGTTACGGTGTGTGTCTGGCGCTCATCTGGCTTAGCGTTGTTCTAGGCCTCATTATGGAAGTGGCCATGGCGCAGGAGAATCGCAAACGCGATGCAGGCGGCAGGGATGACCGCTTGGATTTGCCCAAAGACCAAGTAGAGAACTTGGGCGACGATCATCCCAGTTTCAGATTTACCTTGTAATAATGCGAACACGAATATGATGCTTCTTACCATTGCATTTGCATTTGCACAGACGTGGTGATCCAACAGTACTATACACCCAGCCCATAAATGTCCTCAGAAGTGAAGCAATAGCACACTTGACCTTCTCTTCTCGTACTGTGACATATCAGATGTTTGGTGGATATTTCTGCGGCCGGCGCACATGAAGCGGACGCCACGGGTGAGAATTTAGGGCCGCGTCTGTGCGTTTTCCGTGCATCGCAACCACAGTAGAAACAGGACCCCTTGTACACACTGTTCTATCGTTGCATTAGGCTCCTCTTTTTCTCCAACCAATCCTCCGCATTTAGAGATACCATGTGGCACCAAATAGGCGAAGAAAAGCATGGGTGAAACCAAGAAGCTGGACAGCGATCCAACAGTACAAGTCCACTCTCCTCACGAGATTATCTACAGTACGCATTCCTTAGACCCCCCGCCACACATCGGTCGTAAGCAAGCCATTCGGCCGCCCAATCCACCCACGGTGCGCCACTGCAGTTGCGACGCTACACCCACACCCCCTAGCCATAGCTCGTACAGTGCTGTACCTCGACCCTGATGCACAGGCCATTACTGTACCGTTTTAGTGCTCTGCTTACACCTTGTGTATCGGTGTGTTGGCCCTCGGGATGCTCATGCGATCAGGTCGCCCACTCGAGTTGCTACTCTTGCCATTAGATCATTGAGCCGCGTGTCTATCCCCTCTTTGTTTATAGTGCTAGCAAGCGAATCGATTAAAGAGGCTGTGTTCTACTTCCAGGAAGTAACTAGCCTTACAACCGAGCCGCGGATCCGCTTCCCCTTCCCTTCCCCAAACCCTTTTGAAACAAACGGTCTTGACTTGAGTATTTGTTCATAGAAGAACAATTATTATCTTATCCGTTTCTCCAATACAATCAAAATGGGTTCCCAACCAGATAGCTATGTCCTACAGAGGAATACTAGTGCAACGACTAGACTCAACTACCAGTACTATCTCTGGCAGGACACCTTCCGCTTCCACCTGCACCCTGATATTCCCCAACTAGCCCCAGATGCTCGCATTGCAGAAGTGGCTACTGGCAGTGGGTAAGTAAAGATGTCTAGTCTTGGGTTGGTTACATGACAATATGGTGTACTGACTCTGATTAGAATCTGGCTATTCGATACGGCCAGAGAAGTCCCGTCCAACATCTCCCTGACTGGTCTCGACATCAGCCTCGACCAGATCCCTGGACCCCGTGGATCGCAAATGCCAAACATGAGCTTCCAACAGTGGAGCTTCTTTGATGCTCCCCCAGAAGACCTGGTCGGAAAGTTCGATGTGGTGCATATGCGCCTTGTTGCCGTCGTGGTCATGGATCAGGACCCTGAGAAAATCTTGAAGAACGTTAAGTTGTTGTTGAGTAAGCTGTCGCTACACTTACTTCTACGTGAATATTTGCTAATCACTTATGAATAGAACCTGGCGGCTATATCCAATGGGAGGAACACTACACCCCTGATGCGCAAGTCCTCACTGCCGCTGGTGTGGTTACTACAGAGTTCCCTGGCTTGACTGGCATGAGAGATTTGCTTGCCCGGCCCCTCAATGCTACTGATGGAAGGTAAGTAGCTCTCGTGAATTATATTTGTGTGTTTTAATTCTCATGATTGTAGCAAACTCCTCGGATGCAGGGACTGGCTTCTAACTCTTGACTCCACCATGGAGAAGGAGGGATTTGAGAACGTCCGCAAAATCATCTATCAAGACTCTGCCCATATGGGCACGTTTTACACTGATATGTAAGCCTGCACCCGCGTAAATCTTTTGGAAACATTCGATATTGACACAATATAGGTATGCAACTACAGCGGAAGAATTTGCCGAGCTCATGCTTAAGCGAGACCCTGCTTTGGCGAAGCAACTGACAGAAATGATTTCCAAGTTGCACGAAGAAAAGTTGACAGGCGCATGGGTATCTAATCCCAAAGCGGTCTTCCTTGGCCAGCGCAGCCTACAGCAATAGCTTAGTGAGATAGATTTAATGATAATGTTGAGTGTTTATGACATTCTAGCTTCTTTGCCGAGTCCAACCCAGTGAATGTTTACAATTATGACGAAGAGGCATTCATATACTCAGACTTTTTATTATCGTATATACCATGTATATGATCGTAGACGAGTGAATCAAAAAACCAACTATGCAAGAGATGTGCTTAGCATGCTGAAATTAATACAAATCCAAGACAACAGTCAAAGAGCACTATGCCACAATTTCCACAATAGGACCGTTGTACTGCTTCTTGCCCCAAACGAAGTAGTACACAACGCTGTACAAGACGGTGCCACCAAAGACCAAGCTGCTATAGTTCATGGTGGCAGCAGTCACGGGTAGAGCGGGTGGGAAGAATCCAAACAGCCAAATGACAATGAGGTATGCGCACGCAACAATGTTGTTGACGATGCCCAGCCAGCCGGACACGTGCCACGGACCCCATGTCAACTCATACTCGCCTGTCTCGGCGTTCAACATTGCCGGCGACGGGGGAGATCCTGCACCAGGCATGCGGATAGCGCCAGTGATACGGCGATACAGGAGCAGACTAATGGACATGAAGTATGTGCTGTAGAAGCCAACAAGCGCGAGCGAGGTGACATCATTGAAGACAGTGGTAGAGCCAATGTTGATGAGCGCAAGCAAGCAAGGGATGATACTGGCAACGATGACAGCAGCAATTGGGATTGTAGAACGAGAGCCAAGCTTTATGGTGCAATGTTAGTACAGCAATCTTTTTGCATATTTAAATGTATAGCAATGCAAAGTACTGACCTTGCTTAGAGTACCGGAAAAGGGCAAACCTTTATCACGAGCAAAAGACCAAATCATACGAGACGCGGTAGCCAGGAATCCAATGGTGGTGCTGAAAGCAAGAGCAACCAGGATAGCAGACATGCCAGTGCTACCACCAACGGAGCCAGTGGCTTGCATGAAGATCTCGATGAAGGGAAAACCAATGGTGGCTTGGGCGGCAAGCGCATCACTAGGGTTGCCCATACAAAAAATGACAGCGATGAGCATGCCGAAACCAAGGGAGCCGTTGATGATGATGCTGCAAACGATGGAACGGGGAACATCCACCGCAGCATTGGCAATCTCTTCCGACATCTGCAAACGTTAGTATCCAATACACCGCTCGTAGATCATCGTGATACGTACATGAACGGCGGCGTCAGCACCGACAAAGGAAAATGCGGCGCCGAGTGTGCCGACCATAAAGGACAGACCATATGTTGGCCACTGGCCCTCGTTAAGATAGGTGCTGAATAACTCCGAAGCCGTTCCCTTGGGGCTGTAATAGACCAATGGGATGAGGACGGCAAAGAAACCCAAAATGTGGAGGATGAGGAAGGCACCTTCGACCTTGGGGAGAATACCACCGATGACAGTGTTGAAGAAGACACAGACAAGAACAACGGCAAAGGTTATGAGAGTGACCTGGTATGGGGCGGCGGTGTTGGCATAGTCGGGCCAGTTGATTAGGCACAGCGCTTGAATCATGGATGCGGACAAGAATGCACCGGTAGCGATGGTACCAAGCCAAGCAAGGATCGTCATCCAACCTGACGCAAATCAGGTCAGTCAAAATTCAGCATGTGAAGCTACTACGTCACGTACCTGTCAAATAGCTAACAAAGTTGCGAATAGATCTCGGCGCAAGCATGCAGACCCAATGGTATTGCCCTCCGGCTGTTGGTGCCCTGGGAACTGGTTAGTAGAAGCCTATGTTTAGCAACGGGAGAACATACATGGACGCAAGCTCACCAATGGAGACAAATGTACAAAAGGTGCCTCCCCAACAAAGCAGGAATTGGTAGACTAGGCCAGCCGGACCACCACTGTCAACATGTTAGAATGGCTTGTATCTGTCGCATATGACATGGCATCTCACTTTGTAAAGCCAGTGGCAAAGAGACTAGTAGTTGTTAGTTAGGTGGTAGTTAAGCTTGGATTTGGGACAGTACATACATGAGAACGCCTTCCCACGTGGCGAGAATCGTGCAGCTGAAGCTCAACATGGACAAGAAGCCAAAGTTTCTCTGGCAAAAGAGTTTAGTATCACACGACGACTGGCAGGACCAGGTGTCAAAAGCCTACCTTGAGAACTTGCTTTTTACCCATCCGGGCGAGGATTGTAGCGTCGATATTCTCTTGCGACCCAAGAGTGCCGCCATTGTGGCCGACTTTCGACTCGGCGAAGTCGACGTTGCGCATCTCGATATCCATGGCGCTGCTTGGTGCGACACGATAGTCGCTAGTGTTTGAAAATCTGTATCGTCTCTTCGTAAATAGCAAAAGAAAAAAGAAAAGAGGCTCAAGCCACAGATGAACTAAAAGAAAAAAAAATAGAGATGAAGATGGAAAGCGTGGCAGATGGGGATTTGGGGGCGTGAGATAAACAAAAGGTGGTAGCTTGATGCAGGAGAAGCGAGCCACCACGTGGCGATGGGGAATTATAAACGGACAGACGGACGGGCAGGAGACAGTCAAAGGGTCCAAGAACGGCAATGTAACAGAAGAGCTGGCGGAAGATGGAGAAGAACGGTTAGATGGCAGGGCAAATCAGAGCACAGGGCATGGAACGGCTGTGAGACTGTCCGGGTTAATTCCTGCAGTCAGCCGCAGGCCTTTGACAGAAGTATTGGCGCCAGGGGCAGAAACCAGTGAGAACTGAAACGATGGACCCAGCTATGGAATGCTGTGGTAAAAGAAATGCGTCTTGGCTGATGGGTGGTGTGGATTAAACGACGGCTGTCTGCGCAAGCTAGCTTTGGTCTAATGAGTGAGAGTTGTCGAGAGATTGCGGCGAGGCCGAGGGGAAGAGGAGACGAAGAAGGACCACTAGCGAACTTGTTTGGACCACGTTAGCGTGGGATTGGCTGTTTGCTTTCGCGAAAGCTAATTTCGGAATAGTAGAGGATTTGGGGAGAAATGGGCGGGGTAGTCTGCAGGGGGTGGGTGGTTGAATGTGTGTCTGCAACTAATTCTGGAGGTTGGAGCGAGAGAAAGAGAGAGTAACCTGATACTGGTGTCCGAAGGGGGGGCCTGTCTGTTTTGGCCGGCGTCATGCTATTGCGGCCGTCGAATTATTGGATAATTTTGTTTTTGAGGTGGTGGCGGACGGATGCGATGCCGTTTGGCCAAACTGGAAGCTGAAGAAACCAAAGACCAGGCCAAACAGTGAACAGCCACCTGCAAGCCACAGTCCACAGTGCGCATTGGGAGACAGCGGCTATATCCACAGGGGTGGCTATAGCGGCGTCTTACCGCCGACCGGGCCCGCCGTCAGCACCCAAGGTGGAGAGATTTGCGCCGATCAGCCTCTTGTCCAGCGGGTGCAAGATCAGGTGGCGTTTTTTCTGATAACGGAGCAGAAAGGGAATGAATTACTTGTTTGAGGCACTTTGCCTGCCACTGCCAGGGTTGTATTACATTATGTGCTGCCACCCAATTTGTTTTGGCGATAGGTCCATGCCAGAGACCAATATTCTTTGCATATTACGCAGGGGTTGCCCTAGAAGCGCAAGCGAGCAATGGAAACCTGGGGCACGACGCAAAGGATAACGTCCTGGGGAAGCCCATACGACCCGCACTATGGAGTCGTATCGTGCGAACCTGCAGCGGCCCTAGGGGACTCGCATCCACTGTAACCCGCCGCTTACCCCCACTGCGGCTTCGTCGTAGCGGACAAGCGCTCTTACCATGTTTCGGGGTAAATCGCCCCGTGCGATAGTAATAGTGCCGCAGCAGCTCCAAAAGCCACCGGTCTTGATGGACACTGCTCTTGCTGACGCGCAGTTCTTTTAGTGGGTGCCTAGAAGATGTCGTCCCTGGGTTTTAGGACTACTGAGGCGCCCAAGTACCTTCCAAGTACCGTTTTGTGACACTGGTATACAGATGTTAGTGCTGTAGTGGCGCCATGAAGGCGAAGCCAACGGGACGTCCACGCTGCCCGCTTACACGGTGCCGTTCTGGAAGAGCATCCGACTAACGGAGGAGGAGGCCATTACTCTTCCATGCCAAAACACAAACAACATTGTTTCTATTTTCATTTCAAACTACAGCCATATCCAAGGACGCGTAGCTTGAAAGATGTCGAAATCTAAAGAGCAATATGCCCCTCTGATGGCCCATGACGACGACGATTACTCCTCGTCGGCCTCTACAATTGAAGCTGCTGATCCAGCTTTACTAAAGTCAAGACCAGTCGCACCAGCTATCAACAAGATTCTTGCAGCTACGTGTGTCATCCTTTTGACTCTCCTCGGCTTCCAATCTCTATATGTCTGGCGCGAACATGCCAAATACAAGAAGCTACAATACTTTGACACAAACTATCACAATCTCTCCATTGCGGGCATTGTGCACCGCGTCGCCAACGCCAAGTCTGACTTCAACTCACCAAATGAAACTATCGCTGCCGCAGCTTGGGATAGTATACAATCCGGTCATGGCGATGTAATCGTCGACCCAGAATGGGCGGCGAAGCAAGGGCTGCCTCCCAGTTTCGAGCATCCTTTTATTCCTGGCAAGAGCGTCTACATTCTCGAAGCCTACCACATGATTCACTGCCTGGTAAGAACCCACCGCCAATTACTACCATTAATTTTGCATTATTATTTTTCTAATGCCAGGTTTACAGAAAGTGCTTCGAAATCATTACATGGCCCTTCATACTCCCACAGCGCAGTCTCCCAAGAAGGAAGCCTGGGAGCTCGAGCACGACGTGCATTGCTTCGACACACTGCGACAGCATGTCATGTGCCACGCTGACTACAACCTGATGCACTCTGAAGGCCACAACGACGTCGGTGTTCACCAACCTAGAATGTGTCGTGATTGGGATGCTCTTCGGGATTGGGCGACAGAAAACAGCGCTCACTGGCGAGATCACATTAACCCCCGCCCAGAGGGTGAGTTGTGGTGGAACTACGACGACAAGGGTAGCGATGGTCTGCCGGTCGCCAGCCTTGGGGGATAAGGCTGCTCGGACAATTTCCTAACTTGGAAAACAATGATTTAACGACATCTTTACGTTTATATGTGCCAAATATCACTTGCAGTGTTAAAATTTAAATGAACAAAATAGTAGAAATTTTTTCATGGTACATGTCTCATCTGCTTCGTTTCATATCTGGGAAGAACCAGTAGACCATCACTGCATGTGCGTTCTAGCGCCCTCAATTTCCTCGTCATAGTCATCACCGAACCAGGTGTCAGGCTTTCCAAAGTGCTCTCTCACAACTGGCCAATATGGGCTGTCCTTGGGACAGAACTGGAAGCGCTTGAACTGGTTGATGAAGTCGGCCTTGTGGCTGATGTAGTTGTAGCACGATGTCCGTTCCTTGGCCCATACCTCGAGCTTCTTCCAGTCGCGGCATTTGCGCACCTGTCCAACAGCACTCTCGGGTGATTTGGTAATAGTTGTGTATCGTGGGGTATCGTCGGCCTGGCAGATGATGTCGCTGCGAAGAGCGTCCAGACAATGCGTGATGTGCATTGTGGAAAGAGATTGCTTCATGCCAGCGTCATATTCGCGGATAGACCGATGAATATTTTTCTATCGCCTGTCAGTAATTCCTATCTTTGTCATACGCTGTAGTTTTACTTGTCTGACATACCAAACAGTGTAGTGCATGGTACCCATTGAGCACGTACAGACCCTGGTCGTGATCCCAAGGGAATGGTTGTGCTTGGGGCAATTCCTTCTCCTCTGCCCACTCATTTGGCAGTGCCACCATGCCCACGTCGAAATCAATTGCCTCCCATAGTTTTCCAGCTTCGGTCAAATTAGGGTTGGCATATTCGGACGCCCATTCGAACGTCACATCCATGTCCATTGGTAGACCAGCTATAGAAAGGTAAGTAGATGAGCAGTGAAAAAGACGTGGCACGAAGGATAGACGTACCATATAAAGAATGACCATCTTTGATCTCACGGTGTTTTACCGTAAACAAAAACACATTGGTTAAGAGAGACAATGACAAAAGGGCAACCAATGCTCTGAAGTATCGTTCAGCAAACGATGCTTTGCGCGGCAAATGCAAATCACTACCGTCGCCTTGCTCGAGCAAAGGTTCCGAATAGATTCCTTTAAAGTCTGTTTCACCCATTGTTATGCTCTTTCCCGAGATTGGTTGTCTTTGGCTTGGTGAATGTTGTAATTGAGGTTGGAAACTACAAGAGGTGAAAGAGGAGAGCCAAAGCCACTACTACGCAAAGCCCTATCCAGCGTCAACAGACAGTCATGAGATGGCTTCTAGGTCGGTAAGCCGCCGATGGACGGCATAATCTAGACTTGGCCACGCCACACCAGTATGTAAAGATGATCATATATCCACACGGTAGGTACACTGGCAGTACATGATCAACACAGTCGGTGACGGACGATGTCTGGCGCTACAGAATGGCCTGGCGGTGCACATGTCCCAACACCATGGTTGAGGCTTGCCACTAGTTGGAATCCACCGCGTAGGGCCCAACTCGGAACTAGGGCGATAAAATGCACACGCCCACTTGTCAGCATAGGGTTGCATAGCAAACAACCTGGACCAGGGTCTAGTGTCTATTTCTCTCTTAGCTCTGTAAGTACAGTACCCGGTAGTAGTCCGCCATAGAGCGGCAATGCCTATCGCACGTCGTCTTTTGCCTTGTAAATACCATTTTTGTTATCGACACCGGGCACTATATTATAGTACCGTTACATTAGAAATTGGCCTCGGGGTGCTTGGGTGACGTTTCGGCAACTCTGGTCTCCGCTTGCAGGCACGAATGCTGGTTCGCAGCGGGTTTGGGTGGTCAGACGCGGGGTAGCGAATGCGCGGCATGGCGTCATGACTGTTTGTTGTATGCGCATGTTTTGTGCAGAATTCCTGCAGAGAATGTAATATCCTGGTCTTCTATACACCCCGATTTGGTCGCGGGGTTCTCTGTCTCCGTGTTGGTCGTGGACCGTCCTGTCAATGGATATCTTCCCCTGAAAACAGGTGGCTACCAGGCGAGCCACTATTCCTCAACCCCTCGCCTTTTGCTAGCATCTATAGACACTTGCCATCTGCCGTTATCTTTACCGAATTATTCTTGAAATTATCTTCTTCGCTGCCCCGCACATTGCACCTCCTACGTCCATCTTTTACTCCAACACAGCCAACACCATCACCACCATGACACTGAAGCTAGTGGAAGTCGTGACTGACGACGAATTCAACGACATTGTCCGTTGCGAGTTTGATAGCTATGATACACCTGTATGTAAGCTCAAGGATCTCTTCTTCCCTATCAAAGGAGAAGCAACGGCGGAAAATCGCGATATAGCCATCGCAGAAGCCACTAAGCGCCAGACGCTATGGCACAGATCCGATCCGTCCAGCCTCTGGATCAAGGTCGTCGACGAAGAAAACGGAAAAGTAGCCGGTGCGGCTTGCTGGCACATTTACGACGCTAATCCTTTCGCCGAGCCCGCAGAAGGCGAGTGCGACTGGTGGCCCGCCGGCGAACACCGCGACATGGCTAACACCCTCATGGGCCAATTCCTTACTCCGCGTATGACGTGGATGGCCAAACCTCATGTCCGTAAGTGAATCCCATTTCCTGCCAACCGTATCGTATTCAACGGCTTTCTGTCACCTTTGCTCAATTTCCTTGTTATTTCTTTTGTTTTTATATTATACAATACCCGGTTCTTATCTCTTTACGTATTTGGATATTCCGCCGTCCTCCCCTTGTCTGCCTGGCAAGCCACCGGACGTCGTCTGACATGCATATAACCAAACATCTCGTTTTGCTTTCAACTGAATTCAACAACTAGTGATGGGAGGATTTGAAAATTTTCTACCCTTGCTAACCATATTCTAGTTCTTGAGGCATGTTTTACTCTGCCGGAATACCGCCGTTGCGGAGTTGGTAACCAACTGATGCAGTGGGGAATTGAAAAGGCCGATGCCAAGGGTCTAGAAGTGTACATTGACGCAACAGACGTCGGCCGCATGTTATACAGACGCTGGGGTTTCCAAGAAGCCGATGCTAGACAGTTCTCTCTGGCTGAGTTCCCAGAGACTGCTACCCGCAAGGAGATGGAAGGCAAAGTCTTGCCATTCGAATGGTGGCCAATGCAGAGGCTCGCCAATGGAAAGTACGAGAAGGGTAAGGATTTATTGGCATGGGACAGCTAGACCACCGCTGGAACACTGTAAACGTGTAATTAGTGGTTTAATCTTTATCAAGAGTCTATAAGAGCCAGACAGGCTATCTCTAGGAGCTTTAGGCGTGATAATACAACAGAACGTTGTTCATATCTGTTTTTCTCTCTCACATTGATGCAAAATCTCGATTGTGCGAAGGCAAATCAACATCAATGCATTCCTTAAAACAAACTATCATAATCTCATAGGACAGAGCCACGTACAGCTGAATACCCATCCACTGGCTCTTCAAGTAGACCATCATTGCATAACAACAGTTTGCCCATTACCGTTGAACTTTTCTTTTCCATCAATAGTTCTTTCTCAAGGTACTGCAGCTTGACTAAAGTCCGTAGCCGGGACCAGGCTCTTCAGCATTGTGAACATGGTTTCCGCTTCGAACCTTAAGCCCGTAGCCAGGGCCAGGTGGCTCAGCGTTGTGAACATGCTCTCCACTTCGGATCTTGAGTCCATATCCGGGGCCTGGTTCTTCAGCGTTGGTGACATGAACGTGAGCCTCGCGGACCTTCAGGCCATAGCCTGGGCCGGGTTCTTCGGTGTTGTGGACATGCGCTGTAGGGGCTGCTGCAGCAATGCCAATAAAGGCCAAAGCAAGGAACTTGATGCTGTGCATAGTGATAATATAGCAGCTAACTGGTGAAGGGAGAAGGTGCTGCTTTCGGAGTAGTGAAGGAAGTGTAGGAGGAGATGGTGTTGCTAGATCAAGAAGTTACGACACTACTGGATCCAGTAAGAAATAAGCTCGGTCACCACTATGATAGACGTATGAACTAAGGACCGCGTAGAACTTGCACTAGCCACGGATCATAAAGGTATATCATCTACGCCGTCCTCGAAACAGGGCTAGCCTAGGGCTGTGTTGAAACCGAAACTGGTACAGGACACTCCCCGCCGACGACGATGAGCACGCCCAACTCGCCTTCACCGTAGAACGCCATTGCGAACATCATTGCGAGGCGTGGAAACAAGTGGCACTAGGTTCTGGTACGATACTACAGTATACTGAATCCATAACCAGTCGCCGACCAACTACACGCCTGCAACTATACCTCGTGCTGAACAGCATGGTTCGTGCTTGTCTGGTAAGCTGCGGTTGTCAGTGTTAGTCATGCGATAAGCACTATTATGCCGCCTCAGTGAACCGAAAAAAGCAAACATGGCACTTTGAAGGCCCATTCCATATAACCGGGGGGTTAGCCACAAAGCGCACAGGAGATTTTAGTACGGCTGTCCAACATACCGAGCTTACTGTACAGTACAGTACACTAGACGAAAAGGACCATACTGGACACACCCCACCCCTCCCCTGTCAAGAAAGACAGCCGCACAGTGCGCATTCTTGCTCCGTAAATCCGCCACTCCACTCTTTACCTTTGCACGCAGCGCAGTTTCACATTGCGTGCTTTGCTTCACCATCAGACAGAGCGCTGTAACCCGCCTGTCAGCCGCTGTAACCCTCCACGCGCCGCTCTGCTAACGCCGCCTGGAGCCCAAGCGCCGCGGCAGTGTGGGAGCAGTTGTAGTGCATCAAGCTGCAAAAAGCAGCGCTATTGACAATGCACTGTCGGCCGCTGCACGTTCGCTATGGGCCATGTTCGGGCGAAGGATTCGGTCCGTCGCTGTGCCGGCCGGGCAAGAGAAAAATGAAACGCTTCGACCTTCAATAGTATGACCTGCAGTTAATTTATTAAGAGAGCCAGGAGTGATCAAAGCGCTGAAGCCTTCTCCGGTAAGCAAGCATTATTACCGAGCAGACAGACGAACTGTCCCTCACAGTTCAGCGCGCAACGTGCCACCAAAGGATCGCCCAGAACCACTGTTAAAACACGCTACCACCACGGGTAAGCCAGATTTGCTAGTGCCCACCTCGCCGTGCCAAGTACTTACACCGCAAGCCTCCCCGCGCAGTTCTCAGCCACTATCGAAACGCCTCTTTGTTTGTCGGCTTACCCGTTTTCTCACCTTTGATCTTGCCTCAATCATCGACATCTTCGCCATCAAGAGTGTTTTTTTTTTCGTCGCAGATACCCTTTGCCTTTTCCTCACTACAGTTGCGCATTTTGCCACCTCATCCGCGGTCGATACGGTTACCCTCAGCTCTTGCGCCGTTCACAACCTTCGCTCACCACCACCACTGCGACTACACTTTAATTTCCGACCGTTGACTGCGCCCATTTACTCTGATCCGAACCGCAGCGAATGAACAACACCGTCCATACATCATCATGAACAGCACAGCGCCCCCAAATCTGACGGTGACGGCGGACAACTATTCGTCCATCCCAGTTATCCTAAGCTGGGTCACTGCTGTCACCTCTATTCTCGCCGTCGCTGTAAAGATCACCACAAAGATTACAATGTCCCGCAAACTCGCGACCGACGACTATGGAATGCTTACTTCATTGGTGAGTAACAGTCGATATAAACGTCAAAAGCTGCGTATTAACTGTAGCTACAGCTCTTTAGCATCGGAATGGTTGCCGCGGTTATTGTGCAAGGTCCCAATGGCCTCGGAAAGCGAGAAACGGACTTGACAGCCTTGGAGCTCCAACGATATCAACAGGTAAGCAGTGATCCCGAGAGCGACTCTTCCTAGTAGTCTGTCACTAACTTTCTAATCATAGAGTTCCTACGCCAAAGACGCAATGTACATCCTTAGCCTCACAACGTCCAAGTTGACCGTCCTCGTCCTTCTATACATGTTGACCTTGAAATCACTCCATCGCAACATGCTTTTTGGCACTGCCGGCTTGATTGGCCTTTGGGGTCTGAGCGGTCTTTTCGTTTCATTTTTCCAGTGTTCACTCCCCCAGCCATGGGCTGTCTTGAGTAGCAAGTGCATCAACCAGGTATGGCCAATCCATTCACGATAGTCAAAGAAATGACGCGGTGGCTAACTGATATATAGAATTCATTCTGGACGTACTTTGGTGTCATGAACATCGTAACTGAGTTGATCCTGACTGTTATGCCCGCTGTCATTATCAATGAGGTGCAGCTCACCCGGCAAAGAAAAATCGGCATCAGTCTTATCTTTGCCGCGCGATTCCTGTATGTGCCAGCATTGTCTTATCTATTGTCGTCTCGGTCTGCTCACTGTTGAATAGCGTACTCGCCCCGATCTTTGCCGAATTGTACTTCCGCAACACCGCCTCATCAACTTCCCCAAACCGCACATTTGACCAATGGACTGTCGTCGTCTGCTCCCTCCTCGTTCAGTGCCTCAGCATCGTCACTGCTTGCCAGCCATACCTGAAACCTTTCTTCATTTCGCTAGAGAGTGGTATGATTCGCGTTGATGACACCCGCCGTCGTGGTGGTACTACTCGCCCTGGCTACTACTACCAAGAAAACAAGCCAAACAGCAACGGAAGTTCGAAGCGCAGCAAGACGAAGCCTGATCTCGAACAAAATGAATTGGATACCATGAAGCCGCACGCGAGCGAGCCAGACGAGCGATGGGGAGGATATAGCCAGACATCGGTGGAAAGAGGGTCTCAAGAAGAAGAACAAGTAAGCATTCATAGCACGTCGCGCATCATTCGCGCCACAACAACATACGAAGTGTCTTCGAAGGATAGAGACCAGTAATGTGGCGGGGGATCTAATGGTCACAAGGGGTTGTTCTGTTTTTATTGTTTTGTATATTCTATTTAGCGATGATTTATGAAATATATACCTTTACCAAATTCGACAAGCTCCCTAGCCTGTGTAATATTGCAGTAATCGCCAGGTCGTTCCACCTGGAAATCGCGACATAGCTCAGACGGAACTCAACCACCACATTTGCTCATAGTCGCAAACCGCAGGCGTTTAATTGAGGTGGTGCAAGAGGTCACCGCTCTACCACTTACTACGATTAGTCCTATACAATGTTTCTAACGAATGGGCTCAGCAGAAACATATTTGCTGGCTGTAGAGGTAAAGAGGCTAGCAGACTGGTAGACGTCAGTGCAGTGGCTTCCGAGTCGGCAAGTTTCTACCAGCCCATAATAATTTTCCCAATCATATGCTATACAGATCATTTATATGTCTTTTTAATAACTACGAAAGTCTAATCAATATATAGGCTCTATTCACACGCAGCGCTTAAGCACTTGGCGATCTTTGGTGGCTTCTCGTGTGGCTTACATCCGTCATGGAGATCTTAAAACAGCCACCTAAGCCGCCGCCACTCTATTATCCAATTCACCGATATATACTTTACAAATATTCGACTATGTCAAACACAAGATTACCAAAATTACGCAATTCGTAACCAAGATGAAATCCTTCGCTCTATTCCAGCGCTAGAATTCATGATTGGCGGCGAAGCCACGCTTAATTTACGTATTGCTACAGTCCGCACCATGAGATAGCTGCTAATAAACGACGAGCACCTTCACTATTGAAGCGCCACCCATACTTGCAGGCCGTTACGGAAGTTTCGTCACGTCTACGATGTATATACGGCAGAGAATATGATCAAAGCCAATAAATTTGGTGTCTACCACGGTCCTGGTGATGCGCCAGATGAAATTTATCCTTTTGCTTGCCAGGTTGGGCTGCCTGCCGCGGTACGTCCTGATCAGGCTACGAAACTCGGATGGTTCTCTGAAAACGACACCGCTGATTCTTGCCAGCAAACAAAGGACAAGCGGTGCAATGAGTGCATAGACAGTCTTAGAAGACAGAGATTGAGATGACATTCTGCATGATGCCACTGTGGATTATAGCAAATGGGCTGTGAAAACGAGTGATTATACGAATCTGTCTGACTTTGGGCTTAGGGCATATGCGTGATTTCATGGCTCCGATCATTTTGGGGCCTGCTATGATGCCTGCTTCGTGCTGTCTAGAGTGGAATGTAGAGGTTTTCTTATCCTGGTTTTATGCCAAATCCTTGTACCAAGTCCCCTGCCAAAATGAGATAGCGGCACAGCACCGCAATCTACCGTCCCAGCGCTAGCTCGATACGTGGCGATTGACGATACAAGCGCTCTGAGTACTAATTAAAAACTGCAACCCTTGGATGCTGATCTTATCCCGAGTTCCGGTAGATACACCCATCTCATTGGAAAAGGCGACGCTGCTGAGCCGCTCTTAGACACCCTTCTTGCGGGACCATTCCTCAGAATTGTGGCTTTTTGGAGTATAAAACAAAAAACACTTCGTCCCGCTCTCAATGGTGAATACTCTATTACTGACTCGAATTGAAACCAATTGAACAAACTGTTCGTATATCAATAACCCTCACTATGAAGCTCTTTGCTGTAATTGTTTCCTTTGCTGCTTTGGCTTTTGCTTGGAACAAATGTGATCAGAGTAAGAATACGGTTATTTCTATACAAATACAACGAGTTGCTAAAACATGTAAGCCAAGGACTGCGGTGGCGATAGCTGCTGTGTTCTTCTTGACAGTGGTAACAAAGAGTGTCGCCCACTTGCAGAAGCGAACCAAAAGTGCTGTAAGTCAAAAAGAAGTTATTAAGAAACTGGCTTTGTCTAACATGAAGCAAATAGCTCTTGGAGGCTTGACCTCGACTTTGGTGTACTCTCGCTATTGCCCTTGCCATCAAGAACAAACATGTGGTGTTGGCAGTGTTTGTGTACAGAAGTAATAATTTTCTGATTATGTAAAGATGAATATATGTGGATTGCTGTATTCAGTAATGTGATGGCCAGAAAGTAAAATTTTGACCGTGCGAACTGCTGTCTCCGAATTTTGCATAATCCAAGGAGACGTATCAAAACAGTGGTCGTTCTAGTACTCTACTGATTATCCTAGCTTTGAGTTATTTTGTTGCTCAACATCTTAGCTGTACAGTATTATGGTATGAACGAGGATTAAAAAGTTTAATTACAAAAAATATTTATTACGGATTTTACTCCTTATTGAATATAGAAGAATATTCTGTTTTCGTTATTTGACTACCCTATAACTGGTTTCGCCGGTTCTGCATACCGGAACGCCAAATCATCTACATCTACAGGGCCAAACTTAGCTTTTGTAGAATTAGGTAGATAATATACTCGGATTGAACCTAAAAGACACCCAAAAGCTCGTTTATCGCACCTAGTGTGCTGCCAAAGGTATGGCGATTGATCTCGTCACCCTCGAGGCCACCAAGGTGCGGACACCCGCGGCTGCCACGAACCCAATTCCAATCAGCAAAGCCCAAGCGGCATTGATTCAAGGAAGAGCTGCGACAACTCACCAGCCGTTCCTGCCTAGTAGCAGTCCAATGCTTCCAGGACCCCTTCCGTACCGAGGACGATGACCCAAACGAAACCGCCCAGACTACACATCGAACATATACCACAACCTGGCGGACGAACTAGACAACCCTGGCCCAATTGACATCGAACAACATGCCGAAAGCGTTCTTACGAAAGAAATGGACCGCCTTCAGACGCGTACTGAAGTTCTGAGAACCTTTGCGACCGTGATAAACGACTGCGCCAAACAATACACCAAAGGCTATGCTCTACAGATTGCGCGGGATTTCTCCGAATCCCTGCTAATCTAATGGGATAACTTTGTGCGTCAACAACCCGGTGAACAAAAGGGCATATACCCTAAGGACAACATAGCGCTGAAGCTTCATAAAGCCGCTGTGAATATCTCGAACCCCGGCCTTGATCCCCGCTCCGCTCCGGCCGGCGGCTGGGCTGCCCGTGCCGCTGCCGCTGACGGAAAGCAGCCCGGTGATATCAAGGTCCGCAAGGCCGCTCGTACTAACAATACACCCCGAATGTAACCTGCTAAACTCGATAAGCTTATGCTTCTCCGTATTAAACATCGTTCTGAACTCTTCAATAAACACGGCTACCAAATCCGCCTTGCGCTCGCACAGGCTGCACCTATCGATCCCGAGGACATCCAAGACATCAAACCAACGAACGCCGGCTGGGCCCTCAGTGCGCGGACTCTCAGAGCCGAAGAGACTCTCCTCTCTACCCAAGGGAGCTGGGGACCAAAGTTTGACTTGATTATTGCTGAAAAGAATGTGCAATGGCACACCTACCTGGTTAAAGACTTCCCTCGCACACTGACAGATTGGGAAGGCGCCCCCCTCGACTTTAACCAAGTAGTCTCTGATGAGATCCAGCGTCAAACACAGCAAACCCCCATTGCCTGGCATATCTCCAAAGCTGACACGCTCACTGACACTCGCGATGTAACGCTTGTAATCCCCTTCTCTGAACCAGTACTGGGGAACTTCCGGCTCCTGGGCACGAGCGCCTTCTCTTTCAAACTGACCAAGGCGCCAAAGATCACCCAGTGTACTAACTGCTTGAATTACCATGTACCGACTAGATGCATTGCCCCAGAAGTCTGTAAAAACTACGGCTAACGAACCGGTGATAACCACAAGCCCGACTCGTGTACACGATTCACGCAGTGCGTACTATGCCATGGACCACACCCCCCAGACGATAACAAGTGCTTCGCAAAGCCAAAGAAGCGCGACGACGGACTCCACAAGCTCTCAAAGACACAACGTGTGTATGTAAAACTCCTCGGGTCACAGGCATTCCGACAAATACATAGAGATGATTTACTCTCTAGTTCCCCGAATGGCCAAGCTTCATCTGCTCCCCCGTCCCCCACCCCTGGCGCCAGAACCGCCAACCTTCAAGAAGGCTCCGACTGAAAGAAGGGATGCGCTTTGATTTCAGAAGTCCCATTAGATCCTAACCTTTTGTTTGGATCTTGCAACAAAAGTTTGGTCATGAGATCATGGGCTTCGGCTGATGGTAACTCTGGAAGAGCATAATCTGAGAATATTTTGCGGCGCCGTTCTGTCGCATCTTGGTCGTAAAAGGGTGGAAATCCTGTCATCATCTCGTATAGAAGTACCCCCAGTGCCCACCACTTTGCCATTTTTCTAATGGTACGTACCTGGTTTTTAAGCAGCTCCGGAGCTAGATACTCTAGCTAGGAGTCGTCTATTGCGTTGGTATCTTGACGCGCTGTGGCAAAAAGGTTAAGATCGCAAAGAAAGGCATGGCCTGCTAAATCCAGCATGATATTCTTTGGCTTTATCTCGTAGTAGGAAGGAGTGACTTGATCTATAAACTCTAATGCGCATATAATTTCAGCTGCATAGAATTTGCATCTCTCTACGTCGAAGCGCCGTGCCAATTGGAGATGGTAAAAGAGCGGTCTGCCTTCAAGAAATGGCCAGAACAAGTAGAGTTTTGTGTTTGATTTAGCCATGAATGCCAGCGGTACCAGAAAGGGAGCGTTGGCAAATAATGCCGTAGAGTTGTGCTGTGTATGGTAGTTTAAGGGACGTCGGTTAGGTCGATCTCTGCCGATGCGTAACAGCTGTTGGTATTTGTCTTTAATATTTGAGAAATACAACCCAAATTACTTTCCCCTATAGTGGCAAGGCCTTTTGTACTTCCAGTTTCTATTACTGAATTGACGCTATATTTGCATTCAATTTTTATCTTTCCAGTGCCAGCATGAACCGGAAACCAATGCACGTCGGATTTTGTGTTCCCATGTACTGCCGGAGTTATCTTGACAATATCGAGGAATATATCTTGGCGACTATTTGCACAGGTTTTGGTGGTTAAGTAGTGTCGGATGGTTAATTCAGCGTATCTAAAGACTTCCAATGCAATTCGACGTTTTCTGTATGCCATTGTCCACACCGGGTCCGTAATTTTTCCCGAGGTAGCATGCATCGTGATTTGAGACAGCGCAAACTCAAGTACAGCGTTCATCTGTATTCGAGGGTAAGAGGTTGTAGGGTTATGAAACCTTGGATCAACCTTTGAACTTATCGTATCGGTGAGTTTTTATTTAGGTTCTGCTAGTTTTTGACGTGAGAGCGAGAGGCCCGAGGCCTCGTGAAGAGTTACATTTAGCACTCCAAGTCCATGGTATTTTTCCGATGGAATTGGAACAATACAAGATTCTTGTTTTGCATGCGTTAACCCAGCACATATTCTTGCCATGACATATGTGCATATACGTACTAGATTCTTCTTCACTTTCGGGAATGTTCTCTGCTGGCGTGGCGCTGGGGAAGTGAACGGGGAGCAAATCAACTGAGTCGCTCAATTTAGCTATGCTTTAGACTCAAGATTCTCGAAGAATAAGAAATAAGCGGTATAAACTATTAGCATGAGTGATCTTTAAGAAGCCGCCGCGTACATTTCCATACCAAATGAGATCCACGGTGTATAATAAGTCGATGTACGTCACGCTAAGATGCACGCACGACGCGATAGCTACCTACTGCAGTTAGCTCGATAGAGTGACGCTTACGCGTAATTGCTGAGGGAAAGTCGAGGTGGCAGAGGCAGTGTGTTTGATTGAGGGAATCCAACTTTGATTTGTTGCAAGCCCCGTAAAATATCATGGCGCAGCACAATTTCCCGCGACCATGGCATTGAGTTGATGGCCAGAGCGCACAAAACGTCCCCGGTATCTTGCAAAGTAATTTATGAATTCACTAGGCGATTTGCATTGGCTGATTTACCCGGATCATGATCATACCGAGGCTAGAGGTGCCTCCTTGTTTTGCCTCCTTTCAATCTGAGAATTCGGCCACTGACCTTGCTTCGACCAATCGGACATCACGGCCAATCAGACAGTCGGAATACCTGGCGATCTCTCCTTAAGCCACGTTTTAGGAGGCCCCCCAACTACGACCAAGTGTCACGAAGGCAAATGTCTCTCATTTAAGTGACTTCCCCGCCATCGGTTTTACTTTATCCGCCAAGACTGGCGCTGCGACGAGCGCAGACTGAAGGCTTAGCCAGACTAAGCGTGTTAATTACCTAATGGTTATGCATGCCAACTGCAAGGCAAACGCCGCATCCAGCCAGAAGGCTCCCTCGGTGAAGCGTTTGGGGTAATGGGAGAAGGTACGCCATGCCCTAGAATGGATTGAATGTGGCTAGATGAACAAGGTTCGCTAGATAATGCACTTCCTGAATCGGCAGATGTATGCCAACCCCACTATTCAGCCAGCTTTTCAGCTTTCTTATCGCTATGTATAAGACATCCTCTCGCGTGCCTTAGCTTTGCGATATTTTGCTAGAAACAGTAAGAGAGAAACCGTACCGATATAGCGTCTTCAATGCATTTGAAAAATGAAGTTGTCTCGTGCCGTTGTCTTCTCCACGGCCGCTCTTGGTGCCTGGGCTGAGACCTCAGTGCTTTCGCTGCCATTCTCTCTGGATGTCCTCTCCACTATGCCACTATGCGCAGTAAGTTTCCCTGAATCCAAGTCAAATCTAATCACATCAGTTAACCTGTTTAAACTCTTGATAGGCTTCCTGTCTTGCCAAGACCTCCGCAATTTCCTCTATGCCCTCAAACAACCAGACCGCCAATCTTTGCAAAGACGTATTGTTTCAACAAGAGGCGATCCTATGTGTTCGGCATATGTGCACCATCATGGAAACGCTTGGTATGTTTAGAATCTATCTCATCCGCCGCTTTGGCGAGCTTTTCACTTGATCCTCTGTTATATACCGATGTCGTATGCTAACACCCCCTCGTAGCAGCTCAGAATATTACGAACACAGCCTGCAACGTGCCACTCCGAGATCGTTCCAAGCAGTATATAGTGCTTTCTCTTGCGATGGGCATTGCCGGCTCTTTCACAGTGATGGCCAGACTTGTCTTCAAGCGCAGATACAATCTAGGCCTAGATACAGATGACTGGCTGACAGGGAGCCTGTTAGTAACGAGCGTGGCTACTATTGTCGTCAATCAGTATTGGCTGACGAACAATGGGCTTGGGCGTGACGTTTGGACCATAACACTCTAGCAGCTTGTTGATCTGCACATGTACTTTTGGATCGCCTCGATCGTATACTTTTGGAATGTGGGTATGCTCAAGATTTTCCTTCTTGTGTTTTACCTCCGAATTTTCGCCGGCTACTCCAGAGGTATTGTCCGACTTCTCTGGGTATTTTTGCTAGGCACGGCTGTCTGCATGTTCACCTTTGTCTTGCTGGTTATATTCCTATTTAACCCAATTGAGTTTGCATGGAACAGGTGGGATGGCCAGCACCAAGGTCGATGCCTCAATACTAACCTTGTGGGTGTTTTGCAGTCATGGATCAACTTTGCCCTCGACATAGGTGTTTTTATAATCCCACTGTCGCAACTTGGACACCTTAACCTACATTGGAAGCAAAAGATCTCGGTTGGAGCTATGTTTTTCCTGGGTACCTTGTAAGTCTTTTCCTATCTTTTTTGTTTGTATTTCGTTCATGTTGCATAGGTTGTAGACTGACCTCTCTGTAAGAGCCACCATAGCTGGCTTTATCCGTCTTTCTTGGATTCTCCAATTCCAGGTGGCATCTCTGAATCCAACGCAAGACTTTTTTTTACTATGCTACTTGTCCAGTGTACAAGTAAATATTGGAATCATCTGCGTTTGTATGCCGACGATTCGACTCATGGTTCAAAAGGCAATTGGATTTAGATCGTCTGTGTTGGAAGGTAGCAGCCAAGCTACGAGTCGCTTCAGCGTTGTAGACAGGCTCAATCGATTGAAGTATAGAGCTCAGCTACCGAGTAAATCCAGACCTATCATTCGTCACATGGGGCTGGTGGGCTCAACTACCACCCATAGCGACACTCTACGTGGCTGGAGTCCTAGTTGCGACGACGATGTTGAGTTGGCAGCTTGGAAAGGACGAGAACAAACCAAATATATTCATAATCTATAGTATTACGGCGTTTTATCATTATCAAGCACAACTAGGTTAATTCAATGTTTTGCGTTGTGTCTGTCACCTATATCCATGTCCGTCAATAGTATGCTTCTTGTCAGTTCTGGTCGGCGGCGGTCAAAGGGGATTTTGTTATATTTGTTGACAATGGTGGGCAGACCAGGGGCGCTGCTTTACCAGAGAGAATATTGTCAAAGCTCTTGTAAGCTGCCGTTGTTGCATCGCGTTGAATGAGCATCGAAGGCATACGAAGTTTCATCTGTTGGATCATTTTAGCACTCTGTACACTTGCCATCTAGCAGCACGGTCGCAATTAGTGAATTTTCCCTGTTACTTACATTGACCATTCCGTCGGCATAGCGGACACCAAGATCATTGCTAATGTAATGCAATCTACCTTTCACCCACGCACGCTGACTATCAGTTGTATAGTCTTGAGCCAGGATACATGTTAGTGGCCAAGTGGCCAGGTAGCCACCCAAACACTTTGCCGCTTGCTCATCACCACATGCAAATGAAGATAGCTTGTGTTGCGGGAACGATGTGGCCCTACCATTAGAAGGGTTCCAGCCTAGATGGTATGGTATAGACGCAATGATGTCGGATATCATGTCCACGCACGTGGTCGCGGCTGTAGCATACTCCGGCGTAGTGCGATAGTCCAGTGACTTGCAGCCCCAGGCTGTCAGGCGCACAATAACTGCCCATAACAGAATCCGTGAGCAGCGATACATATTCCAGAGAGCAGCTATCATGATATCAACGTAGAAGTCGACTCTGCCTGTAAACCCTTCATTATTTACATGCCTGTCGTGTCGAGCAGAATCGATCCAGGCAACCGTACGCGGGCGGAAAAGTTGTGGTGGCAGTGACTTTGCCCAGGACACGAAGTCTTGGTCTAGCTGACGAAGGTGTCGAACAAGGGCGGATATAGCCTCAACATTGCTCTTTGAGTGAGATTGGCTGTCCAGTCGGCGAATGACCTCCAGCCTAAGCTGTGCTCCACGAATATGGAGCTGCTGGGCTTGTGCTGTGAAGTGGTCGCCACTTCCGAGAGCAGTATCCCACCAATTGATGTCCATCGGCGGGTCGCTTGCGGCTATGAATACTTTCGACAACTGCAAGATAGATAAGCTTTTGGTATCGGAGAGGTTCAGCGGTGACATACCATCTGGGTGCGAACAGTCAAGAAAAGGTCTCGGCCGATGGGCGTTTGCATCAGAGCCGATCCTCTCGCTTTGACCAACTGAATTGCCCCATCAATGTGCGAACTCCATGCCGCTATGCCTGCCTTTTCGCCGACAAAGTTTTCAAAGTAGCCTAGTAACAAGATGGCAGCCAGTGTGGAGTCTTGGTTCGACAATTCGGGGTCCTGTAGGGCAGTGGCTGTGGCAGATATTGCTTTAACATAGTGTCCACGAGCAATAAGGCTGCAGGTCCTTCCGCGTTGGACACGGAAGTGAAAGCAAGCCATGGCACACGCTTCAAATGCGTACTTGAAGTGTGGCAATTTGGGCGGTGAACTTCCATTGAGCACTAGCAGTGGAAGCACAAATTCAAGATAACCCCGAACACCGTGGAAGCGAGGAAGCAGAACGAAGTTGGAAAGAAAATGACATGTTGCCAGCTCCGTGACGGACAGTCTAAGCGAATTGCGAATGGGTGATGTGATTGACGACTGCGCAGGTGCGCCATCCGGAGCATCATCACTCCATCCGTTTTGTTTCTTTGCCAAGATTCTGTACGGCATGTTTCCTGTTTTCAATCGACTCACCCGCCTGCTAATCTCCTGCGTTTGGTCATGGAACAACCAAGCTGGAGCAGGTGGCTTGTATCCTGGGCACTGGCGCTGAGCCTTTAGACATACTTGGCATGACGGTCGTCCTCGATCGCACTAGAGAATAGACAAGGGAGCTATATTTAGCAGATTTTCATCCTATGAACGTTGAAGCCGGCGACAGCAGAAAGCAACCAAATCGCGGCAAAATGGACGCCAACACACCTTGACCTTCCGACTCCTACAGAGGTAGCACGCCTGAGATTCATGTACACGGCGTGGCATGACAGCGACGGAAATGGGCAACCCGTACACTAAAATTTGAAACTGAATAAGCAGTGGACTATATCAAGCGATGTTATTGCTTCACTGGCTTGCAGATTTAAGGCTAGGAAATAAATACGACACATCAAAGCGCCGTGAAGCATATCGAGCGGCATCCGTTTGCTCACTACCCCGCAGAATTCAGGCGCCATCTACAGCCCTGGTTTCTGGGCTGAAGGTGAAAAGGTGTGGTAGGTGGTGTAAAGAGGCGCAAGGATTCAGAGATGCCGAAACCATCGCGTGCGGCTTAGGTTGCAGTATCCTGTACCTCATTGACGGCCTGGTAGACCTCGGTGGGATTCGCACCAGTACGCCGCGCGGCTTCTCACGGGTGCCACCACCTTCATAATTTCAACAAAGCTGCAGCCTAGCATTGAACCTTAATTTAGCAGGAGTTAGAGACGTAAGACAGGGAGTTGAGAAATATTTAGGGCGCAGACGACGCCCAGGTACACTACACTAAATGTTGAAGCTGGGACAAGCCATGTACACCTGAAACGCCGCTGAGTACTAACTGACTTTCGTGAAACAGCACGCTAGGCCCACAGGCGGGTTAACTTACTCTACAGTGCTTCTCGGGCGCAGATGGTGCGTACATACGAACTATTGGGGTATTTGTTTTTCTTATAATACATGGTACGAAGGGTCAGTTACTTTTGTCGCGGCAGGAGCGCTACGATTCACCAGAATTAATATCTAAATTACTGTTTTTATAATAGTACTCGGCGTTGTGTTTTGACATATCAAGCGATCAGTGGGCAAGCTCTCTAGAAGTGATACTTGGCGCCGCCGTGGTCGTGCTCCCCACTGTTGGCAGGACTGATCATCCATACATGGGGCAAACGGTTTAAACGGCCCAAAATTGCCTAAACGTTCAAACGATTTAAAAATGCGGAAGACAACTGAACGAACGGCCAAGTGATTCAAACGAACGACTGAACGGTTAGAGTCTGTAACGAGCTAGGTCCGCTGGAGGGTTCGATATACCCTCACCTGTTACATAGTATATGAGGCCTGCTATTGAATTTACTCAAAGAGTAATTTCTACTCGTGCTCTTTGGTGCAATTAGCAGGGAGCAGCCGATACCGTCGCAGAACCATTATAAAGTCCATCTACCTGAACTGATACCAGTCGAAATAATGTCCGCTCCCCTCATCGAGCTCTTGTACATCGTTCTCAAGACGAGGAATTCCAATTAACCCCATCCCATTCTCGTGAAGAAGTCGTATAAGTCCTTGGCGCAGCCAGCTACCTGTACATTCAATCATCTCGATAGTTTTACATGTAATTCGTAGCCTATCCCATGAACATGTTCGTCTTGATCTAGAAAAGGTCCGCTCTGGTTCTGATGACTCTGCCGGAATAGACAGTATACTTATCGCTATATAGCTTAATTTTAGGTATTGCTTTTGTTGTTGAGATTGGTACCACCATTTAAGAGGCGTAGTGTTGAAAGGGATATCTGTTGCATCTGCGTTGATGAAACTAGTAAAATCATCTCGAATGCTTGTACTTAGAGATCTAACCTCCAGTTTCTTTGATAGTAATGAAAGTTGATTTGTGTAACTTGATTGATTGATTGATTTTATTTACGTCTATCTGGCGCTCTAGGGTAGCATAAGACGTGTGGCCGATGGGTAATAAGAGACGAAGAACGGGATCCCGCGTAGGCGGCGCCAGCCGCCATGAAACGTGACGACGCCGAGCCGAGGGCCCACCCCTTGGGATTCCTTTGCTCCACGTCTCCTCCTTAAACAAACCACAGTAACACGATAATTTTCCAACTCCTTACCCGACGCGGGATCTAGAGAGGGCTCTAGGAGCCCCTATTGACTTCTGGCTTCTTAATTGGGGGCCAGTGCACCCTGTGGTTAGTGGGTGTCTTTCCCAAGCAAATTTTGTCTATCTAGGTAAGGGAATGGCTGGCGGGCCAACAAGGGGAAGTATGGACAAAAGAAAGCTCATTGGGGAGGTGTTAATGAGCGCAACACTGCTGAGCGGTTAGGTGGAGGTATTACTACCTATGTGTGCAGATTCTATTGAAGTACACGTCCGCGATTCGACAGAACACCTTGAACTGCGAGCCGAGAAAGCGACCGATAGACTTCGATGCATCGGGTGCAAGCCGAGCTCGAAAGCCTAGAGGGACCTTTCGGCAGTAGAACAAGTGTGTTGGAGTCTTCTCGTGGCCGCATGGGCACTCCAGTGTAGCGTTGTCGTGATGGAAGCGCTGATGGTACGCGGCGAAGTCGCCGTGGTGAGACCGTGCAGCGAGGAGATGTCGGAGTTGTCGTCGGGGGATATCGAGTTCTGGGAGCTTTGATAGGTCAGCAGTGAGTCTAAGAGACTGGTAGGTTCTCTTTTCCACCGATTCCCACCATGTACGAAAGAGACGGGGGAGCAAAGCGCGGATCTCGCGCCGTCGCTGCGCAATTGATGGTGCAAGATCTCGAAGAGGCCCTGCGGCCCCTTTCTTGGCTAAAGCATCTGCTGCTTCGTTGCCAGGTATGTCTTTATGTCTGGGGGTCTATCTAACTGATATTCTGCCAGGGAATTCATCACCAATAGCTTGGAATGCGAGGAATTCAGCACGAGATGACATGGGCGCGGTGCCTCCGATGCCACGTACCACGGACGAGTTGTCAATACATACAGTAATCGGAGTGTTTAGGGTACAGTGCTTTATAGCTTGCCGGAGACCGCGTAGCAACTAATATAACGGGGTAAGGCCCGTGGAGGTCTCGGGTAGCTCTCGACCATCTGTCACGTAGCTGTCTAGGTAGTACGAGAAAAGTTCGCCAAACGTAATGCTATTGTTGACTGTTCTATATGTGAGATAGAAAAAAGACAACAAACTTGAAGGAGGACAAATCCCTTTCCTCCTTCCACAGTTCATTTCTCTATTTATATACAAGGTTGTTGTGGTTCTGCTAGCTGGCGGCTTTCCTTTGCCAGCTGGCAAACACTTGTTGTTGAAACTTCTCTATTGGCCTGCTAGCTAGCGAACACGTTGCGTAGCAACTATTTCGACATTATAACTGTCGTAAGTATTGTGACCGATAGACTATAGAGCGATCCAGCAGGTCGTGACACCATCTGTCACGTAGCTGTCCAGGTATTATGAGAAAAGTTCGCCAAACATAATGCTATTGTTAACTATTCTATATATGAGATAGAAAGAAGACAACAAACTTGAAGGAGGACAAATCCCTTCCCTCCTTCCATAGTTTACTTCTCTATTTATATACAACGTTGTTGTGGTCCTGTCAGCTGGCGGCTTTCCTTTGCCAGATGGCAAACACTTGTTGTTGAAACTTCTTTATTTGCCCGCTAGCAAGCGAACCCGTCGCGTAGCAACTATTTCGACATCGTGACTGTCGTGAGTATTGTGACCAACAAACTATAGAGCGATCCAGCAGGTCGTGACACCATCTAGGCAAAGAACCTATATAAGTTATATAAAAGACCATTCTAGCTAGCTGGAATAGCCCTTTTTCGATCTCTTCTACTTTATCTTCGGATACTTGTAGTAATTGTTAATAACACGTGTTATCGAAAGGTGAGAGATTGTAGGGTTAAATCGTTGTTGTTTTCTTCAAGTTCTATGGTCGGAACTGCTCTAGCTAAATACAGCGAATACATCCTGTATTCACCTCCTTTTCATGTGTTTTCCCAGCCACTTCCAGTGACTTAACTATTCCTTCACTCCTCCAGCAAAGTAACACACGTCCAATGTCACAATAGTCACAACAACAACAAATGTAATCCCGTTGAGCAGTTGCAGTAAAGTGACGCGAGCGATTGTCACTGTTGCGGCTATTTTTATCAGTTCATTCATTTTGAAGCATTACTCTATAGTACTCACCTCCTAGAGGGCTTATCTCACACCGCAAGCACACTGTTAGTATCAACGTCACCTTTTAAAGGCAAGTATATATTAGTGCCAAGCTATACCTTCAATAACAGACAAGATAGTATATGTTGTGACTATTGTGACATTGGACGTATGTCACTTTACCAGATGAGTGAAGGAACAGTTAAGTCACTGGAAGTGGATGACATAGGAAAGGACGTGAATACAGGATGTATTCGCTGTATTTAGCTAGAGCAGTTCCGACCATGGAACTTGAAGAAAACAACAATGATTTAACCCTACAACCTCTCACTTTGCGATAACACGTGTTATTGAGCCTTGAACCAACAGTATAAGTTATTATACAAGTACTCTTACTAAGTATATACGTTCATTCTTTATCTTCCCCATTTATATATTACACTGTGATTCTGGACAACTCTAAGAGTAAATTATGACTTAATTGAGGGTGATGAATCGTAAACAACCGTGGGGCTGCTTAATACCTCCGATATGCGTTGTGTCGATGGCAGAACCGGCAATCCATGAGACGATGCGCTCCAAAAGGTACTATCTGCGACTATTGGCATAAGTCGACTTATTATCAGGTCATACTGCTCTTTTAATTCCAAATATGATGTGAGGAGCGAGTCTCGCTTATGTTGCATATCTTTGAGCTCAGTTTCCAATTGTACTATACGAGTCTCTCTGCGTTCACGATACTTGCGCTGCGCTTCCCGGCATTGCTCACGGCGACGCTACGTACGCATTAGTTTGGCGAGTGCTATGCATTCCATAATCGAGCACTCACCTTTTTGACAGCCGGACTTGCGTTTTTGTAACGGCCAGGTCTCTTCGGCGTCTTATTTTCAGGATATTCTGTAGCTTTTGTTGCTTCTAGTGGCGGAGATAGGAGCGCAGGAGCTACTGCAAAGGAAAAGTTGTCTATGGGTTCGTGATTTGCCTCAGATAACATCTAATAGAGCCAAACCGCGTCAATGGAAGCCCATATCATATTCAGCGCGCCGAGGTAGCACATACCGATGTTTCACTGGGATCATCGAAGTAGGACGAGTCAATAATATCGTAGTTATTGAGAGCAGTTGGACATGAGGCAATGATGCTGTTAGAGTTAGAATCGGTTGCTGTGATATTTACAGCAATGTAGTTTGTTATTTGTTCAAAGTCCATTCCCAGAAAGAGGTTTTGGAAAGGATCGGTCGCGACAGGAATGGATTGCGACATGGTGGGTTGCTTCCTAGATAACCACTGGAGCGGCTGTACAGGGCTATCACAGGGGGAAAATGTAATAGTGAAATGGAAGAATAGAGAATAAGGCACAATCGGTAATCTGCGTGTCTATAGCATATCTACGAGGTAGAAGGTCTAGCCGGTAGCCTTTATATGAATTTGGTCTGGGAACGACGTTTCATGACTGGGTTCACCTTTTAAGTTTGGGATGCTATTATAACTGTCCGAGATCTGACGCACACAAGCCACTTAGTAGTATCAACGTCGGGAATTGCCGTTACGACGAATGGAGTAACCTTTGCGTATAGTTGAATAAGCATGTATCTAAATTAAGCTAACAGTTCCCGAAGCGGAGCTACTGTGGAGATAATTTGTGGAGCTCCTATGGAGCTACTGTCGCCGCATGAAGCCCCTTTCGATCCTATTATTTACGCCAGTCATCGATAGTGGAGCTGGCGCTTTCCACGCCGCAACAAGCCGTCCTAAATCGGAGGCTCACCTCGAGGTTGAGCCGCGCCGGGCTACATCGAAAAATTATTGACAACTTCGCCCACGTTCCGGTTTGCTACGATTTATGATCGGCGCAATGGACTGTATATGTGTATGCACTTGGCAAGCCACAGCGTCCCCCTTTTTACTGTTCCTTTAACCTTAGCTACAAAGCTCAGTTTATCATAGAGCTCGGGAACCGCATAGATACCTAGGCCAATAACGACCGGACCAATAAGCCTCCGACTATACAGGGATTCTATATAAAGTAGCGGAACAAAGTCCGCTTTGAACACCCAGAGCACCGTCGGCCGAGCAGTATCTATCCAGCTACTCCATAAACTAACCATAGATTAAAGGCTCACCTACAGGCTGGGCTGCATTGGAACAGATAATCGCATACTTTCTGATTGCTTCTGCTATGCAGCAACGGATCAACCGAACGACCCACTATTACAACAGCTCCACTACTTCACGTTGATCGATCCATCATACTTCAGGACAGCTTACAAGGATGCATCCACCAACCGCGCGGTGCTATCAAATTTAATATATATCCGACTTGCACGCTTTGATGATAACTGGGTATCGTCAGGAAAGACCCTTAATTCAAGTAGTTACTAGCAATTCTCACCATAATTAATATAGTAATAAAAAATGAGGTTTACGTAGAGATCCTGACATACCCTTGCCCTATCCGAAATAGCGAGACCTTGATGGCTCCGTTCCGCTACCCCCTGCGTGGTAAGAACAGGTGGAGGTCGCTGACAAGACTCTTGGGAGACTTCGGCCCAAATCGGAGTTGACATACAAGTTCCGGGCAGATACAGTCTGCAACATCCATTTTTACAAACTGTTACAGTGATTTTGGGTTTTAAACGCCGACAGAAAAAACCAAACCGTAATCTGTAGAAGTTAGCTATATCTCGATTAAAACAATAGGAAAGTAGCAGCCATCCCAAAGCAGTTCTAGTTAGTTATCCGCCGATCATACCAATACAAACTGACACTCTTTAGTATGGCGTCAAACCAACTTCTATTTTTAAGGCTGAGGGGTGGGGTGGGGCTTCACTTCTGCTGGGGTTGGCCAAGGGCATATTTAGCCGGCGCACGGCCGTGTTCGCAAGGACTACCGAGAACAGCTACAGATTGAATCTATTTAAACTCTTTGTCCCAATTGCCCCGTCATCCAGGCTCACCCTGCAATATTGGTTGGAAACGCGTCCTATTATGTCAGAAATCATGAGCATTGATATATCAATAGTCACACAATCTATGGAAATGCAACCTTTCGATTGTGTTACGTGATGATGATAATGATGTATTTTTTGTATGTGTGTATGTAGGCGGTGGCGTGGTTCACGGGTGCGTAGCCACGTAATGGCTCTGGTGCCACTTTGCAGCTAACTAAGCGCCCAAGGTCTACAGCCAGCCTATCCAATAGTACAGCAACTTAGTTCACCTCGCACTTTGCATCGGCGGGCACGTCGTCTAGGCGGCTGGTCTGTGGCGTTCATCTGTCAGCAATGTTGTATTAAACCTGGCGTTGTGGAACCGATGAAGAAATGACGAGCATTGCCCACCGGGCTAGTTAAACGAGAAAGTGGGTATCGGAGACGTCAGCCTACCAAGGCGTAGCCTCAGTTCTAGAAGACAAGCACTGATATGAGCCCGCTCTCAGGTCAGTGGGGAAGTCTCAATCTACCAGCTCCTCAGCCGACTGCACGTCGGAGGCTCACCCGCAGACTGATCTGCATTAAGACAGTTGATCGCATACCTTCCGCTTACGTCTGCTATTTATCGTTGCTTTGGTGAAAAGTAGTTATGCGATATGCTAAATTCTCTGTGGGGAATAGAGGCCTACAATATCCGCTGCTTTAACCGCCGCTGCGACAGCCAGTTAGTCCGAAAGGTCGGGCAGTTGTCGTTATAGATACTATGTTCATACCTGGTAAAGTTCGATGCCGGTCGAAACTTGCTACGACCACAACAACTGCCCTTCCTTCGTTCCATGCAATAGATCAACTGTATATACTGGGAATTATTTAGGTATATAAACGCTCCTTTGTCACTTAAACAGACGCGTTATTGAACGATTAACACCTTGAGCTATCTGCATGGGGTGCCGGATTTCACCGGCTGATTCACTCCCTGGCGGGAATGCATCCCTAGCATGGGTTTGCTGCTCGTAGCGCACAATCAACCGCCACTGGCATACATTGCCCGTCGTGCGAGGCTGCTAACCCTTCCCGCCAGCTCACTATTCTACTTGAAACGAGTCAACCCCGGTTGCATCTGGTTTGGCTTGCTACTCTTGTCATTTCCTGTCGCGTGCCTACCTTGTCTTTCTTACTCCATCGGCCGCAGGTGAAGCTCACTCCTCGTGCTTTCCTTACACTTGTTCTAGTCGACACGCTAAAAACTGCCTCTCGGCCGCTTTCAGCCCACCTGCCACACCAGCACCACTACCATCAACTCCTTGTCACCAGAGCCAATAGCCCATTATGAGTGTAACGGTCTCAACTGAGTATATTGACAACTAGCTGAGCGACTACTACGAGTATCCCAAGATGAAGAAGAAGGGATCGAAAAGGGGCTATTCCAGCTAGCTGGAATAGCCTTTTATATGACTTACATGGGTCCCTTGCCTAGATGGTCGAGGGCTACCCGAGACCTCCACGGGCCTAGCCCGTTACAATGAGCGAGATGCTGCTGCGTACGGCAGGTATGTCGTTTAGGGTTAAAAGATGTATATGGTTCTTGGATGAGGATAACCTCGTAGCCTGATGCGTATGCTAGGTGTAGGGCGAGGTCATGGCTAGACTGGCTCTTGTCGATATTCGCTTGGAATACTCGTAGTCCCCTAAGGCGATAGTGGCGGTGTTGATTACTCATTAGAGTGAGCAAGTCTATTCCTCTTTGCTGGAGACCGGTCCCGTTGCGGAGGGCTGCTTGGCGGGCTGTGCTGGGGTATTTTAGCTGGCTGCTTCGCTTTCCCTTTTATTGCCTTGGGGGGTAGTGTAGCTGGCCTTACAGGCGGGCGTTGAGGCCTTGCTGCTATAGTCGTTTTAGCTTTTTTAGGCTTGGGGGCATAGACAATATTCCTGCTTGTAGCTTCGATCTCGCCTAGCTCGCCAGGGTCATCTGAGTCCGAGTCAGAGTCTTCCTCGTTAGTAGCTTCGACTGCTATAGTATCCTTCAAGGCAGCTGCTGGTAGAGTCTTAAGATATATGTTTTTTATAGGAATACTCTTATTCGTGGGGGAGGGAAGCGAAATTTCGACGCGTCTGGGGGCGTCTGGTTCTTGGCTAACTGCTTGTTTATCTCTTGAAGGACGGGTTTTTGATCTGGGCTTCCTGCTGCTTGAGCGAGATCTACCCGCAGACCTAGTCCGTGGTCGTTGAGCGGGGTTAGCTGTATCCTCAAGTCTAGGGTTAGCAGGCTCCTTTACTACAGGGATGTATTCGTCCTGTTCGGCCTCGCTCTCCTTATCGGAAAGAGCTATATCCGTGTCATTCTCGTCGTTCTCGTCGTTCTCGTTGTTCATAGCAGGGGTATCTCCAGGAGCGTCTGGGATCTCGATGTCGGAGCCTTCTTAAAGGTTAGCGGTTCTGGCGCCAGGGGTGGGGGAGGGAGGGGCAGATGAGGCCTGGCCATTTGGAGAGCTGGAGAGTATATCTTCTCGATGTATTTGGCGGAATGCCTGTGACCCGAGGAGTTTAGCTTGCACGCGCTGTGTCTTTTAGAGCTTGTGTAGTCCTTCTTCGCGCTTCTTTGGCTTTGCGAAGCACTTGTTGTCATCTGGGGGGTGTGGTCCATGGCATAGTGCGCACTGCGTGAATCGAGTGCATGAGTCGGGCTTGTGGTTATCGCCTGTTCGTTGACCGCAGTTTTTACAGATTTCCGGGGCTATGCACCTAGTCGGAGCATGGTAATTCCAGCAGTTGGTACACTGGGTGATTTTTGGCGCCTTGGTTAGCTTGAAAGAGAAGGCGCTCGTGCCTAGGAGCCGGAAGTTTNAGTACGTGGCATAGCAATGTGAGACATAACAAATACCCTACAGATTTGATCAAATATATCAAATCTAGAGCCTACTGGATTTGATTGTTTGAACCTCCAAATTGCTTCTGTTTGTTTGTTTATTTGATAGATTTATTTATTTGATTTGATTGGGCGGCTGCGCTGAGCATATCCCCTTTGAAGATGTGCTATCTAAAAGAGAGGTAGAGGACTCTCTGCTCCGAACAGGTAACACTACTCCCGGGGCCGATGGTATCACAACGAAAATGCTCCGCGCCGCATGGCCCAGTTTAGGAGATGCAATAACTCTCCTATATAGCTCGTGCCTTCGCCTCGGATACCACCCTGAGATCTTCCGTACAGCGGAGGTAGTTATGATTCCTAAACCCAATAAGGGCGACCTCTCCAGCCTAACTGCCTGGCGCCTAATCTCACTGCTCCTATGTCTATCAAAGGGGCTTGAACGTGCTATAGCACGTCGTCTTGCTTTCTTAGCTATCAAGTACAAGATTATCCCGCCTGAGCTTGCAGGTGCCTTGCCGAGACGGTCAGCTATTGATATTATGTCAGCTCTGATCTTCGACATCGAGAGCGAGGCCTTCAAGAAGCGACTTGTAGCTACACTAGTTATAATAGACGCTAAGGGTGCCTTCGATGCAGTCCTGCGTAATAGACTAATCAAGCGACTATGCGACCAGGGATGGCCGAGGTTCCTTGTTAAATGGGTCTTTAGCTTCATGTCTCTCCGAAAGGCATACGCCCGTTTCGGAATAGGCCGCTCGGGAGTTATCATATTACCATTCGGCCTACCCCAAGGCTCGCCAATCTCTCCTATACTATATCTCTTGTATATCGTTGCTATCTACTCCTTAGATGGTGCTGACAGAAGATACGGCTACGCTGACGATACTGCAATGCTTTTTATTGGAAAATCTCTGACAGAGACTACTCAAAGGGCTAACGAAGCTATCAAACAAATGGTCGAATGGAGCCACTCTTCCGCTATTATATTTGATCCCTCAAAGACCGAAATTATGCATTTCTCCCGGAAACAAAACGACAGCAGCCCAGCAGTACTCCATAATAGTAAAGTATACACTGCAGAAGCATCAATAAGATAGCTTGGGGTTCTCCTGGATAGAAAGCTCTCCTTTAAGGCTCATATCACCTACTAGAGATAAAAGGGCTCTAATATGGCAAATCTGCTGCGGAGTCTAAGCAATACCATATCTGGTATTGCCCCGGCTGCAGTGCGGCATGCCGTCTTCACAGTTATCGTACCGATCATGCTGTATAGTATAGAAGCGTGGCTTACAGACGACCCTACACCTTCCATGAAGGGCTCCTCACTTCATCTCTCCTAAACTCAGCTCAACGCTATATAGAAATGTCTCAACACTGCTTGTAAAGCTATTCTCCCTGTTTGGAGGACCACGCCTAATATCTACCTCTGGAAAGAGGCAGGCGTACCTGCTGCAGAGGATCAGATCAAGGCTGCTCGTGCACGTATCTCGCTTCGAATAGCTACATTAGACGACCAACACCCTCTTCGGATCCGACTCGCAAACCTCTACCACCGAATACGCTTTGAAATAAACCCCGCTGCCAGTCGAAACGTTGCACAGCGCTATATAAGGCTCTTCAGGCTTTCCAGGATACAAGAAGATNGGTTGTGGTATATGTTCGATGTATAGTCTGGGCGGTTTCGTTTGGGGCTTCGTCCTCGGTACGGAAGGGGTCCTGGAAGCATTGGACTGCTAATAGGCAGGAACGGCTGGTGAGTTGTCGCAACTCTTCCTTGAATCAATGCCGCTTGGGCTTTGCTGATTGGAATTGGGTTCGTGGCAGCCGCGGGTGTCCGCACCTTGGTGGCCTCGGGGGTGACGAGATCAATCGCCATACCTTTGGCAGCACGCTAGGTGCGATAAACGAGTTTTCGGGTGTCTTTTAGGTTCGATCCGAGTATATTATCTACCTAATTCTACAAAAGCTAAATTTGGCCCTGTAGATGTAGATGTCTCTACTAGAGGCCACCAGTGAAAACCTGTGTCTAGGGTAGGGGCGGCTCGCCAAGCGTACAAAAATCGGCTGTTTCAAAGGCATCAAACGTATATCAAATCCAGAATTATATATTTGTTTGTTTGAAAAGGTGATTGGACAATATTTGTTTGATTTGTTTGGTAGTTTGTTTGATAGGATTTGATTTAAGGGCAGCGCTGGTAACACTCCACGGGCCTAGCCCGTTACACAACTGTTCTACTACATAGGACAGAACCCCTATGTAGTGCAAGCCACTTCGGTACAGCCTGCTCCTTAGCTTGATAGCCTTAATCACATAATAGTGCATCCAAGTATTCCACTAGATCTTCTCTGTAAACTGGCGTTGGGCTCTGTCATAGGTGCGGGTGAGGTTGTATGAACAGTAGGCTCTATAACGTCGCTAGTAGTGGATGTATATTTGACAGGCTGGCAAGACGCTAGAGGGAGCGCGAGAATTAAATTGGTAGTTTTCATGGTACTGGTATTCGTTTCGAGTAGATTGTTGGGTCAAAAGAGAATACATTGTCAACGGGTAGGAAACGTCAGGCTTATATAGAAGCTGCTGAAAGCGTCAAACTGAGCTATTCAACCTATTTGCCGTCTTTCCGAAATTTCATATTAGTTGTAGAAGAATTGTCACGGTGGCGTGATACTCCACAATCCCTGCTTAGTTATCACCATGCTTGGCGTGGAGCAGTGAGGTGGATTGTGCCTAGGACGTGTGGGACTACATGACGATGATGACGTACGCTTACTTAGACCTCTTAGGCACTGTGGCACATGGGGCGGGGCGGCTGACTTTTAGCCTTGATCTTTACTAATTAATAGTACCCCTTATTAATACAGTACAGTACTATATTATACAGTATTATAATAATGATGATTATATTAAACTAATTGAAGACTACTTATAAGTCTTATCTAGTTTATCTGTAAGAATCTAGGAAACCCTTAAAATGGGGAGAAAACCTAATTCCTTTTCTGAGGTGTTAACAGTACATATACATCAGTATATATATACCGAGTTTTTTTTAATCGGCTAGCTTATCCTCTTTTCTGTATATATTATATCTAGTTATATAAATTTAGTAGATGTACCTTCCAGAAGCTAAGTAGATTTTTACTAGATTATTTTTATAAGCGCCGGCTGGATTTGAACCGACAACCTTGACTGTATAAGGCTTATACCAGGTGAATCACAGTATTATAATAATACATGCAATAAATATATTAATACTTAGTTTAATTTTAATATGCTGACATGAGTGTCGCTAATGCTGTGCCACATTTATCTCATTGATCAGTTATCCGTAAGTGTGTAAGTGGCGATAACTAATCTCCCAAATGTATTCATTAGCAGGAAATTGTGGGCCACTCGCAACCAATCAGGACGCGCCGCCACTGATGAGGAACTGAGCCTTGGAGATGAACCCAATAAGGGGTTTCTAAATTACGCGTGACTATACAAAGTTATCAAAGTCATTTGAGCTTGCCTACAAGATAATACCCTCGCCTTTTCATTATTGATCAAGTTTTTACAAGGTAATTAAAATACAATTCTTTGTATTCTGCTGTGGGCATGGTGTAGCGGTCGTTTTCTACAACGGTCCGGGCAATACCGTCTTGCCCCGCGCCGATATGGATGCGCTTCCGATACTGGAGACCACTGGGTTGCCGTATGCTAGTACAGTCATTGCAAGAGACAGCGAAGGCAATAAGCGACCGGTGATGCACGCCTGCGGCCACGATATGCACATGACTTGCCTCTTGGGGCGCTTACTCAGCTCCAAGGTTTCTGGAGTGGCAGCCCGCGGAGGAGCGAGGAACTGGTGGTCAAGCCATGGTTGATGACGGTCTTTACGAAAGGCACAATATTCCCATCCTAGACTTCGCACTCGGCCAGCATGTTGCTGCTATGAGGGCCGGTACTGTCGGTTCTCGCGTGGGGCCGATCATGGCGGCTGCAGACAGCATGAGGATTACTATAACTGGCCGCGGGGGCCACGGCAGACAGGTAGGCTAGGGCTATACCGGTATCACGCTATTGCTAATGTGTTCTTAGCCACATCGTACAGTTGATCCAGCTGTAATAGCAGCTCATGCCGTTGTCCGCCTGCAGAGCATTGTCAGCAGCGAGATTGACCCGAATGATATCTCTATATTGAGTCTGCAAGCAGGACAAACAGAAAATGTGATCGCTGATACAGCGGAGCTCGGCATCGATATATGAACCCTGCCCCAAGACAGTCATATCCCCAGTTCCTAGGTTTTTGTGATGGCTCCAGAGGAGTGTCAAAATTGCGTAACGACCTCCAAGCTTAGGTGTATGCGGTTTAGACAGTCGCTTAGGAACTAAATCAAGAACAAGCGTAGTCAGCATACCTATGGCTCTCTAGTTGATGCATGGAGCTATCCGGTGGACTGTGTACCTTCCTGATAATATTTACCGCAAATCTAGCCGCTTAAGTCGTTAGTCAAGTTCCTACACAGCACCAGAGGCCAACAATCGGCCCGAGCGCGAGCCACCTCTTCGACAAAGGCGTTGGCGATTAGTTAGCATGTATGTGTTAACGGTGCCAACGTACTGTACTATAGTGCGCTAACCGACTACGTGGGAAGTTGGCACTGATTATTCAGTAACTCTGAATCAATGTTTACTATTATATAAATACCTTATATTTTGCCACGGAGGTCAAAGTAATTCATGAGCCAAGCAACAAATTAGCTTGAATCCCTAATCCGAACCAATCCGCCATACAACGTCTCTATTGTTGCTAGCGAACGACATAGGGCTCAGAGCATCATGCCTTCACTCTACGTCACTATTGTTATGGTATTTGTGACCGCCTGCACTGCAGATCAAATGTCGGTGAATACCGAGTGCGGCGGAGGATTTGGCATCCAAGACTGCGATCACCGCAATGGAGCATTCTATACTGACTATGGAACTTATGGTGTTGATGCCAGCGATGGCTGTAGAGCCACAAAGGTGCCATCAATGACGCGTCTATGTGTGGACTGGAAGAATAAGCGGGCACATTTCACATTCAGTAACCAAAACAAGCGATGTCTCCTTCAGAGATCAAGCACTCCGTACGGTTGTTCTGCCGATAAGTGCTTGCATTCAGAATGGGATGAAGTTGGTTGCACCTGGTGAAAGATGGTATTTCTAGTCTCAATTGAACTTCGTGGGGCTGGTACTGGATGAAATGATAATGAATGACTTTGCAGATTTGTATTTTTTACTGCTAGGCTAGGATCTGTGTCGGTTGATGTAACGAAGTGGCTTGCATTATTGGGGTGGTAACGGTAGGGTGGTAACGGTCTCTATTTATTCTAGCAAAGATTATTGGGGGTGTAGGGATAGTATTAGTGCAGATAGGGCCAAAAGACTTGGTGAAAAAAAAAAGTGACCTTGAAAGTATAAGACCAGTAGGCAAGCAGTAGCAAACATAAAGGAAACTAAATATATAGATTACACTTCCTTTCGTAGAGGGATAATTTTCCTATATTTTTATAACGCGTTGAGAGGTCTAAAAGAGCTGATATTGTTCTTAATGCTGGCGTCGACAGCGCCTATGTGTAAGCAAAAAGATACATAGAGGTAGGTGATAGATAGGAAGGGCTAACTAGAGGTAAAGCCTACACGTTATATCGTAGATTAAAAAGGAGAACTAATCAGAGCAAGAATAGTTTATATTATGTTACGGACTGACCAGGGCTAGCTAGCAAAAGGGGTGTCTTAAGACAGAGATTAATTCTCTTAAAGAACATCTTCCAAAGTCTTCCGCTCGCGGAAGACTTTATATAGAGACCCTGGATAGGGGTAACAAGCATCTGCTTGTTATATTGATTATATCCCCTTGGCGATTAACAGGGCCCTTACTAGGCCTTGATCTGTTTGTTTGTTTGTTTGTATATTAACGTCTATATAGCGCTACAGAGTAGCATAAGATGTGTAGAGGAGGGGCTAACATACAGTAGTTCCACAGGTCGACGAGCCACTGTAGGTGGTTCCAGCGGCGCACGTGAGTGCGCGACGCCAATGCCTTCGGGTCCACCCCGTTGGTCGCCACGTCCTGTCCTGCCTCCTCCCTCAACCACAGTTTCACGCCCGAAGGCCATCGTTATCTAACTCCTTACCCGACTCGGGATCCAGAGGATGCCTCAGCCAGCCTCGGCAAGCTGATCATCTGTTGCCATCTGGTTTCTTGATGGGGACCAGTCCACCCTGTTGCCGATGGGCGTCTTTCCCAAGCAAAGTTTTATCTATCTAAGGTAGGGAAGGTCGTGCGGACCAAAACAAAGGAAAAGTAAATAAAGGGTAAACAAAGGGAATACCTCTCCGTCCTCCGATGACGTGAAGGGGGCAGGCTATCTATAGGACTAGTAGGCGCGGCAGATACGATTGAAATATACCTCGGCGATACGAAGAAACACCTTGTACTGTTCGCTAAGATACCTCGCGATTACCTTTTCAGGCTCGGGTGTCAGCCGAGCTCGAAGGGCGGGAGGGATCTTGCGGCAGTAGAAGATATGTGTTGGGGTCTTCTCTCGCCCACAGGGGCATTCAAGTATCGTGTTGTGATGGTGAAACCGTTCGTGGTACGCAGCGAAGTCGCCATGGTTGGTGCGTGCTGCCAGCAGGAAGCGGAGTTGTTTTCTAGGAACCTCGAGCTCAGGCAGCTTTGAGAGATCAGCCTTGATATTTGGTGTTTGCCTCCGGTAAGTAGCTTTCTCTATACTATTCTACCAGTCGAGAAAGTACTGGCGGGGGAGCTGCCGAACTACTCTGCGTGTCTGCGAGATAGATAGGGCTATCATGCAGACTGGGAGAGATGCGCCCTCCTTTGCCAGTTTGTCCGCTTTTTCGTTTCTAGGTATATCCTTGTGCCCGGGTGTCTACCAGACCGTGATACGCCCCGGATATTTGTCTCCTAAGGCCCAGCGCAGCCGCTCGACCAAACAAATCAAATCAGGGGTTCAGATTTGAGTGTTTGACTCCATGATCATGACATATTTGACTGTTTGATAGTATTTGATAGTATTTGACATGTTTGACAGATTTGATTGACTAAATTACATAGTGTGTGGTATTGACTCTACAAAATTGAAGTCTCTATTAAACACTGCACCTCTCCGCATCCAATTCTTCAAGCACTGTACCTTTTCCAAGACTGATGACGACATCGAAAGTCTTTGTGATGTTAATGTCAGCTTAGCCAAGCTGAATGCTCTTTCACAATCTGCAGCCATGGCTGGAATTTCAAATATATCCAAAGCAAGCTTGCTAAGATTTGGAAATGATGCTTGATGTGATATCCACCATTGAACAGGATCATCTACTCGTTGAGGTAGATCGAGCCTGAAATATCGATCAAGCTCTGAGCTATCATCTGAAAGCCTTATTGTTCTACTATTCAACCATTTCTGATATCGGCTATCCTCATGAGATGATTGGGTAGCTATGGTATTAGTTTTCTGGCTTGTATATTCTTCGGTAAGTCGAGAATGAATATCATGATGATACCAACGTTCCTAGAAGTCTTCTAGACCTTTCTTGGCATCATAAAGCCATATAAGTTGTTCCTTTCCATTCCAACGTTCCTGTAGCCAGCGAAGACTGTAGTTAGGATGTAGTATAACTGCTGCAGCGAAAAGAGGCGAGTCTCCAAGCTTAATATAGTAGTCATTCAACTTCTACTATGCATTTGTGTTGGTTCAAGGCTTAATAACACGTGTTATCGAAAAGTGAGAGGTTGTGGTAAAAGTTCGTTGTTCTCTTCTAGTTCCATGGTCGGAACTGCTCTAGTTAAATACAGCGAATGCATCCTGTATTCACTTCCTTTTCCTATGTCATCCGCTTCCAGTGACTTAACTGTTCCTTCACTCATCTGGTAGAGTGATATACGTCCAATGTCACAATAGTTACAACATTATTCTCAATTAAGAAAGTCTGAAGATGTGTCTGCTTTGTAAGAGCACGATCAATCATCATATATATCGAGTTCCATCTTACATCGTTATTTAATATAACCTCCAGCTCTCGAGTTGACAGCTCAAGCATCTTTATCAGTCATTGAGGAATCAAGCTAAGGGAATAGATGCTTTATACAAGTATCATTATTCGTAGCATTATCACAGATGATAGTACCAATCTGATTTGTGATATCCCAATCTTGTATGACTTGGCGTAAAGTGTATGCAAGATTCTTACCGGTATNAACCGACCTCTACCCCTCTTTTTTTCACCCTAACCCTACCCCCATATTAAAAAACCGACCTCTACTATGAGGTCGTTGCTGCCTATTTGTTAGGGAATGGCTGGCGGGCCAACAAGGGGAAGTATGGACAAAAGAAAGCTCATTGGGGAGGTGTTGATGAGCGCAACACTGCCGAGCGGTTAGGTGGAGGTATTACTACCTATGTGTACAGATTCTATTGAAGTACACGTCCGCGATTCGACAGAACACCTTGAACTGCGAGCCGAGAAAGCGACCGATAGACTTCGATACATCGGGTGCGAGCCGAGCTCGAAAGCCTAGAGGGACCTTTCGGCAGTAGAACAAGTGTGTTGGAGTCTTCTCGTGGCCGTATGGGCACTCTAGTGTAGTGTTGTCGTGATGGAAGCGCTGATGGTACGCGGCGAAGTCGCCGTGGTGAGACTGTGCAGCGAGGAGATGTCGGAGTTGTCGTTGGGGGATATCGAGTTCTGGGAGCTTTGATAGGCCAGCAGTGAGTCTAAGAGACTGGTAGGTTCTCTTTTCCACCGATTCCTACCATGTGCGAAAGAGGCGGGGGAGCAAAGCGCGGATCTCGCGCCGTCGCTGCGCAATTGATGGTGCAAGATCTCGAAGAGGCCCTGCGGCCCCTTTCTTGGCTAGAGCATCNCCAGTCGAAACGTTGCACAGCGCTATATAAGGCTCTTCAGGCTTTCCAGGATACAAGAAGATATAGATAGCATCCCGCTTATCCCAAGACGCTTTAATGACAATATCCATACTATATTGAACTCGGCCTTAAAGGAAGAGGAGATACAAGTACATCTCTCCTGGCTCCGTATTAACCCTGATGGGCTTATTGTTTACTTGGACGGTTCGAAGCTCGAAGATAATAAAGTAGGTTATAGCTATATTATCTATAGGAATAGGACCGAGATTGATAGAGGATCTCGGCAACTCGGCTTTAGAGAGGTCTTCGACGCTGAGATCTCTGGTGCTCTACGCGGCCTCCGGCAAGCTATAAAGCACTGTACCCCAAACACTCCGATTACTGTATGTATTGACAACTCGTCCGTGGTACGTGGCATCGGAGGCACCGCCCTTATGTTATCTCGTGCTGAATTCCTCGCATTCCAAGCCATTAGAGATGAATTCCCAGGCAGAATATCAGTTAGATGGACCCCCGGACATAAAGATATACCTGGCAACGAAGCAGCAGATACTCTAGCCAAGAAAGGGGCCGCAGGGCCCCTTCGAGATCTTACACCATCAGTTGCACAGCGACAGCGCGAGATCCGCGCTTTGCTCCCCCACCTCTTTCGCACATGGTGGGAATCGGTGGAAAAGAGAACCTACCAGTCTCTTGGACTTACCGCTGACCTATCAAAGCTCCCAGAACTCGATATCCCCCGGCAACTACTCCGACATCTCCTCGCCGCACGGTCTCACCACGGCGACTTCGCCGTGTACTATCAGCGCTTCCATCACGACAACGCTACACTGGAGTGCCCATGCGGCCACGAGAAGACTCCAACACACTTGTTCGGGATGTTCGCGGCGGATTTATGAAGCTTCACTGCTATGTTGTCCTTAGGGTATATGCCCTTTTGTTCACCGGGTTACTAACGCACAAAATTATCCCATTGGCTTAGGAGGGATTTGGAGAAATCCCGTGCGATTTGTAGAGCGTAGCCTGTGGTATATTGTTTGGCGCAGTCGTTAATCACGGTCGCAAAGGTTCTTAGGACTTCGGTACGCGTCTGAAGGCGGTCTATTTCTTTCGTGAGAACGCTTTCGGCATATTATTCGATGTCAATTGGGCCAGGATTATCTAGTTCGTCCGCCAGGTTATAGTATATGTTTGATGTGTAGTCTGGGCGGTTTCGTTTGGGGCTTCGTCCTCGGTACGGAAGGGGTCCTGGAAACATTGGACTGCTACTAGGCAGGAACGGCTGGTGAGTTGTCGCAACTCTTCCTTGAATCAATGCTGCTTGGGCTTTGCTGATTGGAATTGGGTTCGTGGCAGCCGCGGGCGTTCGCACCTTGGTGGCCTCGGGGGTGACGAGAACAATCGCCATACCTTTGGCAGCACGCTAGGTGCGATAAACGAGTTTTTGGGTGTCTTTTAGGTTCGATCCGAGTATATTATCTACCTAATTCTACAAAAGCTATATTTGGCCCTGTAGATGTAGATGCTCACATCCACGTACACTACGATAGCCCTGTTTATAGGGTAGGACTATGGCGTGATATTTTGTTATATATGAGCAGGGTAAGATGATGAGATTTAATGCCGATCAGTGCCATTGTAAAAGATTTGCTATAGGAAACGAATCCAAAGTATTTATAGACTGGTTTGAGGAAGACAAGTATAATCAAGAAACATCCCTTCACCAACGTCCTCCGTTATTGTTTGCTTCGATAGTAGGACTGGTAATCCATCAGAGGATGAGCTTAACAAGCCTACGTCTGAGACAATTTGTATCAGTTGGCCTAACTTTGTGTCATATCGCATTTTTAAATCGAAGTATGATGCAAATAGTGAATCTCGCTCAAGTTGCACTTCCTTCAACTCTGTTTCTAACTGACAGATGCGACTTTCTCTGCGTTCGCGATACTTGCGTTGCGCTTCCCGGCACTGCTCTCGGCGACGCTACGAGATGCATTAGTTATGGGAACAGGATATATTCGGCCCAACGGAGTCTTACATTCATAACAGCTGGACTGGCATTCTTATATCGGCCAGGTCTCTTTGGTCGTTTGGTTTCAGAAGATTTTGCTGACTTAGTTGCTTCCAATGGTAGAGATGGGGAAGATGCCTCAGAAGCGTTTATGCCAATGGTTTCGCGATCAGGGTTGGAGGATATCTAACGATGAAATGCAATATTAATACCAATCCATGCCAGGTTCAACCGGTCGGGGTAATACGTACGGAATTCTCAATTGGCTGATTAAAATATAACAAGCCCCAGGCTTCGTCGACGTTGATATGAGTAGGATGTGAGTTGATAACTTTGTTAAATTCGTAATCCGTTGCAATATTCGCGACAATTTGGTCCGTATTTTGTTCAAAGTCCATGGTGTAGAGAAGTTCGGTGAACGGGTCCGTCGTAACATGACTGGGCTGTGACATAGTTGCTTGGTATGTAGTATTGTACTTAAGCACTGCCACTGAATGTTGCCACTAGAGAGTAGAGGAGGAAACTCAAATTCGAGTCGGCAGTTTAGAATAATTAATAAAGGAGCGCACCTGAGCCGGCACCTTGTATAATAATATAATTTGGGAACAGTGATTCATGGTTGAGCCTGTTGGGTTCAATTGGCGAGTTTAAGTTGAATACGCGGCTAGCTCTATCCAAGGGTGCTTCAAGGTCGATCGGATGGATGCAAGGCACCCCCATTTCGGCAACAACAGAAGCAGGAGGTGCCGTTGCGACGATTTTGGGATGGGGCCCTGGCTAGACAACTCAGCGCTAGTTAAACGAGGATGTGGGGATACTACCAGGTCCAAACCTTGAAAGAAATTTCGATGGAACTGCCGTCGATGTTACCGACCATTCTTATCGATAGTGGCGTAGAAGCATTAATTCTAACTGTCCCACTGCGGGCGCAAATCGGAGGAATACCTAGCTGACGGCCATGGGGAACTTCCGGATAATATCACCCGCGCGTCCCGACCTGTCTTTCTCCTGCGGTTATATGAATCGTGAAGGAATAAAATAAACCAGGGTTAAAAGCTGTCTGTGATCCTTTCGCATCGTTTACAGATTCCAGGTAGTAGCACCGATCACGGATTCGAGAACATTGCGGTATCGTGGTCTGGCGAGAGTGCGGCGGGGTTTGGTTCATGCATAATATTGCCGACACCCCACAGAATAAACCAACGTTTACACTCTTACTGTGTGTCCACCCCACGGAAGTAATCAGCCACTGAAAAGTGACCGTGAAGGGCGGCCTAGACATGCCGTCTGTTATCACGTAGAGTATAACTCTCCGATATATACAACAACTTTTTATTTTCTGCGGATCTGTCGAGCGAACCAAGAGTCACCAGCTGACTCGCTCCCTTGCCGGCATATGTAGTCATGGGCTCGATGTACTACTATAGTAGTTTGTTTATGTTATTAATTAACCGATAACTCTCCTTAGAGATTTTTCCGGAGGCTTTAAGGGAGATATGGCTTCCTTAAAAAAAAAAGTACCTCGATGTTGAGCGTGATACGCCCTCGACGTGATTTGGTACTCGCGGATAAATATGTAATGTAACGGGTGGTGGTCTCTATAGTATTAATATAATATTGCTATAGCTAGGAGAAGTGTATTATCGCTAGGCTCGCTAATTTTAGCGGCGAATTTAAGTGGCATAAGATACGATCAACCGCTCGCAAGGCACCACAAAGCATTTTGCAGGACACTAGCGTGACGCTAGTTAAACGAGCAAGTGGAGATATCGGATGGAAGCGCCGCCAGCCATAAGAGTGGCGCTGAGTGGGGCGGGGTGAGGACGGAATGCATTCCATGCTCCACGTAGTGAGTGACAGGGCGGAGAAGCAATTAGGAGGTTCCGCTGCAATAGTCGTTTGTAGAGTAAGATATTACTTGCTTCTAGCTGCCTACGCTATTAATAGTCGCTGTAACGTATTATATAATATCAGCATTCTTTCATGGGTACTTAACCTATTTCTTCTCTATTAGCAAAGTGAGCAGATGCTCTTTTGGCTGACCCTATAAGCTAATGATGAGAGACAGAAAAGATTTTTTGTTTGTCGTGAAATCTGGAAAATCACGTTCAAAATAATCCTCCTATGATCTATTTAGTTGACCAATATCTTGTTTAGATAGTAGGAGTAGCCGAAAAGACGACTCAAGTAGTCTATTGCCGTGACAACACACAAGGAGCTTATTCGGTGCTTGTCTGAATCGCTAGAAGATAGGATAAGCTAAAAAAATCGATCCGATCGCTTGGTGGAGGGATGTTGGCGCTGTGTGCTTTCTAAGTGTAACGTGAAGTGAAGTGAAGTGAATTTATTTACGTCTATAGAGCGCTCTAGCGGAGCATAAGACGTGCAGTGCAGGTATTAAACAGTTCCAGAGGCCGCTTATCCATTGCGGACAATACCAGCCGTATATATTCAAGATATACACGACGCCAAGCCGTAGGGTCGATCCCAAGCAGTAATTGAACACAATTACTAGGTTAAAACAATCCAAAGATTGGGGCCTCCGGCTAGATTCGAACTAACGCCCCATAGTATAGGAATACCTATGGAGAACCATGGTGGTTTACAGACTTCTCAACAATCAGTCAGCTATCAGTCAGTACTGATTACTGATTGATACTGATACCATATCAGTATCAGTACGGCCGTAATCAATCAATCAGTCTATCAGTCGCTCACGTGACTACGTGGAATCGCCAACACGCGTCGCGCAACGCGTCGCGTCCCAGCCCAAGGTTCCGTTGGATAAGAGATACATCTTATACCATACAAAAACGTACACAATCGGCAGTAGTCATTAGCTATCCATCTTATATAGGGTAACCACTACATATGTTTCGCAGTTTCTAACCCTTAGATATAATAACTTAGTAACTTATATTAAATTATATATAATCTATTGTAAGTATTTCCTTCAAGTTTCTCACAGTATTAACCGCTACTTAATACCCACTTTCAGAGATATTCGTAGCTTAACTGTAGAGAAAGCTTGTAGAGACAAAATCACTAAGTTATCGAGATTCGATGGAGGCTAATGCAGAGAACTGGCTTGCTTGATCATCAAACCTATGCCTCTAGAGAGCTCAACGCTCCAATATCAACCGACCACTACAATGACGCGACAAGGATTTGAACGCGTTAAATACGCGCACAAACTGCGGACTATTCTATACCGACGCGTCGATGCAAATTATGCTTTGTCGCCTCTCTTCGTCGCCATGACTGCCATCAGAGCTATTTCATGAGAATACTGCAGTTCTAGAAACGGTTCTAAAGGTCTCCTAAATTGCGCACACGATTCGACATGAGCGCCGAATCATCTTTACTCGCGGCAGATATAGCACGCGAGGAATTTAGCTCACCAGCACCAGAGTCCTACATCTCCACCGCGGATGAGGACCGTTCGTGGCAGTTAGCATCGTCTTCTCCCTCCTTTGTCCCGCTATCATCATTCCCAGTCCAACGGCCGAAAAAACGCAGGCTTCGCGCTCCAGATACGTGGAAGTACTTTCGCCTGCCTCGAGGAGACGAAGATACACATCAGAATAGCCAGAGGTTGTGGTATTGCGATCGATGTCAAACTCCGCCGTGGCGTACAGTATCAANATATTACAATATGACTGAAGAAGTACCTGTTTATACAGCTGCTCTTCTCCTCGATCCCTCTCGTAGAGCAGCATATATTCGAAAGAACTGGCCAGATGCTTGGGTTCAGCCAGCTATTAACGCTGCTACGCAACTCTGGGAAGAGAATTTTAAGGTAAAATCTATTACAGATGATGACCTATCTATACCCTCATCAATACCACCACCGGAAACCCCTCTAAGAACGCATGGTATTGAACTTGATCTACTGCTTAAGGATATGGAAGTTATTACAGCAGATTTGAGGGAGGATGAGTTCAAGAGCTTCATCGATTTACCACCTTTCCGTATTGATTGTAGTCCTCTTGAGTGGTGGGGTCGTGCAGAGCAGAAATCGCGCTATCCACGACTCCATAGTATGGCTATAACGATATTATCTATCCCAGCAGAGTCATCTGAGCCAGAGAGAGCCTTTTCTGGCTCTAGAAGGACATGCTCATGGGATAGATTAAGCCTCTCATGTCTTAACATTCAGAGAATAGAATGCATTGGCAGCTGGATACGAGAAGGCCATATTCGTCTCTCTAAGCTTAATGGAATGGGTCTGCCAATGGAGGATGCAGCAGAGGATGAAGACGATGAGTTACAGGGTGAGATTCTGGATGAAATTGGGTGGATTTAGGGTAGTATTACTTTTTCTAGCTGACTAAGATTTCTATGGTTATAATATGGTTATAATATGGTTATGGTTATTGGTGGTTATGGTTACCACCCTTGTGGTTATTGATGGTTATGGTTACAGCCCCCTGACCTGAATAACTATATTTAACCATATGCCCAGGTATGCTACCAACTACTAACCCCTCCGAGTGACACCCTGAATTCCATCGCATCGTAGCGGTATCATGCCAAATATGCGGTAGACATACCATGACCGTTAATTCGAATTATCCCTCCAAGGCTGTATCATATCCCATTAATTCTGCATATTCGTGCGCCGGCATGGCACGCTGGAGACGACACTCCTCTGCCCATTCGTCATCTGGACAAGGCGCGACTGCATGCTGATTCCGAAGCCACCCAGCGTGTACCTGGATCATCGTGTAGAGGGCGGGAAAAATATAAAAGAGGGCCTTAGTGTGCATATTGGGTATAAAACTTGTTGGTAAAGATGCCACTGCTGTCAAGTAGAAGGGCGGACGATCGAGATGTGAAGAGCTGGATGACCTCTGACAGCGGTTACGGTTACACTTGCATCACGTGATATGGACTCGGCGAGCGGGGTAGAGCCTCTAGGCTGCGCAGTGTGCTGGGGTGAACGGATGACGATCATGTGAAATTATAGGACGCATAGTTAGCTTGGTCCGTAGCGTTAACCATAGCAAAGCGACATTCGAAAAGCATTTGCTTTTACCTCACATCGAGACAGCTGCCCTTTCGTTTCTGAAAGAGACCTTCGGATTAGAGGCGTGACCATGCTCGAAAATTGTCACGCTGTGGACTAACTCTCAAAAACCCTTTCTTTGTGGTAGCTTTAAAGGTATTCCAAAGGCACCGCTTCAATTAGCTTAGCGCGCCTGATGCAGGCGATGCGCTCTCTCGCCAGCAGCAGTATGAGGCAGCAGAGGAGATACATTGCGAGACCCTTGCCCTGCGACAACGCGTACTCGGAGAGGAGCATCCAGATACACTCACTAGTAGGAGCAATCTTGCGTTGGTGGAAACGTTAGTGCCAAGGCAATTTAGCGCCTTTGCGCCGCCTATGCCGCCCCAGGACGTAAGCTTGCGTTCTACAGGAACCCAGTCAACGTTGAGTTCGGTAAACCGTTTCTGGAAGTCACGTTGAGCACGCTTCGAAGTTGACACAGCTATTCTCGTTTCGTCAGGCTTGTACAGAGGCTCCGGAACCGTTTCGTTCACAGCGCTCTCGATTTCGGACTTGAAGGCGTTAATCTAATATACGCCTGGGGCAACGTTTACGTCTTCTACTGTATCTCCTGTCAGTGTCGTCATCCTCCCCTTTCGGAACACGAAGGGTTGCTTGACAGGTTGCGGACCGGTACTCGGGAGTGGGCTGTGGAGTTCGACTTGTTGATGCCATCACTAAAGATTCTTAGTTTACGATTTAATCGCGCCTATATAGAAATATATACAAGGCAAAAAGAAATTATTGACTAGATGATCTGTAAACCCGAGCAGGCGGACTAGCATCGAGGCGCTGTTGGAGAAGTCGATCGCCGATCTATCCATAGACAGCGCCATGGCACGGAAAAATGCTCTCAACACGTTGTCCCGGGATTTCCCAAAAGCCGCGTATTCATAAACCAAACGCACCAGTTTTGGGCGATTGTACTTCTTGGGTTCAGAATCGTCGCCAAAGTGGTCAAGTATGTCCTAAAAACATCGTTCAGCATTATTTCGGAGATCATCGGCGAGGGGGGGCTGGAGGAAAAGCTTATAATTTCTTGCAAAGAACTTTGATGTCGGTGGATAGGAGTCGCCATTGGCAAATAATTTGCAAAGGGCGAAGGGAGAATACAATATGGAATCACGTCGCATTCAAGATGCAGATGTCAAGTCAAACGCAGAGCGGTAGGTTGTTTGGTCACGTGATAAGCGCCATCGTGCGCGCAGCATCCCAAGCTCAAGACATGCACAAGATGGAAGATCTGGTCAGGCAAGGCTAGCCAAGAAAAAAAATATCAAATTTTGCGCTAACTTTGTATAGAAGGTCAAGATACTTCCTTCGTTGGTTGTTGTTCCTCCGCCAGTTCGTTTCTCTATTCATCAACATCCATTACCCATTGCGTTGCGATGCCTAGTGGGAACTTGTTTAATACAAAGTAATCAATGTGCTCCTTGGTCAGGTTGTTCAAGTTGAACAGTTGCTCCTCCGTAAACTTTGCGATTGCATCAATCGCACTGATACGCTTAGGATCATCAGTCTGCGAACAGAGTCGATTACGATATTCACGAATAGCGCCTTCGATGGTCTCGGGGATTCTAGGTCGCTTCGCTGGTGAGCTACCAATCACATTCGTAATATGAATGCCAGGACTCTCCTTTCTTTTCTTGACTTTCGTTACCTTTCGCAGCCTCTCTGCCAAGTGTGGAGGCATGTCGGCATGTATTTCAAAACGCCGACCCTTCATAACTAAGCCGACAAGATCTTCCATAACCGTGTTATCAACAGGGTATCTCTTGTTATCTTCTTGGTCTTCCCAGCAATATGGGCCAATGTTGCACTGGCCTGGGCACTCAAGAATACTAACAACAGCCTCCCAAGTGTTATATGAGCTAGCAGTCTCTGGATTGTTTTGGAAATGTATACGCTGAGCGAATTGCCTGTTTGTGGCAGGGCCTCCACACCGTGGCGGTTTGTCCGGTGTGTCTAGGGTGGTGATTTCGCTGAAGATAAAGGAGATCTTCAAGGTTAATGTCCTGCCTCGAGTGGAAACCAAGTCAGACCACTCCTTGATTTGCCTATCAAGCTTATCCTAGGCAACACTGTGCTGTAGGAAATATAACTCGACTGGCCCGACGCCTCGTTCGGTGATTGTGAAGTTTACTTGGGTTTTACTAGGGACATGTGTCTCGCTCAACGACTCCGCCGCGATGGCACTGTTAATAAGACGCTTTAGCTCTGTCCGCCAAAAGATGCTTGGGTAAAGTTCGATATTCTGTATCGTGTCAGTGGCTAGCGTCTGCAGCTTCTTCTTCATTATACACAAAGCCCATTTGATAGTATAGGGGGGATAATTTGCTCCAGTTAAGGGTTGACTGATTGCGCTTGACTGGCCTAGGCTGTTTTGCAGACAGCCATGGCCGCCTTTAACATTAACAACTACAGGCGTAGAAAAGTCAAGATCCTCGTAATTATATTGCCACAAAAACTAGTCCTGGCTATTATTCTCCATGGCTAAGAGTTACTGCTATACTTGGGCACGGCACGAAATGGAGAGCCTCAGAGGGCAGTAAAGGAAGAAGGAAGTGGGCATGGCGAACTATCCAACAATACCACCAAACTGTCGTCAGAACCGTCCCCCTTCCCTTCCGCCCCGTTAGCCCAATGCCGCCGTCTGTAGGGGCGTGCAGGGTTGGTACCAGGTACAAGTGGGGTAGGTCCGTCTATACCTTGTCCGAGTTCAAGAAAGACTTCTATGAATGCCTTTCTAAGTAGAAAAGAGAGTATATAAAAAATAAAAGTCTTATTCATTTGTTGTTAGCATGTTAAAAGAATGGGACTTGTGAGGATAAAATAGCTTCTGGGTAGTGGTATTGAAAGGCACGGTTGACGCGACGCTGGAGGTAGGAACATACGCTAGAACCCGGCGTAGGTGAAAACTGCCCTGGCAGCATGTACTTTGCCCAAGTTGGCTCCTAAATTATTCGCACAGTATCAGCCACATTTCAGCCAAGAGTGGATGTACCAAATATTTTGTTGTATTCGGCGAGGGCGGACACTCTTTCGGTTGACCCTGTAACTTGGTTGTATAAATATCTTTTTTTCCACCCTACTGCATTCGTCACCCTACTGCATTCGTCACCCTACTGCACGTCACCCTACTACATTCGTTCTTGTCTACATAAAAGTCCTCACGCCTTCTCTCAGACAATGACAAGCTACGTATCACAAGTAGCGTCACCCAGCGCTGCCCTCAAATCAAACAAATCAAATCCGGGCCTATATTTGTTTGTTTGATATATTTTGAAGCCATATTTGTTTGTTTGAAATATTTGATCAAATATTTGAAATGCTGACTACTCGTTCATGCTACCAACGCTGCTGTCTGCTCCCCGGCACCAGACCACTGACCCCAGCTTCACAGCACCATGTCTCGTCCAGTTTTTGAAGCACTGGAGGGCCTCCAGCGTCGTTGGGCTCATCGAAAGTCTTTGTGATGTCAAGGACAACTTTGCCAAACTGAACGACCTTTCGCAATCAGTAGCCATTGCTGGTATCGCAAACACATCCAGCGCCAGTTGACTGAGCGCAGGGAACGAAGCTTGATGTGTCAGCCACCAGCTGATCGGGTCATCAGTATCCTGAGTCTCCATTCGCATGTACCTGTCAAGCTCGCTGCCTGTCGTCGCCGCTTTACTCGTTCTACTCTTCACCCACTGCCTGAACTCACTCGCTTCGCCGCGCTTGTCGGCTGTTGCCAACGCTCTTACCACGCCTGCAGTGGCCGGCTCATCAGTAGCATGAGGTACCAAGCGACGGTACCACTTATCAAAGTAATTAGAGAGACCGGTCTTGGCATCTCTCACCCATACAAGCTGCTCTTCCGTCGCCCAATTTGTCTCCAAGTATCTAATTCCAAGCCCAGGATGTAGAATAATCGCCGCTGCGAACAACGGAGACTCTCCTAGTTTAATATAGTATTCGTNCAGGATTGTCCAGTTCGTCCGCCAGGTTGTGGTATATGTTCGATGTGTAGTCTGGGCGGTTTCGTTTGGGGCTTCGTCCTCGGTACGGAAGGGGTCCTGGAAGCATTGGACTGCTACTAGGCAGGAACGGCTGGTGAGTTGTCGCAACTCTTCCTTGAATCAATGCCGCTTGGGCTTTGCTGATTGGAATTGGGTTCGTGGCAGCCGCGGGTGTCCGCACCTTGGTGGCCTCGGGGGTGACGAGATCAATCGCCATACCTTTGGCAGCACGCTAGGTGCGATAAACGAGTTTTCGGGTGTCTTTTAGGTTCGATCCGAGTGTATTATCTACCTAATTCTACAAAAGCTAAATTTGGCCCTGTAGATGTAGATGTCTCTACCAGAGGCCACCAGTGAAAACCTGTGTCTAGGGTAGGTGCGGGTCGCCAAGTGTACAAAAATCGGCTATTTCAAAGGCATCAAACGTATATCAAATCCAGAATTATATATTTGTTTGTTTGAAAAGGTGATTGGACAATATTTGTTTGATTTGTTTGGTAGTTTGTTTGATAGGATTTGATTTAAGGGCAGCGCTGTTGCAAAGGGGCGGACACTTTTTGGGTCGACCCTGTAATGAATAACCAATGAATAAATAATATTGATGTTTAATTCCAATAGAGTAAACAGAGAGCTTTAGTAGCAAACGTTATTTTCGTTGTTATCAGAGTGCCATGAATGTTGACAGCAAAAGTAGAACTTAGCGCATCTCCCTGGAACAACCTGAAGACCGTAGCACCGCCGGTTACTTTCCATTCGACCGCCTGCGGACTCGCAACAGTCTGCTGAGGCGGCACCCCAAAACGGCTCATTTTTCGGATTATAGCACCATGATCCAGATTCGTTGGGAGCCATCTCCCCATCAGCATGCACAGGCGGCAGCTGGCCGGACGGGGTAGACTGCTGAAGATGGCATTCTTGCGCCCATTCATCAGTAGGACACATAGCAAAATCTGTGCTATTCGCTTCTATGCGTAGTGGGAGATGTTGAATAGCGCCAAGAGCAGGGGCAGCAAGAAAAAGGGTAGAAAAACGCATGATTGCTGAACTAAATAAGAGTTAAAATAACAATAATGAATAGATTATTGTAGATAGTAGATAAACCTTGATGCTAAAAGAGTTGATTGTAGAGAGCTTAAAAGAATAAGTAGGTTCGCTGTATGTTGTTTATATACTTTTTTGTTATAGCTAGTGGGTTTATATGAGTGAATTTTTGTGTTAAAGATTAGGTAAAGAATATAAGGATTATTAACTATAATATGTAGACTTATATACATACAAGCCACCTTGCTCGGTTGGTTGAACTTTTGTTCCTGTGCTCGGTATACATGCATCCATGCAAGCCTGATATTGTATAGCGTCGTCTATCTTGTTTGTATTCTCGGTTGGCGTGACTAGATATTGGTTGGTTGGTTGGCTGTGCTATTGGTTGGCTATACTATTGGTTGGTTGCGCTCCTGCATATTAGTGCATGCAAGCCACCTTGCTCGGTTGGTCGAACTTTTGTTCCCGTGCTCAATGTACATGCATTTATGCGAGCCTGATAGTGTATAGTGTCGTCTGTCTTGTTTGTATTCTCGGTTGGCGTGACTGGGTATTGGTTGGCTGGTTGGCTGTGCTGTTGGTTGGCTATGCTCTTGCATATTGATACATGCAAGCCGCCTTGCTCGGTTGGTCGAACTTTTGTTCCCGTGCTCGGTGTACATGTATCCGTGCGAGCCTGATATTGTATAGCTCCGTTTGTCTTGTTTGTATTCTCGATTAGCGCGACTGGGTATTGGTTGGCTGGTTGGCTGTACTATTGATTGGCTATACTCCTACATATTGATGTATATAAGTCTACATATTACAGTTAATAATCCTTGTATTCTTTACCTAATCTTTAACACAAAAATTCACTCATATAAACCCACTAGCTATAACAAAAAAAGTATATAAATAACATATAGCGAACCTACTTATTCTTTTAAGCTCTCTACAATCAATTCTTTTAGCATCAAGGTTTATCTACTATTTACAATAATCTATTCATTATCTTTATTTTAACTCTTATTTAGTTTAGCAATCATGCGTTTTTCTACCCTTTTTCTTGCTGCCCCTGCTCTTGGCGCTATTCAACATCTCCCACTACGCACAGAAGCGAATAGCACAGATTTTGCTATGTGTCCTACTGACGAATGGGCGCAAGAATGCCATCTTCAGCAGTCTACCCCGTCCGGCCTGCTGCCACCTGTGCATGCTGATGGGGAGATGGCTCCCAACGAATCTGGATCATGGTGCTATAATCCGAAACATGAGCCATTTTGGGGTGCCGCCACAGCTAAGTGTTGCTCCATAGTTGGAGGCGAAATGCATAGTGATCGGCGATGCTATCATATGGGCTGGGTTGCTGGACGTTGCACAAGATTCTATGCATGTTGCATACAATATTGGAACTCAGGTAATCACTATGACGATCGTTGCTATTGAGATAGATAACGGTTACTTTTACATTAATTGCCTTTCTTTTGGGAAGGGGGGGGGGGGGGGGGTTTCACTCCGTATTATATAGAAAAGAAGGCTAGTACTAGTTGGCACTGATGCTATGAAATGGACGGAGAGTATTTAACTCTACCATTACTATCTCCATGAGCCGTTCTGAAACGCTGGAGATGATTCTGGTATTTGCAGTAATCATATGAAATCCCCTGTAATCTGTACCATTTGTAAAATGGTTCTTGTAGAAACAGGCGCCGTCCGGGTAGGACTGAATCTGTGGATGTTGTGTCTCCTTTCTCCCTTTGCATAATGCATGATGAGCGCTGGCGAACAAAGCATCTCCATCTCTTTATGTATTGGGCGCTGTTTACATTGCTTCGCCAATATATCATATCCATAGTTACAAACAAAACGAACGAAATGTGCATAAAGATTGATATGCTCCGTACTTGATTGCTGGATAAATCTATTGAAACTTTAGCTACCAACCATACCTGGGCACATAGTTATGGTTATATTAGTGGTTATGGTTATAACCATAACCATACCCACAATATGGTTATATGGTTATAACCATGGGACCCCAGTGGATATGGTTATAACCAAATATAACCATGGTGGCGTCTTAGTATTAATTAAGGGGCGAAAATTTGTAAATACCTCATATTGACTGCGCTCTCCTCCAACATCGCCTTGTAGTAGCATTAATACTACATCATGTCATCAGATATCTCATCTAGTTACGGTTCAATGCTAAACAACGTCGTATTCGATGTATTGGTCATATTATCAATCTCTCCCTTCAAGCCTTCTTATTGGCATCATCAAAGGTGGCATTACTAGCAGCTCTTGCTGCTGCTGCTGATGCATCAGGGGAAGAGCTTATTAGTCAATTTTCTACTATGCTTAGCTATAAACGACAAAAAGAGCAAGCTAAACAGCCAGAAGGAAATCGTACTCGCCGCCGTGGCAGCTATAATAGCCAAGATTCTATAGCTGACGAATTCTCTGGTATTCAAGGTATACCTGCCTTACATAAACTTCATGAGCTAGCTATTTGGCTGCGTAGCTCGTCATTACATGCTGATATCTGGGATGATCGTGTTGGCCTGCGACTTGGTATTGATAACCAAACACGATGGTCATCGTGGTATATGGTTATAAATAGAGCTCTTACAAAGCAATCAGAAATCAAAGCCTTNTGGTCGTCCCTACCCTGCACTTCAAACCAACTGCTCGCTGCACGCGATGGAAACATCTTTTGGCATCGAATATTGCTCTCCCATGGCAAATCACGACTTTTGTTATGCTTGCGCTTCGAATCCCCTCCTTTCCCCCAATCGTTCGTCCAACCATGCTGGGTACGGCAATGATGCTGCATTCTACGCACGGCTCGGACCACATACGGGCAATATCTACACCGCAACCCATTGTTCACCGGTGCAGCCACGTGGGGCACTGGCTCTGGTATTCGGTCGGGCAATATATAATGGCGTAATTCGGCCTGGTTCTGTATCAACCCCGATATCTCGCGAATCTGGCCCGCGATACGCGCTCTTTCTTTTTTGTCGATGCTCTCCGTGTGACGCGCTCTCATGTGGCTGGCCACCTCGTCCGCGACGTATGCCCAACGGCATGTGGCACAAAATACGAATGGAAATCGTATATCGTAAATAAATGGATTAATATTGTTCATTTTGCGAATGCTTTTAATGGATTGTATGCTAATATCTTGTCTGAATTATGCTCTTGTGTGCTGTGCTTGCTACGACATGTCCACACCGACCGGTCTGAACCCACTCTAGTGTCAACGGCCCGCCCCCGCAACTTGCCTAATTGGGTAATCCTGGGTTGATATTTTGGCCTCTCTCAACGCTTTAATATTGCTCTAATTGAGTATTAAACTTTTTTGCTCTACTTTTACAATTGGGTATACTTTCTACAATATTTTAAAATACTTTTCTAGCTCGTTTTGCGGTATTGTGGCAAACCGACCTCTAACCCCTCTTTTCAAACCGACCTCTACCCCTCTTTTTTTCACCCTAACCCTACCCCCATATTAAAAAACCGACCTCTACTATGAGGTCGTTGCTGCCTATTTGTTAGGGAATGGCTGGCGGGCCAACAAGGGGAAGTATGGACAAAAGAAAGCTCATTGGGGAGGTGTTGATGAGCGCAACACTGCCGAGCGGTTAGGTGGAGGTATTACTACCTATGTGTACAGATTCTATTGAAGTACACGTCCGCGATTCGACAGAACACCTTGAACTGCGAGCCGAGAAAGCGACCGATAGACTTCGATTCATCGGGTGCGAGCCGAGCTCGAAAGCCTAGAGGGACCTTTCGGCAGTAGAACAATTTTTTTTGAGTCTTCTCTTTGCTTTATGGGCACTCTAGTGTAGTGTTTTCTTGATTGAAGCGCTGATTGTACTTGGCTAAGTCGCCGTGGTTAGACTTTGCAGCGAGGAGATGTCGGAGTTGTCGTTGGGGGATATCGAGTTCTGGGATCTTTTATAGGTTAGCTGTTTGTCTAAGAGACTTGTAGGTTCTCTTTTCTACCGATTCCTACCATGTGCGAAAGAGTCGGGGGAGCAAAGCGCGGATCTCGCGCCGTCGCTGCGCAATTGATGGTGCAAGATCTCGAAGAGGCCCTGCGGCCCCTTTCTTGGCTAGAGCATCTGCTGCTTCGTTGCCAGGTATGTCTTTATGTCCGGGGGTCTATCTAACTGATATTCTGCCTGGGAATTCATCTCCAATGGCTTGGAATGCGAGGAATTCAGCACGAGATGACATAGGGGCGGTGCCTCCGATGCCACGTACGACGGACGAGTTGTCAATGCATACAGTAATCGGAGTGTTTGGGGTACAGTGCTTTATAGCTTGCCGGAGGCCGCGTAGAGCACCGGAGATCTCAGCGTCGAAGACCTCTCTAAAGCCGAGTTGCCGAGATCCTCTATCAATCTCGGTCCCATTCCTATAGACAATATAGCTATAGCCTGCTTTATTGTCTTCGAGCTTCGAACTGTCCGAGTAAATAATAAGCCTATCAGGGTTAGTACGGAGCTAGGAGAGATGTGCTTGTGTCTCCTCTTCCTTTGAAGCCGAGTTCAATATAGTGTGGATATTGTCACTAAAGCGTCTTGGGATAAGCGGGATGCTATCTATATCTTCTTGTATCCTGGAAAGCCTGAAGAGCCTTATATAGCGCTGTGCAACGTTTCGACTGGCAGCGGGGTTTATTTCAAAGCGTATTCGGTGGTGGAGGTTTACGAGTCGGATTCGAAGATGGTGTTGGTCGTCTAATGTGGCTATTCGAAGCGAGATACGTGCACGAGCAGCCTTGATCTGGTCCTCTGCAGCAGGTACGCCTGCTTCTTTCCAGAGGTAGATATTGGGCGTGGTCCTCCATACAGGGAGAATAGCTTTACAAGCAGTGTTGAGACATTTCTGTATAGCGTTAAGCTGAGTTTGGGAGAGACGAAGTGAGGAGCCCTTCATCGAAGGTGTAGGGTCGTCTGTGAGCCACGCTTCCATACTATACAGCATGATCGGTACGATAACTGTGAAGACAGCATGCCGCACTGCAGCCGGGGCAATACTAGATATGGTATTACTTAGACTACGCAGTAGATTTGCTACATTAGAGCCCTTCTGTCTCTAGTAGGTGATATAAGCCTTGAAGAAGAGCTTTCTATCTAGGAGAACCCCAAGCTATCTCATTGATGCTTCTGTAGTGTATACTTTACTATTATGGAGTACTGCTGGGCTGCTGTTGTTTTGTTTCCGGGAGAAATGTATAATTTCGGTCTTTGAGGGATCAAATGTAATAGCAGAAGAGTGGCTCTATTCGACCATTTGTTTGATAGCTTCGTTAGCCCTTTGAGTAGTCTTTGTCAGAGATTTTCCAATAAAGAGCATTGCTGTATCGTCCGCGTAGCCGTATCTTCTGTCAGCACCATCCAAGGAGTAGATAGCAACAATATACAAGAGATATAGTATAGGAGAGATTAGCGAGCCTTGGGGTAGGCCGCATGGTAATATGATAACTCCCGAGCAGCCTATTCCGAAACGAGCGTATGCCTTTCGGAGAGACATGAAGCTAAAGACCCATTTGACAAGGAACCTCGGCCATCCCTGGTCGCATAGGCGCTTAATTAGTCTATTACGCAGGACTGCATCGAAGGCACCCTTGGTGTCCATTGTAACTAGCGTAGCTACAAGTCGCTTCTTGAAGGCCTCGCTCTCGATGTCGAAGATCAGAGCTAACACAATATCAATAGCTAACCGTCTCGGCAAGGCACCCGCAAGCTTAGGCGGGATAATCTTGTACTTGATAGCTAGGAAAGCAAGACGACGTGCTATGGCACGTTCAAGCCCCTTTGATAGACATGGGAGCAGTGAGATTGGGCGCCAGGCAGTTGGGCTGGAGAGGTCGCGCTTATTGGGTTTAGGAATCATAACTACCTCCGCTATACGGAAGATCTCAGGGTGGTATCCGAGGCGAAGGCATGAGCTATATAGGAGAGTTATTGCATCTCCTAAACTAGGCCATACGGCGCGGAGCATTTTCGTTGTGATACCATCGGCCCCGGGAGTAGTGTTACCCGTTCGAAGCAGAGAGTCCTCCACCTCTCTTTTAGATAGCACATCTTCAAAGGGGATATGCTGGCTAGAGGTATCGCTTTCGAGGTCGAATTCAATATCCTCCTCTGCACTTCGGGTAGCAAGCTTTGCGGTTAGGAGTGCTTGGGCCCTCTCTTCATCAGTCGTATATACCAGGTTGTTAATCTGGATAGGAGGAGGTTCGAAGCGCGCCTTTGGCTTAACCCAACTTGTTATCTTAAAGATATCACTCTTATCTTTAATCCCCCCGAGGAAGTCTTAGAAGCCCTTCTTTCTGGCCTTCTTGATCGCCCTTTGTAAGTCTCGTCTTGCTGTTTGCACTTCTAGGCCTGTTGGGTTCCTAGAAGCGATCTTGATAGCGCGGAGAGTGTCATGTGCTTCTTTACAGCCACCATCCCACCAGGGTTTAAATTTCGGCCGTCGACCCGTTGCCTGACGGCCTGCTGTTCTCATTGCGAGGTCCAGAATCCCTGTTAGGTCTCTAGCCAGTTGTTCAGCCCCCTGGACGCAGTTAATGGTTGTAGGAAGTGCTATAGCTGAGGCTTGGACTAGCTCTGCAAAGCGTTTATATTCTTCTTCTGTAGACAGCCGGAATTTCTTTGTGCTTGCTGGAGGGGAAGGGGCGCATGGGATCTCGACTGAGATGGTATGATGTAGGGCTCCTACGGTAAGATGCTCTTCGATAGTCGCTGTTGAGCCTGGGACGTTGGAGAATATCAGGTCAATCGTCGAGGTAGTCCGTTGCAACCTAGTACCCATAGTAGTAGGGGAGTTGATCTTAGTTAGCAAAGCGAGATCGTTAGTTTCCATCCATTCTGAGATACGGTGCCCGTCATGTGTGGCGGGTTTTGTTGTCTGCCACATCGGGTGGGTGGTATTAAAGTCTCCTGCAACTAGTGTATCTAGTGGGGGTGTCCAGGAAAGCAGTGTATCAAGTCCAGTAGATCCTTGATTATAAAAGTTAATTACTGTAAGTCCATTGACCTTGACCCCGATTATATCGCGATGGCTAAAGTTATAGGCTTGGGTTGCGCTTATATGTGGTGAAATCCGTATGTATGTCATTACTCTAGGACGAGTACTGCGAGAGTCCCAGGTATTGATAGGTGAGAAGCACCTATAAGCGGGGTGCTGCTGCGTACGGCAGGTATGTCGTTTAGGGTTAAAAGATGTATATGGTTCTTGGATGAGGATAACCTCGTAGCCTGATACGTATGCTAGGTGTAGGGCGAGGTCATGGCTAGACTGGCTCTTGTCGATATTCGCTTGGAATACTCGTAGTCCCCTAAGGCGATAGTGGCGATGCTGATTACTCATTAGAGTGAGCAAGTCTGTTCTTCTTTGCTGGAGACCGGTCCCGTTGTGGAGGACTGCTTGGCGGGCTATGCTGAGGTACTCTAGCTAGCTGCTTCGCTTTTCCTTTTATTGCCTTGGGGGGTGGCGCGGCTGGGCGGGTAGGTGGTCGTTGGGGCCTGGCTGCTATGGTTATTTTAGCTGTTTTAGGCTTAGGGACATAGATAATATCGTGGCTTGTAGCTTCGACCTCGTCTAGCTTGTCAGGGTCGTCCGAGTCCGAGTCAGATTCTTCCTCGTTAGTAGCTTCGACTGTTATAGCATCCTTCAGGGCAGCTGCTGGTAGAGTCTTGAGATACATGTTTTTTACAGGAATACTCTTATTTGTAGGGGGGGGAAGCGAAATTTCAACGCGTCTAAGAGCGTCTGGTTCTTGGCTGACTGCTTGTTGGTCTCTTAAAGGGCGGGTCTTTGATCTGGGCTTTCTGCTGCTTGAGCGAGATCTACCCGCAGACCTAGTCCGTGGTCGTTGAGCGGGGTTAGCTGTATTTTTAGGTTCAGGATTAGCAGGCTCCTTTGCTGCAGGGATATATTCGTCCTGTTCGGCCTCGCTCTCCTTATCAGAAAGAGCCATATCCGTGTCATTTTCGTCATTCTCGTCGTCCTCGTCGTTCTCGTTGTTCATAGCAGGGGTATCTCCAGGAGCGTCTGGGATCTTAATGTCGCAGCCTTCTTGAGGGTTAGCGGTTCTGGCACCAGGGGTGGGGGACGGAGGGGCAGATGAGGCCTGGCCATTTGGAGAGCTAGAGAGTATATCTTCTCGATGTATTTGGCGGAATGCCTGTGACCCGAGGAGTTTAGCGTGCACACGCTGTGTCTTTGAGAGCTTGTGGAGTCCGTCTTCGCGCTTCTTTGGCTTTGCGAAGCACTTGTTGTCATCTGGGGGGTGTGGTCTATGGCATAGTTTGCACTGCGTGAATCGAGTTCATGAGTCGGGTTTGTGGTTATCGCCTGTTCGTTGACCGCAGTTTTTACAGTTTTCTGGGGCTATGCACCTAGTCGGAGCATGGTAATTCCAGCAGTTGGTACACTGGGTGATTTTTGGCGCCTTGGTTAGCTTGAAAGAGAAGGCGCTCGTGCCTAGGAGCCGGAAGTTTCCTAGTACTGGTTCAGAGAAGGAGATAACAAGCGTTACAGTACGAGAGTCAGTGAGCGTGTCAGCTTTGGAGATATGCCAGGTAATGGGGGTTTGCTGTGTTTGACGATGGATCTCATCAGAGACCACTTGGTCGAAGTCGAGGGGGGCACCTTCCCAATCTGTCAGTGTACGAGGGAAGTTTTTGACCAGGTAGGTGTGCCATTGCACATTCTTTTCAGCAGTAATCAAGTCGAACTTTGGTCCCCAGCTCTCTTGGGTAGAGAGGAGAGTCTCTTCGGCTTTGAGAGTCCGCGCAGTGATAGCCCANAATTATATATTTGTTTGTTTGAAAAGGTGATTGGACAATATTTGTTTGATTTGTTTGGTAGTTTGTTTGATAGGATTTGATTTAAGGGCAGCGCTGGCGTCACCATTGCAAGAATCTGTTACACCTTACGTTAGATACAAAATCAAGGCTGCCGTCCACCATATTTCAATAGATATCGGACCGTGGAAAATATATTCTTTCCCTTGGAGGGTAGGCCACCACTTTTGGGTGTTGACAAAGTCCTGTGGTGGAAGAGATCATATCGTCGATTCAATTCATGGGTTCTCTGCGCACTTTAGACAAGATGAGAATGGGGAGCTCCATCCCTACATCCCAAAACTATTGGAGACCTGGAATAGCAAGCTTAAGGTTTACTGCATACCAGCTCCCGATCAGATAGGGGCCGACCATGCCTTAGCGCAGCACTGGACACAGCCTCATGAGACCGCCGTAAAGTACGGTGAACAGCCTGACGAAAAAGATGCCCGCGAAAAATGGAGCCATGTTAAGTGTCAGTTGAGCAAGTTGAATGATACGGATATCAAGTATTCCTTTGGGGGGGTTGGAAAATGGTTTGGATTTTACCGTTGTAAAAATAGTAACTCTGCTTACACCACTGTAGGGCTACTCCTAAACCTTGAGCCCCATAATTTTCCTAGCTACGTGTAACGAAGTGGCTTGCACTACGTAGGGGTTCTGTCCTATGTAGTAGAACAGTTGCGATGTAAGTGGACGAAGTCCAAGAGCAGTAGTAACAAAGAGTTGGGTTTAAGCGGTCGTTAAGGAATTATCCTCAATTAACAAGTAATTGCTTAGATTGATCACTGAAGATCTGTCCTAGACCTGTCTAACCATCTACGGTCTTATATACTAGTCCATCTCTTCAGTGCTCAGTAGCTGGAGTCGCGCTCCACTGAGCAGTCACGTGACGGGACTGCCTAATCGGGACGGTTGTATGTCATCATGGGTGGCTCGGCGGCGGGAATCCCAGCTTCGCGCCACATGTAGACCTGGGGGGTCGTTTTCCAGACCGGTAGTATAGCGCGGCATGCTGTATTCAAGCAGCTTTGGATAGCTATGATTCTTGTTCGAGTGATCTGGGAGAGCCGACCGCGTCCAGCAGGAGGGGCGTCATCTAGGAGCCATACTTCGATTCCATGGAAGATAGTTGGGATAATAACCGTATTTACCGCCCGTCGGACCGCGGAGGGTTTGATACCAGAGATCGTGTTACTGAGGCTGCGTAGTAGGTTCGCTATTACCATCGCTCTCTGTCTCTAGTAGGTAATATGAGCGTTGAATTTTAGTTTGCTATCAAGATAGACCCCGAGCCATCGCATCGACGGCGCGGCCTTGTTCACCTTGTTTTCGTGTCGGATTGTCGGGGCTTCCGAGGCTCGTTTCCTGGTGAAGTGTATAATCTCTGTCTTCGCAGGGTCGAATGTGACTGCCGTGGATTTGCTCCATTCGACCATACGTTGGATCGCTTGCTCGGCTCGTCGCGAGGTTTCTTGTAGGGAGGCGCCAATAAACAGCATAGCCGTATCATCTGCATATCCGTACCGTTTGTCTGCGCCGTCGAGGGAGTAGCTATCCACAATGTAAAGTAGATAAAGTATCGGGGAGATCGGGGAGCCCTGCGGGAGTCCGCAGGCGAGTTCTATACTGTCCGATTAGCTCTTGCTGAACCGTGCGAGTGCCATGTGGCGGGACATAAAGCTATGCACCCAGCGTATCAGGTTAAGTGGCCAGCCTTGTCTATGGAGTCTCTGAGTGAGCCGGTTTCGCAGAACAGCGTCAAAGGCACCTTTAACGTCCATGGTAACCAAGGTTACGACTAGGTGGTTCTTGAAGACTTTGCTCTCGATGTCGAAGACGAGGGAGGAGACTATGTCTACAGCAGAGCGTCGAGGGAGAGCTCCTGCGAGCTCGGGGGGGTTTATATCACGTGTGACAGCCAGGTAGGCGATTCGTCTGGCGAGCACCCGTTCTAATCCTTTGCTAAGGCAGGGGAGGAGTGAGATAGGGCGCCAGAGTCGTGCAGAGCAGAAATCGCGCTATCCACGACTCCATAGTATAGCTATAACGATAGTATCTATCCCAGCAGAGTCATCTGAGCTAGAGAGAGCCTTTTCTGGCTCTAGAAGGACATGCTCATGGGATAGATTGAGCCTCTCATGTCTTAACATTCAGAGAATAGAATGCATTGGCAGCTGGATACGAGAAGGTTATATTCGTCTCTCTAAGCTTAATGGAATGGGTCTGCCAATGGAGGATGCAGCAGAGGATGAAGACGATGAGCTACCGGGTGAGATTCTGGATGAAATTGGGGCGATTTAGGGTAGTACTACTTTTTCTAGCTGACTAAGATTTCTATGGTTATAATATGGTTATGGTTAATGGTGGTTATGGTTACCACCCTTGTGGTTATTGATGGTTATGGTTACAGCCCCCTGACCTGAATAACTATATTTAACCATGTGCCCAGGTATGGTACCTGACATCATCGTATAGCCTCCCAGTTGGACAGGGAATGTTGATAACATGTTTTCACCTCTCTATCGTTGACGGCATTCTGCAAGATAAACCTCACAGCCGCCCACGGAAACTCCACAGCGGCCGCATCACACCGCATTGAGAGGCTCCTAGGCGCGATAAAGATATTCACCCACTTCGCATTCTTGGCTACTATGTCGCGGACAATAATGATATCACCCTTAGGCAACTTCACTTTTCACTGTTTCTCGACATATATCTTGCGCTTTTGTTCCACTGTCTGGAGCAGTACACCTAACACATCTGTCGTAATCCTTTGACGATGTCGATGCCGTCACGAACACCTGCATCTAGAGAATCGTATGCTATCTACCAATAATCCTCTAGATGACGGGCTTGCCGTTATCAATAGAAACTATTCCTTTAGACATAACCACATAAGCACGTTTATTAACATGTATGAAAGCGATACAAGAAACGCTTTGTGTGTCTACTGGGGTGAAGGTGTGGAGTGGGGTTGTGCAGGCGCCTTAGAATAGTTAGACTAATCGTTCGCGAAGGCTTAGCTAAGTATCTTCCGACCCCTCTCTTTGCGACCAGGGTCTCTATATAAATAAATTAATGATTGTCTTAGCTTTCTTTCCTCCTAATAAACGTCCCATACTACCTCGGTGCTACATGCCCTCAGGAACGGCTATTACCTATCATGACTGGTTACACTTTCCTCGATTGGTCTGCCGATGAGACCATCTACGCTATCCGCCACAGGCATATAACAGCACGCAAATATATAACTAGTGTGCTTAGTCAAGCGAACAAAGTCGCGCCTCTAAACTCTATTATCAATCTTCTGGCAGATGATGCGCTCACCGCTGCCGATGCAATCGACCAAAAAATCGCTCATGGACTACCACTCGGCCCTCTAGCAGGCCTCGCCATTGTCGCCAAAGACAACATCAATCTAGCTGGCCATCTTACAACAGCAGGCACACCGGCTTTAAATTGCAGTCGACCTGACACGACTGCGCCAAGTTTGCGCAAGCTCATTGCTGCCGGGGCCATCGTAATTGGCAAAGCAAACATGCACGAGCTCGCGCTCGGTATCACAAGCACGAACTTCTCACCATTTGCTGGCGCCGTCCACAATCCTTACAACGACAGCATGATCCCAGGAGGATCGTCGGGCGGCACAGCTGCGGCAGTTGCATCGCGAATCGTGACTTGCGGCCTGGGCACTGACACTGGCGGTTCCACCCGCATTCCCGCCGCTCTGACAGGCACTGTAGGCTTCCGCCCCTCCGTTGGCAATGGCGGACGGGAACGTCGTTATCACGATGAAGGCGCTGTTGTGCCTATCAGCCACACTAGAGACACTGTTGGCACCCTAGGCCGTTGTATGGCCGATGTGACACTGCTAGATTCTATTATTACTGGCGGGCCACGTGCGAATCCAATTGATGTGTCTGGTGTTCGATTTGGTCTACCGCCCTCATTATGGAATGACTTGGATAACCAACTACAAGCTGTAGTCACAGCTGCAAAAGCTAGCCTACAAGCTGCAGGTGCGGTCTTGGTCGACGCTGATTTGCCTGATCTGTTGGCTCTTGACGATAAAATAAGCCTTCCACTTGCTCTCCACGAGCCGATTGCTGATATTCCGGCCTATCTCAAGGCTAACGGGTATACAAATATAACATTGGCAGATATTGCTGCTAAAGTTGCAAGTCCGGATGTTGCAAAACTTTTCGAGGCTATCTCATCTGATGCATTCGGCTCTCAGTACAACGATGCGATCAATATTCACCGCCCTGCGCTCCAGCACATGTATCAACAATATTTCACTAGCAACAACCTATCTGCTGTTCTCTTCCCAACAACTGTGCTTCCTGCCAGGCCCATCGATCTGATTCATGGATCAGGCAATGTATCAATCAATGGCGGGCCACCTGTCGATGCATTTGCGACGTACATTCGACTAACCTCGCCTGGAAGTGATGCAGGTATCCCGGGCCTATCTATCCCAGCTGGTTTGACTAGTGATAGACTGCCTGTCGGTATTGAAATCGACGGGCCGCTGGGGAGCGATATGACACTTCTTGGCCTTGGGTTGACTATAGAGAAGAAATTTGGTCGCCTTCCACCACCCCCTGGATGCTAGCAGGATATATGTTATAATATTGTTGTAGTGGATAGAATGAAACAACTGCTCATAATAAACCACTCGTCTTCTTCAGTGCGCCATAGCCGTTATCGAGTGATCGTAGCTATTACCTGCATTAATAACACTCCATTTTTTGGGCGACTTATATTAGCGCCGAAACTCACTTTATACCGCCTTTGTCGACGCGTGCATTTGATAAACCTCGGAGCGGGCTGTCAACGATACCTTCGTTGAATGTGCTGTCGACGGGGCATAGGTTGGTGCATGTGACTAACCAACCATGTGCTCCTGGCTTGAACTATAAACTGTTGTCCACCCAGCTGATGTAAGTGGATATTTGCCTAGTTTCTTGAGTCGCTCCAATCGGATACCCTCTCCTGCACGGCCAAACGTGATGAGAGACGGCTGCCCAGAATTTTGATCATCTTTGCTGACACTGTTGGCTGATAGTGTCGCTGCCAAACATTTGCATTTCCGAATTAAGAGTGGACCTAAAATGGGCAAATTGACTGAAATAACTCCAACAACCTGTATTTTTTTTAAGTAAAAAGACATCGAAGATTGAACAAATAGGGTTCATTAAACTCACTGTTTCACGGATAGCCCAGATTGTGGACACGTTCACTTCATTTGCATCTTTGATCGATAAAATGCAGCGTAATAACGATGCGACAATAACGAAGATACCCGTGGTTAGCCAGATACCATACGCAATTTTCCTATTCAGTATTAGATCTGTCACAATATAGATACCAATTCAAGATTCTTACTTGCTGAGAGGAGCTTGTAGAACCCAAAGCAATGGGAGTGGTATATAGAGGATCAACAGATCAGTCCTTCCATAGAATTAGCATTTAGATGTGACACAAGTAGTAAGAAGCACATACGAAACATTCGTGATGACCAAGGTCAAAAATATTTGACCGGGCGTGGCACACTCATCTAATGTATATGGATTAGAATCTCTACCTTGCTCATGATCACGGAAACGAGAGTACACGTACCTCCAGGATAAGGATATACTTGCCAATTCTTCTCGAAAGGCAAGCAGCGTAATAAGACAACAAATATTGTAGCAAGATACGAGCAAATGCAAGCTACTCCTGCAACAATGATGAGGCGTCGCTGACGTGTGTCTAGTCTATCAAATGATTTCGTAAGTAGTGTACATTTTATTGTTTCGTTTGCTTTCCATCGGACTTGTCAAGACCTTGGCTAATTCGGTCCAATGACAAAGAGCGAGCGCGAGGTAGGGTCGAGAGAAAAACTTACGTTAGGCGCTGATAGAAAAATAGCATGCAGGCCTTCAAGCACCAGATTAGAGAGATATAAAGACACCATCCCGCAATGTCAGCTTTGGAGCCTTTAACAATGTTTTCCTTCTGGTCTGGCGTGAGTGATAGTGCAACTTCATCGCTGATGCCTACTATAGAGCCCCATCGCCCTACACACATCGCGTTAGTACATATTATCTGCTAAAGGTGGAGCGAACGTACCTATTAGCTCTAGCATAACAGATTCACCCTGTGCGAATATATCAATATAGTCGCCAAAAAGATGACTGATTATAAATAGCAAACTCACTGTTAAAAACACAATGCAGAGGATGGAGAAATAGTCATCGCCCTGCCAGTCTGTGTCCCGTGCCCAGCACCTCAAGACAATACGAGTGAGTAAAATAACTACCCCAATAGCATATTCGACCCATGCCTCTATTTGAAATGCAGATGCGCCCATGACAATCTACGTTTGATTGGTGATAAAGTTGCGAGTATACAAATCAAGTTAATGTAGAAAGGGGGGTTGGGGGAAGGGCTAGGCTATATCGAAATACAACCCCGATCTATGTAGTATCCTCTGTGTCGGCTTGACCTATAGTATCTAACTCTTATTAGGGGGCGTTGTCGCCTGTTTTCTCATTTCTCTCTCCTGGCCGGGGTCGGTCAGAACCCTGGCATCGCAAACACGCCGACGGTGGCTATCATGACAACTGCCGCGTCCTCTGCCCCTGTAAGACAGCGGTCAGGCGCCATAAATTGCTCGCGCTGATCACCCCGTTTCTCGTCGTGAGGCCTAGTACTCTATCATCGAGCACGCTAATATTTTAAGTATAGTTGAAGTGCAAAACAATTCATTTCACAGCCACGCGAACTCACCATTCGTCTCTTACAAGGCCCGCAAAACTCCTCGCTAACAAAAGTTGTACATAACGCTCACTTGGGTGAGCGAACTTTATGAAGCTCTGCCGCAAGATTGTGGCGTTTTTTTGGGCCAATGCCGTTGCCCCGGTACTCACAGACCAAGCGCATAACCCGGAACAGCTACCAGCAGCTTGAGACAGTGGCTTGGACCAAATGAATTGGCACTCCGCAAGGTCGTCATCTAACTATAAAATAACGAGATTTAACTTTTCAATAAGTAGTCAATATCACAATATAATAAATGTGATAACTAAGAGGCTTATATTATATAGAGAGTCTGTTAAACTTAAGTATTTCAGTACCTTTCGTCTTAATATTGTTAGAAATTCCAAAAAACCTCAGCCAGCAATATAGCCAATAGTAATCCAAAGCTTGCATTGACACTTGTAGAGTTAGAGCGGTAACGAAAGTCTAGTAGTAGCTTCAGAAACTATGGAATAGCTGATCTGTTTGAATCGTCAACAACCCTGATATACACATCTGATCTTTATCCATTCACTTTATTACATAGTGTTTGAGCAGCAGATTGAAACTGGCTAATTTCACCTTCATTGCATTTGCTCCTTAAACAAGGCATAGCAATGGCAAGCAAGGTCTGTCGAAGGTCTTCTCTACATGCACAGGCGGTATCCTGAAGCTTGCAGCCGCCTTGTTGAACACTATCCTTTATACATGGGATCTTATTTATAAGTTAGTATACGTTTCGACACTTATTACAAGCAAAGTAGTAGAGTTGCATAAAATCCATACAGCACAATCAGGTTGGCCAGTGACATCTTGTGTGGCAACAAAACCAGCGAAAATAAACACAAGAAGTGTATGTCTCATTGTTGAACAGTGCAAGAATCCTAAATTAAAGGCAATATAGGCTACACAGCGTATATAGATGAAGGTAAGTAGATAAATATAAAGATAAAGAACAGTATTTCGTCAGCAGCGCGTTTTTGGACAGTCAACGGGGCGGAATGCATTTTTAAAGCCTGAATATATACCCCTAGACTTGATTACACCAACGCGCTCTGGGTAAATTCCATATCTAAGACAAAATAGTTTCAGAAGGCTATAGCAACTGGATACATGATAAGAATCGTTACATAATAAAAAGCTACTTGATTAATTATAAATCAAGTATTATTTAGAGACGAATATCGATATGAGTGCGAAAAATAGTGTAACGAACTACTTTAACTAAGTTATTTAAAGAATTTATATATTTATTTATATCTTCGTGATTGAATATATTGTAAGTGATTTATGTGATCTGTTAAGATGGAACCTCGTATCTTGGATATCTTTGATAAGGGCTAAAGCAGGTGTTCTAGAATCCGGGGCGAGAGGTATGCCGACACTGACACCGTACCGCTAATAGTTAAGTACGACTATGAATCAAGCGAAGATATAATAGAAGATCGTACCGGGGTGAGCAGTGAGTCGAGCGAAACATCATACAACAATCCCACTCGGATTTTCATTCTGACACCGAATCATTGTGCGAAATCTAGGACCAAGACATTGTCGCTTCGGAGAAGTATAATATATAGATGGTGGATGATAATCGCCGACACGTGTGTAATTTGATCTATGGAGATACGCCAATAGAAAACCAGTTTTCTCTCGAAACGGCAACCCATGAATTTCTTGAGCTGCTCGTCCAATTGTCGCTTGCTGTTTGTAAACAGAAATTGCCAGCTGGCAGGCCTGGTTCGATATTGCTTCTTTACTTAAGTGGCGTATTCGGCTTCTCGAGTGACTACTAGTAATTCAAGTTAGTAAGAGAGCTTTGTCTGTCCCTATCAGGGTTAATCTACATCCAACGACTTCTGATTCCGGGTTCTGCTCTTCCAGCATCGACCTACTAGTATATTGGTGTTTCTCAGCGGCCAGGAAAGAACATTTAGAGCAAATTGAACAACTTTGTGGTAGTTTTCTGGTGTCTAGATCTAACGCCTCTCTTGCTGAGATGTTGAGCTTATAGTATGAAGCTTCGGGTATCTGGTGGCCAACAATGAACGACTTCTGTACATAATGCATTGGAGCGACAACGATTAGATTGTTTTGCTTGTCATAGACTTCTCTGTAAGCATGAATCAACTCAGAAAGCTGCCTGAGTATTTCATTTCACAAGCGGAGGCTGTCGTCGAAGAACTAAAACATGATTTAATATCCCTAGTACATTTTTTTCGGATCAAAGGATAATCTAAGTAATCGAGATGTAGGCTGTTCATTTGTCGAAGACCAGGGAAACAACCTGCACAACGGTGCTTAGTACCTATTTGAATACGCAAACCAGCACTATAAAACACTCTCCCTGTTGACAACGTACAACGGTTGGCAGTGGGTAGCAGTGAAGCGCTATCTTCGAATGACAAGTACACTGGAAGAAATGATACTCGCTCAACTAGTTGTTAATATACTCAGTTGAGACCGTTACAGGCCAAATCCCCTGATTATGCGAATTGCAGGGGCTGTTCTGCGAAAACACCCCCCCAAAAGATGAGAGGGATATTTGTATGGAATGGAGCTGTTGCATATATTATAAGTTATCACAAGGCCAAGCGAACCACGAACAAAGAATTTGACGTAGTTCGCCTTTTGCCTCTACGACTTGAATTGTTAGTTCTAGGACACATCGCCTTCATCCGGGCAGCGAAGAACGTTCTATATCGTGAGCTTCATAAACATAAAAGACTTCGTGGCGAATGGAAGCGGACTCCATTCCTGTTTGGTAGGGTGGTAAAGGTCTCTATTTAACTACCAAGAGTACAAGTAAAAGTAAGTAAAGAAAGAAAGGAAAGAAGAGAAAGAAAGTTGATAAGTTAAAAGACTGTTGAAGTGTTTTAGAATCTTGGAGACTTGGGTGGAGTGGTTTGCTGTTGAGAGCAGTGTCGTGGTCTTGATAGTATTATAGCAGCGGTAGTCTTCGGTCTTGTATATTAGGTGGTCTGTTTAGTGCTGTTGTTTTGGAGCGGGCTTTCGGCTTTCTTTGAGCTGTTTTTGAGGCTGTTAGTTGGCAATCCATATAGCTGCCATTATACGGGCTCGATTCAGTATGAGTCCGATTGTTGTGTCGAGATGGTTGGCAGCGTAGGGTCTTAGAAGCGCCTGCAAGCCTTTATACGTTTGCGCCGACTCCTTCTCTATTAAGCCACCAGCTGAGAAGATAAGCGGTTTGAAGAACACGCCTAAACAGCTATATTTATGCTGTTTTGCCTTGTAGGCCTCGGCGAGCGTGTTCTGGAGCTTGTCTTTCGCTGATGCTTTGTTGACTGCTACGACTTGGGTATCATAGTAGTATTTGCTCGAGTCAAGCGTAATAGTAAAGTTAAATGGCAGTTGTTAGATCCTACTGTAGTGTCCTCACAGAATACTTCTGACGGAACCCTTGTCAATGGCATAAAGCCCATCCCACTCGTAACTCAGAAATCACTTCAGATAGCTAATAGTTTAGTTATTAATCTCCAAGCTGAAGATCCCAAATGGAGGCAGGCTAGATATACCAATCTATAGCTTATAGCTTGTATAGTAGAGTATAGTTTGTATACCTTACAATTAGGCAGAATACTAAGTTTGAAATCCACATGTCTAAGCAGGCTAACAAGTAAACAATGAGCTAACTACTAACTGCTGTAGATTATTGCACCAAAATAGCCCAGTCATGTTTATATTTATACAGAGCACGGCCTCTACTCTTCTCATATAATACCAAGTTACAATAAAAACGTCCTATCCCTGCCGCCGAAACATTTTACCCGCCACTGGCATCTACAAGCCACCTGCACGATGGCCCGCTAAGCGGCAGCCTGTAGGCTATATGCCACGTGCACCCACCACCATATTTTGCACTGACAACTTGTAAGGTACGAAAACGTAATGAATTATTGGCAAGTGAATTTATTTTTAGTAAATTTCACAATCTCTAGTTGGTCGACTACCCATTACTGCAAAGCGATCATCTACCAAAACCCAGCGCTTTGAGACCAAGCGCCGCTTGCAAGCTGCTTCCAAGCCACATTAGCCTTCTTCTGGCAATCCCCTACTTCATACGGGGTACGGTATGAAGCATGCGATCCTGTTTTGGAGGTTGGCAGATAAAACGTAACGTCGGCCTTTGGGAGAGTTTTGCAATCAGGAACGCCCACGGCGTTGAAAGGATAGTACTCGAAAAAGTTGATGATTTGGTTCTTGGTGATGAGCGCTGGAGACGGGATAGTCCATACGCCTATTTCGTAGGCTGCCTTGGTGACCGAATCAGTCATGGTACCTCTCCAGGTATTATTTCCAACGGACGCGACGGTAAGGTCCCAAACGTGATCGTATGATGCCTGGGGAATCTCAACCGCGCAGCTTACGCCCGCACCGCTATCAGCACCACTATAGCAATTTGGATGAGTAGTCTTGGTTCCCGCAACAAACGACGAAAAGGCAGCGTGCAGGACAGTTTGGCCATTTGAATCAGGCCGAGGCTGCAGGCCAATGTACGCAGCGGTCTCGGACGCCTTGATGTTAAAGTACCACGTTTGCGCAAAGTAGAATCCCGACGTGTGCTTCACTTGGCCCAGTTGAATGGGGAACGTAATGTCCGATAGACCGCCGGTATTGGAGTGTGCAAAAGACGAGACCTGGTTGATGATGTGCCCGAATCCAGCGGCGGCTTCAGTGGCGAGGCATCCGAGGACTGTAGAGTATACGGCAACAGGCTTCATTTTCTTTGGAATAGATCAAATTAAAGCTGATATAAAGGATTAATGCGGTTAATGGTGGAGGGGTGGGTTATTGCTACATTTATAATTTCTAGTTACGTACAAAATATGCTACGTATATATGGTACGGTAGAACTAACCCCGAGATAGGGTTACAGTGAAAACAAAGCGTAGCCTAAAATCCAGTCGAGATTGCCTGACTCGCCGTGTTTCATCTTGAATCTGCTCTACTAGGCCACCTTGTCAATCCGACCTTCCTATTTAACGAAACGCTAACCGAGTGGAATTAAGTTGCGGCTCATTTGGGCCGCTCCGTCAAGTTATACAACAACGACGGTAGTATCACGATGGTCGAAGAAGGCGGCGTCGAAGGACGAGATTCGGCGCACTTATCGGATATATAAGCAGTAGAATGCCTCCTCTCAACGAGCTAGAGCAGACCATGTACCGTCTACAGGCTTATGATCTCAGATAGAAACCCATAGCCACGCTCTCCAATGCCTAAACCGGTGCAATCGATTACATCGCGGAGATGGAAAACAAAACGACCAGGCCAATTCAGGCACTGCTTCCCCGCACGCATGTTAAAAAGAACACCTGCCTAAACAGGCAGGCGACTCTGTGACGCAACATTGATAAATTACTACAGCGTCCACGTATGTTTTTATACAGATTTTGTAAACTGATAGAATGTGGATTTGTGAAGAACTACATATTGCAGAGTGTCGGTAATAAGCCGTGGTGGTGGATCAAGCCCTGGACCATGAATGCACTTGAACATATAATTATACTACAAAGAATTGTGGGGAATTAAAACCCACATATTCTACTCTGTAAAATTAGGCACCTTACTCAATTAAGAAGGTTGCCACGTGCTGTGATCCTGCGTCAGCCGCCAGAATAAAGAGACCTAAGATTCCTGTCCACAGTTAATATATTTTTAAAAACACTAAAAGTCCCGCCAGTATTCTAGAATTAAAACTATAGATATATAATACAGGGTATTTATTTTATGTATAGCAAGACCTATACTAAGTGAATTGGCTTTTGGGTAAGTAAACTCCTCTTTTACTTATTACAAGAGGTCAAGTGGAATATTGGGTTCTTCCATCCGATACCCCGCACTTGCCTGCGTAGATCTGCCGAGGCATACCACCTTATCGCATGGGCTCCTTCCTATTTTGCTCTTCGTGGGATAGGAAAAACGACGGTAGAAGTGTAGCATATATAATATAGCTTCGTAGCTATAGAAGCAGACCGTGTAAAGGATTGGGTCTTTGACCCAATGCTCTCTTTATAAGTTGGGTTTGTTGAGCAAATCGGCGATTTGTTCAATACGAATTCTTTTGGATTTTGACTCAACGGTCAATTACGTCGTAGCGAGAACCCCGCTTTTGCTCTTATGGAGCCGAACCGTAACAGACCGCAAGAGTTTTCGCCAGGCAAGGGCGTGTAAACTAGACTAGATTAGGTAGTAATACGAGGAAATTAGGTACTAATTGCATGTAAATTTGCAGGCGCCTGTAGCCACTATAGCCCCTTTTTATACTCGTTGCTATTATAAGGTATTAGCTTCTAAGAGACAAGATAATCTTTACTAAGATCTTAAAACCGGTTTCGGTAAGTTCGCTAGCGAGATCTACCACTACCTTGCCATGGCCAAAGCAATCGTATAATTCCATATTATAGCGTTGTGAGTCTTGCTTACACTAATAGTTTAATAGCACATGGGTTAGTTATTCAGTCGAGTTTTAAGGAAATACTGCAAGAAAATATACTCATAGTACGAAATTAAACATCATAATACACAGGTATATACAAATGACAGGTAATTAAGTATAGATACATGTATTATTTAATTTAATTTATTTTTACACTAAACAAGGATTATTAATCCTAGTCAGTTGAGAACCACTATGGTGTGCCTCTGTAGTCAGGCTATACGATAAGAAATTACCTTGTACGTAAGAAGGTAGTAAAAATGAGTTTTATTTCCTATAATAGGAATAGCGTTATTTTACCTAGTGAGACCATGGAGCAATGTCAATCACTCATTACTTGCTATTGAATCTGAGTCTGCAACTATAAGAAACCTTGACTACTCTCATCGACACCTAGGAAGTCGTAATATTATCTATAAATCATTTCTTCTATATCTAGCTCTTACTCAGACTCAATGTTTCCTCTCAACCCAATTATCCTCACTACTGCAACTCTTGCAGGAGGTGCGTATGCAGCTGCCATTAGCAGCCGTGCTAGGTGTTCTAGTTATAGTATGTCTACATAAATTCTATTGTGAGGGTACTACAGGCTAACAAAAATCAAAGCACTGATTGATGTGCGTGGTACTGGTGAAGTGCAAGGACCATCAGCTGGCTTTTTAACCATGAATGCCAACATTCTCGGAGCTATTCCGGGAGGAAAGACAGTGAGTCGTATGGATTTTAAGGCACATGTTTCTATTGGATGACAAATTTAACTGCTGATCCCTAGTACAACGCTGTATACCCTGCTGGGTGGAATCAAAACTCCAGCGCTGGAACAAAAGATGTGAGTTAGGGATACTAACAGCCTTGAAAATAATATTAACACGCTTTCTGAGATTTTGAATTATATTCAAGCGACTCTCGCGACGAACCCTGCAGAATGTTTTATCCTTGAAGGCTACTCGCAGGGAGCTGCAGCAGTGGTGAACGCACTGCGATCCTTAACAAAGGAGTCTTTTGCCGCTGTAAAAGGCGTCTTTCTAATTGGCAATCCAGAACACAAACATGGATTAGCTTGCAATATCGATTCAGAGGGGGGCACTACAACCAAAGACGTAACTGGTCTTGAGTTCTTCCTCCCAGGTATTCCCGCTAGTTGGGTCTCCAAGACCCTGGATGTTTGCCATTATGTAAGGATTGCGCAGTTTTATTGATTTTCATTAACTTATTCGTTCCTTTAGGGAGACGGAGTTTGTGATACGACTCACGGTGTTGGCATCAACGCCGCCCACACATCTTATCCACATGATCCCTCGGTGCAGAAAATTGGAACCGATTTTGTTATTCAACAACTTCAGTGAAATTGGGTAATAGTTATTAACGAAACTAACACCCTAGTCCAAATCGAAGGCGGACCTAACCCTAACTAAACCAATGCACCATAGCGCGCATTAAGGTGAAATAACCAGATGGGCGTTTTAAATGAATTATTAAGAGCGTAGTTTTCGTAAGAGAGTACTAGTTTCCTATGCTAATAGATACTAACTAGCTACCTCGACGGATTAGTTTCGACTTGTTACGCCGCGTTAGGTGAATGTTCCGAACATGACATAACGGCCGGCCCAATGGGCCTGGCGCCTGGAATATGCCTGGTTATGTCACCACAGGACCCCGCGGTCCCGTGACTGTTTGGATCGCCTTGGTTGCCAGCGATCACGAAAGATGAACAAATATATAAGTAGACAGTTAGTTAGCCTCTAGGATAGTTCAGATCTTCAGTGATCAATCTAAGCAATTACTTGTTAATTGAAGATCCAACCGCTACCTATTTAGAACGAACAGAGATGTCTTTTTGATTCAAAAGGGGCTCTGCAGGGGTTTGATTGGTTATACAGGGTTAGGATCTCCGGCGACGTTCGCTGATTGGCGTAAATAGGCAAGGGTTTACTATTTCGTTCAAAAAGGGAGGCTCTATACACACGGTAGAAATGAATCCGTATAACAATTACAGTATTTTCAATTTAGTTCTCATTATTTATCGCCTGAGTCTCTATCGTTGTATTGTTGTCCATAGTATAGTCAGCAGGAACAAGATGCACACCTCTCTTGCTTGCAGCAGCTGGATGGTGCTTCAAATCCGCTAGCCCATACACAACCAGACTGGAGACTCCCAACGCAGCGGCCAAGCATGAAAACACCATGGCGACGATTCCACGACTAGTAAACCCATCTGGGATCCACCCTGCCTGTGTGTTCTGCCCGGACAAGTCGAAAAAGTCTTTGGAGTTGGCAGCTGCGTTGCCGATATACGGTATGGCCGCCGCTTCGCACGCATCATACTGCTGCTGTGGAATCTTGACTCGTTCTTGTATTTGTGTAGGAGCCTCGATGAAGAGCATACCGAGTCCAGACGACAAATGCCAGTCAATGTGACAATGGAAGATCCATACACCGGGGTTGTCAGCCACGAACCGGATAACCAGGTTGCCATGAGGGGGCAGCACAACGGTGTCTGTTCGCATCGGACTCTAACCTCACTGGTGTCCTCGTCTACATTGATAACACACCCAACAGCGGCTACCGGCCTACCTCGGTGGCTGGCTTGCTCAAGCCTAGCGCATACCAGGCGGATATAAAACCTGAGGTTGATCAGTATCTCACTCAAAAGGGGCGGGACGCAATTGAATTTGCAAGCACACATTGCGCACAGGATGATCTTGCCGCATATGCGAATATGTCTATCCTAGATACCACGTTCCAGACCCTTGGTCCTGCATTGCTTTACAACCCAACTCTCCAAAGAGTACTTGGTGAGAATACTATGGGCCAAGTCAAGGGTGAGACGCCAATTGTGCCCTATCACTTGTACCACTCTATGCAAGATGAGATTATCCCTTATGTCAATGCCTCAACGCTCTACAAAGCGTGGTGCAACAATGGTGCAACGGTCAAATTCACGACATTTACGACTGGTGCCCACGCCAAGACGGCTGTCAAGGGATACCTTGGTGTCCTCAGCTTCGTTGATCAAGCCTTTGGTGGTAGCGTTGCTCCAGGATGTGAATCCAGCACTGCCAACGGCATTGATCTCCTAGGTGCAGTCGTGGATCCAATCTTGAAACCTCTGTTAGCTGCGCTGGAAGCTCTGCTCTAGGGAAAAATTGTCTTGTACCTGCGACGAATGGCGGACTAAGACGTTTTCTAGAAGGCTGATGACTGGCAACCTGTGGTGGGAGGTTTTGTAAATATTGTAGCGCCCAGGAACGTTGCCTCACTAGTATACATACATAGTTTATAAAAATTGTTCTTGTTGGTACGTAGCGCTAATGCGGTTGCGATACATGTGATCAATAAGTTTCAACATGAAAGAGCAAGGAACGCATCAGGCTTTCTATCCATACGTATGGAATAAGTATTCCAGATGAAGGAAGTCGGAATATTGTTTTTCCCTATCATATTCGTCTGATCATCTTTCCGAGTTTCGTACGTACCTTCAATGCCGTCCCGTCATATCAGCTAGACAGACCATGCCTTCCAGCGAGCCACCCTCATCGTCTATCGTTAGCATCGGGCTTTTAAGCGCTAGCGATTCCGGTCAGCGACGGTCGCGAAAACGAAAGACCACCGCAAACACGTGGGTGCACGCTCGCGAGGCTGTCGGCGCAGAACCTACGCGTTGTAGTCGCAAGAATGAAAGGATTTACTATTGTCGGCATTGTGTAGATCTTGTTTTTTTTTTTATCTTTTTTATAATTTTTCGCCATCATTTGCTCAAGGTCCATAGTATTAAGCTGGAGCGACAGGAGCATCCGATCAAAAGACAACGCGACAGTTTAATTGAGGATGCATTCGCTAAAGCCTGGGAGATACACGGCGCGAAGCAGCTGGCAGGGCGAGAGGATACGCTTCGAACGATAATTAACCAGAAGGCGGTGCTGGAAGCACTAGTCCAGCTCGTCACTGTCCGCAAGCTCTTATATAACTGCAGCTCTTGGCCGGAGCTGCACGCACTCGTTTCTGCTATTAATCCTATGGCTAAGGACCTCATCAGTCTGTCCAACGGGTCCATACAGAAGCTTGTCTCGAAGTTATTCCATGTTTATAAAGATATACTGAGGAGAAAGCTCCGGTCTACGCCGTGGAAGCTGCATTTGTCGGCGGATGTTTGGTCCGCCCCGATTCGTAAGGCCATCCTCGGAATCTGCGTCAGATTTGTTAACCCAGACACGAAAGAGGCATTACAAGCGCTGCTTGCCTTGCCGGAGCTACCCGGGCTTGACGGTCCAGGCAGCCATGGTGGCGCCGAGTAGTGAAAGGTCCTGCAGCGTGTATTAGAGGACTATAATATCTGGCATAAGGTAGGATTCTACACCGGCGACAATCACGGCTCTAATAACAAGCTATACCGCCTACTAGGTAAATATCTCTAGGAGAGAGGCATTGCCTGGGATAGTAATACACAGAGAATTCGATACCATGGCTATATACGTAATCTTGCAGTTCAAGCATTCCTTTTCATAGACTCTGAGGAAGTGGCGCATGCGGCCCTAGAGCAGATCGAGCTTACCGATGAATCTGCGTTTGGCTCTGACTTTTCTGAGTGTGCCAATAAGCAGAGAGCACTAGGTTGGAGGCGACTGGGCGACTGGGGCCGTTGGGGAAGGTGCATACCATGTCGGTCCATATGCGCGGAAGTGACTTTCGCTGGAACGAATTTAAGGAGCGGGCTGGAAGGTCCCTTGGCCTCGATAATAATACACGCTGGAACTCCTGGTTTCGCCTGCTAGACGCCTCCCTCAAACTTCAAACTCATGTCGAATAGTACCAGAGGAAGTATTATGATGATTTACGCGACGACTACCTCTCCCTAGAGGAGTGACGAGTATTGAAAGAGACTCGCGTATTCCTATAACTGTTTTGAAAAATTACCCAGCTTACGGAAGGGCGCTGCGCTACATTAGATCGATCGCTTTTCACCATGGATGTCCTGCACAAGCATTATACTCAGGCGTTCGAACGGCACACTGGCGACAGTCCTCTGCGGAGCTGTATTGCGGCTTCTTGGGCTGTCTTTGACAAGTACTATCGACTGACAGATGAGAGCCCTGTCTACGGTGCGGCTGTTATACTTAATCCCTCGAGGCGGCTGGCATATATCAAGAAGAATTAGCCCAGGTCATGGCATATACCAGTGCTTGAAGGCGCATGGAAGTACTGGAAGAGTCACTACCAAGGGCTACCAATTACTACAATAACCCCGCAGCTACATAGCCAAGATAGGAGCTTAGACGAGTATGACATATTAGCCCGAGAATTAGACGTTGTAAGCCCGGCGATGTGTGAGCTAGACGAGTACGAGTCCTACACCGCCCAACAACCTGTGGCGATTGACTGCTCTCCTCTGAGTTGGTGGTTACGTGAAGAGCAGCAGCGAACCTACCCGCGGCTTTCGCAGATGGCGATTAACATGTCTGCTGAGCCTAAGCGTGTCTTTTCTGGAGCAAGACGTGCAATTTCGTGGGACAGATGCCAGCTAGGTGCGAATACGATTGAAAGAGGAGAGTGTATGAAGAGCTGGATTAAAAGTGGAATAACACAAAGAATTGTCGTAGATGCACCAGACCAGGACATAGACGAGGGTAGCGACAGAGAAGACCAGTGTGGTAAATAATATAAACAATACAATATTGGCAATATGAGCACCCTCGAAATATTATTGTATTGCCAGAGGGTGCATATTGTATTTCGCAATATGACAAACAAGCATATTGCATTGTATTGTCAAAATCCTGGCATATTGCCAATAAAACAATACATACAATATATTACACGTGACTGCAGCTACTCGGACTAACATGCCATCCCTTCAAAGTCTCGTATCCCGAACCATGATTTTAAGCACTCTGTTGCTTCAATTATATCACTGCCCATCCGATTTCGACGGTCGGTAATGGTTATTTTCGTCCCCGAAAAGAGTCTCTCAGGCTCAGCTGACATGGCAGGAATCGACAGTATATCCACTGCCATTTTACTCAAATTGGGATACGTCTTTTGCTGTGTTTCCTCTAACCACCATGTCAGCGCGCTTGTGAATCCATAGACCCGCTCGGATTTGCAGTAGTGCTCGTACTCGTCCGTCATCGGAGACGGTTGTAGATGCTTATTTCTCCATCGTAAGAACTCGTTCGTAGTGTTCGATTGTGGCTCGGTTAGTGGAGGTGACGCTATAGGTTTATAATCGTCCCAAAGCGTCGCAACCAGCTTCTTCGAGGGTGTTACCCATTCCCTCTTCCAATTCTCATGTATATAATGCCATTTATGCGACGGGTGGAGCACAATGGCTGCAACATAGGCTGGGGATTCGTCCGTAAGCCGATAGTACTTGTCTAGTTTTGCCCAGCCCGAGTTGTACATAGGCGCCATAATCGGATCATTTGCAAACGTCTCCTTTCCTACTTCGAACTGCGCCAACACGAAGTCCATGGCTAGGAGCACATTATCAAGAGTGGCGAATGACGATTCCAGGGCCTTGGTTGTCATCTTCAGTTTCTCTAGAAATGACATGATCTTCTCAACGGTGGCCCAGTCCTCAGCAGAGAGTTCGTCCCCAGCGCAATTCACCTCGCCCCATTTTTTAAAATAGTTTTCAATAGCATCTCTTAGATGCAAGGCGGCTTGTAGCATAGAATACCATGAATTCCATCAAGTATCGTTATCCCTCGCAAGCTTGCGGTTTTGACTTATAGCCATAAACTTTTGGCAGCGCTGGACACTCTGCTGAATATACACCACAAAGTTATGAAGTTTGCCAAGAGGCCCTTTTCGCCGCCACGCCTCAATTTGTTGGAAAGTCACGTTATGCAAACCAGAATCGTCGCGTTCAATCTTCTCTTTATCGGTCACAAAGAGGAATGATTTTGCGGCTAGGTTGATAATATGGCCTTGGCAGCGGAGCCGGTGGGCTATTGGATCGTATCGAATGTCGTACTGTCGTAGAAGGGCTTTGATACATATTAGCTCTGCGTCGCTCTACGTGCTTGTGTCAAGCTGAAACAATAGGTGGCACGGTAATATTATACTTACCAAGAGAAAGACACTTTATCATAGTGTCGTTATTGCCGGCGTTGTCCATCACGAAATAACCAAGTTTAGAGGCAAATCCCCAGTCATCAATTACATCCATAATAGCCACAGCAAGGTGAGACCCATCATGATCACCATCTATATCTTTCAAAGCCAATGTGTGGTGTTCTAATTGGCAGTCTTCTGTGACATAGTGAGCAACTACGCCTAGGATTGCTAACGAGTTGGGGGAAGTCCAGAGATCGCAGCTAATATAGATCCTTGACTTTGCTGACTGGATGCGCTGCTTGACCTTTTCCTTTTGGTCTTCGTACTGCCGCAGTATCCATCTCTTGATGGTCTGGTGTGTATTTGGAAGCCATGTATCGATGTCAGAATTGATATAGGCTAATAGGGCTCGAAATTCCGGGCATTCCACAAGCCGAAACGGAAGAGAGCAGGCCGTAACGAACCGAACGTACAGCACTTCCAGCTGATCGGGCTCGATGGAGTCTCCATATTGATCGTTGAGACGACGGCGTTTTCGGGCGCTCTCTTCCGCTGTTACACGAGCTTGCTCGATAATTGTTCGTATACTCCGGACTTTGGCTGTTCGTAGAGCACCTTTTGGGAGACCATGGCCATCCGGGGGAGGGTCAGTCAAGTGCTTGGCGGGCGCCGCAGTGCCTCCCGAGCAGGAGTACGTTTTATCGCAATACTTGCAGCGCCATTCCTCCTTACCCGACCGTTGACTGTAATATCTAGTTTCGATGTCCCAGTCCGGCATATGGGAGAAGACCCATGACGTTCTTGGTTTGGGGGTGGAGGTCGTAGACAGTGTGTCGGGTCGCCACGACTGGCATTGAGAAGTTTGGCTGTTGTCTTGATCCTGCAAGTGTGAGCTAGACTGTGCGACGGCGCCGTCAGATGTCGCTGAACCACTTTGTTGGGGCGGTAGAGTAAAACATAGGCGTTGTTGGTGCATTAGAACAAGAATATAGAGGTACAATTATATGCGGCTTGTTATGTCGAAGGTATCATGAGAAATGCACTAAAACCAGTAAAGAAAGTCTGGCTAAGGTGGTGTTAAAAGCCAACTCGGTAATAAAACACGTACGCGTTCGTTTGCTACCTTTATTTCCTTTTTTGTGTTATGACACTATTTGTTTAGTAGCGTCATTAGCATGGCCAAACACGAATCTATCACGACCTGCTAGATCGTACCATGGTCTATCAGTCACAATAGTTATGATATCGAAACAGTTGCTATGCAACGCGTTTGCTTGCCAGCTGGCAAAGGAAAGCTACCAGCTGGCAGGACCATAACAATCACGTATATAAACAGAGAAGTGAACCGTAGAAGAGGAGAAGGATTCTTTCCTCTTCAAGTTTGTTATCTTCTTTCTATCTTATATATAGAATAGTTAATAATAGCATTGTGTTTGGCGAACTCTTCCCTAGATGCCCAAACAGCTACGTGATAGAATCTTGGGACCTACCCGATAGAACGGTGACAGTTCCTTTGCAAAAATATCTACCAATATAAACAATATATTAGCAATACAAAGAACTGCATATTGTATTGTGACAATATAGCAGTTTGTGTATTATATTGTCACAATATGTAAAAGTGCATATTATATCGTATGTATTGCCGTATATTGTTTTATTGTCATATTATTTACCACACTGGAGAAGACAGTCAGGATCCGGCAACATGGGCTGGTTCTACGACAGGTTCAGTATAGTTCTGTTCATGAGGTCATTTATTGTTAATCCATAAATATGGAATACGTTCCATACGAGTCGGGAGTTCGTAATCCATACCGAGTACCTTCCATATGGAGTATGGAATATGGATAGAAAGCTTGGACCGCATTCTGCCTCTTTCTCATCATTCAAGGGAAACCGCCCTCCCAGCTACTGCTACCCATAGATTCTCCATCGAGTCGGCACATCACCAGTTTCGGGGCCTTGCTGCCCTGGCAAAATCTCTCGCAGCAGCTCATTCACGCCCCTGCCCATGTCGGCACAAGCCTTCCATTGGCGTGGATACCCGAGACTAACTTCCTCGAATCGACAGCCATCCTTCCAGTCGGTTCTTCGGATATGTAGATGACCACTAATTACCACTTTGGCATTGAATCGTCGATGCCAATCGTCTGTTAATTTTGTCCCGCACCATATACTGAACCTGGGGATGAACTTTAGTCTCACCAGGTCCTGGCGTAGCGGCCAATGGTTTGCGATGATAAAGGGCAAAGACGGGAATTTTGCTTTGGCAGCCTCCAGCTTGGCCTCAAACCTTTCAACAAGCGCTTTGCACCATTCCTGTCGACTATTATGCGGATCAGGGTGAAGCAAATATTCATCAGTTGCTACCGTGTCCTTCTCTTCCGCCCATTTTACAGCACCCTCTAAGCTCACATCGTCTGGTCGAAACGAATAGTCGTACAATGTAAATATTGGGGCAATGACCGCTGGGCCGCCTTGCCCTTCCCAAACCACAAAGTCGTCTTCGGGGGTGTGGATCTTGTATTCGCGCGCTAAATCCACGCATTCCTGGTATTTCTGCTCTCCGCGGCTTCCACTGCCAGACTTCCTAGACATTGTATACAGCTCATGATTGCCGGGGCACCACCAAACAGTATCGAAGCATTCTGTGGCTCTGGAGAATGCATGCCGTAGTTGGTCAATGGTATCTCCAACATCTCCACAAAGGATAAGCCCATCATTCCGGCGAGGTCTCAGATTTGACCAAGCTATTTTGTTTTCCGAAAAGCCGACATGGATATCGCTGATAGCGTGAAGCTTGTTTAAACGGGTTTTGTTTGCGGCTATTGAGCTAGCGGATGCATTATCCGCCTCCTCGTTTTTAAGCTCGTGCGAAGCTGACAGGTTTGCAGCCATCACGGGTGACGGAAGTCTCGGCTTGATGACGCACACAAGTTGTCTGATGTTTAAATGGTTTTCGTACTCCAGCAAAGTTAGGAAGATCCAAAAGCAACAGCGCTGTGGTTAAACTATATGGCCCTCACAGTTGATGGACACTGAAAGAGCGCCGACCGGGTCAGACTACTGAAGCAGGGCATAAGCTTGATGACGTAGCTATCCCGGTGCGACACACTAGATAATAAGCGATATCCGCCCGGCTTGCATGCTTGCTAGTAGTCCCTATTTGACATGATATAATATCATAAAATATAAATGACTGCAAATAATTTGTTAATAATGCTTTTCCAATTGCATGGTGTATAATTGTTTAAAATTATTGGTATAGTGCAGTAGCACACAACGCAAGGCTCCATCCTGCTGAATCTACCCCAGCCTTATCTGTGGCAATCTATTCCGTAGGTGCTATAGACACGACTCTATAACACTTACGAAGAAAATCAGCCACAGCATAACCATAGATATTCCAGTTTAGGGCGGAGCAGCGTCAATGCACTCGTGGCAGGAATCTAAAAAAAAACTTATATATAACGAGATAAATAGTGTTCATATAATTGAAGTCCTTACCCTAGAAGTTAAGATCGTCCCGCTCGCGAGTCGTGTATCGGGATTCGACTCGGCAAAGTGCTACTTAAGCGGCGGGGGGCCTAGATACGAACTACTCATATCACTGACCGCATCACTGACTATAAAACATATATCTCAATCCACTTACACCTAAACTCTGTACATCGCCGCCTCTTACCACCAGTCCTCACTACCTTCATGGCTGAGGAACGAGCCGCTCTTTTCGATAGTGAGTTGGTCAATCACCTTTAACTGCTTTCGAACACTCTCGTCGACTTGAATTTGGCCTTCAAGTTCAGGAACAGCTTTCTGAAACTGCTTTAGCATGGCTTCCACCGCAACCACGACCTCTGGAGGCTTTTCTCCTGTTAAAATGTTGGAAATGCGCTTCACTCTACTATAGAATCAAAAGTCTACTCACCTTCCCACGTGTCTACCCATCCAGGGCTGAGAGCCAAAATCTTGACTCCCTTAGGTGCCAACTCAGCAGCATACTTGGCCACTTGGACGTTCATACCGGCCTTAGCAACCGAATAAGGAACGGCATAGCTGACACCAGTTGTCTTGATGACATTTAAGTCCGCCATGCCGCTGGAGATATGGATAATCTTCTTTTCATTACCTTCCTCAATCAACGGTAAGAATGCGTTTGTTGTCCATAAACCGCCATAGACGGCGGTACGAAGTGGCAGGTCGAAGGTCTTTTGCACTGCATCCACATCAAAGGGGAATTGGGTCGGGTTGAATGCCATGGTATTCTGATCGACGGCGTTGGAGTTGTGTATGAGGACATCGAGCTTGCCGCCGGTAATGATGCTCGCAGTTTTGGCAGCGTCTAAAATCGAGTTGGGCTCAGTGGCATCTCCAGCGATTAGGTGAATATTAGCGTGCTTTGAGGCAAGCTCAGAGATGGCTGATGATGTAACATCTCGGACAATGGCCAGGACTGTATTCGCTGGGTTTGCAGCGAGCTGGCGCACAAATTCGCGGCCGATTCCCTTGGAAGCCCCAGTAATAGCATAAGAAGTCATTTTAATGAGGTGATAATTTGATTGTGGCGAATCATGTATTGATGTAGATGTCGTCGTTCATGTCATTGTTAGGCTGCTGGTGTCAGTCCATTTATACCTGATGGCCATTCCTGCTGTAAGCTATATTCTACAACTTGAATATTATAAATCCACCTGCGGAATCTGATGAATTTCTAATGCGGAATTGTAAACTACTCATACACTCAATTTGTACGATATTTTGCTTAGAAATATTGCTGGGCAATCTTCAGCACTGCACGCCAACAGGCGGGAACGGATAATCCGTTGCCGGTCCACCCGTCGGCCGTCGGGCCACCGGATGATCCCACCTCTTGATCTACTCATAACAGTCACTCTGAATAGGCAGTTTATACAAGATAGTATGATGATATCATCTACGATACCGCCGATAGCTAAGCGGAGGGCATGCGTTGTCTGCACGGCGGCCAAGGCAAAATGCACTCCGCAAACCGCGAACCTCTGCCAACGATGTGCGCGGCTAGGCAAGGCATGCACATACCTTAACATGCCACAGACGAAGCGGCGGCATAAGAATGGTCAAAAGTAGGCTCCTGTTGGTAATTGCGTCTGTTTAAATGTTTGCTAACTGGAATAGCAGGCGTATCGAAGAGCTGGAAGCGAAAGTCCACCAACTCACTTCAGAGCTAGCTCGGTTTACGCAGATGAACAATCAGACCTCCTCAAGCGTTTCAAAATCAGTTCAGAGTCAAAATATAGCTCACAGTAGTGAACCTGATCCTCCAGGTGATGCTGATCTTCTGGTCGTTGCCGAATACAGCTCCCACGGCGTCGAGCCGTCTACGACTTCTGCTTTGGCGCACCAGGCATCTATCGTGGACCAAGGATTGATAACCAGAGAGGAAGCGAAATACTTAGTAGATGAGTTCTGCACCAATTTTGTGCCCAAATTTCCATTTGCAGTTCTTTCACGCAACGAGACGGCGGCTCACCTCAAAGACAAAGCACCATTCCTCCTACTATGTATTGTGGGCGTGGTAATGCATACCGAGCACCATGCGCGAAAGACTATCATGGAGGAAATCATGAAGCATATCAGTGTACGGGTTGTCACACATTCGGAGAGAAGTTTGATGCTACTCCGCGGTCTTTTAATTCATTGCGCGTGGTACCGGTATCCGGCGCTCAAAAACCATCCTCAGTTATTGCTCCTTGTTCAGCTCTGCGTGTCTATGGTGTACGACTTAGGCCTGCACAAGAAGTGTGAACTGAAGGATGACGAGAAACGGGCTTTGCTAGGTACCTATTGGTTATCTGTAGGGTGAGAACACCGAGGCCAGAATGAAATATTTCATCCACTAATCGGTCGAGTAGGATTTTCAGCGGACTGGGAAGGCCCGCTGTCATGAAGCACAACTCGAGAATTGATTCTTGTATTGAACAAATGTCGAATTCTACAGAACATGCATCGGACCGCTGGCTTGTATCAATTGTTCAGTTGCAGTCCTTCCTAGCAAGAATAGATGAAAGTTACGAGGCAATAAAGGGCTCCAGAGGTGGAACAATGCTTGTTATAGCTACACGTAACTCGCTTCAGCGACAATTACAGAGCATAACGGCCTCTATAGAGCAAGTGCTTGCCAGTTGGCCAACCCCCACAGGTATCCTTTGTTAAATCCTTTTTTTTTCTGATTATCACTGACAAGACTATAGTAAACGCAACACTTTCTGGGATACAATTTATGGAAATGCGATTGGAAGAACTATCGCTGCAAAATGACCTCTGGCTTGAGAGAGGTTTGACAAGCTCAATACGGATGACCATGTTGGTCAACCTGATTCAGAGAAGTAAAGACCTCATACAGGGTGTCAATTCTCTACCTCACAAAGAGGTCACTTATATAACAGTAGCTACACTGAGTCACCTGTGCTTCGCCGTTGGTACAATGGCCACAGCTGTGCTAACACTGATCAAGCTCATTGCAGGTCAGGCGTGTGAGAATCCGCCGAGTTTGTCATCAAGGGTTGAAACACAATCGATTATCGATTCGGCAGACTACCCTAATCTTGTCTTGCGTCTCGTACAAGTACTAGAGATGAGACTGAATGGCATATCTGATGCTGACAGAGAAGTCGACATGGTGGGGAGCCTCTGCCATGGAATGAGGTTGTTGGTGCGTTATTTTCCATACCGTGTCAGGATGATTATTGATCTTGACATGCCTTTTGCTCCCTGTGGATCCGATAGCGTGTCAAACACCGCCGCTGAGAGAAAGAGCCTAGGTGAGGTTGCGACTCCACCACTAATTGTGCCCTTCACAAATGATGGATTTGACCAGTGTTGCTAATAGTACAAACAATACGTATATTGGCAATATGGGAACTTCGTAATAATATTGTATTGCCAAGCAGTACATATTGTATCACGCAATATGGCGGTAGCGTGTATTATATCATACAATATGGCGGAGGCACATATTGTATTGTATTGCCAATATCACGATATATTGTGTATATTACATGTGATCTTAATCTACTATATAGCTGTCTTCTTGAAAGTCCTGTGCCCCAAACCACGACTTTAGACACTCCAATGCTTCAATTACATCACTCCCAAGCCGATTTCGGCGGTCTGTAATAGTTATCTTCGCCCCAGAGAAGAGCCGTTCTGGCTCTGCAGACATCGCAGGAATAGACAGTATATCTATAGCCATTTTGCTTAGGCTAGGGTAATTTTTCTGCTGTGTGTCCTCTAACCACCATGCAAGAGCGCTTGTAAATCCATAAACCCTCTCAGACTTACAATATCGCTCATACTCATCTGTGATCAATGATGGCTGCAGATGCTTATTCCTCCAATCGAGAAACTCGTTCGTAGTCGTTGACATGACTTCACATAGCTGAAGAGGTTATTCCACGGGCTTGTATTCGTCCCATAGCGTCTCAATAAGTTGTTTTGAAGACTCAGCCCACTCCTTCTTCCAGTTTTCATGTATATAGTGCCACTTGTGTGAAGGGTGCAAAACAATAGCTGCAACATAGGCAGGCGATTCATCAGTAAGACAATAATACTTGTCCAACTTTGCCCAGCCCGAATTATACATCGGGGCCATGATGGGATCGTCTCTATGGGTCTCCTTCCCCAATTCAAATTGTGCCAACATAAAATCCATAGCTAAGAGAACATTATCAAGAGTTGCAAATGATGACTCAAGAGCTTTCGTTGTCATCTTTAGCTTCTCTAGAAAACTCTTGATTTTCCCGAGTATAATCCAATCCTCTGAAGAGAGCTCATCTCCAGCACAGTCCGGTTCAATCCACTTGTTGAAATACCCGTCGATTGCATCTCGAAGGCTCAACGCCGTGTGTAGCATAGCATACCATGAACTCCATCGTGTATCATTATCCCGGGCTAGCCTATGGTTATGGCTGATAGCAAGGAACTTTTGGCTGCGTTGAACACTTCGCTGGATATATATAACAAAGTTATGTATTTTACCAAGAGGACCCTTTTGACGCCAAGCTTCAATTTGTTTTAGTGTTGTTTGGTGTAGATTGGGATCTTTGTATTCGAGTTTCTCATTATCAGTAACAAATAGAAAGGCTTTAACAGCAAGATTGATGATATGGCCCTGGCAGCGAAGTCGATGGGCTTTAGGATCGTATCGGATGTCGAATTGGCGTAGAAGACCTATAAATATTAGTACTATTTGGCTAAGAGAGGGTATAGGTCTTATTAACCAAGAGAAAGTGATTCCATCATAGTATCGTTATTGCCAGCATTATCCATTACAAAATATCCAAGCTTTGAAGCAAAGCCCCTTTCCTCAATCACTTCTAAAACAGCCGTAGCTAAGTGAGAACCGCTGTGTTCACCATCGATATCTTTTAGAGCCAAGATATGGTGTTCAAGCTGCCCGTCTTCTGTAATATAGTGAGCAACCATACCTAGAATAGCTAATGAGTTAGGCGAAGTCCAAAGATCGCAGCTAATATGGATCCTTGACTTTGCCGATCGTATGCGTTGTTTAATCTTCTCCTTCTGGACTTCATATTGCCGCATAATCCATTTTCTAATAGTCTCATGCTTGTCAGGAAGCCAGGTATCGATATCGGCATTAAGGTAATTAAGCAAAGCTCGAAACTCTGGGCATTCTACAAGACGAAATGGGAGCGAGCATGAGGTAATAAATCGTACATATAATACTTCGAGTTGATTTGGATCCATCGAATCTCCGTATTGGTTGTTAAGCCGACGACGTTTTCGTGGATTCTCTTCAGCTGTAAGGCGAGCTTGTTCAAGAATAGTTCGTATATTTGAGACCTTCGCAACCCGTGGCGAACCTTTGGATAGACCATGCCCAGTGGGGTGAGAGTCTGTGAGATGCTTAGCCGGAGCCGCTGTCCTGCCTGAGCAAGAGTATGCTTTGTCACAATACTTGCACCGCCATTCCTCTTTCCTGGTCCTTTGGTTGTAGTATCGTGTCTCTACATCCTCATCAGGCATGTGAGAGAAGATCCATGATAGTCTCTGCTTCTTAAAGGAGATTACAGAAGCTGTTACAGGCTGCGATGATTCGCATAATGAGGTTTGGGTCTCATTTCGATTATCTGACAGCTGACTAGATGTGTCTAATACATCATCCGACAACGATGAGGCTCTTTGCCGAGGCGTCTGAAAGGGGATACGTTGTTGTAGCATTCGGGTCATGTTTACTCTTCTCTAGTATAATAGAATAGTAGTTATGAAAGGGTTAATATTAGTCGTAACCGTTGTACTTGGCTACTTTTACAATTATACGCGTTTTGGCTCATGTCTTAGGTTCGCGTTATATGGAATGTTGGGTAAAAAGTACATAAACAAATAGAAATACATGGAAATATTACCCTATAGTAATACATCCAATACAAATAATATATTGCTAATACTAGTAAGCTTGTATTATATTGTCACAATATATTGTTAGCATGAAATCCCTTTATTGTATTGTAGCAATATGGCGAGCGGCATATTTTTATTGTCTCAAAATGGATGGTGGCGTATCATATCATATGTATCGCAATATATTGTTATATTGCCGTATTATTAGCAACACTGGATTTGACAGCACCATCTTCTTTGATGACGTGCAATGGGCAGCAATTTTCGACGAGTTTAGTGGTGTAACACTACTTTAAAAGGATTAGCAATAGAGAGAGGCTCGAGTAATTCTAATTAGCCTTAGTAATTCGATATAAAGTTTCAGCATCTACAAATATAGATTGCTTTGTTTTGCAAGTCCCTGGCCTTGTATAATTCGCGTCAGTTTAGTGGTTGATGAGGTCTGGGCTGCCTTGAAGATTTTTATTTACCGCGTGTTAACTACACAAACATTTAAATTAAGCATTCCTTTGCGGTGAAGAAAAACACATTCGCCTCCCCGATTTTGCAGTAATGTGTTTCTACGTTGGCTAGTTTGTTTGCGTCAGCGCCGCCGTTGTTCCGTCTTGCCTCCGCGTTATCGCCACTCGGAATGCCGTCATAGTTGCCTATTTAAGATTTGGTCAAATAACGGTCTATAAACCGATAGTAGATGATGACGAGTACTATAATTAACTCCGTCAGGCATGCGGAAGAATAGGAACATCTATAAAAGCTCTGGAATCCCGCTAGGTATGCCTCTGCTGCTCATCATCCGCAACTCAGCAACTACTTCAAGCACTTAAAGACTATGCTTTATAAATATTACGCCCTCTTTTGTGTTCTGTCACCTGCAGTAATATGTGCAGAAGAGCAGGCCATTCTCGGACCTGCGTTTGAGAAACCGACGCGGATCGCAGATGAAGCCGCATTCGCGACCATCGCCGAAAGCACCAACACGGTACTTCAAGACATGTTCCTTACGGGAAGAACTTCGTATGGAAACTTACACGGAAATGATACTGCTCTGTCTGTAAATATGGTGTCTCTGGACTGTTCTGCACCACTATTCGACTATCACTTTACACCTAGCACGCTCAATACATCGGCTGGAAGCACCTCTTCAGTGACAGCAGACTCCATGTACAGAATTGGGAGCATCTCCAAGCTTTTCACTGTATATACCCTCCTTGTCAATGGCGGTCGTAAGATTTGGGACGCACCTGTGACTGAATTCCTCCCAGAATTGAAGCAGTCCAACCACCAAAATGCCTCTGCAATTGATCGAGTGCGCTGGGATACAGTTACTGTTGGTGGGATTGCCTCTCAGCTTGGCGGTATTGGTAGAGATAGTAAGTGCATTTCCACTCGTGACTTTGTTGAATGATGAGAAGCCTTACTAAAACTCATTTTCAAGGTGACAGTGGTGACCTGGCAACTTCAGGATTTCCCGCAACAGCCGCCGGATTACCTTCTTTACTACCGTCAGAGATTCCCAGCTGTGGAGAGAACGGAGATTTGCTTCCGTGCGACAGAGCTGAATTTTTCCACACCTACACTCAGAGACATCCTGTCTTTCTCTCCTATAATACGCCTATCTATAGCAATAGCGGCTTTCGTCTCTTGGCCTACGTTATCGATGCTATTACCAGGCTATCGTACAACGAAGTACTGCAAGACACGGTATTGAAACCTCTGGGATTGGGTAATACGATGCCCATTACCCCTACTGAGAAGGGTAGAGGGGTCATTCCAAAAGGAGACTCGGGATTCTTTCGTCAATATGGCGACGAAGTAGCGTAAGGACTATTTTTCCACGCTTTTCATTTACTTAAATTTTCCGAGCGCTAACATATATCGAAATGGCATTTAGCACGGCTGGTATCTACGCTTCATCCGGCGATCTCTCCCAGTTCGGCAAGTCCATCCTCCAAAGCAAGCAGCTATCTGTCACAGAGACCTTGCGCTGGATGAAGCCGCAGGCCCACACGTCGTCCCTTACCTTTTCTGTTGGTGCTCCTTGGGAAATCTGGCGCGTTAAGACTGGAGTCACCAGCGGCCGAATCACCGATCTTTACACTAAATCCGGCTCAGTGGGAGTCTACAATTCGCTGCTAATTCTAATCCCAGATTACAATGTTGCGATATCTATGGTTTCAGCTGGTCCTGATTCTGCTCTAGCTCTGAAAATGGCATCTGAGACTACAGTACAGCAGTTTGTCCCTATCATAGAGAGCATTGCTCGCGCGCAGTCTTGCAAGAGGTACTGCGGCAAGTACGCATCGTCTCGAACCAACTCTTCCCTCGTCTTAGGTGTTGATGAGACAGTATCTGGACTCGTTGTAAAGGAGTGGATTAGCCGTGGCAAAGACATCAAGGCGTTTGCCCAGGCATATTCTGATTCTACCGGCAACGGTGCCATTACTAACATCAAAGTTCTACCTACAGACTTGTCTACAGTCGGTGCGAGCGGCACCAATATTTCCCATCGTGCCATCATCGAAGCTCTCCCGGCTGCATATAACCCGGTCACTACGCGAGTGTTCAATGTCAATGCTTCGGCATGGGGCAGCGTTGATCTGATCATGTATGGAAATGTTGCTGTGGATGATTTTGTATTTCAAGTGAAATCAACGGGGGTCGCCGATAGTGTCAACATCCGCGTGCTTCGAGATGTACTCCACAAAGTGGCTTAGCGAATATCTCTATAGTATGGGTTCAATATGAGCAAGGGAATCTTTTTTTTTTACTTATCGGCATAATTTGCCAATCTTACTAGCATTGCGAAGAATTCTAAGGCTTTACGGAGTTGATGTGTTAGCAGCGCCAGCGGATGGTTGCGTTATCGGGTACATGTATCTGCTGAGCTTAGTGCCACTTCAGTCAGATGCACACCAACCACGCACTCCATATCCATCGTCGATCGCATCATTCCGTATTATAAATCAAACTCCGCAGCACGCCTAACAGTAGTATATGGACGGCGGAGTTTACTATAAATAAGTATCATTTGGCATCTTGTCCTGTATATATTCTTCTGAACGTGTCGCTGTTTTCTTTGGCATTTGTGTATCTGTTCGCAAATAATTTAGAAACAAGACGATTAAAATGGCGGCTACAATCAAGCTCTATACGAACCACGCTTGCCCTTGTACGTCAACCCGACACTCTATTACTCTCTATAATAACTATTAAACAAACTATTCACAGGGGCTCATCGTGCTCATATTGCTCTTGCAGAGCTTGGTCTCCCGTTTGAGGAGGAAATTATTGACCTGTCTGTCCCGCGCACTGCCGAGTACCTGGCCATTAACCCCCGCGGCCTAGTTCCAAGCCTGTCTTATAATGGGGAAATAATTACCGAATCTGCTGTTGTATCTCAATTCCTCATCGATGCATACCCTTCTCACCTTGTACCGACAGCTGGATCACCGGATGCTGCGCTTCAGGTACGCTGCTGATCGCTAACAATGTCAACTGTTGTAGACTGTTGTCGCTCACACATTTTATAGCGCGCTCGTATTAACTTCTTCGTTGATACCTACTTTACTAAGGTTAATAGCCTAAGCACAAAGTTCGTTCTTGCCAAGACGGACGCCGAGGCTGAAGAAGTCGCCGCCGAGTTTGTGAAACAGCTTACCAAGGAGGTCGAGCCGCTTCTGGCCGATGCAGCCCCGTACTTTGGAGGAAGCAAGACCTTGACACTGGCTGAGGTTTTTAAATGTTCTTGTATGAAAGGATGTTCAATCTTCTAACTTTATAACAGGTTCTCACCGGCTCATTCTTGCTGAGACTGTTCTCGCTGCCCAAGCACGGCGTCGTGCCAGAGAGCCTCGTCAAGGACTTACCCACCAAGGCGCCCAACTTTTACAAGTGGGCATCCAAGGTTATTGTGCACCCTAGCGTGACAGGTATCTGGAACGAGGAGAAGGTAGTTGCTGCAACAAAGGCCCGTTTGGAGAAGCTCAAAGCGCAAGCTTGAGACAGGGATTAGATAATTACGCTCGCTCTTTTAATGGAATTGATTACGGTTTATTCAGCCACCTTAAAACATATTATCTTATGATACTACAATAGGTACTGTGACTCTAGGCCGTTCGACCAGACGGTGGCGTGCTCGATCTTTAGCAATGCAAAGAGGTTAGTATAAGATTATTAGTAACCCAGTCCACTTGGGGTCATGTCTACTATTGGTTGCGTGTTAACTCTCTTGTATTATGCAAACACGACTGAGGTTTCATCGCGCGCAAAGACAGCAACATCCACATTGACAACTAGTACGAAGAGAACAACTGGGGAGACTGCAAGCTGGCGCCCCTACCAACCACAACCTGAAGCGTTAACATTAAGGATATTTCGGGAATATAGAACACTAGAGAACTACGGTACATCGATCTGTATAGAAATAACATGGATGATACCGGTATGAATGTAATCAATAGAAGTCTTGGCAGATGGCCCCCAACGGCGCAGCCTATGGGGCTGGTAGGTGAACGACTGTTCCCGGCCATAGCGATGCAATAGAAACTGGCTACGTTGATGCTGACATTGGTATCATGTACTGCAAGTGCTTTGATGGCGATACTAGGAAATATTACGCGATGACTGCCTTTTTGGAGTTTGTCATGCTGTTTACTTAACTGCTGCCTCGCGCGTTATGAACCAGAAACCAGTACGTTGTGGGCGCTGTGTTGGGGCACGTCAAGCCCCGACAAGGGACGGGACCCTCTCGACCCGTCGATCGCAACCAGCAAGGGAAACAAAGCCATATCAGCAAATTGATGCGAGAATATTGGTCTGCATGATAAGCGAGGGACAGAATATCTACCGAGAATACTTTGTACCGTCACGTCGAATTTCTATGACAAAAGGCCCTCTGGTGAAACTACTTGCCTTGTTAGGCTGCTGAATCGACCCACTGTAGAGTAGTATCACAGCGCATCTATGCTCTTCCTGGCAGGTGCTTGGTGCTATGCTACATCACGACGGAACTCGGCATGTCATTTTTGGAAGACTTGATAATATACGCTGTACATTGTCTAGTAGGTGTTGGTATATTTTAACTGCGTTTCTTCTGTTTTAAAGTCATTTTCATCTTCTATTACTGACTTTACCTGTACGATGAAGACTTGCTCTGGTGCAGCTATGCTGGTCGCCTTCTTGGCGATCTGCGATGCCGCTTTCGTGACGCTGCCTATCCATTCACGCAAGAACCCGCTCAAATCTCCAGAACACTTGGCGCGACTGCAAGTTGCTGCCGAAGTCAACGGTGTCAGTGTTCCTGTGAAGGATTGGATTGCACACACGGCTGATCTCCAAGTACGTCGACCTCGGCTTTCAATTTGATGTGTCTTTCCTCTACTTATACACCTTTTATAGTGGTATACTACTGTCAAAGTTGGCACGCCTCCTCAGAATTTGTAAGTAATAGTATTCTCCTATATAATTCCACGCTAACTAACCACTCTAACAGCGATGTCATCTTTGACACTGGTTCCTTTGACATGTTCATTGCATCCAAGGAGTGCACCACCTGTGGCCACGCTCGCACTTTTGACAGCTCCCAATCCAGCACCTTCTCGCAGGAGCCCAACCAGCCCCAGAGTTTCACCTACGGCACGGGCGTTGACTCAACCTCTTTGCCACCTCAGGGCGAAGGTGTTGGTGGAACTATTGTAACCGATAGAGTTGATATCGCCAACTTGACGGTGCCATCGCAACAGTTCCTCCTCTGCGATCGCTACGATGAATTCCTGGCCGACGTTCCATTTGATGGTGTCATGGGCATTGGTCTCGTCAACCAGACTGGTCTTCCAAGTGGTAAGCCCTGGTATTGGCAGTTGTACTACAGCGGCCAGATACAGTCACCTGTCTTCTCGTTCTATTACCCTCCTGGCCGTGCAACTGGCGCAGAGATGACTCTTGGTGGCGTCAACCCTGCCCGCTACACAGGCGACATCACGTATATTGACCTAACAGATGGTGGTCAGTTTGACGTTGGAGTCCCTGCTAGCTACTTTGGTGGCAAGCAATCAGTCATCCCTGCTACCGGTGCAATTCTGGATTCCGGAACACCTTTCTTTACTGCCTCTGCTTCCACTGTCAAGGACATTTATGCCGCGCTAGGCTCTCAGTTCAAGCAACTTGATCAAGGTGGCTCCTGGGGCGCTCCCTGCGATGTTATCGATTCTCTTGCCGTAGAAATGACATTTACTCTTGGATCTGGTAGCAATACCTTCAATGCCACCATGCCCAAAGAAGCTTTTAACTTGGGACCTTATCCTGGGCAACAGGGCATGTGTCAGGGAGTCTTTAGCGCTCTGGAAGCTGGCGGCAGCCTCATTCTGGGGGCTCCTCTGCTTGACAGATATTACACTGTCTGGGACGGACTCAACTACAAAATGGGCTTTGCTCAAGCTAAATTTTAATTACATCGCTTCATCCTATACATACTTGGTGAAAGTTACTAAAGGACTCAGTAGAATGAACATAATAATAAAATAAAACATTATTATATTAGAGTAATCGTACATTACTCGACGTGCGGGATATTGAGTCGCTTAGATAGACTTTCATGGACTATTTTCGTACATGATGTCTATGACTCTTTTCGTAGACTAAAACAACCAAGCTTTTGGTTCTTGTTACGGAGAATGTGGAAAGATCTCTTGGAAAGTTGGTTGCCTACACTCTCGGAAGCCATGACGTCTCACTCCCATCAAGGGTTGCAAGAAACGTCGAATAGTTGTTTCTTTTTGGGCTAATTATAAAGCTTAGAGATAAAGCTAGACTTCAGTTTAGCAACATCACATTAACTAATACATTATTCTACTGAATTATCGTGACGGAGAATATATATGCTATTTTAGCTAGAGACTATTTGTATATTTCTCCATACAATGGGCAATGGGATCACATTTAAGAAGATGAAAGAGGCTGCTTGCTAATAATAGCAGTAAATGCAGCCAGAGCAGCCTCGGGCTGGTAAGCAGGGACCTCGTGGCCAGCGGCGTAGACTCGGAGCCAGTTGAGGTTGTTTTTCGTCTTAAACTCCCCGTATTGCTTACCGCTGACGGTAAAAGGCTGAACCTGCTGGTTAGCAAAGTCACTTCCACCAATAGTGTTGGCGGCGTCAAAGTTGCCGATCCAGTTGCAGATCCAGTCTAGATGCATAGCGTTAGTAGGTTTACAGTTCGATTATCGGAGAGGATAACAAACCAGCGTCACCGGCCCACATGAGGGTGTTGATACCAGAGTTAACAACGCTCTGAAGCTCCGTAATGAAAGAACGAGAGCTGTCATCCCCACCAATGTTGCTACCACCACACTCCGTGTACTGTCCAACAGCACCAATAGCGTTCTTGACAGAGTCCGAGTTAAGCCAAGTGGCGTAGTTACCAGGAGGGTAGGTGTCACTGTCGGCACGGATGTCGTAGGGGTCAAAGTTTTCGCTAATCTGCGACTCGACATACCTAGAGCAAACGGAGCCGCCGTGGTTGCATGCCTGGTTCGAAGCGTCATTGACATCAGCAGTGCAGCCTTTGTAAGCCGGAACACACTTGTCCTTCCAGGTCTGGGTGAGCTGGTCGGCTGTAGACTGGTTAATGAGCGGACGGTACTTGTTCGTGAGGGCGAACTGGATGTACGCTTCGTACTGATTGACTATGAAATCATTAGTTTAGAGTACTCTCGCTTGGAATTATCATAGTTACCAGGGTCAATCCAGCCGTTGTTGATACCAAGAGCAATTAGATTAACCTTTGTGCCACTCAGGGTGCCTGCGTCGATGGCGGCATTCTGTTGCTCAAAGTAGTAGGCAAATTCGGGGCCGTAGTGGCCACCGTAAGACTCTGTAAAGAGACCGAAGTCGCGGGACTTGTAGTTAGGGAACTGGTCGTAGAAGGCTTGGACAAGGTTCCAGACATCGACAGCGGCATCTTGAGTATAAGCGACGTTGTTGTCCCCATAGCTGAAGCCGGCACCGACGGGCTGGTCAACGTAAAGCTGCATCATTGTTAAAGGATGAATTTTCAACCATGATTTTATTTACAACTTACCATGTTTGCAACATTGTTCCAAGAGTACGGGTTGAGCTTAGGCTCGCTGCTACCGTCGTTAAAAGTGCAAGGGCCGTGTTCCTGGAAGAGGCCGATCATGGAGCTGCAGCCAGGACCACCGTTGAGCCAGAGAACAAGCGGCGCAGTGTCAGCATTCTTGCGAGACTCAAAGAACCAGAACCAGAAGTTGTTCTGGTCGGCTGTTAGAAGAAAAGCGAATATTAGCAGGCAGCTCAGTATTTGGGATGGCATTACAGAACGCACCAGTTTGGAGGTAACCAGAGACTTGATTGACGCCGGGAGTAGTTTCGCAGAGGCCAGAGTTGTTCACGAATTTGAGCTGTGTGTTGGTAGCGGCATGCTCAAAGACGTTGTATTTAATGTTGTTCTCAGTGATTTGGTACTCCTTGTTGACAGAAGGCTTGGGGGAAGCAGAGGCAAGGCCAGCCAGCCCCGCCGTGACAAAAAGAGCCTTGAGTTGCATAGTGCCGGCGCGTTTTACGAAGTGCTAGTCAAATAACATGCCAGAATCCTGTTACGATATAGGGAGATATTCCTCTCTTTTATGTCCTGTGCCGGTATGCCGATAAATGTTTTCCCAAGACGTAATGGAACCTGGTTAGCCCTTGTTAGGGTAGCATCTTCCAATGCGATCAGCATCGCTTGGCGTACCTGCCCGTTTAGGCAGGTCGCCCACCGCTATATCGACAATTTACCAGCGTCGCATTTGCCCCGGATATTTTAGCAGTTGTCGTCCTCGTCCACCCCCGCTTGCACCGAAGCGAACGCGTCGTGTGATAAGAGGACAAGACGTATGTGCTGCAATGGTGGAGTGGTATCACACCTTAGAAGTTACTATGCGGGAGTTTGTAAGTTTAGGACTAGTGGATCATGCAACAATTCTGAAAAGGGCAACTGGACCGGAACCAGGTTGCCGTTTTATAGATATTTTAAGCGATTATTTTCTTTAGAAACGACGTCCAATGCCGAGTACCTCCCAAGGGTTCGTGTAGGTAGTAAGTCGTAGTAAGCGACGCGGGGTATAGGCACGCACGCCTTGGGTCGGGGAAAAAAGACAAGAGTTATAGATAAGTTACTTAGAAGGGTCAAATTCTTAATGATTTTTAATCTTAATGTTTATATCATGTTAAAGACAAAGCGAGACCGTCTATAACTACCAGCTAACCAATAGCTCTTCCATAAATAATACTTTATTCTAGATTCTACCGTTATACCCTGTCACCCTACATGGACCTAAAGGCAACCTATTCCACAACTGGTGGCTTAGGTCTTATTTTGACAAGCCGTGAAAAAAGTATTCCAGTGGTACCCAAAAGCAGAAAGGCACCAGCGTAAGCCTTCACCCATGCAACGCCATTAGGCTGCTGAAGAATAATACCAGCAAGAGGTGTTGAGAGTAGTCCGCCGATGGAATGGGCAAGACTTGAAATGCCGTTGCGATAGCCAATCATTCAATGGGAGAGATTTGTGCCACGAGCGCTGAGACGACGGCGATGTAAGCGCCAGAGAAGAGGCCAAACATGGCTGCAAAGGCAATTATTACTGCAGCAGCCGTACCTGGAATCCACATGGCAACAACTAGTACGCCAGCTCCGTGGCATGACGTGTTGAAGATGTTGAAGCGACCAAACCTGTCTGCCATCAGCCCTGAGCAAATACGCCCGACTAGACTTGCGCCGTTATAGACAGAAACAAGATTCTGAGCAAGGTGTTTTGTCACTCCCACATCAATGGCAAGTGTGGGTAGATATGTGATTGGCGTATAAAGACCAAACGGTACTAACGCTAGTCCAGCTAACAACAAACGACTCGTAGTTCAGAAAACGGCCCTTTTAGCGTACCAAGAGAAAATTCTTTTCTTGGTCTAATGTTGCTGTGTTGCCGGACCGTTAGATTAGTCACTGTGAGCATGGCTGCAATGAGAAACCCTGCTGTTCGCATCGCCCAACCGTAGTTAACGTTATTAATGAGCTTTGTAATCAGAATGGGAAACACGACCCCGCCTAGGCTCGAGCCAGTAGCGAGGATGCCAAACGCGGTGCCACGACGAGAGTCAAACCAGCCACTCACACAGGCAATCGATGCCATGAAGACAGCGGCAACACCGATAGCGCTGCAGATTCCCTGCGATAGCATCAGCTGATAGTAGGTCGTGGAGATGGAGGCCATCATCAGGCCAAAGACGTGAACGATGGCCAGCAAGAAGAAGCCATCGGGGGCCGTATCAATCGAACAACGAACCAAGAACGGGATTAAGAAACGACATGAAGAAGATTTGGAGCGCTGGTATCCAAGCAATTTGGCTGTTAGAGTACTCATTCAGGGGGCCGCCAGCGTAGTACTTTTGAAAAAAACACCGAGCGTGGTTGTTAGAGACAGCAACCTAATCTCGGGCTAGTATATAGCGGGTTATACGGTACTTACTATTAATCCAGCCGTAGCTACAAAATGAAGCGCACCAAGTGCCAAGAGCGACGAGCCACTGGTCCCGCTATCAATTCTGGGTGGTTTGGTGTTTATAGAATCATCATTGTCGCTGTTGGATTCCACAGGGAATGGGCTTCGCGACTCATGATCTTCTCTAATTCCGAGGTTATCAGCTGCTCGAAAAAGGGACGCTGGAGGTATGCTTACCAGGGTAGCAGGTTGGGAACCTACACCAATTGGATCAATTCGTGTAAGCTTGACAGGTTTTGAGAGCGGAGACGCTGTTAGAGTGCCATTGGTGGCTTGACCGTCTTTAATTGCCATTATTTTGATACGTAGGCGAAAAGTAGAGATCAATTGATTGGAAGTAGACAGTAAATTGAAAGAATGTTCCAGTAAGTAAAACAAAGAAGTGAGAAAAAAAGTAGAGCATGGTGGGCTTATAACTATAGCCAGTTGGTGTGTATGCTGCGGTGCCACGCTAAATTTAGGCAGCAACACGGGAGCAGCTGAGATTACAATCTCGGCTCGGAAGTCCGGTTTATCGCCAGCCTACCCTGGAAGCATGAATGTTATACGATAATGTACTAAATTAAAGGGACAAATTGCGTGCGTACGTGCCAGCAGCTGGGAATAGTATAGAAGTTTAGAACACAGAAATAGGTAGTTAGGTCCCAGGGTTAGTTTTTAAATATGCAGCTAATGATTTTATTTCTACATAATCACGAGTCGAACGGTCTATGAGGATAAACTTGCACCACAGCTTAGGATGTAAGTTAGGCTATCAACCTTATTGTGTCTATTCACACGGGCACTACAATAAAGCGACGTCTTTACGTATAGTATTTTCGACAGAAATCCTTGAATATGCCTAAAAGAAATATATATAGATAAAGGAGTGGTTTTCTTATTGCATACTTTCTTTTATTTTTGGACTGTCGGTGACTTAAATTTTTGTGGGCTTCAACCTACTTTACGTACCAAAAAGTAGACAGTGCATCATTGCGTAGTCTTGCACATATTAACAACACCTGCCCATTGCTATACATTCATGGACACAGCCAAGTAGCCGTAGAGCTGTAGCAGCGTTCGTTTCGTCCTATCTCACACACGTCATGTCGCCTCTCGCACCGCCAGCAACAACGAAGAGAACGCGCCGGTCTCACAGGCGATCTCGCAATGGCTGCGCAGAGTGTAAACGTCGCCATATTCGCTGCGACGAGCGCAAGCCCGTATGCGCCAATTGCGAGAATGCAGAGCGGCCATGCTGCTTCCCTGCACTCGAGGCGGCGGTCGATGCAGACAGCAATGAGTCACGACAAACGTCGAGATCGCAAACGACAGAAAGCACAAACATCATTCCAACTATCAACAGCACCACCAACAACTCTTACAATGCTATATGGTCCGCTGCCCCAAGTCTCGCCTTTAATGCCCAACACATGGCACTACTTCACCACGCGTCCTCCGTCCCAAGTTTTCAGGGACCGAATCGTCCCGCGCTAGACATTGCCGTGCGCCGCGCCGTCGACTGTCCGTATCTACTAGACCAAGTACTCGCCCTGACTGCCTTTGACTTGATACACAACGCCGACGCCGGAGCGTCGCTCAATCTCCGACGCCTCGCGACAGAGCTACAAACCAGAGCCCTTGCATCCTTTACCAGCCTCTCAGATGCCCTCGCAGTAGATGATACCGCCACAGCTGTCCCGCGCTTTCTCTTCTCAGGCATCCTAGGCCGACATATGCTCGCCGACACGTTGATATACGGCCAGACCGACTTCCGCGGCTTCATGGACAGCTTGATCAACTGCCTGAACCTGAACCGCGGCATCACGACTGTGACGCCTCCTGCGAGATACTACTTGCGTGAGTCAGAGATTGGGCCGATGATCAACGTTTTTGTCGATGCTGAGATGGAGATCAGCTCAGAGCCGCCAGGGAGTGAGTGCGATCCTCTATGCTCTATAGTGGACGGCGCAGGCTTTGACCAGAAAACCACCCAGATATACCGCCAGGCTGTGGGTTGTTTGCAACGCTCCTTTGACTTTTGCCGACACCTAGGCGAAGAGCAGTATCCTCAGGTGGCGGCTGTCTTTGCTGTTGGCGTAGATGCTGGCTTTGTGGACGAGCTACGCAAGTGTCGGCCCGAGGCGCTTGCCGTCTTGGCCTACTTTGGCGTGCTATTGTCGCGGTGTCAGCGCTTTTGGGCATTTTGCGATGCTGCCCCGAAGATGGTTCGCGCCATTGCGAAGTATCTCGGGGAGTATTGGAAGGATGTGCTCTCGTGGCCCCTCCAAGCTGTCGAGGCCGCCTGATATATTCCTACTCCTAGACCACCTCGCCAGCAAAACATGATGAATAATGAATGAGAATAAAATCTATTTAGTCGACTTCAATCCACTATAATCCGGGTTCAAGTCTTCCATCTACACCATTCGTGCTTGTTACTGGCTGCCCCACGCGCCTTTGACAGTTCGGCTGATCTTGAAGCCACCCGGAACCCGGTGCTGGAAAAAGCCATGGGGATCAAACTTGTGCGCAACCTTGCGAATGTGCTCCGTATTGTTCACGCCATAGCTACTCAGAGGATCCTGCGAGGCGTCTGCGTAGGGCAGATACACAAAGCGATCGAGGGCCCCAATTGAAGCAGCATACGCCTTGATTCGCTGGTTGGCAGCAGCAGCAAGCTGGTAGATCCGAGCGACGTCCCTCTTGCTGTGCTGTCCCTCGAAGAGAATAGCTCCGAAAGCCGCGAGGATCCTGCTGCGATTGCAAGTATCGAGTCCTAGCATGTTGCCACCCTTGTGTGCGCCATAGGTTGCAGCGTTGGTGGAAATTGGCTGCAGGTCAAAGATTGTACTAAAGTTACTTGCGTCCACTGCCTTTGCAATGTCCTGCACAAAGCGGTCATACTGGCTTACGATATACTTTAGCACTTTAGCCTCGTTGATAACGGTTATAGGCCCGGCACCGACAGTCCTAATATTATCCAGTTAGCATTGTCCATAAACCACAGATTTGCATTGGACAAGGTACTTACAGCATGTCGTCAGTCAGCGCAGAGCTATGCGAGGAGGCAGCGAGCGTCATGGACTTTGGCTCGACGGATTCCCGCACCGTGGGAATACGGTTTACCGTATCAAATGCCTCCGTACTAGCGTTGTTGGCTGTGTTGACCTCCGTGATAGTAATCGTAGTGGCGTTAGCTGCAGGATTATAGTTGAACGCAGTCAGCAGGTAGTTATCCGCAAATGACGCATCTCGGTCTGTGAACTCCACAATCGCATCGATCACTTCGTCCACATGATCCATACTGACGGTTCTCGTCGCCTTGATTACATTCACCGCTGGGAACGCCTCGATATCGAACCTTGTAACGATGCCAAAGTTGGCGCCGCCACCCTTCAGTGCGCGCCACAGGTCCGAGTGGGACGACCGGTTCGCTTGGATGATGGACCCGTCTGCCAGTACGACCTCGTAGTTGACGACGCTGTCGCACGCAAATCCTCTCTTAGGGGTATACCACGAGACCCCGCCGCCTAGGATGAGACCACCGACACCCACAACGCCCTCGCGGCCTCCGACAACACTGACACCGTGCTGGAGCAGGTCGCCGTAGACTTGGCCCCAGCGGGCGCCTGTGCCGATACTCGCAATGTTAGTTGTCGCGTCGTAGGTTGAGGTGTTGAGCATCGTCAGGTCAATGGTGACGCCAGTGTCGATGTTATTGCAGTTGTGTGTGCCGTGGCCACCACTGCGCAACGCAATGTGCCAGTCGCCTGCGCCGCCGCCGGCCTTGTTAAGAATCGAGAGGGTACGCGAGACTTCCTCCGTTGAGCTAGGCTGTACGAAGCAGAAGGGGCTCTTGCGAGTCGAGGGTGCCCATGAGCCGTTGACGAGGCTGGGATACTGAGGTGAGTCTGCGAGATGGACGGCATGCCCAAGGTTGCCGGTTATCAAAGCGTCGCACTAAAAAGTTAGCATGCTCCGTAAAGAATCGACGAAGAAGTATACATACTGGGGGATATCCAGATGTAATGTTTGCAGCGGTTTGAGCGTGAGCGCCAGTGGGTTGCAGCAAGAGGAGCAGCGTAGCAGCGAAGTGAAGATTGAGGGCCATGGCTTTAAAAGAGGGAGGTGTAGAATGGAGTACTGTGACGTGTGTCTGTCTTTTTTCTGATAATAGTTATTTTGGATAGCAATGAGCCGTATTTATGTCTTTTTCGGAGATTATATACTCTTCATTGCATCCAAGGAAATCTAAAGACTGTTGATGAAGATCGCCGTGTAATTGGCATACGTTATACGCTATACGTTATACGAGACAGACTAGTGTTAAAATTTCCCAAAGGGGCCATCGTCACATAAGCAACTGTGGGCCTCGTGGGTATACGCGTCTGTCGTAAGAACACGGTCGCTAGTCAGTGGAAGCTTACACCAACGGGCAAGAAACTTCACACCAATATTACTTTTTAATTGGAAGTAGGCTAATAACTCACCTCTCGGCAGCAACACTTAAATCTCCGTTGACCCCATGCTATGGTTTATAGTACTATTATCTAATTTCTTTTTTAAATATGAACTTGAAGCCCATCATTAACTAGCCGAAGAGTAAATAGTGATTTTCTCCTCGAACATGAAATTCTCCACTAAGACATCGCCAGCTGTGTTGAGCTTCGATACTTGGGCGGCATCTGCCAGGCAATCTACCTACCCTGCACTCATGCCTTCCAGAGAGTCTCACGCTGCTAAGTAGATGTCAGGATTTTCAGCGTGAGATAGTGCTATAGTAGGGATGGGCTTATCTGACGCTAGTGTGTTGTTTTTAACAATGACAGTGCGGGCTTTCTTTGCAACGCAAACGATTTACCTCTTGCTTACATGGTGCCTTGTAGAAACTGACACAAGGCTGACGACGAGATATCTGTTTTATGAAAGGAACTGAACAAAACCAATTTGAACCAACTGATAAGCTGGAATGGCGCCCTTTCTTGCCCCACCACCATTTTAACGTGTCTCCTGATACTCTTTCTGAGGAGAATATGCTCATAGTATCACTTTCAAGCGGCCATGATTTTCAGCCCAACCTTTCGTCTGTACTACGCAAATAGCGCCGAGTAACAGACTTATGGACTTGCCTAAAGAGGCAAGTTGCATGGTTCTCTGCGATGTTGCGGTAGCAAATGCGCCCGTGGCCAGAAACGGGATAGCTCTCTGTAGTATCATTAGAGAAGCTGACGGTACAATTTCCGGGGGAAAGTTGTAATTACAAATACGTCGCTATTTCCTACTGGTGTTGGAGAGAAGGAAGCTCTTACGAGAAATCAACACTTTACAACCTCCAACATGCTTTGTCAATTTTATGCCACGGCTGCCACTTGGCTAGCTCTAGCCGGTGCTGCAGCAGCATCTCCAATGGCCAGGTTCGGCGATTCTACAATCCACGAGCAAATTAACGTACCCAATGAATGGCAAGTGTCTAGTGCTCCGAGCCCAGATACTAGGACCACGCTTCAGATTGGTTTGAAGCAAGGCAACATGGCTGGCTTACACAACCGGCTGATGGAGATTTCCGACCACACGCATGCCGACTATGGCAAGTGGCTCACTAAGGAAGAGGTTGCCGAGTACTCAGTGCCATGTTCTGAGACAATAAAGATAGTCGAGAGCTGGATCAAAGCTGCTGGCATCCCTGATGCTGATCTATCTCCACCCAGCGCTGATTAGCTACACATTAACAATTAGCAAGGCTGAAGAGCTTTTGGCGCCGAGTACAAGATCTACCAGCGCTCTGTTGATGCGGCATCTCTCCTCCGAACTGCTGCATATTCTCTTCCCCAGCTGCTAAAGGGTCATATCGAGACCATCCCACCCACAACTGTGTTTGGCGCCGCCCCAGTTGCCCGCAAGACTGTGCCCCAGATAGCTCGGAATGAGAGAGACGCAGCAGCTCCCACACCTTGCGAACGAATGGCGATGTCAAGGTGTATTCGTGACTTGTACAACGTTGACTACGCTGGGGCCAGTAAGCTCACCAAATATGGTGTTACCGCCACCACAAATACATCAGTCAACGCCTATGACCTTGCTGAGTATCTCAATCGAGTGGATCTTGGAAACAAGAACATTTACGAGGTACTCCCTATTAATGGAGGGAAGAATAATGAGGCAAACCCAAGTGATGAGGCAACACTCGATATCCAGTGCGCTGCGGGCTTGGGAGCTGGCAATGCAGGCTTTTATGCTCTCGGTATAAACAATACTCAAATCTGGGCTTTCGAAGACAACCTTCTTACCTTGGCATCGTACCTTGCTACGGCTGATGATGCCCCTGCGGTCATTTCCAATTCCTTTGGCATTGATGAAGAATTCGTCACACAGTCCTACGCGGTGCGCATCTGTAATGACTTCATGAAGGCCTGCTCGCGAGGCGTTACGGTCCTATGCAGCACTGGCGACAGCGGCGTTGGGAACAGGTGTGATGGTGGCAAGTTCCGGAACCACTTCCCAGCCTCCTGCAGCTACGTCCTTGCTGTTGGTGCTAGTTACTGGAAGGGCACCGTCGAGACTGCAGCTCGTTTCGGGTCTGGTGGCGGCTTCTCTGACTACTTCACCACTCCAGACTACCAGAAGACTGACGTTCAGAACTATAGACACGATCACATACCCGCCGCCTATGATGGAAAATTCAACAAGGATGGTCGTTCCTACCCCGACATTGCTCTCGTGGGCGAGCAAATCCCTGAAGTTGGCCCCACGAAAAATCGCAACAATGCTTCCGAAACCAAAATTGCGGTTACTGGTGGAACCTCTGCATCCACGCCTTTGCTGGCGGGCCTGTTGTCACAGATCAATGACTACCGCGCCACCCTCAAACTTCCCACGCTTGGCTTCATTAACCCGCGTCTATATGGTGATACCAAAGTTCGTGCGGCCGTGAAGGATATCACTACAGGAAGCAATCCAGGCTGTAACACAATGGGGCTCACTACGGAGAAAGGTTGGGATCCTGTTACGGGTCTCGGTAGTCTTGATTTTGCCAAGTTACGCGCTGCTCTTAGTACTTGAGTAGAACGTAAAGGTAAGCGCGCAAGATAATAGTAAGTATATTCATTACCATTCTAAAGGGGCTATTCGAAGTATCAATGAAACATGCCTGATAACATTTTACTTCTTAAGTTCCTCGGCAACCCAGTCACCGACCTCGTTGTCGAGACGGTTGTAGATGCTGTACCAGTCCCAGGTGCTCTTGCTCCAAGAGCAAATACCATAGATGACACCATCAACGATCATGGGACCGCCAGAATCGCCCTGAAGACAGGTTGTTGGACGACCAGTGGGGGTTCCAATGCAGAACTGTTGTTCAGGAACAACCTTCAAGCCTTGTCCTGTCTTGTCGCACTCTGCAGGATCGACAACAGGGAATTCGGCTCGGTGCAGCTCTGCGTTCTTCTGCTTATCATCCACATCCTTCTTACCATAGCCAAGAGCAAAGGCTTCCGTGCCGAATTTCACCTTTCCAGCGTCCTTGGATGTTGCGAACTTGGGGAATTTGAAGTCAGCTGGGACAATATCTTCCTTGGTTGTGATAACCGCAACGTCATAACCCTGTTGGAAGTTGGAGTATTTGGGGTGCTTCTTGTAGCTAAGAACTTCCAGTTTCTTCGGTTCACCCTTGCCAACATCATCACTGCCATAGACTACGGTCTTGGTACCGGAGGCATCGGCACAATGGGCGGCAATAACGACTTTGCGAGGGGCGATGACGGATCCGCTGCAGCTTTGTCCATTAGGGCGTGGTCCTCCGGCACGGTGGCCAGCCGCCATGAATGGGTACTCCTTGTGCGGAACTGCCTTGCCACCAATAAAGAATGCTTCAGTCTCATTGATGGGCTTGGTGAAGAGAGCGTCTCCAGCACCGAGGGGAGCAACCGCAAAGATCTTGTCCGAGCCTTGCAGGGGAGTGGCAAAGGCGGACGCTCCGAGAGCGCTGACCATTGCGCACGTGTTGGTGAACTTCATTATAGGCGCTGAAGAGATTGGTGTGTAGAAACTGTCAGGTAGTTTGTAATGTTTTGTTGGTACATGGTCCATGGAAGTTAGATGTTAGGCTCTCTTATATGTTATACCTGATTTTGTGTCTGCCTGAGCAGAGCAACTCCACGCAACGGCTGTTACTTGAGCATTACCCAAAGTGTCTCAACACCCATATCCAAAGCGTTGCGACGGTACATTTTGCTAAGAAAAAAAGTGTCTTCATTATGGCAAGTATCTTAGACATGCCTGCATAATTCTAGTAATGTCGTCAATTATTACTCCCTGCGTTGTTCCTGTGGCGCTCCGACACGAGACGCTTTCTCGATTCTAAGGACGACTTGGAGACCTTGCCGCGCTCGCACCAAAACTGAGCTCAAATGAAACTCAAAATGTCAGGGCAAGTAAATTATTTGCGATATTACAGGATAAGTATAATCTACAAAAATGAATTGTCAGCTGTTCCTTAGGCGCTGATAGGAGAGCAGTCAGTCCCAGATCACAAGTGTCGCAGATTCAACAGACAGAATTAGCACAACACTGGTATTCTCGGTCGCAAGCTTGGCGGCCGGCATTTACATCAACACAGACAATGGAAAATAAATCACTTTATAGCTATATACAGTATATACAATATGTTCAATGAGTAGAAATTTAGGACGAAAATTTATCAGAAGCCTTGCCCTTTGTTTGCTTCTGGACATTGTCTTTGAAATGTTGGTTGTTGTCGCCAATGATATTTCCAGCAGGCGAATACTCACACGCAACAAAAGTGCCGACGCTTCCCGGGCACTGTTTCCAAGCACATCCAATGCTCTTTGTGTTTTTCCAGACCATTTGAGTAAAGTGGCCAGTTTGGCTGCTGAATCCAGGCTTGTTGTAGTCGTATTTTGTACGTTCACCACCCCACATGTTGATGACTTGATCCCAGCTGCTCAGGCCGCCAGCAGCAAGGTTCTCTCCATACTTATTGCCCGACTGATGACGTATTAGCACCGTTTGTTCAAGTAAAAGATGAAAATATCTTACCTGATGTTCATAGTTGCACTTGTTTACCCATGCTTGTGCATTCTTTGCGGCATCGGCGTTCCATGTAACGGGGCTCGCATTGTGTTCTCCGCGGTACCAGTTGTGCCCCTTCAACATCGTGCTCTTGAAGTCCCCCGTCGGTGCAGCAGCCTGGAGAGGACCGGCAAGGCCTGAGCCAACGAGGGCAAGAACAGTGAGGAAAGAAACAGTAATCATTTTTGTAAAAACTGTAGAAATGGTGTCTTTGATAGGATAATGTGTTCTGAGACCAGTTTACGCTATGGTACCTGCGAGGTATTTATAGCCAAGTTAAAAACTTCAATGGATTCAATCTGCCACATGGAAACCTCCCGCTCCGGAAACATTTGATTCTAGATCTTTCGTTTGACACAAATCTTCCGAGCCTTCGGCGTGTTTCTTCCTACCAGTCAACAACGCGGACATAAGCATAAGCTTTAGTGGGTGTTTGACAATGAGAGCCACCTTAGTCTCGACCTGGAATCGCTCCGTCTCCGCTACGACACTATAGCTAAATGTCGCCCGATGTGGTTAGAATGTAAGCAATGGCTTTCGTTCCCAAGTTCATTGGACAAAATATGTCCGGAGCTAGCTCCATCTCATAGTACCTGACTTGCGCCTTGACAGTAATGTGTCGCTTATATTGGTTCGCAGTCAAACTGTGCTAAGCTGGCTCATAACCGCGCCTTGCCTCTCTCTACTTCCGGTATGGTAAAAGTCGCGAAGTGTAGATCTTCGGCTATCTTCTTGGTAAACCATTTACTAGACATTGTATCGTGGCAATTAAATGCTGTTCCTCTACAATATTTCGAGCCTAGCCTAGCTGATCAGTTGCCATGCAGGCGATCGGCAGGGGCGACCGTTTTCCTTCCTAAAAATATGCTACCCTTCTTATGAGACACGGCTGTGTCCCGCTTCATGATGGGGCTTTCACACTTTGATACGGTCGCATAACAAATTTAGAATGCATGGATTTGGGATTTTAACGGTTAGTTTCAAATTATCTACTGTCTTGGCCTTGACAGACGCCAAAAAAAATTATGCGGTTTCGTTGAAACCGCTCTGGGCATAGTTTGTCTTGATGTAGCTCTTCATCATTGCTTTGAGACCGGCCCAGGCCTCTTCGCCGCTTGGTTTGATAAGCTCTGGTTTAATGACAAAGCCAGACTTATCTCGAAGCTCCTGCAAATAGGCAAACTCTACCTTGGCATTGTCAACCGCCCAGTCCGTGCTGGAACCAGAGAGTTGATAGAGAACTTTGCATGCAGATCCGGTTCTAAATTGTGTACCGTGAACCGCTTTGAGTGCATCAGCGTTAGCGTTGGAGTGTGTCATGTGTTCCTTAAATCGAGGACCCTCGGTTTGGCAATTATAGCCGTATGCTAGTGAAGTTCACGTCAGCACTCTAAATTTTCTCTTTCAAAAAAAAGTTTGGAAAACATACGAGATAAGATCATTTGGCCGTAGGAGTGCCAGTCGATATAGAAGGCAACACCTTGTGATTTCGAGATATCCAAGATGGTATTTTGGATCGCCTTGGTCTCGGGCTCGGACGCGGCGGATGGGCCATGGTACATTTCGTGGCATGGATCTTTTGAAGCTCCTGGACCACCCCATTTGGTGTCGAAGTTGCGATTACAATCAATACCAAGGCAGTTGGGCTTGTCTGTCTTGGCACGATTCTTGCGCCACATGCGAGTGTTGCTCGTGAAGATGAAGCCTAATGAATCAGTTAGCTACCAATAGGGCATGTTCGGGATCCGATAGGGTTCAACGTACCGTCTGGGTTAACAAATGGGTAGATAAAGAAGTCAAACTTCTCCATGATTGGCTTCATCTCCTCTTTTTCCATCTCTTCCAAAATTCCCTGGACGTTATACTCGATGACTTTACCAACAATCCATTCGCGTGCGTGGATGGTACCAGTCATAACAAAAGCCTTCCTGCCCTTGGCAGATCCCCAAATATGGATTCCAAAAATGTCTTTGCCTTCCACGGATTTTCCCATGGATACCATGGCGGAATTTTTGGGATATTTGGCTTGAATATCCTTGAACCATTGATGGTGTTGATCCCAGGTATGATATGAACCGAACCAGTTCATGCTGTTGCTGCCAGCTGCAGGCTTTCATCAGTTTCTAGTCACTGTGGTCTCTTGTCTGACCAACTTACGCTCATAGGTGTCGGTCACGTTTGATTCTTGAAAGATGGCGTATCCTAAATCGTCGTGTACAACTTCGATATTTCGGAAGGCTGCAGCTGCTGCACCAGCTTCAAAGGCGGACACTTGGTCTGGTGGAATCTGAACGGTGGCATGGTCACCAGCCTCTCCAGGCATTTTCCACCAAGAGAGACCGAGATTATCTACAATATCGGTTAAGCGACGTGCCTCGTCTTCATTCTCGATATCCATGCGCAAGACTTTGTAGCCGTCATAGTTGAATTTCTCTTGGGTGCTCTCGATAGCCGCCGCTGAGACAATCGCGGCGCCCGCTAGAGCGACAAAGAGGAACCTCATCGTGTTTGGTGATTACAATAATCTAGTATGAAACGCAAGCAAAAAGTGCGGGCAGGTTGACTATTTTACATATGGTGCGATTATAAGAAAGTAGTTTTTAAATAGACGTATTTTTAGACTGTCTGCAACCAATTTGTAGACCACCGGTTCGGATTGGCAAGTAGTACTTCATGAGGGGTCCCCGTCTGTAGCGAACTGAGACCTGCGATGTGTCAATTGCTGCACCTATTAGCAATACTGACTACGGAGGGCATAAATGACTACATAATAGCGGGGAGAGTATTTTATCCCAAGGTAAACGGCCGTCAGTATCGCATGCACGTATTAAACTCGCGCCGAATCGGGTAGGGCTGCCTGGTTTGGTCTTTGACACCACGCGAGCACGCGTCCTATAGGTTATGACAGCATTCAGTTGCCATGATGTCACGCTGTTGTGGACGGACTTGTAGTGCCGGACTTTGGTGAACTGTCGCCCCCTCCAAGTGCCACAAACCTCTGTAGATAGGCAATAGTCGCCCGCCATTATTCCCGACTATGGTTCGACAGCCTCTGGCAACTTGGCGCTGGGGGAGAGACCAATGAAATCGATGACCACACGGCAGTGCAGATGATTAGTTGTCTTGGTGGCTTGCGAATGACGCGGGATGATCCACACCAGACCTGCTCTGGCGAATGGTATGCCAGTGATGTACCCGACTAAGGCCATTAGCGTCAAGCCCATCAAGCCAGTCGCTTACTTGCTGCCGTCGACACCGGGTATGCTTGTCACAGAGCCTTGTGGTGGGTTATTCGTTGTTTTGCGAAAGACGGGGGTAAATGAATGAAGAGTGACTAAATGTCGTCAATGTGCAGCACAGCTATACTTCTACAGTGATAATTAAAAAAAAAAATAGGACTGCTACAGGACTGCTATACTGAGCATCCGCTAGTAGTTTGACAGCAGCGCCTGAGCGCGCGTCATTTGCAACTTTTCTTCTGCACGCATCCTGGAGGGGGACGCGCTACCCCGGAAAAGCGGCATGCAGGCTATCCGAGTTGGGCATAATCCGAAAAACTAGCAGCAAATGGGTATTTAATCCCGAACCCCCGGTGGTCCCGCTCCTTTCTGTATCTCTGCATCTGAAATCAAACTGCTGTTGGGTCGCCGTCACAATGAACAATTATCAGCACACGCCAGAGGCTCCGTTCGCATTGAGCATGAATGCGTACACGCCGCAACAGACCACCGAGATTTGCTCTCGCGTGGGTACCAAAAAGGCCAACATGAGCATCGACAAGGTCTTCTTCAGCTCCTTTATTGCCGGCTGCTACCTGGCGTTTTCATCTTCAGTTTGCCTGGTCATCAACACATCGCCCTGGGTACGCGCGCGCACAGATTGTGCGGAAGCAACGCTTCAATTAACCAATTCTAATCAGCCCCATAGTATCAAGAAAATGCACCCGGCCTGATTCGCATGATTGCCGCGCTCGTCTTCCCTCTCTCCCTCGTGATGATCGTCTTGACAGGCACAGATCTTTGCACTGGCAGCTTCATGGTGAGTGCGATGTAACGTATGGGAATATAAGGCTCGTGGCTAACGGGTACAAACCCACTGGAACAGTATACGACGCTTGCAGCGCTCCACCGTCGCATCAGTCCCGTCAAGATGCTCATGCATTGGTTTCTGACCTTTTTTGGCAATTTGGCTGGCTCTCTCTTCATCGTCGGCATCATCATCGGTTACGGCGGCGTGCTTGATGACCCTCTCTACCGAAAGGAGGCCATCGCATTTGCAGAAAAGAAGGCGTACACTCCCCAGTGGCACCAGATCTTTCTGCGCGCAATTGGTGCCAACTGGCTCGTTTGCGTCGCGTGTTGGTTAGCCTTCCAGGCGCGTGATGTTGCTGGTAAAATTATGGGCATTTGGTGGCCCGTTTTTGCCTTTGTTGCCCTTGGATTGGATCACGTTGTTGCCAACATGTATTTCATTCCCATGGGCATCTTTCTAGGCAGCACGCACATTTCTGTTGGATACTACATTTGGAAGTCTATGATTCCAGCTGCTCTCGGCAACATTGTTGGCGGCGGGCTCTTCGTTGCCGTAATCCACTGGTATTTGGTAAGCGTTGCGTTTCTGTTGCGCAGTAACTTAAAAAAAAAAACTTGTTCTAACTCAACGTTCCAGGATCTAACTGGCGTGGACGAGCCCATTGCCATTGACGGCAGCCTGCACAAAGGAGATCGCAAAGATGAAAATAGCAGCGTAGACGTTTAGCCTTTGTGCTTCTCGCGAATATATTTAAATCCAAGTTTAATTTCATACAATGACTTAACAGTGACCGATCATATAATGGAATACCACCTCAAAGAGGAAAGTAGTAGGCAAAGAGAAAAAGGAAGGACCTTCTGAGCACGCAACCGTGCCTAGTTCATGTTTAGCGGTGATCTGTACCAACTCCAGCGTGGTGGAGGACCTGTGTAGCAAGGTGGGCGGCGCCACATCGCGGCAGTGGCTGGGCGATCGTGGAACACGTTGATGAATCTCACGAGTTCAGCCCAGCCACGTGGTACGTTGGTACTTGGATACGATGGTATAGAAAAATAAACAGAAAAGCCACGACCCGGGAGAGCCTCTTAAAAATGATGAACAGCCCACACATGACATGGAGCAAACAACAAGAGACTTTGTTCAAGCAAAAGCCCTGACTCCAGGCGGAACTTGTCCGCACATCGTGGTCGATGGGGGGGGGGGAGCCCACACTACTACGACCTGCCTGTTCTAGCATCGATTCCGGGGCAAAGATTAAATTATCGTGCGATTAAGTTCTTGTTAAGGCTCTACATTGTGCTCATCGTCCTGCTTCCCCATCTTTATGGGCGACCGAATCTGCGCCTTGGCCGCCGAAAATGGTCTGCGGGAGTCGTGTCCGTCGGCTAGTATATATACGACCCATCAGCACACACAGTCTCTTTACTTTGACGCTTTTGGAGAAATTCTCATTCAGTTAGTGAATCTGTCACCATGAGGGCCGAAACATTTTTCTTTACAGCCCTACATTTCGTTGGCCTCGGCAGCGCTGCCGTAGCCCAGGGTGGGGAGCCTTACACCTAGAGCCACAACAGCGTAACCTACAATGTGGCCGAGCACGCTGCTACAGGTAGCAAGCTCCGATATGTCAAGAACTCGAGTATTTGTGAAACCACAAAGGGCGTAAACCAGTACTCTGGATATGTCGACGTCTGTAAGTAGTAGCCTACTGTGCTGCCTATGACTCTATGTTTGCTAATAGCGTGTAGCGGATAACGACCACATGTTCTTTTGGTTCTTCGAGGCTCGCAAGAACCCCAAGAATGCCCCTCTGGCTCTCTGGCTTAACGGTGGTCCTGGCTGCAGTTCCTTGATTGGCCTATTCCAGGAAAACGGTCCCTGCACCTTTAATGGGGGCTCGTCTGAACCGCAGCTTAACCCCAACTCGTGGACCAATGTTGCCAACATGGTAAGCCTGATAAGGATCCAATTCTCCCCATTCCTCCACCTAATGGAAACTTCTAGCTCTATGTTGACCAACCTTCTGGTGCTGGTTTCAGCTATGGCGACGATGGTGTCAACTCAACTGCTACGGCTGCCCCCGCTGTTTGGAAGCTGCTGCAAAACTTTTACACAGAGTTCCCAGACTACAAGAATCGCGACTTTGGTCTGTTTACTGAATCATTTGGAGGTCACTACGGACCCCACTTTGCATTCTACTTTCAGCAACAGAATGCCGCCATTGATGCCAGCAAGCTCAAGGCTGAGAAGATCAACCTCGTTGCTCTCGGCGTCAACAACGGCTGGTTTGACCCCTGTAAGCACCCTTATGAAACAGCTCTTCTGTCTAGAAGCTAACAAGTATTGTAGACATCTAGTATGATGCCTATGCCGACTTCGCTGTCGATAACGGGTACCGTCAAATTCTCAACAAGACCCAGGCCACGACGTTCCATTCCTACTATGAGAGCACCTGCGGCTCGTATGTCAAGAAGTGCACCGGCTTGAGTGGTTCTGATGCGGCTTGCAAGAGTGCTGAATCCCACTGCAAGAGTGAAGTTACCAATGCCATCGTGGGAAGACAAAACTTTGACGTCTACGATGTCCGTGCCGCAGACCCAGACCCATTCCCCCCAGAGACCTACATGAAGTATCTCTCTCGCTCCGACGTCATGAAGGCTATCGGCGCACAAGGATCCTTTGCTGAATGTGGTGACCCTCCCTAATACCGCTTTGCATCTACTGGCGACGGTAAGCTAAGATCCCACTAACCCCCCCACAGACAAGTTTTCTCACTAACAATTCTAGGCCCTCGATCGCTTCTCAGCGAGCTGCAGAGCGTCATCAAATCTGGTGTCAATATCCTGATCTGGGCTGGCGATGCTGTTAAGTATTTACAGTTACCACCTCTCATTCACTTGCTAACACCGAATGCTCTTTTTATAGACTGGATCTGCAACTGGGTTGGCAACTACCGGGTCATCACTGCTATTGCTGGCGACAAGTTCAAGAACACCGACCTCAAACCGTACAAGGTGAATGGCAAGGAATATGGCCAGTTTAAGTCGGTTGGCAACATCAATTGGCTTCGTGTCCACAAGGCTGGTCACGAACTGTCGGCCTACCAGCCCGAAGCTGCACTCACTGCTTTTACAAGCATCATCTCCAAGAAGGGTCTCACTTCTTCTTAAACGACTACTAAACGAAGAGTCTTGTGAGTATGAGAATTTAGACAGAGCAGACAGATTATATCAGTATAATTATATTAATTTTATATTATATGCGTATTTGTGTGATATATTTTCGTAGGCGTCGTTCAGAGTAGTTGTTTTAGTGCTCAGGCATAGTGTCCAGGCTGTAGCAGCGGACTGTCTTGGCATTGGTTGTGTCGGCACCACCGTCGAAGAGATCGTGGCATTCGGGGTAAAGTCTGATGGGAACACAAGTGCTGGGCGCCAAAGATGCCTTGGCGGGATCAATGTTGCGGACGCGAACCTCGCCATCATCCTTGCAAACAAAGTACTGATCTGGCAAAAGGTAAGAGACTGGGTCGGATGCAGGCGAGAGAGTAACGCCGGTCGCAGTGTTGTTCTTAGAGATGCGAACAGAGTTCAGGGGGGTGTCGTCGGCAATGTAGATACTGCCAACAGCATCGGGGTAGTCATCAACGATGCGAGCCTGGCCGGCGTCCACTTCGGCCTGTGTGCCGTTCAATATCCAGGTGCGGGTATGCTTTCCCGAGTTGATGCTCAGGAAGTCGTAATCATTGGGGTATCCATTGTTAATAACAAGATAGTTGTTGCGGATGCTGGGCGTAAAGTCCTTGGCAGCATCCTTGAGACGGATTCTCAAACGGAAGCCGACGCTCGACTGTGTAGGAGGGGCAGCGACAGGAGCTGGTGCGGCGACCGCGGTCGAGGCAATGGCTAGGACAGTGAAGAGGTTGGAGATTTGCATTATGGCGGATGTGTATTTGTGTGATGAGTTAACAGTTGAATAAATTCTGCTCTAGCGGATACTCTTGAGCGGGATGGTGCTTCTATATATATTGACCGGTGTTTGATTAAGCTGACGGTGGCGTATTCGTATCTGCGCTGAATCTGCCGGTGCGCATTAATAGCCTGCGGAGCTCTGGTCTAGGCGCTGGGGTGAAGCAAGGAATCGCGAGTCATCTCCAAATCGCGCATGACTGCGATTAGCACGATGCAGTTTTACCAGACAATTGGGAGAGCGGTGAGACAGGGCACGTATCTTTAGGGACATGTCGTTGGTATGTCTACGATTGTACAAGTCTGTGGCCAATAAATCTTTTCCCATTGTATTATTTAGATCGCATTGTCTCAAACCTTAACGGTGACGCCACACGATCAGCGTAAAAGCTTGAACACGGCAACCACAACTCCACTTAGGTTGTGTGGGTGGATAAGAGCCAGCTCAGCACGGGCTTTTTGTCCCCGAAAGCAGTCGGGCATATGCTGCAAGCCAAATCATTCTCTTGAATCAAGCATTGACCGGCGTTTGCCGTCGCCCGTTCAACCGTTCGATTTTCAACGGGTCTACTATGATTACACTGCAGAAGATGCAAGTACGGGTCAATGGTGAGATGTACGTAAAAATTGAATTAAATACACTTTTCTACACTTTCACAGCCCAGCGGCCTGTGCTCTAAACTTATTTCTGGATCCAGCGACCCATCCATTGCTCATTAATAGCCTTTGCCTCTTCGGTAAGACCAAGCTCCAAGAGAAGCTGAATAGAACCACGAGCAGAAGAGTGCAGCGACGAGCTGATCCAAGCGTGCGTGGGCGCAGTGTGCTCACCGATGAAGATAGTCTTGTGCTCGGTCTTGTGGTACGAGGGGATGTAGAGGCTGTGCTGCTCGATGTCAGGTCGGCACCAGGCAGTGGAGGTGAACTCGTCCTGCAACCAGCAGAGACGAGTATAGTTTCCGGTGTACTGCTCGCGGGCAACCTCGCCGTGCAAGCTGACGATAGACTCGAGGACCATGTCGGCGTGCTGGTCGTCGCTCATGCTAACCATGCGGTCGCTCCAGTCACCACCACGGTAGTGGGTGATGAGTCCGGGGCGAGACTCGTTCAAGCCGTAGACGGGGTAGTACAGCGCACCGACAGCGTTGCTAACGGGCTCCGACTTGCCGCCAAAGATGGGGCGCTCACCCTTCTCCCAGAATCGCTCCTGGAAGAGAAGAGCGACCTTGCAGGCAGACTTGAAGCGCAGGCCAGCCTCGCTAATGGCGCGACCAAGGACAGAGGAGTATTCAGGGAGGTCCATGAATCGGGTCATGGGGAATGGCACAGCCATGATGGCGTAGTCGTAGTCCTTGGTGGTGGGAGCAGCCTTCTTGTCCTTGGTGGACTTGGAGGTAATGCGAACGCGGCCATCATTGTCAATCGGCTCAAGCTTGGTGACCTTTGTGTGGAGGTTGAGCTTGGACTGGACGTGGGGCATGAAAGCATCAGTCAATCGGTTGAAACCACCGTCAACGCACTTCCATTCCGTCTCGCCGAGGGTGCCAGCACCACCATCCTGGGCCAAGTTGGAGTTGTGTGTCATTTCGTCCCAGAGGACATCGTAGTCGGTAGAGGTCCAGATAGCATCGGTAACGTTCTCGCTAGCCTTGAACTGGTTGCGCATCAAGGACTGTTGGCTCCAGCTGTCGTAGTCGAGGTCCATGGCAGCCTTGTGTGCGCGCCAGACGTCCTTCTGAATGGAACGGATGGTAGTCTCGTTCTTGAGAATGTCGTTCATCAGAGCCTTGGTGTGCTTGTACTCCTCAGTGTCCATGGGAGCAGGCTTGCCAAGCTTGGGGTTCTTGGCGATATCGGCACGGGTTGGGATGCGGCCATCGGGGTGACGGCCAGTGCCGCGAGCGAGAAGCTCGTTGTCGTGGTGCTGAATCCAAGGAATGAATTCGACCTTCCACTTCTCTTCGTGGTGGTTGAGCTCATTGAGCCAATCAGCCAATTGGAAGGTCATGCGGTGATCCGTGTACTCGTGGGTAGAGTTGTCGCTCTTGTAAGTCATGCTGTATGGCAGGCGCATGGGTCCCATTTCAGCGTACTCTTGGGTGTTGCCAACAAAGACGGTACGGAATCGGCCACCGATTCGCTCAGAGGCTTCAAGGATCTCCCAGTTGTGGACGCCGACGCTGTCGAGCATCAGCGCGGTCGCAAGACCAGAGACGCCACCACCAATAATGGCAATGGTGGCATCGCGCTTCTGAGGCGTGCAGCCATTGTCGTTGATCTTGGCGACGCCATCGTACCATGCACCAAGAGATTCAAAGTCCTCAAGGAGGATCTTCTTGCATCCCTCTTGGGTGCTGTTGGTCTTGGCAGTGACGGCTGCGGCGCACGAGGCTGCGAGCAACAGCGAAGTAGCTAAGATACGGGTCATTTTGCTTGGTAGTGTGGGAGGGGTTCTTGTCCTGTTCCTACTGCTGTACTAAGAGGCTAGTTCCCAAGCAACGGCGACTGCCGCGCTGGCCTTTATAACCAGAACCAGCTCGGCCATGACGCTATCAATCTGATTACCCGGATTGATGCGCTTTCTTTCTTCCGCTGCCGGGATTGTGGAGTAGATACCTTGAAGGCTGGTGGTCCAGAGCGGCGAGACTGATTTGCGACATGCCGCTTCGGCACTCTACTATGTACATGCGTATACTAGATGAAAACTCTGATTCAGCCCACGTTGTTTTGTGGCGCTAATGAGCTATTTGAAAGAAAAAAAAAACAGGACTGGCTGTGGAATGAGCAGGGTCATGGGCTGCAAAGGGTCCTCAAGGTGCAGGTGGAATCAATGTTACCCTGAGGGGTGCATGTCTCCATCAGTCTATGTATGGTGGTGACCTCAACTGCCGGCAGCCCGCTTGTGTTGTTAACTAACTCGGGGCTAAGCTTAAAAATAACGTTTTTACATATTACACTGGCCCTTGACAGGCTTATTTTCTGAAGATAGAGTGACAGCCTCGATACCAGTGTGACTCTCTGCTCAAAGCTCAAGCTGAACATGTTTTCCACCACGAGCGCTCTACTTTATGGAAGCTTACTCTTTGTTTCGGGCGCACGTTCAGAAGCTAGCTCAGCTTCCTCTTCGGGCGTGACGGTGCAGGTAAACAACGTGCATTACTACGTCCCCAGTCGTGCAGTTGGCTATGCAGAGAGAAACGCCAGTGCCGACCGCGACGAATTGTTCACGTTTGCGCCCATTACTGTTATCGAGGCTGGGCGTAATATATCTACGTGCCAAGATGTCAAGGCGATTACCGATTCGTTTCTTCAAGCCGATGATGTCATACAGGATGCATTCACTCATAGTAAGTTTTGCACTTCGCTCGATATCCTTTGGTTGGCTTGTTACTCACTACCTGCATTCTAGCTGTTTACATGCAACGCGATTACAATGACGTATATGAAACAAAAAATGTGTCTTGTCTGAAGCGTATAGCCAGCACAAGCAGAGAGACGCTTCCCGCCGGCCCTTACTTTCTCTCTGCCCTGGGAAGCGTCCATGAAGCTTACCGTTTGTACGTGGATACGCAAGGAGCGTTTGCAGAGACATCCGTGCCTTCCGTCGATGGATCGCATACAGTTCTCTCTGCCAACATTGGAGGCCAAGCTCTTTCTGTCGCTGTACCGTCTCGACTTTACCACCCACGAACTGACGACAAACCACTTGGCGGCATGAGACTAGGTGTCAAGGACATCTACGATATCAAAGGACTCAAAACCTCCAATGGAAACAGGGCATGGTATCACCTTTACCCCAACGCCAACGAAACTGCAATTGCCGTTCAAAAGCTCGTTGATGCCGGTGCCATCATTGTCGGAAAGATGAAGACTAGTCAATTTGCCAATGGCGAAACAGCAACTGCAGATTGGATCGATGTCTTGGCACCATTCAACCCCCGCGGTGATGGATACGAAGATCCATCGTCCTCTTCGGCTGGTCCAGCTGCTGGTATTGGTGAGTTGCTTCCATCACCTCTGGCTTGCCCCTAGTTCTAACTTATTACAGCTGCATATGAGTGGCTTGATATCAGCCTCGGCTCCGACACTGGTGGTAGCATCCGGAGCCCAAGCCAAATTCAAGGCATCTTTGGAAACCGCCCCAGTAAGTTCTTTCTTGTCACTTCATTTATGATCCATTTCTAACAATTATGCAGGTCATGGTCTTGTTTCTCTGCAAGGCGCTATGCCCCTAAGCCCCTCTTTCGATACTGCTGGTTTGATGGCAAGAGATGCAGAGGTCTGGAGTCAAGCCGCCAAAGCACTCTACACCGCTAACATCACCTTCACTGACGGGTATCCTTCAAGCCTATTGACAATTGGCTTCGCAGAGAACCCCCAGAATGAGTTGGAAAAGATGCTGGTCCAGTTTCTTGGCGATCTAAAGAAGTTTCTCAACGCTGAATCTCGCACATTCAACTTGTCGGCGACGTGGGCTTCCTCTCAGCCCAACAGACCTGCGTTGCAGTCCATTGTCAACAACACTTACGAGATCCTTTCTGCGAGCGAACAAGTTGCTCTGGTGAGAGAACCTTTCTACAAGGACTATGCGGAACGTAACCAAGGTCGCTTGCCACATGTCAACCCAGCGCCGCTTCAACGATGGGCTTTGGCTGATGCCTCCTCCCCAACGACTGTGCAAGACGCCAAGAATAACCAGACCTTGTTCCGCGACTGGTTCAACTCGGAGGTGTTGGCTCCGGGTAACAAGATATGCTCCGAGCACCTTCTTGTTTACGTCCCAAGAGTCCCAACTCCCAAGTACAGGGATGTGTATCTAAGCGGCCCGGCGTTGCCGTCTGCTTTTTCAACAAGTCGTATTTCTGTGCTGAGTGGCACTCCCGACATTGTTATTCCTATCGGCGAGATCCCGTTCCGATCCAGGATTGCCAATCACACAGAGTACTTACCCGTAACTGTGGACTTTATGGCCGCAAAGGGTTGTGATGGAATGCTTCTCTACTTGGTCAGAGATCTACAGAAGAAGGGCATCGTGCAGCCTAGTGTCCACGGTAAGAGCAATGTGAACGGCGGCGACATTCTTATGTAAACCATTTTGTAATACTACTTCCTATTCATGCAAATTAGAATTAGACGAAATGCGATTTTAGAACAAATAAATATCTGAATTTTCCATCTGTTTAATTCGAAATTTCGGGAATGGTGCGGCAGTGAGCGAAGTGTGATCAATTCTAAACGTTAAAACATCATCTATGTACAATACTTTTCTTTTTTATCATTTACACCTGCAGGGTCTTGCTCTGGCCCAAAAGCTCCTGCACGTTGGCCTCGTTGACGGGAGTGTCGGGGCGGCTGCTGTTCATCTCCTGCAGAGCCTTGAAGCCACCACGGACATTGTCGGCCTCAATGCCCTTGGCGCGGAGGACACTTGTGGCAACTCTAGCACTGTCACCATCATAGCAGAGGAAGAGAACTCTCTTGTCCTTGATAGCAGCGGCAATCTCCTCAGGAGGAGACAGGAAGGTTTCTTCCAGTCGCTTCCACAGAGTAGACAGCGCCTCAGGGTCAACAAAAGGATTGGGGGCATCTTTGGTGACATAGGGCATGTTGATAGACTTGGGAAGACTGAAAGCGGCAAAGTCAGCCTCCTGTCTGAAATCGATGATGCAGCTGTCAGTCTTTAAAGGAATCATTTGCAGATCAGCACTGGGCAGCTTGGCAGCAATGGAGACAAGATCGCCAATCAAGTCAGTAGCGACATCGTAGTAGGCGCCAAGGGCCTCGACAGGGTCACGCTCCCATCTCTCGTCGTAGCGGTGACAATCAACGTTGAGAAGGCTCTCGTTGGTAATGGCGGGGAATTGAGTAGCATCCAGCTTGTCAAAGTACTCGCCAATGTACTGGTAGGGGAGATCGCAGCAGAGGAAGACACAGTGGACTTCACCATCTTCACCAGCCATCTCGGACAAAGTGCCTTCAGCCTTGCGCTTCCCAATGAAGTTGTACAAGCCCTGGAGGTTGAAGCCCGAGGATGGGCCACAGACAATACCGTTGCGGCACATGGCAAGCGAGAGAGTGTAGGAGTCGTGGGAGCCAACCTCCTCAATGTGGTCGACGGACTTCTTCCAAGGGAACTCGACGGGAGCCAAGAGGGCATACGAGCGGGGACCGGGAACACGGTCTCCAGGAGCAGTACAGACACTACAAAATCGGTTAGAGGAAGAACGAATACAGGGTCAATAATGAAAAATCATACCCAAGACGGAAGACAGAGGGCTTGTTATCCTTGAAGAACGTGCCCAGACCAGTCATGGTGCCAGAAGTACCCATACCGGCACAAATGACATTGATCTCAGGCAACTGGCGAAGGATCTGAGGTCCAGTCCACTTGACGTGAGACCTCCAGTTCTATGGCTCTTATATTAGCGCTTCGTTTATATTCCAAAGTCTTGGAAGTCTCTTACATCATCGTTCTCATACTGGTTAGGGTTGATGCTGGTTGTTGTGGTCTCGGTGAGTCGCTTGGCAGCCTTGATACCACCGCGCTCGTCTAGAGGCTCAGGCTGAGAAGGACCACCAAAGAGGGTGCTGTTTGAAATACAAATTAGCCTACTTTATCGTCAATTGGCGGTTCTTCTCATCAATACGCACATGTTAATTCCAAAGAACTGCATCAGCTTAATCTTGGGCAAGCTGGTCTTGTTGCTGAGATAGGCGCGGACATCATCAATGCCGAAGAATGCTCTGGAGATGAGAGACATGGACATGACAGTTGATCCTGAGCTGTACTCAACAACAGTCTTTGTCTTGCCAGGAACAACCTTGTTCTGAAGAAGGTTGAGGGCTATAGTTCTTGTTAGCGCAGCGCTTGCAATTGCGCGAATGGCTTCTTTCTTACCAGGCATGCACTTGACATTGTTTGCCGGATGCATAGACATCATCTTGGCGTAGATGCGAACACCATCCTGTCTGTAGGGATTCAGGTTCCCAGGAAGCTCTACAAGCGGCAGAGGGGGACTAGAGTCAGGATCAAAATAAGACTTGACAGAGTCTGGCCCTCTGTAGACATTGAGGGGATTGGGGCTGGCCATTGTGATGATGACTTCGTGCGGGGTTATGCAGAAATATGCAGGGTTGTAGTGTAGGTCTGGCTTTTAAAAGATCGAGGCCAATGAGCAAGTTTATGCAAACTAGAGAATTAGAGGCTTTAATTGCGTCGGTTGGAGCGTGCCAATACTACGCGAGGAGGTTGCTGCTACCCAGTCAAGCGGAGCGACCCAGAGTTACTTTATACAGTGCGCATCCGATTCTATCCGTCTCATGAAAAACTCTTAAGCTTAAAAAGTAGCTACCACCTGCCTTGGAATTCTCCGGTTGGCCTTTCCAGGTGCGAGATGCATATCATGTGTCGCGTCATTCAGCTATGCGGCAGGCTCTGGTCCTTTGACTTACACGTACATCTCCGAGTGGACCCGGGACTCCTCCTACCCATCCAGGTTGTATTGCATTGCCCTGTGTCATAGTAACGCCATCCAGGCCCTCTTCATCAGGGTTACATTGGGCGGGCTGACCGGGCAAATAGGGAGCTATTCTTGCGCAATACTTGCTCGTGCATGCTCAACCCCTGCAACGGCAATGTACTAGTTTTGTATAGATCATCAGATAACTTTTTTCGTTGTGGCCCAGGTACATGAAGCTAAATCGAGGGCCGTGGAGCACCGCCAAAAGAGATTCCATCTGCCGAGCCGGCATTGGAAAAGCCGCTGCAAAACTTTTTCTTTTTCTTAAACGGATCTTCCCCTTCTGATTAGAGTCCGCTTTTAAGGTTATTCCTTTATCTTAGCACGTGGATCGGAGGCCTGGCCAAAGAGGTTGTCTCGCTTGACCCAGACGGAATCGCCCTCCCTTACCTTTCAGCACGGAGCAGGGTTCTTTATTTTTTTTTTTCGGAGCTGCAGGGGAAGTCATAGAAAATACGTTACATTTTACATTTAACATATTCACTGCTCCTCCGCGACTGTTATCGCTAGATCTCCTTTGTTGTCTTTGACATTTCGATCAGGTTGCGCGTCACCAACACAACACCAAACAACATGTCTAACGATACACGCGACGCACAAGGTGCGCTCGCCCCTGCTGCGGCTGCGGCTCCGGGTACGCCTACAGACAATACAACCGTCGTTACAGACTCTACGGCGACGAGCGAGGCCGGCAATACCCCCCATCAATTCAACGAGCAGACAAACTATGTCACCAAGAGAACCATCATCACGGTACGCCTTCACGCCACCGCCAGCGCATCACGCCGCCACCCGCGCTAACAGTACCTGTAGATCTTTTTGGCTTGCGCCGGTGTCGATCTGCTGGCATTGATGGATCAGACGACACTTGCTGTCAGTTTGTACATCATTGGTCGTTCGTTCGGGTCAACTGAAAATGTTGGCTGGATCGCAAACGGCTACTTCATGTGAGTATTGCAGTGAAAGGGCTTAGATGCACAAAAATAGCTAACTTGGTGGGAAAACAGCACCTCGACTGTTGGCCAGCTCATCTACGGCCGACTATCGGATATCTGGTCTCGCAAGGTCGTTCTCCTCTCCGGTCTTGCCATCTTCTTCTTCGGTTCCTTGGCCTCGTCTCTCTCTCAATCGGTCATCCAGCTCATCATCTTCCGCGCCATCACAGGTATCGGTGGCGGTGGTCTGATGACGGTTGCCCAACTCATTGTAAGCGATGTTGTTCCTTTGCGCGAGCGAGGAAAATACCAAGGTATCCTCGGTGCTGTTGTCGCCATCGCAAACGGTATCGGTCCGGTCATTGGTGGTGCACTCTCGTCCAAGTCCGCCGATTCATGGCGATGGATCTTCCGCTTGAACTTGCCCCTGACCCTGCTCACAACCACTGGTGTTTTGTTCTTTATGCCTCTGAAGAAGGTTGAAGGTGACTGGAAGCTGTAAGTGTGATGTAGTTGCATGTTTAACAAGAGAATATGTGGAGTTGACCTCATCTATAGCAAGCTCAAGGCTGTCGACTTTTTCGGCATCTTGCTGGCGTTTGCCAGTATGACGATTTTCATTCTTGGCCTTCTCTGGGGCGGTAATGATTACGAATGGAACTCTGCCCCCGTCATTTCCACCATTGTAGTTGGTTTCGCCTTGGGCGTTGTCTTCGTCCTGTGGCAATGGAAGGGTGCAAAGTTGCCTCTGGTTCCTCGTACGTTTACCGCGTATGTCTCGCTAAACTCAAGACGGAAACTAACGAACTCTAGTCCACATTTTCAAGTCGAAAATCACAAACGGCGCTTGCATCACGATGGCAGTAAACGGCTGGAACTTTGTCATGCAAGTCTACTACATTCCGTCCTTCTACCAGCTGGTTTACGGATACTCAGCTACGCGATCGGGTGCCATGTTGCTTCCACTCACCCTCGTTCAGACACTCAGCAGCACACTCTCTGGTCTCATGGTTCATTGGATCGGCCGCTACCGAGAATGCATCCTCTTTGGTTGGGTTTGCTGGGCCGTTGGATTGGGTCTTATGTCGACACTCGATGAAAACTCGGGAGTCGGCAAGCAGGTTGGCTATGCCATCCTCATTGGTGTTGGTGTTGGTAACACCTTGCAGCCGTAAGTTCATTGTCTTCGTTTTTTTCTTCTTGGGGTCAATGTTTGTCTAACAAAGAGTAGCGCTTTGATCGCCATTCAGGCCGGTGTCGAGCGACGCGACATGGCCGTCGTGACTTCATTCAGAAAGTACGTCTCCAATTCATCTCGCCTCGACAAATCCAGTGCTAACACATCACAGCTTCATCAGAAACGTTGGTGCAACCATTGGCTTGGCCATCTCTGGTAGTATCATGTACGTGGCCTCCCCCAACACTGTGCATTTCGACGTGCTTGCTAACAAATAATAGAAACAACATTGTTGCCAACGCCTTTTCGTCGGCAGGTGTCGACCCTGTTCTTGGCAAGAAGATCACCACGAACCCCGAGAGCTATTTCGCCTCCGTTTCCCCCGAAGAGGCGGATCACATGCGAGGCATCATTATCCCTGCCTACCGAAAGGGCTTCCGCACCATTTTCTTGGTTGGTGCCTCCCTAGCCTCCTTTGCTTTTGTTGTTGCGTTCTTTATGATTCCTCAGGTTGAGCTTTCTCGCCCTGACGACGCTCGTCTCAAGGCGGAGGCCAAGGCTGCCGAAGCTGAGAAGAAGAAAGAAAAGGCAAACGCCGCATAATGGAAGAAAACCAGCATTCTATTTGGCGCAGATTAGACTACAGTACAGTAATTATAGACAGAACAGAAGAGAAATGTTTTTGTTTCTACGACTTCTCAATGTATGATGCTTCCACAAGCCAGCCCATTGAGAGCTTCATATGTCTCTCCATTGCGTCCCATTGGATCTTATCCATCGTCTAGGCTCAGTTAGCGGGCTGTCGATCAACAACTTTGGAAAGACTTACATCTTTAGCGCTGTGGATGTTTGGGCTTCTCTTGTCAAATTCGTCCTCAAAGACAAAGACGGCGGCTAGACAAAGTTAGCTTCTTCTACTTCATCCCTCTGTTATGTTCATGTACGAAATCCATTAGCTGTAGCAGGAGCGTGGTCCGAGCATCCATAGCCACACTTGGTCCGGGTTGGAGCCTTGCCAGTGTATTCCTTGATTAGCTTGTCCATATAATCAACCATAGCCGAGCTTGCGTGGTCCGTGATGAGTCCGGGAGTCTTGCTAGGTTGCCAACCGGTCATGTCTTTGTTAAGGAAGCCAATGACAGACTTCTTGTCGGCCTTGTACTTGCCGTAGGTATCCTTAGCACCCAGCAATCCTGCTTCCTCGGCAGCATAGAAATGGAATTCAATGGTATTCTTTGGCTTAAAACCTTCCTTCGTGATAACACGCAGAGCCTCCAAGACGATCGTGCGGCCAGATGCATTATCGTCCGCTCCTGGAGCTCGGCTATCCGGTTGGCCAGCAGCAGAGTCGAAATGGGCTCCTAGAATAACGACATCTGGCTTTTCTCCTGGGAGCGTCACAATAGCAGGTGGCTAGTTCCAGCTATGCTTGAACTCGTTGACTGTGATCTTATTGTTAGGCGCAGCAGCCTTCTTTGCAGCGTCCAGGATGTACGCCGCAGCTTCAGCTGCATTTTTGCTCTTGTAGTTGCGGGAGTTGAAGCTTTTTATTTAAAAATTATACACACCATTGCACTGAACTAAGACGGATACTTACTCAGTTAGAGCCTTCATCCAGGCTTTTGGTGCGTCCATACTGGTGGCGGCGATGAACTTCTTGGCTGCTTCCACTTGCAGCATCTTATCTGGGAATTTTTGCGAGCTGGCTGTTTCATAGGGCTTTTCACCATTTAAAATGGCCATGACTTCCTTGTCCTATCATACTTGTTCAGCATCTGCAGTGTCTTACACGGTTTCTGGTAGATGCTTACCTCGATTCCTGTGATATCGATAAAGGTGATGCCTTGGAGGTGAACCTTTCAAAGAGATCATCTTCATGGACCTATGTGCCGGGGTCTTTTTCAGACGTTTTAATTAGTCGCATAGGACTATGCGAATATAATGATGGATATTCTGTGGGCACCGCTCCTACCAAGGAGGACAGCGCTAGCTAGGCTGTCAAGGTGAACTTGTACATGGTTCTGTAACTTGTTCGTCCAGTAGTATATGCACAATCAATGTGCCAGGTAAAAAGATGGCATACTTTATATATACGCGATATCGTGGTGCTGTTATTTATTTCTGCTAGTTTCATATATAAAATCTGCATCATTACCTCGCACATGGCATTATTAATTATGGTTTACAATGTCTCGGATCCTGTCGCGACGAAGCCAGTTCGCTCTGTAAATCGACACTAACAACGAGTATTTTACGTAAAATGAGAGTGTCTAGAACAATCCTATTAGATAGATTGGAATAGATGCTATTTTTCGGATTTCGGGCTGTCCAACTCCAGAGAGGTCAACTACGAAACGAATATAGTCTCCTACGAGCATTTAACGTATAGCGACGGTGAGCGTGTTTTTCAACAACATACTACTGCACCAAATGCAAAGAGGCGCCATACCATACCATCACGAATTATATTTTAATCTCACTACAGTATTCTTGTTTGCTATTTCACATGATTTTGCCTGGGATGGATACTGTGTCATCCAACTCTAATTCAGTAAGACGCGACAGTTGGCCGCGTGTAAACCGAAAGCTGGTATTGCCGCCCGCCCGGCGGGACAACAAGACTTTCCGCCCTTGTATAGACTGTTGGATCGTGTTATTCTGCATGACTGAATCCTTCATAGGTGCAGATCCTAGCGCCCAGACGTGGTCATCTGCCTCTGCCTAATTGGTACAGTTTGCATGTGAAGCTGCTCCCCACACCTTATAGAATGCTTAGTGGCGTTAAAACGCTAACCCTTAGGCCGTGGGATAGGTGACAACGGCTCTAGCAGGTTGGTCCGGAACGCCGCGCCGTGCACAAATCCCCCGCACAAACACGCATTACCCCGGCATTACGATCCCAATGAATAAGTCATTACTTAAACGACGAGCAGTCTACCTGCACAAGCTAGCCTGATGGCTTCCAGGCCAGACACACTTTCACAACGAATTACCAATGCTCGCCAACATCTACACTGTGATCCTGGCCCTTCCCGTAGCCTTTTTAGGCTATTGGGCGGTACAGATCCTCTCCATCTGGATTCGACTTAGAGGAGTTCCGGGGGTACGGGCGCCAGTCCTGGCTAACAACCCCATCTCATGTTAGTGGCAACTACGACCACACTAAGCGCTCCGCCGTAGCTGACATTGTCTTAGCCATTCGTTGGATGCTCAAAACACTACACATGCAAAATCAAAATCGCTTGTATGAGCATTTTACTTCAGCCTTTGACCGGGCTACACCTCAGTGTCCCAACACTGTGGAATTCCAAGTTGGCAGACGCCGTGTTCTTATGACCAGAGACCCTGAACAAGTCAAAACGGTCCTTACCGGCAAGTTTGCAAGCTTTGGAAAGGGAAAAATGGTTCATGATGCAGCGAGTCCTTTTCTAGGCGATTCCATCTTTACCACCGATGGCCATCAGTGGCAGCAAAGCCGCACTTTGATCCGACCCATGTTTGTCAAAGATCGCGTTCGTGATATCGAGATCTTTCACAGCTGTGCTGAGGAGCTCATGACCAAGATTGTTCCCGGACAATCAGTGGATATTTCTGATCTCTTTTATCGCATGACGCTGGACGTCACAACCGAATTCCTCTTGGGCCACAAGGTTGGCGCCTTGGAGAACCCACGTAGCGAATTTAGCAAAGCCTTTACCGAAGTGCAGCGCATGCAAGTGGTTCGCGTCATTCTCTTGTAAGTACATTATGTTTTTAATCATATATTCTACACGGCCTAACATTCTTGTAGCCCTTTTCGCCACCTTATTCCATTGCCAGGGTACTTTTCCGGTATCAGAACAATCGAAAGATTTGCTGATCCCTACATTGAGGCCACCCTAAAATTGAATCCATCCGATCTGGAAGACCTATCCAAGTCAGACAAGGGCTTTAGCTTCTTGCACCAGATCGCCCTCTTCTCGCGTGACCCCAAAGTTATTCGGGATCAAATCTTTGCCGTGCTCATTGCTGGCCGAGACACTACAGCGGCGACCCTGTCCTGGGCCATGTACGAGATTGCTGCACAGCCTACCATCTGGCAGAGGCTACGCGAGGAGACTCTCGACCGTTTAGGGAAGGACGGCGATCCAACCTACGAAGACTTGAAAGGATTGACGTTTCTTAATCACACGATCAACGAGACGCTACGCCTATACCCGGCCGTCCCATACAACCTTCGATCATGCCGTAAGTTCCTGGTGCAAACGCATTGTAACATTCTGCTAACCACGACGGTAGTTCAAAACGCGACGCTTCCAGGCAAGCCGGGCCAGCCCGATATTGCCGTCTGTGAGGGAGATGTCATCATGTACAGCACATATGCTATGCAACGTCGACGAGATCTCTATCCAGAGGTTTCGGACAAGTTTGCCGATCCTGCTGTATTTAGCCCTGAACGCTGGGAGAGCTGGACACCAAAGCCGTGGCAGTTTATTCCGTTCAACGGCGGCCCGCGCATTTGTATCGGCCAGAACTTTGCCATGACAGAGATGGCGTTTACGAGTATGTTTGCATCTTTAAACACAACAGACTCTGAAGCTAACAGTTGCTAGTGGTTCGCCTGCTACAGAAATACAGTCGCGTCGAGTACCGTGGTGATTGGTCTGCACAGTTTCACAAAGCCGAGCTTGTCGGCTGTCCCGGGCAAGGCGTGCCTATAGCACTGTATGAGGATTAATGAATGTTTCCTGCAGCCTCTGTTCTGGAGCCAACTATTTCACCAGTCGGGTCTCGGTGCTCCATCATATTTACGCGTTGACGTGTTTTGGGCTACTACCCTAGATACAATCCAAGATATTGCGTTCCAGAAGATCTACCTTTGATTGCATACAAAATGCTCGCTAAGCTCATATTTAATAATTCAATTGTAAAAAATTCCTTTTTTATTGTACTTTTCACGTAAGGGTTGCTTGGTTGTCTTCTTAAGTCATGGGGCGACATAAAGTTAGGCTGCTACTAGTTATATAGCAGTAGTATCGAAGTATATCAAGATTAACCCAAGAGAGTTTCATTTTACATATATTCAGCTCGAAACGCAACCATTCATATTTCAGCATATTCAAATGTACATTACAGAACCGAAATGCACTTTAAAACGCGTTATGCAGAGGCAATTCAGTAGCTAATACGAACCCCCACGGTTACCAATGTGTGGCGTCTCTGTCACCAAAAGTCCCCCATGCATGTCTTTCCCCATACTATCCCCGCTGGGGCTATGCCTAGCGTCTTGTGCTTGCATAATCACGTCACGGCACTTGTCCGATGCATTCCCCCGCCTGGAGCTTTTAAACAAGAGTCTCTGCTCCAACACCATTCTCCAAATCTGCTGTAGTGAGTCCATTCCAATTGCAGCAATGGATAGTAAAGCAGAGTTGCCGACGTATACGGATAACGCTGGCACCATGCCATTGAGCCGGAACCCAGCCCTCGGATTCCCGGTCCGACCTCGTCGAACGGCTCTCCGCCGCTCACGAGGTATCAAATTCATCACGCTTGCCTGCCTGGCGCTTATCGTGCTATCTCAATGGAAGCAAGTCTGGCGCGCTGAGAGAGGAGAGCCAAAGCTTGCCGCAGCGAAGCTTCAAGAGAACTTGCAAACCTGCGCCAAGCTTCGAACCAAACCGAGTGACCCCATTGGTCTTGGACGCGAGCGCAACGCTCGGTACATTGACGGCCATAAGCCAACTCTTATCCGAAATGCTACGATTTGGGTTGGTGAGCCTGTCAAAGGTACGAGTGTAAGCGATGCCCATGCTGGCAAGGGCTGGGAATGGATCCACGGGGATATTTTCCTCGAACACGGTCTCATTAAGCAGGTTTACAAGGGACTGTCTACCGAAACTCTACCCGAAGACACCATTGTCTTTGATGCCGCTGGAAAGCAAGTCACTACTGGAATCATAGACATGCATAGCCATGCTGGCGTTGGGCCATTGCCTTCCCTCCGGGGCAATGAAGACACCAACGAGATGGGTGATGACATCACGCCTTGGGCAAGGTCCATTGACAGTTTCAAACCGTTGGATTCGCAGATTCAGACAATCAAATCGGGCGGTGTAACAACTTCCCTGGTTTTGCCAGGCTCTGGTAACAATATCGGTGGAGAGGCATTTGTCTTCAAGTTTGCCGTGGGCAAACCCGATGGCCGCGAGGAGATTGCTGCTGTGGACATGCTCGCCGACCCGGACCGAAACTGGAGATATATGAAAATGGCATGCGGAGAAAATGCAAAGCGCGTGCATGGCGCGATTGACAAGGTTCCAACGAGCCGCATGGGAGAGAGCTATGCCTTCCGCCGTGCGTTTGAGAGCGCGAGATCACTGGTCCAGAAGCAAGACGACTGGTGCGACAAGGCTACTGCTATCGGCGTAGAGAATATGGAGGAATACCTCCCAGAGACCCTTCAGTGGGAGACTTTGGCTGCCGCTATGCGTGGTCAGGTTCACATCAACGTTCACTGCTACACGGTAGCCGACTTGGAAGCCATGGTAGATCACACCAACGAGTTCCAGTTTGCTGTTCGAGCATTCCATCATGCCCACGAAACCTATCTTGTTCCAGATGTCAGTTTTGTAATGTTTTCATGCCATGATTCTTATTGCTAACGTAGTTTTACAGATTCTCAAACGTGTCTGGGGTGGTAGAGCGCCGTCCTCTGCCCTTTTTGCGGACAACATGTATTACAAGGCCGAAGCGTACTTGGGTTCGGTGTACGCCGGCAAGCATCTCTACGATGCCGGGCTCACACCCATCTACGTCAGCGATAATCCCGTCCTCAACGCCCAGCATGTTCTCTTTGAAGCGGCCAAAGCCCATCACTGGGGCTTGCCTTACCACGCCGCTCTGTCCAGCGTCACCAGCGCGCCGGCAGAAGAGTTGGGCATGGGACAGCGCCTTGGAAAGATTAAGCCTGGTTACGATGCGGACATTGTCGTTTGGGATAGCGACCCATTGAGCATTGGCGCTACACCTGTCCAAGTCTGGATCGACGGCACCGCCCAGTTCGAGAACCCTTTTGTTCTAGAGAAGCCTTTGAAGACACCCATCATCAAGCAAGAAGTCCCAAGCGCAGAGACTTTAGAAACAGCTATCGAGTCCTCCAATGTCGTGTTCACTGGTGTGACCAACGTATGGATCCCTGGCTTCGACACGGTCGCCAAGGGTGAGCCGGTGAATGTGGTTGTCAAGGATGGCGAGATATCATGCGTTGGACCTTGCGTATCTCAACTCGACAACGCCAAGCTGAGCAATGCCACGGTCGTCGACTTGAAAGACGGCCATCTTACAAAAGCCTTTACCGCTTTTGGTGGTAGTCTTGGGTTGAACGAGATTGATGCGGAAAAGGAAGCGAGCAATGGCAACAGCGGTGACAAGTTCACTCGCGCCGTTGATGGTCTCCAGATGCAGGGAATCAAGCTGGCTGCAGCGTTGACATCTGGTGTTACAAGATCCATGTCCGCTCCTGTTCGCAGTGGACCTGGCTCCGAGCATGGTGTTTCTGTTGGATTCCTCACCAATTCACACACATCACTTGACCCCGGCGCCGTGTTTAGCGAAGAGCTAGCGCTACACTATAGCTTCGGTCTATCGGCAAGAGACAAGACGTCTTATGCGGCCCTGTTTGGCGATCTGCGCAGCAAGCTCCTCAAAGCCATCAAGGACAAATCGGAAGTGTTCAACAGCTTTTCCGAAGAAGCCTACCTCCAGCGTGTAGTCAATGGTGACCTGACGCTCGTCGCTTCTGTCGATAGCGCTGATGGCATTGCTACTCTTCTACGAGTCAAGTCCCAAGTGGAAAAGGCCAACGACGGCAAGCCTCTTCGAGTGGCTATTTTTGGCGGTGCCGAAGCGTTTATACTTGCCGATGCTCTGGCTGCGGCCAAGGTCGACGTGATTCTCTCCGCGTTCCAGCCTCTCGGTCTCAACTGGGATCAGCGACGCGCTTTGACTGGCGCGCCACTGACCAATGGTACCGCAATAACCCGCCTTGTGGAAGCCGGTGTCACTGTTGCCGTTGGACTTGGAGAAGACTGGCAAGTCCGTGATTTTGGGTTTGGCGCAGCTGCCGCGCACATCAACAGTGACGGGCTTATCAGTGAACGGGAAGCATTGGAGTTGGTCAGTGGCAACCTGTATAAGATTCTAGGTATCGAGGAAGACATCAAGGGCCATTTCATTGTTCACCAGGGCAGCCCCATGGACATTACGTCGACCATTGTCGCTGTTGGTGGTGGGAAAAAGTCGGTCTCTGTCTTTGCGTCGTCATAGTCTACGAAGTAGTAGGTGGATGCATGGGTCCTGTAGATCTTGGACTGTTCTAGATTGGTGATCTCGGATGCTATCCGAATTTGTTTTCAACCGTATATAGCAGCCACTTTTGGGTATTTTACATCCGAGCGCGGCGTATTGTATAGCATCCTGTTATATAACTTATTACTAGTTGCAATATAAACAGTGTATACAAGTAAACAGAGTTAAGGCAAGGCCCGGGAGGAGGGGTAGGTGAGCGTTTAGCCCCTCGTTAGGTGTATAAGCGTAAAAGAGATTAACGAAAGTGTTAACGGCTAATGACGCAAATGCCGAAAAGTCCAACCAACTCTATGACAAAGTCCTTTTGCAAAAGAACAAGACGAGGGCCTTTTGCAAGAAAACGGCAGACTGCATGCAACATAGGTATTAGCTGTTCTGTAGTGCAACGCCACTAAAGAGGGGCTATAAAATCGTCCGTTGTATTGGGGATTTCTAAGCAGTCGTAAGCGCAGCACGGTCCAACATTGGTGGCCCGCCCGCCTGATTGATAAGTGTGCGGAAATCAATCGCGTGCTTCCGCTCGGAATTTGCTTAAGGGCCATGTGTGTCCCGTCACCCAGCTCGAAGCTGTCTCCCAAACTACAAACCTGAATTTCTACAGAAGCCGTACAGCTGCTCACAATGACTCTTGCGCCCGTAATTGCCCTTTCCCACGGCGGAGGTAAGTATACACAACAGCTACAACTAGGACTAGTTAACCTAACAATTGCCAGGTCCGATGCCCCTACTGGGAGACCCGAACCATGCCACTATCACAGCGTCGCTGCAGCAGCGCGTACCCAAAATCCTGGGCCTCAACACGCCGTCCCAGCCAGCTGCTATAGTCATGGTCACAGCGCACTGGACGACGGACCAGCCCACCATTTCCAACGGCAGCTCTCACGACCTCCTCTACGATTACCGCGGCTTCCCGCCCGAGAGCTACGAGCTCAAATATCCTGCGCCAGGCGAGCCCGAGGTAGCAGCCAAGATTGCCGCTGCTTTCGCGGAGCAAGGACTGTCGCCAAAGCTGGACGCTGTGCGCAAATGGGACCACGGCGTATTTGTGCCGCTGCTGCTGATTAACCCCAAGGCGAACATTCCCATTATCCAGGTGTCTGTGCTAGAGAGCGAGGACGCGGGCGACCATATCAAGATGGGCAAGGCGCTGGCTACGCTGCGCGCATCCAACATTGCCATTCTCGGGTCAGGATTTGCTAGCTTGCACCACTTTACGCTCTTCCGCGCGCTGAGCCAGGGAGACCAGGAGGTGCGCAAGTCGATCAAGGAATCTACGACGGATCCTTGGAACGAGGCTCTCACGGGAGCCATTAAAGAGTCGACAGAGGGCAACTGGGACGGGCTTCTCAATTGGCGCAATCTTCCCCATGCTAACGAGATCCATCCGGTTGGTGGTGGCGAACACTTTACTCCGCTGCTTGTGTGTGCTGGTGCGGCCAAGGGCGACAAGGTACACTCCTACAAAGATTCGTACTATGGCCAGGATATTGTCACATTTTATTGGGGTGCTGACGAGATAGCTTAAAATGACACTGCATGAGGTAATTTGAAATAAAAAAAAGTATTATAAAATTTGTTTTTGTTTTGATTATTTTTGCTAGAGTAGAATATCACCCAGCGAATCCTGTAATCCTTCGCCGCTAATCGGGGTATAAAATGTATATGGGCGGCCCTTTTGAAAGGCGGCTCGCCGTAACAAGACAAATGAAGAACAAAAAAGAACACCTTGTATGCGTATGACTCCGTATCCATGAGTGCGTGTGCAAGCAAGTAAGCAAGCAATGCAAAAAATATAGACAGAAAAGAAAATGAAAAGGCTATGATACAACAGATGAAAAGAAAAAGTCGTAAAGATGAGCATAGTGGGTTGGTGCTGCTTATACCGACGAGCTGGATGCATCGGAGCTCGATCGGCGCGAGTCGAGAGCTTCGAGATCCTCATAGTCGATAGGGCAGTCCTCGATAATGTAGTTGGGAGGGCTAGGAGGAACCTCGCCGTACACGGGAGGAGCCTCGTTGTCCCAGCTGACGCCTAGGCCAGGAGACTCAGTCATGACGACGCCAAAGTGCATGCGCAGGATGCGGCCGGTGCCAGTTGGTGTAGTAATGTGAGTCTTGCCCTCGGCAGCGTACTCCTTGGAGACGATGAGCTCGACGAGGAGCGAGTGGCTGACCTCGGTGCCGTCGGCCGTCTTGGTGTCGCAAGCGTACTTGGCGGCCTTGGATCCGTGGCGCGAGGCGACGCTCTGGTTGACGCCAAACTCAATCTCCATGTCGACGGTGCCGTCGTGGCTCGAGTAGTCCGACTTCCAGCCCTCCTGGATCTGCTTCTCGCCAATGACGCGGGTTTCGGAGCGGAGGAGACCCTTGATGTCGTCCTGGACAACTTGTGCGCCGAGAAGGTGCTTGTCGCAGGCGGGGGCCACCGTCTTGATGGTCTCCTCGAGTCGCCAGGTCACCTTCTTAAGGCGCCACAGATCGACCGTCTTGACCTTGTCGTGGTGGGTCATGAGCCCGTCCAGCTTGAAGGTGAGCTTGTTCTTATCGTTCGGGTGGATGACGGAGAGGTAGTCGGCGCCGGCCTTGATGTTGGTGGGAGGGAAGACACGGACGGAGTGGTGGGGGAACAGCGGCTCGGGAATCGCGCGCTTGACGGGGACGGCCTGTGTGAAGGTGATGACGGTGGGTGTGGCGGGAGCGCTTCCGAGAACAGGCGAAGCGTTGGGTGTAAGTTGAGGTGTTCGGCTGGTGAGGCGGGCTTCGGCCTTGAACTCGTAGGCAATGGAAATGACGGGCGTGTCGATGCTGGCGGGGTGGTTGCCGTTGAGGAGGGTAGAGAAGGGGAAAAGGTGAGTGCCGCGGCGGAGTGTCATGGGTCCAGCGAGCAGCTGCCAGCTTTCGAGCTGGAGGGTCTTGTGCTGGCAGTCCTCGCAGTGGCTCTGGTAGGGGCGCTTGTGGACGGTGTGAATGGTTAGAGAGGCTGTGAAGCTGTCTACATCGACAGACTCGTCCTTGACGTCAATGGCAAGCTGGCCGGAGAAGAGGGCACCTGTGCTTTCCTCGCGCGATCCATGGAAGATGACTGGCGGGCTTTCAATGGTGCAGGTGATTTGCGCGGGGAGAGGAACCTGGGGAGTCTGGTCCTTGGACGCGGAGCGGCGAAAGGGCAGCGAGAGGCGGTTGTGCTTTTTGATGGCTTCAGCCAGGTCGGGGATCTTGACGGCGTGCTCCTCGGCATCAGAGGCGTAGGGACTGCCAGACACGGAATTGTTGCGCGAGGTCTCGCAGGAGGCGTTGCGGGAGCGCGAGGCGGCCTTTTTGATGTTGGAGATGTTGCCCGTGGAGGATCGGAGGAAGTTGGCGACGAGGTGGGGCATGATGGGCGGTGGTGAGGTCTAGCGAGGTCTAGCGAATGACGTAGAGCGGCGTCCGATGATCAGAAGAAGGAGAGAAAGTTTCTTCTGAGAAGTACAGTCTTTAGAATAAAAGACTGGCGTTTGGAATCAACCCCCTCCTGTGGAAAAGAACCGGGAGGGGTATGGGCTTATACTTGGCGTCGAGGAGACAGGGTGAAAGCGTGAGGGGAAGACAAGCACAAACAGGCGTTTAGGCTTTCCTTGTGGTGGTGAGAATGCCGGTGGCGCTTGTCAAGCTTGGTAGTAGTGGTAGTCGTCGCAGTGGTGGCGGTAGTGGTGTGCTGGCGATGTGCCGTGTGTCCGATGCAGGCGGCGAGAATCGGGTAGCTTTCGGCGCAGGGTTGCACTGGGTCGAGGAGCTAAGAGCGTAATAGCACTGTCGGTGACGTGAGGATTGGATGCGGTCAGCACGAGACCAAGAACGCAAGTATTGCTAATGTTGCAGTAGTAGCAGGAGAAGATCGGTGGTGAGTTTTCGAAGCGAGCTTTGCTCTGGTGGCAAAGGCGTTTTTTGCTTGGTGTTGGTGTTGCTTTGGATGCTGGCGCTGGCTGGTGTAAGTGGGTGGTGACCAGGTGTGGCAGCTGGCAAAGGTGTTATTGTGCAGCTGGCAAGCAAAGTAGATTCTACCCTTTTTCTAATCAGAGGGGTAAAATGCTGGGGAATAAGTGAGATGAGATGATAGCAAGATGCAGCAACCAAGAAAGAAAAAGGGCTCCGTGAGAATATATACGAAAGTAGAGGCCGTGACAAGCTCTTGTACCGGCGTACCCTTTTTTTTTCTACTAGACCGGGCTCGCTCCCCTAGAATTTTTTTTTTTCCTTTTCTGCACGCCCCCTTGGGCTCCGCTCTGCCGTGTCAAACAGCGCAGCCGCCCGCCAATTGGTAGCCGTAAACAAAGCTACAGTGGAGCATGTTTGTCGGCCACGCCCTGAAGCAGTGGGTCTACAGGGTGGATGACTCCTCGACAGAGGGCGTGTCGATGGGCGTTTTCTCTCTCTCTTTTCACCTTTAGAGGCTTGTAGCGTGCAGGAATGGCGTCGGTTGTGATGCGCCGGCGCTCTTTTGGCTTTGTAAGTGGACTGTTGCTACCGAAGTCCCTCCCATCACCATTGAATGCAATGCGCAATGCGCAACAACAACAGCAACAACAGCAACAACAGCGACAACCCCGTGAAGCCCGCGTAGCAGGGTTCTGAATCGTGCAGAGAAAGAAAACGTGATGTCTTATTACGTTGCAGCTTTCCCCCAGACTGTTGCGCTCTCTGGCGCCAATGTCACGGCGGTGTTGCTGCGCCGATGTACCCTTCTGGGCTAAACCATGGCGGCTGTCCCATGACATGACGCCATCTCTCACGGCACACAAGCAAGCAAGTCAACCAGAGGGCGTACGCACCAACAGTGACTGCGATGTTCGGCGGCCAGGAAATAAAGCCAGCCTTATCAATCATTTTATGCTGAGAAATCAAATCTCGTTTTGATGCATCGCAGCGCTATAATGACGTGAACGCGCCTTTCCAGAAACATGCACGTAGAGGGCAACAATACGCTTATACGGTACCAAAGACAGACAGACCCGAGAATTGGGTGACTCTGCTCTGCTCAGCCCGCTGGGCTCGGCGTCGCGCAAAAGAAAACAGACATTCTAGACGCATAGAGCCCATCGTTTAACTGGCGCATGCGCGAGACATAAGCACATCCAAATGGAGCTGCCGCCGTTACATGGTGCTGTTTCTCCTTACTCCCTCGTTCGGCTGCGCCTGGGATCCATTGTGCAGCATCTCCGGGCTCACACTCGGGGGTAGAAGGGCGGTACGGGCTCCACCTCGGCGCCGGCACGAAGTCCACGTACAGCAGCAGGCTGGCTTCAACGGCGCAAAAGCATCAGAGGTCAGTTATTATGTCTCCTTTTTGCCAGCGGCGCAGAATGGCACTGTAGTATTCGTCCAACGCCATAAAACCAGGGGTGCGTCAGCCATTAAGCTTCAAGGGCAACGGTGAATGAGTCGCCAACACGTTGCGTACAGTTACCATTGCTACTTTACGCTACTACAATTGCTCTTTGCTCTGGATACTATTGGCACTCGTACCTCCGTGCCAAGTTCCTGTCCCGTGTAAGAAGAAGCTTCTGTTCCATTTGCCAAGCTGGACTGGCAGCACGGCTCGCTGGCAGTAAGCCCGAAGCGCTGTGTTGTAAAACCGACGGGTTCACGGGCTGGTGAGCCGGATTCTAGAACTGAGCCGGCGCGGCTCGCTGTGCCGCTTTGTCTTGTATGATGAGCCGTCCCAAGGCGACCGTTTTGGGTGTAAGTGCACCAAAAAGTGTGAGTGGCTAGCCTAAACTACCTGTTTTACAGCGCGCGTAGAACCATAAAAAATTTTGGTCTTCTCTCTACAGCGGCTGAATTTTTTTTTGCTACAGGGGAAGAGAGGATTCAGTCTCCACAGCGCTTGCTTCGCTGGCCGCGGACTCGATGGCCGGCGCGCGGCGCCTTTATTACCGGGCCCACGATCCACTGCACCGTGTGCGCCAGCCATGGCCTTAGGGGGTGTAAGGGTCGTTTTTAGCGGTCTACCAGGGCGCTATAGTGGGTAGGAGTGGCCTGTAGGTGAAAATTTTTGAAGGAGGAGTGGGCTGGCTACTGCCGTTAAAGGGTCGTGTTGCGGCGCACGTGGCCAGCAGACCACAGCGCCCAAGCGCCAAAGTGGACATGACAATGGAAGCGAGAACCAATAAAGTAGGTAAAAATGACAAAGTTAAAAATAGAAAAAGACACAAAAATAATGGCGTGGTTTTCTTTGAGTAAATTGCCCTAATTAATTCATGTAAACATAATATTCGGGGCTGACTGTTTGTGAAAAAGAGTGTGATGTGCGCAGCTACCAGATGCCAATTCCCTACAGGGAGTGACAGGGCTCTGTTTCGCCTGTAAAGTGCCTGTAACTCTGTACCTGCGGCGGATTGACACACGCATACACGCCACCATGTCACGTCCATCCGGTGTCTGTCCAGCAAAGCAAAGTCGGTTGCTTGTCCCACTTCCCCTATGCTGTGTGTGCATTTCTAGCCTGCCATACAGACAATGTGGTGTGGTGGCCCGTACCGGAGGGCGAGGGCAAGCTACGTTCAGTCTCCGTGTAAGCAAAGCAAACAAGAAGCCGATTTGCGGAATGTTCCCCCAGATTTTCTCCAGGTTTCTCCAGATTGTTCTGTTATCTTCTGGTGTATCAAGTCATGGCGATTTCGGAGTCATTCAATTGCTTGCTTGGTCATGGAAGCGCATTTCTAAGCGTCTCGCACTAAAGGACAGCCGGCTTCGGCGTGCACTTTCCATGACATAGGGCGTACAGTACAGAGCGGATCGGAAAGCCGTTCGGCGTGATCAGCCACAGTGGGGCAGGGGTGTGTGTTTTGCGATCAAACATCGAGCGCCGCGCAGCAGTGGCTTACATGCGAATCGACGCAAGTGACTTGTGTGTGCCTGCTTTTTCTACGTGTATGAATGTATAGATGTATGCAGACATGCATGCGGGCTATTGTCATCCAGTACTAAAAAAATCAGGGAACGAGGCACGTATCAACCACCATCCTCTCGTTCTCTGCTTCTCGTTTGCAACTTTTCTGTTTCTTTTCTTACTTGCATTTTTCTCTCATCCGTTAATCATGTATGTATCGTTGCATTTTTATGCCGGAAATGCAGCAATACTTGGGCCGGGCTCGCCGCCGTCGCCAACACAAATGGATGAGCCGCCGTACCGTGGCATTGTAAATGGATGGCATCCACCACGCCAGTGTCAGACTATTCGAACCCGCGCTTCCTGTTGGTCCAGCAGCGCCGGCTACCTCAGACACCGCAACGTAGTAGTAGAAGCCGGAAGCCTGTTTTTTTTTTTTGCACGCTACTGCAGGTCACTCGCGTTTTGCCTACTCTCTTCTTCACTTTTTGCCGGGCCGGGTTGCTGCTACTGCTGTTGCCCCTTGCATTCATCGCGATGCGTCGGCCCGTGATGGGTATCCATCCGTCTGCGGCATATATACGCAGAGCAGCGGAAAGAGAGTGCGGAATATGAGGCTCCCGGCTTACTGCAATGTTTGCATAGGATTTATGCCGATGGCCAGCAAATGGCTTCCAGACTATGATATCTGCGATGGTATCTGCCAATGGCTATTATATTTACAAGTGAATAGTGTTCCTAGAGCTAACTGCTAACGTTCTATTCCTTGCTTAGCCCTGCTCCTGATGTTGCAATGGCTAGCAACAAGGCCATTATTTGCAATCGGCATATTTATTCGAGACTGGCCAACTACAAATAATACGGCAAGATGAATAGAAGACAAGCTATCCCTTGTTTTCTCCTTGTAAGCCGATTGTTCAGACGTGGCTGAATTGGTGTCTGCACCGGCCCGTCGGCTACGCCCATGTGCGTGCCTGTGAGCGGGAGCGTGCATGAGCTAGTGCTATTGTTTGCAGCGTGCAGGGCGCCGCTGTTTGTTGCAGTCGATCTCTAAGAGCGACAACCCCCGGGCATTGTTCCGGCAACCGATAAAGCTATATTGCGTATTTGTGCCCGGCGATTCACACGTTTCCTGCTTACATTTCCCGTGTACTGTTTTAGTTTTCGTTGTTTTACTCCAATATTGTTTGGAATTTTAAACTTTTACTGTGTACCGTTTACACACTTCCCCGTCGCCGTGGTGCGCGGTTTAGAGAAAGTACTGTACAATAGCCGCGGGCCTCATGAAGCAAATAGACAATGTCATTGCCAAGTGGGTTTCAAATCACCGTCTACATATATTACATAGAAATGCAAGGACCGCGTGATTTTGTGAGCTGAAAGAATAGAGTGATGGCGAGAGGCATTTATAAAAAAATGGGTTTGCGCTTGTATGCGGCCTTTGGCGGCCTTTGCGTGCACAGACATTTTACTTGGCAACAGGCAGGCTGGCTGGCTCCCTTTGTAGGATTTTCTTCAGCAAGCCCTCTCTGCCGTCGGGTGATGCACCCGCCCAACAGTTCAAAATAGCGCCGTCGTGAAATCACTGCCTAAGGCTGCTGTGAGCCAACTTAGACGACGGGCGGCTGGGTAAATCGCCAGCTTACTGAGCAGAATCCACCCTGATTCCTTACCAAGGAAGTTGGATACCAAACCACAGAGAAACAAGGGGCGGACTTGCGCGTACAGTATCCATCTCGCCCACTACGGAAGGCGGTTGAGTTCGGACGGGTCCCCGACAGCTGTCGAATTATCTCTAGTCTGTGGGGTTTATACTCAATGGGCCAATAGAGGGGAAAATGGGTACAGGAATTACAGTACTATCTGCAGACAGGATTAGGTGAGTTGGGGGTCACTTCTTTTGGAACCATCGGTGTGCAATGCTTTGGCCTCGCAGTTTGTACGGGAAGGGGACGTTATGCCAGGAGGAGAGAGTGTGTGTGGTGGCTTGTTATCTCCTGACGCCTTTCTTGCTAGCCGCATGGCTACCGACGGGATTAAGTTTTGGCTGCGTACGCCACAAAATAATAGGTGTGGTTGTCGGGCTGGGCTGTAAATTTAGATGGGCAAAGCCCCGTACGACAACGGATGTCTTCCTGCTGATCCGCCCGCTTCTATAGCGTTTCTAGAGGACTCGCCTAACAAAAAAATCCCCGCACGGAACGGATCCTGACGTAGTGGTAGCAGTAGACACCGTAGCAGCGGTGGAACGTGAGCACAACAGAAGCAATGACGCATAGAACAAGGGTCACGTTGTCTGCGCGAGAAAACAGACGAGAGGAAAAAAGACAGGGACGCATGGGGTCGTGGAGATGGCTATTAGATTGTCGACGTAGTATTGCATTACATGAGGCTCTGGCTGGCAGGGCTCCTTCGCCAAAGAAGGCAGGCAGCACAGCACAAAAACACAAGGAGTGGCTTGCTTGATTGCTTGCTCTAGACCAGCATTATCGGCAATAGACCAATATCTTTCAGCTCTGTAGTTTCGCATCCTCCAGCTTTCTCCGCAAGATGGATTCGTTCTCCGCACTTACTCAGCTCTTGACGTAGCAAAGCCCCAAGCAGCACAACATCAGCAAGTAATAATTACCAGCTATTGTTGAGGGAAAATAAGGAAGCCCCAGTACTGGAACTGGCAGGACCACCGCTTTTTGCCCCAGAACAAGATTACGCAGCAATTGGGAGTCGCTCGCCCCCCCAGTTCTTCTCCAGTCTGGGGTGCAACTCTACAGGTGCGCCAATTTAGGCATCTAGCGAGCAAAAACGGGGTTTTTACTACAAGGAAGATGACTTACCCGGGTCTGGAAGCCGTTTGCTTGAGACAAGATGCATTTTGTGCTATAGAGTGACGCTATCTACCGTTAGTAAGCAGATAGTTTCGCTCTCATGGACGCCATATCGTGATGGATGGGCTAGCGTCGGCCAACTGTAAATCACTGCGCTCTGGCTAGCAAGCCACTGTGTAGAGAGAGTTTCCCGTTTTGGAAAAAGCCAAGGCACGCCCAGCCTTAATGTACGACTAAGAATAGGCTAGAAGGCGCACAGGGGGCGGACGGCTGGTCGTATTCTGGCGTCCGTCCGCTTCAGGGCTAATGCAAGGTTACCACTTACCACGTATTGTACTGTACGTACGTACCGTAGTGGCTTTGTACGCGCTTTGTTCGCCTTTCAGCCTTTTGTTTTCGGGGGATATTACCAGGCTTTGCTCCGCACAGGGCCCGAGTCGGCCCACCAATTTCCCCTCCCGCCCCAAAAAATACAACCATCACCGGAATGGGGAGAAGATTAGAAAAACAATTGCGGCGCGTGTAGGGAAATAGTTAAGACAGCCTGTCTTCCGTACAATAGCAGGGTCAACCAAAACATGATGGACATCAACAGCCTGCGTTTCACCTTTCTCTTGACTTCTTCATCTCATCTTCTTTTATCTTCCTCCTCGTGTTCCAGACTTCTCTTCTTCCCACTGTGGAGGCGGCGAGTCAAGCGCCCAGGCCTCGCTCTCTCCGCATCCGTGACCTTCCCAACTAAGAAGGTCAGCCAAGCCTCAAGTTGGGGAAACACTCCAAGTCGGGCAAGCCCCTCGGCCAACACCCACGCCGGCCAACCCTGACTCCAGGCAAACCACCTACTGTACAGGATCTTCCTGCTCAAATTGGCCTGTTTTTGGTATCTGCGTGCAGCTCCACGCATCTTGGCAACCCCAAACCATTGCCACAGACTTCCCCGCTCCCTGAGAGTTGCATTCGCCTGATTTGCAGACCCCGGCTTTCTGCTCCCTCCCCCAAAGTAAAATTGGTCCTTTTTCTCCGTCGTTCCGCCTGCTTGATTCCATTGTCATCTTAGTATAAAGTTTCCCGCTCTTCTCCCCCTCATCTTTCATCCCATCTAATTTACGGTGGTATCCCCTTACCTCTATCCCCTCCTTCTTCCCTTCGCCTCCTCCTCCCACCTCTTTATATCGTCTTCCTATATACACCACCACAAGAGGACAACCCATCACACACACACACAAGATGCCTTCCGTCTTCTCCGTGCTGGCTTCCAGCATGACCGTGGCCACCTTGGCCTCGGCTCACAACTTTAGACGCTCCGAGCCTCAGATGCCCGCTCAGCCCGCTAGCGCTGCCTACAACTCCAACTTCTGCTGGGGCCTCTACCCCGTTGGCGGTCCTTGCCCCATCAAGAACGGCACCTTTGACCAGTACATTGACCACAGCAACCCTTCGCTCGGCACCTTCAAGCAAAGATACTGGGTCAACGATGAGCACTATGCCGGCCCCGGTGCTCCCATCATCCTCCACGGCCCCAACGAGAGTGCCGCCGATCGCGGTATCTGGTACTCGACCAACATGACTGCTGATGGCTACCTGGCCCAAGAGGTCAAGGGTGCCGCCATTGTCATTGAGCACCGCTACTACGGCGACAGCAGCCCTTACAACAACCTCAACTCCGAGACTCTCCAGTACCTAACCCTCGACCAGTCCCTGCGCGATCTCGTCAACTTTGCCAAGAACGTTAAACTGCACTTTGCCAAGGACAACGGCACACACCCCGACAATGCTCCCTGGGTCTACAGTGGTGGTTCTTACCCCGGTGCCCTCGCTACCTGGTTGCAGAAGCTCTACCCCGGCACCTTCTGGGCCTACCACGCAACCTCGGCCGTTGTCCAGCCCATTGCCGAGTACTGGCAGTACTACACTCCCATTGAGGCTGCCATGCCCAAGAACTGCAGCACCGACTTCAAGGCTGCCATGCGCCTGCTCGAGACCAAGCTCAAGAACGCGCCCAATGACAAGGCCAAGAACGACATCAAGGCCAAGTTTGGCCTTGCCGGTCTCGAGGATGATGACTTTGGGTGGGCCGTCATTGACGGTCTCCAGAAGTGGCAGGGCCATGCCTTCACCAATACCTACGCCACGACCCCTCTCTACCAAATGTGCGACTACATGGAGGGTGTCCCCAACAACAACGCTGCTGGCGGCCCTGTTCCTGGCGAGGAGGGTGTCGGTGCCTGCAAGGCTCTCAAGGGCCTTGCCACTTGGTTGAAGAAGGTCCAGATGCCCGGTAGCTGCAAGAACCAGTACTGGAGCGACCCCAACTCGATTGCCTGCTGGGACCTGCACAACACCTCTAGCCCCCTCTTCACTGACCGCACTCCCCGCAACAAGTGGAACACCCAGTGGCAGTGGTTCTCCTGCAACGAGCCCTTCCAGCAATGGCAGGCCTCTGCCCCCGGCGTTGATACCGGTCTTATTCCCTCTTTCCTGACCATGAAGGATCTCCGCGACCAGTGCGACCGCTTCTTCCCTGACGTCAACGGCAAGACTTTCGGTCTCAAGAACGGCCGCACCACCGAGGACATTGTCAAGCTCACTGGTGGCTGGGACTACATCAACACCACCCGTCTGGTCTACGTCAACGGCGAGTACGACCCCTGGATCCAGGAGACTGTCTCTTCTCCTCGTCGCCCCGGCGGTCCTCTCCAGTCTACTCCCGAGGTCCCTGTCTACGTCGTTCCCAAGGCTGCTCACTGCCCCGACATGGTCATGGCCAATATCTGGGCCAACGAGGCCAACACTGAGATCTTCCACAAGGTCTTCAAGACGCTGACAACCTGGATTGGTGAATTCTACACCGAGAAGGGTATTGCCCAGCCCGGCTCCTCATAGGAACGAGGGGACCCTAACGGGAACATGATGTCTTTTTTTTTATCAAATACAAAGCGCCGCACATGACTTTTTCTTTATTGTTTCTAGCATTTTATCTATTTTTACATAGTATGGGATATACTGCTGCTATTCCCGATACCCTTTTACATATACATTTGTACCAATACAAAAAACATGTTAAAGCATCAATCAACCTGTCCTTTCTCTATGGTGAAGCCTCGTGATGTCCACCACGTACCAGACAAAAAAGAAGAAAAAGGAAAGAAGAGAAGAAACAGCGTAGATTTAAATAAAAATACCCAAGCATAAATTTTAGCGCTGCTAAATTACCGCCGGCGCAGCTGCTGGCTGCCTCCGTGTCTCAGCGGCAGGGTCTCGTGCATGCGAGTTACCCGATTAGGCAATTCGGCATCCTCTTCACAATAGAGGGCTGACAATCCGTGGCTGTGAGCAATCTCGTAAAGGTTGCCCTCGCGTAGGGCTTTTTTCGTCGTTTATTGTTTTTCTCTCTTCAAATAAAGAGCGTAGACCAATACTCTTTACTTTCTTCTCTAGTTTCTCTTCTACGCTATACACAAAGACACCGTATCGAAGCCACATCATGCCTACATTCAGCTCGCTGCCGCAGTGCTTCCGCAGCTGTGCTGCAAAAACATTTAGTTGCAAAGATTCCGACGTCAATTGCATCTGCAGAAACTACCTCAATGGCGGCGACATCATGCTAGCCTTTGGCTGCCTCTTGACAGCTGGTGGCGATAGCTGCAACCCTACCGACGTCGTTTGTACGTTTCCAATGTATAAGCTGTCGTGCGATGATGTATACTGACTACTTTTCCCTAGCTGCGACCACTGACCTGGATAGTATTTGCCGCGCGTCGGGTATTAAGCCTACCACAACGGCAAACGATGGCTCGTCAAATACACTGCCCACCAACCTCTCGGTTCCTGGAACAACAGGCCGTGGGGGATCGGCACCGACTCCAACAGACGACACTTCGTCCTCCGGTAGCTCTGGAAGCAATGGTAACTCTGGCAGTTCTACGTCATCACACTCTGGCGGCCTGCCTACCGCTGCCATTGCAGGTATCGGTGCCGGTGCAGGCGTCATTCTCATTCTCATTGCCGTCATCATTTTCCTCATCTGCCGCCGCAGGAGAAAGGTTCCACAACTCGTCCAGACACAGACAGAGGCCCTGCTACCACCTTCTCAGCCGTCTACAGCACACCAACCACCGTCGCCGCTGTCATCGCCCTCGCCAGCCATGCAACAGAAGTACGCTGCTCCTGGTACGGTATCGTCCGTGTCTCCCCTTACCAGCGCAGCATCCCCTAGCCCATATGTGGACCAGAGACATGTGGCAACACCGCCTGTGGGCTATTCCCCTACACCACCACCCACGATGCAGAAACAGTATGAACCCGCGGTACTGGTGCATGAAATGGGTGCAAGCACATATTCAGCAGCAAATACCACCGCCGAGCCTATATATGAGATGCCAGCTGGCGATGCGCGCCCGGTAGGGTCTAGTCACGGCGAGCTTCCAAACAATGAGGTCAGTGTTGCAAAGGCAACTTGATAAGTGCACTGATCAATTAGGTGGCGCTTGGGGGTTGTTGAGTTGACATTACAGGCGTCCTATGTGTATGTTTATCATATTTTGTACAAATTTCTCACTGTTCTTGTCTTTTGATATCTTCTTTGTAAATTCCACTCGTTAGTCTCTTTCTAGTCTGAATTTATCCTTTACACTAATTCCTTTTATCAAAGTCTTGGAGGATCATCCTTACATATGTCTACCGCACCAAAACGACCATCCACAGCGTCAAACGCAATCTTCCACTTTCTCAAAAAGTGCCTGCCAGTATTCACCTTGGGAGGAATCGTGTCTGACATAGAGGCCTTGACATAGTTGGGCTCAACACCCTCTTTCTCCGTGGTGGTCGATTGGGAGACGACAAAATCCGAAGTAGCAATAAAAGGCTCGCCCTCTGCGCCAACCGCAACGTGGACCTTGGAACCTGGCACAAGATGTTTTTCGGTCGGGTTAGTAACGTTGGGCTCGATGCTTGTCGGCACCGTCATATACATCTGCGCAACACCCGTATCTACCAGGAGTACACCGCGGGAGCAAGGGTTGTCGCCAATAGTAAAGCAGCCTTGCACCTGGTTCCAATCTCTGGGGTCGGTGCGGCCTTTCCGCTTTGTGAGCTGCGAAAACTGCATATTCTTCGTATTTTCCGCTGTAAGGCCGACAGTGATGCCCTCTTTGCTGATGATATATCCGTTTCGGTATGTCGCATCGGTCACATTCTGGTTGCCGAGAGTTTTGACGTTGAGCATGACGTTCTTGTCTGGGTTGCCCTGTGGCTGGCCATCGTGCTGGCGGCCAAAGCCAATCCCAATGTACTGCACCTCGGTGGTAGCCTCGGACTTTGCAGTAGAGGTTGCAGTGCCCTGGACCTTTGTGCATTTGTCCGTGTCGGTGGTGCTGTTGTAGGTATGACATGTAACTCTGTAGTCGACGGCTAGCACAGGGACTGTGGCGGTCACCTTGGGCACCGCGGCGTTGAAGACGATCTCTGTCGAGACCCAGTAGCCAGAGTACAAGATATGGCTGCTAGACAGGTATTCCCAGCCTCTGGGGTCGTTTCTCGCTTTGGCTTCTTCATATCCAGTCACCTTGCTGGCGGGGAGAAGCAGACCACAAGTACCAGTATCAACAATCGGCGTGCGATAGCCTCTGCCGTTGACGGTAATGTTGACGCGAATGTCTGTGGTAAAGGGGACTTTGTTTTCGTTATTGTTGGAGAAGGGGATCACGACGGACGTGTTGTATGCGGCATAAGCGCCAGCCAAGATGTTTGCTGGATGCATCGCTTCTAGTGGTCTTTGGTATAGACCCGACGCGGGGAAGATAAGAGGCGGTACCTGTGCTAGCGACATTTTTATAATGTGCCGATCATCCCTATTATCATTATGTGAAAGCGGTACTGAGTAAATTGCCCGATCTTGTACGAGCTGCTGGTTTAGGAGCGAGCTGAAGTGTGTAGCGCGAATATTTTATGCAGATGGATAGATAGGATGGAGGCGGCTGCGATAAGAGTCTCGGGCCGATGTGACGCTATCACGGCCAGCCGGCAACGGCTGAAGCAAGGCATATCGTGGGGTAAAAAAAGTATATTATGTAGCAGCGTAAATAATTGGCTAATATATTAATTTAGTAACCTACTAGCATACTAACATAGTAGAAATAGTGTGAAAGAAGAACAAAATAATCTAAATCGGTCTATACATGAGAAAATAAAGAGGACGAAATTTTTCCAAGCAAAGCGGCCACCAGAAAAGAAAATAAGTAAAGGAACTTTTTGCTAGACAAACAAACACTAGCAGTTACTCTACCAACTACGCCGATGCCACATCCCTCTCCTGTGCTGACACACACACACACACACACCCTTCCATTACCAGAACGAACCGAACCAAGAAGGCCACCAGGTAGGAGTGCTCTTGTCAGAAGAAGTCGTGGGAGTAGGCTTGGGGGCAGTAGTAACAGTAGGCTTAGGAGCCGCAGCAGCGGTAGTAGGGGCCGCAGCAGGAGGGGGAGGCTTGGGGGCGTTCTGAGCGGGAGCAGAGCCGCCGTTGTAGCCAATCAAGTTGACGGTGCCGCTAGACTGGTTGACCATGTAGTTCTTGGTAGCATCGGCAACAAGAGCGCTGCACATGTTGTTCATGGCGACGCCGTTGCCCTTGCTGGCAAGGTAGACGGCGAGACCGGCGATATGGGGAGCGGCCTGGGAAGTACCAGTGTAGGCTGCGGTGCCGCCATTGATGTAGGTCGACTCAACATAGACACCAGGGGCGATAATGTCGACATCGGGGCCAAAGTTGGACTCATCGTAGCGCTTGTCATCAGAGTCGCTTCCGCCGACAGTGCAGGCACTGCTAGCAGACGCAGGAGAGAAGCCGCCGGCATCCTTGTTCTCATTTCCGGAGCAGGCCGACACAAAGAAGCCCTTGGAGACAATGCTGTTGACGGCGTTGTTGAAGGCGTCGCTTCTGTTGCCGTAGAGAGACAGGTTGATGGCAACGCCCTTGGGGCAGTTCTGGTTGCGCGAGTCGCTGGCGACAAAGTCGAGGCCAGCAATGACATTGGACGTCTGGTAGGCGCCAGAGTGGTCGGCCACCTTGATGCCAAAGATGGTGGTCTTCTTGGCAACACCGTACGTCTTGGAGCCAACAGTGCCAGCCACGTGGGTGCCGTGGCCGTTGTCGTCGTGGCTAGATCCCGAGACGTAGCTGCGGATCTGATGCGCGCGGCCCTCAAAGTCGGGGTGGGTGTCCTCGACACCAGTGTCAATGACGTAGACGCAGGTGCCAGCGCCCGCAGCGTCGTCGTAGACGTACTCGTTGTGGCCACGGTCACGGTGGGAGATGCGGCCAAGGCCCCAGACAGAGCCGGTCTGCACAACCTGGCCAGAGATCTTGCCGACAGAGTCCTGCTCAATGTGCTCGACGTCGGGGAGGAGACGTAGCAGCTCGAGGGTCAGCTTGTCGAGGTTGGCGACGAAGCCCTGGAAGACGTGCTCGACAATGGTGTGGTCCTGGCCGCCAAGGTGCTGGGAGATGGCGTCGTGGACAACCTGCATGGCGCTGTTCTCCTTGAACTTGACAATGTATGTGTTGGCGACGTGCGCCGGCGCATCATCGCGGGTGACGAGAGGCGCGGGCTCGGAGCGCAGCGCAAGAGGGCTGGCGGCGGCCACGGCGGCAAGAGAGAGAAGAGAGGCACGCATGATGTAAAAAAGAGAAGATGAAAAGGATAGTAAAAAAGCAAGAAAGAAACAGAAAAGCAGGACCAAAGGAGTGTCGAAGCGTTTGTACGAGGCAAGGGTATGTACGTGAGTCCGTGTATTAGTCGAGCAAGAGAGGGAATGGGGCGGGATTACTTATAGGGACAAAGAGTCAAAGAGCAGCATGTATGTCACCATCCCCCTACATAGTTTGCGTCCGTCTGTACTCCCGCCAACAAAGCCCAACTTTTCGGGGTCAGTTTGCCGCTGGTGTCCGTGTCATGGCCTATCAGCGAGGAGAGTCCAGGTCACCTAGCCCAAGAGAGCAGCGGCTAGCGCCAGGGGATTCCCATTTTGGGTGCCAGGGCCACTAAACTAGGGGACTGTCCCTGGGCCTTTAGCCATCTACGGCAAGTCTGGTGCAAAGTAATGCCCCTTTGAGTTTAACTCAGGCGTACTGTTTGGCCAACTAGCCATGCCCACTGTGCTCCAGCCAGCTCCAAAGTGGATTTCTGGTTAGTTGGTTGCCGTCAAAGCTCAACTAACACCCCCACCCATCCACAAGTCCATCATTGCCCGCCCAGCGGCTACGACCAAGACGGACAGCCCAGCAAAATAGGCCGCTTACCTAGCGGTTTGTTTTTTGCCGGGAAGTGACCGACGTCTGCACAGCACAAGACCAACAATTGTCCTTTTCAGTTCCTTCGGGTGCAACTCGAGCCGGATATGTTTCCGGGAAGCGGTGCCGTGCAAGCGAGAGAAGAAACACAGATTGTTCTTCTTCTTCTGTTTCATCTATTCTACCGCCGCCCGCCCCCAGGTCCCAGGTCCCAGGTCCCCCTGTCTCTCGGCTAACTTGGCGGAGCCTGCATAGATTGTCTGCATCTTCATGATCCCGCCGTTGTGCTGCTGTGGCTTACACAACCAACCCACTCGGCGTCTAAGTCCATCTCTACACACACTGATAGAAACGCCTTGTGGTGATACTAGCCAAAACTCAAAATTACGAGGGGGAAACAACACTGAAACCCGTGCTGCACAATTTTGAGTTTGCGGGAGCCAAGCCAACTAAAGGGCCTCCCGTCGGCAGACATTGTGCTCACGAGTTTTTTCGCTGGCCGGCCGCCCACCGCACGACTCATGGTCCGGTGACGCTAGAACCAAAGTCTTTTTTCCAGAAAAAGTCCCGCTGCCGTAGCGTCGTTTTGCTGGTGTAGCGTCATTTGTTGGGGCTCCATCGGTTGGTTATCTTTCGGGGTCAGGCACTGCCGATCCTGAACCAAGAGCGCGAAAAATGCCGAGTAATAGCTATGTGTCTGCCGTTCTTGTCAGTCTACTGATTGAGGATGTGGTGTTATTGCAGTTCTGTCAGGGTCACAAGCCTGAAATTATACCGAGACACATTCGCCAGTTTACGAACCTAGCGTTTCTTCTATTTCCGGAAATAGGAGACCAATCCCCGTCCTGTAGACGTTGAGGCTGGCGCTGCACTAATAGAAAGGCAAGACAGGGGGTTTATTCACCATATTATCCCCGCGATTTTGCGTCAGATGGCCCTGCTTGTCGCTCCAGTTTACCTGCATTAGCTTGACGATGGCAGAGGGATAAGCCCCCCTCCCCTTTCGCCTGGCGCCGATCCAGAACCTAGTAGCAAGCGAGGCGGACTAGTATGGGTAAATAAGTCATAGAAGGAGGCCGTCTAGAGTAATGACTTGGTCCGTGGGGCGGGAGACATCGTCAGCAGAAATGTCCCCCTATGCATGTCTCAAGAGCATTTGGCGCAGGACATTGCAGGACACCATCATGAGCTCTGCACAATTACGGAAAGTGCCGTGCACTGTCTATTGTTTGGGTTTTTTTTCTTTTAATTTTCAATCTTTTTTTGTAGTTTGTAATTTATGTGTTAATAATAGTTTACAATATATATGAAGTCGGTTGTGTTGTAGTGTCTGTTTGTAACAGATATTATGTGTAGAGTAGACTCAGTGGTGGTGCAGAGAAATGCGTCAAAATGCTGCGAAAGAAATGGAAAGAAAATATGGTTAAATGTAAAAAGAAATTAAAATGAAAATACACGTGTAGTAACGATTTATTAGCGAAAAAGTCTACTCTAAGCTTTTTCTTAACTGTCTTTTTGCCCCCAGTCGAACCGAATATGGTCGGCGGTGCAAAGAAAGCATGTTGAAAACGATGAGAAACACGTGGAAAGAAAATAAGAAGAAAAGTAAGAATGGAAACGCACATCTATCGATTAACGTCTCTTGAGCGAAAATTTTGCTCTCACGTTTTCTAAACCTTTTTTGGCTTGCTAAAATGGTTCAACTCTAATGTAGATGCGCATCGTGGATCAACGACCGACCAAGATATCCCATGTCTGTTGATATATCCAGTAACAACATTTGGCTGTGGAAGAATGCAATAAAATATCCGAGGCTAATTAGATATCTGTTTAATTCCATTGGAACCGTTTTATGCTTAAATAGCAAAGTCTGGACTCTGACGTATGCATGGCTAGGCTCATAATGCTGCATCAAGCTTTCCCGGATTAACCTCTGATAAAAACTATACCACGACGAAATGTTAAACAAGGACAAAGTTCTCGCCAATCCCTGCCATGCTCTACTGGACGTCCTGTCTCGAGTTTCCTATAAAATGCAGCCTTCCCTCTCTTGTCTTCCCAGTATTTTCCCTTCATTCCATCTTGTCAAGCACTTACACTTGCATACCACACATACACATACACATACACATACACGCACACATACACATACACGCACACATACACATACACGCACACATACACATACACGCACACATACACATACACGCACACACATATATATATATATATATAACCTTCAACATGCCTCGCTGGACTAGATCTTCTCGTGGCAGCAGCCGTAGTAGCTTCGGCGGCTTCGCTCCCGGAGTGTCGGTTCCCAGAGGAACTGCCTTCACTATGAGAAGCAATCCTTCCGAGATGGAGGATATGAGACAGGCCTTTAGGCAACACGAATTTGAACAGGAGCACTTCTGTCAACAACAGCAGCAACAACAACGAGGGCGACAAGGGCCAGAGCCTTCTGAAGATGAACCTGAGCCCATGGCCCAGGAGTACCAGAGAATGCATCAACAGCAGGCTCAGTTCATGGCCGATCTGGAAAAGGGCCAGGGTGACTTGCCAACACCCTTTAGGCAGCTGATGTGGACTCGAGGCATGACCTGGGCCATGATTGGCTTTCTCTTTGTCATTGCTGGCATTATTGCCCTTTACTTTGTAAGTTTTACACTTTTTAAACAAGGCAAAGTCTATAGGATGATTACTAACACATGGCACAGGCTCGCAAGGATTTCAATGCAAAGAACTCTGCAAAGGTTTGGGCATGAATCTGCTGATGCATCTACACCACATGCACCAAAAACTAAAAACGAAAAAATTTGAAAAAGCCGAAAAAGTTTGAAAACAAAATTAAAAACCCAAAACACTTACAAACAGTAACGACACAAAGATTCTTGTACTATATTGTGGTTTATTTTCGAACAGGGCTAAGAGCGCCCATGATATCGTTTGTTTGGGAGTATGATGGATTATCACACCATAGATCACACACAATACACTGTAGAATACAATGTAAATCTTTCTTCTTTTTTTAACATAAACTCCCTATCTCTCACTGTTTGTTTGTTTGCTTGTTTGCTCAACTATGTGTTTGTCCTACAATTTTCGGGGCATGAATCCTCCGTACCTCTTTTTTTCTCACACTAAGACGAAAGCTCACGCCGACGCTTGCTTACCCAGCGAGTTGTTGGTGGCGTTAAGGTTTCTTGACTAGCAACAAAGGCTCCGTCTTAAGCCTGAAAAAATAACCACATAATTGGCTCTTTTTACGCAAGAGAAATTTCTACGCACTGTACGCTGCTGCTGGGCGCCTGCTCTCGGCCGCTTGCCTGGCTTGGCCTACCTAGTACTAATCCCTCACCCAAGAAAAAAAATAATAAATAATAAAAATAAAGCATTCGCTTCTACAATAGCTTGTTGGCAACAAGAGCCCCAAGCACAATGGCGCCGCCACGTGCCTGAGCGTTTTACAGCCACTGTCCGGCGATTGCTCTACTGGGAACGATGTCACGGTGAAGCATGCAACGGTTTTTTAGTTCTTTTACTTGTCATTTTTCATCATTGAATACTATGTACGGGCGTTGTGTTATTTTGTACTAGTTATATACGATTGGGTGGCATGAAGCCAGTGCCACATATTTGGCTGGCCATCTTGCCCGTCTACGTCCCTCTGTGAGTGCCTATCTCGCCACAATGCCCGAGTTTGCCGAGCAAGAGTGCATCCGTTTAGCGAAAGCCGCTGCACACGTCCTGGTAGACATTGTGCTCAAGGTCGGCAGCGTTGGTTGGGACAAAGCCGAGGTAGGTGGCATAGGAGTAGGTCCAGTTGGGGTCGTTGGTCTCCGTCTTCCATGTCCAAAAGACCCAGCCGGCCATGCCAGGCTTCTCGTACAGCTGCTGCTGGGCAGTGAACCACTTCTTGTAAAAGTCGGCGTTGTGGCCGTCGACGCCCGAGGTCATGCTCCATTCACCAGTAATGGTGTAGTCCTGGCCATCAACGACACGGGAGTCGGTGCAAGCGCTGTGCATGAGGGTGTACTGGTCGTTGGTCTCGCCGTACGCGAAGCCAATGTAGTTGTGGTCATCATAGGCGACAATGTTGTCGTTGCGGAGGGCTGCGGCATCGCGAGGGTTGCCGGAATCCCACTTGGCCGACATGAACTGGACATGCAGCTTCTTGTCGTCCGAGATTTGCAACTCGTTCTCGACATCGCGGACGGCCTTGAGAGCGTTGGGGTAGAAGTTCTGGATCATGCCGGGATCCTGACCGGGCGCGGGGTATCGGCCACCGCCATCGTGGCGGGAAACAGGCTCGTTGAGGACCTCAATCATACCGACGGTGCGGTAGGCAGGGTTGGAGTGAATGCGGCGGGTCATCCAGCTGAGCCACTTCTCGGCGCGGCCAAAGTTGTAGTCGTTGAAGAAGCCGGCCGGGTTGTTGTTCTGACCGGTAAAGACATCTTGCTGCTGGCCGCCGGGGGCGCCGTGGAAGTCGATGATAACATAAATGCCGAGGTCAGCGGCCTTTTGCACCACCTTGTCGAGGTATGGCAGCATTCGGTTGCCATCGGCAAAGGGCTCGCTGTTCTTGTCGACAATGTCGACGTAGGACCAGTAGCCGATGGGGATGCGGATGGTGTTGAGACCTACGTCGTGGACAGACTGCACGGTGTCGGCGTTGATCCAGTCGCGCCAGTGGTTCTCGAAGCGCTGGTTGCCGAGATCGCGGTTGGTGCCCGAGTAGAAGTCCTTCATGCAGTCGAATTCGGATGCGGACTCGTAGTCTCCCTTGTAGCAGCCCATGTTGTTTCGCCATTCGTTCTTCATCATCCAGGGCTCCGATATGAGCCAGCCTATACAAGAAACGAGGTTAGCGAAACAGTACTACATAAAACACTCCGGGACATGGAGTAGTGTTTAGACTATGTCCATAGGTGCAGATGCAGACAGCATACCTCCAAAGTTGACACCGCGAATCTTGTTAATGCCGCTGGCGAGCGTGGGCTTGAAGCGCTTGCCCAGCTGCTCAAAGCGAGCCGTCATGTTAAACGCAGCGAGTTCCTGGTCCTGGGGCATCCAGGCGTGGACAGCCGTGGCCATGAGGGCCGAAGCCGCGAGCGAATACTTCATTGTTGTATTTTTGGAGTGGGTGATTTGTTTAGCGGTCAGCAGCCGTTAATTGAACAATAGAGGAACCACTGTAGCAAAAGTAGAGGCAGCTGGGAGGATATTTATCTATGGGAGCATCCCCCCTGGTCCTCTCGTCCCACGTTTCGCCAAGGATCCCAATGCCATGGTCGCACTATACTCTGTTAATGCGGCTGTTGCTAGTGCTGTACTGCAGCTGCTGTTCCTGCTAATTACTGCCGGAAGCTTTCATGCGGCGGGGATATGACCGACGATTGGCCGGGCCGATTAGAGATGACGTCGGTGCAGCGTAGCATCAACAAGCCCAGTCATTGTCTGTTGTTGTAGCCGTAGCGTGTGTAAGCTGACGCCCCGCCTCTTCCCTCTCCGGGTTCCCCATGCTGGGGCCAAGGACCGATTGTTTTCCCCTCAGAACGCTAAAGCTGAGGCCAAGTGGTGGGAAATATCCTCCGTGCCACCGCCGCCAAGCAGCTACTGCTGCGGAGTATCCTCCGGAGGCTGGCTAGCACTATATCCGGGAGAATACAGGAGACGAACGGCCCTACTACGGGCAACCCCCTCCATAGTTCGCTAACATTATTACTAGACAGATGATGAATAGCTGAGAAAATATGCGTGTGTGTTTATGCTAGTTTTCTGACAAAAGATTTAGTCGATAAAGCCTGCCTGGGCCGCCTGATACACGTGGATACGTAAAGTCTGCGCCTGGCACATAACCCAGCCCTTCGTAATATCTACAACATCCATTAATAAATGACGTCTCGCAACAGGTATTGTTAAGTAACTTACCTTACGAGGCCAGCGGTGCCACCTATCCAGCAGTCCAAATATACTGCAGACATTCCCTGTTTGATTGCATGTTCTTCTGCATACTCCATTAGTGCCTTGCCTGCACCTTTGGCTCTATCTCCTGCTCGATGGTCTGCAAGGAGTGAATTCACAAAGAGGAACCCTCCAGGTTGGGCCTTTGCCTCGTCAATGTATTGTCGCAGACCGTCAACTTTGGTAAGGTTTTCTCCAATAGTATTCTCCCAAATTTCTAATGAAGCTACCTGCAGCCAGCAGCGGCCTTGCGCGTCCCTCCTAAACGACACATTGTCGCCATTCGACTCTGTGCAAGCAATCTCGGCCATGACGGCACGTTTGGCCTGGCCTTTTCCTGTTGTTCTGTATTTTTCGCGTTCGAGCAAGGACTCCTCCACAGCTTCAAGATACCCATTTCTATCGGAGAACCTTGTTGGACCCCACTGGTCGACGTTTCCTGTTGCTTTCAAGTGGTCGATGGCGGCATCCAGAGCGCCCATGAGAGCGGCCGCATCCCCTACATCAGTACCGCCAGGGCGTAGAACAAAGGAAGAAGAGTCCATAGTGTCAATAAGAGGTAAAGTTAGATACGCACTCGTATAATTTTGTTAAACCTCTCATTGTTTTATATCAAGTTCCTCCGCTTCTTGAACACGAAATGCTAGCGCAGGTGAGTCACCTCGCACCCGCCAGCCAATTAAATTCTATCAAGACTGTGCTTCTTTTCTTCTTTCGCGGAATGTCGGCGCAGTGAACCGATCAGATAATCGGACTCGGCAGCGGGTGTTTTTCGATGGTTGTAATTCAAAATGCATTCCTGTATAGCCAAGCATCACCATAGGTACGCTGCTCGTATGTGACCCCATGCTTCTACCGATGTACTTGAGGTTACCCTCGGAAAAAAGAGCCACTGTATAAACTACTATGAGTTTATCCTGTGCAGAATTTACCTTTTGGTACCTGACAAGGGTGTTGAACCCTTGGTGCAGACACTGTTGTAGCCGGTACACTGTAAGATGACCAGTAAGCCTCGCATAGGACTGGTGCTCCCAGCCGATGTCCGAGCCAAAGATCACGGCCAGATATATATATAAGTACTCTTACCCATTCTACTAAAGCTTCAGGCTTTCTGCTCTTCAATTCTAGTCAACAATATATTCTCTTGTAATTTTCTACTTCACAGCAATGCGATTTTGCCCTCGCCGCCAACCTCGTTAGCGTCGCCGTGGCAAGCGTGCTCAACACCGAGGCTAGTATGTATACATTCTTTTCAACAAATAGCTCTTTTTCTAAATTGACTTTCAGAAAATGCCATTGTTGGCCGTGATAACCCCTGGCCTGGGTGGGAGATGCTCGACAACAACAACCGCACCAAGCAGATCGTGGTAGACGGCGACAACCTGTATCAAATCCACAACAACGGCAATATCTACCAATTCACCGGTACCCCCATGACAGGTTGGAGGCAATTGGACAACAATCCTTACTCGGATAGACTCGTGGCGGCAAACGGCGACCTGTACCAACTTCACTCAACCAACGCCATCTGGAAATACACGGGCACACCGTTCACAGGGTGGGAGCTGATTGGCAATCAGAAGCTCCCGGCTACTAAACTCGTTGCTACTCGAGGAATTGTTGCCAAGTCTGACGGCTCACAACGCGTCAAGCAGTATACTGGCGTCCCTTTGGCGGAGTGGCCCGAGATTTTCTACGATGACTATGGAACGTATGCAATCTGCGCGGCTGATGGCGAACTGTACACAAATACCCGTGGGGCTGTTTGGAAGTACACTGGAACCCCCGGCAAGTAGCAGTTTATCTTTAATCGAGCTGGAGTTGACAAGATCGCGTGCTATGGCAAGGATGTATACGCTTACACTCTTCGTTCTAACGTCCACAAGTGGACTGGTGTACCTGGGAAGTGGGATCTGATAGATAGTAGTCGCTTGACGACTTCCATCACTGTTGGTGCGCGAGGATTTTATCAGATTCAGAAGAGCGGTGCCATCCTTCAATTTACACCCAATGGCTGGAAGCAGATTGACGGGAACCCGGCTTCCAAGGCAATTGTTGCTAGTAACTTGGTCCACCAAGTTCATAGCGACGGCAAGATTTGGAGATATCTCAACTAGTGGACATTTAGCTGCTGGTTGTACGGGTGCTTGCTGTCATAAATATAGCTATCATAGTTGGATGTATACATGTTAATTTGATAGGTAGAAAATATAATCGATACGGATAACCATGCAGCTTTTTGCACACAGTGTGCAGCGACAGTTGCCAGCTGCCACACTTGACCTGGGCGCTGACAAACGCTACACTTTGCAGCTGGCGCCAGCTGGTGCCAGCTGGTGATCGTGACGGAGTGCATGTGCTCCTCTCCCAAAACTCAAAAACTCCAAGACAAATCCCTCCCAGAGCCTCGTTTTCACGTTCTCTGCCCCTCAATAAGCAGCCACGCCAACGGATCTCCACCACGGATCCAAGCCTATCCGCCGCCATCGGGAAGCGCGCAAGGTTAACTTGGACGTCAGTGGATGTTTGGCTGCAACCCGGCGCGGCTGAGCCTGCATCACCATGTCGTAGTGCATCCTTCCGACTACAGGGGTGGTTGCCCTGTCACTATCTGCTTTTTTTGGTTTTTCTTAAAGGATCCGTCTGCCCACTCAGCTGCCATCCTTTCCCTGTGAATACTTTCTCTTGTCCATATTTTCATACATACAGAAGCTATCATGAAAGTGGCACATCTTGCGTTGGCCGTTGTCCCGGCAGCAGCTCTCACGCTATCTGAAGTCCAGCAGCAGATTGCGGGCTTTGCGACAACCGTACAGAAGAGCCCAGAGACATCGCCAACTCTTGGATGCCGCATTGCTGTAAATTGCAACTTCTACTCCCCTGACCACACCTAAATCGCGACCAATACTGACCCATCTGCTCTGTTTCTAGTGCCAATTCCTTCAAACCGCGCTCCCAGAGGCTCTCTTCCTGCCCAATTCCACCGTCTATGAGCAAACGGAGCTATCCTACTGGTCGCAACAGCAATCCAAGGTCCGCCCAGCTTGCCGCCTGCTACCGGCGACCTCATCTGATGTCTCGCTCGCTCTCCTCGTCTCGCGTGCCACACAATGCCCCTTTGCCGTGAAGAGCGGTGGTCATTCGCCCGCCCAGGGTTCCTCCAACGTCCAAGGTGGCGTCACTATCGACTTTGCGCGCATGAAAGACATCCAGATATCTGCAGACAAGACGGAGGTGGCCATTGAGCCTGGAAACGTATGGTATGACGTCTATACCCACCTGCTGCCGCACAACATCACCGTTATTGGCGGCCGTGTCTCGCCCATTGGCACCAGCGGTCTCACCCTGGGTGGTGGCATCTCCTTCTTCTCCAACCAGCACGGTTGGGCTTGCGACAATGTCAACGCATACGAGGTTGTCATGGCCGACGGCACCCTGCGCACTGTCACCGCGAAGCAATACCCAGATCTCTACTGGGCGCTCCGCGGCGGTGGCAACAACTTTGGCATCGTCACTCGTCTTCACCTTGCGGCGTATCCCCAGGGCGATCTCTGGGCCGGCAGTCGATTCTACCCTCTCACTGACGAAAACACCAAGGCGCACACCGAGGCCCTCGCTCACTTTACCGAGCGCAGCACGGAGGATCCCAAGGCGCAGGTCATCCAGGCATATGTCTACGCACAAGTCTACAACATGTATGTTCTGGCGTCGGATCTGCAGTATTCCGTGCCGCAGCCGTTCCCTGCCATTCTGTCCAACTTTACTGCCATTCAAGGCGCGTTTACCGACACGCTGCGCATCACCGACCTGCCGTCGCTGACCTTGGAGTTCAACGAGAACCAGCCCAATGGCCTCCGCCAAGCGTGGCATGCCACCATGGTGGAAATCGACGCGGAGCTGCTGCAGGAGCTCGTTGCCATTTGGAAGGCTGGCGTCGAGGACGTCAAGAACCTAAAGGGCTCGCTTCCCACCTTGGCAATGCAGCCCTTGTCACTGGACGTTTTGCGACTGATGGGCAAGAATGGTGGCAATGCGCTCGGCCTCGCGGGTGGCAAGAAGCCTCTTCTCCGTAAGTTTCCCTTTCCTGTGGATGTAATAGTGACAAGAGGCTAATTGAAAAATACAAAGTCGTGAGCTTGCTCTTCACCTGGGCCGATGAGGCCGACGACGAACTCGTCTACCACACTGCCAATACTTTGTTTGACCGCGTCGTAGAGGCGGCCAAGGCAAAGGGCCGCTACAACAAGTACATCTACCTCAACTATGGTGGCCAGGACCAAAAGGTGCTCCAGAGCTACGGCGACGACAACTATGCCCGCCTCAAGGCCATCAGCCACAAATACGATCCTCAGCAGGTCTTCCAGAAGCTGCAGCCCGGTGGCTTCAAGTTGTAACTTCAGGGCGCCATATTCACGTTATAGACAGGATACAAAACATGTAATGAAGTAATCGCAGATACATGAGAAAATGCCCCTTAGCAGGACCTGAATGAAATTAAAACAACTTTTTTAGGTTACAAAATGAAGTGCGCCTTCATATGCGTAAGATATAAAATCTTGAGATGTAAAATCCCCCTACTCCAGCATGGCTTTGAGAACCTTGACCTGCTCCAGGACGCGTGCCTTGCTAGTACCACCCTTGGACTGTCGCATCTCCACGCTTCTCTCGTAGTCAAACGTTTGCGCAACATCGTCCCCGAAGCGACTATCAATAGCCTGTAGTTGCTCCAGTGAGAGCTGGTTCATCGGGATGCCTAGTTCCTCGCTCTTGGCAACACAGCGCCCAGAGATGTGATGCGTCTCACGGAAGGGTACACCCTTTCGGACGAGATAATCGGCCAGATCAGTAGCCAGCATAAACGGATCAAGAGCGGCCTTCATCTTCTCTGGCTTAACGGTAAGGGTGCTAAGGATCCCGTTTGCAATCTGAAGACTATCAGAGATGGTCTTTGCATGGTCCAACATGGGCTCCCAACTTTCCTGCAAATCTTTTTGATATGTGCTTGGGAGGCCCTTTTGCGTACACATGAAGCCAGCCATATGACCAAATGCTCGACCAGCTTTTCCTCGCAAGACTATGGGCTGTTAGTGAATTTCCAAAGAGCAACAACCAGCACAGAAGATACTCACGTTCTAAGCCATCCGGGTTCTTCTTATTTGGCATTAGGGAACTGCCTGTGGAATACGCATCCGCAATAGTGATAAACCCGAATTCAGCAGAGCAGTAAAGGATAAGATCCTCAGCCCATCGAGAAATATGTTGCATAAACATGCTGCCCCACTGCAGAAACTCGGTGACAAAGTCTCTGTCACCAACAGCATTCATGGAGTTCCATAGAAGGCCGTCAAAGCCCAGCTCCTCGGCCATCATGTCGCGGTCGATGTTGAAGCCATTGCCGGCAAGGGCGCCACTGCCAAGTGGGCTTCTGTTCACGCGCTTTGCAGTCTCGCGCAGTCGTTCAAGGTCGTTTGCAAAGTAAAAGCCGTAAGATAGCATATGCTGCGACCACAGAACCGGCATGGCACGCTGGAGATGGGTATATCCAGGCATAAGTATACCGCTATTCAAGGGTTAGGAGAGTCCAAAAAGACAGGAATATTCAGGCTTACTTCTCAGCCTCGGCGCGCTTGGCCATCGTCTCGATAAAGGCAACTAGGTGGCCTTCAAGCTCCTGCATCTGGTTGCGAAGCCACATGCGCATATCGCAGACAACCTGCTCATTGCGACTGCGGCCTGTGTGTAGTTTGCCGGCAATGTCCTTGCCAATAATCTCACCGAGTCGGCGCTCGTTGGCAGTGTGGATATCTTCGTCGTTGGGCATGATAACAAAGCTACCTGCCTCCCACTCCTTCTGGACTTCCTTGAGGCCTCTCTCGATCTCTTTGAACTCGCTGTCGGAGATGACGCCCGTCTTGGCGTTTGCGCGGGCGAATGCAATGCTGCCGAGGATGTCTTCCTTGAACAGAAGCTTGTCGTACTCAATGCTCGCATTGTACTTGAGCATGAGGGGATCGAGACCGCCTGTCACTCCGAAGTCAGTGCACGTTGCAATTGAATGGCCATGGACAACGAACCTGTGAAGCGGCCGCCCCAAAGCATGTTTTCGGCAGGTGCCTTTTCGGGTGCCATGATGTGCTAATGGTGTTAGTAACTGCTAGGTTCAGGATCAATTGTTCCAAACGAATTGGTTCAGCATCTACTACAAACTCCCAATCGTGCAAGGTAAGCGTTGGGAAGTAAAGTGCCGCTTTATTAGTACTGGCTACCGCTATGGTTGGTGCACGTGACTGGACGAGTCAACAAAAGGTGAGCAATGCCACCCGAAACCGGAGCCCCGCGCTCAAAAACTAGGAGGAAGATCTCACAGTCTGCAGAGCTATCTCACTGACTTGACTCACCCGATACAGAAATTCTAATATCGGAGGATAAATTATATTTATACCTGAATTAGAATTTTGCAGCAGCTACTACTTGTGTTTGGCTATAGAGGCTTGGCTTAGCTAACTGTGCTCTTTTTTTGGATAGAGATGTTAGCGCTAGCAGACCGCTAATTAGATGCGCCATGACGCATGGACCCGCTGTATGCACACTATTCACACTCCGATCTTGATCTGAATCTAAGCGAAGCTGTTAGATGGCCTAGCAAGGTACAGCAGCTCGACACTCTCCAAGACGAGTAAATAGTTATCAAAGGAGGATCACCCATTCTCAAATAATGTAACACAAGCCGAATGGGAAGCTTTGAACAAGTAACCTGTTATGCGATTTCAGATCTTACGAAAGCCATGACGATATAAGTGCAATATTTATCTTCTGTACTATATGCTGTCTATTTGCCTTCAAGCCAGTTATTTTACATTTTCCCACATAGGAAATTAGACCAAGGGACAACTAGGCCATGTCCCGAGGACCCTCAACATAGGGCGACTTCCTCACGCCAATCGTGCCCCGCGACAAGGCCACGACGCCGGCTCCCTCGCCCGCATACTCTTCGAGCCCAGTGCGTTGGTGGTTACCATTCGCCAGCTCCTGCGCAGCCTCGTATCCGGCTCGCAGGGCACCCATGGCGCCAATCTTATGGAACCAGCCACCCGCAACGGCCAGCTTGCCGCCATATCCTTCCTTGAGGAGGGTATGGGCTTTCGCCATCTGTGGCATGTGGCCGACATAGTGCTGCGGGATGCAGTCCTTGGCAAAGCGCGCCATGGCGTGGCAAGGCGTATCGCGGGGAATTCCGAGATGGTCCTGAAGCAGGTCCTTTGCGTTTTGAATGGCTTCCTCCTCGGTGGGGATCTTGACGGCGGGTTCCTGGCCATCGACGCCGTTTTCGTAGTAGTGTCCGCCGGACAGGACAAAGACTTTGGTGCCTTCGGGCTCGTCCTTGCCGCGGACGCCGACGTCCGAGTCAAAGAAGACGCCGAGCGCGCGGTTGGGGTTCTCCCACTCGGGCACGGAGCGCGGGATCAGGTACCCGAAGCCGGGGGGCTTAAGGTCCGGTGTTGGATACCACAGGTTGACTGTCATGATGGAAACGGCCGGCACGCGCAGCGGCTCGAGGTTGACTTTAAGAGACGCGTCGTCGAGAATTCGAGGGTCAATGGTCGAAATGACCTTGTCATACCACATCTTTTCGGCATTGTCGCCGTCGGGCTTTACATCCCATCGTTAGCATACAATTTCATACATACTCCAAGAAAAAAGAGAACATACCATGACCATAACAGTTCCGTTTCTGGCTTCGTAGTCAACCGCCTTAACGGGCGAATTCAGCTTAATCTCGACATTCTCCTCCATGGCCAGCGTATCCATGATAGCCTTGGGCAGCGCCTCCATGCCCTTATCTGCAAAATGCAGCAAGGCGCCCTTCGCCTTCCATGCCATGCGGCGCACCTCGTCTGACTGGCCTAACTCTCGAAGGAGCTTCTCCTCCTGGATACGCATGTATATATTCCCTTTGGGCAGCTTGGGCAGATACCAGTTGCGAACGACATCACCCAGGACGCTCTGCGCACTCAGCCGGTCAATATCGCCGCCGTAGATACCGTGGATCATGGCAGATGCAAAGTTATTAGAGAGCGCATTGCCAAAGCTAATGCGTCGCATAAAATCAGAAATGGAAAAGTCAAAGCCCAGCTCATCCTGCTTAGCCGTAGTCAAGAGGCGCTTATACACCATCGCGGCGACAGCCGGCACGGCCGAATAAAAGAGCGGCTTGGAGAGGCACTCGACGAGCGAAGCATGCGGCGGCATGCCTACAATCTCGCCCCCGTAGTATATATATCGCGGCTGGTCCTCGGGGCTAGCAATCTTGAGGCCGAGGTCGAGCGCGAGATCGTATAGCACGAGGTCGTCGAAGCGGGTGCTGCTCGTGTGCAAGGACGACAGCGTCCTCGGGCCGCGCTCAAACATGACGGTGCCCTTGACGCCGTCGACGTCGACAGGTACTCGATCGGTCCGTATCCATCCGCCCGCGCGGTCTGTCGCTTCGTAGATGGTGATGCGGGTGGTTTTCGGGAGCAGCTTGGCGAGGTAGTATGCCGTCGTGAGGCCGGTAAGGCCGGCGCCGAGAATGGCTACGGATCGGGGAGTAGAAGAAGATGGCGAGGAGAGGTAGCGGCGGCATTCGCGTGAAAGGCTAGCGGCAGCATATATATTCAAGTCGCTGCTGGTGCTGTGATGGCTGAGACATTGGGGTCGCCGGCGTTGCGTATGGACGGACCGGCACGACGACAATTGGCGGCCGGCCAGCGCCGTGACACGATCTCTTACGCGTCCGGACATTTCGGGACGGTGGCAATGGCAGGGTGGCCTGGTTGTCACGCCGATATCCGTTCACGATGTGGGCGGTTTGGTGCAGCAGGGTTGGTGGTGAGATGTTTGTACGCTGTGCTGCCTTTCAGGTACGATGTGGTGGGGCGTGCCAAGACAGCTGTAGTAGCAAACGGCTGACAACAAAGACCCAGGCCGATGTTGTATTGTTTTGTCTTTATTTTTTAAAAACATGCACATGATGAAGTAGAGAGAGAGAAATAGTTTAACAAAACAAAAAGAGCCAGAAAAGGAATCGGGGCGCAAAATTAAGACACCCACCATCCTGAATCAAATTCCGTTGTCCTCCGCCTGTGCTATATCGTACCAAGAAAGAAATATCAGAGGTATAATAAAAGAAATAGAAAGGCGACCATGTCGTCCTTATTATGTACAAATTTGGTGGGGAAAAAACCACTCAAAAACAAGCCCGCTCAATAAGTATCAACAATCATTCCCTCTCGTTGAGATGCTTCTCCTCTCCTTCTTCTTTCGCTCATGCCTCTACCACCACAACCATCCCAGTAAAACGCCAATGAACCATGATATTCTTTCTTCCAATCTTGCTTGTTTCCTTGTTTTTAGTTTCCTTGATTCCCTTGCTTTAATGATGACCTTTACAGCTTCATCATCGTAGCCTCCTCGCCTTCCTCCAGCCGAGAGCAATCCACCCCAACTCCATGTACAAATACACTTTGCTCTCAAAACTGGTTTCGTCTTTATTTTCTTATTCATTGTTTTTATTTTGTCGGCGTCAAGCGCTCTCACGCAATAGCCTCGTCGAGGGCAACATCGTGCTGCTCAGACTGCATTTGCTCGGGTTGCATCTCGGCATCGGGTTTGACAATCTCTTCGCCCTGGCCGTCTTCGACAAACTTGCGCTCGCTGACGTGCTCGCCACCCTCGGCGGTCCAGACCTTATCCTTGAAGCCGCCTTGCTGGCCCTCTTCGTGCGCAAAGGCACACTTGGGGTTCAAGCAGGGTGTAAACTTGCACTTGGTCTTGACGTGCGTAAACTTGCAGTCGGCCGTTGTGCAGTCGGCGCCGTTGCGGCACAGAGGCATCGACGGGTGACGGAACGGGCAGCGCCGGTTCTGGCAGTTGGGGAAGAACTTGCAGTCCTGCTCGCCCTGGTGAGCAAGCCTTGTAGCAGGGGAGGGATGGCGGCCGACACATTTGCGGTTCTTGCATGCCGCGGCAAAGCTGCAGATATCCTTAAGATCGACTGTGGTGCCGGGGGGCGCAGCCGGAGATTGGTGGCCAAACTTGCATTCGCTGTTGGTGCAGCGCAAGTTGTACTTGCACACGCTCTCGTCAGGGTTGGGAGGGTTGCCGCCGCCGCCCATTTCCATGTCTTCGCCGTCGGCCTTGTCGCCGCCACCTTCTTGCTGTTGCTGGTGATCGCCGTGGCCATTCTGGTTGTGGTGTCCGCCGCGTCCACGGCCTACGCGTCCGTTTTGTGTGCGTTCAAAGAGCGACTTGCCGCGTCCTCGGCCGCCGCCACCACCGCCGCTCATGAGCTGTTGTGATAATTGGAACATCATCTGGTTCTGCTGCTCAAGCATGGCCATGAGCTCCATCTGGTTGGGTGGCTGGCCAGACATCATCCACTGGCCATTGTTAGGGCCAGCAGCGAGACCAGCCTGCAAGTTGCCTGCGCGGATGCCGTTGTTGCGGCCGCCACGAGCACCACCGCGCATTCCGTTGCCGTGGGAGTTGATGCGGTTGTTGCCGCGCGTACGGTGAAGGGCAGAGTCGGCAGAGCGATCCATAGCCTTTCCAATCTGGCCAAGCATGCGCTTATCTCGTCCGCCTCGCATTCCGTTGCCGTTTCGCATCGATCGAGGGCCGGTAGGTCTGCAAAGTAAGGAGGTTAGTTTTCTGTATATTCTTCGTGTTTCGAGGGTGTCAACATACGCATTGAGTTCTGAGCCATCCTGGGCATTCATATCTGTGTCCATATCGCCAAATGAGGCTTGTTCAGCGCCAGGCGCCGCGCCGCCATTCATCTGGGTCTCGAGAGCGGCCATCTGTTCAAACAGCCACTTGGAGAAGCTGGCAATGGTCGGGTCGTCCGCCGGCAGGGAGAAGAGGTCGACGGCAATGTCTCTGGTGATTTCGGATTCGGATCTCTGATTGGCAAGGGCCAGGATGACAAACTCGGCCAAGCCAGTGGCCTCGGACTCGGAGGCAAGGCCCATCTCGGCCAGCTTGGGCACCATAAACCCTTGCAAGGTGGCGGCGACCTGCGAGTCGGGGATCACTTCGAGCGGCATTGTCGCGAGAGGATTGTGATGTGTATGTAAAAGGGGTAAGAGAGTAGGTAAATAGATGTTTTGGGGGGCCGCTGATGGATGATCAGGGCAGAGATGCTGTGTTCGTCGACGCGTTTTTCGCAAGCGTGGCGAGAGGGGGGTTTGGTGCAGCGACTTGTCGCAAACGATCGGAGAGGACGGGGCGAGTGAGAATTATAGCAAACGAACGCGGCACGAAGAGGAAGCAGTCGATGGGATTGCGGGCTGCGAATGAACGGGCTCGCGATGGGTTGCTTTGTCAAAGGGGAATTGGGAAACAAAGGGCAAAAAAGTTGGAGGAGAACAGATGGCGATGCCAAAAGCCCAGTCAGTAGTCAGCCCCAGTTTTTGCGCCGGAAGCTGCTAGAGGGGCCTTTTGCCTGGCGCTCGCTGTAGGGACCAGGCGTTAGTGGGAGCCTTGGGCGTGCTTACAGTGCAGTCACGTGATGGGGGGCGAAACCGGTCTTTGTTCTACTTTTAGCTAGGCGCAGGTACAGAACAAGCTGCAGGCTGAAAGACGATTTTAAAAATAAAATAAAATGTGTGGCGCAGTTTTTATTGAGTGTTCTTTAACAGCGTTATATTTACCATGGAACATACGGAGCGTCATGGCAGAGAATGGAAACAAACAGGATCTGGTAGATGCTTCTGCAAGTCCTCCAGAGTAGGCATTAATAATAGGCAGTACGAGGACCTGGTCACGTGAATGTGTCGCTACCCGGTATGCATCTTTGGCGATGTTGATGCTGGTAGAGTGAATGCTTTCTGGGAAGATGTATTGTATTTTATAAAATCCAAGTGAGAAATGCCCCCGTCTCTATTCTAATTGTCTCTTTCAAAAACAAACACGAAAGCGACAGCCGGTGCATTCTGGTCGCTTACTCCCGTAAGTCAACCCACCCGTCATACGACAGAAACCCCGGATTTCACAATGTCTAATGTAATACAACGTCAGACGACGCCCTTTCTATTCTAAAGAATGTAAAACCAAACCCTTTGAGAACGGGCTTTAAGTCGTATCCGCGCCCGAGTTTGTCGCATTTTATGCAAAGGCCGTTTCCGCGCTGCAAAACACGTCACTTTGCTGTCCCTGGTGCTGGTTACAGCGCATCGGATGGCGAGTTGAGCCGCCAGTCCGCTGTGGGCGTGGTTGTTGTAGTGGCTGTCCTGCCTAAAGGCGGCAGTCTGATTGGCCTGTTTACTGGCCTGACACCTGGATGTTAGTGTGTGGCGGAGGGCCCACAGCATCCCCCGCAGCGCCTCCCCAGACACATGACGAGGGGGGTTTGTGATGAAATTGGCTTTTTTCTGTCACAACTTGGCTAAAAAAGAAAAATACGGGGAGGGCGGATGGTCATCCAGTTATGTTGTTTAAGTGCAAGTTTGTTTTAGCATTTTTTAATATGTTTTTTTTGGCTGTTTTACACGCTGGAAAGCAACTCTCTGTTTTATGCATTCCAGTCCTGTATGTGTAACAAACGCTGTCTATTTCCTCTTTAGGAAAACTCCACGGCACCTGTTTGGTGGTGGTAGTGGTGGTGCTGCGCTGGCCCCCAAACGTGGCCATGCGAACGCAGCCTTTTTGGTTTGCTTTTTTGACTTACTTACAAAATAAAATCCTATAAGTTAACAACCAGCACAGCTGTTCTATACACCGGACAGTTTGTTTTTGCCCGACTTGGCCGTTCCACGTATGCTTCCCCTTACACAGACCCCTTCGTATACGTCAGTTATAGCGGACTATGGGCGGGAGGATGCCCCTGCCACACTAAGCCCCCCTCCCCGCTGTAACCCAAAGCAGAGCAAAACGGAGCTGTTTACCCCGGCCGTCCGTTCCTCCACCGTCCGCTCCCACCACCTCACATTTTGCATAAGAATCCCACGATGCCCTTTTTTTCTTCTAGCGGACTTTGGTATTTGCTAGTGTCTATCGAATATTTAGAGACCCTAATGTAGTCTACCTTCTTCGACGCTCTTAAATCAACATCGAACGACCATACACATACACACTCGAACACAAGCTTCGACAAACCCCTACACCATGGGTCTCATTGAAACCCTTCTGGAGCACGTCTCCATCAAAACAATTGCTGGCTTCCTCGTCTTTGCCTTTGGTGCCAGAATCATCCTCTCCCCAATCATCACCCGTGCCAAGCTCAAGCGACTGGGTGGCAAGCGTGCCGTCGCTGTCCCGTCATGGGCTCCTCTTGGCCTCGATCTTGTCCGTGAAGGCATGGCCGCAGCGGACAAGCACCTTAACATTGAATTTTGGAACGACTACCTCTTCAAGAATAGTCCCCACGGTACTGCAGAGAGCAGTGTTGCTTTCCGCCGCATCATCTTCACCAGCCACCCCGACAACATCAAGGCCATCCTCGCCACTCAGTTCAGCGAGTACGGCAAAGGCAAGGACTTCCACGAGGAGTGGAAGGACTTTCTCGGTGACAGCATCTTTACTACCGACGGCGATCAATGGCATGCTAGTCGACAGCTTATCCGCCCCCAGTTCACTCGTGACCGTGTAAGCGATCTTGAGTGCTTCGAGTCCCACATGCAGACCCTCTTCAAGGTCATTGCCAACGGTGGCGCCCTCAACGGGCCTGATCAGCCTGTTAATATGGCTGCTGCTAATGGCCGAGTCGTCGACATGTCTGAAATCTTCTTCCGCTACACCTTGGATGTTGCTACGGAATTCCTCCTTGGAAACGACGTCCAGTCTCTCACGTACGTTCACTTCACCAACACCACTTCAACCAACCCATCTATGGAATACAATTTGCCCATTTACTAACTCTTCTTCACAGAACCGTCAAGCAAGAATTTGCCGAAGCCTTCAACGACGTCCAACGAATCCAAAACATGCTCTCCCGCGGTGGCAACCTGCGCCACATCTTCCCCAAGGGCAACTTCTTTGCCGGCCTCAAGACCATCAACAACTTTGTCAACTTCTTCATCGAAAAGGCCCTCGTCCTGACACCCCAAGAACTCGAAAAGACCGCCGCCTCCGAAAAAGACTATAGTTTCCTGCATGCCTTGGCCGGCTTCACCCGCGATCCCAAGGTGCTTCGTGACCAAATTATCGCCGTCCTCCTCGCAGGCCGCGATACCACCGCCTGCACCCTGTCCTGGGCCATCTACGAGCTGGCCCGCCACCCTGATGCCGTTACCAAGTTGCGCCAGGAGATTCTCGATACTCTTGGTCCCGACGAGCTGCCCACGTATGCCAACCTCAAGAACATGAGCTACCTCAAGAACGTCATCAACGAGACCCTCCGTCTGTACCCTGTGGTTCCCTTCAACGTCCGCCGTGCCCTCAAGGACACCACACTGCCCACCGGTGGCGGTCCTAACGGAACCGACCCCATCAGCGTGCTTGAAGGCACACCCATTGCCTACTCTACGCTGATGATGCAGCGCCGCAGCGACATCTACCCGTCGGTCTCCGAGGGCTTCGCCGACATTGAGGAATGGAGCCCGGAGCGCTGGACCAACTGGCACCCCAAGTCGTTTGAGTACATTCCCTTCAATGCCGGCCCTCGCATCTGCATTGGCCAGCAGTTTGCCCTCACCGAGATGGCGTACACGCTCTGTCGCCTCTTCCAGCGCTTCGAGAGCGTCACAACACACATGCACCCCATTGACGGCGGCAACCCCAAGCTCAAGTCCGAGATTGTCCTTGCTCCTGCTCAGGGTGTATATGTGTCTTTCCTCGAGCCTACCCCGGTCTAATGAGAATATGATTGTCCTTTTCTTTGGTGGTGTGCGTTGACCGCGATCCCTCACCCCTCTCGTTCTTTTTGTTATATGGCGTCTCTCCACCCTTCCCATCTTGGCGTTTATATTTGGTTCCATCCGCCGGCCCTCGTAGTTTAGGGTTGTTACGGCATATATACATGTATATACTTTTTTATAATATTGACAATGACTTCTCTTTATTACTTTAATCGTCCGCTATTACGTCCAACTCTTTAAGATTGTGAAATGCCTTCATCTACTTGCAGCCAAAGCTGTCCTGGACGGCCTTGCCAAAGCGTGAAATCGCCTCATCCATACCTTCTGCCGTAGCAGTCGCAAACGTGGTTCTAAAGTAGAGACCGCTTAGGGGCTTATCTTTTTCTGCACGGAACCATGATCCTCTCGCGACCAGCACACCACTCTTAATAGCCAAGTCGAAAATCTCTTCCTCAACCTCTTCAATAGAGCGTGCACCAGCGTCGGGGTGCTTGGAGTAATCGACCGTCAACCACAGCTATACAAGAGAAATGGTTAGTTCAAAAGATGTAACAAGAGAATTTATACTACTTACAAACATTCCTGCAGCAGGTGGCGTCCAGGTAATTAGATCAGAGGGCAGATGCTTCTCACAGGCCGCGAGAAGGGCATCACGTTTAACTGTATAGACGGAGCGCAAGTCCATCAGCCAGCGAAGGTATCCCTCATGACCCCAAGTCTCATCGAGGAGCCTGTGTAGGAGGACCTGGGAGATACCGTTGGGACCCTGGCTAGCGACTTCGGCGTGGCGCTGGTATCTTTCGATAATCTGCTCCGAGGCGACAATCCAGCCGTGACGCGAGCCGGGGATCAAGACCTTGGAGAAGGAATCAAGACGCATAACGCGACCATCCACATCCAAACCGACATAGGTAGGAACTAAAGACTCAATAAACTCTTTCACATCCGAAGGAGCTTTGCTGGTAGTGGACTTGTACGGCTCCATCTGCAAAAAGTAGTACGGCTCGTCCTCGAGAATGTAGATGTCATGCTTCTGGGCGACCTTGTAGATAGCCTGGCGACGCTCCAAGCTCTGTGTAGCGCCGGTAGGATTCTGACCCGACGGGACAGTGTATAGAACATGAGGCTTGCGCGAGCCGCGGGCCTTGGCGTCCCAGTTACTGAGGAGTTCGTCCATAGCCTCCGGGAGAATGCCTTGGTTATCGACCGAGACGCCTACGGCCTTGATACCGAGGGGATCAATGGCTTCGAGAGCGGTAGAGAAGCTGAATTCATCAGTTATGACAGCGTCACCACGATTCTTTTCGCAAAACATGCGCAGGGCGGCATCGAGTGCTCCAGTGCTACCAATCGTCTGACACACGCCCCAGTCTGCGTACGGTGGGTTACAAATCATCTCGGCGTGCTCTGTAAGAAAGCGCATCATTTGCGCGCCGCCGGTAGACTGGCCGTAATTGAGGGCAATGGAGAGATCGTAGTTGCCAATGCCGTCGCGGGCGTCGTATTTGCCCACAGTGACGGTGGTGCCCGAGGTAGCGGTATCGGCCTCGGAGAAGTTGGGTACTGTGGGCACCTTCATAGAGATGGATTCAAATGGGAATACAGCGCTGGAGGGCAGACCGCCGCCGAGTGAGATGATTCCAGGCTGTTTGAGAAATCTGGCGGCCTGCTTGAGAGTGCAAGGGACGCGGGCCTTGGCCTCTTCGGTGAGATGATCTGAGTCCGTGTTAGTATAAGAAGTGGGAAAGATGAGTATATATATGTAAAAGCACATACGGTCCCATCGTTTAGCCTTGGGCTTGCCGGTTTGCTATCACAAAAAGAGGAGGTTTTGTTAGTATGCAGGATATACCGAGACTTCGTTGATGCGGAAGTAGGTAGCGACTTACATCGCCCTTGAACATGTCACTATTGGAGACGGCAGCAAGGCCAGCAACAAACTTGCCGGCCTTTTCTCTGCGCTGTGCAATGTCTTCAATCCCAGTCCGGGAGGCATTATTGCCCGAGGACATATTGACTGTTTATAAAGAAATTGACACGAAAGAACTCTAAAAGAGACCAATGTAAGAGATAGTTGGTGCAGGGAAGCTTCTAGTGACCCAGGGCGTTTGCTGGGGAAATCTTCAAGACACAGAATCGGCAGCAAGTACCAGATAGCTTAAATGTTCAAAAACAAGGCGGGGTGGATTTCTGATGAAGCTGAAAGATGGAAGTTGGACAAACGCCGGCTACCGGAGGTGTTGGAAGGGCGCGGGGGGTGGATGCACCCCCACATTCGGTACATTCGGCGAGGCTACCCGCCTGACAGCTAACACCAGGGTAGGTGCGGGGGAAGCGGCAACGGACGGCCTGTAGTAGTAGCCTATAAATTTGAATACAGGGAATGGGACAGGGTTCTATTTGGTGGTTTTCTGAGAGGGAATAGTGTATGGATATGTTACTTTTGGGTCTCAGGATAATATGATACACGTAGTATAACAATATCACCATAGTAATATATATGTATTCCACACCACTCACAAATCCACACCAATCTAATGGTTGACGAATAGTGTACACCAATCACGAATCACTACAAACAATATAGAAGAGAAACTTCCAAGCCATCCACTGAAATAACTCAGTAGAGAGATCTAAGATAGTTTCCTATATATATATAGTTGCATAATTCTTTTAAAATAACGTAGTTCACGGGTGAGCGCCGCAGTCAAAAACACATACAAATTAGTACAATTTTAATTACACCAACAATTCCAATTTAAATATATAAATACTATATTTACAAGTACAAGTATGTAAAAAAAAAAAGGGTCATTGGTCATCATACATTCCGATATTCCGTATCCCAAACCCAACCGATTTCATGTAGCTAAAGACAACCTCCTTGGGCAGCAGTCGTCGTCTGCCCAAGAGGTCATCTGACACACTCTTGTCTGGTGCTCTTTTCCAGTCTGACCCCGTATCCAAAATAATACGTGCCCCCTTAAGGGCAGACAAGACGAATATCGTCTGCGCCAAGCTTCCCACCACGCCGTGTGCCCTCGGGACCAGCCCAGGCGCGCCCTGCGGCGGCGGCGAATTTGGTCCAATGCCAATCATGGTCTTTGCAATGTCTTGCGACTGCTGCTCAATAGTATCCGATTCGTCTCCGCCAAGAGCAACATGCATTCGATTGCAGAGCATCAGATATCCTTCGTAGATACACAGTCGGTCCAGCTGGTAGCCGCTTGTGGTGTAGAGATGCTCTGGGACCCGGTCCATCACCGTTCCATCGGCTGTTACACGACAGAATATAGACTTGTTCCATCGCGCATACCAGCTTAGCAGGCCCTCTCGCGCAGTGTCCACTCGTACTAGCAACTCTTTATGAGCAGCGGCTGAATAGCCCTTCTCATCAACAAAGAGTTTGACAACATCTGCCATGACACCAGAACAGGGCGCCATCACCGTGTTCAAAGTAACTGCCATCTTATCCTCAATAGTGGAAGTTGGTGTCAGCGTGCCAAGGATTGCGTCTCTCCACTGCTTCTCCTCAAGAAATATGTGCTTGCCTTGGAAATAGCCCTCGACTGTAATCACGTACATGTGAGATCTCAGCAATGCAGATTCAAATGTAGTTGTAAATGCGGAGGAGCCGCGATGTTGGATAAGATGTGATGCTCCCAATGCATGTTGAATGGATGCGTGTGACTGGTCTTCCAGCAATGCCTATCACCACAAGGTTAGTTAAACTAGAGCCAGCAAAGGTGAATAATTATAGGGGAAAGCATACTTCAAACAGTAATAATAATATCGTTGCCCCCAAAGTCTCGGCAGATCGAGACCGTCCTGTATCATTCAAGGCATCTTGCAGCCTTCTGAGAGCATCGCCATACTGTGCTAGAGCGCCAGGCGGCGGCCCATCCGCAGGAGGGTCTCGGGAGGACCGGCGCCTTCGCAGTATAGAAGCGACACATTTAATAGCCGTGTCTAGTGCCGGTTCATGCCCTGTTCGTCTGGGTAGGCCAAAAACGTACAGTAACGCAGCTCGCTGACTCATGGCAAAGGGAAGATCGGGTCGACCATAGTGATCTTCATTGGTAGATGTGCGGGTATGAGAGTTGGAAATGAGGTGAACAAGATCCGCTACATCTGCGGTTCCATTGAGCTGTGGTGTAGCAGGTGGAGACCGTATTACACTGCGAAATGCGTCGGCGTCTTCTATCTTAATATAGTCCCCAGTTGCAGGGCGCGAGACTAGCTTTGGGGCGATTGCAATCGGGTGGCTCTGCTGCTGCTGATGGTGATCTATAGGAAAGGAACATTGCCGACCACCGATGATGCATCGTCTGCAGACAGGCCGTCCCTCATCGCATTTGACTCTTCGATTTCTGGAGACTTGTGAGCTCACTGCTTACTGATCGCGCTATATGATGCATTGCCGTCTTACCTGCAGGTGATGCACCCTGTTCGAGCTCGTGGGGCCCATGCTTTCTTAGGCTGCGCCATATCGAGACACAAAGCATAATTTGGAGATGGTTGCTCAGAATACTAGATTATGAGAATGCATAGACTGCTTATGCATTCTACAGCATCATTGGGCATGTTGGGAGATAAACTTGGGCCGACTATCGAGTGTGAGGGCCTTGAATCGCAGACCTATGTCGATGCCACTGCCGAACAGTCACGTGCAGATTCAGCCGGTAGTTGGGCGACCAGCGGTAGCCCTACGAGAGCCTTATTTTATTCCGTGCATATGCGTGAGCCTTTTTCTATACTATGCTAGTTACCTGTAAGATTTATCATCATCTTCCTTGTTGCCCACATTTTAGAGACATTAGGCGTTGGATCTGTCGCTGATGACGCCCGCCTTGCGCCCCCGCTCCCCCCAAGCAATGATATTTTAAAACGAGGAATATATTCGACGATAGAGAGACTCTTAACGATACTACATTGCAATGACATATTTCTTCAGTAATGCAGAGTTCCACTGTTGATACTCTTCATAGCATCAACCAAATCCGCAGCGTATTTGACTGTCGCAGAGAGATTCGTGAAAAATCCAAATGCATGAGGCAGACCTGGATAAATGTCGACCTTGGTCGTTACACTACGAACCGTTAGCATTTCATTCGACTGTCAAATTTTAGTATGGCAATACGTACCCAGCATGCTTTAGCTTATCAGCATACGCCAAACCTTCATCACGGAGGGGGTCTGCGCCGGCAATTTGGATATAGGCAGGGGCTAGTCCAGCAAAGTTCTTGTTGAGCAGTGGCGACATGTCCGTGTTTGTCGGATCAGCGGCGTAGTATTGCAAAAAGAGTTCAACTGATCGTCGTGAGAGTAATGGTGCATCTTTCAGGTCCTCCATGCTGTAGAGATTCAGCTCCGGGGGGTATGCGTCCAAGTGGCAAACGCAAGGGATGCGGAGGAGCTGGCCGAGCAGTTTGATGCCGTGGTCTCGAGCACGATGCGCCAAAACCGCCGTCTGAAAAATGTAAGAAAGTATTTTATGACATCTTTAGTGGCCTCACTTACAAAGTTTGCGCCGGCGCTGGAACCGCCGATGCTGAGAGCGTCCTTGTTGATGCCAAGCTCCCCTGCATATTCTCTCATCTACATCAAATTAGTGTCAGTCTAGAATATTAGAGTAGAGAGGGAGCATACCCAAAGAAAAGAATTCCAAGAGTCATTGAGTCCCGTAGGGAAAGGATGCTCTGGTGCCCTAGATGGTGTTAAATGGCAAACATCGTACGAGGTTACATGGCATGATGGCTTACAAGCGGTAATCAACGCTTACCACCACGACGTTTGCGCCGACACAAACCGATCTACAAGCGCTATCTTCGCCGTCCAAGTCGCCTAGAGTCCAGCCACCACCGTGCATGCTACAAAAAGGTCAGTTGGTGGTATTGATAGGGTACGTCCCATCTTACAAGAGAAGCCCAGGTCGGGGCCCGGTTCCGTCGATTGGAGTGTACACCCGCACAGTGATTTCAGCGCCATCCGTTGTAGGCACTTGTACGTCTTTGACTGTCACGCCTTCTATTACAGGGACCCCAGTCCCAGCAGCTTTCGCTTTGGCTTTAAGCGCCGCTGACCTGGCTCGCATTTCTGCGGCTGTGCCTTCAAGCACAGGGACCGCGGCACTGTGCTTTGCGTAAAACTGGTTCCTCTTAGCCGGGCCTCGCGGAATTCAGCTTAGAGTCCTATGGAACTTACAGCAGCCCATTCAGGGTCTTCTTGTGCTAGTGCTGCGTTTGCAGAGCGATGGTTTGCAATAGACGTCATGATGAAAGAAGTGAGAAGGTGAGAATGAATCTGGTCAAGATGGTTTCGACAGCGGTCAATATAGCTATAAAACAGCCTGTTGGGGAAATAGAAAGCCGGGTGATCCGTCTGCCTCTTCTTATAGCCGTAGTCAATGCGGCTTTACCTCTTTTCAATATGGCCGTGCTGCTGTACATCCTTTCCCCGCGCTAACGATTGAACCCACCTCCCCACCACCACCGTTTACGCGGCCTGGCGCACCATGTACGGCCAGTTCTGCAGCCTTATTATCAATGTGTTGTAATAAGACCGTATAAGGCCATTTGGGGATGGGGGGGAATACAGTGTTTGTATTGAAACTATCCCAGGTGAAGATGTCAGTACAGCACCCTCCACTGACACCCACCAGCTGTGACAGCTGGTCACCAACCCCGCTATAACTCTCCCAGCTTCAGCGGTCAGGTCGGCTACAAGTCTCCGCACCGCAGGCGCCGGTGGAGAAGAGCTTCCCGCCCCCACAGCACCACCACCACCGTCACCACCACAAGCTGTCCCTCCATGACGCCAACACAAACATCGCCAACTGCATCATCCCGCATCACCATCACCTTCTCTCCCAAGCTTCAATGGCTGCTGCACAGCAGAGCTACTAGCCCCGAAATACCAGCTCTCCCATTTCCGCAATGAATCACGCTGCCTCATAACTGCATCACAGCTCAGTAAACAAGGCGCCGTGCCCCTGGCGGCATCAAGCGGCTCGACATGTATTGGCCCATTGGAACGCCGCGCATCTACGCTACCAGCAGCAATCAAATCGCCGTCAATAATCTGATCCTCTCCTACGATGGCCTGCAATCGCCCATGGATGATGCGCCTGTCCACGACAATGGCACCGCCGAGCTCAATGACGACGAAGACGACGAGTACAACAACAATAACGCCGAATCCCCTTCCCCCTCTCCTAATCCAAACGACCTGAAACCACCGCCCACACCCAAGACACCACTGTCGCCGCGCACACCTATGGTCCAGTCGGCCGAGTTTGAGCAGGACCAGCACGCCAGCCCAGTCAAAAGCAGAGCTCTCGCCGCTCCATCTGTCCCAACCCAAGATCCGATAATAGCTCTTCGTGTATCCAGAGCTGGCCATCTCTACGCCGTTATTACAGCAACTTCCATTACCCTCTGGCAGACGAAGCCTTCCGTTATCTTAGCCATTGTGGTTCGCTCCGATTCTTCGCTCGAGGTGTACGGTGAAAATGTCGACCTTTTGCTCCGCCCAGACTCCGCCATCCTGGTGGTCCAGACGTCAAAGGGCTACCTAATCACATACTCCATCGCCAGCGACGGAGAATCCCGCGTGTATAAACCACAATTTCCTCATTATCATAATATCCAGCGCAGAAAGCAAAGCCTCATGGGCCCGCTCGCTGGCCTCCAGCCAGATCAGTACCTCTGGGGCCCTGGAGAAGGATCTGGTGTGCGTGACGTCAGCGTCCGCTTCCGCATGGTTATCAAGATTGATGCTGGCATCGAATCAGCTCTCGCTCTAGACGACGAACTAGTGGTATCAACACGGAAACCTGCAGCTGTACAATGCATTCGATGGACACCAGACAGCACGGGCAACCAAACTCGAACAGAGCTTCTAAGCCGCATGTCGTGGGTCGAAAACAAGGTCTGCATAACCGGTATGACCTACGACCGTCCCATGAACCTTGCTACCTGGGTTACCAGCGACGGAAGAGCATATGCAGTGCAGCGACAAAAGGAGAGGCCCCAGCAGGACGACGCTGACGCCAAGAAGCTTTTCAAAGGACATTGCTTTCACACACCAGAGAGTGAGAACAAAGGTCATGCTGTTCGCGCCGTTGTAAATGCTCGGTTCTCGCTCATTGCGGTAGGATGCTCCGACGGTACCATTCGCGTATATTCGGTCCGCGACTATGCTGGAAATATCGTCCATTCTCACACACAACAAATCCCGACATCAACATCAACCTCGGGCGCCTTGACACACCTGAGCTACTCACCAGATGGCTATTGTCTCTTTGCTGGGTTTGCAAAGGGCTGGGCTACTTGGAGCATGTTTGGAAAGCTCGGCACAAACAGCTTTGGCGCTGATGCCACCCAGTCTGCGCTTGGATATGAAGAGCCATGGCTAGCTGGTGTCGTTGGCGCATCTTGGATCGGCGGGGGTTCCGAAATCTTGCTGATTGGCCGCGAGAACGAAGCTGTTTGGTCTCTCGAGATGGCCAAGAGCGCTGTGACCGGCTGTTATAACGACGCCAACGTTTTCCGCACGGTTTTGCAGACCCCGACAGGCATCATGGTGTACCGTGGCTATGATTTACCAGATATGACAAGTATCTCGGCAGAGCCTTTCTTGTGGCATACCAGCAGAGTACCAGCCATCTATCTATTGAACCAGTGGCCGATACGACAGGCGGTTATATCGCCCGACGGTAGGTACGTAGCTATCGCTGGCCGACGCGGTCTCGCTCACTACAGCGTTAACAGTGGCCGTTGGAAGACATTTGCCAGCGAAGCCATGGAAAACGAATTCCAAGTTCGCGGAGGCATGTGCTGGTATCAGCATGTCCTCGTTGCCGCCGTAGAGGGCAACCATACCTACGAGCTGCGACTCTACTCACGCGAGACGGCGCTGGATGCCTCACAGGTCCTTCACACTCACCCGCTGCCGGCCCCCGTTGTCCTCATTACCACATCTGGCGAAGACTCTCTCCTCGTCTACACATACGATAACCTTCTCTACCATTTCATCTTTACGCCATGGTCCGACTCTATCCGGCTTGTCCAGGTCGGCCAAATTGCTTTCCATGGCATTGTCCGATCTCCCGCTCGAGTCCGTGGTCTAAGCTGGATCTTACCAGATAGCCAACTTTCCGATGGTGACCCCTCGCAAGATGTTGCTGTAGCTTCTGTTATCTTTTTAGTGGACGGCAAGCTTGTACTCCTCAGTCCCTCAATGAACGATGAAGGGCAACTGAAATATGACATGCGTGTAATTGCACAAAATGTGGAATACCACGCCAGCATGCGCGATCAGCCTTTGCTCAACATGACGAGAGAAGAGGAAGCATCATCCCTCAAGAACGGGCCATCTGCGCTTCGAGACTCCCTCTGGGTCTTTGACGGAACCGAGGTCAAAGCATGGACCAACATTGGCGATATTTTGAGCGCCGCCTCCTCTGATACTGCCAAGGAGCTTCCCTCTCCAGTTTCCGTGCCCGTTGACTTTTACCCTCTATCTATATTATTAGAGAAGGGCATCGTGTTGGGCGTTGAATCGGATCTGGTCCAGCGTCGTGATGTCAACTTTTCCTTCTTCCACTTTGCCATTCGCGTAAGTCAACATGAGTTTTATACTTAACAGTGAACCTGAGACTGACTTTTACCTAGACACACCTTCTGCTGCCCGATGTACTACGATACTATTTGCGACAAAACAGGACAATCGAGGCAACAGCCCTCTCGGAACAATATCACAGCCTAGCATACTTCTCTCATGGTTTGGAAATCCTTCTTCACCGTGTTCTTGACGATGAGGTGGACTCGTGTCCCAAACCGGAAGATGCGGTTCTGCCGCGAGTTTTGTCGTTGCTATCGTCGTCAAAGGAATATCTCGATGTCGTCTTGCAATGTACTCGCAAAACGGAGGTTCGACAATGGAGCACGCTGTTTGCCTACCTTCCCCCTGCCCAAGAGTTGTTTGAGGAATCACTTCAAAGAGGCTCTTTAAAGACTGCTGGCGGATACCTTATTATTCTTCACACACTAGAGGAACTTGGAGGAGCGGCGTCCACGGAACAGACAGTCCGAGTGCTCTCTCGAGCCATGAGAGAAGGCGAGTGGGAGCTGTGCCGAGAGCTGGCTCGCTTCTTAGCCGCCATGGACGAGACGGGCGAGATGCTGGAGAAGACAATGGCGGAGGCGAAGTTAGTCCTAAGTCAGGATGACCCAGTGCCTGTCAAGCAAATGGCGAGCTTAATGGTGCCTAGCATGGGACGAAACGGCGATAGTGATGACGATGAAGGCCAGCTCTCGCTCTCCGAGTCGGGCAGCGTGAGCTCCTTGGCCAGTCCATAGCGGAGTATATAGTCAGCAAGTTTGTTGCGGAGTTTATGATTTGAGGGTCTTTTTTTCTTTATTGCGATCAAAAAGTATTCCAATAGAATGGTGGTGAATTAGACTTTGGTGTTTTCTTGTCATCTCGCTTGTACTGAGTGTTGCTGTAGGCGCTGATGTCGCGTACAATCAACACCACCACCCAACCAACCTAGAAATAGAAATAATTTCTATATAACCCATTTCTATATCCAATTTTCTCTTTATTTTATATTTTCGTTATTTTTTTCCATTCCCCCGTATCGTCTAAATTCCCGTTCAGTTGGCCACCATCACTCATCAACTCACGCCTCCCAAGTCACCTGATGCCCTGTCCAGCCTACGCAACGCTCAAACCCCACCACCGCTTCGACCGCCAACCTCGAACGCTGAACACCAACCCTTCAAACCCCTCCAAAAAAAAACCACCCCACGTATCCGAACCAAACCCTGGAGGCGACAGCGCAAGCGGGCGCTATAAATTCTTCTTCATAATGGACGGCTACGGCAGCGAGACAGATAGCGACTATACCAATTATTGGCGGGACTGGGTACGTGGCCCTGCGGCTGTTTTCTTTTCCTCTCTTCGGGATCACCCCCCCTCATCATCACGACATCGAAAGCGCAGATCAAATCACGGTTGCGCGCCAGGCCTTAGTGGGCTCTGTACCTCTTCTAGCAGCTATACATGTGAACATGGAACGCTAACACTGCTTGTGCTTGTCTAGTTTATATCCTCGCGCGGCAATGAATACTTTTGCGAGATCGACGAAGAGTATCTGATGGATCGGTTCAACCTGACTGGCCTCAACTCGGAAGTCCAGTATTACCAATATGCTCTAGACCTCGTCACGGACGTGTTTGATCTCGACTGCGACGACGAGATGCGCGAGACGATTGAAAAGTCGGCACGCCATCTCTACGGCCTCGTGCACGCCCGATATATTGTCACAACTCGGGGTCTTAATAAGATGGTACGGGAGACAACACCTGAACAAAGAAACCGTTTCACTAACAAGATCCTCTTCTTCTGCAGCTCGACAAATACAAAAAGGGCGAGTTTGGCAAATGCCCCCGCGTCCACTGCCACTCCCAGCCTCTACTACCCATGGGCCTCGCTGACGTGGCCAACACCAAGCCCGTCAAGCTCTTCTGCTCGCGCTGCGAAGACGTCTACAACCCCAAGTCGACGCGCCATGCCGGCATTGACGGCGCCTACTTTGGCACCTCCTTCCACAATATCATGTTCCAGGTCTACCCGACGCTCATCCCCGCCAAGTCAGTCGAGCGATACGTCCCGCGCTGCTTCGGCTTCAAGGTGCACGCTGGCGCCGCGCTGGTCCGCTGGCAGGGCGCCCAGAGAGACGAGATGAAGAGAAGGCTGCGCAAGGCTGGTCTAGAGGTGCAGCTTGGCGATGATAGCGGCGATGAAGAGGCCGACGGCGACGTTCAGTTTGAAGGAGTCCCCTCGTAAACAAACCAAAGGTGACGAGGGTGATTGTTTACACGGAGCAGATGGATTTTCCTTGTCTCTCTCATATATAACCTTCCGACGGCCCGGTCTCTTTTGTTTTACATGTTGGAAGGGGTGTTTAACTTGGCAGTAGAGGAAAAGAATATTGCGCAGGAGGTTCCTGCTTATAGGCGTTTACAGGGTTACGGATACAGCCTCATGGGTATGCTTAATAACATTGACATGATATTTTGATGACTTGGTGTGCCGTTGAATTTTGTGCGTGATGAGTTTTCAAGTGGACAAAAAGTGAGTGAAAACTGCATGAACAGTGAAAGGATATGCTGTGATGATGTTGTTGTTGTAGTGGTGGGAGCAAAAAAGGCAAAAAGAAATGATTCCGCCCGGGCTCGAACCGGGGACCTTCTGTGTGTTAGACAGATGCCATAAACCGACTAGACTACGGAATCAGATGTTATTGGAAAGGGTGGCGCTATTTTTTATTTTATAGCTTGGTCCACAAAGTGCCCACTACGAGCCAAAAATGCTATGCATCTTTTTCCTAGTATCAGTGGTTGACTTAGAGCTCCAGCGGACAAGACATGAAATTACCAAAAGAAATAAAAAGTGATGAGAATGAGAATAAGAATGTAGTCAATTTTGAATCTAACCTTTAAATCATCAAAAAACGCCCAGCGCCGCCCGTTTATAATACCCAATTTTGTACACAAACCCAGCAAAGGCTTTTATAGCCCATTTGTTATCTGTTTCATGGGAGCTAGCCGTTAGATGGCTTGTCCTTGCAAAGTCTGCATCTCGACTTCATGTTGCTGGTACTGAGAAGTATAGGGTTGAGGGTGGCGGTCGACGGGGGTTCTGGACTGCTCGAAGCGACGCTCCTCGCGGCCTTCCTCGAGGAGAGAGTCGTCAGGCTGCTCGTTCTTGTTGGCGCTGCGGTCGTTGCCGAAGCCAAGCTTGCCCACACCAGCCCAGAAAGCGCGGCTAGGGTTTCGGGGAGCCCAGGCCCAGCCTGCACCGGTCTGGATGGGCATGTGGTAGAAGCGGAAGGTGTAGATGGCGCAGATGGTGCCAATCAGGAAACCAAAGAGAATGTCGAAGCCGTGGTGGCGGTAGTTGAACCAGCGCGAGGCGGAGATGAAGATGGAGATGCAGAAGGGAACGAGAGTGATAGCGAGCAGGTAGACGGGAGGGGCGGCGGCCTGGCGGCGCAGAGACTGGACGTTGGCGTTGAAGCGGGCAGCGCGGTCGGCAATCTTGGCCTGGACACGGTGGTCGTCCTCGTAGCCGGCGCGGAGAGCGGCGGACTGGTACGAGCTAGATGTGACGGCGCGCGAGGGGAAGGCCGAGTGGGAGTCCTTGTTGTTAATTAGGTTGAGGTTGGGGACGACGAAGGGAATGGTGACGCCAAACTTGGAGGCGAGGTAGAGCGAAAGATAGATGAGGCCGGCGGCAGAGGCTCCGGCGTGGCCGCTGGGGTAGCTGCGGAAGCCGTCCCAGAGCTTGGCCTTGTCGGTTTGTGTGCAGATGAGGTGAGAGTAGAGGCGGCCATCGGCGCCGTCGGTAGCAAAGCCGCCCACCTGGTACATGTCCTTGTTTTTAATGTCGGGCATGCAGCGGGCGAGCATATCGGGTCTAGGCTTTCCGCACATGTTCTTGATGCCGGAGACGAAGAAGAATGCAGCGCCGACGGAAACCAAGAGACCGAGCCAGGCAATGTGCAGCTCCCAGAGCTTGCGCTTCCATACTAGCCCAGCCGGCGTGTTGGGCGGGACTGTGGCGCCGGGGACAAAGACGAGAGCGACGACCAGGATGACGATGACGGGGACACCAGCGCAAAGTGCGCCTAGGAGCCAGTTGGGGACGGTTTCCTTTTCGGTAAATGGGAATCTATCGAACAGAGGCGGTTAGCTTTTATTTTGGTTCCCCAGAGTACGCAGACTGCGTAGATAGCCGGCTGGCTAGGGCTCACGCGACAACCGGGCTGGCAAACTCACGAAATGTCACGATCCGCAAGGGAAAAGTCGCGGAAGTTGGGTTGGATCTGGCCGAGATAGTATGCGCCAATGACGAGAGCAACCATCAAGGCCCAGTCAAAGACGTAGGAGACAATGAGGCGAGCGGAGAACGCATCTCGAAGGGTTGTGGTCCCTGAAGTCGCCATCTTTTCGTATGCGGGCATGTGCGTCCTGCGGCCAGCAAAATTGTGACGGTCGAGGGAGAGTCGTGGTGATGTTGAGCGATGGCGATGTTTGCCAGACGATGGGGATGGATTTCGAAGAAGGGAAAAGGAAAAAGAAAGAGAATGAAGTGAATGAAGAGACAGGAAAAGGAAAATGTCACAGAAAACAGGAATGCAGCGAGACGCCCTCTGGATGAATAGCTAAAGTGGGCGATTAGGGGCGGACACTAGTGGGCTTAGCTTGCTGTAGTGGGGCCCGGGAACAGGGCGTTTTAGGGGCGCAAGAGCTTGGTTTCCAGTGGGGTTGACAGGCGTGGCTGTGAGACAGAGGGCACGAGCGGCGAGCAAAACGACGCGTAGATTGCAGGCGGGCAGTAAGAAGAGCGAGGAGGAATGTCGAGATCGTGAAGAGGGCAGATCGACGGGTTGTTAAATGGCCGCTGACCATGTCGTGGCTGAGCGGTTTAAATGCCCGTATAGCGAGATTATAGACGGCAGACTAGGGCCCTTTTCCCGCGCTCAATGCAACGGCAGACTGCTGCTCACTATCTCTCTAAATTTTTTTTTTTGCTTGTCTCGATTCGCTTCCCCCCCTGGGCGGTAAAGTGAAGTATGATTGGGCTGTGCTGGCGGGCTGGCCCCGGGCAGTGCCTTGTTTTACTTGCTGCGCCAGCTTGTCCCCCCGTCTGATGCTGGTGGTGAGCATTGGGCGCCCTGGTCTGACATGACACTCGCTGCCCGATTGAGCACCGTAAGCCGGGTTTCGTTGCCTATTTCTGCGTGTTTCAGAGCACGGGGAGGTCCTTTTTGTTTTGTAGATGCCGTCGACTTAATCTCCATTCTAAATCTTTTTATCGTCTCGGGCCGTAAGTCAAAGAGAGCGGTTTCAAGTGTCGTGAAAAGCATATGGGCTGATTGGTTCCGCTGTCATGGTCGTTGTGGGCTTTGCCAAGCGCGCGCCTATAGTCTCGGTACTGCAACATAATGCACAGGCTACAATTGCCTCGTGGCACAATGGCCGTCTATTTTCACTTTGCTCATATTGGAAATGATCCGAGTGGCCGTCTGTCTGCGTTTGCCAAAGCCATTTTTGCACTTTGCCAGCTGTAAATTGTGCGAATTGCCTCTGTCGCGTGACATTTGCCAAGGCACCTGGCCCAGCTGCGCCATCTGCCATACGCCATCTGCCACATACAAAACCCCCTCGATTGGGGCGCAGTGTCAGCGCTGACCCGCCAAAGACGGAAGTGGATCGTGTGTCGCAGAGCGGTAGTGGCGTTTTCGCTTCCACCACCAATCACCATGCGACGGCACTTACGTTAATCAATAATTAACTTTGACCTCCATCTTCGATTTCCCCATTGTACTCTAAGCGACAAAGAAGATATTGAGGAGACAAGCACAGACTGCAGAAAAGTCACCATGGGCAAACGGGAAAACAAAGAAGAGAGTTGCTGTAGCTTCACCAAACCGCGATGAAAGCATGTTACTAGTTGCACCATTCTGAGGTGAGGCTATCAAGATATATTAAGGTCTAATTCAGTGTTTCTTGCAAAGATGTGCCCATATTCCAACGTTCTAGTTATCGCCTGGGGCACTCATTCATCCTCAGCATGGCGACTCCAGCCACGGCCAAGGTTAACCCAAAGACACCAGCACCATCGACACAGTCCAGACCAGCTAAGCCTCCAACGACACAAGAGAGGTCTATCAAGCCGCTTCCCGCAAAGACGACGCCGAAAAAGAAAGGATCAGCACCAGCACGACAGCAAAGGGCCAGGCGTCCAGATCCCAACGAAGCAGTTTTTGCAGCTCTAGGAGCACCTTGGCATACGACACCAGCCACAGGAAAGCGAAAGCGGGAGGAGACACCGGCAGCCAACAACCAGCGCTCCCAATGTTCAGGCTGCTCCAGATACTTTGCAAAGAAAAACCTCGCCATATCTCTTTGCAAGCATGCGTACTGCCCAAAATGTCTGGAGCGGATGCTTGAAAAGCTCTTGACAAATGAGTCACTGTACCCTCTTCGTTGCTGCCGTCAGATCGTTCCATTCACTACTGCAAAGCTGCCAAAAGAATTCAAGGCACGTTTCCAAGCAAAAGAGGCAGAATACAAGATTCCTGTTGATAGGAGAGTGTACTGCTTCGCCCCGAAATGTTCGACACTGATCCAGCTCGCAAATATCAAGAGAAAAGCAGCAACGTGCAAAGCGTGCTCGTCTGTTACTTGCACCGAGTGCAAGAAAGAGGCCCACGTTGGTAAATGTACTGCAGATGAAGGCGACAACAAAATACTCCAGTTAGCCACAGCGAAGGGATGGCAGCAGTGCACCCGATGCAAGAGAGTCATTGAGCGTGTTGCTAGATGCAACATGATGAGTATGTTCTTTTCTCTGGTAAACCACTTACGGATGATGAACCAATATTAACATTCAGTAGCTTGCACCTGTCGAAATCGCTTCTGTTACCAGTGTGGTAAGACTAACTGTGGTGGTGTGTGCAATCCTGTTCCACCACGTTGGGCAGCCAATAATGGAAATAGAGCTTAGGCCGCCCCTATCCAACCTCAGTGCTTGCACCAACAGTGGAGGCCAACAATCATGGGCGATTGCGACTTGTGCCATGCGCCTGTTGCTAACCACTGCGCGAGGTGTTTTATTCAGTGCTGTACGAGGTGTACAGCTCTATTACGGAACAACCAGTAATGGAACAAGTTGACTTGGAGGCTAGCCTCCAGCTCTCAAAAAGATGAAGACAGTCTGCAGAGTGGAATTGACGACTGACGGAAAGGTTATTGCTAGATTTGGAATGACACTGTTGCTGGTGGTGTTGAAGTTTCATCAAAGTTCAGCGGCATCGATAAATACACAGTGTTTTGGGAGACAAATGGAAGCGAGTGGCACAGAGCCGGGTCTCGGCCTGTGCTTTAAATGTAATAGTTTTGCTATAGTACAAAAAAAGTGGTGCATTTGTAATGTACACAATGTCTTTTCTCCCCCAATACGTACAAAGTCTTCTCCAGATGTTACACGTTATGCTGTTGGTTGGTTTGCTATCCGGACATCTTGTAGGTAGTTGTCTAGGAGCTCTTGGTGCGGCGCTTGCCGTGGTTTCTCGGGCGAGCCACAACAACGTACTTGTTGATGTTGCTGGTGCGGCGGGTCTTGTAACCACTCTTGGTCTATATGGCAATGCCTTTGTTAGATAATGTACCTCAAGAGACGAGGGACTGGAAGTACTTACGGGCTTGCCCCATGGCGTGACGGGATGGCGATTCGACTTTGACTTACCTCGGCCACCACCGTGAGGGTGATCAACTAGAGCAACACGTTAGCATATCCATTCACAATCATTTTGTATATAGACAATGGGTTGTATCGTCATACCTCTGTTCATGGCAACACCACGGACCGTGGGGCGGATGTTGAGCCATCTGCTTCGACCAGCCTTGCCGATTTGTCTAAACTGGTGGTTGACATTGCTTGCAACGCCAATGGTAGCACCAGCATCCTTGCTCACACGACGGATTTCGCCGCTTCTGAGGCGGATATCGACGTATTTACTCGTCATGACCCTCGTACCGTCAGCTCTCATTTCCTCATTCTTGTTGACCAATGTGGCGGAGGTGCCGGCGCTTCTCGCAAACACGGCGCCGCGCTTGGCTGCGGATCCCACACAGAATATTTGTGTTCCGACGGGAATCATGTGCATGGGCAGACAGTTGCCACGGAAAGCGGTACGGGCAGCCAGGATACCAGGATCCGCAACACCGCCCATGCTGTCGAGCAAATCTTGCGGGATACCAGAGCGGTAGCTGTGTACAACATCACCAGCGCGGAGTCCTTCAGCGGCAATAATGTACGACTTTTGGCCAGTCGCCTTTTCAGTCAGAAGAGCGATATGTGCAGATCGTCCAGGGTCGTATTCGATGCGCTCAACCAGATGAGGGCCGGGTCTCTTGCGAACAAAGTCAATGATACGGATTCGGCGCTTGGCACCACCACCACGATGGCGGACAGTGACGCAGCCGTGTGCATTACGGCCACCCTTGCCGTGGCCCTTCTTGGGAATGGTTAGGGGCAGAAAAGCGCGGCCCTTGTAGAGATGGTCGTTGATGGGACGGCGCAAGTGACGAACACCGGGAGTTCGAGGCTTGTAGGTACGCAGGTTGATGGCGTGTGCCTTGGTCTTGCCGAGTGTGTTTGCAATGGCGGGTGAGTCGTCGATATCGGCGTCGTCGAGCTGGCCAGCATCGTTTGTGAAAGCTCGTCGGCCGGTGATGCTGAGGTTCGCAAACGAGGACGCAAGGACCGACGTTGTCCGCCTCGTGGCAAACAGATTCATTTGCATGCGCAACATGATTGTGCTCTGAGTTTTTCTATGCTGAATCAAAGAAGAAACGATGGTTTATATGAGCAATTGGATGCTCAGGAGCTGAATAGGAGCGAGCTCCCTGTCTCGTTATGCGCGGCAAGATTCGATGCCGGCAGTGTCGTTAATTCGGTGCTGGTATAAGTTCGACCAGCAATGAGTAAAATCAATGCGGGAGGATTGCAAAACAATTGCAATTGACTGCCTCCGCTGGGTGTAACCGTTCGCCGCAAACCCGTGGCGATGTCGTTGAACGTTTCGCTGCCCTCGAAATTTCCAAGAGGGTCCTGTCCCCTGGTGGTGGTGGTTGACGAGCGCAGTGCAAAAACGTTTTGCCGAGAGAAAAAGTGCAGCCAATAGGGACGCTGTGAAAGGCATTGGCCCACTAGCCACAGCACTGTCGAGAAATGCACCGCCATAGGCGCGATCAGCCACGCTTAGCTGTGCACAGTGGAGGCTGTAGAAGCGCGCTGCAATTTTCGACACGGACAGCGCAGGTAGCACGAGGGGTGGGGCGGCGGGCGGGTGGCGGCAGCCAATGGCGGAGCCGTTGCTGGGCGGTTGCTACTGTTGACATTGTTCTCGTTTTAGCGGAGCCCCAGTCTGTACCTGGGTTGTGTGGCAGACACGCATGGCTGTCGCGTTGAAGTGCCTCCACTGTCGCCAAAAGTCCACGCCTCCCTGCAAGCCTGGTGGACGGTAAACCCATGCAGATGCAGGTGAATGTTCATTTCAGACTGTGGTTTTATTTGCCAATGGAGACGACGTTTGAGAAATATCGAAATTTATGGGAACGGGCGGCTACGCGCTGGCCGAGGAAGATGGGAAGAGAGAGAGAGCTAAGAGAGTTGGTTGATTGGTTGGCGGGTTTGTTTGTTTACTTTAGATATACACTACGATTCAGATTTCAGCTTGATATACGCTCGCAAGAAAGCAGCATCACAGCACAGCACAGCACCAGGGCCTATCTAAAAATAAGAGAAAGCTATATCCAACCAACCAAAAAAGCAAAACCACCGAAAAGAAAGCGTCATTGGCATCACAAGTGGGACACAATAAGCGACTGTCAATGGCTACTGGGCCTTTGTCCCCCGGCAGCCCCAAATGCCTTACCAGGGCAACGGGAGCCTCCGCCGCGTAAAAACAGGTGCAGATACTACTTTGTACGCCCAGCAGGCTCCAGTTCTTTTCTGGCTGGCGCGGATCCATGCGCTGTTTCGGCGCGTCTTGTCGCTGGTAGAGACAGCTTCCCAGTGGCAGCACCTCGTCGGCCGCACCACCGAAGTGCCCTGTAACATCTGCTGACAGGTGCCCCCAGCTGCTTCCCCCAGGGCGTGTTTACGGCGTTTGGCCCCGGTCGTCACGAAAAAAAACAGTGGCCGCCCCGACATAAACATCCACCACAGCCCACCACCTTAGCTCTCTTCTCCTCCTCCCATCTCGAAGCCCTTCTTGATTTCCTTGTCTTGTTTTTCTTCTCCCCCAACAACCATCAGCAAGCATTTACAAATTGCATTCGGCGACAGCATCATCTTCTCCGCCCGCTTCGTCATCATCTTTTTTACCATTTATTTTTTTCCACGGCCAATTCCATCTATCACGTAAAAGAGAAAAGAGGGACCCTCCGGCGATAAACACACATCCTGCATTCCATCCGGCGTGTTTTGGCTGTGTCTCTGATCTTGTCTCTCAGCGACCCGGTAAGTTCGCACCAGTTTTTGACGTGACTTATTCGACTGTCTCACAGACACACGCTCCTATTGCCCATTTTTGCCCTGCCCTTTTTGCCCCGTCGCTGTCCCAACCTTCAAAAGGCGTTGCCATCACGACTCTCCGCTCCAAGACGCGTACTCTGGCTGACTTCCTTACCAGCGACCGGCATTCTACTCTAGCCTCCACCTCCACACAACTCCTAGTTATATATCCTAACTAGATCCTTTCTCCAGAATCATGCCTCTTGTAAGTTTAAGCTTCATCTCGCTTCGCCTGCCATTGTTCGAGACTTCTCGTCTTCGCGTCTGCATCCTCGACCGTGTTATATACCGACCACATCTGCATGACTTGGCTTTGAAGCTCTCGCCTCAACACCACCGCTAACAGATGTTCTCATTCTTCCAGCCCCAGGCTACTCGCACCACCCGTGCCACACGGCCCGTTACCGACGAGAACACCGCTGCTCCCATCACCAGAGCCAAGGCTGCCAACCTGACCGTCGACGAAGTCAACATGCCTGTCAAGGGAGCCCTCCAGGCCAAGAAGGTCGCCAACACCACCACCGCCGCTGGCCTCCGCAAGCGTGCCGCCCTCGGAGATGTGAGCAACATGGCCAAGACCGATGCCGTTGAAGGCAAGAAGGTTGCTGGCAAGGTTGGCCTCGTCTCCAAGGCTTCCGCCGGTGTCCAAAAGGCTACTGCCCGTACTGCCACTCGCCCTGCTCTCGCCACCAAGGAAACCAAGAAGGCCGCTGCCCCCGTTGAGGCTAAGCCTGCTCGCTCTGGATCTGGCGCTGCCACCGTTGGCAAGAAGAGAACCTACTCCACAAAACACAGCGTCGTTGCTGAAAAGGACGTTGAGCAGCCCGCTGCCAAGAGATCGAAGGAATCTCCCGCTGTCGAGGCTCCTCAGGAAGTCTTCCCTGACGTCGATGACGACGACCTCGATGACCCCCTGATGGTTGCCGAGTACGCCACCGAAATCTTTGAGTACCTCCACGAGCTGGAAATCAAGTCCATCCCCAACCACAACTACATGAACCACCAAGATGACCTCGAGTGGAAGACGCGTGGTATCCTCGTCGATTGGTTGATTGAGGTCCACACCCGCTTCCACCTTCTCCCTGAAACCCTCTTCCTCGCCGTCAATATTGTCGACCGCTTCCTCTCGGAAAAGGTTGTCCAGCTTGATAACTTCCAGCTGGTCGGTATCACTGCCATGTTCATTGCCTCCAAGTACGAAGAGGTTCTCTCCCCCCACGTTGAAAACTTCAAGCGCATCACCGACGATGGCTTCAGTGAGTCTGAGATTCTCAGCGCTGAACGCTTTGTCCTTAGCACCCTCGAGTACGATCTTAGCTACCCCAACCCCATGAACTTCCTCCGACGCGTCTCCAAGGCGGACAACTATGACATCCAGTCCCGCACCGTCGGCAAGTACCTCATGGAGATTGCCCTCCTTGACCACCGCTTCATGAAGTTCCCCCCCAGCCAGATTGCTGCTGCTGCCATGTACCTGGCCCGTCTCATGCTCGACCGTGGTGTCTGGGACAAGACCCTCGCCCACTACTCCACCTACACTGAGGAGGAGGTTGAACCCATTGTTCACTTGATGGTTGACTACCTTGCCCGCCCCGTTGTCCACGAGGCCTTCTTCAAGAAATACGCCAGCAAGAAGTTCCTCAAGGCCTCCATCCTCTCCCGCCAGTGGGCCAAGAAGAACGCCGAGCTCTTTGGCATTGTCGACACCGAAGTCAGCCTGTACATGTTATAATGAGCATGATGATGATCCTAATTTTTTACCAATCCTAATCGCGTTCTCGGCTCACTAACGCCACCGCTTGAGACGCGTCTTCTACTTTTATCACGCACACATACGCTTTAGATTCCGACATCTACCGCTTTGACTCCAGGACAATGGCAGCGCGTCTCGCCTGGGACATTCACTGTGGTATCTGCATAGCCCACATCTTTCTTCTACACACATATTTTCTTCTTTTTCTTGAAGCATGGATCCTCGTTTTTTCTCGTTTTTCATACACCACATGGCGCATGGGCGTTGAATATTGTTTCTTATGACAAAAGACGGGTTTGGAAGAACACGTTTGTTCTTCTTCACATTCGGCAGGCCGGAGTTGTGGTGGACGCTGTCGCGGCAGCTTAACATTTTAAGCTTTTGTTTTTTTTTCATCTTGATGCTTTTGGACGTGTTTTTTGAATGGTCTCTGCGCCGATGGATGCTGGAGCCCTCAGTGGCATTGGATGTCTTTGTATGACGTTTGGTATTGTCGTTTGGGTATTTAGCTGAGATCGTTTTTGTATATATGCAAGAGTCACCCATGAACAAAGTATGCTTTTTACCGTTAATATCTTGTGTTTTTTTTTTCAAGTTTGTGAACCCAATTGCTTCTTTCTGCCTTGGTCTTGCTTCTCTACCACGTCTCAAGCAAAACCCAACGCGTAGTCTCCGCGATGAAGCAACCCTTGGTGTTTGTTCAGACATGGAGGCCCATCCCGCCGGCCAATCACGCGTCAATGAGCTAAAGTTCTGCAAGGGCGTTCTTTGGAAGCTCGCTTGCATGCATTATTTAATTCTATTCTGTAATTGGTGACGCGCATTATGCATTTGCAGCATGCGTCCCGAGATTAAGGTAAGGGTGGTGGTGTGAGACAAAACGGGCCGTGTTTTACCATCTGTTGCTGTCTCTGGTACACGCAGCACAGCATCGTGATCTTGTTGTAGTGGAGGGAGGAGGTCTGTATGTTTATGGACCTTGTAAACAAGACCCTGGCTGACAGCCAACGATCTGCATGACTTTCGCAAAATGAACAAATTAAACAAGTGAAAAGATGAATAATCACTGGGAATTAATATAGATTACAATTTAGGCGAATCTACGCGTGTTGACGCCTGGATAGTGTGCGCTCGTGGACCATAGGGTAGCTGTTGTTCACTTTGTCCCTGTCCACAAACTAAGTGAGACACATGGCACGCGACGTCTACAAAAGCCGATGGATATATATAACAAGACTTTTTGTTAAACTAGTTGTTTTTTACGTTGTATCATCCCTCATCTGGGCAGCTTTCTAAAATGCTAAAAAAGAGGTGGGAGAGCTTCTTTATTCCCTGCTTTTTTTTCTTCGTCAGTCCGCCCACCATGTTGCACACTCATGAAAAACACCGATATAAAACTTTCTCGTCATGAACAAAAGATCCAGATGCCACAGAGCGTTAGACACGGTCTACCATAAAAAACCCAAAAACACAAACGGAGAATTCCCTTTAACAAACATGAACCAGGGGGAATGCAAGAGAAGAGTCCAATAGGAAAAGGAAAACGGCTTTTTACTCGTCGTCCTCGTCGTCCTCTTCCTCTTCCTCTTCCTCCTCTTCCTCCTCGTCGAAGCTGCCGGCAGGGACCTCGTAGAGGCGGAGGATGGACTTGTTGGGGTCCTTGACAAGGACAAACTTGGCCTCGTCGGCGCCGCTGGTGTCGTGCTTGAGACACATGTCGGCAATGGTGCGGACAATGCCCCAGCCGTTGGAGAGGGAGAGGTTCATCTGGGCGGCAAAGTCGCGGGGCTTCCAGCCAATGACGCCGAGGATGACGTGCTTGTCGTTGGAGCGCGGGTTGACACGGGAGACAAAGCCGACCTTCATGACATCAGACTTGGAGAGGATGGACTGGACGGTCCAGCGGGCGAGCTTGCACGAGTTGTTCTTCATCTCGGTGGCGACGACGGCACCGCGCTGGGTGACCAGCTTGGCGCGCCAGTCGAGAGCGCCGCCGGAGCCCTGGGCGCGGCTGTCGAACTCGTTGAGCGCGCGGATCGTCATGTGCTGGTCCTCGCCGTTGACGGGGTTCTTCTGGACGGCATCGACCTCGGTACGGACTACAAGGTAGACGGGCTCCTCCTCGTTGGTGGAGAGGTCGAAGCGGCGGTACTTGTAGGCCTTGGACGCGGGGGGGTCGGTGTCCTCGGAGGCGTTGTAGAAGGGGTTGCTGTTGGCCATGTCGACCTTGGAGGCGTCGTTCTCCGAGACAACCTGGTTGGCAAAGTTGTGGTTGATGTAGGTGGCCTCTTCGGCGAGGGCGCCGGGCTGGTTGATGGTGTCCTTGCCGCCGTCAGCGGCGTCGAGGGGCGCATCGGCGGCGTTCTCGTTAACAGTGACCATGTCGAGGTTGGCGTTGTCGCGCTTGTCGAGGAAGATCTTGTTGCCCTGGCGGACAATGACAATGTCCCAGGGGTACACGGAGCGCGGGGAGCACATGAGCATGGACAGGATGGTGTCCGTGGTGAAGATGGTGGCCTCATCCTTGTCGGCGAGATCCTGGATGATGGGATCGGAGGAGGTGGTGACATTGTAGGCGGCGCGGTCAATGGCCGTCAGCTTTCGCTCGGCGCCCTTGACAGGCTGCTTGTCGTAGGAGCGGTCATACGAGTACAGGAAGCCATAGTCGGCAAGATCCTCGCCGTCGTCCGTGTCCAGGTTCAGCTTGCCCAGACGGTTGAAGTCAATCTCCTCAAGAAGGTCCCAGTCGGCCTTGATGTTAATGGAGGCGTCGCGGTTGCGGGCAGGCTTGTCGTAGTCGCGCCATCCGAAGCGACGGCCGCCGCGACCGCCAGCAGCGTTACCGCGGCCACGGCTATCGTATCCTCCACGGCCGCCAGCACCAGGTCTAGCAGAGCCGCCACGGGCACCACCACGGGCACCGGTTGCAGCACCACGCTGGCCACGGCCACGGGTGAAGACGGCGCCACGGCCATATCTAGTCTTGACGGGATCGCGGGTGTTGGTGACAACGGAGAAGGTGGATTCGTCCTCGGCGGGAGGGGCGTTGAAAGTAACGGCGTGGCTGGATCCGTACACCTGCTGGTCTAGAAAAAAGGGCCAAGTTAGTAAAGGACTTAAAGATGTAGTTGGGATGCAGCGGGGTTGGGCTGGCTGTGTCATATATCGATCATGGCGCAGCCCCAAAAGAAATGCAGCAAAAATCCAACAAAAAGCTCCAACTTACCACGGAAGTTGCGGTTGTACTGAGTGCGTCCTCCACGCTCGCGGTCCTTTCCTTCGGCAGTCCAGTCGGCCATGCGTCCCAGCTTGTCGCCCTTGGAGAAAGGCGCATAGGGCACGCCGTGAAGCGTGGTCTCGGTGGTGACAGAGGGGCCCCAGCCATCGCCGGCCGGGCAGCTCCCGCAGATGCTGACGTAGTCGAGCTGCTGAGCCATGATGAATAATCGAGGCTGCTGAGTGTGTGGTGTTGTTGGTGTTGCGGCGAAAGCAGGCGTGGTGTTTCTCTGGGTTGAGGCTTTCGAGGTGGAATTTCGAATTTGTGGTGGGGTGTGGGGCATTTTTTTCACCAGTCACAGTGAGAATTCTGTGCTTTGGCTGGGCAGCGCTGCCTGCTTGCTGCCCGCTTAGTACACAGTGCAAGAGGGGCAATTTTTGTATGGACAAGCAGTGCAAATAACACCGTATTCACTGTACATCTGAGTGGCCCAGCACAGCATAGTACTAGGCCAACAACGGCAGCTCTTGGAATAAAACATGCTGTAGTCATTCATTCAGTAAAGTGCAAAGAGCCACACTATATAATTTCATAGCACAAGGAGAATACATCTTCCATCCCGCCGCCCCCAAAAACGCAGCGGCTCGCGCCTGTACCAAGGGCAAACAACAACACCAACACTGTAATACCAGTTTCCGAGCAAATCGTACGCCTCATTCATCATATACACAGCACACAGGACAGGCGTGTGCCTTTGGTTTCTTTTTCATCTAGCGCAAATCACACCCCCCACTCAAAAGATGGCAGGGGTTGCACTAGCAGGTATTTGCTTAATACGCGGCTTGTTCGATGCGGTTCGAATGCACGCTCTCGAAAGCGTCACGCAGCTCAAACTCTTCCATGACGGCCCCAAATCTATAGTCATATTGTTAGCAAGGCTCCAGTAGTATATAAACGAAATGAAACCTCGTTACTTACCCAAAGCAGCGGACCTTTTGCTTCAGTTCGGCTGCAATCTTGACGAAATCCGATTGTGTAAGCTCGGCAAACTGAGGATGGCTCATGAGCATTCCCCAGGCCATGACTGGTGTAATTTCGCCATTGAGATCTAAATGACGGCTCAATTCGAGCAGTGTAGAAAGATCGGCCTTGTTGATCTCCCAAGTGCCCTGCGTCGACCCATCCGAGGTTGGGGCTTCATGGGTATGAGACTGGCCCCAAAGCGAGTCCTCCAACTTCTTGACCGGAGCTGACGGACACGAGGCCATAAGAGCATGGCCGCGAGGCGTGTTTTGATTTTCCGTGCAATAATCCATGACAAATGGGATGTGGACCATGCATGGGTGCTCAAGGCTACAAGTCAGGGTTAGTATTCGGAGGAGTTGGGGTTGTGCAGAGCAGCACCAAAACACTTACGCTAGTACGAAATCAATACCGGCCTGCTCAATATCAAGCCCGGAAGCAGAGGACTTTTGAATGATGTCCTGAAGCTGCCCAGCTGATAGGGCATTGTAACCACCTTGCGATTGGCCGGGCGATGTTGATGGAGCAGTAGACTGCGATGCGCCTCCTGGGGAGAATGTGTTGCTCGGCCCGGTTCCAAAGCTAGAAGGGCCATTCGTGTTGCCACCAAAGGTGTTGGCGCCATCGGGACCACCGCTTCGGTCAAGGTTGCTCAAACTTGGCAGCTCAATGCCACTCTGGGCGAGGGCTTCTTTGAGGAGTCTGTTTTCTTCAGCGAGCTTTTCGCGGTCCTGGGAAACGGTGCTGTAGATTTCCTTGAGGCGCAAAACCTCGTCTTCCAGGGCGCGGATGTAGAGCTCCTTGCGTTCACGATGTGTTCTTGCGTGCGCGTTAGAGGGGTATTCGTCAATCGCAGTGGCAGGAAAAGCTAGCGTACCTTTGGGCTTGACGGTTAAGCTCCTGTCTACGGGTCAGGGCGGGTTTGCTGTCGGGCTTGGGTCCGCGCTTCTTGGGCGCGTTTCCATCTGCGTTGTGATGTGTTAAAAACGATGGCTGTCCTTAGATTCGCCTTGTGCGACCAAGGAGACATACCTCGAGTTGACCGCTTCTCGGTGAGATTCTTGAGCATGTCGAGACTCATTGCGGTGCCGCCTTCCGACGGGCTTTGCGACTGCTGTGTAGCATATTGCTCTGGGGACAGCGACGACATAATGGGCGAGAGACAAGGGGATATCGTAGCAGGAAGGCTGGCGGCGGATTGTTAGCTGTGATTGTGCATTGGAGGCTTCGAAGGCGGGCGATGCGCTCGGTGCACACGGATGCCATCCACCGAAGCCAATGCTGCTACTTACTATACAAGGGTGGGATGGGATGGGGACAAAGAAGCAGACGGCCGATGGCCAGAAGAGGCAATGGGACGGAAATCCAACAACGGGGGAGATATGTTGAAGAAAGAGCTCGTCGATGATGTCCAAGGGTGGAGGTGGCGGGCACGCACCAGCAGTAGCGTAGCGTAGTTGGCAGCTCCAAGGCACGCACGGCACGGGAATCGATTTGGCCGAGACCTTTTGGTTGAGGGTGCGTGAGCGCGTGTAGACGTACCGTGTGGACCTTCAGAGATGCCACACAGTACGGTGAAGGATGTCTTTGTGATGGTTCAGAGCTGGCTGAGGAAAGAAGAAAAATAAAATAAAAAAGTCCGAGATACTAAAGAGAGCTTTTATTGGTAATTATGGTACTCACATACCATAATAAAGCTCAGGAGGACACAAATGCAAATAAATAAGACTCCTCAAGACCAGCCCATTGCGTGGCCCTTTCTACACTACCTGCACAGTACGCCCCGGGCCTAGTAGTGCACAGCCTGGAATAGCGCTGCTGACGGGCGGGGAGGCCCACTGGAAACTTCACTGCCTCACCGGGCTTCCGGCGCTCCGGGGCATTCGGGGGAGGAATAACTCAAATCATGGCCTGGGGCCGGCGTATCTCAAATACCGCTGGACCCAATCTGGCATTTTGGCGACGAGGCCTCCAGAGGTGCTTCTCCCATTGCATTGTACGGATAGACACAATGTTGGGCTTACAGCGGTAGCTATTTCTAGATGCTTAGCCTTCTTTCCACTGCGCCTCGATACTGTACATGTCCGGCTGGGCACAATAGCTGCAGTAGCTACTTTTCATAACGAGAGTATTGCGGCACTGCACTATACTGTACTGCTCCGGACCGTTACCTCCTGCGATCAGCCCATCCATCAACCATCATGACGCTGTATAAGTAGTACTCGGCACATTTGGTTATAAGCGACAGCTCAGGTTTCATAAAACAAGACTTACTTACCATTTGCTTCCGTCACTTTGCCTCTTACGACGGCCTCGCTCACCGGCCAAGCCATCCACTCGCTCTGTGGCGCGCATCGTTCACGCATTGGCAGTCTTCATAACCACTTTCTTAGGCGTATCCGCGGCTGAATACCAACGGCACCCTGTAACCGAATACTTCATACAACAAATATGCAGGGTTGGCAGACTGCCGTAGCATCTTGGCCACAACGTCAAGATCAGCAGCACTACGCACCGCCCAAGGCGCTGCTCCGGCAGCCCTCATCTAGTGCCGGCTTACAGCAGGCCAATGCGACTTCATGATGTAGTTTTGGTGCCATTGATCCCTCTGTAGTTAGTGGCAGTGGGCCGTACCCTGTCCAGGCTCCCTTAGATGCTATTTTACCATCGACTTTTTTCTTAATATAGGGATTCCTCTCCTTGGCTGACATACCTGCTTTTTTGCCTTGTAAGTGGCGACCGTATGACTCTTCACCCATTGTATGCCACTGTCTGCTCAGTAAAGGGCGCCGTGGAGGCCCGGCAATTGAAGCTCTGACATCGGATGTAGGCCGCACGTGCATGATACGGCCACCGTGCTGCTGCACGGTGGATTCCATCTTGCATTGCGCAGATAATTTTTTTTTCGTTTTCTTTCCATTGCGTCTCCTAGCTATCAACTTGGCGCCCCGCGGGCCATGCATGCGTTGGCGTGCTGTGGCATCTGCAGGACGATGTTCTCTGTGGCATCCGCCAACACCACCACCACAAACAGCACTGCAAGCGTACAGTAGATGGCATATTTAGCGCTTTTTACCTTTACAGCGGCCGTGGCTATTGGTCGTGGCGCCTGCAAGCCCTCATGCACTGTGGTCCACGCGAACAATATAGATTTTTCACGTTTAAACATGGTTCTGTGTTTTCCCCTCTTGTTTGGAACAAACCGCCATGGCCGATCACTGGAAGCCTCCGTTTCTAGTGGAACGAGCTCGCCAGCAAAAAAACAGCGCTATGCACGACAAGGCTGCATCATTCTTGCCCCCCTGTTGGGCCACCATCCCCCATCAAGATAAGACGTGCTTAGTGCTTGTTGTAGAGGGTCGGCATTCCTGCGAACGCTGTACTCTGCAATGCCACACACAAGACATCAAACGACCACTTTAAGGATCAAAAAAATAGGAATGGCTAAAGGCGGGGTAAAAGCAGACAGACACACGCGAGCTTCCACTTGACGCGGCATGGCATGGATTTAGGGTTCGGTTGAATTGACAGCGCCCAAAACCTTGTTTGCTCGCTGCGGGAGCGATGTCGCTCGCTATAAGTCACAGTAAGTTTCTTACAGTACAGAGCGAGGGAGCTGCCGTGACAACAGCAACAGCAACAATGTCAACAAGGAAAAGAAGAAACAACAAACAGAGCCTCATGAAAAAAAAAAAGACAAAAATAGAGCCCAGGGTAGACTCATTGGCCACAAAACACCAAAAAAGTAGCAGGGGTTCTCATTTACAAAGAAAACACAGCGTCTCAGAGACAGTGTTTCCACCTTGGCAAGCAAGGGAAACCAGGGCTAGTCCACCAAGTTTTAGTTGGGTGAGGCTCCGTACAGCGCTGTCGGTGGGCTTCCATCAGGTGGGTGGGCGGTGGTAGTGGGCTTTTGTTGCACTGTAGCCCTCTGGCCGATCGACTGAGACGCTGGGAGTTGGGGCTGGTTTAATTGCCTTTTTTAATTGTTATTTTGCCTGTACCCTTTTTTTCTCCGCCTCTATTATAGCCCACCAACTGACTGCACAGTAGCGTATAGTACAGTACGAAGTACAGGTACTGATGACTGCGTTGCATAGTACTGTAATTAAGTACTGTATACTAGGCGGCGGGGCGCTGTTTTTAGCAGCGGCATCGCTCTAGTACGCGACAAGAACAAGACGCCGCAACCGGCTCTTATTGGCCAGCAGGTCGTTCGCTTCCCCGCTTCAAGGTGTGTCATGGGGACTCGGAAATGGGCAGCCTGCTCTACAAAGCGCGACCTGCACTAGCCCCGTCTTGATTTAGCGCCCCAGATCACTGAAAGTGCGCCAGCGGAGCTTGCTCCAGAGGTCTCAGTGGTCCCCCTAGACTAGAGGAGCCACTAAATCTAGCGCGGGCCGGCACTGTATTGAACGGCTCCAGCAAGCAAAGTAGAGTACGTACTGCGCTGTAATAGCTCCTGGTACTGACTGTCCCCCAGACACAGAACGAGACAGAGGAAACTCACATTGCCCCTTCGTCATCCTGCAACTTTGTTTTATTTTTTCACTTGGTCAAAAGCCGTCCCTTCTGCCATTGCGTAGCGCAAGAAACCAAAGAAGCATTAAAAAATTCATTCAACTAAAACCGCTGCGCTTACTGCTGCTCCTCTCGGTGCCTCTCTCTCTCTCTCCACCAGCTTTGACGCACCCCCGGCTCCGTTTGCACGCACCTGGCAGACCACGCCGCCACCTCTTTTTCTCGCTCGTCACAAAACTGCCACTCACTTTTACCTTTTGTGCACCGCCAGGCTTCTTTTTTTCCTCTTTCTCCGTTGAACAATTTTCCAACGCCTCTACAAAAAGCTTCAACACAGTATATATCGTACGAGAAAAGTCGCCGCGCAGCTTCAAGCACAGCACCGTGTACTCCTCACAGCCAGTCATGTCGTGGACGTTCCGGCGTCTCTAGTCCTGGCAGCCGTGCCAGCACATTCTCGACGACACTGTCCAACCAGAGGACTGCGTGCTCGTCCCGTACCTTAGTTACCGACCGATAACGAACCGACCGACCGCATATATATACTTTATATATATACAGCTGGATATCACCGACTCCGCTGGCCGCCATGGGACCGACGCCCGCCACGCTGGCCCCCCCGGCCCTGGCCACGCTGCGCACCCAGGACTCCGTCGTCATGGAACGGTCCATTAGTCAAGACATACGCGAGGAGCGTGAGGAGCTGCGAGAAGCCGCTGCTCAAACGCTCAACGTCATTGTTGACCTGAACCTCGACGGCACTGTCAAGTGGGTTAGTCCCTCCTGGGCGGATGTGGTTGGTACTCCTATAGACTCTGTCGAGGGAACCCCCATCTCCGATCTTATTGCCAGCGAAGACAAGACCATTTTTACCGATGTCGTCGAGTCCATGAAAAAAGACGACTCTCGTAGTCACCATATCCAATTCGCCATGCAACTTGGCCCCCTTTCGAAGCTGCAAACTATCCCGGTAGAGACCGACACTCCGGAGTCTGCCGCCGACCAACCCCAGGAAAAGGTCCAGGCAGCTGCTGCCCTTGAGGCACAAGGTATCATGGTATATGACACTGCTTCTGGTGGAGAATCTCATGTAAGTGAAATCTGTCTCTCCTAAATGCATCATGCTGAGGGATGGACCACCGCTAATAACTAGCAGACCATGTGGATGATTCGCCCCTGGACAGCCCCCCAAGAGATCCAAATCGACTTACCCGAAGTCATTGTAGACTCTCTCGGCTCTGGTGCTGAAGTTCTCGCTGGCTATCTTACCCAACTCGCAGAATCCGCCGAAGAGGATGTCGAACCGCTCGATCCCCCGCCACCTGTCCTATGCCGAATCTGCGAACGACAAATCCCGCCGTGGTGGTTTGAGAAACATACAGACCTGTGCTTACAAGAGCATCGTGCCGAGATGGATGTCCAACTCGCCCAGGAAACCCTCACAGAACACCGCCATGCCATTGTCAAGGTCCTCGATGCTCTGGAAACCCGCCAGAGCAGACCTCTCACCCTCGCTGCCGAAGCACAAAACACCCCCTTGACCGAATATAAAGGGTTGCCCATCGGTCCTCCTCCCTCATCCACTCAGTCCTCCCCTAGCACATCGTTGGCCCGCTCGCGAGATCGTACCAGCGGATTTGGCCATTCTAGAGCTCGGTCATTCGCTGTGCGTAGACCGCAGGCTCGCATCGTTGAGCTGCTGATGGATCTTTGCGACACCGCATTGGAAATTAGTACTCCCACCGTCAAGGAGAGCCTTACCCGTCTTGAAGACGGCGACGTTAGAACGCAGTCCCCGCAGTCAGAGTCGAGGATATCCCAGGTTACACAATGGCAGTCACCAAGCACAAATACGTTGGAACAAGAACAGGGCCTTGCCCTTCTCTGTGCGGATACCGAAAAGGCTGCTCGAGCCAAGGTGGACGCCGTCTTCCGCCACAGAAAGATTCTCGAGTATTCCGAGAGAATCCGCGTCGAACTTTCTGTTCTGGTTCAAGACTGTGTGGATGACGCAATGAGACAGGCAGCCCGTATCGCCTCGGGACAATTGTCAGACTCAGCTACCGACGATGAAGGCGAATATATCGAAGGCACACAGTCAAGACCAGCCGAACCCAGTATTCCCAAAGACAGCGTTTTGCCTGCAAGCGACTCTCAGACCCAGATGGACTCCCTGCGAAGCCAGACCGAGGTGGCCACGTTCCAACAACATCTCACAAGCCCATCTGCACTTGCTGCTGCTCTGCGTCAGGTTGATCTGGCGTCTAGCATCGGTGGTTCCCGCCCAACATCATTCATTGGATCCACGGGCTCCAATAGCCCGAAAGAATGCCTTACGCCACGTTCGTACGGAGCTGGTCCTGGCACAGGCACTTCTGTTCAGAGTGGCCGTGAGGGAAGACGAGGTTCATCCTTGTGGCTGGAAAGCGAATCTGGCGACTTGGACGACCCAGCTCGTTCATCCTCCATTGCATCACGAACTGCCCCTCGCACGGAGTCGCCCATCTCCGAATTTGGCGACCTCCGACGAGCCGCTAGCACACGCCAACGGCAACGTCGTAGTTTGGTTCTCCCCGGAACGATTTCCCCTCGACGCCAAGAATCGCCCTCTCGTGTCTCGACCCAGCCGTCGTCTCCCCTCCGTATTAAGCCTCGCATGATTCCCGGCGCATCTGATGTGCTTGTGTCACCAGAAGCGTCGCCCATGTTCCCAAGCAGTGAATTCAGCTCACCAATTACCCTTCCAACTCGCCATCACCGAAGACAGTCATCTGCAGCCATCTCAGATTTTGTTATGCGCCCACCGCCTTCGCCTAGACTGGGAGCCAGCCAAGCCCCGCCTCAGGCTCGCTCCAATCAACCTTCCATCAAAGACTTTGAAATTATCAAGCCCATCAGCAAAGGTGCCTTTGGCAGCGTCTACTTGTCCAAGAAGAAGTCGACTGCTGAATATTTTGCTATCAAGGTGCTCAAGAAGGCGGACATGGTGGCCAAGAATCAGGTTGGCAACGTCAAAGCTGAGCGTGCCATTCTGATGTGGCAGGGCGAGAGTGAATTTGTCGCCAAGCTTTACTGGACATTTTCTAGCAAGGACTACCTCTATCTTGTTATGGAATACTTGAATGGTGGAGACTGCGCTTCGCTCATCAAAGTCATTGGAGGGCTTCCAGAAGACTGGGTTAAAAAGTATCTTGCCGAAGTGGTGCTTGGTGTTGAGCATTTGCACGAACGTGATATTATCCACCGTGATCTCAAGCCGGATAACCTTTTGATTGATCAAAAGGGACACTTGAAGCTGACAGATTTTGGATTGTCCCGAATGGGTTTGGTTGGACGACAAAAGCGAGCTCTAAATAACGATAACGCAGAGACGACACCAGACCTGCTGAAGCAAGGCCCGTTTGTACGCTCCGTCTCGGTTGCGTCGTCTCGTTCTACGTCTATGGACCTACATGGTCAAGTCACATCGCCAGGAACTGCTCCCCATATTCCTCTAGAAGTGGGCAGCCAACCCTCGTACTTTAGCCTTGGTCCCGAACCACGCAGAGTCTCTGGCGGCCAGCGAAGCGATAGCGGTGGCAGCGAGACGCTCAGCAGCATGCTTGCATCCTTTTCCCTCAATGAAGCCGAGGTGCACTCGCAAGCCGTGAGCACCAAATCTCCACCTGAAGAGGAGAGCATGATACACGGCTCGCCAGACCTTCCCGGCAGCCTACCAAGCACAAGAGCCAGTATTGATAGTCACGCTCGACACTCTTTGCCGGCATCCAACATGATGCCTCCCCCCATGGCCCTTTTCGACCCAGAAGACACCAACAGGCGATTTGTGGGCACTCCCGACTATCTTGCGCCCGAGACAATCAATGGCGAAAAACAGGACGAAACTAGTGATTGGTGGTCCGTTGGATGCATCCTTTTTGAATTCTTGTTTGGTATCCCGCCATTCAACGCCCCCGAGGCGGAACAAGTCTTTGAAAATATTCTCGCGCGAAACATTCAGTGGCCGGACGAGTCGCTTTTGGAGCTGGTGTCGGAAGAGGCAAAGGACCTCATTAACAAACTTTTGTGCGTTGACCAATCTAAACGACTTGGTGCGAACCAGAATGACAAGTTTGCTTCTGGAGGTGACGAAATCCGCCACCATCCATGGTTTGAGGGTATCAACTGGGATACTTTGCTAGAAGATGAAGCGCAGTTTGTGCCCCAGCCTGAAAACCCTGAAGACACTGAATACTTTGATGCTAGAGGCGCCGTTTTGCAATCGTTTGCAGAGGAGCTGGAAGACAATTCTTCCTCACAGTCGGCTGCCGGCTCGGAATATGCAGACCGTCCTCACGATGCCCTTTCCAAGGCTCGCACTCAGGTCAACTCTCTTAACCGCAAGCTGATGCCGCTGCACATCCCTCCCCATGTGCGCGACATGAAGTCGAGACGCCTGAGCGAGCCTGTCGCGCCAGATGACTTTGGCAACTTTTCTTTCAAGAACCTGCCCGTGTTGGAAAAGGCAAACAAGGACGTTATCCAAAAGCTCAGGGCAGAAGCCCTTGCAGCACAGAACAAGCAGCCGTCGTCGGCTACTTCTACTGGAGGGTTGGCATCACCGGCCCCATCTCTTGAAGGCAGCCCGGTTCTGGCAAATCACCTGCATCGAAGCTTGTCCACCAAGTCGAGCACGCGCCCACAGTCTCCATCTGGATTCACGCACGCCACGTCTAGCCCTAGCCGTGCCTCCCAGCCTGGCTCGCCATTGCTCATGTCCTATGTGCCTGGCCAGCCAACAGAGGGCCGAAGAAAGGCATCAAGCAACGCATCAAACCTGTCCCAGCAGTCTGGTCCATCACTACTACCAGTGAATACAGACGTACCAAAGGTTCCTCCCAGCCTGCAAAAGGCTGCCACTACGATTGGTGCCACTTCATCGCCCATCAAACCACGGACATCCACTCCAGCTCTTGGCATCTCTCCTCAAAAGATGGTGTCGACTCCACGCCAAGGCAGCTCTTCAACAAGCCGCTCTCGATCCCTGACTGTTGGATCGACAGAGGCGAGCCCAGCAGCATCTGATATCCTGACGCACCGTAACCGTCGCAGCCAAGTGTTTGATATGTCTCCATCATCGTCGGATACTGAAGGCGACAAGCACAATGCGCTGCTCCGTGTGCAACGGCGCCGACAAAGCTCGCGCCGTCTTTCCCAGATTGCTTTTGATGGACTGCCTACTTTTCGACCCCTTGACGTGCTCATCTGCGAAGATCATCCCGTGTCTCGCATGGTGATGGAAAAGCTGCTTGAAAAGCTCCGATGCCGTACCATTTCCGTTGCTAATGGATCCGAAGCCGTGCGGTATGCCATGAGTGAGATCAAGTTTGACGTAATCTTCCTGGAGTATAAGCTGCCCCAAATCAACGGCGTGGATGTTGCGCGCATGATTCGAGAGACCAAGAATGCCAACTCACACACGCCAATTGTTGCGATTACGGCGTACTTGAAGGAGGTCCAAGGGCCGCACTACTTTGACTCGCTGATTGAGAAGCCTATTAGCTCCTCGAAGCTGAGCGACACGCTGCGCAATACTTGCCAATGGAGACCCGAGTCTCCCCAGCGTGCGAGCTCTGGGTCCGTCGGTAGCTCGCAGGCACCGGCGCTTCCCATCAATCTGCGCCGGTTGACAGGGCCACGAACGGACGATAGCCCGACATCCAGTATTTCCATGTTTGCAGGTCGCCATGGTCTGGCATCAAGTCGAGAAGATTCGCTATCTTCGAGCATCTTTGGCGATTCGGAGTCGGTGACTACCGACGATGTTCCTGTCGTGGTTAGTCGCAAGACAACAGGAGACTGGGAAGAAGGCGGTCTGGGTATTTCCGAGGCGGATATTCTTGGCGGACATGAGGGATCATCGCCCAAGACAATCCCCATGCTTCTTTCGCATCAGTCGGCACCACCACAGATTGAACATATGCAGTCCCAGCAACAACAACAACACCAACAGGCGCAGACGCAGCAGCAAACTGCTACGCGAGCCCTGCAAGATGTCCAACCGAGAAAGGCCTCTGACGCCGCAGAACAGGCTGATGACGAGGATGGCGGAGACAGTCAAGATATTCACCGTAGCCGACGTGGCAGCAAGGTGGGCAAGACGCCGCTGCCGAGCTCGAAGCTGGGCATTGAGATGATGCGCGCCAACAGCCACGACAGTGTGACGTTTGGGTCCGAGAGCACACCGGAGACGGTCACGCTGGCCGCTACGACGCCGTCTCACGAAGGTGACGGCCCCATCCTCGACGGAGCTTTTGGAGTGCCGCAGACAATGGTGACGCAAGCGACGCCAAAGGCGGATACTGGAAAGCTGGAAAACACGCCCCGGCCCCAGGAGTGAGGCCAGGTCAGCGTTGTATGACAGCGTGCCATTGCGGGTTTAACAAGACATTTTGGCGAAGAGCAAAAAAAGAGAAGACGGCGGGCGCATACGACGCTGGCTAGCCGATCTCTTGATTTGCTATCTCTTCCTTTCTATCTTGTCCTTTTGTTTTCTTTTTCTTTTCTAGCCTCTTTTTCCGGCTTGGCAGCGCTGCGAGCCCTGATGAAAGACTATTTTTGTGTTTGCTTTGCTGTTGCTTTGGGATCACGGGTATTTTACGATGTATGCTTTTTTGTGTTGCTTGCTTCTTTACAGCAGCGCGGCGTTTCTGGGCTCGAAATGATAAGGATGAAAGTTTTGACAAAGCAGCCTGGAGGCAAGTCGATTGACTACAATGGATTTTGCTACAGAAGACACTATGACATGATGATGATGAGGATGATGGGGATGATGGGGATGATGGGGGATTGTCTGGTGTACCATGAAGAAAGGGGTTTTTTGTTTTTGCTGTATATAATATCATTAGCTGGACGGAAGGGAAGCATATTCTCCTTGTTAATATTACGAGTTTTCACGACACGAATCAATAAAGATTGTCTACTTTTTTCTAACTGAACACGTTCACACACGAACGAACATGCTGTACATCGAATTGGCCTGCCCTTTTTGAAAACCTTCTGGTGCATTCGCCGTGGAGAATAAACGAGTTAACTGAAGTTACAGTGCAGGCAGGGGATGAAGAAAGAACAGCGCCAAGATATAGTTTTGCCGGCGCGATGGTAGCCTACATACGGGCCAACGACGAGGAAAAAAACGGTCTAGCGAGCGAGGGGGATCTGGCGGCTAGCGAATAATATTTGATTGGCTTAGCGGCTGTGGTTGTGTGGAATTGGACCCTACTGACAGCTAGCTTTCTGCCCTGTGTGCTAGTGATCGACACTGAGCCTTGACTTTTGCTTTTCTAGGGTCTTTCTTTTGACGTACATCTACATGCTGCATCTTGTATGTTGCAATGCTACTTGCTCGCCAACGTGTTCGTTCTTAGAGGGGTTGGGACAAGCTTGCAACGTCGTGAGAAGGGTTACGTCGAGGCACGAAAGAGGGAATGTGTCTTGTGCGCATTTTCCGTATTCCAACAACCGTGGCCAGTGCGTGGCTGACTGACCGTTGGCGGTGTAGTATATGTGCGTTTTCTACCGTAGTCTATGCTTCTGTTGCTGCTACCATGGACGGGACGGCAGAGAAGTAAGTGGTGGTGGTGGTGGCTTGAGAGGGGGTGTGTGCCTGGTTCGGTGTTCTGAATGCGTCTCCAAGCCGAAGGAAAAAAAAACAGACATGCGATGTACGTGCGTATTCATGGAATTTCAGGGTTTCTGGGTGGGAATTTCGTGCTACTGTCTACGGGTTATGCGGGGGGCGAGGAATGCAGAGATGCATTGTTTGCAGGCTGCGTTCAGTGCAATGTCTCAGTTCGTCTCTTGTTTCGGCCGCCGCCAGCTGCACCAAGTGGCCCGAAAGTTAAACCGAACATCTGGCAACAAGACCCCGAAAAAGAGAGAAAATAGAACTAGTTACTTGTTAACACCATATCCGTGTATGTAACCACTCAAGAAAAAAATTGGTCGAGGCCAGCGGCCCAGGGGCGTGTGCTTTATGCTCGGTCTTTTCAATTCAGATTCGGTGGCGGTGGGGCGTTGAACGCAGGCACCTCGGTGTTTGAAAAAGGCAGCACGGCACGCGAGTCGCAGCGCCACTTGCGCGGCGCACAGCGTAAAAAATTGGGTTGAAAGGGAAAAAAGAGAGATAGTAGGGACAGGGGCAGTGCGTTGCATGCGGTAATAGTTGTGACCACGATTCATGGCGGCCGGGCGACAGGCCACGCAAAAACGAGGCGTTTTTTATTGTCACGCGAGCAGTTTCCTAAAGGATACCGACAGGACAAGAAAAAAGCGATAGCTGCTTGCTTGCTGCTGCAGCAAGAGTTCCGATGGGCGGGGAACGGAAGAAGAGCAGATGCAGTGGTATGGTAGCATTTTGTTTTGGGGGCGCAACGTAGGCGAGCAGAAACAACAACAGGTGCATCAAGCAGTAGCAAAGCAACACTAAGCATAGACAAGGCGGGATGTTGAATTAGCCGAGTTCAAAATAGAGCGACTGGGGGTGAGTGTGTGTGGGCGCTAGAAGAAAAAGGCTTCTACTAAAGACAGTTAGCCGCGTGAGTGAGCTTAGCTAACTACAAGAAGAAAGGAAAAATGCACATCATTTTGTTAAACACATATAAAAAACGGTCTTCTTTAAGCTTTGCAACAGGCAACGGGATCGACAGGCAACTTCTTCTTTGCTGCTTCGGTGGCCTGGCGGCATGGGCGAGCGCTGCCGTGCGTTCCGGTTGCAGCAGGCAGAGCCAGCATAGCGCAGTGCAGTGCAGTGCAGTGCAGCCTCAGACCTAAGCTAGACAAGGTCCTTGTGTTATAAGATTACACACAACAAAAGCAAAATGTAAAGCAGCACATCGCAGGGAAACTAAAAGCACAGACCGGCTGACCAAACACGGCCCGGAAAGACGTTTTTGTTTACCGAGCTGCGAAATGCTGGAACAATCCCCAATTGTGCAAGGCAGGCAGCAGAGCATGGTGAAGAGACAACTGTGATGTCAGCACATCCAACGTTCTTGTTCGCCCGAGACAATGCGCCGATCCCTCCCAATCCATGTCGTTGGAAACGAAGGGCTAGCCAAGAGTAAGCTAAGCTAGAGCTAGGCTGCGCTACCAAGAGCCCAGCTAAAAACCGCAACATGTGGTGTAATGCGCGCTTCTGAGAGGCCGCTTTCTGTCCATCATCTACGTCAACAACAACCGCGCGCACCGTGAGGCTCGGAAGCAGCGTGCCGCGGGCGTTTCTTGGCAATGGTGCCAGATGCAAGGAAATAAGACAGAAGAACGAATTGGCAGCTGTCAGACGACGCTGCAAATGCAATGCGATGGATTCGATAGCAATTCGCCGGTGCGTCGGTCGATGCGTCGGCGGCGTTTTTGTAGCTGCGAATCCCCAATCCAATCCCAAGCAGCGGATGCACCATGTGAAAAGGAATGGCATGCCTGAGCAGCCAACGCAGAGTTAAAAGCATATATCGGTTCTATTCTACCTCCGGTTCGTCCGAAGCTGAATGAAATCCTTTGTAAGCCCGAGGCATCTTTGAATTCCAGTGCAATTCTTTGCATCCAGCCAGCAGCCAAGCTTCACTTTTTTAGCTGCTGTTTTACAGGGCAGGCAAAGCAAGCAGAGCCAAAAGCGGGCTTCGCTCTGCGCGGGGAAGAACTGGCACTCCCTCCCCCCCACCCCACACCCCTTCTTTGCCCCTGTGGAGCCCTGGCCATAGTGCCCATTGGCCTCTCAGAGCATCTAGATCGAGCACGCGGTGCATCAGTGGCCTCTGATTGGCTGCGTGTTTATGCTTCTTCGTCTGCTGAGGCTGGACGGAAGACCATCTCGCCTAATATCCGGCGGTGCACTTCTTTTTTCTGGGTTGTCTTTTGCTGCTAATTTACAGTGATATCCAGTCTGTTGGGACGGGGGGCAGATGAACAGTAATGTTAGTAGGAGTGGACTAATAGCTACAGTAGCTGGATGATGTGGTGTTACCTGCTGCTACTGCTACTGTTGTGAACGCGTGCAGCGCTGTGCAGTGCAGTGGTGGTCTTTTTTTTTTTTCCCACCCAGCAATCTATCCCACGTCCAGCCTGTGGCCACCACTGGAAAATTTACAAAAAAAAAAGAAGTGACTTGCTTCTACCTTTTATTTTTTATTAATTCGCATTTTCCTGCTTCTACCAGCTGCCCGCCAGCTGCCAACTCTGCGCGCAATCTCATTACTCTGCTCTTGTGCTACGTCTTTCGATCATCTCTGTGCTCCACCCCACGCCCCCCCCTGGTTCCTCACTACTCCGAATCTGCACGCCCCCTCCGACCCTGGCAACTTTTTTTTTCCGGTGACAGTGCTGCTTTCTAGCTCGTCCGTCCGCAGCCAAAACTACTTTACCCTTCCTACGCCCTCGTCCTCCTAACGTAGTGGAACTCTTCCTCTTTTTCTTTTTTATTCTCTTCTTCTCAATCCCATCTTGGACAATTGACTTTGTTCAGGATTGTTGTTTGAGAAAGATCGACATCGCCTCGCTTTGACAGCTTCGCTTGGCTAGCTTGCCGCTCTACACACCATCGCCCAGACAGAGAGATCTCTTGTCCTACGCCGCCACAGCATACAGAAAATAGCTTGGCAGTATCACTAGCAGCAGCACTTTTCTTCTTTTCAAACCATTCTTGCTCTTTATCTAGACCATTGACGACAACAACCTACACACACGGACACACACACTTACTCACTCTCAAACCATGAGCGAGCAACATCACCACGTCCACCCCGTCCCGGGTGAGATCCCCGTCCCCCACGGCCCTCCCGCCTCGGATGACGGCGACGAGTTTGCCGGCGCCTCTCCTGACGAGAAGCGCATCTTCAGCCACGTCACTCGCCCCGATGACTCCTACACGCCCGAGGGCGTCTACTGGGCCGATCTGCCCTTTGGCGAGCGCGCCAAGTTTGTCGCAAAGGTCGACAAGGAGGCCGCCTCGCAGGAAATCAGCTCCATCATGAGCATGATGAAGACGGATCCCCTCTCCCCCATCTCCTGGTACTTCCGCCACGCCGTCATCCCCGGTGCTGGTCTCGGTCTTGAGGGCTACGTCCTCTTCTCCATTGGTAACTTGGAGCCTCTCTTCAAGGCTGCCTGGCCCGAGTGCTGGGACGACAAGAAGCCCAACGGCATCTGCAGCAAGAACTGGCTCGCCTCCGTTACTTACCTCGAGATTGTCGGTATCATGGTCGGCCAGGTCATTGTCGGTGTCATTGGTGACTGGGTCGGTCGCCGCTGGGGTCTGATTCAGGACGCCATCATCATGTTCATTGGTCTGCTCATGCTCACAGCCTCGTGGGGTCTCACCCTCGAGGGCTGGGTCATTTGCTACGCCTGGTCCCTCTTCTTCTACTCTCTCGGTGTTGGTGGCGAGTACCCCATCACTGCCACCTCGTCGCTCGAGAGCGCCGCTACCTCGGGCAAGCTCTCTACCAAGGAGGATCGTCTGCACCGTGGTCGCCGTGTCACCATGGCTTTCCTCATGCAAGGTTGGGGTCAGTTCGCCAACCAGGTCCTCTTGATTGTCCTCTTCCTCATCTTCAACCGCGGCTACGGCGACCCCCCTGCCTCTGCTAGCCGCGAGGCCTTTGCTCACGCCACACAAATCATCTTCCGCCTCTCGTTTGCCTTCCCCGCCATTGGTACTCTCTGGCTCGTCTACTACCGTACCTGGAAGATGCCCAACGCCTCCAAGCAGCTCGCCCAGGCCAAGGCCCGCACCAACGTCACCGGCTACGACGTCAACGCCCTCAAGTCGTGCTTTGGCCAGTTTGGCGGCCGTCTCCTCGCCACCGCCGGTACCTGGTTCTGCAACGACGTCTTCTTCTACGGTAACAAGCTCTTCCAGGGCGAGTTCATCAAGGTCATCTCCGATAACCCCAAGTCCCTCATGACCACCTGGACCTGGAACCTCGTCAACATTACCGTCTCGCTCGCCGGCTACTACCTCGCCTCGCTCCTGATCGACAACAAGCTCTACGGCCGCAAGATGATGCAGCAGGTCGGCTTCTTCATGTGCTTCCTCATGTTTGTCATCCCCGCCTTCAAGTACGACTACTACAAGTCCCCCGCCGGCATCCACGCCTTCCAGGCCATGTACTTCATCTCGTCCTTCTTCAACCAGTTTGGCCCCAACTCCGTCACCTTCCTGATTGCCGGTGAGGTCTTCCCCACGCCCATCCGTGCCACTGCCCACGGCTTCTCCGCCTGCCTGGGTAAGGCTGGTGCCTTGCTCGCCTCGGTCCTCTACCACTACATTGACGACCAGACTAAGTTCTACGTTGTCCCGTGGTTCGGTCTTGCCGGTATGCTTCTCACTCTTGTTTTCCTGCCCGATACCACCGGTCTCGATCTCAAGGAGCAGGAGCGCCGCTGGCGCTACATCCGCGACGGCCGCGCCAGCGAGTACCACGGTGTTGCTGTCCACCCCCAGCATCTGTCCATGTGGGAGCGCTGGCAGGGTCTGTCCAAGTCCTACGACCCCGAAAAGGACTGGAAGGCCAAGATTGCCGACATGCGCAACGAGTGGGAGCTTGTCCAGTCCGAGCGTGGCCCCAAGGAAACCGAGGCTCACGACCACGGCATGGCTGACGACGGCGAGTTCTCCCCCGAGATCCACGACTACTTCAAGCGCTCTAGCCCCCCTAAGCGCTCTGCTGGTGGTGTTCTCAGCGAGAAGATTGAGGACGACTCCAAATAAAAGCCGCACCCGATGCTGCGCATACTTTCCCTCTTTTTTTTTGCATTCCTTATATAATACAATCAATACGGAGTTTTTTGTGTTGGGTTTGGGTTTGATTCCCCTATTAGATGTCTCAGAATGTCGCATCCGAGCCTGATGAACGGGCTTCTTTTACATACATGCTGTAGATGAGTTTGATAAATACACTTTTTGATATACCACAACAACGTTGATCTGTTTCTTTTCTTCTGTGTTAATGATGTACTGTCTATTAACATGAACTAGTGTAACAAAGATCATTTACAGGCAAAGCTATATAAATACTACGAAAATTTGGAGAAGCACTGTAAAGTTCGTTTCGTCTACTCACAGCTCAGCCTTGGCGTGGCCGTTGGCCTCTGCGGCGGCGAGATTGCGAGCGCCCTCTTCGTTGCATAGCTGGAACGATGCGCCGGACGCAGCGCGGACACCTACACGTTTATTAGTCTATATCCGTTTGTTTATTCGTATGGTTTTCACTTACCGGTGCCCATGGCCACTGCAACCTGCTTCAGCAGCTGGCCAGCATCACCAGGTACAAAGCAGCCCGGCAGACTAGACTCTGTGAAGAGCGGGTTGACTAGCACCTCAGTCGTGTTATCAATGTGCTTGAGACCAAGCTGGTCAATCAACTTCTGTGAGCGATTGACAGTCGGGGGCTTGTGCACCAGCAGACCCAAACTGATCTTCTGGCCGTCTTCAAACTCGACGCCGATATCGTCGCCCTGGTTGATTAAGCGGCGAATGGGCCGGTTGTCGAGATGCACGCCGCTCGCCTGTGCCGTGCGAATGGCCTTTTGGACGGCGTCGTCAGTCTTGGCCGGGCCGTTGGTGTAGATGGTGACGTTGTCGGAGAGATGGGTGGCCATGATGGAGAGACCGGCGTAGCCTGGGTTGGAGAATTCGAGGATACCAATGGGCTGGCCCTTTTTCTCGAAGCCGTCGCAGTAGAGACACTGGTAACTATATACATCACGGTGGTGTAAGTCTAACAATCAGACAACAACAGACAAGCAAAGGCCAGACAAGACAGATGACCAGACTTACATGTGGGAGGGCCAGTTCTCCTTGTATCCCTCAATATTAGTCGGCAGCACATCCTCCGTGCCCGTCGCCAGAATCAGCTTGCGCCCGCGATACGTCGCATTCTTGCTATCGACAAGCTGGTAGCCCATGTAGCCGCTGCCAATGTCAATGTTGGCCGCCTGCTCAATCTGCCCCGTGCAGAACTGAATGGTCGGGTACTTGTGCATCTGCTTGTGCGCAATGTCGCGAAACTCTGCGGGATCCTCGCCATCGCGGGACAGGACGGTGTGCATGGCGCGCACGCCGGCGTTGCGATACTCGCCAGAGTCAAAGACGAGCGCGGTGCGGTTGATGCGGCCGAGGGCGAGGGCGGCAGAGAGGCCGGCTGGGCCGCCGCCGACAATCAAAGCGTCAAAGATGGCCGGGCTGTGCATTTTCTGATTCTTTGTTGTTGTTGCTGTTGTCAACCGTCTATTCAATGCCCACGATGCCGTGCGAACCAGTGTGTTTTTAAATACTAGCATCTATAAAGAACAGTTTACTCCAAAAAGATGACGCCACCAGCCAAACTGTTTAGTCTTGGAGAGCGTGTGTGTCTCTCTCTCGGCGACCGAAAGTATATACTGCAAGTTAAAACTTGGTGTCTGTCTCGTATACTCTATGTTTCGGTGGCCGAAATGCCCTTGCTGCCCCTGCATACATGACCAACATATTGCCCGCCCCCTTTCTTTTCGGATTCAGTCACGGGAATTGGATTAATAATTTTGTTTGCAGCCCATCCGGGTTCCGTCCGGGCACACAAAACACATGTCGTCGCGCTTATATCTGGCGTGTTGTGCGGTTCATCGGACACATCTCGGACACTTTCGATCGCCTTTATTAACCCGCGATTTTCTCGATCGCTTACACGCACCCGCCAAGCCCACCCAAAACTCATACCGGCTACTTTTTACCTAAAGCCTTGTACGCATCTGATCGCTTTTCTATCCATTTTGGATTTCTTTTTTGTGTCTTGTTGCCATGCCTAGTGGTGGTGGTCTTCCGCCATATGGCGACATAACCAAGCCTGCCGTGGCCTGGGCCATTGTGATAGTTGCCTGTATCGTCGCGTTCCTAGACTTGTTCCAAAGCTCCATGGTCATCTTTGGTCTGACGGAGATGAAGGATGAACTCAACTTTACGACCGGCGATCTCAACTGGGTGCTGGTGGCCTACACGCTGACGTTTGCTACCACGCTTCTTGTGGGTGGCCAGCTTGCGGACCGCGTTGGCTTGCGAATTACCTTTCTTATTGGCACGCTCATGCTGGTGTGGCCCAATATCCTCGTTGCTTGGGCTCCCAATAAGAATGCGCTTCTTGCTGGCCGTGCGTTGGCTGGCATCGGCGCCGCCCTGACTGTAAGTGGTTGTGTCTTTGCTCTGCATATATTGTCTAACAGGATTGTATACAGTGCGCTACTGGAATCCCCATCATCAGCCACACCTTCCCGCCAGGCAAAGATCGAAACAATGGCCTGGCTACATATGTCTCGACCGGCCCGATCGGCACCGTGCTGGGCGTCATCTTCGGAGCCTTGCTCACAGCCTCGCCTGCTGGGTGGCGCTCCATGTTCTGGGTCAATTTTATTCTGGCTGCCGTTGCTGGTATAATTGGGTTCTTCCTGATTCCCGACTTTAAAGTCGAGGGATCGCGTAAGTTTGACTATCTCGGCACGGCGGCATTTATGGCGGGAACATGTTTCCTTGTGTACGGCCTGAATGACGCAGTCAACTTGGGATGGGGCCATCCTGCCATCATTGTCTCTCTCATCCTGGGAGTCTTGTTCCTCGCTTCATTCCCTGTTGTGGAAAGCAAACTGGACGAGCCCGTGGTGCCCTTGTCCATCATGCGCAACCCCCATGTGCTTGTGCCCTTGACCACGTTTGCCTTTGTCGGCGGCGGCTGGTAAGTTTTTTCGATTTCATGTGCACTCCTCCTTCAAAAAATATTAATCGTGTATTTATTAGGGTCACCTGGTTCTTCTTGGCCACCGAAGTCTGTCTCAACTCGCTTCACTATGAGACTGTGCGGGCCGCCTGCTACTTTCTGGTATGTTTACTGTTGTTTATACAGTCATAAAAAAACAAGAAACCCCAGCTAACCAATTTTATTCCTTTTCATAGCCTGCAACCGCAGTATCCATCATCGGTGGCGCCGTTGGCAACAAGCTCGTCGGCAAGGGCTACACCAAGCGAGTCATCATCGTCGGATACATCATGTCCGTCGGAGCTCTTGTGCCCTGGGGCTTCGTCGGGCCTCAGTTTGGCATTTGGTACGTCATTGTCTTTGCCATGCTCTATCTGGCAGCTGCTCCAGCCATTGCGTGTGCTGGCCAGGCTATTGTCCTGCACGAGATCCCTCTAGAGGACCACGGCATGGCATCTGCTCTCATGAACGTCATGTACCAGTTTGGTAGCTCTCTCCTGCTTGCTCTGGTAAACGTTGCCATGGGCTCGACGAAGAAGACGGGCAACTCCGAGGAGCAGCTTTTGAACCAGTACCATAACGGCGCATGGGCCCTGTTGGGTCTTACTGCTGCTGGTCTGGTCTTGTTCTTGGTCTTTTACGCTCGCCGTGAGTCATCCAAGGGAGGCATGATCAACAAGACAGCTGATGGCGATGCTGTTACTCCCCAGGAAACAAAGGAGGAAGGAAAGGAATCTGGAGAGGTTTGAAGAAGTCTCCAGTGAATGTGTCCGAGTGTGAAACAAAAATAGTTTTTCTTTTTCTCACTTGCTTTTGCTTTCTTTTGCCTTGCGTTTCCCTTCTTTACCCAATAGAGCGCTTCGCTCTTGGGATCCTGTAATATCCTATGTATTGACTTGATCGCTTGTTTCTTTGCCAAGTACTTAATTTAATTCAACTATTCTTAGTACTAGCTCTGCTCTATTCGTATATAAAAAAGTCTCTAGCTAATAATCTTTTCAATTTCATTCCAATACTGGCCATAGCCTGCTTACATATTTCCCTGCAGACAATAAACAATATATCAGATCTGTGTCAAAGAAACCAGGCTAAGCAGCCAGCCCTATTACGCCAGTGGCTTCTGCGCCCAGACAATGTAATGGCGAATGGCAGTTTCATACTGATCCATGTCCTGGGCAAATTTCTCTGGCAGCGCAGACCACTCCTCCTGGGTCATATTGAAATCTTCGGGGCTGATAGAACGTTAGCTTTGGGACAAGATATCGTAGAATTACGGGATTCTTTTCAATTCATACCTTGTGACCGACTGGAAATAGTTGAAAATGGCAAGCATGTTTGCATGGCCACGCTGGCCTAACTCAGGGTTGCGATGTGCTTTACCCGCCACCATGTCCCGGATATCAACGCCGACATTGACAAAGCCTGCCTGTTCAAGACGACCAGCCAGCTTTGTTGAAGCTGCATTGTCTGCCATGACATGGCCGGTCAAGCGGTGAATCATCTCGAAAGCGGTTGCCTTGCCCTTGGGCGATGACACGCAGGTTCGGAAATCGGGTTCGACGAATTGGACCCAGCCGCCGGGCTTGACACACGAAAGCAGATTGGTTAAAACATGTGAGATCTCCTCTTCGCGGAAGAGGGAAATGACAAATCGTTCATGGACGAGGTCAAAGGAATTGGTCCAAGCCGCAGGGAATGGCTCGATCAAGTTTTGCACTTCCAACTTGATATTGGGGCCCAAGATTTGTGCAGGTGGGAATAGGTTAGGTCTAAATATGATTATAAGTTAGTGTTGTCCTTTCAAACAGGAGGTTTTTGAATAAACCTACGCAATGTCAAACCCGACAAACTCTGTTTCCCTCGGGACAATGCACTGGGCATCTTGAATCCAGTAGCCTTGTTTTGTTAGCAAAGGTCTCATTTGATATCACATATAAGTAGTAACATACCGTCAGCTGTAGCAGCATCTAGAATGCGAAGATCCTTCTTTGTCATGTCCAGCGGGGCCTTGATAAGACCGTCCGCGCAGCCCTTTACCCATTCGTGCTGGTTCTGCATTCGCTTGATTTCCTCCACATTGTGAGGGAGAATGTACCGCTCTCGCAAGCTCTGCACAGTCTCTTCTAAAGTGGTAGTAGTGGCAGCCATGTTTGTATCAAGTCGTAGTGAATGTTGGCTCTGTTGAACAACTCTGTACGCGTATATGGAGGAGCCCTTCCACGTTTAAATAGCCCATCGGTAGTATAGATTCATGTTTCATGAGAGGATAGGCTTCAGTCTTACATCCATTCGGTCTCCGAACGAACTCTATATGTCTCCGAGCGTTTGGTTCTATCTGTGGCTGTAGATCCCATCAGACGCCACCGGATAAACCAAATAGGCTGGGCCGAGGGACAATACTGTAAGACTAAAGTTGCGTGATGAGGCTTAGTTAGGCGAGGGTGGGTTTTTGATAGCCAAATAAGGAATAGTAAGCCTCCCGGGGGCCGAGTTTTGGTGAATTGGAAACAACATTGAACTCTACAGTAAGCTACCCAAGGTTCTCCTAGGCAACTGGGGAATTTTATATGTGAGCTAGCTAGTAAGAATACTATAATGTATTATGCTTTGCACAACTGGTTAAAGACAATGGCATGAATTGACTAGAAATCTGTGTACTCCATTCCTATCTAAGCCTCAAGTCTTGTACTAGACAAATGGCAAGACTTGTCTCTGCCCGGCCAACTTGACGTCAGATGTTTCCTTTTTATTCATGTCCCATCTTGGCTACACGTTCTCGAGCCCGCTGCACTGCTGGTCGAGCAAGCATGCGACGGCTCCAATCGACAATGTGAGGCCACTTGCCAAGGTCCATGCCAAACAGGTCGGCGCATTCTTCATTTGCAAATGGGATTGTTGCAATATCTGCAATGGTTGGACGGTCCTTGAGGGCGAGGTACTGCTGGCCAGGCTCGGCGAGTCTGTTTTCGAGGATATCGTATTGCTTCTCCACGTTGCTTTTAAGTCTGCCCACGTAGTATTATGAATTAGTAACTAGTGCCAACAATATGTGGTTCTATGCTCTTGACGGGAAACAAAAAACTCACTTGGCAACCGTCTTGGGAACCTTTTCCTCAAATAGTCTTTCAAAGTACAACCAGTACTTGGCAGTAGGGCCCAACCCGGCGGTATGCAACGTCAACCAGTTACCAATCTCGGCGCGTTCAGCGACTGTGCGTCCACCAAAGTCTCCGTTTCTGTCATAGGCATCTGCAAGATACGTCAGCGTAGCAGTGGACTCCCAGACGGAAAACCGGTGGTTGCTATGCGCCGAGTCTTCCAGAGCAGGGACCATCTTGTGAGGGTTGACCTTGTTGAACCACGGAGCCGAGACGCTCTGTACAACATAGTAGCTGTGTGGGATGTTGAGTTCTTCGATGAGGATCAATGGCTTGACAGTGTTGTGCGTGGAAGTCTGTGTTGCTGTAGATGGGAAGTCTTATTAGCTCTTTGTGCACTGACTGCAACAGGATAGTCCATCTACCAACCTTTGACCACAAACAAGACTAAACCTTCTGAGGGAATGTCCTTGGGACGGTCCTCGATAGAATCTACAGCCATGTCTGTGATGTTGCTTTGACGTCTTTACGATGATGTGCGGTGTGCCGTCTGAGGTATGCGATGAGAGTAATGGTGGTTATGTCCGAGGAGGACCTCGTGTAAATAAAATACCTTGAATAAAATACACTGAAATTATATTTACTCGTATCTCGTTCTTCCATATCCGATCGCACAACGATATTTTTGCGCCTTGTCGGTCGCCGATGACACCCTAACTACAGCACACCCGGCGACCGAAAGCGCTATGCTGCGTATCCGATCTGACAGCGCAGATACATGCAAATAATAATACCGCCGAAAATATAAAAAAATTCCAAGATGTAACAGTAACAGTAGCAATCTCCAGTTCAGTTGGCAGCAAACCATGTTGCGTCTTGTCTCACTCTCCATTGTGGTCTGTGGCACCGTGTTAGCCGCTGTCTCGCTGCAAGCCAGGCTCAACAACAAGAGACCGTATGAACAGGCCATCGGCAGTATTGCGGACGAAAGAGGCATTCCAGACAGGAAGAAAGAAGCAAAGACAGAACCGGCAGACACGTCGGATCGATCCAAGGAGAATGTCGCCTGGTTCTTAGCCAAACATGGGCGACAGCTCAAGCGAATCGCAGGAACCAAGCCACGAATTGATCTCATGACGGCAGAGAATTGGATCATGCGCGACCGGATTGTTGCCATCTACAAGAAGAATCTGGAGGACTGCGTTGAGCCAAAGACGCTCTCCTATATGCCTGGCTTAGGTGGTGATCCTGAGCTCTTCGAGGCGGCTGCTTCTTTCATCAACCGCTTTTTCAAGCCATGCAAGCCTGTTACTGCGAAGCAAATGGTTGCAGGAGCGGGCTGCAATGCCATTATTGAAAATCTGCTGTACGATATCTGTGACAGAGGCGATGGACTCTTGATTGAGGTTCCCTACTGGGGTATGTGTGCTTTTTCGTTTACAAAACAAATCCAAAAATAAAGTCTTTTCTAAATACTAACCTCTTTTGTAGCTGGATTTGAAACATGCTTTGTCCTGCGCACCCAGGTCCAGCAAGTCCATGTATACCCTCCTTCGTCATCTTCACCCGAAGCACTGGTCGGCGAGTATCAAAAGGCATTGGCGCAGGCAAATCGGCCCATCAAGGCCCTTTTGTTTTGCAACCCGCATAATCCCAAGGGCACAGTGTATCCTCAATCGCACATTGAGGCGCTTCTTCGGTTCTGTGAGCAAAACGACCTGCACTTTATATCCGATGAGATTTACGGCCTGTCCGTTTTCAACACCAAAGACACAGGAGGCTTTGTTTCTGTGCTCCAAATAGACCTTGAGGCACTTGGCGTGAATCCCAACCGGGTACATATGGTGTACAGCATCAGCAAAGACCTTGGCAGCAGTGGTTTGCGTACTGTAAGTCCCTCCGCCTTTTGTTATACGGCTTGAAACTGACTGGAAATCATATATAGGGATTCCTCGTCACGCAGACCCATGATAAATTGCGGCTGTCCGCAGCAATCGCCAATCACTCACATGTCTCGACGCTAAACTCGGCCGCCATCACGCGCTTGTTACGTGACGACGCGGCCATGGATAGCCTTATAGCTGACACACGCACCGGTCTTGCGGAAGCTGCGCGCACCATGGCCAATTTTCTTTCTTTTCATAAACAGGAGTTTCTCCCTCCAGTTGCTGGTGTGTTTGTTTGGGCTCGTTTAGGCGGTAGTCAATGCACTTGGGCGCAAGAGTCGCAGCTTCAGGATAGGCTGGAGGAGTGCGGAGTGTCTATGAGCGCTGGTTCAGGCTATTATGCTGTGGAGCCAGGCTGGTTTAGATTGAACTTTGCGTTGGAAAAGGATACCATGCTTCAGGCGATGAGGAATATTGAGGATGCACTTGGGCTGACACAGCGATGGAGCCCCAAGGCGGAATGACGTGGTATCGCATTCACAGTTTCACCCTCTCCTCTTTCTTTTTCCTTCTTTCTTTGACTTTTCGTTTTTATTGATTTTACATTCATTAGTATCGAATATTTTCTATAGTTTTCTCTGAAACCTGTATATATCTCTACACTTCTATATGCCATTCGTAGCCTCTGTCTTGTCTTGAAGTCTTCGTTTTCCTTCCTTGACAAGCATATCGCGTATATCGTCCGTCCATCTTGTTGTAATGTCGTCCAACGCTGGCCGAATAGACGGGTTTCTTTGAAGACTTGCAGCCACGGCATCCACATGGTCCATGACACGCAGGATATTCAAGCCAAGAACCTGCTTTACTTCGTCGTCCGTCACACCCAGCCCAAGGAGCCTTTCCACCAAGGCTGGATAGTCTGTGACTTGATCTAGTCTTAAAGGACCCCGTAGCATACCATCAAAATCGGAGCCGACTCCCACGTGTGCGTAGCCAATTCTCTTGCCCATGTACATGATGTGGTCTACTACGTCTGCCAATGTAGCCCTTTCATTTCCTTCTTTAGTGACGTGTGCTTCCAGAAAGCAGACCATGACAACGCCGCCATTGATTTTGACCAAGTCTAGCACTTCATCATCCACATTGCGTACGTGTGCTGTAAGTGCATGACTGAGTAACCATGGTTAGCATAACTGTTTGAGATGACACGAGAAGTAGAGCAGCTTAGACATTACCATGATGAATGCGAAAATATCACTGGCGCAACGCTTGTTTCCAGGGCTTGGAGTTGTACGGCTTTGCTCGTATGAGAAAGATCTACCATACTATAACAAGATTAGCCGATACGTATCTGTTGCAATAATTCAATTGTTCCATCTTACAGGCCAACCCGGTTCATCTCCTGGACCGCAGCTCTTCCGCGCTCGGAAAGTCCATTATGGGTCGGATCCGCAGTCTACAGACATCATTAGCCGGTCACAAACCCCATCATTATCAACGTAACTTACAGACGCGTCGGCGAAAAGGTTATTCTTTGTATGTGTCAACGTGACATAGCGAACTCCAAGCCTGCGATACATGCGCAGCACGCTGAAACTGTTGCCGATCTGATGAAGGCCTTCGACGCCAATCAAGCAGGCGATACGGCCACTGCGAAAGACATTCCAGACTTCCGTTGCTGTTTCTGCAAAGCCGAACCGTGTAGGATACCGTTCGACTATGCGATGGATCAAGTCAATCTGCTGTAATGTAGTGCGGATGATTTGGAGAGATTCTAGCGCAGGGTCGTGTTCTTCGGGAGACTTGGGGCTGCAGAACTTCCAAGTTAGAAAAGAAAAATACTCGATACTATTCCAATACTTAAAGCACAAAATAAAACGTACCAGGGGACATATGCGCTCCAGAACTGAGCGCCGAGCAGACCTTGTTCTAGCCGGTGTAAGTCAGTTTGGCCGATGGGAATCGAGTCGAGGTCGATGTCTGGCTGTCCTAAATGACTTTCAAACCATTCTCTTATGTTCCACGGCCAATCATTATGCCCATCTATATGGCGATATTTAGTGATTCAATCCTTTTTTACAAATTGGATATATAGGGTAGCAACGCACCAATGAGAGGCACTTCGCGCAGGATGCGTCTCGCTGCATCAGTATAATTTGCTATTTTGTCCATTATGTGATGATCTCGTGTGAATATCGAACAGTACTCATATTAAAATTCCAGATTTCCCGTTATTTGATATAAATGTGGCGTCTTGACAGCGTGCGCCAATGCTCCAACGATGCAGCAATTCGGTCACCGAAACAGGTGGAGGCGTTGTTAGCTACTACTACGGTCCAACAAGAAAAATAAGGAAAAACGGAGATAATGAAAATGACATCACAATGGTTCTATTACAACGCCTTTTGCTTGACGACAACTTCCCACGGCATTGATCCGCGGATTCGGCCATCGCCTCGACCCCATACAAAGGAATGAATCATGTTGTGATAAACCCACATGTACGAGTACCCCTTGATCACGAGATTAGAAATCCACGGCCGGCAATGGCCATTGGCATCCGAGTTGGACTTCATTACCTTGACGAGCATCCGCAGCGTCGGCTTCCAAAACGAGAGAAACGTGCTCGCACCGACCCTTGTCCATAGAGACGACGGCGGCTCAAAGGCCTTGATGTCGGCAAGGAAGTCTTTGTAGTCTTTCGGGAGGTCGTGTTCTTCGGCGCCCGTCATTAAAAGCCCCTGTATAGGTGTTAGGAAGCCGATCACGAGAATACGAGTTGGACAACGCACCAGGTAGCGCTGGCTAGGCGTGGCATTTGGCCGGAACGGATACTTGGCTTCCAGAGTATACACCGTCAATGTCGACCCTATGCTGTGACCGGCCGTGGCATCGTCGTGGCGGAGCACGTCGGCCTCAATGGCGATCTCGCGGTACGCCGAACCGCCTCCCTCGCTTTTGACCAAGGCGACGTAGTCGGCGCGCGTAATGAGATAGGCTATTCCGTGGATTGGCGGTAATTCAGCGGGAGGTCCAAGCCTGAGCACTGTGTCGGTGGTGACTTGGGACATGGGAGCGATGCTGGCCATGGAGGGCTCGCTAAAGGGCATCCCGAAGATGTCAAATGTGAGGACGTGTGTCGGGATCTTGACGAGTGCCTTGTCCAGCGGCGTCATTCCGCGATTGGCCATGACGGAGGATCTCATGTTGGATCCGTAGGCGAAATACCAAACGCTATCGCCGGTGGGAGGCTCAGCTGGGTCGGTAGTAGCAGCCATGTTTAGGTTAGTTTTCGTGGATCAAAGGCAGTGTTGGTAAGTCGAGGGTTGTTTTCGAGGATATATATACAGAATCTCAAGTGATGCGGAACAGAAAAAAAAGTCATTTATGTCATTTTTGTAGGGAAAAGGCGAAGTGGGATGGTGAATGTATATAGTTGCCGATCGGTCACCGATAACCCGGAAAGCCGACCTTGATGCCTGCTTTTGGAAAGTTCTATATTTCGACAGAAATAATTCAATATATACACTATAAATATCTACATAAATAACAACTCAAAGAAAAAAACATACTCTATAATCTAGTTCAGTTTCCTTTACAGCTCCGTGAACCTCTTCACAACAGACTCCATAGACTCGACAATGGAATCCATAGTCTTGGTTGATATCCTGTCGCAATCATATTCAATGCGCACCACCCATTCCGTCTCGGAATACTCTGTCCACTCAAACATGATTAAGAACTTGGCGCCACTCGCGCATACAGGCACAGGCTCAACGTGGCAGTTTGGTGTCTTGAGGAAGTTGGATGGCCCATTGTCCAGGTGGAATGTGACCATGACTTCAAACACTGGATGATGGGGTGTGTTGTATTCCAACTGTAGAATATCCATCAGACTTGCAAACGGTACGGCAGCGCCCAGAGCTGCCTGACTTGCTTTCCGAACGCCTTCCAAGAATGTAGCAGGGGAGGGATTCTCCTCTTCCCATTGGATTCGGATGGGAAGACGGTCAAGCAGGGGTCCAACAGACTCTCGCTCCGCCAGATCGACTCTTCCCGAGATGGGCGCACCCAGAACCAAGTCTTGTTTACCAGTCATCTTTGCCAAAGCTTGTGCCACTACGCCCAAGGCGATGTGGTGACGGGTCAAGGGTGAACCTTTGGTCATCTGGATGAGACGCCGGCTCAGCTTGGCAGGAATGGGAACCAAACGTGATGCTCCGTTGAAGCGAGTCGAGGTTGGGAGTAGTTCTATGGGAAGTGTTGAGGGGGTATCTCGCAAATACTCTTTCCAAAAGAATTCGTCTTGTTGGTCTGGCATTTGCTTCCATCGGTTCAAGCCCAGATAGTCGGAGATTGTTTGTTTGACCAGACCTTGATTCTTATCGTTCATGACACCAGAGACCTGAGCAAAGAGGTTCTGCAGGCTGTTCAAGTCGGCAATCATGTGGCTAGCAACAAGGAGCATCGTGTCTTCCCAGAACGATACGCGGATGAGCTGATCGTGTTCCAGATCAAACGGCCTGTTAATTGCGGCTTGGACATCTAGTACGGGAGACTCGCATACTTGAGGCGCGCAATGGCGAAGGCCTCTATGTGGTGTTCCGTATTCGTCGTACGAATAGCTTGACCGGAAGATGTCGTGGCTAGCAAGAACGGCATTCATTGCGGTGATGAGGGATTGCCGGCAAAATGATCCCGAGAAACGAAGCAATAGCGGGATGTTAAAGGTGGTGGTGGAAGTTCCCACGCTGTGCTGAAAGAGCTGGAACTTTTCCACAGACGAAAGTTCGGTTGGGGGTGTTGGTGAAGAAGCATTTGTGGTATCTATCTGATTATCATTGTCCTCACGTTGCTGCTTTTGTTCTTCCTGCCGACGACGAATGAGAGCTACCTGATCCGCAAAGGTATCTCGTTGAATCATGTCTCTTGGGGATATCTTGACGCCAAAGCGGCACGATAGTCGTGACGAGAGAAGCATCTGCAGAATGGAATGGCCTCCCAGGCTTAAGAATCCGTCACATGGCTTTAATCCTCTGTTGGGATCCAACCCAAGCAAGTTCTTCCATTCTTCCGCCGTTCCACTTGCAATTGAATCAAAGACTGGGGCAGCAGGCGTGGTCTGGGACGGTGATGATGTCTGTATAATGTCTCCCTCGCGCAGTTTAGACTCGAGAAGCTTCGTGTCTACTTTACCGTTGGGGGTAAGCGGCAACTTGTCCATAGAAACCCATCGTTGGGGAACCCAAACGGGAGGAAGCTTCTCCAAGAGGTTTGCTTTTACTTTTCCCGTGTCAATGTCCGCTGGCTCAACCACAGCAACAAGACCATCGTTGATGCAGAGAACCACGGCAACACCGATTCGCGGCTCGACTGCGTAAATCTGTCGTTCCACAGATGGAAGCTCGACACGGAATCCTCGGACCTTGATTTGTCGATCTAGACGCCCAAGGCAAGCAACTTTGCCATCATGGCTCCAGCGTCCCAAGTCGCCCGTCTTGTACATCAACTGCCCAGGGTGCCATGGATCCGGAATGAAGCGAAGCTTTGTTTGCTCCGGTGAGTTGAGATATCCGCGGCAAAGTAACTGACCACCCAAGTAAATCTCTCCTACTGCACCCGGAGGCTGGTGGCGTAGTTGTCGATCCAGTACATACATGCGTGCTCCGCGGAATGCTCTACCGACGTTGATGGAGCTATCGCTAGTCATCTTTTCCATAGAGAGCCAAATGGTTGTCTATAAAATATAGAAGGTTAGTTGCGCCAAGTCTTATGTTGATATACACCAACACCCGAAAGAACGTACCTCTGCTGGGCCATAGACATTGTAAAAGGTTCGTCCTGGTGCCCAACGACGGATCAGACCGGGAGTGCAAGGTTCGCCGGTGGAGTAAATCTGCAAAAATACAGTCAAAATTGGAATGTTGAAAGAAGTAGAAGATGAAAGAAACTTACTGTATGGAGATTGCAAAAGTCGGCTGGATTGAGCGCCGCCATCAGTGAAGGCGTCATGGCTGTGATGTCTGCCGTCTTGAGATGGCGATACGGATCCTCTTTGTTCTTCAACACCAATGTTCCGCCATGAAGCAAGGAAGCAAAGATCTCGTTCACACAGACATCAAAGGCTGCCGTCATCATCTGTGCAATCTTGACTCCCGGGCCGCTAAACATGGTGGCCTCCTTCGTCGCCTGGAGGGCCAGGATACTCTCATGGCTGAGGGGAACGCCCTTTGGAATGCCCGTGGTGCCAGAAGTAAAGACAATTACTGCATCTGATTTAGTTTCGATAGGAATACAAACGTTGTCAACGGGGTCACACTGATACTGAAGAAGAATGTCTTGAATGATTAGCGGTTGACCTCCCCGGCACGGGTTTTGCGTTGCTTGTTCCCGGCTGGGAAACAACACGCCGGAAGCATTTGCAGCTTCACATACAGCCTCTTGTCGAGACAATGGATATGCGGGGTCCAGCGGACAATAAGGCCGGCCAGCCTTGATAATGGCCATGATGCCCACGATCCAAAGCAGAGTACCGTCGGCATGAATGACAATAGGGCGGCTTGGAGGAAACTCGTCACAAATCCTCTGAGCCACGATATTCGCTTGCTTGTTAAGCTCTGTATAGGAAAGGGAGTCTTGCCCTGAGATGAGCGCTGTGAGATTCGCATGCTTGGTGACAGATCTATCAAACTGCTGCTGAAGCGTCATCTCTTCGAGTCCGACAAACGGCTCATAGGGAAAGTTCCACTCTCCCATAACTTTATTATGCTCCTCTTCGGATATAAGACCAAGCATACAATCGTCCATCTCGGCCTTGTCGCAAAGACCCTGCAAACTCCGCTGGAAACGAGCAGCCATGTCCTCCACATCCACACGGCTATAGCAAGTAGGATCCCAAACAAGACGAAACACACCGCCATCATCAATCAAAAGACTAAGAGGAAAGGCCGTGTTTTCAAATGCAGATTCACCAAGACACGGGATGGTCTCTTTGTGCTTTGGCATGTCATACTGCAGCGCAACCACGGAGCACACTCTGTGGTCAACTTGTCGAGGGGTGCACCAGGCCATGTCTGCCAAGTCGCAGAGATGCTTGAAAACAGTCTGTAGCTGCTGATTGACCGTTGTTTGCGGCATAATGCGTACAATCAGAGGCAGCGTGGCCATGAGAGGCCCAATCACAGTGTCGGTGATGCGGCCGGATGTTCGGCCCGAGACAACCGCACCAACAGTAACAGTGTCTCTGTCGGTAAACTTGGAAACAACCATGGCCCATGCCGTGTAGAAGAGAGTAGCAACAGTGACCTGGTTGGCAGAAGCACATTTGGCCAGCGTGGTCATGTCGGCAGGAGACTCGAACCGAATCTCCTCGGCCATCTCGACGGGTTCTCCTCCAGGCTTGACCAGACCAAGGTCTTCAATCACAGCGACATCTTGAAGATACTTTTGCCAGAACTGTCGTGCCATTTCGTCTTTATTCTTCTGTTTGTCTATCAAAGACCACGCCGCCGTTGTGAATGGCTGGCTGTGCTGGATGCTTCGGGCACCAGTAGCAGCAGCTTCTTCGACTTTGCTAAGGATGGCGGCCATGGCAAAGCCGTCAGCTAGACAATGGTGAACTGTGAAAACAACCGTGATTTCTGCAAAAGAAGCTTCATCACAGCCTTTGGTGGAATCGCAAATGATGATATCCAGTTGTGCTCCCAGACCAACCTTGAAGCCAACTTGGGCAATCGCTTTTTGGTATTCGGCCATTGACGAGACTCTGACGATCCGGGGAGACGTCAAAGATTCTGCTCGGATGATTTGCATACCGATACCGCTCTCTAAATGGAATTGCGTTTTGAATACGGGCTCAGATGCCCACACTAGTCTCCACGCCTTCTCGAGCACCGAGGCATGTTCCAATGCGTAGCGGCGGCGAATCTGGTTCGTATTCTTTCCGTCGATATTTAATGTTGACTGGGCAAACTCGAGTTGCATTGGCGTCATCAACGAAACAGCATCGCTCAAGATCTCGGCGGCCGTGCTATCGCTTGCCGTTGATGCCACTTCCGATGATGCTAGTTCTTCTGAATCTGAAGAGTCCGCTGTATTGTAATATTTGTGACGTGAAATGGGTTGCTCCAAGTTACCGGCGTCGCAAATAGCCTGGATTGTCGGATTGTTGTATACATCTCGGAGAGAAATGTGAAGCTTATCAGAAGCACAGAGCGACACAATCGTCATCAGGTCGAGAGACGAAGCTCCCAGCGAGAGAAGATTGGTGTCTAGGTCAATGATAGTTGCTTTCTTCAGTAATAGTACCTCTCTAATTCGTCGTTCGAGAATTCTGAGCTTTCTTGACTGCAAACACTCGGGTTCTTCCTCACTCAGTACATCTGGAAGCTCTGGTTCGACGCTTTGGTTTTCGAGAAGATGTAGAATGGCCGCTGGGTTTACTTTGCCATTCGCCGTCATGGGAAGCCTATCAACTGCCATGATGGAATCTGGAATGGTAAAGCTCGAGAAGCCGCCCTCCACCATGGCATCTCTGACTTGTGCAGTATCAACTGTTGCTGGATATACAAGGGCAACGAGCTTCTTGCGAAACATGGTAGCGTGAGCACCTTGGATACCGAGACCGAGAGACGTCATGGGAGTTTGCACGTCGGCATCCAGATTGATGAGAAAGCCGCGGTTCTTGGTGACTCGATCTTTTCGGCTGCGGAAGACGACAACCTTCTCGCCGTTGCACGTCTGCTTCCATTTGCCATAGTCTCCTGTTCGGTAGCATCTCATACCATTCCATTGGATAAAGGCAGCATTTGTCTTTTCGGGATCGCAAAAGTATCCATCCGCCAGACCAATGCCACCGACAAGTATCTCTCCCTCTTGGTCATCGCCAACCACAGCATTCAGATCCGCATCCACGAGATATACTGGTCCATTTTCCATGGGCTTTCCAATAATGCTAGGGTCGGGGTCTTGCATATAATCGTCGTATCGAATGGTATGCATTAGTGATGCGACTGTGGATTCTGTCGGACCATAGGCATTCAGAATCTTTCGAGCAGGACTGCACCATGCCTCTATTGTGCAGGATGGAATTGCCTCTCCGCCTAGAAGAATGGTGTGTAGTCGCGGGTAAACAACAGAAGCCGAGCCTGGAGAATCGACAGGAGGGGGAAACGAGGCAATGATGGATGGCGTAGCGGTCCAGATGGAACAAGACTTGGCCTCGGCGAGAATGCTGCATTTACTCGCGGGAACTATGGTACCTGCACCGGCAATAATGGAGAATAACATGCCTGTAGAGGCTACACGGGAGTTTGTTAGCGGATAAGAGATGACTGGTGCTGGGAAAGGAGGTTGTGTACTCACCATCAAATGCTACCGACAGGATATGCAGTACTCTGTCTTTTGGCTGGACATCCATATTGAAGGGAGAAGTGATGGCGTAATTGATAATCGATCTATGAGGCAGCATGACGCCTTTTGGCTTTCCAGTAGAGCCACTGGTGAAGATGATGCATGCGAGGGTAGACGGTGTTAGTTGGACGGACGTCATATCTGAACAGCGTTCCAACTTGTTGAGGATGTGAATGTCGTTGAAGTGAAACACACTTTGACTGTGACGAGGTGTGAAGAGCTTGGCTGTTGTATTGATAATCATTTTGCCGTCCACTGTACTCAGGACGGTTTCGATTCTCTCTTCCGACCAGCTATCCCTATCCATAGGCACATAGGATGCTCCTGTCTTGAGAATACCTAGGAGAGCGACAATGTTGCGTGTTCCATGTGTTGTAAGCAGAGGAATACGGTCTCCTGGCTGTACTTTGAAGTGTTGTTGTAAGTGGCTTGCAAAGAGAGCCACGTATTGTTCGAGCTCGGCGTAGGATAACGAGCCTTCATCGTGATCTACAGCAAGACCAACGCTGTTGCGTTTTGCTGCAAGTGACAATAAGTCACATAAAGAATCTGGTTGACAATTCATATTGCACTAAATAAATAAAACACGGCGCAGTAAATCAGGTTGAATGATGTTGATGATACTGTAGCACCGAGAGCAACTCTAGCAATATGCCTGGGTTAGGTAGGTAGTATTGCATAAAGCTTTTAAGTATTCAATTTAATAGTTCTTTAGCAAGTCTATTTTCATTCCCGGCTTTTACTCGTTTCAGCCACGCCCTATCGGACATCCCGTCAAGCCATCTGCTCCGAGCCCACCAAGTACCCTCGGTGGCCGGATGGTACCCCCGGCCTAATCCAACACCAGACTCGGCCTCCGATGCTACAGCAGATACTCGTAAACTTGCAGTGTACATGGCGTATGAATGCCGAATATACGATGCTTTCTAGGCTAACTGATCCGAGATCCTAGCGTACTGTCTGACTCGCCGCGAGCATAGACTATTAACTCTAGCCGGTGCCCTGGATGAATTAGACCAGCTGACACCACCCATTAGCTAAACCTAATCTCGTATACTCTTTTATTCACATCGTGATTATCTAGTCTTCGAAAATGGCCATTGGTCTCATTATTGCAGCAACAGGCGGCTGCCTATGTGCGGCCTACCTATCCTATCTGGCCATCATTGTCAAGAAAGCGTCCACAGATTACACATCCTTTTTTATGAATGTGAGTTTTGTTATGTTTGCTATATGTATACGTTAGCTAGCTGACTAACACACAAATCTTGCTAGTTATTGTTGCAGTCCCTCAAGCCTAGCTGCAGCACACGGGGGGCAAACGCGTTGACCAAGCCCGTGCCTAGCCTCGACTACAAGTGGCCCAACGGACAAGGGACAGAAAAGTTCTTCGAGGGTACTATAGCGTCTCGACGCTGGATGGAAGAAAATGGACCCGTCTACCAAATTTGGTCTGGCATCAAGCCTGAAGTGTAAGATTACCAAGCTATACGCGGCATCAAATACATGGTTGCTAACTTGTGATGTTTTACTAGTGTCCTGACAAAACCGGAACACCTCCGAGACTTTTACCGAGATTCAGACAAGCATATCAAGGCCGTCAATAACAACAGCGGGTGGCTAGTTGGCGAACTCCTCGGTTCCTGCTTGGGCCTTGTGAGCCAAGAGCGATGGCAGCGCGTAAGAACGCATTGGAGCCACCTGTTCACACCCACACTCGCCCAGTCCTATACACCTGTGGCCATAAATCATGCTAGGGAATATGTAGATCGACTCCTACAATCTCAGCCCAACAATGTTGACACGGTGATTCAGTTTGACGTCGTCGACGGTTTGAAACTTTATCCCTTCATCACGGTTGCCGAGATTCTATTTGGCCTGCTGTCGGAGAAACAAGAAAAGACGCTCATTGGGTTGGTCCCGGAACGTGAAGAGCTCTTTCGACTCGGCATCAAGGGCGGAATCAACAGGACTAGACTTGCTCCGTTGCTGCAGACCAAAGCATATCGCATGCTCTGCAAGTACCAAGCTTCGTGGCGAGCATTCGTTGTTGACGCTTATGAAAGCTCGCGTGCATTGGACAAGAATGCCATGGTGGAAGAGCTCTGGGGAAAAGTTGTAAATGACAATGGCATGTCAGAACAAGAGGTATGTCTATATTGTCTTTACACGTTAAGGAATAACTAACCAAGTGTAACAAGTGTTTACAAACACTGGATGAAGTTTTATTTGCCAATCTAGACGTCACCACTAGCGCAGTGTCTTGGACACACGTGCTCATTGCCCAGCATCCCGGTATCCAGCAAGATGTCCGGCAGGAGATTGCCCAACACAGAGATCAATGGGACGAATACATCAATAATCCCAATACACTTCTTGCCGGCTGTGTTTTGGAGGCGTCTCGACTGCATCCCATTCTGCGTAAGAAAACTTCTTTGTCTATATTCCTTAGGAAACAAGAATATGCTAAAACTCTTCTAGCGTTTTCGAACCCAGAGGCAGCTACGGTGGACAAGATTGTTGGAGGCGTAGCTATTCCACGAGGTGTAAGTGCTGTCCATGCTACTAACAGTCTGGTACTATTTGCTAAATCTGTATTAAATCAGGTCGATGTAATCGTAGACACTCACGCCATCAATGTCGACAATCCCTACTGGGTAGACGGCACATCGTATAATCCTCGCCGCTTTTCCAATATGCAGTCCCAGCAGGTGAGAAGCTTCTCATAGAACGAAATGATATTAACAGGCCACTAACAGAAATCAACAGTACCGCTATCATTTCTGGCGCTTCGGCTTTGGCCCGAGACAATGCCTCGGCAAATACCTGAGCGACCGACTTGTACGAGCGCTCCTCGGCGAATTGCTAGGAAGATGTGAGATTTCTCTCCATGAGTCCAACAAGGACAACAGCAGCTTTGGTCTCCAGGACGAGAGTTGGGTTGGGCTACCTCAGGTGCGCATTTGCTGCAAACCTATTATAGAAGGGAGCGAGTAATATATCTCTGGGATGGTGATATAAAATGCTAGATTGTTATGAAGAGAAGGCAGGTATATTAAATAAGTTAAATCTGCATTAGACGTGTGTTTTTGATCAATATACTCCACTCAAGCTTCATTCGCATATATTTGTCTAAGTTGTACATAGGAGGACAGCTCCAAGTGCTATAATATTGAACACACAGTTGTAGATCTCTGCTAAGCCAAGACACATAAAGATGATATTCAAGTACTCCTCTATTTCATTGCTAAAGCTACAGCATCACCAAGTATCCAATACACAAATAGGCAACCATCTCATGATATACACTGCATGTTCATATATCTATCTACTGAGGAAGCATCTCAATGGCAGAAACCCAGGCGTTGCGAATAGGTAGGACTCTGTTCAAGCGCCATCCGGACAGCTGTGCCAATCTTTCCCAGTCCTGCAGCGATCTTTCTTTGCCATTGCACGTCATCATCATCACCAGATCACCATAGCGAGGCAATCTGGTGCTGCGACCAGGCTTCTTGACAGACTCAAATACAATAAAACGGGAAAGAGGCGATGGGACAAGCTTGGCGCGTGCGTTGTTCAGAATGCGCACGACATCGTCGTCCATCCAGTTGTGGAGGCACCACTTCATCGTATAAACAGAGGCGGGGAGGATATCACCAAAGAAGTCACCAACGTACAAATTGACTATACGAGGCGACACATCTATCAGCGAGCCCTCAGGCTCCCTTACACTCTTGGTAACGAGATCAATAACATGTTGGAGATCCACGAGCGATCCACGGAGGGACGGGTTGGCACGCAGCACCTCGGCCAGAAAGTCGCCCGAGCCCCCTCCAAGATCTACAATCTCGGCATCACCAAGCTCCTTCCACGGATAATCGACTGCGATGCCGCCGGCCATGGCCTTGGCTCCAGCACCGAGCGTGCGATGGAAGATGGCAATCTCGCCCTGCTGCGCTAGATAGTCGAAGATGGATAGGTCTGTTCCGTAGTCGATCTGGGCCGCGTTCTTCTTTTCGCCTTCGGCAATCGCCGCAGGGATAGACCGGCTCATATTGAAGAACTGGTTCGGGTAGAGATCTGCCCAGAGGTGCCATTGCGTCCAGTGATCGCGACACAAAAGAAGTGAGCATCTGTTGTTGGAGTATTTTCCAGCGGCCTCGTCGTACGTAAAGATGCCGTTGTTGACGACCATGTCCATCAGTTGAGCAATTCTTTCCGGTTGCGCTCCGACTAACGGGCCAATCTCTGAGCATGGTAAAGGTCCGTGTTCTTTGAGGATGTCGGGAACTTTGTATGAGACTAGTGTCGCCATGGATTTGCTGTGGAGGTATCCTGTTGTTGGGGCCCAGGTGTTAGAGCACAATTGAAAAGCAGTATAAATAAACTAACCAAAGAATCCGTCAGCGAGTAACATGACGGAAGGCACCAACTGGAGCTGGAGGGAGTCCATTGAGTCGACCACATCCTTTGCAACAGTCACCAACTCTGCAGCTGGTAGCTTCTCAGTGCTGTGGAGGGAGTTGTTGAGAACATCTTGGAGAGCTTCGGATTGTAGTGTTTTGGAAACCTGGCGCAATTGCGCATCTAGTGTCCGGAGAAGCTCCTTGACCTCTTCTATTTGCTGTGTGTTGTTGGTGTCTTTGATGGCCATTTTCGTTACTTATTAAAATTTGATGTTTAAGATTGAAAGGCCTTGTTTCTTTGGTTCTTGGGATACTTTGTCTTGTCTCTGGTATCGAATACTTAAAACTATATACAATTATTCTACCAATGTGTTACCAGTACGCTACCGTTGTGTATAGTCCGGTCTACATCTAATCGGATGCCGCAACTTCGGCCCCCGAGAGCACCTGGTATGAAACGGAGTTACAGTAAAGGCAGTACGTATAGGACTTTGGGTTGTTGAGCTCGCAAAACAGAAACAGATCTAGCGCATTATTGAAGTTATGACACTGGGTTACAGGGTCTTGGCCATCTCATCTGCCTTGTCGGTTTCGTAAAGCTTCTCATCATCGGCTGGCATATTCATACCATACCACTAGACAAATGAGTCCTCCATTACAATATTCTCTCCTTGTCAGCACTACAGGCAGTACTCGTGGTGACAAATTGCAAATTTGGTACATTGTAGTCTTGACCGCGTTTTCAGTAAACGGAATGCGCGGGCCTGCCTGAGCAAGTTCTGCAGCAAACAAAGCCCTAATGCGCTCTAATGTGGCGGCTTGTTTGCACTTCAATTTCATTTTTTAACAGTTTATTACTTGATTAACTTGCAGCGGCTATATCGATTTTGCTTTGGGGGCACGCTGCCGGCTAAAGTCTTTCTCTGTTGACATCGTTAGACGTCCAACTGCTTGTTTAGTACGGTCATCATCATGGTGGCGTCCTATTCCTGCCAAGTGAATTCATGCGACTGTTACTACAAAAGTTCTGATTCGTGCATCTGGTGATGATAGTTGTTCGTTAGCCGGCGGCAGCCCAGCTTCAGCTGTGGCTGAATACAGTATGCCGGTACACGGGTACAAACACCTTGAGAGGTTGTTTTTTTTTTCGGTGGCCGAGCGAAGCATAGACCATGCAAAACGGGATGTATAGAACAGGCATATAGAATCTTGGTAAGTCGATCGCAGGATTTTTGTAATCCTACTCGGCCGCTTGCAAATGATCAGCAGCCGCAACAGTTACCAATTCCGGCAATGCTTTTCATCGCGCAGCTCGAAGGATTATTCCCACAGAGCCAACAAATGCAAACCTTCTTTTGTCTTGTTTTCCAGAAAGAACGCTAGGGCGTGGGGGCTGAAGAAGGGACCCTTGTGACGACCCAATGAGGCGCTGCTCGTTGCATGAGCGCCCCGCGAAAGTTAGTTGAGCATGTTAGCCTCAGCTTCTGCCTGCCGAAACGATTACCTGAATGGGGCGAGTTTCTCAATATTGGACCCCTAAATTACCTCGCTGCAGAGATCCCAAAGCAGGGGCGGGCATACGAATAGTCACCAGTGACTGACAATGTCAGCCCATTTATGCGTATACGAGCCGATAACTTGCCGACTTTACCCCTTCCAGGCCTCTTCCAACTTCAGCTCATCTATTAAGTAGCGGGAACGGCATCTGGATCGAGTATGCCACTGACGCCCCGGCCCAGCCAAGCCACCTTTCCCATCGTCCAAGCTTTAGCGCTAGCCACCGCTGCGCTAGCGGCCAATAGGTTGCGGGATTGCATGGCTAGTTGTTACAATGAAATAACCGTCGTGACGCTACGGTAAGATTAACCACAAACAAAAGAGGCCGTACCGGCGAGTAGATTGCTTTCCCTGCCTCAACAGAGTTGGGAAGGCGTATAAAATGATAGTAGCCAAAGCAGTATTCAAAGATTAAGCCTTTTCTCCCCATCTCAGATGGCTCAGTACGAATCGCCAGAAAACAAGTACACGTCATCGTGTCGTCCATCGTGGCTTGCACATGGTTTAGTTTGCCGAATCCCTCATTCGTCACGGGTACAGCATAAACAGGTGCCATGACCACCATGGCAGTGAGACCACGCCTGTTGATGAACCCCCAAAAATGGGAAAATGGGGCGAGGTAGAGGTAGAGAAACAAAAGACACATTAGCATCATAATTGTAGGCCCGCCGGATACGATTGAGCCTCAGTCGATATCGAAAGAAGCGGAACTTGGAGACGAGCGATCGTATTCCCTTGTAGAAGAAAAGTAGTGGGAGACATTTCGACTCGGCTGACGATGTACACTTTGGCACAACAGGATCACAATCAACGCCGAGGCATGTCCGTTCATTGGGAGGGTACGGGCGATAGGCTCCAGGTAATGCATGCAAATCAGAAGAAATATATTCACATAAACGAAAGCCAGGCTCATGTTTGTCGTTTCCTCAGATGGAAAACAGGTGCGAAGCAGTGGGAAGTGCGAATCGGGGACATTTTAACTAGAAGAATCGAAATATGTCCGAGCCAATCATAGACCGCATCCCCAATCTGCACCGAATCCTGTAAGTAGGAATTCTAGCATATACGCCTATACGGACGGGCCTTACCAGTAGATCTCTCTGTTTCCACGCGTACTCAGTGCCGAATATGCAGCTATCAGGGTCACTATGGCACGGAGCGAGTGAGATAGACATATGCACTGCCACTGGGGGAATGGAGTATTATTCAAGGTTTATACCCTTGAAAATGAATGGGGGTTCCCCGAACGCGGGGGTAAGCAGAAGTATACGCTTCGATGTGCAGGATAAGCACATTAGCCACCAAGACTTCGATCTTCCGCTAGAACATGCACAGAACGGCAAAATAGAATACAACTACGATAAAGCTGAGCTTTGAAAAGTCTACGCTAGATGCTCTTTTAACCCCCACAATCAAGTATTATTGGTGCGGCGTTGCTGGTGGCGCTTTGGGGGCGTGGTGGCTGTTTCAGCCAAAGCAAACTTGTTTAGTGACCAGCAAACGGAAAAAGCGGCTTAAGAACGAAGACGCGAACATGGAATGAATGCATGCCGCGCTGCAGCAGCAGCAACAAACCAGGCAAAACAGCCCACCAATAGGGTCTAGCCCAAGGGTCTGCGTGGTCTTACACCCAATGTCGCATCTCAGACAGGCGAACAATTGCCCCGATTATACAGCCAGGTATGTATCCATGTGTAATAAGTGGTGGCAGCAGCAGGGCATTCTGCCGACGGCCCATGCGACCAGCCGAGCTCAGCCTCGAATGTGTTAGTGCAGTGCTAGTCGCTCTTCCTTCTACTTTCGGCCTCTATTCTCTGCCAAAACCTTCAAACTACAAGAGACGCTATGGTATAAGTATTGCGCCCTCTTTCATCCCAGCCCATAGCCGGTGGCTACTTCTTGTTCTACGCCGCCGCAGATCTCCCGTATAATCATACGAGCTTTGCCGTGTTCAACATGGCCGATCTTCAATCAGCATCCCGAGGGTAAGTGAAGCTTTGTTCCAGCTTCTTGTGCCGCTTTCGCCTGGGCGCCACAGAACGGCTTGGCTGACCACCGTGATTTTGTGTTGCAGGAAACTGAAGCCCTACAAACTGAGGACAGCCTGTGATGCTTGCCACATGACAAAAGTACGCATTCATCTCTACATAGACAACCAAGCTATAATCAGCAAACATGCTAACTATCGTTTTCTTGCCTTGCAGGTTAAATGTTCTGGAGAAAAGCCAACCTGCGCTCGGTGCGCACATAGCGGTGCAACATGCTCCTACAGCATATCCATGGTCGGAAAGGTCACTGGCCCGCGAAAACGAAAACACAGCGTTAGAAAAGCAGTAGAAGACGCCACGACACCCGAGCAAGCATCTAGCAATGCTGCAGAATCTCCCAACGACAATAACAACAACATCCAATCCCCTTTCAACACCCTTGACAACAACCTCTTCACCTATTCATCAGGCTTGACGCCAGCGCATGCCTCTACTTCGATACCTCGTGGTGCTGGAACCGACATGTCCACCAGCAACTGCAGCCCGGACTCGGGCAACCTCTCCGGCCTATCACCTCCCGGACTCTATCCTTCTACTTCCCTCACCACCCCTTCAGACCCAGACTATAGCGATTTCACTCAGCAACTGAAACAAGGACTCTTTTTAACAGCCAGTATGGGCCCAGACTCGAGCAGCATACAAGGCATAACACTTGACCCGTCTGAAGCGTGGGAACTTACACGACAAGCCTTGGGACCTCTTGGAGAGAGCGGCCCTCCAGGCTCATCAAGCTCTGGCCGCTACGCTACAAGTGACAACACGGACGCCTCCGTGCTAACCGGCGCTACTGGTCAGCAACCCCTATTAGACCATGGCCGGCTAGTCGACTGCTTAAACACACTACAGCAGCTCTGGGACCGGCGCGGAACAGACTGTTCGCCACCTGACCAGATCCTAGCGACAAACAGGGGCGCTATTACAACGCTTACCGACATCATTGGAAGATTCGGCTTCGGCTGCAAGTACCCGACGAGCCTCGTGCTGTGTCCGTTAATCCTGCAACTAGTCGCAGAGCTATACCAGCATATGCGTCACGAGGCAGCCCAAAGTAACGACAAGGCCGCCTCCGACAGCATGTCATTGATGATGGGGGATGCAAGCTCGCGACCCAAGTTTGGCTATGGCAACTTTGAGATTGACCACGACTGTCAGGCAGTATTGTTCAATGCCATCACACTAAAAGAGGTCGACAGGGCCCTGCGGTTATGGGAGCGCATGTGGCAGCTGCTCGATAGCCAGCAGTCGGAACGCTGCCGCAACAAATATATAAGTCAAGGCGTTATGGTAGACTCGCGGAACATATTATTAGATATAAGAAGCAATATGGAGAGCATATCGAGAGGGGACATGCAAAAGGACCTCCGGGGGTTAGTGGTCGAACAATGAAATGACTCGGTCACGGACAATTGTACTTTACGTAACTATTCCAGTATATTATTATGAACAAAACAGACTCAACCCATAAGATGATGATCAACCTCCAGCGTGTTCCAACTTCCAAGAAAATATACATCATGTGTTATAGATATGTGTAATTTAGACAGATATTGCGAAGAAAACATTCACTAGGACACACACTGTCATATTTATCAAGAAACACACAGAATGAAGAAGAAAGGATTTGTATATTCTCAGAAACACCAAAATACCACCCTTCCTTCGCCCTAGACACGAAAACAATAACCGGCCGGCCAACTGGGCACGAACACACTGCAAGACAGTCGTCTCTCTCTGCTGCTTTTCCTTACTTCATGGGTATCATCACCAATCACATCCATCCACCTATTTCCAAAAAAAAAAAAAAAAAAGAGTGAACAATTATAAACAAAAAGATATTTGCAACTCCATGCAAAATAAACATGTGTACCACCGTAAAGAAAAGAAACACGTGAATAGAAAGTAATAGTTGAAGAGGAGGTGAAAGCGTCTACTGTTCGTTGAGAACAGACAGAATGCACTCATCCAAGTGCTCATAGTACTCGCCAAGAGTCGTAAAGCTACCAGCTGGTCTCTTGCACACAGCGCAGCCGCCGGCAAACGAGGCAGCACCATTGTGTTCGATGCGGTGGGTAGTGACCAAGTGACGCTTAAAGACGTCGGCGCGGTGGAAGACGCCTTCACCGTGCAAGTCCTTTTCCGGGCACAGAGGGCAGACAAGCGTGCCGCGGTAGTGAGTCAAAGCATGTCTGTTGCGGTCATACTTGCGAGCGAAACCCTTACTATGATAAATGCAGCTGCGGGAAGGGCATTTCTCTGGGCGCTCGGCCTGGTGAGTAAGCATGTGCGCAGCCAAGTCGCGCAAAACACGTCCGCAGTCGGGATGAGGGCAGCGAGTGCCGTAGGTAGGAGACGACGATTGTGGGTGTGAGTCCATGTAGTAGGTCTGCGACGATGGCTCCGGGGTCTCGCTAACCGCTGATGGGGGCATAGACGGCTCGGGAGAGTACTCGGGGATGGTAATCACCGTGACTGGGGGAGGTGTCATGTCATGGGGCTCGGGCGAGATGTGCTCCTCCTTGGCCTGCTGGTGTTGTTGTTGTTGCTGCTGCGTATGCTTGTTCTTGACTACCTTGACCGAGCTGGTATTAGCATCGGGGGGTTGCTGAATCTCGTGCATCCATTCCTTGAGCACGGCCATAGGCGGCCAATCGCCAGAAGCTTTGCCGCCACCCTTTTGCGGGTTGAAGTGGGCGCGGCGCAGATGAGCGGCAGCGTTATAGTAGGCACCGTAGTGCTTCTTCATCAAGCATGCCTTGCAGTTGGATAGAGGGATGACGGGTTGGATGGAGCCACGGGCAGAAGGACCAGGGTCATTGCAGATCCAGCGCTTGACGAGGGCCGAATGGCGTGCCTGGCAGTGACGGCGGAGCTCGTGCTCACCACGGAAGCCCTCGGGGTAGTCGGTGCACTTGTTGCAGTACACACGGCGGACAGGAGGGCGTTGGTACGAGGCAAATGATGAGCCCTTGGGCACAGAGGCACTACGCTTGACGACATGGAAGCTCTCATCAGCATCAGGAGGCGAGGTGGCATGACGCTTGAGAGAGTTGGCTGGAGCGGCGCTAGTACGGCGAGTGAGAAGGGTCAAGACGGATTCGTCAAGGAGGAAGAATGAGGGGCCATGAGCCTCACCAAGACGGAGGAGGAAGTCTGTGGTGTTGCGGATGCCCTGCGAGCCCCACTGGCCACGGCAGACGATAGATGCAGTCTTTTGGAAAGCAACTGCGCCCTCTTCGCGGCTAAACTCATGCATGCTGTCGAGGGGAGAGCTGCACAAGGCACCAAAGAGATGAACAAGCGACTTGTAGATGGCGTGGATGACGGCAGGGTAGGTATCCAGAGCCGCATCAGCACAGTTGGAAACAAAGACACCCACCAAGATACTTCGAACGACACTGAAGATGCAGATGGCATGGAAGATGGCGAGCCAATCACGGGGACCAGACTTGCCGCGGGAGCGAATGCTATCAATGGCACGAAGGAACTGGAACAGAGCAGGTCGTAAAGCGTGAAGCTGATCCTCCAAGTCAAGGCTAGCCAGAAGCTTGGACGAACCAACGTCGGCAGACAACACGGGTCGGGAGCCAGCGAGAGCAACAAAGGCCGTCTCACGAAGCAATGTCTTGGCGTGGTAGAGAATGGGATAGATGCTCTCTTCGGAAGCGCGGCCTCCGGATAAGTGGCCGGTGCAGCTAATGAGCTCAATGAGGCTTAGGGGTGCTTCAGCACAGGCAGACGAGGCAGCCAAAGCGCATAGAATAGAAGGGGGCGCGAGGAACATGTCGTAGGCACCAGACGTTGGTGTCACATCTGTTTCGCGGTTTGGCAGCGCAGCAGACCACCAACCCTTGTCAGAAAAGTCCAGGCTGGTATCCACGAGACTGGCGATGCCGGGGGCAACGTGGAGGGCGGAGCGCAGAAAGTTGACAGTTTCGATACGAGAGAGGTGCTGAACGGGTCCGGGGGAGGGCGATCGGCACGAGTCGAGATGAGGAGGAATGACACTATCAGTGAGAGAGGTCAGGGAGCCTCTGTGACACCCCAGCAGATGCCACTCCATGCCAAAGGGGGAGGCGGGATGGTCAGCACAGGTGGTGCAAGTCTCGTTGGAATCGCATTCTTGCTGACTAGCTCGGCAGCGAAGGCAGCGGTCGTCGTTTGCTAAGAGTGCCAGCTCGTTGATGGACTCGAGGCGCATGACAGACGTTCTATCAGGTTGCAGAGGAGGGAGGAATGGCTCGACGGGGCGGGCGACATGCTCCGGCGAATGGCGAGTGCTTTCCATTGAGGGAATGTTTCGCAGCGGGGGTAGGTGGTTCTCATGCGACTGGTAGGATGAAGCGGAGGGAGGTTCTTGAGAAGCGCGATGTTGGCTGCTGTGGTGGTGGGATGACGACGGACGGGTGAGGTCGATATAGTTGGATGGTGCTACGGAGGAGACGGAGGAGTAGCGCTGGTGCAGGAGGGGAGGAGGCGGCGAGGAGCGGTAGGGCGATGTGGTTCTGCGGCGGGCATCATTGTAGGCAAAGTCCTCTGCGCGTGGCATAGGAGAAGACTGGTGGTGGCTATGATGATATTGATGTTGATGTTGCTGTGGCTGGTGGTGGGCGTCGTCATACTGGGCAGAAGAGCGGCGGGATGCAGCGGCTTGGGCGGTAGCATGCTTGGAGAGCCATGAAGAATAGCTACTGCCATGTTCTGTAGTAGCAGAAGGAGGCTCAGAGGGATCCGAATAACGATATGTAGGAGGCGGCGGCGGGGAGTTGACCTTTGGCTCCTGGAGATCGAGACCTATTGGTGGCATCTGGGGTTAGCGGGAAAGGCGGCGTTGGGGGCCGAAACGCCCAAATGGGGGTGGATGCGAGAGGAGGGACGGAGGGGGGAGGGGCTTGCTTTTGGCTGTGTACTCACCGTGACGCTCAACAAGCTTCTCGAGGGTTCTCATGCGGGCGCGCAGAACGGCAATTTCCTGGGTGGCATCTACAATATCAATGGGAGCTTGGGGGCTGTGATCGCGCGGGGTGATGGGCGAAGGCCCGTCTGGCGTGATTGTGCTCCTTGATCTTGCTGCTGCCGAGAAATGGTGGTTGTGGTGTGCGTGCGAGTGATGCGTAGTCGTCGCATGGCTGTGACCAACAGCAGCAACAGTAGCAGCCGGTTGATAGCGCGGCTGGTGGAAGAGGTGCTGGTGGTGCTCTGCGGAAGAACCCATTGTGACGGGATGGGTTGTGATGCTGGGAGAAAATTAAAAAAAGAGGGAAAGAGAAGAAAGTGGTGAGAATTCCCAACAGAAAGACAAAGACGAGTAGCAGCACGGGTTTACCAGCTGGCGGGCAGCTGGCAAAGTTGGCTGTGGTTGGGGCGGGATGCGGATGGTGTGACGAACGGGATGTTGCTCTTTGGCGTAGTAGCAACAGCAGCTGCGATACTAGTACGTTGTGTGTGGTGTGTGTGTATTGGCGAGGTTTAGTGGATGGAAGCGTCCATGTTTGTATGGCGTACGAGGTGTTTGCGTAGAAAAGACGACTGGACGCTGGGAAGATGGATTGATTGATTGGGAGAGGGGAAAAAAGAAGGAAAAGAAAAAAGGAAAAGCGAAATCACCGATGAGGAGGAGGAGTAAGAAAGAGTGAGTGAGGAGAGGAGACGACAAGGCGGCTGGCCGGGCTGCGCAAATGGCACTAACTGGGCTGTTGGTTGGTTGGTCTCTGATGAGAAGAGGTCAGCCGGGGGTGGTGGGAAAAAAGCCACGGCATCTGCGTGTGCAGGGCCTTACGCGAGTAAAAGGAAAATAAAAATAAAAAAAGAGAAATAAAAGAAATAAAGTGAGGCAGACAGACCAGGCAGCCTGACAGGGCGAGCTAGCCGAAAGAAGTAGTAATATAAGAAGAGCGAGCGATGGCCGGGAGAGGAGAGAGGGCGGGCAACGCAAGGCAGGCCAGGGTCCCTTAAAAAAAAAAAAAAGACAAGTACTACTTGGTTAGTGGTATTATTAGTGCCTGTAATACCACGTAGCCCTCTGTAAAAAAGTATAGTTACAGTGCAAAGCAAGCCACGCTAAAGGATGGGGCCCAGGCAGACAAGGGCCTGGACAAGCTCGCTCTCGTGCCGCCCCCAAAAGGCCCGTTTGAGGATCCCAAAGCGGTCTAGTGCAGCGCCGCCCTCTGACTCTTGGGGGAGGGAGCCACCGCCTCGCCTGGACAGGCTGGCTGAAGGCCCGCTGCAACAGAAAAAAGAGGCGCTAGCAGCAAAGACGAAACAGCGTTAGCGGGAAAATAGGGCCAGCGCCATCCACGCCACAGCATACGCTGCACTACTCCCAGTCAGTCAGTCCCCTCTTTCGGGGCGGGTGCCGACCGAGCGCCGACACACAGCACAGCGAGAACAGCAGCACAGCGGGCGCCCATCGCCAGGCTTATGCGAGGAGCGCAGCCTAATTTTTTTTTTTTCCCTTCATCAGTGCTGCCCCGTCAGCTTCGCTATGCTATTGGTTCCCATATTTAGGCATTCCAGACAACACGAGTCAAGACAACCAACAAAAGAGCCCGAGAATAGAATTAGATTCTGACGAGGGGGGGGATTAAAGATGGCTGATAATGGATGATACTGATGGTGAGCATGATTGAGAGAGAGGTCAGTGTGTTTGCTCACCATCCACCACCCATGCAACAGATCCCATCCATCCATCGCCGTTCTCTTGCCGGCATCAGAGCTGATGAACTAGCCCAATTGCAATCTCATGCTGTTAATAATGATCATCCTAACTACGTTAGTAAGTACTGGACATACGACCAACGACACATCATCCGTGCAGCCAGGCAGGCGTCGGTGTCCCTCTTCCGCCTCCTGCTCCGTTCCCCGGTCCGTTGCAACTGTGTGTCTGCCGCCTGTCTGATGTGATGTGCGGGTGAATACTCGTAAAGACGGAGGATGTGCTTTTTCAGCTGCGCAACGAGACCGAGTTGTATGATACGTGTGCCAATTTTATTTTACTGCCAAAGCAATAATGCTTACATCGATCCCGTCTGCCCATCTCTTGAGCCAGCTATCCATCGACCAATTCAACGGGGAGCTCCGGTACATACACCTAGAGTCCTCTTTTTAGTTCTCTTCTATTTCTTCTTCTTCTTGTTCTTCTCCTTCCGGTTTCTATCCCCTCCCACTCCCCGCAACAAGAGTCGTTTCCCTTGACTTCTTACTTGCTGACAATGGGGCCCTCTCCACCTCCTACTCTCCGCCCCCGGGGTTCACGGACCCGAAGACAAGAAAATACCAGGCAATAGCAAATAACATGCAATTGGCTGTGTATTAATTGTACGAGTCACACAAATGATTGGTGGGATCGGGAGCACGCGCCTCACCCAAGTCTACAGTGCGGCATAAGCCGAGGATTCGCACGCTGCTGGCCCACGCCAAACTCTAATTACTCGTACAGTGCCCATGTGCTAAGACCTGCTGCCGTGGTACCACACTGGGCTGCCACCACCACTACAATCAGCAGTACGAGCAGTAATAGCGGCAGGCAAGTAGATTAATGCGCTGTTGTACCCTCCCTCTTGTCACAGCCTCACATCAAGGGCTGGGCTGGGCTGTGTGTGTGTGTGTGTGTACCAGACCCATGCTCTCTCTCTATGTTACTGCCACCCAGGGCAATTAAAATAATAATAATAATAATCCGAAAAGCATCCGACTCTGCTGCTGCAGCCGCTGCCGCTGCCGCTGGCCGCCCACTAACCTGCTTGTTCACTTTCTTTGTACTGGTCCCCCCCCCCCGGTCCGCAGCATAAATTTGGCTCGCCCGTCGTTTAAAAGGTACCTACGTTAGTGTACGGGACACCTGAAGTGCCCTGTAGCTTGGCCGAATGCGGCAGTCCCGCTCACTGTAGTGGCCCGCTGAGGCTAACCTACGCCCCAAAAGCCAACCCGCCCTGCCCTGCCCTGCCCAGCTTGTTTCAGGTTGCCGCTAAGCCGTCTTGGGCATGCACCTCCGCGTCTGGTCACACTCTTTTTTTTTATTGCTCGTCATGTTTTTTGCTCTGGTGCCTATCTCGCCGGGGAATCCTAGCGGCTGTTGCTGCTCCCGCTGCGTGCTGATGCTGTTCTAATTTTACTTACTTTGCCTCACCGGAATCCAACGCTTATCCTTATTTCATCGTCTTTTTTTTTCTGGGGTTGCTGAGAGCGTGATACTGAGTGAGAGAACGAGGCGAACAGGCACAAAAGTAAGGCTCGCTCACACCAGCAAAACTAACTATCCACCGGCAAATAGAGATGCCGGCGATTCACTCATTGGAGTGAGTCAGTTTGTCATGATAACGTATTTAGCCCGCACAGCTGGCCGTACTTTTGATCGGTTCGTCGTGACCATGTGTTGGAGGTGGTGGTAGGTTCAGTACGTAGCGGTACGCCGCGTCTCTACTCTGTGCTCGCCCTCTCGCTCTTAACTGATCTCCCTCTTAATCATCGTCTCGAAATAAACCAAGACGCCCCCAAGCATCGACCAACCAAGCAGCACGAAATACGATGCGACCCAAAAGAGGCATCTCCGCCCGCCCCAGGACACCCCCCCGTCTATGACCCTTGCACATCACATTCAACAGCGTTTTTAACTCGCTGTAACCCTCCGCCGCATCTTTCTTCTCCCCCGCGAAGCCAGCAGCTATTATTTACCCTGCTCTGTCTGATGGTGGTGGTGGTAGTCGTAGTGGCATCTTTCTTCAATGCGACCCTCTCTCTCTCCACAACTCGGAACCAACACCAAGAAAAACGGCCCTGCTTCTACCGTCGTCCCACTACACATGCTGAAGTAGTAGTAGACGTCCACATGGCGTACTCGTGTTTTGGGCCATCATGTCACGCTTTGTCTAACCGGTTTTGTTGCGTGCATACCTGGTACACAGCCTGCCTGCCATTGCGAGCCAACCAATCAAGCGGCAGTCGCACTAACACACAGACAGCACTCTATAGTGCTAGTGTGCATACATGCCGTTGAGCTTAAGAGACGCCTGCAGTTAAACGCCGTCTGTGCATAACCCTAGGCTGCTGTGACCCTTCAATAGCGCCTTTCTATCCGATTCCCTCTCACTCGTCCGCTACCCCCGGAGCAGGGCCCAACCAACAAGACCAGCCTCCTCTTCTTTCGGCGCGTACAAGGATGTTCGATGTGCAGTACATACAGAATATCCCGCGACCCGTTGCTGCTTCTGCTTCACGTAAGCACCTTTCTCACGGAATCAAGCCCTTGCCTGCCAGCCGTATCGGCGCCGAGCTCGGGCCCCCACCGTCTTGTCGCCGTCATCATTCATCACCCACCACCGTCCATCTCTGGACGCTAAGAGGCCGAAGAGCGAGAAGACGCTAAAACGAAACAGAAAAAAAGAATAGGGTCTCAAAAGAGCGCTAACAAGATGGGGCGCTACGCTTGCTCCGGCTGAAACCAGCCCAAATCCATTCTGTCGGGTTTTCTCCCCGTCCGTCATCAGGTTAATCGGCGGGCGCCATCCTCTTGCGCGAAAGCCGCCAGCGCTATCAATCAGTGGTGCTGGTGGCTGGGCGTGTATGCCTCGAGCATCAATCGCATTGTGTACTGTACATGATCTTGCACAGACCGTTCGAACAGCCTGTTCTCTCAGCTAACCGTTTCCTACCAGCTTGCCGCCCCAACACAGACAGAACAAGGATCTTCTCTTCCCAATCCGTCTTGTCCTCCATCTCTCTCGGACGAGGCTCTCGCTGGTCTGCTTGCTTTCCCCGCCGTAGCCTGATAAAATTTACGCGCACGCACGTACCCTCACATAATCAAGTCCTCTAACCACATGGAGAGAGAGAGAACTTACAAGACCCAACATAGCGTCCACTTTTCCTTGGGTTTCGTGAATCAGGCTCTCTCCATTGCTGCTTTGCTAATAGCTTCAAAGTACAGAGTATACTTACAGTACTGCACTTCTGTATCTGGCGCTCGGGCACTCTCCGACATCCTTCCAGCCTGGCTGCCCGATCCACCATCCACATCCATCTCGCCTCAAAGCCAGCCAGCCCGCCGCCGCCCTACACAAGCTGAGCTCGAGCCTCCATTGCATCGCCTCGCTTCGCCTCAGGCAATTCGCTAGGCCTGTTTTGGTGGTTGTTGCCTCTAAAACACGCCACCAGTGAGTGCGTGGTGCTATGACTGTGTGTTTTTACCGTCCGCCCGTATCCCTCTCGGAGCAGGCAAACAATTCGGCGGAATAAGAAGAAAGCAGCAGCAGAAGTAATAACGCCACCTCCGCTCTGTGTGAATGCCCAATGCTTTTTTTTTGTTTCTATCTGTAGGTAGATCCGATGTTACGCCTCACCCCCCGCGTTCGGTGGCCGAAGCTGTGTGTCCAGCTCAAGTACAAGGATCATCCCTCAGTCTGGGTAAATACTACATGTAGCACTAGACAAGTAAGGCCCTCAGCTTTCGTCTGTAGATGGGCACCATCTTCTTTGCCTGTCGGCGCACAAATGCCAAGCACACAGGACAAAACGAGTCCAATCTGTCTGTCTGTCTGATGTGTTTGCTTGGTGGCGCTGTCTAACGAGACTGGGCACGGGGCCAGCCAACAGCAAACAAATGCGCTCTCGGAGATACGGAGTGGCCAAACAGCCCGACAGAAACAACTAATAAAAAATAATAGAAATCATTAATACAGTGTGGCAATAGCATAATAATGAGCAATAGCTTCCAAAAATAACAAGCAAGCACCAACGCCGAGAGCCTCACTGGGGCCGGTGCTTCGGCGCAACCAACAAACCAGTCATCATCACGAACCAACCAAGTTGCATCATTTCTACCTGCCCAGAACAGACACACACCATCTTTTGTTCTGCTCCCCCCACGTACTGTATAGTAGTTTTTGCAGCACTATAGCCAAGTTGCGCAAATCCCTACGCCACCACAGCCAGCCAGCCCGCTCACCTCACCTCTTTTGTCGCCCGCACGGCGCTCACCTGTGTTTCAGGGCCTGCAGGCCGTCCATCTAAAGCTGCAGCAGCTGCTGCAGTATGTACTCCAGCCCGTGGCGTACCCCAGCGTGGGGTTCCTATTGGGCCTAAGAACAAGCGAAAGTGCTGTGTTGGTGCGCTGTGCTGCTAGCTGCAGCTAGGTAGGTATATGCGTGGCGGCCAGCCAGCCAGCCCTCCTGCAAGGCTCTTTTGTAAACCTGGCTTCGGCCCACGCTCAACACAAGATATGTGTGTGTCTGTTTTGCTTTGTTGGTACAGTACCCTGCGGCACATCCATCCCGCCCAACAAGTCTTGCGGCGCAGGTTGCTGATATGCAGTTTAATCTAGACCACGCTATGCAAAAGCAAGGGAAAATGGGCTGAGCATGCACACCCCATCATGTTATCAATCACTATGCGGGGGAGAATGAAGCGGCACCGGAGCAAGATGTTCCGCGGATGTATGTGTTGTATTAAGAAGAAAGCAGCAGGTATGTATACTGTATGATGCTTGCTAATCGCCTGGTAACAAAAGAAAAGAAGAGACGGGATCTTTTATCTCCTCGTCCTCATTCTACGTAAAAGAATTAAAAAAGAAGTACGTCGTAGGGGCCGTCACATATTCCCCCCTCAACAAAAGAGGAGGGACAACAATAAAACACCTCGCCATGGGTTTTGCCGCGCACGCAAAAACATAAAGAAAAAGAGAGAAACAGTCAGTGGTGGCGCCAAGACAAGCGACAGCCGGCGACAGGGAAAACGAAAAAAAAAAAAAAAGCAAGAATAAAACGTCTGTCACGCACGACATAAAAGGGTGTGTGTGATATGAGGCTTGTGTGGTCCCGTGTTCTCGCGCCATCCCCATCGAGTTTCAAAAGACGACGGCCGGTCTGCACTGCACTGCACGCACGTTCCTCTTGTTTCTTGTCCTCTCGCTTCGGATCCTGTCTGTTTGGTGGCGGTGACGATGCTGTCACAGCGTAACGGGCGTTGTCTGTGTCCCGCATACAGCTATATGCAGAGAGAGGCACACACTTGCAGCTGGGTACCCAGCACCAAGCCTTATATCATGTACAAAGCGACAAGACACATGTCTCGCAGACCATGCAGCAGGCCATGGCGCATGTCCAGTTGAGAGCGACATCGGCTATTATGAACTGCCAGAGCAGCACTGTGTAGATGCCCCGGTCAAGGAAGGGGACCTCTACAGTTGGAGGATTGGTTGATGGAGACGGTGCTGGGGCTATGTTATACTATACAGAGCTCTGGCGACCCCGAGAGTTTGTCGCGCGGCGTGGATGTACGCATTCATACAACGTAGGACCGCCGCGGCGACGGTTTGGCGGCTCAAAGCGAGCTGCCTTATTCGCTCTGCCATCGCTGCTCGCGCAGAGGCATCTCCTTCCCTGCGGCGGCGCGGGAACCGTCCTCCTCACCAAGACTGTCCCAGTACTCGGTCAGGCGCAGCTCAGCGTACGAGGCATAGTCAAAGTCAATCTTGGAAATGGTAGACTGAATAACAGACCAGATGCCCCAGAAGAAGCCGGGCACGCCACGGAAGGCGTCCACATCAGTCATCATCTTGCTGGATTCCTTCTCAATGTCCAGTGCCTTGCCAGTGAGCTTGGCGTACTCTTGAATGTATTCGCGCACAAATCGCAGGCGCTGGCTGCGCGTAGGAATGGCAGCGTAGTCGCAGTCGTAGCCGACAAACTCGGCAAAGTGGTTGGCAATATCAAAGGCCGCTGGCGACGGGGTGCCATATTCGTAGTCGATGAAGCTGACAGATGACAGCTCGCCCGCGTCGTTTCTGTGCATGATGATGTTGGCGCAAAGCAAATCGCAGTGTGCAAAAACGAGCTGTACAAAAAGATGACATGTTAGCAATTGTAGTGGTACACATATAGCAGCAGCACAGTGTTAGAAAAGGAGCATATGACGTCAGTGACGGCAGACATGGTGGCGTGTCGATGACGACGACGACAAACCACAGCTGCTCGCAACAAAGACACATTGCAACTAGTAGCTATAAATGAATAGATGGGGTATACGTACTCCGTGTTCGCCAAAGCCAGGTCGCTGGCTGAGGCGCTCGACAACCTTGTGCAGCTCTTCTTGGAGCTTGACTTGGCGCTGGCGCTGCTCGCCGGTCTCGGTGGGGAGGGCGAGGATCCATTTCTGCATAGTAGACCAGACATTAGGGATAGGCTTGCCGGGGGCGACATTAGCAATCATGGAGACGGCAGTGGGTGTGCTCAAGTTGTCCGTCTTGGGGCGGGCAGTGCTGGGCAGGCAGGGGACGGTAGCGTGCCATTGAGCAAGACGGCGGGCAACAGCGGTGGTGATGGCGGGATCAGGGAGGTCCTTTGCTGTGCAAACAGTACCCGAGATGTAGCGGTAGAGCATGCCGTTGGCGAAGCGGGCAAGCAGGGCAGGGGCAAGGCTGTGTTTCATGAGCAGCTCGTGGTTGGCAGCCTCGCGTTCGCGATCGATGATGAGATCTGTGTTGTTGCCGTAGGCGCGCAGCAGGATAGCGTCGCGGTCAATGTCGGCCTGGGACATGCCCGGGCGCTTGTTTGTGGCCTTGAGCAGTGTGTTTGTGATGCCATCCTTGAAATGGTTGAATTCGATGTGGGAGTCGTCGCTGGCCCACGAGGGGGCGAGGGTCAGGATGAGCTTGCGGGCAGAGTTGTCCGAGTCCGCGGGGTCGTAAGAAAGCGGGATAAAGCGAACGGGGGCGTGTTCCATGGTTGCGTCGGCGGAGGGCGACATGATGGGCGTAGAAAGAGAAGAGGAAAAGGGGGAGAGGAACTAAAGAGCGGTCGAGAGGGTTGTTGACAACAAAAAAGGAGTTTCTAATTCGGTCAATGGAGTTGGATGAGTGAGGCAGCAAGTGTAACGCCAGTGATAAAAGACGAAACAAGCAAATCCACGGGCATACAGAGCAGAAAAGCAGGGCAACCGAGGGCGTGGTGGTGATGTCGCGTGAGGGGAGGATGGGTGTTTTGGTGCAGAAAGCAAGAAAAAAGGCGGCGAGCGAGGGGGAGATGAGGTTGACGGCCCATCACACGACCATTTTCCCTTCCCAGCAGTGGTTTAGGCGGTCGGGGCAGCAAATTTCTGAGCTACGGGGCGCTGTGGTTGGCTGGATGGCGCCTGGAAGAGGGGTACAACGCCCTGTTGTGGCCAGTAGGAACGCTGGAGGGGTGCCCATGTGGACGCTACTGGCTAAGGGGGGGCGTTGCGCTGTGCTGGCTGTTTGTCACCGTGATGGCCGCCCAGCCTCGGGTGATTTTTCTTTTTTATTTTCTATTGAGGTACTCTAATACAACACATGGCGTAAATCATAGTGACACTTGTGTATTTTATTGTATATTTTTCTCACGATTGTTTCTACTACGGCGCAACTAACTCCCACTAACCCATTTGTTGAGATTTCTGTGTTGGTGGCTGCCCCTCGGCGCACCGCCTGAGCCCCCCAACGGCTTGTGAAATAGGCTCTGACTCCACTGTCACAGGCTTATTTACTCTACTGGGCTGGCCTCATACGGCCTGTGCCGGCTATACGAGCCAAATAGTGGGCAAACAATATTGCGCAAAACTAAAAAAAAGATACAATGTGGAAATATCAGTGGACTATATTGAATTTGTCAATGTCATTCCCTAAATCATACGGAATACTTCCCAATTTATATGCTGCTGACTACGTGATGGACTATCTCTCAAAGCTCTAGGGTGGGTGGTCGTTTGCCGCAGTACACAGCAATGTCCGTTTGAGAAGCAAATAAAATCTTTCAAATTACTTTACTTAAGAATAATATCAGTATAAACTAAATATGACACACAATCCGTTTCTATCTACTATTTACCGCGTGCTAACCGTATACACGCCATGGCACATCCGCACCTGCATAGCACATCTACTGCCCTGTCCTAATCGGGCAACAGTGGAGCTCTCCGCCCGCATCGAGCTTCCGCAACCTCCCACAGCTTCAGCGACATCACCAGCATCATCATCACCACGGTTCTCCCACCACGTCGCACGTGGCGACCGCCCTCCCCATAAGCTGGCATCACCTTCTCTCCAGCTCGCCTACCACCATGTAACCGCCCGCCATGTCGTTTGTAAACACAGACACCTTTCTCGCCGTCGCCCTCGTCATCAACCGATCCCGCGATGGCCCAGCCTTCGTCTTCCACTACCCACCAGAGGTCCATCCCGTTCGGCAGACCTCTTCCGAGGCAGAGGCAGCTCAGTCTCACGAATTTGAAGACCTCTTGCTCGAGAAGCTGGCTCTTGCCGGCTCCCACAGCGACCTCTCCGGCTCGCAAATCTCCTCCACGCAGCGCCATGCCGACGACCACCATCACAACCGCAGTGAGTCGGGTACACAAAAGGCCGCCTGGGAAAAGGTGGCGGGATTCCCTACGCGCGATCTTGCTAGCATCTTGACCCCCGCACGGTCCTACCATAAGCGCCTTTTCCAGCTCGCCCTCGACCCTCTACACTGCGTCTCGTATCCCATCCATGTGCCTGTCGATGGCAAGTGGAAGAAGACAAAGAAATCCAACAAGGCCAAGTCGGCAGCCAACACCGTCGTCAGCGAAGACCTCTTGTCGCCTGCAGATGCGGAGAATGCCAATAATGGCACCCCGGACAAGGACAAGGACAAGAAGGATGACGACGAGGAAAAACGCAGTTCCATGACCATGTTCAACTTGGTCTTTATCCTCAATCCCAAAAAGGACGAGACGCGCGAGCTAGTCGACGCGCTCTACTCCAACATTGTCAAAAAGGTCAACAAGGCCTACCAGTACAGTCAGCAGCATAGCGACTTTGTGTGGAAGGAATCTAAGCGCATCCTTGCCGCAAAGGACCAGGCTAGAGAAGATCGTACGTTGACTTTTATGTGCTTTTGAAAGAACCTTTAAAACTAACAATGACTATAGGCCGCAAAATGCAAGATCTTTGGAAAGACCTCATCTCGACATCATCGCTTGCAGCCTCTGTCCACGACATTTATAAAGCAGTCTCCCAGAACAAGATTGCCACTCTCCATCTCGAAACAGCCGCCGGCGCTCTGAACCCATCGGTACAAATACCCGCACCATTCTATGTTGCTGATATCCCCGCTGAAGACAACAATCGTGAATGCGGCCTGTGGCTCACAACAGCCAATGCCTTTATTAGCCAAGATGCCCTGGAGGAACCAGGCTTTCTCGACAAGAACTTTGCGCTTCTGCTCATGGACGACGAAAAGAAGATTATTGCCGAGCTCCAAGCCGACCAGGACCCGGCCACGATGCCCATGATTGAGTTTGTGCGGCTGTCCAAACCAACCATGAGCTTCTACCAAGTCGCACAGGGCAACATCCTGACACTATCCCAAGTGCGCAAGTACGCTCAGCACTTCATCTTTTGGCGCAGAGCCATTGCTATCCCGCCGCTCCACGCGCGCGACACATACATTGTGTCCCCCAACTGCGACCTCTCGCGCCTCGCAGATGATACTGTTGACTGGCAGCGCGAGTTCCCCGTAGCACCGCCGCTACCCAACTTTCTCGCGGAGCTCTCAGCCTGCCCGCGCCCGTACAAGACATTCTGCCCTAGCAAGGTCCACCGTCCACTGTACCTGCGCATGCTGGCCTGGCTGCTTCGCGGCGGATGGGTCACGCAGCTCTGCACGTTCGGGTATGTAGTGGTCTGGCCCGAAATCTTGTACGAAGTCGAGTACGAAATGGAAGCAGAAGAGCTCGGCCCGACACCGTCCACGTCTCCTGCCTCCGCAGGCACACAGACCAAGACGTTCTACTTTGGCCCCAACGACGAAGACACCGACAAGCCGGCCAATGCTCCCACAACACCTCCACCATCTGCCAACACCTCCCCGAATGAGACGACGGTAGTCTCGCCCGTGCTTTCTCCAGAGTCGCAGCATCAGCCGTCTGCTATTGAACAGGCCGCCGAAGCTGCACGTCTGGAGCGTCTTGCAGCCCGCCATGAGCGTGCTATTGCAGACAAGGCCGCCGCACACGCACGCAAAACAGTACCCATCACGACGCCGCACCCCTCAACCAACACGGCGTCTCACTTGGCCCATCTAACCCCACATGTCATTCTCGATGCGAAAAAGGCAACGGGCAAAGAATCGCGATATCTGTCTGCCATTGGTAGGCGCCTGTCAGATCGCGACGAACGCATTGGGCGAGCGTGGCCCCGTCTCTGTCGATACTTTGATGGGCATACGGCGTTGGAGAGGATTGCGCTGATGGAGGAGATGAAGCGTAAAGAAGCGTGGGGTCTTCTAAGTGGAATGGCTGAGTATGTCGCCGTAGTGCGTCATTGGTAGTTGGCGGTAATTAGTTCACCATATTAGTGTGTTTATAGGCGTTTTCAAAGGGTCATGGTTGTTAGCAGGTCGGGCGTTGGTTGTTATTTTAGTCACACATGCACAGTAGTAGAGAGATAATATGGTGTATAATAGCAGTGAGATTGGTATTGAATTAGGAAATAAACAGCATCTCATCAAGTCAAAAGTCGCAAAACGCCAGCAAGTCCGTGTACCATGTGCATAGAAGCAAAGGCAAAAACAAGAAAAGACCAAAAGCGAGGCAGGCAATGAGAATACAGCAGCGGTGACCACGACGGGCCGTACAAAGTGCTAAACTGCTCTCGAGGTATCATATGAAAAAAAAAGGCAAATAAAAAAGAACAAGGAAACCTCCCTGCGTTGCAAAAAAGAGAAGCCAAAAAAGCCAAGTCGAAGAACCAGTTGTATGTGTATAATCAAAGGAGTGCATTCCGCCCACGTTTGGCGAGCAAAGTTTGTATATATATCGTAGAAACGAAGCAAGCAAGCAAGCAAGCAAGCAAGCTAAAAAAGGACCAAGGAAGCAAGTGAAAAAGACGGGGACAAGGATAAAAAAGAGGAAGAGGACCACTCTCCAACGCCCCTGGACGCCGACCGGATGCAGATGAGAATCGATTAGGTTTCGCTAGGGACACAGGCGCGAACACACACATACTTGGGGAAGGACGAAGGGCAACACGTTGGAGCCAGCTTTCAACGCGGCACCGGCACCATCTCCCAAGAGAATGTCAAACAAAGGCGGCACATGCATAGCCTACAAGGCTGTATCATCAGAGAACCAGCTCTCCTTGACAGCTTGGGGAGCATGTGCATACCTTGCTTTGTAGTGGGAGAAGGGGAAGCGACTTATTGCGTCATCTCCAAGTCGTACTCATCTTCGGGCTTGAAGTTGAGTGAGACGGCGTTGACATCGTCATCGGGGTCATGCCAAAACTGGGCAGTCTCGTCGCCGCCGCCCACGCCAGGCTCGGGGGTGATGCCAACGCCGTCAAGGCCGCCACCGATGCCGCTGTTGATGGGCTCGCCACGGTAGTCGGTGTGGTGGGGAACGCGAAGGCCAGAGCCAGCTGTGCGTGTGTAGGAAAAGGCGCCCATCTCGTTCTTGGAGATGGTGTCCATGAGCTCCGACTGCATGCGGCGCTCGTCGTCGGTCAACTCAAAGGGGAATTGGCCGCCGAGCTCGGCAATGGTGTTCATGAGCTCCTCTTGCTGCTGGATCTTGAGGTGCAGCAACCACATGAGGTCACGGGTCCAGCTCACTGAGCCGTTGAGGATATCGCCCTTGTTGGGCCCTTTGTCCTTGTCCTCAATGGGCAGGCCGGTGGTGATGTTACCAGCACTGGCACCAGCAGCGCGGCGGGCTCCAGGGCCAGCCAGGCCAGAAGTAGCCTGCGAGGGGCTGGAGATGCCGGTAAGAGTAGGGGAGAGAGGAGTACCGTTCTGGATAAGCTTGCGGAGCTTCTCGTCCTCCAGACGATGAGCGGGCACAAGCTTGCTAAGATCTTGAATGCGCTCATTGATGTTGTCACGGCGGCGGCGCTCGACCAGGTTGTGGGACTCTCTGCGGCGCTTGCGCTTCATCTCCTGGGATGATACGGCAGTGTTGGGGACACCGAGCTTAGCAGGCATCGACGTGCCACCCTTCATCATGACCTCGTTGATCTGGCCCATACCAGCTTGCTGCATGGGCGAGGAGAAGCCCGAGTTGTAGGAAGCAGGGATGCTGCCGTTGGGAGTGTTGAGCCAGTGGGTAGGCGGGGACTTATCGTGGCTGTTGGAGGCGCGCATAGACTGAGGGCCAAAGGCGGGAGACTCGTGAGAACCAATGGGCATGCCTTGCATGCTGCCCGTCTTGGGTGTCATTGGTGTTCCGCGCTGGCTGGAGATCTTGCGCTGCATGGGCTGGCCCATGCGAGCAGCGCGAGCCTTGGCAAAGTTGGGGTCGTTGCTGTCGCCAGCGAGCTCGGTGTTGAAGGACATGGGAGAGTGGAGTGAGCCGCCCATCTGGCGGAACTGGGCGCCGTAGGCATTGTTGAAGGGGCTCTGGATAGGGTCGCCGTCGGGGGTGTGAGAATAGCCACTCATGTGCTGCGCATCAATAGGCAGGCCGGCATTGCTGCCACGGTGAGCATGGAAGGCATTCTGGTTGAAGCCAATGTTCATGCCCGAGAAGTCGTCCTGGACCTGGTCGGCGGGGTTGGCAAGGGAGTCGAGCAGTTCATCGTCACCGAGGACAGCGCCGCCCGAAGAGAAACCGTTGTTGGAGTTTGTGTTGGCGGAGAAGTTGTTGCCGGCGGCAAAGGAGGAAGAGTAGAGGTCGTTGGGGTCGATGTTGCCGGTGTTTCCGGCACTAAAGTGCGCAAAGCCGTGCTGAGCCATGGCGTACGTAGATGCTCTTGGTTGAGCCTGAAAAAAATAACGTGTTGATTGAGAGGAGATGAATGTGCCCGACGAGGGCGAAGCAGTTGCGCGCGCTACAGACGAGCGTGGAGGCAAAGCACAGGCGAGGCTCTCAAACGATGAGCGTTGGTCGGGTTGATGGCGCGCGCGCAAGGAAAGCGGGCGGTTGAGCGTGGGGGGTTTTAAGATGGCAAAGCCTGGGGAAATGCAGTGTTAGTAATGTTATTTAGATAAAAGGCGGTGCGTGCACGACGTGACGCAACTGCTTTTGCTTGCTGGGCTCGGCGGTTGGAATGAAGATGGGCAAAATGTCTGACGTGGCCAAGCACAAAGCAGGGCTGGGGCCAGCTCCTAGGAAGCCCAAAAGAGGAGTCACTCACTCACTCGCTGCGAGAATCGGCGGGCGGAGATGTCGGGGAGCAGCAGGAAGCACCGGAATTGCAATGTCACTGGACAAAGTAGACTAGACAATGAGGAAGAGCAAATGTTAGAAAAGGATGCCCTGATCTGACGATGCAAAAACACCAAGAAGTGGTGATGTCTGACGGGGGGTTGCGTTGTGGTGGTGATGATGGAAAAGGGAAGAGGGAGAAAAAGCAGAGAGGCGGGGGAGAAGGCCACAGGAATAAGCACGTCTTTTTGCCCAGAGGCGGTTTGTGAGAGGGTAGGCAGCAAGGCGAACTGGGCTGGCCGCTGAACGAGGCGCTGTAGCGGTAGCGGGACACGGCGGGGGAAGCGCACTGCAGCGGGTAGCACCACTATAACAGGCACCCAGTAACCTGGAACACTGGAAGAAACAAAACCCAGCCAAACGGAGGCAAACGGAACGGGGGGCGGCCAAAGCAAGCCAAGCCCAGCCTGGAGAAAGGGCCCTGCTTTGGTACCAGCCAGTGGGCTACCCACCCGGAAAAAACGGGTCTCCGCCGTCCTTCAGCGCTCCCTGCCCTGGGGCTGGCTGCTGGAGCTGGAGCCAGCTGCGAGATTTAGGCGGTGACAGCGGCTTCCGTCGCCTTTTTTTTTTTTTTTTGCTTTTTTGCCCGCCAGTCTGCCCATTCTGCCACAACGCAGTTTGAAGGGGGGCGTTTTTGCCTGCTTTCTTTTTTCCCATTGTACCTCTGGGCTTGCTTGCTTGCTTGCTCGTATACATGGGCTTTTCCGCAAGCCCAAAAAAGACCCTGAACTGCCACTTGCGCACTCACGCAGTCTCGGCGCTGGGTGCCCTGCGTCCTGTGCATGCTGAGCTGAGCGTTGGGGGGGCGAATAGCGCAGCGCCTCGAAGGGGGCCCGGCGCCTAAAACAGGTGCAACTCTAGCGGTCGAACCCTGCCCACCCCGCGCAACAGTACGCAAGGGCAGCGCCGCCCACCGCCCAATAGGGAGGCGTGGATGCAATGTAACTGCAAGCCAAAATGCGGAGAAGTTGATGCGCAGCACCTGCAGCAGTAGGATGTACTGGGCACCGAAGATACCGTTGCTTTGCTTTTTGCAAGATGACAGAAGTTGTCAAAAATACAAAAGAAACATGAGACGCAAAGCATGCCAAAAACACCATGGCGATTCTCAGAATTGCGCCGCTGGCGTCTCTTTTTTTTTTTCCTTCTTTGGCTCCCACCGGAACGCATCCTTCACCGCAACTACACCACCGCCGCCGCCGCCGCGCACTAACAACGGCAGAGCGGCGGCGGTTGGTGTGTGTGAGTGTGTGTGCCCCAGAATATGACAGAATAGGACAAGACCATAAGACGAGGTCCGGGAGCCGGTTCTGCGTGCCTGCATGCCTGTCTCTGCTGCACAAGACTCGCTCCCCGCCTCTTTTGGGATCAAGCAACCAACCCACGAGGCACAAAGGTGGAAAGGGTACGGTACTCATACCGCCCACCTCAACTGCTGCTGGTGCTGCTGGTGCTGCCGGTGCCGCTGGTGTTTGTTGTCTTGGATGATCGCCTGTCTTTGAGTTGAGTGGTGGTGCGCGTGGGGGAGGCTGATTGATAGGCGAGACATGGGATGACAGCCCGGGCCGGTTCAGCAATGCCAGCCTCGGAGAAATAAAAAAAGAACAAGACATGGGGGATGATGCGCTGCCAAGCAAAATGAATGCCACAGCAGTAAAACCGAAAAGAGAGACAAAAGGAAAGCAGCAGCAGCAAATGATGCACTGTAGCAGTAAAACTCACCTTATTCGGGTTGACAGTTGGGGCGGAGGAATGGTGCGCCAACGACTAAGTAAGTAAGCACGGCGGATAAGCTCAACCGTTGGTAGTTGGTGGTGGCTGAAGAAATAAGAGTCAGAAAGAAGAAGACGGATAAAAGGTTAAGTAGTAGAATAAAAAGAAATACTGCCAGGCCAAAACAATTGTTAGGCAGCAAGCAGGCGGCGGGGTATATCTGGTCAAGGTGAAAATGAGGCTTACAAAAGCCCCCAAGTTTGCAAGCCTGGGAAGACACGATTCTTTTTATATAGCAAAAAAGAAAGGTCACCTCCTGGGCGAGCAATCGCAAACTCTGCTTAAATCGGGACTGCCAGCCAGTAGTATTCACGCCGGTAGATAAAAATACCTGGACGGTGAACCAATAGATTCGCGTACGTCACAGCACGGGCGATGAGACACGCGCTGAGGTGGTATGGCGATAAGGCCAGGCAGTGCAAAAAGGGTTTGATCCGTGTCGCAGACCGCAACACAGACTAGTAATCGGGTAATTAAAAAAGGAAAGAAAAATAACCACGGGATAGAAAACAAGGTTTGAATGACGCAACAAGGGAGAGAGGAAACGCAGACAAAAGAGTTTTGGTGCTGTGCTGTGATGCTACTTACTCTGATGGGCGGGATATCGCGCGCTTGTCAGAAACACGAGGTCGTTGGTTAGTGGCCGGGGGCACGCACACAGGCAGTGAGTGAGTGAGTGTTTTAGTTTCCGGCGCTATAGGTGGGTTTGGTTGGTGGGCAAGTGGTGGCGAGTCGGTTTCAGAAGCGCAAGGCAGAAGAACAAAGATAGCTTCTGTTGACGATTTTCTGACGAGTCGCAACGTGCAGGATCAGCGCGGTCGGAAGATGCCGTGCGTAAAGGTAGATCGTGGGGCTGGTGGTGGTTGTACTTCTGCGTGAAGAGAGTTTCGGCGAGAAGTGTAAGAACAAAGGTAGAGTTTGAGGATCATGAAACAGGTCCGGGCAAACTCAAAAAGTAAAAATATAAAAAAATAGCAGGTGGTAGTTCTCCAGCAGTTTGGTCGGTTTCCACAGCGCGTGCGTGCAAAAGGCAATAGAGTTTGGGGCTGCTGCGGTGGTATTATTTGACTCTGCTTCGGCGATATCGCCAGTTTAGTTAGCCTGTATAACTTCAACAACCAAAACGGTGGTTGGCAAAAAAAGGACGCTAAAATCCGGGGTCGCGCACGGCGCTGCTGCACATCATCCGCCCCCCATCCGCACCCACACCCACCAGTAAAAAGAGCGCTATAGAGCAGCTAGCGGCGGCAGGCACTAAAGGCAGCGCGCGACCGTCCGCAGCCACTACTAACGCTTTTTTCCTTCCCTTCGCGCTAGCGAGAGCAGCCCACCTGAACCTCGGGCAGATTCATTCCCGTAAGGATGGGTGGGTGGTGGATAAGGTGGTGGTGGTGCGTAACGCAACAACAAAAAGTAGAGCACTGGAAAGTGGAACACAACTTACACTGAAAGGCTGTATAGTTGGTTGGTGGTGGGTGTGGTGGGTAAAGTGTTTCTGCTGCTGCTGAGCGGGTGGCTGATGAACCGGCCCGTGGCGAAAAAAAGAGAAGCAAAAAGGTAAACCAGACCGTTTAGACTTTGGGTCTAACGGGAACTCTCGTGGCTGGCGGGCCTTTGTTTCTTTGTTGCAGTCGGGCTGCGTGTTTCACGTTTTGGTCCAAGGACGCAGTGGGATATCGATAGAGTTTGGGTGGCACGTAGTAGTAGTTGATAGTTACTGCGCGACGGATACGACGGCAACAGAAGATTGACAAAAGGCGTGACGTTGGTGTTGCTTGGTTGGTGATGTTGGTGTAAGTCAAGAATGATGAGGTTGAATGCGCAAAAAGAGATCAAGTGGTTAAACAAAATGTTTTCTTCACAAGACGGTCTGCGCGCGCGGGAGTCTGGGGGTCACGTATGTTATATAGTCATTCACTCGTCTTCTCCTCATCGTCACTTGCAAGCCATGCATGCTTTGGATCTCAATAGACGGACAGAGGAGGAGGGCCTGTCCTTTGCGCAACACACGCCCCCTTTGCTTCCAAAGAAGGCCGCCCTCTTTTTTTGGGGGGGGATACATCTACATGGGCAGACAGTCTACTTCGATACATACTCTAAAAATGGCGGACGGGGAAAAGAAAATGACATCGCCATGCTGCGCGATGTTGCGCTGCCGGTGCAAATCCACCGGCGCCGATGTAGAATGACTGACAGGCAGCCAGCCTAGGCCCCACCTGGTCTTGTTGCGCAAGATGCACACCTCCCTGTTCTTTTTTTTCCTACCATGCACAAGCAGATGCTAAGGGAAATATCGCGTCTTCTGACTTGATAAACGGCGTCCATCCGGGCGGGCCAGGAGGCGCACAGGGTGTGTGGCTATTACCAAGCACAAAGAAGAGCAGGTGGTGGTTGTAGTGGTGGTGGCGGTGGTAGTGGTGCTAAATTGCTACTGTACTTTCTGTACTTGCAGTACGTACAAAGTGATAATTGGGACACCTGCCACACACACCACCACACACCCGTTCTCGAGGCAATCGCCCATCCAGCGTGACTCGGGGAATTTCGAGACATGCGCCAAACTAACTATCTGCACGCTGCACGCTCCCGTATTGCTGCTGCGTGCGTGCGCCTCCCATCCTTTTTTTGATAGCTATACTTTTTTTTTTGGGTGCTTTCGACGGTGAGCCGAGTCGCGCACGCGTCGCGTCGGGATGATGCAGCTTCCTTTGTCCATCGTGGTCATGGGGGCGCGTTATCATGACGTCGGATTCTACAGGTCGCATTTGCGGCTGTTCCTGCAAGCAAGCAGGCAAGCCCAGACGCCTGTCCTGAATAAACCCACGCGCATCATGCAAGGAACCGCGATGCCTCGTCGCAGGCCGAAAAAAGCCATGCTGATGACGGGAACACGTAGGCAGCCAGCCAGCAACCGAGCAAGTAAGTACATGGACGAATACGGGCATGGCACGACAGCAAAAGCAGGACCAGTAAATCGTAGGCAACAGGCCAACGATCTGGAAATGGCTGGCGCGGCCTTTGACCGTTTGGTCCTTATGCATGGCATCATGGCGGCTGCAGCATGCCGGCATGTCTGCCTGCACATCCCAGAAATAGAGTAGGACGAATACTAATACACTTTACGGAGCGCAATGGTGGCGCGGGTACGGCAACAACCAGTACCGCCGTATTGGTAGAATCTAGCCTGATGCCCGCAAAATTAGTAAACCAAGTAATACTCAACCCAACTAACCACATAGCTACTATTGCTGCGCTGCCTGCACACAACAACCAGCGGCGCTCACTCCGCTTTGCTCTGCCTCGTTCCACCGACTGTGTCTGCCTGCATGGGCGATACTGGGGATGTAAGACAGAGGGCCTCAGCGTGCGCTGAAGGAACTCGGCATTTGCCGAGACGGCGACACAAATCAACAGTCAACTACAGAAAAGGGCCCTGAAACTTACGGCTGCCACAACACCAGTACAGACGACGAGGGCGTTTACCTGTTGGTGTGCGCACTTTGCAAAGGTGAGCAAAAGTCGGTAAGGACCAGGATCATGGAGGGTGGTGTAGCGGCGGCCGGATCGTCCACAGCGCGACTCGGCGGCAAAAAAATGGACATGTCCTGTTTTGTGGTATGACTGACTAGCGCAGCTGTAGAGGTTGGCATTTGAAAATAAATGGTCAGCATTAAAAACGACGCCGGATATATACGGGCAGAGAAGCCAGTAATAGCAGCAGTTAGTAGCAGCGGCTTGGAGCAAACTAACTTAGCTGCGATGACTTACATGATGCCGTTTGGGCGGTAGGTGGGAACAGTGACGCCATAGCGCATGCTTCTGGGCTGGGCTGGCTGGGCTAAGTGCATGAGGATAGCGTTCATGCAGAGCGGATGCGAGATGCAAAGCGGTGACAAAGACAGAAAGGACGGCCGCAGTTGGTGCATCTTGCATGGCAGCATCTGTTCTCCATTGTTTTTTGTCTTCCCGTGTGTCTTTCGCAGGCTTGTCCTTGTCATGGGGGAGGTGTGCACACTAGGACTGGACACGGGGACGGGTGAGCGGGGGGGCGAAAGAGTGGTGAAACGCCCTAAAGAGCAGGCAGAGGTGTAGAGGTGCAAGAAGCCCACTCACACACTAGAATGGGCCTCTGTAAAAAGGCGAGTTGAGTAGAGAAGAGGGGGCGTGTGGTGTGGTGCGTCAACTGGTGGTGGTGGTGGTGGTGGTGAAAGCAGGCTCGCCGTCGCCTGAGACAGGTTTGGTGAAGGCTGTCCTGCAAGTATATACGGGCTGATTCCAAGGTACTGCTGCTGTTGCTGCTGGGTAAATGTAACTGTACGAGTCAACGCGTATAAGTCGTCTGTTGGAAAAACATGGACGAGTTTTTTAAAAAAGAAACATGCACCGAGGAACAAGAATACAAACCTGATTCCAGGGGACTACAACTAAGAGACGGGATCGGGGTAGACTAGACTCAACGGCGGCGTTGCAGTATTGGTTTTGGAGGTCCCGTCCGCAAGTGTGTAAAGTAGAGCAGCATCAGCCAAGGGTTCGTACGGACCGCTGTGGGGAGAAACGGCGAGAAGCGCAAAGGGCCGGGCCTCGTCTGATCGTGACCAGGTTGGTTTACGGGAGGAGGAGGGGGTGGTTGCAGCCAATGGGAGAGCGTAGACGGGGAGTGTTGCACTTTGCCAAGGTTTAGTTTGATGCTGGTGCTTGATGCTGCTACGAGAGAGAGAAGAGAGCAGGAGTTGTACTAGTAGTATTTACAAAAGATCTTCTTCTTTTTTGTTTTTTTGTAGTGTGGTGTAAAGTAAATGTGGGATGAGTGATGAAGAAGAAGGGGAAGAAGAGGGGAAGGGTGTTGTGCAGATGGAGGAGGGGGAGAATAGAGAGGAAAAGGATTGTTATGCATCAAGCAGGAAAAACGAAGATGAATACAGATAAAATAGTGATAATAATAATAATAATACAATGCATGTACATATGTTATATCTTGTATAGCCTGAGATGTATTATTTTGTGCTTGCACCAACCATCGCCTGTGCTACTATTATCGCCGCTACTATACATGCACCAAAACGTTGTGCTGATGCGGCTCGTGTATTATGCTATACAAGATACCTTCTTTGTAAATTTTTAGTGCATACTTTGTCCACTAATACACACAACCTGTGCACTGCACTATTACACCTGTCCGTCTGTCTGCGGACAGTACAGTGACAGACACTGACGGACCGGACTGACCAATGCCGTCAGTGGGGTACCGTAGCAGCAGCTCGCCGCCGCCAGGACCAATCATGTGAGCCACTCGCCTACAGCCCCACTCGTCCTGCTCGCAGCATCTGCCTCTCATCTGCCTCCCGCAACTTGACAGGTCTCCTCCTCCCTGCCCAAGGTGCTATTCTATTCTTCCCACGACCAGCTGCTCTTTCGACACACGCCCCCCCTTCTTCTATTCATCTGCTACGGATTACAGCTTTTTCCTGCTACCAATACTACGCCACCAAGCTTCTTCCTTAGCTCCCGCTGCTTGCTTGCCTGCGTCCTCGCCTCTGCTTCTGCAAGCTGCACGTCCATCGTATCGACTGCCGAGCAAGCCTTCCATCCCGTCTCCAGTCTTTGCCGCCAAACACCTACTTGCGTCTCCTCCATCTGCTCGCCCGCTCTTCCACTCCCGAGCCTTCTCTCTTTCTCGCTTGGCCATCCACACCCCTCCCCCCCTTTCTACTGTCATCGGCCTACTCTGCTTGCCTGCTTGCTTCTGCGTCGAGTAGTAGCTAGCTAGCTAGCTTCTGGTATCATATCACTGCTACTGCGGATACTACTGCGGATACTACTGCTATAACCAAGCTATAGCTGTACACCATCTCGGTCGACGGCATTCCTTGGGCATCCCCATCCGCAGTCGAAACCACCCCCTTCACGCGCCGCTTCTCTAGCTCGACTCCAACGTCCACACACCCCCTTCCGTCTCTCGCCAACCCTTCCGAGTCGTCCGTCGCAGCCGTTTTTTTGGGCTTCCACACCTCACCTCGACTACGACGCCCCCGTATACCGCCGCGCTTGCGCTTCGCCTTGTCCACCTGCCCATTCTCTAGCCACACTTTGCGCCCCAGAGCTCCCCGACACTCCCGGCATTCCCATCAACTCGTCCCTCCGAAGCTATACTATACTACGACGCTAGACGACGCGCAGCCCCATCCGCCACCCCCAGCTTTGCTCTGCTCTCTGCTTGCTGTTGCTACTGCTGTTGCCTCTGTTGCCTTTTAGCCCTGCTGCCTGCGCCTGCTACGCCTCATCGTCCGCGCAAGACGCTCCACGCAACCATCACTGCGTGCCTAAACCTTGTTTTGAGGTATACCTAGGCATAAGACAGCTCTCCCTCTACCGCCCTCGCTTGTGTGGCCAATATAACTTGGAATCAAAGCTGCCACAGCACCGTGATATCCCGGGAAAGCCCTACGCCAAAACGGCAAATACTCGAGACTAACTGCCCTGGTGGGGTTTTGTTAATCTGCTACTACGACTACTACGCTGCCTTTGTTTAAAAGCGAAACCCGCTCTCTGCAAGCCGTCACAAGCACGCCGATCCGAGTAACCAACCCTACGAGCCGGCCCTTTCTTCATCGCCGCTCCTACTCTAGCTACCCACCAGACTCACACCACCCCCTTGTTCGACTATTACTGCTGCCACACACGCTCGCCGCAACCCTATCGCTATCGCCTGCGACGCTTTGTGCTCTCAACACCGCCTTATCACCCATCTTTTTTGCCAATACGGAAATAAACCATGGCTTCGTCCAACTTCCGAGACTCTATCAACTCCCTGGGCTGGAGCCGCCGAGATGAGCCCATCAATACCGCCCCCCAGCCCTCGGGCTTCTTCGGCGCCCTCCAAAACCTCAACCCTTTTCAAGATTCAGGTTATCTCAGCTTGCCTACACATGACGCACCCCCAGGCGCGCCGCTGCCTGCTCCTACCCGTCGAGAGGAAGAGGAAGGGTGGTTTGCTCGTAAGTCTTGCTCCTCCTACATCTCTAGCCATGTCCCGTCACAAATACGGCAGCCGTCCCTTTTGCTTTCCAAAACCGTATCAGCCTCTTTATTGTTGCATGCACACGTGCGTACAAGGAGCACCAAGAAGCGATGCGTAGCTTTGTTTCCAAATGCGCACGCCAGTCCACCCACGCCCCCCTCCCATGGCTGCCTTTTGCACGTTTCATGCCGTCTTGCGGGAGCCAGTGCTACTGCTACGAGTTCTCTCTTATTCGATTTCCCCATGTGATGCAAATGTCACTCTGCTTTGGCCTTCGCCCTCTCCACCCCCCCTTCCCATACTCCACGCGCCTTATGCAAGCCTCCTCTGGGCTTTGGACTTACATGCCGGCCCCCCCATCCATCCCATCTTGCCCTATGTTCGATCACCGCTATCTAGAGTTGCGCCGCCGCCGCCTCGTTTCCATTAATATGCAGCACATGCTAACTTGCTTGCCCCCCCTCTAGTCAGCCGATGGGACCGCCTATTGGTCTTTGGCGCATGCAACCTCGCCGCCTTTGCATGCTTCTCCATCGCCTTCTTTACTTTACCCATGCTCGCCCTCCGGCCCACCAAGTTTGTAACACTGTAAGTGATGTCATGGTGGCTTAGGCTTCTGCCTTGGCCATCGTATTTCCTCTCGTTATTTCACCTTTCCCATTCCAAAACCCGCATTTCTTGCTGCGCCATGCATAAACCTGATGCTGCTCCGGCTTCTTCCTTTGACGGCATTCTTGTAATCAGGCTGTGATGCCCACGGGCCGCGCGGCAGTTTCAACAAAGAGGCAACAGCAGCAGATGTCTCGCCTTGTTCCGTCTACAAGGGACCCATGTTGGAGGAGGGCATCAACAGCACCCCCCAATCCGGCGTATTGGAGGCCTGTCATGTCATGTGCCCATCATGTGCCTGTCTGCAAGTCATATCTGCCTGCAGTTTTTGGAGCTGCCGGCACGTCTGCAACGCGGACCCGCATCCGATGGCCTGCTCGCGGGTTCTTGGAGAATCAAGCTTCGTCTCGGTCTCCATTTGCTGCATAGTTTATGTGATCCCGCGGCAGTGGCACCTTGACATCCCGCAGGGAGCGACCAACGTCGGTGCAGCAGCAGCAGCAGCAGCATGCGGACGGACCGTGGCCCTTGCCGTCTGGATCGCTCCCGTTTCCCGCCGTGTTAATGACACCGGTTGCTTTGAATATGGCGTCTGCCTATTGTCACACTAAGCCTTCTGGTGCCTCTGCAGTGTCACTGCAACGGTGATGAGGACCCTGTGAAGAGCAGCAACTCTTCTCCCCTATGATTCGCTCCTGCATCTACCCTGTTATTGCAGTCAACTCTAGAGAATTTGGATACTAACCGCGTTTACAGATGGACCGTAGGCTCTCTCATGTTCCTTTGCTCGTTTGCCGCCGTCATGGGCCCAATGGCATACCTTCGTCACCTGTTGTCCGGGCCCCGGTTGCCCTTTACGGCGGCATACTTTGGCTCCATCTTCCTGACTCTGGTCATGGCTCTGAAGGTATGATACCCTCTTTTTTGCTTCTGTCGCCAAAATTTACAGACATCTAACCATTGCCACAGCACCAAACAATCCTTACGCTGCTTTGTGCCGTTGTGCAAGTCGCCTGTCTGCTATGGTATCTTGTCAGTTACTTCCCTATGGGCACACAGAGCTTGCGCCTAGTCTCTTCGTTTGGCGCCCGACAGGCTACGTCCTGGATGAGCGGTTAAGTAACAAACGCTGTTTTATTATGACGATGTAAACGACACGTTACTCTGAGTGGTGCCAGCAAAAAAAGTTTGTATAAATGTATTAATCAAGAACCGCTCTGTGGGGGATAGTTGGGATGGCGAGTCAATCTGCCGCACTCCATGTAAGATACTGTAGGAAGGGGGCGATATTATATTACACATTCCATAGCAATTCATCACTGTCTGACTTTTGAATACTAGAATCCTATAGCTCCTTGTGATTCATGATGTTTTTGATAACTGCTTGCTGAGATGTCGTTGCGACGAGCAGCAGAGGAGTGATGTCATGTGACTTATTACACCGTCGGGACAGGTATTCGAGCAGCTGTGACAATCAGCGATGCAGATGCACGGATATTCTTGCAAGCAAGGTTCATGGCGTTATAAAGCGGCTTGCTGGTTGATCTGACATGCTACAGGTATACGTGTCTATTACAATATAAGGCTTTGGTTGTTTGCTGGCGCCATGCGTTGTGGTTAACTTTTGTGGCTGGCGTCTCGACAAAAAGAGCCGGACGCCATCGGCATTGGAAAAGCCAGTACTACAACGACAGCCCAGGTTGATATTGGGTATTGTTTCCGGGTTGGCCCATGTGGCGCTTCAGCCAATAGTCACGGAGTCAATACCAATTGTCCCTTTTTAGGCGGACGCGAGGCCCACGCTGGGAATTTCTGGTTTGGGAGTCTGATGCGCAAAGGGTAGCCGCGCATCAAGGTGCCTGGATGTGGCCTTATCGATGAACCTCTTTGGTCTGCCCCCGATTTCGTGTGGCCTGCGGCGGCGTCCAAAATAGGAAAACGAGGCGGTCGCTGGAATTTGGTTACACGATACAGTGGTATTTCTGTGTGAGCGCCGAGCCACGGTGTACAGTACCTGAGACGAACCGGTTCTCTGGTTGTTGGGGTTTGGCTGCGACAAGACATGTGCTTTGGTAGGTAGGCAGGTTACCGTGGTACCGGGACTCGGGGGCCGCAAGTGCCGTCCAGATTGGGATTGTGTTAAAAAGAGAGAGACAGAGTCTATGGGCGTCTGTAGCTATAACTAAACCACTGTGGGTGAGTTGACAAGCAAGCAAAGCAAGCAGCCTTGCTGAGCATCGAGTGCGGGGGATCAGGTGAGGTGCAGACAGGACGACGTCAACCGAAATAGTGGCGTGAGGGGACGATGTAGTAACGCTCTTCAAGAGAAGAATACTGTATACCTACCTCTACGGGCTATTTTTGGCATTTTTTTTCTCTTTTCTTTTTGCGTGGTTTGCGCCGTAGGTTACATTACATTGGGCACGATGCAAGCGGGGAGAGAAAGAGGCACAGTCAACCAGCCGCTATAGTGCATGCATGTGTGCGTGGATGCATGCATGCATATATGGATGGGCCGGGCCAGGGAACAAGATGAGGCGGGCGGCCCTGCTGTTGTGGAGGACAGCTAGCTGCAGTTTCTCGGACAAATTGATTCGTCGTACATGTTTTTTTATTGCATATTGTGTCTTGTACTGTGTTGTGGTTTGGTACGCATTTACCACTCTAGAGCTGCTGGTATGGAGAGACAGAAGAAAGCTACGAAAGTCGCCAAGTCGAAGAGCCGCTGAACGTGGAGACCAGGGGGTAATTAGCCATCTGACGAGACGGTAAACGGCTTTTTTTGCCCTCTTCTCCTGCTCAGTGTCGTGTGTCGCTTGCATGCTGTTACTGCGAAAGTCATCGTCAGCGAAATCCTAGCAAGCGGGCAGGGCCGCGAAATTAGCGTGTCCCCTCCCAAGACGAAAACGAGGGTAGTTCTGGCGGGGCTGGCTCTCGGTGCGAAATTGAGCAAAAAGTAATAGCGCAAGGCTAATAGGGCCACAATTTGCACACACAAATTCCCGTGAGCCGGGGAAAGACAAGCAGCCCTCGTGCTCTCGCTCTTCATTGACTTGCTGCAGAAAAAAATAAAACAGGGCCCGCTGTGGGGAGAGCAGCCAGCAGCGGAGCGTTGGTTACGGGCATTTTTGGGCGCCGTAGCAAAGTGGGCCGTAGAAGAAAGAAGCGGACGGGAGAAGGACAGGGACCGCGCGCACAGAAAAAAAAAAGGAAGCAGAGAAAAGAGGAGGGGAAAGTGAAAATTGATCAGTAGAGTGAGAGATGGATTGGGGTTTAGTGTAAGTTGGTGAAGAAGGTGTCTTTGACTCTCATCAGATGGAATATGTATGCATATATAGCAATCAACAGGTAAAGGACAAGTTCCATGAGTCTTCAGGTGTGGTAGGTAGATACAGTGCGAGTAAGGTAATGACCAGCCAGTAAAGTTAGCCGGCTTCTAGCGCTGCTACTACTACTAAAGAGCACTGTTGCAACCCCGAAAAGAGAGCCCTGTAAACGCCCCCAACTTTGCCTGAACTCTATTTTGAACACGCGAGTAAGCCTTCCCCAGGTCTAACGTATGCACATGGCTTGCAAAAGCCCTTTTATTTTTAGTCGATAGATGTAGTAATACGGGCCGGCTGGCTGACTGGATGCTGTACTTGGGCGGCGCTGAAAGAAAGAAACAACCGTGTTCTTTTCCTCTCCGGGCTGATGCTGCATCCTGTCTGTTTGCCGCCGCTGTACTTGCTTCACTAGGCACCAACTCTTCCTCTGTCTGACTCTCGTAAAAACGTGCCACCACGCCGTTGTAAAGTATAGAAACTCAATATTTTATAAATTGCATCTGCCACAGACAACTACATCCCTTTTTTTTTTAATTATTATACAACAGAATGCTATTCACAGAAAAGGGTATGACTCCTCCTTTGATGAGTTGGCTGCATCAGCTCAGGCTATGCATGTCGCAGTCAGTCACGCCGCACCACCAGCACAGCACAGCACAGCACAGCGCATCGCACAGTGCCAGCGCAAACCGGCGAATCGTGGCGTCCGCCCAGCAAAAGACCACCCAAGTCAACCCAAGTCAGCCAGAACGGAAGGTCGTTTGTGCTGCCAGCGCAGTGCAATTTGCCGCCCAAAATAGGACATCCGTTGGTCCAACTCGGCAACGTGAATACACAGCGTTAGTCAGAAACAAACAGAAAAGATAGAATGTTTCTGCTATTAGTCCATCGTTTGCTAGACTCGCAGACATCCCCCATCTGCCGTTTGGTTTGCTGCCTTCACTTGGGCTCTACTATAGTAGTAGTTTGCTGTCATTAGTGGGTTTTGGAGTGAGTAACCAACTGCGCTGCCTGTTTCGCTCCCCAGATCCTTCCCGAAACCCCCGATGTAGCCGTGCCCGGTCGCACTGTGGCCGCCCAGCCAAACAACCCGTTCCCCACCGCACCATCGGCACGACCACTACAAAAGCTGTACAAAAATAAAAAGGGCCGTTCTGTATCGGCCGGCCGGCTGCGCTGCTGGTAGTAACTGCGTTAGCCACCCACGCAACCACGCAGAAGACAAACGGTGCCTGGCCATCGTCCTGCGCACTGTATGCCCACCCACCTTGGGAATTCCTCTTGTACTGTGCTTGTGCTGGTTTAGCGGCTAGGGTCCCCCTTCTCGGTCCCTCTCTCCCCCCAAAAGCCCTCACCCGACCATCGCCGCCCTCCCCCCCTCGGCACCCGCTGAAAAAAATAGACAAAAAACCAGACCTTCCAGCGGCCTACAGCGTGCTGCCCCCGCTATCCTACAGGCGTTTTTGCCCCAAAGCTACAGTAGCCCCAGCCCCAGGCGCCCAAAAGGGCTTTTTTTGTGCGTCTTGGTCGCTGGCCCGAGCCTCCGTACCTCTTTGCTGGCCGCTGTGCCCTCAGGCTTCTCCGCCTTTGCTCCTCTTTCTCCTCGCGTCCCCTTGCGAAAGCCTCGCATTTTTCTCCTCTCTTCTTTTTCACTCTCCCAATTCCCTTCGTTTCCTTGTCCGTTTGGTGCGAATTCCACGACATCTTCCCCCGGTCTCGTATTTTATCCCTCGTATCAGCACTTGTCGGCCGTTTTATTACTTCGAACCCGCAAGCTTCGTCTGGATAATTTATTCGCCTTGGGTTGTATTCTATTTTTTTTTACTTGCCCACTACGCTACTGTCCCCTTTAGCCAAACAGAAGACGCTCGAAACGCAAAAATCCTGCGCGTGCTCTACGGTTTCTGCCTCGCTTCGACTCATCCTTGCCTACTCGCCTGTCTCTTGTCGACAATTGAGTTGCCCTTCGACGAGCCGATTCGCTTCCGCACGTTTTGTTCGAGAAAAAAAACGACTCATCGCCATCGTCTGCTTCAGCTCGGCCTCACCCTGCTGTCGCCCTCCCACGCTTGGTCCATCGACAACAAACGGGCAATTTGTCCCATCTCAGATTAGTCTTGCACGCGCCTTGCTCGCCTGCTCTCGTTTGTTTGCAATCGCCGCTCTCTCCGACCACCGTCTTCGAGAAAACATATACGCAACTCGCAACCGCTCTGCTGCTCTCAGTCTTATCCGATAAACCGCCCCTCGGGTGTTTGGTTAACTGCTACTGCAGCCCTTGAGCAATCGCGTATACTGGCACCGTCTGGCAACAGGCAAAAAGTGACTGCTGTCAATAGCAACGACTCGTCTTCCTCGTGTTGTTTGCAGTCATCATTCCCCCACGTCGTACTCAGCACTAGCTGTGTTTTTGATCGACGATCGAGAGGCGCAACGTCCTGTTTAGCACTTCTCGGGAGATCAATCTCTGTGATCATCTGTCAAGGTTATTGAATCTCAATTCCCTTGCCAGAAATTATCGAGGCTTGGTTCGTTGAACCCTGTCTTTTTCGCACAGCTTTATTTTTTTTCTACCCGTTCTACTTGCATCAAACATACTTGACCCAGCATTCCAACCCGCATCTGCCACAATGGCCGCCACATCTTTTTCGTATGCTCAGGCCGCTCAAGGCACCGCAACACCATCACCTACTGGTACACCCCCTCCTCAGGAAACTGCCACCATCCCCTTGCCGTCCGCAATCGACTGGGCTTCTGCCGTTGAGATGGATGATGACGACTTTTCTGCCCCGGCTCCCGCCTCTGCTGCCAAGGAGACCACCGCTTCTCAAGAACCTGCCGTAAAGGAAAAGGTTACTGCTGTCTACGCTGCCGAGGCGCTCCCTAGCGAGACCGCCAACAAAGAGCCGACAACGTCAACGACCGATGCCCCTGCTGCTGAGGACGCTCCCACCTACCTTTATTACCGCGCTCCCGCCGCTGAGCGACAAGACTGGGAGAGCACGGTTGGCTCCGAGGCCGACTCAACATCATATCCCAGCTTCCGTCGCCGATCTGACAGCCGAAGAGAGGAGGATCCTGGCCGCCTTGAGCGCCCTTGGAGAAGGGCTGACAGAGGTAGCATGTCTGGTTCTATTGATGAGGAGAACCGCCCTGGCCGTCTTGTTAAGAAGTTTGGACGCGGGGGCGATAAATCTTCCAAAACCGCCAATGCTGAAAAGGTTCAGGAGGAAGCCGAGCCCAAGGGCGAGCTTCTTGAGGCTCCGATCCCTTCCTTCAATCCATGGACGCAACGTAAAGACAGCACCACCACCAAGGCCAAGCTTGTCCTCGCGTCTGCTGCTACTACTGCTGCCGCTGCTACCGCCTCTAACACGGCGTCGGCTCAGCCTGCCAAGGCTACAACAGCATCGTCGGAAACATCTGCTGCTCCCAGCGATTCCACTGCTGACAAGTCTGTCGACTCGGCAGTAAATGGCGTCGCCAAGCCCCCTGCACGCAAATGGGGAGAACTCCCTCCTCGCAACGGCGCTCGTGGTGCCCGTGTTGGTGACAAGGACGGCAAGAACGGTCTCACTGCCAACGACGACATTGCTTGGCCAACGCCCGAGACTGCCGTTCAGGAGGAGAAGAAGAAGGCCGCTACTGCTGCACCCGCTGCTGAAAAGGTGGAACGCTCTGACAAGGACTCGACAGACGAATCTGCTCCCGCCAAATCCCGTCCCAAGGAGAAGTGGGTTGCCTACGACTATGTCCCTACCGTCAGCTTCGAGACACAACTTCCTCAGATGCGAGGCTCCAAGCCCCGCGGTGGTGCCCGTGCCGTAAACGGCACCCGCCCTGCTGGTGCTGCTGGCCAGGCCGGTGACAAGGTCCCAGCAGCTCAGACCAACAAGTCCGCTGAATCTCGCAACCGCCGCGAAAGCTCCAACGGCGCTAGTCGAACCGCCTCCCTTCCTCCCACCAACAAGCGCGCCTCCCTCGATGGCACGCAACTCCGTGAGCCCCGAAAGGTCTCTAACCCATCCTCTGGCGACAAGGCCAAGGATCCCGCTGCTACCAGTGCAGCTGCTGCTGTAAGTGGATTTGCTGATCGCCTTTCCCAAATGTAACAATCGCTAACACATGCTCCAAAACATTAGGCCCAAAACTGGCGCGAACGTTCTGACAATGCTCCCAACGGCAGGGGACGTGGTGGTTACCGCGGCCGCGGCGGACACCACAACCTCGGCGCCAACTCTGGCGTCAACACCAATGGCCCTGCCGTCAACGGACAGAGCCAGTCACCACACATTCCTTCTGGCTTCAACGCGCATAACGCAGGCAGCCGTCCTCAGGGCCCCTACAGCCCTCCTCCGCGCCAAAATAGCCAGGGCCAGATGTTTATGCCTCCTTCGCAACGCGGTGGTCGTGGTGGCCGCAACGGTGCTAACAACTACCACCGCATGTCGTTGCCCAACAACGCTACCCGCATACCGCCACTGCAGATGCACTACGGCGGACCTTACGATTACCCCATGGCCCCCATGTCGGCGATGCCTTTCCAGCCCCAGCCGTACTGGGACCACATGGTCGTCAACATGCTCCGCTCGCAGATTGAGTACTACTTCTCCATTGAGAACTTGTGCAAGGACATGTACCTCCGAGCTCGTATGGACTCCCAAGGCTTCGTCCCCATGCACTTTATTGCTGCCTTTAAGCGTGTTCGCACTATGTCTACAGACATTGCCATGGTCCGTGCCGTCTGCGAGAGCTCGTCTGAGTTGGACCTTGTCGTTGGCGAGGACGATTTGGAGCGAGTCCGTCGCCGAGACGGCTGGGAGAAGTGGCTTCTCCCCATGGAGGAGCGCGATGAGTTTGCTCGCAACAGTGGCCCTGCGCGCTTGACGTTTAAGAACCGCCCTTTTAACATGAACCAGCAGTTCAACGCCATGCAGCTCATGGGCTATGCTCCCAATTACGGTTCGCCGACCGACATGAGCATGCAGCAGCAACAGCAGCAGCTCTACGTCGACCCCCAGCAGCAGCAGGCGGCAGCCTCGCCCGTTGTCAACGGCTCATCTAACGGTGACGTGTCCAAGGCGGCGTCCCAGCTTTCTGCCAACGTACCCGACTTTGCTCCCTCTGTGAGCTCACCAATTGTCAATGGCCAGCACGATACCGAGGCTACGACAAACGGCGTCCATGCAGAGGAAGCTGAGGCCGCGGCCGAGGAGGCCCAGTCTTAAATGAGCTGGCCTACGAACGAAAACACACATAAAAACTCTTTTTTACCAACAAAAAAATCCATATATATACCGAAAGGCCATTTCCTTTGTCACCGGGTTTTGTTTTCTGCACAAAAAGAATCTGAGTCATTGCTGTTTCATTTTGTCTGCATTAGAGCGACGGCGAAACTCTCATTTCAAGTTTTTGTTGTACACAAACGCAAACGAGGGCCATAAAGGAGGCTCTCGAAAGGGAATTTGACTTGCATCCACGGGGGATTGATGCACGCACAGTTTGCTGTTGGTGGTGGGCTTGGCCTCTGCCACAACAATCTATTTTTTGATAATCGATTTTACAGCACGATTTGAAGCCATCAAAGCAGCTTGGTTCTATTTCCCTCAGTCCGACGGAGATCAAAAAGAAGTGTTTTTTTCTCTCTTTTGTTTCATATTGTTCACTTTTCGTACTGCTACTGCTCGCTCTTGGACCAAAACTAGGACGAGTGCGGGCATTCCAGGAACTAGGGAAAAGGGATGGGGGGAGCAACATTGGCGTTTTCACAATTCGAGGGAAATAGGGAGACGACGATTTTGGTTGAAAGCACAGCATTGCGGGTGCTCTCGTTGACTTGAGCCTCTTTTTCTGCTTTTTCTTGACGCCCGCTGCGGACGGATCCGGGGCAGCTTGTTTCTGCTCATGATGCTGTTCTCTTCACGTTTGAAACACACTTGTGAAAAGGGCACTGCTGGACAGAAACCCCTGCGTGGCGAGAGAAAGGGAGAAGAAAGCATGACCGGAGAGACGAGCACGCTCATTTTTTTATCGAATCGAATCGAGGCGACATCACGACCGCTTAGAAGAAACAGGGCGACTCGAAACGACGACGCCCGGTGCATTTTCGACGATACATATTTTATTACTATTATTATTATTATTACCTTTTTCACAACAAAAACTCTGATTTCTGCCTTTTTTTTCGTTTTTGTTCTTCCCATTTGGTCCTCCCGATGCCTGGATTTCAGACATGCGAGGTTGCAAAGCTGTTTTGGGCGGATTTTTTCGCTTTCTGCGTTGTTGTTGTTTTCTTTTTGTTGCCAGTGGATGAATGATGGAGGTGGTAGAGAGGAGAGAGAGAGAGAGTCAGAGGTTGAAATGTATGATATAAATCAGGAAGTTAAAAACGAGAATTTACGCAAAACATGTACACTGATGATTGCCTTGTGATGTGATGTGACGTAAGGACTTGGCTGGATGGGCGAAGGACCTGGTGTCACGCTGTTCGAATAGACTCCATAGATTTCATATACCCGTTACTGGATATTTGCATTTAGTCATTACAATAGACCTACAGATGTGTTATAGACATGCTCTCGACGTGATTTTCCCTCTCAAAATATACAGTCAACTTCAGACCAAGGTGGTCGTGGATGTGTACAAGCTAAACAGAACAGAGGATCCTTTCCACATTACAACAGAGCGGCAACGAGGCCAACAAGTCCAGCCACAGCACCAGCAGTAGCTCTGGGAGCACCCGCCGCACCAGACGTTGAGCTAGGAGCCGCCGTGCCACTGTTAGTAGCACCAGTCTTGGAGCCTGTGCCCGAGGCGCCTGAGGCAGTCGGGGTAGGGATGCTGGAGAAGGACTGGCCCGAGTGCGAGCGTGTCATGGACTTGGAGGCCGGTGCACTTGTCTCCTCACTAGGTGTAGGCACAGTGCCAATGGGGAGACTGGCATGGTCGGTAGTTGTGACAACGGGGCCGGGGCCCGTGGGGATGGTGAAGACGGTGTGGGAGAAGGCTTCGCTGGAGAGAGGGCGGAAGGACTCAATGGGCTCGATGATGGAGAGACGGTTGCTGGATGTGGGGGCGTCGTTGTTTTGCTGGACGGGCAGCGAGAGCACGGTTGCGCTGTGATGTGTTAGTGATATTCTATTGAGTTGTGAGGTGAGTGAGTGCGAACCTGGCTGCTGTGCCGGCGAGGAGAGCGAGAGCGGTGACCTTCATGGTTGATGAGAGATTGTTGGGTTGGTTGACGAGAGTAGTGAGATGATGACTATGATTGTGATGATGATGACAGAGAGATGTGCGGTTGCCTGGGCATTTAAATAGAAAATGACGATTGCGTGGCAAAAGGTACAATGGGATGGATTGTCCTGCCACAACAGACAAGGCCCCGGGTGCCGATTGCCGTTTGGTGGTCCTTTTTTGCGTCCTATGGAGCTGGGGAAGGGCGGGGTTTCAGCACCTGGCTGCCTTCCTGATCGGGATGGTCGAAGGTGGGTCTGTACCGGACGATGAGCAAAAAACGTAATACCTTCAGGCTATTTGGTAGTCGTATGTTTGTCGTTGATAAAAATCGGAAGAAAATAGGATAAAATGTGGTGAATAGAATGACGTGGTCTTGATTTTATGCAATTATTTAGTGAAGAATATGAGAGCAGGATGCTGGTATAGAAGTGGTATCACGGCACATGCTGCTGCGGGGGAATGACAGAGGTACATACCCTGGACGCATGGGCAGATACGAGGACGATCGCCTGCCAATCGTTCGTCATGACGTTCCATGCAGTTAAGTAATAGATTATGTTTTAAGTATATCCCTTTGTAGAAGGTACGGCTTTTTTGTTTGTTACGAAGGGGGCTTGATCGGGTGTGCAAGCGAGCTTAGTCTAAAGTACTGGACTGGTCCAGAATGTTTCATTGGCGGTGGGCAATGACGATGGCGATGACGACGAAGGGGGGCCGATCGTGAGAATTGCCGATGGATGGAAAGGGGAAATGGATGGCCAATGTGTTTTAGGTTAAGCAGGATATGCTTGAATTGATTGACAAGGTTTACATCGGTTGGTGAGTGTCTTTTTAAGTTGGCATATGCGGGGAATTGGGAAGACGTTTGCTGAATGGGTCGTTGGGTGTAGTAGCAACCGTAGCAGCAGCAGGCGGCTATTGAGAGCGATGAAGATGGTGCCTTTAATAAGAATGAATTGGAAATCAGGAATATGACGTCTATGTAGGAAATGGCGAATTTCCCGGTTACAGTATGTGTAGATGAGAGAGGTATATATCGTTGGCGACAAGATGCTGCTCCCGCCCTCACGTGATGTATGAGTCTGGACTGCCATCGTTTTAATGACTACAGTTTGTTTACACAGAATGGCTACTGGATTTTGTTTATCAGAATTTAGCATAGAAATTGCTACAGTCCTTTTTTCTACAGGCACGTAAACCTTGGAGGCGATTTTGTTGGGCATTATGTGGCGCAGCTTCTGCTCCTACTAAGAGTGCGGCGCAGGCGGCCACTAAAACCCAACTAACGCAGCCAAGGGTGCGCAGGACGGGAGGGGCTGTGCAGACAAAAGACAAAAAGGCAACTTGGCATCTGGTGCCCTGCCAAGAGGGTTTGTATGCAGTGAGAGGAGACTATATTGGATGTGCTGGCGGTGGTTTATGCCAATGGGAAATGCAAAATATGTGGTGCGTGCATTTTGGCTGGCTCGGTATCTGTAGGTGAGTGAGGAAGTGAGGGCATGCGTGCATAAGTGAGGCAATGAGGCAAAGCTGGTGGTGGTGGTGAGGCGAGTTTTATATGAATCTATACGGCGGTCTTAGGACGCGTGATAGCCGTTGGGTACATTACTGTGCAACAGCAGCAGCACCAGTGTGCGTTGTTAGTCACCAGTGTGTATTGCTGGTGTTGTTAGTGCGTTGTGCCCCAATTACGCTAGCCAGCTGGATGACGGCTGTTGCTACTGTAGGGCTGTGGAATGCGCTGTGGTAGGGCGCTACAGGTTCCCGTTACAGCAAAACCTTAGCAGGGTGGACACGCAGGCTTTCCATTGTTTGTTCGGCACCCCCGCCTTTTGCCGCCACGCTTGGACGGCCCTCCCGCTGGGCCAGTCCCCAGCCACCCCATTTTTCTAGATGTATTCTGGTGTGGTGGATGAATAGAGGGAGATGTCGAGGAAAGAAGAAAAGAAGAAAAGAAAAAAGAATAGGCAAAATCGCAACAAAAAACGAAAAGGAAGCCTCGTCGCCTCACTCAACGTCCATGGCCTATCAGGTCTCAGCGTGGCGTAGGCGTGGGTGCTGCTCCAGTACAGTGCAGTACAGCCCGCTGTAACAACAACCCTGGCCCCCTGTTCGCAATGCCGGCCCAGTGAGGTCACCACCCTCCCTCCGCCTGCTGTCAGCTCCAGCACCCCTCTTTGCCCCTCCCCTCCTCCTCCCAACATACATTTTTTTGCCCTTCTACGTCACGGTACTTGTGGGCTTCTGCTGCGGTGGCTGTGACGACTCGCCGGCTTCTCTCGCCTTCTCTTCCTTCTTCTCTTCCATCTCTTGCACTCTTCTCCAACGACATAACTTCATCACATACCACACACTACCAGCCAAACGCCGTCTGGTCTACCAATATACACCACAAACCCATTACATCATCGATATTTTCATTCTCAACCTCCATCTCCCATTGGCCGCTCTAAATGGCCAGCTACGAACCCTATGATAGGGACCGCGACTATGGTCGTCGCTACGTCCGTGAAGACTCTCGACGGGACGAGCGAGATGCCCCTCGTTTCTTAGACCCCTATGGCCGCCCTCCCCCCGGTGGCGAACTCGTCCCCCGACGACAGGATAGCGACATGTCCGTCGAGGAGATTCGCCGTGAATTCCCTCCCCCATCCGGCCGCGACATCCGCCGTGCCCGATCCGCAGAAGGCGGCCCCGTCTACTGGGAACAAGAGTACGGCCGCACCAGAGGACACGACTCCCGCGGATACTATGAACGGGAGCGCGAACGCAGTTATGACCGCCGCCCTCGCCGCCACCACGACGACTACGATGACGACGACCGCAAGTCCAAGTCCAAGAGCGGCATGTCTAAGCAGGAGAAGATTATCGCTGCGGTAGCCGGTGCTGCCCTCCTTGCTGGTGGAAAGGAACTCTACGACCGCCGCGAAGCCAAGGAGCATCATGGCGATGTCCAGCGCAATCCGCTCTCTTCCGTTGCCCTCGCTGGCCTCGGTGCCCTTGCCGGCTACCAAGGTGCCGAGTTCTACAACAAGCAGCAGGCTAAGCGCGACCAGAAAACCAATTACATCTTGCAGCGGGGCCGCGACGGCAACATGCACGAGTACTACTCCGACGACGACGACGGCTCCAAGGAGAAAAAGGGTCACAAGAACTTTTTGGAGAATGCCCTTGCTGCTACCGGTCTCGGCGCTGCTGTCAAGCAGCTCACCGGAGGAGGTGGTGACGACCGTCGTTCTGAGCGAGGCGGGAGCCGCCGCGGCAGCCCCTCTGGCACGTCCCGCGCTGGCTCCCGCGAGCGTGGTGGGGGTGGTGCTAACAAAATTCAAAAGGCCGCCATGGCGTCACTACTTGCGGGTGCTACCGAGGCCTTCCGCGTCGCCAAAGAGCCCGGAGGCTGGCGCGGCGAAAAGGCCAAGCGAGTCCTCACAGCCGCTGCTGGTGCGGCCACTGTCGACGCTACGGTTGGCGGCGACCATGGCAAGCTTGGCCTGGCCGAGTCGGTCATTGGTGGTCTGGTCGGTAACCGATTGATTAACGGCTCTAAGCGAGATATCGAGGAGGACAAGGCAACAGGCCGCAGCAGATCACGATCCCGTGCTGCCAGCCGCGGAGGCAGCAGTGGCGGTGGTGGTGCCGGTCTAGCAGCTCTTGCAACTGCTGGCCTAGGCGCCCTCGGAGCCAAGAAGATGATTGACCACTCGCGATCTCGCAGCCGAGGCCGTGATCGCTCTCCCGATTCGAGAGGATCTTCGCCCGATCGCCCGCGACTAAGAGACCGCAGCCGCAGCGTGGTCGACAAGGCTCGCAACAGCCTGGCTCGCTTGGGCATTGGCAGCAGCGACGACAAGGACGACCGTCGCCGCCGCGACCAGGACGATTACGATGATTACGATTCCCGCGGATCTAGAGGAGGCTCTCGCCGCTACCACGACGACGAATATGACGACAGAAGCCACAGTGGCCGTGGCCACGACGACAGAGATCGCCACGGAGGCGGCGGCAGCAGCGGCCGTGACCGTTCTCGTGACCGTCGAAGAGGCGGCTACGGATCCGAATCTGACTTGGGAGACTCGGACCAGGATGAGCGACGACACAGAAAGATGAGAGGTAAGCAAATTATAACAACAGGGTTAGCTACAGTGGCCACGATCCATGCTGCACACGAAGTATACCAAAGCGTTGAGAAGCGCAATGCACGGCAACGAGCTGTCCGCGACGGGCGCCTGTCATCCATGGAGGCCAAGAAGCTCAAGACCAAGGCCCTCATGCAAGACGCCGCCTCGGTGGGTATTGCGGCCATGGGCATCAAGGGTGCCCTCAGCGAAATGAAGGAGGCCAAGGAGCTCAACCACGAATGTAAAGAATTTGGCCAGCTAAAAGCTAAGCGGCACCAGAAGCGTCTGCAGCGACGCAAGAAGCTGGACGGTGACCGCATGTCTGACCACGAAAGCCGCTTCGAGCCAAAGAGGCTGCAGCGGCCGGGAACTTGGGCTGGCCCTACTGCTATGCGGTGGGAAGACGGAGCGCCTCCTCTGCCCCCGCCCATTGAGCTACGTTGACCAGCGAGGGTCCAGTCTTCTGACTTGACATGCACAAACAAACATCTTTTGCTTTTGATTGTCGTTATGAGCGTTGAGAAGCCTGCACTTGCAGGTTAAACAGCATGACTTTATTTTTGGGAATACTTTGTGTGCAGCAGCAGCAGCAGCAGCAGTGTGGTTACTCGTGGCTGCCGAAAGCGCAGCTAGAATGAAACTTTTCTCGCTACACAAACCGTTTTTTTTTACTGTTAACAGGACAATTTTCACTAATGCATAATCTTTCTCCACTACAGATCATCGCCAGTATTGAGCCACGATACACGAGGGCAAACCGTTGCGCCAGTGTGGAGGTGTGAGACGTCTCTGCCATGATTTGGGGGACGTGGGACGGAAGTATCGGCAAGGTAACGCAAACGGACGAATGAGAGGTAACGAATATGTTTTATTTCCTTGGATGGAGCATCCCTGCCTGCAGCAGCCAGACCAGAGACTTTTGTTTTTCCCATTTGATTGGATTGGCCCGGATATATTTAGCTTTATGCCATAGACAGCCACGACCTTTTTTACTACTGAAATGAATGACCATTTTTTCTTGCCATCTGTCACTGTGCCGAGTATCCGTTCAAGAAAACAAGATTTCTATCTTTCCAGTGTATCAAAAAGGACTCATTTGGAAGAAATATTGGTCAAGGTGTGTGTGTTGTGAATCCGTGGCGCCGTATATGACATCACGACTCTCGGCGATCAACAGAACCAAGTGCGGGAGGACGGAGCGGCGCGGCTAAAAACGTGGAGCCAAGGAATTGGACATGCCGAGTGATGGCTTGGGGATTTCCGTTTATGGAAAGTTGAAGCCAAAACCAGGGGTCAATACAACCAACAAGTGGTTAAACATACAGAGACGTGGTGTGCAAGGAACAGTATGTGGCACGAAGACAGACAGAAACGCTATATTGCTACAATAAAATATGAGAGCTGCCCTCCAAAAAAGAGTTAATACATGATAAGAAGGCGCCATATCCACACAACGAGATTATCATTATTATTAGCATCATCATGACAGACCGCCGCTGGTTTCCTTCCAGCTCTGCGCCATGGCTAGCAGATTGCCGAGGCCCTTGACGCTCTTCTCCTCCGCGGGGAAGACATAGTCGTAGTACTCCTCCATCTCGTCGCCCTCGCCGCGACGGCGGGCCTTGATTCTGCGCGGCATCTGCTTCTCGACGGCCTCAATGTCCTCTGGCGAGCCGTGCGTGCGCTCAAACGCCAGCCAGGCATTAAGCAGCGCAACACGCTCATCCTTGAGCCCGTCGGCCGCCATGGCCTTGTTGGCGCGCGTAAAGACAGCGCGAGCACGGGCCTTGGCTTCCTCGCTGACGGGCGCCTCGTCGTCCATGTTGCCGTCGGCGTCGTACTCGGGGATATTGATTTCAAACTGCGCATAGCTGATCCAGACCTTGACATGGCCTGTCTTTTGGAGGAGTCGCTCGTAGAGGGCGCGCGCGCGCTCGTACTCTTCCTCTTCTTCTTCAAAGTCGATAAACGCCTTCCAGAGCAGCTCGGGCATGTCGAGCACGGGCTGGGAGACGGCGAGCTCAAAGATGCCCCGCGCGCGCTCTTCTTGTGACAGGGCGCGCTCGAGCTCTGCGAAGCGGATCCATGTCTGGCAGTTGGCCGCGTTGAACTCGAGGTGTTTCTCGTAGAGCGTGCGGCAGCGCTGGAACTCGAAGAGGCGGCGCTCGAGGTCGATGTAGCCGACGAAGAGGCGGTCTTTGGGGCACATGCCGAGGGCGCGGCCGAGGAGTTTGCGCGCGGTGGTGAGTTGGCCGTTGCGGATCTCGAATTGCGCGGCGAGCAGCCAGATCTTGGCAAATGTGAATTTCTTGTGTGGGATGAGGTTCAGGCATGTGGTATAGATGGCGCGCGCGCGGTCAATGTCCTTGCCTTCCATCTCTTCCCATACGGCGTAGAAGACCCAGAGGTAGATGTACCGCCGCCAGTGGCGCTTCTCTTGTGTCGGCGGCAGCTGGGCCACGGCTCGCTCGTAGATGTCGCGGGTGCGCTCGTGGTCGCCGGCCGATTCTTCGAGCGATGCAAAGTCGAACCAGGCGTCGTAGTTGTGTGGGTTCTCGCGCACCAGCTCCTCGTAGTGCACGCGGCGCTTGGACAGGACAACGTCCTCGACGCCGTCCTTGTCGCCAAACTGCTTTTCGAATGTCGTGTAGGCCTTGTGCAGGGCCATCGATTTCGACCGCGCCAGACGGTCCAGCGCATACTTGTAGATGGCGCGGGCTCGCTCGTATTCTTTCAGTTTGGCCTCGAACCGCGCATAGGCGATGAAGAGGCGCTCGTCGACAAACTCATCGCCCAGCGCCTCAATGGCCAGACCAAACACTTCGCGGACAAGATCGCTTGTGCCAAACTCCTCCTCAAACTTGGCCCATTTGATCCAGTTGCGCGGCTCCGCATGGATCATGGTGAAGGCGCGGAAGATTTCGCGGGCGCGCTCGTACTCGCCATAGCGCTTCTCCAGCTTAATGTATGCACTCCACGCGGCCTCGTCGGGCTGCCAGCTCATCCAGCGGTCAAAGACCTGCCGTGTGCCGGGGATGTTGCCCAGCATCTCCTCCATGTAGACGTACTTGTACCACAGCTTGTCGACTCGGGGCTGGCGCGTGACGGCACGGTCGAGCAGGTTGCGGGCGTGGTTGATGTTGCGCGACTTCATCTCGGCCTCGATGTACTGGATCCAGAGCTGCACGGAATTGGGATGCACATCCAGCGCGCGCTCAAAGACGGACCGTGCGCGGGCAAACTCCTTTTGTTCCAGCTCCCATTGCGCATAGCGTGTCCAGTTGCTCAGGCTGACTCGGTTGCGGCGCACGTAATCCTCAAACTCTTTGCGCTTGCGGCCCTGGTGCTCGTGCAGCTCCTCGAGATCGGCAAATCGCTGCGTGGGCGCCTTGAGCGTGTCTTCGTGGCGGTCGACGGCTTCGCGAAGCAGCTGTTCGGCAGAGATTTGCACGGGCGCAGCGGCCTTGTTTTTGACCCGCGGCGGGCCTCTTGACGACTCCATGATGGCTGAGGCGACTGGAGGCGAGTCTATTGGCGGGTGGAAGGAGAAAAGGGCGCTGAAATGCAAAAAACGAAGATGGGAAGTGGATTGAGGTTGGTGATGTTGATGGAGGAGCATGCAAAAGGTGGTTGATGGGGAACCCGATTGCCTTATCTTATCGGGGGCGCGATAAGTATTTTTTTGGGCGACCACCAGAAAAGCACGGGCCACTTTCTAGCTTTCGCCTCTTCTTGTAGGCAGACACGGGCAATAAGCTTGCAACATCGCAACCACGCTTTTTTGTTTTTGATTTACGCGCTGCAAGAGAATTAAAAAGGAGACGAAAGAGGAAAAATACAATGTCGACGGTAGCGGACGACTTGCTCAACGACTTTGGCAGCTCGGGGGATGAAGCTGACGATCTCGAGCAAGGAGACCTTCTCGACAATGCGACCAACGGCGACAAGGATGCCATGGACGTGGACGGCGACTTGGGCGGTGCAGAAGACGGAGATGAGGGTGGAGATGGTGACGACGGCGATGCAGGCAAACAGGACGTGGAGAAGATGCAGCTCGGCGCGGTCAAAGATGTGCGCAGCGTGGCCAGCTTGATGCAGACGCTGACGCCAATCCTCGAGGTACGTTTGCGATTGTCAAAATCTGAGGAGATGAAAAAGTTAAGCTCGTTGGAACGACACCCGACTAACGCGCTCTTACAGAAGATTGAATACTACCGAACCCAACCCCCGACGACAAACATTGGCAACATCGAAGACCACCCCGAATACTCGCTGCTCACACAATCCAACAGCCTGTCTACGCAGATTGACGGCGAAGTCGCGCTAGTACACAAGTTTATCCGCGATCACTACTCGGTGCGCTTCCCCGAGCTGGAGCGACTGGTCACGACACCTCTCGAATACGCAAAGGTCGTGTCCGTGATTGGCAACGGGCCCATGGACTCGGAGAGCATAAAGAAACTACAGACATCGACAGATAACCCGCTTGGCGTCGGACTCAAGACGGTCCTGGACGGCCCGTCCCTCATGATTGTTACGGTCGAAGCCACAACGTCCAAGGGACAAGACATTGCCGAGGACGAGCTTGCGCGTGTGCGCGCGGCTTGCGACATGACGATTGCACTACACAAGGCCAAGTCTACACTCACTGAATACGTCCAGTCGCGCATGAACATCTTTGCGCCAAACCTGACGGCGCTCATTGGCTCGCTCACGGCGGCTCAGATGCTCAACGCGGCGGGCGGCTTGACGGGCCTCTCCAAGACACCAGCATGCAACATCCCATCTTGGGGTTCCAAAAAGCGCCAGGCCGGTCTTGCTACCAACATTGGTGTTCGCCAGCAGGGCTACCTATACAACTCGGAAATCATCCGTGGCATCCCCAACGACCTCAAGAAGCAGGCCATGCGTATTGTTGCTGGTAAACTTGTCCTGGCGGCGCGTGTCGACCGCATCCACTCGAGCGCAAACGGTGCCACCGGGCAGGATCTCAAGGCGGCATGCCTCGAGCGTCTCGAGAAGCTGACTGAGCCTGCACAAAACAAGGGCAAGCGAGCGCTGCCTGTCCCCGACGATAAGCCATCGCGTAAACGTGGTGGTCGCAAGGCCCGCAAGGCCAAGGAGGCGCTGGCCATGACTGACTTACGCAAGGCGCAGAACCGTATGGCCTTTGGACAGGAGGAGCGCGAGGTTGGCTATGGAACAGGTTCGGGCACAGTCGGCATGGGCATGATTGGACAGGGCGGCGACGGACGCATCCGCGGAACGCAGATTGACCAGCGAACACGGGCCAAGCTCAGCCAGAAGAGCAAAGGCTGGGGCACGGCGAGCAGTGTGGGAGGTGCGGCATCTTCCATTGGCGGATTCGGACAGACTCCTGGCGGCGTCGACCTTCGCGGCAGAGGACTTCGAGCCGCCGGTGTCGGCAGTAGCATCGGTGGCGGCGCAGGTACAGCATCGTCTCTTGCCTTTACGCCCGTACAGGGCTTGGAGCTTGTTGAGCCCAAGATGCAGGCGGAGCTACAGCGCAAACGGAAGGCCGAAGAAGACCGCTGGTTCCAAGGAGGCACATTTACGCAGCTTTCTGGGTCTGCATCATCAGCAAACGGCGGCTTCAAGGTGCCCGACCTGCCCAAAGCGAAGAAGATAGACACTGGTGCAGGCAAGATGGGGCCGCCGCCTCCAGCGTCCAAGTAATATCAAGATGGGGAATTGGGGTAAACTTTTTCATTTACAGACAGACACACAATTGGCGTTATGGGATGGCGTGTAAAAAGGGACATCCAACGAATGGAGCGTATGCTACGTTACGCGGCGCATCAACCCCTGGCTTTTGCATTGAATGTATGTTTTATTTTATATTTTATTTTTGTTCTATATGAATTTACATTTTCATCCAGAGACAATCACGGTGCATTTCTTTTCGTCTTTACCTGGTTGTTAAATCAGTTGTTCGAAAATAAGCCAAAACACGAAACCACAACCAACAAAGCAGTATGCAATGCAGATGTAAGGCATGTTAAGACTAGCTACGCTATTGGTAGGCTAGAGATTGTGCCTGCAGCAAGTATCGGAACATCCGAAAGAGGCGAGACATACTTGCTTTCATGCATGGCAACGCAGCATCGCGAGTTTTTTTTTTTTTGATTTGTTTTTCACCGATATCTACACTTACAAAACACAATGGGTAATTGATAAATGCCTATACTTTGTCCCACCTTGCAAAAATCAAGGAAGTCACTGTCTGCTCTCCATCTGAATGGTCAACAGGAGTCCGCCAAGCGAATAGAAGGCTACGGCAGGCAACAACTCCTCGGCAAACAGCGGCGAGGACAGAAATCCTAGAAATCTGCCTTCCTGAAACGATCTAGAAGATGCTATTCTAAGATACACCGATGTTGCAGCTGCCTCAAATAGGCATGTCTCAATGTAGGCGGGAGGCTAGCGAACGCCGTGTGAGCCTACGGGCAACGCAAAGCAACACCAATCCTATAGGCCCTATGGTAGTGGTCAGTGTTGCGCGACATTACGCACAGAGAGCTAATTATCCAGCCTGAATACTGCTCAGCTGACCATCAGGCAGCGCAGAGAACACCGCAATGCGAGATGAAACCATGAGCCTGACGCCAAGAAGTAAGTTGGCCGGCGCCAAATAGCGTCCTCCCGCTTGCAAACGTAGGATCTAACGTAGAAGGAGAAACGCATAGCTTCCCGCTTCAAGCCGCCGCTAACTCGGGGTTATCTCGCGAGATGAGATGCATGCAGCCAAGATATGCATGAGGTGCAGAAGCGAGAATAGCGAGGGAAGGGGGGGGATCCCAGCGCCACGAGATGATCCGGGCAGAGTGCCGACAGTTTGGGACGCTATTACTCAAGCCATACGGCGCTATGAGATACGCGGTGTTTCTTTTCTTCCATTTCCCACTAGGCGGCAAGGTATTGCGCGCTAAGTGTGCTGGAAGGAGGGCTGCCCGGCGACCTGGTTCGCCGATGGCCGCACGTAACGGGAACAAGCTACGCTGCGTGGCTGCTGACGGAACAATAAGCTGGGAAATACGCTGTGGCGGCCTCTAATTTAGCTTATGCATAGCGTCAAAGATGCGTAGTAGCGGTGCGCCACGCAGACCCGTTATGGCTCAAAGGGCAATTGGGGAATTCAGAGAAGCCCATCTATGAACTCCCAAATACAGAGATTAAAGAGCTGGCGCATAATACATTTTCACCAATGGAACTTGACACCTCGAAACGTGCTCTTCCGTTTTCCGATGATGGCTTTATCGGTGTTTCTACCCAGGAAAAACGTGACATGAAACAGGACGTAATAAACAAGGCCACCCGTCGATTCTCCTTTTGAAAACTAGATTCAACTCACCATATTTCCTCTTCAACACATTCAACCAAAAACTTTCATCTAGGCTCTTGGTCACACCGTTACAAATTTAGTTCTTCAAGTTTTTGAAAGATATTTTATTCAATGACAGCAGTATTCTGCCCGTCTATCATGGTGTTGCAGACCCAAACACCCACGCCGTTGCATCCTTTCATATACATCATAAAAATCAACAGAGAATGAAATAAAGAAAAAGAACACCCAAGACATAAAAAGAAATCGAAAAAAAAAACCATAGAAAGCGACTGCGAAATACCAAAATGTCATCGCAGTGTCGCTCATTGGCAACAGAAGCTGAAAATGTTGGATTTACACCCACACTCATCTAAGCCTCAACGAGACAACGGGCACCGGAAGGCGTGTACAAAAAGTACGTCTCTGGTTCCATATCCTTCTCTGACATGCCCTCTTTGGCGGACATCTTGACGTTGGGGAACTGGCGGTAGAATGTAGAGACGGCGAGGCGAATCTCAATCATGGCAAGGTGAAGACCGATGCAAGCTGGTGAATGGTTAGCAACAAAGTACTGGATAGGATTATTGTAATAAGATGGACACTTACTTCTAGCGCCACGACCAAAAGCCATAAAAGCATCCTTCATCTCCTTGGTAGGGTTCTCCCAGCGCTCGGGCTTGAAGGCATAAGGGTCGGGGAAGATGACAGGGTCGCGGTGCATCATGTAGGCCGAGGTACCGACAGTGACACCACCGTTCAGGGCGTAACCGCTCAAGACAACACCTTCAGCAGGGACTTCACGGGGCAGAGTGGTAGGGGCAGCGGCGTAGAGGCGGAGAGTCTCCTGGACAACCTGGTCGAGGTACTTGAGCTCTCTGGTATCGGCCTCGGAGAATCCCTCAGCAAGAGCCTGAACCTCATTGACAAGCTTCTGCTGAATCTCGGGGTGGTGAGCGACAGCCCAGACCAAGAAGGTGAGGGTGTTGCTGGTGGTATCACTGCCAGCGACAATGTAGGACTGGGCGTTGACAATGACCTCTTCAAAGGAAAGGGTTTCGTCGTTGTTGGCACGGACAATGTTGGAGAAGAGAGTGTCCTTGACGCAGTCTCCAGACAGGGCGCCCTTCTTCTGGGTCTCGAGGAACTTGATGGCGTAGCGGCGGATGCGTTCAGATCCTTCACGAGCAGCATCGATAAGGGGAATAGGAACATACTTGGCCAACTTGATGAGACTGGGGAACATGACACGGATACCACCCATCTTGTTGACGGCCTGGAGATCACCAAAGTACTGGTTTTTCTGCATCCCAAATGTTAGTAAAGAACTTGTCCTTCGAAGAGAAAGGATGAATGACATACCACGCCGCTCTCAGTCATGTTGAAAGATGTGCCAAAGGTCAAGTCACCTATGGTGTCGGTTGTGAAGAAGAACCACCACTTGTAAATGTCGATGGCACCACGGGTCTCGAGCTCCTTGGCCATCTTGGAGACGGTCAGGTTGACACGGTCGTGGACCTCGCCAATGTGTGACTTGAGCGCCGTCTCGGACATGGGACGGGCCAACATGCGGCGGTATCTGCGGTGGGTGTCGACGTTGCTGGTGTTGAACATGCTGTCGGTTCGGCTGGGGGCGAGCTTGCGGTAGGTGGCAGCCTTGATGAAGGTCTCTCTCATGGAGTAGACGATCTTGATGTCGTCAATCTGGTTGATGGAGACCTCATCGGGGGCGATGCGGACAATGGGACCGTACTTTTTGTGGAGGTTGTAGGCGTAGAGAGGGCCCTTACCGGACATGAGGTAGGACTTTTGGGGGATGAAGGTCCAGTTGGACCACCACGGGCCGGGGAGCCTTGAGATGGGCTTGCTGTAGGTGCGGTAGACGGCCTGTTACGTGTTAGGGGGATATGGGAAGGGAGTTGAGGAGAAGAAGAGAAAGACATACAATGCACACATAGGTGGCTGTGGCGAGCAACACCACGTTGCTGCTCACGACAAGATCCTTGATGAAATCCATGAGGATGCGTTGCTGTGGTTGTGGAGGAAGAGGAGGATGGATGGATGGATGGATAGTTTGTTTGGTGGGGATCAGAAAAGAAGGAGAATGAGAAGTAGAATGACTAATAAGGTTGAGGAGGAGAAAGGAGAAGAAGAAGAGATGGATGATGAATAATGACGGCATGGGGAAACGGTTTCATCGAGACTTATATACAAATGGCCCAAGCATGAGGCAAAACACCACTACCCAGCAGCACCTGTGCATCATGACGGGCTGTCAAGGGGAAAACATGGCAGACTAACCCCAAGAGGGCAACAAACGCCGTCAATCCCCTCGTGGCCATTGCATCGGGATGTTGAGCAACAAGGTATTACTCATGGTAAGAAGATACAAGCGAGCCTAGAAGCCCACGCCGCAGCGTGCCATTGGCAAGGAGAGAGAGAGAACGTCAACTCTGATGCCCGGGACACCGGCGCATGGATTACGACGCCTCTGTCTGGTGCTATAGGAGTGGACACCGTAGGAAGAGCAGACAAGGTCGGACTTGAAGATTCGATGCGATCTTCGATTCCGGTTCATGCGACGCGCACTCTGTGTGGACTGGCCGTTTGAGGACGAGGATGGCCGTGTGCCAATAGAAGGGCCGCGTATCGAACTACAGACGCTGAGACACTAGAGAGGCCCGGGATTTGCAAGGTAGCATCAACGGGCCCAACAAGAAGACGAGGCGCAGTTACGTAGAGGAGGGGACCAGGGGAGGCCTCGATGCGGCGTTGGTGTAATTGGTGGAGATGGACGGATGTCGGCCAAACCATTGCACCAACAAGAAGTAAAACTCAAATTGTACTCACTACAAAGTACCGGAGTGGAAATTTCGTAGCTGAAAGTGGATGAACGCGGTCCTCAGCCCCGAGGCTGGTACTTGGTTTGGTGTAAGTCGATCGCCCCTTCTAATGGATCGGGATTAGAAAAAGACAGCTACACTAACAGAGACACGCGTGGCCATTAGTAAAAGGTACAGTAAAGGTGAGAAAGACACTGTAAAGCCATGAAACGCTGCCACCACAGCAAGTAAACTTTCATGCTGTAGCTACTGCTACTACCAGCCAATGCACTGACAGCAAACCAACAAAGAAAGCCCTGTCCTGCCTGCATACACCACTGATGTTCAGGCCAGGTCCGAGGCTTGCTCCTCCGAAACACGTTCCAAAATCCCGGTCCGCGCAAGCCAGAACCGGGATTCAGAACGGGCGCTAGTGCCTCCACGCCCCCTAACGATGCCGCGAACCCACTTCCGCTGCCGACCGATCCGGGTGCTTGGCTTTTTTGCTACTGCGGCAGGCTGAGAAGGGCCGGCTGCTTGTCTTTTTCAGTGGCTTTTGGCGCTGGGAGAGATGGGCGGAGCGGGCAAGTAGTCGTCATAAGTCGGGACGATCGGGTGGCTTTGCGCTGCTGGTTTTACTTCGCCCGGTGTCACAACTACGAAAAGAAAAATACAGATAATTGCACTCTATAAAGATGAATGGCAGACAATGTTTTGGAAAGTATTTAAAAGGCTCTGCTACATATATTGGCTTTTTGCCGCCATTTCTTTCCGCCAGCGTCAAACCACACACAAATTTTGTCTCGCACTCGCATTTCTCGGGTGGCTTTCTTCTGCCCCCCATCTATCTATCGATCTATCCCTAAATAGGCCATGACCCTCCGTTTCACAGAACCCCCTCTGGCCTGCCGATATCCGTGATTACTGCAGCAAGGCCGCGTAATTCAGAGAGCTTGGTCCACCTCTCAGTGTGCGCAAGGCGGCAGGCGTCCCTTCAGCTGAGATTTCTTTTCTCTCACTCTTTTGGTTTCTTCTCAACATCTGCCCTGTAAGCTTGGCACAGGCTGGCGCCCCCTCCGCCCCCCTCCCGCCGTCTTGGGCCTTGGTTTTGTTGTACCTTGCTGCTATGCTTATGCCTGGAGAGCTACATCTTACGCGGAGGCGACGATCGATAGGCGAACATAGGGAGAAGAAGCTGGAGGTCGGGATATTTGTCTGACCAAGCCACTATTGACAGGCTGCGTTTTTCACGAGTTGTTTTGGTGGATGGCCCCGAGTATTTGGTGGGGGATTCATGATTATAACCGGCTACGCACCACTAACAAAGCACCTGGATCGGCGCCTTGTGTGTGCTAATAATACCGCTTCTGCTACTGCTGCAACCCATCCCAGTCCGTGTGATTTCTTGTTTATTTGGCCGTGCAGCAGTGTCCCATTTTCGTTGCGTTGCACCCTATGATTGGGGCCCGGTGAGTGACCGGGGCAAGCAATATATCGACCGGAGTTGGCGTTTGGGGGCGGTGGCAACCGTTCCATTTTTTTATCCTCTTCATTTATTTTTGTATTGTTGTACTTTTGCTACAGTGAGCATTGGCCTCTGGCTAAGCGGCTATGCGAATTTTCTGCCTGTGACGAAACAGATCGCCCATTTGCGTCATTCTCACTCAGACGTAAAGGCATCTTGAAGCTGAAATAAGTGCCTAAATGGCGGGCGGCTGTGCATCTTCTCAGCAAGCCCGACACAGCAAAAGAACCAGCATAACAAAAAGGCCATACGGTTGAAACAAGCATCATGTCAGGCGACTGCGATGCCTTTGCGCTGTCTGCCTGTAGCGCTCATCGGCAAGACTGGTGCAGTATCGGGAGAACGGCAAGAGGTGTAAGCCCAGACAAGCCTTTTTCCTGTGGACACGGACAAAATTACGCCGATGCAGCAGCACCAGTGGTAGACACGGGCATCACAAGTAACCAGTAATGACTAGCAGCAGCAGCAACAACAACAAACCGAGAAGCCCGAGCAGCCCGAGAATGCAGAGGGTAAGCCGCATTTTCGGGGATCCTGCTTGCTTGCTTGCCTGCTTGCATGCTAGCTGCAAGGCTCCCTAAGACACTACTGCCGTACATACATACATACATACATCCGTGGCTACATATGTTGCCGCCAATAGCATGCTAATACTCTGCTGCGTATAAGCCCGCTTGTGAACATCGTGACACGCACGTGGTAGGGATAGCCTTCGTTCGCTTGCTTCATTCTCTTGCCTATTTGTCACACACCTCCGATACTAAGGAATCCCGCCAACATAACCCCGCCCATGTGTCTGCAGTAAACAAAACAAATAAGAAATAGAAAACACATGGCGCTAGCGTGGAGAAAGACTCCTAGAAAAGAAATGGGACGAGACCTGTCACGCCACAGCAAACACGGCGGTTTCTTTGCGCCGCTATTAGGTTATCATGATGCACACATGACGAAATACGGAAGATAATATTCACGAATATTCACCTCGGCTACTTGCAATCCCGCTTCTAGGCAACTTTAAACGACCCAAAAACAGACACAAGATTCACTTTCAATTCGGCAGGATAAAATACAGAGACTTGTTGTATGTACACTATTTGCGGTTTTGTTTTTCGGTCTCGTATGTACAAACTTGCCACATCTATATACGTACGACAGTTATACCACCAAGAGGCAACAGAAAAGATCACCTCTTTATGCCTTGTGCTGCTTAAACTCCTGCAGCCAGGCCTTGACAAACGCAACCTCTTGGTTGTGGACGTCGACAATCTGCTTGGGAGGATATCCCGGTCCGTACTGGGAGGCAGGCACATCATCCTCATCCCAGTGGTGCGTGGCGTAGTCAATTAAAATGAAGGGCTCCTCGGTGGTGGACTTGCGATCAGTGTTGGCGCCAATCTTGTGTGGTGTAGCGGCGCGCCAGGGATCCTGCTTGCCGTCAATGATGGCAACACGCGGGTACGAGAATTCGGTGCCGCCCAAACGGTTGATAACGTCGGTGTTGGGGGGCGAGTAGATGCCAAAGGCTCTATCACAGCCGCTGGCGGCTTGCTCGATGGTGACGGCGCGGGACAAGAGACCACGAATGTTCTCAGGGGCACCAGAGCCCGAGACGTAGTAGCCCCATCTGTTGAACAAAAGTATTAGCAACTTGACTTTGTGACGGTAACGGCAAGAAGACTATTACAAGTCATGTTTGGAAAAAGCAAGACTACAGGAAAGAAAAAAGAAACTTACTCGGTGCAGGTCTGGTAGAACCAGCTGTAGCCATCGCTAATTTGGGCAGCGCGCGTCTTCAGCGTGGCATCAAGACACTCGTCGTAGGTCTTGCTGTTGCTGCACTCGGCACGCTTCATCATGGCCCGGGAGCTGCCGCGCTGGAGACCGGCGTAGTTGAGCAGCTGCGTCGCCCAGTCGCTGGTCAAGCCGGCGTCCTGGACAAACTGCTCGGCGACGGAGCGCTGGCTCTCGAGGTCGGAGTACTGCAATGTGGAAGCGGTAATGGTGTTGCAGTAGCGCGGCAGTTGGGTTGAGCCTTCGCCCTTGACCCAGCTCTCGCCCTGCAAGGCGCTTCCTGGATGGCCAATGCGGTCACCAAACTGGCCGTCGCTGGTGCCCGAGTTGTAGCCAAAGAGCTCCTTGATACCTCCACGCTTGTTGTCGTCACCACTAAAAAGCGCGGTGTCGACGACATAGGTCAGGTTGGCCATGATGCCGCCGCAGTTGCCCGGGGCGAAGAGACGAGCGGCCTCATTGTACTCCCAGTAGTCATAGACGGCCTTTGTGACGCCCGACGACGAGATGGCGCCCCAGAAGGCGTCGGGGTACAGCTTACGGGTGAAGGCAGCAAAGGCACCGGCGTACGAACCGCCATAGATGATCCAGGGCGTGTTGGGGGCCGTCAAGTCGACGTTCTCGAAGCCGGGGAACTTGACATGCTTGGCAAAGTACGCCGTGTCGGCAACAGCCTGCTCGGTGGTGAGGAAGCGATAGTTCTTGACGTCGGAGACGCTGGACACGGGGAAACTGGTGCCGTAGTAGCGGTGCTCGAGCGAGATAACAAGGCCGTTGGTGGCCTTTGCCAGCAGCGAGCCAACACCGTTGGTCAAGTACGGCACACGGTCCTCGGCGCTGGTTTCGCCCGAAGCAATCACAATAACAGGGCCGCCGGGCTTGTAAAAGGACGTCTCCAGGAAGTAGCGCATGTTGAAAGTGCCATTGGAGTGCGGCTCGTACTGTGTGTCATTGTGGAAGTGGTCGACGGGCACGGCGAAGTTGTACGCCTTGGCGCTGGTGCTCTGCTGGACCGTCTTCACGGGCACAGATTCCTCGTCGGGGAAGGCAAAGTTGTTGAGGTGGAAGTTGGAGGGCACAATGGCCACGGCGGAGTTGGCCGCAATGAGAGCGGTTGCTGCTGCGATGAAGCTGCGCATGGTGTTTCTGTCTTACAGGACAAAGAGGAATTGCGTCTTCTCCAAGACTGCCCGAGGGCAAGCAAGCAGCACCCCGGGCTCATGATATACATTTTTTTGGATCGAACGAAACAACCCTCCAAGTGCCGATGGCGTGCCGGGAACTAGTTCTGTGCCTATCGTCGATCATTGCCGCTGATGTGGTGCAGCGACACATGACCCGAGGCTTCCAGCCTTGTTTAGGAAGGTCAGCGCATGTTGGCCCATGGTGCTGTGTAAAAGAAATGGCTTGAGTGCAACGCTAAGGTTGCCATTTTGGTGCGGAGCCAGTCCGTTGGCAGTGGAGAATGGCCCGGCAATAGGAAGGAGAACAGTGGCGATACGGAAGCGAGGGAGCGAGCGATTGCAAAAGATCCTTTGAAGGAACAGTTGCATTACCTTGCTTTTGTTCCAAAGACTGAATAATTGGAAGGATTGTATGTAGCACTGGTGGTGGTGTTGGGTACAGTCTGGCCGATACAGCGGACATTCTATTGTTTGCTACTTTTTCAATGTCATGCCCAGAAAAAGAGAACGCGATCCTGGAGTCGTCAGCTGCGGAAATATTAGAGTTCATGTGTGGCGTTCGCTTAGTGCTTGGCTTCAAACCAGGAGTTTGCGCGATGTGTCCACATGTGGAAGACGAGAGGTAAAGACAACGCAAAAACTTAAGAAATGATTTTATCCAAGAAAAGTGCAAGGGGTCCGATCTATTTGCAGCCATCAGCTCACGTATGGTCACCGTTGCCGTTGACAAGAAGGACGACGGTGATTATGATGATGATAGCGACTTACTTCATGGATAGCCAAAACAACGGACATAACATAGGGTGTCTATACCAAACTTCATTACTCTGTCCAGTTAAACCGTACACTTTGACTCGGTAGTAATAATCACATCTTACCTCCCTCAAAAGCTCAAGCTTAGGACGCTACGTACGTAAGGCCGGATCTCGGAGGTGCAATCCATTGCCCCTTTGGGCAATCTGCAAGATGAGTGCTGCCACGGCCCTCAAAATTGAGTTATGAGTTGCTGACAGTATGGCGGGTATGGACTAGAAACGAATTAGCGAATTTACGCGCCCCGTATTTGGGGAAAGATAAGAAAAAAATGACTGCTCCGCGTTGATCATCAGATGGTAGGCGGTCGCATCTACTGTAGCATTGTCAATGGCCAAGTACGCATGGAGACGACCACCAAAGCGCATGCGACTCCGAGGATATATAAAGCGCGCTACAGTTCAATACACCTCCACTATATACGTCGGTCAGTCTATGCGAACGGTATGGTTTGGGTGTACTATACCATATAGATACAGAGAGGAGCAGAGCGAGACTACCACCGCTGGCTTACATGCTACGGTATGTACTAGGCGCTCCGAGGCGCTGATAACCGATGCTGGGCAACTAACCAATCTCGTTTCCGCCATTAGTATTGGGCTCATCTGAAATCTGACCGCAGCTCCAGCCGATCTGTCAAGGTCTTGTAGATTCAGCCATATGAAACACGTTGCCAACAGAGTGGTCAAAACAACCAGGGCAGGCTGTTGGTTGCTGTAAACACGACCATGGATCAAGTTGACTGGTGCGGGCAACAGTATATCAGATAAAGGAAGCTAGCCGGGGTGATATGGAGCATGATCTAGCGACTGTTGTCTGCTGGCAAACCATTGAGCAGGCAGATGCCCATGTTGCACGGACAGTCCCCAGCTTTACGCTCCAGAGCACCCGTGACGGATGAAGGCACCGCAGTTAAGCTCAATCGAAAGGCAGCAGCGACATATGTCCCTTTCTCCTGAACAGTTGGCTAGCAAGCCTATCGTATCCGAGTGGTGCAAATAAACAATGACGGGGCCTAATAACACTAGCCCTGAGAACAACGACGTCGATAAGATGATAAATGTACTGATATATGATTCATCTGAACAAAGTATCAATGACCTTCAAGTCTCATCTAATGGAGATATTGACAAGAGCGGTGCAAGACGTCTTCAGCCGATATATGGTTCACGCCATCTCACTCAATATGCGTAATAACATAACAAGCAAAAGCGGGCGACAACCCCTAGGCACGTTGACCACAGACAGTCAAAGGCGTGTAATCCAGAATGTAGGACCAAAAGTGGCCTCACAAGTTATGCTGAGTATCATGGTGGTCTGTGCCGTTGCGGCACGTTTGCTAATGGGCAGCCCTAAGAGCGTGCTCCCTCATAACCCGTCTTCAATTGTTAGCACTGCAGTACTCTTAGCAGGATCTACCGTGATATCAGTGGTCATGAAGAGCGATGGGTACATAAATGATGGTGTAGACTATGCTGGTGGCCTGCACTTCAAGTTAAAGTGGTGGGATGCTCCTAAGCACGGCGCTGGGCAGCGCAGGTACGGCGTTGATCAAGAAGCACCCAACCGTGCATGATGTCTTCGATTACATCGCGACCCAAGAAGAAATAGAATGCATCCACCAGTAATGAATCATGACCTTCAGAGACCAATTGCCTCGACATGTCAAGAATGTCAGGAACGAGGCCAATTGGAGCTTGGTATGTATCCAAATGTATATGTACTTGTGAGTGCGTAGATATAGGGACAAGTTGGCCCAATTACCACAACGATTGTAAAGGTGGGGTGTTTGCGTATGCAAGGTTGTAGCCAAATACCGACCGCCCGAGAGGATCCCATTGATGGAAAACATGCTTTATCCCTCACCCACGGCCATAAATGACGTCGTGCGTATATCCTATCCGGAAGGTTGCCGCAACCCTGAAGCCACTCACTCTTCTTCCCCCACGTGTTTCAAAAGGCACCCTTGCCAGGCCTCTACAAGGCCGATATATTTGTCAAAGCCAAGCCTGCCAGTATCGCTTAGAGCAATCCACACAACTCGGCACTTGGAGTCCACTCATTGTAACGCTGGGAAGGCAGTAGTTTGTAGCGTCCCCGGAAACTTTGTGTTTTGATTTGCAGAGAGCCTCTCCTAACCGCAGCGCTAGCCCCATGCTGAATCGACCTTTGTGGACCTTGAGGCGTCTACTAAGGGGAAAGCGTCATCTTTTAGCTCAACAATTGCCTGGCCAATGTACCGCCAGCCCCAAATACGACCAGCAAGGGTCCTATTATTGGTGGAAGAACAAAAAAGGTTAAATTTCTAGAAATCCCTAGCGCTAAACCCTGCTGAAGGTCCCTGGTGCTGGTCAGGACCATGAATCGAGTCTGCGTTAGAGGGGTAGTAGAGTAAAGAGTATAAAATGCTCGGAATATCGCGCATCGTCGGACCCTAGAGAGTTCTCGTTAATTGCTTTCCTCAAAAACAATCCAATCCGATCCACATTCATCATGAAGACCTCTTTCATCGCCTTGGCCATGGCCTCCGTCAGCTTTGCTGCCATTACTCCCGATATGCACCAGGCTGGTCTTGCCCGTGCTCCTACCGGCAAGGGCAACGTCTACTGGCACACTTGCGGGTGAGTTTCTCTCCTTGTGAACAAGCATGAATCTCTTGATGCACCATACTGACTCCCTTTCTTATAGCAACTGCAAGTGCAACGCCAGCGGCTCTCGCGAGGGCTTCACCGGCGACAGCGGCTGCATGCAGATCGACGGCAACATCCGTGCCCTCGGCCTCACCCGTACTGGCTCCAAGCAGACTACCTGCAGTGTCTTCACTAGCAACAACTGCTCCGGTGGTGTTGCTCAGAGCGTCGGTGTTGGCAGCGGCACCTACGCCTGCACTGCCCTCAACCAGAACTCTGGCTCCATCCGCTGCTACTACAATGCTTAGATTAAGCTTAATATATAAATAAACAATGCCGTATTGAGCTCAACATTGTGTGTTGCCTCGTGAAATTGAATTCGCTCTCGTGAATAGTATGTTATTGAAAGTACAGCAATGACGAGACGACGTTGTGCTGTATATATGTCATATATTCCGTGCAATCCCACTGCGTGCCGAGTATTTGCATCGACAACGGTAGACTTTGATGCCGACAATAGGGACGCTTAATAGGAACCCTATGTTTTTCAATGTTTTGTCGAAGTTCTTATAATTGCGAGAAACCTAGAATACTGGTTCTGTTGGCAGCTGGCGTGTCTCCAGGGTATGCCAGCTGGCGCACCTGGCGATATTTATTAACATCGATCATCGGCCATCAGGAAATCGGAGTTTCTGAATTCAAAACAACTCTGCATAGGACATCCGAAACTTAGAACTGTACTTTACGAAGGATTTGAATCAAAAGAATGTTATATGAGGCCTGCGGCTGTGTGCGTTGTTGCTCTTACAGAGAAACACCATGCCGGCGAGTAGGCAACTTTGCAATGTTTACATCAACAATACTATTCTAACGAAATAAAGTCTCTTGAGGCTTAATTACAAGCGGATATATCATCTCTAGAGGGCTTATCAACGGCGCCCCCGTTTGACTGTGCATGCATGTTGGCGGCGAATCACGACTGGTATCTCACAACGATTTTCCCTCTTTGCTCTCTACCACATTAGAAGCCAACCTAATCACAACGGCAATTCAATATTGCCAGCAGGCATAATTTCTTTGTGAATGGATGCGCTGCCTAAAAAACCTCCCATAATTCAAGACGACGTCTTATTGGACCAGACCGCCTTCTGTACCCGTATCCACTCATATCAAACTTCACATCGCCATCAACAGCACACTCACCAACATCGCTCCCCCAGAATTATCACGCAGCTATAACAATGTCAGAAATTCTCTCTTACGACGAGACTCTCGACACAGACATCCCCGAGCCGACCCCAGGGTTTCTCAGTCTTCGCTGGAACTTCAAGCAAGGACCCCTCTCCGACGTCATCAAGGTGCTCGCTGACGCTACCGATGCCAACTCTGACCAGGCACCATGGGCCGATAAAGATGGAAAATTCCATGATGTTTCAGAATTGTCTATTTCAGATCCGCCTATCTCGTCCATCCGCCTTTCTGTCGATGTGCTAGACCGCGACGCGGATGCCGACGAAAACGGCGACAACGAAGCAGCCGACGAAGAAGACGATTCCGAGGACAAAGGCCCTTCTCTAGAAGTGAAATCGTCTTCTAAACCTTTTGTTACCATTGGAGATTATGTCGCCGCGGTGCATCCGTGGATTCTGTCCCTCCGTGATGAGTATCTGGAAAAGCGCGGTAATGAGATCAACGGCGAAAAGCTCCCCAGCGATACTGATTTGTGGTTTAACCCGACCAGCCTGGACTACATCATGATAACAGACTCGCAATCCACCAAGGAGCATCTGGATGCTGTTTGGAGAATTGTGGCCGATTATGCGTTGAACTTGCTTGATGAGACATTTCCAGAGGAGACGTTTGACGAGGATGAAGAGTAACTGCCGTGAGGCTTTCTGCGTCTTAGACTTTCAGGGCAACACTATTGAATACAAGAAAGGTTGTGATTGTATTGATGAGCCAATTACAACTCTACGACGCAGCACAAAAAAATACGGCAATAAGGTCTCGTCTATGCAGACAAGAATAGTATTACCACAAGGCAGCTTTCCAAATGGAACATAGTACAATGCAATACAATAGAATTATGAGGTCAAATCAACCAGTGTACAGTCAAACAGTGTCAGGCAGAAATGATCTGCACCGCATAAGAGCATAGCATGGCTCATCTGTCGACAAAACTGACGTTCCATCTTTGGCCACGATCAAGATCCTGCATAAACCCATGCTTGTGAAGGGTACTAGACTCGGATCGAATGTCTTTATTCCCACACCTTAACTAATCCTAACCCACCATCTCCGTCTACAAGATGCATCATACGTTTCGTCCACCATGGTCGCCTGTTGCGCACGCTCATTTCATTATCGGGCCGCATTCCCTCAAAAGGTACCAACACCGATATCAAAACGGCGTGCCGCAACACCACCGTAACTTGGATAGCACCATAGGATGTAACCAAGATTCTACATAAACTTCTACACCACCACGCGGCAAGCTCGTACGAGCATAACAGCCAATCAGAGATCCAGCCTGCATCTGCCGACGGCGTGTTTGTACGCCACTGCCTAGTCCAAGCAGCAAACTAGGACCAAAAAGAGCAACGACACTGTCCTAAAAACGTGGTAGTCTGGCCCGGTACTCTGGATTAGGTCCTAGCCTTGGCTGAATTTGGCAGTATCGCCGTAGGTGCAGAAGCGACAGATGACCGCCTTTTGAGTTTTGCGGACCTCCCCGCGTTGAACTGCGCTCAGTGTTACGCCATCTCGCCGAGACATTCTCTGCCACTGACCGTTTGGCACGGTGATTCGCTGGCAAAGTCCAAATAGGGGAAGACATGCATAGGAGAAAAACGACACCGGGCTGAGCAACGCGCGGTGAGGCAAGGCTGTCACTTTTTGTTCGTGTTATTTGGCGATGCGTCCTAGCTCCGACGAAGTATTGTTTTTTCGCCTCCCACAAAGTGTAGTGTGCGGCCACCTCAAATCTGCCAGGAGTACGACGTACCAGTACCAGCTCGGCGTACCTCGAAGCGACCATAGTAATTTCAGGTTTAGTCTCCTATACTTGGTCTGGCTGGGCTGGATCTCGCGTCGAGAAGCTTGATCCACTCCGTCCGCAACCACACCAGACTAAGCAAGAGCAAGATCGCCATCCGTCGTCGGGTCTGGATAGGATAGAAACACCACGTTTTGTCTACTAGAGGGAATTCCAGCAGACCGCCTATCACGTTTACATGACTTACTTGCCTGCGACGTAGTCATGGCGCTGGAGCCTGCCGAAATTTGGCGACGCTGCAGGTTGCTGGTCAAGTGTGACCCGAGCGGCCCAGTTTGCGCACGGTATAATGTTGCAGAAATGGTACTCTACTACGGGATGATCTCGTTCACTAGGTCCAAGCAGTTGCGCAATACGTATAATTGCAAAGTCGCGTCGCACTCCAGAACAAGTGATCTTGCCGATGAAGTCAGGGACTTCGGCGCCGCTCTTGGATCCTAACCCGGAGATGTCCAGACGGCGCGATGATCACTCGTCATTTTTATCATGCGAATCTTTATGTTAGTGCCAGTGTCTTCTCATAATTTTACCTTAAAAACCCCTCGTAGCTTCTAAAGCTGAGCTGAACGCATCTTGTACTTGTACTTCACTCCCCTTTCGCACACTGCCCGCCATCAGGCATTGCGAGAAACCGGATTAGTGTCAGGGAAGCGATCAAGAAGTCTCCAGACTCGCGTGACGACTAACAGATCACACTTCCACTTAGGCAATATATAATTGTGAGTATAGTGCACCACTTGTATAATATTTAATCGCCTCAGGATGCCGCGATATATAATAATCTTCTTCTGGTGACGGCATTTTGACCGCGACTCCTGTGTAGGGTTGGCCGACAGTCAACTAGAAGTCCGTAGCCTTACCACCGGCGTAGCCTGGAGGGATAAGGTACATTACAATAACGTCTATTGGTAGACACTGAGGCTGATCTTTAGTGGCGTTTCTGTGGTACAAGAGGTGATGTATCACGTTGTGGCAGTCACTCTAGTCTCTTAGCCTGGACCTAACACGGAGGAGGGGTGTCTGGGTCTAACGCAGTGTGGAAACTGGCGGACATTCTTCCGCAGCCGTACCTACTTTGAATATGTCGCCGGAAGTGCTCAGCCTAAAGTCAGGTCCAGTGCCGCACTAGCTGATCGCACAATAACGCAGACTGTCGCCTTGTTAACATCATTCCTATTGGATCACTTAGTCGCGTATTTAGGTTTCTTTGAGGACACGCGGTTCTTGATAGCCAAGACTGAAGCTACCATCGTTGCAAGCCATGGAACCGTCACATTCCGTGCCGCAGTAAAGAAATGAGCCGCTTCCCACCGCTTCTTGATGGAGTGATTGGCATCTTATCCGTTCCTCCAGCCGGCAGCGTTCCCATTATCCACGTTGAACAATGACCAACGCGCTGCTTCTGTGGCAAAACGGCAACTTTGGGGCATAACTTGATCGACAAGGTACAGTACAAACGGTACTGCAAAGTGTACCATCTGGAGACGCCACTGTGGCGCTACGTTTCGACTCAGCTGTGGAAGCCAGCTGCACTATGGCTTGGCTCTTCGAAGCTTTGACCGTTGTATTTATTCAATTACCTCAAGTTTTCATGATCTCAGCTGATGCAGTAGACGAGCTGGTCACTCGTAGCTTCTGTGACTGGGTGGTGACACAGCAAGCGAGGTAGAAATGCCATGCCCTGATGAGTGAGCTACAGAAGCGACGCAAGGGGTAATTCTTCTTCCACTGGCGACTGCCACGCCAATGTCCACCCACTCTAGAATATATTAGGAATAGACGGCAATATTGAAGAAGCGGTCAAGTGCAACGGAGATGCTAGTGGGATAGCCCAGCACTCGTCGTGGGGCCACCACCGCCAACCTCTTGTGCCAAATGGGTCTCCAGTGGGCTTTTCTTTGCCACAGGCTAATCGACAGCGGATACATCGAGAAAGCATTTCTCGTTCGCCTTTCCTCCCGACGGTGAAAGGCGCCATGAAATCAAGAGATGAACCCCCCACTGTTTGGCCACAGCACCTGATCAGCCAGCCAGGGGTACCGGTGCCACACCATTCCCAATTAGGACTCGTTCCTGGGAGAGTTTTGGGCTAAGCTTGGTGTGGGGATGCTGGCGTTGTGTAGTGGGCACCGTTCAAGCTCTTTCAAACGGCACGACCCGCCCTCTGGTCATAGAGCAAACGGTTTCGGTTGATGATGACAATAGCATTGTAAGGCGTTGATTGCATTTGATTAATTCCTCCGTATTTCGGCCGATGGAGGATGTCCGCCCTCTGGTAATTTCCAAAATGAAAGCACCCGGGTTGGTCTGTGACGGTACAAAGGAGTCATGACTCAAACTTCTTTCTTGATGAGGCGACGTTCTTCAGCTTACAGTACTGCTCCAAGATTGGTATACCATGGTGAGTATCGAGGCTGCGGTAGACAGCCACAGAGCCGAAAGCTATTTCCATTATTTGTGAACAGTTCAATGGTTCAGATCACTTGAATCTTCCATCTTTGCTTCTGCCAAATAGGATGGACCTGCATGTGCACCTGCATGACGCTACTGTAGGCCAACGGTGGCCCTTGCGAACAGCCGGATATTCCCTAGTAGACTATGACGAGTGGCTGCAGAATGCGGTAGTCACGTTCGCCAGCCAAGCGGGCCAGGTTGGCAAGCATTCAATAAGCACAGTACGGCAGAGGCTGAGTCCTTGCGGGCGTTGTATGTTTTTTTTAGAAGCGGTTACAGAAGACGGGCGCGTATTCAGGTCACTGCGGCATCTAGCATTCTGATCTTTCACGTATTAGGTATAAGCTTACGAGATTGTGGTCAAACGCTAGCCGGGGTGTTGTTTCGCAGGAGTGCGCGGCCTTTTGTGATGCATCACGTTTCTTTTTGCCTGATTTATTTCCAGCGTTGCTACTGCTTCAGTCGCAGATCGGCATTATTCCGCAACTAGAGTACAATGTGATCATGTCGTGCATTTCTTTGGTGTTTGACGTGTGTCTTTGATTGTCGGCCCTGTAGAAGTGACAGGTCCTAGACATCTCACGAGCGCAGTTTCAAAGAGCCTGATGCCTGCTATGTCTCTGCTCGGCAATTTTAATGCCATGGGCGAGAAGACAAATTTCGGTGATGCTGTTCTTTTTTTTTCCCTCGTATTCTCACTAGTTGCTGTTCATTGTGTTTATCAGTGGAAGATGGCCGTGGCACCACCGCCCAGAGTCGCCAGGTGTGCCAGGTGGCCGCGCTCAGACGCCGCTACCATTTGCTTTTTTCCTAAGCTGCAACCTTGGACCGTGCCGTAGCTTTGCTTTTTCAATCCTGCGGGAGAAGCGTCTGCAAAAGTAAAGAGATTGCAGCGGTGCATCGGGTGGCGACTCCATTCTTTCTCAAGATGTTCGGTGCTAAACTTAACCGCCAGGAAAAAGAAAATCAAATTGCTTTTGTCTTTGGTCCTCGTCCTCCGCCCCCCCCCCCCCGTGATCGTCGAACCCATGCAGGTCGGCTGCCCGCGATCAGGGCGGTCTAGGCTCGGCAAGGCTCTTGGGTGTGAGTATTTGCTTTTGAGCTGACTATTTGCTTTTTCTTGTCTGCTCACAGATTTTAAATCCGCCGCCGACTGTCAATGGCAGCCGGGGTGGATTGATGCTGTCTAAGACACTCTGTTAGTGCAGACCTGAGTGCCATGGACTAAGGATGCATGCGCTCCCGGGTGCTCTTCGATTGAGCCGCAAAACACAAAAAACTTTGTTTCGTTTGGCTAATGATCACGGAGATGCACGGTGCAATAACTCGGCCAGGGCTAAAAGCTTGTTTTTCGTGCATCTGACGGGGAATATCCCTATACGTTCGCCAGTGGCTGCAGCGACATATTGCCTGGCGTCATCGGCGACTCCATCGAACTGCTACGGTCAAGGTTGCGCAGACGTACGATGACGGAGCTAATATTGATTCTTGACGTCTAAGATAGAGCCAGGCCGCAGATACTGTAGTGACTGCAGTCATGTAGCCTAGCCTCCCGCACATACGACACTTCTCAATGAACCCCGGAGAGCTCCAGTCGCCACGCGTGAGCGATGATTTCTAGTCAGGTACAAAAAGGGGCATTGCGGAACAGCAGTCTAATAATACCAAAGCGAGACATTGCCGCCTCTATTCTTATCCGTCCCTGAATTGTGTCTCTCCTCAGTGTGACGAGACATAGACAGCTACAGACGTTGTCTGTCAATAGTCTTTGACACTAGTGCCTGGATCCAGCTCGACGTGGGCGGTGCCTGACAGGGCCCGACCAGGTTCCAGAGCGCTAGCGTCCGGTTGCTCGTGGCCAACCCACCAACCAACGCCGTCCAACACATCCTGCAGCCATTGCATGCCTAGGTGCATCTGGCGATGCAAGGCGGCTCTGTTATGTGGCATTGTGGAAGCCAGTCGTGTCAAGGCAGGCCGTCACATTGTCGGCCACGATGCATCTGAAGTTGCATATACACTTACTCCTATCCCTGCCCATGTGCTTGAGCTGCATTCAGGGCAAAGGTGGTTCACGCAGGACGATCCGAGCCGCGAGGGCAGACTCTGAACGCCAAAAGCTGGTCGGCGCAATCATGTAAGACAAGCAGCCCCGGAAGCCCATGCGTAAACGGACGGGATCGATGCCAGGGCCAGGATTCAACTGCTATCCAGAGAGAGAATCGCAGCGGCCAAGTGGAAACAAAAGATGCGTCCCGTTACCGAATCTGGCTATTGCCGCGGACTTGCTCGAGAAGGCAGACTATTGCACAACGGTAGGAATCCATCTTTTGCGGTGGTGACTGCGGCACAAGAGGTCGCCGGTGGGCTTATCCACCTCTGGTGCAGCAGGCACAATCGCAAAAGGATAAAGCGCGGGAGGCTTGGGATGGCTGGGTTTAGTGTGCACATTTTGGTCGTGGCCTGTTTGGCTGACTATGCGTGCTTGTGCATGTACTTGGCTTGGTGGCCACGCATCGGCCAGACTAATGCTTTCTTTTGCGGTGGGTTGTCTTCTCCCCACCAGCACGACCAGCGACGCCGCCCGCCCCTGGATCGCCGTATGCGACGGTTGTGTTTCTGTTGAGGTTCCTTGTACCTTGCATTATTTCCTTTTTATGGGAGAGAGAGAGACTCATGACTGGCCATCGTCGTTTGCACCTCGTTCTGAGGTACGCCTAGAACCTCATCGCTCTGCTAGTCAGCTACCATCCACCACCATCAACATTGTTGCGATACGAGGCTCTTAGACGAGCAGATAGATAGCTCGGGAAATATTTGACAGCCCGCTTGACGAGTCAATCTCAGCCAACCCTCGCAAAGAAGAATGAGACCGGGCCGAAGCCGAGCCCAAGTACTGTACAAAGTCTCTTCCCACCAATCCAGGGGTGTGTGTCATGAAGCAGGCGTATGGATGAGCATGGGTGTGTGCATGGCAGTGGAGCGGCCACCCACCGACCGCCTCCCCCCCTGTCGCCCAGAGCCGATGCACTTGCAGCTGGACAAGCGAGTCCACTTGCTTCGCAACTTGATCGTCCGCCAGCGTGTGGGTGCCGGCCTACTTACAGAGTATATATCATCTCCTCTCCTCCGCTACCTAGCCGCAGTGCATTCTGCCGACCTCCGGGTGACGTCCAGTGATCGATGCCGTTGCATCTGGGCTTCAACTTACCGATATATACCGTGTGACTAGACCTGATTGCGTGTCTGGTCATTCGCATAAACCAAGTCGCTTACATTCATCAACACTGAGTATGTCGGCCCTGCTTTCCTCCCACCACCAGCCACTATTATGCAGAGAGCATACTAACTCGGCCGAATGTATAGCCACTCATCTAACACCATTGCAATAGTCCAGCCACTTCCACAACATCGGACACAAGTGCAGCTAATGGAGTTTCCTTGAAACACAGAACAAGAGCACACCTGAAGCAGCATCGTTGGCTGCCACCTCATCGAACCCTCGACGCCAACGACAACCTAGTCAATATGACTGACTCTGCTCAAGCTCTCACCATCGCTCTGGCGGCTGGCATTCCTGCTGCATTTGTAGTAGCTGTCGCCGCCTTTCTTATTTGTCGCTCGCAGCGTCGTAAGGCTCGTCTCTTCCGCCGCGGCATTACACCCATCGGAGATGAAGAAATCGAGTCCTGGAAGGTTGACAGCGATGTGGAAAAGACATCGATTGACCGAAACCGACCATCCCACCATACCACTCGCTCTACATCCTCTATCCAGAAACCAGCCAGCGTTATTGTGTACACGCCGGGACAGTATACCCGCCGGCTTTCTGAACAATCTTCACCTAAGTCACCAAAGTACAAACGCAGCTTAGAAATCGCCCCCCTCTCACAAGCACGCGCCCCCAATGCTCGTCCTGGACTCACCGATGAGTCTGTACAGGGTGAGGCTGCTTACCTGACTCACAAGCGTCAGACATCACGCCTATCCAAATATCCTTCCCCCACCACCGGGCAGCGCAGTCGTGCATGGAGCACCCGCAGCATGACACGCCCTGATGTACACGAGCAATGGTACGGAGACGAGTTGCCACCAAGACGCTCCACGGAGACGTTTACTCGTGCCCGTTCTATGCACACCACCACAAGCAAGGCTCGTTCCTCCATCTCCTACTCACGCATGTCACTAGACAACGAACCACTTCCAGGCGGCCTGTCACCCCGCCCACAGGTTCACCAGTCTGAGATTGGCCGCGCTATTGGTTGAAGGTCACAACACAGACATCAACCAATAGATGCCATCCAGCACATCACACTGGCGTTGGCTAATGATTATCATAAAGGAACAAGACCCAATGCAGAAATAAACACACAGGGCGATGAAACAAACGTGCAGCCCACGCTCATCTTAGACCCTTGTCTCTACTGCAGCTGCAGCTCCCCACGCCAGCCCCCCCTGGCCGGGATGAATTCTGAGGGTACGGAAATAAGCCAGCGAAACGTTGGTCCGCTATCCCAATTCAACGCATGCAGCATATAAACAAGCAATATCTATCGCTTTTATGCGGCATACTACGTTGCGAAGATATGCATACATCTCCACCCGGCCACAGATGAACAGCGCTGCATAACATGGCTCCTCACACGAGCACTTCGATCTCTCTTTCTTTTTCCTTATTGGCATGTCTTCTTTCACACGTTTACACCCGCCTAGACGGCGCAGTTTTTTTTAAGGTAACACAGGCCCATGCTGCCTTTGAAGGCACTTGCCTGTGCACAGTAACCAAGGGACCACGAAGACTGGATATACCCCCCTTTGGATTGTTTTGTGAGTTTGCGGCATAGCGGCTGCAGGATCGCCGTATTTCTGCCAGTAAATACAGACAATAAATAGCTTCCCAGCGCTATTATGCGCTAGAATATAACACAAATATTTATTTTGCCTCATTTTATGTGCATTTGTATTCCCGTCGTTGACTAACATGGACGACTTGTAGGCGCAACTCCGCCATAACGCGGGTAAAACAGTGCTGTAAATACAGTGGCCCTTCACACACCGTAGCGCAGTGGGTTGGTTGGAGAAACCACTTAACACGGCTGAAGTGGGGAAACGCGTCGGCGGACCACCAACGCGCAATGTCTTCGACAATTCACAGACGCCCGCCGCAACAAACTACCGGCTTAAATCGATCCAGCACATCCGCACGCTATCACGACCGTATAAAACACAAAGATACATATCCAACTTGCCTATATTATCCATCTATCACAATGCCTCCTCGCAAGTCCGACGCGCGGAAGAGCGACGTCTCCTTCGCCGACGCTGGCGACACAAGCATACAACCCGTCGATTCGCAAGCGGACGATGCCTCCAAGACAACAGCTGATAAGAAAGATGCCGTTACTATAGAAGTATGATATCCATAATATAGCAGCAAACCAGCTGGACAGCCATCAAACTAACACATGCGGCAACAGGATCTGAGCCTCCCAAAATCCATCATCACACGACTCGCAAAGGGCGTTTTGCCGCCAAATACACAAATCCAAGGCAATGCTATCCTCGCCATTAGCAAGAGTGCAACAGTATTCATCAACTATCTTGCCTCACAGTGCGTTCAGATACCCCAACTTTGAGCAATCGGTCGGTGTGGCTGGAACACTAACCCCGTGGTAATATAGCGCCAATGAGAACACAATGGATGCGAATAAAAAGACGATTGCGCCAGCCGATGTGTTCAAAGCACTAGAAGACACAGAATTTGCATTCCTTAAGGAACCTCTTGAGGCCGAGTTTGCCAGTAAGCGCCTGTGCATGTCGAGAGACGGTCACACAGTCTGCTGACCATTTGCTTCCTTCTTATAGAATTCAACGCCATTCAAACGGAAAAGCGCACATCATACCGACAAAAGGTCAAAGCTACAAAAGAAGACGACACAGAAATGCACGACACATCGACCATCTCTGCGGTAGCCGGTGGTGGCGGCGAGACGCCGCCCGCCAAAAAGGCCCGCGTAAACGGCGCAGCAGCGGAAGCCGAGGACACAGAGGTCGATGAACACATAGAAGACGAAGATGATGACGACGAAGATAATGAAGACGAGGAGGACGAGGAGGCAGCGCCCGAAGAGGACGAGGCAGACGAGGGCAGCGGAGACGAGACGCAAGACGCACAGGAAGACAAGGTCGTTCAAGAAGATGAGGCGCTTGATGGCGACGAGAGCGACTAAACTTACTATCACGGCATGAATATTTGGGCACGGGGATAAAAAGGAGTTGGGTAGTCACTTCAGATACACAAACCACGTACATGCGACATGTGCGCCATCATCAAGTCTCTTTACAAAGAATAATACACAGCATCATTCATCAATCACAATGTCAAGAAAAAGTTGTATCGTGTTACACCTTAGCAAGTCAAGGCTGAATGAAATTTCGTAAGAGAGCAAACAAGAACTAAAACCCCCGGATCCAAGAAAAGAGAAAGGAGAAAGAAGAAACAGCTCAAGATAGCAAAAAAGGGAGCATCGACAACGTTCAAGACCGAGGGCAAAACGAAAGAAAGCAGCATATACCATTTTGCACAACGGGTCGGGGATTATCCAAGCCCAGACAAACAACCAAGATAAGGAAAAAGGGTAACCAAGAAGAAAGGATGAAAAAAGAAACTAGCAAAAACTCCCCTTTTTGTCCGTGCGTCGACCATGTACCAAAGTTAAAAAAAAACGTTTGAAAAAAGGGGAATATTTCCACAGTGGGAAGAAGGAAAAGAGTGCAAGTACAGGTTGCTTTGGGACTCAAATTAGCCCCAAGAACAATAAAAAGAGGAAGAAAAAGGAACAGAGAAACATGAAAACGGGGGCGACTCGCAAACAAAGTCGCCACAGGCGTCGATTTCATCAGAGTCCAAGCCATGGTTATGCGTATCTTGTCCGTCGGCACTTGGTTCTACTATTCGTGTCTCCGCCAAAAGACAAGAGAACAATCAAGAGGAAGGAGAAAAAAGATAAACCATGAATCAGCAGTGCATAGACAAAAGGGGGTATCCAAGATATAGGAGAGGAACAAACAAAGCACACAGAGAGCAAGCAGGCCAGCAAGACGAGAGAGAAACCAAGGTATAGAGCAATAAAATACGCTTTTTGTCGTAACGGTCTCATCAGAAGCCAAACATCAAACGCAAGGAAAACTAGAATGACGCCGTGCCAAGGTGGACCAGCCACCGGGAATGAGCAGGGCAGTCGTTTCGCTAGACGGCCGTGAGAATGACATTACTGAGGCTGCTGCTGCTGAGCCCACCACTGCTGCTGTTGCTGTTGTTGCTGCTGGGGAGGAGGCGGCGAGTGCTGGCCGGACCAGGCTTGTCCCGTAGGGGATCCCTGAGGCATGTACTGCCGCGGGGTCTGGTCAGCAGGATACATGCTTTGGCCACCGTACTGCATGCCGCCCATGGGAGGGAACTGCGACATGTTTGGGTTCATCTGGCCGCTGCCCTGGCGCATCTGAGGAGCAGGAGATTGGGATGCATGCTGCGACTGAGTAGTGTAGCTACCGTAGGCGCTGCCGGGGCCACTGGGGCTCTGCGACCACATCTGGCCAGACTGGTAGTTGTAGCCAGGTTGGCCGGGGATACCAGCTGTTGATCCAGCTGTCATCAGGTTAGCGCACGATATAAAAACGATGGGATACTTCAAGTGGGCGCGCAAAGCTTACCTCTCATAGGAGTGCCTTGAGCGTTGATGGACTGCGAGTATGGCGCGGCTGTCATCATCATCTGCGGGCTCTGCGACGAGACTATCGGAGGCTGGGGCATGCCACTGACGGCAGCATGCGGCGATCCGGTAGCTCGGCTGGTGGGGATGGTGCTGTCCGTCGGGTTCAGATGCAGAGGAGGCTGCTCGTGGGTGCGGCGCCAGACACCTTGCAAGTAGTCGCCGCGCATGTCGCGCTGCTGCGTGACGGAGCGGTTGTACTCGGCAGCGTGCTGGGCTTGCGAGTTGAGCTCGGGAATTGCGGAGGGTCGGCTCTGGTCCTGGTAAGCTGGTCCGGTAATCTCCTGGCGGGGTCCGGTCTTGATGATGCCGCTGTAGTCTCTGGGACGAATATCACTAAGTTCTGGGGCGATGGTTAACGCGGGCATCCTTCCGGTGGTTCCTGGTGGGCCTCCCATCATACCTGGGATAAGATGAGAATGCGGCGGGCCTGGGAAGGGTCCTGGGGCAGTGTTGTACACAATCTCGGGGTTGGGGTTTCCAAGCAGCAGGTTGTTCTGCGCTTCGGCGGCTTCTCTAGCCTTGGCCGCTCCGGGGCGCTTCTCTCCAGCCAAATCGTTCTCAGTAAAGCCCTGCTTACGAGCCTTGGTCTCCCAGTAGTCATCACGGACACGGCGACCACCGTCAATGACGCGGCTTCCAAACTGGCGGAACATGGATCGAGCAGTGACGATGGCAATCTGGCGAGATCTGTAAGAAAATGGGAGAATCTCCTGCTGGACAAGATCATCCTTCTCGGCCTGGCTGGCAATAATCTTGAAGAGCGACCTGTTCTTGTTAAAGAGGAGGTACGAGTCACGGTAACTCAGGTTTCTGGCGCATTCGGTGGCGAGCATAAAGAGCTTATCGCCTCGGTTGGGAACCAAAAAGGTGCGGCATCTGTACTGACGGCCGCCCAGGAGTTGGCCATTAGGCATCACCTTCTTCTCACCAAACTCGTCAACTTCACGAGGTATATATTCATCGCCCGAGGGATTCAGTTGGTCAGTTGTGTGGTCGCGGACTGTCGGGAGCGCCTTGAGGGTCGACTTGGTTGGGGTCGCTTTAGGAGGTTGGCCTCCAGAGTAGGCGGGCGTAGTTTGGCTCGGCAGAGGTGTAGCTTGGTTTGTCGGTGTTTGGGGAGGCGGTAGCGTAGCAACGCCTGGGATGGCTGGTTGCCCTTGAGGGCTTCCTTCAGACTTCATTGTTCTGGATCGTTTGAGTTGCGCAAACGGGCGTTCTAGTCGCGGCAAAAAGTTAGCTTCAAGCAGCGCGAAAATACGCGGCAAGGCTCTTCCTCTGCCTCTCTCTCTCGTAGTTGAAAAGGGTAGTGTCTTGGGGTAGCGCGTGAAGAAAATAAATAGGATGCAAAAGAGGTCAATAGATGAAGTCGCAACACAAAAAAAATGAGTGGTAGAGGGCAACGTGATGAACAAGGCGCGAAAGGTTTCGCGACGTACCAAAGGCACCAGTGTCTGTCTCGGTGGGTGATTCGGGAGACCTGGCGCGTTTGACACCGCGAGTTGTAAGAACTATAGGAGTTTGAGTCAGTATGTCTGTTGTTTGTTGGAGCAGCGATGAACGAAACGCAAATGAACAGGTGATGCGACAAAAGTCAAAATTGTCTCTGCAATAGCCGGACCCATAGAGAAGAAGCGTGAGCTTATGGTTACAGCGCGCCCCGCGCTTGGCAGCGCTAGAGCTCCCGCGACCACACGTAACCGTAGAGCCGACGGGTCAAGACACCGGCAGACATTCTCCATGGGGGAAGCCGAGCTACTGCACAAAACGGTAAAAAGGAAAGCCGGGCATAAGGAGCCGCAAAAGGTAGATGACACAAAAAGCAAAGAAAATGGACAAGGTAACACACGCGGTGAGGTTAGGGCAGCCGGATTGATGGTAGCACCGTCTGCGCCGCTCGGGCGAGCAGAGTACATTGCCGGAATGGATGGATGCAGCTCGTCAACAGCACTCGCGGCAGGAACGCCGGCAAGCTGTGGTTGAAGAGAACGTGTAAATGAAGAAACTCTCGGGATGCGCAGGCGCTGCAGACTGGACGAAGCGCAACCGCGCTAGTAGAAGACGATGCTGGTATGGCACCAGGGTGGTGTGGCCAGACGTTGAGGGCGGTGGGAGCTTAGGAGCTAGAGTGCGCTGCTGGTGGTGCGGTGCTGCTGCGTGGTGGTGGCGGCCATGCGAAGCGGGAGAGCCGGACGAGCGTAGGCGATGGGCGATGGAGGAAGGAGGGTGGTGTGCTGAAGTAAGGCGAGGAGGAAGTGTAAAGAAAGAGGACGCAGGAACAAAGACGTAAAAGGAAAAGTTATCATATTTACCTTTTGGATCGTGGAGCGGCGGCCGTGGCAGAAAGCGATCAGATGGACAAGCTCAAGGAGGCGCGCAGGGTGTGGGCGAGTGCGACAAAGCAAAAAGGCAATGGAAAAGTGTGAGCGCAAAAGAGAGGAGCAAAGGGAAACAAAGTACCCCAAGAGTTGTCCGAGGGTTAAAGCGGCGGACAAAAGTAAAGAGCAGTATGGCAAAGGGAGAAGTCGGCGGCGTGACAGATGGGGGATTCAGTTGGAGGGGCGTGCGTGATGGGATTCTTCTTGGTCGCAAAAAGCGATGGCGTCGTGGAGGGGGGGATGCGCCGGATAGACGAGGGAGGAACAAGTAAAAGTAATACGGGCAGAGGCCGAACAGGAGAGAGAGCGCAGGTCTAGAGTAGACTCGAGACAGTAAAATACCTTGATTGTAGACGCTTAGGCGAGCTCAAAGACAATAGGAAGCCGCAGCAAGACCAGAGTTGAGCTGTGCGATGCGCCGTTGTATTGCGATGGCGAGGTTGGTGGAAGCTGCACGTCGACGCGTGCCGTAGCTTTGCAGCGGAGAATTTGCGTGTCTTTGGTTTGCGCGGGTTAGCGTGTGTTGCGTGTGTGTGTGTGTGTGCGTGCGCTGGTGTGGGAGGAAAGATGTTTGGGTTTTGGAGCGCGCACCAGAAAATAAAGAGGCGAGGCGGGCGTAGTAATGGGAATAAGGGTAACGGCTATCGCGACCAGCTTTGAATGCAAACCAGCGGTACCCAAAGCAAGGAAAAGCAACGGTAGTGAAGGAAGAAAGGATTTCGAAAAGGAAAAAATAAAGGCAGCAAAGCAAGATCGTTGCGACGGACGATACGCGTAGGGGAGGGGGGGCAAGCTAGTATGGGTGTGGTGGAGGGAGGAGTGCGGGCGCAGCCAAAAGGTGATGGGAGGAGCCGATGGCGTGTGGAGGGCAGCCCAAGTGCACTGGGAAAAAGAGCGCTAGCAGGGCCCCTGTCGCTTGAGAGGCTTCTGTTGCAGCGTGGGTGGCGCCGCGAAAGCGCAGCATAGCTTCGTCGCTGTAATTCTGCACAAGCTGCTAATACTGGCGAGCTCCTGTGGCAGCAGAGGAAGCAAAGCAAGGAGGCGAGGAGACGAGGGCCAGCGCAGTTGTCCCAAAAGAAGAATAGAAACAAAAGAAGAAAACAATAGAACGTCTTCTTCCTCTCCTTCTTCTCTTCTTCTTTTCCGATTCTATTCTTGGTGGAACAAACAGAAGCTGTTCTGTGGCTGGTGGGTGCTCTCCGCGCCGTCGTTTCTTGCAGGGAACAGCATCAGCCCAGGCAGAGCTTCCCTCCTCCTCTCCTCCCCTCCCCTCCCCCAAGCCGGTACCAAAGTGGGCGGGCGTCCTGTGTTTGGGGTGCCAGTCGCAGTGGTGCGCCGGTGAATGTGGTGGGTGTCGGGGCGATGGTGGTGGTGGTGTTTGGTGGTGGGGAGGGGCCAGCAAGACCCAAGTATAGCCAGGGACGTGCAAGAGATGGGAAAGAATGTGAAAATCGATATAAATCAGACAACAGCGATCGCAGCGCAAGATGCAGATGCCCATGGACCAGGAGCGCAACGCCAGGCGAAGCCATCTCCAAGGAACACAAGACTTGGGAACAAGCAGGCGCCCGGAACAAGGGGAACGAACGACGGGTGGCGACGCAAAAGAACAACTTACATGTAAATCGGTAAAGCGCAATGCTGGCTTCAAGCAGTTTGGATTCTTGCTCACAAACAGCGTCCGTGAATGGCAGCAGCAGTAGCAGCAGTACACGTGGAAACGAAAACTTGACGAAATGAGAAGTCAAGTAGGAAAGTTTAACAAGAAGAAAGGAAGAGGAAAAAGAAGAAGAGAAAGAGAAAGACGACAAGAAATTCCCAAGTCGACTTGGAGCAAGACAACGGGAGAAGGGGGGTGTAGCTGCGTACCTGTTTTACTTGGTAGAAGCCCCCCCTCCTCCACCTCCTCCTCAGCGCCGTGTAAGAGCTGTGGAAGCCAAGTTAGCGGAGGCACAGTGCAGCGAAACAGTGAGGCAGACAACCAACCAGCCTGAACCACTCACAGAAAGATAGCTCTCCAGTGCTAAGGAAAGGCGCCGCTTCAGCGCACCACTATCCGGCTGGCGGCGAAAAAAAAGAGAACTAAAAAAAAAAGGGGGCGTATGCAAACCAGCCAGCCAAAAAGAGGGGGGCGTGACCGATGCCTCCACGACGCAGCCCAAATGGATGCAAGGGAAGAAAGCGAGCCGGGGTGGGGCCAGCGAGAACGCTAAGAAGCAGCAAGGCACGCCGTGCTCCAGTGGACTTGTCCTCCGTCCCCCAGCGCACTCGGCCGCTAAATCCGTCGCGCCCACTGAGCCCACTGTAGCCCGTTAAAAATGGGACACCGTGCCTGGAGCACTGTGGTCTTCTCGTTCTCGTTCCATTGAATGATTTTGTTGTCTTGCTGGTCTCTTTCGTCGATGACTCTGCTTATCTTTTTCTTTCACGGTTCTGGTTAGTAAATAATGATGCATATACACAGCTGAGCTTACCGCAGTTGTTCAATAAAATGAAAGATATGTTGCTCACACTAGCACATCGCCAAAACACCATACACAGATCTGACATGAGTGCCTCCAGCCTCCAACTGCTGCGCCTTCAAGGTGCTGCTGCTGCAGCAGTGGCAATGCAAGACAGCCGAGGCCATCAAATAGCACTGAGCATCAAAACCGTCGTGGGCAAAATATCCCTTGGTTGGCTGGTTTTTAATTAATGCGAAATACAATCGACGACTAATCATCGACCACAGCCAGCCCGTGTCCATCTCTCCACCATTCCAGCCAGCCAAACCAGGTCTGCCTGCCGCCATCGGGTCATCGACGTCGTTTTAAATTGCCTTTCATCATCGGTTTTGGTTCGGTTGCGAGCCTTCTTCAACGCCAAAGATATGCGCCTCACCCACCAGTGCACATCGTTGGTACAGTACCCAGACATCTTGACTGCACAGACGTAGTGCGAATCTGACTCTGTAAGCCCATGGCGCTGGCTTATACATGCACAGCAACACACCCTCCCTGAACCCGTCCAAGGCTAGCGCCTCGAGCATGAAAAGCAGCAACCAGCCTGCACAAGATTCCAGTGGTAGATGTGCATAAACCAAGAGACATGCACTGCCCATTCTTGGGTCCGGGGCTTCTCGGCCGGTGCCATCTTCCATATCCCAAATTCTTCTTGCCTATGCTCTTTTTGGCCAATATGCTGCAACTCTCCAAAAACGCTCGCTGGGCGCCCAAATACGGGCCCGCTGCAGCGCTAGGCAGGGGGTAGGTTGGCTCCGTCACTCTGCAGCGTCCTCTGCTCCTCATGTCTGTCGGCCAACCGCCGTCGCACTCTCACTCAACAAACTTTTGTCGCACCATCCCCAATGGATCCTCCTTCAAACCGTTCCGTTCTTCTGCACAGTATTAGCCTGGCTTCCGCGGCCGTGCCCCTGCCCGGTTTCCCCAAACCAACCTGCCATCGCACCGGCTCGCACGCTACAGGCTAGTTCGTTTTCCCTTCCCGCCTCTCCCCGGCGCTCTCTTCTCAGCCGAGTCCACTTGCAGTTGGCTACGACGTTGTATATTCACAACGCGAGCTGGCGTTGCATTTGCCATATTTTTGCCTATTTTCCAGTTCCAAGTAGGTTGTTGGGTCCTGCCTAGTTCGTTGTAAGCCGCTCCTGGTACCCTTGTTGTACTGCTGCATGTCTTATGGCGGCCACTTTCCACTTCTCCCCATTGTCGGCGCCCTGCACTCTATACTTCAACAACACCTCAGCCTGGTATGGCTCCTAGAATGTCGATCTGTCTGGCGCGTGCTTACATGACAATCTCTCATGCGTTTGCTCACAGCTAATACAGCCTTGTCCTGCAGCATGTGCCAGGGTAGAGTCACCGCAGAATGAATTTTACATCTCCGCAGGTTCAGCGATCAGATACCTTGTGTCCGTCTCGCGTACCGTGACTCACGATCTCGTGGTTGTGTAGCCCATCGTCGCCGCTGATGCAGAACCGGCACCCGGCTTCCTGGGTCCATCGACCCTCGAACACATAAATGGGGATGGGAGTCAGACAGATGCCAGTGAGCTATGTCGTACAATATCCATTTCCAAATACTTTCAGTTCACGCGATCGCTCTATCCGCTCTGAGACATTCCTCTCAAAGAACAATTCTCCGACACCAAAGACACGGATGGGCCTTACACTACAACTGTAACAAGGAGATCATGGCTGCCCACCATGATACGAGCCCTTCGAAATTTTTCTTTTCTCGCATTGTGACAACAATCACTGGCGCGTCCTCACTATATCATCTACTAGTTAGCGAGGTGAAGCATAGGGACCAGTCGTACTGGCACTTACACCGGGTATTTTGGTTGTCATTGGTGCTGCCCATGTCTCGCGATTTCACGCTCTGAAATCAGCAGCTCAGAACACGAACTAAGACCTTCATTTCGCCGCTGCATACTTCCTTTAACAGATTCCTACGCCTAGACTCATTTGGACAGGTTCCGAGACAGCAATAGCCCAAACTCATGTCTATCAAGTCATAATGACGGTGGCATCGCGATCGTAGCTCAAGACCACGAGCAAAACCAGACCCGTTAGCATTGCAGCTCTGCGCGGTTCGTTCACTGTGTCAAACCGTATTGACTGGCTGGCGTAATACGTAACAAGGTTCTCATTACATCCACGCCCTCAAAATGTGGCGACGTTTCATATTGCGACCGCAAAAGTATAATCCTTTCAACATGGCCCCCAGCCCACTTTCAGTGCGAGGCTCGGGGCAGAAACGAAAAAGAGGGTGGCCTACAACGGTTCCGCCCGCAACCTTGCTTCTGTCCCCTACAGTAAAATGCTTCCTCGAAAGCATTCGAGTCGCCACTGGAGGCTCAACCTTGTCTGCATGTTTTCTCGCTGGAGAGCCGCTGACGCTAAGCAGGGAGACCTGGCCACGAGGTCGACTACTACTGTGTTCTCCATTGTTTTTCTTTCGCCTCTTTCTCCTCCTCTGGACTAGGCCGGCGGCTTTTGACATGCGCCCCGCCCTACAGCACATCGCCTCTCTTACAGTGGAAGAGCGTACAGCCCATGCGCCTCACAAGCTTGCTCTAGCGTCGATGTGCCATCGCCAAAGCTGCCCGCTCCAAAGTCCGGCGGCCCATATTGGCACTGTGGGTAATCCTGGCGCCTCATTGGCCGAGGCTGCACTATGCGACTCATCAGAATCAAACCTTGGGGTGTCCACCCACTCGTGTAATCCGATATTCGACCACGTACAATCATGAGCAACATTCCCTGTAGAGGAAATAAAATGAGCGTTATTGGGTGCCGAGGAAGAAAAACTGCTGAGTAATACACCCTATAGCGTTTGACCCTTCCACTGACGATGCAAAGAGACCGGTGAAGCAAGAGAAATCCTCGCGCCCATGAATGTCTCACATAGATGTCCGCCAGGACACCCCGTGATGCTTGGTAGCCTGAGAACCTTGCGAGGAGAGTGTGCACTGTATTGTGCCCGTATCGCTCGGCTCCGGTCAACAGCAGTCTTTCAGCTCCCGTTTGCATTCTACCGCCGCTTTAACAGTCCAACTTCGTGATGCACCAATATCGATGATTTTGGAATGGCACATTCCAAGGCGTGCTATGAATAGCTTAGCTGTCTCGGTACTGCCCTGTTGACACGTTCCGCGTCGTGTAGCTGGCGTAGAGTCGACTGAGACTGACTAGAGCAAAAGATTGAACTTTGGGGCCCTGGGATCCCCGAATTCAAGTGGGTGCCGGTTATTGAGCCTCAAGCATAGAAAGCTTCAAGCTCTTGCCGTTAGGCATCCTTCCACCACTCGTATCAGTGTAAAAACGCGTTGCCCTCCAATAAACAGCATATGCAAAAGCTCAGCCCAGTCCTGGCAAGCTGCAAGCCACAGCTGGCACATTTTGGCACCATTATCGGTCCAACAATCGGTGGGAATCTCTTTAGACAATGGTTGCTCTCAGCCGCTCCAGTTAGACGACGAAGGCGTAGATGATCAGCACTCGTCAAACACATTGCCATGAGGAGGAAAGCTTCACCGCCTGCGCGACGGCATTTTGCCTGTTCACAAGAGTGGTATAATTTATAAAGGCGGCAGAGGGCGGGCGCCCTTCAACACTCAACGGGCAATCGTCGGAGCCAGAGGCACGGTAAAACGCAGTCTCTTTCGGCCACGGCGTCCATCCACACGGATACTTCGTAGGCATTACCACCTAAGAATCCCTGTAAACCTCGCGGGCCAGGGTGCATGTTGTGCCAGACGCTGTTGCTCCCTGCACGCACTATCTCCTTGGCTACATTGGATCGATTTCTTCTGCCATGTCTGTGCGTCGAAAATTGTTTTTGAGAGCTCCTCTTAGACGACGCAGTCCAATATGAGTAAGTGTATTGGTAGATGAGTGGCGTATCATTCATTTTCTTACATTCCGTGAGCAAGGCTTGGCAGCTTCCTGGAGGCGAGGAGTTTCTCCGCCTAACCGACAAGCGAGAACGACACACTTGCGACCTGTGCCAGTGTACGAGTGTTGGGAATCCGCCCCTTGGCATGATAACTTCAGCCCGCAGCCTTGCTTTTGCGAATGAGCCACCGCTATTGCACTTGCCAATCATCTCGTCTTAGGATATTGGGCCGGGGGCGCTGAGCTTGACGCCACCATTTTGGCAGAAAACCCACTTTGTGGCCAGCGGCGAGTGGGAAGCGGATGAAACAAGGCTAAAGGTGCTGAAAGCTACGCCGAAAATGTACGCCTGGAGTTCAGTACAGTGCCAAAATCACCGTGGTTTGATTGGCGATGGGCTTTTGGGCTAAACTCAACAGAGCAACGGGATCCGGTGCCAGACCCATGATGTAACTCGCGCGGAGCGGGATCTTCCAAGCTGGCTGTGCGGAAGACACCAGTTTGCTCCGTCGGATGGGCCCAGAGCAAAGTGACGCTGCGTTTTCGAGATGTTTAGCTGAACAGAGCTTTCTTGTAGTTAGTTGGTAAACCCAGAATCAGCCACAGTGGCTTACTTCTGCCTGGTCAGCCAAGGGCATGGACTGCGAGCCAGCTGGCGCACCTCCGGCTGCCAGGTGCCATCTGACAGCTGGCGTTGCGATGGGCCACGCGGCTGCAAGCTGTCGATGGCCATGGAGCACTGTAATAATACAGTGCATCGTAGAACAGTGCCGGAGCTCTACACCCCCTTGTACTCGTTTAGTGCATTAAAGCCGACTTAATCTTGCGCTACAGCCCTGAACGCGTGGTTTGCAAGCCCGTGTCCATCTTTTTAGTGAGCAACTAACTTAGTCTGGCGCGCCGCCCACGACAGGCTAAGATGCCGCCCTGGTCAAAGCGCCTGTCAAACACTTGGGCCTGGGATGATGGGCCGCCGGATAGCACGGGAATCGTAGCGCCGCTCAGTGGTTAAATGAGGACGCAAATTAAACGGGAGTTGTTGGGATGGTTTTCGCCCAGCGTTCCGCAATTTATATCCAGGCGCCGCTGGTCGTGAACCTGCGTTATCGCTTCCTGTTGTTCCGCATGCACAGTTGTTGCGGAACAGTGGTCCCGTTGCATTGGTGGCGCACCGTTGTCTCCCCTGCTGCGCATAACCGTTGTGGGTTCGGAGGGGGGAGGCTTCAAAAGTGGAAGCAGCACGCACATGGCCTGGCGAGTGCTGTTTTAGGGCTCCTGTTAGTGGCTCCATACGCTAACGGCTTGAGGTTTTCGGGGCGCTGTGCTGGTGGAGTTAGCGAGTGGAAAATGTGGAGGCGGAGGCTTCTTCAGCGTTCGTCCACAGTGCAAACAAGCCGAGGGTGTGCGGAACGGCTGGGATAGAAAGCTGGTTCACGAATAAAGCTAGACCACAGAGGAAAAGTATGATAAAAGCAGGGGATTTCAAGAGCGGCGAGGATCAGTGATCAGCTTCACTGATTACTCAGGAGCTAAAAATAAGACGGCTGCGTCGAAACTCTGTCATGGCTGGTCGCGAAATTAACCCGAGCCCTCCCACTAGTCTCGGCCGAAGCTACCCTATTGTCCACAGGTTCAACGCTGTTGTGTTTTGAGTAAAGCTTGCGTGCGAGAGGGGGAAAATATTTGCCATAGAATAATTATGTAAAGTTTTAGAATTGAAATTCTAGTAGTATAAAATCAAACCATGTGAGCGTGTGTGCTCCATGAGGTATAGGCTGATCCAGAAATCTGCCAAGTGAGTTAACACCTGCCAGGTGCTTGACAGCTGGCACACTCAAGTTCCATTCAATAAAGAAAGGACACGCTTGCATCTACAAAATTAACATATGCTCTCGTCTGATGATTCCAACATTTGGCCATCGTGGCTAACTTAGCCATGCCCCCAATCCCTAGTTTGTCATAGTCGTGTTTATGCACGCCATTCAGAATGGTGCCCTGCATCGCGGAATCGACGCAAGCTGACAGGCCAGAGCTAGGAACTGCCCACCACCACAACAAAAGTCTCCGCCCTTCCCGCACCCTCCACCAGAGCGTCCCCAGCCGCTAGTGAACCACCCTCCTTTCGATCTGCATATGCTTTGTGCCACGATCGCAAAATGCCCGACTGGTACTTGATGTTAGTACAGCATGATTGACCGTGTTTTGTTCCGGCCGCCAGTGTACGGCTACTGTATGACAACGACGGAGATATTCCAAAGTATCCGAGAACGACCGCCTCTTCTCATAGCCTCCCTGACTGTAACGGCAATTCTCAATGCAAGGCCCATTAACTTTATTAGCCGTGCTTACGGTCGCACCACGCCTATAACCCGGTATGTATAAGGGAATTACAGCTTGCTGGCCTTTTGCCGCCTGTCCAATCCCTTGCCAGGCTTGGCGAACCAAACATGCTTCAAAAGTTCTTGTGACAAATTCGTGGGCCACCAGACAAGGGTAAACGAAAGCTGATGACCTATCTTCGGCATCGCTTCGCATCAGTTCAGCCATGTGACCTCGCTACGAATATACGAGGATGGGCTCTCCCACAGCTGTCGGGTTTCTGCAACGGCAGGCTTACATGTGCGCAGATAGTTTGCATGCTGAGAAATTGCGAACCATATAAGCTATTTGGAGCCAGTGACCATTGATAAGCCTACCAGCCGCTGTGAGGTCTGGTTCAGAGGCGTAAGGTACCCCCAACCGGCGGCCAGTCGGCGCATATTAACCTGCTCGTTAAATGGTGAACATGGCTTGATTGGCGGCTTGCATAATGCTCCAGCACACAGGTCAGCGCTACATTGGAGAGCCGACTGGACCACTAAGGCGATCATTCGCTAAAGCTATATTGATCCGCATATATATACTTTACAGTACACAATTAACAGGGCGACACTCCTCCTGTCTTGTTTCCGATTGCAACAGTCTCTTGGTCCTTCGGCCACAACAAATGTACAGGGAGAAAAACAATTCTTTTATGCTCGAACCATGGTTCAGAGTTCCAGATGCACTTCACAACAAACATGTTCACACTACGGCCGTTTTATCAGTGTTTCTATCACAGTCGTATCAAGGGTCCGCACGCGGGAGGAAGCACGCCATCCACACCAATGAAACCCCTCCCTTGCTTTCCCGCTCGTGCAGGCGCTCCGATTTGATTGTGACCATCGTGCCGCTGTCTTTTGGTAGTATTTTTTGTGAAATATGCCTGCATGAGTCATTTTAGTATTGCGTACAGCCTTGATTGTCCGTTTTAGGGCCCCAAGCTTTGAAGCCAAGCTCATCAAAGCAGCTTTCGGTAACTGTGTAAGCAGCGCCTCCATGTCTGCCAGGCGGCCTTGGACGGAGCGCTATGAGCACCAGGTGACTTGTATTACTTCTGCAGGGCCTCTTTTCACTACATGCACACCATAGATAACGTGCATTGATTCAGCATCACTGCAGAGCATGGGCGGGGGTGTGGTAGTAATGAGTCTGGTCACCTGCACCTCGATAGGCTCAACCACTACAAACCGGCAGATCAGCGCTGTACTTGCCGCAAAATCTATAAACAAAGCCTATATCTAAAATTTCAAGCCAATCACAGTGGTGCAAGTGCTACAAATCCAGCCCAGGGCTGGGGCGTGGTTTACGCGCTCCAGCGCATGACGAAGGTGAGACATGTACTGTGCGACAGATTCTTTTTCGTCGCAGCAGGCCAGGCAAAATGATTTATGCCATATAATCGAATGATGAACTGATTTCAACAAGAAACAGACGTAGACACATGCAGGATGGTACGAAGACGTACACGATATCTACTAAACCGCCTATTGGTTTTCGAACAGGAGCTGGGTTAGGTTTTCAGAATGGCTCCAGTCACGTAGAGTAGAGTATCCGAACATTTATTTTTGCAATATATAAGAAAGTATACTCTAATCCTGTTTCATATAGAGCGTTCTTCAAGTTTTGAACGTTCATCTACGTCGTGTAAGTCACAACGGCTCGGTCCATCGCTTACATGTCACATCATCCGCAATGGATTGTGATTCTAGCCAAACATAGATACTACTTAACAAACCAGAATTATCTTTAAAAATACTGATAGCAGCTTTTTACCCCTTTTAAACAGTAGCATTTGTGACAAAGCTGTTTCCAACATGCTACAGCAGGCGGGTACACGTGACTAGAGAGCTGTCCCAAATCACGTGACACAACCTCACGGCGCATTGCCTGTCCTTGTTGTAGTTGGCAAATTGAAAACTGATAATTAGTAGAGAGAATATATCAAGTTATCTTCCTCAAAAGAACCCAGCTACTATTCGTAGGAAAGTGGGTGTCACGTTGTGGTTGTGCAAGATCGCTAGGAGCATATCGATAAGAACTGACAGCGAAGTTTGCCTCATCCATTACCAAGCTTCCATCAAAACTTCCATCAAACATCACAGACTGAGCACCGCCGCCATGACCAGTTTAAAACGTGCGCAGGACCCGCAGTCACTCTCTTCTAGTATTTCTAGCAAGGTTTATGTTAGATCTACGCGAAGTGGAAAAGTGCAAAAGATCGTCCGGGAAGTTTACCTCAGAACTGACATTCCATGCTCGTCCAAGCTATGCAGAGCTTGCTTGGCCATTGCGCCCAAAAATGCAGCCCAGGAAGGTGAGATAGAAGCCCTTCTCAATGTTAGATGCTAAGCTAATTATTTCCAAGTGCAACCTTTTGTTTTGTCGGAGAAGCCTGCAGCTACAGCCGCATTTCCCCAGGGCCACTATCTGATTCCAGATACCAACGCTTTGCTCAATGGGATGGATCTTTTTGAACAGAGCTCTGCATTTTACGACGTAATTATTCTTCAGACTGTATTGGAAGAGCTCCGAGGACGGTCATTCCCGTTGTATAACCGTCTAGTTGGTCTCACCAAAAGTGAAGATAAGAGGTTCTATGTTTTCTTCAACGATTTTCGCCAGGAAACATATGTCACCCGAGAGGCCAATGAAACTATCAACGATAGAAATGACCGAGCCGTTCGTCAGGCTGTCAAGTGGTACGGGGAGCATCTGTCAACAACAAAGGCGAAGCAGATCCCAGCTGTGGTCATGTTGACCGATGACCAGGAAAACATTCGCAAGGCAAAGGCCGCTGGTCTACATGCCGTCACATTGAGAGAATACGTAGGGGGACTCGAAGATAGCGATAAGCTTCTTGACATGGTTGCAGAATCTCAGGGCAAGGGAGACTTCAAACGATCAACACAACCACTCTATCCCGAATACTTCTCGTTATCCAAGATGATGACTGGAGTCAAGGCTGGCTTGATGCACCAGGGCATCTTCAACGTATCCCCATACAACTATCTTGAAGGCTCCATTAAGGTGCCAGCCTTCCCGAAGCCTCTACTGATTTTGGGCCGCGAAAATATTAACCGCTCCGTCGATGGCGATCTCGTTGTTGTCGAGCTGTTGCCACAGGATCAATGGAAACAACCGTCGACCAAGATTCTGGAGGAAGAAACGATTACCAAGAACGAGAACGCAGACACAGACGAGCGACAAGACTTCATCTCGGACAAAGAGCGCAAGGCTCTGCAGGAAGAGGTGAAGCGCACACAGAAGAACACATCAGAATCGCAACCCCAACCCACTGCTAAAGTGGTTGGTGTAGTCAAGCGCAACTGGCGCCAGTACGTTGGCCACATTGATCCCTCATCGGCGGGTAGCGGCTCAAGCCAGGGCCGTAAACAGGACAGTGTCTTCCTTATCCCGATGGACAAGAAGATCCCCAAGATCCGCCTACGAACAAGACAAGTCTCCGAACTCCTGGGCAAGAGATTGCTCGTGACTATCGATGCCTGGGATCGCGATTCACGCCACCCCGTTGGCCATTTTGTTCGCTCTCTGGGCGAACTTGAGACCAAGGCAGCTGAGACGGAAGCCTTACTTCTCGAATGGGATGTTCAGTACCGACCATTCCCCAAGACGGTCCTTGACTGCTTGCCTAAAGAAGGCCACGACTGGAAAGTACCAGCAGACACCAGCGACCCTGGTTGGCGAGACCGTGAAGATTTGCGTGGCCTCTTGATCTGCAGTATCGATCCGCCAGGTTGTCAGGATATCGACGACGCGCTGCACGCACGAAAACTACCCAACGGAAACTACGAGGTTGGCGTCCACATCGCGGACGTCTCTCACTTCGTCAAGCCCGCCAATGCCATGGATACAGAAGCCAGCATCCGCGGCACGACCGTCTACCTGGTGGATAAGCGTATTGACATGTTGCCTATGCTGCTTGGTACAGACCTGTGCTCGCTAAAACCCTATGTTGAGCGATACGCCTTCTCTGTTATTTGGGAAATCGACGAAAGTGCAGACCTTGTCAGTGCCCGATTTACCAAATCCGTCATCAAGTCCCGCGAGGCCTTCAGCTACGAACAAGCACAGCTTCGCATCGACGACGCATCTCAACAAGATGATCTTACCAACGGTATGCGCATGCTGCTCATGCTCTCCAAGAAGCTGAAGCAGAAGCGTATGGATGCTGGTGCACTGAGCCTGTCATCGCCCGAGGTCAAGGTGCAAATGGAGTCTGAGACGTCGGATCCCATTGACGTCAAGACCAAGCAGCTTCTGGACACCAACTCGCTCGTCGAAGAGTTCATGTTGTTTGCCAACATTAGCGTCGCCGCCAAAATTTACGAAGCATTCCCCCAGACTGCCATTCTGCGTCGCCACGGTGCGCCTCCCAAGACCAACTTTGACGAGCTGGCCGAACAGCTCCGCGTAAAACGCGGCCTCGAACTACGCAGCGACTCCTCCAAAGCCCTTGCAGACTCTCTTGACGCTTGTACCGACCCCAAGGAACCCTTCTTCAACACCCTTGTTCGCATCATGGCCACAAGATGTATGATGAGCGCTGAGTACTTTTGCTCCGGCACGCAATCATACCCCGAGTTCCGCCACTACGGTCTCGCCTCTGAGATCTACACGCACTTTACATCGCCTATTCGCCGATACGCCGACTTGTTGGCCCACAGACAGCTTGCTGCGGCCATTGACTACGAGGCAGTGCACCCATCGGTGCGCAGCCGCGGCCGTCTGGAAGCCGTGTGCAAGAATATCAATGTGCGCCACCGCAACGCGCAAATGGCAGGCCGCGCAAGCATTGCCTACTATGTCGGCCAAGCACTCAAGGGCCGCGTGGCCGAGGAGGAAGCGTTTGTCATGAAGGTCTTCAGTAACGGCTTTGTGGTGCTTGTGCCGCGCTTTGGCATCGAGGGCCTGATTCGCTTGCGGGATCTCGCGGAAGTCGAGCCCCAGGGCGAGTATGATGCAGAAACGTTTACGCTTACGACTACGGGAAGTAGAGAGGTCAAGGTGGAGCTATTCCAAAAGGTTCTTGTCAAGGTCATGGACGAGAAGGATGAGAAGACGGGCAAGAGAGGCGTAAAGATGGAGTTGATTCGAGCATAGATTATTTCTTTTATTTTGAGAAGCAAAAGTAGAAAGGGAACTAAGTTATGATATGAAACACCAAAGGCTATGTAAGTCCAGCATATATATATGAAGAATAGAAATTCAAGAGTAAACACCGGTGAAAAAAAAGTGTACACAGAGTCATCATCCACAGCTCATATCACATCATTTTTGGGCTAGAGGTGGCAGTTATTACCATGCTAGGTCCTGCCGCAGGTTATGCCAGCCTCTATCTAAGCCACTTAGCCGTCTGCTAAGGTATATCGATGCTCTTCGCTGAGTTGGCTCCAAGTAGATATCCACAGCATGGACGAGATTTTCCTGTGGGATAGGCAGCAGATCTTCAGCACCCATCCGGGCGAGGTCAAACTCGATACCGGCTTCCTCCATGAGCATAACCTGCTCACAGACAAGGGCGTTACCGGTGCTGTCCCACTGGCCTTCGGACTCTGGGGCGCTGAGCATGAGGGAGATGGCTCTACGGCGAGTGACGGGGCAGCGGCACTTGGTTCCTGTTACATACAGGGGCTGCATGATAGTCATCTCGAGAGCAAAGTCGGCGCGGTCAACAGACTGTTTCTGTCGACGATGGTGTAGAATCTCAGCTGCTAGTTGGACGATCTCGGCAAACTCGGCAGCATACCGGTCGTAGATGGTCTCATCTGGGTCCAGACAGCCGGCCATGTTGATAACGGCGGTGAGGTATTTGATGCGGAGAAGAGCAATTTGTAGAACCGACATTTTGGAAGTCTTTTCCACTGACTCTAGATACTTCTTGTAAAAGGCACGCAGCTGGGCATTGACAGCAACCTCTTCAGCGAAAGCAAACTCCGGGATAGGGGCTTGCTCGCGATATCGAAAGTCGTCTGCAGTGCCACGGATAAAGCGGTACATGTGGTTTGTAATGCTCATGAGCTTGAGATCGGCTTCTTGATATACTGAATCAAAGACAAAGACTCGAGAAGCTACTTTGTCGGGTTCTAGAGCGGGTGGACGCATGCCGAGGAAGACGGCAGCTTGGAGATCGAGTTTGGCAAAGGCTGTTGTGATTGCATTGTCGACTGTTGCTTGTTAGGAGGATAAATTTCTACGTGGATGAATTATGGTCTTACCAGAATCCATATTACCAGCGATGACTTGGAGGCCATGCTCGAGGTGGGTTAGGGCAACGGCAATGTCGCGCATGCGAAGTTCGAAACAAATGCAGAGTAGGGTACAGATTAGCGCGGTGTTGATCGAGCGGCTGTCGTTATGATGGACAACATGACGCATTGACTCGAGTGCCTTGCCATAGTGTCTTAGAGCAAATTCGTTGTCCATGCCTGGGGGCGGGCTACCAGAGGAAGACGGCGAGGATGGCCGGCTTCGAATGTGGCTGGTCAGCGAGCTAAAGGCAACGACTGCATGGCAAAGGGCAACCTCTTCGTGGACGGCTTGTAGAATCATGCGTTTCCAAGCCGGGGAATGTGAATCGCCCACGATGGTATATATTAGCTCGTGGCGGAAGAGATCCAAGTAGGCAATCTCGTCCTGGGAGAGCCAGCCAGTCTGGGTTGGGCGGAAGTAGGTGAGCGTAAGAGGGGCGGTAAACGTAACGTTTCCAGGACCGCCGATGGGCTGAGCGACGCCATCACAGCGTCTATTTGACTTTATACAGTTGCGGCAGACTGGGGCGGTTTCGTCACAACGGATCTTGCGAATTCTGAGGCAGAGCTGCGTGTTAGCGGGCACCATTTTGGGCAAACGGACTTTGTTTCTGAAGCACAAAGGCCATAGGAACGCGAGGAGCTGACATATGGGAGACGGGGAGAGACGTACTTGCAGGTCTTACAGCCGAGTTTTGTTTTCGAATATCTCTTTTTTGTGCCCGTGGTCGGTTTATTCGACTTGGCGGCGTCCGAGGTGGGCATTGTGAATGGGTAGTGTAAGGCGGACTGCGTGGCGATCAGGGTCCAGGCGTACTCCAAGAGCCCTAGCGGAAGAATGGGCAAGGCAGTGTATAAGTCTGAATTGTAGGTCGATGGTGGAGATGGTGAGGCAGAATGGAGGCCTAAAGTGAGGTGAGGGTGTAGGTGAAGCAGAAAAGGGAAGAGCAGCTGGAGCTTTATTTAGTAGATGGCGTTGTCCAAGGCGGTTCCGCTGGGGGGTGGCCTAGAGGGGGTGTGAGAAGTCGTGGGATGGACCAGGGGAGCCCAAGGTGAAAGAGATGAGATTGTGTTGATATGATCCAAACGGGGCGAGGGGATAGTCGGGTATTTCTTGCAGATGATGCAACAAGAGAGCGGCTCGGGGGAGTTTGTCTGGGAGGAGGAGTGCTGGCATAGGCAGAGTCGGGGTGTGTGGACGAATACGCCTAGCAGCGGAAGTATGTGTGATGGGAGCGCGTGGATCAAGACGCCCCGAATAAGGAAGATGCGGAGAAAACGGGACGAAGGTGGGCACCGAAGGATCAGAAAGAGACGTAGATGAGTAAAACAAATAATAAAAAAAGAAATAGTGAAAAAAGAAGGAGGGCGGCATGCAGGATTGCGAGGGGAATGTCGCTCGCTCTTCCGGAGGCGAAACCGGCCGGGAGGATAGCGTGTAAGGCCGAGAAGCAGCAGGCCGTTTAGCGGGAATGGGGGCTGTGATTGGTCCTGGAGCGGCAGATGAGCATACATGGCTTGCTAGCTTCGTTTAGTAAAAAGGACAAAAAAAAGTCAAATAGTATCGTTTACTGCGCACCGGCCAATTAGGCTGGCTTGCATGGGTGGGCTGGCTTCCTTAGAGGCATCCATTCAGCCCTGGGCAGACCCTCACGCACTAATACCACAGTGGTATCCGATGGTTCCCCGGGCGTGCCGTAGCGGCTGGCAAGGCGAGATGAGGGGCTGACACGACGGCTAGTAATGAGGTCTTGTAGTGATTCCTTTGCGTTTGTGTTGAGATGGATGCGTCTGTGGGCATGACAAGCCGGTTTTTGTCTAGTGAATCAGTCGGTAGCGAGTCATCTCGGCTTTGCCGTGCTATACCCGTATCGTTTAGTTACATTGTAGCTGCAAAAAGGGTCTTATTGCCCAAATATCAGTGTTCAAGGGTGCAGCTACAGGTCAGGGCCCAGCTGGGGCCGGCATGTTGTCTTGAGAAGATGGTCACAAACGATTGCGAGAGCGCGGCTAAGGAAGGCCCACGGAACGCCGCCAACGCGAATTCCGGTGGTGTGCATACTTGATAGTCTTGCTTTTAGTCTTAATTGTTGCCCACTAGCATCCAAATCGGGGAGAAGCAAGGCAGCAAGCAGAGCACGGCGTACATCAACTCCTCCCTGAGAAGGCTGTAGCTGAGTTGGAGAAGCTTCGACAACGAGGCGAATCCGTCTGGAAATACTGCATTTGCGGCGTCTGGTGGCACTAACCTTGGATTATCGGGGATTGCGAGAGATAGACCGATACTTTGGGGAATGAGTTAGCCCGACGATGCGAGGTGTGTGTGGGTGTGGGAGATGTGGTAGTGGTGTTTGCTGGCAGCTGGCAGCAGCAACAGTAGCAAATCTTGTGTGCGGCCGCCGACATCTGAGTGGGTTATTCCCGGAGCCTGGATAGCAACGATATACGGTCTATACGCAGCAGCATTGATCGGCAAAAGGGTCTAAAGAGAGCTTAAGAACTTCATATAAACACTCAGAATACGGATTATAATAAAAAGATTTTTTTTTCTAATATCCAGGAGCATCTATACACGAACCACATAGCTTGGCTTCCCAAGATTGAACCCACGTGTTGGGCCGATGCGGTGGGCGGTAGTTCATGGAACACGCCTAGAAGCCCACTGGCGGTGGACCCTGCAATCGTGGTAGTGGTGTAGCCAGAAGGAGTAACAGGCCACCACCAGCAAGTGCCGGCAGGAATTCCGCTAAAAATAGTGCTGAAGGAGCAATAGGGAGGAGAAACAAAGTTAAACGTGTTGGCCGTCATAAAAAGATTAATTTGCCATACTATTACCATGCAACCCAGCACCAACTGCCGCGTCAGCAATCAGCAGCTGCGCATCATGTTCCCGGCCGGCATCTTAACGCCAACGCTCCAACTTAGAAGTGTTTGTGGTGCTGCCCCTGCACATCAGGCCCCCAAGACAGGCAATCAGTCTACCCACGCGGTGGGCAGAGGCCAAGCGCGCGTGGGAGGACGGAACCACGGAACACAGTGGGGCGCTACCGCTAAACACTTCCCAAATAGCACTGGTCTCCGCCACTCACAGCGCTCGTAGCCCTCGTTAATTCGCCTTGCACTGCGGCGCCAGCCGAGAAGACGTCCTGGTGGAGCAACGGTGCGGAACTGGTTCCCTCCTTGGCCCAGGCGCTGGCTGCGACATCGCTTCGCTGGGCTGCTCTTACACGTACCACGCGTTCATGACAGCTGGCAATAGGCAGCGAAGTGAGAAGTCGGAATAGAATTGTGTAGAAATGAATAGCAGGACTCTGCATAATAACCATTCACCAGTGACCAGGATTTGTTCATCCCCTCACTCAGCCATCTTCCATTGGCTTGTTCTTTCTTTTTTCTTTTTTATTGGCTTCCAGCACAAACCTCCAAGCCCGCTGACAAGAATGGGCCGCCCATGCAGGGTTGCATATCCTGCTTTCAGCCCCGAGATACGCCTGTACAATAGCGCGGATCCTTCAGACCCCAGCAAGGTGGACTAAGCAAAACAAAGTATAAGCATACAAAGTAGAAATCTACAGTGACGACAATGGACGATACGGGTCCGGACGAGCACAAATCCCCCCGAAAGAGACAATACGGCCGATAAAGTCCGTGAAATTGCCGACGCTCATCGGCCTTCAGAGGTTGAGACCGGCGCTAGGGCAGCATGTATTTACACACACCCCAACTTGAGGCGGTAGTAACATGCCCACAGGCCATTAATTACGAGTAACTTACCGTTTTGGGTGGCGGCTGCGAAAACAGTTTTATCAATCTAGGGCACTTCGGCTAGCCAACCTGGCACTCTCGGGAGCCCATCTGCGGCTGTTCAACTTCCAAAACAATGCCATAGAGAGCCAACTTGTCAACAGACTCGCCGAGGCAGTCTTTTGATTGGCCATCCCGTTCAACAAGTCTGCATCCTCCAGGCCCTGGCACTTTTCTGGCCCCCATCAACCGCCTCGCTGGCGCTCTGTGTGTCTCGACACTAGGACTCACCTGGATGAACAACCTCTCGGCCCCCCAAAGGTCCAGCCTCACCTGCACTCCCCCACCCCCTTGGGCTTAGCGGATTTTCCAGCATTCACCAGCGTTCGTATGGATACACATCGGCTAGCAGGTGCTCATTGATTTAGCGGCCTGTCACCCTCCCCTCGTTCTCTAGCGTCCGCCTCTCCGCGGCGGCCTCGAATCGGCGAATGCGTGGCAGCTCCACGGACCTGTGTATGGCTATGTCTTTGCAAGTATGAGGTTACTACCGACCATCAGACGTTGTATACCCTGCATGACGATGATGATGAGCACGACCATTCATACCTCCAGCTTCAGCTACCGTTTACCCCTCGCTTATTTTCTTGCTCCCCAGCTCTTATCACTAGGACTTCCGTGATTCGACATTGACAAATGCAACAAGCATGATGTTTTATCGACCACATCCCTCAATTATGACATGGCAGACTAAGCGTAGCCTTGCTGTCCACCCCGTCATGTCCCGCATCTCCCGCCTAGCCCAACCTTGCAATTTCCCCTGATGCAGCTCACGGAGGCCCAGCCCCAGCATTGCCCTATCGCCAATCACCTCAATCTGGTCTAGTTTACCGCCCTCAGAGGACACTTGTGCCATCGAGATATTGCGCCAAAGCACGCCGCGCTGCTCTTTTCGGCCCGAAAAGCAGCCCTTTTCGATAAACGTGGCAGACAGACCGGTACACCGCGCCTCATTTCAACAGTATTACCCCATTATCACGCTCACAACATGGATTGCCAAATTCAGGGCTGCCTGATCCGTCGGGTGGTTGCCTTGTAGGCTGCGCTTGCGCCCTCTCGCCCTGCGATATCTCCGTCACACACCACGGCTGCGTGCAGAATGCCTTGTGGCCCCCAATTCACAAAGGAGCCAAAGGGTACGCCACGTGAATCTAACTGTGACAATAATAGACCTTTCGGTGAACTTCGACTACTTTGCACTAGTGGTAGAGAATGCATGTCTGACCGGTCCTGGTAGGAGACGTGGCGCTGGGTTACACAAGCACATAGCTGAGAGCAATCCATAGCTCCTCTTTCCGCTTACCCGCTTCTTTCAATTAAGAAAAGAACAATAAACTGTACAAACATCCACGATTACATATTGGCAATCAACGCTGCTGCATCTGGTGGGTTTCCGGCTTTGATCTGGTCACCAGAACAGACTGAACCACGTTTGAGCATTTTCCCATTGACGGTCGCCTCATCAGGACCTGTTGCCTTATTTCAGTCTCCCTATATGCACTATAGAGGATATTTGTCGGCCGGTGAGTCTAGTTACGTAGGCGACCGACCAACAGGACCATGTCACAAGGTCAAAGGTCAAAGGTCAACGACGGCGCGGCAGATATGACCGCACCTGTATTCTACGGCATTCCATATTCTGTGCCCATGGAGTTTCACCATAACATACATCACATCTATTTATCAAAGAACGGCAACAAATACCTTAAACTGCCCTACGCCCGTGGCGACACCTTGTCGCAACGAGTTCTCGCTGGACGGGCGAACAGACAGCTTGCATTCACCACGAGAATCGCCGTTTGCTTGGATAGCTCTTCAATCAAATCACTATTCACTGGCAATATTCAGTGAATGATCTCTGCCTTTGTTAACTCACATGATACTGATTCATCAGTTGATCCCTCAGTGCCAAGTATTTAAATCTCATTGCCCAACTAAACTGGAATCTGCCCTCTGACACAACAGCCAAGGTCCAACACTTTCTCTCAGGGTATGTCTCTTTGCAAGAATCGTTACTAGTCTTGAGTTTGAAACCATGGAAAACGAAACTTCAGCACACACACCTGCCCAGGTTCCAGAACTGCCTACCAACCGCCCATCTCCAACTGCCACCGATGCAACAGAATCACCACAACAAGTGTCTCCTCAAACACCATATAACCCGTTCGAGTCTCTTCAGACGCCCAAAGGATTCTATACACCTTCTTTTGTGCACAGCGCGGAATCGTCCTTCGGTGTACCCAAGAAATTCACAGTTCCATGCGCCGACGATGAACTCGACGAAGCTACCAGACGTCTGAAGGATCTTCGCACCGGTACCTCGCCCGTGTTTCAAAATACAACTAAATCTCGACCCGATATCGGTTCAAAAAATGTGTTGCCGAAACCGAAAGATTGGATTCATACCCCAAGCTTCAGCTGGAGATATCCACTAAACCAAGACACTTCCTCCACCGAGCCGACAAGCATCAGAGGCCGACAGATTCCTGCCACTCAGTCGTCTCTGTGGCTCAACACACAGGTCACGCCTAGCCCTGTTTCACGACATGGATCTAAGAACATGGAAATGCAGGATTCTGGACTCAAGTCTCATTCGGGCTGGGACTCTGTAAGTTTTCGGCGTGATGATAAAACACCATTCACTCCAAGCATCTCTGAGCATCATCCACCAACGATGTCGAATCTTTCCAGTTCTACAGGACTACAATTCAACGTCGGAAATCAATGGCCCTACCCATGGCTGAATGACGTATCCAAGCCCGTAGCCCGTGGCGAATCGATCGACTCAGAGGGCAACACCGGGCGGCAACAGATTAGCACCGCCTTACCAAACGTCGCAGCGGCGAGGGGCTTTCTTCCCATGCAAGCTGTTGCCTACCCCCAAAGAAGTCTCTTGCCGCTATCATATTCTGGAGCCGCCAATACGGAGCTGGCCTTTCCTGTTGGCAAGTTTTCGTCACGCTACCATGGAATGCACACGGAAAACAATGCGAGTGCAGACCATATACCTCCTGAGTTCAACTGTGCTTTATGGTTGACCAATCTGCCGCCTGATGTCTCCATTTATGAACTTCTTCAGGTCATTCGACACGTTGGTCGCATTTGGTGCTCTTATATCAATAAGCCTGATCATGTTACCCACCAGACTGCGGCAGCAAAGGTCGTCTTCTTCACACCAGACGCAGCTCAACGATTGCTAAGCATATCATGGACTCAAGGTCTCGTTATTCGTGGCTACCGCATCAAGGCTGGCCACAATCGCATCAAATACGAGTCTCGTCAGCAAGTAGGACGAGCGTCACGAGTTCTCATTATCACGGGAGATTCCAAGTTTGTGAATGAGTCTACCTTGACGAAATACTTTGAAGCCCGCTTTGTCTTTCAAATTGATGAAGTTCTGCAGCTGATTAGCAACAAGACACGCGCAGTTGTTGAATATAGATTCGGAAGTTATCGATGCCAGGCGCAAATGGGCAAGATGTCGCTTGAGAAAGATCGGCCAGTAGGCTTTGAAAAAGTTGAATTTGGAGAAGATCCTTGCGAGACAGGAATCGAGGATGCTGCCTACCACATTGCTGCCGACAGAATTCGCGGGTTGGGCCTATAAGAATGCCAAATTGCTCACCAACACACGATAAACAATAAATTTTACGAAAAAAAGTATCGATTTGATAAAATGAAAATATTACAACGCTAGCTATTAAGACTTTTTGATTACATACAAATACATGATTTGGCTCGCTATCATCATTCTTCTAAATCTCCCCAAAACGCCTTCAGGTCATCAGCTCTCCACTTGGTTCCCCAACCGGACTCCTTCTCGATCTTGTCTAGTAGATTTATGATGGCCTTGTGTTCAGTCGGATTGCTCATACATCTACCTGCTATCCAAAGTGGCTGGATAGCATTTGTCCATGCCCCATGGTGGTCATTGGAAATACTGATGGCACAAACGCGACGAGCATGCCAAAGAATACTACGCGGCTTTGGTAGGGGGTTGCGACATGCCGGTGGCTGATTTTGCAACATGAGGAGCGAGGCTGTGTGATAGAGTTGATTGCTTGAAATGGCAGCAGGGTTGGAAAAAATGATGGTAGGAAATGGAGCCGAAGGGTCGCTAGAGGGGATGGTCATGGTAGGGAGGAGGGGAGCAGGGCGCCGGTCTAGCCAGTCGCATATATAGTGCCATAGCTGTGTCCATCGGCCCACGAACTCTGTATTGGTCCACGGCAGATGGCCGCGATGAGACTTCTTCTCGTCGTCAGGGCGCTGTCGTGCTGCAGATGAATTATCAGGCATGAGCAAGTCGATCACCTGAGCAAGCAGGTAGACGGAATAGTTGGCCCATCCACAAAAGTCAGCAACCTGGACAAAGGCGTGCGAATCAGCTTCTAAATCAGCACCAGAAGCCCATCGAGAGATAGGTATGAGCGTTTTAATTGAGGATATGAGCCCGCCACAGACATCCATACGGGCAAAACACCAGAACAAAGCCTGCTCAACGCCCCCCGAAAAGCCGTTGATGCCGACCGCCTCCATCAGGTTGGCACAGCCGTCTAGATGACGCTGCCACGCCTTTGGGGAACAACTCAGCATTTCTAGGACACAAAGAATGACACAAGATGCTATGACAGCCGTGTCGCGCTCTGGAAGATGAGGAAGGAGTTGATGTATAGCCTCTTGATACAAGGACAAACTGCGGTTGGAAGTCATGGCATCGCCTTTGAGTTCCATTTGGCGGGCAGAGAGTGCGAGAATGGACAGGCGAAGATGAGGGTGTTGGTGAGCCATTGTGGGTATTATATGCTGAAAATGACGCTGATTATCAAACTTGTCCAGCCATGGCGATACTTCGTCAAACCAGTTGCGCCACAGCGTACATTCTTCTAACGAAGGAAGAGCCGCGGATTCTGGTTCGGCAGAAGAGAGACCATCGGGGATAGCAGAGAGGCGCTGTTGAGAAGATGGATCGGTGGAGGATGCCGAGGCAGCATCATCTTGCGAGGCTGTAACGGAAGGATTGGTGGAGTCGGGATGATGATGGTGATGAGGGGTGCCAGCTCGAGTGGGCACAGAGGAGCGGACTTCTTGGATAAGGTGATTTCGGAGAGTAGAATGCCACTCGTGATAGGCAGATCCGGGTAGAAAGATGCCATCATCGACAGATGCTCCGTCTGGTGTAAAGACTTGCATCGTCTGGATATAACCCTGAGAGAACGTGTTGAGTTGCAAGGTCGTTTGATCGGGTGATGCGAGCGGCTGTCCACCCTTGCGGAGGTACAGAAGACTGGCCACGGCGCTATCAACATGCCGGGACGAGACAGGAGACGCGTTGTCCCTGCTATTTGGCGTTGCAGAAGATGGTTCAGGCAGTAGTGGTGACCTTGCGTGAGATGTCCGCGAATCTACCGACGGATGGTCACTAGGGGATGGCAGCATCAGAGATGATCTCGGCGCATGCGGCTCTTCTGCGGGTGAGACGACATAATCGCGAATGACTTCCTGAGTGACATCTAGAATAGAATACTCGCTTGGCCTTGCCCTCTTGTGGGCTCGGGCCATGGAAGGATGTCGCGCATCGATGGTTTGGGCATTCTCCTGGCGGAAGCTGAGGCGGACACCCCATTCACAGGTCTGATCTGCTCGCTCGCAGGCGCCGCAAGTCGGACGGCCCTCGTCGCATTTTCTCTTCTTGCGGCGACAGTTGAGACATCCTGTCCGTGTCCGGGTCTTGCGAGGCGCTGGAGGCGACGATGTCAGCGCTGAGGCTGGATGCTGGCTGGGACTGGCGCTGCGAGAGGCACCGGCGCGGGCAGGATCTGCGCGCTTAGCAGAGCCGATTGCTTTGCGGGCAGATGGCATGGGGAGCAAAACAGCCGAGCCAGGGGGCTCAAGAGAAGCTGGGGAAGCGTGCCAATGGGGGCGATGGCGGTGCTTAGAATGGAAAGTTTGAGCGCATGGCGGAGCACGCACACACATCAGGCAAGGTTGTATCCAGAAATTATGCAGGGTCCTCGTCACGGGGGAAAGAGGAAGCGGAGAGGCGTGGTGGGTGGCGGGTGGAATGCAGCAGGCGGAAGCGCACATCGGTCGCGACGATTCGCTGTGCAATAGGACGAGGGGGCGAGGTGCAGGAAGAGGGAAGGAAGAGAGTTTTGGCAGAGGAAAGCAAGCGGAAGCGCTACAAGAATAAAGATGGGGAGGATTCAAAGCGCTAATGGAATGAACACGAATGGGGGAGGGCCAAAGTCGGCTGTATGCGCACACGGCGCGAGAACCGACAGCGCGAGAACGTTCGACCACAGAAGCCGCCAATGATTAAGGATATCTGGTCCTCGGGACGGAATCAATACAATTGTCGTTACCGGTTTGCGCAGCTGAATTGCGAGAATTTCCAAGGCAATTTTGCATTTACAGCGGGCTCCCCCGGCGGCGCCCGAGGCCGGAGCTTGTTTACGCAGCCGAAACGCGGGGGAGACGAATCCAAAAGTGGAAGCCGGAAGCGCTTGATTCACACGCTGCTGTAGCTGGTGTCCAAGCAAGTCGCCAGACAGGCAAATAAGGCCCAACAGACAGTGAGACGATACAGTAGCATCAGCAACCGAATCTGGGTCCACTGGTTTTTACGACAGCTGCCCGAAGGCTACGGAAAAGAAGAATCTCCCATGCATCCAGGGTCCAGCGTGGAGCTGGGTGTTGCATTAGCACATCACGCTAGCAAAAGCTTGTCTTCTGGATTCTTGGTGATCGACAGGGTAAACAATGAATAGCAGTTTGAATTAAGTAGGATTATTATGCGCTATTTCGAAGGCAACTCTTTTTCAACGCTCCAACAAGAAAAAACAGAAACACCAGGCTAGATGGATGCTGTGGAACCGCCGTCAACGCGAATGTCACTTCCGTGAATAAAGGCAGCGCCTTCAGACAGTAGAAAGACGGCAGGGCTCTTGAGATCGTCGGGGGTGCCGAAGCGGTTAAGGAGGGCACTGGCCATCCACGTCTTCTCCACGTCGGGCTCGTTGCTAATGAGCTGGTCTGTCATGGCGGTGCGGATGTACTGTGAGAGCACGGATACGTTAGCATGAGTGTACGGTTCAAATGTGAGAGAGGGCTATTGGAAGGTTGGAAGAAAACATACGCCTGGCGAAATCGTGTTTATACGGATGCCGTACTGGCCCCATTCCTGCGCGATGGAGCGGCACATTTGGTGGACAGCCGCCTTGGAAGTGTTGTATGCCGTGCAAGTAAGTCCACGGTTGGCAATATGACCCGAGATGCTGGCAATGATGACGATGCTGCCGGGTCTGTTGTTGCGGTGCAAGATACGGCCTGCATACTTGCAAGTGTTGAAGACGCCGGTCACATTGATGCGCATGATGCGGTCAAAGTCGGCCGACGAGTAGTCCATGGCCAGACACTGCTGCTGCACGCCGGCCGCAGCAATTGTACCCCAGAAAGGAGCACCGCGAGTCTCGGCTTCGGCAGCAACAGCTTCCATAATCTCCTCGACAGCCTGCTCCGAGGTCACGTCGCATCTGTGGTACGAGACGTGGCAGCCATTGACAACAGCCGCCTTTTGGATCTGCTCCCACTCAGCGGCAGCGGGTTCCTCCAGGATATCCATGCAAGCAACGCTGCCGCCGGCTTCGACGACGGCAATGGCCATGTGCAATCCAAGACCACGGCCACCACCGGTTACGGCCACCGTCTTGCCGGCGAGAGAGAAGAGCTTGGCATGGTTGGCGTTGAAGGGAGGAGTTTGGGCTAGAGGAGGGGCCTCAGAGGAAACAGCCTCAGCAACAGAAGGGCTCATGGTGTATTCTTTTGTTTGAGAATAAAGTGGCGGGAGGGTTTAGGTTGAGGTGAGTTGCATAGATGGAATAATGCAATGTACTAAGAAAGATCACAGGCCGAAGGGAAGAGACTGTATGAACAAAACCCAGGTAATAAGCTAGGACGGACGGCCATAGCTACATATATTTTTGCAGCCCAACAGACACGAAAAAGGCAAATAACACCATTAGCCGAAACTTCGCTTGCCAATAACCCGTCCGGCGCATGTCCTTTCCGACGACGGCGCTTTCCATCACCAAGTACAAATTCATCTCAACACATGACACCCGATGCCGCCGTCTGCAGCTGCAACTTTTGTCTCTTTTCCGTCGCCTCAGCTTGCTCTTTGCCCTCCTTCACCCGGTCTAGACCCGGTTCCACGATGCACTGCCCGTCCGGGCCGCCGGCGCAAAGTGGGGGGGGGACCTTGGGGGCGTCGCCTTCGGGGGCGGCTCCGGTTGCCTCTTTTGGATCGCAGAAGCCGTAGCCGTAGTGGTGTGCAGCTGGATGTCGGCTATTTTGTATTTGTTTCGTGCTGGCTGGTCGTGGTGGTGTGAGAGAAGTGGTGAGCTACTGCAGCTGCTGTTGGCCAAGAAATCTTAACTTGCCGCTGCGTATTTGAAATCGCTGCTCTTCTCGCCTACTATAAACTCTCTACCTCTCTTCCCCTTCTCCTCCCTCCATTGTCAACCTATTTACTTGGAAAATCATATAGCGCGCGGTCGCAAACACCCACATACACATATACATACACACCGCATTGCTTTTCCTGCCATGGCTCCTCCTAGCGCAATGGTTCTAGAGAGTACTCCCTCTACCACTCTTTCCAAAGCTACTATCAACAAGATGCCTTCGCCCAAAGACGATGCGCAGACCATCGATCTAGTCCTTCGCCAGTTCCGATGCTTGATTGCAGACTTGTGCCAGCAATTCAACGGCGGTCACCCAGGCAGTGCCATGGGCATGGCTGCTATTGGTATTGCCCTATGGAAATATGTCATGAAATACTCCCCAGCTAACCCTACATACTTCAACAGAGACCGCTTTGTTCTCTCCAATGGCCACACTTGTCTCTTCCAGTACGCATTCCTGCATCTTGCGGGATACAAGGCCATGACTTTTGACCAGCTCAAGTCCTACCACTCAGATCGCAGTGACTCCATCTGCCCTGGCCATCCTGAAATCGAAAATGAGGGTATTGAAGTCACAACAGGCCCTCTTGGCCAGGGTATCGCCAACGCAGTCGGCTTGGCCATGGCTACCAAAAACCTGGCGGCCACATACAACCGCCCTGGATACGATGTCGTCAACAACACCACTTGGTGTATGATTGGCGATGCCTGTCTGCAGGAAGGTGTCGCGCTCGAAGCCATCCAAGCTGCTGGTCACTGGAAGCTCAACAACCTCGTCGTCATGTACGACAACAACCAAATTACATGCGATGGCAGTGTGGATCTCTGCAACACCGAAGACGTCAACGCCAAGATGCGCGCCTGCGGCTGGAACGTCATTGAAGTGTCCGATGGCCGGTATGATGTCGACGCTGTCGTTCAAGCACTGGAGCAAGCCAAAGCATCTACAGACAAGCCTACCTTTATCAATATTCGAACCGTCATCGGTATCGGCAGCAGTGTCGAAAACGACGCTAAGTCCCACGGTGCCGCGTACGGAGTGGACGATGTCAAGAATATCAAGCGCAACTTCCAGATGGACCCTGACGAGCACTTTGTGGTCAGTGATCTCGTTTACGACTTCTTCCGGGACATCAAACCCCGAGGACAAGCTATCGAGAGCGAGTGGATCAACAAAATCCGAGCATATGAGGCTGCTTATCCTGAACTTGCCGACGAGTTCTCCAAGCGAGTGCGTGGTGAACTAACCGCTGACTGGAGGAGCATCATCCCCGCAAAGGAGGCCTTTTCAACAAACCCTATCGCCACGCGCAAATCAGCTGGTCTGATTTGCAACCCTCTGGCAGCGGCTCTCAACAACTTTATGGTTGGCACGGCGGATCTGTCACCTTCTGTGGCTATGATCTGGAAGGATAAAGTTGACTTCCAACACGTGAGATTCGCTAACTTCCTGAAGCCTACTTGATAACGAAGTACTAACGTTTCATCTACAGCCTGATCTCAAGACCGAATGTGGCATCAACGGAAACTACGCCGGTCGATATATTCACTACGGTGTCCGCGAACATGCGATGGCTGCCATTGCTAACGGCCTCGCCGCCTTCAACAAAGGCACATTCCTCCCCGTCACATCTAGCTTCTTCATGTTCTACATGTACGCGGCTCCAGCAGTCCGCATGGGCGCTCTCCAAGAGCTCCAGGCAATCCATATCGCAACACACGACTCCATCGGCACAGGTGAAGACGGGCCCACTCACCAGCCCATTGCACTTGCATCTCTCTATCGTGCCATGCCCAACATTCTCTACATGCGTCCCTGCGATACCGAGGAAACGGCGGGTGTATTCACCGTGGCTCTGGAAGCCAAGAACACACCAAGCATCATCTCCCTATCTCGCCAGAACCTCGAGCAATATCATCAGTACAGCAGCCGTGAGGGTGTCAGCCGCGGTGCATACGTCTTCATCGAGGAGGAGAATGCCGATGTTACCCTTTTGGGTGTTGGCTCGGAGATGTGCTTTGCCGTCAAAACCCGTGACGTCCTGCGTGAGAAGCACGGCATCAAGGCTCGCATTGTTTCCTTCCCCTGCCAGCGTCTATTTGACGCCCAATCGTTAGAATATAAGCGCCAGACTCTTCAATATCGATCTAACGCTCCTCGTGTCATCATCGAGGCCTACGCAGTGAATGGCTGGGAACGCTACGCTGACGCTGGGTACTCCATGTCCTCGTTTGGAAAGAGTCTTCCGGGCAAGGACGCATACAAGTTTTTCGGGTTTGACGAAAACTTAATTGCACTCCGAGTGGCCGAGCTGGTCGAGACTGTTCGACGGGATGGTATTGAGAGCTTGCGCGGAGAGTTTAGAGACCTGAACATCAGCGGACATCAGCAGCATTGAGAGGAAGCGAATTTGCAAAGTGTATTATGCTTATGAAGAAAATTAGAACTCTATTAGTTAATATCCTTTTTCTATTTTCTATGAATCATCTACTTTTTCAAATCTGTGAATCGGTGTAGTTTCTCTTAGTCGCTGGTGCCTACCTATCATGATACGTGAATACTGCCTCTGTATTAGTGAGTCGATCCTGCCTGTACTAGTATAAATAGTGGTATGGCTGTAAAATGTTAGCAACAGTAAATAAGCGACAGTTTCACGCATGGTATTCTATCCGCAAGTTTTGACTTTCGCGTATCGCTTTCATTCACTTCCGTAGCCTTATGTGTCTTGCCGACATTTACGATTTTTAACTCAACCAGACCTTATTCTCACAACGTGTATTGGCAACTTTTTCTGGATTGAATTTCTCGCTTAGCAGTTCCAAAATAGTCGTTTCAAAGTTTAAACAAGGCAATTGGCTAGGCATTGTGCAGCTTTGCTGCTCTCCTGTGCAGAAAACTTTGAGCCGTCGTTGAATCACACGTATTTCTCTATAAAACTTTGACGTATATACCTACAAGTTTTTCTTAACAGAATTTTCTCACTCAATAACTTAAGAGCATCATTCAATTCCTTCAAAGTTAAAACAAGACACCTGGTATGTATATGACCGTCTTCCCCCTCTACTGTTCGTCTACTGCCTTATCACATTTTGTCCCGTCAAGAACACTAGTCTACTCTACTGTCTTCACGCCCTTGTGATATCATCTTTATACTCGTTTGCACTTTGATAAGTTTACACGTTTATCTCTTTACTCGTTTACACACTCACTCACACGTATATACGTTTATCTGTGTACACATTTACATATATTTGTGACGCAGTCATTACGATGAATTCGTCATATCCAACCGGCTTGCCTGAGGCTGTCGAGGCTCCCGAGGGCCTCACACACATATTCCACTTATATGGTATGGATAAGGCCTGGAGCATGGAGGTCTATGAAGGCCATGTCCGCTACGCCAAAGCGCGGCATCACATGAAAGAGCGGCACAGCGTGGCCAGGGTCTTGGAACAAGAGACCATCAATCTACATGACAAGCTACGTACAGATACGCTTGTACAGGCCTCCCACAAGAAAGCGTGGGACAACCTTCAACAGCAAGTCTCCCGTATTGTGGCCAAAAGGTGCCGGAATTACACAAAGAGACTCGAACATCGTGACCTTCTCAACTTCCCAGAATTTTTCGACGAAGTCCTGGATTACGGCCTCACCAACCTATTTGAGCGCTTAGAGATCAACGGGCGAAGCTTGTGGAAGGTGAATTCGCTATACGCCTCCCGATGGTTCGTTGGAGCCGAACCAGGAGACTACGTCTGGTATCACGACCCATACCGAGTCGACGACTTGGGAATTATGCCTAAGCCACGTACGTATCCCGCACAGTATGCATATCAAGATTTTGATCTTGACGCACAAAGTGTCCTGGCCAAGCCGCCAGGAGACATTACAAACTTTGTGTACTGCGGCACAGTCCCGCGGCCCAACGATGAACACAGGTACCGGTTCCAGCAGATTGTACCAAATGTGGTACGCATGTTGGCCAGCATTGTGTGCTTCACCAACCCAAGCGCCACGGAACACGTGCTTGACATTATGAGTGCCCAAAATCTTCAACCCGCTCAAGTCACTCGTGAGATGGTTGCGGCGCTCTTCCGGGGCTGGAATCAAGCCCTGATCGGCGGTATGCGGTCAGCGAGCCTAACAAGGCACATTGCTTCCCAACCGCTTCTGATTGAGTTTGGTGCCCTCACACACCAGCTCGATCAGATTGGCGATGCTCGCAAGCTTGGAGGCCGACTGCATGATGCATGGTCCGCCATCACCGGGCTGACGGTGCCAATGGCAGAAATGGTTATGCAGGGCTGGGAACAGCGTCTTGCCTACCAAAGGCTCTTTAGTTCCCGCGGAACAGCGCACATGTTGATTTATTATGATATGGATATCAAAGTAAGTTCAATTTTCCTTCTTTTTCTTGCTTTTATTTTGTTTTGTTTTACCGTTTGTGTCACTGTCTGTTTTACTGGTTATATCACTATTTGTTTTACTTTTCATATCACTTGTTTGCTTTACTGTTTACGACACCGTTTGTTTTATTGTTTGAATTATTCATTTTATTTGATTATTTGATTATTTTTTTACATCTTCTTTTCCCTTGTTGGCTTATACCTGGTGATGTCGGTGTTTGGTGTTTTCCACGCCCACAGCCCGGGATAACTTTTTATCCGCTCCAGCACAGCTAACATTTTCTATTAGGAGGGCATTTTCCCTTTTTATCACACACACGTCTTCCTCAACGACCCCTTCCACATAAACAATTTGCGCGCAGTCGACGCTGATCCGTACATTGCCTTCAGTACCTTTCAGTCGCTGCATCAATATCTCCGACAACCGGGACCGAACCGCCGCGCACCGCAAGCGGAACCAGCAGAACCAGCGGAGCCAACAGACACACTTCCAGCTTGCGTCGTCGCCCCTGTCGAGCCTCAATTGACGACCGAGCAGCAACAGCAGCAGGCGCCAATTACAACAGAAGAGAGATCCAACGACGACCTATACTACGCAACCCCAGCTGCTGAAGAACCTGTCGCGGAAGAACCTGTCGTTGAAGATCAATTCGTGCAAGATCAATTCGCCAGATACCACTTCGAGGAACACCAAGAACCAGCTGCCGAAGATCCAGACGTCTTTCACCAGACCCTTTGTGTAGATCCTGGGGCACAAGCTCTTGTCGACGTGCTAGCACCCTACATTAGTTCTTCCCCTTCTCCTGAGCCTGAATCTACATCTGAGCTCACTGAAGATCAAGACTCCAGCTCTGCATCTGGTAATCACACACCAAGCACGCTCGAGTCCACCACTCCTCCTGCCGCCACCAGCCCCAGCAACAAGCGCAAGCGAACCGACGACGATCTGTACGAGTTCCGACCCTGCCCACGTCCTCCATTCCAATCCTTTGCAGGCAAGAGGCTACCCTCATCCGAATAACGAGCAACCATGTCCTCCATTAGCGGCTTGATGAGCCGCCTGAACCTTGGCACGGCTGCCAACGCGACCATCCGCACCTTTAGCACCTCATCGTCCGTCATGGCCCGTCAAGCGGTCTCGACCGGTCCTCCTATCCGCAAGAAGCATGCCATTGTTCGCACCGAAAACTGGAAGCGCCTCAAGGTCCTCCGCAAAAATATGTTTACGCCCGCCCCTCCTCCCCTTCGAATGGCTCGATCGCGCCACGTTCGCCACTGGACCATCCACCGCGCGTGGCAGCTCTTCCGCCGCAACCAGCATCTTGCCATTGAGCAGGAGCGCATGCGAATGCATGACAGCATGTACAAGGCTTGTGAGGAGCTTCGCCTCAGCGCTGGACCTGGTGAGCGCGGCGAAGGTTACCTGTACCGCGTAGCCATGGAAAAGAAGGGCGTTTGGGGCACCGACGCCATTCCTATCGAGTATGCTCGATTCCAGACCGATAGCCCGGCAAAGCAGGCATGGAACCACGACTGGAAGCGATCATAAAGCGGACTTTCTTTCTCCAAAAAGCATTTGTCTCTTTGTTTTATTCTGTATATTTTCACGGTATTATCAGTCAGGGGTGTTCAACAAAGAACGGTTTGCCTTTTTATTACAGCATTGTACAATATTTTCTTTTTCTCCCCTTTCTTCATTGGCTTCCCCAGTTGGATTAGTTTGGTTTGCTTCATCTTGTTTCAAAGCACCTGATGCTTGTTAACTTTGGCCTTGGTCTGCAGTTGTCTCTGTGGTAATCGTTCAATATTGTTATGAGATCGCGGTGTTTCGGTAACGGGGTTCTTTGAACCATGAAATGTAATAAGACAGTGGCATTTAGCTGAATACACAAAATCTGTATCATTATACTTTGTATCTACACATCACAGTGAACATGGAGCTTGTGCATACAGTAGAATGCAATATGTTATGTTGTATTGATGCCCAAGTTTGGCATCTGTCGCTCGAGGGCCCAAGTGCCCCCCCACGCTGCTTTTTATAACCCAAACAATTATCGACCCAGCAATCCAATAAAATAAAACAAGAACAAGAAGAAACGAAATGCAGCTCAAACGATGGTGAAAAATAAAATAAAAATGCAAACAAACATCTGCACATGTGTAGTAGACAATAGCCGGAGGGCTCGCTCAACCTGAAGCACGAGCCGATAACAATGAACAGGAACAAGACCGCAGAACAGAGTGTGAAGGCATTAACTTGTCCCAATCTCATAAACGGAAACAGGTAATGTCGGTCGGATTATTGCTGCGCCGCACGTATCGCACCTTCAGCTAAGGCTCAGCTCCGACCTTTGTGGCTTGGTGGCACGCCTGGGCACCTGCAGCCCTGACGCATTGCCGTTTGTTCTGTTTGGATACCAATGCTGCTGTCTTGGTGTGAAACGAGGGGAGTGAGGCTGTGGTGGTTGGATCAATGTTTGGCAAAATAACAAAAAAAATAAGCAAAGTCGCTGTCGGTTGGCCCGGTCCCTGGTAGCCATATCTCAATGCATGGTGTCGCTGACTAGAAAGCCCGGTGTTTGGGTTCGGCTGGATGCCCTGCATTCAACCATTCTTTTTTGGTGTTTTTTGGTCTCGGATAAAGTGCCAGCAGTGTTCGTGTATCGCTTTCTTTTAAACATGTAGTCGTGAAAAAGGATTGCTCACAAAATTACACAGCAGCCGCTGCCTTCGGACTTTTCAAATGTCAGCAGAGCGGCTCGCGTGGCCGCCTCAAAGACGTCGTCGACGCCCTCGCCGCTCAGACTCGAGCATTCGAGGTACTTCTTGGCGTTGACCTCGCGCGCAGCGGCTTCTCCGTCATGGCTGGTAACAAATCGGAGGGACTTCTTGCGCATTTCCTCAATAGCGACGGGGTCTTCTCGCAAGTCTTTCTTCAGACCGACGAGGATGATGGGAACTCCCGGACATAGTTCCACAACTTCTTCCACCCACTGTTTATGCTGTTAGGAAGGGAAATAGCTCGGGTATGAATGGGATTGCTCACCTCGTGCTTGGCATTTTCAAGCGAGTCGGGGTTGTCAACGGAGAAGGCTATCAGGATGACGTGGGCTTTGGCATAGGCTAAAGGTCGAAGTCGTCTATAGTCTTCCTGGCCTGCGGTATCCCACAGAGCAAGCTGTACCGACTTGCCATCTACTCGGCAATCTGTCACATAGTTTTCGAATACTGTCGGGATCTGCAGTAGGTTAGCAATTGGGAGGGCCCTGGCACGATGATGGAAACAGTGGCAAGCTCACGTAGTTCTACAGAAGTTGGTTAGTATGCTGGGGGAATCACAACGACCGGAAGCATGGGGGTTAGCAGACGTACTGTAGGGAAGTATCCTAATGTGAAAACGCTAAGCAAACTCGTCTTTCCGCAAGCACCGTCACCAACAATGACGAGCTTTCTGTGCCACTTGTTAGTAACTGCTGCATGTGTGTTTACTAAGCGCCAGTTGTCACGCGAAACGAGGCACAGGAAGCGAAATGTTAATCCTCTTGGTAAGAGTAGCAACTATGATATTCTTGGCCTCGAGTTTCACGTTGAACGTGGTCATGGAAGGAAAACAAGCCCGTACCTTCGGATGACGTTTGCCGGGTTGGCATTCGCCATTGTCGAGCGATTGCTAAACAGGTATGGTGTGTAGGGTGAAGGTAGTTGTATAGAATCGATCGCCGAGTAGAATAGTGTAAAACTATATCGTAGATCTGGCGATGGATTCCGGAGGAACAGCTAGCAGCCAAGAGATTGTTATTCGGTGGTCGGGGGTGTCGGTTAGAGCTAAACAAGAAAAATGTGACGCAAGCCGGCCAGGCGTTTGGAGGATGGGGCGATTTGAGAAGATTGGATCGGACGTCGGAAGAAAGTGAGAGAGCCTGTATCTATACTGCCGTGTCGGATAGATTTCGAGGATAAGCAAGATGGGCAGGAGGCCGCCTCGGGGTGAGAAAAGGGAGAAAGGTGAGAGAAAGACAAGGAGGAGCAGCAAATACGAGGTGTTGGAGATGCAGACGCAAGCGAGGATTCGGGGGACGAGGAGAAAAAGCAGGAATAGCGGCTACGGGCCACTGGCTCCAGGCGGGTTCGGCGGTCCTTTTTCCCTGCCTTGGCTCGTTCTGGGAGGGGAAAGGGTGGTGCAGGGGTGGAAAATCCAGTCAGGGGTGGGTTTTGGTGGGCGGCGGCTCAGCCTGGCGCGGCGGGCCTGGGCGGTGCAGTGGTGCCGTACAGTATAGCCTGGTGCTGTAACTATTGTGCTGTAGGAGCTGCTGCCCCCAGTGAGTGTAATGCAAACCTGCAGCTCCGGCACTGGTAGGTAGTTGGTGTGTCCAGCGGGGAGGGGGGCAGGGCCGGGCGGCGGGGGCGTCGACGCGGGGTGCACTGCTCTTACTCTACAGTGGGCTTCTTGGCTTCCTCAAGTCCACTGAAGCCCAACGCGAAAACGAGACGACGTGCTGTACTTTTGTTAGCGGGAGGTGGGAGGCGCAACACAGGCCAAGGCTGGTGATGAAGCGAACAACAACGCGGGCACGCCACGGTGGAGGCCATGGTGCATTATTTTTAGTGATCGTATGTCGACTGCGTGCTGTTGCTGCTGCACGCACCATCCACAATGAGATGGAATCATTTTGTGTCCCTCTCTCTTTCCATTCACTGCAATCGGCTTCCTTTGCGCTGCTCGTCTCACTAGCAGCACACGCAACAGGTTTCCCCCCGCCCCCCCTGCGACACCAAACTCACCAAAAAAGGAAATCCTTGCGCTGAGCCTCCCAGTCCAGTGCTGTACCGTCGTGCACAGCGCTGTGGTGCCTCCGTCCCAGCGCTGTACTGTGCTGCGCAAACAACCCACTTTGGTGGCTTGCAGCGTACGGGACTGACGCATCAATCAGCCTCGTGTAGAATCCCATTCCGAATGGTCGTGCTCAAGCGAAATGGTGCAAAAACGGGGAGTCTCGGAAAACGAAGTAACGCGTTTCTGTCTGCTTTCTCTTTCTGTTTCTCTGGTCAATGACCTCTCTCGGAGGTATCAATCATCCCATGGTACACTGCCTACATTCCCCCTCGTCCACGACGATCCCTATCAAAGCCTGGCCTGTCTCCTTAAATAATAGCCTAAGTTGCGCTATAGCCGCTGTAGACACCCGAAGTGCCATGTTCTTGCCTCGAATGACGCACTGCACCACGCTAGCCGACGGGCTGTTGTATCCCTATCCACAAAGCACAGGCCCGCTGGAGTCTGCTGGAGTCGCGGTGCGATGCATGCTATTGGAAGATGCTGGCGGCCAAGGACGACCGATCCTAGCATCAGAAGAGCAACACGAGCGCGATGTATGCATGGACGGGCTTTCTCCTATTTCAACGACCGGCATCTCCGAAGCTCGTTTTTGTTTCAAAGACATGACTCTACACCTTCATGGTCTTGGGACTCGCAGCCTTGCGTATGTGCAGAGACGAGGCGCCAGATGTAACCAGGCTCTGTCGTTTATCCAGTCGGTCAACACCGTGATCGTCTAGCAGAAAGCCTCCTCTGTTCCATGCCAGGTTGCTGTAGGGGGCGTTGGTTAGTGCAAACCCCCACGAGGGGCCCATGTGCTACTGGAGCTAGCCAAGTTGGCTACTGGATCCTGTACCGTAGTATTACCTGGCCTTGCAGGAAGACTCGCTTTTCCCCTTTGCCTTTCCTCATTGGCAGCTCAATGTAACTCTGCGCCTTGGACAGCTTTCCCATCTAGGAAGTCCTTCGCTGAGGAGCCAATCTGGCGGCAGCGCGCCACAGACGGTACGAGATCAACAATCTCTCTGGTATGAGGCCACCCGCATCGTCATGGTAGCAGCAGCTACCTTCCGTGACTGAGAAGAGCGTCCCTCCTGGTGGGCAAACAACGAGTCAGGTATTGCTTTTTTTTTCAATGCGGAATGATGAATAAGACCACAAGGCTGCGGATGTTGTCTGAATTCCACCGTCTAGCGCAGGCTTGTGATTTTGCTGCAGCCTCACAGCATCCATTAGCAGTCGACAATTATATAAAGTATTCGTTGCCTGTTCGGCCGAAATAAACATGCTACGAGGACCGTCTTTATCTTGTTTGAATTGCCTTTTATCCTAGTCGAAACGTAATGTCGCCAACCGGACGACAGACAGCTGCAAACATTGCATTTAGGACTACTAATAAAATTAACGTTAGCAAACTCACATATTACACCGGCGGTCGAGAGACGCAAAGCGTATTGAAATCACAATGTTGCACTGTTCTTTAGTGCACCGGCTTGCATAGCATGTTGAGACAGGCACCCACGTCTTTTACACAAGGCACAATGGAACCTGCTAGATGCTCTGCTGGCTTTTCTCCGCATTCTGTGCTGGTTTTTTTCACCCTCTCAAGGTCCTCAGCAAAGGGCAGGCAGAACAGAGCGTCATGGTCACGTGCGACTAGGCACTGTCCCCGCCGCTGGTTTGGGAGCGCCCAATGCGACAGCTAGACGCTATGCGGGTGCTATGAGTTATACAAGGGTTTGTAGTACAAATGGACAATAGAACCCCAAAACATTGATATTAAAATTAAAATCTTAAAATATCACTTAATTCTCATTACAGTATGATTTTTTAAAAAATATATTTCCTTCTTTCTTTCTGTTGTCACCTTGTTCTTCCTCACACTTCACACGCACTGCACCGGGCGCAATCCCCACTGAGGTGACCGCTAGCTGACCTAATAACCCTGCGGATGGTGGCTAGGCCGCCTGCGGTGCCTCTTTGCGTGGCTTGAGGCTTCAGGCAGGTCTTCTCTCCCACCAACACACCCGACATCACCATCCCGCCACTGCTCTCCGAATCTACGCTACGACCGTCTTTTGCTGTGATACACTGATACGCACAGCTGAGCAGCTCAATTCAACCTGCTATTCCCTCCACCCCCCTTCCGCCCTCTCCTCGCACAGCCTCCAATCTCCCTTCATGATTTCCTTGCCTCCTACGCCGTAAATCCGACGATGCCCGCCAGCAACCAGAAGCCGGCCTCTCCAACACCGGCATCGCCCAGGAGTACCTCGAAATACACAAATAAGGACGGCTCCAAGTTCATCACCGTCCCCAAAGGCTTCTCTCCCGACTCCTCGCTCCCGCCGACCCCAACCGCAAATATCGCCCCACCACTCTCAAATGACCACGACCACGACGCCGAGGACAGACCCGTGAACCGCAAGAAGCAGAAACGAAGGCAAAAGGCCGCCGCTAAAGCCGCTGCGCTAGACTCGGAGCAAAATGGCACCTCTCATGCTGTCATCCCCCCTCCGTCCCAGCCAGCTGTTGCTGCGCGCCCCAACCCCGCCGCGGTCGACAACTTGGACAAGAATCAGTCCGCCAGCGCTGCCAACGGCGACCCTGCGTCAAGTTCCAAATCAAAAAAGAATAAGAAAAAGAAGAAAAAGTCAGCGGCCGATGCACAAACAGCCCAGTCTGTGGACGACTCACCAAACCCGGAAACAAGCGCCGAGGTCACGCGAGGCTCCGGCATGTCTCGAGACAAGATTTGGAGCACGAGCAACCATGAAGAGCGAGAACGCATTAAGGAGTTCTGGCTCGGACTCGGTGAAGACGAGCGCAAATCCCTTGTCAAGGTTGAAAAGGATGCTGTCCTACGTAAGATGAAGGAGCAGCAAAAGCACACGTGTAGCTGCACCGTATGCGGACGCAAACGTACCGCCATCGAGGAAGAGCTCGAGGGGCTATACGACGCCTACTACCTGGAGCTGGAGCAGTTTGCTAACCAAAGCGATGGTCCTCCTCTGCTAGGTCCACCACGCGACTTTCCCATGCGGCCTCCCAGAGGCTTGCGGCCGGGATACGTCGATCAACCGCCAGTAAGGGGACGAATAGTGGAACAGGTGGGCGAAGATGATGAGGAAGAAGTTGAGGAAGTGTATAGTGAAGCCGACATGGACGACGAAGAGTTTAGCGACGACGAACCACCAGAAGCGTTCCACAACCCGCACGATAGGGACGTGGCCGACTTTCTGACGTTTGGCAACAGTTTGCAAGTCAAGGGTACGCAGCTCCTAGAATCTCTACTGCACAGATATGGTAACATGGACTTAGGCGGCATTCTCACCGTAGCGGATGACCTTCTCAAAAACGACGGCAAGCGCTTCATCGAAATGATGGAGCAGCTCGCCGAGCGTCGAATGGCGCGAGAAGAAGACGCCAGAGAGCACTTTGCTCGGGGGTACGGTCATCCCAACGGCTCATACCCTGCCCCTCATAATCACCCTCCGCCAGAAGAGGACGAATATGACGAGGAAGAGGATGAGGAGGACGACTACGAAGATAGTCAGGAAGAGGAGTACGATGATGAAGAGGTATACTCCAACCCCTCTGTAATGCCGTCAAGATACCATACTGAGTGCTGTTGCCAGGATCAAATGACAGAAGAACAACGAATGGAAGAAGGCCGACGCATGTTCCAAATATTTGCCGCCCGAATGTTCGAACAACGAGTCCTCTCCGCTTACAAGGAAAAGGTAGCCAAGGAGCGGCAGCAGAAGCTTCTCGAAGAGCTTGAGGAGGAGAGCAGGCAAGTGGACGAGCAGAAGGCCAAAAAGGCGAAGAACGCCCAAAAGAAGAAAGACAAGGCTGCACAGCGCAAGCAAGCTTTGGCCGAGGAGAAGGCTAAAAAGGATGCTGAAAAGGCTGCCGAAGAAGATGCCCGATTAGCTGCTGAGCAGAAGCGTGTCGCTGAACAGAAACAGAAAGCCGATGAGAAACGCAAGCAAAAAGAAGCCCAACGTAAAGCCGAAGAAGACGCACGCCTAGCCAAAGAAGCCGAACGCCAGCGCCGAATTCACGAGCAAAAAGAGAAACAGGCTGAGCAAGAGCGCAAGGCCCGCGACGCCAAGGAACGAGAGAAGAAGCTCAAGGAAGAGCAGAAGCTCAGAGATAAGGAAGCCCGTGAACAAAAGGAGCGTGAGGCACAGGAGCGAAAGGACAAGCAGGACCGCGACAAGCGAGATAAGGAAGCCCGCGCTGCAAAGGCCCAACGTGATGCCCAAGAGGCTGCCGACGCCAAGGCCAGGGCGCGAGAGGAGAAGGGAACACATCAGCAGCAGCGTGCAGTATCAACACCTCACCTGCCAGCTTCACAGCGTCCCTCGGTTGCGATCCCACCTGCTATGCCTCCGTATCCGCCAATGCCCATCAACTATGGCTCACCAAAGATTCCGATTGCGACACCCGTGCTCCCGAAAGCCCCGACACCCGTTCGACCTCGAGCTGCTTCCCAACAGCAGGAACAAGGACGAGCAGGCTCCGTCACATCTCACTCTGGGACAAGCCCGAATCCGTCACCAAGCTCGGCCACACCAGCTCAGATCAGCCCTGGCAACATTGGGCAGGAGAGGAAGCCAAGCTTTGGCATGTCCTCAGCGATACCACACTCTGTATCACCGCCCGGCTTCCCCAGCGTCCAAGGCTCATATCCTCTGCCGCCGCTGGGCTTGCAGTCGCCACCTGGCCTAGTACAGCACACCTCTGGAGGTTTCCCAACGCGCTTGTCGCAGGATCCTATCTACCCAGTTGGATTCCGCCCGAGCCCGTCAACCATAATGGGACCTCCTGGTATCAGCCCTGTCGGCAACCGCATGCCTTCATCGGCGATGGCACCACCCGGGTTTGACCAATTTGGCATGGGCCAATCGTTCCCAATTGGTAAAGAGGGTCCCCCACCTGGACATTCACGCCAAGGATCGGGGTCCTTTGATGCTCCTGGCTCTGCGCTGCCCATAGGACGACCAGCACCCATCGGACGACCCGGTAGCCTTTCGCATGCGACACGCCGCGACGACGATTCCGAGACCAAGCACCTGGGCAGCAGTGCCCTTGTGGACGACGACGAACCCTTTGGCCACGACATGCACGCCTCCAATATGCGAGGACCTCCCATCACTCACCGCAACGTGTTTGGAACAAGCCCCTTTGTGGACAATGGTTTCCCCATGGGTGGCCACAACCTTTGGGGCCCAAGCTCTGCGACTTCTCAAACCTTTGCGCCTCCCGGCTTTGGCAACGGTGGATGGGGAGCTCCTCCCGGCATGGCTCCTGGCGGCTTTGGCGTTGCCCCCGGTGCATCTGCTATCAATCCGATGCGAGCTGCGTCGCAGCCGCGACATGTTGCGCTGCGCCTGATGCTTGCGCAAGGATGCAAAGACATTGTACACGCGGGCAAGTCTGACGGCAACGGGTACATTTCTCTGGGATTGGTCAAGTCACTTATTGACGCGCAGTCTGGCGACCCCAATATTACAGAGCAGGACCTGCTTGATCTCTGCGACACCGAAGGCAACAGCTCCAATGGCGGCGGGACCTTTGACGTCCGCCGAGGAGGCGATGCAAACCGCCTGATCCGCTGGGTCCCCGACATTGGCGACTCGCCGCCCCAGCACCGCGCTGTTGGTGCTCCCGGCGAGATTGGCAGCCCGCTGACCGGCTACACATCGATGCGAGGCCTGTAGGACGTCCCTCGGAGCGACGTAGCAGCCACAGCTGGCGAGTTACCAGACACAGTCGAGGCACAGTCGAGTAGCAAGAGCAGCAGCACCGCCGGTAGCAGTGGCAGCCCTGTGCGAAGAAAGACTCTGCTTGAGCGTCTAGGAGTTACGAATACCGGCGAGGGCTGGCAGTCAACTACCGCAACAGAAGGCTCTTCTTCTAGCGAGGAGGAGAGCAAGGCGTGACTGACAACATGACGACAAGTGTAGCTTTGCTTGGCTATGCTGACTGGTATGCGTGTTTTGGGCTTGTTGGGACGAATCCAGAACAAGGAGAGCAGCGTTTTTCAGGCCGACCATGTATTCTGCAGCACGAGGACGAGGCTGGGGTCTACTCGATGATTATGATGATGGAGTCGTCGTTGTCATTGTGCCCCCTACCGCCGTCGATGTTGGTTGACACTATGTTCTATTTTCTTTTGATTCTACTTTTTCTTGTCTCCCCATCTTGTTCGTCACTTGTTTGTGCTGTAGAGAACATATTCCTTGGTTGCGAAGCGAGGAAATCTTTGACAATACAATATATTACACTTTTTTTTCTTCACACTTGGAACAAAATAGCTTTCTGTAACGATACACGGGATGATGTAGATGTGAATTCAGATATGTATTTCGCTAGTCTTGCAATGTTGTGGTGAAATCTTTCCCTTTTGCTAAGCCAAAAAGCCATATGACAATGTGCTGCTTACAAGAGGAGATAGAAAATAAAGATAATGATGATTTAAAACAATGAAGAAATACAGCAACAAACGCTGGAGGAGCTGTTGTTTAAAAAGCACAGCAGCTCCTATGAGGTATCGGGTATACATCCAACCATTCTTCTTCCTCTTTTTTCCACTTTTCCTCGGGTCTATAGCCCTATGGTTGGCGTCTTCCACTTTCTAGATCCACTGTTGCCTCGTCGGTGTATGTTACTGCTGCCACTGTTGCTGCCGGACTGAGCCATCTTGGCGTTGGACTGAAGATGCTCGACCAGCTGCGGCGGTTTATGCTTCGGTCCGTAGCGGCAGCCATTGCCTCGAGGCGCGGAACAACGCGTTTCAGCTTAGGGTCAATCTATGAGCCGTAAGGATGGGGGTTCTGCTGAGTCTGGTCCTGATGCGAGGGTTGCTGGTAGCCGGCAGGGTGCGAGTAGTCGTGTTGGGGCTGGTATTCGCTGTGCTGGGGCTGCTGCTGCTGGTCCTGGAAGGGGTTGCTGGCACCTTCGGGCTGGGACATGAGGGGAGCGCGCATCTCCTCAGCACGCTTCTTCTTAGTAGCGGCTCTAGCAAGGGCAACGGCCTCAGCCTTGGCAGCAGCGCGCTTGTGGTCGCGCTTGGACTTGCAGGACATGAATGTAAGGCCGGCAATGCCAATGACAATGGCAGCAGCAAAGACGATGGCGACAATGATGCCACCGAGGTCGAGGCTATCGTGCTTCTTCATGCAGACGGCCTCGCCGGAGTCTTGGTTGCAGAGCCAGTGCGGCAAGCAGCCTGCCGACGCCTGAGGGACTTGGGTGCAGACCTGCGCAGGCTTGCCCTGGGCGTTTGTTCCTGGGCCGCAGCTCTGGCCCATCGTGGTGGTTGTGGTGAAGCAGGCAGTACCTGTGCGGATGGACTTGGATCGCTCTTCGGGGTCTTCGTCACGAGCAATGATGGGGGCGGCGGTGATCATGGCGGCGTCGGGGCTGGGAGGAGCGCTGGCCATGGCGGTGGCAGCCATGGCGAGGGCAATTGTCGAGATGAAACGCATTGTGAGGTGCTGTTTTGTTGTATTTCTCGTTTTCGTACAGTTGACCTTTGTTTTCTTTTTTTTCTGCTTGGTCGCTTGATGCCGAGCTGCAGAAGGGGAGCGGTCAGATGGTTGAAGAAAGGGGGTTTACGAATGTCGCAGGTTTAGCGAGATTGCTGTAGAAACTGGGCAGTTGCGTGTCTCTTGTTGTTTGTGGTGAGAGGCTGGGCGGAAGTGAGAGCGAAGACTCGATGTCGGTGAAGGAATATCTCCGAAAAAGAAAAAGGGGGGGAAGAAGAGGATGGTGAATGGGAGGACGAGAGAAAAAAAAGGATGAAGTCAGCTCGTGATGTGGGAATGGCGAGAACAAGTATCGTGCAAACGAGGCAGGGGACCAGCAAAGCCAGCGCGCGCACGGTTTGCCAGGCTGGCAGCCATGCAGCACCCACAGCGGCCACTGGGAGCACGCACCGGCACGCAGCAAGGCCCCCCCGTTGGCGCGCATCCAGCACAATTACAGTGGCACAGCGCACACACAGCCGGTGCGAGCGAGGGTCCCCTGGAACGGAACGCGCCCTGGCACCACTCTGGGCGGGGACACGGCGCTGGAAGAGGAAAGGCGCGGGCGCTGTGCCTGCCCGCTGCAGCCCATTGGCAGCCTATTTTTGGAATACAGAATGAGGCAGTGAGTGGTAATGTGGCGAGGCTGTGCAAAAGGAGACACAAGAATTCAAAAATGTCGAACGATATGCCGTTTTGGGGTGGTAAAAAAAAAATGGAAGATGGTTCTATTGCATTTTTCTGTCCATCTATTGTTTCTTTATACAGTAGACGGTATATCCCAAGTGCAGTGCTGGTGTTCGGCACAGTATGCTACCAGCAATGGAATACAGCTATAACGCATAGCAGTAGAGCCTACTGTAGCCTGCCTAGCTTGTTGGCTGGCGCGCGTTGGGCTGGCACGGACTGCCAATTTGTTTCACCTGGCCGTGGACAGAAAGCGTGCAATTGAGCAGAAAGAAAATGGAATAAAATTGTATACATTTCGATCTGATATACTAAGAAGCATATCACTGTAAATCAACCATAAAAAATTAAGCACACTGTCGGTGATCGCGCCAATCCCCCGCTGCACATCCTTTTCCTTGGCCCTCCTGTATTTTCTACAGCGCCTGAGCCACACCCAGCCAAAACAGGACGGTGGTGCTGCAACTGTGGCGCTAGCAACGTGTGGCGCCCCTCTCTGTCGTCATCGTCCGTCGTCACCACCAAAAAGCATAACCTTGATTGACTCTTTTCGCCAACGAACAAAAAGAAAGCACTTGCACATCCTCCGCTATATTTTTTATTTCAACTCTCACAATCACTCTTCTACCTTCTTCATCACCACAACACCACCGCCACCAAACACACACAAATCTGCAACCATGCCCCTCGTCATCCCCGGCATCACCACAAAGGCCTCCAACCCCACCGAGGAGTGGACGCACAAGCTCGTCGGTAAATCGCTGACGGACGGAGCTTCCACGGAAACCGTATGCCCCCCGCAACTCTATAAGATCTTGTTTTTTTTAACCGAAAGTTACAATGGCTAATACTTGTCTCTCTTCCAGGCCTTTTCCAAGAGCGAACTCCCCGCACAGACTCGCATCATCACAACCGGCCAAATGGTCACCAGAGACCTGAACCCCGACAGACTCAACGTCCACCTCAAGGAGGACGGTACTGTCTCGCACGTCGTCCATGGTTAGTCGAGAATATATAAATTACAACATAAGATATGCCATGAATTCAATGATAATTTCTTTTGAATAAACATATGCTTGTTTACGCTCCAGTGATACAGTTAGCCGGTATCTATAAATGCCTAAGACAAATTCCATCTAAATCAACGCCTCCCGATCCAAACGCCCCCAGAATACAATCATATACCCACATCTTAAAACATTAATTATTAGTAAAATCCTTCCCGGTGAATTTGGGAGTTTGCGACACCAGCCGCCCTGAGGCCCTCAACTGCCGCATCTGCAAAGCCACCAGGTCCGCATATAAAGACTTCCTCATCACTAATAGTGTTCCAGTAGCTTGCTGGAATACGTCCTCGATGTACCTTAATCGTCACATTTTCCGCGCCAGAGAAAGCGGTCTCATCGGTCGTGGCTTGGCTGGTAAACAGGTCAATATGGACTGTCACGCCTCGCGGAAGTTGGCGGAGAGATTCTTTGGTCAAGCCCAACATCACGTCTGCGTCTCTGGCTGCTAGTGCTAGCGTAACCTTGCCCTGCGCTTTGCTTCCGCGCTGGGTCAGTGCTGAAAACATAGATAAGAATGGTGTGAGACCGATGCCGCCCGCGACCAGCAACATGTTGACGCTGCCCTCTTTCATGTAAAAGTCACCTGTTACGCCAACAATCTCCGACTCTACGGCACCGCCGCGAAACGTCATGGGCTGCCCCCAGAGTACGTCTCGACGCTGTCGCAAAAGACTAAACAGAGCCCCCGTCACGACGCCTCCCTCCATCTCCCGCATAGTCATATCAAACCATGTCGCTTCGGTTCCTTCGTGGGCGCTCGAGACGGTCCATGTTCGGACGCGGTCGTCGTTGATGGATTCTGGACTGTCATTTGCCATGTGGCGGTACTGGGGTGGGCCAATCCAATCCATAAAGTCGAGCACCACTGCCTGACCTGGTCGAATCTTTAGCGGAGGTACGCCGTTCTTGGCTGCGACCTTGAAAGTAAATACAGCCAGGTCCTTGCTAAGCTGTCGTGCACTTGCGAGTTGCGCCTTGTGGCCCCCTGCTGTCGACACAAGCGCCTGGGGCTCGTCAACAAGGTATTTGATCTTGGGGCTATACGGACTGCGCTCGACTTCTGTGCCTGGCCGCTGTCTGACAGGCATAGCGTCACGCACAAATGTGTAGCCTGTAGTCTCCATTGTGACAACACAAGCTTGCCTGGCCATAATTTTCATCGCCGCTTGGCCAACCACAACTTTTGCTTTACCGGTGAGGTAGAGAACATCGCCAGTCTTGAAACAAATAAAGGTCATGGATGCTAGCCCGCTCGATTCGATGTTTCCGAGGCTCATGAGGAATCTGTTGCCAGAGTAGTCGGGGACTACAACTGTGCGTTTATCGGATGGCATCACTCTGATGAAGCCTGGCAGTCCGCCCCTAGAATTCATACCCGCATGCGACGGATACTTGTGTGCGTTGGACGGGTCGGCTTTGTACACTGAGCCGATGTACACGGTATCGGAATTGGTGATGAAATCTATAACTGGTTGAGGTAACTGTTCCTCTGCGGTCATGTGTAGGCTCCTGTGCGCAATCTGGGGGTTTGGCGGTGGACACGGCACCAAGTCTCGAACATTGATATATTTTGGACAGTTTCTAAGCAATTGTTAGTAAGTGTATTTTTAAGAGATTTCCTGCGGATGCAAAGGACGAAAGACTTACCCAAGAGCTTCAGTTACATGGCAGTGGAGTTGCCAATCCATGCCTGACACTTGCGTAGCTCCGACGAGCTCGCCAGCAAACTTGTTTCGTCGCCGCGTGGAGTATTCAATGCCAACACCAGCAGTGAGAAATCGTTCTGGCGTATTGTTGCTTTGCGAGTTGCCGTCTTGTAGGGCCTTGACGGTCTCTAATAGTGGCTCGCCATCCCAAAGGCGCGTGTTTATGAGGAGAGTATTGGCATTGGGGCTCTTTACAAAGCCGATTTTGCCGTTGGCGCCCGTCACAATAGAAGCCCAGGGCCTGCCTAGGCTATCGCTGGTTGTGATGGGGATAAAGTGTAAATTAGAAGTGTGGAAGATGCGGTGCTGCTCGCGCATAGCATTTTCAGTAATGCGCCAATGACTCTGAACAGCGTCTGCGTATCCGAGCTTCATTTGGACCGAGAGCTCGCCGGGATGCCAGCCTTGCAAGGCGGTGCCTGGTAGAGTCGTTGACAGCATGGTTGGCGGTTGCTGAGTTGTGGTAGTTTTGTGATGGATGTTGTTTGTCGAGTAGAGTTGCGGATGGGGCTTGTCTATTATTTCTACATGTTGTTTTCATATGCTACAGGAATGGCGAAAGGCTTGTGTTGAGTTTGCCGATTCAGGTGCCGGAGATGTTGTTTTGTGGTGATGGTAATCATGGTGGAATTATGCTTTGTAAGTGCGATGGAATCACGCAAAATGATTCCATTGCAGGTGCAGCAGCCATTAATCAGCGATTGGGTGGACAGTTGGCCTTTCCGGGGCTGGTTTAGCGTGCGAAGAGCCCTGTAAGATCGGGGAAGTAGTGGGATGATCGGCCAAATGCTTCTTTTGGTGCGGATGCTCTGAATGAACGGAGGCGGGCGTAGGGTAAACGTGAAATAGGATTTCATGTTATGTACAAAGGAAAATATTAATAGTGATGTATTTTGTTTAATTTTCTTGCTTTTCTTGCCAAGCACATGATGCGCCGACTAAAATGTCCTCCTGTAATGGAAAGGTCTGGCTGGCTACAGCTGCTGTAAAACGACCCCGCTGTGCCAACATTTACTTTACCTTCACAACCTCACCGCAAAAGTCACGAAGATTCCACAGTGGCTGCAGGCAGCTCGTCCTATCAGAGTGCTGGAAGTGATCTCTTGAAATCTGCCCTTGCATCTTGATCTGGAATTAAATCTAAATGGCTCAGCTAATCCCAATCAGTGCCTTAGCACAACCGGCTTCAACTCCCGATTGCTGAATAATGGTGTAATGCCCCATCCCACCGGGCCTTACTGACTGAGATCCTGCATCATGGCCTAAACCTAAACCAGGCTTGCAGCGTGGATCATGAAGCTCTGGGAACTCTACTAGCTAGAGCTGCAGCCCATGGACTATCGCTACGAAACATGCCCCGCCAAACTGATTCCACAAGCTGCATGCCACACCTCGCACCCAGGCCGCATGTACAGCTTAGCGGAGCTAGCCCGAGCTAGCCTCGCCTCAAAAAGTGTGGCAGATGGGGACCTAGAGGGTCAATCGTTGCATTGGAGACAGCCATTGCAGCCATTGGGCTGCTGGCTGCCTGAAACTATTTAAACTGTCGTCATATCCCACCTCATCGATCTCGACTATCATCAGCATCAGCATCATCTTCAATCCTCTTCCTTAAAGACACTAGCACATTTGCAACAACTATACACTTATATTCACTCCTCCAAAATGTCTTCCACTACCCTTCACTATCTCGACATTGGCGCAATGGGCCGTGGCGAGGTCATCCGGTATGTCGCATCCCCCGCCCTTTCTCTTCCACATCGCATTATGTTTGTATTTCGTCGACACTAGCTAACTCGTTCCTCTCCCTCACAGAGTCTTCCTCCAAGATGCCGGCATCGAATACAAGGACGTCCGCTACAAGTTTGACGCTACTTGGCCTGCTAGTCAGGCTGAGCTCAAGGCCAAGGGCATCTCCAAGACCGGACGTCTTCCATCGCTCGAGTACAACGGCCAGATTCTCAGCCAGCACGTCCCCATCATGCGCTACTTTTCCCGCAAGCTCAACAAGTACGATGGCGCGACTGATGAGGAAAAGTACGAGGTCGACCTAGTCTCCGACCTCTATGTCGACTGGCGTGCTGGCTGGGCCGGTGCGCTCGGTGCCAGTGACGAGGTTAAGGAGGCCTATGCCAAGAAGACTTCTCCTCAGTTTTGGGAGTTGGTCGGTACTCATTACGATCGCACTACTGGCCCCTTCTTGCTCGGAGACGACATTTCGTACGCCGACTTTGCCGTCTACCAGGCTTACTCTGATGATTCCATTACCAAGACGATTCCCGTAAGTTACTTTCTTCACCTGCATATCAATCGTGTATATCTCCTAACCGATGTACCACAGGAAACTCTCCCTGCGTCCATTATCAAGTTCAAGGAGGCCTTTGAGGCTCGTCCCACCCTTGCGGCTTACCTTAAGGACCGCAAGTAGACGCTATAAAACGTGAAAGTAAAGAGAAAGGAAGGCTTGTTAGCAAATTTACTATACTAATAATATTTGATTTCCACTGAAAAGAAAAATCAACCATATCCTAGAAACCAAAATCAAGTGATATCAAAAGACGTAATCGACAAATTAAGAAAAAGGGAGGAAAACACTTCATTTAGTCTAACAGAACCTGCCCCTATGGCGTGGCTGTTAATCTAGTGGTAGTCTTAGCAGCCATTATTAGGCCATTGCTCTAGGCGACTATCAATGCGGCGAAACCCTACACCCTGGGCAGCTTATGGACTGCAAAACTAAGGGTATTTACAGCATGGCGGCAGCAGCAGCAACCAAAGCGACAGCCGCCATGTTGACATTAGCTGCCGAGCCACCAGCAGTGACGACAACTGGAGGTGTCGACGTATCTGAACCGGATTAGCTACTGAGATAAGGTGGCCTGCTTATCGTGGAACTTACCAGGCAGGGTGCCGTTGGAGGGCCTGACAGGGTTGCTGGAGCAGTGAGGGCAATCAGCCTTGGTGGTAGGAGCAGCAGCAGACGAGCACTCCTCCGTTGTCTTGGTGGTGATTGTGGTGGTTGTGCCGCGAGGAAGAGCAGAGGAGAGAGTGATGGCGGGCTTGCTGATCTCCGAAGGCTTGCCAATATCACTGGGCTTGACAGAAGATGCAGGCTTGTTAGTAATAGCTACAGTGCTGCTAGGAATAGGAACCTGGGATGACAGAGTAGACCATTCGCTAGATGCGCCTTTGTTAGTATATTGGCAAATGGAAGCGGGATATGTCAGAGTCGTTGCTCACTTGGGAAGGCAGACAAAGAATGCAAGCTCCTTAGTAACGCTATCAACCTGGTTCCTGGGGTTGCAAATGTAATAATGTTGCGTTCGCATCTTCTGGTAGCAGGCGGCCGTGTAGCCGCCAATCGCCTCCTTCATGTCGATGTCTTTGCAAGAGGCCATGGCCGCGTGGATTCTATCCCAGCGCTCTGAGGGCACGGTGCAGAAGGCATCTTGGAAGTCAGGCTGATCCGATTTGCCAGCATTCTCGCGCTCGATGCTCATGAGTGGCTTGGCACAATCCTCAGGCAATCTGGCAAGACAATTGAGGTTTTCAGGATTTTCCTTGGTGCAAAACGCAACAGTGAAAGGGCCCCAGGCCATGGCAGAGGGCAAAAGAGCGCCAATGGCAATAGCGGTGGTAGTGAAACGCATGGTGAAAAATGGGAAATTGAAAAATTGAATGAAGTGGTTTAAGAAACAAGTAGAGAAAGTAATTGGAATGAGTGTAGTTGTGTATGTGCAGAGGATGAGAAGTGTTGGCATGAGTGTTCTACAACCATCGTTCTTATAGTTGAAGCGTGTAAAGAGTAAAGAGTCCGAGGCAAAAGAGCCGAGATGACCTCGCAATTCTTCAGATAACATCGTATAGATATAATACAATCCGATTTAGCGCTAATCGAGAGTCTGTCTGTCAGGTACTCTACTGCCCGCGGAATCCGGTGCATTGCAAATGGCATCTCGTAAAGACGGGTGTGCCTTGCATGCAATTGCGAGCCGCGCGTTACTCGATACAGTAGTTGTGGAGTAGGTATAAAATGAGGACGTCCTTTTTGTACCGCAGATATTATTGTATTATGGAATATGAGAGGGTCTTTTTGGAAAACATAACCTATGATTGGACTCCTCATGCGCAACCTGAGAGATGACCGAAGTGTGTAAGATGATGCAGTCCTTTGCAATTCGTCCGAAGCCATCCTGTAACCGTCTCATGGAATTTGTACTCCTATCTTTGAAATTCGCTAGGATCTGACCTTGTCCATTTTTATATTCTCCTGCCATTTCTACGTCCATTAGCCGTTGGTACAAGCCGCAAGCTGAGTATACGTACCTTATTTTATACAATTCTTAATCAGCATTCAAGATATAAATATATAAAAATCACTTTATATGTAAAATAATCTGATTTCTCAATTCTATCTATCTATTTATTTCAAACTTCCCTTCTCAGCCGTCTTCTCTATATTCGCCGCAAAAACTGTATTCCGCGGTACCTGACTACAGTAGTAGCGGGGTTTAGCGCCATACGGAAAAAAAAGCATTGCCCGTTTCAACCCCGCCATCACCAACCCGCATACAAGCGCCGCCATCAAAATTCTATTCTTGCTTCTTTCCATCACGACATCATCCTCAACACCACAACTCAGCCTTCCACAATGTTTAAGAAAGAGTGCGTCACGACCCCATCTCCGCAACACACTCAAAAACTATCACCAAATTCCCCTATTTATCCTCTGCCCGCACCTGTCCTCTGCACACGTTTACCCCCCCTCCAAAGCTAACCAACATTCCCAGAATCTCGCCCTCGCCAAAGCAGAAGCTCAAGTCGTCGGCCCAGCGCGGCCTGCGCCAGTCTCTGCTGACGACATACCCCCTTCTCAACCCCTATATCGAAGAAGTCATGCCCAAAAAGGCATCGTTGTCTAGCATGAAGCTCCCCGACCGAAACACCCTCTACATCATCGATAGCACTCCGCTCTTCTACCAGCAAGACGACGTGGCAGGCACACTCATTCCCCACTTGAAGCTCGTCCACCGCTTCCCCCAGGCATTCCCGACAATCCGAATCGACCGAGGCGCCATCCGCTTCGTCCTGTCTGGCGCTACACTCATGGCGCCGGGCTTGACGTCCAAGGGCGGCAGACTACCGGCCGACGGCGTTCCACAGGCGCTGGAGGAGGGCAAAGAGATGGATCAGAAGGTTGATAATGAGGGCCGCTGGAGCCGAGAGCTCGTTAAGGGCGAGCCTGTTGTCATCATGGCCGAGGGCAAGTCGGAAGCCTGCGCTGTTGGCACGCTGGTTGCTGGCACCGCCGAGGTCAAATCCACTGGCAAGGGCCCTGTGGTAGAAGACGCACACTTCTTGGGTGACGGTCTTTGGAATTTGAATTTGGATTAAATGCGTCTTCCTATTTTTGGCTATTGACATATAAAAGAAAGGAACGACGACGACAGCGACGACAACAATACTTGCATAGGGGACGTGGCATGTGGGTGTTTGGTAACTTGGAGTTGAACGGGGATGTAACAATACCAAGTGTGCGGAATACGGTTGCTCTTTTTGTGTGGGCGTGTGGCGTGAAACGCAGCATGAATATATATAATGAATGTGATGAAATTTTCAGAAACTGCTAGATAATGCCTATTGGAAGCCAAGTGCAAAGGCAATGCTTCTTTTCGCTTGTTTGTTTTCAGCCGCTGTGTCTTGAATCTCGCTGTATACACAATATCGTTGTGAAAGATAGATAAAAGGCCATGCTGGCAAAAGTAAATACATATAGTGCTGTCCATAATTCCTCATTGCTTGTTACTCAAGCGTCTTCTCATCATGATTTGTTGTTCCTTTCAAGCCATCAAGCCAGTTGTACAGTACGATTTCAAAACAGCAAAGCAAGCCTCCCTCGTGGAGCCAAGTCGAGGCCCTCGTCAAGCAATGTCAAGCTCAGATTTCCAAATATCAGGATTTCCTTTGGACTATGCAAAATCCACCGCATTGAATATGGGCGGTCTGGACGTTCTGGAGGGCTGTGCACTGGACAGTTGTCCTCTGGACGGTTGTTCTCGTGATGGCCCAGATGGATCAGCAACCGAACTACGAATCTCCTCCTTGGATTCCTCGTTGAACTCGTCCAAATTTTGTGACAGCCCAAGATGGCCAATAAACATGGCCATGGCGGTAGGTGAATGCCTGAGCCAGGAGTAATCCAAAAAGCCAGCCTTGACAAAGTATCGGAACCAGCACTTCTCAAACTCCTCATTCAGACGAATTCTAAAAGTTGCAATACACAAATCGATCAGCTCATTGAACCGACTTGAAAAGTCGGCCGTGATTGCTGGCCATATGTCCTCAGCAATGGCAAAGATGTAAATCAGTGCCAGCTCCTCTGCCGTAATTTCTTGGCCAACGTAGCTTCTGGAAGAATCCAAAAGCATCCATGCGCGGTATATTTCCTCGGAGCGATATTTATAATAGTTGTGGTCGAGCGTCACCATGGATCGCGAGTCAAATGGGTTTCGAAAGAAGATGCGTCGGGCAATGTAGCGATGTGCTGAGCGAAGCAACTTGGTGACCTCGGGGCGCATTCCCCATGCCTCGCATTGCTCGGCGGCTTCAAGTATTATGACCAGATTGAGGCCTGCTTCTCCACCTTCAAACCCATTCGGAGTCATGAGACATTCGATGATTATCCCAAATACGTCCGGATGTATCTCGTTAATCTGCCATGCGCGGATGGGAGGTCTCCTTCTGTCGTCAAGTATTTCCCAAGCGGGATACCTTTGCAACAGCCCAACAGGAACTCGAAACAAATATCCCTGTACCGATATTGTAGTCCATCGCCTAGTGTATCGTGTGTCAGTAAAAGGAGTATTCGGGGGTTGGAATGTCGTACTCACTGGCAAAGCCACTTGCCGCCTGCTTGATGACTACCGGTGCGATTGTAATGCTCCTGTCCAGCATGATTAGAATACCAGTCGCTAGAAAGAAATGACTCATTATATTGCTCTCTGGGGGCCAATCTCATCCTTACAAGACCTGGGATGTTCCATCTCTGGGGAGCAGAGAGGTCCATAGTGACAGCGGAGCTGTCTGCCGACCTGGGAGGTTCTTGATGTAGCTGCTGAGTATTGTAGTGGCTAGGTATCTCATTTGTCCCGTTTATCCCGTTTATCCCATTCGGCTATAAAATATTGTTAATAAAGTCGCCGTTAAGCGCATAGATACTTACCATTGGTCGATCCGGTTGGTCGTTGTGCACCTGGTCGCGAGGTAATGGAACATATCCTGTTGGTGGTACTGGCGGGGGGGTTATGGCGTCGAGGTAGTAGGGATACATGGGGTCTGAGAACGAGTCATTTTCAACATGAGATCCTAATACCCTTTGAACCAGAGGTGAAAGATCATGAGAGTATAGACCGTCTAGTATATCACGAAGCGCAGCAGCAGCTGCTGCATCTTCTGGTCCGTCGTGGCTTGCAAGACATGGGGGATCGGACTGCTTAGCTTCTGAGGAAACTGAGGTTTCTTGTACGGTTATTTCCAAAGGAGTTTCCTGTACGGCTATGTCCAAAGGAGCAGATGAAGATGGTGGAATCTTGTTACCCTCATCTTTGCTTTTGCCTTTCCGTTTGGAAGCGCAAGATACTGGAGAAGAATCCCGGGATACCGCATCAGAGCTTGCTCGAGGCCGAATAAGGCGGATGAGCTTGCCAAACGGCGCCCGAAAAATTCTTCGCATGGTGAAGATAAGGGCTACAGAAATATAGGCTGAACTTGCAACGTGTTTATGTAGCTGGAGGTTTTGGGGATGCAAGAGCGAAGGTGGTGATGGGCAATAAGCGAGGTATGTGTGGCCAGTGGCGGCAGTATCGTAGAGGTAGGGAGCCGTCACTTCATAATCAACTCCCGAAAACAATTTCAGTGTAGAGAAAATGAGTGTACTGTCTATTTTCTAAAAAAGACGGCTAAGTCATCTGGTTTTGCTAATGGTGATGTTTGGTACATGAAAGTCCAGAGAGCTGGGCAGTTGCGTCTCACGTGGCCAAACAACAATAGCAGCAACATTGTTGCCAAGACACAAGAGGTTTGCCATTGTAGCAAATTCATTGAATGATAATATTTGTATTAGATTCATCTTCCAGCCTGTTACAAGGCAAGAAACCAACTAGGACAATCCGCACCGGGAGTACCAGTCGGAGGTTTTCATTGGTAGCACACCAAACAATACTATACATAGTCTCAGGTTGGTACAATGAGCGGCACCATTGAGCTATATTATTCAATGTAAAAAGTCTTTCTATTCACATACAATTGTACTATACAATTTTAGGCACAGTAAAAGAATCCGGTGGCTGGGAACGGCGACAGTGTCAATGAACCAGAACGCCACGCTCACCTCACCTCACCTCCCAGCCAAGTAACAATGGAATCCTGCCATTCAGTGCATCCAGGGCAATTGAAGATGATTTATATTGCAATAAATATATTCGTCCTTAATAACTTCTATCATTAACGTTTGCCACGTTTGCCACGTGTGCCACGTTTGCCACGTTCTGCGTATATTCCCCGCCTTTGATTGCCGGCTTTAAAGTGCGAAAGCTCATTCTGTCATATCAGTTATACCCTAACCTATCATCTTTACTTTGCCCTAGGATAGTTATTTTTATTTTTTGCCCTTTTTGCCTAGAAAAGCCACTTTATGGTAATCCCGGCTGTGAAATCGAGAATGCCACGACATACCGCAACGTTGAAGCGCACCACCAGCGTCAAACCGTTACACCAGACAGAGTTAACCTCAGCCTCTGCCCCTTCACTCCCATGTTTTCCTTCAGCCTCTGAATTTTCAGAGTGCTTCCTTTTCTCCATTTCTTTTTCTTCAAAAAGTTTCTCGTGGACTTTTTGATCTGCAGTCGGTCATGGCTCCCCATGACAAATCAACATATAGCAAAAATGATATATCCATCGCCGGATGCCGGCACCGGACATAAATCCGAGACAATTTAAACGAACGCTTTTCTGTCTCTTCTCCGAGCCAAGACGTTCGGCTGACGTGTCTCTGTTCGCGAAATGCAGCAACGTAGGCACCAGTCCTACACTGCGGCCATCACGGCCCAGGACGGGTGCAACGCTGCCGCAGAACATGCTTCAATGCCGCCCCGGCCACACAGAATCCCAATAGCGACGGTTACTGGCCATATTCCTTGTTTTCCATTGTCATCAATCCACAATTGGTGTTGCTCATGCCGCTAGGGCAGCGGACAATCCTGCCAAGCGACTGAAAATGCGGCGTCGGGACCACTATGGCCGCGATGCTACTCTGCTACATAACCAGTGGCGGATGGTAAGCCGCGCTATGCGACTGTAGAAGGTTTGGAGCCTTGGTGTACACTGAGACACGGTATATCTTGCCAAGCACGCATAAATATGTATACGGCTTTGCGCTGCTTCGAATGGCTTCTGCGGCGCATTTCTGAAGTCCATTTATCCAAACACAGATCAACAAGATTAGCAATGGATTCCCGCGAGGAACAAGAAATCCGAGATACTGCACTTCTGCAGCAGCATATCGGATACAAGCAAGGTGTGTGGTATATCTGGAGGCCAGCCAGAAGACAAACTAGTTAACGCCGAGATAGAGTTGAAACGGTCATTCAGCGCTCTTCATTCATTCGCCCTCTGCTTCACAATCACCGGCCTCGTTCCCAGCATTGCAGCTACTATTCCATATGCCTTAGCCGCAGGACCGGCAGGATTGATATGGGGATGGGTAATTGGTCTGGCATTTATCACCACCATTGCCACAGCCCTTGCCGAACTATCTTCTGCACTTCCCACAACTGGTGCATTGTACTTCTGGACGTTCTACTTTGGCCCCAAAAACCACCGCGGTCTTCTTTGCTACATCATCGGATATCTGAACACCCTTGGTAGTGTCGTGGGCCTCATGTCAATCTCCTATAGCGTCGCGCTCATGATATCTTCTGTGGTCGGTATTGCCACCAACGGCGAATGGACAGCATCAAGACTGCAAGTGTACCTGATTGCTCTGGCAGTCATGGTCAGCCATGCAACGGTCTCCAGCTTGCCGGGGAAAGCCCTCGCCGCCATGCAGACCGTATACATGGTTGGAAATTTCCTCATCATTATTGTCGTTGCCATCGTACTTCCGGCATTGACACCGAGCGAGAAACGTCCAGACGCCAGCTGGGTCTTTACTCATGTGGACAATGGCAGTGACTGGCCTACAGGTTTTACCTTCATCTTGGCCTTTTTGATGCCTCTTTGGACAGTGAATGGCTTCGAGTCTTCCATTCACATCTCTGAGGAAACTCGTGATGCAGTCCGCGCTGTTCCTAAAGCCCTCATGTGGATTGTGGTTGCAAGTTTTGTCCTCGGCCTCGCCTGCGTGATTGGCATTTCTTTCTCCGTCAAAGACTTTGAGGCCGTTCGCAATACCCCCCTGGGACAGCCAATGGCACAGATCTTGCTTGACTCTTTTGGCTACAGCGGAGCTCTGGCAGCATGGACATCCATTGCCTTCCTTACATGTGAGTGAAACCAACATCATCGTGTTGAAGTAAACATCAGCTAACCAAAGCATCCTGTAGGGACCATGGGATCTTCCGTTAGTATTGCCACGAGTCGTCAAGTATGGGCATTTTCCAGAGATGGCGCCCTCCCGTTTTCCAAAATCATCTCTCGGGTCACTTCACGGGGCGTTCCCATATTCGCCATCTGGTGTTCTCCCATAATTGCTGCCCTATTGGGTCTGCTGGCCTTGATCAACGAAGTTGCGGCGTCCGCTCTATTCTCCTTGGGCGTCGTGGCGTCCTACTCTTGCTATGCCATCCCCATCTTCTCACGGCTTACTTGGGGCCGTGACCGGTTCGTCCCAGGGCCTTTTTACACTGGCGACTTCTTGAGTCCAATCATTAACTGGACATGTCTCATCTGCATGGCATTTTTCTGGATCATTTTCTTATTCCCAACCAGCGGCCCTCACCCAACTGCAGAAAACATGAACTACGGTGCCGTCATCTTTGCTACCGTCATTAGTGGTGTTCTCATTTCGTGGTATCTTCCCAATGTTGGAGCAAAGCACTGGTTCACTGGACCAAAGAACGATTACGCAATGGAAAACGGCCTTGCAACCGAGACGATCGAAGGATCCATTGTTCATTCGAGTTTGGAGAATAGACGCATGTCGAACAAAGCGTGTGAGATTCTGGGTATTCATTATCCCGAAAAAGAAAAGCAACGACTGGGACAGGAACCCTCACGCTAGGTTTAGGAAATTTATGAAGAGAGCTATTTGGAAAACTTACGCATCCTTTTTAATAATGTAGACGAATGTTTAACTTTTGTCTATTCTTTTGCATCAGAAATACCCTGTTTGCGCTTTTCCGACGCCAGATACTGAATGTGCTGTTTTTCAATCGCGGCCCGTCCTATTGCTTCCTTATGTCGTTGTATAAATTCTTGAACTTTTTCTGCATCTACCATCCCGTCGATAACATTTGACTGATCGAACTTGCATCCAAATTCTTCACTGCCTTCCAAAATGATAAGTTTGAGTGCTTTAATAAGATGAGATCTGTAGTTTACAGATCGAATATCGCTCGCATCTTCGACTGGCGGAATAGCGTCTTTAATAAGTGTGCGGTAGACCATGTCTCGGTGTCGTTCGATTAGGTATTCTCGTCGTCGTTGTGTATATTCCTTTGTTACTCCAAAGTGTATCATCGCTCGATCAGTCACCTCTTTCCGTGATGTCTGCTGTTGTTTGAACCGTCCGCGCCTTTGGCAATCTGGAATGAAACTCTCCACGAACTGCCTGTAGACTGGCCTCATTCGCACCCTTTTTCGGTCATTTGAAGAAAGGGTCTGGGCATCTATACCAGAACTTGCACCAACTCTGTCCTTGTCTCCTGGAATAGACGCCAAGGGCGATTTTGTAGAGTATTCAAACATGTCGTTGACACTATCAAACGGACGGTCCCAGTAGTCGTCAATAGGGAAGCCGAGAAATGAAAGGACTTGGGCTGGTTCATCGGTAAGGAATACCTTGGCTTTGTTCTTGTTGGTCGACTCAACTTCCTCAATCCTTAACCAAAATCCACTTTCGTCAACGGTAATACCGTATGGGCGGATCATGGAGCCGACAATACTCCAGAGGTCGCCATGAGCGTGCTTGAAAAGAACCCAGTTCAGATGCTTGAGTGTTTCGCACACTCTTATGTCTACTTGAATATAGCGCTTTTCTGTGTCAGTGTCATTTATAAATTGTTCGGGCCACGGAATGGCAAAGTTGGCGTTGGCGCCATTGCCTTTTGTGTAAATGTAGTCCACGGCGTCGAGGATGTTGGCCAGCTCCTCTACCCATTGCCTGTCGTCTAATACTTTTCCCAGTTTGTGATGGTAAACAAGAATATCAACATCACCAAAATCCTTCTTTCCAGGTCCGTCAATCGGAGTAGCAACGCAGAAGAAATGCTGAAAAAGAAGACGATGGCAATGCTGCCGGACGCGGAGATAAACCTCAGTCGGCATGCGAGGCGTGCTCAGATTGCGACCACCAGAGGAAAATGCAGATCCCCCCATGATTCAATTTCAAATTAAATATGGTCTTCTTCAGCTTATGGGATGTAGTTGAAGTCCTTAAAAGCAGAAAAGGAAGCCGAGCCGAGTTGACGTGAAAGCGCCACCTCGTAACCACAACGCGTTGAGTCACACCAGCAAAGTGAATACCGTAATGCAAAAAAAACACAGCCTCAACGGGATTTGGCAGCGTTCTGCTCAATGGATGAGATGCGTGGAATTGTAATGCTGGCATAGACACATTTTTCTTAGAAAAGCAAATGATGGTGTATTTCTTTTTTACTTTTGCAAGTTAATTTAGGGCAATGGATGCATCTTGAACAGAAGACGACGCGCTAGTAAGTGGCAGTAATGCGTTGTTGTAAAAAGAACCGTCAACTCGCTTGCCAGTCGCCAGCTGCCAGCTGCCAGTTGCACTCTTCTGCTGGCAGCTAAAATCGCCAATGCTTGCTGGCCGTTTCAGTCATTCTATTTAATACTAAGCATCATATCCCTTTTCAAAATATAGAATGGTGTAGCCAGACTATAGGCTGAAAAAGAACATAACCTTGCGATGGTGGCGCATGATCGACCGGTAGCGAAAGCCCAACTATTCAATCGGAGAAAAAAGGCATCTCTTTACACCTGGATTATCAACAGCCATTTCCAATTCTTTCGCCTTGCTTTCTCGACACGTTTCCACATTGCACAGCACACCACAACCAACTTGGCCGCATCCCAAGGTCTTGCTGTGTCGATCTTTTGCTGAGGACCACGGCGCTCCGCCTCAATGGCTCACCGTCCTCCCCTGAGCCTGACTGTCGCTGGACCAGACCGGACGGATAATACCTCGCCCACCGTGATACCGGGATAGGCCAGCCATTGATACGGCATTGATTTCTAAATCTAAAATTCTATATAAATGTTAATTCTGTCAGCTAAATTTCTGCATACTTCGACGCATTAATTGCTAAACGCCGATGCTTCACCTTCCACAGTTTCTAATATATGAGAATGGTGGGTCATCCTGACATCACCAGGCTGTGCGCGCCGCGCCCGACAAGGCTGGCAGTTCCCCTTGGAAATGAACGTGAGGACCCTAATTGGATCACTTTGTTATGTATAATGCGGGCCGCTGTATTTCCTTTTCGAGACGAGGACGCGCGTTCATACAGCAAGCCGGACAGCATTTGATTATGCACGGTCCCAAGACGAGCGCTGTCCAGCACGACATGCATCTCTTTTGCCCCGCTAATGTGTAAGGATAGCCACCCCGGCAGTGAGGCTCACTTACAAGTATGACGATCCGCAAGATCTCGTAATGGCTGTTCTAAATACTAGGCGCAGGGCTCTTGGCATTGCATCTTGAACAATAAATACCAGCGGAACTGCACGCCACCACCTTATGTCTTGTCTCGGCTAGCTTTTGAAGCACCTAATACTCACATCCTCTGCCCAATTGATGTGGCAAAACGCATAGATCTCGGACACGACATTCTTCCAATTTCCAACATGGCAACTTCTCGAAAGGGCGGCGGCTATGGGCTGCAGTTGTGGGCGCTCATCAAGAAGAATCTGCTCCTTACCGTCATCCGAAAGCCATTGGGTTTCCTCATCCTCTTTTACGGAATCCCACTTGCTATGCTTGGTGTCCTCTTATCAATTCCTCAGTTTCTGAATCCCTCACCTAAATTTGGAGTTGCTGCTCCGCAACCCATCCCAGAACTGGCCCAATCCCTAGACAAAACACTCGTCGTCATCCGGCCGTCGAATGTTGGCACCGATGTTGACCGAGTCATCGAAACACTTACCAAGCCACTCGACAAGAACAAGGTGATGATCCTGGACGACGAGCTAGAACTGTTGAAAGTTTGTCTTGCCGACTCCCTTGGTGTCAGTAACTGTTTCGCCTCGGTTAGCTTTCACGATTCCCCGGAAACAACCGTAACTAGTGCAAAAAGCGTCACTGGTGGTCGTCACACATGGCAGTACACCATACGAGTCGACCCTGCCAAGAGCGACTCCAATTTCGACATCTTCAATCACAAGACAGACTCTGAAAGAACGATTCTGCCTTTGCAGCTCGCTGTCGACAATGCCATCACTGGCCGCAACGACCGCCCAAGTGCCCTCGGATTTACCTCAGTCGACAAGAAATTACAAGATCAGAGCAACAGAAAATACTCTCTTGCTTTAATGGGCCAATACTACGCCTTCATCATCATCAGTTGCTACTTTCTGATCTTCTATCGATTTGTAACCATGGTGACAACAGAGAGAGAATCAGGCATGTCGCAGCTAATTGACAGCATGGGTGGCAAATGGGCGCCTGCCATGAGAACTCTGAGCTGGATCATAACTCTAGATGTTATCACGCTACCCTGCTACATCGTTTTCGGTGTTTTATACTGGTACATCATCTTTCCAAGTTCTTCTGTAGGTCTCCTGATTGGTTGGCAAGTACTTTGTGGTTTTGCTCTCAATAGCTCCGTGCTATTTGCCGCTGCCTTCTTTGGCAAAGCCCGCGCTTCTGCCATTTACGTCCTAGGAGGTGTACTTCTGTTTTCGATTGCAGCACAGTCATATGGATTCCAATACCGCCCTCCATCACCACCCCCTGGTGCTTACATCCTCGCCCTTCTCTTTCCAAGCTCCAATTCACTCTTCTTCACTCAGCAGATGATTCTCTGGCAATTCGGTGACTTGCCTGCCACGATTACAAGCCTGCCAGAATCGGCGTTGGACATAAACTCTACGTCGTACAACATGTCTCAAGCTACCATGTTGGGATTTTTGGGACTTCAAATCATCTTCTTTCCGGTCCTAGCTATTCTTGTGGAGAAGCTTATGCACGGAATCAGTTTCAAGAGTCGCCAGTTTCGCACTAATTCTTCTGGGTCTGACAACATCATTGAGACAACAGACTTGAAGAAAACTTTCAAGTCCGGGGTCTTCAGGAAGCGCTCTGTTGCAGCCGCAGACGGTGTAAGTCTCCAGGGCTATCGCAACCAAATTCTTTGTCTGGCTGGACCAAATGGTTCTGGCAAGACAACAACATTGCATATGATTGCAGGGTTTATCGCACCCACTTCTGGCAATGTCTCGATCACTGCTGAGCCGTCCCAGATTGGAATTTGCCCTCAAAGAAACACATTCTGGGACAATCTCACCGTCAAGGAACACGTCCGCATCTGGAGTAAGATTAAGGGTGGTCAGGAGACAGATCAGCAACTGGACGAGTTGATCAAGTCGTGCGATCTGACCAAGAAAGCCTCCTGTAAAGCCAGAACTCTCAGTGGTGGCCAGAAGCGCAAACTTCAGTTAGCTTGCATGTTTGTCGGAAACTCCACAGTTTGCCTGATAGATGAATGCACCTCTGGTCTTGACCCTCTCTCGAGGCGAATCATATGGGAAATTCTGCTCCAGCAGCGTTCCAAACGAAGCATCGTTTTCACTACACACTTTTTGGATGAAGTAGAGGTCCTAGCGGATCATCTTGTTATCCTCTCCAAGGGCAAAGTCAAGTGTCAAGGAGCTGTAGCAGAACTCAAGAGCCGCTATGGAAATGGATACAGCGTCATAGCACCCAACTCGACCAGTTTCAAACCCAACTATCCAGCCCAGATCCATCAAGATGGACTAGTTTACAAGGTTCCAACATCACTTGCGGCTGCCAAACTATCTGCCGCGTTTGCCAAAGCTGGTACCAACAACGTTTCAATCACCGGCCCACAGGTTGAGGACGTTTTCCTCAATGTTGCAGAAGACTTTGCACTGGATAAAGATGGGAGCGAGTTCAATGATGACTCTACGTCGTTCAAAATGTCGCCTAGTCGCCTCACATCGTTTTGGTCCCAAGTCAGCGCTCTGTATGGAAAACGTTTCACAATTCTACGCAGATTTTGGTGGCCATACTTCTATGTCGTTGCCATCCCCCTACTCATTATACCCAATATGACTAGTCTTTTGGATATCTACAAACCTGACCATTGTCGTGTTTTGACACCTAGGCTTTCAGCACCAGTCCTTGTGCAGTATCCGCAGTATGCGTCATGTAATAGCTACGCGTGTCCCCAGATATATTTCAGCACTGAGGCTGGTAAGGAGGCTCGCACCCTATTCCCCAAAAACTTTTACCAGTTTGAAGCTATCAATTCATCGACGTTGGATCAGTTTGTCAACATATCACCATCCCTTGAAGTGTGGAATAAAGCTCTTCAAACTGCTAGAGATTTTGACAGAGGTGGCATATTCCTCTCGACAGAGACTGATTCGGGCATCATCGCATTCAAACCAGATCTCTACGGATACTATAAACAGTACATTGATGGGTTCGCACAGGATGCCGACGATGAGTTGGCTGCCAACGACCCCAGACTGGATCCCCCTCCAACCAACAGTTCTTATTCAGACTACGCACGAGCTACGTCCCTAGAGCTCATGAATATTTACAGTCAAATGAGAAGTGGCACGGAAATTATCATCAGTCAAGGAGGATTCGCCCAGAAGCCAAAGGTTTGATTCTTGACAAATACAGACTGACAGCGCTAACTCCTTCTAGTATGTTTTCAACACTGGTATTTTCTATACTATTTTCTTTTGCCTGGTATTAGCAATCTACCCCGCCGCATTTGTTCTCTATCCTGCTATGGAAAAACAGAGGATGGTGAGATCAGTGCAATATGCAAACGGTGTCCGTCGTGCCCCTCTCTGGGTTGCCTACGGTCTGTTCGATTTCCAGTTCATCGTCGTTATCTCTATCGTTCTGAGCGTGGTAATGTCGATTCAGGTTACGTGGATTGGAACCACATGGATAATACTGCCGATTCTTATTCTCTATGGGGCGGCTGCATTGCTCCAAATGTACATTGTTGCGCACTTTGTGAGCGGTCCACTCAAGTCATTCCTGACTGCCTTTGCATTCAACCTTCTTCTATTTGGAATTGCAGCCATTGTCTTTGGTGTAAGTGCGCAAGGGATTCGCATGAGCATATCTCGCTGACATAACCAGGTCGGATATTCGGGCGGAACGACACTCGCAAAGGATACCACTTCACTCGGCATCTCCTTCGGCCTATTTCTAATCATCCCCATTGGAAATATCTTTAGGGCCCTAGTCATTGGCTTTAATGTTTCCCATGCTCGCTGTGATGAAGGTCGTGAGATTCCTCTGGGTTCGATTTATGCCTATGGTGGCCCTATTCTGATTCTGGTCATTCAAGTCATCTGGTTGCTTGGAATTTTGGTTTGGATCGAGGGTGATCTGGCCATATTCCGCAAAAAGTCGGCGGTTGTTGCTCCTGACTCTGAAAAGTCGATAGGTAGTAGTGGCCCTGACGACGTCGAGGCGGAGAGAATGCGCGTGGAGGGTACTGATACCGACTTGCTTCGCATTCTGCATCTTAGCAAACGCTTTGGTTCCAATCAAGCCGTCGATGACGTTACTCTGGGTCTTCCTCAGAGTGAGGTCTTGGCTCTTCTTGGTCCAAATGGTGCTGGCAAGTCTACACTGGTCAACATGATCCAATCAGACCTGTCGGCAGACTCTGGTCAGGCTTTCCTATGCGGCGACGATTCTCGGACTAGAATCGCACAAACACATTTTGGAGGTATGTTGAGTATTCATTCTGAGTTTTGATGTTTCTGAGTTTTGATATTAACTCTGTTTAGTCTGCCCGCAGTATGATGCTATGGATATGTTGACAACACGCCAGCAGCTGATGTTTTACGCGCGCATCAAGGGCATTGACAGTGCGAAGGAAAACGTTGAACATGTCATGGCTAAGCTGGGTTTGGCGCCTCATGCAAACACCGCAGCAAACAAACTCTCTGGAGGTAACAAGCGCAAGTTAAGTCTCGCTGTTGCCCTGATCGGAACACCTCCTGTGCTTGTTCTTGACGAGCCTACTTCTGCCATGGACGCCGTGGCGAAGCGATCGTTCTGGAAGATCATTCAAATTATTGCGCCTCAACACTCTATTCTTCTCACAGTAAGTTAGACCCCTACCTATGAATCAGTCGTGGTGGAAGACTAACAATAAGCAGACACACAGCATGGAAGAGGCCGACACGCTAGCGACACGAGCAGCAATTATCTCGAGAAGACTATTGGCAATTGGAACCTCACAAGCTCTCCGCCAGAAGTACAGCAACGTCTATAATATCAGTTTGATTCTGCGTTCGGCGCCCTCGTCTACAGAGAAAGAGATGGATACCGTCCGGGCGTTTATTCATGAGAATATTGAACAAGCACAGCTCGAAAGAGATATGGTCGGCGGACAAGTGCGCTTCACCATCCCGGGATCCCCAACGCAAGTTGCTCCCATAGGTGATGAGAAGGTGCCATCTAAGGAGCTTCACATCGCAAAGGTCATCAACCTGATTGAAGAGAACAAGGACCGACTGGGTCTCGATTGTTACTCAGTGGCCGCTGCTAGTTTGGAGAGCGTATTTTTGAGCGTTGTCCGGGCCAACAATGTGGAGGAAGACGATGTCGACCCTAACAGAGGCGGCTGGTTGGCCAGGTTGGGGCATATGTTCTAATTCATATAGTGTTGTGATCTTTATGTAGAGTTGCATGATTTTTGTGCACTTATAGACCATTATTGATATTTTGCTTCATTACATTCATTATAATATTCTACTTCCTCGCAGCAAGAATCTCTCCAGAGACCTTTGCAGAGGCCTGTACAATGAGCTCGTGCTCATGCGAATGAATCTTTTCCTCCAGTTGCGCGAGATCCTCGCCTTCCCAGGGAATCTCCTTGGTCAAGATGGGCGCACCACGGTCAACCTTGACAATTACGTAATGCACCATGATGCCTGTCCGTGTAGCTTTTCCTGCCTTGAAGTCGTTGTAAGCGCGTTCTATCGCGCCCGCGCCGTCATATTCGCCTGGGAGAGCAGGGTGCAGGTTGATGACCTTGACGCCGGCCTTTTCAAGAGGCTCTAAGAAGGACGCAGCAAAGACGTGCATCCATCCGGCTAGAACAATGAGTTCTGGACGCTGTTCCAGAGCAAGGACCTTCTCCGCGAGAGCAGCATCGTACTTGGAGCGTGCTTCGGCCACCTTGGCCTCATCCTTTTCGCCTTTGGGCAGAAATCCATTGCTGATGAGGTTGAAGTACTCCCATGGAATGCCTATCGGCCATGTCAGTGGTTGTAGCTTACATACGAGAACATATCGACTTACCAGCCTTGTCAGCTCTTGTTGTAGCAAAGGCCTTGGAGCGATTGACAATGAGGCGTGTGATGATGCTATTGGGAATCTGCCCCGCGGCGACGGCATCGATGAGGGCCTGGAAGTTGGATCCGTTGCCGGATGCCATGACCAAGACGCGGCATGGTGATGGATTGGCCATGTTGGCGGGATATTATGAGAAATTTCTCTAAATAATAAGAGTGAGATATAAAAGTCTGAGTCGGCACGTCGTGCTTGGAGGGTCTTTTGGCTTTTAGGTGGGAAATCTCTGATTGGGCGAATGGCTGCCCCACCACCACCAAACCTAGTGGGTTGGCACGCAATGAGTAGCAGAAGGGAGAGGGAACTGTATAGTGCAGTTTTGTGAGATTGAATTTAATAGTTGAACTACATTTTGGGCATCATTTGTAATTTTGCATTTGGCTATTTACTAGTATGAATGGGAGACTGGTGAAAACTGGAAAGCAGTCGTCACCCGCCAGAGAGCCCATGGTGCCACGCGACGCTACCCTAAAGACTGATGTTGCATGAAACTTTACGCTGTATGCTCCTGAAATAATAGATTTTAAAAGAATATAAAATAATTTCAAGGAGAATATATGGAATTGTGGTATTTTGAGGGCTAATCACGAATTTATTCTTGCTTCAATTACAAAGACTGAAGAAGACTATACACATCATCGCAAGCACTCTGAAGCTGCGAGGGATAATTTGTATCCAATCTGAAAATATCACACCATGGCACACATAAAGCGCTTAGAAACAGGAATTTGCAATGTTATCAATAGCAATCAGCGAGTCTCAACTTTTTAAGCTATCTTGTAGTATAAAATCCAGCCAAAAACCCTATGTAGTGCTATAACCCGTTTGAGGACGAGGATGGTCAAGTGGGTCAATAGGTTTATAAGCCGAAATATTTCTCCACATTCTCATAGGCACTACAAGCCTTGTCCCCTATAGCTCAGTTGGTTAGAGCGTCTGACTGTTAATCAGGAGGTCGATAGTTCGAACCTATCTGGGGGAGTGTTTTTTTGCTTTTGTTTCCTCTGTCACCATGGCCAGCAAATCAATCTCATGAAATTTTTTTTTAAAAAAAGAATAACACTGCATAATATTCTTACTAAGAAGAAGTAAAATAACAATAATTTTTTAGACTCTAAATATCTAATTAAGATACAATACAATTGTGCAAACTTACATCGCTGAATACTTCATGTACTCCAAAGATAAGACAGATCAAAGCATGGGATAGTAGCAATAAATTCCTTTTGTCATAGCTTGAAAACTAGATGCATATCAATATAGACAGCTACGTTTTATCCCTTTCATGTAAAAAATAAAGTAGGTAGTAGCAAAAAGTGACAAAAAAAGTCTCCCCCAGATAGGCTCGAACTATCGACCTCCTGATTAACAGTCAGACGCTCTAGCCAACTGAGCTATAGGGGACACCGTGATTGACCAATCACCGGATGACGTACAGGCCGCTTATTTTGTGTTATAATATAAGGCCTTGAGAGAACCCCGATGGAGCTAAAATTATAGATCTCGCATTACACAAGTCGATTTCCCTCTAATTGGCCCGTCTTTTATTTTGTATAATCATTGCAGCATGGTAATACTATCATCTGGCCCCAGGTCTTGTCTTCTGTAGTAGGGTTCCGAATTGAGATGTACTCAAACTCAATTATTGCTTGCCATCAAGATCAATGGAGCGCCACGGCCACGATTCGTAGTCGATAGCCATCGATCGCGGCAAAAGGCGCCTGCGCGATATAAACAAGGCCCTATACTCTAAATTGATCAGTCAAGTTTCGATAAATGCTACATTTTGTCAGCAAAAACCGGCAATTCCGACTTGCAAAAATTTGTAAGCTCGACCGGCCTTTTGCGCCGAATCCCGGGCTGCCCGGCATGCCCCTCCCGAACTAGCGGGAGCTAAGCTCCCAATGACGCAGGGACGAAAAAATCATACAAAAAAGCCCTGTCCCCAAGCTTCTCTTCCTCTGAATCCAATATACAACACACTACATACCACAGACAACCAAGATGCCTACCTTTACCGTCTTCCGTGGCTCTGAGAGCGGCGCCCCCGTCAAGAGCACAACAACCAAGCCCGATGAGCTCGCTGGCGATCTCGTCTATGTCAAGGTCACCGCCTCGGGTGTCTGCGGCACTGGTACGTATCGGACGACGTACATGTTGTGAAACAAAAGCTAACAAGTTGTGTAGATCTGCACTACGTGAGCATCCCATGAACGATAGTTGAAACCTACACCAAACTAACACATACACAGCGTAAGAGAGATGTCGTACTGGGTCACGAAGGTGTTGGTGTCGTCGAGGCTGTTGGCCCCGAAGTCAAGCATCTGAAGAAGGGTGATCGTGTTGGTTGGGGTTATGAGACCGACAGCTGCGGACAGTGCACCCAGTGCCTCGGTGCCGATGAGATCTACTGCCCCGAGCGTGCCATCTACGGCGGCGACATGAGCAAAGACCAGGGCAGCTTTGCTACGGGCGCTGTCTGGCGCGAAGCTTTCCTGCACCAGATCCCCGACAACTTGTCCGATGAAGCTGCTGCTCCTCTGCAGTGCGGCGGTGCGACTGTATACACGGCGTTGCTTGGAGCCAAGCCTACCGACACCGTCGGCATCATGGGTGTTGGCGGCCTGGGCCATTTGGCCATTCAGTTCGCCGCCAAGATGGGCTGCCGCGTAGTAGTGCTCTCCGGATCCGACAGAAAGAAGGATGAGGCGACCAAGCTGGGAGCTCACGAGTTTGTTGCTATGAGCGGCATGACGGCCGAAAAGGCGGCTCAGGTCACTCCCATTGACAGACTTGTCGTTACCATGTCTGGCCAGCCCGACTGGTCGACCGTTGTGCCGATGCTCACTCCTCGCGCTCGCATCTATCCCCTAGGCGTGTCCTTTGACGACTTTTCGATCCCGTACATGGCTCTTATTCAGAAGGGCATCATTATCCAGGGCTCTTTGGTTGCTACCCGCGCTGTGCACCGCGAGATGCTTGCCTTTGCTGCCTTCCACCAAATTCTGCCTGTTATGGAGAAATTCCCTATGACCGAGCAGGGTATCCAAGACGCATTGGACAACTTGGATAAGGGCAAAGTGCACTACAGAGCCGTGCTGATCCCTGCTTAGAGGGCAGCTGAAGGGCAAAAAGAGAAAAAAAGTTGTCGTTATTGATTAGCGGGCGTTGTAGGATGAACTGAATAGAGCTAGAATGCATTAATGTGAAACGAAAAAAAATTCAAGCAAAAGACTGAACAGGGCCGTCCACTGAGAGTGACATGAGCTATGATGCCGCTCGAGCTGCAGGCTCAGCACTGAGCGTGAGCTGCAAGCACCAGCCCTGAGAGAAGAAGCTCCTAAAAGAGGCATCATGCAGCACTGCACTGAACGATGATGACATTTGGCAGCACATTGAGAGCACTATACCGCTCACAAAGCGTGAAGGTGTCCCCGAGGCGCAGTCTATCAGCAAACAGATGCGCAGCAGAGTCAGCCTCGTGGACTCATCCCCGGCGGATTCTATTGGTTCTTGGCCTGGACTAGTGGGATGGCTGTGCTGAAACCACGAGACCACAGGATCCTCAAGAGTAAGACGACGGGTAGGGCCGTGTGGGGGACCAGTCGGTTAGGCCTAACAGTCTGGCCGTGAATCGTGATCGCTTTTGTGCTTGGCTATTTGGTGGAGAGACGTTAAGCTAGCCTGCATCACCACTGTTAACATCCAAAAAGATGGATTCTTTCCCTACTTTTTATTTTTTTTGAATCCAGATGAATGTAGAGAGCGTTTTGAGCATCTAAGCACCTATTCCAGCTCTCTCCCAAAATAGAAATGCGCAGGCGGCCTCTTCTCTCCTGCAGGCGTGCCGTGTTGCAGAAGGTAAACGCCTCGTCTCGGAAGAGGGGGGGAGGGGACGGCCCGCACCACCACCAAAAGGTGAGCGGGCGTAGAAAGGAGGTAACAAAGTGATATATGCAGATGCGGCCGGTAATTAATACGAATAGGCAGAAAATAGAACTGCGTAATAAATAGATCTGGTTGCCCTGCCAAAAAATGAGCGTTACCCGGACAGCAGCCAGCAGCCTTGCCTATTCTATCGTGTTCAATATGAAGTCTGACTATTTCTCTCGTCTCCAAGCCCCCACTACGCTGGCCGGTCTCTGCGAGGCCCTGAAGATCGACGGTTCGGTTGTACGTTGTGCTTGCACCGACCCAGCCAATAAGCGATGCCAACACAGAGTCGTCAAAGATGCGGTCCAAAAAATACGCTTCAAGCTTATGGAGCTGACGACTTTTACGGAAGCATCGCCATACTTGGAGCAACTATCACGCAAGCTGCTCTGCAGTGCCCAACACCACCAGCGTGAAAGCACAAAACTGTTTCAGTCATGGAAGGCCAAGCTTGGGCCTGTCCATGTGCAACAAGACAGCGAAGAAGCTATAACAGCAGATGACGAATCTGACAAACAAGATGAATACAGAGTTCGTCAGTTTCTGTTCTGTGCTCTTCCTCAATATTACGACAACAACTACGACTACATCCCAACATCTATCCCAACATCTATCCCAACATCCCCTCCTGCCGGCCCCCAAGGCAAATTTAAGAGGCGCATATCAGCAAGTGCAAGCAAGGGTTCCAACGAAGCGGTCAGGGCCCGTGTGTGGAAGACTCTGACAAACCAAGAGTTGGCCGAGAAGAATGTGCAAGGCTTCATCTACATCTTTACCCATGCACCGGTTGGTACTTGCCCACAGCCAGGATACTTTTATAAAGTTGGCTCGAGCAAATGCGCTGCTAAGCGCGTCGCACAGTGGGAGCGTCAATGCGGCAAGAAGCTAAACCGAGAGCTGATATACCCTACCAAGCTTCACAAGCGAGTCGAGTCGCTGGTGCATGCTCACTATGCGACCAGCATGCTCAGCGAGGATTGTGATGCATGCGAAGCAAAACATGTTGAATGGGTGGACATGCATGTGTTGGATTTGGCGGACTCTGTTTCGCTATGGAGCAAGTGGATCAACAAATATGAGCCCTACGATGATCAAGGCGTCTTGAAGCCCGAATGGGAACAACGACTGAAGGCTCTTGATCTAAACAAGGCCAACTGTTGGGAAACCTTTGTCAATAAAGAGGCAAACATCAACCACAGAGGTGTTTCGCACGACGGGAACAACGCGGCGACAGAGAGGATGACCGGTTCAATGGAAGCTGTGCCCAGAGGCCAGTCTACAGCCACGATAGTCGTTTCCCTTCCGTCGTCACTACATGTGCTCGCATGGGCTGTGTTTGTTCTTCTCATCCTGGTGCTATTTACGAAGCAATGAGTTACGAAATATGGACTGTACAACATATGGGTAGGCGTTATTTTGGTTATTTTGGGAAGCATTTTCTTTCTCTTCTTTCTTTGTATATAGCAATTGCATATAGACATATAGACATGGGTATATATTTTCGGCACGAATCAACCGTTTTTCATTTTAACCTCCCTTTGAGCCTCCTGTTAGTGCCTCCTTTAGTGGTACTTGGGGAACCGTTAGAGCCTTGTACAGGGGCTCCAGCAGATGGCAGCAGCCCGCTTTTAGTGCTGTCTACCACACTGACCTGACAATCTCGGGGCTCCGGTGTGGCGTCGCGCCACCACGAGGGACAGAAAATTTGACGCGTCAGGCTGGCATTGGGATTGGACAAGCAGAAAAAGTGATTAAAAGTCTGGCCAAAGGACAAAAACAGATCCAACGTGAGTAGGCAAAAATCATCGTCGAATGGGTGAGCGCGACATACGTGGGCATGGGCCAAATCACACCGCATAAATGTCAGATCCCATCCCGACTTGATACATTCATGATACAGTGACATGCTGCTAGTGTCTGGGTCTGCCCATAATTGTCCACAAGAGCCAGCGGAGTTGCCGCGCCCTTACCCATGTGAACGCATAATATGTACCCAGCTATTGCCTGACCGCACGTTAATTGCGTGGGTATACCCGATGGACTAAAATTCTATTAGTGCGGGTGTAAACAGCATACGTTGGCTAGATAGCTGTATGCATGAACGTCTGGCTTTGCGACGGAAATGAATTTTGTTTTGACGCAAGTCTAGCAAAAGCTTCTTGCCTCCCATCGTGGCTGACCGAAAGCGAGGGCAGAAAAAGCTTCTAGTACATCTTAGGGTTGCAATCGACACAACCCTTTTCGTCTGGGTTCGTAGTGATTAACCTCCCAGCGTTGCACTCGCTCGCTCGCCTGTCTTTCGGCCAGACCAACCCATGAACGGTATTGCCGGCGAAGACGACGCTAATACCTACTATCAAGAGGGTTAAGAAAAGACGAACGACGACAAGGTAGTCCAGCGACTGCGTGGCGGCAAGACTTGATCCGACCGACCAGCCAAGGATGCACAGCCAACATTGGCCTGAACCAGTCACATCGCCGGCGCAACCAACACATCTTACGAGCCCCCTTGCGAAACTAACGGAACAAGGCTCTGGGGCGGCGCTAAAGAAGGCAAAACGGCAGAATGCGGCCGAGAAGACCGCGCAAGCCTCAATCAGGGCAGTGCCTGTACTGCCCAGTTCACTGCTCACACTAGAGTGAGTGTCTGGTACTACTGCAGGCCACGACGCTGTATCCAATATTGGCCAATTCTATTTCGCTGTCCTGTCTCTTGCCGATTATGGTATTTGTTTTTAATTTGTTTCCCTTTTTTGGTAGACCCTCCACTAGATTTCTCGGGGTGGGCGGGTATGCAAAGTCCGCCCGTGTATTTTCCCACTTTTAAGCCGTCAGCTAGCTTTCCCCACGCCCCCCGTCCCCCATCCATCCTGGCGTTCTAGAGGCTGACATTTTTCTTTTCTTCCCTCTTCTGCTTCTTCTTTTCCTTCTTCCTCTTGCATCTCCATCGCGTTTCTTGTCGCTCACTGTACATTACTGCTTCTGCTGTTGCTACATTACCGTCGCTACTAGCCCGCCTACACACAGCCTTTCGCTCATCATGCGTTTCCTCCCTCTCGTTGCCGGCACTGCCGCTGCCTCTGCTGTCGCCATCCGCAGCACCAGCGACAACATCAAGTGCACTGACTCTCTCTACGTCCTCGTCGGCCGTGGCACGACTGAGCCTGCTGGTCCTGGTTCCGCCGGTGTCCTGGCCGACAAGATTGCCGGCAAGATCAAGGGCACCGTTGTTGGCTCTGTCGATTATCCCGCCAGCTGGAGTGACCCCAACTACCAGGTCTCTGAGACAGAAGGTGCCGCTGCTGTCAGCAGCGAGATGACCAAGTACAACGCTGCCTGCCCCAAGGCCAAGATTGCCTACATTGGCTACTCCCAGGGTGCCCAGATTGGCTCCGACGCCTTTTGCGGTGCCAACGTCCAGCTCTTTGGCAATGTGACTGCCTTTAACAGCGACTTTGTGACGAACAATGGTAAGAGTCGACCAATGAAGACTTGGCAACAGCCCAGAGTAGACTGCTAACCAGAGATACAGTTGTCGCCGCCGTTCTCTTCGGCGACCCTAGCCACAACACCACTGCTCCCTTCAACAAGGGCACCAGCACAAAGAGCGGCGTAAGCATCAACCAACATACCCCAGTGTGTTTGAATTTTCATCACTAATCACCGTTGTTTGCAGCTCTTCCCCCGCACGGACTTCTCCAAGTGCGCAAAGTACACCGACAGACTCGTTTCCTACTGCGATGAAGGCGACCGCTACTGCGCCTCTGGCAGCGATGTCGCCGTCCACGGCGAGTACATCACCAAGTACGGCGACGACTTTGTCAAGTACATTGTTGACCACTACAACGCTGCTGCCGGCACTACCTCCAACAGCGGCAACGGCAGCACCATCACCGGCTCTAGCAACTCTACCACCGGCGTCAGCAAGCCTACCCCCTCTGCTACCGGCAACAACAACGGCAAGCCCACTGGCTCTGGTACTCCCGCTGACAAGAGCGCCGCTGCTGGCATCCAGGCCAAGATTGGTTACGCTGCTGTCCCTGCCGCCATGGCTGTTGCTGCTCTCTTCCTGTAAATGGGAAACAGGCTGACGGCGTCGGCGACGTTTATGTTGAACGAAGAGAGGGCAGCAGACGGCCGTTCCTTGATGGGTACATGTAAAAAAAATAATACACACAAACAAACACACAACTGACAACGATGGAATGCGATGTCTATGGCGAATGTAAATTGTTGGATTTATAATACTTTTTTCTTCTTTTTGGATGACCAACATCCTCATAATACAAACTCTGGTTTGATCACTCTGACTATCTGCGCGTGTGCCCTGTGTGGTTGCTGTTGCAAGACCCAATTGAGCTGCCAGCGCCGAGTCGGACTGGAACCACTGGCAATATGTGAAATTCCAATCGATATAGATAGCGGGCATAATATTTGCAAATTTTATTGCCGAGGAATTTGGCGCGTCTCAGGGTCTCTGGCAGCGTCGGATACAGTGCCTACGTAGATCACCGGTTACCGCTTTGGGCAAATCGTGGATGGGGCTTTGCTGGGGCGGCCGAGATCCGGGCGCGCATTGCGTGGTAATAATACCTGGTGTAGCTGCAGATAACAACGAGGCGAGGGTTGGGCAAGTTGTTCTAGGTAGCGCCCGGCATTTGCTAAGAGCAGCGTAATGAATTTTATGCAAATCAGTTCTCTTATCAGCGAGCTGACAAGTACTGAAAATCTTCTACACACAGCGCCTTGTAGAATTTGGCCAGAGCTCAGATCGGTGGCATGGCGGCGCGCCAAAAAAAAAACAATATAAGGACGTAGGCCAGTCTACACCAGCACCAGCACCAGCAACTAATTCAGAATACGATTACGCTGTATTCATGGATGCTGGTGACAGTCATGTTCTTCTACATGCTCCATGCTCATCTAATCAACGGTTGCCAACACAGCATTAACAGCGTATGGGAATACAAAACGCCGTTCCCTCCGTTCCCCAAAGCCCTGCTGTGCCCTTATCTCCCTCAAGCTTACAGCACCCACAGCCTGTAAGCCCACCAACTTCGGGCTTACCGTGCCCACTGCAGCACCACTAACAACGCCTGCAAATGGCCCATGCACCCTTCCCCCGCCAATTGCGGCAGTGGGCAGGTCCCCAGCAGAAAAAACAAAGTCCGGCCCATGCACACAGAAGCTCTCTGTAGGGAAAGAGCAAAAGCTGTCAGTCATCTTAAATATTTTTTTTCCACCAACGGAATGTTCTCCTCCGGCGAGACCCTGACGGTGCGGCCGCAATCGACGCTAAGCTTCTTCGGCCGCAAAACTCCCTTTTGCTTTTCCATCGATTTGTTTTTCTTTTCTTCCATCCTTCTTCTACTTCTCCATCTGCATCGCTCGCTTTATCTTGTTGCTTCATCAATGAAATAGTCGCGTGTAAGCTGCAATGGCGGTCGACGACACTCCTGCGAGCTCGAAGGAGCTCAATTCCACCCCCGCCGAAAACAAAAACACTGTTACGGACTTCGACAACAGCAACAATTCCGGCAGCCTCGTAGCTGACGATGCCAATGTCGAAGACCTCACAAGAAAGACCACCGATACTACCGCTCCCAAGGTCGCCAAGCGCGCCCTTCCAGCATGGCTCGATCACTTCAATTCCGGCGATCTCAAGGTCCTCATCCGCTGCGCTGCCGCTGCCTGGGTCGCCTTCATCATCATGTTCATTGATCCGGTTCTCCAGAGCATCGGTGTAGCCACATTCTTCGCGTCCTTGGTCCTCTTCATTGTGCCTCCCGCCGGTATCCTCATGATCAACTTGCTGGCGTCCATCTCGATGCTTGTTGGTATGTGTCTGGCTTGGGCCTGGGGCTTGCTCACCATGAAGGCTGCCAGAGCTGCCCGCCCTGACGCCGAAACCAACGCCCTCGTTGCATCTTTGAGGCAAACGGCGTACCAGGAATGGAAGCAGACCAACCGTAGCACTCCCACAGCTCTCGCCTCCGAGTTGGTGTACAACGGCTACATGCTTGACACCCGCGTTACAGTCATCTACTACGTTATGGGCTGCCTCATCATCTACGTGCTTGCCCGTATGCGCATCAACAACGCAAAGCTCATCCTATTCCAGATATTTGGCACCATCATTACCGACCTTTTCATCCTTATTGGTCCTCTCTTGTCCACCTTCAACTCGACTCTCCCTGTGACTCTCATTAAGCCTGGAGCTATTGGTGTCGGTATTGGCACGGTCTTCAGCATTCTTCTCTTCCCTCAATCCACCTCTTACACTGTTCTCGACTCTATGGAGAAGCTCGTCCGCCTTGCCGGAGCCACGACCGACTCGACACGTCGCCGCCTCGCCGATCAGGCCGTACACATTGACGAGCTCATTGGCCTCAAGGGCAAAACTGTCGGACTTTACAAGGCCATGAAGCCCGCGCTTGCTTTCCTGCCCATTGACTTGTCTCGTGGCCGATGGAACGTTGGCGATGTCACTGTACTTCACGAAAAAGTGCGTGCTGCCATGGTAGCCAACCTTTCTCTGGTCGACTTCCACATTGGCTGGATCTACGCCGGCAACAAAGCCAAGGATCTACGCCAATACCAGGAGGGCAATAGCCGCATCGGAACCGGAACTGGACAGGGCGAGAAGCCTGCTACCAAGAGCATTGGAAGCCACCAGTTGGAAGAGTACCTGGATCTTCTGGACGCGCTCAAGATTCCCGGACAAGCTGAACAGTTTAACCGTGTCAGGGAATCCCTCATGAGCACCACCAAGGGCGTTCTTGACGCTTGCCACACTGCTACAGACGTTTCCGCCAGATGTATCCATGCTGCCAACAGCAACCGCTGGATTAGCACTCCTAAGCAGAGCGTGTTTGACGAATTGGCAAAGGAAATGACAGCTTGCCTCGAAAATTTGCGAAGAACAAAGGTTGACTGCGTTGCCAACACCAACGATGCTGTCATTGAACACCACGCCGAGCTCTTTGACGAAGAAGGCCGCCTTAAGCAGTCTGCTAACCTCCGCCCCAACTCCCTTCAAGGCATCATCCTCGCCATGGTTATTGAGGAGCGCATCCTCAGCGTTGTCGATGCCATGGAAGGCATGCTCGATTACCTTGTCCGTCTTGTCGAGGCTCGCAAGGAGCATCGCATCTGGCTCCCCACTGGTCTCCAGTACGCCCTGGCCTGGCTGTTCAACGGCAAGCTTGTCGTGCCCATTTCGGACAACTCAACGGTTACTGGCGCGGAGGACCCGGAGTCACCTATCAACACCGACGCCCCTGAAGACCTTGCTTCTGAAGCATACCGCCGCCTTCGCGCCAGTCATGGAACTGCCGGCCGCAAGATACGCCGTGGCTTCTTCAGCAAAGCCATCATGGGCACCTACAACTGGCTCTTCAACCAGGCCGGTATGTATGGTCTGCGTATGGTTATTGTCACCATAGCTACGTGTATTCCCGCCTCTCTTCCTAGTACTGCAGGCTTCTTCTACCGTGAAAAGGGCATCTGGGGTGTCATCATGGCCCAGACTTGCGTTTTGGTGTACATGGCCGATTTCACCTTTTCCCTTGTCGGTCGTGCTCTCGGTACCGTTCTCGGTGGTGCCATGGGTATGGTTGCCTGGTACATTGGCGCTGGTGGCCTCGGTCCTGGAAACCCATACGGTCTGAGTGCCATTGGTGCCCTTATGATTGTCATCCTCATGTGGTGGCGTCTTTTCCTCCCCGCTGCATACCTGCAGGCCGCCATCATGACCGCATCGACCTTTGTCCTCGTCGTCGGTTTCAGTTTCGATGCTGGTCACATCCAACAGTATGGTCTTCCCGGTGTCGGCTACGAGGCCTTTTGGAAGCGTGTCGTCGTCGTCATGCTCGGTTTCATTGCCTCGGCCGTCGTGCAAGTCTTCCCCAAGCCTCCCTCAGCGACTGTCCACGTCTCTAAAACGCTCTCCAACACTGTCGGTGTTCTGGCAGACCATTACGCTCTGCTTCTGTCGCACTGGGCTCGTGGCTCTTCTGTCAGCCCCGTCAGCGCCGTGGCTGAGGACATTTCCCTCAACGTTGCCGACACACTCATGGGTCTTTCGCCATCCCTCGGCCTTCTGAGCATCGAAGTTAGCTCCAGCCCATTCGACAAGGAAACTCTGGCCGATGTCATCCAGCACGTGCATCTTATCAATCAGTCGCTGTCCAAGCTGCTCGACATGTCTACTACTTTGCCCCAGGACTTGCAGCAGCGTCTTGGTATCTCTGCCGGGCTAACCAACGACCGAGCTATTGGCCAGGTCATGGGCATCTTTGGTATCCTCGAGTACTCGCTGCGCACGGGCAGCCCCATCCCCGAGCGCCTCCCGGCGCCACTGGTCCGCAACCTCTACGATGCGTGGGAGTCGCAGCACCGCAATGCCATCCTCACGACATCACTAGTCCGTGACGAGAACTACAGGAGATACTGTGTTGCCATGTCTTCCTACCTGCAGTTCTTGACCTTCCTTGATGACCTCGTCATCACCATCAAGAGAGCCGTTGGCGAGAGCCACGTTGTGCATTCTTGGGAAGAGACTGCTTAAGCACAGCTAGTGCACTACGTTTATATAATATGCCTTCATTTCTTGTTCATTTCTTTTTTAATATATACACATATGGAGTTTTTAGTTGCACGGGCACGGGTTGGCTGCACATGACACAGTTTGTAAATCACGGCACGCCCTGGATAGATACACATATATTCATACGTCGTCATTTTAATCATAATTACATCATTCAAACACATAATCCCCATAATTCAAACTTGCTCCTTTTCAGCATTATACTTGTAACCGGTGCAGACGCTCTATATTTGTCCTTTTTCATAGACTTACAGGCTGTGGCATATCGGGCGTCGCCGTGTAGGCAATACGACCTGCTGGTAGAAAGAAGAGCGCAACAAGCGCGCCGCCTCTAACCTCTGGATAATGATGCGTACCAGGGCCAGGCGACGTCCACCCAGCGCCTTGCCAACCTTGCATGCCCATGAGCTCTGCCGAGTCGTCGATTTGCACTACGCAGTTGATCTCGCCGTACGGATGCGCGTGATACTGGCCCCGAAAGACATCCTGACTGTTCATATAGACAGTGGTGATACTAAAGAAGCGTGTCTCTGCTGACGGCAGGCATATCTTGCCGCGGCGGTAGTCTGGGCCTGAGATGGGCGTCTGGGCCACCCATCCTTCCTGGAGGCCGGCGCGGATGGCGGCAACAAAGGCCTCGTAGTGCGGGGTTCCCGGGCCATAGGACGCATTCAGCCGGGCTTCTAGATCTTTTCCGGGTGTTCTGGAGACGTGTAGTGTGTTAGCAGGCGATGGGATGATGGCAGGGCTGATGCTGCTGCAGAGGCAAGGGCATTGCGACGTGCGGCGTCGCAGGGCGAAACGCACAGATCTTTTACTTCGGCGAGGAACTCGGCGCAGCGGGCGACGAAAGCCTTTGCGCTGGGCCACTGGTCTAAATCTAATACTTCTGCGTTGTCTGACTGATCCATCTTTTCTTATTGGTAATGTTGATGGGCTGTGCTAAGGGTGTGGTGAAGTCTTAGTGGTACCCCGCATTGCGTGTGTGTGTAAGCGCACAAAGGGAAGTGGAAGTAAAGTCTAGCGGTTCACTTTCACCGCACTGAAAGCATGACTTGGATTATATTCCCCGAAGTTTATTCTCTTTGCAAGAGCCATCATGTAGCATACCGAGTCTACTCTTTTCGGCCTCTGGCTGCTGCTGTTACTGCTGCCGCTGCTGTCGAGTCCATCCGCGTACTTGCGATCGGGCTGCTGGGCGCAATACGCGCTAAAATCGTAATTGTCATAGGTTTCATATGTAGAGAGCGACTGCATTGCCCCACCACCCTTCGCATGGTGGGCGGGTGATGGTCACCAGATGGGATTAAGGTGGCGGTGATCTCTAATTGCCGCAAGTTGAACGACAGCCGTTGGGCATATCATCGAGGGATGAAACTTGGTTGCAACGCCGATTGTCTAGGTGACCTACTATCAAGCCGTGTGTACTGTGAAAAGCGTATGGATTGGCCAATATATTGGGCTGTTGTGCGAGGAAGTCAGCCCATTGTCGATCAGCCGATGTGGCTCTGTCGGCAGTGGTTACAACAGGTGGCCGTGGACCTGTAATGGTGTCCTCTTTCGCTGTGTATTGATGCGCTGCAACGTGTGGTTAAGAGGCAGCCTCGTTGGGTTGTCGACCGTGCGCACTGGGCGTCCAGCCTGCTGCAGAGCGATGACGCCGACAAAAAGGGCCAAACCGAGGCTACACTGCAGCGCCGCTGACGTGCAAATCGCCCAGCTGGTGGGTGGCCTGGGTCGATGGTGCGCCCAATTTGGTGACCTCTTCTGAACCTGCGTATTGGGCTAGGGCGTCGTAAGCTTCGCAGGGGAACGGGGGCATGGAGGGGCCTCGTCAGTTAGCGTGGTTTCAACTGTTGGGCGGGGATGGGCGAAGGCATCGCTCAGGGACCTTTTTTTGGAGCCACTTTTGGGGGATGCTTGAGTATGGAGCGTCACAGATCCCGTTGAGCCTGTAGACGATGATGCTATGTGACGCAGCCTTGCAAATCATGACACCCTCGAGTTGTTGATGGCTGCTTGCTCTGGCGTATCGAGCTGGGCAACGGCTGCCAGGGGGCACCCATGGATACATGACGGCGCGAATGTAGCAACAGCACGAGAATAGCAGGCTCTGGGAGCAGGTCTCTTCCAGTGGACCGAGAGCGAGAGCCGGCGCTGACAGTGAGCCACAAGAGAAATCGCAGGCTCTCTGGTAGGCTAACTACTGCCAAGAGCGAGCGGCGTCATCAAGCCAGTTTTCTGGGGCGACATGCTGCGAATTCCAGGAATAGCCATTGGCGGAACAAGGTCCAGGTGTGGCTGGGCGGGCTTACCGGTATCCCAGCTGCTGAGGCTGGTTTTGTTTGTGCATTTCCTGTTTTCATGCTCTTCAATGGTGATGCTGCTGAGTAACAACGACAACCAGAATAACAAATTCCGGCGCTGATGAATAGCAGAAGCGCATGAATGCAAGCAACGGTCGGCATCGGCAAGTAGCATCTTCAAACTTTAAAAAAAAAATCAATGTGAAGCGCCCAATGCGTCAAGTGTTTCCCCTTCCGCCCCCGTCCGGTCGACTCGGTTGTCCGCCCGGCGCCCTGTCGGATTAGGTTTAGGCACGAGCCTTTTCTCTCGATTGGACCACGAACTACTCTTTTTGGATTAAGCTTCTGGAACACGAGTGAGCAAAGGAGGGCGTCGGACGGCAGGCTTTCTCTTTTTTTTTTTTTTTTTTTTTTTAATGGGACGGAGACCGTCATTGACGGCGACTTGGCGGAGGATTCTTGGGGGCGGCGGTACTTTGCAGCCATGTACCTATTAGTAGAGGCGTCTTGCGAGCGATGCGAAGATTGCAGTTTGTTCCTCGCCGGCTTCTTCGCCTTCTCCCATAGCTTCTTTCACGTGTGAAATACGCACAAGCCTTGTAGAATACGACTGTAGCGTGCTGGTTGTCCAGTGTACTTTGTAGCGGGCTCCAGCAGGTGGGCAGGGACCCTTGCAGTGAGAAAAAAAAGAGAGACCTGCCGGCCCGCCCTGCGCGAGTACGAGAACGAGCCACCTCCAAGAACCTGGCCCCACGAACACTCCGCGACTGGTACATGCCAGGCATCGCCCGCCTCTGCAGCGAGCCTGTCCACCTGCGTTTCGTCTTTCGCCTGCTTCCCTTCTTCCCCAGTCTCTCTACAACCCTTTTTTGTTCTTTTCCCTTTTCTACTCCTTCTTTTTATTCCCTTCTCTCGTCTCATCTTTGCGACTCGTCCCAAGAATATCCCCTAGCTTCATCTCTCTTATGCAAATACACTACACTCCCTCGAGCTATCGCCCCCTCTCCTCCCACCAACAGCACGCCTCTGTCTCGAAGCTTTATTAACCAGCACTGCTCTCGACACCTCCAACCAACTCGTCCTGTAGCAGTATACCCTCCGAGTCTATATTAGATATCCAACTCCGCCATCTCCTGTCACCCCAATCACGCTCTAAACTACCATCGGCCATTCTCTCACTCCGACACCCCGACGGGCACCACAACACCCATATTGCATCCCCGCCAACAGCCAGTCTAGACTTCAACCACATTTGCACTTCCGGCAGTCCCGGCCAAACTCTTCAAAAGAATCACCTGCTCTTTGGTAACCCTTGACCTCTCTACTGTCTGGTTGACGAGCGCCGCCCAGGCCGGGTCATGATAGCATGGCTGCCACTCACATCTCGTCGCCACCTCTGCCCGGCGCCAATGGCGCTGTAAAGCAGCCTCCTTCGACTCTATACGCGAATACAGACAGCGCTGTTCGGATCAAGACACAAGGTATGATTTTACCGGGTGCGCCGCTTCGAAATTTGCGCCCCTCGCAGCCCGTAAGCCACCGCACACCGCATGCTAACACAGACCCGGCAGAGGATGACGATGACGCCAACACTAACCGTCGGTCGATATCTAAACCACTACGCTTGGTGACAAGTCAGAGCACAAAAGACAAGGAACGAGACACCAAGAGCGCCTCCCGCTTAGATCCTCTTAGCACGCAAATCTACCTCCGCACAAATAACCACCCCGAACCTACCATCGCCCAAAGATTTCGAAGCGCCGGCCGCCCAGATAGTCCCAACCCAGAGAGCGTGGGCCGAAAAAGCCACGATCTAGTCTCATCATTTACACTAGGCGACGCAAAGGATAAAAAGAAGGGCTCCTCCTTCCTCTCCCGCGCCTTCCGCGGCAACTTTCGCAAGGATGACGATGCCGACTCTGGCTCAGAAATGGACGAATCCAGAACTGAGGGTAGCAGCGCCAAGGCTTTCACATCCTCACTGATGAGCGATGGCGGCGGCTTCATCCCCCAGTATAAGGAACCCGCTCGCTATATCCGCGTCAAGACACAGCACAAGAAGCATCGCACGCATAACCACTTGTTCCTCGCCCAGGAGCTCACGACAGCGAAAGCGCCTCTATCAAAGCGTGATAGTGTGGCTACCGCCGTTGGAAGCAAGCTTATGAAAGGCGGTGATGCCATCTGGGCTGCAGAATTCAGCAATGACGGACGTTACTTGGCTGTTGGTGGCAAGGACCAGATTGTCCGCGTCTACGCCGTCATAACGACACCCGAGGAACGACGTGCCTTTGAAGAGGCAGAAGAGACAGATAGCGACCGCACAAAGGATGAGCAGCTAAGCGCCCCCGTTTTCCAGACGACGCCTATTCGTGAATACACCGGACACACTGGCGAAGTCTTGGCAATCAGCTGGAGCAAGAACAACTTTTTGCTTACATCCTCGATGGACAAGACCGTTCGACTCTGGCACTTGAGTAGGAAAGAGTGTATTGGTGTCTTCAACCACGATGATCTCGTAACTTCGATTGCCTTTCACCCTACCGATGACCGCTTCTTCCTTGCTGGCTCCCTCGACTCGCAACTTCGTCTCTGGAGCATCCCCGATAAGTCTGTTGCCTTCTCTGCGCCCACAAACGTCTTCATTACCGCAGTGGCCTTTTCCCCAGATGGCAGAACTGCGATTTGCGGCTTGTTGACCGGCCTTTGCCTTTTCTACGAAACGGACGGGCTCAAGAACCAAACCCAGATTCATGTTCGATCTTCTAGGGGCAAGAACGCCAAGGGAAGCAAGATCACCGGCATTCGCACCATTGTACCATGTGGTGGCGACGCCGATGATGTCAAGGTACTTATTAGCTCCAACGATTCCCGTGTCCGCATCTACAACCTCAAGACCAAGATGCTCGAGGTCAAGTTCAAAGGTCTCGAGAACCAATCTAGCCAGATCCATGCCCGCTTCAGCGACGACGGCCGCTTCATTTCCTCTGGAAGCGAGGATAGCAAAGCCTACATTTGGAGCATGGACAATTTGGATGCTGAGCTCAAGGACAAGCAGCCATACGAGTACTTTGAGGCGAACCCCGAGGTTGTCACTACCACGCTCATCGCACCAACCACCACCAAGATGCTACTTAGCGCTTCTCAGGACCCCATCTACGATCTCTGCAACCCTCCTCCAGTAACTCTTCTTAGCTTGGGCGAAGCCGCTGCTAGCCAGAGCGCACTCTCCGATGGTGGCAACACTGAGGGCGGTCAGAGCGTCCGCCGACAAGCTGAGAGCCCGGCATATATTCAACGATCGAAGCACAAGGAGGGCAACATCATCATTACCACTGATCGCACGGGTACCATCAAGGTCTTCCGCCAAGATTGCGCGTACGCTAAGCGCCACTCCAATCTCTGGGAGACCAGCTCCAAGTTCTCTAGCAAGGCAGCAGGCATTGGCCGCAGCGGCAGCATAGTCACGAGAAACAGTGCCTCGTCACGCGTTAACTCTCGCCGAGGCTCCATGAGCATGGCCAACAGCCCTGCGACGGCTCAGGCAGACCTCATCAACAACTGGAGACACGACGTAGAGGGTCGCCGCCGAAGCAACAGCGGCACCCCTTCTCGCAGTGAAAGATCACTTTCGCCTTCCAAAGTACCGCGTTCTCCCTTGAATCTGTCAGCATCAAACTTGGCCTCCGAGGCTCGCAAGCAGCCCTACCTGGTCAACACTGGCGCCGGTCTCCCTAAGAGCGGATCGGCACCTCTGCCTAGTGGCCGTCCAAAGCTACCACCCATTCAGGGCAGTGTTGCCAATATCCATCGACAGGACTCTCAACCACCTACGCCTAGCTTTAGCTTACTCAGCGTCTCGTCGTCAGAGGGCGGTGACGACAAGAGCCCCGGCGGATTTTGGAACATTGGCCGTTGGCGTGGTATGTCTGGCCTTCGCAACGTCACGACAGTTTCGGCAACCAGCAACGGTAGCGGCAAAGGAAGCCATTCGCGAAACCCAAGCGAGTCGCACCCAGACAAAGCACGCACTCGTCAGAGCATGATTGTTCCCGACTTCAAAATGATTTCGGCTACAGATGATGACCGCCGCAAGTCAACGGGTCCCATGCTTGCTCCCAAGAAGGTCGTCGTGGAGGATGACGACGAGGATGAAGAACAACCCCAGCTGAGGGTTGGAAAAAGACGCCCAGTCTCGCCCAGCAAGCGCCGCACCGACTCTGGTCTCGGACAGCTGAGCGATGAATCTGACGCAAGCGACTAGAGGGAGGACGCAAGTCGAATTCTATGTATATGACATTGGCGCAACTGGATAGCGTGCATTTGAGATTCACAATGACGCGCAGACGCATATCTTGCTTTCTCTTTTTTGTTCGGAAGCTTTTTTATTTTTGGATATACCTATTTCATTTGGCGCATGGATTGTTTTGGGTTTTTTTGCATATCTCCTTTGGAAAAAGAAAAGGATGGCGTGGACTTGATTTACTTTTTTTGGCGGTGGCATATGATAGCACACCTGGAGGTAGCCGAAATCCTCTATCACTTGGACTGTACGGAAGAATATGGAATATGAAAAGAAATATGATATTACGGTATTCTTATTCTCATTATAGTCATGAATATCCTAAACTGTTAAATTCTGTGACAGCTTGTCGGTATCGTTCCGTACGCCCGTGATCGCAGTGATGCTTTTAAAAGTCTTCGTCGGTTGAGAGCTGCCAAAGACGAGAGCTGTTAGCCCTTTTTGCACGCATTGGAAATTGCAATCTTTTGATTAAATTACCTTTGTCTCCTTGGCCTTGGCGGCGTATCCCTCGACAGCCTTCTTCAGGGCGGGAACGTTGGCGCCAGTGATGGACTCGTCCAAGTCGCCGTCCTTGAAGAAGAAGAAGGCGGGTATGGAGCGGATTCCAAGCTCTTGGGCAAGATCAGGAACCTCCTCAGTGTCGAACTTGGCGAACGCGTAGGTATCGGCAGAGGCAAGCTCGTCGGCCTGCTTGGCGAAGATGGGCGAGATGGCCTTGCAGGGACCGCACCAGGTGGCTGTGGCCTGGAGGGCAACGTAGGAGTTCTTGTTGACAAGGTCGAGGTACTCCTTCTTGGACTTTAGTTCGAGGACAGGCATGATGGGCGGTAGTTTGCTAGTAGTGTGTTTAAAAGAAACGAGAAGCGGTTGTGGATTTGTGAGAAAGGGCGTGATGGCGTCGAAGAAGGGAGACGCGTTAATGGTTGGTGGGGTGAAAGTTGGAGGGGCGATGGGGAACAGCTGGTTTGTAAGCGAGTAGCGGGAGGCAGCTAACAATAGAACCATGGATGCTAAAATTAGTGATCTACAGCTACGCGTTATAATTAAGGCATTTGTTTCAAAAGTAACTTTATAAGAATTTCCAAAATAATATTTTGGCTCAGAATGAGGCTGTTTGGCCGTTAAAGCACGAACCCCTCTAGCAATAATACAACCCCGCCAAAAAGCACAATTCTTAGATCGTCTGATGTCTGTTCTGGCTTTGATTTATATTTCTATTGTCCTAGAGAACAGGCGCACTGCTGTGGCTGCTCAAAGCGTATGCATCAATCCAAAGAGAAAGAAAGGTCTTTCTGTTGCTGGTGTACCGTTCTAAAAGAACAGCACATTGTTTCTTCTTTCAACGGCTGCGCACGAGCCTTTGGTTCTTTGGCAGAACACAGCAGCGCAAACAAGACACTAACTTAGTCTTTGACGGCGTTTTATCACGATGTTAGCAGAAGAGGAAGAGTGCCATCTTCAGGCATAAAAGATGAAGGACTTCGCTTCTTAGGATATCGTCTTGATGTTAATAGCATCATCTACTACTTACCTTTACAGCAAAGCAACCCCCTTTTCAAACCGACCAAAATAACAACAATGTGTAAAGTTATTGCCAAGACAGTGGTATGTCCATCATGCACAGACTTTGTGATCACTGAACTTGAACAGCAGTTCTGCGACGAACGTGTGTATCTACCACCACAGGACCGATGCCACTGCGACAAGGCCATGATCGAGGATGACCTAAGCCGCAAACCCGTCGCCTGGGAAGATAGAGATGTCTGCATCTGGTCTTACTCCCACTGCCGCCATTCCCAAGCCATTCTATTTGGCAGTTTCGAAGTCGTTTTCAATATGGTTCCCTTCCAAGTATGGGCGGACTACTGTGCGTCGATTGGGTGGACAGCTACGAACGCAGGCAACCTGGCAGAGGTACTACAAACACCGCCGTCATCTACGGGTGACACGACCGACTCGGATGACTACGTTCTTATGAATCCCACTTTTAACTCAGATTGCCACCCCTAGTTCTGTAAGTATGATATTTATGGGATTGGAACTAACTTGTACTTTACTTTAGATATATGGCAGCAATACAAAAAAACTTACAAAAGCACTGAAAGGTAGGCCATGTTTGTGATTATGACCACGCCGTAGTGAGTGAACCACTATCATTTAAACAAGAGCAGCTTCCGGCTCAAAAAGTAGTCACTCTCGAAATTCCATTGGATTTATCAAGATATCATACACCCTCACTCTTCGCCATGTCAGGGACCGCCCACCAGTCCACAGTACCACCACCCCGCCAAAAAGCTACAGCGGGGCTCCTCATGTTTGGCCGCCCAATTTTTTTCTTTGGCGCCCAGCGGCGGGGCCGATTAGATAAAGAAACTTTTTAGTCGTGCTTTGCAACTTTTGCTTGCATTTAGACACTCACCAACGCCATTTGGAACTCCGACAAAGCAACAGCGTGTACGTTGGTGTACCAGATTAATAGTCGTCGGTTTTCTGTTCTACATAAACCTACCAATTTCGCTACCCAACATGTCCAAGCGCGTTGCTGTCAACGAGCAGGAGGACAGCCCCCTCAAGGGCGGTGATCGTCCAGAGCAGATGGACATTGACGACAAGGAAATGGGCGAGTTTGAAGACGAATTCGAGGATGAATTTGAGAGCGAAGACGAGATTCTCGAGGCCGGTGTCGACGGTCGCCCGGATGCCGAGCGTGAGGCTGAGGAGAAGGAAGAGGGTAAGTCTGCAACGAGAGGATCTTTTGCTGAAGAGTGAGAGTCCATGGATAGCTAACAAACATGTCTCTATATAGCTATGGAAGTTGACCAAGGAACTTTCATTGTCGGACGTAACAAGCCCGAGCCTGGCCAGGTCCTCACCCCCGATTTGACAACATACGAGATGCTTCACAACCTCACCACACCTTGGCCATGCTTGTCCTTCGACCTTGTCCGCGACTCGCTCGGCGATAACCGCAAGGCGTATCCCGCGACAATGTACGCTGTGACGGGAACACAGGCCGATTACAAGCGCGCCAAGGAGAACGAGCTCATGGTGGTCAAGTTTAGCGGCCTGTCCAAGATGGACAAGACAGACGAGTCGGACGACGAGGACGACGACGATGAGGATGCCGACCCGATCCTCGAAAGCAAGAGCATTCCCCTGCCATCCACGACCAACCGTATCCGCTCGCACCAGATTCCCAACGCCGATGGCGGTGCTCCTACCACTCTCACAGCCTCTATGACCGAGTCTACTGACGTCTTCATCCACGACGTGACCCCTCACCTGCGCTCGTTCGACACCCCCGGTACCGTCATCACTGCCGCCCAGAACAAGCCCATCTCTACTATCCGCGCGCACAAGTCTGAGGGCTACGCCGTCGACTGGTCGCCTCTTCACCCCAACGGCAAGCTTCTCACTGGTGATAACGACGGCCTCATTTACGTCACCACCCGCACCGACGGCGGCGGCTGGGTCACTGACAACAGACCCTTTACTGGCCACACGTCCTCTGTTGAAGAGATTCAGTGGTCGCCTTCCGAGCAGTCTGTTTTCGCATCTGCTTCCTCGGATGGCACTGTTCGCGTCTGGGATGTCCGCTCCAAGTCGCGCAACCCCGCCATCACAATGAAGGTCTCGCCTGTTGATGTCAACGTCATGTCGTGGAGCCGCAACACCACTCATTTACTCTCTTCTGGTGATGATAACGGCACCTGGGGTGTCTGGGATCTGCGCCAGTGGAAGGCGAGCAGCGATAAGCCCCAGCCTATTGCTAGCTTCGACTTCCACAAGGAACAAATCACCTCTGTGGAGTGGCACCCTACCGACGACTCCATCATGGCTGTCGCTGCGGCTGACAACACTGTCACGCTGTGGGATTTGGCTGTCGAGTTGGATGATGAAGAGAGCAAGGATACCGCTGGCGTCAAGGACGTTCCTCCCCAACTCCTCTTTGTGCACTACCTCAAGGGTGTCAAGGAGGTTCACTGGCACCCTCAGATCCCTGGTAGCTTGGTTGCTACTGGTGAAGAATTCAGCATCTTCCGCACCATCAGCGTGTAAGTGCTACAACTTCGTAGACGCGCACACACGCGCACACAAAAGACATATAAAAGGAGTGATGAAGGGGTGGAAGAACACGAAAGCAAAAAGGTGTAGAGAGCTCGGTTCTTTTTTTTCCTTTTGTTCCTTTAGACGGAGTTTTTGTATATAGGCTAAAATTTCATGATAATGCAAAAGAATCATTTAACACATATTAAACAAGTCGAATCGTGAACGTCGTATGTATTGATGAATTAATATAAACATGATATGGTATGCTAAAAAGAAGAACAACAACAGGGAACAATCGCTATGCAGCAGAGCTTGCCATTTGTTTTACAATTTCAACCAACCTTGACAAAGTCGTCGTCTCCTGCGGTAAGATTGGAGGGTTGGGGTGCAACGCCTTCCATGACTGTGGGTGAGCCAGTCTTGCGCAGAATGGGGGGGCCCTTGAAGTTTTTGCGTGCAAATACAATGTACCAGATACCTGCAATAGCGGCAAATCCAGAAAACACGACAGACGCATAGTTCATGCTGGTTGGAGTGACAGGAAGTGTAGCCGGCATGCAAAAGATGACAACGGCGAGCACAATCCAGATCAAGCAGACCAAGTTCATAGCCAAGCCAAACTTGCCTAATGAGTATGGCGAGTCCTTGACAGATTTGCGGCCTTGCACGACATTGACGAGGACGGGCACAGCGTACGAGGTGGAGAGGCAGATAGTTCCAACGCCAGTAAAGGAGTTGAAGGCTGCGGTAGAGCCAAAGTAAATCAGGCCCAGAAGGGAAATAACAATGGTGGAAAGGGTAATGGCCCAGAGTGGCACGTCGAGGCGCTTGTTCACCTTGCCCCAGAGCTTGTAGCCGGGAATGGCGCCGTCACGAGCAAAAGCATATGTGCAGCGAGAGGCGGCCGTAAGCGCACCGATACCGGCAAACATGAGAATGCCAAAGATGAGGAACAGCATGGCAAAGCCTCCGCCGGGCGATCCGGTAGCGTACTTGAAGATGATGCCAATCGGTTGGCCACCGGGTGCATTGGTAAGCTCGTCAAGGTCGGGGAAGACGAAGAGGATGGGAATGAGGTACATGAGGCCGGTGACGCCGGCAGCAGCAACGGAGAGGACAATGGCTTTCGGGACTTCGCGTTCGGGGTTCTGCACTTCTTCGCACATGGCGGCAACCATGCCGTATCCGGTCAAGACATACGCAGCTATGGCAACAGTTAGTAATAGATCCATCAACAGTGAAGGGGGTGTAGCACAAACCTTGCAGGAGGCCTACAAAGAAGGACCAGCCCTCAGGCCAACCACTGCGAGAGGTATCGTAGTTGGAAAAGACAAACTCGGCAGAGCGGTGCGTCTTGGCCATGCTGAGAATTGTGACCAGGATGATAATGACGCTTGCGCCGGTCCAGTAAATGCAAATCTTGTTAATCAGGTCGAGATAGCGCGTGCCAAAGATGTTGATGACGGCACACACAAGCGTGACGGCCCAGAAGCAGAGCACGGTGTGCCAAGCAAGCGGGTTGTAGTCTGGGTTCCAGAGATTGATGGCGCTCAGAATCAGCTGGGCTCCTCCAAAGTTGATGGAGAGGGCAATTGTCCAATTGCCAACGAGAGTCAGCCATCCGTCAATGAAGGAGACAACTGGCGCCCACTTTGGCGACGAGAGCATGGCAGACCAGTAGTAGACGCCGCCGGCTGTTGGGTAGACGGCGCAGATTTCGGCAAGCGAGGCGGCAATGCACATGGAAATAAGCGAGACGAGGATCCAGCCGTAGAGGATGGTGACGGAAGTGCCGTTGGGGATGGTGAGGTAAAATGTAGTCGAGAGACCGTAGGGGACGGCCATGATGGCAAAGGAGAGGCCGAGCACGCTCATCATGGAGAGATGTCTGGGCAACTCGCTCTTGTAGCCCAGGTTGGCGAGGGCCTGGTCGGCATGTTGCGAGTTGGACGCGCGCCGGTCCGCCATTATGAAATGTTGGTGGTGGTTTTGGACGAAGGCGGCTATTGGAGTGAGTAGGGCGAGAGTAGTGTGTTTGTTATTGCGCTGACAGGTACATCCAGTTGGTGGAGACAACAAGACAAAGTCCGTCTTCTCGTAGAGAGAGGCAGAGCAAAAGAAGAAGAAAGGTAACGGCGCAAAATCACAAAGGGGCGGGACAAAACAGCGAGGGTGTGGCCGATGGCCGATGCTTTATGGAGAAGAAGGCTCGATAAGCTTGGGGTGTGGAGGAGTGTCTTTTTTGGAGTCAGACGCTGAGGCCGATTGGGCAACCCCACCAAAAGACGCCTGTTCTGTAGCGCGGCACCCCTGCCCGACAAAAATAAGCAGCAGCTGTCGGTGGTTCCACTGCGCTGTAGCGTGGGACGGGTGGTCGCTAAGAAAAGACTACCGAAGCAACGCCTGCATGAGGCTCCGTCGCAGTGAGATTACGGCAGATTTAGCGGTGTTTTCCTTAGGGGTTTAGGGGGGCAGGGTCCGCTTTTCCAGTGCGCCGCATTTTGCAGAACCAACGGCTGTTTCTAGGAGGCGCACGTAGGGCAAGACAGGTGTGTATAGCCGCCGTGTGTTTGGGCGAGAAGCGAGATATTTGTTACAAGACATTTTTTGGGGTGAATACAACACCGCTATTCTTATAACCCTGTTTCTGAGTCTTTTACAGTCTTGGTTTGTTATTCTAGTTCCAATGTCCAGCACATGCAATACTCCTGTTTATCGGGCTCCAGAAAAGGGCGGGTTTGACAAGCAAGCCACAGCGGAGGCAACCCCCCAAGGAGCCCTGTAATCGCTCGTGCACTGGCACCACTGCACAGAAGCTGTCGAGCTTCTAGCCTCGCTGCGGTTGGCTTGTGCACTCTGAGTGGCTGTAGGCAACAGGGACTGTCGCGTGCCCTGTGCCATCTTTTGGGCCACAAAGCCCACTTTCTTCTTCCCGTCTTTTTTGTTTTCATATGCATTCCCGCTTACTGGGCCCTCGTTCAGTTTATCGATTCTGGCGCAAGGCTTGCTTGAAATTGAAAGAGGGCCGAGAAAAAAGATGTCCATCTTGTAAGCAGCGGCTATCTAAATTGCAACCTAAGCCTGCGTGCTTGGCGCTATGGCTCCTTTGTCTTGTTGGCTCCTCTAGCAAGACGACGACGACCACCACCACCCTCGTTTCCCCAGTGGCGTATCCGTCCGTCACCAAACGAACCAATACGAATGCACATTGTGGCAGGCTGGCTGAAATAGTCTACAGCCATGCCGGTAGCGATGGCTTCTCTCGGCGGTGTCTTGCGCAACGTTCATCGCGGTCTCAGACGCCTCCCACGCCGCGCTCGGTCCGCGCTGCCTTTTGTCACGCTGTAACGCTGATCGCTACTCGTCCCAGCACCGATAGCCAGCGCGGCTAGCTGCAGTAACCACAGAACCCCAGATTGCCCAACAGCGCGCTTCCCACTCAGCCGCAGAGCTTGATGGGCTCCCCCCACGGGGAAAGTGGACTTCTCTGCTGGTAGCTCATATATTTAATCAGTTCATATATTTAATCGCTTGCGGAGTCTACCGAGATAGTGGTAATTGGAAATCATCCGCTCCCGATACAATTAGGACCTACTGCCGAACTGGGACTGACGAGAAAAATACGGGGGTGAAGCCGCGAGCCACCCACTCAGCGTCGTCAGTTCTACACTCTAGCTTCCAATACGCGTAAGCTTCTCATTTCTGTCTCAGCTATCAGGGTTTATAACTTGCTATTGTTATTGTTCTTGTTTTTATCAAAAGTACATGGGCTCACGATATGACCAGAAATTAAAGGTAAATAAATTATGTATTGGGTAACAAGCTTCTGATAATGGCAAAACAAACCCCCAACCCATGCGCTAAGCAGCTCATAACGAGCTGCAATTTGGGTATACTTTCAACATAAAACCAAAAATTCGTAATTCGTATGTCTACGCGTGCTCGACCATTTCCACGTTGGACCTTTCCTTGCCGTCGCTCTTGTTGGATTCTACATCGCTCAAGCCACTCTTTCGCAGCTTCTTGTGTTCAGCAGCCATCTGTAACGAGACAGTCACTGGGTTACCGCCGGCAGTAAAGATTTTGTCAATGTCCTCTAGACCAATATTACTGGTCTCGGGGTAGAAGAAGTACACGAGCGGTACAAATAGCAAGTTGGTGATGACAAAGATGAGATACGCCTTCCACTGCAAACGCTCAATGACAATGGGCGTAATCATGACAATCGTAAAGTTCCAAAGCCAGTTGGAGCTTACGCCAATTGCTGCACCACGAGTTCTTGCTGCGAGTGGTACGATTTCGGCCACATAGACCCAAGGCACACAGTTTGCTGATCCACCAAAGATGAGCATGTACAAGAAGAAGAATGCCACAGACGCAGCGGCGAATCCCTTTGCGCGCATCGAGTCGTCGCCCTTGGGTGCTTGTGAGAGCAACCCAGAAATGAAGGCCATGCACACTGCAAGACCAAAACTTCCCAACATCATTGTCTTTCTGCGACCCATACGATCGAGAGCTATCGTGGGGCCGATGGAGCCGATGATGAACATGGTGTTGATGCAACCTCCGAGAATCTGGGCAAGCTGAGGGCTCATCCCGACATTGTTCGTCAAAACGATGGTGATGTAGTAGACCACCAAGTTGATACCGCCAATTTGGTTCATGAACTGCATGCCCCAAGCCAGCAAAACGCGGTACCGGGTGCAAATGTCATCCTTTTTGAACATGCTCATAAACGAGAGCGACTTCTCGCTCGCGTTTTCAATTGCAATAGCCTCCATGATTGCGTCCCGCTCCTCCTTGATGTACTCGTCGTCAGCATCCTTCCCGTACACGGCGCAGAGGACGTCAATGGCTTCGGCCTCGTGGCCGTGGTTGAAGAGCCAGCGGGGTGACTCGGGCAATCCAAAAACGAGGACAATGACACCGAGCGAGAAGACAATCTGGAAAGCAAGAGGCAGACGCCAGGCAATGGAGCCTCCGACGAAGCTCATACCAAAGTCGAACCAGTAGGCGACGACGATACCAACACCGACAAACAGGACCTCGGCGGATACCAGTCGTCCTCTGGAACTTTTATCACAAAGCTCGGCCTGGTACGGGGGAACAGTTGAGGTTTTGATTCCGGTGCCAACGCCGGTGATGACGCGCCCGACAATGAGGTGGCCGACGGTAAAGGCAGAAGCTTGGAGGGCGGCGCCAATTGTGACAATGGCCATGGCAAGCCAAATTGTTTTTCTTCGACCGAGTTTTTCGCCAATGAAAAAGTTGACTGTCTAACAGTTAGCATTCGAAGAATTGTATTGTCGGCGATCTTGGTGAGTCTTACCAATACAGCCAGTCAGGCAGCCCAAGTTGTAGCTGGACACAATGATGCCCGTCTCTGTCGAGTCGGGGTCGCCAAACTGAGCCTTCCAGTCCTCGTTTTGGAGAAGACCGCTGAAGACACCCTGGTCGTAACCAAAGAGAATGAATGCGACGAGGCAGCAGATTGTAATGCCTGCTTGAAGGGACTTGCCCGTTCCGAGCCAGGAGTGCATCGCCATTGTTTGCGCTTACGTTGATCTTGACGGCATGCAATGAGGAGCAAGTGAGATGTGATGGATGTGAAATCGGCGTAAGTTGTAAAGAGGATGGGAAAATATTTTTTAGCTCATGATGTGTTAAATGATGGGCTTTGACAATCATCACGGCACTAAAGAACTACTTATAACAAGTGCTTGTTAGTTTAGCTTGTCAACAGCGGGCTAAACTAGGCAAGTCTAAGCCTGCAAACAGCCTACCGGACGAGGGTGAAAATTGGTGGCTTGTAGAGGATAGTTCCGACGCCAAGCCTATGTATGCCAATAAGGCTTTGCGATTATTTCCCTTCTTTTCAGTTGCCTTGGTTGCCGCTAGAACATACGCCGAATGAGCGCGTCCTAGCGGGAGCAACGAGAGACGTCATTGGAGGGTCCATCGTGGGGAAAGCGGGCTGGTATCGGTGGGCGCAAGCGCTTAAACTTTCCAGCCTGGGTTGATGGTGACGTCAAGCGCTCAGTTTCCGTAGGCGGTTCGTGGGAGAGAGGAGCAATCCTAAAATAGGGATCCGTAGGGTTCTAAAGGAGGGGCATTGAAACAGTTTTCTAGTATATTTCTTTTACAGCGGGATTTTCACTTTAATTTGTAGTTATTCTTTTACGTCCGCGGGGATTGCTGGTGACAATGTACGTTGCGCATCCGTTGTGGTGTTCTTGTACAGTTGGGCGCACTTTGTCGGTCCGGCTGGCGGACAAAAGGCCGCTCTGGCTACTAAAAAGCAATATCTGGCGGCGGCTTCCGTCCGATAGAGGCGTCCATCGTGCGTTGTCGTTTTGAAAAACCTGGGGTCTCGGCCGGACTATCGCAATGTATTGTAATTCGGCATTGGGATGTGATGGAATGGTGCATAACTGCCAGTCGTGTGAGAAATACCCCGGTGTCCTCACCGTGATAAGACAGGCGGTTCAAGGTATGGTCAGAGTCTGCCAAGCAGAATAGGATGCATGTGCGTAATTATTAAAGTGCCAATGTACTGCTTGGGCCATTGCTTAATCCTGAAGATGAAAAGACGGCGAAGCTAGGAAGACAAGCGGAGATGAAGAGGGGTAAAGACAATGGAAACTAGCCGGGAATTATATCGGCTTTAATGGTCCTGTTTGCAAAATGCCATGTCCTTTGTCATCATGTCGCCGTGGCGCAGCGCTGTTGTTGGTTGGTTGGCTGGTTGGTTGGTGTATCGGGCGCGCATCAGCTTACTGTATCTTTGGTGATTTCGTCTCACTAGCATACGAATAGATAGGTCTACTCGGAAGAAGCGGTGCCGAGAGGCGGTGACACGCATAAAAGGGCCCGAAAGGAAAATAACCAGAGAAAATAAAGTCGGTATTATAGGAAGTTTGCAAATTGGGAGAAAGAACCGATTGTCCTTCATCACATTGCGAAACGTTGTTACGTACAGGTTAAGCCACAGCACGAGCAGTGTTGACTTGCAGCAGCGTACAGCGCTGTCGTGTGTGATTTGTGCTGCTAGTTTGCCCTGTGCGCAGCCCCCAGCAGCCTGAGCGGAATGAGTTACTACACTGAGCCTAGCGCAACAGCCCACCCCTGCACGGCAGCCACCCTCTTTGGGAGAGCGCCCGATGTGCAATCTGGCTGGTGTGTGTCCGTTCAGTGCGCGATGAACCGCTAACTTCCAGCACATCCCCCCCCGCAGCACCCACTGTATTTCAGATGCCCCGTCCGCTATCACAGTGCATCTACAGCGCCTTGCGACCCTTTAGCTTTAGCGCCAACGCCTCCTGCCGCCAGCGGGAAAGGGGCCCCGATTAAGACAGACGGGCACTGCCAACTGGGCACCCGCCAGCTGCCAACCGCCAACTACAAACATCACCAGCATCTAGCAAATGCACAAGTACACGTAAAAAAAAAAAAAAAAAAGTACAAACCACATCCCCATTGCATCGTAAAAGCCTCCGCCCGCAGACGCGTCACGCTGCCCACAAAAAAACGAACCAGTCATCTCTCCACCAACGCCTGCACAAGACCCTCGCAAGCTTCGCCCACCCAGATCGCCACTGTGACACGGCTACCGGCATCAGCACAGAGGGCCTGTAAGCACAGCGGCATCCTGAGCTGGGCCCTTGTTTCTCACTCATCCATTTTGCAAATTACATGCGTGCTTTTGTTTCGTTTGCTGCCAGATCTTGCTGAATCGCAGTTCCATCAGCCGCTCAGCTTTCTCCAACCAACCCCCAACTCTCATCATACAAAACAGACCCCAAGTCCCCTCCTCCCCCCTCTCCTCTTTCTTCGCTTCCTAGCTTCGTCTTTTTATTTTCCTGCAGCCACTGCATAACTCTTAATCTCCTGCCACTAGCGCCCCCCCGTGTCCCGTCGCATCGGTCCTTTCCAATTTGCTGCAACGCTACTACGTACTAGTCACCAAGGATTGCCGTTCGTTGGTCGTGCCCCGAGCGTCCTGCGCCAACGCGAATCTTCACCAACCACGCCCTCTCAAAACCTGGGGGTGGCGCCGCCTCGCCTCGGCTCAGAACCTTTTCGCGGACAAAGATACCCAGTCTGTCAACGCCATCTTGCTAGCCTGATTCTGTTGGTTGTCTGTATATACAGCGAGGAAGGAACCAGTTTGTCAAGCTGGCCTTGACTTCCATCATCGCATCAGCATAAACACACGTACATACGCGCGCACACAGATTAAAAAACGACACCATGTCGGAAGACTTACACAGGGAAGCCCGTCGCAAGCAGCGAGACGCGGCTCGCACACACGCCAAAGAAAACGCCCTGTCCAAGGACGAGCACAGCGAGCTCTCCCTCTGGGCTGCCATCAAGAAATGGAACCGCATCTTCTGGTTCTGCTTGGGTCTCTCGTCGACAATTATCCTTTACGGTTACGACTATGTCATTATTGCCACAGTTTCGGCTATGCCTAGTTTCCAGTACGTTGCCCGACTACCACCCGCAAGAAATCTTGCAATGCACCTCGAGTTGCTAACATAGATGACCAGATATGACTTTGGCGAGATTTATCAAGGCGAACCTATCATTCCCTCTCTTTGGCTTGGCCTCTGGAGCTTCATTTCCCCTGCTGCTTCCATGCCTGGTGCCATCTTTGGCGGTTGGCTCCAGGATCGCATTGGCCGTCGCTGGTCGATGATCGCCGGAACCATCATCTCTGCCATTGGTGTTGCCATTTGCTATGTCTCTGATCTACCAGATAGCAAAAATGCCCGTCGTGGCACTTTTCTCGGTGGAAAAGCTCTCCTTGGTGGTGCAATTGGAATGATCATGACCATTTGCCAGACTTACATGTCTGAAGTACTGCCACCCCGCCTGCGTGGCTCGCTTCTTGCCTTCTTCCCCATCTTCACCCTTCTCGGCCAACTCATTGGTTCTGGAGTCATCTTTGCAACCATTGACGACGAAAACGGTCACCGCATCGCCTTTGCCTCACAATGGGCCTTCGCCGCGCTTCCTCTCATCATCTCCTTCGTCATTCCCGAAAGCCCAACGTACCTCGTTCGCAAGGGCCGCATCGACGACGCGACCAAGGCTCAGCAACGCCTCGATCCGAAGAACGGCAACGTGGAGCAGGCCATTGCCGTTATCGAAGCCAACATTGAACATGAACGCCAGCAGACCGGTGCTACATACCTTGACTGCTTCAGACGCGTTCACTTCCGCCGCACAAACATCATCCTCTTTGCCAACTGCATGCCCCAGTTCTTCGGTATCACCCTCATTGCATCTGCATCGTACTTTGCTCAGATTCTTGGCATGTCCCCAAACCTAAGCATCCTTGTCCTGCTTCTCGGCATCATCATTGGTCTTATCGCCAACATTGCCAGCATGTGGATTATGTTGCGCTTCGGTAGACGCAACTTGATTGTCGGCAGCTTCGCCGTCCTGACTGGTGTCTGGATCGTCTTTGGTATCGGCGGCACTCTGGCCAGAGATGTCGTTTCACTCAACTCGTAAGCTTTCTTCTTCATTTCGCAGACATCTTATGACCCTTCTAACCTGTTACTAGTATTTGCGCTGTCTTCATGATTGCCGTCACCACTATTGCCAGTCTGACAGTCTGGCCTGCCTCATTCGCCGTATCGTCCGAAACTTCGGCTCTGCACCTTCGTGGCAAGACCCAGGGTCTGGGATGGATGTTTTCAGGCGCTGTAAGCGCCATCTTCGGCTTCGTCCTGCCGTACCTTTACAATCCCGACCAAGTCAACATGCGTGCTAAGATTGGCTTCGTCTTTGCCGGGCTTTGTCTGTTAGCCTGGGCCCTCTCATGGCTCTGGATCCCTGAGATGAAGGGCAGAACACCTGCCGAGATTGATCGCATGTTTGAACTCAAGCTGCCCACTCGCGCCTTTAAGACATGGCATCCCGATGCAACAGACAGGGACGTTTTAGCCGGCAAGGAGACCAACTCCACGGTATGAAGCCTTACTTAACGATAGATATGACTTGCTATTCTTCCGTTTCTTGCCGAAAAATCTATACATATGGCATCTGTTTAGTGTAGTAATTCTTTTTTACATTCTTGAATATAGCGATAGTTTCTTTTTTTTACAATTGGTACACAATTTTGTATCCTGAAATTTTACCGTCCCGATGCTCCTGGAAGCCTGTATCAACATCAGCTAATCCACCAGTATACACTTTGGTATTGTTGGCTTTAATCTTTCCATCACGAATCAGGCTAGGTAGTGCTTTGAAGAAGTCTGCGGAAAGACAGTGATCGTCCTCATTTGCAGGCCAAAAGTGCTCCTTGTACCGGTGATCACTCAAGAATGCCGTCCAAACCAAGACATCCGTCACCTTGGTCTGCTTACTGCATTTGTCTGTAAACACCTTTCCGGGACGAACGGTGCAAAGCGTTCCTCCAGCAGTGGTGATAGCCTCGGAAGCAACCTGAGAGGTGGTTTCACTGCCAATGGTATCAAAGACGTAGCGGAGGTCCGGTGCAGCAGCCTTGATGTCGTCCACCACAGAGTCGCTGCGGTAGTCAAAAACATGCTTAGCACCCACGCTCTTTACCATGTCGAAGTGTTTCGGGCTGCATGTGGCAATTACATCCATTCCGTACAGTTTTGCAATTTGAACCGCGTACAGGCCAACGCTCGCTATCCTAAATGTTAGTATCTTGTTTTGCAGAGCGCTCTTTCTACTACTTACAGCTTCCTCCCCAAACTAAGACCGTTTGGCCCGCACAAGACTTTTGGTCAATAGCAAGCGAACCCTTGGAAAACAGCGCCAGCAGCGAGGTGCATGCTGCCAGCGGCACCGTGGCCATCTGATCAGGCGTTGCTCCCTCTGGCACACGGAAGCATATCTTTTCGTCGGCAATCGTGTATTCGCTGTATGCACCGATACCTTTGACTTCGCCTCCCCAGATCAAGCCGGCAATAGTGTCCCCGACAGCGACTCGAGTTACGTTGGCGCCAATCTTGTCGACAGTGCCTACAAAGTCGCAGCCGAGGACGGTCCCGTTGCCAAAGGCCTTGATATCAAAACATTGGACTATAATAATATTATTACAACTGAATAAGTAACTGTAGATATTGCATAAGTACCGTCTGTTGGGTTCTGCGCAACGTGCGAAACCTTGACGAGCACTTGGAGAGCAGCTGGCTCTGGTGTCGGGATTTGTTGCTTTACATGTGTGGATTTGTCGTTGATCTCGTGAATCACGAGGGCTTCACATGTTGTGGGAGCCATTGTGAGATTCTGGGTCTTAATTTATGGCCAAGAATGTTAATTGGAAGAATACGGAATAGTATACGCTGGTGCTGTGTTGGTGTTTATAGCCGACTAGTGAAGGTGGGGGCGGCCAACCACCACTGATGTCATGGAGGGAGCAGGCGTCTCGACGGGACAAAGACCGCGAACCCAGCGCGGGTTTAATCCGGGTCTAAGAAGGTTTATATTGTATATTGTTATTTCCTTTTTTTAATTTGATTCATATCAACTAGATTCTTCTAAATTAAAATAAGGGTTGACGTAAATAAGACTCTCTCCGCTACTCCGGCTTTCTACCACAAATAAAGAGTGTCATCACGTATGCATGCATCCCACCCCGGATTTCAGCTTCTACATTGTCTCCTAGCTTTGCAATATCAGCTTCAGACAAACCTGCTGCTGCCAGACTCTTCGACAATGCTCCTCTAACGACGCTGAGTACGTTCGCTTCTCCCATGTGCCCAATCTCTTTCATTTGCGGGTCCTTTGGCCACGAACCAACCGGATAACCTGACTTGACCTCTTGAATGTCAACAAACCCGACCTTTTCCATGAGCGGCTTTAACTTGGGCGTCACGTCATTTTCAATCCCAATGGTGGCAAGCCCCTTCCCCACAAGCTGCAAGAACCTTTCGTACTGTGTGCCAACTGTCGTGCCGTCTTGGGAGCAGGCAACAGGAGGCAGCTCTTGGAACTCGACCCATCCGCCGGGAGTCAACTGGTTATAGATTTTTCGAAGCACCGCCTCCAAGTTTTTGAACCAGATAGCTACTAGACGAGCATGGATAAAGTCAAACTGTGGGTGATGAGACCAATTGTCCCGTTCAGCGTCTTCCTGAAGGAAGCTGGCGTTGGGAGCGGCGTTGGGGGGTTGGATCGCTGACAAGTCGGTTCCAACCACTTTTGCATCCGGATGCTCGTTTGCAAATTCAAGCGCCCAGATTCCGGTTCCAGTGGCAATGTCCATCACACTCTTTGGATTCTGGATAGGCGCCACATAAAGTCTGTTGCCAATCATGCGACGGCAAAGAATGTGTTGCAGGTCGAGGCGGCTTTGCTCCTCGCCATCATTTGGCAGTGCGTAGGTGGAAGATGGATTGTAGCCCTGATAGATCCGTCCATTCTCCGAGATGCCCGAGCTATCTGCAATATTAGATGTCGATGGAATAGCCCCGTTACTATGAGAGACACTAGTGTCAACTTCGATTTTAAAGGGAATCGGCACGCCAGCTTCGGAGGTTGCCATGATGAGGACGAGTGTGTATGCGTAGAGTTGCGTTGTATTGGTTTCTGTTATGAAGATCCGAAGGAAGAACCCTGTTCTACTCTTATAGGAAGGTCCATACCTGCTTTCTGCTGTAGGAGCGGTCAGGCTGGCAATGTGAGGGAACAATGTAACCGAGCTAGCGCGAAGGATGTTGTCCATTTCCGGTATGATGTGCACAACCATGGAGAGCCTCGCGAAACGCAGAACAGGTGGCGCGGGTATGCAAGCAACTAAATTTACTAGTGCAATAGTAAAATAGACCCTTTTAACAACAGTTACAAACTCAATAGTCTCGGTCAACTACAACTCCATGTTGCATCGCTCTTGCGCCTTTATTTATCTGCCTCTGAAATAGAGATCATCTGGAATTGATTCTGCACACTCGAAGATTTTGTCATCGGCACAACAGGGCTTACAACACAGGCAATATATACATGGAAATGGGATAGGAGTAAAGATTGGCTTGCTGAGTCTTGGTGAATCATAATCATCATCTAATCTGATTTCTCGGCCCGGCTCTTGTTGGTGCGGATTCTCTCCAGCTCGCCGTCCTTGAATCCACCTGTTCTGCTCAAGTGTCGTACGAGGCCATCTTCGCCCTCTTCATGGTCAGCGTGACCGGCACTGATGTTAGCCAGGCTGTCGCGCATGAGGAATTCGTAGTAGGCCGTGCCAAACAAGGTGGCCGGGATACTGACAAAGATGGCAATGGGTGAGTAATTCATGTAGGTGAAAGCTTCTCTTCCGTAGAAAATAGCACCAACCATACGTGTACCCAAGTCCTTGGCCATGTTCAAGCTGAGGGTCAGATCAGCCAGACCCCAGATGATGGCAGAGTATGCAAGGCCAATAGCGAATGGTGCACCGGAAGGAGAAACGAACGGGTTGGCAGGATCAATGCAAGCCCAAATGACAATGGAGACGAAAGCACCCGCAAAGAACTCGACCATGAAGACGTAGCCCAAGTTTGTTTGGTTAGCTCCGGGGAGGGTGCAAAAGATACTGGCTGGGTTTCCATTGGCAACAAGCGGGTGGCCAGCAGCAATCAATTTGGCATCCACAGCCTTGATTTCTGTCCAGTACATGCCTGCAACCACGAGACCAGCAATGAAGGCGCCCAGGATTTGACTTAGAATGTACTGTGGCACCTTTTTCCAAGGAAATCCTTGCCAAAATGCGAGCGCAATCGTTATGCAAGGGTTGAAGTGGCCACCCGAGGTCGAAGCGCAGGTTAAAATGGCAAAGGCAATACCCATTCCAAAGCACCAGCCGGTCTGGAAGAAGCTACCAAAGACGGTAACCGGTAGCGCAGGGTTGCCAGCGTTGAGCAGAAGCATAGCTACTGATGTGATGCCAGGAAAGGTGTAGAAGAAGACGCCTGTGGCCTCGGCCAGACACTCTCGAAACCAGCGAGGACGAGCATGTTCGAAATCTAGCTTTCGCTGGGAGACGGGTTTCGGGGCGACGACGTGTCTGGCGACATGACGCTGGACAACTTCGGTAACACCGAGTTCCACTAGAGACGATACGGGTCAGTCATCTTGATTTCAAGTTTATCTGGGGAAGTGGAGAAAGCTGCTGCACTCGGGAACATTGGGTATTCTGGGTAAGGGTTTTCCATCTTGTTGACGATGTCAATCGGCCGACTTACAGTCATGAGTGTGGAGACGGGTTAGATCTGAAGACGACATTGTCGCAGTGGAGTCTGTAGATTTCTTGTTCAAGCAGGTCGTTTAGAGGTTGGTCGAGCCTAATGCAACGTTGAACAGGCAATGGGAAAGGGGACAAGTTGGAAAACACAAAGTCCGGGGAAGGAACGGGGATTTGGAAGATATTTAAGACTCCATATTCTCCGGAGCGGAGCGCGTGGGAACCGATGGCGGTTGTGGGGGAGCAGCTTTTTGGAGCAGTCTAGAGCGAGCGCCGTCGCAATGTATGAATTACCCCAGATTTGGTCATGGTTGGGTCCTTGGTAGTGTGTTCCTCCGAGCGGTAGCAGTGCGGTGAGCGCTCTCCAAGGCAGGGGGGCGTATTGGTTCTTCCGTTCAGGCTAGCTAGACTGGAGGGGGGGACAACCCGTTGATGGGCTCATGTTTGGGTCCAAGGGCGGGGGCATAAGCGTGGGGTTCAAGAGCCTCGTTGGTGGTGAGCTAGGAACGGAAGAATAGGAGTTTTTGTGAGAAAAGCAGGCTGGCGCTGACACTTGGCCGAAGCTCATCCGAAGCCCTGTTGTGTGGTGGTGGGTGCGGACCGGAGATGGCTTGGGACGGTTTGGGTTAGATTGGAAGAGGGAAGCGAGCGAGGCGTCGTGTTATTTCCCGGAGGCTTACCGATGGATGGGCTGGGCGATGGGATGCCAAGAGCGAGACGGTGCCTGCATTTTTGTACAAATTATTTTCTCTATCAAGGCAATTGTGGTATAGTGTAGGTGAGTTTGTACGCGTAGTTATCACCAACTGTCAAATGGAGGGGAAAAAGAAGGTGCGAGAAGCAGCAGACGACCCAACACAACCCAACCCCAGACCACCCACTAAGAAAAAGAGTCACTGCGGGGGTGGTACAGATGGCAGCAAGCAAAGCGCGGGGGAAGGAGCAGGGAACAGTGGAGGCGGTGCCACTAAAACCACAACAATGATGCGCTGGGTGCAGTGCAGGGTGGAGCCAGGCTGCTACAGTTAGTGGTCTTTTAGCGGATTTCAGTGGGGGAACTTGCCCCAGGAAATACAGCGGGTTAGGGGACCGGGGAGCATCACCAGACAGCTGTGGAGAGAGACGGAGGCAACAAAGCGTGCAGACAGAAAAAAAGTGGTGGTGGTGGGTAGCTTAATTTATGCTTGTCTATATTCTTTAAATCTCCGTTTTCTTTTTCGTCTTTTATTCCTTCGTTCTTCTATTTTTGTAATTACAGTTGGATATTTTTTTTGGTGCAGGTTGATTTGCCTCTCTTCTGCAAATACTGTCTCCCATCCATTCTTTCCCCAAATGACTCCAATAACGCCCGGATAACACGGCGCGCCCGTCTCGGAGCCACAAGCGCCATCCATCATGGCTTGAAACCAGACATAGACCAACTGACCAACCAGAGGCTTTACTTGCCTCTGCCAAACCTCGGTCGAAAAATCCCGTCGCACTCCACCGTACCAATATTACTCCCACAAAGACAGATGCTAAGCCCCCAACGTCTCGTCCCACGTTGTGACTAGGCAACACGCTTTCTCAGTAACCGGCATCGTCTTGGTCAAACCCGGCAATTGAAGCCTCAGATGGAAAGAAGTCCGTCCGTCCACATCACGGAACATCACGGACCAAGACAGACAGCCACAGTTGGCAAGTAAACCATCAGCCGATGAGGCTCTGCAGCTGTTTACATGGCCAGATGCTGTTTTGTGGGCAAGCATACACACTATTGAGTTGCTGCCCTACTCGCGGAGAGATGCCGTATTGGGCAATAATACTGGCTATGTTTGCTATAGCTTGTTGGCTCCCCCGCTCCGTGGAGCAAATACGCGGGACGAACCGCACCCATGCAAAAACGGTAACCAAATAATGCAACAATATACGGCAAAAGCCAAAATGACAAATACACCTCTCAAGATATTATCCTCTACGCAGCCTACGGCAGAACATTTCCTCATTATTGCGACATAGGGCCACGCCGTTATGAACCAACATGAGGATGCAATGTAACCCTCAGTGCAGTGAGCTCAAGAAGCTACAGCCAAGTTAGCGTCGCGCCGCCTTCACCTACTAACAACACAAACCCAACACAGTTGCAGCTCCCAAACGTAAACTTTGCTCTTACTTGCTCTTCATCACCACGTCCCCGTCCTCCTCCGCCCCTCCACTCCTCTCCTCCGCCGCTTCCTGCCTTGCGCTACGCCACCATTGCTAGTTTTCTCGGATTTAGTCTTTGTTGCGTAGCCGCTGCCGGAGCTCCGTCCTATCCATTTACGACTTGTCCTTGTCGAGGATGTCCTCCGCACCGTGGGCTATGACGCATCTCCTGGTACTGCCAAAGGTCCCGGTGAGAGCGTGTGTAAGATAAGGCCCTTCCAATCAAGGCTTGCCTGCTACATTGGTAAAAGAGAGGTCCCCATGGCTATTATCCGTAAGATGCTAGGCTAAAATGCTATACTCTGGCCTTTGTATCAACAAATTACTGTACAAGTCACGGGTAGCCATCCCATACTGCAGGCTCGCCTACCAGTGGATTTCTTTGCCACTTGTGCTAACCTTCATAATTTCCACTGTTGCTTCCATGCTGCGCATATTTATCCCAGAAAATGTGACTGGACATACACCATAGTTTCGGTGACGAAAGATTGCCCAGGATGGATAAAAGTGCATCTTTCTCACCTATCTATCCCACCGCTTTCCAATTTCCGCAGATCAGTTGAGAACCTGTTTCTTGTATGCTCTAATTAACTCAATTTCATGTAAATGATTAATTTACAATTTTTAATAAAATAATAATGTAGCGTGTCGTTGTAATTCGCACAAGCCACAGCAGCTGATGAGTCAGCAGAAATTTTGAGCCACACTGCCCCTAAGTTTTCAGGCACGTGTGGCGCCTCCCATTTCGAAAAATCTCTAGGCGACCTGATTGCTGCCAGCGCTACTCACCAACAACGCCATCCGCCGCCTCCCCTCACCCAATATCCTCAATTGCCCCCCTCTACCGCGATACCTGCTATTATCAGGTATCAGGAAACCGGCAATGAGCATCGCACGACCTGCGCGCAGCCTCGTGGGCAGATGCCTGGCCAATGGCCGCGCCGCTGCCCCCGTGGTCTCGTGTCAACAATTTCACAGCTCGGCGCCCAATTCGAAAGGCAAATACCGATTTCAAAATGTCTCTGCTGAGCAATTGGGCTTGACGGATGCCAAGAAGATGGCCAAGTTCCAGAAGGAAAAGTTCCCCGAATACACAAAGGCTGAGCTGACGCAGCTTGCCGCGAAATACACCCCCGAGCAATTAGAAGCCATCAAGGCCGCCGAGGCCGCCATTGACACACAAGACATCATCGTTCAGGGCCGCCTGCGCGACGATGCCTACCGCCCCGAATACCTCGACGACTACGCCAAGCTGGATCCCCGCTTCGATGTCAAGCCCGAGGTTGTCAGCAAGCCCCGTGAGCCCGAATACCTCGACGAGAGCGCCTGGGTCGACCAGTACGCCGCAAAGCTTGTCAGCGCGACAGAGAAGAGCACAAATACGCAATTGACGCGCGCCATGGCCCGTGCCCTGCGCCGGGTCAAGGCTAGTGCTGGCGAGGAGATGATTGATCTGACGGTCGAGGAGCTTGACGATCTCGAGCAGGACCCCGACGCTCTCGCCAGATACCTTGCCGAGGCCGAGATTCCCGACAAGAAGCTGGACCCCAAGGCAGCTAGCGAGGCCAGCTTCCTGACACGAGCACAGGCCCTGAAGCTCGAGGACGCCATTAACGCCGAGTGGGAAAAGGAGCTGGACAGCATCTCCAAGATGGAGGGCACTGCCGACATTGCGCCGTCCACCGTTTCCCTCCTCGAAGGTACCTCCATGGACAACACAGACGGCGCTTCTGCTCTTGCTCCTGAGCTGGGCAAGATCCCCGGCGTTGTTGGCCACTACAAGTCCGCTGATGCTGCTGACAACGGTGCCGACCAGATGAAGTACAAGGAGGTCCAGCGCTTAACAGGACTCTCCTACGACGAAATTATCTCGCTCTACCGCAAGGTCCTAGTCGTGCGTTTCGTCACCAACCAGACACGTCTGGGTAAGGTCCGAAGCACCGCTGCCGTCGCTATTGCTGGCAATGGCAACGGCCGCCTTGGTCTCGGCTTCGCCAAGTCCACTGAGTCTGGCATCGCCGCTTCCACCGCCGAACTGCTTGCTATTCGCAACATGAAGCCCATCCGCCGTTACGAGGACCGCACTATTTACGGAAACGTCAAGGCGAAGATCTCAGGCACAGTTGTCGAGCTCTTCTCTCGTCCACCAGGTAAGAACAGAACACTACAGATACCGTCCCCTCCCTTTGCTAACATGTGCCGCCTGCTAGGATTCGGTCTTCGCGTCCCCCATCGTTTGTTTGAAATGTGCCGTGCCGCCGGTATCCACGACATTGCCGCTCGTATACCCCGATCCAAGAGCCCTCTCAACACCGTCAAGGCCACGTACGAGGCCCTCATGAACCAGCCCGACCCTGAGCAGATTGCCATCGGCCGCGGCAAGAAGCTTGTTGATGCGCGCAAGGTATACTACGGAGGAGCTGTACATTAAATAAAAGGCTGGAGAGGTTGTTTTGGAGAAGCAAAAGCTACATACCACACAAGCGGTGTACAATGTACTTGTATCATATTCATTCCGTTGTATTAATGCATATCAACATCTGTCATGTCTGACAATTCAGCACTCCGAATTCCCTATAAAGAAATCAAAATGTCCAACAAGATATATACCAAAATAAAAGACCACAATCATAAATCGTACACTTGTCTGGGGTATAACACAAGGCTTAATCAATACTCCATCGTCTCGTCCAAGGCCAACTCGTCCTCTACGTCGACGCCTTCGTTGCCGGCACCGCCATCGCCGCCAGCGCCCCAGTCAATTTCCTGCTGTAATACGATGCTGTAGACACTTGCTTTCAGCAATGTAAATGCCAAACTTGTTTTTCGTTCGAGGTCCCGCAAGCCGTCGAGGATGTCTGTGGATGGGTTGGACGCGAGGTGATCTAGCAGGCTGGCGAGCTATAGAAAGAGTGACAAGTTAGCATACGTAATAAATAGGTTGAATATATTTTCTGCGCTGATTCCCAATAAGAAATCTCTCTTCCATATGCCGCTCGCTGTACCTGGTACGTGGCAGAAAGCTGATATTTGCAAAACGGGCACAACGCGTCAAGCTGCTGTCGCGACTAACCTTCTTCATGTTCGTCGCCAGGCGATCGTATTCGTCCAAAACTTCTTGCTGAAGCGGTGTCAATTCTTCTTCTGCCAAATGATCCGCCATTTTGATCGGTTTCTCTGTCAACAAATCCAGAGTCGGGATGAACAGAGTGGTGTTGAAGGGTTGATGAACGTGTACAGTGGAGGTTCAAGGTGTCGCGGGGCACGCGGTCCACCCACCACGCCGAGCGGTGCAGACGCCTACAGTATAGAAATGAGAACGCCAGCCGTAATACGCCTACGTCACTGCAATCATTTACTCTCATGTTCAAGAAAAGGTTAATTGATAAATACAAAACAATATAGATAAATACGTCCATGTCCATGATAAACACTCCTTGTCAAGAAAAAAACAGAATCAAGGAAACGGACCAATGATCCAAACAAAAAGTGGTAGATCCAACCACAAAAACCCGCTCAAAAACAAAATATCACACGCATAATCCATACATCGTCAGCCTCTTTAGGCAGAAACCAAAAGGAGGAATCTCAAGCTTAATGCAAGACAGTCGTATCCTCCTCCGCTCCGCCGTAGGAGCTTCTCTCACCAACCGCACTCTCCGTCCATACGCTCGTCGCGTCATCATAATCATATCCAATATCAGACTCCGTATAGTCGCTTGCTGAGATAATGGTTGTTCCTGCGCTAGCTCGTCTCATAGTATCAGCATTGCTACGGGCATCTTCATTGTCATCATCGGCCAGCGAAGAGCCAATGGCGGAGTAGTTGTCGCTTTGGATGTCGGAAAGCCTCGTAAGCTCTCCAGGAGTAAGTGGTGTTCTTGGTGTGCTAGCAGCCATAGACTCCTCGTCCTCTTCAAGCGTCTCGCCTATCGCCATGTTTTCCTTGTCCTCAATTCTAGTCTTGCTGAGAGCACCGCCCCAGCTGCGCTTGCGAAGAGGGTTTCCTGCTGGAGTGCGGACACTCTGGCTTCGCTTAACGGCTGCTTGCGACATGCTGCTGTTCATCTGGCTGAGCGATGCAATACGTCGCGCAGCACCGTTTTGAGCAGACGGGACGATACTTCGTCTTGTCGATAAGGCCATGCTAACTGCGGGTCTTGGCGACGACTTCGCCAAATCAGACTCTTGCATATTAGGCTTCTTGACTCGCTTGCGGTTCATGTTGTCGCGGCTTCCGTTGGACTTGCCCATAAGCAAAACGCGAGAATGGTCCATGACTCCTTCGACAATGCGACGCTCCAGGCGCTCAGCACGAGCCTCCATCTCCGCCAATTCCTCACGACGTAAACGCAGTGCGGTCTCAAGAGAAGACACATCGCCAGTAAGTCTGGTCTTCTGACGGATCAGGCTCTCCTGCTCATTGCGAAGGTTCATAACGCTAGTGCGTAAGCGCTCATCCTCCTCGTGCAGGCTGAGGACAGCGGCTTCAGCATGGTCCTTTTCGGCCAACTTTCGCTCGAGGGCGAGCTCTGTCTCATGCAGAGTTCGCTCTCGGTCTTCGTCGGCGTTTGCAATGCGCTGTGTTTGTGTCGACATGAAATCAGACATTTGCGTGGCTGTCTCCATAACGGAATCGTGAACCTTCTCGAGAGTTGCGAGGCGAGCAAAGGCTTCAGTAGTAGAGGCAGAGTGATCGGCGAGCTTGTCAAGCTTCTCGTGGATAGCTGTGTCGGTGTATCTTTGCTCCAGGCGATCGAGCTTCTCTTTAACTTCGGAATCATCGTATCTTTGATCGATAAGGCGACTCAATTGTTCGCGTACAGCAGCATCGTCGTATTTCGTAGGAGGCGCCGCCAGCATGGCTTGCTCCTTTGGTTGTTGTTCAACGATCTTCTCTTGAATATCGCTTACAGACGTCTTGGAGTGCTCAAAGTGTTCGCCGACAAGAAGCAAGATATCCTTGACCGCCTCCAGGATTTGAGGCTGGAAGTCTTTGATATCTCCCTGCAAAGCCTCCACAGCAGAGACGGCTTGCATAACATGATCTCGAGTAAGCTGGTGCTCTGTTTGACCTTCTGCGCGGGATTCGTCTGACTTGGATGAGAGGTCCTCGACTTTTTCGAAAACAGTCTTGGACGCCTCTTCCATCTTCTCCAGGGACTCTGTGACTGTAGAGCCGAGCGTATCAATGAGGATCTTCAAGTCATCAGACACAGCCTTGGCTGACATGACCGCAGACTCGATTTCAAGATCACGAGCTTCGCCAGCCTTGCTTTTCTCGTCCACATTGGCCTGGAATTCGTCATACTTTTCAACCAAGGCGGCGATCTTCTCTTCAATTTTAGCGGCCATGTTGTCGGTAGCTTCTTGGAACTTCTCATCAGACTCAATGCGAGAACCAGCAGCAATTTCCTTGGAAACTTCGAATTCGTTCTTCATCGTATCGAACATTTCCTTGAGATCTTGGCCAACGTTTTCGTTTTTATCCATCTTCTCACCCATTGCCTCAAGCAGTTTGCCCAGAGCTTCAACGCCGGTTGAGCCGTCGTCAAGCTTCGTGTGAACTGCCTCTTGAAACTCTTCAAGAAAAGTCTTGACTTCTGTGACACGTTCGTTCAAGCCGAGCATCTCAAGCTGACGCTCTTCGTTGGACTTGGCATTTGTCTCGCCGTGGGTTTCGATGTGTTCCTTGGTCTCGCGCAAAAGAGTCTCAATGTTTGCAATGTCATCCTTGTTGGAGACGGTGGCAAAGTCCATATCTGCAAGATTATCAAGAGCAGAGCGGATTTCCAAAACGCGAGCTTCAATAGCCTCGACATCGGTCTTGGTAACCTTCTCGGCCCCATCTTCATCTCTGGCGCTGTTCTCTTTGAGCTCGTCGATTCCAATAATAACTTGAGCAATGAGCTCTTCCAAGGCTCCAACATCTTCCTTTCGCGTGGTTGACTCCAGACGCTCCGACATGGCCCCAACAGCTTCCTTGTGGTCAGTAGCCATAGCGAGAAGAGTATCAAGGTGCTCCTTGCGAACAGCTTGGTCACCTTCAATGAGGTCATCGAGGCGGTCCTTGGTGTTGCGCAGAATGGTCTCAATCGCTTGAACATCATCACGAGTGGCGTTGTCACCTTCGCTGGTGCTCTCACCGCCGACGCCGCGGGCCGTAGTTTGCTCGCGTGAACCAATTTCGTGTACACCATTCTGGACATCCCTGATCATCTCTTCTAAGCGTGCAAGATCATCCCGCTGAACTGGTTCAGACTCGGGCTCCATTGCTTCAACCTTAATGCGCAGTTGGGTAATGAGCACTTCCAAGTTCTTGATATCGTCATGCTTAGCAGTGTCGAGGGGAATAATGGCAGTATCCATATTTTTCTCTTCGGCCGGAGCGACCGCCGTCATAGCACGCTCGTTGTTGTCGCGCAGAGTCTCGATATCGGATCGAACTGAGTCAAGCCCAGATCTAATGGTATCGATGATTTCATCATTGGCCGTCAAATCTACGGGCTTATTAGTGATTCTGTCAATACCGGCACGGATATCGTTGAGACCATCGTTGAGAGCATCCAAAAGCTCTCCGGTCTCAGGTCTGGGGCGAAGCAGATCTTGTCGTAAGCTATTAAGGCCGTTTTGGAGCGTTTCAAGGAGCTCCTGGCTTGAGCCAGAGGCAGCCTGTGGCACAGCGGCCACCATCGACGTATTAACCATTTCGCGAATGCCTTCTAGCTCAGTTCGAAGCTGTTCTCGTGATGACTCAGACGAGCCAGCAATCAAACTACCAATCTCCTCCTTGAATTCATCAAAATGCTGTGATAGCTGCTCAGCCATGTCTTCGCCTCCAGAGGTGACACTACCTGCACGATCAACGTAGCTTTCAATAGCAGCACGCAGGTTTTCAAGGCCTTCTTTGGTGCCATCTAGAATATGTTCCGTGTCCCTGCTAGTTGCGGCTATGTTGTCTCGAGCTTCCTCCGATGCGGCGCGGAACTCCAATTTCATATATTCCATGATATCCTGAAGTCGGGTCATGATTTCTTCGTTGTCTTCGCCAGAGAGGCCGCCACGAGGCATATCAAAGTCTCGCAAGCCCTCCTTGACGGCATGAATCATGTGCTCTCTGTTCATATCATTGCCAATGGCAGCAGCAGAAACTGGGAATTCGAATTCTTCCAGACAGTCGCGAACGGCCTCAATAATTTCATCGCGGGAAAGGCTAGCGGCAGTATCGACTTGTGGTGGAACAAAGTGCTTCAAGCCCTCCACCACGGCAGTAAAAACCTCTTCTCGAGTCGCAGCTTCGGGCTGCTCATCGCGAGGCTGGTAATCTTGTAGTCCCTCTTTGAGGCAGGCCATAATTTCGTCACGCTCGAGACTAGGATGTTGTGCTTCAACTTCGGGCTTGTAAGACTCCCATGCTTCGCGGACTGCTTCGACGACATCTTCACGGCTGAGATCTGGCATATCATCGCGGGACGCCTCGTTGTCGCGTAGCGCCGCTCGCATGGCATTGTAAATTTCTTGGTAGTCAACAGCGGTCTTTTGTGACATTGAGGATGATGTTGACTGACGTCGATGCTCCTTTAGAACATGGTTTAGCTGTTCCTTCATCTGCTCCAATCCCTCGTCAATAACGCGTGAAACATCATCTTTACGCTGGACGACATCATCGAGTTCTGGCTGGGCTCGTTCCACGCCTTCGAGGCGCTTGGCCAGCTCTCGGCCCATGCCCAAGACTTCGCCTCGAAGCTCACGCACAAGGGCTTTCACTTCAGCGGTCATGCCACCGCCTTGAGAGACGCTGTCCTTGACGGAGCGAATGATACTGATCATATCTTCATTGACAAGCTCTGAACCACGCGACGGTGACGCTGTCATAGATTTGCGGTTGTCGGCGTTATTCAAGAGGCGCTCCATACGCTGGGTCATAGGGCCGGCTCGGGTACTGACTTCGAAGCCAGCATTGCTGGTACTGTCGTCGAAGCTCAAGGCTCTACCTCGTTCGACGGCACTGACGGCAACAAGGGCATTTGATTGTTGAGATTTGACAAACTGTGCGAGCTCGTCAATCTTAGTAGCGGTAGCCATGCCTGAAACTTGTTTCGATAGCTGTGAGAGGAGCTTGACGAGAGAAGCTTCTCCGTCTTTCGTACCTAAACCATTGAGAATGGTCTCCAACAGAGCGATTGTAGCAGTATTATCGGTTCCATCTAAAGATGGTGTATCATCCGACTCAGGCGTAGGTGCCCTGTTAAAGGCCCTCGATGTCGACCCATTGTGAGGCTTGTTGTCGATCAGAAGAGTACTGAGAGTATCCCTGACAGAGAGTCGTTGGTTTTGGTCATTTACTTGGCCAACCAAATCTCTGAGACTCTTTCGAATGTCCTCATCCCTAGTGTTTGTAGCCTTCTTCAGACTGAGAAGATCAGTAGCGTTGTCGCGACTACGGCGACTGAGAGCGGCAATCTCTTTCTGAAGAGTTAGAGCAATGGTCGTGAGGCTCTGCAACTGTGATCCAAGCCCATCAAGAGTGTGATTAGACTTTGATTGAGCATTGGTGATATCGCTGAGCGGCGCTTCAATAGCTTTTGGGGGGTTGCTTGGAGGCATGTTTTGCAACGCAAGCATAGTAGAGGATTGAGGAGGTGTGTTTTCGCCGAGGATGCTCTCTGTGGGCATGCGTCGGGCGGTTGGGCGAAGAATAGGAGTTAGAGTCGGCCCAGGTCCCAAACCATTACCAAAGTCCTTGGTAGGGGACCTCGGGTCGTTTGGCGTAGCCGATGTTGTGGGAGTTGTCGGACGGCTATTAGAGCCTTCAATTATCGAGCCGAGGTCGCGAACGTTTCCTGGCTGCAGCGAAAGCAAGCGGCGGTGTGACGACGTTCTAACAACAGATCGCTCTGGTGATGGGTCGTTGGTGCGCTTGGTTGGAGAAGGGCAGCTTTCGCGAACTCGCTCGCTAAGGGCGGCGTGGGCTGACTGGATGGCGCTGGAGGTTCCGACTCGTGATGTAAGACTGGGAGACTGAGGATTGAGTGGAAGCGGAGGAGGAGCTCGCTCAGGATCTGAGCTATCCCACCTGCTTCTTGTTAGTCGCCGCCAAAAGGCCATGAGGGTGTGAAGAGTGCAACATACATGGGAACGAGAGCCCTGATCTTGAGGTCTGAAGAGGTAGAGCTCTGGTGTCTCACATGACGCTCTACCTCTTTGGAGGCATCTCTCTCGGAGGGAGACATTGGGTTCATGTTGTGGAATGTAGATGCGTGGAGGGAAGAATGCGGGCAGCGCCGCTCCACTGTTTATATGGGAGAATCAGACCGTGGCTTAAACGATGCTGATATAGAAGCAAAAAAAAAAGTACGAGCAAGCCTAAAAGGACAGGACTTGCTGCTCGCGTAATAGATAAAAAGTAGCAAAATTTGCCTGGTGTTTAGAAAAGACGTCACAAGGGGGGAATAAGGTGGTGATGAGCATCCCAGGTGGTTTTCAGGTGACAGCTGGCTAGGGCCTTTGTTTGTTTCCCGCTGCGGGACTCGCACATGTTGCCCGGGTAACAGCTCGCCAGCGCAACCATGGTTCAGTGTGGGCAGACGCGTGCACCCTTGTTTAATGAGAAGGACACGCGACCAAGACAATGGGCACCAAATGCCTGTGAGGTATATTTTTATAATTTTATCGATTGTTACATAGCGATTATTATAGCGTGGTAAAAAAGCGTTACAGCCGTCAAGGGGTATCGAGATGTTCGGCACGTGCAGCCGACAGTCAATCAAAAGCGAGAGAACCCTCAAATGCAGTAGGCTTGTAGCCTAGCTTTACATTTACGCATCAGACACAGAGAAGTAGCAATTATAACAGAGTATAGGAGAAAAAAGGAGGAAAATCCAAGAGGCCGGACCCCGGATGGTGCCAGTACCTCTCTACTAAATATTTCTACAGAGAGCTGAGTGCCTTCATCTACTAACACACCGTGAAGGACACAAAAAAAGGATGCCTTCCCGTAAATAAAGAACAAAAAAAGAACCAGGCGCCGTTTCTTTTATACCAAAGCATAGAGTCGACTCATCTCACATTTATTGCTTCTTGAACATGACGTCAAATGCGGGAATCAAGGTCTGAGCCAGCCAGAAGGAGAAGACCAGCTTGGGGCCGGTCATGAGAAGCTTGGGCACAAGGCCCTTGAAGAAGGCAGGGAATCCCTCGTTCTTTGCCATGTTGGTGAGGATTCGGAAGCCGCTCTCCGGGTTGTCGAAGTTACGGTTTTGAATTCGGGTCTTGATGACGTCGAGAGGAGCCGAGACGACAAGCGAGGCGGAGGCACCGGCAATAGAGGCAACAAAGTTTTGGAACCAGCTGGCCTTGTTGTAGTCCTCGAGATGGAAAATGTATTCCTTGGCGAAAGCAGAGCCACCGAAAAGCTGCATTACAACATATTAGTTGATGGCCAGCGCAGAGGGCGGCAATTGTAGTCAACTTACAGCAAACGAGCCAGGAGCGTTACGGGCAGCGGTCCAGCCCCAACCACGGTAGAGACCGAAGCCTTCGTCAGCAACGATCTTGAAGACACCACGGCCACGGAAAGCCTCGGGGTTTGTCTGGCGCTTAATCTTGAGGACATCGAGGGGCAAGAGGACGATTTCACCAATGCCGATCAAACTAGACGATGACGAGTTGGGTTAGCGTAAAGCGCCGCGCAGAGGAATAAAGGTGCGCCTTACCTTCCAGCCGTAGAGTGCATGATAGCCTTGCCAGTCTTCTTACCAAAAGCGTTCTCAAAGTCCTTGCCATAGTGCTGGCCAAGCCAATCACGGGCAACGGGCTGACCGCCGTACTTGTAGATTCGCTGAAGGACCTTGTAACCGGCAGCATAACCCAGACCAGGGAACAAAGAGACAAACTTTCGGCCAACAGTGGCACTAGCATGCTCCTTAAAGATGACTTGGTTCAATTGGCTCGCGCTGGCAACCTGCAACGAACAACCATTAGAATGCGACTTTGCGACGGCGTGCGTCTTGAGCGGGAAATGGTACGTACTCGGCTCTGGTTGCTCATGAGACGCTTAGCAATAGTGTCAACCTAATGGATAGTTAGAAAATTTGTTATACTGTAACAATCGGTCGGGTTTCGTACGGGATGGAAGATGGCGAGCTCGGCAATACCAGCAGAACCTATTCGCAGAGAGTGGTCAGTCACTGGCGTCGCGCAAAATGTCTCTCCTATTTACCTGAGCCGAGAAGGCGAGCCAAGTTGGACTCCTTCTCCTTGCCTGTAGAAGCGGTGGGAGACATGGCTATTAAGAAACAAAACGGTATGAATGCGCTCGGCGTATATGGGAAAACCAAATCTAATGCTGTCTCGTGATGCTTGCTGAGGGAAAAGGAGAGGTCTTTTTTTTCTGTGTGAGAGAGGCCCCAGACTCACAAAATGTCCCGGTTTTTTTCCTAGTCCCTTCTGCCGGCGCGCCTTATCTATGGGTACCGTCTTAGCTTCTGGGGGAGAAACGTGCCGTTCCCGATTTCGGGGAGCCACGCCCGCCCGCTACGGTATGCTAAGGTAGCTTTTAGCGCCCCTGACAGCTGGCAGGTGCTGCTGTGCCTGGCAACTTGACAGCGCTGAGTGCAGCAGCAGCGAGCAGTACCCGGCAAAGTTCAGATTGCTGCGCCGACAACCGAGAGGCCGTTGGTTCTATTTTGCATTAAATTCCCTGTTTGGCTGGCTACGTGCTAGATGATAATTTAGCTCTGTCTCTTTTTTTAACGCCTTTTTCCTGTGTTACGTCATTTAGTGAGCGAAGGACAGAAACAAACCACCATCGTAACACACAAACCTCGCTTGGCTGGTCGTGCTACATCGTCCTTAGAACTGTAGGACACATCTCTCAGCACCATCACTTTCATCAACACCAACCGGTAGCATTTAAGAAACATGTTCCAAACAAGGAATACAATGGATTTTACTCAAAACAATACAGGTTACAGCCGTAGGTGGACCAACACACGCTTCTCAACACGTGACGGGAAATAGCCGCCGAGCTTGCAGCAAACACCCAATGACATGCAAGCGTAGGCGCCGCCATGGATAGGGAAATTTCTCCTGGCCATCCAAAGATTTCTGCAACTATTCCTCAATGAAAAACACAAAAGTTCATTCGCAATGTCACAATCTCAAACACAGCCCACACATGCTGGTGCGGCGAGCGTGACGGTCGTTGGACCACTTACAACGCCGTTCACGCCGTCACCAGAATGCCTTTCTGGGCTAACCATCGCCAGCCGCTACTTAGATCCCAAAGACACCGAGACTTTCTACATAACCATGGGATTTAATATGCTTGCATCTGGAGCAGTGGCCACAAGATGCTTGCCAAGCGCCTATCTATCTGCGCTAAAAGCGGAACAGACTATACAGCCCATAATGTCGCCTGGGTCAATGTGTCCAATCGGTTATGGACCTAGCTGCACAATAGTTGGTAAAGGAGCATCTATTGTGGCCGCTACAGATGTAATTGTTTGGAGTGCTTTGCCAAGTACACAGACGGCAATTGGTTGCTGTCCTAGGTATGTCCCTAAACTGTCGCGAAGTTGCTTCTGCTAATGCGGTGCCTTTAGCCACTATACCTGTGCACAAGATTCATTGTACAAGTGTATCTCAACGCCAGGGATTAGCGAAACAGAAATTTATGCTACCGAAATCGAGACATTATTTACCACCATCACGGGGTCAAAGACGATCGACAACACTATCACCCTCTTTCCTACGGCGAGCAGCTATACGAAGACCTGGGGCGGTAATGTACACATGCAAGCCGACATCAAAGTTATCGCATCTGCATTACAGGTGATATATATTCAAGACGAGAAGCCGCCCTCTCCAAACAACCAGACGACCAATGAGGCCTCAAGCGCTACCCCAACGATCGATGCCAAACCTACTTCACATTTACCTTTATCTATAATAGTTGCCATAGTCGTACCTATTGTAGTATTATCACTAATTTCGATCGGCATCTTGATTTATTGTCGACGGAAAAGGAGAAAGGTGATGGTGTCAAAGCCTGAGGAAGATTTTGGCAAACCGGAGCTGGACAGCGTCAACGCGAGTATACAGAGCCACGAGAAAGATATTAAAGAATTGCATGGAGAAAATATGTATAGTAACTCTCACGGCATACGAGAGCTTGATGGGGAAATGAAAGCTCAAGATCTATACACCAATGAGTTGGACGGGGACCAGCGTTATGAGCTCCATGATGGGAGAGAGTATATTGCAGAGTTAGATGCGACGGAGAATGTTTCGCAAACCCAGCGTATTCCGTGGGCAGACTCATCGCGAGTTGGCGAAGGTGGTTGGATTTAGTTGATCTATGGTTTGAAAATGTCAAATCACATGTTTAAACATCTATGCTATGTCGCGTGAAAAAGTAATTGTACAAATGCAGCTTTAGTCCAGCGCTCGCTTACTTCTAGTAGTCCTGGAATACTGCCGCCATGTCGTCTAGTCTCATCAACTGCCCCAACAGCTTGTCTTGGGCCTCAAGATGTCTGTTATATTTGTTGTAATGCTCCGCCGTCATAACTTCCTCTTCTTTGCCCTTGACGTCTTTGCGCTCCACAAATGACAAGATATTGCGCTCGCGGTGTCTTTCAACCTGGAGTGTCTGCTGGCATCTCATCATACCTTTGTAAATATCATCCATGATGCGGGCCTCTGTTCGCTCACGGTCAAAGAACCAGAAAAACAATGTGCGGTTGGCAAGGCGGCTATTGTCCTTGGGGACTTCTTGCACGTCGACCAGACCTGCCATCTGCATTGCCGTCATTTTGAGCTGGACGTCGGACTTCTTCATAAGGGCAGCAGCAGGTAGCATCTTCTCGTCCAGTTTGCCTTTTTCTCTTAGAATCTTTGTCAATCGCAGACCATGACGACCGAACGACTGTTCAATATAGGAATCAAGCTCCGATTCCCTCAATCGGTTCATGACGCGCGCAAAGTCGACTGTCCATTGGCCACGCCCCTGTGTTCCGCACTGTCTTAGGAATCGATATCTGCTTTCAGACAATAGGAGCAGGTGCTGGCGGAGGTGTTCGATGCGCCTATCTCTCGACATACCACCATCCTCAAACTTCACCTTTGTCTCTCGGTCTCCATTTGTTTCCGCTACATCATCTTCAGAGTCTCCAAGTTCCTGATCGATATCAATTCTGATTGACGCTCGACGTACTGGCATATCATTATCTGATTCATCAGGTTCAGTATCTGAGTCCATAGGTGCTTGTGGTCGGACCCTCTCCGCACTCTCCGCATCAATCTTTTCTTTCGGGGCTTTGCCAATACCATGCTGCAGACTCAGCGAGTCATCAAGACTCCGCAGAATATCCAGTGTGGTCACAGCGAGCTGACCTGTGGATATATCTTCATCCACGCGAGGGTCTGACCGACATCGCGGAACACTGGCTGTCAGCAGATCTAGAATAACCCGATATACGTCTCCAGTAATATTGCCTAGTATATCCATAGCAAACGTTGCCATGCGTTGATTGCGCAACTCTACGATACACTTCTCGTAGTTGACTCGAACGATAATATTTGGGTTGATGGAGGCTGTCGCGGCTTCAAAGTGGTATCCATGGCCATTTTGTAGCCTTCGGCGCTTGGTAACTGGACCGCGTGTCTGATCTAACTGTCGTTTCAAACCTTTGCCTTTGTCTCGGAATGTTTTGAAACGTTCGCTGATCTGTGCTTCCTGTTCACTGGTAATCTTGGTTACCTTTTCTCCCGGGGCAGCCTTTGTAAGTTCTGTAACAATTGTTCTGTGAACCTCAACAGGATTTCGGAAGCTCTCTGCATGGACAGTTTCCACGATTTCGGCTTGGATTAGACGTGCAAGAGTGTCATTCAGCTGGTTGACAGACTCAATCATTCCTCCAGCCACATCATCACCAGTGCCATTGGTGTGCCCATTGACTCTAGGGGTTCTGCCTTGAAACGCCTGTGCCAAGTCGGCCACTCTGGCAAATCCAAGGAGCATTAAAGTTTGAACAAGGTCACGCTCCGCTGTTCCATATTGGCTTTCGATTACTTCGAGTATCTTTCCAAATCGCACAATGTTGTAGCTAGCGTCCGCGTTCGCTTCATAGCTAGTTGACTTCGAGTCGGAATCGGTCGAGTGATAAACAAGATTTTGTTGAATGAGTACACTAAGCCCATTGCGCAGATACCGCGGTGTCACGGATGTATATTGGGCAAGCTGTGCAATTGTAGAACGGCCCTTTGTGAAGAGAGCGCTTAGAATTCGCTGCCAACAGTTAAGTTAGTCGAGTAAATAGGGTGACCCTCCAAAATATACACGTACCGATGGTAATTCGCCATAAAGATCGTTTACTAGGAGAGCACAAAGCTCAGCGCCATGCTTGGTCTGTATTTGTCTTGTTAATGCTAGAGGCGCCGCGGGACGGTTGAGTCAACTTACGACAGGCATAGCTCCTGCTCCTAGAGATCCTCTCACTATCTCTAGAGCTCAAATAGAAACTACCGACTGCTCATTGGGGTTCTAATGTTTATTAATTTTTACCTCTATTCGCTGATCTCTTTTAGAAGAGGATGCGACCGTAAGGCGAGAAATTCGGAAGTTTGGCGATGGTGGGTTAATCTTCGTCCATGAATTTTTCTGCCCGCGCCGAGTGTAAGTCGACCCGCCGTCGAGCACAGGCATGGTAGCCTTCTAGTTTGGCTGGGCACGAAATGAGTGTACCTCTAAAGTACACATTACCGGGGCGACTAACATTAGCGCTACCTATGCGTGACTTTGCTCTAGACCACTAATGGGGCTCCCTAGTGTTTTCGCAGGCAAGCTTGGAAACCGCTATCACGTGATTGGCTGACCATCCCCCGTTACCGAAAATTAGACGGGAGAGCAGTTTGACGAGGCACTTCTTTTGTCGCTCCAATTGCTTCAACCACGACGACGGTTTAAGGCTTCGACGATTGCCTACGCCATCAATTCCGAAAATGCTCTCCCGATCGTCCCTCGCAAGAAACGCGCAGCAGGCGTTGAGGCGCTCCGCCGCCTCCAGCTTGACCCAGCAGCGCGGTTTTGCTGCTGCTGCTTCAAGCGGTGCCTTCCAGACTGCCGACTCCAATGGCTTGAAGATTGCATCTCGCGATGCTCATGGCCCTACTACCACACTGGCTGTCGTTGCCAAGGCCGGTACTCGTTACCAGCCTCTCCCCGGCCTGACCGTCGGTCTCGAGGGATTCGCCTTCAAGGTCAGCCACTCCCGGACAGGATAGCCGTCAAACTTTTCTGTTGTTGTTCCATTGACTAACGTCCTTTGCGCAGACCACCCAGCGACGATCTGCCCTCCGAATTGCTCGCGAGTCTGAGCTCCTTGGTGGCCAATTGACCGCCTCGCACACCCGCGAAGGCCTCGTCGTCCAGGCTAGCTTCCTCCGCTCCGACCTCCCCTACTTCGCTGAGCTCCTTGCCGAGGTCGTCACCATGACCAAGTACACCAGTAAGCAAACCAATGGCGTTTCTTAACCACGCGTACAATCAAATGCTAATTCAAATGCAGCTCACGAGTTCCACGAGGAGATTGAGCGTGTCCTTCGCCTTAAGCAGGCTTCTCTGAACTCCGACGTTGCCGCCATCGCCCTCGACAACGCTCACTCCGTTGCCTTCCACTCCGGCCTTGGCTCCTCCATCTACCCTTCGGCGTCGACCCCCTACCAGAAGTACCTCAACGAGGAGTACATCGCCAGCTATGCCGACGTTGTTTACACCCAGCCTAACGTCGCTCTGGTTGCTGACGGCGCCTCTGCGGAATCTCTCTCTCGCTGGGCTGGTCAGTTCTTCAAGGGCCTTCCTGCTGCTGCCCAGAGCGGCCAAAGCCTAAAGACTGAGACTACCAAGTACTTTGGTGGCGAGCAGCGCACCAGCCACGCCGCTGGCAACTCCATGGTCATTGCTTTCCCTGGCTCTGACATTGCCGGCTCCAAGCCCGAGCTTGACGTTCTTGCTTCTCTTCTTGGTGGCAAGTCGACCATCAAGTGGGCTCCCGGCTACAGCCTTCTCTCCAAGGCCACCGCATCCCTATCTGGCCTCTCTGTTTCTGCCTCTAACTTGGCCTACTCTGATGCTGGTCTCCTTAACATCCAGCTCACCGGTAACGCCGCCTCTGTCCGCAAGGCTGCCGAGGAGACTGTCAAGGCTCTTAAGAGTGTTGCTGATGGCTCCGTGAGCAAGGATGACGTTACCAAGGCCATTGCCAATGCCAAGTTCGATGCGCTTGAGAAGGGTCAGCTCCGCAACGAGAGCATCCACCTCGCCGGCGTCGGTATCCTCAACGGCGGCCAGCCTCTCGATGCCGCTGCTGTCACTAAGTCTTTTGACTCTGTCACCGCTGATAAGCTCAAGGCTGTAAGTGTTTTCTCATCCCGTTCCCTGCATTACCAGTTGCTTACATATTTCTACAGGCTGCCAAGACTCTTCTTGAGAGCAAGGCCACCGTTACTACCGTTGGTGACCTCTTCATTCTGCCATACGCCGAGGAAATTGGCCTGCGAGCATAAAAGGATTATACGTCGATGGAGCTTGTATCAACAGTCAACAATGTTAGACGGGGAAATTTCGGGCTGTGCTTATTTTGTGAATATCTGTAGTAGAAAATCCCTTTTGTCATCAGCTACTTTTACCTGAGTCGAGTGCATGTGTTCCCTGGTATCCCCATGTTAATACCTCCAAAGGCGGACAGGCTTTGCTTTTTCCAAGACAGAACTTGGCAGGATCAGGCATATTGTTGGGGATTATTTATTTATGTTGAACGGAAACAGCCAAGATCAACTCTAGGATTTAGTATACTTTTTAACAACTTGGACATGCAAAGTCAGGTTCCATGTAAATCAGGAAGGCCTTGACTAACGGCCTAATGCGCTTTGCTAATGGTTTACTTGAGAGTCATCACTGTTATATGTCAAGGAAAGTAGCATGGATGAATTAATTGATCCATTGTAAAATTGTACAAACTTGCAACTTGTGATGTAATCCAAATAGCGGTGAGAACATATTACTTCCATCAAGACTACCGTTGGCATGATCAAGTTAACTCATGACAACATGACAAACGCGATATGTCGATGGCAACGTGCCTATGAAAGGCGCCCACAGTGTTGCACGTTGCCGGTGGCCACTTCTGGCCTCTGGCACCTCAGGCATGAACTGAGAAAGCTTCGCACAGTACGCCGACAGGGGTGCCCTGGTGTTTGGGGTGAGCGTTCTCCGCGGGCTACAGGCACTCACAGCGTTGAAAAATACAGTGTGGGTCCGTACCTGTTGGCCGGTCCATTAACACTGTACAGCTGTTTGCCTCCCAGGGTCTCGCGCAGGCCCCCCTAAAACGAGGGTGCCCTTTGAAGCGTGGCCCCTTCCCACCAAAAATATAGTCTGGCACAAGACAAGCCCGGGCAGCGACGACGCAAGCAATTGCTCCCGCCAGGGAAAACAAAGCCTCACGACTTTCTCCACACGCCAACCGCATCCCCCCTTCCGTCCCCAACTCCCATCCGTCTAATGCTCGCCGTGCCCTTTCCGAGGCTATCTTAACGGCATTGAGCTGGGTGAACACGGCAGCTTCTCAAGATTTCTGCCTCTTTTGCGCTCGCTTTTCCAGTCCAGGTTCGTCTTTGCCTCTCTCAACCCGTCCCCCGTGACACCTTGCGACTTTGGCAAGCACGCCGATTTCCGTTTGCCATCTGCGGTTTTTCATACACAACCCTTTGAAATCGCCAATTTTCCATCATATCAATCGTCGGTAGAAATCTCCATCAGGTACATCATACTAATGCTCTCTTGAATTAGCAGCGCGGCGTTTTCGAACCCATAACGAGCCATCACGAGGCTTCGGTTTCTCAGCAGTTACGACTCCGAGCTACCCATACTTTGGTATGTCTGAATTTCTGATTTACACTATTCGGATAGGCTATTTGATACATGTATCAGTATCCCGTCATCCAAAAACAACAAAGGGCTCTGCTCGAGTTGCTCAGTATTGATGCTTGCCTGCGTGACAACTTTAGCTTTGTGGCATAAATTGTCTTTTCGCGTCTTGACAACTCAATGGCAAAGCATAAAAAAATCTTCAAACCTTTATTTCTAACACTTTAAACAGGCTTCGCCCCTTCTTCAATTTCTAGGATTCAAACAACTAGAGAACTTGACCCTAGCACGGCTTTGATATCAACAATTTCGTGCACTGTTCGTCAACGATGCCACCCAAGAAGGATACTTCGGCCAACATTGGCGGAAAGCTGCAAAACGGTAAGGAGAAGAGACATTGTTTAAATCATTTATCCAACTGACGTGATAACCTCAGGCAATCGCGGAGGCTTTCGCACCGATACTGCTATCTCCAACTCTCGATTCGGAAACGAAAGAACCCTTCAAAAATGGGTTCCGGACGCCGATGATCAAATGGATGGCGGCTTGGAGCAAACTGCATCTACTGGTAAAGGCTGGGATCAATTTGCCGAAAACGAGCGCCTATTTGGTTTGAAAACCAACTACAACGAGAACTACTATACTACCGCGATTGATAAGAGCCATCCACAATACCGCGAGCGAATGGCTGCTGCTGAGAGGACCGCTAAGGAAATTGAACGCAGTGCCCCAGCCACCGCTCATGTAGCGGAGGAGCGTGTGATGGACTACAAGGCAGGTAGCGGACAGCCAGAAGAGAATGAAGAGGACAAATATTCCGGAGTCCGCCGACAACAGGACTTCCCACCACTGGCTGGCAGCAGTGGAAATAACAAGTATACCCCTCCTGCCCGAAGAGCGCCTACTGCGCAATCTACGGTTAAGGGTGCTCCTGTCGACCCAGCCATCATCTCTTCACAAATCAAAAAGACGCCAGCCGCGACGCCAGATGCTTCGCGTGGTCAGACACCTGAGGCCACGAAGAATGGAGCTCTGCCAAAGCCTGATTCTACAAAGACCACCACTTCCAATACGGAGTCAAAGCCCATTGAAGACAAGCCTGTCAATGCTAAGGAGGCATCTGTAACTGAGGGGAAGACTTCTGAGAAACCGGCACAATCTCAAACCCCATCTTCTACCAAAGATGCTACTCCCAGCGCTACATCCACCGTGGAACGCGATGTTCTGAAGGAATTCAAGTCGTTTGCAAGTCAACAGAGAATGCACGCTGAAAAGGCCCGCACCACCAAAGCCAAAGCTGACAAGGAAGTCAGACTTACAGAACTGCGTAAATTTGCGAATAGCTTCAAGCTCTCAACACCCGTCCCCAGTGACCTCGTTTCCATTATTGCTAAGGATCCAGCGAAGCAAAAGGAAATACAGGCTAAAGCTATCAAGAACGCTGAAGACCTTGCGAAAGCCAAGTCGGACGTGCCTGCCAAGGAAAAATCCCCTGCTCCCAAAGAGTCCCAATCAAAGCCCTCAGAGCAATCTGCTACGGCTGATGCGAAGGGCGTCCGTGCTCCAACCGCTCCTCAAGGAACACCACCTGCTGGTACAAATGGCAGACAACCTGGCGCCAGACAGCAATATCCTCAGCAGCAATACCACGGTCAGCCCTTCAGAGGTAATCGTGGGGCTCCTCAGCACGCAACAGCTCAGCAGCAGACTGGCACTCTTGCACAGCGTCTACGCAATGTGGAGCAACAGAAGTTCTCTCAGCCACCAACAGCTGCTGATCCCAACTTCAACCGCCGACACAGTGGGATTACAGCCCCAGCGGGTGGAAAGCTAAACCCCAATAGCCACGAATTCCGTCCCAGCCCATTTGCTGCCGCCTTCAACCCCAACAGTCATGCAAGTGCTGGGTCAAGCCCACGCTCTGCAGTCAACAACGTTTCCGATACCTCTGCAGCACCTCCTGTTGCTCTGCTTATCAGACGCAAGACTAAGGCCGTCGATGTTACCAAGTGTCTGATTCTATCCCACATCAAAACCATTAAACCACCACAGGGTCGTAAATGGGATGATAACGGTGGTCTTCGACCGGCCTTTGACACTCTTCCAACCTGGCGACAGCTGCAAGATGACGAAAAGGCAGATTCTACGATGCACCTGACCTACAAGGAATACTTTGAGCGTAACCCCTTTGCAGGTGCTTCCGCGCCGACACCAAACCCTCCACATGTGCTTCCACACTTGGCTCATCAGCATCAGCTTCCGTTCCACCTCCAGCACGGCGCTGGCCAGAGACAATCCCCCCATATGTCGCCTATGCAGATGCACAACCCTCAGCATGGTGGTGCCTATGGTAATGATGAGCATCGTATGATGCACTCCAACTCCCAGCAATCCTACGCTTCTCCTCGTATGGGGCAGATGCACATGGCGTACCCCGGAGTCGGATCACCTGGACAGATGCAGTACAACCAGCAGAGTTACATGGCACACGGAAATCCGCAGATGGGTCAATATAGGAGTTTCTCCAACACTCCGCACTATGTCCCTCCTCAGCAGGCCCAAATGGGTGGCCATATGATGATGATGCAGCCAGGTTTCATGGGTCCTCAGGGAATGGTTGGTGCGCCTCAAATGATGTACCCGGGTGCGCATCCACACTTCATTCCCCCCTCCGGCCCTCCACAGCCAAACGCCGGCACAAATGGTTATCCAAGCCCTGGTAGACCCTCGGCACCAGCCATGGCTCATCAAGGCTCTCAGCAAGGCCAACCTATCTACGGTATGAGCCCCAGTGTGCAGTATAACCAACCTGCATATGGTGCGGGACAGCCTAACGGCGCAACCCAGTGAAGATCTTTGCTTCTGAAGTGAAGATATCAAAAGCATCAAGCCTACCTTGCCACCTGGACATCCCCCAATCATGCTGTATTGGTGCCATTTCGCTTGTGTGGTAGTGTCGATTGCCACACTTTCGCCATCAGTGTTTCTATTTCGATGGTGCAATGGCGAGTCTCCGATCAATCACTTCTTGCAACTGAGCGAGAGCGGGCGTATGATATTAAAATATCTGACTCCCTCTTCTTACATGTATGGTTGGTTATTACCGCCGCATGATGAGTAGAAATATACTTAGCGCTCGAGTTTCGCATGCGAGACACTTCAATTTGCTGACGGCACTGTACATTGCTCTTGTCTCTGTAGAACAAGGCAGGCTATAACAGCAATAATTAGTGTCGTAGGGGATTGAGTGACTCTCCAAACGGAATTTCATGTACTCGTTGCATGACATTTACGACACAGGCTAGTCGGGAAAATCACATTTGTATACTGCGGACGGGATTGGTCTTCGTGAACTTCATTCTTTGACCACTACACTTGGGTGTATGTTGTATGGGCCCATGCTGCCTCTGCAGAAAGATCTTTTCCTTACTCTACAGGATATTGCTACTACTGGGTGGGTGATTGTATTTGAGCATGGTGGAATATGGAAACTAAGTCACGGTTGAAATTGGGGGAAGTTGGTTTGACATGGACGCTGGTGGGTGTAGTAGAAATCCGTATAAGAGAATTGATATACCGTTTGGTACTTGGCAACGAGGTCCCCCCATTGTGAAATATGCAGTCCGGCATTATTAACAAAATCAGCGTGGTGGGTCTGCCTAGAAAGCCATGAGATCTACGAGAAACACATGCGTATGCAGGAGGGTATTACAGGACATGTCAAGCGTTCGTCGGCAAAGGTCAGACGGGAGCCGAGATGCGTGGGAGCGTATAGAGGGCTTTGCCAAGAGTTTCACGGATTAGACGAGTGGATGTGTGGCGCATCGTTTGTGCAGTTTACAGGCGGTAGTAGTGCTGGGATATCCAAGCAATATCATGACGAGGGTTGACGAAATTCATGAGGCTGCTGCAGGGCGGTTAATGCGTGGTGTGGTTCAAGATTTGCTGTCGTGGCAGTCTGAGGTGAAGCCACCTAGGTTGCCTGTTTCTATTTCTGTCATTTTTCATGTGTCTTTTTTGGTTGTTTTTGTTTTTGAGGCTTCAGCTTCAAAGAGTTGCGCGGTAAAAGAGCGGCGTGTCACGGCCAAGATGGTGGCGTGGGCATGATTGGCTCAGAGCATCCAGGCGGCTTTCGGCGACGACTGCAGTGGGGTCAATAGGGAGTTGGCCTAAAAGCCAATAGAGTTTAGTGGGCAGTCTGTGCGGGTTTGCTAGCGGATGAAACGAGTCAACTTGAAACAAACGGCCGGCAGAAGGAAGAAGACAAAAAGAAAGGAAAAAAAGGGGAAGCTGGCTAGCAGGAGATGGATTAGATTTGCAGTGGGTAATGACTGCATAGCATCTTAATATCTTGTGATTTATTTGTGTCAAAAGGTGACAAACAAAGATGCATTGTCTGGTCCTTGCTGTATTATGCTGTAAGTACCAGTATGACAGCGGATCCAGTTTGCTTTAGCGCTCCTCAGTGCCACAACAGAGCCACAGCGTCTTCTTTAGGGAGCAAGCCACATATGAGACAGGTACGGTCATACTCTCCGTTCAAGTGACGCAAAAGTGACAAACCTAGCTAGCGCGAAGGGGGGAAATAGAATTCAACAAAAAGAAAGACGATTGGTCTGTCTGATCACCAAGACATGCATGGCGGGGTTGCGGTACAGTACAGTGCGTAGACCGGCGGCGGTGTAAGTGAGCCATTGGGTTGAGGCAGCCCAGGCTGAAGACGTGTGCTTTGTTACATGTTTCTTTGCATCGCCGGCCTATCATCTATAAAATGGACCTTGTTTGCATTGTTTCGTCTTAAGCCTTGTTCTGCAAGCTGTGCACCATCTTGGAAGGAATGCCCTTGTCGACGGGCATGCCTATACAACGTCGCAGCAGTGCAAGTGGGCAGCGCACGCGAGAGGCCCGCCGTTGTTTATTGTACCTAATATACAGCGTAATGCAAACTCTTTGGGCAGCACCGTGCAATGGCTCGACTGCAACGCCAGCGATCGACCGGGTCAGGGCACCGTCTCACCTGCAACCCAGCTCGTTCGTGGGGTGTGGTTTGCCTGGCTGCGGGCTTGCGGGCTTGGGCAATCGCCGGTGGAGATGGTGTTGTACAGTGTCCAAAACAGCAAAGAGCAGCGGGCGCTGTAGACCAACCGTGTCGTCGGTTCCCCCCTATTGATGTTTCTTTACTATGCATTGTTTCGTTTCCCCCTTCATTCGCCTTTTTTGAATGGCTTATTATTATTCCAATTAAATTTTCTTAAAAAAGAATGCGAGGCATTAACAGCCACTCAATATACAATCTATTCTGCTATCCTGTAATCTCACCTTGCTTTGCTACTCCCATCCTATCCCCGTGCAGTACAGTAACGATAGCCCTCTAAGTGCCTTGCTGGCCGCTACGACACCGCTGTATCACGCAAGCAACCGCAAGTACCGCCGTCCAAGGTGACGCCACCAGCCGTCTGTTCCTGCGTCTTGTGAGCGCTGCGGCGTGCGCCCCTTTCGCTGACTCTGCTCCACCAGCAGCCAGTCAATCCGACCCCCTAAACAACAACAACACGTCCGGTGTAGAGGACGCTATTACTTTCTTGGACATGTACAGTATCTGGCGATAGCACGCACGCCCGCTGGGCACCATTCACAGGCAGGCAGCCCACTAGCCTCTACCTGGGGGCACTCCACCACACACGCCCCCTGCCCCTCCCTCGCCGACGCCACAGGCACAGGCACTGCCGGCACTCTAACTGCACTGGCCACTTACACAATGTCGTCCTCGTCCAAGTCTTCCTCTGTCTTGGCTTCTTACAAAAAGGGCTTCTCGTCCCCGTCTTCCAAACTGGTTCTTCTTCTTCAATTCAGTCTGCAAGCTCAGCTTAGAAACATTCTCTTCTCCTTTTTATCTTTTCTTCTTCTTCTTCTCTTCTTGAAAACATTCTTACAAGCTTCACTTCAATATCAGTCTCGCATCGCTCAGAACACAACGCCCTGATCTCGCACAGACATTACCATCCACAACACTTCAATTCAAAATTCACTTTGCTATTTTGCGGCAATTATTCCAGATTTATTATCTGTTCCAACTACCACAATCCTTTTTTGTTTGTTCGGTTCACCTTACCGTTCAGAAGTACATACACTTCCACGCTCTTTGCGACTCTCGAATATACCGTCAACATCACTTGAGCTGGTCTCACCTTTTTACACCTGCACATACGCAAACTCTCTCGACAACTTACGTTGCAACGATATAGACTTTTCTTCAACCAACACTCTTTCCCATCATGAAGTTCACTACCTCCATTCTCGCCCTCGCCGGCCTCGCTGCTGCGCACATGGAGATGACCGATCCCGCTCCCTACCGATCAAAGAAGAACCCCAACGTCCCATCCTCGGACTGGGACTACAACATGGTCGACCCTCTTGCTGCCAGCGGCGCAAACTTCCCTTGCAAAGGCTACCAATCGGCCTTTGGTACCCCCGCCGGCAAGTCGGTCAAGACTTGGATTGCTGGACAGAAGGCATCCATCACTATTGAGGGTGGTGCTTTCCACGGTGGCGGCAGTTGCCAGGCTGCCCTCTCTTCTGACAAGGCTGCCACTTGGAAAGTTATGCATTCTTGGATCGGCAACTGTCCCCTCCAGGGATCCGGCACTTTCGACTTCACCGTGCCATCCGACACCCCAGCTGGAGAATACATTTTTGCTTGGACTTGGTTCAACAAGATTGGCAACCGTGAGATGTACATGAACTGTGCCACCGTCACTGTTACTGGTGCTAGTGCCAAGATGAGACGTGCTCCCGCTGCTGTTGCCTTCTCTGCCCGCCCCAACATCTTCGTTGCCAACGTCGGTAATGGATGCTCTACCTCTGAGGGAACCGATGTCCTCTTCCCTGACCCTGGGCCTGATGTCACCAACGCATCCCCTAAGACTGGACCTGCTGTTGGAAACTGTGCCAAGGGTTCTGGTTCCCCTCCTCCTCCTCCCGCAAGCAAGCCCGCCGCCAGCCAGCCTGCTGCAACCCAACCTGCCGCCAGCCAGCCTCCTACTAACACTCAGCCTTCCGCTGCTTCCTCCAACCTGTATGTTCATAATTGTTCAGAAAATGATTCACAGGTTTACTAACGTCTATTTTCCCCATAGTCCCGGTGGTGTTTTTGCTACTGTTAGCCCTGTTGCCAGCAGCCAGGCTCCCGTTAGCCAGGTGCCCGTCTCCCAGGTTCCCGCAACTTCTGCCGCCCCTGTTGCCTCATCTGCTCCTACTCCAGTTACTCCTTCTAAGGGTTCCGGTTATTCTGCTGGAACCGCGTGCTCCAAGGAGGGAGAATGGAACTGCATTGGCGGTAAGCAGTTCCAGCGCTGTGCTTCTGGAACTTGGTCTGCTCCTCAGGCCGTGGCTGCTGGCACAGCCTGCACTCCTGGACAGAGCACTGATTTCGTCATTGCCGCTGCTAAGTAATTGATCGTTTGGGCTTTTTCTGTGACGGCGAGATTGCTTCGAGGCTTTTCTTTTTCTTTCCCTCTTTTTACGAAGGTTGACGGCGAGTTGGTACTCTTGGGTATCTCAACACTTCTAACCAGCGGCCGCCAACCTTCCGGTTTTACATTGTATTGATTACGGAGATAGATCAGGTTGTATGTATATGCATCTTCTGTATCTTTATTTCGCACATATTATATAGAGTTCAGCTGCTTTGGTGCCTGTCCCGATCGGGGCATGACCAAGCGGCTGGATAGGGGGTGATATTAGGTACAGGTTGCCTTATATACTATAGATTTTTGACTATGACAACATATATACATCTTTCCCCAAAAGAAAACCGCGCCAAAATATCCTGTTGTGGTAGCATAATATCTAGACTTGTCGATGGTGTAAGTGCTGAACAGGGTCGCTAGTGTCTCTCCTAGATAAACTCTGCGCTCCACGACTCAAGCATAACACCACTAGAAAAATCGGGCAAATTTTGTCATCATTTTTAAGGTTGGAAGAGGGTCTTTTCCATAGTCAAAATAGAAACTTGCAAGGCATCGCCACGCTTTGCGACCGTAGCTGAGTCGCCATGAGCTCCCTCCCTCAGCCACAGCTTCTGTCGTCTTACGCTAAGCCTAATTCGGTGACCCTTCATCCGCCACACTACCACTGGTGTCCCTCCCAGTGCGGGCATACATGAACCCCTCCACTGCCCAGTTCCAACCTGCCTGCCCTGCGTCTTTGATTCCCCTCCTTGGTTGCGCAACGAGACAACACCGCAGACTTTGGGAACCACGGAATTGAACACGACCAACAGCACGTCGACGAGATCCGTGGCTGCGTTTTATACGCTGGGAGAAGATTGAAGGATACAGTTAACCCCCAAAGGGCAAACAACCGAATCAACCCAGAACTCACGCCATAGTACAAAATGGCTGGTCCAACATCCCCGGGCACCGAAGGTCCTACGTTTGCACCACCCTCGCTCCCACCAGGCTGGATTGCGCAGTGGGACGGCTCGACCCAAAAATACTACTACGTTCAGCTGGCTACCGGTGTTTCTCAGTGGGAGATTCCTACACAGGCTGCTAAAACTGGTACAACACCTGGACAGCCCAGCGAGCATCCTTACGGTGCACCAACACCAGAACTCATCACGCATCCCGACGGCTCGCAGACAGTTAAGCACGCGGACGGAACAATGGAGCCCGTTATGCCCGATGGTTCTAGAGGTATCGATGGCCCCTCGGGCGACCGAGGTCTCGGAGTACGTGTTTCACCTAACCAGTTTTCCCAGCGACATCCTTTTTTGCTAACTCGTATATACAGACACAAGCGATGAACGCACTACTTGGCGGCAAGTCTGGTAGCTCGCCTCTGGGTCAGCTCGCCAACCAGTTCTTGGGCGGCAAACCACATGGTGGTAGCGGTGGTGGTGGCAGCGGTGGTGGTGGCAGCAGCGGTATTGGAGGCAAGCTCGTTGGACAGTTGACATCGAACTTGTTCTCTCCTTCGCAGAAGCCTGAGGCCCCCTCAAATTATCATGGTGGTCAGAACAACAACAAGCCGCATGCATCAGGTGGCCTAGCCGGCGCTGTCATGGGTCAGGTTGCCCACATGTTTGGAGGCAAGGAGAGCTCCGGAGGAGGTGTAAGTGTCCACTCAAGCTGTACTTTTTATAGAATGATTTGCTAACTGGCGTTTTACTACAGAACTATGGATACTCGAATGCGGGAACGGGCGGTTCTTACTCTGGCGAAGCCCCTACTTATAACCCGTTGGCGCCTCCTCCTGGTGGCCAGCAGCATTCTTCTTCCTCTGGTCACCAGTATGGACAGCAGCAGCAGCAACAGCATGGACAACAGCAGCAGCAACAGCAACAACAGTATCAACAGCAACAGCAGCATGGCGGCTACTCTTCACACCAGCAGCAAGGTAGCTACGGTGGAGGTCACGGCGGCCACAACAACCAGCAGCAGCATCAGGGCGGATATAACTCGTACGGCGGCGGCCAACCTCAGTATGGTGGTCACCAGGGCCAGGGTCAAGGATATGGTAGCAACTACTAAGTTCCGTCTCTTTTTGGAAAGGCTGCTTTCTTTTTGTTTTGTTTTGCTGGGAAAATATACACCGTGAACCCGCGGGGGGATCGTTTGGGCGTCTGCACTTTTCCTTTCTCTTTTGGCTGGCATGGGGAGCGGTCGGGATGTTCTCTCATGATAATGAAGAGCTGCCTAGTGAATATCCCGTAGACTTCAGAGCATCTTTGGCAATGTTCGTTGTAATCAAAATTGACAAGCAATTATGTCGATCATCGGTCTCAATGTGCACCACTCGGCCTGTTCAGGCTCCTGTATCAGTTCTTCTTCTTTAGATTCTCAGCTTTGCTTGTTGCAACAGAGGAAAGAGATGTCGATATCCATCGAGCAATGAAAAAGCTGGTGATAGCGACCACAATCACATGGATGCCCGTGAGCACCAGAGATTCCGGTACCACGTTTGCTAAATATGGATCGAGGATAATATCGGTAAGGACAGGCCGAGGATGGACCATAAGACTCTTGTCATGACTATAATAATCGGCTTGGGATCGGATTCTTAGAAGGAAAACAGAGGCGTGCCTCTCTCCAGCGTCTACATTAGTTGGCGTTCGTATCTGAGGCTCGTGGTGTTCAGCTTGATCTTGTTGCGACTTTGAAAACGCTGCCAATGACGATATTAACTCGGGTGTCTCCCAAACAGTGTCGAGCACATAAACATCTAAGTCAAATTTCGTTGGTTCCTAGTGCCACTGTAAGTTCTAGTGTCCATAACTGTGTCGCGTTGGCGGATACTCACGGTAGCCGCCCAGCAAACGCGCAGCTCGTAGCGCTTCCCTTCGGTCAGATTATCGAGTAGATACCAATTATCTTGACCTCCATCGCCAAATACACGCGTCAAGTTTCTCTGAATCGATAGCTTTTGGGGCGATATGGTGTCAAGCTTGAGATCTTGAAGCGATGGCGAAGCGAGTGGTATGACGTCGACAGGGGGCGCCAGGAAAATGATCTTCTCGGTATTTGCAGCAACCGCTAACGCGAGAGTCAGTGAGGCAATAATTGCGTTTACTGCGTTGAACTTCATTGTGTATTTTTTGTCCCTCGTAATAAAGCAAGTATTGGAGCTTGCCAGAGTGACAGCTATGCGATGACGCTGTGCAGGAGATACATTGATTACATAGCGGGTTAGGTGGCTGTAAAGGTACTGTGGCGCGTCGGCAGGCATCCGCGTTAGCGTTATGGAATGGCGAGCGGTAGAGTTGTCTACTGAGGATGTTTGAGAAAACCAACAAACAGCTTAAAATAAGGAGGTTCAGATGTTTAGCTATCTAGCCTATCCTTTAACCCATATAAAATAATGTAAATTATACAAAACTAGTAGTAATACTAAAAATAAATAAATATGTTAGCGAAAAATATTATTCAACTATTCAAGCTACGTAAAAATTGCACTGAGAATATTGGCAGAAGCTCTATAGGTTAGCATCCTGTCCAAACAGTGGCGAGCATGCACCACTGTAATAGCGTACCGTACCATATTGTACTGTACAAAGGCCATTGTACCGCAGCGTACCAGGGTAGAGCGGTGAGGAGTCCACTGTAAAGAAGACGCGCCAGCCAATGGCAGCACCCGCTGGCTCCCGAAAATCAACAAGCGTCGAGCTCTGCAGACCCAATCGGACGCAACCCCTGCCCAGTCCAATTTCCCCCACTAGCGCCAGCACCCAGTTCGCCTCTCTTCCCACCCGCCTGGATACCTTGCTAGTAAGGAAGGAAGAAAAAAGCAACCAATCTTGTTTTCTACGAGCCGACCCCGTTTCTACTCTCTCCTCTTTCTAGCCCGAGGATCGAATATCATCGTTTCTGACTTATTCTTTTTTTTAACCAATACACTTTTCTTCACCACCACCATACATCAACATGCGTGAGGTTGTTAGCGTCCACGGTAAGGAGCAGCTACCCCTCCCTATTCCCACGCGTGGTGGTGCTATTGTTGCTACACCGCCGTTGGGACGCCCGGCTGTGTTTTTGCTAACCAAGAGTTCGTGATAGTCGGCCAGGCCGGTTGCCAGATCGCCAATTCTTGCTGGGAGGTATGTCTTTTTTCTTATTCTAAAATGGACCATGGTCCTGTTTTGTGTCCATTGCCTGGTTGACTAACATTCGGTGTAGCTTTACTGTCTCGAGCACGGTATCCAGGTACATTTCCCACCACACGATTATCCCGACAACTCCGATTATCGATAGCATCAACAGTAGAGCTAACATATAATTAAAACAAATAGCCCGATGGTTACCTCACTGAGGAGCGCAAGGCTGGTGCCCAGGACCAGGGATTCAGCACTTTCTTCTCCGAGACTGGTATGTCTTGATATCCATGAATGAAGTCGTGATATCCAACGCATGAATTGCTAACATTATCCCTCTTCCTCTTTCTAGGCCAGGGCAAGTACGTCCCCCGCGCTATTTACTGCGATCTCGAGCCCAACGTCGTCGATGAGGCCCGTACCGGTACCTACCGTAACCTCTTCCACCCCGAGCTCATGATTACTGGCAAGGAGGATGCCTCCAACAACTACGCCCGTGGTCACTACACTGTTGGCAAGGAGCTCATTGAGACCGTCCTTGACAAGATCCGCCGCGTTGCCGACAGCTGCTCTGGTCTCCAGGGCTTCCTTGTTTTCCACTCCTTCGGTGGTGGTACCGGTTCTGGTTTCGGTGCTCTCCTTATGGAGCGCCTCTCTCTCGACTACGGCAAGAAGAGCAAGTTGGAGTTCTGCGTCTACCCCGCCCCTCAGAACGCCAGCTCCGTTGTTGAGCCTTACAACTCCGTCCTCACCACCCACACCACTCTCGAGCACTCCGACTGCTCTTTCATGGTCGACAACGAGGCCATCTACGACATCTGCCGCCGCAACCTCGGCCTTGAGCGCCCTACCTTTGAGAACCTGAACCGTCTTATTGCTCAGGGTAAGACTTTCCCCCCATATATTCTACCAGTGGAAATCAATCAATGTTCGCTAACCATATGTCATAGTTGTTTCTTCCATCACTGCCTCTCTCAGATTCGATGGTTCTCTCAACGTTGATCTCAACGAGTTCCAGACCAACTTGGTTCCTTACCCCAGAATCCACTTCCCTCTCGTTGCCTACGCTCCCGTCATCTCTGCTGCCAAGGCTGCCCACGAGGCCAACTCTGTTCAAGAAATGACCATGTCTTGCTTCGAGCCCAACAACCAGATGGTGAAGTGTGACCCCCGCACCGGCAAGTACATGGCCACCTGCTTGTTGTACCGTGGTGACGTTGTCCCCAATGATGCCCACGCCGCTGTCGCTACTCTCAAGACCAAGCGTACTGTCCAGTTTGTCGACTGGTGCCCTACTGGTTTCAAGCTTGGTATCTGCTACCAGGCTCCTGAGAACGTCCCCAACGGCGATCTCGCCAAGGTCAACCGCGCTGTGTAAGTCCCTCAGTCTGCTATTGTAGCGTTCGTTCAACTAATAATTTATAGCTGCATGTTGTCCAACACCACCGCCATCTCCGATGCCTGGACCTCTCTCTCCCGCAAGTTCGATCTCATGCACTCCAAGCGTGCTTTCGTCCACTGGTATGTTGGTGAGGGTATGGAGGAAGGCGAGTTCTCCGAGGCTCGCGAAGATCTTGCCGCTCTTGAGCGTGACTACGAGGAGGTTGCTGCCGACTCTATTGGCGAGGAAGAGTTGGAGGCCGAGTATTAACCGTCGTTTCCAATGTGGTGACGAGTTTGGTTGGAGCAGCCAATTGAATCCAATTCTACAATCAGCTTGTAATTCTTTAACGGCCCATGGTCGCAATATATTTTAATCAAGAATTTGCCCCTAATTCAGGGGATCAATATCTTTCTGCTGCGCTTTTGATCATAGTGTATGTTGTGCCGTTTAGCGGGTGTCGGTTTAGTGGAAACCGGGGAACGCTGGACTGCGGTTCGGGGCTGGGGACATGCCGTGGCTGGCCGGGGGCGCTCACCTGACGGAAGCCGACGTTACGCGACCATCTCTTCTACCACCCGCTTCCCTCAACCGCACTCGCCGTTGCGATTGAATTAATTCTTCTCCCAATTCGTGACATCGAAAAACCAGAATCATGTCAATCATTCGAACGGCTCTTTGCAGGGCCTGCCGGCGTTCGCCGCTCCCGCTCCGAAGAGGGCTGGCTACAGCAAGCACCACACGCGACAATTACGTCAAGCTGGTCGAAGTTGGGCCTCGAGATGGCCTGCAGAACGAAAAGAAGACGATTCCTTTACAGACCAAGATTGAGCTAATCGAAAGATTGGCCCGTACTGGTCTGACCACCATTGAGGCGGGCTCCTTTGTTGCCCCTAAATGGGTGCCTCAGATGGCCAACTCTAGCGAAATCCTTGAACACCTCCTTCAGCACAAGGTCCAATCGCCTGTTCCAATTTCATACGCCTTCCTGGCACCAAACACAAAAGGTCTGCAAAATGCAGCGGCGCTACTGAAGCAACACGCTGGCGCATTCACAACCCAAGCCGAGCCCGCTGCGAACGACAACGAAGCGTCCAGACCGGCAATTGAGATGGCCGTTTTTGCTGCCGCCACAGAGAGCTTTTCACAGAAGAACCTCAACTGTGATATCAATACATCTCTGGAAAGATTCAAGGCAGTTATCCAGGACTCCAAGGCTCTTGGACTCCGCGTCCGAGCCTACATCTCTGTTGTGCTTGGCTGCCCCTTTGAAGGGTTCGATGTTGACCCCCACAAGGTAGCTGAGATTGCTACAGAGTTGCTCGAAGCTGGTGCCGACGAAATCTCTCTCGGCGATACCACTGGCATGGGAACTGCTCCTCGCACCAGCGCTCTGCTTAAGTGCATGGCTTCTGCCGGCATTCGCAACGAAGATATTGCCATGCATTTCCACGACACCTACGGCCAGGCTCTGGTTAACACTGCTGTTTCCCTAGAGCACGGCATCCGCACGTTTGATAGCAGTGTTGGCGGACTAGGCGGCTGCCCTTACAGCCCTGGTGCTACAGGTAACGTCGCAACTGAAAACATGGTGTACTTTATGGAGACTCTTGGTATGGATACGGGAGTTGACTTGGATGCTATGGCTGATATTGGATCCTGGATTACGAAGGAGATCAACAAGGCTAACGAGAGCACTGTTGGCAAGGCTGTCCTTGGAGCTCGGGCTAGAGCCACAGCCGATGCTATCAAGAATATTTAAAACAGGACGGCTGTTGTAGAATACACGTATGAAAAATATATACTAAAAGTCAAATCGTATGTATTATGGTACTGTTTAATGTGGTAGATTAACTTCCGTGTTCGTCACCCAAATATACTGGCTGACACGCCGTGTATGTCAGTGCTTGTCAACTATAACCTGCAAGCTGTTGTACCTACGGTCGCTGTAGCTGTCCGCCTGAAGAGGGGCAGCTATGACGAACTGGCCAGTCATGTGACGTTGCTGGACCACACTGCGCCCCGAAAAACACCAGTACGCTGTGGTGGACCAGCCATCAGCTTGGTTGCGGTGCTTTTGCTCCACTTTCCCAGCCAAGCTCAACCTTCGTCAACGTTGGCATCGTCGGATTCTCGTTTTCCCTTCAACGTCCTCTTAGCCTTCGCCCGTCAACGTCATCTCCTACCGGCTTCTTGAAGGTATTGCCATTTCGATAAACACCTCGAATTCTTGGTATACCTCCGCTTGGCTCCTTATCGCCCATTCTTTTGTCCCAGCTAGCCTTGCAGCCTCTCGCTTTTCCCAACCTCAACCCGCTACGGCATCACAATCACAATGGGGGACCCGAGAGACTCTTCATCCTACTCTATTGTGCCAAGAATCAGCTACAACACTGTTAGCGGTGTCAACGGCCCTCTGGTTATTCTTGAGAATGTACGAATCGATTCCGCACTGGCCATGGGCAGTATTGCCTGTCCATACCCTGTGGCTGTTGAGCTACTTTGATTGCTACGGCTTTTGCTAATACCCGACTGCAGGTCAAGTTCCCCAGTTACAATGAGATCGTAACGCTCACTTTGCCTGATGGAACTGAGAGATCCGGCCAGGTCCTCGAAGCTCGAGGTACGTTAACCTCCGCCTCCGTTGGAGACTGAATAAAAAAGCTAACCATACTACCCCAGGTGACCGAGCCGTTGTCCAGGTGCGAACCGATCGAGAAACAAAACGAACTTATACAACTTGTATCTAACAAGACGTCACTTTAGGTTTTCGAGGGTACTCCCGGTATCGACGTTAAGAAGGTCAGTACCTTCACGGTATTCTGTCTGGAGACGGTGTTTGCTAATGTCTCTATAGACCAAAGCCAAGTTTACTGGTCAAACTCTGAAGCTCGGTGTCTCTGAAGACATGTTGGGCCGTATCTTTGACGGATCTGGTCGCGCTATTGATAAGGGTCCTAAGGTCTTGCCTGAAGAATACCTTGATATCAACGGTAGCCCTATTAACCCATACTCTCGTGTAAGTTTCAATCAGCGGACTGCTCTCGATGGAAAACTTGAGCTAACTGTCACAGGAATACCCCGAGGAAATGATCTCGACCGGTATTTCCGCCATCGACACCATGAACTCGATTGCCCGTGGCCAGAAGATTCCCATTTTCTCTGCCTCTGGTCTGCCTCACAATGAAATTGCTGCTCAGATTTGCCGACAGGCTGGTCTTGTTAAGCAGCGCGGTATTACAAACAAGGGTGTTCACGATGGTCACGAAGACAACTTCTCCATTGTATTTGGTGCCATGGGTGTCAACTTGGAAACTGCTCGTTTCTTCACAAGAGATTTCGAGGAGAACGGTAGTCTCGAGAGAACTACCCTCTTCCTTAACCTTGCTAACGACCCTACGTAAGTTTGCCGAGGAATAGGTCGCAAGTTCCAAGCTCTAACCGTTTGCAGTATCGAACGTATTATTACTCCTCGTCTCGCTCTTACGACTGCCGAATACTACGCCTACCAGCTGGAGAAGCACGTATTGGTTATTTTGACCGATCTTTCTTCCTATTGTGACGCCCTTCGTGAGGTTTCCGCTGCTCGTGAAGAAGTTCCTGGTCGTCGTGGTTACCCAGGTTACATGTACACTGATTTGTCTACCATCTACGAGCGTGCTGGCCGTGTTGAAGGCCGTAACGGATCCATCACTCAGATCCCTATTCTCACCATGCCCAACGAAGATATCACCCACCCTATTCCCGATTTGACGGGCTACATTACCGAGGGCCAGATTTTTGTCGACCGTGCCTTGCACAACCGTGGTATCTACCCCCCTATCAACGTGTTGCCTTCTCTGTCTCGTCTGATGAAGTCGGCTATTGGTGAGGGTATGACTCGCCGTGATCACGGCGATGTTTCCAACCAAATGTATGCCAAATATGCCATCGGTCGTGATGCGGCCGCCATGAAGGCAGTCGTTGGTGAAGAGGCGCTGTCCGCTGAAGACAAGTTGTCTCTGGAATTCTTGGAGAAGTTCGAGCGCCAGTTTGTGAACCAGGGTCCTTACGAATCCCGCACAATTTTCGAGTCGCTTGACCTGGCCTGGAGCTTGCTCCGTATCTACCCCAAGGAGATGCTCAACCGTATCCCCGGTAAGGTTCTCAACGAGTTCTACCAAAGAGCGCACAAGGAAGCCAAGGCCAAGGGAAAGGCACGCGCTCAGGCTGAGGAGACCAGCAAGCAGCAGACAGAGGAGAACCTCATTGATGCATAGAGGCAACGACTGTTTAGAAATGGGCCATGGGATCATGCTCTAGACGTGGGAAAGGGAGATGGAGAAGATATTATCGTGTATAAGCCGGTATTACTGGCAAGCCTGTTTCTCGTAGCTGTGTAATTTTCATGTTTCATCCATCGGCAGTTGGCATATTTGGTCTATGGTGACGTACGCTCGATAAATGAACCTCGGAGGGCTGGCCAGCAACAAGATGGCGTGGTCCCCTTGTAGGCTACTCTGCTTGGTGGGAGCCCCTGATCACATGAAGTTTGCTTCGATAGTCTTGGGTGGACCATAACTTTAACAGGATCAAATAATCCAACAAATAGAATTAAATTTATTTAATTGCATTAAATTATTGCCCCTGGAGCGTGTTATGTGGCGCTGGCCGCCCTAATTCGGTAGGACTTGCGTAAGAGCCTCGGCCTGCGGTGTCTTCCCCCGCAGCCCGCTGAACGTTCGATTCCCCGCGCTCCCCGCGAATTACCGGAAACGGTAAGCGTCTTGATGATGCAGCGACGTTTGACGGCATCACAGTGGGAAACCTGGCCTTACATTTAAGACGTGTCTATTCGCTCGGCTCGTCCAGGTACATTTCTTGGGATTTCCTATTACAGGCGCTGCCCTATATCTTCCCGACGTCCCTCTCCACAGTTGCTCGCGTGCTGTGTATACCTCCTATCCCCTTACCCAGCCGAGAGGCCGTCCCCAAACTTAAATTCTTATAACTTTTTGCATCTTTCCCTATATCATGGCTACTGAATATAAGCCCGCAGAGGGGTTTCTTGGAAACCTCAGCGCGGAGCAAGAAGTGAAGCTGCGTGAGCTGTGGCGCACCGTTTTCAAGCTCTATGACTTATACGAGACAAATGATCCCGAGCTGATGGCTGCCATCAAGGCCGCTGGAGAAAAGACAGACACGGCCAGCAAATCGAGATTTGGCCTGTTTCGTGGCGGTGAATCCCAAAGCAAAGCCGAAGCTACCAATATTGTCGAGAAGTACTTGAACCTTGCTTCGACGGATGACGCCAGCAATATGGCCAATCGCAAGAAATTCATTGAGATGCTTGCTATTTACGACACAAAGACAATCAAGTCAATGATTGTGGAGGCCGTTAAGGCCGATCACCCGGACGCTCTCGTCCTTCGCTTTCTCCGTGCTAGAAAGTGGAATGTCGATGCTGCCCTCATGATGATGGTGTTTGCTATGGACTGGCGCTACCACGAGGCCAAGCTGGACTCGGAAATCATGTTCAATGGCGACGCAAAGATGGTCAAGTACGAGAATAGTACTGACAAGGACAAGAACGCTATGGGAGTCGACTTTATGAAGCAGCTGCGCGGAGGTAAGGGCTATCTGCACGGCGTTGACCGAATGGGCCGACCCATCTCGTGTGTTCGCGTCAAGAAGCACAAGCCTTTTGACCAGTCAAATGAGAGCTTGGAGCGATTCATTGTCTATCTGATTGAGACGGGCCGTTTCACATTGCAGCCTCCCGTCGAGACTTGCGTGAGTGAAAGACGCTTTTCCTGAGGACTATTGTAGTACATATGCTAACGTGACCTGGACAGTGCCTAATTTTTGACTTGTCTGGCTTTACCCTTGCCAACATGGACTATGTTCCTCTTAAGTTCATTATTAAGTGCTTTGAAGCCAACTACCCAGAATCACTCGGTGTCGTTCTGGTTCACAATGCTCCATGGGTATTCAAGAGTAAGTATTGGAATGTGGTTAAAATATCACCTTTGAAATTGCTAACAAACTACAGGTATTTGGGGCGCTATCAGAGGTCTTTTGGACCCTGTTGTTGCTGGCAAAGTCCACTTCACATACGGCCGCGAAGGCCTTGAAGAGTTCATTGACCCCAGCCAGATCATCAAAGAGCTAGGCGGTGATGAAGACTGGGAGTTTGAATACACTGAGCCTATTAAGGGAGAGAATAAGAGAATGAAGGACACAGCTGCCAAGGATGTCATTCAGAAGGAGCGTGATGAACTCGCAGACCAATTTGAAGCTGTCACAAGAAAGTGGATGGATACCCCAGATGGCCCCGAGGCAGATGAGATGAAGAAGGAGAGAGATCGCCTGGCCATTCTCGCAAGAGAAAACTACTGGAAACTGGACCCCTATGTTCGTGCGCGATCCATGTATGACCGCCAAGGCATCATTCAGGAAGGGGGTAAGGTGAACTGGTATCAGAAGGCGAAATAAACGGTCTAGCTATCAAGAGGAGTTTTTGCTTTAATTGTTTACGTATTTTTAATTGATTATTGCTTCATCCTTTAGACGATTATGGGGTAATCCAACGGAAGAAATGCCTACTACTAAGTAAGGATGGAAGACCAGGTAGCCCCGACGGCTGGGCGAGGCTGGGAGGACTCTCTGGCTATTGGCTGAGCCGTACCAGGCGAGCTTTCGAAGCTGGGTAGCAAGTGCAGAGTGGTTATACGCGTTAACCAGCCTTCTTTCTGTACGCAGGGGGTTGGGGCAGTCCTAGTCTCGATACGGTACAGACGCTGGTAAGAACGGCGTGTAAAGCGTGCAAGCGGCACATTCTGTCGGTGCTGCAGGTCAGGTGGTAGCGTCGCAATTTGAACAGAAGCGACGGAGAAAGACCGTTGGAATGTTACGCTCACTACCCTTAGCTCACGACGGATGTTGCGTGTGTGCTGCTGTCGCCTGTCGACCACTGTTCAGCCTAGCGCATAGGTTTGGGGTAGCTTTTGAAAAAGTGCTCGTCCGGGATTGCTGTTATGCGTGACCATGAAGAGTTTTCACACGGTTAAGATCCTTCGCTATGACGCTGGCTGCACGACTAACGGCGACGCACTAAGATCAACTGCAGCTGGCGCAGAATTAGCCCGACAAAGCCGGGTGGCTGAAGAGGGCGGAGAACAAGGGCGGCCGTCACGGTGATGTGACATCACAACCACGGAGTAAGCAAACGAACTCTTCGGTTGGAGCTTGGTTCGCTGGGCATGGATCGATCTGCACGTGGTGGATTAAGACATAGAAAGACGATATAAGAGCTGTGGTGTGACGGGTTTACCTTTCTGGGAGACAATGACTCTACAGGCATGCTGGTATGCTGTGTCCACGATGTTGGGGAGAGACAAGAGCGGCGCCCTTGCAATTAATTGCTGGGGTGTTTGTTGTAGTGGCTGACGCGGGTGCTGGGGGAAGGGATCGGCAGTGCGCCAGGTCGAACAGGTCGACAGCTGGCGGGCAAACTGGAGAGTCGAGAAATGGAAGGAGCGATGGATGGTGCCAGTGCAAAATTGGAAGGCACCAGTTCTTTTTGTTCTTCAGTACAGGCAAAACTCATACAAAGTACAAGTACAGCGTCATCAACTTCAACGACGCCTTCGACTCGGCAAAAGAAACAACTACGAATGGGAAAAGTAGTCCCAGTGACACTTGCTTCTGCGTATTACTCTGGGCCGTCCTTCCCCGCATCGCTCCAGCCTGGTCTTGCTACTGCAGCGCCAAATACGCCCCAGTGGAGCCGCTATCCCCCGGAGAAGCCTGCTTCTAGGCGATCCTGATCACTGATGCCCGCTAAAAAAGGCGCCGCGTCGTGGGGTGTAGAGGGCCGTCATTTTGTTTGTCGTCGGCTCGACCTTGAGCTTGCTGGCATGCTCCAGGATCGCCTGCTCATTTCTTAAATAGCTTCAGCGTTCCCTCCCCCCCGCACGCGTAGCTGCCCCTAGAGACCTGGTTTACCTGATCAACCTCTTCTTCAATTGTACGCTTTGTTGACGCGTATTGTACTCTCTAGCAATGAAGTTCTCCCACAATGTTGCTGCTCTCGCAGTTGCGGTGACGCTCCCCTGGGCTGCTGTCGCCGACTCCGACACCAACGGCCCCGACAAGGATGGCAAGTACTGGATTGGCGGCGAGGACTTGCGCCTTTCCTTTATCCCTTACGGCGCATCCGTTTCCAACGTCATGGTCAAGGACCAATACGGCATCGTGCGCGATGTCGTCGCTGGCTACGATAACGCGACGCACTACTCGGAAGACAAGAGCCACCCCCATTTCGGAGGTGTTCCTGGGCGCTATGCCAACCGTATCAAGAACAGCACCTTTACCATTGATGGCGAAACCTTCCACATCAAGCCCAATGAGAACCCCACGCCTGCCAACCCCGATGGTATTGATACCCTCCACGGTGGCCCTGATGGCTGGGACTGGCGCAACTTTACCGTCGTCTCGCACACCCAAGACACTATTACCTTTAGCTTGAAGGATCCCGACGGCAAGGAGGGCTTCCCCGGTGAGGTTGTCTCTTACATCACCTACGCTGTCGATGGCATGGACTGGTATCTCAAGATGTACGCCACTGCCACCACCGAGAAGACCCCGATCATGCTTAGCAGTCACACCTACTGGAACCTCGACGGCTTTGCCAACAATGACACCAACACAATCCTCAACCACACGCTCTGGATGCCCTACAGTGGCCAGCGCGTTGGTGTAGACAACATCCTCATCCCCACTGGCGATATTCTCGCCAACAAGAACGGCTCCGTCAACGACTTTTGGTCCAAGCCCAAGCAAATTGGTGCTTCCTTTGACGACCCCGAAATCCACGGCAACTGTGGCTTCAACTGCACCGGTTATGGTAAGATCTTCTATTCAAAGGTCATCAATTCCACAGTTACATGTACTTACACATCACCAACAGATACCTGTTTCCTTGTTAACCGAGCTGCCATGGGACCTTACGACTGGCGCGAGTCGGGCCCTGTTGCTCGTCTCTCTTCCAAGTGGTCTGGTATCGATCTCGATATTTTCACAGACCAGGATGCTTTCCAGGTCTATACCTGCAGCGGCATGGACGGCTCTACCCCAGTCAAGAAGACACAAGGAATCGACGGCAATGACAAGTTCCCTCGCACTATTCCCAAGTACGGCTGCATCGTCATGGAAGTCGAGGACTACATCGATGGAATTAACCACCCTGAATGGGGCCGTGACAAGAAGCAGATTTTCGGCCCCGGCGATGACCCTTACGTTCTCCAAGCCAGATACAGCTTCAAGGTCAAGGGCAAGAAGACGGATGACTCTGCATGAAGTTGATGATTTCAGGACATATATATGCCGAATCGCAAGGACCTTGAAATGCTGGACACAATGGTAATAGTCTTATTTTGATATGATGTATCTGAATTAATGCCATCTAATAATACAGTTTTTTTTCTAACGTTTGCTTGCTACTGCTACCTGTTGGCGTCATCTACTGTACTGGCGTTGTCAACCATGCGGCTAACAGTGGGCACCTCATGGTCTCTGCGTAGAAAAAAAATCCACCCCTCCATCAAATAGCAGCCCACGCAATTGCGGCGGTCCCCATTGGCGACAACTTTTTTTCTCCGGGTAGAAACAGTTCGAACTCAGCAGGCACTCGACATACGAGCTTGAAAATCCATTACAAGCCTCTCAAATTTGGCGGAAACACGTGCATCTAAACACCAACCGACATATAACGACCCCGCGTGCCCCTCATGGAGGCAGACAGACTAGAGACAGATCTGGGCATCGCCGCCGACATTGAAGAAGCCCAGATTCTTCGTGCACAGGAGCAACAGACTAGTGTATCAGATACAACACACGGCGAAGGGGCAACCAAACAGCCAAAGAAACGATTTGTTGGAAGGCGAACAGCTGCGGAAGCGGCCGCAAAGAACGATGTGAACAGCCCAGCATCTTCTAGTAATGCTGTTGGAAGTACGTCGTTCTCCCACCTGGTTCCTATCTCTTGATAATAATGACATTCATGCTGACCCATGTGCAGCTGCAAAGCCAAAGCGTGCTCCCCGACTCCTTAACAGAGTGCCCCCCGAAATCTCCGAAGACCCAGCGCTCAAGGAAGCCATTGCTCTCCTACCCTCCAACTACAGCTTCGAAATCCCAAAGACGATTCACCGCATCCGTTCGGCTGGCGCCAAAAAGGTTGCTCTCCAAATGCCCGAAGGACTGCTCCTTTTCGCTACCACAATATCCGACATCTTGGCCCAATTCTGCCCGGGTATCGAGACTCTCATCATGGGCGATGTCACCTATGGCGCTTGCTGTATTGACGATTATACTGCACGTGCGCTGGGCTGCGATGTCCTGATTCACTACGCACATAGCTGCCTCATTCCGGTAGACGTCACAAAGATCAAGACGCTCTATGTATTTGTCGATATTAGCATCGATACCCAACACCTGCTCGCTTCGCTGGAGCGCAACTTTGCCAGCGGTAAGATAATTGCAGTCGTTGGCACTATTCAGTTCAACGCCACTATTCACGGCGTTCGAAGTGCTCTTGAAGCAGCTGGATTTAAAGTTATTGTCCCTCAAATAATGCCCCTTAGCCGAGGCGAGATTCTTGGCTGCACATCACCGCGTCTCAGAGAGGAAGACAATATCGACCTGATACTCTACCTTGGCGACGGCCGCTTCCACTTGGAAAGCATCATGATCCATAACCCATCTATACCTGCATACCGATACGATCCTTACTCGCGCAAGCTTACCCGAGAAACCTACGGCCACGATGAAATGCAGTCCCTCCGCCGGACGGCTATCACAACTGCACGCACCGCCAAGCGCTGGGGTCTCATTCTCGGATCCCTCGGCCGTCAAGGAAACCCGCATACTATGGAGTTGATAGAGAAGGAGCTGAAAGCTAGAGGAATACCATGGGTCAACCTGTTACTAAGCGAAATCTTCCCAGGCAAACTTGCCATGATGAGCGAAGTCGAATGCTGGGTACAAGTAGCATGCCCACGACTTAGCATAGACTGGGGTTATGCTTTCCCGAGACCATTGCTTACTCCGTATGAAGCGCTGGTCGCTCTAGGCGTTAGAGATGACTGGTCAAAACAGGGTGTCTACCCAATGGATTATTATGGCAAAGAAGGCCTTGGTCGAGTCAAGGCCCCGGAGCAGACGCCGGCTTAGGCTTGATAAGCAGCAAATAAATTTGAAATGACTTTACAATTTTACTTCAATTTTTCACCAATTTAGGAGCCTTTAGAGCTAATGATTAGGTGTACATTAAATGGGTTGATTTCAGTTGTACTATAAAATGCAAGTAACAGCGCCTAGTCTAAGACAGGGCTGTGACTCAGACAATTCCGCCCTCGACGGTAGTTGCGTGGCAGATCAACACAGCGCAACATGTCATGAACAACCGCAAGACTTTTGATAAAACAACTATACGGTTGCTATGGATTTAGCGAATCGCTTTGCCGAGAAGGCTAAACTTGTCAATATTCAACCTATTCCAGGAGGAATAGAATTCAACGTCTTCAGAGCGTCAACAGATGACGGCCACGACGTTGTGCTGCGTATCCCCCAGTTTCGAATTTTCCAAAATGCAAACGATCCAAACAATGATGCAAAAGACCTTGTGCATCAAGAACTGGAGATATATAAACTACTTGAAGACGGTCCGGTTCCGGTCCCCAAGGCGCATGGATACTATGAGGTTGATGACTACCCTGCTATGGTCTCTCGGTTCGTACCAGATGATGGCTCCGAGGTGGAAGATTCAGAGCTGGGTAGAATTGCAGCTCTAATCCACTCGACCCTAGTACCTAGCGATTGGGGCATCAAGCTGGTAGCCAACGAGAGCACGGATGCTATTCAGTCGCTGGTACAGCGCATGACACGCCGCTTCAAAACACTTAGCAGCTTCAGACCGACGACAGAGGCGCACATTATAAGCCGAGAGACCCTTGCCACTATATCACAAACGCTTTACCGTATGCCCAAGTGCCTTCTCCATCTGGACCTCCGTGGTGACAATCTGCGAGTAGTCGATGGCAAGGTCGTTGCTGTTATTGACTGGACCAATGCTCTCATTGGTCCTGCTGCCATTGACTTATACCGCACCATAGAACTCGAGAAGCCAGGGCGGCAATTCCTTGAGAGTTATAATAACGTGATGCCGGCGCCAGAGCTGACAGAGATGGAGGAGCTATTTTTGAGGCTGGATGCCGCACTAATGCTCTCTCTTGTATTTTATTCAGAAGCACCTGATTTGGAACTGCAGAAGGTTTGGGGTGATCGCGTGGAGGAGCTGTCGTTGAACTTGCAGGCTGCATTCAACAGTAGTACAGCATAGTCAGCGAGCTCTGTAATAAGAACCTATGTGTCTGATGATGCTTATGCTGCGTTTGGTGTACCGACTGGCTCTGGACGGTTCGAGAATTGGAGTTTATATTTCACAACCTCTACCACCTCGAGCTGCTCTGTATCATCCTGATCGTCTGTCTTGTCCCGACGACGTACCACAGCCAAGGCGCGGGGTAGCTTCTTGACTTCGCCTGTAAGGCGCTGGTGCTGGCCAACATAGAGATGGGCACGCTTCATCCAGGCCGAGCCTTCAGCGTCCGGGATGTAATCTGGAAAGTGCAGACGCCCAATTTCGATATCGGGTAGAGGTGCTCCCTCAGCATCACTGGGGAGGTTGATGGTCCCCTGCAGCTCGAGAATGGCGAGGCCGGACGGCGTTTGAAGAAGGGTTGGTAGCGGACTCGGTACTGTGGGTTTGTTTGCCGACTGGGGATGTAATGTAGCGACAGACATCTTTTTAATATGTATTTCTGATGTTTTTATTTTTCAAGAAATCTAGGTTGTAATAAGGATTCCCACGAAGTCGCCAGGTGGGTGGTGTGGCCGTTGGTTGTAAGCTATGGGTGGGACGGTTGACGCGCTGTAGAACGCGCTAACACCTTTATTGTGGCTAGTGAGATTCATGGGTACAAGTGTGGCTGGTGACGAGACGAGTTTGGTGGATCCCCGCCACAGCCAACCGAGAAAAAAAAGTACAAAGCCAACATTAACAAGCCCCATAAATATTTGGCTACCTCTAATTTTCATTGGTCCATGCCGCCTTCAACCCTAGAAGCACACACTTTCTTTTCCAAAATTTCGCTAGACCAGGGCTTTGGACTTCTTCCCTCTGGTCCCAATCACCACCTTTTCGTCGAACTTCACGCGAGCCACTTCCAGCACACTTGCACCACCACACAACCGGCAAGATGAAGGTACGATAGTACACCTAGGAGGATGCTTTAGTTCGACAATGGAATTACGTCTGGCAACCTGTCTATCTATTCGAAAGACTTCGCACCTGCACTACAATGCAATGCGCGCCGTCGCTCTACCGTTGTCGAATTTCTGCACCACCGCCTCAATCGCCACGCAACTCGACGCTAACATACAATTCTTTCACAGTTGAACATTTCCTACCCTGCCAACGGCAGCCAGAAGCTCGTCGAAGTCGACGATGAGCGCAAGCTCAACATCTTCATGGAGAAGCGCGTATGTCGACAACCCGCGAACCCCGAGAAACAAGCATCTGTCCCGAATACTAACAAGGGTTTTTTTTGTAGATGGGTGCTGAGGTCCCCGGCGACTCCCTCGGTGATGAGTGGAAGGGCTACATCTTCCGCATCACCGGCGGTAACGACAAGCAGGGTTTCCCCATGAAGCAGGGTGTCATGGCTCCCAACCGTGTCCGTCTCCTCCTCGCTGACGGCCACTCCTGCTACCGCCCCCGCCGCACCGGTGAGCGCAAGAGAAAGTCCGTCCGTGGTTGCATCACCGGCATGGATCTCTCTGTTCTTGCTCTCTCCGTCGTCAAGCAGGGCGAGGCTGACATCCCCGGCCTCACCGACGTCGTTCACCCCAAGCGTCTCGGCCCCAAGCGCGCTTCCAAGATCCGCCGTTTCTTCGGCCTCACCAAGGATGACGATGTATGTTTTACTCCGCGCCCATACTCGGTCATCGCCTATTCGGAGCTGCGCAGCTGGTTGTTGCAGTTTGGATAGAGTGTGAGAGGACCCAAAGGAGTGGCTCTCTCGACTTTGCTTTGTATTCTTCACAACTTGAGCTGGAACATGCTGCACAGTGTGATGCATAATTGCACAGTCGAACAAGAGCCGCTCCGGAGGAGAATCGACCGACTCAACTTATCTACCCCCGTAACAGAAACTAATGCCTTGTGCCAATCATAGGTCCGCAAGTACGTCATTCGCCGCGAGGTCCAGCCCAAGGGCGAGGACAAGAAGGCCTACACCAAGGCCCCCAAGATCCAGAGACTCGTCACCCCCCAGCGTCTTCAGCACAAGCGTCACCGCCTTGCTCTTAAGCGCCGCCAGACCGAGAAGGTCAAGGATGAGGCCGTAAGTTTAACAACATAACATTCAGTCACATACGAAGCATTTTGCTGACAATTTATCAGAACGAGTACGCCCAGCTTCTCGCTAAGCGTGTCGCAGAGGCCAAGGCCGACAAGGCTGATGCCCGCAAGCGCAGAGCCAGCTCCATGCGCAAGTAAACATGTTTTGTTTTGGCGTTTAATCAACTTTCATGAGAACGGAGGGCAAAAAGGCGGAAGACAATGAGCATACTGTTGCCTCTTGTAGTCCACAGGCATTCTGATCGGATTTGTCTAGCCAGGGAAGTTTTTCTGATAATGGAAAATTTCATCCTGGGACGAATGTATTAGACATAACGGAGTAAAAACAATACATTCATGATCTACTAAATTACTTTGCTTCCCGCCCACGTAGAAAGTCTGTGACCATCAACCTGTAAACTTCCTCTTGTAGTTCGTAGACTCGCATAAGCACCCTTGCTGATCAGTTGCTAAAGGAAGTCTTGAAGGCCTTATGAACAATAATACAAGTCTATTCATGTTTATGCAAATTCATCGAAGGATCCAGCATTGTATAGCCATGGTTCTTGGCTTGCTCTCCTTTCATCCCAACCACGCCATCGAGACCTGCACTTCTCATAGGCAAAAGAGCCGATACGATGAAGGTTCGGCAAGTCCAAGTAACCAAATCTAACGCTTTCCACCTTAAAAAAGGCATAATAATAAAAGAAAAATACAAAAAGCAAAACGAAAAAAAAATTAACAGGTCCACCGAAATCAAAATTTCGTCAGTTTTACCAATGTTTGTACATTGTTTTTCCCTTCTTTGGTTTCAGTCGTCTTACGCAAAGCCGAAGTACTCGCTGCCTTGGGTAATTGCTTTCAGCAGCTGGGCCCGGAGCACATCATAACTGTCGTACTCTGGGAGATCGAGCTCTGTTCCTTCATGTTAGTATACTCAAACAACAGCCAACATGGGTTGCAATCCTAAGATAAGAGACTTACGATTAAAGCAAGTGTGTGAGGTTGGAAGACGGTCTTTGTTGCCTGGGTCACGGTGGATATTGAAGCGGTTCACACCATTCATTCCTTCGAGTTCCTTGAATCCATTTAGGGGAACTTTACTTGTGCCTGTGACAAACTGGAGCAGTTTGGCGAGTTCTTCCTTGTCGAATGATCGAATTGCTCGCCAGAACCACTGGATCTGAGGGGATGATTGAGTGTACCCATGGTACTCTGTATTGCCTCTCCAATCGTCCATATCGATGTCGGGAAGGCCAGAGATGAGCAGCTCAAGTTCTTGTTCATTAAAGATCGAAATGACTTCCGAAGGAATAATTTCATGGAAGCCTAAATAGTGTGTCAGCATTTGGATCCAACGATTAGGACAATCTACAACTTACCTTTCAAAAACTGCTCCATCTGCTCCTTGATTGACGTAATGAGCTTGTAATCAACAACGAGTCGAATATACTCATGTTTATTCTCTTCTGTTACAGGAATATCACGGCCGCCAGGAACCAGGTCGACCACTTTTGCTACTCCAAACTCTTCGTCTTCAATAGAGAATGTCTCGGTAATGATGTCCGTGATGTCATTGTCGCGCATCCAGCAGAGTGATTTGTAATAGTCTGGATCAAAGGACTCCATATCTTTTACGGAAACGGATCGGCCGAGAATGCGCTTGTAAACAGCTCTGCTGAAAAAGCAGTCCAGGAGTCTGCCTTCATAAAGAGCTTTTCCAATAATGCGGCCAATGAACTTGAAGAACATCAAATGCTCATCATTGACACCACTGAGTTTGTTTGGGTGGAAGGTTGTGCGGTCAGATGAGACAGGGCTAAAGAGCACATAGTTCGGGTCAAACATTTGACGAGCAAGAACTTGGAACCACTCTCTGGTAACACCACCGGCATCAACACCTTCTTCGCCTTGGAACCTAATGTTGAGCTTTCCAAACTTCATCTCATCGCCAGACTTGAAGTACAGAGATTTGAAAGAGTCATGGAAAACGAGGTCGCGGCGTACAGATAGTTGCAGAGCAGGGTATGACTGCCTAGACTGATTTTGTCCAGATCTCGAATGCACGCTTCTATTGAAGTAGTTGCGTTTGTTGTCGAATTCGAGAACTTTGGGGTTCTTTACCAACAAAGAAAATGTTCCTGACATCAGCTTCGGGCTGTGACGGACCAGTTCGTTGAGAATGCGGCGGTGTTCTTCGGTGAAGGAAAAGAATAGACTGGCTGTTTGTGATTCTGGCTGCGGGCTTGCAAGATCTTTGCCAATCTGACTCTGTGCTAGATCATCCTTTGTGGTGGTATTTTTGCACACAACCATCAGCGACTCTATGAGGGGAAGTAAAATAGTAGCCACATTTAGCATGTTCTCCCGTTGACGGATGGCGCTCAAACATGCACTAAGCTTTTCCCACATGGCAGAGAAAGTGTTGTTGTGATAGAGAGATACCAGAAGTTCTTCTCTCTCTTCATCCTTTCCTGCATCAGTCCTAGATTCCTCAGCTCGCTTCTTGCCATCAAAAATATGATCCAGAGCAGTGAGGACCCTCAAAAGCTTGTTTTGTTCAGATGCACCAGGTGAAAACTTGGAGAGCGCTACACCTTGAACATCTGTGCCTGAACTTGCCTCTGCAATATGAGGTAATAGGTCGTCCAAGTCAGCAACAATATTTTCGCTTAAAATGCGGGCTTGGTTGATAAGCTCCTGGCCGAATGTCGTCTTTGCGCCTGGGATGGCACACAAGTTCTTGATCGTAGCAATAGTGTTCTGGAAAGTTTTTGAGCTACACTCTCTGGCCACAAAGATGCGAACAACGAGAATGAGATTCTCATCGGGAATGGTTGGTGGAAGAAGCTGGCGCGGCTTGGGCTTCTTCGACGAAGTTTCACCTTGTTCAGCGGCCTCTGTAGAGTTGGGGTCATCCTGATTGACTGCCTCTGTGCCGCTTTGGCCAGTGGCTTGAGCTGGTTGGGATACTGTAGCCTCTGGTTTAGTGTCTTTAGACTCTCGACGTCTGCGATCGAGATTCTGCAAGGGCAATGTAACTCGGTTCAACAAATCTGCCAGGTGAGACATAACGACCGAACTCTCCGTGACAAGCTCACGGTCAAGTAGCGTAAGCAAGGCATTAATCGCATATTTGGTGGCCTTGGGGTCCCTAGTCTTGCCTCTGCGGCTCAAAACCTTCCGAATAGCTGATCCTACAATCTCATGCTCAGTGAGAAACAGCCATGGAACGTGGGGATTGCGGGTACATAAGTCAACCAATAAGTCCAGACATTGCTGAACAATTAGAATAGGCGATGTTTCAGAGTTTGTATGATTGGCACTCGTGATTGTTAAAGAGGTTGCGGTTCGCTTCAAGCTCTGTGGAGTGCGATGCTCTATTTCGCGATCTTTATTGCGTCGGGCTTTAATAGAGAGGTGGCCAAAGCTTCGTTCAACAGCCGTCATATCGGTTGTACCTTCTTGGAGGACTTGGAGCACCATGCTGATAACCTCGAGCCGGGTTTGACGATTTTCACAAACATCGGCAAAGACGCCGAACAAATGAGCGCGGATGCTGCCTTGCTGTGCAATGAACATTAGCCGAAGAAGTGTAGCGACTCCAGCCTTGTCAAGCATTTGCACCACAGTCTTGCGTTGTACTTTATTTTCAGCATCTTTGTCTTGGTCACCTGCTCTCAGTGTATTTGAGGGATTTGGGTGGCTCGGAGGAACGGGGATTACACCTTGCTGCTGTTGAGGGGCAGGTGATCGTTGCTGTGCAAGAGCTCGCGCTTGGGCGGCCATATCCGGTGTTAGTTGGTCCATAAGAGACTCGCCTTGTTCAATCAAGACTTGCTGGCGCAGTTCAGGAGGGAAGGTAAGCAAGATGCTTGCTGTATCCATGTCTGCTGAGATGGCGATTGGGTTAGAACCTGCACCAGCTTGGCGTCTATTTTCAGTGCGGTTACGGCGTTGCTGCTCTCGACGCTCTTGGTGTGCAATTTCTCGACGAAGTTCCTCAGGTAGAGCATCAAGAAATTCTTGAAACACTTCAGTCGATTCTCCGGTACCAACTGCCTCCTCTCGAGCTTGTGATCGCCTTTCACTGATAGTCTGAGCGATAACTTCTTCGCGAAACTCCTCGGGCAATGCGGCAAGATAATCCGGGTCGATTCCAAGCTCTGTAATGTCCACTTCTTCTCCTCTAATAACCGTTGTGATGCGGGGACCTTCTGGATCAGCAGCTGTTTCAGGGCCAGAGTCTTCTGTGGCTTCGACACCTTCCATAATGCTGACCCGATCGACATCGGTGCCGCTGGGATGTTCAGATTCTGCTGAAGTTGCCTCCGCCGCTGCTTGTGCGGCGGCAGCGGCCCTCTCTTCTGCTTGCTTAGCCTGTTCTCTTTGCTCGGCAAGTTCCTGAGCCTCCTTCGCGGCACGCTGTTCCTCTGCCTGTTTCTTTGCAGCCTCTTCGACGATTCGACGACTTTCTTGTTCGTTTTGCTTATGCTTTCGCTCTCGCACCAAGGCGGCAGGAGTTAACTCCGCATTGATTGCATTGGACAACTTGGATGCTTCCGCATTAATGCCGGCGCCGAACAAGAGTCGTGACTCTTCTTGGTACCTATCGAGGGTGGTCTCTGGTGTGAATGCCACAGCTTGGTGTGGTTCTTGTGTTGCTTCTCGTCGTTGCTCACTTCGAGACGGCCTCATCGCCACATCCGTGCCTCTAGGGGCACCAGGTCCGGTTATTTGTACATGGAAGGCCTGTTGGCCATTTCCTCCCCGGCCCATCATGGGTAGGAATTCCATGAGCTCCCCTAAGAGGCCCATGGGCCCATCGATCATATGTCGCCCTGCAGCACCTGAGAACAGTCCTTCCGGTATGCGCAATCCAAAGCTGTTGGGATTAGCGTTCTGGTTTCTAGTGGTCTCGTTTGTAGCATCAGCTCGTCTTAGAAGCGGGTTGACGCCATCATCTGGATTGGCGTTGGGACCACCAGCCGAGCGATGGCTACGAACAAAGTAGTTTCGGAAGTCCTGCGGGTCCCGGTTCGTACCAGCGACAAAGCGAGGCGGGAATTGCCCCCGGTGATCCATTCTTGCAAAGACAGGTCGACGATTGCCGTCGAGGAGGAACAAATGACGGTGCCTATCATCTGGATCGCCGTGTAAGCCATCCCAACTCAACGGGGGACCGGAGGGAGGATGCTCATCAGGATAGTCCTCTTCATCCAGATAATCATCCTCTTCAATATCCTCTTCTTCATCTTCGCCCTCATCATTATCCTCATCTAGGAAATGTTCATCTAGTCCTCCCATAAGATTCGCGTCATAACCGTTCTCATCACCCATAATGGCACGAGCCATATTATCAAGCAAATCTTCTGGGTTCATGGTATGGGTATGGGTATGTCCAGCGCCGTCGGTCTCTTCGAACTCCAAATCTTCATTGTCTTGATCGTCTTCTTCGTCTGGATCGCTCTCCCACGCCGAGTCTGCCTCAATAGGGTTGCCATCTTCGTCGATAATCTCGACTCTATTATCCATGGCCTCCATATCAGCAGAATCATCCTCATCCTCATCCTCATCGCTGTCTTCATCATCCTCGTCATCCTCGTCGTCGTCGTCATCATCATCCATAATGACTTCAACAACTCCGGGGTCACCATGGAGGCCCTCAATGTGGCCCATTTCGCCCAATTCTTCATCTTCGTCACTGATGTTGTCCTCGCCATCAGACATGTCCTCATCCCCGTAGTCCATTTCTTCGCCATATTCATCGCCATACATGTCTTCATCATCATCCTCATCCTCTTCATCAGACTCGTCGTCTTCATCTCTAGGCTCCAGCATACCAAGAGCGGAATTACGGTAGAGGTCTGGTGTATCTTCACGATCATCTTCCAAATCAGAGAGCGAGGAGCTAGACTCAAATTCTTCATCACTATGTTCGACCTGGCCCTGCCGATCGGATGGGAGAAGATTTGTATGGCTCAGTTCTTTAGCAGTGTCCGTCAAAATTCGCAACACGCGTAAGATGTACTTGATGGCGCGCTTGACGCCAGGGTAGTTCAGGTTGATATCGGCAATTGAAGATGTCAGTTTATCAAGATAGCCCTTCTCAAACATAAGACGGCGGAGCTGTGTCTGTGAGCGAAATTGGGCTTTGTCAGAGTTACGTGCACCTGGCCCTGCACCATTGGAATCCCGTTCTCCAATCATCTGATGCATCAATTCGGCCAGGCACTGCATTCTGGCATAACGTGTCTCGAACGGTTCGTCAGAAACAGGCGCCTTTTCATATGCTCTCAGTACCGTGTCGAGGATAAACTTTCGAACGAATAGTAGATCCTGATCTTCATCGTATATGAATTTAGGTGGCTTCGATTCGGACACAATCTCGCTGGTTTTGGTCACCAGTGCAACAAGCAATTTCTGAGTTTGGACAGATGTCGCAGCTTTCTTTTTCGCGGTGAGAGTATCCGCTGTACCTGAAAGCGTACCCTGGCATAATAGGTCATAGATGAGATAGTTTAGAATACCTGACCTCGGTTTGATTGGGGTACCGCTAGATAGTGGCGGGGCGCTTCGTTTGAAGTTGATAAATTCCACCTTGGCTCTTGTGTAACTTTGTAGAAGTTCAGCAAGACAATTCAACAAAAAGCAACGATACACAAATATAGGATGCTCGTCGGCCTTGAACTGTGGCTTGGTAGGCTTCTTGTCTTTCTCGTCCTGCTCTTGAGATGAGCCGGATGCCCTCGCGGAGTCTGTCGTAGCATCAGTGGTTGTGCTCTCCTTAGCGGCTGGCGTTATTTCTTTATCATCAACCTCCCGGTAGTTGACCAACTCGCAGAGGAGGAAGTGTATGACACCGTCAGGATTCTCTACCACAGGTCGCTTGCTGTCTGGCCCAGACTTGGGGAAGTCGGGCATGTCTTTGTCTGTGAGCTCTATAGTAGGTTGCAGGTTCTCCAGGTTTGGTGCATCGCCTTTCGTTGTATCCGGCAACGCGGTACTGCCAGTAGCCAAGTTATCCTTCAACATCAGTGGATTGGGTTTGTTGCCTTCAGCCATTGGTGGTGCCCATCGAGAAAACTGAATGAGCTCGTTGGTGACTTGTACGAAGAGCTCAGGTGCGCGCAATGACACAGGTGCCATCGTACGCAAATAACTCAGAACATCGGGGTTGCCCCTCGAGTTTCGACTCAAGTTCGGGAAGTCCGCCTTGATCTCGGCTCTCATAACCTGTTTAATTATCTCGTCATCCTCAATGATATGGCGTAAAATAGTGATCAGGTATGACGTTAAACGGTTTTGCTTGAGTCTCTCAGATCCAAAACCTGAGAGCTGCTTTGCCATGAGGAAGAGTCTTTGGAGGTTCTTCTTCTCTCCCACATGTTTAGCCAAATGGCGCCGTCTTGTAAGAATGACCAGTACACGAAGCACTGAAGTAGCTAGTAATTCTTCTTTCCCTATGCGAGGTAGAAGGTCTAGCAAGGAATCTAGCAGGTCTGTTCGCTGTTGGTCGTCAACTAGTGGAGTACCGAGCTGTATCACTGCCGATGGGCTTTCTTCATCCAACGACTTTGGTGATGTCCATTGAGCTGCAATTGGGCGTTCATCTTGGCAAAGAAGCAATTCAATGATGAGTAATATGTGTGGAATCCAGGGCGGCAAAGTCTCAGACGTAGATGTTGGCGATATCTTCAAGAACTTGACATACTCTTCCACTTTCTCTCGAAGCGAGTCGACATTGCATTCAAAGAACACTTCGTCTTGAAGGAGTAATGCAAGGAGATGGGCATAAGCAGCGATGCATTTGCCATTCTTGGCTTTTTCATCATCGTCAAGTGCGAGCGATGACAGAGCAAACGTCAAAGTAGAGCCAACTTCCTCTTGAGCTTCTTCGTTCGGCGAGCGAAGTACGGCGATTTGAATGAGTTCAGAGACTTCAATAGCGCAATCCGGATGGGCACGAATCACATCTAAGCACTGGTCGATGAGATTATCCCGCAGACTGCTTCGCAGGTCGTCAAGTTCTTGCTTTGTTCCTGGGAATTTTACGGACTTGGCTTCAGAATTAGCTTCGATGCTTAGTCTTTCATCTTGGGACTGAGCGTCAGAAGGGTTATCCGTCCCTTCTTCAAGGGTACCACCAAGGATATCGAGAGACATCTGGTCTGTGTCGACCACATCTGAAGCAGTTTCTCCAGCTTGGTAGATGTCCTCGGTCGGAATTGGGTGTGTAATAGCTGTAATACCGGACTTATAAGCTCGGCAGTAGTCCCTCGCTGTCGAAGTATGACCGTTAGCTCTATACACTGCCTCTCGGGCTAGATCTTCGCTGTATCCAGCATTGACAGTTTCTAGAACCGCTGTTCTCACATGGCGCCAGTTGAATGGGGCTGGGGAGTACTGCATTAAAAGAAACGGCTGCTTATCCAAGGCCGTGGTTGCAGGTTCATGGTTGGCAGTGTAAACAAATCGTAACAGATCCAACAGTCTCTTAACCGTAGGTGCAGGAACATGGTCGACAAATTCTGAGGTCCATAATTCCATAACCATAGGCATCATAGCGACGCGAATTTCAACCACTATTTGCTGATAAATGTTGGGAACAGTCAGAGGTCGTTCTGAATGTTTTTGAAGGCCATATTGGTTGCTGATTTCGGTAATGTACTTTCCATTAGCCAGAATCATGTAGAGGTCAAGCACCTTCTTCAGTCCAAACGCAGCGACTTTCGGCTTTGATGACTCCTCTGAGTTGCCATTATTTCCATCCCGAATAGCAGCCATGAATTTGGTTACCATAGTGTTGAGTAGGTCAAGTCCACCTTGTTCTTTGAATGCTAAAAGAACGGGAAGCAGAATCTGGACGTTAGTTCGGTCTGCTTGACGGCCGGTAGGGTGATCGATCATCATTTCATGAATAGTATGTAGCATGATAATCCAATAGTGGAATTCTTTCGCAGATGGCTGGCTGGTAGCGACAGACGGCTTGAGATAGACCAGTACAGTGTTGGCGAGAGCTTTGGCGATGTCAAGATGTTTGACCCGAGAATATTGGTCGGCATGGTGAATATTCTGACGTGGAAGTAGCGCTTTACCGAGTGTCTGAAAAAACGGGAAGGATGTTGGAATCATAGGGTGTAGTAAAGCACGTAGAGTTTCGTAGTTCCGGTACCTTGCACTGCGTTGTTCCTCGTCTGAGGGCTTATTCGAGTTATTGCCACTCTCTGATGCCTTCCAGGCGCCAGCGTTATTTAAAACGTCGGGCAATGAAGAATCATCAGAATCGGCCTCTGCAACAGGTTCCTTTGAATCACCATCTGATGCTGTATCTCTTCGTCTAATTGACCAATGCTGAGGAACAACGGAAAGTTCACCAGCCTCCTCAGCTAAGACGGCCCGCAACAGTCGCCCAAGAGACCCGACAAGGTTGACGAAGTAGTCGAATACATTGATCGGGTAAAATTGATAAGTGTTTGCGCGAGAAGTTGGGAAGCATTCGGAGATGATTTTAACAAAGGTTTGCGTGTTGAGCATAGCCTTCACCATTTTACTTCCTGCCTGCATGGATTCTGGTACATGAGCAGGATCTACCACTGTTTCAGCGGTGAGAAATTCACCAAAATACGGCGGAATAGCTTCGGTTTTCCTAGCAAGGGGCTCAAGAATTTGGATTGCATTTTGAGCTCGACTTAGCAGTGATGGGAGGCCATAGATTGGGGAATGGTCGATTAGGAGCGCAATCACCTGACTCATAACTCGCGAGGCCAAGGATTCGCCATACGACACGGGTAGACTTGGAGATTCTGATAAATCCAAAAGGATTTCAATGCCACCGTTATCAATGAAGTTTGATTTCAGGAGAGAATTTGAGAAATAAGAAATCAAAAAGTTCGCAACAGCATTCAGATACGGCGTGATTGCCTCGGTAGGCGAAGTCTTGGCATCGTCGGATTTCTCAGCGGTAATGGCTTGCGACGACGACTGATCTGCCATGGGAGTATCATCATCAGATACGTCGGTGTTCTCTTGTACTTCTTCGACTGGAGGTGTCTGCAGAGTTCCATCAGATGTCAGGCTCACTACCTCTCCAGAAGGTGTATTGACAACCAAACTAGCTCCCCAGCCGGCCTTTTCAGCCTTTTCGATAGCAAGATAGCGAACACGAGCTACCATATCGATGACTGCATTCGAGATGAGCTTCCGGAGTGAGGGATGGTGGCGTGCCAATTCGTCGAAACTACCGCCTAAAGTTTGCGCCAATTCACCGTCTCCTTCCATACATTTTACATGTTCTGGGCTCTCGAAGACCTCAAAAAACAACTCAAAAGCTCTTGATGCCACGACAGCATTCATTCCCTGTCGATTCAGGCATATGGCGCTCAGCACATGAGGAATGACATTTATGGCGTCGGACGATGGGAGGATACCGGTTGCGATAGGAATGGTGCGATTAGTGGCTCTAATGGCTTCGTCGGTGGGTGGATGAGGTCGGTCATCCTGTTCAAGGATCGTTGACATCAGAGGGCTATCCGACGAAGGCCCTTCCTCATCATCTGTTCCAAGTCTCGCTTCTTCGGTTGGTAGCTCTGGGAGTGGTCGCCCAGTGATCACCTCCAGATAAGTCTTTATCATGCCTGACTCGGAGATTGCCGCAAAGCTAGTAGGGTCGTTATTGATAAAGTCGCTCATGATCATAACACAATTGGTCCAGACGACAGAACCAAAACTGCTCTTGTTTTCGATAATATCTCGCAGGCTAGCAAGCAAGTCCGACTTCTCAGCAAGATTGCGTAGCAGGCGATCCGTATTACCGCCGTAGGTGTACGAATTCGAGAGAATTCTGTGAACGAATTTGAGCAACCACTTAAGAGTCTGTTGTTGATAGTAAGGGATTTCATAATCAACGGCACTTGATTGTTGATCTGCAGTGATTCCGTTGGAGTCTAAAAGCTCGGCTTTTGAGTCTGAGACGGTATCCATGACCAACGTCGAAACTGCATTCAGGCCTTCAGCATTAAAAAATGCGGAAAAGGCATTCGGATAGGCCCATATCAAGCCATCGAGGAAAGCAAGCACCATAGAATGGTGGCGTTGGGCAATTTTGGTTCGAATCTGCAAGATTTGTACCAAGATCTCCATTAAGCCGGCGGATGCCATCTCGCTCCCAACTCGTGTAGCCATGCATATATTAAGCGTAAGAGAGAAGAGATTGTTGCGCCAATCATCCACCTCAGTCATTTTTTCGCCCCGATCCTCGGGTTGATCATCTTCCATTCCAGCTACAGCCTTGCGAATAACGTAAAGTAATACGCCGTGGTTCACGTTAGCATTGAGCGCAGAAAGGACGTCCTGGCAGCGTGCATGGAAACTTGATATAGCTTCCAGTAGAGCTAGTGCAATAGTTTGGATCCAGAGTGGTACATTCGTCTTCGTTTCCGTGGACGGGTGAATTAGGTCAGCTAGCTGATACACGAGCTGATGTCGACGAGACTCATCCATATCCTGTCTAAGGACTTTCTCTATGAATGTAGCTTCGACATGAATATACGCCAGATTTGTGATTGCAAGCAGCCGTGAAGCCATTATCAACTGGCGATCCTTACGTGATCCCGTCAACGCCTTAGCCACTCGAAGCCGGTGGAATACTTCGTATTTTGACGCTGGAGGCATATCAGTAGGACATTGTCGAAGAAGCTTGTGAATGGGGCTCGATATAACAACCGATCGCGTAAGCTCGAAGACACGTTGACCAGGAACATTGTTTTCTTCCGCTACTCCTGGTGTCTTGGGCCAGGCCGGTGACGAATCATCAAGTGCACTGGATTTATTTTTGGGAGTATTCTGAGCACTTGGCATTGTATTGCTTCGTCGCAGAGGTGTTGGCGTTGAAGGTGTTGTTGATGCACCATGCTCGGCCAAATTGTCGACTTTGGTAGCACTGTCAAGAGCATAGTATGAGACTCTAACGTCACCCCAGCTACTCCAAAGGCTATCATCCGATGTCGCAAGTGAAACCAAGTCATTGGTGTTTGTCTGTGACAGCTCCTTAGTGCTCACAGCGGGTTTCTCTTTATCCTTGCCCTTGGTAGATGCCGGTGTTGTCGGTACAGCAGCGTCCGACAAAGTTGCAATATTGGATTTGACAAAGCCGTTAGCAATTTGTTGAACTCGTTCTAGGTCGATGTTGTAGTGATTCGCTAGCAGTGCTGCGCTAACTTGACGGGACGCATTGCCCATGCGTTTCATCGAAGCCTGATACCGTTGAGCGAGTTCCGAGCCAACCTCCAATGTGGCAATCAACACTGTAAGAGATGTTGTGTTAAGGAGGCTATCTAGATGCGAGCTGCTAGCATAAATGCTTCGATTCCCGCAATGTTCTAGTAGCAACCTGGTGAACTTCAACAGTGACTCGATTAATTCTCTGTCACCGTCTTTAGCGAACCCCATGTCATCGAGTTCCTTCTGAGACCACGACTTTTCGTCAGGGAACTTCTTCGAATCATCGGCATTCTTTAGTACCAGGCATCCAAAATCAATAGATTGAGGGCCATTTTTCAGATTGTAGGTATCGCAAAAGGACTCGAGAATGTTGTCAAATCTGTTGAGAAGGGGGATCCAATGGTAGAGATCGCCTCTGCCAAAGGGCCATCTCGATGGGTAGCTGCTTAGCTGTTCGGGCAGTCTAGGAATAGGTACCGTCGAGGTGGTTTCAACAAACTGTTTGAGCCATGGAGACTAGGATAGCGTCAGTAACATAAAGCATCCACGGGACCTGCAGCGAGTGATATTCTTACCAGAGTCTCTTTGTGCTTTGCTTGTAAAGCTTTTGTTATCTTGCCCATTTTTTAAAATGCAGAGCGGCAGAGCCGCAGAATCACTGGCAAACACCCCTCCGCTTCCAGGTCACTCCTGTGCGAAGCAAACGCTTCAGAAGCGTAGTCACAGTACCCTAGCGGGAGACCTGCTCTTTCGTCAGCTTTCAGCCGGTTAAAGACGCTAAATCGTTATCGATATCAGAGATGATATCAATCTTTCGATGTTGGAAGTCGCCGCGTGTCGCTTTTCGTATTGGGACTGTGTAGCAGTGCCAGATCGTAACCTGGGTACTTCTCGACTATTGATCTGAAGATGTCGGTGTAGTATTGATCGTGACTCCTGTGAAGTCTTGGGCGTATCTATGAGATGTTGTAATGATAGCCAAGCCCGATCGTGGCCCCTAGGTCTGCGAAATCTGTTTCAATGACGAGTGCAGGTCGCCAAAGATTAAGCTTTTGCAGTCTTGAGGTCGAATTACAGTATCCGAAGGTAGCTATCCTATCTTGCAGATTTTCTCAGCTGCATACAACAGGTATCCTTGGATAAATGGATGGATATGCTGATGAGGGTCGTAAATGGCGTGTTGCGGAGAGAATCAAACCGTGTTGCTGTTAGAAAAACGAAGAACCCCGATGTCGAGCAGGCAGCGTTGGTGGGTCCTCTGCGTAATGGGCGCGCAGTGTGGGACGGGGAGCCAGAGGCTGTCGCTGAATGGTACAAAGCTCAGCTCCGATTCGCTGTGTGGCGACCTGGGTAGCCTGAGCCTCACTATGGGCAGCCACGTCTCATGTGGCTAGTGGTTGGCCGTTTGTTACTTTGCCATATTCATTGCATGTGTTAAGTACCGACAGGGTTCTAGTTTAAATCATAATGGTATACAGTGCTTTAGAGTAGAAATTCGGAATTTCAAGCCAACACCTCAGATCATGTTCGGAGTATAGGTCATGAAGTCTTGGTCTGTTGGCAACGACTATTCCCAAACATGTCACGGATTTGGCCTCCCTCTCTCTTCCAAGAACCGAACCACTTTAATATACTAGCAAATATTATTCTAGGTGAAATTTGAGCTGTCTGGAAGCATGATCCACTACTTGCTGAAGTCGGCGAAATTGAAGGTACAGTATAGGGTAGCATGCGGATATGGTGGCACAATAGAAGACCCCAGCTGCATTCCAAGCGAAACAGCTTGACATCATTCCAACAGTGTAGCAGTGAACGATGCTCACAGAATGAAACAATAGCAGCCTTCTTGGACGACTCCATTGTGTCGGTTGCCAAACTGGAGCGGCATGCTACTGCGGGATGCCTGGTGTCCAGATTCTTAGCTGCAGGGTTTCCCGAATGGCCACATATTCGTCGTAAGCCTGTGTGTAGCATGCCACACAAATTTATTTATACAACGTTGCGGGGATCACTGTCGGTTGCCTGAAAAGGCGAGATTTACACGTGAGGAGATATTCTGTGAGGCGTCGTTCACTGCGTTGGATTCATCCCCCTACTCATATCAGCTTGCAGAACGCTAAGAGCATGTTGGTATATGATGCCACGAAGCCATGAATTGTATCGCATCTGTGTCTATAGTACATGTCGGCTAGCGCACCAGCACTAAACAGAGGGTTCTCAGGCTTGGTAGGAGGACATGGCGCCAATGGCACGGTTCCCACATGCCTGCGCCAATGCACCAGCCGCCAAAACACGCGGTCGGGCTCATGAAACGTCGTTTCGCGCTAAGCCCTCCCTCTATCGCGTCGGCGTCGGCCTACTGCTGTGCTGTGGTGCTCTGACCCAGCTCGGCCGTTCCAGCGCTTGCCACCCACTAAACGGCCTTCCCACAGCGGCCGTGCCCCCAAACAAAACAACCCAGGAGGGCGGCCGCCCCCAGTTTGGTGCTCGTGGCTCGATCCAGGGGTCACAGGTCCTTCCAGGCACAGCGACGAACTAAACGGTCCTCCTCCACATCCCTCGATTTTACTTTGTTGCAACCCACCTCGACAAACATCACCAGAATATTGTATCAACGAGACTATTGTATTGCTCTGTATATGGTCAATATACATACATTTACCTACGCATAAGCGACCTGCGAAGCACTCTGTGCCGAAAACCAAGTTCTCGACCAGCGCCATCTACTACCGTCCACCAAGCGCTGGTGAATGGCCTGGCTCTTCAGAGCCATTACTCCGACAACGACAACGGCAACTCGCTGAAACGATATATACACACTACAAAATGGTAGAAAATAAAGTGGAAAAGGCCTCTGAAGCCGACAAGACGGCCTCAGAGCATGCACCTCCTGTCAACTCGGAACAAGAAACCGTAAGTTGAGCTGCTCGTGTGCTCATTAGTCTCCGACGGCACATTATCCTTACGCATCATATGATTGCTAACATAGAGCAGGGCACTAAGAAGAACGAAATCGAAGATACAACCGATGATATTTCCCCTCGCCCGCTGCGTGATTCGTTACCACCGGCAAACGCCTCTGCCGATGCTGAGGCCGACGATGGCTCTAGCGAGAGTGCTGCGGAAAGTGTTGACGCCAGTACAAAGCATTCTAGCGAAACAGCGACACAGGCTACATCTCAAAGAGACTCTGCATCAACACAGCATAGACTTTCTCAGACGTCAAACTTGGAAGCTGTTAGTTTGGAAGACGAAAAGGTTACAAACATAGTCGGTATGTGCACTACCATTGCGAATAATTTATTGCCAAACGAGCAAACGAGACCATATAACCGCTAACTATTTTCCTTACCGCCGACAGGAGAACCAAGTCCAACCGACACGACGCAGCCGAATAAATCGATATCTCTGAGCAGTATAACAAATGCGCTTCCTACAATGCCTTGGTCCCCGCCACCAAGCTCACCTGCCCGAAGCCCTGTGGGCACCGCCCCGGCAAATGCACCCCTGCCAGCTACCTCATCGCAGACCCCTGCACCAGGGCCGCGGAGGCTAACGAGCCCCTTTACCTGGCTTTCCAGGAACTCTACAAAGGATAAGGATGGCAACGGAGCATCACCGAACATACAGCCTACTGGCCGTCGCAACACGGCAAGCTCGATTACTACAATTATCAGCAACCCGGAAATGATGCTTTCCAAACTCGAAGAGGAAAACGAAAATGGCGAGCAACGCTTGTCACGGAACAGCTTGAAGGATCGCTTCAAGTTGCTCAGACTTCAACAAGAGGCAGGCATTACTGTGGTTCCGGGGGAAGAGGACCAGTTTCAGCAAGCCAAAGTTGCTACCCCTAGCCCTACAGCAGGAGCTGACGACGTTGCGAACGGAGACCTGGGGCCTACATCACCCGTGCCCATCCCGACTGATGAGCTCGCTCCGGGAACAGTCTCAGGTGTCAATGCTGGCCCATCTGCTGTCCAAGAAGCCCAAGTCGATTGGGACTTGTGGCAGTCCGTTGTCTATGAAGGACCTGCTGCTGTTGCCCGAACGAGCCCCGAGGAGCTTAACCGTGCCATCGCCACCGGAATCCCCAGCGCCATTCGTGGCGTGATCTGGCAAGTTCTTGCCCAGAGCAAAAATGATGAGCTAGAAGCAGCATACCAAGATCTCGTTGCCAGAGGTACTGACAAGGAAAAGAAAGAGCGTAGCGATAGTACTACCGACAGTGTCACTGGCGCTCCAAGTGAAAAGGCAGGCTCATCAGCCTCGTCTATTCACTCGGTACAGTCATCTATGAATGGCAGCGTTTCGTCCCAAGCCGAAAAATCGATCGAACTCAGTGCTAAGGCGCAAGCTGCCAGCGCTGCAGAGCGCAAGAAGAAGGAGAAGGAAGACGCCACCGCACTACAAAAACTCGAAAAAGTCATTCGCAGGGACATGGGTGCCAGGACTAGTTATTCGAAATATGCAGCGTCAGCAGGACTACAAGAAGGGCTTTTTGGCGTCTGCAAGGCGTACGCGCTTTATGATGAAGCAGTTGGTTATGCCCAAGGCATGAACTTTCTTATCATGCCTTTGCTCTTCAATATGCCTGAGCAGGAGGCGTTTTGTCTGCTTGTCAAACTGATGAATGCATACGACTTGCGTGATCTATTCGTGCAAGACATGCCTGGATTGCATCTCAGACTATACCAGTTTGAGAGACTGCTTGAAGATATGGAACCTGCACTCTACTGCCATCTACACAGGCGAGGAATTTCGCCGCATCTCTATGCTACGCAGTGGTTCCTTACTCTATTTGCGTATCGATTCCCCTTGCAGTTGGTATTACGCATTTACGATCTTATCTTGTCGGAAGGCCTCTCTGCCATTCTTCGATTTGGTATCGTACTGATGCAAAAGAATGCAAGCACACTGCTGGGCATTACGGACATGCAACAGCTCACTACTTATCTAAAGGATAAGCTATTCGACGTTTATATTGACAAGGACCCTAGTCAGGGAAGCATTCTTGAGAATGGGTTTTTTGGTAGCTCTAGCTCAAGCATTGACAAGGAAGTGTACAGAGCCGATCAACTTGTCAGAGATGCAACAGAGATCAAAGTCACTGCTGAATCACTGAAGGCGTACACGACTGAATGGGAAGAGAAATCTCGTTTAGAAAAGGAACGCGAGACTGAGCTACAGGAGCTCCGGCTTGGAAATCAGAATTATGCCATTCAGCTTCGTAAACTGGAAGAGAGAGTTGAAGCTTGTGACCGCGAACAAGCGGATATGGCTAATGAGCTGGTTCGTACCAAGGTTGAGAACGAAGAGGTGAAGGATGAAAACGAAAGCCTCAAGGGCCAGGTTCGTGAACTTCGTGTTGTAATTGAAAAGCAACCAGTGGAGATTGAATCGTCCTGGAAATTGGAACGCGATGACCTAATGAAGAGAAACGAGTCTGTCCATGAAGAAAATAGAAAATTGGAACAGGAAATGGCTGAACTGGAGGAGGAACTGGTTCAAACTAAGCTGCGTTATGCTGAGGTACGTACACAGATGTTAACACGCTGGAGGACCGTACTGACATTGAACAGATAAACTCTCAGCATGAGACTTTGAATCGCAAATGGAGTGATTTGAAGAAGCAGTTTACCTGAACATGGTCCCCGTCAGCAGAGGCTATTGTATGACTTGTCGTGAGCGGATGAACAGATGGTTGGTACCAGCATAGACCGATCCGTAAGGATTTACATAGACATGGTAGATAGCTTTTGAGTCGGGTGCTTGGTGCAGGCGCCATGTATCGTGTCTTGACTTGGGAGCTTTAGGACCTTGCCCATGTAACGTTAAATATCCATTGCAAGACAATCAAAGATGCTTTTGAACATTAGCAGCCGTGATTTCTCTTTGCTAAGAGTGGGGCAAGTGAAGATGTTATACTTTAAAAATACAGTAGTTTGATTTTGTGACAGCGATGTCCCGTGTATTTGAAGGGCAAGAGATATGGGCACAATTCAGCAGCTGATTTAAGACAAGGTATTTGGAAGACGTAAAGTTTTTGTTTATTTTTAATCCCTATCAACCCATTCCGATGCTTATACGTAGCCGTTTTAATTGTGGCCAGAAAAATGCCAAAGAAATGGAACAGTCCTTTAACACCGTAACAAGGGGAACAACCTCTTCTACCAACAGCCCAATCTAATTCCTTTATTTGCTGAGCTTCTTCTGGTAGAAGGCGAGCTCCTCACCCTCAAGGATGTAACCGTCGCAGCGGCCGGACTGGCCAGGACGGCTGGAGACAACAGCGTACAGGCGACCAGCTTCGAACTGCTTCTCAACGGGGTGCTCGACCTTGCCCTTCTCGGCGAAGCGGGCAGCCTGCTTCTTCTCAACAGACTTGCTCTTCTTGTCCTCGTCGACGGCGATGGTCTGGCCCTGAGCCTTCTGGCGTCTGCGGCCAATGGGCTGGCCGTAGTGAGCCTCGTACCATTGACGGAAAGGAGTAGCATCGACCTGGACGACAGCAGAGCGGGTCAAGGTGTTGGTACGGACGAGTTCGTTGTTAGAAGGGTGGTAAGAGACACCGATGATACGGGTCTTGCGGGTGCAGCCTTCGGAGGCCCAGGCGAAGTTACCGGAGTCGAGGCGGAGGGCACGGTACTTGGAGTTACCGCCGCGGGTGCGGACGGTGTGAACGCGCTTGGGGCCAATACGGGTGCTAGAACCCTGGCGACCAGCTTCGAAAGCGCGCTTCTTCCCTATTGGCAAAGGTCAGAACGCATGTTCAAAAGAAACATACGGGCTTCCGAGTTATATATATTACGCACTGTAGTAGGCACGCTTGGCACCGGTGGCGGCGCGCTTGTGACGGGAGTCGCGAGAGATACCCATGATTGCTAGTTCTATATCCAGAAAAGAAGAGTAGTTAGCAAAGCTGTCTTGTTTCTGGGCAATCCAGAGAGTCGTCTGTTGTGCTGAGGCACAATGCTCATGCTCATGGAGGGGTTGTAGAAAAAACCTGACGAAACGATCAAGACTTCGAATTCAACTTTTCGGCGGCGGCGACGAGTCGAAACTAAAAGACCAGAGAGTAAAATAGTTGTATTGTCGAAAGCCAAAGAAAATTGAAGTCGTTTCGAGTCGTCGGGCACTAGAAGAAGTCCAACTAACCTGATGAATATGGTGCTCACCAGTGCAATCGGTTGTCGATGAAGTGTGTGGATGGGAACTTTTTAGCATGAGACTGGGTTCTGGTGGAGGGCTGTGGTTGGAAATTGTGGTTGTGGGTTTTCGCTAGCCCCAGTACGCACCTCGTCAGGGTTTGTGGCCGGCGCATTGGTTTTTCCGGGTGATAAAATTTAAGAGCATCACGTGCCGCCGCGATTGCCAAAAATGGGGCCTGCTATTTCCTATTTGGGATGATCTCAATCGATAGGACAAATGCAAGGAGGGAAAGCATAGAAATAAAACGTTTCAATTGTCACCGAAAATATCCAGCAATGTCTGGCAAAAATATAAGATATACTGTGATTTGAAAGCTAACGAATTATATAAAGAGCTATGAGGTAAAACCTTGAAGAGGCGTTTGTAAGCGACATTTAATACCATACAGCAATCATTGGCGTTCTCAGGTCTCGTCAATGGATAAAATCAGCTCTTTGAGCCTATATGGAATACTGCACAAGTCTGTGTTGTCATCTTCATCGTAGGCGTCGGCCAAACATGCAGAGTCGACGGGTAGGATGTGACCAAGCGCGAAGTCGGAGGACGAAAGACCGCGTCCAAAGTCCATTTCTGTGTCCAAGAAGCCTCCTTTCGGAAATGGTAGACTACGCGGGCAGTTTGCAGTACCAACAGGATCTTTAAGTTCCGAAACTGTTGGCCAGCGAGCTTGCTGTGGCTGAAGTACTGCTCCCTCTGAAAAGTAAGTTTGGCCCAGAAACAAGGAAGCTGAGCCTTCTTTTGCATAGCGACCATTGCAAAATTCAACAACGACGGTATCAGCCAAGCAGTCATCCTTTGCATCGGATTCATCGCAATTTTTGTTGGTATTTTGCATCTTTTGGCTGATCTTTTGCAGCCAGTCTTTGGCCATGGCGGCCTTCAGAGAACAAAATTCAGACGGGGTTTGTGGCAGAAAGGGCGAATTCTCCGCTTGTATATATCGAAGGTTTCGTTTCATTCTTTGAAAGGCCATCATTTCAGTCCGTTCTTTGCTCGACCAGCTTTTGGATTGCGTCCATCCGGCTAATTCTATTGCCAGTGGTGCCTTGGGTGCATTTGGAGGCGGAGAGCTGCTCCGGATACGCCCCTGACGATTGGTCCGTTTCGCGGACTGAGGAGTACCGTCTTTTCTTGAACAATTCAGCTGAAAACCTCTATCCGGTGTGGTAATAGTCTCTTTGGAAGCGACCAAGGCGTAGGTTAACCTCGGTGTGGTGTCCTCAGACGAGTTAGGACTTACGCCGGCGGACGCTACATGTGTTTCGCTTGGATGTACTGTTGATTCTGCGTCATATTGATCTTGGTGTATCTCAAAGCCACCAGAGTCCAACACATAGCTGTTTGCATATGGCTGTACAGGCCAGTTCTTAGCTGACATAGGGTGGGGATGATCTATATGTGGTGAAGGAAAGATGGGCAAGTCGTAGTGCGCTGCTGGGGCTACAAGCGGCATTGAAAAAGGTAGCGCATAGCAGAACGGATCATATGTGATGGTCCGAGGCTGAAAGTTGAAATGAGAGCTCTCCTCCATGCATGCCCAAGGCATCGATGTTGGGTTCGGATATGAGAAGTGTTTGTAGTACGGGTTTGTGGGTACCGTAGAACCATTATAGGTACTTTCATGCTCGTCCCAATCACCCGGGAACAAGGAACTATTGTATGTCCGTGTTGGATTCAAATAATCAAGATCCGAATGGACATCCTCCGACAATGGTGTTATAAAACTAGCCTTAGGAGTCGTCTGCGGCGTGAATGTGGCCGCGCGGGGATTGATGGCTGATTGTGTCATGCTTGGCTAGGATATCGATCAACCTGAGTTTGTAGGAGATGTGGATTTTGCGGAGAAAACCTGAATTTAAAAGTTCATTGCCAAAGATTGACAGTAATCACGGTAGTCGAATGTGGTCTTCGGCCGAAGCATTGAGGAGCTCCGGCGTGAGAGTGCCGATGCGAAGCTGCAACGGGGCAAAGGAGAAAGATATAGCAGCTAGAATACCACTGTCAGAAAGCGTTGGTGGTGAAATAATGCTAATCAGAAAATTAAACCTTACCAAGCGGCAAAAATTTATGTGATGTTTGGCGACGTGGACGAAGTGTGGTACAGGTTTAGCTGCAAAGGCTTCTAGACGGCCAAGCAAATGAGATGGAAAAGTGTAATGGGAGGAGGAATTGATCTCTTTTAAATATGAGGGAGAAAAGAACAAGCTCAGAAACACAACGCTTCGACATTTGTAGTATCAAGTCAGGCGCTCACACTTCGTCGTCTATGTGAGAGCACGCTGACTGCAATTGACAGCTGGCTGACGGTCCGGTGAGTTTCATGCTTCCTAGCCGCCTGATCAAGCGAAAGTGAGTATATAGAAATCATAATCAGAAGCTTCAATGACTTGCATCAGTTGATAGATGTTTGATGCGAAAACAGCTTATTTGGCGTGTAAGTGCCAAATCGAGCCAATTTAGGCACAGGTGGACTCCGCCCCTGTAAAGTTGCGATTTAGGCGCTGAACAAACAGCGCCATTGCGTGTGGTGCCCCGCTGTATTTTTCTTAGTTCCAGGTACCGAGGGGCAACGGCGCAACCCCATTATCCGAGGTCAGTCCCCAACAACTTTGGCCGTCTCCCTTTTTTATTTTGACCTCGTTGTCTGCATCACAAGAAAAAGCCGCCCACGACTGTTTGCCCATCATGGCCGCCCTAACTACGATCAAGCTTACCAATCGCTGTATGTTTTCTATCCACTGCTTGTCCTCACCGATTTAGATATGTTCTTGATGCGCAGCTGCTAACAAGCTCCGTGTTCCCACAGCGCCGAAGCTCCTCAAGCGTCTCCCCGAATCCATCGAGGTCCCCGCAGGTGCCAATATCGAAGATGTCAAGAAGATTATCGCCCGAGAGGCTAACGTTGGCGATTTCAACCGCCTGGGTCTTTCGAGTCCCGAAACCAAGAAGCTGCTGAAGGACCGCAAGGCTCTTGTTGCCGACATTGACGCCGTTGCCAAGTCTGGCGAACTCCTGGTCAAGGATCTTGGTATGCAACGCCGGCACAAACTACGGCTAAGCTCTTGTTTCTATATATGTCATATCAGCTAACATTTGACGCTTCTATATAGGTCCCCAAATCTCTTGGAGAGGCGTCTTCGTTCTCGAATACGTCGGCCCGATCCTCATCCACCTCGCTGTTCTGGCTGCCCGTCCCTACATCTACCCCGGTGGCGACGCACCATTGTCCTCGACTCAATGGCTTTCTTTCTACATGATCATTGCCCACTTTGTTAAGCGCGAGATCGAAACCCTCTTTGTCCACAAGTTCTCTGCCAACACGATGCCCGTCAGAAACATCTTCAAGAACTGTGCATTCTACTGGGCCCTCTCCGGCTTCGTCTGCGCCGTCTCCATCTATTATCCCGGCTCTCTTGCAGCTCGTGCTGATGAACCGCTTATTGACTATGCCGGCCTTGCTCTCTACCTCTTTGGTGAAATTAGCAACGCCGCTGTTCACCTGTACCTCGCCTCTCTCCGATCGACTGGCGGCACTGAGCGTAAGATCCCCCATGGCTATGGCTTTGCCATCGTCACCTGCCCCAACTACATGTACGAGATTCTCGCCTGGGTTGGCATCATCATCGCCAGTCGCGACTGGAGTGTTGCCCTTTTCATCGCAATCGGCGCTGGCCAGATGTACTTCTGGTCCAAGGACAAGGAAGCAGCTTACCGCAAGGAGTTTGGCGACAAGTACAAGAAGAAGCGATTTGGTATTCTTCCTGGCATCTGCTAAACTAGATCTTGTATCGTGTCATCTAGGACAAATGCTATAATGTGTATTAATACCTGTATGCATTTGCTGTTGGGACCTTCATGAATCTATGAACCGTCATGGGAAGGACTCTCCCGCAGGGGAACTGCGGCTACTTAATAAGAGCAACGATAATGTTGCCATTCATAATACGATAATGTGTTTTAATAAATATAAGCGCTTAATAATGAAACTGGCCGTCGTCAAAACTTCATGTCTGTCGTTATCATAGTTGTGAGCTTGTTTGCCTCTGCCCAACCGTTGGATCTCAGTGAAGAAGTTAGCATAATTCATCCTCCAACGCTTCCCGGATAGCAGCCTCTATGCCCTCACGGTTAGGGCCATTTAGATCGACTTCTTGTTGTGACCGCATAGCCCCGTCGTCATCAATCTCCATGGCATCACCATCCACAGCCTCAGCACTAGGGTCCTCGCGACCACAGTCGCTACAACTACAGATACTGGCGCTGTCACTTCCACTTTCACTACCCTCCCCATTTGCCAGTCTTACTGTCTCTTCTAGGACTAGAAACTGGCGCTCGAGGACTTCCGCCCAGTTTTGAACATTGCCGATTTCCTTTAACCCTCGTGCTGCAGAATCGGCCTCTTTGGCCAGCTTCTCCCTTTCTTTTCGGAGACCCTCCGTTGCACCAACGACGTCTGCTTCCTGCTTTTCAAGAGATGCAGCGTTTTCATGAAGTATTGTGGCGCGGGATTGCAGTTCAGAGTCGACCAAGTTCCCAATAGACGCTACAACGGCGGCGCGTGCTTCCGCGATTTGCCGTTGCGTCTGCTGAGAAGGCAGAGTTTCATGGAGAGGAGGCAAAGCTGTTGCATGCACCGATGCTGGTGGAGTTGTGTTTGTAGAAAGGAACGTCAAAGAGGTGGGCGGAGAGGATGAGGACGACGATACGTCGGTGGCTTGTTTTGGTGATTGCGACAGTCCTCCGTCTGTAGTGACCTGAGGCGATTTTGATGTCGCCATGGCAAAAAGCATATAGTTTTTCAAACTTTATAAGGCTGAAATGTATATTATCGAATGCAATAAGGAGGTTGACAAGCAGGAGGTAGCATCGGGACTAAGATCGCGTTTTGGCTGGGAACCACGCCACACATGTGCATGCAGGTGATCACCAGCGCTTCAGCGTGTGCGGGGGACAACTTGCCCCTCACCTACGTCAATGTTATTTCACTAGGCGATCAAGCCGCGACTGTTTTCATATCAAGTTGTACTAAACTGGTAGTATCTGATATAGAAGCCATACTTGTAAGAGACCAAAGAAGAAATTTTGTTCATGTAATGTGTATTACAACTCTAGCTCTCTTGCTATGACCAGCTTCGAAAGCACCGTTGTATCATCATCCCCAAGCATTTAAATAATCATACATACATCTATCTTCTGCAGAAATACAAAGCAATGTTCAGTGAAAAGCAGTAGGCAAAGCAAACAAGTAAACAAAAATGAACACAATGGCTAACAATCTATTTGGATTGAACCATGAAAAAACGACCGTAACGCCTCGCCATGCTACTTCAGTGGGAAGGCTGTGCGCAACAGCTAGTGCTGGCACAATGCAATGCTCAAAGAGAGCTCAAATAAACGATAGTAATAAGAGATAACCGCCTGGGTGTGAAAAAATTGTTACAGGCCACCTTTGCCAGTTGGGAAAGGGGCTGTGATAAACTCGCCGCTAGGGCTAAAGTTTGTCGATGGCGTCGGAGCGCCATCAGAAGACATGGATGAGATTGAGGACATGCTGCTAAGGTTTGAATGGCCTCTGCTCATTGTACCACTGCGTGACATAGCCATGCCTGGGTTAGCAATAAGCGCGTCGGCCCGGTCAAAGACATTGCCTTGGAATGCTCGATCGAAAGAAGCACTTTGCGGTGTCTTTGGAACGGTAGCTTGCAAGGCCGGTCCAAGAGCCGCGCTCTGCGGGGTGATCGGAGTCTGCGTTGGAGACATCATTATGCTATCGAAGCCGCTTGAAGAGCTGGTTAGATTGCCTGGGCCACCTGGCTGGAAAAGCTGCTGCCAGGGTGACTGCATAATCAAGTTGCTTGTCTCCTTAACTGTTTGGTGAAGAGGTCGCAGTCGGCCACGAGTATCTGGTGGTAGAGGAATAGTTTTGATAGCAGCTTTGATCCTCTCCAGAGTCCTTGTCCATGAAAGAACGAAATTGCTGCATGTACCCCAGAAGCCAGGTTGCACTTTCAGACCAGCACCATCTGACTGTATGGCGTTCAAACGCGTTTTCAGCATTTCTGTTCGCTGGATAGTCTCGTTGCACATGGATATAAGGCTCTTCCATTCTCGTAGCATATTCTCGGGGGCACGTTGCGCAACTGCATTTCGAAGCCCACCTGAGAGTTGCACGCAGAAATTCGGCATCGTCTCCAAGACAATGTTTGTAGACTTATGCAACGATGAAAAGATGCGCTCGAATCTACTGTCAGCCAACGACGGATCTGACGGCGTGGGTCGGTGGAATGGTTGCTGTAGATCGCCGCTTCTCGTTTGTATAAGGGGAGGTGGAACACGTCTAGGACCGCCTGGGCTGGGTCCAACCTCTCCATGAGCTTTCGGAATTCCATCGTTATATGTTAGGCCGCTATCGTTGCGTATCTGAGGTACTTGGGGGGTTTCAGTCCCAGATATAATGCCGGACTCGTCGCGCTGGTAGGCCTTGATGGTGTTGCTGTTTTTACCCATTTCTTCATGAGACACGGTCGCTGGAGCTGTCTGAGCGGTCACTGATGCCAGTGTTGCTCTTAATTCCATGACACTGTTGTAGAGTAACATCAACAAAGAGCGAATGTATCGGGCATCGCCATTGCTGACCATGGTATCAATGTTATCCGCCAAAAGTGCGCAAACATGAGAATATGCGCCGACGAGAGTTTGGCAAGCGCTATGAACACCTTGATTCTCCTTGGCAAGTGAACCATAGTCGTCGTGGCCAGCTGCATCGTACTTTTGTATCTCCTGTTCAAGTTGCTCGACATGGAAATTTGTATTGTAAAACACCGGTTCGAGGCTAGACCTCTCTGATGATGGGTCTTCAGTGAGCGTCATCAACATCTGAATCATGGGATGAATTTGGAAAACCGAGTAGAGAATGCCCTTGGCTGCTTCGACGACAGGATCGAAGAAAACAGGGTCTCGTTTACGCTCGGGCAGAACAGATAGACGACGAACGTAGATTGGGCGTTGAAGGAACGGTTCGCTGGGTGTTGCAGGGCTCTTTGCGCTTCCGGGCGGACTCTGCAGAGCCGAACCCATGCTAAATCCACGGTAGTGGCTGAAACGATTATTGGCTTCCATTTCATTAAGCGTACCAAGATCAGATGTCTTTTTGGGGACTATTCCCATACGTCGATTTCGGTTTTCAGGGCGGTCTGGCCGAGCTAGCGTTTCTGAATTGCTTCGGATACGCTCGTTAACGTTGCCACCGATAGTGAGCGGCATGACGCCTGGCCGTCTGATGGACGTGCTTTGCTGTGATAAGCCTCTGTAGTGAGATCGGTTCGGAATTGGTGGTGCTCGCTGGCCAATAACCGGTGATCTCATCTCAGAAACATCGGAGCCATTGACACGGATTGGAAATCGGCCACTTGCAGCTCTCTTTAGTGGAAAGCGTGTTGGCGCTTCCACCTCACTTGACTCGTCGCCAGTTCCTGCCTCAGATTCGGCTCGACCAGAGATAGCGTATTGCTTCAAGAACTTTTTGATGTGCGACGTCACGGCCACTTCAGTGACTTCAGAATCTCGACCCTCATTCGGAGGACTGGACGCTTGAACCTGGAAAGCGTCCTTGGGAGGAAAGCTGATGGGGTTTCCTTCAAATTTTAAAACTTGCAGAGAACCCATGTCGGCTAAACAGAGTGGTAGTTCTCGTATATGGTTTTTCGGAACGGACAGAACCTTTAGTGATGTCAGCTTGGCAATATCGGCTGGTAGGATCCGTAGTTGATTTCGACCAAGATCCAGAATTTCGAGGGACGTCAAGTCGCATAGCTAGTAATCAGGTTAGTCGACTAGTCTGGTAAATGGGCACAGGAGGAGGTATACCGTCATGGGGAACTCCTTGATCTGATTTCCACGAATATTGAGGTATCTGAGGGATGTACATTCGGAGAAACGGAACGGGAGCGTTGCCAGTTGATTGTGGGATAGGGCCAGCCTAGAAAGGAAAGGAGTTAGTCTTTGTTGCGTTGGCCAGCTGTGTGTCAAATAGGAGCGTACCGTTCGAGCTGGTCTTTGACAATATCAATGACTTCTTCGGGTAGCTTCTGTATATTCTTCCGACTCAGGTCAATGGTAACGCCGGATTGGAGCCCAATACCAGCAGAAGAGGCTTCGGCGGCCTGACTTTCATTCTCCATGGCAGCAGCCATGGCTTCCTTGGCAAGGTTGATAACCTGCGTGGGTGTCAACGCCCGGGACGCAGAGAGGTTTCCATTTGCCGGTATATTTGAGCCTGTCGGAACAGGAGGCACTGGTGGGGGGAGCAGCGTATTCGAGTTCGACAATTGCATTTGGCCAGGGCCGATTCTACGGCCCGGTGCTGGGTTCTCAGGCAGGCCGCGTGTGGAAGATTGCGAAGTTGCCACGGCTGGCGTTCGCTCGGTTCGGTCTGGCCGCTCCATGGCGAGAGCACTGCGGCCTTGAGCAGTTTCTGGCTCTGCAGTGGCGGATGGGATGAGGAAGAGTGCTTGTTGATGGAAGAAAGATGCAGGCAGGCGGCGAGATGGGACGTCGGGATCGTCGTTGGGTCAAGCCCGAAATGTTTCAGGACGTTGCGCGCCAACAGAGAAGCAGCCCCCTGAGGTCTTCCAACGCCGCAGTGGGCACACGCCAGAAAATAGGTGCGAGAGGATTCCTTGCACCAGCTGCTGATGCACTAAGACGACGCACGCGGCCGCTAGTTCAAGACGACCATCGTGATGGGTTGTGTCAAATCGTGGTGGTATTGGTTGGCGATGTGTGTTCGAAGCACAAGCGTTGCGTTAGGTCAGCCGATAGTCTGGATCAGAGGAGCCGTTTGGGTTCAGCAGCAGTCTCCCCCAAGTGTGCGGGCGATTCAACAGTGTTCCGTACAGTGCAGCTCAGCAGGGGATGCGTGCAGTGTCTACCGGTAGGTGCAGTAGGGGGGATTCCTCGCACAGTGAATTGCGTTCCTGCACACTAACCCCTCTGTTCTTTTTTTTCTGGCAGGGATCTCACTGAAAAAAGGCCGAAAAGGCGGACGTAAAGGGGGCGGCGTGCTCCAGCTGCACTGTGCATCCACTGCTGGCGACGCGGGGAGACGCTGCCAAACCCCTAAAGTCCAAGACAGCGTCCTCGGTCCGGCGTGCTTCGGCCTTGTTGGCGGTGGGGCTGGCACGCCGCTAAAAGTCTTAGGCTCAGCGGAGGCATGCAAGGCACGCCCAGCGCCTTGACGGTGAGGGTGGGCCCTGCAACGGCGACCCGAAGAACGCGTTCCTCATCGGACGAGCACTGCACGCGTAGATTGAATACCACGGCCAGTGGAAGTGACAGGCTGCCCTAGACCAAGTTGAAAAAAAAATTCCGTTGTGACAGCGGCCAGTCGCCGACAAGTTGAGACACTCCGGAAGCTCGCCGCCCTTTCTTTCAATTGTACGGCGGATCACGGCCGCTAGGGAACCGGCCACTCACTATTCATGAGTCTGGCATTTGGCAGTTAGCTTGCGACGGCTTGAGCATCAAAAGAAAGTACAAGCCGTCCGGCTCATCCTATGCCGTGCTTGGTGGCAGAGACCTCCATATGCCGCCCCTCCGCAGGATCAACTCGTGCACCGATCTCGGCTTCACTCTTCGAACGCGGTTTGGCAAGGATGCCTTCAGGTTCGGGAACCTTTTGGCCGGGAGTTCACATCGGCATTGATTATACTAATCCTGTGTAAATTAGGCCATTTCAGCGTGAAATTATAGAGGCAGCACTTAGCGGCTATGATGTTTACGTGCAAGCGGCCACATCGTTTGGCAAAAGTCTGTGCTTCCAGCTACCAGCAGTAATCGACCATGGAAGTGAGTCTAGATATTGCAAAAACAAAAAGAGTAACACAAAACGAAAGTATACTTATCAGAACGGGCAGTTACTCTTGTTATATCGCCGCTACTGAGTTTGATGGTAATGCACGAATCATACTCCGAGATACAATCATTCGCTAACAGCCGTAGATCAATCAAGTAGGAGCGCTGAGAAGTGCTGGGATTGATGCAAGCTCATTAAATAGCACAACTCCCTTTCAAGAAAAAGAGAGAATACACCGAGATTTGGAAACTGGACATCCTAGAACACGACTGCTTTATGTAACCCCTGAGCTGTGCTCCACGCCCAGCTTTCGGGAGCGACTACAGCTCGTTTATAAACAAAAGGAGTTTGCCAGGATTGCAATTGATGAAGCACATTGCATATCAGAGTGGGGTCACGACTTCCGCAAAGATTTCAAAAAGCTATCATGGTTTCGCGAAACATTTCCGGATGTCCCGATCATGTGTCTGACAGCGACGGCGAATCCGCAAGTCAGAGATGACATTGTGCGTGTGCTTGGCTTAGACCCGAGCCCGGAAAAGACCAAAACCTTTCTCATGAGCCCACAAAGAGGCAATCTTCATCTCGAAATTCGTTACACCAGGGATGAGGATGACAATAGGCTTGCTGATTTTGTTGACTGGCTTCGGGACGTCTATGGACGTAGACGTATGGAGCCGCGCAAAAGCGAGCTTCAGGAGCTAGGGGAGCGGCCTGAGAGCGTCCCGGGAATAATATACACCATTTCGAGGGATGAGTGTGAATCATTAGCCGCAGCACTGAGAAACGAAGGTATTGGCGCGCGGCCATTCCATGCGAAGCTAGCCAAAGAGGTGAAAGAAGACACTCTGAACCGCTGGATAGCCAATGAACCAGGCTACGATATTATCGTGGCTACAACTGCCTTTGGGATGGGAATTGATAAGAATAACGTTCGTTTTGTGGTACATTGGCGCATCCCCAAATCCTTTGAAGGTTACTACCAAGAGGCTGGTAGGGCGGGTCGAGATGGCAACGCCAGCTACTGCTTTTTATACTACAGCCGAGAAGATTTGGAGCGAGTCCAGCGTATGGTCAAAGGTGATCGCAGCGCCAACTTGAATAGTGATGTACGAATGCGAAGTTTGCAAGCGTTGGCAGTCTATTGCGAAAATACGTCGTCCTGTCGTCACGCTGAGATTTGCCAATACTTTGGCGAAGCTGCCGCCCCAGCCGCGTGCGATTATGCCTGTGACTGGCATAAAGATGCAGAAAACTTGAAGGAAAGATTTCGCCAAGGATTGGCGAGCGAGGAATGGGTTAGCACACAGGCCATGCAAGGCACATATGACTGCTATTATGACTATTGAATGACTAGCTGTAAATACGAGGTCGTGTTTACATGTAATTAATGATTCTTCTTCGTGTGTTCTTTGTCAGCCTTCTTGTTCTCAACGAGAGCTCCAAATCGACGCCAAGCCGCAACACCCTCAGTGAAAACGCTACACTCCCACAGCCACCAAACAGTTGACCAACGTTCAACCCCATGGCGGTGCATCCTCCAAGAGTCAAAGAGGAAGCATTCGCCAAAGTGAATACCGAGAACTGGAACAATTAGAACCTTGACGAGCCAGGTGAACGAACTAAGGCCGCCAGGGAAGTATTGATTGACAAGGCTGCCATAAAGGGTGGTTGGGACAATCCACGGTAGAGAAAGCACGTTGACAAAGTAAAACGATACGGCTGTGAAGACAACCCAGTCAGCTCCACTTGGCGGTAAATATTGATTGACATAAATATCGCTGATATTGAGTGCTTTACGAGCATCAGCGTCCATATCCACCAGACGCTGCCGGACCTGATCCCAGGACTTGAGCACAGGGGTAAAAGGCACCGTGTGATTGAGGCCACCGGCAAGGATACGCATCGACTCAAGAGAAATGTCTCTCATGGAGGCATTTTTAGTGTGGCTTGCCTTCAGACCATTGTAGTGTTGGAGAATGTGACGGAGCTCGCGCGTGTGCTCCCGATTCATATGGGAGATGATACGCTCCTTGCGAGCGTTCTCGTCTTGGACTTCAACAGATGGAGCCATGATGACAGGTGATTAAGAGTAGCGGCAATTAAAAATAACGAGGACGAACTGAAACACAAGTGAAGCGTGATCGGTGGATTTGGTGTCAGCCTAAAGTTCAACGGCAGAGTAGCAGCGAGGTTTTAGATGATGTTGTAGCGGCGTCGTTGGAGGAGCGGGGAGAGCGACTGAAGCGCATGTGGGCATGTTGCTGCGGTACACCAGGGACCTACCTGCATGGGGTATCGACCAGTGACACGTACAGCTCTAGAATAAGTAAATTCTTCTCTCAGAGTCGCAATTAAACGGCAATTAAATGCAATTAAAATGTATTTGATTACATTTTAAAGCGAGATGTAAATATGGAGCTTGCAATTGGTTGAACCTTACTGAGAGTTTAGACGGAACGCAGATCTGATATCGGCCCAGGCGCACACAGCCCGCACTAAGTTATAGCGGAGACCGCTGAGGCTTCACAGTGAAAGACTCTTATGCTACAGCGCATGATGTTGGGCCGGCATGGGCTTCTAGGAATGCGATGAGAAGTTTTATGGAAGACGACAAGTTTCTATATCTATCCACAGTTTGAAATTATTGATACGCCATATATGGCCTCTTTAAAGCGTATCTATTATTCACCAACGCCGAACAGTACTTCCCCAGGACCATCACGTGATATTTCGATCTGGCTCCAGTAATGGGAGGAAAAGTTGTGACGCGACCGTGGTGAGGTGACTTGGAAAAAATAGTCCAACATTTGCATTAGCCCATCATCTCATCATCGGTCGATCTAAGAAAAAAAAAGTAATTAATACTTAGAAATTTACTCTCGATAATAGCCAGTTCCGCACACACCAACGACTGCGCTTCGTTGATGAACCTTCCTCCGCATTCGCGATAATCACCTCCTGACGCAGCAGGAACCCATCGACACCCTGGCGCCCCTTCAATATCTTGCGACTCGCGACGGCCCCCTCCAGCGCTGGCGAGGAGGGCCCAAGGGAATGAACAAGCCTACAGTCTACACTCCCCTTGAGTCGCTGTTCCTATTCCAGTCACTACTAGCCCATGGCGTCGATACCAACGCGTTTCTTCGCATCTCCGAACTCCTCAAGAACAATGCTCTGATCAAGGGCGGCGCTACGTACGACGCTGCTCGATTCACTCCCGAGGCACTGCAGCAGCTCTTCCTGCTGCTGCTGGGCGAAGAGCTCAAAAGTGAGTCGGAGCGGCAGGATAGCTCTGAAGGCATCACAGTCCCGAATCAGAAGAAGCGCAAGGCCGGCAGCCCGCCTTTGCCGACGCTCAAGGATGCGATTCAATACATCGATAAGGTGCCCTTGCTAGTTGAAAGACTATATGCGCGATATCGCGATCATGTCGTCAAGGAAATTCGAGAAGATGAACGCAAGTTTGAGGCCGTGCAAAAGGATATCCAGCTCCTGGAACGAAGTGAAAAGGAAAGATTAGCCCGATCCGCCAGCCAGTCCGGCACCCCAGTACTAGCACCAAGAGAGGTGAAGTCTGCAGGGTCTAATAGCCCATCTCCATCACCCGGCCCAACGGCTGCCGTTTTGGCCGGAATCAAACGCGGCCCTCCGTTGGCTTCATCTAAGCTGCCTCCCGGAGGTATCCCCTCACCAGGTGCAACAACTCCCAGCCATCTGCAACACGGCAATCCTGCAATTCGATCGTCTGCATCACCAAAAACTGGTGCTGTGGCACCGCCGCCACTTGCCGGGCATCAGAACTTGAAACCGGCGCTTCAATCAGGGAAGCCGATCCTATCACCGAAACCAGATCCTTCTGTTGATGGCCAGGGACTCAAATGGGAACGACCTTATTCTCCTCAGCTTGCCGGCCAATCTCCTACACCAGGAACGCAGCCGTTACAACCGGCACCTGGGGGCATTCATGCTCAGCGGCCTGGTCAGCGAGTCCCTCAGTCGCAATCTCCGCTATCCAGCGCGCAAAGCGGACAGCCTCGACCAATTCCTGGCAAACCTCTTGCGGCCGCACCACATCCTAATCAAGCTGCTACTCCGTCATCAAACCCCGTCCCCATCCAATCGAAACCGCCAGTCACAAACTCCTCCCAAGGACGTGCGATCCAGCCCACGCCTATTCCCGACGCTGTGCGAGCCGCTCTGTCTCCATCTCCCGCCCAACCTTCCAGTCCCGCTACTCAAACTCTTTCCGCCACCCCTAGATTACACCCGCCAACGCAAGCTACTCGTTCAAACATCTCAACACCTCTCCCAAGTCTAGATGATAATGCGCACCTACAGGCGTCGCCCTACAACGCTAGCCAACCTCGACCAGCACTCCCAGAGCATATGATTAGACAAGCTGCCGGAACACCAACACCAACCAAGAAAGCGCAACCTACCGCTTCCGGGCCCCAAACTCCCACCCCCTCTAGCCCCATGGCACCACTCTTCAGAGGATTGGGCACAAAATGGGCCTCTACTTCAACTCCATCAACGCCTCGACCGATTCTGGAAGAACCCGAGAGCCCAGCATTCGAGCCTGTTAGCCCACCACAACGTACTGGTCCCTCGCGTGCCTCGTCGAGAGTCTCAACTAGAGACAACCCTCGACTTAAAACAGAATCGTCAGGTCGCGCGCGAGGTTCTCGTAGCAGTCTGAGGGGTCGGGGAGTCAGCGCTACACGCAGTCCTTCGGCAACACCACAGCCCGATGAAACCGCCGAAAACACGATCAAGCACGAGAGACTCACACCTAAGCCGCACGACGACGCGGGCGACACAACAGCCGATGAGAGCGTACATGGCCGCACTCGCCGGGGCACACCTGCTGGCCGTAGCTATAAGCGCAAGCGAAACGAGACACCCAGTGAGCCTGCCGTAGCGCCCACGCACGTGCTCTGGACCAGAGGCTTTACTAAAGTGTCCTCGTCAGCACTGGACCAGATCTCAAGCCACCGCGATGCTAACATGTTTGCGACGGCTCTCCGTGAGCGGGATGCGCCTAACTACCGCCAAGTTGTACTCCAACCACAGGATATAACGTCTATTCGCGCTGCTATCAAGCATGGCAATAAGGCTGCCACGCAAGCAGCGACCAGTCTTCCTGGTGGTGATCCTGGCACCACAAATGTGTGGCTTCCAACGTCGGAGGACCTAGTCCCTCCTCGAGCCATTATCAACAGCGCGCAACTAGAGCGCGAGCTTGTTCACATGTTCTGTAATGCCATCATGTACAATCCTGATCCTGATCGTGGCTTTGGACCAGCGTTTATGAAACGTTCCCAGGAAGAAGAAGAAGAAGCGCTGGGCTACGAGGTCGACGAGAACGGTGTTGTGAGAAACACCCAGGGCATGTTTGTAGAAGTGGAAAAGCTACTCTCAGACTTGCGCGCAGCAGAGAAAGATCGCGCACCTCCAGCACCGTCTGGAGCCGACGACACTGTTGAGGAAGAAGATGAGGAGACAGGTGAAGCAAATACAGAGACACAGGCTCCGAAGAGAAGACGTGTTAGTGCGCGAAACTAAAAACCACGGCTTTGCTTGCGGAACAGCATCACGTCTTGTAACGAATACTACGGCGTAGTTGAATATAGAAATTCTAGCTGCCCATTTAATCAACAATGACATATGTAACACTATTTATGAAATCCAAATTATAATTAAGAGAGTTCAAACTCCTTAAACGCCGCGCTGCTTCTCAGATGTGTACTGTTGTCTAAATCATGTAAAAAGGTGTCGAGGTTGTGTTAATGGCTAGCGACTAAGCCGTCGGCTTAGGCTGCGACCAGCTAGATCTTTTCTGTAAAGCTTCCTTCTTTGGATCACGGCCCTCACTGTCGCCGATGTACTTCCTTGGCCAGTCGGGGCATATGTCGATGTTCTCTCGAGGAAACCACCATTCAAGAAGCAAGAAAAAGAGATAATCGATGACGACACATAGACAAAACAGTTTGCCTGCCCAGATTCCACAGCCATAGTATCGCTTTAGTCTGTCAATTAGTGCAAAACCACGAATGCGGCTGCCGTTGAAGCCCCCAGTGTCGAAGCCATAGAAATCTTCCTCGCTGATAGTGCCGGTGATACCATCGTACACTCGCTCAGTACGTAGGGCAACGTTGGACCACGAGTACATCTTTTTGACCTCGTCGTGGAACTTTTCGGTTCGGATCTTGCCGGCTCTGACGGCTGTGATGGCCTTTCCGGTTGCAACTACCAAGTCATCTTCTTCAGGCTTGGCGAACGTTGTCATGTGTGATGGCAACACCTCTGGGATGCCACCAACTTGTGTGCAGACAACATAGAGACCACAGCTGGCAGCTTCGACAATCACAGTACCGAACGCCTCTGTAAGCGATGGATGAAGATATATATGGCCGCGGATCATGACGTCTCGAACATCTTCATGTCGTATAGGTCCCAGCATCTCGACGCGGTCTTGCAAGACATTGGTCTCGATCATTTGCTCCAGGTCAATGGCCTTGGGACCTGAGCCGGCGATAATAAATCGGGTATTCGGATGGTTCTCTAAGATCCGGGGTATGGCAGCAGTAAGAAGATCTGTTCCTTTGTTGTAGAATAAGCGCGAGATGACCACAATGGTAATCATGTCGTCTGGTCCCAATCGCTGTGGGACGGGCTCGTAGCCAAACGATGTTCCGTTTTTTGGCGATAATGGATAGTTTCGAGGACGAAAGTTTTCGGCAACAACGGCGTTCGGGATGACGGAGACCATGAGAGGATCTAGAGAGGCGCGGAGCACAGTATTCTCCTTACTGTTTGCGGTTAGCGCTTGTAGGCCATTGCACTTGATTGCTGTGTCTTACCATGTGTGGCTCACACAGATACTGTGGTCTACATCGCTGAGGATGAATTTCAACAGCTTATTTGTCAGAATACTCGCCGCATCTGCGAAGCCAAATAACGAGTGATCTGTGAAGACTGTGCGGAGGCCCATGGCACGGGCATGCAAGATGCTTTCGTGGCATAGACTACTAAGACTAGCATGGCCGTGTACAATTTCGATCTGCTCTCTAATACAAATATTTCGGAACGTCGGGAAGAAGGAGAATACGGTCGGGAATGTCGCTTGGCGGTAGATGACGAGGAACGGGACGTGGTAGACCTTTAGGCCGTTGGTGAGGTAGCGGACGCCTTTGCGGTCGCCATAGGCGTGCGTGATGATGATAACTTTGTGACCGCGGTCTATCAGCTTGCTAGATAACTGATATATATGTGATTCGATGCCTCCTGGTTGCGGGAAGAAGAAATCGCTAACCATGGCGATGTTGTAGGTTCGGCGCGTCATTGTTAGCGAGAGAGGGGAGAGAGCTGCGCTTCTCCCACGTTAAGCGGGCAGTTTCATGTGGTTTATGGCGTATTATGATTGGTAGGATATCGCGGACTGCATCCCATTGATTTATTATGTCGCTAGGGAGATTGACGGCTCAGCAGCAGCTGTTTGGTTTGTGGTGACGTTTGGTTCAGTGATGCGTGGCGCAAAGAGTATCCCCTAACTTTAGCTTAAGCCCCACCAAATTATTTAGCGGCTCCCTACGGGGGGTAGTTTAGAGGGAGACAGCGGCCCCCGGCGCTGTTCGATAAGGCCTGTGGTGAGGAGTGGCAGAATCCCGATAAGCGCATCTTCCGCCAAATTTTTGGAGAACTTGGTAGCAGCTGGACAAATCAACTTCGACGCCCTCCAATTGTCTTTTGCGTCTGCATCCTTTGTTGCAGCAGCCGGAATTGGCTAGCAGGGCTGTTGCCAAAGTTTGCGATTGATCGTATATAAGATGCCGTCTAGAAAATCTTCGTCAGCGACCGACGCTAGCGCTGAGATCTCGAAGGACCGAAAGCGCAGCTCGGTTGACGATGATGCTCCCGCCAAGTCGAAGCGAAAGAGAGATCGTGACGAAGGTACAGACGAAGAGGACGAGTTAATCACAAAGAAATCAAAAAGCAAAAATTCGAAACCCCCCCATGATGATGACGACCACGACTCCTCGAAAAAGTCGAAAAAGGCGAAGAAATCGAAGAGAGCCAAGACTCCAGACACTACAGATACAGAATCTACCTCGTCAGACTCGGACGATACAAGTGACATAGAAATGAAATATGAGGACGCATCTGAGCCGGCCGCAGTGGAAAAAGTTAAGCGAAAGAAAGAAAAAGTTAGGAAACCTCGAATCGAAGAGTCCGACGACGAAGACCCGAAAGATGCCAGACATAAAGCCCTCTTGGAGCGCAAAGAGAAGTCGCTAAAGATTTCTATGGAGGCTGCCAAGCACTTGGTTGAAGAGCCCGTTGAGGATGTTGAGATGTATGGCCTGGAGCCGCTCCCCCAGCCAGACGAAGTTATTGATACAACCTCGAAGCCCACATACCAAACATTGCCGTCATGGCTTGCTGCACCGATACGTGTTTCCCAATCGAAACGCATGCCGTTTACAAACCTAGGCATTTTGCCCAAAGCAGCGAAAGTACTCGAGGAGAAGGGTTATGCGGATGCCTTTGCCGTTCAAACCGCCGCTATTCCTCTACTTCTCCCATCTGTCAAACACCACAATGGCGATCTCCTGATTTCGGCCGCTACCGGTTCTGGTAAAACGCTAGCTTACGCCTTACCTATCGTTCGGGATATCAGTCAAGGAGTTGTAACGCGGCTCCGAGCGCTCGTGGTTCTGCCTACACGAGAACTTGTCCGTCAAGCGCAAGAAGCGTTTGAGAATTGTGCCAGGGCCTACGAAGGAGAGAATCGCAAGAAAGTTCGAATTGGCATCTCTATCGGCAGTCAGTCTTTGAAGAATGAGCAAGAAGCTCTCGTTGAAAGCGAATCACGATACGATCCAGAGCGATACGAGATATTACTCAAGGAAATTCGAACACAAAAAGGGTTACGGTCTGAAACTAGCGAGGCTGAGCTAGATGATATCAATGAAGACCCGAGAATAGGGAAATGGGACGGCGAGGTTGTGGATTTCCACTCTAAGGTCGACGTTCTTATTTGTACACCAGGTCGCCTAGTGGAACATTTGGAACAGACGGCGGGCTTTGGACTTGACTATGTCCGCTGGCTAGTGGTTGACGAAGCCGATAAGCTTCTTGCACAGAGCTTCCAGGGCTGGCTCGAAACAGTCATGGCGCGCTTCCGAACCAACATTTTTGGAGCACGCGACTTTCCCGACGTCGCATGCTCGGGTGTTCGCAAAATCGTCCTCAGTGCCACGCTGACACGAGATTTGAGTCTGTTGAATCAGTTGGGTCTGAGACGCCCGCAGTTGATTGTATTGGAGAGCGATCCTAGCGCTGAGGTTTCAGAGCATTCGCTACCAGATCTGCTGAAGGAGTTTGCCGTCCGTGTACACGATGCTAACTTGAAGCCACTCTATCTTCTGGATCTCCTCCGCGGTGCAGATATGGCTGCCGAGGACAAAGCCCTTTCATCAACTGGAGAGGAAGCTTCTACTTCCAAGACCGACGACTCTTCTGACTCCTCCGCCTCGTCTGATTCAAGTGATTCTTCAGACTCCGATTCCTCAGACTCCAGCGATTCCGACTCATCTAGTGACTCAAGCTCAGACTCTGATTCGTCCGATTCAGACTCAGATTCGGATTCCGAATCAACACCTACACCAGCTCCCAAAAAGTCCAATATTCCCATTGCTCTCATCTTTACGAAATCCAACGAATCCGCTCTCCGCCTTTCTAGACTCCTCGCCATCCTCGATCCATCACTCACAGCACACATTAACACCATCACATCCACAACACCTACTCACGTCCGCCGCAAGACCCTCCGCGCCTTTACAACACCTTCATCTCCTATCCGCCTTATTATTGCATCTGATTTGGTTGCTCGTGGTATTGATATTCCCAAGCTCGGCCACGTTGTCAACTACGATCTCCCCGCCAGTTTGGCCGGTTACGTCCATCGTGTAGGACGTACTGCGCGTGCCGGCCGCGCTGGTTGCGCCTGGACCTTGGTAGATGACCGTGAAAGTGGTTGGTTCTGGGGCAAGATTGCCAAAGGCAGTGGTGTTCGCAGAGCTAAGCCTGTTGCCAGAGTACGCATTGAGGAAATGGAGGCGTCCAGGGTGGACATGTATGAACAATCGTTGGAGAAGCTTGGAAAGGAAGCCGTTGAGAAGAGACGGAAGTAATATACCAACAGCAAATAGCATGATAATTACAACAAATGACAAACTTTACACCCCGATGCCACGTCTATGTGACTTGTCTACCATGAGTTCCTTTCCACTGGTGGTGTATTAACTCTCAGGGAACTACCTTCACCACTGCCATAAGTCTGCTCTTCAGTATCTCCTCCAGATTCAACGTCTCTACCAGCCAGCAGCGGTTGTATCGTGTCTTCGAGGTCGTTGCGCATGGTTGTCCACCAGTTGGTGCCTTGCTGCATCATTAATAGCCCGAAAATTTGCATGATGCCAACCAAGATGACAACGACAAAGTCGATCGCAGAATGTAACTGCATTGCAGATTCCCATGGGCCTCTGCACGGCGTTGCTCGATTATAAATCTCGGCGCACCGACTGACAGTTTGGTTGCCAAAGGGATACGCTCGGTCATTGACGGTGTTCAGGCCGCAACACTGAAGAGTATCTTGGATATACATAATAGATTGGCCATTTCGACTCTTAAACATGCCCATCCAGACGTCCTCCAGAACACATTCCAAGGCAGGTGAGGGTACGAAGCCCTCTGCGAGCAAGGTTGCCAGAACTGCGGTGAGGATCGCCTGAATGCCTTGTAGAATGACAGGGCTCATACGCTGTAGGCGGTTCGGAGATGATATCTCACTTAGAAGATTTGGATACACAAATGCATTGATAAAGGATGCAATGGGGAGAATGGTGGTTAAGATGGTGATGGCATCCGCGATTGGGAGGGAGAGATGGACGCTGTGGAAATGGATAAGACTGCAGTAGTGTTAGCCTTGAAGAGGTTTATTTGTTTCGAAATTTGACTTACAGTGCAATGGCAAATAGTATCAGGCTAGCCTATTCTTTATTTTTAGCTAGGTGTCAAGGCAGAGAGCGGTGGCGAGCATCGCGTACCAGCATATACACGACGCCTGGATTACACGCCATGATGTCTGCTCTGAGGCGATCACGAGTTACTAAGGCAGCGGGCTAAAAATGTAAATAGAGGGCGAAGGAGAACAGTCTCTAAATAAATAACACTGAGGCGACAACGCGGAGGTTTTATAGATTCAAAATGCGAGGAGTCAAAGAGAAGGGGCATGAGAAATGGGTTGAAAGATGCGGTCTCTGCCACCTGCAGCTCAAACGCGCCTATGGTATGAGCAGGTGATTTGCCTTCATGCATGGTGACGCCGTAGCAGGTCCCTATTCTGCTTAGTGTGACCTTGCACTGTATGCAGCTGAGACATGACGCCTTTTTTTTCCTCCTCCTCCTTTGCTCTTCTGGCGACCAGATGCTATTATTCACAGTGGCTGTGTGATTGCTACGACTCTGGTCTTGCTTCTAAAAAAAAAAAAGCATGGGTAATAGAAAACTAGTTGCTATGAACGGACGTTATTGTTGGGTAGCAGAAATACCAAGCTTTCACTAGCAGGCGGCGCAGCACGTTAATCGCAAGACACGTTGACAGGGGTTCACGAAGGAAGCTGCGATGCAACATAAGAGACCATGGAAGAGGAGTATTCATGTGGGAAAAGATTCATATTCCTGAGTACAATATGGCGCAATTTGGTAGCCATACCTAAGCTCATCATCCCTAGATATCAGATTTACTTCCAGTTAGATGTCCCCATTTCCTTTGTTCCGAAAGGCAGCTTAGTACTCATGCAGTTACCGTCTTTGTCTTCTCCTGTGAATTGCCCTTAGTCTCAGTCACAGCCTCCTGGCTATCACTGGCGCTGGTGCGCTCCTCGTCGGCAGCGTTGGTAGAGACACCAGCAGCCTTGGCCTTAGCCTTCATGAAGGGCCATCTTCCAGTCGACTCATGGAAGCGCATGAGAACAAAGCCGATCATGACTGCGATCCAGTAGACGTTATATGAAATGACGGAGCCGTATGTGGCTGAGTTTGTCCAGCCAAAGATGGCGTTGAGGATGCCCCAGGCTTGGCTGCCGGGAACATCGGGGGCGCAGCACTGATGGATGCATGTTAGCTCAAGATAATCTGCGGGGGAGGTGGAGATTGTAGCCTTACGTTAACATGCCAAACGCTCTTATCAATGTCATAAGAGCCAGGACCAGCGCCACTCTCAGCAACGTCACCTCCAACCAGCTTATTCCACTGCTGCTGCTCAAAGGACCAGACCGCGCGAGAAAAGAGGCCGGCAGCAACTAGGTAGAGCAAGCATGTCGAGACAACGAGGAAGAGCTGCAGCTTAGCTCCGGCGCCACCCCTACGTTCATGTCAGCAAATGTAAGTTACTAGGTGGCGAAGACATGCAAAACTTACTTGTAAAGCAGGTAGCCGACGAGGATGCCGACGATGAGGCCGACCACAACGGGCAACGGTACAGCGGTAGCAGGTGCAGAGAAAGAAACGCCAGCAACAAACACGACAGCCTCAATGCCTTCACGCAAGACGGTAATGAAAGGAAGGACAAACATAGCGTATTTCTCGAGGAAATGCTTCAGCCAACCCCGGGAGCCAGCCTTCATTGGTGTTGCAATAGCCTTTGCGATCTTTACTCGCCACTTATCTTGCATCTTGCCAATGCGAAGAAGAGCGGCACCCATGACGGTGATGATGAGTGACGCGACAAGGCAGAAGGCACCTTCGTAGTAGAGATCATTGTTGCTCCAGGCTTGAGATCCGACAGTGTAGAAGACGCCAATAATGGCGCCGGCAACGACCATGCATATGAAGAAGCCTATACCTGTACCTAGCCAGATCTACTGACAATTAGACACTTCAATCGGGTAAACTGTTGCGCAGTGGGAGAATATATACCTGTTTTCTCAACTTCTTGTAGGTCTCGATATCGCCTTTGGGGCCGCCAAGGGTCTGCTTGATAAAGGCCAAGAGGACAGACACAATGATGACCGTCTCAAGCGCTTCACGGAAGACAACCAGAAAGACTGGCACGGAAAAGACGTCGGTAGTCATTGTTTCGTCAAAGGAGACAATGGCCCGTCGCCTTGGTGTGTGGATGAAAAGGGACAAAAGCTATGCAATTGAGAGGAGGGAACAGTGCAGAGGTTGCGAGGTTGAAAAAGAGTCACGAGCGGTTGAAGGATGTGGAGGGGGCCCTGTGCGATTGTACTCTCTGGTCGGTTCCGGAGCTCTCGTGGTCGGCTCGGATCAGATAAGACGGACACCGACTAAGCGAGTCAAGGTAGGAAGCGCGCAAGAAAAGAAGTACCTTTTGTGAAGAGAAGGCGCAAAATGAAATCAACAGCAGAAAAAAGTTTCGGTGATGGGGTCTGGAGGGAGGCAGGCGGGAAGAAAATGGAACGGAAGCTGGTAGCAGGACGAAGTATAGCACAGGAGGGTCCCCGTGGATTCCAATAGCAAAGTACCGGCGCTAGCGCAGAGTGTGTGTGGAACCAGAATGGCTTGAGAGGCTGAAGACCGAAGCGGATCAGATAAAAAACACCTGAGAATTTGATTAGGGCATGAAGAAAGGAGAGTGGAATACTGAATCAAGTGAGCATGTGGATATTGACCCAGGATCTTTTGTTTCTTGAGCGGACCGGCTTCGGAGCAACATCAATGGTAAGAGGAAGCTAAGAACTGCAGCGATACTACTGCACGTACATCAGACACATGCCAAGCAATAGTTCGTCGATCGTACATGCAGAAGACAGGTTACAGCCGCAAAGCAAGTGGCTTTCTCTGCTCTGCAAGCGGGAAAAAGAAATCCAAAGAGGGGGCGCCAGGAGCAGTTGTGCCGCGCAGGATGCAAAGCAAAGACGGTTGCTGCTTGCTACATTACTGCATCGGGGTAGTTCGCAGCTGCGACAGGTGCGAGCCGCCAGATGTCCCCTGTAGGTGCAAAAAAATTCATTTAGCCGGCTACGACCATATGTATGCTTACGGGCATATCAACTGTCAACGTTACTTGGTGCCCAGCTGAGCAATGGCTTGCATTTTCAGTGTAGGAATAATTCCAATTCGCTGTGAACATTCCCTCTTGACCGCCACTAACGCTGCCCAATTTCTGGCGCTTTGCTTTCTTCCTTTTTTTTTTTTCAGTCTCGGCTTCCCGGTGGCTTGCTGGCGCCTCGTTATCAATCAGCTGCACCATCTCTTGGCCCAATCGCAGCGCATCGCTTGGCGGGGTTGGCGTCCCACCAGCGGTCGGTGTCCGGTGCCTCCCCACTAAACGACAGTAGCGAACCTGCTAAAAAGGCGCTGTGAGCCCCACTGGCATGCCCCCAGCTTTTGGCATTGCAACCCTGCAACAGCGTCCAGCCGCCCCGTTCCCTGCATCCCCCCCGCTAGGAGGCTCTTTTCAGGCCACTTTCCCCACTGTGGTGCCCGTAGATTTCTGCAGGGTTAGGCCACTATGCCGCTTATAGCATGTGGCAGCTAATGCTTTAGCTTGTCGGGCTGGTTTTTGCTCCGTCTCGTGCCATTCTGAAGTTTTTTCTTCTCCCTCGGTGGAATCAATTTGGCAATTCGGCAAAGTAGAGGTACCGCAAGGATATGGCTGGAAGAGGCGTCCCACCAATTAGGTCCTGCTAGCTTGTTTTCAGCCTGTGGCGTCCATCCTAGTGTCCTTCTCACGTTATCTGATCCGAAGCTGGTAGTCTTTGGTGTCCCGCTGTCTGTGTTTTCCGCCCTTCGTCGCTCTTTTCCCACGTCTCTTTTTTTTTTCATGAACCACCCACCAAACCTTGACTCGCTTCTGGAAAGACTCTATCACATGGCCGATCGGCCGGTATTACCCGTTTTCTTATAGCCTCTTCCTTCTATCCGTCCCAACGGTGTAGACGAGCAAGCCAAGTCTGCCGCTGCACCCTTCCCCACCACCATCATCGCACCCCAATTCTGATCCCACCCTACCTTCAATACTCTTCCTCTTTCTTTCTTTCTTATTCTTGCTCACTGCTGGCTTCAAGTTTACCTTCTCATATCTGCTCACAACTGGTGTACCATCGCAAAGTCTCTCTGCTTATAATGGCCGTCCTCCGAGCTTCATGGCTTGCGGCGGCGTTTGCCTTGCCTTGGCTCGCACAAGCCGAAACTGTTGTCCATGACTTCAACATCACTTGGGTTCGCGCCAACCCAGATGGCATGTTCGAGCGTCCAGTCATTGGTATCAACGGAAAATGGCCCATCCCGACAATCAACGTCACACTTGGTGACCGTGTTGTCATCAATGTCAACAACCAGCTCGGCAACCAGTCCACCTCGCTGCACTTCCACGGTCTCTTCATGAACGGCACCAATCAGATGGATGGCCCTTCAGGTGCAACCCAGTGCCCAATTCCAGTCGGATCATCCTTCACGTATAACTTCACTGTCGAACAACCCGGAACTTACTGGTACCACTCTCACACAAACGCGCAATACCCGGACGGTCTTCGCGCTCCTTTCATTGTTAACGACCCCAAGTCCCCATACAACGGTAAATATGACCATGAACAGGTCCTTACCCTTTCCGACTGGTACCATGACGAGATGCAAGACATGATTCCCGTCTTTATGAGCAAGGTCAACCCTTCTGGCGCTGAACCAGTTCCCGACTCTTCTCTCATTAATGAGCAGCGTGATCTCCAGCTCTCTGTTGAGCCTGGCAAGACATACCTCTTCCGTACCATCAACATTGGTGCCTTTGCTAGTCAGTATCTTTGGATTGAAGGGCACAAAATGCAGGTTGTCGAAGTCGACGGTGTTTATACCGAGGCTGCTGAAACAGACATGATCTTCATTGCTGCTGCGCAGCGTGTTAGCTTTCTCGTCACCACCAAGAACACAACTGATGCCAACTTCCCTATCGTCGCCGCAATGGATACGGTAAGCTCCCTATTTTCGCACATTAAATCCCAATAGTCACTAACAAACCAGACCCTTTTTGATCAAACTGACCCCGATGCCGACTACAACGTAACTGGATGGTTCACCTACGACAAGACCAAGGATCTACCCAAGCCCACTCTTCTCGACGAGTTCAAGCCCCTGGATGATATGACACTCGTACCATTCGATCATCAAGAACGTCTCCCGGAGCCCGACCGCATCGTGGAACTTGATGTCATCATGAAGAACCAAAAGAACGGTGCCAACTATGCCTTCTTCTCCAACATCACCTACACAATGCCCAAGGTCCCCACCTTGTATACTGTCATGTCTGCGGGTGATCTTGCAACAAACCCCGAGGTGTACGGAACATACACTCACCCTTTCGTTCTTAAGAAGGGCGAGATTGTGCAGATTGTCGTCAACAACCTGGACAGTGGTAGACACCCGTTCCATCTTCACGGACACCACTTCCAGGCTGTCTACCGCTCTGAGGAAGAAGCCGGCACCTTTGCTGATCTCAATGTTACGGAAGATAGCCTCTCCAAGACGCCAATGCGCCGTGATACCATGGTTGTTTGGCCCCAAGGAAACATCGTGCTTCGTTTCCGCGCTGACAACCCCGGTGTTTGGCTTTTCCATTGCCACATTGAGTGGCACGTTGTTTCTGGCCTGTTAGCTACCTTTATCGAATCTCCTCTCGATATCCAAAAGCAAGCAGCTATTTCAAAGGACCATCTTGCTGCATGCGAAGCGGGTGGTATACCCACCAAGGGCAATGCCGCAGCGAACAGCGCCAACTTCCTTGACTTAACTGGTGAAAATACCCCGCCAGGCGATCTCCCAGATGGGTAAGTCTATATATATATATTCAAATTTGTTTATTACACGACTAATGTAGTCTTTTCATAGTTTCACTTCAAGGGGCATTGTGGCCTTCGTTTTCAGTTGGATTACTGGCATCCTCGGAGTCTGTGTCGTGGCTTGGTACGGCTTATCCCAGCCCAAGTCTGCTGCGTACTCTCGTCCCATAGAGATTGTTGAGGTTGCCAATCAGGAGAATGATGGTGTAGCGGCTACCAACGAGGGAGCTGTGTTGACAACGGGCGCCGAGACCTCACAAAGAAGCTAAAGAGCAACCTTTCCTGACAGCCTGCACAGTCGTTAAGAGCTGCTAGTGTATATCTGAATCTATAATAAAGTTTATTCATTGGAAGTATCACAGCTACGAAAGTACACGTCGAACAAATGTGAATAGATGCTTAGAAATTCGTATATTACGCCGTCCCTGGAATCATGATGCAGGGAATGGGACATCCTGCAACCCGTGGGAATGTGCCAAAACTAGAAAGAAAAAAGTCAAGCTATAAAGCTAAGGTCCTCCCACTTAAAGAACGTTTTGCTGTTTATAAATACAAGAATTGAAGCTGAACAGAATATAGAGACAAATGAGTGTAGCCATTCCATCATCAAGATGAAGAGGATGTGGACTCGTCGTCGGCACTGCCACGACGAGCCACAGGTTTGTCGCCGTCAATATCGGGTGTTAGTTTAAGTTTTTCATCGAGGAGCTTAACAAGCCGCTCAGAATATTCGTCCAACAGGCCGCTAAGCACTGTCTCATCCATAGCTTTACTTCGAACGGCTCGGTCTCCCAAGGCTGCTACTGTCAACCGAAGTTCCTGATCCAGTTCGGCAAGGCTTTCTGCGGATATGGTTTCAGTCGACGTGAGCTTTCGACGGTATGCTCGAAGAGCCCTGCAAGTTTGCTCTGTTGCCGTATTCAGCGTTCCTGTTCCGGCGTTCGTACTTCGCAGGTTCGATAGAGACGTCTTCTTTCGCGCTGCCATTCCCATTGCTGGGAGAGATGGACGTCGGGTCACCACCCTCCCTTTAGGGCTAGGTGGGCTGCTTGGCCGGACTCCAGCATCTGACGGCCGTCTCCTCGACGGGGTATCTTCCATGATAACGCTGCTATTGGGACTAGGTTGCAGAGTACCCGTCGTGCCTTTCGCGTTCGCTGCTGTCGTATTCAACGTTAATCGCGATGTGCGGCGTCGCAGTGTACGAGAAGGCGACCGCCGACCAGAAGGCTCGGGCGACGGCCGTTGAAATTCAGCTAGCTCAGATCTGGAAAGCACGCGTCGAAGGGTCTGTCGACCAGGTGCAGCAGTCTTGACGGGTGAAGGATCCCTACTAATGGATCCTCTGCGCATTGAGCCTCGACTAAGTGATCGCGGCGATTGTTCGTTCAAGTCCAGAGCCCACAGCATGACGGTGCCATCAGATCCGACGCTAACGACCTTTTGTGCGCCATCATCTTCTTCAATTAAACAGACACCATTGATAGCCTCGGTGTGTCCCCACTCGCGATCTAAGAATGAGGCCGAATTTGCATCATAGATACGAATGGATTTGTCTGTATTGGATGCGCAGAGCAGAAAGTCCATGTCCCGTTGTGGCCAGTTGCCGAGACTCAAGTGGTCCAAAACCGCCGTTTCAGTTCCACCTTCATCGACGCATTTGAAAGAGCTCAGCTGTTTGCCTGTCGCATAATCAAACTGGCAGACGGAACGATCGAGCAACGATACAAAGATCGATCTGCCATCAGGTCCCATCACAACTGACGTTGGGGAGCCTTTGAGAGATATGGATTTCGAGGGAATAGCAGCAATGACGTCTGGGCTTCCCTCTTTCGTGATAATATCATGAATCTGCATAGATCTATCCATGCAGCAGGTGATGATTTTGTCTTCCGACGGAACCAAGACTTGAACGACCCGCGATGAGAATTCGAGCGTCTGGAAGTGCTCAATATCACCATTGGAGTTGCGATAAAACAGCTGGGCTGTCCGGTCCTTGCCACACGTGGCCATGATCATCCTTGAAAAGTCCTCGTATATGCTCATGTTGACGCAGTATAGAGCGTGTGCTTTCGTGTCGAGAAGGCTTTCTCTGGTGTCGACGTCAATAATCTTCAAGACTCCCAGACGGTCGCCGACAACCAAGTGTTTCCCATTCCGTAATGTCTTAACACATACTAACTGGTTTCCCAACTCTCCGTATGTGTCAATTTCATTCTTATCAAAAGGAATTTGAACACTTCCTTTCACGCAACCCTCCATATCCCAGAACAGAACTTCGCCCGACCCGGACCACGTGAGGAAAGAGGCGTCCATTTTATTAGGGCGTGTAAGGCGATGAACTCCTACGATAGGCTCACCATGTCCAGGTAAAGTGATGTGAGCTGCTGCCTTCTCATCTTGACCTGGACGATGCCCTACTGTCCAGATATCGATGGTCTGCTTTCCGTCCACTGTAACGAGGTTATTATCAAGGAATCCTAGCGCAACAAGACCACCGCTAGGGCTTGCTTTTGTTAAGAATGCATCCTCCCGGCCGTCCATCAAGTCGAAGATGTCCAGAGTGGCGAAATCTCCATTTTTACCGCCGATAAATACGACGTTGTCGCGGATTGTAATAGTCGAGATACTGAAATCAACGTTCAACACTTTGAGAACCTTCATCTGCCTGTCATCATCATCCATGATGCAAACATCGCCAGCTTCGGTACACATTACGATGCGCCCGCTATCAACTGCAGCGCAAGTAAACGTGGCATCCAGCATACTACCCAATATAACATTTCGTCCAGGTAAAGATTTCTGTACGGTTGGTGTGGAAGGGCCAAGATCGCCATATTTGGCACGAGTGGGTGATACGTTGGCTTCATCGATCCTCCAAAATTTGATATGTCGAACACCTAGGGTGATGAGGTTACTGCCCATCCAGACCATACCCTTTATAAACGAGGTGCAACGATTTTGTTGGAAGAGTTTTGCTTGACCAGTTCTCTGGTCGATCTTCCAGATGTAGAGGAATCCATCATTAGCAGTGCCTAGTGAAGCAAGGTATTGACTATCAGGAGACCAGGCGACGACATTGACGCCGTATGCATGTTCGCTAATGGAAACAAGTGGAATATTCGATGAGGTGTCCTGCAAGCTGAAAATGAGTACACGCGGAGCGTATCCTGTTTCACCGACTGCAAGATACCGCCCATCCCCACTAAGTGCTACGCAGGTGGCCGCCTTTATCCGTTCCCTACTTGTCCATGTCTTTGAGGAAGGCGAGTCGGTCCAGTCTTGTTGTGCCAAAGGTGATTCGCGGAAGACAGCCGACATTCGATTGCGACTATCATTGGCCTTTGGGGTAGTATTAGTAGGAGTTGTGGGATTCTTTTGTGAAGTAGCCATGGGATATATGGGTTGGGCTGTTGGTCGAGCTCGGAAGAACCGTTGGCAGTAATTGGTCCCATCCACATCAACCACAACCACAGATGCACCAGCAACATAGGCAAAGGATGAGCTGACGGTAGAGAAGCCGGTCGGTGAGCGACATGTTGTGCCAATGACGCGTTTCAGAGAAAGATGTGAATCGAGTGTTGGTGCTCTCAAGGGGGATCTCGACGGTCGCCCGAAGTATGGAGAATTTGCGGGCGTGAGCTTCAGCCGGCCGTTTGAGGGAGTTGCGAGGGCCATCTTGAGTCCATTGGTGTATGGCGATGTGCCGTCGCTTTAGTTGCGAAGTGTGACTGGCGAGATCAGCCAGCAAGAGTTCGCGAGATGGCTAGATTGTAATATGTCGTAAGTCGATGTTGGTTGACATCGATCGCAGTGTCGCGAAGGTAGTAAGGAATTCGGATTTAGATTCGAAAGGAGCCTGTCGCTATTGCAAAGCTCCAATTAGCCAACGTCGTGCATTTTTGCGAATGGTTACCTACAGTGAAAGCGCCCGATTTGCGGTCGCGAGATCGAGAAAGGAAAATGGTGATGCAAAGAGTGACAAGAATAATGAGACGAGGTAGCGTCCCGCTAGGTATGGTGTTGGTCGACAACGAGGGGAATTTTGTCAGTTGAGAGGCGCGTCCGAGAGCAAAGAAGAGAAATGAAATGGGCAAGCCGCGACGGAGCTCAGAGTTAAAGTGGTGAGGGTTGGGTGGTGAATTTGGACTGGGGGTGATGGTCTAGTTCAAGGGGAAACGAGGCGACGACAACAAGTACCGTAGGTATGTTGTTTGTGTCTGCGAGTGACTTAGTGTCTTGAACCAGGGTAACGGGCTTCTGTATGGTCGAGGTGATTTGATGGTGGATGAGCTAACGATTGACCGGGGTGAAGAGGGATAGCGTGGGCAGGCCAGATTCCGGCGCTGTATTAAATCTGGGGCTAGTGTCTTGAGGCCGTGGATATCAGTGCCAATTGTGACGTACTGCGTCTCTTGTCGGGATTTTTCTTTCTTTTTTCCTGCGGCTTGCGACTTGTCTCTTGTCCCCTTGTTGATGTCTGTTGTTTGGAAGAGCTGGTGGTTGCTTGATTTGCTTGTGTGGGTCGCCAGGCACCCGCCCGTCCGCCACTCACAGCTGCTGCCAGGTGCCGCCAGCTGCACGCCAGCGGTTTTGCACCAGTAGCGGCAGTCGCTCGCCCAAGGGCCCCTGTTGCCCGGTCAATTAAACGCTATATGGTGCTCTGATTGGTCTGCTCCCACCACACCCGCAGCCGCATCTTCATCGACAGATTTCGTCAGCGGTTATTTGGTGCTATAGCATCCGATAGATTGACACGAATAATATCCATAATTTAATGCGGCACTCAATATGGGCTTCAGCCCTGACACGCCAAACGCGCTGATTCTTCCAGCGCTCTCACACGTCCTGTCCCATCTTGATTCCGATCCTTGCCATATCGGGGAGCAATGAATCACAGCCAGAAATGCTTATAGGTTAGCTCTCCAAGTTGCATCCGGTACTGGAGCTTCACGGAGAGATTATGCATTCCTGAGAAACCCTTACCCTCCCTAGCCCGGCAGGGTGGTAGAGATCGCTGTCTTGGTGGTTTCTATGCTCCTTCAAAGTTATACGCTAAGTAAAACTTAATTATTACTTGTATTTTAACTAATAGTTTAAGCTAGATTTTGTGGAAGACCTGCGTGTTTAACATCGTCATCAACTGCGCTCCTCGACCAATCTTCACATGTGTTTGTTACAGAGACCTCCCCAGCCCATCTTTTACATCAGTCAATTCATTAATCTCCTCCTTAGATTTGATAAATTTGACAATAATCGAAGAAAAAAAAACAAATTTTATTGTCCTGTATGAAATGAGGATAGGCTTTGGCAGCGCGTCAGCCGCAACCACTGGTACCACCCTGTAGACACTCAGCTATAACCATGGAGGCCGCCCTTTGCAGATATTTTACTGTCACACATGAGACCAGTATTTCAATTCTAAAAATAAATCTGATGAAAATCAAATGTCTGCTCTCTGGGCCAAAGCGGGGTTGCATTGGGTGTAATGCTGTGTAATGCATACGTGCTCGCCAGCGATTGAACAGGTACCGTAACACCGACTGTTCATGTAGAGATACGAAATGCACCAAGCCAATACCAGTGGGAGCGACGCAACAACTACGAGAAAGGTATATGCTTCGCATCATCAGATGGGAAATGATTGCACGAATCTACGCCCCGTTGATTGACGGGTACACACGCTTTCAGCACAGCATACAGCTATCGAGGAAACCACCAGACTCATGGCAGTCACATTCGCCTGCGAGAGTCATAAGCCACCTCGCAATTCATCGGACGCTTTTGGTCCACACCCGACGCCAGCTTCATGGTGCAGCGGTCTAGAAGGTCTTGGGATTTACCACCCCAAAGTGTCCCATCATGATGACAGCTTTGCCCACGACTGCTCAGATGATGGCGCTGGGCAAAGCTTCAAGCACCCCTGTCGAAGGCCTGTTGAGCACTGCGATGGGTCAGGGAGATCGTCACAGTCAGTCGATCTGGCAAATATCACTCGTTTGCACACCTTAGCACACCTAGCTTGGGGATGCTACCTGATCAAACATCGGTAAACCCTGTTTGTTCGCAAATCGAGGACCAAGCGCACGCCGAAGAAACTGCCGGTGCTGATCAAACTAGCGGTGGCCTTGCGCTCAGACGCACACGCTGAGCAACGACCAGCTTGGCCGCAGTCTGCTGACACGCCAATCTGCAGCGCACGAAGCATCTCCAACAAGGCGATGTACCGTCGCTTGCTATATTCTGACAAGAGCAAGGTAAGAATTATTCGGGGCGGGCATCGTACCCTTTCGTAAAAGCCCTCATCGTAGGGCAGCGGCCTGAACGAGCCGATCGGCTGCGAATACGCGTCCCGCCTCTCGTCTCGGCCAGCGACCCAAAACAGGAGAAAATTGGTAACAAAAACCACCAGCCAAAAACCGGTGGAAATTGGACGCCCACCTTCCAATTAATTCGGACCAGTGAGCTCGCAAAACGGCGTGGAGCGAAACGTTCCACAATCCTTCTAGACGGGGCGCTGGAGAACTGCTTGCGAGTGCACCAACTCTACCAGCAGCTACGCCAGTGGAGGGCACGGATGGTTATACTTGAATCATACGGGTGGAGACGGAGGCATGCCTCTCGCCACATGGTCTTGCCCACCCTCTCGCTTGCATACACTGTGCAGTAGCAGGTAGAACGGGCTGCAAGGGAATTACCAGAGTCAAGGCATGACCTCCGTTATGCCCTTTACGCGGCATGATGACCGGCCCAGCAAACACGGACGAGAGCATAGGCCGCTTGCTCGCTGTTGACCAAACGGGAGACTAACGGTGACGGATCTGTGCGAACCCGAGCCTGGTGCTTGGAAGCCCCCAATATGTGTGCAACGGTTGAACTAACGGCGCCACCAGAGTCCACCTTTAACCATCTTGAGAATGTGAATGGATAGAGTGAAGGAACCGCCACAGGACCGACCGAGAGGAATATGGCCAAATGCGGTGGCTTGGACCTCTCCTCCAATTATCTGCAGGCAATGTAACCCTCCTGCTTGTCAAACACTGTGGTCCATGCAGGGGTCATCCGCACGCCTCACGGTTCTTCTTCAGGCACAGGCGGCGACTTGCTGGAATCTGGTAGGAAAGCCGCCAGGCTTGCGTGGGCTTGCTGCACCACACCCACCCGCGCTGATGCAGAAACCCGCACCGAGAGTTGGCGGCTTGGTACGCAACGTGTTGAGCTGCGGCTTTTCTGAGGCAGTCTCGCAATATGTGATAAAAGCCGCTCCCCATCCTCTGTTTCTAAACTGGTTGAGCTTAAAGAGAGGCTGACCATATAAGCCATCGACGCCGCACCCACAGATCGTTTGAAGCTCAATATATCTTGCTTACACAACCTCCACAACGATCCTTGGTGACATCTATTGTGGATAAAATTTACACAATGGGCTTCCTAAGCTTTCTTGCCCGCAAGTCAAGCAGCAATCTGCCTGGTGATCACTCTAGGATAACTGGTTCCTGGCCAACGAGTCAAACGGAGCTCTCTGGCCGAGTGACTCCGTCCAAGTCAACACAAAGCTTAAATCAACAAATTGTATCAACACGTCCTGGCCTTCTGACCCAAGTGTCGCACAACTCTTCCTCACTACCTCTCCGACGCACAGCCTCCCAACAAGCCATCGCCACCTACACGATTACCACCGTGCCCCGATCAGTTGACCTTCTCGACGCTCAAAGCACGTTTAAGCCAGCAGACTTTCGAAGCCGGATCCAAGCATCTGGATCAAGAGATTATGGTGAAGATGTTGCTGAAAGAAACATTGGTATCAATGGTGTCGAAATTCACAGTGAGGCAGTGCAGCATTTCTATGCGGCGACAAAAGAAGAGATGATATCTGAGAATGGCCCAAAGACAGTACCTCAAACACGGAACGACGATAAAGAAGTTCGACGATCTCGAAGTAATAGTATGACAAGCACTGCTAGTGCTCCAGCTATCTTCCGGACTCGTTCTTTGTCATCCGTTGGCCATCGCCCGCGAACATCTCACTCTCTCCACCATACTTCGCGCCAGTCGATGTCGACAAAGCCATCACATCATGCTCCAGGTAAACCATCACATGCTTCTATCGGTCAACCACGACTCGAGCATAGACCTCCTCCTGTGGCTTTTTTCAACAACGCTATGGGGAGTGCTGCGGCTCCAGGCGTACCTCGCTATCAACGTCCGGCTTCGGCTTTATCCCAGCGATCGTTTGGACACAGGTCTCGATTCTCCCGTGACGTTACCTACCACGAGAGTATATTGGAGCACGATAGTGACGATGATGAATGCCCTGCCCCCATTGTACGGGGTAAGGGCATTAATGATGTTCGCAACTGGCACCCGGTAATCTCGGCACCGGAGCCAGATTTGACTCCGTCATCGCCACATCAATCAACTTCCTCTTCCCCCAGCTTTGACATTGCGTCCCTTCAGTCAGAAGATAGTACTGATGAAACTTCTGATACGGAAACGTTATCCACCTACCACCTTTCGCCTGCACCACAGTCAGTAGAGTTTGATGATGATGGCTACACCACAGACGGCTCCAATGTTGAAGCCTTTCTTGCTAAAAAACAGCGCAAGTACGTTCCGGATGGCGAAGCCCTGCTCTTTGATGTTTCAGTATTCCATGAAGGTGATCTTCCTGGATTATGTGCAGACGTTGCAGACCAGTCTGACTCGACTGAGATGGAAGATGCTGACGCTGGATGCTCGTCTGAGTCGGATGTGACCGCATCTCCAGCAACGCCAACATTTAGCACACAGCGCCAGCGAATGTTGGCACTTGGCTTCGACTACTCCTCCGATTCGGATGAAGAAGCCCCCCATAAAAGCAAGACATTGGATCTTGCTCAGATTAAAGGGCTCGATCTGGACGCTGTGGGCACAACGCTCAACAGCAGAGCTCAGATTAGCCAGATTATACGACGAAGACGAGAGCAAAAATCTTCTGCTCGACAGAAGCCCCGACTAGTGGCTAAGAGCACCCCTTCACTTAACACACAGGGTTAAACGCCCATTGTGTTTCATTTGTATAGTATCGATAGGGTGATGGCATGGAGTTTGGGAACATTCATTAGCGGCACAATACCAATTTCATTTTATAGCGATTTATTTTTATCTTGTTACATCGAAAACAATGATTAGTTTTTAAATTAAAATATTATAATTCAACGCTAACGCTAAATTTCATTGTCTATAAATGGCGCGAAATTCTCTCGGCCTGTAAAACGCTGCCCGTCCTCTTCCATTTCTTGGTCAATAACATCATCATCTCTCCTTCTTTTGGCTCTGTTGGGTAGGTCATGCGATAATCCTGATGCCTTGGCTTTAAGTAAACCAGCCCAAGTTGTAAGCATTTGTTTGATGTCTTCATCAAAATTGACGCAGAATCGCTGCAAAATCATAAACTGAACCACGGTAACGACGTCTCGACCGTAGAGTTGCATGAGATAAGCAGCAGCGACTGCCGCAGACCGCCCGTTGCCTGTTTCGCAAGTAATGAGAACCTTCCCACGACAACTGCCATTTGTGGAATTATATACGGACAAAATATGCCGATTAATGTCTTCAATGAGGGATGGTATATCGTGGATTAATGCTTGTGTGCCGTCGACATATGCGTAACGAATTTGGAATCCCAGCTCACTTGAAATCCTTTCTGCAACCTGCGCTTTGGTATTTCTCATCCTCGAATCTCGAATTATGACAAGTAGCGTAATCTGAGAATTGCGCATAAAGTCGACATCTTTGACGGCTGCAGTCGGCCCCAAATAAAGGAAATCAAGAATAGGCTGAGCCTGCCATCGCATCTCGTACGCCCAGCTCTCAGACCTATCTGTAGAAGCAGTGGCACTCTCTTTAGGCATTACTACGGCTAGCTCATCAGATGAAAGGCCGCAGACAGCCGCCTGCAGAGAGGAGGGTGAGAGATCGAGTGTCGATTTGAGAGCAATGTCACCATCTTTTGTTGGCTGTCGGCCACCGGCCACTGGAATTGCGATCAGGGGCGCCGACGGCGACCCCAGAGTATATGGAGCAATTGGTGTAGACTCTCTTGCAGCCATTGTTTTTGAGTCACTGGTAAATTGATAAGCGACGAGCTTGGGCTTTGTCGGCGAGTAGATGCGGCTCCCCGCTTGTCGTGGTGCCTCGTGTTAGATGCAGTGGAGAGAAGCAGAGAGAGAGGGTAGGCGTGCGTAGATGGAGAGTGGAAGAGAGGCCGAAGAATTTGAGCGAGAAGAACTTGCAATTGGGGCATTGATGCAAATATGTGTTTGTGCAAATAGTTTATAGTGGCGTCTTGCAGCTGGCAGCTGGCAGCTTTTCAACTTTGTACTCCGCAATGGGCGGCTCTCCCCCGTCAGCAGCTAAACGAACCGTGCGCGGCTGCCTACAGCAAGTCAAAGGACTGGCCAATTAGAGTGGATTAAACTACAGACAAGGCTGATTTCCATCGAACAACTTTACCAACTTCTCTTCAATTACTTATATCCACTGCGCCATGATTAATTTTCTTCCGCCATCCTGAAAGGAAATATTTCTCTGATATTTTGTTAAAGTTTCAATTTCTAGGCCATTTGTTTTCGCGTTCGCAGAACTAAGCGGCCAACGCAGTGCAGCGTCTTGACAGCTGGCAGGCAGCTGGCGGCTGGCGCTCTTATATATTGCACCACCGCAACACTTCCCGCCAACCTGCATCCCTCCTTAGCAGCCACATCGCCAAAATGAACCTCGCGTGGCCCGATCGGGTCTCGACTTGAAAGCATCGCCGACCTTGTTCGATAAAATTTATAAAACTGTGACGCTGTAAGATTTATCCCTCAATCACTCTTGCTAGCGTATGTTAGCTGCCCACCGGCCACGGATTTTCCCCAGCATACCCGCCCCCGATCTGACCCTTCATGGAGCAACCAACGCACCAAGGGGTTATGCTCTACGTTATTCTTCCAGGACCCTGGACACAATTGGCGTCTACAGACCAAACCTAGAGTTTGCCACAAAGCTTAATGTTGCTACCGCGCAATTTTATTGTCTAACTCGGTGTCATTCCCCTCTACTTTGCTACGCTCAGCGTCGTGTCCGTGCAACGCTGGCCATGCTTTCCCACTGGCATCCAGGGTTGTGCTTGGTCCAGCCCGATCAGCTTGCCCGCAGGCACTTCCCTACGCAATGGCCTTGAGCACCACATATCTCGCTTCTTCTCCAGTCGTACCGTTGCAATGCAAAGCAAGAGGACAGCTGCAACCCGCATCGTCATCCCGCCGATACGTTGCCTCTGAAACTGCAACCTCGCCAACTCCACAATGGCGTACTCGTGTCTAATAAAAGAAACGCCGCTGCGGTAATCGATGTTGGACCTTGATAATGTTTCAAAAATAGCATTGGCATATGCTACCACCCAGCCTTGCCAATGCCTACGACTCCAACCTTTCCTATCTGGGAGTTGGCTGGCGTCGACATCCTGGCCTGGCGTCTCATCACCATCGAATGACGCGCTCACCTCCTCCCTACCTCGCTTGGGCTACGGCATTTGGTCTTGATGCAACTAGCCAATTTGCGCGGTTTTGTCTGTTGGCCTTGACAAGACTTTTCGTCACATTCCATCTATAAGAGGACCACTGTTCCTCCAATCTCATCGACATTTCCTCATCAGGAACAAACTTCCATCTTCCACACCAACAACCTCCTTCTTCAGTCTTTCTTTCGTCTAGTTACTTATTCTTACTACATTTTACATTCATTATGCTTGTCCAGGCTGCAGTTTTGTCCGGCCTTTTGGTTGCGACGCCCATGGCCATGTCCATCCCTCGTGCCAACGTCTTTTGCAACACACCCGAGCCCACCCAGCGCCAAAGACAATACTCTCAGATCTTTGGCATGATGGAGAGCGTTGGCTTCCAATCCTTCATGGGCCGTGAGGACAAGATCATCCCAACTTACATCCACGTCTTGGCCAACACCAATGAGCTTGCTGGCGGTCTTGTTCCCCAGGATAAGATCAACGACCAAATCTTCCTGATCAACCAGAACTTTGCTGGTACTGGTTTCAGCTTCGCTCTACAGTCGGTCAACTACCAGGTCAACACTACCTTTGCTGGTAACCCCAACGGTCTTGAAAATCGCAAGCTCCTTCGACAGGGCGACGTCAAGGCACTTAACATTTACTTTGCACCCTACGCGGCTGAGGCCACCGGCCAGTGCTCTTTCCCCGACAACTTTGCTAAAGAATCTGACGCTTGGTACATGGATGGATGTCTCATGAGCAGCGCCTCTGCTGCTGACACTCCTGACCCCAAGGATCGCGCCAAGATCATCACCCATGAGATCGCCCACTGGCTTGGTCTCTACGATGTCGACGTCAAGCCCGGCGAGTGTACCACTACTTTCAATGAGGATCAGGTAGACCGCATGCATACTTCTTGGGCCTTCCTCCGTAAGCGAGACGGCACTGCTATTTCCATCGCCAAACGAGAGGCTGGAGATTTAGTTGACAACAACGTTATCCCCGACCCTCTTGATGAGGACGAGGACGATGAACAAGACCCTGCTGAGTATCCTGATGATGACAACATGTACCCTACCAACGAATCATCTGCTCCTGCTCTCAGCGCCACGGCTTCCATTGCGCCCGCTACTGAAGTTCCTGCTTCATCTATCCCGGTGAGCTCGCCAGCTTCCAGCATCCTTGAATCGAGCGCTCCGGCTTCGACTCCCTTGAGCAGTCTGCCCACTCCTGAGTCATCTATTCCTGTTAGCACAGCACCTGGCTCATCGCCCGCATCAAGCAACCCTGCCTCCACTCCCGTCTCGTCGGCACCCGTCTCTAGTGGCCCTGTCTCGTCGCCTGCTAGCACACCAGCTTCCAGTGCACCCGCCTCTTCTACTCCCGCTTCGTCAATGCCTGCTTCCTCTATGCCTGCTTCCTCTATGCCTGCTTCCTCTATGCCCGCTTCGTCAATGCCCGCTTCGTCCAAGCCCGTTTCCACCAAGCCCGTCTCGACTAAGCCCGTGTCTACCAAGCCTGTGTCTACCAAGCCTGTGTCTACCAAGCCTGTGTCTACCAAGCCCGTTTCCACCAAGCCTGTTTCGACTAAGCCGGTCTCTACCAAGCCTGTTTCAACTAAACCCGTTTCGACGAAGCCAGTGTCTACTAAGCCCGTGTCCAGCAAGCCAGTCTCTAGCAAGCCAGTCTCTTCTACCCCGGCTTCCAGCATGCCTGCCTCGTCTACACCTGTCTCAACAAACCCCGTCTCTACCAAGCCAGTCTCTAGCAAGCCCGCCTCGTCTCCACCAGTGGTTTCGACAAACCCTGTTTCCTCCACACCCGCTTCTAGTATGCCTGTTTCAAGCGAACCTGTGTCTAGCAAGCCAGTCTCATCTGCACCGGTAGTCTCGACGAACCCTGTTTCTTCCACGCCAGCTTCAAGCATGCCTGCCTCAAGCGCACCCGTGTCTAGCAAGCCTGTATCTAGCACCCCTGTTTCCACTCCTATTCCCGAGTCTTCGGCCTACCCTGACTACCCCACGGAAGATGATGAGCCAAAACAGGATTATGAGGAGCCCAAGGACGAATACAAGGAGCCTGAGCAGGAGTACACTGAGCCCGAGCAGGAGTATAAGGAGCCTGAGCAGGAGTATACTGAGCCCGAGCAGGAGTACAAGCAGGAGCCTGAACAGGATTACACTGAGCCCGAGCAGGAGTACAAGCAGGAGCCTGAACAGGATTACACTGAGCCCGAGCAGGAGTATAAGGAGCCTGAGCAGGAGTATAAGGAGCCTGAGCAGGAGTATACTGAGCCCGAGCAGGAGTATAAGGAGCCTGAGCAAGAGTACAAGGAGCCTGAGCAGGACTACACTGAACCCGAGCAAGAGTACAAGGAGCCCGAGAATGACTACGAGCTGCCCGAGGATGACGACGACCTTCCCTTTGCCCCCACCGACCCTGTCCAGAGTGTCCCTGCCATTTCATCTGCTCCTGCTCCTTCGGTCCCCGCATCTTCTGTTGCGCTCAACTCTACGCCTATTGCAACCACACCTGTTGCCATTACACCCAGCGGTCTTACAACCTCTCTCAAGCCTGCTACTTCTGCACCAGCTTCAACACCTGCTCTCGCTCAACCAACCCCTCAAGACTATCCCACTGGCGGGTTTCTTAGTGGCTTGTTCGGCCGCAACAACTAAGACGGCAAGTTAGCATCAGAGGGGCAAAAATTGGATAACTTTGCCATCAATGGTTGTCTATGGTGTATCCTCTGATCGCTCGCTCATGCTAGATCACCGGTCAGCGACGAGTACCTTCCCTGTTCTTATTTTTTCTTTCAGTGTGACTTTTTGTGAAATTTCCTAATATAAATCGGTGGCAGAAAAATCAGTAAAGCAAGTGTACTATGGGTCGATAATAGTTGATAATTAGTTCTTTTATAGTTCAATTGAGTTTATATATGCACCTGAAATTGTCCTGAGATGTGAATCATTACAATTAACTGTGTAGAGAAGAAATATATGTATATAAACTTTTACTAGTAGTACACTCTATATTACAGGTACATCGAGCTATTTTAGCCGAAGTATGATATTTACATGAAGGGATGGTCACGGCACACGCAATGCGGTTATGCTTGCACCTTTGCTTCTTGGAGTGGCTCTGCCATGTCAACATCTCGCTCGCCATCGTCTTCCTGCACAATGCCCGTTCGGCGTTCTCGGACCTTTGCCATTCGGCGCTTCTTCTTGCGTCTCGTCTCCATCTCCTCGGGTGTAAAGTCCAGCTTGTCCAGAGTCTCAATTAGCTTTTGCTCCACCAGCGACCGGACATGGAAAGCAAGTGGCTGGCTTCGAAACATGCCGCTGTAACGATACGAGAGCCAGATGTATTGGTTAATGCCGACATGCAGAGACTCTAGTTTATGCAAGTACTGCATATATCCACCTTCTATCGTAGCTGGATCGATATCCAGGATTTCCAGCGGAATTTCCTTGATTGCGAGCAGATCGCCTTCAGAGTTATTCGCAACTATGTTGGCCAAGGCCCGGAGAATGGGAATCGCTTGCTCGCCGCGAAGGGATACTGGAACAAAGCAGAAGGTGAGACGGTCAAAGATTGTAAGGGGAATATCCTGGATGATATCCGCAATCTCAAGGAGGTCGGAAGGCACATGGATGTTGAAGGTATCGCTTGTGATGGCAGATGATCGAATCTGTTGCAAGATGAACGACAAGGGAGTGTTGGGAGGGAAGTAAGAGGCGTATCGCTCGACAACTCCAGCGGGTGGCTGAATAGTCGCTCGGTCTAGATCGCTGACAGATCGAGTGAAGGCGCGGCGCACAGCACGTAAGTCTTGCATGTCAAGCGTTGTGACCCATCCAGATGATTCATCCGCTTCTGCCAACTGTTTCTGTATAGACCGGCGATCGTCAAGCGTTAGCTTCTTGCCCGTAGCATCCTGATGGGCATCCTCTATATTGGCCTGCTTTTTAGCCTGCTGGATGGCGCTGGTTGCAGTTCGGTAGCGGCCGGCGCGGCCTCCGATCTGGCGAATTTCAGGATACGAGAGAAGCCTGTTTTGAGACCCGTCGAACTTAGTGATGGATTCAAGCACGACGCGGCGGATGTTGAGATTCAGGCCCATACCGATAGCATCACTTGCGACAATGTAGTCGTAGTCATTATCAGGATCGTTGAAAAGAGCAGCCTGTTGCACTCGGACTTCAGGCGGCAATGAGCCATAGACAATAGCACAACGTTTGCGTGTCTTCATTTCAATTGTTCGCTTCAATGCGTGAAGGGCGAGTCTGCTAAAAGCGACCACGGCATCGCCCTTTTGCAGATTGCTAAAATCGGGTTTGATAGGCTCGTCCATAGTGTTGAGCGGGCTCAGTCTCTCATAGCGATGGACGAAGACCTGGTCACCTGTTCCGGCGCATATAGCCTCAATCAGGTTTACCGTCCGCTCTTCACCACAGAGATGAACCTCGTCAGCCTGGACGCCGAGAAGCGCTGAAGTCCAAGCACTGCCTCTATCTCTGTCCGCAATCATTTGGATTTCGTCGATAACCGCAACATCGAACTTGGTGTTCATCGGAACCATCTCGACCGTACAGCTCGACAAATACTGATCTGTATCTTCTGGTACGCGTACTTCCTCGCCCGTTATGAGAGCGCAAGCGCGGCCCTTTGCGTTCAGACGCTGGTAAACTTCTGTTGCAAGAAGTCTCAGAGGACCAGCATATACACCATTTTTGGATTTTTCCAGTGCTTGTAGAGCATTGTACGTCTTTCCGGAGTTTGTTGGGCCAACATGAACGTGGATCTTACGCTGCATTGTCCGTGTCGCCGGAAACCACTCCTGAGGAAACCGGAAGTCAAGCATTTCCGCTTGGATTTTTTCCATAATTGGGGAGAACCGCGAGCGGGCCATAAACGCCTGGAATGAAAACTTGAGCTCTTGGGTGAGCCCTTTAAGCTCTTTGTTGATGAACGCATCTCTTAGCGTCCAAAAGAGGCTATTGCGTGCCTTGTCCGTTTGGTTGCGTTCCGCGAGCTCAAAAGCATCGTCAATGGCTTCCATAAACAGCTTGGACTGAGCAAATATCTCATCTCTCCGTTTGCCACTGGATGACTCGGAACTTTTGATGAGGTCGCTTACAATGACTTGTAATTTGTGGACAATAGTTTGCTTAAACGTCGCGTGTCTGCCACTGTAGTCCCGACCCCTATAAAGCGTCATTTGCGTACGCTTATCCTTTCCATCGAGTATCTACAATTGTCAGCAACACACCCTTTTCTATAGAGCTGTCTGATATCAAGACTTACCGCATCATCAGCCTCCCTTTTCGCCCGTTTCCGCGCCAGCTTGAGTTTCCATGATTCGTCCAGACCAGGTTGGCCAAGCCGTAGCTTACGTCTATCTGGCCCTCTGAACTGTTTACTGGCCGCTTGAGATGATGAAAATAGGCATTTTGGTATCTTCGGGCGAGAGCTCCGTACATGTACGCGTGCACAAGCTTGGTTGGCGAAGGGCCTCATGGTATGTCGGCGAGCATATCCGGGGTTCACCAATGGAGTTGTGATGATTTTGCTGCCAAATAAGATCGAATCGAGACCACTCTTTGAGTTATAGGCGCCAATAATGAAAATCTTTGATTGGTTAAAAATACATTGTAATAATGACTGTGAAATCAGTCTAATGGATATCCCCTAATAAAAGCTGCCCATACCGGAGCAAAGGCTTTTCCGACGGGCTTCGCACTAGCCACGACCATGCAACGGCGGCGCGCCTGCGCCTCACGTGCCTGAAAACAACCATGACGTTGTGGCGCCAACTTTGGTTGCGTGGGCTCGGTTTCTTGTTTCTGCTTCGCAACGATTTTATCGCTTCGACATCCCCAGCTGGCCGTGAGCGGGCATCCTTCCGGCGCTATAGGCAAAGAATATCAACCCCGATCGCGATTTTACCTTGGAAAATCCCTTATCCTCATCCAACATGGCTTCCTCCTCTTCCACTACGCCTCTGTTCTAGTATGTCACTTGCGGGCGGCCTACGCCTTGCGCCCAGCGTCATGTATCAAATACTTACAATATTTCAATAGTTCCTGCATTGCGCACAAGACCACGATCCTTGCCGAGTGCACCACCTCTGCTTCCTCTCAAACATCCTCTCTTGCCTCCTTGATCCTCCCTAAAATCGAACACGAGACACCTGAGAAGCGTACCTACACCCATGGCTCTCATCAAATCCATTACATTGCCGAAGCCCCCTCTGGCCACTCCGAACACCCCTCTGCTGGTGGGTTGACCTTCTTAGTTATTGCCGACGCATCAGTCGGCCGACGTGTGCCCTTTGCGTACCTCGTGGAAGTGCGCGAGAAGTTCTTGGCAGAGTTCCCTCCCTCAAGCAATGAGTTCTCCGACATGCCCAACTACGGCGCTGCTGCGTTCAACGGCACGTTGAAGGACCTCATGGTTCGCTTTGGCGATAGCGACGATGCACTCAGCAATGCGAAGAAGGGTATTGAAGACGTGCGCGGCGTTATGACGAAGAACATTGAATCACTGCTAGAGCGTGGCGAGAGACTGGATCTACTTGTTGACAAGACGGATAGGCTCGGTGGAAGCGCACGAGAATTTCGCGTACGCAGCCGCGGCTTAAAGAGGCAAATGTGGTGGAAGAATGTCAAGCTGATGGCCCTGCTTGGTTTAGTTTCATTCTTGATCATTATTGTTATCATCATTGCCGTCAAGAACTAGGCAAATACGAAAGAAAACGGCATGGGAGATTGAGAATTCAACCAGCATGATTGCACACTTTGTATATATTATTTACGAGCAGACATGAACCACAGATCCAAGGCGTTTCGTCATCCATCCTCTTTTGGGTAGCAGCTATAATACAAGAATAGGTCATAATATCGTCGTTACAACATGTTTGAATTTGAAAATCGAGAAGACAACAACTCCATTCGTTTCCTTCGATATGATGTAAGCATTAACAATTAAAGCTTTGGCGCGCTGTCGAGTGGTCTCGTGCCGTCTTGATAGATATAGCCGAGGGCGACGGGACTTCTGCCACTGGTCGGCGCCAGGCTTCCTGTAGCCCCTGTAACTGACGATGGAGCGCGACGAAGCTTGTCTGTGAAAAATACAGGATGTACCATAGAGGCGCTTTGAGGGTAGTGTCTGTCCCAGGCTTGCTGAAGAGTTGACGGTGCTCTTGGTTGTGATGTCATTGTGTGTTTTATGCTGAAGGAAGCTCAGCTCTGAATGCGTATTATCAAAGTCGAACAAAATAACGCCAAAGACAAAATTGCCGCCAGAGTGAATTATAAAAATGACTTGCGGTGAAGTTTTCTGCCCAAATTTGTTTGCAAAAGGTAAACTGTGTCACTGGCGCTGCTTCAAGCTACCCCATTCACATGGCCGAGGTCTAAATGCAGCCCATTGCCGCTGTTAGTCAGCACATTTAGCCGTTATCGACTTACACGGAGTAGTCGTATTATTGTTGATAATGGAATGAAAGAAAACATAAAATATCATAATTACGCTTTTATATTTATTTAGAAAACAAAACGCCGCTCTATTTCTTCTTCTTTTGCCCTTTGCCGTTGCCATTTGCTGAATCACCAGTCGCCTTTTCTTGGCTCTTCTTCTTTTTCTTTTCAGCCTCTTTGCCCTTTTTAATCGTTGCCATTAAACTTTCCACCTCCTTGGCTCGCTCAAGCTCCTCTTCCTTTTGAGCTTCTTTGACGTTATCGACCTTCTCACGGGCTCTCTTCTTGGCAGCCTCCTTCTCTGTAGCTTCAATGAGCTTGTCACTCTCTTCCCACAGTTTCTTGGCTACCTCGTCTTCTGTTACTTCGCTGCGAGCAAAGTCAACTCGCATGCACTCCTTGATTAGCCTACCGCCGCCTATCCTCTGTAATTCGGCATCCATAGCAGCGTAGAGAATAGACTGAGCGCCACGGTGAGCGGATTTGAGCAGGAACCACGGGAATGCATAGAAGGAGACGTAGAATAGCAGGCCAAAGATTGATCCACGAGTAAGCCATCGTCTGGTACCCGGTGTTCTGCACATACCAGGGTCAACCAAGATAACCTTCGCGTTCATGGGGAGCCCGTCCGGTCGTTTGTAGGAATCAAGATGCTTCTGAAAAGCTTGGCCAAAGACGTTTAGCGCCATCTTGCTGCGAGCATATGCCTTGCTCGGCGTCCAATTGAGATCATCGATAGCTTCCTTGAGTGATGGCGACGCAATATAGGACGAACACGTTGTCATGATGATTCGCACGTCTCGGTCAAACTGCTGGGCCTTGATGGCGGGGCTCAAGATGCTCAGTAGATGGAAATTGGCTAAGAAATTGACCATCCAAGTTTCCTCGATACCTTCGTCAGTCTCCTGTCTCTTGCTGCCGGGCGGCGTCATTGAAGCTGCGCAGAGCACAACCATATCTAATCGTCTCGGTGGCGCGTTATCGATCCAGGCGGTTGCAAACTTGCGGATGCTATGAAGACTGCTCAAATCAACTTGTTCAGCGTATATGAGCTGATTGCCAGTCTTATCGCGTAGGTCTTCAATATAGTCGACTAGAAAAGGGTCATTCCCCGGTACTTGCGTCAAGAGCACGAGCTGGGCACCTCGCGATGCTAGCTCGTATGCGGCCCGCGCTCCGACACCTGACGTGCCGCCCGTCATTATCACTACTTTTCCATGCAATTTTCGTTCTGCAGTATTGATGGCACCCGACGTGTACTGCTTCAAGAAGAAGAGAAACGTCACAACCACGGTGGCGACGGTGAGCTCGAAGGCATGCTGGCGCGCCCAGGCCGGCGGGCCCTCTTGGAATAGGTAGAATACGGTGGGAATCGGCATCGTGAAACAATTCGATGATTTGCTAAGCAGCTGTTGCAACGTGCGTTTCTACGCACGCATTGCTGATTTTCTGAGATGGGATTGTGTAAGGATGCAGAGGGGAACCTAGCAAAAAAAGCTGGTGACGTATCCACAGCCAATGCAGCCAGTGCAGCTGGTGCTTTGATGTGCTTCTGCAACAAACAGCCTTGGAGGCACGTTAAGCTCGGGTTACCAAAGTCCCCATTCTGATTTTATTTCTGCTGTAAAATAATTATATTCATTTACAGTCTGTGATTATTTTCCGTTTGAAGTTATTGGGCAAATATCATCGTAATTGAAGAGATTGTGTTGTATACATGTTATCGTGGTACTTTACAGCTTGCTGTCTCGATATACCGGCTTTCGCTTTTCAACAAAGCTCTTAACACCTTCCTTCTGATTCTCGCCGCCATCGAGCTGCCTATAAATTCCCTCATCAACTCGATTTGTGCTGCTGACGGGGTCCTCGCCATCCCATCCTCCCAGAAGGCCAGCCATTGTCACAATAACGCTATCGGGCGAGTTGCCGCTGACTTCGGCCGCCCATTTCAATGCCTCTTTTAGCACTTCCTTTGCAGGAACAATCTTGTTAACCACTCCCCAGGCTTCCATCTCCTTGGCTGTGTACATGCGCCCCAAAAGCGCCATCTCTGATGCTCGTTGGCGACCAACGGTACGTATAAGACGGGGCAAGGCACCAGCAATCGCAACCACGCCAATCTTGACTTCAGGTAATCCAAACTTGGCACCCTCGGACGCGATAATCATGTCCAAGTTCAGTGCAATCTCCATGCCACCACCCAAGCATAGTCCATTGACGGCACCCACGATTGGCTTCTTGCTGCGACGGTTGCTGAGTCCGCCGAATCCACTGCCCTTCCAGCCGCGATCTCGGTCGTCGCCGCTACTCTTTATGCCCTTTGTATTCTTGTCGTCCCATTCCTTGAGATCGGCACCGGCGCAGAATGCTCGTCCAGTTCCGGTAAGTAAAGCGCATCGCAGCGATGGCTGCGCGTCGTACCATCTCCAGAGAATGTCTAGCTGAGTATGCATTGGGCGGGTAATGGCGTTCATAGCCGCGGCTCGGTTTATAGTGACGAGCATAATTTGAGGAGTAGGGAATGTGACGAGGACATCGTCAACTGCGGGTGGCTGGAGGCCCATTATGAAACAATGCTATGCGAAAATTCAAATCAAGTAAATTAATATTGAAAAAAGGGAAAATCGAGAAAATATCGTCTGTTCTGTAGGAAGAGGGGCGTGGGTTGGAGGAAGCTTGGGAAAGCTGGGGAAGTTAGCGCGAAGCTGCCCGCATCTTGAAATCTCCGGTCCGGAGAATTTGGCGGCACCCCCAACACCAACTCCGAGCAATGGGCTGGGCGAACATATTCATACTAAATAGATTGGAATCATATTAAATGTTATATGTATACGGCTATTCCAAGCAAATTCAAACTCAAAGCTAATCCAGCGCTATTATGCCTAACATTTAGCACCGCCCAACAACACTAACACCAGACTGGCCGTCCTAGGAGATAGATCGCTTACTTTAAACATAGACATGTATATTTGTGTGTTTTCTTAGTACTAAAAAATCACACTCATTCTTACTCAGACTTCTCTTCTGCGTTTCCAATCAGCCACAGCTCGCGGAATCTGCCTCCGTCTACCTTGACAAGTTCGCTGGGATTGCCGTTCTCGACGACTCGGCCTGTGTCCAATACTACCACTCTATCAAAGTCCATCACGAGCCCCAATCTGTGGCTCACCATGAGAATAGTATAACCGCCGAACTCCTGCTTGATAATATCCTGCATTAGTCGGTCCGTCTTGATATCCAAGCTGCTGCTGTACTCGTCAAGGATGAGGACGCCACCGTCCGCTTGTGCTTTGAAAGCCGTTGGATGTGCGTCGGCTTTTTCAGTAGCCTCCTTCTCAGAAGCACCCATGTACGATGAACCGACATCGTCTTTTAGAAGCCTTGCACGTGCACGACGGCGGACGATAGCTCTGGCTAAGCTGAAGAGTTGCTTTTGTCCCTGGCTTAGAGACTCGGGCAAAAGCCCGCTGTCAAGGCCACCATTTTCTTTGACTGTGTCCCAAAGCGTGACTGCTTCGAGTGCACCTTGGCGCTCTTCATCGGTTGCTACCCCCGTAGGGTCAAGGTTTTGACTAAATGAGGCCCCATCAGGCAAAAAGATAGGCTCTTGGGGAACCGCAGTAAGACGCTGACGCAGAGTGTCTCGATCGACTTTCTGTAAATCAACGCCATCAATCGACAGACTGACATCTTCAGAATTCGGTGATTGTATGCAGTTAAGTAGACGCAGCAGCACCAATACGAGGGATGATTTGCCACTGGAAACGACAATTAGTATTGGCAATATGGACAATGAATATGGTCAGCCTTACCTGCCAGAACGACCACAGATGGCTACCTTTTCTGCTGCTTGTATATCCAGAGAGACATCTCGAAGAGCGTATGTTAATTCCATAGCTTCTTCAGTATTGGTAGCAGAGAGTCGACTCTCAGCACTAGGAGGTTTTGTTAGCATCGAAGTGTTTTCTTCAATATAGAGCATGGCTGCTACTTACTCATACGACGCTGACAAGTTCCGAATTTGAATCTGACCCTTTGGCGGCCACCTGCGATCGGGAACCAGGTCTTCCCCATCTTGAGACTCGCTGGGTGACTTTTGAGCAAATGTCTTCAACCGTCTCACAGCCGTAAGTGCAGATTGCATGTCGACATAACTCATTGTCGCTCCTTGCAGATTTACTGTCAAGTTGATGACACCCACCATACTGGCTCCAGCATATCCGGCTGATGTCTTCAATTGCGTAGCCAAGATCACGACAATTACGGCGATAAGGTTAGTGAACGCAGTCAGAGTATATGCAAAGAACATAAAGCATTGCTGTTGGAAGTAGAAGCCCTGCAGAGTTTTATTCAGCAGAATGTTCGTCTTCTGAACTGCCCCGGAATTCCAGTCGAAAGCACGGTAGGTAGCGAGGCCTTTGATGGTGTCCAAATAGGTAGAGCTTTAGGAGAGATGATGTGTTAGTGTTGTTTATATGTTTTCGCATAAATCGAGTAACCTACTATAATGGACTTTTAGACTCTAGGTACAAGAGTCTGACCTGTCGTGAAGCAGGTTGGTAGTATCGCTGTAAGACATAAATGCCAGCCAATATGAACGGGTAGAAGATGGCGACATAAGGAGATGAAAGTGTCGCCAAGGCTGCGCCGCCCAAGGTCAAAAATCCAAAAACCAAGAGGTTGGTGAAATTTTCAACAAGCTCGTCATCAACTAGGAAGATATCTTGGGAGAACAGATTGATGATGATGCCCATATCCGTAGTGACCAGAAATTGCAAAGGGATACTTGTCAGTTTCTTTATCGCCTTCTTATGCAAATTGGTTCCCGCTACCGCAGGAATTACCACGACAGCCATAATCATCTGTACAGCAAAGCTCGTATATCCTAATCCAACGGTTCCACCGTAGATTCCAAGCCAGAAGGATGAATCATGCCTTGGGCTTTGGGAAGAGCGGTCCTCTACCCACCATTTTAAGATAACATTTTGCATAGTCAAGCAGGTTCCCGTTACCGCTGCTCCAAAGACCAGCAAAATTGTAAGTGGATATCCTATATTGGCGAGGTAGTGGACGGTGGTACTCCAGTCGCCTTTGGCACGTGTCAGATCTGTTTCGTCTTCAATTAGACTCTTCTTTTTCTTTTTCTTCAATTCTGTTTCAGTGCTCGAATCCTTTGTTGAATCTCCATCGCCATACACGGAAGTCTCTTTTGAGGCCACCTCTGCAACACCAAGACTGTGAATGTAGCCAGACGCAGAGGTTAGCTCATTGAAAGTGCCCTGTTCGATAATTTCACCCTCAACGGTTAAAGCAATGATGTGTTGTGCTGAGGGCAAATGTCGGACCGAATGCGTACAGAGTATAATTGTCGCACCACGCTTGCTCAAGATGCCAGATGGGCCAAACACATTGTCGAACACCAACTGCTCAGTATCACTATCCAAGCCACTAAGCACATCATCGAAAACGTACACCTCCGATGTTTGGTATATGGCTCTTGCAATGGAAACCCTTTGTTTCTGACCTCCTGAAAGACTAATACCATTGCTACCAACGTTGGTTAAGTCTCCATCTGGAAGAACGAGAAGGTCAGGCTCAAGAGCCGCTGCCCGAAGAGCCTCTTGATAACGCGGCTCATCCACCGATTCGAATCCCACAATATTTTCCTTAATCGTAGAATTTGTAAGGAATGCTGTCTGATCACAATAGGGGATTCTTTTAGTGTCGGCGTTGAAAATAACCTGGCCAGAGGCGAACGGAACTTCTCCCAGAAGCACCCTACAAAAGGTGGTTTTGCCAGATGCAATCGGTCCAACAAGCAGGGTCAGGCCGGCGGGAATATCCGTGTTGATATCTCGTAGAGTCAGCTTATCCTCCTTCCAGCCAAAGTTGCCGCCGATAATCTGAATAGAGGGTGTGCCCTCAAGCACTGGTCCATTCTCTGAGCATTTTGTTTGCATTCTGTTTGCTGACCGTACTTCACGGAAATCATGCCTGTCCGGTGTGAGAAGGAAGCTTTGTATCCTCTGTATGCTTGCTAGTGCCGCAAAAAAGGTTGGCACCCATTGCAAGAAGACGATCAGTGGTGAGGTAACCATGGTGACGTACGCAACAGTCGTGAATATCTGGCTTATACTGACGTCCCTGTTGAAGATAAAGGGGAACGCCGGAGTCATGTGTCCTGCAAAAATAGAGAGCATGACAATGAAGAAGATGACGGCGCGGAATTTTGTGGCAGATTGTACTTCTTGCTGTCTCATTTTGAGGATCGAGTTCTCTACAGCTTGGGAAAGGCCAGCAATTCTGATATTTTTGGCATGTGATATAGCGTTGGCCGTTTTGCCAACGCGGTTTTCGATGCGTTTCATCCAGTTTGACTGGCGATCCTTCACCAACAAGGTGCCCAAATATGTCAGAAGTATACACATTGTAAAGGCCACGACAACTGAAACGACAGCTACTCCTATTTGGCGGTAGAGCAGCCACAATGTAAACCCAACCTGAACGGGTGCGAGCATGATTTTGTTGAACGAGGAACCCAAAACTCGATTGACATTTTCAATATCATTGCTCATGAGTGTGATCGCCTTGCCAGTTTCGAGACCAGATGATTGACCGCTGAGAGCTTTGCGGTAAATAGCATTGACCAGAATAGCATTCACTCTTGCCAGCCATCGGGTATGATAGTACAAGGAGCTTGCTCTGAAGAAAGTCAAGCCAAAGAAGGCTATCACAGTAGCCCCAATTAGACCATACCCAGCATTTGTTTGGAAGGTGCCCGTATTATCCAGATTGCTGACAACACCACCTACAATTAGTGGTTGCACTAAGGCCAGTCCGGTATAAAGAAACATGAGCAGAGGTGACGGCAGAAATTCCCTCCCAGTAACCCGTAGCAATTTCCATGCCAATCCATTATTGACGCCGTCGAGAGACTTGTAATCGATTCGATCGTTGTACTTCATCATGGCTTCTGCGCGTAGCTGACCATCGAGAGGAGGAAAATCTGAATATTTCAGTACATTCTTACTAGCGTAGACAACAAATGGCCACATCCACGTTACCAGTCCGATGGGGAAAACGCCGATGAATGCTTCTTTGCTGGGCTTTTCGGTTGTGGAGAGTAGCCATGTTGATTTCCCCTTTAGTTCAAGGATAAGAACAGCCGCAATTAGGGTTGTAACCGTAGTGAAGATGCGTGTGTAAACGCCATCTTGCGCCGATGACGATATCAGCCACAATGTCCTCGTTTGAGCGATGTAAACAAGCAGCCAAGTCGGCTGGTAAAGGTTGAGTAGCACTGACGGCCGGAGAGTTCGAGTGTGTTCAAGAAAACTGGTAGTTGCAATCCCCAGAGTAGCGAGGAATTCTAAAATGCTCGCACCAACAAAATATCCTTTCAGGACTGAAGAGGCTGCGCCCAAGCCAAGAAGGGCGAGCTGCAGAGCGGCAATTGACACATAAACAGCCTAAAATCATATTAGTCAACCATTATTGCAATAAGTCTGAGAAAACAGCGTAGTATAACTGACAAGTTTTAGGTTTCGGTACCAAAGCCCGCCGATAACGGGTGTCGCTGTGCGCAGCTGCGGGAGGCGGACAGCAAGTATGAGGATGATCACAGACAACGGCAGGATTGATAGGATGGTTTTTTCGAATAAAAGTGTAAAGTCAAAGTCCTCTCGACAACCCGTGACTGTTGGTCCAAAGCCAACATCTGCATCGCAAATGTTGGCAAAGTCCATTGTGGGCAGTAGTGGGTGTGCAGTGATGGGACGACTCGACTTTCGGTTGGAGAGGGAGACTAGACGGGGTAGAGGGGACAGCCCGACAGAAATAGGATTCCAAAAGTACAAAAGTACCGTGTCAGCAAAAGACAATGTAGAGGAAACCAAACTATCCCGCAACTAGTCCGTCCGCCCGACTCCATAAAGCAATTAGGCCGACTGCTGCCAGCTGCGACATCTGGCCAACACCTGGCGAGCGGGCGCCATCTGCAAGCGCCAGCCCGCGATGCGTGGCCCAGCCTCGGGGGCGCATGATTGGCCGAGTCCACCGCGGGGGCACATGAAACTAGCAACCCGGTTTACAGGCGCATTTGGGTGCTACGCTAAAGAAGGCAGCTGGGCGAGCATCCTGGCTACATCTCATGGGCCTTGTGAGGAGCTGCAGATCCACCACGGCGCACGTACTCTTGTTTGCTTGGGATGGCCCAATAGGGGGATACCACCTGAGTCGTGCTCGCTGCAGGGCAGCAGAACGTGCGCAGTAGGAGCAGCAAGCGGTTCAAAAATGGCGAGAGGGAGAGTCATGGTGTGAAGAATAAGACACCCAGAAAAGGAGAGCCTCTTGGTTCGTCTGTTCTCTCATCGCCGCGCCGTGAGGCTGCATCTCTGGACCGGCCGGGGCTGCTCCCGAAAGAGGCTATCGCAAATGAAAATACAAGCCACCACCGCCTGTTGTGTGCCCCGCAGGGTCGATGAGTAGTTTCGGAGCCACTACCCAATGGAGCCAGGTTCTCTGACCCCCCAAACACAAAGGGTGAAAATCAGGCTCTGTGTATCGTTTGTGGCAGTTTGGAGAGTGCCACCGGCCCGATTCGCAAAAGTTCTGTGATGTGTTGCGAAAACTAGAGAGGGGAAGTTGAGCCGTAGACAATCACATGATACTGTGAATAGAGAAAATGAGTCTGATGCTGATAGAAAGAGCCAACGCTGCTTGCAAATCGCCAGATGCAGCGCGCCTCACAGTGCAATCTACAGTGGCCTTGGGGCGTCTATTCGGCTCCGACGTGCAGACTAGCGGGGTAATCACACCTCTGCTAAAACAGGATGCAACACCAGAGACAACACACAGTTAGAGAACACACTCACACACAGTTTGACTTGTCCAAGATAGTAGATTTCATCATATCCCATTATACAAATACTTGCCAACTCCTATAATTTACACTATGCAGGTAGTCCTCTTTTCTCGCTCTCTGTGAAGAAAATAACCATGCGCCAAAGCTTCTTTACCAAATCTTCGGCTTCATCATCGAGGGCTCCCTCCAGTTCCTCAACAAGCTCCGCAGCTCCTCCATGCTTACGCAAGTGCTCCTCTACCGCCTCCACGAGCATCTCTTCCTGCACACCCAAGTACTCTACAATCTTCTTCTCCACAAACGGACGCAGCTTGTCGCGCACCACCGATTCATCCATGTAGTCCCATTTGACCTGCCACGCCCACAGTCCGTCTTTATCAGAGGGAATTTCTTGGGCAAGATTGCGCACCGCTTCAGCAATCTCTTCTTCTGTCATGCCTGCAGCTGCTGTGCTGGCATCGTACTCAATAGGAATAAGCTGGCGACGAGTCTTGGTCTGGTCCTCCTCATTGTCCAAGAGACCTTCCACCTCTGCAATGGTGCGCCTCTGGGGTCCGGCGCGGGATGCAGCCTTCTGTGCTGCTGCTCCAAGAGAAAGTTTGAAGGGTTGTGGTGCGGCTGCCGCCACTGGAGCGGGTGTTTCACGCTCTTGCATCTCCTGAGCTTGCTGGTCCAAGAAGGAGTCTGCCATACCCTTAGCCCTCTCCATCTGTGCATCTCGGCGGCGGCGTTCATCATGTTCTGCACGTCGATCAGCATCGTCCCTTGCTTCCTCATCTGCTTTGTCGATGGCTCGTTTTCTCAGCCATGCCGAGTGATCTCTATAGTACATGTGCGACTGTTTGCTTATCTCGATATCGTCGTTCCATTCCTTTTCTCTTTCCAGCTGCTCTTCAATCCGGTGGCTGTCCATTTCAGCGCCATGTCTCTCTCTATCGCGCTCGCGCTCTAAAGCTGCTTGGCGTGACCGTTCACGGTTGCTCCATTTTCGTTCAGCTTCGTTGTAGGCCTTCTCTGCTTCATACTTTTCTGCTTCAAGGTTCTTTTTGTTGAGCTCTTCGTCATCAATAGCCAGATGATCATCATCTCTCCTACTAGAAACGCCATTGCTCTCAGTGCCACCGTTGACAAATCCAATGGAACCATTCCGAGCGTTTGAGCCAGCTGATGTGGCCACCCTTGGCCCAGACGGGATATTGCTTGTCGCTGAGACTGGGGGTTCTCTTTTTCTACCTGCTCCGCTTCGCTGCCTTTCAATTTCTTCCATTTCTTCCTCCTTACGAAGACGCTCGAGGTCGCGCTGCGTACTTCTATCACGGAAAGCTGCAATCTCTTTGGCAACAATCTCGCGCATTTCAGCAGGAATATCAGCTAGCTCATCATCCTGAGCAAGCGGGATGTTAACAACTTCAACATTCTCCCCGTTCTCGGCGTTCGCCATGGCAACATCTTCCTCTCTGCTTGCTTCGACTGACGGGTAAAATAATCCTCGCACCGCTTGTTGTAGACGATCACGTATGGCTTCCATGGCGGATTCCAGACCATCATCCTTGGCTTCTCTATAAGCATCTAATGACTTCTGTGCAATCGGATCAATGTAAGCCTCGAGTTTGCGCTTTTCAATGCCTTCAAACTGATCATCGGATGGGGTTTCAGCGGTTCCGGGTTGACGCTTGACTGGGATCGAAACTTCCTCCTCTACAAGAAGACGGACGGCCAAATCAAAGGGTTCTTCGAATTCGAATACAGCAAATCCAAACTTCGTACCCTTGTAGCTGGGCAAAACGCTGCCAACTGACTCCCATCTCTTGAGATTTCCAAAGACACCCAAAAACTTCTCTATGTTCGCATCGCTTCCAAATCCTTCGGGGATGTTGTTGATAAACATCGTTCGCTGCTTCTCGTCAGGTGTAGGCGGAATGAGTGTTGGGACGGCCTCACGGCCATGTGAACGACCGCCGCCTTGGTCTCTATCCGCACCAAGACCAGGGCGGGAACCTGAATGTTGTGATCTCTCGTCTCGGTTGCTGTCGCCTCTACTTCCACTCGGGCCATTTGTTGTTCCTAGTCGAATAACGGGCGCGTTGAAGTTGATGTTCGGCATGTTTGGTGGCTGGAAGCCAGGCCCAGGTCGCCCGCCATGTGCAGCGTTGGCTTGATGCATGCCAGGCGGTGCTCCCATCCCAGGAGCAGCCATGCCTGGAGGGGCGCCTATTAGTTCATTGATTAGCAGGCGATACGTTGATTGCGACTCGTGATACATACTCATTCCTGGCGGCGCACCTCCAATACCTGGTGGAGGGTTACCATATCCATATCCTGGGGGTGCACCATACGGGTTACCTATTTTATGGTTAGCAGCCCTAACTTTTCTGAGATTGTGACCGAAACGCACCTCCATAAGGGTTGTATGACATTCTTAATGATCGTTGTTCGTGACGACTGCCAAAGGCTCTCTCTTAGCCCAAGCGGGCGACAACCAATGTTACGGCGTCGAATCTGGTGGAAAAGGTAGGCGATGAATTAAGTAGGTTTACCGTATTTTCAATAAACAATATTAGATGGTAAATATTTCAGATACTGCCAAACAAGCAGATGAAGAGCGGAAGCATGGTTGTGCAAAAGTCCACTGTAGTGTCGCCCAAGCTATAACAAAAGCCCCGCAATAACAATAATCCGCCCTGCGCTTTTCCGCCAAACTTCAGCACCATGTTTTTAGCTCCTGACTCCAGAAACGTCCGTCCAGCAGTATCACAGAAGCGCTGTTGAAAATGTATGTTTGGCTAGAGAATGCTAAATTTGATTCCAATTGATAGTCTAGCTAACACAATTATTTCTCAGGTCTGCATCGCTACGACAAACCGGCCTCCTGGCAACCAGGCTCGCGGCCTCACAACCAGCCGCCTCGCGTGCATTCAGCACAACCTTTGTTTTGCGAAACAAGCCTTCAGCATCGACACCTCGAGTCAACCCTCTCATTGGTAACTCCAATGTAGCTCCTACTCCCGAGCCGAAACCCACAACCCCTGCGCCGTCGCCTTCTCGGGCGCCGGCAAAGGAGGCTCCTACAGCATCACAGTCCGCTGCCTCGACGATACTTCCTCCTCCACCTCCCCCTGCCGCTGAATTCGAAGCCAAGGCTACTCCTTCTCCTGCTGCTCCCACAGCGCAGTCCTCTCCAATGTATCCCATGGATATCACCTCGCTGCTTGCCGATCGCGCCACAGCCTCACTGGCGAGCTTGCCTAGCAACCCCCTCGAGCGCCCCATGTTCCGTTGCGCTGCAACTGTCGGCCGCACCATCTTCGTTAAGGATCGCGGTTCTCCTACATCAGCACCGACGGCGACAGTAGCTATGCGCATGATTGATCGCGTGGCGAGGGAGCAAAAGATTCGTACCAAGAACCGCACCCAGAAATTCCACGAAAGACCAGGCCTGCGCCGCAAGAGACTCAAGAGCGAGCGCTGGAGAGCTAGATTCAAGACGGGCTTCAAGGCTGCCTGTAGCAGAGTGCTGGAGTTGAAGAAGCAGGGTTGGTAAACCGAATACCAAAAGGGCTACATCAGCCTATTGCATGTATATTAGACCCAAACATTGTATAATAAAAACGCATGTTTAGATTTCATTTGATTATGACGTATCGAACACGTTCAAGTGCTAAATGTACAAACTATAAATATTGTGCGATGTGTACAATAGTGATTTACATCTATTCCCAATCAGCACCGCCTGGTGTGCCGCCCTTCTTTGAGCCGAAAATCGCCTCCATATTGTCCTCCTTCATCAAGCGCTCAATCCTCGACGTAAGTTCCTCTTCGTCAACTTTGGGGATGTAGGCAACCTCTCGCTGCGGAAGGATCTTTGATCGTCTCATAGATCGACGTCGCTCCATCTGCGCTTTCTGCTGTGCCTTTTCGAAGCCGGCCATACTCTTCCTTGTTCGACTAGCTAAATCCGTATAGCCGTCGTCCATATCAGGCTCTTCGGGTGTTGGTTCCCGGTTCGTCTTGGCAGGCTTATTTGCCACAGACGGTCCCAATGGAAGCTCATCCTCGTCGAAAACCCTAGAAGTTCTGGCCATGGATAGACGCGTGCGTTCAGCAAGAGACAAGGTGTGCCTAGGTTTTACCTTCTTGGTGGGGGATGGGGATGACGAGTCACGATCAATGGAATCAAGAATCTCTCGGTTGCGAAGTGCAGCATCGTAGACGGCTGGCTCTGGTTTCGGAATCTCAAAACTGGCCTTGCGGCTGTATTCCTCTCGCAAATCTCTGGCGCTGCCGTGAGAGTTGAGTGAACGACTGGTATCTCTGGACCCTTGCCTTGGTTGTACCACTGGTCGACGTGGCAGTCTTTTGGCAGCCCTTAGAGGTGCTGTAGCAGCCTTTGGCAGTATCTTTGGCTCTTCTGGTTCGTCACTGTCCAGTTCGCTCATGTCAGATATGGCATCCTCTTCGAAGACTTCTGGTTCAAGGTATGACTCTCGTCGCTGTCGCTGGATAATCGGTCCCAGTATATCTTGAGGGGTGACGAAAAGAGGTGCTGTCAGCTCCTGCGCAAGTCTCTCCATAATTTGTTCATATTCAGGTTCCAGCTCGATTTCCTCTCTGAGGCTGGTCCTCGTACTGCGAGAATGCCCAACTTGCAGATCTTTGTGTGCTTCAAAGCTCAGCTCCATACCCTTCTTCTTTGGAATTGGAGCCCGGCGTTTAGACGGCGACGGTGGTACCTTATCATACGCCATGTCCCTATGAAAGGCACTCCATCGTGCCAATCTGTCTCTTTGGAGTTTGACACGAGTGTTAAGCTGTTCCAGCAGACCCTCGCCATCATCTTCAACCTCTGCCAAACGGCCTTGCTGAACTCTATTCCAGATTCTGTCGTATGGCGTCGCAAGAAGGCCACTTCTGTTTTTAGCTGCTTCATTGCCGTAAAGCAGCGTATCAACCCAGGCTTCATTGCCCGTCCAGTTGTTTCGTATAGTCCGTCGCATGTCATTGCGCTCGCCTTCGGACATTCTTCCAAAGCTTTCACGACTGCTCCTCTCCTCGACCGCCTCCATACGCCTGGCTAATCCTCGCTCCTTAATAGCAAGGAGTTCTTCAAAATCACGACACTTTGCCTTGGCGTTCTTCTTATGTTGAAGCAGATTGCAAAGAGAAGCACGATACGCAAGCGTCAGCGTTCGTAGAGTAGCAAGGTCATCCTTCTTTCCGCTGCTGTCTAGCGCTAATTCGAGCGCTGGAGATTCGCGTATCTTCCCTTCGTCTACTGCATCGGCAACTACTTTTTTGAGTACTGCAGACGAAAAAGCGGCTAGAACCTCCTCCAGGCGCTCGCCCCGGCATTCGTCAAGCATCGTCTTGCGCAGAATAGTGTCGCGTCCCAGAACTCCGAGTCGTTTCGCATTTTCGAGCAATTTTAGAAGAGCAGATCGCAGATTGACAGATTGCAGCTGTTCGGTAGCAGGAAAGAATGGTTTGAGCTTCTACATCTAGTCAGTCACGGCTTGTCACACCAATAGTGGCACTTGGTTCCTACCGATAACGTTTCATCTGGATCGTAAATTTCAAATAGTCTGAACAATGTCCATTCTACAATCTGAAGTCGCCGTTTATGCCCCTGAGGTCCGCTAGCAGAGAATATGGCAGGGACTGGGTTGGGCCAGTCTCGCAACTGGTCAAGATTCAGGAGGCGCAGATTCGTAAGGAACGTATTGAGGGGCGTAATGGTCGATACAAGCTGCTCTGAGGATTTCATGGGACTAGGAAGTCGCTGCTGAGGCGCGCGAGCATACATGGACTGCGGTCGAGACGTTGCTACGCCAGAGCGCGGGGGACGCGTTCTTTGCAGTGTCGCCATGGTCTATAGGGGGTCTGAGGTCATGTAGAATCTCGAGGCTGACTATAGAGTCGGGACCATTTGGTGTATTAGTGCCAGAGAGTGACTGTGGACATTTCGCGGCCGAAGGTAGCAGTGGCAGGTTGGCGTGGCTGCTGCAGGTCGCGGTAGCGTGATGTTGTTTGGAGATGATGATGCAAGCCAAAGTTACAGCGGCACAAATCACAACTCAGCGGGTGTATGTTGCTGCCAGTGGCTTAACCGGCGGGGCGGGGGCGGTCAGCAGCGCTACGATGCAGCACCAGAACGCGGGGGAGCTGCCAGCTGTCAGCGAGAACGTCTTCCTCTGCCGTCAACAGGTTTCACACTTCTACAACTCCTTAAAAAATTAAACTATCTCATCCAGATACAGAGTCTGGTGTTCTAAGACTTTTCCCGAACATCGCCACATTCATTCTATAAGAACACACGTCAGCCTCACCAGCAACATAGCGTCCACCAAGCCAGAGGACGTCTACTTACACCACCTCGTCCACAGCACCACGGCGTTAGCTTTGCAACACGCAGCGCATTCAAAAAGCTCCGGCGCCTCCATGTTGACATTTAATCATGTTGTAACTGGCCTGGGGGCTGTATCACTTCTCTCCATCATTTACCGAGCTACAAGGTTTATCATCATACATGGGTCTCCGTCCAGACTGCTTCGGTATCGCCACAACTCCAAAGACGGAAGACCCCCTTGGGCCCTTGTCACGGGTGCTTCAGACGGCATTGGCAAAGCAATATCTCGAGAATTGGCAGCCTCGGAATTCAACGTGGTCCTACATGGCCGCAACAAAGATAAGCTCCAGGGTGTGTTGGACGACCTTCAGCGAGACTTTCCAGAAAGAGAGTTCCGGTTACTTATTGCCGACGCCAGCCTGGTTGGTTGTAGAGCTTGTATTGAATCAGATGATCCAGGAAGCTTGGATTTCCCAAAAATCGCAGACCAAGTAGCAGACCTACACCTCACAGTACTGATTAACAACGCTGGTGGTAATGGACTGCGGCCCAGCTTCTTAAGCCTAGCTGAGCACTCATACGAGCGCTTGGCCAATATTGTGAGTCTCAACGGCCTGTTCGCCTTCTATTTAACGCGAGCTCTACTTCCTCAACTATCGTCGAACGGCCCAGCCCTCGTTTTAAGCATCAGTTCCTTGTCCGACAAAGGCTTTCCCCTTCTTGCACCGTACAGCGCTGGCAAGGCAATGCTCCTGTCATGGTCCAAGTCTGCACGCCTTGAGTTCTCTATGAAAGGGAGTGAGGCTGATGTTGAGGTCTTGGCTGTACGCGCGGGCAAAGTTACAGGTGTCTCAATCTTTCAACAAGACTCGTCTCTTTTTGTACCAAATGCAACAACATTCGCCAATTCCTGCTTAGCAAAGGCTGGCAAGAACAATGGGCTCGTCCTGGGATACTGGCTCCATGAAATTCAGGAGAGCTTACTCTATTTTGTGCCGACATGGATGGAGGAATACATAATGAAGATGGCTCTTCAGCACGAGAAACATGAAGCAGACGGGAAGGAAACTAAATCACATTAGGCTATTACGATACGCCTGCAACATCGACAGAATGTATTTTCATTGAAACGTTGAAGAAATCGCTCTGTTACTACGCACAGTACCTAAAATCAGATATGCACTCAAATAAGTTATTCAGTATTATCCACCCGCATATCATTGTTTCCGGGACATTCAGGCTGTGACTTCATGACACCGATAACATCACGAAGTTCGTCGATGCTACCATAATATCTGTCATCGTTTTTCTTGGTGTCAACGGGAGCAAACAAGAACCACGAGCTCATCGGTTGGGCCATTGCAAAGTCATCTTGACCAGTGACACTGTTTGCATTTCTCAAAGTTGGGACCCGAGTTCGGTTGATGCCAATGTTTCCTGCTAACAGATAAGCCGAGGTTTTCTGTCCATCAGCTGGGTAGTCCAGCATAGTGAATGGTGCCTTGGCATAGCCGACAACAAGATGCTCCATGCCATCCGGGAAATAGCGTACTCCTTCAATAGTCACCACATTCTGGTCATACTCCGTCAGGGTTTCGTTCTGCTTCTTGAGAGCAACCTCACGAGGCGTACGGAGAAATCCGTCCTCCCGCCAGTGCATGAATCCTTGAATCCAACCACTAACAGAGTATTCAATAGGGCCTCGGCCACATGCGAAACCGTGATCGGCGCGAACAATCTGCTTCCAAAATGACTTGACATCATCGCTTCCAGCGTCATCAAAGGACTTGATAAACATGGTGAAGATGGGACGCAGCATTACGGCATAGTCAGCCGGCTCTTGTCCAAACTCTGGCAGCCTGTCCAGCTTGTCCAACAGGCGCTGCCAGTCGGCCTTGTCGCCGAGAAGAGTGACGCTTGGAATGCCGCAAGTAATACCACCGGTAAAGCTGAAGTAGCGTTTCACAAGGCCCATCATGAGCACCGTCGCAGTCATCTTGTCGTTGGTGTCGCTAGTGGAAAACTCTGGCATCACCCAATCAAGCAGCCACTTCGTCTTAACCCGACTGGCGATTTCCTGTGAAAATCCTTCAATTACTTTCTGCCAGCTGTTTGCTAGAATGGTGATATCCTGTTTGCCTTCGAAATCGACAAACAAATGCCGAATTTGCTCAGCATTCTTGCTCATGTAATAGTTCATCTGCACCAAGACTTCAAACCAAACTTCATCTGGTCGCAACACAAGATGCTGATGTTGGGCCCACGCCTCGATGGCACCTCGTACAATGCTGCCAGATGAGGGATAAATGGTACTAGCAGTGAATGCAGTCTTGTTCTGGGCTTTCTCGCCAAACGCCTGGCTATGTGACGACAGGAGAAGTTCAGGGCGAGTAGTATTGGTCTGCTGGAATTCTTCTGGGCATGATGCCTCGAGGAGATCCAAGGGGGATGCAACAGCAAGTGAGGTTTTCAACTTGAGTGCCGGCAAAGTGGAATCGATTGAGATGGTTACGGCCGACGCCGTAGCCAGAAGCGCAAAGCGTTGGATGCGCATCGTTGCCTACTAAAGAAACAGGCTCGCTAATGGATGTATAAGTGGCAGCTTCGTCGCAACAATGGGCCTTGTGGCTAGACTACTGAGAGTAGATTTTATGATCTACAGACAGACACCTGATATGTTTGGGTAGCGGCAGCTGTTTGATTTAAATATTTCGAAACAAACTAGCGCCTTTCTTGTCTCGAACATCTCCCTTCGGTAAACAGGCAAACTATACGAACTCAAGAACACGCGAAGCTGAGCGACCCCTTCATAATGTAACCATCCACATTCCAGTCCAAGACTCAGCTCAACACCACAAGCCTTGTCTTCAAACTTTCCGATGCTCCTTAAGCTTATTCATAAAACTCTATTAAAAATAGAATCACCACATTGGCTGCCACATTCTTAGCCTCCCAAAATAATTTGGCCAGTCGTTCAGAGTTAACGCCACTGCAATCAGCTGGGCATAGCGTCTTACACTAAACCTCTGTCAAGCTGAGCTAGTGAAACTATCTCGACAGTAGTTTGTTTGACTGTGGGCCTGTACAATATTGTAGAACATTAAACATAGCGGCGCTGCAGGGTTCATTGCTTTAAGAAAAGTGTATTCATTTTGTGCATAAAATTGCATTCTATCAAATTCAAAAGTGTATCGCTCCCAGTTAAAAAACAACCCTTTCCAGTACTCCGTGCTAATCACATGTAACATGCTACACCGCAGTGATACTACTGTCGGATGCAGCGAGAAACGACAAAATGCATCGTAACTTCATTTTCCGTCAAACAACGTTAACAGTGTATTGTAGATGCCCTTACATCTTGTGTAGGCGAGCTGTGGGTCTCACAGCATCGCCATCCAGGAGTCAATCATCACGGGAGTCATCCTGGACGCGCTTGACGATATCAACAAGACGAGGGTAAATCTTCTCCGTAGCTTGGATGCCACAGACCTTGTTGACAACGTCTTCGGGAGTATCTTGCGACATGATGGATGCAAGTTCCGTAGACTCATTGTCCTCATCAACATCCTGGAAACGGAAAGCCATTTCGATAGCTTCGAGAAGATAGTCGATAGGCTGGTCGTTCTCAGCAAGCTCAGCGGCGGGGCCAACGAAGCGCTCCTTGCGAGAGAGCTTGCGGAGAGGGGCTCTGCCAACACGCTCAACGGCGTCTTCAAGATGGGGGTTGCCAATACGCTTGATGATCTTGTCAACGTAAGCCTGTTGGGCGGCCTCATCAATACCGTGCTTGTTGACGATAAGGTTCTTGGTCTCCATGAGCGCACCGCGGACCTCCTTCATAATGTTCTTATCTTGGAGGGCATCATAGACGGTGCGCTTTCTGCGGTTGTAGCCATGATATGCAGCAGTGGCATGGCTGGTGTTGACGGTGAAGAGCTTGCGCTCGATGAAAGGAGCGAGATTCTCAACCCAGGTAATACCCTCAATTGGGGGGATGCCGCAGTCTTCAAAGGGGGTCTTATCAACAACCCACTCAAAGAACTTCTCTAGCGTGACATCGAGTCCAGCATCGGGATCTTGAGCAGGGACGATGCGGTCGATGGCGGAGTTGGCGTAGCGGGCGAGCTTGTCGTGCTCGGCGAGGCGCTCAGGAGTGGTGTTCTTAGGGTCCTTGATAAAAGAAGCGAGAGTGTCGGTCGCGCCGATGGCATTTTCGCAAGCAATGACATATAGAGGAGCGAGATCAGTAGAACGCTTGTCGATACCCTGGGCAATGACGGGAGCAATAAACTTGAGGATGTTGGGACCAACAGAGCAAGTCACAATGTCAGCCTCGGCGATCTGATCTACCAGTTCAGCCTCATGCGTCTTGGAGTTGATGGCGCGGTAATTTGTGATTGTGCTTTCGGTGGTACCTTCGACGCCAACTTCGATGACGCGATACGACGAGGTTTCGTTGATCTTATCGATGAGAGCGTCGGCGACATCAGCAAAGATGACGTCGTATCCAGAGTTATGAAGGAAGCAGGCAACAAAGCCACGGCCTAAAGGGGAAGAATGAGGTTAGCCTAATGTGGTTGTCTGCAGGCACAGCGTTGCTGTGAATGGTGGTGCAATTTAGCGGCGCTGGTGGTGGTGTGGTCGCAGCCGACAGGTGGTGGCGTCATAGGCGACAACCACCGAGTTGTAGTGGATGGTGGGGGCTGTTTTACAGCGGCGAACACGCCGTTGAATGTTTTGACGGGGGAAGCACATACCGATATTGCCGGCTCCAAAGTGAACAGCTTTAGGCGCCATTGTGGGCAAAAATGTGTGATAGGTGTAGTAGGGGAGGAGTGGAAGTTGTTTTGTTTAACCTAAGCTGTTTTGCAAAGGCCAACTGTTGTAAGAGACTGTAATCCACTTGTAGTTGTTGTGTATAAGTGGTGACGGGTAGAACAAGTGTCTTAGGAGTAATAGGAAAGGAGATAGGAAGAGTGAGGCTAAGAAATCAAGATCGTGAAGTTGTGGATTCGCGGGGACTACGAGAGCTTTATATAACAAGTCAAGATGGCAACATTCACAGAGAATGGCGCCAAGAGATAAGGGAACCCCCGGACATCCAGATACTCCTATGACGACGTTTTAGATTCGGCAGGCGCTGCAAAAGCAAAGCCCCTCCGTGGCCGCCCGAGGTACTTTGCGTTAGTTTGAATGGTACTTTGTCGGCTCAGCGGCATTTCAGTGCCTTCAGAGGGGCAGTGGTCTTCGTCATAGCGCCTGACGCCCCGCCCAAAGCGCTGAAGAAGGCGGCGTGCATGAGTGGGGCACTGAAAGAAATACAGTGCGTAGGTCGGCTGGGCACAGTAGCAATCAGGTTTCGGCAATCATGGCCGCATGTTTCTGAATGGCCAGGACGGTGGTTTAACCTTTGAGTGTTGACGTGATAATACAAGAGTGTGTGTTTATGTCACGGTTAAAAACATGTAGCAAATTTCTAAAGTATACTTGCCTGTACTCACAGACGCTGTACTGGTGGCAATTACGCCATACCAACAAGCGTACCACAGCGCTAGAAACCGTCACTTACGGTGCACTTTGCAACGCCCCGCGCCAACCTCGCTCCTAATACCCATCCATGGTGGGCTCAAGTAACAAGCCATTCGCGTTCACTTTTGTCTGCGCCAAGACCTGCTCGCAAACAGAGAACGGACCGAATGACACGCAGCAAAAACAACCAGGCTCTTACTTCAGTACAGAACTGACAGTAAAAAACGCCAGGTGGACGTGTCTACGCCAATCAGCGCCTGCATATAGCGGTATGCCCACCGTAACAGACTCCGCTGGCTTAGAGAGCGTCGGCGGTGCATTTTAGTGGGGGTTCGTCTCCACTGTGGATTATGGGCTGCAACTTGCACTGTGTTTTTCACGCCGTAGGTACCTGAAGAAACTCTGCAAGGTAGACTGAGACCTTAGTATTTGCTTCCGGGCAAGGCCGAATTCATGAGTCTATCTGAAAGCACGTGGTGCCGAACAAATCAAATAAGAAACATAATATATCAAATTTACAAGGACAATAGCAGAGGATTGCATGATAAGAAGAAAAGCTAAAACGGATTGAAACACATGCGAGAATGCCGCATGGGCCGCCACTGGCCATCGATTACAGGGGACATTGTCTCCCTGTATGTCTGGCTCAGGCCCCGCCGGACGATGGCGTGGTCGGGGTACTTGACCACTGGATTGAAAGTACTTGTTGACCACGAATTACTGACTAGGAGGCGCTAGAAAAGAACGAAAAGGATGTTTCTCACGATACTACTGCGGTTCGGCGCAAGGCAGCGACTTGATTGGCTTCATTCATGACACGGCTCTCTTATCTCACCAGTCTGAGTGGCAACACCAGTCCGCAACAGAACACCAAGTAACCTGTCTGGTTCGAAAATCAATCATATTTCGACCATGTGCCATACCTCGGCTTGCTGTTGTCCTGTTGACGATAATATTAGGCACGCGACTCTCTTAATGGAGAGTGTCAGGCGCAGTTTCGATGGTCTATCACCTGCAGGACGGCACTGCAAGATGCCTCCATCATCGCCGTTTGGGGTCATTCCGCAGCTTCGGCAAAACATCAATGCGTAGCAGCTGCTCCTCTCATACTGTACGGGGTCATCCCGCGTCAACATGTAACCATAATATCTCAGTGTAGCTGCCCGTCGTTCCTACATCCCGAGTAGATGACGTCGACAGCCACCGGCTACGTCTGTCCTGCAGGACCCTACCTCACATTACCAGAGAAAACGTGTGCCCGCTTGAAAAATGCAGCCGAACGACAAGACGGTTTCGATAAAGATGGGGATACTACTGGGATCCGATGCTTGTTCTTCAAATCGACCGTTGAGTTCTCCAGTTTTCCCCAGTTCAAGTCGATACACTCCATAAATATGCGCCAAGAACTTTACTAATCCAATCGTCTGGAGAAAAGGTCAATCTTATACTGACAGGCTTAATTCGGTATTGTCACGCCCGTCGATACATTGTCATTTTTGTTGCGCCGTCCACCCGGAGGCTGTCAAGTTGTGTATCATTCGACCAACCAGGGACACCCCCATGCAAGCCTCGACTCTGCGTTGCGGCAATATTCGGTAGCCTCCCACCGACGTCATTTCTTGCCCCGATCTGCGCCGCCATTGGCTAGCCGTGGGACTTCTGGCTCAAAACGGGCATGACAGACCACCCGCCCTTATCTCTAGAGCCTCCAGGAGCGCCGTGTCAGATGTCCCACGGATAGTCGATGCATCATTGCCCCTCAACGGAGCCCCCGCTCCCCCTTGCTTGGGTTAACACATCATTTCATTCGCTTGATTGTCTGCGTGCTTTGCACGGCGTATCAGCATTCCGTCATTATCCGTCTACCTCCATGCAGCGATTGCTCCGCCTGCTTCTGAGGGTGATAGACGGGCTCATAATTCTAAGTTTGTTTTTGCGTCAATTTGTACTCGCGGAAGACCTAGTTACCTAGTTCGCTCATTACACTACCAAGACGGCTCTTCAACGTTTTAGAGCACATGAAAATCGAGTTGGTGGAGAACTCCCAGCAACACGACAGCAGCTTGATGCCCAATAACACCGTAGATGCAACGCCCTCTACACGGGAACACCCGTACCGGCGCTGTACTCCCAAGGTATTCACATACAGCTGACACATGATAGTCTGGGGATCCCCGCGAATATTGTTCAGGTACAGAGGCCTGCTGCAGCACGCCCGCCGCCACTAAGCGCGCGCATTCTGGACAGACGGATCTTATGAGACTATACAACGGCGAGATGCGGAACGTGTTTTGATTCGCCATGATAAGAGCATCATTATGGTGCAGCACCATATCCCTCGGCATTGCAGATCTGGGGTACAGAAAGGCAGCATCTGCGTAGACAAAGCAGTTTCTGTCTCAGCTGAATAACATGCGCAAGGTGTTCCGTACTTTCCAGTATTCTTAGCACAGGAGATCCTATACAGTTTCATACGACTTAGCCAGCTCAGGACACGCAATGATAAGTCATTAGAAGGGCATATATCCTTTAACGTCCAGGTAGCAGTATAAGACCAGCAGCAGGATTGTGTTTAAGACGCGACTGCTCTAGGCATCATAGGTAAAGTCAGAGTGAGACCGGCGTATGGCAGTAGTAGCAGTGAACAGGGTACACTTTGATGCCGGATCACAACAAGCTGGTGTAGAGGAAGGAAAACTGGGATTGGTTGGCTGAGAGTGCTCTTCCTGAATGCTATTATTGTCTGTGACGCGTATGTTGCATTTGCGAGAGATAATGCTATAGGAGACAGCCGCCAACAGCAATGGCTGTAAAAATAATAATAAAAAAATAGAGACAATCGAATGAAGGGAACCAGAGAGATGGGAAGAGCCTTGGGATTTGACTCTTTTTTTCATAAACTCGAGCTGTGGTGAGTCCAGCGATATCGCGATCCCCAGCTACAGATATGTAAGGCCCAGAGTTGGTGGAATACTCTATGCGTGGCTATTCGAGGGCCAGCCATCCTCATTGTAGTAATAAATTATGTAGAAAGGCAATCGCTGTGGCCTTGATGTTCCACCACGGCGCGCTACGGGCAATCCCAGGTGCTGTGAGAGAAGATCAGAGAAAATACCCCAAAATACGGGTCATAACACAATTGTAATGTAAGTTAAGGACCTTTTACACGGGTATGAATTTATTTCGACAATTTTTGGCATTTTTTTCTCCTTTCAGGCCCCCAGAACCCATTCTGGTGTTCAGTCTCATCAAACATGCGAGCCGTTGATTGGCTGTGTGGATGGTTGCCACCAGCAACGGCCACGCCAACGTACACAAACCACGACAGCAACGGCGTTGTCACCTTGTTTGTTAGTGTCGCCCGCAAAATAGCATCGTATATGCTGATGGCTGTTTAGTATCCACCAACCCCAAGCTTCCTTCTTCAATCTTTGTTTCTTTAGCTGCATCACGTCGATTTGAACAAAACGACGTCTTTTCCAAACCGACGCGCATATTATAGTGCGTTACATCGAAAGAAAGTCTGACGTGCACAGGCATCAACATTATTAGATTCCAGCACCAACAGGCGGGACAAAAAAAATACACCTGCGATTTGGCTAAGCAGCTAACATCAACATTGCACATGTCATCGCAACTTCAACTCGTGCGTGTCTGCCCAAACAACATGCCTACGTCGCAGCCCTTCACCAACTAACATCAACATAGATTTGAATTTCACGACAGATCGACGCACCACGCAACGGAAACCAGCCGTCACGATCAGCAGCTATATAAACAGTCGCACGAGCCAGATTCACGACCATGGCACACAGACTCGTTGCCAGGGGCCCTATCGACCTCGAAGCTCTGTCTCCTCGAGACGCCAATGCCCAGCGCGTACCAAAACCAAAGACGGCAGCCGTCGATGCAAAGGCCCGTCCAGCTCCCGCAAAATCAAACAAGGACAAGGAACATCCTCCACCACCTCCTCCAGAGGTTCCTGAGCCACCTGCAGTTGACCGTCCAGATGGCGCTGTCTATCAAGTCGGCAAAATGCTCGGCAAGGGTGGATTTGCCATCTGCTACACTGGCCAACTGGTACCTACAAAGCAATTGTATGCTCTCAAAATCGTCAAGAGCCATATGCCTGCCAAAATGGAGCAAAAAGTAAGTTAACGGCATTGATTGAGCCGATCATCCGGCATGGCTAACCAAAGGACAGTTTCAAACCGAACTCCAAATACACTCAAAAATGAAGCATAAGAATATCGTACAATTCTTGCGTGCCTTTTCCTTTAACAACTGCACATACCTTGTCCTCGAACTATGCCCCAACGGCTCTCTAATGGACATGGTCAAACGTCGTCGCGGCCTAACTGAACCAGAGGTCCGCTTCTACAGTGTTCAGATTGCAGGTGCCATCAAATACATGCACGGAAAGGGCATCATCCACAGAGACTTGAAGATGGGTAATATCTTCTTAGACTCAAGAATGAACGCTAAGATTGGCGATTTTGGCCTTGCAGCGCTGCTGGTTACTGGTCGAGACATGCACACCATCCGTCGAACCACGCTTTGCGGCACACCCAACTATATCGCTCCAGAGATTCTTGAGAAGGGAAAAAAGGGCCACGATCACAATGTAGACATCTGGAGTCTGGGAATCATTGTTTTCGCCATGCTCACATCCAAGCCACCTTTCCAATCATCGACAACAGACGAGATTTATCGCCGCGCAAGAGAGCGAGACTACGAATGGCCCGACGTTGAGAAGACTAATACATACATCAGCCAAGAAGCTAAGGACCTGGTTGCTACAATGCTCACAGATGCTGATCAACGGCCGGACCCTGACGTAATTCTCGAACACGCCTTCTTTACATCTGGATACATGCCTTCGGAGAGCGAAATCCACCCAAAACTTCGCGAGGTGCCCCCTGAGCGCGTCGAATTCTACAGCCCCATGACTGGCCAAGTGCAGGCACAGTCTTACCGAAATCTGAAGGATATGTGCCGCGAGTGCTCTGTAGGACCTTGGAGCACAGCCCAGATAGTGCACACGCAGATTTGGAAAGAAATGACGGCTGAGGAAAAGGCAGGTCTGACTCCTGTAATTCCTCTGCAAGAAGGCATTGTATATAGACCATTTGAGGACTGGATCAAGGAACAAAGGCTACGACATGCAAACTCAATTGCTGCCTCCACCCGAGAGGAACAAGGCGCAGCGAAGACTGTTCCTCCGTCAGCTTTGTTGCGACAGCCACCACAGAGCTTTGCTGCCCAGCAGCGAGCTCAGGGTCGCCCAGCGGCACAGTCTGCACCAACCCGGGCTCCTCAACCATCAGAACCAGCGCAGGCTCAGACGGTCCGATCGCGCACTCGACCAGAGCCTTCCAGAGAAGCTGAACCCAAAGAAAGTGTTAGCAGTGGAAAAGCCTCCGTGCGGGGAACGGTTCGAACAGCCCTACCAGCTTCTCGAAGCGCTTCGTCATCGACCGGTCAAACATTTTCGGCTTCATCCTCTACTTCTTCACATTCCCGATCCCAATCAGGATCCATCCGATCTGCTACTCTTTTCAGTACTACGGAGCAAACTAGTACCATTTCTGGCACAAAGCCCGACGTGATCCTTGAGAGGCTTCAGCGTTTGCAGGCAGAATTGGAACGTGCCCTTAACTCACGCTCCATGGCCATTATTTCTTCCAGGACTGCGACTCCTCCCCATCCACACGTAGTTGTGAAGTGGGTTGACTACACGAACAAGTTTGGTCTCGGTTACATTTTGAATGACGGCAGTGTTGGGTGCATTCTGCGCGATATCCCTACTACGGAAGGTAGCAAAACAGCACTGCTTCCCTCAGCTGGTGTCTTTATTCGCGGCGCCGAGAGACACATCCTACGCCGTCAAGACGAGACGTACGTGGACCGCAATCAGCCAGTACCAATGACGCAGAACATCAAGTTCTTTGAAAACAATGGCGAAGGCGGACTTACGGAAGCGACATTGTCCCCAGAGCAGTTCCGCGTGTCAGTGAATGAAGATGGCACTGCGGGCAAGATGAACCCTGGAAAGGATATTTACCAGCACCGTAAGCGCGAGCGCATTATTCTGTGGAAGAAATTCGCCAACTACATGATTGCCTATGGCCGCGACGAAGCGATTGCAGCAGAGGAGATGGACGACGGAGCAGCCGCAGCACAAAAGGCGCCATCGTCAGAGCTGGTTACCTTCTACCAGCGCTTTGGTGACGTCGGTTGCTGGGTCTTCTGCGACGGCCACCTCCAGTTCAACTTCCCCGACCACACCAAGATTGTTCTTGATGCGACTGGTACTTGGTGCCATTTCTGGCATCTTCCACAGGATGCTGCCGAGCGCCTCTCAGAGACTGGCACTATCGGCGCCGCAGCTCTCGACGATCGCGCAACCCTTTCCTACCCCCTGCAGACACTGCTGAACTTCCAGACCCGAAACAGCTCTGCTCGCGCCGCCAGCTCAACTCGCCGTCGCCCTGAAATCGATCCTGAGCTCCAGGGCATTCCCGCTGCCAACGACTTCCGCCGCAAGGTCGAATTCATTAAGAGCATCGTCAAGGAATGGGTGTCCAACGGCGGTCTGGGTAACAGCGACATGAGCCGCGAGGGCCGACTACGCTGGACTGGATTCAGAGAGTGCGTCGGCGTCGTCGCGCCACAGAAGCACGTCTGGGTTACCATTGGTGCTAGAGGAGGCGACTCACGCGTCTCTAGCTACGTGGATGGCAACAAACCTTGGGAATTAGGAGAGGAGGTGGATAGCAGAAAGTAAGAAAGAGAGAGAGAGAGAGATGTAATGCCCGGATGGGACGCTTATTTTGGGCAACGGATGCCTCTATTTTTTTTCTACTCCTGGGTGGTGTTTTTGCTCTGTCGTTTCTCTTTACGTGTATCTTCATGGCAAGCGTGCGTTGCCTTTTTACTCCTTCATTTCCTTCTCGTTATATATCTAAATGGACATTTCTCTTTACCCTGTTAATATTCGTTTCCCTACTTGTGACGCTACATACCACAGGCGATATCACTTAGGACGTTACTTGGAACAGCGTTCGGGGGAAGCGAAGACCGACAAAGAATGTAAAGACATAATTGACATTAATTATAAAGCTTATATAAAGAGGTAAGCAAACAAAATCTAAAAGTGTAGTCTTTCAAAGACGAAAAAAAAAATCAACACCTAGTGCCCTGGCGAATTCATAGCCTGGTATCACTCTTCCAAGAAAAAAGAAACAATGTAAACCAAAAAAGCCACTGGGCACGGTTTATATGCATGTGCGCCTTCTCCAACTCAATTATGTGACGGAAACCAAAAAGCAGTCTTCCAAGCAATTCCTTTTATTCATAGTAAGAGCCGCGGCCAGGTGGTGGTGGCAGCGCCCACTCGGACTCATTATGTCCGCCCATGACGACGCTTTCGCGGCTGGTGGCCCAGTGGGCAGACTTGTTACGCTTTTCGCGCTCGAATTCCGCCCATCGCTTCATTGTAATCTGAGAAGAATCAAACTCTCCGGCTTGTTCTTCGCTCTTCTTCACATCTCCGTCCGTCTTTCTCGTCTCACCCCAAGAGAAGTCGTCAAACTTCCAGAATGCGTAAGTAGGAAGAACAAAGTTCCAGATGGGGAGAGAGATGAGGTAAATCATCATCCAAAGGACGTAAGACCAGGAGTGGGCTGTCACGAGAATGAGAAGACCAGGGAGACCAAGAATAAGACCAAGCAAGACCAGAGGGATGATTTGGGGAGGCGAGTGAACAATGGAGATGATGACGACGTAAATGGTGAAGGCAATAGCAGCAGGAAGAACGAGCGTACCAATCAACTCGACGAAAACAACAAACTGCATAGAGAAGCAGAAGGTACCACACAGATCGCGCACAAGAATCAGTTCCATAAGGTTGTGAACGGTCGAGTTAATCCAACGACGACGTTGAGAGAGCAAAACCTTGAACTCTTCCGGAACAGTCGTCTTGCACACCGCCTGGGGAACAAAGACTTGCTTACGCTTGGGGAATGTTCGCAACATGAGCGTCGTAAGGTAACGATCCTCACCAAGAAGATACAAGTTCTTTTCGTGAAGAGTCTCGACGACATTCTCAGAGTAGTGTTCAACAATATCAGGGTTGGCGAGAATAGGAACCCAGTAGTTGTCACCACCCTTGGGTGCCTTGATACGGTACATGCAGAAACATCCGGGCAAGCAAGTAACACCACCAAACACAGACTCAAACGACTTGGCCAGGTGATGGGAAATGAAGTACTCAAAGACCTGAATGGCAGAAACCCAGCTGGCGCGCTTGTTGGCAATCTTTGTTTCACCACAGAGACCCATGATTTCGGGATCCTTGACCATAGCAGAAACCATGTGTGTCAAACTGTCGGGGAAAACCTTTGTATCGGCATCAACCATGAGAACAATCTCGTAGTAGTCGGGGGATATGCCAGTAACCTTCCAAAGTCCGTTGAACATTTCATACTCAAGCTCCGTCATGCGCTCGTCGAACATAACCTTTTGCAAGAAAGACATAAGAATGATCTGACTGTCACGCTTGCCTCTGTTACCGGGCTTGGGCTTATCAAACTCGGCACGGGTACCGCACTTGACAATGACCATCATGGGAACGCGCTGTTGGCGCTCAAGGGGAATGCGAGACTCGGAACCGTAATCGTAGAAACCAGAGTAGACCTTCGCCATGTTGTGTCTCTTTGAGCCACTAGCAACGGCGACGTAGGAGAATGCCTGTACCATGTCGGGAGGGGTAGTGTGGTCCTTAATCATAGACAAGCAGATATCCGGAGTAGAAATCTTCTCACCCTGGCCCTTAATGACACCATCGCAGATAACAAGAATGGCCTTGTGGCTGTTGGGGTAATCGGTCATAGCAATAGAGTCGAGCGTAGTGCGAATACCTTCGGCACCTTCAGAGTAGGCAGTAACCAAGCAAATCGTGTGGGCAAGAGGGAAACCGAACGGCATCCAGTCGGATGGAGGTTGGGGAACAACACTGTCATGGATGAAGCCAGCGGGACCAGGACCTTCAACAGAGCCAGTGGATGGGAAGGGATCACTGCGGAGGAAACTAGCGCGGCTGTCATTGCCTTGTCTGTACATAGATTCCGGGCGGGCCAGGGCACTTGAGGTTCCTTGACCAGCCATAGTAGTGGGAACACGGCGGGCGGTAGGTCCCCTTTCAGGTCCACCAATAGTGGAAAATCGTGAGGTGGTGGGGAGGAAAGAGCTGCGCTTGCTGAGGCGGTCTGAACCAGCAACAGTGCTGCCAATCTCGCCTGGGAGTCTTGCGGGGGCACGGTAGATGTCTTCGGACCAATCTTCAATCTGTCTGTTTCTCTTGCGGCGGTCGGAAGACTGTGAGGTCTTCGCAGCTGCATAGCGGCGGCTGATGAACCACTGGAACACGAGGGCGAGAACAAAACGAGCACCGACAACCGATAAGATAAGAATCAAAGCACAGTACAAAACAACCTTGGAGGCAATGCAACCAACAGTTTCGGTATCGACAGAGCCGACCTTGATGATTTGCTCAAAGCACTTGGCATACCTCTTGTCTTCCGAAGATTGAAACATGCGAGTAACGTCGCGGAAGCGCACAGCCTGGTTGATGGGGCTGGAAGTATCGCGAAGAGCCTTAAACCTAGACGGAATTACAACTTCATTCGGGTCGAGCCAGTAGAGCATATCGAGGTCGAGAACATTGCCAGAGTAGACCATAAGGTTACGGCTCTTGTTCTTGATATCATCCCAGCTGAAGTAGACGTCAGCAGCACCGTGTAAACGGGTGTAGAAAGCGTCACGGGCTTCGCCAGTGGTATGGCAAGAGTAGCCATTGTAGTAGGGGTAAGTAAAGTTAGGTTTGGTAGAGCCGTCTTGGTTGAAGGTAGTGCAAGGGAAGTACCAAGCAAGCTCGTTGTTTGAGTTGGTGGGAATCTTGGACGAGGGTGTGCGCGTGATGATGTCCTTGCAAGCGCCGTTGACATTCTGGAACAAGAAACTTCCGTCTTGGCCAGCATGTTTCTCGGGAAGATCGTAGAGAACATTCGAGCCGAGACCATCTAGTCTCTTGGGAATACCTTCAGCGGGGGGATGGTGGGATCTGGACAAGTCATAGGCGACGCCATGGAAAATCATGTAGCCACCATCGACCTTGTTCTGCTTGAGACGAACAGGCGGGGCACTGCAGACAACAGCAGTAAATCCAAAGGTGAGGAAACCAACAATAGCCATGATGACGAGGATGATGCTAATCAAGCCCATCTTCTCACGCCAAGCACGCTGCTCAGGCTTTGTGGGCTTGCCGCAGCACCGAAGCAGAAAATCAGGGCACCAGAAAGTAACAACAGCGCAGTAAACATTCCAAACACTTGGGGGTCGCACTACATCTCGGGTGGTGTTCTTTTTCCTGGGACCGAGCTTGCTTTCCTTCAAAATCTTGCGGCTCTTGGGACGCGAGGTTTGTTCGCTGAGGCTCACGTCTACGGATTTTTCGGGACCGGCCTGACGGCTAGGAATTGCTCTCGACTTTTCGCTGATGCTCTCAAAGGTGCGTGAGCCACCAGAGCGTTCGGTAGCAGAGTCAACATTCTCGAGGAGAGGGTCATTGCCGGTAGAGGAGGGCAAGACATCCATCTTGGCGGCATGCTTGTGGTAGTGATAGTTTCGGTGATCTTTATCAATCCTGTTGCGTTCAGGGCGAATCAAGCTTCGCTTTCGGCTAAAGGGCTGTTCTTGGCTATCGGTGCGGGCGTGGCCTTGAGCCAGGGGAGTAGTGTCTGTAGACATATTAGGATTCGAGGAACTCCCAGGAAGCGAAACGCCGGATATCCCACGTTGATGGCTCCGACGAGCAGAAGAATTGCCGGCCTCGATATCGCTTGGAACCGGTCGACGCGTCGTAGAGTTGCGGAAAGATTCACGCTGGCCCTGAGAGGCTGCAGCCCCCGGGCGATTTGGTAGAGACATTCTGCTCCTTAAAGCCAGATGGTTAGTAAACGTGGAGGAGTTGAGTAGGCAGCGTCAGCTATAGGGAGCCACTCACGATCAGCTTAGTGCAGGCCAATCTAGAAGGAGGCTCCAAGTCTGTGTTTAAAGTGGCAGTCGAGATTGCTTCGCGCGCAATATTCGACACAAATACAGCGAATCGCCTGAGACAGTGTGTGTTGTACGAAAAAGCTTTGACGTCGGGATCGTGCAGGGTTCGAGAAGAAACGCGCCAGTTACGCCTCGGAACTTGTTGTCTTGTAACTCTCGGAAGATAGTAGTACTAAACGCTAGAGAAATATTGTGTCGCTAACGAAGTCTTTCCAATGTAAAGGAGGTGAGTCGACGAGAGACGCTGTTGATGAGATCCCGTTGTTCGTAGGCTCGACCTGGAAAAAATAATGGATAAAAATGAGGAGACTCAGACAAGGAAAAAAGGAAACAAAATAAAGTGAGCGTTATGGAAGAAGGAGTTAAACAAAAAGAGGCTTCCTGAAGACGTCGCAAGCCAACAGATGCGCGTGCGCGTGATGGAAGAAGAGGAAATTGACGTGTGAAATTCCAAAAGGGAGGCGGGAGGAAGAGAAGCCAGGGGTGGCTTGCGTGGTTGTATGTTTTGGCTGTGCCAGCAGGTGGGGAGGCTCTGGCAAGCAGAGTATGCTCTACAGTACGAGACAAACAGTACGAGGACAGCGGGTACTGCAGCGTGGCGGCAGCAGCTGGAGAGCGCAGTGCATGCAGCCTACGGGGGGCACCCGGCAAGAAAATTACACCTTGTGCACTGACCTGTCCTCTCCCCTGGGGCGTTACGGTGGGTGTTGCGCTGCATTACCAGCGGTCGGCGCTGTTGCTTTAGCGGACACATGCGCTGTAGGCCGCTGCGGGCAGTGCCTCCCCAGAAACGAGAAAAACACGACGTTGGCTCAGGCATTGGCGCGCTAGGGGCGATAAGTATTTTTAATGTATTTACTATGTATACAGCAGACCAGTGTCGTCACTGTGGATCGGCACGTCTCCCAATCTGTTTTTTTTTTAGCGCTCTGTCAGGTTCTCACCCCTGAAAAGCTACTTCATTAATACCTACAAACTACTCCATGGGCACTACCAGCGTTGTCGGGTCGACCTGCTAAACCTCGACCAGCAACCAATGCGCATCAGGCGATCGATCTTGCCGAGCATTAATTATAGCATCAGTTCGTATGGCCTCTATTTGTGCTTCCCTGGCACGAGGTCGAGGCTAGCCTAGCAACTCTCAACCCGGGATAATTCCCTGCACCGCTCAATAGTATAGATGCACATTCGTTTATCGCGCCGTTGGCACACGAAAGGGGCGTTAAGACTTTGCCAAGGTTGATATCATAGCTACCCTACATATATTTTATATTCAAGTTTTCTTGTGAATTTTTAGTGTGATCCAATGCTGGGTATCGCGGTAAAAAAAAATAAGTCTAACACGGTACGCCATAAATTGTCAATATTGGACGTTATTCGACGAGTATAGCCGAATTCCGATCCTCTTGTCGTGAGCTGATTTGACAGTTCGAGACTCCCCATGAGGCCAATCAGCTGGCACAAATTTCCATCATTCCTACTGATGAACCCCAAACAAACATAAATCCTGCCACAGACGGTAAATTGCCAGAGTAAATCAGATTAAACGGTAGCCTTACCGAAACATAAAAAAATGGACAATTTCGCTATCTGTCTACTACCAATCGTCTCAACTAGCTATTAGCCATCCAATGGGACATCGCCGAGGTGTCCATCGTAAAGAGGATAGCCGTTGCTGACACATCGAGTCAGGATGCAAAGGAGTGACATATGCGTCAGCCCGTAACCTTCAAATCGTAACCTGATGATTTCATAACGCGACAATATTGGCGTAGCGTGGCAAAACTTTCTCGAAAACACGAGGCGCTGGGTCTGCGGCCCCAAGCCAAGAACGGGACGAATACGAGGTGGGCCATCCCATGACGCCCGCCCCTGCTTTGTTTAAACTTTGAGGAACTGGTATAGCGTCATAGGTGGATATCCAGATTTCGCAACGTAGAGTTTGTATTCACCAAAAAAGGAAATCAGAAGCTGAAAAAGTTCTAGAATAGGAAGCGTAAAAAAGTGGCAGAGCTCGCGTTGAGATCCGGCGAGGATGCTTTCCCGCACCCACAAGCGCCGTGGCACACGCCATGAAAGTCATGGGTATATGGCACGCTTCAGCCTGATTAAGAACCAACCAAGGCTGATCAAAGCTCATGGCTTTGAAGGGCAAGGTCAGGAGGCCAGCGGCTTAGCTACAACGGCTGTCCCCTACCCACTCAATGAATCAACTTCGCAAGCTATGGCCAGCCACAGTTGTATCGCATAACGCCCCTGTACCAATATATGACTGGGCGCTATGCACTTGGCTGCGGGGGACGACACCAGATGAACGGCATACAAATGGGTAGAGTGCACCAAAGAGCATCTTCTCTGATAGCAATACTACATGTACTATATCGGCGAAGATATATTGTTGCTAAATAGCGTAGCAACGGAGGCCTGTCAAAGGAGACGAGAAGAGCAGCTGACGTTCCATCGCAAACAGTGAGGATGTGACGAGGCTGGCGTATAATTGTCCATGCGCGAATTGGCCAGGTCAGTTGCTATTAGTCGTTGATGAAACCCAACCATGCGATTTATATCCTACTGTATTTACTGTATATACAAGCCAAGCAGTATCTGGTGGTAGCAGGATCGGACAACCATGGATGCACGCAATGCAGACATTTGATGTGTGGGTATACGACAGCCTACATGCTGCAGTTGCGCAAGTTGATGCAAGACCCAAAAACAAGAAAGAATTTGGGTAAAGCAGAAAGTTGGCAGTAGTGTCGGGTTGCTGTGCGCAAAATCCTGGCATATGGCTAGAAATTAGTTAGTGCCCTAAGCGCTGGAACGCAACTAGAACAGGGAATCTAGCGTTCCAATGAGCGCATTCCCTACAGCGAACAACGGCACAAGTCGGACGTTGGACTGACTACCGTTAAGAAACTGCCGCGCAGTAAGGTGACATTCTTGATGAAAGAGGTGGTGAGAGACGTGAGACGTTGCAGCTCGCATGCAGGCTGGCGTCCTCCTTGGCGTCTAGGCCAAATACTACCTATCTCCGCCCTCAAAGGAACAATTCTGCTGCTACTGCTGTTAGCCGCGCTTTCGACTTGTAAAGACGACATCAGCAATAGTCTTACACAAACAGGAAAAAAAATCAGAACGAATCAGGGCCATGGCCTGAGCACTCGTGTGATTGCGAGGCGCCAGTCTCGCACAACCGAAAAAGCAAGCCACGGCATCTCAGCCTCGCCAGCTCACCAAGGCAGAGGAAAGCGTCCCAAAGGAGACAAGTGTGCATCCTTCAACTTTTTTTTTTCTCCGTGTGTGCTGGCTCGCCCACTCGTCTGTGCGTCCCCGTTCAGGGGTCAGGCTTTGGCGGCGCATGAATTCGCGTGCAGTAGTTTGCCCATTGCCCGGGACCCGGATCATCCGTAGTGGCCTAGCGCAGCGTGTACCCGCAAAGACGTCATTACCCTGATTTTTCCGCAGATTTTGCGCTGGTGGCCGGAGCTCTCGTAGGGCAATGTTGTGCGAGGAGGCGTTTTGTTATTTCTCTCGAGGCTCGTTTATTTAGGATTGGCAATGCTCGGCCGTGTGTCAAAATCCTCTAGTTGAAAAGTTTTGCATCGTCTCATACTAATGCGGCTCATTACCGAAGTGTTGATCGAAAGTGGCTAACAATGGATAATGAGATGGATATAGTTCATTTCCTCAAATGCCGACGCTGGACCCATCCGAACCTGATTGATTATCCTCCTTAGCTTATTATTCATATAAACTTTTTTCCCTTTTTGCCCGGCCCAGCAAAGGCCATGTCCCCTGTTCCAGGGCCACTTGGGGCGCTGTTAGCGCTCAGCGCCTCCACTAGCAGCTTCAGCGGCCTTACAAGGACCGCCCACGAGCTTAAAATGCAGGGTCTTCAGTGGTTTCTCCTGGGGCTCATGTACCATAACGGATACTGGTAATAGGGTCCAGGAAATAAACGCTGATGCATCAGGGGCCGCAGAGGCTTATTTGGCAGGCATCCAATCTCCCTGCTGCGGACAACCTTGATTGGCTTTTCGCGAAGCCCTAGCTTGGCTGCAAATGGAAGAATCGCGATGGATGGGCTGAAAGGGGTGGCTTCCACAGCGCTGGGCTGGAACCGCCAGTGGAGGCTTTTTAAATGCCCGGTGCAGCTGCGTGTCCTGGCGCATTTCAGTTTTATTGCGCTGTGGTGGATTTGTCCCTGTGGCTGGCTGCCACTATTTGGATTCCTGTCAAGACGATGGCTTGCGAGATCGTTTCAGCCAAGGCGGTCTAGTCGAGAAACCATCAGCCCTCAGGTGAGGCTGCCAAGTGCGAGATGCAAGTAAAAGGCGGTTTATTTTTATCGCCATGGTTGTAACGGACATAATCGTATTCTACATAAGCAAATGACAGAACCTACTTGAAAAAACAAGAGAAATACGGACCGATACTGCAACGTTGTTCGTATTGGTAGTGCCACTTGTGCTGTCTAGTGGGACTGTGTCTTGTCCCTCTTCCGAGCTCTTGGACTTTGCTCTGGTGAGTCGTGTGTCTATGGCTATGATGCCATTTTTCCTTTTCTGGTTTTGCATATCTTTGCGTATTCACCGCTTTCCCATTTTTCCCCTTATTTTTTTTACTTGTATTTTCTGGAGCATGCCGTCGTTTTGAGCCTTGTGCGTCATTCTCCCCCAGCGGTTGAAGGATCGCCCATACAAAAAATTACGGTGCTGGACGTTTGCTGTTTGCCCGTTTTTACTTTTGCCTTCACCAGTTGCCCAAAGCTTTGCAGGCTGTTTTTTTTCTTTGTTTCTTTTTTAAGATTGCTTCTTCAAACCACCAATTTTTATTATCTCTGTTGTCTCTGCTGCCAATTCCTTTCTTTCCCCTATAGCACACCGCTGTACTTGACAAGCCCGTACCGCAGCACCCTTCTGAGCTATCGGCAACGTTCCCCCACTGTCGCCACCAAGCATTCAGGGAACCCACCGCCCAGCGCCTGTTGCATCACAGCACCACCGCACGCCCACTGTACAGTACCGCACAGGCTTATGCCTACCGTGCCCCCTGCCCTTCCCACTTACCTTCTCCTCCTCCTTCCCTCCTTCTTCATCACAATCTCCAGTCCTGAGAAGAGCGTCCAGGCTGCTTCGTTTCTACGCCGCCATCCCCAATCCTCCTGGCCGTTTTATTCTTCTTTCAAACTCTGAAGCACTTCTCCATCACATGTCTTTATCACATTGACCTTATTCTAAACTTTATCCCTAATCAGTCGTTACTTTCAGCATCCCCTCCCAGCGACCAAAATCACAACTTTGCAAAGCGATCGATTAGCAGCCAACACCTCGCACCAAGAGGCTGAGCGTTAAAAAAAACTTACCGACCTGTTATATTCTTATTATTACTACCGCCTATATCATATTCCGTCGCTGCCCGCATAGCACGCGCACTAGAGGAGCCGATTCGCGCCGCAACGTAGCTTAGAGTTCTCTGCTCTCACTCAAGGGCCGCCCGCCAGCACTCTATCCGCCATGGCTACCATGGCCGCCTCACCTCCTCCCATGCCGCTCTCTCCAACCTCGCCGAACCACAAGCAGCAGGCTTCGATATCTAGTTTGGCTAGCGGAACCCTCTCCGATGTTTCTACCCCTCGCAAGCCTGTCCCCATTTCCACCTCCGCACCAGCTCTCGAGGAACCCCCAGCTCGCCTACGACACGCGCCAGTCTCTCCGGTCCGCGTTAACCTGCAAAATGAACACTTCATTCAGGCTGCCAATGCTAATATTGAGCTCGCGCAGCCTCAATCTGCTCAGTTTGAGCTAGCTGACCACACTGCCGCTCTCTCCCTCGCTGATGGTGCGGCAAAGCCTCACAGCGTAGACCCGCAACAACGCGTTCGAGCTCAAGATAGTTATCGTCATAGCGGCGGCTCAGATGAGACTGGAAGCAACTCTCAGCCCGGAATCTCCGCCGAATCATCTGCCAACACTAGTGCTAGCTCTGTATCTGGCGGTGCCGGCGACAATTTTGATTGTGGCCCTGCCGGCGATTCCCCTGGTAGCTCTGTCATTGATGGTGCAGCCATTCCTAGAGCCGTCTCTGTTCCTCAGTTTCAGTATCACCACCAGCCTGATGCCGAACAGCCTCCCATGCCTGATCCCATGGACAGCGGTATTCACATCCGCCGCCATCTTACACCCACGTCGAACTTTTTGCGCCGAAGCTCTCTGCCTCGCCCTCAGTCGTCTTATTCCATGGTCTCAGACCGCAGCCGTTCCCCAGCAATGGGAAATATGCGCATTGCCTCTGCTGGCGCTCGTAGATCGCCTGACAACCGCAACTCGACGTATGCGGAGCTTCTTAACGTCCCCTACCCCCAACCGGCTCCGGCTCCGATAACATTGGACAACTCCAACCTTCGATCTGCCATTGGCACGAACGCGTCCCTTCTCAGCACCCAGAAGACGCTCGAAATGTACCGCGCCAACGTGAAGAAAACAACCGACTTCTCTATCCAGTACTCTTTTGCTGTTTTCCTCATCTCTACCGCACAGGAACAAGGCTTGGATTTCACGGACCCCAAGGCGAAGAAGGCTGCTCAGCAAGAACCGCTCAAGGATCTTGATAGCCCTGTTATGGAAACCAAGGTGGCTACACCATACGAGTTGGTTCGCGAAGCTCGCTCCATTCTCCAGCGCCTTGCCAATGGCGGATACCCCTTTGCGCAATACTATCTCGCCGACGGCTACTTCTCTGGCCTCTTCAACAAGGGTAAGCCTGATTATAGCACCGCCTTCCCACTATTCGTTTTAGCGACGAAGCATGGTCACGCCGAATCCGCTTACCGTACTGCTTTGTGCTACGAGTTTGGCTGGGGCTGCCGTAGAGACCCCGCCAAGGCTGTGCAGTACCTTCGCACTGCCTCTGCCAAGCGCCACCCGGGCGCCATGACACGACTTGGTAAGGCGTGCTTGTTGGGTGATCTAGGCGAGAAGCGATACCGTGAGGGTATCAAATGGATGAAGCTGGCGACCGAGTCTGCCGATGCTCAGTACAATGCGGCGCCATATCAGTTGGGATGTCTCTATGAAACTGGCTACGGAGACGACATTTTCAAGGATCTCAGCTACGCCGCAGAGCTCTTCACTCAGGCTGCCGATCTTGGTCATCCCGAGGCCAACTACCGCATGGGTGAAGCTTATGAGCATGGGCTGCTCAACTGTCCTCGCGACCCTGCCTTGAGTGTGCATTTCTACACCGGAGCTGCTGAAAAGGAGCATGCTGGTGCGATGATGGGACTCTGTGCGTGGTACATGGTTGGCGCCCTCCCCATTTTGGACAAGGACGAGGAAGAAGCCTACGAATGGGCGCGCCGTTCTGCTGAGCTCGGCTTCGTCAAGGCCCAGTACGCCCTCGGCTACTTCACAGAGATGGGCATTGGTTGCCGTCGCGATATCCTCGAAGCTAACCTGTGGTATGTCCGAGCTGCCGACGCTGGTGACGAGCGGGCCAAGCAACGTCTGCTTGTCATCCAAGCTGCCGTCAATGGTCAAGGCACACCTATGGATGTTGCTGCACCACGCGGAGCTAAAGGCAAGGGCGGCAAGGACGACAAGGACTGTGTGGTAATGTAAGAGGATCTTTGATCCAATTTCAGCATACCATTACAGTTCAACTCTATATGATGCCTAGGGCTTTTGTATCCCAACGCATGACACGACACGACAGCGCTTTCGTCAAACCTACTTCTTATTAATCGACACATCATACGACAACTTGTTACACCATCGAGCAGATGCTATTGGGACCTCTGGATACCCCCCAACTAGCTGTGTCGATGCGGTCTCCTCTTTTGGCTCTCGAACCGACTTGTATTCATTTGTCGTCATTCGTTTCAGTCTTTATTTTTCTGTTTGGACACTAGAACTATACTCCAGCTTTGATTTTTTCTACCTCAGAAAGCATACTTTGTTGTTTCCTTTGTCTTACCTATTATATGGGTGTATACTTGTTGCTTGTTTTGTTATCATTCCTTTCTTTGAAAGTTGAAAACCTTTTGGATGCCAGGTGTTTTCTGTGATTGACTTTGCTTTACTGTCTGCCAGACAGGTTGTGGTTTTTGGTTCACCATTTTTTTTTGTCTTCATTGCGATATTCTTCATAAGATGGGAGCTAGCGGTAATAATGGCAACTCGTACATATGTTTGGATAAATCTGTTTCTCGGTGTTTTGAGTAATGTGCCATGTTAATTGAAGTCTTGCCACAGCTACAAGGCTGCATAGCAGCTATGTAGCCCAGTGTTAAAGAGCTGCTGGTCACATTCCGGAAGAGGTAGTTCATGTTGATGGGCTGTTTAGGTTATAGTAATCTGAGACGTAGGGTTCCGTGAATGCTCGCTACCCGGCCTTGTTTTCTTACTACTTCGCCTAAGACAGACAGAAAGTGTGGGAGGCTGTGGCTGACGGGCAGTCTTGACGTATAGCGAGAGATGGTGCGTCATGGGTCCAATGTTTAAGACCATGTTCGGTAATCGTGCGGTTTGTTTTGATAGTACCAGGGCTGGGGATATAAGACTAGGGACGGCAACGGACCGTTTCTGATCGAGATTCTCTAGAGTAGTTACACCGCATCTCCATCAGCTGACTGTAGCTCTATACCGACTGGGGTATAGTTTCCGTTTGCATTTTGCAGCCCGAAAATACTTGGAGATGGCGAGGGGCATCACTCTTTCTGCGTCCAGCTTCTCATAAACCTCGTCACATGGCGTCGACTAATCTGGGCACCAACAACCCTCCTTTGCTATTCTTGGACACGGTTTACAATTTTTTTTTTTCATGTCATACTATGATTACCAGTATTAATATGGCTCTATTAGCATCTGTATTCACAATCGTTCGACTGGACATCTGGTTGGGGTAACTCTTGGAGGAATGTAGTATATATGTATGACGCATCCCCTAAATAATAGCGGTGATGCTGAGACAAAATCAATTGGAATCGTTTCGAAAGGCCTAAAAGATGACGATAGACAGAATTTATAACTATACTTGTACCAAAAGCCAACCTATGGTACACGGTGGTGACAAGCTTACTGTTCATAGCCGACGCCTAGCGAAGCTGTAGAGCATCGCAAGTGTTTGTTCGACCCAGAGGGCCACAAGGCGAGTTACAACAACTTGCAACAGGTTCTCTGTGGCGTTGCTTACAGTGCCTCGTACTTGATGCTCGTATACATGGCGGTGTAGTGGTGTGGTACTTTGGTAGTGGTGGGCTGGTACGAGACACGGCAAAGGCAAGGCTAGAAGGATGACTGTACCGTGTGTCTAGAGGGTCAGCATTCCGGTCGAGTAGCCATTGTCGTCATGACTCTTCGTCTGTTTACTTTAAAGGTACCCTATACGTATTGGGGAGCGTGTTCATGGTTATAAATGAGCATTACACGCACGGCTTTGTAATATGGTTTTGTTCTGTAGGTAGTGGTCTGTGTCCAGCTCTCTAGGCCGCTCTATGAAATTCGGTACTTTCTGTGTAGCATCATAAAAATATATCGTAAATGGCCTGGCGATGGATTTTGGGGCAATATCCAACGAGTGCCAAAGAGCTGGTCAAGTGTCCTGGCTAAGACATGTAACTGGCTACTGCAGGTCGATGATGGTGTAGAGAGTGCGAGCGCGTCAAGCCGGGTCAATGACGCACCTGACGCGTCTCGCACGTTGTCACTGGACTCGGCTCAACCATGTTCTGCCAGCTGGCAAAACTTCAAGTAAACGACCAAGAAAAAAAAAAGAGAGCTACAGTTTTATACACACAAACATACATTGTAATAATGCAACTTAGAAAATATACAGTTTAGCCACAGAGCATGGGATGCTGGCTGCATTTCTTCAACTGGGCCAGGTAACCCAGCATGAGCCAGGTCCAGGCCCCCTCGTTGCCATGAACAAGGCTGACCCGATTGCGCGCAGCGAGATGATCGCCAGGCCCAGCCAAACACACCGTGTTCCTGAATCAAGACAAGGGCAGCGCTAGTCAAGCCAGAAACATGGCAGGCGACTACACTACAGGCCTCATGACAGCTTGACCAGCATGATGGCTTTAGCTCATCGACGTAACGAGCGGCAAGGGACCTGTTCAAAAAAGAAAGAACCTTGGCCCATGATCTGCCGACAAGACAACTGCGGTGGGACATCGTCAGAGCTAAGTGGTTGCATCGTGTGGCTGTTCTACGGACATGAACGCAAGGGGCAGCGACAAGGGAAAGCCCATCCTTTTTGGCATCCCAGCCGTCCCAAGATCTCTCAAGGGCAAGGGTAACTGGTGCTTTGCCCTGGACTAAAGGATGGAAAGGGTAAGTAGAAAAAGCAAAAAACTGCCGCCTCGACAGGGAGTGGCTTGCCCTGACGTTTCTGTCAAGTTCGGTAGCGAGCATAGCTGCATGGTGCCTTATGCTTGTCTGTCTTGCAGGCGCCGCCGAGCAGGTGAGCAGAGGTGTGCATGTCCCATATTCTAGCACCGGGCAACCTTAACATGGCGTTCGGTTCAGCAGGTAAGATGATGAAGGGCTGCCACAACCCCTTCCAATATTTCGCAAGTATTGGTTGCTCGCTCCCTTGAGAGCTTGATCTATATGGCTCCGAATATGGGGTTCGCCTAAGCTAAGTGTATTCTGTCTTGGGGCAGCGTTAGGCAAACCAGCCCCAACCTTTCGTCCGTTATTGATGACCACAGGGTCCAGGAGTCGTCTTTATTCTTCTTGATCAGTGAGATAGTCTTCTAGGCTCTATGACTCGTTGGTCTCGGCCTCGTCCGCCCACACTGCATTCCAACGCGATTTACATTCCAGCGATGCTTCTAAGAATACGCACAAAATCCGCTCAGCGCTGCCCACAGACCTGCTGCGCCGCTTGACCGCTGGGCGAGAGCGGTGTTTGCGTCTGAGACACAGCGTCAGCCAGCCACCGCATCTGGTGGGTGATGGACGTCAACACGGCGAGGTGACGAGCAGTTGAACAGCCGGTGAGAAGGACAATAACAACAAGAAAAACAAAAAGAAAACATTGGTACAAAAGGAACAGCAAACTCCAAGCTAACATGGCTAGCAGCAAATAATAAAAAGAATTAAAAAACATACTAAGAGCGGTAGCGTATACGCCAGTAGCCGTAGCGTATTACCGCTATGACACCCCCAAAATAGCGCCGTCATAGGCAACCCCGAGCTGAGCACGTCCGCTGTAGCGAGCGCTGACGGCATCCGCATCCGGCACTGCCAGTGCCTGTTCCACCGCGCTCCCTTCCCTGGAGCAGCGCTGTTTTTAAGACCCCTCCCCCCCCTTTTCAGTTGCCACCACTCACTAGCTTCTCCCTCCAAACCACAGCACTCAAAAGACACACCAACAGCGCTAAACACGTCCCTCGAGCCCCCCAAAAAACCTGCCCTTCTAATATCAACGACGCCCGCAACGCCTGCCCTTTTTTCGCGTTTGTCTACTTGCTCACCACCTCGTCAGACACAAAGACAGCAGCAACAAAGAAGTAATATTTGCCAATACTTCCCCCTCTCTCCTGCTCATTCTTCTTCCTTTTCTACAAACTACCTATTCTTCTGCTCCTTTCTTTACTTTCAACCCTTCAGCAAAAGAACAGCCCTAGTGAAAGATCGCATTCCATCGACTTACACCACGAGTGTGCATCAACACATAACCAACAAAACCTTCTTTGAAAGCTGTACAATAGCCAAAATGCTTCTTCCGTCAGCTCTCATCGATACTCCCCTCAACTCCCGCCAGCCTCGCCTCTTCTCACCACCCAACTCGCCGCCCACTAGATCGCGCGCAAACCTCAACATCACATCAGCATGCCGCTCGCTGCAGTTGCTGATGGCTACCGGCGTGGCTCGCCCTACGCTTGCCATTTCTACCGCCACGGCCTTTGACTTTTCTTCATCGAATTATACATACAACAACGGCAGCTCTCAACTGCAAGAAGCGGATGCGCTGCCTCCCATGCCTCGCACCGTCGGCGCACAACTCCCTACGCCGCCTATGGCCTACGCTCCTCCACCACCCAAACTTCGCATCCGTAGCGAAGGTCTCGCAGCAAGACGCCTGGCGAAGAGACAGCAGCAGCAGGAGCAATTATCAGTACAACCTTTGTCTAGCTCACCAAAGAGAGCGCGCGACGAGGATGACGAGGATGTTGAGGAGCCCACAACGCCCAAGCGCGCGCGTATTGCGCCTGAGCAGCTGCCGCTTGGCCTAGAGCGATCAGATTTCCACCACGCCCAGGATGGCACTGAAACCGACGCTTCCGACGAGTGGACCGACGAAGATGACCGCATTTTGGTCGAGATTGTTCTCGAGAAGCTTAAACTCACTAAGAATGAATGGGCCGAGTGCGCGCGCAGGATCGGCAAGGGCGACAAGCACGATGTCGCCAAGCGATGGAAGAGCCTTATTCTTGGAGGAGATGTCGGCATCAAGAAGCGAACACGCAGCCGCATCACCTCGACATGGCGATGAATATTTTGATTATCTGGTTTTTTGTATTATCATGGTTGAAGCATAGCATTTTTAGGGATTTTGTTTTCAGAGTTATTTATTGGAGTTTGGCAGATATCTTGGGGAGTTTTGACATCATTTTTTCCATTAGCATTAGGGAGACGGAAGTGTTCTGCTCCTACACTGGCGTTTTTTATTGATTTATTGATTTATTGATCATCATGTTCAGCTCTATTCATTTGGATTTTTCTTGTTTTCTCTTATTAGTAGCAGTCAAATACAGACACAACAGCATCCATCTATCTTTACAACCCATCCCCAGTCGCTCCGTCTCATACTGTCCACAGGCAACTGTGTTCCGAACCAAAAAGCAAAAGCTGTGATGAATCCCTGCCCATGCACGTAGAAACGCACCATGCACGCTGCATCTACCCGCCCCTTGCCCGCCTCCCCCAGTGCCGTGCTTTTTTTGCAAGGGGGACGTCTCATCTAATCTGTGGGAAAAGGAAGAAAAAGCAAAGGCGGAATATGGGGGAGGCGCTTCGAGACATGCATCGTGATACATCTCTTTTTCCTTTGCTACGAGCGCTGCTCTGCTCTGTTGGGCTAATTTGCTTCCTTCTTCCTTGGTCGTGTGATTCTTCTTCTTCGTTGCCGTCATTATTTCTTGTAAAATAAAACAAGCCTTTCACTAGCCGTTACGCCTCAAAGCTGGTCCATGACGCTCCATGACGTGCTAGACCTTGCGTCCCTGGCACTAACATCTACCCAAAGAGGGAAAACCCAAAGTAGCCCGTAGCGGCAGCGGCAGCGGGCACTTGTAGCGAGGCGGGGCCGCTTGCTGCAAGCACTTTAAACCGTTTTTGGCGTGCATCTGTCATAAAAAACGCTAAACAGCTAAGCTGGCGTGTGCCTGACCCGCTCGCCGACGAACGATGGCGGGCTTCAGGGTGATGCAAGGGCGGAAACCAGCTCACCTGGCCCAGGACGATATGGGGCGTTTCGATGGCTGGAGGAGAATGGGAGACTCCGATAGTTGAAAAGGATCGGTAAATTCGGTTCTCACTTTAACAAAAAAAGGAAATAAAAAAAAGAAGACAGACCATTGCGGCGTGTAAGTAATGGCTGACACAGTCGGAAGCTCCGCCGCGCCCATCAGTAGCAAAAGCTATACTCTGTTAACATGAAAAATAAAATCTCTTGTATTTTGTGATATCTCATAATTCATAAGAATGCCGTTGTAAAATAATAATAATAACCCACCACCGGTAACCGCAAAAGAAAGTGGCCAATACCAAGAAAGGCCTATATGGTCCCTCTACCACAACTCACTCACTGCTTCCCCATCATCTTACGAACCTCCCGCTCCATCTCTCCACCCTTCATCTCCCCTCCCTCGCCGTCGTCGCCCTCTCCTCCGGTGACTCGTGCTGCAAGCTCAATCTTCTTCAGGCACGCCTTGTAAATCAGCTCTTCGACGGTACCCCGCGTAAGCAACCGCACAATCTCGACCTCCCGCGTCTGCCCCAGACGATGAGCGCGATTCTCAGCTTGGATATCTTCCTGCGGGTTGTCCGACATATCGAAGATAATCACCTTGTTTGCTGATGTCAGGTTGATTCCTGTGCCACCCGCTCCAGTCGTGAGGAGGAATACCGGGATCGACGGGTCATTGTTGTATTCGTCAATGAGCACCTGGCGCTCTGAAACATCCGTTGCGCCAGACAGCACGCGGTAGTCAATGTTCTGTATCGCAAGCACTTCGCTGAGCATCTCCAACACTCGGGAGAATTTGCTAAACACCAGGACGCGGTCACCGTTTTTTTGGTACTTGCGAATCATCTCAAGCAGCATCTTTACTTTGCCACTCTCAAAGAGCAGGCTCTCGGGAGTGTCAAACTCCCTCAGGAGACGTGGGTAATCACGGCACCACAGGTGCAGCTCAAAGTCAGATGCGTTCTTGAGCTCTTGAATCAGATGCTCAATGTTTGGCTGCTGCAGCTCTGACTGGTCGAGGCGATCCATGAGGATTTTGGCCATCTCTTCCACAATGGCATCGGTAAAGTGGCGCCGGAAGAGCATGGGGTGTAACGCTGCTTTGCGCATCTGCATCCAACCGTTGTTGTGATCCGATCCTCGGGCTCCCTTCTGTGCAGCCTTTCTGGCGTCGCTCGACTGTCTGAATAACGCTTCGTATGATTCGTAAAACTCTCCCTGCATACCAACCATGTCGCACTGAACAACGCTCGTGATTTTCGGAGGCATGTCGGACAGTACCTGATCTTTGCGTCGTTGTAGAATAAAGGGCTCCAAGATTGTTCTCGCTCGCGACACACGCTCGCTGTATAGGAAGGCGCCGTTCGAAGATACATCCTTGATTGTAATCTTTTGACTAAAGATTCGTGTGATGTGATCAATGTGCCCATCAAACATCTTAGGGTTGATGAAGCTAAGAAGTGCTGTCATCTCCATCAGATTGTTCTGAACCGGTGTGCCTAAGTCATGTGTTAGATATACATCCAAGAACAGCTACCACGCATTTACTTACCAGTTAACAGCATCTTCCATGAAGATCGAATTCGGCTGAGGTCTCTGTATAGTTTTGTGGCAGGGTTCTTCATCTTGTGGCCCTCATCAAATATAGCAGCGTTCAGGTCAAACGACTGCATAGCCTCGAGGTCCATTTCGGAATGAATCTGAGAATACGTTCCCAGAACAACATGATACTCGGAGCTGTTGTTTGCGACTTCATACGCAATATCGCCTCGTTCAGTTTGCGAGCCGCGGTAGCCAATAACTGATAGTTGTGGAGCAAACTTTTCAAACTCAATCAGCCAGTTGTTGTACGTGCTTGGAGGCACAACGACGAGATTGGGCCACGGTCGTCGCTCTGTACTCCCAGGCTGATAGGTCTCGACTAGGTTGCATAGAAGCGAAATCACCTGGCAAGTCTTGCCTAGACCCATCTCGTCAGCCAGAATACAGCCAATATCGTAGTTATACAGCAATCGCATCCAGTTGAGCCCATACAGCTGAAATGGCTTCATGACGCAGTTTCCATCCATCATAGATGGCTGTTTTGGTGCAAGCGGCTTCTTGAACCTCGACATTCCCAAACTACTTGGTGTCATGGGCAAATCCTTCTCTGGAGACGCCCTGTTGCTGCTCTTCTCGTGGCCAAAGCTATCAATGTCCCAGGTTTCAATGACTCCTTTGACAAGTGTAGCTTTGGTCTCACAGGAGCTAATAACTTCATCAACAGAGCGTGCAGCCGCCAAGAAATTGCTAATTTGGGAGATAACCGCTTCACCAGAGGTCTTGTAAGAAGATCGGTAGCCAAGCTTTTTGCCCGCGATTTTCCGTGCTTGACTGATTGTCTTGAAAGGGCGCTGGCTTATCACTGGCTCAATGATTGCATCTGTTAACCCGGTCATGGCGGCGAGCTCTTGCACAGTGTTGGTGTTGATACAATTGAGAAGAGCGTCAGCCTCGTCCTCGCTCTCTTCGTCTGAGGAGTTTTCAGCCCGAAATTCGTCTTGTTTGCTATTGTCTAGCTCCTTGACCTCAATAATAACAGGTTCGTCATCTGATTCGTCGGACTTGTCGTCTGAAGAGGAGGCCTCGGGCGTCGGTGATCGCTGTCGGCGGCCTTGAACCAATCGTCTTCTTTTTGGCTTTACTGGGCTATCCTTTTTTAACTTTGCAAAAGGTAGAGTGGATTGAGTTTTGTTGCTGGTAGATGAGGGGCGAGCTGCTTTAGGTTTCTTGGCCGAACTGCTCTCTAGCCATTGTATAGTATTATCCAAGTCGTATAGGCAGATCTCGAGCCCTTCTCGGACCAGTTCTGCGGAGAATCTTGTTCCAAATACATCATATATTTGCTTGAGCAGCTTTCTCATCTGATCAGCAGGAGGTTTTGTCGTTTTCTGAGTAAATGCAAAGGAAGCAATGTGTTTTCGGAACTCGGTCGGGCGAATGTCGGCCCTAGGAGATCTAATGTCTGATTCTTCATCAGAGCTCAGCTCGATGATCTGCGCCTGTCGCTTCGGAGGAGGAGACCTTATCGTGGGTGTGGTATTTGGGCGCTTAGCCGGAGGTCGGAAGACTGTCCCAGCGGGAGCTAGACGTGACAGAGGCTTCATAGGTGCCGGAGACGATCTTTGAAATGGAGATGAAGCCGGTACCTCGACGACACTGACTGGGGATGAGGAGCCCACTAATGATAGCGGTGGGCGCGAGAGGATCTGTGTGGGTTGTGTCGTTCGGCCAAGGAGAGCGGACGGGGAACAAGGAACAGTATCGCCGCCATAGTCGTCCTCGATGTCGTCAAAGTATAAGGCCGCCTTGCCAACTGGCGGGGTCTTGGGATTAATATTGCCTTGATGTTGCCTCAATGGCAGCGGTGATTCTGGAGGGAGCACCATTGTCGAGCAACAGACTGCGCTCAAGTCTATCAGAAGCGTGAAGAAACAGAATCGATCATTCGAGGATTGAATATGCAACGCGATGCAAAGTGAAGGTGAAAAAGCACAACTATCCGGACAATGCTGAACAAAGAAGCAAAAAGGACATACACAACGCGCCTCGACACGACTCCCAATGGATGAATGAACAGACAAAGGAGAAGTGTCGCCCTGATGCCAGCAATGTGGAGGAGTTTGCCGCCCACTTTGACGCCAGCGATGCGTCGCTCGCTCCGACTTTTTTCGTTGGCCCTGGGCTCACGCTACGTCTCGCCAGCGGGTTTTTGGTGGGGCAGCCCGCTTTCGAGACGCGTGCCGCATCGCGAGATCACGTGATCCATTAAAGGACGGCCAGCCATGTTGAACAGTTAAGTTGACGTTACAACATCCAAAGCTTGATAAGGGCTTATGGGACTGATCGCGCGTATCAAAAGGCGTATGAACTGGTGATGGATATTGTTCCAGTGAAAAGGGTTCACATTGACATGGAGTTAAGCACTTTAGGATGCCTTCGCGGCTCTAGAACAGGCCGACTGCCGATACCAACCCCGGCGATAGAAGGGAATCATCTGGTTCTGGCGTTTTTAACCCCGTAGTTTCCTTTGACTCACTACAGTATCCGCTGGGATTTCTTGATATTTTGGTTGGTTTATCTTAGGCGCGAATGTGGCGAGCGAGCCTGCTCGGCGGACCTACCCGGCTTAAGTCCGCGTCGGTTCCTCTTACCACCGACCGCCGGTCAGAATGATAGACTTATAAAGAGGCTATGGATGCTGTTAAAAAAAAAGAGTTGATAATATTGTATTAAAATACATCAGTTAATTACAGTTCAACAAAAAGACCAAACTATTTCAACCAAATTCCATCACACCATGTCAGCCATTAAGAACGTTGCCATTGTTGGTGTAAGTCATCCGGCTTGATACGCATCATCTTCATACGCTAATTTTTTTAATAGGCAGGAGGTCGCTCTGGAGGTTTCATTACCAAATATCTACTTGAGACTGGCAAACACACCGTCACAGCTCTTACTCGCAAGGGCAGCTCCTCAATGTTACCAGCCGGAACCGTTGTCAAGGAGATTGATTACGCGGATGCCGACACTATTGTGGATGCTTTAAGAGGCCAGGATGCCCTTATCATCACCCTTTCTGTCCAGGCTCCCGAAGAAACCAACATGATTCTCGTAAGCGCGGCAATCGAAGCCGGCGTGTCGTGGATCATGCCCAACGAATGGGGGCCAGACAATGCGGACGCCAGTGTGAGGAAAGACATTGCCGCCTTCGAATCAAAGGGTAAGATCTACAGCTTCTTAACCAAGGCAAACCTCTAAGTGTACGTCAGGACTTGTTCGAGATGCTATTGCAGCTTCCAAAAGCACCAAGTACATTTCCCTAGTTACAGGGTTTTGGTACGAGTGGTCACTAGCCTTCCCTCTCGGCTTCGGCTTCGACATCAAGAACCGCAAGGTTGTTTTCTACGACGATGGCAGCATCAAGATTTGTACAAGCACATGGCCGCAGGTTGGACGCGCAGTGGCCGCCATTCTCTCATTGCCAGCAACGTCAACCACAGGGCCTAGCCTAGAGTCGTATGCCAACCGCCTGGTGTACGTCAAGAGTTTCACCATCAGCCAACGCGAAATGTTTGCCTCGTTACTCCGCACAACAGAAACTACAGAATCGGACTGGACGATAACTCAGGCACCTGCGAGAGAGCTCTATGCCGCTGGCGTCGCTGAACTGCAAGCTGGCAACAGGAACGGCTTTATCAAGCTTCTTTACACACGTATCTTCTTTGATGACGGTAATGGAAACTTTGAAGCCAAGCACGGCGTCAGAAACTCGGAGCTTGGATTGCCTGAAGAAGACCTAGATGAGGCAACTAGAATTGGAATATCTAGAGCAAATAACCCGGCGCAGTAGAGTCAATTCCTTATCACGGCTGCTTGCAGCAAATCTCAGCTTGCTCTTCAGGCACTTTTTAAAATTGCCCGTAATTATGTCCGTTTGAAAAAAATCTAGAATTCTAAATATAGCAATATTACCTTATTTTACCGACCGTATAGAGCTCCGCTTATATCTGTCAATGCGTAGTCAAGTGATGGGATGTATCTTGTCAAGCGCGCCTTCTCGTAACTACATGTGCGCGCCTAAATGTCACCCAGTGAGGCTCCCTGTCATGTCAAGCTGAGGTTATAAAAGTCTCCGTCCTGCTCAATCCAATGGCATAGAATCACAGAACAATCACTCTTTAATTCACAATAAACCTCGTCAATACTTATTGCATCATACCACCAGCACCTTGCAACCACCAAAAGCGCCGCTACCATGCTTCAATTTCGAGTTGCTACCATAGATGACCTCTCTACCGTCCACAATCTCGTCGAGACGTCTTTTCGGAGCGCTGATCCCCGGCCAAACTGGACAGCTGAGCAATACTTGAACGATTCTTTTTCTTTACCCATTGAGGTTGTGGAAGCCACCATTACTTCGGAGAACGGCGCGTATCTGGTCGCTTCCCTTCCATCCGACCCCGACACCGTCATTGCCACCGTTGCGGTCCGTCATGCGACACCTGGACTATCAAAGCTCGGGTTTCTGGCCGTGTCTCCTAGCGCTCAACGAGGTGGTCTAGGTCGCAAGGTAGTTGCTGAAGCAGAGGCCTATAGCAAAAGGACTTGGGGTGTGACAACGATGCAGCTGAATGCGTTGTCCACTCGTCATGTTCTGATGGATTGGTACGGCAGACAAGGTTATGTCAAAACCGGCGAAACCGAGACCAAGGATTTTGACGATGGCACTCATCTCGATCTCATCATGATGGAGAAGCCCGTTTAATAAAATTGCTGAACTACAGGTTCGACTTTTTGGAAAGCTGGGGAGCTGCATGGCACAATGGCTCTGTAGTGGACGCTTCCGCCTCCACGTACACGGTCGCTCAACAGCACAACAATAGACAAATATATAGTTGTGAAATATTTTAAAAATCAATAGAGATATTAAATTTCCACTTGTATCCGCCTTGAATTCTATTCGATTACAGGCAAGCGATGGACTTCTGGGCATCACGTACGTTTCCTGACTAAGCATCTGAAGCCGCCTTTGCAATGCCACTTTTGGTACACGTCTTGCTATCCCTGCCAGCTTCATACATCATCCAGGACACAGCCCGCGCCATTCAAGAGATTCGTTTGGCAAAACATCAAGATGGCAACACAAAGAATCAAGACAACTGAAAAGACAATTCTTCAGCAAGATGACCCGATTCCTGAAGAGACGCGCCCCACAGTACCGGCGTCCGTTGTCGTCAAGCTCCTAGCTTTCACAGCCGCCATGATTGTTCTTCCCATTGGTTCTTATTTCCTCACTGTGAATTCGCTATTCAATGGTTGGTATCCCCCATGTCATCTGCTTACTGCACGCGCTAACAGCACAGGCAACGCTTCCTATGCTGGTGGTCTAGCAGCCATGATCGCCAACGTCATCCTTATCAGCTATGTTGTTGTAGCTATGGCGGAGGACCAAGAGGGAAGTGCGAGTGCACCGAAGAAGGAAACCAAAAAGAACATCTAATTTGATACCCATGTCATGCTCTACCGTGTCTTGCCATATCATACTGTGTTGCTTTGTTAAGCTCAACAGTCTATCTTGGCGTTTGTATTTTAACTAAATCTTCACCATTCAACGGACAGTCAGAATTGATCAAATCTGTAGTTAAAGTGATATTAAACCATGTCTATCAACAGCGTTCCTGGTACTGCTGTTTTCATGCTGGTATACGTGTACGTAAAAAAAATATCCCGATGCCTTCCAAATCACGCTCGCGTTCCAAGATATCAAACAAAAAGAAAAGCAGCTCAGAGCTGCGCAAAGGTACAAAAGAAATGTAAGGGGTTCGGCCCTGAAAAAATATATAAATAATCGCATCTGAAACAAGAAAAAAAAGAATCTCCTTGAACGAAGTTGGACGCCTGTTTCGGAGAGCGGTTGATATGTGGATGCCGTGCAAAATCCAAATACAAGAACGCATGCATTACAAGTTTTGCCAACTCGTCATATCGAGTTCTTGGGCTCAGCCCTCTTTATCGTCGCCACTTTAGTTTCGGCTAAATCGACGAGCTAACCAACTCTTTCTGCGCTCAACAGGCGCTTCAGTCTTCAACTCCTGCTGTCTCGAGGGCTGTCGGCGAAGCAATGATGGGCCCTTCTTGGGCACCGCTGGAGGGGCAGGTTCCTGAAGGTGGACAGGAGGAGGGGGAGGAGGAGGAGGGAGAGGATGGTGACTTCTTCCAGTGTTCGTTGGGGAGACATCTCTTGAGGAATAATGGTTGAGGCTGGGGGGTTGGTAGTTGGGGGCGAAACCGATTCCGTAGTCGTTCGCGGGCGCCTTGCGCTTAGGCGGCGAGGCTCGACGGATAGAGCTGTTGTCACTGCTTGTGGGATCGGTTTGATATCCTGCGGGATCGGAGTTGCCGCTGGCTGCTGCCGAAGCTACTGTTTCGTAGGATCGATCCTTGTTTGGCATAGGGTATACATCGCCCTGCTCATGGCCATATTGCCCGTAGCTTGATTCCTGGTACATGCGATGCATGTCACGACGCGAATGGCGCGGCATTGGTTGCGTTGTGTACGCACCCTGCTCGTACATGACACTGTTGCGAGCTGTGCTAGGGGCACTGGGGCCGTATTGGGGGCGATTGGCTCGCATAGACATTGGGCGACTCACGGGGCCGCCATATGCACTCTCGGGTCGGCGTCGGGGATGCATGGTAGCTGAAGAGTTAGTCCGAGCGGTACTCATCATCAGAGTGGATTCACGCTTACACAGAGCCATGCTACTGCGGCGATTCCAGGCAGAGGAGCCATTGATATCTGCGTTGGTTAGCGGGATGAGACGACAGATGCTGGCAGGTGTAACCGTACCTGAACCATACACGGATTTGCGCGAGTATCCTCCATCAATCGCAGCTTCAAAACTTCGAATTGTGTCAAGAGGGCGTTCCCATCGACTGCGCGTGGGGTTGGATCGATCAGGTTCGGCTGACAGGACGTTAGCAAACACCAATGGAAGAAAATCGCGACAGCCAGTGACAGGCAAACATACCAATAGGGTTACCAAAAGCATCCTTGTGTTGCAGTGCGCTCAACGGGGTCGCCGTTGGCTCTGTGAACATAGCCGCTACAGCGGACGGTTCTGCCTCGTTCATTGGTAGGGTTGGGTCGGCTCTGGATGTTAAACGGCGTCGCTGCTTCTCTTCCGGCGTCTCTTCGCTGTTAGCTGACGTTTTCGACCGATGTGACTGGATGCTAAAGGTTCTTGGCTTTGCTCGGCTGTTATTGGCGTATTGCGACGAGTTGGAGTAGTAGAAGCCCGAATTAGATCGCTCCGCCAGCTCAGCTTGGTACTGCTGCTGCTGGGCAGTGGTCAAGGTGTGTCGTGCTGATTCGGGGTTGGTAGCAGGCTGTTTGCGGTGGGAGAGGGATTGTTGATAGGGGTCGTTGTTTGGGGGAGAAGGAAGAGGATGACGATAATCTGCTTGAGTAGCCGCCATGATGGGAACAGGAATAAAATAAACGGAGCCTTGGGGGGTATTGCTAGCACGTTTCAACGTTGTACTGTATTGGGGCTTGTACGGCAAGGCGGGTGGCGACCTGCAAGTGGAATAACACAAGCAAGGAAGGCGATGGGACGATGGCAGAGCCCCGTAAAAGACGATGTTTGCGCTGATAGCGAGTTTTGAGTGCCTGCGTCACTGGAACCGGGATCTTGTTGTTCTCGTTATGCGGAAGGAGAACAGGAATCTCTGGCGAGAGACTGCGTCGAGCTGGGAGAGATCGAGACCTAGAACGCCACGGCAGGCGTTTGTTGGTGAATAGAGAACAAACCCGGACTGGAATAGAGGGACAAGGGAATACGAATGGGCGAATTCTGGGTAGGGAATTAGGACCCAAGAGGTGCCCCCAGAAAATAAAATGGGGAGGAGGAGGGAATGCGTCGATGGTGCCTGTCGTAGCAACGGGAGGGCCAGACGGACGAGATTGTAAGTAGGCAAGTGAGCTGCCGGGGTGATGCAAACGAGAGAAGGCGGGCTGCGTGAGGAGGATGAAGATGGCCACGATGAAAAAGGCCGCCAACAGGAAGATGAAAGAAGAAGAGATTGAAAAGAGGGAAAGGCGGGCTGGTTAAGTTGAGACGAGTACGAGGCCAAAAAAAAGACGGCCTCTTTTTGCACTGAAGGGGTTTTGCTGAGACTGGGGGCGACCAGAAAGCCGCCTAGGATAGCGAATGGCTTGTTTGTTTGGCCACCAGAGATGGCTGGGGGCGTGTGGCGAGTAAAGCAGAGGAACGAAAATCGTGAGGCAGGGGAGAGAGCGAGCTACAGAGAGTGAGAGAGGCGTGGCGCACGCATGTGCTGGCTGTGCTGTGCTGTCCAGCTGCTGTTGTCCCAACCTTCTGGTTTTTTTTTAACGAGAGGAAAAAAAACCATACTGCTTTCTTTAAACACGTGCTGTCAATGAGAACGAGCGTTTAAGCCTTTGCTATCCATAAGCAGCGTAGAAAAAAAACAAAATAACAAACGCTGGTTTTGGCTCTCACTCGTCTGCTTTCAGCGTTCTGCTGTGGGGGGTGCAGACAATTAGCGCTCCCTACCTGTAATCTCTCTGCAACAGCGCGGCATGGAATGGACGCTCGCTGCGGTTCACTCGTTTTTCAACGGGCACCTGCTGCAACGCTGTAAACAACCAGAAACAGAACCCGACACAGTGAACCGGATACCGTAGCAATTGGCAAATGGGCAGCAGCAGCGGCAAAGACAGCATAGATTGGGACCAGACGGCGATAACAAGATAGGTACCGTACACACAGCTCCCACGGACACAGCGGCACGCAGCTGGGAGTGACAAACACACTGTACAGTATTGTCCACCGCTGCTCATTTAGCGCTACCGTACAGCAAAGCAGACAGGCTCCTAATGCTAGTGCTAATAAAAGACCAGGGGGGCAATGGACAAAATTGTTTCATAGTTCTGCAAAGCATGATAAAACCCAGCGAGGCGAAAAAGTCTCTTCATGCAAGTCCAAAACAGGGCAACCTAGTTTCTTTCGTCATGCAGCCTGTAGTACCACGATTGCGTATGCGTGAAGCGTAGCAGCGCAGCGTAGCGGGTGCCGAGCTCGCTGTTTCTACAGGTCTTTGCAGCCGTCTGAGACAGGCATGCTAACCGGTAACAGGGAGGCAGCGCTGGCCTGGTACCTGAGAAGCAGCGGCATCCAATCCCGCAGATGCCCATCAAAGACTACACCATCTTTTCTTAGTGTGGCGCACGCAGCGTGTAGCGGCATGGCCATCCCCGGCAGCAGTGCATTTGCAGCTGTCCAAGGATCTTGGACAGCATTACAGGTACGTACTGTACTGTACTGCCGCCCGACCTCGTAAAAATCCCGTCTCGCAGTCACGGCTCTCTGCCTAAAGCGCAGAAGAAAACGTGCTGGGGGGCGTGTGGCTACAAAATGCCAGCGCTCCTAGTGCCCACTGTACTGTACTATACCTTCTGTAGCGAAGTCTTTGTTCTGCTACTGGTACTTGGCTTGCGCATTTCCAAAAAGCCTCATGGGCGCAAAAACAAATGCAGTTTCTGGATGGTAATTTGTTCGCTTCTGCGCTCTGAATCGCAAATTGATTCGCTCGGCAAAACAGATGCTCAAAAAAGAGTCTACATACATCAAGGCCTGATGAATCATTGGCGTCTGCAAGTCCATTGGCCCTACCCGCCTTGTCTCTGCCGAGTATTTTTGGGTCGGGTCCCAGTCTTGCCTTTTTAGCACCCGTTATGCGCTGTGGGCGATCGTGGGGAGCTTGACAGAGCGCCGCCTAGCGATTGTCACCCACCGCCCCCGTTCTGTGGGCTGCGCTGACGTCAACAGAGAGACAAAGGGAGCAGGATGATGCAAGGCGGCCTTGCGCCAAATTGGGATTTCTGGTCTAGAATCTAACTTTACCTTGGCTAACTACCAGGGATCGAATTAGAGGGAAGACGTGAAGCCCAATGCTAAGCGAAGCGTCAGTTCCAAGAGAGGGTTTTTGTTAGTGCCATTGTGGGAAGGGCGGCCTCTTCGCTTGAACATTCCCATACACCTAAAGTAGCTATCAGCGCCCTAAACCAGACTCTGCAGCACAGGGCGGCTGCCAAACAGGTTCTAGGGAGCGCTAGCGAGGCCGCTAAAAGCTGGACAGTTGCGCTAAGTCGTGTGCTGGAAAAATGAAAGGGGGGGCGGGCGTGTGCAATTGGACTTTTCCAGTGTGGGTGTACTGCCACCTTGCTCCACTAAGCCAGAGGTTGATAGCGCTGTTCAGCAGCCCATTGACATCGCCGATTTGCGCTGCTTTCCCAGGTTCTCCCAATTAGAATTGCTGTTTGTTAAGAGTTTTGGAGGAAATTCTTTACAAAATGAATAGTATTCTGTTCCAATTCACCTTCGTATACGCAGATTGAATCGCTACGAATAACAAAAAGGCCTATATTCCGATTCCAGGCTACCATTTCGCAAACCAAACGCAGCAGTGGCCATCGAGATCGAATACGAGCAGGTACATCAGCCATCCACGCAAGGAAGAGGAGTCGGCCTGGCGGTATTACAACAGCGTGCGGCGCACTGTTCAGAACCGGACTTCCAAGTGGGACGATGTATTATCCGGGTTCTTTCTCTTTTAGCACGGCTTCGCTAAGAATCCCATGTTCATGCGCCCTACACGCGGAACTCCCACCATAGCTCTGGTCCAAAGTCAATGATGCTCACTTTTCTAAATTATGTGCTTACGACTAGTAGCTAGATATTTGTACCAATTGGGTAGCAGCGTGATATTGGCCTCTCAGCAGAAGTTGGCAGTGCTATGAGAGAAACATACTTTACCGCGCAAAAGTATACGGTGTTACGTACCTCTACTGTTGACGGACATGGCGGGCATCAATCACCACACACAGCCTGAATGATAAGCCAGCAACGGAATCTCAGGCCGATATCGAACCAGTTTAGCACCTCCCAAAAGAGGGGAAACGTACCTAGAAAGATGGTGTGCCCAGGCACACTCCGCCGCTGGTGTGAACTCTATTCCAGGTACGTACCAAGCCAAGGCCTGCTGGTCCATCGGCCTCCTCAAACAGATCAAGCCAAAGTGAACCAGCTCCAGTTGTAGTTGTTCAACACCGAATTGGGCGTCGCCAATGCCAATTACACTCAACCCCGCATTTGGAGTATTCCTGCGTAGTGACAAGGGTGACGGTATGATGCTTGTGGCTGAGCCTGGGCTCCATACATCGATCTGTGCAGCATACGGTAGCCATCAACAAATGCATTATCGGCAAGCGATCCAACACCGTTCAAAAGGCAAAGTTGCTAACGGAGCAAAGTTACGCTACAATTAGCGGCTGCAAATAGAGCCCTGACGATGGATACAGGAGTTCGTTGGGCTTTGGCTTCACTATCATCTAGGTAGTAACTTACAGAACTACATCTCCAAGTGGTGTAACCCTTTATCAAAGGAGTCGCTGGCTTGGAAGCCGTGGGATAGAGAGTGTCAATAACACTTGTTTGATTGACTATAACTTCAATATACTATACCAAAGTGTGGCCATTGCCGACGGTCCGTATTTAGTAAGAAGGCTTGACCGTGAGCAGGAGACTAACTCCTCTTTCTAAATCTTAAAACAGGTAAACGAAAAGCGATTGAGCATAGACATTCGAATGAAAGAAATAAGTCAAACGTACAATTGGCCATTGTGTGCCAGCCAGGGTCCAACAGGGTAGATGTATATGTGCCTGGCCAAAAGTACGGTTTACACGTCTCCACGCCGTTTGGAGTTAGTTTGGTCAAGATGAACGTATGAAACAAACAACCAATACCTTCTTCAGTCATTGTAGCAATAGAATGGGGATGATACAATCCAAGAAGACGCTACATGTTTAGCAGCATCGAGGCATAGCGTAGATAAATACAATGGCATCACAGGCAGGGTTCGTTGACATTGTGGTTCATGTCAATTTCAAAAGTTTGACGTCTTTTTTTCCTTTTATTTTTAGATTTCTTTGTCTTTCATCTCTCTTTCACAAAAGGGCAGCTTTTAACAAAAAGATCAAGGCAAATCCCAAAAATCCCAGTTCATCCACGTCCCGTCTCTCTTTTCCCTTTTTTTCCTCCAATCCCCCAAAAAATGCCAAATAAAATCAAGAATGCGTTGCCACCTCCAAAGGTACTCTGAAAGAAAGTAGTGGTGGTGTTGTGTGTTTTCTTTACCAACTCCCAAATATCCCGAGAGAAGAAAACCTGGAAGCAACAAAGTGTAAAACAAGAGGCAGCAGACTAATAGCCGGTGTCTCATTGCGTCGCATCCAGGCTTGGTTTATGCCCTTCTAGCGAAAACAAAGATACTACCAACTGCTAACCCAACCATACTTGCCCACCCATTATTCCTCCAGACATCTCTGTTGAAAATGACATTCTCTTCCTCGTTCCATCCGTTCTGCGGAATCCTTTCGTTCGCGTTTGTTCGTGCCGTCTAAGCGGGTGAGAAATTTGTATAGTGGTATTGAATTATATCGTAGAGGGGTAGAGCATGACGCGGACAGAGGCGCCGAAAGACTTGGCGGGGAGAGGGGAGGAGAACTTGGCGCGGACGACACCAGAGTTGCCGTGAGGGCGGGTGACCTTGCCCCAGATGACGCGGATCTTGGTGCCGCGGATCTCCTTGGTGCCACGGTAAACGTAGGCGACCTTCTTGCCGAGGTAGAAGCTGTTTCCAGCGGTTAGCATATTGTCCCAAATTCCTTTTCGTCAAGGCTGTAAAACATACTTGGCGGCATCAACACCATCAACACCCTCGATCTTGATCAAGGAGGTGTTAGGGTTGTTGGTGCGACGAGAGCGCTGGTAGCTCAGGTGGCGTCCCCTGTTGCAAATTCGTTAGCAAACGTGTTCCCATCTTTTTCAATTCGTTTGGTCGATTCGTATTCATCGCTTGTTGGTATTTCGATTGCTGTGCCCCATGATAGGGCAAGGCCACCAACCGCGGGGGGTAGTCGAATTTGTGTCCGGTAGAGGGCTAATCGCATGCGTTCAACTTACTTGACGTATACTATAAAACGAGTTAGTTTGTTATTCCTGGCGATCCAAACGCTGTTTGAGTGCGCTTGGGTGACTGATTGGTGCGTCTACTCACATCTGTGACCGGCTTCGGAAGGCATCTTGTCGTAGTGTGTTGTAAGGCTTCCACCCTTCTTTAAACAAAAAGAACTGTTACAAAAAGATGATCGTTACAGGGAAAAAAAGATGTCTTAGCAAAAAGACCTTTTCTTTCCTGGGTTGTCGGGTTTCCGGGGGAGGGTTGTGTGTCGTTGATGGAATTCAGTAGAGGGAAGAGAAAAAAGGCTAAGAAGCGTAAGTCTCGCTTGCGGGTGGATGCGATACTGTGGCTCTGTGTGTGTGCGCTCCAGCCCGCACACTCTACGCTGGATGGAAAAATTTGTGCCCTCGAAATCACGTGGTCTGTGTTAGGGCAGCTGCGCGAGGGGACTGGACGAAGACAGCCATAAGTGGGGCTGCTAGAGCAACACTTGCACCGCCACATTCTTTCATGCGCCACACTTGTCGATTTACCTCCGCCACAGAACGCCAGATGGGGTTTCCAAAAGGGTGCCCAATCAGAAGCTGGTGAAGCGGACGGAGGGCGAGGTTGATAAACCATGCCAATGTGTAGTTGTGCTAAAGGCAAAGTAGAGATCTATGTTGAGCGTAGGAATGCTGGGATAATTTCCGGTTGGGCATGTCTTTCGCCAGTATCAAGTTACATTCTCTTTTCACTCTTCGACCTCCGGAGGCTATTTCACCGTATCGGGCTGAACCAGCTCTGTATAATCGCCGAAATATACCTTCGGAGGGCGACAGCAGCAGTCGGTATACTCGGAGAAGCGCCCATTGGGAAACCCGGTCGACTATGCAGGGCTGATTTTCACCTGCTTACACTTGGTTTCCGCATATTCTAAGCTAGAGCAATGCCGTAAATGTACCAGTTTCCCGCACAGAGAAATAAAAGTTGTAGCTAGACGGAGCGTGCAGCATGTTATCATCACTGGGCACATATGGGATGTAAACAACTCAACAAAGTATGGGGCGCTAGAAAAGGCCTCGTTATCTGGGGCATCTGATGGTGTCATTGCTTGGAAGAGCCGCTCGCGCTGGGTCGGGGGAGCTGGAGATAACAACTGTAGGAGAAAAAAAATGCGGGCATCTTCTGCGCGATGGAGCGACCGACGGAGTTTAGAGGGCACGGGTAGGCGGTATTACTGTTCCATTGGGCGGCTCTAGGCTTACTTGGGATGGGTGATAATCATCGACTCAGCAGAGCTTGCAGTATTACTTGGGCCATTCTTACATATTATTCTCTGCTGGGGCTCCTGGACAGAGGCTGTTTACGCATGACACCGCCGTAGACAAAAATTGAATTCTTAGCCAAAAATATATAGGGCGACCTACAGCAAAAGGTCCAGGGCGAAGATCACCGCTAAAAGCTCAGAGACTCCGATACGCTACGTTCGCCTAAACCGGCGTCGACGGAAACTTGCCAGTGCGTCCGGCGTTCACTAACCTTACCGCCCCAACAGGCCTTGGCCAGACCCTGGGGGCCGCTAATCACTATAGCTGCAGCGCCTGCATCCCCTAGAAACTGGGTCCGGCACCCCCCAGTCCGACTCTGTCATCCGGGTGACCCGCTCCGAAAGAAAGCTGCTTTCTCAGCATCCCGCTCACTCCTCTTCTCCTCTTCTCGCTCCTTCTCCTCCAAGCTTGTTTCACTCTCAATCCGATCCCAACGACTTCCTCTCCATCTTGTATTTCTTTATTTTCTAGCTCTTTGTTTTGTTTATTGATTCCTATCTGCCAACGAAATGGCCCAAGCTACTGAATCGTACGTCCTTCAACAGCCTTGTCACGACCCCGACCCCACCACCAATGTTTGGGAGCTTTGGCGGGGTGTGTCGTCAACAGGCGCTCTTTTTCTCTCGCCGCCTCGCCAGCCAGCTTTCCCGCCCCGACTTCTCTCCTACTCCTCCAATTAGATACAATTCATCAGCCTATTTGACAGTATAGCTAATATTTCGACTACAGTAAGAGCATGGAGCTCAAGGAGAACACCTGCATTGTCGTCCTCGGCGCCTCGGGCGACCTGGCCAAGAAGAAGACCGTAAGACAAACAATTCGCCACTTTGGCCAACACCGCTAATCATATTGTGCCTTATAGTACCCTGCCCTCTTTGGTCTTGTAAGTTATTTATCCGCTGAAGAAAACGGCCTGGCTGCCGCAGAATCTAACAAAATCCTAGTACCGCAACCAGTTCTTGCCCAAGGACTGCCGAATCATCGGTTATGCCCGTACGAAGATGGACCACGAGGAGTATCTCCGCCGCATTAAGTCCTACATCAAGACTCCCACCAAGGAGATTGAAGACCAACTTGAGGAATTCACCAAGATCTGCACTTACATCTCCGGCCAGTACGACAAGGATGAGTCCTTCAACGAGCTTGAGAAGCATCTCCAGGAGCTCGAGGCTGGCCGCCCCGAAACGCATCGTCTCTTCTACATGGCCCTCCCCCCCTCCGTCTTCACCATTGTCTCCCAGCACTTGAAGAAGTGCTGCTACCCCAAGAACGGCATTGCTCGTGTCATTGTATGTAAACCATATCAAACGCTGACCACTCTCATACAGATCTTTACTGACAGCAGGATAGGTCGAGAAGCCTTTTGGCAAGGATCTTGCCAGCTCTCGTGAGCTTCAAAAGTCACTGGAGCCTGATTGGAAGGAGGAAGAACTGTACCGCATCGACCACTACCTCGGTAAGGAAATGGTCAAGAACATACTCATTCTTCGTTTCGGCAACTCTTTCCTTGGTGCCACATGGAACCGCCATCACATTGACAACGTCCAAATCACTTTCAAGGAGCCATTCGGCACCGAAGGCCGTGGCGGTTACTTTGATGAGTTCGGAATCATCCGTGACGTCATGCAGAACCATTTACTCCAGGTTTTGACCCTCCTCACTATGGAGCGCCCCGTCTCTTTCGATTCCGAAGATATCCGCGATGAGAAGGTCCGTGTGCTTCGCGCCATGCCTCCAATTGAGCCCAAGAACGTCATCATTGGCCAGTATGGCAAGTCTCTCGACGGCAGCAAGCCTTCATACAAGGAGGACGACACCGTCCCCAAGGACTCCCGATGCCCTACCTTCTGCGCGTTGGTCGCCTACATCAAGAACGAGAGATGGGATGGTGTCCCATTCATCATGAAGGCTGGCAAGGCCCTCAACGAACAGAAGACTGAAATCCGCATCCAGTTCAAAGATGTCACTTCCGGTATTTTCAAGGACATTCCCCGCAATGAGCTTGTCATGCGTATCCAGCCCAACGAGAGTGTCTACATCAAGATGAACTCTAAGCTTCCTGGCTTGAGCATGCAGACCGTTGTCACTGAACTCGATCTTACTTACCGCCGACGCTTCTCCGATCTTAAGATCCCTGAGGCATACGAGTCTCTTGTTCTTGATTGTCTCAAGGGCGATCACTCCAACTTTGTCCGTGATGACGAGCTCGATGCTAGCTGGCGCATGTTCACTCCTCTCCTCCACTACCTTGATGACAACAAGGAGATCATCCCTATGGAATACCCTTACGGTACGTATTTCCCCTGTATTCTCTTTGAGCGCAAACAATTCTAACATAGGCATAGGCTCTCGCGGACCCGCAGTCTTGGACGACTTCACCGCATCGTACGGATACAAGTTTAGCGACGCAGCTGGTTACCAGTGGCCAACAACATCTGCTGCCCAACCTAACAAGTTGTAAGTAGCGAATCGACTTCCAACTTGAGGTTACAATGCGACTATTTTGGTCGTTACTGTGTTGAAGATCAATGAATGACCGGTTCTATTGCAGTTAATCTTGGACGAAAAAAAAATTACAATCTGAAATAATACAAAGAGGAATGCAGTTTGCCTCAAGTTGAATCTATTTGCGAGCATCAGCCTTCCTCTCTCTAGGAGCCAGGGTCATCGACTAAAGCACCGTCTTGGATACGAGAGAGACTGCGTGGATCTGGCTTGGAATTGCTACGATAGAGGTGCTGCGCCAATCGGGGTCTGTAAAGGGTTTTTTTTGGTCGTTTGTGCGTTGATGTTTTGGACCTGCTATCTGGTCACATAGATGAAAAACTATAATTAGCTTTATGAGTGAAAATGATTTATTATTTTATAATTATATCATCAATGAGATTAGACTGGCGAGGAATAGGCGCAAGTTACTTACTTCATCGGGCGGGCGATCGCTGTTGGGGTGGTCCGTGCGTCACGCTCACATGACCTGGCTGTCGGCGCCGGAGATGGCTGGTGAGCGCCATCTGCTAGACGCCAAGGCAAAGTTCCAAACACGGATACCTTTTTCATCGTACCAACTATCACCGCGCTGGCGGCTGTGCATGCTGTCGCTTATCATCCGCTGTACTTTTACCATTTGTTCACTTAGCCACGCGATCCAAATATTTACAAATACGGCATCATTCGCTTTGCGCGCGCATACCTCGCAAAGGTTCTCGACGTCGCGACCTCCTCGCCATTCCCATCAGCACGCAACAGCCATCGATATCATACACATCCCCACGCAATACCAATTCCTACGGCGTAATTGGCCTCTTTACTATTTCTGCAGCACTCTTCAATCATCACCTTGACCCTTGCGCTGCACGATCGGTCGGCCCCCATGCCTCCTCGCACCTAAGATAATCATCGCTTCTGCTTTCGCTCCCACCCGGCACGTTCCCGATACCAACATATTCAAATTGCATGATACATCGCTTCCCTATATGCACAAACAGCTGTAGCCATTCCATCTACGATACCTGTGTTTGGACTAGCCGGCTTGTTGGTTGCTCAGAGCGCTGGTATCACCAATGCCCGGAGTAATCATGGCTGACGGACCCCAAAACGGTGCAAGGACTGACCACGACAGAGGTCAGGGTCCTCAAACAATGGCCGAAAATGTCGCTTCGATGCCCACTAAGCCTGGTGTGGCTAAAGAGATGACGATTCCAATGCGCCCAAGAATGAATGACCTACCAGACGAAATTGTGCACATTACCCAGGGCTTTGTTCCGCTGTCCCTGTTGGTCACAAGGCTAGCACAGCACACACACAACTCTCTTCAGGAAAAGATTGCCGAGCTCGCCAAAATGGCGCTTCCAGCGTCTGCCCTGAATGGTACCACCAATCATAGTGCTTTTTTTTTTTTTTATTTTTTCTTCTTATATCTACACAAAAAGGGAGCATTGCTTCATTTCGCCCAAGACATGCATGCCAAATGGATCAAGGCTTTGGTTATAACAGAATGGAGTCGAAACGCATCTCTTGTCAGCAAACTCATCGATTTAAAGTTTCACATCGACCAGCAGCGAATCTTATTCGACGGATGTTTGGATGACATGGTAAATGTGAAGCGCGACCTAACATTCGCTCGCATGCCCAGTCCAGATTTGAAGACTGCTCTTCAAGTTCTCTCCGCAGGCAATGCACCGTGGGTTCCAGATGTAAGTTATGAACACCATTGACCGTGACGACAAACGGAGCTAACATATTCCCAGTTGGGTTACATTGAACCAGCACCGCTTACTGCACAGGAAAAGCTGAAGTGGATTAACGACCTAGACACCCTGTTGTCCCTACGATTAAATATCGAAGACTACGACAATATTCCCCCGCAGTTCCGAGACTACAGAATTGAATCCGGCCGAGTCACATTCAGAGTTGCGACAGAGTTTGAAGTCGAGCTTACTATTGCCGATGAAGACTTCGAGAAGCAATTCTGGTTTATAGATTTCCGCTATCTGTTTGGACCATCGGCAGCTACAATACCTGACTCACTACGCTCATATTTGGAGACATGTGTCAACGATGTTCTCTCGAAAGACGGGCTTGGCGGATGCTACAAGTTCTTACATGAATTTGTGCTGACATCGAAGATCAATGAACTGAAACGACAGGCCATCGAATTGAGCAAAACATCTTGGAGTTCAACATTGGTCGTAGAGCCGTTGAACAGAGCTCTCGCTATCCAATACTGGTCGTCGAGAACCAACACAACTGGACTGAAGAACTGGGTCTTGATAGCTATTGAAAGTGGTAAAACGTCCAACTCTCAAACAGAGGCCAGCACAACCAGCCGGCTGGTTGCCAAATGGTACCGAGATAACAAGGAGGTCAAGGATGCGGCTCTTGAGTTGGACTTGCAGAATCTCTCTGCTGAATCTCTGCTGAAAGATGTGGTTGGAAGACATATTGATCATATCTTGTCAAGCATTCGCGACATGTTATCGGACGCCCCAAGATTTAAGCAACGCGTGGCCAACATGAGCCTACACTTGTCCAGATCTGACCCAGCAGCATGCGCACTTATTACAGAAGTGACACCGAACCATTCTACGTCCTTGATCATGGAGCCAACAACGGGTATCTTTGCTATCAAACCCCAGTCAAAGTTCTCCGTCCAGTATGAAATGCAGCTGAACAATGGCAAAAATGTGGCCGAGGATGGTGTCCTGTGCGTGGAGAATGTTCGATGTGCCGTCCTCGAGGATGCACTGAACAGGAGTGGCACGACAATGGGCTGGACCACTCACAAAGCACCTCTAACCCAAGAAGAATTCCGACTGGTGACAAAGCTACGTGATTGGACAAGGACGATATGGATTCAAAAGGAAGGCTGGGGACCAAACTGGTACATTGCAACGGTCCTAAGCCTGTCTGGCGATGAGTGGTGGCTGCTTGAGATTAACAGAAACGAGCCTGGCCGAGCCTGCAAGTTCCAGACAAAACTCCCTGTTAGCAAAGGTCAGCCAAGCTTATCCGACCGCTTTTGGAACAACCTGACATTGTTTGCTACCGGTTCTATTGCACGTATAACGGATTTGCGAGAATTATATCGTCAAAGGATTAAGAGCCGGTCAAGTGACATCAAATCGAGTACCTCACAACAGGTTAGAATCCCCGCTCTCGAAATGGACCTCTCGGCGTTGGTACCATCTATGGCAGTCGACAGCGCCAGCAATAAGCAAAGCTGGGCAAGCAACATTGTCATTGTGCAATTCGGTGGCCTTCAACCAGCTCCGAAATCGTCCAATCCCGAAGCAGAGACGCCTTTGCTCATGTGCACTACCGATGCGATACTCAAGGTCCGCAATCCTGGCAAATTTACAGCGCTCGACGGTAACGTGGATCATGACTTGTCTTATAATCCTGCTAAGGGAGAATTTGGACTCCGCATTCGCCACGCTGTCGGTGAACCCATATTGGCCATTCTGCAATCGCGTATCAAATCAATCGACCGCTTTGTAAACTTCTTGGAAGCTGTGGAGAGGTCAGACGGGGCCATTGTGTCTGAAGAGGTTTCCCTCCAGCGCGTCGCCTTTAAATACGGGGCGTGGAGCATGGCCCTGGACTTGTCGCGTGGTGACATTGATATTTCAATCGATGAGCACAACCCTCACCTACGTGTGCTGGATCTCATGCGGGTTCTAGTCAACAGTGATGGTGGCATTACTGCACTGTTAGGCTGGCTTCCTGCATCACTGTCTGCAATGGAGGCTCTAGATTCTATGGAAACAGCCTGGGAAGACGTGAAAGCAGGCACAGCGCAGTTTGCTGTCAAGACACTTGGATGGATGAGTGTTAGATACTCCATCCTAGGCAAACCCGACGTTCTCACCCTCGAAGTTCAGAGAAAGCTTCGCCGTGGAGAAGCTTGGTGGCACGTGTGGCGCTCGGATAAGAATGCCGAGGGCGACATGTTCTCGGCACCCTTGAAAGCGGTATGGGTGAAGAATGGTGCTAAGTGGATTGGCCTGAGTACAGGTGCGGCTGGCAAGCCCGATGGTGGAGTAGTCGAGATGATGCTGGCCACAGACGAGGCGATTCGCCGTGCGGTTGGAGAGCCGAAAAAGGAGGAAGCCGATGATGTCGTGCTCCTTGAGTAAATGCTCATTTGTGAATAACAGACGCCTCGTGGATGACGTCAATGGAAAAATGCGGCACTGCACTGTTTATATATTTAGGAGCCGGAGTCTGGATACTTTGATTATCTTGCATGTAACAGCGGGTTGGGAACTGCGTGGCTTTCTGCCTATTGATTGCGCCTATGTACTTTTATACGACTAGCCTGCCTTCATAATTGACATGAGAATTGCATATACATTGATGACTTCGTATTCGCGGATGAGTGAGGAGCAACGTGGGCAACCAGGTCCCTTTGTTGATCCTTTCATTGGTGACTAATTTCAACCCTGCAGCCAGTATGGGTAATCTTCTCCGACACAGAGTGGCTGCCCTCTGCACCTGGGATTGACGCTTCCCACCATCTTGTTAGTGGTGGGCAACCTCCCATGAGTCACTCGGCGAAATGGTGGTTAGCAACATCAGCTTCAGCACTGACCAAAATATTGCAAATAAATAATTATAAAAATAACCATAAATGAAAGAACGTATTATAAAAGCATACGACGTTATCCTCTCCTCTTCTGATTTTACACGGTTATTCTTGGTGGTGCAGCGTTGCCTACAGGGTAGGCGAGAACTGACATGAAGTTCCAATACTCATTGGACGAGTGACACAGCGCTACGGTATGTTTTATCCTTTTTTTTTCTATTATTTCCTCTCTATCCATGCTTGGATATTTTATCATATCTCCTGATTAAATGGATTTCACTCGCCGTACCGAACCACGATGTAGATGCTTCCGGGCAATTGGTTTCGCCCTTATCTGATTGAGACTACCTACGCACACTTTTTTTCACTTGAGGCTTTGTCTGACAAAGTTGGCTGACATGAAGACTTGGTGCATTCAGAAGCACCGTAATAGAAAATAATCACCAAATTATCTGCACTGGCGGTGTTAAAACATAGGTGAGTCTCGCGTATCAGGCTAACGCGATGTGTAGCTCAGTAGAATGCGTCCCGCACCCCGCCTTGGTTGATGTAGCTCTGGGATATTTAATGCCTACACGCGTTTATTTGCGTGTTTACTGTTTATATAATGACTATACAGTTTACTGTTAATCAATCTACAAATAATTATATATTATTCCTAAATATTTGAAAATGGAACGATGCCTCGTCCATGCCTTCGCGTGCGCTTGTATGGTGACTAGCCGGCCGGATTAATAAAACTCCACCGAAATTTGCGGTCCTTCGAGCTTCGCAGCTTGAGAGCGTGCCTCCAAGCAGATCGTTGATCAAGCACAAGACCTACAGAATCCTCCAGCCTTTCCGGATTTCGCCACATATATTCGACTGGCGCCAACTCTGAACGACCAAAGTTTCCGATTCCCATAAAAGCGCATTACTATTCACAATGACTGGTCGCGGTGGTGGCGGTGGTCGCCGCGTTTTGCTCCCTCCCATGTAAGCTCCCGCTGCATTGCAGCCTATGAGCTGTAGTTGCGACTCATAATGGAACCTTTTTCTAACGATTGTTGTTACAGTAACATGATTTTCAAACTCCTCCAAAGCGTCAGTAGCCCTGTCCGATTCGAGACGTACGGTGATGGCTGGATCGAGGGCTGCGAATTGATGCGCGCTCGTTATCTATCGAACATGCTGCATCGCGGCCAAGATTTTACGCAGCAGCTACCGTTCATCAGATCGAATCACACATATGCCGTCCATTCGTAGTGCTAACAGGATTGCTAGAACGCCACCGTCAGTGTATGGCTGTACGAACAGCTCGCCATCCGAATCGAGGGCAAGATTAGAGTTAGTCAATGCAACACTAACCTAATGCTGGATAGGGCAACATAAGCTAACAATGTTTTTAGGGCTTTGACGAGTTCATGAACCTTGTCATTGACGATGCTGTGGAGGTTAAGCAGGTCACAAAGACAAACGATAAGGAGTCGAGGAGGCCATTAGGTGCGAACAGCAGATATGATGTAACAGTTGTGCATGTATACTAACAAAGGAATAGGCCAAATCTTGCTCAAGGGAGACAACGTGTCACTGATTCAGAACTTGTCTGCGTAAAGCGTTGGCGAAAATGGACGATAAAAAATCCCGGCTTTAGCACCCGAGGCTGGGTTACTACGACCTAAAGATTGAAATTTAAAAGGGAGATACTGCGTCAGTTCTCTTTATTGGCATGGATATAACTGGGAGACGGATTACTTTTGTTTCGTTGTGATGAACAATTGCTTGGTTGTTTTTGAGGCGTCTGGTACTTGGCTTAAAACTGCTACCTAGTCAAACGAGTTTTGTTGACAAACAACTTTTCTTTGCATGTCGTTTTGGAAATCTGATCTAAGTGAAAATAAAACTTTAAAAGTGCTGATTGGTCTGCCAGTATTTGTTTTGTAGCTTTGGTCGTAATGCTGGCGATTTTAGGTATTGGTTGTCACCGCCGACAATTTGCCGACACGGGGCGCGCAGAGCGTGGTCCCTTGATGTCATTTCTTACACCTTTACATCACCGACACCATCCAGCGCAACAACTCCAGAATAGCCATCCACGAACGGAAGCCCTAGGTGGTGATTTATTCGCGATGCGCGAATTCATGGATTATGTCCATGGGGCATTTTACGAAGCCACGGGCTGGAACCGTGGCAATTCCTACGCGACGCTGAACGAAACCCCCGATGGTGTGTTGCACTCCTGTTCCTCTCGCAAGGACGGCAGCGACATTGGATATGATAGCTAACTGCTAACAGCTCTCCTGAACTTCCATACACCGCGCGGCCTGCGCTTAACGCTATCGTCCCTTGCCTCGCCCAACTTTGCAACGTCGTACCAGCTGGGCTCGGTGGGCGTCGTCGACGGCTCAATATCATATCTCTTCTCCTCTGTCCCGCTCCGCCTTCTTCTCACCCCCCGAAGCGAGAACGTCCCTTTACCCGAATTATTGCGATCTTACCGCGCACTTACACCGCTCGATCGACCATTGACACCACAGCCCGCGACGACCGAGGGCCCAGCAGGACCGCAAAATGTACACGATGCGTCTTTATTTTACGGACGAATGTATCTACCAACGTCACAACTCGAAGGACTAGTGGTGAAGAGGATAACGCCCGCGCTACAGCTTCAATTTAGCGCCGTGTCTAGCCAGCATCTCCGAAACGGCGGAACGGCGCTTGGCTTGGCGCAGTACGACGTTGGGCGATATGCTTTGGAGGGTCTGGCATCCTCTGACGGCGGCTTACTTGGACTGCGGGGCGTGTATAACTTTGGCGGCGACGCAGAAGCTGCCTCGGACCGTCCAACACCAAGTGCTAGCAACAATGGAGAGCGAGAACGCATATACGGCCGCTTTAGCACTGGTGGCGAGATATACTACGGAACATTGAACAAGTCTGGTGGTATTAGTCTGGGCGGACGCTTCGCCACTCTCCCATCACATAAAGGTACACCTCTTGCGGCGACGGTGACACTTACGCCGCTGATGGGCAACATTGCAGCCAGCTACGCTGTTGTTGCTGGACCACACTGCAGCCTAGCAACGCGGATGGAGTTTAACGTCTTTAGCTACGAGAGCGCCTGGGCTGTGGGAATGGAGCTCTGGAGAAAGCCGTTTACACGGATAACCACCGATGAAGCACCGGCCGTGCCGCGGGGCAAGGAAAGATCGTTCCGCGCTAAGATGGAGTGGCGTCTAGACACATCCGAAGAGGAAATGCTGGCTCTTTCGAACAATATGATGCTGTCTTCGCCGATTAAGGAAAGGAAGTACCAGGATGATGAATATGCCGGAGTTCTAAAGGCTCGTCTGGATCAGAACTTGCGTATCGGCTTGCTCTGGGAAGGAAGAGTCAAATCGCTGCTTTTTAGCCTGGGCAGTGGAATTGATCTGCGCCAGCATAATAAGCCGTTCCGGACTCTTGGCTTGGAGATTCAGTTCTCGTCTTAAGCCCTACGCGTCCGTCTGACGGGTGTCTTTATATGTACATACTTTTTACCAAGTTCTCTACTATGTAGAGAGCGTATATAATACAACATGTCACGAATGGCTATAATTTTGCCAATATTTTACTTGCGTTGCTTTCGAAGCTTTCGTACGGCAGAATTTCCTGCCTCCTTGTGTAGACCCGTGGCTGAGGCTAGTGCGCTAACTAGTGACGCACCGCCATATCAACTTTCGTCGGCTGTACGGAAATCTGTGCTCCAGGTGACCCCTTGGACTAGAACCCGCTGTTGAGCGTAAAGAAAGGCAGAGGTAGACGAGGGTTTGTTCATGCAAGCAAATGAGCATGCACCCCTTGCGTTGGCGGTTGAGAATGGAGCTTGGTGGCGCTGGGGCGGCTGACGCCAATCAGGGCACGCGACGACTAATTGGTGTGCTCCGGGCCGGCTTCCCTAAAAGCCTCTGTGAGAAAAAGACGGGGAGCTTTACCGCAACTTCCAGACGGGATCGACAATTTAGTCTCCCAGGCGCCGCAGCAGCACTCACAGACCCGACGGGAGCTTATGTGCTAGAAGCGTTTAAGCCATGCATTTAGGCGGCGATGATCCTGGGGATCTAGCGCGTATACCCGCACCTATCTGGGTTCTACCCATGCTCTCAGCTTCGTTATTTTGTTCTGTTGCTTATAGCCAACGGCTAATCCGAACGCCAGCACCTTGATGTCCTCGTTGTGCATTTCGGCGTAATGGCGTGCATCTGGTTGGCTGACTGCTGTGAAGAAAACGCCAGTCACATCCTAGCGCTACTGGCTGTGATCAGCACCAGTATTTGGTAAACCCAGTACCGATGTCGCTGAAATCAGGCTGTTTTTTGTCTGCTTTACTGCTCTTCAGCACCAGGCCGCTCCGATCTCACATCTTTTTCGGTACCGACTTTTCTTCTTTTTTGCTTTGGTCGAGATAGCCGCCAAAAGAAAGGCGGGTGTTGCGCTCGCTGCAACCCTGCTAGCCGAAAATCAGACGAGAGCTGAGGCCAGCTGGACGAGTAAAGCAGACGATAGATGCATATTGAGGTTCCATTGGCAAGGGAGGCAACTCGGCCAACTCCTGTTGGCCCACGCTCATGCGGTGCAAGGCCTGGGCTAGCGGCGGATCAAGAGCGTCGGCGAGCAGGTAGCAGCGACAGTCCAGACCACAAATAAACACGCGATTGTGAATAAGCGGCCAGATGTGCGGTATGATCAGATGAAACGCTACCGTAGCGCTGAGCACTCGCTGTTCATTTCGTCTCGCGTTGCTTTGCGGCTGGACTTTGGTTTCTCGGGGCTGTTTGCGGGCGTCGGCGTGGGCGCCAGCACAGTCGGGCCAGCCACGAAAGCATAAAGACTGCAAGCTCACGCTGCCTTATCGATCCCCGGGTTCCTGAATAATAACTCAAAAAAGAACCTTCTTGGACCGATAAGGCACGCAAAACTCAATTTTTTTTTCATGCGCTTCAATAGTTCCTCTTTTTGTTTCCATATTTCTCGGCTCGTCGTTGCCGTCTCGTTTCGCTTAGTTGCAGCAGCGCAATAATCCATTTGGCCATCAAGGTCCTCAAGCCCGCATCGACTTGGCTGCCAGCGCCGCCTGCGGACAACGCCACAGTCGCTCGCCCCCAAACCGTCGCCCTTTAACACCCGGTGTCATTTGTGATACCCCGCGGCAAAGAACACGAGGGGTGTCTTGTTGCATTGCCCTTTTGGCGTTTGCGGTTAAACAAAAAAAGCTTCCTTGTTCGATTTGGCTTCGAAAGGGGTCGCATTCCAGTATTCGTCCGAACCCAGCTTGTCGTCATCGTCGTAGGTGATTCCCAAGATCCTGGGCTCCTCCCCACGCGTGACCATCGGCCCTTCTTGCTCATTCTGTGCTGCTCTGGTCGGAGTAACTTGGGTCGAAAAAGATACGCCGTCGACTAGGCATCGAAGCAAGCCCGCTGTTATTGTCGCTGTGGTCAGCAGAAAGCCCACTTGGCTACATCTGTTGCGGCCGTTGTTAGTCCCTTGCTCACATCCTCACCACCCCTGGCGCACTCATCATCCGGTGTGATTGGGTTGACATCTGCTAGACGACTGGATAAATAGGAACATCGGGAGCTTCGTCCCGAAACCAGACTGGTGCGCCAAGCCATCTTCATATAATCGGCTGCTCGTTGCCGTTTGCCCCATTGTGCGAGCCATAGAGGTTCTCGGACCGCAGCCTGCTCAACAAGACCTTCCATTGCTTCGGCGGGTAGGATTTCCAGATTTGGGCACTACATTACGACCCTGGTTCGATATTTTACTTTTTACTTTTCCGAGCTGCAATTGTTTGCTTGGCTCGTGCTATAGAGCAGCGCATTAGCTTTGGGTGTGGATCAAAGCCTCGTGCGGCTAGGTGGATCAAAACGGCCATCAAGGTTCCCAAGGCCAGTCCCTGCGCTCGCCGCTTTCATACTTTTTTCCAGGCTAAAGATTAAGCCGCCCTATATAACTTTACCTGTGGCCTCCTCCTGCATGAAGGCTCCCACTGTGCACCTCTTTGTCCTCCCACGCCCATCATTTCACAGGTCTGATTGATTCTCGACCTTGCCAAGTTCTCTTGGCTCTTACAAAATAGGCATCTAGCCTCGCATCGTTCCTCTTTGGGCCTCACATCCGACTCAGCCTCGCACAGACTCACAACAGTCGCTACCACCTCACACACAATGGATCCTGCTGCTGCTGACCCTACTGCTACTGCGGCGCCTGACGCTAACCAGCCTAACTGCAATGGAGATGCCGTCGATCTCGATATGATGGGCCTGCGCATCGGCTCCGTCTTCATCTTGCTTGTCGCCTCGCTCATTGGCGCCGTTCTGCCCGTCTTCTTGGCGCGCCAGAAATTCCTCCACGTCCCCAAGTTCACCTTCTTCATCTGCAAGTACGTCGGTACTGGTGTCATTATCGCTACCGCCTGGCTGCACTTGCTCGACCCTGCCATTGACAACTTTGACGATGACTGTGTCAAGGCTCGCGTTCCCGAGTACCCATGGCCATTGGCTATTGCTCTTATGGTTATTCTTCTTATGTTTGTGATCGAGCTTATTGCTACCAAGCTCCAGCGTGAGAGCGAAACCGACGGCACTGACAGCGATGGCTGGTCTTTCGACGGTATTGCTAAGGGCAAGCCCGCCCACGCCAAGAAGGTTGCTGATCTTGAAGACTGCGACCACGCTAACCGCGAGGGTCCCTTCTCCGGTCCTGATCCCAAGGCTGTTCCTGGCCCTGCCGACGACCTGAGCTACCCCCCTGGTGGTAAGGACCACCTCGGCCACACTCGCTCTCACGACGCCAACGAGACCGGTCTCGGTGGTCAACTCACTGCCATCTTCGTCCTCGAATTTGGTGTCATTTTCCACAGTGTCTTCGTCGGTTTGACTCTTGGCACCACCCCTTGGGAGAACAACCAGTTCACGATTCTTCTGATTGTCCTCTGCTTCCACCAGCTCTTCGAGGGTCTTGGTCTTGGTTCTCGTCTTGCTACCGCTCCTTGGCCCGAGACCAAGTCATGGCTTCCTTACCTCTTGGCCTTTGCCTTTGCCCTTTCGACGCCTGTCGGTATTGCTGCTGCTATTGGCGCCAAGCCCACCAACGCCACCGACCAGAAGCTTACCAACGGTATCTTTGATTCCATCTCTGCCGGTATTCTCATGTACACCGGTCTTGTCGAGCTCCTTGGCCACGAGTTCATGTTCAACCCTCACATGCGCCGCGCCCCCATGGGCATCCAGCTGTTTGCTTTCGGCTGCATCTGCTTTGGTGCCGGCATCATGGCCGTCTTGGCTCACTGGGCCTAAACACAGTACACCGTCCTGTATATCCAAGATTCATGTTTTGTTTTTGCATAGAAGGGGTGTAAATGAATTTCCTTGTAACGGAACTGTATGGATTGAGATTTAGTGTTTTTATTTTGCGGCTATTGCATATATACCAACATAGTTACCAACCGTAATAACAAACTGTATGACATCTCTGATTACATTTCTGCTCTGCTCACATGCAACTTGATCTTGCAGTCCGCATGCGATTGCCGTTTTAAGGATTGCTGCTCCCAAGTTAGACTACCGCTGAGACAAAAGGGATTGTTTGACTAAGACGGGTTCGCTTAACCAGCCTGCCCCACTTTCCAGGCCCAACAGTGCGGCGTGCGAAATGTAATTCTCACACGGCTTTACCACACTGTATATTTGTCATCCATCCACGCCCACTGTCGAATTGGCGGAAATCCATAGGGCCACAAACCCTAGCGCCGAAAAAAGTTGACCACCAGGTCTACCTACCATTGCGACGCCTAGCACTCCGCATCGATTTGATCATCACGACATTCCCTTCCCTCACCAAACAAACTCCCCCATAAAATACCGACAAAATGGCTGGTGGTGTTACCGTTCGCGATGTTGATGTAGGTGCTACCCATTTTGAAATCCCTTGATTGTTGCAGATTTTTGTTGCGAGGGGACTGGCCGACGGTCCTCCGCAATGAAGAAAATATCCTTTTTCCCACGGCGACGTACAACCTCTCGACGACTGGCAATACCCATCCCAAGTGAGAAACAAAAATTCGATTAAGGCACGGCAAGTCGACAACGATGGCTCCTAAGCCGGTCAAAGATAGCCAGCGTCCGAAGGAAATCAGGTTGTCTGATGGAGGACTTTTTCGCATCTGAAATATGATGCTTGATTCCCCTCATGGCAACCGGCTCTCTTTTCATCGCTGATTGTCCATCACTCTTCCTGTTGAATATTCCAATGCTACCCCAATGCCCATTCCCCCATGTCATCTGGGGGTGCTACTGGAATTCAAACGGCGACGAGCCAGACTTTTTGGGACACCCATCACCACACGACATCGAGTCTACCAGACCAAAGCTTTCGCTAGCTATCTGGGCCGAGAATAAGAAACAAACACTTGGGATTGTGGAGCAGGCGCGAGGGAGTCGCAAGACTTCTGAAGACGGAATAATTGCTAATGGGTTTTGTCTTTCGTACAGGCGCACAAGTTCATCAAGGCCTACGCTGCCTTCTTGAAGCGTCAGGGCAAGCTCCCCATTCCTGGTAAGTTAAAGATCAACTCACTCCTCTTTGTATGCCAGACGAACTGTATAATCTAACAAACACATCTTAGGCTGGGTTGATACCGTCAAGACTGGTATCTCCAGAGAGCTCCCTCCCCAGGACATCGACTGGTACTACGTCCGTGCCGCCTCTGTTGCCCGTCACGTCTACCTCCGCAAGACCGTTGGTGTCGGCCGTCTCCGCAAGGCTCACGGTACCGCCAAGAACCGCGGCTCTCGCCCCTCTCACCACGTCGATGCCTCCGGCTCCGTTGACCGCAAGGTCATGCAGTCCCTCGAGAAGATCGGTGTCCTCGAGCAGGATGAGGAGAAGGGTGGCCGCCGCATCACCCAGGCTGGCCAGCGTGATTTGGACCGTATCGCCCAGACCACCGCTGAGGCTGAGGAGGAGGATGAGGATGACGAGTAAGCTTGCTCAGTCTCTTCTGACATGATGATGAAAAAAGCATAAAATGGAAAAATCCAAACCTTTGCACAGCGGGGTGGTTTCCGCTTGGAATTGGGCGTAATATTGGTCATAGATAACCTTTTTGCGATGTATGAATTGAGATTCTTCTACATACCAAACATTCACTTCACTTTGACCTCTGCTGCGCCGTGTCTTATTCTCACTTTACATTCACTTTGATGCTAAGCATCCATGCTACCCATACTGTTCTTACACCCTTTCCCAACTTATACTCTGCTTTCTTGTGTATTTGTTCATTCACCTATTATTACAGTCAACCACGAATGTCAATCACCCTAGTTTGAAATGGACGCTGTGATCACTGAGCCAGCATTCACCAACGGTATCGGCCACACCGGCTCTATGTCCTTTTACCACATTGTGGATGAAACGAAACGAAATCTCACCATCTATCTATTAGGACCGAATATACAGTACACATTCAAGCACCGGGAACAGAGCAAGCATGGAGTCATCGCTGACTATTGCTTGGCTCGCAAAACGGCAGGCTTCCTGGCCGAGGTTTTGCAAGACGGCAGCCGACGAATAGTCAAATGGGCCGAGAGTGGCCATGGACAGTCCCTACACGGTGATGCCCTTATTCGCACGCCATATGCTCTGAAGAACAGTCTCTGGGCCGCCAGGGCAACCCAGATCGCCAAACTTTTCGGCTTTAATACACGGTGCCTGTTCGACGGAAACCGATGGGGACGAACAGACTACGATAGAAAGAAGGGCGCCTTCTTCGGTGCGCATGTTGAAGTTAAGCTGTCCACACATGCAGTCTGGGCATGGCTCGTTGGTCGAAAGATCATTGGCCCAGGCGAGAAAGAAGTTACATACCAACAGATCGCCAGTCTCAAGACCGCATCCTGGAGCGCCGAGCGACCTCTGCCACATTACGACATCTATTTTTCACGCCACCCCTGCTCGAATTGTATAAACTTTGTGAACAAGCTCTCCGAGGTCTCCGGAATCCCAATGCTTTTACATTGGCGACAACGGCTAACGGAAATGACATATGGAGCGGATGCGGACTTCGGCACAAGTGATGATTTGGGGTCGTCCGACGAGGAGTACCGGCAACCAGAGCAGCAGGAGATTGTTGTCCTTGGGGGAGGCCCTGAGAAGACTATCGGGTTGCAAACACCCCAGAAGCAACGCATGGATCCCAAGGATCCTCGGTCAGTCGAGAAGCCTCTCCCACCGACTCCCGTTAAAAAGGCACCATTCGATGTGACGTACAACAGGTCAAGAAAGACGCACAGTTGGTTTCGCGAGGCAAGTATCTTTCTGTAATTCTTGGGGATATAATTTCTTGGGAAGAACGCTGCCTGGACATTCTGGTGAACCCTCGGTCCCATTTTAGATGTCAAAGATAAGCATGGAAGACAGCTCTTGTTTGACTGTTTGCCTCGTCCGAGTGCATCGTGCGCCGTGGAATGATAGATGTTGATGAGATTGAAAGTGTTAATTTCTATAATCAATGAATTTCTATTTTATAACATTCCTTTCAAACCTTCTTCAAGGTTGAAATATCTTTTACCAAATCTACAAACTTGTCCCCCAAGGCTGCTGTAACGAGAGAGACATCTGGCGCCGGCGGCCCTTCTTCTCGCTTCACTGTAGTCACATTTGTAACACCAATCTTGCCGTTTGTGACTTGATGGCGGACATCCCGGCCGTGCCTGACGGGGCATGATTTGCGCTCGGGAGTAATAGCCGTCTCATCTAAAAGCCCTTCCCATCTCGACAAGTATATTCCAGGTCCTGAGGTTGTGTCACCACCGCTATTCTCAGACGATGCCTTAACAATGTACTGGAACTTTGCGCTCGAGAGACTCTTGAGAGTAGAAAGGTAACTTGCGTGGCTAGTGATGGCGTCGAGAATCTCCGGTTGTGCAGCGACATCGAGAGACGCATATAGTTCTGTAAGCGCCTTGCCCATATTGCTCTGCTTTGGATCCGAATCGGATGCTATCTGCCTAAAAGCCGCCATAGAGTTCGAGGACCATGTCTTCATATTATCTCGAACGTCCGGGCAGTTCTTTGCCACATCGTGCAAAAAGCGATGCAATGGGGCACGATGGCGCCGTATCAGTGCGACATAGTCTTCAACAGCAACGAGCTTTGGTTCGTTGCCCCCATCTTTCTTTGGTATAGATACTTTGAGAAAGTCGCTAATGAACTCCTGTAAGGATTCCATATGCTGCCGCAAATTGGTATGAGAGTGAATGGTGCGGATGATGGGGTCGTAGGCAGCGACAACATCCTTGACTGCTTGTGTAAAGAGGTCTGGCGGTTGGCGGCAGAGCGCAGCGGTAATACAGTCTCGATCTCGGACCGAGAGTAATGCTGAATAGTACTCTATGCATTGTGCGTGCTGAGATTCGGTCAATGAAGTCGCCAGACCAGGCTGAGAGGTGTTGAGGATAGCAACCACGATCGACTCAGACGTCTCTTTGCTAACAGCTCTCAAAGCATCGTGTACAGCCTTGTCTTGGAGGACATGCTCACGTATAGCTTTCAGAACCTCAGGACTGGGGCCAGCTTTGTCCTTGTCGATTTTGTCGGCAATCTTTTTGAATTCGCTGGCATCCCAAGATAGCACGAGTGACATGATGCGCTGAAGAAGGTTCATGCCGTCGTCCTCATTGGCAGTAAGGCCAACCCAGTTTGTGATGCTGGTAACACTCAGCTTGGCCAGAAATAGCCTGACCATGCCGTTTATCATGGTAGCTGCATTTCCTATGCGCAGAGTCTGTATGATCATCGTGTATGGGATGAGGGTATTGATGTTGTCGAGGAGCTTGAGAATGTAGGTCCCCTCTGGGGATTGGATAAAGACATAGTGTACAAAAGTTGCGAGACTAAACTCCATATTAGTGAGGTGTGGCGGTTAGAAGGGAGATGACATACTGTATAATGACATATTCTGCTGCTAGTTTGATGGTGGGCGAGTAGGCGTCAAGGTCGTCCGTCTCGGTCATATGTTGAAACAGTTTATCAACAAGATCGCCGTAGATTCCGCCATCTAAAAAGTCCTCCCAAGCTTGCGTCAAATCCCTAGCTTCTAATTTATCATATGTTCTGGGGCTGGCCGGCGAAGGCTCCTTGCCAGCGCCCTTGAAGCCACCCAAGGTGGCCCGAGCCAGCATTTCAATAATGGAGCTGGCTCCCGTAGCAAGAGTCTTTCGAGTACCCATTGCTCCTTTATCATAACTCTCTGATAAATCAGCAGCCCCAAAACGAGACAGGATCCCTTGTGCCCCTCTGGTCCAGAAGCCGCGTGGCAGCTCGGAGATGCCAGGAATAGGTAGCACCAACCTTGACAGCATCGTTTGTAGAATGGGTGAGGCTGAAGGAGTATCATATTCGCTGCTGCTAGTACTCAGGGATTGCAGGCTAGCATTCGGAAGCCCAGGAGTCGCTGCCTGTGGCGTGTTGGATCCCGTTGGGGTTGCTGTATTGCTTCGCCCCCAAAGAGAGAAGCCAAAGCTCGAAGCTAGCGATTCGCTCTGAGCGGGAGCTGCAGCAGCCGGCGTGCGCTTTGAGAAGGGAGGACCGAACTTGTTAACGGTATCTGCATGTTTAAAAGATTCGATTTCGGCGTAGACTTGGTAGTGCGTGAGGATGTCAAAGAGCGCGTGTATTTGCTCTGGCGAGAGCGTTGGCGGAGAGTCTTGCGTCATTGTATTGGCTTAGGCGGTATGGGAATGGATTGTAGTGTTAGTTTTTTTTCGTATCGTCAAATATGAGAGGTGCAATCTTCAGAAACCAAATCCCAAGTGTAAATGAGAAAAAAAGGAGCAAAGCAGCGTAGAAATGCTGCGCCTTTTGCGGCGAAGCTGCTGTAATTTGGAGCTTCTGGGGGCGTCGTATACTGATGAGTGCATCGTAGGGACGTGACATCGGTGGCGGGGCTGTTAGCACGTGTGCGGCTGCTAAACTTGAGCCTACAGTGGGTTTTTGCTACCGTTTAGTGGACAAAAACAATTTAGCTAGTGGAAAGGCGGGGGAGGGGCAGCTGGCCGAGGTTGGCGTTAACAAATACACGGCGATCGAACGACAAAGCGCTTGCCACTAGACGCAAAGGGGAAGTTATTTCGAATATAATGGCTTAAAAAGGAAATTCGAAAATAAAAACAGAAAGCGAAAGTACAATAAAATAAAAATCGGAGAAACGAGACGACTAGAAGCCGAGTGCCGAAATGTAACGCCAAAGACGCTCCTGGAACTCGTCTCTCTCATCGTTGGCTGGGTTGTGTCCAGACTGTTCAAAGATGTGCAGCTCAGCACCTGGAATACCTTGTGCAATCTCTTCGCTAAATGCTACAGGGGCAACGAGATCCTGGCGGCCGACAACTACCAAAGTAGGGGCCGTGATATCCCGTAGTCGATGGCGGACATCGAACCTAGGCATGTTTTGTGAAAAGGCAAAGTTCTGCGTCTGCGAGTGAACGCGGCCAATCTGTGGTTTGTTTTCAAGAGGTTCTTTGTCGTCTGTCTCTTGGGTGTCTGGTCCAAAGAGAGCTTGCATCTCTGTCACGCCTCTTGCGAAATCGTCGTCATCACGCAGAATACCCGTCCACATGCGATACTGTCGCTCGGCGTCTACCTTGACTCGCTTTGACGAGAGGACTGCTTTCAGAGCCTGCATCATGCCGGCTGTTCCCCATGCCCAAGTGCCGCGCAAGATCAACGCTATCAGCCTATCGGGATGGGCCAGTGCGTAGTCCTGCGCAATGAATCCGCCATAGGAGCCCCCAGCTAGCACGATCTTGTCTGCACCGGCCCATTTCCTAGGCGCATTGGACTATATGTTAGTAAGTTTTCATACGTAGAATGTGAAACACAAAATTTCTCAGAATTTATACCGTAATTCTTCAATATCCGCAACCCATCGCTCATGGGTATAGGGCGGCTGGAGATCGCTGATGCCACTTCCTCTAGCGTCGTATACAAGGACTCGGAACTTGGACTGTAAAAAGCCAAACGTGGATTCCGGTTCAGCATGTGACGATAGACCAGGAGCACCGTGATGGGCAATCAACAAGGGCTTCTGTGTGTCTTGCCCCCCGAGAATGGTAACTGATAGATTGGCACCATCGTCCATTCGCACTCTGTGGGTAGCCATGAGAGCAGTACTGGGCAAGCAACATCTTGCCAATCAACTCTGTATACCATCTGCAACTTAAATACAAATCCATATCAATATTCTCTATTATTAAGCAAGCAATCAATTTACATAATTTTGGGGAACTAATACGCCATTTGCATTGACTACATTTGGAAATGGCCGTTGGAGGCGCTAGTCCACTTTTGGGGACAAAAGCATGCAGTGCTGATTAATGACGTATCTTGCGCCGACATCATCTACATCGACAATTACTGCCCTGTCGGCTCTCATTTTCTGCTGCTTGCCATGGCAGCTATTGAACGGTTACCATGGGACATCTTGTCGGCCATTACATCGCGGTTGGAGCAGCAAGACTTTCACAGCTTACGCTGCTCAAGCAGGACTCTGAGCCGCGGGGTCGTCACGCCGACCTTTGAGGACAGCTTCACCACAAAGACTGTTGCATTTACTCCGAGCGGGCTGGAACGCCTGGCAAATGTTACTGAAAAGGGCGAATTGGCTTGCAAGATACAAAATCTCACCTTGAGCGGGCCTTCGTTTCTAGGATACCATGCGTGCGGGCGACGTCGTGTTGTAGAGGAGCTGGCATCCAGCAAGCAGCAGACAGTCGCTGAATACAATCTCGCACGGGATAGCGGAAAATTGACAAAGCTTCTAACCAAGGCGTTTGAAAACATTGCCAAAAAGAACCCAGCTTCTCGCCTAGAGCAGCTCTGCGTGTCATCATTTGACTACGACACCTACCTTCGATATGGTCGCAACGTAAGTGTTGCGACTTGTGATCGCAAAGACGCAGCAGCCGATGTCTACAATGCCATATTATGCGCCATTGCTGCCAGTGGGATTGCAGTGCGGCACCTTTCTCCTATGTCGTGCCGTAGCCTCTGGAAACAGACACCGGTGGATAGCCAAATGCAAGAGGTATTCAGCGACTTCTACGGAGCATCCGAGGCGTTTCAATATCTCGAAAGCCTGGAGCTTCCAACCATTTCAATGAGTGAGGAAAGACTGGATATAACAGCCGACGGGGAGCAATATACAACACCTTTGCAGCAAGGCCCTCGTCAGACAGCTTCGCTACGCCGCCCACCGCCACTGCTGGATGAGCTAACGTTTCATGCGTCGACGCTGCTAGACTTGGCGCAAAATATAACATCGCTTTCCATTGGAGCAAACAGAGCCCTTACTGATGTCCGGCCTTCTGGTGAGATGGACTACACGAGCGAGATAGTGATTCACTATCTTTCAACAGCGCGACTCCCACATTTGACGACGTGCCAGCTCTACCTGCTGCGCGTATATGAGGATGACCTGGTGCTGCTACTTCGACGAAACACACTAAAGACACTGCGACTACATGGCATTGACGTTGTACATGGCGAGTTGCGGCCAGTGCTTGACGAATGTGCGGAACCGTTTTTTATGCTGGAGACGCTGCATTTAAAGTACATCTCGGTTCGCAGGCGGACGGTGGAATTTGAACCAATGCCAAACCATACCACAGATACAGCAACAATAACAGCAAACAAGGGCCAGTCCAAAGTCGAAGAGGTGACGTTATCGAGAGAACAGCTCAGAGGAGGCGTGCGCTTTAGCCTTCGAGAGGCTCGCAAGTTGCCTGAGTCGGAACTGTTTAGATTGTTGAGAGTAGATTAGCAGCATATCGCGCTGTGATGCGCGGAATGATAGTGGCTGAACTGCGTTATAATCGAGAATCTGCTCCACACGCAGTCGAGCTATTCATCCATCCCAACATACAACTCCCCATTCAATGAAATGCTTGTGGAACTACCTTGCCCCATCCGGATCATCCAGTGTGTCATTTTTCTCCTCTTGGTTCCTTGTTTGGCACCAGATTTGACAGGCTCGGATTCCTCAATGCAGCATAGCGCGTGCCGTGCCAGATCGGAGGTTGAGTTGTATTGTGAAGCAGCAGCCAATTCCTCGACCACGCCAGTGCTGGGGCCGGTGTGATTGGCCCGCCGAGGGCTGCTGGAAGCATATCGACTCTGGTGCACCTGCTGGTGCATTACTCCCCTGTTGAGCGCTGTAAATTGCGCTAAATCCATGTCGACCAGGAGCCTATCCTTTTTCAAGTTTGTTGGTTTTGTTATTGTTTGTTGGTGCATTCAAACTATCGATGTGCCAATGCATGACAACATGTCAAGGCTCCTCCTCCCGTATAACTTCCGTATGCACAAAGTCAAGTATCCATGCATACAACCATGCATGCACTCAGCCCCTGGCGACCTGTCATCGTGTAAACAAGCTTCAGCAAGGGGCGGGAGCGATAGCAAGGCCTAGAGCGCCTTGTGAAGCATGTCCCCTATCTTAGCGCATCTGCCCGTCGCATCCCCCACTGTGATACCGTAGATAGTGAGCTGGGGGTTCTGGGCTCTAAGTTAACACTGGCTGCTAAGTTAATTACTGTGCTTGTAATAGTTATAGCTACCGGGCAGCAAGGGGAACATAGGAGGAAGTCACAAAGGTAGGCTGTTGGCGTCTGCTCAGCAATCTGTCAGCGCCCTAGCGATAGGTAAATTTAGCATCGTAGTGCCCGTACCCGTACCTGTACTGTAAGTAAAGAAGATGGATCAAGCGGCTGTCGCTCATTCAGCAACACCCATAGAGCCCGTTCGTTGCATCGTGTTGTCCTGTAGTCATAACGACTCACAAGGCCGTGCTGCTGCTATAGTTAGCTCGTTCCCATACTTGTCTTCCCCATTGTTTTTAGTTTCGTTTCTTAGACCGCCCAGTCGCTCTCTCGTCGTCCGCTCGCCCAGGTAAAACATTGCATTGGCGTCCCTTGGGGAGGGTCGCTGGAACGTAACATTTGCTTTCTAGGGGACTCAGGCGCCCGCCGTACAAGCACACAGGGGGGCTTCCCCACACAATCTGACGCCTAGGAGCTGTCTCGGTACATGGGCCGCATGTACCTCCAACACAGCATGGGCGACAGGGCTGAGTAGCAAAATAGAGTTGATGAAGTGGCAAATCGGTACATGGACTAGGGATTCCTGGATAAATTTTATGCATCGCATGATCAAGAGCACAGCATCTAGCTAGCCCAGCTATTGCTGCAATTTTAGCAAGACCATAGCCCCCAAACGCGCCGGCTGCCGTCTGCGTTCCTAACAATCACCTTCAACGCTAAAGGTACATTGCCGTCGGGTCCCGCTCACGCTCCACAGTAGCAACTGCTGCGTGCAGCTGGCAGAAGCGACAGAAAGACCACTTGCCAGGTGCTTGCCAGGTGCCTCCACCACCAGCTGCCGTCAATCTCGTCCCACTGTCATCCATTTTCTGGCACCTCAGCTCCGTCCCTTCGGGTTCACTGTTGCTTTTTGTTCCCTTTTTGTCCATTCATCTTGACCGTCTGGTCTCGCACGCTTCCTATCTGACGATACGCTTTCTTTTTTTCTCAAAAAACTCTTGCCGCCATAATCCATCGCCTTCATGTCGTCGTTATAGCCCCGTGGCCACACCACTCATTTACCTAACCTTGTCCCTCGCTGAGGTGTGACGCGCCCGACTCGAGTAACAAATTAAAAAAAAAAAGTTGCGGCCACTCACATCCTTCTGTCGCTCGCCGCGCCACAGATCTATTTCTTGTAAGCTTATTCGCGCATTCACCATCCTTACTGCAGGATGATCTCGGAATAGAAATACTGACTCCCTTTAGGACATCTCGTCGTAGCTCAGAATCCGCCATCGCGCACTCAGCGACGTAGCCGCCAAGTCATGAGCGGCCCGTCGCCCGCATCCCATCATAACAGCGACCATGTCTCCGACAGCATAGGCTCTACTCTGCGCAAACAACCAGTCACTCCCGGGAATCGATCTGGCACGTCGGGAATTTCAGATCTCGTCCGACAATTCGGCAGCAACCCCGAACGCGTCCAATTCCAAACCACCACTATTCGCCCCTCCCCTCCAATGAGCAGAAACGACAATTCCGACTCGGATTCTGCTACTACTACTACTGCTGCTGCTTCGCGCTCCTCATTTGCCGAGCAACTGGAAAACCCGGCAAATGCGCTGCGTATCTCGACAGATATAGCGCCACCACCCCACGTCGCTCCCGTATCGTCCTCCTATCGCGAGCTTCTAAGCTCCAGCAGCACTCTCTCGCCCTGCCGGATACCTTACAACCGTACTACATCCTCAAGTAGCGTTCTCCTTGGCCGATCTCCAAGCCTCAAGGGAGGCTGGGCTAATGGAAATGGGTCCGTGAACGGATCTGGGAGCTTCGTCTCCAGTCCAGTCATCAACGCTATGGGCGATGTTACACCTTTACCTAGTCCGCTAATGTCCTCTGATTCGCCCGGGCCTTGGAAACGACTGAGCAATGATTCCAATTCACCTCCTCAGCGACGTAACCGATTGAGCAGCCTCTCCGAATCGACAAGTACTGATGCAGCCACCGATGCCACTGCGCCGATATCACCAAAGCGAAAACTTTATATTTCAACGGATGTCGAAGACAAACAGCCACAGCCCACTACCCGCCATCACACTAGAAATCGAAGTATCAGTGACTACACACCAGATGCATTTGCAATTCATAGAAGACCGCTGGCTGTCTCTGGATCGCACGCACCCAGTGCTCGCAATTCCCCCCAGGAGCCGAGCATGCGCAGAGAGACAAACTTGGCCGAATCTCGTGGCTTAACACCGACTGTCGATAAACCCCCAACACCACCCCCCAGCGAGTCCTCTCGCGATCCATTATCGGCTACTAGCACCAAGCCCAAGACAGAGTACTTTCAGGCCAAGGGTCGATATGACGACAAGCAGCGCCGCTGGCGATGCCTTGGCCTGCTTGGACGTGGAACCTTTAGCAGAGTCATGTTAGCCACAAGTCAGGTTGCATCGACAGACTTTCTCGGTGAGCTGCCTGCCGGTTCTGTGGCTGATTGCGACTTGCCGCGAAAGACTCTGGTAGCAGTAAAAGTGTGCGAACATGGACCACGGGGTGGTGCCAGCGAAGATCGTGTCGAAATGAGCTTAAAGCGCGAACTCGAGATTATGCAAGTCATTCGTCACCCATCGCTGGTGGATCTTAAAGCGTGGAGTATAGAGCGAACTAGGGCAATCCTTGTAATGAGCTACTGCCCTGGTGGTGACTTGTTCGACGTTGCCACTACATCCAAGGCCCTACTCACACCAGATCTTGTTCGCCGTATATTCAGCGAACTTGTTGCTGCCGTGTCATATCTTCACGAGCAGAACATCGTTCATCGTGATATCAAATTAGAGAGTAAGTCCCCCTATCAAAATGACACGAATTTCTAGCTGACAAGGTTCAAAGATGTATTGGTCAATGTCCGCCCAAAAGAGCTGGCCAGCGCTTCGATAGACTGGAGCTCATATCCACACTCAGTTATCACACTCGCCGACATGGGCCTCTCGCGTCGCGTGGCAAATGGGGAACAGCTTGAAACGAGATGCGGATCTGAAGACTATGCCGCTCCAGAGGTCATTATGGGGCAGCCATACGACGGCTATGCTATTGATGCCTGGTCATTAGGTGTGCTCTTATATGCTCTTCTTGAAGCCCGCCTCCCATTTGACCCCCATCCTTCCATGAGCGATGCCCATCGCATGCGTAGTCGTACGAGCCACCGCATCGCCCGCGTTGAATGGCGGTGGGTAGAGTACGCAGGCGACGACGGCGACCACGAATGCGATGAGGCCAAGTTTGAACGGCGCGGTCTACTTGGTGCAATGGAGCTTGTAGAGGGCTTGCTCAAACGTGCTAGAGCCCGATGGACCATCCGAAAAATCGCAGCCATGGAATGGGTTACTGGCGGCATGGATGTTGAGGGCGGATTGAAGTTTAGGGAAGAGGATGATGGTGAGGAAGTTTGAAACATGATACCTGGCGTTTTTTACGACATTTTAATAGATTCCAAGGGAACTTCTTGTTGATTTGTTTTAGTATTATTAGCAAATGCGCTTCAATGCGTTTACCTTTTGTCAACTCCATCTCATTTGTCCCGGCCCAGTTTCTTATTCTCAAAAGCACATGTATTTCGCTCCCCTCACATCTTAAGGAGCAGTTGATATGGGTATATCTGAAGAAAGTCGACCATGAAGGATAGGGAAGAGTGACAAGGAGCTTAGTCAAGGAGTATATCCTGCAGTCACGCTGGCTAGTACTACAGTTCAACGTTGACCGATATTCTGCTTAGCAATATTGCTACAAGCGGTTCTACAGGAACCTGGCAAAGGTTCAATACGCTCAAGGCGAAATGGCGTTGGTTTGCTCTGCAAAGGAATACACGTTGACCATACAACCATGCCTCGACAGCCTAACCATGCACAACATCCAGGGTCAGATTATACCAGTAGATGCGAATTTGCCACTAAAGGCCAGGGTATTTCCAAGCCAAACCCACCAATACCCATTCACCACAGTTACATGCGGTGGTGGCGACCGGTCTACCCAGTTTTCTTGGTGGGAAGACGATCGCTTCGTCGTCTGCGGTGACGGCCTGCATCAAGGGGCTTCACCTGTCCATTCCCGGTAACCACTTGCCAATCTCGGTCAGTAGGGCGATGACTGCCTAACCCCCGCCAATATTATATTGCCAAGCGTGTCAACAGGTTTATCGAAACCACACAGCTACCGGATAGCTTTGGCGCTCCGAGGGACCAAGTTAAGAGGCAGCCGCGCTAGGCCTCCTCACTGAACTTTCAGTGTCTAATCTTGTCAGCATTAGGAAGCGTACCATAGCCTAACTTATGTCGTCCATTCCAGAGGGATACAAAGGCCGTGTTTGAGGCCCTATCCCGACACCGCGTGATCCCGTGAGACTTGTCAAGATCTCGAGGCACGACATGATACTTGGCTTGCTATGATCATGCATTATTCAAATGGATGCTGTTTGCATGACTTTTTGATTGACATGGCGCGCCGTTTTCTTTTCTTCGAAATTTACTTTACCTAATTGAGGAGGTAGGCCGTGTCGGTTAAAAAGTAGTGGCGCCGTAGCGGCTAACACCGGTTCCTCAGCGGCCCAGCAGGTGTCAAATTGCAAGCCCTTCTCCACAAGCGCGATCTGACAGCTTGTCGCTGTCCCGGCTGCTGCGATAGATGACTTTCGTCCCGCTTCGCCCACAAAGTTCAGGGGTTGCCAGAAGCAAAAGAGCAAAGGATCTATTATCTCTGGCGTTAACTTGAGCGCGATGAGCCCCTCTGCCTCCAACCATGAGATCTTGACTGGCTGAATCGTGGGGGGATGGATACACTGAAGCATTTTGGTTGCTGGGCTATGCCGTGGCGGCTGGTGGGCGCCGCCGTCGGGGTGCGATGTGCCCTAGATTAGCCCATTCTCGAAGCATAGAAGGGCACTCGTTAACGGACAAGAATCAGTAGTGGTTTTGACGCCCCTTGCACCGGATGGTTTGGGGGAGAAATGAGAGTGCTCAAGACTGAGTTCGCTTCTCCACGGACGAATCGCGGCATTCGCAGCCTAGCCAGGGTACCGTTCCGCAGCGCCCACGGCAAGTGTTGCAAGTGTTGCATGTGGCGTCTGGTGTCCAATAGCTGTAAGCATTACTCGCAATAGAAGCAATACACAGCATCTATAGCGCACAATGCCAGGCGTTATTCGCTTGCGCAGTGCCGGCACCGCATGACCGTTGGTGGGTTTCCCGGTTCTCTGGGTGCTCTTCCACCTCGGTCAAACCATGTGCAAGTAGTATATTGGATCCCAGGGCTAATCTATCAGCAAATGAAACGCATTTGCGCAGCGGCGGCTGCAAGTACCATGCTCATCCCGTATCTGGCACTGTGGTGGCATGGGTTGTACCCGGCGCTGTGCTCCGACTGCCGCTCGCACCCAGTTTGTTAGTCAACGAATCGCACCTCCCAATCTTCGCTTTACACGGCTTGATAAGCACTTCGAGCGGCGAAACTGACGGGCTCAGTTAGATTTCAAGAATCTCAAGATAGACGCATCACGAGATGGGCAAGCCCTCTCAACCTGCATCATCAAGATTCCTGCGGCGAAAGCCTAGTGGTCGCTGCTGGGCGTTTATTGGCCAGCTTGATCCCGCCGCCAGTGTTTTAGCCACCAAAGCCCCCATCAACAAGTTCTTTCTCGCCCAGCCCAGCAGGGACAAAAAAACAGCAAGATGATGGCGCGGCGGCGGCCGAGGCGGCGGCGGCTTGAGACGCATCACACAACGGAGAGTATGACGATGCGTTTCTTGGTTTTCTTGGATCGGTATGGTTACACTGTGGGAAGGAAGGCTATCTCATTGATCAGATGCATGCTTACCTGACAGCAAAATAAGCTCTTTTCTCCATTCATCCCGCTGCGGCACTATAATCTGATATGGCAGGCAGCACGGCTCACAGTTGCCCCGACCTGAAAGACGGCTTGTGGAACAGGGTCTCGGTCCGGTTGCCTCTTTAGTCAATGGTTGTCCCTAGACAGTGCAAAGACTATGCACACGCTCTGCGCAGAGGCGGGTGAGGTGGGCTGTGGTGCGGGCGACCTAGTTAGGCTAAACGTAGAAAAGCCTCTCTTTTCTGCACTGTTTGCTGTACGGACGACTGTCAGACAGCTTGTCTCGCCTTCGCCGGTCCCGAAGAAAGGGCTCCCCCCACGCGAAAAAAGGAATGTCATCGCCATGCAAACAAAACTCCGTATGCTATCTTGTGAAAGCGGCAGGGGAGCGGGTACTAGGACCACTATGCTATCTGTTTGATTCAAAGCTGTTATGCCCCAGATAGATAAAGATCACACGACATTTGCTGACTTTGGCGCTGCGGTGGACCTACGAAATCACGCAGCAAAGTGCAAAGGGCTCCATTTTGTTTCGCGCGGAGGCCGTTGCCGCCAACCAACCGAGCCTAGCCCACCGCTTGCTGGAGACTTTCGACGCAGGGTTTATCTTGGAGCCATTCGCCATTGCCTCCCATCTCGCGTCGTACCGCGCGCACTGCTTGCCCTCCCCGGAGCCGAATTCTGCACAGTCGGCTTAAGCGACTTGTTGGCTCTGGGTTTTGCGCGATTAGCAGCTGCGCTGCTTGTGTCTTGCGCTGAGCCGCTATTTTTTTGCCTGTTGGGTGTGTTGGCTGGAAAAGTACAGCAGAGTGCTTCGGCACCATCCTCAAGCCTATTTGCCGAATCAAATTGACTTAATGCAGTGCGGTGCGCACATGGCGCAGGAGCAAGTCAAGCCATCCAGCGCTGAAAACAAGGACCTAGTCCCCTCCATATCAACCGCCGTGGCGTCTGACGAGATCCGTGATCCACACTATGCACCAATTCTCTTGAGCCTCGGTGTTGCTTGTGAGTGTGTGCGTGCTTGCGTGAGATACTGATAGCATTTCCCCTGTCTGCGACAAGGGAACTGGTCATTGCTCAGTGCGGATTATTTGGTGCAAAATTTTCCACCGCTATGCTGTCTGCAATCCTTTGGGCTTGGAGGTGTGTCTGGACGAGGCTAGTTAGCTGCTCGCTCTGCATATGCTTGTGGCGTCTTGGGTACTTGGGGAAGGACGGAGGCGACTTGTAGTCACATCTTGTTCGCTACCAATGGCGCGACTCTTACCCTTTGCTCTGTGTACCTCCCACTCCACAGCCCGGTCTCTGAACAAGGCATAGGCGGAACCCTTCTGGAAAACCCCGGCCATGCGCCTGCATTCCGCCAGCGCCATGGTTGCAAACCGCCCGTAGTTACCACCTCCAGGAGGGGTGATAGGCCCCAGTCGCCCCCCAAACGACTTTGCATCAGCAGCGCATGCCGCTAACTCGGGCTGTACCCCAGCCAGAACAGTGCGGAAGAGTGGATGGTGTGGGCTGTAACAGCGCTCCATGATTGGCGTTCGCCTGCTCGTGTGCTGTGGCTTGAGCCCATATCACCTTCTGCTTTGGGACTCTGGTGGCATTTCCCACAGGCCCTCCACTCCCCGGCTTGTAATAGGCTCCGCCAGCGTCCTGCTCTTGTAGCGGCGCTGGCAGCCCTACTTTGCTTCCCCAGCTCTGATAGGCGTCTTTTCTGGGGCTGAATCCATTTACCGCAGACAATAGGCTGCCCCCAGTGTGTTAGGTTACATACGTCCCCCTCTTTCGACTTCGCCCGTCCCCCGTTTGTCCATGTCAGTTTCTTTCTCTCCGCTTGTTCAACGTCTTTGGAGGTTGTCATCAACGACGCTCGATCGGCCAGTACTGGTCAGAAAGACCCTGCTGCCTTATTCACCGAAATTCACCAGTTGTTGTATCGTCTGTTAGCCAAACAGACACTCGCTGAACCAACCGTCTTCTACACCTCTCGTGGGTACATCACAGCGCACCAGCGACATCCTCTTCGCAGCCCACCATCGCCGCTTCATCCGTTACTTCGCATCACCACTTTCAGCATCTTCGCGTACTGTTTGCTTCTCATGGCTAGTTTTGTTAGCGGTTGATTTTGACGTTATTCTGGATTTGCACCTGATTTCTCACGCACTTCATGGCATTGTCTTGATTTTGGCGTGTTGACCTTCCACTTTATCTCGCTCCTTCGCTGCCCTCTCACTGCGTTTTATTCATCAAGTGATGAATGCTCGTACTGTGTGTTAGCCTGAGCATACGCTGCCCTTGATTATTCCGCGGTGCCTGAAGCCACTCAGCTCGAGGTCGTACCCCGGGATTACTTTTCCTCGCTTCGTTTGAGTAAACCCAAACACAATGTACTCTCACAACGCGGGGCGATCTCGCCAGATGGGATTTACCATCGAAGGCTTTATCCCGTCTGACCAGTCTGGTATCTTTGGTTCGAGTGCATCATCCCATCAAATTCGTCCTATACAGCCCGAAACACAGCACCAAGCGGATTCAGATGCCGCAAGCATGGACTGGCTATCGCACACCAGCAGCCATGAGCAACAGTATCAACGGAGTACATTTTCAGGGATGAACGCCGACCCTGGTGATTTGATGGAATTCGATGATCTCGATCAGGTTGAGAGCCACAGCAGCGCTGGTGTTCGAAGTCTGGTGTCAGAATTTGAGAACAAGGCCTTCGTTCCTCCCTTGCCACCTCGCCCTATTAATGACATCTCGGCAAGTTTGGATACGCAATCATCCTTCTCCAACAGCTACGGAAACTTCCACTCTTCCAGTCATGATACTCGGATATCAAGCCCGCTTAGCCCTACCGACTCCGTTTTTGGATCCTTTAGCCGTCTCAACCGAGTTACCAGCCCATTCACAACACCAACCATTGAAAGCAGCTCCTCGTTCATGTCCCTGAGTAGCTTTCCAACAATGAGCCCTATTCATAGCCCCGGTGTTGGCTCGTCATCGGCTCCGTTTGGCTCACTAGGATCCTTCCTGACAAATCACGATAATCACCATCAGCAAGATCCGTTCCGCCAACAGCGCCTGTCCCATCAACATATTACTGGAGCGATGGATTCTGACGAACTGGCATCTTCGATAGCACAGACAAAGCAACCGCAAGTTGGAGGAACCCCTGGGTTTGAGATCTGGCGTCCCCCTACCGTACCAGAAATAAAGGTAGAATCATCCACCACCCAGGAGCCATTGGTGTCTCTACCTAGCCCAACAAAGAATTCGGCTGGTTTCACAAAGCCCCCCGTTCCAGCGAAGCCAAAGCCACTTTCTGCTGCTGCAGGAAGTCAGTTTATCATGGAATATGCCAACGGAAATAAAACTCCAAAGGGCAAAACTGTGATGAAACCTCCGCCACCACCTCCGCCACCACGCCCTCAGCCAAATCCGATCATAACAGATATGGTGTCGCCTGTCGGGATCTCATCTCCAATGAGCCCGCCAATCAAAATAGAAGATGGAGCTGGAAAGAAGCCAGCAGGACCTCGTCCATCGGTAAGCGAAAGCCGTGTGATCCCTTGTCCTAACAATAACACTGACATGTTCTAGATATCAAAGTACCCGATATTCAGCCCCCGTCCTTCAGGGTCTCGCTCTTCTCGGGAGCAAGTTCCTGCTGAGATTTGGGAGCAGTACAAGTTCGTTATTCGAACTTTATATCTTGAAGAACGGAAACCGTTGAAAGAAGTCATGACGATCATGTCAGAGCGATACAATTTTCAAGCAACGTAAGAGACTCCGGAATGTTCCCTCGTGAAGCCCTCATCTAACACTCAATAGCCCCAAGATGTATAAGTCGCGTTTCTCACAGTGGGGATTTGTGAAGAATAACACCGAGGATGAAGTTAAGAGACTTTTGTCGATGAAATTCCAACGTGACGCTGAAGGCAAAGTATCCGAATTTGTCCGCAACGGCAAAGTTATCAACATCGGCACATATCTCAAGCGTAAAGGAGTGACTGAGTACGATCTTGTCGACTTTGAGTTGCCAGCCGATTTACCAGCTTACGTACGCTGCCGCACTCCAACACCACCTACCGCACCAGGTTTGATCAGATCTCCGGATCTTGTGCGAGCTCACGAGCTTGTTATTGGTAGCGTACGGAAGGCATTTTTGCAGTGTCATAAGTACGAGACTGAGACAAATGCTCAAATCAACTGGTCGATAATTCAAGTCTGGGGCGCATGGTCGAGTGAGATGCTTTTGGAAGCAAACTTTTTCCTGGAAGCTGGCGACTCAGACAACGGTGGCTCAACTATGATGCGTGCCTTTAATCAGCTTGAGCAAGACTTAAAGCAACTCTCTCCGCAAGGAATCGTTGAGATTTTGCTCAGCATGGTCAAACGTGACTTGGGAATGATCACGGCACTCTGCAAATATCTCGCAGCGTATTGCTCAACCAATTTTGAGCGAAACCACCCTTTGCGCCAGATCTTCAGCTGCTTGTACGAAATCCAGCAAAAGCACGGCTCTGGAACCTTGTCAGAGTTCCTAGCGAGCAGCATCACAGTCGTTGCTGAAGAGCTAGAATCCATCTACGGGCAGCAGCACCCATACGTTGCCAGAACGTGGATCGATCTTGCGCTCTTCTATAACGAGGTGGACAAGGACAAGGCTGAAAAGTTAATCCGAGAGCTCAGAACTGTCTATCGTGAGCTAGAGGCCAAGAGTGGTGCAAAGGATCCCGACTCCATCAGCTTGCGATACGCAATCCTGCAGCTCCTCTACAGCAGCCGTCCCAACTCTGAGGGAACGAAGCAAGCTGCTATGGAGCTCTGGACGCTTCTTCGTGAGATGGGCGTTATGCATCCTATGAAGGATCCCAGACCCAATGTGTACTGTTATCACAGCCCTGTCAAGGTCGATCCGTGGTCCAAGCGTTGCCGCCGCCGTTACGAGGTCGGCGTCGCGATCTTCGAGGAACACATTGGTGTCAGGATGCACCCCTACTTCGAAGAAGACTTCCACACGAGCGAACATGCTCCTGAGGCTCAGAACTCTTGGATGGCTGCCATGGAACAACAATCAGCCCCTCACCGATTCCAGTTTTAAGAGGGCACATCCTTCTTCACCTCTGTACCGAGATGTTTGTTTTCTTTTTATATTTTGATGATGATGAAACCACACGCAACAGCACACTTTGTTTGTTCCTTTTGTTGAATCACTGGGCTATTTTGCCTCTGCGTCTTCGAGCGGGCGTTGCGGTTTGTTTATACGGGGAGCCTGCGGTACGCATATGCATTTCCCCTCTGTAAAATTAGCATATTTGCACACAGTTTCTTTTTATGTTGTCCATAAAAGGACTGATGATACCATACCATAGCGTTGAGGGAGTAGCCGGCGCTGTGGTATTCGTGCGTCGGATTTTTTTTTCAGTGCGATATATATTCTGTTTCTCATTAAAGTACATAGAAGCGATAAAGCCTCAATTAATACAATTTCTAAAGTTGATGAAAAATATTCGGGTTTTATGTGCGGACGGGATGTTTATTTCTGGCAAGTGTAGGTTCAGACGGTAGCGTTCGCCAACTGTCAAAGAACGTTCTCGCCAGCTGTCGCAGCTGGCGACTTTTCATGCACCTGCAAAGTAACAATCGTACAATCATGGCAGCACCGCGTCAGCTGCTGCGCTCCCAATTCACAAATGCCCAACGATTTTATTCGTCTTCTCGGAAGGTACAAGGTATTTTACTCTAACAATTAGCTCCCAAGTCACCAATCTTCTACTAACACGCGCGTAGAACACGACGTATTATTCTTGCGCCAGCAAGGCAGAAAGTATCCCAAATGGCACGTCACGCCGCCTCTGCGCCTTGATGGCAAAATAAACCTCGCCTATGGTGCTTCGATACCAGCATCTGACATCATTGGCCGTCGTATTCTGGACCAAGTCGTGGATTCCAAGGGCAACCGGATATCAATTCACGACGTATCGCTAGCCAGCTACATCACCAACACTGAGAGACTGGCCACGCCAGTATGTATTTCAACAACGAATGAAATTCTAAAACTAACAAAATACGAATAGATTTATCCCCATGATGCCAATACAATAGTCAATCTGTTGGATTTGAACCTGGGCCGGCCAGGTGAAGACGACCATGTTGGACAGGATGCCCCTTTTGAAATTTTCGAAGCAGGTACTGGCATGGGAAGCTTGACGCTACATATTGCTAGAGCGCTTCACGGTGCAAACCCAGCCATACCGAGCCACCTACGCCAGGCCATCTCTGCCGCTCCCTTGAGCCGGGATCTCGAACCAGACTCCCCGCCATCGCTGGATCTAGAACCAGATATGGTCCGCAAGTACGCAGACTACAAAGCATCTCGGCGCGCCATTCTCCATACATTAGACCGCAACCACAAACACACTCGCGGGGCATTTAAGATTGTGCGAAACTTTAGACGTTCGCAGTATATTTCTGATATCGACTTCCACATTGGAAGTGTACAGGGTTATATTCAGCAAAGGCTCGAAGCAAACAATGGTGAGCCATTCTTGTCCCGAGCTATCCTGGACTTACCCGCTGCCGACGAGCACGCAGAGGATCTTGTCAAAGCATTGCGACCAGATGCAGTCCTCATAATATTCAACCCGTCTATTAGCCAGATTGCCGACTTCCAATTATGGATGGCAAAGACTAAGCAGCCGTTGCGGTTAGAAAAGGTCGTGGAGCTTCCCACATCTACGGTCCACGACGGCGTCCATGACGGAGTGGCGGGCGGCAGACATTGGGATTTGAAACTTGTGGTCCCACGTGAAAGTGAAGAAGGCGGAAACTCAGAACCAGCGCAAGTAATGCGTCCCAAAGTCGGAGATCGAGTAGGTGGTGGCGGCTTCGTTGGTGTTCTACGCCGTTGGCCTACTCAAACGACAACAGAGGATGCTGACGCTGACTCCAGCCTTCAGGACTAAATGCGGTGGTATTTATGCACAACTTGTACACTAGACACGAAAATGTAAATTAGAAATGCAATTTTGGAATAAGTCCAATAGAAATAATATCCGCTTGCTAAGTAGGATAAACGCCCGACAATCCCGCGATAAGTTTGCTATATAAAAAAGAGGAAAAGAAGAGAACGAGGACACACGGGGTATATAAATATGCAATCGCTCGCTCCATGTCATCATATTCGTTGGCTCTGTAAAACAAACGCCTTCCAAAGTACTCTTTACAAATAGCAAAGAGACAAATAATTGTAAATAAAATCCAATGTCGAGAAGAACAAAGGTCAACTCCGTCCAGCGGTGGATTAAAAAAAATGAAAAGCCATGTATAAGCCAAAATGAGAGCAGCGTGAGCCGCATAACGCTAAATATATGCAATAGATAAAATCATCAACATTTCAATCGTTGTGCATGTGCTGAAATAGGCGTAATATATGCAAATGAAGTAGGCATAATCGAGAAAGATCATGCCGTTAAAAAGTAAAGGTCAGATGTGGACGATTATGACGGAGATTAATCCATTGAACGAATCTCTGGCGATCGTGCGCAGCAAACCATCAGTTTCAGACTGGTGCCAAAGTCTTCGCACTCCCGTAAGAGTGCTTTGTCGTCCCAGATGCTACGTGAGGGGGGGGACTGAGCAGCACCAGCGCTCTCATAGCATCTAGAATACCACCAGCGCCCAACGCGGGCAACCATCTTGGTGATCCCAGCGTCAGCATCTGGGCTTGGATCTCTCATCATCTCCGATAGACTGGGGGGCTCTTTCGTAGTCTTTTGAGCTGAAGACGATCTACCATCATATGAGGATTTGCCAATGGAGCTCGCCACGGGAACGCCAACATGGGCTGCCTTGATGCCAGTGAATCCACCATTTCCGAGATGCCGAATAATCATGTCAGCTGCGGAGCCCATATGGGTCTTTGACTCTGCAACGTGGAGCTTTTCTTTGAGCTGACGAACCGCTCGACGTCCACAGTTGCCCATGTTATTCAGGTCCACGTCCAGAATAGCCAGTTCGATGAAGCCTCCTGGTTTCAGAACACGCCGGGCCTCTGTCACAATATTCCGGTAATGTGTTTCGGGTGCTGCTATGGGGAAGCGATAAACAATGGCATCAAATCGTTTGGCAGCAAAAGGGAACTTGTCAAAGTTGGACATGTACTGAATCTGGTGGTGATTTGGGGGGCTGGAAGGGAAAGCAGCGGATTTGGACTGCTCTGGAGAAACGGGGGGTCTTGGTGATAAGTTATAAAAGTCAATCGACTGGTACGTTTCTGCAGCATAGAATGACCAATCATCATTTCCTAGGCCATCGATAACAAGGACTGCTAGTCTGGCTTTCGGTTCCTTGCTGTTTGGAACCATTTGGTGGCGGAGATCACTGAACATGACGTGACCAAAGGTCAGCCATTTGCTCACAGTCATAGAACCAACACGCAAATTAACTTGCGCCAGCGGTGTTCCATAATCTGAAACCACAGAGCTGCAATCGGACAGCCTGGTTCGGCTGGAAGAAGCAGTGCTTTGACGTTTGGAATTTGGTTGAGCAGGGTCCTCTTCTGGTTTGGCAACTTCATCCAGAGCTGGTGCTGGTGCACTGGGCTTGTCTGATGTGGGACGAATCTGGAAGGCGTTCTTTAGCCTGTCTGTCATATCGGAGCTGCAACAGCTGGATCGCGTTTCAGCTACAGATCGTTCTGAAAGCCTTTTACTGGATGCCACAATGGTTGGAGATTCAGCCTTGACTTCTTGAACCAGGCGGTCATTGTACTTCTCAAGGGGAAAAGGAACGCCCTTTGAAGAGGTAGTTGATTGGCGTGGTCTCAAGGTTTCATCAGCGAGAAAGTCATCATATTCGTCCCAAATCTCATCTTCGGCTGGCGGGTCCAAGGGTGTTGGTATGATGGCAGTAGACGCGGCGAAAAGAACGGATGCCGAGGAGCTTGAACTTGTAACCACCGTATCTTCTGATGATTTTCTAGGTGAAAAGGCGAGAAATTCGGTTCCCATATGAGTATAATCGACAGAGGATTTGCCAGGCGACGCTCTAGTAGAGAGATTCATAGTGCCTGTTTCAACGGTCGAATCTTCCATGGTGAGGTCCGGTACAAGATTTGGTGACTTTGGAGGAGTCGGGCCCTTCGCGATAAACTGAGGATCTGCAAACTGCGTTGTTCTAGGGGACACAGGGAGGCTCGCTCTAAAAGGCCGAGAAAAGCTTTTCGGAACTGGACGCTCAATACGCTGGCTGCCAGCAATCGGGATTCGTCCAACTTGAGGCAATCGGCTAGGTCGTCCAGAAGGGAGAATGTTGGTCGTTGATGGGATTGGGAGCGATGAGTTGGATGATGACTGTTGAGATGTCGCCGTTGAGACGCTAGGCAAGACCGTATTAGGCGGGAAGACCTCAGCGTCCTGAAGAGCGAGCTGAACGTCCATGTTGTCGGGATAACGTTCTGGAAAATCCATCATGGCGTAAAACGGAACTGGTCGCTTCTCGACGACCGTCACCTGTGCGCTGACAGGTTTTGCTACCCTCTCGGGTGACGGTTGGCGAGAGCGGCTAAATAAGTTCCATTTGCGAGGTGAACGGGCTCTCTTCTGTAATTTCCGAGGCATTGAGTCCGATGTAACGGAAGATTTTGACATTTCCTTTTGCAGTTCGACGTGTGATTCATCAGACATGATGCTTGTATCCAAGCTGTTAATTGCCGGAGAAGACATTTTGCCGATGGAAATGGGCTGCGGAAGGTTGAGCGTGTGAAGAGTCTCTTCATGGGCGTTTTTAATCCGATGTAGTGACCTACGAAGAGCGAGTGAAGGTTTAACAGTAGGCCCCTCAGACTCGCTGCTGTCAGATGGGCGTCTTGACTGGATGCTTTGCTGGCGCCGACGAGGCATCGCTGATGGCTGAAGTCCTCCAGATTCTGGCTTGAAGATGTCCACAGAAGATGCCGTATCTTGCGAGTCAAGACTTGGTCGCGATGATGCCAACTTTGCAAGTTCAGAATTGCGATTTTGGTTTTCGATCACGCTTCCTCCAGAAATCACCACTGGATTCATGCGATCTGTGAAGAATGAATCCTGCGACGTCACGCTTTCTTGCGATAACAGGCTCTCCTGGTGGCTTCTACCCAGAGTCAAACCACCACTCCGCCTTCTAATAGAGCCTACACGGCCATAGCCCTCATAGCCTGTTCCGGCCGCGGGACCTTTGCGCAGCAGTTTCTTTGACTCAGCTTTCGCAGTAGCATCTTCCTGAGTAGACTTTTTACGTCCAAAGAAATGAAATCTAGAATTAAATGACGGTGCAGGGCTGGGGCTTGCAGGCCGGCCCTTTTCACTGGACCTCTGTGGAGTTGGTCTTTTGGAGACAGGTGGGTGCGATTTGATGACTGTTGATGAGTTGACAAGACCGGGTAGATGAGACGTCGAGGCGCTTTTAGGCCCCAAGGGAGGTGAGGTGAGCGAAGTTTGCACAACACGAGCCGTTGACTCGCTGCCGCGTCTCTCAGTCCCAATCGCTCTAGCGACGATGGCTGTATGAATGACGGGTTGGGGATCGAAGAAATCCGAATCAAGATTCGGCGTCCCTTCCCTACTCGGGCGGGACGGCGGCCCGGTTTTTGTTGGTGATACCTTGAGAGGGCTGACAGGCGATTCCATGTTTTGAACGACTGGTATGGCGACCTTAGGAGCAGTCGCCGGACGGCGATCGTTCTTAGATCGAAAGTTTTGGGATGACTTTCGCGGCGGTGGGCTGGGTAGAGGTGGGGGAATTGCAACCCCCGAGGTCTGCAGCTTCCTGGTTCCGCGCTCAGCCTCTCTCACAGTAGAATTAGATGAAGAGGACGTGGTAGATTCTCGAACTGCTGCTAGCCCTCGTGGATCTCTGACTGCCGACTCAGGCTCATTCGTCAGACTGCCAGTCCGTCGGCGGGTGACGGGTGGGCGGCTACGTGTTGGGCTGGCTTGTCGAGCCTTGAGCGATGCCGCAAACCGTTTAGGCGCAATGATTCCTGGAGACTGGGATGAAATGGATGTTGGTGTGGTGTCGCGACTAATTGCAAAAGGGCCAGGCGACTCAGAAAATTTGGTCGACGGGCTTGCACTGACTTGGCTGCTGCTGCCGGAAAAGAGGGCGTTTGGGGTGGGGGGAGGTAAGTCATGAGCGGAAAGTTTAAACAGACTGTCGATGCTTTCCTTACTCAACGTTATCGATTGAATGTTTCGATATCTATCGAGTTCGGGGTAAATAGATGGAGTAGGTGTAGGCTGAGTTGATGTAATCGCCGGTTGGGTTGCTTTGCTATATGAGACCTCAGCAGGGCTGGCTGTGATGCTGCGGTCAAACTGGGCGACTGGGGTGGATTCAAGCGAAGGTCTCGATTTCCGTCGTTCAGATGATACTCCTATGAGTGACGCCGAGGGTTTCGGTATTCTCGCTTGTGAGGATGCACTGCTTTCTGCGGTTGAGGAACGTTTCCGGGAAAAGTTACTTTGGACAGATCTGCTGTTGCTATCGTATGACCGGCTTGACGAAGACGATCCAGACCCATTCTGCGTATGTAGCAACGAAGGTCGTGCGCCTGCTGAAGATAATCCATCGGTGCCTGTATTCTGTGGAGTATGCCTTGGTCGATTACTGAACGCAGGTATCGAATGGTGGTGCGAAGAAGACCCCGAACCTACGCGGCGTAGCTGTCGCGCATTTGAAGTAGCCGATGAAGGCTGTGGCGGTAATGGGTCTACCGGCTCTGAGGCGACAGGAGGTTTTGAAACAGAGCGGCTAGAGGGAATTCGTGATCTCATAGGGCCCTTGTAGCCATCAGATGGCCGTGCAGGTAGCCCGTATCCTCCTCTTATGGATGCCATGATGCAATGACTCGATTGCAACCATGCCCCAGCTCAGCAAGCGAATGTGAGCATGATCTTGTGAAAAAAGCAAATCGTCTATAAGAATCGGAAGTCGAGAGGCAGTAGCGAAAGATGGCCTCTTTTGCGATACAGGTTGTGGGTACGGACGAACAAGCGGTGCCGTGCGGTAGACGCTCGGATGGTCGATGTTGGGTTTGTCCCTCTGTCGTGGTGGGCGCTTAAATATCGAGACAGAAGAAAAGGCGACCTTTGCAGTATATTCCTAGCACCAGGCCAAGAGTCTAAAAAAAAAAATCCCAACAATAGCCAAACGGGCGAATATGCGAACGAGAAAAGAAAAGAAATCGAAACAGAAATCTCAAGATAGAAAAAAATACGAAGGAAGAAAAAACCAGGGAAACCCGGAGGGGGGGCGCTTTTCTGGAAAAGAAGCTCCTCTCGGTAGCAGCGTGGACCGGGGGGTGGCCAGCACAGGAGTGGAGTGGGGAGGGGGGCGATTTGTGGTTGACAGGGTCAAGACCAGCGCTGGTGGGGAAGCAGAATCGGTCGCTTCTTCGATGGTAAGCTGACAAGTTGGGGGGGTGTCAGTCCCTTGTGCTGCACTTTAAACCTGCAGTGCGTCTGTTTGCTGCAGGTCGCTGCGCCCTGTAGTCGTCTGGCGTTTAAATTTGGTGTTTTTCAATGTTCAGCACAACAGCGCTGGTAGGGCAGATCCTCTCGACTGGGTGTACGAGCGAGGCAATGTTGGCGATGGGGATCTGATGGCGGATAACGTACCTCTAAGCCGACCAAAGACGGGCAGGGCAACGCTTGGATCTTGATCCGAACAAGTACACAGTAGAGTAGCGTTCGCTGGAAGAGACGGGCCGTTCGTACTTGGTACAAGCTGCGGGCCTGTTGCCATTATTATGGACATTGTATGGTGCACCCAGTCCCAATAGACAGGCGACACTGTAGAGCCGCACACCAGAGGCTACAAAGCCCATTGGGTGGCCTCGCTTTGCATAGACTCTCTATATTCCAACTGTGGCAGCACCAATCCCAATCGCAAGCACCATCTTCATGCAACGACCATCGTATCCACTGGGCGGGCGTCGCCGACTGCGCTGGCTCGAACCACGCAGGGAAGAGGCCTCGCCATCCAACATCCTGTAGGCGAAGATCCTTTTCGGGGCTGGCTGGCACTCGGACAGCACAGCAACTGCGCCGCGATTGAGGACCCGGCAAGGACGCGCGCTGCTGCAGCTGCATGGGTGTCGTCCCCATGGCGCCTCCGTACCAATTCAGGAACGACCAGCGATTGGGCGTTGGCCTCGACTGCCTAGCGTTGGGCACGCCGAGAATTGCAGAAAACCCAGGCCGAGCCTTGGTGGGCCCGGCTGCTGGTGCTAGGCTCTGATGTGCAAGGTGATTCTCGTTGGTGATTTGACGCTGGCCAGTCCGTGTCAATGCTTTAGTGGCGTCGGGCAAAGGCATGGGCCGTCCGTGGTCCACTTGCGCCAGCAAGCTAAACCGCACTTGTGTAGCGGCCGATGTGGTTGCCACACCTGTAAAGTCTCTTACAAAGCTATTGTGACGAGGGCTATTGTGACGAGGGCTATTGTGACGAGGGTTCTTGAAGCACACAACGGAATCCGCGAACGAGGCCATAAGTGAGGCTTCTCAGGCTGACTGCCGGGCTCGCTTATAGCCATAAGACAGGGGACCGGGTTTTGTTGAAAACGTGGCATTTAAGCAAGCCTAGTATTATATAGGCCGTCCAGCTATCTTCCGTGATTTTCGACGTGGCTGCTCGTCGTCGTCGTTGGCCAAGAGCTTCACAGTGCGTCGCCCAATAGTAGAGAGTCCATCTGACCTGAGCCGACCTTTTTCTAGTTTGATTCTTGCCCAAACGATTTGTATTTACCGTTTCGGTCGTTGTCTGCGAATGGTTTGGTTCGTGCCTGCTGGTCTCGGTCACGTTTGTCTGCATGTCTCACTATTCTCGACTTCCGAGAGGGCGATCGAAAATCCAACGCAGCCATGCTGGGGTAAGGTGTCAAGATTGCATTGGGGCTTAATTGCATGTCTCACAAGCACGCGAAATAAAAATAAAAAGATGGCTTTACATCCATCATCCATCCATCCACCACTGTCTGCCTCGCCGTGTTAGTGAGAGGCCACCGCGCGCCGTGGCTGGATGGCGACGAAGCTGGTCTGCGAAAATAGCATGAATCCATTGGGCTAGTTGTCGCGGGATGACGGGGCCGCACGGGATGCATCGCGATACCCGTATCCATCCAGTCGAGTATTAGCCTGTGGGAAGAGCACCTAAAAAAAAAGGGTTCAATCAAAGGGTGCGTGCAGCGATGGCGCGCGCTGAGAATCGAGTCCACCTGACAGTGAAACCGCACCCACTCTGTATATCACTTCACCGGCCGTGATATCGCCATCTGGATTTTCTGTGCTGCATCGGCTTCGTTCCCGGTCAAACCCCTTGTTTGTTAGCGGGCGAAATTTCTTCAAATGGGTGGCCTCCTTATTTCCTCCCATGGCAAGGAGGGTTGAAACGTGCAGCGTGGCTTGCTTTGCTGAAAAAAACAAGAGCGCAAGAGGCAGCTGGCTGCAAGTTAGTGGAGGAGCCATTACTTTGCACAGTGATTGGCTGGCGCTGTGGCAAAGTGCTGTGTTTTGCTGGCAGGTCTGCAGCTATTGGCTATCCTGGCTGTGACTTTGAGGCCAATCACAGCCAGCGGATGCCCTGGTAAGTTTGTAAGCGCCTTCGAGTCGTGACGCGTTAATCTGCTGGCTGATCACACTTCCGCGTTATAATCCTGCCGTGGCCAAGTGATAATTACCATGTGACCTATCGAAAGATTGACGTTGTTGTACAAATGATACGAGTAAGGGTCCAAGTATTGTCTGGGGGAGGGTGGATGTGCCCAACAGTCCTTTGAACGGGGGATCTGCGTACCCGGGAGGAAAACGGTTTGTACTTTCTGGGAGCTTGGAAATGAAGAAAATGAGGAAGGTGAAATATATGGTGATGGGATGACAATTTCTGTTCCTTGGATTGCATCTTTAAAATACTTATAAAAATATAGTCCGTTGTTGAGTAGACTAGTAGTACTTTATGCTACATTTATGTGGTCTCTTGTGCTGTCGATCAATTTGTATTATTATGCGTTCTGTCGTCCCAAGTGCTGAGAGGTTTCAACAATTTCCACGTACAAAATAGAAACATGGACAGTCCCATCTCTTCTATAATTTTTATATGGAATAAATTAAAGAATTTTCTAGTCCCAGTATCCAGTGAAATACTTACCAAGTCACAGGCTTACTAGCCAATAGTGCGTGCCATGGTTTCAACGGCGCACCTGCTACAGTAACCACAAGCTGCTGTAGTGGGCGGCCATGCGCTAAGCAGGCATCTGCGACGGCACACCAGCATCAGAGGCCACGTTCGCCCCACTTTGGCACAGGCTCGAAACTCGAAACTCCAAAAACGTCCGTGACATTTTTGCAGAGCTGTCCTCGTCGACGCCGAGCCAACCCAATCCCCCTTTCGCTGGACGAATCATCATCACCGCCATCGGCAATAAGATTGCTGATACAACTATACAGCACCATATCTTGTGTGCATTGGCCGAGAGACTGCAGCGCGTTACTCTTCGTCCTGACTCGCGACCTCGGTTCCTGGCATCGACCGAGCCCAACAGCATCATCATGGTTGAGGCCGTCAGCAGCTCTGCGCTGCCCAATGGCAAGATCTCCGGACGCAGTATGAAGCAGACCAAAGCTCAGCGAAGCTTTTTCAAACGCGCCTTTAGCTTTATCGCTAGGTAAGTCGTGGCCATGTCGTCATCAGCAACGCTCACATGCTAACGGCCTTTGCAGAATAGCTACCTGGGCCACAATCCTCACAATCCTTTTCCGATGCCCGCAATCGCTCGAGGAATGCGACGAAACATCGCCATATATTTGCAAGCACTACTTCAAAGCTAAAAGCATTGTTGCTCCCCATGCGCGCCCGTACTACGACAAGTATGCCGCGCCGTATGTCGAGATTGCTCAGCCGTACTACGAGACCGTCCACACCAATGTTCTTGTGCCGACACAGAAGCTGGCTACTCGATATGGTGCACCTTTGGTTGAACGGGGCCAGAACCTCGTAGCAACTCAGTGGGAGTTGAATGGCCAGCCGCATCTTACTCGTCTCCAAGTTATCGCGAAGCTTCGACACGACCAGTTTGTCGCCCCCCATCTCAAAAAGGCCAACGAAGCTCTGGGTCCTTATATAACATCGGTCAAGGCGGGAACTGCCCACGCTCTGGAAGCCTATGGTGTGCCGGCCTATGAATTTGTGACGCCATACGCCGGCATGACATATGGTGCCGCTCGCCACGTCACACTGACAACCGTGGTTCCAACCGCCAACTGGGCATGGACTAGCACCAACAGCTTCCTTGATACGGCAATTTGGCCTCAGCTACGACTCGTGTACCAGGACAATGTCGAACCCCAGCTTGTTCGGATTGGGGAGCGCTTGGAACGATATCGGTCCAAGGCCAAGCTCAAAGTACTTCGGGAAAAGGCGTCCGCAAAGGAAGCTGAGACTAAAATGACGCCTCCCAAGGTCCAGACGGCGTCTTCATCTACCGAGCAGAAAACTACGACTGTTGAAGAGGTTGTCGAAACCACCGAGTCCCAAGAGCCGGAAGTGGACGATGCCGTGGAAGTTGAATCTGAGCCAGTTCAAGAGAGCCGCAGCAGCGAATCAGACACGGATACCGTTCACGAGGAGACCGAAACCAGCGTTGACGCGGCCGAGAACAAGAAGGGCGAGACTGACAGCCGTAAACAGACCCGTGAAATGGTTGCGGCCGACCTTGAGCAGTGGCAGAACAAATTTGCAGCACAGGCCGAAGAAGGAGCCGCAGACATTGAAGACCGAGTTGACCACATCTCGCGCAGCATGATTGACCATAGCGCTGCGACGGACGGCCAGAAGCTGGTAAACAATCTCGAATCCACCGCCGAAAACGAGACGAAGCATATCAAGGAGGCCATTGCTAGCATGATTGCTGGTGCTGAAGATCGTACCGACGAGTCTCAAATCGACGAAGCGTACGCCGTCATCCGCGCTGCAGGTGTTGCTATTAAGAAGAAGGCACAGGCTGTGCGAGCATGGCGACAAGAGTACGACCAGGAGCTGCAAGGCACCGTCTTGGCCATGGCTGATGTTCACTTCCAAATCCTCGAGGAGACACGCAGCCTGGCCCTGCAGCAGATTGGCATGAAGTGGGCTTGGACAGAGGGCATTACCTACGAAGACTGGGCCAAGTACCACGAGCTTAAGGGCACCTTTAATGAGTGGACTGAGGAGCTGAGACAACTCATTGTCACCAACCCCAGCCTCTTGGAAGCCCAGGAGGCCGCTGCCAAGGTTGAGGACGAGGCCATGGCCATTGCTTCGGATACCGCCAAGGATCTACGTCGCCTCAAGGATGTTGCGCAGTGGAAGATTGCCAACCGCGATTCTACGGACGAGTTCGATTTGGACACGCTGGAGCGTCTCAAGCAGGAAGCCATTGAGGCTGCCGAGGCCGCGCGCCTAGCAGCCGAAGCAGCAGCCGAAGCGGCCCGCATAGCAGAAGAAGAAGAGGCAGCTCGTCTCGCTGAAGAAGCTGCTGCTGCTGCTGCCGCCGCCGCCCAACTAGCAGAAGAAGAAGCTACACGAGCAAAGGCAGAGGCCGCTGAGAAAGAAGCGGCGGAAGCAGCGGCCGCCGAATCCGAGAGCGTCGCTGAGGATGATAAGGCTGAGGCTCATTCCGAAGGCGAGGCTACCGCACACATTGTCGAAAAGATTGTGGATCAAGAGACCCCCATTGACGCGCCTATCGGCGAGCACCCAGTCGATGTCGTTGAGGTAGAAGAGGACGATGCTGTTGCTGAAGAAAAGGCCACACAGGAAGACGAAGACAACACCCACGAGAAGAAGACTGTCACCGAGACCAGCCACGAAACAATGACGAAGACGGTTTCTCTCGGCGTAAACGAGACTCCTGATGTTGCCCAGCACGAGGAGCTGTAGCCGGGTATGACGAGATAAGAAAAAGAACGAGGCTGTACAGTGCATACGTTTGTCCTTTTTTGTGTATTTAGTTTGCATGCTTTTTATTCTGTTTTGTTTTTGGGCGTGTCTGGGACAACGCGGCGCAAATGCATGGCCGGTAGGATGAAGAGGATAAGAGGAGGAAGGGAAAAAACCGATGTACGCATATACGCATGTAACAATGATATGAATCTTTACTACGGCTGGTGATCTGTGACTTTTTGCTTGTCTGTGTTTGCTGCTCGCGTGCTTCATGTGCTCATCTCGCTGCAACAAGCATCCTTCGGGCTGTCGCGGCGCAGTTTGCGGGGAAGCCCTACCAGCGGTCAGGTTCCCCCAGTACGAAGGATCATTAAGCTGCTGCATGATGCAGATTACAGTTACTGCAGATTGCTTCTTTAACCCTCCCTTTAGTAAGTAGCAGCAATCACTAAAAAAATCTACGGCTCGTGCACATGAGGGCCAAGAGGAGACGAAAAAAAAAGCTCGGCAGCCACAAACGCCCCGTGCGCGAAACAAAGCACCAACCCACCACCCGCGGCTCACTCGTAGCATGTGGGCGGATCAGAGAGTTCTCTCGTACGGTGGCTTCCTGTCGCGTGCAGTAGTGGACTCTATTAATTCCCTATAATATGTATTTTCGTACCCGCAGTTGAAATGAACCAAATTGATACCATGAAAAAAAAACAACAGCAGCAAGGCGCGAGAGGCTCACCGTCTTCGTTTTTACGCCCGCAGCCTTGCCACGACGCCACTAAGCCAATCCTACATGAGCCACTGACGACAGCCAGGAAAAATGGCAGAAAATAACTACGCCCCATATACTAGTGTACTCTGCTGTAACTTGCGTGCTGCAGTAAGTTAAGTTAGCACACACTACTTGTACGCTTTGCTGCAGCCTGCCCCCCCCGCTGTACCCCGCTACTAGCGCTGTACTGCATTACGACAGCTGGCACCTGTTGGCCCGCCCTCTTTCTTTAGCGGGGCCTGCACCACTGAAGAACACCGAAAACGCCGCTAACAGACTGTCTGCGCGGAGCGTCAACCACTAAATTAGCGGAGTGAGGCCGCAGCCGCGGGGATTTTGACCCGAAGGCGGCCCCAACTTGCTTCTCATTCTTCTTCTTCCTCTTCTACAAAAAGCCCGCTTACCGCTGCCTCTTGTTTCCCTTCCTCCCGTTTCCATTGTTCCCCGGGGAAATGTCCATGGCCATTGCTTAACGTGGTTTTTGTCTTGTTTCCTTATCAATTGGCTTCGTCCGTACCTCAGTGTTCTATTCCTTTTGCTACGCGTCACATGGAAGCGAACACCACCACCAGCAAACATGTCGCCTACCGCTTTGCCCTCGTCCAACAACTCCCCGCCTTCATATCCCGACAATGAAAAGGCCCTGGGGTCTTCTGCTGACAAGAAGGCCGTCGGCATCGATTCGCCTGCAGGGCGCAGAGACTCGCTGACTGGCTCGACGCAGTATGACAGCACTCATCGCCAGCTAAAGTCCCGCCATATCCAGCTTATTGGTATTGGCGGCACCATTGGCACTGTCCTCTATGTGTGTGCTTGCTTTTTATTTATTTATTTTGCTACTACTGACAATGTCCGCCATACTGACTGTTGACGTCTAGGTGCAAATTGGTCAAGGCCTGCTCGCTGGCGGTCCCGGCAGCCTGTTTATCGCATTTAGCTTTTGGTGCACCGTCGTTCTCGCCGTCACCCTCTGCATAGCCGAAATGGTCACCTACCTCCCGATTTCCTCGCCCTTTGTTCGCTTCGCCGGCCGATTTGTCGACGATGCGCTTGGATTTGCTGCCGGCTGGAACTTCTTCATCTTTGAAGCTATGCTCGTCCCGTTTGAGGTGACGGCATGCAACATCATCATACAGTTTTGGACAAAGTCGATCCCTACAGCCGCCATGATTGTCATCATTATTTGCCTCTACGCTATTATCAATGTCGTGGGCGTCAGGTACTATGGCGAAACTGAATTCTGGGCGTCCATTGGCAAAATCATCCTCATCGTCGGCCTCATCTGCTTCACCTTTGTCGCCATGCTTGGCGGCAACCCACAGCACGACCGATTCGGCTTTCGCTACTGGTACACCCCTGGCTCTTTCAAAGAATACTACAAGACAGGAGGTCTTGGAAAATTCCTCGGCTTCATGCAATGCCTGATCCAAGCAGCATTCACCATTGCCGGCCCAGATTACGTCTCCATGGCTGCTGGTGAAACCGCCAACCCGCGCAAGGTTCTACCTCGTGCCTTCAACGCCGTCTTTTACCGCCTTACCGCATTCTTCATCCTGGGTTCCCTCTGTGTTGGAATTCTCGTCCCGTACGATGACGACAAGCTAAGCCGCGCCTATAAGGAGGGCGAACCTGGTGCAGCAGCCTCGCCTTACGTTGTCGCCATGCGCAGGCTTGGGATTAGTGGTTTACCCGATGTTGTTAATGCTGCCGTCTTAACTGCTGCCTTCTCAGCTGGCAACTCGTACGTCTACTGTGCCTCTAGATCACTCTATGGTCTGGCTTTAGAGGGTAAGGCTCCCCGCATATTCTCAAAGTGCACGAAATCTGGCGTACCCATTTACTGCGTTGCTGCTGTGCTCTGCTTCGCGCTGCTGGCCTTCTTGCAGCTTTCCTCCGAGGCTGCTGTGGTCCTCAAGTGGTTTGTCTCGCTCGTTACCGCCTCACAGCTTCTCAACTTTGCAACCATCTGTCTTTCATACCTCTGCTTCTACAAGGCACTCCAGGCGCAAGGCATCAGCCGCCAAAGCCTTCCCTACAGGGCCTGGTTCATGCCTTACGCAGCGTACTATGGAATGGCGTGGACTCTTGTAATGGCTTTTGTCGGTGGCTATACTGTCTTCTTACCCGGAAACTGGGACGTTCCCAACTTCCTCTTCTCGTAAGTGCCCTAATGTCTGTCTTTGGTTTGGATTGGACCAATACTTATCAACAAAATAGGTACACCATGATTGCCGTCTTCCCTGCACTGTACATCGGATACAAGATTGTGAAAAAGACCAAGATCAACACCCCCGAGCAAGTCGATCTCCATAAAGATCTCGAAGAAATCGACGAGCACGAGCGAACATATGTTGCCCCTCCCGTCGAGTACGTACTGCCAGATTGCTTGAATCAATCCGCCCTGCTAACAGTTGTCTCTATTAGATCTCGATTTGAGCGCATTCTCGATACCCTGTTCGGTTAACTCTGGTTATCCAAACACACAAACACGAAAGATACCATCTATACATACACGCAATAGAAATAGAAACGAGATACCCCCATATAGCAATAGCGAACTGCTGTTAGATCACCTGTCTGTACATTTTATGTGCTATTTGTATATCATTGCGTAGGAGTAAGTAGACGATGCTATACTTCAGAAAGGCTGAATGCCCTGGCTTATAACGACCTTGCCGACATCAGCATCTCTCCCTCCCTCAATAACCTGTCTTATAAGAGTGCCTCCCAACGCCGGATCACCAGCACCAAGCTCCTTCAGCTTTTCTCGCGTACCGCCCAAGTTGGTTGCGAGCCAACCAGGATTCACACTCCATACCTTGACGCCATCGTTCTTGAGGGTCCAGTACCAAGTAAGCATCATCATGTTTAGACCTGTTTTGCTTGCCCTGTAACCATGCGGGCTAATGCTTGCTGACTTGGGCCATCCCGCTACTGGTGGTTGACCAGGATAATATCCCTTACTCAACGTTTCTAGCTGGGCAAGGCCACTAGAGAGAAAGAGAAGGCGGGGATTGCTAGACTGGCAAAGGAGCGGAGCAAGCGTAGAAGTCAAAATGTGCGCTCCAGTCACATTTACATCATACATCTTGTTCCAAGCCTCCCTCAACGTATATTGTCCGGTAGAGACGCGGTTCTCGAGAGAATGACCTGTTTCTTTAGTTAATAAAAGACATATAGAGATGTAAAGTATTACAGAATTGTCGTACCTGCGTTGTTCACCAGTACATCAAGACGCCCTGGACCCTGATTCAACTTCTCGAAAGCAGCATTGATGTAATCATCACTTGAAACGTCAATCTCAATCACTTCAATAGAACTAGATGACTCAGGTGTTTCATCTCGTAAAGTTGTCGCTGCCTGATTGCCATTGTCGATGGATCGACTGCCAAGATAAATATAGTAAGGCCGTGAGGACTTTAGTAAGGCTCTTACTGTCTCGTAGCCGACGCCGCTATTTGCTCCCGTGATAAAAACAATGGTATGATCCTTGGTTGCCATGATGCGAGAATGTCGGTAAGAAAAAGAATAGTTGTGATTTTTCGTGATGTTGATAGGGATGGAATCGTGTTGGCTGGCTGTCTCGCGTGGTGTATACCCCGCCTGCAGACACAGCTGCTCACAGCCTGATTTAAACTGTCCGAAGTTTTCCATGAATTGTGTTGGTGTATTTGATAGAGTATAATCAGTGTCCAATCGAAACTGTTGAAAAAGAAATGATAGAAGTTTTTTTTCTATATTAACCAAATTATGTACAGTACAAATGCACAAAGATTGTATCCAAAGGAAATTATCCAAACCACTCCACCAATAAATACTACACTCTTACTTGGAGTTGAGATTCTTCGCTGGGCCATTCTCAAGAACGTGCCCTCTCTCCAGTCTCAGCATCCAAGAGGCGTCTTCAACAGCTTCCAGCCTGTGGGCAATTGTTATCACGGTACTTTGCGCCAACTCCTCGCGGAGAATTCGTTGCACCATGGCGGCAGTTCCGCGATCGATAGACGCCGTTGCTTCGTCTAGAATAACCAAGCCGCTTCGGCGAAGAACCGCACGACCAATGCCAACCAATTGGCGCTGACCTTGACTGAGATTCTTGCCACCAGCATCAATACCAGAATTCAAGCTCCATTCAGGACCAAGAACCCGGTGGATCGCGTTCTCACAAGCCTCATCAGAGAACTTGCCTTCTGGGTCAAGATTGTCTCGAAGGGTTCCTGGGAAGAGGATAGGGTCCTGCTGAATAAACGTGACACGGTTTCGGAGAGCAGTACGGTCGATCTTGGAGAGATCCATCGAGCCGATCTTGACAGTGCCGTTGTGGGGTAACTGTGTGGCAAGAAGTGCGTTCGCAATGGTAGATTTCCCGGATCCAGTGCGACCAAGGACAGCGCATGTTGAGCCGCCTGGAATGGTCAAGGTGATCTTGTCCAGAACCGATGGAAGACCATCATCATAGCGGAATGACATTTCCTCAAACGTTACATCATCACAAGGTCTTGGCCAATCCTCAGGTGGCTCTTCGCCTCCCTGAGGCTCAGCAGGGATGCGATTAAGCATGTTGACACGCTCAAGGGACACGGCATCAAGCTGAAGCTGAGCAAATCGTTCACAGAGCTGCTGAACAGCAGCCATGGCGATCGTCGTCTGGGTGAGAACGAAACCAACAGCTGCGGCAGCGGTTTGAAGATAAACCATGAGCACAACAAGAGCTGCGCGCATAATGGCCGAAGACATAGAGAGACGGAAATCAAGCCAAAAGGCCATGCTCCAGAAGAAATGATCCTGCTTCTGGAAGTCATCAACGGCTTGAAGATGACGATCTTGGAAGTGGTGGGAGCCGCGCATGGCGCGGATGGTAACTAGACCATCCTGCATAACACCAATGTTGGCAATGATGGGTGTGAGGTATCGCATCTCCATGCGGCGAAGGCAACGAGAGGCAGGAACGTAGGTGCGGAAGAAGAACATGAACATGCAAGCGACGACAAAAATGATGACCAGAAGAATAGGCTGGTGGGTAGCAATGGCAACGATGCTCATGATGAGAGAAATCAAGTTGAAAACGAAGCCTTCAAGCGGCGCAAGGATGCCACCATCAACCATACCCATGTCGGAGATAAGACGATTCTTAAGCTGGCCAGTCGGGGTAATATCCTGGTAACGGAATGTCGCTTGGCTAACTTTATCAACGGCAATCTTGAAGAGCTGTTGAGCTGCATTGACACTGATTTGAGCTAGAAGCACCTGGGCGATACCATACGATATGATTTGACCGGCAGAGAGACCAGCGAGAGCCAAGATCCAGGACTGCGGGTAAAGGTCGCTGTCTGGGAGTCCCCAGTAGCCACCTCCACCAACACCGGCGGTGTTGCTTCCCCAGGCCTCTAATAGACGGGCACGAGCGACGTCGCAGAATCGTGATACACCATAAGCAGCAGCAAGCAGAAGCCAGAGATGCCATCCACCTGCAGCCATGTAGCTGATGTAAACAGTCCATGAGACACCACCAGTTTCAGATGGTTCCTCGGGAGCTTCCTTGATTCCACTGATGTCGTCCTCATTGACATTTTGAGTGTGCTCGGCCTCATCATGCGAGCCAGAGGCAGAGTCAGCATGGTATGGGTGCAAGAGTTCTTCGTCAATTTCCTCACGGGTGAGAACCTTTGTTTGACCGTCCTTGATATCTACAACTTGCTGAGCAATACGCAGAACCAGATCATCTCGATGCGTAACCATGACAATAATTCGGTCCTTCGCCAGATCGCCCTGAAGGAAGCGACGGACAATCGCGGTTGCGGTATCATGATCGAGAGGCGCTAGAGGATCATCCAAGAGAAGAATACGGCACGGGCTATAAACAGCTCTTGCTAGAGCCACTCTGGCCTTCTGACCTCCTGACAGACCAACACCGCCTTCTTCAAGCTTGTATTGATCGCCGTCGGCGAAGACAGCCAAATCCGGTGCCAAAGCACAAGCTGTGATGGCTTGCCTGTATCTTTCAGCATCAAATGGATGGTTGAAGATGATGTTTTCACGAATTGTCTTGTTCTGTAACCAGGGTAGCTGCTGAGCGTACGCAATAGGCTCGTCAGGGACGGTCAATGTGCCTTGGCGTAGCTCCATTTCGTTGAGGGCGGACAACAATAAACTAGACTTTCCAGCCCCGACCTTGCCTCGGACGACCGTAAGTCCAGTACCAAAGGTAAGGTTGATATCGCTGAGAACGATGGAATCTGTCGAGGGCCAGCTGAAGGAGGCATCGTGGAAGGTGATATCTTTTGCAGCCGCAGAGAGTGTAGAAGAGACATCTCGGTCAGGTTCATCCATGTACTTGTGTACACGTTCAATAGGAATTGTTGTTTTCCAGAATGCAGAAATGAGATCAAATGCTTCCTTGACACTGGCTTCCAGTTGACTGAAGAGCTGCAGCGAGGGCCAAATGACATCGTTGGGGAGACCCTTCTTGAGAATGATTGTGAACAGACAAATACTGGCGAGGGGGTATGTAGTGCCACCCATGACGTTAAGTGTCGAAATAGATGCAGTAACGTAGGCAATCTGAAGACGCTTGAACATTTCCATGGCTCGGAACTTCATGATGCGGTCTGCCCATGACTTAGTCCAGCCATTGAGCTTGAGCGGCCGGCTTGCTTCGACAAAGTGGGCAACGGCTTGTGCTCGCTTATCCGAATGGGCAGTCCTTTCTCTCTCCAATCGGATGAGCTTTTTGACCAAGAAGGAGTTGACCGTGAAGAAGAGCAGCATTAAGCCAAAGCCGATAGAAGATGGCCAGCCCATGATATCGACGAGGTAGTACATTGTGAATATGATTTTGACAGGCTGTGAGACAACACGGGAAAAGTCCCAGAAGCGTTGAGAGATTTCGTACGTGTCTCCACGAACGAGATTGACAACTTTGGCATTGGATGCGGGCTGAGAAGGAGCAGCAGTTTCAATCTTTTGCTTGCGGTGAAACATTCGGCGCCACAGTTTTGTGAACGGGTTACTAGCTGGAGCTTCGTCGTCCTCAGTAGGAGCCTCGAGCGGACCCTTCTCCGTCACATCTGATCCTGGAACGGCTCGGGTGAGGAGCTTACTGAAGAGTCCGATAAAGGTCTCACCTCTGGATCGCTCATACGACTTGCGACAGTACCAAGATGAGGTCGTTTTAGAAAGCTGGCGGATAGCATCGACAAAGAGCATGACAGCAGACCAGTACAGAGCTTCAGTGGGGTCACCCTTATCCAGACCTTGGTAGAGTTTGCTTGTCAGTCTGATATTGGTGACTTCGAGGACCTTTTCGGTGATTGCCAGGGATGTAGAGATGAACAGATCGAGGCCATTAGCCTCGATCAGACATGTAAGTAGTCGACCTTGTAGCTCTCTAAACGCCATGTACAGCCTGGTATGCTGGAAGTCAAATGGAAGCTGCCAAACATCCTCTTCCACAATGTCGCGAGAAAGTGAGATTTTAGCGAGCGGGTTTACCCACATCATGGTCCAGAACTTGAATAGAGACAAATTGTCTTCGGGGCTGCGAGAGTGGAAGGAGGGTGGCTTGCTAGAATTGCCAATGTCTGAATCATCCCAGGACGGGTTTCTAAGAGGCATGAGAATGATGATTAAAATGGCAGCAAATGATAGTGCAACGCGCGCAAGATCGATTGGGTCGATGATTCGGAGTGTTTTGTTCAGAAAGTGAACCGAGTAGATGGCGAGGTCGGTGAGCAGCATGAGAAAGTATTGAGCGAGCAGAATCTTGGGGGCCTTGGTCGGCCGTTGGACAATGGTAATAACCATCACGGAGAACCATGGCACCATATTTAAAATGTTGACGTATCTCTGTGGTGCTAGGACAATTGATATGATGGATAATGTCGAGCCAAACGCACCAGTCAAAAGGAGGAGCATTGTCCAATAGGTCCATTGTCTGCGAGTGACTTTGGCCGGTGGCTCTTCTGGCGCGAATGGAAGAAGCCATAGAGGCAATCTCTTTTGAATTTGGGCACTCAGGAAATAGATGAGTGCGGATAAAATAGAAATCGCGGCGATGGAATACATCAAGGTTGCCTCAGAGTCCTTGGGGCAATCACCGCCGTGGATGGTGTCGTTGCCAGACCAGCCAAATTTAGGCATTGGATACTGCCCGACCGGCTTGTAATCCATGTAGGCGTAGGGATTGGCGTTTGCATTTTGTAGGTTAAAGACCGTAGAGGTAGATTGAAGCATCGTGTCGGCTGGGGCTACGGGAGCCTTGCTAGCACCACGGACTGAGTTGGCACTAGGTGAGTCAGATGAGGCTTGTCATAGACACTGATGTTGACTGATGAGACTATCCAAAATGGGAACGGGGAATGTTTGGAGAGCGGCCGAAAGTGTCCAAGCTTCGCTGGGAAATTTGTGTCCGACAGCTCGAGGTGGTTGGGTGAGGAGAAATTAAGATTGACCGGCTTCGACAGGCGAGAAAAGGCGATTGTAGGCTGCGATGCACGGGTGGATGGGCGCGCCAAACTTTGCAAACAAAGTTTTAAGCGCAAAAGTTATCGACAACCTTCAGAATGACCGCCAATGGCAACCCTTCCAAGCAATGTGCAAAGGAAGAAGTCAGCCAGAGCAGGGTCGTGGGAAAAGCGATGGAGTTTCGGTCAATGTTGCACTGCACGCAAGCCAACTGGCCAATAGGCTACTGGCTACAGCTTGAGTGGTAGCCAAAGGTGGGGGGCTATTCCCCGCCGTTGTCTGCATTTGGGGTAGCGTTGTAACATGAGAGCCCACAATCTGCAGAGGTTACACAGGGCGCCACAATGGGAGCTTGGGAAGGAGCCACCGCCTCCCCGCGCCTTCCTCCACAGTTTTTAAAGCCGGCCGGCTCAGGGTTCGCTTACAGTAGTAATAAGTATGCTCGGAGGGCTTTCGGAGATGGCTTTTCAGAGTATCGGACAAGACTATGGAGTCAGATTAGTATTACTGCATGTCTTAAAATAAAAAAAAACAGTTTAATGATTTCAAGGAAACCTAGTATTCAATTTTACAGTCTTCAGGCTTCATTTTATTCATTATATCTGTCGGGCCCTACAGCTAACTACACTCTACTTCAACAAAGACCATAACCTAGTACTAGAGACAACAGATAGTGGCATAGTGTCCACGCCTTTACTTATTTCCCCGCATAGCTGCAATTGTAAATAAAATTGTGCAATATTGACGTTGTTTTTTTAATTGCAAATAGTCAAATCTATATATACTGTCTTTTCACATCTGCGACTATTCGGGCGACTGTAGGAAACCCCAAGGGCTCGAATTCTGGGCGGCTGCTTTGTCACTTACAAAATGACAACAGCTCCAATCAGAGCAAAGAATGCGCTACCAATGACGGTACCAGTTGTTGAGCCAGCCATGGGCCATGCTTTGAGTCCAGCGGCAGCATTTTTGGATCCTGTGGTGCTTGCGGCTGGTGTCGTTCCAGTCGAGGAGGTTCCATTGTTTCCAGACGTCTTGGAGCCACCGAGAAGGCCAGTAAGCTCGGAGTCAGAGGTGAAAGAGATTTGTACGGAACTGGCATTCTTGCATGAATCGGGAGGAGCTTCTGAACCCTTGACAAAGTTGGCGGCAACGCACTAGCGAATTGTTAACATTATATGTCAATCGTTGAAAAATATGCTTACTTGGAATAATAGACCATCGACGGCCTTGGATACAACACTCACGACGCCTTTCTTACCGACCCAACTGGAAGGAATCTTGACCTGAGGATTGCAGTACGCTCCCAATCCGCTCTGCTGGACAATAGGATAGATCTCCTCCCAGCCACTCTGGGCGGTGGCGTCAGTTGTTGCGCGGAAGAGCCACGAGCTTTGAGGATGTGTGAGCTTGAGAGCAATGGCCTCTCCGTCAACATGAAAATCAACCAGGTCCTTGGTCAAGTCTGGAACGACACCACCACAAGGACCTGTACCCTCATTCTTTTCCTCGCTGGCGATAGGCTTGGGGTAAACAATCTCAAAATGAGCGGAAGCAAGACCGCAGAGCGCGGTAAGGGCAAGGATGGATCGCATTTTGTAAAGTTGTGTGCTGCTGAATGGATTGATGGCAGAGGTGAGACGGGGTTGTGTAAATGACGACACAGAGAAAGGGCAGGCCCATCTATTTATTGGAGAAGCAGCTTAATACCAAAGCTTTGGAACCTCGCTAATGGGTCTGTCTGGCTGCACTGAGCAAGATGTTGCGGCACTCGGCACCTGAATTTGGTGGCGTACGGCTGGCACGCAGCGCATCACAACATTGGCAATCTAATTCCGTCTCTATTGCTTGCCATACCGAATGCCGCATCAAAGTCAAATCAATTTTAAGTAGAGTATTTCCCAATTCTTATTTTCTGCAAAGGCTCTATTTTTTATTTCTTGCCAATTTGGCACTGCCAACCAGCTGTCAACTCTTGCGCACCAGTTGCCAACTGCAAGCCCGGCCGCCACGCCACACCAAGATGTTAGTTGCGCCGGTTTGAGCAAGTTTTCTGATACGGGCGCTGACCATTCTTCCGGTCCCCGCAATGCGCTAAGAGGTGTCAAAAGGCATAGCTAACGGTCGTACAAGAGCGAATTCTTCAAACAAATATTTCAAACAGACTCATCAGCTGCAACACGGCTGGATGTTGCCGACTTTGCCGTGTTAGGATTCTCTGTCAACCTTTGCGCCGGTAAAGGAAGCACAGCACATCTGAAAATAACCCTCCTAGAGAAGATAATAGACCGGCTACACTATATTGCTGTGTCCGCTGTCGTTGAGAATATTCCAACCCCAATCGCATCGTTTTTATCGCCGTCTCTTAGGGCATCACCTCGACCACCAGCACTCTAACCAGCGATACATTGCGAGAATCCCAACATCAGAGGTTCTCAACACCTCCTATATACAAAATGGATATGGATATGGGACACATGCATAACATGGGCGTTGGCTCTGATGTAAACCATGCCTTTGCCCAAGATTACTGGTATATTGCGTGCAGTGTTCTTGGTCTACTGACCGCTATTCACGCGGTGAATCAATACGGAAATTACTCTAGGTATGGAAATTCTGTTGCTATAGAACACCTATAGCTAACAAGTAACTTATAGACTTCGATCATGTTCGAATCCGGCAGCATCTCAACCAACTGTTCCGAACGGCCGCTTCACACAAGCCTGGGCCACGGCGACGGCCATAATCCGCGAAATCAAACACCCGCAGTACTATGTTTCCTTAAATGGATTTAAATGGGCGACACCACCACCTCTTGGACGAATTTTGACCTTATTTTGTTATTGGGCAGTCATCGTATATTTTATGTCATGGAACGTCAGCATAAAGGACGCGCTCTATTGGGAGCGCATTGGTTTCCGCAATGCTTGGGTCAGCATATGCCAACTTCCGATGATATATTTGCTTGCAATGAAGTTTAATCCGGTAGGATACTTGATTGGAAGCAGCCATGAGAGATTGAACTGGCTTCATCGCTGGGTCAGCCGCACCATGTTCATCACTGCCACTGTGCATGGATGGCACTTTTGGACGGAGTGGGTGCTTGCTGATTTTGTCGAGTATGAGTTACAAATCATGCCTCTTGTTAAATACGGTCTAGCTGCATGGGGAGTACTTTTGTGGACGGTGGTTGTTGGATTTCTACCCCTTCGACGTCTGTCCTATGAGATCTGGCTAGTCCAACACATCGTATCTGCCGTTGTTATGCTTTGGCTCTTGTATGAACACATCCCACAAGAGGCAAGGTATTTACTTTGGATGTCGGTTGCCATGTTGGTGGCAGATCGTCTTGCAAGATGGGTTAACCTTGCTTTCCAAAACATCAGACTCAAGGCTGCAGAATCAACCTGTATGCGCAGGCAACTCCTGGGCCACAGCGTTTCTGCCCAATCCATTGCCCCCAGTACCACCATATTGACTGTCAAAGATGTACACTTTAGATGGAAGCCTGGTCAACACGTCTATCTCTGGATCCCCAGGCTTGGGCCTTTTGAAGCCCATCCTTACACCATTGCTTGTGCCCGCCAGATTGATAGCGAATGTTGCTGCCACAGCATCCAATTCATTGTTCGCACCCACGGCGGATTTTCAAAGTGCATAAACGCATACGCTACAGCAAATCCGGAAAAGCCGTTGACAGGGTTTCTATCTGGACCTTATGGTACGCCCGCAAACTGGGACGCCTATGAAACTCTTGTGCTCATTGGCGCATCTACGGGAGCAAGTTTTACGATTCCAATCTTGGAGGCAGTAGTGCGAAAGACTAAATCCAAAACTTGTGTAAGGCGTATTGATGTGGTTATACTTGCGAAAACATCCGAAGAAGTGCGATACTATGCCGAGCGTGGCCAAGGTGCCGCCCGAGAAGCTCTCACAAACGGAATCGACGTTAGAATACACATTGCGATTACAGGGATGAATCGATCTGAGAGCAGCACGCCTTTAGTAAGACACAAGCGTGTGCTGTCTTCCGATTCCTGCTGCTGCGCAGTTGTGGAAGATGATTCTTCTGGTGGTGATGAAAAGGAGATGGCCACCGAGCAACTGAGCAGCGGTGAGGACAGCGACACGACAGTCCATGAATACAATAACCGACCAGATATCATGGCTCTCATCCGAGATCCCGTTGAGGCAGCCTGGGGTGAAACTGCTGTGGTAGTTTGCGGTGGTAGAGAGATTGTAGCGGCAACGAGAAATTGTGTAAGCCGCTTGAGCGACGAGCGAGCAGCGCACAAGGGCACAGGCGCACAGGGGATTTACCTGCATGTAGAAGAGTATTCGTTTTAGACAGTTTGAATCCCAGCATTTTCTACTCTATTCAACATTCTTCAATCGAACTGACAGAAGCCGCCGAATAATCCGGATCAAATTGGGCGGGCATTACTTGATGATAACCTGTGATCGCGACGTTGCGACGTCAGTTGTTCCACGCCCACCCCACCATTAATGAGACGGTAACATCGGCAGCTGATGAAATTCCCGGACGTTCTCGAGACATTTTATGCCTTTAATCCCCAGATTCAATTAAAAATAGGCACTGTTGAAGCACAACCGCGGCCAGTCTGTACGATGGGAGACCCAAGCCAGGCCCCTTCTCCGCCGGGGCGAGAGGCATACCGAACCTTCTTCCGTCAAAGTTTTTCTCCCGAGCCCACAAACGAAATATTCGAAATTGCACTGAATCTCAATAGAATAGCTGCCAATATCAAATGTTCTATTCGCTACACGCTCACAAGGATCTTGGGGGTCATTCAAAGAAACAGCACGTCATACGATCCTACCACGACGAAAAGACCCCGCGATTCCTGCTCAAGTCTACACCCTTAACCGCAAGAGGGGCGATGAATTCGCATCATCCCCAGACTACGGTTGGAGCCGTGCTGCGTGGCCTAGCATGGATGGCAGATGTTGCGGCGATAGTTGTTCTCGGTTATGTGGCTCACGCGTGGCCTGCAAATGCAGGTGTAGTAGCCTCTGGATTAATAGCAGTAAGTTGAGTTTTCTATTTGTGGTTTGTGTCAGTCAACTCAGAGGAAGCTAACGGATTACAGGCTGCAATTGCAATGCTGAATGATAGCTGGCAGATGATTGCCGTGATAGATCGATACTTTACATTCCCAGCCATGCCTCCTGGCCGACTGTTACTGCATGACGGCATATGCCTTATCACGGCGGCCAGTGGAGTTGCCATGATTGTATTCATGGGCGGAGAGACAAAAGAACATCATGATGTCTTCCCTTTCAACGGAGAGATCAAAGTCAGCGCACAGCCTAGCGAGCAGCCACAAAGCATCTTTTCAGAAAAGGATTTGCTGGCCAAGGGCGTCTGGCTCATATTTTCCATCATGTGAGCCACATTTAAATCTCTATTTCATCCGTTTTGAATACTATACTAACCAAAAGCCAGCGCGTTTCGAGTGCTATTCATCGCATGGTCCAGCTACGACTGCATGCTTCTTTACCGAAGCTTTCCTGGCGGCTATCGCCCGCGGCTACGTGTTCCAATTTAAAGCGACCATAATAACTACAAAGACTCTTTTTCTCATCTTTCAAGGCGCATAATGGGTTTGGCGTTTGTTTGCGTTTTGGACTCTACAGCATATATGCATACGGCTTTGGCCGCTGTTTGGAGCCAGCATGCTGATGGCTATGAAAGCCGGTTTTTGGCCTATTTAACGGCCGATATTGCCTGTGGCGCTTAAATCAATGATATAATTTGCTTAAGCAAAGTGGAAAAACTCCAACGTGATTTCTTTACTATGCGCTGTCCTGCACTAGGCCACGGTTACTGGCCATGGGCCCATCTTGCCACCAATTAGTACATGGACTCGCCACTTTCGATATTTCATTGTTCTATTTTTGAACACAATGGGAACAATCTGCGACCGCCAGCCCTGGAATTTTGCTGGATGCGTGGCGGCGGGTTACCGATCGGGCCGCTGCGGGAGCTGCTCAGAGCCAATCGACGGCGGATATAAGTGGCAACGGGGGTGAGGAGGCGCGACTATTCTCGTGAGATCCAGGGGCGTGCGAAAGGTTCCGTAGATTTGGTACCGAATCAAGAATCGCGGAGGTTGGGATGGCAGGGTTGTCGTGAAACGCGGCGGTTAGGGTCGCTGTGATGGGCCGGCGCTTATTGTTAAGCAGAGGGGTGGGCGTACGCTGGTGGTATACCGCGCTGTAGTGCATTTCGGGTATAACACTAATAAAAACAAGTTTCACCTATTTGTTGGCAATCATTGAATTCGGACGCATGTTAACTGAATCGGGCTCTCAGGTGTGAATAGCAGTCGCCCCAAATCGTAGACGTCGGGATCGGCCCGCGATCTCGCCCCGCCGAAGTTGACTGCGTCGCATCCACCGTATATCGTAATGTACGGTCCGATCAGATCCGCGTTTTTATATTCTGTTCAAAGCATTCTGTACACAAGTAAACTTATTGTAAAGCTTGTTTTGTAGGTGAAAATTTTGGAATTATTTTGCTTTATTTTTATGTCCATGATTAAAGAGTTCAGCCAAGTCAAGCGACTAATACCATTTGTCCATTCGCACCTCCAACAGCCACGCTCCCACAACCACACGTAATGCTTTGTACTATGCCGTGAAAAAAGTATTACGAAACTACGATTATACAATCATGAGTTACATAATCTGCTCAAATGGCGAAATTTATCAGCAGACGAAGGGCGCTGGCGGAGTGTTCCCCGGCGACGGCGAGCCTATGCCAGCCCACCCCCATGAACAGTGAGGTGGCAAAAAGACCCAGCTAACCTAGTCTCATAAGCGTTCTGCGTGCCGTTTCGGAATTGGAGATGGGTTGGGCACACTGCTTAAGGGATTTGACGGTCTCGTGGTACGAATGGGATTTGTGGAGAAGGGAGCTTGACAAGGCAGACTTGGCAAGTTGGGCCGTGTTGGCGAGACAATTGTTGAGAGCGTCAAACTGTTAGAACATGTATATAGAAATTAATAGAAGACATTCTAATATTCACACCCTCATGTAACGAGAAATAGAGTAGCTGCCCAATATTAGCGCCTCTCAAAGGTGGCGACCCCAACGCATTGGCCAGGTAGAGCATCCACCGTCCGAGTGCGACTTTGCCGCTTTACCAGAACAGGTAAGAAGTTGCAAGATGGAGTTAAGGCATCAATAAAGTCTCAGCGTATTGAGACAAGATCCAGGTTGCCACCTGCTACGGCCGTGCAGATTCCGCGGCCGCGTCACTCGTGTAAGTGCACGCGGGTGTGCTGGGGCTCCTTGGGCTGCCCTAGTACGGGGTGGTGACATAAGCCTAGTACGCGTCTCTCTCTCTCTTAGACGGCGATCCCGTCCTTGATATGGTAACACCGGATGCGAACCATCTCGATGCAAGCCTCAGCTGGCCTAGACCACCGGGGGACTCAGAGGAGCCCAACGGCTGGGGCACAGCACAGGCCACTCGGTATGTCACAGGGCAACCGCAACTGTTTGCTGCTCTTGGGCAGTGATCTACTTTGATACGAAGGATACTGGCCGGGTGTTTCATGCCGGGATGTGACATCTCTCCGAGCTTGGCTGCCCGTTGAAGCAGTGGGTGGACTGACTGCTTGGCGCGACATGCAGCTTGGACCTGGCATGGGCGCTCGAGGCTCAGCTGTCTGCAGAAGAGGGCTCCAAGGGGATTGGTCCAAAGTGCTCCACGCTAAACTGCATTAGTACCATTGCCACGTGGGAAAGGGCCTACTTGCATTGCTGATGGCGGGCCGGTGCGTCCCAAGTCGCCGATGATTGGTGCGCCTCAGCTTCTCTTGGTACATCTTTGCTCAGCAAACTGTAGTTATAACCTCACGAAATTGTATTCCTAAGCTCGGGAGTTGAGACGGTTCCCAATGTTTCCTCATACACACCCTTGTCTGCCTAGTTGCCTTTTGGCTTGCAAAGTATTTAGCCCACCATCTCGTCTAATGGTGGGCGATGCATGCATGACGGGCATTCTGGACCTGCTCGTCTTGTTTCATCATGCCCTCAGTGCGGCACCGCTGAGAATCCAGCGGGCATACCGGTGCTTAGCTTGCCGACCATAACGCTGGGAGGGAGCTCACGGCACCGAGTCTGAGGCTGAATTAATGGACAAGGCTACGGGCGGAGAGCAATGGTGAAGGTGTGGCACAGCCGCCAGGGGAATGTTGGGGCTGTGCCCGACTAGACGAGGGCCTGAGGCAGCACCTGACAACTTTTAGTGCCTCGCAATAGAGTACAGTACCCGTCCGGCCACTGTAGCGGGAGCCGGCTGCCGGCGACACGTCTGGCCAACGCAATTGAGCAAATGACGACATGCGACCATTGCAAAAAGAGAAAACCAAGGAAGCGACATTTTGTAAAGTGAGGCGGTTAAAATGGATTCAAAAAGCATAGAGAATAGCGATCTTGACCATCGAAATGCCAATAAAATGACGTCAGAACACAGAATCCCATCACCCGACACGCGGGATTTGAGTCAGTGGTTCGCGTTCTTCGCAAAAAAGCGTTGGAGGGTCTTGTTGTCCCCGCCATTTAGTGGAGGACTGCAACGGGAGCAGCCGTTGAACAATATGGGAAACCAACGACTTCCAAGGAAGTGGTAGGGTGTGCCAATTGAGTTTTGGGGACTAGCGTTTGGTGGCGCCCAAGCTTTCCCGTGTTGGTTGATCGCAAAGCATGACAGTTGTGCACTGAAAACACCCCCAAATCCCCATGCGGTCAGGGTAAATGCAAGCAAAAGCGGCAGGTGTGGAAAAGAGAAGCGCCATGATGATGATGATGGTGGTGGTGGTACGGCGCGGGAAGCCAGAACACACCTACGTCAGCGGACAACTGCCACTAAGAGAAACACGACGTTTGGGGGCGCCATCTCAGGGTCTGTCGCACTCGCACTCGTCAATCCAGGGCTGCAGCAAACGGGAGCAGCAAGCGGCAGCCCATGGCCCCTCCGTCTCCTTTGAGCAAAATTGGTGGCTTGTTGGTAAAGTGTGACTTGCGTTGACTACCGACGCCCGAGCGCCATCTCTTGCTGGATTCGTCAAGGTCAAAGACAGGCAAGGGGGAGGCCTCGTGACTTGCGTCGCCCACCGGTAGGGTTTTTTGTTATCTCGCCTGTAACTGCAACTACGTCAGAGCCTGATGAGTATTGTCTCCGTGCCTATTTTCTAAGTCCCACGCATTGCGCGTGTATGCACTAACTGATACTAGCATGAAATGTCTACTGCAGTCAGGATGCATCATGGATGGTGTTAGCAGCAGTGGGTTCTGGCTCGGCATCGACATTGAAACGCGAGGAGATCGTAGCCGTTTGCACTGCCTCTTTCGCGGAGACTTCAACCTCTGCTGCTTTTGAGGCTCTCGATAGCCGATGCAGCATGCGTTCCTGGCGATGGAGAATGAAATGGCGCTGGGGCCGGAGGCTGAGGCTGCTAATCGAGCGGGTGGTGAGATTTGCACTGCCTGGCTGAGGATGGGTTTGGGGTGGCTATGGTGCTTTGCCTGTGGGTACAGGACAAGGCGACTCGGCGGGACAGAGATCGAGAGAGGATCCCTGGCTTACACGGATGTGTTCTGCCCCCCACGAGACGAAACAAAAAATCGAGAGAATGAAAAAAACGACGACGTATGCGCGATTAACATGAAGGAGGGTGTCGTGTGATTGGAAAATAGAATCTTGTGGAAATCAAAGAAAATTTCAATCGACACCCTTGTCAAAGGAAAAAAAAGTGAGGCGGCGGCGTAGAAGAACAGCCAAAAAGGCATGATTCCATTGTCTTCCACTGTCAAGACGACGCCCTTGGTGGACGCGCGCGCATTCGCATAGCGCAGCTGCAGGCAAAAGCACAAATGTCAAAAAATTGACATTGCAACCCTCTCTTTTTCCCAATTCAGTAATATGCTGTTCTCCTGCATGTCTACGGGCGGCGGCTGCTAGTTTACTGTACATGGGCCAGAGATCAACGAACGTCCCGGGCGAGTGACTCAGGCAGCCAAGTTGATCTGCATCTGTAGTAGTCTCTAGTCTTGCAGACTGCAGCCGTGTGACTAGAACTACCGGTATCCACAGGCCCTCTTTCGCACGAGAGAGGCTTTGGTTACGTCAGCTATTCTAGGCGGCGAGGAAAAAAAAGGGAGGCATAGACAGGCAGCCGCACAGGAGCCCTGTGGTGTTGGTTGGCGTTGGTCTACGGCGCCGGTGTGCACTTGGATGGCACATTGACAGAACGCCAGGAAAGGAGGGGGTGTGTGGTTGGGAAAAGACCAAAAAAAAAAAAAAAACGGCGTAGCAAGGTTGTCACAAAAGAGAACAGGACGTCATCCAGAGTGGGTAAATGGACTTTTTTTTTTTTTTTGGTCTGGGCGTAACCGGACAGCAGAAATGGTATGGATTTGATACCAGGGCGGCATCCAGTGTGCAAGAAAGGCAACCCATAGCACAGGCCTGTTGCTGGAAGATCCGCCCACGCTGTGTCTGACTGTTGGTTTCCTCTCAGCCTTCTTTCAACTTTTTGGCCCCATTCGTTTTAGTGTGCTGCGCCGCGCCCGCTAGCAGAAAAGCTGTGCTGGACGCATGGCTGTAATAGTGGGTTTTGTCGCTGCTAGCGCCTGGCGGGCCGCAAGTCGTGGTTGCAGTTCACTGGGGCGGGCGAGGCCACTTGGGAGGCCCAAACAGGAAAAAAGCACTGGACGACAACCTCTGACGAACAAGCGCCGGACCACATGAAACGGCCAAGGGGAGTGCCTCAGCAACAGCATCTTTGTAGCATAATTTTCTATTTTTGTACCAGGCCTATTGTGCGAGGCCTCTTTCTATCAAAAAGGCTGCGTTTTAAGTTATCCGCGCGGCTTGTCTGGGGAGAGTGTAGGAACAGTCGAGTATCAGTTCGTGTTGCGTCCTCCGTGGCGTACACTTGCAAGGGGAACAAAGACTGCCGTAGTGTTCCGAGCCTGTGTGTACTGGTTGTGTGTGTGTGTTTGTGTGTGTGTGTGTGTGTGAGTGTGCACTAATTTAGCCTCGCCATTCTGTCGGGACAAGCCAACAAGGATGGCAGCCTGAGGAGTACTGTACGTACTGCACTTGTTGGTTGGTGTGCTGGGACAAAGTATTCTACTGTGGTGCTGCGCTGTGTTGTGCGGGCAAAGCAGCGCAGCGCTGCCAAAATGGACCTATCAGCGTCAAGAGAGCTCTAAGCAACAGCTGAACAGTGACCCTGTCCACACGACGTATTTAGCCCTGCAAGGCAGTGGGTAGAGGCCATTATGAAAGTACAGAACAGTAGACAAAAAAAATGAAGAATAAATTAATGCACACAAAGAAACGGCTGCGAATCGAAAGGAATGCAAAGGAACATTGGCCCGTTCTGCACACACTTGGTTTCCTCGTTAGCGTCATGAGATGTCTTCTGAGAGGCCTCTAACACAATGCCTCCGCTAAGGCGTTTTTTTACCGTCTTCCTAGCAATTGGCGTCGGCGTGTGTGTGGCCGTCGTCCGCGCCATTGTGCGGTACACACGCACTAAGAGGAGAGGTGGGTGGCTACCCCGGCCCCCCTTGTAAAGCATGTCTGTCAGCTTTCTCCCAGGTGGCCCGGCGTTCCTCTTGCCTTTCCTGAGCCAGCGAGGGCGTGTCCATAATTCAACGACACACCCACCACCCTCCTGCACCCCACCAGTCGCACACCACGGCGCGGGTCGATTCGCCCACCCCAAAAAGCCCTTGGTTTTCTTTATACTTATACCTCACCTTTCGCACCTCCATCCACCGCTCGACATCTCCAACATCACACATTATATAATCTCATACATTGCCCAGGCTTTTAATAGTCTTTGTCTCTTGTATCATCATTGTTACAATAGATATTCACTTGAACTGCATACCTTCTGGCACACTCTCTGCTGCCACTACCAAAACCCACTGCTGCCCACCGACTGGACAACAGCTTAGCCTTCCATAGGCTACGCATTCACCGTGTGTCAAACATATATATACACATTCTTCTACCCAGACGGGCGCGAGACAACAACCAAAGAGCCAAAGTACTGCAACTTGGCTAGCTTCGGTCTCCCCTGCAGCAATAATACAGTCATAACCCATCCTCCCATCAACATGTCTTACAGAGACGAGCCCACCTACATTGGTGGTCAATACCCACCAACTCCCTCCTACTCTCACACTGGCAGCCCCGTCATCACCACATACCGCTCAGGAAACGAGTCGGACCGCTCGCAACGCTCTCACCACTCCCAGCGCTCCCACCATTCTCACCGTTCCCACCACTCTGGCAACGGAGACTCCAGCCGCCGCCGCCCATCCTCGAGCTTATATCCTGACGGTCTGCGCGTTTCCAACTATGGCGAGCGACCTCAGTACATCTACTCGTCTTCCCCCAGACGCGAGGGTGAGCGTTATCTCGTTGTCAACAACCCACCCACACCCAGAACACCACCACAGCCATACGACATGCCCCGTACGGCTCCCACCTCCCCCAACGTCTACAGCACCTCACCCCGCGAGTCTTACCGTAACCGACCCATGACCGTCGACGACAGACCCAGAGTTCACATCGAAATCAACTCCCCTAGAATTAGCAAGTCCTCTCGACAAGGATCCAACTCCCGAAGCAGCCACACTTCCGCATCCGAAGACGAGGAGCGCCGACGCTTGCGCCGCCAGCAGCGCGAAGCCTCCAACACACAGTCGGGCAGTGCCATCTGGGAAGAGGGGGACAACCTCGCCCGCGAGCAAGAGAAAAGAGACAAGCAGGAGCGCCGCGAGGAAAAGCGCCGCCAGGAGGAACTTCTCCGCGCCGAGAAGATCAAGGAGAGAATCAACAAGGCCAACGAGGAGATTGACAACCGCCCCGTCACTCGCCCCGTCCCCAAGCACCTCAAGAAACCTATTGTGCGAAACGCACCCTCCTCATCCAAGCCTCGTGTCCCATCTCCTCCCCGCCATAACATTCCCACTCCCACTGCATCTGCCGACGAGCTTCTCGACGGCATGCGCAAGGTCCGCTTGAGCGATTCGGAGCGCGAGGAGAAGAAGGCCCGTATCCGGGCTATCAAGACTGAGCGCGCCGAGGAAGACGCACAGAGAGCTCGCCTATCCGAGCGCATGCTACCTCAGCGCCGTGCCACTATCGGGTCAGGCAGCCGCCGGCCCAGAACCTACTACGAGGACGGCGTCTTTCGCTACGAATAAATGCCGGAATCAACAGGAGCCATTTGTATTATGGAGCTTTTAGTCTCCATCCTCTTTTTGTATTGTCATTTTTTTTTGGAAAGCGAAGCATCGGCATAAAATGCCAACATCATAGACATTTCATGTATTTTAGACCAACCCACTTAGACAGCACCCGGCCCAAGAGGAAGCCAGGGACTACAGAATGAAGACCAAGAATCTTAATCTCACCATACCAAACTCTCTTTCTTTCATCATCGTGAATAACTCTCTTCCGAAATCGCCCTCGCCGTCCGTCTTGTGATCACTCCCTTGGCTTGCATATGCACAATTCTTGTTATACGCTGGCCAATGAGACGCCGCCCGCCGTACAGCAGCCTAGCGCAAGTGTGCCTTGGCCCGCAGGCCGTTCGTGCTCCAGGCAGTTATTGTGGCCGCTCCACAGCAGGCGGCCGTCCAGTCACCACCTATCTACGGCGGTGCAATGCCGATTATCGCTATCGATACTCATGCAGGCCGCTTGAGTCAGAGCGCCTCAACGCCGCTAGCTGCAGCGGATGCCTAATTTGGTGGCCGAGGCATCTCATATGACTTGGACGATTTGTGACGAAATGTGCGTATGAAGCAGAGAAAGAGGGGGTGTTGCGATAAAAAAAACACTCTCAAAGAAGATGGCTTGTTTTGTGTTGTGTACGCAAGTTTTGTATTTAGTAGATAGATATTCATAGATTAGGTGTAGACAAGGAGACGTACATATAGGACTGCCATGTATATAAAAAAATGCTGCAATCTGGTATATAAACGCCCATCTTATCAATCTATATAAAACAAGGATTTAAAAAAAGCACAAAATACAGATAGCCCCATTAAACTCCGATTTCATTATAACCCATGCTCTGCCAAATAAAACAATAAAACAAACACGGGGTTAGTCATAAGCAAAAAAGGTAAATCGCCGATTCCGTCCATATGTATGCTTAAGCCCAAACGCCAAATGAAAAAGAATAAACAAAGATGCATGCCAACAGCATTCCAGAAGAACTGTTGCTCAAGCCGCAGTCTTCTTGGAGAGCGTCAGCGTCGGCGGCTCCATGCTATCCAGGACAGCCTGTGCATTACTATTACGCAGTGCTTCCCAGTGAGCTTGGAGCAGCTCCTCGCCCACGACAAGCTCAAAGCCCGTAAGGAAGCAAAACGAAATCTCGAGTCTCGCCAGCTCGCCCTCACTCACACCGCCCACCTTGGCAAACTTTGTATGCGGGTACGACAGGTCCTCGAGCGCCTTCATGGCCACGCGCAAGCCCGCAAGCACCAGCCTATGGGCATTGCGCCTTGTCACGGGGATGGCTCGCTCCTCCACCGCCAGCCGGTGAATGTACAGCGATGTGGCAAGGTACACGGCCGAGCTCATCGGGCAGAACTGGTGCAACCGGATCAGATACTGGTTGATGCTGATTGGCGGCTCGTTCTTGCTGTAGAATTTGCGCGTGATGGCCCCATGCTGCAGATTCAAGGGCTGCGAGTCGGCGCCGACCACAATGTACGGTGTCGGAGGGGGTGGGCGCTTGGCTGCAATGTCACCCCCGCGGAGCTTCACGCCGTCAATAGGCTCTTGTTCGGAGGCACCGCCTGCTTGTTGGCTGGCTAGCTGGGCGCTCATGGCCGCGCTGTATGCCTGGAGCTTTGTTTTGCCGCCGGCATGTTCCTCGTCGGCGGGCCGCTTGCCAGTGATGGAGCCCGTGTTGCTGATCCGGCGTTCGAGGGTCTCGCGGGAGGCTTCGCGCCGCAGCTGTGCAAGGTTCTTGTTGGAGTGGGAGCGGACAATGTTTTCCTTTTCAGCCTGCATGTCGCTCATCTGTGGATTTGTAGCCTGTCTCGGCGGCGGTGTGGGCGGGATATCGCCCGTCATGCGTACCAGAAGTTCCACGCTTGCGCTGAGCAGTCGAAGCGCGTCTGTCGCAGGCAGCGTAAAGAGGTTCGGCTCTTGCGGAGGCGTCGGGGGCGTCTTGTCTGCATCGGAAGCAAGCTTTGGGTCGGATTCTGGGACTGGTCGCGGCGGAGTTGGGCAGTCGGGCGTCGAAGTTTGCTGCTGCTCCAACTGGTGCAGAACGTGCGCTTGCGAGTTCTCCGTTGTTGTCGCAACAGCGCTGTCGACCATGGCGGTGTCGCTCATTGTGATTCTATGGTCTTTGACTTATCAAATCGAGTTTCAGGAGAGTGTTAAGGGCCGCTGGGCGTTGTCGTGTGCCTCTTCTTAGGCTGCGGCGGGAACGAGACGCGACAGTTTCTAGGCGTCGCGAGGATGCATTCTCGGAGCAGATCAGCCGGTAACAAAAGGAAGTCCTCGGCGAGGAGAATCAAGTAGAATTATTTTCCAAAATGAAGAAAAAAAGAAGGGACAACGGCCGCCGATAACGAAAAGAAAGCGCGCAAAAAAAAAAATGAGCGCTACAACGTGACGATGTCCAAGAAAGTTACCGCGGGGCTGTTGAGGGGCGCTTAGGAAATTTCGTTGGCAGGCGGCCAGTTTAGCGGGGCGGTTTCTAAAAAAAAATCCATCGAAAAATCTAGACATAAATTCTGGGTTTGGAGTTTGGTGGGGCAGTCGTTGAGCAGCTTCGGCGTATGGGGCTAACTCGGTATCTCGATGCGACTGTTGAGCATGTATAGTGAACAAAGGGGAAAAAAATGTCAAAGTGGTTATTTATCACGCTCATATAAATCATTGCTTTAATTGGCAACGCCTTCGTGATGCCATCTAACAATCCGGAGCAACCTTGACGTCAATAACGGCAGATTGGCCGCCCTTGACCTTCTCAATAGCTTCCTGTAAAACACTATCCAATTCGGCAGTCGTGGCAGCACGGCCAGCAAAGATCTCGCCACAACCAGCAGCCTTAGCGATACCGGCATAATCAGGGGTGGGATTGAACGAGATATTGATTTCCTCATTGGTTGCCTTGGAGCCAAGGCCGTCGGGGTGGACAAGCAGAAGTGAACGGCGAGGAGCGTTCCAGCCTATAGATATCAGGTTAGTTTCGTATGCTTATCCAAAAGAATTATACTTATTACACGTACCATCATTATTAAGGACAATGGTGAGGATGGGAATCTTGTAGCGATTGGCGATCCAGTACACACTGCCGGGAACGCTGAAGAGGTATGTGCCATCGCCAACGATTTGAACAACAAACTTTCCCTTTCCACTGCCGCCGTGCTCAAAATCACTGGCCAGCTTAATACCGAGAGCAGCACCGCCAGACCAGCCGAGACCACCACCACCACAGTTGATCCACGAACCTGGAATAGTAGGCTTTATGTTATTGTGTACAAAAGGGGTATTAGTGACCGCTTCGACAGCCCACAGGGTATCATCAGGGCACATCTTGCGGAGAGTCTTGCTCAGGTAGCCGGTACCGAAAGAGCCGTCGGCCAAAGGTTCGGTAGCCTTGTCAATGGCAGCCATACGGGCATCGTACTCTTCCTTGATACGTTTTTCACCGGCTGCGGCATCGCGGGTCTGGAGCTTGGCGGCAATATCACCACTGTCAAGGCGGTCGTTGATCTGATTGATGGAAGTAGTAGCATCGGCACGGAATCGGGAACCAGCCTCGATGTAGAAGACGGGCATCAGCTGCTTCAGCGGGTCGACGTCAATGTGGAAGATTTTGGCGTCTTTGCTGGGCTTACAGCGAGTAGGGATCCAGGGAACATCGCAGTCTACAACGACAATGACATCAGCTAGCTCAATGGCCTTGTCAACACCAAATGTGAAACCAGCCCAGGCCAGGTGGTCAGAAGGGAAGCATAGATCACTACCACCACAGTCAAGGACTTGCAGACCCTTGATTTTGTTGGCTAACTTGACCACAGCGCCGGGGAACTTGTGGTTTCGGCCACCATAGCCACTGATGATAAGAGGGCGTTTGGCTCCCACCAGAGCATCAGCAATCTCATCAACAGCGTGGAGAGGCAGGCCACCAAGCTCGATTGGCTTCCAGTCACTTTGGCGCAGCGAGTACGGCTCAATATCGGTTTCCATCACTTCACGCGCGCCACACAGGTAGACAGGGCCCTGGGGATCGGAGGTGGCAAACTGCAGAGCACGGTTGACGAGCTGCTTGACGTTAGCTCCAGTCTTGATTTCGCCAGAGAAGCGGCAGTACTGCGAGACAATCTGCTTCTGGTCAGGAACATCCTGCATCCAGTGGATGTACTCAGTTCGGCTACCGCGGTGTTCGCCTTCAATGGTGAAGGGAGAGAGGCCAGCGAAAATAAAAACGGGAGCGCGGCCAGTGGAAGCGTTGTGCACAGCAGCTCCTAAACCCTGGGTACCGACATCGACGTGAACAATAACACATTGGGGCTTGCCCGTCAAGCGAGCGTATCCGTCTGCCATAGACATGGCCACCATTTCGTTGGGGCAGGTAATAATACGTGGGAACTTGCCCTTGGCTTCTCTTTGACCCTTGACCATGGCCTCAATAATGCTTGGGTGGTCAGAGCCGAGGTTAACAAAGCAATGGGTGATCCCGGCCTCCCAGATGGCCTCGAAGAAGGCAAACGAAGTTGTGTACATTTCGGCTCGTGTGGAGGTCTGGCGGTTGGCCTGGGAGGTAGCAGAACCAAGATGTCCGCTCATAGTAGGCTGGATAGCTGTGTTGGTGGTGATGGAAGCGGTAGACCGTCTAGCGGAAGGGTTGGAAGCAGAAGCAGCGGACGAGGCTGAGCTGTTGCGGATGTTGATGCGAGGAGTGGCAGTGGGAATCGCACAGTATTTTAGAATTGCAGGCCGGGCTGCGGAACTTATGCGCTGGAGGAAGTACATTAGAGAGGACACCTAATGTTTGGGCAACAGTCAGCCTGCTAACTGCATTATGCAGGAGATAAAAAGTGCCGAGATCATGACCGAGATCGGGGGTGGAGATGCCGCGAGCGGGGAAGTCGCGGAGATGAGGCTAGGGTTGGTTGCGGAAGATATACCCGTGTGTTTTCACATAGTGTAAATCAAACGAGGGAAGTTTGCAACTTTATATATTGTATCAAACCAAAAATCACCGTCAGCTGGCAGAAACGAGCAGACATAGAAACCAAAGCACTCACAAAGTTGGGGTACTTGGGCGGCGTTTAACGGCGACCCACCCCCGTGCCTTGGCAAGGTCGCCGGACATAGCGCGGGGGAAACACCGAGCTAATAGGAGAGCAGGAGAACAGCGCAAAGAGAATAGGAGGCGGTTGTAAAATAAGGAACAATTAATGGAGAGATGGCATATGATTGATAAGAAATCTAAAAATAAAATATAAAAAAATATAAAAAAAAAACAATTGTAATGTAAAATGCGCCGCGACACCTGCTTCAATGTCTTGCAATATCTTCCTTACCGAGCTTGACATCACGTCCAGGCGACGACCGTACGAGAGACTATTAACGAAAGACTTGGCTTTCGTCTGGAGTTTCTGGAGTTTTCCTTGATGTGGCTCGTCGTTGCCAACAGTTTGCAGCTGAGGTTTTGTCATCTCTAAAACGAAAAGACAAAGGTCATCGGGATTTTCCAACACGGCGTGTGGTCTTGGGCGTCGCAGAGTTCTCGGCTAGAGTAACCCGTGTGAATCCTTGAATTTGTTAGAATTATCGTTGGCAAGGACATTCGTATTCGAGTTGGAGTCCGAGTTTGAGCTCGGGTTTAAGCCCTAGTTTAAGCTCTAGTTTGAGTCCGAGTTTATACCCAAGTTTGTGTCCAAGTTTGTGTCCAAGTTTGTGTCCAAGTTTATGTCCGGGTTTGTGTCCGGGTTTAGGGCCTAGTTTGATAGTGCTAGATAAACTAGAGTATAACTATCACGCTCAATTGAATACTCGTACTAATCGTCATCACTCCAGTAGCATGCTGCGAAATCTAGTTTGGTAACGTCTTGTTGAGGGCTGAGTGTAGGGGAGTCCGGCTTGTTGTTGACGAATTCTATTGGATCTGCACCACCCGCCATTTTGAACACGGTGATATGCAGTACCTCGTCGATCAGGATATTAGGATAATTGACAATCTGCCCATGTAATAGTGGTTGACCATTTATCAAATGACTTGCTTGTAAGTGTGGATAATGGATGCTAAGCTCCAGAGCATTCGAAAGCGTAGAGAGATTTCTGTTCTCCGGATTAATATGAAGGCGGACATTACTGATCTCGATGGTTGACTTTTTGCTTATTGTCTCAATATCGGTGGACTCTTGCTTAGATGTGTTAAACAGAGGTAGTTGAAGATGCGCGGTGGCTGTCAGTTTGCTGGAATCAACTTCAAAATCAAGTCATATCAAGCTAAATCTTGCTCTAGCCCAGGCTCCATGCATATTCTCGGGTAATGGTGCCATGTTCCACGAATGATCAAGTTGGCAAGTTTTGGAATCAAACCGAATGAGAGATAACAAAGCATAGTAATCGCTATCTTTCATAGTTCCTTTCAAGTTCACAAGGCAGGTGATAAACAGGTTTGCTCTCGCACATGACGACGTTGTCGAGCAGGGGAATAGTGTATTGAGCTGGTGGATGCCTTGGCCAAAAGATTCCAACATCGACTAGTAGCAAAAGGGCGTGTCACAATAGATGATGCTATAAAGCGGCGTAGAGCGTCTTGCTGACGGCCATCCGTAGACGAAGCTTCTAGGAACGCGGCGCACATTTCCAACGCTCGTTGTCGACGCTCCATTTTCTAGGAACATGGTGCAGAGTGCTAAAGTTCAGTAGCAACACTGTATTTCCGATGAAAGTTGAGAAGAGGGGAGGTTAAATTGGAAAAGGAGAAAAGTGGTGCTATATAGTCTTGAAGAATACTAAAATCAAAGTTCTGCCAGCTGGTGAGTAGCAACTACCAGCTGACACAAGTACTTCACACGCACTTTTTTCCAGGCGTGACACCATCCAGCCTTGACAACATCCGGCCTGCCAAAGTTTCAACTGATACATAGATACATAGTCACTTTATTCATATCTACTTTTAGGAGTCTAGGGCAAATTTAATATATAATATTTCTATTATTATTCTAGCAAAGCTTCTGATAGTAATGCAAAGCGCCGCACTGTCGATGTGACTCGCAGAGTAAAAGCAGTCGTTAACTCATTAAGCTCCATAAAGGAAGCCAATATCTACAGGTTGGTTTTATTTCGTCTTTTCTTTTCTCTTCATCTCGCATGAATACACCACCTTACTCGGCAGGATCAACACTCTGGGGGTTGTGGAAGACGCTGTTAGGGTCAAGAGCCTTCTTGATCTGGCGGAGCTTGGGAAGATTGTCACCCCAGTAAAACTCTTGGGCAGCGGTGCGGTTAAGGTAGCGGTCAATGTATCCAGCGTAGGTAGTCTTGGCGTTAGGGGCGCCGGCAACAACGTAATCGTGGACGCCATCGACGAAAGCGCGGTTCTTGTCGCTGAGAGCACCGAGGTTGACAACGTAAGACTGGTACATCATGAGCTTGTCACGGTGAGGGTAGGCAGTGGCGTGTTGGGGTGTATCGGCCATAGCACCACCCTCGGAGTTGAAGATGACGAACCACAGAGCCGTACCGGCATCAGCCTGACCCATGTAGTTGAAGAGGTTGTCAATGGCCTTATCAGAGAGCATGTCCTCCTGGCGGAAAGCAAGAGACTTGGAGCCAAAGTGAGTAGCCAGGTTGGAGAGGTAAAGGCCAGTCGTCTCGGCAATGTGAGCCAAGCTGCCGAGCCAGTCGGTGGCAGTGACGTTAAAGGTGCCGCCGCCGGGAAGCTTGTCGGCGATACCAGTCTTGTGGTACTCGTCCTCAGTGCCGTAGAAAGTACCAGTGATGAGAGCGCCAAGAGGTTCAGCAATGAAGAGGGTAGAGAATCGGCGGTCGAGGTTGGGGTCGGCGACCAGTGCCTGCCACTTGCGGTAAACGGGGGCAATGTCGGACTGCTTGCCGAAGCTGATCTTGTAGGTATACTCAACAACATTTCCAGGCTCGGGGTGCGTCTTGACGACAAACTCGGTAATAACACCAAAGCTGGCACCAGCACCGCGAAGGGCCCAGAAGAGATCCGAGTTCTCCTTTTCGTTGGCGCGCTGGATCTTGCCATCAGCAGTGACAACTTCCACCTCAACAACGTGGTCGAGGGCACCACCCCACATGCGGGAGCTAGGACCAAGACCACCCTACTTACATGTTAGTCGTCATCAACGTAATAAGAAAGGTATTTAAAAACGCGTCTATCAACGTACAATGGTAGCGTGACCGCCAATGCCGACACCGGGGCAGGTACCGTGGGCCATGGCTCGCTTGCCGTTGGCATGAAGCTGCTTGTCGAGGTCGCCGAGAAGGAAGCCCGAGCCAAAGCTGGCTTGCCAGGTGTTGGTATCCATCTTGAAGCTGTTGAGCTTGACCAGGTCGATCATGACACCGCCAGCATCACCACCGAGACCGAAGTTGCTGTAACAAGCTTAGTCGACTTGGTTCAAGACGGGGGCCAAAACAAGAGCCGATACATACGCGTAGGAGTGGCCGCCAGATTTGGCCTGGACGTGGACGCCGTTGGCAACAGCGCACTTGATGGTGTTGGAGACATCTTGAGCAGTGGAAGGGCGGATGACAGCGATGGGCGCGACGGGGACGTCAAGGTTGTAAGGCTTGACCCAAGAGCTGGAGTAAAAGGCAGTATCGGGGTAGGCAACGCAGTTGCTCTGGCCTTGGCAGACGGCGTTGAGGCACGTCTGCAGGGGGGTGCTAGGAGTGTTACCCATATTGAAATCGTTAAGCCTGCAGAAAATATATGACGATCGATAGTATGTGCAGATGGTAACGTCGGAGAGGGGGGCAAAGGATTGCGATCGGAGTGGTGGGTCGAGAGGCGGTATTATATATTGGGGATTGCGTCCCAGCTAGAGTCTGATCTGCCAGGAGTAAAAGCCGGGAAGGAGAGATTGAGCATTAGCGCCGGACACAAGGTTCATGTCGAGCTAGCGCGTGCTCGGGGAGGAGGACCAGGAGGGAACCAGTGAGCGTTGCAAGTGACGGAGGCGCCGCGATCCCCCTGTGGAGACCCGACACTAGGCCAGAAAGGGTGCCTTGTTCCTTTGGGGATTTTATTTTGCGATGTCCCACGCATACAAGATGAAAAGTGACGTGCAGTGGTATTTTCAGAGACGATTCAACAGCAGAAGCGCGTCCAAGTGAATGATGATACGTGCAAGCGAATCCCACTGCTATACATCATCAGCATCATCGTCTCATCTTAATTTTTCTTTGTCCGTCTCGTCCTCCTCGGCATCGTACCTCTCATTGGTCCAAGCTTATTTGGTCAGTAAGACAGACACGGAACCTACCTGACCCGTCCACATGTGATGGTGGAGAGAGGTGGCAACGCTGTGGGAATTTTTCCATCTGTAGGGTCTTCCGTTGTTGTTTTTAGGTCCATTGTTACATTCAACGCTATTTCGTCCACTTCTTCCACTCCGTTCGCAGTCTTTTGCAGAGTTAGGTTCAGCCACCCGTCTCGTTCCCGGCCCCTGACACTCATGGCACCTGGCAACATGCCCTTGCCAAGTGCCGCCAGCTGGTTCTGACACTCCGTCACTGCCAAATCCCCGCTAAAAAAAATTCTGGTGCCCCCTCCCTCACTGTAAAAGCCTTTCTTGTGATCGCCCCTCGTGCTTCTTCCCCCAGACGTTGGCCTTCAACGCTGCGATGCTTCTTCATATCCAGGCCCTGTGGTTGCGGCACTGAGGCTCAACTGCTACCACGCTGTAGGTGAATCCTGTGGCGCAGCCCTCTTGTTCGCTTAGCTCGGATGCGTATTCGGATTCGCCAGCAGCTTGGTAAAGTTGCCTATTTCATCCACCACCATGCGGCTGCTCCCCTCCATAATCTGCAACCTTGGCGACCGAGATGTCGCCGTGGGGCCCCCCTTATGCCGCTAATTTATGCAAGGTTTCGGGCGCTCTCCTAGCTGGGAAAGGGAACTCGGGCCGTCCAATCAGCGCTTCATCCCACGTTGTTCGCATTTTCTTCAGTACATGGAGATGCGCCTTGGCTTCCGACGGCAGTTCATTTCCTGCTTTATGCGATGCTATTCGTTAGCTCTCTGGCTGTCGTACCATGCTCGATCGACGCCCACTTCTTCTTCCTTGCAATCTACAGGAACCAATCTCGTGGTCGCCTGACTTTGCCCATGAGCGAGCCCGAAAGTATACCTGACATGTGGCACACGACCTCGCCTGTTAAAGTTTACCGTTGTATCCAACAATAACATTAGCATCTGTTCCGCATTCAAACTTAAAAGCCATATGACCGCTTTTGGCTACTACCTATTTTAGGATTTTACTTTTTGTTCTACTGGCACTGTCTCACGTTGATGCGACCGCCCGACTGAAGCCGGCTACCCTGGAGAAGAATCACATCCATTTGACGCTTCTTTATGGAACCGGAAATATTTACTAAAATATCTGCGTTTATTATTACTAAGAGGGGTTTATTACTTTAATTATTTTGTTTCCAAGAAACACTATGACACTCCGTTGTGCGATCAAATGCCGTGCGTTGGCCCGTCGTGGCTCCTCCTAGCACCAATATTGTATTTCTACGCCTTGAATCTGCTTCAAAATTTCAAAGTCCAGACCTTCTTGGCGAACAGCAACTACGATGAAATCAAATGATTCTTCGAGATACTCACAACTCCAGTAACAGCTATCGAGTCTCTCTATCTGCGGTATTTGCTCTTGTTTTACCAGCGGATCGATCCACGCTACGCGCACAGCGTTGGACAACACTAGACTCTTGCCCAACTCGAGGCCTGGGGAGTGTGAAAGGTGACCTTGGCCACGCTTGAAACCCATGCCTACGATCAGAACTCGAGGTTGAACTCCATTTAAATTGTGGCTGCGTAGCTGACTGACAATCCTCTCTGCAATGAGGGACGGCCTGCTGCTCATTCGAGCAGTGGCCGCTTGAAGCATGGGGAACTGGGTGTTTGACAGCAGATAGTAAGGATTGACAGGGATACAGTGACCACCAACACCAATGCTAGGTGTGAATGGCATATACCCGAATGGTTTTGTGGCAGCCGCATTGCAAACTTCAAAGGGATTAATGTTGTGCCCAATACAGGCATCCGCCATCTCGTTGGCATACGCAATGCCAATCATCCTCTGACAGTTTTCGTAGAGTTTCGTCATCTCTGCAACTTCGGGTCGCGATACGGATACCAACTGGTTGAAGACCTGGCTGTATAGTTGACGGATGGCTTGCAGTGAGCCTGGCGCCAAATCGTCTAAACCGGATATGATTTTTGGGATGTCGCATGGTGGAGGCTCTGTGCGACCTGGATCAACTCGTTCGGGAGACATGCCTGCAAAGAACCCTTTCCGTACAGACAGAGGGCCAAGGAGCTCTCTCGTCATCCCTACAGCCACAGAACTTTCAATCACGACCGTTGAGCCGGGTCTAGCATAGCGACCAACCGTATTCAACGCGGCTTTCAAGTAAGATGCGTCAATTGTCTTATCTGGGTTGAGAAGCGTGGGAACAGATATCAAGAAATGCTTAGCGGTCGCAATATCCTGGGGCCGACAGGTAAACAAGACATTCTGAGTTGATGAGACTCGCTGTTTGAGGGCGGCAATTCGTGAAACGGAGACGTCGTATCCGATGACGCGAAATTTCTGAGCAAATGCCATCACAAGGTGTTCCCCAACATAACCCACTCCAATAACTGCGACTGTCGGTGGTTCATGGTTCGAAATTGGAGGATATATCAGGTCATTGTCGCTCTCTGCATCTAATGTCTCATTCGGAGGCGTAATATCGTAATAAACGACACCTGCATAGTTCCCCGTAGGAATAGGTGTAATCATTTTGGTATGTTTTCGCTTAGAAAAAATTGTTTTTGATAGTATTTATTGATTCTAATCTAATAACCCACCAGAAAAAGAAAGTACATCTCCGATTTATAAGTTCAGCCAGAAGATATCGCATTCAACAAGGCAACTTGAGTATCCCAGTACGGCTGTCGTTTCGTGCATTCAAGCTACACAGCATGAATACGTTTGGTCCTCATTTTAAATAACTATGAGGCCGTTTTGAATGCAGAAATACACGGTCAGAATAAATGAGCCTAGCTGGCTCATTGATAACAGATAACTCCGGACTAGAACACCTCGGACTGCTGTTGTAGCTGATTGTGTAACTTACCGTCATAGGATTGATTGTAAATGATGAAAACACTGGTATCACAAACTAACAAAATTGTGCTACCTGATATACGACAGTTGTCGGCAATGTATGGGTGACCATTGCAGTCCTACATGGCGCTCGACAACATTGTACAAGGTACCCTGATTGCGCCTCACATGGAGGCGGAACTGGTACAACAGATATTCAATACGATCAACATACGCCCCATGAGGCCGGAGATGAAGCTACCGGCAGGTTTTTACAATAGAACATGGAAATTGTACGGCTTGCCATGCATAACATCGTATATGTCTGCCCGATGGCTACATGTTGTCATGTATGTGGAGGGAAACGTGGACCAGATACGATTTTAATATATAATGGCTTCTTTTAGGAGAATATGGGGCATTGAAAGCCCAAACAGACCCCCTCTGGCATAAACACATCGATTTGTCTACACTCAAAACGCCATCTCACACAAACACTCACGGATTCATATACCATGATTGTGCCAAATGTTGTAACTGGGTTCCATGCGGCTTGTGTCGCTTTCTTTTTGGCAACAGTAGCTACGGCAGAGGGCGAGAACTTGTTGAAACGGGCTGTTTGCGGCCCGGGCATCGGATCATGTCCCCCGGGTGCTTGCTGCTCTGCTTCAGGTTGGTGCGGTACAACAACCGAGTATTGCGAAGGATCTCAATGTCAGTTGGAGTACAGTGACTCCTGCGATACCTTGTAAGACGCCTATGACACAAAGCATACCTTGATGCTAACGGTATCATAGCTTTGGTCCGTCCGGACCCAGCACTGAGAAAGTCAGTCGCCCTCGAGTTGGAAATGTGCCATATGGTACGGAATGAGACTATTATTCTTGTGAGATGGTGACTATGCTAAACTAGAATAAGGAACTATCATTACGAAATGTTCGATCCCCGGTACCATGGCCTTGACATTCGACGATGGCCCGTTTGTGTATACCAATCAGATGCTGGATCTACTGGACAAACTCAACGTCAAGGCTACATTCTTCGTCGCGGGAAATAATCGCGGTAAAGGTCATATTGATGACCCTGTCCATGGGTGGGATGCCATTTTGAGACGCACCTACCGTGCTGGGCACCAGATTGCGAGTCACACATGGACTCATCGGGACCTGAACAAAGTCAACCGTACGATACAATGGTCTGAAATGATTTTTAATGAGATGGCATTTCGAAACATCTTTGGATTCTTCCCGACATACATGCGGCCCCCATATCTGGAATGCTCAGCCGATTCGGGATGTGTAGATGTTATGGCCACACTGGGTTATCACATTGTCACCAACAATATTGATACCAAAGACTATGCAAATGATAGCCCCGAGCTCATTCAAAATTCGAAAAGTCGATTTGACTCCCAGGTATCACCAAGAGCTAATGATCACAGCTACATTGTGCTCGCACACGATGTCCACTTTCAAACGGTGGCCAATCTCACTGAGCACATGGTCCGAGTCGCGCGTGAAAGAGGGTACAAGCTCGTCCCTGTCGGAGAATGTCTGGGCGATCCTCGAGAGAACTGGTATCGTACTATGAATGAGGACAATGCGGTGTCTTCTAGCACCAAGACGTCCATGACACCATCCGAGACTAAAACCGGCACACCACCTCGTCAAACCCTGACAGTATCACCAAATCAAAGATGCGGAGGTAGTACGGGTTACACTTGCCAGGGGTCAGCCTTTGGAAACTGCTGCTCGTTTTACGGCTACTGGTAAGCATATAATCCGGAGGAAGATTAAGTGCCAGCTAACAGGTACCAGCGGCTCAGATGCAGGACACTGTGGTACGGGATGCGATGTAGACTTTGGTTCGTGTAATCCGAGGTCGGGAGGCTTATCGGATACAACAAATGGACTATGCGGTGCAAGCTTTGGGGCAACATGCGTGAATTACGGGACAAAGACCTGCTGTTCTGCCATTGGATACTGGTAAGTGAGATTAAAAGTCTGCTCAAAAACGACATGCTAAGTAGTACTGCAGCGGCAATTCTGACGAGTACTGTGGTGATGGATGCCAGCCAACGTATGGTCGCTGTGATTAGCACCGGCGCTAACAAGGATGATTCAAGTTATCTAAAATTTTAACGCCTATTTATTTCTAATACTAAAAATGTGTGAATTCGCCCGTATATCTCCTTCGAAAGCATCAAATCAGATGTTGTGAGCCGTCGCACAAGGCGAAGATGTCACAATGTTAAAAATAACGTCGTATTAACTGCAGTGGATACGTACAAAGGCGAGCTGAGACAGTTTTATTACACAACACATGCATTCATAACGACATGCCGGATGACTCTGGTACAACAGCGGCTCGTGGATGGAACGTGGTGAACGGTGGCTTGTGTCGGATAGTAGCCGCAGCAAACTTGAGAAGATTCCACAGAAGGCACAAATATCAGTGCGATGGAAAATGTTTGCTTGCTATCGTTGAACGAAAATCCATAAGCTTATGATACCTTTTCATTGAGAGGTATATATGTAACTGTATTCCTCTGGCAGGAGACCAAAAAGGCCATGAGCGTCTGGGATTTGTTGTTATGGCTAATTCTAGCGCATCTCGTATTCCAACAGGGCTTCTTGTCATGCATGACTGGCACAAGATACGGAACAGGGTTGGTTCAGCCTCTTTACCCCCTGTAGACCGAGATCTGGGTGCATGGAAGATATTCGTATTGTGAATGCCGCGCAAGGTACCTTGCAGCCAAATTATTGACGAGAGTACCGCTTGCAGGACAATAGAATGGGCGCTGAACATAGTCAACGGTTCGGGGTCCAAAGTCTAGAGCAAATTAATTTATTGAAATATATTTTTAGATGCTCAGGGTAACCCATCCGTTGTCTGGAATGGCGGACAATGGAATTTAAACTTCGCTGTAGTACCTCACCTCCGACTCCTTGGAAGCCTAACAATATGTCATATATCTCTAATTCATAATTCCATTTCCTTAGTGAATGGGATACCTTTAAAATGCCATTTGAACGGTCAAGAAAGGAGGTACGGGAGATCGGAGTATCTTCAGATTCCATTAACCGTCCACCGAAAGCATTCCAGCCGTATGTATCTAATTCTCGTAACTCGGTAGGTGAATAATTCCAAGAGAGGACCATATCGATACTAATAAATTTCAAGTCTGTGATCAGAGGCTTGAGCCAGATATACCCACCAGGCACACAAACACCAAACTCTCATGTTACCCACACATCGTTTGCCTCTCAAGGAGAGAACTCCAATTCATCTTTCAGTTCCTCTGTTCAACAAGAAGAAGCTAAGCTACGATGGAATGCCGATGAGGAACTGAAGAAGATGTCCAAAGAGCTTCTGCGTCTGCAAAAGTGGTGTCTGATTGTCGGACTCGCCGTCATTAATGGCGTTCTTATCTTCGTGGCCTGGAGCTACTGGCAAGTGTATTACCTCTTCATTGTCCTGCTCAGCTCCAACACCGTTTTACAAGCCTCTATGATTCTATGCATCGTTGGGCATTTGCTGATAACGAAGGTGTTCTGCTTTTGGCTGAAACGCAAAGAGAATGTTCCCAGCTGCCCAGAGACAATGGTGATGCTGCTCCCCTGCTACAATGAGACTCACGAAGAGCTTAGCCGATCATTGGATTCCCTCATCGAGCAGAACGATATCGATGAGCATCCGCGGTTGATCTTCATCGTTGTGGATGGCAATGTAAAAGGTCCCGGAATGGAAAAGACGACACAAGAGTATCTAATGCAAGATATTTTGCAGCCGTCCGCTGTCAAACATTTTGAAAACGGGTACAGAGCGCGGGATGGCTTGTTTATGCCTGTCAAGATACAGACCGGCTTCTTCAAGGGCATTCCGTATGTCCTTGTTGGAAAACGATACAACCAGGGGAAGAGGGATAGCTTGTGTTTCGCAAGATCCTTCATTTACCACTTTTGCAAAAGATCCGAAAATGCAGTCACCATGTTTAGCAACGAGCTATTCGAGTACATTGGTGGCTCCTTTGTCCAAAATGGACTTGAACACGTGGATTACCTGGTCGGTATGGATGCGGATACTGTCTTTGAAGAAAACTGCATTCGAGAAATGGTCCTGGAGATCCGGAAGAATCCGAAGCTGGTTGGTGTATGCGGGCATGTATGTGTTGACTTTGACGGAAACAACTTTGGTCCATGGTCTTTGTACCAGTCTGTTGAATATTCCCAAACTCAGGGCCTTCGTCGCATGTTCCAGTCTCGCATTACAGGCAAAGTGAATTGCCTACCAGGATGCTGCCAACTTATTCGGGTGGACGAAGCCACATTTGGTGATGAGGTACTGCGTGAACGATTTGGCTACTGTCCCAAACCAAATGATGTTATGACACAGCACATCATGGGGAACTATTCTGAAGACAGCATTCATGCGAGTATTATTTTCAGCTTATTCCCGAAGAAGCAAACAGCGCAAGCTTTGAGGGCAAAAGCCTTCACTATTGTCCCACAGAACTGGAAGGTATTCCTCTCGCAGCGGAAAAGATGGGCATTGGGTAGCATATCCAACGAATTTGTCATGATATTCCGGCCTGGCATCATTCTGGTTGAGCGGCTACAGAGTGTAGTAGCCGTGGTAACTTGGGCTATCACACCATTCATCATTGCAGCCTTTGTCGAGCTGATTATTCTTTTGGTTAGACGAGGTCGCGAGGCTATGCAGGACCCAATGTTTCTTGGGCTAATTTGTATACTATGGATGAGATATGTGAGTTTGAATTGCAATGAAGGAAGAGAGAAAATACTGACGATATTTCCTTTAGGTGTATTCTTTTTGCATCGGCTTTTGGTTACCACGAAACAACCTCGAGCGGTTGCAGTATTTCATCGGCTTCTTCTTTCACTTCATGACATCGCCGTTTATGAACATTATTATCTTGGTATATTCCTTGTTTCATTCGGATGACTTCAAATGGGGTAAAACGAGAGAAGTGGTTGGCGATGACTCGGTGAGCGAAAGCGATCAAACAGGATGCCGAAGGGAACACTAATATTGTTGCGTATACCAAGACTGGATTTGGAGATTAGAAAATGGGTGTAGACACAAAAAGTAATATATAAATTTCCTAATAAATTTAAAAGACACTGTTAATCAAGATCTCACCTATGCCACATCACACCACAACACCTCGCTCTCCATATAAAGAAACATGCATATATACGTTGATTGGAATATGCATCACCTAGATCATGATGTTCTCTTGCCCGCCACAAGTATGTACCTTTTCGGCAACACGAACCGTCTCAGACCAGCTTTGGAACGCTCGGGCAATACTCTTCCTGCTTCGTGGGTTGGGCGAGGTCTTCTTTCGTGGTGGAACGCCTTCAAGGCTCAGCGCTAGCTCACCAATTGCGCGTGCGGCCGCCTTGGAGTTTAAAACCATAGCATCCCAGTCGATGTTGTCGATATCATCGTCGATAGTGTGGTAATTCGGATCCCAAGGAATACCAGCGCCAGTGAAGATGCCAGATGAGGGAATGCCCAACTTCAGGAAGGCGACATAGTCGGATGATGAGCCAAATTTACTGTCAGAGTTAGCAAACTGTCTTCCGAGTGTTGTTTGCTTGGGGATCCTTACGCATACTCTGCCTGCTTTCCATTCTTAACCAAGTGGTCGAAAAGGAATTTACCGCCGTATTTGTGATCTTCGCTGTCTGCGTAGACCTTGTAGAACGGAGCAGGTGACCCGATCATGTCGAAGTTGAAGTAGAAGCGGATGTTATCCGCTTCCTCAGTTGTGAGCTTGGAACCATAATACAATGAGCCAATCAAGCCACTCCTGTACCTTGTTAGCATTATTGCAAAACACATGATGCAATAAACTTACTCTTCTGCTCCCCACCAGGCAAAGCGGACTTTGTTGGGAAAGCCTTTGTATTTTTTGATAGAGCCCATGATGGTAAGAAGAGCAGCAGTTCCACTACCGTCGTCGTTGACACCAGGACCTGCTTGGACACTGTCTAGATGGGCTCCAAGCATGACAACATTGTTTGGGTCACCTTCTTTGGTCTCTGAGATGATGTTCCACGAGTCACGATTCTCGACGAGGGTATCGACCACGACCTGAACCTCCATCTCCTCGCCGGTGGCCATGCGTTTCTGCCATTCATTACCCAGAGCCATAGTAGTGCTGACTGAGGGTACGACACGACCTTGGGAATCAAGCCCCAGGCTAGATCGAACGGGGGGTCCGTCCACATTGTTGTAGAGGATAAACGCTTTCGCGCCACGCGTTTTGGCGTGCATGACTTTGTCCGCAATATTGCATTGTCCACGTTTAACGAGAACAATTTTGCCCTTGACGTCGATGCCATCCCATTGTTCAGCTAAGCATCCGGAACCACGGGTATCATCCACTGGCAAACCGACAAGCTTGCCCGTCACACCATCTGGTAGAGCAGTGGGGATATTGTATCGCATGCTGACAGCCTCGACAGGTTCCTTGTCGACCTCGTTGAGCTCGATTCGGTTTGTCTGTTCAAACACATGAGTGAACTTTTGGACATATGTATCCATATGCTTTCCGAATCTCTTGACAGCGCGTTCAAGGACATAGTCCATGGACGCATTGTATCCAGGAAGCCCAAAGGCTCTGTTGCCACCATTGTCGCGACCAATCTTGTTCAAACTGGAAAGGATTCGTCGTAGTCTATAAACCGTTAGAATGCCAACGATAGATGTATGCTTTCTAGGACACTTACTCTGTTTCGGTAACATCGTTCTCCAACTTGTCCACAGTGAGGAGCTCGTTTCCAAATGCCTGGGTTGCGGCTCCTGCCAATAGTAACGTTTGAAGAAGCTTCATGACGATTGATCCTAGGCTTATGGCGCGATGCTAGAGAAGGCCAGCGAGGTAGTGTTCATCCCAAGTACTTATAGACGGCGGGCGGAAGGCCTTGGCTCGGACTGTTGCCGCACCGGTATTGCTTCGGTCTTGGCCTTTGCATATCGGTGGCATGCACCTCGAATTTTCCCGCAGAACGGTACAGCACCCAAGCCAACGCTGGGAGGGTTGCTCCGCTGGCGATGTGGTGGATGGCCGAAAATAGAAGGTCACGATGCAACAGGCGCCTGGGCAGCGAATTAGCGCGCCACCAAAACAAGCTTAATTGCATCGCAACCACTAAGCATTCACTGCCCAGGCGTCAAGTGGAGGTGTGCAGCACGACTAGAACACGCCGGCAGTTGTCTCGCACGTTCTTTTGCATTCTAGAGCAATAATTCAATCACAACCAATTCGTTTAACGAGGAGAGATCAGCGTTCTATACCCAGTTATGGAAGTCAGGCTCGTGGGCTGTCATTTAGCAAAGACAACGCAACACAATTACGCGAACGGTGTCTGTAGGTTGCATTGCACGTCAACCAAGGGTTCTGACGTTGGTAGTGTGAGGTAGGATCTGCGATTGTGCCGCAAATGTCTCTGATACTAGTTCTGCCAGGGAAATTCTCAATCTTCTTTTTGGCGCAACTGAGATTATCAGTATTGATGTCAAGATGCAGATAGGTGTAGTTTGTTCACCGAGCTTCGTTTATGTGCACGGTTATAGTCACAGTGTAGTGTCTGCCAGCTATTTTATAAGCGGCCTGCCAGTGCCAACAAACCGATATCGGTGTTTAAACTAGCCTGTGCTTTAAACCAACGTTTTCAATTATTTTCTAATGCATCACCTACAAACCGTTGTTAAAAAATTCTGGAATTTTGTGGCGGACATTTGATGGGAGCCACCATCGGCGCCCGTATCGTGCTGAAACCAAACAAGCAGCACAACGGTTCAGGGATGCGGGCCACTTGAGTAGCTTGCACCCCATTCGGTCGCATTAGTGAAAATGACGTGCGCGGCGGACGGAGGCATCGACCAATGAATCGCTCCCCGCGATCCGCTGACGTTATTTAGACCGTTTGTGGCTCGTGAAGCGATCGTGAAGGATTTGGAGATGCGATTTCGACTTTTTGGATATTTTCTTTCCCATTGCTTGCTGTATCTTGAGCCGTCAGTTGATCTGGACAACACCTATTGCTCTGTTACTAAGCTAAGCCGGAGACGGCCGGATAGCTTCGGTTTGGCGGGGCATCAGCCGGCGCGCTGCGAAGAAAAAAAAACCTTCGCTGGCTTCTCCGGGTTCCTTTGTGTCAGTTTTCTTTACTAGTCTCCGCTCCCGAGCTGAAAGCGTACCTTGAGTGACGGGCCGATTATTTCTACTTCCCCTCTTCTCTACTCAGTCCTCTTACCACGCTTTCTTTTTCTCCCTCACATCATCTTTTCTCTCTACTCGTCGCTATCCCAACATCATGGCCGACTCCAACCCCGCCGTGCCTCACGTAGGCCGCCGCCCCGCGACTGTCCTTTCGGCCACCGAGCTGATTGGCAACACACCCCTCGTCCGACTCAACAAGGTGCCCCAGTCGCTGGGCATCGAATGCGAGGTTTACGCAAAGACTGAGCTCTTCAATGCTGGTGGCAGTGTCAAGGACAGAATTGCTCTGCGCATGATTGAACAGGCCGAGCAGAGTGGCCGTATTAAGCCCGGCGACACTCTTATTGAGCCAACCAGTGGAAACACGCAAGTCACACCTCGATAGACCCGACGTTTATGATTTCTGGTCATTTTTGCTAACCCTTTCTGTTCTATAGTGGTATCGGTCTCGCTCTTGTTGGTGCCATCAAGGGCTACAAGACCATCATCACCATGCCCGAAAAGATGTCCGCCGAAAAGGTCTCCGTTCTCCGTGCCCTTGGAGCCACCATCATCCGAACCCCTACCCAGGCTGCCTGGGACGCCCCCGAGTCTCACATTGGTGTCGCCCGCCGTCTCGAAAAGGAGATCCCCAACGCTCACATTCTCGACCAGTACGGCAACCTCGATAACCCTCTTGCCCACGAGCTTGGTACTGCTGAGGAGATTTGGGAGCAGACTGGCGGCAAGATCAACGCTGTTGTTGCTGGTGCTGGTACTGGTGGCACAATCACCGGTCTTGCTCGCGGTCTCAAGAAGCACAACCCTGATATCAAGGTCATTGCTGCCGACCCCCACGGCTCTATCCTCGCCCTGCCCGAGTCTCTCAACGAGGCCCGCGTTAATGAGCCCTACAAGGTTGAAGGCATTGGCTATGACTTCATCCCCGACGTTTTGGACCGTGATGTTGTTGATAAGTGGTACAAGACCGATGATGAGCAGTCTTTCTACCTCGCCAGACGCTTGATCGCTGAGGAAGGCCTCCTTGTCGGTGGCAGCTCTGGTTCGGCCATGGCTGCTATGCTTTTGGCTGTCAAGGACCTTGGACTCAAGAAGGGCGATGTTGTTGTTGTCATCCTCCCCGACAGCATCCGCAGCTATCTCTCCAAGTTTGCCGACGACGACTGGTTGGCCGCCAACAACCTCCTCCCTGTTAACGGTCTCGAGGCCACCAAGACCACTTCGACCTCCAACGATCCGTACGAGGGTGCCACTATTGCTTCCCTCCGTTTGAGACCCGTCACCTCTATTGGTTCCACCGCCAGCTGCTCTGAGGCTATTGAGACTATGCGCGACAAGGGCTTTGATCAACTCCCCGTTCTCTCTGAAGCCAGCAAGCTCGTCGGTCTTGTCACTCTCGGTAACTTGCTCAGCTACATCTCTCGCGGCCGCGCCAGCCCCCAGAGCCAAATCAAGGACGTCATGTTCGACTTTGGCCGCCTTGACGAGATCGTCACAGACCCTCGCCAGGCTGCTGCCGCTGGCGACGCCCCTGGCAACAAGCGCAAGTTTGTTGAGATCACCATGGACACCTCTCTCACATATCTCAGCAAGTTCTTTGAGTGGAACAGTGCTGCTGTCGTCACCGAGCAGAGCAAGGACAACACTTTGTCCAAGCCCCTCGCTGTTGTCACCAAGGTCGACCTCCTCACCTGGATGGTCAACAAGAAGGCCTAAGGCCTGCGCACCACGCTATAACGAAATAATGGTAAATAGAACTACTGCATGTTTGGAATTAGAAAAAGAAAAAAGACACAAAGGCGAGCAATTTCACCTGAGGCGTTGTTGGTTGAAGTATTGGAATGGCATCTTAACATAGACATGGGCTGGCTAGACTCAACACTGCTGGCGGGATCAGTGGAAAAACGTATATTTTAATGAGACCGAATTCATATTCTTTTGATATAATTGGCTTGTATTATGATTCTTTTTTATCGTTACGTGAAGATGTATTAGTACAGTGTATTGAATTATAGCCCATTACACACGCTGGGCCACCCACCACCACCACTTGTCAACGTCAGCCTTTTCCGACATGACACTGCCGCCAATGACGTCGACGTCAATATCAAACTCTTGCATCTGGGCAAAAGTGAACTTATCGGAGCCATATTCACCGAGCCAGCCGTCTTGTTCCTCGGAGCCAATATCGTCGATTCCAACGCCAGTGTCAAGGAGGCCCTTGCTCCTGGAGGCTCGGATTCGAGTCAATTCAGCCTCCAAGTTGCTGCGAACCATAGTTGCAGGTAGTGCAGTGAACAAATCCATCTTATTGGCGGCAATAAGAACAGGTACCGACGCCTTGTCCTTGCCCTTGGAGCTAGCCTTCTTTTGGAGGAACAGAAGCAAGTCGTATAGGTAGGCAGCTGTCGGCGCTAGGAAGTCGTGCTCGCCAATTGAGGATGCATCGACAGCAAAAACTACGGCCTTGAGTTTCTCGGATCTAGCTAGCTTGCCCATGGCAATGTTGCGCAGCTTGCCATGGCCAGGCGTATCGATAAGCAAGAACTTTGTGTATGTGCCGCTCGAGTCTTCGTGGTTCCGGAACGACATCTTTTGGTCGGAGTCGGTAGAAGCATTGAGCTCTACAGACTGTGTCGACTGTGTTGTATGTGTCTGGGCAGGCTGTGTACCGCGCTCGAGAAGCGTCAAGAGCGCAGTCTTGCCTGTGTTGCTGGGGCCCAGAAGAAGAACCGTTGGTGGGACGGTATATGTCGCAGACGACGCGAGGATAAAGTGAAGTATAAGAGGAGCGCCAATGATGACTATGACGCCAAGCACCATAACGGTTAGCGAGGGCGTCAAGAGGAAGTCTACTGCCTCTGTAAAGGTAGTCATGTTGGGCGAGCGGTGTTTTGGGGGGGCTTTAAAGGAGGCTCGTTGTGATGTCGGGGCTAGCTCCGGTGAGCAGCCAAGTTGTGAATTTTCGAAAGGTAATCGAGCTTGACTATGGTGTCGTGCTTCGGAAAACAGAGTCGAATCGGAGCGCGCGTGAGAGCCGGACACACAGAGCGTGTTGCGTGTTAGGAAGAGTTTCCAGCGTTGAATTGTCCAACGTGCAAGGCAACCGAACTCATGTGGGCTAGCGAACGTTCTGGTGTGTTTGGTGCGCCACAGCTGCGAAGCCACAGCGGGCAACGAGTGGCGTCCCTGCTCTCAGCTCTCCGATAAGCCAATCAGCTCAGCCCCCTTTAGCTGATGCCAGCAGCTGCTGAGCCTCGTTGCGGGAAGGATTTCGGTTGAACCTCATTTCTTCCTCTCCTTCTTCTTCTGCCTTCTGTTTTATCCAGACGAATACACTGGCCATATTGTTTCTATGCTTAGAGCCTCGATTTATTTATCCGCCGTTGGATCACTATTCTATTTTTAATCACATGCATCTAGCTTGATGGAGTAGATCCCACCGCGCTTTGATTACACGGACCTCTTCCACAAGCCTCGTCATCCGCCCCCGTCCCGCCCAACGGACTTTTTTTTGACACAACCCGTCGCATCCGCCGTTGACAGTTGGCCTTCTTCTAATATCCTTCCTAACAACTGCGAAGCGAAACAGCAACCGCTACAGATTGACTTGCGCTTCACTTCCTCGTTACTGCCTCGACATATGAGCACCCGGCCTCCCGCAAGCAGCAATTCGGCTGCGTCGACGTCCTCACCGATACGACTCGCTACTAAGGCTTCTGCAGCAAGCCCTAAGCTCAACAACGACATGGAGATGGGTGCGGTACAGGCGGGCGATGCCCCTGCCGTAGCACCCGAGGACGACATTATGCAGCTTGCCAGACTCGGTGACGTCTCTGCCATGGAGCAGCTCTTCGCAAAGGGTGAGCATGATGCGACATACACTGATGACGAGGGAATCACACCTCTGCACGTAAGTTGGCCCAATACAGTCGTTAGCAATTGGCTCATGGCTAACATACACACAGTGGGCAGCCATTAACAACCAGTACGCAATGTGTAAATTCCTCATTGAGCACGGCGCTGAGCTCAACAAAAAGGGCGGCGAGTCGATCGCAACACCGCTCCAATGGGCCGCGCAACGGTGCCATTACTACACCGTCAACCTGCTCCTCCAGCATGGTGCTGATCCCCTCATCACCGACGCCCAAGGCTACAACACACTGCACATCTCGACCTTTAACGGCAATGTCATGCTCATTACTCTCCTCCTCCACCAGGGCATCCCTGTTGACGTTCTCGACAGCTATGGCCATACATCGCTGATGTGGGCTGCGTACAAGGGATATCCTCAGCTGGTAGACCTCTATCTTCGATGGGGCGCTAGTGTGCACGCAACGGACGAGCAGGGCTTTACCGGGCTGCATTGGGCTCTCGTCAAGGGCAACCCGGCGTGTATCCTGAAGATGGTTGAATACGGTGCCGATCGATTCGCAAAGACAGAAACTGGCAAGACCCCAGCCATTACGGCAAGCGAACTCAATACCCAACATGCTTGGCATCGTGCCTTAAAGGAATGTGGTTTCGATGAAGATGGCCATCCGGCTATGCCTCCATGGCCTGGTGCGGCATACTTCCTTAAAGACAAGCGCCAATTTGTAACCCGATTCTTATACTTTTGTCCCTTTGTTTTGGTTTGGGCTATTATTGCTATCATGGCGAACGCGCCTATCTTCCTGGGAATTCCTTTCTCAGCCATTGTTGGCTACGGCATTATCTTTTGCGCGAAGCAAGTGTTGGACTATGCGCCGTCAGACATGCGCTCCTTTCATAAAACAGTACGTCATGATGATTTTAGAACTTTTGTACCGCACTGCTTCATTCAATGCTAACACAAGCAATCTACAGCCTTGGCTTCCTGGTATCTTCTCCGGCACCCTCTTCCTCACCGGCTGCAACTGGGTATGGACGGTGCTGCCGAAGACCGCACTCAACAAAGAAAGCCCTCACTACCTGCTGAATATCCTGTTCATGGCTGCGTTCCTCCTTACCGCTTTTTTCTACTTTGCTGCCATGCGATACGACCCTGGATTCGTTCCCAAACTAAACGGCATTGCTGAGCAGCGCGCTGTTATTGACGAATTACTCAAAGAGTGGAAATACGACGAGGCCAACTTTTGCACAACTTGTGTGATTCGCACACCTCTTCGTAGCAAGCACTGCAAGCGCTGCCAGCGTTGCGTTGCCAAGCATGACCAGTAAGTCAACTCTTCTTGCACATCAAACCCGCCTCCATACTAATGAAACTTAGCCATTGCCCCTGGGTCTATAACTGCATCGGCGTCAACAACCACCGACACTTTGTGCTATACTTGGTATCTCTTATTAGCGGTATCTTCCTATACGACTGGCTCATTTACGACTGTAAGCGCTTACCATCTTTCGGCCCATGGACCCTACTAACATGATACATAGACTTTAACATCGTGTCGCCAAACGCTCCCGAAACATGCAACCTCCTCGGTGCTACCATGTGCAAGCTCCTGAACGCAGATTCGTACACCTTCATTCTGGCTATCTGGATCACACTGCAGCTCATTTGGGTGGTCATGCTCATTGCCACTCAGCTTATTCAAGTTTCTCGTGCTATGACCACATATGAGAACATGATGGGCATTAATTCCGGCAGATCAATGGCCCCGACGGCGTTTTCTTCCACTGGCGCACCCCTCGACCCGAACCACGCGACACTCCCCGAGGCCCCTTCAACGGCGAACGCTGGACCGAGACAACAAAAGGGCGGCATGTTCAAGCAATGGGGTCGTCTTCTGGGTGTCGACCCCTTCATCGAGACGATCACAGGTCGCGGTGCTGCGACTGGCAAGAACCGCCGCAAGAAGAAGAACCCATACAGCAGAGGCTGCATTCTCAACTGCAAGGACTTTTGGTTCGACCCAGCCCCCGTCTTTGGTGAGCGAGAAAACGGCAGCGCGTTGCTCGGTGGTGGTAAGGTTGACTACACTGCCATGTATGAAAGCCCTACGATGATGCGCATCAATGGTATGAGAGGTAGAGGTGGCTACGAGTCGGTAGCCACGGAAGAGGAGGCCGAGGCCGAGGAGGTTTAGACTAGCCATTGAGTGAGAATGGTTAAACAAGCAAACATTGGGACGGCGCGCAGTTATTTATCTCGAGGAGTTGGTATGGCGAACGGGCGACCTGAAAATAGCGTCATCATGCGCAGTACGAGTGATGAGCCCTTTATTCTTATACATACATACAACCGTGCGTGTAATTATAGACTGTAATATTGAAACATGACATTGTATTCATTCATTCATCATCCTCTGCTGTTGTACATAAACGCTCATTGTATGTGTTGTGTCGTTTGTGATTTGCTGGCGTATAGCTTTGTCCAGTCTCTAGCTGTTTGATAATATGCCTCATTATCAGCTTTATACACGCCTGCGGCCTCCATGTTAATCGCGTTATCCTCTTCTACGGATGACAATTGCAACCGGATATTTGTGAGAACTAAGCGGTTAGCAACCAGGGACATATGAATCACGCTGACATACCATTTGATACCAGATTGATCGGCTGCCACTTCTCCATCAAGAATTCCATGCAAATGATGCCGCTGTCGCTGATATTGACATGATATATTTTAGTAGTGAAGTTGATTTTGGGCTGGCGAAAGGGATAGTCTGCTGGAAAGACAATGTCTATGTGAAAGAACCCGCCTGAATATGGAGAGTCGTCCTTGAAAGCATTAATTTTACGGCCGCTTTTACTTCCATAATACGGATGAAAATACTCACTGGTCCTGTTATGGATGCTTTCCAATGAAACTATTTCCTGTTAGCCCACTACTGTACGATACAAGTGGAATAGGGTTCATCATACTAGGTTATCGTCAATCACGCTCACATCACAACCAGTTGATAGATTGCTGCGACTATTTAGCCCCCAAATACGAAACTAGCAGCAGGACTCATTGCAAGATCAAACCTTTTTATATCACCAAGCTCTTTTTTAAGTCGCTTTTCCGCCGCCATGTTTCGTAGTTGTATACAGTTCGTACTCGTGCGGAATGGTGAGCAGAAAGAAGACGGGCGGCATCGCCACATTCCAGGTGAGCCTTTGGCTATCGACCACGTGATATCACCTACACATCCCATAATATGCGTATTACCGTGTTATTTATGCTAAAATGACATTTGTACTTTATGAGAAATTTTGAAACTATTTTATTTTTCGTAATTGGTTGAACGTTACTGATTAACATGTACAGTTTACTGCGGGTGTAGAACTACCCTGCTATACTACAATGATACCTCTCTCTTTGAAGTATGCTTTTAACACTGCCCCTTCTCCTTTATGATCACTCAGATGGTAGCCCATGCCAATCTCTTTCAACTTAGGATACGAGGCGGCAGCGATGTCTGCAAAGGCCATGATCTTGAAGTCTTCTGGGACTCCCAACACGTGAAGCACCTCGAGATTCGGGGCCATAAGAGATTGCAGAAATTTGACGTGTGACGTCTCTTTGATCGGTTTAGCCTCTTTGGTTTCGTTGCTCTGTTCATTTCCGTCTTCGTCTTCGTCTTCATCTTCGTCCTCTGATTCTGAATCCTCATCATCAGACTCTTCCTTGATAACACCCATACAGGTGACGCTAAGATACCCGAGGGCCGTCATCTGACTCAGATTTGACATGTTGACCTCATCTTCATCCCAATCGTCATCCTGGGCGGCTGGGGAAAAGTTCAAGTCCAAAGTCAACGAAGTCAACTTATCTTTCAAAGGCAGCAGTGCATCTATAATCTCTGCAGGTGTAGCCTCCGTAGTGCTGCCCCAGGTTGGTCCCGAGTCTGCAGTATATGTAAAGTCGGTCATATTTGGAAAGGTGCTAACAATCAAGTCAAAGCAGGAGCTGTCCAAATAACTGTAGCCCATGACAACATTCGTGACGCCCTTATGAGAGCCCCCGCCCTCCATATCTTCAACGATGTACCCATAGAAGCGTTTCAAGTTTGGCGCGGCATCCATTAACCATTCCATGCTGCCGTCAATCTTCACACCCTCACCATCTGGACCTGGCTCCCATGTGATTTCGGTCAGGTGGTCAAATGTGCAGAGTGGTGTAGCAAAGTGAGGTATCGTCCAATTATGAGCATGGAGGGCAATATTGTAGACATTTGGTGAGAGTAAAATGGCTAGAGCCGCAATTCCACTCTGCTCTGGGCTCCATGGAAACCGCGGCGCTTTTCTCTTTTTCACTGCCTCGATTCTCAATGGAACGCCGGTGTAGACCTCTTCACCAGCTGAATCTGTAAGAGAACGGACATCGAATCGTTCTAGCGCCTCGTTCAACACTGCTTCGTCGTCGGGTGTGATGAGCCATTCACTTTCCGCCTCTGGTGAGTTTCGATAGTTATCCGCGTCAAAGTCGCTCAGAATAATCTCCTTTACTTTGGCACCCAGGTCTGGCCTTGATAGGAGTGTACGGATGAGCCGAATGGCTTGGATAGGATCGTCTTTACAAGTTATGGATGTGAAGAGCTCGGCCTGGCCAAAACTTCTGAGTTGTCTACAGGTTTTCGACAAGTCGGACACCGACTCTCGATCTGGGGGAGGGGCAGCTGGTGCATTAACGACTGGTTCATTGCCAGTTCGAGGCGTCCGGTTGTAAAGAATAGTAGCAATATGGGCCAAGAGCTCTTGTGGCAGGGTTAACAATGAAGCCATCGTAGGTGAATTGAGCATGTGTTTGTGCATAGGTTGAGCTGAAGGGTGGGTGGGTAAATAAATAAGCTTAGAGTTAAGATTGGCTGCCTCTGGCTCAGCCACCAGGGCTGGATCTGAACAGAGCGGGCTCTTATGGGAGCTATGACGAATAATAAAATAAATAAATAATGAAGAAAATAAAATAGAATTGGTATATAGATTTACATGTATATGGTGTCCGAGTCTCGAAGGTAAGGCAACTTGCTACCTAGTGGTACAATTTCAAGACGCAGAGGTAGCTGCGAAATGAACATTACTGCCCAGAGAGCCTGAAGGGTTGTTAGTGGACCTAACGCTTGCGGGAGAAGAAAATGACTTACTTCAAGTACTGTGTGAGGAACGACGACATGCCCCCCTCTGAGTGATAGAACCCAATTTTCCCAATCAATACCGCTGAGGCTGACGGGGCACCAATGCAGTTGCTTCATGGTGGGCACGCGAATCTCGGGCTGGTTCTCAAGATTTACGAACAGATTCCGGCGAGTGGTGTCATTGTCGGCACCTCTTCTGCCGAATCGTGCGTAAAATTGGTCTCTCAACGCAGGACTTGCTTCCAATTCTAGAAAATCCCATTCCATGCCGTAAAACTCCATCGGTTGGGCTGCAAGCTGCTTGAAGGCGCTATGGATGGTATCCGCAGCGTCAACTGCGTCTGTGGCCAGCATTCCCTTGGGTAATTTGCTGCCAGGGCGGAAGGACTTGCGGTCTGAATCTGTAACACCACGCTTATATGTATACGTCCCCAGAAAGAAGTGCTCCAGTGACGTGGAATCGTATTCGTACACCCAGTCGGCAATGTCGCCCCAAAGATTGGCCCAGTCTTCTGCCGTGGGAGCTTTGCTGGATGCATTGCCGATGTGTGAATCGCGATATATGAGATCCATAAAATTACCTGCACCCAGAGCAAGGCCGATTGCTGGTCCAATTGCTGCTGTTTGGGGGTCTGTTCCTATGATGCCAGAGCGGACGGTACGGCCAGCAACGGCAAGCTGTTCTTTGATATCCTTTGCCACACCGGCTAGGCTTGGGTCAGTTTTGAAGTTGGCAGTCACACTTTTGTCCTTGGAGCTGGTAAAGTCTTTTGGTGGTGTTAGTTTGCGGAGATCACGATCTGAGAACATTTCTCTCTTCGTGTAGCGTTTGGAGAAGAATGCACGGAGCTGAGTCCAGTCGGGGTGAAGATGGATGGCTCTAATGATGGAGGTGAAGAGCACTGTTGACTCTTCGAGATGCGCATGCTCACGTAGGAAATTGAACTCATTTACCGTACGACCGCAAGGTGACTTGGAGTATCGAGTTAGTGATAGAAAGCGAGTAAGATGACGTTTCAGTAAAAGAGCTTACCGCGCCTGGGTTCTCAATAAGTCTGGTGATGTTGGGTTGTCCTGCCTCGTTCTCCAGACGAAGGGCCAGAGGGATGGAGGCCTGTAGCGGAACAGACATCTTGTCTTTGATTTTTGTGTTTTATGTAGACACCGCTAATGCCAGACTGGTGAGGTGAAGCATCAACAGATATCATAGGTGGTATAATGAAAGAGGAGTCGATACAAAGAGAGGCAGCCGTTTGGAGTAACTACCATCTGACAACCATCTATACTGTACTGTACTGTGCCACACTGTGCTTTCCAGGGCTCGTCCCCGCTGTGCGTGCGGCTGAGATGGAGCCAAGACCAGCTGAATCGAGGCAGTGCTGGTGAAGATGACAGCCTGAACCCCGCCGTATAAGCTTTATTTTAGGCTGCCACAGGACTAAAGTAGTACTATGGCTCGCCCTATCATAAGGAAAAAAAATAGTACGGTGGGAAAAAACCGGCGGCCTCTGCTTGTGGGGTAACATACTGTGCAATATACAGAGCACGGCTTGGAAAGCGGCGAAGAGAAGAAAGAATCGCATTCTGCAGACCGCTGATGCCCTTTCATTGTCACGGCAAACTATAGCCAGAGCATCATCATCATTCAATGGAGCTCCCTCTTCATCCCAAACCAGCAGCTTCAGCCGCCACCGCGCCGTACGATGATGCTGGAGCCCTCATTCTCACAGACGCTGCTGGCCCGCCAAACAGTATTTCTTACAATGTTTCTCTGTCGGGCGTCAGTAATGCAAGAGGGCTTTCAGAAACTCAGCCTGCGTTTCATAAAGCCTTTGGTGAGCAGCCTCATCGCGCAATCCTGATCAATGTTCTAACAGCTTTGGTACCTAGCGCGACGTGTACTCCCACAGAAGCTCTTGGGTATTTCTGAGAAGCTCATGGAGATGGATGTAGATGCAGATCCGGCATATCAAGGCTGGGCCCCTGGATCTACAACCATCTCTGGTTTTGGCCGTGAAGTCACCTACTGGAGGAATATCCGTGCTGCCGCTGGAAAGGAAGCCCCAGAGGAACCAACATGGCGCACTGCAAGCAACCGTCCTGGACTGGATGGAAAATTCATTATACAAACGTTCATGCAAAGACAGCAAGGTCTCGGTGATGACTGGACAGAGCAGAAGGGATATGACCAAGTCGGCGAACTGGTTTCACGAAAAGAGTAAGTCACTTCGATGCTTATGTGTACTTTTACTAATGCTTTGTGTAGGTATCACTGGATGAGTCCGGATGAAAAGACAAAAATCCGTCATCAGATTAGTGACCTTCTCTCAGCCATGGCAACTAGTCCCGTCCTTTCTTTTGAGACTGTCGGCTGTGTGGCGACGCTAGTTCACTTTGAAAGAATAGGACGTGAGTTTACTTTTGTCGACTTCATGTACCAGCTTTTAAAGGCCAGAGAAGTCCTTCTTCGCATGGAAAAGTCGCCACCCGACAGCTGGTATGGAGGCATCAGCAATCGCATTCTATGCGACCTGATCATAGCCGACCTCTGGACCGAAAACTTTGAGCCAAATGGTGAGACAACGTTTATACCCAAAAAGACGACGGTCTATAATCAATTCGACGGATTACTTCGCTTTGTCAAAGCAATGCAGTGGCCGTATGAAGAAGAGATCCGTGATGCAATACAGCAGCTGCGCGTGGCTGACCCGACCCAAATGAGCTACGAGATGAGCAGCTGGGACTGGTTAAATGGAATGATATTTCCTGGCGCCTTTTTCAATTTGGGGGTTGTAAGTGCTATTACATCCTTCTCCCCTTCACTTCGAGAAAAGGGTGGTGTTCTTGGCAAGACGGTCTCGGTGCGTAGGGGCAACTTTGGTGTTTTATACTCTGAGTCGAGCTACTGGAACTCTCGGTCTATTATTGGCAAAGTGCTCGCTCCCATGGCCTCAGCACGACCTGCAGAAAAGAGCGTCAAGACCAAATGCATAGGTGGCTGGGTTGGGCCTTGTTTAGCAGCGACTTTCATCGAAGGGGCTGGGTATATCCCCGACTGCAAGTTTGGGGCTATTGCGTCTGTTGATTCTTTGTATCCGGCATCTTCCTACGCCCCAGAGCCAGAGTTGTACAAACCAAAGAAGGCTGAAGTTGATGACAAGAGTAATTGGATTGAGCCTACGGTACCACCTGCTGCCACCGACTCGGCAAAACTCACTGCCTTGCGTCTCGTCAGGACGTCTGTGCTTATCAACAATCAGCCACGAGGAAACGAAGCTGTGTCGTATCAGGCGCAATTGGACTTCCGGCTCAACAGGACGAAGGCTACGGTGTCTACAACACTAAAGACTAATAGCATCTTCATCGCTGCACCAGCTTGCCGTGGGCAGCACCGAATTGATCCGGCAGAGGCATCCAAGTATCGATTTCATACTCTACAGATTGAGGAGTTGGTGGAGGATGACGAAGCGCCACCAGACGGACGGGACGATGCAGAAATCATTGTAGTAAACACAAATGGAGCTCACGCATCAGAGGCCTATGCACGCGCTTGGTGCAGCGAAGAGGGAAAGGACGCCGTGATTTGGAAGAGAACGGAGCCAAAGTGCTGCTTCAAGTGTGCATTGATGTTGGCAAGCAAGGACGGGTTGGGTGTTGGAATTGTTATTATTTCCTAGAAAATCCAGTTTGTTCGTGAAATATGGCTTTCTCACCTGCTTACTGTATGTAAATAGAATAGAAAATATTCCATTAAATTATAAACCCGGACTTAAAGCGAATTAATTTCCAGTAAAACATGCACAGTGCCCCTCCGGCAAGGCTAACACAGCATAGTGCGCCTAGGGTTCCACTCACTGTGCGGCGCAGCACGGCTTGAAATAAAAGCTGATCGCCAGCTGGCAGGACTGTCACTTGGTCATTCCATGTCATTTCTCTTTTTGTGAATTTGTGAATTTTCGTTTTCTTTATTTCCGCACCTCCAACATGGCTTCGACAGCGTCCGATCCCTTTCATGCCGAAGCCGCTCGCTTCCAGTCTCTCACAGAGCAGCTGCTCAGCTTAGTGAGCGCTCACACTGGCGTTGCAGGACCAAATGAGACAGAATATTACCAACATATTCAAAAGATAATCACAGATATCAGTGGCTACGTTGTTTATCGTCTCTTAAACGAGGGACCAGGACAGTGGAAGCAGTCAGTTACTACTCAGGCAAACGACTTTTTCAAATATGGCCAGCAACTCATTCAAAGCCAAGCCTTCAAGGGCATCATTGAGACGACAAGCTTGGAGGACACGCAGTTTTCTGGCCGCATGGCCGCTTTAAATAACTTTCTTGGGGCAGCATACAGTTTGGGTAACAATCACAAGCCACCTGAGCCTGGAGAGGTCCAGTACAGAGGAAGTATTCCAAGGCGATACGGGTACGAGATTGACCAATTGATTGACGCCAAGTTCAAGCCCGCCCAGCTACCTCCATGGTTTGACTTTACGGAAGCTCAGCGCTGGATTACACAATGCAAAGAATCGCATGCGCTTTGCAAGGTACCGAAACAAACACAAGCTTTGCTATCAGCCCACCCAAGCTGGCTCATCGATGTGGAAAGAATGTGCTTAGTGAAGGGAGGGCCAGGGCTACAGTACGTGTGTCTGAGCTACCTCTGCGATTCACCGTGCTTCAAAACCGGCAAAAGAAGTCTCAAGAAGCTACAGAACCAAGGCTCGCTAGCTCCTCCTGCTACGGCAGCGAGTGCCAATGGCGGAATCCCAGCGACAGTTTCCCACGCCATTCAAGTAACCTCACGACTCAACCGGCGCTATCTGTGGGTTGACTCGCTGTGTCTCGTTCACGACGACGAAGCCCAGTTGGAGCTCGATTTAGTCAACATGGCGTCCATATTTGCGAATGCAGACCTGACAATTGTCATCCCTACCGTCGCAGCAGCCAGTGGTCTCCATGGTGTTTCAGAGGTGACGCCTCCCATTGCAAACCGAGTTTACTACCGCCCTAGATGGTGGGAAACGCCTCGCAAGCTCGACGACCGCATCAAGGAGCAACAGAAAGTCCTAAATGATGTGTCATGGGGCTCTCCTTGGCGTAAACGCGCGTGGACATTCCAAGAGAATCACTTTTCCAACCGGTTTCTCGTCATTGACGAAAAGTCAATGGTCTGGCAATGTCGCTGCCAGGTGTATTTCGAAGGAGCACGACTTCCTGAGCGACAGGAAACCTACAACACACATGGCCAGGGTCTGAAAGTTGCCTCGCCAAGCTTCAAAGATTACGCCACCCTGGTATCGGCAGTAAACATTCGCCAGCTGCGATCCGCTGAAGAGTCTCTCTATGTTTTTGGTGGTATCATGGGAGCCTTAGATGCTAGCTGGAACTCGGGCTGGATAGCTGGACTGCCGAGCCAGTTCTTTGATCTAGCGTTGGTCTGGTACAATGAGAAACCTCTCAAGAAGCGAGGCTCTGTCAACTCGGATCTAATGATGCCAAGCTGGTCCTGGGCTGCATGGGAGGGCGCGATTGCATTTCTGGACGAGCCAAAGGGCAAAGACTCACTAACATCTCTGGTTCAATGGAGATTATCGCCGAGAAGGCGAACTTGGACGCCTCTGTCTCAGATACAGGCGTCTCAGAGCCAAACAGGCGGTAGCGCGCAGCCGGGAGATGCCATCTCCAGTGCAATGGGTTCGCTGAGCATCTCTGGATCACCGGCATCTGAAACAAAGGCAGTGACACACTTTTCACCCTATCTTCTCGGTGGCACCGTTCAACATCTGTCACTTCATGTCATGGAATATGAAACGGCCGGTATTCCACTGGTCAACAAGGAAGGCGACTGTATCGGCATGATTACGCCACACGAAGCGATAACGCCAGTGAAAAACACAAGTGCGATTACGTGTGATGTGATTGCAGTCTCTGAACTTTCAATGGATGGAATGGAAGTATACAATGTGCTTTGGGTGGACAAGGTGGATGGAGTTGTCAGCCGCAAGGGTGTTGGTAGAGTTGTGAAGGAGATGTGGCTTGCAATGAAGCCAAGTACGATTGACATAATCATTGGATAATCATTGGATAATCATGTTATTATTTTCTATTTTATTTTACTTCTAAAGGGAAAATACTAGTTAATTTAAAAGATTCAACACTAGTAGATGGTCGTTCGAAAAAGGTACGATTTCATAGGGAGACAATGAGCGGCGTCTGTGCCGATAGCATCGTGAGGATTGTAAAAGGAATTATTATTTTTATATTATTTAGCTCAAAAACGTCTCGATTTTGTAATCCACAGGCATTCCGTTTTCGAATAAAATATTACGTAAGTTGCGCACTAATCGAGCATGCTTTCGCATCTGATTCTCTACAACATCAACACACTCTATCAACATCGTACACGGCACCATGTCCTTGCTGACGCGTCTACCTCGAGATGTAATATATGAGATTCTCAAATTTGTCCGAATTAAACACAGCACTGAATATGTCAACCCCGACAAGTACTTGGTGGACTGTCTAGCACTGTCCAACTTGTCCAAGACATGCAAGGAGTTCCGAGACCTCGTTCAGCCCGAACTATTTCGATCGCTATTAGTACGAGGCACCCTAAATAGTTCATTAAATCTCATCAAAGTTCTTACGGATCGCCCGGACCTCGCCAACGCTGTACAATGCGTCTCTTCTGATGAAACAAACTTCCAGTACGATTCGCCCAAGATCCCAAAAGAGGCCGAATGGGTTGTCTCGCCTGCTGAAGCGTCACATATCAACGAGCTCTTTGACAAATTCGACATACAACGAAAGATTTACAGCTTATCTGAGAGTAGAAATATCGAACCTTGCAAGTTGAAACCACTTAGTGCGAAAGATGCTACACGGAGAAAACGGCCAGATATTGGATACGAGGACGCCGTGACTCTGGCCATACTTTTATGCCGCAATATTCGCAACGTAAAATTGTACCACACAGATCAAGCATTTTCGTATTTTGCTACGCCAGGGTTTCCCTTTGCAAATCTAAAAGAACTACATCTATACGCGCACAGCAGCAACGATTCGAGAGCGTTGGAGGGTAGTCTTGGGTGGTTTTTCAAAGCCGCCCCTGCGTTGCAGAACATACGGGCCGAGGCTGTGTGGAAGGTTGAACCTGGACTCTTCTCTCATCCTACATTGGCTGAGCTTGCTCTCCATTACAGCTGTATCGATGTCAAGGCTTTGGGGGATATTATGGCTGCGTTTCCCAAGCTCCGACGTTTTCTCTACCGGGCTGATACCGCACCATATCATATATTCGACCTTAAAGATGTTACTCCCCGCGAAGTTGTGGATGGACTGCTTCCTGTAAAGGACACTCTGACTAGGTTGTGTCTTGAGTTCCAATATGCAGAGGCTTGGGAGCATGATCTGTGGACAGAGGAAGACACCACCTTGCAAGGTATCAGCCAACTAAATAACCTTACGGAACTGGAGCTAGGATGCTATGGACTGGCATATCCAGGGACGATTCAGGAAGCGGATGGACGCATTCGTCCTGAAACAAAAATTGAGTGGCTGGTGCGGCGTCTTGCGTTGCCAAGTCTTGAACAATTAAAATTATGGGATATTGGCGAAGTTTCTGACTTGGCTAACATTGCGGAAATATTACCTGAGTTATTTCCAAGCTTGGAGAAATTTGAGACCAAAGCCGACGAGGACGATATGGCTGATGAAGTAGTAAAGGGCCTACCGGAATTATTTGCCAAGCACGGCATAACGCTTGAGTTTTTCAATCATGACGATGATGATTAATCGTGTTAGGACTTGCTTGAAACGATTTAACGAAGTTCCTTTGTGGTTTCGTTACGAATTCACTCACGACGCAAGCTAGGAACAATCAAGGTGTTTTTTGGTGTGTGAAGAAGCTGAAATTCATATAAACGGTCTAGAAAATAAAACGCCAGCCCAATGCCATGTTATAACACCACTCGTTGTACACTTCCCTAGTCGCACCCAGTGCGTCTTCGGGTAATCGCCCTTTGTCCACAATCACCATGCCTTGTTATCAGTGCTTAAGAAGAGAAGAGGAGGCCACGGCGGCAAGGAGGGCAGTTGGGAGCGGGAGCAGCAGGAGCAGCAGCACCTGCGCCAGGGCCACCAACATCAGGGAAACCGCAGCCGCGCTTGCCAGCAGCGTTGCCGACAGCAGGGCCGGAGCAGACGGCGCCATCACCAAGACCGGCGCAGCATCCGGAAGCGCAGTCAGCGTTGCTGAGACAGGCACCGGTGATGAACTGCTTGCCCTTGCCGTTGCCAACGTTGGCAGCGCCAGCAGGGTCACCGACAGCGAAGACGGTAACGGCGACTATAGATTGTTGGTTAGTAAGAAGGGGAAGCTAGCGATGTTGTGGATGGGTGTTTCGTACAGGTGAGGAAAGCGGCGATAGCGATGCGGACCATTTTTGCGGTTGGAAAAGCAAAGAGGGTGAAAAAAATAGAAAGTTGTAAAAGAGTGGTTGTTTTGAAAAGAAGTAGAAAAGGCGCCGGGCCGAGAGAAGAGAAAGTGGTAGTTGGTTGGTTGGTGTTGTGAGTGAGTGAGTGATGAGGGGAGAGAATGGAGGGGAATACAGTCACTCTTTATACACAAATGAAGCAAGAGGGCATAACAATGTAATCATCTCATGTTTCTCAAACCAAAACATCAGACATACAAGTAAAATGAAGCAGGATACGCATGTCAGCCAAGGATTAAGCTGCTTCGAAACCAGGTGCCTCATGCTTTTCGTCTCTCTGCCTGCGCCAGCCCATACGTTACATCTCCCTCCTCTCTTTTTTCCGCCCTGAACTCCAGGAACCAGAACCGTCGCATCACTGTAGCAGCGCCGGCACCACCCGTGATTGGTCTGCCAAATATTAAAGCGTTGCTCCAAAGGCGCTGCTTCGAGACGTTGCCTGTCGCAAGGGAAGCCCCTCGGCTGTCGCAGCCCCGTGGGCGGCTTGTCCTAAAGGGGAAATCAGCGCGTGCTGTGATTGGTCGCTTGGCCAGGCTGTCTGATTTACAGCGGGAAGACGGGTCCGTTCCAGCGAGTCCTTCAGCGGGGGAACACTGCTGTAGCGTGATGAAGTGCGCTGAACCGGTGGTTTTTTAGGCGGCGTTGTGCCCACTAAATTAAAGGATGAAACCGCACCGCACAGGCTTTACCAGATCGGCGCATCAGAGGCGTCTCATCTGTGCGGGCGCAGCTGGGACATGCTAGAAAAATATTAGGAAAGGAGAGGAATTATCCCCTGATGATACAGAGATGCCACGCTTTTTGCCGTTTCGCAGACATGTTGGCTGCGTGAGACTGCACTGTGAGGGCTGGTTATAGAAGGGGAGGCAACGTTATGCGGCTCTTGATGTTGTAGGTAGCTGTCTCTGCAGTGTTTATAGAGCGTATTATGCGTCTGAAGGGTTGATCTTTCTATGATTTTAAGCTGCTGTGATTTTCAAAACGTGTTTTCGGATCCGGTTCATCCCGTTTATGGCAGCGCATGCAAACTGATGGCTGCTTACCTGGGATGACGTTTGGCTTGGTTCACTAGTCACTAACTAGTACTACTAAATTTGTTTGTTTAAATATATAGAATTATTACTCTACGTGTAAACTTAGTGTGTTTTGTACTGTTCAATTTTGTATGGCTGTATCTTGCGCATGTCGTGAGGAGGTCTGGTGAAAACCACTGTTGTGCCTCATGGCCGCCCACACCATGCCACTCCATCTCCTACGAGTAGAGATTAGATTTTTTTAAAATATCGAAAATTTATATAAACCGCCCTTATTCCCCCCCTAGATCTCTCTTCTTACATCATCACCATCAATTCCAATCTCATTTATTATCGTAAACTCTATTCCAACCGAAGTCCACCATGGATCCCTTCCTTATTGACAACAAGGACATCCTCGACGCCATCATCAATCATGTCATCTTGCCTCCCAAACTTCCAAGTAGCCCAGAAGGCATTTGCTATTCTCCAACTTTGCTCAATTTACTTATCCATTCTCTTTCAGCGCTCAGCAAGTCCTGTGGCACCGTCGAGGAAAAGCTCTGCGACAGCCTGATTGCGTCGCTCAATGTCTTTAAACAGTGCCATAATGAAAAAGATATTCTTATAAAAGACAATATAGCTCTTGAACTTTCTAAGATTATCGAGACAGGTAAGAAACCTTTGAACAATCTCTTGATAAGCCCATCGATTGACTGGATGCTTGCTGTATAGGAGGCTACATGCCCCTGTATATCCACGAACAAAACGCCGGCATGGTCATCTACAAAAATGAAGATAAAATATGCTTCGAATTTTACGAGTTATCACCACTTAATGCACCAGTTTGTACCACCGCTGGACGTCTCAAGCGCAGATTTCCCAGCGCCACTGCCTCTGTCGATGCAACAGTGATTTCGGATCCGAAGTTTATGTCTACCATTGTAGATGCTCTGGCATCCATGAGTGTCGATGCGGTACCTCTCATGATGCCTACTATTCGCGAGAGAAATAAGTTGGTTCCAAACCAGAAAGATACTGCCAACCCAGGTATTATCAATATGCTTCTCGCTGGCTGGCTGATCGGGCACGGGGAGACCATACCCGTGTATCCCATCGACAAACACACTCGCAACGAGGTTTCGTATGGCGATAGCTCCAGCTCCTTGCTTTGGCGACGATCTCCTTTATGGCTCCATTTTCGAGTCTCAATGCAGATCCAGCTTCATCGCCAAAGCTCGCCTGAACAAGCTTCTGCATTTTACAAGCAGTTCATGTCGTATTTTCATGCACAAATTCTGCAGTGTGCCCTTGATATGCGTTTTGGAAGTGATATCCTGGCCTTGGTTAAGGCAAAACTTGCTTATAGACTCCAAAAGCTGGCCACCCCTGATACGCCTCACTGGATGCAAAGGGTAGAAGCTGTCATGAAGAATACAAATGAGACGATTGAGGCTAGATGGTCCGCAATACAAGATCGCACTGCCTCTAAAACGATCGACCAAATCGCGGATATACAGCCCAGTGATGCTCACTTTTCGCTAAGCACGGTAGAAATCTTTGTTCAACAGCAGACATCTCCATCCCGTAACAGCCCCTCAACTATACCCTTTGAAACCATTCAACTGATTGGCTCTTCGCCTGAAAATCTACCCAAACTTCCACCACCATTGTACGCTTTAAAGGATTTGGTTATATGCCAACTGGGAGCCTTTGAGCGGTGGGTTGAGTACAACCTCTCTTCCTGGGCAACGGTACATATGAAACGCCGGACAATGGTTCCCGAAATATTGGAAGCCGCCCAACAATATCATCATCAAGCATCTAGATCCTATGTCGGAGATCCAGAAGGCTTATCCATCATGTACCTCGTCATAATGGAGCTCTATTGTGCGTGCGATCAAAGCGCTGTTGCCTTGATGCCATTGCTTGCCGACTATGCTATCCCGATTCCGAGTCAAGTATTCTCCTCTCTACTCTTGAGAAGTGAAAATCATTTGCAAAGATTAAAAAAGGAGCAAGATTACTTATCTTCCAGAAAGGGGCTTGAAAAGTACGCGGATCACTCGATTCTAACGAGCATGGAAGAATGCTCCTTCCCTTGTCGATATGTCGACCAAAATACCGACGAACAAGAGGTTTTGAAGAAACTTGAGCAAGCATGCCAGAATGAATTACAAGGTAAAAAGAACGAGCTAAAGAAAAAGCAACAAGCCTTAGCAGAAAGGGAGCCCGATTCTGAAGACGAATGTTGTTTATACGATGTTGACGCATCTGGAGTCTCGACACACAATCCTGCCTGTCCCAATTGTATCCGTTCAAAGGCTTTGGAGGGAGACAACTTAATACAGATTTCGCCTGTGTTACAACTACTACCACCCTCAGAACATCTCAAAAAGCTGATTGTCTTTGAGCTGCGAATCCCTGGGACCTTCAAAGCATGGCGAGACGCAAGTGGCTTTGTGCTAAGTAGGGTACTATGTTTTGCTTGCACCAATCCGTCATCCGGAGGAAAAGTTCTGTTGAACGCATACTCTCGTCTTGATGACTTTAGAAGCAGGTTACCCAGTGGTGAATTTGTCGTGCTCGGTTATAAGGGCCGTACCTCAACCACGCCGATTCCGGTCACTCAAGCCTTGACTGTGGAGGAGGTATGTCTACCGCATGGTCTGAATTGGAGCTATATCCTGAAGGAGAACTATGCATCTATTTGCATCAACAAGAAGGTCTTTGCGGAGCCAAGCCCCTTCTTTGATAGCTGTGTCTTTCAGTTACCAACCAAGTCGGCTAGTCTTCAGCAATATCTTCACCGTCCTCATTACAAACCTGCAGGTGTAGAGCCCAACGCTGCACTTGCCCGCCATTATGAACACCCAGATCACCTCTCACAAACTGAAAGCAAAGGCCTCTGTGACTTAGCCTACGGACAAAGACAGCAGTGGCACTCCATTCTCACACAACTCGCCCAACCCACTGTGGACTGGCGCAAGACGGAATCTTTGTTGTTTCTTCTCCAAGTCACCCTCCATGCTGGTCAATACGATGAAGAAGAAGAGGCATGGAAGACACGAGTGGATCTTTCGAAGCGAGACTTTGGACTCGTATTACTCCAAACATTGTTACAAATGCAGAATCGAGCGGCTGAAAACTAGGAATCTAGCCGCATGACCTGGGTATGTATCCATATTGCCCTCTGTCTACGGGACTGTGCTACACAGAACGTTCGCCAGATTACCGACAAGGTCTTGACTGCCTGCCGAGAGCAGCTGATGCATAATTTGAAAACTATATATAAGCAAGAAGCTTACGCCTGCTCTTTGGATTTACAGCACCGAGCACTCGAAATCGCGCTCATGGTCTTACAAACATATGAAGTGGACGAGGAGTCTCTGGTTAGCCAGTTCAGCGACAGCAATGTCTTACAGTATTACCTTCTTTGTGCCATCCTGGTTTCCTACTCTCGTAATGATGACCACCACGTTAAGTTTGATGAGTTTCAGAAGTCTTTATACCAACAGCAGCGGAGAAGAGTCTTTAGAGTCTTGCGATGCATTGCAATAGCGGTGCACAGTTGCCCAGAAGAACTAGATCGAGCCATTCGCTTCCATATTGACTCTTTTAAGGGTGGACAGCCATGGTCATGGAATGGAGACCACTGGCTGTTCACGGACGCGGAGCATAGTACTGGAGAGCCTTGTAGGGTTCATATCAACATTCTTACCTCGGAAATATTCATCAATGATAATGTCTGTTGCCAAATGCCACAACGATTTCTACGTGCGAATCGGTATAGGCATCTCTTTGGTCGCCAGCGCCCTGATGTATCGTCGCTCAAGGACTCAAGTTTCGATTATTGCTTACAAAAGACATTCCAGGGTTACAAGGTCAACGTTGGCCTGGAAAAGCCCAGCACGTCTCTCAAAAACAAAACATGCGGCACAACTAATATCAAGGCTTTAGAACTCTACGTTCATGCCACGACGGAGAACGAAGAGTACATCCTGCTACCCGAATGGCTCTTCCATGAACGGCTACCAACCTGCTTTCTTCAGAAATACATTGCTTGGTATTGCCGGATTACGGATACCATCATCTTCAGACCAAAACATCATCCTTGGCGCAATGGTGATGGATGTTTGACAAGCCGTAGAATCAATGGTATTCCGCATACTTGGTGTCTTGAAAGATCGGATGGGCACCGTCTGGTATGCTCAACATCTCCAGGTGCAGCATCTTTAGCTACGGCTTTTCAGGGCTTTGTAGACATCAATACCATGGCAATATGGATGACCAAGGATTCATCCAAATGCATCATTTCCGTGGATAGCATGAAGCTAGACTTTGAGCGCAAAAACGGCAGCCCTACGATCTACTCAAAGCAGTTCCGAGGGATGTACCTCGACTACAATCAAAATATCGGCACGTTATACGGTCTTCAAACCAAATTGGTACTTACGTCTGATGCATTATTTCAGAACAAGAAGCTTCTTATACCAGACGGTGCCATTGAGTTTACTCTAATGTCAGATGTAGCAGAGTTGCCTCATGTACAAGTCAACATAGCCATCGCCGAAGCAAACACATACCATGCCTACGATATCGATCCGCATTTGGGTCAGTTGAAGGCAGGCAATGCTTTACAGGGAAGGCTTTTCCTCGCATATATTCACGCGATAACCTCATACGAAGCGCCTGACCCTCTGACCTCGAAGACGGGTGTCGACAGTGCGCTGGAAATTCTCCGTTCAAGCGAGGTGGCATCATTTGCATCACTGGGATTAAAAACCTCAGAAAATATATTGGTTGAAATCTTGAAGCTATCTCCAACCATGAGAGTAAAGGGTGGTTCAACAGGACTGTTTACCAGTTGGATATCACAACTGCCTCTAATAACCCAACGACAAGACTTTTATACGGAAGCATGCAACATATTACAGTTAGCTTTTACGCAGAACCTTGAAGTAACAAATTGGAGGAATTGTGACAAATTTCAACCGCTCATCTTAGAGAAGAGTGCATTGAATCACCACAAGCGAAGGTGCGCCGCATTCTACAACGACGGCAGCTACAGCCGTCTTTCCCATGCAGCCAACGATGCCAACTATCCTTCTGACGAAGAAGATCCATTCATCGCTCCTTTGACCAAAGGCAAAGGCAAAGGAGAGACAGATATAAATGAAAACTACGGCGCTTCGGACCCCATGAGCCGAGGGCACTGCTTGGACATGCTGAGTATGATTACACACTGCACCAAGGCGGCCCAAGAGAAGAGACCAATGAAATGTAAAGTCTCCTCGGCTTTTCAAAGCCGGGTTATTGAGCTAATAAATCACAAAAGTGGTATCTCGGCCAATAACAACAGTCTCGATATCAATTCGCTTTCATATAATGCTGCATGGCTAAAGGATCTTCAACAGAAGCTGGGCCAGAACTGGTGCACCCTCCACTCCAGGCTTAAAAACACTACATCAAGCATAAATACACCTGCGATGATACTATTTATTTCATCTATTGCCTTTCTTACCGGAGAAAACGATACCATTGTTTCCATTCTCTTGGGCTTTCTCTCCCGATCCCATGTGGCACAGGTCGCTCGGCCACGAGGCGATCGTTTCTTCGTAAACACAAAACGGGACATCAAAGACTCTTTTATTGTCAAAGAGCTCTCAAAGCGTACTTTTACAGACGCCCAAAAGCTCGGATATACCAAAGATTCGAAGACCTTTAATATTGAGGCCAGGGCTATGATCCAAGCTCTCAAGAATCGATTTCTCATACACTGGAATAAAAGGGACTGGAAAGATTTGACCTTTAATCCCCAAGACGTCTACTATGTGGATATTTTAAAAACAAAAAAGCAAGTCATTAGATTATTTCAACAGTATGGTACATCCGCCGTCTTCCGAAACTATATTCAACAACTTCATGAACAACTCAAAACCATACCAAAAGGTACCTGGTACCAAATCACCAATTCAGCCCTGCCTATGTATACGGGGTTAGCCGAGACTCCTAAACGCCAGTCACTGGCTGATCCATGGCAATTGCATGCGTTTCGAGACATAAAAGAGGTCATGCTGCCTCCTCCAGACCTAGCTACAAGTCTCGAGGGATGCGTACAGCACCTATTATCCGACGACCTCGTTCCGATCGAGAGTCTGGTTGAAGATGTTAAGTCTGCTGCAGGGTCAGAATATGAAAAGGAGTATGCGCATAAGCTCGCAGTCAGCTTTGAACATCTGGAAGACAATAATCATACTTCTTCTCTCGTTGTAAACCGTTTAACCTTAAACAGAAAACTGGACGATTGCTATCATGAGGCATTGTCCATCGAACAGACAATCTTCGGGCAACTGAGTTCCTGTATTGTCTCCAATATGCCTACTGGATCGCAGGGTGTTTCATTTCGCCAGCATTTCCTTCCAAAACCCAGCATTCGCCTGTTACTTCGACATCTTAACAGGAGCAATCGACCAATGGTCTCTAGTTCTTTCTATGAGGCCTTGATACAACTTGCAGTCTGTGTGGCTTCGGTTCAACAATGCGTGCGTCTCTTACAAGCAGCGAACGAGATAATTTGCAACGATTACGATGCCAAAGTCGATAAACAGAAGCTAATTCGTGAGCTGTCCAACCTAGAACCAAGGCAGTGGGAGAATATCGACTACGGGGATGGCCTTCTTTTTGAGATTGAAAACAACATCCGAATACGTCCTACTCAAGCCGCCGTTTCGGACCATATGCTGACCCCTCAACACAATGGAAACTTTTCGTTTCAACTTAACATGGGCGAGGGCAAAACCTCTGTTCTTCTTCCCATTATTGCAGCCTCCATCTCGTCCTGTTCTGCTTCTGCCTCTTCCACTACGTCATCGACTGCTTCTTCTTCTTCTTCCTCGGTCAAAGGAAATCAACGTATTGCCAGAATTATAACAATTAAATCTCAGATAAATCAGGTTTTTGATAAACTGGCCGTGAGTCTGGGAGGCTTACTACAGCGCCGCATCTTTCAGATTCCATTTTCTCGCAGACCTGAACTGAACTTCCGAGTTTGCAGCGGGTTGAGACACACCATCCAATCAGCCCAGCAGATGGGTGGCGTATTCATCTTCCAATACGACCATTTATTATCCCTTAACCATATGGCAACGGTTTCGTTGCTCAAAGAAAGAACTGAGCCGGCAGGTATAGAGCTACGTAGGCTCATTGCGCAGTTCGATGACTGTTCGGTGGATATCATTGATGAGTGTGACGATGTCCTCTCTGTCAAGTCGGAACTTGTGTATACTTACGGAATGCAGAGACCTGTTGACTTTGCGCCCTATCGCTGGTGTATCCAACAAACAATGTTAGATTTGATTGTTGAAGCAGCAAAAGTGGCTTTGGAAATTTTACCCTCTGCCATAAGCATTACTTACGACAAGGGCCCAAGGTCGTTTCCCAAAATTGAAGTTCATAATAGTCAAGGTATCGAAATAATCCGACAGAGCATCGCTACGCACATCGTGGATCGCGGCATTGGCGACTTCACGCTCGAAGCACTCTGGGTAGGCCTCTCGGGCGAGCCGCTCTTCATTGCGAAGCGCAATGTCGTAGATTATATTATGTACTCCAATCCTGCAAAAGAATCAGTTGCCTTTGCTGAGACTTCAAAGTACCACGATACTCGAATACAGAAAACTCTCTTCCTGCTGCGTGGACTTCTTCAAGGGGGAATCATTGACATGGCCCTGCGACTAAAACGATTCCGAGTTCACTATGGCTTTGATCATCGACGTTCTCATGCCGTGCTACTCGCAGTGCCATTTGCAGCAAAGGATTTGCCCAAGGCAACTTCGGAGTTCAGCCACCCCGATACCGTCATATTTCTTACATGTCTTTCGTACTATTATGAAGGACTCTCTGACGAGCAGTTATTCCATGTGCTGGTGGATGTTCAGGACTCTGATCACGGCCCTTCAATATATCGTGATTGGGTAGAAGATTTGCCAAATTTGAGTGCGCCGTTCAAATCTCTTGAGAGAGTTAATCTCCAATATCGGCGTTTGTGTATCGAGAAGCTGTTTCCTCACCTACGCTTCAACAAAGGTACCATTGACTATTATCTTTCCAAGATTGTCTTTCCGAAGGCAATGAGGGAATGTCCTGAGAAGCTCACAGCGTCTGGGTGGGACATTTGCAAAGCAAAGAAATACCCAGTCATGGGTTTCAGCGGAACAAACGACTCCAATAAGCTATTTCCTCACTCAATAAAGCCATTCAAGCTTGAGCCATTACTCCATACAAATGCCCTCACCCTAAAATTACAACTCTCTCCGGGTAACAAGGTAGAACGGTTATTTATCGTAGGAAGTACGAGCCGGCCAAATTGTCGGCAAATTTTGGATATCCTCGCTAATAACCAAGACAAAATCAATGTGATCATTGATGCTGGCGCCCAAATTATCGATTGGGACAATACCACTGTGATTCGAGAGTGGCTTCAATACGAAAAGGATAACAAAAACGTCACTGCAGGCGTATATTTTGACGCCACAGGCGAACTCGTCGTCATGGACAAGAACCAGTTTTGCCAGCCACTCAAACTATCTCCTTACCAATATCGCCTTGAGGAATGCGTTGTGTTTCTTGACGAGGCCAACTCGCGAGGTACAGACCTCACACTTCCGAGGCATTATAGAGCAGCAGTTCTCCTCGGCGATGGTATTACCAAGGATCGCATGGTCCAAGCCAGTATGAGAATGCGAAAACTCGGCGAAGGGCAAACAGTGACATTTTTCATCCCACAAGAGGTAGAGCACAAAGTACGACAGCTTATAAGCATAGATGCATGCCGTAGCATCATTGTCAATGATATACTGCTCTGGGCCATTCATCAAACATGGCAAGAAGTGAGGCGATCAAGCCCAATCTGGGCATCGCAGGGACTGGGTTTTACTCGACAACGGGGAATAATAGCCAGTCAAGAAAACGACCAGGACGACAAAGCAAGGTCCTCTTCGCGCATAACAACCATGATAGCTGCAGCAGTTCACAGCGCAGCTCAGCGCCATATAGCCTCCCATGCTTTTGCCCAGAAGCTCCTGGAGCCCGAATACCAAACGCTCGAGCAACGCTTTTGTTGGAAACACAGTAAGTCGTTGTCTGCTCAAGATGGCTGTGCCGTTGGTGCAGCAATAATCAAACAGTATAAATCGATTTGCCCTGATACAGATGAAAAAATGTATCCAGACGATGAGCAGGAACGTGAATTGTGCCCCGAGATGCTCCAAGAGATGGAAATTCAAACAAATCCGCAGATTGATCCAGCGGATCACTACATACGTGACAGCTTAAGACACGTCATTAAAACAGGTGAAATAAAAGACAACGGTTTTATCTCAGCGTTCGAGTCGCTCCTAGCGAAAAATAGACATACGACAAAACTCCTGGCGCCCCTCAGGACGGAGTTACGGGTTACCAATGATTTCGCTCTGGTTATCAAAGGCGTTGACCCTAACACACGTACTTCTTTTCACAGGCACGTTCGTTGGGTGCTGGTGGTAAATCAACCAACAGGCCAGACGGGTATGATTGTCATCAGTCCATTCGAAGCAGAGACGCTGTGGGCTGAGATAAAGCAATCAAAGCATGTCACTCTACACTCGTATAGCCCTCGACAATTGCTTAATTATCCCCCCATTGACGGACTTTGGCGGCGTTCAACGGCAGATCGACGTAGAACGTCGGGCGAGGCAAAGCCAAAGCCAATTCCCATAGACTTGCTTTCGGATCTGAATATTTTTGCTGGGCAATTATACTTTCGGTCGTATGATGAATATTGGCACGTCGCCCAGAGGCTTGGCATCCCTATTCCCAACAAGGCACCGACTTCACAAGATTCGCTTTTTATTCCGGATGCTGGACCGACATTCCAAATGGCAAAGGTAGAAAGTTTTGTGAGGGATATCATATCAATAACAAGACGTGAAGCGCGTGGTGCTGATTTAACACACATGGGCAAGCTACTGAGAGGTATGGCCCTTACACCAGAAGATTTCGTAACTTTCAAAATACTGGATGATGTAGCCTTTCCGAAAGCTGACCCGCCAGAAATGCCCACGTGTCTAAATACAGAGTCTTCGAAGATACTCAAGTACGAGGACCGTGGCAATGCATCTCCATGTTCGAGCAAGAATAAACAAATTGATCATCAAAACGTCGTCAACACGCTTGAACCGTGTCTGCCGTCCATACTAGGTACCAAGCGATCCGTTGAAGAGGTTGATCCCAACCCAGACACGCAGCCAAAAACAAAACGCACCAGGAATGATTGGGGGCCATTCCTTTGCGATAGTGACAGCGAGGACGAGGCGATTGGAACTATGAAGAAGGGTTAGAAGTAGACAGAAGATGGCACATTGCCATCGTTAGCTAAATGAACCAAATATTCAAACATAACATGTTCACTGTGACGAGATTGATCGGTGATTAATGAAGAAGAATCGAGATTGACTTTTGTTCTTATTGTCGCTTTCGCTCTGATCTCTTCTTTCGAGTATCGTACTGATAGTAGGAAGATTCGCACCTCATCTGCTCCATCGTTCAATAAGTTCCTCCTTTTTATCGCTTCTCCCACTTTCTTCTATCGACAAATCCATTTCAGCTAGCTGCTGGTTCAGGTTCGCCGCCTCTTGTTTCATCGCTGCTAGCGATTGATCCAGATCAGGGTCCATAAGCTGGACGCTGCCAAATGAGCTTTCAGCTGCAATGCTGTCCCTCAACAGTTGGACGGCGCGCCTGGCATCGTCAATTTGGGTCGAAATGATTTGTTCCAAAGCATCCTGAGCAGCTGCTGATACATCTTTGTTCTTTTCTCTTCTTTCTGACACAGCCTTGGCAAGGATTCTCGCTTTGTCGGTCGGTGTAGGTGCTTCAAAAGCTTCAACAGGCAACGAGAGACTCTGCATAAGAGAGTCTAGAGGAGGGATATCTTGGTAACCTGATGAGCGTCGCCGCGATTTTGCATCTGGTCGTCGATTTAGTGCTGAGATCGGCGGCCTGCTCGTATTATTTATTGATTTTGTAGAGATCGTTTCTGTCTTTGCTGTAGCTGCTACAGTCTGCACGGCTTGCATGTGTGACTTGTATATGTACATGCGAGACTGCAGGCGGTTCACTCTGCCGAGAAGATAGTCTAGACATTGATTCATCTAAAACAAAATAGGACATAAATCTTAGCGGCGGCAGACGACCAGCATAGCAAGAGTGGCTTACGTAGGTGAGTGAAGACATTGTCTTTTGTTGGCTTTGTCCGTTTTTCGAAGAGACTGCCGACAGTGCAGGCTCAAGGTGCTGCTGTTCAACCGCCATTTGCGCGACAGGAAGGATTTCCGCGTACAGAGACTCTACTTCGTCCTGCAAAGCGGCTATCTCGGCCTCCGAAGCCGCCTGCGACGCACCCGTTTGGTGCGCAGCAATAAGGGTATTCAGGTACGTTGTATCTAGTCTGGTCCGTACGCTCTGGACGGTGATTTTGATGAGTCTGCCAAGTTTTTTGTTAGCTTGTACTAGATTGTCATTTCCTAGGCGGTAGACAGGTCGCACCTCATACAAACTTCTTTGAGCTTCTCCACCGGCACAGCTTCCTCAGGATCCGGTTCCTCCAGCTCCCATCCTAGCTTCTGAAGACTAGCCAATAGTCTATCATCGGACTGAAACGCGTCTTCGAGCGAGCCCCTGAAGTCTGATTTGCCGGGCTGCTCGCTGTTTGTGAGCTGCGAGAGTTGTTGCTGGATTGCCTGTGACAGCTGGTCTACCTGTGCGTTTGTACCGACGTTCTTAGTCAGGGCTCACATCCCACAGTTGGCTAAGATTTTGGGAGTCAATGGGACTTACATGCGAAGCTAATCTTGTCTGTTCAACTTCAGACGTTCGTTCATGTGCCAAGTCAAGCTGGCGGCGACGCGCCCCGTCCTCGTCACATTTCGCCGCGAGGCGCGACAAGGCATCATGTTGGTGACGCAAGGTTTCAGTTTGCTCATTGATGCTGTCTGTGGATCGCCTAAGTTCAGCGATGGCGGCTTTCAGGTCGTCGTGACGGATGGGCTGGACTTCGGCCAAGTCTTGCAATTCTGATAGTTTGTCCACTTGGCCGCTGCTATCTAGAGCGGAGTACCTAAACCGTTCAGCGTCAGCGGATCTCTTCCATTTAATATTCTAGGCCCTGCTGTATGAGTAACCAGCCGGGGAGGTGAAACATGTTTCTCTTACAAGGCGAGCTCGTCGGCTGTTAGCAGATTGTCCGACAGCAGATGGCTGGAAGCCCATTCAACCAAGGCTGGGCCTTGGATCGGGTCTTCAAGTGCCATCTCAATTTCATCACGTCGTACGCGAATGTCATAAGAAGTGGCTGTGTTTTGAAGCAGGATCCGCGCCGCATCCTTCGACGCGATGTCCATACTGGCGGCTTGACTTTGTAGGCTCTTGCTCAACAGATGTGACACAAAGCAAGGTGCACAATCTGGAATCTAAAACTCCAGTTGGATATTAGCCTGGTCGATGAGAGACAAGAGATGATATATCTCGAGATACACTGGCGTAATCGGCCCCAGACTATTCCTAAACGCGCTTGAGACGGTGTATGTAGGACCCTTTGTCCAGGTACCAGATCAGACTATAGGACGCTTTGTGTGCTCCTAACAGTGTGTCAAAAGAATCCCGCTAATGTATCCCTGGATGGAGACACAGGCAATAAAGAAAAGATACGATTTGGGCAGGACAAAGGGGGTTGTGGTGTTTACGTTGGCTGTGGGGAATTGGCGCGCTTTGCTAGTGGGCGGTCAGGCGGTGGTGTTATTGCGCTGCCAGCAAGTATGGCTACAAACACAGTACCTCATCCTACCAGGAATTAAATTAAGAAAATACTGTGAAACGGCTGTCACATTCCCAGTCTACAGATGGCAGTATATCATTTGTATACATTTTAGAGACATTCCTGGCAGCACTAGAAGGAACTTTGCGGCTCATCAGTCACTGTGTAAGTGCGAGGCAAACAAGGATTCAAACAACAGGGATAAATTTATCGGTATCCAATCATTTCATGTCTAATGGTGTCTATTCTTGAAAATCGCGTAGATTAATGGTAGCTCATCTCGGTCTATTGCATCCAGGCCAAGAAAATTGACGATAGCGAGTGTGTCGCCACCATCTACCAACCCTGCTGGAAGACTTCCTTCACCACAATATTACTTTGATTAATCCTATTCAATTGCCCTTTCTTAACGAATCCAAAGCCTTGATGAGCCATGGATGAAGCCTTTCAGGCCGATTAGCAGGTGGGCGCTGCAGAACAAAACAAATCGCCAGCGCATCTCAATGACTTCGTCTCAGTTTGAAAAGGAATATGCATGCAAGATCATGGTGTACTTTGTTCCCCTCTGCTTGATTCCACAAATTTCTCTTTTTCCCTTTTCTTGTCTTTCCTCAGCTACCTTTGTAACCATCTTGCACTTCTGCCAGCTGGCAGCACCTGGCAAAGGTGGCGACAGCTCCAACCAATCTCACAGCCATGTCCAGAATTTTGAACTTCACCACCTCATCACCAAATTTTCTGGAGCCTTCTCTCTTTTCTACTTATGCTATCTTCTACTCAGCTTTTAGCTCTGGTTGCTTTTGTCTCTCGTTCAATACAATTGCTCAGCTCACCGACACCAACTTGTCTTGTGCTCCTGCTAGTGTCACTTCTCTGTCACCTCTCTCAACTACAACCATCTGTTATTTTTCGAGCATCGTTCCCTCTGGAATAGACATCCTTCTGAATTGTTACACGTTCTCCCTTAGTCCCGACTGCGACCGAAACGTCCTGGCCTCATTGTGCACCCGCCCTGCCTTGGTCTGTTACTCTACGCCTGCGAGCTCCGTGATACAAATCAGCCTCTCTTGTCGACACTCCTGATAGGTACTACATTCGGACGAGACGTCGAATAATATTCGACTATTTAACATCGCCTCTTCCTCTCTAACGCTATGAATGCCTCGACGATGGAATCGAACTCTCCCCTGCCCGCTTCTCGAGAGCATTGGTGTCACTGTCAGGAACACACTCCCCATTCTCCAATCTCCGAAATCATGTCAGAATCAAATATTTGGAAGTCACGGTTCAAAGAGCTTCAGGTTTTGGTTATCAATCTACTTGTCACTGCGACAATCTACGCATGCAGCGAGGTGCTTGTATGGTTGCTAAGCCTTGGCCTCACCCACATCCGATTCCAATTTCTCTCCGCGATATTTGGAATGGCGTCTATTTTCATCACTATATCCACGCTTAATATATTTTGGAAACGCATTGACGCAATCTATCAAGGGTGGTTAAAGAGCAAGGTGAGTTTTGTGGATCTTCACATGGCATCTGAGACTAACTCGCGAAGATTGACTTCATCAACAGCCACATCAGTGTGGCTTTTCCTATTCCCATTGTGATGCTTAATCCCAAAAGTCCATTGGGAAGTTCAGATATTGGCAGAATTGTTGGGGTATTTGGTAAGCTTCTCCTCACGTTGTCAATGCCCTATGCCGTGTACTTACATCTCACAGTGATAACCAGTACCGTGGGCTGGGTAGTCACATTTACTTTTGCCACGCTCTTCGTCTCGTTGGCATTCCTTGCAGCTTCGTCCATGGCTAAGCTATTCCAACGTTGCTATGGGGTTAAAGTTCATCAGGTCTCGGACATTTCGGCTCCCAAATCGTTCAATCCTAACGACTCTCTTTACACGGCCAGTGAGGCCTCAAAAGAGCGTCGTTCCGGTCACACCAAAGACTCTCTCTGGAGTCTTCTGGTCCGAAATTGGGCTTTGTTAGTCTCTTTCACCTGCATCTTCACCGTTGGTATTCCTGTTGCAGCCGGGACCAGCGATCAACGTGCCATGGATGGCTTCACCCTCTGGTTTTTGTGGTTAGGATGCGTCAAGTTGCAGGGCAAACTCAAGCTCTGGGCGAAGCGAAGTCCGCAAACCTCCAAGCTGTGTGTTATTTTGGCTACAGTTGCCAACCCCGTACTCTTCGCAACTCTCCTTCTAACGGCGTATACGCGAGCGAAAGCGTCGCTGATGGGTGGTCCACACATATTGGAGAGAGTCCTGGCGATGCTGAGCAGTGGAACGCCTCTTTACGAGATTCTCACATCTGCTACTTCTCATGTTCGCCTTCCTCATAACCAGTCTGTGTGGTTTGGAGCTGGGGATCTCGCCCTCTCCGCGCTCGAGTGTGGTATTGTCGTCTGGGGGTTTAAGCTCTTTGAATGTCGCAAACAGCTACTCAGTATTCCGGGCGCATGCACCATTCTTATATGCATTATGGTAGCAGTGGGTAACGTCTATCTTTCAGTCATTGTTGCCCATGCTGTCGGACTAAAGAGCTCAGAGGCGCTAGCCTTCGCAGCTCGGAACACCACGCTGGCCTTGGCAAAACCGGCGATGGATGCCATAGGAGGCAATACGGTGGTCAATGCGGCATTAGTTGTCGGGAATGGTATCATTGGTCAAATACTGTACCCCTTCGTGATGCACAAGTTGGTGAATCCCTTTGCCATATGGTGTGAAGCTACGACACCTCAGCAGCCCACCATCTCACGAGAGCCTTCAGTGACCAACAGCGACGGCGGCTCACAAGCAACGGTATACTTGAACCCTTCAGATAACGATCTACGTATCAAGGACAGTGCTTTGACAGTAGCTACTGGTATTGCTGTGGGAGTGAACGGAGCGGCCATGGGTGTCTCATACCTCTACGAGCAAGATCATCCAGCGGCTCCCTATGCGGTCCTGGCGATGACGGTGTATGGAATTTCTACCGTCATTCTGACCACTGTCGACCCCTTCAAAACAAGCGCCATGGCACTAGCCAGGTGAGATATGATACATACTGTATATAAGCCGGTATTGCAGCAACACCCACCTTGTTGGAGTGTTGGAGATTTGAAGACGGCCATGAACGGATTACCGACCATCTTGAAGGTCCGGTCTTATTAAAACCGGTCAGTATGGTGGCGTTGTTAGGGGCCGCAGTCTTCTCCAACGTTGGATGGAAAAACCATATATAGCTGACAGTCGGGAGACGAGGGATATTTTCGAGTGTATCGATTTTGCACATAATGTACATTACAATTGCTTTAGACAAATTCCTCGCAGGATAGCGCGGACACACAGGAAGCCTATCACTGGGCTAGGCGCATAGGGGAACTATGAAACAAATAGACATTCTTTTTTTTTCACTATTTTACTAATTTGGTTCTTTGGCTGTTCTGTGGTCTGTGTTTGACGGGTGCATGCCGTGTGGCCCTTACTCGAGTCTGTGCACGAAACATTGGTTAGCATGGCGCATAAACAGCACAGACAGCGGTCCTTGACCACTTTTTGCTGAACATACCTTTCAATCAGATGCAGGCCACTGGCAGTCTCAACAATGCTGCTCATCTCGCCCGGCTTAAGGGCAAACGAGGCTTCTTCGAACTCCTTCTGCATGTCACCGCGGCCAAAGTAGCCAAGATCGCCGCGCTTTCGCGCCGACGAGCAGTCAGACTCGGTAGGGGCGAGGTCGCCGAGCGATGTGGCGCCCGACTTGATCTTGGCTTCGTGGGCCTTGATGATATCCATGGCCTGTTCTTTGGAGCGGGTGATTTCGGCCTCGCGCCATGAGCTGGGGCGGCGGGAGTCGCGGTGCTTGACGAGGAGATGGGCGGCGCGGATCTTGCCCTCTGGGACGCCGGGGACGGCACCATGGCGGGAGCCAGCGCTGTGGTTAGCAGCCATGTAGTGCTTAAGCTTTTCGCTGTCGGTTCCGGCAGGCGGCTCCCATCGGGATACCTTGTCTTGGGAGTTGAAGTAGTAGGGCAGGTTCTTGGAGTTGGAGTGGCGAACTTCCCAGTTGGGGGGGAGACCGGTATCAGCCTAGGAATTGCAAAGGTCAGTATCAAGCATCATCAGAGCGCATGCTGTTGTAGCTTAATCAGCCGTCGTGAGAGCATACCATGGTTGCGACTTGGTGATGTTGTGTTTGTTGACAAAGGTAGAGAGATCGGAACAAGGGAAGCTTTGTTTTTTTGCCCTTCCCTTTTCAGCTATTGCGGGGTACAGAGAGAGACAGACGAGCAAACGCGATTGGCGATGTAATTGCTGGTCAAAAAAATCAAGTGCGATTTGTAAAATACAAAATACAGCACGGTTGAGGGGTATTGATGGCAATGGATTGGATCGACGTTGGTGGTCGCACGTAGTCTAAGTTGGTTGCTGCTGTGCTGTTGGGTGATGACGTCCCACGCGCAAGAGACGGGCTGCGAAGCAGTGCAGCAGCACACAGCAGCACCTGGAAACCCCACGTTTTGCAATTGCAGGTCGCGGGGCTGGCGTATCCTGATTGGGCTTAGCACACTGTTTGCTGCATTCTGTGGGCTGTGGCCGTTTCAAGGCGCCTGGGATTCCTGGTCTGGGTGGCTTAAAAATAGCATCCCGTCATATTTTGCCATGGGCGTAAGGGCGCTGACTCAAAGAACTGCGTCTTTTGGAGCCCCAAAGCGGGCTTTTCATTTTGGTGTTTGCGTCTTGGACAGACAATGCGCGAGGTATCATGCTGCCTGTACTGCAGGCGGTCGAGAGCCCTGGAAATGCCACTCTAGGGGGCCAACCTGGTACAAAGTGTCGCTACGCCAAGGCTAAGTGCAACTACCAGCTGCAGGGTGGCCCACGTTGGCGGCGACTTGTAAGCCGGCCATAATCAGCAAGATTGCTATTGTAGCTGCAAAAGAGGGTAGATGGATGATAAATGCACCGTTTAAAAATATCAGGTAAGCCTTGCATAGATTCCTTTCTAGCAATAGAGCCGCATTTACTGCCGCATTACCGAAGTTAGCAGACGAGTTGCTACAAAGCCTCGTTCAACAGTCCACTCCAGCGCTGTCGAGGACACCACGCTACAGTCACTCCGCTGGGACAGGTGTTGTCTATGCAGGCCAACCTCGCAACGATACTCGACCAGCCAGAGGCAGGCTGGCAATTTGTTTTTTTGCCTACGGACATTTTGAAAAAGTTTCAAACGCCCAAGAAACAAAACAGCCCTTCGTTCAGCTGCTCACTGTAGGTCTAACCTGTAACAAGACTCCTGGGTCAGAGCACCTGAGACCAAACCTTGACCTTAAACTGGCCGTGCCATCCGATTGCCTCTCGCCTCATCCGCCAACTGACCAGCATGCCAGCCAACCAGAAGCAGAGGCAGCAGGTCATCCATCCACTGTCCATCGGATGTGCGGTAAAGCACCCTGCTGTAACATTGTCGGGAAAAGCCTAGTCTGACGTGGGCAAAAGTTTGTTCTCTTTGTGCAGTGGTAGAATAAAGAGTGGCTCCCCAGCCTGCCCTACGACGCCGAGTTCATCTTCCTCTTCTCCCTCTTTCTACCAAGTTGAAATTTCTCTTCAGTCATTGTTTTTCATCTTACTTTTCTCACGAAAAAGCTTGAACTGAACTGCTTGCTATATTAACCCTCGAATGCCCCCTTCAGTTTCTGCTTTGTCCAGATCCTTCTTCATCCAAGTCCTCGATTCCAGCTCTACGCTACTGTACCACCAAAACCATAGGCCTTACAGCCTTCGCTTCACAGCGCCTGCAACCCGCTAGGACTCCCCACTAGCCGTTAGCGCCCAGTCACTGGCAGCTTCTGAGCACCGACTCACTGCTGACTCATTTGCACACAAGGGCAAAAAAAGTGGTCACACACCACTGCTGGAACCAGTCACAGCTGCCCATTCCCTCACAGCCGCAGCGCTGCCTAAATTTTGGACTTTGCCGCCACTCCGCAATCGCGTTTCATTACGCCCATCCTTTTTTCATCCATTCCCATCTACCACCAATTCGCCCAGCGCAGTCCGCTATCATCTACATAAATCGCATCGCTAGGCCCTCTGCGCCTCCGCCTGGATTTTAATTCCTCCTCCTTCATCGCCGTTTTCGAACACCACCCCCCTTTCGAGCAACGACTACACCCCTCGACACATCTCAGCCATGGCTTCTCCTCAATCCAACAACGACTTCGATGCCTCGGGCGAAAGCAAGCAGCTCGAGCAGATCACTTTCCGCTTCTGCTCGGAATGCTCCAACATGCTTTACCCCAAGGAAGACGAGGAGGCGCACAAGCTGCAGTACACCTGCAGAACGTGCCAATACACAGAAGAGGCCACTACTAGTTGCGTCTTCCGCAACATTCTGAACAACACCTCGGGAGAGACCGCCGGTGTCACCCAGGATGTTGGATCCGACCCTACGGTTAGTCAAGCCATGCCTAGCATTTGTCTTTCGTGTGGAACATTCATTGCATGCCGAGTGTGTGGCTCGGCATGCTCGCCTCTGGGCTGTGTCGCCGAACGTAACGGTAAGGCTAGTGCGTTTGGTGTCGCCCCGACTATTGCGGATTTTACCTACGACTCTCCGGATATGCCGTCACCCATGACAGAGGGCGAATTCTTTGCGCGCTTCGACTCGAGCTCGTTCCAACTCGCCTGTGCCATCGACATGGTCGACGGGTGGTGCTCCGCCAGCAGTGACAGCGATGTTGAATCATTTACGCAAGAGCTGCTATCATCACTATCCGAAGCCAGCGACGACGACGATGACGAAATGTTCTTATAATAACCCCGATGCACATACCGACCAACGACATAGCGATTGCCTGTATATGGCTTTGCACAGCAAACCTCGGCCAGCCCACAACTGGCATAACGACACTGATGTTGCATTTTACTGGCATTATTTGTTCTTGACTTGTCTATTTCTACCCGTTGCCTCATCACCACCACCACCAATTCTGGAAATTGTGGCTGACATTGTATTTTTACCACTACTACAGCTTCCCCGTTCCAACAAGACTTGCCCGAAGTGCAATCACGAGGAAGCCGTCTTCTTTCAGTCTCAAGAGCGCAGTGCCGAGACTGGTATGGTAAGCATTCTCCTCCCCTGGTATATCCATCTCACCGTGTTAACAATTTGCCTACAAAGAAACTTTTCTACGTTTGCTGCGAGTGCGGTCACATTTTCACATAAAAGGGAGTACAAAAAGGAGCGTGTTACCATGTTTAATATTTCTTTCATCATGACGGGGAGTTAAAAAGAAGACAAAATCTCTTGTTTGACCCAGTTGTCAGGAACTCCTGGTGTTCGGCAGGGAGTATTAGGGTGTATTGTTTTACAGCATCGGTTGGCTTGGAGTTTTATGGCCGCGTGGCCTCTGCTTTTCTGTTTCTACTATAAATTTCTCTTTGCCTATGGAGTTTTAGGTTTATACACAGCGCCAGTGATGCTACTATTATGCACACTCGGAATCTTGCACTCAGTACAATTTTACAAACAAAAAGACAGTTCTTCAAATAGATTCTCCTGTGAATACTCGTAGCTTCTTTCCAAGAAGATTTCAATTTAACTTCTCGCTTGAAATAACCGAAACGTAGTCATGATATGTAATGTAGAGGAGCTTTGCATTATTCGCTAGTATACCAGCTCTATCATATATAAAACGCCGCGCAAAATATGCCATGTTGAAACACCCATAATGTACATTTAAATCCACATTCTTACACAACACCCTTCTCACCGATGGACACCACGCAGAACCTTACGCCTGCATGGGGGCCATGGACAAGATCTTGCTCCATTTCTTTCTCTTGAGTTCGGCACCGACCACACCCGAGATTCGCGAGCCGACGGGGTCACCGGCTTTGTTGAGCAATACGCACGCGTTGTCGTCGAAGCGGACAACTGAGCCGTCGCGGCGCTGGGTAGGGTACTTGGTGCGGACAACGACGGCGTGGCGGATATCACCACGCTTGACCTTGGCAGCGTTGGAGACGCCAGCCATACCTCCGGAGGATGAGGCGCGCTGTTCCTGAACAACCACAACGATTCGGTCACCTGTAAAGAGTCTCATGTTAGCATTCGAGGTCGACAGGTCGTGTAATGCGGCTCTCCAAGGCAGTTCGAGGTTGCCTTTGGGATATTTTGTTCGGGAATCGTACCAATCTTGGCGTGTCTCTTCTGGCCGACCACAAGGGCGCACTCAACAAGGGCGGCGCCCGAGTTGTCGATGCAATTTAATATCGTCTAGTTCGCATTGTTAGCACTCGGTTCCATGTCGTGACTCTCCCAGATTGCGTCGACCAAGAGGTGCAGCAGCTCCTTACTTTTAATTGAATCATTTTGTGATGAGTCTATAATTGGTATAGAGAATTTCGACCCCCAATGATCCGGTGTGTGGTGGATAATTGGCGAATTGTCGGCGCGATATCGTCTTGTCCTCAACTCCCTACTACTTTGTCGTTGCGACTTTTGCTCAGGAACACCACCAAGCTGATGGCGTCACGTGGATTCTGCCGCAGCTGCATGCTCACCGCCCTGGCGGCTGACTTCCTTCCTAGCACCTCGTGCCGCCTGGAAATTGCCCCAGCCTCCTCTATTTTAGCCCCCTGTACAAGTCCGCAGTGGGGTCCTGTCAGTGGCCATGCCCCTGTAGCTTAGCGGTCGACATGCGCTGAATTGGGTGTGCTTGCGCCCGTTGCTGGTCGCTCAGCAGCACTACGGTCGCTGGAATGAGCCCCACGGAGGTCACTCAGGCAAGTTGGCTCAACGCCAACTCCCGCATCCTCTCATTTACATTACGTCGTTCGCTGGCTTCCTTCGGCGAACTCACCTGCGTCTTGCAAACTCTCGTCTTTTGCTTCCGCAGCGGCGCAAGTCTCCTGGAGGATCACCAACAGTCCTTCTTTTACGCTTTCTTTATTTGTTTCTGAGGCCAATCGCCTATTGCGCACGTCTTATTCTATACTTGTGCCACCAAACGTGGTGAGCGTCGACGAGATACCTCACCAATTGTACCATGAGACCATCGACTTGCTGCTAAGCCACCAATAAGATACGATAGCTGCCTCTTACACGCATTGTTTGTCTGGATCTTGTACACCATTATTCTATTTATCAATATTAATACTGCCGACCAAGGCGTCGTCGGTTCGCTATGCGCCCAGCATCGCAAAAGTTGGCCCCGTCGGCCCGGAAACCAGGACCCAAGTCTTCGACGAAGCGACCGCCATTGACACTCACATCGCTATCCGCGTACGATGACATATTGACGGATGCTATTATTGACCATGTAGGTTTTTAGATCTGTTTTACTACGCAATATCCGTCTTGTTTCCTGGCTGACTTGTAATTAGGTTTACTACTGGACGACTATTCCGAAGAATCGACTCCTTTACCATGCTTCCCGAGGCTTGCCCGGAGAGGCTATTGCTAAAATAATTCAAGATGAAGTAATCGTCAAGAAGAACACCGAAGCAGCTGTTGAAAAACTGCTGCAAGTCGACGGATTGCGCCGTTTCCACAACAACCTCCGAACAGACAAGGAAAAGGAAGATTTCCGACGCCATCTAAGACGCTACGTTAATATATATTCCCCGGATTGCCCATGGGAAGTGACTTCTACAAACCGCTATACCATAACTACACACGAAGCCAGTGTCACGGCCCGCCGACCTATTAATAAGAACGAGACGATCAAGTACCTAGCCGGAATTCAGGTCGTTATTTCGCCTCGCGAAGAGAAAGAAATCTCGAAACGCAAGAAGGATTTCAGCATCGTCGTTAGTTCTAGGAGCAAGAGCACCAGTCTATTCATGGGCCCTGCACGTTTCGCCAACCATGATTGCAATGCCAATGCGACCCTCATGACCACCAGTCAATCCGGCATCGAAATTGTGGCTACTCGTCATATTGAGGCGGGCGAGGAAATCACAGTTGTTTACGGTGAAAATTATTTCGGCGATGACAATTGTGAGTGCCTTTGCCAGACATGCGAGAATCTTCTACGCAACGGTTGGGAACCTGAAGGCGGACCCGTAACTTGGCCTGTGAAGGAGGAAGAGAACTCGGAAACATATGGTCTGCGTCGCCGGCGAAGAGACTATAGTGTAGGAAGCTCGTCCAGAACGCCATCAGTTGTTCCCGTTACTCGAACCCCCATTAACAAGAACATCGGCAAGAGTGGGCTGTCGAACGAATTGAATCGAGCAGAATCATCAACAGCGCCCGATCAGACACCGCGTACTGGCAAGCGATCATATGATGCCATAGCGAGCCCTCCAGTTACACCGGCAAAGAGATTAAAGCGTACACTGAAACCTTCACCAGAGTCATCGGTCTCTCGAGATGGATCCGTGGCTTCAGCAGATGATTCGGGTAGCAGTGACGTGGTTGACACTGACATTACAACGCCAGAGCAATCACCCGAGCATACCCCCAATGACCTGGACACAATGGTTTTAAGTATGGAAGATATTACTCCTTTCCCGTCGGATGAAACCCATGGTCTACCGTCACCACAAAGTGTACGATCTGGTCCTGTGGTGGGTTATTTAAATGAAACGATTGCAGCGTCCATCGAGGTCGAACAAAGCCAGCCGGATTCAGAGAACACAACGCCGCGCAAATACGAACGCCGTACATTTCGGGATCCAACACCACCAGCACGTCTACGAAAACAGGGCGATTACTTGCTCACAACTGCCCTCACCTCCAAGCCCAACAACGCATGGGTGCAATGCACTGTATGCGTCTCAGATTATGTTGGCTCAACAATTTCTCCATCAGCCATCTGCCCCAGATGTGAGCGCCATTGCAAGCTATATGGATACGTCTGGCCAAAGACCGACAAGCAAGGCCCCAAAGACAAGGAGGAGAGAAACTTGTTATATTCTACGATGGATCTAATCTCGAAACTGGACGGGTCTAACGGAGCTTCAGATGCGAACGCTAGTACTAGAGATGATGATTCAGAAGTTGACGAACAGACACCTCGTGGACGCCGCCAACAGCGCGGTCCCATTAAGACAGCGACCTCTGTACGTGGGGGTAAAAAGAAGGTCGTACCCAACGCAAAGAAGGGAACGTCTGTCAGGATGCCTCTTAAGAAGAGTAAAAATATGCCTGTTTCCCGAACAAGAGCGACGGCGTCTTCGTTGGCAAAACGCAAGCCCCTTGCGAAAAAGGCTACTAAGGTGATCAAGACAACGAAACTTGTCAAGAAAGCACCTCGCACTGCCAGCAAGCTTCTAAAGAAGGTCCCTGAGCGTAACAGCAGCGTTGAGAGGATCATTCGACCGAGACAAGGAAGCAAAGACGAAGGTTTACGTCGCAGCGGGCGCGAAAGACGTGTCAGTAGCCGTCTGTCTGATGTGTACGATCCCTAGGAGATGTCATTGTAAATACTTATTTGTAAGTTTTCATGTTTAGTTAGCTTGCGCTGGATGCGCAACAAGCAGGTTCGGCCTGTGCTAGATTATTTTTGTAAGGAAGACGCTTCCGGATATCAATATATTATTAAAGGCACCAAATTCAATATCAAACTAATGGTACAATTTCCTCGTGTATACTGTTACTGTCGTCAAGACACATCCATGTACAAAGTAGGCTCCAAAAACTCCAGCCGGCAGTATCGTAACTCTTCCAAGTTTGCAACTATGGAATGGGTGCGACCTGCTGTAGACCAATCAAAAATAAATAGCTTCATAATTTCGTAAAATAAAACTGATCAGGTTTCTTTTATACTGTTCGAGTTCGTTGGCGCTCCTGCATCTCCGCAAAGATTTCGTCACGTTTCTGATTCGCAAGGTGGCGATCGAACTGCGTCCATATAGCAAATAATAAATGAAAAAGCCTAGTAATTAGTTAGAAAGCATTGAATATAAAAAGTCCATCTCTCTTGCAAGACTTACGATGATACACCTAGAACAGATGTTGCGGCAACAGTCGCCCATGCTTCTTCATCGACTCCCAGGCGACGCGGGAAGTTGGCGCGAAATATGACCAGACAGCAGCATGTCAGCGCCGCTCCAAACATGGTTATATCCAAACTGAGGATTGTAACCAGAGATATTCGGGGAGAGCTAATATGAAGATTATTTTCAGTAACAAACCCGTCGACAATGCAGGCCATTCCGCTCTGTGCGCATCGATTCATGTTAGTGTCGCTCATCTTTCTCTGGGCATTCATTTATACTTACAGCAGCGACTGCAATGCCACCAGCGGCACTATTGAGAGGGTCGACAATAATCATCATGACACTCATAACGACACCAGTTATGCCGACAAACAGCGACACTATTCGAGCAGCAATCTGAAGATAGGCCCTCCGCGTGAAGCGAGGCAGTGCCTCGTCCAGAATCCTGTCTGTACTGATGTAATGTCGAATCGCCAGGGTTATCGGAACTGTAGTAGGAGCTGTAGTAGGAGCTGTAGTAGGAACTGTTGGTGGAATCTCTGGGTTTACAATGGTTGGCCCTTCCTGGCTCATTGGCGGGACGCTGGTCATTCCAGGCATTGTGGGCGGGACGCTGCTAGTGATAATCTACCAGCAAGGTTCCATGTATAGGATAGATACGACGAGAGGATGCTGGTACACGGATACTCTTGACGATGGTATTTTGTTGCAGCAGCAGCACAGATAGTGTAGAAACAGAGAAAAGCCGAACACAGAGTGAGGGGAAATCTAGAAATCCCCAACGCCTCATGGCGGCGGATAAAAAAAAAGAGGCTGTCGAAGACGGTCAAAGGGTCCTGCGGGATCACCACCACCTGAACAAACGTGGCTGTCGAAACCGCCAACTAGTGGTCTCTTTGCACTGGCAGAGTGTCCCATTAGCAAACGCTATCGAAGCGGGGCTCCAGTTGCCGTCCAAACGTGTGAATGGCGTTTGCTGAGTGCATAAAGAGAACGAATTCGAGGCTGCGCAGGGCATTGTGGAGGGTGACGATGGCCTGGTATTGGCTAGGCGGCTTTAGTTGGCGGTTGGCACAGAGGGGGGCATGGACCCTGCAACGGCCATGGGAGGCGGGGCTAGGGGGGATTTACAGGCCACAGCGGGGAAGTTATAGTGGGTTCCGGGGGCGGAGGCGGGCGCATGTGGTGTCTTGGGCTGGAAGGCCTAGAACCATACATGCGCAATTCGTGGTAGGCGAGGATCATGGAAAAAACGAAGAAAAATGATGAGGAAGACAACAAAATCAAAGCAAAAGACGCAGAATTAAAATGAATTTTCAAGACTATGTTTGATTGCGAATAGACACTCGTCAATTTCGGTAGCAATATTTTTATACTGCATTTTCTAACGTGCCAGCAACCCGACAGCTGGTGCAGCTGGCAACACTGTCACCAACTGGCACTGTAGCTCAGGCCCGCCAAGACCACCAGAACTAACCCCTCATTGCTCGCCACTTGTACCTCCACGACTCAAGCACGGTTCGCAGTGCTGCAGCCTCATCTGCAGTCAGTTATCTATTCCACAGAGCATCATGGCCGGATCACCTGTTATTCTTTACAGATATGACAATTCTGCATTTTCCACACGTGTAGAGGCACATTTGCTCCTCCGCGACATCAAGTACCAGCAATGTGTAGGAATAAACTCTACCGCCAAGGCGTCGTTCACTTTCAGCTGACTCTTTATCCAGACGCAACCGCCTATCATGCCCCGGCCTGACGTCGCCGCTCTTGGCTTGGAGTATCGCCGGATTCCTATCATGGCCATTGGCAACAATGTCATTCTAGATTCGAGCTTGCAAGTTACAAAGCTTGAAAAGCTACCCTCTTCCGGCAATGCCGTCATCAGCTCTAACTCGCCCGTTAACCCGGAGCACAAGGCCATCCAGTTCCTAGTTTCCCGATTTGTTTGCAAGGTTTTGTTCAGGACTCTTTCGCTCCTGATGCGTGTAGACAAGGGCTTTCTGGCCAGCCGCAAGTTCAATGATGACCGGTCCAAGCTGCTGGGCGGCGACTTCAAGCAGGCTGTGTTACGCGGGCAACCCTCGGCTATGGCGGAAGTCATCTCCGTGTTTGAGTTTCTAGAGAATGGGCTTCTCGCTGACGGTAGGAACTGGCTATTGAATACTGAACAGGTTACGTCGGTCGACATCGAAGCGGCATGGGCGCTGGTTTGGATCGACGGCATGGACGAGGGTCTTCCATCGGAACACTTTTCTGAGCAGCGGTTCCCCAAGGTCCGCGCCTGGATGAACCGCTATCGTTCAGCCCTGCGAGAAGCCCAGCAGAAACGTGGCCCGGTGGAGGATATCTCTGGTGAGGCAGCTGCCAAACTGATCAAAGCGTCCCCGGTCACTGCGCAGTCAGCTGGTGTCAGTCAATCTGATCCTGTTGCGAAATCGATGGGACTTGTCAAGGGCGACTTGATTACCATCTGGACCAGCGATGTTCCTAAAGCTGCTGAGAAAGATACAGGCAAGCTTGTTGCGCTCCTCAGCAACGAAATTGTGGTGGATGTGGCTACTGCTAATGGCACGTTCCGCGTCTATGCCCCACGAAACGGATTTCACCTTCAAAAGCATTCTGAAGCTCGGCTGTAAACTCAACTGATGATACAACATTAAACGTTGATAATATTATACTTACTGGCACATACACTACTCAGCTCACGAATTTACATGCTCGATCAGCACTTTCTATAATGTAAAGTCTATTTGGTTGGTTTAACTCTCATCTATAACAATATAAGTCATCAAATCAAGTCCAGGTAGTATCCGCCAAGTCGTTACGAGCCCGGTCACAGTTAGATTCGCCAGTATGAGTGTAGCAAAGACCAGCCACACCAGCAGCCCACATGGCACCACACTCCCACATAACAATAGCAAGATCCCACAGCTCGAGAATCTTTTGTCCATGGGGGTAAGCTATCTCTGCCGCTAGGACCGCAGCTATGTATTCGCTCTCAGACGGCAAGCTGTCGCCTCCCTTGATGTAATCAAACACTGGCTGCACGAGCAGATTGATGACTGCTTGGATTTCTGGCAAGGGCTTGGACGAGACGAGACGAGCTAGACGGGCTTCGGCCCTATCAAGTGACTGCTGTCCGCGACTCACTGGAGTCCCCGCCATCCGGAAGTGCTCTAGTGAAGGTCTTTCTACTGGAACGGTGGCTGTGATGGCAGCGTTCAAATCCAAATCCGTTCTTCCTAGCAGTGTAATAGGACGATGACGGCAGTTAGCAAGTTGCCACCAGTGGGTAAAGAGAAGGCAGAGCGCTGCCGGGTTGTAGGGATCGTTGTCGCGATACCAGATCATGGCACCAGTAAGACGTGAATACACTTCTGCTAGTGCCTCTTCCTCGAGAGAGCCACGCGTCAGAGAAGGAATGATGTTGCTCACTTCCCCGCAGGTCACGTCAGCACCAAGGTCAATCCAATCGTGTGCAACACAGCCGAGGCCAGCAATGGCCGCCATCTGTTCGCCGCCGCCAGCATCATAATAGACGTGGCAAAAGACAGCATCAGCCAATTTGTACCTTGCTAGTTGTGCAAGATCGTTCCAAACGACGATGCATGGGCGGGAGGGTAGGAGGTGGCTATCCTCAATCATAGTTTTCTGGCGTAGACAACCATAGTTGCAGCCCTTGACTATGCGGATATCGGTAATATGCGGTCCAGCATATGTAGACGCCTTTGCAGCTGCAGCCACGTCTTCAAATGCGGACGAGAGACTCTCACCCATGGCAGTATTATACTTTCCGATGGAGTAGTCGAGAACAAATGAAGAGTCCATCACCGCCCAAAGGCCGGAAATAGAACCACCATAAACGCCACGGTTATATCCCACGGCCATGGAGAAGATACTCGTGTTGAGCATCGGCCCTTCTGACCCCTCAGATACAAGGAGATCGGTCGTCGCTTTGTCAGGGGCGATGGCAACGCCGCTCAGCTTGGGTGGGAGAGGTTTTCGCGCAGCACACCACTGCGGCATCACGCCTGGTCGAACCTCTGCAAAGCTAAGGTACTGCGTGTTTCCAGTTTTGATCATCTCGTCGCGAGCATCCAGCAGCTTCGATGCATTGGATAGGAGACCAGTCGCGCAGTCTACCGCATCGGCGACTCTTGCGTTGCGTCCCCAGGACATCATTGTTGCTGCTCCTATAACGCCATCTGTCCGGGGCGTATCATCGCGACGCTCCAGGTGAACATTTGTAACGAGAGTGTCGCTTTCGGCAATATAATGCTGCGAAAACTTGCTCGCGCCAGCCTCTGCTGATCCAATACTATGACTCCTCAGCGACCAGCATGGGGCACCGTGAGTGTGATACATATCGGTCCCTTCACCAAAGACATGTGCTGTCCCCCAGGTCGAAGACAGACGGAATGTTGCTTTAACATCTTCTTTGGAGGTTTCTGAGGTACGGTCTCCCCAGTGGGAAACGACGGGAAGGGCATCGAAAGCCGGTGAGCGACTAAGGCCACCGCTGCAAATGAACTCCGGTACAAGGTCAGAAAGAGGTTGACGCGAAGGCGTGTCTCTAGTCTGTTGTTTGGTCATCCTCTTTGGGCATAATCCGTCGGTGATAGTTTCGCCATCCACGACCATGTGGTCGCCATTTGCCACATCCTTAGAGATTCCACTGATCGGCCTTTTTTTCATCCCATTAGATGTATAATCCGTATGACCATTGGCTTCGTGATGGACAGTGCCATTGGTTGTTTCGTTCACCGTTTCTTCGACGGCCGAAATTCGGTTGTGGAGTCTGTCGTCACTAGCACTTGCAAGTCGTTCTCTGTCTTGAGTAGGCTTTGGTATCAAGGGCGACCCATTGCTAACATTGGAAAGAAAGTTGGTCAGATCACGACAGAGGATCTTTTTACCAAAGCTGGGCTGGTGCTGGGCTCGAGGATCGGTGAGCCCACCAGTAAGAGCGGCATCGGTCAGCGACTCTGTCCGAGCTATGTAGGGCATTTTGGAATGTTTTTTTGAAAGTTTTGAAGGAGGGGGAGGATATACAGAGAAGTGTGACGCGGTATCTATTTCTCCTTTCTGACACGATGGCTGTTGTATTTATACAAACTGTTGTCGCCTAGGAGCCATTCAAACGAAAGGGACGGCCCGTGCCGATAGTCTTGTGATTTCAAGATATGCTGAAGAGGAATTGTCTTGCCACAATCCATTCGGGTGACCAGGTCGATGGCTCCCGAATAGAGGTTTAAGAAATGATAGTGTCGATCATCTCAATCCGGTCAGGTTAACGAGTTTTTTCGCATGGTATGTTGTTCTGCTAATGGATTCCCTTCTGTTGGCTTAGACACTCCGCCGGCGGAGCCCGGTTAAATGACTATCATGTTCTCGGAACGCCTCGGTGTGTGCCGTGTCTCTGAATAAGAACCGTCAAGGATCAGATACCGAGCTTTGGTGACAGCCGTTGGATTATAGGCAGCCAAGACAACGGTCGGCAGTATGCGGCGATACTAGCGCCGATCTGTTTGGCACGTGCAATTCCTAAGCCGACTTGGCATACCAGGTCAGACAATTCAGCTGTACTAGGACCAAGTCTTCTGTGTTTTGCCTCTATTGCCGGCTAACTCTAACCATGCAAGACACTTTTCTATATGGCAGGGCACGGGACGGCAGGGGGCGGCACGAACAGGGGACCAGGCCGCTGCGACTTACACGCGTTCCCTTCGCCATCTCTTTGTTGTCAACATTATTAATATGTCAATTGAATGGGAAATCGATCAACATTACTTTTAAAATGCATTGATCCGCGGCAAAATGTTGCAAGACTCAAGTTGCACCGATACTCAACCTATGGAGCCACCAAACAAGGGTCACGATGTCGTCAACATTCCTCACCAAGCACCCGATAGCCGTAAAGCCTGCGGACACAATGCCGATAGTTTCCTCATTTACCCACTATAAGGGTTTTCTCTCCCGGCATCAACCCCAAAGGGACCGCATGTAGGCTCCACCGGTCAAACAAGCCAAAATGCCGGAGCTAAGACACGGCATAGAGAATTGCCATTGCTGTTGCGGACACAACATGCATCTTTTACAGCAATGCGCTTGCTTACGCTGTCACCTGAAAACTCTATAGCAGTGCTCGGTGAGACTCAATGCTGGAAATGCCGAACTGAATCACGCAGAGATGCGGTCACAGGGTCTTTTGACGGAATGTTGATCTTCAGCTCGCTGTTATCGTCGAATCAGACGATGTTGCACAACACTGCCCAAGCTAGTACTTGCTCTGTTAATTGGCTAAGAGACAACAGCCAACGCACTTGGTCTCTGTATTTGGCGGTATATAAGAATCCGTAACTACCACTGGGTTGAGCTATCGTCTCCTATCATTATCTTTAACAAAACTCAGTCACTTTAAACACACACACACATATCAATTTGCCAATCTTGCAAAATGAAGGCCTTCTTTGCCGTTACCGCTCTTACTGCTGGCTTCGCCATTGCCACACCTACCGAGGAAGTTGTGAAGCGAGACTGTCCCGCACTCGTCGACCCTGCTCTCGCAGCCTCCGTCACTGCTCTCAAGATCGCCCTCGGACCCTTTGCTCCTGCCAACCTCAAGGACGCTACAGACGCCGGTGCCGCATGCTTCAAGGACAAGGTTGGATGTGCTGCCGTTGTTCCTCCTCCTCCCACCACTCCTGGACAGTTGGACTGCGGTGGAACCATTGGTGTCGCCCTTGGCAGTGCCGTTGCGGCGCTCAAGACCGGCCTTGGCCCTATTGCTCCCCCTTCCTACCAGGAGGGCGTTGATGCTGGCCTCACCTGCTTCAAGAACGCTCTTGGCTGCAAGCCCGCTGCTTAAGAGCTCTTTGGGAGTTTTCTATGCCAGATTGTCTAGCCAATTTTAGGACGGTATATCGAAACGTTGTCGGCTAGCATGTGCTACTGTTAGGGTTCAAATTCGGTGGTGATTATGGCTGGACGTGCAGCAAGTCGAACTAGGCTCGCCTGGTAACTAAATAAACCATCACTATTCAGCCTTTGCAATAGCAAGAATCTTACAATCTATACAACTTTTTCGTTTTCATCTTCTTTGATGTGATTTTTTGGAAGTAGCTCACCGGCTTGACTCTGTGTAAGTGGAGAAGTCGGTGCATGAACCAAAGACTATTCTACGCCGTAAACAATATTAAAATGAAAAATGAAATCTATATTACATAGCTCTAGCGTTATCAAGTCCAGGGTCGAACTCTAGCAGAAAAACCCCTCTGGTCCGCCAGCGCTATGGATAGCTCTTCCCACACAGCCAAACTTGAAGACGGCTGGAAGGTTAAAATGCATCAGATAATCGGCCCGATACTCTCCAATGTTCTGATTGGAGCCATCCCGCTTGAGATCACGGTTTGTTCCAAACCCTCTGCCCGTCAATAGCCCACAGCCCTTAATTTCTTGCCAGAGTCTAGCACCACCGTCGTTGACAAAGTCCTTGGTCCAAAGTTCAAAGTAAACGAAACCGAGGCCTGGAGTTCTTTCACAGGATGCTGCTGGACGAGGGTCTCGGTATGGGTTAATCGTTTCAACAGTGTTAGCGGCAATGTCCTTACAACATTGCCCCTCGATGATGTTGCCTCCCTCGTCATAGAGGCATCCATCTTGGCGGAAGATGACTTTGGCATAGTTTCGCGGCCAGTGTGCCTCAAGTAGACAACCAGGCTTACCCACTCGGTTATACCTCTCGGCTTGGTCATATTTTGCCAGGATTAAAGTTCGACTGGTTGGGCCCTGGTCGGCATTCACATCTACAGGAATATATAAGTTAGCCCATTCATGCTACAGTATATATCCATGTAAACTTACGGTAAGACGATTCATAAACGGCTGATACACGTCCCGCATTGGCATTGCAACGCGGACTATTGTTAATCAAGATGCAGCCTGATTCCACAACCTAGGAGTAGACGTTAGATTGGAAAGAAGCCCAACTTTTGTTCGTCCGCACAGAAACATACCACTTGCGTACCTCCCGGGTTCTCTGGAGGGTCTTGCCGGGGTGGTCGAGGATTAGTCAACGTGTCAGTCTCACAAGGACAACCGAAGAAGTTCTTGGTACAACGATAAGCATGGTCAAAATAGCTTCCTTCGCAGCCGCCCGCTCTGCAGTCGCGCTTCGGTCCGCATGTAGACTAATTCGCACATTGTCAGCAGGCAGCTAGTAATACTATAACAGGAATCGTGTATGTGTTGTTGCTAAAAGCATCCAACCGGGTTAAATCACACTTACAGCAACGGGATGGCACACACATCCTGCAAACTTTCCACGGCATCGAGCCACACTGGAATTTGCGTCGAAGCTACCGTTGCAGCCATTTGCGTCGCAACGCTGCGGCAAACCACAGGTATTCTATAATGGATATGACTGTTAGCATGTACCCTATATGCGTAGTGAAGGGCCGACTTACCTTTGAAGAGGTGCATTTACATCCTTTAAAGTTTCCCTGACAACGTGCAACACCCTTATCATCGTAGCCTCCGTTGCAGCCATTGTTATCGCAGCTCTGCTGACTACCGCATGTTGCGTCTGTTGCCTCGCACTTGCATCCCTTGAAGAAGTTTGTACAAGTTGCGAGGACATCCGAGCCAAGGAACTTGCCATCGCAGTGATTCAAATCACAACTTACAGGATCGCCACACGTCTGGGGATTTGCTTTACATTCACAGCCCTCAAAGTTACCACGGCAATACGCCTTGCCGGTGGCGAGACTGAACTGACCATTGCAACCATTCTGACTACAGTCTCCTGGTGGTCCGCAAGTGTCAGGCTGTGCAATACAGTCGCAGCCTTGGAAGTTTCCTGTGCATTTGGCAAACTTGACATTGCCCAGGCCATTGAATGACCCGTTGCAACCATTTTGGGTGCATGATCCACGGGGTCCGCACGTATTAACTGTAGATTGACACTCGCATCCTTTGAAGTTGCCTGTGCATTTGGCATACTTGACGTTACCAAGGCCGTTAAAGGAGCCCGTACAACCGTTCTGATCACAGGGTTGACGAGGGCCGCAAGTGTTTGCAGATGGTAGACACCGGCAGCCTTTGAAGTTGGCTATGCATCGAGGATAGTCGACATTACCGAGGCTATTAAATGAGCCTGCACATCCGTTCTGATCACAGGGTTGAAGAGGACCACAAGTGTCTTCCTCCGGTAGACACTCGCAGCCAAGAAAGTTTCCTGTACACTTGGGATAGGCAACGTTGCCTAACCCATTGAACGATCCGTCACAGTCATTGGCATTGCAAGATTGACGAGCGCCACATGTGTCTTTTGTCACTAAGCAGCGACATCCTTTTTTGGTACCAGCAGTGCATACGGGATATTTTGCAACCCCGGAAAAGGCACCCTTGCAACCATCCGCGTCACAGCTGCCAACTGGGTCACATATAGTACCTGTAGACGTTGGCATAGCACGATATGTGATGGGGGCATATAACCCAGAGATGACATCGATGGGACCAATGCCGGGTTTCGAGATGGTAGATGTAGGCGGGGCTTGGCAGACATAAGAACTAACGCAGTCTCGGTAGGCGGTGTAGAGAAGAACCACGAATGCTTGTCCTTCTGGAGATCCTGCAGTGTAGGGAGTGTGGCTATGCCAATCATAGGGATTTGCAGCCGGTGCAAAGATGCCGTCAGGCCCTTGTTTCGTTTTCAAGGAGTTCCGAATTGTATCAGCCCAATCCACATAGGACTTTCCAAACATTCCTGCATCATATTAGCAATATATTCAAAAACAGGTCGCAATGTTACGCTAGATATAGTTCAGTGGTTTACATACCAGGGTCATTCACAGCCATTCTATAGGCAACAGCAGACAGCAGAGCGCTGCCGGAGACTTCACCAAAGTAGGATCCATCACCAAGATAGTTCCTCAGAAGACCATTGTCTGTTCCTGAACGCATAGCGCCATCCAGTATTTCTTTAATCCAACCTTTGAGCTGGCCGGCTTGTGACTGCAGCACAGTGGAAGAGGCAGGCCACTTTTGCAATGTGTGAAGAACACGCGTCATACCCCAAGCCGCCCAGGCATTGCCCGAGGACCAAAGCCCAAGATCTTGGGACTGTGGACCAACGATATGACGCCAGTTAAGGTTATTGTTAGCCTTGAGAATGTCTCGGTGAAGACCGCATTGGCGAACTGTTTCGCGCATCAAATTGACATCATTTCTCTGCACGGCCATGTACGCCACTGTGTTTTAACCATGTTAGCAGTTTGTTTGCGTTTCTGGGTTAGGTGCTTACAAAAGGGAAACGACATGGCCATATTGTCCGCCCAAAGCTCTGCAACATCTGGTCGATGGGAGATTGCACCATTCGAGTACTTGGGCGCATCATTGAGAATATAGTTCGTTTGCCGATCCGACGCATCCAAGTAGACCTTATCAGACTGTCCCAGGAGAAGAGCAGAGACACCAAGAGATGCTGGATCACCCACAGCAGAGTTTCCAACCAAGACCTGTGAGTTGGTATTGATGAATTGTTTTGCGTACCCAAGCGCAAGTGAGTCAGGGTTTGCATGGGGTATCTTGCCCCTCGGGAAAGGGTTGTCGCCATATACAGACAGCTCAGGGTTGTAAAGTTCAAGGAGTGCTTGTGCCGCCGTCCCCCATTCCCATGACTGGCCAGATTTTTGAACCATCACTTGCGCTGCTCTGTAGGCATTGAATCCTGCGGGCACATTTTGGGTAGACCCAAGAGTCACTAACTGACCCAGGGCATAGAAGACACCGATATGCATTCTTGCTGTATTAAAGAAGGGAAGAAAGCCTGTCGGCAACGGTGATGATCAAAGAGTTGTTTAATAATGATAGTAGAAGAGTAGAAGGGACCGCCCTTTTCAATAGAAAAGGATGGAAGGGGGATATAGGTGAATATGCCTTGCGTGCGATATGAACGGTAGTTTAAATGGTTTCCCTTGGCTCCTCGCTTTTGATTCCAGATTTTTTCGTTTTCAACGCCATCTCAGCATCTTCCGACTAACTCTCAAGGTCTTAACTAGCTGTGAGACGAGCAAACATCTTGACGTGCACAAATGCGTTCTAGAACGCCTTGTCATAGAGTTATGCTAACATAGCCACTACGCCACGGTTGAAACCTTACCGTTAACCTTAACGTCACATGCTCGTCTTTATGGCTGTTTTCACAAAAAGGACCGACTCTTTATGTTTCTTTAGTAATTAGGTCGGGTGTCATACTCGTTAGCGCGGTGTCATACCTGGTGGAGTAGCAAGGCGCTTAAATCTAAGCATAATTCTAGATCGTTTTCCTTAGCCGCGCCACCACCAAACCCCACCTCGGAATTATTATTTTAACCGTTTTATAGCTTAGGATAGTTATATTAGAACTCTCTAACTACACAAACCTGCTCCACAATTTGTCCAAAAGAGGCGTACCAAAAAGTTCCTGACACATTCTAATCTTATTGGGATGTATAGCCTACAACCAACTATAGACTGCGTTCATTTCTCATTCTTCGGGAACTTTTGAAAACGCCTTTTTTTTCTTTTTCAGGAACTTTAGTGGCTTAAGCCTCAAATATGACGTTCTCAGGAACGACGCGTTCTCTCTGGTCGCCTCGCTATCGCTCAGTCAGTCAGATGGAAACATATTCCGGTATCAAGTATGAAAGAGGTGACTTGACAAAGTTACTATTTTAAAAGTTGGGCCATCTCCTCATATTACTGTGACTGCTACTCCCAAGACTTACCAGCCAAGCAAGTCAGTTAGCCATCTTCGTTACCGAATCTCACTCTATATCCTCACAATTAATCAAATCAGCGAAACTACCTTCTTCCCCTTTGACAATGCGGATTGATGCATCTGTGTCGCTGCTGGCGGCACTTTGCTCGGCAGCACAAGCATTGGCTAATACAGCCTCGCTCTCTAGCCGTGGCATATCAAAAGACCCATCATGTCCAGACGGGTGGTTTTGCGAGCAGAAAGGCTGTGACCTGACCTGCGCAGCTGGAGACGTTTGCGTTTCTTTTGAAGGAACTGCATCATGTGCTCCAGCTGGCAAGAAGTGGTGTTCTTTCAATCCCAACACATTTGAAGCGGTACAGTGTGGTACTGATGGAGTTTGCTGGTAAGTATATATACTCCCGTCTTGTTTTGTGACGCTCAAGCATTGCTAATGCTTCCCCTAGCCACGGCAATTGTTACAAGCCGGGTACTGTATGCTGCGATGATGGTACTATCCACTGTACTATTGGTGACCTGTGTCTCGCTCGCCCCAGTGGTGACAACTGCAAAGCAGGAACGTCCACTAGTACTAGAGTATCTCCATCATCAAGCTCTGCCCCCCCTAATCAGCAACCTCAGCCAACGATTGCAAGCAGTAGTACTGCTGTGCTGTCCACACCAGCTGTGACAACAAAAGCATCGTCGGCAACACCTTCGCCTCAAACGTCAGCGAGGGCAACCACAACTACTACTGCTGCTGCAGCAAAACCTACTATCTTGCAGCAAGATGGCGACTTTCGCTACTCAGGATGCTTTGCTGATGGGGCTACACCTGTGCTGGTTGTTGATCACTCCTCTGATCCTAGCCAGAACGGTATGACCGCTGAGAAGTGTATTGCTCTAGCGGTACGAAAAGGCTTACGTTATGCCGGCGTTGAGTCTGGTTCGGAGTGCTTTCTGGGAAACACGCTTCACGGCTCTGATAAGAAGTCAGACAGTGACTGTAACAAAATCTGCGCAGGTACACCAACTGAGTACTGTGGTCAGGCCAACAGGCTTCAAGTTTATGAGAACCAGAAATGGAGCGATCCGACTCTGGACGAGTTAACCAATGCCCTGACCGTTTACAACAGGACTTTGTTCCAATTGTCTCAGCTCAACAACCAATACCAAAGCCTCATTCAACGGTGGGCAGATACGCAGAATGCTGGTAAAAAACGGGCAAGGTTCTTTTCTAAGAGGGCCCAAACCATTACGGTTACAGAGCTGCGTAGGGGTCTAACCGACATTGAAAGACAGTACCCTACTCTTCGTCAGGCACTTGGTTCGTTTTCGACAGAGAAATCCCGACGCTACTATTACTAACCATACCAATAGCTCAGGCATCCTCAAATGGAGGTACATTGTTTGTACATGCGGCGAGCTTGGACGTTGTACGCCATGGAAACCCATTTGTAGATCCGCCCAATTTGCAAAGGGCGCAGAACGCTTTTGACATTCCTCTCGAACCACTTGAGCGAGTTCAATCGGCGATAGAGGCCGATATACGGTCCATTGATTCAACACCTTCCACTACACCACTTCTCGATACTGCCGGCGACTTGGCTTTCGTTGGATCTGCTGTATTTGTTTTATTTTTTGATATGTACTTGAAGTATTGGCTAACTGGATTTATAGGGAACTGCTATTGGCATCTTGGCGGGGTCGACCTTGGAAAAAATCGCACTTGGCCAGGGCGTTTGTAAGTGAAGCTATTGTCCATCCCCATCCACTACACGTTTGGCTGCTGACTCCGGAATCTTTCTTTCCCCCCTATTTTAGTTGCCCTTCTCGCTCTTGTATTTCTGTCTCTGCATCCATCGACGACACCAGGCAATCCAACGACCGCACCCCACTCGATACCAGCATCAGCGACTACAACAATCGCCTCTTCTACGTCGTCGGCTGCCCCTTCTGCTACCCCATACTTCCTCGTTGCAGCAAACGGCGTTTTGAGTGGTCAATTCAAAGCATTTACAGAGGAATTAAATGAAAAAGTTGAAAGCAAAGTCATCAACAATCGCTTCGGTATTGCGCGGGTGGTAGAATTGACTACCAGCCAACTCAAACGAGCCAGGGAGAGCCGGCTCGTGTTTTCGGCAACACTTAACAATAACGCACGGGTGATAGATTCATTAACATTCAAGCAAAGCAACGCATCGAATGGCTTGCAGGCGCCAAAGCTGAGCAAGCGGGCTGACCCTCAGAGAGGAACGGCCGTTCCTGGCAGCTATTCCAAGGGAATGAATCTTAACGGCCACAGTGGAAACCCTCCCTATAACCTTGCTCATCTGCAGTCCCTCTCTAGGGCATGGTTTCCACAGGGCATTGACAATCTACACCACTATAACTATGAAACTGATCCGGGCGATGGTACGTTCATATACATCGCAGAGCCAGCGGATTTCACCCATCCAGAGTTTGCCCAGGTCCGTCAGGAACGAATCACTATTAACAGCCCGACTAGCGACCCAGCTAAGCTTGATAGAGAGCATGGAACAGCGGTTGCCTCAATGGCAACCGGGTATAGCCTTGGAGTTGCCCCGTCAGCAACTGTTATATCTGTTGACATGTCGCATGAAGAAGCCGATATGTTCGAGGCTCTCTTCGAGGTATACGAAGATATTTTACGCAAAGGAAGACAGGGCAAGGCTGTTGTTAACATGTCTTGGGGAATGCGAGCAGACCCTGGCACTAAAAGGTGTCTTCCCGAGTTTTGGCTTGCTAAAGTAATTGAGCAACTCCATGAGGAAGGTGTTGTCGTGGCCGTCTCAGGCGGCAATAACGGGGAGGATCCCGTCGATCCAACGTTCACGACACATGCTCCTCGGTGTTATGGCACCTTCATGAACGATCTGATAGTGGTTGGCTCTGTCGACAGAACCGGCAAGAGGTCTGCGTTTTCGGGCAAGTGCGACGCTGCCAATACCACGCCAAATTGCATGAGTGCATATGCTGTTGGTCAAGACGTTCTTGCAGCAGACTCCACGACCGGAAGGGGGACTGTTGTCAGTGGCACAAGCTTCGCAACACCTATCATCTCAGGTTTAGCCGCATACTTGTTAACTCACTCTAGCAGCTCCATTCATCAAAGGATTTTTGGTTTTGGAAGGGACAAAGTGGCCGAGGGAGTTGAGGAAGTTATTACCGATTGGAGCTGGAGCCGCATGCCAACTGGTGGTGTCGACTGGCCTAATGTGGCCTGGAATGGTGTCATTGAATAGATTTACTGTACAATATATCTTTAGGGTTCATGATTGTTACTTTTAAATTTATTATATCCTGTTTTTATTCTCAGGGTGCGGCTTTAGATTGTCCTAGGTGGTAGAACCGTTGTGGTGTAAGTGGCCAAGAGCAGTAGTAACAAAAGGGTGGTAAGCGGTCGTTAAGGAGTCATCCTCTATTAACAAGGAATTGCTTAGCTTGATCACTGAATATCTAAATTACTCTATCTAGGCTATATAAGGGGCTTTATATACTTTGTTTATATCTTTGTGATTGAATGGGTCGTAAGTGATCTATTCTACAAAGAGTCACGTGACCTGCCGTACGTGTGGTGACATGGCCTCAGATGATATAATGCGCGAACATGTAAGATTCTAAATATACCAGTCGAAAAACGAAGAATTTAATTAATTTTGAATTTTATGATTTTGAAGAGTTTGTCATTGCTGGTTTAAACGTAATTCAGCGGAATCGAGCGACATTGGCCGTGCAAGCGCGTTAGTTTGGTTCTTTACAAGAAAAACAGTATATATTTTTAGACAAAAATGTAGGGGAGCAAAGACCAGCTTTATGCTTTTATTTTACAATTTTTATTTTATTTCTTTTATTGGACAGCAGCGCGACAGCGACCTTGGTGTACACGCTATGTTAATGCGACAGCGACACAGCTGGTGGCGCCATTTACCAGCTGACCGGTTTCGGTAGGTGTCATAACACCCGGCGCTCTTGTTTATCTTTGTCATCTCCAACGTCGTTTATCGAGATCTTGTGTCGGCGTTCCAACAAAGATCACTCTCTTTTTTATCGACTGTCTTTTTGCCTGTGTTATTTTTTTTTTTAATCTGCAACATCATCACCAGCATGCCCGCCCCCAGCCGCATCCTCTCGCTGGCGGCTGCCGCGGCTCTTTGCACCGCCCACAACAGCCAAACGCCGCTCAATGCTCCTGGAGCTTCTACAGAGCTCCAGCTCGAGGCTGTTGAGATGCCAGGGCTGTCTGACTATGCCACCAAGCCCATTGTCGACAGCCAGATGCTCCAGGACTCCATCAAGATCAAGACGTTGTACAAGCGTGCCGAGCACCTCTACCAGATTGCTAAGCTTTCCGAGCCCGAGTTCAACCATCCCACACGAGTGATTGGAAGCAAAGGTGCGTAAAATTCGGGTGATTCGGCTCTCAAAGCGTATTACTAACAGGTAAAAAGGCCACGATGCCACCCGCAAGTACATCATCGACACCCTCGAGTCCCTCGGCGGCTACTACAACGTCTCGACCCAAGACTTCCCTGTTGTTATGAGCCATGTTTACGAATCCCGCCTCGTGATTGGAGATGTTGTCTCCAAGTCCGCTCGTCCCATGGGTCTGACTCCTCCTACCAAGAACAACCAGCCTGTCTTTGGCCGCGTCACCCTTGCCAAGAACAACGGCTGCAGCCCGTCGGATTACGCATCGGATGTCAAGGGCAGCATTGTGCTCATTGAGCGTGGCGCTTGCTCCTTTGCCGACAAGTCCATCCAGGCTGGCAGGGCTGGTGCCGCCACTGCTGTCATCTACAACACTGACGACGGTGAGCTCAACGGTAGTCTGACAGAGGCTACCGATGACATGGTTGCAACATTTGGCATTGACGGCAAGGAGGGTCAGCAATTCGTCGAAAAGTTCAAGAGATCTACCAGCCCTCTCGATGGTATTACCTATGTCGACTCCGAGGTCAACAAGTTCAGCACCACCAATATCATTGCACAAACGGCCAATGGTGACGCTGACAACTGCGTCATGCTTGGCGGTCACAGCGACAGCGTTGGTGCTGGTCCTGGTATTAATGACGATGGCTCAGGCAGCTTGACCACTCTGGAGATTGCTGTCCAGCTGAGCAAGTTCCGCGTTAACAACTGTGTCCGCCTTGCCTGGTGGTCCGCCGAGGAGGAAGGTCTCTGGGGCTCTTCCTTTTACGCCAAGAGCTTGTCTCCAGAGGAGAACCAAAAGGTTCGCCTTTTCATGGACTACGACATGCTTGCCAGTCCCAACTTTGCCTACCAGATCTACAACTCGACCAACGACAACAACCCTGCTGGCTCAGAGGAACTTCGTGACCTTTACATCAAGTTCTACAAGGATAACGGCCTCAAGTACACTTTTATCCCCTTTGACGGCCGTAGTGATTACGTAGGCTTCTTACGCAGCGGTATTCCTTCGGGTGGTATTGCTACTGGTGCTGAAGGTATCAAGACCAAGGAGGAGGAAAAGATGTTTGGCGGCAAGGCTGGTGATTGGTACGATCCTGCCTACCATCAGCTTGAGGATGATGTTGGCAACCTGAACCTGACTGCGTGGGAAATCAACTCCAAGGTAAGACTTATTCCCTCTTTTTTGCATACAACCGAATGCTCTAGTGCTAACTTATCTCTCTCAGCTTGTCGCACACTCTGTCGGTACCTACGCTCGCTCTTTCAAAGACTACCCGAAGCGCGTTGCTAGCGCCGCGACCGCCTCGCAGCAAGAGTTTAAATACCGTGGTGGTTCTTTGATTATGTAAATGGTGTTAAGCCGCATTAGCATAGAAACAGGCCGTATGTAGCATGCCAAATCTAACGAGCATCTTGAATAGTACACTATGTCCATGTTAATAGTACCTCTATTATGGAGACATCTATCGTGTTCGATCGAGCAATAATTTACTTCATTTTCTCCCACTACGCATTTCGAATAGCAACTCGCTCATTGTTAACACTGTGCAGTAGTAAAAGGAATAGCGAGTGAGAAGACTAGCCACTACAGCCGTAACGATTCAAAACACAGTGTAAGTTGGATATGAACACGTCCATAACTCTGCAGTTTCGAGACACTGTACCGTGTCTTTCAGAGAGACGCACAGTCTTCCATCATGGCAGAGTCATTCTCAGGGCGTGTGCCTTGCTTAGGCTGTTGCGCAACACACACCACCACACACTCTACATTTTAGTGCTCATATCTAAGGTACGGGTCGGCTATCCGCTGCAAGGTACAGGCGTCGAGATTTCTGCCGCAGTTTGTTGGCGTTGAATTTTCAAATAGCTATCGAGGACAGGCGACATTGCTGGGGTTTGTCCGTCGCAATGGTAGCATCAAGTCTGTAGGATTCGACGAGAGACTGCGGGTACCGGAAACTATGATTGTCCATTTCATGGTATTTAGTTTACATTCAAATCCGGTACTTCTCTTAGCTCATGTGTCATGCCAAATGCTCTGTTTTTTAGGTGTCGTGAGCGCAGGGATGGCTCACGCAGGTCTCGTGGGCTGAGCGCCACCCATTCCACGTCTGCGAAGGGATACGTTAGAGACCGTTTTAATGTTCATCTTTGGAGAAGGCTCGTATTAAGCGATTGGGATTCGCCAGCGCGTTTATTGTCGCGACAGGTGTGCTTGGTGGCGGTGGGCGAAGGTTCTCGACACCATATGGTATTAGAAAGCCCGCCGTTTGTTTGAAATTGCCGGACGGCTTACAAGTCACAGGTCGATCGTGACTAGATTGGCAATTTGCTTATTTACTAATTAACCCCGTGAAACATGTTTCTAGGGCATGTGGGCGCAAACGGCGCCTAGATTAGGGACTGGTCTGTGGAAGCTGCCCGGCATCTGGGGGCGATGGCTTTGCATGACCTTGGACGCGGAACTGGCGCTTTCATTGATCAAAGCTAGGCACTCTGTAAGCTGTATTGTAATGGCATTCTAGCAGTTTGATAGAGTTTTCAGATCGTTTTGGAAGCAAGTCGGCGTGGCGTTTGTTCTACGAGAGACGGGACATCTACCGCCCCAGTCAAAGCGGATGCTTGCTAGCAGCCTTGGCTCATGCCGATATGTGGGAATGCCCCTTTCGGACACAAGAAAATGTCTCCGCCTGGCGTGGTAGTTTTTGGAGCAGGAATTGGACGGTCAATTTCGCGTATGCATGGCGACGGGAGTTGAGCGAGGGACGAGGGTGGTACGTTGGTATACAACGCCGCCATTGAGAGAACAATAAGCGTGAAGAACAGACAAGGAAGCTGCAGCAAGCATCTCGAGACTGAGGAGATGAGCTTTTTATTTTTTGTGAATATACACACAGGGTGTGTGCAGGATCCCCGAGCTATTAAACCAGCAACGACGAAAGATGGCAACGAGCTGCCTACCAAAAGCACAACAGAGCCTGAAGAGGCAGCAAAACGACTAGTGCTAGGAGGCTTTTGCACTAACGGAAGCTTCCTGGCCAGCCAGAAGACGAGAAACAAAAATCGGGCGCCTTTTATTGGTGCTGCTCCAGTGCAGAGCTTGTATGCGTTTGGTGATGTTTGTCTGCTGTAGCTACGGTAGCTTGCACTAAATTAGCTGGCTAACAGCGGGCTGTGGTACGCCCACGCCAGGCGAGTTAGCGGCCTCTTAGGGGGAGGGGTGCAAGCACAGCAAAGGCCCAAAAGTGGTCCGGCAACACGTCTTCCGCCCGGAGCTCTCAGCATCCGACAAGATCGATCGAGACTCAGTCCCCACCGAAGTGTGCGTGGCCAGTGGGTGCCCAAGGTTTTCCCCTCTTCTTTGCTTCTCTACCTTTCGCTAGCAAAAGCCATGCTAGAGCTAAGCCAAGGTGGTGATGATGATCGCTGCAGCTAGCTACAGTAGTACAGTACAGTAGGCTGGGCCCATATGGTAAGAAGGAAGCTAACCACAGTTTGCAGCTGGACGAGTACGAACACGGACCGTACGTTAGTAGCTCACCACAGCACAGCCTACTGCACGCCGAACAAAAAAAAAAGCCATTGCTCGACATCTCACAGTTCAATTGCATCTCCAACTGCATGTCTCTATGCTGTGTCTTCCCCTTTTTTTCTGTCGTTGCTTTTTAGCCATCCACTTTGCTCGTCTCACCATCACAACATGAACTGGCCCCTTTGACAAACAATTACAAAAACAGACAGTATAGAACGGTGCACCAGAAATCCCAGCGTTGCTTTCCCTTTTGCTAGCGTCCCCCGCTAAGCAACTTACCCCTGGTCCAGCGAGAGACATGACGGCTGAATGGGTAATGTCATTACCGCTATTGGCCCAAACCTCCACCCCCCTGGTACCGCTTTGGATCGGTTTTGTGCAGGGCATCACAAAAGCAGACAGCGGCCATCCGAAAAGTTTGTGCACTGAAGAACGGCTAGACAGCTCCTTTGTACAGTACGCGCTGTGACGGGGTGCACAACACGACGACGTCAACACGCTTCGCACAAGTATAGTGGTGCATCTCAACTCTACCACCACATTGTTCGAGGCAATTAAACAGCAAGCATAGTCTGCAATCCTAGCGACAGCCCGTGACCACTAACCAAAAATGTTGCAGTCGGAATGGCTCTGGTTTGCCAAACCACAGGGCAAGGCAAGGCAAGCAAGGAGGCGCAACGCCCGTTCATTTGCGACTAGAGACATACTACCTACCACACACCCCTCGTGCGTCTCCACCCCCAGATTTTCCCCTTCATCCACTCACAGGCGCCCTAATTCCAAGCATCTCCAGAAAGAAATAGCCTGGCCCTGCCCCAGTACGCAGCGGAAAGGCTGGCATCCGGGCGCACCAAGCACTTGGTATGCTGTCTGCCCCCACCAAATTGGGAAAGATCCTTGGGTCAGGTTTGGAATCTTTTTTTTTCCTCCTCGTTCCCGCTGCAGTGCTATTTTGCTGACATTAGCATCCCTGCGCTACTCGTGGTAGCGAACTGCTCCAAGACCACCGAGGTGGGCGATGTAGCGAGGCGACGGCCCGCGCTGACATTAAATCCGCCATGAACAGGATGCAAAGCTTTTGGTGCAAGTGTGTGCCGCTTTCCTTCTAATTCAAACTAAAATAGCGCGCATTGAACCGGTCTGCGTTCGTCAAGGTTCCGTTGTCTGCTTTCTCAAATCATCTCCGCCCTTTGGTAGAGTTGCACCACCAGTAGCCACCCTCCTCGATTTGGAGATGCGCGCTCAGCGCCTCCGCCACGCCAACCTTGTCCTGCTGCAGCCCAAGCGCAAGCGGCTTGTCGCTGTTTACCTTTTCTGGACCAAGGGTTGCATGCACTACAGACATGACGCCTCGATCCGAAAGTATACGCCCCTATGTCTCCCTCGTTTTTCGCCACGAACTGAGGAAAGCTACGTCTACAATTAGCCAGTCTACGGCAACAATTCACGAGTAAATGTCGTCCCAATGGCGTCTGTCTCCTTACCATGGGCTTTATATATAGCAATGTATCAGTGATAAATTGAAGCGATTTGACATTGTATCGAAAGACACTGTCAATGGGTACAGTACCGCGTCATGCCAAAGTCGGTAGCTCAGGCGAGAGGCCGAGCTCAAGCCCACGCCTCAAGCTTGATCCTAACTTGACACCCCCCTCAGCCTGGGCTCCTCCACTCGCTGTCTGGCTCTGGGGCGCCCATGACACTAGCACTCATTCCTTGGGGGCGACTTGCTTTTCTTAGTGCCGCTCTGTGCGTGCAAGCTCCAAGTCCACCACTTTCCCTTACCACCGGCTGGGAACTCCCCGCTGCTTGTCTCCCCGGCCGGATGCTTCCACACCCGGCAGCCCATCCAAAGTCTCAGACAAGGGGTGTCGATACAATGCAAATCTCGCCAACACTATGGAGATGATACTGGAGCTTGCCGTACTGGGCAATACAACTGGGGGGGCCTGTAGCTAGCTAGACCGGTGCCGCGCTTCCTCCCTCCCTCGCCCGTCCCCTAGTTACTGGCGTGTTGTTGGATCGTATAAGACCATAGTCCAGCCTACTCACTGGACTTTTCGTTCCCTTCTTCCTCGATATCCATACGTCAGAACAAACCCTTAATTGTCGATTTACACCTGACCACTTCGAGATACCCGTTCCAAAACACATCTCAACACACATTACCTCTTCATCATGAAGTTCTCCGCTGTCCTCACTGCCGCTATGGCTTCCCTCGCCGTCGCTGACGACCCTCTCTGCGACAAGTACACCAAGGCTCTCCTCAAGGACAACACTGCCGCCAACCAGAAGACTCTCTTGACACTCCTCGTCAACACTGTCGTCATTGGTAACTGTACGTACCCACCCGTCATCTCATATAACCGCTCTGAGATCCCTATTGTCCACATATCATATACTAACTGATGCTCTAATAGACACCATGCCCAACGTTGGTGTTTCCGTTCCCGGTATCCTTGCCCCTGGTGAGGTCAACGGCAAGAAGGTCAACCTTCTCCCCTACTTCGATGGTACCCTCGCCTCCACCAACCGTGGCGACAAGGCCGTCTGCAAGAACTTCCTTGACGATGGCGGTGCTGAGCCGTAAGTTGATCCAATCCTGTACACATATTCAACAAAAACAACAAAAGCTAACAATGTCCGCAACAGCCTGAAGAAGAACATGCCCGCCATGGGCACCTCTTCCAACCAGTACTTCCTCCTCACCCACTTGTACGAGTTCTTCGGCACCCTCCTCGGCTGCTCCCAGCAGGGCATGACCGGCTTCGACAAGTACGACGGCCAGCCCTCCATGTACAAGGTCCACAAGTTCATGAACCTCGGCGAGGCTGAGTTGACCTACTTCATCAGCCAGGTCGGCGCTGCTGCCGCCTCCTTCGGCGTTGCCAAGGACGACATCACTGCTGTTGCCAACGCTCTCAGCAGCACCTTTGGCATGAAGTGCGCTGCCCCCGCTGAGGTCATCAAGGGCTCCGGTCCCCAGGCCCAGGCCATCTGCATTGGCGATGGCTGCCCCGAGGCCAAGGAGCCCCAGTGCAGCGCCTACGCCGCCGCTGTCGCCCCCGCCAAGTGCTCCGCCGCCTCCATGTCCGGCTCCATGATGCCCTCTGGCACCAGCATGCCTTCTGGCTCTGGCTCCATGACTGGCTCCATGCCCGCCTCCATGACCGGCACCATGACCAAGCCCGCCACCACCAACCCCACTGGTGCCGCTGGTGTCAACGGCGTCAACATTGCCGCTGCTGCTGCCGCCATTGCTGCTCTTGCTCTGTAAATGGAGCCTGCTGCTAGTAGCTCTCGGTGTATGGATAATGTAATGTCAAATGTTCTTGTTGCTGTACCTTGTTCTTCTTTCGCCGCCTCCTCCCAAGGCGCGGCGGATGCACGCGGCCTGGGGGGTTGTTGTGCTCTCTCTTAATTAATACCAAAGAAATTTGAAAACTTATTCGATACCTCAATTGATTTTTGCTCCATACTGTGATGGATGTCCACATTCCTTTTCTCTGCATCTCCACGTCTCACACTTAGAAAACCCTTTTGAATTTATTTCTGCAATGTATCTTACACCCATTGACTTGCTCTTTGTAGTTAGTCCCACGTGAGCCTTTGCCACGAGGTTGCATTGTGGGCTCGCCGCATCTGTTCAGTCTTACGCCAAGCCGGGATTGGGCCTGGGGATCTCTTGACCCTGTCATGTCATCATCGCTCCTTGCTGCCAATCCCGTGGATCCAGTCGGCCAAGAAGGGAAAGAAGAATATAACACATGGAGTGAGCATGGGGAGAAGGCAGAGCAAAGTTCTTTGTTTGTTCACGAACAGAAAGAAAGTTCGAAATGTATGGTTTTAATCAGTGTTCAAAATACAAGGTAACGTAGATATGATAGCTGGTAGTAGTAAAAATAGAAAACGCCAGATTCTCCCGCGCATGAATCCAATACTAAATAGTAAGAAAATATGTATAAAATAGAAAAGAGCCGCGGCCAAAAAAAAAAGTTGAACAGTCGACTTCTCCTCCTAAAACGCTATGCTGTGGTGGTTGTGATGGTATATTGCAAACCCAGTCGCTTTCTTCCCCTCTACGCACTCTCGCTTCCAAAAATAATTCCCATCGCTCCGTTGTCATCTTGTGTCGTCATCATTTCTTTACGCATGTGGCCAAGCGTGTCGTTCTTGAGGGCAGGGCCCGGCAAGCAGGTCAAGCCCTCACTAATAGTCATCGCCAACGGCGCTTCTTCTTGCCCGTAGGCGCGGCGGGGACAACAATAGTAGGCGTCTGCTTGCGCGGTGGGATTTGAGCCTGAATGGGTGGCTCAATGCCCATAATGGGCTTTCCCAGGATGACACCGAGCGTCTTGCTGGTGCCTTGCCCGGCAGCATCCTGCATCAGCTCGTCAAGATCGCGACTGACCCTGCGAGCATATTCATATGTGTAGAATTCGTTGCCGTCTCTCACATCAATCACATCCACTGGTAGGGGAATAATGGCGAAGGAGGGTATGTCGGCAAGGGTGTAGCCCGACAAGACTGACCACGATGAGGGTCTAGACGGCGCAATGTCCTGCGAAACAGCAGTGTGACGAATAACGCGGGTAGAATGGTCTACCGTGTCGGGCTGTGACACCAGCACGTAGCGTGTATCACCTCGGATCTCGAAGAGGTGGTCGAGTAATCGAAGGCGGGAGGCGATCTCGATGTTGGACGACAGCAACCGCTGCACTCGGGCCTCGAGGCTCGCACGACTGTTTTCGGCATCGTCGGTTCCAGGGCTAAAGATGGTAAAATGTCAGTGGATAATACTCATAGGCAAGGACAAAGTAAAAAGAGACAAGCAAAACTCACCATTTGAGGATCGTCATCATCATGGTCATGGACACGCTGTTCCAGCGCAGACGAGCGCAGAGGTTGGTCATCTTGGGCTCGTACTGCTTGAGAATAGCTTCGTAGTCGGACGTGGCAACAAGCATGTCATCAATGTCGTCACAGAGGCCTTGGATATCGGAAAATGCAAGGACGGTGTCGGTCAAGGTGGCGATGAGATCGTCCATCTCGATCCATGCGCCACGCTCGGGGAAGCTGAGCCGCTGAGATTCCAGCAGCATAAGGGACTTGTACAGGATGTGGACAGACGATCTGCACTGTTTGGCCTCTTGCAAGGCTCTGTTGATGGTTTCTGTAGATTTGCGGAGGACGGCATTAAGCTCCCAGAGGGCCTCGATGGTCTTGCCGCCCACAGCCAAGAGGCCAATCATGGCTGTGGTGACGGTCAATTGCTCCATATCTGCGACCATGCGACCAGGCATTTGTATGGCGAGGAACGACCACAGCAGTTGACCGAGCGAGTAGGGTTTTTACAGGAGGTTCGTTTGGTGATGTTTTTGTCGGCAGGAGAGAAAATGTGCAAAACCGAAGGGTGGTGAGTTTTGCAAAGCAAAGGGATGCCGTCTGGGTGTTTCAGTGTTGCTGCGGCGAGTATGCTGTACGTTTGGCGCTGTTTCACGCAGCCGGCTATAACATGACGGGGCGACGATCAAAGAAGAATTCGACAGCGGCAGCAGACGCAAAAAATCGTATGCCTTTTGATATTCGATCAGCGAGAAGGAAAGTTGTAGAATAGAAGGGAAATCGTATCGAGAGGTGGTGTAGCAGCAGTCAGTTGCAGTACCAGCAGTGGTGATGGGGGTGCGGGCGGGCGGACTTGAGTGGTGAGAGGCGGGGGAGTCGAGGAATAAAGAAGCCGGCGAGACGGGCAAAATAAATGGCAGGAGTGTTGAGAAATGAGCCTGAAACGTCCACCAGCAGAAACAACGGGTTCAAAAAAGAAGAAGAAAAGAAAGAATGTTGAGAGGAAGAGAGAGAAGCGAAAGCGCTGAATGCTGCTTGCTACAGTTGGCTGCTGCTGGCTGGCCGCTGCCACTACACTGAGTTTGTGGTGCTGCAGATGGTACGGACGGATATTCGGCATCGTAAAGCAGGTGTGGGCTCTGGTCGCGGCAGCCAGGGGTTGTGCCCAGCAGGTACCTTTAGACCCCAAAATAGGTGGAGCGGCAGCCCTGTGGGTGTGCAGAGGGTACCTGGAGGGTACACGGGCTGGTTCGCTGAGAGAAAAGGCGGAATGCCGTGCTATGCGGGAGGAGCCGATTGGGCAGCCTGCCGACTATCCGAGTTGGTGGCCAGACTTTGTCAACACACAGGCGGCGGCGGCCCGGGCATGTGCATTTTCTAGTGATGTATGAAATAACCGGCTGAGGAAGAAAATACTGGCACAAAAGGAAAATACTGGTGTAAATCAAAAAAAGCCTGGAGAATATAGTCAACTGGTCCTCTTCTTTTTTTGCATCCCACTTCGTGTGTGGATTCCTCCAGAGGGGTTCTAACTGCTGGTCTGATTCCACATATGTACCCCGTTACGATGGGACCACTGCTTCACCCCACTGAAGGCTAAGCTGTAGGGGTTCTACTAACGCTGAATACGCACTAGATATGCGCTGAAACAGACAGACAACTGCCCTACTGACAGATGGACAAGTCACGCCAGTCAGTGATAGCATGTCCGTCCCGGGAATAACAGCTGCGGCATCGACAACCGCTCCGTTCTCCGCGGCAGTTTTCAGCATCCGCCCCTTGCTTTGTACCGGTATCTCCACAGAAGCTTCTCTTTTTTCCCAGTGGTGCATACATACACTCAGCCTACTGAACTGGATTGCCCCAACAATGTGCGTAGAGTAATTTGTAATCCAGCGAAAGCTCAGCTTGCCATTGCCGCAGGTTGGAGTGCATGTACCAAACTGTCGATATCAGATACGCACCTGCAGGCATATAGCACACAAACATGCTGCCCGACACCGCTCCCTTATCGCTCCTCCAATCCGCAATCCCCTGGTTCAGCAAACAGCTGCAAACCGGTCCAGCGGCGTCGCCATCTGCAACCTCGCCCGCCGATGCAACGCTGGGCGAAACAGTTTGGCCGATCGGGGGATAGGCCCGACCACTGCGCATCAAGCACGCCCAAGTGGACGGCAAGTCTGCATGCACAACATCCGTCGACTCATCTTCTTCTGCTTTTCTAACATACCCCTTTGGAATATATCATCTTTTAGTGCGCTTTTTCTCATCCCTTTTTTTTGTGTGTGTTTGTTCTCGCCAATCGTATTTAGCCTATTCATAGCACACTGTAGGTCAGCCGTAAGCGTGTACGGTGCCTCTTGAGCCGCATCGTGCTCCCCCCCTCGCCCTGGTAAGCCACGTACGTGCCGTCTTCCGAGCCAGCCTGAGCCCATCAGCTAGCGTGCGTCAAAACCAAAGTCAGGGCTCTCCTTCTCACGCAAGAGTGAATAAATCCGGTAAGGCAGGCCAAGGCAAGCAGGCAGGCAGGCAAGCAGGCAGGCAGGCAAGCGGAGCAGTAATTCGGTTTCATCCCTGGCGCGCCTTTGCACCCTGCTGTTTATAGAGGGCGTAATTTACACTCGTCTCAAACGAATTGGGCTTGTCTGCTGCTGGCTTGCATAGCTTCGGCCTTGCTGCACCGGCAAACGCGGGAACTCTCCCACAGCCAGAGGAGGATAATGATCTGCCAGTCTGCACTGGCCGTTTTGGCCGAAAAACGCCGTGTGTGAACATTGCCTTGCAATGGGACGCTGTCCCCGCGCCCCCAGCTGCTGGCGGTGCTGCTGCCATGTGCTGGAGTCGGAGCCGACTCTTGACTGCCAAGAAACGGCATTCCCAGATTAGATCGCGCACTCAGCTTGGCGTTTTCCTGATCAGAAAAAAAATGACACACTACACAAAGTTATATCCAGACTGATATCGATTCAACCGCACATGAGCAAAAAAAAATCGCCGCAGCTACAATCAGCCCAAAACGCCTCCCTGGCCCGCCGGATAGTGCGGCGCGCGCTACAATCTCATGCGAACCGATGGCGCGTCCGACCTCGTAGGGCCGGCTTGGAGCGAAACGGCTGGACCCTCCCCCCTTGGAGTCATGCTAATAATAAATTACTGTTGCAACCGTAAAATACAAACGCATCTGCCATAATATTCTGCACGGGCCAGCTTCTGCTCGCCCAACCGGTTCTCTTCTTGCCGATGCCTGTCCACGCGTACGTTGCATTGGGGCACTTTTGCAAACATGCCTCCCGTCTGAGAAAGATCGGCTGGCCTCGTGGTGCCCAACTGCAACGGCATTTGGTCTGTTTCTACTTCCAACCCCGGCAGTGCTAAGTGTATTTGATGCCGTTTTGTAATCGTAGCCGAGACGAGAAGAATATACTTATATCAACGGCATCAGGTTAGTACGGTGACGGTATCCTCTCCCCGCCTTGGCTATCCAATGAGGACCACTAGCATAAACTCCGAATCACCACGATACAAACGCAAACCACCATAATGACAATACAATAAAAAATAGTGACTACTATACCATCTTGAATAATTATACGCCACACTTGGACGCCCTTTTCTGGTGAAATTCCATCTTGGTCACGTTCCGCGCGGAGTGACTATGGCTACAGGGTAACGTGTCTCCGTCACGACGTCATGCGTAATGCCCACCATAATGCCACAGCAGCATCCAAGCCCTTCGCGTCTGCATATATGCATCTAGGATTGTAATAAATACAATTCATATTCACCTATCCCAGACACTAAGATGTTCGATCAATCTTAAGCACCAGCCCTGGGAGCAGCTCAATAAAGGACGGGCTACCAGAGCGACCAGCAAGCGCCAATTTAATCTCGACCGCGTTCCCGCTCTGCAAAACCAGGCTGTGTTTCCCAGCCCCTGAACCAGACGGTACAGCAAAGCTCCAATCCGTATTCGATTCGTGTGTCCCCTTGGGAGGATCGATTGCAGAGTATACCTTGCGCAGCGCGTCTACTTGCTGGTTTGGCGCTGTAATAACCAGCCTGGACACGCCCTGAGCTCCGCACGGGTGAGTCGTTGCCGCAACATTGCCCTCATAGGGAACTCTTAATCGTCGCGGGGTTCTATCAAGGCACCAAAATGGCAGTATTCCAGGGTGCGTCCCTTGCCCAGTTTCGTCGATCGGTGCCCCTATGGCCCATTTCAAAACGGTCCCATCCGGAGTGACTCGCCCACCTGGTGCTGGGTCGGTAAATGAGTAACCCGCACTTGTATCCGTAACACGCTTCTGTACGTCCCCAAACTGGCGCTCTTCGGGCAGACTGCATGCCCAGTCGATGATGGTCCCTTCGGGCAATTGGCCCCATCTGTGTCGGTGCCTCTTCTCCTGATCAATACCATCAAAGAAGGCTATCAACTCGATATATACGCCATCTTCAAAAAGAACAAGATGGTTCCACGTTAGACCATCTGCATGGCGTCCACCTTCGCTCACTGTGAGATACGGTGCAAGCCTTTGTGGCAAGGCGAGCAGTGTATGGTGGGAGACAAGGATAACAATATGATCAAGCGTCGCACGTGTCATAATTAACTTGCTAAATTCACGAATCTTTGTTCCTGTGATGATTCTGAGTGGTCGTGAGAGTAACTTTGATAAACCGTTCAGCCGTTATCAATGGGGACAGTTACCCCGCGATTGGCGTGATCGCATCGCCGCTTACAAAGACCGGTGTCGCGCCAGGCACAAAAACGAGGACCGCACGGTGTATGCCCTCGCATATAATTGATGCCAGAAAGTGAAAAAAATTCACTGCTTTCTCATTTGGTCTTTTCTGTGTACTCAGGTCTTTCTAGTCTGGGTTGCGCTCGCGCTCGCCACAGGATACCCTCTCTAGACGCACTACCAGCGGTGTGGTTTTACTATAGATCGTGATTTTGGTAAGTACGGGGTTGTGAACCCTTGTCGCGGTCAATTACGCATCGTTTGCTTCGTAAAAACGACGACCAAGTACGTGCACACAATGGCGACCCACGTGGAGATAACTTAGCATGTGCCTGAGCCAGGCACACACCTATAGCACCAACAGTCAACCAGCCGAGCCCTATTCTGCAGGAAGATGGAGTTTCTGCGCCTCACCACTCATTCCACTGGGAGCGCGGCGCAGAGTTCCCTATTTGGGCATGTTCAGTCTGTGGCTGACCGACTGCCTACGGCGGTTGAATGTGACATGGCAATAATAGTACTCCTTGTTATGCCGTTCGACGCCAACTAATCTTTCCTCCAGGCACATAGGATTGACGCGAGCCCACCGTCCCGCAAGGTCGATTTGCCTTCTACCGTGATTATGATGGGCATTGCTTGCGAGACGAGGCGTTGGCCTGCAATCACTGGTTCTGGAACGAGCAAGGCCAGACCTGGGGACGGGAAGCTCTTGTCGTTAGTCGCTTCGTTAGCGTTTGTTTTAGCGCGTTCTAGCTCTGCAACCCTCGGCTGGGTTTGGTTCCATGTGCTTCGTCCAGGTAAGATCCCGTTTGCTGGGTCCCTCTTGGCCGGTTATGAATTGATGGTTCATTTCTCCCCCCCCCCAGACTTGCTTCCGTTGTCTTGGAGTTCGTGGCGCTTTGCTGTGCCTGGCACACGATTGCCAACACCGGACGTAGAGGATGACTCCTAGGCAGGCCTGACACGTCTGCCAGCTGCCAAGTGCCATATCCCAAATGGCAGCGCCAAACCGCCGTACATTCTTCTTCTACTACTCCTTCAACAAGTTACCTTTTGTTTTCTGTGCCGCCTTTCTCGCCTCTGCAATGCAGCCTTCATGCTGAGGCGGGATCCTGCAGTGCTCTGCAGCGCTATGCGACGCCACCTCTGCCTTCGCCCCAGTATGTCATGCCTTGGAGATTTTTATTACCCCTTCATTTCTGTCTACCAAGAGTACGTGGCGCCGTGATCAGCAATCCTAAGCCTGCTTCTTGTTTTTACTCTACGAGGTCCGTTGGGCCGTCCTCATTAAGATTCGACTCGTCATCACGCATTCTGAAGAGATGAGGATGGTGGACTGTGCAAATGTTGCGAGCTGCCTCTGCCAGCAAAGACCCAGCGCAACATCCAAACATCGACGTGGGACGCAAGGAGTCTCTCGTAGAGGAGCCAATGGATTGAAAACAGGCTACCAAACGGTAATAGCACTCCAGGATATTGCCGGGTTAGGTAAAGCATGGCCTCCTCTTTGAAGACTCTCCTTTCCCACTTCATCCCACTCTCGACCCACCAATCTTAGCGGCGAACCGTTGATGATCCATTCATATCCTGCCAAACTCTGGTCGGCTACTGTCTTTTCTTTGCTTACAAGCTTGGCAAGGCGAAGAACGCGCACCGCGGGGGGGCGCCGACCTTTCCCCCAGCCCTTCTTTTCAGCCAACAATAGGCAGGCGTGCTGTCGATCAGTGCCAACAACAGACGGGAAATGCCACAAGCGTGCTTTCTGCTGTCTCTCTAGAACGCCACGGCCGACAAGAACGAGGTGACACACTGGAGCCCAGTGTGTCATGGTGGATGCGCCGAGTCCAAATCGGGAGATGCCCCGTGGTGGTCCTCCAATCACGGCCCTACATCTGTGTGTTTGTCCAGGGCCAGGTCGCCCATCCCCCAGAGCTGGACCCAGGAGCCATGCCTACAGCGGAGCCAGGACTGGAGCAAACAAGCAGAGACCACCGCAAGCTAGACCCGAATTCGACATGGTGCATCCTTTAGCTGCAGCTGGGGATCCCACTAAGAACGCCTCCGGCCATAATCCATTGTCATATGAAAGCAAAATTCATGGCATCCCGAGGCGGCTGCCCCGAACCCACCGCCGGCCTGTCGGTGGGAAGCGTCTGCCTTAATAAGTGGCATATATTATATATTAGCTTAGGTGGTCCCTCTGCCCAGCTCAATAGTCCGATTGAAGTCCAATTCTTTCGTTTTTGTGTGCAAAAGAACCGTTACTGCAAAATGAAGAACTCCGTCTTTGCTGTGAGCGTCCTAGCTCTGGCTCGCTCGGCTCTAGCTGCCGACCCTTGTGCTCCTCTCAGCACGGCCGTTCCCTCTTGTGCTGTAAGGCTACTGAAATTTACTTTGTCATCATGGTCGCGAAGAGTAACTAATATGTTCCTCGTTTAGTCCTCATGCATTGAGAGTGCTGCTAGCAAGGTTGGTTGCACTGACAAGTCTGATCTTGCTTGTAAGTTGTTCAGCGCTCACATGTCTTTGATCTATTCTAACAGACTTTGACAGGCCAATGCGTTCCTGCATCATCGTCTGCTATCCAGCAGGCTGCCTTGAACTGTGTTCTTGGTGCATGTGGTTTCGCATCTGCCCCGGCTGTGCTTGATGCTGCCTCTTCCATCTGCGCCTGCGAGGCTACTCGAACCCCGGATGCTCCCGCCTCCACCTCATCCGCTACACCAGCTAGCTCTTCACCTGCTTCCACGCCTAACCCTACTTCATCATCGGCGGCAGCACCACCTTCCTCTACATCAGCGGCTCCGGCGTCTACCACAAGCGCTCCCGCGCAGCCTGCTGGTACTGATCCATGCACCACTCTTACTACGAGTATTCCATCGTGCGCCTCGGCCTGTATCACTTCCGCTGCTAGCCAAGTCGGATGCACTGACACCAACGATCTATCGTGCCAATGCATACCCGCTTCGTCCTCTGCTATCCAGGACGCTGCCTTTGACTGTGTCCTCAATGCTTGCACAAAAGACGGTGAGCTCAACTCGGTTCTGGATGCCGCTTCCACCCTTTGTGCTTGTGAAGCCACTAGACCTCCTCCTACGGCGTCTTCTTCAGCACTAGCTTCTTCTGCGCCCGCGTCGTCCGCCCCGGCGTCGTCTGCACCGGTTTCATCGGCCCCTGTTACAACAAGCGCTCCTACGCCCGTTAACACCGACCCTTGCACCACTCTTACAACTGCTATTCCGTCATGCGCCTCAGCTTGCATCACTTCTGCTGCTAGCAAAGTCGGATGCACAGACAACAGTGATCTCTCGTGCCAATGCATCCCCGCTTCATCCTCCGCCATCCAACAGGCTGCTATTGGTTGTGTTATCGGTGCTTGTACTAAGGATGGCGAGCTCAACTCCGTCCTAGCTGCTGCCTCGACACTTTGCGCTTGTGAGGCAACACGCACTCCCGCTTCTTCTGCTCCTACATCTTCTGCGGCTCCATCCTCTGCCGCTTCTTCTTCGGCCGCCCCATCTTCAGTTGCTCCCTCTTCACCTATCACTAGCAGTTCTCCTACTGCCCCAGCGGGTACTGACCCATGCACTACTCTCACCAGTGCTATCCCCTCGTGCGCCTCTGCTTGCATTACATCGGCTGCTAGCAAGGTTGGCTGCACTGATACCAAGGATCTCTCTTGCCAATGTATTCCTGCATCTTCTGCTGCTATCCAGCAAGCCGCTTTTGGCTGTGTTGCTGGCGCTTGCACTAAAGATGGAGAGTTGGGCTCCGTCCTTGCTGCCGCTTCTACGTTGTGCGTCTGTGAGGGTAACCGTACTACCCCGACACAGAGCAACCCTGCTTCTAGCAAGCCTACTGACTCTGGCAAGCCCACCGATTCTGGTAAACCCACCGATTCTGGAAAGCCTACCGACTCTGGCAAGCCTACTGATTCTGGCAAGCCCACCGGCTCTGCTAGCCCTACCTGCAAGCCGGGAACTAAGGATTGTGCTGCCGTCGCTAGCACTGCGGTCCCACAGTGTGCTCAAGCTTGCTTCACCTCTGCTGCTCCCAAGGTCAACTGTGGCCCTAACGACTTCGAGTGCCAGTGCAAGCCTGCCGCTCAGTCCAGCCTTTCTACGATTCTAGTTCCCTGCGTTGCTGCCAACTGCCCTGGTGCCTCCCTAGGAGCTGTTATTGCCGGAGCCTCTTCTGTCTGTGCCTGCGCAAATGCTACACCAACCAGTGACTGCGGTGGCTCTTCTCCTACTAGCGGTTCATCCCCGACTGGTGGTTCATCCCCCACTGGCGGCTCTTCCCCTACTGGTGGTTCGTCCCCTACCGGTGGTTCGTCTCCTACCGGTGGTTCGTCTCCTACCGGTGGATCTTCGCCTACAAGCTGCCCCCCTGGTGAATCTCAGCCTGGTGGTTCACAGCCTACAGTTGGTAACGGCGGTAACAATGGCGGTAGCAATGGTGGCAACAACGGCGGCAACAACGGCGGCAACAACGGCGGTAACGGTGGTAACAACGGTGGTGACAATGGAAGCAACGGCTCTGGTAACAATGGCTCTGGCAACGACGGCTCTGGTAACAACGGTGGTAACAACGGTGGCTCTGGTAACCCAGGCGGCGTTGTTACTGGTGCTGGCTCCCGCCTTGAACTCAGCCTTGTCTCTGGTGTCTTTGGCGTTGCATGGTTCGCTGCCGTTGCTCTCTAAGTCTAAAAGGACAATTTTGCTTCATTTTTGGTATATAAACTTTGTATGATTACGGATTGGTTTCAGCCCTTGGATGGCTGGTTTCGCTTCTTTTGCCTTGGTACTATATACAACCAAGTGCGTACACGTTTTTCGGTTAGGTGGTGGTTTGGTGAATATAAAAACCCATGGTCATACAAAATAGACAACTCAGTATCGAATAGCTGTTTTCTTGAACTTTTATATTTGAACATGGCATCATTCTTATTCGTATAAGTGTGCCGCTAACTACGTCGCACACCGGCTAGCGGGCCGGTCATGTGGAGCTCCGTATTCGGCGGTCGACGGCCGAAAATTTATACTAGCACACGGCGACTCATGATTGCTCCGGCTCATCTTTTTTTAACTACGACAACGCCAAACGACGCCATATAGGCATACGCAACCGGAAAATCTGCATCGTAATATTCTTGAAAAAATGACGGTTGATGTATCTGACGACGGTGCCAGACGCACTGCCCATGTCCAAAGCGTCCTGGACTCGTTGAAAGAACGCAGCTTCATCTACGGCACAATTCTCTCTACAGTTCAACTCACCTCCGTCACAAAAGGCACAGCCATCACACGCCTTACTCTGGACGAGAAGCATGTTAACAGCAAGGGCGGCCTGCACGGAGCTGTCTCGGCCACTATTGTAGATTTCACCACCGGCCTGGCCATTGCATCCTGGGACTTGCGAGAAACGACAGGCGCAAGCGTGGACATGCATCTGACATATGTCGGCACAGCTGGAAAGGGCGACTTGGTTGAAATCACATCCGTGGCGGAAAAGGTTGGCGGAAACATGGCATTTGTTACGGTGAAGATTGAAAAGTTGGTTTCGGAGACCGAGAGAAAACCGGTGACTTTGGCGCAACACACCAAGTTTGTCAGAGGAACAGCACCTGCAGCAACTACGAGCTGAAATTTATCTTATGACAACATCAAACAAACGAGATGGAACGGATGCGGCGACGATATGATTCACTAGATATGATATGCGTGGAAGCATTGAAGGAAGCATAGTGGAATGAACACGGCAATAGAGCAACGATACACCACATTACATATCTTAATTATAGAAACAATCCAGAACTGTATGAAATTTTCAAGGAAATTAAGTGAATATTCCGTATTCGGCTAGAGACGAATGAAAAGGGCGTCGGCGATGTCTCCGTCTGATCAACGCAATGTGGAGAAGCGGGGACGCTCGCCGACTTATCCCCAACAATAAATACACTGCCTCGATTCTCAACAGCATCACATCTGTGTAATATCTTTACAGTCCATCTAATCTTCCAGCTCAAGGAGCTTGCACTTCCTCCTAACTTTCATATTCAAGTAGTCCAGCATACATAACCTTGGACAACAAGCCCTCATCAGCCTCCAAAAACACAGTACAACCATGTCCTCAGACGCGATGGCCGAGGCGAATCAACGGGTTTCTGCACAAGAAGCTCGGCGACTGCTACAAGATATTCTTAAGGGCAATGGCGTCTCCCCGGAAAATGCCGCCATCGTGTCCAAGTGCATGGTTGCGGCTGATCTCCGTGGCGTTGATACACACGGGATGAATCGCATATCATCGTACATGGAGCGCGTCCGCCAAGGAGTGCTCAACCCAGCAGCTGAAGTTACCCTCAATCAGATCACACCGGTAGTAGCTCAAGTTGATGCTGGTAACGGATTCGGCTTTGTCGCAGCCCATCGGGGCATGGCTGCTGCCATTGAGGCTGCCAAGGTGTACGGCATTGGCATGGCCAGCATCAAGCACTCGAACCACTTTGGTATGAGCGCATGGCTAGTACAGCAAGCCATTGATTCAGACATGATGAGTCTAGTCTTCACAAACTCGAGTCCCGCACTGCCCGTGTTTGGCGGCAAAAGTAAGATGCTGGGTGTCTCTCCAATTGCGTGTGGTGCTCCTGGGCGGGGAAAATCTGACTTTATTCTCGACATGGCGCCGTCGATTGCTGCACGAGGAAAGATTTACAAAGCTAAACGACGAGGCGAGAAGATTCCTCTAGACTGGGCTTTGGACTCAGAAGGTCGCCCGACGGACGACCCAGCAGCTGCCCTGGAGGGCGTGATGCTTCCCATGGGAGGGCCCAAGGGCTCTGCTCTGGCCATTATGATGGACGTCTTTTCGGGAGTTTTGTCGGGATCTGCCTTTGCAGGCGGTGTTACGAATCCATACGATCCGTCCAAGCCAGCCAATGTCGGCCACTTTTTGGTGGCGATCAAGCCGGATCTGTTTATAAGTATGGACGACTTTCGAGACAGGATGGACCATTTATATCAAACTGTTGTTGGGTCGGATAAGGCTGCGGGTGTGGAAAGGATTTATTTCCCGGGAGAAATTGAAAAGGAAGCTCAAGCGGAAAGGGAGATGCTGGGAATCCCGTTGGTTCAGGCGGAGATTGACGTTTTGAATCAAGAGGCAGCTAGAGTGAATGCAGCCGGGTTAAGCATTTTGTAATAGCACAGTAGGAAGAGAATAAATTATTAAATTATTGCTTCCTTTTTTCGATAACTTTGTAGTTGGTAGATTATCGTCTTTCGCGAGTAGAATATATCATCCAGACAGATGTGTGCTGCCAGGTGTAAATTGCCAACTGGCGCAGCTGTCAACTACAGCGGTGTGTACATACTGTAGAGACATGCACATGAGATGGAGAGGGCATTTCGCAACCCGGCGCCTCCCGATTGCCGAAATGTAAAACTTGCCATGTGCACTTCAACCTAATCTCAAGTTATGCCCCAGATATGATAACGACTTGCCAGGACGCTGATTTGCACGAGTTTTATTGGTGTACAGTTGACCCCCGCTCCAACAATCAATCACCCGCCATCGGCGCGGGGCAAACGGTTCTCGACCCGCTCCCAATGGTGTCTTATCTGCAGATGCAAATGCAACAGCATAAATATCTGCTCGACGCGGGACGGCTGAGCAATATTTCGGGAAGGGGATGGCCTCATGGCGGTGAGATCGGCTCAAGGACCTTTTCTCTTTGCCCTTTTATTCTGCGCATGCTTTACTCCTCCTCATCTCCTACACCAGCGACTAAAGATTTAGTTATCGCGAACGACAACCAGCCAGCAAGCACCACTGCCCTCTCGCAAGCGAACCCCTCATCCCAGCCGTCAACATGAGGGGCATTACCTTTCCGGCCAAGCCCAAGTTCCTGAGCGGGATTCCAAACAACAGTATCCGGGCCATTAGCATCCTCATTGGCGTAAACGTCTTGGTCTGGGCGGCTGCTGCAATTGTGCTTCACTATAACCCCAAGCTCATTTCGTCTGCGGCGCTGGCGTATTCTCTCGGCCTTCGCCATGCTCTTGATGCGGACCACATCTCTGCTATTGACCTGATGACCAGAAGACTCATCGCCTCAGGTCAGCGGCCAGCAACCGTCGGTACATTCTTTTCCCTCGGGCACAGCACAATTGTTATAATTACCTGTGTAGTGGTGGCTGCCACCAGCGGTGCCCTGCGAGACCGGTTCGACGACTTCACCCGCGTCGGAAACATCATTGGTACCTCTGTGAGCGCGGCCGTTCTCATCATACTCTGCGCCGGCAATGGTTGGGTTTTGTACAAGCTCATCACGCGGCTCCGTGAGGTTTTGAACCAGCGTCGCAATCAGGATCCAAATTATGCCCAAGAGGTCTCGGAATATGAGGCTCGCGACGGCGCAGAGGGACAATTCGAGTTGGAAGGGGCTGGATTTCTAGCCCGCACTTTTAAGTTTCTTTTCAAAGCCATTGATCGCCCTTGGAAAATGTACCCCCTCGGTGTTGTGTTTGGTCTTGGCTTCGACACAAGTTCCGAAATTGCCATTATTGGCATCTCCAGTATCCATGCAGTTCAGGGCACCAGCATTTGGGTCATTCTAATCTTCCCTATCCTGTTTACCTGTAAGTTGCGTCGCGCAAGTGCTATTGTTGGTCTCGACTTGATTCTAACTGTAACCATCACAGCTGGCATGTGCCTTCTGGACACCACGGACGGCGCGCTAATGATGGCGCTGTACACGTCCAAAGCTTTTTCGAGAGACATTGTCGCGATTCTGTATTACTCGATTGTTCTTACTGGCATCACAGTTTTCGTTTCTGCATTTATCGGCATTATTCAACTGCTGTCGCTGGTGCAAAATGTGGCCGAGCCGGAGGGGAGCTTTTGGGACGGCGTGTCAGCGATTGGCGACAACTTTGACATTATTGGTGGCAGCATTTGCGGCGTCTTTGTTGTAGTTGGCTTGGGATCTGTGTTAATTTATCGCCCATGGAGAAGACGGATGGATCGCAAGTACGGTGAAAGATTATTACCCGAAGCGCCAGCCAACGTCGGCGAGACCGACCAGGACAGCGAGTCCTCTGAAGCAACGGGCAACGCGCACCATGGTGCAGTTGCGGTACCTCAGACATCCTAGGCAGCCAGCTACAGTAGCTCCCGCCCATTGTTCGCGAGGTACCTGTGAGACAGCTCCCATTTTGGGTTTTATGGGATGAAAACCTTGAGTGCTGGAAAGTTGCGTCCACACGCAACCAAAAACAAGCAAATTAATATGTTAAACATTAATAAACAAATATATATCTCACAAATTCAGGGTCCCTCCCATTGTGAATCAATGCAACCGCACCATCCACCCTCAATATAGCCACTAGCTTATCGTCTCAGCCGCCACCATCCCCGTCCCAATCCGGCATAAATCGGTACCAGGCTGGTGACGAATGACGCGCCCGGCACATGGCCCGCCGCCGGCAAACAAAGCTGCCTTCCGACCACCGCTGTCGCCTGCGTCACGCCTTGCACTTCGTCTCTTCTACCAACGGTTTGTTTGCCTTTTTGCATCCTCGCTTTCCATCACCTATTTTTTAACACCTTGGGCTTTTCATCATGTAGCCATCCTGGAGCTACGAAAAATCACCTTGCATCTATTATACACCAGCCTACACACTCAAACACCCAGCCCCAGCCAACCAACCAAACCAGACCCCCATCTCAGCGACACAGCGCAGCTATGCCTTCGCCCACGGGCTCTCTGCGCCCAAGCCCGGGCTCATCAGCGGGATCGCTGCGAAGATCCAACGAACATAAGCTCGCCTCCCCGCCTAGCATCGCTGTCGATGCGCTCGTCAACCACCTGCTAGCTGCCAAGCGATCTCTCTCGTCAATGAACCTCGTCCTGCAAGCCAACGAGATTGCCAACTCCGCCCGCAACATCCACCAAGAATCTACAATACTAGCTGCACATACCACATTCCTCCGAAATTTGACCCTTGATCAAGCAGCTATTTTGGTCAAAGTCCGCCGAAGCCTACAAGCAACATATGATTTGGGAAACAAGGACTTCAAGGTTCTCGTCCGCGCCATGGACGATGCCGATAGCCAGCTTGAACGCACTATGGAAATGCTTCGAGGAACTATGGTGCAAACTATTCTGCGCCCCAAAGGTGAAGAACAGAAGAATCTGTTGGATTTTGTAGAGGAAGATAGCGTTTATGGGCTGCGTGAAGCAATGAAGAAGAATATCCAAGAATTGCAGGTATGTTCACATTTTCCCATTATTGTCCATCATTACAGCTATGCTAACTCCTACAGGCTATCCAACAATCATTTGATGGCGACCTACTCCGATTTGATACCGATATTCGCGATTTGAAAAAGGCCATTATAGACTCAGCGCTGGCGCCGACTACTGACGACGCAAATACGCCAAGCTCCATGGCGGAGCTAGTGATGAGCATGATTGACAACTCTTCCGCGATGGCACAACTTCTATCCTCGCTTACAAAACATTTCGACATGTGTGTTACGGCCATCCGAACCACCGAAGGTGCCGCTGCTCTAGCACGACGCCGAGCTGCCGAGGTTACGCAGTCGCAGGGCGGCGATGGTGTCTCCATCTCTGGCGTCATTGCAGAGCAAGAATCCAATATGTCAGACCTTGAACCCAAGACCGAGAAAGACCGTGCAGAGATGCTGCGAGTTGTCGTCCAAGACGCTGAAGAAGTAAACGATGTCGTTCGCGAAATCCAGGATCGATTAGCGGCCATAGAAAACGATTACAGACGGCTCGAGGAATCCACATCCCACACAGAGACAGCATACACAAGTGTTTTGGAAGGATACACTATCTTATCTGGTGTTTCTGATCGCCTTGCAGTCTATCTCGCCGCAGGTGATGATTTTACAAGTCGTTGGGAAATCGAGAAAGAATCGATATTTAGTAAACTTGAAGACATGAAAGGCATGCGCGGCTTCTACGAAGGTTATGCTAGTGCATATTCAAGCTTATTACTTGAGGTAGAAAGACGCCGAACAGTGGATGACCGGGTGAAGGCCATTTGGCGTACTGCCCAAGAAAGCGTTGACAAGCTTCTCACGGCTGATCGAGCGTCTCGAGAAGGCTTTCGTCAAGATGTTGGCGAGTACTTGCCAACAGATCTATGGCCAGGCATGCATATGGCTCCTCGTCGTTGGCAGGTGTCTCGAGCAAAGAGCGAGAAGCTTGATGAAGGCACGTCTTCTCTGAACGAAGATAGACTACATCCAGCAAGCGAGGCAAGAAACACCAGCTCTTAGCGTTTTGTAAAGATTTTTTTATCTTGTATTTACCGGTATATTTCATACAGATTCTTATGGCAGGCGTTCTTTGGATTCCCAGACAGGCTGGCTCAACAAACGAGCGGCAAAACACCAGACAGTACAAATACAAACCACAACTTGTGCATTTAGTATGAGAGCTATCTCTTATAAAGTACAAAAACGGTTCAATATCGACACATGATTACCACCTGTTGTTGCATAGCAAAAAATACAAAGGGCAATATCTCGAAGCTTGGGAGGGCAAAACAACAAAAAATTATAGTCATGATAAGACTGGGACTTGAACCCAGGAGGATTGCTCCACCAGGAAATGTGCTAAGGTTACCTTAACCTGGCGCCATAACCAACTCGGCCATCTTACCAATTCTGTTCATGTCGAAGACTGCGCTAATTTCACACTATGAGCCTGTCAAAATTTTATCAAGCCATATACCATAATAAAAATAGTGGGCCACACAATTTATCACCAATGCAAATATATCATTAGGACATGGGAAGAAAAGAAATGCAATTAATTAATGAGTGGTAAACAAATTAGTGGCGTTATTTCGGTTGCCTGACAAGGGAATCAACCACTAAATGCTAATTGTTTCATGCATTCTGGTTGAAGGCCAATGTACAGGATCGTCGACCACCAGGGGATAAAAAGAAGAAAGCATCGAAGGGTGGTATCTTATAAAACCAGGTGCGCGCAACTAAAAAGAGGTCTATATCAATCGCACCGGAGGTAACATACAATTTGGGAGGGGGATCAGGGGAGACTATCCGGGCAGTTACCTGTCGCGAATTGCCTCTTGAACCTTGGGGTACAGCTGCACCATTTCGCGGTACAGTTCGGGGTGGTCTCTGATCATGACCTGGGGGTCCCAACCGGCAGCGACGAAGATGGTCTCGATACCACTGGACAGAGGAGTGGTGAAGATGTTGGCAATCTGGAAGCCGATGAGGAACGCAAAGGCGACGACGACGGGGGTGAAGCTGCCACCATCGTTGAAGGCGGGCTTGGTGACGATGAGGTAGATGTAGGCGATCAAGGCGCATGCGTATCCGATGAACATAGCACCGAAGGACAGAACGGGACCGATGAGGCAGTCCTAAAAACGTTGTTAGCGAAACAGGGGCGCAATCATATGAGGGAGTAAATGCAAAAAACTTACGTTGATGAGGGCATCGATACCACGGTCCTTGATCATCTTCCAGGTATCCTTGGCAGCCTCAATGTAGGGCTTTCCGTAGAGGGCAATGTGGCAGAACGCGTAGCGGTTGAGGAACTCGAGAGCCCATTCGAGAATGGAGAGGAGGCAGCCGAGGATGCAGAAAACAACGTAGCCAATGGTGCCGCCAATACCGCCATCGTCCATGGACTGTTGACGAGCAACTGAGCAAAGCTGGCGCAGGAACTGGACAATGGCGACGAGCAAGCTGCCGAAGCTGATGGAGCCGAAGCTGTAGGTAAGAGCACGCTTGGCGGAGGCGCGGGTGGCATCCTTGGGGAAGTTGTGGACGCAGAAGTACCAAGAGCCGTAGACACCAGCGATAATGGTGTGGATTGTGTTCTTGAGCCACTCGCTGACCCAGTACATGGCAAATGTGACAAAGACAACAAGACCAATGACCTTGGCCTGGCTACAATCCTTGCCGTCCTTACCACACTGGGGATTATTCGCCGACGGTTCCCATTTCACGTAGATGGCAACAAGGGTGACAGAGAACCAAGCGGCAAAAGCGGTACCGAGAAGACCACCAATGAGGCTGACGAGGAAGACGTGGCCGTACTTCTTGCTGACATCAATACCAGTTCTGAGCATGAGGGCGGAGAAGGGGATTCGCGGGATCCATGTGTAAAAGGCAAATGCCATGAACGCGCCAAAGATTAGAAACACGATGCCGGCAGAGTAGTACTTCTTGTAGAGGTAGAAGATGGCGGTACCGATGGCGAAGACGACGTTGAGAATACCAGTCACCCAGATGAAAGCCTTGGGGAACGTGCGGGCCAGGGTGATGTAGAGCCAGGAGAGGACGAACGCGACGCCGAGGCAGATGGCGAATAGGATGATGGTGCTGCTGTTTAGCGAGAAGTTGTTGCGGCCGTGGTAGATGCCGCTGCCAGGGTTGCCCGAGACGTAGCCCTTGATGGCAATGGCCGAGACGGCAGTGTAGCCAGCAAAGACGGCGAGGAACAGGATGCCTGCCCACCAGTCGTTGTACTTGGGTTTCTCGACCTTGAAGGCCTGGTCGAAGCCGTACTTTTCATCGTTGCCCTGGGGAGGGTTGAAGGAGTATTGAGGCGGCGCGCCGTAGTTGGGCTGGTTCCATCCGCCCTGTTGAGGAGGAGGCTGCTGATACTGCTGCTGCTGTTGGCCGTATTGTTGTTGCTGCTGACCCCATTGCTGCTGTTGGCCGTACTGCTGTTGTTGGCCATATTGCTGCTGCTGGCCATATTGTGGCTGATTTCGGTCGCCCGAGCCGTTAAAGTACTGATCGGCCTCACCCATGGCGGCGGGCTGTTACTGCGTCGCAAACGCTAGATATAGATTAAAGAAGAAAAAGGACGAGTCCCCTGCGATCGGTTCGTTAGTTAGCACGCGATGTCTGTCAAGATGAAGAAAGAAAGAAGAAAGGCAGCTCTGCGACGGAATTGCAACCACAACAAAGCATGGGGGAATTCCACACGGCTATTGGGGTGGAGGGGGGCAACGGACCTGAGACAAAGCGCCGACACAGCAGATTGGCCCTATTTGCTAAGTGTAGGGCTTCGGTAGGAATGCGCTTTTGGTGTGCGGGCAGAAATGACCGATGAATGGGATAAAAAAGAGAAGGAAAAATTGAGATGCTGGAAGAGGGGAAGCCGGGAAATTGGCAAGATTGGCGACGGGGGGAACCTAAAAAAGAGAGCTAAGCTACAGTACAACCAAGAAAACGACGCTAAAAGTATACCAAGCTTTCGGCAGTGATAAACAACAGAAAAATAAGAAGAAGCAGGAGAGCCGCAGTGAGAAAAAAAAAATGTGTTTTTATTTTTATCAATGGGAGAATCGCCTCTTCTATTTTTGCGCTCTTTTTTTCCCTTTTTGTTATCTTGTCTTCATTTTAGAAACGTCAACACAAGCAGCTTGGCATATTGGCGAGGTGCATGCATCCCGACCTTGCTGGTCCTCCTTGGCACACACAACAGCGGCAAACAGCTGCCCTTGTAACGCGTTATCAAACACCTGCTTGTCTGTGAACAGACTTGAGCGCATTGACATACAAAGCGCAGATAGAATTTCGCAGAAAATGTATCATCATTGGGTGCTCTTCTCTGTTTTATTTACCTTTTTCATCGTTTTGACAGTTGCAGCTGCAAGCGTCTCGTCGCGTCGCCGCGCCTGTGACGATGAGGTCATGGATTCCACTTGCGTCGGTCCCCCTGGCTGCTGTTCTATCCACTGTAGCCCACTGTAGCACCAGCAGCAACATCGCACCACGCACTCGCCACATGCCTCGGTTGAGCCACAGCGTGCACCGCCGCTTTTATCGCTCGCCTAAGAGCTGTCGGTTTGATGGCGCGTCTCGCTTCGGCGCGCGCTGCTATTGCGTGCGCGGTGCAGTAAAAGGGAAAAGCAAGGGTCACGCTAATCGCCTTTACACATGCCCCCGAATATTCAATGATTATTCTACGCCTTCTACTCATGTAGCAAATGTAGCAAATGTAACAAAATGCGTCTGTAGCTTTACACTGTTTAATGCTTACTGTACATCTGGATTCTGTACCCGAAGCCGCACCGTAGCACCCATCTGTTATTGCGACGCCGCAACCGAAATCTCCGGACGTGTCCAGCCCTACCTACCCTACACTGATTGCTTTGATTCTAATCCATGAATAACGTTGCATTTATGCAGTAAACATCGTTTCTTTGTTTCGTAGAAGAGTTATCATGTACATTTGACTGCATATATGTTCTTTAGTTGTCGAAAGTCACTTCTTAATGTAAAATCTGTGCAAGATCCCTGGCATACACGTTTCAACCTTGCATCTGGTGACCTTCTGCTAGAAAACCTGCACTTGAAATCAACATACTTCGCAAAAGAGGGCACAGCGCAATACCTATTTTTTTTTTTCGCAACAGAACAAACACGCCACAGACACGGCTCCGATATCGTCAGCTCCTTTTTTCTCCATGCGGACGTCGCCGAAATGCCGCAGATTGCCTTGCATCTTGATGTCTTCTCCGCGATTTGGCGGGGGAATCTCGTGAACCATGTCTGCCGCTGCTTTCCGCACCTTCAGGGTGTGGGGGTCCGCCGTTTGGGGGAGAAGTCATTAAAGTTTAGCACCAGGGGTCTAGCACAGGGCCGATGTTATGCTGGAATATACTGTAGCATTGAGCTAGTCTTTTTGGTCTGGAACAAGCGACAAAAGGCACAGTGGTTATGGCTCTTTTTAGCAGCTGGCGACAGCCGTACGATGGGTTTCTATCTTTGCATTGGCCTCTTGATGCGTGATGGTTGTAGAAGGCTGACAGACAACACAGTAAATGCGACGGCCAGCGCCCATTGAAGAACACAGTCAAAACAGCCAATACTAACAAACCAAACCAACCATTGCCCTGCCAAGTAATACGGCCACCTTGGGATAAAACTACGCGGCTCCGCAGCCAAGAAATCGTGTCGCTTCGCCGCGGGCTAAGATTCACAGCCACTATTTGATTCAAGGCGCGAAGAGCATCTTGCTCGCCAATGCTGCTAACGCAAGGCGAGCGCCGCTTGTGCTTTTGGGGGCCGACCAGCCCAACGCGTGACGACGACGAGCAGCGCGTACAGCTTTGCAGCAGCAAGACATTGCAGCATCGGGCTCCATCGCGAACGCGGGGCTTGTCTGTGTACCTATTACTTCCCCCCAGGCATTGTTACTAGCTATGCATGAAGGCTATTGATGCAGCTGGGGGTCAAACGCCGCGAGACAGCGGAGCGCAGCGGAGCGCAGTGTTGCATTTAACAACTACGACTGGCAGCAGCCGCCCATTAGGATAATTGAGCCAAGCAATTTGGACTGGGAATGGCAGTGGATTCAGCACACGCTGTCGGTGGACCAATTTGTGATAGATAGAAAAAAAAACCAAAATCCAGGCAGGCAGGCTGGCTCAGCTCATTGAGCGCCAGCGGCAGAGGAGTCAATGACCGCAGGAAGCAGTAGCAATAACGCCATGGCAGACAGAAACCTTGTCTCCTCTTAAGATTCGGGCCAACTAAAGGGCCAACTGGGCTCTGTAACGAGGCGCACGCACACATTTTAATACCCACACCACCCATAATGGCAGCAAAGGGCGCCTTTCTTTCCCGCTCCCCACGCCGATATTCCGAGCGCATTACGAAGAGTGGACGGAGCCCGAGCGAGAGAGAGAGGGGACCGCTGAAGAATCTTCTTCTTTCGCAGCACGGTGGCTTTTCTTACCGGCTAAAAACTCTGAATAAGACATGAAATGATAACGGCCCCTTGTTCACTGTCAGCGAAATAAGACCAATCCCCTTTCCTACTTTTTTTTCTTCACCTGTGGTAAGACCACCAGGCCAAAAAAATGGCTTGATTTTTTTCTGCGGCTGCGGCAACGCCATGTTCTGGAATTACACGAACCAAAGCCCGGGAGCGCCACCCACGGCAATAGTAAGCAAACGCATGTCTCCTGCACCAGAAACCCTTGCCCGCTGCAGCCTGCTGCCCTTCTTGGCCACCCGCGTCACCACCGATTGGTCCCAGTGGTCTGCGCTGCCGGTTATTGCCCAGCGGCCCCTTCTGCCAGCGCCGCACCCGGAGAGGCCGACTTCCCTACCGGAAGTTTTTAACGGCGCCCGGTGTCTGGTTTCACAGCAAGCAAGCAAGCAAGCAAGCAACTACAGTGCATTAAGCAGCATGCGTAAAAAAAAAAAAGAAGAACATGCCAGCTGCGCGCGCTAAGATTCCTTTGCAACTACGAATAAAAACCGTTGCGGGCCTGGGGAAGAGGAGCGGTTCCGAGCCCAAGTCACCAGTACAATGGCCGCTGCGTCGCCACCCTTGTTGAAAGAACAGCGCTAGAAAGCGGCCGTGTTTCTGCAAAGGGGAGGTCAATTCCGCCTGGAGTTGCGACCTCGGGCTTGGATTGCAATGCAACCTCCGGAGCTGGGCCCTGCTCCCCCCCAGGATAGAGTCATATTGGTGCTATGTCGGAACCCCCCACGACCAACGTCAGGGGGGAAGGATCCTTGGTTAGGTCAAACGACCAGCTATTAGCGCGTGTCCGCTTTCCCCCAGAATTGGGCACGCAACGCACAGCCGTACAGTAGTGTAGAGGAGGAGGAGGAATGGGCTGGGTCTGTTTGCGTGCCACGTATGTGCCGTTGGAGAACAAAGGGGGACAGACACAATGGACTGCTACTGTAATTGACAAAGACAATTAAACAGTTGCTTCACCACGCCTACTTCCCGGCTTTTTTGCCTTGAATTTTTTTTTCCAACGCCTTGCTAGTCTAGGGGTGGTAGTGGTGGTGTGCTTGTGCGGCGCCCAGCATTAGTCGTGCGAAAGCGTCAGGTCCGCTTTTGGGTGCTCCACCTGGCCGGTCCTGCGCTCTGTTAGCACCAAAACTCGCCTCTGGTCGTTGATAAGGTACTGTACCTGTCACTTAGCCTGCCAATTTGCTTACCCCGAAATCTTATTTACTCTCGCTTTCCCCTCATCCTTGCGAGCCCATCCCGTTTCCCCCTCTTTTGTTTATAATCCGTGTTTTGCGTGGTGTCGTTCTTTGTTCATCAAGCTGGGGCTGTTTGTCTGTCTGTCGTCGCTGCTGCCGTTTTCAGACACACACTCTGTCCGTCCCCTTCACCACTTACCCCCGCCTGGCCGCCAGCAACGTATTTTTTGCGACCGCGGTAGAGATTCATTTTTTCAATCTCTCTTTTTCCCCATAACACAGTCAATCCTCGAATATCTTCACAATGGGCTCTCCAGCGGATGCCGTCAAAGGCTCCGGCTCATCCAACAACTCAGCCCGCGATAGCAACGAAAAGACGGGCGATAAGCTACAGAAGCCCACGAGCACCTCCAAGAACGAGGCCGATCTCGAGACAGGCGACCAGGAGCAGGGCCTCAGCAGAGACCTCCATGGCCGTCACTTGCAGTTCATCGCCATTGGCGCTGCCCTAGGTACCGGCCTCTTCCTCGGTATCGGCAAGACACTGGCTATTGCTGGCCCCGGCTCGCTCTTTGTCGCCTTCCTCTTTGTCGGCTCCATTGTCTATTCCGTCATGGTTGGCCTCGGCGAGATGGCCGCATATATTCCCGTTGCTGGTTCATTTACTGTCTACGCATCTAGATTTATCGACCCCACGCTCGGTTTCTCCATGGGCTGGATCTACTGGTTTAGTTGGGTCATTACCTGGGGCCTGGAGCTTACCGCTGCCGGCCAGATTATTCAATTCTGGAACCCCGATCTCAGCATAGGTATCTGGATCGCCGTCTTTTGGGTACTCTTTACCGCAGCAAACTTTTTACCCATTCGATGGTTTGGTGAAATCGAAATGTGGCTGTCCAGTATCAAGGTCGTCACTGTCGTTGGCTTCATCATCTTCTCCATTTGCATCAACGCCGGTGCCAGCCCCCAGGGCTACATTGGATTCAAGTACTGGAACAACCCTGGCGCGTTCCGTGAGTACGCTACGTTTGACTCGGATACCCTTGCGCGCACCGTTCCCGTTACTGGTGCTACCGGCCAATTCATTGCCTTCTGGGCTACTCTCATCACTGCCGGCTTCAGTTTCCAAGGTACTGAGTTGGTTGGTGTCGGTGCTGGTGAAACCAGCAACCCCAGCAAGACCATCCCTTCTGCTATCCGCTGGACCTTCTGGGCCATCTTTACCCTCTTCATGGGCACCGTCTTCTTTGTCGGCATCAACGTGCCTGCTGACAACGAAAGTCTCCTTAGCAGTAACCAAAACGCCAGCGCCTCTCCCCTCGTCATTGTCGCCACACTTGCCAGTGTCAAGGCCCTCCCATCCATCATTAACGCTGTTTTGCTTACCGCAGTTCTCTCCGCCGCTAACTCCGATCTCTACTCGAGCAGTCGTATTCTGATTGGTCTTGCTGAGGAAGGCCACGCACCCGCCTTCTTCAAGAAGACCAACCAATGGGGCACTCCCGTGTACAGCGTCATTGCCTGTACCGTGTTTGGCTTCCTTGCCTTCCTCAACCTCAGCGAAAACGGTGGTGTCGTCTTTGGCTGGCTCCTCAGCATCACTTCAGTTGCCGGCTTCATTACTTGGGCCCTCATCAACCTCTGCCACATCCGATTCATGAAGGTGCTGGCTGCTCACGACATCAACCGCCAGGACCTGCCTTATGTCGCACCCTTCCAACCGTACCTGTCCTACTTTGGTCTCTTTTTCAACGTTTTGATTCTCATCACCAGCGGCTTCACAGTATTCCTCCACTGGAATACAAGCGATTTCTTTGCGGCATATGTCAGCGTTCTCATTTTCGTGGTGGCATACATCGGCCACAAGCTCATTTTCCGAACCAAGGTCATTCCTCTGGCCGAGGTGGATATTGTCCGCGGACGCACAGCGTAAAGAACCACCAAAAAATGGAAGCCAAATGGCTTGCCGTATGATTTCGATGTGTTGGATGCATTTGTACGGGGGAAGAGCGATTGGTCTTGCATCTTTTTTTATCAGCATATTATTGTATTGGATTCGTGTGGTGTTTATAAACCTCTCCGTATATCCGTGTTTCAAAGCCACCTGCAAATAGTTTTATTTGGCATGTTTTATTTTCTTTACTCTCTCGTTCTCTCTGTGATATGACTTGACTCCTACGATGTGCTACGGATCGACACTGCTTGAGGCTCAATTAATTACTGGCACAAAGCCAGCCCAGCCTAACCCAGCCAGCCACCTCGTGCTGTAATACCCGTGCGAATCGGGGCCATGCATTAGCGTGGATTTTGTGTAATGCAGACATTATCAGCCCGCTGCTGCAACCTGGCTGGGCACAGGGCAAAAATTGTTGGGGAAGTGGACGAGGCGCTAGTCCATACAAGGAATTGCATCACATGCCCCTACCTGTTGGCTACTCATTCTTCCTTTGACGCGCACAGTTCGGTGACGCATTTGCCATGGATTTTGTTTTGGCCATGTCGGTCAAGGATTTTGCTATTTTTTTCACTTGTTGGATTTGCAGGACCGCAGCCGTCTCCGGCTAATCCCCCACCGTTTGCTTCTATGGGCCTTGGTTCTGTTGCCACCCGTTGCGTTGACTATGTGGCAAGGCTGATGGATAACGGTAGGGACGCAGAGTTTCCTCCGTTCCTAACCGTCTACTACTTACTGAGGAAATTTCAACGGGAATTATTTACTGGTACACTGTACCACTATTCCAGTGGCGGGAACCATAATAATTTACCAAGTTTGTACTGTCGGGGCATAGATAACGGGCGACTGCCAATCAGCCGTCTGTCAACTACAACCGGTTGCATTTAGCGTCTTTTAGTGGTTGGTGGATTGCCCGCATCAAGCCGCCCCAGTTTCCCCCGGCGGCTCGTCGCCCACTGCAGCAGCCCACTGTAGCACCCAATCGCCAGGGGCAGGTGGCGCACGACATGTGATAACTGGTGGGCTGGCGGCTCATAAACTTTTGGGGTTCCCCATCCCACCTCTCTCCAACAGACACGCGATCAGTTTGGCAGAGACCGCCTTTTTCTTTTCCTTTATTTTTTTGCCCGTCTTGCTTGGAAAAGAATACCCAGAGTCTCCAGGTTCAAGGCAGCTGCTCAATTATTCCATTATAATCTAGGGCCTGCAGTCTTTGATTCCAAACAACCTCGTCAAGCCACCCCGCACAAAAAGCCGTTTCTTTCTCTTCCGAATTGCACCAAACCTCTATCATACATAATCATGTGTTTCATTGACACTACGAAAGACCTGGCAGCGCTCTTTGAGCAGCAGGCCCAAGCTACACCAGACGCAATTGCCCTCGAGGACGAGAAGCGAACCCTCACATACGCACAGCTCGACAGCGAAACATGGGCACTTGCAGACCGACTGCGAGACCACGGCGTGGGCAGAGACTCTCTTGTCGGCATTCTTATGAGCCGTAGTGCGGATAATGTCATTGCGTCTGTGGCAGCTTTGCGAGCTGGTGGTGCTTTTCTGGTGCTTGAAGTCGCATACCCTTCTACTTTGCTGCGAGACGTCATCAATGATGCCCAGCCTGCTGTTATTGTGACACAGATGGCCCATGCTGGGAATATAAAGGCTGATGTGCCAGTAATTATGATTGACCAGCCAGAGGGCTACACAAATGGCCATGCTCAGGCACCCGTGGTGGACGCTAAGCCCCCATTGCCTGCAGACGACGATCTCGAGCGATTGGCCTTTGTTTCCTATTCTTCTGGAACAACAGGACAGCCAAAGGGAATTGCCAACCCCCACCGTGCCGCAGTATACTCGTATAATGCCCGATTCGGTCTCAGAGATTTGCTCCCCGGAGACCGTGTTGCCTGCAACGTCTTCTTTGTCTGGGAGATGCTCCGCCCACTGCTCCGAGGAGCCACCACCGTTGCTGTACCAGACAGCGCAAGCTACGACCCAATTGCTCTTGTACAGTACTTGAGCGATCGCAAAATCACCGATACCCTCATGACACCCACTCTCCTGACAACTGTTCTTTCTCGACACCCCGATCTTGGCAAGAAGCTGCCCGATTTGAAATCTCTCTGGCTCAACGGCGAAGTCGTCACCACTGATCTTTGCAGACGAGCTACACAGGCTCTGCCCAACACCCGCCTGCTAAATGTGTACAGCGCAAGCGAAACCCATGAATCCGCAATGGGCGACATCAACTGCTTTGCGAACCAAGAAGCCCGCGTCTGTCCGGTTGGCCCTCCCTCCGACCCTGACCACACTTATATCCTTGACGAGGCCGGCAACAGAGTCAACATTGGCGACAGCGGCGAACTATACGTTGGTGGAGATTTTCTGGCTAGAGGGTACCTCAACTTGCCTGAGACGACGGCAAAGGCCTTCCAGTCGGATCCCTTTGAGAAGACGCCCGGTGCGAGAATGTACCGAACTGGTGATCTCGCACGTCTGCTTCCTTCTGGCCACCTTGAAATTACGGGTAGAGTGGGTGGCATGATCAAAACAAGAGGTTACACTGTCCAGCCTGGTGCTGTCGAAACCGCCATTGTCAAGCACTTGGCTGTCCGCGACTGCGCTGTCATTGCCCACGGCGAAGGTCTACAGCGCCAATTGGTAGCTTACGTGGTTTTGGATAAGAGTGAGACAAGAGACCGTACCATTGTCGTTATGGATGAGAATGGCTACAGTCCCGTCGCCCGCCGCGCATTGTCTGACCATCTAGCTCAATACATGATCCCCCCTCTGTGGGTTGAGCTTGACGAGCTGCCTACGCACGGAGTTTCTGGAAAGACAGATTTGAAGGCTTTGCCTCCACCTCCATCACCAAAGACTCCACCAAATGAGAAGAAGGCGGACACAAACGTCAAGATTAAGATGGAGGCAATTATTCGCATGTGGGCTGCATCGCTAAACATGCCAGCGAGTGCTATTGATACCAAGCTTGACTTTTTCGACCTGGGCGGCCACTCCTTGAGTCTGGCAGACCTGGCTAGCAGACTCTCCAAGGCTTTTGGATTCCCTGTTCCCTTGGGACCCCTTGCTGGTACGCCGACTCTCGAGGGTCACTTGGAAGCTGTCAAGGCAGCTCGCGATGGACACACAGAAGCAGTTCAAGCTGATCTTCCTGCTGTCCTGCGCGCCGACTGCCGTCTTCCAGACGAGATTCAATCCACTAGTGCCCGAATGTGTCGTCTATCCGATGCCGACACTGTGCTTTTGACCGGCGCAACTGGATATCTCGGAGGCTTTTTGCTCAAGTCCATCATCGAATCGACCTCGGCGCACATTATCTGCTTGGTTCGATTTACAGAGCCCTCGGAAGAGTGCAAGCCAGCCGGTATTGCGCGTGTCCGAAAAAATCTCATTGACTTGGGAATTTGGGATGATTCTATGCTGGAGAGATTTGAAATCTTCCCTGGTAACCTGGCCAGGAAGCGACTAGGTCTCTCTCCCGAATCATTTGACGAGCTCGCTACAAGAGTCGACGTCATCATCCACGCAGCCGCCACTGTCAACTTGGTATACCCCTACGCCGCGCTGAGAAATGCAAACGTTGGCGGTACACGAGAGATTCTTCGCCTGGCCTCTCGCACCGGTGCTACTGTCCACCACATCTCTACCAATGGTGTTCTGCCCCCGTCTGCCGAAGGCTGGCCTGAAGAGAAAATGGTGGACGTTGACTCGGTACCGCACAAGCTGCTCGATGGCTACGGCCAGACGAAGTGGGTTGCTGAGAAGCTGGTCTACGAAGCTGGACGACGCGGTCTGCCTGTTAAGGTCTACCGCCCTGGTACTATTAGCGGTCACTCGGTTACCGGCTCGACCAACACCTACGATTTGCTTAATGCTCTCATTGTAGAATCGCTGCAACTAGGATGCGCTCCCGATGTGAAGGACTGGGTTGCGGAGATGACCCCCGTCGATTTCGTCAGCAAGGCTATCATCACGCTCGCCAACCATACCGGTACGAACCAGTCCGTCTACCATCTTGGTGACCCCAAGCCCATCAATGCTAGCCAAATCTTTGACTACCTTGAACAGCTTGGCTACAAGACCACTCGCCTTCCATGGGACCAGTGGGTGTCGTTGTGGAATGAGAAGAGGGGCGGCGGCAAGGCCGGAGACGAGCCATTCACTGTTGATATTCTACGTGGAGGTATGCCCACAGAAGAGGTGCTCAAGTCTGTCATTGTCGTCAAGACAGATGCGACACAGCCCGCATTGGACACCTATGGTGTTCGCCGACCTGCAATTGACGCCACGCTCTGGGAGACATATGCTCGCCACTTCTACGCTAGAGGTTGGCTGCCTCAGCCTCCGAAGCGCCTCCAGGCCAATGGTATCTGCATCCGAAGTAAGGGTCGTTTGTCTGGCAAGGTTGCCGTCGTCACTGGCGCATCGTCAGGAATTGGTGCCGCTGTTGCTGCTGCATTGGCTAAAGAAGGTGCGCACGTTGCCCTGGCTGCTAGACGAACGGATGCTCTGAAGAAGATCAAGGCAAAGCTGGCGGGCTACGGAACCAAGGTTTTGATTCAAAAGACAGATGTCACCAAGAAGGCTGATGTAGAAAATCTCATGACCACGACAGAGGAGGAACTTGGCCCTGTTGATATCCTTGTGAGCTGCGCGGGTGTCATGTACTTTACTATGATGGCCAACAACCAGACTGATGAGTGGGAGCGCACTGTCGACGTCAACTGCAAGGGTCTTTTGCACTGCCTGTCGTCGACCGTTCCAGGCATGCTCAAGAGAGGCAGCGGCCATATTGTTGCCATCTCATCCGATGCCGGAAGAAAGGTATTCCCAGGACTAGGCGTCTACTCTGCCAGCAAGTTCTTTGTCGAAGCTACGCTGCAGAGCTTGCGCCTTGAGACGGTTGGATCTGGCCTGAGAGTCACTTCTGTTCAGCCTGGCAACACAATGACAGAACTTCTCGGCATGTCTACGGATGCGGAAGCTATTAAGAAGTATGGTGAGCCCACTGGAGCCAAGGTTTTGGATCCTGAGGATGTGGCTGCCTCTATTATCTATGCGGTCTGCCAGCCGCAGCACGTTGCAGTGAATGAAGTATTGATTGAGCCTCGTGACGAGCCTATTTAAGCTAAAAGAAATATGAGCGGAAAAGAGATGGTATGATATTGACGAGTTAGAATAGTATATAAAATAATCATTATATGTCATTATTTGATACTGTATCGCGTAAGCTCCGTGTTCTAGATGCCTCCTGTTTCGAAACGCTCGTATGATTGCGCCTCATTAGTGACGCTAGCTTTGTCTTTTGCTCTTGGCCAGATACAGAATAGGAGGATAATCGCCACACTATAGACGATTAAGCTGATGAGGTCGGCTTGAGAACCTGCTAGCACCACCAATGGTACCAGTGGGAGCCAAACCATCGTCACAAGGGCATCGATGGCAACTACTACTGCTAGCAATGCAGCAGTATCGGTGCAATTATCTTGCAGTTCGATAAAAACGTAACTAAGGACAATTTGGAACGTAAAATATGCCCCCATGGTGGTAAATCCAAGGAATGCCCTCGCAGGATCGGAGGAATCAATTGGAAGGCCAAACAAAACGGCTGCAGGGAGCGCCAGGATTGCAAGTACTCGCGCCAGCCACAAAGCTTTAGAAAGTGGTGATATAGAGCGACCGCAGCAGCCCCAGAAATAGCACAAATGACTGATGATGAGAGTTGGAATGGCCCAGGGTAGCGAAATAACTGGTATGGCAACCCGAAAGATTGACAAAATCTGTGATTGATGGTTAACACATACTGTAATTATGATTAAGTAGTAAATGAACTTACTGGCGTCAAAAGTGAGGAAAGGAACATGGAGACAAGAACAAAAATCATTCGCTTGTCTCTGCAAATTAGTCTCCATATTCGCAAAAGCTCGTCTGTCATAGAGCCAACATTTCGCAAGCATCCAAAAGTATCGATGACAGGGGCGGTAATCATCTTCAACGGCTCATCAGGGACTATATGCTCCTCTTCGTCGATGAACTTGGCAACGAGGAATATTAATCCGTGGCTAAAGAGGCCAACAACCAGTGTGATGAGAGGGTTGATATTCCACGGTAACACAAGACCGGCGGGTGCCATGTGTCCCAGGTCATAAATCATGTTGAGGCCAAGAAAAGTGGTCAAGCTTTCATGTCTAATTAGCGACTTATCTCAAAGCACCGAGAGAGTAACGAAAATGTAACATACAGGTGTTGTCTGGGTACGACGTTGGTGGCAAGCGCTAGTGCAATAATTCGCATGATTTCGTAACCTCCGACGAGTGACTCAAGCGCGGAGGATAGCCAAAGGAGCCGCTTAGGAAGTATGCCATTGGTAAGGACTAGATGATAAGAGGGTTAGCAGAATACTCGCTTGTTCATTGTATGATATGTCCTTACCAACAATAGTCGAGAAAAGTTGCGCAAGAAGCACGCTAGCTAGAGCTGCCACGAGCACTGTTTTCTTTCCAATCCGTTGTGCTGCAATAGCTAGCGGCACAATTACCACCGCGGTAACCACTGAGGAAGGAAAAGGGATGCTCATTGACTGATCAGTGATCCTTTCGGTTGGGTTTCCTTGAAGAGAGCGGCGGCGAGCGAATCCGCAACCAGGGCCGTTGTCGTTGGGCTTATGGCCAGGGTCAGCGGCTATTGCCTGGCATAGTCCTATCTTTAGGATGCTCAGAATAGTCATGCTCTGTGCTGCTGCGATAGTAAACATCAGCAGGCCGATCAAGAGGGAGGGCTTCAGCATAATTTGCTGTGGCGGTTGGTAGGAGTCCTCGTCATGATGGATAGGCTGACGCTGGCCACCCTCACTCTCCTCCAACGGTATAAAAGGCTGGTTCTCCTCGCCGCGGTCCATGGTGGGCGAGCTTTTGACGGCGAGAATGCAATGGGAGAGTTAAGTTTGCAGTTTTCTCGATCCGAGAGAGAGAAGATTGGAAGAGTTTTGTCAAAGAGTGGAAGATAGTGGAATACGGACGAATAATTATATTTTAAGGCTGGCAAAACAACCCATGTCGAGGCTGTGGACGTATCCACTGATAGTAGCCCACCATGGTGGATCGCTCCCCGTTGTTGCCGCATGTATGACTGGATTTGGTAGGTTTGCTGCTGACGGGAAGATGTATCTGGTAGCCGGAAGGGCGTAAGCCAGCGAGGAGCTAGCGGATGTCATGAGTCAACCTCACCACGAGGGAAGCCGGAGATGCTTGGTTGGATGTGAAGTGGAACGATGTCATGTTTGGAAGTGGCAGTGCGGACGGTCTGAAAGGAATTTTTCGGAGTTGTCTCCTTTGGGAGGGTAAAAATATGATGAGTAAATAGCAGGGTTGATTTATAGTTGGATGGCGATGTCCATCGTAGATGTTAATGTGTGGCGTTGTTGTGGAAGAGTTTGGATGGAGTTGAGATCAGCAATGCTGCCAGCAAATTTGGCATGGCGGACGTTACCGCTATTCTGTACGTACGGCAGGTACCTACAGTAGCTCACAGCACTGTGTGCCCTGTATGTGCAACCCCCCCCGCACTGCCTAGAGCCACCTAGTTCAAGTAAGGCTTAGCGCAATCACCCACTGAAACTCATCGCGCCGCCGCCGCGAACCGTTGCAAACTTCCCCTCTCCACCACAGCTTCTGACATTTCTCGGTGTTCGGCATTTGCCAGCTCTTCACGCTTCGGACCTTGTCGCTATCTCGCAATCGCTAATGCAACCTCCAAAATATTGACAGCGCATGGGAATTGCATTTTATACGTTGCTACCGCCATGCCCGACCATCCCGACAACGACGACTTGGCTTCTGTGAATGATCTGACGCCGGAGGAAGTCAACCGGATCATCCATTCACATCGCAAGGTGCGCTACGGTATGTAATCGTTTTTGTGAAACGTATTTATATTTCTAAATGTCTAGCTTTGACTGCTATCAATGTGCGTATTTGTACACTAACCTGGCATTCTCAACAGGAACTGCTTGCTGGCCCTGTCGTCAGCGCAAGGTTAAATGCGACAACAAGGAACCCTGCGAAAATTGCATCAAGCGTGACCATGCGCAGCTCTGTTCGTATAAACCCAATCGTGGTAGCACAAGCAGAGGATCTATCACGGTTGCACCAAAGAAACGTTCACGGTCGCCATCCGCTGAAAGAAGTGACCAGCAAGTTGTAGAGCGTCAGCCGAGCTGGCCGCGGACAATTGGTATGTCAGCAACGACAGACATATACAGGCTTGGAAGTACTAACAATCATGAACAAGCCAATCTTGATGATTCGGATGCCGTAGGAGACCGCTATGTTGGACAGAATAGCATTCCCGCACTTCTCCGAGACCAGTCGTCCGCATCAAATCAGCATGACAGCGCCGGCATTCGCCAGGACATGCGATCTATATTAGGACTCGACAACTCAGCGCCCTTTCCTCTTATGTCAGGAAAGCATCTTCAACGGCTGGCCCAAGACATCTCGACGGAGCTTCCGTCAGATCGCGAGGTTATGAAGTTTGTATACCTCGTGCTCCGAGAAACTTGAATTGCTGCTGACTGTGACCCGTAGGTTGTTCAGGACTTACAAAGAGATTCCCCAGCAATTTTGGGGATTTGTTGTCGATATCGACGACTTTGAAGCAAAACTCATGGTTTATCTGGAAGACCGATCTAGAAATGCTTCGAATTCATCGAGAACCTCCCGACCTGTCACGGCGTCGTGGCTCGCTATTCTGTTCGCTGTATTGGCAGTTGGCTCCCAGTATCACGACTCCCCATACCATATCCGAACGCAAAACTCGCAAAAGTACATACAAATTTCCTTCCACTTTCTACGATTGGGCAATTTCTTGTTGAGACCATCGTTTGACTCTATCCAAGCTCTGTTGTTGACAAGCTTTGTGTTGCTCAACGATATGAAAGCAGAGGGCTCCTGGGCGCTCACTGGCCTTACATGTCGACTTGCACAGTCTCTTGGTTTACATCGACCGAGCCCGTTTGAAGGAAAGGAGGACGTGCCCGCAGATATCAAGGCAAAAGAAACCATACGACGCCGTCTGTGGTGGACATGTGTGTGGCATGACACCCTTACTTCACTGTCGTTTGATAGGTAAAGCGAGATATATTATCTTTGTCGCAGTGACCCAGCTAACTTTTGTACAGATCGCCAATGACGGATTTCCCAAGCTGCGCAATCCCAGTTCTGACGCCGTCTCCTACGGGAGAATACACATACCTCGAAATGATGTACCACCTGATGGAAATTATTTCCCGACGACTTAACCCCGATGCAATTGCGTCTGCCAACTACCAACAGATTATCGAACACTGCGAGGCAGTTGAGGTACTTCGCACCAAGGCTCTCCCGCATATACGCGACAAGACACAGTGCAAGACGGCTCTACACCGACTTCAGTATTTCGCATTCCGGCTTCATACATGTTTTGTCATATCCGTGGCTTGTAGGCCATCGCTACGTGGCGATTGCGCCATGGATCCGCGGCAGAAAAAGGCCCTTGCTTCAAGGTGCATGATCAATCTCACAGAAACGGTTCGGATGTTTCTAGCCATGCATCAATTGTCGGTGATCCCAACAAGAAGCTGGGCCTTTACGTATCACGGCCTCTCATCCGCACTGCTTCTTGGTCTTTTGAGTGACAAGAATACCGACCCCGAGATTAGGCATCTCCAGGGCGATCTGATTGCTGCACTCTCTGCCACGGCTGCCAAAGATGTCAGCTCTCCCCCACCACACGTTGTTCGAACCGACAAGGATATAGAGTTGTCTGGACCATTGTACAGAGCCTTGACCGCCTTGCGTAACATATATGATCACGGAAGTGTGACCGGCTCTGAAGCAAAGCGAGAAGGAGACTCATCAGCCGGTGGAAGTGGAAGTCGAACACCGCTCCCTGGGCTTGGTATGATGAACCAGCTCCCCGCACCACCAAATCTGCAGTTTCGCGCTATACAATCTAGCGGAAACTCGCGGGAAGATGCTGCGTTGGCTATGGCAGAAATGCAGAACGGCGCATCGCTGCCAGATCTCTCTGCGTAAGTCTAACAACCCCCGGTATAATGTAAAAGCGGTGCTAACTATCAATACAGAGTTTCCTTTCCACAACAATTACCACAGGGCGCTATGGGCCTTGACACTACCGGAGGCATTAACATTGACCCTGCCCAAGCTCCGTATATGGCACCTATGGAGCTTTTCGATTCCATCTGGGGAGGTAAGTCAAGTATCAGAGTCTGTCGTGAAAAACTTCACATGCTTACCGTTGTATTAGAATCCCCAGAGCCATGGAACACTGGCGTTGACGCGCTCAACTTTGACTTTCTGGCGCAGCCGCCTCCCGGGCAACCCAATCAACAGTTTTATTTCTAGGAATGGGATGTAAATCAAATGTACAGTCACGTAGTTAATGAAGGAATCGGTGTTATGGTATGTTCGGGCATATGATACTTTTATATTTTCTCTTATATACACAACAGTCGTCAGGGCTCTCTTTGATCGTCAAGATTGGCTACAGTTGTAGCCGCATCCTTCAGACCGCACGTTTTGCACCTTGGAGGGAAATGACACTATTCCGACGGTTTACTGGCCAAGAGACAGCTAACACAGCCAAGATATGATGTCTCCCAAATGCTCGAGGCGGCGATTTGTCCTCATCATTCGACTGAAATGCGACCTAGACCCTTGAGGTCGTTAAAAAATGCAACGCTTTTGATGAATATTCCTGTAGCGGACCGAGTAACCATGCACTGTCTATGTTTTCTAGTATTTTACTTTTTTTTTCCTTTGACTCGTTTGCTGAAGTGCTCTACTTCTTGCGACGAGAAGTGCTAGAAACGATCTTCTTCTTGAGGTGCTTGGGCATCTTCTCCTTGCGCTTCTCGCGCTTTGCCTCTTTGACTGCTAGCTTGTGTTGCTGTGATGGTGTTAGCTTGGGTGTATATCAATGGGTGGGAAAGAGTTTAAGGAAACTGTACCCACCTTCTTCTCGTCCTTGTCTTCGAAGCGACGGCCACGAGGAGTACCCTTTTCAAACAGGCTCTCGTCAACCTCACTACCGCTATCCAGCGAAGCTCCGTCGTCAGAATCGCTATCGTCAGAGCCTTCGTCTTCCTTGTCCTCCTCAGCGTCCTCACCATCCTTCTTGTTACCGTCTTTGACAACCTGATCAGCTAACAGGTTGTGGTAAACAAGATCCTTGCCCTGGCCCTGCTTGACTCGCTGAGCGTCCTTTTCAATATCATAGACTTGCTCCAGGGTTTGCGGAATATACTGGTTTCTGAACACTTCGGTATCGACTTCTTCTTGAGCGGCAGCATCGTCGTCGGCAGCAGTCTCGTGAATTTCGTAAAGCTTAGCAATGGCTTCCGACATGGCTGGTTCCTCAACAGCAGCCTCAGAGGCGGTGATGAAGTTGAAGATGGCTCTGTCCGAGAGAGTCTCGACACCCTTTCTGCGGAAGAAGTCACCGACGTTCTTGATATCCATACGAAGGAACTCGAGCGATCGAGGGTGATCAGGCTCCACACTTTGCGATACATCGATAATGTAGAGTTGGTTCTTGTGGTAAAGGATGTTGTACTCGCTCAGATCGGCGTGGACGAGGCGGCATACCTGGTACATACGGCGCATAATACCCAGGAGCTGAATGTAAAGGTTCTTCCACTGCTGGTCAACATCGTCGCCCTGCAGGTTGGCATCGCGCAGACGAGGGTAAGCCCAGCCCTTCTTGTCTCCCAAGAAGCCCATGACGAGCACGTGCAGCTTCAGAGCAAGTGGCTCCGGGCAAGGGATGCCGGCGCTATAGATTCTTCGGAGGTTCCTGTATTCCTTCTCGGCCCAGAGTTTCACCATCTTGCGGTTGTTTCCCTTTTCCGAGCCGCCCTTGAAACGGTGCTCTCCGGTAATGTATCGCTCACGGTCCTTGAAGACGAGAATGGCAGTCTTGTAGACCTTGATAGCACGGTGGACAACAGCACCAGACTCGTCGTCGTAAGAAATGGCACCGTAGACGTTGGCTTCCTTACCGGTGCTGATGGCACCGTGTACTTCGCTCACAAAGCCACGGTTGATCATCTGGAGGAGAATCATTCGGGTGCGCTGATCCAAGACCTGCTCGTTGGTGGCGCGGTCGGCTTTGTCCTTTGTCTTTTCGTCGGTCTGCTTGACATCGTCGAGTCTAATCTTGGCAGCATGCTTGGAGAGAGCCGAGACCTGGTCGTCGACACTGGCAAAAGTGTTCATGGTGGGCTTCTGCTGGTTGGCTCTGGCAACACCACCGTTGGCGTTGAGCTGGCGCTGGCGATTGAAGGACTTTGTGAGGTCGCCCGTGGTGCCGGACATGTCATCATCGTCAAAATCTTGGGTATCGTCCTCTTCAAAAATATCATCAAGATCGTCATCGTCGTCGAATTCCTGGTCCGGTTGCGGGGTATCGGCCGTGGACTGGGTTATGGCAGCGGCGGGCGTGCTGCTGGTGTTAGTGACGGAAGGCTCGTGGGGAGCGGCCGGCGAGGCCAGATTTGTTTCTCCGTCTGCCATGATTTGTGTGTGTGAGAGTTTGTGTAAAGAAACAAGAGGAAATATCACAGCTGGCGGTTTGGACTGGAGACAAAGACCCCTCGCCTCTTTATCTAATCGCTAAAAATTTTGGGCAGCCCGTCAAGGTGACTGACGAAAGTTTTTTTTTAGTGGGGGTTGAGGTTGTGACTGGTAGCGTAAGTGTCTGTTGACTCACTGTGACTGCAGGCTGGTGGGCACTGTACAGTGCTGTGACTGGAAAATATAGTGCAGCCCACAGTTGGGCTTTGCTGCGTCTATGCCCGCCACCAGCATGACACTACGGGGCTTTTTCAGCGCTAAACGGCAGACGAGGCGCAGTCTTGGTGGGGTGATTGGGTGCCTGTCGTCTGCATCTTTAGTTGGCGTGGTGCCTGCCCAATCTGGAGACTGGCTGAAGGCTAACCCCGCGTCTGTGTAGAAACGGCTACCACTACCTGATTCTCCACCAACGCCACCACACCCATAGCGATTTCAGCCTCCATTGACAAGCCCAATTGCAGCATTCTGTTTCATCATACCGGCTCAATAAAGAAGACATATCTGAACAACGAAAATATAAGAATGGCTCCAATCAGACGACCGCGTCCCGCCTTCAACGCTTGGCGTTATTTTCCGAAAGCTGCTTGCTCTGAGACCTCAACTATGCTTAAACTTGCTAGCTTTCTTGGCGATGTCGCTGCAATGTGCAGTGTTCACCAGGCAGCGTCATGGAATCAGTGTGTGCAGATCTGATCGACATCCCATTTTGATTGTCGCTCGAACAAGACTCGTTTCATTGCCATGCCAATGCCAAGGGTGGACTTTGTTCGCGAAAAAGGGTCACATCACCACTAGTGATGGCTTGTCTTAGACACGGTGCCCTCCCATCCACCTTGGCCACGGCACAGCCCAAAGACATTTCGGTGCTTCTCCTGCCAATCGAATCGCTCGGCATTCCTGGCTGAAAGCCTCTTGTCAAATCTCCCTCGATGACCTGCGTTCCAGCAGCCCCGTGGTGATGATGCAACGACCCACCGAACGTCTATCGATGTCTAGTCTGAATCTTTATATATCTCCTGCTGTCTCGCTAGTCCGTGAACAATCCGCTTCTTGGATTTTCCATAGTGTCATTAGCCGGGCGAAGCAATTTCCAAGTTGAGCCTTGGTGACCAAAGCAGTGCTGTAAATCGTCTTCCGCGTTACGCTTCCAGCTTGACTCAAAATCATCTCGATACATCAGCAGGATGAGATCTTCAGCCGCTTTCCTCACCTGCATGGTGGCAGCTGCCACTGCTGCTCCAGCACTCGAATCTGGCTTACCAACTGAGATTGTTGCTAATGGCAAGTCTTTCCGCCTTCAGCAGACGCGAAACGAGCGATTCAAGGCACGCGATGCTGTCCACGAATTCTACATGGCTCACTCGAAGTATGGTAAGGCCATACCTGCAGCTCTCAAAGCCACCATTCAGCAAAGACCTAGCTTGAACAACAAATTTTCCATTTACGGAGACGGTAAGTACGAACAGAAGCGCTGAATCCAATCTTCCAAGTCTAACAAATTTCCCAGGCACTGTTTCCAAGGGCAGTGTCACAGCATCCCCTGTTCAACCTGCATACGATTCCGAGTATATTATCCCAGTCCAGGTCGGAACCCCTCCACAAACACTCCCGATGAATCTTGACACCGGATCTGCAGACTTGTAAGTAATGACAGCCCTTTTAGGCAGCACGTCATAAGGCTAATTGATTATTAGTTGGGTCTTCTCTACTACAACATACGCCATGGAAATTCAGCACCAGAAGCTGTACTCTCCAAATGCCTCCCTGACAAGCCAAGTAATGCCTGGCGAGAGCTGGAAAGTTCTGTATGGCGACGGATCGGGTGCTTCCGGCATCGTTTATAAAGACAAAGTTTCAGTCGCTGGGCTGGAAGTAGCCACCCAGGCTGTTCAAGTTGCTGTAGACGTATCCCCAGACATTTCCAAGGATTCGGCTTCCTCTGGAATCTTGGGAATGGCGAGCGGACGTGCCAATACAGTTCGCCCTCACATTCAGCTAACATTTTTGGACAACATTATGGAAAAGCTTCAGCAGCCAGTCTTCACTGCAAACCTGCAAAAGGGCGCTCCTGGCAGCTACGATTTTGGCTACATTGACCACAAGGCATACACTGGCAAGATCAAATATTCACAGATCAGCTTGGGTAGCCCTTTCTGGCAAGTTTATTTGACTGGATATGCAGTCGGCGATCTCCAAACCTACAACAGCACCCGATTCCCCGCTATTGTTGATACTGGAACCAGTCTTCTCATGCTACCTGAAGATATCGTCAAGAGCTACTACGGCAAGGTGCCAGATTCGTATTTGGATCCCAAGATTGAAATGATGATGATCCCCTGCAACGCCACTCTCCCCGATTTGACTTTTGGCATCGACGAGTACCGCGGTCGTATCCCTGGGCATTTCATGAACTACGCGCAAAACGAAGATGGCCACTGCTACGGCGGTCTTCAGTCCTCTGAAGGTCTTCCGTTTGGCGTGATTGGCGATATCTTGATCAAGTCTCAGTACGTCGTTTTCAATCGAGGAGACTTGACCGTCGGATTTGCCAATAAGAAGACACCCCTTGCTTAGAGTACCGAAGTCATCGGATAAGAGATGGGATGGAAATAGAGTTGGGGTGTTGGATTAGTTTTTGGGCGTTCTTTCATTTACATTTTGTTGCATCGATTCGACATGCACCGTATTAACGATATTTAATATTGAATACAATATTCCTTTTTCTCCTTACTTATAATTACAAGTTCACAATCACCGTAAAGTCCGATGTCTGATCATCGGTGATAACAGTTTTTTTCGGCGAATTACTAATGTGCATCGCTTAGATGCGTCTACTGCCTTGTGCCTTGAGATCCTTGATGGGTGGTATGTGGGGAAAGCCGTCGCGGCAACCGGCGATGTGCACCTCTTGGCTGTGTTCTTTTTCTTCTTGACAAACCCTCATTTACAGACACTGTTTGCATCAAAAATATCAACTCCGTATTGATAATTCCGACAAAAATTAAAATCAAAATGGCAACACCCGTCAACAGCGTCCTTGTTCTTGGTGCTGGTGAGCTGGGCATGGCTCTATTGGAAGCTCTTGCTCTCCACCCGCGCCGGCAGACGACTAAGCTGGCTGTGCTTCTGAGACAGTCGACGGTGGAATCTAGCGACGAAGAAAAACGCAGCAAAATCGAACAATTGCAGTCATGGAATGTGGCGGTTGAGCCGGCTGATGTCCTGGCTGCTTCCGTGGAAGATCTTGCTGCCATATTTGGCAAATATCACACCGTTGTGAGCTGCACGGGAATGGAGCTTCCATCGGGCACGCAGACCAAGCTTGCCAAGGCTATTTCCCAGAGTCAGGCTTCCAGGTATTTCCCTTGGCAGTTTGGGATGGATTATGAGGTGATTGGCCAGGGCAGCTCACAGGACTTGTTTGATGAGCAGCTCGAAGTGCGGAGACTGCTGCGGGAACAAAAGACTGTGGATTGGGTCATTGTGTCTACAGGGCTGTTCATGAGCTTTCTATTTGTGGAGGCCTTTGGTGTTGTCGAATTGGATAAGAAGATTGTGCGGGCACTCGGCAGCTGGGACAATCGTATTACAGTCACTACGCCAAAGGACATTGGCCGCGTCACTGCCGATGTTATTCTCGACCCGCGCCAGATTAAGAATGAGGTTGTCTATACGGCTGGCGATACAATAGAATATGGCCAGCTTGCCGATGTGCTGGACCACGTTTATGGGTCCAAGTTTACGCGCGAGCTCTGGGACTTGGATATCCTCAAGAGGCAAATGGCTGAGGACCCCAATGTTATGGTAAAGTATAGGGACACGTTTGCGCAAGGAGTTGGTGTTGCTTGGGACATGGCAAGGACGGTCAATGCGGAGAGAGGCATTAAAATGACGGATCTTCGAGATTATTTGGAAGCTCTAAAGAAGTAAAGTACATAAAGGCGGCGCACCGCTCTCTCTCTAGTCTAAGATATATGGTACTTTTTAAAACACACACAGGCAATGTTTCCTCTAGAAGATGCCTGGGATAAATCTACTTGTTTTGGCGTTCCATTGTACCCAATCATCGCCGAACAGCTCCTTGAGCATCGCCTCTTCCTGACGGACTCGAGTGGCCAGCTGTGGCACGATGATGAACATGACCAGCGCAACGCCTAGTCCAGGAGCATTAGGGATGGCATGGATGTAGCTGAGAATAGAGCCGGGAATCACACAGCCGACACTAGCATCCCATCTGATAAAGAGGGCAAGGGCGGCCATGGCGACGATAATTATGCCGGTATAGCTGGGGTGCTGCATGTACTTGTAGATGCCGTCGGTGATGAGCTTGTTGGGCGCAGCGAGGCCGTAGGTGAAGTTTTTGCCGAGGTTCTTGTAGGCGCCGAGACGAAGGGGGCCAAAGACGACAATGAGCAGCATGGGGATAACGGTTGACGCACTCCATGTGAAGAGCGTCTGGTTTGTAGCGGCCGGGTTTGGGCAGATGAGCGACAAGGCGGCGGGCGTAGCTACGGAGATGGCGGTGTGGTAGAGGATGACGGCGACGGCGCTGGCATCAGCGAGGAGCATGATGAAGGAGTTGCCGTAGATGGAAATTACATCGTTCTTCCAGGCTTTGGCGGGCGTTGCATTGGGCGGCGTGATGCACTTGACGACAATGTAGCCGGAGATGAGAAGGCATGCTGCAAAGGACAGGGCAGCAGGGTCGTCTGTGCGGCAATATTTGGCGAGGGTGTCCATTGTAGAAGCGGATTGAGAAAATGTTTCGATGAATAAAAGTACAATACAATGGGAGGAAGAAGTCTACAGGAGACGATGTTGATATGTGGTGGATGCTGGGAGCTTCAGCCGCTGGAGCCTACGTCGCGTAGTGGGGTTGCGAACGGCTTGACCTGGGGAACGGAGCCGGACGGGTTGGTCCGAGATGCCATGGTGCCGAGGTTCGGAGTTGAATTTGGCCAAATAGTTGATTTTAGACATACGTTTCGTTTCCAATTGGTTCGGGAAGATCAGATAGAAGACGGAGAAAAAAGAGTAAAAACAAAACATAACAGTCTACAATGCCGTAAAAGACGGCTGCCTCAGTGAGCATTAAGAAGCCTGGTTCTGCATGTAAGAATGCAAGAAGAGGCAAAGTCTGAGTGGCTCAAAAACCATGACCATGAGAGAAGTGCTTTTTCTTTCTTTTCTTTCGGCTTTTTATAGCAAAATAACATTAAAAAAAAGCACGCGACATTCGCTGAAAGCTGGCGTTAACGGCGCAAAAATAGCGAGTCTGACGACCTACAGTGCATTTCAGGCGTTAATAGAGGCCCCTGCAGGCGTTTGTTTGCCATGCGTCCAAGCGGTGTGGGGCCTGCTGCTGGCACCCTGGATCACACCCCGCGTTAAAGGGTGGAGTAAGCCGCAGCGTACTTAAGCAACAGAGGTCGCCCCAGACGCCAGACATCTTTTCCTCTTACAAAGCACTTGAAGTTTCTTTCGTCTCGACTTGTATCTTCATCCTTTTTTCTTTCTCACAGGTAAGAAAAACAGCGGCATGCTGTCCAACTACGAGTTGCTAAAGCTGGCGGTTTAGAAAAGAAAACGTACATCATGAAGACTCGTGGTGAGGGATAACGAGTACCGTACCTACGCAGCAGCAATGCAGCAGGAAGGGGGAGGTTGAGTCGAAGGAAACACGTTATAGACGAGCATATATCTATTATGTAAAATTTAACAGTGCGATGTTTGGCTATGCAGTGGTTCCATCGTGCCTCTCTGTTGTGTAAGGCTCTGGAACCGCCAGAATGTGAAACCGCCGCCGTCCGACAACACACAGCGAGTCACCTGGCCCTTCGGCCATTGCCCAGCCAGTTTAGCACCGGTGTACGTCCCTGAATTTTAGCGCATGCAGGCTAACATGAGGTTGAAGGAACTTTTGGGTTTCCATGGCCCGTTTGGGAATGTTGTCCGGACTCGAAGAACTGGTCTTGTTTTGGTGTGCAGGGGTTAGCACCAACACACGTCAAGCACAGATATGGTCTACAGCACACCGAATGAGAACATGCTTCAATTGTGAGTTTGTAACAGTTAATTTTCTGCGTTGATCGAGTCTTTACTCCTTTTCTTTTCTTTTATTTTTTTTGCTCTTCTTTTTTCAGTATTTGGCTTACGTCCAATATTGTGCCACCCGCCGGACCGCCACAATCGTTACCTGTTGGTGGCGCTGAGATGCAGCTGTTAGTCTCCGTTCCACTAGCTCCCCAGCCAATCGCTACAACAGCCATCCCGCACTTGCATCTCCCATTTGGCGTTTTATTGCTTTCTTGTAGAGCGACGCTAATCATCTGGAGCCTTGCAACACCCCTGGCCATCATGCCGCACGGGCTCTCCCATCTTAAGCGCCTCATTCTGCTGCCCATGGAGGAGAGGGACTGGCCCGGCTTCACTCCTCCTTCTGTTTCACCACATCTCGTAACGTGTCCGTTCCATCGAGCAGTTGATCAGTCCGTCCTCTAACATTCTTACGACGTCGCCAGGTGAAGGCCATTTGTCACCGCCACCATGGCGAACAATGCTGTGATTAGCACCGCTGGTATTCAGGCTGGCATGGCCGACGACTTTACATGGGGTCCCCAGCTCCCAGGATACTTCGACTTCACCTTGGCCTTTGAACAGACTGTGCTCAGCATCATACCAACCGTGCCTTTTATAATCTGTACACCATACTACTTGATCAAGGCCCTGACACAGGAAAAAGTGGTCCATCTGGCGGTTCTTGGCTGGATCAAACTGGTAAGTAAATCTTTATGCACTCCCTCAAGGCGGTCTGGAGAACACCAAAAGAAATACTAATACGTGGTGCCAGTTTTTTGGCCTTGCCTTCTTGACTGTCTCTATTGTGTTCACCACGCTGTGGGCGCGCACACCTGCCATTGATTCGCCATTGGCTCTGGCCGCAAATGTATTGTCATGCTTCCTTGCCGTCTGCACTCTCATCGCTGTCTACGTTGAACACTGCTTTTCTCTTCGCCCAGCGCGGAGTCTTAGCGTGTACTTGTCACTGTCGCTCATTCTTGACATCTGTAAGACTCGGTCTTATGTTCTCCGCGACTTGCGTTATGTCGCAGGCTTCTCGGCGGCAATCGGCTTCTGCAAGCTCATTCTCGTTATACTCGAGGAGATCTCCAAGCGCAATCTTTTGATGGAGGCTCCCACAACGCCCATTGGTCGAGAGACGACCGCCGGCTTTTGGAACTGGTCATTGTTTATTTGGCTCAACCATACATTCATCCTTGGCTACCGATCCATCATCGGTGTCGATGACCTGGATTTTCTGGACAATGGACTGAAACCTCATTTCCTCAGACCTCGATTCGAAGCACACTGGGCAAAAGGTATAGCAACAGCACAGCCCCACCAATTGCTCACACGCATGCGTGCTAATTCACATTTACAGCCAATAAAACTGCCAAGTATGCCCTTCTATGGACCTTTCTGCGCACAGTAGGCCCTGGCCATCTCTTTGTTGGAGTTCTTGCTCGCTGGTTACAGGCTGCCTTCATGTTTGTGCAGCCCTTCATCATCAGCCGCGTTGTTACGATGGTGGTGCAACCAGACATACCCAAGCCCTATTCTGATGGCATCATTTGGGCCACAGCGGTATCATACTTTTGCACTGCTGTAAGGGACCCTTGACCTCTGCTAGTGAACACCGCTAACCCTTTCATAGATCAGCCGTGCTGTCTTTAGACAAGCCATGGCCAGAAACTCCACCATGATGCGAGCCTGCTATTCGTCAGCCATCTTCACCAAAATGTTTCGCCTTCAGCAATCGGATTTAGAAAAGTCTTCGGCCGTGACCCTCCTCACTACCGACATCACCGGCTGCCAGCGGCTCATCTCCCAGCTCAACGAATTTGTTGCCTGCATTGCTTGTATCACCGTCGGCATCGTATACCTCGTCTTCTACGTCGGCGCCGCATCATTCCTGGCAGTTATCCCCATCATCGGTATCTAAACATCACACCTTTGAAACATAATATCCAAGGTCATAACTAATCATTCATCTACAGTTACAACCGTTGTATCGTACTTCTGCGCTTTGCGCATGAAAGAAGCCAAGAAAAGATGGAATGAAGCCGCTGAAATTCGTGTTGGGGTCACAACAAACATGCTCAATTCAATAAAGAGTGTTCGCATAAGCGGATTGACGCAAGTATTTGAAACCTGCGTTACTAAGCTGATGTTGGCCGAGATTGAAGCTTCAAAGAAGAACAGAACGTATCAATCGTTTCTATTTGGAGTCGGTACGGCAATTACAAATCCGTGCCATCCCAATCACGGTTTCACTAACAAGACTTTTCTTTACAGAAATGGCAGCCAACGCCATCACTCCAATCATTGTCTTGGCTGGCGGCATGTTTTGGACGAAGCGACAACAAGGCATGTCAAATAGCGAGATTTATGCGACACTCTCTGTCGCCCTCCTGATTGCAGACCCTCTGACAACTGTCATCCACTCCTTCTCGTTCCTAAGCACGCAATTGGCTTGTACCGAAAGAATCCAGCAATATCTTACGAACACGCATAATGAGGTGGTAGACATTCGAGAGGATCCGGCTACAGCTGGACCTATTTCAACACAGCCAGCCAAGGGGAGCGGCCCGATGGCTGCTTCATCACCCGAATCCTCTGGTATAGCTCACATCATTGAGGTCGCCACATCACCAGTAACGGGCGGAAGACAAATTCTACAAGACTGTAATGTTACCTTTCCAAAGGATAAAACGACCATGATTGTTGGTCCTGTGGGAGGTGGTAAGTCCACGTTGCTTGGTCTTTTAACCGGAGAAACCCAGACGGTGCGCGGGCGTATCATTATCAACACCAACGAAGTCTCACATTGTAGTCAAACGCCGTGGCTTGAGAATACAACCATTCGCAACAACATTCTTGGCAATCGTCCCTTCAACCAGACGAAATATACACGGGTTATCAATGCTTGCTGTCTGGAGGAGGACATTGCTGCATGGCCGCTGCGTGATGAGATGGTTGCCGGTAGCGGTGGCTGTAATCTGAGTGGTGGTCAGAAGCAACGCATCGTAAGTTACATCCCTTTGTATTCGCTTACACTATTGTTACTAAATAATGAGGAAACAGTTGCTAGCTCGATGTCTGTATAGGTCCTCCAAGATTCTTATTCTGGACGACGTATTCAGCGGCCTGGACAGAGATACAGCCGCCGTTATCACCTCGAAGCTTTTCGGCGAGGACGGGCTTTTATCCGAATCCAATACAACAGTTATTATGGCTACTAATCTGGGTATGTATACCAACTCAACGTGAAACTGCTTGGTATTATAAATAGGCTAATGGATAACCTAGTGGAACACTTGCAATACGCTGACCAACTTGTCCATGTTAATGAAAATGGGTTGATTGCTAAAGTCGATGACATTGCCCAATACGCAAAAAGCACCTATCTGCAACATACTTCGGATCTTGCTAGCGATGCTGAGCCAACTCCACAAAAGAAGACCGGAGATTCCGCTGATACAGTCACAGAAAAGGAGGAACAGGCTGACAATCAAACAGTGGCTACCCCATGTGGTAACCCCTCGGTAGATGAAGAGAAGCAGAACGAACTAACCGATGAGAAGCTGCTTCAACGTCAAAGAGGAAACCCTGATGCTCACAGACATTACTTGGAATCCTTTGGGTGGATTATTCTAAGCATCTGGTTCGCCGGGACCGCCCTCAGTGAGCTTTTGATGAAGATGCCCAATATCTACCTACGCATCTGGTTGGATCGAGAGCCTGGGAATAGGTTATTTTTTATTGGCTATGCAATGTTTGGCTTTGCAGGCATGGCGGCATCTACACTCTCCGTCCTCTACTTCTTCCTGCGCATGGTGCCTACGTCTTATGCCAAACTACACTCCGACGTCTTGAAAACAACACTGCACTCATCCACGTATTTCTTATCCACAACAGATAAGGGCTCCCTCATCAATCGGTTCAGTCAAGACATGGCCATGATCTGTCAAGATCTTGCATTCAGCTACCTCTATAGCACAGAGCTGTTCTTTATGGTTGTCGTTGATATTGGTATCATCCTCAGTGGCGCTTCCTATGCCGCCTCTTTGTTACCGTTCTTTATTACGTTTCTTGCCCTGGTTCAGAGATATTATCTTCGTACCTCTCGTCAGATGCGTCTGCTCCGTATCGAAGCTGCTAGCCCCGTGCTGGGCCTTGTAATGGACGTGGCGTCTGGAATCCAGCGGATACGAACCCATGGTGAGATTTCCATCTTCCAGGCGCGGTTCGAAGACCATCTTGATTACGCACTTCGACCCTTTTATCAAGCTTACACAATCCAGCAATGGCTATATATGGCGCTGGATATGGGTGTTCTTTGTATGGCCCTGTTAGTTGTTTCCTTGGCAGTCAAGGTGACAACGCAGACGTCGCCAAATGGAATTGGACTCGCCATGGTCAACCTTGTTGCGTTGAGTCAGAATATTACATATCTGTTTACTTATTCTTCAGAAACTGAGATTGCACTAGGTGCAGTGTCTCGTGTCAAGGACTTTGAGGAGCAAACTCCCAAGGAAGCCGGGGCTGTCGCAGTGGAAGACCCAGGTGCTAGTCTACTCTGGCCAGATGCGGGCAGCATCGAAATTCGAAGCATGTCCGCCCGTCACAACCCTACAAGCCGTGTATCAGCAAAGATATTGAACGGAGTTGATCTGGACATTCCATCGGGTGCCAAGGTTGGTATCGTTGGCCGCACAGGCAGCGGCAAGACTGCACTGATGATGTGTTTGACCAACATGATGGAACGTGATGGTAACGTTTATATTGACGGTATCGAGCTTCGATCTGTTCCGAACGAGCTTTTGCGCTCCAAACTTACATGCATCCCCCAGGATGCTGTTGAGATTCCCGGAAGTATTCGGTTCAATCTCTACCCCTATGAAGACCGAGGACAGGTCCAAGATGCAACCATGATTGAAGTACTGGGGCGCCTTGAGATGTGGGAATATATCAAAGCGCGAGGTGGCCTGGATGCGGACGCGAAAGTAAGTCCACTTTCTCCTGGTCAACGACAAATTTTGTGCATCGCTCGTGGTATCATGCACCACCTAAAGAAAAAGACGAAGATTATTCTTATGGATGAGGTGACGAGCAAGATGGATTATGGAACCGACAAAAAAGTTCAAGAAGTTTTGCTTGATTACTTCAAAGATTGTACGACGCTTACAATTGCCCATCGTCAAGAAACCCTTCGGCATGTGGATATCATTGTGAGGATGAGCAAGGGTAAAGCACACGCCTATATGACCGGCAAAGACCCTCGCCAAGAGGGCGATGACGACGATGAAAAGGCTAGTGCATCCGCTGGAGAACCATCCACTCGTCGACCAAGGCGTGCGAGGCGCAGTACCGCCAGCAAGCGATCATCTTCTAAGTCGTCAACCTCTAGCACCAGTTCGGCCTAGGTGGTTTCTGTTTCGTATATATAGTAAATAACAGATCTTGTACATATATATTTGCCAAGAAAACTAAGAACAAAAAAGTTACATTCATGTCTGTAATGTATGTGATCTTGTTGCCCGAGATGCATGGTGATGATTCTGTGCATGTATTGTGTTCTGCAAATTTTGATTAAGCGGAAGTGCCGTCCAAGTGGCACTTGTAGACGAAGAGAGTAATTTACCTGTTTCCTGGCATAGATATATAACTACTACCAGCGTAATTCATCGTGGCCGTGTGTAGTGCTTGAAGACGACGAAGGCAATACCAAGTCCGCCGATACATAAGAAGAAACCCAGCCACCCATAGAATACTGTTACCAGGCAAATTCCTATAAAGACGCAAGTTAAACCGCCAATTATAACGGATTCCTCTGCCTTTTGGTCGGCTAACTGCTGTTTTTCGATCTTGTCCTTTTCTTCTTGCGCAAGCTTTTGATACTAGAAGAGCCGCTCGCCAAACTCGGTTCCAAAGATCCCCTTGTACTTGTCGAGGTCCATTGCTAAAAATTCGTATCCCAGCCCTGTCTGCCATTTCGAGGCAATGTCTTCTGCCTGCTCTATCGACAACTCATGTTTTCCATGGAGGATATTAATTATGTATGATCGGATGACGGATGGTGAATCAAGCTTCCCAGGTGGGCTGAACGGGGGAGGAGATATTATAGATTCGGAAGGAGTGGGTGTATGGCCTTCCGACTCTTCTGTGATTGAATCCGATTGTCCAATCTTTTGATAAGCCGGTGCCGCCATTGTTCTTTGAGGGGTAGTTGGAGTTTGTTGGAGACGAGGCTCTGAACTCAAGGCATGGACGGCTGATAGCAGCTTGCTAAGCGCTGTAGCTGCACGTGATTGGGGACTGGCTGTAGGACTAGCACCAATTCCTTTACTTGTGTTTGCCAGAGCTGGCTCCTACCACTGGAACTTCTCACGTTGTTTGTATTTCTGAGTATAACCATGCTAGTACAAGTTTCTCTGTCCATTAATTATGCTTAACACCCGGGGTTGATACGAGATGACGCCTTACTTTGTTTCAAGGGTATCGCGGAGCGTCAGCCTTGTAAGCCCCAACAAAGAGAAACTGCGCTAAACCCGATTGGGAGATGACGTCGTGACCCGATTTGCCACCTGAGCAGATACGTAGGCAGAGAGTGGGCTTCACAGGCTGGCGCTGTGCGGCTGCCCTGTAAATTTGGTGCACATGCCAAAGTTACAGCGGGCTCTTTCGCACCCAAACAGGCCACTAGCGGGGTGTCCTGCCTAGATGGCGTCGAGGCCCTGCTGCGCCACCAATACCTGCCTGGGCGCCCAGCGCTTCTTCAGGCGTGCCAATACCAAGTGTGCCAGGTGCACCAGCTGCGCCAGCTGTGAGTCACGCGGGTCGGGTCCCTCGAACGCTCGACTGTTAGAACCCGGCGCCCGAAAACATCCTCGGACAAATCTGCTTCACACCACCACACACACGCAATTAAGGCTGGAACGCATGGGCAGATGACTCCGCCCGTCTCCCGCCAATCGCTGCGGTCTCGCCTTGTCGTATCAATCATTGCCCCAGCGCGCGGCGGCCTCGGGTCGCCCCAACCGTTCGACTCATAACGGCTGAGCGCCCGTATTTGGCCACCACCCAGAAATCCCAATATAAGCCCACTGCGCCCTACTGAGCCTCTTCTCCTAACTTCTAGAGGGCTCCTTCTCTTTCTGCCATAAACCTTGTTGTTTTTACGCTTTTCAAAGCACCGAAACCGTTTAATCTTTTTCTTCGCGTCGTCAACCTTGTCGTTTTTACGCCTTTCCAACTACATCCCTCCACCCTTTGACATTGACATCTACACCACCCACCTAACAGACTAGTCACGCCCTACAAGTCAGTCAGCCTCACGACAGCCAAAGACAACAGATCGCATCAAAAGAATCGAAAAGAATCGAAAAGCAAACACCAAAAAAGCGTCTATTTAACTCCGACAAAATCATGACTGCCCTTACTGCAGATCCTCTTCCTGACTTAACAAGCCAGCGATACTTTGCCAACAGGCACTCGGCCATCCCGGCTGGCTTCACCTCCTCAAAGCATGCTATCCGAGCAACAGCCAAGCGCATAGCGCAGTCGAAGAATCAGCATGCTTGCGAAGTTGCTGGTGTAAAGTGCATCGACAGAGAGTGGCCCCACCACAAGGCCAAGTTTGCCGATGGACGATGCACTTATACCCAGGACTCCAACCTTACTGCAAGACACCACTTTGAGCACTTCCTCGACTGCGCCGTTGACAATGACGAGCTTCGCGTTAACAACCCGGCTCGCCGTCGCACCAACAAGGCAGACCAACGCAAGGGCACAGAGGATGACATTTCTCTGGCCAGGAGTAACGTCCCTCTGCCATCCGATGCCTCCCGCCAGCGCCGCCCTTCCTTTGAACGAGAGGATGCCTTTTACGACGCATCTACTGCTAGCCGCAAGATTCGCATTCGCAAGGCAGTCCCGGTAGATGAAGATGCGCAAATTGCGCAGCTCTATGAAGCCGGCCTTCTTTACGATGAGAGCCGCGGCTCGCAACCCCTCACGCTCGATAACATTGCTCATGAGGAACCCACCTATCCCATTCGAATTATCAAGAAGGCTCGCAAGCCCAGCAAGCGCAGCCATGCCAACCTTGACCGTCATCAACTGACACTTGATCTCTCCTTCACCAACATTGGTGATGACGAGCAGATCATCTCACTGGCGTCTTCGCCATTTGACGAGACCATTCAACATGCGTCTTCGTCTCCACCCATGCGCGTCATCTACGAACTGGGGTCACCCTCGTCTATCGACATTGACGCCTCTCAGCCTCCCGATCTCATGTACGAGTACGATTGCGTCTCCGATATGGATCTCGATGAGATTCCTTCGCAGGAAGTTGCTAGCGATGAACACGCCGACCCTCCTTCTGATACATGGGTTATGCTGGGTGACGGCTTGTAGCAGGTTCGCTGAAGAAAACCCCCCGTACGCCCTTGGGATTTCGACAAACTGCAGACGCACCGACATGTCGCGCGTCACACTTTTGCACGAACTGGTCCTCGGAAATACCTGGAATATACCTATTTATCATTATCGTTTTGGTGCTGCACAGAGCTGGTTGCTTGCGGCGGAGGAAGCAAGCTTGGATCACTTGATGAGACGCGAGATCTTGATTCGACCATGATTATGCCCTGGATATTATACTGTACAACTACAACTACAACGACATTCATACAGGCGCAAAGACATGCATGGTATACAGGACTCGATGGGACATACGGAGTCTGGGAATTATGATATGGTGAACACTGCATTTGGGAGCGATAGAGGTATACCCCAGGGTTCTATTTGGTTTTGATGCGCGGGTTTTGTGCTTTTTACTTCCTTGTTTCCTTGTTTATGTATTTGCGATTATGACCGTATACCTAGATGCTTTACTCTCATGACTATAGAAAAGATTGCGCATTCTTTCACACAGGACTATTTCCAATCTCCATATATGTGACACACACAGTAAAATGATAATTCTAGTAACCGAGAAATGCTGCACCTGTAATGTGGTAACTTTCAACATAAATTTTAAACAAGAATGTATCCATCGCCAGAAGCCAAATCTAAAAACTTGTAGCCTGTTTCGTTGTCAACGGCGTGTTTTTGATCATGCTGGTTTGCCTGATCCACAGTGTATTGCGTACGCATAAGTAATGGAGCGATAATGCCACCTCCCTTTTTGATCTCATCGTGTGTTGCTATCCAATACTTTGCTCCGGATGCTCGCACGGCGTCAATACCGTTCAGCCCGCCCAGGTTTAGCTGTTTGGTATACATAATGCTCACGTCATGAAGGCCGTGAAGAAGCGCCAACGTCGAGAGTAAGCTCGACTTGGATGCCAAGAATGATAAATCCGACGCTTCAATGCCGTGTGGACTATACACCATGGCCTCGGCTTCGCCTGTCGATGTCGGCGAGAGGTCAAAGGCTATTATCACGGCGGAGTGATAGTATAATGAGTTGTTTGGAGTGATGACACGGCCAATTCGCAGCCATGACGGCAAACTACCACCCTCTATATCTTGCCAGTTCGCATCCTCGACGAATCCCGGAGTGGTAGTTACAACATCAAAATGATTCCACGACCGAATGAGGTCTGCCGCAAGATCTGCTGCAAAGACGGTAGTCGTTGGCGGCAGCTCCAGCAGCGTTGCCTTGTGGCAGTGGTCTGTAAACTCATGGGATACAGCGACTGCATCTATAAACCACCCCTTGCCACCGGCCTGACTGTTATTGTTGCCTGTTTCGAGCGCACAGAGCACCTGGTTCAAGTTTGCGAGGGTATCTACCGACGGCGCCACGACATGCCACTGTGTACTAAACCACGAGGCGACATCGCTCTGTGGACCTCTCAGCCAAGGGTCTATAAGCAAGTTGAAGTGTGTGCGGGTTGCAGACGGGTTCGGAAGCGGCAGCTGGATGAGCCAAGTGGTGTCTGCGTTGAGATGGACAAGGACCGGGCGCGCCGTGGACGCCTTCAGGGCGGCAGACCAGCCTGATAAGTCTGCAACAGAGAAGCGATGATTCTGTAAGGTCATCGCGGGCCCTGCGATCTCACTGTCGTTTTTTAAATAGAGCTATGCAGACTAGTCTGGCGGGATCTGGCTCTGTTTACCCAGTCTGGAGTATCTTGCGAACATAGCGGGGACGAGCTTGCCTGATTGGGGAGGTGTGCGGGGAGCGACCAGGCAGGCATTGTTTGAGCCGTTGCAAGCTTAACGCCTGCGCTGCGACATACATTGTGCTGAGTTCCGTTCTGGGGTTTACAGGGCTATGTTCTGTGGCGGTATTGCAGGGGAGGAGATGAGCAGCTGCACGCATGGCACATGAAGGAAAATTTTATGATTGCGATAAGTATTTTGTTTGCTGCTCTGCCGGCCCGGCAGTGCTCGCTGCCAGCTGGTGGCACACCTGGCAGGGGACAGACTCTGGGACGTGTGTGCCAGGTGTGACAGCTGCTAGAGTGCCGGCTAATATATTTACAGCATTTGGTGATGTATCAGTATCATGGCAGTACAGTAGCAGCACCCCCAGCCTTAGCGGCAGAATTTAGGTGTTGTTATCTCTGCCTGGTTGCTGGTTTCAAAGCTCTGGGTCTTCCAGACGCTACACTTGCCCGCTGCAGCCCTTGCAGCGAAACAGCTTCCTACCACCTTGTTGCCGCTCACGACAGAGTCAACAAAGGTCGATATGGAGTCAGAGCAAAAGTCCATGACGACCTGTAACCCATTTCTACGTGCTCATGATCGGGGATCTTATTTGCACTAATTCCCAAGTGGGTGTAGCGGTTCGACGAACGAACCATCCGCCCAATCCGCCGTTCGTTTTCGGAAGTGAGCGTATGCACCTGCCGCACTGCCAGCGTTGCCAACTGACGAGCCTGCCCTGCCAGCTGCGCCAGCTGGTGACAAGGGTGGAGCTACGTCATGCATCCCAAACGTGCCACAGGCTCTTTACATCCATTGGCGCCAGAGAACCGGCCGTGCTGCGCAAGAAACTCAAATTGTAAGAAAATAAATGGAATACTCAATTGGCTGTCTGATGCTTCAACGGAGCTAGGGCAATTGCAATTCAACGGGTGAGACTTGTTCATCTCTCAATGTCGCGCATTCATCTTGTGCGCAGAATTGCTTCTTTCTGCCGTTGCTGTGGATCGCATCGATACCCGCAGGCGCAAGATAACGCAAGTAGAAATAATGAAGAAACACAAAAAATGACAGTCGCTGCTTCATTTCCTGTCCCTTCCTTTCCCACCTGCCCATCACCCTGCATCAAAGGGCTTTCTGGCTTAATTGGAGAGTCACTTGGCGTGACTTATACCATAAACGAGGCGCAAAGCCTAAGCCGGGTGCGGCGCATCCCATACATAGACACATCAACCGGAGTCTTACTTCCGTTACTTCCATTGCGAAATTCTGGTTCATCCGTATCTGTCATCCTTTCAAGGCAAATGTGCTCCGCTCACTCACTACAATGGCAAGCCCGGCGACAAAACAAGGGCCCGCAGTGGTCTAGCGTCATACATCACCTTGAGAAATACAAATCATATCGTCACATCCTTGTCCACAGCCCATCCGCGATCAACTTTTTAGTGGGCTCCCCAGATTTGTCACGACCCGTCATCTACCTTGGCGGGCCTTGCCTGGTTACGGTAGCATCCTCACCCGGATGAAGCCACTGCCGCACATCTCTCTACTCATTGCGGTGCCGCATCTGCCTGCTCTAATTGGGGCTTTGCATCCGTGTTTTGGGTGGTGCTTAACCCAATTGGGAAGCAGCCTTTTGCTTTTGTGATGCAATCCCCACACCCTTGGCCAGTTAGCCAGAGCCCGGTGCTGTCGTCTACTTGCTTTTTGTATTTGAAATGCCTTTATTTCCGAATGGATCATCCATTGTGTCATAGATGGGGCGTCCTGCTGTAGAAAAAAAGAGCTGCGAGAATTGAACTGAGCACATTATAAAGCTGCTCTGTCCCCAGCTGCCACCACACCACCCTTCCACATAGTGTACCTCAGCCTTGTCTGTTGCCCAACGCTCACTTGTTAAAAAACAAAGTATTCTTATCCAGAGCTTCAGTACACCCTACATTCAGAAATACCCAACATGCTTAGATCAGTTGTTCTCGTGGCTCTCGCAGCCGCCGTCTCGGCCAAGAAATGCCACGACTTCACCGTCCCGGTCTCCATCAGCGCCAACAACACAGTCTTCAACATCAAGCCCACCAACAGCGAGGCCGATCTCACAAACATGATGTTGAAGATGGTCCAGCCCGCCAGCACATTCCTCAAGTCCATCACTGGCGATGTAAGAGATCGCCCTCTAGGCTACGCATTACACCGTATCGCATCGTGAGAAACTAACCATTGGCTTTTGCTCAATTAGATGAAGGAAGTCCACGGCGACTACAACCTCGCCGCTACCTACTGCCAGCCTGACAGCGGCCCCGGCAAGACCATCCAGATCCTCACCCACGGCGTCGGCTTTGACCGCTCATACTGGGACTACCCCTTCAACAACTACAACTACTCCTACGTCGACCGCGCCGTTGAGCAGGGCTACTCCACGCTCTCTTGGGACCGCCTCGGCATTGCGCAATCCGACCACGGCAAGGACCCCATCAACGAGATCCAGGTGACTCTTGAGATTGAGGCTCTCCGCGCGCTCACTCAAAAGGTTCACGACGGCGACGCCTGTGGCATCCCTGCCAAATTCGACAAGCACGTCCACGTCGGCCACTCCTTTGGCTCCATCATGAGCTACGGCCTCACAAGTCTCTACCCCAAGCTCTCTGACGCCATCATCCTTACGGGATTCTCGCAGTTCCCCAACTACATGCCCTACTTTGTCCTCGGCGGCAACTTTGCCCCCGTCAGCAGCATCGACACCCTCAAAGACAAGTACGCGACAGGCTACATTGCGCCCTTCTCTAGTATCGGCGTTCACATCAACTTCTTCGGCCCTGGTGACTTTGACGAGGACATGCTTGATGATGCCACCAAGAATGGCCAGCCTGCTGCTCTTGGAGAGCTCCTTAACACTGGCGGACCTGTTGGTAAGCCATCTGAGTTTGGTGGCGATGTTCTCATCATCACTGGTGGTAAGTGATTTTCTGTTCTTAGTAGTAGCGAAGCGACCTGCGAAAACTGACTTGTAATAGATCGTGATGTTCCTTTCTGCGGCGGAAACTGCAAGGATACATCCATGCTCAAGGATGCCAAGGCCGACAATGTCCTCGAGATCTCTCGCTCCAACTTCCAAAAGGCCAAGTCCTTCACTGCCACCGTTGTTCCCGATGCCGGCCACGGCCTCAACTTTGGCTACTCCCACACTGTAACCTACAAGGGCATGCTTGATTTCCTCAAGGACAAGTCCTTGTAAAATGGAAGATAACGCGAATACGATGAATTTGAATACTTAATGCTGGACTAATGAAGAATCGGCGAGAGTATATAATACGTGACATAGATTAGTATGATTTAAACCAAGGGTATATACAATGATAATACTAATTTCATATGATCCAACCAGTCCCCTTGCGCCTGCCTGCCTTTCTTTCAACTACATAAAAAAGTAATTGAACAAATAACGTGACTGGAGACTATTGTATCTCACTATGTTGTTCGCCCGTCTTCGCGAAGCACTGTAAGCTCCCCCGGTCGTGGCAACGCCACGCGTGTCAAAACAGGGACGCCACGCTTAATGATCTCCGACATGTTTGCTGCTGTTGCGCTGTAATCATCCGTTGACGGCTGGAAGATGGACCGATTTTGAGCAGGCAACCCCGCCGCTGGAAGAAGATGGAGTGGTTTTGGTACAGGTTCATCCATTCCCCCTTGGCCAGCAAACCGAGAGAGGCTCTTCAACTGATCGTTGCCATTACCATGCACACGCTTGACGGGAGTCCGGCCAATGCCATGATTCAGAGGGCGAATCCATTCCTGGCTCTGTTGTGGTGTAGTAATTACCCTGTTTGGTGTGTGATTCTCCAGCTTGATACTTTGATCGTTTGCGTCGTAATTATCACTATAAGGCATTTGTTAATATATCGAAAATCGAGACGCCAAGTCCAACATAACAAGGATACGTACATGACGGTCTTGCATTTTTCTACGAGCGCAGTGAAACCAAAGAGTTCACAAATGGGGAGAAGTCCACCAAGCTTGCATCTTGTTAGCGTTATATTCCATCAAATACACAACCCAACACTCACAATGTGTTCTTTTGTTTCGCGTCTCCGTGGGAGAGATTGTATGAATTCGATACTGGAACGCACATTGGCGTTGACGCTGGGGATAAATTGCGGGTTTGCATTCACAGTTGCCGTATAAATCAGCTGAATCTTGGCCGATTCCAGTGTCGCGTCGGCACAAAAGACATCGTCGGTGGTCGCTCTGTCAAAGGACATGCCTTTACGAATGAGGTGGGAGACCTGTTCAGCATGGCTATAGCAGAGCTGCTGGCATCTCTTGAGAAAGTCCTCGGGCCCCTGGTGTAGCCATTCAGCAAGTGGAAAGCTGAATCCAGGCAGAGCCACTCTAGTAAGATCAAAAACAATGGCATTCATCAAAAGGTGTAAGGTAAACACACCACCGAGAATTCCCTCAGCTCTCATAGCGGCCATATTTGCCTCATTCATCTCATACTTTGCCGGGAGGTTGTCGTATATAATGGCTAGCTTGGTCAAAATTGATCGAAATGCGGATCCTTCCAGCCATGGATCTAGGCCGGGCGTCGGATTTCGCGCCTCTCTGTAGACCAGTCAGCTTCTCTGTGCTTTATAACAAAGTCGCTTTGCGAAAGAGACTTACCGCATTACTCGAGTGCGGAGGCCAATAATGTATAGGGAAATAGACTGATAATCCAGCTCAGAAATTAGTGCTGCACGAGATTCATCTTGAATGGATGACATGAAGTGCTGCGGCGCCGCTTGGATATACTCAGGTGCATATACAACACACGGTAGAGGGATTTCGGGGTAGTCGTCTCTCCAGCAGAGGTTTTTGGCAACGCCTGAGCCTACCATGGCATCGACGAAATAACACGCCCATACGATGCGTATCTCGCACTCGCGATTGTTAATCTCTGTTGGTGTGGCATCTGGCGGAAGATTTTGGTGCGTATCTAAGCTGAGCAGTCGAATAGTGCGATAAACAAAAGCAATCATGGTGAAAACCAGTGTATTTTGTTCCTGCCGGAGTCCGTAGTCGCAGATAAGCAGCATCGCCTGAAGCAAAATCATTAGCAGATAAGACACGTGTATATAGGCATAAAACTTACCATTAGATGCTGAATGGACGGGGCATGCGTATTCACGAGTATTTCCTTTCGAGCTCGATCTACCCATTTTCCACCAGCAATTTCTTCTCGTCCACCAAAGGGATCGGGCTGTGTGTTTGCCGCTCGATGATCATAAAATATAGTCCTAAGAAGGGTATGAGATATGAGGCTGTCAAAAAACGATTCAAGATGCATACCTTGCGCCAAGCGCGCACATTACATAGATTAATGGCTCTCCATAGTCCTGGACTGCAGTCCCTCTCTCAAACGACTCCATGAAAGATATTTCGTGGACGAAGGAGAGGATTCGTAAGGAAGAAGAGCGTGAAAAGAATAGGCGTAAAAGCCTTGATTGAGTAAACTTGTCTTGTGGCAAGGTCTCACTATACAAGCTAGATGGAATACAACGTCAGCTAAGAGGATAAACAGTGATGCGAACGCGCGTACCTTGCCAGGTCAATTTCAGCGTTGATAGGTGTCAAAGGGGACGACCCAGGGCTTGCTTTCGGTGTCTGCACCATTCCATCATCGCTATGCATTGTCACATCACTATTATACACAGGATGGGGAACAATCTTTGCGAGTTGGCGAGGCTTAGTCGGCGTTTCACGACTAACGCTCCTTGCTTCCTTGCGAGCCACTGTGCGGGATGAGAGCTTGCCACCCTTGTCGCTTACGCTCCTTGTTTGATAGACGCAAGGGACGCGCCGAAGAATACACCTACGACATGAGGGCATTGTTTGGCAGCATTTGTGCTTAGAGGCGCGACACGCTTGGCATGAGCCGACCTTGCGCTTTTCCAAGCCAGCAGCCTTGAAGATGTCTTCAGCAGCCTCTTCGAGCTCTTTCCTGGGCTTGGAGTTTTGCTCAGGGTCAAATCCCGGACATGGGACGCCAAGACGCTCACAGTTGGAGCAACCTGGTAGACGTTTATCACAGCCAACCTGTCAAGCATTGTTAGCATGAGAATGTGGCGAAGGAGAGAGGGGAAGAGGACTTACCTTTCGGGAACGGCAGATGAAACAGGCTAAGGGAAGAGAGTCAGCACCATGAAATAAAAAATACAAGTTACTTAAGAGCCATGCTAAGATACAAAAAAGCATTTGCATCGAGACATCCACTTACACATGCTGGCGACCTGCGTGGTGTCCTGCGGCGTCGAGGGAGCGGGAGCCGACGACATGATGGCGATGCTGCCCGCTGGGAGCTTGTGATGCACAGAGAGGCGCAGTACTGGTTGTTAAATTTGCATATTGGGGATCCAATCAATAATGTTGAGCGGCTACTGGTGATCCTCCGTGGCTGCAGCAGCAATGGGGGCGATGGCAAAAGACCAGACGATGATCTGCTCGTTGTGCAGTGAAGACGTGATGAAAGAGATGAGCGAGTCCCGCAGCTTGGGGGCTCTGGTGGTGGGCGTTGTACTGTAGGCAGGGAAGGGCAGCACCAAGAGAGAGCTGCACTGCGCCGAAGGGGGGCGGGCGGCGTTCCCACCAACAAGGGCCCACCGCGTGTTTGGTGGGCACCTGGCACGCCTGGCAAGCACCTGGCGGCCAGGTGGTGGGGGCCGAGCAGCGGCATGGTTGGGCGCGGCTCAGTGGAGTGTGTGTGTGTGTGCGTGGGCTTTGTTAGCACAGGTTTCGGGGCCGGCACGGCGCTGTAGCTTGTTGCGGCTAGCGCTAGAAAATCCTGGGCCGGGGAGGATGCAGTGCCCCACGAGCCCCCCTGGCCGAGATGGCTGATGACAGGCCGACCAGACGAAAGGAGGACGGAAAAAAAAAATCAATAAAGGAAAAATTGAAAATACGAATATAGCCTTCAATAGAGTTTTGTCTTTTTTATTATTCTGTGGATGTCTGCCCCAAATCATGTCTCTCCAGAATACTCTTCTCTCTTCTCTACCACATGATTGTCCCAGAGCCTTGCAGTCTGTACTCGTCAGCCTGATATCATCACACGCGTGGCGTATGCGGGCACCAGCCAACGTAGCTAATATGTGCTTACCAATATGGATCACACAGCCTTTTCCCCAAACAAGATCAATTGCACTTGATACAACTGCCTAAATAATGCGGCCGTTGTCCAAATCAAGCAATTGGCATATCCCAATTCCCCTGTTGCGGTCTCCCTATGCCTGCTCTCCGCAAACTCCGAGACGCCATAGCGGACTTTGTTTTATTTGATAGTCTCGAAATTTCCAGATTGGGCCGGGTTTGTCAGCTGCTTTCTTATAAATCGATCGGAATACGTAACACAGCATTTACCACCACGCAATTGCCGGTTCGGATGTCGCTGAGCATTTGTTTATATCTGATAAGATTGCATCATGGATTGTGGCAGGTCTGAATCCCACTATAAATGCGGTTCTTTACCATCGCACCACTTTGCTCTTTTCCACATTCGTCCCCTCACATCTTAGCAAACTATTTTCAATTATCTAATACAATCAAATCACTTTTCCTCTTTTTATTTATTCCTTCTTTGATATCACTGCACAATGGCCCAATCCATCCAAAACGTTGTTCTGGTCGGCGCTGCTGGAAGTGTTGGAGAAGCTGTCCTCGCCGCTCTGGTCGCCTCCAAGAAATTCAACATTAAGATCATCCGTCGACTTGGATCAACATCGGCCGCACCCGACGGAATTACTGTGGAAGATGTCGATTTTGATTCCCATGAGGCGCTTGTCAAGTCTCTTGAAGGACAAGATGCTGTCGTCTCTACCGTCGGTGGCCCTGGCGTTCCAGTGCAGAAGAATTTCATCGACGCAGCTGTCACCGCTGGTGTGCAGCGATTTATCCCATCAGACTTTGGATCCAACTTGTACCACCCAAGTGCCACCTCAAACCCCATCTTTGCCCAAAAGCTCAAGATTCTAGCTTATTTGGTTGAGCAAGCCAAGGCCTCGTCGCTGACCTGGACTAGCGTCGCAACAAACGCCTTGCTTGACTGGGGCATTGAACATGACTTTATTCTGAATTTTTCGGAATACAAGCCTAGCATTATTGATGGAGGTGACTTTGAATTCACAACCACCAGGCTGACAACTGCCGCCGAAGCAGTGGTGCAAATTCTACTCAAGCCTGAAGAGACCAAGAACAGGGCTGTATATCTCGAAGACTACAGAATCTCTCAGAATCAGTTTTTAGCCCTTGCTCAAAAGGTCGCTCCAAACAAACCTTGGCAGGTCAATCACATTACGAGTCAGGACTTGACCAAGGTCGGCGAAGAGAATTTGGCAAAGGGTCTCATGGGCCCTGAAACCTTTCTTCCCTTTGTATTCAGAGCTGCGTTTACTAAGTCGGGAGGGGGGGATTTTGATGTAACAGATAATGAGCTTCTAGGTTTGAAGCGCGCTACCGAAGAAGATATTCTTGGTCTTCTCCGCGCTCATTTGAAGTAATCAGAGTACCATTGGAAAATTTGTTTTTAGATATAACGTGGTTCACGGGTGAGTGGGCCACACGGGTGAGTGGGCCACCCAAAAACACATACAAATTAATACAATTTTAATTCCACCAACAATTCCAATTTAAATATATAAATACTATAGAAATTATAAGTAATAAAGAAAAATAAACTTTCTTAATCAATTTTAATCTCAAAAAATATAGCTAATTTAGAATATAGTTAGTTATTAAAAGTACAGATTTTTGGACCCACTTTTCCTATCTAGCTATATTCTAGTTATTTAAAGTCTCTAAGATTTAAAATTACCTAAGAAGTCTATTTAGTCTTTATTATATAGTATTTTATTAGTATTAATATATTTAAATTGGAATTGTTGGTGGAATTAAAATTGTATTAATTTGTATGTGTTTTTGGGTGGCCCACTCACCCGTGTGGCCCACTCACCCGTGAACCACGTTATACTATATATTCATGTTTAAACTCCTAAATAGTATACCACAAATTGTATTTTGTGCATTGGATCTACCACCATAGCGTATTCAAAGTGCCACATCACTTCATCGCAGGATCGTGCCATCTGATTATTCTGATGCTAACCCATTTCACAACGACCCATACTAGCATCACGCTTGCTACAATCCCGAGCGCTATTTTTCATAATTGGCATCCTCTCATTATTATTTATCTAGTAGGCGTATGGGTCCTAAGGATTGCTACAGAATAAACCTTCCAGCTTCGGCCGCGCCTTATATGTTGGCTTCATCGAGCATTGAAACGTCACCATTTGATCCATTTCAACTCGGAGCAAGCTATAAGAACAGACTCTTTCCCGTAAATCCTATGACGCCGTAAATTAGTTTTACCGAACGCATATAGCACTACTTTTACACATATTTGGCTCCATCATGAGACTCTCAATCTTGTCTAGTCTTGCTTTCAGCGCCACATCCGTCCTCGCCAGGTCTGCCTCAGTATGCCCTGGGGATAATTCTCATGCGTCCGACGATGCACTTCAAAAATTCTCGATTACAAAAACGGTGACCATCAGATGATGGCCAGCTACGTCAGAGCCTCGAGAGATGTCGCAAGCAATCCTGCCAACAAGGCCAGCATGACCGACATCCCCGACTGTGTTGACATTGCCTTTGTCTTTCCCGGCGGATACGAAACAGACAACTTTTGGAAAGTCCTCAACGAAACCTACGTGCCAATGCTCCAGGCCCGCGGCACCAGGGTGGTTAAAACAATTGGCATCAATACCCTCTTGAACCCCGCCTACCCCAACACAGCCCAGGGCCATGAGGATCTTGCAGAGTCCATCGTCGATAGTCAAGTCGACGAATATGACTTGGATGGTCTTGACATCGACGTTGAACAAGACCTCAGCTCCGCCCAGGTGCAAAAGGCAGCTGGTGTTTTTGCGGCTCTCTCGAAACGCCTCGGCCCCAAGTCGGGATCCGGCAAACTCCTCATTTACGACACGAAACAGGCTGGCAACACTGCTCTTTTCCGATCAGTCTATCCCTATGTTGATTACGTTCTCGTGCAATCCTATGGACGTAGCGTCAACAGTCTTGCAGGAACCTGGAATACTTACAAGCCATACATTGCAAGCAGCAAGTACATGGTGGGCTTTTCATTTTACGAAGAAAACGGCAACCGATGGAACGACGTCTCGTCCTCGGTGAAGAATAGCCGTGCGTACCAGTTCTCTATGTGGCAACCAGCTGGAGCCAAGAAGGCTGGTGTCTTCTATGCTATCGATCGTGATGGCGTTCCCCATGGTTCTAATGCCCTGGTGCCTACCAACTACTCTTGGACGAGACAACTTATTGCGGCTATGAACCCCTAGTCCACAGGATAACCCATAGCTGTACATCAAGTTTATACGACACATACACACAAACACAGAAGTCCATATATTCCGAGATAGAAATCAATTTAGACATAATATAACTCTGACGAAGCCCAGCCACCCATCTTTCAATGGTCTAGTTTTCAAATTTCTCAAACGAGTTACGAGTGACGTTGAGATCACTGGATGTCTGTCCAAGCTCCATGGTACTCATGGTTTCAGCTGCAGATTCTGGCTGAAGATTGCTGTTAAGTTCTGGGGAAACACCGTACAAAGGACAGAGTGCGGCGTGGAGGCTCAGGGCCGCAGAACCACCCTCGTCTCCAGCCTTAGCACCCACTGAAGCCCATTCGCCTCCAGCAGCCGCCGCTGCTGCCGCCGAACCAGGTGCTGAAGCTGAACCTCCCGCCGAGACAGCAATCGTGTAGTTGGGGGCGCCCAAGACGGGGTACATCTGGATAATGCCTTCTGCAATGGCGCCCTCCACATTGTAGCGGTACACCATCTCCAACCAGTGCTCTGGGGGGTTCTTCTTATCATTCATAGGAGTGGTGGAAATCTGATAAGTAAAGACGTTACTGGCCTTGGGACGTTGGAGCCTCGCGACCATATTCGCCCGGGGCACCAGGATACTGGGCTTCTTTTTAGAACCCTTCTCAGTGACATAGACGTGGTGAGTACAGTTGTTGTGGATGGAAACAGATCCAGCAAAGATTTCGCTATCATCTTCATGTCTGGTAGCGAGATGGGGTGTGTTGAGCGCAAACGCTGGGACAGCGCTGAGCAGACCGGTTAACAAGGCGATCTTGACCATTTTGAATGAGTGAAGACTGTTGGTGATAGTTTTTGCATTGATATTGAAATAAAAAGAGCACTGGTAGAGGCTCCCTTTATACTTTTTTTGTTCGTTTTTGGTTCGAATGAGCGCATAGGACCGTTCATCGCTACGAAACGGTGCCAAGTCGAATGTAAATCAGATTATGCTAAAGATTTACGTACAGGTGCGCCAAGCCATCTGCTCGTTACATGACGAGGCCGGGGATCGGCAGTAATCGAAAAGAATCTGTTAGGAAATTTAGTTTTCACATAAACATATTTTTCATAATCGCATTTAGTTGTCCTTTGCTGAGGCGACCTGTACTTAAGCCTGCGCTGGTTTGTGAAGGCAGAGTGTATTGTCAGCGTATCTTAGGCGTACGACCACCATGACCAGGTCTGCCAGCTGGCGAACGAAATCCGGCCACAAAACGAATTCTGTCGTAGACACACAAGCATAAACTGTAGGTAAATTTGAAAGCCGATCAACAAAATGTATCCCTCCTTTGCTAATCACAAGATATTTACAGAATTTCTTGCTCGCGCTGTTTCCAACAATCGAGAGTGGCTATTATTAACTATACCAACAGGACGAGGCAGTAGATTCCTAGCAGGCCACCCAGTGGGAGCTTATGGCAATGCCTGGCGGTACTGATTATAGGAGAATTTAACGAAAAGAAAAATGATATTCTTACACTTTTACTGCCGTAGATGTAGATATTATCTGCATGACCCATATTGTCAAGATGCTTGTCGACCACCACCGAGCCAATTATCCACTAACCTCAGCCTGACGAACTACGACTATAACATTTAGGCCGATAGAGTACCTCCGAAGGAAGGCTATAAACAGTATTCAAAGCTGATATAACTTGTTTTAAATACAAGGCTACTCGGAAAACAATATCACACCGCACACAAGGAGAGCCTGGCAGCTTTCACTGGCAAACGCTACCAAAAACTGGTGGGGTGGCGGTGGTGCAATATCTACAATGTCTTATACTTAGTTGCATTTTCCGCATTCTTTACACTTCCTCTCCCTTTAGGCACACCCACACCTGCCGCCATTAGGTAAAGAAAAAATGCAGATGGTATTTATTGAAAGAAAACTGGGCAATCGTCCGAACGATCTGCGGAGAACTAAACCAAAAAAGAACGCGACCAGCGCTTTAGCAGGGAGGCGGTCGCGTCACCCTCACTGTGCAGCGTTGTGCCTTCTTCCTCGCAGCTCCATCGCTCTACGCGCTGTATTGTATTTCGTGGTGTGCCCTTTGTACTTTATTTCTTTTGTCCTTCTTTCATCCTCCACTTTCCTTTGTCACCTCTTTTGAATTTTCTGCCGTCCCAGCTCTTCTTTACGCTTCTCTCCACCTCAATTTCTTGGGAGTGTAGATCCGACCTCAGAATGTTGTCGAGGGCTTTTCGCCGCAAGATTCATGCTGTATTCGCAATAATCATCCTGGCTACCATCTATTACCTGTTAACGGACGATATTCCTGAAAACGATGTTGAGCCGTCCGAGTACCCCGAACCCGCGCCGGCTCAGATGCCGAGACTGCAAACGAAGCCTAGGAGCCGACGCGTAAAGGCTGCGCCGATACAAAAAGAACACGCCGATCAATGGCTTTTAGCACGGCCAGAGCCTCCAGAGGCTGGTAGCGATGATGTCGAAATGGTGGTTGCGAGCATGAGCTCGGAAAATACAACATGGCTGGACCAATACCTGCTCGACTGGAAAAAGAACATTTACGTGGTCGACGATGAAACAGCCCGGTTTACCGTCCCGATAAATAAGGGTCGTGAGGCCATGGTATTTCTTACGTATGATACTTGAAATTATTCTCTGCTTTTATAGATGCTGATGTTCACAGCTACATTATCGACCGATACGATACACTGCCAGGCAATGTCTTCTTTCATCATGCCGAACGATTCCAATGGCACAACGACAATCCTGACTACGACGCGCTCAATCTGCTCCAACGATTCCAATTTAGTTATTTGAAGAAGCAGGGATATGTCAACTTGAGATGCGTCTGGGTCCTGGGCTGCCCGGCTGAAATACAGCCAGAATTAGATGCTGCCATGGGGGCGGTGGAAGAAGGGGTAACCGCAAAGCGTGTTTACAAGAAGGCCTTTGAGGAGCTTTTCCCTGAAGAGCCATTGCCTGACAGGGTTGGTGTCGCATGTTGTTCTCAATTTGCTGTTCGAAGAGAGACCATTCGACAACGGCCGCAAGCCGACTACATTCGATATCGCGAGTGGCTGATCAACTCTGAGCTGCCAGATAACCTCAGTGGCCGAGTGTTGGAATACGCATGGCACAGTGAGTTTCAAGTCCCCCATAAAGCTACTTTATTAACCTTTGAAACAGTTATATTCGGCAAGAAAGCTGTCCATTGCCCAAACGCTGCAGTCTGCTATTGTGAAATGTACGGCCTTTGCCGCTTAAAGTGCTCGCAAGGAGACTGTGAGGGTCAATACAGATTACCACCATATGCAACTCTTCCTCCAGGTTGGCCTAAGTTCGGATGGTCGGGGGAAGAGCGAGACTGGTCTGGGCCAGAGTAAACGTTAAACAGTCGTTGCTGGCGAACGACAATTGTATCAATATCCTAAACCTTTGTGCCAATGCAACGGCCATCAAATAGAAGCACAAATAAAATTCCCTATTAAAAGTTTCAAATTATTTAGAGATATTAGAAATAGACTCTTACAATACTTCCGCTGATTCATAGCCTCCTCATTGTTTGCAGTTGCTGAACGTTACGTGCATCCTCACCACAGGGCTGCCTTGCCGCCCCGCCATGAACGCCCCACGCTGTCCAACCGCCAACCTCTTCCATCGACGTCCCAATCACGACCTCTAGTCGACAATCAATACACAAAGACTGAGGGCCATTGCCACGTCCAGTTTGTCGCCATGGATCGCACATCAGCAGCCTCGAATCTTATGGGTATGTGCCGGCTCATTTGAAGCTCTCTCAGCCCACAGCCGTTTGTCTCGCGCCGGTTTTCTAACCAGTCAACAGATACACACAACCGCCTAGTTGCGGACATCCTCACCCGTTACAGAAGTCTTATGATGCTCGCCACAAATCAAGCAGAGGGTGGCCGAAATAATGCCAACCCAGAGACAGTATCTGTCACCGGTATTTCTATGCAAATGGAGTTTGATGGCCTAGTATGTGCTCACCAGCAATTTGCATCTCCTGCGACCAGGCCAAAACTAACCAGTACGGTAGAATTCTTCCATGAAGGAACTCTTAACTCTGTCACGTAGGATTAAAGAGTTATGGGTATTCGGGCCATTGGGCCAGGAGGACACAGATAGAAAGGTCCAAGAAGACCAGATCGAGCGCGACGTCGCCCAGGTATCGGGCCTGCTCAACACGGTGGATGCCATGAGAATGAAGGCTCTCGCAGAGGCAAACGGTGGGCAATGGTCTGCGCTGACAAAGGAAGAAAGCGCTGCCCTGATGGCACAAACGGGACGCAAAGCTTAGCATTATTTTGTTCATCACCATCGGAGTTTTAGGAGTTTACGGAATGCTGCGGTTTTTTTGGTACTCAAAAAGGAAACATGACTTTTTTTCATCTATATATAAAACTCCAGTTGTTAAATATGTTACAAAGGGGAATGATCGTCTAACCCTGTCCACCATCGGGATCCTCTTCATCCTCATCGCCAAGCTGTTTGCTGACATCCTCTTCCGACTTGCCGGTCTCGTTTGGCGCAATCACGGCAGCCTTGAGGCCACCAGCGGTCAACCACAAGAAGTGGTTTGACTTGAACTGATCAATCTGGTTGAAAAAGGTGTGGAAGCTGTGGTTATGTTAGACAAATGATTCAGTAGATTCTTTATGGGGCGCCACTTACGAGTTATCCTTCTCCTCAACGTCAAAGATTCTTTGGTAAATCTCCTTCTGCTTGAAAGCGTCCATTCTATCCGAGTACTTGTCAAAGTCGATCGCCTCACGGCCGAGATTTTGCGTCGCGCGGCGATTGTAGTTTTCAAACACAGGTCGTTCGAGGAGCAAGCCCAAGCCGGGTGCCTTGGGGATAGCCATCTTGACTTTGCCGTAGCTTTCGTCGACGCGGTCCCAGGGAGTGCCACAGCGCACCATCAAGCTGATAAGACCAACCATCTTGCGGATTTGGTGCATCATGAAACTCTGACCATGGACGCGGAGGGAGAGCCATTCCGTGTTGCCAATAATGACAGGCTTGGGATTCACAATGAAGGACTTGATGTGGCGCTTGGCCGAAGGGTCGCCATGGGTCTTGAGAACTGTGTAGTTGTGGAAGCTGTTGGTGCCGACGTACTTGTCGAGACCATCCTGCAGCTGCTTGAGGCGGGCGGGAGTAACGCGGTAAGCACGCTTAGCGGAAATGTAGGCCGCCTTGATGTCACGGAGAGCAAAGTCAACGGGACCCAGCTCGCGGCCCTTGGGCTTGACGCTAGTCAAAGTGACATTCTTAGCTTCCTCACCCTCGGCAGCAGTAGGGGCGGGAGCCTCAGCTTCGGTACCCTCTGCTACAGGTTGCTCAGAGGCTGCTTCGGTTGTTTCGGCAGGCTTGGATTCTTCAGCAGGCTTGCTTTCATTCTCTACATCCTCCTCGAGAGCGTGGACTCGTTCAAGGACCTGAGCGCGAACCTCGGGGTCCAGCTTAGCCAGGATAGGCTTAATAGCCGTCTCTTCAACGTTTTGCCAAAAATCCTTGACATCGTCCAGGCGCTCAGCGACCTGCTCTTCGGCGCCGTGCTCCTTGGTAAGCTCGACAAGCTTCTGGCCAAGGAACGAGTTGGGGTGAGGAGGGAGGAGGCAGTAACTAGGCATAAGATATTCGTAGAATCGGGAATCACAGTATTGGTAGCAGTTGAAGCTGTTGTTTGTTCGCTGGATGCCCCAGACGCGGATCTGCTCGGGGAGCGCTTCGTTGATCTTGTCAATAATGTCTTCGTCCTCAATGATGAGCTTCAAGCTGATGACGTTGCCGGCAGCGTGCACACCCTTGTCGGTTCTGGCGCATCGAGCCAAGCTCGACTTGCGAGGGTCGTCGGCGTTGGCCTTGGAAATAGCTCCAGCCTTGATAAAGGCTTGGAACAGATCTCTCTCAATGGTAGCCTCGTCGCCGTTGACCTGCATACCCTTGTAGCCAGTGCCAGAGTAGCCAATCATGACGGCCACCTTGCGCTTGGGGCGGCGCTCTTCATTGGCAATCTCATCCTTGGAAAAAGGGTTGTCTCGCTCGACCTCGATCGATTCGCCTTGGGCATTGACCTTGCGTCGCTTGAATTCGCGGTAGTCGACCGTCTCCTTGCGCTTCTCTACCTTCTGGCGGCTAGAGGCTGATTAGTTCCATTGGTAAATGCAGTACAACAAGAGGATGAATTGCAAAGCGCAATTGAGCAAGGGCCAACTTACTTCCAAGCGGACCGCCCGAGATCGCCGCCCTTCTTGCCACGGTTGTTACCGCCGCGGCCTCCACGACCACCCCCACGGCCGCCGCGACCGCCCTGGTGACGGGCATGGCCACCCGAGTTGCTGGAAGACCCCGCAGCAGATGATTCGCCGTCCGCTGCCATATTAGCATTTGGTTATTTGGGGAATTGGTGCGGTGGTGTTGGGTGAGAATGGCTGTGCTGTGAAGATATCGAGTCCACCTGGTGTTGAAGCGAAGAATTTCTTTGGCCAAAGTTTTAGTGGAGCTCCAAGGCCATTTCAACCAATGGCGGGGTAGACTGCTGCTGAAGAGCCTAAGCGGGGGGAGGCCCGCTGAAAAGCAGGACTTGGGGCGCTATATTTGGTGACAGGTGGCCCAGTTTTGCACTAAAGTGAACCACTACGTCGATAATTACGACGCTGTTGTCTGCAAACACTTGGTTTCCCGCTTTCTATTTTCGAGATGTGGTCAATATGTTATCGTATTTCAGGCTACTTAACGCTATTTAATTGCAATGGCAATTTATCTGAAAATTGTTAGTCCTGACGGCTAGCACACCCACCTGCACCAGAGAGCGCCACCAGAAACAAAGGGCTGTGTTAACCATAATTTTCAGGGGCGAGCCCGCTGTAAACCCGGAGATCCTACCCGCTGTGGCAGCAGGGCACAGCACACCAAGTGGGCGGATCCGCAGGGGCTGATGCACAGTCAGAGTGACACGCGACAGTTGTTCATCGAGGCTGCCAGGTCTCCAACTTCCCCTTGATCTTTGATTCTTCAAACCTTTCATCATTAAGGACATGTCCCATTTTTCGGATAACTGCGTCCCGTTGATCTCTTACCAACCATGATAGGCTCACGACGATGGCAGTCTCGCACTGTCATTGCGGCTACGCTTATTGTCATTACGCTTTGGTTCTTGATGACGCAGCCTACGCCTGATCTTGGATACGAGGCTCGTCATCTCTATGATTTGATGAACCGTGAGGGCTCCCACGCAGTTAAATCCCAAAAGAGCAGCTTCGATTGGAGCAAAGTCAAGCTGAAACACCTCCCGCCAGCCAATATGACACGACTACCGAAGCAGACACCAAAGAAGCTACCACCAGTGCAGCACGCATTTGGGCCAGAGAGTGCTAGCGACGCCCGGAAACGAACACAAAGACGAAATACAGTACGAACGGTGTTTGTCGAAGATTGGAACAGCTATCGAAAATTCGCCTGGATGCAAGATGCATTGAACCCAATATCAGGCACTGGCAAAGATCAGTTTGCGGGGTGGGCAGCTACTCTTGTAGATTCTTTGGATACTCTTTGGATCATGGGGCTCAAGGAAGAATTCGACGAAGCAGTTGCAGCTGTGGCAACGATCGACTTTGGAAATACTACAACATATCGAATCAACATGTTCGAGACCAACATTCGGTACCTCGGCGGACTGCTAAGCGCCTACGATCTCAGCAACCGACAGGTGTTATTAGACAAGGCAGTGGAGCTAGGCGACTTGTTATATGCTGGCTACAATACTGAATCAATGCTACCTGTCGACTTCATTGATTTTTCTGCTGCCCAAAAGGGTCTCGAGCTAAGCATTGAGGGGTCCGTTGTATCGGCATCACCTGGCTCGCTCAGCTTAGAGATGACCCGTCTAGCGCAAGCAACTGGAAATGACAAATACTATGACGTGGTCGACCGGCTGATGAGAACCTTTGCCAAGTACCAAAACGAGACGAAGCTGCCGGGTCTATGGCCCATGTGGGTATCCATCAGAACCCAAGACTTTGTAAGCCGTAGCGAGTTTACACTGGCTGGCAATGCCGACTCTCTCTATGAGTATTTGCCAAAGATGTATGCTCTGCTTGGCGGTCTCGAACCGATGTACGAGTCCATGACTCGGAGCTACGTTGAAGCTGCGCGAAAGCACATGTTCTTTCGTCCCATGTTGCCGAATGAGGAGGATATTCTTATTTCTGGCAATGTTCAAGTGAAATACGACGGTACGGCTGAGCTGGATCCGGAAAGTGAGCACCTGGCGTGCTTCATTGGTGGCAGCGTAGCGCTGGCGGGCAAACTCCTGGAACGCCCAGACTACGTCGAAACTGGTGATAAGTTGGCAAAAGGCTGCGCCTTTGCTTACAAGTCATTTGCGAGTGGCATAATGCCTGAGCGATTCAACATGGTTCCCTGCAAAGAGACCACCGGTCGATGTAAATGGGACGACAGCACCTGGACAGCCGAAGCCCTGAGTCGTCCAGAATTCCGTGAGAGCCTGCCCAAGGGATTCACCACGGCCAAGGACCCCAGATATCTTCTACGTCCAGAGGCTATTGAAAGTGTGTTTCTGTTGTACAGAATGACAGGAGATTCCAAGTATCAAGATATTGCGTGGGACATGTTTGTATCGATTGAGCGTGCTTCCAGAGTTGCGCATGGGCACGCAACAGTGCTCGATGTTACAGAAGTTGGAGACGAGGCCTTTCGTGTCGACAACCTGCAAGATTACATGGAGGTTAGTAATAAAAGTCGGCAAATTAACGTGAGCATAGCTAACGCATATGTATAGAGCTTCTGGTTTGCTGAGACCCTCAAATACTTTTATCTGATCTTCTCGCCTCCTGATCTACTTGATTTGGATGAGTACGTTTTAAACACAGAAGCACACCCGTTCAAGCGGCCAATCCCCAAAAGCAAAGAGTCTGAAAAAGCATAGACATGTATAGATAATAATATTATTCAAACTTGGTTTAACACGAGTATTACGCCCAGTTCATCGTAACCATATCTCGTCACGCTAAAGAATAAAGCCAAAGTCCCAAACGCCGATTTTTCATCCTCCTTTTTAGTATTCCTCTCGGCTGTGGTTATTCACAGCTAAAAATTCCCTCGCTCAGGGTGCCACCCTTCACCTCACCTACACAGGATACGGTACAGTGGTATTGCATTTCTTGACCAGACACGCCTGGATATGATCCACGGGCTATCGTACAGCCATCCAATTTGGCGACTGTAACTCTTGATGCCTCTGGCAGCTTATCAGAAGAAGACAACTCGGTTGACAGCTTGCATAAACGCATTGACGGTGCTCTGATTTGCTGTGGCGTAAATCGCCGCCTCGGCTCTTTGACGTATGGGCAATTGAAGCTGGCAATCTTGTTACCAACAGGTAATATTATTGATGTAGGGGATGGGCTGGTTGATATTGATGATGTCGCAGATGGAGAGTCAAGTGTTGTAGTGCTGGTTGGCGATGAAGTTGTGTCGTCAACTAATGTGATGGCCGCTGCGGTTGGCGTTCTGATAGGGAAGTCAGTACAAGTTCATATCCGATTTCTGTTCTACAACTTACGGGCTGGTGGTTGCCACTGGCGTCGTATTGCTATTGGAAGCTCGAATCTTTCCGACGACTGCGGCGACGATCAAACACACAATGACTCCCACAGTGATAGATGTTAAGAGCTTGATAACCACCGGTTTGCTTGTCCATGATCGTTTCTCGCCTTTAATTTTCTTTTTGAGAGATCCATTTCTAGAATGATGCAGAAATGGCTCGGTATATTTGTCGCCGTGTGATGGGGAATAATATACAGGACTGGGCGGTAGGCTCTCGGCAAGCGTCGATGACGTGGAGGATGCGTAACCAGGTGAATGAGAAACGCGTATCGGAGGATACTGGCGCTGTGGTCCGACTTGTATTATAGGGCCGTTGTGCATCATTTTGTATATTTCTGGAGTTGTATCCGATGTTGCTGCTTTGGTTAGTAGAATTTATTTACCTGGACGACATGGTCGATTGACTATGGTGTTTTCTCCAACTACCACCCCGGGATCGAAAAACGAAAGGAAAAAAAGTAGGGAGAAATCTCCAACAACCAAAATTTTCGTCATTGAGGGTGGGCTGCAGTGCATGCCAGAGCTTGCAGCGTTGGGATTGGCCTCTCTCTGGAATGTGTGGCGGCCGCGATGTGACCACCTTGGAGGGGCCATGAGAGCTTGGTGACAGCAGATTGGTAGCCAAGCCTCGCTAGGAGGGATTTGTTTGAGACATTAGCCTGAAATTGGAGAATAGCGAGATTTATTTCCCCTCCCAATTTCTCCGCCCGTTCTCCTGCCTAGGGGCCACGTACGTGGTGAGAGAAGATGGAGGAACGTGGGCCACGTTGTCGCATTTCTCAGATCGCGATGTCCCCGGAGCATCCTAGCATTATTTTTAGATGAATAATGCAGAAGGAAATCGGATACTCCTGGGTTCGCGATCGAAAGAGTCTCTGTAGCTCACCCAACAACAAAAGTGTTGGAGTAGCTAGTGGTGGTTGCGACTAGTCCAACGTGTTTGCGTCATTTGGTCTCAACTAGCAAGTTTTGTAACCCCAAACGGATGAAGATTATCATGTCTCCGGCAGTTTGTCCTGTTTGTAACCGATGTATGATCTCATTCGTAAGGATGAACAATGCCATCCAGTATAGACACAGGCTTGCAGCTGGTGGCATGTCATTGCTGAGAACCAGCGGAATCATTCACAGCTTTGGGATTTTCGGGGAGCTCTTATTTCTTTTAAAAATATTTTACGAAATTATTGTCTCGTATTTGAGAATTATTTTCAGCATGTTTGACGCCCTTGTCCAAATTTGGCGCTGAAGTTGTGGTGACAGCTGTAGGTATATCTCTGCGTATCACCCTTTTGTAAAGAATTGCCAGCGTCTATAAACCGATGGTCGACACCATGACGGATGGACTAGATTTAATTAACCATATTACACACAGTTCTACAGAGCCTTGTATATTATTACACTTAAGCACTCTGTTTTAGCCGACGCTGAATACCCCCATGGCTCTCGGGTAGCAGTCCCTCAACCTCCTCGAAACTGACTCCGGTAACCGGGGCTCTGATGGTGGCATAACATATCTAAAAAACGAATACCCTGTCACTCCATCCGATATCAGCCCCGCGCAGACTCTCTGACTCTTCTGCTCTCATCGGTATGTCGGTCGCCTCACTTCAGGACCGTCGGTAGGACCCATACGGATCGATCCCATCGCGTGCAGGTTGGAAACCAATCGGATGGGAACCTGGATGGAGGGGCGGCTGTCGGTGCAACCGCTAACCACCAACAATGCGTCGCTACGCTACAGTGGGCTGCTGTGTGGTGGTGCTTGCAACACAACTTGGCAAATGGCGTGCATTTCCAAGGCCAAGGTAAGAGTACCACATTAACAAAAAATACAGCAGACCAGCACCTGTAGCTGTTAGCGCATCGACAGTTGGTGCTACTCGCCAAAAACAAAGAAAAAAAAACTTCAAACTTTGTACTACAATATGCAGCGTTGCGACTGGCCGGGCCGTCGGAGTGGGTCTGCGACAGCCGATAACGCCATTTCCCCCCCAGAGCACCCAAAAGGAAGGCGCTATTCCGTGCTGCGATGGCGCTCTTTCCTCTGCGGTAGCGTCTTTTTCACCGGTACCAGCGTTGGACCAGTCGCTGTACGCTACTCTTCGGTTTAGTGGGCCCCCCTTCTCATCCACCATTTTGGCTTCTCTGTAGTTGGTCAGCCTTTTCGCCTCCTCTCTCGTGCTTCTCCCCAGACATTCGCCATTTTGACAACGACAACCACCAGGCGCACGCACTTTTGTCTGCCCCTGTCGTCTTTTTACCCCAAACTCTCTTCAGCACACTATCAACCTGCAACACGCCCCCTATACTACGCGGACAAGGTTCATTCTTATACCTTCAGCAGCCCCTACACCCTGTTCTAGCCCACGGTTCGCTCGAACCTTGAACTAAGCTCAGAGCACGCCATACTTCTGCAACACCGCCTCACAACCGACCAACAGATGCGCTGCTGACGCTGACGACCGACGGCCGCACACCATAATTTATACCCTACCATTCCTACGCGGCGCCAAATCCCGCTCCCTCTCTCTCCCAATGGCAGATTTATCCACGCTCGACGGCCCTCTGCCGTCTGATACTTTCGACCATAATGTGACAGCCGCTGCGGATTCTGACGATATTACACTTTCTCTGCAACAGCAGTTGCCAAAAGCAAACCAGCCGCTGCGAGACAACTGCGACCGTAGACGACCCGAAGACGATATCCCCCGACGCATCAAGATGCCCTCCGACCTGGTTGGCAAAACAGTCAGCCCATTCCTCAAAGAACATATTCCCACTATCTATGCCCCAGTAGGGAAGGAAGAGGGAAAAGGCCACAACGCCAACGTGCGTCCGAGAGACGGTAACACTCGCTTTTGCTACCGCCATCAGCCCGACTCCAAGTGCCGCAGAACCGCCGACGAGTCTAAGATGGGTCTGATTCAAAGGGTAGGACATACTTCCCATCACTGTGTTCTGTTATACAAAGCTGACCGTTATTTAGGATCTGAACAGTCTCCCTGCTGCCGACCAAGAAGCCATCACACATGTCTGGTCGCTCTTCTCAGCCGCCCCCGCTAAGCACAGAGAGTTGATGCTTCAGGGCATCATTACACAATGTTGCTTCCCCCAACTTTCGACAGTAGCTCGCGAGGTACAAGAACAACTCAAGATTGATTTCCTAAGCGCCCTTCCCGCCGAACTCTCCTATAAAATCCTCTGCAATCTCGACACCGTCTCCCTCTGCAAAGCAGCACAGGTTAGCCGACGCTGGCGGGATCTGGCCGACGACGACGTTGTCTGGCATCGAATGTGCGAACAGCACATTGACCGCAAATGCACCAAGTGTGGTTGGGGACTGCCTCTTCTTGAGAAGAAGAAGCTCAAGGCCTGGAGCCGCCACCAACAGATTGCACACCCCCGCGAGGAAGAAGAGACGGCCGATACTGCTACCCAAGAAGGCTCGAATAAGCGTGCCATTGTTGCGCAAGACGGTCCTGCTAAGCGACCTCGCCTCCATGGCCATAGCCACTCACAGTCTCAACTTGATGAGGAGCGCAAATTCAGACCTTGGAAGGACGTATACCGTGACCGATTCAAGGTCGGCTATAACTGGAAGACGGGTCGCTGCGCAATCAAGACGTTCCGTGGCCACGATAACGGTATTACTTGTCTACAGTTTGACCAGAGCATACTGGCTACAGGCTCATACGACACTACTATTAAGATTTGGAATATTGAGACGGGAGAGGTTATCCGAACCTTGACCGGCCACACATCGGCTGTCCGAACTCTCCAGTTTGATGATGGCAAACTTATCAGCGGCAGCTTGGATAAGACGATTAAGATTTGGAACTGGCAGACGGGTGAATGCTTGAGCACTCTACAATGCCACACCGAAGGCGTCCTGTCTGTCCATTTCGATGGCTGCATGCTAGCCTCTGGATCCATTGACAAGACTGTCAAGATCTTTAGTTTCCGCAACAAGCAGACCTTTACCCTTCGCGGACATACAGACTGGGTGAACCATGTCCGCATGGACTCAGCCTCCCGTACCGTATTCTCTGCATCGGATGACTTGTCTGTGAAGCTTTGGGACCTTGACTCGAAGCAGTGCATCAAGACGTTCCATGGCCACGTCGGACAGGTGCAACAAATATTGCTCATGCCTGCAGACTTTGAGCCGGATGAGGTTCCATGCAACGATGCCCACGACACCGCGTCGGTTCACAGTGGCCGATCAGTGAGCCCAACACCGTCCCCGGATCAATCCAAAGAGGACCGAGCTGCCTTTGGTTCAGCATTTGTATCAGACACCTCGCGCCCTCTCCCTCCCCGCTATATGCTTACTGGTGGACTGGATAACACAGTTCGTCTATGGGATATTGCTACTGGAAAATGCATTCGCAGCATGTTTGGTCACGTTGAAGGCATCTGGGGCCTAGTAGGAGACACTCTACGAGTTGTTACTGGAGCTAACGACTCCATGACTAAGATCTGGGAGCCACGATCTGGAAAGTGTGAGCGCAGCTTTACTGGACATTCGGGTCCTGTCACCTGCGTTGGCCTAAGCGACAGCCGAATGGCTAGCGGTAGTGAAGATGGTGAAGTCCGACTTTACATGTTTGAAGCGGAGACCACAGAAGAACGAGGTACGCCGTCGTAGAGACGAGTCGTCCTTGGAAACACACTAGACCTTGGCGGTGATTTAGCTGCCTAGGATGTGTTTGTATTGCAGGTACTGCTCTACGCTGAGCATTACCTGTAGGTATATTTGATGATGTATATTTGCTAGATTTGATGATGAGCTGCATTTGTTTTCCTTTCGGCGCAAGGTTTTGGGATTTGGAAGAACGGAATGAATGGCGTTTTGAATTTAGGATAGATTTCGCATTGCGGCTATTAGCATAGCGCCTCTCACGCGAGCAATGTTGTTGTTTACAATAATGATATATATTTAGAAGACTTTGAGGTTATCATCTGCACCAGTGAATATGATGACTGTATAGCAGGTCTTGATCGTAGCGAGCTGCGGTGGTGGCGCGCAGTCATAAAGTGGTGCCCGGTAAGCGCATAAGCAAAACACGGAGGACGATTCGGAAGTGAACTCGGAGCAGCAGCCACGAAGCGGGAGTCATCTCGCCGGAGGTACGGCGATACGAGCAGTCTCCGATCGGACATTTAGCTACTGCTACTGCAGGGGCGTTTGAAATGGACAATGGAGGGTGTGTGGGAAGATGAGGCTCAAACAAATAGCGGGAGGCTGCATCGCGTGGGAATATTACGGTGCTCTGTGTGATTGTATGGCAGCGAGTGAGCTGGACTTGCTAACCGCTCAAGACATGCAGCAATTGATTTCGTTCTTGTCATATACGTGATCGAAGTGTGATCTAACTAGCGGATTGTTTTGGCCAAATTCTAAGCAAAGTTGCCAAATGTAGTGCAGTTCTAGCGATTTGATATACGAAATAGGTTTGCTTGTACCAATGCCACTATAGCGGCAGGCTGTCTACCATGGCAGGGCTATGATGTTTTGCAACCACCATTCGACCTGATCTGTTGCAATAAAGTAAACTGTACCTGATGCAGTCGGTCAATCCATCACAATACTGCTACCCATTTTAGAAACCGCCCAGCCCAGAGCAAAGGCAGCACCAGTGCCTATTGGCATGCGGCTTTGGGTACCGCCACCGAGCCTCGGCAAAAGCCGGGCGGCGGCTCGTGGTGTGGGGGAAAAGCCCTGAGCAGTGCAAATGGGCAGTGGCCCGGCCGATGGGCGGATGCTCCGACTCGCTCCGATGAGTTGCATATGAGGGCCGGCCGGGGGAAAACATGAAAGAGGAGATTGATTAGCAGTGCCGTGGTCATTACAGGTGAAGAGAGGGCATTGTGATTGTATAGTAACAGCAGCAGTCTTGCACAGCATTTCTACGTGTAGTGGTGTATAAACAGACAGGCTGATATAGCGTAAATTACGCCCAAGTGCACAATCAAACGCTAAACCTTGCACCGTTCCCTCTACTGTACGAGGCGTTCATTTTCTCGCTAAACCGACCCTCTAGGTCTCTTCTTTCGTCTCTAGCACGCCATCCTACATCACCTAGGGCAGCTCCTTCGGCATACTGCACACACCCCCTGTAGGCTTGCAGGCCAGGCGACCCTTGCACCTGAAAAAGAGCCGCATGAGCCCAAACCAGTAAAAACGAGAGGCGAGTACCAGCGCCACCAAAGGGGTAATTTTGCCTACTCTCCGGTTTGGACTATTGTACACCGTCTAGACTTGTTCAGTGGTCATTTGGAGCACGGACGGGAGCATCGCACCGCCCATAGATCGTAGGATAAGAAAAAAAACATCTCACGCAATCGCCAAAAACAATCTCGTATGCTTAAAACCACAGATAACGTAAGATCCCAAGCACCGGCCCCATCAATAAGCTTATTCGCCCACGCACGCGTAGTAATATTCACTGGGGCAGCGAGCTCCCAGGGACCGTAAGCCGGCGGCCGCCAAGGTGTACAGTAGTAACTTAGCAGTAGCTAGTAGTTCGGTCAGACGGAGGGGCAGCTGCAAAATTACAGGCGGGTATGCGCTGTAGAAGCGCTGAAGCAGGCCCCCGTTACAGAGGGACGCACTCAACTTAGCGGCTTAACCACAGCGCTGCCCCAGACACAAGCCCCGGCTGAAAAAAGGGGGGGCGTGCGGTGGCCCACGGCGGGCAGGAATGCAGACGCCGGGGGGCCGAGCCGGCTTAAGCAGTAATAATGTGGGGGAATGACAATCATATGTCAATTGGCACACTACCAACCAAGCTCCGTTAGCCGTGGTGCTGCTGTCTGTCTCTTTTTTTTTTTTGGTGAGCTGATGCGATGGATGACTGATGCTGCTGCTGCGCTGTAATTAATATTTTTTTTTCTGTTGCAGTGGTCGGAGCTCATCTTCTTCTCCTCCATCTTTCGACATCACCAACATCTTCGCTCTTCTTCTTTCTTGGTGGCTGCTTCTTCTGCTCGTGACTCTCTACCGAACGCCCGCCCGCTGCTCCGGTCCTCCCCGCCGCCGTCCACCCAATTACCCCAAACTCCAAAACCGAACAACATCGCCAAAACTCACCCAACCCTGCTGCTCTGCTGTCCGCCAGTCACGAGCGCGCCATAAATCGGCAGCCCCCTCCCCTCTTCCCCTCTCTCTCTGACTCTTTTCTGCTTCTCGTCTTTCCTTGCTTGCTGCTGTTCCGGCTTCTCAATTGCAGCGCTCCGCACGCCGTTCTCCTTTCCCTCCCTCCCGCCCTCGGCTAATCCCCTCCTTCTTTCTTTTCCAACGTCTTCACAATGCCTGCACGCGACGGCGAGAAGAGAAAGCCGCCCACGCCGGCCGTCAACCTAATTGCCGGCGGTGGTGCTGGTATGATGGAAGCTCTTGCTTGCCATCCCCTCGGTACGTTTTCTCGCGCTCGCTCTCTGTCTGCCCTTTGCTGCTACTGTTGCTGTCTGCGCGCGTGAGGAATAAACCCCGCGTGTAGCTGCGCAATCAGCAAGCAAAGATCAAAGAAAAATAGGCTCGGTTCGCTAACATTGGCACAAAACACAGACACAATCAAGGTACGAATGCAGCTCTCGCGCCGTGCGCGCCAGCCCGGCGCACCCCGCCGCGGCTTCATCAAGACCGGTGTTGAGCTCGTCAAGAAGGAGACGCCGCTCGCTCTGTACAAGGGCCTCGGCGCCGTCCTGACGGGTATTGTCCCCAAAATGGCCATCCGCTTCACCTCTTTCGAGTGGTACAAGCAGATGCTGGCCGACAAGACCACCGGCGACATCACCGGCAAGGGCATCTTCATTGCCGGTCTCGCGGCCGGTGTCACCGAGGCCGTTGCCGTCGTCACCCCCATGGAAGTCATCAAGATCCGTCTGCAAGCCCAGCACCACTCCATGGCCGACCCAATGGACATTCCCAAGTACCGCAACGCCGCGCACGCGCTCTACACCGTCGTCAAGGAGGAGGGCTTCGGCGCCCTCTACCGCGGTGTCTCCCTCACTGCTCTCCGCCAGGGCTCGAACCAGGCCGTCAACTTTACCGCCTACTCCTACTTCAAGGAGTGGCTCAAGGAGTGGCAGCCCGAGTACGCAAACGCCCCTCTGCCCAGCTGGCAGACTACCTTTATTGGTCTTGTCTCTGGTGCCATGGGCCCTCTGAGCAACGCCCCCATCGATACCATCAAGACTCGTCTGCAAAAGAGCCCTGCCCAGCCCGGCGAGACTGCCTGGTCCAGAATAGCCCGTATTGCAAAGGACATGTTCAAGTACGTTTTTAACCCTCCAATTGACCACCAGGTCTCCGCTTCGAACTTTTACTAACATTTCTCGCTTTTTTCTTTTGCAGGCAAGAAGGTGTTCACGCTTTCTACAAGGGCATCACCCCTAGAATCATGCGTGTCGCCCCCGGTCAGGCCGTCACCTTCACCGTCTACGAGTTCCTCAAGGAGCGCCTCGAGAAGAGCAACTTTGCCTTTGTCGGCGGCAAATACGAAGAGTAATCGACCCTAGAACACATCGCATTCGCTTCCCCTCGGTCTTGCAAAAAAAGAAAAAAGTATTCGTCACCAATAGACTTTCCTTTTGGCGCGTTTCGTTTGCTAGGAGCATAACGGGTTCTCTATTTTCTTTGGGCTTCTTCTTCTTTTCCTCTTCCATTCTGGCTATATATCATCATGTCTTCTTTTTTTTTTGTATATCCGCGACTAGCAGTCATATTTTCTCATGCTTGCTTTTTTATGAAACCTTTTTACCATTTTAGAAAATCAAAAAAAGGATTAAAGCTACCATCTACTATGACCACACAGTGACCTCCGTTAGCGGACCTCGGCACGAAACGGCCTTTGGCCCACATTGTCGGAACCTAAATGCAGAGCAATAGTTCAGCCAACTTAAAAGTAGGTCACCGGCGTTTATGGTAGAGCCCGAAGGCCATAAGAGTCACGGAAATCAAGACGCTTTATCATTGACTGGCGTTTTTCAAGTCATGCTCATATGCTATGCTACTTTTTCGGCATTTGCTTCCATGGGCCTAGTCTAGCTCGAACTAGCCTTCACCTTTACCTACCAGGACGCTTAGGACGGCTGAATCCTTGCCTTACAGCCGCCTTGGGATGCAAATCCTCCAGTACAGACTCCTCTGTAATCTCCGAAGGCTCTTCCACCTCAAACCTCTTGTCAATAGTCAAGCCGGCTTCTTGTTCGGCGACCGTCAACACGGCGCGCTTCATCAAGGGATAGAGCATGCGGTTCTTGATGGCCTTGTTACCAGGTGTAACCGGGCAGGTATAAAAGAAGAGCAAGGGACTTTGTTCCTGTCCATTGTGGGTGTGTGTGAATCGGTAAAAGGTAAACCGGGGCTCAGTCGAGGAGATTACCCCCGTGAGCTCAGTAATGGAGCTGGGTCGGGGCGACTCGGGGACGAGCTCAACAGTCTCGGTGTCGGAGTTGATTTTCTATATTCTGTATTAGCAATCACCTTATTTCGGAAATGCTTTGACGTCTACAAACCAGCATCGTCACAACGCGGCTGCCGCTGCCAACATCCTTCATGGCCGCAATGGCATCTTCCTTAACAGGCATGGCCAGACTCTTGCTGAGGTGAATTTCGCGGGTACCTGTGCCTGTGCTGGCTGCTAGCTCGGCCGCCTTGACTTCGGACAGGGTGCGTTCTTCGGCTGTGAGCGGAGCCTCCAACTCAGTATGCGCATCGTGTTTCTTGAATCCTTCTTCGCTAAACTCGTTCGCAATGGTAAAATAGATCGTCTCTCGGAAGTGCTCTAGGCCGAGATCTCGCACAAGAGTAAGCCTAGTCGAGGCGAAGAGCATCTTCTGTCGGACCGGTGCGGCGTCTGGCACGTATGTAACGGCAACCATCTTCGGGGACTCGTCATATCGGCGCATAAGCACGTATGCTGCCACGTTTGACTTGATGTGTTCATGGAGCGCAGAGAGACTGTCGGCAAAGGACGACTTGGCTGCTACTGTCTGTAGAGGCACCAGCGATTCCTTCTCGATGCCGACAAGAAGGGCAAATGTTGATGACGATGACAGGAGGCTCCCAAATTGGGCCTGGAGCTCCTCCGAAGCTGTCACCAGTTAGCAAATAGCCAAACCCTCTCCATCATTCAGCTCACCTGCTATTCCAGATTGCATCTTGGACAATTTCAACAAAGTCCAATACGGTCGTTGTTGATGTAGAAGCGGAGCTAAGACACATCAACACTAGAGAGGGGCATGCCGTTGCCCCACCACGGAGCTCGAGCGTATCAGCTTGGAGCATGTCGTCATTCCCAAACACCTACCCGGAAGCTCGCCGTCACCATAAATTGTTGCGGCAAAGCCATGGAATTAATGCGAATATATCATGGCATTCAATTAGCTAACAATCGGTTCAAATAATATGCTAGTGATTACAACTCTTCATAATTATTACCCCTCCGGGCTTGCCAAAGCTATTAATCTGCGTCGAAATATGGGACCTAAACACGAAACCGAATGAGATGCGTCCTAAGATAAAGAGTCCCAACAATAAATGAAAGGATACCACTTGGAAAATTAGTTGAACATGACGGAAAGGATAATCATGACGAAAAATGTGGTAGTCAAAGCGACCAGTGATACTGATCCAGAGCCCGCAGGAACTTGGGACGGGACGTATGGAGTACCATATGCTTGGGTAGAGGCTGCCCAGGCGCTGGATTGATATGCAGGCGAAATCTCCGGCTCAGGACTGACACATGGTGAAGTTGATGCTGCTGCCACTAAAGTTGTCGGCTGAGCCGATGAGTTAACTGCTGTTGCATATGTCTGAGGAGCTGGGGCTGAGCCTTGGGGAGCCTGGTAAGGAGGTGGTGTAGACGAGGGGCAGGGAGCAGAAGCAGCAGGCAACTCTGAAACGACTTCACTGACCGACACGGGTTCTGGCACTGGTTGCTCTGTTGACTTTGGGGGACAGGATGGTTCCACAGGCGGTGGTGGAGGAGCAGGAGAAACACTGGTGTATTGCTGTAAGACGGCGTGTCTTTGATAGACATTGGCGATGCTGGGATGCTCCGGAGGGCAAGAGTTTCCACATTCGCCAAGTTTGGGATCGTTCATACAGCAGTGGTCACACATTGCCTCATCCACCTCTTGAATGCTCTTTGGGTCATTGCCACATCGGCACTCCCTGGATTTAGTTAGAGTTTGCTCGAAGTGTCTCACAAGCACGATACAACTCACTCGTTCAGCAAGGCAGCATATTGAAAACCAGTACATGCATTCTGACATGCTTCAGGGGTAATACGGTTGTTTGGGAGAGACATGGGCTGTCCAAAGCAGGAAACATCTACCTTGGAGCAGCCGTGATAGTCAAAGTCCGGGGTGCTGTGAGCCTTTTGGGCACCGACACTGGCCAGCACCAGAGACATAATGAGGATTACAGCAACCATGATGTGGATAGTTGAAACTGGTAAGCTGTGTAAAAGCCAAAACTGATGAAAATGCGATTGAGAGCAGTCTTGTTAGAACGGTGTTGCTAAGGCAGGCCAAAACACGACCAAAGATGCTTTGAAGAGAGATGGACGAGGAAGGAAATCAGTACAGGAGAACGTAGAGAAAAGGAAGAAAGGCAAGATGGCACAAATAGACACTTTAGCCGAAAAAGTCTTGGGAAGGTCCATTGTGCAACCCTTTGCACCTGTCGACAGCTGGCAAAGCCGGCAAAGCTGGCGCAATTTCCCGGGCCTACAGCAGCGCATGCTCGAGAATTGTGCGGGAATATATGCTGCGCAAATGAAATAAAGGAAATTTATGACCTTCGGGTTTCCAAAACATTCATCTACTTATCAATGTGACCACTGGTGTTTCTGCAAGTTCGACTCCAGATCAGCGTTGGTGATACTACAGAACATGGCTATAGCGCTCGGCACACCGACCAATCAGAACCGAAAGCTTTGCAATAACCTCGAATGAATGTAATCCATGATGACATGGATTTTTATTTTATTTTATTTATTTTCATTCGAAAAGATATAACAAGTACCCTTAGAACGGGCGTGTCTGCTGGAGTTGGTCTCAGGTACAAAAATTTCCCAAAGAGGCAATTCAGTCACGTTACCAATCACGTGCAGTCCCACCAAAAACGCGCACAATCTCAGGGCACGAAAACCCCAATTTAGCGAAGCGGCCCGCCTGCCTCTGGAAAAACTTCCTCAGCCAGGTACACCAAACATCTCCAGTGTCAACGTCCAACGTCAACGCCAACAATCAAGATGTCTGCCGTCAACAAGATCGCCGCCAACAGCCCCTCGAGGCAGAACCCCTCTGAGCTCGAGCGCAACATCGCTCAGGCTCTCTACGACCTCGAGACCAACACTGCCGACCTTAAGGCCGCTCTCCGCCCTCTGCAGATCGTCTCTGCCCGCGAGGTGAGAACTACTTGAATGCTTACAACAGGCCGAGACCAATATTCCTTCAATATCCTGTTCCCAAAGCAAGCGATGCAACGGTTTATAAACGAGCGTTTTGTGCGGACAACCGAGGAGGAACAGACACTGGGCGCCGACATGAAGAATTCGTTGGAATATATGAATTTTTTGGCGTCGGCTCTCCAGAACAACCTTCGTTTCTCGGACGAAGCACGCAACGCTCCCATAACAACCTGAGATCAATTGACTTCTATGGAAACAGGACGGGAAGCGGTCCAAGGCTTATTGTCCTGGAGCTCGCATGCTGACTTGAGGTCTACAAATAGATCGAAGTCGGCCACGGCAAGAAGGCTATTGTCATCTTTGTCCCCGTCCCTTCCCTGCAGGGCTTCCACCGTGTTCAGCAGCGGTAAGTAAACAGCAACAGTACTTACGAGAAGAATGGCAACTAACAAACCCCGCTAGTCTGACCCGTGAGCTCGAGAAGAAGTTCTCTGACCGCCAGGTCTTGATCCTCGCTTCTCGCCGCATTCTCCCCCGCCCCAAGCGCTCTGCCCGCTCCCGCAACACCCAGACCCAGAAGCGCCCCCGCTCCCGCACTCTTACTGCTGTCCACGACGCTATCCTCGCCGATCTCTGCTACCCCGTCGAGATTGTTGGCAAGCGCATCCGCACCAAGGAGGACGGCTCCAAGACCCTCAAGGTCATCCTTGACGAGAAGGAGCGTGAGGGTGTTGACTACCGTGTCGACACCTACGCTGAGGTCTACCGCCGCCTCACCGGCCGCAACGTCACCTTCGAGTTCCCCCAGACCTCTGCCTACTAAATTTTGGTGGTATGATTTGGTTTGAAGGGAGCTTGGTGATCTTTACGGTTTAAAAATGATGGACTGCACATTTAGCATCTTTGGTTGGTCAGGGCTAGGCGTCTTGAGAAAAGTAGCGTTGATAATGATGCACGCTGCATGAATAAAAACAATCATAAATCATACATGTTCCTTAAATATTTGTTGCTGTGACATGTGGGTATCTATTTGCTCATGCCCCTATGCTATGGACAAGTCCTGTTTAATCTTTTGCTGTTCGTCCAACGCCCAGAACGCACCAGTAGGCAAGCTCTCGCTTCTCTTTAGCCTCTTTGTCGCGTCCCGCCCCGGATGTTATATCATTTTGAACATCAGCCTCCCACTCCATGCGTACAAACATGGGAATCTCCAAGATATCCTCGTCCTGCTTTAAAGGTCCTTTATCCACTGATCCTGGTGGCAAGCCAACTCCCAGGTGCTCAACTTTTAGTGATGGAGGGACAACCTCCAGTACGATGCTCACCCAGTTTCTACCACGATCCCAGATTTTACCAGCTTCTGCCTGGCTAGACGGGTCATCCTTCTGTGATTTATCGCGTCCGTCGTCTTTGAGTGCGTCATCCCACATGTCTGTGTTTGCACCAATCTCAAACTGCGGGCAAAGAACCGTCACCTTTGTCGCAAATCGGCCGGGGGTAACATTGGGCGCAGCCAGCGAGATTTTGACGCTATCAAATAGTGGGTTTTTGAATGTCAAGATGTATTGATGTGGTTTAAAAGGGTTTAGGGGCGCCTCTTCGATAATGGCAGGTCTTGATGTGACTGGAACTGGAGCTGTAGTCGCACGTAATGGGCGAACACTTATAGAAGGGATGTAAGATTTGGCGACAAGTCGGATTTTGAATCGTGTGGCGGCGACCTTATTTTCTGGTTTTGACAAAATATGTCTGCACGCTGGGCATCGCTTGGATCGCTTTGTTCGAAGCAGATACGATGATGGGCGCAACTCGTCTTGGAATCGCACATGCTCTTGGTGATGGTCGCGCTGTTCCGCTGACGTCGTTATGTCCCATCCACCGGATATGAGCTTTTTAATAGCTGCAGATTCATTCAGCTGCGCAAGCTTGAATCCTTCATCCGTGTTAAGGGCCTCACGCATAACAAAGGGAGCGCCGTTCTGTCCCTTGCCTTGCTGCGCTCTTCCGGTATACAGCGACATAATCCGCGAGAGTGCCGCCGGTGATGAGAAGCCAATAGCATCGGTCATACCACCAAGAGCAGGGTTCAGGTCCGCCAGCTGTGCATGATAGAAAGATTTAAGATTCGCGAACTGAAGGTCGTGGTCCACCAACTCGTCCGGCACCATGGCATCATCAGGCTCTTCTTTGCGTCTCTCTTTGACGTCTTTCTGTGTGATTTTGCGGGAACCGCCGTTATTAATCTTAGCCAATTGTGAAAATATGCCACTCGGTCGGTCGAATTCGATGCCAATTTCGCTAGAGCACCAGTTACAGTACTGACAGACAAGTTCAAAAGATCCGGTGTTGCCTGCCTGGCCGTCGACTGTAAGTAGGTTGGCATCGGTTGGCTTTTGTGTTGGTACGACTTGGACCGGTCCTACACAAATAGGACACTGATAACAGCTTCTTGTACATCTAAAATAAGGCGTGGTTAGCTTGCTACTGTTTGCGTGGCTGTCGTCGGGTCCTACCTGGTGCCTTCACTCCGCAGGTTGCTGCTCGGGACCTCAAACAGGCAGTTCGGGCAAAAGTATGTAAGCATTTCTTCTGTAACACATCTCGGACATCGTATTTGCTGGCAATCCTCGCAATAGAGCAGATACTCTAGCGGGTAGAGGCTGTAGTTGGATCGAGGGGCTCGCGGGTCGAAGGTGCGCTCGTCGTTGTAGTCGGGGGCGCTGCCGTCTTGGGCATCGTTATTGTCCACAGGTGCTTGATCCGAGCACGAACATTGGATATATGTGTAGGGAATCGTGGGCGTCATCCTGGCGACGCCTGCCGCCTCTGTGGTCGTTCGCTAAGGAGAGCTTGGTGAAGCTTGCCGACGTGTTGGCGACGGGCGGATACGCGGTGTGGCTTGGGCGGCAAACATCCCACATGTGGCTACGCGTTCCAGTACCGATTGACACTAATCAGCGAACGAGAAGCCTGATGGCTTGGAAAATTATAATATATTATTTAGCGAGTTAATTCTAAGATAATAATCATATTAATAAAATAAATAACGACATAAATGCGTCTCGCTCCGTATCTACCCGCCCTTGAAGACTCTATCACACGCCACAACACCCGCAACACATACTTTTTTGTAAATCAAACAGCCTAGTAGCTATATATGCAATGCTAAATATATCATAAACTCAGTATTTTGGGATAGTCTTGTTCTTACCAAGACTCATATATGTGCAACTGTCCCAATCGCAAGTGTTTTGGTGCACCTGAGTTCCCCACCATTTGAAATGCTTAGACGCCCCTGTGTAAAAGAGTGCGAAGAAGATGAGAATACCGCAGATGGCGACAGAACAGTCCATCGCAGAACTAAGAAGGAAATTGTATCGCGTCCACCAATGTCGGTAGTGATTCTTGATGTAAACGCTAAAGAGGAGGCCAACCAGGCACCAACTGCCATAGTTCACGCCGGAGGCGGGTGGGATGTAGTTGAGGCCACCAAGGAATAAGGGAATGTGGATATAGTGCAAGACCTTGACATTGGGGAACACTCTTCGTTTGAGAATGTATACAGCGGTAGGAAGAAGCGCACCAAGGAGGAAAAACCACAAAAGCGGGCGGAAAAGGGCGTCTGGCGCGAAGAAACGACGAGGTCCAATGGCACCCCAAATCATGCTAGTGTTGAAATGGGTTCGTGAAAAAGGGCAGTTGAAACCGTTTTCAGCATCTTTGGTACAAATCTTTGGGATGTGATCCAATGCCCAGTTGAGCACGGAGACCTGCCCCAGGCTGCCCATGATGATGCCTACAACCTGTACAGTGAACAGGTACAGAGGAGGAATCTGTGTTTTTGTTAGAGAGTCGTAACTAATACGTGTGCGTAGGATGCTTACATTGCAGTACATCCCCAATTTGATATCTTGAGCGAATGCGAGTCCCTTGATACCTGTGATGTAACCAAGGTTGAAGAACCAGATATTGGCAAGTACTTTGCCTTCCCAAATATATCCTGCAAGTAAACGACAGAATATGTCAATTTGAATCTTGACGTTGGTGGTAGCATAGAGCCATGCGAGCTGATTCATATATTAGTGCATGAATAAGCCAAATTATTACAAGGGCAAACTCTTACCGGGATGAAAAAGACAGCAGAGACTACGTATGCGAGTATAACGCCATACCAATGCAATTGCACTGGATAGTATTCACAGGCAAAGATGCCAACACCAAGCGAGACTAACAGTACAACGATGTACCATAGCGAAGAAACCTGTCTATACGGGGAGGAGTTGTTAGGCTGAACTTCGTCGTCTGACTTGTTGCGGTTGAACAACTTCAACAAAGGCGAGGTTCGCATAGCTTCCAATATTTCCTGTCGCTTTTCCAGCAGAAGCCAAGTGAATAGCGCAGGAATAGTCGCAAAGCAGAGACCGAAAGTGTTCAGGGCGTAAGTTACAGGTAGGTAAATCTGGAAAGAATTAGATCAACGACTAAACCTAGCGGCAAAGTCTAGAGACGTACCGGAGAGTAATCGTTATACTTGTGTAAGTCAAGCACAAAACCGTTCTTTTTGTTAATCACACGTGTGACATTGTAGACCTCGCCTTTGTTGTCGTAGATGGAGTTACTCTGTACAGGTAGATATGCAGTGTACCAAGTGTTGGTGTAGTAGATGACGGGAGTGATGATGTAGATCCAAAAGACAAGAGAGGCTAGAACGTTAAGAATTGCCCAAGTGGGAATGACCAGTGGCGATCCGATGTAAGCAACCTGCGCCCCTACATATAGTTAGCATCACGGTGTCATCAATGCTGAGAGAAACATACAGTCAAATGTTACTGGGATAAGACCCAAGCCACTCTTCATACCAAAAACTTGGTTCACCACCTTGTTTCTTGGGGCGATCCAGCACACCCAAGTGAAATAGCCGAGGGCAGGGAAGATGAAGTCAGGGAACCAGTACCAGATAAATGACGCCGAAAAGGCCATCATGAAGAATTTGTAGCGAGATGACATTGCGATGGAACTAGTAAATGTGATTAGCTATCGTATATTCCGGATTCGTTGGAGGGGCTGTCTTACCCGGTCTCTGTGTTCTTCTCGACAGAGTGTAGCGCGTTGTTTAGAGCAGTGTTTCCGAGTACGCCAGGCCATACAAGAGACTTGGGCTCAATAACCACAGCTCTACAGAGACCGGCGAGAGCAAAACCGAAGAGCATGGTGGCAAGAGTGATTGTAATTTCAAAGCCCCAGCCAAGACGCAGGCCATAGAAGACACGCTGCTCAGTGAGAACATCAGCACTCAGACGAGTGAGGAAGCTCAGGTTGGCAAGGATGTAAATGAGGATGTTTTCCTGCCATCAGTTAGAATCATGCAAAATGCATAAGTTTAATGCATCGCTATGTACCTTGTAGTTGAAAGGACCCGGGTTCAAGCTGTGTCTGACACCAAAGGCCGTGAAGCCAATGTCTGGTAGAACAAACTCCCAGACCTTTCCAACCGGATAGGCCAAGAATTGGATCGCCGATTGAGATAGTGTCACGGATGGGAAGCGAAAGGTGAAGAGGGTGTTGACACCACTTCCAAGCAAGCAGAAGGCAATACCAATTACCCACATACGCAGGGTTAGACAGGGCAGCGTAGGGTCATCCTGCCTTAGGCCGACGCCAGCTGCGTGCAAGATTTCACTATCAGTGATACTTCTCTCATCGTCAAATCTCTCCTTGGCAGTTTGTGCTATAGTCGATTAGCAAACGGTGGTGATCATACAGCCGAGCGGCGTGGCAGTCCACTAGACATACTTGTGGCGTCCTTGTCATCGTCAGAGTAGTCCTTGGCAGCGACGGTGGGGCGCTGAATTGGTTCCGCCATGATGGATAAGACGGCAAAATGCAATGAAAGCGACCAGTTGAACAGTCTTATAGACTGTATATCAACAGAAGACGTGAATGAGAACACTATAAGGTCGGAGAGTGGTAAAAAATGGGGAGGGCGGCCTAGAGCTTATTTATTCGTGAGGAGCTAGCGATGCAGGAAGGGTAAGCCGTGCTGGCGTGCTCACGCCTGGGGCGAAGCAAGTGATGGATCAGATAAGATAATTTTTTTCGTGTGCCTCGGCCATCCTTCTGTGATTGGAAGAAGGACCCAACAAACTAAACAGGGGCACTCAGCCAACAGCCTCGTTGCTGGACGAAGTCAATCAAAGCGCAATTGCTCCAGTTTTGTGATTCTTCTTCTTATGCTTGTGTTTTTTAACAGCTGATTGCCGTCCCCTCGTCTTACTGGACTCCACATCAGCAGCTGCCCAACGCTGATACTACCTTACAAGGAGCTGTTGATTCCAATTAGGGTTCTTTTGCACTTGCCATTCATGTTTGGCCCATGTCACAATACAGGCGTCCATTGGGTCCGAACCCGGTGGCGTTTTAAAGCGGAGTTGAAATTGATTTTGGTGACCGATCGGGGTCATCACGCCGAAGAAACCGGCAACGCTTAGCCGATGAATGAGCACTTTCTGTGGATCGCGTTGATTAGGTGCCAAATCAGTCTCTTCATTGAATACAAATGTGCTGGATTTGAATGCAGAGGGTTGTCTCTTAGTACTAATATAACAGGGGAAAAACAAGAGATTGCTTCATTATTTCGTCGTTGTTTTCATAGCCGGCTGCTGGTACCGGTCTCATTACTTCAAGCGTTGGTCTCTCCGTTCTTCAATTTGGTCATGCAGGACCCCCACTCCGCTGTATGTCATGTCACTTTCTGCAACGTGCCCTCGGCCTACGTGCCATTTTGAGTAGTCGCTTGCAAACGAGTGTCTTCGAAGCGCTCAGGCATAGCTACCGGCTTTCATTCCGGGCGCGTAAACCGCATAAAGAAGTCCTGAATGAGAGCGCTAGCCGAGATGTGTGTGGGCTTGTCCCCTGCCGCTAGCTGAGAAAAGTTGATGGTCGTAGAGGGCCAGTCGTGTTCTAGGTTAATAAACGGGTTAGCTCAATTATGCATTCAGTGTCTTACCGTAGTTGATCTTATCAATCTAAACGTACTCTGATCATCAGTCTTGTAGTGCTGCTGCACGCCGTCCACTCCCCCACAGGTCCAGCTGAGATGGTGGACGTCTCCGTCAAATAGATCTTCTTGGTGGTACGGGGTTTGGCACTGATTTCTTTCAGCCCAACGGTCCAGCCTGTTCATCTCGGTTAGTTTGCCCGACAGTGATGTTCGCTTGGCAACGCCTTAGAGGCGTCTGAGATGTCACCTACCATACGGGAATAGCCGGCTCCAAGCCTCCTTCGCCCTGACCTCCACCATATTTCACACTATCGTCTGCGCCTCCGTGGAACTCCAACATGGGTGTGGGAACACGGGCTGGTTTGCAGTCAGCATGGTTGGCGTCATTATTGGTGTAGAAGGACCCGGAAGCTGGCGCGAACGCGGCAAACTCGGCGCCCACGGTGGCATTACACGCAATTGTATCCACGAAACCTCCGCCGGCCGAGAGTCCGGTCGCGTAAATACGAGCGCTGTTGATACAAAAGTTTTGGCGCAAATCGACCAAGATGTCCCACACAAACTGCAAATCTTCCTCTACCGTCGATTTAGAGTAGCTGGCGCCACCCCAGGCTCCTCCCAGCCCATTGGGATAGACCATGATTTTATCACCTGTGTACTTGGCGTCATCAAGGCCAGTGTCTACCTCGAAAAAGAGTCCTATGCTGCTGGATCCGTGGAAGCCAAAGATGACGGGATATTGTTTATTCTTGTCATAATTACCAGGAAGATGGACACCATAGCCGCGATCCTTCCCACTTGATATCAGCGACCGTGGCTTCGTAATGCTGTTGAATATGTGCTCCTTGCCACACCCGGATGTGTCGCCACGCGAGTAAGGCTTAGGCTGCTGTGCTCCTGGGCACGACTGAGACAGTGCTAGCGACGATAGCGCGAAGGTGGCAATTGTAATGCTTCTCATGGTTAATTCGCCTTGCTGGCTAATCGGACTGTAGGGCGGTACGAAATGTAGAGAAGAGGTCTTGACAATGTCTGCAAGCGTCCTGGTTGCAGCCAAAAGTCCGAAGCGTAATGAGGTCAGCAGCCATGTCTCTTATGACTGGCTGGCTGGCTGCCTACTTGGTCAGTGGGTTCTTCCGGGGGCGGCAGCTGATCGGTCCGATCCCAATCAACGGAGGGTTCATCCACTGCCGCCTGATGTAATGCGCCGAAATGAGACTCTATGCGACGCTCTGTCAACATATAGAGATGTGTTGCATAATTTGGAGATTTTAGTCTAGTGGTCCTTCGCTAACCGGTAGCGGTTGCTTCTCCAGTTGACCTCTACCACTGCATCGAGGATTTTGGCGGCTATGGTGAGACATTGCTCCGTTTATTGACAAGATCGACACTCGCACCGTCAATATACAACGAAGTCTTCTCGTTGTTCAAGTAAATATTGACCAAATGGGCCTGAGTAAATACGGATAACACGTATAGAATAGGCAAGGTGATGTTCACAGGATGTATTGAACTTAAAATTCGCGAGGCTGGTACACGATCGGCAAAAGTGTGTCGCTAGAACCAATTTGCCAGAAGCGCATCCGGTTGCGGGTAGATCGGCCAATCCTTTGACATGGTGCAAGTAGATCCTTGACGGAAGAAAAAAAAGCAGACGACAGGTATTCTTGTTCATCTGCTATGCTAGTAGCCAGTCAGTCGATGCTCTAAGCCCCTATACAAAGATTAATTAGCGTCCTGGTTAGCCTCCAAAATATTAGCGTCCTCAGGTGTAAATCCAGGGACTAGTTCTTCTCGCGACCTAATTATGAAAAGTGGGCAGCGAATCTCCCACACCCCTGCCACAGCTCCTCCTCATCAAAGTGCAATTGGCTAAATGCCGTGATTAGAGCAAAATAGCGGCAAAAAGACGCCATGCCAATGCGGAAGAAAGAGAGGAGGCGGGCAGTGTTGGAGAGTGGTGGTCGTTTGCAGCTCGTCCAGGTGCGCCAGGTGCACCAGGTGGTTGGCACCTGGCGTTGCATCTCTAGCATCGGTTGGCGGTTGAACCGTTGAGGGACACACTGGGAAGCTTGGCCAACGCACCAACACGTTGACAAACTTACAAATCCAAAAAAAGCGGCACAATTGGATCCAATTGCGTCATCTAGGGCCACTGGATGATGAATATTTTGCTGCTGCATATTAATCGACGATACACCAGCGCAGTCACCGCCCACCACCCGCTGTGTTGGGATTCCTTCTGCAGCGGCAACTCACCAGTGACTGGGCTGAGACATGACAACGTGCGTTCCCAGCCTACTAACTAAAACAGCGCCTAGTAGGCCGCTAACAGGGGAATCGACCCACCGCATTCAGCTACGACCACCAACTGACCCGCCTGGACAATGACTCTCCCCTGCTAACGTCTGCCGCCTGCAGCGCTAGTCCCACAACGGAACCCGAAGCTATCTCTGAAAGAGCTGTAGCTTGCGAGCTTCAATCTTGCATCCCCTCTTACTTTGCATTAACTACGGAGCTCGCGAGGATAGGAGGGGTCTGATTTAACTCTTCGATTCGATTTAGTCACCAAACGCCGCACAATTTGATTTTCACTTGTCATAGGCCGTTTTTAAGCTCCCTCTGCATACAGCAGCATCTCTACCACCGCTGCCATGCTATCAGAGCTCTAGTACTTGCGCCGGACAAGTAACTCAAGCAGCCCAATCGAACTATACCTTCCCCGACCTCGAATTACAAATAGCCGAAAACCTTCGGAACTCCTACATACAATAATTCCAGTGGCAATTGCTGTCATACAACAAGCTTCTTGTCTCGTATACACGGAGCAATCCGCTTAGAATCAGCCGCTGTACGACCGGCGAATCGTGCCATTGGTAGCCTAGAAATCCTTCGGCTGGCCGTTAAACGATACGGCTGTATTAAAGGCAGCTTCAACTATCATAACTGGGGCACCGGATTCTTTCAATTACACTCTGCGTCTCAAGATGCTTACAATTACAACCAACGCTCCGGGAAGTCCGAATAGTCGCCGCCATACTAGGAGGCCGCTGCTACGCTGGGATGGCAAGCAGAGAAGCTCAGAAGAATGGACTCATTTGGACCATGTAAGTTCATGCCGTCAATGGACTCATTCTTTCTTACCTAAACTAATCTGTCAAATCAGGATCCTGAACTGTGGCTTGAGAGCGGCAACTGCCTCATATATCTCCACGAATCCTTGGCCAGCATTTCAACGCCCGCCTTTAAGCTGTCATTCTCGCAGTTACTGGGGAAGCGATGTCAACCGCTAATTAAAGGATTCATCGAGTTCAGCGGAGACCGTCACGAATTTACCGATGCTTTGGATGAATGGGACCACATCGGCCAGAAGCGGACGATAGAGCTTTATATTGCACCAAGAAAATCAGCTACATCGCGAGAAATGCTGCAGCATCGTCTTGCAGTTCGAAATCTACTTGCATGGGTAATGGATAAACCCTTGGTTGGCGAGCATCTCGGTACTGCCATGATATCTCTACTCCAGACAATGCAGCTCTATCGATCCCGAGGCGCAGACAACTCGACAGATCTCACGAACTATCTGATGGATCAAGGATATTTCGTCTTTAATGAGTGCCCTTCCCACTCTCTAGCTGCTATGCAATTGGCAGAATACTGTTCTATGGATGATTTGTATGTTCGTGCTTTTGCTCATAGTGTCGGTATGAGCGATCTGGCGATGACATGCTCTGAATATCAGGTAAGAACACCCACAGTGTGTTATACATCTTTGCTAACAATTAGCTAGCAATTGAGTTTGAGATCACGCAAGATGATTCGTTCGGTGTCCCACCAGACGATTGACCGCATGGAACGCTATTCCGCTTTGCTTTCAGATTTGTTAACAGAAGAGCTCTCAGAAACCAACCTGGGACTGCCATCACAAACTCGCCACTACTTGGACCAATTTCGGGTCTTCCTTACAGGATTCTATTCGAAGCAATTCGGGAAATACCCACCCAGCGTTTTCGACGCTCGCACACTGCGAATCATGTGCCAAGATTTCGCGGCCATGTACGATTTGCTTGTAGATGATGGTCCTGCATCTTTTGGTGCAGTATTCTCCATGACTACGGGCGGAACTTGTACCTTGCAGCTTATCCAAGCTTTCGAAGGCCGCCATAACTTCATCCCTTTAGACCACATTTCACCACTATTGCCACGGACAAATGCACCACAACCTTCAATACGCAGGCTATGGACCAACCGATTTGAGCGACAAAGAGTTCCCAGAGGTCTTGCCGCGCACACAGCGTTGATCAATGCGTCCAATTGGCGTGATACTACTATGAATAACGATCTTGTACGCGCCTATCGGGTTTTCGAAGGGTTAGACGTTCAATCGAATGGCAAAGCTGACAGCATAGACGTCATGGCTTTGGCCGAAGCAAGAAAGGCGCGCTGGCTCCTCATTTACACGACATACCAAGTTCTCCGCAGTGCTACGGAGCGCCCGATTCAGACGGAAAAAGACGACACCTGGTACCACCTCAACATTTCTTCGCAGGGCTTACCGCCATGGAGGCAGCCACTGGATTTTCATGAAATACGTCACAGTTCAATGGATACGGCGATGTGTGTAACGGATCCGTATTCTCAAGCAGAGGAAGTGACTGAATCGATAAACGTTACACCCGACATTGATCATTATACGACATTCCAGGAAACACCAACGAAGATAACCCGTCGATCGTCTCTAATGGTAGTGACAGAACGGACATCACAGGGGGTGTCTCGATCAAAGTCGATAACGCGGGCACTGGGACGTAACGGAGCTCTGCGCCGATCATTGAAGCGATCCAAAACCGCAATTGTCAAGAATGAGAACCATGGCGATATTTCACCTGTTCCTTCACCTATATCGAGTACCTGGATGCGGCGGTTCAGCTCTGGGTTTGCTGTAGGGCTATCGGAGCGGAATTTGGACACAATTGCAACAGTCACATCACCAATTGTGGACATTGACGGCTCAACAGTGTCATCACAACGCGACAGTCAGGCTAGCACAATTGAAAGTGCCAGTTCTTTAAACACGTCTGCCTTGCCATCGCCAGCATCCCCTGGCAGCGAGGCATCTGTGGAATGGGACGAGTCCCATTTTAGCACCTTGCCTCGGAATTCATCACGTCGTTCCCTTTCTCAGCTGACATCGACGATTGGCTCCGTTGGTCGTAAGGGCAGTATTCATGGCAATCGGCCCCAAGAGCGACCTCGTCGAGCTAGCGATACGGCACAGCATGGGGGCCTAAGTCGATCCCTAAGCCTTCGTATTCCCGATATTAGACGCAAAAGCCGAGGGCCGTCTGACAACACCATGTCTCCTGTTCAGGTTCGTGAACTTGATATATCGGAAATCAGCGAAGATGGGTGGTCCATTCAAGATGATACGGCAGAGTGGAATGCCATGGAGTCATTCCTTGACGGAGACCGATCTCCCGTCTGCGTACCAGGAGAGGGTATAATGCCCGCCTGGGAGCAATACTCTGATTTGGGTGGATTGACGAGAGTCTATTGAACAATCCTTTGGAGTCCTTTGTTTATTTTACTGGCGTTCTTTCCCGGGCTTTTTTTTTGGTTCCTACGTTTTTGTTTGGGTTTTGATGACTGATACCCCCAGAGTTCCTGGCGCTTATACCAAATTGTACTTTTTACCATCCTTTTCTTGGCGTTTTCGGGACTGGTCAGCATACCGCTTGTCTCATGTACTTTGTGACTGAACGGGTAGTCAGTCTTGGACATTCATTTAATCGTCTCTGTATTCAAATAAAGTGCACTGATAATTCCATTTATACCATTAGTCCATAAAATTGAAAGGGTATATACGACAACAACAGAAGATCCAAAAGTAGATATCAGAGCAAGAAAAGAATAGCATCTCCTGCCCCCTGTGAATGGTCCTCCAGTTAAGGCTTCACATATTGATTGTTTTGTCCGGCATGGACAAGGTTACACCCTACGAGCGTAAACTTAGTCGCTCTTAGCATGGCCAGCAAGACCATCAACAATCTCCTGTCCCAAGGAGACAATCATGTAGGTAGAACCGACGAGCCAAGCACCACTTTAAGTTGTTAGCGTGCGAATTCGAGGTTGTTGAATCCAATTAGACTTACTTGGGAATGATCCAGAGGAAGATGAGGCTGAGGAGGTCGTTGTGGCCAATGTTGTCGAAACCGCTGTAGTATTCGTTGAGCCCTGAAGTGGATAGTTAGTAATTGATACGTGGTAAACACGGCGCGGCTAGTCTGAGGGTAGCAAGCTTACAGTAGAGAAGAGTCTTGCTGAGAGTCATGACAGCAGCGCTGAAGCCGACAATAGCGGCGACAGAAGCAGTGCGGCTGGAAACAGCAGCCTTGACGCCAGACAGGTTGTAGAAGGCGGCAAGGTAGTAGAAGTACATGGCAGTCTCAATGGCGTTGAGGGCGCCCTGTGCGGAGGTGAATCCGTTGCCAGCATTGAAGGCCTTCCAGCCGTAGACATGATCGACTTCGCCGTAGAGCTTATAGGGAGCCCAGAAGGGCTTGTGCATCCAGCCACCCTCCATGGTGTGGGGACGACCTAGAACGTAGATGGTGTCCCAGATGACCAAAGGCAGAGAGATGCCCATCCACAGCATGGTCCAGAAGGTAGGGTTGTGCTGGAAGCCAGACGACGAAGCGGCATTGCCTGAAGAGCGCTTGGAGCGCGAAGGCGAGCTCGGAGTAGCAGGCGTTTCAGGCGCGGCGCTGCCGGCGCGAGAGGAAGAAGCACGAGTGCTGACCATTTTGAAGAAGAAGCCGATTAAGAGACAAGACTGATTTGCGAGTACAAATGTTAGCGATCGCGAAATCGAATTGTAAGACGAAGGCGCCGAGAGGTAGAAGATGAATAGCCAAGAACAGGACTATGTAAGAAACAAGACTGCGCGCGCAAAGCAAGATGCGACAGCGGTGGGCAAAAGCCCTGGCGTGTTGTTTTCCTAGCACGGGCCATGATTGGGTAAGGCGGTGCGGGAGCTATGACGCGGGGGTGGGGAGCTCAATCGACAGCGATTCCCAGTTGGTGTCTTCGGCCGGGAGATGTCAGACCCGAGGTACGTACCTTGACGAAACAGCTGCTCTTGGTAGGCAGGGACTGAAGATGTGCAGGATGGGGAAAGATCCAAGGTGGGTGTAGATGGATCGGAATAAAAAAGCCGGAGAAAAACAACAACGGAAAATTAAAAAAGTAAAAAGGCGAAGAGAGACAAGTAAGAAAATTGGGCGGAAGGAATTGGGGCAGGGGATTTAGCTTTAATGAGCTGCCGCAAAGAAAATGGAGGAGGGGGGCGATGCGGGCACTGGGATTGTGCACTGTTGTGCTGTGCTGTGCAGTGTTTATGTTTACAGTGCGCGAACGGGGGAACGAATACGGACTAGCGTGTGTTGGCTGCTAGCGACCACTGTCGTCAGTGGTGCCCGCAATCGCCGGACCCGGAACGCGGTCAGCTAGAGAGGGAAAGGAAGACCAAGCCAACCAGACGGGCGCCACCAGTGCGACGAACGTTATGCTTGAAAAATGAACAGATAGGCAAATGAAAAAGATGACAAAACATCAGAGAAACTATTCGACAGGGCAGAGAGATGCTCGCCACATACCACTGACTGCTCAACCATGGCGCGGCAGGATTAATTTGCCCGTCCCAGACGCATCTGGGGCCCTGAATTGGGCCGAGAGGAAACGCCGGGCCCTGTAATTCCACCCAAGAGGCTCCATTCGTATGCACCACAGTGGAAACAGCAGCAGGTGAGAGCGTTGGCCAAGCTCTGTATCGATTTTAGGTGGGCGATTTCGTTTTCGAAGTGTGGCCACGTGTAAAAGGGGGAATCCTTTTGTCATCTGACATGATTCCAGAGATTGAGAATGATACGCTTGTCGAATATGCTGCGTCTGTTGGCCTTGCCAGCTGTAGATGCCGTGTAAATGCATAAAAGCCTGTCCACCAGATGCAATGTGCCAAGTGGCAGCCGCCAGGTGTCAGTACGAAATGATGTGCAATTACGGCTCCTTCTGTTTCTTGTCTTTTATTTAATTTGTTATGAGAATGGAGATTGAACATTCTGCTCTACCAAATACAAAGTGCTACGAAGCATTCCACCATCTACTTTCCACCAAACGCATCTCCACCACTGGCAAAGTGCTCCGTCTCGGCCGCAGTGTTTTCTCGACCTAACGCTTCATTTCTGTGAGGATACCGGCCAAACTTGTCAATCAGCGCAGTGTGTCGAGTCTGAAAGTCCATTTGATTGACGGCAAGTGCCTTTGCGGCATCCACATCTTTGTGAACGGCTTGCCATGCTTGCAGCTTAAAGCCGTCGTCCTCTTCGGGGGTTGGTGCTTCTTGTTGAGCAGCAAGGCTGTTGAGATCTTCACCCATGAGCCTGCATTGTCTAATTGCCTCATCATGAATCAACCGATCTTCCGAATGCTGCAGTGGTAGGTAGAAAAAAGATCTATATGCCGACTGCCACCGGATCTCAGGAGATCTTTCGGGGATACCGGCTTTGACAGCAGCCTGGGCGACAGCGACAGCCAGCTTATCAAAGTATTCGAACACCACAGCAGAGGAAGCTCCTCTGTAGCAGTTGCGAGGCATTTGGTCCAGCAGCAAGATAAGACCGAGCCAATCCAAAGGCTTCTCCGGGCGAACTGCGTCCAAAACGTCTTGACCCGAAACAACATTAGCTTGTTTCAGGGCCTGTAGCGTGGTACCATATTTTGCACTAAAAGAAAGGATGAGCTATGTGACTTTTGTTAAGACCATTGGCACACTTACACGCATATCTTGTCGACTGCTTCGCCACCAAAGTACCACCTCTGATTCGCGGCAGCGCCGGGGACGAACAGCTCATGGCTATCAGGGATATGCTCAAACCAAAAGTCTCGCACATCTCGAATTACTGCTGGAGTAATAATGCTACGAAGCTGTTCGCTCATCGTGACTGTTGCCTGCGTCGCTGAACGTGGATGAAGCGGTTTCGGAACTGGTGGTTGGACGCCAACGATGGTAGGTGCAGCTGTAGTGTTGCCTGGCCTGCGATGAGAGACTCCAGAGCTGAAAGCACACGCTTGGCGGACTGAGGCTTTTCTAGTGAGGCGCTGTAATCGAAATCGGGCAAACCTATGCATGGTGATACATAGCCCAGTAGGAGCACGGAGCGACCAGAGATGACGTCCGCCCCTAACAACCTTGGCTTGAACATTGACCCCACCCCAACGCTCGCTGCCTTCGTCTTGGCTCTTACAACGCAAACCTCAGGTTCCATTTATTTCAATTCTCATCAATTCATTTCATCTTTAACTATCATATACAATAATTACAGCGTGTATCGAAACAAAGGATTCTTATCGTCCATGATGAGGAGCTCCTCGTTGGTGTACTTGGCCCGGATCTCCTCCTCCGAAATTAGGCTGCGTTTTGCATTCTCGCGCACATAGACATACTCTAAGGCCAGAATGATGGCGATGGCGGAAACATGCAGTCCGATGGCTAGTGAGTAGCCGGTATAATACTTGGGCTTTTCAGGCTCTAGGAACATGAAGCTGCCAACAATGCCTCCCAATGCGCCTATTGAAGTCGTGAACGCGACACCGTATGCTCTTTGCTTGTCGGTCGCCAGGTTGTTGGCTACCCATGTGCTGCTTAGAGGGTAAGTGGAGTATGTTCCCATCGCGCATAGCATCAGGGCAAAGTATCCAGTTCCCATTCGGTTTCCATCAAAGTTTCCTTTCAGAGACATAATGATGGAGTAGCCGACTGTGATAACTGTCAATGATGCGACGACGAAAGGCATGCGCCACTTGTATCTATCAGACAAAAACGCTGCAATGAGGCCTGCAATCACACCACAGATAAAGACAGGAGCCGTCATAAGTTGCGCTGCAGTGTGCTGGAAACCCATGTTCTTGATGATGGAAGGCAAGCTGAATTTGAGGCCATACGAGGAAGCTGAGATGGCCAGCCCGGCAGACGCCTGCATGTAGAGTTTCCAGTTGAGGAGGAGGGGTTTAAGAACTTGCCAAGTCGATCTTGTGTCGATAATTGTTCCGCAAGAGCCGTTAGCTTGCTTCATGCGGAGTTGAAGTTCCATGAAGCGGACCTCGTCGGCTGTAAGCCACTTCCAAGCATGAGCCGGAGTATCCAAAAGGAAGAAAAAGCAAGTGAGACTCATCAAGACTGTCATGGATCCTTCGATGATGAAAATCCATCGCCAACCTTCGTAGCCGCCTAGGCCGTCTAACTCTGCAATAGCGGCCGCGAGCAGACCGGAGAAGGCCCCAGAAAAGGCACTCATACAGTAGAACCATGAGATGCGACTTGCGAGCTTGTCGGGCATGTACCATATGGTGCAGATGTACGCGGCTCCGGGGAAGAATCCGGCTTCAAATACGCCAAGCATGAAACGCAGTGCCAGGATCGAGCCAAAGTTCCTGCAAACCCCGTGAAGAGCCATGCAAACACCCCATCCAAGAACAAGAGACCCCATGTACATTGACGGCCGGCTAAAGCGCTTGAGAAGAATATTGCTTGGGACATCCAGAAGAACATATGGAATAAAGAAGATGGCCAGAACAACATTGAATTGGTTTCCAGCCAGACCAAGGCCAGCAGACATGCCTTCAATCTTGGCATTGCCAATATTGGCCTTGTCCAAGTGGGCGATAAGGTATAAGATGGCGAGCATGGGAATCAATCGGATGTCAATCTATGGTCGATTAGCATTCTTATTGCAGAAGTCGTATAATATGGTATACAGACTTTGCGAAGTAAACGATTTCTTTGCTCTGAGGTAAAGTTTGCGTAAAACAGAGCGTCATTGATGGAGAGGCCCGAGGAACGTGCCAGGTCGACTTGGCCAGAGTACGACGCCTTTTCATTGCCATCGTTGGACTGGAAGTCTTCAAAGAAGACGGTTGGTTTGTCGCTTGAAACTGACATTGTAAATGATTTTGCACCCTCGGAAACTGATTCACGGCTGCTTGGGTATGCCGAATGAGACAAGACTGGCTGGCTGGCTTATATACACATATGACGGCTCCTTGCCAGGCCGCCTCAACCAAACCAAGTTTAGAGCTTTACCGCAAGAGGGACGACCATGCCGCCCCTGTAGCGTGGTAATTGGCAAGCGCATCTTTCCGGTTGGCGTATTTTACGCTGGTCAATTCATCATTTTTTTGATATTCTAGTATACCAAAGCGGATGACGGCTGCGTTTCCGGCCTTAATGCAGAGCGGTCCCTCTCAAATGTCTTGCTTCTGGATGCCTGCTGCGCCTGCATCGGTAAATAGGAAAATCGATATACTATGCACCCATAGGGGCTGACAATGGACGAACCGTTCACCATCTATAGTGGAGATCATCTGCCATTGGTGAAATGCAACGACGGAGAGTCAACATGAGTAACGAATACGACGCTGTCTTGTGTCCTGATCAGTAGGGCAGAAGAAGGTGCTGGAGTATAACCTATGAGATCTTTCAAGTGTATGCATTTGGAATTTCCTATTTGACAGGACCAAAGTTTAAACAAGCCACAACTTAAGTAAGTAGGTACCCGCGTATTGGGGGCCAAAGCGCACTCAATCTGCGAGTCGACGAAAGAGACCTCCATCATACGTCGAAATCAGGAATAACTGATCTCCACTTGACAGTGTCTATTATTCTTCTAGAAGCTAGTGCTAAGAGCGATATATTTTACGCTATACTGTGATAGTATCGTATCTACGTATGTCTCGGCCAACCACGCTCACCTGCCCGCGCTTCCATCTCCGAGACAGCCATGATAAACCAGGGCACAACTCTTGGCTATTTTGCTGCGTGGCTCACCATCTAGTAGCATAATAAGGCTTTTCATCTCTGCAATTATTTTCAGTGGCAGCAGCCGCAGGTTTTCAGGGCGGTAGGAGCTAATTGGCGTGGGTTGGTCGTCATGCCTTGTGAGTGTATCAGAGGCTTGGCCTCTGCGCCGGCCTGAAACGCGGATACCGCGCCTGGTCAAATACAAAGCCTTTACCGCCCAGCAACACGAACTTGAACGCCGTGACAAGTGTTGAAGGACTACTGGATTTTATTTTATTTTCTCGCTTATTTCGATGTGGACGATTATTCGTGGTGCTTATATCACAGCTTTGCACACTATGACGTAGGCATGTCGTGTAGATGCTCTCCGTCGGCTACCACCACCACGGGCACACGCTGGTTTCCCACGTCCTCTGGTCTCATCTGCTGCTGCGCATTTATCTGAAGAAACCGGACCTCGTCTGGTCCGACACTCATTCGTCCCGTTGCATCAAACTAGCAGCCCCGAAAACTATGGCGTCTCGCCCCCGTCCTGTCAGCGGCAGACCACCCATCAATCCTGCCGCCTGGGACTCGTTTTGCGCCACCTCGTTCCCTGACAGCCTCGAAACTAAATAGCTTGGGCCAATTGCAGCGCCCCCTTTGCCCCGCGGATTTCCTAGAATGTTCGTCCGGCAGTGGGCGGACACCACATGTGCGCGGTGCACTTGAAACGAGGCTCGTCTCCGCTGGGGGCGCACGCTCAAACTTGCCGTGTAAGAGGTTCTGGTGGTGCGAAACGGCAGCACCACGCGGGGACCCAGAATGGCGGGAGAGAGTGCTGGAAAGAGAATTAAAAAAGCATTGTTTTGTTTTCGGGCAAGGATTTACGCGGCCGCAGGGGATTCGAGGCAAGTCCCGTCTGGTTTTTCGAACATGATTTGCGTCAGGGCCGCTACGGCCTGGTTTATGCTGAGTGATGCAGGCTGCGCTCCAAACCAATATCATGGACTTGGGTTCCCGTTTCCACAGCCGTAGAGGTTTCTCGTCTTTTCTTTCTTCACTCTTCTTCGGATTTATACTATTTTTGTCGTTTGTCTGTTTTTTTTTTCTTTTCTTCATACCGAATCTTCGCTGGCGAGGAGTTTATCCAACCATTCATTTGTCTCCTGTTACGCTGGCCCATTCGACACCGATACAAAACCACGTTCTTTTTACAACGAATTTTTTTATAAAAAGATTATAAACGTTACGACATTACAATGGGTGCCAATCTTTCTTCTACATTTATCCCCGACACATCCAAGGATGTCCTGTCGGCACCCGATGCCTTTGCGGATATGCTGTTGCTCGGCCTCTGGGCTGGTGCTATTTACGGTATAGGCATGATTTGGACAACCTGTGCCCTTATTGATCGATGGAGAGGTCCACGAGATAGTGTTCGGGTTAGTGGCGCTTCGGCACTGGTAGCGACAGTCTTATCGGCAGTCTGGCCAGTAGTGTTATTATATCTGCTCATGTCAAGTTGAGCGGGTGGGAGAAGGGCGATGAAATATGCACAGGGGTGATGTAGGAATATTCTCTCGTGTCGAGCGCCACTAGGATTATTTTACTTTGGACAGTGATAGTGGTGGTTGGCATAACGGCGTTCGGATTTTTGTTTGGCAGCTTTGTTCTTCTCTGTGTTGAAAATACACTTTATTCTTACAAGTCTGTTTGTCTTGCTATCCTACTAATGTATTTCGTCGGCTTCGGCTGGTCTGTGAATCTCGTCGGCCAATAATGGTCTCTAATGTCTGGCCAAGCGCGTTTGCATCGTATCGCCCTCGACCGCTGGTATCCTTTGGTCCGTAGATGCGGATGGCATCGATTCCTAGCTTTTGTAACCTTTCCTTGTCTACTACCGGAGCAGTAGGCCCTTCTATATGTATAACGTGTGTAATGTATGTTGAAAATTCTTCCTCCTTAGGCGGTGGCAACCCACGCGAACTCGCACAGGCGTTGCAAATGGCGCGCATAAAGTCCAACCCACTCAGAGGGTCTGTTGAGGGACCAGATTCTCGATCTATGGTGCCATTAAGAAGTAGAATCTTGGAGCGAACAGCCGGGCTTGCGATGGCCTCACCAACACCCTTCAGGATAAGGTTGGGTATGAGAGAGGTAAATAGCGAGCCTATGCAGTATATCACGGCGTCTGATTTATTCAGAGACTCTAACACGCGAGGGTTGCCCGGCATGCGAATCTCTTGGCCATAAGGGTTGATATACCAGACACGGTCGATCCGTGCAGGCAAGTCTTCTTCTTGATCTTTGGAAAATACAATAGCTGGGCGCCTCAACGCAGGAAGACTGCCTGGTAAGTTGGCATCTTCAATAGCATCGTGCTGTTCTGTATCTTCTTCTTGTGTTGCGGGTGTATAAACCCCCGCACCAGCGACGGGGACCGCATTGGTCGGGGCACTGGGATGTGAAATGTCGTTTTGTCCGGTAATTACATCACCATTTAGAAGGCTGGCTGCAATATGCACAGCGAAATTCGTATTGAGGGCCGGCAAGACAGATGTCGTTTCTGGGACGTTGCAGACAGAGCTCAGCAGGTAGATTGCCGCTTCAAAGCTGCCTGTGAACAAGCGAGCTCCAGTCAGGAACAAGTTTCCTATACTTGCACCAGAGAAATCGAAGCGGCTAGAAGGGCGCATGCGCTTGACCACTTCGATGTTGAAGCTGTTGAGATATGACCGGATAAGCTCTCGCTTGGGTGAGGAAAAGTCGGCCCAGAGGCGATGGGTTCCTTCCACTATATCATACCATTCTGCTTTGGCCTCGGTGTATGACTTTGGTAAACGGTGGTTGAAGAAGTGTTTAATAGCGACTGTTTCCGCATTGCCGTCGTCGGGGATGAGACGGACAAGACGCGATCTGACATCGCCAATGCCTGCTTAATATTAGCCAACTATTGCCTCCAAGGCGGTTTTAATGCTGAGACGTACCAGGACCGCCAAAAACTCTAATAATTTCACTTGTGCTACCGCCGTTGTCGGAAATGGGGATAACGTAACTCAATGTGCTGCGATTGGCGCGGCGAACACGCTCAAAGACATCGACAAGACTGTTGGCTGCGCTGCCGCCAGAGAAGACAACGACATGATCTCTAGACAAACGACTTGGGCTATGATGCGAATGAAGACGCTGAGATGAGGCTGATGGCGACAGTGTTGATGGAATAGGTGAGGTGGCTATGGGTATCTGCAGCGTTTCATCGGTGTGCGACATGATGCAGAGTGGTTAATTGCGAGGAATTCTCACGCATGTGAAAATAGACTGAGTTGGCTATGAAAAGAGATAAGACAGGAAATGACGATGAATAAATATAAGCGCCGTGTGCATTGGGTGATGCGCATCCGCGAGGCTTCAAACAGCAAAGTGTCCTCGCGTGCGCCATTGCCCGTCTAAAAAACTTACTCCATTGGGCTACTCCGCATCCACCAACTTAGTGGATTTGCACTGCCTCTTGCTAGACTACTAAATTTATGGGGAAATAGTTTTATTAAATACTTACTAATTCCCGATTAGAAATTTGATTAAATTATTATAGAATAGTATAGAATAAATGTATTAACCATATATTTTGACACGTGGTTACTCCAAAAAAGCTTTTGGCTGGCCAGGTTGAATGAAGCCCGTGTCTCCCCCCACGTCTCTAATGGCTTGCTTGCCAATCCAAACGTGGGCAAGGCGTCTATCTGAGTGTTCATGGCCCAAAAACCAACTACTCAGCCGGCCAGGCCTGCCAATCTACGTAAACGCCCGTCAAGCTGCACAAGATATCTACGTTTCATTTGTTCACACAGCTACCCGCTGAACTTCGCATCAAAATATGGCACATGACAGTGGAACCAAGAGAGGTTCCCATGACGTGCTGGAAAGGTAACACGCGACACAATGGGCCAACGTTGTGGTCCATCTATTACCGGCCGATCCCCGGCGTATGTCCCAAGCGAGTCTTGGAAAATGAGCCATTTCTATCGAAGGATATGTATGCAGCATCCCCGTTAAAGCCGGTTTTACTGGATACTTGCCAAGAGAGTCGGGCAGTAGCGCTTACGGTCTATGAGAGGATGTGCCTGAGCAAGCACAGCGACGCGTCTCATGCATGGATCAACTACGACATTGATGTGCTGTGTCTCGAGGAAGAGGAGGAATACTGGTGCTTCTATGGCTGTGGTCCAAGAGTCAAACGAATCAGATTCCCAGCTCAAATAACTGACCAAGCTTGGTTCGAGTTTAAATCCGACTTGCTGGACGCCTTTGCGAATCTAGAAGAGTGCTGGATTGAACTGGTTGGCGATGACTAGTTTCTTGATTGGGCTGAATTTTGTCAATATGGACTGCTGCGATGCAAAGATGAGAATGTATATATTGTAGATGGCAAGACCGGGCAGTCGATGACCTGGCCTGAGATTCGTGCTCTCGAGGACGAGCGGCTGCGGAAGATGGGCGAAGAAGAAGGGCGATGACGGGACGATACAGAACGCGTAATCTTTAATTAAAAGTTCTATTGAAAAGATAAACAAAATGAACTTACTAATGGCCTGTGGCAGCGTGTTCTCGCCTTCTATCACACCGTGCACTATGCCAACGTACAAGGAGCAAATACATCCAGGGTTTGGTATAGAAAGGATTTTTATGAACTCTTAGTAATATATACTTGGAAATATAATGAATTATTATAAAATATTATAAAATTAATGCGTAGGCCATTGATTTCGACACGTGGCTACTAGTCCTGTCACCAAGGCCTATCCTACCCCTCTTTGTCGTATACACAACTCTGAGCCTGTCCAAACCAACCTACGTAACCCATCCTTTCACAACATATTCCACATCAATGCGGTACCCAATAGACCACTCAAATAGTACAACGTATCGACCTTAACACGCCCTCCTTCCGATTTCCCTGGTGCCGCTGTTGACTGAGTAGCTACCACGGCAGAGCTTATTGACGAACTCTTTGCTTCCGATTGCTTCGCCGCTGATGACGTCGCCGGCCCAGCAGTCACCACCGATGTTGTTGGCGTAAATGTCTGGCTAGCCGCCCACGATGACTGGTTATAAATAATCGTAGCTTTGCCTGAGCCGTCACCGCACGTCAAGCCCTCTTGGCAGCAGACGTATCCGCCATTGGCCTCGGCGCAGTACCTGTTCATCGGACACCCGCCTTTAAGATCTGGGCAGCACGTGTATCCACTGGGGATGCACCCATCGCCGCACGAAGTTTGAGAGTCGCTCTTGCACCCGAGTGTGGATTTGACAAGTACGGGGCTCGACGATCCAGCTGCTAGCGCCGCGCAGGCGACAACCATTGCTGCCTGTCTAGCCTTCATGATGTCGGAGGTTATGGAGGTTGGTTGTAGAAAGACAAGTCAGGAAAGGCACTAGCAGTCCACTACGCACCTCCGCACTGTTTTTACAGCACTGCAGGATCACTTATGCAGTGAGTAATGCAGTCATGGTTGGGTGCCAGACGCTGGCTGAGGGAGGCTGGCGTGGCGCTCCTCTCTACCCTTTCCATCACGCTAGCGAAGCTAACAAGAACAATGGTTTCCTATTCGCAGGCTCGCAAAACGATGACTTATCATCACGTCTCGTGGAACCTAGCACGCAATAAAACAAAGACTGGACCTCGCTAATGTCTGCTAGCCTTGAATTGCGCAACCCGATAACACTTAAGACTCGTGGTCGCTGAATTAAGAACCAACCACTGCTGAAACGTGGTCCTCCCATTCAGGCAAAAGTCGCCCTAAATCGGGACGCCGGCATTCGCTAGCGCTTACCATTGTTGCAGTCCCCATCGACAAGCTTTGCCCAGAACGCCTAAATCTGGAACTTCCCCAGACTATCCGTGACGGGGTTCGTCCTGATGTGTCCTCCTATAGGTGGAATAAATCCCCCAGAGCGAACCAAGCTACAGGCTGTAGTTTGAGGCTACTGTCTAGCTGGTGTATCGCGAGTGCACGTATCCAACGACATATATAACTCTCGTCCGCAGTCCATTGGATTCTCTCGAGTACTCAGTACTCCATCATTCACTCTTCCCAAACTACAACACTTCACCCCCCATATCAATCTTTTTTACACAATGCTTCCCAAGACTCTCCTCCTCGCCTTGTCGGCTGCCAGCACGGCCTTTGCCGTCAGCCCTGTCGGCAGCGGTACCTGGAAGTCCGTCTCGCCTGGCCACTCTGACCAGCAATGCGAAGGTGGCAAGGTCAACGGCAACGACTTCAGCCTGCCCAAGACTGCCAACGGCGACAACAGCGGCTCCGGCTGCTCCAACGGCCACTTGCGCGCTGAACGCCGCTACAGCAACGACTACTCGTCGGGCATCCACCAGTTTGGCGGCCAGTTCAAGATCAAGTCGTTTGGCGGCAATAGAGTGTCGCTCAAGCAGACCTTCAACGGCGATGCTGGACCCTACTTCATCATGGGTGTCGAGAACAGCGGCCGCCTGTACAATGTTGAGGGCGGCGATACCATTGCCGACGGCGTGGCAAAGGTCGGCTCAACAGTCACCATCAACACTGTCCACAACGCCAACACGAAGAAGTACCAGGTTTACGTTAACGGCGACCTCAAGTACACGACTAGTGCCCCTGGGGGCTCTTACTACGATAAACTTGGCGCTTACAACACGGACAGCGGCACTGGTCCTATCGACGTTGAGTGGACTAATGTTGCGTTCTGGACTCAGTAAACGTTTCTGTGTAGCAAATATTTGTAAATAGCAATCATCATGAATACATGCACATGCACCCGTACTTCTCCTCCCTCTGATCACTTTTTCCTTTGTTTTTCAAGCTGTCTTACTTGCGATGAAGCCACGGCATTCTATGCCGCTGGTGCCATCGACACACGACGCTTGGGCTATCCGCTGCATTCAGACAATCTGTATGCATACATTTGTGTCGCTCGCAAAACGACGACTTGCCTGTTGCATCTTCTATACATGACCCAGAAGCACAGACCCTGTGAACACGAGCTGCTGTGCGGCGGGAGTATCCGTGCGAAGAGCAATGCGGACCCCAAAGCCTCGGTTGATGGCATCCGGGCTCTATGCATTCGTCTATGCCAAGTGTTAGTACTCACTCCCCTTGCTCCAGTCCTGAGGGATAGATAGGATACGTACGATGAGAGCAAAACCAAGGCAGATTCTTTTCAGAGAGCTTATCAGCTGGCGCAATACATCCGGGATCTGCGCAAGTTGCATCTAGAAAAACATGTGTAAGTCGGGATACCATTTCCTGTGAGAATGGAAGGGACTTGCGTGTTTCGCAGTAATGCTCATACTCGCCTTTTGCAAGTTTGCAGCGATGGGGACCTAGACGGCAAGAGTCTAACAGGAGGAACTTGGTCAGTAGAGGCAGAGCTTAGGTACACTGTGTTTGACTTGCGGTCTCGACAGTACATGCTGGCGACTTTTTGTTGGCCGTCGTAGCTATATCCTCGCTTCTTAACGCATCCTTTCAACTGGCACAGGTGCGGATGGCGTTCCGAACTCTCCTTTTCGTTTTCGCACTCTCGTACCCAGTATAGCTTCTCGTAGCCATTGTCATCTGACCCGAGACAGAGGACTGGGCGTAACGTGTCAATCTTTTCTTTGCAAGTAATGAGTAGCGGCATGGTTGGGTTTTGGATGGTGATAGGCGCTGATGCCATCTCGTGGAAAAGCAGCAATATATAGAGAATGGTTGCAAACAAGAATGACACTCACGTTAGCTATCATTATTAACCTCAAGTGTAAAACGGCAGCGGCGGGTGCAGGTGTTCTCTTTTTTGTTTGATAAATGTGCGCCGCTACATGAAAGATATGGGATACTGCCGTCAAAGCCGGTGCTGCAAGTGCCATCGTTCACACAAAGGCTACATACACAGAATGATAAAACGCTGCACAAGTGTTTAAAAGAAAAAAGAACTCTGTTATTTTCCTTTCTTTCAGGTCCAAAATAAAAATTAAATACATTGAATAAGAATACTGATATACGTCACGTCAACTGTTTTTCCTCCATGTCACCATGTCACTTAAAGGCTGGCCTCAAGGACAAGGTTGCGCGAAGAGCGGCCGATCCAAATCTTCTTGGGGGCATCGGTGACGACCCAGTTCTGGGTAACAACATCCCAGTTGCTGATGTCACGGCGGGTGAGCTCAGCACGGAAGGTGACGGCCTGGCCGGGAGCAATGCGCTCAATGCGGTCGAAACCACGGAGGACACGAACGGGTTCATCCTTGCCACCGTGGCTGAGGTAGAGCTGGGGAATCTCGTCGTCCATGACCTTGCCGGTGTTGGTGATGGTGCAGGTGACCTCGTAGATGACATCCCAGAGCTCGCGGTTACCACCGGGCTCACCACCAGCGGGGTGCTTGGGCTGAGCAGAGTCGTCGCGGGAGTGAGGAGGAGTGAAGTCTTCGGGCTTCATACCGTAGTCGGGATCGCCAGTGGCGTCCTTGCCGGAAGAGGTGTTGTTGAGGTAGGGGTAGATATATTCGCGGATGTAGCGGATGCCAGCAGGGAAGCCGTAGTCCTTAAGGTCCTTGCTGAAGGTACCGAAGGTGGGAGCGGGGATACCGGTACGCTTAGTAGGGGTGTAGGGGCGGTCGTTCTTCTTGACAACCTTGAGGTTGGAGTACTCAAAGGTAGACCAGCTCAGACCGTGACCGAACTCGTAGATGGGAGCCTTGTCACTGGAACCAGGCTTGCCAGGGTCCTCCTTGTCGAAATGGCGGTAGTCGAAGAAGGGGCCCTCGGCGTAAGCATCCTGAGGAGCATCCTTGCCGTTGTTGGGCTTGTAGATGATGCCGTTGCCGTAGCTCTCGGTGGTAGCACCCCAGGTGAAGGGAGAGCGACCAGGGCTAGTCTTGCCGTAGAGAATGTCAACGAGAGAGTTACCAGACTCCTGGCCGGGCTGACCAGCCCAGACAATGGCAGAAATGTTGGGGTGGTTGTACCAGTCCTTAACGAGGACAGCACCAGTGGTGTGGAGAACAACGACGACGTTGGGGTTGACAGAGGCAACAGTCTTGATGAGGTCATCACCGTTCTTCCAGAGAGTCAGATTCTTGCGGTCACCAGCGTTGCCATCAACGTTGATGTAGCCTTCACCACTGTTGGCGTTGGCAAAGACGATGGCAGTGCAGTTAGGCTGGCTAACGAGGTTCTTGGTGGCCTTGGTCTGGTAGTTGCTGAGGACGCTCTCGTAGCGAGTACCGTCCTTGATAGCCTGGTTCTGGATAGCGGTGTCGGGGGTGATGAGGTAGGGGAAGTTGGAAGTACCAGAACCCCACTCCATGGCAAGAGTACCGTCGTCGCAACCACGGTCGTCGCAACCGTTGGGGCCCTTGGGGTTGGGACCAGCATCCTCACCAATGACAGCGATGAACTTGGGCTTGTTGAGGGGCAGGACACCGTTGTTCTTGAGGATGACGGAAGCCTTGGCAGCAGACTCGCGGATGTGGTTGGCGTGGTTGCGGCGAACGTCAACACCGAGATTGATCTGCTCGTAGTCCTCCTGGACGCTGGCAATGCGGAAGCCGTGAGAGTCGCGGGACCAGGAAGAGAAGCTAGTCTCAATCTGGTTCTCAATGGTCTTGCCGACCTTGAAGTAAGCAGCCATGATACGCATGGCCATGTCGTCAACACGGTACTGGGGAATGGTGCCATTGACGACAGCAACAGTCAAGTTGGCACCCCAGTAGCTGAGACCGGTGTTGAAGACGGTGTCACCAGGCATGGTCATATCGAGACCGGCGAGAGCAGTGCCAACACCAGAGTGCTGGGCTTGCCAATCGCTCATGACGAAGCCCTGGAAGCCATACTCGTCCTTGAGGAGACCGTTGAGAGTCTTGGAGTTGCTGCAGCCGTAAGAGTTGTTGACCTGCTGGTAAGAGCACATGATGGCGCCGACGCCAGCCTTGACGGCATCTTGGAAGGGCCAAGCGTAATACTCGTGCATGAGCTTGTCGTTGATGTTGGAGGAGAGGGAGGGAAGACCGTTCTCGGGCTGACGGAAGTGCTCTGGAAAATCCAAAACGTTAGCAAGATCGCACCAGATGAGGGCTAGGGTGTTGCGCAAAACTTACCCTGCTCGTTACCAATGTAGTGCTTGGCGCAAGCAATGGTGCCAGCGCCCTGGATACCTTGGACAGTGTTGGAGAGAGCCTGGCCCTGGAGGTAAGGGTCGGAGCCGAAGCCCTCAGTGTTGCGACCGCCCATGGCGAAGCGGCCAAGAGGACCAGAGGCAGGGCCAAGAAGGACATCGACACCCTTGTCGCGGGCCTCGGAACCCATGGCGTTACCACGGTCGCGCCAGAGGTGACGGCTGAAGTGGCCACCAATGGTCAAGGCGGTAGGGAAAGCGCTGTTGTAGTCGCTGAAGCGGAGACCGAGAGGTCCATCCTGCATACACAAGCTCTTGAGGCCCATGCGAGGAATGGAACCGACGTTGCCGACACACTTTTCGCTCATCCATCTGGAAAGTCTCATTAGCGGGAAGCTCCGTAACAGGGTAGACCAAACAAGGCAAATCTTACCCGACACCGGTGGTGAGGTTAACCTTTTCCTCGAGGGTGAGCTGGCTAACAAAGTTGCGGGCCTTGTTGTAGGCATCCTCCCATCCAGGAGCCTGGGGGTCCATCCATGGGGAAGGGTAGTAGGGAGGAGACGTGGGGAGATCGCCAGCGGCGGTAGTACCGTTACCGGCGCCAGTGCCATTGACCTACAAAGCAGAAACTGGTTAGCATTCTGAATATTGTCTTCTTTCCTAGGAGACCGTTTTCTTTGTTTGCGCAATTGGTGGCTCAGCCATTCCAACTGCCGTCGCCAAGGATCGCGGACGGTCGGGCAAGGGGGGCGAGATTGGATGGGGAACCTGAGCTGGCTGTTGTGGCGGCGATTGGTGCATGATTCGCAATGAGGCGCCGCCGATCGTGTGCGGAGGAGCCCACGGACGCCACCAACCAAGCCCAATTCCAGGGCCGGTCTAGTGGTGAGCGAGGGAGGAGGAGAAGCCAATTCAGCGCAAAACGCAGCTTGGGACGCGTTTCTCGAAGGATTGGGTTTTGCTGAGGTATGATTGATGACGAATTGAATGAAAATAGACGGCGAGCGAGATTGGGTCGATGGCAAAAGAAGAAAACGGTCTCAAGGGTAAATCGAGGGAGCAGAGCAAGAGAGACTTACGAAGCGGCGAGTAGAAGCGTCAGCACCGCCTGCAAGCAGGACGGCAGAGACAAGAGCAGTGGTCTTCATGATGATCAAGAGCTCTGTCGAGAGAAAACAGAGATGAAGAAGACAAAGCAAAGAAAGAAAGAATGGATGGAGATGAAGAGGAAGACCAGGGAGAAGAGGGGTGGGACGGAGCTAGATTGATATAAGCTTAGGCTCAGGACCAGAAATGTACGGCAGTCGGCCGGGGAAATAGCCCAGGTTTCTCCGAATTCGCCTGGACAGCACTGCCAAATCTTGGTTAAAGTGGAAATTATTGTCCCAGCATTTTTCTCTCCGCGTCATGTCGCGATGACTTTGCGCTAAGCAGGGGTGGTACTTTTTTTTTTGTTTTCTTTGGGTGCAGCGCAGGAAGGCTGCAGCACCACCCTGTGGAGCAGTGTGCTCTGGCGCTGTGGAGAGCCTTCTTGCTGCAGCGGGGGCGCCTTAGGCAGAAAAGGTACTAGCGTCTTTTGGCGGGTGTGGTTTCCCTGCGCCGCCGGCCATATTTTTTTTCTTTCTGGCAAGTACCTGGGGTTGGGTCTGCTACAGTGGACTCTTTCCGCTGTAGAGGGGTCCGCTAGACCACTGTGGGAGAGGACCGCTGGGGGGAGGCTTGCGCGGGGGAGCTCGGGAAATTTCACAGTGCTGACCAAACAAGCACTGGAAAGCAAGACAGCTGCCAGACAGGTGCGATTTCAACCAACGACAACCCACCACAAAACCACTTCAATCGTACGATATACAAATGGAAAAATACAAGCTTCAATAGACTAATGCACCCATCAATAAAAATCTCTAGTGTCTCTGCCAAAATATTCTGCCGCAGTGGCCCCGAACACCGCCAGGATACACGGCCCTTGATCCCGACGCTGCCCATCTCCACGTCCCCTACCCCAAGGTTACATTGCCTGTTTAATTGACAGCTTCGCGCGGCGATTCTTGGATTCCCCCTAGCCGTTTGCTGACCCGAAGCAGTAAAAGAGCTGCACAGGGCCACACGGCGCCATCTTCTGTACTGCGTGCTGCCTCTCTCCCTGGCGCGCAACACCGATGCAGTCCCCATCACAAAAACACTGGTGGTCTTCTTATTGTGGCTTGCGCCCAAATCGGGCCGAAGGTGTGTAGTGCACCAAGCATTAGGCGAAGCGGGGATCCCCTTCTGACTGACTCTCCAAATCGAACCGTCGAAAAGCTTCACTAGCCTAAAATGTGCCCCGTGGAGGAGTAAAAAGGCCGATGAGGTACTTTGCTGGCGCACGGTCTAATGAGCGACACTACCCGACTCTCCCCCACCCGAAAAGGAACCCAGAACTATTCAGGATGATCCGTCATCATCGGCCTTTGTGCGTTGTCGTCCCGTCTTGGCCTGCTCGCGGCACAGCAATTAACCATAGTATGCCGGCAGCCGGCTGGCACGGACGGCGAATACGGCTCTGTGTTACTGCACCATTTCTCTTCCACAGCAGGATCAAGCTGCTACGGCGGCATTGATATAGGCAAGGACCAGAAATTGGGCTTCTTCACAAGCTACTATCATAGCTGCTGTTGCTAACTTATAGCGTAGCGTATTGGTACGACTGTTATAGCGCATTCCACGTGCCACGGCCGTCTGAACGCTATCGTTAAAAAATTAAGTCGACACAGCATTCCCCAACGACTTTTTGCCCCTCCATTTTAAACTTGTTCAAAGATGGTATTCTATCGCTTAGAGAAAGGACATGGCCGATATCGTCTGTGCGAGACCCGCGGGGTGATATGCAGCTAAGCTCTCCCTATAACGCGTGGCTGCATACAGTACTTTTACTCTGCTGCCTCTGCTGTAGCCTTCGGTACGTCACTACAACTGGCGTCTTGAATCTGCCAAAATACCAAAACCACCGTCCAATAACGCCGTCGTTAATGCGTACTCGAAAGTGGCTTGTGAGGCGTATAGGCGAGCTTATCTTATCTCTGTCGTAGCAAACACAGCTGTCTTCGGAACATTTATGCTGTAATTTCCAGTGCTTGCGGAGAAGAAGAAACAAGCAAGTGGCGCAAGACGCTAAAGACGCCTCGTTTTGTCCACCATCTCTCCAAGGTTCTGGCGGGGATATGTCACGTCAACTGGCTGCTGACAGGTAGGCGTAAGTTACGGCCCGACTATAAATGAACCCTGCTACAAGTGGACTATGTGGCTGCGCCTTCTAGAAACTGGTCGTGATGGTAAAAAGACGTCATGCAATCTGACTTGGGAATATTTGTGGCTTGACTTTTTGTTGGAGTTGCCGCTATTGGTGTTTGGCGGATGTGCTACCCGATACCCGTTCATAACAACGGTTCCACGATCGAGCATAAAGCACACAACGCGAAAGACAGTCTTATAAAGCAGCTCAATATTTTATTTTTCTTCATATAAAATTGAGTAGCTAATTCATTAAGCATGCGTGCAGGCCATTCTAGCCAATCTCGTGGGTCTTAGTCTGTAACTTTTACGTCCGTCTTTGTCCATGGCATTCGGTGTTTCTCTGTCATTAAGCGTGTCTCTGCAACAGCCCAGATGCGCCACCATCCAACAACTTTTTAGCTACTGTCAAGCCAAGTGCCTCTGCATCCTCGTCACTCTCAACAAGACGCAGCTCCTCGGTGGATACATGCTTATCTCCAGCCATGTCGACCACAGTAGCACCGAGACACAGCTTGCCTCCGTTCTCGGGCGACTCGTAGTGTGTGTAGACGCCAATGGGCGACGAGCATCCGCCCTGCAGTGTTCGGAGCATAGCCCGCTCGGCCATGCATCTCCACCTCGACGGCTTGTGGTCCGCAGCCAAGACCAGCTGCTGCATCGCCGGACTGTCCGCCGTCACTTCGATGCCGAGCGCCGCTTGGCCGACCGCATACGGGAACACGTTTGCCTGGAGCCGTTGCGTGACGCGGTGGCCAAGCCCCAGACGGAGAAGTCCCGCGGTAGCGAGCAGGATGCAGGAGAACTTCGAGTCGGCGGCGTCGAGTTTTGCCAGTCTTGTGTCTCTGTTCCCGGGTGGTTAGTAAACCGCAAAGATAAGATAACACTGTTGTCTTCCGAAGCCGACTTACACATTGCCTCTGCACTCTTCCACTTCCAGGTGCGGCCAGTTCTTGCGGATCAACGCTCTGCGGCGGGACGAGCTCGAGCCGACAACAGAGCCGGCGGGCAGCTCGTCAATGCTTGTGTACTTGGAACCCTTGGGCATGACCACGGCATCGGATGGATCCTCGCGCTCGGTGATGGCTCCCAGCAGGCAGTTGGGCGGCAGGGTCGTCGGCATGTCCTTTAAACTGTGGACGAGGAAATGCACCTTGCCGGCGACAAGGTCTGCCTCGAGCTCGTTTGTCCACAGGCTCTTGCCGAGGTCTGAGCCACCTGTTTGCTTAGAAAGCTCGAGGAAGGGAGTGATCTTGTCCTTGTCTCCAGCAGCAGTGCCCGTCTGGATCTCAATCTTTGGCGCATCAGGGAGCTTCTCGATCTGTGCCATGACGTAGCGGGCCTGGATGAGGGCCAGGTCCGACTTGCGGGAGCCCAGCAGGGTGGGCGAGGGGTACGTGTGGGCAGCCATTGGAGACGAGCTATTGTGGTTTCTTCGTCAGGCTGGGCGTATGCGATGTTTCGAAGACGAAGGAGGCCGCAGCTGAGTCGTTGTGCAATCACGAGGGAATTTGAAACTTGTGGTGGCGCGGGACGGTGAGAGAGCGGTGGTGGTTGAAACGTGGGGACCCTTGGTTTCGCACTCCACTATTTTCTAGAAGACGATGGATGCATGATTCGCGGGCCGGCATTAAAGTGCTGACTGCCGTTAAGAGGAACAACTACTAAAAAAGAAATATAGAAAAATCATGAAAAGGAAAATGGATACTATAGGCCGTAAAGAGTCTAATCATTTGTTAAACATTATGTAGAGTATAGGATACATTATTTCCCGACTGCGACCGATCCAGCAGCCAAGCGTCTTTGTATACGGGCATCATCCACCACTACCGCGATGCGAAATTATGAATTAAAAAATAAATCTCTAAATAATTTGAGTCAGCTCTGATACCTTGTCACACTGCTCATTGGTCCACTTACTTGTTTAGTTTCCCTTGGTAAGAGCGCCCATAATCTTGGCAGCATCACCAGGCAGGCTTCCAAGGGTCTTGACGATACCTGAAGCAGCTCCCTGGACAGCCTGGTCGGGGCGGCCAGACATGAGAGAGTTGACAGCATCTCCAGGAATGTTCAAAACGGCATCTCCAGCCTTGAAGACTTCAGCAATAGCTTCCTGGCCGGCGCTGGTTACGCCGTCGGTGCCAGCCAAAGGGCCGAGGCCGCCCAAGTTGAGCTCGCGCTTCGCCTCAACGGGAGCAGCATAGACGGCTAGGGGAGCCATGACAAGGGTAGAGAAAACGACGTTGAACTTCATATTGATAGAGTAGAGGGTTTGAAGAGGGGAGTATGGGTTTGAGAAATGGGTTCTGAATGCGTACAAGTGATGGATGAGCAAACAACAAGGTAACCTGGCGGACACAGCAACATATTTAAGATCAATCCAATTTCTGAACCTCGTGAAATATCGAACGATGTTCGTATTCCGATAACAAGATCGCGCCTTCGTAAATGAAAGGAGCCCGCACTGACAAGAGTATCAGGTCGGCGTCGAATCACGAGATATCTCGGCATCGCCCATTCAGCTCACCAGGGCTATCTTCTCGGGCCCACGTTCTAAAGTTAGAAACCATTTTCGATATAAGTGATGCATATTTTGTGATGAACGAGCCGCCACTTTTCCAAGGGGCTCTCTACTGTTGGCGTGTTTTGGAAAGTAAAGTCGCATCGGGCGTTGCCGAGCGTGGGCCACCACGCAAATTATCGACAATCAGTGCGTCGCGATTAGATTAACGCTAATTATTTCGATGCATCTGCGTCTGTGCGCCAAATCGTAACCTCGGCCTTGGTATTGCGGCGCAGCGCAATCGTAGAATTTCAGCCCGCTTCTATAGTGGAGGAAATCTGAAACGCATATTCTATGCCAAACCAAAGGTTGTTTTTGGTTTCAGGTAGTTGAGCCGCCCTTCCGGTTCACTTATTCCCCGACGGTAACGATACCGACAGCTTACCATCAAGAGCCAAGGAGAATGTAGGAATACGAGAATTTGAATTTGGAATTGTTTGACATTGTTGAGAGAAAGGCGAAACCAAGCTAGTCGCTCAAGAGAAATGTGTACCTATATAGATGCATCGTCGTCCCCTCGGTAAACTTCCTGCCATAATTCTTTCGCATCAATTGTTTCTCTCAGATCGCATAATCCCGTTTCCTTTTACCAAGATACCTATTTCTATATTTTATTTGCTCATAATGCGTTTCCAGTTTGTCTCCGCAGGCTTGATTGCCACAACCGCTGCCCACGGTGTTGTCAGAACCATCGAGGGTGCCAATGGCGTTAGCATGCCTGGTCTTTCCGGTAAGAATCCTTATGTAGTATCATTTGTCTACCATGCTAACCCTCTTTCCAGTCGCCGACGGTACTCCCAGAAACTGCGCTCTCAACTCTTGTGGCTCTCAGGCTGACACTGCCATCATCCGTGACGCTGACATGAGAGGTGGAGGCGGCGCTCTTGGTAAAACCCAAGGCAATGGCAAGGTTGATCCCGCCAATGTCATTTCTGTTTTCATGGGTACATCCGCAAAGAACAGCGTCCCAACAAACAAGGGTGCTTCTGGATCCGTCGGCGTCGAAGATGACCTCAGCGGCTTGCGCAACCAGCGCCGTGAGGAGCACAAGCGCCAATTCGGCCAAGGCAGTGGCTTCTTCAACCTTCCTGGACTCGGAGCTCTGGGTATGGGTGGAAAGAAGAGCAACTTTGCAACTGAGACCATCGTTGCCGATACTGCTGGCGAAGGCGCCAAGAGTGGTCTTCCCACCAGTGACGACTCTGGTGTTGTGTCGTTGGTGTACCGTCAGGTAAGTTAACACCATCATGAGGGATTCTTTGACACAATTCTAACCTGAACCTCATAGATTAACCAGGATGGTGCCGGCCCATTGACAGCTGCCATCGACCCGTCATCCGGTGGTTATGAGAACGAGGCATTCCAGACTGCCAAGGTTACCCAGGATGTGCCTGGCGCAGGCATTGGTGGTTTGTCTCTTGCCACCAACACTGACTTTGCCGTTAAGGTGCAGATGCCTCAGGGTATGGTTTGCACTGGTAAGGTTGGTGGTGCCGAGAATGTCTGTGTCGTTCGTGTCCGCAACCAGGCCCTTGCAGGACCTTTTGGCGGTGCGGCAGCTTTCACCCAGAGTGAAGGTGCTCGCAAGCGCGCAGTGGCCTACCGCTTGAAGAAGCGATATGAATTCTAATCACTATAGACTAATGAGGTAGAGAAGAGAATAGTGTGGATTCCCCTGGAGGGAAGCCGCTTGTAATGTGTAGTAATTCATATACTGGTTATATGCACAGGACGGGCATCTTAAGCCCACGATATGGTTGTTTGTGTTCCCGGAAGGTCTTGGTGATGTTCGTATTCGTTGACAATAGTTACTTTGCAAGAGCATGAATTTATAAAGTCGAAATGGACGCGGGTAATCTGATGTAAGTGGCAAGCGTCTTGGTCCGGCGCACAGGAGCAGCCTTCGATGGCGTTTTGCTCCAGCCCCTCTTGTTCTTTGGTTTCCATGGCACCCCTGAGACGTGAATATGCCAGAAACACGGGCAAGTGTATTTTCTGTGTTCGGTCAAGAAAGTCGATAAGATCCTGGAGTGCCTCGCGATTTCTATACATTGATGCGCACATAAACATGACCTCAAAGAACGTAATGGCCTGGTAAATGTGACCGTTATTTCTCGTGTCTTCCATTTCCATTTCACAGTGCTTTTCAGATGTGAAGGCAACGTACGCGGCCACATCCGCTATGTCTCCACGGGATGGCAGCCTCCAAGGGGCTTTATTGATCATTGGATAGTTGAGCATACATTCAGGGTAATAACGGCAAGCTTCAAGAGCCATTACTCGTGAGTCCTCTGTAAGCTTCTGAGTCCTTCGATGGTTAAAGTGATCTAGTTTCTTTTCCCATATTGAATACCACTTATCACACTTTAGGCGGTGATGATATTCTGGCATATCTTCCCATTGTGAGGGATCGGCAGTGTAGATTGCTTTGGCGGAACCGTCGAGCGCATTACTAGTGATGAGCTTCATGAGAGCCGTATATTCTCTCCAAATTTCGTCCGTATTGATAAAATGCTTTGTGCTTATCAGCTGCGCGTTTGGTCGGAGAGATGCCTTTGTAGGCCCAAAGTTGTGTTGGGCTACCATACGGTCAAACATTTCAATGGCATTAATGACACCATGCGATTGCGCCACTGTTACATTTCGTGCAAGCAGCCTCTCGACATCCCATTGATGAAACAGGTTGCAAGCACTAGCAGCCTGTCTTGAGCCTTCGTCGTGCTCGCCTTGGATAAAATTTATGGCAATAAGCATGATGCTCGTGGAGAGCGCTGATAATTTTGCAGCGTCATCTAGAGCAGGCTGTTTGAGAATATCGATGAGCCTGAGGATGGACTTGTTATAATTCACCAAGGCAACTTTCAAGTACTGGTGCTCAAAACCCAAGCGAGGCTGCCCTGAGACTGCTTGTTCGTTGATCAAGCCAGTGTATACCGACATTGACGATACAGCCAGTGCAGCGTACCATATAGACGGCTCAACCTGGGACGAGGGCACCAAAGTTTCAGCCCAGGCATCGAGGATATGGGCAAAGCTAGCGATAGTTGTGGTGCGAAAATTGAAGAACATGTTTCGCTCCATCTGGGTTGAGGATTGATATAGTTCGGACCCTTCATAGCTGGGGCGAATGAGCTGGAGCCCGGATCCTTGCCGGCTGTTGAAGGATGCATATGCAGCACCTTCGCAAACACGTCCAAGCGCTACACAACGTCGGCAAGCTGGCTTGGTCTCGTCACATTTGACTCTGCGGCGCCTGCTCATATAAGTCAGTGTGGGTTACGGAATGCCGATGGGATGTGATGGTCTGGTTTATATGGGCGAACAACAAGTAGCTTCGATGGCCGAATAAATGAGGAAACAGAAAACGAAAGATGGGAGTGGAAGGCAACAATACGTATCATAAGATACGAAAACTCGTAACCACAAAGGGTATCACGAACCTGCAAGTTAGACATCCTGTCTTGGACTTGGTCATCTTCCTCCTGGGTTGGGGCCGCCCATCCGACGCTGTTGACGGCGATGATTCTGCCGTAGGACTTGTTTCCATGATGTCGATTGCGGCCCGTTCATAGGAGCAAAAATGCTCTTTGGCGATGCTAATGCAAGGCTGCTGGGTGCTGTAGAAAACAAGGCTGGGATGACGGGCAGAGATGAGTTGGTCGTCTCACTGCCGAAAGCCCGCCCGACAGTTGCGTACAGTGCGATCGTAGCCACAGACGCGCCACCAACAGACCTGCCCACACTGTACGCAACATTGTCTCTCCGGCCAGGTCGCTGTCTTTGATTATTTACTCCGATTTCGATATCGCCATGATCAATATTCTAAATTAACCGCCACGACTCACTCGTCACATTATTCTGCCAAAACTCTCCAAGAAACTAAAAAATACAAGTGCTGTCATGGCCATGGGCAAGCTGTTAGACAGCAAGTCCACGTAGAGCCCTATTTTCAGCGCCCGCCGCCACCAACTCGCTATTCTAAGTATGAATCAGTCATGAGAATGTCGGAAATTCTATTTTGACGGATTTCCCCCACTAGGCCACGCCCTTGGCGGTGAAGGCGTGAAACACGACCGTTGTGGGCATTTACCTAATGGCGTTGCAGCCAGCCCTTATACGCTTGGGCGGGTATGACCACTCCGGGTCTATTTCCATATACTCAAATATTGGGAAGCTTTTAAGAGATCGAAAATCCCCCTGAAGTATTATGTTTTGTGTCTTAGACATCCCCCCTCTCAATCAACTACATTAATTGGAGGCATGGCTCTGAAACCGATCTTGTTCCTTGGGCTGTTTGCCAGCCTCGCCCTGTCTCGCGCTACGAGCCGACAACCGGTGCTATGCCAGGTTGAGGCTATGAGCGATGAGCTTTGGGCCATGGCCGCATCTGCAATGGCTAACACGACTGATTTTACCGCTGCGGCGGGTGAAACCATCACCGTCCCAACCTATTTCCATGTAATCGCCAAGGGCCGAAGCTTGGAGGAGGGTTATTTGACGGTAAGACTCCACTATATGCACATGGCTGTGACGATACGTCTTCAAGAGATGCTAATTTTGAACTTAGGAGGAGATGATGCGTGGACAACTCAAACAGTTAAATGCAGACTTCGCCCCAACCGGCTTCGTCTTTGCCCTCGAGGAGATCAACTGGACCATCAACGCCGACTGGGCTAAGTACCCGGGCAAGCCGGAAGTTGGCCGAGCCCTTCGTAAAGGAGGCTACGATAGCTTCAACGTCTACTTTGCCGACATTGGCGAGGGCGGTTTCGCCTTCTACCCTCGCCATACAGCGAGGGGGTCTGCCGAGTTCTTCCTGGACGGTGCTCGGATTGGCTACCCAGCAACGTTTGGCGGTACGGGAATGGTGTTTAACCAAGGCAAGGCAACTTCTCACGAGGCCGGACACTGGCTATTCCTCCAGCATACATTTGAAAACGGATGCAATGCACCTGGAGACGATGTTGCAGACACACCCTTCCAAGAGAAGCCGATTCTTGAATGCGACAAGCCTGTCAAGTCATGCCCCAACAGAAATGACCTGGCTCCTCTGTTCAACCATATGGGATATGGAAGAGAGTAAGTTGATTCTCAAGAATGTCAGAAGAGCCTAAGCTAATGCCTTGCAGTCCGTGCCGCTCCGAGTTCACCCCAGGCCAGGTCGATCGCATGAAGCGGGCCTGGAAGGTGTTTCGAGAAGGCAAATAATGTCGTCTATAGTACATAATGCCTTTTCGCTTTGTTTCTTCATTTGATTTCTGCGTCATGTTTTGTTTTCCTCTTCCAGAATTTTCAGCGAGCGACTCCCCTTCTGCGAGTTTGTCAGCCCCAGTTTCTGTCCGATTTCTCTGATTTATGCGCATTTCTTTTTTTTTTCTTTTTTCGTATGCTCTGCCTTTGATTCAACATTTCGAGCCTACAATTCTCTGCTTTGAGTCTTTCTATTCTCGTCCTCTTTGCCTGTCCTTATCTGCGTTGCTTTGCAATTTCTCTCCGTTTGCCTGCCTTTTGCTTTCTGCCTTCTTTGCTTTACCCACCCTGCGCGGCCTGCAATTTATTCGACTTTGATATTTAGGTTTGCGAATTTTCTTTGATTTCAGCGAGCGGGTATTGTCATTGTTCAATGGTCTCTCTATGGGGTCTTTTTGCGTTGAGTTTTTGGGTCTTTTCTGCATCATCCTTCTGCATCGTCTTTTCTGCGACTCTCTTCTTGCGACTATTCCTGTGCGGCTCCTTTCGGCGTCCTCTTTCTTGCGTCAACTGTTTTGCGTCCCGGCTCTGTACGGGTTTCTTGCAATTTCCTTACTGCTTTTCTCTTATTTATCTGTTCTTCTTTTCTTTTTGCGTTCTTTTTGGAAGAGGTTGGCTGTCATGGGTGACGTTTGTTCACGTTTGAGATTCTGGCTATGGTTAGATCTGCTTTCTGTTATCTTTGATTGCGTTTTGGTTTGAAGTTTATAGGCATGTAAGTAGTGGTGCTTTATAACAGCGTAGATACACTATGAATGTACTCTGTTCATTTTTGTTATACACCATAAACTCCATTGAAATGGTAGCGCCGGTAAACATGCAAATGGTAGATTCATATTTTGTATTCTCTTTTGTAAAAGATATTGTGTTGATCTTCTTAAGTTGATTATATTGAAATGGGATGCGCAGAAAACTCCACCTTCATATATACCGTTACTGAGGCTGCCATGGTTGGCTCGATCAGTGGTTAATTATTTAAATATTTATAGTGAGTTGAAGTACTTGGACATCTCAGCGTATTTGGGAGTTCCAAGGCCAGTTACGGGGTCCCAACCAGTCGAAGTCTTGAAAGCCTTGCCACGGCATGTACCGCTACCAGATTGATCACCGATGGTAATATCATTGAACATGTTGGGATTCTTGTACATAGCAGGGTTAGCGAAGCCGATGGACTTCTTGCCCGCGTTGAGACGCTCTTCATTCAGTCGTGTAAGGATGGCGGCAAAAATGGGGCAAGACATGGATGTACCACCATTGTAGGAGGCCTCGCCGTCGAAGACGTAGGCACCATAGTCACCAACAGCGGCAACGTCAGGGAAACCACGGCCAATACGGTTGTAGATACCGCCATTTGTGGGGATTTTGCCATCCGTAGTGTTGAAGCTCTGGTAACCGGGATCATGGTTTGCAAAAAAGGCATTGACAGCTGAAGCCTGATAATCAGGAGCTTTCCAGATGGTAGAGAAGCCACCACCGCTGGCGAAGCTTGACGTAGCCGCCTCAGCATCACCTGGTTTGCTACCTTTGGGGAGATAGGTGGAGCCGACCGAGGTAACGTAAGGGCAAGAACCAGGTGTAGCAGGATTGAAGATGTCCTTGTTGGAGCCCTGGCAGGCACCTCCATGGTTTCCAGCAACACCTCCATCGCCAGAGGCAAAAACAACGCTGGTACCCTGAAGACCAAGTTTCATGAATTCATCACATTGGCGTTTGAGGTAGCTTGCAGGCCATATACTTTCATACAGACCATAGGAAAATGTAATAACATTGGCAGGCTTGAATGTGCCACACGACTCGTTTGGTGTCTTGCCATCAACCTTGGGGTCATCACCGCCGTCCTTGGTGCAGTAACTGCCGTCAACAGCATCAAGGAATTCGTTGAAAAGGCCTCTGGAACCATTTACGCCATAGTTGGAGTGAGTTTGGTACAAAACAGTACCCTGAGGATAAAGAATGGGGATGGCCATATCAAAGTCGAGGGCAGCCTCTCCTTGGGCATAGTTAGAGTCAGGCTGCTGGCCATTGAAATCGATGTAGTTGATCTTGGGCCCAAATCCCGCAGGTATGTTCTTGGCGTATAGGCTGTAGAACTTATCCAAATCGGATTGCGTGTGGAGTTCATCGTTCAACTCGTATACGCCAAGCTCGTTGCCTGCCAGCTTAGATGTAGCATCAGGGATACCATACATCTGCTTAATACAAGCTGGGGTAATGAGGCTGCTACAGTCCTCGGCCTCAGTATTGGTAATGTGCTCGGGAATAGGTGCAGACCAAGCAATCATCGAGGGTCTTTCTTCCTTTGTATACTTCATCGGAGCCATGGCAACACCAGGGTAGACAAAGTCAACGTGGTCAGCAACGTCGGTTGGCAGATGGTATTGCTCTGTGCCCAACTGTTCACTACCAGATCTGGTATGGAAGACATTGTACTTGGTATGCAAGACGTTTTCAAGCTTGACAACAGTGGTTTCGAAGTCAATCCAACCCTGGGATTTGGGGGAAGAGATAGACTCGGCAGGGATGCCAGCCTTGATAAGCCATCTCTTGACGGTATCGGCGGACTCCTCCGCAGGTGCAAACAAAGCCTGGACTTGCTCCTGGGTGTAGTGGTTACCATAGTTGGAAGAAGCAGGATCAGAGACGTCCATCAGCAGGTCCATGCCCTTGTCAAGGTTGGTTTGCTTCAGCGCAATTCGCACAGGGATGACCTCATCAGAGTCCAGAGTGCTGCGCCTGGGAAACTGAACGACCTCGCGCTTCTCGTGGACGATGTGGTCTGCAGGTATGGCCAGAGCAGCAGCCACGAAGGCGCTGAGAAAGATGGCAGCAATCTGCATCATAAGGTGATACGGTATCAGATGGGTATAAGAGTGAAGAAGGGGAATGTTTTGAAGAGTGGGAAAGACGGCCCAGAGCATACTGGACGCAGGCTCGGCCTACTCTTATAGTAAAAGGTTCCTTACCATATCACCTCGGCGCTCCCAGTCAGGGAAGCCTACGGAGAGATAGCGAGCTTCAACAGATGGTGCATGATGCTAAACACAATGTAGAAGGTTACATCCAAGTCCACATACCCTGTTGGGCCTAACGAACACCCCGCGCGTTGTATCACCACAAATCAGGATTGTAGATCTCGGCGTATATTCCATCAGTTTACATTGGGATGATTGAGTAGCATTGTGAGCAGACAGACATCCCAAGTATAACCTTGTTATCATGGCGGCTGCTAATGATGGTGCGTGCCTTTAGAATGTATTTGTAGAAGTATCATGCTTAAAGGCCCCGACAAACGGAAATTTGACGCCATTTTTAATGAAGGCTACAGTCAGCATTGAAAAATGCAGGTGTTGGTGGTATCGCTGCTTTGGTGGGACGGTTTGCATTCATGTGAAGCAGCGGAGAAACGACGTGATAATGGCCATGTGCCGTCCGGTTGCCAGCTGCCAGCTGCCGTCTACCACCTGCTAATTTGCGCGACCATTTCTGCCTAACTTTTCAGGAATATCTTTCAAACTGGGAAGACTTTAGAACAGTCGCAGTACTCGACATCCTTGTTATGCATAAAGCGTCTCGCAAACACCGAGGCTGCCAAACGACGAACCTACAACCTATTGTTGTTCTGTCAATGCTTACAAGCGAAAGCGTTCCGCGCAGGCTTAACGGGTTATTTCCGATGTAGCGGAGTCACAATACCCCGCCGGGGAGTATGATAGGAACGGTCTCCCCCACCACGCTAACATGCCTCCAATGATCGCAGACGATTCTCTCTCCCAATGCAGATCCCGACGCGCACCGTTGACAATCTGCGGGGCTTTTCTGGCCATGAATTCGACAATTCTCCAACCAAAACAACGAAACAAATGCTGCCGAAACGTAACCTGAAACGACTACAAACAATAATCGTCTATTTATGATATCCAGTGCCGCCAATCACCCCGCTTCGCCAGTACCGACAGTGGTAGCATCGCGTGGGCGAACTACTGCCTGTTTAGGCAGGCAGATAACGAGGAGGTCCGTCCGTCGCGTGAATACAGAATCAAAAGATCCTTGTGTTCGTCACTTGATCTGAGAAGAAGGGAACCCATGCGGTCGATGTGTTGGGATATCCCACAGCCAACGGGTCATTGTTACGTCCGGCAGTTTTTCCCGTCTTTCGAGACCTAGGCTTCGTACTATACGGGATCTTAGGTCGCTCAACTGGACTAAACATGCCCCGCCAGCTTAGGCCCCTCCCGGTTCAAAAGTGTGCAAGTTTAAATGGTCAATGGTTTGTGATTCAAATACTAATAATTCAGGAAGGTACTAAGCGTCCTTTTTGGGCGCACCAGGAGCGGCGGCGGCGTCCGCTGCCATCACGGCCTTGATAGCTGGTCTGCCTACACATCTCTCCCACCACGCCGCCACATTCTGGCGGCCGGTAATCATGTCAGAGTACCCGAACAGGAACAGCCTTTGCACCAGAGGTATATAGTAAATATCGACGAGCGAAAAGTTGTCACCGGCCATGTACTGCTTGTCCTGGAGGAGCCCTTCAATGATGCTGAAGAATGTGTCAAGCTCCTTGACCGCCGCCTCTACAACTGCTTCGTCCGCAGGCAGACCAAGGAATCGCGCCTTTGCTAGCTTCTCGAAAGAGATTTTGCTCGCTGGCGGATTGAAGTAATTGGCTTCAACGGACGAGGCTTGCTCGAAGAGCGCCATGGCTTTAGGGTCGGCGTCTGTGGGAAGCAGCGGCAGCTTGTATTTGCGTGCAATGTATTGGCAAATGGGGCGGCTCTCGTATAGCGTAAAGCCATCTTCGAATACGACGGCGGGCACCTTTCCCCAGGGATGGCGCAGCATATTTTCGGGAGACTGCGAGTTTCGTTTGTTAACATTTCTCTATTCAAACAGCAATAAAGACGTGGAGTTGCCTACTTTGTGGTCGCGCTTGGCAAAGTCCAATTGAACTTCCTTGCAATTGGTAAGGCCGCTCTCGGCGATGACAAGGCGCACACGGTCCGCATTGCTAGAACCGCGAGCACCATAGAGTGTAAAGTCGGTCATTTTTTGTGTTGATGAATAAGATAAGGAGCAGCGCTTAGAGATTTGCGTGATGGAGTACAGTGGAAGTTCTGGTGGTGAGAGTAAGTGGGCGAGTATAGGTCTGCGAGCGATGAGCCTGAACATGTGTGAGTGGATGAGATGTAAAAAGAAAGGGCTTTAGAGGATGTGAGAGGCTTTAAATAGCCAACAAAAAGAGTCTGATCAGCTTATAAACTAATGATGCGCTTAGAAATCCCATTCACGCCCATCTGCATGGCGTGTCACTCACTGAGCAACAGCGCTGAAGGCTGTGATTGGCTTCATCGCCATCGCTTCCTAATCGGGACTAGTCTCGCCTTTCAGCCTTGTCGCGAATTGTACAGGCGAAGCCCGATGCTGCAACATTCAGAGTCGGCGCGCGGAGACATTTTGTTGCGTCGTGCTCTCTCGTGCCGACGAGGATTACCGATAACGTTGGAAGTGGCTAATGAACCTTTGTGTTTTGGCGTTTAATGCCCTGCAAGGCTGACATCTCCAAGCAATGTCCGGTCACCTTTTGCACGCTAGCGCTGTGCCAAAAGCTAGGCGGGGTGTGAAGACTGGTTGCGTAACTTGCCGGTTCGTTAGAATTCGAGACAACGTATATACCATTCAGAATAGTAACTCATACTAATATTTCATCTATAGAAAGCGCAAAATCAAATGCGATGAAGCCAAGCCAGCATGCCAGAAGTGCACTGCAAGCGGCCGCACCTGTGACGGCTACGATAGCATGTTTAGATTTGTTGGTGTGGCGGCGCCTTCAGTTAGTCCAGCTGGTACATCTGCAGTTCAAGAGTCTCGAGAAAACTCAGTCTCTGCCAGAGATATCGAGCGCCTAAACAAAGACTTTTCTACCAAGACTCTTTTCCACAGTGTATCCCTGAACTGCGCCGAAGAAGCCCAGCAAATTTTACAAACCAGTCTTACTGACCCGAATGTACGGCAAGCAGTTGCCTCATTACGAAAACTACGCCAAAGCATCGAAACAAGTCAAGATGTTACTGCAGGTGATGCCCCAAGCCCTGGCTACGATGTGGGAATTCGACTGTACTGCACTGCCTTAGGCGGCCTGGCCTCGAAATTATCTTCATCCGGCATAGAGCAAAGCGAAATCAAATCGGCTCTGCTCTGTTGCGAAATGTTTATTAGTATCGAGCAGTCGCGTGGTAATTTTTCAGCTATGGCTCAGCATATCATGGGCGGCTTGCGCATTATGCACGAACAACGAGCACGTCCAGGATTTGGAGACCAAGTCGCAGGAGAGCAGTCATTTATACCAGCCCAATGGCCTGTTCTACCATTACTGGACATTTTTGTCATAAAGTTGTTTGCCGCGCCGTGCAAATATGCAGACCTTGTCGCTGCGGGTGTAAGTGTCAAGGTGACACCTTCAGACGTGCCAGCTACACAGCATGCGCGAAAACTGGTGCCAAATATGAAAGCACAGTTAACAAAAATTGCGGAAAGTGTTATTTCATTTCTCAACCAAGTTTCCCAACTACAATCGGCCGCAGCTGCCCCCGAGCTTCTGTTAGAAAAGAGAAATATATTAGCATCGCTGGTTGAATGGGCGACTGCTACTAACTTGATCGAGAAGGAGACTCAGCCAATCGGAAACGAGCTTCTATCACTGCAATTTGCACAGCTATTATATGGAATACTGCAAATCATTGTTTTGAGCGCACTAAACTCATCGGCCCAGCTATATGAGCAGTTGCAAGATGAGATAAACAAGGTCCAGCGAATGGCTGCGCTTGTGACGGCAGGTGTCGCTGAATTCAGGACAAGGAATGACGACACAATCAAAGCCAGAGGATAGTGCATGTTGATTCGTTGCATTCGGTGACTTTGCAATCTCCATCGCTAAAGTTGGCCCAGTGAAGCCCCTGTTTGGAGTTTGGGGCCCATCGAGGTTCCCGCGGGCTCAAGCAGCATGCTCCAGGCACGACACAGCGACCCGACTAACGACGACTATTAACCATTGTCGTATCGTCGGCTACCAGCTACCTCACGAGCCAAGCAGTGGATTTATGGCTTGTCGACCACTGTATTGTTCTGGCAGTGGGTCGTAGGATTCCATCTACCTGTGTGCCCAGATAGTAGAGCGAAGAATCTAATGCAACCTGGCCAAGAGCTAGCGTCAGGGTCCCATAGAACAAAAAGACAAGCATTAAGTTTATGAATAGCACGGTTGCCGATGCATAGCTCGTTCTAAAACACAACCCTAGACTCATATGATAAGGCATGTTTTAGGTTCCTGTAATGAAAGCATGGGTGTCCATAAGCGGGCTTAGCGCCGGCGGTAACTAAACTGGGACTAAGTACGGATGCGCAGGCATCCTTGGGGCAGAGATGGTTAATTTTGTAGGCCGTGTGCAAACTGTAAAATCCAAGTATTGAAGCTATTATGAGAATACATCTATTCGGACTATTGGCCGGTCGTACTACTGGACGATTAACTGCCAGTCTGATATATGCCATATTGCATAACTACACCTGATAAATGAGAGTTATTACGCATACGTGTGTGCTTAGAGCTTAAACAAAATGTACAATAATATATTTATATACTTCTCACTTGCTGTTTTTACATGCTATATCGCATTCGCAATAGCATTTAAGAGGACGAGACATACTTATCAGTAGCCTTGCCAGAGACCTGCTTGCCGACGTTGTCCTTGAAGTACTTGTTGTTGTCGCCCTCAATGTTGCCCTGGGGATCGTAGAAGCAGCTTACCAAGACACCGTATGAGCACTTGGTGTAGCCACAGCCCAGAGAAGTGGTATCCTTCCAGACGAGCTGTGTGAAGTGACCGGTGTCGTCGGAGTAGCCAGTAGGCCTGTTGAAGTCATACTGAGTGCGTTCACCACCCCACTGGTTGATGAAGCTAGCCCAAGTCTTTTCGCTGTTGTACGCAAGATTCTCGCCGTAGGGTTCATCCTGATGAGTGAAGTAGGATGGTTAGCGTTTGCTGGCTGCTGAATGAAGAGAGGGTAAGACTTACATCGTGTTCGAACTTGCAAGAGTTGATCTTCTTCTGCGCTAGGCCAGCCAGCTTGGTGCTCCACTTGAGGTCTTTGGCGCTGTGCTGCGAGCGATAGAAGTGGTGTCCCTTGAGCATCTCATCGGTAAAGTTGCCATTGGGAGCTTCAATGGGCTTGGGGGTGGAAGCAGCAGGCTTAGGAGTGGCAACGGCCGATCCGGCAAAGAGTGCGGCGGCGGCAATGATCTGAGAGACCTGCATAATGAAGAATAGAACAAGCAAGTAAGTAAACCTTGGTTGGATTGAGGAGAGAGCAGACACGCTTCACGAGGCGACGGATAGGTCTATTTATGTATGCGTTTACATGCGATGGCCCCTCCACGGGGCCTGTTTACTGGTTAACGATTGCGGACAATAGGGTCCGGAAATACAAATTCACAATGGCACAGGAGGATCTGGAGAAACAATTCTAGAACCCCTGGGCACTTCGGCATATCTGGACAAGCCAACAGGCACAGGATACGGACGATTAGGTTCTCCGCAGCGTAACATCTCAGTGGAGTCAGATACTGGCTTTCAAATGGAGTTTGCCTACAAGGTACCACTGCTTACTCGCCAGCTAACTCCTTTGGTCTTTCGTTAGCCTCTGCCGGTAGGCTATTTCTTTTTAACGGAAGCCGCCTTGGGCGCTATCGCTCTACGCTTGCCAATCACAGTCTGCGCTGCGCCGTATACCTAGCCTATAAACCACCGTTGACTATCCACTGTGGGCTAACTGAAAAAAATATCGTCCGATGTGACTTTGGGGGGCTACTATTAGGGTCTAGCCTCTGAATCCCAGGACGGGAACGGGTCCTACGATGTCCGCTCTGGCTGAGAAAGAGGCACAGACCCATGACTCTTACAGGAGTTGGGAGCCAGGTCAATCAATGTTGTGTATTTTGTTTGCTTGTTGCTTAGGTGCCGTAGTCGCCCTTGTTCGATGTAAGCGCTTCATGGGAATCCAGGCAATGACGTACATGAGAGATGAAGAACAATAAATCAGAATAATCCACTCTTATCTTGAATCACGAAAACTAAAATAATAAAGTTAATCCCGCTATAACCCATAATTCAACGACTCGGTTCATCCGACTGGAGCCCCGTATATGGATCCTCACACAACTCTCGGCATCCAAACGGGGACTAAATACAGGGAATAAAACGGCCAAAAAAAATAAAATAAAAACATACAACAGCCGGTGTTCGCTGGTCGTCACCGACCCAACTACTAATCTGCCGATTACAGGCTTGTCTATGGGAGAGCGGACGGGATCCCGAGTTCTCCTGTATCTATGGTCGTATGTGCTAGATTACAACATAAAGTAATATATATAGCTATTACGTCTTACCAAGCCCATGAATACTGCGGCGCCCTGCCCTCTGATATTATACCCTTCTTTTTCTTCGTACTTTCGCTCCTTGACCCAATGATCAGATGAGCCAATGTGTAGCAAGCCTCTAGCAGGCTGTATTGTGACGTTCTCTAGATCCATCCAGGTTTTCCCTAGTATAACATCATCTTGTTGATTTGGGATGATGTAAAAGAAAGACCGTTTCTCCGTATATCCGTCGATATCTAGGTCGACGTATGTCACGGTTTGTATAGCCCCGTGTAGCGTAGTACTGATCTGTTCGAGCGATCTAGGGGTGATGGGATTACGCGGCAAGCAAAGCTTCTGCGCTAATCGAGAGCTGATAGTTCCATAGCAAAGACATCCGGAGTCAATAAAGGCTCTTGGATAATACTCTTGATTGATTCCCATGTTGATGTAGATACCTCGACTATCCATTCTCTTCTTTAGCTTGTTCCAGTCATTCTGAGCTTGGTTGTGCTCCTGACGGCGCTTTTGGTCAGGAGCTACTCGTTTCCCGACTCATACTCGCTATTTGAGTCGTCTGAACTGCCTAGATCGTCGTCCTCTTCTCGAGAGAGTTTCTCTTTCGACTTGCCTTCTACAATTCGTGTTTCAGGCTGTGATTCTTCTTTGCCCTTTCTATTGGTCTTGCAATATCGAGCGATATGGCCAAGCTTGCCGCAATTATAACACTCTGGGGTGTACTTAGGTTGCTTTGTTTGTTTGTTGCTGTTTAACTTTCCAGCCTTTGTAGGCTGCCAATCCATCTGGTTGCTACCTGTAGCACCCTGGTTGTTTTGTTGGGGCTGTTCTCTTCTGGGTTGGTTTGGGTGGTAGTTACTGTTGCTCTCCTTGGGGTCTGGATTCTGTTGGTATAAACTTTGGTGTCGAAGCTTGTGGTTACGGAAGCGCTAGCCTTCGATATTAGCTCCTAAGCTCTGTAGAACATTGACAAAGTCCGGATAAGTTGTCGGTAGAGCGAGCTGGCTGATAAGGTGGCCTTCCATCTCTTGATTTATTACTCGTCGTAGAGAGTTGATCTTAATCTCGTCATCCCAATTAGATCCTCCACTATCTGCTAGTTTTCTTTCGAATCGAGGTAGGAAAGCAGCAAAGCTTTCTTTATTGTTCTACCTCATTGTCTCTAGCCGGTTTAGAGCTCTTTGTTTGAGATGGGGATCTCCATAACAGCTAACACGGTATGCCGTGAATTCGACGGGATTATGGCTGCTATCGCTTCCTCCTTTTTTGAAGTAAGCAGCTGCTAATGACTGGGGAGTCTGGTCTGATCTTGCATAGATATAGGCGAAATGGTCCTTAGAGTTACCGAGTGCTGGCCCATTAACTCGAAGCTTGCTTTCCATTGCTAGCTGCCACACTGGAAGTTTCTTCTATTTCCATCGAAGAGTTTCGGGTCGGGGAGAGTTGGCTTCTTCTTAATATAAATGATGTTTTGTTGTTGAGACTTATAAAACAGTTTCAAAATTTCTCATCGAATTTTGGTGGTAATAGATGACAATCTTCATAGCATACACGAAACATGACCTGCGGTATAACCTTCCACATCCTGGCTCGTTCCAGTACGACCCATGGATGAGATTCAACCAACGTCTGTTTATCGCTACGTATGCTGGTTTGAAGCGGTGTGCACGGCGGTTCCCACGCTTGATACATGCTCTGCAAGTTGCCAGGGCGTGAGCCATTTGCAATCTTATGTCGGTGAATAGCCCATGTGTGCGCGAGGATGATCCAGTCAAGCGCGGCTTGCCATTCTCGCACCTTTGGGACAAAGGATGCATCCAGAATCCTGTCGAATTCCCAGATCCAGTCCCCCTTTTTATCCTTGTATCATTACCTATAATAAGCTCTGCAAACGCTCGCAAGCGATCTGTGTCTTCCACATCGACAGCCTGCACCATTTCATCGCCAAGTAAACCAAAGAGCCCGGATGCCCTTGCGACATCTGGTAGTATATGGAAGCAGAAGACAGATAACTGCGCATATAATGTCGTCCCGATCCAATCTTCATTGTCCACTAGGGCGTTGTAAACACTCATTAGCTCTCTCGGCCCGAGTATAGCCGTGTATGGCACTACTTCCATAGGCATTTCATAGGCTTCAAGACGAGGACGAATATCCCCATAAACAAATGGATATAAATAGTCCGCGGAAATAGATATTTCAAAAGGAAATCTAGTAGAATAGTCATGAACTTGAAAGTCAAGAGTATTTACCGCCTCCTGGTCGAACTCTTGGTAGTGGGTGATATTGAACGCCCTGTCGAGAGCAGGCTGTACCCAGGTAGGTGTTCTATTGCGCCAGTCAAACTGTTCCACATGGCCCATCTCTTGCGCAACCTAGGCGGCCTCGCGACAGACACTCATTATTCTTGGCGGTGACCCAGGACGTTCGTTTTTGGAATCACGCGGATTGCACCGTCCGCTGTAACCTGCTCTCGGCCGAACGATGTCTGGAATGGAGAGTTTTCATGTTGGCTGTCAACGAGGCTGGCCGTTTGAAAAGGGTGCAGAGAGCCTATATTTATATAGCGTATTCCATAACTGACCAGGCCATTATTTCAAACCTGATATACGAAAAAGATAATTCGAAGGAGTTGACTCCCTATTTCTGTCTATATTTTATATTTTTATTTTTATTTAGTATTGAACATGTTGTGACTATTGTGACATTGGACGTGCGTTACTTTGCCAGAGAAGTGAAGGAATAATTAAGTCACTGGAAGTGGCCAAGGAAGGAGAAAGAAGTGGAAGACACAGGAAAAGGAAGTGAATACAGGATGTATTCGGTAAACTTAACTCGAGCAGTTCCGACCATGGAACTTAAAAAGAAACACCGAATTTTACTACAACCTCTTACCTTTTGATAACACGTGTTATTGATCCTTGAACCAACAGAATACCTTCCAAGTAAGACGCAATCCGCTATTTCAAAAGAAGGTCACGAAAACATCCAAGTCAGTGCAGCAAACACCTTTCCCGCTATCCGTCTACATGCCTCGCCGCAACTTTTTAATAAAAACTTCTCTATGAGCTACAAGTGGGCCTTAAATTCTCTTCTGCAGACATACTGCTAATCATAGCTTTAAATAGAACCTTTATAGAGGTCAGTAAACCACATTTCCATTGTAGGGTAGCCTCAGCCACTCGGCGTGTTGGATGCACCGAACGACGCTAATCATGGCGGAGGTCCGGCAAGCCACGCGGCGGCCGGCCGGTTTAATGCGCCGAGCTGTGATCTACGACCGCCTCGTAGCCCAACAGGGCGCCTTATAAAAAAAGAACCGAAGAGCTGATAGCCTTATGCCGTAGAACATTGCCGAAGCCATTTTCGAATTTGGACGTTTGGCTGTGGCGGAGCAGCCCTGGTGAGGCCTCTTGCCTCAGTCGTAGGGCAAAGAAGAGGCACGATGCTTTTTCAATACTGGCTAAATGCAAGGTCGTTATGGTGATGATTTGGAATTGGCCTAGCATGCCCTTGGGTAGCCCGTTGAGTTGGATAGGTATATAATACGGTAACTGAGCCGCCCAGACGCATCATACCATCCATTCATTCACTTATAAGCGTTTCTACACTCGACAGACCCCCATCCACCATATCTATCAAAATATCCACCAATGCTTTTTGAATACTCAAAGCTGCAGGCACTACTAATCTGTGCCCCAGTCACAATGGCGGCTGCAACGATCCGCATTGACGCCGGCTTGAATGGCTTGGCGTTTACCCCAGACTCGACCAAGGCCAACGTTGGCGACGTGCTAGAGTTTCACTTCCACCCAATCAGCCACAGTGTTGTTATGGGAGACAAGAACCACCCATGCGTACCTGCAGCATCGGGGGGCTTTTTCTCTGGGTTCATGCCTGTCTCGTCTGGTGAAGGTGTAAGTACATCGGCACGTCTCTTTCTCTCTCTCCAAACCTCCTTAGAAAAAAAAACAATAGAAGCATGTGCTCACATAATCTGTAACAGGCCAATGTCTTCCAGGTTACTGTCAACTCCACCGATCCAATCTTCTTCTACTGCGCGCAAACCGTAGGCAGTCACTGCCAGAGTGGAATGGTCGGCGTCATCAACCCAGCGTCAGACCAGGACTTGGCGGCCTACAAGAACGCGGCAAAATCGGCTGCTGAATCTACGCACCCCGGCACCGTGTTTGGAGGTAAAGTCCTCGCTGCCGGCGCTGGGGCGTCTTCTTCCAGTGCTGCAAAGCCAAGCACCACAGCTTTTTCGGGATCGGGTGGTGGCGGAGCCTATGGCAGTAGTGGAAGTGCTGGTAATAGCCTGCAAGTGTCGGCTGCTTTAATCCTCTCTTGCGTCATGGGTGCTGCTTCATTCTTGACAAAGTAAGGCGAATACGACAAGGATTTTTTTTTTTGTTTTTTTCGTCATACGAGATGCAAAATAAGGCGAAGCCGCTCTAATGATGTAGCTTGTGCGTATACCAAGCGAAGATATCATAATTTAATTTTAATTCATTATAAATGGGCATACCAATACCTAGATACTCGCTTTAAAAATCTACAATTGCGTGTAAGTCATGCAAAAGTAGCACGGCTTAGCTGAATGATCTACGGCCACTTGAAGCGACCACCTACTGTATGTAGCCTTACAACGGGAGACATTTATAAACTACAATTAATATTGAAGTTATTTAAAACTAAAGTCGCTTAATATTATAGAGAGAGATTACAAATAGTAGAGCAGTGTGATTCACAAGCATTGTCTTTATTCAAGTTAGCGCTATGGCTTGTTATTAGTGCGGCTATCGAGCGTCCAAGCCTAGCTAAGCAATACTAGGCGAGGGTGTAAGATTATCTCCTCCGCTCCGAGCCTGACACAACTCAAGCCATCAACACTTTGACGACGTCCGTTCCAGAATTCATTCTAGCCAAATTCCAGGTATCCCGCCCATTCTCACCCCAAGTAGAAGTTTGCTAATCCATCTTCCTCTTTGCCTTTTCTTCATACAAAAAGAGCAGCATAAATATGTCAAGCAAGACCTACTACCAAATTTCTGTCTCTATGAAGTCTAGATAGAGTATGTCCATAATCCTATCAAGCTCTTCTTCATCTTTGTTCAGAAGATTTACTGCGGCAGTGTTGGCAAACAGATGTCTCAGGTGTTGAGAGCTTTTGCGCAGACCGCAGGCCATCCCAGTGACAACAGGTTGAGTAGCCTTTAATACAGGTGCTACTAAACTTGCTAATCCTTTTTTTGGATGAGGCTTATAATCAAGATCATAATCGTCTCGACGGCGATCGGAAACTAGTGAGCCGAGAGCAAAGAATAGGTCAAATTGCGCATGCATAAGCTACTCAGCAATGAAATAGTTAGTTATATCACCAAGAAGTAGAAAATCACATACATACGTTGTCAAAAGATGCAGCAAGCTTCGCCATTTCTGCCGCCGGTGGGAGTTTTTCCTTGGAGCTGTTTTTGAATGTGTCATCCACAACAGCCTATAGGGCACGGTCTACCGACGCCAAGATCCCCTAACAAGTATTAGCTATAATAATTTAATCGCGGTTCTAGACTAAACTAACTGGGAGAGTGTTTTCTAAATCTTTACCGTTGTGAGATATGTGTGCAAGAGCTTGATTAGTAACACTAATTACTGCATCGATATCTTTCGCTGTCTGTTGTACGTTTAGCGCATCTGTCACAGCCCCAAAGGACAGGACGACGGCAGCGATCTTCGCCATGTAGTGCATAATGAGTATAAGATGGGGATGTAACTGTATTTAAAGGCCAGTTACCTGTTCCTTGAGGATATTATCACCATTATATAGCTTTTCTAGCAGCACATCAATCAAAGACATTAATATTGATGTGGATCGTGTCTTATACTCAGGGATTCGAAATAAGGGATAGCAGAGTCCATCAATCTACAGTAAATGGACAAAGCCTAGCGGTGTGAATCATGCGAGGTCCACTCAGACCAATTACAAAAACTAACTTCAACATGTACTATATTAGTTGATGGTATATTACCCTACTTAGTGATTGTGTATCCGAACATAGGATAATGGGTAATCGGCGTCGCTATATCCGTCTTCCACTAGAGCAGGCGGCCACACCAGGCGCCCATCGGGAGCAGTCACACGAGAGTGCTTGCTTAACTCGTTGGTCCATATCTTGGCGTGCTCTGACGTCTGTTTTCGCTTACTTTTATCGACTCGCAGAATCTCTGCCTCTAGCTGTTCAGAGTAGTCCCTTGCGTCGGAACTCAAAGAGCGATGCGGCCAGTCGATGTGCACCTGCAAGTCTTTGAGCTGGTGAATTCGTTTTATAAGTCGCACTATATCTCCGTATAGCTTCCTAACTAATGTAATATTGGTTCCATATGACATTTCCCAGGCGTCAACATGATCCAAAAACAGAGTCAGCTTGAGCTTCGGGGTATCAAGCCGTGCGGCCAACAGCTCAACGATGGCTCCCCATTCAGAGAGCAGCATCTTCCGCTTACTATCTTCAGAAGAGTCTGGAAGAAAAATGGCAATACCGAGAGAGCGGATCAGTGAAAGCGCGCTTGGTGGTAGGCTCTGAAGCATATCTACAGCCGCGGGCAAAGGTGCTTTGCGAAATTTGAGGTCCGAAAGGCGGCAGTTTGTGGGGATCAGCACGAAGCGATTACGCGCGTAAAAGATCTTCTTGGCTATCTTGTATACCTGATGGCTGACGAGGAAGATATTTAGTGGGAATTTCCAGCATGTGCAGGTTTGGGAATAGGCACCGTGCCAGAGAGAGCATGCACAGAAATCCAGTGTAGATGTGCAAGTCGTACAGCAATCAAATGGCGCAAGACCTCTTTTCTGGCACCATTCCAAATCAAATGGCGCAATAAGCTCGGAATATTCGAGAATATTATTGATAATCTCTACCGGAAGTCGATATGATCTCGGTGGTGGTGGTAGGTTCTTTTCCCAAGTTGTCGTCGTAGTTAAGCCATAAACTACCTCTCGAGAAAGTACTGAGATATTCCATTGCCGGCTTTGGCTTAACCTTATAGAGCAAGCAGCTAGGTTTCGAAGCGGAGAAAGAATCTTTGCCACATGTTGAGCAGTAATCAAATCCTTAACATCGCATACCAAGTCCAGCCGTAACAACTCCAGCTGGCACTGAGCTGCCAACTTGGACATCAGGTTTTGCAATTCTAGCAAAGCAGATATATTTTGCTTTTTTCGGTGTTGTATCGGTTTGTCATGGACTGCGTACTTTTGGCAATCCTCATGACAAGAATAGAAGCCACATTGCCCTTGCATGGACCTAAATGGTGTGAAGACTCCCCCATACATCTTATCGCCATAGATACAATCGCATCTATTCATACGAACTGATAAAATGCGTAGATTCCATAGCATCGACGCTGAAAGCTGCTGGAGCGGCTTGAACCCCCATTCATCGCTTCTGCTAACAGTAAATGTGTTCTCCGAGTACAGAATAGCTGAAACCTCTTTGGATATTTCTCGGCAGAGATAGAGAAGAGCTACTGGAAGCGGCGGGCAAATACATGCTGGCGCGACGCCGCTGCGATCTAGAGAGCCATGGGATATTCGCGTCTCGAACAGACACCTGAAGGGGGGTAATTCCAAGTAAGGCTCTGATATCTCCCAGGCTGGATATGTTGCATGGCGGTAGAATTGGGCGCGAGGGCCTTCTTGGTTCATATTTATAGGGCAAAATCGCACAAGTCCGGCGAGGACATAGATACGATGGCGAACTGCGTATGGCAAGCTCAAGAAAGATGTTGTTTTCTCTTGAACAACAGGCGGCGGCTGTATGTTGCCTTGGCGAGACGGTAGCCAGTAATAATCAAGCTTGCGTTGGACCATGCTGTGCTATTTCTATTTGTACACACAAGATTAAATATTAGGAAATATAAACGATTTTGATAGCTGGAGGATGATATGACAGTGTGCTGTACAGGCAGCCAGTGAGGTAGCCACACTCACTCTGCTTGGACCCCCTCCACCCAAACAAGGCTGCGACAGGACGCCACAAAAACTTGTCCAGCTCGACATTTGCAGCAAATTGGATTTCACATTGAGTTCGTATCAACCCCGAAGAGAACTGGTTACAACAAGGCTAGAGAGTCGTCTGAAGCTACTCCAAGATACAAAAGTCAACCATTCGAAAAGACTATATACCGAGTACTTTTCGAGACTGGCTCTCGTTCAACTTGAGGACCTAGAGGATGCAGCAGCGCAGTTGCTCTGTGACTCGCAATATCCACGGAGAGCTAATGATACTTACCCTGTCCGTGTTTCCGCGGCGCTATCTAACCTGGAACACGACAGCCCCTCATTCTCAAACGAGCTAGCCGGGGGTAGCCAAACTATCTGTCACTCCTGTCACCTGTATGGTCTTTCATCTTCGGACTATCTTTGGGATGATGGTGCTGGAGCAAATACCTGCTGTAGGAAGAAGCAGGGCCGAATTTTACTTCTGTCACATTATACGATCGTTCTCGCTCAAATCTGTACAATAAGAACCAAATATCAGCATAGTCCTATATCCTACTACTTAAATCGTAGACTTGAGTCGCCATGTTAAGATATCCCAGACGGTATGATAAGTAAATGCCAAGGGCCTACTTAAATATATATCACTTTTACTATTTTCGAGTTGGGATTATCTGTTAAAATATTTCCTTAATTTAAAAAGAAGACTTATCAGCGAGAATACTTCATTAATACAGGTTTTATAAAGAGCTTATACAACTGGCTCACGCTCATAGTTGGCAATGTCCGCGTCCTCAGATTGGAGCAGGGTCTCAAAGGCATCAGGCCCATGTTCCGCCAGGTAGAGCCGCTCGCTCTCTGAAATCAGAATTGCTTGGAGAAATGCCACAGTCTTGTCTGGCAAGTACATGGTCTGCGGCTTATCGCCCCAGAGAAACGGGGTGGTGAAGTAGAGGTGTTGGAGCTTAGCCTTGGGATCATATATTTTCACCATGTCCTGGTAGACAACGCCTGGGCCGCAAAACCACTTATCGTTGATAATGAAGAATGCTGCTGTGGCGATCACGTTGCCCCAGTAGTCGATGTCGTTTGCACAAGCGAAAAGTATCTCTAGCCGGACCGAGTGCTCGACGCCGTCCTTCATTAATGGGTAGTCTGACAACTCCAGTGTTGAATAGCTATTGATTCCGGGTGTTGGACAATTGAAACTGGTGGCGATGTAAGTCTCGCTCTTGTTGTTGTCATCCTTATAGCTCATGATCTTAGGCCGAACTTTAAAAGCGTCGACAACAGCCTGGCAGATAGCCATATTAGACTCGGAGGCCATCTTAGCGGAATGCTTCGTTACGTTATACGCAGTAGTGGTTGTATACTATAATAAAAATAATCCAGAGTAGGTGGATCCTAGTAGGCTCGTATACGACGAGTTATTTAGACGTTAGAGAGTCACCCCGTAATCAGCCCTGTTAAAATATCACAGGTAGCACATCTATGTCACATGATAGGCCCAGTGTGGTCAACCGCTAGAATTTTTGCCGAATTATATACTGTTTCTTAAAAATTATATAATATAGGGAATAGGCACGGCTATACATCTCGTAAACATAAATGGCCAACTTAGATTGGGGCGAAGATCCAACCGCGGTTTAGTGTCATAGGCGTGGACACGCTGGGCTGCCATATTTTGTTAGAGCAGCTTCGCAGCTGGCCAACCAGGCGTCTCGCTAAACCATCGCGCCTTGTAGAGTAGCTGGTTTGCGTACAGATCTGCAGCCTTATTGCTGGCTACGAGAATATTGACATGATCAGGGAATGTGTGCTGCCATGGAGCCTGGGTGTACAAGGCCATGCCGCGGCTGTGGAGGCTAACAGATTTTAAATCAGATCGCGGCAGGCGTGATTAAAGAAGACAGGATAATACAATGTACACTTGTTTACAACACGTTCATATTACGAAGGGGACTATATTTACGATATTATAATTTTATAATATTTACAATACTTGCTTCCACTTTGCTCGCAGCTTTTCATAGCCTCCTTGCAAGTTAGCTCTCATCACTGTTGCTCAAACGCCAGCTTCTTTCCCTCTAGCTGAACGACCTGCTGAATAGAAGGCTTAGTTTCCATGCGTCTGATGAGTTTGCCGTAATTGGGATATTCCTCTTGCATGGGGAAGCCAATCTCTAGACCCCAGTACCAAAATATTACTAGGTTAAAGTCCACAACGGTGTCTTGTTGGCCGACCGCAAATGTCACGTTCTTTAGCAGGCCATCGATTCTCTTGAAGCAATTTGCAACAAAAGTCTTTCCTTGTTGAACAATTGCAGAGAATTGTTTCTCGTCCTCAGAGAAGCGCCCTGGACGAAAGACTTTGCCAAAGCCCAGGCCATGAAGAGATCCTGAGAGATAGGCCATCCATTCGACAGCTTTGGCGCGGTCTATATCACTTCTCCCTAGCAAGTGGCGCTCGGGAGCTAGCGAAGCAATGTATGTGAGAATCGCAGGCATCTCTGTGATGACTGTGTCGTTGATTTGCAAGGCTGGAACGTAGCCAGAGTGGTGTATTTTTCGGTAGTCGTCATTGGTGAGGCTTCCATCAGCAGCCTCGACGCCATTTGTACCCCATTTCATTAATACATCTGTAAACGGAATAGAAAGTTCTTTGAAAAGAGCATGAGGGACAAGGGAGCATGCTCCGTTGGCTCTATAAAATGTAATGTTGGGCGTGGTCATCTTCTTTGTAGCGCTGAATTGAGTCGGTGAAAGGCTCTGTGGTCAACAGCGAATAACTGGTGCGCCTTATTAAGATCGCAGTTGTCGCACGTAGTGGTTATTGGTATACAAAATCTGCTTTACTATATGGACAATAGCACTTGCTTTATTTATTGCAACTTGTCCAGAACTTGATGACAAATTGCGCTTTTGTTTCGGGTTAAGATGTCCACGTTCACGCTTCTCTTACTGCAACGTAATGCTTTGCAGTAATATTCTCGTTCGGGACAATCCCCGACTATGAATAGCGTTCACGGTGGGATAGACCGTCATGACGCCACAGCGCATTACCAATCAGGATGATGACTAATTCGTGAACTTTGTACATATAACATACTCTTGGCCAAATAAATGAAACTGGCGTTTTATATCAACCTTGTTGGGCCCCGAAATAATAGCTGGCCACTATCGTCGAGTGCCCTTGGGTGCATTGCAGCAGCCGCAGGACTTTGCGGTGAGCGTGCCGGATGAAAAGCTGCAGGAGCTTCAATTGCTTCTACTGTTTGGTAAAGTCGCGCCTAGAAATTACGAAAATACACGCCCAGATGGTAGTTTTGGCGTGACTTCCGAATGGGTGGCTACGATGCGAGACGAATGGGTCAAGTTTGACTGGTAAGACATCGTCTACAGCCTTTAGTTGCGTGCCTCGTTCTAATTGTGCAAAGGAGAAAGGTTGAACGCAGGATTAATTTAGTCCTAAACTATAAAATGGAAATCGAGGATATTGGGACAATCTTCGATATCTATTTCCTAGCTCTATTTTCAGAAAGAACCGACGCAACACCGGTCCTATTGCTTCACGGATGGCCAGGCAGCGTTCTCGAGTTCATGGAGATGGTCGAACTGCTCAAGACAAAATATACGCCGGCAGATTTGCCGTATCATGTTATTGTACCATCCTGGCCTGGTTTTGAATTCTCCTCATCCCCGCAGATAGACACAGACTTTGGCACGCACGATGTTGCACGCATCTTCGACAAGCTCATGGCGCAGCTCGGTCTCGGCAGTGGCTATATTGCACAGGGCGGCGATCTTGGGAGCAGGGTTGCAAGAATACTGGCCGCCAAGTATGAGAGCGTCAAAGCAGTACATCTGAACTACTGCTTTATGCCAGATCCGGGAACCACTGCGGCAGAAGAATACTCTGCGGTCGAGAAAGAGAGTCTAGCACGCATCCAACTCTTTATAGCCATGGGCAGCGCGTACGGGTTAATCCAAGCGACGAAGCCAAGCACTATCGGGCTGACATTGTCGTCAAGTCTAATAGCGTTATTAGCCTGAATCGGCGAAAGGTTTTTGGACTGGACAGACCGAAGACTGAGCACTGATGAGATACTAGAGTCGCTGTCGCTATACTGGCTTACAGAGTGCATCGCGACAACTCTGTACCCGTACCGGGAGAGATTTACACAGGCACCTGTTGCTGGGAATCCCGAATACTACATATCCAAACCAATGGGCTTCTCATGGTTTCCAAAAGAGATTGGTGCGGTGCCGCAGAGCTGGATAGCAACTACTGGTAATCTCGTCTTTTTTCAAGTCCATGAGAGTGGCGGCCACTTTACTGCGCTGGAATGCGCCGAGGGCTTGCTTAGGGACTTGGAGGATATTCATTGCAAGCGTATAAGAAGATAATTAAGTACCTTTAAATGAAACTCAAGGTGGCTAATAAGTGCCGGGTGTATTTCCCACTCTAGGCATAACGTATTGTATGTTCAATACTCAAATATATCCAAGGCTCAGCCCAGGTATGGCTTCAAATCTACATCGCTTGGCGCACGCACATGCGCCAGATTAAACGGCTGCCTTGTAAACTTTGTACAGGCCTGTTTCGGCTTACATGGCGATGTTGAAGCTGGGCCTGCTTCAAACCTCTGGTCCATCCACGCCAACCACTCTGGCGCTCCCGCAGTGAGCGATGGGCGATGGCCTTGGCTAGGAAACAGTCGCAAGTGTATCTCGTTGCCCGCTTCACAGGCCCGCGCTTCGCTTCCGAGGGCCAATTGCTTCACTGAGAACGATGGAGGATCAGCAGACATGCATTCTGGGGTGCTTCCGTTTCGCTCTGACCTGTGTATAAAGCGACTGTAGAGAGCGACTGTAGAGAGCGACTTTAAAAGAGTGTGTTGCCGTTGCTCTTGTGAAGCATGGCAGATTGACCGAAGACTCGCGGGATGTAATCAATGACAGAGTACTAAATGTAGGGGCCGCAGCAGATTTAAAGCACTAGGCACATACAATCATTAATTATTTCCGGGATATTTCGTCCCTTTGGTGGAATCCCATCCCTATTCACAGTCGCTCCTAACCGCCACACTGAACGAGCGTAACCATACCGTTATAAACGGCTTTTGTAAAGAGAAGCAGTCACATGATTCTTATGCATCCGCATTCGGTAAAGATAATAACTAAAATAAAGCGTGGCAGTTCCTCCGGTTTTATCTACCACCTCCTCCCTTTTAAGATATCTTGTCCTCCATTTTGACCACGTATTGCACTCATGACAAGAGCTGGACGGGATCCCGAGCTCTCCTGTATCTATGGTCGTATGTACTAGAAGCTGGTCTAGATTATTATATAATACCAGCTAAAGTTTTGGAAACTATGGATGTAGGTTCTTGTCGGGATTCAGGTACAGTTCATATCATATCGCTCGGTCTCATCAAAATAAGGCCCGAACCTATCGAGTCTTTTCCGCTGCGTGGAGTCACTCATGATACAACAACCAAACAGGAATACAATAGGCTGCAATATTCTTTATCATGACGTGAATTTGTTTTCCTTTTGGTCAAAAAGAGCTTGCCTGGTAACCCAGGTTTGGAAGCTCGGAACGGGCCCCGTTTGGGTCAACTGCGATATAATTTTACCAACAACCCGTGCACAATGGTAACGAGGCACATTACAATCCCAACTGTACAGGGGGCGAATCCAGGCATAAATTATTGGCTAAAAATAGGAACGGGGCTCATTACAGGCTAGCATACTAAGGAGGCAAGCAAAAACCACCTCACCAGACACTACGTCAACCCGTAATATTATATAGTATTCCATAGCCTTGACGAAACGCAACGTTGTTGAGAGTATATTTCAATAATATATAGAGTTTCTATATTGCTAAGTGATTATTCCCTAACACCGGGAGTCCTGCAGGGTTGGGGATTTTACCGCTACATATCCCATTCCAATATTTACTCAGGTGCTGGCGCAGCCTCGGGGTCATTGGCTAGCAAATCTTCAACCTTTAGGCCATCTTGCCGACGCTTTGCCAATGACACCTCATCCGATGGTGATGAGGACCAGCCTAATCCCAATTCGGGATATTGGCGGGGTGTCCTGCCGCTTAGCGGCAAATCGTCTAGGTAAATAGGCCATGGTGTGCCCATCCACGCGTTGCGGCTCTCGTGGTCAGCACGCTGGCTGGAAGTCAAGGGATGGACAAGAACACTAACAGGAAGAAGAGTTAGTGTTTGACCCGCCAATAGTGGACGGTGCCATTGAAGCTGTTTTCACCAGCCACTCGCTTTCCCGAAAAACCGGCAGACCTACCTTAGAGTTCCACGATTTGCCGCCAAGTAAAAGAAGACGTCGGAAAACGATGAGTCGGGGACCCAGACTATGTATTATGTCACTTATATATCTTACCTCTTCCGCGGGCACGCTCGGCGATGGCAATAGACTCACTCTCATAAGAACCAGCAGGGTGTGGCCCGACCGGGTGCTCGTTGACTCGAACTAGCGGGACAGCCACAAATGCACCTGTCGATATGTCAATTGATTTTCCATTTGACTCATTGTATTACATGGATAATTTACCATCTCGGCGCAACTTCAGCACAGCGTTGCGAAGGGCTAGTGCTAGAGCGGTCTCGGTTGGTGACTGTAGCAAAAAGTAGATGTGAAAATGCCACTCGCGGGCGCGCGACTCTACAACGGTCTTCAAGTCGTCAACGGGGCCTGCTGGTGCAAGTGGTGCAAATGTTCTTGTCATGATACTTCTTGTTGTAGCGTTTAGTTCTAAGCTATAGTGTACAAATAGTCGGGCTAAATGAGGAAGCTTTATTGCACCATCTCAGCCGCGGCCAACACCATCGGACACTTTGTTAGGTAATCAGCAGATTACTCTATACAGAGCACCCCCTAAGATAATTAATCGCTCCCATCTTCTCCACTTCACCGTTGAGCTCTTGCAGTGCCACCTACTCCTCCACCCAGCGGCTATCTGCGTGCCGACTTCGGCTACAAAAGAACGTAGTCAGGGTGAAAATTAGCACCACCACGATGGGAACGACAATGGCGAGAACCATATATCGAGTGGAAAAGGCTCCATTGCTGGCGTTGCCATCTCAGAGGGTTAGCGTTACTCTCTTACCAGACTTCCAAGAAGTAACAATGTATGCGGCTGGCAAGTCAGGGTGGGAAGATTACTCGCCGCCGTTCTACGCTCTGAGTGAGTTGAATAGACAGTATAAGTCATAGAGAGCATAGATGGATAGAAAACCAATACTTTTCTCAAGTCTCCCTCCAGTCTTTTATCAAGTGAATATTTAAGCAGAGTATACGTTCTCAAACAAGGAATCCCATTGTGACCCATCCATGCCAGGTACTAGCTCAACAAAGTCAAGAAACAGCTGATCGATATCAAATTCCATAGGCAACGGAACAGTCTTACTCAGCGTGACGTCTGCGGCTTGTGTTGGGCTTCGATTGATCGGTGCCAGGAGTGCTGAGTGGGCAACCGGGAGCAGTGTATTCGATACCACTGGACGATCAGTCTTGCCTGGCCGTAAAGTTGACACAAGCGTCTGTAAATTGTGTTGAAGACCAACGACAACGGATCTGGAGTCGTCTATAGACCGTTCCATAAGATTGCACATGTTGAGGACTTGCTCTCTCCGCCTCTCGGCGTCTTCGGCGGCTGGATTGTATGAGACTTCCGTGGCAAGGATCAAATGTGATCCTACGGGTGCTAATTGCCAGTCCGATGCGAGGCCATGATCAGACAGCGACTTCTTTTGCGCTGAATCGGCTGAGAATACTGCGTTTTCCAATCTCTTCAATCGAGCCGTAACGGCTGCTGCATCGCTACCATGAAGAGTTAAGCACGCGACCGATACGCTCTGTAGTCATGCTCACCTTGATGGTCTCGGACTAACCAACGTCCTATCCACTGTGACATACTTTTCCTGTTAATCTTGTATTTTTGCAATAACTTTGACGCCATATTTACTGGATCTCTGGTTGTAGCGGCAAGAAATATTGCGTTGGACGCAGTTTGAGCATGGCTCCGTGCGATCACACTTCCGCTTAGCGCGTCGGCAGGGCAGGCACGAGAGAATTGGGCGGCTCGATTGACGAGAAGGTGAGTGATTCATAGTATACAATACTTCCTGTTTATTCTGGCATGGAGAAGTGAACTATGGAAGGAGGAGAGGGATTTGTCCTTCTTCAAGTTTGTTGTCTTCTTTCTATCTCAAATATAGAACAGTTAACAATAGCATTATGTTTGGCGAACTTTTCTCGTAATACCTAGACAGCTACGTGACATATTGCTTCATATTACCCTATCAGACAGGACGAATTGTAGCTGTTCCCTATATGCTACTACCACCATGCTATTAAAAGATTAGGTGTAAAAACTTGTTCGAGATTCAACTAGGTAAATAACTACGTCTACATTGTATCGTTACTGGTATTGCAAACGGGTGTATGCCAAAGGGAAACCTTGCCTCTCTGCGAGCGTCACAACTAGGATCCAGCTTTGACAACCTCACAAAACTAGCTTCAGGAGATGCTGCGAGATTTATATTATAGACGCAATTTTATTGGTGCTCAATGCGGTGAAAAATGAATTACAAAGGTAAATATTTTCTAAATAAACACCCAAACAGTCAGTTGTCTCTATGCTACTGCTTGCCAAAGTTCTGTTGCAGTGCTACCCGAGACCCCTTCAAGGGCCTTCCCCATGAGACTATTCTATATCTAGAGCAACTATAACTTGGTTTTCCAATTATTTCTTTTTATCTACTAAACCGAGGGTGTAACTTAAATTTTGGGGCCAATCTAAAGTAATATTTCGCGTTAAACACAGCAAACAGTGAACGCTGTATGTTGTTAACCTGCCAAAATCGGACTGTCGTACCACGTGGAACAAGGTCTTAATCTTTTACGCCTATTGAGCTTCGTATAAGAGGTTAACAAGATCCCGAATCCTCTTAAATCTACAGGTATATCTACCATTATACTAGTATATTGGGTAAAAATAGGTAATAAGTAGCTTCTCTTCCCTCACGCGACTAATACAGTTTTTGTTGTGCATCAGCACATAAACCAACGCTATACTTTGTTATTATAGAAGAAACTACAGAAAGTCTCAATTTTACACTAATTATCCACAGGCGCATCTTCTTCTACCCTCTTCACATTATCCCAGCGGACACACCACACTAAGAGACCAGCCACAGCAAATAAGCCAGCGACGACAAAGAAAGGCAGGCCGATCCAGACGCCACCTAGCCTTAGCCCGTCCTGGTAGTTCTTAGCCATTAGAGGGCCAGAAATAAGGTCACCAATGGTTTCCATGAGACTCATTGTTGTGTACACAGTGGCTACGCGATCACCTGCAACATGGGCAAGCATCCCACGCATGGCAAACTCGTATCCGCAACCGAGACCAAAGATGACGAGGCTGGCGGCGTACAGCTGTATAGTATTGGCGATGCCAATAAAGAGTGCCCCAAAGAACATACAAATGATGCTAGCGCGCACCATCCACATGTCCTTGTGAATGAGTGGCAGACGTAGCGTCTTGCGCAAAAAGGTGTCGGCCAGTGGCAATACAATCGCCGTTACGCACAGGGCCACAAAGTGTCTCATGGAGGTTACAAGACTAACCTATACAAGAGTTAGAACTGCTAAAAAGGGGCATCAGTTTGACTACGTACAGCCTCCCACGATAAGTCGAACCGGTAATGGGCATACTTGTCGAGGATTAGTGGCAGCATTTTTCCAAATGTGGTGAAGATGAGGCTGATCAAGCTGAGTCCCAGCAACTTATTTTCGATGAATTGGTACCGTGCTATGCCTATGGCCTCGTGAAGTAGAGCACGCGCCTTGTTTGATAAGGAACCGTCGGCAAGACACTCCATCTCATCTGCGACCAAGGGGCGGAGGCCATGGGATAGCGTGTCACGAGTTTCAGACATGAGCAGCGCGGCGAGTATAGTACTTCCTATAAGACCGCTGCCCAGGTATATAGCAAACCAACGACCCTGTTGTATAGCCAGTACGCTAAGGATGGGACCGACAATGCTGCCGCCGAGGTTGAATGTCCCAAGTAGAAAGAAATATTGAGATCTAGAAGAAGGGGGAGCATCAGGAAGAGCCCTATACTTTTTGCGAGACCTGGTGCAATGCTGCTTACCTTGTTTCAGGTTCTACAACGTCGCTAATGGCGGCGTAAATGGAGGCAACCAACACTGGGGTACCACCACCAATGGCGAACCACAGGCCGGCGGCCCAAATCCAGCGGAGGTCGATATAATCAAGTAAAGAGACTGGGGTATATTAGCGAGGCCGAAGAAACAAGAATCGTTAAGTTAGCTATCCGCTGGGTGCTGGGAGTCAGAGCACAGGACTTACGGACGGTAATGGAGTGCAGCACGTAGAAGAACAAGCCGATGGTAGTGAGCAAGAGTATCTTGTGTCTACCCCATTTGTCGGCAAGTAAGCCGTAGGGGATAGAGAAGATGACGGCGGGAAGCAGGCCAAACGTGCTGCTCCATCCATCCACAAAGGTCTGCATGCTGGATACGGCGGCGTCGCCTTTGCAAAAGTCTGGGTCGTAAAGTCGCTCTGGGTAGATGCGCCTGCAGATGTGTTCCTCCACCAAGCTATTGAGCGGGATCTGGAAGACTGCGGAGCCTATGTTGAAAAGAGCCACGATGGCGATGGCGACGGCTATGATGCGGACCTTGCGGCGAGTGGGTATGCCAGTGAGCTTGGGGCCCGTGATGTCTGGGCCAATCTGGGGTTGATTGAGGAGGGGCTCTTGCTCGGAGCCAGCAGTGTCGTGCGGAGCCATGATTGCTGTCTGTTGATGATGCAGTGGCCGTGGTGCTCGTGGTGCTCGTAGCTCTCAGTGTCTACTTGGAGGGACATGAATAGACTGGCATTACAGGGAACTGTTAGTGCGGAAGTTTGGGTTGACGGCACGGAACGAATGCGGCACTGAATGCGAGCGTCGAAAATGCTGTTGGGTAGAACTACGTTAATGGTTTTAGATGCTTTCTTTTAGCGTAACGGCCGGCGGCGGGGCGTCCTCCGGCGCTAGCCGGGGCTACTCCAGTGGCGGTGGGGGCCAACTAGGCGGCCCGTCCCAGCTCCGGCCAGATGTAAAGCCGCTACACTGATTGCTGGAGTCATCCCCAAAGGTGAGCTGAAACACTCATTTGCGTTCATATGAATTGACAGGTAACCAACACCGCCTGCGTCTAAGGTATATGTTTAGTCGAATTTATTTCTGTTCGCTGTGACGCGTCGGAGCGACAGCTTACGTGTTTTCTTTCAGACACCACCATCTTCTCCACTTTATTGCTCTGCACGATCATCGGGTAATAAATTACAGTATCACCCAGGGCTTCAAAGCACACCAACAGCCACCTCCAAGCCAATTGACCCAAGCTACGTATTTGGTCCAACTGCCGAGTTGTTCCTATCCTTCTCTTCCATTTTTTTTCCCGTTTCTCTTCTTCTTCTCTCTCTTTTTTCTTCTTCTCGTTCTATCGTAGTCTTCTGTCCCAACTACACATTTCGCAAGCACTCGAAGCTCTAAACACCTACCGCTTTGCTGCCCTGCCGCCCTAGCTCAACGCTTCTACCACGGTAGCCTGATCGAATAGCAGTGCATGATCCCCCAAGCTATTTGCTGCTGGCATGATACCTCGATTACTCTTCAAGCAACCCGCTTACCTTGCTTTATGTCATGATCGTCATGTTGTCGCCCACAGACAATCTTTTTGGCCCACGTCTGCCAGGCGCCTTCGACTTCACCCTCGCATTTGAGCAGTCCATCTTAACAATACTCCCTGCTGGAATCTGTATTATTATCAGCACATGGAGAGGATTGATCCTCTTCAACCACCCTGTCTGCATGGGCTCACCAAGGCTGCTCAAGGCCAAGCTTGTAAGTGCCTCGTACGCTTTTGAAAACGTACAACATCTCACTGCATAAAAAGGTCACAGCAGCCACCATCGCCGTACTCCAAGTCGTTCTTCTTGCACTCTGGAGCCTCCCGACAACACCGCGAATAAACACAAGTATTGCGTCCGCAGTAGTATGCCTCGTTGCTACCTTCGGCATAATACTATTGACAGTGCTAGAGCATCGAAGAGCTTACAAGCCATCCCCCATCATCAGCGGCTTCCTGCTACTTACCACCATCTTGGACCTCGCACAGGCCAGGAGCCTCTGGATGCGCAGCGGCAACACTTTCTTGTCTGCCCTCTTTACCGTATGCATAGTGTCTAAGCTTGTCCTGGTGGTGCTCGAGGAAACGCCAAAGGAACCACTTTTACCAACAGACGAGAAAGAGGCGATTCTTGAAGAGCGCGTCGGTATTATCAATGGCAGCCTATTTTTCTGGTTGAATCCATTCCTAAGATTGGGGTCTAATAAGACGCTGACTATCGGGGACATTGGCCCCATTCACCACAAAATGGAGTCGGGGATCCTGCTCAACCAGCTTTACGCAGTTTGGAGCGCTGGTAAAAGGGACGAAAAATATAGCTTGCTTGCTACAACCTTTTGGACGTTTCGCTTGCAGTTCTTCTCAGGCATAATCCCGCGTCTCCTCTACAGCGCCTTTAGCCTTTCGCAGCCATTCCTCATCAATACCGTTATTTCGCATATTGCCGAGCCTGTCAGTTTGCGTGATCCGAATATCGGAAATGCCCTCATTGGTGCCACGCTGCTCATTTATGTCGGCATGGCCATCACCAGTGCCTGGTATCAACATACGATATATCAGTTAATAACAATGTATCGTGGCTCCCTCATTGGCCTGATATACAAGAAGACGCTTGAATTGGCCCCGTCAACTATAAAAGACGCTGCCCCCACAACTCTTATGAGCACAGATGTGGAGGGTATCGCCATGGGTATAACCCAAGTTCATGATATTTGGGCCAGCTTTATCGAATTGCCTGTGGCTTTATATCTGCTGTATAACCAAGTTGGCAGTTCCAGTCTATTTATCATTATCCCATCGGCCAGTAAGTTGAAGGCTTTCGTTTAACATAAGGCATCCTGGTGACTAATAATCGCAGTCACAACCGTCATCACAGCCTTACTGACGCCAAAAATTGGCCCAGCAAAAGTGCAGTGGAATGAGGCCATCCAAAAGCGTATTGGAGACGTCTCCAATATGTTGAGCCAGATCAAGGCCGTCAAGATGATGGGTCTCACTGAGTTCTTCCAACATCGTGCCATTGGAATGAGATCTGACGAGCTTAGGCTATCTGTCAAGTTCCGTTTCATTGTGATATTGGTTCAGAGCATCGCCATCTTATCAGAAGATATTACACCCATTATTGTCATTCTTGGTGCTATCTACTGGACAATGGCTGACCGAGGCCTGACGGTTGCTCAAGCATTCACCGCCATGTCCATCATCGCCATCGCCACTACGCCTATCTACAATATTATGAGTACTATTACGCAGCTATTCAGCGTTGTTGGTTGCTTTAGTCGTATTCAGGCTTTTTTAACCCAACCTAGTCACAATGATCCCCGCAAGGTGACGCTCGACACCGACAGCACCAGTGGTGGCAGTGGAGTGGCTGTTGAATTTAGTAATGCCACCTTTGCTGCTGCTGGTGCATGCGAGATTCTGAGAAATATCAATCTACGAATTCAAACGGGCACAATGTCCATAGTTGTCAGTCCCCTTGGCGGTGGAAAGTCATCCCTGCTCAAAGCCATAGTTGGCGAACTCGAACTCACGTCTGGTACCATTACGACCTCTAGCCTCGACACTGCCTACTGTGATCAAACACCGTGGATTATCAACTCTAGTATTAAAAACAATATTATTGGACAATCCGCGCTGGATCCGGTTTGGCTACAGACGGTGCTTCACTCTTGCGCCCTAGATGAGGATATCAGCACCTTCCCTTCCGGTTTTGATACTCTTGTTGGAACAGCGGGGATCTCACTTAGCGGTGGCCAAAAGCAGCGTTTGGCTCTCGCCCGTGCCATCTACTCTCGCAAAAGCCTTCTTGTTCTCGATGATGTCTTTAGCGGGCTCGACAATAAGACTGCCCATAAGGTGTTTCAGCGTGTCTTTAGCAAACCCGGTCTTCTTCATAAGAATTGCAGAACCGTAGTCCTCGCTATCAACAAAATTGATCTTCTTCCAGAGGCCGACTATATCACGATGCTGGAGAAGGGTGCCATAGCCCGCAACCAAGTTCCTTACAACTCCATTGATCCTTCTGAATGGGACCTACGCTACGATCATAGCTCAGGCTCTGATTTTGAAACTAGTGATCTCGAAGAAAAGCTCAAACACACAACCCAGCCCGAAGAAAGCAATGTTACCGAGCGTGCTAAGGACGGTGAGGAGGAACTGGAGAGGCAAATAAGTGACTGGAAGTGCTACAGCATGTACTTCAAGGCTATTGGATGGGACGTAACCCTCGTGCTAATACCATTACTCGTTGTTGGCGTCGTGTTGGAGAAAATGCCCCAGTTCGTCCTTCGAGAGTGGACGCAAACGGGCACCAAGGATGCAGGCAACGGGTATATGGGTAGCTATATAGCTTGCGCTATCCTAGGTGCTGGTTTTATTTCGCTCAGCATCGCCCTCTTGTACTTCACAGGTATTCCACGATCAGGAAACAGACTGCACACCATGCTCACGGTGTCTGTTGTGCGCGCACCTCTTCAATTCTTTACAACAACAGACAGTGGTATCACACTGAATCGATTCAGCCAGGATATGAGCCTCATCGACCAAGTCCTTCCAGCGGCTCTGTTTGGTACCATGGTTGTTACCGCAATAGGGCTTGTTGAAACCGGCTTTATTCTTTCTGGTTCGTCGTACATGGTCGCCATCCTGCCATTTGGCTTGGTCGGCCTCTACTTTATCCAGCGATTCTACCTCCGAACATCACGGCAGATTAGACTCCTAGATCTCGAGATGAAATCACCTCTCTATGCGCAATTTTCTGAAGCACTTGCGGGCCTCGGCACTATACGCGCATTCGGCTGGGCTGCCGCGTCCCGCGTGGAAATTAGTAAACGCATCAACACATCGCAGCGCCCATACTACATGCTCTTTTGCATCCAGCGATGGCTCCAGGTTGTGCTTGACCTCTTTGCTGCAGCCATGGCGCTGGTCTTAGTATCCCTCGCCCTCAAGATTCCTTGGGCGGCCTCTGACGGCGCGTTTGGCCTGGCCATGATCAACATAATCAGTTTCAACCTCAGCTTAACTAGAATTATCACCTCGTGGACGCAGCTTGAAACGTCTATTGGTGCAATTGCGCGTCTAAAGTGGTTTATAAAGAACACTCCCAACGAGAATAAGCCAGATGAGAGCAACGAGCCGCCGTACGATTGGCCATCGAATGGGGGCGTGGAGTTTAGAAACGTTAGTGCCTCATACAGTGATGATGGAGTCAAAGTCCTGAAGGGTGTATCCTTCAGCATCAAGCCGGGCCAAAAGGTTGGAATATGCGGTCGTTCAGGCAGCGGCAAGTCGTCGCTGATTGCCGTGCTCAGCCGCCTTCTCGAAATCTCTGATGAGAGTAATGTCAGCATCGATGGCGTTGACCTCAAGACACTCCCACGACAAACGATTCGTAGCCGCATAGCAGGCCTTCCGCAAGATTCTCTGCTCTTCAACGACACTGTGCGAGTGAACTTGGACCCTACCGGCACCGTGCAGGCCGATCAGCTCCTCATCGATGCCCTGGCAAAGACGGCAATCTGGCCATTCATTGAGGCCCGCGGTGGTCTTGACGCCATATTGGATGATGTTAGCCTATCGGCCGGCCAGATGCAACTTTTCAATCTGGCACGGGTGGTACTGCGCCGGGGCGAGAACAGCGGATCGCGGTCGCTGGTGTTGCTTGATGAAGCAACCAGTAGCGTCGATCGCCTTACCGACAGTACAGTACGCGCGGCCATCAGTAAAGATTTAGAAACAAGTACGGTTATAGAAGTGGTGCATCATCTAGAGCTTGTGCGCAACTACGACGTCATTCTTGTCTTGGTTGAGGGCCGTCTGGTGGAAGTAGGCAGCCCAGACAACCTTATAGCGCGATCCGACTCCGAGTTCCACTCGTTGTGGGCAAACCGTGGTATCTAAACGTCTAGGCCCTGTAGAAATTACCTGATTGGGACAGCCGCCTCATTGCAACACATTTGGCGAAAGAGAGTAGACATAGTATGCAACCTATGCGCCGATGCGAATCCAACCCCCAATCAAGTGGATGTTGTTGTTGACCCATGCATAAACTTGATTTGTGATTTAGTAACAATATTCCCAAAGACGGCCCAAATACAGCACTCACTGCATTACCTGCGGCAAAGTTGCTTTTATTCTAGTCAGTCCTGACTGCAGTTGGTATTTTGGAGACGTCTGGTGGTAACTAGTCAACAGATTCAGACGAGAGGCTAGCACGAGCTAATCTCCGACCGTCTATTCTGTTTTAGCGGCAGTGGCGGATGATGTGTCAAGCCACATGTAGATCCACAAGCGAACAGGGTATTCTGAAGCTATATAAGTACTTTTCCAAGCTTCATGGGATCGGTTTTCCATTTGTAATTATCCAACCCCTCGCCTGCTTTACAGCTGAATGATGATCACTCGACGTCCGATCTTACTTCTTTGCCTAATTGCCGCTCTCGCCACCTTTGACGCGCTCGCCAGTGCCGATCTGCCATTACCAAAGTGTAGCAAGCTGCTAGTACGCAAGGAATGGCGCAAGTTAAGGCGTAGCGAAAAGGCCGAGTGGGTGGGAGCTGTGAAGGTGCGACCTCGTCTCTTCCCTTGTACAAATCTACATGGTGTTTACTATTTCTGAGTAGTGCCTAGCAAGAATACGACATGAACGGCTAGCCTTTGTCGAGGGCCAGACGGTGATTAAGGGAAAGAAAAGCCTATACGACGACTTCTCTTACTCTCATGCATTGGTAGCGCTCAAAACGCACAGAAATCCCTACTTTTTGCCTTGGCGTACGTCCGTCCTCGCTTTCATAAAATGACATACTTACACCAGGATAGACAGATGGTTCACCCACCTATTTGACACCTCTCTCCGACGCAATTGCGGTTATCACGGGCCTACACCATATTGGGACTGGTCCCTCGATCACGCAAATTTGTTCGGCTCGCCTGTGTTTGAGGACTCGCCGGTCTATGGGTTGGGTGGAACTGGAGACTGCACATCGTCGTCCAACGCAGACTGTACTGTCACCACGGGCGCGTTCGCCTCAGTCAACGGTAACTTTGAACTAGCGTGGCCGATTCCACATGCTCTGCGGAGGAATCTGACGCTCATCACCGGTTGGTACCCCCATGAGCTCCCTCAGAATCGCACGCTAGAACCGGATTTCATTCGCAATGCAACAGAGCACACCACGGGCGATTTCTTTCGGTTCCAGCATGCCATGGAGCTGCTTCATAACCACGTACATAATTTTGTGGGAGGGGACTTAGCTGGAGATTGCCCGAAAGCCGTCGCTGAAGAGGATTGCCAGGGCATGGCGGATGGCTTCACGCCTAACGACCCTCTCTTTTGGCTGCATCATGCACAGCTCGACCACTTGTGGAGCGAGGTACCTTCCCCTCTCCCCGTTCCCGCCCCCCTCTGATGCGCCTGTGACTGACTTGCACGATGCTGAGGCACATGTTGCTAACATTGAGATATGTAGTGGCAGCGCCGCGATCCATCCAACTTTGTCGCCTTTTCTGGCATGCCGCTGAGCGGGCACAACATAAGTGACCCAAGTTACGACGTTCACGCGCACGCAGATCACCGAATGTCCTTTGACGTTCTAAGTGTGCCTGTGACACCACGGGATGTGTTTGAGACGGAAAAATGGCCGTTGTGTTACCGGTACGCAGATGTGGCATGATATTGCGGAACGAGATTCTGTACAACTAGAACTAGTCCTACGGCTCCGGGCATCGCTCACAACAGCGCCGCGCAGATTCGCTTTTACCCTCAGTATGTATTTTCCCCACGTCCATTCATATATACCGCCTTTTCGTCGTGATTAAGGCAGACGTATAATGGACTTGGGTTGTCCAATTAGTCCCGTGAATCCTCATGCCTTGTCACACTTGCGTGATGTACCCAATGATAGCCCCTGTACCTCTCTTCACGGACGCACCAGTTGAGTGCATTCTTAATCGTTTTCCATTTATCTGCACTATAGGTACTACATAATAGACTCGTTGTACCTCGCGTACATATCTGGCGTCCACTCGCTATGCTTGCTCTCCATCCAGTCATACACTTGTTGCCAATCGCGGCAGGTATGGACGGTTCCGTAACCAGTCGCGACTTTATCCCCATTTGCCAACTTCATACTTGTACCATGCTCCAAGGTTGTGTCCGCCGCACAGAGAATACCCTGTCGTAGATAGTGGAAGCAGTGCTCCGTGTGGTCAGACCCATCGTCGCCGTTGACAAGCACTGCGCGTATATGGCTAAGACAGTGCAGCTGATGCCACATGGACACGCCAAATGCAAAGCGCTCTTGGCCTAAGAAAACGAAGCCCTTGCCAGGAGGGCGGATAGCGTTCCATTCTGCATTTGCAACGAAGCCCTGCAGCTTATAGTGCAGGGGGTCGTCGTGGAAGGCCGCCTGAATGGTGCGAACCTTTAGTGGAAGCTCGCGAGGTCGGTCACCTGCGAGGTATGCTGTCCATGCAGTTAGCCCATAAGTTTGAATAGAAGGAAGGGTATATCGCACAGTGTGATTGTGTTCCGCGTATCAATATACGGAAAGAGAGAAAGAGCACAGCCAAATTCAGCACAAGGGCTGTACTTAGCGTGGCCAGCAGACCAAAAGAAGCAGCTCGACGCAATGTGGCAGCCATGGACTTGTCGTGCTAGTTCGTAATACTATTGCGTCAAAAGCGAATATTCTTTCTTTTGGAAGGGCGGAGATGGTACTTTGCTTTCAGCATCAAAGGACGAGCTTGACCTGTTCAACAAAGTCTACGGCGGTGTGGCTATCTTCACTTGAGTACCGATATTTCAAGTCTCTAGAAGAGCGGACAAGCAGGGATAGCAACTGCCGAGACAATTGTATCCGAAACGAAAACCTTTACGGAAGAAAAAAAGATTGGCAAGGAATGGACCGTACTAGGCAAAGGTAGCGAAGGCCGACAAGGCCGTCTGCGGTTGGTTTCACTGTATGCATGATATCATCCAGCTACCATAAACCAAAATATCATGGCATAGCTGGACACCCATTTACAGCTACACCCTGCGGGTGGCTTTCTGGTTTCTCTACGGCAGTTACAAACCATAGAGGCAGTGTGCGATCAGATAGTAGATTACCCGATATGCAGTACAACGAATGAGACATACAGCAAACGCAACATGCAATACAGAACATGCTGGTACATAGACAGTAAACCGTGATATTAACTCATCTTGCGTGATTTTCTGTGCTTGGACAAAATAAGCGGAGATTTTGAATCTAAAGTGCTTACCCTTAAAGTAGCATTCAAGACGCACAACTGATGATTCTGTCAGATCGTTGAAAACACCAAGTCCCGAGGTCGTGACAAAACCACGAATAATCCTTCATAAATACAACAACATCTTCAACTTTGTCCAGCAAAACATTCAAGTAGCAACAATGCGTTTCACTACCGCCCTCTTTACCCTCGCTAGCTTCGCCTCGGTCCAAGCTGCGGCGATTCCTGTCAATGATTTGTCTACCCGCGCTGACGACGCAGCGCTTGAGAAGCGTCATTTCTATTTCCCTGGTCGCGATGAAATCTCTCCCGAGAAGCGTCACTTTTACTTCCCTGGCCGTGATGAAACCTCGCCTGAGAAGCGTCATTTCTATTTCCCTGGCCGTGATGAAGTTGCAGAATAGCCTACGACACTTTCATGCTGTCCTTCAAGAGCTTTGCAAACCTTCGCAAGTCTTTGTGTGTTCATATGGGAACGCTGCAAGGTACCGGTCTTTGCAAGCTATGAGCATTGCCCTGTCTTTGGCCGCGGTTGTTTCATAGTAATGCAAAGATAAATCAATATAAGCATGCCTAATAATACTATCTTAAGCCCCATATTTGTGTATTTTATATACATGGTAGCTAGCTATATTGTAGCTTTTAGAACGCTCTAGATCCTTGGAACTAGCACTAGATTGCTCTTTTGCCAGGCTATACTCTCAAAGACAGTTTCATTCTGATTTTATTTTGCTTTAATATAGCTTATCCTGATGGTTCCCCTTGGGCTAGTACTTGACAGAACCTAAAACCATCATAGGTCGGCTGAGTCTGCAAGCTTGCATTTTACATGTATTCATCAGGCATCGGAATAATCGTCTCATTGTTAGCAGCACACATAGCTGGATGATCCTCTGGGAGAGCCTCTTGGCCCAGATCAACGAATTCGATGTCGGAGCACTGTCATGATGTCAGTATAGGGTATCTTTTACAAGCCGGTGCAAGCTGACATGGTATTCCACATCACCTGTCTTTGGATTGGTTGCTTCCAAGTATAAGACACCCATCTCGTTGATCTCAGTCTGAAATGGTATTGTGACGTTTACACATAGCTGGCCCGAAGGCTGAATGGGTACCGCCTGTAGGATAGTCTGGGAAAAGTCATCTCGTCGCCTTGGCACTCTATGTCGCGTATAAAGGACTGTCACAAGGTCGCCTGGATGACCAGAAAAAGACAGGAAGCTGCGAGAGCTTCGGGCGTAGGGCTGAGGGTTCCGCAATATTTGGCCTTTGTCTTCTAAATCAGCCCTTGTCTATCCCTATCCCCTCACACTAACATACCGCAAAAGGGATTATACTGGGTAATAGCTGGTCGAGTCTTGGGATTTGGACGTCGAGTCATCCACGGGAATTGGACATGGAAGCCGGCATGTGCAGCAGATGCGAGACTGATGCTGATACACCAGGCAAGCAGCAAGGTGACAGAGGCCATTGTTGGTGAGTTCTGTTACAGTGCCGAACGCGAAGGGGGCACCATCAAGTATCCAACATGGTCCTCGGGCCTCCAACTCCTCCCGGCGAGCCAACGCAGCGGTCAGCGTGGCTTATCGCGGGTCCTTGATACGCAACAGCTTATGGATGAGGAGGACAAGACGGCACGGCGGTTGAAGCCACTGCCTTAGCGCCCCCAACTAATTAGATCGCCAAGGCCGATCATCTTGCGCCGTTCCGTTCTAGGCCGCCTCCCCCCTGTAAGGTTACATTGTATGCACCGCTTGTCGCACGTTGTCTCATTCACACCGTACCAAGTGACATTTCGGTTAAACAACCACAGCCCAGCCGGCGTATATAGCGTTGCGTGCTTTCATTCTCGGTGACTCTCTGCTCTGGCCATTCACTACCACCCGCTTGCTTACAATGCACCCCTCCAAAGCAAAACCGCCTAACTCATCCCAGTATGAGCCGCTTTCCCTCTCTGACAACGACAACGACAACGACAATGGCGAGGGCTCGGATACCCCTCTCGCCACGCTATCTTCCTCTGAGGACTTACCCGAGCCGTGTCAATCGCCCTCCCAGCCGGCCCCGCTCCTCGTGTACTTATCCTTAGCGCTGGCACTGGTCTCAGCGGTAAACATGTTATTGCTTCCTGCTGTGTTATCCGAGTACCGGGCCCACCCGTTTTCCATCTCCCAACTCGCAGCGCTCCCGTACGGCGACGCCAGGGTAGGCTTAGACAAGGTTGCGCATCTCGTCCCGTCTAAAGTCTATCACCATGCGTGGCCGGATAGAATTGTGCGGGTGAGTCGCAAGCTGAAGAAAGCCGTGTGGGGTCAGGGCGTACAAGTCTATGTCACCGTCGAGGTTCGTTCTTCTCTATGCCCACGCCTTATCCCGCCCTTGCTCCAGTTTCACCTGTCTCTCTCTGCAGTATATGCAGCTCTGCTGACGCAATTTCAAGGATTCAACAATTATGCGCTTTCCTATCTCCCCGGCTGCTACTGGAAGCACTAACACCTGCGCTTTGTCGTGGCGACCGCCTCCGGAGTATTCGGTGCGCACCAAGGATCTGACAACCAAAGGCGATATAACAGAAATCGAGGTTTGGCAGCTCATTGCACCGTCAGCCACTAACTCTTCTACAATGGACGAGCTTGACTACGACACCTTGTCGTATTCAACCATTCCTGTTCGCGGAGAGCTACTCGGCGTGCTAGATCTTACTGGCCGGCCCAACAGCACAACAGTTGAGTTTGCGTGTCCCAGCCACGACGAGAGTCTGGTGGTGGAGATGAAATGTCAACGCGTGGCCTGCCATGTAAGCTTCAAGCAAGTTGATATTGCACCCACTTTCGGCTTTGAGTTGGTGACAAGGAGGAAACAAGTGAGACAGCAAAGCTAAGGCTGGTGACATGGATCTTAAGCTCGCTTAAACCGCCATTTATATAATACAAACCCATATGTACTGTTCTTCATTGTTCCCCGTACTCCATTGTTATAATTTATGTATTACCCAGCCACTCAAAAAGAAAACAACGCTCATCTAGCTCCAAAACATGTCCCCTCAACCTGATGCCGCCGCCATCGCCCGTCTCTCCCTACATAACGCCGCTCACTTTGGCGTCCAGCATTCACAGACCCTACACCGCCTATTGCTCATGCAGCACTGGAAGATTCCTGTCGGCTCCAAGGTGCTCGAGCTAGGATGCGGGCAGGGAGACTGCACAACAGTCCTTGCCCATGCTGTGGGTGATGAGGGGGTGGTGGTGGCGGTCGATCCCGCAGATTTGTACTATGGTACGTTTTCCCACACTGGCGGTTCGCCATGGAATAGAAGAACAAGACCACTTATATAGTTTTCCTCTCATATAGGTGCCCCGTACACTCTAGGCCAAGCGCAGCACCACATATCCCAAGGCCCGTTGGGTGGACGGATTACTTGGGTCCAGCAAGATCCCCTGGAGTATCTATCCTCCCTCCACGCAGCAACCATCAGTGAAGGTACGGAATTTGATATAGCAGTGCTTGCCCACAGCCTGTGGTACTTTGCGTCCCCCTTGCTCGTACTTGAAACCTTGCAAGCTCTCAGGAAGCACAGCAAACGGCTCTGCCTTGCCGAGTGGTCGTTAGTAGCGAGCCTCTCATCCGCGCAGCCTCACGTATTGGCGGCACTCACCCAGGCCGCGTTAGAGTCAAATAAGCCTACAGGCAGCACCTCAAACAGAAACGTTCGTACCGTTCTGGGACCAAAGCGGCTTACTGAGCTGGCCATGGCGGCTGGATGGCGGTTGGAGAGTGAGATTCGCGTGCCGTGTGGCGAGGATTTCTTAAGTGGACAGTGGGAGGTCGATGCTTGCTTTTCTCCGTATTTTGAAAAAGAATTACAGGAGCACTTGGGTGGTGAGAGGGAACGGGCCGTGGTTCTTGCATTGCGGGATGCTTGTGAAGCGAGCTTACAAGGTATAAAAGGCGGCCGAAAAGGCGTTACGCCGATGGATGTTTGGATATCTAGTTTTGTCTAAGAAGCATTCCAAATGAAGAAATCCTCGAATCTCCAATTTTCTCTTTTGCGAGCGTCATGTGAAGTCTAATCTAAAACAGTCATTGGAAAGTGTTAACCTGTATCCTTCTAGTATAGCATTAACTCTCCATATATTAAAGTGGGTGAGGTTTGCTATAGAAGATAGCTAGCCACTAGGCTTTACATATGAATTGCACCCAAAATTCGACCAGCAACCTGTCGCTTTCGATTTACCAAAGCAGGGCAACAGATTTAAATCCTGCCTTGCCATAAGCCATTATGGGTTTATTTCTCACACGCTTTAAAGACCGCTTTCTCTGCCTTTCTGAATAGCTCGAGATTAGCCCCATCCTCTGTGACAAGCTCCTTGATTTCGGCATCTGTAAAGTTCTTCTTGAGCGCAGCAGCAGCGCATTCGCAGGCCTTTTTGGCATCTCCGGGATCAACGTGATCATGCCCAGCTGTTTGTTCGCATGCCTTTATATATTTAGCCTCTTCTCCAGGCGGAAAGACGCCCCGACTATGCAAGCCTAGCTGCTGTGAATCTGTAGCTGGCATCGCGAAAGCAACACTGTTGATAATAGCTAAGAAAGCAAGGGTGAACTTCATATTGATAGACTTGGATAAGTGTAGAGGAGTAATACGAAGTAATATGAATCGAAATAGGTGGACAATGGACAATGGACAATAGAAAATAGATAATTCCCGAGAGATGATTTAATGGCCGTAGAGGATTGGGGGTGGACTTGCTTGTTATTTATCGCCACATTAAAAATACGTCCATCGTCCCTCTTGAGCATCTGCCGTAATTCTCGCTTCGTGCCGCTTCGGCAAATTGCCTGAAGTACATTTTGTCTTACAACGCGCGGTTTAAGATTAGTAGAAACGGCGCAGCCCGCTTCACAACGTTGTCGCCCCGCTGTAGATGTACATTATACATAGAGCTCTCATATATTATACTAGACAATCGGAGTGAAGAGCAGCAAAGGGTCAGCTGGCGCTGAGAAAATGTCTTGAACATGTGCGACACTTTCAGTTATTTTGGTGCTACAATGTCTGATGTACAAAAAAGAAAAGCAAATTCAAGACCACCCATCCCAAGCAGTCTCTATGTAATTTTCTTAGAACCAAGTGTCATATTCCGAACCATTTGTGATACTCTCTTTAGTTTGTGTAAGCCGAAGCGCTTGCTTCGGTCGCCAATTTGAACTAGCGCCGACTGCTGGACCATTTCTTGCATTTGACGAATGCGATGTTATATTTGTGTTAGAAGCATCTCTGTTAGCTGATAGACGTAACACTGTTTGGCTTGACGCTTGATTCGCAACAGCCTCAGATCTAGAGCCGAGTTGAAGGGGAAATGTGATACTATGTCCGAACATAACGGCACCATTTTCCGGAAGAGGAAGGCGCGCGCTTCTGAGTCCACGCTTCAAACGCTTGGGATAGCTCGCATGAAGGAGTACCTGTACACGGTCACAGTGTTTGGGGGAATTCCTGTTTTCACCTCGTGTAGCGGGACGACGACTACTACTTCTCGAAGGCAAATCGCACTCGCAGTCTTCAAAGATTCTGTCCGGAATATGCCAATACTGCTTTTTGGTCAACTCCCAAAGATCCTTTCCTTCTTCACGCATCCCTGCAGCTTTCCGTATGTATTCCAATTCACGGGTACTAACCACCAAAAGATGCTGATGCTTTAGAAGTTGTGCCCAATTCGCTCACAAAGCAGAGTCTGCTTCTGATAGTATAAGGTCACCAAATCCTTCTCCAAAGAGTGTGATGGCCCTACTTTTGGGCCTGTAGAATAGTATCCAGTTTGGTAGGAAATAGGGACTATATATATAGCTTGGTTTTTAATAGTATTTACTATTTAAAGTAGCTTGGCTATCCGTTTAAAACGGTATGTGAATTAGTTCAAATCGCGTGATCAATCTACTTTATAATGTCAGGGTCTGTCTTTTAAATCTAATGGAGGTAGATACTCCATCATAAGCACGCACAACTACCAATTGTGGAGGACACTTCCTCACAAAAATGAGGCTCTTGCACTGACGACAAGAGCTGGACGGGATCCCAAATTCTCCCGCATCTATGGTCGTATGTACCATGGAAGCTATTATATCAACATATATTCTTTTGAAACCGACAAACGAGCATCGGTAGAGCCTAGAAAGTATTCAACTGTTATTCGTCAGAGCCGTGGGGCTTAGTAAATACTTGTAGAAAGATAGCTATCTATGTTATCTTAGTGTTGCGGCCTGCCCTGTTGGATTTCGCCATGGGTTACGGGCTGAGCCAAGTGCAGCTGCGGACTGGTAGTCTAAAGATTAGGATTAGCTTTCTTAAGGACCATTCTGGCTTTGCCTATATGGATGATATATAAGGGCCGGGGTCACTGGTGGATATAGGGTATAGAGTGGAGGCGGCTCTCTCGGTGCCTGGAGCTGAGATGTAACAACTCGCTTGAGCAGGTACCGGTACTCCATAGCGAATGTCCATAATAACTTCTTAGTCCTCCAAAGGTATTAATATGGTGGAGATGTTAGTAGTAAAAACAATATAAATCGGCATAGCCTCTGCTATGGTATCGCAGAGGTCAGGTTGGAGTGTTGGCTGGAAGCGCATGTAAGGATTCGTCCATGGCCACGCAATCGTCGCAACAAACGTGGGGTGACAGTGGCGTCTTCGCCTCTACATAGGCTGAAGAGTTCTTGTACCAGACCACTCTCCTTGATCGCATCGCTAACGACATGCCACACTATATGACCTATGACCCCCGCGTTACCGGTCACTGAGGCCCAGAATAATATGGGAAATCCCAAATGTGGCTCAGACTAGAGACCCAATTGGCCGAGCACGCTTTAATTATCTCTTAACACTCATACGCAACGGATTAGATAGAATGGAAGGTAGCCTGCGGGTCCAAGCTGACCAGCTCCTGATGCTGGATTGGGCTAAGGTTGAAAGCCGGCGAGGGCTAGGCAAGAGCAAAACGTAAAGATAACGGAGCGACACCGTATTAGACCGCTCAGAATATTAGACGTGAACGTGTAGGGCGTAAGAAGGTGTAGTAACCAAACCCAGCATGTAGAAGAAGACTCGTTGGTTAGCGTGCTATATGGCATGTTGCATCTGTGGGGGTTCTAATTAGTGCTCGGTGCATTTTCTACCCCGCAATAATGATTCTTATTAATCCAATTAAGGCCATATGTGGGACACCCAGCTCCGAATTAGGAATGTTTGGTACGCTAGTACTTGTCTATCCACCATAGTTGTAACAGGCACCGCCGTCTTGGCATGTCGTCTGACATAAGATGGATAAATGGACATACCGAAAGTTGCTAACTTTGCCGTGGATCATACTAGCACCTACCTAAAATGGAGTTGAAATAAACGCTATGACTGAAAGATTATGCTAAAATTGTATTTTCCTTCTGAACAAGCACAACGTCTCTTCTGTGCGGGCATCACTTGCTTTGCATCCAGTGCCAAGGCTGCCCTATGCTGCGTGCCTCTTGCCCGAGCTATAACGTAACAGACAAGCTGTAATCTACCTATAAGGGACCGTCTCTGATGGAGAGGGATCAAGTCAATTGGAGGTTACGTGTTACGTTGTTGATGCCATTCGGCGCAATTAATGAATCCGCCGTCTATTGTTGCTTTCTCATCCCGCCGGGCAACGGTAACGATGACGGGGACTCGGTCATGCCATGGCCGTACTCAAGCTACAGTTCGATAGAGCTTAATCAAGAGATGCTACAGGAGTAACGCCCAAGAGTCGAGTTCGGGAACAACTATAAAATATTGCCCTTTCGTCACCCTGCTCTTGCTCGTCTTCCTTCAAACTGACCAGCTCCTCATTGCAAGTACATCGAATCCTGCCTTCAATTGATATCTTTATATTTGTATCGTCAAATCTTCGCTAATCACAATGTTCGTCAAAGCCCCCATTGCCGCTGCTATCCTGGCCGCTTCTACTAGCGCTTCGCCACTTGTGGCTCGCTATGGTGACTCATACACACCCTATCAAGGTGATGGTTCTACTGCGGCCGGATGGCCATCCCAGTCATCGTGGGGTACATACGACCAGCTTTGGAATACCAACAGTGCCGTTATGACGAACACTTGCGGCTGGAACGGTTGGGGTGCCGATAACTCGGCCACTGAGATTGCAGGCATCAACACGGCAATCCAGCAGGTTGCTGGCGAAACGGGCGTCGACGCTCGATTTATTCTCGCTATTGTCATGCAAGAATCCAAAGGCTGCGTTCGCGCGCCCACCACCGACAACGGTGTTCGCAACCCAGGTCTGATGCAATCCCACAATGGTTCTGGCTCTTGCGCAGGCGTCAACCCCTGCCCGCAGAGCCAGATTCTGCAGATGATCCGAGACGGCACTGCCGGTACATCGTCCGGTGATGGTCTCCAGCAGACTCTCGCCACAGCCCAGTCCGCCACCGGCGACAGCGGCAGCCGCATGTTCTATACCGGTGCTCGCATCTATAACTCTGGCTCGGCCACTTACACCAATCTCAACGACGGCCGTGGCAGCACCGCTTGCTATGCCGAGGATGTGGCTAACCGCCTCACTGGATGGATCCTGGCCCCTTCCAACTGCCAGGTCTAATAGACCTTGGTTTGCGATGGCGAGATCTATGCTACGGATGCGACTCTACTGTATATAGGCTGTCTTGTTTTCCGATAGCTCTAAAGTATATATGATTAATTTCCATTGAATATATTTATGACGAAATTGCAATCTAGTCTGCTATAGCCTAATCAGTGACATTAACAACGGCTTTGCCAATTTTGTTAGTTTATGCGTCCATATTTCTGCGCCTGCACTCCTATGTCAAGTTGCGTGCCTTTCATCACAAATAATTACATTAGATCAGCGCCGCCCAGCCCTCGCGACCAGACTCTTTTAGTTCTGACGAGAAGCGCGAATCTTACCCAAAAAGATTGCCGAGTTGCATGGCCCAGTTCCCCCAATACTCCATTCCCAGTGAACTCGTGGTGACGTTACAGACGTTGCAACAACCGAGCATCCTCCATCACAATAAAGGTTCCCCAATAGGTGCTATGCGAATTATTATACATAGAATACAAATACAACATCGTCATTTAGAACATATTATCATCAACTATTTTATCCCCGCTTTTTGTACTGTGACAAGAGGTGATTATCCACTGGGGCGGAATCTCGTCGGGTGGAACCCGACGAGATTCTTGACGATGCCGTTTTCTTTTCGGTATTCGGCTACCGAGTTAGCGAACAAATACTCAATAAAGTATTAAAACTACTTGCATTTCAATGCCTATGACAGACACTCGCTCGACGGGATTATAGAGTCCACCAATAAGCTTACGAGAAAGCTACAGCCCGCTACCCCGGATCGGCAAACAGTAACGTAGTAAGCTCGCCTAACTCCTAGCTGATGGAACATTGGCGCATAATGGTGATTTGCTCAGATACTCGATCTTGATAATTATGCTCTATAACGCGTATCACATTTTTTGGTGGAAAATTAATTCTCCACCAAATACAGCAAATTATGCCATGGTAATGTCACAAGCCACACTTATTAACGATGTCTATAAGAGGACCTCATTCATCAATAGATTCCATGATAGTTAAATTAATATCAAAAGTAACAACTTTAATCATATGAAGCAATGCACAATATTCTCAAAGCCCTCGTTATCCCTGGTTTGCTTGCAGTGCCAGTCTTTGCCCGGGACGTCCCGAGCAATGTGCGATCGCTCTACGACTCCATAAGGTCCAGCGGATCTTGCTCCAATGTTCTCAAGGATGGGTTTTATAGTCAAGAGGGTGACACTAGAGGTATTGAATTTGCCTCCGTTAAATGGGGAGTAAAGCTAATGGATTATAGATTTCTGCTATTGCGGTGACCACCTTGCCTCGGATGGTATCATATATCTCCAAGGCAAAGGTGGCCAACTTGTCAACATGGATATTGATTGCGATGGCGCCCTTGGCACAGGCGACGGTAGTTGCGATAGCTCTACTGACACGCAAGGCAATACCACGTTTCGCGATACTGTTCAAAGCTACAATAAGGGAATAGACGACCTAAACGCTTATGTTCATTCTTTTGTTGTCTTGGGTAACCAGGGCTCGAAGGATGGCTACGTCGAGTTTGACCCCCAGTCTGTTGGCATTGAGCCCCTCTCCATCGTTGCGGTTGTATGTGCTGATAAGATGGTAAGGCTGTGTTTGGTTATTCTCGTGCTAGAACTCGCTGACGTATCTAGATTTACGGCGTGTGGGGTGATACAAATGGTGATGATGGGCTGCCGTTGATTGGCGAAGTGTCTGTCTCTCTTGGACATGCGTGTTATGGAGATGCGGTTAACGGTAACCAGGCTCACGATGCTAACGACATCCTCTACATTGCATTTACCGGCCAGGATGCTGTTCCGGGTGCGGATGGTGCCAAGTGGGATAGCGCCACATTTGACGAATTCGAAGCATCCCTGCAAGCGCAAGGCGATCGGCTGATTGCTAAACTTGGTAGTGGAACTGGCACAGCGAAAGCAAAACCCTCCAAGACTACTTCGACCAAGGGTGGCTCGTCCCCAACTTCTCCCGGTGGCGGGAATGGTAGTCTTAACCCAAACTGCGCTCCAGGCGGCAATTTTGACTTGGCCTACTTCAACCTCCAACTTCCTGTGGGCGGACCGGACATTATCAAGAGTAAGCAGCTTCAAGGATGCGGCGGCTATACCGGGGATACATTCTTCACGGATAAAAGTACTGGTGAAATGGTCCTGCTAGCCCCTGGCAACCCTGACCTCACTGGGTGTGCAACCACCTCTGGTAGTGCGCATTGCCGAACCGAACTCCGTGAAGTCGTCAAGGGCAGCGGTGCTAATGCAGCGTGGTCCCCCAAGGGTATCAACTCGTTGACCGTAACGATGAAGGTTGTCACGTCGGATGACGGAACCCACGGCACTGCTATTGGCCAGGTATTTGCAAGCGAAGCTAGCAAACCGTTAGCTGAGATGTACTACAGCCCCTCCGGTGATATTGTCGTCGGTGTTAAGCCAGATGCAGACAGCGACCAGGTCGTCACTAAGCTCGGCAATGTCGCTCTGGGGACTAAATTTACCTATTCACTCAACTACTCCAACGACAAGCTCAGCATCTCCATCAATGGCAAAGCTACTGCACTCGATACTTTTAGCTGGGACTCTCCCGCCTGCTACTTCAAGTCCGGTAACTATAACCAGGGTAAGTCGGCTGCGAGCTCCGAGGTGCGCATCTACAGCATCAATGTTGTCCATAGTTGAGTAAGCGCCACCGTTACAGCATTTGGAGGACTCTTTGTTTGAAGTTTAAATTTGCAAGTTCTATCCACATGTCATTCACCTTAGGCTTTTCTTTTTACATGATTGTAGATGGTAATTTGAATAAAGATACGGGTTTACTTGCCCTAATAGCAAAAAGAAGTCACCTATGTAGCACAAATCTTATCCCATTATAATTTGACTAGAATGCTCAGGACACCTCCACATATACCGCCTCTAAAATCGTCTACTTCGCACCGGGAGCTAAAGAAACAGCCTCCTTAACAAACACGGCCCTAGTAGCTTGCAGATTATGCGTAGCATCGATCCCTCGGAAGGCTTCGCAGATTTCCTCCACAGTGGCTCGATGCAGCCCCATAGATTTGAGGGTCATACCAGTGCCTCGGAAAGGGGTATCCCGGAGCGTAGAGGCGAGGAGGATAACAAGATCAATAAAGAGAGTAGGAATAGCGGCTCTGGCCCCCAATTCGGAGCAGAGAACTAGCCAGTAGGGAACGTCTTGGTCGAGGAATCGTGTTTGAATGCCCTTTGTTTTGTTGTGCGCTTCCGTGATGCAAGCAAACTCATTCAGTGTAGCGGCCTTTTCGTCGTAATTGCGATTGAACGTCTGCAGGGCGCTGTCGACGTAGCATCCGTACCCTGCGGCCACTGCCAAGCACTCGCGATCAACGGCTTCAATGATGGTACAAACGCCAGGGCTCATGCCCTGTTTGTAGAAGTAAAAGTCGCCCTGCGTCGACTTGATCCAGCCGACGTTCAACAGCCGGGAAGATTGCTATGCTTGTCCCATTGCAGCTAGCTGGCTGAGCCCATCAGTCACAAATATTATCGCAGTTTAACAAGCGCCGGTGCCACGGAGACATTGTGTCAACAATCTGTGACTGAAAATCGTCGCTACAATACAATTGGCCTCCATCTAATTATTATTAATTCATCAGTAATTTTGAAATATACACGGCTAACTAATGTAACAGAATCTACTATTCTAAAGAAAACAAAAAAGAATGCTGCCGAGATCAACACAATATAATGGATAGGTCCACACTGGTCGACCCCAACTGGATATCAGAACCTAACCAAAGAATGCGTTACTGGACAAATGGAACAACTTTAAAGTTTAATAATTCCCAATAAAAATCCCAGGTGCCTGGATTATTGGGACGCGAACTCGATTGGAGCCGAAGACATTTCCTCAAATGGCCCTCCTGGCTTTCTGTTGCGGATGCTTGAGTCGCCCTCGGATCCGATGCAGACACAAGCGGCGCACCACGCGTAGAAATTGGGGTTACGGATCCGATGCGGATATTACTGATGCTTGCAATCCATCTCTCACATGAGCTCCGCCAGTCTGGTAATTGTTGGTATTTAAGACGACCGACATTTTTTTTATATTTTCCCCTGTTGAAGGCTTTGACTAACCACAATCCTGCGCCTATCGAGATGTTGCCGTCCCAGACTCAATGCCCAGCCGCAGTGGCTATTCTAGGGGCTGGCTCCCAGGGCCGACGTATCGCCTACATGGTAAATATGACCCTGGTGGTTGGTTATATTTTTTGTTATTAATTTTCATCAAAGTGGTCTAGCACAGGCAATGACGTACATTTGATTGACTCGCAACCGGCGCAGCTGCAAGCGAGTGTGGAAGCGGTGGAAGGCATGCGCCAACAGTTCAAAGCAATAGGATCTCATGGCCGTATTCACACGCATGCTGTAGAAGCGCTTCGTGGTGCTTTGGAGAAAGTGTGGTTGATAGTCGAGGTAAGCAAATGCAGACGCATGCTTCGGATTTAGCATTCACTCAGCAAATCATAGTGTGTTCCGGAGAAGCTGTCGCTTAAGCAGCAAATCATTGCACAGCTCGACGCCTTGGCACCAGAAGGGGTTATTATTGCTTCTAATTCTAGCAGTTATACCTGTACTGAAATTATTCATGGCCTTGAGTTGGCACACAAATCAAGAGTCTTGAGCGCCCATACTTGTAAGTCGAAGAAGGCCCGGCCTGTCACAGCACTGCGAATTTGGAAGCTAATATAAGGGGGTTATTCGCGTAGACTGGCCTCCAGAGACGACAGGTAAGAAAATCACGACATGAAGACTGAAACGAATGGACCTGACTAGGACGCATTTGCCCCCTTTTAGCAATTGAAATCATGGGACATGGTGAGACGAACCCAGCCCACATTGAGACTATGATGAAGGAATGCGGAGAGCACGGCTTTACTCCATTCCAAGTGAAGCAACCATCAATGGGATACATTTACAACAGGTATGAGTCTGTATCCTGTTGATTGTCCATTCAAATAAAAAATCCCTATTGACTTGGCGCAGAATTTGGGCCGCGATCAAAAGAGAGGCGCTCTTTGCGGCTGCCGAAGGCGCTGCCACGCCGCAGGAGATTGATGCGATTTTCAAGGATATACTAAAGACCGCTAAGGGCCCGTTTGAGCAAATGGATGTCGTCGGTCTGGATGTTGTGCTTGACATTGAGAATCACTATGCTGCGGCCAGGCCAGGCTTGCCGGTGAAGCCGCGGGAGTACTTGCAGCAATTTCTTACACAAGGTCATCTAGGAGTCAAGAGTGGGCGCGGTTTCTATGAGTACTAGAGAGATAAATCTGCATACAAAGGGTAGATTTTGGCGATACCATTGTTTTAGAATCACCTTCGTATATTTTTACAGCAGAATCTAGTCTCTCTACACTCAGGTGTAGACAACGTTGCGTTACCTGAATTGAACAAATTTTGAAATACTGCCCACTGTCGAGTTGTCTGTAAACGGTTCCCCATTACCATCACTCCACGAGCAGTCTCAAGTCAAATATTGGTAATAAAACTCAGTATACATAATGTACCCCGTAAGAGAAGTAGCTACAAAAGCGAGGTAGGCACTACGAGCCGGCGTCTTGCAACTATCAGAAGGTGCTTAGATATAACGCTATGATAACCCTCAATTATCGTGATTATCCTCTTTACTTGTTGCTTCGTCTTATTTCTTACGCAATGACTACATTCACGAGACGGGTTTGACATAACACATAACAAAAACGGAAACCTTATAGGCTACTGTAGAACTTCCCTGGTCTATCCGACCCACGGTGAGATACCATAGCGCTCCATATTGTCCAAATTGCCTAATACATATACTGGAAGGTAGGTGCCTTATCGCCCATCAAAGCCAACTGTCGAGATGTGATTGACGTTATCGAACCGTTGCTGATCTGCTGAGCACGCTTCTTATTGCTCGCCCGATAGCCCAGAACAAGGACGACTGTCGCAATTAGCCCTGCTACAACAAAGCCAAGGATAAGACCATGGCCAAGGAAATATCGCGGCTTATCAGCTTGCCGATAGAAGTTGGACGCCATAGCCTAAAGCTGCGGTTAGAACGTGCCAAGTAACAGGCGTCAATAGAACAGAGAGCACTCACTCCGCCAAGGTTTCCAACTCCGATCTGAATAGCCATTCCCGCACCACGCTTCCATGAACCAGCAAGATTGTTAGACAGCCATGTAACAACACACGGAAAGGCCGGGTAAATTGCACAGACTGAAATGAAGACTCCGGCATACACAACCTTGGGGTCATCCGAAGAAATGCACCTATAGAATGACGGACTTAGACAATGAAGTCAATGGGATGGGATCGTATTACGGATAGACAAACATTGTGAAGCCAAGTAGCATAAAACATAGGCAAATAACGAGAAACATTGCTCGTTTACGATACTTGTCAGCCGCGAATGCACCAGCGACAGCCAAGATGGCTGCTGTGACGTAGATAGGAACCGTGAGAAGCTGTGCTTGACTCGATGTATAGCCAAGGCCTTTGATAATTGTTGGCAAGAAAAGGCTGATTCCGTAGAGAGGGCAGACCACCTACGACAGGTTAGCTCAGCGTAAAGCAATGGCAATGGCAATAGCAATGCAACTAACTCCCCAGTATAAAATTATACTGACCCATATCTGCCAATCTACAAGGGCCTGCCTGACATACGCCCAGGAGAAGCTTTCCTCATAAGCAGCAGCTTCAACGGCCAGTGTGCCATCCCGTGCTTCTTCATCAGAGGCAAGCTTGGTTTGCCCTTGGAGACGCAAGCGTAGCAAGATAAACTGGCGTTCTTCATCAGTAAGAAACGCCGCTGTGTCTGGTAAATCGAACAGCAAAAAGATCGCTGCAATAGCTGCAATCACTGTAGCAAGACCTTCAAGGATGAAAATCCATCTCCATCCTTCCAAGCCACCAACGCCGTCCATCTTGCCAATAGCAAAGGCAAGGAGGCCACTAAATGCACCAGCAATGGATGCCGCAGAAAAGAAAAGAGCTTGGCGTAGTTGAATCTCGTCGCGACAATACCACAAGGTAAGGTAGTACTATGTGAGTTGCCGCATTAGCGGCTGGTTGTGTGGGGAAGCGAATGTGGCACAAGCACTTACAGCAATGCCTGGGAATAATCCGGCTTCGGCGATTCCAAGGAAGACGCGTGCGATTAAGAGCCCCTTAAAGTCACGAACAAGGCCCATAAGTGTCATGACAACTCCCCATGCTATCATAATTGTCGGGAGCCAACGGCTGGGGCGGAGCTTCTTCAGCAGCAAGTTGCTAGGGACCTCAAATGCTGAATAGCCGAAGAAAAATACCGTTAAACAGAGATTGTACTGCGTAGAAGTGAGACCAAGAGTTGTGGATAAGCCTTCCACATTTGCATTGCCGATGTTGCCTCCTAGATCATGGTCAGCTTCCGCTTTAGTCTGGGCATGGTGGAACTCATACGATCCAAAAATGACAAAAGGTACAATAGAGCAAGCATGGGGATGAGACGAATGTCCATCTAGAGATTCAAATCAGCATGCTGAAGGGCGTTTCTTGAATTGGGGGAGATAGGTACACTCACCTTGCGAAGGAGCTTGTTGGTATCGATCTGGTCGTACGGAGCGAGTACGTCGCCAGCTTTCTGCGACACTGCCGTGGTCGTCTTCTCCATTTTGCTAGCTAGGATGCTAGGGGTTCCCTTGACTTGCAACTGGCCAACATTTTCCTCGTGGGAAGCTTTCTCCTTAGTATCGTTCATGTTGTAGTCACAGGTTGTGGTATTGCTAAAGGAACAACTTCGTTCGGCTGCTGGCTTTACTGAGGAAGAGCAATGAGGTCAATGAGTTGGATAGCCAGACTTTATCTAGAATAGGAACGCCTCCTGCCGCCTGCAGAATGCGGGGCGGTGATTTGGTTCATTTGATTTAGTAGTATAGTGACTGTGCCGTTTTGTGTCGTGGCGTCCAACAGGGAGGCCATCTCGGATCCGACACGCCTCGTTTTTAACGTGGGGAGGCCCCGTCTCTCGCCATCGGTTCCGAACCCGTAACTTGGGGACACTACTGCGGAGACGCTAATGCAGAGCCACCTACGCGGGGAAGCTCACTTTAAGATGATTCCAGGTGCACTGCCACTGGACCTGTTGAGGTGGCGTCCGTCGGCGTGATTCCCTCCAGCGAATTTCTTCAGAATCAGGCTGATCTGAGTGGTTACAGGTAAAAGAGCCTCATATTTGGCGAAGAAAGGCAGCTGCGAAACATAACCAAGCGGATAGCGGAGCCGACGGAACGTATGACCTATTGTCCCTTTCTTGGCGTCCAGCTCCGGTTGAGCAAATGTGGTTTGGTGCTTGAATGAGAATATTAGCAAGGAAAGAAAGTGGCAGCTCCCTACTGACACCAGATTGGCCACATTATGCCGCTACATAACAACGAAAAAAGTGAATGAAATCGCAGGAAAAATCTTTGACTGCCACAATTGTCATTAAAAGCTCCTATTCTCCCCTTAGCCGACATGTTGCGCTCAGAAATTCGTATATGGATCTTGCTGGTCTATAGCGGCGTTGCCCGACGCCAGCCGTCTGAATCTTTTTGCAGCGCTTTGAACTGACTTGGAGTTCTTTGGAAGCTCTTCTAGTGATCTCTGTAGAATCTTTTGGAGATTTGAGTAGGTGCCTTGGCAGATTTTGCCGAGAGCTAGGTCTCGTCCAATGGCCTTTTTCAGCAAATGGACACTAGCAACAACATGGTGCGGATATGGGTCGATGGATATGATGGATGCCTCGATGCGGCAAGTTTCTTCGGTATACCCGCTCCGACCGTTTTGTGTAGATTTTGCCTCCATTGTAATTGTAAAGGTATTATTGAGGCCAAATTCGAGCATATTCATAACGGCGCCCTCTGCTTCTGTGATAATTTTTTGCATATCGTCCAAGAGATCGAACCGATCCGAGGCTTTGACGACGTCAATCAAGAGCAAAATACACAAATTATAGTGAAGCATCAGAGCATCTGACCAAACCACGTATTAGTTATAAACATAATGAAGGAAAACAAAAGTATGCATCCAATGACTGGCAAGGGACACTCACACCATCGAAGCTTGGTTTCTTGCTTGACAAATTGGATTCGCCTCTGGCACGCTTCCAAAGGCCGCTGGTAAATCTCCTCAAAATGTTTCGTTGCATCTACGAAGCGGGCATGTATCTTGATAACTTCAGCTTCATCGTGACCCTCTCTAATAGCCTCTTTGAAGACCGATGTAAGTTTCCAAGTGAGGAGTTTCCATGCTGATGCATTTGCAATTATTTCGTTGGCACTTTCATCGTTTATGAAAGTCACGGTCTCACCCTGGCGACCAGCATCGGTACCCTGGAAGTGTTTTGAGGCTGTCTGAATCAGCTTCCAAGGCACCTCAGATACATAACCAAAGAGGCCAGACGATAATAGCGGCCTACAGTTGAGCGTTAGCGATGAAGAAACGTCAAATGTCAATGCTGCCCAGTATGCTATAGACTCATAAGTGAGAAATGTCAGAGTGCCTATAGAGCTATTTGTTGTCCGGCTTTGCTGTGACGGGTAGTCCTTCGATCCGTTGTATTGAAGGCTTCTCTGGCTTGCGCGTAAGGCCTGAATCTGTTGCAATCCGGCATGGACACAAACTTGTCCAGATAACCCGTCCATTTCTTCATCTTCCGATATGCCTGCAGGGATTGGGGTCACCGAGAAGAGGAATAAGGCCATCATGGAACGATATGACGGCTTGTTGATTAGACGTAACATATGCCTCCGAGCCCTTCTCCAGAAGGTTTGAACGATAAGACTATACTCGAAATTTACTTCTCGATGGCCATATGTTGTTAGTGGTAGCCATCGGGCAACGAAGGCCGTTATAGTGTGATCGAGCGCCTCCTCGATCTGACACCTTGCTTCACCTTCTTTCTCCATGTTGCCAGCGTGGCTCGAGCCAGAGCCGGCCATAGCCTCATCAAGGCGGCTGCATATGTGCAAGATGCTGACATGTTCTCCAGATGTGCCAGCTTCTTCCAGTCTATGTCACCATTAGCGTCAGCGACAAGATGCGTAGAAGTTAAGCCTACAAGAAAGGGCATCCGAATTTACCCATCCATGAACCAAATACTAAATCAAATGCATTATCATAGATTGTGCGCGGCCAGTGTGAGGAGGGCATATCCAGCATCTCTTGCATAGTTAGCTCTGCTAGTGGATCCGGTCTGGCGGTCGGCGAGGTTGTTTCGCTGATTGGTGTGCTACGCACTGTTTCAGCGGAAGCCAAGGTGGTGATAGCATCATCCCCTGAGGCTGGGTTGGCGTTTGAAGACACGGGCACATTTTGTCGGCGAGACTGGCGCCCTGCGGTTTTGGAGCGACTAGACCGGACTTGGTTCAACCACTACGCAAATGACAAATTAGTAGATGTTATCGGGCTGCTTTGCTAGAGTATGTATCAGTGTAGTTCAAGTGTACTTGCGTGGAAAGTGCATTTTTGGTTCCGGCGCTTGCAGCGCGAGCAAGTTCCATTAGGCTCGCTTGCTTCATCGGAGCCGGCGATTGCATCACATCCGACACGCGATTGACGACACGCATCGCAACTCGAAAATTGGGTACGACGCGGAGCGCGTTGAGGCATAACGAACGATAGTCCAGTCAGCCGAAGTGAAAGAAGCGAGCTCGGATCCTTAGATATAGGAATGAGATGACACCAGAGGGCATTCGCAGCGACGTCGGTTCCGGGCCCTTTAAGCTTCCCCGCTTCCCAGTCCTCTGGCTATCCCCCTATAGCCGATTAAACTAGCCCTACTAAATTTAGTGCTGTAGCTCTAGCCTACCCCAGAACCTGGAGCTCAGTGGACCAACTGTACTAACCCCAGTGGCTCACCCCCACTCCTAGGCAACCTGCCCTAACTACGCCCGAAGCGCTCGCCTAAAGGTTCTGGGAGAGAAACTGGCATTTGTTTTTGATACTTTGGGTCTTCATGGACATGTGCAAGGATGGCCTCACCATGTAGTTTTTGGTCGAGAGCCGTCTTGGGAGCAATCGCGTAGAGTGGAGCTAACTCAAGAATCAATGGTCATGCTATGATTTTTAGCTTAGCTACAAGTATTTGGCGGGTAATAAGTGATATATGTCGTACTTGGTGTTTTATTAAAACATTTGGTTGCGCACGCGATCAACTTAGTGCGCTTGTACACACTGTGCAGCGGATCCGATCTGGTAGATTTGCGTCCTATTGTGTGCCAAAAGGGCTGCCGAGACCTTGCAACGCATCGAGCTGTCGAAGCTAGATAGTCAGACGGAACCGCATAAATAGTTAGTTTCTCTCCCGCAGAAGAGGTTGGCTAGAAACCACAATAAGCTCCCCAGCAAACCTGACTTTCTGAAATCGCAACGCCACCTGCTGTAGCTCTTGTCAGACGGAATGCAACTTGCAGTAATCGTCCTACTGCCCGCTCTTTATGCGGTTGCTTCAGCAGCTTCTTGCACTTGCAGTCGACTGAATGGAGCATCTCTGCCAGCCTTCCCGCATCCCGTGCGGTTCAATGCCACAGCGGTGGATGCCGGTGAGCTCCATGCTGGCCAGGCGATAAATAATAATATTACTTTCTGCCGAGTGACAGGATCAATCTCCTACGGGCCCGCGCTGAACAATACCCTCCGCTTTGAGCTGTGGTTACCCAACAAGGCAGCCTACAATGGCCGCTACTTGGCTGTCGGTTAGTACCGGATATCACATGATACGAAACCAGGAGCTAATTATGAACTAGGTAATGGAGGATTCGCTGGGAATATTATCCCCCAAGCCATGATCGATCCATTGAACAACGGATATGCTGTCGCAAGGTACCGTACACTAATGTCGCCTTGCCCTGTCGAACGGCTTCACTAACCTCTGAAAGTGGCGATAGTGGACACCCTACGTCGGAGAATGGAGTATCCGAATCTGGTTCATACGCTGCGTTTTTCCATGACAAATCCAAAGTTTTGACCTGGATGCGGGACTCGATTGCCATGTTTACAGAACCTGCAACGGCCCTAATCGCTATCTACTACGGTTATAGACCTAGAAAAATGTACTACATTGGATGTTCTACGGGTGGTGGACAGGGATTTGCGCTTGCGCAGCATTATCCAAGCCTCTTTGATGGCATCATCGCGTCTTGCCCTGCAAACTGGTATACACATATCATGATATCATTCCTTTGGAATGCCTTGAGCTCCGCAGTAAGAAAACAATGGCGTCGCTCGTGTGTACGGCCAACGGTACTGACCATAGAGCAGAATTCTGGAGCATTTCTTCCGCAAGACGCCTTGGACTTGATAACGAAGTCTGTGCTGGATCAATGTGACGCCCATGACGGTCAAGTCGACCGCGTCCTGGCAGATCCCTCACGATGCAACTTCGATATTGCCACCCTACAATGCACACCATGCCAGGCACCCATCGTAAACAACAAAACGATGTGCCTCACCAAACCTCAGGTCGAGAACGTTCGCAAATTCTATAAAGGTCCCGCAAATACCGTTACTGGACAGCCGCTGTACCCCGGCTTGCCGTTTGGCTCTGAGAGGGCCTGGATGGGACAACAAAACTCGCTGTACTTGAACTTTTCGGTCCCATTATTTCAAAACCTGGTATTCAATGATTTGGACTACAACTACAAATCCTTTGATTGGAGCGCAGATGTCGATGTAGTCGACCGCTTGGCTGGTACACTCATTGATGACATCTCGCCTGATTTGGAAGAGTTTCGCAAAGCGGGTGGTAAGATGATTGTTACGCAGGGTAAGTAAAACAATGCTATACGAATCGCCGACATCAAAATTGGCTACTGACATGTTATGATTCAGCTTGGGCAGATGAGCTGCTAGCAGCACAGTGGCCGATCCAGCACCGTGAACGTTTGCGCACAGTCTCTGGCGATGCTCTAGAGACATTCTTTTCACTGTTTATGATCCCCGGCGCCGCACACTGCTTGCCTAGCAAATCATACCCTCATGTTCCCGCAAAATACGATACTCTGGACCGACTTGTCGCTTGGGTGGAGAGTGGGGAGCTACCACGGAGCCTCATTGGCACGGAACCGCTAGATGGTAGTGATGCAACGGTTACTCTACACCCGTACCCTAGGTATTAATGTATGCGTGTGTCACCGTAAACACCCACCAAAATAGGCGCAGGTGGTCCGAGCTTTCTGGTGATGCTGATTCGCACGAGATAAAGAAAAAAGATCGTATGCAACCGGAAGTAATACACGGTCAGTAGTTTTCAACTGGTTTTTTGAAAACGCATAAACTTTAGTAATTTTAGCAGTCTGCCTGCTTCCTTTACATTGATCATCAGCAAGCCCTTGTCACTCAAACACAGTATCTGTATAACACAAGGTGAGTGAGGTTCGGCGTCAGTATATTATAAAGAATATTCGTTTGGCAGTGAGATTGGCCAGACTAAAGTTTCTATATTTTTAGCCTCATAGGAAGTCAATTAAAGCTTTATACAGTGTTGTGGCCTCTCGGATCGGTCGGATATCGCCTTTTATAGGTAGGCCGTCACATTTGTTGCGGATGCCAGGGATCGACAGCGACCTTTTAGCTCTGGGTAGATCCACGCTAAGTTTACCTCATAGCTAATACAAGCCAGATTATAGGGAGGGGAGATCTACGATATGCAAAGATTACACCAATTTTGGAAGTCAACAAGAGTCTGTTGAATAGAGCTGTAAATGTCGTTTCCTCAGACATACTTGTACGATTTATTTGCTCAAAAGCTAAGAAGAAAAGAAGACAAAATACATTCTCTGTCTACGGCCGTACGGGATTGATTGCCTCGGCGCATTTTTGATCAGCCGATTTCCTAACATGGCAACTCCAGAGCAGAAACCCCTCACCTAGCAATCTAAGTCTTGGCAAGCTTCACATATTTTCGTTCGGATAAGCACCTTGTATAGCTTTATATTATAAAATAAAGGCATAAAAGTAAAGATAGATAATTCACTATTATTTAAGGCTGACATATAGTACCCTTCACGTTTATTCTTGTGTTTTGCTTGACGGCGGCTATAAACAACCTAATTCAAATCGTTTACCGAGGCAAGGACTGCACTCTTTTGCTGTCTCCCTCTCTGCGTTTTCCCACTGCACATTCGGTAATGTTTCACTTGTTTTCATGGTCCACTGTGGCTTGGCTCTCATTGAAACGCTACCTTACTACCTTCTCAAATGAACTAGCGTCCACACCAGCAGAGCAGGTCAGGATAAGGTTGAGCGCGTGATGTTCGGCGACGATCCATGCGCCGATACCACCTTACCAATTCAATTTTGTTAAACCACGCGTTTCCCATAAGAACTTTAAAAAGGAAACTCATAATATCACTAAATCCGGGGCATAGTTACCACATGCCCTTTTAGGATAAGGGAAACAAAAGTACCGTCTTGTAAGCTGAGGTATTCCAGGCCAGTTGCCAAAGTCTCAGTATTAAAAGGCAGAACCATCCACGCCATGTCGAACGTTTTTTCATATCAGACTCATCACATTTTCTCTAAAGCACTCTCTTATCTTTAATTCACTCTCATAAACACCCATCATGGTCAAGTCAGTCCTCATCGCTGCCCTCGCCGCCCAGGCTACTGCCTTCACCATTGGCCAGCGTGGCTCGGATATTGTTGGTGGCAAGGACGCCAATATTAAGGATATCCCATACCAGGTCGAGTTTTTCCCTGGCGAATACCTCTGCGGTGGAACTATCCTCAACAAGGATACTATCCTGACTGCTGGCCACTGTGTCGAGGATCTGCAAGCGTCTGACATGACTATCAAGGTTGGCAGCAGCACTCTTAATGAGGGTGAACTGCACAACGTGACGAAGTTCTTTGCACACCCCAAGTTCACCGACACAAATGTCCCTGACTATGATGTCGCTATCCTGAAGCTCGCCACGCCTCTGACCTTTGGCCCCGGCGTTCAGCCTGTCGGCGGCCTTGTAGATAAGGAACCCTCGGTGGGCAGCATCGGCCTCGTCTCTGGCTGGGGCCTCAAGAAGGAAAATGTGCGACCCCCTTCCCCAACGCTCCAGTCTGTTCAGATTCCTGTTATCGCGCGCGACAAGTGCGTGAAGATGTACCAGGCCACCAAGTACAAGCTGCCCGTCACCGACCGCATGTTCTGCGCCGCAGTGAACGGAAAGGATTCTTGCAGCGGCGACTCTGGTGGTCCCTTTGTTGTCAACAACAAGCTTGCCGGCGTCGTATCCTGGGGTGCTGGTTGCGCCCGCGCTGATGCTCCTGGCGTCTACTCAAACGTTGCTCTGCCAGAGCTGCACGACTTCATCACCTCGCACATGTAAAAAGTGACAGGACAAAACACAAAAGTGCAAATACTGATAGCATAGGCCCTTGAAACTAGCATTGAATACTAATAGGAGTACATGTATGAAATATCTGCCGATCCTGTCAACATATGCTCTACATGTAATCCTGTGCACAAATTTATATGTGACGATTACAGCGTGACTGTGGAATATGGTGGAGGAAACAGGCCTGTAACAAGCGGAAACAGGTATCTATATTGGTCTGGCGGAGCGCCACTCAGGATATGAACAGATAATGCTATTAATCTTGTTGGCATGCCACATTTAGTTTATAGTTATGAATAAAAGAGAGGCTAGTATTACTTCATTATGTGGTTTGTTAGAGCACCGCGAGTAAGTTATATACGGCGCATATCAAATATACAGGCCTGCCCTCAGTCACATCGGAAACCATCAGCAGGACTCAGAGAAAACTTCCAAAGATTGCTATTCACGTGAGATGTGTCATTTGGCGGCCAAGTCGACCTCAAGCCACGCGTGTTTTATTCCCTAGCATAGGGATCAGATCTAGCGGCAGCCACAGGGCAAGACTCGACTCGCCAATATAGGAGGACCTGAGTTCCGTATTGGCTTGGTAGCAATAAACGTTGGTGTACGTCCCTGCAATCTCTGTTGGCGGCGTATTTAGCAACAACTGGTGGGTAAGCGTGATGTTGCCCACTGCCATTTTCGGGTCCGCAAAGGTCTCGTTCAAATAGACTGATTGGCTTTGACATAAACTACTATCCAGGAGTAGCGGGTTGTTGATTAACGAGTGGAAGGTATGATCAGTATATGGTGACGTAGATGTGAGGCGGTAAAGAGAGTCAAATGCTTCGGCGACAACACCTGGTCCGGAGACCGGGTTGGGAAGAAGGAACGGCTTTACTTGAAATTTATACAGGCCACCAGGTAGGGTCTGTACAACGGCACTGTCAGGGATCATTTTCGCTGACCGTGCCTTCAAAAAATGGAACAGCCCCAACAATCGAAGGGACCAACGACGCTACATCATTCCCGTTAGTTCCGCCGATATAGAAGTTGACTGGAACGTTGAAGGGTGTTTTGCCGTCCTTGCTCACATCAGCGAAAGGAACAATGATGGAACCCGGCATGAGCGACGGGATTTGAAGCGGTGCCATAGCTTCAACGTCACGCAAACGAGGAGGCTGAGCTCGAGAATCGAGGTCAAGGATATGTTGAATTATAGTATTTTCTTCTTCATCTGACAATTTTCGGCAATTTGGAGTCGTATCGGCTCGACTAGGAATTTTGTTGCGTCGGCGGCGGAGTGTTCGATCGGAGACGTTATAGATTCGAGCAGCTTCTCGAATAGATAATTTTGGATCTTGCTCTAAAGCTTGTATAACTGAAATAACATCAGCTTCATTTGAGGCTTTACTCATCACTGTTGGTTGTGGAATTACAGTTTAAAGTTGATCAATGAAACAATGACACGAAGTGTGGCGCTCGCCCTTGAACCACGTTACATTCAATATTTCTTTTCTGTTTTCAACAATTTTCGTTTTATTCTTTAAGCGTTTGTTATTTTTTGGAATCAGCGTCTCAGGTATTACGTCGGGATTTCGTTTTGATGCGGTATTTTTAATGACAGTCAGGGGCTTGCAGATTCGTGTTTGTGTAACATCTCGCTTGTGCGTTGCAAACATCGAGTAACTCAAAAGTTACCTAGCTTGATGTTTTCTTTCCAGATTTCTGGTTTCGTTTCATCTTCTTCGATTTCGCTTTCGTTTCTCGAATATGTCTGCAGATTCTCCCCGATTTTATACCACTCGTCTTGCCGAAGCTTGCCTCACGAACGATACCGTTCGTGCCAGAAACGCACTGGCGGTTCAAGACCCTGTTACTGTTGACGCCAGGCTCTATAACGAATGGACTGCTCTTCATGCGGCTGTTCACCATGGAAATATAGAGGTAGCGCAGCTTTTACTTAAACATGGCGCATCCATCAACAAACTAGGTGGCCCAGAAGACAAGACACCTCTACACATGGCAGTCGAGGCAGGGTCTAAGCCGCTAGTTAAGCTTTTACTAGACTACGATGCCGACCCAGATAAATTCGCAGTAGGGATGACACCATTACACCTTGCGGTGGAGAAGGGAGACCAAGAAATCACCGAATTGCTTCTTGATGCAGGAGCCAGCATCGAGCTTACAACAAGCGATGAGGAGACCCCACTGCTTATTGCTGCTCGCCATGGTATCCTTTCAATGGTTAAGCTATTACTAAGTCGAAATGCCGAGCCCGACTCCAATTCAGCGCAAAGTATTACCAGCCCCCTTCTTCAAGCCTGCCATGGCAATCACTATCAAGTCGCCAAGACATTGCTCAACTATGGTGCTGATATTGACATTAAAGATGAAGAAGGTAACACGCCTCTTTTCAAGTCGGTTGCTGCTGGCAATTTAAAAATGACAGAGCTTTTACTAAAACGAGGAGCAACTACGACTATAACGAACATTTCTGGAGATACTCCAGAGGGTGTTGCAGCTAATAATGAGCAGATACTTAATCTTCTCAAAAGACGGAGGCCTCTTCAAGGTCCCCGGATTAGTGATAAACCTGGTCACAAAGGTAGGAAAAGAGCAAAAACGATCGTACCTCGGTACTTGAAGCGTCCTTCCCGAGACGATGTACACAAGCGGCAAAGCTGCCGCAAGTTTCAAATTACCATGGTTGATTTCTACATCAAAGATAGAGAGTGGTCGCTACTTGCCACGGATAGCGTGCAAAACGTACTCTACAGGAAGGGACCAAAGGCCATTTTGGCAGAGTCTCGGACTGCGGCAAATATGCAGGGAAGTCCGAATTTTACCTGGTATCATATTCCAGCAAACAATGTGAGTCAACTTGACCAAATACACTGGAATACAGGCTAACATTCTCCTTTTCTTTTACAACGTTATAGCTTACTTGGGTAGAGGTTAGTATGGGGTCTCAACATAAGCTTCAATACTAACTACAAGTAGCATCTAATCACCAGAATCATGTCCAAGGGTAATGCTTCATATGCCGACAAGCGTGAACGTGTTAGGATGTTGGATGAAAGAATGCGGTCAGATCTGTCTCTAAATAATTTTGGCAGTCGGGATAATGGTTCTACGACAGCTACTCCATTCATGAAACCGGCATGCCATGATGTAGGTGATGTTTCTACAGCCATTATGTGCTAAACCCCTACAGTAGATAGCATAAGTCTACGTTATACTCATATTGTTCAGATACCAGAAATCGGATCACACGACACACCTCAGAAGACACTGATGCTTGTGGTTTGCAATTATTCATGTCGTTGCCAAGCCTGATCTAACAATATTCCATAGTTACCATTCCTTAATTTGGAGACTTATGCTTCCTACACTAAGATGGCTGCGACTTTGAAACGCGCGCAACAGACTGATGAACCAGGCAATCGGCAGCCAAGAGCGCCAAGAGCCGACAACCACGATAACAAAAACACGGTATACACTGCCCCAAGGAAGGGTTACGATGGTAAGGAAGTAACTACTCTAATCGTTTTACAAACGGTTACTACTCGCCGCAATTACTTACGCAGCAGTTAGAGGCGTTAGAAACTAGAGCTACGGTTGCTAAGAGAGCATTGTCCACGGGCCACTTGCCGCCACAAGAGCATACCGATGATGAAGAAAATAAAAGCATCTGCTCAGCGCCTGCAGTATTGACGAGAAAGGAAACGAAACCTGCTTTATCTGCCGACTCAACAGCGACAGAATCAACGGACAACAGCATACTTGGGATGAGGTGGCTGCGAAATGCCCTCCAACAACGTAAGCACAAGCCAAACACGCCCGACGAAGACCTAGTACTGGGGTATTGCAATAACGAGAGGTCCAACGAAGGTGGACTACAACCGAGGCAGACATTAGACCAATATGTTTATTTACATCTCGAGAATATTGGAGAACGCGATAGCGATCAAGTCGTGTATAGATATACGAAGAAGGAGCAGCACAGTGAACCCAAATTGTTCATGGTTGATCAACTATGGATGTGGATTTTAGATGATGGTAAGCGAAGCTTTCTTCTTGCCTTCGGGATCCTACGCTGCTGCATTTATGTACGATGCTAATCTAAAATAGGCACTTTAATCACATGTCTTCCCAGACGATGGGATGTCGAAGGTGCTGGTCAAAGGCATGACGGGAAACCTTCGCGAGCAGCTGATCCGGATTTTGCAACTCAAGTAGGCTTCGTCAAGGGAGGTCGAGGCCATAAACATGTATGTTCTCCAACTGAAGCTACGTGCAAAAATTGTCTAACTCAATATAGAACCAGAGCCGTGCGGGTATACAAAAGGCTTCCGATGGTGATGAAAATGACACCTCTCCCGCACGTGAAGACCCCATGGATGTTCTCCAGACAATGCTCAAATATTTAACAAAGACGCGCAGACCGCCAATTAAATCAGTACATTCTTTAGCAACCACCTTGGTCTCTCAATGTGTTGATTTATTTGATCATCACCGGCTTCCTGCAGACCTCCAATTTTTTGACTTTTTTGAGAGGTCCATTGCTCAGATTGTCAGTTCTATCACACTATCACCCTTTTATTCTCAAAATATGCGGCAACTTTTATATTATGTACTTACTCTTACTTCACATAGGTTGACAACGGAACAACGGCTCTCAAGGACTTTAAGGAAGATCTTGAATATAACAGACTTAGTAATATTACTAAGGAAACAGAGGGCCTTATCGAAGTGGAAGATATTATTGACGAACTTGGAACTCTAAAAACAATTCTCACCGACCAAGAGGATACATTGAAAACTCTGAGCAATACTCTAGGCTCGGTGAATACCACGGTGTTGAGACGACATCTCGCTAGAATTGAGGCGATGGAACAATCAACAAAAAGCGCAGAAAATAAAGTATGTCTTCAATATTAATTCTGGAATCTAATCTAACTAATCGGCAGTTCTTTCGCTTAATTGATCTGAAGCAGAAACAGGCCAGCCACCTGGAAGCAGCAGCTACGTCTCGTCAAGGAAATGCGGTGGTCCTCTTCACCGTGGTGACTATCATTTTCGTGCGTGATTTATATGAATGACGACCGCATTACGATATTAATTGTCTTTAGCTACCTATTTCATTCATGGCAGCATTTTTCGCCATCAATATTGACGGATTTGAAGTCGCTGAGAGTGGGAAGCTACCGCTCAGATATGTTATTAAGTACATGTGTAAGCTTGTGGTTGTTCACTACTTCTATAACGTCGACTAATTTGGAAACAGTGGGCATAGGGCTTGGCCTCTCTATCCCGTTTATTTATATTGTATTCAACTTGGACACAGTCGCAAACGCGTTACGGTATAAGTTTTTCTCCCGCAACATCTTTGTTATCGGTGTGATGCTAGGAGCTGGGGCTATTTTACCTGCTATTTGGACATCCTCTCTATCGTCCAGTATAAAGGTTACTCTTACAGTTGTGGTCGTTGCGATAATCTGCACGGGCTGTTTGACCTTGGTCGCTGGGCTAGTGAAAGACGGTGTACAGCTGGTGAAGTCATCTTGGAGTACAGGAGATTCCAATGAAACGGTAGCAAATGAGAAATTGTAGTTATTGGAGGATGGTAATCATAATTTAGTCAAGTTCTCACATAGCGGCAGACCCCCACAGCTTTACGCTAGTGTTTTTATAATTCCGTATCTCCGCACATATTAGTCGATCTTTTGAGTCGCCTAGAGCAACGCTATAGAACGCGTGTAAGTCGTATGACACTGATACCAACCAATGTGAGACTTTGGGCAAACACGGTTACCCAGCCCAGGGCAGTAGCTGTGACACCTATATGAGCAGCTACTGCGCCATATGTTGTTGTTGTGTACATCGTAGCAGCGACTGTTCCTCCGAGATGTTGCCATAGTATAGCGACAAAGGCCAACATAGTCGCAAGAGACATAAAAGCGGTGACGATGGAAGACATAGTGGTAGGACCAGGCAGTGTTCGACCAATATCTGAAACACTGTCACTATCGTAGTCTAGGAACCAGCTTGGATATGTACGCAGAATGAAAATAGATATAATCGCTAGAGCAAGCGATGTAAACCTACAACAAAATAGGCGAAATTTAGCAGGTTCACGTCTTGATACAAGTTCGATGTATACTCACAATAGCCCAACGAAGACAACCTCTTTGCGAAACTTTTCAGCAAGATATATCAGGTTGAGAGGATCACCACCTCCTTCCGGGGAACTGCTTTTAGCATCTATCTCCGAGGAAGCTAGATCCTCAGCGCTGGAACATATCCATTGGCCGCCTAGCCGCTGCAAACACAGACCGAAGTATGCTACCCGCACTTCCAAACTACTATTTTTGATGGTAGTGGAAGTAAAAATAGAAGGAATAATTGTGCTAACTTGCCCCGAAGCACGGTCCGGTACGTTGGTAGTGTTGTTCGCTGTATAAGACAAAGAGATGAGATAAATATCTTTCAGTCCTGTAGTTGTGCACCCGGCTGCGATGATGGCTACCAGGATGTTAGTGAAACTGAACACCTGCTGATAAGATGATTTGAATACATATAAATATAATGGAAATGTAGCTAAATGCCATTAATACGTGGTGAAAGCCGAAGTATGCTAAAAAGTGTTAAGTCCTGTATGCAGTATCCATTGGGGCAACATACGTATCCATCTCCACCATAGTCTTGCTAGGGACACCATGGCGAGGATTTGACTTTGCGGAATTCTATTAATGAACGAAGCAAGGGATATGAATCCTAGGAATATAGTTGCATGTCCTTCTCAAAGCTGGAAGAGGGGAAGTGTGGTGCAATGCGCAAGTTCTGTGTCACTGTGCTTTGGGCTGAAGAGGGGTCAGGCTGTCTGTCGGCAAATTTCATTACCAGGAATACCGACCGCTTGAAGATACAATAGCATATGCGTAACGAGCCTTCATACTTTTTCTTTTCTTTTGCGGATGAACTTTTAATCCAACGGCCATTGTTCCTGATTAATGTTTGAACTTTCAGACAAAATCTACAAAAGACTACAATGACGTGAAGCGATGACCCTGTCGACAAGCGAGTGAAAAAAACAGATAATTGAGCTGCAGTGGCTGATAATCATTGATAATAATAAATAACAGTTGAAAGAATATTCTACTACATAGAACAGAAACCCCCCACACGCCAATTTGTTACACCAGCTGCCGCCATACTCTGCAACACTGTCCATCCTTGATATGGCTTTTTCTTTAGCAGTTCAGGAGAGCAGGCTGAGCAAGGTAAGCATAAGTATCTGCATTCACCAAGGCCTTGTCCTTGGTGAGTACGATGCAACTGTCGTATCCATAGGCGTTGTCATCAGTACCCTTGACAGAGGGAAGGTTGGCTAGACTGATGCAGCAGACCCATGCCGCGGTCGATGCTCTTGCAGCTAGAGGTGGCCACAACATTATTGAAGTAGTTGTCGCAGAAGACGATGGTGTTGGTCGAACCATATGTGACAGCGTAGCTCTCGCCGACGCAGAGGTCGGACTTGTCATTGCCACAGGTAAGCTTGCCAGAACCGCTGTTGTTGACACACTCTTTTTGCAGCTTGGTATAGACAGCCTTAACAGCAGCCTTGGTGGTGGCATCACTGGCTTTGAAAAAGCGATTCATGAGCACATCATTGGTGGTACCAGTGACACCGGCGTCAGCAAGACTCTTGCATCTCGTCTGGGCAGCATTGATGATCTTGGTGTTGGCAGCTGTGCAGCTGAATTGAATAGTGCCACGGGCAGCCAGGTCACTGACAATGGCATCAGTGACCGGCAGGGCAGTTGCAACGGAAGCAAAAGCAACGGCAAAGAGAGTAGCAGGCTTCATTATGGTGGAAGAAGTAGAAGAAAAAGGTGCAAAGGTATATGGTAGTGAGGAAGAAAGAGAGAGTGATAAAGAGATGATGATTCAGTCTGTCAAATTGTTATCCCAAGGAGGGAAGATGTTGGTCTTTACATACTTTTTCCGTTCAATGGTGATACTAACAACATAGACATGCTCTTCAGTTAATTTCAGATGAATAGCCACCAGAGTAGAACCAAAGAAGCCATGCCCAGCATAGTGGATAGTTGTTACGAACGAAACATGCCAGCGGCTACGGCCGCCTATGATGACAGAGCACGACTGAGCACTGAAGAGATGGACAAATATATAAGTAGACAGTTAGATAGCCTCTAGGATAGTTCAGATCTTCAGTGATCAATCTAAGCAATTACTTGTTAATTGAGGATAACTCCTTAACGACCGCTTAAACCAAACTTTGTTACTACTGCTCTTGGGCTTAGTCCACTTACACAAAGGTCGACTTCTACAACTTTGATCCCAGATTTCCGCTGCCAGACCAGAAGTCTCACAGCACAGAAGCCCAGCCCAACTAGATCTGGACATGTTCTACCCCATCATCTACCCGCAAAACGTCGAGGTCTATCAAAGAGATACTTCCAACGGCAAGCTCTATGCCAGCTTTCTTGACGCCGTTGAAGGCTTATTCTGCGAAGGGGACGACCCAGCGATTGACGGCAAGCCTGGCTCCCACGCCTGCGGTGCTTTCAAGCCAGCCAACGTCATTACCATTTCGTATGCGGTTGTAGAATGGGCCTTTTCACCTGCCATTCTGCAGCGTCAGTGCAACGAGTGGATGAAGCTTGATCTCCAGGGCACATCCGTCTTCCACGCGAGTGGCGACGTTGGCGTCGTTGGTCCGGTATTCGTCTCCTGCTCAGGCAGCAACAAGTCCATCTTCAACCCAATCGCTACCGCTACATGCCCGTACATCACCACTGTTGACTCTACAGAAATGCAGAAAGACACCTCTGAGACGGGTAAGGAAGTTGTTTGCAAGACGCGCTACTCGCCTGGTGGTGGCTTCTCCAACGTCTTCCCCCGACCTGACTACCAAGATGCGGCTGTATCAGCGTATCTCGCGAACCACGCCGGAAACCTTACTAGCTACAACATAACGGAGACGGCAGTTCCCGTCGATAGCTCGGGAGGCAGGTATAACAGAGCTGGCCGTGGATATCCAGATATCTCTGCCCTCGGCAGTCATAGTTATGTCATTTTAAAGGGAGAGGAGAAGCATTATGGAGGCACCTCCATGTCAGCCCCCATTGCTGCGGCTGTGTTCAACCGCATCAATGAAGAGTGCCTTGCTGCTGGTAAGAAGACTGTCGGTTTTGTCAACCCGGCTTTGTATAAGAACCCGTCCATGTTCCATGATATTACGCTCGGAGGCATGCGCAAGGTACGCCCTGCTGCATGCGGGGGTGCGAGCTTTGACGCAACTCCTGGCCGGGACTCCGTCACTGATTTGGGTACGCCCAACTACCTGGAAATGCTGAAATACTATAACTACAATTATTTAAAGGTAGCCAAACTATGAAATAAATAAAGACCATTTCGTAACACAACGTTTATGGCTTAAAAAAAATCTCTGGTGAGTGGACGTTATGGTGGCCGAGCAGCCTCCATGAGGCGTTCTCAGCTAGAAAACGCCACGCGTTATGCTCCCCCGCCTTTATTGTATCGCGAATTACGAGCCTTACGGGCCTGCTTAAAACATATATGAAAACACAAGACATAATGGCTCTGTAGCAGGTGGAGGCGTAGAAAGCCCAGCTGATGGATATTATAGACAACCAGTATAAAGATGCGGATATTCTCTCCTGCAATATCTTTTTGCCAACATACTGTAAAACAAGACGAATATCAAAAACATTACCTTGAACAAGTTTCCTCATCAACATTGAGACACAAGCAATCACAATGGCATCAGGTCCCTCCTCTACACTTTATTGGACCTGTGTTGGCACCCTTGATACCCAAAAGCCTTGCCTAATTTTTCTCCATGCCGCTTGGATGCCTTCATCGATGTTTGATGAGACAACAAAGCATCTATCATCATATCTCCCCAACGCAAACTTCCTTTGCATTGGCGCTAATGGTCACTGCAAGACATATGGTGGGCGCAAGACGTTCACACTCTGGGACCAAGCCGACGACATTGTAGCACTCATGGTAGGTCTCACTCACTCAATTCTTTTTGCAACATAATCAATCGTGAAATTCGGGCTAAATCTTTAAAACATTAGGACCAACTCGGAATTCGCAAGGCAACCTTTGTCGGCATCTCCATGGGCTCCCTCATTGCCACGCGGCTGGCTCTCGCCTATCCAACCCGGGTCGACGGCCTTTGCCTTCTCTCTAGCACAGCGACTGCCGAATCGCCAGAAGCTGCCGCGGCAGTTGCTCAAGTCCGTGATATATGGGTATCCACGGATGCTCCCTCTGGAAGCATCATGGACATTGCGATCCAGGGCTGGGGCGGAGAGCCAGACCTTGCTGGTACGCGAGCCGCACAAATCAAACGCCATTGGGTTACTCGTCATTCAGGCGCCGAGAATATCGATGCGATACTCAGGAGTGTGGTGGGACGTGATGATGTCTTGGGCCGGCTCAAGGAGATTACAGTTCCAGTACTACTTGTGCACGGGGAGCTTGATGCAACGTGGAGGGTTCAAGAGGCTGAGGCTATCCGAGACGCGCTTGTTCACGCAAAAGTGAAACTAGAGGTCCTCAAAGACGTTGGGCATATGGTCATCTGGCTGAGAGAAAGTCGGGATGTCTCGGATCTTATTGCAGGCTTTGTGAAAGAGCATGTGACAAGCGAGACGGCTTAGGAAGAAAGACGTTGGATATTTCCCGTAAGAATGTCTATTTATGTATAATTGAGAGAGACACGGATGACCGGATTTGATAGACTTGTGGTGACGTCACTAGGGATGGGCCAATGAAATACTATTTGCTACTCGAAAGGGCCTTTGTAACAAAAGTAACAAAAGGTTATGTCCAGTGCTGCAAGGGGACAATCACCGGCCGATGAGCACTCGCTCAACCTCTTAATAGCTGCAAGACGAGATCAGAGGGTATCAGTGAATGTCTCGCTGGCTCGCCGCATGAAACCCTGCGATGTATACATCCTCGGCATTTTCCCACCAGTCTCGCTGTAGAAGAGGTCGAGATCGGTATTCTTTGGCCTGGAAACGCCATATTCAAACAGCCCCATCCTGCTGCTACTGGGATTGGGATTGGCACGGGCATCGGATATGCCATTCATTGCTGCAATGCAGGCTGGAGTTGCTGTGTCGGAACAAAATTGTGTTAGTTGTATAGCTTTTTACATATTTCCATAGTCCATGTAATTCTAGACTTGAATAAAAATAAATTTGCTAGAAGCTCCAGCCACGGGTGGGTTCTGCCTCAGGCTAAGGCTATGTCTTCTTCGACAGCCTGATCTGGCGTCTTGAGCGATACTTGATTCACGATGAAACAAACTCGCCCAGTATGAATCGCCTTCCTTTGGAACTCATTAATAATATAATTAGTCAATTGGATGATGATAAAACGCTATATTCAGCCATTCTCTCTTGCCGATTCCTATTCAATTCACAGATATCCCATCTGTACCGACTAAATGCTGACAACTGCAGCAGCACAAATAACGATTTGGAAGCTCTTGGTTGCGGTCATTCTGTTCACGCCTGTGACTGGGCATCTCAAACTGGCCAACTTGCCACACTGAAGAGAGCAAAAGATGCTGGGATCACAGTTTGCGATCTGCAGCGTCTAAAATGGGCTGCTGAAGGTCGGCATGCTGCAGCGTTTCTGTATCTCTTGGAACAACTGGACGCGGCACTAGACGTCAACTCACGTTTCCCAGACAATCAAACACTTCTAGAGTGCGCTGTTCTCTCTGGAAACTTGGAAATGGTGAAGCAGCTCGTAGCCATCGGAGCCACCATAGAGTTCGACCCTAACCAGGAGAACGCATTCCATCTAAGCGTGCGACATGGACATAGAGATATCACTCGATACTTTCTCGCTCAACACATAGATCCATCTCTCAGAGGCCCCCGTGACATTACTGCGCTACATATAGCCGCAGTCCTCGGCGATACGGAGACAGTGGAATGGCTTCTTGCCGCGGGTCTCGAAGTGGATTGCAGATATAGGAGAAATCCCTATGACGAATACACGGCATTATACGATGCAGCTGCACACAACCATGTAGATGTTATGGCCGTGCTTCTCGAGCATGGAGCTGATGCTGCGTCTACTCCGTACGGCGGGCTGAGTGCGCTGCACATCGCCGCACGCAATGGCCACACAGAAGCAGCCAGCCTTCTTCTTGACCATGGTGCCAATATTGATGCTGTGGAACGATGCAGCACCACGCCTCTCCTGGATGCAGTTAGTAACAATCACCTTGCCATGATTGAGCTGCTCGTTGACCGCGGCGCAAACATGTCAAAGGGATCCGTCAACTGGCCGGCACTTGCCTTGGCGGTCAATGACAACAATGTACTGGCCGCGGCTCTTCTCCTTAATAAAGGTGCAGACATCGATGAGACGGAACAGAGAAACTTGGATCGCTTGACTGCGCTGCACATTGCGTTCCGGAATCGCAATATCGAACTGGTTGAGCTGCTCCTGAGCCACGGAGCAAGCACATCTATAAGAACGCGCCCAGGATATACTGTTTTGCTACAAGCCATTGAGGTGAACGAGTTCGATATGGTCAGGGTTCTACTCAACGGCGGAGCGGATGTTGAAGAGCGGCACAACGATGACGACGAATCTTTACCACTCAGCGTCGCGGCCTGTAAAGGATACAACGAAATCGTCAGTCTTCTTCTCGACCACGACGCTGATGTCGAGGGAAAAGATAAGTACGACTGCACAGCAGTTGCAAATGTCGCATCTACAGAACACGTATCCACCATGCGCCTTCTTCTAGAGAGAGGGGCCGATAGCAGAGCCCGTGCAGCATCGGGCTACAATGCGCTGGTAGTAGCAGTAACTAGCAAGAGGATCGAAATGGTCAGGCTCCTTCTGCAGAACGGCACCCATGGGCCACAGCCAAAACAACAGGCCAACGATGCCTTCTTCTGGGCATGCAACGCGGGCAATATGGACATGATCAAGTTGTTTCTGGAATACGGATGCGATCCCGCACGCGACGGTCTAGCAACGGGCGACTTGCCTATACATGCAGCTGCGAGAAGCGGTAACATTGACTTGGTTGACTTTTTCTTGCAGCAGGACGGAGTAGACCTAGATTCCCGCGACTGCTTTATGCGAACGCCACTCTTTCACGCCGCAGGGAAGGGCAAGGTCCAAATGGTGAAGCATCTCCTATCAAAGGGCGCAGATCATACCGCAAGGGATATATATCACGCGACGCCGCTCTTTGTAGCTATGCGCCACGAACACCATGAGTCGCTGGAGCCTCTAGTTGCAGCGTGCCCCGAGTCTCTTTTCTGGATAGATGCGCTGGGTCGCACACCTCTACAGTGGGCAGAACTGACTGGTCCTCTGCATCTCATCGCCACCGCAAACAGTCTGCTGAGAGAATATGGCTTGTTGGCCCGCACTCCAGAGATACAAGCCCCCTCGCGATGTCCTTTGGCAATACCCAAAGATCCAGCACACCACTCGTGTGATGTATGCACCCGCGAGGTTGAACACTGTACCTTGGCCAGGCATTGTACCATCTGCAGCGACGATTCGTTCCTGATTTGCCGCGACTGTGCGAACAACGGCATGGTGTGCTTCGATGCTGCACATAAAGAGAGCAGTTGGACCGACAAATGTAAACATTGCAGGTTGTGGTCATAAGAAACCCAAACAGTAATTTGTTAGTATTGAATACAAGCTTGCGGTGTTTCCTATCGACTGGCCCTCTTGCAGGCAGAGGATAGCCAGCAGGGTTCTTGCTCAAAACCTGCTCAAAATTCCAAACGCACGAATATGCACGCTACTGTCACACGTATTACTATTCATGGAACGATATATCTGCTTCGGGTAGCAGATTTAGCGCATGAGGTTGCCATTGGGTGGCTGTGAGCAGGTTTGCGGCGAATATTGGGCGGTAAACACAGCACACGTGCCCATGCAGCGGCGCGACAACTTTTAAAACAACTGTATTTACGAATATATATGATTTTATATCTATTAATATAATATCCCAATATAAAACGCTATAGCCAACCTTTTTTCCAGATTGTAGATCTCTAGTCTGCATCGCCACTATCGACACACTATGATCTTACAACGCTCCATCCGCGCATTTCCAGCATTCAGTTTACATTCGCAGTCGCGATCAAAATATAAAAAGGCATCAAATAGACATCATGCTTCTATATACAGAAGCATACACTCTTGGCCGTGTGTTGCAAACCCCACACCATATCAAGTCCTTGGTCTTAGTAGAGACGCGCCGTATAACAAGAAGGCATTCAACTCTCTTGTCAAGCTATACCACCCGGACTTGCATCAGAATCAACAAGAATCTGAACGGGACCCATCCTCTACCCAAATACGTCTGCAGAGATACTATCTAGTCGTGGCGGCTCACGAGCTGCTCAGCTGTCCAGCAAAACGCCTGCAATACGACCGACACAATATCGGCTGGAAATACCCTGCGATGCAGTCAAACAGCAGCTCAGGCAGAAGAACAGGCCGCTATCAACAAGCTTCTCATGAACCACCACACGATGCCTACTCACCACGAGGGCCTCAGAAGCCTATTTACATGTCTAACGGATTCTTTGCCATCTTGGTCTTGTCAGTGGTCATGGCCAACGGCGTAATACAACACGAGCGAGCAAAGAGGTCTGCTTCCAAGCATAAGAGCCAGGTGTATTGGATCCATGAAAATATTGTCAACTCTCTAGCTCAGTCACTTCAGCTTAACGCAAGCAAGTCAAGAGATCGGCGGATTCTGGAGTTTCTATGCCGTCAGTACATAGCAACGAAGAAGTCCGATAATCGTATTCTTGGCCTTATGGACGAAGAAGACTGGGAAAACAACATTTGCAGACACTAGAAGCATTTATGAATGAGAAAAATTAATAACAAAATTATTGATTGATCGATTAAAGATATAGACTCTTATAAACGCCATGTATGTCCATCCTATCCCGTATCATCCTAGTGACAAATCATGAAGAAAATATATGCAAAAGACTGTGTGTGTGTGTGTTTGTGAGTTTACAGCTTGGGCACCTTCTGGAGCCATCTGGCTTCGAATTCCTGGCTAGGAACGAAAGCAGGGTAGTTGCCCTGGATGAAGTGGGTGCCCTTCTCAATGACCTTGTCGACGTGGGTGGCGACGCGGGGGACAACAGTGCGGGCCTCGTCGTTTCCGCGCTGAATACCACCCTGCACGCAGGCGGCACCGTTGAAGGCAGAGTCGGCAGTAGCCTTCCAGACGTTGGTGATGTCAGTCAACATGTCCTTGGTCCAGTACTTGCGGCAGTCGGCAGCCTCGTAGACAAACTGAGAAGGAAGGCCATCGGCAACGTGCTCCTCGATGACAGCATCGCGGACATTGATACCGGCATAGATAGTACGGCTGTCGGCCAGGGTGTTGTAGCGAGCAAACTCCTTCAGGTCAGCGTTGTTTCTGGACAGGCCCCTGCCGTTCTTGATGTAGTCGTAGATGGAGCTGTAGGTCAGGACCTGGGCACCCTTGACACCACCAACACCCTGCATAGCGTCGCGAGTGGGACGGCCGCCAAAGACGACAGACTTGACACCGCCCTGTCTCTTGAGGAGCTCAGAAGCAATGGTGCAGGTGGAAGCGCAGTAACCGTCGTAGAGAAGAACGATATTGTTGGCATCGAAAGGCTGCACACCACCAGTCTTGTTGCCGTAGCCAGCAATGGTCAAGCCGTCTCTGGCAAACTGGTCAAAGTCGTAACGCATAAGGTTGGTGTAGGGAGTGGTGCGGATGTTGTTGGGGCCAAACTTGTCAGCGAGGCTGGAGAAACCCTGGTTGGCTCTGTTCAAGTCGGCGTGCCAGTTGAGAGGCTCCTCGTTCAGAGTGCCAGGGTGCTGCTCGGCGTACGGGCCGTACACCTTGGCAACACCGAGGAAGGCCTTGTTAGCCTTCCAGCGCGAGTTGGCCTCCTGGATGGTGTTGGGGAAGAGCTGGCGGAAAAGATCGTAGCCAAGGAAGATATAGCCACCACCGTTGGCCTGGACGTCGAGGATAAGCTTGGACTTGCCGTCCTGAGTGGCCTGGGAGAGGAACTTGGCAGTGACGTCCTGGAATTCCTCGAAAGAAGAAGGCTCAAAGGAGAGCATAGTCAGGACAGCAGTGTCATTGTAGCCTTCGCCACTGAGGTAGTAGCCGGAAATGGTGCCATCACGGGAGGCGATGACAGGCTGGGGGTATCCAGGAATAGCGCCGTTGACGAGAACGCCATTGTTAGCGGCCGCTGCAGGCTTGGGGAAGTTAGGGTTGCAAAACTTGCTGTAGAAGCTGGCGCCATCAGTGACGTTGGAGAAGTCACCAACAATCTTGGCAATGTTGGTTTCAGAGCGGACGGAGCCGTCGCTCATGGTGTAGTTGGTGAACTCGCCCTGGTAGATAAAGTTACCACGGCCGCCAGAGGCGTGCTGGCCAACAGCGGAGCCCTCAATGCTGGTTGCAAGTTGGAAGAACACCTCGTTGTAGCCAGCATCGATATCCTGACTGCCGGAGCCGGCTCTAACTTCGTCAAGAAGGAAGTCGGCGGCATTCTTGCCGTTGATCTGGGTGACCGTCAGAGCAGCGTCACCTTGAGAGGCAACATCAGCCTTGAACTTGATCTCGGGAATAGCAGTTCCATCACTAGATAGCGAAACAAGGCCACTGCGACGACCGAAGCGAGTGGCACGAGCCAAGGCGTCGGGGTAGAGAGCCATGTGTCCATCATGACCAGGGTTGAAGACGTTGGCGACGAGATCAGCCTGGAAGTCGTATTCATTGGTGTAGCGGTTGTTGGCTACGTTATCACGAACACGTCTGAGGTTGGCATAGATGTCGTGGGCTGGGAAGGTGTAGTCTGCAGGAGGGTCGGCCTTGAAGTCAGGGTCACTCTGCCAGTCGAGGTAAGGGCTGATAGAGTCAAGGAGGTTCAGGGCATCCTGACGACGAATAGGGACCGAAGTCAAGCAGTCGTGGGCAAGCTTGGCAGAAACAGTGGGTGTGACTACGACTTCAGTTAGTATCAAGTCGGTGTACAGAACGTCGTAGGTTTAAGATGCACTAACCTCCAGGCTGGCGCGCAGCCCAAGCATCAGCAACCTGAGCACAAGGAGCTCTAGGAGCAGGTGCGGCAACAGGGGAGCCGCTGGCAAAGTCAGCAGCCAAGATGGCCAAGGCCAAGGCGGAGGAGGCTTGTCTCATAGTGAGAGATCAAGGGTTTGTGATGGAGAAGGCGGGGGGAAGAAGATGAAGAAGTGGTTATCCGAATTACACCAGGCCCAAGGTCTTTAGAATGGCGAGAGGACTGCTATCTATACCTCGCCCAAGACCAGACCAAGTGGTCAGTGATGCCGATGGCGACATGACTCCCATCCAGCTCGGCACGCCCCAACTTCCTAAACGGCAGTTCCCCAACTTACCGAGCAGTCATTTACCCCATCGTGGGGTCTCCAAACTGCCTTTCTGGGAAGGAGAATGACGGCGAGCACATGCGCATTGCACACAGCGCATTTTAATAAAGCGGAGCGCCATACAAAAGCCCCGAAAAAAAGGCCTCGACGCCTAGCCAAAGAGGAAGGCCTGGAGCGGGACGGCAGACAACTGACGGCGAACGCTGAAACATCGCTTAATGGGCCGGGGGCTCTTTTGGTTGTCATTGCGCTCAGCCAGCCTAATGTGGCGGAGATGGCTTATCTTCAGTGGCGTTAGCGTTGGTTCTAGCGCAGGTTTTATTGGATGCCCGCACTCGTACTTGCCAAAATAGGGTTGGAGTAAAGCCGAGTACCCCAGGGACAAGAGTCAGGGGGCTGCGGAGTCGTGACCACACAATGTGTATTAGGAAAAACGCAGCGAGAAATTGTCTAGAACCCCACGATAGGGGCTTGTCCTCATCGCGTGCACAATATCCGTAACGAGTCAGGGTCACTCGGCAGTCCCCTCCTGGCAGGCGGAGTTGTCCGAATGCAACAAAGGGTTCGCATTGAGAGTATTTGGCATCTGAGTATTAATTAAGCTAATGCATTATGGGCGCCCACTTGGTGGCGGACAGAACTCCAAAATGGGAGGTGTTGGGGGCGAAGCGCCGTAGGGTGGTATTACGACCTTGGTGCATCTGCGCCTTGCGTCTTCTCCAAAATCCCCGCAGCGGAATTCTTTTTTTTTCCTCTCCCTGTCTAGTAAATACCTGGAATGATGCGGTAGCGAACGACCTTCTTGTACTTGACCCAGTCGTCTCCATACTTACGGTAGCACTTTTCATCATCGCGGCGGTCCCGGTGAATCAGGAGAACTGCAAAATACACAACATAGAAGTACGTAATGGGAATAGCCCACCCTTTGGCATTGCCCTGGATAACCTGGCGGCCATCCTGCATTACATACGCATCCTCACCAGCCCAGCTACCAGCGGCCAGTATCTGGTAGCCGGCCATGCCGGTGGGAAGGCAGTAGGGCCAGGACTGGATCCAGTCGCCAAGATAGTTGATGTGGCGGGCTACGCCCCACCAGCCGGATGTAAGCAGCTTGCTGCCCGTCTTGGTCTGGATGAACTTGAGGTGAGCAACCTTGGGGTCATTAGGGTTGTTACGGAAGTTGTTCTTTTCAAGATTGGCCGAGCGGAAGATGAAGAATCCAACACCAATAAGTGCAAGCATGGCTGCCAGTCCGATTGGGCCCAGAGAGAGCGGATGGTTGGAGAGGTAGCGGGTCTGCTGAGAGTAGACGAATGGAACCCAGACGAGGTCGCCAAAGGCCAGCATCATACCGAAACCGTCGGTGGTGATGTCCATGGTTGTCAGGATGGCGGCTTCAAACACCCACGAGTCGATGATGTACAGAGCCTGAACAATGGTGATGCAGATGATGCTGTCAGTGACATGTCCGAAGTTGCGGTACTGCTGGGCACAAAAGGAGCAGTTTAGAATGATCCAGCCCATCATGCCAGGACGCAGCTCGCACCACTCCTTGATGTCGACCTCGCCAATGAGGGGGATAGTGACGCGGGGGTTCAATTCACGGCCAATGAACCAATCGTAGAGCAGGTTGCCTGTGTGGCCGCCCGCAGCAAGCTCACGGTTCTGCACATTGCCGGCCTTGACGCTGAAGCTTCGCACATAGACAAAGGTAGAGAGACTGTATGCAATGATGATGCTGGCTGTCAGAAGTTGGACGTAGTTTTCACTGATAAAGACCCAGACGGGAAAGTTGGCGCCCTGGGCGGCGGTACCGGCAGCAAGAAGAGCAAGGGTGAGAGTGTTGGAGTATAGAGCTATCCGAGTACGTTAGCCAAGACAAACACTCTTGTAGATTAGGCCGTACATACTGTTGAAGCGGTACTTGAGACGTCCTCCTGTAGCAAGGACAGTGCCCTCTACCTCTTGGGCGGGGAGAACGCGGTACAGAATCAAGTTGAGGAGGTAGTAGGCAGCCATGGCAGCGCTAGCCTTCCAGCTGGCAAGGCCCCAGATGCCATCTTCAGGCCAGCCAGCCTCGCGCTTGAGCTGATCGAGAGAGAACGTCTTGGGGCTGAGAAGCGATGGCGCGGGGCAGCCGGAGATGTCGTTGCAGACAAAGGTAAAGACATAGCAGAGGATCGGGAGACCAAATGAAATGCCTGCGGCGCCGGGACTATTGAGAAGGGGAAATCAAGAAAATGTTAGTCAGGTTTTTTATTTTGTTTTGTTTAGCTTCAAACAGCAACCAGTAGAAACGATGAGAGTTGTGCTTACGGGCCAAAGAATTCGTAGCCATGGGCCGGGGCGCCGGCAGCTTTGGTGGACTTGGGGGCCATGACGAGCAGACACAGTAGAGAATACGCGTGTTTTGCAAGACTAGAAATGGAATACAGCACACTCTGCTCTGCTTTGTTGATGCTCGTGCTAGATTCCAGCAGTAGCAGCAGCAGCAGTGACAGAAATGAGGGGAGGGGAGGAGAAGAAATGCGTGTGCAGCTGGCAAAACTGTCGACGGTCCGATCTCATTCGCTGGGCGACCTTGACAGCAGCTGTCCTGTTTGTCTGCCGCGTGAAATTCAACAACATCAGTACCTGCAACTAACTTTGCGCCGCCCCAAAACAGGTTTAGCTCGATGCGCGCCGTAGCGTGTGGGCGGACAAACTCTCTGCCCGATCGAGTGGCTGGTGCGTGAATCGTGGAATTAAAGAAACGTAGAAGGGGGATCTGCATGTGACGGATGGGCGATGCACGAGGATCAACACTGTGAATTACAGCGGGCTGTTAACGAGGGTCCGTTGAATAAAGCTGCCATGGGGAATATCTATTTTTTATAAGAATGTTATTCCCAGTGTGAGTCGCGTTCTTATCATCTCTATTCTTGTGGCCAAGATACAGCACATTATAGCCCCAAGCTACTCGTACGTTACGGTCTAGGTTGAGACGTAAAATTTATTTAAAAAGAAAATGTGCTTAGACCATCCAGGTCCGGCTTTTTCTTTTTCTTTTCTTCTTTTCTTCTTTTTTTCTTTTGTTTAACTGAATCCAATAAATCAAAATCCGCAGACACAATCAGGCAGTGAATCGGCGCAGCTTGCCTACCCTATTCTTTAAAAATGTTCCCCGTAGAGAACCATCACCTGTCTAGCTACGCGAGCGAGCTTCTATTACACCTCGATATTAAACTTTAATAAAATAGAATATAGTATGGGGCGCAAATATGACTAGATATTGTACCCTTGAGCTAATATACAAAACTTGCCAGCTTATCAATGGCGGACCCTTTGCAATATCTATACTCGCTCTTTATGAAAGTGTCATCGTCTTGTATAAACTGCTAAACGTGATCTGGTTTAAATCAGGCACCTTTCCGGAATCAAAATACTCTTGCACAAGCTTATTGACACAGGGGCTCGACTTCGTGGCTTTGAATGCACAGTGCCCCTCTATCTCCTGAATAATGAGCTTGGATTCCGGGTGCATTGCTTGTATCTTGCGCGCGCTGGCGAGAGGAGTAACCGGGTCGAGTCGATTAGAGAGAAACAGGATGGGCGCGGCAGGGACACCTGGTGTTAGCTCTTGAGAGAACCTGGGTGTTGTAAACGGCCCTCGGAAGCCCATCCTGTCTCTGTAAGGCCAGGCCGCATTCCTGAGCGTTATGGGAGCCTGCGATGAAATTTTGGAGACTTGTTCACCGTAGCGAACTTGCTCTTGAAGCCAGGAAATGGTCACATTGCCAAGTTCATACGCATCAGCCGCTGAAATGGCAGTCATACCGTCGAGGGCCAAGACAGGCCATGGAGAAGTCCCGCAACTATTTTTGAGCTGCCGGAACTGGTGCATAAATGTTGACCGTGTGAAATTCCCCTTTATAACGTGATCGAGCACGTCGGCGAGCCAAGGGCCATCTGTATAGGCCCCATACGCCCGAGCCCAGACATAGATCATCAAATCTTCCACAGTCATGGTTACCCATTGTTTAAGTCGAGGCGCCCAGGTAGCTTGGGGCTCGTTCTCAAGCTTCTTTATCATGTCCCAGAAGCGGGCTTCCGTATCCTTATACGAATCGTCTGCTTTGCGCGCCAGGCTGCACTTCTCAGCGCCGGCGGTGTGGCATCCCTTGAAAAACTTGACCAGTATTTTATCCAAGTCGACCAAACCTGATATATGGACACCAGTGCTTTGGTGCTTGATGTCCATAACACCATCTAGCCTCAGCCTGCCAACGCGCCCGGGGAACATGGATGCAAAATAGCTTCCAAGAAGGGTGCCGTAAGAGAAGCCCATGTAGTTCAGACGCGGCATGCCAGGCCCTTTTTCAGGAGATCCAACGGGACCTTTTGGCTCGGCAGGAGGCTTCCAACCGCGTGACTCTGCAATTTTATCAATCACGGCAACCAGGTCACGCGCTGTGCTGGCTGTTCCGACAAACGGAAAGACTTCGCCCAAAGACTTTTCGGTATCTTCACGTCTCTTAACGTGAGTTCTTTCTTCTGCAAGCATGTGTATCAGTGTAGTTTTATCCGCGCGAATTGGGCCCAGCTTTCCCAGGACGTAATTACGAGCAGCGTATGTCATTGAATCTCCCGGTGCGCAGTGAGCTCTTGGTAGAGTGTTTCCAATGCCTCTAGGGTCAACCCCAGTCCACTCGTAGTGTTGTTTCCCTGGCTTGTCGATAAATTTGGCGTAGGATTTACCAAGGAATGCCATAACTGCCGCTGGTGACGGGGGACCACCAGGGTTCATCAGCATGGGTCCAGCAAAGGAAGGGTCGGAATCGTTGACAGCGGCAGGGGACTTTCTGATTGCAAGTGTGGCAAGGCGGTGGTCTGAAGCATTTGCCCAGTTGAGTGGCACAAGAAGCCTTGCACAGAAGTACTCACCATCACAGCTATGCCACTTAATATGTGCGAAGGTTTGATGGTTCCCCAATCGAAATCGGAATGCAGCAGGCTATTTTGCACGGTTCCATGCTCTAGATTTCTGGATGCTTGTACATCACTCACAAAAGCAGTAGCTGCAAGCGACAGCCAAAATGTTGTCCGCATTTTGTCAAGCGATCAACCCATCTATATTGATAGCTGTAAAGGGTCCGTGGACGTACCTGGATATCCATTTATTATATAGGTTCAGTATTATTTTTTGTCTTTGTACTAGATTGGACTTTTTGATGTTATAAATAAGATTCTTTTGTTGTCAATATTGGCTCAACTGTAAGCATCGGAGTTATCGCTTTGTTTTCTGGCCATTTACGCATATCTGCAAACCGAATGAAAAACAATTATTGCGAAAGCTATTACTATAACAGTAAATTGTCACAAACCTAGGGCTGGTGGAATACGTTATAATAGATACAATTTGTGAGACGCAAGTCTAATACTTCTGCTGAGCGGCGTGCGCTGCTCCAGACCTAACAGGAATAAACTGGTCTTGTATGTAAGCTACTGCGGTGCACCAATCCTCAACAAGGACACTATCCTCATTGCTGGTCACTGTGTTGAGGATGGAAAAGCCTCTGAAATGAGTATCAAGGTTGGCAGCAGTCTATTCGACGACGGCGAAGTCCACAATGTGACAAGCTTCTTTTTACACCCAAAGTTTGTCAATTTAGTGAAAGGCGATATCCCTGACTACGATGTTTCTATTCTGAAGCTTGCGACGCCTCTCAGCTTTGGCCCGGGCATCCAGCCTGTCGGGGGTATGGTGAACAAGGGGCAAGAGCCCGTGGCGGGCGACATTGGTTTCACCTCTGGCTGGGGCACGCTACAGTGGCAAGGAGAATCTCCCAAAGTGCTCCAATCTGTTGAGATTCCCGTTATCCGACACGAAGTGTGCGCCAGGACGTATGCAGCCGACAAGTACAGGCTCCCAGTTGGTCAGCGCATGTTCTGCGCCTCGATGTCCCAGGGAGGAGAGGACTCTTGCAACAGCGACTCTGGTGGTCCTTTTATTATTAATAAAAAGATTGCTGGTATTGTGTCTTGGGGTCATGAGTGCCCGTGCTGATGCTCCTGGTGTCTACACTGATATTGCTAACCCCGAGACTTACGACTTTATTGTCTCGCACATGTGAGGAAGCAATAGGGCAGAAAGTAGCATGGGAAGCAAGTGATCTTACAGTCGTCAAGACTAGCGTTGGGATATTAAGTATACATGCGTAGTATATAGTATCAGCTGAATCTCTACCGAAGTCTACTCTACATGTATTCTCCGCTTACAATTTCTATATCGAAAAATTCATCAATTTTTTCAAGCTATCCATCTCGAATTTCTATTTTCCAAATATTTTCTGTTCCTAAGCCCTCTTTCTAGGCATCAGGTGTAGGGAACCACCTGTGCAGCCCGCCCCCATTTGGTTAGCGCCAGCCGTTGTTTGTCGGCCTTCCCCAAGGACAGGTACCAACAAGCCCGCCCGCCACCCGTCATCTCCACCACCAAGCTTCCATCGTCCTTTCAACATCTTCATTTCGCATTTCGCCAGTCTCACAATGCGCTTTCTTGCCCCGACAGCTGCGCTTCTCTTTGCGCTCGGCGCATCAGCTACTCAAGCCGACAAGCCAACCACGACGTCACACGCCCCCGAATGCACTGCAACGTCATCCACCATTACCGATGCGTTCTTTGACCTACGTCCCGACACCGCGCGCAAGTCCACCACATCCAAACCCAACAAGTACGGCGTGACCAAAGACTACCACGCCAGAGGCTTCGACTACGGCAAGAACTTTACCCTCAATATCTGCGGCGCCGTAGTCGACCCGGTGCAGGGTGTCGTCGGCATCAACAAGACGACGTGGCAAAACGTCAGCGCATACTACGAGTCAAAAGGCGAGATCTTTTCCATCGGGTACGTAGCATTGCGCATCCATTGCCCGTTTTATTCTTTTGTGTCTTGACACCATAGGCCATGCTAACAATACCGCAGTTCACAATCCGTCAACCTGACGAGCCGAGGCAAGAAACTCGTCTTGCAATACCGCGACGGCTCGCCCTGCGGACCTGGGTCGGCAACGAAGCGCAGCACCAGCCCCGGCCGCGCGTCTCCCTATGGCGACACCTCCAAGCCCATAAAGAAGCCCGACTCGCCCAAGAAGATCTCCGACGATGACGAACAGTCCATCCGCCGCAAGTCGACAACCATCTCGTTCATTTGCGACCGCGACCCGGTCAGCTCGCAAGCCACGATATCCTTTGTCGGCACCGATCCTGATGAGTGCGCCTACTTCTTCGAGGCCCGATCCGTACATGCTTGTTCGCAGGTTGAGCCTCACAAACCCGGCAGTGTCGGGCCCGGCAGCATCTTTGGGCTTATCTTCTTCATCGCTTTGCTAGTCTACGTGATTGGCGGTGTTTGTTACAACAGAACTGTCGCCCATGCCCGTGGCTGGCGCCAGCTCCCTAATTTCAGCCTCTGGGCTGGCATCTGGAGCTTCTTTAGCGTTCGTGAACCCTCCAAGCACGACTTCCTCCCCCACCACCGCACAAACTGACACTTTGCGTCTGGCCTTGTAGGATATGTTTGTCATCTTGCTCGCTTCGTGCACGCGCCTGTTCCCAGGCAGCCGCGGTGCCTATAGCAACCTTAACTCCAATTACAGCAGTCGAAACCGCAACTCGGATGCCGAGAACCGCCTTATTGACCAGCTCGACGAAGAGTGGGACGATTAAATCGCTGATGTGCTGTGACGAGTGACGAGTAAAGAGGACGGATGGGTTTGGGTTGTTACTTTCGCTGGGTTCGTTTGGTAGGTCGGCTGTGCTGGCCTGGTTTTTGTTTTCGTTCTTTCATGTACATAGTTTGCTTTGTTCAATGATCCTTTTGTGATCAAATCCGGCATACCTGGCGTTCGGGATACAGCAGGGCACCGCATTTCACAAGCCCTATTAACAGAAAAAGAATTGCATATAATATACGAATATGTTGATTTCAAAGAATGTTGCAAACGTAAGCCCCGAAATTCGTGTTTATAGTGTTTGCCAAAATTTACTTGCCCATTTTTGCTGAATGCTGTCTTTGTTCTCCTTGGCTCGAGCGTCAGGCGGCCAACTCTGCCATTGTCTGCTTCTTTGTTCCAGAGCGCCTACACGCATAAAAGGGTATGCACATGCACAAAGCTTCCGTGCATATTCGGCAAACAATCTGCTGCTCCACTTTTCTACAAGGCATATTCACCCGCCAGTTTCGTCGACAATGACTTGGCTTGTTTGCTACAATCCTGGAGTCTTGCGGTTACCTGTGGCGGCAAGCGGCATCGACGTCGGCTTGGTCTACAATGGGTCCAATGAGCTGGCAAAGTTGTAATAATTTTGCGTATTTCTTATTCCCAAGACGGCTTCGCCGACGAAAGGCGTAGGGATTGTGTAGCTGAGGGGCCATGTCGGAGCCTTTTCATAGCTTGCGTTACTACCATTTCTGTAGTTTACTTTTGTGTCATTATTTGGCATTTCAAATAATCAGTCAGGTTATTCCGACAATTTCAATTCCCGAGGAGTATATCCATAGTACCTTCTTAATCAGACCTACCAGCGAGTAGACAAAACAATCAAAGATTCACGTCAAGACGCTACAATATGATATCTTCATTATACTTAAAGTCTACAGCTGTACACATTAGCTAGTTCCTTGTCCACAATTCTTACGTTCGCAAACTGCAGGGCGAGCTGCAAGCCACCGCATTACATGGCACAGATCCAGCCAGCGGTGTAGATCTTGAACCATCTTGCTGCCCGTATCGGCGCTTGTCCTGCAGGTATGCTCTTTGTGAGCTGGCAGTTACCTTGTCCCTGTGCCTTATATGGTATGTATAATATGCTTCAGTCTGAACTGAGTATCTTTATTTTTGTCTTACGAGTTAATAAGAACTGTTTAGTGAACGAGCATTCTACTCGCGCTCAGCGACCGATCAACGTCACCAGCAACTCAGCTTCTCATGAACAATTAACAGTGGACCCTAGTCTTCCCTTACACTGAAAAATGAATGACAACTCATGGACTCCTTTTCTTTTTGATTTTGATGTAAGTCAGAGGGGGAATATCCCACTGAAAGATACTAATCGGGTATATTGTCCAGGTCCCAAGATCTTGCTTGAATGCCAGCCCTACAGTACTGTACGACAAAACCGCTATCCAGTATATGAACCAGTACAAATTGCGAGAATCTATTGAATTTGGAGTTCACAGTATTTCAGGCATGGCAGTTCCAGATGACGACGGTTCTATTTGGCTTCCTTTCCTAAATATGCCACTAAGCTACTACGACTGTTTTAGTCAACTTCGTGGTGCCAATCTTGCTTCAGAATCACCAACATATTCAAATTCGTCGATATTGGGTGCAGAGCAGACTTTAATAGCTCCTATGTATCCCAGTACTACTCAGGGATGGACAGAGACATCTATCAATACGCCCGAGTTCGGCTTTGTCCGTCCTAACGAGATATTCTCTCAGTCTAACACGCCTTCCAGCTTGGGTCAGATGTGCAGAGAAGACAGCCTCGATGTCGACTTTGATAGTTTTAATAATCTTGACGACTTCGATGCTGATTCATCTTCGGGTTCTACCACGGCTACGCTATCCTCCGCCGGGTCGTCAGAAACCGTCCAGCAGTCAAGTGAGTCCGACAACTGCCTTCAAGAACCTTCTATAAAGGTTGAAACTGTTCAGAGCATATCGCCAATCTCGCCAAACGCACTTCGCTCGGAAAAGGACAAGTTTCTTGTTCAGGCGAGAGATTCCAATATGACCTATAGGGAGATCAAACAGCAAGGCGGCTTCTCTGAGGCTGAGTCAACGCTCCGCGGTCGATACAGGGCTCTCACAAAGGAGAAGGAGGCAAGAGTTAGGAAACCGGAGTGGTCATCCATTGATGTAAGTGGACGTTTGCTATAATCAATCTTGTTGTTGCAGTAGCTAACCTCTATTAAGATTGTCCTTCTCCGTCAAGCCATCGACCACTTTGCAGAAGGTGGAAATATCAGACGGGCCAAGCTCCCGTGGAAGAAAATTGCGGAATATATCGAAGATAATGGAGGAACATATCTCTTTGGACCGGCGACATGCAAGAAGAAATGGATGTCTCTGCTACCAAAGCGCCGCCGAGGCTGACTTGCTAGACTGACAAGATTGGATTCATGTTTGTGGCTAAACTGAAGAATGGCTTTGAGAGTAGTTGGTTGGGTTTTAAATTATTGCAAATTTCAAGGTTAGGGTTTTAGCCTATATGGTGCTAATGGTTGGCTTTGAGATCGATGCTTATAGTTTGGTTGTCTGATTTTGAGACGGGACTCCGACAGTGCGCAAGATTTCCTCTAGAGCACTTGGATCACTCTTTAAAGCATTCCATTCCGTTTCCGATTTAACAAGCGCTGTGCCTGCCAGTAATGTACCGTTAAGTGACAGCGAACCAATCGCCTCCTCTGAACGTGATACGCGGATCGGACCGCCATCCGAAAGGCGAGGGCATACGACTAACGTATCCTTGGTCATGGCTAAATTGTAGCTGATTTGGGCGTCACCGGTGGTCTCATGCTCTTTTTCTTTCATATTCCATCCTTTAGCATTCGATACTGCTAGACAAGCTTCGCGATACAGCCTCAGGTATGCGGCGTGTAGAGCTGCGGCTGTCGTTTCCGTCGAGATGGATTCTCTAAAGACGGAAAATGGTGCTCCATCTATGTTATCCGACGAAGCTAATAGTTTCCACGGTGAGTCTGGAGCTAGACCATCTTTCATATTACTGATTGGTAGCAACTGCAAATGGCGATGTGGCTGACTTGCTCCAGAATGCTGGCCACAATTGAAGAAAACAAAGAGCTCGCCGTCGTATGCGCGAATGCACTCTAGAGCAGCTGCCAAGTCCCCCTCCTCTAGAATGTGTGTCTGCGGTGCAAAGTCTTTTGTGGCTATGATAAAATGCTCGGGAGTAATGGCAAACTTATTCAGAACCAGATAGTGTGCAGGCCCGACATCTGCAATGAACAGCTTTGGGCGGGGTTCATAGGCGAACGGATCAAACGGCTTCTCGTTATTTTTTGCTTGAGGCGGGGGTCCTTTAGGCTTATTCGCCAATGTCAAGGAGAATCTTAATTGAAACTGCAGAGAGGGATAAGTAGACATCCCGCCATAGTTGGAGGACAGGACAATGACTGACTGGAATATTGCCAACGCGCAGGTCGGCTACTTGGGTGGAAAAGTATGTCAAGTCGCCGTTGGCACGAGCTTTGGCAAATGCCAATTTGACAATCTCTGGTAGTTTATTGGGTGCTTTAATTGCCATTTTTGCGAAGTATCAACAACGGGGCTGATGATGGGAGATGGAAACGAGCAATCTGGGTGTTGAGATGCGACGAGGCCAAGATGGCCAAGGTGGGGCACAACACCACATAAAAAGAGGACTACAGTAACACACAATTATCATGAGCATACTTATATTATCTGATTAATTGGTATCTATATTTATGGATTGGGTAAACGTGATGATATTTTAGCCGTTTCGTCACCAGACTTCACATTCCAGGCATTCCGAGAACTTGCCTCAACGCCGGTACAAAGCGTGGCACGTAGTACACGCCGTAAACACCAACAAATGCCGTAATCAAACCAGTAAACTAGAACATATTTGTTAGCAATGCCCCTCCGTAAATCCAGACTCACACTCGACATACCTTTTCAAACCACGTATGGAAGTAAATCGCCGTCATCAGTAGCATCCACAAGTTCAACCCCAACACCGCCAAAGCCACCTTACCACCAACTCCAAACGCCGGCTTCCCCTTCCCACTCGCAAAGGCAACTTCAGCCTCGATGCTGGCACTCTTAACCGCTCCGTCGGGCATCACTACACGGCGCTCCTCCGAAAGCCAGCCGGTCCAGCGAGCAACAGCCCATCCAACCTCATTCATGAGCAACGACGAGCCAAGAACCAGCAGAAAGACATGACCCGAGATATCATGGCCGCCCTTCCACTTACCCCCCGAAGCCTTGCACGCAACCGCCGTAAACACCTCCGCGCTGCCCGCCGTTCCGTGTATAATTCCAAGCTCGGCCAAGTCGCATTTCCCTCCGGTCCAGCGGAAGCCGCGGTCAATCACGGGCGGGCCGAAGCACCACTGCGTCACTAGCACCCACCAGCCCGTCACCGCGGCCCATCGCAGCGCAGCCTGTGCCCGGCGCTTGGCAGACCCGAAGCTCGGGTGCGTTGCGATGAAGAGCGCCGATGCAAGCGTCAGCCACATCCAGCCAACCTTGACAAAGTAGACGTTGAACATGTTGGACTTGCGTGCAAAGTAGCTCGGCTCGCTGCCGCCCGCATGGTGGTGCGTCTGCGCGACATGGTCGTAGGTAAGCGATCGGGTCGACGGGGAGAGAAGCGAGAATACGGAGCCGAAGATGAGCAGGCCCGGGAACGCGCCGAGAGCTATGCGCTCAATGAGAGTCGGGAGGAACGGCGATGTGCGGGAGGCGGACACCGGAGCGGCGGTGGCCATTTTGTCGGCGGTGGTGGTGGGAGATGGTTTGTTTGAGGCGCCACCGGCTCGCTTTTTAGCTACCATTGATGGGAGTCTATGGGGGGTAATTAATTTATCGTGAGTAATTCGCAGCGTTGGCGAAGAAATGCAAAAAACACAATGCTCTAGGGAAACGAAAGAAAACCAAGATTGGTTGGAAAGGGTGGTAGTGGTGTTTTTTAGCCTGTACTTTTGGCGATGACGTCCCTGTGGCGCATGCTCCCGCGCTACGCCACGGCTGGAAGCTTCCACTATGTGCTGGGCCCCAGGAAAGCCGAGGTCGATGTGGCGCTTACACCCATCTGATGACCACCCTACAACCAGGGTAGAAAAACCCAATTAATCAACAAAGTAGTTTAGTATAAATATCTATTTAAACGAAGAACTTGATAATCAAGTTAATAATTAAATTAATTCTAACTTCTACCAATAATACATAAGAGGCGCTGCCCGCTCATAAGAGAATACATGTAACGATTATGACTCACGTGGAGTTACAAAAGCGACATGTTGCGCCTTCCAGTGGACGAAAGCCAACACCAAAAAACATCATTACAATACACAAAAGATGGCCAACGCGATAGTTATCCGCCAGGCCACAGCCCAAGATGCGGTTTCAATCGGCAACTTATACGTCGCCTCGCGCGCGGATGCGCTTCCCACGCTCAAACAAGTGCACACAGAGCAGCAAGTACGCAACTGGATCGTCAGCCTCTTCCAAAAGGATGACAACGACAAATACACCAGCGACTTGTACGTGGCCGAGACAGATGGCAAAATTGTCGGCTTTCTGAGAGTTCAAGACACCGATCTTGACCAGCTGTACTTGCTACCCGGATACTACCGCATGGGCATCGGATCGAGGTTGCTGAACAAGGCTAAGGAGCTGTCACCCGAGAAGCTGACACTCTACACGTTCCAGGTGAATGTACGAGCACGGGCATTTTACGAGGGACACGGGTTCACGGTGGTAGATTTCAATGACGGATCGCGCAACGAAGAGAACGAGCCGGATATCCTATACCAGTGGGTTGCGTCTAACAAGCAGGCATCATGATGAAGGTTTTATAGCCTATTTGTTTGAATTCTGGTGTATAGAATAGCTGCTACCCTGGTAAAATATTAAGAGCTGAGCTGTAACAAACCAAACTAATCCCCCGTTCGTAGCCGATGGTCACCTTTGGTTGCGATCAGGCGTGTCGTCGATCGAGTATACGTAGAGGACGATCAGCCGCAATGGGTGCCTAAACACCAGAAAGCCCACGCTTGACCAATCACATCAAAAGAACAACGCATCGAAACAGGTTTTATACTAAAATAATTGTCAGTAATTTCAGCGAAGTAGCTACAAGGCATTGCTTCGGCTTTGCTAAATTGAATACTTACCTTGACGTCCCTTCGCTTTCCTTTTTGGTGGCACAGCCGATGATGCATAGCAGCGGTTCGAGCAAAGGCTCTGGCGTACAGCCCTTCTTCTTTTTGTAGCTCTTTATTATAAAGTTCCGTAGTAGTACATGATTTTACATTTTGCATACTATACATACACATCCATGGAATATACATACTTTGCTGAGCGGGCGTTGCCTGCGCCTGGAGCAGGTTCTGTGCGCGTTGATCTTGCACCGTATTGATGCATTAAGCATCAGATTTGTTTATAATATGAAGGATTACACATGTAATAGATGACCAGCATTTTGTTTCAATTTTACTGTATTGCATTCTGCTATTTAAGTGTCTATCATAATACCCTCGCACATCAACTCTCAAAGCTGCGCATGCTATATGCTTCTATCTACAACTTGACGAGTTCAAACGTCGATGTCGAGTTCATCCTTGGATTGATGTTCATGGCAAGTCGTTAAACTCAAAATGGGACAAATGTCTTGCTTTGGTTTGAAAAAAAGAGAGAAAGAAAAAGAAGTGCGTATATATGTCCGTCAAAGAAAGGGCAGGGGGAAACGGCGTCATCCCGCGCTTAGGGGAGAGCAGTAACAGTGACATAGATAGTGGTGGTCATTACGACTGTCGTATCTGCGCCATCTGACTGCTGCGTTGGCTCATCAGGCACTTTGTCTGTGGTACTCTGGGTATTTAAAACAGTCGAGCTCCAACGAGTCACATCCGTCGACGAGCTGGTTGGCCGTGGGTCCGTTTTAGGACCCGGTCCCGTTGGTACATCTTCACCAACCTAAGGTGAGAAGGCAGCAACGGCAGCGCAGAAGTTGTTTCTGTTGTCCTTATCAAGGGCAGCAGATTGGCCATTGACAGTGAACATGTTGATGGACGCCTTGGTGCTGACACCGTACATGCGGGTGTTGGGGGAGCCCTGAATGTCAATCATGTTGTCCTGACAGTTGTTATCGCCGACACATTGCTGGTTGTAGTTATCGAAGAAACTGTACAGACCACCACCAAGAACGTAGACGTCACTAGAGTTGATGATACGAAGACCCCAGGTACGAGCACACTTAGGACCCTGGCACTTGGACCAGTCAGGGTCGCCGTAGGTAGGGTTGTTTCTAAAGGGCACAGTGGCGTCCGGGTTGCCTTGCATATAAGCAGTCTCAGTCTGGATCAAGCCCATGTAGACGTTCTTGGCGTTGCTGAGCTGGTAATTGGAAAGGACGTGGTGCTCAGAGGCAGTACCCCACAACCAGGCGCCCTTGGTGCTCTCAATGAGAACGCCTCGGCCGTTGTAGATGTTGATCTGGTTGTGGTCAGCGAGGTCGAGCTCGTGGTCAGCGACCCAGAACCAAGTGTTCTCGAGGTAGGCACTCGATGTGGGGGTAAGGTGGATGTTCATGAAGCCACCAATGCAGTCGTTGTTAGGGGGAGCAGTCTGACTGGGGTTCTTGGCGCAGCGATCAGACTGGAGCTGGGTGCCGGCAGAACCACCGACGCGGAAGTGGGTGTCCCAGAGACCAGCAGCGCCAGGGCTCGTACCGGCAACATTGAACTCCATAAGAATGGCACCAGGCTGAGGGCCAAGAGTTTGGAAGATAAGGTCCTGAATCTCAACAGTGCCCACATCACCGGGCTTACCGACGCGGAAGACGGGCTTAGGTTTGGTGGGGCTCTTGAACTTGCTGTTACCACCACCAGCCATGATGACAGGCCAAATTTCACCGACAATCTTGACGTTGGCAGGGAGCTGAACGGTATCGGAGACAACATAGGCGCCATGATCAAAGTAAACAATCTGGTCGGCTCCGATGCTGTCGAAGACGGCCTGGAGAGCCTTGGTGTCATCAGTGGTACCATCGCCCTTGGCGCCCTTGGACTTGACAGAGACAAACTTGGAAGCGTCGACGTTGTTGTACTGGGGCTTGGAGCGAGTAACCCACTTGCCGGAGCCGTCAACAAGAGCAGCAGGCTTGTTGGGGGCGGTCTGGCCGCCTTGGACAGCCTTTCCATTGTTGCCTTGGTAAACGCGACCCTGAATCCAGGAGCTAATCTTGGAGTTGCCACCGAGGATGGTGGCCTTGGTTCCACCGTTCTGGATAGCTACAGGAACGTTCTTGGAGAAGTCGACGTTATCCAAGACCAAGCTACCGTTGGTACCGCTCTGGCCAGGGTTGTAGACTGTAGAGATGGCGACGGGGGTGTTGGAGAAGACGGAGTCGGAGAGGACCATGGAACCGACGGTCTGCACGTTACCACCGTTGGCCATGTCAATACCGACATCGACACCGTCGATTTGAAGACCATGGTAGGTGAAGACCCAGTTCCAGTTTTGGTAGATGGCAGTCTTGCAGCCGTTGAACTTGAGGTTTCGGAAGGTGTACTGCTGCGAGCCAACAAAGATACCAATGCTACCGCCGTTGAAGGTTAGATCGCTGCTGAAACCACCAGAGCCGTTCTCCATGAAGAGACCCTGCTGCTTGTTGTCGGGAGACTTGTCGCGGACCATGTTAAATTCAATGTTCTGCAGCGATGTAGCCTGGGCAACCTGCCAGTGAATACCGGTACCGGTAGTCTTGTTAAGACCAGTAAGATCGATCTTGAAGTTGCGAATCTGGCGGAAGAAGTTGTTCTGGTTGGTGAACCAGTTGTTACCGGTGTTATCGTAAGGGTTGACATCGATAACAGCGATACCGGTGAAATCGGAGGAAGCCTTGAGGGTAGGGACGTTGGCGGCATCACCAACGAGCTGAGTGTAGTAGTGGGCGACAATGGGAGTGTGGACCTTGTAAGTGCCTGGGGGGAAGTAGACAAGAGCAGGCGTAATAGTGCTGGAGTCACAGCCCTTGCCGCATCTGTTTCCATCGGCAATGGCACGGTTGATGGCGTCGGTATCATCATTGCTGCCGTCACCAACAGCGCCGTAGTCCTTGACGTTGCGGTAGACTTTGTAGCCGTTGTTGTTGGAGTAGGCGACGGTGCCCTGGCGCTTGATGTTGGAGAGCCACCAGTTGGAATTGCCAGGGGCCTGGGGGGCACGAACCTGGTTGTTCATGCTGGCCTCTTGGGGAGCGGCGAGAGCGCCAGAGAAGGCCTGCATGGCCATGACGGCGGCAGTGAAGACCTTAGAGAAACCCATGGCTCCAAAAACGATCGATGAGTCGATGCGGGTGGATCGAGAGGGGGCGGAAACCTTGTCTATTTAAAGAAGAATAGCGTTAGTTGTGGAAATGAGTGGCGTGTTATGGGGAGCGGTTGAAAAAAGCAACGGGCGCCAGGGGTGTCTATATTTCATATAATGGATGAATAGACCAGGTCTGGGCGGTGTTTGCTTCTTCTGAACGCTCTGCTGGTGGAAATGAAAGCGACGCAGCGAAAAAGGGAAGCTTGGGGAAGTGAGAAGAGAAGAGAAGAGAACAAGGACGATGACAGCAGCAGCAGCAGTAGAAGTAATAACACGGGCAGCGTCGCAGGGTTGTCGCTATTGACGGTTCTTGCCAGCTGCGAAGAACTGCCACCAGCGTTCCCAGCCACTGCATTGTCACAGCGCATGGGCACTGCAGCAGTGACAATAGCGAAAGACGGGAGAGCAAGAACCATGTCAGGCTGCCATTTCGCAAGACAATTGGCCTTGGGGGTGTTTGGCGCGTGTGTAATGCTGTCCTGTTCACTGACGGTGGTGCTGTTGCTGTGGTGGTGGTGCTTGCGGATGGTGGGCTCAGGCGATGCGACGTTGCCCAAGACACAGTCACCAAGCAGCAAGTAGAGCTGACAGGCGAGACGTTTTTGCTTGGGGAACGGCGGCCGCTGTCTCGTCTTGCAGTGGCCTGCGGATTTGTTTCGAAACAGGCACACAGCGTGTCGGGTGCAGCTGCAGCTTGGGCACGGCAAACAAATCCTCCCCTCTTCTCTCTCGTCCAGGGGTTTTCCAGCGGGTGGGCAGTGGCTGCAGCGAGGCTTGCCAGGGGCAGGGGAATACAACTTACAGTGGTAACGCCTGGCGCAAACAGGTAGTAGGGACGTAACTCTTTGTCGACGTTGCGTCAGTAAGAAGAAGAGATAAAAAAAGAGGAAGAGGGGTTCCTTTTTTGTACCTGGCGAGCTAGGTTTGGAAAAAGAAAGAGAAGAAAGAATTAACCTTCTTTTCTTGTTGTTGAAAAGGAAAATGAGAGTTCGCGACTGGTGTCTAGCTTTCTTTCAGCAACTGTGAGTACCGAAGACGCACAGAAGCCAGAAGATGTAAAAGACAAGAGTAGTCGTGAATCGGAAAGAGACAAGACGAGCACGGAATGACTAGGCCAATAGCAATATATATACATTGTCTCTCCAATTTGGCCTTGGGCTGCCTGGCCTGGCACGCATGCACCCACTGAGGTCGGTACCTGGGGCCCTGTTCCCCTCCCCATTGTCATGCTCTGCCCCGAAAAAGCCACGGCCACTGGAATGACACCCTCCCCGCCCCAGCCCCATCCACCTCCAGGCAGGTGCCCCAGCGGCTGGCTCTAAGTACAGCAGCTACTGTCAGTGCTAAAGAGCTTCAGTGGGGACAGCCCGCCCTGTCTGCTGGTCCTCGGCGCGCCGTCCCACGTCTCCCGGCCGCTAGCTTTTCCTCTTTCGCTGCAGGCACCTGCGCTAGCAAGCCCTCACCTCCAACTCGCCTCCACTCTCACGCCCCTGTTTCCCCAATAGGCCCGACAAACCGACCGAGTTCACAGCACCGTGCATCGTGGTCCACTCGGCTGCCTTGCAACAACTTTGTTCGTCGGCTCAAGGACCCTGCTCCCGTTTCAGACCAAGGCCGGAAGCACAGGACGGCGCTTGTGGACGCGGACGTGGACGCTTCTCTTTGCTGGCTGCTGATGATTGCTTTGTTTGCAGCAATCTGCTAAATGAACTACATGTAACGTTTTGCATGTTTCCCTAATTCTTCATTTCGGCGGGTTGTTCGATCACCTGCATGGCAAATCACCATTCTGCGTTCTCGGCAATGCCTTCGGCCTAGCTTCGCACAAAGATCTTCATCCAACTGACACCGTACCACCATCAGCAGACTGGACGAAAAAGTTGGAGGCACAGAGTAGACGAGACTCCCCGATGACACGTAATCCACGTCTACTCAACACCCACAGCCCGACTACAAGCGTTTCGAACCACCGTCTGTAAGAAAGTCTCTTTTGTATTGGGGAGCCACATCGGCGTGACGCCTTCTCATCGACAAACATACACCCCTCAGCCAGCGGCAGATGGACAGCCCATAACTATCCTGGCTAAAGCTTGGCTATCGACCTTACGGCTCAGCACCGCAGCACCGCCGAAGCCACACTCAGTAGCCTCTTAAAGCTGCCTAAGCTGGACCTAGCGGCTTGGTGGACATCGATGGCCAGAAGCATTGGCTCAGAGAAGAGCCGGCGTGGCTGACCATAGGGTTAGCGTCGTTTCAGTGGCATTGCGTCTCTGGCGTACGCCTGCCGCTGATAGGCCCGCCGTTGAAGGTGGAGTCTTTTTCTTTAGCCACAGCGCTGTAGACGCTTGGCAACGCATTGTAAGCATTGCCATGGGAAATTAATTTGGGATCTACGAACTTGCTCACATCCTGTAATTACAGGTATACCCGGCGCGCCTACGTTTGAGCGCAATGCCTTTTGCCACGAGTGATGTCACCGGTTCGAAGCATCGGCGGCAAACCCAGTCTACGAGTACTTCGCAGGCGAACATCCATACCAGCTTGGCGCCTGCGCAGCAACCGGTGAACCGGTGCGAATGACGAACCCTTTGTAACAATTGTCTCTTCCATAGCCAGAGTCTCACACTTAGTGCCTTTGTCATGTGGAACGGCGCCAGCGCCAACCAGCGTGCCTGGACGGGGTCTTGGTTGGATCGCCAACCCCGTGCAACATTCCACACGGCACGCCGATGTCTGACGATCCAAATACAGGCGATCTGCGCTCATGTTTTACGGTATCTGTGGAAGATGACTCGGCTTCTACGACAGCTTCTTCTCTGCATCTCTGCCACACCCATTTCATTTTCTATATTTGGACCGAGGAGTGAACGGTATAGCTAATTGCTCTATGTGCATTTCTTGACAACAGTATGGCCCGGCTCAACTGCGACTGTCCCGGTCAAGGGTGGAGGCAGCCCGTAAATCCCGCCGGAGGCGATCACAAGACTCGCAAGATCTGTTCATGCTAGGCTAAGCGTTCCTGGACCACAACTATGGGTACTGCACCAGCGGACCCTGGCTCGCCTACCTGTACTCGTACCGTTCGAGCCGCGTCCTAGAGTGAGCCGAGGGCAAGCCCAGCCCTCTTTCGGTTACGGCGAGCCTTACTCATAGCCAGCGTACCGCAATTAGGCAGGTAGGTGATTCAAACAAGGCTGCGAATATGCACACAATCAAATTTGTAAATGACTCTTATACACCAAGCAGCGGGCCAATCCACACAACGTGCAAGCAATGGAGGCTGGGAGCCTAATTCCAGCTCTTTTCTAACGCACGCCATGACTCCAAAGTAAGATTATCGGTAACCCAAGGGTGCGAGCTAGTGAGGAATCAATGGTATTCACCTACCGCTTTTGAATGTTCACTCCGTGATCCATCACATCCTTTCCTTCATCAATGCCTGCTCGGCCAAACTCTGGAGCGCAGCGGATCCTTGCCCACTGCAGCCCTGCGTTCATACTCTTCTCTTTAGAGTGAATTTTCAGTCTCCATTATGTATTACTTACATGCGCGGTTCTCGCTGCCTCGGCTTGGCAGTCCCCGAAGCTCTTTTCATGCGAACCATCTGGCCCACGAGCCGATTCTGCTTCCGCACATTTCCGAGTATACGGTAAGAATACACAGAGAAAGCTACAGCCGAGTCCTAGCTGCCTAAAAGCCAAGAAAATAAATTTGCATGTTCACGATGCGCAGGCAGAGGCCGGCACTACCTCATGCAGACCATTGGGTTCTAGACGAACACTACTCGCCCGCTACTCCCCGACAAGCGCTGTCCAAGCTCTCCCAAAAAGCATCCGTCTGCAGGTCTGATCTTACGGTCCAAGACGCTAGTCCTGCGCTGGAAAAGCGTAAATGGAACGCCAGATGTGTATCCTCTCCCAATTCAGTTGACCGTGTTCGGCCCGTTGTCTGTATTGATATTGCGCTCTATGCGCCTTGTTTCCCCGTCCCATAAGCTGGCGGAGACCCCATGCCTGATTACTAGTATATTGGCCTTATTCCTTTCCCCCGCAAGGGAAGCTTGCCTCGCAAGGTTAGCCTTAGCGGCGCCCGCGCTTTAGGCTTACCCCGCCATCCTCTTTTTCGTTTTTCGCATCCTGTCCAGACTTTCTGCTCTGGCGTTTTGCGGGGACGGCCTGACTTCGGTGCTGCTTTTCCTAGGGCATAGCGTAGGTTGTCGTCTTGCGTGATATCGATTTTTACTCTGCCGGTGATTTTCGGCACTAGTGCATCCAAGTGCCGGCTGTTGCTGTGGCGCGAGCTGCGCTTACATGAAATCTTGACCTGCCACGAGTCGAAGCTACACCATGTCTGTCTAGAGTGACTGAATATTGGGCACCTATACTGGTTTGTCCATGAGAAGTCTAGAATAAATTCGTGTATACCATGAAATCTATTGAAAAAGAAAAATGTAACGCCGAATACGTAGAACCAACCAATGCCTGCCCGTCTATATGCGACAATGAACAACAAAACAGCGCCAAACGATACGAGCGCTACAAAACCAGCACCTGGTTCTTCACATGTACTCTCTACTATATATGCAATACCAACAAAATGCAAAAATAAAAAACGCCAACTCCAACGCTCACTTATGCACTCTTCGTTTGTAGAAGAGGTTAAATAACAACTTTTCATATGTTCATCGACTTTATCTCGAGGGCCGCTTAGAGATCGTCGACATTACGGCTCTCAAGCTGCTCAATGCCATCGATATCGGCGCCAAAGTCCATGACTAGGATCTTGGGATCTTGTCCTGTACTGACGATGCGTCTGTAATCGCTCTTTGCACTGAGAACCCAGCTGGCATGCCACTTGGGGAAGTCGAGCAGCTGCTGGCCTGTCTCCATGTCCCATACTTTGATGTCGGTATCGTAACTACCGCTAATCAGACGGCCCGAGACAGAATCAATGTGCAGACTACGGACGAGGTTTTCGTGGGCGCGCATCTCGCGCAAACATTCACCCGTGTTGGCGTCCCAGATGCGGATGACCTTATCGTTGCCAGCCGATGCGACAAAGCGGCCATCCTCAGTGAACTGAGAGCATGCTAGGCCCTTGGTGTGGCCGGCAAACTCGCGAATATTCTTGCCCGTGTCAATGTTCCAGAGCTTGACTCGGAAGTCGCCTGAGCAGGAAACAATGGTGTTACCTCGCATCTGCACCGCGTTGACAGGGCCTGCATGGCCGCGGAGTTGGCGCAGCAGAGTACCCGTCTCGCGATCCCACACGCAAATGGTAGCGTCTTTGCTACATGTGACAATGTGCTTCTTGTCAAAAACAAGGTCAAGAACAGCTGCTGTGTGGTTGTGCAGGCGGAGGATGGGCTTGTAGCCCTGCTTGATGTCGTAGACAATGGCAGTCGAGTCGGACGAGCCTGTAACGAGAATCTCATCGTCGTATTGGAGGCAGAGGATAGAAGCGTTATGGTGCTCATCAAAAGAAACTGTGACAGGCGTCGAAGAACCCTGGCGCTCATTATCTGCACCGGCTGCAAAGTGAGCCGCCTCGCCATCTTCACCAATCATAACGTTGGGTGCGTTGACAATTTCAGGTGCGCCGATAACCATCTTACACTCAAAGGTGTGCATGTCCCACACTCGAATCGTCTTGTCGCGGGAGCCGGAGATAATCTTGAATCTGTGCCTAAGTTAGCGTCATATTTCCAAATGAAATGTGGGGGGCTTTCGTGTCGTACTCGTCAAATTGCAAGCAGTAAATACTGTCTGTGTGACCATTGAGATATGTAGGGCGGGCTCTGCCGTCCTTCCATCGCTGGGTAAGGTCCTGCTTCATTCTGTAGATGTGCTTCCAGTCATTATTCGGTGTGATGGGAGGAACTCCCAGTCCAACGTTGGGCTGTACAGCTCCGCTTGTAGCGTATGTAGCACCAGTTTCTCGGAGGCAGGATTCGCGCCAAATGTGCTGGTTTTCAATAACCTTGGCCCAGCTCTTGCAGACAGCGCTGGCCATGGCGAGGGCTTCCGCATCAAGCTGAGCTAGAACGTGAATAGCAAGTTCGGTAGGAAGAGCGTTGACGAAATCGATTCTGCTGATGGGTTCGCAGTCGTCGTCTTCATCGGCATATGCACCAGGAACGGCGATACCGATGCCGCTCTCACGGTCGTTTTGGTCTTCACTAGTGGTTCGGTACATCCACGACTTTTGTAAAGCGACGGATGCCTTGGCCGCTGCGCCGGTATGCGAAGGAATATAAGGCGGCTCATCCCCCATGGCGGGCAGAGGAATATCGGTATAGTGGTCGGGATTGTAATGGGAAGGGCCAGGCTGGCTAAGATCTAGTCCGTAGAAGGAGCGCGAGGGACGAAAGTTTGCCGCCTGTCGTAACCTGGACCAAGGACCGCTGGATGTGGTAGGTCGCGATTCCATAAGATCCTGCTCGTGGATCGTGTTATCAACAGTGATCGAAGACCGGCGGCCGACGATGCCTTTCAGGGAGTATGAGGCTCGACGAATCATGTGTTTGATGGTTGTCGAGCCAGGAAGGCCGTCGTGGCCAGATCGATCGCGAGATTCGAATGTATCGTCAATAGCATGCTCTTCAGAGCCGTTGTGTAGGTTTCGGTGGTCTTCATGGCCGAAGATGGACAATCTCGGTCGTCGCCATGGTAGGGAGAGACTGAGGCTTCGTGTGCGCTGATCATGAGGGGATGCAGTCACAGCGATGTCGTGCTGTGGTGGGATAAAGTCAGCGGCACTGCGACCGTTGGTGGACGAAGGCCACTCGACAATAGGAGCCACTTTAAGAGTCATCTTGTCGAGCACGCTGCGCGGGGGTGGTGTGTTGCAGAGAAGAAAAAGGTAGATGTTGCCGTTGTGACAATGTCAGCTGCTGACGGTCGACAGGCCAGCCACAACAATGCGAACAATGCGGTGCACGTCTCGCAAGCCTTGTAACTTAAGCCCGATGCTGTTTCAGAAGCTGCGACCTTTTCGGATCACTTGCTTAGGCCAGTTCGGGCGCTCTGGAATGCAGGTCCTGCGGCCGTGCGGCTCAAACTCCAATGGAGCGGGCGGGAAGTTGTGTCGAAGGAGCTGGTTCGACGGGAAGAGAATGAAGAAATTTGCAGTGGCGGTTGAAGATGTTGCTGGACTGCAATTAAAAGAAAGCGTAGAAATGAAAAAGCAAGAGACGAAGACGATGGGAAGCAAAAGGAGGGTTTATGAAGATAAGAAGGAAAAGAAAAAGCTGGTGCAGGCGAGGCTTCGAGGGACAAGGGGAACAGGTCACTGGCAGGGACTAGCGCCGTTGCGGCAAAGAGACAAAGTAGACTCGCCATACAAAATAGCGCCACGGGTGACTTGGATCCAAGATTTTGCTGCAGCGCCAGCACGATTCAACAGGGACAGTGTCTCCACTAAGGAAAAAAAATTGGAAAGCGGGAGGCTGTTAGTGGTTGGCGCAGCGCATTGTAGCGTACGAGCCCCGCTGTAAATCTCTTATGCGCATCGCCTTGCCCGGGAGTGATGTCCCAACAAAGAGCACGAGTTTTCTGTAATTACTTGGAGCTGTCAGACGCGGAACAGACTATGGGGTTGATGGGTCTGCTGTATTTTTTGTTAGTATTTTTCAAGCACGAATGGGGCACTACCCCAGGATTACAAGCTGCTGCCACTCTGTAAGTGAACCGCGCTACAGCGACCAAATTGCTGGACGACAGCGTGACTGTGGTCATCTGTCGCATCGCCCATCACACGGCGAGCGTGTCTCTGAAGTGACAGTATCTGTACCTGGAGTCCATGCACAACTCTATTTTGCATCCAAACTCAGTCTTTTCTCTCTCACATTTTGCATAAACCTTTATGAGGGTCTCCTTGCCCTGGCTTTCTTCGGAGCAAAAAACTATGCCCCAGTAAATGGGTAGCCAATCACATGCCACTAAAGACGCTTGCCTGCAAAATAACCTTTTCTGCATAATGTGCCCAAGGCGGCCGCTCCGAAAGAGGAAATTCACTAGCGAATTGCTGCAAGACAACAATCGCCGATGAGAGGCAGATGAATACAACCATCCATCTCAATACCAGCTACACTATGTGTTGCAGCTATATTCCCAGATTTAAAGGTGATCTTCGGTACAACTGCCGCGGGTAATCTAGCTTTGTAATACGGACCCCTATACTCACCGTAGAACTGTTCGCTTGGGAGACAGACAGTCTTTGCGCGTGCTAACAAGAATGAAGGAAGGAACGAATCCAATCTCGCAATATCTGTATTTCTAAGAATCATCTCCATTAATAACCATCCATTTCATTTCAAAGCAAACCATCTTCAGCTTCAGCCCTAGCATGGCGCCATGGTTGGTGCATTTGTCAGTCTCGGCGCAACAGCAGGTCGTGCCGGGTGCTCGCACCGAATCCGCAGTCCCGATTAGGAAAGGTCGGCTTCGGCTCAACACAACGGTATCGGTGCGACTTGTCATCGCAGATAACGGTTGGATCCGCTTGACTTCACGGTGCAAAGAGTATAAGAGTAATTGTTGCGCTCTTCGATGTGATGTCTTTTTTTATATTCAATAAGCCCAGCAATCAATACTACAATCTGAATCTCAAAAACACCAAACACACCAAACAAACCTACTCTCACATTCACAATGCCCTTCTTCAAGTCTTCCAAGTCTACTTCCACCAAGTCTACCGTGACTTACAAGCACGCCAAGCCTGCTAAGAGCACCATCACCACACATGAAGCATCATCAAAGTTGAGCTTCGATACTCTGCTCTCGGAAGACTACACTTGCAACAAAGATTGCAGTAAGTCCGCCCAGACAAGCGCTGCGTATCACATGAGCAAATGGGAAGTCAGGTCTCGTAAGTTCACCAACGATTCTATGCTCTCTCACTGATGAATCACGCTGCTAATATGGTACCAAAGTCGCCTTGCTTGCTCGAAATTAAAGAGCCATCAGCATTCTTTCGCATTTGTATAAATTTCTCATGACAACGATACCAGATAGACTAGCATAATTTAATACCCATCATCAGCTTCACACCAAGTTCCATATACATTCATCTACCGTGTGTATTAGTTAGAGCTGACAGCCATGACCAAGAGAGTAAGAACTATGAGTCACTAGATCTGCAAATAAGTCTTCAGCGGCAGCTTCGTGCTGCTTCGCCCAATGTAAATCTCATATGAGCCACGCTGCAACTGCCACTTCTGCGCAACAGTATCCCAAATACTCAGGTCGCGCCTCGTCAAGGTGAAGGATACTTGTTTCTTTTGCTCAGGCTGTAGAGTTGGCTTCTCAAATCCACGCAACTGCTTCGCACGAGTGCCTGGAATACGAACATATAGCTGGGCTGCCTCCGCTCCCGCCACATGTCCGCCATTGCCTAGCGTAAATGTGACTGTAGCCACTGGATCCCACAAGTCTGCCTGTCCGCCACTAACGACCTTACCACTGGGATACTCGTTGGTGTTACCGATGGGGCCCTGGATTTGGATGTTGGAGTAGTCCCAGCGCGTGTAGCTTAGTCCAAAGCCAAACTCATACCTTGGCTCAATATGACCCTTCTCAAAATACTTGTAATCCAAGTAAATGCCGTGTGGAAAGCTTGCTTGTGGAGATTTGCTACCATTTGCTGGCACAGGGCCAAGCAAATCTCCGTAATCGGACTCACTCTTAGCCACCGTATAGGGAAGCTTACCCGAAGGGTTGCTGTCACCCCAAAGCAGTGACACAAGGGCGTCACCAGTAGACTGCCCCGGCAGGTGGGCAAAGATTAGAGCTGTGACATTGGGGTGATCAACAAATCCTCCTACAACACGTGGCCCAGCGTTGTGGAATACCACGACGGTCTTCTTGCACTGGTCGGCAACGGTGTTGATCAGGGTATCCGTGTAGTCGTCTTGCAGGGCTGGTCGGTCAACGCCTTCTCTGGCCCATGCGTTTCCCAAGACAACGCAGACATCGGAGTTTGGATTAACTCCGGGCTTTGCGGAGGTTAGATCCTGGTACAGGGTGAATCCGTCCTTTTTGGCTCTGTTCACAAACGCATCCTGTGGCGACGTGAAGGTTGCCGGCGTATTGGCTCCTGACCCACCAGCCACACTCATTGTTCCCTTGGATCCTATCACGGCGTTTTCAAAATCAAGCCCATCGACAGGCGCGAGTCCAAAAAGCCAGGTCCCAATAAGGTCTGTCTTTGCGGTCCAATGCGCAGGCGTGTTGGCCGAGTAGCCGAAAATGGAAACCGTCTTGGGATTTCTCAGGGGAAGGGTGTTGGCGTCGTTCTTCACCAAGACATGGCCCTCTACAGCTCCTTGGAAGATGGTGGGCAGATCAGCTGGATCACGGCCCTCAACAACCGTGTGGTTTCCAGCCCTGTCGATAGGCATACCGATGCCAGGATTAGGGAAATGCTGGTCTTGGTTCAGTTGGTACCAGGATGCGATGATTCTATATGGTCAGCGTTTACTTCATTTTGTTTAAAGCGAATTGAATTCTCACCGCATAGCCATGTCTGTTACTCTGGATTCAGTCACAGTGCCATTTTTCACGGCTGCTACCAACGTCTTGCCAAAGAAGTTGCTGGGATCTGGCATAGCCATGTCAAGCCCAGCTGGTGCATCATTGGTCGCATGGAGTGCTCCCCAATCAGATACAACAAAGCCTTGGAATCCAAGCTCCGTCTTTAGAAGCCCATTGAGAGTCTTGTCATTTCCACAGGCGTATGTATCATTCAGGCGATTATAAGAGCACATGACATTGGTACTTCCGGCCTTGACAGCGTCTTGGAACGGCCTATTACAAGTAAGCAATAGTATTCTTCGTGAATTATAGGGGGATGCTCACCAAAGGTAGACCTCGTGCATAGTCTTGTCGTCCACATTCGAAGAAATGGCAGCAACGTCGCCGTCTGGCCCTCGGTTGAGCTCTTGTTCATTTGCAATATAATGCTGGTTCAAAGTTAGCATTGAAGTAGCCAACCCGATAGCACTAGCCACTAACCTTGGTACTTGTGATGACATGGGCATTTTGAACGCCTTTGACCGTCTCTGCAGTCAGCTGGCCGGACAGATAGGTGTCTGCAGACGTGCTCTCCCAGTTCCGGCCGCCTTTGACAATAGTCCAGGCCGGACCACAAACCGGTCCCAAGAGAACGTTTACACCTTTACGGCGGAACTCTCCGCCCATCGCCAAACCACGTCGCTGTGCCAGCTCTTTGTTCCAGCTATAGCATTTTGTTAGTTTGTGTGCAGTATTACAGGGTCGTGTTTTCTTTAATACCTAGCTCCAACACTGATTCCACTAGCAAAACCGCTCACAGCATCCGTGCCTCGTAAACCATTACCGGCATCACTAAGACACATGCCAGGGAAGCTGAGTCGTGGGATGGGTGCGATTGTTCCTGAGCAACCTGAGGCGACATTTACGCCGGCCGTGAGACTGATCTTTTCCTCAAGAGTCATCTTGTCGACCAAGACTTTGGCTTTGGCGTACGATTGTGCCCATTCATCGGTGCCCGGTGCTGGGGGGCCTTGGTTGTGGCGCTCATCTTGAGTCCTACCAAGTCGCGTCTGGCTTGTTGCTGTGACTTGCACAGCAAGCAAAGCGATTAGTCCAGCTGCAAACGACGCGTACATTTTGATTCACAGTATCGTATTGAGATGGAAGATTTCACTGTGCAAACGGCAAGCTTTTAGTACAAAGGCTATAAATGCGGGGTGTTCTCACTTTGTACTATTCCCGCACGAGACAGAGTATTCGGGCCAATATCGGCGGAATCGAGAACCGTTGTCGTGTGCTGATCCTTGTCTTTCATGGAAATGTTTTCAGGATCTGGGTTACATTGCAGCGGCATGTTGGTGGCGCCTCAAAAGCACACAGACTTTTTTGGGTGAGGAAGCGAAGGGATCGGAGGCGGGGTAGGCGAGCACGCACCTGGCCGTTTGCCAGTTTCGCAGCTGTCACATTTCTCCGCTACAACAACATCTTGTTCGCTTTTAAAAGAATTCTCTTTGTAGCAACATCAGAATGTGGGGTGAGGTTTACGGATTCTCCATACTGGCTTCCGATTCTCGATCTGTGGCTGAAGCGCTCCCGTCAACGCTCGCTTGCCACCCTACAGTCTTCTTCTACTCGCGAACAGAGTCGAACTAGGAGCACCAACGGCTCCAGGGTATCGCTGTAGGAAATAATCATCAATTTTCCCGTCGGAAGTCTCTGAAATAATGGACAAGTCCGTCAATTATACGTCATGCGTCTCCATAACCCCGCATTCTGGCCGGCCCATTGTTCCCCCACGCTAGCTTAGTTGCCATATCAGGAATACCACCTCGTTTTGATGGGCCGAACAACTGACCGAACCAATCAAAATGGCCTTTTCCAACAGCCGACGTAACATACAATGGGATCTTCGCTGCAGTCGATGAAGCCCGACGGGTTAATTCTTCCGTCCGTCGACTATAACCATTGCATTGTCCTTGTTCACGGCCTTCTCGTAGACCCTACAATCACCAATTGCACCTCAGCTTCTACACACTTACTAAAGAGTATAAGTGACAATGCTTGTTCCTCTCTGCTTTATGGTATCGCTTGCGGCGGCTGCCGCCACTTCTCGATCTTGCTCTCTGAACAAAATGGAGAATCTCGTCATGTTTGGCGATAGCTATACTGACGAAAGTCGACTAGCGTACTTTTTCGCCAAGAGCAAAGCACCGCCTCTCGGCCAGATGACAGCAGAAAGCAACCAGACTTCAGGCGGTGGAAAGGTCTGGGGAAGGGTCATTGGAGACACAACTGGAGCTAGACTCTACGACTATGCTGTTGGCGGTGCCATGTGTACCAATAATGTCACAAGCCACTGGATGGAACAGATAAAGGGACCGTTCCCATCTGTGTTGGACTATGAGATTCCAACCTTTAAAGCCGATCTCGCCTACAAGGACCTGTATCCAGATCGCAAGTGTAGCAACACAGTGTACTCGCTTTGGATTGGAACCAATGACCTTGGAATTGACGGCTTTCTGGGCGACAAGAATGTAGCCGGCACGAGCCTACCAGACTATGTCGATTGCGCTTGGACAACCTTTGACAAAATCTACGAAACCGGCGGCCGACACTTTGTACTCCTTAACAACGCTCCCCTAGAGCTCTCTCCCATGTACGCTGCGCCTGAGAATGGCGGCACAAGAAACAATGGTTACTGGCCCAACAAGGTGGACTACAACATGACAGAGTACCAGTACAAAATGTTTGAATACACAATGGGCACCAATCGCATGTTTGACGACGGCGCGGCCATCAACTCGATTCTCAAGACGCGATGGCCTGGAGCTTCGCTTGCTGTATTCAATGTTCACCAGCTGATCAAGGATATACACGCCAATCCAAAGGCATACCTAACCGAGCCATATGAGGTTACCAAGTGCTTCACGGATGATCAAGCCGCCGGCCATCCTCTATCCAGCTACCTCTGGTAAGAGCATCACAGTGTAATGCCTTTTTACATTACTAACGCACATGTGACCTAGGTATGATCCTGTCCACCCCTCGGCAAGAGTCGACGAAATCATTGCGACTACGTTTATCGGCGTTGTGAAGGGTGACTCAAAGTACGCTACGTATTACTCGTGTTAGGTGGATAGACTGTGTGATCTGGAAACTATAATCCTTTTTTATTCATAAGCAACTAATATCCAATCATGTGAGTCATGTGGGAGGTACTATAAAACTCCTTTCGGTTGAACGCCATGTTGAGGTCTCGGACAGTGCGCACACCGTGCCCGAACTTCACAGCACTGTAGCCGAGGTCAGACCGCCTACTGCGCATCTGGTCGCATCCAGTCAAAGGTGTCGAGGATTTCAAATTGAAAATCGGGCTGCTCCACAGATCCCAAATTTAATTCCGCCGGATTTGTAACATTGGGAGATTTCTTGTTTAGCTGGTTGTTGAGGTGGTGGTCAAGTACACGCTGGATGCTGATGCGGCAGTGGGCGCAGAGGTCGGCGTCGGCGGTGTTTGTGATGCCCTTGAGGAATGCAACGAGGATGCTGAGATTCTGGATAATGGTCGAGTGGCTGATATGACTATGCTTTGGATGAACACCATCGAAGCTCGGTAACAAGATCTCTTGACAGAGAATACCACTGGCTAGACCCGCGTAGGCGAGGACCTATTACACGGTGTTAGTCTGTATGACGCGGGCGAATCGAACAAAGGGCGGATGGAATACGTACTAGCCATTGATGATTTCTCTGCACAATCAAGTTGATGTACAAGTCCTTGCACATCCAAAAATCAAGCACGACAGACACCATTGTGAAACTGGTGAGAAGCAGATCGCCAACCTCTGTGTAGTTGTTCTTTAGCAGCAACCGGTCAATGAGGAATAAGTTTTGCAAGTGCTCCAGGTAAATGATTGTCTTGATGTATATCGTGATAAAATCTACCCCGTTTGTCAGTGTATCGTTCTCACTGTAGGATACACACGGTGGTAGGGTCATAAACAGTTCCTCTTGCCGGCGGCGAATATCACTAGAATCGCAATTTGTTAGCTTCCATATACTGTGATGGAGCATTTTGCTTACAGAATACAATCGATCCTGACATATGGCGTTGTACCCAGAGCCATTTCCATGATTTCGTCGCGAAGAAATGCTATTTGCACCCGGACTCGCAGCGCAGCCGCGGTGCTCAGAGAACCCTCTGGATTCCAGCCGTGCTTATCCAAACGTTGATGCACCTGGATTAGAGTGGATGGATCGTCAGTTAACAGCTCGGCATCCGTTATGTCCAGCGGCAGTGGGCTAGTAAAGTAGCGATGGCTGAGGAGCGGCGGTGTTCCGGTAAAGGATACACCTAACTTATCGCTGAGAAACACTTGGCATGCGAGACGACGTCGAAGTTCGGAGCAAAATGTCGGGCGGTATGAAGGATCTGAGGGCAGTTTATGTAGCCCTAAATATGTTGACATAGCTACGGCGGTGCTATAAGTCTCCCACGTAGACATTGCTGTTGCGAGCATATTGTTAGTGCTTGTTTATATTAAACGGCCATACCGCACTCACCAGCATCGCCTTCAATTAGAGAATTGGCTCTCGACTTTTGCAGATACAGGTTCAACAAGACATCGTTTCCTTCTGTAAAGTGCCGTGTGATTTGAATACACTGCTCGAGCTTGGCACACGCTGTTTCGAGAGATCCTTTGCCCGGTCTCCAGGTGATGAGCTTATGCGGGAGGTGGCACGTATAGAGATCCGACATGTGTTCCACATACACCCAGAGAAGGGCAATAGACTCCCATCGGATATTGTCCCCAGAAAACTGATCCATCCAAACCGATGCAGTTGGGCAATCCGAACGAACTGGGCGTGCCGTGTTGGTGCAGAGCCGCTGAGCAATCAGATCCAGGCCATCATCTCCCTCGCTGCCCAACTCCTGTGTTAGTTCATTCAGGGTGTCAATAGTGCGAGCTGTTATAACACTCAGCCAGTTAATGACCGGATCCTCGGCTCTGTGAAAGACCAATAGCTGGTTTGATCTGCCTGGTAGACACTTGAGCACCCGTATACAGGTATCACGCAGCGGAGCAGGCATTGTCTGGAACGAATTCTCAGGCAAGTTCCTCAGTTCAGGATCATCCACGTCTGCATTTGACTCTCCAATAAGAAGCAAACTGTTGCGCGACTCCTCAAGCACATACCACTGGTCACGTCCAGTGCGGACGGTGGGAGTGCTATAGCTCGGCGTGGAACCCCGAGATGTACGGTGGACTCGGCGGGTAGCCTCTTCTCTGGCTTCACTGTCGATACTGGTGTCATATATAGAATAGGAACCCGGCGTGGACCGGTTTTGGCGCTTTGCAGAAGCTCTTGACTGGGATGACGGCCTCACCACGGAAGCCGAGTACTTGCAGTCGTTCTCCTGGTTCCTCTTGAGACATCGGGTGCATACTGGGTGACGATGATCGCATGCCACCTTGCGCGAGCGGCATGGATCGCAAGCTGCCATTCGTCCATTGGGACGCTGGTCGGGGCTGGACACTGGTGTTGCAAGTGGCAGTGCCGGCATGCTGACTGTTGCGAGGGTGCCGATTGGTACTCAGTCAAAGGTAGGAAGAATAATTTTAGGATTCAGCTATTCTTAGGCCCTATCGGTGTTATTTAGCAACGACTCCGAGGCCTATACTGGTGTGAAACGTTGTTTCCGAAGATGTGGAAGAAGGATGAAGGAAGGCTCGGAGCTCGGAATCGTGACCGAAAGCAGTGGTGGAGTTGGAAGCCGAGATGGCGTTTTGTGCCAACAACCAGTGCTTAGTGAGGCATCCGTCTTGCATTCTCCGCGCGGCGTATTAAAAGCAAAGATATAGTACAACAATAATTTTGAACATACATTAATTATATGTGATCAAATTTACTATTCAGCAACACACTCTGTGTTTTTAACTTACACAGTTGCTGCAACGGCCAACATACCACACAATGCATGTCAATCGGGTCACGTGCCGGCCGTTAAACAAAGCTCTGGATAGCTTCAGTTTCCTGGATTTCATCAAAACGTACAACACATATATTTACACGGCGCACAGCTCCTTAATACAAATTTTACAGCTGTTACTACCTAATATCTAAGGTTAACTTGGATAGTCCGAAGTATTCAACCTGGGCAGCTCAGCACTAAGCTCCAATTGCATAAAAAAACAAAGCCAATTCGCCAACAATGCCTACTGCACGAACCGGCATTCTCTTACCGGTAGCCTACCGCCTCTTCTTCCTTGTGATAGAGCCAATCTCAGCCCTAGCTGGCGCTTTCATGTGTCAGATCCGACAACAGCACTACCTGCAGCTACTCCACGATGCGTCGTCACCCGCCAACGAAGTCCCCGTTGGCACATCTGTTGCCATGTCGCAGCTCGCCAATATGTACTTCTTCTTTGCTATCAACGAGGCTCTCGTACTCCGATCAACTTGGGACATGCGCGTCTGGAGAACGGTGCTGCTTGTTCTACTGATTGCCGACTTTGGGCACCTATACTCGATGAAGGAGCTAGGGCCGCTGGTGTACTACAACGTAACGGGGTGGAATATGAGCGACTGGGGCAATGTTCCGTTTGTTTACCTAGGTGCTACCATGAGAATATGTTTCCTGCTTGGTGTCGGCATGGGTGAGCGCAAAGTTAGCAAGAGAGAGTAAGCGGTGAAGAGGTGTTATTTGGGGTAAAAGCTGTAACAATATACCACGATACTGAATGCATTTGATACAAATAATATAACCCTACGTATGATTAGATTCTTATCAATGCAATTGGCGAACCATTGCGTCGTTAATCATCGTCATAACTAAGGGCAAGCCGAAGCCGAGAGCAATCAGGCTGTGAGTCTATGCAAGGCACTAGTTATAAACCGTGGTTTTGCCCACCACGGTACAACTAGGAAATCTATTTGTACAAAATCAGTTTTTCCTTTAAACTTAAATTAAATTTGTCTTTCAGAAAGAACAAACAAGAAAAGAACCCAGACCAGCCGTGCATATAGTCATGGAGACAAAGCCAACACCACCAGACATCGCCAATCATGCACCACCGCAAAGCGAAGCCGCCATAGTACAAGCCCAAGACAGTATACCTGACCATTTACTCCCACACAATTGGTCAAGCATGCGCCGGTGGCTCATTGTACTGGCCATGTCGTTGGGTGCATTAATGGTGTATGTCAACAGCTCCAATAACTGAGCCAATCACGCTTCAAGCAGATACCAACTAACTCCTCGCCATCAGATCCATGTCTTTGGGTATCTGCGCTCCAGCTAGCACAGTCATTGGTAAAGAATTCAACAGTAACAACAGCTTTCTGCTCGTTCTCTACATCACCATTCCCAATCTCGGACAGACGGTTTCTTCGCTATACATTAGCCCGCTCTCCGAACGGTTTGGTCGTGTACCTATATACCACCTTTTCAGCCTTCTATATATCCTTTTTACACTGGCTACCGGATTCAGTAACAGTTTGAGCACGCTTATCATATTAAGAGTCCTGACAGGAGGTACTATAGCGCCGATATGCTTGAACCCCGCCATCACGGGCGACATGTTTGCTGCGACAAAGCGCGGCTCAGCCATGTCGATTGCGAGCGTGATTCCAATCTTAGGTAGCGCAGTGGGACCTATCGTTGGCGGATATATTACGCAATATCTGAGCTGGCGATGGACCTTCTGGCTCATGGCGATTCTAACCACTGCCATTCAGCCGTTTCTAATCCTTGTTTTGAAGGAGTCTTATGTGCCCATTATACGCAAAAAGGCTCTACAAAAGACACAAATCGAGTTTATAGACGCTCCAGCTCCGTCAAAGTACCTCCTAGGCTGGAATTGGAGCACTGTCCAAGCCATCTTGCTGCTCATTGTGCGTCCATTCATCATTCTGAGCAGCTCCCGCGTTGCCGTGCTCATGGCTCTATATCTATCTGTACTATACGCATACCTTGGACTTCTTGCAGCAAATATGGCGACCGTATTTCAACAAGTTTACGGTTTCTCTGAGAGCCAATCTGGTCTCGTTTATCTGGCAACTAGTGAGTCTTACGTCCTGTTTGGAGTGACGTTAGCTGACTTGGACAGGCGTCGGAACTCTTGCCGGTACTGTTTACTGCGTCTTTGTGCTTGACCACTTTCTACAAGTCGGCCTCCCGGGGGGCAAGCGTGATGCCCAAGACGAAGGTCGGCCGGAAAATCGCCTCATTGCTATCATACCGGCCATGGCCGCTTATCCAATCGGACTGATGATGTACGGGTGGTCCTTGGAGAATCACTGGCATTGGATCGTGCCGACTCTCTCTACGTTTCTCTGTGGCTTTTCGCTCTCTAGTAGCACAACGCCGATTATGAGTTACTTGGTCGACGTCTTTGGCGATCGTGCTGCGTCTGCTATAGCAGCCGTGTTGCCAATGCGGTATGTTGCAGGCACTTTCATCCCTGTTGCAGCTCCGTATCTTAGTGACAGATTGGGCTATGGCTGGGCGAGCTCGCTACTGGTTTTCATCTTGCTGGCTCTGATCCCGCCTACGTTTCTTGTCATTGTCAGGCCTCAAAAGAAGGTTGCTCCTATTATAGTTACACGTTAGCCCCGCCAATTGGAGAGAGAACATACCTTGGTATCTATCGCCTCAATATACCACGGTATTAATAATAATATGCCTCTGGGACAGCCTAGTTGTCTTCAATATTGATTGTAGACTTACACACAGAGCAACTCATTCTCGGCAGCGATTCCGGTTGGTGGAGAATTTGGTGCTATTTTTCCGGTAAAGCACAACCCCCACCGTGCGTCGCCGTTCAGGGCACTTTTAGCGGGTGTTGTCCAAGTTATAGCGGGCGACGACCCGAGAAAAGAGCGCTGAAGCTGGGGATGGTGGGGGTTCCATTGGGCGGGGTGACAGTTGCTGCCCCTCGCTGAAAGCCACTGCGGGGAGCAGTCCGTACTGGGAAAATGAAGAACAAGACAATGCCGACCTCTTTCTACCGGTTCCCCCTCTTCCTCTTCGTTTTTCTTTTCTTTTCTTTCATCCTTCATTCTGTTTCTTTGCAAAGAACTGGGCCTTTTCCATAATTATTGCCTTTGACCGCTACACATCCCATCCCACATCTAGACACCACACAATCATGAGCGTCCCCAACAACTTTGAGGGTTTCCAGGCACCCAATGCCGAGAACTATCTCGACTTCCAAAAGGGCTCTTGGGAGCCTCGTCCTTTTGGCGACCACGATGTTGATATCAAGATTGAGTGCTGCGGTGTCTGCGCCAGTGACTTGCACACCATCAGCGGCGAATGGGGCGGTTGCCCGTACCCTCTGGCCGTGGGCCACGAAGTCGTGGGTAAGGTCCTGCGCGTCGGCTCCAAGGTGACGTTAGCCAAGGAGGGTGATCGTGTCGGTGTTGGTGCCCAGGTCTACTCGTGCCTCGAATGCCGTCAGTGCAAGAACAACAACGAGAACTACTGCCAGCACCAGATTGACGCCTATGGCGCCAAGTACCTGGATACTGGCTTCACCACACAAGGTGGCTACTCGTCGCATACTCGAATCCACGAGTACTGGTACGTCATGTCTTAAGAATAAGCCAAAGTAATTGGTCCTCTGCTCACACAGTTGTCGCACAGGGTCTACCCCATTCCCGAGGCATTGTCGAGTCCCGATGCGGCGCCAATGCTGTGCGCCGGCATCACGGTCTTCTCTCCACTGAAGCGATTTGGCGCGGCACCCGGCAAGAAGGTGGGCATTGTCGGTATCGGTGGTCTGGGCCACTATGGTGTCTTGTTTGCCAAGGCTCTCGGTGCTGAAGTCTGGGCCATTTCGCGGACTCGCAGCAAGGAGGCTGATGCACGCAAGATGGGCGCCGATGGCTTCATTGCCACAAACGAAGAGGGCTGGGCCGAGCCTCACAAGATGACCTTTGATCTCATCGTCAACACGGCCAGCTCGACTGACGGTTTCGCGCTCAAGGAGTACCTGAGCCTGCTCGATATCCATGGCCGCTGGAACTCGGTCGGTCTGCCTGCGGGCGAGGGTGCTGCTATTCGCAACCAGGACTTTATCACCAACGGCTGCTTCATTGGTACGTCGCACATTGGTAGCCGAAGCGAAATGCTGGAGATGCTGCAGCTTGCCGCGGATAAAGGCATCAAGTCGTGGGTTGAGCAGATTCCTCTGTCCAAGGAGGGTCTGCAGCAGGCGATGAAGAATATCGAGACGAGCACTGTTCGTTACCGTACATGCATGGTCAACTATGATGATGCTTTTGGCAACTAGAGCGGCTCTGTTGAGGTTGTGGTGGTTGGTGTGTTGTGTGAATTAAAGCGGGAGTTGGTACACTTTTCAATGATGATGATGGGATGAGAGGCGGGAGTATAGGCGAGTTTTGATTAACAGTCGTGGTTTTGTTGATGGTTTGAGTAAAGAAAGATTGTGAAGGCGGGGTGAGCAAGTGTTGGTTGACCTTGATGGGCGACAGGAAGCTTTTAGCGTATGCTTGTCTAATTTAACCAAGTTGTATTGTTTTTTATAGAAATTGGAATAAATCCGATGGTTTTATATTCATATTGCTCTTATCGTCTATGCCACTACCGTATAATCACAAACCATACCATCTTAGAAGACTATTTTTCATAGTGTATTTGGTGGTAATACTGGACACTTGTGTTTTCACTCTTCCAACACTTGCTCTTCGTCTTTAATTAGTCACCTCCGGCCTCGCACAATGCAATTCATACTCTTCTTCTTTCATTTTAATTCTCTTTTCCTTTTTAGCTGTTACTACAACTCTGCGGCGTGGAACCCGGCGAGGCCCGTTTAGGCTCGCCGCCGTTTGACTCACTCTCCGCCGGTGGCGCTCCCCCTGCAAAAGCCCGCTATCGCTACAGTGGACTCAGCACCGCCCAACCTTCACACACACTAAACTATAAAGCCGGCCACTGCCCTCTCCTCACCCAGCGCCCTTCTTCTCCTTTTTTGTCTTTTTTCGTTTTTGTTGTCCAACGTCGCCGGATCACAATTTACGCCGTCGTACTTTTGTTTTCTTTTTCTTCCATTATTCAGCAAGACAATCGCCGCATTCCCTTTCCAGCACTGCCACCGCCGGCATCTGTCACTCCCTCTCTAGATAGATGTCACCCCTCGTAGAACCTGCTCCCTCCCGTGAACTTTGTTATTAAAAACTATGGTCTTCTCGTTTATGTTGTCGTCGGTTCAAAGCTCGTTCAGCAGATCAGGCAGCTCGCATTCCGTACTGTCATAGTTTGAGAGCTCGGCTCGTGAACCAGTCACGCCGACTATGACTCATCCGGCGAAGCAAACGCCATCTTTTTTTAATTGCCGACCATAATGTCAATTGCTGTGCATTGAGAAATCTGTGAAAATTATCGCCAAAATCCCAAGCGATGAAGCTTTCAAAATACCACAAAACGGAGTGATTCTAACTACCGCCCGGCGAGCCCAAACAGGAAACCTTGAGGCCCATTTCTAAGCGACATCGCGCTTTGTATTGGTCAGGATCGCACGTGTGTCTTGATTTCCAAGCCCAGTGAATAAGCTTCCCGCGGCTGAAGGGGATCCACTGGGGAAACGCCATAGTTTTGTTGATTTCAAACTACGGGGCCATGTAAAACAGCATGGCACACCTATCGGTTTGCTTGCTGTGCTCGCTGGGTCGGCCGCCGCCGCTATTGTTGCTGCTATGAAGGCGTAATAGTCATTGCTCAAATGGGGCTCCGAGTTGATTATCACTGCTATGCTTGGTAAAAGAAGACAAGCCTCCCGAAACCGGGTGACTCTGTCGTACCTGACGATACTCAACTTATAAGATGTAGCCAAAACCCTCCTCGAAGACCCTCGTTTAGAGACATCACCCAGAATACCACTTCCACACTTTCCAACATCACCGACTACTTCAATTGAACACAATTGCACCTTTTTTCCCAATCTCTCTTCCCACCACATGCCTTACTTGACCGAATCCTACACCACCACAACCAACATGGAGGGGTAAGTCAACCCCCAAAACACGGGCCGGCGCCTCGCAGCCTCATTCACACATCCATCCATTTAACTAACACCCTTTCTTCCCTCTCCTACAGATCTTCAACCACTTCTTCCCAGCCAATGCTCAGTCTGCGGTCGACCAAATCACTCGCCAACGGCGAAATCACCTCCATCGCCATGTCCCGCGCTTCGCCCGCCGCCGCACTAGCAACCTACACCCGCGGCCCTCTTCGCCAGTCCTGGATCGACATGTTCCACCTCTCCTCCGGCCGGTCCATCTCCAAGATCGAAGGTGACCGCGCCTTCTACTCCCCCAGCGGCACCCGCATTGCCACCCTCCACGAGGCAGCTACACGCTTCGGCGCCGGCACCGGCCACACCCACCAGTGCAACATTGTCATCCGGGCCGTCGATAACGGCAAAGCACAGCTCGAGATCCGCGGCGTCAACGACGGTCCGCTCGTCTGGAGCCCTGACGGCTCTCTCATTGCCGCTACCGAAGACGCCAACCGAGTCGGCATCTGGGACACTCGCGTCGGCCTCCGCGTCGGACGAGTAGTCACCCACATCGACACAGTGACGCACATCGCCTTTACGCAGAGCAACAACATTGTCACATTGTCCCGCGATGGTACCCTGCGCGTTACTGATCCGCAGACGAGCAGGACGCTGCAGCGCCTTGAGATTGAGGGCCAGGCCGCGTCGAACCCGCGCTTCCTTGCAGTCTCCCCGAATGGCAACACGATTCTCTCCGTCTGGGGCACCATGGTCCAGGTCTGGTCTCCTCAGACAAACCACATCACGGCCTACTCGCTTTCAGCTGTGCGGTCGACCGAGGGCTGGCCCTTGGCTGCGACGCCAGATGCAAGATTCCTAGCTCTCTGGACGGAAACTGGCTTCGACGTCATTGATGTCATGACCGGTGCTACAGTCTTCGAGAACAATGGCGGCGCACTAGTCACCTCTGGAAGCTTTGGCGAGAACGGCTCTGTCCTGATGCTGGGCAGAATGGACGGCACTGTCGAGACTTACAATGTCAAGCTCACTAGGAAGTGATGAATTCCCTTCTTTTTTTTTCTTTTTTTTTACGATTGAATGATGCATACTGGCGTTTTGGGTTATCTTCAGATTGGACAAAAAGCATTATGCTTGTCTGTGAGTTCTTGCTTTCAACACTATGCATTTGCATCGGGACGACTTCACATCCCCGTCTCAACACGCATACACGTTTTACTTGGTTTTGGTTTCACATGTTCGTATCTCTAGTGGTTTGGATAGTTTTGAATAATTTTTTATAATATGTACATAAGTTATGCTATTTTATTTACAGATAAATTCGCTTTGAATGCAATTCTATGCCGCCTTTTTGTCGTCCTGTACGCTGTGCTTTTTGTAAAAGAAAAAATAGGAAAGGCTTGAAATCAACACCAAAAACACCAGTGATAATCGCTATGCAGGTCATAATACAATCCGTCTGCCTACTCTTTACACCAACTGCTCAGATCCGTCACTTCGGAACTTCACATTGGCGCCATTGGTAGTAGATCCAACCTCAGGAATCGACAATGCGTCAGCGTCAAGCATGTCAATAGCCAGTCGGGTAATAATTCCATCACAGCCTCGTGCCGCCAGGACGCTGACAGACACAGGAAGCTTCTCGTGAATGCCGGTAATGCTGCTCTCGGATTCAACCTCGCCCAGAGGGAAGACAACGTCAGGAACTCCAGACATGCCGCTGTAGGACACATGCTCGAAGCCATAGGGCAGTGGAGGGGGTCCGGCGTATGTATCGGTACGGTTGACAGAGCCGTGGGCGGCAGGGTACAGAAGGAAGGCGTTGGAGCAGGCGGTGCCGTTGGTACGGGGAAGCACCGTCTTAGTGAGCCAGTCAGCAAAGATGGTTCTGTTGCGGTACGCATCTTCGAGCTCATTCTCTGCCAAAGTGTCGGCGAATTCCCAGCGGCCACGAGCTGAAGGGTTAACAAATGGCTTTCTGCCGTCAAACTTTGCTGCGTAGTCGGCAAAGAAGCCATCCCGGACAAGAGTGGCCTGATTCTTGCTAACCAATACGGGATAAGTTCTGTTCAACAGCTCATCCAATGACACCTGGGGAGCATCAGCCGATCTGGTCTCCTCCCACAAGGATTCCAAGCTGATAGGCTTGACCTCAGCTCCCATAAGCTTGGCGGCGTCAGTAACAAACTTGCCGAATAGCTGGCTAACGCTGCTTCCGTTGGCGCCGGGGATGTCAACCATGTAAATAATCTTGGGGTACTCGACATGCTTTTCATTTGCCAGAGAAGTGTAGTTCTTTCCGTACAAAACAGCGAGCGCAGTGTCCCAGAGCTTCGGGTCACGGGTGAGGAGGCCAGCAGTGTCAAGAACTGGGGAGAGCGGCGTAACGTGAGCCAACGAGGCAAGGCCGTGTGTAGGACGGTTACCAAAGACGCCTTGCACCGCAGCGGGAACGCGGATGCTGCCGCCAGTATCACTGCCAACAGCAATGTCAAGCCAGTCGTAAGCGGCAACGGAGGCACCAGCGCCGGAAGAGCTGCCAGACGGGATCTGGTATCCATCACCACGAGGGTTAAAGGGACTCTTGTAGTCCACCCAGTCGCCAGCATATGTGTCTCCGTTAGCAAACTGCGTTGGCGTCTGAAGACCGACAATAATGGCACCAGCGTCAATCAGGCGCTGGATGACGGGAGAAGTCTCCTCTGCAGGAGGGTACAGGTTGTACCACGCCTTGTTACCATTGGATGTCTTGGCACCCTTGAGATGGTATAAATCTTTGACACCAATACGAACGCCGGCCAGCGGCTTGTCTTGGGTGCGAGTGTAATAGAGGCGTGAAGGCACGCCGATGGTAAGCGTACCCGATGTGGCTGTCTGTGCAGCCAGGGGCTGGAAGGATCCATCTGGGTTCTGAAGGAGGGAGTTGGAGAAGGATTGGGAAAAGTCGGGATAGAGTCTGTAGACGGGATACAAGGCTCCAGTGGCGTCATTAACAAAGTAAGGACCGGAAGGGATGTGTGAGTCGGCTTCGCCTAGCGGCCAGACGGTAGACTTGGTGCCCAAAATGTCCACGTTTTGGATAGGAGTCTCCTGGGCCTTGGAGAGGACAAGTTCCTGGACAAAGCCACGTTGGAACACGTCGTCAGTCTTGTTCCATGTGGTGAGCAATTTGTTGAGGTCGGAAAGCTGAACGTCGTCTGCTACGACAGTAACGGGTGTAAGACCGAAGCCGGCTGCCTGGGCATCACCAACGGCACCGGCAACACCGTGTACGAAGCCAGTAGCATGGGGATTGATGAAATAGTCGACCCCGTTAAACTTGACAGTTGTTCCTGTGAATGAGAGGCCAATGGCTTCCGCAGCAGCCGATGCAGCCAACGACAGAGCTACGAAACCCTGAATTCTCATGCTGGTTGATCAAGTACGCAGTTGGTTAGTCGGTTGTGTATTAGTCAAATCTATGGAAACCCAAAACCACAAGCCTTCTTAATTGCCGGAGGCACCCATCCACAGTGCTGGGCCAGGCCCTTTATATTTTCACGACATCGTGGGAGGCGTCTTCCGAGTGTGCTCCACCACAGTGAAAACTCGTTAGCCATCAAGCTCCATTTCCGATGTCGGTGGAGATTCACCAGGAAATCTCCATCATATGAGATGAAAACTTTTAACAATGCGGAGTCAAGCCTCAGGAGAAGCCCAGTGCGCCCACGTTTAGCACTGCCGCGCTTACAACGGGGACAAGAGAGATGAGGTTGGATCCCTGCCATGAGGTCATGTGGCCAACCTGTATTTACCTGTGGACCGGGGGGCCAGTATTAGATCATAGCCTGGTAGATGCCATCATCTAGAGGACGCTAGACCCGCATGGGCGGCCCTAGCCCGGCCTACTCAACAAAACACAACCAACCGGGAGAGGCGGGTGGTGTCGGGCTAGGAAGCTTAGCCTGCCCCTGCGCAACGATGCAATTGGGGCATCGTATGGGGTAATGCCTGCGAATGGCCTGTAATGGGCCCAATGGCACTGTAAGTGCAACAAGGGCCTGCATGTTTGGTTTCCATGTTCCATTGCGTACAAAGTATAATTTTCCCCCTTGTTCGCAACTCATTGCCAAGAGGGCAAAGGCCTTAGTTTTAGGGCCCGACCCGGGTGGCTGGAAAACTCAGATGTCTCCATACGTTGGCGCTAACAGCGAGAGCCCGACCTTGCCGAGCAAACCCTACCCACGTTGCGGACTTCTCCTTCGTCAGCCTTCCATTCTTCTCCCAGATGTGGATCTTCGTCTTAGTGCGGCCGCCTCCAGAAACGTCGTGTCCTTCCCGGCTGGCCCAAGTCCGGAGTTGGGCGGTCTTCGTATTTAGTCATCGATCTGAAATCCAACTAATATAATGGCCACATGATCATGGTGCCATGCAGAACGGGTAAATTGGTAATCTTGCCTGTCATCTTGCGCGGATGCTTGAGCTTGGAGGTGATTTGTATGTATATTTGGCTTCACAGTTTGCGCAGAGCCGGTGTAGAAAAACAGTGCGAAAAAAAGTCAAAATGCAGGTATAAAGAACGACCTCTTCCTTGAGATCCTAGCAACGCCTTGATATAGAAACAACTCCATCATCTCGTGCATGCAAAATACTTTTGCTGGTAAATCGCTTAATCCGTCCATCCCAATGTATCTAGCGTTGTACGTGCCTCTGCAGCCGTCATGGCCGCCACCCCCAGCTGACGGGCCTGGGTGCCGCGGCGCAGGCGCTGAATGCTGGCGCCGACCTTCCAGTACTCTGTCTCGTCAATGACAAACAGATATCGCTTACCGTCTTGGTCTTTGACAGTGGCGCGCAGCAGATGCAGGCCCTTCGTCTTCCACTCGCCCGTCTGTCCCGTCGAAGATGGAATGTTAGCTTTGCTAAATTTCGAGTCGCATAAGCCAAGGCGACAGCTATCTTTACAGGCGCGGACCATGTCGGTCAAGAAGGCATCGGCATCCTCGCCCACAACAGGCTTGGCGCCGTCCCTATCCCTGTTTCGTGCCGTCGCCATCTTAAAAAGCAAATTGGGGCCTGGCGATTTGCTCGCCGGGGTGGAAGTAGGCGCAGAATTCAAACAGTGCGGGGGGCACCATACCTCGACTAGCTTTAAAGTCCAGCCCTTGACATCCCATTCTCGTTGTGGAACGCCGCGTACATCGTCGTCGATGAACAACCCTTCCGTTGTTATGCGGAGGATGAGACCATCGGTGACAGATCCCACGCCAGAAATCAGCTGGCTGGCTGGCGTTTTCGCAAATTGATTCATAAACATATATACAGCTTGAATAACAATCTTGTCGGGATCTTTGGTTGTATAGGGTCCCCTGACAGATGGCGGGGGTGACGTTCGTGCCGTTGTGTGTGAGTTCGCCCAAGAGACATCCGACGCGAGCGAGCCGTTAGACTTTTTCCGCTGGGGCTGTTTGGGTTTATCATACGGTCTATAAGAGTACGAATCTTCGTCCGTGCTGAGATACGTTCTCGCCGTCGGCGCCGGCGGCCGTTTCGTCGGGCTTGCGGGACTCTTTGGTGTAGTATTTGTATGTGTTGGTGGCGTAGGTGGTTTTCCGTTTGGCCACATGTTCATCTTTTCTCCAACTCCAGAGTATGCATAGCTGCTCTGTGCACGAGGAGGGGGAGCAGCAGGTGTAGAAGGCGTAGATGCTGCTGCCTTTGCCGTAGCTGCTGCTGCGGCAGCCGCAGCTTTCTTTTCCGCAGCCTCTTTAATCTCCTTTTCTTTCTTTTCCTTATCCTTTTCGCGTTGTAGGCGTTCCTTGGCTTCCTTAGCCCGTAGTTCAGCAAGTCGTTTGCTTATTTCTTCTCGCCTCTTTTGCTCTGCAGCTTTTGCTTTGCGTTCTTCTTCCTTCTTTCTCATCTCATCTCGAGCCTTTTCCCAAGAGCCCTTAGCATCCGGTCTTGGGGACTTGGGCTGTGGTGACGGTTTTGGCTTTGGTGGAGGAGGTGTTTGGCTCTGATATTGATAGTTCGGCGGCGAGCCGCTATCCCACGTAGATGGACCAGGACCAGGACCGCCGCCATTTGGAGGTGGAGGTGGAGGTGGAGGTGGTGAGTGTGGCGGAGGAGCAGAGCTATTTGATGTGCCTCTAGAGTGGCCATTTTCAAAGCCACCTTGTCCTCCTGGTTGTGTCCCAGCATTTCCATTTGTATTAGGGGGTTCGCGTTTCTTAGACCCAGAGTTGTTGTTGCCAGCATCGTTCTGTGTTCGTCCCAGCGCCCAGGCACCAAAGCCAACGCCCACCAGGAGCATCAGCATAGCCATATTTCCTAGGCCGTGAAAGCTGTCCCACCATACTCGAAATGCCGGTGTGATGCTTTGAAACAAGACCACCAATATGAGCGCTGACGCAAACCCAGCAACGAAACTGTTGATATTGGGCTTGAGAGATGGCAGATAGAGGAAGCCAGAGCCAGCAGAGTGCTCTGGAATGACAAAGATATCATACTTGCCAGGTGGCAACCCTGACGACGACCTGGGCATCTCGCCATGAGGAGGCGGCGGTGGTGGAGGTGCGTTCATGGCGACTGATTATAAGAGCTCGAGTCGTGGCGTCTAATTAGATCTTGAGAGAGCCATTTGGCGATGATACAGAAGCGGCAAGAACAAAAATATTAAAAACGGCAGAGGGAGTATCGTAGCTATGATGCCGTGTTAGTCGAAGCGACCGTTGGAGGCACAAGGCCACGCGTTGGTCGGCTGCACTGGAATGCAGCAAATCGCCCGACTTACCAAGAAAGGAATAAAGGAAAGACAATCCGCCCAACTCCCGGCTCCAGAGCCGTAATGCAAAAATGGTATTTTTGGAAACGAAACAAAGAAGAACAATGAAGCAATTAATCGCTCAGGAACAGACCGCCAGTGAGAAAATGCAGAGCGGTCGCTGGAAACAAGCCAGCAACACCGCAACGAAGCCAGACAGCGGCTGTGCTGAGGAGACCTGTCGATGGCGTCTTCTTTTTTTCTCCTTCTATTGAATTATTCGTACCTGCAGCAGCTGCAGTACCTCGACCGTCGTCGTTTACTTGAATCAAATGTTGAGTGGCCGCGGCCAACAGGAAATATGTGCGTGGCGTGCAAGGTGATATAGAGAAGCAAGAAGAAGCGAGGGCCGGCAGGAAAACGGGGGGCGGCCAGCAGAGTATTGTTTACTTTCGCGCTGCTCATCTTTTTTTTTGGCTGCTGAAAGGAGGGTGGGCGGGGGCCGGGGACAGTCACCCGCGCTAGGCCACTAGAGCGATATAATAGGGCAGCGTCAACTTTATTGCGCCGCCCCATCCAGAGTGCCGGTGTGAAATAACAGTGCAGCGAATCAATAGGGGGAAAAAGGGTCCTGATGATTCAATCAAGGTACAAGATTACTGGTCTTTCTGCTGCATCCATCTACTGGTTATGCTTTGCTGCGTGCACAGTTCCTCCTACTGTTTTGCAACGGGGATAGATACAGCGGCTCCCTAGTAGCTGGCGATGTCGTCGCTTCAACTTGTCCCCTTCTTCGGACCAGGGTACAGTGGCAAAGCGGTAGATGCCACTTTGCTTGTCTCAGTCTCCAGCGCATCAACCTGTCGCTATCGACAAACTGGCCCCGTCTCCGGCTGCATGCATGCGTCGCCGACCTGCAGGTGGACGAAGGTTCCCCGCGGCGCTGACGAAACGAGCTGCCGTGTTTGTTTTCTTCAGACAGTTTCTCGCTTTCACGGACACTTGTACAGTATATGTTTATCTGCTGTACACGATGTAGCACATCGTATCACTTTGCTCTATTCAAGTATAATTTGTTTTCATAATTGCATTTCCCATCTCCGCTACAGTGGCGGTGCAGAGGTCCCTGAACTTCTAGAAGCAAAAGGGGCGTCCTATATTTGCTAGCGTATGTAGACAAAGCATTGTGGCAGGTCGCCGAGTAGGCTGCTGCTGCTGTTCGCATGTTAGGCATCTATAGTTCATTATCGGTGCCTAAGTCGGATATATACCGAATACGGCGATCCAGTCAAAGACAGCAGACAATGATGCTCTGCCAATGAAGTTGCTTGTGCGTTGGCACACTATAAAAACACAAACGTTTTCATGGTGCCAGACCGCCGCCGACTACTGCAGGAGACGGCCCGCTGCCACTTGCGGAGCTCCACCGCCAGCAGCGGGCTGTCTAGGCGACGTCATCCCAAACGATGTGCGCAAAGAAAACAATTAAGACGTTCTTTGTACTTCGCAAAAAAAACATAGAGACAAGGACAAAGCCTGTTTTGGAATTGCTTGGATCACCATCATCTTTGGTGCGCTATGTGACAATAGCCGAAATTTGACACCACAATGACGCAAGACAGTCGTTGTCGATGAGCGACTCGCCTCTTTGTTGTGGCCGTTGCCTAGCAACCATTCCCCGCGTGGCGCGTCCAGGCCAATGACGAAGCCCAAGAGAGGGTCTCTCTGGCGCAAGACCCTGCAGGAGCCCCGAGATACCCGGCACCTGACACGGATTTAATTGTTCTTCCAGTCACAGGCGAAACAGCCATCGTGTCGGAATGAAAGAGCTGTTGTAATAGTAAGCAATATTTCTGATGGATATAGGATGAACTTTAGAGGCAAACGGAGTAAATCCGAGTAATAGACCTGCCGTCTAACGAGCTTGTACAAACACCAAAATTGCATGCTATAGGACTGAAAATGTACGTATTAATATGGCGAAACTTAAGAGGGAAAATAAACTCCACGCTTCCAGATGTAATGTAATGGATGCCTCCCAAAATAGGAAACTGCTCGGATACCAATAATTATTCGCCCAACTTTCGCAAGCGATTCTTTCCAACCTTAATCTTCGCATCTAGTCGGGTCATGTCTTTGTCCATCTCACTAAGCATCTCGTTCTGTATCGTCAGCTCTTCATCCATTTGTATGCCCATCTTCTTTGTCCGTTGAATAATAGCCGTCAACTCGTTCAGATGCTCGTCTTGTTGCTCCATCTCTTGCTTTTGTAGTAGCAACAGACCGGCATTATCCAGCTCCTTTGTCTTGACCGTCTCTACAGCCTGTCCACCCAAGATTCGTCCCGACGGCTTGCTTATTCTTGATGAGCTTGCTGTATCAGATACAGCAGTCCCTCGGTTTATTGGATCTCTTGAGCTAATCTTGCTGCTAGCGAGCCTGTCGAGTCCTTCCTTTTCCATTTTCGCTGCAGAGAGCAAGTCCCTACGCCGGCGCAACTCGCCATCACCTAGCTTTCCAGTGTCTTGGATCTTGCGTAATCCCTCTGTTAATGTTGCTACAAAGGTTCCCGCCTTAGCCGCAGATCTTCGTGCCGTCATGGACGCTTGTTCCGCAGCAGTAGTATTACCACTATCAACTGCGCTGTCTCGTTTCGAGATGGCTAGCCTTGATTCGTGAAGCAACTGTTTTAATTCTCTGTGAATATCTAGCCATGTTGCAGGGTCGGCTGCTCCAGCTGCAATATTGCTTGCGCGTCCGTTGGCTGAAACCGCTGAGCTTGTTGTACTTGAGCTGGGAAGGTTGAGAAACAACCTCCAGGCCGCCGTGTCGCGCCATCTTCGATCGGGGGATTCGGCTATCGTTCGTAGGTATTTCTCAAATCCGACCTGGCGCTCTCTTGTTAAGTCGGCGGATTTGACAGTTGACTTGAACCAGTGCTTGCTCGGTAACGGTTGTGGTGGAGGGATGCCAGTTTGCTCAAGCAGCGTCTCGTGCAGCTTCACAAAGTCGGAGTACCGCTTTTGTACGACAAAGGACCGCAAGGGGAGTCTCAGTGTAATGTTATATAATGTGTAAGGCTTTCCCGACTCCTCATCGGAAATGCTGGTGGAAGGGATGGCGATCTCGGGCGGCGGAGCCATGTTAACGTCGGAGCTCTGTTGGTATTTTCAGAGGCTGATCATGCTATGGGGTTTTGCAAGGACGACTATTCGATCGTGGTGTTCGTTGGGATATATACACACAATTCCAACACGCCTAATTTGGATGCAAATTGTTGGGGAGAAGTAAGACCGTCTGGCCCCGTGGTCGAGGCGAGTGTCATGACGCAGCGTTGCACTGGTGGAGACCAGAGTCAGTTTAGCGCTGGTGCCACCCAGCGTCCGCCTACAGTAGCGCCACGCCGACGGGCTAGCTCCCCACCTAAACCTTCGTAGGCGCCTGCAACCAGCGAAATGGTGTCTGCCTGGGCATTCACGAGGATCATCATTCACGTAAAATGCGACATAATTATATTGCATGGAAAACTGAACTATGTCCAACAGAATGTACGAGCACTGCGTCTATTTCAATCCCTCGCATTGGTCTCCTACCGCCGGGTTCAAACACATCTTCGCGCTTCATCATAGCTTCATGATATGCAGAGTCTTAGGTGCACTAAGGTAGTTGCACCAGATCTCCAACTTTTTTTTTGCTTCTTAGTTTATTTCTTTTCGGCATGTGAATTTGGCTTAGAACGTCTCCTGGTCGTCCAAAAGCTCCTCACCCTCTAGCTCGCCCTCGCCTTCAGCGGGGATCTCGAAGCCCTCTTCCGTAGAGTACAAGATCGTTTGGATGTTCTTCACGAGGCCATCTTCCTGCTTCTCAAGTTCGGGATCCTCCTCAACTGCCTGCTGGATCAGGAGCTCAATGTCACGAAGCTTGCTGAAGTAGAAATCGCGTTCACGCTCGAGGCCAACGACCGTCTCCTTGAGAGTGGCGTTCTCTTGTTGAAGAGCGGCGGTTCCAGGGCCAGCCGCCTTGGGAACAGCACGCGAGGCACTAGGAGTAACACCGCCTCTTCTAGGGCCAGCGGTTGTGATGGGAGCCTTGGCCATACCGGCAGTTGGCGCCATGGTTGTTCCCTTTCGTCTAGCAGCGGCATCGTACTCGTGGTCGGGGAAGTTGAGATCCCAGAATTTCTTGGTCCACTGCAAGAATTCCAAGTTGTCTTGCATCTTGCATTTGACGAGCTGCTCAATGGGGATCGGCTTGTCGATTTGGTGTTTGGCAAAGGCATCTAAAGGGCAAGATTAGCACTGGTTTGTTTTTCGGTTCCGCCGGCGGCTATCGGTCATACTTTGCAAAATTTTGAAATTTTGTACGTATGCATATTCACCGTTCACATTGAACTTGACTCTGTGCATGGGAATATCCATGTAGATACTGTCGTAAACCTGGCAGAGCGCCGCGCTGAGGACTCGTTAGCAGCTGTTCCATCTCCCACCACAAAGGCGGGGGAGGGGTAGTGGCGAGACACCTACCCAGTACCGCATTGCTCAACCTTGGTAATGTTGAGCTGGAGGAGGTTGTTCAGCCATTGAACAAGTTCTTGTCTGCTCGTAAAAAAGGTCATTAGATAAACGATCTATGCGAAAAACTGCGCCCAGGCAGCCACGTTGTGTGGTGAGCCTACCTGGATTCGCCCATGGTGAGAATTTGGAGCCGAGCTTTGAGATAGGTGTTGAATAGACGCGATTTATAAAGAAGAAAATGGCGCAAGAAAGAATATTCACTAATGGAAAGGGGTATCAATGCCCAAAAAGACAAAGTAGAGAATGTGCAGTTGCTAAGCCGCAGGCAACTGGCAAAATTGGTGCTGTTGAATCCGCTATCAAGGCACCTGTTAGAGCGAGAGAGGGGAGCTTCTAGGGGCTTCCGGCGCGCGGTGTGTGGTCGGCCAATCAACCAATAAGTTAGTGGATAGCGGCCCGCCCAAATAGCCCACTGTGACCGTCACGTGTAGAGCGCTTGCCCCTCCATCACGTCAGTTAGGTGCCAGCTCACCGCCAAAATTTCCAACCGGCAGAAAATAGTTTCTTTGCAGGGATCGTTGCAAGCCGTCTGAAAATTTATGAACTAGCTGCAGGCCATCACACTCGGCGCACATTGATAAAGCAACAAGAAGATGGCGCCTATACACAAGAGAAAACCCGTCGAGGATGATTTTATCCATACAATTTCCGACAATGACGAGGATTTGATCGATGAACAAGAAACCGTTGCGGAGCCGCCCAAGAAGAAGTCCAAGAAGACAGAAAAGGCCAAGAATGGGAAGAAGCCCACCAATGACGTGGAAGAAGATGCGGCAGATGATGGATGGGGTGGAATTGACGACGACGATGGTGCTATGAACCCTGACTTTGAATTTGCTCTCGATGACGCTGGTCAATTCGGCGACGCAGAGTTCGAAGGCTGGGGTTTTGACGACGCAAAGTCTGCCATGAACTTGGACAAGAAGGCTGTTGATTTGGATGAGATCATTCGACGCCGAAGAGAAAAGCGCGCTGGAAAATCAGAACCGAAAGAAGACAAAGCTGACGGAGACGAATCCATGGGCGATGATGACGAATTTGACTTTGACGACGCAGACGACGAAGTTCTCGCCGACGACGCTTTTGGTATGAACGTTGATTCAGAGAACGAAGAAGACTCTGGAGATGAAGCTGTTGGTGACGACATGGACGCCGAACACCACGATGACGACGATGACGATGACGCTGCCTCCGACAACGACTCCGTCGCCACCCCTACTGGCCATCCCGATGACAACGGTTCAGATGAATCAGATCAGGAAGACGCGGAGGAAGAGGCCCGACGAAAGGAATTCTTTGCCCCAGACGACGAGCAGCCACAGAAGGGCAAAAAGGATGGACCAGCATCCTTCCAAGCCATGTCTCTCTCTCGTCCCATTTTGCGCGGTCTTACTGCCGTCGGCTTCTCGAAACCCACACCTATTCAAGCGAAGGCCATTCCTATTGCTCTTATGGGACGTGACTTGGTTGGTGGCGCCGAAACGGGTTCAGGAAAGACGGGTGCTTTCATTGTACCGATTCTGGAACGTCTGCTATACCGACCCAAGAAGATTCCTACGTCGCGAGTTGTAGTCCTCACACCCACACGTGAATTGGCTATCCAATGTCACGCCGTTGCTGTGAAACTAGCTGCGCATACTGATATTAAATTCTCTCTTGCTGTTGGTGGTCTCAGTCTCAAGTCTCAGGAGGCTGAACTCAGACTTCGCCCTGATGTTATTATCGCTACTCCTGGTCGTTTCATCGACCACATGCGAAACTCTGCAAGCTTTAGCGTTGACACCATTGAGATTCTTGTTCTTGATGAAGCCGATCGCATGCTGGAAGATGGTTTCGCCGACGAACTTAACGAAATTCTTACTACGCTCCCCAAGTCCCGCCAGACTATGCTCTTTTCCGCCACCATGACATCGACAGTCGACCGCTTGATTCGCCTCGGCATGGAGAAGCCAGTACGACTTATGGTGGATTCACAAAAGAAGACTGTTGGAACCTTGGTACAAGAATTTGTCCGTTTGAGACCTGGCCGAGAGCAAAGGCGACTTGGATACCTTGCCTATATTTGCCAAAATCTATACACAGAAAGAGTCATCATCTTCTTCAGACAAAAGGTTGAGGCACATCGCGCCCGAATTATCTTTGGTCTCCTCGGTCTATCTTGCGCTGAGCTACACGGTAGCATGACACAGCTGATGCGTATTGAGAGTGTTGAAGCTTTCCGTGATGGAAAGGTTTCATTCCTGTTGGCTACTGATCTGGCGTCCAGAGGTCTGGATATTAAGGGTGTTGATACTGTTATCAACTACGAGGCGCCCCAGTCACTTGAGATTTACGTGCACAGAGTTGGTCGTACCGCCCGTGCTGGTCGCAAGGGTGTTGCTGTCACCATTGCAGCTGAACCTGACCGCAAGGTTGTCAAGGCCGCAGTCAAGGCTGGCAAGGCTCAGGGAGCCAAGATTGTGAGCAGAGTGATTGACGCTGCCGAAGCTGACAAGGTCCAAGCCCAGATTGACGACATGGACAAGGAGATTGACGAGATTATCAAGGAGGAGAAGGAAGAGAAGCACCTTGCCAACGCTGAGATGCAGCTGAGAAAGGGTGAAAACATGATTGAACACGAAAAGGAGATCAAGGGCCGACCTAAGAGAACATGGTTCGAGACGGAGCACGAGAAGCAAAAGGCCAAGGACGCTGGCCGCACCGAGCTCAACGGAGAATCAGCGCGCAGCAAGAAGAACGCGGGCAAGATGAGTAACAAGGAGAAGAAGAAGCTGGAGACCAAGACAGAACGCACGGAGGGCCGAGCCTGGAAGAAGGGCAAGGGAGATGCTGAGAGAGTTGCTGGTAACCATAAGAAGCGTGTCGTCAAGGGCGGACGCGGAGGCAGCAGAGGCAGAGGCGGCCGAAGATAATTCCGCCTCTTGGATACAAGACTCATATAAAAATCCTACTGTACATAGATAGACAATATCAAAAAATCAAGATCTAACTACATCCGATTGATCCACAGTGCTAATCTAACCCTCATTTTATTTCCAGCGGCAATGAAAAAATCAGTCCACTAAGATTACATTGCACGTTCAACGGCCGAGTCGTGTAAGTGGTTGCTTTGCTAGCGGCTGACATAAGGCCAGCGAGAATCACGAGTCAGCCAGGGGACCCGCGCCGCCTCAGCGAGGGGCTGCCCGCCGAGCCTCCGCTCCCGTACGTCAGGTGGCGGCATCAGCACACTCGCGACATGTGCCTGCATTAGTTGCCCAGTCTGCTACACCCATCAGGAGACGCAAGCGCCTGAGTTGCAACTCTAGCTCGTGCTGTCTGCGCGCGATAGGGCTGCCCTCGTCACTCCAACCGCTGCCTCGCGTTTTGGCGATCCAGCCTGTGGCCTAGGCTCCAATACAAGATATAATACCAGGCTACGCCTAGGCGCTGGCCACCTGGACGCCGTTTTCACATAGCACATGCAAACACGATTGACACGGTGGCGCCCTTTCGATTTTCAACTTTGGGCGTGCGCGTCCTCGACAGAACCAGAGCATCTTCCGATCCATACTGCTGCCGCGTATACGACAGGGCTACAGAGAACAGGTCCTTCGCCTCCAGCTAGATACCATCCCTCGCCTCAAGTACCGATTGCAGTCCCGGATATACCGCTTCATAGTGGCACGCCAGAAACGACGCCTCCTCAAACGAACGAGTAGTGTAGCTATCTTGGTCGCAAGACAAGCTCGATTGATAGCTCGAACTGCTGCCACCAAGGATGTAAGAGGAGGCTCGCGCTCTGTTCTAAAAACTACAACAATGCAGAATTTCGCTCCCGCGTCCCCAGGCCTTGAGCCCGCGCAGGGCGAGAGAGGCTATCGACGCCGCAAGCTGGCTGCCATCGCTGGCAATCTCTACAGGACCGGACAGCAGGCCGTGACGGACCTCAAAGACTCGTATGCGCAGTCCCGCACTAGAGCTCTGGACGGGGAAGGCGAATTGCAGAACCCGCATATCCCAGGTGCCTTTCCGGACGTGGCGATCACTTCAGGAGGCACGGAGCAGATGGTTCTCTTCCCATCGTATGCAAAGCGCCACATCAGAAGAGACTGGAGCCAAGTCCCGCCTACGGAACCTGCACAACCCGGTGCTCAGCAAGACGAGTATTTCTGGCGCCAGGAATGGGAGAAGAACGAAGATGAAAAAGCCATTGTCGATGTAGACGTCCGAGGCTGGATATACTCACCACAAACCGGCCCGATAACACGGCGAAACCGCATCCTTATCGGCTTGGCTCGACAACTCAGCGGTATCTCGGTGCAAAAGACTGACACTACGACATTAAACCCCGACATGCCGTCACAGATCAAGCCTCAGTCGCAGATCCACGACGAAATGGGCGAACAAGAGCGCATTGAGCAAGAGGCGGCGCGGATCGAAAAGAAGGGACAGCAAGAAAAGCATGTTGCGTCTAGCGGCGGATATAGCGAAGCCATGGGCGATGCGATTCCACGACCTGGCCTATCTCGTCGCGGAAGTCAAACACCAGACTCGGTTCCGGGAAGCCCAATCCTTGGACCCCGACAACAGTCAAACCTCAACGAACTCACAGAAGCCGAGATGGCCATTGCCAATGCCAACTTAATGGCTCGCATTGCTCCCTTCATGACCACGCCGCTCGTTGCACAGCCCATCACCGTCTTCTTCTACAACGAGAGACAATCGCAGTCGCGGACCGTGCTCACGAATGACGCCGGCCACTTTAACGTACGCGCTGCTCTCGAGTTTGAGCCAACTCATGTCCGCGTTCTCGCCAACGAGAGCTTGTCGACCGGTGCAGAAGTCAACATGATTGCCTCGCAAGGCGTTAGTCTCATCAGTGACATCGACGACACCATTAAGCGGTCCAACATCTCGAGCGGTGCGCGTGAAATCTTCCGCAACACATTTATCCGTGAACTTGGCGACCTCACCATTGACGGCGTGCAAGAATGGTACAGCGAGCTTCAACAACTCGGCGTCCGCTTCCACTACTGCTCCAACAGCCCCTGGCAGCTGTTCCCTGTCCTCGCCAGTTTCTTCAAGCTGAACGGCCTCCCCGCCGGATCTCTCCACTTGAAACAATACTCAGGCATGCTACAGGGCATCTTTGAGCCTGTGGCTGAACGCAAAAAGGGAACACTCAACCGACTGCTGCAGGATTTCCCAGAGCGCAAGTTCCTGCTTGTAGGCGACAGTGGCGAGGCGGATCTTGAAGTATACACAGATCTTGCACTCGCAAACCCAGGCCGCGTGCTTGCCATCTTCATTCGTGATGTCACTACGCCCGAAAAGCCAGGATACTTTGACTCAGCCTACGAAGTCTCGCGGAAGAAGCCGTCTAGCTTCTCTCTCGAGGATAGCAGGGTCCATATCGAGCCACCCTCACGACAAAACTCTGCGCCCATCACAACGCCGCAAATGAAGCCTCAGCCAGGTCCACTAATGGGCACGCTCATCGACTTTTCCGAGGAACCAGAAGAGGTCAACCTCGACAGCTCCGCTGCTCTTGCGCAAGTCAAGAGCTCCGCTAAACCCATTAGTGCTTCTGACCTCCTTCGCGGCCGCAAAGCACCGCCTCCACGCCCAGCCAAGCCGGCTGCCCTACGAAGCGGCCCTTCTGCGACTGGTCCCCTAGCAAACCTGACGCTCAAGACAACCAACATCAGCAACTCAGAACCAGCCAGCGGCCCAGGCTCAGGAAACGCCTCATCCGTAGCATCGCGTGCCGCAAGCGAACTCGGAGACGCCAAAACAGCGAAATCCTCCCCCGACTTCCCTCCGCCTCTGCCGCGCCGCCGCATCGCGAGTCTGAAGAACTTAAGCCCCAGGCTCTTCGGCCACGGACGCAGCAACTCTGATGTGGACTTTGATCCTCTTGATATCGGCTCTACTGCTGTTCCCCCAGCCGGCATGTCATACTACCGGTCCGGCTCCCGCTCTGGCGCAAGCACCCCGACAGGATCGCCTATCCTAGGCGCTCAGGGAATGAACCGCAGGGTTGACCTCTGGAGACGGCGCGTAGCTAGAGCACAGGAGTTGCTAGAGCAGCAGGGTGTTGTGCTCTACACTTGGAAGAAGGGACAAGACGTGTCTGCCGAAGCGGTGGGCATTGTCAAGCAAGCGCTGGAGGACATTAAGAAACGCTGATAGGAATTGTCAAAGGCTTGTCTTTTTTTTTTACACATGATATCCCATTCGTCACGCAACATAATTCGATTTTAGACCAGGGGAGTTTCTTTCTCGGACAAGGAGGTCTTGCGTGGAGATGCACTCTTGCTTATATAGCCTTTATCCCCTTACCTTCACTTATGTCATGTATGCTACGTAACTATACGGGAGCTATACACAACCATAGACGCACTTATATATACACATTCAGGATACAAATAGATTCGATGAAGCTATCCAAATATAGACTGTCCGCACATGGCACTGAGAGGCTAGGTGTGTGTAAACCAACCATATTTATATTCTATAATCCAAAGGAATATGCTACCAGCAAGTATTCTAAACTGGCCTCGGGTGGTTATGTGCAATGCAACTGACCGTCGGATGACAATAAACATCATGCCTTCCAACCAAAAACGACATCCAATACAGAGAACAAAAACACAATCGTATACCAATTTACACCTCCAACAGTTTTCTGCTTTGCTCATCTTAGTGAGCTCCAGTTGGAAAGTAGGTCCCAACTTGCGCTATTCGGCTTCTATTTCCGTTCGGGCTCCGCAGCAAGGTTCATATGCATCATAGCATCTGTAGTCCACTCTTCAGCGTCGTCCAACATCTTACTAGGTTCGTTCCTTTCAGCATCCCACATGTCCAAGCTCTCACGCCCATCAACGCCTGGTAAGTGACTTCGTCGCTGTTCGGTCGCTTGGTCCGGATTGTTTTGGGGTACAATTGGCGTTGAGTCCAGCTCAGACATGAACGTTTGAGTATGATAGCCTTCAGCGGAATGGTCAGCTTCATCAGGAGCGCCCATTGGGCCACGAGGGGGGTGGCCTGTAGGTGTCTTCTGGTCATCGGGCATATCAAAGTGATGAGCTGGATAACCATGTATGTCAGACATCATATGTTGCTGCTCAAATTCGTCTTGTTCCAGTATTTGGGGAGCTTGTTCGACGTTCCGCAGGCTGGTAGCACCCGGTGCATGCATGCCTGATCCACGGAGGCTACCAGTAGACGCCCTATTGGGATCCGTTCCATCGCTACCGCCTTCACCGAGCGCTGCTGGGTCGAGATCTCGGATGGCAAACTGCGCCATTGTTCTCATCTTCCTGGTAACCCATCCAGCAAGGATCTTTCCGCGTTGTTTTTCGCCAAGTCTGGATCTTGGGAAGTCACCCTTGCTAACGAAAGCAACAATATCCGCGACAATCTGATGTTCGCTCAGTATGGCGTTGATAATGACTGGTACAATAGACGCAAGATATGCTTTCCGGTTAACCTCAACCAAGACAACAACCAAACCTCCGGCTTGGAAAACAGCGCTAGTACTAGATGTTAGCTATTTCTTTCTGTTTTGCTTCGGAATCACGCGTGTTGCATATAAACTTACCATCCACCAGACACGATGTTGCGGTGACATTTTTCCACAGAGAGTTCAATGTCCATTGGGAAATGGCTCAAGCCATTGATTTCAAAGGTCTCTCCTATACTGCCAAGAACGAAAAGCACTTGCATTTCCACTTGTGTGCCGCCGGGCCCAATAGGCCGACTGACATTGAATAAGAAACCCAAATCACCAGTACGTACGTATCGGATGTTCGGATCACCATCGGCAGTGCGACCATCGAATCTCTCGGCATCAAACGCGTCTCTGGAGCCGTAGAAAGACTTGACGCAGCCCTCTGAGTCTACCCAGATCTCACCAAATTCACCATCAAGGCAGTGTACACGGCTCTCAGGATTAACAATGGCAATCTGGGTTGATACTGGTACCATGCCTGAATCCTGAATCAGGAGTGCCTTTGGATCCGACTCTGGGTCAACTGGTGCAATTAAGCCACGGCGCAACGCCTTCGTATCTAGCCATAGCTCAATTGGCTCAATGCACATGTAGGACCTGGATGCAATCATAGGGTTCAGCACGTGCGAATACACTGTATTGATAGCAGTGCGGTCCAACTGCGCCTGGGCAAACTGCATGCGTACTTTGCGGAACACATCCACGCGTGGTCGGCTGTCCGCAGCAATCATCATATTCTTCAGCTCATGTAGAGTGAATCCCTTGGCTTGCATAGCGGACATTGCATGATCAAGCATTTGGGGGGTTGCGTAGGAATCCTTGATCTTGTATCGAGCCAGAGTCACAAACAGAGACATGGGACTCTGAGCAAAGTCAACAGGCGATAATAAGTACGTGGGAGTGCCGACATATATGCCCATAAGACAAGTATGAATGAAGCCAAGGCCAGTGGTGCTTCGTACGCAGCCAAGGACTGGTCGAGAGCTGGTCATTTGACAGGTTTCTTTCTGCACTTTGCACATGCCCATGATAGTATCGTGGCTGAGCTGTACGGCGATTCGTCTTTGGTCTGGGGTCCAGTATGTCCAAATAATAACAGGATATCCGGGACGTACCCATGCAGGATCAATTGTCAGCCCTAGGTCTCGCAGTCCACTGTTTTGTTTTGGTGGCTTAGACGTGTTATAAACAGCTGGGTTTGCGATCTTGAGAATCTGAGCCGATTGCTTTATATGGCTGGAAACTGGCTTCATCTTGAGCAAATGATCCACCTCATTATTCACCAGAAGGGCCTTGACTTGGTAGTCAGCAACAATATGCAAGAAGGCAGGTACATCTTCATTGAGGCGATTTTGGTCTAACGGCGCCATGGGGATGACAACGGCGCCAAGGTTAATGCAGGCATGGACAGCAAAGACAAAGTCTTCTGAGTGCGTGTACATGACGACAACATGGTCTCCGGGGCGTAATCGGACCTTGTTTTTCAAGTACATCGCAACAGCAGCAACCTTGGAATCAAACTTGCGCCAAGTGACGCCCTTCCCCTCCCGGCAGCGAGCATCAATTGTACAATAGGCTAGTTCTTCTGGCTGTCGGGCCACACGCCATTGTATCAGATCGGTGATACAAGCGAAGTTGTTTAATGGTGTAGATGTTCTGTCATCAATGACAACCTCTCGTCGATCGATACCGGAGTACTGCTTCTCTGAGTGCATAAGAATCTCAGCGCGAGACTCTGATGCAATGTGTGACCATATACCCCCCATAGGGTCGACGCCTATAGGAAGATTGAGTACCGCATGCTCCACGCCGAATTTGATGTGCACACAGGGGAGATTGCCTAGATCAAATTCTCGCCTGCAAAGCATGTTTCCAATTTCCCTTCTTCCGTTCTTCATCACTCTTGGCAAGGAGTTTGGAGCTGTAATCATAACACAGTAGAGACGAAGGTGGTGTTCGTTCATCAACACATCCATACACCTCTCGGCCAGTGAGTCTAATAGAGCCATATCTGGTTGTCTGGGAGGGCCGCCTGACGCCAATGGAGCGGTAGAGGCAGCTGCAGTTTCGACTACAACAACCGGTAAATGCTCATCATTGACAAAGACATCAAATGCAGAGCAGTCGTAAATCTTGGGGACGTTCTTGACAATGCTGACCACCATGTGTTGGACAAAGAAGTATCGGTACTCGGCGCTTTCATGGCCATGCTCGACCCATTCAACCTTTTGACGAATTCGATCCTCATAGAGTCCAAGAATAAACACTTTCCCTTCGATAATCGTACCAAGTAGACCTGTACGAAGGAATTCTGGTTCCACAGCTGTTGGTGTTGGCTCACCAGGGTCAAACTTGTAGGGTCGTGCGTGGAATATCAGCTCTGTATTCCTCGGCTGAGCCCAAAAGCCGCCTGAGAGTGATGGCGAATCAACCCAGATCTCGCCCACAGAATGAGGCGACGCTAGTAGGCCAGTCTCTGGGTCGACTACCGCAAGGGTAGCGTCTGCGATTGGGTATCCAAACGCTCCCACACGTACCATGGACGAATCAATAGAACTCTTCTTACGTGCTTCCGCTCCATAAGCCAAAACCACTACCTCATTGGTTTTTAGCGCTTCTCTGTCTAAGAGAGCCTCATCCATCTCTGTTTTAATATTTTGTTGAGTTGTGGAAGTGGTGCCACCCAAGAGGGTTCCAAAGCCGTTCGACGGCTTATCTGCTTCTTTTTCCTCGCTATCATTATCAGACGGTTGATCTTCTGATTCCCTAAGTTTGTTCAATGCGACACCCATTCGATCTTCACCACCAACCCAATCACGCATGCTGATTACCATGCCACCATGCTCCGGCAGACACAACATTGGGGAAACGACTTCTCGAGCACGAGGGTTGCGAAGTGGACGAAGCCAGCGATCGGCCAAGACCTCGTGGAATTCGCTATCCACCGTGAGCGTGTCAATCAAGCAGAGTTTGACAGTCTGGAAGTTGGGTTCCATGCCTTTTTTGAAATTTCGTGTCGTCATCGGATCTTGCTGATAATTATAAGCGGCACGCTTCAAGCCAGGGTATTCGGCAATCATAATGGTGGCTCTATACTTGGTAATCAGATGGGCGTAAAGACCAGGGACATCGACAGCCTTATTATCAAACCAGACGGTGGTGTGACCACCGTAGACTGTCAATAAAACGCCCAAGATCATTCCAATACCCTGTCGCGGATCCAAATAAGACAGTAAGATCTCACTGCCTGATTTTCCGCCAATAAGACGACCGTTTTTATCTCTAAGCGACGGATTAAAAGTATCACCTGGGGCATTTCCAGGCATTGTGGCCACGACAGCGCTCAAGCAAGCCATTTGGTGCATGATGGTCCTATGACTGAGAACAACACCACGAAGATCGCCAGTTGGTGCACGAGAGAACTCGATATAAGCCAAGTCTGGCACTGTCAGGGGTGGTACATCGTCCTTCTTCTTTGGGTGGTAGCTGCCGAATTCGTTTGTCTTCCACCACTCGACTCCTTTGGGCCAAGTGAGCTTGTGTGTTGTAATATCACGCTGGAACGCTTTAAGATTGTTGTCTGTTGTAAGAGCAAGATGAGCCTGTGTTGTTGTAAGAATATAGTTGAGCCTTTGGTAGTCTTGTAAGTCGTTGATAGGCACAGCCACCACGCCTGCAATAAAACATCCCATCAAAGCAATGGCAAAGTCAATGACTTCAGAATCTCTGTAGACCAGGGCAACTCGGTCACCACGATACAGAGAACTCTTGTCGCGGATGACCTGCGCCACTTTTTCGGCCTTGGAAGCAAACTTGTCCCATGTAATGGACGCAATTTCCTTTCCTCTGCTATCAAGCACCCAAAATGCCGGGACCTTTGCTATATTCCGGCCACGGTGACGTAAGATGGCAGCCAGATTGTCGAATCGAGACATGGGAGTGTTGGAATCGTGAGGGTCAAAGATTGAGAAGGGGACTTCGCGGGGTTCAAGAGGTAGTTGGTACTCGAGCGCTTCCCGTGGCGGCAAGTCATTTGCTGTGAGCATTGGAGGAGCCATAGCAGCGCTAGGTGAAAAAGGCTCGCTGGTAGAATATCGATGTTGGTGGCCCCCATAGTCCATAGACGGGTTGTGATCATGGATCTGCTGACCAGCAAAGTCTGAAAAATAGCCCTGGTTATCTAGGAGAGTGTGGGTGCGCCCATCTTGGGGTGGTTGCCCATGAGGCTGCCTGCTGTCAACATAGACCGGTTGCTGATCAGGGTTAAAGGCATAATCGCCCGAGGCCATGGTGTCGGATCTTGTGCCACTGCTAGCGCCACCAAAGAGCAACGAGTCGCGGCTATAAGCAGCCGGATCAGACGACGCCGGAATGCCTGGGCGCAGAGCGGCAACAGGTGCAAGTGAGTCTTGTTCAAGGGAGCCAACGCTATATCCTGACGGCGGGCGCTGCAAAATAGGAGCAGCTTCTGAAGTAGGAACGCCCATAGCAGCGAGAGCGGCAACTCTATGGCCGTCCCCAGAAGGGTGTATTGAGTCATCGACCGTGTGAATTCGAAGGCCCGATTGAGGGGGAAGAGCTGGAGGAGGTGAGCTAAATTCGGAGAGAAGCAATGCCCTCTTCTTCTGGAAGCTGTTGGACAATGGTTAGCTGGCTCAATTGGCTGCTCGCGGCCATAATCGTAGTCTTACCCTTTCTCGGTAATGTCACCATCCTAAGGCAGCCAATCGTTAGTTGTATTTACCTAAAATGGATACCAAAGACACAAACTAACCTCTAGTTCAAGATGGAGAGCAGCCAAGCGAGCTTGAAGCTCTGGGTTATAGTCAGCCATAGCGGTCGTTGGGAGGCGCGAGCGACCGCCTAGAGTTTCGGAAAGCCAGTTGCTACGTGCTGATGCGACGATGCAAGCCTGTCCAAGAAATTATACAGGAGTAAATATGATAGCAGCAAGTGTTTATACGGGGGAGGTGGCCGGCAGCAGGGCTAAAATTGTGTCGTTATTCTGCTTCTGTTATTCCAGCCTCAGTAAAGTTGGCGGTTGCAAGGTTGCTTCCCAGTCTCGTGACGTAAGGTTTGGACTGACTGGGTCGCTGGTCGGTCTCGGAAGGAGGGGCTGGGCAGGCGCGGGGATGCGAGAGGTTATGCTGTAGCAAGACGGGGTCTTCAAGGCTGAAAGGTGGCACGAACGGCGCAAAGAGGCTTATAAGCGACCATGTGCATAAATTGTGCACTGTGATAGCAAGATAATTAGGTATGAACAAAATGGTTTTTTTGCAAATAATATCTGGGCAAAATTGGAGGCACTGCGTCCTAATTATGGTCTTCGTATTGTTGCATAGCACCGGCCAGGCTCTGCTCCGTTGTAATACGAGGATTGCCACGCTCCATTGACTCAGTTTAAAAAAAAACACGAAGTCCCAGCTCGATAATTTTAATTATTCTTTTTAGTAACACAATATATAATATATCGCCTTCATTAAAGTTACAATTTATGGACTTCCACAGTAAAAATATCTCCGTTGATGAGCTTGGCTTACAGCCCTCTCGGGCACAGCGCCAAGTTGGCAACTCCCGCCAAAACTGAACCCCACAAGGGACTCAGCCGGGAGTATTGAAGCTCCGATCCGGCCAAACCTCTAGAAATAAAATTCTGCCACAGCTTTCTCCTGTTTCTTTGCTTCCTTTGTTCACATCTCCCACCACGCGCGTGTGTGGGAGGCCAAAGGCTTTCACCGTGCAAGCCTGGCTTTCAAAAATTCCACAATGAGCTTCTGGAAGCACTTTGTGCGCGTTTTGATTCCCATTGCTTTTTGAGTTGTCGCTTTCATCTACTAACACTGAGAACGCCCTGCGTATCGTGATTGTCCAGCTCTGCTCGCTGTGATGATGCTAATATGGTAAGTCTTGGTTTCAATTTCTTCTTTTCCTCGAAAGATTCCCCATCCCTACTCTATGATGAGACAAGCATTATACACAGACCTGTTCTGAACACTCAGTGTTGAAAACGATGTTTTACCTCCTGATCTTATTTCCTTGCATCCCTTACTTGCTTGAATTCAACCAATCTTACAGGAGTTGTTGACTAACAATTCTTGCAGTATGAACGTAAATTTAACCAGAACAGCCCATAACCTTTCACGTGGCCTTTGTTCGCCAGCTTCCAGCACCGTACGCCTAGTGCCACCCAACGCCCGCAGCAACAGCGGGCGCTGTCAATGCGAAAGGCTATGCTGCGACTTTGTTCGATCCCCTATTTATAGAAAAGAAAAAAGAATACAATGAACTCATCTTGCACTCTCTCTACTGCACCGACCGTTAAGTGACTTAAGTAGGACGTAGTTGCCAGCAAAGGCAATGCGCCGAATCAATTTGATGCTTTAACTGAACGCCACACAACACCGCTATTATGAATCCAATACCAGATCCGTCAGGCACACCAATCGACCCGAACCTTGAAATAGACATATCTCCGTGCACAATACCAAAGTTAGAAGATGGTGGCTACGATTGGAGCCGGATATCAGAAATAAAGACGGAACCCGCGAGCAACGACCAAATTTCTGGCCATATACCAGGCCACGCATTAACCGCTGCCCAAGGAATACAGGCTACGCCTGCATCATCCACCATTCCGACCAACGGGTTAGAGGTAACCTCGCCCAACACGTTGACCAAATTCATCGCAGCTCTTAGAGAGAGTGGCAGAATCAAAGGAGCGTTTGGCGTCGGCCAGCTTGAAGAAGTCCTTGGGGATTGTCTTTCTGTACCAGAGCAACCAAAGTCCTCTAATGGCAATATCTTTCCCGATATACACCTACCAGCTGGTGTTTATACTCCGAATGCGTATTCCTCATTTGAAATCGACTCAGCACTGGAAGAGCGCCTCGACCGCTTCCTTTACAGCGAAAATCGCCCCCCTTTTGGAACGACGACGGAAGACCTGAATGTCTCTGGAGCTCAGTTTCAGACTACAGCGTTGATAGAGAGCAAAGACTATAACTATCCAACTCCAACTATACCTACAGACGGCCAGGGCCTATATGCAGATGATTCTCAACTCAAAGCCTTGGCTCCGAATCTCTTCAACAACAGTGGGTTTTGGTACGAAAATCGTGGACAAGAATCAACAAATATTCCTGTCGCGATTCCCTTGCACCATCAGACCATTCCGAGGCTTTCAATGCCGATCCCTCGAACTCACCAACCCGGCAATCCTTACAACCAAGATTTGACAGCAGCACCAGAAGCCTGGGGTCGCAATCGCCCCAAACGAGCCAAATGCGACCCAATGTTAATTTATCCAAGTATGCCAACCCCAAATCCATGGGGACACATCCTAGAGGACGGCCGGCCATTGTTCAGATATGAGGATGATGGACCACTAGACACTTCTCTTGTCTTCGATCAACCACAGCTGGAGACATTCGTCAACGAGTGTCCCCGAAACTTGGCGATCTGGGTCCAACAGGCGCCAGCGCAATGCAATTATCGACTTGGAAAAGGCGAGACTAGATGTCGTTACCTGCACTGTCCAGATCCGAAACGAACCATCCTACCTGGTTGGTTAAGAGTGGCGATGGACGAATATCCGGAGCTGACTGCAACCGGCGCCAAGGATCCTTTCAAAATGTCCCTAGTTATGCATCTCTGGTGCTTTGAAAGATGCTTCGATCCTATGGACTTTTATATGAAAGGCAAATTTGGAGCAGATCAGCGTGAATTACCAAAGGAAATCCGGAATTCAATGGCAATCAACAAAGACACAGATGCTCTAATCGTTAGCAGAGCTTTTGAGCCCTGGTTCATCAAAAATCATTCAGAATGGCACTTGCACGGTCCAAGGACTGAACCGCGAGAATACAAAGATACCTTATCGGCCGCTCTTGTCAATTATCATCTATCCAACCAAATACAGTCGAGGCAGAAAACTCGCAATTCTCGAAACCGGGTCAAGTTGCGCAGTAATCTGATTACAATTGACATTCACAAGGGGGATTTGGATATGTATATCTCACATAGACAGAAGCGAACCGGAACACATCCGCGGATAATGCCAAATGAGAACCAACCCAACCTGGCCAGTACATCATCGTCGATGCAACCAACGACATCAAATTTATCCTCACAACATGGATTTCACAGCTTGGAAGTCCCTATGGCTACACAAGAATCATTTGGGTTGGATCCATCGATGATGTTCACTCTACTAATGACAATGAACAATGGAATGGTTTATACACAAGATGGTACCCAAAACGCCAACGGTGTACAGCCGGTAAAGCCGGCTTCCGGCTCTAGATATCCGAAAAGGCAACGTTTATGAATGCAGGAGCGGACAAATTTAGATTAGAGCTATATGCTGAATTTCGGGTTTAAATTTTCCGAGATGGTTTTGTTTTGTTATTATTATTTTTTGCCCTATAGACTTGGGAAATTGGGTTTATGCACAGGTTTCGGTGTTAGTGTAAGCGGAGCGAGAGGCGGCGGTGACGCGGACAAACGCACATCTAGACGTGCAATGTGTCATACTTTGAATGGAAAAGAGAGCCGAAAATGATTAAGAACATAAAATATTCATTTATCCATTACTATTGTCTTTGGCGTTTAATACGTGGCTGCCTGTATTAAACGTCATCCAGTCTACGTGTCACGTGACCCTTCGTCCGACGCTTGGACGAAAGCAGCGCCAATCTTCAGCATGTAAGGCTACCTGGGGGGCGGTTCCTTCCCTTTTCGCCAACACTTTCCTCGGCGCGAAGTTGCGGCCAAGGCGACTAAACCGTTACAACGGCGCCCGCCAACGACTCAAGATTTACTGGGACCTCGACACTATGGCAGACAAGGCTACTTCGGGCCTCCAAGTGATTGTGCTGGTGCGTATTTATTGATTTGATTTTCTCTTCTATTTATTCCAAGCTCTTGATTTTAGGGCAATGGTACTACGTTAGTTGCCATTGTCTCGTGGTCAGCCTCACACCCACCTTCGGCCACGCCGACCAACACATTCACCACCCGCCTCACTGTCCAATTGCTAACATTATCCTACAGGGCGCAGGCGGAGGACCCCAAGAATCAAATGTGACGGCATTTTTGGTGCGAGCTGTTTCTCAAGACTGGCGCAAGGGATCTCTGGTCGCTGTAGATGCTGGCGTCCACCTCTCAGCCATCACTCGCCTTATTCAAGAAGCAATGCCTGAGTCTCCTCCTCCAGCACCTTACAAGCTGACTAGAGGACCCTTCGCTGGTCTTGAACTTCCCTTTGAAACTGCTGGAGCCAATGCAGCTCATGTAACGAGGGCACTCGTCGACACATATCTCATCACGCATCCTCACCTCGACCACATTTCTGGCTTCGTTATCAACACTGCTGGTCTGCCCGGCACTCGGCCTAAGAAGCTAGCCGCTCTTCCCAGCACTATTCAAGCCCTCAAGACACATATATTTAACAACATTATCTGGCCAAACTTGAGCGACGAAAACAATGGCGCTGGCCTCTTGACGTACCTACGGCTTGTGGAAGGCGGCAGCCCAGCACTCGGAGAGGGCGAAGGCAAGGGATATCTCGAAGTTTGCGACGGTCTTCTCGTCAAGACTTGGAGTGTTAGCCACGGTCACTGTATAGAGAAGCACAGCCATCGCGGATCCTCTGCTTCGAGCGCATCGCCACGCTTCGGAAGTCACGACGCCTCTAGCTACACACCTCGCCGGGATCCGTACAACCATCCTATGGCCCAGGTAACACCGCGTGGACAGACACTGATGTCTCAAAGCACATTCAGCAGTGGCTCCCCGATAGGAGTAGAGCAGGAGCGAGTATGCGTATACGATTCGAGCGCATACTTTATCCAAGAGCCCATTACTCGAAGGGAGGTTCTCATCTTTGGAGATGTTGAGCCAGATAGCATTTCACTGAGCCCAAGGAATCTGCACATTTGGCAAGAGGCTGCACCAAAGATTGCTAGTGGATCTTTGGCTGCCATCTTCATTGAGTGCAGCTACGACGACTCGCAGAGCAACGATCGACTATTTGGCCATCTCAAGCCTGTCTTCATCATAGAGGAATTAAAGGCTTTGGCAAATGAAGTTGAAATCGCCAAGAAGATAAGAAATAATGAGACCAGAAAACGCAAGAGAACGAGTGTCTGTAGCGACGGTCCGGACCCTCGGCGAATTACTACGAAACAATCCATGGAAGATGCCGTCTCACCTAAATCCATCCGTCCGTCATTACAGGTCGCTGACCTCTCGCGGCGAGCTTCTACTGAGACTGCGGACACTCCACACCTTGCCACACCTACGGATGAGCTTTCATTGAGTGACATGATACCACCTGTTAGCATGCCGCCTGCGTCGCAACCTCTTACCGGTCTCAAAGTTGTTATTATCCACGTCAAGGAAAAGCTCGCCGATGGACCTGAACCTGGCGATGTAATCCTACAGCAGCTGAAAGAGTACGAAGAGCAAGCTCATCTTGGATGCGAGTTTGTTGTCTCCTACTCTGGGCAAAGCTTCTATTTTTGAATACACAGAACATAAGGGCGGCTATCTATTTTGCATTTACGGATCGGAGTTTTTGTGTTTTTAGATTATGGTTCGGCAGCGGAGGTCTCTATCACTTGATGTATGATGAAATTCTCATATTGACCAATTATTTAACGATGTATATTGTTGCTGAAAATATCTACTATATTTGATCCTGGGCCAACTCCCGCCGTCTTTGTGTATGTTACAGCCGAGACCTGCATTTATGTAGCATCTTTGGTGCCGTTCTTTAACTGTTCAAATCCGTCTCTACCACCAAGATCCTTTTCAAAGTTTGGTCTTGAAATTTCAAAAGCCTCCGCAGCCCGAAGATATGTAATACCTCCCAAGCGGCTCACGGGTCGAAGAATGGCTGGGTCAACTAGCGTCTGTTCTTCATTGAGAGCATCCTGCCGCACCCAGATCCGCACGCCTTCAACCACGACCATTGTTCCCGTCACCTCACCAGGCTTGAATCTGCTATCCCAGTCTTTGACCATGTCCAGCTTTGCCTCGATACTAAAGATGGCCTCTTTAATTCGCGGGGCTTTGACGACCTCGCACGGCTCTGGTGTCAGGCCACTAACATCCCATTCGGAGAGCCCATAAGGCGCATCAATGCTGCTAGCGTTGGCGGCTTCGATGAACGTTTCCGAAATAATATTAATAACACATTCCTTAGTCTCCAGGAGATTTCGTAGAGAATCCTTGGGCCGACCCGTGGCACCGATAAAACCAATTACCATGAGCGGCGGATCGTGGTTGATCATGTTGAAGTAGCTAAACGCGGCCATATTAGTCAATTTACCGTCTGCACTACGCGTACTGACAAGTGCAATTGGTCTCGGTGTGATGGCAGATAAGATTAGCTTATAATTGGCGGAAGCAGACCGGTTTGGGCCATGAGGGTCAATGGCAATATGCTTTGCATCTCTCCCGGGGTCGTCAACGTTGTTTGCACCGTCGCCAAACTTCCAATCGGGCTTTGGCGTCCTGACGAAGCGAAATTTCGAGGCTTCTGGGAACTCAGGGCGACTTTCTTGCACTTTCTTGAAGTCGCCGTGCGGACTCCAGACTTGCGCGCCGGCCATTTTTGGAGGTTTGGAGGAGTAGCGACAGCAGGCGGAGGAGGACAGAGAAAAGACGGGCGGGGCTGCTTTTCCTAATCTGGCTAAACTGTATGTGCGCATAACGATAATAGGTTAAGCATCTGTTCTGATTGCGAAAGATATATATGTGTAGTTATCGATGCAAGCTGCGCGAATGCCGTGGTGGGTTCCCGATCGCCCGCTTCCTATGGCGCGATGGTAAACTGAGGGGCACCAGCATTAGCGACGTCATTAGCGCGGCACTGCAGTTCGGTAGCTTCAGCAGTTGGCTGTTACGGTCTCAGGACCCTTGTATTGATGCAGCATTTCGCACCGCTACGATCGTGGCTCCGAGTCAAAAAGGTGGCCGATGTCAACAACCACCGAAAGGAAAGATGTCCGCTAATCTGAGCCAACAAGCCATGCATTCATGTGGGTTGCGTATCTTCTGGCCTGCATCGCGCTAAGCTTCCCGAGCGTGCTTTAAGGTTCGGCTTACACCCCGTGCAGATTCGCCCGATAATTACGTGAGAAGGCGTAAGTCGGCACACCCAGTACCCCAGCATAATACGTATGAGACTTGCGATCGTCTCTTGGCGAAGCGTTGATCACGCGAGCGATGGGGCAGACACTGTCATGGAATTAATAAGTTTGGATGTAGTGGTGAGACTTACCGATGGTGCAGTATATATAAGACCCGTGGGATGTAGCTTCTGGAACAATGCTGTTCTTTTGATTCTACAAGTTTTCTTCCATTTTTTCAAAGATTCTAGAGCAGTTTTGTCCATCTACTCCAATAAAACTCAAATTTTCTCTCATCTCTCTCCCTCTACATACCATAAATCACAATGATGCGCAGGGCTTCAACATCGACTGCCACAACCCCTTCCTTCATGCTTCTCGGAGGTGTATCAACACTTCCTAGCGCATCTCTAGTTCGCGGTCTACAAACAAAACCCCGTCCAGGAGATCGTCTGCACCCTGAAATGCAATGGGACTTTCAGTACTTTAAGTCATACGGCGTGGCTCCTCCACGCAAAGACGCCAAGAAGGCCAAGACAAACAGTTCTTAAACAAATGCACTGAGTTTTTACTTTGATGCTGTAAACTGTTGGAAATATTGTTTTTGACATCCTTTTCGGATCTGGTTTTATTTGGCGTTGGTTATGAGAGCGAGCATTCTTTACATAGGAAGCCAGCACTCTCTTATAGAGTGCGAGCAAAATAGGAAATAAATTATTCACCGCCCAAATCTAGTTCCAATTCTGCCGTGTGCTAGCAACCCACCTGAGGACAATTTTGCCCAGCAGTTGGCATCTTTACATATTCACACTACTTTTAAACAGACACATCACACACTCTTTTTTGTTTTATTTGCACAGATTAATGACTTTCATTTAAATTATGACTGGCATTTAACGCGAACCTGTTCTCTTTCAACTCCTCTGCCTCGGCGTATGACTCAAATTTGTTCGCCGCATCGCTCATGCGTCTGAATGGAGTCGCGGATATTGCTTTCACTCGGACGTCGTATACCTGTCCTTCTAACGCCTCGAATTTCCTCGGTTTCAAGTTCTATATATACCCCTGGATCAGCTCGTTCATCACATCTCGGCCGATCACAATTACAAACTTCGCCATCTGGCTTCACCTTTCCTCGAACCTCCGCCTACTATTCGACCCGAGTCCCGAGCCCGCCAAAAGATCATTCTGTCATGGCCACGACTGTAGAATTGGTCTCAGTGCCTTCTGCAGATACGCCTGGAACGTGCATATATCTGCACAATGAGAAGATATCCTACGTTTTCGGCCGAGTAGCAGAGGGCACACAGCGCGCCTTTGGCAGTCGCAAAATCCACATGGGCGGCACAAATCATGTTTTCCTCAGCGGGCCTGTTTGCTGGGAGCAGCTTGGAGGCCTAATTGGCTACCTCCTGACGGTTGGTAACTCTTTGGACGCTGTTAAGGAGCAAGTAGCCCTGCAAAACAAGAAGCGAGAGGACAAGGGGCAAAAGCCAATCGACGGCAACACCCGCGACGGTGTCGATGTGCACGGTGCTGATAACCTGGCGTATCTGCTAGCAACTTCTCGTGCCGTGCTATTCCGACAGCCTATTGTGATAAAGTTACGCGAACATCTCGAGGATCCACGAGCAGCCGAACCGAACAACATCGAGCCGGACTGGAGTGATGCTGCGATTCGTGTCTGGAAAGTCCCGATGAGGCGTGCGAGATCAAGTAAGCCTCATAAGCGATCGCGCGATAGTGATGAACCAAAGAACATGCAAGCTGAGACCGTGGAAGCAGCAGCAGAAGCACAAACCACGGTGCCCCTGCCAAGCGGCGAAGTAGCGAAGGTTATTGTGGAAAGACTCATGTTTAACGGCTCTCTTGAGAATCTGGCATCTTTCCGACCCAAGACCTTGTCAGAGTTGACTGCAGATGATAACGCGATCTACATCAAAGACGGTGTCCTTGCGATATACAGAGGCCCTTATTCAGAAGGTGGTAACCCAATCCCATCACCGTCTGACATTGCCTGGGTCTTTTCGGATAAGCCCATCGAGTCAGCGCCTGGCACGGCCGCTCATGGCACAAAAGATGAAAAGCCAGACGCATTCTTCAACTCGCCGGCGCTGCCACCTGCAACATATAGCGACATATCTCTCAGTTACATTATCAAATGCCATGACCGACGAGGAAAGTTTAATGCTGCGCGGGCCAAAGAACTCAAGGTTCTCCCCAAGTTATTCAGCAAGTTGACTGCTGGCGAGAGCGTTACGTCTGAGGAAGGCCAAACGGTGACTCCCGACATGGTTCTCGGTGAAAAGCAACCGGGTAAAGGTCTGGCTGTAGCCGATATTCCGTCTGCCGATTTTCTCGACAGCTTTTTCGAAAGACCAGAGTGGAAGAACGACGAGCTCATGGAGCACGTCGTCGTCATGTACTGGATTCTCGGCGACGGCATTGCCCAAGATCCCCGTATTAAGCAGTTCACACTGGATTACCCCGATATTAAGCATGTCTTCTGCGCCAAGGAGACTTGTCCCAACATGATCACACATCCTGGTGCGGCCGAAGGACTTGCGCGTCTGCGCCGCATCGACCCTGATCGATTCCCTATTCTCAACTACGACAACACCGTCTCTTATCCTGCACCTGAAGCCTCCTCTGCCATCAACCTTGGTCGAGCAGGATTGAAAATGCACATTATGCCTCGCGTTGCGTCCGTCGACGGCAACGTAGTCCCCTTCACAGATCTCGTTGCTCCCTTTAACGATGTGCCCGATGAAGCCATAGCTCTCGCCCAGAAAGCCAAGGCAGAAACATCTGATCCTGCTTTCCTTGAGCGTATTGCCAAAGAAGAGCACGATATCCCTAGCCGTGACGCGGAGATCATTCCTCTCGGCACAGGTTCCTCCGTACCCAGCAAGTACAGAAACGTCTCGTCTACGTTGATTCGCGTCCCTGGCATTGGCAATTACTTGCTTGACTGTGGTGAAGGAACTCTAGGCCAAATCGTCCGCCTCTTTGGCCAAGAGGAAACAGCCAATATTCTCCGCGACCTAAGGTGTATCGTCATCAGCCACTTACATGCGGACCACCACTTAGGCGCAACCTCCCTCATCAAGCGGTGGTATGAGCAGACGCTCAAGGATGGCTCAACCGCCAACCTAGCCATCTGCTGTATCCACCGCTACAAACAGCTACTTCAAGAAGCCGCTCAAGTCGAGGATATTGGTTTCCACCGTCTACGATTTCCTAGCTCTGGCAATTCATCGACCCAAAACGTCGACGAGGTCACAGCACAAGATCTCGGCGCGGAGAACTTCGGGCTAGCCCGCATCAAGCGCGTCAAAGTACCTCACTGTTGGCGCTCGTATGCTACCGAGATTGAGCTCATGTCTGGTCTGCGCATCGCATACTCCGGCGATTGTCGCCCATCCTCTGACTTTGCCCAACAGTGTAAGGGTGTTCACCTACTCATCCACGAGTGCACGTTTGGTGATGACATGGGAAGCCACGCCAAGGCAAAGAAGCACAGCACCATGGGCGAGGCTCTCAAGGTTGCCTCTGACATGCGCGCTCGTCGCGTCCTTTTAACGCACTTTTCTCAACGGTATACTAAGTCCGACTCTTTGCGCCAGACACAAGCCACTGACGGCAATGTCTTGCTTGCCTTTGACTTTATGCGTATCAAGCTGGGTGACTTCCAAATCGCCGCCAAGTATGTGCCTGCTGTGGAACTTCTCATGGAGAAGCTCGGCGAGGCTTGATCTAATGTGCACATATTCTTCACAAACGTATATATAAAAGTTCTTAGAGGCCACTCAATTCCATCATCACAGAGACCAGCTCTTGTGGTATATTTATCTATCTAAAATTCCCTATCTATAAAGGTTGATCCTTTATGATGCTAATTTCCCTTCTCTTGATTTACCTGCTGATTCCCTTCCTGCTGATTCCCGTCCGTGTTGTCTATAAACGCAATATTGTTGATATATTCCGTTAAAGCACAATCGTCGGCCGGTTTATCATAAGCAGCCTTTCACTGCTATTCCCTGTTCTTTTTTTGTTTTTCTGAATTTTCTTTCTTCTCATTTCCCTTCACTGGGGGAGAGAACCACCTTAACGTCTTCGGACAGGCACCCAATCCGGGTTAGGTTCGGACTCCTGAGGTCCTCCCCAGCCCATGGTCGAGTAGCAGCTAGCCACCTCCGCGATGGATGCACACATTGACTTGATGGAGTCGTGAGGGTTTCTCCCGACATACCCATCCTGAGTAGCATGCACCTTTGATTGCTGCACGGGAGGCATTACCTCAGGAGACGGGGCACCAGAACGGACAAAACCACCAGGTGAGCGAGCCCTGCTGTGGTGGCTTGCAGCTCTGCTTCCTCGGACACGGCTGGGGTGAAGCACAAGAGCCAACGGAGCCACTGGAGTCACGCACAAAGATGGAGGCGATGCATTTTGCACTTTCTCGGCATCATGCTCATTCGAGTACTTGGACCAGCCCTGTCGAACGTCCGCAGTCTGCGAAGGAGGGTGGACCGGGATAGGGCTCAAGACCTCAGGGCGCTCCTCGAGGCTTTGGCGGCCAGGGAGTAGCATGGGATCGGTGGAGTACGCGCTGCTGGTATTGTAGTAGCTGAACTTCGGGCCAGGTACCCATGGCAGAGGCTTGTCCTCGTAGTTGTTGCCGTTGTTGCGGTTGGCGGCGAAATCATCCTCCTCAGGCTCCTCGTCGCTGAAGTAGTCGACTTGGTAGTCGAAGACAGAAGGCCTGTCCGTGTTGGGCAAAGCTGGGCTAGGAAGCCGGAAGTCGTCAGACTGAACGGAGGCCCGTGTGCCAGGCACAATGGTCGAATAAGCAGAAGGACTGCCTGTCTCATGAACCTGGTAGTCAAAGACCGAACCGTCAGCTCTGACGGGTTCGGCGGGCATGTTGTCGGAGACAGGATATCCAACCTGTGGTCGAGTGCGAGGCGATATCTGTTCCTCAGCCTGGTAGTCATAGCCTGGGGTTTTTGCCTCGCTTGTCGAATAATCGGGATACTCAAACGGTGGTCGAGTGCGAGGCGATGTCTGTTTCTCAGCGTAGTAGTCATAGAGTGGCACCTTTGCCTTGCTTGGCGAATAGTCGTCCGTGATGCGATCATCGTCCTCAAAGTACTGCTTGGAGCGAACCTCTGGTGGCACATAGGTCTTGGGCTGCAGCAGCTCCTGAGACTCTTCGTCAAAGCCACTGCGGACAAACTTGCGGTAATCCGACATCCATGGCTCCTCGCTCTCGGCCTCAACTGGGAAGCCCTGCATGTTGTCATGGTCATTGCCGTCACGATGGCCGGCACGATGGTCGTCAAGATCGCTGGGCAGGCTCTCAAGGTCCGAGATGGCAACGCCGTCATCGTCCATGTCGGAGCTGTGGCGCTGCATGAGATCCTCAAAGTCCTTGCCTTGGCCGCGGGACTCCCAGTATGCAACAGAGCTGATGTCTGCATGAGGAGTCGAAGCGTGCATCCTAAACGATGGATGGTGTTGGGCAAGCTCAGCTTCTTCAATTTCCAATCGACTTACTCTTCTGCCATCTTCTGCGGGCGGCTGCAAGCAAATGCTTGGAACTCGGTCCCATGATGGGTAAGGGAGCGGTTCCCTGCCGGGGGCCTGGATACTCTCAGTATAATCCTGATCGTACATCAAGTCATGCTTACCTCGTCTGTGGCGATCTTCGGCCTTTTGCTGGCGGCGGAGTCGTCTTCCGTGGCGGAGGCTCAGAATAACCGGGACCAATTCCTCGCTTTCAATAGTCAAAGTGCGTCTTCGGTTGCTAGAGTAGCAAGTCGAAAGCCAAGCGTTGACAAAGTCCAAAAGCAGAGGTGACTGGGTGTCAGTGCTGCCAAGATCGTCCTGGTATTCAGAGCGAGCCAGGAGTCCAGCGCGCAAGTCCCGGAGCATGTTGCCGGTGCCTCCCAGAATAGCGAGCTTGCAGGCTTCGCAAGAGGTGTCGACCAAGACGGGGGGTCTGTAGGTGGGGTAGTACTTGATCACCTTGGACGCCTTGTCTTGGCCAATCCAGAGAGTCGTGATGTTGTCGATGCCTGTAAGCCAGCGGTCAGTGATGTCGTCAAGCTTCCCTTTGCGTCGCCAGTATCGAAAGCCGTCGACTCGCTGAGTGCACTCTTTAGCCACAAGAAGGGTAAGAGCGCGAATCAGCTTGGCATTGAGATCCTTGTGAGTCCAGCAGAGATGGGCGTGGTCGGAAGTAAAGGGGATGCCGTAAAAGCTGACAGTGTTAGCGACCTGCTGAATGATGCCCCTGGTGCGAGTCAAAGGGACCTTCAGGTCGCGGATGCGGCTTTTCTGGAAGGCGAGCCAACGCTCTTGGGCATCCTGAGTATCGGCAGGACGGCAAAAGTACAAGGTTCGAACCAGCTGCTCGATCTCGACCAGCGAGAGCGTGTGCAATTGGGACGAATGAACAGGTCCGCGATACACTCTGCCTGGAGGCGGCATGTATCCGGCTGTCTCCTCGATTCGGGGATCAATGTATCTAACCGTCGGCATGATGAAGAAGTTAAGAGGGGTAAGAAGGTGGTGGTGGTGATGATGGAATTATTTTTATGTGTTTTTGTTTGTGTGGTTAAGATATGGGATAGGATGGAGGATTCACCCTATCTTTATAGACGGCAGGAAGCAACGTAGACACATCGTCGCTGAGAAATATGGTAGGTGTTCGCAAGCCTGATGACCTTCCGTCACAGTCTCTTACTTTGTTAACCGTTCGTGAATGGTGTATGTGTGTTCGTTGAGCCCTATAGCGGTCCGCAGCTCCATACAGAGAAACTGTTCTCATGGTTGGTCTATATCTCTTTGACACATCAAAGACCCCGCTGCGTTCCCTTTGTGTTCGGACACACTGCATTGTTGTTTGTTCTGTAGCAGGTTGTGCTGCGAACACCAAATCTGCTGTTCTGCATTTCCGCTCAGCCACTGCCGGCGAACGCCTTTGGTGAACATGAACAATGTACCTGGCGAACAGTCATCTCTAGAATACTAAGAAAGAGTAAGTACAGTGCTGTACTGTAGTACTGTTGAAGAATAAAGAAATAGAATAGCAACGAACATGATCTTTTTGATAGCATAGGTTCGTGAGCTTTAGCACACAGATGGTAAAAGAGAACAATTGTGACAACTTGGCTCGAAAGCACATTTGTAAATTTGGTATGAAAATAACCGTCTTGATAGATAACACGAAAAGTGATAGGCTTCAACAGTAGCATTATTGAAGATTATGTTCAGAAAATGACACAAGAGACAAACGTAGTCATTAGGCGCTGTTCGTTCTGAACGACCAGGCCGGCTAAACAAGGAAAGCAAGTGATGAGGATATGTAATGCAATGAAAAAGATACAGAGCTGTGCAGTAGAGTGCCGACCAAAGGAAGCAGTCGGTCATAATTCATAACCCGCCAAACAAAAACCAGAAAGAAAATAAATAGAAACCCGTCCATTAATTGCCAGTTAGTAAAGAAATAGAACTCCATTCGCATGCCCGCAGTTCATCAGGTGTTGTTATATTCGGTCGAAATGGTCAGCCAACTCCGTTATTCCACGTACGTGGCATTTTTTCGGTTCTCTGCATCGCGACGCTCTCGCTCTGCACGAATCTTGGATGCCTCTGTGCCATCATCAGGAGGGGCAGGATCCTTGAAGAACGGGTGTACCAGAGCCTCCTTGGCTGTGATACGACGCGCGGGATCATAGACAAAGATTTTGCGTAAGAGGTCGATGAAGTTCTTGAAGAAGGCATTTTGGGCAGGGATGATGTCCTATTTTCACACGTTAGTAACATGCAAATTATAAAAGGCTATCTATAGCGGGCTTACCTCGATGCGTTTCATGGCCTTGACGAAGCGGCGGGAGCCCCTGGTTGTAGCCGGTGTGGGATAGTCGAGCTTAAGTCGCTTAAAGTACCTATCCAGTCGTTGGGTTAGCAAAAGAGTCCTACCACACCCAATGTATATATAATTGGGACGTTGGAACCACTTACTTGGCGGCCGAGTTGCCTCCATTTCTGGTAGACATCTTGTTGACATTTTGCACCAGGTAAGAGTCGATTCGTGTGCCGATAACAGCCTCCATCATGGCCAGGTGTTCCAGGTTGTCATGAGTTTGGAAAAGGGCATCGCCAGTGAAAAACTCGACAAGAATGCAGCCAATACTCCAAATATCACAGGGATACGACCAACCGAGACCCATGATAATTTCAGGGGCACGATAATGCCGTGTTGAAACAACTGTGGAGTGGTATTCAGAATCAAATGTAGCAGAGCCAAAATCGATCAAGCGAATTTCAGTGTCCAACAAAACGCGTCGTTGGGTAGCGTGTCGGTTGATGGTGGTGGACGAGGAAGGAATATTTCGGTTATAAGTAAAGGTCTGGTAGTTTTGGGCCTTGAGAAGAATATTCTCGGGCTTCAAGTCGGTATGAATGAGATTGAGGTCGTGCAAAACTAGAACACAAGTGTTAGCACCGGCCAACTCCGACGAGCAAAGCAGTAAAAAGGACGACTTACAGGCAACGCTAGTGAGCAGCTGACGTGCAAAGCTTTGGATCTGGCTGTTGGGAAAGGGAACGAAGCCGTTGCCCTTAAGAAAGTCGAACACACTCTGCCCGAGCAAGTCCGTCACAATGCAAATATGGCCGCGGTAATCGAAACAATCTCGGAGATGGATGCAGCGGTTTCTGTTTTCTTCATCGTTGGCCCGAAGAGTAGCGAGAACTCGAAGTTCTATACGAGACGCATCGCGATACTTTTGGACTGATCGAATGATTTTGACAGCGACGGCCTTGTTTCGTCGCCGGTCGCGGGCTTCGACAACCTTGCCAAAGGTGCCCTGGCCAAGAAGTCTGGAGATTTGATCTGATGGCATATTAGTAAAAATAGCCTTTTGGGTTTTGTAAATAATGATAATAAAACATACATCGTTCAGTAAGGTCGGCATCAGGGACGACAATATAATGGCCATCGTCGTCATCGATTTTGGCGGCTTTTTCGTGAGAGCGGGCTTTCTACAAGAGGGGTTAGCAAAATCGGTCGTGAGATGGTGGCGAAGGGCCGAGGGGGGGGGAATAATGATGATGAAAATAAATGGCAACTCACATCGGTGACAACTCGGACAGTAACCTCGCCTGCTTTCTTGGGCGGGTAGGGAGGTGGCATATATGTCATAACAGGATCACCGAGGCCATCGACGTCTCGTCTTTTGGCCTCATCGGCGGCTTGTTGCCGAGTGGTACGCTTCCTCTTAAGCGGGGCAGGGACATCATCGTGCAGACTAGTAGAAGAAAGTGATGTAGGAGCGGTTGTAGTCAGTGATGCATGATCGCTAGAGAGCGTTGAGCCCAAGGGCGTTGTGTTGTACTGCGGAGTTCCGGCGTGGGAGTGAAGGTACTGGATGTGATAGCCTGGGCGATGCTCGTCGTCCCGTCGTCTCTTTTTCGCGGGCTGGCCACGAGAACCATCGTGGGGGAGCATTTGGCTAGATGTGCCATTTGTAATTCGTCGGCTCGTGTTGGCTTCGGGCTCGGGAGAATCATCATCAATAACGATGACTTCGTCGGGAAGACCATTGCGGTAGAAATGGTTCCAGTCGGGCCCATGGGAGTCCCGGCGGCGCTTTTTCGACGCGGATTGGTCGAGGCCATGGTGGTCCACGGCGGTCATGGTCGCGCTTGTCATGCTGGAGGAGATGCTATCTCCCGGATGGCGGTGAGTGGCAGCGTTGGAAGAGGAGGATTCGAGATAAACGTGAGGAGGCGGCCTGGGAGGAACGGAGGACTGGGCGTGGGCTACTCCATCCGTTGGCGATGCCGCGCTGGCAGCGGACTGATAATATGGCAGGTATCGGCTGGCAGGAGAATGCGGCGGAGGCAAGTCTTTGGCGGATGCAGTGGTGGCCGCCAGTGTTGGAGATGAATAATGTTCGAGCTTATAGTGGGAGGTGAAGGGCGGTTGAAACTGGCGGTGCTGAGGGTACTGAGGGAGCGTAGCCACGGCAGTCGATGGTGTCGACATGCCGCTAAACTCCCTGCCTTCAGGGTGTTTTGGATCTGGAGAGCGTGGGTATGGGCGGGGACGCGAATTTGCAGCAAAGAGAGCCGGTTGGGCGATGCTTGGAGAATGCAAACTGGTCGTGAAGTGAACGATGGGTGAGGAGAAGGAGGTTTTGGCTTCGGGATTTGGCGAGGAGGGCTGGCCAGCTGGTTCGGTCGGGGGAGGCGAAGCGGAAGAATTATGGCGTGAAGAGCAATGTGCGTGTGTGCCTTTGCTTGGGTGCCAACAGGCCTCTGGCTCGCAGCCCGCCAGCGGTGGGGAGGGGGCGGCGAACGCAGATACAGTGCGGCCCCAGCGGCCCAGTGGGTGGCATTCAGCGGGCGGCTAGCAGCCTTCCAGCAGGCCCCGTAGCGCTGTGTGCAGTCTGTAACCACATGGGACAGTGCGGCCGGGCCACCGAGAAAAACACACGGTTCGGGGGAGGCTCTGGTGGATCAGAGTGCGCCAAAACAGTTGCGCCAAATTTAGTGGTCACGGAAACAACAGCGCCGCTGGAGAAAAGCAAATCCTACAGTTGCGCGAGCAATGTTACTCTGTCAAGGTTTGGCAGGCCCAAATAGCCTTTTGCTCGACTTTTTGCTTTTACGTTTTCTTTCCACCGTGTTTTATTCCACGCTTGAAACGCGTCGGACCGTAGCGAGCGAGCCTTCTAGCGAGACCAGTGGAAAAAAAAAGGCAAAAGGCTCGCTCGCAATATGTCTCGCAACTGGGCACAGGCATAGCTGAGTGAGCACGAGCCGCCGAGGCAGCCCGCAGGCGTAGCAGGGTGGCCGCTGTAACGTGCCGCTGTAGATGCAAATCTGGCACGTCCACAGACGCCTCTCTACGCTGGCGATTTTTCTTACGCAGGCGACACAGCAACCCCGCCAGCCACTAAAATGTCTCTGTCTTGTCACCTGGGCCTGTCTTTTGCTCTCCTGTCTTTTGTTGCTTTTCGTGCACCACCGATATAAAATCCAGGCCGATTGAAAAGAAAAGAAAAAAACAGGAAGGTAAAAATTGTCTACAGTGCTAGAGTCGAGACAAATGGCTACACCACTTTCCCATATTCTCCTTCCTTACACTTGTGCAGCCATCGTGTTCTGTTCGTTTGCTTACCACTTTACCACCCAACTATGCAACAGAGAGGTGCGCGCTCTACAGTGCCAACAGCACCATACCATTGCAGCGCTACCGAACTTGCGTGCTCGCTCGCTTATGCTGGCTTTGCTCTGCTTTCTCTTTCTCGTGCATACGGGCACTGTGTATCCAGCATGATCCAACGCGTCAGGCTGCATCTCGCATCACATTTGCAGATGCTCCAATGTCCAGTGTTCAGTATCCAGTTTTCCCTTCGATAAGCAGGCTTCCAGGGCCATTGCTGGCATCATCGGTGACGGCCTCACTCCCCGTGACCCCCAGAGCGGTTCATCGTGTGGTGCAGTAGCAGCACCGTTCTTCTCCGCCTGCGATTGTCGGGGCTCAGCGAAAAGGGCATAAGCTGCCTGGTCCAAAATGGTTGGTCGTCCGACGCCGAGATGGCCGGAGACGTGACCTTACTCGTGCACGCTGCGCCAGGGGTCGTGACTCTCGTCCCTCGCCTCTCTCCATGATTCTCTTGCATGAGACTGCAATCCCGTTATTCTCGGATGCACATGAATTCGACTCCTTCCATTGCTTTTTGCCTCAAATTTCAACCCAAAACAACTCATGTAGCCCGTCAACGCCAAAACTGACGCCAAAACCACAGCCAGGCAAGGGTGTAGCCGCCCAGCCTATCCAGAAAAGTGTGGGGGAACATGGCTGGCCCGCCCACACTTCAGTGACGGCGACCCGCTGTAGAAGCCAGGGAGAAGGTTATTTACCCTATAGCAGTACAGTGAGTACTGAACGAGTCACTCGGACCGATCGCCTAGTTCTTGTTCAGTGTGGTTTTCTGCCATTATTGTAATTATCACCGTGACCATTGCTTGAATATTTCTGAGCACGTCTCTTGCTTTTTGCATTTTTGAGATAGATGGAGTACATCTCGAAACAATGGATCGGCATGCACAGTTGGCGGGTGCTTGCATTGCTTTTTGCTGAGCCACTAGCCCACCGCCGTCGACAGTACCAGCCGCACCACATGGCCAACGTAAGGGCGCGTTAGCGTCATTATGGCTGGCTCTTCTCTGGCGCTTAGATACCGATACACGTGCTGGCTAGGTGGTTACAATTCGATTCGATCAGCGTTCACTGCAAATATTTCTCCTTCGTAAGCCTAGAGGTGTACCTTGAGATAGTTGCCTTCATGTGTATCTAGTGTTCTAAAAAGGGTAACACTGTGATTATGATGATTAAATCTATGGGTATTAACAAGTCCATTTTTTGCCGGTCCCAACTCTATACCAGCGCAACATGCCATCCGGTCTAAGCAGATGGACACTGCTTGAACCAAACTTACCGTTGTGCGCCATGTCTAACCGCTTATCAAATGATAGTACTGGAAAGCCTTTCAAATCCCCCCTCGTGTTGCTTGATGCACCAAGCGCAAGCCATCCTGCTTCGTTGCTGGTCCAAAGAAATCTATAAACCCCGGTTGAACCAAACCTTGCCGTCGACACCACCCTTGCCATGGAATTCGGGCTCAAGGCTGTCGGCATCAATCTGCTGCTGCTGGGGGAAGACCGCCAACGCAAGAGGGAGGGAGATGTAGGACACAACCGTGAGTAAGCACAAGTTGATACCAATGGGGATAGTGCCGGCGACTCTTGGTCTGGCCTTGACCCATTCCTTCTCCATAAGCCTCTTGTACCAAGCCTGCTTAGATTGAATGTTGTATAGGATCATAGCTGGGATAATCATGATCGGTGTGTTGTTGATGACACGGCTGGCAGCAGTCTCGTACACGGCAATCTTGGCAGCCTTTTGACTCTTGCCAAGAGATGGGATATCTCTTTCGGACTTGCCCTCCTCCAAAAGCTTGGCCTTGGCTGCTAACGAAAGAACAGGTCTAATTTCGGTGCCAGTCGTCATCTCCTTGGATCTGGTCAGGAAAACGTTGAGCGCACCGGCAGAGGCAACGGCGGCAAATGGCACCAGTCGTGACAAAATATTCCTCGTGTTGGCAGCAACCTTTAATCTGGGGACGATTGCGTTAAGGCCCAGCGCTATCGAGCAAGACGCTGTCACAGCTGCCGTATAGGACTTCGCAAGATCGGCCGTGGTTAGGGGAGAGGATTTGTTCGCATTGGAGCTGTTGATAGCGACGTTGAGAGACTGGTTGGTGACTTGCCAGGCAACAGTACCAAAGGCACCGAGTCCGGGTTGCAGTAAACCGGCTGTGACAATCAGGTTGGACAGGACAAAGCAGGACATTCGGAAGGGGAGGAACACTGGCTCGCCAGTATCTACTATCTGTTAGTATTTTGCACTAAAAAAACGACAAACCGATTGTCCTACCGGGATGCAAGGTGGAATCAACGATTTTCTTGGCCTTCCACAAGTCTGGTGTCATGTTCTCAATCTTGCCCGTCTTGTAATCGGTGATGAGCTTCTTTGCCTTTTCGAGACCGGCGGTGCCTGCAAACAAGGTGCTGCAACTACAGTTAGCAATGGAACAGAATATCAATATGTATAATAGCCTTTCTTACCTAGGATCCGTCAACTGGACGGTATGGCGCACACGGCCATAGTACGTCGCCAAGTCATACTGCGACGCCGGCAGGTCGCGATCACCAGGGAGCGAAGCAGACATGTTTGCGTACGACGAACGAGGTCGATCGGGGGAATTGTCAGGACAAGCAGGTCTATTACAGATACGCAATCGCGATTGCCTGTGTGCGGAGGGCGCTCAAGGTCTCTGTGGGTGGAATTACCGTCCTCTGACCGAGCGGTGTGACAAGTCGTGCTCGAAAAAGAATGTGGTTTCTAGACCAGCGCAATGCCGAAATTCGACGATGCTAAGCGGCGACCCGCCCGATGTCGGCTTAGCGCCTTGTGGGTGCCTGGCCGCACTAACGTACCCCAGCCAATGCATAATAAGGGTAGGTGGTGGCCGTTGTACGCTAACCCAAAGAGGAAGAATGATTATGACTGGTTGAATTATTGGATGGATGATACTTGGTCTGATGGAAAGAGTATTACGGAATGAACATGTATCTTATCGTAGTTATGCACTTTTGATGTGATGGTGCCGGTCAAATAAATAAATTGGACAATGTGTGAATGTTGGCTCAGAACTGAGGAACATTGCCAGCTGGCGGCCGGCAGCACCTGGCAAAGGTCTTGTGGAAGAGGATGCGTCAAACACACCACCACCTTTACATACTTTCTTTTTGATAATTTCTTTGTCCATAGACGCTTCTATTTCCCTTTTTGACAACGAATAAGTACATCAGAGATGGAAGAATCATCGGCAACTGAGGCACAGACGCCAAAGGTTGAGGTGGCCACTGGCGCTGTAAACTCGAAACAATCGTCACCAGAAACAGAGGCGTACATCAAAAACACTTGTCAACAACTTCGTGGCTGGCTTGGCGAGGAGGCTGCTGATACTGTACCATTCGTTGAGAATAATGATGCGGTCGGCAGCACCGGTACTACAGAGAGCGACGTCCCGGGTCTCACATTTTCCGAGAGGCTCAGTGATTGCCGCGGAAGGTCTCTTTCAAGAAGGATTGCATATGCTGCTGCATGCAAATCAATTTTTGGGGATAACAGAGGCCAACGATCGCCATCTGCAGCGGCGAGACATGAGGCAGAAAATCTCGACTCGAAGGTCACTGCCGGAGAGCAAGCAACAGTGAATTCCAACCGAGGTCGACAGCAGCCCAGCAATAGGCCAAACAACAAAAACGACACCTCAGGCCATGATTCTGTCGGCGTTGAACAGAACAGAGAAGAATTGAACCCCGACTGGCAGGTGGAAACGCCTGGTGACAGCACACCTCTCAAGGAGACGTCTTCAGCGCTGCCGCCGTTTACTCCAGAGAATGAATCAATCAAAGTTCATGGGCACACCAAAACGCCTCATTTGACTGATTCAACACGTACAGATGATAGCAACGATCGCTATTCTGCTTCCACAGATGTTGCATCCGAGGAAGATATGCTCGATACATTCGGGCTCTTTGGACCGCGCATCCGGACTTGGCTCCAAAAGACCTCGGATGGTCCAACTGTTTTCCGTATAAACAATAAAGCATTGGAAGGTCATTCTTATGCTCATGACATCTGTACTATTACAGGGCAATTGTTAGAGCAAGTCATCCAACCAGAAACAATCATGAGCCCAGCGTTAACTGACGCGCATGAGTCCAGTTGGCGTCAGCTCAACATGACTTCTGGTCTTCAAATCTTACGTGAAAGACAGCTCCGCAAAGACATTGCAGCATATTTAAAGGAAGATTCCAAGGCTAGAGAGACTAATGCTTTGGAACAAGAGCCGTCCAAACTAGTCGCGTTTCCAAGTACCGACTGTCTCATTCGGCCTGCTACCAAGGAAGACGCGGCCGCAATTGGCCAGATGATCGAATCTCATCGCAAGATAGACTACCCGTGTCAATTCCCGGCACTCAATATAGATTCTGAAACAATGGCTCTACAGCAACTACAAAGCTGCTTGGATCTGGGTTGGCCCTTCATTGTCGCCACTAGTCCAGATGATGAGCTCATGGAGAGGACAAATTGGCCCATCCATGCGGGCAAAGCTTTCGAGGAGTATCTCAAGTACAAGGCAGAGATCCCTTCTTCGGAGAAAGAGATCCTGGGGCTAGCATTCGTCCGAGGCTTTGGACAAACAGTGTTTGGAGGTCCTCAGCTGCCCATGCAAAATGCTGGCTCTATTTGTGTTTTGGTACAGCCCAACCACCGCCAGAAGCTGGTAGGGACTGCCTTGCTAGACAGGGTCCTCCAATCAGTTGCGCCATACCACAGAAGTGTAGTGGACTTTCAATGGAAATTCAGTACCACGAGTGGCGTGTATGAGAGTCTTGCGGCGAACAACCAACGACAAGCGGTCAAGATGTACGTGGAATACACCACCGCCAGCGGCGAGGAAGACCCACCTTGGAGAAGCAAGATGCTCGAGAAATTTGGGTTTCAACACAAAGTTCAGCTAGAAAACGTTTCACGTTCTGATAAAAGAGCCCAGGGCAACGGTTGGTTGGATTTACACATATGGGAACTAAAGGTGCAAGACCCAGCGGAAATTATGTAGCTTATGGACGATGTTTGCATTCTGTTATGAGACTTTGCTATTGAAAGCCTGCGGCGATTACCTAGCTGGAATAACGGGCTAGATAAAGCCTGAATGAGATTAAAACTTGGTTTTTGTAGCTAAAACGATAAACTCAATTTCAATTTCAATTATGCATTCAACTTTATAGTGAAGATTCAATCTGGCCATGGTTGAGTTTCTATATCACGTGGGTCCCTGTAACCGCTTTAGCATCACTCTTCCACTACACCAAAACAACTCCAATACCGAACAGAGAAATCCCAATTACAAACTAATTATTACCCAGAATTGATTCCCTACAATTTCTGCGTATCCTAAAAAGCGACCCTACTAGCTCCTACTATGCTGTCTATCCTCCGCAAGGCACGTCTTAAGGACAAGGAGATGCGAATTCTCATGCTGTACGTTAAGCCTTGAAGAATGTCATGACCGCATCATGGCTAACATCTGGAAAAGAGGTCTAGACAATGCTGGAAAAACTACCATTGTAAAAAAGATTCTTAATGAAGACGTTAATACCGTGAGCCCGACACTGGGGTTCATTATCAAGACAATCGACTACGACGGGTGAGTGCACTGATGGTCCGATTTCAGACAGGTTTAACCAGATGCACAGCTATAAACTTAATATATGTATGTGAAATTTTGTCTTAACAGTATTTGCAGCTCTAATGAATAACTATAGGGGATGTCGGTGGTCAAAAGACACTCCGGTCTTATTGGAGAAACTATTTTGAGAAGACAGATGCTCTGATATGGGTAGTTGATTCAACAGATCGACTACGTATAGACGACTGTCGAGAAGAACTGCATGGGCTACTACAAGAAGAGGTAAGCTTTTGTAAGAACTATGCCTGTTGGTGCGGACATTGACAGAGAGTTAGCGATTGGCTGGTGCTAGTTTGCTCATATTTGCGAACAAGACCGATGTGGATGGTTGTATGTCCGAGCAAGAGATTCTTTCGGTAAGAAGACCACCTTGCCGGTCAAAAGGAATATCTGTATGCTAACATATGTCTCAGTCACTTGCACTAGCAGATATTCGATCACATCAATGGCACATTTTACGCTGTAGCGCGATGACAGGCACGAATTTGCAAGAGGGACTCGCATGGGTAGTGGAAGATGCGAAGAAACGGCTCTTCCTTTATTAAAAGACCTAGTATTTGGGTGGTAATGTAGAATTGGGTGAAAAGATAGTAATGAGTACATGACTTCACATGATAATAGGCATCCCAAGTAACAGGACAGGCTACAATATGGTGCCGAAGCAGACCAACCAATCAGGCAGCGTAGGTGAATCTCTGGGGCTTTGCGATACGAAGAAGCCTGGTGACGAATGTGGGCTGAACTGGAGAGTGTGAGTGGTCTATCGTACGCAAAGACGCGCAAATCACGAGCTTTTTGGCGCGTGTTGTTATTCTTGGGGCGGAGGGTGGATGTAAACAAAGGTGGGCGGTTTGCTCAGCTAGGCAACGCGATTCGACTAAAAGAAAACAATTCACTGAGGCGAAGAGCCAGAAATAAAAGTGAAAGTAAAACTTGACGAGAGGAACATGCAGAATGGCAAAACTGCAGGGAGATGGTCAATCGCATGTATATAGTACCAGAGACATAATCCCTGTCGTTAAGATACGAGCGAGGCCTGTTGCCGCCCAATTCCATCAAGCCATACTATCCCTTGAACCATGATGTCGCAGTGGCCCCCCTGGAAAGCTCAGCCGTCAGTGAGCTGCTAGCAGGTTACAGCGGCCAGGACACCCGCGAGACGCGCTAAGCAACCGGGGTACGGAGCAAAAGAGGGGCCTAAACACGGCGGAGCTATGAAAACAACTCCCTTTTTGCGGTTGCCGCCGTCATAAGGCAAATGCCTTCTCTTTCTTTCCACCCGTTAGGCCAGTGTCGTGCGCTAACAGTTGCGGAAAATAACTGAGACAGGAGACTAAGAAAAAAGAGAATATATCGTTTCTGGTCGTTTCTTACTCTTCTACCTTTTAGTCCACAAAATATTCTTGTCTTTGCTTCCTCCCACTTACCTTCCAAACATCAACCCAGCACCCTAGAGAGTCATGCCCTCGGGACGCGCATAGACGAGCTCCTCGCAGCAATTAGTACGCCACGCAACATTACACGACACACGATAGAACCATACAGTGCATAATCACCACATCCCTTCTCCCACGCGTACCAGAAACAGTCATTCGCCATGTCGGACGAAGTGTCGCAGTTTCTGGAGCAGGTCGAGCGTCTGCGCGGCAAGCAGATTGAAGATGACGAGATGCGAGCTCGGGAAAGGGAGGAGTTCCTTGCCGCCAAGCGAGAGCGACAGGCTCGACGTGAAGGTATGTAATTGAAGATGCTCTGGCGTTGTTGCAAGCAGATGGAACAAGATGACAGGACCCGGACCTGGCAGAACCTGGCACCTGGCAATGGCAGTATTGCTTGTTGCCAGCTGGCCGTGTCTTGTAACCCCTCTGTGCTTGTCGAGCCCGGCGTAGCCCTTTTACACTTTGCTAATCGTTTCTCCTCCTCTCTTTACAAATAGAACGCGCTCGATCGATCTCTCCTCAAAAAGAATCCCCCGCGAATACGCCATCACCACGAGCTCAAGGCCGCAGCATCCATCCCTCTGAAGCCCAGCGGCTGGGTTCCCCTGCCCCAGCGTCTGAACCACATCCTCTAAGCTACGCCGACTCACCAACCAAAGAAAACATTGCCCCCTCCGAGTCTCTCGCGAAAGACACTGCCGGTATGTCTTCTACCGATCGAGGAAACACAACGCCATGGCAGAAACGCCCCCAGTCGAGAGGTGCCGCTAGACCTCTTAGCATGATGGCAACCCAGAATGCCAGCCAACGCTTCAGTGCGAAGACGCAAGATGAAGATTCGGCAGTACCAGAGCAAACGCTATCCCGAGAGGATATTGCCAAGACTCTGGGCCTCAAGGACCCCTCTTGGTTTCGCCAGACCGCTGATCGCGGCCAAGGCTCTGCTGCTTTGAGGAAGAATCAAGTTGAGGACAATGACAGGCTAGACCTGTTATCTCTCAAGTCAGAATTGCCTGGAATGTCTACCAAACCCTCAGGTGGACGATCCTCTTCTCGTTCTGACTTTATGAGCCCTACTCAAGCAAAGCTTGCCTCGCCATTCCCTTTGAGCGGTATGCCAAGCGATGAGGCTACGGAGGCTCAGGAACATCCATCTGATCTACCATCTGGAAGAACGTCCCCTGTTCGTGCAGCTTCGCCTACAAAGGGAATGGGCGGCTTCGTTCAGAGTGCCATGCTCAAGCGTAGCGACAGCATTAAGCGATGGAGTGTTGCTAGCCCTCCAGCACTGAGCCGCGCGGATTCGGTCACTGCTGGACCTGGCGGACGCAGTAGCCCAATGCCCCGACAGCTTACAGGCTCTCATGATACTTTGCCTGGTGCAGAGACTGAGGTTACACCTGAAGCCACTCTATTGTCCTCTGAAGTGCCACCTCGCGCACCAGCAACGCCAACCCCAAGCCTTCCTAGCAGTCCATCCAAACTAGATGCACGACGATGGAGCCCTTCCAAGTCAAGCTGGTTGGATAGTGCCTTGAATAGACCCGAGTCACCAAAGCCTGGGCATAAAGCAGCAGCGTCTCAGCCAGATTGGATGGCAGATCTAAACAAAATGAAGCAAAATGCCAGCAAGGAAAGTGGAAGCCGTCCGTCATCTCCTCATAAACACCAAGTTAGTATCGGTGGGCTTATGAGGTCAACGCCGTTTGAAGGACGTGGAAAGACGAACACAACGGGCTTGGGAGGCATCTATTCACCGCCTCCTGGTGGCAACCGGCCGGCATTTGGCCATGGCTCGAAGCCGAGCTTTTCTCTTGCTAGTGGACAAAACGAATCAGCACCACCCTCTCCGACTAAGGACATCACCCACCTTGAACAAGAACCACAAGGTCTGTCTGAAGTGAAAGCTGCGCAAGTGGAAACTCCAATGGAAGCACCAATCGAATCGCCGCCTATAACCACTGAAGACAAAAGCACTGCACCTCCAGCCAAAGCAAAGCCAGCTCCTCCCCCCAAAACGGACTTCCGATCCAACTTGAAACAACGGTCGATCGACGCCGGCTCGAAAAAGACCGAAGAACCCGAGTTCAAGAATGTCTTTGGCAATCTACGACGCACCAAGACGCAAAACTATGTTGCACCTGACGAGCTAAAGGCGAATATCATGAAGGGTAAATCGGCATTAAATACGACTGGTGGCCCTCAGAAGACAGAACGCAAAGATGAGTTTAAGGACGCTATCTTAAAGAAGAAAGAGGACTTTAAGACTGCGCAGTCACAGGGGAGAGGCATCACAAGAGTGGCCACGGATACTATCAAAGCTCCTCTTCCTGAGGGATTGGCCCGACGGGCAGAATTGAGCCGACCTACTGTTGCCTCTGCTTCAAAAGACGCAGCCACTGCTACTCCTACCAAATCTTCGTCCCCTGTTTCTAAGGCAACTCCCAAGAGAGTACCAAGCACAACCACTCCTACAGCCCGAACAACTGCCTTGCGAAGCTCGCCGGCCGATTCCAAGACTCGTCGTGTCTCTGGCAATATTGGCACAAAACCGCCTGCTTCGCCTGCTGCCTCATCTTCCCCGAGCGGACTTCGAAAGACGTCTGGCCCTCTCTCTAAACCGCAAGAAGCTAAGGCTCCTGCGGGAAAACTCGCTGCTCGGTTCAACCCTGCCTTGGCCGGTATGCTTGCTAGAGGCCCTCCGCCAATGGCTAGTGGTGCTGGCAAATCATCAGACGGCGGTGGTTCAGGACCATCAGCAGATAGCAGCACAACAGAGCCAACGGCTCCAGGTCCCCAGCTCACGCATATGACAAAGAACCGTGCCCGTGGCCCTAAGAGAAAGGCGCCAAACTCAGCGTCAGCAAACAAGACTGTAAAAACGGAGCCCCGTCCAATTGTATCGGAACCAGAGGCTAAGCCGGAGCCCGTGTCACAGCCGAGCAACGATGATAGTAAAACCCAGACTGCGCCTCAATATGAGCCGGAAGAGACAGTACTTCCCTCCGTCGAAGAAGTTGCTCCTGTGCTGCCTTCAAAGTCATCGGCTAGAGCTGCTGCGAGAGAGAAGCCCACGATAGCCCCTTCTCCTCTTCCCGAAAAGGTTATCACCAAGGCTGTATCGACGCCTAGGTCGCCTGTCTCTGCTCAAGTGACCAAGGCGAACACGCCTACACCAGTTAAAGTCAGGACACCGTCTTCAGGTCATAACAAGCCTCTCGCTGTAGACACCAAGCGTGCCACAGCATCTCCCAATATTAAGCAGACACCAGTTAAGACACCATCTAAATCCCCGGCGGCTACTAATGTCATTACTCCAACACACCTACACGGTCAAGGCTACATGGTACGAACACCAACCACTACACACTCCCCTACAAGAGAACGCCGAGAAACTACGCCCTCCATGGCTACACCCTCGCGACGCTTCCCACCAACGAGCTCCCCTGAGCGCCGGCCTACTCTGCATGGCCCACGCAAGATGGACGTATCGAGACCAAAGTCAAGGGGAGGACCTCGTCCTTTGTCTGTCGCCTCGGAAGGCATCCCCATCCCATCAGCTGTGTCATCGCCGAACCGCTCCCCTGTTAAACAAGCGAATGAAATCACATTGCTCTTCAACGACTTCTTTGGACCGCCCAGACCTCGACAACAGTATATGGTCGACACAGGCGCCATCTTGACGCATCACAAAGAGATTGGAGCTAAAGTAACCACTCTGGATGCGAAGATGATTCGTATTTCGAGCGATGGCAAAAAGACCCCCATCTCAACAGATTTGGAGCGCGTCCTCTTTGAAGAAGAGATGTACATTTGTGCGCATCGCTTTGTTAGCCCAGCAGGAAAACAAGATTTTGAAGTTTACTTTTGGGTTGGCGATGAAGTCTCCGAGGCTGCAGTGCAGGATGCGCAGCTATTTGCAAATCGGGAGGCCAAGGACGCTGGTGGCCGACTAGTTAAAATCTACCAAGGCAAAGAGACGGCTGAGTTTCTGCAGGCTCTCGGCGGTGTTATGATTACTCGCCGCGGATCTAGCGATCGCTTTGATTCTCTTGCGCCACACTTACTCTGTGGCAGACAGTTTTTAGGTCAAGTTGTGTTTGATGAGATGGACATGAAGGCAAGCAGCCTATGCTCTGGCTTCCCATACATCATTAGCGACGAAAGCAAATGCTACCTTTGGAAGGGCAAGGGCGCTGGCATCGATGAGCTGAGCGCAACCAAGCTTGTGGCCATGGAACTTGCCGTTACCGGTGAGCTTATTGAATACGACGACGGACAGGAGCCGGCCTCTTTCTGGGAGTTGTTTGGCGATGACTCCAAGGCCCACTCTGCGGACCACTGGAGACTCAAGCCCACGTACTCTAAGTATTGCAGCCGTCTGTTCTGCTCTGACGCAGACTCTCGTCAGCAGGTAAGTTTCTCGACAAAGCTGCTAGGAAATACACAGACAAAGCTAACCTCGAATCAGATCACCGAGCTCGGCATATTCAGCCAAAACGATCTCTCGCCTCTTAAGATCTATGTGTTGGACGCATTCTTTGAGATGTACATAATTGTCGGTTCTGGAGCGCAATCTCAGTACTCGTCTTTCCGCAATGCCCTCGACTTTGCGCAGGAATATGCTATCCTCTCTGCCAGCGTCGAGGACAGACCGTTTGTCCCGGTATCAACCATTGTGCTGGAAGGCATCCCGCGTGACATGAAGCGCGTATTCCGCAAGTGGAGTGAGACCAGATCGCCCACTGTGACAAACACATATGCTGGGCTCCAGCGTGGAAAGAGCTTGCGAATTGTGTCCTTGACGCAAGCATTGCAGGCACTCCGAGAGTAAGTCGGCGTGTGAACTCACTGTATACTTGAACGCGATATGATGAATGGGATGCATTGGGACCATGGCCAGGTGCTTGGGAGCAATGACGGATTTTGATTACAGTTTCTTTACCAAAAAAAGTTAAAACTTCATGCATATATTAATACATTTGAATAAAGCAGACATAATACTTGCTTGTTTATTACTCTGGTGATGTGATTGTTGTCTGCTTTGGACAACGAATTGACCAATTGTATCATGTCAATAGTACGTATTCAGGACGTAGGATTAAGTATCATATGCTTAGGTTTGGCCAGTCTGTTGATTCTATCTTTTAATAGGTCTAAAGCAGTTTAGGGGAGGGGTATCAAGGATCCTTGCATTTTTCAACGTTTATTCGGGACCGTATCCATTCCTTCGTTCTTCATTCTTCATTTCTTTCTTTGCAGTTATCTATTGTCTTCCTCTTGTTACATTTGCCAATGCATCAAGTATCTTTTTGTTTATTTTTTCGGTTGCGTTTCCAACATGCTGGTAAGGGTTCAGAGTAACTTGATATAGATTAAAAAGCAGGGTTTAGGTGGTAATATGTGCATAAGAAGCATTTCGGTGCCGTCTTCTACTCGAGTTGGGTACGGTCGTTCGGGGCATGTCGTTATCGAATCGCTGGATCGAAGTCGCAAGCGCGTCGTAGCGCTTAGGCCTTTTCCACGATGGGCTTCTCAAGGCTGGACGTTCTGGCAACAGGAGGAGGGGCAGGAAGATCTGTTTGGGCGGGAACTGCCATGGCCATGGGGCGGCCCTGGGCCTTTTCTGTGAGGGCAACAAGCTCCTTGAGCATGAGTTCGCGGGTGTTGCGGGCGAGCTCGTCGACGTCGGCGGCGGTGAGTCCGGCGGTGGGGATAGGGTCGAGGACTATGGAATCGTTAGCAAAAAGACAGATATTGACGGTGCATAGAGTGTTGGTTATTTGTACCTTTGATGGGGACGTTGCCCGAGTTAAAGACCCAGTTCTTGATGTACAGGATGTGGCTGTAGTTGGCGACGACAACGGGGACGATGGGAACACCAGCCTGAACAGCGAGATGGAAAGCGCCCTTCTTGAAAGGCAGCAGGATAGGATCTTTAGCGTAGCTTCTAGTGCCTTCGGGGAACATGTAGACGCTCTGCTTCTTGGACTGGATCTCCTGGGCGGCGCCCTGCATGGCGGAGCGGGCATCCTTGGAGTTTGCGCGGTCAATGAAGATGGAGCCGCTGAGCGACATGAACCAGCCGAGGAAGGGAATGTGCTTGAGCTGTGCCTTTGCGGTGACGGAGCAGTACTTGGGGAACATGGCGCCGAGCATCAGGACATCGAGCTCGGTCTGGTGGTTTCCAATGAAGATGGCGGGGCGGGTGGTGCCGAGGATGTCGTTGGGATCCTCGACGACAAAGTTGACGCCGGTGGTGAGGCGCATGACGACGTGGAATGCGCGAGCCGTGGCCCATTGGGCAATCTGGCGCTTACCGCAAATGGCGAGGACGATGGAGGCGAGGACGCCATAGAGGGCGACGACGAGGAGCGAGAGGTAGGCGGCGAGCGAGCGGGCGACAAAGGCCGCCTTGGGAAAGACGGTGGACAGCATGAAGAAGGACGAGGTGACGACGACGTAAGCGACGAGGAACCTGGCGAGGTAGTCGAGGAGGAGGTTCATTTTATGGTGCTTGGGGGTGGTGGGTGGGCGGTAAGAAAATGAGCAGTCGTAACAAGCAGCAGTCCGGTCAGTAGGTGGTAGTAGTGGTGCAGCTTGGCTGGTTGGTGCGTGCTACTAGTAGTAGTAGTGAGCAGCAGAGAAGGGTTACAAGGGGTGGGGTGGGTGGGTGCAGTGCAAAAGACGGAGTTTGGGGTACGGTACGGACGAAAATGCGTTTTTCGGCTTCCCCTCCGGCCAATGGGGCCCCCTGCCCTGCCCGCTGTGTGTGTTTGTGTTGGGTTGGGCGGCTGCGCTCGGCATGCTTGGGTACAGTACCTGTGGCACCCGCGCCCGGCTTGTGATTTTCATGCTATGGCCAGTGACATGTAGGATCACAAGTTGTCTTTTGCTCCGGTAACTAGGCGAAAGAAAATAAATAAAGGAGAGAATTGATCTCTACTATAAGGTTTTCTATATACCAATAAGTCATTTTATATAGGGGATCAATTGGAGAGAGAGGCCATGGCATCCTGTGATGATAATTCAAACAGCAACAGCACCACCAGGTTTCGTTACTTCCTCCGTCTACCTGTCGAGATTCAACAATCCATCTGCAACACCCTCTGCAGTCACTGCAATTACGCCGAGGATTGCATTCCGGAGCTAATCGAGCACCAAAGTCAATGCTGGGAAGTAGAGCATACTACGCTAATTAATCTTTTGAGGTCTTGCACCGCCCTCCGCGCTGTCGCTCAGCCAGTGCTGTACCACTGTGTCCCTGTGAACCATCTTTGACCGATGAGATCTCGCGGCCAGTGTGCGGATCTATGACGGTATAGATCGATGGGTATACCAAATCGATAATAGCTCGACTTTGTCTATTTCCTACGTCCACGATGAGGAGCAGCGCAGGGAGGACGCTAGGATATGTGCCAGAGTGGCCCAAGGTCTCGACTTAGCCGAGGCTGATGATCCCAACTTTGACAGCTTTTTGGGCAAACGATGGACGTTTGATGAGGAAACGTTTGAAGAGAGCTTAAAGTATGCGTCGCGTTTGGACTACATGGTAACATCCAGCGTCTTGGCTCTATGCCCAAACTTGGAATCCATGGACGTTAAGATCTCCGCTTCGGCGCCAGAAGCCGCTGAAAACCCTACCTTCTATCGTTACATGCAGACTCGAATCGCAAAGACAGGTAATATTAGCGTACAAGGTAGCACGTTTCCTTTGCTCCAGAAACTAGTCGTCGATACACCTTGTCGCCACACCAGCGAAAGCTTTGGACTAGAGCGACTAGGCTTCTTACTAGACGCAGCGCCTAATATGCAATCTCTTTTCCTTGTTCATACAACTGGTCGAATTGGAGGCGCCCCAATTTCTTCAAAGCTGTCTTGGCCGGGTATTGCTAAGCTACAGCAGCTGCATCTACAAGGCTATCGCCGTAGCACAGCGTTGCCGGTAGCGTATGATTCTATACGAGGCCTCATGGAACAGGCGCCGTACATGGATACATTTACATTTTTTGCAGTATCACACGAGGTGGCTTGGTCAAGACGCAATCCGTTTTCCCCAGCTAGACTTCTACAAGCTCTTCTTCCTGCTCGGCAGTCTATTGCGAACCTGGCCATCTTCACGAGCTTCATCTTCGTTGAAGACACGGTGAAGGTTGCAATAGGACCCATCTTACAACAGTTTACAAATCTTACATCTCTGAATCTTGATGAGCAGTGTTTCTGCCACCATTGGATAGATACTACGAAAGGCGGCTACCATGATTACCAGGAAACATGCCTAGTTGACGTGCTGCCCGTCTCAATAGAGCATCCCATAGCCAGGCTCCACGACAGGTCTCGCACCGTCAAGGACGTAATCTGTTTAGGACACACTGCTGGCAGCTTTCCGCGATTACAGAGTGTCACGGTTGAATTTGGTGATGAGATCCTCGATAGACAAGAAGGTCGCTTTGGGGAGGAAAGGATCGATTAACAATGTTTCCCAAATTGCATCTACTGCAACCTCAATTACATTGAGCGCGGGGAAGTGGTCAAAGAGCTGCTAACCGAGACACGGCCCTCCATTTTGGGAGCGTTTCGAGACACACAAATATCCTTGGAAGTGGGAATGGCCAGACGAAATGGAATGATCTGGCGCTTTATTTCATGGTTGAGGTACTGTACAATACAGTAACTTACATTACATCTTAGCTACTTGGTTTTGGGTGGTCAAGTTGCAGCGCAGAGCTGCAGGGGCTTTAGTGTGGGTGCGTACTTGTCGTTTGGTCAGAGGCGGGCCATAGCTTTAGCTTAGCCCCAGGCATCATGCTTGGTTTTGTTTCAGTAGCAGCAGCAACAGCAACGGTGTAGTCCTTGTGATGATGTTGAGACAACCAACCGTTCGATGGGCGTTGTTTAGTTTGCTACAGTAGCGACGGACACCATCAATTGACGGTGGAAAACAAAAAACAAAGAGATGGGATGAAAAAAAATCAATTAGTAGCACATGAAACCAGCCGAGTTGGTCACCCAATACAATTCAATCTCTGCTGCCCGTTGCCGAATTTGTTGAGAAGCATGCAGCCTCGGAACGGCAGCTTTGGCGGCGTCCCCGGTGGCCCCCAGAGGCCGCTGGAGACTGCTGAAAAGACCGCTGGAATATCAGGGGCAGTGGGTGGGATAGGCGGCTGCGAGCACATGTCGACGGCCGGCGATGGCTAGCTTGTGCGGCGGACATGTGCCCCGGAAGGTGTAGAAAAACAAGCAGCGCCAGGAAAGCAGGTAGGTCAAAACGAAAATAAAGATTGTGAAGAAATACAGTTGATTCATCATAATTGCGTTTTCTGCTGCCACAATACAGAGAGGAAAGACTGCAAGTTTTACAGTCTGCCTAGCTAGTAGAAAATAGAGCGCGGAGCCACCAAACGCACGCTGCCTGGCTTCTGCAGCCTCGCGCGCCTTCACCATGTCTCCGAAAACATAGTGGCTGTCATCCCCAGACATCTGCAACCTAGACTTGATTCAACATGCTCGACCGAAATGACGGCTTCTTTGCTCCCAGTGGCGGAATCTACCCCGGAGGCCCAAGCATATGGTATGTAGTTGATTGGGATCAACGACGGCTAGTTTCTGAGGATCTGGCTTTTGAGTATCTCCTCCGATATATCGATGATCTTCCTCCCGATGCCTACCTGTTATATGTTCACCACAGGGCGACTTCATCTCCACATCCAACAACCCTGAAGACGATGAGACTCTTTGTGTCTTTCGACCTCCCGTCGACATGAGCCAAGTACCTGATGGAATCACAACAATCTCTCGCGCGGAACTTGAAGAAGTTGCACGACTTAGTCCCAATGTTGATCTAGTCGTTTGTCCTAATTCTCCGCGACCATATGACAAGGTAAGCATTGAAATCACTTAATTAGATCTCTAGTATCTAACAGCAATATAGTTTGTTTTCAAGTACTCCTTTCTATTCCAGCAACCCGGATTTGCTTGGCACGAAATGTCTCTCTAGTGTCGCCTCAAGCATCCCAATATCGTCCCATTTGATAAGATAGTGGTAGACGAGGTTGAGGGATGTTTCGTAGGTTCTACTTCGAAATTCATACCTGGTGGCACCCTCGCGGAGAACAAGTCTCGGGTCTTCAAGTTGAAGTGGCTTCATCAACTTATCGACGTTATTGACGACTTGAATTTACGACTCGGCGTTGCTCATCAAGATGTGGCACCAAGAAATATACTCAGTGATGCGTCTGCTGACACGTTAATGATATTTGATTTTAATTTCTTGGCGCGCATAGGACAAGTTGGATACTCAGAGCCTCGGAATGACGTGAAGGGGGTATTGTTTACTATGTTTGAGGTTATTGCTGGCGACACTGCAAGACGGAGCAAACGACACGAAGATCAAGACGTCTCAGCCATTGAACAAATGGAGTGGATCAAACACCCCGACGTTCATCTTGATTGTACCGTCTCTGATATTCGCAGAGTTCCCGATCAGTGGTGTAAGCAGCGACGGCTGGGCCTCAAATAACGACCAACATACAGGCACCCAACTTCCTTGATTGGCCACCAACTCCCGATCCTCCACTTACAGAAGTCGAAATACATTATGGGACTGGGCCGGTAAAAGAAATGGAAAAACTTTACGATTGGAGGAGAACTGATCTATTGAAAGAAAGTCGTTTCGTTCTAAACTGGCAGAGACCGGCTCAAAACTGGCCAGACGTAGAAACCGGGTCAAAAAACAAAACTGATAAACCCCTCTAAAATTCTAGATCTAAAAATGAAACTATTTCAAAAAGCATTCTTCTACAACTCTAAACATGAAAAACGTTACTTAGCGTTGTAAGGCTACCTGTTGTCTCACCGAATCACGTGAGGCCATGTCTCGCCGATCGACCCCAGATAGCGTGCATCCCGTCTTCCCCTGCCCAACGTCATAGCTCTCTGCTTATAGCAGCTTGTCCATCCTTCGCCCCATCCAACGGTCGTGTGCTCCTCTGCACTTGCTTCTTTTTCTTCTGCGTATTTTTGCGGCTCTCGACTCTCTTCAGCGTTCGTCGTACACGAATGCGAACGACGCAACCCCCGGTTGCTTTAGAATGACGCACCAGTAAACGGCACATCATCAGCATCACCATGACTTCCTCTTCTCGTCGCTCCCGGCTCTCCGTCTCCGTCCCCGCCAACCTCGCCTCTGCTACCCCTCCTCTTTCAGCTCTCTTTCTCATCAACTTTGACGTCAAGGCCGGATATACCATTGTCTGGAACCGTGCTGAGACGGGCGTCGAGCTCGAAGGGGTTGTCGAGTTCAAGTCCCTGCCCTCGGGGCTGCACACCGTCCACGACGACTTAATCTACTTTGTACAAGATGGCCAATACGCAGGCCTGAGTGCTTTTGTCAACGAGCCCTGCGAAGATGAAAGCCTACGCAATGCCCGCATGCTCGCAGTTGGTATTCTCGTGCCGCTGAGCTATGGCAGATTAGGCCGCTCTTGGCGCCATGCCGAAGCTCTTAAGGATATGGCCTCGTACGTTATTTGCCGCTGCTGCCAACATACATCAACATAATGCTAATCACCTTTTGTTTCTAGAAAACTCGCAAAAGATCCCGACTCAACAGAGCTGCTTGAAAAGTATTGGCAGACGCACCAAGCGTCTCGCGCCGACCCCGCGGCTTCACCCGTCCCCAGCTTGCCTGCATCGCCCATGCAAGGTCGCAAGGGCCATTCTCGAAAGCGATCTGCCTCTGATGCAGCTACTCTTGTTCCGCCCGAACACAAGCTTTCCCCTTTCCATCCGGCATGGAGTCTGGCTGCCCTGCTGGACAGGTTCGGCCCTCTCATCTTCCCTATTCAACGAGCTGCACTATTGCGCAAGCGTATTTTAATATCTTGTCATGCTCCAGTACATCAAGTCTGCGACTTTGGTAAGATTGCTCCTGCTAAATACAGTATCCTGTTGCATTCGCTAACACAGGCTTAAAGTATATAACATATCCGTCATCTCCAATATCCCCATCGCTGTTCTCGAATCCTTACCTAACCCGTCTTCCTCGCAACGCCTCCGACCACTCTTCACCATTGGTGTCCACGACATTCCTTTCCTAGTATCAGACTTGGAGGCTTCGAAACGAAACGACCAAGAGTATATGGACGACGAGTCCAAGTCCGGATGGGTCGCCTGCACAACTGACAGCATTCTGGCTGTCAAAGACACCCTATGGGATATGCTAATCACTATCCCTCCAGACCATGCGACAGATTCAAAGGAAAAGACTTGGCCTACTGTGGAGTGTCCCAAGGGTCAGCCGATTCGAGCCACACAACGGGATCTCCGCCGTTTCAACGCCCTCAGAAGCGGTCTCGCCAACCTCGCCGCCGTGGCTTCTAGCGGTCCAGGTGCAAGTGAATCCGTTCCTCGGCCAGAGTCTGCGCAGTCTAGCAGATCCGTGCTGAACCCAGCTCTTGGTGATGGCTCTGAGGAGGCCCTGGACAGAATCGTCGAGCCGCAAAGCTGGGCATCCTTAGCGTACAGTGGTTTCATGTGGTGGGCCAGTGCTGGCGAGCAACTCCTCTCCGAAGAGCAAGAAGAGTCTGCCCAAGATGCGGCGCTTCTAGCAGACTTGAACGGCCCCTACGGCTCATCCATGCCTAAGAACCGACGCTCCAACTCTCAGCTTGACCTTCTCATGACGGACTCGATTTCCTCGCTAGTCGGCAACCGCAGTATGAGTGAGGAGGGCGATGCTCACATTGAGCTTGCCATTATTGCCTACTTCCATCGTCTTACGTCGCAGATGCTCGCAGTCATATCCGAGCTAGTGGACAACGACGAGCAGGCATATCCTCAAGGCGAAGACCGGTATCGCGATGAAGAGCCCACTAATGGTGCGGGCGATGATGATGAAGAAGAGGACCTGCTTTCTCCAGACGTCGGAGAGTCTCCCGAGTCATCCACTGAGGACGGCGCTCCGCCCATTGTCGTCGACAGCCGTGCTGTCGAGAGCATGGGCCTTGACGTCTGGAGTAGTGGTGACGGTGTGTTTGTTCAGGAGCTGATGGAGCGCTATTTTGATCGTGACGCCAAGATTGAGAGCAAGGGCGTCGAAGTTTGCGGTATGCGTGTATGCTAGGAGCATGTGGTCTAATTGGGGCTCTGTGTGTGCGTGTATGTGTATGTGTGTTTATGTATATATCCTCTCTTTCATGGTCCTCACTGTTAGTTCTCTCATTGTACGGTATTTCTATCTGTTGGGTTCGGGCATTTTATTTCTTAGCATTTATCTTCTGGGCAAAAGCCAGTTAGCACATCAATTCATATCACCAAGTCACGAACAAAGCAAGAAATGTAAATAAAAAATGGTCATGTATAAAACTTTCTACCGTATCCCACCAACTATTCAGAGTGCATTATTGAAACCCGAAGAGATGTAAAAACTACGTCCAAGCTGAGTCCGTAAAAAAAGCCCACAACGAAAAATCACAAAACAGCGCGGGAAGCCCTCCGTTTCCCATGTCGAAAAACGTACAGTTACAGCCAGCCTCCTAGCATTCCCACATCCCCTACATCCACATGCAAAACTTTTCAATCCCCCTATGATTCATCCTCAGTGTCGGTGTCCGTATCACTTGTGTCGTCTGCCTCCTCTTCTGTGCCACTTTCGTCATCTGAATCGTCATCTTGTTGTCGCTTGGGCTGTGGTGCCTGGCCAGTCTTGAGGGCGTGCATCTGTCCAGCGAGAGAATCTGTAGTATGGTGGTTAGTAACTGATACATGTCTGGTTGTGGGACGTGGTGAGTACTTACCCTCTTCAGGTTCACTGATCTCATCCTCAGCCTCCATCTGAGCAGCTCTAGCGGCGTCCTCAACAACGAGGGTAACCTCCATCTTGGTGTCGAAGCCAACATACGAGTCACAAACAAGGTGCATAACAAAAGTGTAGTGACCAGCCTGGGGAGGAGCGGCAAACTGAGCCTTGAGGGTCTGCATGTTGAAGGTGGGCTTGCCGGCGTCGTCGAAGATGGGCTGGTCAAACTTCTCAAAGGCGAAGGGGGGGACGGCGAGCTTGCCCTGTTTCGAGTCGCTAAGGAAGGCGTACCACTTGGGTGTTTGCTCGCGGGCGTAGTGAGGGGCGAAGGTCAGAGGGGGGAGAATAGACTGCTCCTCGACGGAGATGGGCTTGCCGTCGGGGCCCTTGATGGTTCTGTTCTTGCGGCCCATGAGGGACTCGAGGTCATCCTCAGCGGCGTCAATGTCCTCGAGGTCGAGCTCGTTGACAGCGGGAACATTCTCGGTACCGGGAGGGATGAAGCGGCCCTTGATGACAAGGGTGACCAGAGACGAAGGAATGATACAGCGCTCGCCAGTAACCTTAAAGAAAGCCTTGGCCACGCGGAGCTGGGGAAGCTGCTTGCCGACGGAAACGGTGGTCTTGTACTGCTCCTCGCTCAAAAGGCCCTTGCCAACGGCGAGCTTTCTGCGCTGAGCGTCGGGAAGATCCATGAACTGCTGAACGGTCATGTGTGTCTTGGCGTCACCCTCGACGGCCATGGCAATCTTGGAGGTGAAGTTGGGGAGCTGAAGAAGAGGAGAGGACTTGGGGGCGAGAGCCTGAATCAGGTGCTGGTTGGCGTGGAAAGAACCTTCGATAGGTCCAATGTTACCGTAAGCGAGGGCGATGGCGGCGAAAGACTGGTTGAGGGTGCGGGCGATAGGGACGATCTCGTACTTGGCCTTGGTCAGAGCGGCGTCGTCAAGTTCAACACGGCCAAGGTAGGCCCAGAGGAGAGCAAGAGTCTTGCGGCGAACACCATTCTCAATATCCTCAAGCTTCTGCTTGTCCTTGACGCTGAAACCGGCGGCGAATGGCGAAGCGTCACCTGCGGCTGTGATGCGGGATTCGATCTTGGAAAGACCGGACTCGGCGGCGTCTCCCTGAAGGATATCGTCGTACTCCTTGCCAGCGGTAAGAGCAGCAATGATGCTAGCCTCGTCCATGTTCTCATCGTAGTGGCGGAAGAGGTTGTTGGCACTCTCCATGAGGACGCCCTCCTTGGAGCGCTTCTTGGTTCCGTACCACCAGGAGCCGACGAGGTAGGGGAGCAAAACACCGAGAAGACCGGTGTAGAGAAGCACAAGGTATTTACCATTGCCGTTGGAGATGATGAATTGCGGGAGGGCAATACCGATGCTGAAGCTCTGCTTACCATCAGGGTGTCCGTACTGAATGTAGTTGTTGCGGATTTCCTCGTCGGTGAGAGCCTGGTAGGCCTTGGTGAGCTCGACATAGTAGTCGTTCATGGATTCGATGGTTTCGTTCTTGGCGGGGTCCGGTCTGACCTTGTCGGGGTGGAACTTGACAGACAGTCTCTTGTAGTGTGACTTGATTTGCTTCTCGGTGGAGGACTAGTCGCCAATGTTGTTAGTATTCGGAACGTAACAATTGAGCCAGATATGCGGCTGTGTTTCTTTTCTTACCTCTGAGATACCCAGAATATCGTAAGGGTTCCAGATCTTGTGAATAGAGGGGACAGTGGTCATGATGAGGTAGACCATGAAGCTCATCAAGGCCCATCCACCAACGACGACAATGGCGCGCTTGATCTTGCGCTGCTTGCGTCTCTGCGCCGAGCGCAGCTTGTCTACAACGTCGGCATCTTTGTGCTTGTAGTCGCTCTTGATTCGGGGAGCAAGGGCATCGTTGTCGCTGCTCGGGCGCAGAAGAGAGTAGGTCAAGGGAAGGGTAACGAGGCCGGTGAGGGTGAGGATGAAGACGGGGAAGAATTGGGCCTAGCAAGCGGCGTTAGCGGACTGATTTTGATCAAAGGGACAAGATGCACTGCGCAGAACAACTTACCTCGTTATCGTACGAGTAGTCGGAGGAGCTCATTGTGGCGGGCGGCCGACCAAGTCGCTCGCTGCGATGCTCGTGATGGCAGCGGGAAAGGAGAAGGAAAGGCGCGTAAGTAGGGCGCGGGCAACAAAAAGAAAAGAAGCCAAAGGAGGGTGACGGCTATTTGACAGCAGCGTCCTGTAATACAGTGGTGGCACAAGAACAACTGGTGTTTCGGTGCCTTGTGATGGGCGGATATAGGTTTCCTGAGATTCGCTGTCTCCCTCGAAACCACACGTGTAATGAGTGCGAGAGCGGGCGTAAAGTGGACGGGCGATTGGATTATCCGTCTCCCCACAATGCCGCCACGGTGTTCATAATTCACTGCCCGCCCACCGCCCAAAACGAAAGCTGACTGGCGCTAACGCCCATCTCGCCACGGCGTATTTTCAGGTACCCACCACCCCTGTGCCGGCAGCGCTGGGAGCGCTAAGCAAGCCACGATGCATCAGAAGACGGCCGAACACTGGAGAAATAATGGCCGGACTGACACAACAACGTAGCAGCAGCCAGCTTCACATATATTCTTTACACAGAATCAGTTATGCTTAACATGCAGAGTGTTATTTAAAAAAAATTGTATCAATTGTCAAGTGTCTTCAGGCTGGCTATGAAAAAAAAAAAAAAAAGATGAAGCACATGTATAAGCGCCAGGTTATGCAATCTATGTGTAGTCCCGCCCAAATCACTCCTTCTTATCGTGGGCTTTACGATCGTCGTCTTCCTCTGTGGTAATAGTGAAATCATCTGGGTCCGTCTCATCCTCTGTTGTCGCTCCAGTAGCAAGTTCACCAACAAGCAAGCTGCGCAGGTCTTCCTCACTCAGCACCGCCTGAATGCTGCCACGACGAACCCAGGGTCGCGTCTCTCGTCTTCCTTGCTCAATGAGTCGCTCGATTTTTAGCCGGTTGGCTATAAACTTGAGCTTAGGGAATGCGCTCTGCTTGCCCTCATGAAGCATCCTGGCCAGACGCTGAGGATCAGGATCTGAGAGAATGTGGTAAAAGTCAGAGGGGCGTGACTTTGGCCAGATCGTAATGGTACCGCTGAACTCCTGCAGCCATAGCTGACTCCAGTCCTGACCCAAAGGTCGGGGGAGAAGCTCTGCGTGTCGGATAAACTTGAGCCACTTGTTCATATCCAACTTGAGATAGTGCTCAATCGCAGACATGAGATACCCGCCACGCCACCCCCGTCCTTTACGATGAGTGACCGGATGTCCCACTGTTCCTCGTGAAGAAAAGAAGAAGAGGTTGATATGCGGGTTGACTTGGCTGACAATGGTAAAGTTGACGTTGAAATGCGTGTTGAGAGCCTTAATTGGGATATCAGTGCGCAGACTGCCATCCTTCCACTTATGACCGAAAGAGTATGGTGCGAGAGTCCCGTCAGCGTTTTTCATCATTAGTACGACAGGGTTCAAAATGCCCGGAACTGCCGCTGAAGCTAATACCGCGGACCAGATGACACAGTCTGGACTTGTCAGATAGTTGCAGAGGATGGTTGGCGAATGCGGGTCAGCAGGCACGCAGCTAACATTGAGAATACGTCCTGTTCTCTCGTATGCTTCGCGGAACGTCATGGATCCCCTTGCCCACCAGCTGCATCGTTGGGCCCAGTCTACAGAGTCAAAACGGGCTCCGGTCCGCCACCAGCGAGGGATCCATGTAGACATGGGCTCTTGGCACGCATCAATCTTGGTTGACAAGGCTGGTACTAGAAGCTTTTTAAGCTCATCGTTTGTCCTCGTTGCAACCAAGGCGGCAATAAGCGCTCCTCCACTGGTTCCGGTAATAACATCAGGCAGCAGATCCGTGTCGATCAACGCTCTCACAACACCAAGATGATAGTATGCGAAGCTCGCGCCGCCTGACAGGCACAGTGCCGTTCGACCGAAATTCGCGTGAACGTGTTTAAACAGCAATCTCCTCTCCTCTGCTGTCAGTTGTTTAGTTTTAAGTAAAAATCGGAGAGTTCGTTCGTCTAAGCATTGCGGGTTAGAATATGGTCAAGTCGTTCCAAGAGATATGGCAAGCTTACCTTCGTCAATAAAATTTTGAACAAGGTTCTTTGTTCCATAATACGTTTGACTGTAGAGACGCGGGTTTTCTACGCCGACAAAGTTGTTCTTTGTGCATGCTTCAGCCAGTGCCCGCAGCTCATAGACGGCCCTGCTCTGGCCATCCTTGGCCCCAGGCTTTTCAGATGCTTCCGCCAGGGCTCGCGTCTTTTTCATTTGTTCCCAAACTCTCTTGACCGTTTTGGAGTCGTAGTATGCGAATTCATTTTCCTCGCGCCAAGCCTTTCTGCCGAGGAACCCATCAAGTTCTCGAGCAGCCGAAACCCAGTCCTTATAGTTACCCGCGCGGCGTAACGTGCGTCTATGATTTTCGCGTCGGCCGCGCCACGTAACGAAGTGTTCATAGACCCATATGTATAGTCGGGTTGACAGATACGCGACAGCCAGGCCGAGAAGCCAGCCAAAGACAAAGATTAGCAAGGGCCACTTGGAGAGCTGATACAGGTATCCTTCTCTGGTTTCGTCTTGTGTGCGTGTTCCTAGCAATCCTTCGACAGCTCGCTTTGTTCGCCGTTTCTTCTTTTTGCCTGCACGAGTCGATGCATACAGCCGAGGGTTGACTGGTGCCCAATCGTTCTGAGCTGTGATGAAGGTACCTTGGGCGGGTGTCGGGCTTGGGGATATGGGGAGTGAGAGTTGGCCAGAGTGAGCTGCAGCTTCTGCCGCGACAACGTTTGCTTCGTCATATTCGTCGACGCCGGTCTGTGAGTTTCGCTTCGTCAGCCCAGGGCTCCTTGGTGACCTTGGGCTGGAGATGTCGTCGCCATAACCGTGGTGAATGTCAGGCGCTTGCAGTGCTGCTTCAAATGCTTCCAATTCCCCCGGTCTCAGGAAATCACGGTCGATATCGGGGATGGTGGACGGTTCAAACGCGGCCGGCGAGTAGCCGTATGTTGTGTCGCGCTGTGTCGCCATAATCGTTGAATTCCGATCGTAATGTTATAATTTAGAGTCGCATCCGAACCATGACGATGACTCAATGTCGCGGCATTTGAAGATTCTGGACCTCTATGTGAGTGTGTGCAGCAAAAGCACTGCGAATTTCTAGAGCTGATGTCTGCTGAAAGTTGCCACTGGCCGTAGCTTAGGCTGGGCCATTGGGAAAGTCAAATGCTTCATGACGTCGCCGCTAGCGTCGTTTTCGTTGGGGGAGCTCGGCAGCCCGCCCGCACCGATCCCGAGGCACCTGTTGGAGTTATCCCGCTCCGCCGCCCGCCAGCAGCTGTCTCCCATCAATGCCATAGAATGAATGCTAAATAATATGCTATTGAACTAATGGTTTGAAAACTCGGTCTATTGTAGTTGCATCTGACTAGCACGCAAGTAAACTTTACTGTCGGAGGGAGAGATTTAATGTGTATGTTGTATGGTATTAAAGTATCATCTGGGCATTTGACTGTGCATCTTCGAGAAACCGAAAACGCAAACAGTCTCTTGAAAACGCTTATAATCTCACAAGGTATTTTTGGTCGAACCAGTTCTAGCAGCGCAAAGGTGTTTGCCCGACCAAGACAGAGTCAGGCAGCCCTTTGGCGGGGTCTCGGCCCGTGTCCGTTCAATCATGCTGCGTAAATTGTTTATACATACTGGGACAACCATCTGATGCCATCACCGTAGCCCTGGCGCATGACAACAGAGCACATGAACAGCTCGATAGGTCGGATGCCTTCCAGAGGGACCTTGCCCTTGCCGGTGGTCTGGTACAGGCCAAGGGCGTGTCTTAGCTCCTCCTCAGACTTGGCCTGTGGGTGATCGATCTTGTTGCCGAGGACAACGAAGGGAACCTTGGAGAGTTCCTCCATGGAAAGAAGAGCATCGAGTTCGGCCTTGACTTCGGGGAATCGGACGTTGTCGACGGTATCGACGAGGAAGACGACGCCGTCAACCTCGGGGAAGTAATCTCTCCAGATACGACGGGCTACAGCATGTCAGTAATCATGATATTGCGTGTTTATATGGCCTGAAAGGTTTGCATACCCTGTGTGTGGCCACCCAAGTCGAATGTGTTGAAGCGGACGTTGCCGATGACGAGCTCTTCCGAGGCTGCGACGAGGTTAGTGGCTTGTAAGAAATTCAAATATTACCGGAGGTTTATGCTTACTAGGGTGAAGAGTAGGTGCAAGAACGGCGACGCGGTCGTTCTACATATCCATCATGTCAGTATCGTGTGTCGAAGTCTTAAGCCGAAGGTGGCGAGCGCGCCGCTTGGTGGTGCGACACGTCTCGGGGGGGCGCCTACCTTAAGCATATGCAAGAGGGTTGTCTTTCCAGCGTTATCAAGACCAAGGAAGAGGAGCTTGGCGTTCTTGTTCATCAATCCGAGAGAGGACAAAACATCGTAGACTGTAGCAAGCGGAAAAGCACGTGTCAGCATACAATCAGACAAGCAACGGCGTTCAGTTGGACAAATCTGCGCTACATACACCAGTTAACGATCCACATGGTGAAGGACGTTTAATATTTCGACGGGAAGCAAGAGAAATTTTGATGGCAACGATGCTCTGTCGAGTGCGGCAAGAATCGCAATTGTTTTGGCGGCCAGGTTAGGTAGATGCTCGCCGTTGTGTCCATGCTGGCCATAAAGGGAGGTTTGGCCACCAACTAGTCTTGGCGCCTGAAACATAAGGTGTCGAATACCGCCACGCCTCGTCATAGCCGACATCAGGCCATCCAAGATGGAAAAGCACCGAAAACAAATATTGATTTATTTATCCATTTATTCTTCCAGAAGCGCGCATTAAACGTCTTTTTACCATTTACACGCGGGGGAGTCACATAATCAGGACAGTGAGATGCCAGAATCAAAGTTCGGTGGGACCATTTATAAGTAAATAAAAAGTTATATACACTAGATATCGCAGTAGAGCGATCCTCAGTTTCATAGTAAATGTAATAATTGTATATACATGGAAAAGATTTCATAAAATCGTAAGTCTTTAAATCCAACGTCGCTATATCCGTAGATAGATGGATTGTGAAATGATAAGCTTGTCAGAGCTTTAGCTTCCAAGCTTAGATTGAAAGAACATAGTTGCCTTGTTCCTTCTTGCCGGCCATTAGAAGACCGAGCTCCTTCATGCGCTCAGCGCCACGACCTGGTTGGGGCTTGCGTTCGGGCAGCTGACCTCGGCGGGCTCGGTTGCAGTACTTTTGATAGAATTTTTCGCTTCTGCGCTGCCTCTTCTTCTCCAGTCCCTTGACGATGTCAATAGCACCGCGGATGTGGTGATTGCTATCGCGAGAGTGCTTGTGAGAGCGATGCTTCATATTGCTCAACATTGCACTGGGCCTTGGTAGAGATTTGGTCTGCATTGCAGGACGCCCGGCCAGGTGAAACTTAACAGTAGCACCTTGGCGAGGGGACTGCGTAGGGGTAGTAAGACCATGATGGGTTGGTGATCGCATGCGGGTAGGCGAGCGACTATCAAAAAGACGCACGGGAGATCGGCAACGCCTTTGGGGAGCAGGAGACATGCGTCTCTTAGGGACGGGAGAGCGGCGTCGAGGAGGAGGGGAATGAAGTCGACGAGGTGATCCGCCTTCGCTCTTTCGTCGACGGCGGGAACGATCCTGACCATGATGCAAATCTTCCATCTCGCCAACGACGTTCTCATCACTACCTTGCTGCGAGGGGCGATAATCATCGTCGTCATCATTTTCAGGATCTGACGTAGGGAAGCTGGGATCAATATCTTGAGGGATGATTCGAAGCTTCTCATTTCGTCGAGCGGCGAGACAAGACATGTAGGCCTCCTCTAATGGACGGTCCTCGTCTAGTGTGCCACAGACGAAATCAGTACTATCAGGGAGGTCCGGGGTCTCTTCCTGCTGGCGGATACGACGAGGCTTGATGCGAATAATGCTACCAGCCGCAGCCGAGGAATCAGATTGCAGATCATCCGGAGCGGTATGCATAGCATCACCAACGCTTGAGCTTCGCGCAAGTACAGTGCGTTGGCTAGGCGTCCAAAGGCTAAGAGCGTCGTCATCTTCTTCATCCGAGTCAGCGAATCCAGTCTCCTCGTCGGTATGATAACCATCAGAGTCGTAGTCATCATTATCCTCATCATCTTCGTCCTCATCGTCATCATTTTCATCATCATCCTCTTCTTCTTCGTCCCCTTCATCGTCCTCATCATCTTCATCGTCTCTATCCTCATCTTCTTCCATTTCAGCTGCCTCTTCTTCGTCAGCCTCGTCAGCCAGACGACGGAAGTTGATCTCTTTCGTCAGAGTATCATTAATAGTAAGCTTTCTACGAGCCTCAGGCTCTTCGCTACGGATCCAGTCTTCTTCGCGAGTCATGCCACTGGCAAACTCGTGAAATTGAGAGCTGTCCTTGACTAGATCCTTGGAGTTAGCACGTAGAAATTGCGGTCTCAAGTTGGCTGTCTTGTTGGAGAGCCGGCGAGCTGTGGTTGGACGAGAAGGAGAGTGGAGGGTAGAGAGAGCAGAAAGCTTCTTAGGCGTAGAAGGCGACGAAGCATTGGGTTGCTGAGGGTGGCCTTGGGTGGCTTGCTTTGCCCTTGGGGGCGTGTTTTGGGTTGATGCAGGCTTGCTAGGGCAGGCAAATCGAATACAGGGGCGTCGAGGCTGCTCTGACGTCTGGTTAGGTTGCATCGTGCCATCATCATGCAGAGATCGAGACGAAGGAGGCTGCGGTTGGGCAGGAGTGGCGCAGGCAAACTGTATGCATCGCTTGCGAGGAGCAGAGGCCGGCTCTTTAATAGCAGTGTCGACTTTGGTAGAGGCCTCTCCATTTAGTCGCATCATGAGCATGTCAGGGACAGGGGGGCTTGGAGTATTTGTGCGAGATGGGCTGGTTAGGCCAGTATCACTGGTAAGATCAGCAGTGGACGCGAGGCTCACATTACTCGTCATTGAACGGCGCCGTTGGGCGTTCAACATGGTGTGATGTCTGAGCTCAGCATCGTCATCATCTGACTGATTTTGAATGGCCTTGGTCAACAGTGACGAGGTAACTGCAGGTCGGCGAATGGGTGTTCTTTTAAATTGTTGAGATGCAGTATGCTGTATCTCGGGTGGTTCATCTTCGAGGTCCTCATCTTCGGCCACAGCAGTGGCCCAGGAAGGTATTTGTGGTGCCTGCATGGCGAGAGGTTGTGCGTAGGACATGATGGAGAAGTGGTTGCGAAGAGCACAGTATGGGTAGTAGGCGGTGGTTAAGTTTGAGAGGTGTTGTAGGTTCAGCGTTATGCTAAGAAAAGTTGATACAGACTAATACTGTATGGCGGGTGTTGAGCTGGCGGTTGCTTATAAGCAACAGCAAGTTTTTCAGAAATAGTCCCAGGGGACAGGTACGCTATAAGGCGATGGTGCTCATGATGTAGTGCGGACAAGGTTGGTAGAGTAGAAGGCGAAGGGTAAATGCGCGTTTGATGCAGATAAATCTCAAGACAAATAGTGACAAGAGGGGTTGCTTTTCAAAGGCGACAAAGTAGTGAAACGTTAAAGTGCGATCTGGGGTGGTGCGCTAGGAGTCCTTGGCGAATTCCAGATGACGTCGGTGTCTGTTTGTCCGTATCGACAAATTTGGAGGGTGTGGCGGCGATTCGTAGCAATACGGCCAGGCTGCGTTGGGCTCTGGGGTGCAAGGACGAACGGGCGTATCGAGGAGGGTCGTGTTGCTGCAAGTGTCTCAACTCTAAAGCGAGGCGACGGACGAGCGTTTTGTAGCAAACAGAAACAGCGATGGTTTCTATTCTGGGCACGAGGGTGCTTTCGAAGCAAAAAGAAGACCGTGCGGTGTTGGAAAAGAGAAAAGATTAGAAAGACGCTGAGCGGGAAAGAGGAGGAGAGCAGATTGCTAAGCCTTTGAAGGGCTGGACGAGGAGGGCGGCGAGGGCTGCGAGCGGGTTATAGGGCCAGTACGCCAAAAGTAACCGTGGGCGCACAGTGCACGGCGCACTTTGGGTGAAGTGGGCGCTCTTGAGTCTCCGAAAAAGAGGAGGCGAAGGGGCGCGCAGTCCCGAGTGGGTAGCATTTAGTGGGTGAGCCGTCATGGCTGGACCGCTGCACAGTGCGGTACTGGAGCGCACAGAGCACCGGCCTACGTAGGGTGAGCCCATTTTCCCACTGTTTCTAGGTCTGAGCCTTGCACCGTCCGCCCGCGATACTTTCCGCAGTGGGCAGCGCACTCCTTACCCGTTTCTTGTTATTATTGGGTGTTGATTGAACTTGATGTCTTAGCAAGGGATCCCCGGAGCATCGACATGGTCAGCTCGCTCTCTGCATCCGCGCCTGAAGCTCGTAAGAAGCGCGGAAGGGCAGCCGGGATCCCCAGCGAGGGCCTCTGCCGAGGGTCGATCGCACCGAAGGCAAAAACGAGCGACGCTGGGAATACAAATGCGCTGCGCTGTGGCAATGGTACAATTTACACGGGCTGCAGGTGCCAAACAAGCTGGCTGGCCGCGCCTGGAACATGCAGGGCCCAGGCTGACAGTACCTGTGGCCTGTGTACCGCTACTGCATCGGGGTGCTCAGAGTCAGCGTAGCAGTGTGCTAACGTTATCTGGACCACACTATATTCTGGGCTTTTCAGCGGATGTGCAGAGCCAGCATGGCTCAGGCCCGCTCAATTTGGCCACCAAAAAAAAACCCTTGGACACAGTGCTGATGCTGCTCTCGGCCTGTAGACGGGGGGCAAGCCGCTTCTAGCCAAGCAAAGAGTCAGACGGCGTCCACTACGCGACACAGTGCGTGGGCGGATCTAAATGTGGGACGTTGCAACGCGACACCCGGTTCGGATGAGAAAAAAGAAGGTTATCCTAAGGCCCTTTCCCAGCGCCTTACAGTGCGTGCTTCAGTGGAGGCCAGTGCGACACAGCGCACACGTGCTCCGCATGCAGGCGGCCGAGGCTCTGAGTTTCCAGAGTCGATCGCACCGTGCGACAATTTACTATTCTCCGGCTCCAGCGACTGACTCTCCACTTACACTGGGAAAAGTTTTACAGGGCGATAAATCCCGAACACCCACTGTAAAAGATTTTTCTTCTGGGTGCAGAAGTAGACACCTTTGATAAGCGAGGGTTTACAGTAACACTCAATAGCCGTGTAATTTTATTCCGCTAAAAATTCTATTGGCCTCCGTCTTGGCAGCTCTTTCGTACGACAAAATCGGTACATGGATTATTTTCTTATGTAGCAAAGGGGAACGGGGGCTCAATCCGTGTTCAGATAGCTGACCAGCGATTTGGTCAGCGGCCAAGGTGCATCGTAACACGGATGGAACAACGAAAGGATACATCTGCAACTACGAAGCTTCAATGCTTGGCATGCAAGTGTAAGACATATTGTTTAAGCTGTACTGTTGTCACAAAAAGGCAACATTCTAGGCCTCCTCCAGTACAATTGCGCAGCTGTGCACACGGTTCGTGGCATGTTATTCTGTAAATTTGTGAACTGGCCGCCATGTGCCAATCCCTGGCTGATCGCACTGTGGCTCACTGCGTTTACCGTTGGCGGTGACATCTGTGGCGCCTGTCCTGCTAATTTCCCATGAAGCCCACTCGCTCAACATGCTGCGCCCACCGCCTCTGTAGCGCGCCTCTCTGCTGCTCTTTAGGGAAAGGCTTTGTTTGGGTCATTATGAGGCATATTCGTCTCTGGCATGCACAAAGCCTACTAAAAGCCATCTTTTTGTCGCACGTTACTTGCTTTGTTGCTTTTACCGCTGCCAGAATCCCCCGCGGCCAGCACTGGTTACATTAGCATACCACTGCTCACAGCGCGCACAGTACGAACAATGCACATTCGCCGTGGCTTCAATGCCAACACGATCTGGCCGAATGTCCCTTCTTGGCGTTACTAGCGCCTTTTGCTTCCCTGGGGCCAAACATGGGTTAGCGGCGACGTCATTCGCTAGACCGCGGCCCTCCGCTGCGAGACCCCATGCAGCCATCTCAGATGAGAGCGCTGGGTGGCAGGAAAACACGACGCTGGTGCTTATTGCATTTGCCTCTGCAGCCTTTTTGTCTGCAGGCTTGCTGCATCACCCCCGCAAGGGCTGTCTGTCCTTCGTCATGCGCTTTTGTGCCGCGCTGTGGCATGGAACTCCTTGGCGTTGTTCGTCAGCCAAGAGTCTCTTGCCATCGTGGCCGCTACGCGGAATGGCTTGCGTATTAACAAGTCGTAGCTGCGTCTACACACAGTTTCCTCGCCCCTTCATAAAAGGTTCAACAGATTCATCTCCAGTGACCCCTCCTAAGCCCTTGCGTGCTGCATGAAGATCCTCTCTCGCCTACGCATAGAACATCGCAGTAACTGTTGAATACAACCTTGTACCAAACGACCGACCGACCAAGCGAGTGCGCTATGGCACTGTAGCACCCTCGCCACGGGAATCAGGTTGCTGTGTGCCTTTACTGATGTGTCGCCTGCTGATCCTTTCCCGTCCACTGCGCGGGACACGACCTACCGTTGGGGTATGCAGAGAGCGTAAGACTCGCTGACGAACACTGCTGCGAACGCAGCCTAGTCCGATGCCACCTAAACAAACAGCCTACCATTTCCCCAGGGTGCTGCCAGGCTAAGCATATCCTCCGAGACAATATTGAAGTCTCGAACCATCTGCCCCCTATTTCGTTCCTAGATTCTACCTTGGGTAGGTAGTTGCGAAGCTGCCTCGTCAGATTCTTTGCTTCTGCTAGCCGCTCAGTTCACGGGCAATTCTACAACCTGCATATAACAAGTCTGGACGGCAGTGTCTTTGTGGCTTCCTTTCCGGACCGTAGTTGCGGCACTGGCGCCTGGCTGGAATTACACCACGTCGGGTAGTGATCACCCGCCATGCGCCAACAACGCCTCTGTCGTGCTGGTCTTCTTCCCGGGGCGCGCAAACTATGCGGCAACCTGCAGAAGTTCGTAGCAAATCGTTGCTAACCCCTAGAAGCTGCTCCGAATTCGCAAGGAAGGGCCCCCTCTGCCAGTGTGTGGCAGAACTGTGGTGGCCACCTACAGACGTCAGTTCAGCGGTGAACCGTGGGCTTGTGACCACCTTTGCCCTCATCCCTCTGCCATTATCCAGTTTGAGAGCCAAGACACGTTGGCCGTTTATGGCCCATTATGACGCAAAAAATATGCAGCCACTGATATGATTCTGCAACTGCTGTTGAACCTGCTTCCAAAATAGCTGTTGAAGCGATCGTGGCGGCGGAGCGAAAGACTATGTTTGGTACAAGAACAGACTCCATTAAATATCCATAAAATCTGTCGATGTTACATATGCGTAGCGTTACATATTTATATGTTTAGTTGTGCTGCTGGGTCAAGATGACTGATCTTGATGTTTATCTCCGCAAAATTGGCTACCGGGTAGCAAGTTTGTATCATCAACACAACGACTCTGTATTTGCCTATCACTGGTATTCCCAATAAATATATGATATTGTGTGCTTTCCATGCAATTATTTCGTCGCTGTAACTTTACTGGCCAATACTGCCCAATTGAAGTGTTTTTACGTATATCAGGCCTGATTATATGGAATTGGTACTGGGGAATAGTGACGAGCATCATGATCCCGATACTCACGAGCCGCAACATTACCATTTAAATCCCAACTACATTGAATAGAACTTTATTAAACGAATCATAAATTCACCCAAAATAAAACGCAGATCTTAAAATTCCGTATAGTTTAGATACCGAGGGCGATGGCGTGGTTTGCTCATTTATGTACTCAACGGGGGGGGGGGGAGGGGTTCACGGAGCCTAATTGCAGCTATTTGCAGATAGATATGAAAATGAAATTAGAAAGGATAAAGTATAATAAATCTTATTGGATAGAAATTAATTGCTAAAGGTGTAGTTTCGTCGAGACGATTGTTTGATACTTGATATGAACAGCGACGGGTCACGTGACAAGCGGCAGCGGAAAATCCACTCTGCCGACCTGACTGGAGCACGTTTGGAGAAGATTCGTGCCACGGCTTCAACGAGCTCATACTATCCCAAGAAGTCAATCCAACCCACGCCTTCATAATGAACTCCTTCCGCATTGCCCGTGCGGCCATCCGCGCTCGTCCCGCCATGATGCGCGTGGCTGCTCAGCGCAGAACCTACGCTGAGGCTGTTCCCGACAAGGTTCGTTGCCGAGACTTGCAACTCCTTGAATGCGAGGCTAGGAGAAATGCTAACCGAATTTAACATTACAGATCAAGCTGAGCTTGACCTTGCCTCACCAGGTACGATATATTTCCGACAATTTGAATTCGCCGCGACCGTCTACGACCCATTGGCCGCGTCTGCCATTCGGCCTGCGAGAATTTCTGCACCCGCTGTTCATCATGCTAATTACCGCAACTAGACCATCTACAAGTCACAGGACGTCGTCCAGGTCAACATCCCCGCCGAGTCTGGCGAGATGGGTGTTCTTGCCAACCACGTTCCCTCCATTGAGCAGCTTAAGCCTGGTATTGTCGAGGTTGTCGAGGAGGCCGGTGCCGCCAAGCAGTTCTTCCGTACGTTCCTATCCCGAAACGACAGCAATACACACTCGTCCCGGGTTTGCTACCAGAAAGGGGATTGAAGCATAGACTACGTATATGGTAGCCATGATCCGAAAGCTAACATGGTTGATTTTCTTAGTTTCTGGTGGATTCGCTACCATCCAGCCCGATTCGAGCATGAGCATTAACGCCCCCGAGGGCTACCCATTGGAGGACTTCAGCGCTGAGGCCATCCGAAACCAGATCGCCGAGGCCCAGAAGGTTGCTAGCGGCAGTGGCAGCGAGCAGGATATTGCTGAGGCCAAGATTGAGCTCGAGGTACGACCACTCCTACGGACTCATACGGATGACGTCCAAACTAACACTTATATATAGATCCTCGAGACCCTCGCGGCTCACGTGAAATAAACATCTGGTAGCATTAGACGGCAGCCCTTTGTACATCAAATTTCCTTAGCATCCTTCGCACCGCGTTCAGGCAATTGATACCTGTATTTCGGTGCGCCGTTTTTGAGCACTGAATATTAAACTTTAATCTCCTTTGTTTCTCAAACAATCCACTCTTATCCAATTGCTGCAAAACGTATCATATGTTTTTAAAGGTTCACAGGCAACTTTGGACAGTCGCACTTGCTGTTTTCTTTCTGGGGGAATGCTTTTCTGGTACCAGCTATTGCGTTTCTGGATTCACTCTTATTACTGCAGGTACAGAATTACAACCCCCGATGAACGCAACATAACATATCTATTACAATGAGACAACTATATATCGGTAATCAGGACAGTAGCCCTAAGGCATCAATTCTAGCGTCCGCATCGGCAGGCTCGGTTTTTCATGCATAGAATATATCGGATCCGGGGCCATCTCACAGGAAGCCGCTTTCAAACATTTCTGCGAAATCCTGCAATGATCTTTCTAGCTTATGTAAATCCCAGTTTCTTGGCCCACCAGCTGCCAGATACACAAACATTGCAACAGAAGAGCAGACCGATTCTTGGGTGTCCTGCCGAACCGCGAAGACTGGTTTGTTTTAGTGATATCGCGTGGCTTGACTTGGCATCGGAAACTGATCTTCGCTAGTCTTTGGAAATAGCTATCTATCGCTTGAACAAGATTGGACAGAGGATCTCGTCAATAGCGCTTCTTCGACACCCACTGTCAGTGTCCACACACAACAGCCGTCTATTCTAGGTTTGGAGGAACGAGAGCCACCGTCTCGCAATGGAATGAACTTTGATGGTGCTGGATGCAACGATCAAGATACAGGCTCAAGTTATCAATGCCACTCTTGTGGAGAACGGGTTTTTGAAAGATACCCATGCAGCAACTGTGGACATGAATTCTGTTCAAAATGCACCACTCTACTCAACAACTCCAACACGTGGCAGACAACGCAGCTGCCAATGTCTCGAATCTCTAAAGGCCATGTTCCGCGAACTCCCCGACCAGACACCATATCTGAAGAAACAGATGGGCTATATACATCGAGTGAATCAAATGTTGGTTTGCATGGACCAAACACTCCAGAGGCGGTGCATAGAACCATATCCGTAACGGCCGAGGCATCTCCAACAGTTGTGAACGATGCCGAAATGCGACGGGCTGCGAGTATTCGATCAGTTGTGAGAAACATATCTTCTCTGTCTTCGTTTGAATCGTCTAGAAATTCTCCGTACATCAATGCCGAACCACGCAGCTGTCCAACGACGGAGGAGAGTCAACCAAGCAGAGGCCATTGTATTTGCTGTGTAGCCAAGCGATCAAAATCTAAACCAAGCGAAACAAAGGAGTTGAAATTAGAAGCTACAACGAACCGAACGAGCTAGCCTCCCGTTTTGGGACGTTCTGCTGAACCCGTTGACGACGAAAGCTTGGTTCCTCCCGCGTTGCAGCTTCATCATGGACCCAACGACTCGAATCAAATAGTGCAATCCTATTCGACAATGTCCACTAATAGTGACCTGACAAAAGACAACAGCCCCGAAGCCATTGTAAAGACATGCGGCCTTCTTCCTCATCCACGCACTCCAGAAATTGAGGTTGAGCCGTGGCCAATACTACGGCGAGTTACAAAACCAGAGGTGCGACGTGTGTCCAAGAGAAAAGAAAGTGTACCTTGGCAACGAGAAGTTCGTCGTAATATGGAAGCGAAGCAAGCAAAGTCGAACATTGTAGCGCGTGAAGAGACGAAGCAGGAGAAAGTTGTAACGGCAACTGAAATGCCAAGTCTTGCTCTCCAAAGTAATGAATCGAAACAGAACGCGAAATCCCAAAGAAATGAGACCATAGCGGAGTTTCAAAGCCCCCCAGAATCCTCAACCAATCTCAGCGCAACAAGCTATGGCAGTGCAACAACTTCTCCAAGGGCGGCAGTGGTACAGAAACATTCATGCGGATGGAAAGATAGCATTCTAAACCTGAATGCAGAGTTTAACCAGCTAAATTCAGAGCTAGATTCTTACGATGATGAAGAGAATATCAAGAAAGTCCAAAAAAGCAGTCAACCTAAGACCCAGGCGTCACCCGTACGAGCGCATGACTGCGATGATACAGGGATCGAAGGTTTGACGATTATTATTCATCTGAAAGGAAAGGATGACTTGGTAATAAACACATCGCTCAGAGACTAGGACAGAGAGGCATAGAAATCATTACATTAATGAAATGGTAAAAATACTGGTATACGAATCGGGTAAGACGCGCAAACGCAGGCAATGGCAGCCAGCCTTTTTTTTGAGCTGAAGGGTCTCGTATAACAGGGCTATACTCAGTTAGGACAATACATTTCATGTGTTTACTTTTGGTTTGCTTCGTAAAATTGGAGAGGCTCTGGCCCCCAGGTATGCTCGGCGCTTAGGCATATTTGACCCTTGGGGGTGTGTAGGTAGCCTTGCGACCCCATTGTTTGGAGTCACCGCGCCCGGACAAAGCTCTGAATTTGGAAACCTTGGTGCTGGAGGGGGCGAAAACGTGCCCGGGGATTCAGTTGGGGGCGAATGCGAGCGATGACCTGTTGTCCGAGACAATGCTCGTCTGTGATGAGGCTGCGGCGGTGGTATGGCATCTCGCGAACCAACCAAATTGTTCCAAGACCGTCACTGGCAGGGGGCATGCAAGCGCGCGGATACCTGAAGTAACGCTGAAAATAGTAAAGAAGTGTGACGATTGATTTGATGGCAATAAAGAGACTATGCGACTCCCCGTCCCGAGAGTATGGTTTCGCTGCGCTTAGCGCTGGCTGAGCCCGTAAGCAAGGACCGAGCGTGCATGATGGCTGGCGCCTTGGGCGTTGTGATTTGCTGGCTACGTACAGGGGCTGGAAATATCCGTTGCACTTGTTGGTCCCTAATAGCTAATAGAATAGTGAAATCTTCGGCGGGCTGGGACACCGGACGCTTGTATGCATGTAAATTCTCCGCTTGACGCTGCAAGTCTCATCACACAACCCTCCTCCAGGCGCCACACGGCCAATCACCTAGCCGCCCAACCCCTTTCGTTTGACAAATACTGAAGCATTCCGAAACTTCCCAAACTAACCACTCATGCATGTGTTATCTTTGTATGATACCCGCGCGCCTGCTCCTACAGACGCAGCTTGAACGGGAACAGGTCCAAGCCCTTGACGCCGACCTCTACTCTGAATAGGGCTCCGCCTAGACGAGCGCTCTCAGGCCAGTTGGAGTCCGCCTCGCCGTCATCAGCGGCTGAGGTGATGACGAGATCGTCACCTACGAACTGGACACAGGTGATGTTCTTTGTGGGCAGCGATATCTTGCCAACTACCTGGCCTTCGGGGTTGATGCGGAGCACCATGCCCTCTCCGTAGAATGCCTGCCATATATGCCCTTGCACATCCACACGCATACCGTCTGGCTCTGCCGTACCTGAATGCTTGTAGAAAAGGCGCTTGTTGGAGATGTTGCTACTTGCGGCGTCGTAGTCAAACGCAAATACCTCGCGGGTGGGCGAGTGTGTGAAGTACATGATGCGCTGGTCAGGACTCCAGCCAATGCCATTGGGGATAGTCACATCTGGTAGCACAGTCGTCTTTGCACCGTCTCCAGAAAATCTGTACAGGCTTCCTAAAATACCCCAGAACAAGCGTTAGCGGGACCGTGCGATGAATGTCTTGCCATGCCAACAGCTTCATGGCGCTGCAGCGAGCTAGCCGTGAATAGGAACGCGTCTGTGCGTTCTCCGGGTATGCTGCATGTAGACCTACCTTCTGGTTTGAAAGGCCCCAGGCCAAAATCCGTCATTGTGCCGAGCCAAAAGTTACCAGCAGGGTCCGCAGCACCGTCGTTGGCCCGCAGTCTGTCGCTTGACGGGCCATACTCGTCATTGAACGGTGCCAAGAGTTCATATTCATGGGTCTTACAGTCTAGGATAGCTAGACCGTGTTTGAGGCCGACTAGAATCTCTTCGGCTGGGTTCATGTCCTCAATATCTGCCGTGACGCCTGCAGAGACGTCCAGCTGGATCCTCTCAATTGCGTCCTTGGGGATGCGTGTGCGGCGGTCTCCTGCGGATACCTGGCGAACCCAACATATTTGCTTCTTCTTGATATCTACAAATCGGAGGGAATCCGATGCCTTTTCGTAGAATGGGCCTTCGGCCAAAGCGCACTGGGCATCAAGCCACGGCTCGGTAACTGTCCACTGCTGCATGCTGGCGGCGCTGGTAGCAAGATGAAGCAAATACGGTTGGGGAATACACGGTACAGTGCAATAAATATTGATGAGATTGGCTGATTGTGAGGATTGTAGAGATTCTATGGGCGGAGCTTGATGATGGCAGTGTTGGAGATGAAAGTGAGCGGAGGGCAATGGTGGGGCAAGATGCCGGCTCTCGGAGGCATTGATGATGTCTTGATAGCGACCATATCTATAACCAGGGAGTAGACCAATTCAAAAATTCGCTTAATCAAAGGACGGGGATTTTAAAGCTAGACAGTTAGAATGTATTTGGAATTGCAGCTTGAAAGCACCTTTTGCGGATGTAAATCAGAATAGGACTTAGTGTGTGGTGAGTTGACAGCTGTTCAAACTCCCCTCTGGAGAAATGCTTAATACGGTATAAGCAGATGAGTTTCAATACAGTGGCCATCTCAATATATTGAGCATAATGACCTGTGAGAAGGAAGTGCCAGGATGATTTTTGTATGCATTGTGGCCAGTGTTGCGACGACAGGCTGCGAACTACACTGGTGTAGCGAGATTCGTACGCTGATAGCACACTCGCAAGCCCCCAAACTGGCTGCTGTATCATAGCCCTACACAATTACAAGATCTACGGAATGTCTAGCCTGGCCAACCCGCTAACTGCACGTGGTCTTTTGCAAATGCACACAATGCCCCTAGACTCACGGCAGATGCCGCCACCACGCTCCGAGCCTATTCTCTCCCATCGTGGCGGTACCGAGCTGCCACGAGCGGCTTTGTTAGTGGGTAGGATGACCATCTTCTTGGCCAAGGTAAGAGCGGAGCGTGTGCGAGGAGGTGTCTGAGGTCAGGCGCGTGATCGGTAGTAGACAACTCTCTTGCATGCGTTTGCAGAAGACGGCGTGGCTCAGCATCCTCCAACTAAAGCAGTTAAGCTTTCTTTCCTCACTGTCTCTTGTGTGTGCGCACCCTGTGAGCGTGAGCTAAGAGCACATACTGCAAAGAGTTGCATTGCTGCTCGCATCGTGATATCTCCGCTCTAATAAACTGGGCCGCCATTGCAAACTGACCTTACGGAACAGAGCCCGGGCTCGCAGCATGCTGCAAGACAGGCTAAAGTTGCACTGGTTGGGCACCAAGGGTTGACGGCAAAAAGCAAAAGGGTGGCGACGCTGGTACACGCCTTCTTAACTTTCAGCCTTTCGGTGACCGCCACGTTGAAGTTGTTGCGCTTGCTCGCGTGGGGCCCACGTCCACCCCGGCGGGCGGGCGACGAGCTGTTGAGTATGTACAGTCGTATCCGATGGATGCACAAATGTACACTGTTGCTCATGGGGTGTATTTGCCGACGAATTTCCAGCAGCTCCAAGGATGGATTTCGATCTCGCCCAAGTCAGGTCAGTTTCTCCGCCAGGTTTCCGACCCAATGCCCATGCCACTGCAATGACCCAAGTATCATTATCTCCCTTAGCCGCCTTCGTTTGATGAGCTGGTAAAGACCCTGTAGGATTGACCCTCTGACTGGCCACTAACCATTACCAACTCGAAATTCCATGGCTGGATCGGGGCGTTGATGTATGAATGCAGCCTGATTGGAGCCTCTCTCCCACACCATGGCTCCTAGTGCGAGTTGGAGGCCTAAGCTTCTGCCGTCATCAAGGTAGGCTGCATGAACTGCGAGGATGGCGATGGAATGGCAAGGGTGTTGTCAGTTGCGGAACGTTTCTTAGTTGCAGGGTGCAATGCACGCCATCAGGCGGGACGTTGTCATTTGGGTTGGGCGGCCACCAACCGAACTCAAGATCGCTGGAGAAGAGTACTGGCTCAGCCGATAGGAGTGACCATTACTGAAGGAAACCCGGATTTCTTGTGCAACCAGTGATCCAAATCAAATAAAAAAATACTCTTCAAGCTACCTAGCCCTCAAAATAACCAGGCTGTGCTGTGACGAGACTTCAGCGCTTAGTACAGTGCGTTGGCTGGCTGCCAGTGAAAGTTGATTGAACGGGCCATCCTGGGATAGTGTCGCGCAGCAAATTGCATCAGAGCCACCCGTTACGCCAGGTTGTTTTTGATTTTACGGGAACCGGAAAAGAAGCCGGGGGCTATCATAGGCCACACAACTAAGCAAATGGCGAACTTGGGTCACCCACCGTGAAGGCGGGCTCGGCGCAAAACAGAGCCCGCTCAAATCATAGTTGAAAGTAGAGCGGGGTGCGGCTAGGTATAACCTCAGCCGACTGTGGAAGAAGCTGAAATGAGTTGAAATGTATTTTCTGGATCGGGCTATCAAAAGGGTTTCGTACCGGGTGCGTAACGGTGGTGCAGCGTATGGGTTTACCAAATGAAGGTATTTCCTGATAGCAAGGTACCGGGTTATCGTTACCATAATAGTCACTTGTTACCATGTAGGATTGCTGAGAGCCATTGATACACGAAATAAACATTGCTGTCAGGTTGCAATGGATGAAGCAGTTAGCTGGTTTGCTAGTACCGAATCCAACATTACGTCGAGAGACGACATGTTTGAGGAGTTCTAGTCAACAAAGTACAGTGGCACAGACGTCTCTATCCAGTCCACAGATACTTGGAAGTGTTGAGATGAGGGAAGCTGCCCGCAAGCCTTGCCAGTTTCGTTTGGGACTGCCAGCCATCCTCTGCCGTGAGTCGCTTGTGCCGTCCTCCGCAAGGCAAGGGACACACTCCGTTCAATAAAGACTAGAACCCTGAATCGTCTTTATACAAAGACGCTTATATTCAATAAGACTCGGATCTCTCTGAAGATGTATAATGTGGGATAACCTCTTCGTTTTTGACCCATGCTTAATGATTTAGTGAAGGCGTACATGGGAGCACCGACTTCTAGCGACCAAACAACCTGGGCGAAATACGACTGACAGCCGTTCCCACAGGTGGCCAAAGAACCAAGGCATTTTCTCCCCGCGTTATTGGTGTAACACCATGCGCTTTTAGCTACAGCCAGCCTCATACAGTAGGCATCCCTTTGCTTGCTCATCTATTGGTTGGCGTACGGGCTGGAGAAATGCCGTACATATCGTCGTTGAACACTTTACTTTGTACATGGAAAGAAGTGCAACAACTTGCAGGGGCATTGTTCGAGAATGGGTGGCGACACGCTAGGTTGGTCCCACGGCCAGGCATGTTTGAGGGTCAATTGATGACCGCCTAAAGACAACAACCTTGGCTTCCTTGCTCAAAATGGCGGAGCAGGGTTGAAGCTGGCGGTAGTCGCGCAAGGGCAGCGTGCCGAGACTGAAGCAAGGATCTAGATCGCTTCGCATGCTCTACAACGTGCTTTGGCCAAGAGCGGCGAACAATTTCAAGCCCATGTACTTGCAGAGTGCAACGGGCACGATAGGCTTTAGGAGCAAGGGTGGCCGTGTTCGTAGTGGTTGCGTCTCCCGTCGTTCCCGTTTCTGCCAGGCCCTACCACTTTCGTGCATGACTTTGCTTTTTTGGGGACAGAGGTAGCGATTTGGGAATGCAAATACCACCCTCTGCTCCACCGCCCCCGCGGCATGCCGCCCAGAGAGGCATGGGTCCCGACCCCGTGTGCAGTTTTAGGCTGGCTGGAGATGCCCCAAACTGTATTTGACGCAGACGCCTTGGCTTAACTGGGCACGCCAGCGCAGATGATGCACCACCACGCATGCAGGCCTCAGTGGATCCAAAAGACTTAATCCCCTAGGTGCATCTTGGGCCTGGAGGCTGGCCGACGGTGTGCTGCAGCTCCAATGCCACGGTATTCTCAGGCATCTGCGCTGCCACGTCGGGGTACTGTCGTAGTTTGCCCGCGTCTCCCGTGCAAGTTTGCTTTTGAATGCAGGAGTCGGCGCTGCAGGAGCATTGCGTCCGTCAAAGATTCGTGTATCGTGAAGGCTGCAATCCGCCTGCATCCCCGATAGCTTGACGACACTGAGCTTGCAGAGTCTGGAGAACGGCGAGTTTACAGGGAATGTGAGTTGGCGGACTCGAGCAAGCGTAAGCTGCCAGTTTGGCAGGTGGCACAGCTGGCGCTCGCTGGACCTCGTCCCGCGAAACTGTCCCTACACGGGTTCCTCTCAACCTCCACGGCGTTTTTCCTTCTGTAAAACCTTAACCACCAATTGTCTGCTTTTTCCTCTCAAGGTCTGCTCCATCCACAGTCCTTCCATATGCGCCCCCAAAAAGCAAGGTATGGGTCAAGGATATGTCGTTATTCGACCAGATGGGAAAGCTACAGAAGCCAAAAAAGGAAGCAGACGAAACTGACTCCCCCAGAATGAAACACAATTTTCCGAGACCAGAGGGTTGAAAAGAAAGAAAAAAGCCCCGATGTTCATCTGCATCGAACGCAGCAAGCCGCTCGCCGCCACTGGAGCGTCAACGGGACCAAGCTTGGCCCCGTCGAATCCACCCGCCCACATCATCGACGCCCAGTCGAACCAGGCTAATTCCTCATTGAGAAAGAGGGCAAGATTTTAAGAGACAGAACGGGGCCAAAGAGAGACACCACGGCCCCGCTGCCGACCCGCTCATTGTTGACCGCTCTGCAACGTTAAGGCTGGCTTTCCGAGTCTTTCTAGACAAGCTAATTTCGCTAGCAGCCTCTCCCAGTGACGGCGAGCCTTTCCCGAGTGCTTCGCATGCAGAAACAAGCTCTCAGTAGAGCCAGCAGTGCGTTGGCATATCCAGTTCGCACAGGCGGCATTCTGCTGCAACAAGTTGCCCCAATCCGGCACCCACACACACCCACCTGCACACAAGCTCAAGCGCCGTCACCCATCGCGTCGGGTCCGTTCCGCCTGCAGAAAAGCCCGGCCCCCCTGCTAGTGGGATGTACTCGCACATTATGACATCGTAGCGGTGTCATGCTCCAGCTGGCTCTCCCGCCAGATGGGACGGCCCCCCTGCTTGGTACCGCCCTTTCGGGGCATGCGTCGTTTTATGCCTTAGCGAACGCCGGGCTGCTCTAGTCCAATGCACGCATGGCATCTTCCGATGTTGTTCGGGTCAAACTGCGCTAACCTACTGCTGACTGAAGGCGCAACTGGCTTGCGTCCCCGGAACCGCCGCGCTGCCAGAGTACCTGTACCGTACAGAACGATTGTCTGGCTCTCGGTGGTTTCGTTTCTCGCCCCCTCCCCCTCTTTAACCTGGCTGTTTTCTTTCTTTGTTGCAGGAGGCTTGACAAGTACAGTACCCGGACTTGTTCGAGGTGGTGCTCTGTGTGACACAGGCGGCAGAGGGGGACTCGTCACAACGAACCTGTAATTTTGCCAGGTCAGTTTCCTAAGGTGTCGCCTCTGAACAAAACCAAATCACAGAACAGTCAAAGAAAGACTACTAGGATACGAAATATGGAATATCATCCTGGCACGTCTTGTATGGGCCAGTGATTCCCTGGCACCAGTGGAAGATCCTCCGCAACAATTTAAGACAAGTGCTCCAAGATGTCGGCGCGTAGCGAAAAAAGATCTTTGTTGCGCACGCTCATCCTAAGTCGAGTTCAAAAGTAGGCGCTACAGGGAGTCGCTGGGATGTACCACGATATCCCCGGCCTGTAGCCCAACTGTCTAAGCCCTGCTGGGGTGTGCAGCCCAGGGTTGACTTCCAAAGTGCACACCCACCCCGTCGTTCTGGTTGGAGATTTCGCTAGCCCCGTAGCTCTCCCATCCCTGTCTCTGACCCTCCTCTTGACGAAAGAAGAGAGATCTCTTCCTGCTTTCCTCATCCGGTCTTGTTTCTCTTTTTCGTTCACCTAACGGCGTCCGTCGTCTTGCATTGATTTTGAACTGGCTTAATCCTTCGATTTCAACTTTCTACACCATTGAATAAGAAAGTTAGGCGACACCTGATCTATTATAAACAGCTCCCTTTCGTATCCCTGCCAGGCGCCTGGGACGTTTCTATTTGAAATCTCACGCCTAGTTTCGGCCACTACTATTCGGCTCATTCATCTCTTCTACTCATTCCCAACAATCTATTCGCACATCTCTTACAGCTGGCTGCTTCACTGTCTTTTCAATATCTATCCAGCTATTATCTAATATCTAAAAGTCCTTTGGTTGCGCTCCAGGACACGTTTGTCAACTGTTGCCGGCCAGTTCACAGTGGTTTACCCGTCAAGCTGCTCTTGATTCATCAGCACCAACCACGCATCGTTGCAAGAGCGTTTCAAACACCCAACAACTCTCTGGGTATCGGTTCTGACGGTACCCTATAGTGTTATCCACGCTGGATCATCAGCCATCTAGCCTGTATAGACAGGCAAATTCTCTTGCTGAGAGCATTGTCGCCGCCAGTGCCGAGTCATCTACAGCCACGACACCCAACTCACCACGCACCCCAACTACGCCGTCCTGGTCCTCTATACGACTATCTAAGTCTCAAATCGTTGGCAACGTTGCAACTGAACAGCATCGGTCCACCCTTCAATGCGACTATCCTAAGGAGGAGCATCGCGGAGGATATTTCATTTCGATGTCGCAGACGCATCCAGCGCCTCGGCCTGCATCTTACCCAGCATCACGCCTCGAGTCAAACTCTGGGAGCTTAATTTCTGTCCAGCATATGCAGAACGATGAAAGATCCAAGTCGAGACTCGGGAACCTACACCAACAGACGACGCAATCCTCCAACTCAATAGGCATGTACAGCATATTAAATCCTCCAGGGCGTCCATCGCCTCAGCAAGGAGGAGTTGGGCCAATCCAACTTCCTCCACGATCTTGGGAACATGGTAGCACAAGACCATCTTCAACGAATCCGGAGAGCACTAAAATTCCTCGCTCATTCTTAGCTACCTCGTCTCCTCCAGCTTCAATGCCTGCAAGCAGCGCCGTCACCCCTTCTGGCGTCCCAACTCAGTCGGAGAGAAAGTCACCAGCAGCCAGCCTTCCTTTCCCACCAACAGAAGCCCCCCGAAAGATCCTTAGTCCAACGTCTCCTCGGCGATCTAGCAATCATAGAGAAAGGCTGGCGGAATATGATGCGCGAGGAAATCTCATTGGAGGCGCTGTTGCTGGAGCTAAAAGGCCGTACGAGCATGGTCCAACGGAGCCACATGCCTCAGTTCCCCGGGGTCATCATGGCCAACAGAATGGATACTACGCACACACGGCTGCACCCCCTTCACTGCCACACGGAGGCCCCGGGAGACAACCTGAGTATCCTCGTGGGCCTCCTGCACCTGTAGATGCTCATGGCCGCCCGGTACCACCCTATGGGCCTCAACATCACGGTGCACCTGCTCCAATACAGTCAACCCCCGAGACAACCTCTGCCTGGCAGGATGGTGTGCACCGCCAACATGGGCCTATCATGACCACGGAGGGACAGCACGCATATATCCAGCTTCCAGGAAGCGCTGTCCCTATTCCTATCGAAGTAGACTATTCCCATGCTTCACGAAAGGCAGATGAGAAGCGCCAACGAAATGCCAAAGCCTCTACCAGACATCGTCGGAAGAAGAAGACTCTCCAAGAGGAAACTATACGACAGTTACACGAGCTTAAAGAGGAGCGATTCGAAATATCGCATCAAGCCGAGGAACTTGCTAGACAACGAGACTTTTATAAAGAGGAGCGAGACCGGCTACGAGATCTAGTGGCCAGAACACCCGGTATTAGCCACCATGCAACCGGCCCTCCCAGTCCAGTTCTTTCAACCCAACTTCCTCCGTACCCAGGGCATAGTCCTGAAAGCCAGCCTAGACATGGGGCAGATGGTTCCAATCGATTTGATAGCGAAACGCCATCTGTGGAGCGCCAGCCTACCCGTCAGAGATCGGATGAGCCAGCCGAGCTGCATACTAGGCATAGCGCAACACTAGGTGCGAACCCAACGCCACTCCCACCGATTCACAGCACCAATACTGGTGTTCCGCCACGTCCGCTATCGGCTGCCTCATCGGCCCAAAGCGAAAGATTACCTTCCCTGCGAACTATTGATGGATCTCTGTCGCATTCCGAGCTTGGTCCTGATCAAAAGCGACACAGCGGTCAATGGATGCCGGCTCAAATGCGTCTACATGAGACTGGTTTTGCAACGAACCATCGATATATGGGCGATTCTCACAGCCGCTAATCCCAACCAAAGAAATTAAAAAAACAAGAAGAACAATTGGATCATTCCTTGAAACGAGAATAGGTTTGAAGCTATAATGCCTCAACCGCAACAGCCGGGCAACTGGCACAAACGTCACCGTTTGGTAAAAAAAAAAACAAGAAAATGAGATCATAGTTGATCATAGGCGTCGGCGCCTGTAAATTATCCTTTGAGCATTTGCATATCACGTTTACTTCAGCTAATTCTTTTAATCCCTGTTTCAATTCTGGGAGGTGTTTGATGGGGGGGCTCTATATACGAGCATAGCACAGTGGTCCTATTGGGCTTGTTTTTATCACAAGATGTTTTTTTTTGCTACCTCTGTTTTCTTTGGGTAAAGCTTCCCTTATATACCAGTTTGCTTGTTTGTTTATCTATTTAATTGCCTTTCTACGTCTGCGAAGCTGTCGATGCCGGAATGCTTTTGTTAACTCCAATACATATACCCCCTGCAGTTTGGTCGATCCCCCCCTTTTAGCCTACAGTCATTTTTATAATATTTATAATATTTATAACACTGATAAGACAAATATGGACAATAGTTATGATTTTCAATCCGCAATGAATTGTATGAAGAGCGTTCGTGTATCTCCTTTTTCTTTCCAGCCAACGAGGGACTGGGTAACAGAGAAAGTGTATGAATGGAATGGCAATCAATACAACCATACAGAATACTAGTACGCAAAAAATTCTCGCAAAGTTAAATAATAACAAGAAAGGCCATCCCGGAGTGTTCTCTTCGTTGGTGTCGTCAAATTTAGTTTCATAATTATACTTTGACTATCCACTGCTGCCGACAGTTACAAGTCCATTAAGTCCATTTCTATTCCTTTTATAATATTTTGAGAATTAAAAAATCCCTTTAATATAATCCGTGCACTTACATTCGGTTTATCAGAAGTCTTGCCGACAGGCACTCGACTCGGAGCTCGTGCAAGTCCGGCCGCCGCCCCTTTCGGCTGCGGCCCCACCCGCAGACTCCCCGCCGTTAATGAACATCTGGCCTCGCTCCCAAACTTTCTGGCACAAGCTTCTCGCCAACCGCTGCGCCGCACCGAAACACCAGCACAACCCGTAAACGAATCAATCCGACTGTCGGAGATACGTCCTGTCGCAAGCTTAAATATTGCTTCATTTTGCGCCATTGCGCTTAATTGCTGAATCAACATCTCTGCAAGCTACCGTCGCAACGGCATGACGTCGCCCTTCCCAGTCGCGAGGGTCGAAGTCGACTACCCGCTCTACGCTGTCGACTATGATCCTGAAGATGCCAACCGCATCGTAATTGGAGGCGGTGGTGGCGCTGGCCGCTCGGGTGTTGCCAACAAGATGGTACGTATGCTCCAGCAATGTGACTGGCGCAAATAACCGCCTCAAAAACCACGCTGCTAACTGGTCCGCTAACCCCTTGCGATAGACTGTCCTCGAGCTTACCGACCCAACTGAGCTTCGCAAAGCTGGCGAAATCAGCCTCTCTAAAGAAGAAGATAGCGTAATGTCGCTCGCTGTTGCGGGCCGCAAGGGCAAGCAGACTTGCGTGTACGCTGGCGTCAACTCGAAGCCCGACGATGTCGCCAAAGGCATCAATGAGCACTTGCGCGCCTTTGGCATCGAGGCCGCCAAGGGACGCTCTGCCTCCAACGAAAAAATAGCGTCGGTCAAGGTTTCGGAACTCTCTCGCACGTCGCTATTTACAGATTTCAACAAGGAATGCTACCAGCGTCTGGTCCGCGTATCTGGTTCCGTAGGCGCTGCAGCTTCATCTTTTGCCGACAAGCCCCAGATTGCCGTCTTTGACACGACCGGGCCCAAGCCCAAGTCTAAGGGCATCCTAGAGCTTCCGCGCGACGCCGAAGCTTTGGATATCCTCCAAACTGGCGACAATTCGTTCCTCATGGTCTACTGCCACAAGTACGATCTATACCTGGCCAAGTTCAACAAGGGCGTGCTCGACTCAGAACCGCAGCACATCTATTCGATATCGGCCGATGAGCCTCAGCGACCAGCCTTTAAGCACCTGCGTTTCCTCAGCGCCGACTTTGTGCTCGCTGTTGGCGTGCTGCCCAGAAACGCCGGATCAGTTCTTCAAGCCTTCCGCCTGCCCGGCCCCGGCCACGAGAAGGCACGTATTGGCGTATCAGCACGTGTTCCTCGCAAAATTGTTGCTAGTTCGCTAGCTGTTACAAATCTCTCTCCTCCTGCCTCGCCTTCGGCTCCAATTGGCGATACACAGTTTATTGTCGCAGTCGGCGGTCAAGACTCCTCCATCTGCCTCTTCACTCTTTCACACCGCTCAGCCTCGAAGATCGACTTGCTCTACGATCTATTGGAACTGTACACTCTGAAGAACGTTCACAAAGCTGATAACATCACCGGCCTTGCCTTTTCGACTTTTGTCACCCCCAAGGCGAACATCCGCCAGCAGTACATCAAGCTTGCCAGCATCTCGCTCCAAAGCTCCGTTGCCGTCCACAGTATCCCTCTCAAGAAGTTTATCGACCCTACGCCACGAAGTAAGAACGCTCCTCCTAGAACGCCGCGATACATTGTGGCTATGAAGTCCCAGACGGCTCCGCAAACGCGCAGCTTATTCATGATTTTGGCGGGCATGGTTGTCATCATGGCCATCATTGGACATTACGTGATCAACTACAGCACTATTGGCCGCGCGGTTGCGTTACGGAGGGAGGCTGCTGCGCGCATGCCGCCAATCACGACACCAGTGGTCGCTGCGGTTCAACCCGACGCACCCCTCTCAGAAAACGCCATCGTCAAGGCTCTCGGTGACGACATCCTTGAAGGCGAACAAGTGGTGCTTTTTGAGAAGCTCTACACTGCCGAGGGTCAAGAGGGTGAGAGCGTACACAAGCTACAGGCCGACGTTCACGATGCGGAGGTTCATGGGGAGGGTAAGACATGGGAGGAACTCCCTGAAGTGCAACAGGCTGCGTGGAAGAGGCGTCTGAGTGACGCTGGTGCCTGGACACAATCCATGGGTGAGAGCGTCTTCAAGGGCATCCTGTTTGGCGAGCTGGGCGGCGCCGTCCATCACGCAATGGGAGCTTGAGAGGGCAAGCAAGCTTGTTCCCAGTTTGCTGACTCGTTTCGCTTCTTACTTTCTTTACTTTTCTCAGCGCTGTGACGAAGACATTTCTACGACGGGCCGGCGTTGGGACGGCGTGCTTGAAGACACCAGACAGTGACACACTTGTATTTTTCTTTTGGCTATCACGCGGCCAAGACTATGTTGACAATTTCGTGTTGCTCTCATCTATTTGTATAAAAGCTCTCCATAGACAAATAATAATTAACATTGAAAAAGCCTGTATCGTGTTGGGTGCTAGGTGCCGTGTAGACTGAACTAGAGAATTCACAAGTCCATTTTAGACAAGGATTGCATCATCGGACCAAAAAAAGTTTGCAGTTTGTCTGATCTGGTGATATGGTACAGCGCCATCGATGAGACAGCTTTACCTGATAGAAACTGGCGAGGTGTCACTTCGCCTTTGAGCCCAATGTGACGCCAGAGGCCAGATTCAGGATGGGATCGACTTGCAAAGACTTCGGATATTTGCCGAGGGTACAAAGACTGTCTAGATATCTTTCACAGTTGGCGTTTTACATTCGCCAGGCTGTAGAAGGTTCTACTGTCTGCGATCCAGCGGTCATGCCGAATGGAGCACCAAAGTTGTGAACAACAGCCACAGTGGACACAATATTGATTCAGCCCTTGTCCAAGATCTTGCTGAAATTGCAGATGAACGTTTAGATTTGGTGACAGGCACCGTTCGTCAACGTTCTAGAAATGAGCCTTGGCCTAACCGTAGGCAATGGGTCTGTGGCGTACTGCAAGGGGGAGGGGGCATTGTGTGGCAAAGGAGATTTTCTACAACAGTAACAACAGCCTCAAAACGGTGAGGCTAGAAATCTCTGGCGCATGCGTGTGTTGTACATAAGATCCTACTTCTCCTGCCGTTTTGTATTCTTTCCTTCTTTGAATTAAACAAGCATGCAGCATATACACTTGGTGATGCGCAGCGGCACTGCCTACAACAGGGTTGCATGATGCGGTCTAAGCTGGCCGCCAGCTGGCGCATGAGTCGTGAAATTTGGCCTTTGCATGGGATGCCCATCGCAGCGGGACTAACGCTGGGACTCTTATGAAACGCGACAGGGGCAATCGATTGGGGGATTGGGTCGTTGGATATTTTTCTGGCCACGCAGATGACACTCGTCTCAAAGAAGTAGAGGAAGACGTTCAGCTGCCCGTTTAATGACGATGGGGGAGAGACCCTCTTCCATGAAATTACCTGGCCCTGCATCTGCCCATCGCACCGATGTGGCACTGTACTGTACTGGGAGCAACTACGGCGAGTCCGTAGAAGGCATTGTTTCTTAAATGTCTGGTTCGTTTGTTCTCGTTTGTTTGCTGTTTTCCTTTCGTCCACGAAGAAGCCATCTACGCAGTTGTTGGCACACAAATTGCGCCCACCCACACAAGCTGAGAAGAGCGATGATGCCCTACGGCGGCGTCTGCAGCCAATAATCTAATATTTGGCTGGCCGCGGCCCCAGAAGTCATCCCACGAGCAAAGGGCAATTGACAGCCAAGGCAATGGCGCAAAGTTGTGGGCTGGCAGGCGGAGACGATGATTGCCCCCTGCTGCTTTGGCAGCCGATTCGCCCAAGCCTTGGACTAGCAAGAGATTTGCTGCTGGCCTGCATCCTGGTGCCGCCGAGGAAAAGAAAATACTGCTTGCTGCGTCAGATGCGCCGGGTGGCGGTTACGAGGAGTAGCCATCCACAGCCTTGATTGGAAACGAGGCAATCCTTCCTTTTAGTTCTGTCTGGCTTGCATCAGAACAGCAGCACCCGTAGCGTGCTAAAGGGGTGTATGGCCGGACGAACAGTTGCTCTAACCCGATGAGCAGGATCAAAAGAAGAAAAAAGAAGAAAAAAAGGCGAAGGAAGAAAATAGAGAGGCGCTACCAGAATAATCGACAGGGGTCAATGGCACGTTGGAAGGCCCCCCTCACCCCAATTCCCGTACTAGTGTTTTGGCAAATGCGTTGGCAGCAGGCCGTTTCTTTGAGCCTGCCTTATGCATTTGCGGAAAATATTGCCCAGTGTATGTGCACAGTTGAATATCGTTTTGTGCTTCTTGCGGACAGGGCTGCCTACTGTATGTGTTAGGGCCTTGTTTCGAGCCGCCAGGGGTGGTTTGTGAATGGTCTTGGGGTTGCATGCTGAAGAAGGCGCTGGACCCTGCAACGGGGGGAGGGCCTGTAACTACACGATCCTACCCGGCACAGTAGATATAGTATGGGATACATTGAATAGCGAGGTTGGGTTATGTTGTCCTCTGAGAGGTTTATTGGTTGACAGCGAATATTCACCATTTCTCTCTGCATTGTTGACCGCTACATATGGTGTTTGTGCTGGGTGTAGATTCTCTGCACCGGTCAACTAGCTGAGTGGCGATGCGCTAGGATGCCTGATCACCACTAGTCAGCCGGTAGGGACGGCCAAAGCCTTTGCCCGCGGCGTCGGTCGATGCAGCGGCCATTGCTTCCTAGCCCTTTTGGTTTATTTCAATTTTACGCCTCCAACACATTACCAAGTAATCTGTATTCAAGAATCCCTTGCAACCCCCGCCAGCCCCCAAAACAGATTCCCACGGTTACCATCGTCAGCAGGCGATTTGGGCTTTTTCCTCTCCTCTTCATCAGCAAGGCTGGCTGACGGCCCACACGCCCGCTCCAAAAACCTGGGAATCCACACCCCCGGTCCGTCACGGTACCCAACGTGGCCCATCCGGTGCCCATCAGCAGAGCATGGCCTGTGGTCACCTTCCGGTTTCTTGTTAACAAGATTGCTGCACGCGCACCATATAGACTTTGTTAGCTCGACACCGCAGCGCTACAAGGCACGGCACTGGCGAAAAGACTGCCGCCTCTCGTGCAGTAGGTGCGCGTGGCGCCCGTTTTTTTTTTGCTGCTCTTTGTTCTCACCAAGCACGCCCCTCCTACACTTGTTCCTAGTATCTGCTGATGACAGAGACCACCGCTGCTGCGTCGCCTTGTTTGAACGTTCTAACTACAGCCGCAGAATCTTCCCGAGCTTTTGGCTGCTGGTGTTTCTCGCAAGGCCACCAACTGCCACAGCCCGCCAGGAGATGAGCATTCATAGATGCATTTCGATACCGTTGCACGCCAAATGGGGACTCGATAGAGGACATGCTGCACCGCACTAGCAGCACAGCACCCACCCACGGGTCTTCCCATCAGCTAGCTGGAGGGGGCCGCCTTGTCTTTGGGGGCCGCCTTGTCTTTGGGGGCCGTGCCATCGTGACCCTGCCTGCCTCCCCCAGACCGTACGGGCAAATAAGCCTCACGGATTTGCGTGGTGGGCAAGCAGCAAAGTCAACAATAAACACTGTCTTTGCTACCAGGTAGGTAGATCTGGTCGATGGGGAGAGCACCCGCCGCGCAATGTTATTTTTTTTGGCCGTACCTGTCTTGCCCGCGATCTCTCTCGCCGTGTCTTGGGCGTGTTTCAGTTGTGTAGCCACCATCAGGAAAAATATAGGCTATCCTCAGCTCGGTACCTGCAGCGGATGGGTTCTTCTCGTTCGCATCAGTCATTCATCCCACGCTGTCTTCTTTTGCTCTCTCGCCAGTTGGCTGACAGCAGAGGCAACGTCGCCACATCATCGCATTGGACAAGATGCCATTGCGCTACATCGCATCGGAGTAGTCTCGGTCATGTCGCAATCTGCATTGGACCGTAGTTCCTGGGTGAGCTGGGTGCGAAGGGCCATGGTGGCCAGTCCGTCCTCTTTGTTGCCTCGTTCCCGCTGTAGAGTGTCCGCGTTGCTTCTCTCCGTTCTGATAGTGACCCCCAAGTGCTGGTTTTTGGGTCGCTGTACAGCATTAAACACTGCTATAGTACGGGAGGCCACGGTGGATCGGCCGCTGTTACTCGCCGAAACCTTGGCTGAACCTTAAACGCCGACAGTGAGTGCCCTCTGCCAGCGGGATCCGCCCGCTAAACCGCCTCCATGATCAGGGATGTTTTAGCGCCCGGGCTGGTGAGTTTAGCGATGCGCCAGTGCTCTGGCTCCGCTTAACACCAGCGTCCCGCTGCACTCACCATCCACCGCCCTGTAATCCCAAGCACCAGCCAGCACCACAGCACCTAACAGCCCCAGGCGCCAGCCGCCCGCCAGTCCTTCGTAGGAGGGAAGAGGCGCTGGGTCGTCCACCCACAAGCACGCACAGGCACCACCACGCACACAGCCTATCCACCCACTCCCCCCCTCTCGCCGGCGCCCCCCCCAAAAAGCCAAAAAGGGAACAAAAGGGAACCAAACACACCCACCCAAAGCAACGCACCCGCCGCTCCACCCTGCCCGTTCTGCTGTTCTCTCGCCTCGCCCTCGCCTCCCTTCCCAGTTCCCTCTCTTGTCCTTCTCTCCACTACGAACCTCATCCCACCACCATCACCTCCCGACCGCCGATATCCCTCGTCGCAAGCATCTCGCCCCTTGCCGACTCCTCCTCTTCACTCTCTTACTTTTCTTCTCACGATCCGGTTCGGGTGACTTTTGTATTATTTTTCCCTCCTTCGTTTCAGTGCTTTGTCCGAGACCGCCTTTCCATGATACGACGCCTTTCCGTCGAGATTTCCAAACTGACGACCCTGACGATCTCCCTCGCGCAAATTACCTTCCGATACCCAGCATAATCCGCTTGTGCCAGTAACATCCTTCGACGAGTTGCTATCCACTTGTTTTTAGCTCCAAGCGCACAGAGAAACGCCCGCCGACCCCCTGCTCTCGTTTCGATTTCACGACACGCCCAGGCACCAGCCTCGCTTTCGCCCTTCTCGACTTGGACCTGTCGCCTCTTGATAGGAGACAAACCATCTCTGTATGGGTCGAGCCTGAGTGCATACTGCGAAATCACCCCGTCGTATTTTCCGGCTTGCGCGGCGGAAACCCTCCATCGCCGCATCGATCTCGACGGCGCGACGTGTTTCAGCACCTTGGCCAAACTGGTCACCTTGCGGCGTTTGCCTCGCCCACGTCGTTCACACCCACGTCAGACTTGATTTATCTACTATAACGACCAAATACGACGCGACAACACCCTCAAAAGAAAACCTCTGGCCATGGCAGGCAACATGCAACACATGGGCGCTGCCGGCCAAATGATGGCTCAGCAACAGCAACAGCAGCAGATGAGGGGCAACAACAACCGACAGCTCCAGCAGCATGTCTATCAATTTCTAGCTCAAAACACGCCGCCATTTAATGGTATGGCCTGGCAAGCCAGCGTTGTCATCAGCGATCGCATGGGCAAAATTGTCGAACTGTAAGGCTCTGCCGACTTGGCGTAATCCGTAACCCAGGAACGAGACCTGCTAACCATTGTATCTAGGATTACAAATATTAGCTTGGCTATGAACAACGTTGATTTGATGCAAGCTGCAGAGGTTGGTTGCCAGTTTGAGAGGCAAATCTTCCTCAAGGCTGGCAGCAGGGTGCGTATACCCATCATATTCTCTCTATCCCATCATGAGCCGATAACTAATTTCTAAATAGGAGGAGTACAACACAACCATGCAGAATAAGATTCTCGAATTCTTCAAGAAGCGCCAAAACAACGAGCCCAACATCCAAAACTCCCTGAACTCTAATGTGCGAGCTCAGGCGCAGGCGCATGCCCAAGCCCAAGCCATGATGAATATGCAGGCTCAGATGGGCCGTGGCATGCTGCCTCAGCAAGGCTTCCAGCAAATGCAGCCTGGTATGCCCGGCGCGCAGATGCCCGCACAGCAGCAGCAGCAGTTCCTGCAACAGCAACAACAAATGATGATGATGCAGGGCCAAGCTGGACGCGGTGCCATGATGCAAAACCAGCCTGGCATGATGATGCAAACTGGACAGCCAATGGGACAGGGCATTCCGACTGACATGTCTAAACTCGGACCGGCTGATAAGTCTAAGCTTATGGAATATGCTGCCAAACTAATGTCAGAAGCCACGGAACAACAGAAGAACAACGCACGATTGCAGCTTCGCCAACGGCTACGACCGCAACAGCTAGCTGAACTCCAAGCGCAAGGAAAGGATCCTTTGCTTTGGTTTTATCAGAACCAAGCATTCCAACAATTGCGCCAAGGACGTTTACAGCAACAGCAGCAGCAACAGCAGCAACAACCTCCACAATCACAGCAGCAGCAGCAGCAGCAGCAACAAAACTCCAACCAAGCTCAAGCTGCTATGATGCAACATCAACAGAGCCAGCAATCTCTTCAGCAACGCCAGGCAATGATGGGTAATGCACAGGCTAATGGTCCCAATGCTGATTTCTCCCAGTTCACAAATATGGAGAGTATAAAAGACCAACAACTCAACGGCTATATGGCACAGCAGGCTGGCCAAATGGTTGTTCCTGCTAGCGGTGGCGGTCCCAGAAATGCGACTCCGCAGCCTGGAAACCAAAATATGAACCAAGCTGGTCAGAACCAGACACCAAGACCGCCGCCGCAGCAGCAGCAACAACAACAGCCCCAAGGACAGCAAGGCATGAACATGCAGCAGCAGATGAAGATGGGCCAAAACCAAAACCAGATGCAAATGCAAAATCAGGCACAAATGAAGCAGATGCAAGGGCAAGGCGGCCAGATGAACAATGCCATGGCTGCATCCCTCGGCCAGGGAATGAACCCTGCTGCTCGCCAGAACCCTCAAATGGCTGCTGGTCAAGGAGTTGCTGGCCAATTCGGCAACCAACAGCTGAACCAAGCTGGTGCACGACCGGCAAATGCTGCCTTCCAAGCTATGCTGGCCACTATGACTCCTGAGCAACGCCAGCATCTCAGTTCCATGCCACCGGACAAAATCGCAGAAACAATTCGCAGATGGCAACTCTCGCGACAGCATGCTGCACAGCAACAGCAACAGCAACAGCAGCAGCAACAAATGCAAGTGAATGCGACGCAGATGAACCAGACAGGCATGACCAATGGCCAACCTAACCAGTTTCAGCAAATGGGCCCCAATATGGCTGGCGGCATGCCGCAGAACATGCAGCAAGTTGGCAACATGGCCAACCCTGGTGGTCAACAACCGATGGCGGGTCGCGTGTCCCTACAAGGCGCGCAAGTTCAAGCCATGATGGATGCAATGGAGATAGCGCCTCCAATTTTGCAACAAATGGCTTCACAACTGCCTCCAGAGGTTAAGAAGTGGCGTGACTTGAAGATCTGGCTCAGTCAAAGTCAGGTGCCTCTCCATGTCAAGACCCAGCTAGGCCAGCTCCAGCAAAAGCAGTTCCAGGTCGTTATGCAGCGACGAATAGCACAACAAGGTCAGGCGCCCCAACAACCTGGACAACCAGGTCAACAACCTCAGCAACAGCTACCCCAGCAGCAGCAATCGCAGCAGCCGCAGGCACAGCAGTCTCTTGGACAGAACCAGCAGCAACAAGCCGGGCAGCAAGGTCCCCAGCCAGGCAATCTTGTTCCGCAGCAGCAATCGCAGCAGCAGCCGCAACAACAACAGCCACAACAGCAGCCGCAAGGGCAGGGTATGGGTAATACGGGACCAATGGGCGCACCACAGCTATCACCTCAGCAAATGGCTGTGATGCAGCGTATCATGGCCAGCGCACCGCCTCAAGTCTCACAAGTCACTCCGGAGGAAATGCTCACGCTGCGCCAACGACCCCATCTTGCCAATATGCCAGATGAGCAGCTACGACCGATGATGATCCAGATGAAGCGCAATGCATGGGCTCGAAGCCAGATGCAGGCGCAAGCCCAGTCGCAGCGCATGCGAAACCAAGCTGCTGGCCAAGGTGCTGCTCTTGGGCCGCAGGCGGCCTTCAACCAGATTCCTGATGGTCAGGCCAATAACAACAACGTGCAACAGCAGGTACCACAGCCACCAACTCAACCGTCACAGACGCCGGCTAAGACGCCGACGCCCACTCAGGCACCAAATCGTGCACCTCAGCAGAAGAACAACACCCCGAGCCAAGATGCTGCCAAGGCCAAACAAGCTCCAAAGAACCTCAAGCGCCCAAGTACGGACGACCTTGACGATGGCAGTAATGCAGCAGCAGGTGGTGCCAAGTCTATGCAGCAACCCTTCAAGGAGCTATCGGCAGAGCAAGTTGCCGCTTTGTCTCCCGAAGACCGTGCCCGATATGAGATGCTGCTGAAGAACCAGCTAGCAAGACACGCATCCACGGCCCAATTCGACCAAGAAGTTGTAAAGCGACTCAAGATGATTGGCAATGAGGAGCAGCGTAGCTTTTCTCAAGATTCACTGGCTCGCATCGCCATGTCGAATGAGGAGCTTGCCGAAACCGGCGCCAAGTTGCAGAAGGCAGGCTTTGAGATGAAACGATTGGGACGGGTGCTTTTGCGCTGGTATTCGATTGCTCGAGATGATGGCCGCGCTCGCATGTTTTTCAAGACGCGATTGCGACTTTTGCGCCAGTTCAAGGACGGCGATGCCATGACAATCTTGGAAGATACCTTTAGTATGCGAAGCGGCGAGATTGACCAGCTGCGTGCTATGCTGGATAGCATGGCCCGCGACTTGGCTGTGGATGCGATGAACAAGAACGCCGCCAATGGTCAGACTCAAGCCTTGCAGACTGGCCAAGCTCCCGGATTGGACCAGTCCGGGGAATCGCCAACCAAACCTGCCCAGCACAAGGGCTCCAAGTCCAACGAAGCGCCACCAGCCCCGACATCTTCGCAGCCCCCTGTGCAGATTGGCGTTCCCTCTCCACATGGCAACCCCAACTACATGAACAAGGCCAAGGAGATGCAGCTGCAGATTCCTGCGTCGCGCAAGAAGCAAAAGACGGCACAGCAAACCGGAGCCGCTACTGGTACACCTTCGCCCAAGGTTGGCAACGCCGCATCGCCCGACCTTAAGCGTGCCGAACCTCCCAAGCCTACATTCTTGTGCAAGGAAGCAGACTGCGATATGCCCACTACTGGCTTCCCCACAGAGCAGGCGTTGCAACTGCACGTTGAGGAAGAGCACACCAAGCCGCGAGAGAACCCTCTTAGGTTCCTGCAGGAGAATCTCGCCCTTGTCCTGGGCTTGGAACCTGACGGCACTTCCAAGAAGGACAAGACCGGTGCTGCTGCAATGAGCACGTCAAACTCCAAACAAGGACAGACCCCAGGTGCCTTTGTAGGCACACCAATGGGCACGGGCATGAAGCGAAGTGCCAGCACAGCCAGCAAGACGACCACGACTGGAAAGGCTGTCGCATTGCCGCCACGGGCGGCCAGCGCAGATCCCTGGGCTGGATCCGTTATTGATAGACAAGTACTGCTCTGCAACTTGGGCTATGAGAAGGGCCTGCCAAGCCTGCTGAACGACATTAACTTGTACCTATCGAACTCGCCAAACGACACACCCGAGTCCAGCAAGTCTAGCGAGCCTACGAGTGAGCTCTCTGACGGAGTCCCCGTCGAGCTCGACATGAACTGGCAAAACTTTGACACGGACATGATGCTCAACCTGGACAGCGCCGGCCTGAACTCTCTGAATGGCACTGGTGACACACTGGACCCGTCGTTTCTGTTGAACTCAACTGGTGGTGCCGGACCCGACTGGAACAGCATGAGCGTTGATTTCTCCAAGCCGTTCCAGCTAGACACGAGTCTATTTTCCATGGAGGCGCTATAAGACGAGAAGCAGGCAACTGCGCATTGAATTCTTTTTTGGAGCTTTGCTGGCCTTGATATTCTTTGTTTGTCTTCTTCATCTTTATCGTCATCATCATCTCTTCTTTTTTTCACGTCATTTTTCTTATTTGATACATTATTTGCAGGCCTGGTGGAATGGCCCCTAGGATATATATACCCTGGTTTTTCTTTTTTCTTCACGATGTTACGCATACTCTGAGTGCATCTATCTTCTGTTCTTCTGGGAGCTGCGCTGACATTTGGCCTTTTGTTTTTCATGCTATCTGGATTTGTTTTGCGGTTTTCTTATTCTTCACGGCCGTTTTTGTTTCGATTACTATTGGGAGAAGGATTCGGGGAGGGAATGGGAAGTTAAAAGGAGCAAAGCCATGGAGCGCCTACAGAATGTACATGTCTACTTGGCTTCCAGCTTTGGGTACTCTACTCTTGGCTGTTAAGCAAGAATGGCTTTCTGCGGTGGCGATGGGGAACGGATGGAAGAGGCGGTGTTTTGTACTGGTAGTAGTGGAATAGCTTTGTTTTTTATTTCGTTTTTGGGCGCGGAAGCAATCTAAAAAGAAGAGCGTATGGATACAAAAGCCAGGCGCCTTTGTGGTTTTGTTTTTCTTTACTATTTCATCTTGGGAAAGCGAATTTGATTGACTTTTTTGGTATTCCTTCTGTGCGCATGTGGTTCTACTGTTGCTGCTTCTGTATGTCTCCGTGTGTCTGTGTGACTGTTGTCTTTTTATTTATTTATATTTATATTTATTATTATTTTCAATAGAACACTGCTATTCGTCCCATAGATACACCTTTTTCGTCCGTTGTCAGCCTACGCGTGTGTTGATGTCTTGGAAAAGCAGTTGCGTGCTGTTGTTATTTTTATTTTAGCGCTGTTCTTATTACTATAGCCCACTGTTCAGGCTTCTGGAACACCCGCTGTCCGTCCCTAAACACTGGGAGCCCTTCTCCTCTCTTGACGGATACGCTAAACCGCTTCGGGCCCCGGCGCCTGCAAACACAAACGCGCTTTCCCGTGGGCGCCTGGAAAGAGGTGGGCGCTAGACCTAACTAGGAAATCTGTAAATAGGCGGTTGCTGAAGCGAGATGGGGACGACTCGTCAACGACGCGCCGGGCTGCTCATGACTGCAGTACCGCGGGCCATGACCGTGTTTTGTGCTAAATTGCTTTGTGTGCCAGCCCCGGTTCTTGACTTTCTTCTCTCTCTCATCTTTTTTTGCAATTTGCATTTCTGAACCCGTCTTTGTACGAACGGCGTTTTCTTTCTACAAGTGTGCCCATCTGCTTGCTTCCTTGTATTGCATTTCTTGTGTCTACCTACATACACCAGCGTTGCACCCCGCGATACCCTCGCACTCATTCTTCCTTCTCCCATATCTTCCTCCCTCTTCCTCCAATAATCAATCTCTCTCTCTCTACAATTTCCCGTTCGGACTACGCTTTGCTCCCCGTGGCAATTCCTAGTCCCTACATCCTTCTACGTTACTGCTCTTCCTCTTCCATGGACCGCTCCTCCGTCTCGCCACTCAAGAGACGCGCCGCTCTGGCTTCTCTCGACGCAAACGCGATGCCTCATTCCGCCAGCTCCCCGACGTCCACCAAGCACAGGACGCTCTCTGCCAGCTCCCCGACGAGCAAGAAGCGCGTCTCCCTGGGTGCCAGCCCCGCGCCCAAGAAGACGTGTCTCGCCGACTCCACGACCGCCTCGGCCCGCTCAAGAACAAACTCGCCCGACGTCAGCTCCGTCTTCGACAATGCCTCTGAAGGCAGTGGCGAGGACTCGTCTTGGGGCACGGTGGCCACCGAGCCTGCAGATGTTGGCGCAGCCATGCCCGTGACGCTGTCCGTACCGCGCGCGAGCGTACTTACACGCGAACAGGCGAGAGAGGTAAACATCTCCCCACTCGGAACGATCTATACATGTGCTAACTTTTTCCTTCTTCTTCTTCACCAGCGAGCCGAAATCCTCCGACTTCGACTTGGCCTAGCCAGTTATAAACTCCGTACCGGTCAGACCTCGGTTCCCTTGGCCAACTTGCAGGCTAAACCACTTCCGCCCCGTGGCCCTGGAAGCGTGACGTCGCCGCTTTTGAGCCAGGGTGAAGATACATCTGTTGTGGGATCTTCACAATCAGATGACCATGAACAGGCTGACGATGAGGATATCGTTGCTGCCACGCCCTCCGAACCAGCCTCATCACAAGCCAACGACTCTCTACCTGCCATTGTCAAGACAAAGGTGGCTTGTGCTGTCTAACATCTCATGTCGACAACGACAAATTCATAGCCATCGGACTTTGTTTTCCCGCATGTGTCGAATTTGGATTGGATTGATACCCAAAGAGTCCGCCATTGTTTTGTATTATACCCACTCGGCTGCGGTTGTCCTTGTGCAAACTTGTTCGTTCTGCTTGGCATTTAAACGCGATTCCCTACTATAAGATCTGGTTTTCTTTGTGCCATAGATGATACAGGGTTTCAGGTTTGGTTTTCTACGGGAAGGTTCATATTTTGTTCTCGACATTTTCTCGTTATGTTCTGGTTTTGGGGAAAGAGGCGTTAGTTAGGTTGTCTGGCTTTATGCTCGGTGGTTATACTTGCTTTGAAATTTCTGGTATTCTCTCTCTGTGTGTTTTTGGAGCTGCAATGAGATACGCATTCTCTTGCATATATGAATCTCTACTATTAATCAATATCATGGACTAACGCGTGACAAGTATAAATCTTCGTTATATTCGCCATATGCTAGCTATCAATATGTATTCTCGCTACAGTACATACACCACCGGCCTGGCCACGGACTATTGTAAGCCTCGAGGCCGATGCCATCATCTATCCAACGTGGTGCCATGGCTGTTTCGCCTACCTCCCCATACTCATCAACGTCATGTCATCATCACATTTTGGCCATGGCCAAAGGCGTCGGTCCATCTAGCTAATCAATCAAGATCTTGGGCTCAAGAACGCCAAAGAGCTTGTAGAAGGAGTCAAACAGCTTGATGGCAGACTCAACATCGGCACTACCACCGGTTTCACGGATGCTGTGCATGGACAATTGAGGGTTACCAATGTCAATGGTTCGCATGCCGAGCTTAGCAGCCAAGGCGGGACCAATGGTGCTGCCGCAGAGAGAGTCGTTGCGTACGACGAACATCTGAAGAGGAACCTTGGCGGCACGAGCACACTCCTGGATGAGAACAATGCCGGGGGAGTTGGTGGCATACTTGTTGTTGGCGTTGATCTTGATGACGACACCCTTGTTCATGGAAGGACGGTGAGCCTCTTCATGCTTTCCAGCATAGTTGGGGTGAATCGCATGGGCCATGTCGGCCGATACAAGGAAAGATCGCGAAAGTGTCTGCTCGTAGGCGGTCGAGTCGTCCGTTACGTGATCGTAGCTGGCGTCACTTCCAGGGCTACCGGGAATGACACAAACACGGCGGATGATGGCAGGAATCAAGTTGGAGCGCGCACCATGGGCAGTCTCCGAGCCGACCTCCTCATGGTCGAAGCAGACAGTCATGCGGATAGTAGAATCGTTATCGAGGGCGGAAGCGTCAGTAGTAGAGTGGATGAGACCCATGATGGAGCAGTAGGTCATTTCGAGGTTGTCGAGGCGTGGGGAAAAGATGTACTCGTCGTTGAGGCCGCCAACAGCAGACTTCTGGGTATCGTAGAGGAGAAGCTCAAAGTCGACAATAGATGCCACATCAGTACCAATGTCCTCAGCAATTACGTTGAGAAGCGCGGGGTGGTGGCGGCTGCTAATGGCACCAAGAGGCTTGAACTCGCCCTCCTCAGAGCTTTCCTCAGCAGATTTGTTGAGCTCAGCATTGGCCAAGTCAAGAATAGGGAAGAGTTCAGTCTCCTTGTTAGGGTCGAAGCTGCTCTGGCGGTGGAGGTGAATAGCCAGAGTGGGGATGCGGAGGATCGGCTTTTCGATCTTAACCAGCTTCTGGACAATGTTGCCGTTTTCTTGGACAAGGACACGGCCAGCAACACTCAGATCACGATCAAACCACGAAGTCCAAATGCCACCGCCATAAGCTTCAACACCAACCTGGTTATAGCCATAAGCGCTTCTCTTGGAAACGGGCTTGATGCGCAGGCAGGGAGAGTCGGTGTGGGCGCCAACAATGGCGACAGAGTTACCAGGACGCCATTTGTGGCCAATGGTGAAAGCTACAAGAGCAGAGGCGTTGCGGGTGAGGTAGTATTTGCCGCCGGGCTTAAGAGTAGAAGTCCAGGACTCGCGTTCGCGGATAAGTTGGAAGCCGGCCTTCTCTAAGCGGGCTCTGGCGCTATCAACGGCGTGGTATGCTAAGAGAAGCAACGAAGACTGGTGTTAGATGCTACGAGCAGTAGTGGTCGAATAGGTAATATACAACTTACGAGTAGGAGAAGCATTGACAAAGTCGACAAAGTCGAGGGCAGCTTTGGGGGGAGCCATGGCGGGGGAGGGTCTCGACAAACGAGGTTGAGGCGCAGTTCGGACTTGGATTTGGTAGACGGCAGCAGAAGAAGCAGATACCGGGAGATGCTCAATCATTCACGATCAGCAAAACCGTGAAGACGAGCGTTGCAAGGAATAAATACACCAAAACGTAGGGTGATGCTGAGTGGTGATGTGTAAAAGCTAGAGTCGTACTGGGGAAAAAATCGAGTGGACTTGTGGCCAAGTTTGACGTGGGGGTTACGGTTACAGCTGGCTACAGTTGGGTAAGGCGGTGCCACAGCGGAAAATGTAGGGAAAGAGCGGCCACCAGCTGGCGCATCTGGTGGACCGTCGACATGAATCCGGAGTGGGGCCGTGGCCGAGTGCGGCAGGTCAACCTGTCCCGAGTCAAGCAGGCCGTTGAGTGTACGCGGGTGGGTGTTGTCTCTTTAAGGCAGAGCAAGTGTCAATGAAAGAGAAGAAAAGGAGATGTATTCTATAAAAAGATGATCGCTATGCATAAATCTAAGAAAAACAAAACTAGGGAATGTATAACAGTTGAGTGGTGGGTTTCGCACTACTTCTCTAGAGTGCCAATTGTGCTCTCTCCACTATCGGCAACATCTTTTTGTTTGCACAATCCGCGTCGTTCTTGCTTGAGAACTAGACCCGGATGACCAAAGCAGAGTGCAATTGCTGCCAAAACAATTACAACGCCCTCCAGGCCAATAAAAGGACCTTCCTCTTTGACAAGTGAGCCGCTGTAGCCATCCTTGAGTTCGGCTACTCTGTAGGCGCAACGGGCCAAGATTAACAGGGACGCCGCAGTAAGACCGCCCAAGAATGTCTTGACACGGGTGGTGAAAATGAGGGCATCGTTATGGCGGACCAGGCGAATCATGTAGTCAACAAATGTAACCATAAAGGCAGTGAGGACAATGACCTGCAGTGCCAAGCCTGCCATGGAGATGTCTACTCCAGTGCCGTTGGGGTCGGTGGCTTCGGTGGTCATAGCTCCACCTGCAGCCTGCAGAATAAGACAGACGATGTCAAAAGGAATAAAGATCCAGTAGAAAAGCTGGGGTTTAAATCGAGATAGTTCGGGTCCGAAGTGCATAATGGTCTTGGAGAGAGTGACGTAGATTGAGGCTGTAAAGAAGACGGGAGCGATGGTGATGCAAACTGTTAGGCAACTTGTTAGTACACTACTATACTTGACCGTTTGTCCAGATAAACTTACCAATTTGAACCATAAATGCAACAAAAGAAAATGGGTTATTGTGAAGCAAGACGCGCCCGACGTATCCGATGATTTCGCTCAGGCAGCCCAGAAGCATGCCAGTCATAAAGCCCCAGCTTCTCCATCGCCAGCCAAAGAAAGCATGGACGATACCAATAAGGGCGAAAATAATGGGAAAGGCTATGTTTGCTGCAAGAGACGGACGATAGCCATAGACGGTAGCTTCGATTGGGCATATGTCGAGTGTGCAGTTGGCGTCGGGGCCAAAAGAGATCAGGCCGTGAGGCAAGCGATCAGCCATGGCGATGGTAGTGTGCTGTATTGATGAGAGAGAAGAAGGGATAGGAGTATTGTACCGGTAGTTGTAAAATTGAGATGCTCTGCTATAGAAGTATTTGATCAAGAAATAATGAGCGAAATATCGAAATATTTATTCTGAACTGACGGAGGAATTCGTCAGCCTTAACCAACTTTTTCCCACAGCGGGCTCCACTGCATAGACGTGTAAGTGGCTCAGCGGAGGGGGGAACGGAGCCGGCTTTGCATCCGTCCGCCTCAGTCCGAGTGCAAAACAGCGAGCCGCGTTTTGACAACAATGGTTACAGGGCTGCAAAAGATATGCCACATCCGTGTGAATCGTACGCAAGATAGGCGCTAAGCCTCACTGGACGGTTGCGAGGGCTACGGCACCCGTATACTCGTATATACCGTGATGGCCACCTCCCTACATTTGTTGCTCTTGATACGGTCTATACGTGAGAGTAGATGGGCAACCAGCAAGTAGTATAGCTGAATATGTGCTTGAGTACGTTTACTGACTGACTGCTTAATTATGCAAGAGCTCGCGGTCTCTAAACGAATGGCGCACAGTCAGGGACCAGGTGCTTTGACGAGAACAACTGCGGCAGGTATTATCTGTTACCATGGCTGATCTCTAAATTTGGCAAACGTAATGCGTCACGACGTTTTGATTTCCGACAGCGGCAGAAGAAGCCGTCAAATAGCGGCCGAAAGCGAGGCGTTAAGTGCGAGGTTGCTCAGCCACGAGGCTCGGAGACATTAGCGCCGGCTTAGCTTCCGTGCACGCAGACTGCCCGCCGACGGGTTAGTGCCTACTCCGGCCGACTTACGCGTCCAGCGGCTTGTCCGCACCCACTACGGCCGCTCTGTGTAAATAATTACGAGCGCATTGCGTACTTGCTCAAATCTAGCAGGACCCAGGGAACAAGTATTTGCCCGAGCGTGGAAAATTCTTTGAAATCCTGCCAATGGTAGCGCCGCACCATGCAACGGTCGCATTGTTCGCCACAAAATATGTACCTGGCGTGGCCCAGGGACAACGGTAAATAAGCTTTTGACTGATGGTCAGTCATGTTACGTCGACAGCGGCAGAGCGTTACAAGCATTGGTATGTTTTGATTCCTTCCGTGAGACGAAATTGGTCGACAATGTTGGCTACCGTCATTGTTTCGATCGCTCTCCAGAGTTCGCGTACCAGTTACTCAGTCTTACCCCGCATTGGGCCTACAACAGATGTTGCGCTGCCATGATAATGGTAGCATCGATGAGATACTTGACGTTACTTGGTGATGGACTCTTCGCTTTGCTGTCATCCCGGTGCGATGCGCAATATAAAGGGGCAGCGTTTCAAATCAAGCCTTGATGGAGCACGATATCGCGTGTCAACTTGAACACCCGTAGTTCCCGATATATGAGCTCAGCCATCATCTCAGCGGGGTTCGAGTTCGCAAATCGAGTTTGATCCTCAGCACTGCCTCATCGGACGCAAGACCGATGCATCTTGCTTTCATCTGATACTGCTTGGATGAGCTGAGCCTCCTTGAGCTAGTCCCCACCCACGATGCAGGACATAGGAGGCCAAAAGCAAATACCATTGTCACGCTACCCACGGTAAGTCGACCGAAAGAAAGGGGACTTTCACCCGAATTGACAAGCCGCTTCACAGTTTGCCACAGCCTGTCTGAGCGACAAGAGAAAATCCGAGAAAGTGGCTTCATTGTCTCACCATGTCTCGCCGCCCGACTCGAAGCCCCGCGACGCAACGGCGAGACATGATGAAACCATTCTACACCGCGGCTCGACAGGTGTCTTTGCAATTGCTTTTTGTGATACGTCGACACATGCCGGTATGGTGTAGGCGGAGAAAACAAGCCAGGAAAAATAGGGCCGAGGGGTTCACAGCGTAGAGGCTGAACACTGCTTCTGGTTGCAACGGTAAACAAGAAAGGTAAAAAAGAAAAAAAGAACCGACGCCTCACAGCGTTGGCCCCTCACAGAAGAGGAGCAAGTGAGCGTGCGCGGGCTGCAGCTGTGAAACGCCAGCGTGTGCTAGAAGCGGATGCGAATGACCAGATTTTATGCAAGGCATAGCAGCGACATGCATACTTTGCGCAACCAGGCGACGCTTTGTGCATACAAGCTTTGCAGGATTTATCCAACCCCACGCCCCATCCAGGCACCGACTGTTGATTGGCCCGCAGTGTATTTTAGCCACCCCACCACGCGCCCAATCATCGACGTCGCTGTTACGCTTTGGGGGGAAAATCGCAATTTCCGAACCTTACAGGGGGGTGAGCTTTGGCTTTCGTTGGCTATGAACCTCGAGCCCACCCTCTCTGTCTGTCTGTGCATTGTCCCGCTTCCAATGGATTCTGAATGATTGCAGCACCTGCTGCCTGACTTTCTTTTGTATCTGCTGTGTTTTTTCTGAACCCTTGCTTAAGAAACAAGAAACAAAAGAACAAGAAGAAGCAAAAAAGTAAGAAGAAGGATAAATAGACAAGCTACAGAGGGTCCGTCAGTAAGCCAAGCAGTGCCACCTCCACCATCGTCTAAATGATGGCAGTTGCTAGGATTAGCCCCCAGTGCCGGAATGGGTAGGTATATTTCCACCCGCTTTTTGGTAGAGCACAATAAAAAAAAAACCTGGTTTGTAAATGGGGACTAGAGCCCGTATTCCCTGGCGGGATATTGTTAGCAATTTCCAGCCCGTTTCCAGCGTGAGCACCGTCTGACAGTCTGGGAGAGTTTGCCATGCCCGCTTCCCGCCCATACTGCTCTGCTTGCTTTTTCCCTCCATTGTTTCTGTTACTCGCCTGGACCGTTCCAAAAACGCCTCAAGAAGCCCAAGTTTATTTTCATCCTTTTTGTTAAAGAGAATAAAAGCTTGTTTTACGACAATCGAATAAAGTGGTCATATAAAGTTGGTTGAAAATAGAACCGTTTGTAGAATAAAACCTAGAACTTCCAGAGGCTGTCATCTCCAAAACGCCTCGACTACAATTAAGAATTAGATACATTGGTCTGAGCGATAAAACCCATCCACATCGAAAGAATCAAAAAACAACCCAAGATTGCCGTAAATGCTTTATTAATGGAGCCTAGTTAAACCTCTGTACATGTCCAACTGCAAAGACCCCAGTGATTAATGCCTCTCGTAAAAATATTTGCACAAAGCTGTTAAGCTTCAACTAGAAAGTCGAGTGGAAATATTTAAGCGAGGATGAAAGCGGCAATACCGGCGGCAGCGGCGAAAAGGGCAGAGCCGGTGAAAGAGGCAGCGCCGGCAGTGACGGGGGGCTGGCCAATGCTGTGAGAGATTGATTAGCATCTGATACGGAAATCGTTAGGATATATAATATTTTGTACTTACGTGCCGTTGTTACCACCAGTGGGCTGAGGGCAGTTGGGGCCGGGGCAGACGGGGGCACCAGTAGTGGGAACCTGAGGAGGGCAGTTCTCACCACCGGGGCAGTTGCCACCAGCGGGCTGGGTAGGGCAAGTGATCTGGACGGTGGAGTACTCAACAGAGGTGAGAACGGTGGTGTAGCTCTTGGTGATAGCAGTGACCGAGCTGGAGGGAACGCAAGCAGCGGGGGCAGAGCTGACGGGGACAACGGGGGTGTTGGACTCCTGGCACTCAGTGGACTGAGCAGGCTTGGAGACGGCGGGAGTGGTGCCGTTGTTCCAGGTAGGAGCAGTGGTAACGGGGGTCTGGGTGGCAGTGACGGGGCAGACGGTGGTAGAGATGGCGACGACCTCGGTCTTGACGACGGTAGAGTGAGCAGGGCACTCAGTGTACTCAGGACCGCAAGAGGTGACGGTGTGGGTGTTGGTCTGGTAGATGGTAGAGGTGGTCATGGGGACGACAGCGCTGGTGATGTGCTGGGTCTTGGACTCAGCAGGGCAGTCAGTGACGGTCTCGGGGCACTTGGAGACAGTGATCATCTGGGTAGTGTAGACGATCTCGTCGACCTCCTGAGCGGAGACGGCGGCGGCAAGGAGAACGGCGGCGGCAGCGAACTTCATTTTGACGGCTGGATATTCGTGAAACGAAAAGTGATTGTTGGAAAGAGTGACTGAAGCGAAGAGCTTTGGAAAGTTTTGAAAGAATGGACGACCGAAGTCAAGTGCGAAACGCTGGCGAGCTAAGAAGTAAGGCTTTGTTGGCTGAAGAGGAAGGGAAAAAGAACCAGATGGATTGGGGGAGGAGGAAGCTGTATTAATAGCCGGGTGACCCAGTTGTGGGATTATCTTCATCGGGGCGGGAGTGTAGTAAACCAACCGCGTTCCCGCAATAGGGGAAAACGACGAATAGGAGAAACAAGCACATAGCAGCGCCGCTTCGGGCAGCCCACGCCCGCACACCCCACCCCCTGGGAAATTACACTGCGCGCGCAACCTGGTCTAGCGCGACGCTAACCCAGGGGTTTTAGTGGGCTTTGGCTGTACTGTGGGGACAGCCCGTCTCTTGCTCAGAAATGGGCTCCGTTTTGGCATAACTCTCTCTCTCTTCTGGAGCTGTGTAGTGCTGTGCTGTGCAAGCTCGCCGTCGGAGCAGCCCCCAGCTGTACAGTACAGGACTGGACCTGCTGGAAGAGAGCTTTGTTTTTCATATCTGGTCCCATTGACGCGTTACATTGTGAGACAAGAGACAGCTCGTGTGAGCTGCTACAGATCACCGAGAATTACGGTATTCGTCAGATGCCCATTATTGACTGTCGAAACCAGAAGCCAGCAGACAGAATAGAGCTTCTGCTGTACTGCAGGCTCTCAACCGCGGGCTGCATTGATAGTCGCTAGACGCAGGGATCCTAAATGGACCTGTCATGCACTCCTAACTTGTATACATGGGCTCCCCCTATCTTTTCAAGGCTCTTGCAGTGGTTTACAGGCCTCCGGCTCCTATCTTAGCTCCCCTAATTGCCCGAAATAGCGGCTTGCTGCCGGCTGGTAGCAGCTCAGTACGAAGCCTCCTTTTCCTTGTGCCCCAACCTGCCCCATCCTTATTCCGTATACTCCATCTCACCTGCGTACCTTGCAAGTATCTCGGGAGTTCAGTCCAAGTCTAGCTTGAGATCCTGGGACCACCAGTTCCACCCTCTCTCGCCGTGGGCCACCCATCTCCATCGCGTTTAATGCCAGCGACCGTCGATCTCTCTCGGCTGCAGCTTTAACACGCGACACACGTCAGGAACGCGCCAACCTTGGGCCGCCCACCACCCATCTCTCTGCTCCCGCTGCTGGTACTCCAATTTACGTGTTTAATTGACAATTTACAGAGCTTGTTGCTTAAACCCGCTCTTTAACAAGCTTTTCTCTGTTGTGCTATTCTTATCCAACAGTTTATTTGTCCGTTGGCCCTCGTCTGTGGCCCCCCGGACCATCGCTCCGGCACCATTCCGTTTTTCCGGAATGGCCCTGTTGGCGACAGCCAATTTGCAGTGCACAGAGACTACAACGTAGCATGGCTTATTGTGCCGTAGCACCACTAGTACATTTATCAAGCCCTGGCGGGTTCTTTTTTTCGCCTTCTCCTGTTGCGCCTTAACCTTGCGCATTGCTTAGGCCTTGCCCGTTGTATGCTCTAGAACTCCCCCCCAGCGACTGCATATGCAACGAGCTGAGATGGACAATTGTTGGCTCTATCGTCCCAAGCGCACTCTCTCCTTAACTGATTCGTTCCTGAACGGAGAACCTCCATATCCGTGCTTAATCCAGCGAGCCAATGAGCTCTGCCTGCTGATGCGAGACCCCCCTTTTCCATGCGGTGGTTCGGCCGTGACCCCCATCCCATCGCGCCCCATTCCAGTTGGCCTTCAGGAGACGCGGCTCTGCTTTGGTTCACGCCAAACCCGTCTGGAGCAAAATCTGTGTGATCTTTATGCTCAGCATTCGTTCAAACCCACAGTTCCGTTCCGCCTTCCGTTATTTATGCTGAAGCCATGGATATTCATGCCAAAGCCTGGATCATGATAATTGGAGCTGAGCTATGCCCAATTCAAGCTTGCGCCGCTATGCTGCGTTGGGTCACCATATGAGAGATAGATCTCGGTATGCATTGACCTAGCTTTGCCTGTATCCATGATGCTATATTACTGTTAGCATACCACGGTTCCCGGTCAAAGCAAAGGTCTAGCATATTCATCACGGTAATAGTCTGCCCATTTCTTGGTTGATACTGATTATGGATGCATGGAGAGAATATGGTAAACACCTCTCAAGTGAGATGTGCCTGAACCAATCAGCTAGTATATGGCTTGATCGTACGATCAGTAAAACTTTGGTATAGCTTGCTGTAAAAGTCTGTTGATTGCAACACGCGTCTATCGTAAATGTCTCAAACAGTAAAGTGGTGATTAAGTTAGTGGCTGTGCCAATAGGGCTCGTGTCTTGGTCTTTCGAAGACACATGATGGGCTGTCCTATGAGGTATGGCCCTCGTGGGTTTCAAGAATGATGTTCCCATAATCTTGGAATTTTCTAACAGTATTGAGCCTTTGGATCCCAAAATGGTAGTCGAGCTGATTTGGCGTCCAAGAGACTGCCAAGCTTTGTCTGAGCGGGTTTGGCGTTGTGCATCTCGGTGGGTGCAAATGTAAGCATAATTCTAGCAATGCACACCGGTAGGGAAAGCAACCACCGCCCGGCTTACCGTCAACGTCCTCGCCGCTGAAGTCGCCACCAGAAGACACCGTTGGCGGGAAGCAGGTTGCAGTCCCCTGTTTGTCCTCCTCATGTACCCAGCGGCGTTACCTGTTGTACTCTCTTTTTTTTCGGTCACTTCAACGCGGCGCCGCTATTGGCTTAGCCCATGGTGTCCGGGCGTGAGCGCTACGCGCGCCACTTATGCAGGAACAGATCTTTGCCCACAAACTCGAAACACTGGCACCGGAGCTGCCCCAGTCTAGCTACGTTGGGACGAGTTCGGGGTAACGAGCACTTCGACCAGTTGCCTCCAGCGTGTATCCGCCGACTTTTGACGACTTCTCACGAGCAGACGAAGGAAAGCAATAGAGGAGGCCAGCAGAGCATTGATAATCCGAAATCTAGCAGACGGCCTCACTGCAGCTTCACTACCCGCACCATTCGTTCGGCCGCCAACAGTACAAAATCAACCGCCAGCCACACACAACGGATGACTCGGTCCCCTGTTCTTCACAATATTTCAGGCTCCCCATACAATACGACGTCACGCGCCGCGTCCTCACCACCTATTTGGTGGTTCATTTGGCGGGCCTGGTCACTGCTTTTTTCCCACTACAGTCCCTACCTTGCTCACGCTAATTCGCCGCCCTCCATTACGGCGCTTTCACTTCCCGTCAAATCATCCAAGTGGTCCAGAACGGCGCCCAATTTCTTTCCCCATCAGCCTGTACACGGACAACCTTGCTCTTGTTGGAACAGGCCTGGTTCTGGGGCAATACGAGAACAGTGCCCAAGATGGGCAGCTCCTCGACTGAGATTAGCCGTTCTACTTCATAGGATCAATTTCCGCTTCGCTACAGCATAGAGATTTATGCTCACTCCCAGCGCCTGGGGTTGCAAATTGCTATTCAAATAGCTTGCCAGTAGCCGCCGTGTGGTGGGAAAGGCACCTAGGCGCCCGTTGAAGGTGCCCTGCATCACGCAGAGCCCATTATTTTACGGTGGCTACTTGCACACTCCATGCAGCCTGTGACTTCTGGACTTTGCCCCTTGCGCTATGCATCGCTATGTAACTATTGCTGCCCTTTTCTGGAATCAGTAGACTGGGGCTTCTCCTGTTGATGCAGGCGTCTTTTTATATTAGAAATCAGTATTATCAGACGGCATACGTTCACCTTATCAGAAGCCACCATTTCGCCAACCCACCAGCCCTACAAACTACTAGCGACTATTACCAACACGCGCCGACTACACTGAACGAATAACGCCTTATGCATTGCGTCTATTGCCATCTAGAATTAGGCATACCACCCCGCACAGACATACATCGAGCTTCCACCGATGTATTCAACGGTCCACTGTTCTTAGCTATCCAATTCCTGACTCCCCACTACCGAATTGCGAGTCGTTGGAACATGGGCTGTTCTTACTACCCATGCAATAGTAGAGCTCTGCGTCCCCCCGATCTAGGGGTCTGAAACAACCGAGATTTCGTTGACTAGGATAGGCTCTGCACTGCTCATTGCCCCAAGAATGGTTGGTCGGTCCGTCGTATTGTCCGCGTCGCGAACAAACAGCTGATATTGAGTTCACCGCCGTTTGTAATATCATTGTGACAATGATAGATTACTTCACTTCGGCATGCTTTACCAGAGCAGCACTCATTAAAGAACTCATTAAAGAACAAAGGTACAGTCTGGGCAAACTGTCGTGTACCTTGTAAATATATTGGCTCCAAGCGGCTATTTTCCGTAATACGTCTGGCAGTACTTCACGATGTTTAGCCTAGACCTGCCAGATATCTGTCTATCTACACCTTTTCGTCTCTCATTACAGTGATAATGTATGAGCTAGATGAATGATTTCGATTTCTTGCTCGTATTATTAGTAAATATGATTCTTGGGGCAGATTCTATTTACAGTGCTTTTAGTCGATATCACGAGCATGACCCATTGCTGCAGGCTACCGTCGGTGATCGTAGAACCGACATGCCGCTGTAGCACAAAGTTCAAGGATTAAGGTAGCTCATATTTCAATGGCATAAAAGGCAAGAGTCGGCCTAATATACCACTGCCAGTAACCAATACCATGGTTTTGCTGTGAGATGTATCATCGTCACTTACAACCAGCGTCTCAACTGAACTCTGTGCGATTATTGAATTCGCACTGTACGTATTGCACTGTACACTTCACCGAACATCTTCCGCCTCCAGGCAGCTTTTGATTAGGTTTCCGCCAGCGCAGAACCACCCTCCCCACATAGGCACGAGACTGGGACCGACTTTTTGGAACAAGCACCTAAAGAACGCACAACTTGGCCCAGTCAGAGTCGACTCAGCAAGAAAAGCAGTCTTGCAATAGGCCGACAGCATCCTCGGAGTGCCTTTTTATAACTGCATATTTTCCACAACCATTATTTCCATTTACTTTTTGTCTCCCGCTGCCGCCGTTCATCAACATCCCACGGGCACTGCCCCTCCAAAAGCTCCTCACTCGTGCCCGACCCAAACCCATGCACTTCTGACGCCAGCGCCGGGTTTGTGCATTTTCCTCCTCAACCGCCTTACCAGCTGTGCCCGACTATGCTGGATGCGACAAACGTGACGCTGCAAAAAACATAGCAGCCCTTAGAAGCGTATCTTCTTTAATTACCCTCCCCAAGCATGGAGGCTCAGGTGCGTTGTTAGACCTTCCCCTCAAGACCCTCGATTTTGATGCATACCCCGCCATCACAAAAGTTTTGAGCCCCCCTCCTCTTCCCCAGGTTTTAGGACGCAATGCAACCCCCGATAACTCGGAGACCTCGTCTTGTATTCTTGGGAAACTTTATGTTCGATTTGCTACACGTTGCTAACCTACCTGTCTGTACCAGATTGAAAATGCCATCGAGATCCTCTCGTCGACTGGTCCAGTAGACCAGTCGACACGGCAACAGGCATTCGACTTCATAAATCAAGTACGATCCGACCCTTCAAGCTGGCAGGCTTGCATCAACATCTTTGTTCGTAACCCTCAGTCGTCCGAGGTGTGTCGTCTGGTTGCTCTTGAACACGTCAACATTGCAATCCACCACCAAACTCTCAACAACGAAAGCCTCAACTACCTCAAATACACGCTGATGCAGTATGTTCAAGAGGCATACGGTCCAGAACCGTCACGTCCAGCCGATGCCCTCCACCTACAGAACAAGTTGACGCAGTGTTTGACATACCTGTTCGCCTTCCTGTACCAGGACGGCTGGCAGTCCTTCATCGACGACTTTCTCGCCCTCACTGGCCTGGCAAGCAACGTTGCCAATGTCAATGGAACACTGTTCTATCTCCGTGTTCTATCTTCTATCCACGATGAAATCGCAGACATGTTACTCTCTCGCGAATCTGCGGAGGCGAAACGCAACACCGATCTCAAAGACCGACTCCGAGGGCAAGATGTGCACAAGGTTGCGGAATCTTGGAAGCAGCTGCTCTCAAAATATAATGATAATGACGCTGTTGTTGAACTGGTACTCAGAGTATTAGGCAAATGGGTTAGCTGGATGGACATTTCTTTGATTATCAACCAGGATATGCTCAACTTGCTCCTGCCCATCATTGGCCGAAGTGGTGGGAATGGTGAAGCCAAGGTCCGCTACACGGCAATTGATACTCTGACTGAGATCAGCGGCAAGAAGATGCGATCTGCTGATAAAATGGAGCTTATTTCTTTTATTAACCTCCAGGACATCATTAGCCAACTCATTGCTACACCCATGTTGGAAGAGTTCAAAAACACACCAAAATACGACACAGATTTAGCGGAGGCGGTAGCAAAGTTGGTCAACACAGTTGTTTCCGACATTGTTAGGGCTCTGGACGACAGTAGCATTAATGACGACACTCGCTCACGAGCAAACCAGCATTTGCACGGATTTCTGCCATTCCTTCTTCGCTTCTTCTCCGACGAGTTCGACGAGGTCTGCTCGACAGTTATCCCAGCCTTGACAGACCTTTTAACCTTTTTGCGTAAGCTTGGTCAAGGTCAGCTATCGCAGGAATATGCGGGTATGCTCCCACCAATTCTGAATGCCATTATTCAGAAAATGAGATATGATGAAACATCGACTTGGGGTAATGAAGACGCACAAACCGATGAGGCTGAGTTTCAGGAACTTCGAAAGAAACTACAAAATCTTCAGAAAACGATCGCCGCGATTGATCAAACCCTTTACATGGATACGCTCAGCAACCTTGTCGCTACGACTTTCCAAAACTTGGACCAGGGTGGTGCCTCAATGGACTGGCGTGATCTAGATCTAGCATTGCACGAGCTCTACTTGTTCGGTGAACTCGCTTTGCCCAACCAAGGCCCTGGTACAAAGAATCAGCCATCTAATGAAGCCTCTGAACGTCTCGTGGTTATGATGAAAAAGATGGTAGAATCTGGTAAGTAAAATAATCTAAACGATTGATTACTCGCTACTATAGCAACTAACATTAGATCTAGGTATTGCCAATCTCACTCACCCCGCCATCCTACTCCATTACATGGAAATCTGCGTCCGATACTATGTTGTCTTTGAAACCAACGCCGACCTCATTCCTCAAGTCTTGGAGACCTTCGTTCGCTTGGTTCACCATGACCACGTCCGCATCAAGACCCGGTCTTGGTATTTGTTCCATCGATTCATCAAGCAGCTTCGCGCCCGAGTCGGTAATGTTGCCGAAACTGTCATCCAGTCTATCGGAGACTTGCTCCCTATCAAGGCCGAGGTTCCCAGCGAAGATGCAGACGACGACATGTCTTCTGATGAATCCGACCACTCAGCAAACGCCCTCTTTACGAGCCAGCTGTACCTGTTTGAGGCCATTGGCTGCATTTCTGCCACGCAGAGCACTCCCGTGGAGAAGCAAGCCCTGTATGCACGATCAGTCATGGAGCCTCTTTTTCAGGATATGGAGGCCCATCTCCCCAGAGCCGAATCTGGCGATGCACAGGCTATTCTTCAGATTCACCACATTGTCATGGCACTAGGCACGCTCGCTCACGGCTTTTCTGACTGGACTCCCGGATCCCTGTCTAGCACCCAGCAAAACCCTCCAGACAAGCTTGTTGCAGCCGAATTTTCTCGCGCCGCGGAGGCCATTCTCATTGCGTTGAACAAACTAAACTCCTCTGCCGAAATTAGAACTGCTTGCAGATCAGCCTTTTCTAAACTCGTTGGTGTTCTCGGAGCTGCAGTTCTGCCACAGCTGCCGCAGTGGATTGAGGGTTTCCTCTCACCCCGATCTACGAAGGATGAGATGGCAATGTTCCTGCGCTTGCTGGACCAGGTTGTTTTTGGTTTCAAGACGGAGATTTACGACGTCCTGAACATGCTCCTAACCCCACTTCTGCAGCGAATCTTTTCCGGTCTCTCTGAGCCAGTAACGGGAACTGACGATGAAATCCAGCTCGCAGAACTCCGCCGAGAATATCTCTCCTTTATTCAGATTATTTTGAATAACGGTCTGGAGGGTGTCCTCATTAGCGAACAAAACCAAGGATTCTTCGACCCCATGATTTCGTCCATTATCGAGCTTGGCAAGACCATTGAAGCCAACATTGGTCCCAGCCGCCTCGCCTTTAGTATCATGCTTCGTATCTCCACGATTTGGGGAGGACCTGATATAGCTACCATTTCGGCCAACCCTTCTGCGCCGTCTGGCTCGCCAACACCGTCTATCCCTGGATTTGATCAGTTTGTAATTGATCGTTTCCACAGTGCCTGCTGGGAGGCGATGCGAAACCCGAACTTCAAGCCTTGGCAGGATGCTCAGTCGAAGCAGGTTCTCACGGAGATTGCGGCACTGGAACAGTTGATTTATACCAAAACCGGCAACTTGTTCGTTCAGACACTTCAGAACCAGCTCTTTCCCAGTCTTGGAATTGACGGCAACGAATTCCTTCAACTCATGACGACGTCGGTGGACAAGAAATCTTTTGTGGCATATTTGCAAAATCTATTGAAAAGCCGACAGTAAACAAAATAGCGATGGAAGGGAGGATATATAGGGAGCCGGCTAGTCGGGATTAAAGGATATGCTGTATTTTTGGATGCACACAGCTATCAGACATGAACATGTTTTCTCTTTTTTTCTTTATAATATCCATACATAGGAGTTTGGGACGAACTCAAATATCATAGACTTACACCACCAAAAATCAAACAAGAACATCAGACAGCCTTTTCCGTCCCGTGCTTTATTGATATCATAGATGAAACAAGTGTAGTAATTAGAAGGCACAGCTCGTCAGTGGCTAGTCTCTATTCGGATTGTGTTAACAAGTGCTATTTACAAAACAATGCACACGCTTTTCTCCTTTGCCAACATTTAAACTAGCCGTTCGTCCACATATTAATGACGGCTCACCACAGATTACAAAATAGCGTCAAGTGATCAAACAATGTAGCCTCCTCCTCCTACGCTTCGCCATTCACGCACTCCAGTTGCCTCTTCCAGCTCCACGCACCACCACAGCACCTCCTTAGCCTTGTCAGGCTGGCCACTCTCCTCATGGGCACGCGCAAGAGCAAACCATGCTTCGGCAGAATCCCAAGCGCTTCCAAGACGAGTGAGTCCTGAGAGTAGGGTGAACGCGCGATCGCGTGCTGCAAGGCGATCAACGAGAGGAAGCGAAGAAGCCTTATAAGCTTCAGGCAAATCATCGTCGCCTTGGCTAGCAACAGCAGCACCCTCAGTTGAAGCCTTCAGAGCTCGCTTAGTCTCCGCAGCTGAGGGACCCCAACCAAGAGGTTGTGCTTGCAGGGGTGAACCCTCAGCATCAATGCCAGATGCTGGTGATGCGGTCAAGGTCGCAGGAGGCAAGAGTGTCTCATTATAAACATCGAGCAAAATGTTGGAAAGACCCACTGTCGCTAGTGTATGGTTAGGGTATTGAGTGAGGGCAGACTCAAAGTCGGCACGGGCTTCGTAAGGTTGGTTTCTAGCGAGTGACAAGTAACCGAGCTGCAGGAGTATGTTAAATAAAGCTGTTTCAAGAGACGTTGGGGACTTACTTCAGAATACACGTCTCCCCACAATTCATCAACCGTCTTGGTTTCTCCCCACGCCACGCCATTTAGTGGACTAGGGGCGCTAGAGTCTTTAGAGGCGTCTGTTTCGAGGCCCTGAACAAGCTTCTGGGCTTCAGAGACAGCTGCCTTGCACTCGTCCAACATCTCAGCACGGCGGTAGAAGCCGGCAATCATGGTCCAGACCTTGATCAAGATAGTGACGTGCCTCATCTTTTCTGTGTCTTTGGGGAACTGCACCAGTGGCACCAGATGCGGCGTGGCATATGCGCTCTCTACTACAAGTTCGGACTGTTGTGTCGACTTGGAATTGGATGATAGAATAGACTTGAGGGACGACACGGTCTTCTCTCGGGCAAATCCAGCTCCGCGACCAGCTGGGCCCTTTGTAGGGCTAAGCTCGCCTTGGCTGCCGTCTGGCGTGGGTGTGAAGAATGAATCTCCGTCAGTGGCAGCTTTTTGAGAAGCACTGCCGGCACTACCAGCTCTATCTCTGCTGGCGCTTCTATTTCTCTTCTTCAAACTGTTCCTACGCCCAGATTCGCTTCGGGTCGAGCTATCTTGGCGTGTCATTGGTCGGCGAGCGTCTTCGGTTACTTGAATTACAGGGCTGCTAGTAGCTGTTGTTGCTGGTCTCGACGGCAATGTCGACTTCTGTTCGCTAACGGTCGCGACACTGGATTGTCTGGTGGGAGGCTGGGAACGGTCAGATTTTCCACCAAAAATGCTTCCACGGAAGCCTCGAGCAGTGGCTGCAGTCTTTGGGGGTTCTAGTGAAGACCCAGCCTTCGAAGCTGATGGCATCGCAACAACTCCAAACAAGCGTGTAAAGAGGGCTAAGAGTTCGTAGCTGGCATTTACTGCCGCATTGGGGCCTTCTTGTAGCTCTATCAAGGTGAGTTGCGTCATTTTTACTTCGAGGATGCTCTCCTTTTCCGAATCATCCAGTTCATCAACCAAGCCTGTTTCGTGAGCCTCCTTTACGGCTGATTCACCAGATGCGTCACTTCTGAAGCTTTCTTCTTGCTTGCCAAATAGAACTGTCGGGTCTCTGAACTGTTCCAATGCGCCATCGCAAGCTCTAACTGCCATGGCATAGTCTTGTCGAGCGCTCAAAAGCAGCGCCAGGAGGTGCCACACAGGAATGAGAGATCTCTCTTGCCAATATGGCCCATATACATGGCGTCTCTCACCCTGCTGATCCTTTGGCACCATTAATGCAGAACGGACCAGGTCGATAGCGGGAGAGAGTTCTTTGCGTTCAGCCAAGAGCAGAGCTACGGCAAAGATGCTTCTCACGTCCTTGGGGCGTCCAAATTCAGAGGCTAGGGATCGGCGTAGAGATCGAACAGCTTTGGCCTGAATCTCAGTTCTAGACGAGGCATCTGGTGTCACTCTAGACCAATACGCGTGCGACAAGCCAATAGCTTGCCATGCCAAGGATAGTGTCTGGGGTGCGACGCTCTTCGAAGTCTGGTTGACGGCATCAGAATCGGGCGCTGAAGTTCCATTCTCGATTGTTTTGCTTTGCGGCAGTTTGGATAGCCAATCTTCCAGCTCAGCGCCTAGGTGACGAGCTTTTTCAACAGCTGGTTGGCGGCCATATAGACATAGAGCCATGATGGCGTTGGATAGCGTTTCCAAGATAACGCCATTTTCATCTAAACTTGGCTCCAGTATACCCGTCTTCTCAACACGAGCTTTGACCTTCTTGACAATATCCAAGTAGGAATCGAAGGCCTTGAAGGCAAGGTCAAACTCAGCAAGGGAGACGTGGACATTGAACAGAGATCGCAGGATAGCAGTAGAGTGATATGTTTTTGTTGCAGCATTGTATAATGTGCTCAAAACACCCCTGCTAAGCGCAGCGCGACCACCTATACCAATATCTTTCTCAGACCAGCCCCGGCCGCAGAGGATTTCCCAATTCTTCATAACCTGCGTTACAAATGCTTCGACTTCTTCTCGGTGTTCATCGGCTCGGGGGAACTCGGTTTCGTCAAGTAGAAGCCTTTCGTATGCAGACTCTACCCGCTTCAGCTCAGTGGCAAGCTGGGTTCTGGCAGGGGTATCGCTGGAAGCCTTTCCCAGGTTTCCTGGGGCAAACTGAAGATCATTTTGTACAACTTGTGACAGTGAGGAGTAGTATTCCCTCCAGATTGCGCGGCGAGGCACAGAGTTGGATGAGCCTTTAAATCCAACACCACCTGCTACCGACTGGCCCATTGCTTCCCAGTACCTAGCCCAGCAGCGATAGCAGGCAATCGATTCTCGGTCTCCAGGTGGCAGCTCATTTTGACGGGAGCCTTCGCTAGATAGCGTGCAATACTCTGTCAGGAATAACTCAGACCAATATCGTAGTTGCTTGTGGATGGGTTGACCACTCCAAAGTCTGTCCAACGAAGGTATAGCGGCGTTGTAGCTGGCAAGAGCTTCAACCCGTTTACCTTCCCTAGCAAGGCAGTTTGCCCTGAGATATGCGGCTTTAAGTACACAAACGCTGGTCCATTCAGACACAGAGTTAATCTCTCCTGTGGCAGCATTCTTCTCGCCAAGCCCCTTGGGAAGGCGACTGACGGCTTGTTTGTATTCAGCAACAACCCAATGTAACCAGCCGACACAGGTTTGCGCCTGGTATACGTCTTCTTTGTTTGTACGGTCGTCGTCAATTGAAGACAGCAGCTTGGGGACGACGTTTATGACATCGAGGTCCTTTGCTGTGGCGGAGATGGACTGGCGACCTGATGAGGTCAGGTTGGAAATTGCGCATTCGGTTTCGGCGGTCAGGGCAAGGCCTATCAAGTACTGTTAGCAAGCAGACGCCAAACCTGATATATAAGAGGTATATCATACATTCTCGCTGGGGGGCGTGCTTCCGGACTTTTCTAACAAGCTCGGGTACGGCAGCCCAGTTGCCGTCGCACCGAGCAGCATCGAGCTGCTCAATGTAATGCGCGGCCTTTGTCTGGAAAGAATTGGTTAGAGTTGCGCTCTGTATTGCCTGTTGCATGTGACATACTGTCATGGTGGTGCTAGTGAGCTGTGTGATGTTGCTGGTGCTCTACGTGGTATGTTGTCTTGTTTGGTTCAGGAGCTTGTAGACAGCAACCGCATGGCGAAGCGCAAGATGATGCAGAGTTTATCAAGGCAAGCCGTTCTTTGATACTAGCAGCAGCAAACCACTTTATATATCAGGCCGAGGGAGGCGATGGAAAATGAGGGGGTAGCGGGAATGGTTGGGGGACGAGGCGCTCCAGTAGCGTGTTGTTTGCTGCTGAAGTCGGACGGCAACGGCAGGGCAGCCGAGGCCGTAGCCCATTTCCCCCTCTTTCTTCAGGCGGGCTTTCAGGTGCTAATCAACTGTAACTACAGTGGCTTGCGCAGCGGCGCAGCGGTGGCCAGCCGTCCAATCAGCGGAGCCACGTTGGAGCCACAGCCTTTTGTTCCCCACACATTGAAGCCTGCTTAGGAAAGGGGCCTGTGACGTTGTGTTTTCTCGGCCTAGCAGGCAGCCACCCGTTTTGGCAGGCTTTTTGTTAGCAGTCCCAATGCTTTCTCCAACAAGGTCCAGGGCGGTGGCAGAAAAAAAAAGTTGCTGCACCACCACTGCAGTTAACCTACACTTACCTATCCCTCATTGAATATTTTCTCCGGAAAGGGCTTTTTAAATTCCTGGATAAATTCCATAGGGTACTATTTACTGTCAGCTATCCACTACAGTAAAATACTGACTTCTATTGAATTCATCTGAACCCTGCCCACTGCAATTGGCTGGCGCTCGAATCACTACTTGCGCACATCCAATTGACATCACCATGGTATCAGTATCAGCACCACCAGACTTAAAGGTCCTCTGCAGGAAATTGACATCTTTGTCACCGCCCCAGTTGCTTCGTCAACTCCCTACGCTCAGCAACCATGCATTGCGCTGCAAGGAGGTGCTTTCTGCACCAATTGAACAGAAGCCTAAGGCCGATGCTTCGCAGACAGCCGCATTGGTTCATAAACTCAAGACGACAATTACCACCTTGCTAAATGGCAGAACTCGGGAAGGTCGACTCGTGGCCACTTGCTTGATTAAATCAATTGTTGACGTGGGCGGTTGGGAGACCCTTCGAGGAACCGAGCCCTGGGTCCGTTGCCTCATTTCTATTGTCCAGGTTCGTCCCTATTAAAATACAGAAATCTTCGAATACTAACTTTGGAATCAAACAGAAAGGAGACTCCCCCGCATCCAAGGAACTTGCCATTGTCGCCATTACTCGAATCTACGTGCTCATCAACCCTTTCCAAACCCTGGTCCGCGAAATCGCTACCCCTTCCCTCCCCGGCTTTATCACTGCATGCGTACAGCTCATTAAACAAAAGAGCCCCGAGCAGCCCCTTACTACACCAGTTGAAGTTATCGAGACCATCTGCGAGGCATTTTCTACTCTTATTCCGCTATATCCAACAACTTTCCGACCCTTCAGCTCCCAGATCCGAAACTCTCTGCGCCCCTGCGTTGCCCCGACATCTTACGACGATCGATACGTAACAAAAGCTCTCTCTAGCGCTAGCCGAAAGGTTGTTGTGTCTCTTCACTATGTTGCTGCCAAGTCTACCGGAAATGACGAATGGGTTAAACTTCAAGACGACCTGTTGAAGGAGCTGCATCAGACCGCTGACCAGGTGTTGCGGGCCGTGGATGAATCCTGGCAACCAACTGCTGGTTATGACCGCTCTAAAGCAGCCCTAGATGGAGAACCACGAAGAATTGAGGCTGGACTGGAGTATCTGCCTTCGTGGGAAGGGATAAACGCTGGTGCTGAACGTTTGCAGGGCCTCTTCGACTACTTGGGCGACAGTCTCTCGTATGCAACAAAGGCCACAGTATCGGTGCCAGTTGGTGCAATGATGGATGCTATCTGTCGAATCTGTGTCATTACTCGTCTTACACCCAAGACGCAAACATGGGAGCAAGCTGTTGAGACGAACCCTGGCGTCAGCCGTGACGAGAAGGAAGATTTATGGAGTCTCATGGTTAGTCTTCATATTGCAGCCTTGAGACTTATCCTTCGTCTTGTCCAGGTATTAAACAAGGATATGACTCCTTTTATTCCTGATGCGCTAGACCATCTTACACGAACATTCAGATCTGGTATCAGCACCCCCGAACTTCGCTCTATCGGCTATGAAGTACTGAACAGCATTCTCTCGGTTGCAGGCTGTACCATGTCTAAGCATACCATTGAAATGCTTGATACAATCATGGCTGCTTGCTGTAGGGACCTACAGGAGGATATTGGTCTACTGAAACAACCCGAAAAGGCGGCATCGTCCGCCAAGGATAAGAAGACTGGCCTTCTTGCCAATGCTGACCTCTTCCTTCAAACGAAGACTGATATTCAAGAAGTCGCTCCTAGTTTGGAGACAAATCACCGTAACGCTGCTGCATCACTTCTTACTTCACTGCTCTCTCAAATACCCCAGGCAAACCTCAAGCCGACACTACGTGGACTCCTCGATAAAACGGCCATTCTAACCCACAACAAGGATGCCATGTACGCTAGCATTTTGAACCCATACAAAGACCAACGAGGCAGACTGTATGCCAGTATTCTCCCTTACCTATCTCGACAGTATCCTGAGGATCCCAATCTTGAGATCTTGCGAAGCAACCTCCGCACCAGCGGCGCTGGTGCCAACGACATGTCGGCAGCCCTCAATCTTCTTGATGAAGCTAATGACGTCGATGATAAAGATGATGTAATGGAAGAAGAAGGAGATGCTGAGCAAGAGGAGAAGACGAATGGCGCTTCAGATGTACAAGCCGTAGATCTGTCTGCCCCTAGACCGAACTTCGAAACTGCGGCAGGAGACAACCCATTTGCAGCCACGGCAGCTGAGAGTGTAAAACCCAATGCCTTTGGTGCTGTTGTTAGCGATACCGCCGCCAAACGCAAGAGTGAGGAGGTGGCAGGTCATCCCGTAGCCAAGAGACAGGATCGTGAAACAAAGCCCGTGTCGACAGACTCTGCAGCAGAAGCTTCCAACGCTGCCGAAGAAAGCGACAGCGACGACGAAAGTGTACACTTGAATATGGATTTGGATGATGATGATGAGTAACATATATTTTGATAGAATCAAGTTTAAAAAATGGAAATAGACAATCAGTTACGTAACTGTTGATATTTTGGCCGAATCCAAAGGCCATGCCCATGTGCAAATCCAAGTCCCCATAAACGCCAGTATAGTCCCGGTAGCTCAGTCGCGGAGCCATGCTCTTCGCTTCTCTTCCTTTTTCGCCCGCCTCTTATCCTTAAACGCCTTCAATTCAGCCTTGGAGAGTCGCTTGTTGGTTCTCTCCGCCTTTAGACTTCTGCCGTCATGGCTATTTGCAGCCGCCTCAGAGTCAAAAAAGGCATTCATCTGACGCTTGGATTTTGCTTCGTCTGAATGTCTACCAGGTCCCGCATCTCCTGCTTGGAAGCTGCCAGTAAAGCGGTTAAACGTAGCCGTGGAGGCATACGGATCTGCATTGTAGGCACCCGCAACTGCTGCTTCGGCATCGTATTCATCTTCGTCCGCCTTGTCGCCATTGGCGTACCACGCATTCGGGTCGTAGTCGCCATGTATTGCCGGGTTATATCCGCCAGCGACGGGCTTTTCGTCTACCGGGGGCAATGGTTGTGTTGGCGGCGCGGCCTCGCTTGTCTGAACGCGAGGGTTCTCCCATTGTGTCTTGCCCGTGAATCTGTTTGAGAAGAACCACGCCTGGGTGTTGGGGTCCCAGGTGCAATCCCAGCCGTCGTCTTGCGTCGCGGGAACAGGTTCTGCCGGTAGAGGTGGTCCTCCCTGAACTGGTTCGCTCGGCAGTGGCGGCGCTGATGCAGCATCACCATCATCATCTGATACTTGGCCATCCTCGTGTTCTTCGTCGCCTTCGCTCGGTGTTTCCTTGGCGTCGGCTTTGTCTTCGACGGCATTGTCTTTGGGATCGGGGGGTGCCTGCGCATTGGATGGAGCAGGTGATGCGGATGCGTCTTCGGCCGCCAAGTTCGCCGAAGGTGAGGGTGTTGAGGCCATGTTTCAGGCGCAAGCAAGAGCACAGGTTGTGTTTTAGCCCGATGTGGTATCTATCTCGTCATCTGCAAACATGAGCCTCTTGAAAAGCCATCCTTTGTACAGTGATACTTATGCACCTATATATGTATATCATGTGCCTTAAATAGCCTCTAATCCATAGATAGCAGCGTTTGCTAGAAGCGGTCGTAGGTGTACATGTATGGACTCTGTGTTGATAGAATTTCAAGATTTGCGCCTGTTCCTGGTAGTAACGGTGGTGGTCGCGGCAAAATCGCTGTCCGAAAACGGGTGGGCGGTGGGCAGCTGCACACCGAGACACTCACAGGTGCCAGCACTACACAAACGCTTTGTTTGCAACATCAAGATCCCAGGAGAGGGTTCCAGCGTTCTGGTTTCTACATCTGATAAAACAGAGCAAAAAAGGACTATAATCTGACATAATTTTGATTTTTGAAGTATATTGCACGCACAGCACAATCTGCCTCGCACGGTGGCCCATGCACTAAGATGCCGCCCAAAGTTAGCTTAATATGCTGTGGCGAAGCAATCCAGAACGCTCTTAGTGCTAACCTCAGATGAGGCGCGGCACATCGCTCCGCCACTCTGGGACAATCTGACTCTGGATTCATATGAAAGGCACCAAACACCACGTCTTAGACCCTGGAGGATCAGTAACCAGTCCAAACCCTCCACCGTGCTTCCCGTGATATCCGAACGCTGTGTCGAGTTCGATTTGAATTGAATCAGGTATGCGTCTAACACCTACGTCAGCGATACTCGTTGCCTCGGGTCTGCTGCCGGTGCATGTCACTGCTCAAGACACAAGCGGCGGTGCTGCCCCAGCCAAGCCATGCGAATGCTTCGTCACGAACGGAACAGCGCCCGAATTCTTCTCAAATCACCTCTTTTTCGACTACCGAAACTTGACGCAGTTTGCGGGAGTTCCGCCAGCCGTGAGCAACGAGGACGCTGTGTCAGACGCCCCCATCACCAGCGATTTCTTCGCTTCCGAAGAATGGACAAAGCACTGGGGTACCCAGACCTGGGATAACAGCAAAGGCAAAAGCCAGGGCTTCTCTAATGATGCAACTGTCCACATGATCAATTCGGCCAACAACCTCTTTATCCAAGCCAACGAGGACAGCAACGCTGACTCGGCCACGTACTTGACAATGCGAACCAAGCGGTTCAAAGATTTTCAAACAGCCGCTGAATTTGAAGCGATTCACTACGACTACAAGTTCCTGTCGTTGCGGATGCTCGCCCGCACCGTCGGCAGCGCAGGCGCCGTGGCCGGCATGTTCACTTACAAAAATTCGTCTGATCCAGCCAAGGTTCAAGAGGCTGACATTGAGATCTTGACGCGCGACCCGGGCAATGTCATCCAATACACCAACCAGCCGTCAGATCTCCCAGACGTTGGCACCATCCCCGAGGCTACTCGCAATGTCACGCTTCCCGATGGCGTCAAGTGGTCGGACTGGGCTGTGCATCGAGTCGACTGGACACCGGAGCGGAGTGTGTGGTACATCAACGGCCACGATGTGGCCAGCATAGCATTCCAAGTGCCCCGAGATGCGTCCGGTATCAACTTCAACATGTGGAGTGACGGGGGTTCCTGGAGCGGCAACATGTCTGTCGGCGCCGAGGCAAGCCTGCAGATAAAATGGATCGAGATGGTCTACAACTCAACCACCCCTATACCTGCAAGAAAAATGGCTCGATCTGAGCTGCAACACCCGAGGGCTAGTCTCATACACAGGTCTACCAAAGGCAAGACCTGTCAAGTAGTCTGCTCCATCGACAACGGAACCCAACCTGGGGTCTCGGTCGTCCTCTTTACCAGCTCGCAGAGTTCAGGTGCCAGATTCAGCTCCTTTGGGACATACTGGCTCTCAATTTACATGGCGGCTGTTGCACTGCTGCTGCCTGCAATGCTGATATCCTCGTAGCGCGGCCAGCAAGTGCTTTGGTGGCAAATATGCCACCAGAGCAGTCGAGAATCACACCCTGCATCCCACTGAACAAGTTGTTACCCCAATCCGCGCCGTCTCTTTTTCGGACGTTCCCTCAGTATAAAAGGCTGGCCAGAGTGGCCGGAAACCCAATGTAACCATGGAACCAAAGAGCTGCGCTTTGCCTGACTTCGCCCACTTTCCTAGTGCGACTTTGCGATATCGTCACACGATGTCACTGTGGCCAAATATGGGAACGCAGCTGCAACATTATAAGGCTGAAGCACAGCCAAGCTCTTTAATGTGGCAACCCAATGCAGGTATCTCTCTACCTTTTGAGGTTGCCCTTTTCAGGAGAGAACACCCTCGTAGAGGGGGGTGAAGCTACGACAAGCGCGCTGCCATCCTTGGCGTGTAACATTGTTTGACTCTGAATCAAGGTTTGCCGGTGCAGATCTGTTGTCAGACTGTCTTAGTCTTCCTGCCATCGCGCCCCAAATCAGGCACAAGCTAGATGCGATTCTGGGCTGTTTACCATGTTCTCGCTGGTGGGTTGTCTCTCGGTCGTCACGCTCGCCAAGCGTACGGAGCTTTAGTTCCTAGCTTTGCCCTAGACATGTCGCTATTTGTATTAATCTATAGATAGCGAACCCGCAATCCTAAACATAGTTCGGCTTATCTTGCTCACTGTCTGACCAAGATAGCTTGTCGCCTTCTTCCGTTTCCGATACCAAGGCCGTGCCCACCATGCACTTCAGACGCTCTGTGACGCCTGCCTTTGACCCTTGATAGTTCATACCTGCTGGCAAAGGTTTGCAGCCCGTGATTTGATAAGTTCAAGTAGAGTACAGTGATATCGATACTTTTCTTCATGATAAGATGCGGCACCTGCCGGTTATGGTTGATTTGGTGTACATATAAAGGCGATACCTAGAAGTATATTCAAGTAGAAAGGAAGACAAATCTCATAAAATACAATGACATATAAAGCCCGTGGATCTTTGTTCCAAAACGATAAAGAAATAAAGCCCCCAAAACAGTACACCGTGACTGAATGCAATGTAAACAATAAACCCAACCCGCCCCAAGAAAAAAAAGACCAGTTATCGCTTAAGCGCCCCGTGAAAATCAAAATACTCCGCGAACGTCTTGCATGCAATAAAAGATTGTGACTAAAATCAAGAAGAGAATAACAAAAAGCTTCATGCTGCCCACTAATCCAAACATGTGCCGCTAAGCGAGACAAACTCGGAAGGATGAGGTGGTAAGACTGAAGCATGGAAGGGTATAGTTGAAAGATTTCGAGGTTCACACAAAGATCGGCGATTCTGCGGTCCCAGAGCAGAGCTGCCTTTGTGTACCAAGCAAAGAAGTGAAGTCGAGCCGGAATTATAAAAAAAAAGGTACTAGTGACAATAAGTGGTATGCCGTAGCAACATAGTTTGCATCGTAAGTCGTCATCGTGTCTCATGGTTGTATGTTCTTGCACGGTCATCACCTGAGATGGCCCTGCTCAAACGCAAACTGCGAGGGAGGGAAAGCCATACTGGCTGTAAGTCCAAAAGGATCCCAGTCAAGGCTTTGGTCGAGAATAGCGTTCATGGGCTGGTACTGGTTGGCGCCGGGACCTGAAGGAGGCTGTCCACCGGCACTTGTAGCCATCAACATAGCAGGCGGGGCATCGGTTGTGAAAGCGTTGTGAAACTGTGCGGCACTCTCAAGCTCAGAGTCATCTACCATGTCTCGAGGCACGTCGAAGTCCTCATCGAGATGCTCGAGGTGCCCTTGGAAGCTAGTGCCAGGATAGAAGCCGGGAGCGCTGCCGACCGAGCCTACTCGGTGCATAGGGGGAGGCATGGCTTGGCGAGGGATGCCAGAGACGCTGTTGTGTCGCATAATCATGTCGCTTCCGTCAGAAGGAGAGAATCCAGGATGTCCAGCGTCCTCGGAAGTGGGTGTAGAGAGGGGCTTGCCGCCCATTTCCATCTTGATGGGTTGGATGCCGTTCATGCCAGCATCCTTGGGGCCCATATGAGAGATGGACTTGCGAGGAGGTCGGTTCACCATGGCACGCTGCATGGGAGGAGGAGGAACCATGTTTTGGGGCATATGAGTTGGGCCAAGAGTAGGGCTGCCCGTTTTGGCCTGGAGTTCGGCGTGGACATCGATGCCCTTTTCTAGAAGAATGCGTTCAAGGAGGGAGTTTTTGTAGCGGAGCATAAGGCACTCATCAGCAGCAGTGCGATGGGCGGTTTGAAGGTTGTGTAGGTTGGACTCATGGACACGGATCGTCTCCTCAAGCTGCTTGATGTACTCTGTGCGGCGTTCACGGAAAGCAGCCTGTGCCTGACGGTTTCTTTGCTTACGCTCTTCTGATGTGGCATAAATCTGGACTCGGTTAGCTTCATAGACTGGACTACAGCGTACTAGGTCAAACATACTGGCTTGCGGCCACCCTTGCGCTTGGGTGGTTGAGGCTCAACAGGTTGGACGGGGTTCAACTCTCTCTCGGGCGATGAGATACCAGACTCTTCGGTTTCCGAAGGGCGAACAGTAGCGGGAGCCGTGTTATCGAGGGTCATGGTCTCGGCAGCCATGTTTTTATTCTTTTCGTTTCGGAGAGTGTATGTGTGTGACGCAGAGGTTATGGCTAAAGGATGGGTGGTCGATGGGAATGTCTCGGACCAGATCGGTGGTAGGCGAGTACAGGGAGGGCGGCTATCGATGTGGGTGAGGAAGACTTAATGCATGAAAGCGGATGCTGCACAGTCTTGTTTTTCTGATATCCTAATTTTCCTTTTTGTTGTTCTGGGACAAAAAACACGCTGATGGCTTGGCCAAGTTGGAATGAGGTGAGACTGGGTGAATGAGGAAGAAAGGGCCTAGTCAAGGAAGCAGGTTTGGAAGAACGAGGCGCTTCGGCAGCCACTGTAGGATGGTGTTCAGGCGGCGCTGCAGGCGTGCGGGTGGTGCAGAATAGCGGGGGAATAGGGAACCTTGGAAGGGCCGAGGAGGGAGAGAGGGGGCTTGCAATCAAAAAGAGGGCTGCTGTCGAGGCTAACCAGAAGAAGAATGTAAAGAAGAGCAGACGAGCTGGAGGGACCCGGGTATTAATTTTATTCCACTGGTTTTGTTTTATGATTATTTTGCTGTCTGCTGGGGTTTTGTCGATCCTGAAGTGCGGATATCGTCTTGGTTTTTTTACCCTTTTGGGGCTTTTTCTTCACGTCTTCGGCGGGAGGGCAGAGGACAAGGTTCATGGGCCGGCCGGGAGTAATTATACGATTCGCAGCAGCAGGCAAAGGTATCATCGTGGAGGTGGTTTAGCAGCGTGGCTACGCCAGCCAGAGACAACCCCAGCTTTTGCTGCCATCGGGACACTGACACTGCACACGCCTCTGCAGCCCCCCAAAAAAGGCAAACGTTCCCTTGGTGGCCCCCGCCCAGCCCACTGTGGCAGCCAAAAGAGCGACGAATTTTTTTATGTAATGGGAACTCCTCAGGTGGGTGCGACCACTCTGGGGTAGCCATTCACAGCTTGGCATTGGCTCGCCAGCCCCTGGGCCACACACCCCCAGGGCACTGCTAGTCCTCTTGCAGGTTTAGCTGCGAACACAGGACACCGACCGTAGAGTCAAGCGACAGCGGGTGCGCGACTCAAACAACTCTCCCTCTCTCCCATCATTACCGAGGAACAACGGCTAGCCTACATACTGTACGTGCGCTGACATAGTGACAGACACCGCCACCCGCTTGCCTGCCCAGCGTGGAAAACCTGGAAAGTTGGAAAAACATATACTCTTTTAGTTTATACTTTTTCGCCATGCACAGCGACGGGACAAAATAGTGGCCTAGTGCAACGCTAACAGTTCCTGTAGAGCAGCTTATCAGCATACAGTAGAGCAGACAGCGCAGAATGCCACCCAACGAATACCAAAAAGACAGGAAAGATGACAAGAAACACAGCACTAGCTATCGTTCTCCATACGTGCTCCTCCGTAGTACTACTGGTGGCTATTTTCCTCTCCTATCGAGTCTCGCCCTCACCCCCTCTCTTCCTCCGCCGACAGCACCACCACCATCACTACCAAGACCAGCCCAGGGTCCCTCCTCAACGTTCCATCGCACATCCCATCGCTACGCGCTATCCTACACCGTCAGGCGGCCTAGCCTCGATCGCCTCAATCATGGCATTGTCTGGCCTCAGCATCCAAGACATCTCAACAGGCGAGACTGCCAGAGACACAGTCCTCTCCTTCCCAGGAACAGGAATAGATGTGTAGACAATGCCACTGACACCGCGTGGCGTGTGGGCCACACGCCGGTGAGACTTACTCGTTCCGCCTGAAGTTTAAAGGTCCATTGCCAGTGTTTTGGGGGCTGGTCCACCAGCCGATCATGAGAGCAGCCAGGCAGCCAAATCTGCGTTTCGGCCTACGGCGGGTCCTCGCTTGCGTCCCCTGTGTACATGCTTTACCCGCTGAAATCATGACTGTCCGCATGTACTGTAGACTTTGCGCCCTGTGGTTTCCAGAATGGGCAGAATGCCGCTGGCGCACCCCATACACTTGCGGCGCTGTTGGCTGGCGTTGGTTGGCGTTGGCTGCGGAACCTTTGATAAGCCATAATGGGGATGCCAAAGCCGAGCCAAAAGGCCAATTTTGGTGCCTTGTTCCGTCTACATTCCGCTCAATCTGCGGCGTAACAAGGTGGGCTGCGGCGCTGTGCGTGTGTTTGTTTGTTGGCCACCACCAACACACGGTGGCCAAGCCCGTTCGAACTCTATAATGGACCATTCACACGATCAGCAAAGGAAAAGAGACAGCCAAGTCCAGTGTGTTCGAGCTCAGCTTCAATCGCTACCATCCAGCGCAACAGTTGCGCCAACCATTTGTCTCAATTTTGACCGTCGAGGTGCCTGAACCAGTACACAAGAATAGACTCAGCCCAAAAAAGCCGGCAAACCGCAGTGGTCTCACTTCTGTGTAAGTGGTATGGTGTTTTTTTTAGCTGCCAAGATGAGAACGCTGGCGCCCAACCAGAACGCAGCGTCACGCTTGCAACCATCTCAAAAGAGGAAAAGCCTCCACCTAGACCAGTATTTGCAGCTGGTCGCTGGTGGGAGCCTCCCTGGGGACCGCCAGCGTGTGCTTGAGACAAAAACCCAAAATTAATCCGGGGTAGGAGCGTGGAGGTGCACGCCTCGCCTCACGCCCGTCCCGGCGGGCCCAAAGTGTACCGTGGCGTTGGCCGTTGTATGCCTCCATCGTAGATGAGGTGGTATAAACTGCTTGATGGCTGGCCAGCTCCTGATTTCAGTGTTGCGCCCACCACCAGCCTGCGAGCAAGATGGCAGTTACCAAGAATAGCAAAGCTGGATGGGCTTTTCTGAGGATGCGCAGTTCCTGAAACTAGCATCCATGATTAGATGCAACCCCGATACCATCCGAGCCGCATTTACACTTTTGGTCGGGTGTTGGAGCGGCAAACTGACAGCAAACGCGTTATCAATGCCGCTTTGAAGGACCTCCACACAAATTTATGGCACCATTTTTTCTGGTATTTCCTGTTAAAATGATTGGAAACTACCAAAATCAAGCAAACCACGCCTTTTTGGACAGCTGGACTCTTCGGCGTCGTGATCGTTAAGCTGCCCATGTCTCTGAGCCGCGTTACCCCCGGCCGTCCAGTAGTGAAAGCTGTCATTGTCAGCCGCCGTGGAGCGCAGCCAAATCGGCCGCGCATGTTTCATCAGATCTGAGTGCTAACGTGCCAAAACACTGAATTCGGCCGTATATTGGTTGAGCCCAGCGCTAGAGATGCGTGTTCCTGGATCTATGCTACTGTTGAGCGTACATGCTTTAGGCTGCGTACCGCTCGCCATGCAGGAATGGAGAGACGTTGTTAGACAGCGCCAAAATGGAGGCTGTTGTAGCATTAGCCATCTACGTGAGCGGTCCAGATTCCCCTCCGTCTGTTACTGGCCACAGGTGCAAACCCGAAGGCGAGTGCCTTGCTGGCAATAATACGACAGCAACCTCATTTGGCCAAAACGCTACGTATACCAAATCTCAACCATGGCCAGATGTTGCACAGAGTTATCCGTGTATTATATCCACAAGCAGATTGTTTGTCTTTGTTTTCAACAACTGTGCACTCAGAACTAATTGGTGCGAATAATGCATCGCTTTTGACGGCCTACGACAGGGCTTGGGTCGCGATGAACACAGATAGCGAGATCTAAGAGAGTGGGCGGGGCTGCACGACCCATGTCCACAGTAGCAAGACGAGCCTCCTCAGCAACATTGGGACGCTTGAACTTGCTACATTGCTTCAAAATAAAACATTAAAGTACACTGCCATACACAACTTACTGACAGATCCAAAGCTAAAAAGTTGGACAACTGAACTACACCACGTGGCTACTGATCGGTATCGCCGGATACGCAAGTGCATTTCCAACATTTCACAGTTGCGCAAATCCTTTCCCCAATTAGAATCATTTTACTTACGATGTTCTCCAGAACTGTGAGCCGAATACCCGTGAGTTCCATCGACTAGCCTGATGTCAAATTGAGTGATGAATCACGCCTGCGAGCTGTATCGGACTGATGAAAGTATCCGTCAATGGTGTGGACGATGCCGCCGCCAAAACTGTCAATTTGCGCAACAGATCGATGGAGCATCGTAAATCAGCCAATGGTGTCGAGCACAGCCGCGTTTTAGCGCCCGGCCACACATACCTCAAAGTAGAGTTTCCATCATCGCATGGCCGGATTCCTGGAACACCACTAGATTCACACCCAGAATGCGTATGAGTCTTGATTTCGACAGGACTAGCGCTTCAGGCACATTTCAAACTCTCCTTATCCACGTGCCACGTCCGATCTTTTGCGGCTCGATCTATATTCAGGAGCATCATCAGGCTGAGGCCGTCGGCCATCGGCCATCGGTATTCACTCCGCTCCTATAGTAATCTCTAAATTGATCCTTACCACCCTAAGATGTCCGTCTAAAGCCAGATAGCCGCCCATTGGAACCGTATCCGGAACTGCCACGGCAATGAGGAGCTTCAAGTCGTCCTGCATAGTCCGAAGCAGCGCTACATAGGTTAGAGCAGATAATCCTGGCGGACAATTGAGCTCGATTGGGGCCAGTAACGCAAAACACTGAGGCTTTGAAATATCATACACTAAAGGGAGTTTCATCTTGGTTCATCGGCAACCACAAGATGCCTCCGATTTAGATACATGTGAAGAGGTTATCCATCAATAGCCGACACTAGCAAAATTCAGACGCCTTTTGAGAAAGGGCAAGAAATGCTACGATCCCGGAGATGCAAAATTGGTCGACAGAAAACGGCACTCGGCAACTTGGCTGACTCGCCGCACCCGGCAGTTGACAGCTTGATTCAGGTAAATCCACATCCCCCCAAGCGAGGAGGTTAAGATAAAAGTTTAAGAATCATACGGTGTGATTATTGTTTTACACTGTTTATTATCACTGTACGATATTGTTTTGGTTCGCGGTTGTCTTCCCCGGCGGCAACGCACGGGCCACCTAGCCGAATGTAAACAAACCACCCCACTGAATGTCAACAATGCAAGCAACATCATACCTCGAAACCTGTATCTTTAAAGTTACTCTTTAATTAAAGCTTTCCACCAATCGTCCAAGCCTGTTGCATATATCTATCGCGAGTTTAGAGAGTTGGCTATTCTTTCACTTCATCCTTCTCAAAATGTCGCCTCCACGACGACGCTCAGCGCGTCTGGCTTCATCCGTCAAGGCAAGCCTCCTTCACCGCTTCCAAAAATACTGTTTTGTTCACCTTGCTAACCTCTTCCTAGGCTCCCAAGACCACTATCAACCTGGCCGCGGTCGAAGAACAGAATGAACTACCAGAACAGAGTACGCCAAGCGCGCGCCGTAGTCGCACAATCGCTGTCGCCAGCACTCCCAAAACTCCCCCCTCTTCCGCGATGAAGCCGGCTCACAGCGAGATGCACCCCAGCAAAGCTCATCAGAGCACGGCTGAGCCGTCATCAGCCGCAAGACTTGGATTCACAGACATCCGCTCAGCAAGCAAACGAGGAAGCCTAGGCCCTGTTGGCCAGGACACGCCAACCAAGATCAACATTGTGCCTAGCTCAGACTTTTCATTCAGTGTGACTAAGCCGGTGGCCAGTATACAGTTCACAAGTGAGGCGCAGAGAATCATGGACGAGCTTCAGGAAAAGGCTGCCATGTTCAAGGCGGATCTGCAAGCTAAGCGCGATGCGGAAATCGCTGCCGGTGAAGCACCAGCTGGTCGTCGCTTTGCCAGGCCATCGGGACGCTTTAGTGCTGCTCACAATGCCGAATTCGACAAGATGGAATCCATTGCCGGTCATGCGTCTGCATGGAGAGCTAGCCGTTTCACTCCCGTGGTGGCTGTGGCTGGTGTGAAGAGATCGCCCTCCAAGGCTAGCCTTATTGACGCAACTCCTACCAAAAGCCCTCTCACACGATCGCCACCCAAGACCAAGCTCAATGAATCTGCTGAGCAGCCTCGACGCAATCTCAAACGCAAGTCCTCAGCAGCGAACCTGGATCGTGCTCCATCGGTATCTCCTCGAAAGGCTGAGCCGCCAACATCGCCAACCAAGGCCCACCCCCTGCCCACTCCTGTGGCAGCATCGGCAAAACGTGTCAAGAAGCAAAAGGAGGACGACGCCTCTACTAGCCGTCCAGGCCGTCCTACTACCTCGGTAGCCCGATCTGCTCAGAAGCCGCTACCAAAGGCACCATCTGTGATTTCCCGCCTGTTGAGCCCTACCAAATCTTCAAGAGCCCACACATCAGCTGTGCGCAAGCCTGTGACTTCTACGGTAACGACACCCTCCAAATCCACTTACGGATCTCTCTCCAAGCCCGTGGCCGCTCTCGCGTCTCCTTCCAAGACTCTGGAAGCACAGAGACGAATCCTTACACCAAACAGATTCCAGAAGGTGAAATCAATCTTGAGAGCCCAGGCACCTACTGATGGTGAGGGACGAAGTGCAATCCCTCAGCCTAGAGCTCACATCTCGATGACACCAGCCCCGCCTCGCACCATGAAAGAGTTGCCGCCAGTTCCTCTGACCACTCCTCGTCGCAAGTTGGCAAAGAAAGTCACGTTTACCCCCGACACCAAGCGCGCTGCTCTGCCTCAGCACTCCCCGTCTCCTTTCAAGGCTGGTATTCTCAAATTTGGCTCGTCATTCGGCTCTGCCAGCAAGCAACAACAGGACGAGACTTCTGGCAAAGTAGACTACCCAGATCTGTCATCATTCAGCGGTATCCTTGATGACGCTAAGGAAAAGTCAATTGCTGGAGCTGGAACATTTACATTTAGAAGTGACCACACGATTGAGTTTAAGGACATCTCCCAGTCCGGATTCGGTGCTTCTCCCGGCCAGAGCAGCGTTCGCCAAGTGCGCAAATCCATGCCTGACATGCCTGGAAGCTTCCCTGCTCCCCCAGCACCAAGCACGCATGAGGATAAGGAAAATAGAGCTCCTGCACAGTCGCCCAACAAGCTACTCTCTGGAGTCCCTCATGGGTTATCTACGAAGAAGCGTCACAGACCTAGTACCGATGAAGAGGATGCTGAGCGAGAGGCCGTCGAGCGCGCGTCGAAGAAGCAAAAGAGCAGTCACACACCACTCTTTGCTTCGCGTTCTGTGAGCAGTACGCCGACGAGCAACAAGCGTGTCCGAACGACGGCTACCCCGACTCCCAGCAAGAGCTTCAACATTGGAACTCCCGGATCGGCAGCTGCCCGAACACCGATGTCAGCAAGCTCTGCCACCAGACGTGTTGGTATGAGCTTGAGCCGCTTGAACATGCTGGCACGACCAAAGAACCGGGTTTAGGTTAACTGAGGTCTGTCCTTTTGTCTGTTAGACGGAGAACAAGTGAAGATATTGTACATGCGGCATTGCGGCCGATGCAAAAAAAGACATGATCCAAGATTCGAGCAAGTTGCCGAATTGTATAATACTTTTGTTTATATTTTAGTTTTGATGGTTTTGGGTTACAAGGTATTTGTTGGCGTTAAGCGTTTCAAGGTTTCGGGAGGGTGGCACTGTTTGCTACAATCATGGATGAAAATTGATGAGAAACCTGTTGCATTTTAAATTGACTTGAATTTTGATTTCTATCGCAAGGCATCCTTGGTTGACCGTGTTTCAAATGTGATGAAAGAGAGCGTCGGTTCTGGCTGACAGCAGCGTATACGGATTCAGCATCCTATTTTGGGTCGTTAAGATGCGAACAACCTAGTAAAGGGGTACTGCAACGGAGTCTAGAACACCGTGGTAACGGCCTCCTTTATTTTGTCTGGACTGGGGGCCAGAGCTGCCAAATTATATTTGCAGGGTAGGATACAGGGATATACGAGGCCGTTGGTTTTTGGAGAAGATGTTGTTAGAATTTACGGAAATAATTTATTTTTTAAAATATGTAGAAAGATTTGACTGCAATATATTTTCGTTTCGTCGTTTTTCTAATGATTTATTAGCGCTAGGTGCGTGTCGATTAATAGGAGTTGATTGTATCATCAGTTCGTATAAGTTGATCAGGGTCCTTGGTGTTTTACGCCGGGGTAGTGAAAACCTGTCACCAACCAGTAAAAGGTGCAGATTACCCAATCCGAATTACATATAATACAATGATGATCGGTTTATTTTATTGTAAAGAATTTATAGAATTTATTACGGGCAGAATATACATCATAACACGGCAACGTACTCTACCACCTCACTCTTCACCAAAGCAGTCGTAGTGCCGCTACAAAAGTAACGCTAGGGAGGGCGCCAGCCCATTAGCTTACCTAGGTAGTAGAGGTGCTGTTAGGGTTCAGTATACAGCTAGGCTGGGGAGCACTAACAAGCTAAGAGAGCCCTAACAATTTCCACCAACTAGAAAAATTATGGGAATTAAGCGAAAAAATGGCCGCAGTTGTGGGTAGCATACAGTGGAGAGCCCCGACAAAGCAAGGGCGCTGATTGGCCCGCCGCCGAGAACAGCCAGCCCAGAGCACCCGCAGCACGCACCCAGCTGGCTACCGGATCTGTGCAGCGGGCCATCACCAGCTTTTGGGGGGGTGTCCCGGGCGTCCCCCTTCGCAATAAAACCGCTCCTCTCGACATCCAGGACATGCGATTCTAAGCAGCCGCATTCCGCAAAGTAGCATCACCGCGCCGCCATTGACGTTTTCTTTTAACGGAAGGCTCTAAGCCAGAACTGCGACCAACAATGTCGCTCGCTTCCCAGGTATGCCGCGCACACAACTCGTCTCGTCGAATCTTTTTGCTCCGTCGGCCCCAAATCCGCTGCCATTCGAGCTTCTGCGCCCGCTCACGACATCGCCGTCATCAAAATCCATCGCTGGCCGATCTGCTACTGCCTCGGTTCTCCTTGTTTGGGATGCTCTGTCAATTAGCTGCGCTGGCAGCTTGGCGCGGGTGCGTTCTGGGAGATCCGAAATGCGTGTATCGTGAACAAAAAAGCAGTATCCGTATTTTGTTGAGGCCGCGCTGCGGTGGTTGGTCTGGAAAAGGGGTTTGGGAGCAAGAGCGACGAGAATCGAGCCGTTCCATCATGTTCAAGAAGCTAATTGTCATTCTCTCACGCAGAACCGATTCGCCTTCCTCGGTAATTACAATCCCACTTCCACTCCCCAACAAAGCCAATTGCGTATTTCGATCCGACACTAGCACAGACGCTATGGTGCGCGATAGCAGTCTAGTTGGATATACTGGATATGTCAATAGGATATATGGCGGCGAAATCTTGTCAAAAGGAGGCAACTAACATTATCTTCGTCATGTAGGCAACGACGACGACGGCGAGAACAAGCCCATCGCCCCCGTCAGAACCGTCGATAAGGCCTCCACCCATACCACCAAGCGCAATGCTGATGGTGAGGCTCCCGTAAAGGGTGCCGCTACCGGCAACCGCCGTGGCCCCGGTGGCAACGAGGGTGGTGAGTTTAGAGCTTCCTGGCGCGCTCTTCCCGCGAGAGATGTCGCCCTTTTCTCTTCCACCAGACCACAGCTCGCTAACAATTCCATTTAGCTTTCCGTGACCGCAACGCCGGCAGCTCCCGCAACCAGGGCAAGTCCACCGAGGAGACTCCTCGCGATGGTCCCCGTGGTGGTGCTGGTGCCCGCGTCCGTGGTGGTAAGTACATCAACGTCATGGCTCGTAGCCAAATGGAGAGCTAACTGTCTTGTTTCTAGGACGTGGTGGCCGCAACCCCCGCTCTGGTGAGGACCGCCGTGACCGCACTGGCCGTTCGTACGTATTAGCCGACATCGCTTGAAACCTGAGAAAATCAATTGACTGACTCTGCTCGCACAGCACCACTGACAAGCAGACCGCTTCCGGCTGGGGCGCCACTGAGGGCAACGCCGAGCTCAAGGACGAACAGGCCGGTGAGGCCATCGCCCAGGGCGAGAAGGCCGCTGAAGACGGCGCTGAGGAGGAGGCCGAGCCTGAGGACAAGTCTGTCTCTTACGCCGACTACCTCGCCCAGCAGGCTGAGAAGAAGCTCAACCTTGGCGAGCTCAAGACCCGTGGTGCCAACGAGGGCAGCAAGGTCGACAAGAAGTGGGAGAGCGCTGTCGCTCTCGACACCGAGGAGGAGGAGTTCATCGCTGCCGGCGCTGGCAAGAAGCTTCGCGAGCGTGAACGCAAGGTCAAGCAGACGATTGACTTCGACCCCCGCTTCGTCGAGCCTGAGCGCCCTGCCCGCGGCGGTGCCCGTGGCGGCCGCGACAACCGTGAGTCCCGTGGTCCCCGTGAGGGCGGCCGTGGTGGCCGTGGTGGCCGTGGCGGCGAGCGTGCTCCCCGTGGTGGTGACCGTGCTCCCCGTGGCGATGCTCCTCGCCGTGGTGGTGCCAGCATCAACACCAAGGACGAGTCCGCTTTCCCCAGCCTGGGCAAATAAGCGCATCCTCGCGCCTCGGAACCCTCTGAAGTTTCCCCAAAGCGCCTTTTCATCAGGGGCGCTTTTACCTATAATATGAGGTAAGGATGGTCTCGAATAGGACGCAGCAAGGCTATTTACAAAAGGCCTTTGCTCTGTCCTAGGTACAGATTATCCTCCGGGGAACATTTCACCATGTATTTCTCATCTCTCAACGATGCCATACGAGGGTCATTTCTTACAAAAATCGAACGTGGAACAAAGATTGAAGGATTACAGGGAAGGAAGAGTCGTGTTTTTTCATCTCCATTTCAAGACTGGAGGCCCGAGTAGCCTGTTGTGCGCCGGGCTGGTCGAGGGATGGCAGAGTATATGGAATGGTTGTTTTCCAGACAATGGATTATTATGATTTTCTTCTACCCATTTTTTCTGATTTCTTTTGTTTTTCGAAAAAGATGTTTCTGGTTGTTTACCTTTTTTGTCTTCGGTTCCTTTTTCTATCGTCAGATTACAAAAAATCGACTTGCAATTTCTATACTCTGTGTCGCACTAATAACTGGTGAATTCAACCTATATTGTAAAAACAGTCATTCTTGTCAGAGCCAACATGGCCACTATATGTCGTTCAAAATACATGTCGTATTGCATCATAATCAGGTAATCTGACCCTGTCATATCTCTTTTTTTATTCTCCCATATACGTCATTTTGATTCCAAAACAAATAACATTACTTAAGCTTGCAGCAGCTTGGCGAGCTCAGCAGCGACAGCATCGCCAACCTCCCTGGTGCCGGCGTTACCACCCATATCCTTTGTTCTCAGACCAGCGTCAATGGCATTTCTGACAGCATCTTCGACAGCCTTGGCTTCGGCAGGCAAGTTGAGAGAGTAGCGGAGCATCATAGCTACCGACAGGATGGTGCCGAGGGGGTTGACAATGCCCTTTCCGGAGATGTCTGGGGCAGAACCTATTCGTAAGTGTTTTAGTAACCATAATGTTTATCGACTCTCAAAAGAGAAGAAAACGTACCGTGAATGGGCTCGTAGATACCGTTGCACTTGCTCTTGCCATCAGGAATGCCGCTCAAACTGGCACTAGGCAGCAAGCCAATGCTGCCGGGGATAACGCTCGCCTCGTCACTGATGATATCGCCAAAGAGGTTGCTTGTGACAACAACGCCGTTGAGGCCAGTAGGGTTCTTGATCAAAATCATAGCAGCGCTATCAATAAGCTGGTGCTCAATCTGGAGATCGGGGAACTCGCGCTCAAACGTCTCCGTCATGACCTTGCGCCACAGGCGGCTGGTAGCCAGGACATTGGCCTTGTCCAGAGACCAGACCTTCTTGTCGCCGCGGCCGCGGGCCATGAAGCCAGCAAGACGAGCAACGCGCTCAACCTCAGCGCGAGAGTAGGGCTCGGTGTCCCAAGCTGTGCCGGAGCCGTCATCCTCCTTGCGCTCGCCAAAGTAAATACCGCCAGTCAGCTCACGGACAATGACAATGTCAGTGCCGCGGCAAATCTCGGGCTTGAGAGGAGAAGCATCGACGAGGGCATCCGAGGCGAAGAAGCAAGGGCGCAGGTTACCATATGTTCCCATCTCTTTGCGCAGCTTCAGCAGACCTTGTTCCGGGCGGACGGCTCCAGTACCCCATTTCGGGCCGCCAATGGCACCGAGGAGGACGGCATCGGCGGCGTTGGCGGCAGCGAGCGCTTCATCTGTAAGAGGGCTTCCGGTGGCGTCAATAGAGCACTGTCGTTCGAGGATATTAGCAAAACTATGATTGGCAAAAAAAAAAGACACAGGAGAGAGACGTACGCCACCAAGCAGCTGGTCCTGGAGGTTGAACTTGCCGGCGGAAGGCTTGTGTTGCTCAATGGTCTTGAGGATCTGCAGGAGGTTTACGTTAGTCGATAGATCGCCAGTTCTACAAGTAGTGTATTAACCTTGATTCCTTCAGCGACAACCTAAGTTAACTTGTTAGCACAGGAGCTCTCCCGTTCTCCTCGCAGGAGCAACTTACCTCAGGACCACAGTGGTCACCAGCAAAGACGACGATGTTGTGCTCAGCCATGATGATAATATAATATTAGAATTGAGGGAAGAGAGGTCAGGACGATACAAGGAAAGAATAAATGATTGAAAGAGAGAGAAAGGGAAAGAATTGGAATCGGAGGGGAAAAGAGTTCAAATTGCCAGCCTGCCCCTCCGCGAAGGTCCGTTTGTAGAAACCCCACTAGCCGAGATCGGAGGCCGCACCCGCTCCGCCAGCAACCGAAGGACGGCTGACTTTGCACGTGCGCATCCATATTCAAGCATTCTGCTTGTGGAAAGCTCACGACGTTGATATTTAATTGAAGTAATAAATGTAATTTTACTCATGTTTATTTAAATTTTGATGGTTTCTATCGAAGTAGCTCCTACATCGAAGTTATGACAAAATATTATCGTTTTGGTCCCTGCAAATCCTTCTGCGCCCGTGTATATAATCTGTACAAGAGAAAGAAATAATGAATGATACGGGATAAGAAAGAAAGCGTTCTAATCGAACAGCAGAGTAGTGCAAGTATGGTAGGCTGGATTCTGCAGTATCCAACATGGGAAGCAACCTCATACATGCTGTGTTATAATCAGAATACAATAAAAGAGATGGGCACCGTTTCCTGTTATCGTATGCTCATCGGAAAGACTGAAAAGTCCTTGTGCCCAGAGGCGAGATGGCGGGTGCTAGACCCAAGGCGTTATTACGGCCATCTCTTAGTCGGTTGGCGCTGGTGCTGGCAGTGTTGGCACAGAATCTGCAAATATATACGCTCGGCATATCGCGTTTTGTGATATTAATGCATTTGCCGTGTAGCCACATCTCGCATGATTCGCTAAGCCATGTTAGAAAGGAGTTCATAGAGTGCTATATTTTAAGTTAGGACTGTACATACCATTGTACCATGAAGCCATCGCCTTCACCAGGGCCGCTTCTGTTGCAGACACAGCGGACGCCCTGCCCATCAGTGCCATAGCCCGACTCTGTCAGACTGGAAGGCGAAATCGTACCGTCTTGAAAGTGGCCGAGGTTAGTTAAAAGGCGATGTGGTTGGGAGACTCCAGCGAGGCTTGCGCGTTTCTGGCGACCTCTGACAACTTTACGAAGCTCGCTTGCGGCATCGCCTTTTCCCTGGCCCTCGTTCATGACAGTTTCGGCTTCGCTCTCGTCATCATTGGCTCCAGATGCGCTGCTGCTTTTGTCGCTGGTGCTGAGCTTCGAACCGTGGAAGATGGATCCAACTGGTTTGCGAGGGTCAGGTAGCGCAAATGATGCGCTAAACGAGTTGTTTCTGCTCGGGATTGTGATGGGCTCCTCGTCAGAGGAGTCATCTTCGCTAGAATGCCACTGGCTCTTGAAGGACAGATCTCTTGAGCTCTGGCTTCTGGACATGCCACCGCCCTCTGCAGGAAGTGTGGTTTCGGCACGTGCTCTGCCGTGAGAGTCAATGGTAAAGCGGACAGAAGCTCGTCGCTGCTGTTGCATCTGTCGCAGAGGAGCTTCTGGTATCGAGGCAAGACCAGATAATCGGCGTTGGCTTTTCAGAGGGGATATACGGCCGCTGTTGCGCCCTTCGGCGCCTCTTGTTCCCTGAGCCTGTTTACTAGCAGGTGCCAAGGATGGCAAGGCACCACCGCGGGCGAGAGCTTTGCGTCCGCGGGTTTCACTGAAACTTCTTGTTAGCCCAGGACGGGATCCCTTTAATGGGGAGCTAGCAAAGGCGCGGTCTGGCATCTTGCCGGCTCTGCCAGTACTCGTTCTGCGCCCGTCTCGAGCAGCTCGTTTGGGTGGGACGGACTGAGGAGCTTCCAGGCGTTCCGTGGCATCAGCCACGAAATCAGCATTGAAAGAAGCAGATGAAGGTCGGGAGAGAAGAAGATCAGGGTTAACAGCCTCACCAGGAAGCATAGTGTTAAAGGACTGATGCATTGTCTGATAGTTTGCTGGAACAGCACAGTTGTTCATTGGTGCTGAAACTTGGTGCTGCATCACACTTACAGCATTCATATTCAGTTGCAAATCTGGTTGGGTATTTTCTTGATTGGATGACGGCGGTAGCTGGTTGGCCTCCTGAAAGAGCTGAATGTCGTTGTTCCAATCGAACGAGCCCGAGGGTCGATGTCCAGAGGTGGCCGTAGAGAACATACTTTGGCTAGAAGCGGCAAAGTCCATATCCATGCTCATTGCGGCTGATGTGTCCCAGAAGTTCGATCCGCCGGCTGGCGCTGAGAGAGGATACGAAAACATGTCGTTATGACTGGTAATCAGAGCAGCCATCTCTTGAGACTGCGACATATCCCCAAAGTCGGGTTGGCCAAAGACGTGGTCATTTTGCATATTGGCGTCAAGGTTGAGCTTGTGCTCGCCCTTTCTCGCTGTAGGAGGAGGAGAAAGAATATGTGTGGAGTCCGAGTCTTTGCCGACTGTACCACGGCGGGCCTTCTTCGCCGACGTTTCAGAAGTCTCCTTTGTTGGAGTGGCTAGACCCGGGGAGTAAAGAGTACGTTGGGTAGTAATAGGTGATTTTTGTGGTGCAATATCAAGATTAAGGCTGTCGGTCGATAAAAATCGCTTATGTCCGGAGCCGTTTGGTGGTACAAATGTGCCAAATGTACCGTGGGAACCTCGGAGATTACCAGGTGTCGAGTTGAAGACAGAATAGTCTTCTGCGAATCGAGGAGTCTGATCACCGGTCTCGGTAAAGGAATCCTGAGGCTGTCGGGGGGTTTCGAGGACGGGGCTCGCAAAGGAAAGGCAATCGGGAGTTTGCTGGGGAGTAGGCGGTTGAGCGTTTGGATCACCAAAGCTGCTGTGCAAAAGGAATGTGTCAGTATACATCAAGTATAGAAGGGAGTACCAAGGGAAAACAAACCTGCAAGCTGTTACCTTCTCGCTCATAGCAGCTCGAAGATAGTCGGAAGGTTTACAGCTGGGATACAGTCATCCCAGATGCAGTGTTCGACTGGAAAATGCGAATAAGAGGAGCGGTGAGTTCGAGGATACCGCGAGGGAGGTATACAAATACTAAGTACTCTTCTTCAGAGAGCAGCACAAGCGAACGTATTGTTGATAGTATAACTTTTTTTTGCCTGCCTGGGTGGTGGATGTGGGGATGCTGCAGGATGTGGTCACGGCAACGTGGGAAAGCCTGAATCCGATGAACGCTTGATGGTAGGAAACGCTGATTGGTAAAATGCTGATGCGGAGACCTGAGCAATACAATGCAAATGCTAATGTATGAAAAGAAAAATCAATGCGATGGCGTAAAACGTAGTCGTCAAATAGTCGGTAACGGATGCAGTCAAGGAGGTGCGTTATGGCAACTGTGGTGTTCGGCAAGCTGCAGCTGTGGTGCAAGCACAAGAGGTCAGCGTTGGGCGGCTAAGCGGTGCACTGTGTGTGTGCGTGACGACAGAAGGGGAAGCGCCGGGATGTAAATGTAAAGAAAGGCACCAGGGGAAAACGATAAAAGGAAGAGAGAAGAGGTGAGCAAGTGGGAAACCGGCCAGCAGGGGAACAGAAACTGCTGCGATTAAAAAAAAGAAGACGACTCAACCACAAGGGAGAGAGAGATGGGGAGGAAGGAAAAGAAAAAGCGTAAGGCCGAGGAGGAGCTAGCTGGAGGGGCGGGGAAGGGCAGCGGAGGGAGGCTCTGAGTCTGAGCCAAAAGGTACCAAGACAGGCGTGCTTTGGTTGTAGTGTGACTTACCAAGGGAGACTTTGTGAGAGAACCCGTGGGCGAGAGGACACAAGGAGAACGAGATTGACCGGGTAACTGAAGAAGGATGAGAGACGAGGAACAATGCCAACGAACAAAAAAAAGGGAATACGACTGGTTTAATTTGCCGGTTGGGGGCACGGCGGAGGAGAAGAAGAGACAAAGGAATTCGGGGGAAATGGAAGCAGAAAGCAGGAATCCCACTGGTTTGAACTGTACAGTGCCGTTTACACTGGATCTATTATTACTATTACCACCGCTGGAAACTAGGCAGCACAAGGAGGACCGGAGACCAAAGAAGAAGCAGAAGAAGGCTGACGGCGACTGGCGCCAGGGCGATTCAAACTCACAGGACCCATTGGGTGACATGGTTACATGGGCGGCGCATACTGTGCGAAGCGGTGCTGCAACTCTAGCCGTCCGCTCAGCACCTACCGAGCAGGCAGTTCCCCAGGGCCCTGTCTCTTCTCTTTCTTCTTTACCGTTCCGCAGCACAGTGCCGTGTCATGCCGTGCATGTATTGCTACGAACTCGGGTCCTGGGGGAGACTTTGATGGGCTTGCTGGTGGTGTTGTTGGTGCACAGTGCTGACGCTTGCCAACGCCCCCTTCTAAGCCCTCAGAACCAGCTGCTAGAGAGCTTTCAGCTTGTTTGCGAGCTTTGTCGTATGTTGCTGCTGATATCGGCACAGCAAGAATAGAAAACACAAAGAGGCCACGCTACATCGGGGAACTGTCTCGGCCACTGTATTTTCTTTTTTTGTCGCTTCGCTTCGTGTGCTTTCGTCCCCTTTACCAGTGCATTTGTCTGGTACCCTTTACTTGATATAGCCCGCTCCCGTGCAATGACTTTCTTTTTTCTACCCACGCTAGCAAGATGACGGCACTAAGAAAAGACCTCTAGCCCTTGGCCACAGCAGTAGCACTGGGATACTGTAGCGTCCATGCGCTAACCAAACGCACAGCGGCAGCCAAATGCCCAAGCGAACATTATTACTACTCTCCACCAGAGAGGAGAAAAAAAGTAAAGGTCTTACAACAACTGCATTTGCTATCAAACATAGAGAAAAAAGGGGGGGCATTGCCTAACAAAGGCCGGGCAATGGAATGCCCATCGTTTTCTGTCTTCCTGCCAGCAAAGACAAAACCGTCTGGCTTTCTTTCAGCTCTCAGAAAGTGACTGGTGGCTGGCAGCCATCTGCTTGACGGTGCTAGTCTCGCACTGGGCAAACATGCAACAGGCTCCTCTTTTCAGGTACCCGAAACCCAAATGATCATCTCCACCAAAAATGCTTGAAAGGCTTTGCCGTGAGTGGTGGTGGTTCGCCTGCCCCATTTTCCCAGCTTGCATGCACACGGTGCGCCCAGTGCGCCTGAAGCATGCGCCTATTCCAGCGAACGGCGCCTTACGTGCCCACTGGCTGGTGCTGTTTTTGGTTTATCCACCAACACTCAACGGAGAGCCAGTCGATTGCGCCCCGCGTATATTCCTCGGTGTGTTATCATCACTTACCGTTATCAGCAGCGGCATTAACTGGCATAGGTAGACTTAGATGAATATTATTCTTTTCTCTTTTTCGGCTCGGCCTCTCGGAATCTGCCGCCTGCTCTGCAACACCTCATTTCAATTCTTCCTTGTCCTCGATGCTCTCTTCTCCCCCGATCTATCCAAGATCGCAAAAGGTGGAGATGGGCCTCTGGAATTCTACAACCACAAAGGGATCCATTTGTCATATTACGTCCTCATCGGCTTTTGTCCATCCTCTCTTTCCATTGCCACCCGAGCATGCCAACCAATCCTCGTTCCGTCTACGCACAATATCCCTGTTCCGTCTCACGCTGGGCCTGTTCTTCTTTCTCTGCAAAAGCTGTGGATCATTCTCTCGACTAAATTAGCGTTAGCTGGGAGTTGGCAAGCCAATCCTCCGCCTGCTCGCCCCCCTTGTTCCTGGACTTTTGACTGGCTCTTACGATGCCTACAGCCAATTGTCAGTGCCCCTGTGCTTTGTGCAAGCCACATGCAGTCTGCAGCCTGCAGCCCGCCCGTGCCTCTTGGGTTGCTTGTCCACTTTCCTAATTCTTGTCGGCTCAGTCCCAAACTGGAAAAAGAGCGTTCCCAAGTGTCTGGTTATACGATTGCCCTCGTCTCCCACTTTGTTTCCCTCACCCTATCCTCCTGCTGTGGTGGATAACATTGGCTTTGGGTGAAGACCCGGCTGTCTTTTGCGTCGTTGCATCAGCCAATGGATCATCTAATCTGAGCTGCGATCGTGTCGACTGAAATCGAAACAGCCGATAATCGCCTTTAATTTACGTCGTAGCATCGCCAAACACATCCGCTGCACTGTATGCTACCGTCGCCCAATGTCAGATTTGATCCACAGTTCCTTCGTCATATACAAATACGACATGGGGAAGCATTTTCCCCTCCGCATATACCACGCTATACAAACTATCAGTTTAATCCACTGACTGGCTGCCTAGCTATGCTACGACCGGACGGATTCTACCCAGATTCTCGGCAGAGTGGCTTGTTGGGTCTTGCGCCATGCCTACGAACAAGGCAGCTACGCATACATATATAAACGCACAGCGTTTTGTGTTGGCATCGTTCTGCAATAAACTGGATGATGATCAATTTACTCTACCAGCTTAGCCGCTTGGCATACCTTTCCACCAAATACAACGACTCATGTGCTTGCAAGCGCCAGACCGTGGGCCGGCCAGCCAAGGCTCTGATTCAAGGTCGTCGAGTTTGCCTCCTTTAGGCCTCAATTGCACCAGAAGCCCGCTTATACCAACTGGGGCCCATTCTCTCTCACAGTGACAAGCTTCGCTCTCGTTATTCAAACTAGGACGTTTAAAAACACAATTGTTATGTATTGTGCGGGACCTGATCCGACCCTGTTTACAATTTCCTTATTCGGAGGGCAACGGGCGCCGAGTCTGAGACATCCAATCTTGGTACAAAAACCACATCGCCCTTTGGTTGTGCCTAGCGCAAGATATGTCCCCGCTGTTTGCTCCACGTCTTGCATCTTCCTCGGCCAGTGGCAACTAGCTGTTCCTGATACGTTGCAAATCCATTGACCAACTGCCCCTTATCTATTATCAAGTTGGCCTTGGTCAGTGCTACTATACGACATATACAGGCTTTATGAGCACTACGACGTGCGGAAATGATATCGAATGGAAGTAAATTTGTTCCTGTATTCATATATACTACCTCCGGGCTACATGATATGGCGTTTGTTTTGCCACATCTTTGGCTATGAGTTCATATCAGATGTGGGCCAGGATCCTTTCCCGCCATGTTGTCTTATCCAGACCAGACATCGCTATCCTGCAAAAAGCTTGCCCTTGGACCCTGGGTGACGAAATACCTTGTGGAAGTTTACGTGCCAACGTCTTGCACCGTTGTCTCTTGCCAGACACGAACAGCTGGACAGGAATGTGCTGAACCTTACCGCTTTTGAGTCTCCGTTAGTATGGGCGTTTGCCTGCAGAACATGTCTCTAAGCTGCTTTGGAAGAGCGGAGGATCTTCTGTGTCTTGCATATTTCGCCTTGTAACTGATGAGCACATATTGCCATGCAGAGACAAGTGTCAGTGACCATGCCGTATGTGTGATACCTTGCTGGCAAAAGAGACACCAGCCGATTCAACTTCTGACCAAAAAGGGAGCATGTGTGTCTCACCAACAACTCGATACCATATCTATTTTCCCGGTATGCGTAAACTAAACCATAATGCTGTCTATGTGGCTTCTTAGCATTTTTCGGGCATTTCATCCGTGACTAGGGCGGCTCAGGTGGACATCCTCGAGCGCCTTTGGAGGATGAAGGATAGGGCACGAGAGCAATCCTAAAACACTCGCCGGAAACCAAAAATTCTCGGAATTGTCAGCTTCCGCGTCTCAGCTGTGCACGCCGCTGGCTGTGATACATGGGCATCTCATGCTGCGTTAATTGAGAAATCAGGTGAACCGCTGGAGCTCACCCATTCATCCATGATGATTTCTTCGACAGGCAGTAGATAACAGTGTAGTTGTAGTTATATTGCTTTATTGGAGCCATAAGTTGCCAAGAACAGAACTAACAAAGCTAACGCTACCCTAATAAATCCACGATACGTAGTACAGGATCCCTCGCCGACTTCTCTCTGTGGGATGTATAGCCCAGGCCTTGCATGTGTAAACCAAGTAATCAACAGACGCAAAAACATCGATGAAGCTAACTAAATAAAACAAAGACGACGATAAGCGTCGATTTAACTTTAAAAAGATTCGTAAAAAATGTACTAAGCGAATGATATGCGTTGCCAACAGACTTGATACTCTATATCATGCTGGGATACGCTGACATTGAAACTGTTGTAGCCGGTGTGGTGACGCTGTGGCTGCTTTGAAGCGATGGAGGCGGTGCCGGTATATGCATGTGCGAGTGGAAGTGCTGCGAAGAATGCTGCGTCGCTGGATTCATATAAGTTTGACTGATCAAGTTGCTCGGAGCAGGAAGCATCGGCATTGGCATAGGCGTATAGGCTGACCTAGGCGTAAGATGTGTTTCCTTTTCTTTGGTAGTGCTAGACGCTGCATCTTGTGAAGTAGCACTGGATTTATTCTGGTGATTCTCGCGGCGTCGCTTCGCAACGTCTTTGACCTTTGCATGTGTATGGCACTAGAGTGGTTTGTTAGTTAGAAGTTGGTTGACTGTAAATGGAAGCTGATTTACCTTGTATGCATGGCGGAACCATGTTGTTCCTTTCTTTTTGCTGCTCACAAGAGCAATCCATTCATTGCAACTGCCACATAGACCTTCCCAGACGTCAGGATTTCCATCCATACGTCTTTTGTCTAAAGGTTCCTGGAAAGGTTGACCAGTCGCGGCACTGATACCATGCGTGAAAGACTTGTCATACCAATAGGCAGAGTTCTTAAGCACTAGCCATCGGCCAGGTTTGCACATACCACACCAGCCTTCACGCTTATTGCCATGACCACGAACGAGCATTGGCGTGTATAAATCTCCCTCGAAGCGGACCTCCTGCTCATATGGGACCATGTCTGGATCGGAAGGATTCATATCCTCTGGGGGAGGTTTACAGGGCTCTTCGTGTAACGACGCAAAGAGGTCAGGAGGGTCAGCAAAGTCGGCGTAATGACTGCGAAGAGAATATGTATCATTGCTTTGCAACATTCTTAGGAGACCGTGTGATGCGAGAGTGGGTGCTTGGGGGAGTCTAGACGGCTCTGGAAGCAAAGGCTGAGAACCCATGCTTGACATCAGGGGCGGAGCTGCTAGGATTGGTTGTGTTTGAGATAGCAATGATCCTGCAGTGTAGACTTGAGGACGGTGCATGGGGAAGTTGGATGATGCGTAGTTTGACAAGGGCATCGAAGAGGGCTGGAGTGACAAACGCTGATTCGCGGGACTCACGTCTGATGCGCTGGCGTAGGAGTACGGAGACGAGCGAACAGAAGAATGAGTTGGAGTCGACCATCTAGACGAAGCTCCCCGATGGCTATCAAGTGAATAAGGAGATACTCTAGAGCTGGGACGAGGAGAAGATGACATTCTTCCTGTGCGGCTGTGGCTTCGAACTTGCTCGTGTCGTGGCTGTGCTTGAATAGAGGTCCTAGGTGACGAGGTAGGAGATATCTGTGATGACGACATAACTGATGTTCGGTTGGAAGTCAAGCCCGGATAGTCGCTAAATCCAGGTTGATCGGACATATTGGCAGCGAATTCCTCGAACGACGATGGCAGATCGGAAATTGGCCCACAGGTCGAAACAGTCATGGAAGACGCTGGGCGTCTGTTGTTGTCGTGCTCTCCATGGGTGTTGTCGAAGTCTTGTCTGCTTTGAAACCTCAGGTCAATGATTGGAACAGCCTCATCTGTTGTATAGGCCTGTCCAATAGGGGCATCAGGATCGAATGGATAGAACTCAAGTGGCTCTTCATATGGCTTTTGTGTCCAAGATTCTATTGATGGAACATTAGCAAGATATTGTTAGGAAAGTACTACAAACGACGTACGACTTTTGGTCATATCAAACGGAGCCGAGGTTGGAGGAAGTAAATCAGGTCTCGTAATAGCGTCTACTGGCTTTTCAGGAAGTGGAGATGACCATGCCGGAGTGAGAGATGAAAATGAGTTGCTGTCGCATACGGGGACATCTGAGGAGTTTGTCGATAGATATCCTTGTTCTTGTTGAGGCTGAGAGAATGCCCCAGACCAAGCGACGGTTGTGGAAGCCATGGTAGCTGTAGTAGTGTGTGTTGTGGTTGTTGGAGGAACTGTGGTCTCGGGAACAGTTTCTAGGGGAGTAGGCATGCGGTACGGTCTAAATCTTTGATGCCTATACCTTTGATGATCAGTAAGCTTTCCGTAGAGTCTAATAATAAAAAACGGTACGTACAATTTCGCTGTTGGGCGATTTTCCATAGCAAGCATGCGCTTGTAACTGCTTTATCGCGTGCTCCCCTCGGATTCTTCCAGTTGGGGAGGACGACTCGACGTGTGTCGGTGAAATGGAGCAGTAAGGACTGTTTGTAAGGAATGGAAGCTGGATGTAGAAAATCCCAATAACCGGCGCTTCAACTACCGGACAGAACGATGCCGAAGAGTGTTTAGCAAATGTGTGAGAGACTACAAAGACATGAAAGGCTGCGAATGCGCCGAGATTGTGTTAGAGAAACAAGTCGAGGAGAGAGGCCAGTTAGAGTATAGTGAAGAAAGGAACGTACTAGTGCCAGTAAAAGATCGTAAACGTCGTGGAAAGAGATCAAAGGCGCCGTAACCCTAGGAATAAGAATACCAGCTTCTTGCGGAGGTGCCAAATGAGAAAACAGTCGAAAATCGTAGACCAAAAACAAACGACAAGTGAATCGTCGATTTAGAAAAGAATTAGAGAAAGAATGAATCAGCACTACCAGTCTTGAAAGGAGTGAAAGCCAAGCCGACAGGGCGACTGGGGGGTTGATTAGTAGTGGCGTATAGATGAGGGATTCATATATTAAGAGTCGCCGAGGGATCCAGCCCGGTGCGAAGGTGGGAGAAGAACAGTTAGGCGGAGACAGCACAAGAACTAAGAAGGAGAAAGAGGATGGGGACCGGAGGGATGATAATAGAGGCTATAAGAGACCATATTCCGAGGGCGGGCCATGCATGGAGTCGCTGGCCCCGGCTTTGCGACCAACTGGGGCGTGCGTGGGATATGATCGCGCAAAGATCGAAGAGGAGGCGTGGCCGAAGAGTCAAAAAGAGCGTGTCTATATGAAATGTCAGGACTAGGTTTGGTCAGAGAAGAATACGATACGTTCTCACACAATCCAAAACCTGGGCGGCCACCACTAACAAGAGCGGCGGCCGACTGCACCCACGACTACTTACTCTGCTGTGTTGGGATGCTCTTGGGTGTAGTGGGCCAGCGCCACGCCCCCTTCTATTTGGCCACACCCCCTAGAGGATTTAACAGATGTTTTTAAAATGCATGAAAGGTTACAGGGGCTGGGCGGCTGTGGTGGTGGTGACGGTTGGTGTGTAAGGTGCAAGTGGGCGTGGAAAAGCGGACTGGCTATGCTTGACGTTGGCAGATTCAACGTTTCACCAAGCCCGTTTGGGCTGCCTGTAAAAGCGGCGAGGACCTTTTTTTTGTGAGTTTAGCGGTCGTGGGGCAGCCTAACAACCCCATCGCCAGCGCCTCCAGCCAGGCACAGGGCTGCCGCTTTAGCACGCCCACTACACATAACAAAACAGGGTGAAACGTGCTGGAGGCACATCTGTAACGTACATCTCATCGCAGCTCACCAGCAACCTGTCTCGCCATTGCGACGATGAAACTACGGTAAATGACGGTACCAGGTATTTGGAACTCTCAACCGCGGCTATGAATCCTATCCGGTGTCTGCTACAGATACTATGGTTTTGTATATCTTAAGCCGCCGCCTCTATTGACCGCTTGTTGCGTGCTCCAGACTCGTCTCGTCTGGCAATCTGCAGACACCCCTCCTTAGTCTATTTTCTTCTCAGTGAGAGAAAAATACGCAAAGTGGTGACGCACACAAAGACAGAGGAGCCTCGGAAGAACTCATTGAGCGAAAACTTCCGCCTTGATTGCATAATGTCTAGAACCTGATGACCGACGCCGACGTACGCGCGCTCGAAAAACCGCCCAGCTTCAACTACTGTCATCCTCGGAAACAATGCATAGCATCACGTCGAATGTTTTGTTTGTCAACATCTGTCTGCTTATGTAGCCCAGCCTTAGTCCTTTCTTTTTGCACATTATGACATAAGAAAGTTTGCTGAGCATTCTGTGATCCTCCGATCAGGCTTTGGACAACAATGCGGCAATCTAGTCTACCATACGCGGGTGCACATCACGCACGGAAGCTTGCTTGAAAGAAATGCAGCCACTGCCCCTGCAGAGGCTGCGAGGATGATCACCCTGGTAAAAATGCCACAGCCGCTTGAACGAACAATGACACAGACGCCAAACTCTTCACGCACTCTGATTAACATCGATAAGGCTGCTGAGTCTGTTCTCGATGGCCGAATTAATTGCTTGGGGCTCGGCAGCATCACACAATCAATTCGCCATTCCCCAAGTCACACACCAGGTTGCCTAGACCGGGCAATTAATCAACCTATATTTGCGAACAGCGGCGCACTGCTGGCTATCACTTGGCAGCTCCAGTAACCCTCGCTGTCTCGCCTTTACAAGGTGTGCACGTGGCACCCAAACTCCATTGAGACGCTCATGGTCAGCTTACTTGGCTAGGCCTGTTGTTATATTTCTTGATCGTCCTAGGCAAGCTCTTGTGAGAGCAGGCAGGCGTATTGGCTATTTCCACTGGTCCAGTTCGTGCTGCCTATGGCTGATTACTATTGTAGAGGAGGGACAAACAGGTCAGTACCCCATTCGCATGAAAGAAAATCTCGAATAATCACGAGCAGACCTCCGCTTTAGTTCCATTTTAATTTCGTGCTTTTTCTACCCTCGTGAGGCGGACCCAAACGGGACTTCGCTGAGAGGCAAGGCCGCGTAGCAAACCCCAGCTACCCATCATCTATGGGGGCGTCTCCAGGGGCGTTTTCGAGGCGGTTTCGGGCGGCAGCGCCTCTCCACCAACATCCACTCTGCACCGTCTCATGTTGGTTACAGCACCCGGCTCGACTTTGTGCCGAGTTTTTCAACTAGGCATGCTCGAACGTGGTTTTCTGGAATCTCCAGACTAGTTGAGACGAGTTCCGTGACTTGAAGCCGGCTCCTCATTGGTGGCAGCGACAGGTTACCCGCCGACTTCATATACTTGCGGTAGAGCCGACGCTCGCAAGCTGGAACTCTCACGTATCCCACTCAAGCGGACACGCCTAGGCGCCGCAAGGCAATGACAGGTGGACATCTACCAGACTCTGACCTGTGCCTCAAAGTATGCATACGTACTTTGACTTGGGCATGAATTATGCCCTGCGGGCAACCACAAGCAACGTCACAGCGAAATGAGTGGGATCCGGGACTAACCACCTCAATTATGGCAGAGGTGGCGTGGAGTGTAGCCCAACAACCATGTAATTAGGGCATTTGTTTCTATAAATGGCTAGAAAACAAAGTTCTATCTGCGCTGAGCAACGCTACACAGGCCATGGTGATCCGATTCTAATATTCTAGACTGACCATGTCCACAAAATCTGTCATCTCTGTTCTCCCAGGGCTATCGGGTAGACCGAAGTGCATGAATCTTATTCCTTGTTAATCCTCTTCCAAACTTCACTCTCCGCTGCGGCCAAGTTTTCTCCCGCAGCGACTGCCCACTTCTTGGCGGTTCCCCAGATGCCTTCATCACCGTCATCACCAGACCCGCCACCTGAGAAGTAGCTCGGGTTCTCTGCTACGGAAGCTTGGTGTGCCGCGCGCTGATGACTAGTGAATTCAGTTGCATGGACGTTCTGATGGTAGCCTGGAGGATGAGAGACATCCTGCAGTGGCGTAGGCTGCGCAAACGTTGGCGGTGGGGGTACTGTACTCGTATACGAGCCTGGATTTGTAGGGAACGACTGCGTTGGGGGAGCATATGACATCTGTGGTGGCATATGGGGAGCTGATGTTTGTGTTGCAGAGGCTAAGTGCTCTGGGCCCAGCTTTTCACCCATCTTAGGCGGAGGAGGGAGTGTGCTCGATGGCTGAACCTGGCTTGGAGCTACGGGCACAGCGCCGGGCTGGGGAGCAGGAGGTTGATTGGCATGAGTCGGTGTGGGAGCATACGATGTAGTTTGAGGCTGTGGTGGTGCACTCGCTATTGTTGATGTAGGTGCTGGTGGTTTTGCGCCAGGTGCTGCTGGAGTGTAAGATGACCCTGTGGTTGCAGTTGACGTCGCCGGCTGCGATGGTGCGGCGGTAGACTTTGGAGCCTCTGTTTGTGGTGTGGCACCAGACGCCTTGGAGGCATTGATAGGACTTGCAGTATGCACTGTAATCGGCATTTTGAGAATAGGTCGTTTGGACTTTGCAATTGTTGGGATCCCCGCTGACGTTGTGGTTCAGACGAAGCACACGTGTCGTTTTCTTGCGGTTGGTGGTGATAAGAGAGTTTGTGCGTGTGATGAATACCTGATTCGTTCCAGATCAAGTTTCTATTAATAAAGGGCGTCGATTTGTAAAATCTAGCGATCTTGACAAGTGGCGAGTACGGAAGGGAGAAAAGTTGAAGCCTGACGTCAGGTGATTTGGACGTTCCAGTGGTTGTCCTGGGCTTCCTTGGTTCGCTGGGTCACTCAGCCGTCAAAGGCGGTAGCTGAGGTGCTGCAGCTCTGGAGCTCAAGCGGGGCAGCCCGCTGTCTTGCAGGCCAAGTTGCGGGGTACGCTAGCGCTAAAGCGTCATTGTCCACCTGAAAGGACCACTCTCGATCGATTGCGGCGCTACAGTTGCACCGACCAGCTCCAGGAGTGACATGCGGTGATTAACTCAATCATTATCGCGAGAACACCCGAAAATCATCGCCAAGAATATTCACGCTATGGAAGGAAGAACATCGAAAGCTAATATGGGCATTCTTGCCCCAGAGTTGGTCCTCTCTATTGTGGTATTCATACAACATTCTTCTCCCGCTCTAGCCGCATTAGCTTTGACCTGCCGATATCTCAACAAAATCACAAACCCTATGTTATACACTATTTTTCGCTACAAAGCCTTGATATGGGCCTCCTCCAACGACCGTTTGCCAATAATCAAAACTATTATAAAAGAAGGAGTCGATATCAACATACTCTTGGACGTCAATGACTCAATGCAGCACATCCGCGCACGCCTTTCGCCTCATCCTCAATCCGAAAACACCAGTCCTACTTCTCCTGAATTTTCTCAAGCTTACAGACTTACATCATTGGCCCTTTCTGCAAGGGCTGGCCATGCGGAGTGCTGCAAAGCGCTGATGGATTTGGGAGCAGACGTTAATATCGCTACGAGCTCAGGGGAGACACCCTTGCTACTTGCTAGCATGAATGGATTCTTCCCTACAATCCAGACGCTGTTAAAAAACAAAGACATTGAAATTAATGCAACCGATGCCCATGGATCAACAGCAGTGTCTATTGCTGCCAGGAAGGGATATGAAGATATTGTGCGCATATTGCTGCTTCAAGATAATATTGATGCGAATAGTCGTGACAATTCGAGAAATACCCCTTTGCTCTGGGCAATTACTGAAGGCCATTATTTTGTTGTCAGAGAGCTACTTGCTTCTGATAAAGTCGACGTTAACCGTGAAGATGGGAGTGGCCGAAGCCCGATGGCATATGCCGCTCGATATGCCAGTTCCAGCATCCTGCAGCTCCTCGTTACATCAAGCAGGCTTGACCAGAATGCGAGAGATCGGACAGGATCCGCACCATTTGCTCAAGCATTTCTCAGATGCAACGAAAGTAACATCATACAAATGTTCAGTTGCCCCAAGATAGATCACGCTGCTCGATTACCCAACTTTTGGACGCTGCCCTGCTGGGCTAGTGTACACGGGACGGCAAATGTCTTTCGGTATCTAGTAAAAGTTCATCAGCCAAGCGAAAGTCTACTAGCTGGCTGCCCTGCTCCACCGCTGATTCTCGCTGCGGGATCTGGACACTTGCCCATTATCGACGTCTTAACAGAGACAGGAAGGCTCGAAGAAGCATGTACTAACGGCGCTGGATCTATGGCTCTCGTTCAAGCATGTACAAACGGCAAAGCTGATGTTGTCCGCCTGCTTCTAGAGCACGGACATGTTGACATCAACTTTCTATGCAATGACGGGCATACACCTCTAATATCAGCCGTACAATTTTGCCAGCCGTCAGTAGTGCGAGTTTTGCTAGAGTTTGGTGCAGATGTATCGATTTATAGCAAAATGGGCCGCACAGCACTACACGAGGCCATGCTGGAAGATTGCGACGACATTTCTCGTCTCTTGCTCGAGAACGGCGCCTATCACAGCCCACTTACACCCAAGAAAGAGACGCCTCTACATCTTGCAGTATCTATGGGAAATAGGGAGCCTATAAAGCTGCTACTAAAGGCCGGAGCAGACATCAACGCTCGGAATGCAAATGGTGACACGCCTCTGCATCTGGCATGTCATCGACATTATCTAGGACCGGTGACCGATTTAATTCAACACCAAGCCGATTCCAAATTGACTAATAATGAGGGTAAAACACCTTTCCTCGTTGCCTGCGAAAAGGGCAGGCCTAAAGTTGTTGAGTTGCTGTTGAAGATGGGTGTGGATGCCTGTGCTTTGACGCCGCTGGGGGAAACTGGTCTGCATCTTGCGGCAAACAATGGCCACCTATCGACAGTAAAGAGCTTGCGTAGCTGTGAGAAGATTGACATCCACCAAAAGAATAAAGCAGGGCATACAGCGTTATCATGCGCTGCTCTCAAACGGCACACTGAGGTCTTTGATTATTTGATGGAACAAGATAGGGCATAGTGAGCCGCTGAGCTTCCCCATAAGTCGTAACTTATTACATGTAATATATAATTAATCATTGTCTGTCTGAAATAGTTTATTGACCTTAAATCGACGCTTTAGCTGAGAATGGACAACCTCCAGAAACCCGGCTTCTGGCCGACTCCTCAAGTCTTTCAACTTCTTCGTTGCCGCGACCCATCTTTGACTTGGGGCCGACATCTTCGAATAGGAGCCCCTCTGGCTTCATCTCTGCACCACCATCTCCGGGGATTTGTACACCGGATAGCCTTGTCGCAATCGCAACTGGATTCCAACGCGTCCAAATCGTAGCATCGTTGTACCACGGCTCTTTAAGATAACGGAGCTTGTGCATGCGACCCGACTTTGGATCAGGGTCTGAGAGATAGTCCACAGGAAACAGACGAGGAAGCATCAAGTATCGAACTATGAATCGGCGAACACACAGTGCTGCATGGACCAGTGTAATAGTGCCAATGCTAGGCTCTGGTAGACTAGGAGAATATTAGCGCCTAAAACATCAATAGAAGGGATAAGGAGGTAACCAACCTGAATGCGTGACGAAGTCTCTCGCCAAGTAACGTCACCACAACTTGATATCCGATTGGCCGTGCGAAGGAAGGGTAGGAAGAGAGAAGCAGCCCTAACAATACCTCACCTAGTTCTTTAATTTCTGGCAGAGCCTTCATATGGTCGTCCTCATATTTGGTGGCCCATATTTCCACGTCGTCCATGAAATCAATTCCGTCTTTCCAATCGGACTTGCCTAGCTCACCTACATAGTCAATCTCCATCATATCACCCACATACTCCAATAGTTGACCAAGCGCAGCGACTTCCATATTCGTAAGGCTTCGCCACTCATACTGTCTCATAAAGCGTACTGGCTCTTTCATGCATATAGTACATACAGTAGATCCTTATTTAGGATCTTCCCGGACTTAATATATGACTGATGAAGGAAGTTCATGCGAGCGACAGCCTTGTGAAGATGCACCGAGTTTGGAGCAAACTTGAAAAAGCTACCGTTGTTAGTTATCCTGGATTGCTTTAGAAAGATTATAAATCCTTACCAGGTGAAGATAACTTCAGTGTCTTCGTATCTTTTTGCAGCAGTTGTTTGCTTGTTGAGATCGCTGGCCGACATCAACAGCTTACCGATGTTGTCTACTGTGTATGTCTGTGCATCTTTAATAAAAGAAGCTAACAAATTAAAATGAGAAAACCTACTCTGAAGAGAGCAACGCGCAATGCAAGATCATAAAACAAAGGAAACTCGTAGCTCGCCGCAGAGTGGACGATATCACGGGCTTGAGTGTTTGTCATTCGCGACAGTGAGTCGCGGGATTGAAACCCGAGTCTTTTCTGCATACTCTCAACGCGTTTGAAGCGAAGCGAAGAACAGAGAGCCATGTAACCCATCAGTACCAATGCTGCGAATGGAAGCCGAGATGTGAGCGTGGCATTGGGCTCTGGCCAGAGAAATGCAAAGGCGCTTGACAGGGACATCTTGGCCGAGGGCTTGAATAGTAGTCCGGTATTGAGAAGAATGCCAAAATAGAATCACTGTATATATTGAGGTCGCACACAGTTCTAATTTCTATCCGAAAGAGGTTGCTACCAAGAGAAATAATTTATAAGGTTTGTTCTTTGCAGGGCTGCGGCATGCAGACAGCTGAAACTGGTTGGCTGGCGCACAGAAGAGGAGAAGCCACATGATCCAAAGCCGCCATTCACAGATGAAGAAGAAGTTGGTTGTAAATGGGATGGACTCGTGATAATTCAAATATTTGGCTAGAAATTACTTAAAACCACAGTGGAAAAGGATATCAACACATGACATGACACCTAGTAAGAGTTGACAGTATAACCGCTTGGTTAGTGGATCGCATAACGGCAAACGGCAGGGGTCAAGCGCTGTAGTGAGCCCCTACAGTGGGCGTCTCCAGCGCTGGCAGAGCCGGAACATCTTGCCGCCGTAGCAACATACGCTAAGCCATTTTAGGCCACTTTCGAGGTGGGCGATCGCGCCTCTCCCACCACGGGCACCACCAAGCAAGTTGTTAATTCTCGCCGTTGATTGCCATTGATCCTCTGCTTGTCCATCACTTCGACCGCAGCCAGAACCCATCAGGCTTTCATTTCATCGGGCAAAATTGACACCACCAGAGACCCTGGTCAACATCTACGATGGTTGGAAAAGTGTCGGAGAGGGTTCTCCTTCGAGAAGGTAGGAAGACAACCTAGGCGGCGGCACGACGAATTATCTCGATGAAGAACGAACTCTGACATATCATTTCAATAGGCCTCGAACGAACCGACAATGGCATGAAACTTACCAGCTGGCCAGATGTTGCGCCCATCAACCAGAAGAATTACTATACGTGAGGATGCACATTATACCTCCCGAGCCGCCAACCACTAACTTGCGTCTCTCCTAGGGATTATATGAAGCGTGATGACCAGGTTCTTGCACTGAGACTAGAGACTGATGCGACCCGCGATAAGCTTGTGCAGAACGCGCGTGATAAGGACCGCATGCTCTCCAAGCCAGCTAATGGCGAGCTTCCGCTACCCATCCCCGACATGGTCGATGAGGACGGTGCCGCCACGCCTGCTGGTGCGATTGACCCGTCTCGTATCATTGTTATTCACCCCGGTAGCCAGAATCTTCGAATCGGCTTCGCGAGCGATGCCCTACCTAAGACTGTTCCCACGACGTTGGCGACCGAGTACGCGCAAACCGAGTCCGAAATCCACGAGGCACTTCCACGACGCCAGTTCGAAGCTAAAAACAACGATCAGGTGTACGGCGAGGAGTGGTCTAAAAAGTACCAGAAGATGTGCGCGGACCTCAAGATCGAAATGCGCGCCAACAAACGCAAAGTTCTGCCCAACTCAAAAGAACTAGTCCAGACATTTAACCGCCGCACCGAGCCGGAAATCATCCCCAAGCACAATGATCCTCTCGAGATTGACTGGACCGATGTTTCCGATCTGAAAAATAGCAAGTCGGCTGCGCCGTGCTTTATAGGCAACGAGGCGTTGCGCATCCCCGATGACTCTAATCCCAAAGTGAAACTCTGGTGGCCTATTCGCAACGGCTGCTGGAACGAGGACGAGTACGAAAGTCAAGAGCATCTTTATGATGATTTTGAGAGGCTGTTGGAAAACGCTCTTAAGAAGGAACTTGGTCTTAATACTAGCAGCGAGTGGCAACAGTACAGCGTCGTCTTTGTCATACCCGATCTCTACGATAAGCGCTACGTCGAACAGGTTCTCATGTCGTGCATGAATAGCTTCGAATTCAGCCGTGTCAGCTTTGTCCAAGAGGGCATGGCAGCAACATTTGGTGCTGGATATACACAAGCATGCGTTGTCGACGTCGGAGCCCAAAAGACGGCTGTCACTTGCGTGGAAGATGGCCTGTGCATTGAAGATTCGCGTATCAACCTCAAATACGGTGGCTTGGATATTACCGACACGTTTATCAAGATGATGCTCTACGACAACTTCCCATACCAAGAGATGAATATGCAAAAACGATCCGACTTTTTGCTTGCCGAAGAGTTGAAGATTAAACACTGCACAATGTCACAGGCCGAAATCTCTGTCCAGCTCGGCGATTTCCATGTTCGCGCACCAGACGAAGCAACCAAGAAATACCAGTTCAAGACATATGACGAAGTTATTCTAGCACCTATGGGAGTCTTTGATCCTGCCATCTTTGACAACACTACCAAGCTCCGTGGGCGCCGCAAGTTGGTTGAGCGATCATACAACTCGTACGACGTCGATATTCCTGATGACCCTGCTTCTGCTGCGCAGCTGGCAATTCTAGCACTAGTCGAGCCCGCGCTGCTTAACATTACCAACGGCTCGCAGCTGGACACACAGACGACAGGCAAGGACAAAACGGCGGGTATGAGCTTTAAGAGTGACTTGGGCGGCCACGGAACACCAGCGGATTCTCACGCTGGGTCACCCGCCCCTGAGGCCCCTGGTACTCCTGCGCCCTTCATCTTTGGCGCCGGAAAAGACTCTATGCATGCTGATAGCCCTGGTCCTAACGGATCTCGCGCAGCGGGCACCCCCGTCCCTGGACAGTCTGCACCATCAGGCATCTTTGTCGAAGAGCGAAGTGCAGAGTCTATTGCCGATGAAAGGGAGGCAGTCCTACCCGTGGCACCCCTTGATGTTGCCATTCTTACCAGTATTGAACATGCTACCAAGGGTGATGACAAGAAGATGCGAGACTTGCTGGGAAGTATCATGGTGATTGGTGGCGGCGCCAAAGTCGCCCACTTCACGGTCGTCTTGGAAGAGAAGCTCAAGGCACGCCGTCCGGATCTTATTGATCGCATTCTTGTAAGTAGAAGCGCAAAGGACATGGACGAACAAGTTGTCGCCTGGAAGGGAGCTAGTGTTTTCGCCAAGCTCTCAGCAAACGACTCCTGGATCACACCGTACGAATATGAGCGTCTCGGAGCCCGAACCCTCTATCACAAGGTGCTGTGGGCTTGGTAGATGCGTAGGATCTGTATGTGTGTACGGTGGTTTGCTGGCGGATATAAAGGAGTTTCTCGGAGTATATTACATGTTTCTTTTATAGCCTCTCTTTTCTTTTTAAAAAATAACACAGAGAAGCCAGATACGCGAATGAATAGACGACAGATGCATGATGCAAGAGATCTCCCACCCAAACTAGAGGTGATAATTAAATACCGCATATAGGTATACAGTGTGTATCAGTTGCCATATGTATATTTAGTAATAAATTAATTTACACCGCTTTTGCATGATGCAGAGTTCGTGTAAGTGAGGTTCATATGATCTGTCGGCGGAGCTTATGTAATTTCCGAGCAGCCATCGGAGACGCGAGCGACCCTTTGCTCCGCCGCCACTGAAGCTCGTCTAATACAACGCCGTGCCTTCTACACCGGCATCCGTTTGTTTTCTGCCACCGCAATAATATTTGAACGCGTGGCATGGGTTTCTGAAGCTATTGTCTGTTGCTAGACTATAGATTCAATACCTGGTTTTTATCCCATACCCGTTACCGCACTGATATTCTGAGCTCGCTTTTGCGGCGCGACCTCTATTTTGCCCCGACGTAAACATGGCGCAGATATCACGCTATCTGCCCTTTTCGGCCTCGATAACGATCGTCCAAGCTGCAACATACCTCCTGGGCATATCGCTGTTTAGCATCTCATTTCTTGTCTTCCTCAACAGCTCCGTGTCTTTCGTAATCACCGATCTCATCGGCCAGAAGAAGGGTGTTGGCAATGTTGTTGGAACTCTGGGCTTTGCAGATGAGCTCGTTGCTCTTGTGGCCTGCCCGGCCTGGGGTCTGATTTCTGACCGACTAGGTGTCAAATGGGTTGCGGCCATCGGGTATCTGATTATTGGTGTATCGCTATTTGTCTTTGTCCAAGCTACCAATGTATACCCGCAGCTACTGCTCGCCCGCATCTTGTTCGCCGTTGGTGCTTCGGCAGCGTAAGTATTTTGGTCATTTATGCAGTGTAGAAGTGTACTAACAGCATTACAGAGCTACCATGGTTACTGCTATTCTCCCATCGCTGACGGATGATACCGACGGTGACGACAACAGCTTCGAAGCCAGACGAAAGGCTAACCGAAACGCAAGGCTTAGTGCCGTCTTCTCGGTGGAATCAGAAATCACAATCACCCCGGAACGCTATACACGTACCTCCTCAAACGATGGCGATACTTCAGCCAGTGTTGACCCCGTGGAGGCACCTCGAAAGCCATCTGCTCTGGCAGGTTATGTCGGCATGTTTACTGGGTGTGGTGCTCTGGTTGCTCTAGTTGTCTTTCTCCCGCTGCCAGCATCATTTGGGCGCTTAAAGGGCGTGACACAGGCACAGGCTGTCGCTTACAGCTTTTACGTGGTCGGCGCCATTGCTCTGTTTGTGTCGGCATTTGTCTTTGTTGGCCTGCGTAATCTGAAGGGCGAGGAAGGCAAAGGCTGGGGTCTTTTGCTCGGACGCCGCGGCTCATACCTTGAAATCGGTGACGTCGACGATGATATGCGGGTTCCGCAGAAGCGCCGTATTCCTTATGTCCATCTGATGAAAGACTCTGTTCTTCTAGCCTTTACCGACTCCAGAATTGGCCTCGGCTATCTTGGTGGCTTCGTTGCTCGTGCTTCAACAGTGGCCATATCCCTCTTTATCCCGCTATTCATCAACACATACTTTATCGACAACGGCTTCTGCCATGGCTCGCCTCATGACCCATCACCGGAACTTAAGAAGGAATGCAGGGCAGCTTATATTCTCTCATCGATCCTCACAGGTGTAGCCCAACTATTTGGTCTGCTGTGTGCTCCTCTGTTTGGCTATCTTTCTGGCCGAAAAGGTCGCGTCAACTATCCTATCGTGGTAGCGACTACTTTTGGTATCCTCGGGTACACGATCCTTCCTCAGCTTGCCAGCCCAGAAATCAAAAACGTCGATGGAAGAGGTGGTAGCCCTGCTATCTTTGTTCTTGTCATTCTGATTGGAATCAGTCAGATCGGCTCCATTGTTTGCAGCCTGGGTTCTCTAGGACAGGGTGTGTTGGCAGTTGACTTGCCCCGTAGCTTCCACCGTGAGGCTTCTCTTGCACCCGATGAGGACGAGTCTACAGAGGATGAACCGCTCATTCGAATTGCCGCGGACGAGAACAGAGTATCTCGTGTCCGCCTCAAGGGTTCCATTGCTGGCGTGTACTCCCTCTGCGGTGGTGCAGCCATTCTACTGTTGACAAAGCTGGGAGGGTATCTGTTTGATAACTTGTCCACTGGCGCGCCCTTTTATATGATGGCCGGATTTAATGCCGTCTTGCTCATTGTCAGTCTCTGGATGGATGCTGCCCATACCTTCGCACGCATGTGACGGTAGGCTTGGGTTCGCATCCACCTAATGGTGTGCAATGATATGTACATGAGGCTTGCTGACGATTTCTATTTAATTATTTCCATTTTTAGCAAGCGTGTCGGTTAGGTTCGTTCTTTTGCTTTTCTGTTTTCAATGACGTATATCCCAGATTGTATAGCTGCTATGAAATAGTCTAATGAAAGCCTCTGTCATTTTACTAAAGGTTAGTCTTGTCCGCGATGATTCTACCCAAATTTTATTTTTGTAAGATGTCTGCTGTGAGTTTAACGAAGCTTAAAGTATCCTCTGTTGAGTCCGTCTTTGGTGAAAAGGCCTAATGGATCGACCTTTTCTTGAATTGCTTTCAGTCTCAGCTTATTCTCTTCGCCATATCCGGCAAAAGGGTCTTGATCTTCCTTGCAATAGTTGATGTACAAGTACCTATTCCACAGATTAAGCTCGTTGGCTTTGGATTCGCAGCGCGAACGCCATCTCTCAACGAACTGGTACATTGTTGCGTCATCTTCTGCGTTATTCCAAGCTGCAGTCAGGAGGCTTACGCTCAAAGTGCTACCGGTTGGTACCTGCAAACCCAGAGCGTTACCACCTCGAAGATGGGGAGCATTGATCGCTGCTGCCGCAATTGGTTGGGTAACGACGCATGGCAGTTCGAGCCCCACGATGTGTTTGACGGATTGTATTTCAGAAGCAAAGATGTTTCAGACATGTTCTTCCATCTCCGCTGAGGCCGTGAAGGTCAACGTAGTAAATAAATGACTAGTTCAGAAAGTTAGTTGCGTGTTATGGAGTGATAGCCGGAGAGCCTACCGTTGTCCGAACTTCTCTTGCGTTGGAGCGGAGACTTGAACGCTGGGATAGTCAATAGTGAATTTGCTTTCGATTTGTGGAATTTTGTTAAGCCCATCGAAAACAGGGGGCTCTTCTTCAGGCTTGAGATACGACAAGTAGACTGCCGGTTCAAAGGCGTCGCGCTCCCGATTATATAGAAAGCGAGTCCAATGCGACAAGTCCGTGTCGGATGCGAGATCGATAGTGAACCGATGCGTTTGGGCAAGAACATTGGAAGTATACTTTGAATCAAAAGACTTGAACCCCAGCAATTGTTAGTGCCGTTGAAAACGCGCGCACGGAAGCGAGTGATGATGCCAAAGTTGTTGGCACCACCACGCAGTGCATAGTACAGGTCGGGGTTGGAGTCATGGGTTACATTGAAGACTGTTGCATTTGGCAAGACAAGCTAGATAGACGTTGTTAGATAATGTATAAGTATACAATAGGATAAGACTTTACATACCTCGTATTCGAAGACGTTATCGGCAGCTAGGCCGTGCTTAGGCGTCAGGTTGGAGAAGCCGCCGCCCATGGTGAAGCCAGCGACGCCAACTGTATCGACTCTTCCGCCAATGAATGTCAATCCAAACGCTTCAAGCTGGCCGAAAGCTTTGAAGAGTGTAAGACCGCTTCCTAGCCAGGCACTTTGTCTGTCAGGTTCAGGAACAGCCTGGTTGAAACGATTCATGTCAATCGTAACACCACCACTGCTTTTGCTGGCGTCTAAAGCTCTGGAATGGCAACCACCCTTGATTGCAAATGTGCACCAGTGCTTGGTCAGAATCTCTAGAGTTTTAACGACCTCGGAGGTGTCTTGCGGTTCGACTCGACAGGCAGAAACCACCTCTGCTTGTTTGCCATCCCAGATCTGAAATTGGGGGTCGTTACCAGCAGGGTGAAACCTCTGTGAACCAACAAGATGCTCTAGTTCTGCACACTAAAGGCCAGCATACGTCAGTATTTCTCTTGATCTCACAACAGCAGCCTTCACTTACAGCGTCGCTACAACCAGAGGTTACGGAGGGTATGGTATTGGCGTGAGAGCCAATGGCTTGGACTAAGCTCAGAAAGGCCATTTTCGATAGCATTATGAGTGAAACTTGTTTAGCTGGTGTTGGTGTTATCTGGTTGAAACTTATTCTTGCCAGACATTCTCAAGTGAAGGGATTCAGGGTTTATATAGCCCATCGTAGAGCTGTCGTCGTCGGGCAAACTCCATTTGCCGGAATTATTGCCTTCGCACTGTTGAGAGGTCTGTAAACTTACACGTCTGTGAAGAATTACTCGACATCGCGATGCGTCTCTTACCATAACCAGCGTCACGTTCGGACTTGAAGCCGCTTGTATCGGCGTTTTTGTAGTTGCGTCTGCAGTCGGCCCGAGATGCCGCTGCAACGATTCAAGCATCGCAACATCTTGTTTGGCTATAACATCCTAACTATCATCTCTTAAGTCCGCGGGCTCTATAAAAGCTTCGTGCAGCACTGCCACTATTGATGGAAGATGTTGCATTGAACTGTAGGCCTCTAGGTACACTTCGATGCATTGTGGCGCGTTCCAGTGTTGCCAAGATTTGCAAGGAGCGGCGAAAAGTCCGCACCTACGCAGTCGCTAAGCTCGAAAAACAAAAGGGCCGATTAATAAATATTTTATTCAATATTTCTTTCACCAAATCTACAGCTTTGTAGGCTGTCCGTTAGCGGCCCGCCAGGCGTAGTGGGGTTGCGAATACCCAGAACCCTTGGCTAACCCGGAGGCGCATCGCCTTGCTCTCCTCCGCCATCTACGCCGTGATCTTCGCCAACAGGCTGCACACACCCTCCGACCGCCTCTTCCCTCTTCAAGCCTCTATAAATGGCTCCTGTGCAGCGATTCGATCACGATGGCATTGAGCGTACGCCCTTATCCGCTCCTTGCACTTGCGCTGCCCAGCTAACGTCACTTCTGCAGAACAAGTCAAAGATGTCATCCAGGACCTCTACCAGGTAATGGTGCAGGTTTCTTCGTACGATTCGGTCGGTAAACCAAGCAAAGATGTACTCGCAAACGAAATGTACTACTTCCCGCGTTCTCTAGTTTCTGTATCCTCGTTCGCTAACCATTGAGTGTGCAGCCAAACGCTCTCCAAGTCACTGCAAAAAGTCCACACGACCGCCTCGGCGCCCGACTCGCTCCCTTCCGTGCCGCCAGAGCTCCTGGAGTATGTCGAAAACGGCCGCAATCCCGACATCTACACTCGCGAGTTCGTCGAACTCGTGCGCCGCGGCAACCAGCTTATGCGCGGCAAGACACACGCCTTTGCCGACTTCCGCGACGTGCTTGCTAAGAACATATGCAAGGCAAACCCTGAGCTGAGAGAAGACGTTGTTCGCGTTGTCGAAGCGACAGGGGGCAGTAAAGCAGCTCTTGATGCGTCGCTAAGCGAGCCATCGGGCGTAGACGAATCTGCGAATGCGTCTACAAGCATTACGTCCACAGCAACAAACCCCAATCTGCCGCAATGACGGCGTAAATATTCTTGGCTCGAAGGAACAGGCGTTCGGTGTTTAACAAGGTGCATATGATCGTGGTTTTTAATAAGTATACAAAGGGTTATTTTAGAACATTTTTATTCCGATTGATGTCTATCTGTTTTTCCCCAAATTGCGCCGTGACAATGATGTTTCTCCTATGCATGTCCATCCTCTTCATACCATTCCTCTTCTGTATCATTTCAGCCAGCATGTCCTTTTAGACTGCGGTGAATTGCCGCCAAGATCCAACTAGAAACAAAAATAAAAAGCGATATATGAAAAACTAGCCCTTGCAGGGACAGCCCAAACTGCGTGTTGAAGGCGTATGTCCAGTAAGCTGCAAGGATTGCGTAAAGAAAGGGAAAAGAAATAAGAGCAGGCTAAGAGCCCGTCTCCCAACATTATACTTTTTTATTTTCAATCACGCTTCAAGCGCTGCCAAATATATCTTGTGCAGATATACACAACAGCTAGAAGGATCGAGCCCAAGAGAACCAACTGCGCTGGCAACAGCACCATTGCACCAACAAGGAATGCACCATATGTTCGGATGATGGCAACCCATTGATCCCGAGACTCCCTGCGTCGGACGAACTGGTCTGAATCAAACCGAGTCTTCTGAGAGTTGTATGCGTCCTGTTGGTCGTCACTTTTTTCATATGGCGGATGTGCCTCCCACTCTTCTTCGGCGTCGTCTCCCGCGCCGTTGCTAGCGCTTGGCCGTCATGAGAAGGGGAAACCACCACCGCCGAACCCTTGGCCGGGACGGCCACGGCCACCTCCAGCGGTGTTGAAGTTGAAGCTAGCGCCGCCAGGGAAGCCACCGGCTCCTCCGGGGAAACCACCAGCGCTGCGGAAGCCTCCACCGCCGCCGAAGCCGCCTTGGTTGCCCATCATGCTAAAGAGAATCTCAGGGTCGATGCCGCCCATGCCGCCTCCCATGCCGCCGCCAAACATATCGGCCGCGTCCATGAGGTCGTCACCGTTGTCGTATCTAGCCTTCTTCCTGTTTGGCTGTTAGCGTTTGTCCGTTCATACTTAGATGGTGAAAGGGATCACTTACTCAGGGTCACTAAGAGTTTCGTAGGCTTCAGCCAGATCCTTGAATCGCTCTTCAGCCTCTGGGTCGTCAGGGTTCTTGTCAGGATGCAGCTTGATAGCCATTTTGCGGTAAGCCTTCTTGATCTCGTCAGGGCCAGCAGTCTTCTCGACGCCGACAATCTTGTAGTAGTCTTTGCGCAGGCTCTTCTTAAGCTCAAGCTCGGCCTTACGAACTTCTTTAGGAATGGTGCGGTCCTCAGGGTCAAGTTCTTGGACATTCTTCCACTCCTTAACAGATTCCTCCCATTGGCCGGACAGTCCAAGAGCGTTGGCCTTGGTTTTCCTGGCCTTAATGTAGCTGGGATCCAAGCTGTAGGCGCGGTCGGTATCGGCGATGGCCTCATCGTACTGCTTGAGCTTGATGTGGCACTGGGCTCTGTTTTGGAGAAGTTTGGCGTTGATAGCGCGGTTGGAGGGGTCGATTTCGAGGGCTGCGGTATACTTTTCAATGGCAGCAGCATGTCGGCCAGCCTTGAATTCAACGTTTCCTTCCTCCTTCATGCGGTCAAGCTTCTGGACAATGCGGAGCCATTTGATGGCGTCGCGGAAGTCGGGGTCGCAGCTGACGGCGGCACGGAAGAGCTGGATAGCCTTTTCGTTGTCGCCCTGGTTGTAAAGTGTTCTTCCTCGCAGGACTAAAGCCTCGGGATCTTGGTTGTTGTTGCGGAGCAGGTTCATGGCGATATTCTGAGCCTCACCCAGAGAGTTTTCACGGCCCATCTTCAGGTACGCCTCACCTCGCATCAACTGCCACTTGCGCGGCTTGCTGACTCCGGGACCCAAGTAGCGTTCGGCTTGGTCCAAGGCGTGGAGAACCATGGACATGGCAGTGCCTCTCTCCAGAGATTCTTTAGCCGAGTTTATGTACTGCTGCATCTCCTTAGCGGGAGCCATATCCTTGGCAGACGGCGCAGGCTCGATGCGGCTGAATGTCAGGAGCGCCTCATCTGGCTGGCCGAGGCCAGTGTAGATACGAGCCAAACGCAACAAAATTTTGGGGTTTTGAGGGTCAATATCGGCAGCTCGTGAGCAGTCCTCAAGGGCGGCAATGTACTGGCCGTTGGACATGAAGGCGGCAGCACGGTTGCTAAGGTATGTCGAGGATTCGGGCATCAGGTTGACGGCTGCAAACCAGTTAGTTAGGTTCAAGTTTATATCGGTATAGTTTGTCACTCTTACCATTGGAGTACTGTTCAATAGCCTTTCTGTAATCCTTTTCTTTGAAGAATTTGTTGCCGGCAGCCTTGAAAGCCTCGGCCTCGTCAACGGTAGACGGCGCGGGGCTTGGGGGGGCAGATTTGTGAGGAGGAGGGGCAGGAGGCTCGCCATGCATGGTACCGTTGGGAATTGGAACCGAGAAGTTTGCTTGTGCTGATGGTTTAGGCGAACCGGAAGCGCCGTTAACGGGCTCCCGGTCAATATCCATGGCATCGTTGGCGCTCATGGCTGTGGAAGAGCGCGAAAGCGTCGAGAAGCGCTTTCGTTCCTCGGGGGGAAGGTTGAGGGGGTGAGTGTCGGGGTCGTATTTGCTTCCTCGGCGAGAAGAAGATGAGGAAGATGCGCCCGGGTCTGTCGATTGTCTCGAGAGCCTGGACTGGCGTGAGGCCGATTTTGTGTCTCGTGACGACTCGTGCCGAGAGGATTTTTTGGGAGATCTCGAGGACGAGGACGACGAGGACTTGGTGGGGGAAGACGGCTCCGAGTAGTGATGGCGGTGCGCGGGGTCTCGGTCGTCAAGGCTGGACGAGTGTGAATGTTTCTTGGAAGAAGATTCCTTCTTGCTGGCGCCAAAGAACTTCATTTGGGGGCGGCCCTCGGTGGGTGAGAAAAAAAAAGGCAGCAGGTCCCGCAACAAGGTTCTACCGGATAACGCACTAAAGCCGCCTAGCAAGTACGGGGCCCCAACTGGCTGAACTTAGTGAGAAGTGCGCTAATACTTGTAACTGGCACCGGCTTTGGATTTCTTTTTGGTTCGGCGATCGTCAGTGTCTGCGTGTGCGCGCGTGTGCGGCTACGGTGGTGTGTGTGTGGGCGGGCACCGTATTGTGTGCGTGAGTCGGCTGATGAAAAGACTTGCCCACTGCAGTGCCGTCAATGTACTGTTATTGCACAAGGTCCTGTCTGGTCTTCTTTGGCTGCTGATTGCCTCTACCGGCTTAGGCGGGTTTCTTTGTCTAGCTGATGCAGCCCGTAATGGCCCCTTTTTGGTGAAGGATGGGCTCCGTAGCGGCTGTGCAAAGTCCAGGCGGTTGTAGGTTAATGGGCAGTGATACGTAGCCTGACTTCTGCGTGTTTCGGTCCCTTTGCTTGCTTCAGGGAGATGTAGAAGAGAGAAAGCGAAATCTGCGAGGTCGGGTTCTGCACAGAGTCGAGGACACAGTGACCCTTGTCTGCTTTTTACTGGCTCCTCATCACCGTGCTGAGGGTTCGCCTCTTGCGGACGAGGTTGGGATTGGATGCCCCGTAGCACAGCGCCTACAGGCCCTGGTTTACAGTGAGCTGTCGCCTAACGACCCCTTTGACGGGTTCTGCCTTGGCCCCGGAAGACGGACCGGTGCAGGCTTACAGTGCCACTTCTACAGGGCTTACAGAGCCCAATGGAAGGGTTGGTTCAGGCGTGCTCAGGCAGGTTTGGTTCGCTCCGAAGTCGGGCAATACAGAAGACTTGTCAGCTAACATTCCTACTGATACTAATTCACATGCATCATCTCGTTGCAATTGTACTGCATGCACATCACAGCGCATGCCTGTGACGGACATCTACAGGGAACTCGTTCAGCGCTGCTGCCAAATTTCTTTCTTATATTGGCTGCCCACAGGGGCGCTTTCTGTGATTCTAGAAGATTCAGTGGGGCCGGTCAACAGCGCCGGTGGTTGGTGGGAGACCCCGACGTCATCGAAGGCTTCTGATTGGTCTTAAAGAACCCCGAAAAGAGTTTACATGATGCATTCACTGTTGAAAATGGCGAACTGTACTGTGGAAAAATTAGTTTACAATACATATGCGGCGGAGGAGAGATCTTTATTGGATCGTTATATTCATGGTTACCAACTAATTTGGAGAAAATAAATAAAATAATAATAGGAGTCACGTATCTCATACAGCAGCCTCTCAGCCTGGAAATTTACACAGCACCGGCCTCTTGCTGAGAACCATTACTCTCCGAAGTCCCCTGCGTGCCTGCGATGGAACTGACAAAATCCTGATACTTGAATACATCTCCTCGCTTCGCAGCCAGTTGGGCATTCATATTACGGTTGAATGCTCGACGTCCTGTGAATCCTTGCACAACCATGTCCACTTCGGCAGCTGTGAGTGGTCGTTCTCCAGCCTCTGGGGGAGTATTAAGTAACGCTTCCCTCAACTCGGCCCAATCAATCTGGCCACTATCATCATCATCGAATGCAGAGAATGCAGACAAGAGCTCGTTGCTTGGAGACAACGCAGCCAGTGCTTCCGCTAGAGAGTTGAGAAAAGCTGCCAGAGCAATTGTTTGAGGTTTGGAGGGCGGGAAGAACTGGGCAACATCGGATGGTCCTGCGGGCAATCCTAAATATAGAGTTAACACTATTGCGATGGGAAATATGGTTTAAGCGGCCATCACCCACCTAGCTGTTGCAGCATATCGCCAACATCGTCTCTGTTCACGACTCCATCGCAGTCACGGTCGAGGATCTGAAAACTATCACGTAGAGTCCGAACCTGTCCGGCCTGGAGCTGTGACAGGGCATTGCCGTTGAGCATGCCCTGTGTTGATCGGGTTCTCGAATGCATTTGTCTTTGTGGCGAAACGAATACGTCGTCAGATGATTGAGGGCCTTTTGGGGTCCAGCTCGATTGCGCGCTACCGGCTGTTCCCGGTCTGTGTGTTCTCAAGTTGTTTGTTCCAGGCGTATTCTTCGATGGCGATGCAGTTGGAGTGCTAATTCGAAGAGGCGAGGGCGACACGGGCGACTCTGGACGTCGGAATGGCGAGTTTCTGGTTGGTGATGACCCATAAAGGTGCGGAGGTTTGTAGGAAGCAGAGATGGACTAGTCAAGAGTGAAGATGCGTCAGTAACTGCAACGCATTAATGCAAAAGGATTCGTCTGCACGCTCATACCATTGTGACGGCCGGCGCTACGCGCAAGGGAGAGACAATGCGTCTGGTTGGCCAAGAGACAGTGCGTGGTGGGGACGTGAACAATGGCGTCTGGGTAAAAAGAAAACGAAGCAAGAGGGTGCAGTAGGTGAAAGACTGCTACAGTAAGTCGACGAATATGCTACCCTTTGAAAAGAATTTCCTCAAGCGATATTTGCAGTAAATAGAGTTGACAAAAGTCGCACGTCGTCGACGTGGTAGCCAAGCAGGGTCCTAGTGTGTCCAAAGTAAACAAAGCCCTGCTGCCACCCTGACAACCACGCCACACTTGGGACTCCCCAAACCCAAATGGAGGGGCAGCCCCAGGTGTGGCTTGTGAGTAGCGCCACAGCGCACGAGTCGCTCATGGGTAGCGCTCAAAATGGCTAGATGCAGGGGCTACAGGGGTATCCCCCAAATTCCCTAGCGCCCAAAATTAGTGCTGGTGCCATTGCTCTGGGCATCTTTTACTGGCCACCGCTAGCGCCGCTTCCTATCCAGGAGGGGGTAGGCGGCGGGGGCGTTGGAACCATGGAGCATAGGTTTCCCCTTTCTGCCAGTCTGCCAAAACCACCCCCCACCGCCTAGAGTGCTGGCAACTCAAACTACGTTAACCACTGCCCCCCTCTGGCGTACCGCTTCTTCCAAAGACGAGCATTTATCCTAGTCTTGTTCTCGTAGCCGAGGAGCCTCTGTTCGATTCTTTGCAGAGTCGGCGAATAAAGACCCGACTGTCAATTGCGGGGAATCTAACCAGCTCCCTGCGACTCCTCCTCACCGTCTCAAAATCGTCTGAAACATCCGCCTTGCAGCCAATCCCGTCCAACTTCTCGAAGCTCTTTCTACAATTTCGATATCGATATGACTCTGCGCAACTGAGAGAATTGCAGCTCGATTCTGCCTACCCGAATTCGCCTCCCAAAATCCGCCTTAACATAGCCAATTGGGCTCTCGTTCTATTACTTATCACAAACGCCACGACTCCGTTGCAATGGCGGCCGCATTGCCCACCACGTCACGGTCTCAGGTGCTCCCTAGTCACTCAAATGGGCCCTCTGCTCCAGCACCCCGCAAGCCTTCACTTTCTTCCTTCCCAATATCACCATCTGCGTCGCAAATGTCCCTGGCGTCCCGGCCGTCGAGATCGCCGCAGCTCGCCATCATGACGGACTCGGATCGCATTTCCGATCCCAGCTCCCACTCCAAAGCGCCATCTATAGAGCAGCCATCCTCACAACATTCTTCCATCTCGGGCCCCAGGCGCGTCCATGCCGATGCTCGTAACTATCGCAAACTTCGATCGCAATATCCCCGAGGCTCGACTGAGAACCATGTCGAATATATCCTTGTTGCCTCTTTTGATATCGACAGGGGTCCGGTTATGGAACACCAGTATCCTGTTGCGATTACTGGCGACGAGAACATGCTGGCGGAACTGATGCTGCCTGACCAAGCCCACGCACGCAACCAGGATTGGACCATGTTCTTCTTGCACAAGGATCTAAGCGAGGAAGAAGAAGATCAAGAGCAAGCCGAAAGAGATATTAGGCGCAAACGACGTCTCCGACGTCAAGAAAAAGCAGCCGGTATTGTTTCCGAGGGGGTGAACGGCGATCTCAGCGACGACTACGATCAAAACTACGACGATGATTCGGACAGTGAACCGGAAGGAGGCGAAGGCCCCCCATTAATCTATGTGCTGAATCTCGTCAACACAAAACATGATAAGACTGTAAAAAGAGGTGCCATTGTCAAAGCGATGGCTATCTGCACTCGTCACCCGTTCCTACATATCTACAAGGTACATTGATCGCACCCCCCATAAACAGCTCTCGTTTACTAATCTCTGCTATTTAGCCTCTACTTCTCCTCGCTCTTGAAGAATACTTCAAATCCCCAGTCCCCGAGACACTATCAATGCTCTACGATGCCGTCAATGACATGGATCTCTCACTAATGCCGCGACTGAGCATTCTAGAACGTCACTTGTTGCTGGCCAGTGACAACAAAGACTTGTTTGTGGAAAAGTTTGAGCGCATGATTCAGATGCGTATGGCAGAGGAGCGTGGAGAAGCTATCACAGACACGATTGATCGCGATCATCGATCAGCAGAGACTTCAACCATATCCCGTCGCGGTACAAAGGCTCATATTGAAGGCGGCAACTCAACATCGACATATTCAGTTCCGCGAGACACACACGAGTTCGAGTCCAAAGTTATGTATAAGGGCATCCCAATCCCCATCAAAATCCCAACAGCTGTTATGCCCGAGACTGTAGGCGACTTTTCGCTCGTCAAGCTTATTCAGAAGTTTTCGGAACCGCACGCGAAGTCACCACAGCCATTCACCCTACATCCTCATCTGACGACAAATGGTGTCAACACGCATCCGATTATTGTCCTCGTGAATGGACTACTCACACAAAAGCGTGTCATCTTTCTCGGTCATAACCTCCCGTCGGGTGAAGTTGCGGAGGCGGTGCTGGCGGCTTGCGCGTTGGCTTCAGGCGGCATCCTAAGAGGCTTTACTCGCCATGCTTTCCCTTACACTGATCTTACCAAGATTGACGATCTGCTGAATGTGCCGGGCTTCATCGCTGGTGTAACTAATCCCACATTTGAACTCCATCCTGAGTGGTGGGATATTCTTTGTGATTTGCCTACTGGCCGCATAAAGATTAGCAGCAAGATTGAGCCAGCGCCTGTGACCGAGGGACTCTCTTATTTCCAGCAACAAAACCCGTCTCTTGCAACAATTGCCACGGGAACTGCAAACCAGAACCAGGACCTAACCGGTGATACTGCCTTCATGTCAGATGTTCTCCGCAGCATTGCTACAAGACACGGAGAGGCAGTCATGCGTGCAAAGTGGCGCGACTGGGTTCTGAAATTTACGAGAATATCAGCACAGTTTGAAGAAAGCGTATATGGAGCAAGCGCATTATACATCGGTGCCGAAGACCGTGAGCTCACTTTGCCTGGAGCAGCGGGCCACGGCTATGTATGGGCAGATGACACGGCCAAACACAAGGAACTTGCTGGAAACGTTACTAGAATCGAAGGCTGGCGCAATACGCGCAGCTACTACAGCTTTATCCAAGTGAGTACTACACAGTTAAACATATAACTAGCTTCAGAATTCTAACTGCTTGCAGGATCTGGCCCAAATATACACCGTCCGGCCATTAAAGGGCTTGGATCTGGGCCATATGCATGATCGACTCAGAATGCAGCGCTTAAGCCCAGCGCAGAGTCGTGATATTTACTTGACATTGGCCAAGTACATAAACTCGTATGATGAGATATGTCTGCTGCTGAGCGTCGCCCCGGAAGCACATGCAGGCCTGTTCTACCTGGCCTTGGGCTTGTTCCACAAAGACAAAGAAGTCCGATTCAAGACGGCCGACTTGCTGGAACGCATAGCGGAGCATGAAGCCGGCCAACACTGGTGGAAGAGCTTGAGCAGATTCGAAAAGTTGGCGTTTGCGCGCATCCGCAAAGAAGCAGAGGTAGAAATGCGCGCAAAACTTGAGAAAGATGGACTGCTCAGCCCTGTATTGGAACGACCCATGGCGTTCCGATGAAATAGGGTGGAGGTGTGAAATAGTTTGGAATTTGTTTACTTGTGTCGTTCTCTACAGTATATACGCGATATATCGGCGCATGGAAGGAGTATGGCATCTGATGCATTCGGCGGACATTTTGTTTTTTGATATTGGGAGGCGTTTAGTCCTTGGGAGACGCCGTATATAACGAAATACATACTACAAAGTTTCCATGATGTACAAAATATCTCCAATTATGATTCCTCTAGCCATGAATTTGTCCTTCTCTGCCATACTATTTTCATATACGGCTACTATGTACGTCTATCTTACAGGCCAAGAGCCTTAGCAGCGTGGTTGACGTGATCTTCGCCAAAAGTTGAGATGAAGTAGTACGAGTGGTCGTATCCCTAATATCTTCTAGTTAATTCAGGTACTCACAATCACGCTAAATCATGTCATACCTCTTGGAATCGCAGGTTAAGTCCCTCAACGCCTGCCTCAGTGGCCGCCTTTTGCAAGTTTTCAGGCAGAAGCTGGCCATTAGTATAGAAGTTGTCACCAGTTCCCTAGTAACTGTGTTAGCCTCGTCGTGTTACATAAAGTTTGTCTCAGAAGTTCCTACCACATCGATCAAGCAGTTAAACTGTCCTTTGAAAGTCTTGATCAGCTCTGTAGCATCGTGCTTCTTCCACTCCTGACGGTAGTCGCCAATGTATCCGGTGAAAGCCTTCTCTCCCCAAGGGCACTGTGTAGGGTTGCAAATAGGCGAGAATGCACTAACACTCTTGTACATTCCTGGATTCTTGAGGAATAGCGTCAATGCACCGTGGCCACCCATAGAGTGGCCAGTGATGGAGATACGGCTGCTGTCGAGCTCCTGGAAGTTCTGGAACACCAGCTCGGGAAGCTCCTTGGTGAGGTATGACTCCATGCGATAGTTTGTGCTCCATGGCGCTTTAGGGGCGTCGATATAGAAGGAAGCAGCACTTCCAAAGTCCCATGAGTCGTGCTCGCCAGGTAGATCAAGACCGCGAGGCGAGGTATCTGGGAAGAGGAGTGCCAGGGAGACCTTGGAAGCATGTGCGTGAAGGAATCCCTTGTCTGATACGTTCTCGGGACTGCAGGTAAGTCCAGACAAATACATGAGAAGTGGCGCGGGCTTAGAGGATGACGCGCCGGCTGGAAGGAAGAGGTTGAAGTTCATGGGGGTGCCAGTCGTGGTGGACTGGTGCGTCAGCTTAAGGAGCTTGCCACCAAAGGTGTTGATGGTTGCATTGGTAGTGAAAGCCATGGCTACTCCAAATATATGAACGTTAGGAACAGTGTATACAGTAAATGATGGTTGAGAAGGATAACGGAGGTTGTGATGGAGAGTAGGCCCAATAGCGTGATGATGTTGAACCCCGCCAAGTTGTACACCCCGCCCTGGGCGGGTGCCGGTACCGCTGTCGCCACGGCGCAGCTTCGGCATTCGGTATGCCCTTGGCGATTGATAGATCAATTACGTTAAGATACCATTTAAATAATAATGATTGTTTGAAATGTCAGTCACCTTGATATTGTGTTCAGATCAGCTGCGTCTAATAAATCAAATTTTCCCTATTTTTTAGAATCCTTATATCTTGTGTTGGTAAATTACATGCCAATTGTAATATCAAAAAGGTTAACGCCACGCTCATGCATTGAAATACAGCCCTGAGAAATCCACAAACCACAGTGAAAAGAGTCTTCTGGTTAGAATACGCCACAGCGTGCAATCTCTGGGGTTGGGGATACGTGAGCCCAGTTGTATCATGTTCAGGGCTGCACCACCATCGCCAGTCGCTTGCCGCAGCATCGCATCAATCAGCCGCTATTCACTCGAATCGGCTCCATTGTTTACTGAAGCAACTCTTCGCAGGTCCAGTCCTCGTAGCTAAAACACGATGTTAGTACAACACGGCTCCAAGAGAAGCGGTGGTAGAGGTAGACTCACTATCCATCAGGCATGTATCTTCGCACAATCAGGGGAATCTTCTTTTCACGCAACTCCTTGATAGCAATCTGCAAAGGATCCGTCTCACCCTCCAAATCGACCAATACGGGCGCGTTCATGCTGTGGAAGGAAAGTCAGTTAGAACATGCGCTGCGCTATCATCCATTGTCAAGGGCCATACCTAATTTGCAGTGCGCGGGTACCCAAGATACGGGCGCGCTCATACTTGGTCATGTAGGGCGTTGTGTTTCGCTCCGAGTCGGGAATCTTCTTGTCCTTGACGGAGAGCTGATCGCGTTGCGCATTGGCGGCGGCAGAAGGGTCGCCGGAGACGACAATGTTGTCCTCGTCACCATTCTCGAGTTCATCGCCATCACCCTCTTCGGGAACTTCTGGCTCGTAGAATTCGGTCACCTCATCCTCGTCGAAGACGTTGTCGTCACTGTGAGCAGCCAGGGTTAGATGAAACGCTCGATTTGCGCTGTCGCGATGGACAAACTTACCCGCCACCACCAACATCGTCATCACCAAAGTCAGACATTTTCCGGCTTGTATTTGATGATAAGTATATGCACAAGCTACCCAAGGTGTGAATTAGAGTATGCCAGCTGCGGAATTCTGCAAATAAAGTCGAGATCTAGGCGATCAGAAAAAAACCTTGCACGAAGCTGCAAAATGAACTAGCCACCTCGATTGGCGCCAGACTTTTTCCCGGGGCTTTCCCGGGCATGGGCATGTCGGTCGGCACCCACCAAACTGTCTGCGTCAGGCGGCTCCGCTTGCAAAAAGAGGCGCCCCACCAGAATTTTCAATGTCACCGCCCAAATTTACAACCACCGACTATTCTGCCGCCTCTCCAAGACCCAGCCATACACATTCACATCCTGTGCAGCAGTGAAAATATGCTGCAATACCGGGATCATGGTCAAACGTACTGCTCATGATGTCCCGCCCGAGGCCTCGCCTCCCAAAAAGCATCACATGGCAGAAAACCACCCACAAACCTGTTCGTCGCCTGCTTCATGGCCCCCAGACGTCGCTAATACCAGCAAAGATGTTGATGATTTTGAAGACGACAATACTACAGCTCAAACTCCCAATTCCACAAACGCCACAGCTGAGCCAGCGTCACCGGCTACCGTAGTCACCACTCCTCGACCAAAGTTCCCCTCCGACCTCAAGACCCTCGCATGCACATGGCCAGGATGCTCGAAAACCTTTAATCGACCTGCCCGACTACGAGACCATCTCAACTCCCACACGAATTCACGGCCCTTTAAATGCCCATATGACGACTGTGACAAGGACTATATTGAAGACAAGCATCTCAAGCAGCACATCAAGGCCGTACATACTCATGAGCGCAAGCATGTCTGCCAACGAGAAGGCTGCGGTAAGAGCTTCGTCACAGGAACTCGCTTGAAGCGACATCAAGCTGTCCACGAAGGCGCTGATCGCTTCAGATGCGGTGACTGTGGACAGAGCTTCCGCAAGAGAGAGACGCTCAACAAACACATCTTGAAAGACCACAAGGGCTTGCCGCCCCATCAATGTAGCGAGCCAGGATGTACAGAAGCCTTTGAATCTAAAGGTGCGCTCAGACGCCATGAGCAGCGGGCCCATGGCGAAATTAAATATTGGTGTGGCGAATGCGGGTTACAGACTATGCCTGATGGGACTGAAAAGCGAACTGGCTTTACCACTGAGCAGCTCCTCCAGGCTCACTTGAAGCAGGAGCATCAAAACTGCATGTTCTGCGACTTCAAGTCCTCCAAGCAAGGCGAACTCGTTCAGCACATTGATATGCACCATTCAGGCAAGACCCTAGATGATCGCAAGACAGTGCTGTGCCTTTATGAAAACTGCACCAAGCGCTTCACCAAAAAGTCCAACCTAACAGCGCATATCCGTATTGCCCACGAGGGCGTCCGATTTATTTGCGGCCAGACAGTGATAACTGGGTCTAACCTGGAGGAATGGCACAACGGCCTAGGTTGCGGTGACAAGTTCAGCAGCAAGGTCCGTCTAGAAGATCACATCCGCTACGTCCACCTCGGCCAGGCGCGTCCTAAGCTCGCATATGGATCTACATCATCGCCCGCCGACCAAGACGTCACCCTCGACAACCTTTTGGGTATCGGTGGTAGCGAGATGGCTCAGGATATCAGCTGCCCCAACTGTAACTACTTGTTCAAGCGTTACCATGACCTTAACAAACATTTGGAGAGCGGCGTGTGCCCAGGCATGTTTGCAACAGACACGCAGCTCATACAGGACTTTACTACCCTCCATGATGCTGAGCCAGCACCGGGTCTGAAGGAGTGGCCATCAGATCTCGGCCAAGACGAGATCTTTGCGGCCGAGATGGACTATGGTCCTGCACAAGATGACTGGCTTCAAGACGAAGCAAGCATTATGCTGCTTGCTCGCAAAAGCCCTGACGATAATGAAGACCAAGTGGATCCAGCCCTCAGTGTCATCTGATGAGCTATTTGATACACTTCGTGTACTAAGTCTAGCAGCAAGCATGGACATTACATATGAACATTATGAACAACTATATAGCATGGGCGGCGTTTTATATTTTGATATTTTATTATTTTATTTTAGGATCGTCGAGATATGGACTCTTGGTATATAATTCAAAAAGTTTCTTGTTTCTTGTATTTACATGCTCATATGCTTGATTCTAAACGTGACCGCTTCAGTACCAGCTATGGCTGTGCGATGGAGGTCAACGTGAAAGCGCAGTACGCTAAGAACTAATCTATGGAGTAATGAAACGAAAGGAAATATGTCAACTTGATTAAAAAGAAGAAACTCCTTATGGCTCCGTAAAAATGCATAGCCACCTTGGCTATAGTGTTAAACTGCAAGTGTACCAAGTGACTCCGTTGTCCCATATCCAACCTCTATATCCAGTTTTGTACTTAATGAGTCGATACCAAAGCGTTACTGTAGCCCAGAATAGCCATGCCCAGAAACGCGAAGAAGATGCACAAGTTACGGTTATGGTTGAAGCTCAAGCTTTCAACAAATAGCTGCAGCGCAACGCTAACCATGATACCTGAGGTAATGGCGAAGAGACAAGCGTATGCTACTTCGTTCGGCTGAAAGTTGGTCTTGTTGGCAAGCTTGAACCACAAGACAGCCATACCTGCACCGAAAGGCTGTGATAGACCACCCAGTAGAGCTGTCCAGGCCATAGCGCTCCAGCGAGAACCAAGAGCCATGTACAGGGGAAGGGCCATGGCAAATCCCTCTGTGATGTTGTGGACGAAAAGAGCCATGAAAACGTTGAAGCCTAGATCAGGATTGACATGGTTGGTTGCGTAGGTAATGAAACCTTCGGGGAATTTGTGAAGAGCAATTGCGATGGAAGTTTGCAAGCCGATGGAGAGGAAAGCATTGGTGGGAACGTGGTGGTGGTGTTGAGCCTCCACATCTTCCTCACCGTCGTAGGACTCCATCTCGTCGCCTTCGTATTCAGAGTGTTCTCCTGTATGCATGGGATCACGCGAAGTAGCTCGACTAGTTCGGTAACGGGGGCTAACAGGTGTATCCCCTGCTTCTCTATAGTGTTCATCGACCGGTACAAAGACATTGGTTCGAAGCACTGCCGGAAGTCGGCCGGCCGATGCACTGCGTTGGGCAACGTGTTTGAAGCATTCTTGTCCGCAAGGATCGCTGTAGCCATAGCAAGAGCCCTGCTCGTCGCAGTTTTGCTTAGTATCCTTGACAAAGGACATTACCCGATTCTGTACTTCCAACATCGACGGGCGGCGTCTAAGGTCATCACCAGCAACTCTAGTGCGTCCGCGACCTCGGTGCGCCGTCGTAACTCGTCTGGGTAGCTCTCCTGACCTTGAAAGGATGCTTTCAGTAGAGCGGATGAGTGGCGTAGTTTCACTGGCTGGGTGATTGCCCTCGGCATAATGATGGTTAGGGTGATGGTTAAGATGCCGCGTAGTTGAGCTGTGTCGAGAAGATGCGGCATGGCTATGGTGATCGTGAATTCCGTGAGAATGGCCGTGACCACCTGCATGTGAATGATCGCAATCAACAACATGAGACGGGACATATCGGTGGAGAGCTCTCGAGAGGATTTGTATGCCAAAAAAGCCAGCAACAAAGCAGCTCATCATTAGGAAGCCTGCAGGCTGATGGGACCAGCCAGCATTTTTAAGATATTCCTTCGCCTCTGGTAGCATATTGTATAATGACGAAAAAAGCTGTATCATGACCATGTCAGCGTTAGGCGGACAAGTGCGCGCGCGTAGTGACAGGGGTTCTTACCATGACGCCGAAGCTCAAGCTCAGCGAGCAAGCCAGAAAGACATTGCTTTCTTGAATTCGGAAATTTCGTTTTCCGGGGAAGAGACGGATCACATAGTCGATGCAGATAACACTAGCACCAAAGAGGCACGCTGGAGAGTTGGGTGGTTAGCAAAATGCGGAGTGAGGCTTCCGGGCCTAGACATGAGAGAGTCGTACCTATGCCACTGACGAAGCACATGATCCAGCCCCTGGTATCATTGTCGATTCCAGTATTTGTGTTCACCATGATGGCGGTTGTATGTTGCCGCAAGGGCAGCGGAAGTGTCGACGCTGTTCACAACGAAACTGTTGCGTGGGCTGGAAAGCAATCACAGACGTTAGCCGGGCTGTCTAACAGCTGTCAGCGGGCGTAGCTAAGCAAACAAAGCGCAGCAAGCCAACTGCTTTGTGTTGAGAAGCAAAGGGAAACAAAGAAAAAAGGGAAAAGTGCAAACGACGTGAAAGGGCAGCCAAGAAAAAAGAAAGGAAGAAAGATTACGCGACTGTCACAAAAGTGGCGGTTTGCAACAGCGTCACGTTGAGTGGCTGCCCGGGTGCTAAATGGCAATCGACAGTGGAGCCGCTCCCTGACAAGGCCGTTTGGTCCGTGTCAACCAGGTTTTTTTTTTAAACCCTTCGCTTGGCTTTTTTTTGGTAGTGGTGGTAACTTACGATAACACGTCTAATGTGAGACAATACAAATAATTCCAACGGTAGTATTCAGCACCGACTGAGAAAACATGCTAAGGCTTTCACCTCCTTTTAAATGGCACCCGGATTTATGGATTAATCGTGGCACTGACCCTCGCTGACCAGTCAGAGTCCATCCTTTTGGGGCGAGTCCTCAAGGTTCTCGTGAGGCCATGCTGACGAGCCGAGCTGTCCCCGTGCTGCTTGACCGAATTTCGCACTAGCTGATCTGCTGCAGATGTGGTATCCTGGATTAGCCTGCGATTTATCATTCCGTCGTTCGATGGCTTGCTGCGAAAGAGATCATCCGAATTCCCAGATGCGATGAGCCTACCGGTACTCGCGTTTCGTCCCATGCGCCTTGCCCGCAGAGCCGCGTGGGAGATCTACTGCTAGCACTCTAATAGCTAGATCTACCGCTACCCTGCAACCCTCTGGCCCCCATCACGGCGTGCTAAATGATGGCCCCCGCGCAAAAGTTAGAGACGCGACGATTATATTATTTTGTAGAGATATTGTCTAAAGTTTAACCGGTAATTTATAGCCGCATTTTTTAATGTTGTCTATAAATAGTGCTGGTTCTGCAACGGAGCATACAGAAAGTATGTTCTATCCCAACAATGCTACCTCAATGAGGGGTCGTAGAAGACAAACTAACAGGCCAAAACAACACTATGGTCAATGTTCACGAATAAAAAAAAGTACCATAAACTTGAGAAGAAACCCCTAGCTCCTTCGACCAACTATAGAAAATCTGTCCTATATCTTAGTTGACAGATGCAAGCTGGGATATTGGGGGCTATTTTTATATTAGGACACAACAGGCACCCCACTACACAAAACAAATTTGATTACCCTTCTTAAGAGTAATTAAGCAGCGGTCGTCTTCCATGGAGCAAAGCCTCCACAACACTCCGCCCGGTTGGCTAAGTGGTATAGCGTCTCACTAGTACTTCCTGGTGAAATGAGAAGATCATGAGTTCGATTCTCATACTGGGCAGAATTTTTTTGGTTCTTTTTTGTCTTTTTGGTAGCCGTTTCCATAGTCATTGGGCCTAATTTTGGTCTACACCACTACAGTCTCACGCTCCACCAGGCAGTCTTTAATTTTCAGTGCACTTGTGCCTGCCAAGATACCGTTTTACATACGCTGTATCAATACACGGTGGTACCGAAAGCACGCCCAGCGCAGACAGTGTCTTATCGAAAGCAGGCCGTGTCCCTCTTCTGGAACGAGTCAATCGTCTTGTTTATTCGCAGTATAATCGCCCTTGACAAGACTAGACGAACGAGAAAGCCAAGCTTTTACTCTGTCGTGGCTCGGCGTGGCGTGCCCATCAAGGTAGATTAGCTGAAGCCACAAGCGTGCAGGGCACAATTACTTCCCTGCTTTATGAGGAGTGAGGTCCTTTTGTTATTTCTGCTTTCTAGAGGACCGTTGACATGTCAGGTCACACATTTAAGCTTATTTCGCGGGGCGCATTCGGCAGATGGTTGCTCTGGGGGCATCACGCACCGGGCAAGAGACATCTTAGTAGACAATATCCAGAGTCCAGCCCTGCCTTATATCTGTAAATAGAACGAAATTCCAAAACAGTGTTCAAGTCATGGAAAAAGCTTTTCAAATCCTAGAAAAAAGGCACACTCCGCCATTCCTTGACCTTCTCCAGGAGTTGGCTGCAAGTTTTCTTTGTTCAACACCGAACTCGGCTGGCTCAACGTCTAGATTTCCTATTCTGAACACCAGCTGCAAAGCCAGTGATACCGTAGAGGTTCTCAATACGCCTTGGCAGCAGCTTCCAAGACTTGAGGCGTTCGTGCCTTTGCTTTGACTGGTTAGACGAGTTCTTGGTATTGCCTGGGTGGGTAATCCAAGTACATCCAGTAGTGCCCTTGACAGCCACACTCGGCGAGCTAACCATTTGCTTAGCGTCTCCAACGGCACTTATATACCCCCCTCCTTCTCCAACTGCTCGTTACAGTCTTCGGCTACGATTACAAACACTTTTCTTTCACGACCGTTACGATGCAATTCAAGGATATCATCCCTCTTGCTGCCCTGAGCCAGGCTGTTTTTGCCGTCGCCAGCCCTCAGGCTGCCAGCTCTCCTGCTCCCACACCTACCGGAACTTGCGAGCCTCACGGTGATCACTGGCACTGCCCTTCTGGAGTCCCCCAGCCTTCTACAAACCCAGATGGCACTCCTAACACCAAGGCTTCCAAGGCTGACACCGGTGCTCACCCTACGCCCACCAACAGCAAGGAATGCAGCCCTCACAAGGACCACTGGCACTGCCCTTCGGGAGTTCCTCAGCCTACCACAAACCCTGACGGCTCGCCCAACACCAAGGCCTCTAAGGTCAACACCACTGGCCGCCCTGCACCTACCGACAGCACTGGCTGCGAACCTCACGGCGACCACTGGCACTGCCCCTCTGGCGTGCCCCAGCCCGTCACCAACCCCGACGGCTCTCCCAACACCAAGGCCAGCAAGCCCTCTGGTACTTCCGGGGCCGCTAAGTCTGGCACATCAGGCGCTGCTAACCCTACATCCAGCACTGCTGGTGCTGCTCGCTTCGGCTCCTCTTTTGGCGTGACCGCTGCTGGTGTCACGCTAGCCGCTGTTGTTCTCAGCGTTTGGATGCTGTAAGAAGTGTCGACTGTTTTGGGGGAGTTAAGCCAGGGATGTATAGAAGCAAGCTAGGCAGCTGCATCGTTGGTAGAAAAATCAACATGTGATGCGTATGTAATAATAGAATGGAGTTTAAAGACCCTATCAGCCGTGGTTATGGACGCGCAAGTGGTATGTCAGAAGAGCCGTATTATTAGTTGTAACATGACAGTGGCATTCGTGCGGCTCAGCTTCTGGGAGAGGAAAGACATGGCTCATAAGGGATTTTGAATGAGCCACAGACTCAAACACGCCGCAGTGTACCAAAGGTCAAGCGATGCTCTGGTTGAGTCGGAGGTCACGGGTTGTGGCGGCGTGGGTGAAGCTGGCGGCTGAGCACTTGCAACTAGGCAGACAAGTAAGAAGTCGGTCGAAAAACAATATGATAAACCGGTATCTATGTATTTCAATATCTAAAAATATTGGAAAATAAAATTCGGTTGCTGGATTTGCAGTTGATCCGAAAATAAAATGTACTGGTATATCTGGACCTCGCGTCTCAGGCGATGTTGTAAAGGGTACGTTGCGGGCCACCGTTAAGACCCCGTTTAACTGCTTCCGCGCCCACAGACCAACTAAAACACAGTTGTTCCTGCAGCGCGACTCCACCTAGCAAAAGTCACGCCCCGACTCCCGACGACACGCTTGAGCTTTGCATCGTTTGTCAGCCCTGTGGACGCAGCATCTGTACCTTTTCCCTCGCTATCAGACCATCTTGCACACGGGACGATAGCTCTCTGCCTCGTGGCCACAGCATCATCGCCAAACAGAACAGACGCTCGACCACGTTCCTCGCCATCGAACCTCGCAGACAGCCGCCTGACGATCTTCCGCCACGCATCGCAGCACAGCTTTCCATACCCTTTATTCTCGATTTTCATATATATAACCGCCACAGCCAGCACACCGTGCGGCCATTCCTATTAGCCCATCATGTCAAAGTCTTCTCTTGCCATGATTGCCGCCCTCAGCGCTGGAGGCGGCGCCGCCATCACGGCTGCCGTTTTTTCAATGCGCTCTGACAAGAAGCCCGAAATCGCCAGACAACCTACTGCCACTACCGCTCAAGCTCCTACTGGAGTCTCCTCCGCCATTCCTCCTACCCAAGTCTTCGCCCCTACCGCCCCCAACGCTCTCACCAGCCCCGTCGACCCTGCTGGTCTCTTCGAATATGGCTTCCCCGGCCCCATCTCTGACGTTGCTGCCAGATCAGCTCTTATTTCGAGCTATGACCGCCGCATGCGAAACCCCCAGTGGGTTGTCGAGCACATAACCCCCGCCTCGCTTGCCAAGCGCGACGCAGACCGCAAACACAGCAACTTTGTCGAGGACGACGCCATCCCGACCAAGTTCCGAGGCCTCCTCAAGGACTACTACCGCAGCGGATACGACCGTGGCCATCAGGTTCCTGCCGCTGACGCCAAGTGGTCCCAAAAGGCCATGGATGACACCTTTTATCTCAGCAACATGTGCCCTCAAGTTGGCGAGGGCTTCAACCGAGACTACTGGGCACATTTTGAGGACTTTTGCCGTCGCTTGACGCAGCGATATCCTTCGGTCCGCATCGTTACCGGACCCCTCTACCTTCCCCGCAAGGACCCCGTCGATAACAAGTGGTACGTCAAGTACGAGATGATTGGTAGCCCACCATCCGTTGCCGTACCCACGCACTTTTACAAGGTCATCTTTGCTGAGGACGGCCGTGCGGGAGGCAACGTCGCTATTGGCGCCTTTGTACTTCCCAACGCACCCATCTCCAACGATAAGCCTATTACCGATTTTGAAGTCCCCGTTGAGGCTGTTGAACGAGCCTCTGGACTCGAGTTTGCCACTAAGCTCCCTGTTCAGCGAAGAAAACGACTCTGCTCTGACACCACTTGCTCTCTTGTCATCCGAGATTATGCTGATCGCCAGAAGGCCTTTGGCAAGGGTGATAAGAAGGCTATTACTGGAGGAAACTAATGACTCGACATATACTGGCTGAGTAAATGAGGGTGTATGACTATAGGACAGATACTCGTGCATTGAGCAGGTGGAACCATATTGTTCGATAATTCAGCGCCGAGGCGCGCCGTTCTTCTTTTCCTCTATTTACTTTTGTTTCATCGGTTACACCGATATGATATGCACACAACGAGCATGTAACAATATTAATAGCATCAAATAGAATCATAAATTTCCCATACAAAATGAACATCTATTCTTTTACATAATCGTGACAAGACGCTTCTATAATACATACAAAAACACTAGGTATCGGCACTAATAGGGTACGAAATCGTCTTATCGTATTTTGGTATATTTTCCTTGCCGTTGTTCATGCCGCAAGCTCTCTTCTTGACTTGGTAGGGGAGCACGGCGACGTGCTGCGTCACTACTATCGCCATGGCTCATCGGCGCGGACTGCGGTGGTGGAGGTGGTGGCGGGAAGGGCATACCGTTGGCTCCCCCAGGCGGAGGGATCAGACCAGGGAGTAGACCACCCGGCGGCAAGGCACCCGGAGGAGGTAAAGGAATACCTGCCTTCTTCATGATTTCGAGAAGCTGGGCTGGGTTGGGAGGGTTGTTGGGATCCAGGCCGGGTAGCGGTGGAGGAGGAGCGCCATTCAAGCCTGGGAATGGGAACGGCGGCGCAAGAACGCCATTGGCACCAACACCAGGGATGGGTGGTGGCGGGAAAGGAATACCACCAATTCCAGGCACTGGAATACCAGGTGCACCAAGAGGGAGACCAGGAATACCAGGAACGCCGGATAGACCTGGAAGGCCAGGCAGACCGGCGGGTACTTGTGGCTTTGGCGCATCTTGATCAACAAGGGCCTCCATCTCATCTTCCATCTCCTGTTGCTCTTCCTCCTGGCGCTGGCGACGGTTACCGCGGCGGTCCCATGTGCCTTGGGCTTCCGCTGCAGCCTCGCCAATGTGGTATCGGTCTTGGAACACCTCGGTGTCGCCGGGGCGAGCTCTGGTCCAGAATCTTGTTATACGGTCATTGGAGCCTGATGCTAGGATATGACCGAGAGGGTGCCAGTCCAGCGACCAGATGGCATAGTCGTGAGCAAAGGAGATTTTATGCATGGGCCAAATCGACTGGGCCGGGGTATTGGTAGGATCAGGGCTGTCGTAAGGCGCAACAGTAAGTGGCTGGCCAGCAGGAGTATTAGGGGAGTCGAGGAGATAATGGAAGAGAGCACCGTCCATGCCACCAGTAGATAGGAGATTTGCGTGGATAGGATGCCATGTTAATGTGGAAATGTCCTTTTCGTGTCCCTTGAGCAGGCAGATGTCACGCATCATGCGCAGATCGAAGACTCGGGCAGTCTGGTCTCTGGCCGATGTGGCCAGGCAGCTACCTTGGACCTTTTCAAATAAGACCTTGGTAATGGTGCTCTTATGGCCATGTAGTGTTGTCAAGCAGCGACCGCTCCTGGGATCCCAAAGTTTAACCAAGTGATCCTTGGAACCGGACGCTAGGAGACCCTTTGTCGGATGCCAATCCACCGACTTGGCATCCCAGCCGTGTCCCTCTAACTTCGATTCCATTGTACCAAGGGCAAAGTCAAACACCTTTAGCGTGGCATCGTCAGAAGCTGTTACGAATTTCGAATCGTTGGGGCTGAAGGCAAGATCTCGAATGGAGTCTGCGTGGGCGTTGATGCTCTGAACGTTGTTAAAGTTGGGCTGCCAGTATTTGATGAGACCGTCGTGGTCAGCCGAAATCAGCCAATCGTCGCTATGTGAATATTCGAGGGCGCGAATCGCAGAGTCGTGCGCCTGCATAATTGTTTCGAAGTTGAAGCCGGTGCCGTTCCACAGGGTGAACTCGCCGCTTGTTGAGGCTGTCAACAGGCGACGACCTTCGGGAGTCCAACGGACTACGTTGACGGGATGCTTAATTTTGTTTAGGGAGGAGTGTAGATGCTTAACAGGAATCGTATCGGCTGGGTAGGCGGGACGAGCGACGGGAGGCAGCATCTGGATTGGAGGTTAGCTATGCCGCTACACAGTTTGAAAAAGGCATGCAGTCCGGAGCTTACATCGACAATATAACTGGCGCTAGGTCTCTCATATTCACCAGTGTATGAGCCCTTGTAATTGGGCACTCTGTCGCGCTGCCAATGGAGGATCGTGGCGCTATAGTCTGTGACAGGTCCTGCGATAGTGATGGCGGTTAGCTAGCTGTCTATGGCAGCACGAAGGTTCTTTACTCACGTCGACCTCTTACTTTGATTGCGCCATCACCACCTTGCGCTCCTCCTCTGTCGCCTTGATCGCCTCGAGGTTCGTAAGACATGATGCTTGCTGCGTCTGGAGACGGAGACGGTGATAGAGACTTTCGGGGTCCGTCGGCGACTTAGGATCGGTGGCTGCCGCAAATAACCGATGCGCGATGATGTAATAGACGCAATGGATTAGGGCTTATCTGTTACCATAAAAATGCAATAAACATTTCGATTGGCTGTTGCGGAAGGGTGTCACGTCGCCTGTTCTGTCAAAGGCGCGCGTGAGGTTCTGGTCTTGCGATGGAGCTATCCCATGCCTACACCAGTTGGGCCTAGCGCACCGACAAATGGGCGACGGGCCATCACATGACCAGTGGTTGGCGGGCGTGGCTGTTAGGCGTGGGCGGGTTTGCGCCGAACCAAAAAGTTAGTCAGCCGCACCAGCCAGGCACTTGATCAGCCCATCGCGGCGGGCATGGTTTGTGCGATCCCGATCTGTACGAAGAGCACCAGTAGCCTTGCACAGTTTTTATGTGGGCGGTTGTGGAAGGGGTATAATGGGCTATAGTAACGGCCGCGAAGGAATATCAAGCATAAAGAAGGGTTGTAGTGGTGGTGTGCGTGATATTCAGGGTCTACTAAACTTGACTTTACAGGCGTGGTTTACCTGTCTGGTCGTTTAACTTAGACCTCGCTTGGGGTCCAATCTAGCTCGCCGATTTACTTTCAAGCTAGGGGTATTCGAACCGAGCTTTGATTTGTTGCCTTGTGAAGATTTCCCACTAAATTGCGTGCAGGCGACAATAAAAAAGCTCGTGTCAATGACGACTGGCCGAGTTGCAGGGTCTTTCTGCTGTGGCCTTTCACATGCCAGAAGAGTCAGGACCTGTCAAGGCCCCTGTAAAAATACGCTGAAGGTGCTGCTAAAAACAGTTTTTTTATTTATTTGGCGGCTGTCGGAAGCCCGCTCGCTCGCATCGGACGAAGCCCCTCCGGGTGCTTGCAGCCAAGCAAGGCCGCTAAAGGCCGCCGGAGAGACGACGCTTAGTATAGGGGCACCGCCTGTATAGTAGGCCGCCCGGTGGCAGTGGATGCGCTGTAGCGGCGCTGGAGAGACGCTGGACAGCCCACGAGGGCCCGCAATTGTCCGGCGGCGCCGTGCGGTTGGCTCCGGAGCGAGGGGGGGATTTTGGAGGATATGGCTTGTGAGAAAGTAGGCCGAAGAGGCAAAAAGTAGACCAGACTCAACAAAAATATTGTCTGCAGGCTGAATGGAAGCTGTGTGGTGCTGCAACGACACGCACATACCGTCTGCTCATACCCCTCTCCCATATCAAGAACGCGCCACGTTTCTGCTGTCTATCGTTCTCTATCTCTGCAGTTGGCCGTTCTTGATGCAGACACACTCACTCACGCTGTGCAGACGCCACTAAAAAAACAAGCCCCAGCGCCTGCGTGTGCGTCTGGCTCCACTGGCAAAACTGTCAACTTGCAGCACCGCAGCCACAGCGGCTCCACCTGCAAATCGACGCAGCTCCGGAGCTCTCAAGTCTTTTTTTCGTTGCGGCTGGCTGGTGCATGCTTGGCTCTCTCTCCCCGTTCCAAGGCGCCATCTGCTTCCCGCCGTCTTTTCTTCTTCCGCTTCCCCTCCTTGTCTTCCTTTCTTTTCCTTTTCTTCACCACGCTCCTTTCATCTCCTTGATTCTTTTTGCTACTCTGGTAGGCCTCTTCATCTCACAATAGCAACCCTGTGAGATTGGCGCAACGCACATCGGCCATCACCACCACCCACCACCGCGATGCCCTCTGCCGCTGCCACGGGCGCCGAGTCCCCAAACGGCGCAGGCATCACCAGGCGCAAGACGGGCGACTCCAAAGATGGACAAGACACCAATGGCTCCGGCAATAGCAAGTCGCCCGCAAATCCTAAGCGCCCTACTCCCAAGTATCGCCATGTCCAGGCCATCCACTCAGAGACACGCCCATCTTGCCTCAGCCACGACTCCAACGTAGCCCCCAGCTTCCTGGGCTTCCGCAATCTCATGGTTATTGTACTTGGTAAGTTGCTCTAACCAATTGTCAATTCGCGTTATAGAACCATCGCTCACAACTTCCAGTCGTTGGCAATCTGCGCTTGATGATCGAAAACATCCAAAAGGTATGTCACTGCTCCACCATGGACCCTCAAACCGCAAGCTCACCACCGCTGCACAGTACGGCGTCCTCATTTGCCTGAAATGCCACGACTTCCGCCGCCAAGATGTCCTCCTTGGAATTGGCCTCTACTTCCTCATTCCGTGCCACCTCCTCGCTGCCTACCTGATTGAGCTTGCCGCCGCGAAGCAGGCCAGGGGCTCTCGCAAGCGCATCAAGGATGGTGCCGCCGGCCCCTCAGAAGAAGACAGAAAGAAGTTCCATTCGACTTGGATCCTCATCGCGTGGGCGCATATGATCAATATTACGCTTGCGCTTGTCTTCACCACCTGTGTTGTCTACTTCCACATCCACCACCCATTCATTGGCACACTGACACAGACGCACGCTATTGTCGTCTGGCTCAAGACCATCTCCTACGCCTTCACGAACCGCGATCTACGACACGCATACTTGCACCCAGTCAAGGGTGAACTTGTGCCCGAACTCTACAAGAAATGCCCATACCCCCAGAACATTACCATGAGCAACATGGTTTACTTTTGGTGGGCTCCCACGCTGATCTACCAGCCCGTCTACCCTCGCACTCCCAAGATTCGCTGGGTCTTCGTCTTCAAGCGATTGGGCGAGCTGGTTTGCCTCAGCGTGTTTATCTGGTTTGCCAGTGCACAGTATGCCACTCCCGTTTTGCGCAACTCGCTCGAAAAGATTGCTTCTCTCGACTTCTTCTCCATTCTGGAACGCTTGCTGAAGCTGTCAACCATCTCGCTCGTCATCTGGCTTGCCGGTTTCTTCGCTCTTTTCCAGTCGTTCCTCAATGCACTTGCTGAGGTGCTGCGATTTGGTGACCGCTTCTTCTACGACGACTGGTGGAACAGTGCTTCGCTTGGCGCGTACTGGAGAACTTGGAATCGCCCGGTCTACACGTACTTCAAACGCCACGTCTACATGCCTCTTATCGGCCGCGGCTGGAAACCGTTCTCTGCTAGTTTTGCTGTCTTCTTTGTCTCTGCTGTCCTACACGAAGTTCTTGTTGGTGTCCCAACACACAACATCATCGGTACGTCCCATTGGAAGCCTCTGACCGTATCTTCCACTAACCAAAATGCACACAGGTGTCGCCTTTTTCGGCATGTTCTTACAACTACCGCTGATTGCGCTCACCGCACCGTTGGAAAAGATGAAGCAAGGACACTATGGAAAGATTTTGGGTAACGCCATCTTCTGGGTATCGTTCACCATTTTCGGCCAACCGTTTGCCGCGCTCATGTACTTCTACGCGTGGCAGGCCAAGTACGGAAGTGTTAGCCGCATGGCCACAACATCTACAACGAAGTAATGATCACCTCTGATTTACTTGCGATGCTTTGGATAGGGAGTTTGCTTGTTTTAGTTGCGATTTCTGCTGGCAGCACATCGAGCGGCTCGAATTGCGGTATGACCGTACAGCTCGTTTTATAATCGATAATGTTGAATATATTTGTTCTTGCCATCTATTCTATATAATATACAAGGGCACATGTTACCGAATGAAAGGAATCCATGTAGACACCCTAGCTCTGTACTGCACGTAGTCGTCTTTGAAGAAGGATACCAGCATAGCCTCTTCATATCGTATCCGCCTATTGAAGAACCACCAGAGGACACCCGTATATATGAAGAAGCTGATGACGTTTCCCAAAACAAGCTGGGTTCCAAGACCCCACCAAAAGAATCCAAAATACGAAGGATGTCGGAAGTACTTATAGATGCCTGTCGTGACAAGCTCATGAGATTCTGACTTGTACCATTGTACCTCGTGATTGAAATTGCTGCCTGCGTGGAGCATTGCCATGGAACGGATAAACTGTCCCACAGCTGTGATAACTAACCCAAGACAGAGAAGAACCGGCCCCAGACCGAACGGGGACCAGCATCGCGTTGGGAAGAAGACTGACACAAGAAGGCTTTCGGTAAAGGCAAACGAATGCGCAATGGCGTAGTGTGGCCAATTAGCCGTCAAAAGGAAGCTATCGGTCGTTACAATGCGCGTGTTTGCCTCTGCTGTAGTCCAGAACTCAAGGAAGTGAAATGTTGCGAGAGCTAGCACAAAGAACGGCGGCCGCCACGCAGGGCTGTCTGTGAATATGAGGATCCCTGCAGCGATGCTAAGGCTCGATGCAGCAGCTATACCCAAACAAAAGGCACGTATGGCGATGCCGGAGAGCGATCGAGGCTGGCGGGGGAGATATGGGCGCAAGTAGGCGTCTGCGCGGACTTGTTCTTCATAGCGATGGTGTTCATGAAGACGGATGACGTCTGGGTCTCTGGCTGATGCTGACGACGACGCTGTTTGTTGCTCAAAGGGCCACGGCTGAGAAGGGTCATTATGACCCTCTTGTGAATCGCTGTCGTACTCGTCCATTATTTTCTGATATACTGCCGCCTCAATCACAGGGATATAGGCGATGATGCCAACGTGTTGATATGAGAAGTACGAAGAGATTAACTCCTATCTAACAATGGGACCGGCAAGCAGTAAAAAGAGCAGAGAATCATCTACCTTAATGTAGTGGAAGATGTTTCCATCGACTGTTGATGGGCGCAGAGGCGGCGCGCTGCATGTGCTTCTCCAGCAATTGTTTGCGAGAAAGAACAATACCAAGGATTTGGAGGGGCAAAAGGGGACCTCGTGTGCCAGTGGCGCCTACGGTGGGCTGGGCGTGCAGCACTGCCAGCTGCCGCAGCTGGCAGTGCTTTGCAAACGCAGCGTTGTAGAAGAGTCTACAGTTTAAAAAAAAAAGGCAATCTAGTTCATGAAGAGTATATATGCTTCAAATATTTTATTATATATGACCAAGTTTATGGGTATGTACTTGTATTCATTATTCGTTAAAAATGCTAATGTGCTTTGGTGCAGCGCTGCCAAAATGCAAAGTATGTGGATAGGACTGGAGAGATCCACTTAAATAATACAATATGTTAATTGCCCCGTATGAACAATCCATGGCAATCTTTCGACTGATATAGTCGTGTCTCCCTCGTGAGTCGGTCTGCCGTGAAGGCTGCAGCAGCGTGGATGGTGTAGATGATTGCTCTTTGAAGGACATTCGCAAAGGTCTTCTACAGACCACCCTGTATCGAGAAGGACGAAATAATGAGAACTAGAACACTGATGAATCCCCATATGCAAGGAATCCATGTATTCATTTCGTAGTAGCCTGCCTTGTAAACAGCGCCGAGCCTATTTGCCGTGTCAGTGGTCTGTAAGGGGACCCGTCAATGCTGTTGGAGTACTCACATTAGCCCGACAATGCTTCCTGAGACTACAGCCTCAAGCGCGGCAACGCCTAAATAAACAATTGGCGCAAGCCATAGGTACTTCCACGATGACTTCTTCCACCCGTGCGTGAACCACGCAATCAGCACCGCACCCATATGGAACACAGCGAACACGATGAGCGTCCATATCAATGTAAAGCGCCACGCATCGCCAATGTAATACAGCGTGTACCGCTTATCGTCTGTAAAATCGTGGATATCGTGGATGTTGAGCGATGGAAAGGGCGGCGTGCGATAGGAGGCGGGCGGCTCGTTGGGAAACGGCATTGGGAGGCGGGAGGAAGCCGTGCCTCCTGTTGAAATTTTGCCTGCCGTGGCCTTGGCTATTGCCGTTATGCGCTATGACAACATTCACTGTATTGTAGGAGTGACTGCAGCTGGTGGAAGTTGATAACTTGTACGTCAAACTGTCAGGAATCTGAACTGAAGCTATCAAACAGTAGCGCTAGCGGCTCTGGCAGTGGGTCGGTCTGGCGTCGCGCACCAATCAGGGCGCTGTTTTAGTGGTTGGCCGGCTGCGAACGTCACTCGGCGGCCCGCGCACTTCGGTCGGTGGACCAACCTCGGCAGAAGCTTGTGAGCCCGCGGCGCGCCGAGCTGCACAAGCATCGTTGTGCTCTCTTCTCCATCACCACCCTCAACAATCAGAAGACGACTTGCAGCCGGCGACCCGAATCAATCGTGGTAGCCTCTCGCCAAAATGCCGGCCGATAGATTACTCAACACGGTGCTGCAGTACTACCAAGACGTCCACGATGACGCAAAAACGGAACAAATTATTGGCACAACCACCCATCTCTTAACACAGCTCTCCAACCCTCTCAACCTCGGCGTTCTCACATCCCAGCTTCTCACAGCGCCTGCGATTTGGTTCCGACCAGGTGGGCTTCGAACGTCTCTCCGAATCATCAGCATATACAACAGTGCCGCTCTCCGCGTGCAGCAGCATGCGACCGACACTGCCCAGCATAAAGTTCCTGCCGAAGGCGGTGGCCTTCGATGCGACGAATGGGCTAGAGCTGTTGTCAAAGGCGCCGACGATCGATCGAGTAGATGGCAGCACTTGCTCGTGCTAACAGGAGTCCTGATGGGCATGGAAAGCAATGAACGACAGGCGCTCTCGCGCGGGCTGCGAAATACTCTCGGTCACGCAGTTGCCATGGCGGCCAATCTTGCACTTGAGACGGCTGTCGAAGATGGCCCTATTGCCCAGGGATCGATAGTTATGGCATTGAACTTTGCATTCCCTCTGCTCTCAGACCATAACCGAGCCCAAATCAACTGCAACGCTCTCCTGCCGGTGGCAGTCTGGGCATTGGTTGGGGAAGAGGGATTCGCGGATGGTCAGTTCTTACACGCCGTTGCGCGCGATACAGTCGATACATTGGGCCAGGGGCTATCTTGGGCAGTACAGTCGCCGTCATACCAGCATCTTCAGCAGATGGATAAGGCACCGCTCATGGCCAACATGGGACCGCTCTCCAAGCTTGCCAGCTTTGCTGTGCAGAATGCTACAGAAACTGGTGTGGTGTTGCAAGCGCATGCTGATCTGCTCATGTTTACACATCGAGTTTTGGATGCTTGGTCTAGGACACGGTTTAGCGACATTGATCCTGCAATGGAGTCTGTTAGACTCAGTAGGGAGACTCTGGAGCAAACCTGGCTAGGCTTGTGGCAGGTTCTACGAAAAATCATGTTTGGCACTATTGCGGTCCTTCAAGCAATCGTATCGCGTAGTCTTCTTGACCCATACATGCTTCATGATACTGCTGCACCTGCTATTGCTGCCAAATCTCTTCGAATTTTGCGTAACCTGTACTTCATCTCCTCCCGCAATGGAAACAATGCTTTCCAAGTATACACATTCTCCTACCTGACATCTCTTGACAACATCACGCGAAGCTCACAAGCTTGCCAGACGATACTCACCGAATTCCGTCCAGCCGACGGGGTTGGCCTACCTTCCAACTTTCTGCAGCGAACCCTCGATCTGTTTTATCTCAACATGGCCGAACACATGCCACTCATTCTCTCGACAGAAGCTGCCGATGCTCTGATAATAAAGCCCGCTACTGCGTACCTCTCGTTAGATGGCCCGATGACACCCGCGGTTATCGAAATCTTCGAATCCGCTCACAGCGCCATCCTAGCCGTCATGTCTTGTCCACAACACAGCCGATTGACTATTGATCTTGCCCCATTTTACATTGTACGGCTTTTTGAGTCTTTCCCGCATCAAATCTCACCTCGCCAATTCCGAGTTGCTTTCAAGACTGTTATTCAAATCGTCTCGCCGCCGTTCCCCATTGCTGCTCTGGAGCCGCAACTATCAGAGACTCTGCTTGAGATGCTACTGGAGTACACGGCGAACGCAGCCACCGTTCCTCTGCCACCATCGCAGGACAGCGTGGCACAGGCGGCTTCGGAAGAATCTGGCGAACAGCTTCAGTCGGCCCAAAGCGCGCTTGTGCTCACCCTCATCGACGCTCTTCCTTTCCTCCCATTGCCATACATTGAGGAATGGCTGGCAGTTGCGGCGCAATCTCTGAACAAAATCGCCGACCCCCGTCTTCGGGAACCAGTTAAGGAACGTCTGTGGGACATTCTTGTGAACGGAGAGATGGATGTAGAGCGGTCGGCGGTCGGAGTCGCTTGGTGGGGGACCCATGGAGGTAGAGAAATGGTTCTGCATGGGGGTATCGGCCAAGTTCCCATGATGAGCGGAGCCATTATACCGGATGAGAAGACTAGCAAGCTGTAAAAGTTCAGTTATATGTATAATGTCTGTATAAAGAGCCTGCCGCGACACCGTCTTAGCATGTATATAATGAACGCTCAATTGCATTTGAACTCGGCCGCAACTCCTTACTGCCCAAAAATACTTCATCTACTGACCGCAATGGACGGTTTACAAGTAGATAAACCAGTACCTCCGCTTTTGGTCCACAGAGGGGTAGCTGGTACATTTGCCGCTATACCCGGCGGAGCGGGCATAGGATGTTAACGATTAGTGGGCAAGCTCTAGCTCGTCATGGGCACAAAGAGTAATATTCTTTGTTGCACTGGTCTTTGACAGGAAAGTGAAATGCATAGCTCTCTCACATTATGACATCTGATAAATGGAGCACTGTCTCTGTTGGGAAAGGATGGACAGGATTATCTCCCGATACTCATCCATACACTTGGTAGTAACCATCGATGTAGTGAAGGTGGAGGGTACCCGAGCCAGACACGCGTACTACCATGCAGCCGGTAACGACGTCTGATGCTGTGCCAAGTGACGACTTCGCACTAGCGAAACGGATAAATTGAACGAAGGTGATTTCTTTTTTCGTCATTGGAAAAAAGATGCTAGTGCCCTTCAGCGAGGTACCGGTTAGGAACGCAATCCGCCAGCTGCAGGTGAACTGGCGGCCGCCCGTCACTAACTACTGCAGCTCTTCAACACCATCACAAGAATACTACATCCAACTTATGGCTAGTGCAAAAGAACCTGGTAAAATGCTACTAAGAGCGCCACATGATGCTCAAAATAGGCCTAGCACGCAAGAAGAAAACATTCCAAGGTACGTACCTAAGCCACATGCTTTGAACCGCACCATTATGTCCCTCGTTCTAATAGTGCTTTCAGACCTCCCATGCAGAGGGCCGGGTAGGCTGTGATTAGAGCACTGCTTCCCTGCTAGCTAAATAAATCAGTAGTGAACAGAATCCTTACCATATTATGGAGTTGTTAGCCAGCCTGCTACAGCTCAACAAGGGTCCGCTCTGTGGGCTCCCCGCTGCACAGCCCGCCAGGAAGAGCTGGAGTACTGTACATCGCCGTAGATGATCGCAGCATTCAGCAGCAATGGTCCCAACAGCTCTAAACGGAGGCTCCGGTGGCTGATCCACAACGCCAAATGTATGCATCCAACCTGACCATCGTCTCGGACAACGGCACCAATACCCCGCCTTAGGCTCGAGCAGCCTGCACTCTTGCGGAGCGCCTGCGCCGTAATTGCCGTTCAGCGATGCTAGAGGCCGCACAGGACCTGTCCAACATGCCACACAATGTCCGAGCAATCGACGGCCGCCGTCGAAAACGTGGGCATCGAGACCGGCCTTTTCAGCTCCATCCTGGTACATTCGCTTGCGTTTCCCACTCAAACACGCCATCCCGCCGGGTCTGTGGCGTCACTGGGCATGCAGATCGGGGGAGTTTTGGACAAGCTTTGGAGGGGAGCTCCCAGTTCGTCGGCGTCTTAGAATGAGGGGCCGATGAGCACTCTCAGACAATCCCGGCACACTATAAATACTCATTATTCCCTCGCTTTTGTTACATAGGGATCATTTCTGAACCTACCTGCATATTCTCTATCATTTTTAGAATAAAACACTCTAGTCAAACTCTAACCATGTCTTACAACAACGACAACACCGATGTAAGTGGTACCATTGGGAATATCACACACTTGCACGGTCCGTCCAATGCTAACTTGTCGCGATGCAGTCCTACGGAGACAATGACAGCTACGGCTCGTCCAACACTCGCAAGGGTAACACCAGCTCTGGCTTTGGCTCCAACGATGACAACTACGGTTCGTCTGGAAACAACCGCTCTGGTGGCGACTCCTATGGTTCGTCCGGTAACAGCTCCAGCCGTCGCAACAACGACGACGACAGCTATGGTACCACTGGTAGCTCTGGCTACGGCAAGGACAACACCTCCAGCAGCTATGACAACACATCTAGCCGCACTGGAGGCAACGATTCCTACGGCTCTTCTGGCAACAGCTCTAGCCGTCGCAACAACAACGATGATGACGACTCCTACGGCTCTTCCGGCCGTACTGGTGGTAGTGACTCTTACGGCTCCAGCAACACCACCAGCCGCCGTACCAACAACAACGACGACTCCTCCTATGGCTCCTCTGGTCGCACTGGCGGTACCGATTCTTACGGCTCTTCTGGCCGTACTGGCGGTTCTGACTCCTACGGCTCCTCTGGAAACAACACTTCCAGCCGCCGCAACAACGATGATGATGACTCTTTCGGTTCATCTGGACGTACTGGAGGAAATGATTCATACGGTTCCAGCAACACTACTAGCCGCCGTAACAACAACGACGACGATGATTCTTTTGGATCTTCCAACCGCACTGGCGGTAACAACAGCAGCTCTTATGGCTCTTCTGGCAACTCTCGCAACAACAATGATGACTCGTACGGTTCCTCTGGCCGCACTGGTGGCAGTGATTCCTACGGCTCTGGCAACTCTAGCAGCCGCCGTAACAATGATGATGACGATTCTTACGGCTCGTCGAACCGCTCTGGAGGCAACAACAACAGCAGCTCGTACGGATCCTCGGGCAACAACAACAGTTCCTATGGATCTTCTGGCAACAACAACAGCAGTTCGTACGGAGCTTCCAACGATGATAGCAACGACTACTAAACAGAACATTACAAACATATATTGGAAAATGGTGGTGGATACAATACCTAGCTTGGCGTTACGATATCACAGCCCTGTACATTACTACAGTGCTAGGCCAATGGGCCTTTAATTCAGAATGATTATTATGTGCAATCATGTTCATCTTAATTTATAACATTTCATCATTAATCGTAGCTCTCTAATAAGCAGCACGACGCTATAATCATACCGTCCAAGGCGTCCCCACTGCCACTGACAGGCTAGGGCCTAAGCCAGCGATTTTTCCACTTTGATGAGAACTGCTCCCTGTGATCTCATGCTTCGGCTGTCCCAGAGATGCACAAATCGGTACCCGCTGCGCAGTCTGTCCAGTCTCAAACAGGCCCAAGCTGCCAGATCGTCGTGACCAATTTCGTCATCACGGATAGTAAATCGCACAAAAGTCAACTCTTCCACAACGCCACTGATAGCTGGGAAAGTAAGCTTTTGTTCCTTTAGGTCAATATTGCGGCCTTTGTGAGTATGCGTGCGAAGTTTATGCTCGACTTCTCGGTCGTGGAAGTCAACAGCCATTTTGCCGCCCTTGCTGGCCATATGACCAGGGTTACCGTCCACATGAACTTCGACTTTGATGTACGGGTTGAATCCCTTGTCGGATTTGTCGCCCTTTGGAAGCGGTATCCCTTGGGCAGCAATCATCGTGATGCACAGACTCAAGGTCTTTGCCTGAATTGGTGTAGCTGTCACGCCTGCTTTCAGTGGCCGGTAACTGGAGGGCTTGAGAACATAGCCATCCGTATCGCCAAACATAGCCTCGTTGAGCATTATTCCTTCGTCTGTTTGCTGCCAGTTGAGAGCGACAATCTGTGCGCCAGAAGCCCAGAAAGGCGGAGGGTTGAGATTAGAGGAGCCGATACGCAGTCCCGATGGGTAAGCACGTAGAAGATAGTTGCGGTTATGTTCAAAAAGACTCTCCCCATGATTCTCGCGATGGTCGAGATATTTCTTCTCCGCTAGAGAAAAGATGTGAGTTGGCATCTTCGCCTCGGGTTGTGTCCAAGTCTTGAAGGATATGGCTTTGGTGTATACACCAAGGCGTGAGAGCTCTTCGATGATTTTAGCAGCCTTCTTTGGCTTGGCAGGTACAGCGTCACCTTCACCTGCGACAGGTAGCCGCTCGTCGCCACTGTCACCAGGATCTTCACTCTGTTCAGCTTCGGCGAGGGCCTCAGGACGAGCGTATTTCACCTTGATGAGAATCTTGCGCTTCAAGGATTCAGGGCTTGGTAGCTCAGCTGCGTCAACATCGAGTTCTGGAGCTAGAAAGCCACTGAATGCCTCCTTCATAATGCTGACCATTAACAGTTGCTGCTCCGGTCGGCAATGTACCTCAAGACTGATAATCAGAGGCAGATCGGACACGGTGAAGGCATCGTCTCGGATAGCAGAGCAAACATCGCGGAATGAAACCTCTTTGGTAAGGGTGTACCCGTGTAGGACTCGCGGTTCTGCAGAGCTGGCGCGGTGTTTCAACCGTGGCGGTTCTTCATCTGCCGAAGATTCCGTTTTAGACGATGGTGACGATCCCTGCTGCTTATCATACAAATGAGCTTTTAGCTTCTTTTCAATAGATGAGTTGGCAAGTTTGGATGTGATAGAGTCTGGGAGGTTCTTCTTCAGCTTTGAGAGTCGTCTCCCTAACTGTTCCTTTTGGCTTTGGCGAAGTAAAGTGGTGCTTTTGTGCGCCGTTTCGCTTTCATCATCCGATTCAGCACCATCCCAAACATCGATTTCGACACAACGGCATCCTCTCAGCAGAACGTTCTTGTAGGCGTCTGTCGTGCTGTGACTCGACAGTTGGTTGCCTGTTAGATATGTGTTGTGGCTTGAGCTGATGAAGTAACTGGCCAAGGGCCACGTGAGATCTTGCTTTGGAGGCCGATTGTTAACTGCTCCATCTTGCGACGTCATGTAAGACAGAAATTGCTTAAAATCAAGACCTCCGTTATCGTTTGTGAGCTGCGATGCGCCACTCGAGCCAGGCTCCTCCTGCTGCACCTTTTCTGAGAATACTTGAGTTTGTTCTGCGCTCCATTTCTCCTGAGATTGAGCATGGGCCTCATATATTCCTTTCAGGGATTTTAGCACTGTAGCATCCAGCTCCTCAACAATTCGCTGTGGTCTGGCAGCATCAAAGACCGGCGTCTCGTCTGGGACAACTGTTGGTCCGTCCTCCATGATATGAGAATAACTGTAAGGATTTTTATAATAAATAGACGTTTCCTTTATGATAATGAAGCAAATATTAAAGAGCAAGGGGTGGTTGAAAAGGACAGCTCTCAGCCAAACAAGAGAGGGGAAGCCCGATGCAAGTTGGGTTCTCAGACCAAGGTGGAGATGTCACACATAAGCGTCAAAGAGCGGGTGACTGTGCCTTGATTTGAGCTAAGCTTTTTTAGCGCCAAACTTGGAAGCGAGCATTGTTTCGCCCTCTTTGTATTAAGCCACCCGTTCATTTTGCTGGGAAGTCGAATTGTAATGTCGTCAAAAATAGGTAAAATTTTCAAATATTAACAAATAAGCCCTCTTTGTAAATAAACAACGAAGTCAACCCGGGGTATTATATCAAGGCAAACTACTCCTTTCGGCTTTCCAAAAACTCATCCAAGTCCGCATGAATTCGCAACCCCTTCTCCACCATCATATCGTAGATGGATCGTAAATCGGCTGACTTCATATCCCGGATAAGGGTCGCAAATGCTTCCATTGCCACATCCTTGGACCATGGGCAATGTTTAAGCGCACGGTAAAAGACGTCTTGGGCCTTACTTCGAAGCTGTCTGTGGTTAAAGCAAAATCGAATATACGAAATCCACAATCCAGGATTATCCTTGCCAGCGTCGCTAGCGACAGCCCGTTCATAGGCTGATCTAGTTGTATGAATGTTGCCTCGCAGCTGCTCATGCTCAATAGCAAAGACTCGGATAGCCAGGCAGTCTACCTGATGTGTCAACCATTTTGTTTCAAGCAAAGTTCTTGTCTCGTCCATAATGCGCATTCCAGTGTCTACCCATTCAAACACTGCCAATGCCATCGTATTCTGTGGGAAGAGGTTCACCAAGTTTGTTAGTTGATCCTTGAGATAGGCACGACGGAATGGCCTGTATCCAGTTAGTAAGGGAATCTGGCTATGTTTTATGAGATTAGCTTACCCATTACAAGCATGTGAATAAAGCAGTTTTACTGCAAACTGAACAAAGGCTTCCGCTGAAGGTGTTGCAAAGTCCTCTGCTCTAAGAAGGCTTAAGATATCAGAAACCTTATTCATGGCGGCCGAAATGTTTCCTTGAGAGGAACTCATAGGCTCCGCGCTGCTCTGGACTGTAAGATAACACAGAAGAGTAAGACACTCAGCATTTTGCAATGCAGTATCCAAATCCTTGGCTCCAAGATATGTCTCCAAGTTCGATTGATATGTCTGCTCCGCTTTGAGGATATCGTTGGTTGATGGCTCGGCATTGTGACCAGCCGAAAAGGTAGCACCCACCGAGCATAGTATTTGCTTTGCTATGAGGTGGTGACCAACTTCTGTTTTGATAGATGCAGCTGCTGCTATCAACCCCATACCACCTCGCCCGTTCAAAATCTAAAGATAAATTAGTAGTCTGAATTAAATAGCATATGTAAGGAACTGAGAACTGACTTGTGTAGATGCCAAAGCGGCATGTAGAATCTTGTCAGCTGCGTCAAGATGATTTTGACTGTACTCTGCCAGACCATAGCTGGTGTAGAGTGTAACCTCCTCGGGATATTGCTTCAGTAGTGTCTTGGCTACCTTTTTCGTTAACGATGGCGTAAGCAAAGAGACTAGTCCTAGACTGTATGTGGCAAGCTGGGCGTCAGGTATAGAGCTTGAAAGGCTGTTGAGTACACGCATGACCACTGAGCTGTCTAGTTTTGATGCATGCGCTGGATTGGATAGTACAGAAGGCCATTTGGGACTCCCAAATATCAGCGATGTAGAGAGACTGGCGTGAAAGATACTTCTAGAAGTATGTGGCTGTCGGCTTTCAACCTCTTCCTCTTGTTGTAATGATGATGGTGCGTGGGACAGATGCAACACACAGAGTATTGGATCGTTCAGAGCGCTCTGTATGTACGGGTTTCCCGTCTTTGAAGACGGTGGAAAGCCACAGAAGATTAGAAAAGAGCTAATAATCTGCGATGAGAGCTGTTGCACAAGTTGCGATGGGATGAAGAAGAGCAGCGGTTGTATGTCAGCAAACATGACCACGCGATAAGGATCCATCTCGTTCCCGTCGTCCAATGTTCTAGCAGGAGTTCTAGAAAGTTCAGAAAGCTTGCTTTCAAGAAGTCCCCAGGCCTTTAATGCATCACGAGATGTCTTGTTCTCAAGGTGAGACGCGGCTGCAGGCTCAGGCGGGTCAATCAGCCCATGTTTTAAGACAAACTCTTTCCAGCCTGTTGCATCAATTTCCCCTATCCTGGGAGCTTCACTTTCCCAAAAATCTCCAAATATGCTCGGAACTTCAGCCGATGAGTGCTCAATATCGGGTCGGAAGTAGACAAGCTCAATCATAGCCTGCCAGGCGCATATGGCCAGTTCTCTGTAACCACAATCGTAAAGAAATCTGGTCATACGAAGAAAAATGTCAATAGATTCTTGGAAAGTTGACAGGGATAGCGTCGAACTATCGGCACTGACGAGCACTTGTAGCCTATCTAGAAACATCGCCTTGACAGCGGCGTGCTGAAAGGTTGAGATGTCCGCCATGGCGAATCGAATGCGCAGTTTCCATAAATCATAGGATAGTGGCGAACTTTCTAGCTCTGCCCATTTTTTCGCCGACACCTTGTGGCTCCAAACCTTTGGCCCTTCGCGCATTAGCATTAGGACGATTCGGTCGCGGTCTGATGGAAGTTGGGCATGGCGAAGCGCTGACTCCAGAAGATCAACTTTGATCTCGCTATAGCTGTGTCTCTCATTATCTGAGAGCAATTCACGCTCGCGTCCCGCACGCACTAGCGTATCTTGATGATCTATTAACTGGAACCATGCGCCTGTGTTTTCTGGGTTGTCCTTTACTTCGCGATTCAACAGAATAGTTCTCTGTTTGAGCGGATCGTTATTTTGCTGTTCGTCGTCAAAGGTGCTCTCGTCGTCTTGGGATGAAATTTCATCATCATCCTCTACCTTGGCCTTGCCATGGATTGATCGATACGATGTTTTGCTGTCATCCTCCGAAGAGTCGTCGACATCTGGCTTCTGCGAATGGTCCACAGCAATATATCCATCGTTATCAGCATCTTCGTTGTCAGTTCGAGTACGCCTGAGGCGAATGTTTCTTTTGCTGACAACTGTATGCCTTGCACGTAGCCCATCCCTATTTTTCGAAGAGTAAAGACCTTGCCCTGGCCAGAGAATGCTGAAGACCTGTCTTGAGCCCTCATACTCAATGAGTAGTCGTCCATCTGTCCCTAGAATCCTGCCCCTCCCATGTCTCTGGTATCTGTAAGTGGCCCATTTGTTTGATCCTCCGTATTTTCTTATGAGCGGGTCACCTTTGACATCGACTAGGAAGTAGACGTCTTTGCTTGATGCTGTCTTGGGCGCGCCTTGGCTTCTGCCTGGTTGCTCTTTGTCTGACACGCGTCGGTCATCTGCTTTATGGCGTCTCTTCTCATCTCTATGAGAACCTCGATGACTTCTATCATCATCTCTGGTTCTTTTCGAAGACGATTTAGCACGTTCTGGATCTTTTTGGGTTTGAGCTGAAGGCTTCGACTTGAACGATGAGAACTTGGGCACAACCAGCCCTTCCGCAGCTTCTTTGTCTGCCATTGAGAAAGCTTATAGCTAAATTTGATGGCCCATCATGGATTGGGAAAATGACACTGTCAGTGTATCTCTCCCTTATAAACAGCGTTTATAAAAATATAAATGGAAAAAATGTGTGTTTGACAGTTCTGATGGCAGAGGTAACTTATGGCGCGGCTAGATGTGAGGCACTGGACTGGACGGCGTCGCGCCCCACAAAATCTACTATACAGACACGCCAACAGCTGTCAAGCTGCTGCACCATCAGCTTCGGTCGCCTTCAACTACGCTATTCGATCGTAGTTCATAGTTAATGGAGTATCTCTCTCCTGCTGTTGTGGGTTCTATAGCTGCTCTCGTTGTTATCATTCTTGTCGCCGCAACGATGGGCCTTTTTGGCGGAAATCAGATGCCAGTCGATGGCAAGGTGAGAGTGCCCACTCCTTGTAGCTTATGGCCTCTTAATTGAAATGCTAATATTATCAGACTGCTCTCATCACCGGCGCTTCCGAGGGCATGGGCCTTTCTGTTGCTACCCAGTTAGCCGCGAAGGGTGCCAATGTCATCATTGTTTCTCGCAGCGTGGCCAAGCTCGAAGTCGCCTTGAAGACCGTTCAGGTTTGCTTGTCTCGTAAATGCCACTCACAAAACTGTCTCACTAACAAGCGATCTAGGCTGCTGCCAAGAATCCAGAAAAACAAAAGTTTCATTACATCGCCGCCGATGTGTCGAAGCCATCATATGCCACGCCTGTCCTTGAAGAAGCCACGACCTGGAATGATGGCAAGGCGGTTGACGTTGTCTGGTGTATCGCGGGTACCTCTACCCCGGAGCTATTCGTCGATATGTCAATGGAGTCCCTTCGTCGACAAATGGATATCAACTTCTATGGAACAACCGAAATGAGCCAAGCCATCCTCAAGCAATGGGCTGCGCCAGACGCGCCAGTGGACAAAGAGCCAAAACATCTCATCATGACTACCAGTGTTGTGGCATTCTACACTATTCCCGGATATGCCCCCTATGCACCTTCTAAATGGGCTATTCGGGGTCTTGCCGATACTCTGTCTCAAGAAGTGATGCTATACCCTCAGAACATTAAGGTGCACGTGGTCTTCCCCGGCACAATTCTCTCACCTGGTTTCCAAAACGAAAATCTCACAAAACCCGAGATAACCAAGATTCTAGAGGCTGATGACCCGAAGCAAACTCCTGACGAAGTTGCTCGCACCTCTATTCGTGGCTTGGAGAACGGTGACTACTACGTTACGGTGAACTGGCTGGGTAACTTGATGCGTTTGGGCAGTTTAGGTGGCGCATTTCGCAACAACTGGTTGGTCGATATCCTCGGTGCTTGGCTTGTCGCTATTGTCTGGATCTTCATCCAACCCGATTTACATGGAAAGATCCGCAAGTTTGGCAAGAAGAATGGTCATCCTAGCACTTACAAAGCACGGGCTGAGTAAATGAGGAGTTGTTACAAAAGGCCGTAATAGTGAGAAGTGTATCATAATGTATGTAAATGCTAAAGTAATCATGGAAACCTCAACTGTGCATAAAGTAAATAATGTACAAGCGTATTTGAAGTCTATACACCGCTCCATTTTCCAAACTTTTGGTATCGTTTGAACATTTCTCTCAAAATGGCTCTTCCGCTTGCATCCATGCCATCATTAAGGATCTTTCGTCCTTCAGGTGGCGTAACGTCAAAAATTGCGTTGAAGGCCGGTTCTAGGGTTTCCGAAACTGATCGCGGAACGTTGACTTCAAGTTGAAGTTTGACATATTGTGTTAATACCAAGTACATATGACGACCAGCAGTTCGTTTGGCAGCATCAGTCGCCGAATCAAGGCTGCCCTGATGCTGAGAACGCGATACGGCACCGGCAGTCGGTTCGCAAATCAGAGTGACCAATCGGGCAAATGCTTGTGCCTGAGAATCTCGGGAAGTCTGCTCGAGAGAGCCAGAGCCCGGCGGCTGGGTGATAAGTGCCCGTAGTAGCGTTTGAATGGTGGCAAGAAGCAAATGATAGTGGCCTTCCAAACGAAGTCGGTGCTTCTTGATAATCACCTCAACCAATTTGCACAGCCAGATGTATGGAACCATAACCTCTCGCTGAACATTGGTGGAGACCAGATCACATATCGTGCTCAAGGTTATTTCGATATTCCACTGGCTGATGGTTTGAGGTCTTCTCTCCAACAAGGTGTACAAGCTGCGACAAATGTCTACACCTTGCGCTGCAGGTGAAGAGGCAAGGCTAGATATGAGCTCGCTATATGCTGCTGATAGATCGAAGCCGTCTTGTTTTTCAAATGTTTCTGACATATCTAAGATCCCTGTTAGCATTCGCACCACTCATTCGATCAAATTAAATAACGAACCCATTATCTGTCTAATGATGAGAAAAATTGCCTTTGCCTGACCATCTGCATCACAACCAGTGGTATGTTCAGCAATTACATCGCGAAGAAATTGTACTTTGTCGCCTATGGCCATAGGAGCCACAATAGTGTTAACATATTCGACGAGGAAGGTCTGACGCAGTCGTTGAGGTAATGCTGATACACCGGCGAACTTGACGGGCCTGGTGTTCTTGATGGACGAAGGGAGGTGCTTGCGCAAGAAAAGTTGAATTTGCCAGCTTTTTACGTGCCCTTGCTGCATCTCATCAAAAGTCCGCTTTTCTAGCTTCTTACTGGAAGCTAACTTGCCCTCAAGCGTTTCGGACAAATCGCTCAAAACACTTGCAGCATCTATCATAGCAAACAGTTGCAGCTGCTGTTGAGGCTCTTGGCTGTTTAGAAGCTTCTTGTCTTCCACGTATTTCTTAATAGTATGCATTGCTATAGCTGCAATTTGGTTTCTTGAAGCTTGAAGCAAGGCACCTGTTGCAGCATTTCCATCGCCTCGCGAAGAATCAGCTAGCTCAGTAGCGATAGCCTTGTGTAGAATGATGTCGAATGCATGTATATCATTGGCGTCGCCACCCTTTACAAAAGCCATCGCACTAGTAAAGTATACAGAACTTCGTTCATCATCTATTTCGGCCATTTGCTTGACATGCGCACAAGCTAGTGAAGAGAATCTTGAGATCATCTCCAGGTTTTCCTCTTCTGTCTTGCACTCCTCGTTCGACCATGCAAACAGAGTAGATGAGAATGATTGAAGAGTTTCAAACGTCATTCTTTTGTGAAATGTAGAACGTGACAGCACTTTAACTGCCAATGACAGTATTGTTCTCCAGTTCTGAATAGATAGTTTGCGAGGTTTCGAAATCTTTGACGTTTGCTTATCAATGATCTCCATAATATGCTCGCGTTGCCAACGGTTGAAGCTATCAGAGGGAATGCGCGACAAGACATTCATGCAAGCCATAGCTGCAGGAGTTGGCCATCCCTTTTCGCTAGCGCTTTGTTTCTGAGCTTCGATGAGTTTGTCAATTATAATTCTTGACGCTTTGGCATCATTGAGGTTAATATCGTTGCTCAGTAAACCGTCCCATACTTTGGTAGAGGTACTTGGTAAAGCTAAGAGCGTCTGCACCGGCTCTGGCAATTTGTCGTTCTTGGCGACAGAAAGGTGTAGAAAGCGACTGCAACCGCAAAGATACCACTGAATATACGAAGGAGCAGAGGTATCTGGTGTGAATGGACTGTCAAAGTCAGCTGATGTGGCCATCTGCAAGTCCATGTCCTGCAGGCACTCTGATGAAGTAACGTGTTTGGCAAGGATCGTAGAGAATTCAGCAATAATATCTGCCGGTTCAGCGACCAGTTCATGATCAGGCATCATCGAGTCCCACGCCTTGTAGCAATACTTGAAGGCTTCTAGAGCATCTGCACTGTTGGCGTGCTTCTTTCTCAAGAGCTTAGAAACAGCATCCTTTGTCTGAGTCCAGATTCCGGTTTTATCTTCCGAGTTTGACCAGGCCATTGTCCGGCGAATAACACGCCATTTCAATGGTGTATTTTCTGCTTTTCGGCATTGATCCCAAATGATCTGGAACAGCTTAGTTCCGATACCATCAATAAAGGTCGTGCCGGTCAACCCTTCAGTCATCGCGTTGAATATGATGCAAATTGACTGCGGATAAGATGATTGGTCCTGTTTCTGAACCCACTCAATAAATTCAACAGTCTGGTGGGGAGACATGAGTGTCTCTACAAGGGAGAGGCGCAAACCAGACGTCGAATCTTGGAGATTTGCCGTGAGCCAGGGAGAGTCGGCCAAAGATTTCTTTTCCGATTTACACAGCTGAGTGTACCAAAGTTCGAGGTATCCGATAACATCTCTTCGAAGAACAAATGATTTCTTCACTGATTCGACGATACGGGCAAGTGGAGTAGACCACTGTGCAAGCTCCTCTGGTGAGGTTGTAACAACTCTCTCGCAGAACGATTCCAGCAGGTCACTTCCGTCTCCGATAGATTGGAATATAGTTGGATCGCATGTCGAAATATTCGCTAGAACAGCCCAATCCGTAGTCTTGCCAGCAAAGGCATAAGAATGGCAAGCCCGTCGTAGGTCCTTAACGTCGATCGAAGCGGAGTGCTGAACGGCCTGTTCCAGGATGACGCTCAGAAGCTCGTTTTTGTCGGCACATTTTCCAACGTATTCCTCTATTGTACGGAATAGCTCCTTCTGCCATTCAACAGCATGTCTGCGTCTCTCCTTTCCTTGAAGCTGTTCTGGGGAGCCCAGAGCGAGCTGACAGAGAGCCGGAGCTGTACGGTTGATTTGTGATTCGGACATATCAAGCGCTTTGGAGAGTATTTCAAAACTTTGGCTATTCAGGTAGGCCTCTTTCGCTGGTAGAATCAAGTTTCGCTGCAAAAAGAGTTGGATGGCGGCTTCCCATTGAAGCTTGACTGTTGGGGGCAACGACAACGGTTGGGTACCATTCAATCCTGAAATCTCTGCAAATAGAGTTGCATAGCTTGAAAAGAGATGCAGTGCAATGTCCATTGGGTCCGTACTAGCTTGTAAATGCAGGGCCCAGATTGCGGATATTGTCGACGGCCAACTCTCGCATCCAATGGTATCAAAGGCCTCGCTTGCTAGCAACGACTTGCAGAGTGCCAATGCTGGCGCCATCAACAGAACAGAATCCGCAGCTGAATTACAGAAAAGTGACTTTATATGTTCGGCTCCGATCTTATCTCGACCCAAAACGATGGTCGGGTCGTCGAGGCGGTCGAGCAGCGCTTTGATAGCTTTGAAGACATTCGCTGCAGTCTCCAAGCAATAATCAGGCTGTTTTAACGTATCTAACGAAAATAGAGCTGTCTCAGATCGCTTTCGTTTCTTGGTTGAGTCAGTAGTTGTCGGGGAGGTCTGGGAAATATCGTTGAGTGTTTGTTGTAAAGTCGATAGGTATTTCCTATCCGCCAAAGACTTGGCCAGAGAGAAGAGCGGTATTCTTTGAAAGACGCATTCTAAAATAGCCCATGTCAGTGGGAACCGTCGTATAGTCTCTGCATCGGCCGATTTTCCGTTCATAGATTTCAGGAGCCATCGCAAACTACTCTCTTCTGCAGCATGAAATGAACGCTCCGATGCGGATGTAAGAGTGGTCCAGAGTGCAATTATATTCTCGCCATTCTTGCCAGGGCCTGTTTGATCAAGCCCTCGGACCAGTTTTATAGCATCTATGCGATCCTGCGCAGAAAGACACTGTTAGCAACGCGATCCAATCCAGTCAACCGTCAAAGCTTACCACGTCGGCGGTCGCCATTGCCGCGGAGCTGATAACGCTGCTACGGCTGCCCAATCTTTATACTCTTGCGAATTTATGAACAAGATGCAGTATGCAGAAATGCAACAAAAAAAAGAAATTAACAGAAATTAAAAGGGCATAGAAAGAAATTCCAATTTGTAAAGTAAAGAAGTACGCCTGCACCCCACTAGCTTCCTGGTAGCCAAAATTTCCAAAAATTCTGCCGGCACCGATCCAAAAAGAGCGCCGAGGATCCTCACCGCTTTCGGCTGTGGACGTCACGGGCATCGTCTTCCAAGTTTAGCGGCTGGACGGACGAGCTCCTAATTCTACCAGCTTGAATCACCCAATTGCGCCCACAAAACAGGTAAGCTGGCTATACAGATCACCACCTAACATCGCGTTAGTATATGAGAAGCTAATAAGTACTTTGCAACAGTTCTCTACAATGGCCGCCGAACCCTCCGCCCCTGTCAAAGCTCCTACGAGCGCCATTTCCAGACCCGTCAGCGAGACGCTCCTGAACGAAAAGGTAGCTCTTCAAGATGCGACCAATTGATTACAAACTAACTTTTATACTCTTAGTGGGATCGCTGCTTGTCCAACCTCCTCGTCAAGTCCACGATTGGTCTCGGTTTCGGTGTCGTCTTCTCAGTTATCCTCTTCCGTCGTCGAGCTTGGCCAGCCTTCATCGGTGCCGGCTTTGGTGCTGGCCGCGCGTACGAGGAATGCAACTTCAACCTCAAGCAGGCTGCTCGCGATCTTAAGAAGAGCTCATAAATACCCAACTCACGATACATATTCAACTAGAACTGCACTTTCGGCGCGCTCGGGAAGACAATGGATGGATCACACCTTTGCTGATCAGGAAAATTTGCGTATTGAATTGTTCAAAAAATTAGGACGACTGAGACAGCATGGGATATTGCCAACAGACGGTAGTTTTGTTAATGTACAACACATCATCTCTCTATTCTTGATGCTTGTAACAGGATGACGGTATGCTTCGCTTCCACATGCAACTTGACCACCGATCCAAGTATTCAACCATCTGCACGGTGCTCAATGCTGCTGCCAAAGGGCCGGTCATCTTTCTCATGAACTAACATTCGCTCCCTTTGCCCATTGATATCGGTTCTCCAAGACAATACTCGCCTGTACAGTGTTGCTTCTTCGTCCAATGCTGGTAGCCAACCTTCTACTGGGAGATCTTGCAATGGATGGTCCAGATCGGAAGTATACTGCAGTATTTCTTCGGGGTTTCCCTTCAAATTCAGAGTATCGTTTGATGCATCGAGCAAGCCTCGCAAGCTTTCCATTTCGTCCTTTTGATAGGAGCCGGGCTTTGACAGGTCCAGGCGGCCAGTAGTGATAGCAATCTCTCGATCTGATGCCACAGTTTCATCTTTGGCAGCCATATCGTCGAGCGTTTTTGGTAAATCTAAAGTCGCTATACTACCCTGTTTAGACTTGTTCTGTACAACTGTGAAATTGGATATTGTGTTGAAGACGACCAGAACACTCATTAATAAAACCAGAGCTAAAACCCCAGCCGCGACGAGAATTATTTCCAAACGGCTTTGTTCAAGAGTCAATTGGAGGGTCGCGGACATTTGTGCCTGTCTGGGATCATATTTCATGAGGGCGATTCGCTTCGACAGCAGCCGTGATCGGTTGAAGCAGACACACTGAGGACTTCGCGAATAATAGATATCATGTAGTAGAATCTAGAGGATTGGAGGTTGTTGTAGGTGTACGTGGTTTGCTTTCCAACAGCTTTTAAAATGAAGTGGTACTCTGTTTAAGACCACAAGCTGAGCTACGGTTAAGAGCGACGGTTGGGAGCGCTTTCCTCACACAGCGTCGATGGGGTTTCATAACTACGCCAACCTCATATAATTCATACGCAACATATAGTATATAATTCCATTCGGGCTGAATTTTACACCAGTGGAAGGCAAGGTTGATAGCGTTGGAAGCATAACAAATGTCGGAATCCCATACGAGCCGGAGAGAAACGATGATCCCACCGAAACAAAGTAAAAGTGACGAAATTTTCCGTTCTTCTAGCACGCAAATATGACCGGCAGCAAGTTGGCGAAATCACTATCGGTTGATTAATCGTGCAATTTTTGAATAGTGTGAAGAAGAAAGGAAGAAAAGGCCCATCCGAAATTTTGCATCCGCGCTGAAGTCCGTCGTCGGGTGTCACGTGTAGGAAGACCCACGACGCAACTTTTCATTGACTTCCCTGCAGCCGTCCCCTTCCTCACCTTTTTCTCTTCTTCCCCAAGCACGCGGGAAAATCGAACGACGCGATCCGCGAATTCACACCATGGATGTTGCGGTGTAAAAATCTTGCTCTGGAGAGTTATGCACTAGACTCCTCATCGCATAGCTTCATTATACTCCAGAGCTTGATTGCAAAGGTACGTCTGGGCACAGGACATCTCTTCGCAGAGCTCTCTCGAATCTTGCGCCAACCAATGCTACTCTGCCATTGTCGGCAGTGAAAGTACTACACCCCACGAATATGCCTACACCGCGCGCTTCCAATGCGCATGCGTGTCAACTTTTTATATATCGTTCTTGTGGGAGATTGAATCAAAGGTCTAGACAACCTGTCCGCTCCACCCTGCTGCCATAGATAAATAATGTGGTATCAGGACTAAAATCGGACGCACATAACTGCACTCATATGGCTTTTGTTCTATGCATGTTTACCTATGAATCATGTATACAATCTATTCATCGCCTTATATACAACAAAATGTACAACGCTATACGTTTCAAATGCTACTTCCAAAGATGGCATTCTCATCCACAAATGAGAACAGGAACTTGGACACGAGTCTGCCTGTGTAAATATAGGATGTATCCAGACACGTAGGTTTATCGCCTCTGTTCAACAACAGATCGTCTTCTACGAGATACTGCATATCTTGCCCTGTGATATTGTCAGTCGGTATTCAGCGCAAACAGTTAATCGCAAAGGCACTTACATTCATCGCCGTAGAAGAGCTCGCGGAGGCTGTCCACCATCTCAATAGCAGGGCGATCAAGCTCGCCTTGCTCCGCAAAGGTTTTATCGAAGATGGGGTTAAATGGTTTTGTAGATGCATCCTTTGAATGTGTCTGGTAAATATGGTGGAATTGGTAGGCGAACTGCTTAAATGGCATGTTTTCAACCTCCTTGCAGGCATTCAGTGCAAACGAACGCTGAAACTTGGGTGTATTGTTGTCGCGCCGTTGTATGTCGTTCTGAGCAAGGACATAATTGTCTGTCATGGTCTCGACAGCCTCCATGTATAAGCAAAGTACTAGGAAAGCTGCCAGACTAGGAGCCCAATCTTTCCTATACTTGGGCTTGAGAGCCTTTGTAAAGAGCTCGAAGATATTCTGCATCTCGCGCATGCAAAGCTCGTCAATCAAGGCCTTTACTTGACGAGCAAGAACTCGTGGTGTAACCCAGGGGTTGTTTTGGGGCACAAGGCCAGACCCTTGCAAGCTTGTGATTGTATCCTGAGTGAGGCACAAGTCTCTAGTCATGACATACTTCATCGCGTAAATTGACAGTGCTTTCTTCACCATAATAGACTATTGTATCTGAGGTTAGCACATTTCAATCAATCAGTCTGACAGTCACTCACATCCGTTCTGTTTGCATATCGTTGTACTATTTTCAGAATTTTGCGCGGAAGCTCCGTTGTTCGCAAAGATTCAGTCATTTGCTCGGCGTATTCTGCTTCTTTGGTGACATTTTCAACGTAGGCTTTGATTTTCTTCCTCAAATCATCCCTTTTAGCTCCTGTTACACCGTCTAGACCGATAGGTGCGGACCCGTTGGATTGTAGACTGGAGCCTTGCTGGTCGAACCGTAGATGCCAATGCTGTAGGACATCACAGGTCTTGGCTGTAAAGAAGTTGGCGTCAATATCGAGAGTGCTCTTGAATCGAGATCCAGAGAAGAGTCGAACACTGCATGGGTATGCAGCGCCATTGATGGTAAACCCTTCAATGTTTTCGCCTAGAAACTTCGTCACCTCATCCTTCTTCAAATGGCTGCGCATGAACTCGGGAAATAAGATGGTCATAAAATCTTGAAACTGCCAACAGACCACTTGAGGAACGTGTGACATCAACCGCTTGCAATGCTGGCACGGCCTCTCCTGGTCACACTTGACTTTTCTGCTTCGACAACAGAAGCAAGCCCCCAGCCGTCGAACCTGCAAGGCGCTCTCTTTGATAGCATGTGCCAGCGGTCCTTTGCGTCCTTTTTGAGTTGGCCGCATAGCCTCAAAGCACTCAAAGGGATTGGCCTTCCCGGCTTGTTGCGTAATGGTATTTGGAGTCACGACCAAAAAGTTATCCTTCTTATCAGCTATCGTAGGGCTGTGCTTTTTCTTTTCGATCTTGCCACTTTGCACCTTGCGCAGGGGAAGAGTAGGAGACATCTTGTCGGATTCGGACTTGTATGATGATGATTTGGGGCTGACGCTACCGCTACCATGCTCGCTACTGTTCATTGCGAAGTTCTCGATATTGTTGCATTCAAAGAGCGTTCCGTTGTGGTTTGCGTGCCACTGAACCATCGTCGGCTGGTGTTGTGAAGGATTGTTGATCAGCTGGGGGCTAGATACCATTGATTGTTGGCCGACGAAGTTCTGCAGCTGAAAGCTGTTCATGCCTGGTAAGCCATCTGCGTCGTCGACTACCGGCGACCAGTTTAGTAGTGACGACGGGTCTTGTACAGAGTTCTGATTCGATTGCTGGGGTTCCATATGATTGCCCGTGAGCAAGTACTGAGCGGGAGCCATAAACATTTCATTTCCTGGTAGCATATATTCGGCACCAGGTGTAAATGTGTTGAGGTTGAAGGTATCAGGTGCCATGGCTGTCGTGACTGGGGGAATGAAGTTATTGGTTTCAAATTCTGGAGCTGGCAATGGTGACAGCGACGAATGTGAGTGTGATGGTGTGTTGATGTTTTCTACAATGGCATATCCGTTCAGGCTGCCGCTTGCTGGGCTCGGTAAGAATCCCACTGATCCGGTCGCTGATGCGCCGCTCGACCAGTCAACATATTGCCAGGAATCATCGCTCTCGCCGTTTGAATCGCCAGCATAAGGTGACTGGTGTGGCGACAAGCCTCGAGGGCTCACTGAAGCCATTTTTGAGGCCGAAACTGAGGAATTCGCTCCCGAAATAGCAGGTTTCAAGTTCGAGGACGCTGGGCTTCGTGCAGGCTCGTTGGTGGGGTTTGGTGATGATGGTACTACAGATGGATGGGATTATAGGTAAATCATCAAGTAGCGCATCGCTGAATACGGCTGCAACAGTTGTCGTTGAGTTTGTCAGAGCGACATGAAGATGTCAGAAACAAGATGCAGCGCACACGACATTTTTCTGCCCGCTGACCCTTTCATCGGTCGGTCACCGTTTCGTAGGCGATTCGGCAAGAGTGAGGCGTTGCGCTAACCAAAAAGAATCACCGAAGGCTAAGGGCCATCCACTTACAGAGAGCGTTGCCACCACATGGGCCCCAGTGATATTCTTCAGCACAGAGCAAAGAAACGCCTAACAATGCTGCGCTCTTTACCGATACCTAAATAGTCTATTCGCTCCTCAACGCCCTCAGAGGCTTTATCATAGAGGATATTCAATTCTGCCTATTTTTGTTCTTTTTTTACTTGTCACACATGCAATAAAATCGCTTGTAAAAGAAAAATGGTTTACAGAAATCGTTTTTTTAATTAAAACTTCTGGGAGGCTTATAAAATATCTGTCTGTGTGTGTCTATGATGCCTGTTGGCATATAATTGGTTGATGCAAAGAAATCTGACAAAAGCTTGCGAATGCTAGCTGATCCTTAGACTGCTGCCAAATGTTGGATTCAAACGCGTAAAAATAACAATATAGTAGTCATCATGAATAGGGCCTGGCTAGGAAGTCATCTTCCGTTGTGGTTCCCCGAAGCCGCTATTGTGTTCATAGATCTAAAACAGATCTGGAATCATGCAAATATCGATTCTCATGAAACTTCGTATAACTGGTGAGCTCTTTATGCTGTAAAGTAATGGAAATTGGACTACTGGTAGGAAACCAGTAGCGCGTGGCCGTGAAAAATGGATAGCGCCGTAGTATGCAACAATGCGAATCAGCGGCAGACTGATGCTGCACGCTGTGGTGTTATAAATCGGTAGATTTCATCATGCAATGAAATGTAAACAAAAAGAAAGAAGAACAAGGTGCTGGTTCGTGATATATCTGTCACCCGGTAGCTAAGCGTCCTGCTAACTGGGGTGCTGAACAGTGCGATGCCTGTAAACGTGGTCATAGGTCTGGTTTGGTATGATTTGGTAAGAGGTGATTCCTTAGCGGAACCGGGTAGAAGTGCGCTCATGGATCTGCTTCTCGGTAGAGATGTAGAGCTTGTCCAGGTAATCCATTGCAGATGCATCCTTGAGAATCTTGGCTACCTGGATGCCAGCAGAGATCAATTGCAAAATATTACGATCATCCTTCAGAGGGCGGCTTTGGTGCTTGGATGCGTGCCTCATTTCCAGCGAATTCTCAAGTACAGTAACAAACTGCTTAATCTGGCCATTGTAGAGAACGCGGGCCGGGATGCGTCGTTTGGTAGCCAGTCGCTTAAGAAGGTAAACCCATTCTGTCCATTCACGGTCCTGTGGGCGTTCCACAGGTCGCATGTTTTGCGAAAGTGGGATTGGAAACTGATACTTGGCGACAAAGTCAAACGCACACTGCGAAAGGCGATCGTTAACCTGGCTAAGAACAACATCTTGTTCCTGGACATGCAGGTTGGTTGGAAGATGAGGCAACTCTCTCTCTTGCATGGCAATCACGTCGGCTGGAGGTCGCTGGAGAAACTGGTGTGGTCCATCAAATTCATCGCGGTTAGACGGACGTCTCTGTGAACGATTCCTGGGATTGGGCTTTGGCCGGCGTCCAGCAAAGGCAGGGTCCATTCCGGCTTCCAAGGAGTATTCAGACAGATCAGGAGATGCCATGATGTCGTCAACAGAATCAGTGGGAGAGTAACGTTCGTGATATTCCCAGGAGTTGTTCGAGCTCTGGTATGATCCGAATGGAGCCATCGACGAGCCGCCTGAAACAGGCATCGGCTGTGCAGCGTAGTTTGCGTGGTCAGGCCGAGCATTGAAGGAGTTTCCTAAATAATTCAAGCTTTGCAGCGCATCCCCGTGTTAGTAGAAGTATGCGGTTACCCGTTCACTGTTGCGGCGTACCTTGCCTGCGCAAACATATCGTTGCGTGGCCGCTCCTTGGGGTCCGATGTTGGCATGTAACTATTTCGCAGTGTAAGCAAGAGATTTGTGTAAAGACGATGCTCGCAAGTCGGTACCTGTTTCTTGGGTTATTCCACGGGCTGTTGCCAGCAGCGGTGGGAGTATAAGTCATGTTAGGGCGAGCCGCAGCCGAGTGTTCCATCGTGCAAGCACCGCAAGTCTTTCAAGTAGGAAAAAGCAAAGAGAGACAATTCGAATCGACTTGGGGGGCTAAATTCAATAGGTCGGTGTAATGGTGTTGTGCCGAATTAGGAAAAGGCGTCAGGGCGTTCGTTTCTCAGCTCGAGGCACACTGTACGTCTCTCGTATCCCTTGGGCGTAGTTGATTTTGTGAAGGTACCGGTGTATTTTCCAGTTCGCGATTCCGATTAGACGATTCGAGATTCAATAAAATTGAAGGGAAGAATAGATTCGGCAAAGGCCTTCTGTGGTGATATAGCAAGAAAATTGGAGAGTGACTGGGGAATGTTGATTTGGCGGTGTGATCGTGGGCAGCTGACCACCGGCACCGCAACAGACGACCACCCACTGGTAAGCTGGCTCAACAACCAGCTATAAACAGAACAGGGCGCGGAGTAGACGCCGATGACGAAATTCCGAGACGTGTGGAAGCTAAGCGCCGATATATTCGTTTTCCAACGACGATTTGAAGGAGCAGCAAGAGATTTTGTGTCGGATATTTTATCGTGAATGGAGACACGCTGTGGGAGTTGCTACTTGTCTCTGGCGTAGGGTGACCGTGGTATTTTTTTTGGAGCTCTCCCTTATCTGTGTGTTCCTCTATACGTTTTTTCTGCTTCTCGGCTTCTAACCGTAGCGGCCCGAACACTGCGACAGGTAAAGCGACAGAATGTTACAGCGTAGTAGGGGATATTGATCACGGCCTGACAGCAGACTTCCCGTCCCTAAAAGGCTGGCTCAGAGCATGGTATATACCCTTGCAGCATCGCAGTTTACCAAGGACACTACACAATTTTCACGTTGCACTAGGGCTTCGTTCTCGAACTACGGGATACAAAAAGCAAAGAGCCTACGTAGCGTCAACAAACAAGAGGCCCCATCTATCGATACAACCACCAAACCGCCGGTAACCTCTATGAACAGCCCTGATTCATGATTGTCGTGCAATACGACGCTCCCCATGTAAACCCGGCGTGCTTCGACGCAGCCTCAGCCCAGTGACAGTAAGCTAGCATCGCGGGGGAGACGGCGTTCAACAGAGGAGGTCACAGACAAACCAACGTGGCCAATTTTAGGTCATCGGGCCAAACCCCGAAATGACGGCACGCACCCAAGCTGAAAGGGTGCTAACCAAAGATGCAGGGCCGCTGGGACCGCTGGGACCGCTGCAAATAAGGAAGAAGCGAAGGGTGGAATGGTGGGGGCCTGACGGCATTGGGCAGCAAATACATTTGAAGCGGTGAATTGGGTGCAAAGCCTCCTTTCGTTGTGTGTTGTTAGGCGAGCCACAGCAATTTCACAGGGCTTCCAGTGGTATGCGGGCTGCACGGCTCCAACATGCGGGGAAGCCCTGTGGCGTAGAAGCTTCGGTGCTGAGTTTACTTAGCGCTCCCTATTTTACACGTTTAGTGGCTTAATTAACGGTTGGAACTAACATTAGTGGCTACAGTGCGGGATGATGTGTCCCCTTATTACCCATGGTCTGACCAAGCTTCGGCCACTCGCCGAGCCTCATGCCAACCACATGTCACGACATAGCCTACCACCACCAGACCACGGCAGATCCAACCATTATCATGTATAGTAACGGTAATGATAATCATATAATAGTATCTAATACACCAGCCTACACCTTATGAGGTGTCTTCCGAATGTACCTGCGGAGATGGAGGTGCCTACCGAGGCGCTCCGTAATACTAATATAAGACATATCTATCGACGTGTAACTTGACATTCTATATACATGAAGACCAAGTAGCCCGAATATTATTCGACAAGATTCAACATCTCGATAGAAAGAGCCCACAAGGCCTTCTCACCCTCGGGATTGAACGCGTGTGGTGCCACGCCTACAGCCAGTGTGCCACCGTCGGGCACTGGACCAGCTTCCTGACAATCCTCCAGATAGACACCACCTTTGCCTTCCCACTCCTTACCGAAGGCAGCCGTCATAGTTGTAGCAGCGCCTTGCGCCGTACTCTTTCCGTACTTGCGCGAGGGCTCACTTAAAACCCACTGTTCCAAGGTCTTTGGGTCGACATGACGCTGTAGATCCGTGGCAATGCCGCCGGGCATCAGCGAGAGACCATGAAGGCCTTGGGAGCCATGCCGGCGCTCAATCTCATTGGTCATCCAAATGCATGCCGTTTTTGCATTACCATATGCCTTCCATGCCTCGTATTCACCCTCGAGATTGATATTTTCCAGAACGACTGGGCTCATGTGATGCCCAGCCGACGAGACATTGACGACGCGGGATGCAAACTCTGGCGTGGAGCTGGTCAACAGTGTTTGTTCAAGCAACTTGTACAGCAAGAAGTGTCCAAGATAGTTGATAGCAAGCTGTGACTCGAAACCATCTACCGTCTTGGCCTCTGGGCACGCCGTAATTCCGGCATTGTTGACCAAAACGTTGAGCTGAGTAGACTTCGATAGAAATTGCTCAGCCGCGGCACGAATACTATCCATAGAACCAATGTCTAGCTCCAATAGTTCTACTCGGCCCGGTTCCAGAACCTCGGCTAGAGCCTCCTGGCCTTTGACAACGTCACGAACGCCCAGATACACTCTGCCCCCAGTAGCGGCCAGTGCCCGACCAGTTTCAATGCCGATGCCTCCAGAGGATCCAGTGAGAAGAAAGACCTGGTTCTTATCAGTATGGGTTACATGCTTCTTTTTAATTCCGACTAACTTTATCTTTCATAGTGCCAATACAGTTGTTGTCTTGGAGAATATCAAGAGCCGTAGGTCGGCCATCTCCCGGCCCATTCTGGTCTAAGAAAGCCTGAGTGTACTTGTTCTTCTTGCCATGGTGACTACTGATGAGTGGGTTTGCCATTTTTTAAAAATTGTAGCAGTATAATTGATAGATTATTCAGTTGATTTGGGTTCTAGATCGTAGCGATGGTTTATTTTATACTACGAGGATCAACTCGCAGCCTCGTCTCGTATTTGTCCCGCTTCTGAGCCGGATTTATGGAATCCTTAACTCCTTTGTCGACTTTATAATTATGGTTATCTCCATTGGCGAATTCCTTGATTTTCTTCCCCGCTTATACCTATGAGAGATGAAGTGGCTCGTTTCTAGAGAGATGTTGACACGATTAGCAATAAACGAATTCAACCTGTCATACCACGGAGACCGGAAGCGAGTATTTGGGAAGCTATGAGAAGATGTCAAGAATCTCTGGACACAATTTTTTCAAGCTGCCTTATCATAACGTCTATCTTCTAGTATTCAACTGTCATAGTATGTCTTGGAACGAAACGTTCGTGGTAGTAGGTCCCATTGCTAGAACGCTGTGATATTGTTGAGGATAATTATGTAGCGCCATTCGAAAGTGGTGCTAATTTTGTTCTAGGTGAATATTCTCTTCTCTGGTTCATATCATGCGATGAAGTTGCATCAATTGGATTGGGGGTCCGGACTGTTTGGTAGCTGCTTTTCTTGCAATAGTCTCAGGACCACTAACAATTTCAAAATTTACCACATGCATCATACAACTATACGGTATACAAGCTATTAACATACTTGGCCCAATCTTACAGATTCATAAATCTGCAACTCATTTGTGTTGCCCCAAGTTGGTGCCTGATCCAAATCTGTACAGGGTATGCATTGATTGCTGCCGATTGCATTCGTCAAGAATGCAGGTTGACGCTGCCCTGATCGCATGCAGCGTTTCCGATGAATATAACAGAATAATCGATTATTATTACTGTATGGAAAATAAGCTCCACCGTATAAGATAACTTCAAGTTCTATCGGTGATGGGGTGCAGACCGAGTGAATCCGTTTGGAACCTTCTGTGGAAGTTTCCATTCTGGGCGGTTTTCAGTAGCGTCACGTCAAATGCTACAATGCGCACGTTCATTGACCAGCTGTCAAATGCCAGCTGCGAATTGCCAGGTGCCGACCAGCTGGCAAACACTTTCAATTTTCTCGGATTGTCACTCTCCATCTCTCCCCTTCAATTTTTCTCCTTCTGCATAAGGCACCCTTCGCTTGTGCCTAATTCACCTGACGCAGGACCCAACTTGTAAAACGGATGGGCTTGGCTTCTTCAGCTCACAACGCCAACAGCCCGACCGGTCTACCAGTGGCGCAGATGGAGAATAGGGGCCGACCACCACCTGCGAGATCGTCACGGCAGATTCAGAAGGATTTTCCCAACGCCCACGGCGCTCCAACGGCCGCCCCCTCTGTATTTTGAAAATAGCGTCGAAATGGAGGAGGGCTGCCATGCTGGCCCACAACGTTCAGCACTAAAACACGGCCCGTGGTCTCGAGAGCGGGAAGACCCGGCACTAGACTACAAGCACTCTCCACCGCTTGCCTCACCTCCTAGCCGCCCCGACGCCATGCTGCTGCACGTCTGAGTTGTCCTCCTGCATTATCACGCAGGCTGTAGCATTCGTCACCACACCAAAACAATACCCTGGCCGTTTTCTTTAGGTCATGGCTCCACCAACCACACCTCCTTTGCAGTCACAACAGCGCAATCTACCCGCTGGCAGACACGACCAGCCTATCAGCAGCCCTAGTGATGCCACTGGTGCGTCTTGCGGCCCCTACCCCGGCAAAAAATTTGTACACGTCGGCACCAATTCGACAAGGCAGCTCACCAATGGGAATAGTCCCGAGTGAGGGGCCGCTGTCGCTGTGCTGCGTTGGGGCGTGCTGACCGCGTTATGACGAGTTGCCAGACCACCACAAAAGAGAAAATAAAACGCGCATGTTCCCCCGGCGCCTGTGGCATGGTGTTGAATTTTGGTTTTGATTTTGGAAATATTCGAATCTTCACAGGATACTCAGTCCTATTACTTACAACTGTCACAAACACCAACCAAAACTTGAACCACAACAGGCGACAACCTGTTTTGGTATTCCTGCATACTCTGCCTCCATTTATCCCTCTGTAACTTTTTACCTCGGTTAAAAGTTACCTTGCTGTCCACGCAGCGCTTCTCAAACGTTCCCTACGCTGCGCTCCGGGATCAGGTCTTCCCTCTTTACTGTGTGATAGCTATCCTCCTCATTAGCTATTCCACCACTCCCTTCCCCAAACCACCTTTGGATATAATGACTGCCGCTGTCATGTCTATCCACCAGTCCAAGATGCCGGGCTATGATAAGAACAATGCCATCAACCTTGATGAGATGCATTCGCTTACTAGGTACTGTTTCTCCATTACGTCACCTGTTCCGGATTGTTTTTTCTTATTCTTTCTCTTTTTTCTTTGTCGTCGTTGTGTTCTTTCTCCGTTTCTACGCACTGTCGTCATATCTTCAGTTGAAGATTTTTGTTTTTCATTTTTCAGCCCGGAAGCCCAGGACAATATGCCATTGGATCGATGCTCTTCAAATCCCGGAATTTGAATGAACGGAAATCTCGCTCCAACCGGACGAGATTACACATGAAGTGCAAATAAAGTCATTGCAAGATTGTGAAAATTTCTCGACCTTTAAAAGTCGAGCGGTTAAGTACTATTCGCCCATATCTGCCCGGAAGCCACTGGATGTCTCGTTTTGAATCGCTTGTGGAAAAAAGAAATTGCCGGATATTCCATTTTACTGGATTATATGCGGAAATCCCAAAACCGGACTGATATATGTTTCATTTTTATTTTCAAGCATCGAACTGAATGGACCACAATCTTGTTGCCGAGCCGGCACGGATACTTGGACGGATGATCTCACGATCTCCCGCTGAAGTGCATTTGAGATATCAAAGCATGTCATAATCAGCTTTTCGCAGGTAATGAATGAACAAGACTCATATTGCATTTGTCTTTTTCAAATGCTCTCTGTTTTCCCTCTGGACTATTTTGCGAACCTGGATCTCAACTGGACACGACCCTGCCTGCGCTGGTACCTATTGCAACCTACTGGAACCCGGACCTGATTTCTGTGTATTACAACCTTATACTAGTCACAAGATTAGCCAATACTGCCAACAATCTCTCTGGATTTAGCCAATGGCCATCTCATTCCTGGATCTCGATGCAACATAAACTCCCCAATTTCATCACTCCTACTCCACATGGTCAACATTTCATTCTAATTAGCCCTTCTCTGGTGTATTCCACTCCCACTTCACTTCTATTTTCACTATTGTCACTTCTTTTCGTTTTTGATGAATCAAGTTTGGGCATCACCGCTATGAGTGGCGATGCCTGCGTAATATGGCATGGTTTGTGGTTCATCTTCCCTTAACAAAAATCGAACTCACTAACAAATTGACTAGGTTCAAAGTTGATACCATGTTCTGCTTTTGCATAGTTTCGGGATCCTCTGGTGTATGAATACTAACAATGATTCAGCGACAGCAGCTATTCTCAACTTCCAGTGCCGCTGGGTACTGCTTCTGTCTACAGCTTAAGCAACTCAGATCCCACATCTGACTTGAGCAATGGGACCTGGAGCGTGGCCATTGATGGGATGAACTTTCTCCCACATTTCCCTGACCCTTCCTTGCAACCGTCTGGACCCACCGAGGATTTTAACTTCACATCTGGACAAACTACCCCCAAAGGCTCCAGAAACCAGAATAATGACTACATGGACTCGTCTTGGGCTACGTTGCGTGCAGTGACACCAAAGGGGCAGAGCATGATGCGAGTTGACTCGTCTGCCTCTGCCTGCTCCTCTGCATCCCAAGTTTCCTCCATGGGCGTGCTTTCAAATGATGGTTCTGGCTTCCATGCCTTTCAAGCCCCTTCTACAAACCCAGTTTCTGCTGCAACCAGCGACCCATCTCCATTGGCATGGGATGGCTATGAAGATGATGGACTAGGTGGCGCCTTTAAAATTGACTTAGGGGAGCTTGATGGCATTGACATCACATCTACTGAGGCAGCGCTTGGCCAGACGCTGCACGCCCACTCGTCCCCAAGTTCATGGGGAGATTTTGAGAGTTCCATCTCCAGAACTTCTTCCCCTGCTACTGTCGACGAGGCATGGATGAAGGGTGCCTTTGCTGCTACGTCTCCTCAGTATGTTACGCTCATAACTTCGACCAACGTTCATGATTCTAACTCTTTTAGGACCACCTTGAACTTGCACAATGAATTATCGCCGTCTTTGAAGTTGGCAGATCCTGTTGACCTCACAGCATCGTTAATAGCCCGCCCAAGCACGGACGGGGATTCACCACGGGATGATGTGCGCTATAAGAATGCCGTTCGGGGTGCAGATGGTTTATTCCACTGCCCTTGGGAGGGAACTCCTGAATGCAACCACAAGCCAGAGAAGCTCAAGTGTAACTACGAGTAAGTTTGTACCGCATGCTTTTGTTTGTATCACCTGACCTAATTTATGCAACAGCAAATTCCTTGATTCTCACTTGAAACCGTACCGATGCAAGGTGCCTACTTGCAACGGTGCTCAATTTTCGTCGACTGCTTGCCGATTGCGTCACGAAAGAGAGGCCCATGGCTTACATGGGCATGGCAATAAGCCATTTCCATGCACCTATGAGGGTTGTGAAAGATCACAGCCTGGCAATGGATTTCCACGTCTCTGGAACCTCCGAGATCATATGAAACGCGTGCATAATGACAAGACCGATGATCTCGGCCAAGATTTGTCCCCGACGTCGGGGTCTGCAAAGGGCCGCAAAAGAAAGTCGGATGCGCAAGACTCTGCGATGGGCAGCCGCAAAGCTGCCCAAAGTATGCCACCGCCAAAGCTTCCCGCAGATCCCACAAGGCCCCTGCTCCAGCGATGGGAAAGTCATTATAAGGCGATGCAAGGTCTTCTAGAAGACATTGCAACCCCTGGTGATGGCAAAGCTATGAAGCAGATTTTTGAAATGCAAAGACGCTCATCAGAAATGGCCAAAATCAATGCTGAATTAGCAAACTTGACAAGGGCAAAAACTCAGAACACATCTGGATGAATGCCATTGCTCACATGCAAAGACAATGTCTTCGTCAAATGAACTTGGAAGTATGACAGGGTTGGAGCCAGCGCAGACGCAATACTTTTAGCTCACTGCCGTATGTCTATGGAACTGCACTGCGTAGTGGACCACACTTCTACATTTGCATTGTCTATTCAATGTACGTGCATTGGATTCAGAAGGATGCGACTAAAAGGGCACACCTCTCAGTATCTAATACCGAGAGGCATTCCTTGCTTCGTCTTTGACAAAGTGTCCGCTCAATCAACTGGGCTGGGCTTTGTGAAGGGACTAGAAACTAGTACTTGGTATCAAAGGGTGCTTCGGAGGGAACAGTATGCGATACGCAGTTCAACTACAGCTTTGTAGTAACAGCCGAACCAGCGGCTGTCATTTGTATTTATTTTCAAACGGGACGGGTTTCTTTTTTCTTGATCGAAATTTTCTGTAGCTAGCGAAAACAGCAATTTGAACTTTATCCTTTTTACAAAGATTCTGCCTCCTTCCCTGAACCAGCTAATGTGTGATGCGAGACAAACGCCACTGTTAACACCTGAGCATATAAACATCTCATGTGAAGTCGAGTGCGTTGGTTCTCAACGCGGATGACGGCAGTGCTGCTTCGACAAACTCATCAGATCCAGGTCTCCCGTTGTATAGTCGAGCTTGACCCATCTTTGTCCTATGATAGCTGATAAGGTGGACCAAGGGATAGGTGGTGCGCGATTGGCTACGGTGGAGGGGAGACCAACGAAACCCCTCCAAGCCGCTGTTGCGTGACTTTTAGTTGCCCCGCCTTCGACATCGGAGCTGCTCCTCAACCATTTTTCTGTTGCCCCTCCACCATACAGCTTCTACAAAGCATCAGCAACTTCTAAAACAACACATTTCACAATTATCTACTCACGCCCACTATTTGCCATGGCTCGCAAGTTCTTCGTCGGTGGCAACTTCAAGATGTAAGGACCAATGCTGCGCTTTCTATGCTATCGCCAACCAACACAGATGCTGACCACAGTCTTATCTTCTAGGAACGGTACCGTTGCGTCCGTCAAGGAAATCGTTGCCAACCTCAACGCTGCCAACCTCGACCCCGAAGTTGGTAAGTAGAAACGACAATGCCTCCCCTCCCAATGACTTGATCCTCGCCGTAGAGCCTACATTGCTAACACATGACGCAACAGAGGTTGTCGTTGCCCCCACCGCCCTTCACCTCATCTCTGCCCGCGAGGGTCTTCGCAAGGAGGTCGAGGTTGCCTCCCAAAACGTCTACGACAAGCCCAACGGTGCCTTCACCGGCGAACTCTCCGTCTCCCAGCTGGCCGACGCCAACATCCATTGGACCATCCTTGGCCACTCCGAGCGCCGCACCATCCTCCGCGAGTCTGACGAGGTTGTTGCCTCCAAGACCAAGTACGCTACCGAGAATGGCCTTAACGTCATCTGGTGCTGCGGTGAGAGCCTCGAGGAGCGCGAGGCTGGCAAGACCATTGAGGTTGTCAGCAAGCAGCTTGAGGCCCTCAAGGCTCAGATCAACGACTGGTCCAAGATTGTCATTGCCTACGAGCCCATCTGGGCCATTGGCACCGGCAAGGTTGCCACCACTGAGCAGGCTCAGCAGGTTCACCAAGCTATCCGTGAATGGCTCAAGTCTGTCAGCGACAAGGTTGCTGACGAGACCAGAATCCTGTACGGCGGCAGTGTCAACGAGAAGAACTGCGGCGAGCTCAGCAAGCAGCCCGACATTGACGGTTTCCTCGTCGGTGGCGCTTCTCTCAAGCCCGCTTGTAAGTACCATAAACCCAAAGAAATGCCCACTGAGAGTCAACTACTGACGCTCTTAATTCCAGTCGTCGATATTATCAACTGCCGCCTGTAATCGTCAACAATGCACAGCCCGTAGCATCGACACCAGTAAGCGAACGCTATTATCATGCCTAATGAAACTGAAAGGCTACAAAATTGTGTGATAAAAAGGTTTTATATTGTAGAATGAGAAATGAAACTACAAGCTTGAAAAGCAACACCCAATATGCCCAATGATGTTAAGTCTGAATCATACATGTAAATATACAAGGCGTAGCGATTCCGCCACGCCTGCCCAGCAACTCTGCTAAGCCATTTGCCGTGTTGGCAAATTTTTCCAGTTTTGTTTTATGCTTTTGCAAAGAGACGGTGCGTTATACCTCCATGCCCTTGCCGTGGTACGGGGACCAGATGCCTCTGACACTGGGTTTGGTGCTCGTAACCGCCTTGTTCGTCTTTCGTAGTTTATCGCCGCTGGCGTCGCGCAACAGTTCAACTTTTTGCAGGATTTCGTATGGTGTCAGGTTTCGCACGCAGATGGGCTTTGTGCGTCCGTTAATATAATGTCCAATAATAACGGGATGTTTGCCGGGGCGAGGAGATACAGCGAATTCGACCTGAGGGTTTGTGGCAGCGAACTTGGGAAGTAGAGACTTGATGAAGCCGCTAATTGGAGATTGTTAGTATATTTAATATGCAATAGAACATAGCACTGATTGTCAAACATACTTCATGCCCTTGGAGCTTCCAGCCCAGTCGCAATAATGGAAGTCGAGCTTTTTGCATTGGAGGATGAATGCGCCGAGGCCATTCTGCATAACGGGTTAGTGATGCTCGAGATGCTTTCGAGGAATTCTCATCGCCTACCTGAGCCTTAGCCACAGTCCTTAACGCCTTAATCGTCATATTTTCACGAGTCGTACGAAGCAATTCGGTTACGCTGAAGAGGGAGAGCGCAACGCATCGCCAGTCACGCACGAAATTTCCACCCTCAGCCAGGAGACCCGCCCCAAAGGGGTTTAGCGCATTGACGGGCCAGCGTCGGAAAAACAGCCACAGCGCGCAAAGGAGCAACGACACCAGGCCTCAAGGAGATTTTGCTGCTGGGGCTGATTCCCTTCCAGGCAACCTTTGTTCGCTGGGCATTTGTTTCGTCGCGCATCACCGCTGCGCTCTTCGAAACTACCCGGTTTGCATCAACAAGAGCAAAGTCCGATTCTACAGCACGGCAATTGATGATTATTGCAGTTCTGCGTCGACACAATGACCGACAAGCTGCCCCCCAATTTGCTAGCTCTCTTCGCGCCGCGGCCACCACTGCGATGGGTTGAAGGGCCAGACTACGCGCCCGAGAAGCGCAAGACTGCCAACTTTACCGGTGTCGCTGCGTTTTTGCCAGAGCTGCAAAAGTACAAGGAGACAGAGTTCGCTGCCCCAACTGAAAGTTGGTTGGAAGCAGATGACCGAAAGAAGCAGGAGAAGAAGGCCGCTGTACAGGACATGGCAGACAACCTGTCCAAGTATTGTATGCTGCCAGCAATGCATCACTGGTTCTAATGAGATAAAAGCTAATCTGATGCGTCTAGACACACCTAGCGAAGACCCCAACATTCGTGGCGACCCGTTCAAAACTCTTGTTGTTGCTCGTCTCAGCTACGATGCGGATGAACGCGACCTAGAACGGGAATTTGGCAGATTCGGTGCCATTGAACGTGTTCGTATCTCCTACTGGAAATGAAGAGATGAAATACAAGTTGCTAACGTGCTCTATTGCAGATCCGAATCGTTGTCGATACCCACGCCCCCGAAAAGACAAATAAGAAGAAGAAGCCTCATAGAGGCTATGCCTTTGTGGTATTCGAACGAGAAAAAGACATGCGAGGTAACTATTTCCCCCCTTAACCCCTTCCAAAATTTCGCACAGGGCATGCCAAAAGAATTATCTGAGAGATGTGGCCCTCATGCTTGCCCATCTCGGAGTGATTCGGCGGGACATCCATGGCGATCAAGAATGCCAGTCTCTGCCACTCCCATATCCTATCGACAACCAACCTGCTGATGGTAAGAGTTGCTAACAAGTGCGCCATCATGGCGTCCCGATATATAGCAGCATTAGATTCCTGCGACGGCATCCGTATCAAAGATCGACGAATCAAGGTGGATGTCGAGCGTGGCAGAACCGTCAAGGGCTGGAAGCCTCGCCGCCTAGGAGGAGGACTCGGTGGCCGTGGATACACCCGTGCCATGCCTGCACGTCCAAGTGCACCCGGCGGCGGTGGTGGTTTCCGCGGCGGCGGTTTCCGTGGCGGCTTTGAGGGTGGTCGTGGTCGTGGAGGTTTCCGTGGAGGCCGAGGAGGTGGTGGCTTCCGTGGTGGTGATAGAGATTTTGGCGGCCCCCGCGGAGGTGACCGCAACGGACACGGTCCTCCTGGCGGTGCTCCGTCGGGTCCTGGTGGCTACGACCGACGCAATGGCGACCGTGGATTTGACTCCCGTAGCGGAGGCCGTTTCGATGATCGCCCGGATAGATTCCGCGATGGTGGACGTGATGGCGGACGTGATGGTGGTTCTCGCCACGGTGGTCCCCCTCGCCATGGTGGTGACCGTGACGGTGGTCGTCGTACTGGTGGCAACATGGAGCCTATTGGCGCCCGGGATGGTGGGTATCGGGATCGCGATAGGGAGCGTGATCGTGATCGTGACCAGCATCGAGACCGTGACCAACACCGGGACAGAGATCGCGACTACGACAGACCGAGAGATGACGACAGCCGTAAGCGCGGGTACGAAGGAGGTGGCTATGAGGACCCCAGAAAGCTTCGACGCTACTAAGCTCTTCTTCCGTAGCCACCAACTCTCCTTGCACCACTTGCCACCATGGCTTCCTGTTGCCATGGGGTAGGCTTTGGTAAGGCTAGCAGCTGTTGCTGCACACAGGTTTGAACCAATCGTCTTCTTCAAGAGGAAGCTTATGGTAAACAGCCGACTTGTAGCCACTGGCTGTTTCTGTGGCAGCACCACCTCTTTGGTTTTTCTATGTATTTTATAAGGTGTTATTGATTTCGAAAAGGCGGAGTAAGTAATTTGATGATGGGAAAGGACGTATGCTTGTTAGCGACTCATATCATAGGATTTGAGGTAAGGTCAGACATATCTACCACCAGCAGAGCTCTTTATTTCACAGTGGCCACGTTTAGCACAAAAAGGGTATCCTTAAATAAAAAGCAAGATATGTTCAAAGTAGATGTGTGTTGGTCATGTATTTCAAAAACAGTGCAATCTAAGGAAGAGCCAACTGGCCACCTCTCTATGTACAACACAACATGTATATCCCAACCGATACCAACGCCAAAATAGATTTTTTGAGAATGCCGTTTTGTTTCAATCCATTTTATCAAAATGATTTTATCTTATACTTTTCTGGTCGTCAAATAGGTGTCGCAGCGGCGCTCTTACTCCTCAGCCTCAACACCGTCCATAGACGAGCCGTCAAGCTCGGTGACTTCGGTGGAGGAGGAGCTCCAGTAACTAGAAAAATGTTAGCAATCAAGAACTAATCACAAAATGGGTATGTTGAGCCAAAAAGCTTACGCAACAAGCTGGACCTTGAACTCGCTCAGGCAGACACTGAACATCTTGAGGAGTCTGGTCTGTCTGGAGTCAAGAACATCGCCTTCCTTGCAGACGGTATAGTCCTCGCCCTCGCCGTCCTCATCACCCAAAACAACCTTGCCCTTGACCATGCGGACGGGGACGTTGAGTCTGCGCAGCTCAGGCTCAAGGGTGTGCTCAATGGGGACGTCGTTCTCAGCGGGGACCTCGCCGGCGGTCGAGTAGATAACGCCAGAGGGGATCTTGAAGGTGCGGGTGGCAACAACGCCGGCGCGGGCAAAGTCAACGAGAGAGAGGTTGTTGAAGTATTCCTGGATGTCCTCAACAGATCGGTTGGTGAGGATCAGGCCGACGTTGCCAGTCAGGTAGCGGTTGAGGCGCTCGATGCCGGGGGCAATGGCCTCTTCGGGGGTTTGGCCAAGAGCCTTGGCTGTGAGCTTAGTCTTGCCAAAGAAGATACTGGTGATTTAGAGTTAGCAACAAAGAGGAAATAGGTTGAGGCGGGTGGACGATGCTTAACGTACCGGCTGTCGGAGAGCTCGCGGCGGACATCTTTGAGGTAGTTGTTGCGCATGTTGTCTATGCTGAAGACAAAGCAGTGCTGGAACTCGGGGACGGCATCGCGGATGTTCTGGAAAAGCTGGTCCTTTTGCTCACGGTTCTTCTTGGCGACCTTGGTAAGGTGGTAGGTTCTCTCGCGCCTTGACTTGGGCATTGTGGGCGATTGCTGTAGCAGCTGTAGTTTCGTGGGAAAAAATTATCGAGTAGAGAACCGAATCTCTTTTATATATAAAATCGAGAGACTGGATAATATCGAGACTGAAATGTGTTACCTTTTTGGAACGTTGCGCTGCGCAAAGGTGTACAGCGGTGTCGTCTGAATGAAGAAAAAAAAAAGTTGCGTTGTCGATAAGACTGGAAAAAATTCATGGGCTATTTTTTTCCTGGCAGCTCAGTGGCCGGAAGGTGGAGGATGGACCCCGCAATGCGTTTGGAGAGCGCTGTTGGCTGGGTGGCTCCCCAGGCGATCTGGCGCCTGGAAAGATGGCAGCTGGGTCTTAGATATTTGGTGAATTGGAAAAAAGAGGTGACTGTGTATGAATTTGACCTGGAGATTAAATAGTTTTAAATATTTAGTGACACTCGAGAGAGGCATTTGTTTATATTATGCATTTTCAGAGTATTTTATTTCTGATGCTTTCCCTGCAATGCCTAAATGGACTGGTTACGTGATATGCCCTTGGTTGTTCATTAGAATATTGCTTTGTTTACCCCTTTTGTAGCAATTCTATCTCTAGAAACACTTGTGCTTACCCATTCTAATAGTCTTTATATATTTTACATTTTCTTCACAATTCTTCTTCTATTATTGATCCTTCTCCCTGTGTTTCCTACCAAACGCACAAAACACACAACCGAAATAGGAGCGCACGGGCCAGGCCGTTCCCCCTAAGCCGCCTACGACTTTAACGTTAGCGCCTACGCTGCCCTGTACTTTGATGCCCCTGCCGCTGTGCGCCCACCCTGAAAGAGGACCCTCCCCCCAAATTCACTGGCGGGCACCAATTGTGGGCGGGCCAGAGGAAGAGGGAGTGTTTTTTTTCTCGTCACTTCCATCGGGCAACGTCGCTTCCTTTCCCATCCACACAAACTCAACCACCACGCAACTCCGCGATTTCATCTCGTCTCCTCCCCATTTCATCTTCACCTCTCTTCTCCTACTACTCTCCTCCTAATCTCTTCTATATACTTCCCTTTTCACCTCCAAACTCGCGCCGCCTCGCCTTGATCCCCAGTTAGGCACCACCCCTTGTTCGTCAGCTCACACGTTCAGCATAGTCGAATTCCATCCATCCCCTTTGTCTCGACCAGCATCCATTAGAGTCCTTGGGCGCTATAATATCACGGCCGATACTTCTTTAATACCATTTCAATTCTCGATTGTTCGCTAGCGCCGTTCAATTCTCTTCCAACTCTTTTGTCGCACAAACCCCGCGACTCAACACCAAAGCTTTCCTCGACCCATTGCATATCGCACATATCACTCGATAAAATGGCTACCAACGGATCTTTTGCCCAGCAGGACCAGCTCAAGGCCCCTGCCAACGTCGATACCAACGGCACCACTAACAACAACCTTTCCAAGGATGAAGTTGGCTGGTACTTCGTTGAGCAATACTACACCACTCTGAGCAAGTCTCCCGAGAAGCTCCACGTACGTATATTCTCTATTTCTGCTTCCTACACACTTATGCTAATGTGTTACGATCTTTAGCTCTTCTACGGAAAGCGCTCCCAGTTCGTCTACGGTGTCGAAGCCGAGGTTGCCAATGTCTCTGTCGGCCGTCAGGATATCCAGGATCGCATCAAGGCCCTCGACTTCCAGGACTGCAAGGTCCGCGTCTCCAACGTGGACTCCCAGGCTTCCAACGAGAGCATCGTCATCCAGGTCATTGGTGAGACTTCCAACAAGGGTGCCGAGCCCAAGAAGTTCGTCCAGACCTTTGTCCTCGCCCAGCAACCCTCCGGATACTTCGTCCTTAACGATATGTTGAGATACATTGACGAGGAGACTGAGGAAGAGGAGACCGCCGCTGAGCCCGCTGCTGAGCCCGCTGCTACCGAAGCCGCTGCTGAGGAGGAGGCTGCCCCTGTCGAGGCTGCTGCCACTGAGCCCGAGGCTCCTGCCGCTGAGGAGGAGGCCGAGTCCGCCCCTGTTGAGGTTGAGGCCGCTGCCGAGCCCGCTGTTGCTGTTGCTGAGCCCGCCGAGAAGGCTGCTGAGGAGATTAAGGAGGTTGAGAAGGCCGCCGAGCCCGCCGCTCCCGCCGCCAAGGCTGAGGCTCCCGCTGAGCCTGCTGCCCCCCCTAAGCCCATGACTTGGGCTAGCCGCGCTGCTGCTGCTGCTGGACCCCGTCCTGTTGTGCCTTTGGCCAAGACTGCCACTCCTCCTGCTGCTAACCAGACTCGCGCTCCCGCTCCTGCCGCCGCGGCTCCTGTTGCCAAGGAAGCTCCTGCTGCTGCTGCTGCTGCCGCCGCCACTGAGGCCAAGGAGGCCACCAAGGAAGCTTCCAAGGAATCTTCTGGATGGCAGACCGCTGGCGCTGATTCTAAGCGCCAAAAGGGAGCCCAGCCTGCTGCTACGGCTGTCGCTGAGAAGGACACCACCATGGGTTATGTCAAGTACGTCACCGAGAAGGTTCAGGAGAGTGAGCTTCGCGCCGCTCTCGCTGCTCACGGTGAGCTGAGCTACTTCGATATCAACCGCCAGAAGAACTGTGCTTTCGTTGAATACAAGACTATTGAGGGATACCAGGCTGCCATTGCCAGCAACCCTCACACCGTCAACGGCGAGAACATCGTCGTTGAGCCTCGCCGCCCCAAGGCTGCTGGTGCCGGTGCTGCTAACGCCAACGGTCCCAACAACCGTGGCAACGGTGCTTCTCGCGGCCGTGGTGGTTTCGAGGGCAACCGCACCAACGGCGGTCAGGGCCGTGGTAACTTCTCTGGTCAGACCCGTGGCCGTGGCGGCGCTGCTCGTGGCCGCGGTGGTGCCAACCAGGGTGCCAGCGCTTAAGTCACCGTCGCCCAATACGGCCCAAGTTTACGCGTCATTGCTGAGCGGTAATTGGGTCTCGCTAATGACAGCAGTACTTTGTCATATCTCTACAGCAATTTCTTGAAAAGAATACGAAAAAAAATAAGCATGCGATGAGGTCATCGCATAGTAAAGATACCATGGCGCATAAGGACAGATCGGTCACGTTTGCTTATGAAGTGTAAAGAATGGAGGGGTCTGAAGATTTGGGATTTTGGCCCTCATACTTTATCGTTGCAGAGCATGTTTTAACGGCCCGAAAATGACGACATTGATTTCCAAGGAGCACATTACAGTGGTGTTAATTCAGGATGGACAGATGCCGGGGCAAAACAAAAAGCATGATTTTTCATAAAAGTTGTCATTGTTTATCATGAGGACGACAGAAGAGGAGATACGCATGTATATTTGGAGCCTATAGCAGGTATAAAGATGCTATACCTGCATGGAATGGATACATTTGGATGCCTTGTCATTGAGGGCATTGGTTTTGAGCAATTTGAAGCGAGCGTTTTGAGCTGGAGGCAGAATATTTTGTTCAATTTGAACCAACGGCGCGATTGCGAATCTGCGAATGGAGAAGAATAAAGGGGATGATGTATTATACAGTGGGATCGAAGCCGCGCCGGATATAAAATTTAATCAATATTTTGTTTCACTTTGCTGTCTTTTGCTGTATATGGTAGCCATGTAAGCGCATGGTGATGTAATGTGATTGTACACCATCGTTGCCAAAATCAGGCCTCAGTCTGGTTAGTTGACTTAGCTGCGGAAAGTAGATTAGCCTTGTCTCTAAGTAGTTGATATCTGTGGCCGGGAAGTACAGAGTAGGCTGCTTGTTGCTGGAGAGCAGGGGGTGGAAAGGAATATATAACTCTCATGACTTTCTGTTGGCTTGGTGTAGGCATGTTCTACTATCCATGAGAACAGCGGCTCTCTCGGCATAACCTTAGATACACTTTCAAGTAGGTTTTTACTCAACCAGATTTTACGGTGGATTACATTCATTGAACAAGATGATGCACATCCCTGACAGTGTTTTTGCTTGGCATCATGTCTTGGCTGATCTGCGATTACGATCTGTATCTGCCATGGTCTTGAGTAGCTCAAGTGTGTGTGGTTTAGCGGTAAAATAGTAACAAGAGGGGCGTATTATAAATACGGCAATGTCCGAAGTAGTCAATGACGGGTTGTAGCAGCGTAGCAAAACACCCTTCAGCCATGGCGTTCGTGAAGGGTGGCGGCGGAGAATTCTCGTTGGTCAGGGCTTGGTTGGCGTTGGGTTGCGCGGCCTCACAGCTCTGGCTAAGTTGAACGGAGGGGCGCATTCAGCACCGTTTTGTTCTCCATTGACTGCTTTTAGCAAAGCCGGCAATCTCGGATTTAGCAAGCGTTTCGAAACACATGGGTTATGGCAGGCATTTAGAGCCGGGTAAATACAAGACAGCAGCAATCGGCGAGGATGATCGTCTCGGCTTCGGAGTGCAGCAGTAGCAGCAACACATTGTCTAGGCATCATTGCTGCTACGACGCCCGACGAGAGAGATTGGGAGAAACATGGACAGGCATTTATATTGGGTCTTGGTGTACGTACTGGGCTGTCATTACAGTAGGTATACTTGTCGAAACTTGATCTGCCCGCGCGTTCACCTGCACGGCTGCCGAAGCAAACAGACCGAGACAGGTGGGAGGCGAGCACCACGTCGGTCAACTAATGCAAAAGAGTTTTTTGGCATGCGACACCTCTGTAGCAGACAGGGAGTGGCATGCGGGGGGGAAGCAAACATGGCTGTCCAATGGTAGGTGGTGATCGACGAGACAGCAAAGCCGGGTTGGCTGCCACGACTTGCGCGGAGCCATTGAGCAAGCCGAATGTACTGAGCAAAAGGGATACACAGAGATACAATATACGAGAAAGAGCCTTGGTTGGCTGGCTGGCAGCGCAAACGGGCCAGTGCGGCCTGCAGCAGCAGCAGCAGCAGCTCGCCACGGTGCTCTCATTGAACAAGGTACTTTTATCCGTCCTAATGTGGCATGGAGGTGATGCAATCCGCGCTATCCTACACAATAGATCCCATTGCAAATACGTTCATTTCTCCTAGTTGTCTACAGAGGCGGCGCCTTATATAACAAGGGAACAAGCGAAAGATGGCGCATCAGAACCGAGCGCCCAGAATGGCCTTTTCGAGTCAGATGGTCCAGCAACACAGGTTGTGGCTTGTGCCAAGGAGCCAGGGTTTTGTGATTATGCTGCGGGAGGTGGGCGGGTGTAGCAGCATACCCCAAGATGTAAGACGTAGTTCCTTGAATAAGGCAAGGCGTCTGTACAGGAAGCAGAACAGTTTACCGAGTTCTGGTGTACTTGGTTGTCAAAGTTTTCATAGTGCTGACATGGCCAATGCTAAAGTTTAGGTTTGAAACGCGACCTACGATAGCATTTGAATGCAACGGGACACGGGAAGCTGATACCAAAAAAAGAAGCGACCGCATCCCAAAAGCACACAAACCTTGTTTACTTCTCTGTTAGCGGCTAGCAAAGTTTGAAATGCTGCTGATCGATAGCTGACTGCCGGTCAATTTTGAGCGACGACTTGCGCTGGCCAAACCCAAAGACTAATGCAATGACCTTGAGCGCAGAAACACGCGGAAAGAGTTCAACGTTGCACGGAGGAAGCGATGAATAAAAGAAACAGCCTGTGGCCACAGAGAGGCGGCTTGCATGGCACAGCCACCACCAGAGGCGGCAGAAAGAGGCGAACGCTGAGGTAAGGAATATTCGCTAGCGGCCAAAGGTTAATATGTCTGGGGGCAGCTAGTGGATCGTGGAATGCGGCGGCAATGGATTTTAGCTTTTGAAGGCGCCATTCTAGTGGAGTGTGGGAAGACCAGTGTGTTGATGGAAGCTGGGTGTATGCACTCTAGATCTTGCTCGATGTTGTTTCGGGTGTAGATGGGCGAATTTATCGACTAGTATTTTACGTTTTGTCGAGGTCTTCGCAGACTGCAACTCTTGCCCGAATACGGAAATATACCAAGACCAGCCCGCGATGGCCGTGTCGATTGTTTGGAGGGGCAGCAAGACTTGGCGATGAAAGGGCAGCGAGTGGTGGTGAGGCACAGTAGAATAAAGTGTGTACAATATACGGTATAGAACACTTCCTGTGCGCTGTAAGTTTACAATGGGAGCGCTGTAGCTCATACGTTACAGGACATACACTGGGCATGTCTGCGCTGAGAACGTGGCGACTTGGCGCACTTCGTCCCGCAGCGCCTCAGTTGAGCGCCGCGGCTAGTGATGGGATGAAAAGAGAGAAAGACAAACAAAACTAAAAATAGGCAAAATGCAGGATATAACAGTGTTAGCTTAACAGACTATCGCCCCGTTACGGAATTAGCGGCGAATAGTATTGCATTTCTCTTATGTTATCCTACAACCAAGTTCTTATCGGGCACGGGGTCTCGTGGGACGGCGCAGAATAAAGCACCTGCCCTGGCGGGAATAGCGCCAAAAGCAATGTGCTGAGCGTAGAAAGCCTGGCTGGCTTCTATAGCGTGGAGAGAGGGGTGACCAGGGGTGGGCGTGTTTCAGAAGAGGCAGGGAGATGCTGCATGGAAGAGGCAACGGCAGAAAGTTGGATGTGTGTGTGTGTGTATGTGTGCTGCCGGCCGGTGATGTATTGTAACTTACTGTATGCTTTAGAGACAGCATGGCCAACGACCGACGGGGGAGATGCGCAATTAGCAAGGATCTAGACATGACGGCCTAAGACAGTGATATATGATTGAGCATCAGGTAGAATGTATCCAGCAGCAGCTTGTTGCAGATGAAGGACAACTACTGTACCAACCGCTGTTATTGGTGGGTGCAGCCTCGTGGTACGCTCCGCCAATGTGTATGTACAGCAGCTGTTGGCTGTTCCCTATGCTTCTTTGTTACTCTTTCTCTCTGTCAAAGTGTTCTACGCCGGCGCTACTTTCAAATCTGATTATTGCGCCGCCATCTTACGCATCATCGATTCTTCTTCAATGTCAGGGGCCCCAAGCAGAATAAAATTGCCCTTTGCCATGTTTTCCCGGCGCCGTGCTATGCAACGACGCACTGAGCCCGCCCATTCTGGCAAAAGGGCAGCAACAAAAGGCCCAGCTCCACAGTCTAACCAGTGCCAAAGGGACCTTTGTTGCGGGGTGTGGGCGAGGACGCACTGGTAGCATCGGGGGTTCTTTTGCGTCTCCGAGTCAAGACGCTGCTGCTCGCGGGAATTAGAGTCAGGTAACTGTGTTGCGCTGTTTGTGCCACTGGTTTGGAGGATTGAGGGAACCAGTATCGTACAGAGACTATTGCCTAATCAATGCAAGAAGAAAGCATGAGCTTTTGACGGCAAAATGGAAAACATCACGCTAGCAGCTACAGAAGGCAAAAAGGAAGCCCCAGAGAAAAACAGCGGAACAACGCACACACAGCCAGAGCCCAGAAGGCGCTACTACGGCTGGCTGGTGCGCTGCTGCTGCTGCCTGTCCCCACGTAAAGTGCGGGCTAGTGTGCATGCGTCCGCTGTGCTCTGTACTGGTGCTGCAAGGTAGCCTCGCCTCCACACGCAGCCTCCACACCACCCACCGAATACAGTACCTGCCAGCTCCATCGACCCAACCAACCAACTCCCAGCGCTCGTTCCGCATCTTCCAGCCCAGCAGCCAACAGTGAGAGAAAGAAAAAAAAGTACTGCCGAGGAAGTCTCCACGCCAGCCTGATGGAGGGATCTGCTAGCTTGATGCCCGCGAAGGGATACCACCACCACCAACGACGCCCTCTCTCCCCCGAAAGAAGACCACGACTCGCTATTTCCCAGGCACGCCAGCTTACTTTGGCCCCCAAGAAGCTAAACCAAGGCATTCATCTCCGTCGGCCGTTGCAGAGCCTGCATGTGAGGCGTGAATATCCTTTGTTGGAAGACGGTGTTTCGGACAGCTACCTTGACTACATGGTAGTAGCTTGGACCTTTTGGACTTGCGAATCATTCCCCCGTTAATGCTCATCAAACAGAGACAAGCATTGCGTCCAATAGCATGAGCAGAGCGCCGAACGAGAATGTCGCTCGTGTTCCTCGCGAAAGGAGCCCGCGGGCTGGGGGACTTTTGCCCGCAATAATTGGCATGACTTTTTGCCCTTTCGCACCACTACCACCACCCACCAGAGCACGATCGACCTGCTACTGGCTGTACAAACACTGCTGTATGGTACGGGGACGCTACCACCACCCCGCGAGAAGCAAAAGCCCCCCCGCCCTGTGCGTATTACGGCTGGACAAAAGCACTGGGCTCCACCTCCACTTTCAGCGCATCGGTCCACTGGACATACGCTGGACACTGGAAGCTGGGGCCGCTGAAACGAGGACTACTGGAGTCGGGCCACTCACACCCCCTCCCCCCCTCCTCCGTCTATGCCGCAACTGGACGGTAATGGTACCTTTTGTCCTTTTGCCTGCTGGTCCTGCTGCTCACAGCGGACATTTGCCCCCAAAAGGGACTTTTTGTACGCCTACAGCACGGCTTGCTCACTAATAGGGCCACGGAAGGACCGCCTGTTACGGCGTTAGGGGCACCTTTGGTGGGCTCGGCATGCGCGCATGTCTTTTTTCGTAGCGTTGCATCCAACCCGACAATCTTTACTTGCCCCAGACAAGTCGTTCCCCCAGCGCATTTGCCCACCGCTTCACTATTGTCCAACCTGCCACTCCACCCGTTGGTGCTCCTTTGGAACCTTTTTTTCTCTGGAATCTTACAGGCCTTGCGCCAATTAGCGTCTACCACAGCGCCTGGCTAAATTCTCCGCTGCTCCATCGTGCGTCGTCTGCAGCCCCCACGCCCGCCGACGCCTACTTCTCATCGAGCCTCTGCCACTTGCCAGCCTACTCTTCCTTCTTCACAACCTCGCCAACCTCAACATCGTCAACTAGCCGTTGTGTTCGCTCTATTCGACCCTCGCCTTTCCGCTGCTTCGCCTAAAAGGATTATAAGGCCGTCCCCTCTTTACTTGGTTCACATAACCCCCCTGCTACTGCTACCTTGGTCCCGCTTCATCCGGCCCGATCGACCTCTCTTGCTCTTGGCCCCAAAGTCAAACTCAAAACCACCACCATCGCCAACCCGTCCCGTCCTTGCTGAAACGGTATTCCACCTTCTCTCGTCTCTCGTCAGCATCCACGGATAGGCCGACATGTTTAACCTTTGCCCTGAATAGCAAGATAGGGAGGGAAACTTTGATTTGGACCACATCTGAAACGTATCACCGGCCCTAATCGCCAGGACGTTGAGGCTCTGCGAGGTGCCTCAATGTCCAGAAACGGCCACATGCCCGTACCATCGTCAGCATCGATCTCGCAGCATATAACCCGCGCGCCGCCCCCCATGGAGTCGCGCGGGCCTCCGCAAAGGAGCGACGATGCTCAGCGCTCTCCATCACCTCCACGTCTTAGACGCCGCATGTCCATGGACGAGGACTTCTTCTACCAAAACGTAATGTCGCAACAGTGCCGACCCTTCCACCCGCCGTCCTACAATGACGCTACGAATCCATCTCCGTCTCCCAATGATGGTAACCTCCGTCGACCGTCTACGGCAAGCGTGGACGACCCGCTTCCCCCGTATTCCAACTCGCTCGTCATGCAGGCCGTGTTTAGCAAAAAGCACGAAATTGAAAACACCACTAAGCGAGCCGAAGATCGCCGCTGGCACAACACAATGGTGGTGCTAAACGGTACCGCTCTTGAACTATACAACGTCAAGAAGGACTGGGGCTGGGGCCGATCCCGAGACGGACCCAGCATTAACCCGGACAACCCTCCGTGGATTAAAAAGGCAAAGCTAGAGAAGACGTATAGTTTATTGCACGCTGATGCTGGCATCGCTGCTGACTACAAAAAGTAAGTATAGGAGCATCCAACTCCCTTCAAGTCCACCGTATTATTTGTTTTGGCATAACTAACCAATAAACCACAGACGCCGTTATGTCATTCGCATCCGTGCAGAGACTGACCAGTTCCTACTTGCATGCGTCGAACTGAGCACCTTTGTCAGATGGCTCCAGGCCCTTTTTGCCGCCATAGACATCGCGGCACCTATTGATGACCGTGACTTTCCCCGTGATATGTCCATCCCTCGCATTCAGCGAGTCCGTTTCTACCGCGGCATGTCGCCCACTCGAGCCCGAAGCAATAGCCGCGGCTCCAGAGCGGAAGCAGACAATGCTGGTGAGGGAGAGCCTTCCGCAAGAACTGCGTCTCGTCGGTCATCTGCGGCATCACCCCATGTTGACCTGATGGCCGCAGCTACCGAGGATGGAGGCGAGGCTGCTATCGAAGACCCATCGGATGATGAGGCCGCGGATGATGACTTGCACGACTCCGACTCGGAAGGTGAAAACCCTCACGGCCTAGGGCCTCGACTGGTTCACAGACTGAGCGCTACATCATATCACAATGTGTCCATCAACCCGCACTCTGGAAAGTGGTTCCCGGATCACCGATGGACCGAGGCCCATGATATGCTGTACGCCAAGCTCTGCTTCAACAATCTCTTGTTCCGCAGCCCACGCAAGTCCAACTACATTATCAGCAAAGGCAAGCAGTGGTTTGTCGATTGGACGACGGGCAAGATGGTTCGAGTGCTCCCTCCGGCATACGGAGAAGTCGACTACTTCGGACCTTGGCAAGTGATTCACACAGAAAACATGAGAATTTAGAATGATTTCGTGTTATTCTTGTTTCTCATAACGACACGCAACGACGACATGTACCTCAACGGCCCACGGGAGTTTTCATGTGGGCCACTACAAACAAAGCCTAAAGAGGCTATTATAGAGATGGTAGGGTAGGCCGATATAGGCGGACTGGCGTTATTCCTGGGGGCATTCTTTTCTGCATCAGCGGCGTACTTTATTTGCTCGCTTCCTTTCTTCTTTTCTCTGCGACAAAAAACCCGGCTTCAAGTTGCGACCGTTTTAGCGACGCGAACGCCTCGCCTCGCAACACAGACATTCGTTTACATCGACAAGCTGGAGTGGCAAGGCGCCAGTACTACACTCTGTATATACCAGCTGGTACTACGACCTTCTTCCCGCTTGTCCTTTTCACTCTTTCTCTTCTTGTTCCTTTCTTGTCTCTATTTTTTGTATATATTTTTGGTAGACTAAATCAACCCAGCGGCTACATGACCGCATCTTCAAAATGCTTGGTATCACTTTGTACGTGACTAAGGTTCTGTTATGCAACCGATGTTGTGGATTCAAAATTGATAATGCTGCTCGTATCGTACTGTACCCGGGTATAAACTAAACCTGAAATAAAAAAAGACGCCCATTTCTGTACCCTTACAGTATCCCATAAACGCCATGTATAAAACAAAAAAAAGTACCGACGACATTAGATCTCGTTACACATTGGCCGCCCTAGACTCCTTGGCAAGCTCATCCACCAATGGCCCCAGCGCCGCATTCGCCCCTCGCACATCCCTAACGGCCGCTTCGGCCTGTGACAGCAGGGCATCAATCTCTGCGCGCTGCCCCTTGACTTGATCAGCAAGGAGCGCGTTCTGTGCCTGCATCGACTCGAGCCGCGCGTTCAGATGTGTCTGGGACGCCGTGATGGCAGGCTGCAAGTGCGCAGCAAGAATAGTCTGTGGCGGAAGCGTATGTGGTCTAAGTATCTTTGCATTAGCATTCTTCATTCTTCTCTTTACAGAGTGACACAAAGACTCACGGCTGAGGAGGCGCCGCTGACGGCGACGAGTCTTGTCGTCTTGCTTTGGCGTCTGCAGCAATCTGCTCGAGCTCGTTGAGCTTGCGGACCACATTGCGCGTCTTGACGATGGATTCGAATTCCGCCTACTCAACTCATTAGCTTATTTGCATATTTTGGACGGGGGAGAAAACGCACCTCGCACTTCTCCTTGAGCTTTATCACCATTTGCTGCTGAATCTGCTTCAGGACGGGCTCGTTGCGCCGCGCAAAGGTAGGGTAGCACGCGGCAAAGTTGTCCCAGGATAGTTTGCCCATGGTATGTGAGAGACTGCGCGCGTAGAGATCGAGGAGACGCTGTGCGCGGGGGCCGGGGATGACGGGCTCGGCTTCGGGTACGCTTGGGGGGGCAGCAGCTGTCGTCGTAGCCGCAGAATGTTGCTCGACATCGGGCATGGCGGTGTCGTCTTCCTCCTCGGGTGCTGGAGGCGGCGGATTCGATAATCGAGCCATGGTAGGCGGCGATGATCGTGGGCAGAGAGGGCTGGTGATGTCGCTGAAGATGTTGCGCGTCGGGACGCGAATGTGGGGTGAATGGTGTAGATGGCGGAGGGGAGGTGCGACGACACGTGATTGATCAAACGACATTTTAGACACGTTTTTGTACTTTATACGATACGAGAATTAGGATTGGAAATTGTTATTACGAACAGGGATTTTAATTATTTCACGGTCTATATGCTATTTGTGCGTACTGTCGTGGTGGAGGGGTATCTAATGGCAGGCTGTACTGCTTAGTTGGCGGCCAGGATTTCAGCGGCATCGGGGGCTGCAGTGTTGTCCTGGCGCCCAATGGCCGCCTTGGCTTCGTCTTCCTTCTTCTTCTGCTCCTCGGCTTCTTGTTTGCGCTGGTGCTTGACGACAGTGGTGTAGCGCAGGGCGGCAAGCGTGATGAGCACCAGGAAGACAATACCCAGTACTGATCGCTGAATAAGCACCCAGCGAACGCCTTCAATCTCGGACTTGGCATCGCTTGTGAGCATGATGCTGATCTTGTAGTTGAGCTTTTGAATCTGCAGAGGGAGTTTGTGTTAGTCGGTCAGAGGACATAGTGAAAAGGTGGCGGGGAAATTGGCTTACGGCACTGTCGATGGCTTTTTGTTCTTCTCGCGCAGCCATCTTCCGGTCGTTAAACATGCCGCGGACGTTATCGTTAAGCGTCACGAGCTCGGCGGCCAGGCTCTGGTTCAGAACTTCGACTTCGTGCTGGACATGCGTTCGCTCTTGGCGCATACGCTCCTCCTGTATTCGCTGGTTGTTCTTGACTTCTGTGTTGAGCTCCGAGCACGCCGCTGCGAAAAGATATGTTTCCTGTCCACTGTTAGCAAGATCTGGCAGTGAGAGGAGGTTGACGGTGTCACTTGCATTTTCAATATCATTCTTGCTCACCAAGCTCTTCAGCGCCACATCGAGATTGACCGCGAGCAGGTTGCGAATTGCCTTCATCGACGTAACCGCCTGCTTCCGTGTGAAGCCGCCCTCTTCGAGATGCTTGACCAACGAGTAGCTGTCAAAGTGGTGAACATATGGAGGCGGAGACATGGCGGGAATATGCAAGCCAGTGTCCTCTGGCGGCTCCATATGCATAACTGCCTCCAGCGGGCTGCCCGCCTTGGTCTCTTCACGAGTCTGTCGCGCGCCGGGCTCCTCTGACCCTGTTTCCTCAGCCTTGACCGGTTCGTCTGGTTTGTTTATCGTCGCCGATTCTGTAGTTGACTGTGCTGCGGCGGCGGCGGCAACCTCTTCGACTGGTGTTTGTGAGGTCGCCTCATTGGTGGCAGGCTCTGGTATAGTGTCGGCTGGTGCTTGCTTCACCTCTGCAACAGGCTCCTCGCCAGGCGCCGGAAGCTCAATAGGATCCTGCTTCTCCCATGTATCCGGTGCAACAGCCTTGCCCACTCGCGGCGCAAAGGTGCTTTTCGCTCTGGCGCTGTGCAAATGGCTCTTTCTGCTGGCTGCAGCTCTGCTCTCTACAGACGCCCACTGCTGCGGGACAGCCTGCGCAGCCGCCCGCGTCGAGCGCAGCAGCTGCGGATATAGAAACGTCAACCGTGACGTGGCCGGCATTGATTCGCGGTGTAGTGGTCGCAGCAGTTGGTGATTGTGTTGGAGGTTGAGGGTTGTTCGGGGTTCCGGTTTCGGTCGGGCGTGCGGAGGGCTGAATTCCGGGGGAAACAAAGGAGACTGCAACAAGACGCAATGGGTGGTAGTTTTGCAGATAGTAATAAGGCAAGGAAAGACAAGTGCGGCTCTAAAGTAAAAAATGAATGACGGAAGAAGAAAAGAGAAGGATTGCTGGTAGCTGTAGTGGTGGTGGTGAAAGCAGCGGTCTCTCTTGGTCCAAGGGACGCAAAAGTCACACGCCCCCCCGTGGTGGCGGCCCGCGGCGGCAAAAAGTTCAGGGTCCCCTCGCCGGTCGCCGGGTGCTGGAAGGAGCAAGTACAGTAGTTAGCGGCATGTACTGGTGATTGCCTGCTATAGCGCCCTGAATACACCGCTATAGTGGAAGTAGTGTACCACTGTAATTACGCCCAGTTTGCACCACCTTATTAGGCGGAGCTAGGCTAGCATCGGAGTCAAGTGGATCCTGCGAGCGGCGCCCCAACACAAAAGCCCTTTGCACCAGAAGGAGGAATAATGCATACAGCACAAAAGCACTAATAAGGGAGTGGCAGCAAGTTGAGAGGGTTGCAAGTACGGTACTCTACGCTGGCTGGTTATGGAACCGTATTAATTGATCAAGACCAACTCATTACTACTACTACTTTTCTAGGGGATGGCTTCATCTTACAGGCAGATAGACTCTCTCACACACAGTCACACACAAAGGGCAAACAAAGACGCATGTTTATATGTAAAAATGCCCCCCAAAAGGGCAATCCTTTCATTCGCGCAAGACTAATTCCAAAAAATAGAGCTCCTGTGTAGTAAAAAATCAAGCAAATTAACAGAAAAATAAAAACTTATCCCGTTTCCTCATAGACCTGACGGCTTGTTTCCTTTCGCGCCTCCTCATAAGCTGCAAACTTTCAAATACACAACCACCGTCTCTTTGCACCAAAGGCTATCACGCCTTCTGCAAGGAGTAGACGACGGTTTGGAAGAATAAAAAAACGCAGAGAAAAAAAACAATGAAGCAAATGCTCGAAACCCAACGAGGCAAAGTCCTTTTTTTCATTTTGCTCGTTAAAGAAGTAGCCTCAACTCCAATGTGTCGCACAAAAAAGCAGTTTGCATATAAAGAGAAAATCCATGATGAGCTGCCATGAACAAACAGCATCCGCCCCCCAAGGTTCTGTTTGTCCCATGGCCTGCCTTGGTTCTACCAAGCCAGACCAAGAGTGAGAAAAAAAATGTCCGTCAATGACATCGAAGAAAAAAGTGTAGAGTAAATGAACAAAATGCGTATAACCTCAGATCCGCAGAGGCGACAATGCTGATATGTATTGATGTCGACCTCGCTTCCTGTAAAGTATTTCCGATAATTACCGTGGTTGTATTTTCAATGCCGTATATATGTCTCTTTGCATTTGTATAAAAAAAGATCAGTGATTAAAGCAGTAGTTTGGTTTTTCTCTTCTGTGCTTGCGTAGCCGCAGAAAGAGTCAAGCAGCCAAGGCCCTCGTCACCCACCCCTCATCCTGCAAAGCGTAGTACAGCATCGCTTAGGCAACCTCGTCGTGCACCTTGACACCGTTGACGTTGGCTGTCGCCTTGCCAGTGGCCTCGGGGGCAGCATCAACGGCGCTAGCGTGGGTGCTAGGCGGGCTGTTGCTCAGAGGGCTGTTGGTCTCGTTGGTCAATGAAGGAGTGGGGGCAATAGAGCTAGCATCGTTGCCACTGGTGTTGCCACCGAGGCCAAGAAGCTTCTCCAAAGCCTGCAGCTGGCGAGAGGCGCCGTTGCGCTTAAGAGCAAAGAACTGGGGCTTGATCTCCTCGACGAGAGCTTCCTTGTCGACACCGTCAAGCTGACCAAGCAGCTTCTGGATGACGTAGTTACCGTACTGGTCACGCATCATCTGCTGAAGAGGGCTGGTGCCATCGCTGCCGACAGTGGTGAGCTGAACGCGAATAGCGCTGCGCTGGGCAGGAGTGCCGTGCTCAATGCACTTCTCAACCACGTTGGAAGCAAACTTGTGCTTGGAGAGCGTCAGTAGCTGAGCCATGACAAGCTGGATAAGTCTGTCACGGTCCTCAGGCTTGCCGTTCTGGATGACGTGCTGAGCAACGTAGTTGCCGTACTGGTCAGTGATGAGGATCTGTGCCGAGGAGTGAAGCTCGGTCATAATCTCCAGCTTGTCAGCCTCAGTACCGTACTCGAGCATACGCTGAATGACACGGCAGCCGTATGTGTGCGAGGCGAGACCAGTGACTTGACCGCGCAGGGCATCCATGATGAAGTCAATGTACTGGCGGGGGACCAGCTCAATAATCTTCTGGACAACATGGTTACCGTTCTGGTCACGGATGACGCGCAGGATATCGGATTCCAGCTCCTTGGTGAGTTCGGCCTGCTGCTCGACCAAGACGTGCTCAAGAGCCTTCTGAACGACGCGACAAGCATAAACCTGGACGGAAAGGTCAATAACCTTGCCCTTCATCTTCTCAGCCAAAACCTTCTTCTGCACCTGGTTACCATGCTCGAAGAATTTTTGCACAACGTAGTTGCCAAAGACGTCCTTCATGAGCTGAATGGCGTTAGGCTCAATCTCGCGGAAAACCTGTTCCTTCTCATCGCTGTTGGCAGTTTCGAGCTTCTGCTGGATGAAGCGAGAGCCGTGCTGGTCGCCACTAAACTCAACAACGTGGTTGTAAATGTCCTTGAGTTCGTAGCGCTTGCTGGACTTGTTGCTCTGGCGGAACTCCTCCAACAAGAAGCTGCGGACAGACTTGGAAGGATCCTGCTCGCGAGGAGTGCGGGTGGCGGGAGCAGGGTTGCTGGCGCCATAGCTTGTGTGGAGAGGAGGGAGGCCATAGTTTTGGAGAAGAGGGTGGCGGAAGTTTTGAGCATATGGGTCGATGTAGTTGGGAGCGTACTGAGGAGCGATGTTGCCGTAAGGGTACTGGTTGGCGTAGAAGGAGTGGGAGTAGCTAGGGGTGTATTGCTGGCTGCGGCGGTCAGCGTCGCCAGTGCGTGGGTCGCGGGACGAAGGGCGACCGCCCCAGACATCAGCAGATGGGCCGAAACCTCTAGGGCTGCCAGACTCAAGGCGGTAAGTCGGGCTGGGAGAGACTCTATCGATGGATGGGCGCTTCATAGAAGACATGTGAGAGCCGATGACATCGCCGCCAAACTCGAGGGGGCTGACCATTCTGGAGTTGCCCTCAGCCATCCAGGCTTGCGAACCAGGGTTCAACTGGAAAGGCTGAGAAGCAGGGTTGAAGGCAGACTGTTCGAGGTTAGCACGGCGAGCGAATTGCATCGAAAGGTCGTCATCGATCTGCTTGTTAAGGTTGAAAGCTCGCTGGTTGGCGGCCTGAGTCGACAGAGATGTGTTGTGGCCGGGGGCACGAGACTGCGAGTTGGTAGGCTTGTGAGTCTGGTACAGATCCGGGAAAGCGGGAGATCCTTGAGAGTGGCGAGAAGGAGGGAGTCCATTCTCACGGGCAGCAAAGCCGGCCATGGACTCGATGTAAGAAGCCTCCTGGCTGCCTCGCTTCTGGGTGTTGAAGGCGTAAGACTCGGTCTCATCCTGGTATCCAGTGGGAGGGAAGCCGCCCTTCTTGGTGCCGATGGCGGAGTGTGCGTGATCGAAGACATCGCGAGTTCGGTTGGGCGAGGTGCTAACGGAGCGCGAAGGGTTTTCGGCGGCCTTCCACGGGTTGGAGGTCCAAACGTCAGCCTCCGAGTTGGCGTTTAAGGCGCTGGATCCAGACTGGGTAGATTCTTCGGCATCTGCAGAAAGAGGTGAGCAAGCGAAAACGGGGCGAGAAGATTGATTATCCGAAGGGATTGTTGGCGAACCTTTGGCGGCGATGGAGCGGTCGCGGGCGTTGGAATAGGCGGCATTCCAAATATTCTTGGCCGGGTAGAGGTTGGAAGCGGCGAAGCCAGACCCCATGGGCTGCTGGGACTTGTCGCTGGGACCAGTAGGCATGTTGAAGTTGGGAAAAGCCCTCGAGCGTGCCTATACACGAGGGAAATAAAAATCTTTGGTCAGTGGATGCCACAGCAGATAAAAAATTGGTGGCTCGGGTGGGATGGTTGGATGCAGGAAGAAGATGACGACGGGCAAGGGAGGGAAGGGAAAGGGAAAAATGGATGACGGAAAAAACGAGTGTGAAAAACTGGTGGTGCAAAGGCAAAAGGCAAAGGCCCCAGGGCTGGGCGTGTGTGCGGCGTGTGCGCGCGCTTGCGGTGCAGTGACAGGTTGGTGGCAGTGTACGGGGGCGCTGGGCGCAGGGCCGCCTCAGCTGTGCTGTACCCAAGGGCCTGGAATTGCAAGATGCCAGCGGGAGAGACAGCGGTGCTGCACCGGCCAGCGACGATGCGCTAGCGTAACCAGGTTACAGCGGTCGGCGCCCCCTAAAAAAGGGCACTAGCAGGCCAGGCTCTCGCACTGCCGCCCCTCTTTCTCGCAGGCCCACGACCGCGCCAACGTCGTAGTCAGATGCTAAAAAAGATGCGAGATCCACTGGGTCTTGTTCAAATGGAGCAAGATGGGCGGCGAGCATCCAATTGCGTGGTAGCAGAACAAAATCAGAGGATGCGAGGTCGGCGGTGTTGGCAATCGCACAGTAGGTTGAGCAGGCTGCCCCGAAATAGGGAAAGATGTCGAAAGGCAAAAGGGGTGGGAGAAGAAAAAAGGAAAAAACGAGAGACATGCAGCTTGTAGCAGGAACTGCATAGCAAAAACGCACACTCTCCAAGCAGATACAAGAGGCCAGAGAAGCGGCATTGATTTGCATCACATTGGTTGGGCCGTGCACGCACCGCTACTGATGTGCGGTGGCTGCAACCGGAGCAGAAGAGGGGGTGAGCGAGTCGCAGCATCACGCTTGTGGCTTGCGATTGGCAGATGGAACACGAATTTTGGGTTTCAGCGCCACGGAAAAATAGAGCTCGGCAAAAAGAAAGCAGGCAAAAATATAGGCAAAACGGTGACGATGCGGAGATGACGACAGATAAAAGAGAAACGAAACAAAAAGAGGTTTACTTACTGCAGTAGCGGCCATTGTTGCTTTCGAGGCGTGGTGATGACGGTGAGCAACAGGCGGGTGAGAAAAAAAGAGGTGAGACTTTTGTTGTTGATCTGCCTCTGGAATGAGCGGAGAAGGACAGAGCTTGTTCGAAAGCCACTCAAAGTATTACCCCGAGAAAAGAAAATAGGCCGTCGATTGGAGAAATATTACTGGGAATCGAAAAATCGCACCAGTAAGACGACTAGTTGAGATATAGCCCAGCAGGGATGGACCGAGAGATTGGGATATGGGAGGAAAAAAAAGGCTGCGGCCACTATAAAAAGAGAGAAAAGAGATATAATGTCAGCCGGCGGGTTGTTTCCTTTTGGGGCCAGAAAGCAGAGAGCAAGGGAGGGCAATAAGCTGTTTCAATGGCTCGCCAGGACAAGATAAAAATAATCCTGGGGCGGTAGCAGGCACGCCATTCGCCAGGGACAGGCGAGGGCGATGCACCACCAACCCGTAAGCACGATGGAGAGCTGCAGCCCAGCGTAGCAATCGTGGTGGGCGTTGTCGTCCAAGATGCCCCCGTGGCGAGCCAACAGAGCAGCTAGCGCCGGGGTTAAGGCTGCCCCATGTGATGCCATCATGACATTGCTTGGGTAATGCCACAGCGCAGTGCGCAACGGCCGAGGGTAGTAGCAGGGGTGACTTACCAGATGGTGGGTTTTCGAGGCAATTAGGATGGCTTTTTAGAATACCAGCACGCTAACTTGTGCGTTTTGTAGCAGCTGCGAATATAGTATCTGGGCTGGCGTGTCTTGGTGTCGATGGACTGGTCTTAGCTTTGTGGGCTGGAGGGAGCAGAACAAGGGATGATGTTGCTGCTGCGTCGACTGCGGTGTTTTTTGTAGTATAACAGAGAATTCTGGTGGGCGGTATAAACAGCGTGCGAATATTTTTGTATGTGGTTTTGTGGTATTTTTTAAAATAGCTGTGCTCGTTTTGTTGTCTTTCGTCTGCGGTATGCCGGGAAGCAGCGTATTAGGCGAGAGAGAGAGAAAATGCGGGTTGTGTTGTTAGGTACCGAGATATTTGACGGCAATGTACAGCCAAGTAAAAGTAACAAAGAGTATAGAAGAAAAGTATCAAGGAGAGGAAATGGACGATTATGATAACCCCAAGTGTAAATACTTGTGTGCTATATGTGACAGGTAAAAAAAGAAACAGGAAATAAACAGGAGAGTCGATTGGGAGAAGCTGTAGACAAGCGCAGGATGAGGAGGAGAAGGAACAGAAAGTTGAAGAATGTGCGGCGGCGACGAAGATAATAAGGATTCAGCACTTTGGGTGTGGCAACGCGGGATGGAGACAAAAAATAATAAAATAAAATAAAATAATTCATTCGTCAAGCTCCATCGGGAAAGCAGAAACAAGTCAAAGGACAGGCGAGTAGAGTGTTGAAACAAACAGCAGAAACAGCGGGCCCTCCTCAAGGGCCGCTTTCGCCTCTGCCTGCTACGCTTTAGCGGGTTCAAGGGCAAGGTTCCAAAAAGGGCACAGGCGTTTATTTCGTCTCCTTGCCAGGCGTTGTGAGCGAGCGCCTTGTCCCTGGGGGCGCACCAGAGAAAGGGCCCCAACGCGCGTGTGCACGGAATGTTGGAGGGTGTGGGCGAGGGATGGCCAGCGTCAAAGGAGGAATGCAGCGGAACCCAAGCCAAGGGAGAGAGCAGAGGGCCCCGTGAGGAGCGGGAGATTTGCTGGACGAGTACGGAAATTGCAGCGAAAAAAGAGCAACTATGAGGAATTGGGGGAGATTTCCTCTTACACGACGCAATTGGGCTATGCTTGCTGTTCTAACCGCCAATGCGACTTACATAGACCCGTTGGGAAGCGTAGGGCCACACACGCTGGTGTATCTGGAAAAAGAAAATAGAAAATACAGGTAGTTTGGTGGCAATTACAGGTGCTACTACTGCTGCAAGGGAGCAAGCTACACCAGCTGCTGCTGCTGCTGCTGCTGCTGCTGTTGTTGTGCGCTATACCGTAAAACCAACTAGCGGCCAGCAAACCAGCAAAGTGATCGTCTTTGATAGAGGCTGATCTCCTATGGGGTTGCTTGGGCCTCTGTCGTCATACACTGTAAGCCCCAGGTGGACCGCCCGAGCCCATCCCACCGCGTGGAGCCCAGGCAAGCAAACAAAACACTGTGCGCAAAAAGCTGCAAAACCAAAAAGAAGGCTGTTACACTGGAGAAAGCCCAAGGGGTTTCACAGGGGAGCTGGAGCGAAGGACAGGTGCATCAAGGCGACAGGCAGTGGCCACGGCTCCCGAAAGGGCGATTTATTGGTAACGGTAAAGGGAACTGGTGATGGGGATGGTGATGCCCTGTATATTGGCTCAGGCAAAGGGAGACGTGGAGCGAGGCTAGCAGGGAAGAAGGGGCTGATCACAGCCAGATGAAGACAAAAGAAAGGAAGAATACTGCATAGTATGTACATCACACTGCATGGTGCTCACGAACGAAAAAGCTGCAGCAAAACCAACGTCATCCAAATGGTTGACGTCGCTTGCGTGTGAGCCAAAACGTGCAACCCCATCACCGCCTACGGCTGTGTATAGTGGGATGGTGATACCAGGCTGGGCTGTACCATCCCTCCGCAACCACCACCACCACCATGTCCGCTACGACGGCACTAAAACGGCCCCCAGATCTAGTGAAATTCTCTTGTTTCTTGTCAGCCCTCCCGTCACGAGACTGTTCCCTTGGTACGCTTTACCCACCAACCCAACCCAGTGTACAGAAACAATTATACCTCCATCTAGACTGTGTCTTGCAGGGAGCAAGCAGCAGCAGCAGCCCCGCGTAGAAGGGCCAATCTCTCTGCACCAGACGAGATGAACAACTAAAATCTCCAGGGCATGCAGATATTTGTTTCGCTACCCTTTTTGCCCCCATGGGCCACCACGACAAACACATACTACCGCCTACCGCTTACACAGGGCCTGGGCAATGCAGTGGCCCCCTTCCCGGCTGGGACTGGGCATCCCGCCCTGGCTAAGAATATCCTAGCTCTTATTTTGTTTCTATCTTTCGTTTAATGATGCGCAGCTTGCAGCGTACCTTGCAGTATTTCCTAGCTATTTTAAAACCAGACATGGGGACGGCCCGACATTGAGCCTCTCTCAGCACCCTTTTGGGAAAGCCACCGGCCCGAGCCCGCGCCGCACGCACCCTTTTTGGGGGGGAGGCACCCGCGACATGCCCGCTGCGAAACATGCACTCGGCCCTACGCAGCTCAGAGCACGGTCACAACGAAGAAGAAGGCTAGAAAAAGGAGAAGGGAACTCATACGTGCGCACAGTCCTGTTCCTTCCAAACGGTTTGAAAGTATTTTTAAACATAATAAACTCGCCGGGCGTCTGTGGTGGCAGGCAGGCTGGCTGCAGACTCTGCTGTAGTGCCGGCGCCAGTACAGTGGTAAATTATAGCGTATCGTAGCCTCAACCTCTCGGCTGTGTTGCTGCTGCTTTCTTTGATGGCGGCAATCTGGCCCGATTCCAAGCAACGGCAGGGGGGTGGTTGGTCTACACTCCACCAAATAGCAGCAAGCCAGACACAAACACAATCCTCTTTCACCGTCGGCTTGTGGAGTAGACGAAAGACGGGGACAGTATTAATTTACTCGCTATTAGTGTCCGCGCCGCCCTGGGGGCGTGAATGAGGCGCTCGGGTAAGCGTAGCGCGTCTCGCTTGCTCGAACTGCCGGGCATCAGCATTACACGGAGTACGCACTAAGCAATGTCATTTTTGCCAGGATTTTCCGGCATGCACGTAATGTCTGTCTTTTTTACAGTGCACAGAAAATAACGCATATAATCAACTATGCGAATTAATGCTTTCGCTTTGAATACGATGCAAGGCATAGTCATCAGCGCAGATGTACTTGTCCCGCAGCGTTAGACGCGCCGCGCCGCAGTGTCCCTTGTAAGTAAACCCACTTACACGCCCTTTCGTCCAGGCCCGTCCCGCTCGCCTACCAATAGCACTGAAATTCATATGGTTTGTGGCGTTTGATTTATTCCATCGTTGGAACACTTGTCTGGAAGGATCTTCACGTGCGGCTGAGAGCAGAAATCGGCCCTGCTTCACCACACTGTTCCGCTCAGAGGGTTGCGAACTGAATCATAAGCTGTCCATCCTTGAAGATGCCCTCCCTCTCGGCCTGTCTCACTTCTTTCCCGCCCGTCGGCCCTTCCAGCCAGTCTCATAATTACCGATGGCCTAGCCCTTGTTGCTGAATCGTGATGGATTCCCCACATCGCCCAATGTTTCTGCGTCCGCCTGCTGTCGATTGCTTCCAACGTGTACAAGCCGAGCACCAGACGTCCCTATTGTCGTCCTTTGCTCCACTGGCTCCTTGGGGCCGCTTTCATCTCATCAAGCCCTTGTGATGAGGGTCAAAGAGAACAGAAGGAGACAAATTTAAAGCCACAGTATAGTATTCCGGAGACATAATCACTCTACTGGAGCTAGTGGCCAGACCGTGTCTCTGTTGCGCTCCATTTTCAAGCAACGTGGTTGGCAGAGACGAACGCTGAGAGTTGGAATGCGCGCTCTGGCGCGGATAATACGCTTACAGTTACTCTTCTTATCGATGTAAATCACACTTTATCTTAGAGACATGCCCTCCTTCCTAAACGGTACTCGAAGCGCTACAGGGTCTTGTGCGTGTTGGAATGGCGTTGAGCGTGACTGCAATCTCCCACGTATGAACAATGTCACTCGGACGTGATAGTGGGTACTCACTTTGGGCCATTCGGTGTGCTTAATTGGAAATAGGAATAAATTCGCCTTTTAAATCGTAAATTTGGCTGTGGGAGTTGGGTACACCAGTCTCGATCATTTCATTGTGCTTTTATCGTGGGCCGAAGGATTGACACCACGTCCAGAACGAATTGGGCCGCATACGTCCCTAACTAGTAAACAAAAAATCAATTAAAATGTTCATAACGGTTGAAAACCAAATAAATTAGTTGAGCATATATTAGGAGTGCAATAAACAGCTCCTTCGTCCCTGTTACGATAGTCTTCAAGAAAGCTAGGCTCTATAGGGTAGTGGCGCTTGGTGCAACCACAGCTGGCTCTTGGATAGCTCCTAGATTGTATAATAATCAATATCGAAAAGACGTGGCCTATGCATATATTCTCTGTTCATCTTATTGACAAATGGCGTAGTAAATTTGCGGCTCAGGGAGGAAAGTTGACGGCTGCCACCCGTTTAAGCCAAGCTAAGCGTCGTCGTGCTGTTAGGCACAGAATACGACACTATCCATCCCACAGTCTACTACTACCATGCGCGGGAATACGTAGTTTTCATGGACAGCGAAAAAGGATCACGTTTCTAAAATAGATGTATATATATAAACTGACTCACTAACCATAATTATAGAAACCGACACGCCTCGCGACTGATGCACTAAACGAGCCGCCCAATTTGCACACATACAATTTAGTATGACGGCGCCGTGTCCAGTCCGATATCATACACACCGCAAGTGCCATAGTGCCAAAAGCAAACTTCCACCAATCGAACGAAATACATACTATACCATGTGATTGGAGTAGGCATGATCACAGTGAGGATTTGAAACGGGGCTTGCAAAGCGTGGCAATGTGAGAGATGTGTTTGAGGACACCTCAGAGCCTCACTCAGCTGAGGACAATGCGTAAGCACTGACTACAGGAACAGGCAGCCTTACAAGTCATAGTACTTCCACCATGACGTGTGTATTCCAAGTTCACCACGGTAAGGGGGCTGTAGCTACAGAGACGAGACAAAGGTCGCCACACAGGAAAAGAATGACAGACATATGTTTGCTTTTGCGGTCTTGGCTGTCACGAAGATGCACTTGGCCTCTTACCGGCTGCTATGCTATACCCTGCTCGGACCGGTATTTATCAAGCACCCGATCAAGGCATATGCTAAATTTTTCTCCCTTGGTGCGCTATATTGGATGTGGGAGCAAACTACGGCGGATAATCAGTCGCGGTATGCCTCATGCAGCCGCCCATGCCCGGAACGCTCCAGAGCCAGTCGTTACTGCGAAGTCGTACAAACGGAAGCGGCCGAAAAGCCAAAAAGGTTGGGCGCCGCAACATGGCCGCTTGGACGGCTTCAAGTTGCGGTGGACGGCCTCACGTGGTAGTGGCACGAACGGGCGGTTACAGGTTGTGGTGGCCTGCAGCATCAGCAACCAGCCAACCACGGGTGAGTGCATGATGTGGCGAGGCGCGTAAAAAGCAAGCGGTTGTACAAAAGGCGAAACGTGAAAAAAGGGCCGCAGATTGATTGCGAGTCGATATTTACCGTTGAACAAAAAGAATGACACGATTATCCATCGATTAGATTTTGACAGACGATAGAGGTCAAGTAACAGCACGGGCTTAGTGGGCTGATTTTGCATGAGACGAGGATATAGCGTGGGGGGAGGAGAACAAAGTACAATGGGCCGCAAGGGGGCTGCTGTTTGGGTGTTTGGATCATCCTCGCCCCTTCTTCTGACCCCGCGACTGCGACAGTCAATCCGCGACACGGGCAAATCGGATCGTGTGATGTACGTGGTTACTGTTTATGCGGCCGTGGCCCATGGGGAAGAGAGAGTAAGGGTGTGTGTGCGATGATAACAAAGGCCGTTGTTGTTTGCCTTGATGCAGCGCCGTTTTATTTTTATACAGCACATGCACAACTTGGTGCCCACGCTTTCGGCAGTGTAATACTCTCTTAATAAAGTACAGTATGTACAATGTACGTACCGTTCATAAATATATTTGTGCTCGACAGGGGGAAAAAGAACAAAAAATAAAGGGCTGCTCAGTCAGGCCCCTCTTTTGGCAGCCCTCTCCAGCCAATAGCCAGCGCCGGATGAAACCCACTATCGTCGTGCCCCTGCAGATGGCCTGCCTCGGTCGGCGCTGATTGGCTGGTGCCCCTGGATATCGCAGCACGCACAGCCAATCACAACAATGCCCTGGTCAAAATGCTCATTTCCCAGCTTGCCTTCCATGCAGGCCATCATCTTTCTCTTCATGGCGGCCGCCTGGAGGCGCTGTTTGTGCAGTGGCTTTGCCGCCTGTACTGCCCACCGCTCACTGCTGGCGGCCACCACCCCCCCAGACCTCATCTCTCCTCGCCCGCCGTGCTTCTTTTTCCCTTTTCTTCTCTTCTTCAATCAACTTGGCCTCGTCGACAGGCCATTCGGTTCCAGCGTTCAATGTGCATTTGAATTAGTCCTTCTCTTCAACCCACGCTCTCTTTCTTCACCTTTTCCTTTTTTGGGGTCCAGTCGCTTCATTCTTTCAGCGACTCCCCCGTCCAGTCCTTTGCAACAGTGCACCACAACACGGCCGTCCGCGCCCAGGCTTTCGAAACACGCTCTCTAACCGTCGACTCCTAACCACCGACATTTTTCTCGTTTCACATAACTCTACTTGTGAGTCTCGTCTCGACCGATTCCGTCACCTTTCTTTTTTTATCCACTTTGTTTGGTCCCTTTTGGGTGAATCGCCTGCTCCTTCGTCTGGTATGCGCAAAATCGTGGTGGCGGACAAGCGCAGCCTCTTTTACCACGAACCGCGCTCGACCACCCACTGGAATGAGGAATGCAGCAGCCAATATATCCCACCACGCCAGAATGACAATACTCTTAAATGACATTCGCGGCTTCTCCTGCTAACCTTCTCTTCCTTTTCCTGCAGACAATTGTCCCGTTTTATTTTATTGATTTGCTCGGCCTTGTACTCTTCCTGAACAATTAGACAATGGCTCCTACAACCCACAACATCCTGGCCCAGCGTGCCCCCAAGATGGCGATTGCTCTCCAGCCTATTATCCGTCCGGACCGTCACGTCTTTGCTCGCTCCGACATCTCCGAGAACGCCATCAACGTTGTCCTTCTTGTCCTTGGCTTCACCTTCTTCACCCTCATCATTGCCTCAGCCGCCTTCCTCTTCCGCCGCAGACGCCAGAACCAGCAGCGCCGCCGCCGCGCCGAGACTCTCCCCGCCTACAGCAAGGGAAGCAGCCTCTCCATTGATGAGAAGCACGACAACCGCGCCAGCGTCGTATACATTGGCCGTGATGGCCAGCCCATGCTCCAGAACCCCGGAGCGCCGCCACAGTCGCCTGAAAACGTCCCCGAGATTCACATTACCTTCCCTGACGAACAGGACGAGAGCGGCCGCCAACAAAGCGGACGCGTTCTGATTGTCCGTGTCGGTGACAACGCCACCATTGGCCTCGAGCCCATGGACGAACAGCTCCCCGCGTACGAGAAGGAGTCCAAGACGCAGTTCAAGACCATTGACATGGACTCCATCGGTGGACTTAGGGAGAAGGAACGAACCGTTTACAACTAATGACGCCAAAACATATCACCAACCCGCCAGCCACGATGCTTTTCATATAGGCGGTAATCTATGATGCAGACTTTTCTTGTCGCCAGATTGCACCCATTTCAACACCCGACATAGCAACATCGAAGCCATTTACAATCAGCAGACACAACCCAGCACAGCGAGCCAATCTTTGTTTTCCGTCATTTTTTCTTCTTCCTTGTTACTTTGCATGCCGCCCTTTCCAGATCCTGGTTTTAGCTGCTCCTCTTCACACTTTCTTCACAACGCGCAAAGTAAGCCTCGCACGCGACCTGGGCAGGCCCATCAATTCATCATCCGACGCGCCTCTTGTTCCTCTTTTTTTTTTTTTTAAACAAACCACCGTCTTTCTTCTTGTGCGCCTTGTTCACACGGCACCGATGAGAAAGCATCCTATTTCTATTTGGCGAAAACCTCTTTCCTTGCTTGGTCAAAAGCGGCCGTTTTTGGCTAATCATGTACACACAACACATGGCAGGGATAGGTGTCTAGCGTCTACGGTGGCACCAAGCTCACGAGGCACATCATACCGGGGTATATAGCTGTATATTTCAATAGTGCATAATTGTACAAGCACCAAACTGGTTTCGAGCACCTTTATCATACTACAAATCTGTTCATTCTCTCTCTTATGCCTTCGTTCTACAGCGTCTGTCTTTTTGTTTATTATTGTCATTATCCCTTGTTCAGTATATTTTTGTTGATCCGCTTGATTCACCTGTTCCTTGACAAGCAGGATTTCTATTGTTTCGAAACGCGCCCTCGCCCACGCCAGGGCAGCTATTGTCTCAGTCTTTTTTGCCTTGCGGTGGCGTGGTGTAGGCGCGCGCGGGCATGAGAGGATGTTGCATTCCAGTGGACGGCTATCTGTGGGGGACGGACACTCTCCAGCCATTCGTAGCTTCTTCATCCATGTACAAAGAGATGTTGCAGCATTTATGTTGAATGGTACGAGCATAATTGAGTTTCTTCTAGTTGCTATGCATGCACAATGTAATAAAGGGATATAAAGATCTATTCTTTGTATTTTTCAGATGTTGGGGGTATATTATCATATGTAATCGTTATATGCGTGCATGTGCCTTGAATTGCATCTAATGCAAAAAAGATAAAAACCAGAAACGAAAATAAAGACGCCATAGAACCCAAAAACCGCATGTGGTATGAAAAATAAACGTCGTGTATTTTAGGAAGAAGTGATGGTGAGCTGTCTGTGCGGCTGTGGCACGGCGTATGCGCTTTGGCGGGACGCTTGGATGTATAAGATGAAGTTGAAACGGACACGCTACGGCGACGGACCTGTTTGTTTTGCAAAAGGGAAACAAAACAGAAACGGGGGATCATGCGACGGCAGCCTTGTCCAAAATTGGAAACAGTTGCCTCCTACACGCTCAGTGCATTGTGTAGTCCATCCTCTGGGTTTGGGGCATCTGGTGGTTTGAAAATGTATCTGTCATGGGCGTATCGCCGCCAGACGACGATGTGGTATGATGATAGCTGCCTCCGCCATTGGGTGAATTTGGCCAGGGCTGGATGGAGTTGGGATCGTGGGCATTTTGCAAAAATGTCGGGATACCTGGAGGGCCGTAGACGGCATCCATACCTCCACCAACCGGCGAGTGGCGGTCGCTGCTGCTTGACGACCGTGGAGGGCCAGAGAGCCTTTCAGAAGGGGAACGTTCGTGCTTGAACCGCGACGCTTCCTCGTTGATAGACCTCCTCATGCTCTCAATAATGTTTCCCATGCCAAGGTCGTGGCTGCCGTTCTCGCGCTCTGACTTGACAGGTAGTTCTACGAACTTGTTCGTCTTGAAGAACTCTTCCACCATACTTTTGTTGAGATCGTACTATAATAATTGTTAGCCAGGTCCTCCAAGTTGGATTTGAGTTGGGCCATCTTAACATACAGCTTGCTTCGTTACGCGGAAGATCTTGCTCCATGACTCTGTTGCGGCCAGGATGGCATAAATCAGCTCGTGAATCTCCTCTGCTGTAGCTATGGCGTTTGACCAGGGAGGAGCCGTCGTGCATTCCTGAATGTTTATATAGAGATCATGCTGCAGGGCAATGAGGATAACTCGCAGGGCTTGGGTGCTCATGTGGCATATGGAATAATCCCCAATGAGCTTCACACTGATGGTTGAAGGTTCTCGCTTGTTTGCCTCATAAACGCCTCTGATGAAGCGGGCTACGGAGAGGCCATGTGCGACAGCTTGTTTGCGTGACATTGCAACAAACTCCGCTGGCAATTTAGCGAGGTGCTCTGGCGAAAAGTCTTCAATTCCTGGGAGGGCAAACCGGTATAGGTCAATGTGAGAGACGCCAACATGGTTATGGAGCCAGACGTATCCGAGACGGTCTGGGGATGACATGTAGTGGTCCATGCTGGCATCGTTCAGCTGTAGCGTGATAGGGAAGCCTAGGTGAAGCCGTGATAGCTCCTTCTGTAGGTGATGAATTTCCTTCATGACTTTTGAGGGCTCAAATACGTTTGCCTCAGGATGAGCTAGTCGCTTTATTGACCTAATACGCATGAGCTTAGCATATTGCACATAATAGACGGCTTGCGGAAACTACTTACACTTGGATACGGTGGCGGAGATCCACGGTTCGCATTTGCCAGCCGTGAAGGCCAAGGCTAGACTGATCGAGGGACATCTCAGAGAGACGTGGTGTCAAGACGGGCCTGTTTTCCCGAAAGGCATCTTCGAGACATGGCAAGCGAATAGTCATCAGATCTGCACGGCAGGTAATGTATTCATCATAGCCTCCAGCGAGCAGACGATCCATGCTGAAGACTTGCCATGCAATACGGTTAATCCTTTCGCGATCCCGGAAGGTCTCGTTGCCAGAAGCGTTGGCTTCCCAGTTCACCTGCATGCCGATCATGAGCCTTGAGAGCATACCAAAGCAGTTCCAAACCTTTGCAAAACTGCCATGCAGGAGGTAGAACAAGCTGTTGAGAGCGAGAAGCATAAAGCCTTCTTCAGAGAATTTGTTGAGAGTCTCCAAGATTCGTAAGTCGACAATGCCAGCACACTTGAGACCAAAGTTGCGTCCTTCCTCTCCAGGGTGATAAAAGAAGCAAGTTATGGACGCTAGGGCGGCAGCGCGGGGTCCAGATATCGTCATATCCTATTCCAAGTTAGTATGTATCATAGGTTAGGAGGGAATAAGTGAGGTGTACATTGATGTCTTGGTACCACTCATCCGGATTTAAGAAGCCTAGGCAAGGCACATAATAAAAGAACTCCATGAAGATATCCATATGTCTGAGTAGAAAGTCTCGACGAGCAATATGTTCCCTGGAAGGAGGGTAAGGTTAGTTGGTGGCCATTGATTTGTTCAAATATATTCCAACCTACTCTTCACTAAGCGTGTCTGGGTCGACGAGCAGCGCATCGTAGGCTGTCCGCGGTTGTTGTATTGGGCTTTGTGACTTTTCTTTCCTGGGAATCGCTGCGGCGTTGGGGGATGTAGAGTCGTCGGAGGGGGCGGCATTTTGGAAGCGAACGTTTGTGAATTTACGTTTTGTTGCTGTGTACTCGCAGGGGAGGTCGGCCGTCTCACATCGCTTGCAACGTGGCAGATCGCCAGAGCACTTGGTCTTGTGGGCGTGACATTGGCTGCAAGCTCGTTGGGCTCGTTTTCGTAGGGTTCCCGCTTCGGTATGACTGGCACTGGGCGTTGTCCGTAGGACTTTATCTTGAAGCGATTAGCTTTGGTACAAATTTAGAGCCCAAAAAGGAGCAAGAAAAGAAAAGAATAGAAAATGGCAATTGATATGCATTTGTTCGTACCAGAGTGATCGTTGGATTTGTCCATGGTGTTGAAGCTGCACACTAGCTCCAGGCGAGCGCAGTTGGAGCACGATGCATTGCCCGGATTACCGCTGCATTTCACCTAGACGAGATCAATTAATATAGGCATGTAGTACAGTGGCTTTGGCCGATATCGCGTTTTAAAGCCTCTGACTAGAAAAAAAAACATACCTTGCGTAGGCGGCAAGTTCGACAACATTCTATGCCAGCAGCGGCGGTTCGCCGGCGTTTTGAAGCTGCTGATGGCGATGGAGCTGAGGGAGGGGACTGAGCCGTGGTGGCAGCAGGCGAAGCGGCAGTCTGTTCGGCAGACATGGCAACGGTGCTTGGCTCTATATAAGGGAGGGTGGTTTGGCCACGAGTGATGTCGAGCTATCTCAGCATGGGCAGAGCAGAACGTTGGTTCGGTCGATGTTCGATGGGAAGAGTTGGGCAGCGCTGTTGTGACGGGGAGGCGAATCGGCAACAGCAGATGCAATCTTCGGCGGCCGAAGCTGGAGGGCGAGAGGACCGATGCAGTGCAACCAATACACGGAAAAAACAAAGCTGTGATGGCTTCTGGGGTTAAGACGGGCGGAGGTGTCGGGCGAGAATCGAGGAGCGAGCGGAAATACAGCTGTCGGGGCTGAGGATCTGAGCGATGCAGGCTGAGTGGGAATTACCAAGCGAGAGTCGGGATTGGCTCCGCGGGGCGAGTATGCAGCGAGAGGGCGACGGGTGATGGCGGGAGCAGCAGCAACAGCAGCCAAGTTGGAGGCAGAGGCGATGCTGGAGACCCTGACGGTGAGTGAGGGGAGCCGTTTTGGAGGAAAACGGGGATTGAAGGAGATGAGAAGGCTAGCGATGGATGGAGGAGGAGGAGGATGCGAGCGAGCAGGCAAAGTTTTGGTTGGTGCTGGCTGGCTGGCTGGGTGTATTCGGCTATCGCTGAGCCGGGCTGGCGTGTGGCGTGGGCGGCTGCTTTTGGTGCAGTGTCGCAGCAGGTATTGGTGGTACTGGGCGGGGGTGGTGGTGGTGGGTGGGCGAGTGAGCGCGAAAGGCGACGCTGGGAGTGGTGTGTGAGAGCGCAGGTGGTGGCGTCTGGATGGCGATGCAGCATACAAAGACGGAAGAGAAAAGATGATGATGAAGAAGAAAATGATGACAGCGGTTCGCGACAACTGGATTCGCACTGCTGGAATTCGGAACAGAGGAGGGGCAATGCGAGTCGAGTCAAGTCGACTGTTCTTTGTAGCAGCTAACAGTAGTGGAGAGACGCCGGGCGTGGCGGACGGGCGATGTCATAGTTTTTTTTTTATTTTCCCATTTTTAATGCTGGTCAAGTTATTATTTTTTTTTTAAGGGAGGGGGGGGGGGGCAGCCCGGCTACCTTGTCCTTCGCCCCCAAAAAGCTGCGACTTCAGCACGCCTTCAGTGGATTTGCCCCCGCTGGAGCAGGAACTGCATTTTACCGACAGCCGGGACTCCCCTGGCATGATGGACACAGTGCTGGGCATAGCGCTGAGAGGGATGGGACGGGACGGTAGTGGTTGGCCCCGGGCATGGCGTAGGCTGGTGAAGACGGAGCCAACCTTGTTTTTCTACTTGCCTTTGCTTTTTTAATTAATTGACACCCGACTCGCATGTCCACAGTTGATTCTGCACCCTGGCCAGCGGCATAGAAATCCAGGATAAAATAAAATTTATCCTACGCCAGAGGTGCACAGAGGGGAACAAGAAAAGAACCCGCCGGCTACATGTCTCCGGAGAAGGGCCCCCAGCCGTTCCCAGAGGGCGCGGACAACTACTGCAAGGCACGCTAATCCCGTCCAGCAAATATTATAGTGGCCCTCTTCCACTGTAGCCCACTAAAACAAACCAGGGCCCAGCGAGACGAGGCCCGACAGCCGTAGCACTCGCTGGAGAAGGAAACAGCGCTATTTTAGCGGCGTTTTTCTTCTTTTTGGCCCGGATCTTTGGCGACCCGCCCCCAAAAGGTACTGGTGTCGCTACTCTACCAGTCCAATACACAGCTATGCTGCTTGCTCCATGACAGCATCCCGCGACTAAGCTGATGCATGCAACCTATCTTTCTTATGATGGCCCGTAAAGCAGCGGGTGGGCACTGGCTCAGCAGCACAACCACGGGCGCTGTAATCAACATGGACGACAACACAAGCAGCGAGCCTTAAATGTAGGCTGGCGGGCGAAGTGGCGAGCAAGCAAAGCAAAGCAAACAAGCATCGGAGTTAGCAATGGCTGGCTACAAGAGTTGACTTGGCGCAAGACGCCGAACAAGCCCGAGCCTGCAGTTAGAGTTGCATTCTGTCGTCTTTCAGCTAAACGACATGTCACGAGCCCGTACTGTACAGTATGTACCGTTCCGGCTACCAACACGCCATCAGTACGTACAGGAGCAAACTGTATATTCTTCTGACTTTCTGGCTAGCGACAACCGAAGCCCAGGTGGCAGACACACCCAACGGCTCCATGCTCCTGAAATCCCTTCTTCTTCTTCTTTTTCTTTCTTTCTCCATCCCCTGCTCTCGTTCCAGGTGGAGAGCTTGGATGCTATCAAGGCAGACATTCCTTTTTGGGGATTTTTTGCTTACTGAACGAACCACTCGCCGGCGATGCGGGACCGCTTCGGTAGCCGCTACAGCGCAGGCCGACGAACCGCTGCGCAGCTAAACGCACAGAAGGGGGAAAGCACTGACAGCGCCTCCATCAGAGATCCAGACACCCCCCTGTAAAAAAGTACAGTGGAGCGAGTGCTGGAAAAGGGCCGCCAAGCGGGCCAGCTATTTGTGGAGTCAAAGCTTTTTTGCAGCGCGGGCCAATCCCTGGCTTGGTGATGTAATTGCTTGTGACTGCTCTTTGATGGTTATTTCTCTGGGTTCTATAACCAAAAACCAAGCTACGAACTAGAAGCTGGTCTGGGAACAAAAGAACGATACAGATATGCTACCCAGAGTATCCATTGAGTGGGCTTGCAATGGCGCCTGTTCGCTGACCGTGCTTTGTGGATGGAGCTAAAGCTAGCTAAATGGTGGGATTGCCCAACTGGGCAGTTCCGCCCTCCGCCTTGGTTTTTGCCTTGATAAACTGAGCGAGCGCCCCTGCTTCGTTCCTCTGGTGAGGCTTGAGGGAGCAGAGCCTCAAATGGCAAAAAGGACGGGCTTGTAAATTCCCAGAAGCTATTGTTTTTGGTGAATTGGTCAAGGGGTATATTCAATTCGCTTCTTCTGTTGGCGTCTAAGAGAACAGAACGACGTCGCCCGCTGTGTCGGTTCTTCCCTATTGGGCAGGTCCATCGATTCCACTGTCCACACTGCTCTTAGCTCACCAGCCAGCCAGCTTACAAACCGGATATCGCTATAGTACGACCCTCGAAAATCATCAGCACGCGCGCAATGCCGAGAGCCTTGCCAAGGCACCGCAGGCAGACATGAAAAAAAAGGAGAAAGGAAAGATTACAACAGGTGCATTTCTTTACGGTGGCTTTTTTTCGCCTACTGTATTTCCTTGTACACACGCCTAGCCTCAGCCTAGCAGAGCCCTACGCCGGTGTCCACGACGGTCCACCACAACCATCACAGACCAACGTACCGCTAACTTGTAGGCTACTTCGATGACGGTGACGGTGACGGCGTCGGCGGTCAGCTGTTGGGGCATAATTAGCGACGCTATTGGAATGTGGGATACCGAATGGCGTAACTGAAAAGCAGCTTCGACCACCTCTGACTGTGCGCCCATAGCCTTGCAAAGCCTTGGGCCTGGCTGTTTTCTCTTTTCTTTTTTTGTTGCCACTCGTATAGACGACAATCTCCGTGATATGCAGAGCAGAACAGTAACCTACAAGTACAGCAGGCAGCAGATGACTCTTTCGCCTAAAACTACAGTGCCTCCCGGCCGCCTGGCGCCATCTTGCGTTGTTTGCCATGCACCCCGCTGTTGGCTTGACCAGGCTACATACAATCTGTACATTATTCGCCAAATTCGGCCGTCCATCCCATGCCTAGAACGCTCTCAGTGCGCCCCTCCATACCGCCATGGAGCCAACCACAGGGCAAACGACAGCCGAAGGTTCCTTTTGCCATCGCCTACCTGGCGTTCTACTTCGGGGGGCCTGGCACACACCTGCAGCCATCGCTCGCCCCCAGGTGCCTTTCTTTAGCCTTTTACATTGCGTGCTCGGGGACGAGCGATACCCGGACGATCTTTGCCGTTCATTCGTATGCCTTATTTGCCAGCAGGGAGCCAACCAGCGGCATACGCTAATTCCTTGATGCTGCAGCACAACATGGCACGACACCCGTTGGCATCTCACCCTGCATATTGCCGTCCCTATTGTATTGGGATTTCGTTTAAAAATGCATCCCAATTACTAGTATTGTTCAAGATGCTGCCCGGTGTGGCCGTGGGCTATTCTGCCCGTATCGAACTCATAGATTACCCAATCCAGCCACCCTCATCTAATAAGCTTATGGATGCCTGGCCAGGTCAATCCATCGCACACCGCATCGATCGCATAAGCAGGACTCGCCGCGGCCCCTCCCTATCTCTCGCCAAGCTCAATCCGCAGCTTTTTATTAAAAAAAAAGAGACTTCAAAACTGCCAGGACATGAATCAGCGGCGACAGACACGAGCGGGTTCCCGTTTGAGAAGTCGATACGCGTCAGCCCAGCAAGCGCTAGCGTCGGTCATCTTGGTCTGCTCATCTCAAGCCCAATAAAGGCAAAATAAGAAAAATGCCACCAGTCACAACTCGCCTACAGCCAATGTACATGCGAAAGAACGGTACATACCCTTGTCAGAATGGGCTTGCTGCGCCTCGAGTCAACGCAACCTAACGCCTGCTAAGCTACCGAGTCGACAAACTTTCGGCAGTCGCTTGCCTTTGCCATTCAAAGACGTTTGGTTTGCCGCTGACCCTCCAGCCGCTAGGCCAATGAATGACTTGCTATCAGACAGTGTACAGCACATGCCGCAATCCGTGCAGCAGAGTGACATGCCTCGTTCGCAGCGGGACCAACCGCCAACCGTAGCCGTCTCGAAGAGGAAGTTCGTCTGGGCTGGATCCCCCCCTTTGAGGCTGGCCTTGCCCGTCTAATGGGGTAACCGGATATCGCTGGGTGTGGAATCCCGGGGTTGGCGGCGTGCAATCTAAAAGCACTGCACACACCTGTAGTCACGAGATGCCCATTTCATCATCGCCGGGAATTGGCGAAAGGCGGTCACTAGGCGAGGAGTACGAAATTGGGTTAATTTTGTTTTTTTATTCTGTCTATCATCTATACCTTTTGTTTTCTTCGGGCTAAGCCTGCATCCGCAGCGTCGGTAATCGGCACTAGCATATTGGGCCGCTGATATCGCCGCTGCACCAAGTTGAGCATTACCCAATCAGAGCGCAAGATCCAGCTTAGGATCATCATCTTCGCTATGCAAAGGAGTTACCTAGGGATGGTTGGGCGGGAAGCTCGGCATTGTCGGAGTGAACTTTCCTTGTGAATCGCCAGCATGTGCTGAGGCGGTCGCTTGTGTCTCGGGCACCACGGTTGAACTGACCTGCTGATGATACTCTACCACCAGGAGCACACTGGCTTCGGGTGGGCAAACGACGTCCGCGCACATACAGCGCTTGTCGTCGAGCCGGCGGGTGCATATGTAGGCCTCAAGGTTCATGTCGCAGCAGCAGCAGGGCCAATAGAAGTGAGGCACTGCGGCTGCCAAGGGAACGAGGCCTGCGGCGATGATGGCGAATTTCATGGCGAAAGGGTAATGTGGGTGATGTAGGCGAAAGGATGATATACGCGAAGGTGGATGTCGGCGAAAGGTGATGTTGAGTGTGAAAACAAACAATCTTGACCATGGAGCGCACAAATGGCGGGTATTTATGGTTGATTTGATTCATGGTTTTCTTTGTTGGAAATAGAACAGACACACACACAGACCTCTTTGTCTATCGGCATTGCTGTTGAACTGTTCGATCTTTAGCACATCTTGAGCACCGCACACTGTGAGAGAACAGGAGCGGCAACACCGAATGTTGACTGAAACCGAATAGAGTTCAATACAGACAGTCTGTTATCTATTGACCTAATCAATGGAGGAGTTCAGTACAGTAACCAACAACAGTAAAACCAGATTCGAATATGCTCGTAGGTTACTTTTATACGATCTGAGTAGAATGAACAAGGATAAAACATGACGACGTCCCTAAGGTAGTTAGGGTCCGCTACACGGCCTGGAGCGCAGTTCCAAACTCGCCGTCCTAAACGTTGCCATCGGCTCCCTTATTCAATAGCAGCTGAACGAGCTCTTGATGGCCGCCATCTGAGGCGGCTTGGAGAGCGGTACCATAGTCACCACCTTGTATATGGATGTCAGCCCCCTTTTGCAATAATAGATGAACAATCTCTTGATAATCTTTCAAGGAGACAACTCGACGAGCGGTATTTGTGCTAATACCTAGGTCCATATCGTCCCATCCCTCAAATGGCAGCAGTGGACTTCGAGAGTTTCGCCACCCTTTCATCACGGCGGCCTGGAGGGCTGTATTGTAAATACCACCTTGTGTATTAACATCAGCTTCCTTATCTAGAAGCAGTTGAACAATCTCTTTATTACCTGCTGACGAGGCGGCTTGGAGAGCGGTGCTATAACTGCCGCCTTTTACATTAACGTCGGCTCCCTTGTCCAATAGTAGTTGAACAATCTTCTGATGGTTTTCATATGAGGCGGCTTGGAGAGCAGTACCAAAGTAGCCATCTTGTATATCAATATCAGCTTTCTTTTCTAAAAGAAGTTGAACGATATCTCGATAGCCTTGTGATGAGGCGACTTGAAGGGCAGTACCATAGGAGCCGCCTTGAATATTGATATCGGCTTCTCTACTTAGAAGTAGTTCAACAACCTCTTGATAACCTCCAAATGAGGCGGCATAGAGAGCAGTGCTATAGTCACCGCCTTGGGTATTGACATGGGCTCCCCTGTCCAATAGTAGTTGAACGGTTGTTTGATGGCCGTTTTTTGAGGCTGCGTGGAGAGCTGTGCCATTGTTGCCGTTTCGTGCGTTAACATCCTGTCCATGGTTGATTAACTCTCTAGCCGTGTTTGTAAGGCCATTGAGGCAAGCATAGTAGAGCCTGGAAGCTCTTTTCGAGCTTGAACCATTATTCCAAATTCCGTTATCCACATATAATTCTGTCCATCTCTGGAACGTCACTTCCTCCTCCAGGAATTCAACAGTGGCTTGTACTACAACAGAGGAGTCCTGAGCCAAAGCAGCATAGCGGGGCCAATTTTCCATCGCATACCTTCTCAGTGGAAACATCCACTGGATTTCCTCGTGGCTGCCGTTGATATCTGTAAGATACATTAAGCAAGTTATGGTAATGGAAATACTGGCAGTCGTAATATTGAACTGGCTCTCTCCAAGGAGGTACTCCTTGACAGAAAAGTGAGCAAGATGTAGACTACTTTTACGCAGAATAATAGAAGTCTTTTTATGCTAGGTGTTCCTCAATATTTACCAAAAGATTAATATTAGAAGATATATCTTCCAAGTATATTAAAAACTAGTGGAGCGACTACTACGAAAATCTAAATATAATCCTCTTGAGACAAGGCCACTTCAGAGTATGGCAGCTACACCAAGGGCAACGGCAGCCATGTTAATGCCAGCAGCGACAGATCCACCACTAACAACAATAGGGGGAGTTTGGACTAACCAAATTAGCGTTTCAACATCGTATACGCGAGGAAATGGAATCAGACTCACTAGGCATGGTGCTGTTGGAACCAACCGGGGCAGAGGACTTAGGAGCCTGCGTGCTGGAAGTAGCAGGCTTGGTGGCCGCGGGGGGAGTGTAGGTGGTGACACTATTGGGAGAAGAGATCAGTACAAAAACTGTCAAATATACCGGTCAGCTTGTTGGATGCTACTTACTCGCTGCCGCAGACGTAGAAGACGAGCTCCTTCTCCGTGTGGGTTCTCTGGTTGGCCTTGTCGCAAACGTAGGGCTTCTGCTTGCTTCGCCAGTTATAGCAGACGGCCGTGTAGGCGTTGAGGACGTCACGAATCTGATCGCCACAGGTCTCGTCAATGGCTCGCTCAAGGCGGGACCAGCGCTCCGAGGGGATGCTGCACCAGCCCTCGAGGAACTCTTCGCTCTTCCAGTCGCCGGAGACCTCCTGCTCGATAGCAAGGACCTTGTCGGCGCACTGGGCGTTGGTCAACGAGGCGGTGCAGGAGAAGCGGTTGATGTCCTCACGGCGGCAGACAGTAACGGTCTCGGGACCCCAGGCGAAGGTCGCAGGCGCCAGCGCGGCGGCGGTAAGGAGAGTAGTAAGGGCGTGCATCACGTTAAGATATTTATATTGGTTGATTAGCTTAAAGCAGAAAGCGAGTGTATCAAAGAAAGTACAAAAGAGTGAAGAGTGTATGTTGTGGTAGAGGATATAGTTTCGATATTGGGAGGCGTCTGCTGCGTCTCTTTATATATATAAGTAAACTAAAACACAGAATTGTCCGCGGAAGCCGAAAAAATCATAAGCCAGCTTTATTTCATCACTCACAGCACAATTACTCGCGTTAATAAACCCGCCTATTCGTTCCTCGTAGCACTTTGCCAAGTTGGATGCTTAGCGGTGCATTAAGAGACGCGGGCAATCTCGCATATAGATTGAGACAATCATCTCATAAACGTGAGTGGAGCACCATCTTGGATAATGCTTTCCTTGTCCTTAATTTCTACTAATTGTTTTACGATCTCATTCTAAACGAGGTACGACGTGCAGGCTGGTGTACAACGTTGGAGGGCCGGCCGACATTGTCTAAGAATATACAGACTGAGAAATTATCAATAAAGCATAACGCAGTGCCAGCCGTGATCATCAGGGAGGCTTGTTTAATTCACGTTGAGCAAAGGTGAGCTGGGCATGTCAACAGCCATGCGCCTCAATACAACGCAGATTAAGCCCAACAGCAAAGCCAATTTCATATCATGAATGGCCTTAATTAGAGCTAAAAGTGCTGTTTGTCTACCTCATCGGGCGTATTTCTGTAGCGGAAATCGCGCTTTGGCAACTGATCCATCCTATGCGAGCACTCGTATTCCACGAATTACCTAGGTAAGATATGTCCGAGGTACAAGCTAAGCCACACATGCCACAATGGTGCACTTTTTCTTATTAGTCTTAACTGTTCCGAAAAGCGACAGTCAATTCGCCTGCGACTGTAGTAAGAACACAACAATCTACATAGTAATCAGATCGCACACACGTATGGGCCTGGAGGCGCTTTCAGAGCTTTGAAGCACAAACTTGAATCTTCGACGAGCAAAGGGCCAGTGATCTGGACAAAGCCCATTAGTATAGTATGGAACAGGAGCTTCTTTTGGTGAACAACGAACAGCTTCTGCAGCTCTCCGGCATTTGTCCATGGAAACCTGTTCGATCGTGCCTTGGATTTCGACGAGGTCCAATGCTTGACCCCGCACGTCAATACCATCGCCCAGAATGGCTTGCACTACGGCGAGCTTATTCTGGTTTCCAGTAATACAGTGAACATGATGCTTTGCCGGCATTGTGAATGATGTCTACTGTAGTTGTAATTCAGCGCGCCTAGTATATACGGTGTTGCAAACAGTGCGCCCGCTCTGCCTTTGGTGTGCCACGCTAAATTTGTTGACAGCCTCGCCAGGTGCCAAACACAACTTGACCAAATCATCACCACACAGTTCATCTCTAATATCACAGTCCATATCTACTTCATCGAGACAATATGAAGACTCACATATTATCGCCCATCTTTGCGCTGTACTGGACATATCTGACCATGGCCTTCACCACCCACGCGATACACACCTACCACGCGTTTCCTCGCAAAGTTAGTAGCGACCATCTAGTGCAACGCTGGGCTATATGCGGTGCAATCATCGCGGCTGCTTGTATTTTCCGGGCCAAGGGTATACAACCGTACATTTCAATCACCCCATCCAATCCCGACCACAGAAGTATGAGGGTTTCAGATCGCACACTTGACACGATTGATTTCATTGCACGATGGGGTGGCGTTTTCGAAAGGGCATTTCATGGCTATATGATATGTTTAATGGCTTTGTGGGTAGCAAGAAATGTGGGAATAGTCTCATATACAATTATGTTTGTCACTATTGGTCCTGGTGGAAGAGACATTCGCCGAACCTTTGACCGCGACTGGAGGAAACAATGTGCTCAAAACTTGTCAATATGATTGTCGTTATTCGGTCAATTTACTGCTATGAATCTTTCTGCAGCCGAATGCTAAATATGAATCTCATGCGCTAACGGCAACTTGCTTCGCTTGCAAATTCACATCGGAAACCACCATTGTTGGGGCAGACGAAGAGGCAGACCGCACAGCAGCTTCGAGCGGAAACACTTGATTTTTCTCTTCAACACCATCGTATACACGCGCCCACCGGTCCTTTAGTTCTTCTGGTGTCTGCCACGCGTTCTCCTCGTCACGAAGCCATAGTCTGACAAGATGGCGCTTCTTGGTTTCGGAGTCACGGAAGCCCAGGCGTGCATGGAACACGCTCAGGTTGTTCACAAACTGAATATCACCAGCCCGGAACTGCAGTGCAAGAGCATGCTTCTCGGCGGTAAAGTGCAGCGCATCCAGTGCTTCAGCCTGAGCCTCCGTGATGGCTGGAATAGTAGATGTGCGTGGGAGAGACCAGTATCCGACGAATGCGCGGCGGGCGTACTGGATAAGAATACGTTCTGGGCTGGATTCCGTCGCAGCTTGGTGGTAAAGAAGTGGTCGAGCAGTGTATCCTGGAGGACCAGTCTTGCCAAACCTGCACATCGTTAGCATATTACTCGACTACATTCAGTAATGCTTTCGTACTCATCATTGGCCCACGGCTCGGCCAGTGTGCGAATCAAGTCAGGCCTCGTCCGGGCCAGCTCGTTGTATACAGTCCAGCTGCTGGCGAGATAGCTGTCGCCGCCTTCAGCCGCCTCGCTCAGGGCAAACAGCGCAATGACATCGCCAGCATCGGTGTGGAAGACTTGCTTCTCAGTAGTATATGCTGGGGACCCGATGAGTTTGGAGTCTTCCGCATTGCCAGAAAGATCTTTGATATGGGCAAGGACCACGTCGGCTGGCTTGCCATTATATGAGCTGTCTTGGCGGCCGCGAATGGTAGCTACGTGCGATGAGATACCGGCATAGATGATGACATTGTCCTCACGAGAGTAGAGGTGCACTGGGACGCCGCGCACCACGGTGAAGCCATGACCATTGTGAATCTCGTGAGAGATGGCGCGAAGGCGCGGGTGGAGATTGGGTAAAGGGAATGTTTCTTGGCTGACTGCGCCAAGGGGTCGACCGAGGCCTAGAATTCATTTCAATTGATTGTGTGAATAAACATGGGCTTTACGGCAATACATACCCTTGAAGTGCTGCAGGGCCTGGTGCACCTCAGCCAAGTCGTTCTCGGTCAATTGATACGACCACTCGAACTCGTCTACGACTGTTGCACCCTCCCATGCCAGTGTAGCATCGAGCTTCTGAGGGAATCCTGATGGAAGAGTCTTTGGAATATCCTCAGTAGCCTGGCGACGCTTGATTCTGTCTTGGTACTTGTCCCAATTGGGCGTGTAAGCGATATCCGGTTGGCCGGGCGGTCCAGTGGTGGGAATAACAACGGCAGTCATGTTGCAGTGTTGGCGAAGTATGTCTCAATTGATGCAGATAGGATGAACAGGAGTTCTTTTGTCTGTATTCTCCCGTTCTTATTTATGCATGCAACCAGGGTACCCCGCCGCGCCGTTGTGTAAAGTGCGATGGACGGGATGGCGGGATTGCGGAGTAGATATGATGCAAGCGGTGGCGAATTAGTGGCTGCCATTCAATCATCCGGACGGCCCCCGACGGGAAGATGTAGCAGCTAAATCGTCAGCAAATACGGCTATTCGACCGTTGGCTGGTGGTGCTGCAGCCGATGATGCATTGCCGTGAACCCCCCCCTCTATGTAGATGATGGCGCCATCGCAGCCGGCGATGAGCGTCAGCTTGGCGGGCAGCAGTCCGCGACTTACAAAAAGGGACAATATACGATGCTGGAATAGAGCACAATTGGATTAAGTAAGGAAAAGAAAAAATGTCGACTGATCAGAAAGTCGACTATTCGCCTAGTGCGTCGTCGGAGAGCTTCAACGAAGACACCGGCTATACTAGAGTGATTGCAGAGAATGGCTCCAGCCTCGCCTATCAAGATGCCGTCGGCGCACCAGTTGAGTCGTCGTCGCCGCTTGGTTACAATGTAGGCTGGGCTACTGTGATTTTTCTCAACATTAACCAGCTCATTGGTACGGGTATCTTTTCTACACGTAAGTTGACAATTGATTCATTTCACTTACACCGCCACTCTCTCTAACAGTACTCTATAGCGGGCAGTATCCTAAAGGCAACAGGGTCTATTGGCCTAGCCCTCATCTTTTGGACAATTGGTGCCATCATGGCCTTTGCCGGCTTTGGCACATACCTCGAACTTGCCAGCTATTTTCCAAACCGCAGCGGCTCCGAGGTCGTCTACCTGGAACAGGCGTATCCCAAGCCGCGTTTCTTGCTGCCAATCAGCTTTGCTGTGCAGTCTGTGGTTCTTGCATATAGCAGCAGTAATGCCATTGTATTGTCTCAATACATCTGGCGAATTGTGGGAAGAGCGCCGTCGGCCTGGGAAATGAAGGGCGTTGCCATTGCCGCTTACACCTTTGCTGTGGGAGGCGCTATCGCCAGCAACCGCTACTCTTTATATGCCGTCAACATCTTTGGAATTATCAAGATCATCACGCTCATCTTTATCAGCATCACAGGATTCGTTGTATTGGGAGGTGGCGTAAGTCGCGTCTCTGACCCGGGCGCCAACTTCCGCAACGCCTTTGAGGGCGCCACACCCAACGGCAACGATCTCGCCAATGCCCTAGTCAGCATTGTATTTTCGTACAGCGGATATCAGAATGCGTTCAACGTTGTTGGAGAAATAAAAAACCCCGTTCGCACGCTGAAAATCCACGGCTTCATCTCGGTGCTGGCTACTGCTCTGCTCTACATCTTCTGCAACATTGCCTACTTTTCCGCAGTGGATAAAGCCGCGTTTGCAAAGTCTAAAGAGACTGCCGCATCTGTTTTCTTCGTTGCCGTCTTTGGCAAGGGTTCTGCCGAAACAGCTCTCAACGTATTGGTGTTGTTCAGCGCCTTTGGCAATCTGCTTGCTGTGCTTGTTGGCCAGTCTCGCATGGTTCGCGAGATTGGACGTCAGGGTGTCTTGCCTTGGACCAAGTTTTGGGTAACTACAAAGCCCTTTGGAACGCCCATAGGGCCATATATCCTGAAATGGGTCATGACATTTATCATGATTGCCGCACCGCCCCCAGGAGATGCCTTCCAGTTTGTTGTCAGTCTCAAGACGTACCCTGACGGCATGTTCAACCTTGCTCTGGCTATTGGTGTCTTCCTCATTCGCCGCCGCAGAGCCGCAAGCAACATTCCGCGCCCCGAGTTCCGGGTGTGGGACGTGCTTCTGATATTCTACACGCTTATTCAAGTGTACATCTTGGTTATGCCGTGGTGGCCACCCAAGGGCGGACCATATGCCGGAAGTGTCAGCTTTTGGTATGCGACATACTGCGTAGTTGGAATTGCAGTGTAAGTCTACTTGTTCTCCTTTAGTATGTATGTATGGGCTAACGTTGACTAGCATGATCTTGTGTGGCCTCTACTATGTCGTCTGGATGCACGTGCTGCCGCGATGGCGTGGATACCAGATCCGCGCAGAGATTGTTACCGAGGAGAATGGTAAAGTGGCAGCACATAGACTTGTCAAAGTACCTGAATACGACGTGGAACGATGGGACGCGTCTCATGACGACTCGGGTCGCCTACGGCATCGAGCTGTTGCTGAATCTCGACCCGGAGAGCAACAGCAGCAGCACCACCAGGAGTCAGACCAGAAGCAAACTGTTTAATCCATTGGTATTGAATTGTAAATAGCATAGAACGTATATGTACGCCATTCATACATACAACGCTTTTCACCAAGTGCATAATCATATAATAGCGGCGAGAAGCCCGCCCCTCTCTCTGTCGTGAAGATGCCGAATTGGTCACTTGTACAAATATCTAACGGTTTGTCCGAACCGGCTCGCTCCGTTGATTTGGCTCCGTTGATTTGCAAAGCCGTAACCGGGAATAGCGTGGCTGAAAACACGGCGAACGTTATTGGCTGTATGCCTACTGATGCCATAGATAGACTAATGGCGAATCTCGCGTAATGGCGGGGAAAATTATCCGGGGTTTACGGCCGCTGCACAAACGCCGCGCATTTGTAATCGTTAAATTGTATACTTCATCAAACTGGGTTCACTTTTTAGTAACTATGTATATTCTTTTGTAAAATCTAGCCCGTCTTTTGCTATGGATGTTGCGTCAGTGGCCGTCATCGGCGCCGGCGCTGCAGGTTAGCTGACCCAGAGCATCTATAGTATTCAACTAACACCGGACTCAGGAGCTGTAACGGCATCGGCCCTCAAGGCAGAGAATTATTTTAAACGAATTCGAGTATTTGAACGGCGCGAGACGGCCGGCGGTGTTTGGTAAATTCTCCTTCGTGTACATGTATTGGCAACTAACTAAGCTGGCGACGAACAGGATCCAAGATGTCGAATCCAACAAGTCGCGGCCCTTTGAACCAGGCAAACTTCCTCCCGATATTGACCGGCCGTTACAAATACCTAGCAAGTTACCACAAGCTCTACCGCATAATCAACAAGAACGATGGGAAGAGACGCCGATATACAAGTCTCTGACGTATGTACAGTCCACTATTCTGCTACCACGCCGTTGCTGACCGGTCAGAACAAACGTTCCTCACATTGCCATGTGTTTCTCCGATTCTATATTTCCGTATGGACCCTTTGTCCCTCATTATGTGGCAAGACAATATATCGAAAACTACTTCTCTTTGCACCAAACAGACTCCTTTCTCGAACTCAACACCACGGTCGAAGACTTATCCTGGGTACCATCATCTTCACACAAAAACGGAGGCAATTGGAAATTGACTCTTAGAAAAGGTGACGTAGCAAGACGCCAAGATATGTGGTGGGAGGAGCATTTTGATGCTGTTATTTTGGCTAACGGCCACTACTCTGTACCATATGTGAGCATAGACTTTCCTCTCAGGGTATCGTCACTCTTCTAACTCCACAGATAGGTCCCACGAGTTCCCGGCCTCGAATCATATACGAAAACATATCCCGGTCGTGTTTCTCACTCCAAGTTCTACCGATCGCCAGAAAAGTATTACAACAAGCGTATTATTGTAGTTGGAAACTCTGCATCCGGCCACGACGTAGCTGCCGATCTCGTATCAGTCGCCAAGAAGCCTATATACTGGTCAATCCGGTCCAAGACACGATGGGACGGCCCAGAGGCTCCCGAGGGCATGGAGTGGAAACCGACTATTGAGGAATTCCGTGCCGAAGACGGATCCGTCTTATTCAGCGATGGCAGTATTCTTGAAGACATTGACGCCGTCATCTACTGCACGGGCTACAAGTCATCGTTTCCCTTTTGGAACACAGCTGCCAACGGACACCCTCTATGGGACTACAAGACAGACAGAATGATTGGAAACTATCAGCATACTTTTCTACGTAGTTCCCCTACGATTGGTATTGTCGGGTTACCCCGTACACTGACCTTTCGCAGCTTCGAGTACCAGGCGATAGCGCTGGCTCGTCTGTGGTCGAATAGGAACAAGTTTCCTCTACCCAGTATTGCTGAACAGGAGAAATGGGAAATGGAACGGATCAGACAATCACAGGAAAACAAGACCAAATTTCATAATATCCCATGGGATACGGGCGAGACGCATGAATATCTCAACTACTTGTATAGCTTTGCAGGGCTGTCAACGCTTGCTGGCGACGGAAGAGTGCCACCGCCGTTGACGAGGGAGATGGTGTGGGCTATTGAGAATATTCGCAAGTATCCTGAACCTGGAAAGGACAAGAAACCGCGTGCTAATGTAAAGGAGGACGAATATCGCGGTTGGGTAGTCGTGAAACCGTAGTCTAAGAATACAACCAGTTTGATTATTATTTATAGTAGTCATCAGGGCTTTATGGCCTTTAAAAGACCTTTACATTTTACATTCACCGGAAATGAGGCCGGTTTGTATGAGAAGTAGGGTTTGATTCATAAGTAGAGCGGCTCAACTTGCTCGTATATAGTATGTTATACTGTGTGCAAATGCCAGTAAAAATCCTATATCAAAATCTAACAGATAAAAGTGAAAACAGCTCGCCAGAGCGGAAGGTGACATGACAAAAGAGTTCGCACAAGTTTGAAGCGAAGAAAATCCACACAAAATCCCATAAAGACAGCTGCCATAATATACCGGGTTGGCGTAAGAAGGGAAAAGAAAGAAGAGAAATTGGGCTTTTCATTTTTGCCCGCCATACGCCCCGGGACTGGACCTGATAAAACGCCATGCACCATCAGAGTAAAAACGCCACCCAAGATAACCAGTAGAAGATGTGTCCACGCTATGTCTTCTGCTCTACGAGCGAGGGACAGGGAGAATGGGGTAGAGAGAGTTGCCACCCTCCTTGACAGGCAGCTTGGGGTTCTTGACGTCAATGTCCATGGCGTCGGGAGAGGCAGCGCCCTCCTCGACAAAGTCGCGGCGCTCAAGACGGCGACGGACGTACTCACGGAGACCCTCGATGACGCGCATGTTCTCGAGCCAGCGGTCGTACTGCTCCTCACGCTCGCGAGTGGCCTCGCTGACATCGGAAGAGTCAGAAGAGGGCGAACCAGCATCCTTGGGGGTGGTGCTTGCGGAAGCAGCTTCCTCAGTGACGGATCGGGGAGGAGTACCGCGAGCACGCTGGAGCATACCGCCAGAGTAGCGGCGGCGCTCGTTGGCGTCAAAGGTAGGGCCAAGAGTGGCAGTGGTGGACTGGCCGAAGCCCTGGCTAACAGCGGGAAGGCTGGTAGGCAGGCTCGGGTACATGACAGAGGCGGCAGTGGAGTGGCGAGGCTGAGGAGAGAGGCCGGAGGAGGAGAGGCCAGAGGCAGAGGGGCTAGGAGAGTGGCCCGAGGTGTAGGACATGGAGCTGGAGGGAGGAGTGACGGCGGGGGTGCCGGTGGAGGAGATGGCAGTCAGAGGCGAGGCCATGTTGGCGGCGGAGACGGCGTAGGCCTCGGGGATGGTGCCGGGAGAGCCGCGGTGCAGGGCAGCCGGCGAGGGAGTCTGGCGGAAGCCGTGAGCGGCGGCGTAGTTGGAGTCACCACCAGAGTGGATGTGGACGCCGGCAGTAGCGTGGCTGGCGTTGTCGTAGATGGTGTCCTGCATCTGGCCGAGAAGGTTGTCGATCTGGATCAGGTCCTTCTGAGTGCGTGCGCTGGGCATGGGCAGATAGTACTGCTGGGCCAGAGGGTTCTGAGAGAGCGCAGGGACGCTACCGACAGCGACGGAGGAGTGCGCAGGCTGAGGCATGTACTGCTCGGTGCCGCCGAGAGGGCCGCTGGGGACAGCCATGGCGCCGTGGAGGGGCAGCAGAGAGCGGCCAATGTCAGCGTACGAGGACGGGTCGATGCGGCGGCGCTTAGCACTGCCAAAGAAGTCGTCGACCATGTCAAAGGTGCGCTTGTTGTCGTAGGTGTAGCCGGGAGCCGGGGCGGAGTAGCCAATGTGCTCAGCGCGGGGGGCGTGCATAGTAGGCTGGTTGAAGTAGAGACCGTAGTTGGTAGAGGCCTGGGGTGCGTGGCCATAGTAGCCGTTGTGAGGGTGAGGCTGGGGGAAGGCATGGCCGGTTCTCATCTGGTTGTGATCGTAGTAGCTGGGCGCCTTGGGCTGAGTTCTGTAGTTCATGTTCTGGTCATGGCCGCGAGCAAGGACAGAGTCGTCGGCGTGGGTCTTGACGTGCTTCTTGAGATCCTGGGGGCGCTTGAAGGACTTTCCGCAGAACTCGCACTTGTGAGGCTTGAGAGGAACATGGACACGGATGTGCGAGGTGATGTGGTCACGCTTGACGGTGGTGGTGCGGCACTGGTTCCATTGGCAAGTGAGGCTCAAGTTGTTGGTGCTCTTGCGGCCGACATGGCGCTCGCAAATGTGATCCTGTAAGAAAGTGTTAGCAACAAAACGTTGAGCTGGTAATATATCCAATAGAAGAGGAGATGCGTACGTAGAGAATCTCGGGAGAAGGAAACTTCTGACCGCAGGCGTTCCAGCGGCAGGTGAGGTTGTCGGTCTCGCCGCTAGAAGGAGGAGAGGCGGACTTGGAGTCGACGCTGGTGGGCGGCGACACCGTATCTGCGAGATGTGCAGACATTTTGACTGTTGATGTGAAAAAAGAAGGCTGTTGCGCGGGTTGGAAGCGCAATGCAGGCGGTATAAGTGATTGGCGAAGAGCTTGAACCTAGATGTACCAATGCGGAAGCGTCGGGGGCGTAATGGCGCTAGTTCGGAACAGGCAAGGCAAGTTTTTTTTCGTTGCGGTAGCGAGATGGATAGGACTGAAAATGTTGAACAAAAAAAGAGAAGAGGAGATCTCTCTGATTTTGTAGATTTCAAGATGATTTGTAGATTGCAAAGGAGAAAAACAAGAAGGGAAGAAACGAAGCGAACAGGCGATGGGTGTTCTTTTGACTCTTCGGGCAGTGGTGGTCTGAGTGGGCGAGCGGAAAGTCTTGGCGAGTCTTGGCGTTGCATCCAAGGTACCTCTGCGCAGTGAGGTACCTGACCGTTGGTGGGGACGTGTGCGGCGGTGCCGGTACCTATGGAGGGAGGAGGACGTAATGATGTGCGGCGGAGCTTGTCAGTGCCAAGACCGCCAAGACTTGGCCAACGCTTGGCATTGGTCGTCTTCTGGGGCGCGGCGGTTGAGGTGACGGTTCTAGGCTTTGGTGCGCAACGAATGCAACGGGGAAATGAGCATCACCGACATGAGGTGGCTGATTGATTAGGTTGGTGTGTTTAGAGTTGAGTTGAGTTGCCCGTTGTGTGTGCGTGTGTGTGAGTCCCTCTTTTACCAGAAAAATACGGTTAAGTTATAACTGGTAAACTCTGACGTTGCAGAAGCAGCAACAGCAGCAGCAACAGCAGCCTTGCTGGTGGTAGTGGGTGGTGGTGAGTGGTGGATGCGCCCAAAAATCAATAGACTGCACGCTACTGTAGTAAACCCTCCTGCTCTTTCTTGAGTGCACAGTTCGTTGCGCGTGTGACTGGGCAAGGGGACCGGCAGCGTCGGTAATAAACGTTGGATTATTTTTTATTTATTTTCATTTGGTCACGTTGTCGCTCTGTGCAGCAAGCAGCAAGCAGCAAGCAGTGTGGCACGACTGTTCTGGTCTGTATGATGATGAATGCTGCTGACAATACCACCACCCACTGCTTAGCTGTTAACTGGTGTAATTCGCATGTCGGAGGATCGGTTGGGTACAATACCCCGACACGAAGAAGCGAGGCAAAACGTGCTCAGCCAGCCGAACCACTCAGGAACGGGAAACGCAGGCTGATTTGCCTTGGCGATACAATAGGCGTGCCACCTACTATGTAAGTTGTGGTGCTGAGCCACCACCAGGAATTACTCGTCCTACGCATGCTCCAGTCTTGTTGTAATTTAGCCAAACACACTAACAACAATAAACAACAACAGCTATCGCAGGGGAGGGACAATAGCCAGTTGTAGCAGTACCAGCAGCATCACCTGTAACGACTACTGTAGCTGCTGTATCGGCCCCCTCCGATCGGTATCCGGCACTGCGCAGTGTGTCTCACCAGCAATCGTCGCACATTCTATGCAAAACCTGTTTTATCTTTTTTGTCTCTTTTTTTGTCTGCTGATATTATTTTGATTTCATATTCATATTCTTTCCTTTCTTTTACAGTATACCCTCCACACATACAAGCACACAGTCAAGAGTACCGCCCCTATCGGCGCCGCCAAAAAAGAAGCTTTTAGCTCGAGTCTTGGCGCCCAGCCCACTGCCTCAGTGCTCGCCGCCCTGTGCAGGCTCGGCGCCAAGCAAACTGACCAAGGCCGCCAAGCCCAAGTGCCAAGAAAAGTCGTCACCTCCGCGTTTCTCGCCCGTTTGCTTGACCCCCGCAACGCCGCGTTGTGTCTTTTGTCTCTGGTTTAACGAACTTTTGGTTTAACGAACTGTTGTATGTCCGCTTAGCAAATCACGCCGGTCTGACTGACTGACGCTCAGCTCAGCAAGAGTTAATACTTCTATGGTTTTGTATTTTTACTGAGAATCGTGGTGTTGTGTTAACAAAAGACGGGTGGTGGTCTGTCTGGTTACACTCCTAAAAAAAGAAGACGAGAAGAAAATAGCAACGCTGCTGCAGTAGCATGCACCACCAACAGCAACAATAACACGTAAAATAAGGTCATTTTCTACAGCACAGCAATCCTACATTGCAACCACAAAACAGCATCCACTACCACCGCCTCCACCACCGTCTCGCGCATTCTGCTACTCGTTACGGTACTTGATTGGTACAGTAATTGGTGCAGCAGCACACCATACTCTACCTACCGGTGGCTTGCTTGCTTCCTTGTACTTCTGCTTGCTTTGCTGCCCAAAGCTGCATACGGCACACAGACTATTGCTTTCTTGCGGCTCACGCGCATCATCGTACATACGGCAGTAGCAGCAGCAGACAGCATCCCCTCTCTATGCTTGCTCAACCCGCTAGACACCTCCAGGTAGTTTTCTACCGTAGTGCTGCTACACACTAACAAATTTTCGGCACGTCGGGTGTCTCGGAGTGCTGGTCTCGCTACAGCTGGCTGTCCATTTCTGTTCCGGCAGCGAAGCTTCCCGATATAGACGTCATTCATTCACACTCTCGTACTATACCACTAGTCAGTCGCTATGGAGCCTGCGATCATGCCACAGCCTCCCTCCACCAGCAATACTTCAAAACGCATTCTTTGTCGCCGTTGTTAGTCTTGGCTCAGCACGTGGGGTAGACTGGGCTTATCTCTGTTGTGCCTTTTGTCGCATACCTCTCGGTATATGCGCGAATCCATTTCGTTATATACCACAATCTTTCGTCTTTCCTTACACACAGCTCGCACACTACCTTTACTTATTTTTCAATCGCTTCTTTTGCTATCATCTTTCTCTTCGCCCTTTCCTCTCTTCCTTCTTTTTCCCTTCTACCCCTGGCCCAGAGAAGCCAAGCCGATCCTCGTCTCTCGCCTGCGCGCAAACCCCAACCTTGGCACGTCTTTCGCCCGCCAAGCCCACCAAGCATAAAGCTAAGAACCTTTGCCCAGTCGCCAAGACCCCCCTGGCCTCAACGCCCTCGTCCCAATAGTGCGATTCTAGAAACTCTTTCACCATTCTCGCGATACCCACGCAGCTCGTTGTTGATCGCCCGCCGCCATCGGCGCTCGTTGTGTGGCTGAGTCGCCGACTGCCACAACTTTAAATCCTATGACTAACCGTTCAACGGACAATGCATGCCACTAGCGACCTAAGCTTAATCGCTAGGCTAAACAGCACACTGTAGGCTAAATGAAGCCTCCTCCAGCGATACCCAATGGCATGCAAATGGCCTGGCCTGGCCGCCACCCCCAAAACACTCGCCCCATCTCATACACCAGCCAAGGATTGCATCATTTGCCTCAGCATCATATAGATGGTCGCCCTGAACACGCGCGGCCTTGCCATTCCGACCCGCCAAGATGAACCACTCCCTGATGTATATTGCATTTCCGAAGCGCGGGTTTGATGCCGCCGGGTGCTTGCACCCCTCCGTAGCATCTCCGCCAATATTGACCATCCCCCGTCACTATGTCCTGGTGCGGTCTCAATCCGAAGAGCGCGCATCTGGAGATCTTGCCGATGTTTGATTATGGCATCTTGGCAGTAGTAATATCAGCAAGCAATGCATCGTAATACAAGCCGGCTCGGCTGGCTGTTAGTTTACAGTCCTCATAACATCACGTAGAAAACAAATGCTTTAGAGTTCACTATCCGAACCAAAGTTTGCAGGATTTTGTTTTGTATTCGCTTTACGTATAACTAAATAGCGCATGTTGCAAAACCCACGCCGCCCTGCCACTCTTTCCATCTATCCATCTTCCAGTGACATCCATGTGCCACTGCCGTTGAGTTGAGATAGACCTCTGTTCCTGTTCTCTTCCGTCCTGTATCCCAGCTGTATATGAGGGACCAGCCTCCGTCTGTTGAAAAATCCACCTGCTCGGCCAGTTGAGCAGGCCTGCACCAAAAGCTGTTTATATAGATTATTAATTGTAATAAAACCAAAGGGGGTATCCGTAATAGCAAACAATAAAGAGCAACGGCCGCGCTGTTATGTGCGTGCCTACAAGCACGTACAATAACAACAGCTTAACCGTGGAGTGAAGTCGAGTTGACAAGCGAGGTAACCAGTGCAGAAAGTGTATTTATTCTGTAGGATTGCAAGTCTGCTACAAGCCAGTGCCATATGCCTTTGCCAAAAGCGTCGCTATCTAGATGAGGGAGGGCAGCCCAAGATATGGGCGAATGCTGCTCATCTGTAGAACGACAAGTAGCAAGGCTAGTTGTAAATTCGACACCCAGTCAGAGCTCGATGCTCGCAACTAGGAGCTATTGTAAGAAAAGCGGATATTGTTTGTCGTCTGAAAGGGACGATCTGTTCCCGCTTTCTATTGTCGTTTGTTCGTTTCCAGTAGCGTGCCAGGAATAAGTCGCCGCCAAAGTTAAACTTAAAAAAAAAGAGTAAAAAAGAATCCTCGAGAAATGGTGATTGCTCGGAACCGCGTCGTTCAAAATCATAATTGTGGTCGTTGACAGAGCGCTTCTATTCAAGCTACCACAGGTAGACGCATATTCCTGCTTTGTTCTAGCCAGTTGAGCTAGTGCCTTGTTGTGATCATTTCCCTCGCTCGCTCCCAAAAAATCAAAGTTGTAATAAAAAAGAAGTCCCAAGATTTTCCTCTCGTAAAACGCCGCTCATGCAAAGTTGATAAAAAGATAAAAGGAAAATAAGAAGGGGGCGGGTATTATACAGAGCCAAGTCGCAAAAGCGCTTCAATGGCCTCGCGCTCCTGGGCATCAGAAGCACCTGGGAGCGCGGAAAAGTTCATGCCGGCAGCCTGGGGTGGTCGAGCCATTCCAGAAAAAGATTGAAGTCTGCCGGCATAGGTGTTTGGAGGAATCTTGCCGTCTAGGGAGAAGGCGCCATCAAAAGGGGCCGAGTAAGACTCGGCGCGCAGAGCGGCGGCGCCCATTTCTGCCCAGTCTTCGTCATCCGTAACGTCTTCGGGATCGTCGTTCATGACAACGTCATCATCCGGAGCCTCGGAGCAAGAGGCCGACTCATATCCATCCATGGACATGTTGTCGGCGTCGTGGCCGAGCGAGTGGTGGTCGTCGTGGGAAAACTGAATCGAATCGCCACTGGTTCCAAACGCGCGTGCTGCGCTGCGATCGTGGGCTCGCAAGGCGTTGCGGGAGATGGGAATACCTGCAGGAAGAGAATCTGGCGGCGTGCCCTGAGGCTCGCGACCAAACTGTCCTCGTCGCTTGGCGTTCCAACGTCCCCAGCCAACCTTTTCGAATTCCACTTCGCTCTCAGCACCGCCTCCCTCTACCCCTCGTCCTTCGAGGGCACCTACAATTAATCTCCGGGCCTTTGTCGGTGGGATCGCTGAGAATCCCGCGACCGACGCGGTAAGATAACCCATAATGTGTCTGATGGCCAAGGGTCCGTGGTTGAGCAGGATCTCGGGTAGGTGCAGCTTGGCGAGCATGTCACTAGAGATGGCGCCAGCGTCACCGTAAGCGGGGGACACAGATCGGTCAGGGCCTGGCCTGTCTTCGTGGAGGTCCAAGTCAGAGTCGATGGGCTCAAGCTTGGCCTTGCGGAGTTGGGCCTTGAGGCCGTGGGCCGGAAGGGCTGGAGATATAGAGTTAGGGGGAGTAGGGAGGGTTGGAGGTCGTATCACAGTCGCCGCATCGCCTCTGGCCGCTACAACAGTTAAGTTGTCTCGGCCTGCAGAGGGCGAGGGGATATCGCGAGCAGCTGCCGCCATGGAAGCCATATTGATCGTCTAAGTTGAGGTTGGAGGGCTTCAGAAACAAGCTGGAAGAAAAAAAAGGGCAGTGTTAGCGTATTTATTCTTGAGAATTTTATAATTGTGACTCTTTAGACTAGGCAGCGCGACCGAGCAAACCAAACATCTTCTGATGCCGGTGACAAACGGGCGTTTGCGCAGCGCGGGTGTTGAGTCACTGCCCAGCCAGGGGACATGTATGTACGTACCTAATGTGCTGAAGCGCTGGAGTTGGGTTCGGCTGATGCGTGTTATGGCAGGCTGGGCAGAAGCTGGCGCGACTATCTGGACTGTGAGAGATGACACTCGATGCGATAAAGGTTTGCGTGTAGTTTGCTTTCTTGTTATTGCTTTGGGGAGGGAAAAGGAAGAAGCGAGGCAGAAGAAGGAGGAGGGTGGTGAATAATAAGGCACGGGCAACCAGGCAAGCACAGCGCCGGTTCGGTTTGGCAGGGGAGTCACACACCCACTGGGGGCGCTGTATTATTCGCAGGCAGCGTGGTGTGCAGGCTGCGGCGAAACCCAGAAGCAGACAGACGGGCACATGGGCCCACGCCCCGGCTGTGTAGTGCACGCCCCCAACGCGCAGCCGGACGCATCGGGTGCTACACGTGGGTACTAGACGCAACAGCGCAGGGCGGCAGGTACCTCAACACGAAAGTCGTGTCGTCAGAGTGGCTGCGGGGGTGGGCACTAGCGGGCGTGGATCGAGCGAAAAAGCACCCGAATCCCATGACACCCGCCGCATTTCTGTTAGTGGGAATTACGCTTTTGAACCTGCTTTGTCACTTGCGCTGCACAAGGGCGTGGCGCTGCTGCTACAGAAGGGTTCAGTGCTTGCTTGCTGCCTGCAAACAGGCTGCCACGGTGCCCGTCCAGCCAAGTATGTGCGAACTGAGAGGAACAAGAAAAAAAACAGAACCAAGAATTAGGGCCAAATGAAGCCGGGTTTTCACGAGAAAGCAAAATGTACTATACTATTTTCGCCGCTAACAATACCGGGGGTACACCAGCGCGTGTTATCATCCGACGATGATGACTGTGCGAGCGACGCGCGCTAACTCTAGGCCAAGAGCTGCTGAAAGTAAGCCCTGTACTGTAAGTGTGTAGCACACTCAGCGCTGGCCATGACACGGCCTAAGCTTACTACATTTACACGCAACCTGTCCGTTTGAGCCACAGCAAATCTCCAATAAAAAAATACAAATAAAACAAAAAAGGGGCCGGCCACATGAAAAACCGCGGCGACAAAAAGGAAACCCCAACTAGGGCATAATTTTATTGTCCGTACCGAGTAATAGGGCCCCTAATTCCAATCACATCCCTTGCCCCCTTTCGCACTTACACCGTGCCGGACGCCCCCTTTGGCCTGGGCTCCGGTGAACGGGCCCTCTGCCATTCAGGCTGGCATGCTGGCAAATAGCACACAACCCTATGATTTTTGTTTTCCATTCTATGTTGCTCTACGTAGTCTTGTCGTCCTGTATCCGTACGCCTCCTCCGCTTTCGATGCAGACAAAGACGTTCCACTGCAGCCGCCTGCCGCAAAGGCAAGGATTAGTTGTTTCTGGGTTTGCTTTCAACCCCGCGCGATCGGAGCCTCTGGGCCACGAACTGGAGAACGTGCCTGCTGGCCAGGTTCCCCCAGGCTGCGCGTCCGGGGCGCCAACGGTTTTGTTTTAGTGGAGTGTGCCCTTCTGTGGCCCGGTTTTCTTAGCTGCAACCACTTTGACGTGACGAGGCGGATATAAACTGTTCTGGCCACAGCAGTCTTATTTTGTCTAGGCACTGCTTGGGCACCGATACAGCGCCAAGTGGATATCGGCTTGGAGAGAGAGAGCGAACGAGAGACAGCCGCAGCTGAGGGTTCACTGTTACCTGATGGGTTCACTATGGAAAGACTACACTGTCTTTGAGCAGTTCCGGTTGATCTTTTCGTCTTCCTGCTTTAATATTACGTTTTGTGCCCAGCCTGAAATTAGGGTAAAAGTTCGTTCGCTAAACGACAGCCCACCAACACACGCCGTCGCCGCTGCAGCTGTGCTTGGTGGGGATAAGTTTAGTGGTCGTGGTCCTCTTTAGCGCCTACGCGCAGTGGGGAGGCCTGCCAAAAAGACACCCCCATCGGGTTGACTGGCAGCCCGCCGCTGCAGCACATGCTCGCCATCATTCGTCCGCAGCTGCCCCAGCGCTGTACTAGCGTCTGCGTGTTATTTTCGTCTGCAGCGGGCGTGGGGTCAAGTTCGATCGGACCCGTTCATCGCCAGTCCTGCCCTGCTTCTCGTTTCTTTACGTTTCCTTGCTTTGCATTCTTTTACGAGCCTCGTAGTTTTGTGGCAAGCAGTGAAAAAAAAACCCCTCCCCAGCCTTGTGACGTGATGCATTTTTTTTGTGCGCGCACACACACGCAAGCAGCGTCCTGTCAACATGAGTTGCTGTTCCCGGGCCGATCAGCCATGGGTGGTTGGGTACCCCCCAAACCTCCCCCCAACGGCCGATATCGTATCTTCAAACTCAAGTAACTGACTTGACTCTTGGTCTGATTGAAACTACCGGCCATCGTCTCAACAATAAGTCACAATTGAATTTCGATAACGTCAATGCTTTTAGTGCCAAAATATCCTTCACTCGTGTAAGGGCTGGCTTACCCGAGCCCCAAACCTAGGGTTTTCTTACAACCCAAAAAGGCGCGAGTCACACGCCGCACAACCCGGCCATGACGTGCGTCGGACCTGACCACTCACCCCGGCGCCTCGTTTTGTAGATGGGGGTGCGCCGATGATGATGCTTGGTGAGGGGCTTTTTCATCAATTACTCCAGCTTCATCCCTGTACGATCCAATGCCCAGACTCAAAGTCTAGTTTTGGACGCATCCATTCAAACATCCCACGGGGTGTCAGTGCAACCTCTTGTCGCGTAATTAACCACCGACGCTAGTGTGGGAAGCATTACCTGGTGAACTTCATTAAACGACGCGGTAACGCGAACGGGATGACATCGTGGCTTTGGCCCCTCAATGGCTGCGGTTAACCCCGCTACCTGAGCCAATATGCCCACAGGCTTAAGTCTGGGGCTCTATTGGTTCAGCTACTGTACTTGTTCGCACCTGACGCTGGATGTAGGGTCTCAATGGTCGATATCGGCAGCATGGGACCAGCGCCGTACAAGCCTCGCGGGACCGTTCGTGGCTATCCTCGGTATCAATATACCCATTGCCGGTGCAACTGTACTCATTGTTCATTGTATTCAATTGTTTTTGTATTAGCAAGTCTGTATTGCTTTAGTATATATAATTGTTGGTTTGATGTTTGCGTGAGGAGTCGCCGTGCATAAGCCGCTTCTGCCCACTCAGATATACGGTTCGTATCTATGGCTTTTGAAAGACAAACTCTCGACATGACTGTGATCCATGTTAGTGGGAGATATATAAGCCCAATTCAGTGTTGACAACTTACTGCTCGAAGCACGTCCAGCTTTTCCTGCGATTGCAAAAACACCTGTCGGTATTGGTTAATGCTCTCTTGCAGCACGGCTTCTCTGGTAGTACGGCCCTCGCATATAGCCTTCATCTTTAGTTCCATTTCTTTTCTGAGAAATGGTTTTCCTAGACTGTTTTCGAAATTCATTCGATCAAATCCCAAAATCAATGCCACACCGAGCTGCGTTGGGACAAAAACCTTTTGCCCGCCGCCGCCGCTTCGACTCCCGGCCGATGCGCCTCCTCGACCTCGCGACGCGCCGCCACGACCACGACCACGGCCACGGCCTCGAGTTGCCGCTCTCGGCGCTGGTTCTTCAGCGTCATCGTTGCCGCCACCACCAGCTCGATCAACCGTGGCAACATACTCTCGATCTTGAATTTTCTGGATATGCTCAGCCATCGTAGCATCCGTTCCAATACCATTGGCGTCCATCAGTGCAATAAGGTCGGCTTCTGTAAGATAGTTTGGTGGGGAGGTTTTGCCCTCCGTCATCAGAGCTTCAGTAGGCTCGAATGTTTCCCCAAGTGTATATTTGGGTAGTTCTGCGCTGTCGTTCCACTTCTCGTATACGTAGACATCTAGATAATTTCTTGCGAGAACAATTACACCACGTGTGTGGAACGCCTCTGGCCCATATTGGAGCTCAATATCTGTGGCCATTCCCTGAGCATCTTCAGAGCAACAAGCTAGAAATCGGCGCACGACATACTCGTACAAGCGCTTCTCATCGTGGTTCAACACACTTGGGCTCGCATAAGAGATGGGGTGGATGGGTGGATGTGCTTTATCGTCGTGTTTTCCTTCTCGCGGCTGCTGAAACCCGCCATTGACCAAGCCTTGCGCAAACTGGCCCCAATTTTGGTCAGTCGTTTGCTTCTGAACCAAGGCCTTGAGGTTCATTCCCTTGTCGAAACGATCCGTTTCTGTGCGAGGATAGCTTAGAAATCCCTTATTGTAGAGGCCTTCAGCGATTGTCATGGCTTGTTGACCCGTCATCCGTAATAGTCGCGTAGCTGCTTTCTGAAGCTCAACAGTGGTAAGTGGTAACGGCTTGAACTTGCGCGTTGGCTTCTCTTGCACCTTTGTGACTTTTGCCGTCTTTGCTTTGAGGCACTTTTCGTATAACGTTGTAGTGGTAACTCTTTCAAAGAGTCGATTTCGCGCCCAAGAAAAGTTGGCCTGTTTGCCGTCCCGCGAGTGCGATACTTTGATACTCCAAAATGGCTCTGGTACAAAGTTTTTGACCCTAAAGTACCGATCCACTACAAACCCAAGCGTTGGGAACTGGCAAGATCCTAAAATGAGAGTTAGAGTTGAGCAGGCTTCTAAAACGAGAATCACAAACCGTAGCTAAGGGTAAGGTTTTCCATTGGGCCGCCTAGCGGTCGTAGGCTGTTTGTCATGAACCTTGAAAACGCATATCCGATGCGCAAATCCAGTTCGATACGAGCAGCTACGGCGTTAACCTGCCGTATATCGAGATCGACGAGGCGCTTTGCAGCAGAAAGAACGTGACTATTGAGGGTTAATAGAGGTGTCGTACAGTAGCGTGACATGGTTACAGACGCTTTTTCCACGTTGCTAAACTTGGCACGTTTAACGTTGATGCTTGGCTTCCCACGACGAGCAGCATCTACGATTTCCTGCCCAATATGTTCGCCTTCACGATCACAATCCGTCCATATGACGAGTAACTGGGCATACTTGGCTTGCTCTTCCAAATTTTTCGCAATGGCTTTTTTGTCCTGGGTTGCGTGTTAATAGATGAATCTAGCAATAATTGTATATTAAAACACTTACATCATGGACACTTGTTACTATAGGTGCATTGAATAGCGTTTCTGGTGGCGGATAGCTCCAGTTCTTATGTGCGGCGGTGAACTCAACATTGGTGAGATGGCCTGTGACGCAGGTCATTGTGACGGAGCAATCTCCCCATGGCTGCCCAAAGTTGAAGTCGAACGAATAGTTTTTAATATATTGGTTTCCTGTACTTCTCTAAAACCGTATGCGGTTAGTATATAATTCCTTGCTTTGGAAGACGTGGCCGCCTACTGTCTCATAGCGGCCACCAGACAAGTGGCCAGCGACTGCTTTTGATATAGACGGCTTCTCGGCAACGCAGAGGACCCTCATCTTTTCTAGACGGTGTAAAGAGTTGCTAAAATGGCGAACAAAGAAGGAGGGGATTGTGACTCGTAAATATTGTGATTCAGTTAATCGCCATACCGACACCGTCCCTGTGATTCGATGTGTCCAAACGCGTCGCGTAAGTAGGCAAGCAGACATCTTCTGAATGGCAATATAAGATGTAAATCCATTAGAAATGATCAGAAATAACACCTGTGGTCTCCATTTTGCATAATTAGATCTTTGATATATGTAGCAGTTGGGATGAAAGGATAGGGTTAGAAGGGGCGAAGAGGACGAGTTGGTAACCGTGAAGAGTCAACCGACACCCGTTTGGCAGTGCCACTTTTAGTGGGTGATGGATATTGAAGTGGCGTGGGCATTGAGCAGACTGGCAGCGAGTTGGGAAGGCTGTATAACCATAAATAGGGAAGTGGTAGCATATTTTTATTTCCAGTGATTTTATAGTATATTTCTATTTAGATGAACCATTTGGAAACCCCCAACGTTGGTATCGTACTGTTGCAGACGAACCTTGTTTGCAGAGACAACCCCGCCAATGGTGGCTGAAGCTTTTTTTGCTGTGGCGGCAGCTTTCCAGTGCACCGACAACAGCCATGCGTTATAGGCGTATCTAATAGAGAACAGTAGTGGTTTTAAAAAGTAGAATAGCTCTAATAAAAAATACAAATAAAGAGATTTATCATTTCCTCAGTCGTATCCAGCATACTAATTTCCCCATAGGCATCCGCAGTCGGCCAAATTCAAACCCCATGTTGCCGACCACCGATCTGCTAAGCAATGCGCTGATGGCAGCCATCGACCACTGGTCGGGACGACCCATTGCCGATCGACAGCGCTGCGCTTCCCCCACCAGCCACTCTCTATGACGCGCGCTGCTAAACTTTCCCTACTTCTCTCCCTCTTCACGACACAACAACAACAGCCATCCTCCCGTCTCGGCGTGTCAATTGATTGCCCACCATGGTTCTCCCCATCCTAAGAACCCTCAGCGACTGCGCCGACTACCACAAGACCATCGAGCCCTATCTTCCGCAGCTTTACACGCTGCCCCAGAAGCTCGTCGACAATGGCGCCAGCATCGAAGGTCTCCAGCGAATCTATGCTGAAACAAACCCCTTCATGTTTGCATTCAGCATGTCCGTCTTTATCGGCGCGGCGGCTTTGGTTGGCTCGGAAATCATGAGAAATTACTCGCAGATTGACTGTCTCTGGAGCATTGTGCCCAATCTCTACATTGTCCATTTTGCGGTCTGGGCACGTGTTGCTGGTCTCCCTCACTCCCGTCTGGATCTCATGGCTCTCGCAACTACCATTTGGAGTGTATGATGTGCGAAAAACATCATGTGGTAGAACCAAGACTAACGCTGTGAAAATAGATCCGTTTGACTTACAACTACGCACGAAAGGGCGGATACAACATTGGCGCCGAAGACTACCGATGGTATGGGATTTCTATAGCTTCCCTCATACCCGGTCTGCACTAACAATTTGTAGGAAAATCATCATGAGCAAGGTCAACGGCTTCGTCTTCTTCATCTTTAACGTTACCTTCATATCCTTCATCCAGAGCATCTTGCTCTTCCTCTTCTCCGGCTCGGCTGCCTACGTCGTCCTTCTCACAACCCAGTTCGAGCCCGAAATCACAACTGCTGACATGGGCTACTTTGGTTTCATACTTGCCCTTGTCTTTAGCGAATGGGTCAGCGATGGCCAACAGTGGAGTAAGTTCTCTTTGCTTCATATCTACGGAGCGTCATGTTTTCTAACGGCAACTGTAGACTACCAAACCGCCAAGTACCAGTATCTTGAGACTGGAAAGGTTCCCGCTGGATTCACCAAGGCTGATCTGGATAGAGGATTCATCACCTCCGGCATGTGGGCGTACAGCAGACATCCCAACTTCTTCGCTGAGCAGGCCATTTGGTTTGTCTTGTACCAGTGGAGCTGCTTCGCTTCCAGCTCTCTCTACAGCTGGGCTGGTGCTGGTTCCCTCGCCCTCATTCTGCTCTTCCAGGGCTCGACATCCTTCACCGAATCCATCTCAAGCGCCAAGTACCCGGCCTACGCAGACTACCAGAAGCAGGTTGGCGTTTTCTTCCCCACGTCATTCTCCGGCTACAAGCCCAGTGGCCCCAAGGTTATCCGCACCAGCGAGTTGGCCAAGAAGGCGAAGAAGAACTAAGCATCAGTATGGTACGGTGGATTGTGTAACGAACTGGATAGTCTATTGTATCTTTAGTCTATGATCTTTATCTCTAATCTATACCCTTTTTACGCGCAATCTCTTAAATCACTCAGTTTATCGGCATAAAACGACGGGACTGCAATCGCATCCTTCTTCTGCCAATCTTCTTTGCTGTTGACACCCGTCAGCACATGTAGAGTTCCTCCCAACTTGCCCTCGACACCAAACTTGATGTCTGTGTTGAGTCTGTCACCAACCATGCAGGTTCTAGCTCTGTCAAGCTGGAACTTGCCCTCAACGGCATCCATCATTGCTTGACTGGGTTTACCAAGTGCGAGGGGCTCTCTGCCAATGGCATTTGTGAGAGGGATGACAATAGATCCAGCACCAAGGAAGAGGTCCTTATGCATGGGGAGCGTGGAGTCGAGATTGGTTGCGAGGAAGAGAGCGCCTTTACGCAGGTAATGCAGTCCGTGAATCAACTTGAGGTAGTTGATGTGGAAATCCAAGCCACAAAGAACAACTCCAACCTCGGGATCAAGCAACGAGCCATCCGCCAGTCCGGCAAAGTCTTCTGGGGTGACATCTCGGCGCATCGCAGGATCTGTGCCGCCGATAAAGGGCACGCCTTCGGAAGCGAGTTCCTGTTCCATGCCCGCCTCACCAATGGCAAAGACCTTGTTTTTGCCCTCGGGAAGCTTGAGGATGCGGGAGATGTAGATGGAAGCGGAGTATGAGGAACCAAAAACGTCATCAGGTGTGCACTCAATGCCCATGTTAGCCAGCTTCTTGACGTAATCTTGGCGGGACTTTGTCGAGTTGTTTGTTACGAAGACTGTGCGCTTTCCTTTGGAGCGCAACAGCTCTAATGTTTCCGGAACTCCCTCGTAAACATGGTCACCTGACCACAGGACGCCTATATCATAAGTTAGAGGGACAATATTTGACATTGGCGATCGGCACACAAACCATCACAGTCGAACAAGAAGGTCTATTTGACGTCAGTATGGCTGCTTCGGCTGGAGCGGGCAAGGTCTACAACCACGTACGTCAAACTTATCAATGAATTCTTTGATTCCTTGGCCGTTGCCAGTTAAATATTTAGGCTCTGCGCTCATTGCGACGTTATATCGGCAGCAGGGAAGTTGGATGAAGGCGACGAGATAGGCTGCTTACCGTTTGAAATTGGTGAGGTTATGTCCACCAATTAGCGCCGATAGCGGGGTTTGGACAAAGGACGCTGTGCGTAAGAAATGACAATAGTAAAACGAGTATTGCACATGATGGTATCAAAATTAAACGTCTTATTTTAATTAGATAAATTCAAGTTGTAAAATTTCTTCTTATTGGTCCTCAAAACACGCCGGGCAAATCTTGGTGGTGGCTCTGCCGGGTAGCGCCTCCAGACGTCATCTGTGACATAACTCTGCATCTTCGCCTATAGCCCACTGCATCGCAAATGTAATATTAACGAGATACTTTTGCCTATATGCAGCCTAGAATGCACGCGTGATCATCTGGAACGCCTTTCGAAACCTTTTTCCAGTTGCAGGCCGCTCGACTGACGCTTCTACAATGCTCCGATATGATCCGAAGGTACAGGCGACAGCTATTGTTACCAGCATTGTTTAGCATTTGAAATCCTCTGCTCTTATCTCCGTGCCTGAAAATTGCCATTATCTTTTAGCCACGTCCTATTATGGTGGGCTAACGGTCAACGCCACCCGCGCGGTTAGCACGAATCGCGGCCCTGAAAAGCTTTTAAACAAAATTTCATGTGCGTGCAAAGTCTACCACACTTGGCCCAAACCCTGCAGACCTGAATGATTTGCAAAAAATTAATATCCTGCAAATTTAGTAACAGCAAGGCATATTCGGAACTCTAATAGTTTAATATAAAAGACCTCGCTGGTCCCTGTTGACACTCTCCTTACTCTCTTATCACCTACCTTTCAACTACTGCAACCTCTGATATCTTCTTCAGAAGACCACAGCTCGCTTCACACACTACCACACAATTACAAAAATACCCAAATACACGCATACACACAGATACTGGGATGGATTCTTTACCAGCGTCAGTTACATCTCCATCTGACGGATATTTCTCTGCGGCATCTTCATCAGCTAGCAGTCCCGTCAGTACCCCGTCAATCTACAGTCACAAAACAAGAGACCAACTCAAGTTGATCCCGGTGTTGGATCGGGATATACCAAAGCCCGAGAACGAACTCAATGTTGCTGAAGCTTTAACGAGAAAGCCTGGACGATGGACAGTCCAGGGCCAAATGAACGCAAACCATCAACGAGAAGCGACGATTGCTATGACTATACGCGAGAGCGAAGAAGAGTCTCGGAGATCTTTTGAAAAAGCAAAACTAGAGCTCCTAGATTCTCAGAAAAGTCTTGCTGCACGCTTTGGACGTCGGTAATCAGGCTATCGCGTTTAGGTTATGAACTTTGGTAATAGAATGAGTTAGAAGCGATCAGCCCTCAGAAGCGGGTAGTGATCGAAACAGGCAACTGTATTAAGAAGGGTGTCGGAACTAATGTAACTTTGAAGGTTTTATTTTTAGTATGGCGTAGTATCAGATGTATAGACTTTGGTTTTTTTTGGCCGAGTTCCCCGCCGGCTAATACCTCGAATTCAATCATGCGGAAGACGGTTTTCATACGTGATTGAACAGAGTGGTTACAGACGGTCAGCAACAGACTGGATGCGATATCCAAGAGTAACACCGTATGATACAGCAGCAATGAAAGTGCCGAGGTTAAGCAGTGAAGAAATGCCGTGGAGCATACCAAAACGCTTCGACAGTTTCTTCATCGCTTCGGATTTCTCACCTGGTTCATACCACTCTTTTCCATCCCGCTTACCTGTGAAATTGTTAGCATATATGCAAGGTAGCAATAATAATCAGACAAACCTTGACCGTATCGGTCCTTCATGACCTTGCGAGAGGCGGGTAGCAGAACAGTGAGGTTAAAGGCACCACTAATGACCATGAACCCGATGGGCACCAGAGAAGACCAACGGTTGCCATCGTAGAGTAGTCCAGAAATACCGGATTCGAAACCGAGAAGGATATTTCCAGGGAAAGTCAAGGCGAGGATTACCGGCGCCGCTGCTTGAATACCAAAGTACAAAGGGAAGAGCTTTGTTTGGATGGCAGAGAAGACAGGCCTTTCAGTATTCTTGAAGAGAACCGGGCTATTGATAAAGGTCTGAGGCAAACGAGATGATCAGTATACATCCATAAGGCGACAAACAGGAAACGCACATGAAAGAGTGAGGTGCCTAGCAAGGTGCCGTAGCTGCCGGGTGCCGTGTTAGCTGAGGCCTGTTTGGGCCTATGGCCATAGAATTGGAGATGCTGCCTACGTCAAAATGTGGAAAGGGGCTGCTAAGTTAAGGATAGAGGCAGCCATTATGACAATTACAGACTTATTGATAACTTTGATGATCGAAGAAATTGTCGCAGCATAACCTTGGCAATGCTTGATGAGGCCATCTGGGGTAGTCGGCTAGAGAGTCGCATCACGTGAAGTCGTGACGCCGCCGTGTCGCGGAAGCTGGGGTGCGGTTGGTGCCTCGTTTTAGCGGGCCTTCTGCCTAGAACTTGGGCAACGGTTGAGCGAGGTGATTAAAAAGACGACGCCAACCGTGAAGGTGACTTTGCCCTTTTCCCCATCTTTGGGATTTATAATTCAGTCACAATTTATCCCAATTTGTTTGATTGCCTCATTTATTCACATTCATCATGGCGGACAAGGAGGCAACCATCTTCATCGTTGACCTTGGCGCGTCCATGGCCAAGTCCCATTCTGGTCGAAAAGAATCCGATTTGGATTGGACTTTGCGCTACTTCTGGGACAAGATTACCGACATTGTTGCAGCAAACCGAAAAACACTCTGTGTTGGCGTAATTGGCCTCCGAACAGATGGGACATCCAACAAGCTCGAAGCAGAAGAGGGCTATGAGAACATCTCTGTCTTGCAAGAGCTTGGTCCAATGTCAATGTCATCGCTCAAGGCACTACAAAAACATATGAAGCCAAGCAAAACGTGGAGTGGCGATGCGATCTCTGCAATTGTATTGGCTGTGGACATGATGGACATCTTCACAAAGAAGTTGAAGTGGGTTCGCAAGATCGTCCTCATCACCGATGGACAGGGTGCCATTGACGGTGATGATTTGTCAGATATTTCTAAGAAGATCAACGAATCAAATATCCAGCTCACAGTCTTGGGTGTCGACTTTGACGACCCCGAGATTGGCTTCAAGGAAGAGGACAAGGACGCTTCTAAGGTACGTAAAGCCAACACTCGAGTGAAGACATCTTGTTAACTGATCTATTTAATAGGCTGAGAATGAGAGATCGCTGCAAAAGCTCGTCGACGGATGTTCTGATGGCATTTTTGCTTCCATAAAGGAGGCCATTGATGAAACAGAAGCACCAAGAGTGAAGACGGTAAAGCCCTACAAATCATATGATGGCACGCTCACACTTGGCGACCCCGAAACTTTCCCGGAAGCTATGAGCATCAATATTGAACGCTACTTTAAGACACACCTTGCACGACCGCCTGGTGCATCTACTGTGGTTGACAAGCCAGACACAGTTGACCCAGATCAAATGGAAGATGTTCAGTTTTCCGCTGTAAAACAAGCGAGAACCTACAAAGTCGAAGACGAAAGTGCTCCAGGAGGAAAGCGAGATGTTGAGTTTGAAGCCCTTGCCAAGGGTTATGAGTATGGTCGCACCGCCGTGCACATTAGCGAATCAGAACACAACATCACCAAGATCGAGACGGTGAAGAGCTTTTCAATTCTTGGCTTTATTCCGTGGAACAACTACGAACCGTTCCTCAACATGGGAGATACTGGTGTGATTCATGCTAGGAAATTCGACGAAAAATCAGAGCTGGCTATGTCTTCTCTTGTTTGGGCGTTGATGGAACTAGAGTCTTATGCGGTAGCACGGCTGGTTGCCAAAGATGCCAAAGACCCAGTTCTGGTTCTGCTAGCACCTCATATTGAACCGGAATTGGAGTGTTTGTATGATATTCCATTGCCGTTTGCCGAGGATTTACGCACATATCAGTTTCCGCCACTGGACAAGGTTGTGACGGTGAGCGGACAGACATTGGTCAAGCACCGCCTGTTACCTTCTGATGAGCTAAACCAGGCCATGAGCGATTATGTCGATGCTATGGACTTATCCAACTTTGGTGCTGATGAGGACGGAAATGACGCAGAGTACATGGGCATTGATGACAGCTACAATCCCACCATTCATCACACAAACAACGCCATCAAGCAGCGAGCTGTACACCCCGACAAGTGTCTTCCTGATGTCCCTGAAATCTTGAAACAATTCACGGCACCACCAGAGGCGCTGATTGAAAAGGTCAAAGGGCACATTGACACTCTTATTCATCACGCAGAAGTCAAGAAGGTTCCACCAAAGGCCAAGGGTCGCCAGAAGCGTGATGCCATCAAGCCGCTTTCAGGGCTGGACATTGATGCTCTGCTTGGGATAGAAACTCAAGGCAAGATTACGGCTGAAAATCCCGTACCGGATTTCAAGAGAGCTTTGGCTACTGCCTCACAAATCGAAGAAATCACTAGCGCCTCGAAGCAGATGGGCGACGTTGTGGCAACTCTCATCACTGACAGTTTTGGAGACAGCAAATATGATCAAGCCATAGAATGCCTAGGAGTGATGCGAGAGGAACTCATTAGTATGGAAGAACCTACGCTGTACGATGAGTTCATCACGGACTTGAAGAAGAAGATGCTGTCTGGTGCCCTTGGAGGCGATAGGCGTGACTTTTGGATCAAGATCCGCATGGCGAAACTTGGTCTTATTGAACAATCACAATCCGAGGTGTCAACAGTCACCAGAGATCAAGCCTTTGAGGTAAGCAAACCGATAGCAATTGTTTTACACGAACCATAACTAACCACGAAATCAGTTTTACTCTTCAAGATGATAGGTATGTGGCGTTGGCACTCAATGATTAATATGTAAAAAATTATCTCTGACTGTAGCTGAATCAGAACAAAGAAATTTATATGCAAAAGTTTGTTCCACACGTTGTACCGACTAGAAGATGATGCTTTGTTGTAAGCCTTAGTTTGTTGTTCAGCGGCTGGTCACTGGTGGTGTTATCCACCAGCTGCCCGCAACTGGCACGCTATAAGTACGCGGCTTCCTCCACCAACAAACGTCGATGGATTTTTCTCAAGGCAGACAAAAGCGTACATCATCCAACCTCATTCGAAATCATAAAACTTGGCTCCGCTGATACGAGTTGAATATTAGTCAATATGGACGACAAGCAGCCAGACTTGACTCAACGGTTGCGACTGCTTGAGCAGATCCTGGGGGAGTCATGCCGTGTTACTGATGAGCCAGCTGAGTGGGAAGCACATGAGAAAAATCTTGAGAAAAAGAATGAAGATACGAAAACGCCCCAAGAAGTGTCCAACATTGGCGACCATCTGTTGTCTGAAGAACTGAGCAATGTTGAATACTCAGTTCTGAACCCTCCAGCTGACCTATACAATGAGCGAGAGCCTGGGACACAAGGGGAAAATGATTTGGTTTACTGCTCCTGGCAAACCATTACCTCATATACCGAGCATTTTATTGGGAAAACAAATCGAACCAAGGTAAGTATGGTCCCTTCGCATTGTGACCGGTTCCTTTCTAACTCGTCCAGGCTCTACCGTTCTTTGAGAAAATACTGAACTCTACAAAATGGGACTTGTAAGCGCTATCAACAGAATCCAATATTGCCAAAGCTGAACATATCAGTTACTATGTCCACGATTTCCTCAAGCCAAAGGAGCCAGCACATCTACTTGTCCCGACCTCGCAATTGGAATACTTCCTAGCCTCAATCAACGCAGTCCTCGACACCAAGCTACGAATCCCTTCTGGGCCACATAGAAAGATCTTTTTCTTGAAATTTCCCTTTGAAGATATCAGCAGACCGCGATACTTGCTATGCCATCGACCAGCCAAGGTTGAAGACGAAGCTGCCAATGACGATGCGGCTGATGCGGACGCCGAGTTTCTCAACAACCCCCATCAGTGGCCTGTAATCGCCAAGGCTGATGTCGATAGCTTCCACGAAAGCTCAGCGGAATCAAAAGAAGCCTGGATGTCTGTTATGGAGCTCCTTAAAGTTGAGCTTAACAAGCACAAGGCAGACGCGGAAGAACGACGAAAGAAGCGCAAAGAGAGAGATGCGACAGAGCTACAAAAAATTGCGAAAGTGTTGGCAGACACCAACACGGTCTTCATAGCCATTGACTTTGAAGCTATTGAGGTCTCGCCGCATCCTATATCAGAAGTCGGCATCTCAATTGTAGATCCAAGAGAGCTGCAGACCACGAATCCCGGTGATAAGGGTGAGAACTGGTGGCCTCTGATCAAGGCCCATCACTTGCGCATCCATGAATATGCGGGGTTGCGAAATTACCGCCATGTCCAGGGATGGCCCGAGAATTTTATTTTTGGGTATGTTAACATGTCTTTAATCCTCCGGCAGTAGCTAACATACATCCTAGTGACAGTGTGATCGTCCCCAAGGCTGAAGTTGCAGCTGCTATCCTCAACATCTTTGAACCATATACTTCAACTGAGCGTACCATTACTCTCGTTGGCCATGATCTCGGCCAGGATACACGGTATCTCTACAAAGTTGGCATTGACCTCGAGAAACTCGCAAGCTCCATCGACCAAGTTGATACTCAGCGTCTCCACAAGGCATGGAAGGATTTGGATCAACAGAGAAGTCTGGGGAGAGTGCTCGATGACCTTGAGCTCTCGTACGAGTATTTGCATAATGCGGGCAACGATGCCATGTATACCCTGCGCGCCATGTTGGCCATTGCAGTTGCTGTTGGGAAAGGTACAAGCGAGAAAGACGACGAAAGTATTGAGAAGAGTTCAAGCCCATCTGAGGGCCAAGTTTGATTTTTAGTTCTAAGATGTTTTTATACATGCCGTTGAGCATCCATTCGAAGGCAGGTATGCTTCATAGAAGGACTGCACCGAGGCAACCGGGGAAAACGCCATCGCTATGAAAAGACTAGTTATACAAAGGAAGAATATTTTTGTACATTGTGCCAGCGTCGCCGTTCGTATCGTGACTGTTTACGCAAGCATCGATAAATTCGCACAGAAGGCATATCGGGCTGTTACTGATGTATTCGTCGCACTGGAATTATGATGCTTGCTTCTCGAGAATCTGCTTGGCCTCGTTGACCTTGGTGGCGAGATAGGGGCTGCCGCCACGATCGGGGTGGTTGAGCAACATGACGGTTCGGTGAGCTTTGCGGATCTTGTCCTTGGTAAGAGAGCGCTCGCTACAAACAAAATAGATGGTTAGAGTCGTTTGTCGTGTGTCGCGGAGTCCTTGGAACTCGTGTTTTGCAGACCAAGACTTACTTGAGAGATAGGATAAGCGTCGCTTCCTTCTTTGTCATCTTGGCCTCGAAACCACCCTTGTAGAATGCTTTGCCCATGGCTCCGACACCGCCGCGAGAGCGACGCCATGCGACAAGTCCGGCACGGCCCTACACAAAAAAAGAAGTCTGGTTAGTGAATCATCCCCTTGCGGCAAAATCGGGAGTTGGCGCGATTGGCCAACGGCGGCGCAAGACATACGAGGAAAGCAGCGACAGCGGCGCCGGCGCCAATAGCGAATACGGAAGCCATGTTGTAATGAAAGTTTGTGTATCTGGCGATTTCGTAAGAGTTGTTGGTAAATTGTAAATGGTGATGGCAAATACTAGGAGGTCATGGACATGCGGTTCCGCTGGTTAGGATTTTTGCGGCTCCCGGCAAAGTCCGGAACATGGGTTTCTCCGGGAGCCTCCGTCCACCACCAGGCACCTGTCACGGAAGCACTCGCCAACTCCCATAGTTTTGTCTTGTATGAAACGAGAAATCCTGATTGGTAGAGACTCCAAACTATGAAATGACGAAAAGAGAGCCACTGCTTGTCTTTGGACGCCCTGGAGCTGCAGTCCTGTTTCCTAGTGAGGCCCGGCGGTTTCGGCTGTTCGGTACGCAGTGACATTGGGTGCAACGTCCTATTTACAGTCTCATAGTAGCGATGTAGGACATGGAGGGTTATGGTCTAGCTTGTGTCACTCGCAACTAAAAATACTAAGCCTGAAATGTTTAGACACAGCCTTCCTGGACAAAAGTCGCCTAGCTGGATCAACTGGCGGATATAAGGGATAACATGATATGGATGGTGATGTTGTGCACTTCATTGTTGAATGCTAACGATCATTAAATGAAGCGCGATTTGAGACAATGCCGATGTGGTATAGGAGAGAAATCGATGTGGCTTTTGCCAATGCATCGCTATGTGCTGTCCAGCCTCTTTTCGACGACGCTGCCATCCAAGTTGAATGCATCTCATCTGTTGAAAGCAAAAGGCGCACCACGCAGGGCTGGTTTACATAAGAGTCCGTTCGCAAAAATAGCCTTATGTTTGATCACCATGTAAACGCCGTGCATGCTACCCGTTAGAGACATGGAAACCACCTCTCGGCGACGTGATGCGACGCTGTGTTCGGACCGTCTGCCGCCAAGCGTCTCTTGCGGGTTACAAGCGACGACAAAACCTTAAAATATAACTTTTCGAGTGATGACAATAATCAAAAATCGTCTACATCAACTTGGCCGCCTGATTTGAGACATTCTTGGCACTAGCCTTTCCCGCTTGCCTTGTGTCCGTGGAGCGGGATATATAAGATGTGATTCCCGTCCAAGATGGGCCTCTAAATTTCCTATCATCGAGCAAACAAAGTATATCCTCTTACAGACTAATACATCTGTTAATCCAAGATGCACGCTTCTCTGGCCTCTCTTCTTGTGGCCGCCCTGGCTGGCTCAGCTGCTGCTGCTCCTCAGCAGCAAGACCAAGAGCCTGAGGTCTACAACGCTGACAACCTCAACACGGATACAAGCCCCTTCGCTATTGAGATGCCTGAGCTTCAGAGCATTAAGATTGCTCAGCACGATGAGGAGCGCGCTGCCGGTACCTTTGATATGGACAAGTACCCCGAGCAGGCTGCCACCAAGTGCAAGAACGGCAAGGCCGGTCCCTACTCGTGCAAGAACATCGATCTTAAGGGTTTCTTGCGCCACCAGGATATGGGCACCAAGCTTCTTCAGGGCAATGACGTCTGGGGTAAGAATAATCCTATACACAACCTAACACCGTTTTAATAGCTAACTAACCGTGACTAGGTTGGACCTCTGAGGAAGGCCGCGAGTTTGGTATTGTTGGCCAGGTCAACGGTACCGCCTTTGTTGAAGTCATGGACAACGGTAGCCTCCGCTATATGGGCCGCCTGGATACCCAGACCACCAACAGCACCTGGCGCGATGCCAAGGTCATTGGTGACCACGCCTACATTGGCTCCGAGGCCCCCGGCCACGGTGTTCAGGTTTTTGACTTGAACAAGCTCCTTGATATTGACCCCAAGAAGCCCAAGGTCTTTAGCACCAAGAAGGATCTTGCTTCTCACATCAACTTCTTTGGCAGCAGCCACAACATTGTTGCTAACGAGAAGACTGATCTCATTATTGCCGTTGGCACTAGCAAGAAGGAGAACGCCCAGTGCGCAGGCGGTCTTTGGATGATTGACGTCAAGAACCCCAAGAAGCCTAAGGATCTCGGCTGCTTTGGCGAGGACGGTTACTCCCACGATGCCGAATGTGTTATTTACAAGGGTCCCGATAAGCGCTACAAGGGCCACGAGATTTGCTTCGGTTACAACGAGGACACTCTCACCGTTGTTGACATCACTAAGCGCAAGAGCCCCAAGCTGCTGTCCCGCACTACCTACATTGGCGCTTCTTACACTCACCAGGGCTGGCTCGCTACCGACGACATGTCTTTCCTCTTGCTCGACGATGAGATTGATGAGATTGCTAAGCGCGGCCCCGCCAAGGATGGCAAGACGGCCACCTACATTGTCAACATTAAGAACCTTGAGCGTCCCATCTTTGAGGGTGTTTATAAGAGCCCCGTCAAGGCTATTGACCACAACCAGTACGTCATTGACGGTCTTGCCTACCAGTCCAACTATGCCTCTGGTCTTCGCGTCGTCGATGTCAGCACTATTAAGGAGGATCCTACTGGCCGCCACTTTGAAGAGGTTGGTTTCTTCGATGTCCACCCCGAGGATGACAAGGATGGTGCTATCAAGTTTGTTGGTGCCTGGTCCGTCTACCCTTACTTTGAGTCTGGCCATATTCTGATCAACTCTATTGAGCGTGGTGTCTTTTCCGTCAAGTTTGATGAGGACTGGTGGCACAACGACGAGTATGGTCTTAAGCACACTCAGCCCTTGAAGGCTCTTGGCAAGAAGGCCTCTTCTGCCATGTAAACCGGTTTTGAGGGTATTAATTGGCTTAAAAAGCAGTGGATTTTGGAATCCCAGGCAATCTGCTGATAACTTTTTCCTTTGTCTTTTTTCTTCTCTGTCGTGTACTCGTACGGTATTTTGCTATACGTGAGGGTATATAGTTACATATTATAATAAATATGTGTGTTTTAAAACAAAATAGCGAACCCCTTAAGCATATTTTTCTAATGGATTTACCCATTCATTAACCCGTTACAATGGGCTTGTAGTTGCGTAAGCCCCAACTGGCGCCCAATGAGAGGCGCTGTAACCACCCAGCGCTAGTGCAGGTAGTAGTGGTGCACCTTCCCCAGAGCGGCCTCCTCCGCATCCGCATCCGCACTCCAACCAGCCTTCTCACACGATCTCCAACGTGGGCCGATTGTGTAAAGCAGCGGCAAATTGCGGTCTGTGATGCGCTGATTTAAAATATATAAAATCATTTTCTTATTTCTCACCACCCGAGACAATGCCGCAGTCTCCGGACCACGGGCGCGCGGGCTCCAAGCACATGAGCCCTGCGCCCGATACCGCGAGAGGCAGTAAGCGTGGCAAGTATACGTCGGTTGCATGGTAAGTAAAGCGATCTAGACGATGTACTATACAAGAGATACTCATCATTGAATGCTTACAGCGAGCACTGCAAAAAGCGCAAGCTCAAGTGCATCCCGGCGGAGGGTTTTGAAAACTCGTGCCAGCGCTGCGTGGAAAGCTGTAAAGCATGTGTCTATGTACCTACGGGCCGTGGAGGCCATGGCGTCTCTGATGGGAAACAAAATGCTCAGCCGTAAGTATCTATGAAAGTACGTATAAAATTGTGATACTAACGTGACTATAGCGTCGATGACATTCAGTCGCTATCGAAAAAGGTAGCAGCCCTACAGCAGGAGATGGCGCAGCTCACCGAGACAGTGGCATCGCTGCAATCTCGTCCACAAGAAGAAATTGATCATCGTACACAATTACATCATCGGGATGGCCCTAAAATCGAAGCACCCAAGGAGCCGGGCTTCGTCGGGCCTACGCGATCCGCCTTTAGCATTGAGATTGGCGAACGCTCACTCACCAGAATGGGAATCCCCGCATACAACCACGTTTCGCAGAGTGATCCGCAGTCGCCGGTAGAATCAGACAAGGAGGCCACGACCCTCGACGTAGAATTTTGGCGCCGCTCAACAATTGAGGAGATCCGACGCCTTGTCCAAGTCTTTGAGGAAGAGGTTGGCGTGGTATATCCATGCATGGAGTGCGACAACCTCATCCAGCAGGCACCCGACATTATTAGCTGGGGCAGTAATCCGGACAATGAAGAAATCGAGACCAGCCCCGATACAAGCGGGAAAGGATTCTCACTCAAAGACTTTCAATTAGCCAAAGTGGCTATTGCAACGGCTATTGTGACTGAGGAGCAGGGCAAAAATGATCACAGCAGCATCATGGTAGAGTCCGTCGAGCGTAGCGTCTCACGCATTCTCAAGCCAACATGTACGCTGAAAGATCTACAGTTGATCGTCGCGCTGGTAAGGATATCATCTTTTCAAGATGGGTTGTCACATGAATAATGCTAACAATCCTGATTATGTAGAGCATCTACTACTTCCATACTGGCGAGGACATTCTTGCCTGGCGAACAATTGGCCTTGCTGCGCGAGAAGCCCTCGTCATGGGCTTGCACCAACGTTCAACAGTACTACAAATCAAAAATAAAGAGGAAAGAGGCCTTGCCACGCGAGTATTCTGGTGCATATACGTGCTAGATCGCCGCTGGAGTTTCGGTACGAGTTTGTCCTTCGCCTTGAGCGACGACGATCTTGACCCGGAGCTGCCTGAACCAGGCCAAGATTACGAGTACTTACAATGCATGGTGCACTACGGTAGATTATGCACCGGTGTTTGGAAATCCATGATGTCGGCCAAAGCCACTGCGACGCCCATGCCTCAAGAAACAGTGCTTGACTATGACACCAAGACTCTCGCGTGGATGGAGTCTATTCCTCCACACCTACGACTCCAGCATCCTCGACACGGGACTGCACCTCGACCACAGCCCGTTGTCTTACACCGTTTACGCGCTCTTCTCTACTTGCGCGGAAATCATACCCGTATTCTCATTTACCGTCATCATCTGCTAAGCCCGACACGCATCAAGGCTGATCCTCGGAGTGTATGGCTCGTCGTCGAGATTGCCCAAGACGTCATCGAAGTGCTTGTGCATTTGAATGCGACATCAAATATTTACAGACGACAGCAATCTGCCTTCAACTACTTCCTGCTCAGCGCTCTGGCGGTCGTCTTCCTGGCTGTCTGCCACAATCCAACCGTTTACGCTGAGCCATGCCGCGAGAGCTTCTACGCTGCAGTGAAACTGGTGCGGGATTTCTCCAGACATAGCAAAGCCAGCAGACGGCTGTGGGATAGTATTAAAGGTCTTCTACCACGCCTTCAAACGTTAGGCCTACGTGGGGCTGACGACGGCCGTGGGGGTCAGATGAGCCGTAGCACGCCTAGGAGTGACTCTATTCTTCACGGACAGGAAATGAATATGGGCCAGCCACTGTCTTTTACACAGGCTAGTCCACATGGATCGAATGATGGGCAGGGTTTTAACCAGGCTGTTCAACAGGGCCAGCTGCCGATGCAGAATATCGAAGGAGATATGGAGGCACAGACTGATCCCAGTGGCTCAACGCCAAACATGTTCCAGATGAGCAATGACTTGATCTCACTGTTCAATGCAATTGAGCAGGGACAGCAGTTCCCTCCTGATATGGGCATGTATCAGGGCGACCAGATGTACAGTGATGGAACTCTTATGGGGGAGCCAGGCGAGATATCTCGTCGGTTCCAAGGATTACTATAGTAAATACTATCAAACGCTTGTGTATACATGCTCAGTAACTGTGATATATAATGCGCGTGAAACTAGAAAGCAGGAAGACGATGAAAGAGTAAGGTTTTTACTAACAACGTGAGCGTGATGCTCCTATATACAAGATTCCATAACCGCGTTATATCAACACTTCATACAAGAAAAATAAATACGTTTTGCAAATTGGGAATAGAGAAACAACATCAAATAGGTATCTTGTTTCGTTTAGTACCAGCTCTTGGGACCGAAGCCCTCGGGAGGAATTTCCAAGAGAGTTGATCGGGCACCCTCTGCACCACCATCCACGCCGAGACTGTTCACCGTGTTGCCCCACCACGTTACATCGACCTCGTGATACTGGACAGCAAAGAAGATGATAATGGCGGAGAAGGCAACACCACCCGCGAGACCAGCCGCAACAATGTAGTTGTACTTCTCCCACCACGCAGTCTTATACTTTCGGAGGTAGTACATGAAGAAGAAGTTCGCGTAGAAGGCACCGGTAAGGTAGGAAAGGTTGTTGGGAGCCCAAAAGAGCATGCCGTTGAGGACCAGAGAAGGATGGACGTGCTTGAACGCACCAATGGGCTTGAAGAGAACCCAGTTGAGGGGAGTGTAGAGGGCTGAAGGGAGAACACGCTTGGCACCGTTGCGGATAGCACCACCGTAGTTCTTAAGACCCCACCAAAGGAGAGCAAGAAGGAAACCCAAGAGGAAGCAGTACTTCATAGCAGGGTAGATTTGCGAGAAGATTCTCTGGGGACCAATGGCACCCCACACCACGGATGCAGAGAAGTAAACTTGCGATCCATTTGCGCAGTTGAATTTGGCGGGTTGGTCTGGCGTGCAAATACCGTCAATATCGGTGTCAACAAACTGAACGACGCCATAGGCCACCAGAGCGGTGATGACGGAACTGATGACTTGTCCACGGTACATGGCACGAGGGGGAACCTTGGCGTAGAAGCCCATCTTTTGGTCAGAAATATAGGTATCGGCCTGACCATTGATATTGTAGCCGAAGGCCTTGACGAACATGAGAGCCTCAGGGTGACCGGGCAGAGCATAACCGACGATAAGCTCAGTAACGACATTGAGTCCTTCGGTAGTACCTGAAATGGCGTAGAGGTACGACATGGGAATGAGGAAGACGAGGTTGAGACCGATGACGAAGAAGATGGTCCACACAGGGGTATCCAACTGAGGGTACTGGGTGAGGATGATGATGGCAAAGATGAAGGAGATGAGGGCAATCATGAGGAACCACCAGTCAGGCACTTCAGGGTATTTGCGCATCATGTTGGTCAGAGGATCATCAAACTCGTCGTAGATGGAAGTTCCATCATCGAACATGTTGTAGATGTGAGAACCAGCCTCTCTAAGTCTACCCTTGGCCAATGCCCCGAGAGCCTTTCCAGTCTGGCTGAAGATGCGGCGGGTGGTTGAGACCATGGCTCTACCGACAGCCTTGTAGGCGGAGGACAGTGGGCGCCACGCATCCAAGAGAATAAAGACCATTGTGAGAGGGTAAAATGCAAAGAATGTACCGTACACAATCAAGTTACCAGCACTGTAGAATGGCGGAGAGTACGCCTTGTATTTCTCTTCATCAAGAATGGCCGTACCTTTAATAAGGACCTTGGAGATGTTGTACCTATTGCCTTGGTTATCGAAAATACCAGAAGAGTTGATAGGTAGATAGGCGGAACCAGCGGTGTTGGTGTAGTAGAGGGCAAGAATAAGAAGACCACCAAACACGGCGCCTGCGTACTGTTGTGCCACAGAGAAGAACGGCCACGCCAAAGGCTGAAGGATGAGGTTGGTGGAGGTATTCCAATCAAGCGAGGGGAGAGGGTTGAAGCCGAGACCAGAGTTGCCGCCTGTAACCATGGCCAGGTTGAAGTTGTTGGGCGCAATCCAAGTCATCCAAGAGAAGATAGCAAGACCAGTCCAAAGATAGCCAGGGAGCCAGAAGTAGAAGAAACTGGCTGCGAAGATGATGAAGAAAAGCTTGTATCGGGTAATTCTCCAGCCGTGAATAGTTTCCTTGCGATCGGGCACGAGTAGGGCTCTGTTGAGGGCGAGGGTAGGGAGGATGCTGGGCCAAATGGTCTCGACGGGATAGACAACAAAGCGGCGAATCAGGCCGGAGAAACCGAGGCCCATTAGCTGGGTAGAAAGCAGCAGCAAGCAGCCGTATGTAGGGGTCAACCATTGGTCCTTGTAGTAGACAGTCTGGGTCTGAATGTTCCAGAAGCAGTAAGCAGAGGTCAGGCCAACATCGACAATGACGGTGGCCAAAACCTGCTCCTTGTATGACCATGGACCAGGGTTGAGAGAGACACGCTTTCCACGGAAGTTGAAACCCCAATCGGGGAGAATGGCAGCAAGAAGCATACCACAAGGGTAGAGGAACACCTGAACGACGACAGAAGCAATGGTGACGGCGGGGAAGCGAGAGTTGAAGAGCGAGTTGGTGAACTGGGCGACGACGGCCCAAATGTAGCCGAGCAAGTGTGCGCGGATAGTCTCGCAGGGCAAGTCAATGTCATCGTAGGGCTCCGTGATGGCGCGGACTTCGGGGTATGGAGAGTAAAACTTGCAGACAGCAACCTCGGTTTTGAATTCGAGCTCCCACTCGTCCTGGCTCTGCTCCTTGGTTGGGCCGTCCAGAAGGCGGTTCAGCTTCTCGCGCAGCGTGGGCGAAAAGTTGTAGTCAAACTCGTGATCGTGGAGCATCTTTTCGGTAATTTCTCTGCAATCGTCAATGGTGAGAGTATCAATCTTGTCCATGATGTGCACCAGATCCGCCTCGGGGGCGGTTCCGCCGATGCCATCGCCAAGCTTCTCGGCGAGATGGTGGACGGCAGATTCGGTGTGGCCAAGATCGTGGCCGGACTCAGTGACAAAGTGGTGGCTCTTCTCATGGGTCAGCGTCGCCCCGGCGTCCTGAATCTCAGGAGCCTCGTGGGCTCTGTCGTCACTGTTGGACGACATTGCGGGCTAATTGGTAGCACCGCACCAGCAAATGAAGTTGTGCGTGGGCAACAGCAGCAATGGGACGCGATGGGGTGGAGAGATCGCGGCGCAACTACTGAGCCAGACGTCTTGGGGAGGAGAAGCAAGGAATGAAGAGGAAAGCAAAGAAGAGACAAAAGTCTGGGGTGAAGCAGGAATAAAAAAGAAGAAGCACAACCGGCAGCTTGAGTCAGGCCCGGGGCAGGAACGTGGCCGAGTCGGTCAAATTATAAAGTTTCTGGCCATTTGCATTGTTGCCAGCCGGCGCAGCTGTACCAGTTGGGCCAGGTGCAAGCTGCCAACATGCATCTTTGGTGGCGCACACCCCCCAAGGGATAAAAGAGGTGGTGCGGGGTGGTGTGGGCACCTGGTGGCTGCTAGAGGCGCCTCATTGGAAAAGGTCTTACAGGGGGCGCTAGAGCCTTGCGGGGGCGCTTCTGTTGGAGAGGACTCGCTAAAAGTGGAGGGTTCTCCTTCTGGGCCTTCCTCTTCGGTGCATCTATTCCGCTGTGGGAGGCTTTCGGCCGTGTTCAAAGCGCTGGCTTGGGATGCTGTGGCTTGGTCCTGCGACGACGGTGGCGCTCTTGTTGGAGAGAGCAAAAGGACAATAGAAAGTAGTTCGTAGCAATGAATATGATAACAGAAGCACTGCTAATTCCTGGGGCTGACTGGACGGGAATAAAGTCGGCCGTCGCAGCGCTGGAGTACAGTATGGCGCCCGCGTGGTGTCTATGGCGTTTTGTTGCTACGGGCTTGGCTGACGGCATTGTGCGTTGCGCAACGGGTACGGCACCAAGTAGTAACTAATAGCGTCGTCTTTTTTTCTTGTCTAATGCTCAACAGGCTAGCGAAGATATAGCGGCAATCTTAGTGGTTAACTGTGTAGAGGCAGCAGAAGCTAGTGATGTATGTACGGTAGAGCGTAGCGGGGATCCCGGAGCCTGGAACGCTATTATCTGGATTGCCCGGGGCTTGCTATCGTCTCTTTACTGTTCAGACCTGCCTGTATTTTGCAATCCCATATCGCATAGTTATGTACGGGTGAATTGCCAGCTTCTTGTTTGGGCCAATATACAGGGGGTATTAGCGCCCATGCTACTGGGGCAGCATCATCCCGATAGTAGCGACACAGAAATAGCAACACATGAGGAGGTACCAACAATCACAATCGCAGGTAAGCGAGCCGACCTGCTGTCAAAAAAATCCAATTAATCCTTCTCATCACCAACAGGTCGGCTTGCTGTGGGGGGCAGCAATTAAATCTGTGGTTCTGAACCAACACGCAAGGCAGGTGGGAGGGACACTGTTCGGTCGATGTCCTCTGCCTGCACTACCGCTCCAGATTGCTAATTGCGGTAAAGCGTCCACGGGTTCTTCCATACCACGGGCCACAACTGCTTTGGGACGAACAGGAACTTTGTCGAGGCAAAAGTTCTGGGAGCCCACACACATAGTTACGTACAGAGCACGATACCACTAGTTGGGGGGAGGCCCTGTCGGCCCTGCTGGTGCCGATGGCGTAGTGGGGATGTGGGCGCTGGAGATTCAAAGGGCGCTCCACTGGAAACTCAGGCTCTGGGCGATCTCGTGGCTGGTTTGGGCCGCTGTAGCCCGCTGAAAAGGGGAGCCACAGGCGAAGATTGGGGGATTGATCCCCCTGTGGGGTCGAGGGACCTTTTGATAGCTTGGGGTAAGCGGGGGGCCTTGCGCTGAACAAATCATGCTCTCTGATTGGCCAGCCCGCCTTTCACGCCACTGTAGCAAAAGCACCCAAGCCGGCAAAGACGGCATGGCTTGCGTATCTTTGCGGTGGGCCTTCTTTGTTGCTTCTACACAATTGTGCACACAACGCCAGCCTGATTCCTCATCACCTCACAACGCCACATCACCGCCCTTCAGCGAGCGAGGAATGCCACCAATAATTAGCCCATATACTGAACAAATAAGCAGGGGGTATGCTCAGAGGTGTTGATATAGTGGCGGTCAAGTTCTATACTGGTGGCTCGCCTCAATTCCGCTGCCCGTGTTAACTTGATTGGCAGACTCCCGGTGAATTCCCCGGATTTGGGTTTCGCTCTCCTGCAATCCCCGTGGGCTCTTCACCTCGTGGACAATAGCGGCATGTCGCTGCATGCAGCTCGCCTCGTTAGTGTCATGTGCAGATCCCCTCATGAGTACAGGTCTCCAAGTACTTTTTGCTTGGCCTGACAGCCTCATTCACCCACACCATTTTGCACGTTTCCGTTGTCTTGGAATTTATTCTTGACTATAGGTATTATGGAGCAGTCAGTGCTCTGCCCTGGCTACCGCTCCTTGTTATGCATAGAAAACGCCATGTACCGACATACACGCAAACAAGGCGTCTCAGCTGGTGATACCACCACTAGCCCATCCGCTAATGAATTGAGGCTTTCTATAGTTTAGGCACAGGACTATCTGGCTACATTATTGTGGCCTGCAGTGCTAACAATAGTCTGTCGACGATGGCTGATGTCGTTACCACCTCCTCAAGTGCAAGCCCAAGACGCCAACCATCGTCGATATATGAAGGGCATGTTGCGCTGTCTAGACGTCGAATCAACATAGTCGACTGTAAATGCGAGGCATTGGCGAAGTGTTACAAGCCGTCAGGCCGAATAAGGAAGAGACACCTGGAGTGTTAAGCTTATCCATGCAGCGACCAGTAGCAACCACGGTACTTCCACTGTAATGATGCTTGCTGGCACCCAAGAATGTCTTGGACAACACGTGGGTGATGTGCAAACCAGCCGTCGAATACCGGCACTTTGGACTGTTCCCCGCAAGCTCTGGAACCCTTCCGTGTCAACTACCCTTGCAATTGCCTGCAGCTAACAAATGGTGATGGGCGCCGTTGAGGGGGTGGTGCGGGATGCTACAGCACGTACCCACCCACTGCCTATCTCACGGGTGAATGGTGACGTCTCCCCATCTTTCCCTCTCCTGACTCGGTGTATTGTAAATTCAAAAAGGATGTGTTTGCCTTTTGTTCTGTCAGACATTTTTTCTAGAGAACTTTTGTCTCGCTAATGTGGCGCAAACGGAGGCCTTGACTCCGGTTCAATCGGCACGACCAGTAGCAGATTGGGGCGTACTGTTTGACTGATCCCAAAAACGCCCGTTGTGTGTGTGGCGCTCTCTGATAAAACCCCGAGCGCTGGTAAGTAAAGTACGGAACTAGTTCAGCCGTTGCTTCATCGTTGCCAATATCGGACAAGAGGCTTGGCACTTTTGTTCTTGAACCAACTAGAATTCATCCTGTGGCAATATACCGCCCTCACCACCTCACACACCCATTTTGCTGAGTTGGCGCATCTCCCTGATTACGAACTGTTTGAGTCGGACTGCGACCATGTGACAAGAGCGGAAGAAACCTAGATTTTTTTCAGCCCGTGAGTCGCCAACCATTCAGCGGGTAGAACCGCCTAACCGCGAACGCAAGCTAAGTTCGAGTTGGGAAAGGCGCGTAGAGCCTGGTGAGACTCTGTGGCGCTGGTCCTTCCTTGCGCTGTCTTCAGGGGCTGCTCGGCGCCTAGCGATCCCCTTCGTTTATGCTAAATTTCCCAGACAGTCCCAGCTTAACTACTTTAGGGGCGGGCAGCCGATGCAGACACAAGCACGCGACCTGTCTTACTACGCATCCTTTGCAGATTGCCTAATACAGAATGTGGTCCGAACCGTACAGCCTGATAGACAAGTTGTGGTAAAAAAAACAAGATAGCAGGACAAATCACAAGCCGAGGTTCACTGGTATCAATACGGCGTTTAATTGCGATTCCTTCAACTAGTATTCATCATTGGTCAGGAAACTTTGCTTCAACTACCATTATTTACTCAGTATTTACAAATGCCAGCCTCTGTGGGACTGTACCGAAGATCGGTCCTCTACAACTTTCCCTTAGCCGGCAGCAGTTGGCTGTAGACGGCGGCCTCGAGATCCTGATACAGGCGCGCGACAACTTGATCGCCATGTGGTCGAATGTTTAAAATTAAAACGGCTCCAATTCCCGTTGTTGGGTCAATCCACTGTTTTGAAGGTCAGCAATCACTTTGGAATAAAAGGTTATTTGACGTGAACAACGTACCCATCGCGAGCAATGTATTCCGCTCCAAGCCATGCTCATGGCTCGCCGCTTGCCCGGCACGTTCTCTGTGTTCAACACGCCTCCCAGGCCGTGGTTCAATGGAACAGGCGAATCGAATTCGGCCACAAAGGTGTTCTTAACAGTAGGGTGGAAGGCTACTCTTTCCAGCCATTGGCGTTGGGCATCGCCGAGCTGGGGGCGAACCATTTCCTGCGAAGTTTCAGACTTGAGCAGCTTGTTATCGAGGAACCCACGCAAGACACAGGCATAATCGGCAGCAGTAGTGAAGAGACCACCACCACCTGAGTCAACTTCGTGATGCTGATCAGGAAGGATCCATCCAGACTCGACAAGCTTGCCAGTTTTGGGGTGTCGAAGGGAATTGACCACTGTTCGATCTTCGACATGAGGCTTGCGCATTCTTCGAAATCCCGAGTCCTTCATTCCTAGCGGGCCGAATATGTTGGCTTGCATGTAGTCACCCAGCCTCTGTCCAGTGACATGCTCTATAACGAGGCCGGCCCAGTCGGTACTGACGCCATATGTGAAAAGCTCACCAGGTTCGTGGCGCAATGGCGTTGATACCTCCTTGACGCTCCAATGGACACGGCTCACCTTGTTACCCTGTTGCCTAGACCACTTGAGCAACTTTGGGTCGGAAAATTCGTAGCTGAAGCCCGACGTGTGCGTCAAGAGATGCCTGAGCGTGATGGGCTTGGTATTGCTCTTCATGAGGGGTTTATCATTGTCATCAAATCCGGTAAGAATCTGTACTGTCTGGAAATAGGGAATCTTGGGTCGCAAGTCTTCATCAAGAGTAATAAGACCCCTTTCCACTAACTGCATGGCGGAAATGGATGTCAGTAGCTTGGTGAGCGACGCAACCCATGAGTAGGAGTTGTCGGCAAAGGCCGGCGATGATTGGGGGCCATCCAAGCGCCCCGAAGCACCGGAATAGATGGTTCCTGAGACATCGACATTGTTAGTGTGCTCGCATTTGGTCAGCCTGTGCAAGTAGTCGTGCTTACCGTTGCGATCTGTCACCACAAAGGCGGCGCCGAGAACCTTGCCGACTGTCTCATCGCCCTGCGCGGTGTACGACGCCAGGATTCTGTCGAGCTTCTCCATCACTTTGTCGTTTATTTGCTATTTCGAAACTAAATTGCTTGCAACTGATGTTTGTACAAGGCAAAATCACTCATGAAACAATATTGCAAAGCAGCTGGCGGCGTTTTGTAGAATCCCCGGTTTCTCGCTGTGGATTTCTCGCGGGCCTCGGCTTCCAGGACCGGCGAATCGGCTGAGTGTTTGCGGCCGCCCGTTAAGCCGCTGGGGTAGAGCGGGAGGCTCTGCCGAACCTGGGGTAAATTAACAGGACGTGCATGAGGTAAGAGAATATGCGTGCTGGAAAGTAAAAACAACGTGTCGTTTATTTGTTGGACTCTAATATTACACGTGCTAACTAACTACTGTAACTCCTAGGCTATTGTGCTGTGGCTACTAAGCCATTGTGTTATGCTGCAGTAGCGTCCGTAACCGTTAACCTTCGATGTCTCCGACTCTCCGCCCCCGCACGATAATGGGATAGTTGACAGCGGGTACCAGTATATTGCCGTCTATTCTATATGAAAGAGCTACGTTTAGCTTAGCTACGCCTCAGTACCTACGTTTTACCACCTACACGGCAGTAAAGCGGCAAACGATCCTCGGTTGTTGACTGGTAACGGATGGATCGGAATTGTAAGAATACGACGACAACGACCACAGCCCTGTCGACCCTGTGCTAGAGTCATCGCTATCTCTGCTTTCTTTGCATATCATCTTCCGTCTCTTGAGACTAAGACTCCAAGGTCCCTCTGGCTGTAACCAGCGTCGCCGATATGGTCGGCTCGGCACCTTGCCCCTGCGAGTTTTCCATACACCCTTGGCCCACGATCGCCACCGCCATCGGCCTCGACCGCGAAACCGAAAGCGCTGTCTTGCTTTCAGTGACCGTATGAGTTTTTCCGTGCCACTGAGCTTCTTGAACGTAAACCTTGGTCTTCCTCGCTGCGCTACACATTTAGGGTCTGGGCAGAGACGAAATCGCATCTTGGGCGGTAGGGTAGGCAGAGTCGGCCACGTCTCGGCCACCCATGGATGCGAGTAGTCAGCTGGATGCCTGTCACTGCGCGGGAACCCGTATTTGTAGGACCTTGAGTCTATATTACAGTAGGAGGGGAACGCGCCAGCAAGCGCATCACGCGCTGCAGGATCTCTGCGCCCGTCATACCAGAGGGCAAATAGCATCTGATACCGCCACTCCAACTGGTCCTCAGCAATCAGCTTTGCGTACTTGCCCGTTTGCAACATGTTCTTCCACACTTCGCGCCAGGCCACGCGCTTTTTGTACTCGTCTACCGCGAATCTATCCCAGAGAGCATAGTAGTCGGACAGCGCATCCATATCGTCGACGTCGACATCTTGGCAGGGCTGCTCTGCCAGTCGACCAAAGAGGTTCGTTGTCGCAGCCTGACGGCGCGTAATGTGAATGGTCACCTCTCAGTTGTGCGTACCATGAAAGAGATGGCTCTACATTGCTTAACTAAAGAAACGAAAGGTCATGTAGTGCTCTGTAATATACATCGTATAAATTGAGGAGATTGTCTAGGTTTTGCCTTTTACATAACATTCCGGGTAGCCCGCTAATCGTGGATGGTATACCCGGCGCTTTTAACCACTAATGGATTAATTAGTAGCGGCAGCTACGGGCGTATCCTTCTTCACCATATCCTCCATGGCATCCATCAAAAACTGAACCGTCTCATCTGGCCGGCTAAGCATGGGCGAATGGCTTGCTTGGACGCCCTTTTGCGTGACATCAGCCCCCTGGCCAACCACCATCTTGACGAGGTACTCCTGCATAGCAGGCGGGAGAGCGTGGTCCTGTTCAGTAACCAAGTACCAGCACGGGACATCTTGCCAGCCCGCATAGACGTGCTCGCCGCCCTTTTGCAGCGCATGTACCGACTGCTTCTCCAGCTTCGATACCCACTCCTGGCCCTCGTCCTCGGGTAAGTCGTGATACATCATGTCGCGCGCGTCGACAACAATGTCTGCAAAGCCCGTCTCCTCGTTGATGACCCATTGAGGGGGAGGCTGGCCGTTGTTTCCGTCGAGCATGCTCATTCCTTCAATAGCAAAACCGGTAGCCATCAGAGCAACGCCAATCACATTGCCGTGGGGTTCTGTGGCGTTGCGGGACGCAGGGCCCGAGTGCGGCTTGCGTGTGAAGCCGCGCACGGCGCTGACGCCGACGAGGCCGCCGTACGAATGCACCACCACGATGACGTCGTTTCCGGACGCCGTCTCGGCTTCAATAGCGGTGCGCGCTGCCGTCACGTCATCGAGAAACGTTGCGGCAGCATCACCGGTTGTTGATGGCAAAGTAATGGCCACGCATTTGTAACCCCGCTCCGTGAGCTGCGCGGAGACTTTGTCCCAGACGGAGGCATTGTGCCATGCGCCGGGGACGAGAACAAAGGTCGGCTTCGGGGAAGAGGACATCTTTTGCGGGATACGGCGTATACGACAATATACGGTGTGTTGTGGTGAACTGAGGAGGTGGGCGAATGAGTGAGTCAGAATGATCTGGTGCTTTCTCAAAGAGGTAATTGTTTAGCGTACGGTGTGACTTGTGAATCACTAAAGGTGCTTAACTACAGCAAAGTTCACGGCGCCACGAGCCTTATCCTCCAGTATTTATATTCCAGCCGTGCCTACACTAACCTCAGGCAATTGTTCGTTGTGATTTCCATCTCTGACTCTTTTTTCCTTCTCTCGTGATCGACGGGACTCAAGGAATAATTTCTCCGTCGCTTTTGCTGGTATTCCCCAGTCTTTGCCTTCCGATTCCTCTTCGTCTCGGCGCCGGAGCCACCGTCCACTGCAAAATAAGCGCAGTGGGAATACACCGAGAGCGCTTCTTAGCTGGTGGGAAATGGCCGCCAACACGCAACAAGCGCCGTCGCCGCCGACGCCGACATATGACTTGGACCTCCGGGCACGGCTGCCTCCGACATGGCATGACGCCAATTTCCAGAACTGGGCCGTGATGCGCAACTACAAGGTTGTGGAAGGCCCGATTGTACCTTGCTGTCTCCGCCACGATCGCGGGAACGTCCGAGAATGCGGCGCCCTGATGCCAGACAGAGAGACGGTGCATACTGTCGCCAATGCAATTCGGGAGGAAAACTCATCGCTGATATTTACAATAATCAGTGAAGGCAATGAGCCATATATCGAAATGGCCAAGGAGGAAGGGCTTACCATTGTGTGGACAAAAGAGTTCGCCATGGCCATTGATCTAGCGAGAGCAGACCCAACGCCTGTAATCTACGAGCACCCAGAGCTTCATATGGAATGTATTCAGGAACGAGGCTTTACTACCATTAACATCAAAAGGGGGGACACGCTAGCAGCGACAGCCAGGATGATGGTCTCCCAGGAACTTGCTACAGTGGACTATGTCGCAACTGAGCCCGGCTTTCGCCGACGCGGACTCGCGAGCGTCATCATGAAGGCGCTAACGGCACAGGCGGTCCAAGAGGGTGCTAAATTCGGTATGCTGTATGCTACGCCCGAAGGTCGTATGCTGTACAAAGCTCTTGGTTGGAAAGACGTCTACCAGGGCTTAATTGTTGGCAACAAGGAGACAAACGATATGCTAATGGCTCAGCGCGCTGCCAGAGAAGCGGCAGCATCTACGTAACAAGAGCAAACCAAGGCGGCTGCTTCTTCATAGGGTATTCAACCTTGCCCGGGGAAGCGCAATATAAAATTACTATTATTATGCATTTTTAGACGAAGATTTATACACTAGCTTTTTGTAGAGGACAAATAACGCCCAATATGATTCCGTAGCTCCTCGCCATTCTCAAACACCGGGCTCTGCCACTCCAACTCATCGTACTCCCAATACTTTGTATCAGAAACCGTCAAGCCAAGTCTACGCAGCACATTACCGCTCTTTTCATTGTGCTTCATCGACTCGGCAATAAACCTCCTCGCACCCCTTTCCTTTACTGCCCAATACATCACAGCCGTCATGCCGCGCGTCACCACGCCACGGCCTCTGCTCTCGGCGCTGAGTCCGTACCGCAGCTCAATCATCTCCTGCCACGGCGGCAAGTTATCGCCCTTCATGGGTTCGCCCGTGCATGTTGTCGCATCCCGCACACACACGTAGCCCAGCCAGCGGAGGTTCTCGAGGAACTTGCCCTCGTCCATGGCCTCCAGCTTGGCCAGCTCCTCGCCCTCGACGACACAAGTATCCACTACCTCATTCTCGCTCAACTTGCGCCACCCAGGCCGCAAGTCGTCTACTAGAAATTTGTAGACGGACGGGATGTCGGCGAGCGCAAAGTCGCCCATGCCGCGGACTTGCCATCGCAGCTTGGTATCACGGTCACCAATCTCCTTGACTTCGTCGTCGGTCCATGTCCGCGGTGGGAAGTGGTCTCCAAAGGCTGTCTGGCAGAAGTCGATGTCGGCGTGTAGTTTACTGAATAAGGCGCGATATGAGGCGACGTTGCGAGAGCTGGGCGATGGGAGGAATAACAAGTCGCCTACAACAAGGGCGAAGGGCGTGTGATGGTATTCCATTGTTTGCGGAAGTGGTGTTTGTTTTTTCTGGTGACGATGGTGTAAATGTGGAGGATGACGGTTTTTAATAACAGCCTTCTATAAAACATCCACAGCCTCATCATTATGAGTCATGCCGGGCAAGTGGACAACAAACAACGCTGATCTAAATGCGCGTTTTAATTAAATTTATTCATTCATTCATTTGGATGAAATATTCGTCTATTTTTATAAATAGGCATTCTCGACACAGTTGAGTCTTGGGGGGGGGGCACGCTCTGAGGAGAATCAGGACAAGGCTGTGTGTATAAGTGGCGCTAAATTCAAACTACATGCTAAAAATCGATCCTGTCATAAAGTAAAAGTAAAAAAACAAAAGAGCAAAGTCATGACTAGAGCTGCTTCTTTGCGGGCAACTCAGATGATTCAATCTTCCACGCATCCTTCTGGTACGTCTGCGGCCAGATGCCATTCTTGCCCGGCGCCAGAATACCCTTTGGATCCAGCGCATTCTTAATCGTCTCATTGAGCTTCATCAGCGCATTATCGTTAAAGTTGTACGTATTCGCAATCTGGTCCATGACGGCAAGATGCGTCCTGTACTCGCCCCAGCCGTACTCGGCGCAATCCTTGATGAGTGTCTCGATGAGCCAGTGCGCGCGTCTCTTGGACTCGGCGCTTCCCCTGTCAAACGTGATGCATACAATGTGGTCTGCGCAGGCGTGTTAGTTCTATATGGTCTACATTAAAAATAAAACAGAGGGAACTTACGCATCTCGCGCATACCAATCACAAAATCACCAATAAAGTCGATACCCGCCTCGCGACATCGCCGGCTCGTCACTTCAAATTGCTTCATTGCGTCGTCACCGGAGACCTTGGCAATGGGCGAGAAGAAGAGATGCGATCCATTGGGCATCCAGTTGACCCAACGCAACTCATCATACGACGGAATACCTTGCATTGTCTTTTCACGGGTCTTGAGCACAGAGTGTGGCTCAGTGCGGTCTTCAGGAAAGTAAAACTTGGCTCCGGCAATGGTGGAAAAGGCCTGCTTGATGACGCTCCAGAGCACATTGCGCACAGGCTCGGGTCCATAAAGAGCCCCATAGAAATTCCAGCGGCCAAGATCGAGATCTTTGCACATCTTGTCAAGCTCTTCTTCGGTAAACGGTCGGTCTTCTTTGAGGTAGTGCTCGCGAGGGTTGGCGACGGCGGCGTCCATGATGATGGAGCGCAGCGTGGGGACGTTTTGCAGCACCATTTGCTTGGAAAGGTTAGCACTATCCAAACTGGATCGGAGACGAGACATACAGTTCTCAGAGGTCGGATGATTTCAATAGCCGTGTGCAGGTCCTTGTCAGTGGGAATCGTAATCATGTACGCTTGGTATCCGCCTGGGTTCGGCATGAGCCAGATGCCCATCTTGGTGGTGATTCCAAGACTGCTCTGCGTAAAGATGCCATCATTATAAGGACCAAATCCGTAGTTGAAGAGCTGCCATGCTCGGTTGGGTGGGTGCTGATCAGGACTGAGGCCTTGTGTTGAGCCCTGGGAAGGATCAGGCATTGCGCCCATACCAGTTCTCACTAGTTCACCGTTGGGAAGCACAACCTCGAGGCCACAGTGCATCATAAAGTGATCTGCTTGTATTAGCTTCACTCACAGTAATGAGTAATAAAGACATGCTTACCTCCGTAGGGAGTGTAGCCGACGCCACGCTCAATCGCATTTCCAAGGACAGAGCCGCCACCTAGATCTGGTACGTCAAGCCATACCTTATCTCGAAGATTGTTGTCTACTAAGTACTGGTGCAAAGCGGCATATGTAACGCCGGGCTCGACCAAAGCATAAGCATCCTGGGCGTTGACCTCGATGATGCGGTTCAAGTGGCGACCCATGTCCAGACAGATGCTACCAGGCACACGAGGTGCTGCACCGCCATAGCCGGTGTTTCTACCAATGGAAAATGGCCACATGGGAATATCAAACTCATTGCAGAGCTTCACTATTTCCTGTACTTGGGGCACGTTGCGGGGAGCGACTGTCGCCGAGCAGACAAAGTAATCTTGATCGATGATGTGGTGCATATCGTGTGTCTTATTAGGTTCCATGTAGGTGCCATCTTTCAGTTGCTCCTTTGCTTCGACAATTGCAATATTCTCATCGCCACTGATTCCACGAACACGTTCAAGGAAGCGTGCAAACGTCTCGGCGTCGATTCCAGGCGGCAGAACCATGGGTTCTCCAGGCTTGGACTGGCCGCGCGCACTGGGAACTTTGAGAGTAGAAGCCATACTGATATAAGTTGCTAACAGTGTAAGTCTTGACTTGGTAGAATATTTGGTAGAATTAAAAACCTCAGAGTGGAGGTGTTGGGAGATCGTCTCGCATTATGCATCTTATAGCGGGCGATCTCCTGTAACCAGGCTGTGTGGCGGGGATTGGTACGTAGCAAGTGCTTGATCCGAACGAGAATGCGGGGAATCCGAATCGGCCGAGTGCGCGATCCGAAGCCGCACGAGGGGAAATTGTGCGGGGGAATAGAATGCATTGTTGGGAACTGAAGCCGATAATTCCAATTCGATTAAATAAAAGAGTTGTTTCTTTGGCGGATTCCTGCTGCTGGTGCTGTTACCTGGATGGTTACGCTCTGCTAAGGAGAGCCGCTTACACGCACCAACCAAGACGCTAGCAAATGGCCCAGGTTCTACGGTCTCAGGCGGCAGTTCTTGTTGCGCCGAATCAAAACCTCGCGATTCAAGAACGAGATGTTCCCAGTGCAGGCAAAGGATGCGTCAATATCCAAGTTGTTAGGGCCGGCGTCTGCGGTACCGATCCGCATCTCTGGCGAGGCGATTTGCCCGTGCCCGAGCCTGTTGTGCTGGGCCATGAAGGTGTTGGAAAGATCCTCGAGCTCGGTGAAGGCGTCACCAAAGACCATGCCGGTCAGGATATAGCTGTTGGTGATGCCGTCTACTGGAATCCCATCCGCCCTTGCAACGCCTGCTACGACTGCACGATTAGCCAGGACATGACGGCCTGCGAAAACGGTACTTTTTGGTCTCCGGCTAGCAATCCGCAAGTATGGGCATCTTATACACAAATAGCTACTCTACTGCCCAACAATTCCTTCTACAAAATCGATGATACCGTCCCGCTAGACGCATATATAGCTCTGGGCTGCGCTTTGCCCACTATGCTTCAGGCCGAGCACAATCTGGGTGGCATCAAAACTGGCAGCAAAGTCGTCGTCCAGGGCGCCGGGCCTGTTGGTCTCGCAGCCATCATGCTTTCGAAACTCGCCGGCGCAGAAACCATCATTTGTATCGAGGCCAATGCTGCAAGACTCGACCGCGCTCGCGACTTTGGCGCAAAGCACTTAATCAACATGACAGAGCCAGATCTTAGCACCAGCACTAGCCGGCGCAGTAAAATCTGGGAATGGATACAAACCCGCGGCGCCGACCTTGTCATCGAATGCAGTGGTAATGCAGCCGCCTTTGAAGAAGGTGTCGAGCTTCTAGGGCGAAGTGGGCAGTATCTTGTCGTGGGCACATGGGCTGGGTCTACAAAAGTCAACATCTCACCTTTTGACATTGTGCGCAAGGCGCTCAAGATTACTGGATCAACGTATTGCTCGCCCTGGTGCTACTACAAAGCAGCCAAACTTGTTGCGGCGCATCATACGCAGTTTCCACTTACACGTACCGTTACGCACCGGTATGCGCTCCAAGATGCACAACACGCCCTCGAGGACGTGGCACAAGGCAAAGTTGGGAAGGCAGTGATTTACCCTCAAGGTTTGCAAGACGAGTAATGCAGACCAATTGTATTTGTCAAATTGCATGTGCCATGGCGCAGCTGCTGCAGTTGTAGACGCCGCATGGCGCTAAAGTCGCATGGCGCCGGAGATTCCCCTCCCCCGCACGGAGCTGTCGCATTACCGGAGATGGCTTGGTGTTGGGTTGCGTGTTAACTTTTTGTAAAATATACACAAATCAAAGAATACAATATGATTACTGTCAGACTAATCTAGCCTCCTCATTATACTTTCAGTGCACGTCATGGCGAGACGCAAAGTCAACCCGCTGCACCGCAAGCGCGTGGCGGCAGCGTGCGATACATGTCGGCGGCGCAAAGAGAAATGCGACGGTAAACTGCCTTGCAAACACTGTATTGTGCGATTTGTTACACAAACTTGCGCATATGAAACATCGCGGCAGAAAATTGTGAAGCGCAAGTCGAGTTCTGCTGTGCAAGTCGTTCCGGATATCGCACCACTTACACCCATGGTGGTTACAACTGTCGCGTCGTTGAAGCCGATAAGAATGCTCAAAGATAGCAAAGGAAAACTATGTGAGTATTAAAACAATTATCTAGTATTATAATACATCGAATTGACATTGATGAAACTGCAGACTACATTGGAGAATCCGCCTCGCTCAGCTATCTCCAGGTTGTCCGGCGCAGTGTCGCCGAAACCGTCGGAGCATGCGCTTTTACTCTCGACACTCTCGGCCACCAGATGATTGAAGTCGAAATGTCTGCCAATCTTCACGCCATCCAATCGGAACCGTATCTCGACCGCGATTCTTGTCTTGCACTAGTCCCTCAGTTTGAGCTGGCTGTAAGCGGTGTGCTGGACCTCTTCGACACAGCCTGCATTCACGCTCGGATGATGATATGGCTGGACGACCCCAATAAAAGCAATACAAAGGATGCCCCCATACTGTTTCTCATCTTAGCCATTGCATCTCTCGCTAGTGCGGCCGATACCGCCCAAGAAGACAATGCGGAGCGATGCTTCACCTTTGGCAGGCAACAGGCCATCCTACGACTCCTCGACTGCCCGAGCCTCGAAACCGTACAAGCATTCAGTTTGATCACATATTATATGATCATGTCCTGCCGCTGCAATGGCGCTTTCACCAATCTTGGCATTGCCGCGCGGACAGCTTACTCCCTCGGCATTCATCGCCACGAGACCAACAGCTCCTTTGCCCGCGAAACGGGTATCGCCCGCGAGAGAGCTTGGAAGTCACTCCGGGTTTGTGATCTCTTTCTTAGTGCCACAATGGGAAGACCACCCGCTACGTCGGAAACTGATTGCAACATCCCGTGGTCTGACCTCGCGACCCTAGCCGAAGACCCGGACATCTCCGTCCAACACCAAGCAGCATCGGCTATTTTCCGTGTTTGCCTCATTTTTGAGCGTATTCTCATTGAAGTGTATTCGCAAAAGACAATGTCTCTTGATCTAGCCGCCAGTATCTCCAGCCAGCACCGCGAGTGGTCCGAGTCGCTGGCGGCCATGCTCAAAGTCGACCGGCTCGTCAAGACAGAAACAAGTATGGGCCGTTCTGCACAGAAGCTCGGATCACATATCGTATCCATGGCCTTTTATTATTCTCTCATTCTTCTCTCACGGCCATTCCTCGCGCACTATACCAGCGCAAGCCATACTACCGAAGAATGGCTACAGGATACGTCGCCCGCCAGCATAGCGATATATGCCGATGCGTGTACGGATGCAGCTATCAAAGGCATCCAGCTGGCGAGCAACATTGCCTTTGATGACAGAATGCCCAAGAGGCAGCCCCTTATCATTAATAGTGTCTTCATCTCTGCTTTGTGTCTTGGTCATGCGCACCTGGGCGATTACGACCAGCGAGGGTGGCCTATCCGAAGCAGCCTTGACACAGCGATAGCCATACTCCAGAGACTAAGTGGTAGAAATCCCCAAGCGGCATGTTATGTAGAAATCTGCGAACACTTGCGTGAAGCCACTGCGATGCATGTACAGAAACGTACCAAGACGCTGCTCAAAGATACAGAAGAGCAGCTGCGCAGCGTGTTTGGCGATGTACAATCAGCACTAAATCAATGCGATGCTGAAACTGAAGAGGATATGTTTGGTGTACAGGAAAATCATGACGATGGCTTGTTTCTTTTTTCGGCCCTCGACTTTGACTATCCAGGCGATTACCCAGATCCAGATACCGCGCAAATATGGGAACCCAGTTTCTAGCCATGGAGACTTTTTCGTAGTCTGATACGTGCTTCTGAACTTAGACATGTTATAGTTATATCAACAGACAATTTAATATTTATTAAAGAAGTAATACACTATTATATGCTTTAACACAAGTTACCAGTAAAGCGGGCCACCTCAGTAAGCGGTTCATCCCAAAATACAGCGTATTTTGGAAAATGCAAAACAATATATATATGATTATTTTGTTAATATTTATCAGTCTAAGTTGGAATTCTGGTTATGTTTTAAGTATCTTGATTTTACAGTGAATTGGCGTGGCCCGCTTACTGGTAAATTCCAGTAGTGGTTCTAGAGTGCTAGATTTATATCCGCGGGTATTACGCAACTATGCTGCTTTCTTCTTCATCGGAGACCACTCTACTAGAGCAGAGCCTCCAATTGTAGCAATTTTCAATCCAACTGGCAAGTACAATGTCTAAACGACAGCCTGGTCATACGCAAGTAAAACGTCTCGGAGCCGGTCACTGCCCACGATCTTTGAAATATCCGATAATCCGGCTTGTGAGAGAACCGTGGAATTAACAGATGGGGCATGCGTTGCAATTTCAACAACAAGCCGGCTTTAAGAAATGCTACAGATACCAAAATCCAGATCGCGTTGCCGACATTGGCTCCAAACACAATAGCTACAATGCCAATAGGAAGATCATCGGCCTTCATTATAGCTTGTAAGGCTAGTGTTGGGGTCTGAATTCCAATACCAGTCGCTATACCAAGAAATTCTAGAAGACATGACGCCTTGGCCACGCCTTCATCAAGTTGGATGGTAGTTAGTAAACCGGATGCTACAGGTGCTAGCAACGTATACGCGAATAATAATCAAAGCAGACGAAAACACAGACGTAGATGGATTGCTTTTCTGTACCTGGTATTTGATTATTACTTTATCTTTTTACTATCTTATGTTGCCGATACTGGTTGCTGCTCAGTCCATCGATCTCAGTCTCTATCCATCACCACTAATCTTATGGATTAGAAGCGTTAGCATTAAATCACAAATAATACAGCTTTAATGCTACTGATAATTAATCCATTCATTCCCTCTAATTTATTCTATATTGAATACTTATTGACAAGTTGCGTTGAGCTCTTCTCATGACGTCATTGTCGTTGGTTGTGAGATACAAGGTAGCCTGGCTATAAGTGACCAACAGAACATGGCGTTGATTCAAAATGTAGCCTGTTCGGCACATTACAGAATGCATCTCACCATAAAGGAGATATTTAGCTTAACTCCATGGCAAACAAGGAGATAACTCCCATCCGGGAGGCACTTTTCTAAAATCCGGTTCCCCCGCACTATACGGTCAGGCTGCGGCTCCCTCTTCCGAAGCACAATAGCTCGGGCCGGTACCACTTTGGGAAATACACGAGCCGGATACTTCCCTAAATCCGTTAATTTATTAATTAGTCGGATAAACGCGTTTAATTGGTCTTCTAAATTTGGCTAGACACTCTCAGAGGCTGCTAAACGAGCACCCCAAAAAAGTATTTTAACAACACCGGCTCACTCATCACGACGATTTACCAACAGTACAGACACAATTGCTAACATGGGTGACCAAATTCCAGATGAAGGCTTCTCTGGCCTCTATGATACTCCTGTGGAAAACCATAGGCGTATGAGAGTTGTGATTATTGGCGCAGGGTTCTCGGGTATATACCTAGGTGTTAGGATTCCACAACGTCTACGCAACATTGATCTTGGCATTTATGACAAGAATGCAGGTGTAGGAGGAACATGGTATGAGAACAGGTACAATCATCTCCGTCATCCTTTTCTACCGGCATATTACTGACTAACGTTTTAGATATCCCGGCTGTGCGTGCGATGTGCCGTGTAAGCCTGCCCAATCTGTTCGCATTAATCAGTTACTAATACAGTCACAGCTCATTCATATCAGTATGCATTTGCACCCAATCCGCGCTGGAGCAGCCTATATGCTCCTGCGCCGGAGATTCTGGCGTACTTGACGGGCGTCGCTGAGCGATTCTCCGTCTTGAGATTCGTCAAGCTTCAGCATTTGGTACGCAAGGTTGAGTGGAGGGCCGATATTCGTAAATGGTACGCTACCCACAGAATAAAAGAAGAAGTATGCTAACATGGACGGCAGGAACATCACTGTCAACAATCTCGTTACTGGAGAGACCTTTTTCGACGAAGCAGATGTCGTAGTAAACGCTAAAGGGGCTCTAAATACGATGCGTTGGCCAGACATCCCGGACTTTGATTCACTAGCAATCCCGGTGATGCACTCGGCCAAGTGGAATGACTCGTTAGTTATCTGTTTTCTCGCCGCGTTCCAACTTTTGCTAACACCCCCAAAGCATTTCCTTCGAAGGCAAGCGTATTGGCATCATCGGTGGTGGCAGTAGCGCTATTCAGATTGTTCCCCAGATGCAGCGTGTCAAGGACTCCAAGCTAAGCTGCTTCGTGCGCAGCAAGACATGGATCGCCAAACCGTTCGGAGACACCATTATGGGTGATCTTGGCTTGGAAGAAGCATCTAGTAAGCTTATTGCCTCTGTTAAGAAAACAGGATAGTAACACCGTCAGTTCCTGAACAACTTCGCGAGCGCCTTGCAACAGACCCAGAGTTCCTCCATCAATTCCGCACCATTGTAGAAAAGCGCGGAAACTCAATGCATGCTTTAACCATCAGAGATTCGCCTCTACAAAAGTTTGTTCGACCGATCATTGAGAATCTCATGCAACAAGGTCTTGCGAAAAAGCCCGAGATTCTAGAGGCCCTTCTCCCAGATTTTGGCGTAGGATGCAGACGACTTACGCCAGGACCGGGTTATCTCGAGGCCCTGACCGCTGATAATGTCGATTTCATCACAACTCGCATCAAATCTGCATACGCAAACGGCCTCGAACTTGACGACGGCACCAAGGTGGAACTTGATGTTCTGATCTGCGCAACAGGCTTTTACACTGGACTTGCACCTCCGTTCCCCATAATTGGTATTAACGGCCAAAGCTTGGAGAGTCGCTTCGCCGAGTTTCCCGAAACATATCTTTCCATTGCCACAGATGGGTTCCCCAACTTCTTCTTCATGTGCGGTCCAAACGGAGCTATCGGTACAGGTCCTTTAACCACCATACTCGAGTCCATGGGCGACTACATTGTCAAGTGTATTCGCAAGTTGCAGCGGGACAATATCCAGGCTATGGAAGTTCAGCCGCAGCGAGTCCAAGACTTTGTGGCATATATGGACCACTACTTCAAGAAGACAGTATACACGGATTCTTGCCACACATGGTATAGTCGAAACGGGAGAATCACCATGATATGGCCGGGAAGTTCCTTACACGCCATGGAGACTTTGAGATCGCCCCGTTGGGAAGACTGGAACTATATATATCGGGGCGAAGAAGAAGGCGGTAAAGAGACGAACCGCTTGGGCTGGTTAGGCAATGGCTGGTCGGCGCCGCAGCTGGATGACAGTCAGGGTGATATTACGTATTTCGTGAATCCGGAAGAAGTTGATGTGCCATCCGAGCCGCTTCCGGAGAAGACGGCCGGTAATGTTCGACGAGCATATTCTTATTAGACTATATATCTGCATCAATCCATACTATCGTACAGTGCCTTGAAGGCAGATCCTGGCGTTCCGAGCAACGTCTTGGGGTTGCCGATTTCTGCAATCCTTCCGTGGTCAAGCATTACAACCTTGTCAAAATCCATGATTGTGTGTAGCTTGTGTGCGATGGAAATCAGTGTGCGGTCCTCAAAGCGGGTTCGCACAACTTTTTGCAAGATTTCATCCGTGTCCGAATCGACACTTTTAGCATCTGTTAGCACGTATTCCATCTTACCAGACTTGGTGTACTTGCCTGCTAGTCGCCTCGTCGAAAATTACAATCTTTCCGGGTTTGATAATGGCACGGGCGAGACAGAATAGTTGGCGCTCGCCATGTGACAGCGCTGTTTCGCTGAGCTCTTCATCAAGCCCACCACGTCCTTTGAGCAACTCCCATAGCTGAACAGCTTGGAGGGCATCGATAATGGCCTCGTCGGTAGCCAGACGCAGAGGATCCGCATTGTCGCGAACGCTACCGGGGAAGAAGAAGGCACCCTGAGATATGGTGTTGATTCTTTCCCGAAGAAGTTCATGTGGAATCGTGTTGATGTTGACACCATCTACCATGATCCTTCCTGAGGTAACCTCCAACATGGCCAACAGTGAGGATATCATGGACGACTTGCCGCTGCCAGTTCTGCCACAGATGGCCACCTTTTCTCCCGGCTGGATCTGCAAGCTAATATTGTTAATGGAAGGAGCAAGCTGCTTTTCATAAGTTGCGGAGAGGGATTCAAAGTCCACAGATCCTACGCTTGGCCAGCTCTGCGGCAGGATGGCAGTACAATCACTGTCGTCCTCAACTTCGGTGTCCTCCAGGAATCTCTTGACACGGGCAATGGCACCAATCGAAGCCTCCAAATCAGTCCATGAGATTACAAGGTCCTCCAAGGTCTCGCTAAAGTAAATGACATTGAAAAGTGCCACTCCGAGCAAGCCGCTGGAGAACCCAGGTAGACTGAGAGAGCACCAGACAAGGAAAACGGTGAGACCGGCCACCAGCAGCTCCAGCACCAGTGCAAGCCACGCTTCAATCTCCTGGAGATAGAGGAACGGCTTTTGGGAGTCATTGAGGAGCTGGTAGTTTTGATCCTCATAGGCTTTGGTCCAACCGTACGCACGAATGGAGCTGATGCCGACACCAGTTTCAAGAAACAGTGAAAAGAGCGGCGCCTTTGTTTCGAGTCCAAGAAGACGAATCTCACGCGACGTTTTCAGATAGTAAGCTTGAAGAGGATACAAGATAATAATGCAGAGGGGGACAGCAAATGCCATGTAGAAGGATCCGAGGCATATCATAATGGCGGCGATGATGGTACAAACCAACTCGACAAGAACGGCTTCAATGGCATTTGGCCAGTCATCGTCAATCAGGTCCAAGTCCTGACCGAATCTGCTTGTCAAGTGGCCCGCTGACATGGATGTGATCCACGATATTTTTGCCTTTGTTGCTGTCGCTAGCATCATATCGTGTATCCTTCGTGAAGCCTTTGGAATGATTCCCAGCTCCAGTGCGTAATCCGATACGATACCGCCCAAAATGCAAGCAAGTACAATAAGTACATAGATTCCAAGCCAATAGACGAGATTTTCATTCGGATGAGTAGCATTTGCTTTAGTCCAGGCTTGCAGCCACAGCGATGGGAGCATGTAGCCCGCAACAGCAGTAGCACAGAGAAAGGCGTAGATGAAAAATAAACGTTTGCCGATGATGTTGATGTAGAACCAATATACGTCAAGGTCGCCCGCCGGACTGTGGCTATCAATCTCATTCAGATCGTCATCGGTAATGCCAAACTCTTCCAACGGGTTACTGGCTTCAACAACTTCGGTGGGCACTTCCTTTGGAGCTTGTCCAGCGAGTCGTTTCACGTAATCGCTTGATTCAAGAATATATTTGGCATCGCCCTGCTCAATGATGCTGCCGTCCGGTCCAAGAACAACAATTCGATCCGCATAGTGCAGATGCTTTGTCGTATTTGTGGCCAGAACAACAGAGCATTCAAGCTGCTTTAATACACCATCTGAGCCGAAGACGTCGTCGAGAACAGCTCGCTCAGTGATGCGATCTAGACCAGTCAAGACGTCGTCAAATATCATAAGCGGGTTCTTGGAATACAAGGCTCGCGCCAATGCCTGTGGCGCAACGTTAGCATTGTTGTCATATATAAATACAAGTAAACTTACAATTCTTGCCTGCTGTCCACCACTGAGTCTAGATCCGCGAGATCCCGTCGCTGTCATGTCCCCTTTTGGCAAGGCATCTAGATCTGGTGGCAAAGCACATGAGTTTACAACAGTATTATACCAAGTTTGATCAAACATGCCGGGACCCACGATATTGCTTCTGATGGTTCCCCAGGTCACCCAAGGGGACTGAGCACAATAGGCAGATTCTCGGTGACTAGTCTGGACAGTTCCAGTGTACTCGGGGATTTCTCCGAGGAGCAGCTTGAGAAGTGTTGTTTTGCCACAGCCAACAGGACCAACAATCATGGTTATTAGCCCACGTTCAACATCAAGGTTGATGTTTTGCAATGCCACCTTGGTATCGCCATAGCTGACCCCACCGTTGACCACAGAGAGAACTGAGTTACTAGTGTCCTCTGCCTGTTGTAGTCGGAGATCATGCCTGTCTTCAGAAAGAAGAAAGTCTTGAAGACGGCCGAATGAAGTGGACAGGGTTTCGTAAAACTCAAAGATCGTCACCAATTGTCCTAACGGCTCTCTTAAGAGTTGGAACAACGCAAGAGCTGAGAACGCAACACCCTCAGTCAATGGGGCTGTGCCGTGCATCCACGCAAGAATAGCATAGGTTCCCAGGCCCATTACTGACAACAGATTGGTCGAGATGTAGTAGAGACCCATGTCAACAACCTTGATGAGGCGATGCCAAGATGCAGCCTTGATATCTTGTGTTCGCAGGTCGTGTATATCAGAAGTCAGTCTGCCAGTTAATCCGGTCATCTTCATTGCCTTTAAGCCGCCAATCATCTTCGACGTGACATCCATGCGCTCTTCGATGGCCTCGAGCCAAGGGCCATGAGATCGGCCGACTGCAGAAGAAATCGGCATTCCAATGAGGATACAGACTGTATTTAAGAAGTTAGCATTGTATTCTAAATTTTTCATGAAGCTGAATTTACCAATTGTAAAGATGGCAGGAGCCACAACAGACAAGCCCACCAGTCGAAAGAGCATCCAGATTGCAGAAACAAGCACAAATATGCTAATGTACGTTCGATGCACGGCATTTGCATTTTGTTCAATTCGGTCAATGTCAGAGCTCATTAACGTAATTGCATCGCCCTTTTCGGTCTCGGATGCTCGGAGCGTTGTGAGTTTGGAATAAATGATAGCAGCCAGACTACCTCGAAGCTTGGTTCGGAAAGAGTTTCCAAAGTGGCAGTTAAGCGTCCAGCCAATCTAAAACAAGTCAGCTTATATATACTAGACCATTGTATTGGGCAGTCCTACAGCGCGAGCTAGATGTGTTAATCCATATACGACAGTCAGAAGAGACGTCTGCTGTCTTTTCAGTCTGCTGTCTGGTTCGGCAGCAAGAACCAGCACCTGTTCCAGGAGGAAAGGCTCAAATATGGCGCAGGCATAGTGCAGAGTTCTTGGTAGAACAGTGATGAGAATATCCCATTTGAAGTGGCTAACAAATATCCACATCAGGGCGTTCTTCTTCTCCTTGTAGGCGGCTGCTTGGGTCAGTCTTGATGTTGATCAAATGTATCACTATTGACTTACTGCTTTCCCATTTTTCCATTAATGACACTGGTCGGGCAGCTTGTTGGATCTTTTTAGGCAGCGTTGGTAGGGAGTAGAGAGTCGTCTTGGTCTTGTAGCCACTCCACAGCAACGGGTTGACCCAGGTATACAGCGCAAGGCCGAACAACCCAGTAGTTGTAATTGGCGATTCGTCCTTCCATTGCCAAAAGAGAATGTTGCGTTTTGGCAAAGCCTCTAAACAGGTTGCAATGAACTTGACAAGAACTGCGTACGCATAGAGTTTCGAGGTGATCTGCTGTCCTTCCGTGCCAAACAATGTTCGCATTCGCAGTAAGTCGAGCAGAAACGACGGACCAAGATAAAGAGTGATGATGCTTGATGGCCGTATAGAGAATACATGTTCGATACAAGAGGCGTACAAGATGATACTGTAGCTGACTATTGTGATAGAAGTCGCATATGGAGTTGCAGCTGTTCCAAGATTCTTTGGATTGGACCACAAGGCCAACAGAACACTTTGTATAGAGATATAGGCTACATGTGTCAGCTGTTTTACAAAACATAAGATTAGCAACTTTCTTGATAATGGTGACACAGACATTGAACTACCATTTTGGCCCAGAAGAGCCATGATTTACGTGCTCGTGGGCTACGTTTCCGCAAGCTCTGAAGTCGAGGAAGCAGCCAGAGTACTATACGCGCCAAATTAGTCAATCAATGCACAATTTACAGCTGGTTATTCATAGAAAACAAGCGTACAAGTGAAGAAGAGCGGTCCTATCGTCAAAATGGTTTCCTCGAAGAAGAGCGTCAAGTCGAGACCTCCTCGGCAAGATTTGGCTACAAATGGGCCAAAAGAATTCTCATCGGCAATTGAACAGAGCCTTGGCCCATTGTCCAAGGCGGTTTGAAAAGACGTCATCTTGGCAGAGAAAAGTGTCGAGATGTACAGGCGTTGGTGATGATACGCGGTTTACCGACGGTAGAGCGATAGAGGAAGTAATGTATTATAACACGCCACCATCGAAGCCATCGGGGAGAAAGCTACGTGGGAAGCTGCCGTAGAATCGCCGCGCTCCTTTTTAATAAATTTGGTCAAAATCGGGTTACTTGCCGAGAAGCCGACGCGATGGGTGTGGAAAAGTGCAGGGATTCAAGTTGCAATCAGGCTGGCGAACAGCGCTACGCCTCAATCAGCGCCCTTGCCGCATGAGTCACTCGCCAAACAGGGCCTTCTACAGTGGGGTTTACAGCAGGGCAGCGCGCCAAAGCACCATTATTTCGTCACGGTGCGTCACCAAATTGAGTCACTACGCATTTAAGATTGAATATGGGTTTTATTACGAATAATTCTGCTTTTGCATGTGGGCTAATCCTAGCCTGACGATTAACAGCCGTAGCAAGTGAACTTGCCGGCGACAGATGCGCTGCAACAGGCAGTGCTGAAGAGGCTGTGTAAATATACTGCAGTAGCAAGGCTTGCGTCTGTGGAGCGAAATGCCTGTTTGACGGTCTGCGATGAATTGAATGGTTGGATGGGGTTGATCGGCATCCTGACTCAATTGCTGTAGTCCTGGTGAGGGCATACTGTGGCAAGCGTCTGAGTATGATGATATCCAGCGCTGCCCTTACCGTCCCAGGGCTCCAGTCCTGATGTAGCTTATGAGATGTCGACCTGTAGATACAACAGATCGCGGCACCTAGCACAGGCGATGGTTGAGTAGACGGGCACTCGTAGACATAGCAAGATATCTGCAGGAAATTGAGTGATGTTGAATCCTTAGCTCAATCGTCCAGAGAGCACATGTTGGTGTAAATGGAGTTTTCAAATGTTGTGTATCCATGTTTCTTTTTCAAGAAGCGAAGTCGCTTCAAACATAGCCGCCTCCAACTTGGCTGTGGAAAGCCGTGTTGACGCTCTTTTCGTCATCATCAAGTCGTCGGCCAACGTATCCGGCACCAACGGGGCCCATGCGGTTACCAGACTCGACGTATTCGTGCAAGCGATCTGCTTGAGTGCGAGAGATCGGGCGCATGCCGTCGGCAAGGTCTTGAAGGCCGGCGCCGAGGCTAACACCGCCCTGACCAACTCCCTTGCCGCCCAGAATACTAGATGTTGCGTCCGTGTACTCAGAGTTAGCTACGCTCTCGCCAGCAACGCTCTCGGCAGGGCGAGCGCGGCGGTTACCACCACGGCCATGGGCTCCGACGCCGGGCAGACCGGGCCACTGCTCTGGTGCAAAGGTGGAAAACATGGGTGGGAAGGCACCTCCAAGGCCGGTACCGCCAAACTGGGATTCATGGATAGAAGAGACATCGTCAGGGATGTAGCGCATGGTTCCCTGCTCCGTCTCTCGGCTGCCGCCGTTGAAGCGGCTGCTCTGGAAGCCACCACGGTTGCCATACTGGCTCTGTTGCCCATTTCTGTTGCGGTGGGTGTTTCTGGGCTTGGGGAACTCGAGCAGACAGCGCTGCAGGTTCGTCAATGGGCCCTCAACAAAGCAGTTGTTGCGCTTAAAGTGCTGCAACAGATCGTACCAGAGGGGGTTCTTGGCCAGCACCTTGGGGTTACCCAGAATCACAAGGCCATACTTTGCTCGAGTCAAGGCAACGTTAAGACGGCGTTCATCAGACAGGAAACCAATGCCCTGGTTGTCGTTGGATCGCACACAAGAGAGAACAATGAAATCCTTCTCACGGCCCTGGAAAGCATCGACGGATGCAACTTCGACATCTTTGTAGTACTCTTTCTTGCTGGTTCCAGAGTTCTGCATAGTGCTAACGATGTAGCTGCGCTGGCCTTCGTATGGGGTGATGACACCGATATCAGATGCCTTGACGTTGGCCTTGGAGAATCGGGTGATGATCTTCTCAACGTTGGAGGCTTCAGTGCGGTTGAGATAAGAAGTTCCGGAGGTAGAGATTTCTTCGTTACCGAGGTTGGACCAAAAGAGCATAGGCATTTCTGCCACCGGCCAAGGGAAATCGACGTCTCTGCGTAGGCGGTTCTCGTGCGTAACACCGTTCTGCAGACTTCCATCGTAAAACATGTTGGACGGGAACTCTGAAAGACAGGGGTGCATTCGGTATTGGATGTTGAGAACAATAGGGTGGTTCTGAAGCTTCATCAAACGCTCAAACAGGGAACGGTCGAGTCCACCCTTGGCAGCTTGCTTATTCATAATGACAGGTCCAAGCTGCTTGTGGTCACCGACCAAAACAACTTGCTTGCAGCCAAGCACAAGCGGGATAATGCACTCTGGCTCGGCAGATTGGGTACACTCGTCAATCAGAACATTGCGAAACTTCATCTTCGCCAGACGAGGATCTCCAGCACCAACACAAGTGCAGCAGACGACATCAGCATTACTGAGAATCTCGCGCTCGGCAACCTTGGTCAGATGGCGGAACTTCTTTTCATCTTGGCTGGACAATCCACCAAGTTCGTTCTTGAGCTGAGACAGCTTGGTAAACTCGCTGCTATGCTCCGACATACGAACCTGCTCATGAAGAGCCAGGAAGCTGACAGAGGACTCAACATCTTCGCGGGACTTGGCAGTCAGTCGAACAACTTTGAGACCAGTCTTGTGAATTCTTTCGCAAAGCTGGTCAACCGCGACGTTGGACGGAGCACAAACAAGAACGGGGTTTCCACTCATCTTGGCTAGATGATAAATAATTGTGGCGGAGGTGACAGTCTTACCAGTACCAGGCGGGCCCTGAATAAGACTGAGAGGCTTCTGCAGGACAGAGCGAATAGCGTCGACTTGACTTTGGTTGAGATCAGGTAGGCCAGGAGCAGACCACTTCTTGGGGAAGTTGAGCTTCATGGGCTGCAGACGAACGTCATGGCCGAGGAGAGTGTGGAAAATGAATCCAGACACGCTCATCTCATCGACGGCGAAGTTCTTCATGGCGCTCTGCATACGATCATACGATGTAGCCTTCCAGATATAGTCCGCGGAGAAGTTGTTGAGAATCTCGACGGGCACAGACTTGTCGTTACCCGTCTTTCGGAGTTCGATCTGCACAAAGTCGCCGTCGTTGCCTGGGATCTTGGTCACATAGCCAACACCTCTCCAGGGGTCGCGAAGGCCACCGTCATATCGCAAGGCCATCTCATCACCAACAGCAAGTTTGACCTCACCAGAATCAATAGTGCGTAGCTTAAAAGAGACTGTAATGTTACCGTTGTTGGCTTCGCCCCATTCCACGGAAATATCATCCTCAGATTGTGCTTCTTTGAGCTTCTTGTCGTAGTCAGACTCCATCTTCACGAGGGGGCCGTAGATGTTCTGATAGTGGTATGGGTCGTCGAACTTGAGGGGTGCTCTTTCGATGTATTCGTCGGCCGTCGCAGTCTTCTCGAGGTCGGCAACCGTGGCATTCGGGTCAGTCTTCCAGAGGGCTTCGAGCTTGCCCATTGTTGCAGTGGTCATGTGTCGTGCGCGCAACTGTTCAGCCTCTGACGGGGCACTTACTAGCCAAGAGAGAAAGGCACGCTCCTCAATCAAGGGTTCCCATCGAGACACATCCCAGTTCATGTCCTTGTTGGACGAGGCAGCAGCACAAGGCTGTCTGCAAAGCAAAACAACAACGGTATCGGACTTGGCGGGAATGAAGCCCAGCAAGAAGCAGTTCTTGGTGCCGCAGCTATAGCATTCAAGAGTTGTATCTCCGAGAGCAGACTCGGGGTGGAGCTGGACCTCTCTGTGGCGCGCGCGCACCAAGTGGTTGACAATATGCGAAGAGGTGCCGTTGCCTCTTGCACTACAGAACCACTTGTTACAGGTAAGGCACTTGACAACACAAGCAGGAGAGTGAATTCCACAGTAGACGCAAGCGTGTGCAGGCAACTCCTTCTCGCGGTCCTTTAATTCCATTCCCATGAGCTCGTCGACGGGAACGCTGTTGAGGCTATCAATGTCGTCATCGTCAAAGGCTTCGGTCTGGTTGTCGTCGTCATCCGCACGGCGGCGTCCACTTCGGCCTCCATATTTGCCGTAGAGGAGGCTCTCATCGGGATCGAGCGCAGAAAAGTCATCTCCATCCGCGTTGATGGCGGCGGCCGAGTCGGAAATCAGATGGTTGCCAACATGGGTGAAGGCACCTTCCATTATGGTGTCGTTTCTACTGTAGGCGGTTCAGTAGCGTAGTTTGTCTGCGGCAGCAGGTAGCTCAGGCAGAATTTGCAGGGAGAAGTTGCCTAGAGTTGGAGAGGGAGGTTTGGCAAATGTGATACGTAAAGCTTCGATGTGCGTCGGTTCATGTCATCGCGGGGTGACTGCGCAAAGGGAAGGTATAAATAGGCTTGCAAAGATTGTCGGGTAGAAAAATAAGAAGAAAGAAGGCCGATCGTCAGTGCTTGCCAAAGGGACAAAATTGCAAGCAACAGTTTCTTTGGCGGACCGTTTGCCTCTTAGATTTTGCCGTGCCGGTTTAGGTCGAGATTTCTGCTAACGCAGGCAGTGCCTATAACCGGGGGTGGGCTTGGTGGGACGAACGTTTGCGCCCACGTGATAAGCGGGAGTGGTTATCGATAGCGCTGGTGGAAAAAAAAATTGAAGGCGTTCTGGGGCCGTCGCTGGAGATTGGTGATGTAGATTTAGCTAGACTTTTTTTTTCTTGTCGACACAACTTGGTGCATCACCTTGTCTTGGGAAATTTAACAGGATAAAACAAATAAATCCTTCAAGATGATGATCGTAAGTTGCCTCACTTACCAGATTGGTATCCCCTTTTGTTCTAACGCACTGTCTCTGTAGCGCAAGCAAGCCCGCCAAAGGCGAGACTACCTCTACCGCCGAGCTGTTCTCCTGCGCGACGCCGAGATTAGCGAGAAGCGAGCCAAGCTCAAAGCATCCCTGGCTTCTGGAAAGCCATTGGACTCTAGCATTGCCAACGACAAATCGCTACGAAAGGACTACCAGTACGACGAGTCCGCCCCCGATCACTCGACCAACGAAGCCCTCGACCTGGACGACGAGTACGCACAGCTTTCCGGCATTGTTGACCCCAGAGTGCTCGTTACAACATCAAGAGACCCTTCAGCAAGACTCTCTGCCTTTTCCAAAGAAATCCGACTCCTCCTGCCTACCTCTGTCCGCATGAACCGTGGTAATCTCATTCTTCCCGACCTTGTCCGCTCTTCCAAGGCTGCTGGTCTCTCCGACATTGTCCTCCTTCACGAACACAGAGGCACACCCACCGCTCTTACGCTATCACATTTCCCTCATGGCCCCACGGTATCGTTTTCTCTCCACAATGTTGTTCTTCGACACGATATCCCTGGCAGCGTCCGTGGTACTGTCAGCGAGGCGTACCCTCACCTCGTCTTTGATGGCTTCACAACACCGCTAGGCAAGCGCATTGTTAAGGTCTTGAAGCATGTATTTCCGCCTAGAGAGCCCATCACAAACAAAAACAAGATGGGTAACCGTATCGTAACATTCAAGAACATTGACGACAGCATCGAGGTTCGCCATCACGTCTTTGTTCGCACCGGATATGACAGCGTCGAATTGTCCGAGGTCGGCCCACGCATGACGATGCGACCATTCGAGATCCGTGGTGGCACGCTAGAGAACAAGGACGGTGATGTTGAGTGGCATCTGACGCAGTACACAAGAACCGCCAAGAAGAAGAACTACTTGTAAGAGGACGGCGTGATAGCTGCAACTACGAATACGAAAGCGCAATGAACCGGTCCCCCTAAGCAGAAGCCTAATGCTCTTTGGGAGGAATGTACATTAAAAAGAAATAGGTAACAGTGTGGGAATGGGTTGAAAGTACAGGCGTTTTGGGCCAAGAGGAAGCCGATCTCGAGTTCGCTTCGGTTCTACTCATGTGAGATTGTGTATAGATCGCCCAAGACGGCTAAGACTTTGCCGACGGATATCTAGGCATCTACATTTTGACACAAATAGTCGAGCATAACGACGCTGTGTCGATCAGAAGGCTCCGTTTAGGCAGCCTGGAAAAGACCCTACATAGACCACCGCTAATGAACATATTCAAGCATGCTCCATACTGATGGCCATTCACGTGTGTGTAGTGACGCAAAATACGAGCGCACGAACAACTGTAATCCTGGCCTGACTACAAACTAGGCTTCCAACTTAGCAGGGCTCTAGGGGACACTCAGCTCCACCACAGCCTGCCGCGGGCTGCAGTGCACTGTACCATTGTGTGGTTCTGAGTGAGACTTTTCGCCTTGCGATGACGACGCCCGCCATCACCAGCCACACCTTGTCGTAGCGTAAGGGACTACTTTGTAGATGTATCTTGCGCTAGTCAGATGGATTGGGCGGTGACGGAAAAGCTGTTTGCGAATTGGGCCGCTCGGTTTTCCCATCCCATCTGAAGTGGTGCTGCTTCCCTGCTCAGCCTCGTCTGGATCACCTACTATACGGGCATGACGACATGTGGTGCCGCGCCACGCTAGGACCAACCAACCTCAATGGGCCAAAAATAACAAAAAAAATAGTATATACCGGAGCTGTGTATCTACCTAATTTGGGATTTCCTCTTATCATACAGTACTCTTAATTTTCTCTTCTTCATCATACCCTTCTTCGTCCCATTCTGCATACAACTGCCGGGTCCCTCCTACTGCAAAAGTACCTATTTTCGGACATTACTGCTTGCACCTGGTCGCCGTTGCTCCACCAAAGCCGCCCACTAAAATCGTCGTCAGCACCCACTGCCACTTCCGGGCCCTCCAAACGATCCCCAGTTCGCTGCTGTTGCCCGCTTACGCAAACCCGGCCCAGCGCAGAAAAATAGAGCACAGCATACAAACCTTCACCACACACACAAGCCAGGCCAGCAAGCTTAGCACAGAAGCTTAATTGGATCAGTCAGCCCGTGCCGCACTACTCGACTGGCCCTCTGGCAATTTTCCTTCTTCCTGCAACCCTTCGTCCACCTTCCGGCGCATCCCCAGCGCTAGCAACAACCAACCACCATGTCCTCCTACCAGCAGAATCCCTACGAAACCGGCCCTGCCGGCGGCGATTCCCACGGCTACGGCCAGGTAAGTCTACCGCCCTAATTGACTCTTGATTTCGCTCCTTCTTGTTAGCAGCAGCGGACGGAGCGCGACAACGGCTAACATACAACTCCCAGGCCAACCCGTACCAGGAAAACTATGAACTCCAATCGCAGCCGTATCCCGGCGATACTACTACCCAGTCGCACCGCCCGGCCATGACGCAAAAGGAATTCCTCGACCGCGTGTCGGAGCTGCGCAGCGACATCCGCTCGCTGACCGGCGACATTGACCACATTGGCCAGCTTCACCAGCGCACACTGGGCAGCACCGACGGCGCGGCCAAGGACCAGCTCGAGGCCTACGTTACGCAGACGCAGGTCCGCAACACAGCCATCAAGGACGGCATCAAGGGCCTGGAGCGCGACCTCTCCCTCACCACCGACTCGTCGCGCAACACCAAGAGCACCCAGCTGCAGTCCATCAAGACCTTCTTCCGCTCCGAGCTCGAAAAGTACCAAGCCATCGAGTCCGAGTACCGCCAAAAGTACAGAGAGCAAATCTCCCGCCAGTACCGCATCGTCAACCCCGATGCTTCCGAGGACGAGATCCGCCAGGCCGCCGATGCCAATTGGGGCGACGAGGGTGTCTTCCAGACAGCTGTAAGAGCCGCCGCTTGAAATACTATGCCAGACATGCTGACATTTTTTCGTTTAGATCAAGACCAACCGCACCGGCCACGCTACGTCTCTGCTGGGTAATGTCCGCGCTCGCCACTCCGAGCTGCAGCGCATCGAGCAGACGCTTGTCGAGCTATCCATGCTCTACCAGGAACTTGCGACACAGATTGAGCAGCAGGATGCTACAGTCACTGCTACCGAGGACATTTCGTCCAATGTGCGCCAAGACATCGAGCAGGGCACAAAACAGGTCGGCACGGCTGTTGAGCACGCCAAGCGAGCACGCAAGCTGAAGTGGTGGTGCTTTGGTATCTGTGTGGCCATCATCATCATTGCTCTGATTATTGGTCTTGCCGTTGCAGGCAATGCGGGCCTCTTGAAGAAGGGCTGAGGTACTCGCAGCGAAGCCGACCTAAAGATTCCAAGTTTTCTTTTCTTGTAACGACAGTATGGAGTAGGATTAATGCCGGGTATATAATGGACGAGTGGTGGATGGTATATGACATTACCAGTTTATGTTTTCGAGTTGTTGTTCTTTCTTATATTCAACAAAATACTTTAGCACATAATACGAATTCAGATTCCCAAGTTTTTTCGAGAGAGAAGGGTGTCGAAAGTCCATTAAAAATGCGGTAGATGTACAAGAAAATAGAAAACGCAAAAACAAAAAGAAACTGGCTCCAGCAGCCACTGCCGGGTCGCCTTTTACAACAGAATTACAAGCATAAAACAAGAGTCCAGAGGTTTCTCGATGCAAAAAATAGCACATGCGTTTCCTCCTTTTTGACCTTTTTTTTTCGAAGCGTCGTGTTCATGTCCATCTTCCCCTTGAGCCTACAAAAAGCGCGCCCATTCGCTTCGTGCCTGGGATGCCCCTAAGCTCCTATTTCCATTTGTTTCCGTCGGTTTTTCTGGTATCCATTTTTGGTTTTTTTTATAATTCGTATCGTTGGTTTACATACGCATGCCGGGAGCACCGCCAGCGAGCTTGGCAGCAAGCTTGGGGTACTTCTCGGTGACTTGGACCTGCGTTCTTGTAGCCTCGGCGTAGGAGAGAGCGTTGACAATCTCGCCTTCGGTGCGGGCAAGCTCGGCAGCACGCTCAAAGTACTTGAGGGCTTCGGGGACCTTGTTCTGCTGCAGAAGAAGCTGGGCCATGGTGGCAACGGCAATATCGCACTCAGGGTCAACTGGAGAGAGTTAGCAAGTTTGTAATTTTCACATGATATGGAGAACTTGGGCTTACTGATGAGGGCCTTCTGGCAGAGCTGCTCGGCCTCCTTGAAGTCCTGCTTCCATTGGAAGAGGGCAAGGGCCTTGTTAATCAAGGGAAGGACGTTCATGGACATGGGTTTGGTCTGCTTCTCCATCTCAATGGCAGTGTCGAACTTCTCAACGGCTTCGGCAAAGTTGCCCTGGTCAAGGAGCAGTTCACCGTAGTAGTTGTAGACTTCGGGAACCTTGGGGAAGTTCTTGATGCAGCGACGGAAAGTGGCCATGGAAGAAGCGATAGAGCCCATCTTGTACTGGGTTACACCAAGCTGGATGTGAGAGAAGATGAAGTCCTTGTCGAGGTCGATGGACTTTTGGAAGTCCTTCTGGGCATCGGAGAAATCACCCTTGATGAAGTGAGACTGGGCGCGGTGGTAGTACACATCGGGGTCCTCCTTGTTCTGTTCGAGAGCGAGAGCGAATTCAGCGTCGGCCTTGGCAGGGTCGCCAAGCTCGAGGTTGATGCTGGCGCGCTTAATGTAGCTCTGCGTCAGCGAGGGGTCGAGCTCAATGCTCTTGTCGAAGTCGCTCAGAGCATCAGTGTGGTTTCCAAGAAGGGTGCGCATGGTGCCGCGCAGGTTATAGGCGTAGGCCTCGTTGCTGCCAAGCTCACCAAGCTCGATGGCCTTCTCAAAGGCGGCGCGAGCGGCCTCGTATCCCTCAGAGGTCTTCTTGTCGAGACCCTGAAGACCAAGACGCAGCTGGCCGAGACCAGTTTCGATGGAGACCTCGTCCGAGTCTTCGAGACCTTCGGGGCGGGGCTTAGGGCGGAAGGACTGGATGTAGTTTCCAACGAAGATGGGGCTGGGAAGCTTGGGGGTGCGGGTAGCCATAATCTCCTTGGCCTGGTGTTCGGCGTAGACCTTGAGGAGACGCTCGACGGCTTGCGCGGTAGACTCGCTCTTGAAGTTATCAATGATGCACGAGGCAGTGAAGTCGAGAAGAGCCTCGGAGTACATCTTCTGGTGCTCGTAGGCAGTGGCGCGGCGGTTGATGGCCTTGACGTAATCAGGGTCCATGTTGATAGCAGCAGTGGTGTCCTCAATGACCTGATCCCACTCGCTCATGGCGCTTCGGCAGGCAGCACGGTTAGAGTAGAAGACGGGGTCGGGCTTGCAGAGGATAGCCTGGGTGTAGAGCTCAATGGCCTTGTTATAGGCCTTGTCGCCGTAGGCCTTGTTACCGGCTTGCTTGAGCTTGGCGGCATATTCTTCGCGCTGCTGGGCAGTGAAGGTCTGGACATTGTTCTCATCGATTTCGGGGAGATCGGACTCGCTCTCTACGGAAGCAGCCTTGGGCTGGGAGGTCGAGGGCTGAGAAGTAGTGGCGGAGGTCTCGGTGACGTCGGCGGCCTTGCGCTCGGCTTCCTTGCGCTTGCGGCGCTCCTTCTTGCTAAGCTTGGAACCAGCAGTCGACTTGGCAGCCTATTCATGAGCAAAAGTATGGTTAGTATGAGACGCAATGGATGGTGGCGTGCGGCGCGGGTGAATGCGCAGCAGAAAGGGGGTGCAAGCTTACCGCGTCGCCGTTGAGGTAGTAGACGGCACCGGCACCAGTGACAACAACAGCAATACCGGCAATTGTGTAGACGACGGCCTTGTTCTCAGAGATCCAGGAAGAAAGACGCTCCCAGGTGCTAGGAGGAGCGCTGATCTGGAGGGCGGGTGGCACCGGGGGCATCGAGGGAAGAGGGTTCGACATGGTGGGAGGAGAAGCAATGCAAGCAATTAAAATATAAAAGAATACCCGAGTACAATGGAAGAAGACGAAGGAGATGAGGAAATCGAAAGCAGCTTGCGACTACGATGGAATCGCGATGGCAAACGGGCGAGAGCTGCTCAGGCTTCAGAAATTGTCGATGATGTAGGGGCGAGGCCGGTTGCTGGTAACCACGGCGGTTTCAAGGATTTTTTTTTCGCTCGCCTTCTTTGCCAGGCGGCTTTGTCTTGGCTGCTGTGGCCTCGGGTACGCAACCTCTGTGGACACCCACTGTAAATTGTATTTCACAGGTGCCCCAGTGTACCGCCCCAGCGGAGGTGCCCTAGTGTACCTTGTTAAGCTAGCAACGCGGCAGCAGCCAGTGAGGAGGCCGCGAAAAAAAATACGGCGGGTCTCACCCGTTTTGTTTTCTGGCGCATTTCTTAGTCATCTTGGAGTAGAGATACCCTGTACAGCGTATTAAATAATGAGATAAAAGGGATGCAGAGGATAGTTGGAGGGCTTTTAAATAAATGAAGCTGGCCAATTGGAAGTGTTTCTTTTTACCAAGAGAGCAAGTCCGCATATATAATGCTGCTATCTACTCTCGAGATGTACTAGATGGATGTTAGCTCCGCTCATGAATTGCTTCTGACAGCATTTCCTTTGGTAGTCTATCTGAATGAATATTTCTTTCTACGAGAATAGCTGCGTTAAAATGTTCATGGCCTATAAAAAGTTAAACAATAAACATAATTTGCAAGTAAGACCACGCACTCTAACTGTGTTGGATTCCCGCGCCCTTTACTATACAAGGGTTCTTCTCATCATCTCGGCCAGCTATCGGCGAGCGAGCCCACTTCCGGCTCACAGTGACGATCCCCAGCTCTCTTAAAACCTGATCGTTTCCTGTTTCCGAACAACCACCGCCTTTTAATATCCAATGATACCGACGGACCCCCAAATCAATAAAAGTCACATCAAAGTCATATTCCAATTGTAATAGAAGTACGAGCGATACCGTTTGAATAATGACAACTGCATTCTCTCTTTTCACCTCATTGAGGTACGATATCGACCTACAAAAGGTGCCCAGCCTCGACATGAGGTACGCCGGATGGAACAATAACAACATGTCACCCTTTTACATGCTTGACTTTCATCGGGACCGCATACTAAATGCTGCTATACACTGGGGTTTTGAGCCAGTCGTGGCTCTGCTTACAGGCCCAGAAGGCCTCGAATACATGGCTCAAAAGGCATTGCAGTTCCTAGGCGATGAAAGAAAGCCCCAAAGAGTGAGGATAGTCTTATCCCCAGAAGGCGAGATTAGTTTTGTCAAGTCGGACGCACCGTCCGTTCCTCCCGAGAACCTGTTGCCCGCCAAGCTCGCCGCACCTAGAAGCACACCCGAACTATACGAAGCCAAAAGAGATAACCCATTTGAACTTGTCCTCGACGGAGATTCTACGGAAAAATCAGAATACACACACTTTAAAACAACTAAGCGCGCCATGTACGACAGCGCAAGGGAGAGAGCAAGTATACAACTTGGCCAACGAAAGGAGGTACTCATTGTTGACAATGAAGGTGTTATAATGGAGGGAAGCATTACGACGCCTTACTTTTGGAGAAATGGCAAATGGGTAACACCGCCTGTGTCGTTGCAGTACAGTAAGGAAGATGGCTGTGGCGGCCAATGCGGCACTACAAGACGATGGGCATTAGAACGGTGAGTTTGATAAAACAGAAGCTACGAATGATTTGATCCGACTTTACTAACAAACATACAGCAAAATTGTCGAGGAGCAAGTCGTGAATAGCAGTGAACTGGTCGACGGCGAAGAGTGCTGGATTAGCAACGGTGTGTCTGGGTTTATTCCTGCCATTATTCGACTATGAGAGATTTGATTTCCCCATTTAATTATCTATTAATATTATTACATTTAAAATAAAAATTACTAACATGTAGTGGTGTTTATATTTACCATGGCAGTGTTCGCTATAGCACGAACAGCGAGTACCTACGCCGTGTAAATCAACCTCCCTCGCGGTGGGGAAGCATGAACCTAGCATAACGCGTAAAGTGCTACCACGCGACATCCCGCATTTGCTCTCTCTATCCCATGTGAGGCAAGACAGATTGAAATTCTTATTAACAGAATTGAACACTTTAGCCGAATCCATCGCGTCATTACCGACAAATCATATAACCTGCTGCCGCCACACAAAGTGCTGTTTCAATGACAGCCGTGAACCCTTCGGCAGCTGAAGACGCCGTCTTCGATGGCAAACGGCAGTATGGCGCTAAACAGTATAAGCCAGCATTAGAATCCTTCACAAGGGTGAGTTGGGTTTAGAATACCTAGATGTCAATACTAATAGCATGCAGGCCATGAGGCTATGCCCTTGCAATCGCGGTATGAAGCGCGACAGATGCACCTGCAAGAACTTTCAAGATGTAGCAGCCAAGAACGGCTCTATTTTTAAAGAGGCCATGTATAACTGCAGATGTACCGTCGGAAAGACATTTAGCAAGTGCGACAATGCTATCCATCTTCAAGCGCTCGACTACCGAGCCGCTACATTTGAAGTTATGAAGCATTTAGATCGAGCAAGGCGAGATGCCGAGTGGATGTTGGAACTTGCTCCTCGGCTCCCAGATGTAATCATTTCCTTGAAAGTCCTGAAAGTTCAAGATTGTTAACATGCGCATAGGGATACCTCCGTCTAGGGAAGATTGCAAGACTCCAAAAGGACGAGGATTTCGCCTGGAAGATATACAACGCTGGCATAGACATTTCTGCCGGCAACGTGCAAGCCAATCACAAGAAGATACAAGTTTGTTTCATCTAGACCTCAGTCTATATCTAATATGAGGCTAACAAATCGCCCCAGCAACTATACGCTGCTCGACAGCCCTTACAAATTCGATTCTCCAAGAAGGACCCATTCGAACTACCGCCGGAAATTTTACAATGGATTTTACAATACTGTGACTTGATCACTCGGGTGTAAGTATAACTTAAAACCATCTGTATTTCTGTATCTGATACGTGATAGGCGCTGTCTTCGCGTCAGCAAGACTTGGAACTACACACTTTCTGCCCCTGGCAACGCAAGCCTTTGGAGAGTGCTCGAGTTTACCGGAAGATCAGCACCAAAAGTGAGCCCTAGAAACGAGGGACTACGAAAACTTGGTACCAAAGCAGGCAATGATATTCGTCGGCTTGTTATTCCAAACGCACACACTTTTGGACTCATGCAGTCCAAGTTTGCGACGCTACTAAATGGAGCTAAGAATTTGGAGTACTTGGAAATCGGTCATGTTATGCGCGGACTAGATTTACCAAAGTATGCTGGCTTGTGTAAAACGCTTCAGTCGCTCAAGCTATCATACTTTGACCCCAACTCCGTTCTCAAAAGCGGCATTGTCGACATTATCAAGGCGTTCCCACACTCCTTTCTTCAAAATACAGCAGATGTATTACAGCATTTGGACCTCAACGGTATTCCATTGGAATGGTTTGACGGTCGACTTTTACCAGAAATGAAAGCTCTAAAGACGCTACGGTTGAGACTTAAGAGTCACACTGAGCGTTCGCTTTCGCTAGTAAGAGCTGAAGTTGCCGAGTTTATGAACTGCAGCTAACGGATTTTAGATGTATATTGCTACAAATACACCGAATTTAGAACAGATTTGGCTCGATGAAATCTGGCTGGTACCGAGTATCGGCTGGGGCGATGAATGGGACAGAGTGTGGACGTCGCTGAAAGCCATCACAGTCGTTGCAAGCGGAATGTCACATAGGCGTCTGATGCCAGCTATTACAGTACTGACATCGGTCAACCGCGGAGAGAATTTAAGGAGCATCGATCTTAGTTTCAGCAGCAAGGCGTTGCCCTCTGAAGATATTCTGACCGTGGAACCAGTGCAGGAAATGCTAAGCTGGGATGGTGTATCAGCAGGAGCCCAGGGTGTGTACCCGCGACTCAACGACTATCGGAATCTTGAAAGCATCCGACTACATAGAGTTTCTCAAAACCCGACTTCAGCTCACCGGATTGTCCATGAAAGCATACGCACAAACAAGCTGTCGCGGATGGACATTGTGTTCCCTGCCGAAACATTCAGCTCGGTCATGGGATCAGAGAGTTCTCTCCATTTAGCACAGTATGAATGGCTCCGCGGCACCAAGTCCATTAAGCAGATGGGGATTTTCGGATTCCGATTTCGTTCGTTCCCTCGCAATGATGACGACCTCCCACTGCCGAGTTTCCTGGCTAGTTTTCCCAATCTGGAAGAGGTGGAACTTGGATCCGATCACTACGAAGACGGTGAATTCTGCACAGTTATTGCCGCAGTTTTAAAGGCGACAAAGTTGAAGCGGCTATATCAGAGTCAGGTTAGGGGAGTGATGATGGACCGACTTCCGGCTCTCGGTCGAGCGTATGGGGTTGAGATTGTCTATGGCGAGAGGCCGCGTCCTTGGCCGGTCTCGTTTGATGGAGATTGATTTAGTTCATTGAATAAGTTCATATATGTCAAGGCAAAATCAAACAAGTCTAACTTTTTGGTCTCTAATGCTCTTCTGCTTACCCAAAGATGCACGCCGCCAAACATATGCTATGTAAACTCCATGCTCGCTCTCTCTCGTGAATACATTTCTTTTACGCTCGGCCAACTTTGAATGACAAAATCTGGGAGGAATAGCAATGTTAGTACGTAATCATGTAGATGTGTTGAAGAAACGACTTACATCATTCTTGCCAACGCCAACAGTGTCATCTTCAGCAACACGCATGTTGCCAACGCCTTCAATATATGCAATTGGCGCATCACCCATGACCTTGCGAGCAACATCGGCCACGGTAGAGCCCTTCTTAACCAGAACACAATCGCGGAAAACAAACTTGGACTCAGCAGCGCCAGAACCAAATGTTGACGTATTGCGCACCGGGAAAACCGGAACAAGTCCCAGCAGCTCAGCTGCTTTCGACAGTACTTGGACGACGCCAGTCGAACCAAAACGGTATAGCACCATGTCGCGGAGGTTTTCTATGCGGTTCTTGTTCTTGTCGTCTAGTTCTTTCAAGTTGCCTCCTGTCGGGTCGCCCTGCTCTATCAGATCCTCTCGCGTGTCGACAAATTCGCTGCCCTCGACGTATTTAATGTATCCCTGTTTTGCCATCTTGCGAAGGAAGATTTCTGAAATGGCGGAGCAAAGGACAATCGTCTTGGGGTCCTGCATTTTCGCAATCTTGGCAATGTTCTTATCAGCATCGGGGTGGTCGATCTTGTTCAGCGCAATGACGGTGGGAAACTTTTCATCAACAAAGGTGTTGACTACTTGCTTGACCGTCTCATCCGACCAAGCCTCTAGCGGCTCCTTGAGCGCCATGCGGTCTAGTGTTCGGTTAACTATAGTTGCTGTCGATCCGTAACCGGAGAATTGGTTCTGTAGTGTCTCGGTCGCCGTTGCTTTTACAGCAATATGTCGTCGTCGAATGGAGCCCCATTTCTCCATGAGGTTGCCGAGGATCCAAGCAACGATTTCGCTCCGTAGCCAAGCAATATCTACCGACGGATCGTAGCCTCTGGTCTCCTTGCCCTCGGCATCAACGGTACCCGACGCATCAACAACGTGAATCAGAGCATCGGCATGTCGCAAATCATCCAGAAACTTGTTTCCTAAGCCCTTGCCTTCGTGGGCGCCGGGGACGAGACCGGCAACATCCAAGAGTTCGATAGGGACGGAACGGCGACCTTCCACACAGGCGCCGTAGTTGGGTTTACATCGATCGGACAGTTTGTGTCTGGCGCAGGCGCAGTCGATTTGAAGATATCCTATCGCTCGTTGCGGGTCAATGGTTGTGAAGCTATATAGCAATGTTAGTTTGCGGCAAGGGTTGGTTGGCGGGTTCGGAGAATGCGCCTTACGGGAAGTTGCCTGGAAACTTGTTAGTGTTCAGCTACTATTGCGGTTACTCAAATATAACGCACCAACTTTAGAACTAGCATCGGTCAAACTGTTCATAGTAGAACTCTTGCCGGCGGAGGGTTTCCCCACGAGGCCAATGAGGGGATCGCGAGGCATGGCGGGGTGATGGAGGGGTAACTTTTGGCAATGGACGGTACGGGGTGGGCGTCTGTGCTAGCAAATGCAATGCGAGAAGAATTCAGAAGGGCGCAAAACGAACTCCTCTACCCACGCGACGGCCTGCTGCTATGATTAATCGGATTGTTGGTGGAGGGATGTCGGTGACAGGCCAAGTGAAAAGTTCGAAAATTGTTGCGTATCGCATCGCAACTTTTTAGTGGGGGTCGGCACAACCCACACCTGACCAGCCTCTTGGTGGTGGTGGTCTCCTCACTAAACCCGCAGCTAACGGTTGTGCATTCGCATTGCCGTCACTCTCCATTGACATACGATGAATTGGGAACCGCTTTCTATAAATTCGTTTCCAGCGTGGGCTCTGCTTCAAGATGTCACCTTTAACAATGTGGCCCTGAGCGAGGTGGCGGGCAAGGGCATTGGTATAACAACATCGGTGGAGGTCGAGACGAATACTGATACAGTGACACCAATAAAGTTTCTTGAAATACCATACGATCTGGTACTGTCTTCCGAGGCAGTAGACGAATATGCGAAGGTCGATCAGAATTTCAAAGCTCTGTTAGAGAAGATGGGAAGACAGGTAAGTTATCTGCAGGTTGAGCTGAGCGGCGCGCGTTCATACTACCACCACAATAAGCAACTGGCTCATCAGGGTGGTACAGCAGCTAACTTTAAGGGCTGCATATAGTCAACACGATTGGATATTATGCTATATCTGTTGCCGCACATGGTGCAGGCTGCGGCGGCCACAGATGCTGTTAGTAACCACACCAGACGTTGCGCCTCTACGCCATGGACAGAGTATCTGAGATTCCTGCCATCGGGTGTTCCTGTCCCTACACTGTGGTCGGAAGAAGAGAAGCATCTTCTTAACGGCACATCCCTTGAGGTATGTATGGAGGTGGCGCTGCCCGTCGCCGTCTTTGTGGTTGGTCTGCGTCGATGCTGACATGGTGCTGAAACACAGGAATCGCTCCAAGCCAAGCTGGCTACACTAGACAAAGAATTTAACGAGTTTCGGGAAAAGTCGTCAGAGTTGCCCTTTTGGAACTCATTTCTGTGGGAGTCGCCCACAGCATGCTCTCTTGCCCATTGGGTGCTTGCCGACGCCTGGTACAGGTCTCGCTGTCTCGAGCTCCCTCGGTCCGGAGCCTCCATGGTTCCGGCGCTCGACATGGTCAATCACTCAACAAACCCGTCTGCATACTATGAAGAGAATAATGCAGGGGGTGTGGATCTGCTGATGCGCCCAACCAGCAAGTTGTCCGGGGGAGAGGAGATCTCCATTTCGTACGGTGAAGCGAAATCACCCGCAGAAATGCTATTCAGCTACGGATTCATTGACCAATCATCCTCAATCAGGGAGATGGTATTGAATCTACCAATGGTGGAGGATGATCCATTATCAATGGCCAAGGCTCACATCTTCAATGGACCCCGTGTGGTGACTCTGACCGCGACGGATGGTAGCGTCACCTGGACCAGCCCCTTTGCTCTACTCATGTGTTTGAACGAAGAAGATGGGTTAGAATTCCGTGTGCTGCAAGATAGTGAAGGTAACCGCCAACTAAGAATGTTTTGGCTGGAAGCAGACGTCACGGACCAGGCACATGATGTTCAATCACTGGTGCAAGACCACCTACTGCTCCCCGTTTTCCAACTACGAGTTGTTGTTACATTACATGATGCTGTAGCTACCCAGCTGGGGCATCTAGAATCTCACCTAGATCTTCCAAACGAGAATAATGCTAGCTCGGTTCGGTCTAGTTGCAGGGATGCATCTGAGTTGCTCAAGAGAATAGAACGGGGGGTGCTCGCCGGAGCAATGGAGACGTTGGATAATGAGGTGAGTTGAAGCCAAAGCCTAATCTCATTGGCCATTGTGGCTGCAAATCGGCCAATCACAGAAGATTTGAGCTAACCAGACGTTCAACGTTTTCCCAAAATAGAAGATGGGCTTGCTCCAAGACGACCGCGTTGTGGCATACCTCGGGTCGATGGAAGCGTCCGAAAATGGACGGGATGAAAACAACGACGCTGAGATTGCACCTGTCAGCGACGGCGAGGATGACTTTAGCTAGAAAAGCTATTCTGATGGCTGAAGCAGCCACGTACTTGTCTGAAAGTGGCTGGCGTGCCGCTTTTCCCATGCCAGGCGTATTGGAATAATAGGGATGCCCGGGTGAAAATGAAGCCGACTCTCGTCAATGAGTAGAGTTGGCAGCATGGCATACTAAATGCCACCCCAACTGCCAGGATCATGCCACTTTCTTTCTGATAGTTCACGCTGGCCCAACGCTTTGGGGTCTAATAGCCCGACACCGAAGCCATGCGTGAAGGTGGTGTTGGATAGATAAGGTCTAAGCAGGATGCAAACTAGTCTATCGGAAAAGATCAATACCCCCTTTTTTCCTTTAGGTTTAGTTGACCGTTGAAGGTAAACAAGAAGGAACGAGATGTCACAACGGTTGTTTAGAGCTATTCAGGGTCGTGAAGCTAGAGACGGGCTCTGCGTGGGGCGGCCATTGCCCACCCCCTCCCCACACACAATTCAAAGGCCATCGGAAGCTTTGCGCGAAAGTAGCTTCCGAAAATCACATCCGATTAATTGTGGCGTTTTCCCCAGAATGCCATTCATTCTTGTAGGGCGGCTAGACGCACTGTGCTTTGGATGCACAAACATAACTGTTGGATAGTCATAAATATATTGCAATAGATGCTGAAGGGCTAGATTCAACCACAGCAGGTGATACTTTGATTTAAGAATCGTGCTCACGGTGACCACCCGTATAGAGTGAGCCAGAGGAGCAAAAACGCAAGTCAATCAGCAGCGACAGCGCTAAGAGCACCACCAAGGCTCTTTGCCACCACCACCTCCAACTCAGAATGCAGGGAGGTTGCATGAAGCTCCCGTCGAGCTCCCCTGCAGACTGTGTTGGGATTTCCATGCCCTGTGCACAATCAATCGAGCTCCTGCCCCAACCTGACCTGCGGAGCGTACCACTTCGGTCTGTTAAAGACGCTGATTGTTACTTTTATTGCCCGGATTGACAGGAATTGAGCTCGAATACGGCTGCACACTCATTATGAACTTCTTCGCTTTTTTATTTCATCCCATCACAATACCATTCTACTCATGACGTAGACGACCCCAAGCGCTGCTGGTAAAGCGACCCTGGGCGAGTCGTGTGTGGTGATCATGGGCAACCAAGCGGAGTCATGCAGCTTTAGGCCCCAAAGTCTGGGGTAATTGGGTTAAGCTACTCAATGGCTGCATACCCTCCTTGCCTTGGGAGGACGGAAACTGGGTCTTCCTGGTATGCATGACGCTACAAGGCAAGCAGCGGCTCCATTGGAAACAGGCTTGGTAGGCTGTTAGCGAAGCGTGGGCTAGCGGCCAGTCTAGGTCGTTTGCGCACACAGTGTAATGTTAGCTGTTGAGCCACGACGAGAGACAAGGAAGCCATTCCCAATGCGCGTATGCGGCCGCGTCGCAGCTGGCCAGTCAAAACTGGATAAAAGTCTTGGACGTGGAGGCGGCATGCAGGCATCAAGTGCCAGCCAATGCAGGCGCTGAGGGCTCTTTACTGAGTCCACAAGGATCGATCTGTTCTAGATCGGTGCTTGCGTGTGTCAAGACACAGCGAGGCTGGGCCTGTTGCAGGAGAACCCACTTCACCACTGCCGCCACCACCAATGTAGCTTGGTCTTGCTGCTGTACATTAGTGAACATGCCCTGGCCGCAGCGGGAGGGTGGCGAGGATCCTTGCCCAAATCAGCTCAGTTTGAAAGGAGCTTGCGAGAAGAAGGAGACATGCTTTGCGTTGGCGTTTTTGTAAACGGCGTCGCTAAACCCCGGATGGGAGCTCGTGGTGGATGCAGTGGCCTTCGTTTCTGTCTTGGCTCGCGTGATCTTTCTGGGTGCGGGTTGCAGGACTGCTAAGTCGATGGCTTGAACGCGAATGCGAGAAGAAGGGCCGCTGTTGAACGAGGAGGCTATGATGGGCTGGTCAGGGGAAGAAAGCGAGCAATCTGTGTTGTATGTAGTATGCTTTGGAGCAACCTAATGACGAAGACCGTAGAGTGAATAGAAGCGTAATGCATTTGCCGAATGTTTGCGATATCGTGGAAATTTGCGGATGATCTGCCGCTGAGCAGAGGTCGATGAAACCCGTTCCTAATCTAAAGCATTCAACAATCCGGGGTAAGACTGAAAGGTGTCGTGATTGGCTGTGGGTAGTAGAGTAGCGTCGAAAATGATCACCGTTTCTGCACATGTGCGGCGACAGAGACGAGCCTACACCAGCAGGCTACTAGTAGTACAGAATATACTGTACAGTATGGGGATATCATGGTTGCTTGGCACAACGCTCGGCTAATGCACCTTGGATGCCGACCCAAAACGACAAGATGGCTTGAAGCAAAATCCGGTGATGGTTGCGCGTTGTTGAGGATGGTATGGTGTGTGTGCGGCCCCAAGAGGAAGGCAAACTAACTGTACGGTACAACAGGTACTGTATTTACCCCCAAAAGGCCACAGCTCGCTCACCACAACGGAAGACTTGCAGCACGCACAGAAGAGCAAAAGGTACCTGAGCCCACTCTACAGTGCATGTCTCTCGTGCTGTTGCGCCCCTTGCCCCGGTGTAGGGAAAAGCCGGGATCCACCCCCAGAAAGTCGCCCCGGCGCCATGCCCACAGCGGTTTAGGGCGCCTACCAGCACTGGGCAGCAGTGGTAATTCAACAGGCGCTAGTGGACGCCAGCTCGCTGCACAACGCGAGACCTGCCGGGTCCTGCCAGTCCCCCCCGGGGCTCTGCGGGAAGCTTCTTTTCCTTCTTCTTACTCTTCTCCCCTCTTCCCCCCCACACAGCGCCTAATTATTACCTCTGCGTCTTACTGCTCAACCAAACAAAAAAAGAATCGCTGTTTACAACCGCTACGGTGTTTTGTCGTTTCTTTTGGAAATTGATTTGCTCTTTATCGATACCGATCTTTGCGTATTGCTGCTTTTTTGGTAGTTTGGGCTGCCTAGTTTACTATTACATTGATTGATTCTCGTCGTCTCCCGCGTGACAGACACACCCCAAAGAAACCAGCCGTTATAGGCCTCACCTAACCCAGACAACGGACAAGCACGAGAACACTACATCAGCCGTGGCGCAGACTGCAGCACACGACGCTTCACGGTAATCCCGACTGTTCCTCGGCTCAGCAGCAGATGCTGCCATTTATACGTACCTAAGCCCAACGCTCGATCTGAAGCCAGCAACGCTTCGCACCACCAAATACACATACATACACGGCCGCCGCCATGCCGGGAATTCTTCCTATGAAGGTCATCAAAGTGGGCAATAGCGCTCAGAGCCGCATTGCCCAGGCCTGTGATCGCTGCCGAAGTAAAAAGATACGCTGCGACGGCGTCCGGCCCACGTGCTCCCAGTGCGCCAACGTCGGTTTTGAATGCCGCACAAGCGACAAACTGAGTCGTAGGGCATTTCCCCGTGGTTATACAGAGTCACTCGAAGAGAGAGTGAGGCAACTGGAGAGCGAGGTCCGTGAGCTCAAAGACCTACTCGACGAGAAGGATGAGAAGATTGACATGCTCTCGGCCATGCACAGCGGGCGAAGACGAGCATCTGTCACTTCTGCCACAACGCCTGCACCTAGTGACCTTTCAAAGGATAGCCCGCCACCCAAGGAGGATACATTTCGCTTGCAAGCGTCGCCGCTGTTGCTAGGTGTGGAAAACTCGGACGCATATTTCATGGGCTCCTCCAGTGGTCGCTCATTCATCCGTAAGTTTGGACCGTTATTTTCTCCACTGTCTGCCCTTCAACCAGCTTGCTAATATTATCCGTTTATTTTATTAGACACATTCAAGAGAAAGATTCAAGAGACGGGCAAGCCGTGCAGCGAGTTCAACCCAGAGGCCTTTTTGCACATGCAAGGCTGCGCACCTTTGACCAGCAAGGTGTCAGCAACACCTATGAGATTACCGCCGCGCATTTTCTCTGACAGATGCGTCAATGTCTATTTCCAAGAATGGGCACCTTTATTCCCTATTCTTCACAAGCCAACATTCCTTCACATTTACGAAGAATTTGTGGCTGACCCTGAAAAGGTCAAGAACCCCTACAAAGTTGCTCAGCTCTATCTAGTCTTTAGCCTCGCTGGACTTTCTGCCTCATCCCCGGATCTGCAGCAGCTGGCTGCCTGTGAGAAGCGATGGGTGGAAGCTCTTGAGCCCATGCTGTTGGAAAACACAATGAGCACGTTACAGTGCGTCACGCTTGCTCTGCTCTACTTTACTTTGACAGCCGACTACCGTCGCCTTCAGCACTACAAGTCCATTGCAGTCGGCTTGTCACAGCGTCTGGGTCTGCATCAGAGCCAGAAGCGCTTTTCATTTGGCGCCTTGACACTGGAGACACGCAAGAAAGTGTTTTGGACTCTGTACACGCTTGACTGCTTCTCTGCAGCAACGTTGGGCCTTCCTAAGCTGTTTAAAGAAGAGGATGTACAGACTGAGCTCCCATCTGATACAGATGATGAGTACATCACTGAAAAGGGCTTCCAGCCTACTCTTCCTGGTGAGCACACGCGCTTGTCAAATGCGCTTGCCCTCTTCCGCGCGGCGCGAATTCTGGCGTCTGTGTTGGAGAAGAACTATCCTGCTGCAACAACGTACGACTTGTCGCTGCAGCAAATGAGAAATTTGGACGCAGAGCTTGAATCGTGGTATGAGAGTTTGCCTCCTCACCTGCGACTCAACTTTGTGCAAGACAAGCCCTCCACCGACGTGACTGGTAGCAGGTCTCCATTCTTGGTAAGTCTACATGCACAATATAGAGGTATACAAAGGTATGCTAACGAAATGATACTAGGCCATGACCTACTACTACATCCGCACGCTCATTTACAGACCGGCTGTAGGGTCAAGTCTCGGGTCCAAGGCTGCTCCGGCCTTGCTAAACATTGCTGATGCTAGCAAACACATGATTCAAATCACCCAGCTGCTGGAGGAGAGAAATCTGTCGTTTTCTTTCTGCCTGAACAAGTGCGACATACTGGCCATGTGCGCGCTGACTCTGCTGTATCAAATTATCGATCTCAAGCCCCAGAGCAAGATGATGAAGGATGACGAACGTCTCGTCAATGTCGTGGTAAAGATGCTAGACCAGCAAAAAGCGCCTGGCTCTATTGACTTACGCAAAGCGGCGCTGCTGCTGATTTCGGTAGATGGCTCTTCGCAACGGTCGGCCGGTTCGGCTAGCCCATCACTCCAAAAGGCTCCGTCACCATCTAAGTCCTCGTCGCATGGCCGAAGAAAGAGCGGTTCATCGTCTCGAAATTCAGCGCCACAGCAGCATCACAAGCATGATTCATCGTCTCGCCGCATGACTGCGCCTAGCTTACCTGCTGCCGAGTCTCTGGTGGAAACGGCGACACGCAAGTCGTTTGAAATCGCGCACCCAGAGGGTATGCTCAATGCTAAAGACCCTCTGTGTCTGGGTCTCTCGGACGGCATGACTCCCACATCCACTTCGTCTGCTTCGAGAACCAACTTGGACTACTTGTCCCTGGGCAACACGCCGTCTGGCTCACGGCCCGCAACGCCGAGCCGCTCCCGCCAGCGCTCTGCACCTACGCTCATGGCGCATCAGACGCAGGTCATGTCTAACGCGCAGCTGGCCGCCAAGATGGCTGGTGTTGCATCGAATGAGTGGGAGACGCTGCTTGGCACCATGGACGGAGGCATCAACAACATGTACGATGCCATTTACGGGGGCGCGACGCTCATCTCGGAGCCGGCGCTGTCTAACACGACGGGCAGCAGCGAGTGGTCGCCAGACTCGTGGGACCTCAGTACATTCAACCTAGGAGATTTTGGAGCTACAGCTGATGCCCCTCAGAGCGTGTTGAGTATTAGTGAGGAGAGCCTGAGCTCTGGTGAAGAGCTGGCGACGTCGGATCTTAGCCTCGGCCAGGCCAACGTGGACTTTTACAAGTTGCCTTCCACTGCTGCCGGCGGCGAGAGTTTTACTGTGGACAACCTCGAAGGGTTCATCATGTAATTCTTTTTGTTTTGATTTTCTTGTTGAATTTTCTGAATGACATGACGGCTTATGTATGTATGGCGTTTTGACAAGCGAGGGCTACCTGGAGTAGGTATGATGACTAACTTATGGCGTCATTTTTGGGAAGAGGGTGCGTTGTTGAGATGATAATTTGAATATTCTGGTTTTATGAGTGACTGCAATTTCTATTCTTCATACTGCAATTTTCCTATTATTTTCCAAATTTTATTTTATTCCTCTGTAACCAGAATTTCGCTCCTATACACTGTAACTCGGCAGAACCCGGATTTAAGGAACCTGGTGCTGCGTAGCCGAGAACGCTGTGGCGCCTGCGGAGTTTCCGGCCCCCGCCACTCCGACCGATCACCGGGCCACGCTTGCACTTACAACCGACAGACACCGTCATCTCCATTATCACCAGTACACTCAGCCACCATCTCATGAACCTCTTTAAATAGCACATAGATACTCCTCATAGAATCGCTCATTCACACACCTGCTCTTTTGCATGTTGGCTCCTAGGCAATCTCTCCTCCCTACCCTCCGCCACTCCACCACCGCTACCAGACACTACAAACGCAGCCTATCCTTTGCCGCCATGGCATCATCTCCTTCATCTACTGGCAAACATGCCGTCTCCGCAGGTAAGCCGGCTACGTAGTCTTCAGGATACATGAAAACTAATAAGCATTGCAAAGCCCCGTGGACGGCCGCTGTCGTCTCAGCACAGAACAAGTCGCGGCTACTACCCCAAGCCATTGCGCATCGCGGATACAAGGCAGAGTGGCCTGAAAACACCATCGAGGCCATGAGAGGAGCTGTCGAGGCTGGTGCGCATGCCATCGAAACAGATGTGCACTTATCATCAGACGGTGTCGTCGTGCTCTCACATGTATGCTCTCTGTGTTGTTATCACAAGTACTCATCTTGCTAACATTCCTTGCGCAGGATCCCACGCTGAAGCGCTGCTATGGCAAAGAAGACAAGATTTCAGACTGTGACTGGGAATCACTCTCCAAGTTAAAGACCCTCAAGGCGCCGCATCTCAGCATGCCCCGGCTGATTGATGTTCTGGAGTGGATGAACAAGCCAGCCAACCATGACATCTGGGTGCTTCTCGACATCAAGGTACGCACTGAGGCAATTCATTAGTTTACTTGGCTAACAAGCGCAGATTGATGACCCAGAAGATGCCCTCCTAGCGGCCATTGCCTCCGCCCTAGACAGCGTGCCCCCTCGCTCTGCGCCGTGGAAGAGCCGCATCGTCCTCGGGTGCTGGAACGTACGTAACACGCTGTAAAACCACATTACTACCCAATCTAACACACGCATATAGGCAACCTTTTTGAAAGCAGCACGCAAACATCTCCCAGAACACGCCATAGTCCACATCTCCTACTCGCTATCCTACACATCACACTTCCTCGAACAGCCTAATGTCGGCGCCAACATTCTGCAACGCCTACTCCCAGGACCCTTTGGATCGTCCTTTATGCGCCGCGTCGCCGGCCCGCTCCTCGTATGGACCGTCAACTCGCCCAAGGCCATGGAGTGGTGCCTAGATGCGAACCTGACACGGCGCAACGGCGTCATAGACGGCGTCATCACTGACGATCCTAAAGAATACTTGGCCGTCTGCCGTCGGTGGGAGGACGAGCAGGACGGCCTTGTTGCAAGGGCGCCAGCACTAAGTATCATGCAGGCACTACGGGCTAGACTGGGCGATATGTTTGAGTTTGTCGGGGTGCAGAGCGCATGGACCCTTTTCTTTCTAGTCCGGCGCTTTTGGGCTGGCAAGATGGATTATCTGAAAAAGGGCGAGGTGCTATAGGAGATAGTACACAGCTGGTAGTAATACAGCTTCTGCTGATGACGACACTAATGATAATTACCTAGAATATGATACACGGGTAGGACGATAATAGATCGACAGATATGAGCTGACTGGCACAAGGGTTGCTGGTGCAAGATGTATATGATAGAATTAATGCAGACGGTGCTTTACTTTCTAACTTTTTTTAGACTGCTAATGTACACGAGAGAACCCCCCAAAACGCCGGCTAAACCAAAAGATGCAAAAAAACACACAAGACGATCAAATCTCCACGTCAATGTCCAGATCCAACGATCCAATGACATCGTCGTCCATGATGGGCTTGTGGATGGTAGGCATTCCCTTGCTGTCCAGCTGCGGCGTCTTGTTGAGCTGGATAAAGGACGAGGCCTTAGTAGCTCCCAGTGTCGGTGTACCAACCGACGGTGTTCCCTTGCCGCTGCTTCGGATACCTGCCTTGGACTCGGCGCTCTCGTTGACATCGTGCACAAACTTGGCCTTGGTGCGCAGACGGCGCGACATGTCTTCGCGGACCTCCTCGCCTCGCTCCACGGCAGCCTCAATCTCTCGCGCCTTGGCTCGCTCCTTAAGCTGCGCCTTTCGCACGGCCTCCTGGTTCATGCGTCTGTTCTCGCGGTTGCGAGCAGCCAGGCGCTCCTGTTCGCTTGAAATCTTGGTGCCGTCGTACACCTTGTTGGCGCCCAGACTCGTCTTAAAGGCAAGACGCTGCGTGCCTAGGTTATCAAGCTCGGCCTGCAACTCGTCCATCTTGAGTTTATCATCTGCCACTGTAGCTTCTTCAAGCAGACGAGCCACACGCTCGCGCTCCCCAGGGTCGAAGCGGCGGCGGAAGTCGTTCTTTCTCTTGAGGCGCGCCTTGATTTCCTCGTTGGTCCACTTGTGGTTGATCAAGTCGTTAATTCGGTCAATCTTGTTCAAGAGGTGCTCCTTGGTGGGCAACTTGACGCCCTCATTGTGGCATGTTACCGTGTAGCGGTTCAGCTCGGCTTCGGTGAACTTGCTGCTAGAGGCTGCGATGAAGGGAAACTCCTTCACAGCCTTGCCGTGCGCTGCCTTGATATACTGGTCTGTCACAAAGGAGCCGTTTGGTCCGTTGATGGCGTACGGTCTGCTGTTGGTAAATCCCTTAATCATCGCCATGCGGTACTGCTCCACACCAGTCTCGGGATGGGGGCCAAGCGCAATGCGGATAAAGCAGCCAGTGATGGATGACTCAAATCCAGGCGTAAAACACACCTGCGCAAACTCGTTGCGTCCCAGGCGAACTCGGTCATAATCGCGCAGCTCGGCAGGCGGCAGCTCCTTAGCCTCTGCCCGTTCGGGCGTTCGCGATCGTCGTCGGCCGTAATCGTCATCGCTATCTTCTTCTTCAGAATCCTGTCGATCGTCCGAGTAGGCGTCGCGGCGACGGCCATGGTCCTCTCGTCGCTTCTGCATCTCCGCGCGCGCCTTGCGTAGCGAATCCATTCCCTTGCCGGTTCGCGTCTTGGACTTTCGGGGGCTGTCGTCGAGATCATCGTCGGCTCCGCGCTTCTTGCCCTTGTACCCCTCCTTTTCGACGTCCGTAACCATCTGGCGCAGCAGGCGGTTCTGGCGTTGTCTGTTCGCTTCCGTCGTACGTTCAGCCAGAATCTGTTCTCTTTCTATTTCTCTCATGGCCATAATCTCAGCCTTATCCTTTTCGCTCTTGTACACGCCGTCGATCGGGTACATCTCGTCCTGGTCGGCAGCACCGCCTCTGTTTCTCGAGGGCTCGCCATCCGAGTCGGATTCATCCATGGCCACGGAATCTTGTGAGTCGTCGGAGCTGTTCCGTTCGAGTTAGCTGTCAGCTCATAACGTTTTCTGCAGCAGTGATGCAGCACTTACGCTTCACCATCTTCAGAATCATCACGGTTGCTGCGGTTAGATCTCTTGGCCTTGCCACCGCGCTTCTTGGGAGGAGGCGACGGCGAGCGATAGGAGTCCTCACTATCGGAGCCACCCGCCAGGTCGAGGAGATCTGCGTTGACGTCGATGTCCGACATTTTGGCTGCTGCTGCTTTCGAATAGTTGAGTGGGTTCGATGTGTCTTCAGCCCAATGCGAAGCCGTCTCAAGCGCGATTGAAGATTCTGTTTGTGCGCGTAGCCTGCACGCCGTGTATCTGAATGTTGCAATGCGACGTGATTCAATTGAATGCGGCAGACGAAGAATGAATATTAAAATAAAATAAAGCAACGCGCTGTCTCAGTCGAAGATGCAACGATGGATTTACAGGCAAAGTCGATGGCCTGTAGGATGATGAAAAAGAAATCTGCAATGGCAAAGGAGTTGCACCGCATACACTTGGGAGACTTAGTGGCGAGCGCGCGGTGGCCACACGTGTTGGCAGCAAGCGCAAAGAGGCTCCCGCAAAAGAGTTTATCCGCCCGCTCTCCATCATGTAAATGACAACAAAGTGACCCGTTTCTGAACTTGGGTTGCCCTCCAGATCAATCAGTTTCCAAGAAACACAGACAATTGGAAAATGGCCTCGATACGATATTCTTCCAGCTCGTTGCTGGCAAAATGCTCCGCGGCGTCCGCAGCTCCCGCCGCTGGCAGATGCATCGCCAACACCAGCCGAGTGCGCAACTTCGCGACAGAGACCTCCCCTCCAAAGAAGCTCAAGCCATTGACGCAGGAACAAAAAGATTTCCTCTCATCCGCCGTATGTTCCAGCTTCCTCTTCTCTTCTATCTCACCACACATCCACTAACATCATCGTTTCTTCAGCTCCGCGTCAACCAAGCGGGCGAGCTCGCCGCCACCCTCATCTACAAAGGGCAAACACCACCTATTGTCCGCCAACACCCTCACCTCCGCCCGCTCATGAAGCACATGTACGACCAAGAAGCTGGCCACTTTGACACATTCAACGCCTTAATACACAAGCACCGAGTCCGCCCAACAGCCCTATACCCCGTCTGGTCGGTCCTCGCCACAGGCCTGGGCTGGTCAACCGCTCTGATGGGCCGTGAGGCAGCCATGGCCTGCACGGAAGCAGTCGAGACGGAAATCGGCAACCACTACAACGAGCAAATCCGCACTCTTATTGAAATGGTCACACAATGGAAGCAGGAAGGATACGAAGTCAGCGACGAAATCTCCGAGCTCACCAAGACGCTGCGCAGAATACGAGACGAGGAGCTGGAGCATCTCGACCATGCCGTTGAGCACGATGCGAAAAAGGCAGAGCCGCATTGGTTACTGACAGGCGTCATTCGTGCAGGCTGTAAAGGCGCCATCTGGGTTAGCGAACGCGTCTAGAGCTTGGTTGATGCGAGAAGTGGCCCTCTGTTGTATTATATTGTAGCATATTGTTAGAAAATGCGTCTTAGCAGGTGAATTGTAATATGATTAATCTATTATGAATAATGCCACCATCGATGGTGGCGGTAATGCTAGTAGTATGAGTGGGAAAAGCAGACAAATGTAAAACAAAACCAAGAACAATACCAACGGACCCCAAATTTTTATGATTAATCCAATGCTTAGTTACTGCAAGTTTGGTGTGGTTAGCAAGATATTCTGATAAGAACAATAACGCAAAGAATAACTTACTAAATAGCCAGCGGCGCAACACCATCAACTTGGTATCCCCAGTTTCCATTCTGATCCTCTGTAATAAGCCAGTCGTATGGGAACTGTACCAAGTTGCCTTGCACCATTTTAAGAAGCTCTTCAGCCTCGGCACGGTTAGGCATTTCTTCAGACGTCGACCACCGCTTGCTGCCTCTAGTCGTCGCGCGGCGGCGTCGTTTGACAGATTCGTTTGCCGTCACCGTACCACTAATATCCTTGGGCTTTTCTGTAGCCGAAAATGTTGTCTTGCGCTCACGGACGGTGCTTTTATTGGCATCCAGAGGCGGTGCTTCAGTAGTAGTATCAACTGCAACTTCATCAGCGCCATTGACTTCACCATTAACTGGCTGGGGAATACGCTCCTTATCGCCAGGAGTAGAGCTCTCTTGCTTCTCATTTTCCACATCAGTCTCGCCAGGAATGATAATCTTTTCAACAGCCTCTTCAGGCTTCGCACCAGTGGCTTCAGCAAGTGCATCCACGTTAGGAACGGCAACACCAATAGAACCACCAGTAGACGGCTTATGTCCATTAGGCTCACTGTTCAGACCCAGATCATCGGGGGCGCGCTCATCCATGCTTTCCTTGAATCGCTTGCCGTAATCGATGAACTCACGGTAGTCCGACCAGGTCTTAACTTCGGAATCTGGCATGCAGCGGAAAACTCGGCGGTATAGCTTTGTGTTATTGCGCGCCACGCGGTTCCAAACATCTTCCATAAAGCCTGGTACAAGAGGATCAATCATGCAGTCCTTATGGATTTCAGCCAAGCGAATGTCCGCCGCCATAGGATGGAAAGCACCACTGACAGGGAGGCCGGTGGTAGGATCAATATGCATTGGGGGGCCTCCAATATCAGTGTCATCTGCTATTGGCACCGTTGGCAAGGCATGGCTCTTTGGTGCATCTGGTGTACCGCTCGCGGGGCCCGGGGCGGGAGGGAGATCAGGATTTGAAGGCTTGTTTGCAGCTGTATCTGTCGGCTGCTTAGGTGTGGTCTTAGAGCCTTGCTCAGGGTGATCAACACTGCCGTGGCCTTCAGTGGCAATATCATGAACCAAGACTTCTCTACCAGCAACCACAACCGAGTCACGGCCATCTCCAACAGGAACCTTGGAAGAAGCATTTGCGACCCGGGTTCCACCAGTACGGGCATTATCTGCGATGGGATCTGCGCTGTAGATCTCATCCAATCTTTGATCAAATGTCTCTTGTTCAAATTCAGCCTCGCGTTCTTCTTCCAAAATCTGGTCGGTGTCTAGTCCAAGATGCTCTCGCATTAGGCGAAGTCTCAGACTATGGGCAAACCTGCCCACCTGGTATGGCTTGCCACCCATTGTAGTCCATATCATGTCAGTATCACGGACAATAGCGGCGCATTCTGAGTCTCGGCTGCCAACCATGGAGCGTTCGTTGATATTGGCAGATCCAATCAAGGCTACGCGGTCATCTACAATCATGGCTTTGGCGTGGATATAAAGTTGTTCAGTAACAAGAGCATCAGTGCTCATGACTCCCCATTGTCGGAGAGAGAAGAAATCGATGTATTGTTCTGGTTCGATACCAGCTGCGCGCAGGCGTCCAAAGACGGATTCCTCGCCTCTGCAAATACTTCGAAGTTGACACATGATGATGAGACGGACACTTGTGCCTTCTTGCTCGTCGACGGTGTTTTGGAATCCAGGCATAAGTGGAATCAGAATGACAGCACGCCAATTTTCCTTGTTCTCATGAGCGCGGATAATTCTCTCCACAATTGCGTCACCAATGCGGTTCACAATCTTGGTACCATATGCTTCGGTACTGGTAATGAAGAACTGGTTCTCAATGTAGACAAAATGTTCCGAGTCTTCAATCATCTTGACATAGGCAGTCTGAATGCTGTGTTCCGTCTCCTCAATACCCAGCGACCAGTTGGACGCCGATCTCAGAATCTGAACCTCACAAGTACCTGTTAGGCCGAGCGCTTCTAATTCTTCAAACTTTGCATCAGGAGGAGGCAGGAGGAAGGGTAGGGGGCGTGTGGATTTACGACCGCGACGCAAGTAGTTCCATCGCTGAACGAAGTGACGAGTCAAATCTCTGGCAGGCTGGCCAACAACTTGCATCGAAATGTCGTGCCAGGCCATGCGAGGAACCTTGCTTCGGTCGTACATTTCCTCATACGGCTCATTGAGTCGGAAGAAGTCCTGAACACGAGGATTAGAGTAATCCTTTCCTGGGAAGAGTTGGCAGTGTTCCATATCACGAGGCTGCTCTGTCACTTCAAAGCCAGTGGGCTTGTCATCAGCAATGGGATGCTGAGGGCAATCCCATCGGCCAAAGCACAGATCAATTCCGCCAACAAAGGCCACATCGTGGTCGACAACGCAAATCTTTTCGTGGTGAGCAAAGAAGAACTGGTTCTTCTTGAACTGATTCGGCGAACGCTGAACGAAGATGTTGGGATGCAAATTGAGCAGCGAAAACTTTGTATGCTCTGAATCAATCGGGATAGCAGCCTCCACGTTGCGGTAGATGATGACGAAAATCTTCACTCCTTCGCGAGCCTTTTTCTGCAGTAGACGGTCCAAACGCCACTTTTGGCTGATAGCCGCAGGGCGTCTCATGTATAGCTCGGGAGTCAGCCACCAGTCGTGGATATAGATGACATCCTTTGCCATGTTAATAGCGCGGGAAACATTCCACATGTAATCACGACCATCAACAAGCCATTGGGCAAAGACACCAGTTCTCACCGGGGCAAAGCTTTCAAATCGCTGGGGTTTGTTCCAAACGGTCTCACGAAGCATTTCCGCCATGGACTCCTCGAATTGCTTCATGACGGACTGATTTCGGGAGAAGAGGCGAACTTTACGCTCCGAAGTTTTCAGAGTCAATGTGTGGTGCTTCTCCGTGGCAGGTTCGGCAGTTAAATCAATCTCCGAGGTTTTTGACTTGGATCGTATTTGCTTGAGAGGGTTCCTCTTGGAAACGATACTAAACTTGGAATCAACCAGATAGACGTCGTAGATGTTCATGTTTTCTGGGGATTCAACGCAGACAATATAGCTTTGGCGAACAAGAAACCACTTTCTGCTGTGGCGCGCAATCACCTTGGCTGGTGTTAGTACGCGGCGAAAATCAAGCCCCTTTGACGACTGGATGTGCAGATAGCCCTCTTTGCCATGGTAGCTGCCTTCAGCTGCAAGACGGACTCCTAAAGCAGAAAGCTCTAGGAATCGGCACAAACGGTTGCTGTCGGCGCGGAACATGAGCCAACGAATCATCTCGGAGAGGTACTTTTCGAGAATACGTCGTTGTTTCTCAACGTAGCGCTGTCTCATTGCTTCTTTGTCTTCCTCTCCAGCCGCATCATCGTCTTCAGGATTTCCAACCGATCGACGGCGAATACCGAGCATGCCGACACGCGATCGCTTTCGCTGGTGGCGATGTGGACTACCAACTTCTTCGTGAGCAGGGGTACTAGGTTCGCCGTTGCCTTCATGCTCATCATGATGTATATCCTCTTCGTTGATTCCATCGACATGATGGTTGGCATCGTCGTCAGAGTCGTCCTCGCGAACACTATCCTGGACTTCTTCTTCGCTGCTCTCATCTTTGTCTCGAGCTCCACGAAGGTACGGGAAAGCGGAATATGGGAACTTGGGTTGCTTGGGCCTTCCACCCATATCTCTACCAAGCATGTATTTGTCGTTATTGAGAGCAAATCTGTATCGGAAGTGCAAGTTGTAAATATCTTTGATGGTGCGTGTAACAGTCCAAATCATTCGACTTGGGCCACTGCCGTACTCTAATTCCATAGTGAAGCTCCAATGACGCTCTTTTTCATCATCGGGCATAGGAGAGCTATCTTTGATTCTGAGTTTGAGCTGCTCAAGCAAGACAGGGATGCGTTTGTTGCCATGTTCATCACGCTGGATCATACTTGCGAGCATCAGCGCAGCGGGTGCACCAGCTCGCAGTTCTGCCATGAGTTCGGCAGATTTAAAGTAGTCGAAGCGGTCCTCTTTCTTTTGTCGGAGAAGTTTTAATGTGCTCTTCACTTGCTTCCATTTTGCAACACCATAAGTAGAAGCTGCTCGGAGCTCTGAGTTGAAGAAGGGTCGTCTTGGAGTCATAGCATCTCCATCGGATACACCACCACCGCCAAACACTGTGATGCGACGAACATGACCCGGCCCTTGTCTGCGACTGACTGCATTGGAAGTCTCTGCGCCGTCGTCATCGTCATCCGCTGGTGCTGCATGCATCCAAGAATGACCCCTTCGTGCGAACGGTCGACGACGGTGGTCTTTGCCTTCACCTTCTGACATGACCTCATTATGTTCGCTTCCATCCGGCATGCTGGCGCGGCGGCGAAGGAAGCGGTCTCGGGAGATGAATGGCTCAGAGCCATGGCGGGAGTGTCCAGGAGAAAACGGCGTTTGCATCTCGCCTTTAATAAAGCGTCTCATACGACGCTTCTTTCGACCGGGCGTGGCCACAGCGGCGGGTGCTGCTTCGTCTGCCGTATCATCGATATCAGCATCTACGTCGTATTGTTCTTCGTCAAGCGTCTCAGCGAGTCGATGCTTGCCCTCGTGGGATGGGCTAGCCGCTGCACTAGTATCAGGGTGCTGGTCGGTATTGCGAGGGTGTTGGCTGCCGGTTGGTGACGTGAGTGACATCAATTTTGACATAAATGAAGGTCCTTTGGTCTTGCCTGGCGTTTCGGGGGTGTCGACAGAATTGCGTCGGTCCGCGTTCTTATAGTCGCCAGTGTTGACAGTTGAAAACTGAACATTACGTTGGCCAGTGCCTGATGGCGAGTCGAGGGCACCATCAGCATTGAAGGTGTTTCTACTTGTTTCCGTCGGTAAGCCTGTGTGGCTAAGCTCGTCGGCCGCATCTTGAACCGCCTTATCCAGGTCCGACGACACCGTCAGGGGTGGGAGCAGGCCACCAGAGAGAGTTGGGGCAGCGTCTAGGGGCCCAATGTCGTCGTCATGTTGTATTTTCGCTATGGGTGAAGCTGCATCAGCTTTTGTGGAAGCCATGGCTCGATCGTGTAAGGGGTTGCGATGGTGTGGTTACAGCTATGTAGCTCAACCAAAGCAGCTCAAGTTCCACGCGTAGAGCGGACGCCCAAGCTTCGTGTATGACGATCGACCGAGGCTGTTGGAGTATATATAAATCGGAGAGGCGGTGAAGGTGGAATGCTGTTATGCGTTGTTGCTGAAAGAGAAGAAGCTCTCAACTAGGCGAATGATAATAGTGGCCAGCAACCCGCGGTTGATCGACAAGGGGAGCTCGGGTCGTTGTGCAACTTGCAAAAGCCGTCGGATCGGTGAAGAGTATCGTGCAAGTACCCCCAAGCTGAGCAAGACTAGTCCATGTGACGAGGACGCGACAAGTGCAGCAGCAAAAAGCCAAAATGTCGTCAAGTCGTGTTGGAGTCGAGAAACGGTCCACGTGGGGGAAACAAGAAGCCCAGGCTCCTGACGATGCGAGTGACAGATTTCGGCAACGCCCCGTGTTTGATTTAGCGCAGTGCACAGCACCGTATCCACTGTAATAGTTGCTATGCAAAAGCTACTGTAGTTACTACCTACTGTAGGTACATTAGCGGGGCGGGACGCCGGCACGCTGCAGAAGGGGTGGTGCCCGCCACGTTTTTTTAGAGGGCGCCGTATGGACCCTGCTGACCTCTAGAGAGGACACCAATTGGAATATGTGAACGGCGGATGCAATAAGATCAACAAATAATTAGAACGGATAAACCCCACCGGATACACACAACCGGATACACACACCAATCAAGTGCATATTCCATTCAGTTCATTCATCCATCCATCATGTGTGTGCATCCGAGGTGCTTAACGGGGAGAACACCAGTTCGAATATGCGCGGCCGCAACCTATAGTTACCACAGGAGAACTGCAGACTGATGAAATGGGAGTTCTCGAGCTGTGTTGCCGCAAATTGTCTGTCCTAGCCCATAGTTCTGCGGGAACACAAGGCGTTGTTGCGACTGCTAGGAATGTAGCTGCCTAAGAGCTACAGTAGACATGCAGACAAGCCACCTCGACCTATAACAACAGAATGGACACACCACCACAGATACGCTCAATCAAACATATCACGACCAACACACGCCTTCAAGCATTGGCTCAACATGGCTGAATATGCAGTCGACGATGAAATCGCAGCCTTTTTTGCCAAGACGACTGTAACGATAGAAGAATGTGAAGCAAAGGGTCGAGAGCTCGCGCAAAGCCAGAAGCTTGATCCCGTGCCCATCCAAGGCGTGTGCAGCTACACCATGTACGCCGGTGAAAATTTGGAATACGTTATCCAGTGTCGTCTAAAGTCGCTGGCACTCAACACGGAAATGTCGGACCTGGCCACCAAAATCCACGGCTCGTTGGTACCGACAGTATCTCTACATGGCGAATTGGGCACTGAGCAGGACGGACGTGAACCTCTGCTGGTGTACCTAATGACACGCATGCCTGGCATCACACAGCTTAACTTTGTCCTCGCTCGAGACAATCCTCAAACTTCTCAAGAATTTTATCTTCCGCGTCAAAATTTCTTCTCAAGTGTTGCAGGGTAAGTAGCTAAGAGTCATGTTGTGCCCATCTGCTAACATCACCTAGTTTCTTTGCACAATCATGGCGCAGTTCACAGCAAGTTTCTGTAGAATACCGCGATGAGCTAGAAAGAAGCTATAGAACAGATTTGACACTTCTTCTAGATGGTCTTCCAGGCAGATTCTGGCGTTGTATCCAGAATTGTCTGGCCTCACTTACCGACATCATGGCATTGCCCATGGTTCTCCTCCACAAGGATTTTGGTGCCTGCAACTTGCTTGTAGACCCCGAATCATGCTACTTGAAAGGCGTAATCGACTGGGCTGAGGCTGTCATCAGCCCATTTGGTCTGAATTTACACTCTCTTCAGGCATTTGCGGGATCAATGCACCTCCGCAATGGCTGGTCTAGGTTTCCTGACTACGATGCTTTGGAGCACACGTTTTGGTCGACCTTTGCTACAGAAGTCGGTGGACTACCTTTGGAAACATTGGTTACCATCAAAAGAGCTCGAATTCTCGGTCATCTTTTGTCACATGGCTTCACAAGCCGTCTTGCAAACGAGGCGGAGCCTGTACCACTAAGGGATGATGAGAACGGCCGATATAATATGATGTATCTCGATGGATATCTGATCAATCCAGCCACGAAGATGGATGGAGTGGATTAGCTATTTTATTAATCATATAAAATTATATGGTATTGATCTGAAATCCTGCTGGTTTAGGAAAGCCGCAGTGCCTCAAAGTTAAACTCAGCATCCATGACCTCTAGCTGTGACGACGCAGGCCAGTTCGGATGTACAACAAAATGAAGTCGAGCCGTCTTTGCCGTTTTGTCTACCAATATAGTACTGTCGACAATCCTAGCCGCCTCGGGTATGTCTTCATAGTCGAAATCATCGTAGCTTGTGTCGTCGCTGCGCATGCGCCGCGCTCGTTCCTCTTCTAATTCGATGAGTCGCTCTGCGTATTCTGCGAATATCATTGAGTCGAACAGGCCACAGAGACTCGCCCGGCGAAGCAACTTTGCTGCTCGTTTTCTCATGCTTGATTTGCGACATTTTGCAGATATTAAAAAGAGGCAGAGGGCTATGTTTGACTCTAGTGTAAACGGGACCGGGCCTGGAGCGTCTGGCGGTGTTATCGCCGATGATGGCGAGTCTCGTGGCGATGCGATATTGCTGAGTTGGAAGTACCGATCTGCTGTCGCCAACATGTGTTTAAACTGTCCATCGAAACGGTCGCTGCTAGACTCATCTTCATCTCTCCAAATAGAGCTAAATATCCAGATGCTGGTGAAATGCATCTGCATCTTCAAATGCGTCTTGAGCGTTTCACCTCGCTGCTGGATTGGGATTGCGACGAATGCCGACATGTACATGGTTAAATTCCGTCGTACATCTTCCATTTCTTTCACTAGTTCAAGATGCTCGGTGAGGTCCATGAATCGACTCGTTGCCTCCGTAAGACACACGAGATCGTTGGCTGTCGCGTTTGGAAACTCTTGTTTGGCTACCGCTGCCGCAATCGCCATCAGTCTACCACGGACTCGGTGTACTGCGTTGGCTAATACATCGAGGTGAACCTGAGCCTCATCTAGCGAGAGGAAAGATGTCGGGATTTTGCAGCAGTTTAATATAAATTGAGGTTCTTCTTGGCCACGGAAGCATAAATCTGTATCCATTTTCGCAAATGTTTGGATCACTAGGACAGGTTAGCAAGGTGCTGTACTATTGTGGCAGCTAGGGTCTTTTAATGCATACAGCTATCCAGAGGAGTGATGGACTGTGTCTGTAGCCGCATCTCTTGCCGCTTTTGTGCTAATGTTGATATCGATTTGTCTGTAATAGTTGGCTCTCGCTTGGCAGCGCTGATTTTGGACCAGCGCGACGCTCGGTCGCGGATAATCTTCATTGCCAGGTCGTAATGGACGGTGGCATTATTTTCAAACTGGAGAATTTCTATGGAGAGGAATAAAAGACAGACAACAAGCTGCCTTGGTGTTAGCAAATGGATCAAATACAGAGTGGTAAAGCACTTCTCTGTAACTCACACATATTTCAGCCTCGGCGTCAGAGTAGTCTCCATTCGATATTCCACGGACGTATTCCCGCATAAACTTGATGCTAAGTTCCTGTTAGTTGAGACACCCTTATTCAATTCTAGAATAAGGAATATTAGGCTACCTTTTGCAATACTGGTCAATAGCAAACTGGTGGCGGGTATCTATGATGGACTCTGACAGCGCCATGCGTTGATGATAGCTCTTGAATGCATAGCCTTCTGTAGACCACTGGTAAAATGCACTAAATGAGGTAATGGCATGAAACACTGCAGGCACTTTTTGCCCAATATGAAGAACGGAATGAGCCCATGAAGGAAGCCAAGATGACGTGCTGTTCGGACTTGACCCCAAATGGAGCCTAAAGTAGTCGAATGTGTTGCTCTCAGCAGGAGTTACTGCGAACGGTAGAGTTGGAGGGTGAAGTACTAGGGGAAATAGCGAGTCATCAAACACGTTATCAATGGCCGCTCGCCGTCGGCTGCAGGATTGAGAAGCCGTCGTCTCATACCCGGGACACTTTCGCTTGGACGCCACACATCTGTAGCAGGCAGGTCGTTGTTCATCACATTTTATACGCCGGTCCCTAGAATCCGGTTGGTTAGGGACATGCTCCACACATGACAATCGTATGTGATCAACCTACCTGCAGGTTTGACAACCAGTTCTTGTCTTGGGAGTCTTTCTCCTCTTGCGTAGAGGCGGATCAGCGGGCTCTTCGTGCATTGCTACCATTCTTCCATACACTGTGCGATGTGTTCTGAGCTAAGAAAAAAAAGCATTGTAAATGAAGCAAAACAAATATTTGCTCCGATACGGCGCAATGACGTGGGCTGGTCCACTTGATGCGTCGTCTTTAATTGCTTGAGCAAAGACGCCTTTCAGACTGCCTTGGCGGTTGTACAGTAGGTGGCCAGCCTCAAAACGGTTTAGTGGCTCGTTGCCATCGACAAACGAGCACAGCCCCCTTCGGAAGCTCCCACCCGGCCCCCAGCGTTTGGTGCCTGTATCGAAATGTTTTAGCGTCTTACAAGCTTTCAAGAGTTAAGTCTAGCATACGATACGCATACGCCCAAGTTTGTTTTCAGCTTACTGCTTTCGCATAATAGAGTTGTATTTGTGGCAGCTAGTCTAACACGCTCATCTGTTGTTACAAGGCGAGAACTGCTCCGCGAACAAACAACTAATAATTTATTAATCTTAGGAGGGGTATCAAGAATATCAGAATACAAGAGCTAGTTGACGTTGTCATCATTGTGGTGACAAGCTACCAGCCTTTCTCTTCGACGCCCAGTCCTTGATGCTATCAAAATTGGCACATGTTCTAGATCCATTGAATGTTGGGCGAAAATTATCTTCAGCATCTGTCCAGAACGGTAGAATGTCGAGCGAAGGGCGGCACATCATCGATTGTCGGATATAGTCGATACAGTGTTCGAGATGTCCCGGTTTAGTGTGAATATTGTGAGGGCTGTGCGTCTTATACCAGGGCTCCAGCTCGCCGTATATCTCCAGACGCAGCATATCAAGGCAATGAAGCTGGTGAAAAACTTCCACGGCGCCAAGATACAAAACACCGTTACCAGAGGTTTCAGTATTGTTCATAAACACAGATGTAGGTTCGATCAGCTTTGCCTGCTCTGTTTCAGTCAATGCGACCATTCCCAGATGGGTTATTTCGTCCCAAGCGGCATTGTTGGCATCATTCGGCTTGCCCTGAAATGGAGATAAATCGGGAGCAAAGCCAGATGTGTACTTGATGCGGCTATACGATAGCGCTGGGAATAGAGGGCCTGCAACCTGTCAGACAAATTGCTCAGAATTGTTTCATTGTCACTCACTTGTGCGGTCTGGAGACTCGGTAGTATTTGAAGTTCGGACAAATGTCAACGATCCAAACAGGATAACCCAAACAAGTCCAAGAGCAACATGGATCCAGACTCCCCAGGAGGGCTTTGCTATGCTCAATACATTGTTTCGCCTGTTTTTGGAGGAATTTTGGTGAGATAACAAGGCGTCGCCAGGCTCGAGATCAGAGTCTTCCAAGGAAATGCGATTATATTCGGCCTTCTCATCTGTGGTTATGGGTTGCATTTTGCCCAAGACTTTTGAATTTTATTATTCGGAGAGTATAAAGTGTGTAAAAGAAGAAAACACTGACAAACGTATCCGGAAATATTATTCAAGGATTTTTACTATGCAATCCCCAACTTTGGCAGAGTGGATATCTTCCAATACACATGCAAGTCATATGCAGGCCTCCAGGAACGAAGGGACTTTTTGAGGTCATCCGGTTCGTATTGTTTATTGTGGCTATGGTTTAGCCTGATGTATGAGCCGGGGGTTTCAGCGGCCGTTATCGCGCACCTCGCAATTCAGTACTCTTAATAGGTGTTAGTGTGTTAAGGTTAGTGCTTATGTGGGGAGATTTCCTGGGGTAAGCATATAGCTTATCACCACTATTCGGCAACTTTTCGCTTTGCCTAAGGCTTTCCGACTCGCCCGGTAGCTGTTTTTCCGTTTAGATTGGCTCCATTGTCAGCATCTTGCCTTACCTCTCCGCCTTACATAACCGTCGGATGGGGAAGGTCGACCTCCAACGCGGTTCTTACCGGCCTGGAACTGCTCAACAATACGAATCAGAGACATTCTAGGCCTCAAACTCGAGGAGGTGATCCCCCACGTAGGGACTTGATATTCTCTCCGTCCTAGAGTGGTCAACCGGTCGGCCGCCGAATCCCACTGCCGTGGTTTGGTTATATAAAGGGCTGTGAGAAGCTCTTGCTGTGCCACTTACAACCAGGTCCTGCCCAACACAACACTACTTATCTCTTTTCTGCTTCCCTAAAAAAAGTCCACTCTCATACCAAACCTCATCAACATGAAGGTCACTATCGTCCTCGCTGCCCTCACAGCTCTGGTTGCTGCTGCTCCCGCTGTTGAGTCCACCGACAGCACCGCCTGCTTCGTCCGCCGCGTCGACGGTCTCTTTGAGCGTCACGCCGACTGCCACTATAAAAGAGCCACCGATGCCTGTCTCTTGAAGAGAGATGATGGCCTCTACGAGCGTGGCCACGGCTGCGGCTACTACGAGTAAAGGCCGACAAAGCTCCCCTGGCCCTTCTCTATGGAAGATGAAAAAACGAAGCTCGGAATACCATACACAGAATGAGACGGAAGAATTATCTTAGTCATCAGCCTTCAATTGTAATATATTGTTCAACCGGAATAATTTAAACCCTGCAACCCGAAGTGCCTCTTTTTCGACCTAATTATCCCAACGGAGTGATCGCCGCTAACTTAGTCTGTCAATCCGGCTACAACCATAACAGAGGCACATGCATGTGCCCGTTTTGGGAATAATAGCAGCCTAACCAAAATCATATAGGCAGCGTTACAATACAATACGGTCGGTACTCGGTTATGCATCAATTGCTAGTGCCGTGGGTAATAGCAGCTACCAACTGCTTGGAGGTAGCGGCACGTCTCTGGATTAGGAAGCTCATTACGTAGCATCAATATTGTCATGCGGCCAGTAGAGCATCGCTTAGGTCTTGGTCCCCTGTGGTTCCACACAGCCGGGCGCTATTGTGGCCGCGGCTAGCATATCAAACTTGGCCGTATATGGCAGGAGGGGGCATGCGTGGCAGATGTCATGATTTCAGCAGGGCTGGGTGCTGTAATTGGTTATTGTATTGCTACTGCTACTGCTGTTGCTGTTAGCCCCTTTCTTTCCGCCACCATGCCCGTTTTCTGTACCCGGCTGTAGTGACAGCAGCGATCTGGTAGGATGCCGAGTCTATTCTATTCTCCTTTAGGAAGGTCGTCAAACCTGTCAGCCGTTTCGCCGAGGTCGGAATGCCGTGATATCGACGCAGAGCCGGCGGGGGCGGACAGAAGCCGCACGACGGATCATCGGCCGCCATCCAAGTTTGCGGGATCGGATGCCAAGCAGGCTCTTGGCGACCTGATTGTCCTTGCGCCGTTACCCGCTCCGAGGATATGAAGCTGTGAATCTTACATTACTGGTACGTAAAGCAAATCGTATGGGGTGCAGCCTTTCCCCCCGGGGTAGCCACGAGATGCTGCTCACCAGGCTGAAGATTTGGTAATTCCCTGGACGCGACCTTCTTGATTCGGATCGCTTGGCTTTTCAAGAGGATGATGCCATCATGGCTTCGTTTCAGGATGCAAAATTCTGCCCGATGCGAAGAAAGTTGCGTATATAAAAAGGGTATGGTATTCCCCGTGTAAGTCAAACCATCACCACCATCCAAGGCATCACTCTTCAGCCTGCCAAACAAAGAACATTCTTCCACCACACATTACCTACTACTGCCCTTATACTTGATAAATACGTCCCCTACAATGGCTTCTGCCAACATCATTGCCCTCCTTGCCGGGTTGGCGAGCATCGTGTCTGCTGGGCCCATGACAGACCGCGCTGCCAACCTTGGTCCTCTCTCCCTCTTGGAGCAGATCAAGGTCCCCGAAGGCTGGTCTTCTACCGGAAACACTCACCCTGACACCATGCTCAGAATGCAGATTGGTCTCAAGCAGAGCAATGTCAAGGGTCTGGAGCAGAAGCTGCTCGACATCTCCAACCCCTCCAGCCCCAACTACGGCAAGTGGCTGACCAAGGAGCAAATCGACGCCTACGTCAAGCCTGATGACAAGAGCGTCAACGTGGTCAAGGACTGGTTGGCCTCGCACGGTATCAAGGACGTCACGCACTCTGCTGTCGACTGGATCGAGGTCAAGGTCCCCGTCAGCACTGCCGAGAAGCTCCTTAACACCAAGTACTCCACGTACAAGGACTCCAAGTCTGGCGTCGAGCTGCCCCGAGCCATCGAGTACTCTCTGCCCGCGAGCTTGCACCAGCACATCGACACCGTACAGCCCACCACCTCCTTCCTGCGCGACATGGACCTCAAGTCTTCTGCTAACACCACCGCCCCCACCGCTACCGGCCATGTCGCCCGCGCTACTTGCCAGCAGGGCATCATGACCCCCGGCTGTATCCAGAGCTACTACAACGTCGACTACACCGGCCAGGGCCGCTCTCTGCTCGGCGTGTCCGCCTTCACCGGCTACGCGGCCTCGCACTCCGACGCCAGCGCCTACCTCAACTACTACGCGCCGTATGCAGGCAACACTGACTTTGGCGAGATCAGCCTCGGCGGTGGCAACAACAATGCCAACAACCTTCTCGAGGGCAACCTCGACACTCAGATTGCCCTTGCGCTCGGCTACCCGGCCCAGGTGAACCTGTACATGGTTGGCGACAACAACAACTTTGGCGACCAGCTGCTCGACTTGACCAACTACCTCAACACCAACAGCAACCCGCCCACCTCCATCTCCACCTCGTACGGTATCGAGGAGCGCGACATCTCCAACAATTACATGGGTCGTATCTGCAACGAATTCATGAAGGCCGGTTCCCGTGGTATCTCCGCCTTTGTCTCGTCCGGCGACTACGGCGTCGGCGGCAACAACTCGCCCAGCTGCCCCAACGGCTATCTGACACTCTTCCCCGGATCCTGCCCCTACATTACGTCCGTCGGCGGCACGGGCTACCGCAACGGCAACGAGGTCGCCGCCGAGTTCCAATTCAACACCGGCCCTGGTAAGAGCGGCGGTGGCTTCTCCTGGTACTTCAACACGCCTAGCTACCAGAGTTCCGATACCAACTCGTACATCAACAACCACCTGGACAGCAGCTGGAACGGATACTACAACGCCCGCGGCCGTGGTTACCCCGACGTCTCACTCCTTGCTGAGAACTGGAACATTGTCGTCAACGGCCAGGGCTCCTACGTCTCGGGTACCTCTGCCTCCTCCCCTGCCTGGGCCTCTCTGATCTCTCAGATCAACGACTACCGCATCAGCCTTGGCAAGTCTACGCTCGGCTTCATCAACCCCTTCCTGTACAGCAGTGCTGGCAAGGCTGCGCTCCGCGACGTCACCTCCGGCTACAACCCGGGTTGTGGCATCAACGGTTTCCCAGCCACACAGGGCTGGGATCCCGTCACTGGTCTCGGCAGTCTCGACTTTGCCAAGTTCCGCCAGGCTGCGGCCAGACTCTAAGGAAATAGTGGCTGACTTTTTGCCTTTGTACCAGCGGGGACCATAGTGTAAGCCTGTTCGATACTACCTTAGTAGATAAAGTATATATACCAGAATATACTCATGAATTGATTTCATCTATTTTTCTCACCTGCTTAGACAAATGATTCTACAGGTCAGGTCATCGCCCTGTCTGTGGTTGCGGGAGTCCCCGCGTGATGTGCTGTCTCGGCGAATTATGAGTGGTCAGCCTTATACGCCACAAAATAGTCACTAGCTTATAAGCGGGCGCATGATGGTGTAGATCATATATGTACTGTATTTCCGTCGTCCTATGTACATTTTAAATAGACAAATATTCATCATCATGAGCATCATGTAATTCCCTAAAAGGCGAAACACCAAAGGTAAACAGAAGAAAATGAAAACATCCAGAGATATAAATCATGTCGGCAAAACTTAAGCCAAGCCAGCGTTGACGTTGAAGCTGACATCGTCGTTAAAGTAACCACGGTTATCGTACTGGTGAGGGCCGCCGTTGCTGGAAATGTACAAGGTTGCGGTGTAGTGGCGCCAGTAGCGGGCAGGGTAGCTCCAGGATCGGATCGAGTCGCCCTGGCCGTTGAGACCAGACTCGGTGCAGAAGGTAGCGTCTTCGGAGAAGATCTTGCTGCCGTCGTTCTTGTTGACGCGCAGCTGGTAGGCAGAGTGGCGGATGTAGCTTCCAGGCGTGTCACTGGACTCGAAAGAGTAGCAGTCAGAGTTGGCAAGGCCCTTATGGACAATCCAGGTAGCCTGACGTCTGGCACCATAGCTGCTGGAGGAGGAGACAACCTGGGTGTTGACAGTATCGCCGTTGTGGGAGATGAAGCGGTCAGTGTATCCGGGGGTGGTGACGTGGAAGGAAACAGATGAGCCAACGCTGATCTTGGGGCCGCTGTTAAGCGAGGTTGTGGCGTAGTTGGCGTTGACAATGTCGTCCTGCACGCGGTTCTCAGTATCGCTATCGGGGTAGCCGCTGGTCATGACGCCTTCGTAAAAGGTGCCCTGAGCGCCGTTGCTGTTGTCACCGCCAATACCCAGAATAATAGCACCCTCCTTCTGCATGGGGTTGTAGCCGTTGTTGGGACGGCCGCCATCGTAGTAGGTAGAGAGACCGCCGCCGTTGGCATTGCCACCGCGGATAGCCCAGTGACCAGGCTGACCCTTGACAACGGCAGTGACGAAGCGGTTGTTAATGGTAGGGTTGGCATCGTTCTTAATGGGGTCGAAGCCAGTGAAAAGACCGTTCTCCAGATCCGCCATGATCCACGGGCCTGAGCCGGATCCCTGGCCGCGACCAGAGCCGTCACCTTCGCCAAAGTAAATGGCTTCCATGTGGCCATTGCCTGTGTCTTGGCTGTTGGTCTCGGCGTTGCCATAGTCGAAGCAGCAAGCCTTGTTGTAGTGAGTGCCGTCGACAACAGCGTACATGCCCTGGGCTTCATCGCCACGCGCTGTGCCATTGGCATTGTTGTTTCGGTAGCCGGTAAAAGGGGAAATAAAGACACCGTAGGCCTTCTGGCCACGGAGCGTGACGGGAGCACCAACAGCGCTCGAGAGGTAGTCGTAGCCACCGTCCTCGGGGCCAGAGGCAGCACCGCCGGGAGGAGCCTGTGTCAAATGGTTTCCGCGGCCGGATTGATCGTAGATGGTGGAGATGAGGCAGGTCGTGCGCTGGCAGAAGGAGTCTTGCTCACTGGCATTGGCCGTGCCACCACGAGATCTGGGGTGGATGTCTGTGGTGGCGCCGTCGGAGCTGCGTTTAACCTGGTAGAGGGCACCGTCAAAGTCGTCGTAGAGGGCACGCGTAGTGCTGTGAGCAGCTACACATGGTGTTCCGCCATCCTCATAGATGTCGCAAGGCGCGGCGACAGCAGAGCTGGCAAGGCCCAGCGCGACGAGGCCGGCACGTCGGATGGTCTTGGGGGTGAGCATTGTAAGTCGAAAGGTGGATATTGAATAAGCTCAAGCAGACGTTGCAATTGTCGTATTTTTTTAAACTTTTTGGACAAAGATAGCTTGTTGCTTGACAGGGTTGAAGAAATTCCTGTCTCAGAAACATCGGGAGGGCATCGCGGTCTCTTTATACACGGTCGACGACTGGCATGTCTGAGATGGCATCCCTTGCCCGTCGCGTGCGATATTCCCCCACATTTCGCATATAAAGCTTCGGGCCTACTCAAAGTGGCCTGACCTGACAGCGGAAAATGGTCAAGCTACGCTGGAAGCAACGGGTCGGGTGCACGAATGCTACATTATCTTGGCCTTCAGGAGTGCCCTTGGGGCTGGTGTCGGAGAGTCTGGTCGCTGAAATTGTAAGGGATATTAGGTGGGCTATTGGCCGACGTGCGACCGCAACTCCAAAAAGGACAGCATCACAGCGTAGTAGCGTAGCAGCATTGAAAGCAGTCCGTCGGCCTCGTGACATCGTCAGGCGGTTGGGAGCAAGGCTTTGCCGGGGCCAGCTTGTGATGTTACGCCCAGCCTCTACTACCGTTCGGGCCCCATACAGAAAGAAGAAAAGTTTTGTTTCCTCGGCGCGCAAATGCACGACGCACGAGAGCATAAGCCGAGAACGGTGAGCTGGTCGCATCACATGGTGCGGGCAGCGCGTTGGCGATGGATGCCTTGTCGAGACCCTGCAGCAAGACGTGTGGGGGGCGTGCCCAGGTGCACAGGATTTAGACTCTGGGACAATGGGCGTTTGCAGGATCGGGATTCTGGGAGATTGGAGAACGTGGGCGCACCCAAAGGGGGAAATGGCGGCCGATCCTAGTACAGGCTGGTTTCGGTGTGGTGTGGGCGTTAGGCTTGCGGGAGGCTGGCTGCCGCCGCCGTCAATGAACACTGGCACTTAAGCCGTGCGGTAGGCTCTCGTCCCGTGCAGTCGATGTAGCGTACTGTACCGTACCGTCGTTGTATAGTTCCCCTATGTGCTTTAGAGGAGGCTGTTTGTCCATCGGCCAGCACCGTCACCTTTGGCAATGTAAGCAGCAGCCGCGCGAACGTACCATTTGCATGAAGATCGCTACGTGTTCATCATTTCATTTTTTTTCTTGCCTCGCTCTCCTTTTTTTCTTGTTCTTTTCTTTAATTTCCTTGGTTCCGTCGCGGCCAACGAGCGCGTAGCAGCATTCCTCGCCCTGGGCTTGGCTGTTTGAGATGCGGGATGCAAAGTCGCCACTAGTGTTGGGGCGCTGTGGAGATTGAGTTATAGGGGGAAATGCTGTCCGGCTTGGCAGTACCCGGGAGAGTGTGATTGACAGGAGAAGGGTAAATTACAGTGTTTGGAAAAGGACAGTATTTTGATTTGATCAATCGATCAATTTCAAAATATTTCTAGAGGGCAGTTTTTTAGTTTTGGTGTACTTGTGCATATTTATTATCGTGTTTGTGCTGGAAATGGTGATTCTCGGTGAGGATATATGTGTCAAAGTGAACACCACTGGGCACCTGTTAACTCCACCATCAGTAGCATTTACTCTAGACACTTTCATCACTACTCACTATTAATACAATGGCAAACTACTGCCGCTCAAAGTGCTCATGCACCTTTCAATATTCCAAATCTTCAAGACGACCCCCAATATTACTCTCAAGATGATGACCACGCTGGCGGCTGCGCTGCTGATCCCCGTAGTCTACGGCTTCCCCCGCACTTCACCGCCGGCAGCTTTATACAACACGGGACCAGGTCTAGTGCCCAATGAATACATAGTCAAGCTCCGAGATGGAAGCTCCGCGGCCACTCTAGACTCGACGATCCGTCCGTTCCGAGCAAATGTAACACACACGTACCAAACCCTCTTCCATGGCTTTGCCGCAAATCTGGATCATCAAGCTCTCGACCAGCTTCTCCACGATCCACAGGTAGGTGTTGCTGGACCCATTTGGTGGCGTGAACGGACCTGTTGCTGCTGTTAGTCCCCGCGTCTAGCGCTGAACTTACACATCGAAATCACTAGGTCGAGTATATCCAGCAGGATTCATGGGCTTCCATCGCCGTAATCGAGTCTTCCACTGTCGACCAAGCCAATGCCGAATGGGGTCTCGGACGTATATCCTACCGGAAGAAGGGCAGCAAGATCTACACGTATGATTCTTCTGGTGGCGCCGGCACATGCAGCTATATTCTAGACACCGGTGTTGATGCTAGCCACCCAGTAAGCCACAGACACTTGAGCTTTTCACGAAACAAGGTATATGCTTAACGTAGCTACATAGGACTTTGGTGGCCGTGCTACCCAGTTGCGCAGCTTCATCAACGGATCTGAAAAAGACGACCACGGCCACGGCACGCACTGTGCAGGCACAGCAGGAAGCACAACGTACGGCGTAGCTAAACAGACCAAAATCCTAGGCGTCAAGATTCTAGACAGCTCCGGCAAAGGCAAATGGGCAGGTATTAACAGCGCGCTCGAGTGGGTGGCTGGCGACCATGAGTCCCGCGGCTGCAAAGGAGTCTTTGTGAATCTAAGCATTGACGGACCAGACTCGCCGAGCACCAAGGAGATGATGGCCAAGCTGGTAGGTCTCGGCATCTTCGTTGCCGGCGCAGCTGGCAACTTCAACAAGGACGTAGGCAACAATACACCTGGGTCGGAGCCATCCATCTGTACTGTTGGCGCAACCGACTACCAGGACAAAAAGGCGCTCTTCTCCAACTTTGGTAAAGCGCTAGATATTCTGGCCCCCGGAATGACCATTGTGTCTACAGTGCCGGGTGGGGGCAAGGTGAGTTTATTTTGCTTAGCGCGGCTTTCGCTTGATCTCGTGGTCGCCGCTGCTTGAGTCGCTCGCGTGCCGCTGACTCTTTTTTGTAGCAAGATATGTCGGGCACGTCAATGGCTACTCCACACATTGTAGGGCTAGCGGCCTACCTCTACGCTATTGAGAAGCCCGAGTCATCAGCCAGCTTGTGCAAGCGAATCCAGGACCTGGCGAACAAGGACATTATTCAGGATCTTCCAGCGGACACCATCAACCTACTCGCTTTCAACAACAATCCTAGTGGACAATAAGCGGCGAACGAGGGCGATGTTGCGGCAAAAACTGTTCCGTGCTTTGGTACAAAGGAAGATAACCAGCATTTTAGCTTTCGGGCAAACAGTTGGCGCATCTACAGAGTTCAAGAACCTGAAACGCCCGCGTCGGTTCAATAAGATGCTTTTTTCGACTTCGTTAAAAAAATAAAATAAACTTCGCTTCTAGCGCTCTCAGGTGAAACCGTTCTAGGCTGAGGTCTACGCCTCTATCATGATCATTGTCCTTCCTTTTTCGGAGTGCTCTCGCGGTCGTATTCTCCAATTTCTCAACACCTCCCCCATACAGTTCGTTCCCCCGCAACTGTTGCCTCATCCTTGATAGTATCGACTTGACAGTGGGAATTGGGTCCTTTTGTTGGCCCACGCACGCATCCGTGGATTGAGTTGGTGGTACTGTACGTCAGATTACCAGGCTGGATTTGCAAAGGGCCAAGAGATTCTTCAGTTGCCCAGCCGATTGAGGGTTTCTCGGCGCCGCGATGGCCAAGGCCTTGGTCTGATGAGCTCCATTTATGCCTCGGATGAGGGGCAGAATAGAACCAAAAAAGCTCGTCCCCAATCTTCAGCGCCATCTATGGACTTTGTTAGCAAAGGTTCCCAGCGAGCAAGGCCTCCGCCAAATTGCATGAATCATGCTCCGCCCCCCCAGCTTGCCCCAATTTCCCCTCAGCGCCCCTCATCATTGTATGGGATTGGGCGACCAAAGGCGGCGAGATCGCCGGGGAATGGCGGTTGGCCCTGCGCCAGGCGGCCTTATTGGGAAGCTGGCTTGTGTTGCTCCCTTGCGTGGCGGGTCGGCATTCCTAGAACCACATGTCTCTATAAAGAGTTCTACGACTCCTTCCCACCCCGCCGACTGTTTCTGAGTCTCCTTTCTGCATAGCATCTCAATTCCTCTCCCCGCAATTGTCTTGTTACTCACGCCCACCATGTCTTTCATGTCTCTGCTTATGCCCGTTCTCGTGGCCACTCTGGCCACGGCCTCGCCCCTGAGCAGCCAGATCATGACCAAGCAGGACCTTGCTGGTGTTCCTGCTGGCTGGGAGCTCAAGGCCCCTGCCCCTGGCCATATGACCATGGATATGCACATTGGCCTTAAGGAAGAGAACTTGGACACGCTCAGACAGCGTGCTCTACAGATCGCTGACCCTGACCATGCCGACTACGGTAAGCATATGAGCAAGGCCGAGATTGATGCTCTCACTGCCCCCTCCAAGGCCACTGTTGATGCCGTCACCGAGTGGCTCGCCTCCCACGGTGTCTCTGCTGGTGAGGTCAACAGCGGTTTCATGAAGGTTGCCGTCACTGTTGAGAAGGCCGAGCAGATGCTCAGCACCAACTACGGCGTCTACCACGATGCTGCCCGCGACCGCACCACCGTCCGTACCACCAAGTACAGCCTGCCCAAGTCTGTTCACGACTCCATCTCCCTTATCCAGCCCACCACTCTCTTCACCGACTTCGGCATGGGCAAGGCCAGACGCCAGGACAAGCTCATTACCGCGCGCGCCAGCGACGCCAAGAAGGCCTCCGCTTGTGCCAGCGGCAAATTCACACCCGACTGCCTGCGCGAGGACTACAATATCTCCGGTTACACCCCTACCAACAAGACCACCATTGGCATGACTGGCTTCCTCAAGGAGGACCCTAGCACCAATGACTTGAGCCTCTTTGTTCAAAAGTACACCAAGTTCCCCAAGGACACCAGCTACAGCGTTGTCACCATCAACAACGGCACCAACGGCAACAGTGGCACCGGTGAGGCCAACCTTGACACCCAGATCGTCAAGGGCCTGACCTACCCCATCAACAACGTCTTCTACTCCACTGGCGGCCAGCCTCCTTTCACCCCCGATGAGGGCACCACAGAAAACACCAACGAGCCCTACCTTGATTGGGTCCAGTACATGGTCGGTCTTGACACCGTCCCCCAGACCATCAGCAACTCGTACGGTGACGATGAGCAGACTGTCCCCCGCGACTACGCCGACAAGGTGTGCACCCAGTTCATGAAGCTCGGTGCCCGTGGTGTGTCCGTCCTCGTCTCCAGTGGTGACGAAGGTGCTGCTGGTATCCGCGACAAGAATGGCCAGGCTGGCTGCCACCTCAACGACGGCTCCAACGCTGAGCGCTTCTTGCCCTCTTTCCCTCCCAGCTGCGAATGGGTCACTGTGGTTGGCGGTACCACTGGCTCTGGCACCAAGGAGGCTGGCGAGCACGATGGCGGCGGTGGCTTCTCCAACTACTACCCCCAGCCCGACTACCAGAAGGCCGCTGTTGCATCCTACGTCAAGGGCCTCGGCAAGTCGCTTCAGGGCATGTACAACACTTCTGGCCGTGCTTACCCCGATATTTCGGCTGCTTACAACAACTTCCCCATCTACCTCAAGGGCGACCTCGTCTACTACGGTGGAACCAGCGCTGCCTGCCCTGCCGTTGCCTCCGTCATTGCTCTTCTTAACGACTACCTTGTCTCTCAGAAGAGGGCTCCTCTTGGCTTCCTCAACCCCTGGTTGTACAAGAAGGGTAACGACATGATCCGCGACATTGCCCAGGGCAACAATGTCGACTGCCACAACAAGGCTGCTTTCCCTGCCAAGGCGGGCTGGGATGCTTCTACTGGCTGGGGTGTTCCCGACTTTGTCAAGATGAAGAAGAACCTGTAAATGATGTATACTAGAACAATGACCCTGGATGCGCACATGTAAATATATATATCTATAGATGACTTTACAATACCATTGTAATTGATTTCTTTTCTTAAATGATGTTACCATTGATGGTGTGATTATCGCGAATTTGAACCAACAGATTTATGAGTTTAACCGTACCAAGTTTCTGTTGCACATAATTTGTGATCTTACTACCGCCTGTTGCTGCATGCTGCACTTGCGCTACGCCACTAAATCTCAGTTTGCTTTTGACCTGGCGCCACCATGCAGGGGCGATCTCCAAGTGCCGAGAAGCAAACATTCGAGAGCAACCAGCAGGGCTTACACCGGAGAATAAAGTTGAAGCAACCAATTAGCCATGTCTATAACAATCACATCACTTTTTTTTATCAATTGAAGATTTATGACAATTATTGTTGGCATTATGCTGTAGTCTAAAATGTATGCAATAAAATTCTATGTACAAGACGCTTCGTGCAAAACAGAAGAAGCTGTTTTAGAGAGGGGGTATTGAAGCATTCTCCCTGTATGATTTGCTTTTTTTTGGTGTCGGTTTGTCTTATCCGCTCGGTTCTTTTCTCTTTTAGTTGTCTCTCTTCTTCGCCGTTTAGGCCAAAGAACCCATGGGATCCCACAAGGGCAGGACAACGGGCTCCTTGTCGAGGGCGGCCTTGACGTTATCGCTGATAAACTTGGTGTTGACAACGGCCTGGTACATGAACTGGTCCATCCAGGCGTCGGTCATGACGAGGTGGCCCTTGTCGCCGCTCTCGGAGCCATGGCTGTTCTGGATTCTCCAGCGCAGAGGCTTGCCGGTGGTCTCGTCGAGGTGGACGCCGGTGAGGATCATGGCGTGGGTCATGGAAGACTCGCCAGCGCGCAAACGGTCAGCCTTGGACTGCTCGAGCAGGGTGGTGCCGAAGCCGGCCTGGTAGTCGTAGATGTCGAGGTCCATGACGCCGAGGTCCTTGTGGCGGAACTTGCCAAAGTCGACACCAAAGAAGATGGGGTGGCCGGCCTTGATCATGTCCACACAGGCGGTCTTGAGCGTCTCCATGTCGACGTTGATGTACTGGACAGGGCGGCCACCAACAACGTTGCCGAGGCGGTCCACGGTGAGCAGGGCATTGGTCTCGTTACGGGGGTCATGGACGAGCGAGACCATGTCGTTGACGACGCACTCGGTGTCGGCGGTGGTGATGGCCTTGGCAAAGTCAATTGGGGTGCTGTGGACCTCAAAGACCTTCTTGTCCTTGTTGGCGTACTGCCAGTGGAACTTCTCGGTAGGCTTGGGAGGCGCGCCCATGAAGGTGGTGAGCAGGTCCTGGATCTGCTTCATCTGCTCCGTCTTCTTGGCGCTCACGGCGGCGGCATCGCCCTCGGCAGCCAGCTTGCGCAGGATGACGGCAAACTCGCGGAGCTTAGTCTGGAGGAAGCCGCGCATGAGGCGGGAGTTGCGGGCGTTCCAGGTGTCGGGGTAGACGGCCTGGGGGACAATGCCGTACTTTTCGACGAGGTTGTAGATCATGTCCCACTGGCCACCGTCGGCCATGGGCTCGAGTAGCAGGCGCTGGACCAGGCGGTCGCCAATGTCGCTGTCGGCAGTGTCGATGATTTGCTCGAGGAAGTAGTTGGCCTTTTCGAGCTTGTCCCAGTAGTAGAGGTACATTTGCGAGAGCTCAAAGGACTCGAGGTTGTCGCGCTTCATGATGGGCACACGCATGACGTTTGTGGCGGCAAAGATCCAGCAGCGGCCACTGGCCTTTTGGGCGGTGACGGGCGAGCCATCGACGGGGACCTTGGTGTTGAAGACGTGAGGGTTGTCGACGTAGGAGCCAATCTTCATGAGGACCTCGTTGGGGTCGCCCTTGGTGAGAGCGAGCGAGCGGAGGCTGTTTCAAGAAAGGGTTAGTTGACTGTTTGCTTGCTGCTGCCACTGATAGGTGACTACGAACCGATTGGTCATGTCGCTGAGGAATTCAGCACCCTGAGCACCAACCTCCTCAAGGACGAGGGGCTCAGAAGGGCGTGACAGCTTTTGGGAGCTCATTGTGCGTCTGGCGATGTCGGGGACGGAGCACGCGACACGAGTTGTGGCAGGAGAGTGAAGAGACGGTGATGATAGGAAACAAGAAGGAAGACGACGAAGAGACAAGGAAGAGAGAGCGGAAGAAGCCATTCAAGTAAAACGGAGACGACACCGCTCCGGTTTTTAAAACGAGCGTGACCTGTAAAAAAATAAAATAGAAATTAAAAAAAAAATATTCCGCGCAGGTGGTGTGGTTTGTCATGTCCACGCCATCACGGTGCCGCACTAAACCGGGCCAATTCGCGTCCATTGTAGCGCTGGGCGGGTGCGGCGCTCAGCGCTGGCCAACCTCTACGGACTCTGCGCCCCGCCTTTCCCCTCCCCTTAGGCCGCCGCCCGCTGGACACACCCCCGAAGAGCGCCGTGCTACAGCGGGCACCACGCGCTGTAATGCCGTCTTCAGGCGATCCACCACGGCTTCGGAGCGCCGTAAGTTGGCCTGCCTAGAGAGGCAATTCAGTGGACTCCACAGGTCAGCCACCCCCCCAAAGAAACCCCGCCAAAGTGGACAATACCAGTGGCTTGACCCCAACAATGGCCCCTCCAAGACCTCGCCAAAGGTGCTTTGGAGCGGAAATGACAAACGCCCCGAGCCTGGTCTCCAACTTTGTAAGAAAAATAATTACCGTTGCATGACTTTTCGGCTCATAAAACTATAAGTCACTTGATAGATTTATCAGGCTTTGTTCTACTCGGCTTGGCCATTCTTTGTTTCGGTACGCCGTAACGCTATTAGCGGATGCAACCCAGACAGCTGGGACACTAAGAAGTGCCGGCACTAAATTAGCGACGCTTCTACACTGCTTCTGCAAGGATTCTCCCGCAGCTGCACTCTAACGTTACCTTCCCCAAATCGAGTTTTCGTTTTGATTCTCGGGGATTTGCATCTCGTCTCATGCAGGGGCCCGTGACCGCTCTCCCGCTCAACTGCCGAGCGGCAATTCCCACCGCCGTTCGAGAGAGCCTTGCTCCAGGGTTAACAATCATACGAGGTCTCGGCGAGCAAGGCTTTGGCAGAGAGGGAGCGCCCTTCTCATTCGACAATTAAACGCTTAATCACCGGAGCGACAACAAACAAGGGCAGACGACGTCGTGCGGTGGTGGCTGTGTCGCGGCCACCGTTTGTAATGGGCAGGCCACTGGCGCTCCAAGTGGAACGACGTCCGGGTTTGGGGTACCTGAGAGGGGTGGTCGTCAATCAATCCACTTCGGTGTAAGAAGTTGGCCGTTCGACATTTTTCTTTTTAGGCGAATAACGTAATATCCACGGAGCCTCTCCGTAGAAGAGTACAAATGAGGCCGATTCTCAAGAATTGAAAACGTCCGGAGTTCCACGGCAACGGTACGGATGAGGTTCTAAAGCCACAAGGACCTCGCCGAATTCCATTCCGACACAAATCGCAATCATGTACACTCACGACACGGACTCGAGCCGAGACCGAAGCCGAGGATTTCAAGTACAAACAAACACCAGACAGATGCAATGAGCCGATGTGAGGAGGAAATGGCGCCAAAGACACGCTGATATACCCGCCTGCACTGGTCGACCTTTTTTAGTCAACCGTGTTGGTCTCTGGCCAACGTTAACTCAAGCTTCGTCCGATCTAGTATCACTAGGAACAGCGCAGTCCTAGTATCACGGTGTAAGTAAGGATCTGACGGCAACTGGTACCAACTGGTCTTTGTTGCCAACCATTGTTCGAGTCTCTTATACGTCGAGGCCTTCAATGATGCTGTAGGGCCGTGTCGATTAATAACATCGGTTACACCACAACTATATGAACGGCAGGCCAAAGGCAGCGATCAATTTCGATTAGTGTCGTTGGTAGCGGACCAGTCTGACGCAAGAGTTGCCAACGCGCTTAATAACTCGGTCGAGGTGAAAATGTAAGGCTAGTGGGCTATGCCAGGCTCTCTGACTTGGTTAGTTGACAGGAAGAGTTCAACGCCAAGCGCCGTAGGGGCAATGTAGTTGTCGCCATATCTGCCGGTGGATAGGTGAATGGACGTATTTTGCTCAGTGTCTATTTTTTGTCTCACTTGCAAGATCAATTAACCCTCTTAACCTATAGTCGTTTTTCTTTTCCCTCTTTGAGCCTTTTTTCCCGCAATGACGACATACATGGATTGTACCAAGAGGCTGCATCTAACGCGATCCCACGCTGAAGTAGTAGTGCGGACCACAAAGTTTTGGCAATCGCGCACAGTATGTATTTTTACAGTGCATATTTGCCAGAAACTGTACATCCGCCAGCTGGCGTTCACCACCACGTACAATTAATTGTATGCCAGCTGCCAGGAGTGTCTTTTTCCTGCACATACAAAATCCCTCTCCGACTGCACGCATCTGTCTATCTGCCGGGGCCATGTAAGACATCGGCGAGAAATGCGCAAACTCCGAGATGGATTAATCAGCTGTAATATACAAATGCAGTCGCAATAGGCCAAGGCTGTTGAATGCAGACGCAATCTGCGGGGGAGCATCGGTGCCTTGGTGGGCTAGTCTCGGAGTTAAAATACAAAATGCAATACTAAATTTATATAGCATCCGGCTCTGCCGCTCGTGCAGCACCGTTTTCTTTTTCATCACTGCCATCAACAACTCAATCCACCATCAAAATCATCATCAGCAGCATCTGCTATGAAGTGGTCTACCTTTTCATCGGTCCTTGCGGCTGTCGCCAGCATCTCGCCTGCTGTTGCTACCTGCCCTGTGGCTGATGTCTCTATTGTCCGCCATGAGGGCGAGTCCATCGGCTCAGTGCACAGGGTCGACAACTGTGAGTGATTTATTTTTGTTCAATCCAGCCAAGTATACCGTTAACAGTCCTTCCTCCGTATAGTCGACCTGTACACCAGCGATCCTGACGAGTGCGGGCTGGAGCAAAAGTACGACACTGCCGTGCTGTATCTCACTGACGTCTTCGGCATTCAGCTCCCACAAAACAGACTGTATGTACCCTGCTAAATAACACCATCCAGCCATGTAGACTAACTACGAATCGTAGCCTCGCTGACAGCTTCGCCCGTGCTGGTTACCTGACTGTTGCGCCCGACTTGTTTGACGGCAAGCCCGCTCCTGAGGATCTCAACACTCCTGGCTTTAACTTGACCGAGTTCTTGGCCAAGTATGGCCCGCAGCACGCGGATCCCATCATTGAAAAGACAATCAAGTACTTGCGTGAGGAGCTAGGTGTCGAGAAGATTGCCACTACGGGTTACTGCTACGGCGGCAAATACGCCTTGCGCTTCCTCGCACCAGGTCGCGGTGCCGATCTCGCCTTTGCTGCCCACCCAAGTCTCCTGGAGGACGTTGAAATTGCCAACGTTACTGGCCCTGTCAGCATTGCTGCTGCCGGTACGTGACTATTCTCTTTTTTGGGACAAAACCATAGATGCAGCACCGCTAACGTGTTCTACCAGAAACGGACTCCATATTGCCACCTGCTCGTCGTGCCGAGATTGAGGCGTTGCTTAAAAAGACCAAGAAGACGTACCAGGTGTCTTTGTACAGTGGAACCCAACATGGATTCGGAGTCCGCGCCAACGTGTCTGACCCTGTCCAGAAATTCGGTAAGGAGACAGCCTTCCTGCAGGCCGTACGCTGGTTTGAGGCCTGGTCCAACTAAGGAGTGCGTCCGCCGTAACGGACTCTGTTTCGATAGTCAGTTATAATATATTCGGTTTACGCAATAAAACGGGCTCTATCATTAGCCTCTATGTTTTCATTTGTCAAACAAGGCTGAGTGGCTTGCTCGCCGAATGACTACTACGCATTGGGGGCCAAGCCGTGCATTCGAAGAGAATCGTGCGGGGATAACCCGTGTTTAAATCAGAGACATTTCTTTCTAGAAGCGAAACAATCTTGAGCGAAAGTACTAGCAAGTCACCCGAAAAGCATAGCCGTTGACATGGAACTTCGCCTCGACCAAGTCTCGATTGCCGACGGGCACGACGTTGCTCTTGTTCAGCAAGAGGCAACTGCGACAGATATATTCTACAATGCTCTACACTCAAACGCATCACCTGATCGCCTTTTTAATGCAGCAATTGAGCGATGGCCGAGTAACTATGCTTTTGGGTCTTGGTATTATCTGACAGTGACAGATACTGTCGCTGGCCAAACCATTGCGTTCTCCAGATGGGCGGTGGATGATGACGTTCGGCAAGCTTTCCACCTCAAACAGGTAAAACAAGACAAACGCAACCAGGAAAAAGGTAAAACAAGGTTCGACATGAGACTCACATTTTCCAGGGATCCCTGAAGGTCTCACTCCGCCTCCTCGAAGGCGTCCATCGACGCTGAATATGGCTCTGGTAATGGAAGTGGAAGATCAGCGTGAAGGCATAGAACAACGACTATTATCAGACCACAAAGTTTTGTGTAAGTGGTATAAGATATATAACTGATTTACGCAGCACTAAAATATCTATACGATCTGCATACATCCCTGGTACCAGGCACTTGGCGCAGCATAGGATTTGATACTGGCATAGGCCACGAAGTTTGCAGATCAGCACTCGCTGCTATGCTGCGCAGAGCAACACGAACAGCAGTTTGCACAGTATTCCAAGCATAGATTTCAAGCCAGGGATCACATCACCGCAACCATCGATGGTTCGCCATATGTGCTGGACTGCTTGCTTCGCGAGCCACAGCCTGCATCCTCGTAAATAGCGGCTTTTACACGATCCGCCTCCCACGTGGACATGGGACGCAATAGACTTTTTTTGGGTTCAGAAATGAAAAACCAATCATAGAAACAATATTCGCAAGCGGGGAAGACATCACTTCCCTGGTATATAGCCACTCAGGGTCTAGCCACAGGGCTAATCAGACTCAGCCAAGAAATGACATGCTCTCGGTACTCTTCGCCACCGTCTGCTGCCCCAGCATATAGAAGAATCTGGACCACCCCTTCTTGAAGAGTAAACTGGTGGCCGTTAATCCAACGTTTGCGACGCAGGTACAGCAGCAGTAGTTGAAACGCTACATGGAAACATTGGTCAATCTTCACGCGGGGGATTGACAGTTAAACGAAACGGCTCCCACGCTGCGGCTCATACACACTTGCAAAATGGGCAGGGCAAATTAAAAAGCTGTCAGACGCTCCCCAGGCACAGAATATCGCTCGGTAGCAACGCTCAAAAACGGGTGATGCGACGCTGCACCCGCCCAGCGGTCCGGATTTGTCAGGACGTGACGCTGGCGGCCAGGCACAGGCGGCTCCGTTTTGCAGCAATTAAGGTTGAGCACGCGCACTCGGTTATATTTAAACCATGTTTTACACGGGCAGCGGCGCAGCGGGCGGCGAGAAGGGGACGTCTTGGGTGTCGCTGGGCCTTTGTTCTTGGCTCTGCGCCAGCCGACTCTGCGTGTCCATTCATGGGCAAATCGGTGCCAACGTCGTTCTTTTTGCTTAGCATGCGGAAACTGTTTATAGTCTTGGCTGGTCAGAGATGCAGATCTCGCACGAGTACTTATAATCCTAGGAGGGGCCAACCCGGTAGAGGTTCCAAGATCGTCGGTGTGTAAATCTTTCTTCCTTGGTCTGCCTTTCATCGCCACATACAACTGCATATTCCCTTGTCCATTTTCCTTTTTCGGGTTTTATCGAAACAACATATATACACATACGCCATGAAGTCTGCTGTTGCTCTCCTTGGCCTTGCTGGCCTGGCCGCCGCCGTTTCCGAGGCTCGCTCGCCCAAGAGCTACGGCCTTTCCATCAGCGACATGTCTCTGCACGAGGTTTCCCCCATGGCTGCTGCCCCTAAGCTTGCTGCCCGCGGTACGAATAGTCCAACCATATCTATCTCTAGAAGGAGTGTATTCACTAACACGTCGTTATTACAGAGGAGGAGGATGATATCGAAGCCAGCGAGGGTGCCGCCGAGGCCGTCGCCGATGCCGTCGCCGAGGAGGACCCTTCCACAGCCGTCCGCCTGGACAAGAGCTGTGACAGCCTCATTGCCCCCTTCCAGCTCATGTTTGAGCGATGCGCACAAAATGCCAAGACGGCAGAGCGACTTGCCCAGACAGCACCCAAGGAGGTGATGGAGCAGCACTTTGGCCGCAGCGACCAGGCTGCCCGTGACCTTGTCAGCAAGAACTTTGTTACGCTTGGCCGCGAGTGTGCTTCGGCCGGCACAGGAGGCACAGCCAAGCTTGTTTGCGACCACTCGGACAAGAACCTGTGCAAGAGCAAGGAGTACGCTGCCTACATTCTCAACTTTGACAAGGAGCTCGAGGTTCTCATGTGCCCGCTCTTCTTCTCCTACTTTGACCTCAACGTCAACGACCGCTGCGTCAAGCGCGGCTGGCTTACACAGAGCGCCATGTTCCTTGGTTTCCTCAGCCGTGATCCCAAGGGCACCAAGATGACCTGGGACTCTAAGGAGAAGCTTACAAACGGTTTCTCGTATGTGGACTTTGCTTTTGGCCCTGCCGATACTGGCTGTGCCAAATAAAGCGTTTGTTTGAGTGTGCATTTTTTATGGTTTTATTCATGAATCAAAGGGAAAGAAGAAGAAGGATGAATTTAGTGTACTGTAGCAAAGGCAAATGTGAAAATTTGGCGTCTTGTTTTATTGCCATGAAAGCCTTTCTCTCCACCGCGTGATTCTATGGCTTCCTTTGCTCTCCCTCATCATGTTTTTCTACTTTGTAAATTTCCATATACATGTCTGTATCTTTCCATGCCTGTATTTTATTTGCTTCCTTTGTATTTAAACTCTATGAACGGAGACGCTGCTACTACTACTGCTGCTCCGCGTCCTACGTCGTTTCGCTGTGTCATGTAAGCAAAGACAGCGGTGTATGCGGAGTCGCAAAGATGATGGAGATGTATTACTGACCAAAAGACACTGGTATATAAATAGATGCATTCTTTCCCTTTATCCATTAACGATTTCTAAAAATGCGCCGACTAATACGCCTAAACTCGTCTACTGCGTGCGTGTCTTTATTCCTCCCCATCACTCGACTCACCCAGCCAATAAGTCGCGATAGTGTTTGGTACTATTTTCTTACTGCCTGCATATTTCCCCACGATGGACTCCCGGTTAGGTTTGTGATAAAGCTCCGTGCCGCTCTGCAAGGACCCTTGGTACAGGGGATACCTGTATAGTATGCGCAGAAATTATCGATCGGAGGGATTCAGCGTTGCATTACAGGCAAGAAATGTGCCCGAGATGCGGATGTTTTTTGGCCTGCGAGGTATTCTCTAGAATCGAAATGGACCGTCTAGAACTCACACCCGGCGAATAATCAATATTCAGAGTTTACGGACGCAAGTCACCAAACAATTAAAACCTCCGTCGGTCGGTATCGCCGCCATGGCCTCGTGTATAAAAGAGACGACCAATTCTCCTGAAAATTCCCAGTAAAATAGCCACCATTCCAAACACATATCAAAGGAAAATCACATCTTCCATCTCTCTCTCAGCCAAAATGAAGTTTGCTTCTTACCTTGCTATTGCCATCGCCATGGCTGTCGGTGCCCAGGCCGCCGCCGAAGCTTGTCTCCCCAAGGGCTGTAGGTCTCCCAAATCTCACGATGCTTTTCTGCGCCTCCCAGAAACTGACACCCTCTCTAGCCAACCAGTGCGATCTTAGCGGCAAGCACAACTGCTGCAGCGGCTTCTGCGACAAGCCCAAGAACTGGGCCAAGGGCATCTGCAAATAAGCGTGGCCGCTAGGAGCCTATCTATCCGTTCTGTACATACGCAAACTCAATGAACATAGATCACATGCCTCAATACCTTCTCTTCCTCTTACTACACTGTTGTAGCCTCATTCTACGTTGCAAAACGTCGCCAGTGTAGCGTTTACCGTTTATCACAAGGCATCCATCCAACGTATTGCCACATGGTGACTGCATGAACTATTTCTGTCTCAGATTCTCAGATTGGATCTCTAGTGATCCTGTCAAGAGGTAAACCGCATCCCATTGGGCGACACACTGTAATCCTCGCCAAGGACTACTCCGGCATTAATAGCGCCTTTAGCGGTTCTGCCAGTACTTTTCGGACTAACCGTATCGTAAGAACGAGGTACAAGGGAAAAGAGCCAATAAATCCCGCTACAATGGCACGCCATGTTGACCGCAATATAAAGAGCCCCCTACGACAGCGTAGCGTGGATGTCACGCCTCGTAGCAGCCGCCAACCACGATGCAACGTCAGCCTCGCTTTGCAAGCTACGCAGCACCACGAACATGCGGGTTCTTGGGCGAAAAAGTCGGAATTTTTCTACGCATGATACCGGGGATTCCTGGTCTATAATCTTAGCCAAGTCTGTGCTTCGGAAGAGATAAAAAGGAGACGGTCTGTGCTGTGGTCGAGAACGGCGTATAGATGTAGATATAAGAAGAGTGAGGTAGCACGCACCAGAAGCGCTGCCCGTGAATTATTTTGCTGGTTGTCCGGAGAATACGAAGAAGAACAATATTTTCTTGATGATGCTGGTCGTCAAGCACCTTGCCATTGCGGCGTCGCTCGCGGGTTTCGTCTCTGCGGCGCCTCGCAACTCTCCCGAGCCATGCAAACCCGGCACCTGGGAAAAGCTTGCTCCTCTCCCCCAGGCAAGACAAGAGGGCAACGGCGTGGCCGTCAACGGAAGCTTAATTGTCATGATTGGCGGCGTGCACGTCGACCGTCCCCCTTACACCACAACCGATGTGGTGCACATCTACAACGTTGCCGACAACTCCTGGCGCAAAGGCTCCAAGTCGCTATTTCGCTATAATCATCCCAACACAGCCGCTATTGGAAACATGGTCTATGTTCTCGGCGGTCTCAAGGACGCACCTGTCAATTCGGGCAAGACGTTCCACAGCACAGCCGCCGACGGGTGCTTCGTCTATGACACCGTCCGTGATTCCTGGTCGCCGCTGGGCAAGATGCCACGCGGTACGGCCCGCGGAAGCGCCCTGACACTGGTGTATGGCGACACCATCTTCCTCGTCGGCGGCATGACCAACCTGGAGAATGGCAACCAGGACTCTGTGACGACGGTCAGCGCATACAGCGTGGGCCAGGGCTGGTTGAATCTTCCAGGACCAGCAGCTAACCTGCCCGAGGGCCGCCAGCACCACGGCGGCGCCATCATTGACGATGTGATATATGTCGTTGGCGGTCGCACCAACAGCGAAGAGAACCGCGGTACAGTGTACCAGCTGGATCTGCACAACATGAATGCTGGCTGGACGACGGGACCAGCGATGATGCCGACGCCGCGCGGTGGATTGTCTGCCGGTGCGGTGGACGAGCGAATTGTCACATTTGGAGGCGAGAAGAGCAACGGCGTTAACAGGGAGGTTGAGCTCTACGATGTGCTAAGCCAGACGTGGACAAAGCTTGGCCCGATGCCTCTCCCGCGGCACGGAACACATGGGATTACCATTGGCGGACGCATCTATCTTCCGGGTGGCGGTACGAATTCAGGCGCTGTTCCGACGGATTACTTTGACTCGTACTGTGTCTAAGATGGGGGAGCAGCAAGGAGAGGAAGAGATGGGGGGATAGAAGCCGTGTTGTACGTACAACTATAGAGTATATACAGATGTGTACATAGACGGAAGCCATACATAGTCCCCGCATGACGGGAGGAAAAAAGTACATGCATTTTGATTTAGACTGATTTACATGGATTCCTGTTTTCTTGGCCCGTGATTCGCTTGTAAGGGTTGCTTGTCTTGGAACCATTTGCGTCATAGAAGCTTCACTCTAATTTCCTTTTCGTTCTTGCTCCTCTTGGCAAATAACTGAGACATTACCCATCTTTTCTAGTTGACGACTCTCTATCAGGTGTGCTGTCTAACAAGATATCTCACTCACGACGGAGACTGCTTGTCTTTCCCGGCTTTTCGCTCGTCTTTAGAAAGCTAAAAGCTAAGCTCGAGCTAGAGCTACAGTAGAGCTAGTGCAAAGCTCATCCCAGCTAAATTAGCGCCGCGAGGGACATCAAGCCGTTCGTGGCGTCGGCGCAACTGTGGGCTCTACCTCACCATGCAGCTACAAGCAATACGGCAGTTGAGCTCCCTCCTGTTTTTCGACATCTTGGCAAACCCACTCAGCTGCTCCTGCAAAACCTCTTTTTTAGGTTTAGTTCCGAGCCTGGCTGCGCTACCTAGACTGACGTATGCCGGGCGGTGGCGGCGGGCCGAATCCCGGTGGAAGGCTCTTGGTACAAGCTTATGCTGCAAAACAATAGCTGTCAATTTGTAAGGTTTTTAATTCTGTTGAGAGGAAGTCCTCTTTTCAAAGTTTGCAGCGGCGCGTTTCATAACGAGTTGCGCCGAAAATTTCAAGGTTCACGATCTCTCTGTCCGGCCGCCGTGTGTTTGCTAGCAGTCTATACTCACCACCTCTTCAAAAACGGAAATCGGAGATCCTGTGCAATCGGGCGCCACTCAGCACATGCTTGTTCCCTTTTGTGTGAAAGCTGACTCTTGGGTTGCCACCCCCGCATCATCGGCGAGCGCAGTGTGTCTGTAATTAGAAACAGCACTTCTTCTTCCCAGCTCACTCACTGTAAGCTGCCATCGGCTGCAGGGAGGTTCAGTAGGTTCCTCGTATTTACGCAGGGAATAAAAAAGAGACAGCCTGGCGCTGGGCCAGTAATACGAGGGCGGAGCGTCGGTCGTTGCCGGAATGGATCTTCAGGGATGACGATTAGGTGTGGGGAGGAGGACTAATACGAGCTGGACGACGTCATTTGACCGCCGTGACGTTGTAGTGCGTCGAGCAGTAAAAAAAAAAAAAGGTAGTCCGTACTAACAAGAGCATAGCGTAGAGAAAGGGAGGAGAGGGTAGGTAGCAGAGCGGCTTAGAGGAGAAGAGAAACTCGGGGTAGGTAAGTGATCCTTGCCTTTAGCGGGATGGGGAATGAAAGAAGTATAAATCTCGTCGGATATCCTGTCCAGGTTCGCAACTATTCTCGTCACTCTCATCAATCACCAGTCTACTACTTCTCTTTCTTCTTCTCTTACACCAACAACAAACACCACCGCAAACACTTTCGACTCTTTTTCATCATGCTCTTCTCCAAGTCCATCGCTGCCACCGCTGCCCTCCTCAGCTCCGTCTCGGCTGCTGCCGTCACAAAGCGCGGTGAAACCTGGACCCTCGACGGCGTCGCCCGCGGCTGCAAGCCCGACGACTCGCAGTGCACCTGGGCCTTCAACATCAACAACCACAAGGACGACCCTGTCTACTGCCGCATCGTCATCGAGGCCCAAAACGGCCAGGGCGCCTCCAAGTCCCACGGCGGCCCCGTCTACTGCGGCGACTACCGCCTCGAGTCCAGCTACGACAGCAGCATGGGTGCCGACAAGGGATTCACCGTCATTGGTGTTCTTGACCAGGCTCGCCAGCTCATTGCCTTCTTTGGCTATGACGACCATGAGACTGCCAATGGCCGCACTGTCACGCCTGATCACAAGGGCGATGCCACGCCTTTCCACCAGAAGAACTAAAGAGATATAGGCCGTCTTTGCCCTCCCCCTTCTTCTTCTTCTTCTCTTTTTCTACATTTTTTTTTTAATTTTTATCATGATGGCACGATCGAGTTCCCAACTGTGAATAGTCTTTTTTACTTTGCAATTGCATTGGCCTGTAAAGGACAGAGGCTGGATGCAACGCTGCGAGTAGAGACAACTTTTGTATTTTATAAAAAGATATAGAAAAACAATACACTAAAAATACATTATAAAATCATCTACTTCCTTTTCAATTGTATTAGACTACTTCTTTATTTATTTTTTGAATTTTATAAAATACAGTTGTGCCTCTTTTTACCCAGCCTACCGCCCATATCGTGTAGAGTCACCACCACCAAAAAACACCAATACACCAGCCATCCCACCACCACTACTTTGCACCAAGCACGCATCCAATACCACCCTGCAAATACACACAAAGATAACCGACCGGTTTACCACGTGTCCCGATTTACGTACTCCCCAGCCATCACGAATCCCAATCAGGTAATCGCCCTGCTTGTCCGTCTCCCCCAAAACACCACCACACAGTATCATCCGCCGATCGACTTCCCAACCAAGATGCTCCTCACAACGTGCCATCCCAAAGCATGCCCTCCGTGCGCGATACATGGCCACAGAGGCCACTGTAGCCGTTAATAGATCGCCGGGCATGATGACAGCAGCTGGACGTCCAGCGTACCAGCAATGGCCAAGCGACGAACCCAAGCACCGCCCTCTTGCATAGCGGCCACCTGGAAGCGACGCCGCTGCGGCATATAAGAAGCATTGATAAATAGAGGAGGCGGGCATTTGGCACCTTCTCTTCTTCATTCTTTCTTTAGAAAAAGGGCCTTCTTTTAATTCCCATCGGTATTCCCCCTTGCCGCAGAACATACACTCTTTCGCCACCGTACATAACATAACGAATACACACAATGAAGACTTCCGCTGCCATCTTACTATCGCTCATCGCCGGCGGGGCCACTGCTGCAAACACCGTCAGCCCACGCCACTATCCCATCTACGAAGGCAACCGCGGCTTCGAGGAGACAGCCAACTTTTCCGAGTCGTCACGCCTGGAGGAACCCAAGCCCGACAAGAACGGCTGCTCCGAGGGCCAGCAGATTGCCGTCCCGTCGTACATCCATCCCAAGGACAACCCGACAGCATGGAAGCAGCTGATTGCGTACGACAGAACCAAGGTCAGCATCCTGGTGGCCAACGTTGTCAACGGCCCCAACGTCTCCATCAACCATGACTGGAGCACCACCATCCACAACGCCTCCATGGCGGGCAAGAAGGTCCTGGGTTACGTGCGCACGGGATACCTTGGCCAAAACGCAAATAACTTCACGACGCTCGACGGCGCGCGCGACATGGAGTCGTGGGTGCAGCAGATCCAAAAGGACGTCGACACGTGGTACTTCCAGTACGGCGAGAGCATTGGCGGCATCTTCTTTGACGAGGGCCTTCCCGAGTGCGGCCGCGACAACGAGTACGCCGACCTTTATGCCCGCATCAACAACTACACTAAGCGCAAGTATCCGACTGCCTTTACCGCGCTGAACCCGGGCCTGGCTGTGCCTCGCTGCTACGAGAGCACCATGGACACCCTCATGACGTATGAGAACTCGTACGACACGTACATCAACAAGTATGTGCCCAACAACTGGACCGCCACGGACCCCTACAAGATCTGGCACGTTGTCTACGGCGTCCCTGAGCACGAGGTCAAGCGTGTCACTGATCTTGCCTGCGAGCGTGGTGCTGGCCTTGTCCAAGTCACCGACGGTATTCAGCCCAACCCCTACAACACCCTGCCCAAGGACGGTTACATGAGAAAGCTCATGGATTCCGTTGCTGGCGGTGATCCTCTCATTGGCTCTCCCCCATCGTCTCTCCGTGTCCGTGCCGAGAACAAGAAGACCAAGTGCCTTCGCTCGCCGTCCACTGGCGGTGCCAGTGCTGCTTCGTTTAGCGCATTCGCTGCCATCCTCGCTGCCGTCATTGCTCTGTAGAGCCAAGAAGAGGCAATTACAGTATGCTTCCGATTTGCTTGCGTGAATTCCAAGAGGTAGTTCAGCTGCTTCCGTGGCAAGATACGCGAATAACCACAGCAACAAAAAGTGTTAGCTTTACAAGGGCATCATATCACGCGTTACGCATTTTCTGTTTGTCCACTTTTTTTATTTCAAATGTATCTTTAGTTCATTCTTCTTATTAGTAGAAAACAAAGAGAAAATTCTAATCTAGACCTTTATATACGTATGAATAACGGTTTCTTATATGTACGTGATGATCATGGTCGTAATTACAGCAATGGTAATACTCATAATGGCGTCGTATCGCTTAGTTGAGGTAGGCAAAGCCCATGGTGTTACTGTCGTAGTTGTGGTCAATGTACTTGCCCTGGAAAAAGGCCTGACCAACCAGCCAGATGTCGCCAAAGTTGGTGGTGCCATGGATGCTGGCTGTGCAGTTGTTGCCGTTCTTCTTAAAGGCGAGAGCCTCGGGAGCGACATTGAAGTTGTTGCCGTTGAAAGACAGACCAATTTGAGGAGGCGTGTCGCAAGCGTAGTAGCCGGTGATGCCGTTGCTGTCTTGAGTGTACTTGACACCAGCAGCATCAAAGACATCGCGGACCTGGCTGCTGGGGCCAAAGATGACGGTGGTGCCCGAGTCGGTGACAATCGAGACGCTAGACTCTTGCACCTCGCCGTTGACGGTGATGTCGCCAGTAACAGCCCACTCGTCGGTAATAGGGACGTTTACGAGGCTGCCCTTGATCTCGTTGGTAGCAACGGTTCCGTAGTGAAAGGTACCAGTCTTGTCCGTCTTGAGGGCAAGACCGAATCGGCAAGCAGCCAGGGCACCCTGGTTGCAGAGGTTGGTGAAGAAGGATGGGTGGCCGACAGAGTCCTGATTCTTGTGGGCGAAGCCAATAAGACCGTCATGGGGGAACGTGGGAGGAGACGTAGGGCTGGTGATGGAGCCGAGATACTGCTTGGGCACCGTCAGGTTGGTGCCAACCTGGCCGATGGTGTCGGTGTAGATTTCGCCGCGGGCCTGAAAAACAGTGGTTAGTATTGTTGAAGATCGTGGGCCATCGCCATCGTCTATGCGGCTCTGCTTACCGAAAGCTGGCCAGAGCCATCCGGGTTGGTGGTGGCATAGGCAATGCGGAACGTCTTCTTGGTGTCAACAGCCTGCTTGGAAGGCTTGTAGACACCGGGGTTGATGATAGCGTCAGAGGAGCCAGAGTCGATCAAGATGGAGAGGTCGGGGCTGGCGCCAACGCTAAAGTGGCCGAACCAGAAGCCCTGCTCGTCAAAGAGCGCAGCGTCGGTGGTGACGGCGTGGCCCTTGGCGGCCATCATGGCGCGAGCAGTGTGCGCGTCCACCGTCTTCATCTGGAGCGGGTGAGAGCCAGAGAAGGCCTCGACGGCATTGAGGGCCGCGAGGGCAACGAGAACAGTCTTGAAGGGCATCTCGACTGTCGGAGCGTGTTTCTTTTTTGTTGTTTTGAATACGGACCACGGCCTGGGAGAGAGAATAAAAGTAAGCAACGGAAAATGAGAAGTAGAAAAAGAGGTGAGACAAAGAAGAGGAGAAAGAAGATGGCTAACTGAGACTGGCATGTGCCGAGTATTTCAACACCATGGTAAACATTCGCCTTCCTATTCTGGCATGGGCGCCGGGGCGCGGGGGACGGAGCACGAATGGATAGATCGGCATTTGGCGTCATTTGAGGTTCTTTTGGCGGCAATAATCTGTTTGGTGATTGTCGGCATTGTTTGGTTTGGTGTTTCAGAGCGCTTGCTTGTGTTGATTTCATCGGATGTCGTCTTTTGTCTTCAGCCGCCCGCTGCCAAGCAAAAAAGAGCAACTATAGAAAAATGCAAACAAACTTACAGCATACAAACACCCACAGCGGTAGGCCAAGGCACGCTAATCTGCATAAATCATGCTGACTGCCGCAACTTGTTTAGCGTGCAAAGGGGAATGGGGCGATCGGCAATGGCGCACACCACAACACGGGGGAGGGCGGGGGCCTGAGGTTTGATCTCCCCGCACAAGCCACAAAGTGGCAGGGCACGCCACGTAATTTTACAGACGGGGACTCTTGACTACCCTGTACATGATTTTTCACAATCAAACAAAAAACACAGAGACAGCTTGCTTCTGAATACGAAGAAGCAAACACTAATTCGTTTGCTTTCATCAAAGACAAAATGCTTACCTATTTCTAGCACCATTTATAAGATCTCGAAACTCACATTTCCCGTGTAAGACTCTTCAATCTGGTTTACCGGTTGTACTTGAACAGATGTTGGTTGAATTGCACTACCGTTCAAGCACGATGCTTTTACTTTCGGGCTTCAACAGTCAACATCACAAGTCATATCATTATCACTGGCCCCATTATCAGTACAAATAACTATAATTCATCAGCAAAATGCTGAGCATCACACGACAAAGTACAGCCTTTGCCTTGTACAAAAAGTGTGAACATTGGCCAAACTTGCTCACCAAGGCAAAACGACGAAGGAAAATCAACTTTCCCAGTCACATTGGCAGTTTCTATACTTTGTAAAAAGCTTGTATCCGCTTTCTGCTTCTCGCGAGATACATGGCCTTTGGGTTATCCATGGATCTAGACCAGCCTGAACAGCAATTTACATCACTATATTCTTCCCACGACACGTTGCCGGCACCAAAGTTATGTTGAATGAATATCATCTGTGATATTTCTTCTACACAGACTTGGATCTTAATTTAATGGGCAGCTTCACATCGTATCAAGTCTTGCCATCGCTAATCATACTCCCAACGACCAAAGGAAGGTTTTCAAGATTTTCGCTTATACAGAGTTTACCGATGTTTTAAACAAAGAAAGTAACGAACCAGCAAAACCTAGCGGTGCAAATAGAGGTTTAAACTTATTTTCTTTACCAGTCGACAAAAAGAGTTTATCAAGATGTTCTTTATATACCAGGGCTCCCCCGAGTCCTGTCTCTGCTGTCTCTACTACTCAAATCATCTCCCACCTCTCTAATCCCCTTTCAACTTATACTTTGTTGCCTCATCATGGACTCCGCACCCATGCTTACCGCAATGCTTTCAGCAGCATTTCAGCTGGGACCTCCCACAGGATTCTCCCCAGCAGCTCTCCCAGTGTCTATACCAGCGGCTCCTCCAGGGTTTCTGTCAGCGCCTCCCCCAGGACTTCCACAAGAGCCTGCATTCGGAGCTCCACCAGTCTTCCCACCACCCCTTCCACCAGTGTTTCTTACAAGCCGATCCAATGCAGAACGCCAAGTAGAGGCACTTCAAGTCATGGACTCGCGACCAGCTCATCACTTTACTCGACTCGAGATTGCAGCACTCTGCAACTTGCCTCACAGGGCCTTCACGGATGGAGATTTCCGATTGCCAAGAGGAAACACCCTTCACAATGGCCTGAAAGCGCTACTCGCTCTTTGTAAGTGCCTCACATGTATATTCCCCTAATCGTTTGACTAATATCTCTACTAGTTTTCGAGAGGCCCGCTTCAGACACTGAAGTAAGCCGTAGCCAAGCGTCCACCACACCAACTTCATTTGACAGCCTGGAGAATCATCCCCGCAACACCACGGCTAAGTTTAGACTTACATATTCCCACAACGCGCAAGGAGTCCGCGACGTAAGTTCATTGTCCTCTGGAGATATGTTTATCACGTGCTAACTTTCGAAGGTTCGAGAGGCTAGCACAGGTGCCTGCCTGATCACACAGTCTGAACATATTACGGTTTCCTACATCTGCCCATTTAGGTTCAACAATACCAGAGAGAACCTAAACCAGGCTCGAAACGTTATTGACACCGCTTGCATGTTTCTGCCAAAGGACCGTCACGATGCTCTGGAGGCGCTTCTCGCAGGCGGGCTTGGCTCGTCTGACAGAACGTTCAATATGCTACGCATGAATCCTTGGGTTGCATTTTGCTGGCGCAAATGCAACTTTGCCCTTGAATGGGTAGGCTCAAGAGGCCCCTTGTCAGTTGAAGACGACGTCGGGCCATTTGCCCACGAGTGGTCCAGAGCCTACTTGCGAGTGCACGTTCTGAATCAAGTCGGAAGAAACATGGACGAGATCATCGACAATGCTAGCATGGGCTTCTTCGATGAGATGTTTTCTGTCTATGGTGGCCAGTTTAACCCCGTTGAGAGCATGAGACTGGCCTCAGGTATTGAACTTGAAAGCCATCTTTTCCTAGACGTGTGGACGCCGCACAGGAGTCTTGTCTTTACCGATGTGAAAACAGCGGACTTGGAAAATATGAAGCTCATGATTGATTTGCAATTTGCTCTTGTTTCCACATTTAGAATGGCGGGTGGCATCGACCCCCAGGAATGCCCACACAATGAAGAACCACTTCCCAACATAGATACAATTGCGCCGCAATTGTACTCGCATCCAGAAGCAGGGCCCAGTGGGTTACTGGAGGATGAAGAGGGTGAAGAATATGAAGAAGGCGAAGGATATGAAGCGGGTGAAGAAGATGAAGAAGATGAAGCTGGATACTGGGAATTCCTAGAAGATGGGTATTACTACCCCTATTAGTATCCTTTGGGCTATTGGATACATATTTGTCCACATTGTACAATTTGTGTAAAAATACATGTACACACAAGCGTTTCAAGTCAAACTATACTTGACATAGCAAAGCATATACCTTACATAGACAGACTAAAATGAAAAAAAAAAGAATGTATATATTACAATAAAAGAACAAGAAAAATCGAGAGACTAAGTGTGTTTGTATTCTATTCATCATGCAACTGTTATGGATCTATAGACAAGGCGAGACATGAATATGACAAAACAGCATACTGTTGCAGCGCACTTGCATCATTGCAGTTCAAACTATATCACTGTATCATCCCTCGAATCCTCACAGCCAACATGCTACACCAGTTTACCAGTAGTTGCAGTTGCGGCTGCTGCTGGTACGGCTTCCGCTCTTGGGGGCCATCTTGACGCGGCGGTTGCTACCCTGAGAAGCAGGCTTCTGGCCGTGGTAAACTATCTTGACATCGGTGCTGCTGCCGACCTCAGGGTGGCACTGAAAGTTCTTGGGGTTGGTGTCGGGGCTCAGATACCAGCCCTCGGCGCCGGCAAGATCGTAGTCGCGGCCGGCCTCATCAGTGACAAAGGCGTCGCTGATGGTGAATTTGGACCAGTAGGGGCTGTTTTCGAGGAAGTTGGGGTTCTCGTGGACCCAGACGGCGTGGTTGAGGCACAGGGGCTCGTGCGGAGTGGTGACGTTGTACGAGATGTTCTCGCCGGTGCTCTCGTTGAGCAGGTAAATTTCGTCCGAGGTGCGGCTGGTAGCGGTGATTTCGACGTAGACGTTGTTGCCGGGCGAGACTGGGTGACGATGATCGTGTTAGCGTATATACGTATATACATCGTAGAGGGGGCTATGTTCAAAGCTGAACAGGAGAAAACCAACTTACCGGGAAGACTAATCTGGTACATCTCAGGGAAGAACTCGTACCAGAATTCGTACTTGATCTTGCCGTCAATCAGACGGGCCGAGGTACCGGCTTGCAGAAGAGTCTGGCAGTTCTCGACACCGTCAAAGCCAATCCACTGGTAGGCATCGAAGCTGTTGTCCTCGCCAGCGGCCTACTTGGCGTCAATGGGACGGATAGTAGGCACGGTCCAGGCACCGGATATGGTTTTGTAGTTTTCGCCGCGGAGGATTTGGCCTCACCAGTTCTACGAAGGCACGTTCTTGCCACTGAGAGACATGGACGCAGAGGCGGCAGCCTTGGTGGCCATGCCCAAGGTTAGGACAGAGGAAAACATGGTTTTTGAGTGGGTTGAAATAGAGCGTGGGATATCTTCTAGTACAGAGTGGTGTAAATGAGCGTGATGATGTTCAAAAGAATGGAATGGACGATTGTGAAGTCGGCCAGAGAGTGTAAAGAAGCCTTCTCTAAAAAGAATACACTAAACTTGGGACGAAAGACGGCATACTATTTTAACCAGAAAACATTCCCATGGCCGTTTTGTCTACATAGGAGGTAACTTGGGATCATGGCGGCGGTCCACTAACAAGCGAAATTGCAAGCGACCGGGGATGTTGTATCCTAGCGGATCTCTATGCGCGGACGCGCGGTGAGGAGATGGGACGCATTATTCCCGTCGGGCAATAGGTTAGACGAAATCTAGTATTTGGTTCGAGTCTAGGTGGTGCAATAGGGGTTCTGGCTTCACAATGTGGCCGAGTAGCTGCCATCACGACCTGAGTTTAGTTGTTTGGTGTGTGTACTGGGCGAGTCAGGAGTAGATGCTTGTGCACACCAAACATGGGACGAATACCGGGGTGAATGCGGCTATTAGGTCCCCCATGTTTGGTTCTAACTGTGTTGGAGTAAGCGTCTTTTGGGAGTAGCTCACTCGTGCAAGTCTCATGTTACAGTACACGATGTGTCCAGCCGTCATTCACTTAGGTCGATGTGCTAATCTTTACTTTTTAATGTAGACATCTCTTACTAAAGAGCTAGCCCTGCTTCTATTAAGGAGCTGCTACTCCGGCTGTGTAGATCTCGTTTTTTTTCTTATTTTTTAATTTTTACAAGTTATATATGGGCGGGCTTATTCTACAGCAGGCTGCGCTCACCCCTTTTCGCTTTTTTGTCTTGTTTATCTCTACTGCTTCTCGTGGTAATTTATTTTGCTGATCACCAACGGCTAGAAGTAGGACTAAGTATGACATCATCGGGCGACGAAGGCAAAGTAAAAAAAAGGCTTTTTATTGTGATAGTACTGCAGCTTAACATTTCTAATTATTATAATATCAACTGTTTCTACTCCAACATAGAAACAATAATCACATAAACAGTTAACGTTTGTGTAAATATTTTCACAATGCTTCTGTTGGGATATAGACTACTTGTAACTTCTATTTTCCTAATGTAGGTCAAATCTTTACGCGTAACATCTTGCCCAACGGAGCAGTTTTATTGCTAAACTAGCCAATCGCATCATCCACCACTTTTCAACGCTATTTTTTCACATGTTGCTGCCAAAATCTGGTCCTAGCGCTGTATTAGCGGCCCGCGTAGCGGATACGACTACCAGCTACAGCACTAGCGCGGCCCAAACAGATCCCGCTCCTTCGTCAATTTTCTTTATCTAGACTAGACGACCCAGGCTGACAGAGGCAAGACGGTGCGAGTCATTCGTCTTGACTCCAACGACGCTCTGAGGTAACGGCACAAACTCGTCAGCATGGACGAGAAATCTACACACAGCGAACCGCTGCCGCTCTGCGATGCGACGTATCCGGTATACGCTGTGGATAGCTACGGCCCCAATCGCCTGCTGCTGTCGTCATCGATGCTCTTCAACGATGTGCTCGACGTGCAGATTGTCAAGAGCTCACTGGAACGCTTGATCCAGATTGGCGACTGGAGAAAGCTTGGCGGTCGCCTACAAGAAAAGGTAAGTTAAATCCCATCCGTTTCGTCCCATGCGATGCTACCCAAGGCCTCACCCCGGTTCGGTTCTAACGGACTGTACAGCATAAGGGAACGCTGGAAATACGCGTGCCCGACCAATTTACAGACGCCGAGCCAGCATTTGCATTCACACATCATACACACGATATTTGCTTCTCCTCTCATCCCCAAGGAAAGCTGTACCCTCGTGCGACAGACGGCCCTTCTACCCAGCGCATCGACTATGCCGCGCTTAGCCCACTACTCAGTCCTCCAGGGCTCCCCAAGGACTTTGCAGCCATGATCAAGCAGAAATGGCCGCAGCTCACACTATTCATCTCCTCATTTCAGGACGCAACATTTATCTCGCTGATTTGGCCCCATACGCTGATGGACGCGAGCGGCTTCTATTCACTTCTGAAGAACTGGTCATACGTCATGGCTGGTGAGATGGATAAAGTCGAGCCTGTGCTCGGCGCATCAGTAGATGTACTGGCGCAGATTGACACGGAAGCCAATGAAAAAGCAACGCATGTGTTGGATCCCCTGTGCATGTCGGCGCTGCAAAAGACAATCTTTGCGCTGCGGTTCCTGTGGCGCAAGATGATGGTGCGCCAAGAGCTGCGCATGGTGTATATACCCGATGCGGTAATGCGGAGGCTGAAAGATCGCACAGCCCAAGAAGCCAAGGACGCCGCTGAAAAGGGCGACCAGGATGCATTTATTAGCGAAGGCGACGTTCTAGTTGGCTGGCTAATGCGTGCTAATGCAGCTGCGCATAGCCACCCGATCACGTTGTTTTCGCTGGTCAACGCGCGATCCCGCTTACCTGGCACTTCTAAGGCAGAGGGTGTTTATATCCAGAATATCATTGGAATGGTTTTTATTATGTATTCAGCAGAAGCTTTGAAACGATCAGGTGGCAGCATTGCTTTGAAGCACCGGCGCTCTCTGGAGCCACAGTTGGATGGCGACCAGCTTGCCATGTACATGCAAAAGGTGCGAAAGACGGCTGTCGGAGGTGGCATACCGCCGGTTTTGTACGGAGATTCGTCTGCTGTACTGGCCGCCTCTAATAATATTGCAAAGTCGAGCCCTTTTACAGGGGCTGACTTTGGGCCTGCTGTTATCCGTGCTGGAGACAAGTCAAAAGACAAGAAGAATCCTCCTGGTACAATGACCGTCTATTATAACTGCATCGTGGGACCAGGCAGTGCGCTCCCCGGTATATTTCTCACCTGGGGAAGAGACCACGGCAGAGGTCTATGGTTGACGGCGTCGTTGTCCTCGGATCAGTGGTCATGGTTAGAGAAGGACATGGCATCTCTTTCAGAGGGATAAACGAGGTTTGACTTATTCGCTCACAATGTTCAAGGGATATATTTGCATTTGTATAGTTTTGTTTTCATAGGCGCGCAGGCGGAAAAGTTTAGAAGCATAACCATCATGAGCGGATAGAGACGAACGAAAATAAATCATAAATTCTATATGCAAGTGTGTGTGAAACGTTATAATACATGTCCTATCGAACAGGATAGATTGCAAGTTGAGCCTTATTGAGCAATATCTCTGCACTTGAAAGGCGAGTGGGTGCTGTTGTGAATCTGTGGCATGCAATGTTAGTATCCATCTCCTTGTCTTGTAACAATAGTTGGGGGCGGCGACTTACAATATCTTCAATAGTGGCATAGGTGCCAGCGACAAGGGTGACGACACCAATGATAAAGGCCAGGATGCAGCCGAGAGAGATAAAGAGATTCTTGCGAGAGAAGGGGTTGCCTTCGCAGAGCAGGCGGAACCACATAATGGCAGGAATCCAGAAAGAGAAGCCCGACACGAAGAGGGCAGAGGCGAGAGAGAGCAGGTCGTTGAAGACGGGGATGGCCTCGGCAATAACCCACGCAATGACGGTGAAGATGACGACCTCGACAAGCCAGACAGTCCAGCCGCCAGGGGTCTTGATGTACTTGACGACCGAGTTCTTCCAGATACGGGCGTGCAGGTAGCGCAGAGCGACGGTAGAGTTGATAGAACCAGAGATGAAGATGACGGGCAGAGCGACACCAAAGGCCACCTTGGCAATGGTAGGGCCAGCAGACAACAGAGCAGGCGACTTAACATCGACACCAATAAAGGCATAGCAGAGGGCACCAGTCAAGGTGTAGATGAAGATTTGGATAATGCCCGAGGCCCAGATGGACTTCATGAAGTCGGTAGGGGTGTGCATTTCGTCCATGAAGGAGAACTGGCCAATGGCGAAGGAAAAGGCAAAGATGATGTTGCTGACGGCGACAAAGGCCTCGGAGAACTTGAGGTTCTCCTTGGGCCAGGCAGACCACTTGACAGCCTGCAGACCACCATCAGAGACAGCAGCCTGGTGTCCAGTGGCAATGATGGTGATACCAACAGCAGCGACAATGGAGACAAAGTCAATGTAACCGAGGATGGCAACCTCAGAGAAGGACGGCGGGATGGCGAGCAGCAGCAGGACAATGGCGGAGATGGCGGAAAAGATGACGGAGCAAATCTTGCCGTCGGCGAGGGTGCCAATGGCAATGGCGCCAGTCAGGGCGTGCGAACCAACGACCATGACAAGCTCCAGCACAAGCGCGGCACCAAAGATCTCGTAGCCAATGCGGCCAAAGAGAAGACGGCCAGCATCAGCGTAGTTGGCGGTCTGGGGAAAGGCCAGCTTGACGCGACCAACAATGTAGGAGGTGAAGATGGCGACGAAGCCGAGGCCGACGGTCAGCAGGACACCGGGGACCATGCCGAGCGTGGCAAAGGACTTGGGGAGTGACAGGGCACCGAGGGCAATGGCCTCGACAATGGTGACGACGGCAAGACGCTTCCAGCCAAGACGGTGGAAGTGCTGCTGGGACGCTGTGGCGATTTGCTCGAGCTGGGCCGCGTCCATGTTGCTGACGGTGGCTGTCTCGATGTCAGCGGCACCGCTGGCGCCCTTGCTGCCGCCATTGGCAAAGTCTTTGACGGCGGGCTTGTTGTTGTCGGCAAAGAGACCGGCAGAAGGGGCGGTTTCGTCCTTTGGTGCCGTGCTGGACACGGATGTGCGATGACTAGCAGTCATGATGACGTTTGTGTATGTATCTGTGTTGTATATGTGTGTATATGTGTGTAAGGGTTGGGAGGGAGTATGTCGCGTGTTCTGTATCCGGGTTGGGGTAGTCTGGTTGAAGAGGATGAATTGATGTCGAAGATATGGTTCAATTGGCTAACTCAGGAGTGTCAATGAATGATGAAGATGATGTAGATGGTGATGATATCAATGACGTACCAGCCTGTAACCAAAAAGAAAACAATCAAGTTGTTGGGGCTGTATGTATCTCCACGAAAGAACAATGGAGAGAAGAAGAAGAAGAGTGTGGAGGATGAAAGGAGGAGAAAAGTAAACAGACACAAGGGTAGATTTAGAACTACTTCGTACAGTTCCATTACTCGGGGCCTACCCCAACTTTTGCGCCCTTTTTTTTTCTTTCCCAGTCACGCGGAGTAAAACCGTTAAACTTTTTTTTTCTCTAGATTTTTTCCGCTTGCAAGCGTTTCTTGCCCACGGAAGCCGCTATCGCCCCACCAAAAACAGCCTGGAGAGCGCATTCGGCAGCCTGGAAGCGGAGCCCTGCAGCCACTGACAGATGCTGTGGCCCCGCCGCCACAGGGAACCACAGGGAAATAAAATGGCCGCGCTACAGGGGGCAAGCCACGGCAAGACAGCGCTGAAGAGGGGCCTTACAGTGTTGAAAGGGGAAAACAGGGCGCGCCGCGGCACCAAGGAAAAACTAGAAGCCTTCCATCAGGGTTCGGTGGGCCCGGCCCCGTAGTCGGAGCACTGGCTAAGATACAATGAAAAAAATTGGTACGGGGTAATATGCAGCTTATTCCATTGGCGAGATTATTCTGGATTTTAATACATGGGGGTTTATCCGGCGCAATAAATTCATTTCGCCGTGCTGTGCTGATAAGTAGGAGCTTGGCTTGCTCGCCGGCCGAATCCGGTAATGCCTGAGGTTGACAATGTGAGACAATGTCTCTCTTGTCACCATCGTGCAAGAACGTCGAGAGCAGCCAGCCACAGCCACATCGAAGAAAAACGAACGCCGCCCTGCGCATGGCTGCCCTAACCCGGTGGCTGCTGATGTTTGCTGCTGGGCTGCCGCCGCTCTTTTGCCTAGCTGGGCTAAAGCCGGGATGGCGTTGCCGACGGCAATAGTAAAGGCTGTGGCGATACCGTCGCCTGAATCTGCTTCTCAACTACCACCGCCGCTGCCGTCATGGCGATGCCTTCGCTGCTGGCGTGATTTACCCCCACAGATGCTGCTGCTGCTGCTGCTAATGCTGGAGACACAGAGCGCGCATCCTTCTCCGACAACCCCTCATCCCGCACGAGACACGCAGCCACCGCACACGCCGCGAGCAACGGCGCATACACCACAAACACTATCCGGATGCCCTGCATATATGCCCCCAGCACAATCTCCACCTGCCCCGGCGTCAGGCCCATGTTCTCGAGCCCGTACGCCGCCGACGCCGCCTGCTCAATCGCCTCTGCTGGCAGCACGCCGGTAAGCCGCGCCTTGAGCACGTTGTTGAGCACCGCGCCCGCCATTGTTAGACCGACTGTGCCGCCGGCCGTCCGTAGAAAGTTGCGCAGCGAGCTCAAGACGGCCCGGTCAGCACGCCGGCTGTGCGAGAGCAGCGCTACCAGACTCGGCTGGAAGCAGCCGCCGGTACCTAGACCTTGCACGAAGCCCACGATGCAAATCACCCACACGGGTGTCGTCGCTGAGTAAAAGGCCTGTGCGGCAGCTCCAGCTGCCCACAGGAACTGCGAGGCAATCATCACGGGGTTGTAGTGGCCCGTCTTGGTGATGATGAGCCCCGACAGGATGGATCCAATTCCTTGCGTGGCGACCATGGGCAGCATAATGGCCCCCGCGGCAATAGCCGAGTAGCCGCGCACCGTCTCCAGGTACACGGGGACGTAGAAGAGATTGCCCCAGAAGACGATGCCGTAGACAAAATTTTGCGCCAAGACAATGTTGCACGAGTAGTCGGAGCGGTACAGATGCACTAATTACAACCAAGTCGTGGTTAGCATGATTGGAACGTATAAGTCGGAAACAGCAAGCAGCAAATGAAAAGAGGCGCTCAGCCAAGGCAAGCCACGCAGATGAATAGGGCAACTTGTAATCTCGGGTCATTGCTCGGCCTTGGCTTGTCACGAAAAGAATAAAGCGCACGCCACGCTTTTCATAAATAGAGAACAGAACTTACATGGCATAATCGGCAGGGCCGCGAATTTCCACTCGACGGCCACAAACAGGACCAGCGCCACAGCGCCAATCGTAAGCATCGAAATGACAATGGAGCTGTTCCACGCAAATGTTGAGCCGCCCTTGGACAGTGGAATCATGAGAAGCACCACTGCAGCAATGCTAATCGCTAGCCCGGCCCAGTCCACTAGACGCAGTCTCGTAGACAGCTTGCCGCCCACTCTGCTAGGAGGCAGCACATACCAGAGCAGCGCAACCAAGGCAACTAGCCATGGGACATCGTACCACAGACTATTCAAGTAAAGTTTTTAGATTTGGTGATAAAAAGAAAACAGCTGAGGGCTGAGGTTCACTTACGCCCATCGCCACGAGATGCGGCTGGTCATGGTACCGCCAAGCAGCGGTCCGAAGCCGCTACCACACGCCACAGCAACGCCGATAAAGCCGTTGTACTTGCCACGCTGTTGCAGCGTGGTGATGTCGCTGATGATGATTTGTACGAGGGCGGTACTATAACCAAAAGAGTCAGTAATAGGTCCCTCTGGAATGCTCATGTATAGGCATTTCGTAGTCGCCCAACAGGGCATCACACTTACATGGCTCCTCCACCAAGACCGCTCAAGGCACGAAACACAAACAGCATGCCCGCATTCTGCGCAAAGCCTCCCGCGAGATTACCTGCAGCCAGCACCATCAGCGAGCACAGAAGCAGCTGTTTGCGCCCAAAGATGTCGCTGAGACGCCCATTGATCAGCTGCACCGACGTCGTCGCCAGCAAGTAGCTGCTGGCCACCCATGAGAGCGAGGGCCCCAGCGCCAAGTCGTGGCCGATCGCCGGTACAGCAGCCGAAATGGACGTCTGGTCAAGGTACGCAGTAAACTGAGCGAGCGCAAGCACCGGAAACACAATCATTAGCTTGTTATGCGGTAGTACATTGGACTGCACATCTTGAAAGACGGGTGTTGTCTCTGTCGCAGCGTCGAGCTGATCTTCGACGTCGGCGTCTGTTGGCGGCGGCACCGTAGCTGTCGCCGTTTCATTTTCTGCTGCTGGCGCCATGGTTATAATTGATGGCGATGGTGCAGCAATGTTGGTGTAAATGGGAAAACAAGAGACGGTTTTGGTGGTGACTCGCACGCCCTGTAGAAGACCTCAACAGAAAAAATAGGCACTAAGTTAACAACAGTGTGACTCTTGTACGTTCAGCTTAATTGTGAGTGGTAGCGCGTCACAAACACCGATATCGACAAGGATGAAAAAGAAGCACAGAAATTACAAGTAAATAGTATATTTAGTAGTCATGTTCTTAAATTTAATTAGAAAGAACAGAAATATTTACGCAGAATTCGACTAAATATGCAGACGGCCGATGTCGCACACTTCGCAGCGGGCTGCTCTCCGCTCTTCGTTCTGGGGCCGGGGAAAACGAGTGGGCTGTCCGTGTAAATCCCAAGTTGAGCCTCGTCTACTGGCGAGGCAGCGTGCTAATCTTGGTGGCATAGCCTGTCAGCGTAAACTTCCACTTGGCCTTGCCGTCAATGTCCAGAGCAAGCTCGTAGTCGCCAGGGTACACCCAGCGGTCGCCATCGTCGTCGGCGCGGGCAATCTCGCCCAGAAGAACTGTGAGCGTCAAGTCCTTGGACGAGTTGACACCAATGCCGCGCGCTCTGCCATACGATACAAGGCGCTGGCCAGGACGAGGTGTCGGGCCAGCGTTGGCAGATGACAGGAACAGCAGAGCGACATAGTCAGATGCGAGGTTGGCCTTGCCGCCAGCGTTGCGGATAGTCGCTTTGAGCTGCGCGACAACGCCCTTGCGCTTATCGCTGCCGGCCTTGTTGACGAGGTCCGAAATGGCATAGCTGGTGGAGGACGGTGTGGACGACCACTTTGCCGTAAAGTTGGTGTAGTGCAGACCGTGTCCAAATGGCAAAACAGGCTTGCCGGTATACCAAGTGTGTGTGCGGCCAGGGATACCGTTGCTGGGAGGCAGGTTCATGTCCCGGATGTCGTTGTTGTTGATGTAGCTGGCAGGGTATTGTGTGACGGGCAAGCGGCCGGCAGGAGATGCTGCACCAGTCAAGATGTCAAACAGAGCGTTGCCACCGTCTTGGCCGGGGTAGCCAGCCCAGAGGATAGAATTGACCTTGGTGTTCTGTAACAGGTCTGTATCGTCAATCTGGCCACCGCCAAACTGAACCACGACCAGAGGCTTGCCAAGCTGTGAAAGCTGCTTGACAAGATCCAGCTGGTTGCCGGGCCATATGATCGACGTTCTGTCACGGCCCTCATTTTCCACAGAGCCGTCAATGCCACCGAGGTAGACGATGTAGTCAGAGTTGCGAGCGGCATCAAGAGCCTCGTTGAATCCGCTATTATCACCCGTGTTGATATCGGTGCCCTTTGCGTAGCGGACATTCTGCCACTTGGACTGGAAGACGGAGAGCGGGCTGTGCAAAAACGGAGCTGTGCCGGCATAATTGCCCTGCATCTGCTCTGTAGCATTCGCCCAGGGGCCAATGACGGCAACCTTGGAGAGCGACTTGGACAGGGGTAGTGAGCCGTCGTTCTTGAGGAGCGTCATACCATCGGCGGCGGCGCTGCGAGCAAGCTGCTGCGATGAGGTAGTGTTGACATCCGACCACTGCAGCGAGTTGTACTTGGCAGGAGGGTTAAAGTAGCCGACCTTGATCAGAGCAGAGTAGAGACGGACAAGAGACTTGTCAAGTGTGGTCTCGTTTGTGTAGCCGTTGTGTACGGCAGTGTTGAGGTTGTTGTAGGAGCTGCCGCAGTCCAGATCGGTACCAGCATTGACGGACTTGCCAGCGGCCTCGACGATATCCTTCGCGTAATGGTGGGGATCAAAGACGTTCTCGACTGCATCACAGTCGGAAACGACATAGTTGTAAGGCTCGGTGAAGCCCCAGCTATCACGGAGAATGGTTTGCAGCAGGTAGCTGTTGGCGCAAGCAGGCACACCGTCAACAGAGTTGTATGCGCACATGATGGAACCAACCTTGGCATCCTTGACACAAGCCTCAAACATGGGGAGGTAGTAGTCGGCCATATCGCGCTTGGCAGGATGCAAGTCGTTTCGGAAGCGGTCATCATCAATGTCGTAGGCAGCATAGTGCTTGCAAGTAGCAATGGTGCGGTGGAAGTCGGGGTTAATACCACCCTGGAGACCGTCTACCAAGCTAACAACGTAGCTGGTGATGCGGAAGGCATCCTCACCAGGTGTTTCCTGACCACGGCCCCAGCGTGGGTCACGGAAGCCATTGATGTTAGGTGTCCAAAAGTCAAGACCAGCAAAGCCGTGGTTGGCAAAGGCTCGAGCTTCTGTGCTCACAACAGTCGCAATCTTGCGAATCAAGTCATCATCGAATGCAGCAGAAACGAGAATGGGCATGGGGAAGCTGGTGGCGGCGCTAAAGTTGGCGCCGAGGGGTGACTGGAAGTTGACACCGGTGCTGCCTGCGAGACCGTGGAGCGCTTCGTTCTGCCATTGGTACGCGGGGAGACCAAGCTTTGCACTGCCAGAAGCACTGCTGCCGAGGTTCTGAGCCTTTTCGTCGAGCGTCAGCTTGCTAACTAGAGCTTTGGCGCGGTCATTGATGTTCTTGGAGGTGTCGCAGATGTCATTGCTGCATAGAGGATCGCGTGTGCAGTCGGGGAAGGTTGGTGCCAGAGGAGGGTTGGAAGACGGGTTGTTGATTTTGTAAATGTTGATCCTGTTCAGATGTTAGCCTTCAAAATATCACAGCCCGATATCTGCGCAATGTATCTTACATGTTTCCATCACCACACTTCTTGCTAGGGTCAGCAGGGCAATTGGCATTGCATTGAGACTCATCGGCCTTGATGGATGTGCTCTCAATCTGGTAACCGCAGAAGCATTGTCTAGGTGCGATTAGTATTATATCGATCACCAAGTATTGTGCGTCTTGCTTACACTGTGTACTCAACACCGGCGTACGTGTATCCTGCAGCGCCGCAAATGTTGGCGCAGTACTGGGGACTGTTCAAATTGCCAACTGTGAGCAGAGGGCCAGCAAGATCTCTTGGCGAATTCGGATCGTGGTAGCATCCAACGTATGACGTCTCAGCCTTGTACTCGGGTAGACATTCTCTCGCTGCTCCTGTAGCGGCTTGCAGCAGAAGACCTGCAAAGATGAGGGTCGCCATGATTAAGGAAACAATTAAAACTAGTACGAGCGTTGATGTACTAGCGTAGTCCAAGCGAGGAGCCGTCCTAATTATATAGATTCATCGCATCTCCATTCGGAAACCCAGCGTGTTCCCTGATCTGCGGGCGGGGGATGCTCCTCCAAGGCACCGGCATGCTAGTTGAACTCTCGCATCTCACGGCAGACGGCTCGATCCCATGTAATCGCAATTTCTCCCCCAATCAAAAGCTGCTGCGGGGAGGGGCTGCGAGCCGGCGGATGTAACCTCGAAGGGCGATGGCAGCGCGACGCTCCCCGTCAGTGGTAAGTAAGCAGGATGTTGCGATTTACACTGGACAATAACTGCCGTCGGCAATAACGTTGCCAACCGGCCCGTCTCGGAAATCTCAGAAATGCAGCAAAGACGATGCATAGGCTAAAGTGTGGCGAGAAGGACGAATCGGAGCCGGCCTCTTGTATTCAAACATCCGGCCCGCCGAGAATCAAGCCGAAACTCTGTGGGGGAATGCAACGCTGCGTGCAGCAGCGTCTGCAGAAACCGAGAAAAAATGGCTTGAAGCGGCAAAATTAAACCCGTCGATGATCCTATAGCGCCCCCAGGCAACGTGGGCAAGGTTAGTGAGAATATAGCGCCGGTAATGGGGCGCCTGGATCTTGGTTGCGCCGACGTTGTGGCTACCCGGTTGTCCTTATAACCCAGCTGTTCTTCTGTTCGAGTCAGTTGTTTCGCAGCACGCAAAACCACGTCGAACAAGATTTAAAAACCAAAATGCGCGCCGAAACAGCTCTTTTCTTCCCGGCCCTCGCCGCCGCGGGCTGCATTTCTAACGGTGACCAAAACACAATCAACGCCCTGTTCCGTAACGGTGGTGCCAACACTGTTGTCCAGCTGTGCGAGAATGCCACCATCCAAATCACTGACAAGATCCTCTTCACTGCGGATGGCCAGGAGATCTCAACGCAAAACTACCCTACTGGCTCTACCCGTGCCACTATCCGCGTTGCAGTAGGCAGCTCTGCCAGCACCCTGATTGAAGGCCACAGCTTCAACAACATCAAGATCAAGAACATCCAGCTTGACGGTAACCGAAATGGAGCTGGCTTTTACAAGGGCGGCGGCGCCAACATCGAGATTGGTGGCACTGCTACCGGCCAGGTGATTCAGAATGTCAACTCGCGCAACCCTCGTGGCTGGAGTTGCATGCACATCATTGGCTCTGGCAACGATGCCAACCCTTGCAAGAATGCCCAGATTCTAAACAACGACATCGGTCCTTGCGGCGAAGAGGGTCACAATGCTAACGGTGACGGCTTGTGGGCCGACGGCATCTCCCTCGACTGCACCGACACATTGGTTCAGGACAACACAGTACGTATACTTTGGTAACTATACAGGCCAGCTCCATGCTAACAATGGTCAGATTGTTGGTAGCACCGATGGTGGCATCGTCATCTTTGGCTCCCCTGGCAGCACCATCAACCGCAACACCATCATCTCGTCTGACCAGCACCTCGGCTTCGGTGCCATCAACATGGTAGACGGCCAGTACCAGGGCAGCTACGCCAACGTCAAGGTCACCAACAACAAAATCCAGGGCAAAAAGATCTTCAACCTCGGTATCGGCATTGGTGCCAATGTCTGGTCCTTCAACGATCCTTATGCTCTCAAGGGCCCTGCCACCATTACCGGAAACACCATTTCTGGTCACGTTGCGTTCCCTATTGCCCTCAATGGCTGGGCCAACGGCATCCAGATCACTGGCAACGACGCTTCTGATGTCCCCAGCCCCAAGTCTTCTTGGGCTGACGCCTCTCACTGTGTCCAGCCTATCCAGCAGGCCTTTACTGCCAATGCCAACTTTGTATACTGGGGTCCTGGCGTTGCTGACTCCAAGAACCTTCAGTCTGACTTTTACTCTGCATCTGGAAACATGACCAACTTCCTCTGCACCAGCACTCCACTAGCTGACAGCATCACATACAAGGGCAACGAACTCAATGTTGTCTCTGACTCTGGCCCTTTTGCTGATCTCCACGGTGTTATTGCTCAGTACCAGGGAGACAGCAACGTTGTCGTCCTCCAAGCTGGCAAGCCTGTCTGGGCGAGTGGCCACACCCTTAGCCAAGGCTGCGGCAACCCCAGCAAGTGCCGCCTCATCTTCCAGGGTGATGGTAACCTCGTCACTTACTATGATGGTCAACCTCAGTGGAGCAGCGGCACTGGTGGCCGTGGTTCCACAGTGACAATTATTAACAAGGCTCCTTGGATCCAAATCCGCGATGCTTCCGGTAACGTCATCTGGGATACCACCAAGAGCACCTAAGCTGTTGACTGACCAAAAGCTGGTCAATGTACATATTCCAATGTATTTATGTATATCGTTAAATATGTAAACAAAATTTGTAAAAGAAAATTCAATGATTTTTGTGATTGTGCGGCTCTGATTCCTGATGCTGGCAGGTGTGTAGGTTAGCCCAGCAATGTAGACGATGTCAGTGGCATCCACTTGGATTGTATGCGAGATTATTCACTCGTTGTAGTAGAATACATGGTGTATTCAAGTCGTAACTTTATGGTACATTATATTTAATATTTCAAGGCGAGGCAGCAAGCCGTGCTGCGTCATGTATATATCCAGACCCAATTTTGGTAAATGATGCGTTACGCGGAGCGTAGTGCACCCAGAGTAGAAGTTATATAGAAAAAAGGAAGCTTTGAACAAGTTGTGAGTGATGGAAATCATTCCATGCTGATTTAGAGAATGTCCTCAGGCTTGACAATGACCCAGTTCTTGTCGGCAGTGACCTCGAGGTCCTCGGCGCGCTGGGCAGCAGCGTAGTCATGCATCATGCCCTCGAGCTGCTTCATGTACTTGTCCTTGCGGTTGACCCAGAGGTGGACACCACCACGGCGAACATCGACACCGTGGAAGAGCATGGGACCATCGCTGGAGGGAGTGTCACCAGCAACGAGGATGGGCTTCTTCCACATGTTGATGTACTGCTGGATGGCAGCCCACTTGCCCTCCTTCCAGGTGCCAGGAGCCATCATGTAGGGGGTGATTTCGTAGTTGGAGTAGTCGGTCTTGTTGAAGGTGCCGGCAATGATGTCCTTGCGGGGGAAAGTGAAGGCGCCAGTGGCCTTGTTCTTAAGAAGGTTGTTGATGCCGATGACGTTGTCGGGCTTGGCGTTGTAGCCGTACTTGGGGTCAGCAGCGACCATGCGGACGACGTCCTCGGAGGAGGCGGTGACAACGTAAACCTCGATGCCGTTCTTCATGAGGGTGTTGTAGAGCTCGGCCTGTCCACGGAAGACAATGGGAGGGTTGATGTTCGTCTTGGTGAGAACGCCAGCCTCGAAGTAGGTGGTGGGGATGGTGGTGTTGAGGGCCATGAGCTCGTCAACGTAGACCTTGAGCTGCTTCAGGGGGATGCCAGAGAAGACCTGGGCAGCCCAAGGGTAGCAGACATCATCGTCAATGTCGCAGAGACGGTTGTAGTAGCTGTAGAGAGACTCCTTCTGGGTGGCAGTGTCGTTGAAGGGAATGGGCTTGAGGATGGGGTCAAGGAGCTCGCGGGTCAGGACGCCCTTGTTGTCGAGGTAGGGGATCAAGGACTCCTCGATATCCCATCGCCAAGAGGTGTTGTCCATGTCGAAGCAGGCGTAGTTGCCCTTGTGGGCGTTGGCCTTGATCATGGCGTTGAGGGTGGCGGCAGCAGCCTTGGGCCAATGCTTGAGGTCACCATTGCCGTTGGGGTTAGGTTTGCAGGTCGATGCGTTGGTGAGGGCAGCCGACGAGAGGGCGAGAGCGGTGGCAGTGTAGAACTTCATCTTGATCGATCAATTGGCAAAACGAGTGAATAGAGAAACTGATGCGGGATGATGGTCAGCGATTCGTCTGGGGGGAAGAGGAGGATATGTGGTTGTAATTAAAAGACTCGACGGGTCCCGCTCCTGCACGGCGACATCATCGCCGCTAAGCCGCCCCGCGTCGAAAAAAAAAACATTTTAACGTTAACTGCGCCAGAGAGCACTCCAGGCCCGAAAGGGGAATGGGTCTCCGCCAGCCGCATGCGTTAGTGCATTGGATGCCCGAGAAGCAGCCAACCCGCGGTCGCATACAGCGCCACCACTGCCACGGCGCTGCCCAATTGAGTCGCTATAATTTCCCAGAGGGCTCGCCTATGGTTAGGCTTGCCCGCCCAACACGCGGCTGACAGGCACGCAAGGCGCGAGTAAGTACAGAAGGCTGTAGCGGAGCAGGCGGAGACGCTATAGCAGGTTGGTTATAACACATGCGCTGGAGCGCATCTCTCATTCGCCCGATGCCCTGCTGAAGACTTTCTCGACCACTGAAGCTAGACCCTGGAGGGAAGCTGGTGACGCTAAGGCAGCACAGGAGCTTGATAGAAACGGGGGTTCTGAAGCATGTCGACAAACTGTGCATGAGACTAGTTGAATTTATTGTTTTCCTCAACAATAGTTCCTCGATTGATTTCCCTTTTCAGCTGTGTTCAGGCATTCCGAGCCGCCAGTCGTTGATCCTTTTAGGGGCTCAACGGCCTGTCAGGATCCATCTCTTGTCACCACGTGCGCCGAGATTTGCTGCAGAACATACCATCAGAGAAAAAAGCGCAGAGTTCTCATAAATGACTTGCGCACCCTAATGGGCCAATGGGTCAGAAAACAGACACCGAGCTAGAGTCATGACGATTTTGCCCGTTTATCTGTCAATACGTCTGTTCGTTCCCCGGCTCATCGTCCCGGGGCCAAGGCGGCCTCCGTGTCCTGGGCGTTTTTGTTATTGCGATGAGCCGGCTTGGCCCGCGTGACCACCACTTCTCCAAAGGACTCTAAGTAATAGCCATCTGGTTTGGCGCATAGTGCTGTAAATTGCGCTTAGTTACTGTAAATTGCGCTTAGTCAATTGCGCTCGCGTTCCTAACACCTACGGCCGCCGCACTCTGCCGGCTGGCGCAGCTGTCAATCACTACCTGGTTTAATACAGGCAAAATAGCGAAACCAATCTATCGCAGTGTAACCACTGGCACTGCTATTGCACTGCCGTAGCACTGCCGATTGCGGTCGTGCCAGCTGGCGTGTGTCATCGGGCGTATTTTCCCAGAGAGAGGCCGGGCGAGGCAGTGACTAAGTACAGTCTCAACGGCTCATGCAAGTGCCGGGATCAACACACACGAGACATCGCCCAATGAGGAACACCATCTCCCCATCACAGCCCTAACGACAGGCACCTCATCGGCCGTTCCATGGAATTAAAAAAGTCATCATACGATAGACTCCTCCATCTACCCTCGTAAACCGTACCCTCGTCATGCTGCCGTCGCAATTCTCCGCCGTGCTTGGGCCAATCAAGCGCGCTAAATTTAGCTCTTGGCTCTCCCGGCTGGGCCTGAATACGAGATAGCCTCCCGCCAACTGCCCCAAACAGGCACACAGGGGCTGACTGAGAAAAAACAGGCGACGGATGGCAGCAAAAATAGCCAAATGATGGCTCATTGATCATGGCTAGTAAGGAACGATTATAAAGAAAGCGCCCTGCTGCTGATCGTGATACCTCGTGGCTGGCTCGCTACTGCTAACTTAAAACAACACCCTAATTGATCACCACTGCCAGGGCCAATGGTAAATGACATCATTTGTCAATGTCGTCACCAACTCTGTCAAAAACTTGCCAAACGTGCTTCAAAGCCAAGATTCGCTGCGAAAAGACACAAGCTTCAGGACGATGCGATCGATGTCTTCGTCTTGGCAAGTCGTGTGTCTTTCCCCCTTCGAAGCGCCCCCCCAAAACACATAGAACATCGTGAGTTTGTACCACTATTACTGATTCTATGGCTATATATCTTATTCCATACAAATAGCAATGCAGAATTCTTTGAATCCAGTGCCTATGGTTCTGGAACGCCATCAAGCGACTACCCGTCCTCCCCGGCTGCTGGCGGCCATGCAAGCGGTATCTCTATAATCAATCCTATAGAGGTGGGCATAATGTCAGCAACTGAGGCTGAAGCCCAAATACTTGAATATCAGACGGTATTTACTCAGCGGTTCCCTTTTGTCGTGGTCCCCGTCACTACATCCGTTCAACACTGTTGGCAGCAGCATCCACTGGTGTGCTTAGCAGTGCTAGCAGTCACCTCGCGCGATGATACTAAGAGACAAAAGACATTGTTCAAGCTCCTTAATGAGGCTGTCGCCAGCCGCCTGGTTAATGGCACATTTACGTCTCTGGACCTCTTACAAGCACTTCTTATACAAGTCGCATGGCAAGTACACCACAAGTCCTCTTGCAGGCGTGGCTTCAACCATGGCTAACCCCTGATAGGTCGCATTACGAGCCTCATCCAAAAAGAAACGTGCAACATCTTGCACTGGCATGTAGCGTCATCAATGAGCTGAAACTGTATCGTCCAAAGACGCCCCGATCAATGGCATTATCCACTGAAAACGATGGGAAACAGTGGACACCAGACGAAGTGCGCGCAGTGTGCGGAACATTCTTTTTGTCTTCAAGGTATTATAGCTCCTTAAAATGAGGAGAACAGTCGCTAATAGGTTTATAGTTATGCGATGCTGTCAAACAAACACCGCACGTTTCCATTTACCTCCTACCTTGTTGATGCTAGTGAGGAAATCTCACAGCTGAACTTAACACCTACAGATCGATCTATTCCTTGGCTGATTCAGCTGCAGAAATATGCAGAAGATCTTGAAGATCTAATGACGGATGCTTCAATTGATAGTAGCTATCGACTTGGGATATTATTCAATAGTCTTACCCAAGTTAAAATGGCCTTGTCATTGCCGAGTGCTGATTCGTGTACGTTCAAAGATATCCCTTATCAAATCATTCTAGCTCGCTCACCTACGTCTTTTATCCAGCTCTTACTCACCTGCAACTGCAACTTCTGGATGTGATGCTCGCACAATGTTCTGTCAAGCTGCCATCTTTCCATTTACACAAACTGACCACACCCGTTGCCCACGCACATCTAGCGATCCCAACCATCGCCAGCTGGCTGATAGGCGTAGTCGATGCTGTCAAGTCTCTATGCAAAACTATGAGTTCGTTGCCTATTAACACCATATCTATACTAAGTACAATAGACTGGTTAATATTCTACAACATCATGAGTCTCGCAGCGCAGCTGGATCTTCTTTCCTGTCATCCTGTTCTGGCAGACCCATTGGCCCCAAGCCGTGCAGATTTCAACGTGGCAAATCTAATACAAAAGACAATCCTTGTCTTGGAAACAGCTATCGCTCCGATATCAGAGGACCCGACAGAACCAGACGCACTCAACTACTTGGCCAACCGATTTCGAAAACTAGAGCAATCGTATAATACCTACCGAGCAAATAACAATATTGGCTTCAAAGATGGCTCAATATCATTAACACTACATCATCAGGAACCGCTCGGATACCAATCACAGCTTCTCTTGACAGAGCTGATTACCAAATTCGCTACGGAGGTTCAACTAGACCGCCCAAATCTTTACGAGATGCACGAGCCTGAGGATACTGTTTAGATATTTGGACATAGATATTAATGTGTATATACGACCCTTGCAACAAAACATGAAATCAACGCGACGCCTAAAAGAACAAACACGCTACAAAATAAGCAAATGACCGACGGGATCAGACGAAAACTACCCCTAAGCATTATTGGGATGGCGGGTACCAGCGTCCATTTCGTGCGCTGTGCCTTGACCAAAGTTCCAACCTTGGCCGTCGTTGTAGTTGCCACTTGGAGGTGGTTGGGCAACCATGCTGGAAGCTGCCTCATGCATGGGTGTCATTGTACCTTGGCCATGATTAGTCACCGCCATTTCATTTGCTGGAGGCACGGCTTCATGACGTGAGTCCAACTCTGACCAAGGCGATTGCGTGGGAGTCGGCCCATCCACAGGCTTCGTGGCGTCGCCGAAAGCTGTGTTGTCATTGGCCTGTGTCTCGGCCGCAGCTTTCTGATGACGGCGACGAACGACGAAGAAAATAGCCAAGAATATACCAATGCCAACAAGGCTAGCCAATACAGCAATGGCAATGACGGCTCCTCGCGACAGGCCGCCACCGCCGCCTCCACCAGTCGAACCATCCGGGGAACTGCCATTCGTCTGACCAGGACCCAAGGGTCGTGATCCCGTCTGAGAAATACCGGTTGCACGAGTTTCCGAAATCGATTCCAACGCTGTGGCTACCACCTTCTTGGCGGCGGCGCTGCAGTAAAATTCGAAGAGGGCCAAAGCCGAGCTCACATCGGCGGCAGCGGTGCTGCTGCAGTAGCCCTTGACGCTGGCAGTAAGATCTGAGGAGACAGACAGCGACATGCCCTGCTTAAGACACACGCATGAAGCTAGTGCTTGGGGTCCTTTGCCGCACTTCCAGTTTGTTTGCTACAGAAACGTTAACCAATGATTGTAAGCCAAAAAAAAAGAATGCCAGCGACATACTGTGAAGACGGCCTCGGAGACACCACTCTTGGCACAGTCTCTTAAGCTAACGTATTGCGACAGACCAGTGATGTAATATGTCACTAATTCTTCATTAGAACACAACTTCAAGCCAATTGACCGAAAAGATTACTTACTATCTCCTGGTGGTCCTGGAGGAGGCACAAACGTAGTCTTGCCTTTGCCCATGTCGCAGTATTCGGAGAAGAAGTTGAGAGCAGCAGTCACGTCGTCACCGTTGGAGCAAGATGATCGCACAGATTTGCCAATGATCGAAGTCAGTGGTTCAACAACACCAGACTTGCTACAGGCGCAAGAAGCCCACAGACTAGCTGCTGTGGGACAGATTGAGTACTATATCCTAGTCAGCTAAAGACTTCCGAAGCAATCAGTCCACACTTACCACGTTAGCTGCCGCTCCAGATATACCGGATTGCGCGCAAGACGGCAAATATGTGATCTGAGGAATCTCTAGGGGATACACATTGACAACATTCGTGGTGGGCGTCGCAAACGTTGCAGCCTTGTTCGGGTTGCAGTACTGGTCCATGACTGTAGAGGCGCTGTTGCGATCTTCAGTCGCACCCTCACCGCAGCTAGAAAAGAGATCAGCGTACACGGTCGAAGTCAAAGCGGCCAAGTTTGTCGAGTTTGTGCAAATGCACGGCTGCAGCTTGCCCACATCGTCGCCGCAATTTGTCGAGTACGTCTGTCGATCGAAGTTGTAATTGATGGCGCTGGCGGCGCAGGGAGCCTAGCACCAAGTAACGATTAGCGACACATGAAATTTGTTTAAAACGCATGGGAATAGAGCTTACCAGCAGTGAGTAGTTTTCGACCTCAGTGATGTAGCCATAAGTTTTCGCCTGGGCGACAGAGAGCGCGCCGAGTAGCAGCGTCGCTCTGATATACTGAGCCATGTCTGCGGTTTATGACGGCAATGGAAGAATCCACGACACCAAAGCAAAATTCGACGATTCACAGAAGGTTTGAAGGTGTGAGGAAGAAAGAAAAAATCACTTGAACCCTGAATTCAACTCCCCCGAGGCCTCTTCCTTCTCTCCACCTGCTGCGACAGTGGCGGCCTGGGCAATGCTTTCAGCTGAAGCGCCATCGCGAAAGCGCCTAATGGGGCATCGCGCTGGGGTCCAACCCGACTTGGGAAATTAGGTGAGGCTGAACGAGCCATGCTGGGTCATAATGATGACCGATCTAAAACTATTTTCCATTCCAGAAATCCAGCAGGAGGAGCTTTTATGGGTGGACTAGAACGCCAGAACTCGCCTAGGTTGATACTGAGGATATAATGCAAGTTTAAGACTGGGATCGACACAAAAGCGAACATACGCTTAAAGAGTTTGGCGTTTTTGGCGTAGGCAACGTATTGCACATGTTTTCCCGAACAGTTCTTTGGCAGTCAAACATTTTACAAGGCTATATGCTTAACTATAAGAATTTTCTCATAGTCTGTAGTAGCATCTGATTAAAAAGAACGTATATGATCATGAGCTCCGATGACGGCATCGTCTTCCGAGCAGCTTAGCAAGCTTCCCCCACTCACCATTCCTTCACCATCACCACTAATCACAACCTCACAAGCCCCTTCAGCCAACCATGAAGCTTCTCCTCATCCGCCACGGCGAAACCGTCGACAACGTCGCCTCGATCTGGGCCGGTGTGCGAGACTCCGCGCTGACCTCCCATGGCGCCTTGCAGGCATCGCACCTCGGCGCAGCCTTGTCAGCCCGCTCGCCGCCGCTCAGCCCTGCCCACGTCTTCTCGTCCGATCTGCAGCGCGCAGCGAAGACGGCTCAGGCATGCGTATCGTCGTTTGACCCGCAGCCGCCGCATACTAAGCTCGTCGTTCTCCGGGAGCGTGACTTTGGACCGCTGGAGGGCAAGTCGTTCCGCGGCGAAGGCGCAACGACGGATGCCGAGGCCGTTGCGGAGCCGCGGGAAGCAATGCGCGCGAGAGCAGATGCTTTTATCACGGAGCACTTGATTCCAGCACTCAAGACCCATGCCAAGGACGGCACTTGTATTCTTGTAGTCTCTCATGGCATTATGCTGGCGACGCTCTTCACGGCGCTTACTATGCGAGCACCCCGCGGCGGTGTGACATATACGCCGTCGGCTTTGTCTACAGAGGGCTTTGTGCCTGGTGTTCTGCCCTGGTGGGGTAACACAGCGTATCTCGAGTGCGAGGTCAGGGTTGAAGAGGGCGATAAGCTGCGCTTGGAGGTGGACAAGATCAACGAGATGGGACACTTGGCCAATGTGCGTAAGGCAGGCGGTGGTATTGGCAATGCTACATATGATGAAAAGCAGACAAAGATGGACATGTTTTTGAAAAAGGCATAGATTCTTTTCATGACGTCGTTATTGTTATTCTCTTTGCATAGATATCGCTATGGGAATAGATTATATACATGGTGCACGTTATACGTCGGTGCTCATCTCATCAGTGCCAGTAAAGATTTTATGTAGGCGGCGGCTGATGGCGGGCCCGATGACTCTATCAGATAGCGCACCATCCTTGTTGGCGCTCTTATGCACAGCTTCGAGTCGCTTGGATCCTCCTTCAGATAAGCCATTGACGAGTTTGGTGACGGATCCAAACTCGCCTGCAACACTGTAGGCAATGGGTGCCGTGACTCGGAAGATTTCTTGTAGCATTCGAATATAAGTGTCTCGGTTATTTTCACCGGTCTTGACTTGGCCGCTGTCCATGCAGAATCGTGCTGTAGCCGTGGCTTCGTCCCGCTGCTTCTTGTATGGAATGGTGGAGATGTGTTGAGTGAAGGACGCAATCCATTGTGCCGTTTCCAGTGTGATAGAGGTATGGTGAATAAGCATACCATGCTGCACCTGAAGCTCTAGCATTGCATCTTCGATAATGTCTTCTTCGATATACTCCTGGATAGGCTGGTTGTTTCGCCGCCTGGAGGCAGCGGTGGTTTCTTGGCGGACGTTTGACGTGAATTGGCGGTTGCGCAGGTTGCGGTTTCTACGCATCCATGTAGTGACACCTTCTAGAATATATATAGTCTTTTTGCCTGGGAATTTCTCCTTCAAAGCTTGTATGTCTTCGTCGAGCTTGTTTCCAACGGCCAAGGTGACCAACTCATCAGCAGTGAGAATCTTGACAATGTGGTTTTCGTCCTGTACGCGCAACGGCGCTGGCACCCACTGGCCGGACTCGTCGTCAAAGCGGCTGGTAATCTTGCGCTTCCAGCAAATCACATTGCTAACTGGGCTCTCCCACGAGCCGTATTGTACCCCCATCTGCTCCAAAAACGTTTCCACCTGCACTCTGAGGCCAGCCTCGAGTGACGTGGGCAGTTCTGCAATCATTTCCATAGCAGATACCTTCCTGTCTGTTCTTGCTTTGTTAACTTCAGCAATGGCTGCTGCTTGTTCCTTTTCTAGACGTTTCTGTTCTTTAAGGTCCTCTCTTTCGCGACGCTTTTGCTCCTTCTCAGCAGCCTTGGAAGCGTCGCGTTCTTCCCGTTTCTTGGCTCGCTCACCACTCGCGAGGCTGGTAGTTCGAGCAAATGTTCTGGCAGCAGCAGGCTTGGAAGGTCTTGAAGTAGTTGCGGGCTTTGAATATGTATGCGTGTATGTGTGTGTAGTGGCGCTGACTGATGGCTGTGATAAGTCAAACTGTGCAAGTGGTGGGAGGTCGTCCTCTGAGCCTGATGAGCATGTGTCCCCAATGCTTATAATAGACAGACTTCGGGCACGGTTTGCAGTCGGAGCCTTGTTCTGGACCAATGGAGATTCTGGAATGGAGCTGGATATGGGATCCCAGGCAACTGGCACTTCACGCCTTGTTCGAGTGCCATTTGTGCCGGTAGCATAAGCGGTGCGTGACGACGCTGATGGGGCTGGTTGAATCGTCTTAGCTAGAGCTGGGGCTGGAGAACTTCCAAATGGGTCTGATGAGATGTCCTCTAGCAATAATCGTGTGCGGGCTACCGGTACCGATTCTTTTGGCTTCGGGGCCCTGGGAGGCGAACTGCCAAAGGGATCCGAAAATTGGGGACACACAGCATCCGCGCTAGATTTTACTGTTGTGTGTGTCTTATTTACAGATTGTGTAGCTGTCGAGGGTCTGCTGCCACAACCAGGGCTAGTTAAATCGATGGGTTGCGCCGCAGGTAACCCCGCCGTCGACAGCCTGTTGAGACGGTTTGATCCAGCAAGAGTGCTCAAACGAGGTCGTTTTCGAGACTGTTGACTGCTTACAAACTCAGCAGTTTCGGAAGCATCGCTAGAATACAGCCAAGTGTCGGAAAGCAGCTCAAGCCCTTTCGCTGTTGTCGAGAGTGCCAGCCCGCCGTGTAGAGTCTTCGCCTGTGTGCTAGGTGGCAGCTCATTTGTTTGAATAGATTGGGTTCTTCGGACTGTGGGGCTTGAAGATACCAGGTCGATGATATCTCCAGCCATGATTTCGGCTTGAATTCAATGAGCAGCGTATCACAGCATTAGTCCTTCAGCCCGTGACTTTACGCGTAGGCGTCACGGATGGTGGGGAAGCTGTGACGCGCAGAGAACGGGCTGTCACGTGGCGGGGGTCTAATTCATCATGACGGAACAACAACCATCAGTTCAATCGATTCGTACGGAAAGATTCGTACAGCTTAAAACTGAGCTTACGGCGTAAAAGTTTTCGGCCCTATTCTTGAACATCCCAATTTGTCAAGATATCCAGTTGTGCGCTTCTTTGCATATCAAATCGGCCGACGGTTAGGTCCGACGCTTAATACAGTACCCGTACGGCCCAGTACGGAAGAATAGAAAGTGGACAGAATAAAGGGCCAAGAAAAGTTAAGTAATCGGGAATAGACATTAGCATGTAGATAGTCCAAGAATTGGCAATGGCGTTGATCGAGTCAACAACCTCAAGGTTTCGCCAATCAAACAACTTCTCTGCAGCTATCCCGGACATAGTATCAGCTGTGTAAGTCCCGGCCAAAGAACAGAAAGGGGTTATATTAGAGGGGGCAAAGCGGAGAGCCGACGGAACGGGCCTCGGAGCAAGAGTTTTGCACTAGCCAGTTAACTAATGACTGGAAGAGCCGTTGCGTGACCCATCCAGGATGCTAAGTGATGAAAAGCTGCAAGTTTGCTTGGTCACGGCGATCAGGTACAAGTTTGTTAGTGCCAGAGCAAGTAAAAATGTCGATAATTTAACAAGAAAAACGCCATCATGCCATAGATTAAGCCGTCGCAAACATTTTCTCGCATTTTCTTTGCCACGTTGTTTTCTTTTGGAGGATTTGGCCGCCTTTGTCTTGGATTAAGCGAACAGTATTCATCCGTTTTATTCCATTTTTCTTTTTGGCTTCTCTTCGCCCCCATACAAAGTCAGCTTCCACCGCACAGGCACTCCAATGGTACACTGCTGAACCATACTGGGCGCCGCGAGCTCGGTTACAAAGAGGAAACAGCGCAGGGGAGGGCTGATCAGCCAATAGGGGGTAGCCACTTCTTTTGAGGCGCACAGACAAATGGGAAACCCTTGTGAGCAGCCACGGTACCACGAGCTGTAGCGACAGGGAAAAAAAGAAGGCTTGTAGAAAAGGCGGCAGATGGGGAATAGGTGGATTTGGTGATGGGCCCTCGGTCCACTGGTAAGGGGGCTTGGGTTTTTGGTGGAAGTTGCGCGGACTGGATGGCGTGCATACAGTGCATGGATGGCCATCGTCTATCGTCAGTGGTTCCTCTGAGGGAAGTTTCTTTTTTGCGTTGAATGCATGTATTTGACTGTATCAGTTGAGAGGGCATGATATGGCCAGCAGCATCTCATCGAAACAAACCATTGCGCACATCAAACCGGGGGAGGGGTTTGTTTCCCTGTTGTCTCGGACCTCTGGGGATTGGGGCAAATGGGAGCAGCCACAAGCAAACCTGGACCGTGTCAGCGGTATTCCATCCAAATGCTGATCCCCTATCCTGCTGAAGCAGTAACTTACTGGACAGTACAGGAGTCAGGCACAGCACAGTGCAGTCGCAGTCATATATCGCGCCCCCCTAATAAACAGCTAACCCTTGCTGCAGGGACCAGCCACAATGGGAAACTGAGAGAAGCACGAGAAAGGGGAGCAGACCGTAAGAAAAAAAAACGGTAGAGAGCAATAATAGTCGGGGGTTCGAAAGGCGCATCTCCGAAGTGGGAATGAGACCGCCAGATTCAATACATTGAGTCTCGTTATTCGTTATCTGCATATTGGTCCTCGGCAGAGAGAAGCCGTAAATTACTATGCGCAATGCTGCATCTTGTAGACGCGGCAGACGGGCGCTTGTAGGTGTGGTTATTCGCTGTGCTGGCGATGTGCTGGTCCCCCCTAATACCGCCTTTTCATTGCTTTTTCCTTGTCTTCCCTCTTACCCCGCCACCTGAATTACGCGCCTGCTGTCTTTTTTTTTTCCTTTTGGTGTTTTTTACTCGACACGATTGAACTCGGTCAGCCCACTCATCTGGTACTTTTTTTCTCTACCTGGTGTTGTTTCGTTTCGTTTCTTTTTTGCGTGTGTTGGCGCTGTCCCGGTGCAACTCAATATCCTCTGCCCACCCCAGCCAGTCTTGCGCCAGAACCCACAGGCCAGTGCCGCCACTGTAACGGTCTGCCCATCGCAACAGCCTACCACTGACTGCCAAACCGTAGACTCGCATTGCGCATTGACACGGTGCCAATATCTTGTAAATCCAAGTCTTCATTACCCATATTGCCATATCAAACGCCTCGTTGGACTTGCTACCAATGACGTGCTCCCTCCGGCCACTAGCATAAACTCTCTTTTTTCCTGTTCCTGGCCCGTGGCGGCCCCTGGACGGAGACCTAGACAGCCGGCCCGTTGGGTAGCCCACCGCCAAACCCCACTAAAGGGCCCCCCAAGTTACAGTGCTAGCGGCAGCTACAAGCTCACACCGTAGCGCTACTGCTGATAGTGGGCGGTTGGCGGACTTGCATGGCTGGCTAAGCTGCCCTCTCTCTTCTTGTTTTTGTCCACCCGCCGCTCTTTCTCTCCCATCCATCGTCACCACCCCCCTGGCCGGCTGTTTAATTACAATCGTCCACCAAACCCAGAGAGCCAGAACCTCTCGCTGCTCGGAACCGAATCACGCACCGTTCAACCCCCAGCAAATCACTACGCAAACTTACAAACCACCCAACGGGGCTCTGCCGCTAAAAGGGATCCCCCAGCCTTTTGCTTTTAGCGTGGTACCGCCGTTGCTTGTATCTTTTTTTGGCCCACCACCCGGGGGCAATTGAGACACCGACCCTCGAGCGAACGTGTTCACGACGAAGGTATCAGAAAATAGCAGGACAAACGACTTGGAAAAAGAAAGCAAGAGAAACACAACCTGAGCGACAAGCTTTTGCTGGCATTGTGCGCATTCTTTACTTTCCTTTGCCTCAGCTTGAGCTTCCCAGCTGCATCGCCAAATACCTCGAATGCGATCCCTGGCCAAGCTGCCTTTTCCCAAGCCAACACTTATCCAATCCCACGTACCTCCCAATTTATTTCATCTTTGCGCCTTAAAGTAGCTGCTATCGATTTCTACACAACGACACAGCATTCACCACTTCCTACATCGCATAGCATTTCAGCGCTGCGCGTCGGCGCCCATCATCTACTTCCATTTTCTTACCTGGATCCCCTCGCTCTCCTCGACCGACTAGTCTAGGATTCGGCCTTGTTCAACAGGCCCTTCTCCCCTGGTCTTTCTGCCCACCAGCAGGCAAGTCACAGCCTGCTAGCAGCCGCCAGCGTAGTGCTCTTTGGACAAGGCATTGCGCTCCTACAACGACGCGCTCCAATTTGAGTAGCCGCTGCCGATCAGCGCGCTTTTCATCATGACGAGCACTCCTCCCGCCTCGCCTTCGCCTCTTCCTCAGCGGCCGGCGAGCACCATCATCACAAAGTCCGCCAAGAGTATGAGCAGTAGGATGAGCATAAGCACAAAGGGCGGCCTCGGTAGCCGTGCCTCAGATGAAGACAGTCGCACAGCTGTCCGAGTCGGTAAGTTTCAATTCGCTAACAAGTCATCTTAGCCCGATATCGTTAGCTAACGTCCTCTTTCCCTAAACACAGCTATCCGAATTCGACCGCCCTTAAAACCGACCGACCCAGGCTACGAGCTAATCCCCCAGCGCTTCCAGCGCTCCATGGTCCAAACAACATCAGACACCAGCCTCGCCATTGACTCGCCGCAGGGTCGAAAGCTCTTCGTCTTTGACCGTGTATTTGGTCCCGAAGTCCAACAAGATGGCTTGTGGGACTACCTCGCCGACTCCATCACATCTTTTACAAAGGGCTACAATGTATCATTGCTCGCATATGGCCAATCTGGCGCTGGTAAATCCTACACCATGGGAACATCCGGCCCGCTGGACCAGCAGGACCCTCACGAGATGGGTAAGAAACTTTTCCGCGCAGAGCCCTATGGTTCTCTGCTTCTGCTTGTCGCTGTATTGTCTCTAACCAATTCATTCCAGGTGTCGTACCCCGTGCCGCGACTGCGCTTTTCGACAAGTTAGAATCCATGTACGGTGCTCCTACAACGGCGGGCTTGCGATCTTCAATTTCCATGTCATCGTTCAAAAACCCGCGCGGTTATGGTCAGAGAGATGCTCTTGGCGACCGCAACTGGTCACTCAAGGCCACCTACGTCGAAATCTACAACGAACAACTCCGAGATCTGTTGGCTCCCGATGGTGGTGACCGCAGCAATGTGGCCATCCGCGAGGACAAGGGCAACATTATCCTCACTGGCTTGCAACAAGTCGAGATCAACTCGGTAGAAGATCTGATGAATGCCCTGAACATGGGCTCCACCATTCGCCAAACAGACTCAACCGCCATCAACGCCAAATCTTCCCGCTCACACGCCGTCTTCTCTCTAAATCTCATCCAACGCAAGACGAAGCTACAGACAAATGGAGCCGACAAGCGCTACTCAATGCCCATTGAGGCCATGACTGGCCAAGAGGTCTCCGTCACAACAGACAGCAAACTTCACTTTGTCGACCTTGCAGGTAGCGAGAGGCTGAAGAACACTGGTGCGCAAGGCGAGCGCGCCAAAGAGGGTATCTCCATCAATGCCGGCCTTGCATCTCTAGGCAAGGTCATTAGCCAGTTGTCATCCCGTCAAGCTGGATCGTATGTCTCTTATCGCGACTCCAAGCTCACCCGCCTCTTGCAGGACTCTCTTGGCGGAAACGCCATTACCTACATGATTGCATGTGTAACGCCACCCGAATTCCATCTCAGCGAAACACTCAACACCGTACAGTACGCTCAGCGTGCTCGTGCCATTCAATCTAAGCCCAAGATTCAGCAGGTTGAGGAAGGCGATAAGCAAGCTGTCATTGATCGACTTAAGGCAGAGGTTTCGTTCCTGCGCGAACAAATCCGCAGCGCCCAAAACTCGTCCACCAACGGTGCTGGCAACTCCTCCAATGAACGATCAGATCGCCAAAACGAGCGAGAGGCTGAACTCCAGAACCAACTCCTTGACATGCAAGAAAATTACGGCGCTCTCAGCACCCGTCATGCCAAACTGATCGCAGAGATGGCCAAGGCTGGCGATGATGCAAAACGCTCTAGCGGTGACGATGACAAAGATGGTATTAACGATGCTACAGATCGCCTGAATCGTTCAAACTCATTTGCTCAGGCAGTCGAACAAGTTGTTCTAGAGTACGAAAAGACTATCGAATCGTTGGAGCACTCACTATCGAGCACTCGAACGACGCTTTCTACCACGGAAACAACCTTGCTAGAAAGAGAGACCAAGTGCGCCTACGTTGAGACAATCAACGGTCAACTCCAGTCCCGCCTTCAAAAGCTCATCGATCGCGAAGCCAGCACCGAAAACTACCTTCACGATCTCGAGTCGAAGTTGGATGGCCATACCTCTGGTGAGGAGAAGAACGCAACTATCATTTTGGAGCTCCGCAAAGAAATAGCCCGCATTCGCGAGAATGAGGCCTCTTGCGAAGACTACATCTCCACCCTCGAGGAACGACTGGCCGAGGCCGATCAAGATGCTGAGCTGATGCAACGCGAGGTGGATAGACTGGAGCAAGTTGTTGAGAGGCAGCGAAGTCTAGGAAAACTTGACTCTCTTCTCTACGAGCTCGACAAGGTAGAAGAGATTAAGCAACCTGAGCCTGAGCAACCAAAGATGAATGCACCGCGTCGCGCCGTCGCAGATCACTCTCGCAACCTATCGCTTATTAGCCGCCACAGCCAAATGGAAGACCCAATTCCTGAAGCAGACGAAGACAGCGTCCGTCCAGTATCGCGCACAAGTACTGTCAAGGAACACCCCGACGAAGCAGATGCAGCCGAGGTCGCTGTTGTCAATGGTACGGCTCCAGCTGACAACGTCTCGGTCGACGATACGGCCGCCGCCCAAAGTAAATTTGTCGCCGACAAGCTGGAAAGCGTCACAGATGAGTTGGTCAGCCTGCGCGTAGAACACGAAACCACCATGTCCCAGTATGATGCTCTGCAGCTCAAATACGAAGAAGCGATGCGCACAGTCTCGCAGCTGCAAGACACCATTGACGAGGCTCGTCATAAGCCAACCAAGAACGCCAGAGATTCATTGTTGTCGACAACCTCCGAGTCTGCCCATCGCCCTCAGTCCTTCCAGTCAGATCGGGACGCGAGTGAGCCCAAGGAAGGCACTCGCTCCTCTGCCTCTCGTTCCCTCTCATCAGAACTTTCATCTGCCATGGAATCTGCCGACACTGCTGACACTGATCCCGAAGTTGACGTCGCATCAGAGGATGACGCTGCCACGACAAAACCTACTACATCCTCCGATAGCTTGGTCCAACCTGATCATACAGAACTGACCGCAGAGATCGAAAGATTACGAGAACTCGCCGATGAGAACGAGTCCGCTCGGAAGACCCTGGCAAGCAAATATGCTCAGCTTGAATCCGAGCACAGCGAGGCCCTGGACACGGTTGAAGAGCTCAAGACCAACTTGTCCAAGGCCAGGGCAGTGGAGTCTGTGTCGCCCAAAGCTTCTAGTCCCGTTATCCGACGCAAGTCCAGCCAAAATCTGCTAATCATCGACCGCGCTCACCGATCCTTTGCTTCTCTACGAAACATTGCTAGCGAGAACTTTGAGGAGCGCCCCGACGTGATGCAAAGCTTTGAACTCAACATCAATGCTGCCATGCACGAACTGCACTTGCGCAGCGAACGCATTCAAGAGCTCGAAGCCAGCGTTGCCGCAACGAAGAAAGAGATGGAGACTAAGATGACTATCATTTCCGGCCTGACTCGTGAACGAACTAGCTTGAAGGCTAGCCCAATGGATATTACCATGGTGGCAACTCTCCGTGACAAGCTTGAGCAGCATGAGAAGCAGCTCATGGATATGAAGGAGAGCCACAACTCGCGCGAACAAGAACTAATGACGGAGCTTGAGAGTCTGCGAGAAGCGTCCAAGGCTGCCTCTCCCGAGCCAGATGCTGTGCCTAACGAATCTGATCTCGTCGAATTGCACGCCAAACACGAGAAGAAGGTTGCTGATCTTCAGTCAGACCTTGTCGACTGGGAGACGAAACACCAAACTGCCCTTGCATCGGCTGACGCCGCGCATCAGGAGTCTCGCGAGACTGTCCAAAGACTGGAGGAAGAGCTCAGCGCTGCCACCAAGTCCCTCGAAGAGGCACGCAGTCAAGCATCAACTAGCGAAGAGACCATTCGTGATATGGAGAAGAAGCACCAGGACCTCCTCAAGTTCCTACGCAGCGAAATCGACGAGTATAAGGAAATCATCCACACGCATACTACCAAGGTCGCTACGTTGGAGAAGGACCATGCCACCGCTCGATCGGAGCTCGAAGAGGTGTCACAAGCTCATGCCGCAGTTGCAACTGAGGTTTCCCAGCACAAAGAGCTCGTTTCAGAGCTGCAGGCCCAAATCGCCAAGCATGGAGACCTTGCTCAGTCTCATGAGGAAGCTATCAGCCTTCTTAAGACTAGCCATTCTAAGGAGCTGTCTGACCTTAAGCAGCAGGAACAAAAGGACTACGAAGAGCAAGTCGAGGTGCTGCTCACAGAGCATGCTGAATCTATTCGCAAGCTCGAAATCGAAGCAACCGATGCCCGTGAAGACCTGATGAAGGTGGCAGCTCAAGTAGCTACCGCTCTCGGACTTGATGTCAGTATTGAGAAGCTTACGGAGCGAATCGACGGTCTGGTTCAAGACCAGCGGGCATTGGAGCAAGAGCAGCACAAGAACGAAGAGATCAGCGGTCATGTCGCTGAACTCTCTACCATCAACGAAAAGGTTATGGAAGAGCTCGAGTCCACCAAGCAGTCCTTGGCTGAGCTAGCCAATGCTACATCGGATGCGGCTGCACCTGCCCTCATTGCTGACCACGTTGCCACCATTCGCGAGAAGATGACTGACTTGGAAAGCCGCAACGAAAAGAGTAGTCGTTTGGTTGAGGAGCTAGAGGAGCAACTCCAGCACAACTTTGACGAGGCTCAGGTCGCAAACAAGAGACTGAGCAGCCTGCAGTCGGAGCGTGTCATGCAGCTGGACGAGGCCAACGCTGCCCGTACCAAGTTGCAAGCTGATCTCGACAGCATTCGCGAGGATTACTCCAGCTTGCAAGCCAAGCTAGAGGAAGCGCAGCTAAATGGAGGAATCCAGAGATCCGACTCAAACTCGACGATCCGCCACAGTGCCTCCCACGCCTCGCTGCCATCTCCGCCTCCCGCTATTCCCTTACCTCCTCTCCCCATGTCTCCTACAGGCACTCGCCCCATGAGCCGCGACAATCTTACAATTACGCAAATCACGGAAGACCAGGAAGCGAGAATCCGCACCATCGAGAAGCACTTGTATGCTGAGCGCCAGTTGACACAGACGCTTGAGGAAGCCCTGAGTGACTTGGAGAAGCAGTCAAAGAAGGTCAAGTCGGACTGCGACTCGTGGAAGAAGCGTGCTCAGGAGCTCGAGGGCGAAGTGCGAGAGCTCAAGGATCGCCCTGCTGCTGAAGCTGCTCAGGACCAGCGCTGGAGCATGCTGGCAGTAGAGGAGGAGCGCAAGAAGCGACAGGCTGCGGAAGCTGCTCGCATGCAGCTTGAGGAAAGGATGAATGCCATCAGCAAGAACAAGAAGAAGAAGGGTAGCCTCAACTGCTTCTAGAGGAGGCTATGCAGCTTTTGGGGTGGTGAACCGGTGTCGACGGACGATGGGGAAGACAATACCCCAAACAATTGATGACGTCTTTTATTTTTGTTTCAACGGGGTTTCCTTGGGTCGCTTTCATATTTTTGTTTTTTTGTTTCTCTTCTTTTTTGCCGTTCATTCGGTAGACCCAACTTGGTTCATATTCATGTCAGCGTTGTCATTGATATTGATATTGGTTTTCTTTTCTTTGTTGTTTATTGACCTTTCATATTTTTACGGAGAAGAAGGGAGGACTTTTTTTTGTTTCTCGATACAAGCCAAGGTGTTGTTGAAGCTTTCAGGGCTCTCACTTCATGTACTTATACCGGCATTATTATCGGCTTGAAAAGGCGCCATTGACTTGTACAGAACGGAGGACGATGTCACTATACATAGGTTGTGAAAAAGATATCCAATGAACATTTTCATTTCTTCTATACAAATTTCTTTTATTTTTATCTACTCTATTGTGATATCACTTGTAAGATGTGACGGACCATCGCATTTGGTGTCATTTATTTTGCCGACAAACCGACCATAGATTTATAGGTCCCATATGCTCCGCTTCCCTGACGAATTAGTACCGAATTGACTCGCTGGCGCAACGGTAGCGCGTCAGATTCCAGTTTAACATGGGATTTCCTGAAGGTTAAGGGTTCAAATCCCTTGTGGGTCATGTTTTTTTGCTCTTCTTGGCTACAAAGCCGTAACCTTTTTATCATTTTCTATTATATTGTAATTAATTTTTTAATTTAGCTCCGCTGATCCTTTGTTTGAAAAGTTCAGATGAGGGGTAAAGGCTTTGCCTCGTGTGCATGCTTGCCGTTCGGTGTTGGAACTTCCCCGGATTCCAGTTGCAATAGGCTACCCGGTAACTGACCAGCTCCAACACCGTCATCGAATTCCCCCCGAAAGTCAGTCGCGGCAGTAATTTTCAACAGACTACCTCTTCAAAGGACCATTTTAAAATTCTATTTGTTAACGTTGCATTTGTTTGATTTCGTGGCATTCGACTTGCCCGTGGCGGACTACTTCACGGAACGAACCCCGCACCCAACCCAACACATTATCATTATGATTCTCTACGCCAAAACAGCGCCGCAGCGTGTGCCGAAGACGAGATCAAAGGGAGGTTAGTTACTGTTTCGAAATATACCGTCACATAAGCTACTAGATGAAAAAAAGCTAATGCAAAGGTTGTTTGATGATACAGCTTGTGCACCTTGGTAAGTTGACAAGCTATCACTGACAGTGATTGTCCACAGCTAACAGGTCCCAGCAAAGAAAAAGTCAGTAAAATGAACATGGTATCAAAAGTGATCATTTGGCAAACTGACTTTATCTGCAGAAGAAGAAATGTGATGAGTCGCGACCTACGTGCAGTCGCTGTGAGCAAACAAGTCAGCTGTGTGGATATGAAGCCATCAAGCCGCGAAAGCGGCATAAAAGGCCTCCTCTAAGCAGCGACAAACCCATTGACACTGTTTTGAAAGATTTCAGGACCTTGTGTGATATGGAAACTGCACAGACACAACTGTACAGTGTGGCTCCCGCTCTGCTGGCCACGCCTAACAAGGAACTCGTCCTTCCAAGCCACTCACATATTACGACGGACACATCCAAGCGGTACTTATTTGACCATTTCCACAGGGTTATTTGCCGCTTGATCGTGATACAAGAATCGGACAGCGGCAATGCGTTTCAGCGTCTGGTAGCTCCTCTATGTCTACGCAGTGAGGCGGTGGCTAGCGCAATCTATGCTCTAGCGAGTGCGCATCTTGAATGGAAAGGCTCTCTCAAAGAAGAAATGAGCATCGTTTACCATACCGAGGCAATTATGCAGCTCTCAAAGATAGTCAATCAGGGGACGATGGCCAATCAGAACGAGCTCCTAGCAGCTGTCATGCTCCTGGTATATCACGAAGCGGTAGGTTCCCCCTGTACACTGTGAGAAGAATCGTGTCTAAACAGGCTTAGCTCGTGCAAAAAAGGCGTTCTAGTGTTGTCCAAGACCATCTGAAGGGAGCCGTGGCTATCATGCAGAGCAATGGGGGAGTGTCGAGTCCTACAGGCGTCTTCTTAGAACGGGTAAGGTCGCCCCCCTCCATCGAAGCGATTCCCTTCATGTAAGGGACATGCGGGATAGATCTAATCGAATTTGTATAGGCTTTTCAGTTTTATGACGCTATTACAGCGCTCTCTATGGGAGCGGCACCATTGTTCGACACAAGCCTTGGTCAATCTGGCTCCGCTGACGAAAGGTTGCCTCATGTAGGTGACGCACCGGCGTCGGCTGTAGGTAAACCTGCTCCTAAATTGGTTCCAATCAATACCGACGGCGTATATCAGCATAATGATAGCGCAGATGTCTTGCTGGGGTTTGCCACTTCTCTGTGGCCTACTATTTACAGGCTCTGCCGCATGCACCAAATGAGCACAGCCCTGCAAGGAAGCGCAACAATTGATCCCGGCGACGACGATTTTCAGGCCCTAGAGGCAGAACTTTTGCATACCGGGTTTGAGGTGGAAACGGAGCTGGAGGCCTGGAGACCGCCAATTCCCAAAGATGACGGCAACGCATCGGGCACGAAGGGGCTGCGTTATACTAGCAGCGCCGTACACACAGCTAGTGCGTACCGCCACTCAGCGCTAGTCTATCTCTACAGGAACGTGTACAAAGAAGATTCGAGACATAATACGGTACAGGAGAACGTGAGGGCATCAATGGCGCACTGTACAGCTACAACTGGAGGCGAAGGGCCGATGGGCGCTTTGCTGTGGCCGCTGTTTGTGGCCAGCCTTGAGGCACAAAAAGGCAGCCAGGAACGGGTTGATGCAGCCACGGCATTTGCTAATCTTGGCAGGCGACAGGGCATGGCCAATATCGGGCGTGCATGGGACGTGGTGCAGGAGGTCTGGCATAGGGCAGATTTGGCCGACATGGGAGCGAGGAGCGAGCAGCCACTGGAGGGGTCTAGGGAGGAGGTGGTGCTTCAATGGCAGCGAATCAGCGAGAAGATGGGATTCACGCTGATTCTAGGATAGGCATGCTGTAGGTTGTGTGTTATGGGTAGGCTGCGTCTAGTTAGTCCTTGCGATCCCTGTAAACAGCAAACAGCAGCGTGCCTTGACAGTGGTTGAGAAGGGAACGAAGCAACATGGCGGGAACATGTTTGATAGCATATGCAGGTACATTAGATGTAGCTTTGTAGCGGAGTAATTAGGAAAATAATATGGAGTGTTCAGTTACAAGACAGGAACAAACTGCCGCGATAACTTGCCGAAAGGGAAGCCGGAGGAATCACCGGTGCGGGTCATAGACAAAGCGGACGGCGACATTGATATTGACGGAGGCTATTTTTACACACTTATAACGGTGTCCTTGTCGAGATTATAATTTTGGAGCCAAAGTGAATTACGGAAACGGCGGGTCGACGATGCCCAGCCTGTCCTTGGCCTGGACGAGGCGAGATGCGCTGTGGGGGAGGACGGCAAGGCGACCGATGCATGTCAGCACGCGCGATGCCCGATTGGGAACTCGGATGCGAAAGGCTTTTGGGGATGGAGAAAGAGGCCGCGGAAGACGGGATGCACGCACGGGATCGACAAGCGTGCCGCGGGAGAGGCGGTAGATTTGGGAGATGAGAAGGGGGTGCGATGGTGAAGTGCCCAGATTTCACTATTACTCGACAGACTCGCAGGCATACCGCCTTAGAGACACTTCGCTGGCATGCCTAACACCAAACAATGAGTTTACCATAGTTTGGATACGGGTGGTTGTCTGTCCCCTCGCTGGCGTGGGCAGCATTCAACGGACGACCATATCGTTTCAGTGAATACTGTTATACGCGCATATACCTCTCCGTCATGGATGTTCGTTCATTCGTTCCCCGGATATCCAAATCGGGCATCCCATACTAAAAACGTGCGCTAGTAGCTCGTGGCCCATCACAACCGCGACTCCCCGATGGCTCATGGACCTTCAGCGGCGTTCGTTCCCGTTCGAGCAAATGGTCACCGCTTAGGCTTCAAAGTAAGGCGAATCATTATTGTAGAGGCATGGTGGAGACGAGCTCGCAGCTATTAACCGCAACGGACACTAGGGCTGTGTTCGTATTGGTGGGCCAGGCCGGGGGTGTGCATGCAGCGGGAGGCCGGCGCCGGATGCTACGCTACCCGCACTTGGAATCTGTTTTGGGGAGCATCTTCATCGAGCTGGCAGAAGCTGTCTTATATGCTGAACCGATCTTGTGAAAGCAGCGCCAGCCCGCGTTATGCTTCCCACGGTGTGCGGGAGCGAACCCGAACGCTAGCATCTGTCCAAGGCATCTTCCCCGCACCACCTTGGCCGTCGTTTAAGCTAACGCTTTCGTTTAACGTTTGTAGCTTTATGCCCATACCACGTGTGGCCTGGAATGCTACGCTATGCCCGTTGAGACGGGCGCCTCCATTCAGGCAGTCAGGAACACACGGGGTGTAGCGAGGCTCGTATGGAAGCTAGAGGTTGTAAGGCTAACAAGGGATTTGGAGTAGCATTTCCAAGCTTAGCCATGTCTACGGCCGCAAAGGGCAGCCCCCTACTGATCCATCGGCCTACGAACGAATGCGTAGCTCGGTGGTTTGGGAAAAATCAAGGCTGAATTGAAGCCACTGGGGGCGTCCAAACAATCGGGTACGAGGACGACCGTGCGCATCGTGCTTGGCATTGCCCTGGGCTTGGGCTGTAGATGGGAGAGGTTGAGACTACGCCACTACCACTGCTGCGAATTACCACGTATAATGCGCTTTTTCAAAGTGCCTCACAAATTCCGTATAAAGAAAGAAGGAGAATAAGAAATAGTATCCTGATCCACGGTGGACCAATCCTCCTGTAGCACAATATCGCATGGCCACTTCTAATGCGCGCGCTGTCTCCTCGCTCGCCTCAGCTCGTCCAAAGGAGCAGTAGCGAATGCCGCAAGCGCGCCAAGCTGCCCCATTTAGACGTCATGTTCCTTGCCAGCCTTATTGTGATTAGGATTACATGGTTTCTTTGTCTGGTGTTATCGGCCGAAGAAGGGCCACGGAGCCTTTTTGCGCTTGCAGGGATACCGCATACGGACAGACACTGCGACATATGGGGCTGGGATGGAAGTACGAGAAGTGAACATAGGGCCGAACGATCTAGCTTTGTCCTGCTGGGGCCATGTTTCGTTCTTTCTTTAGATACCATGTCATGGATGAGAGGTAGCATTGGCAAAGGGGGAAGAGGGCGTGTAAGCGGGTCGAGGAGGGGTGTAAGTTGATGAGCTAGCTGCAAGCCTGCGATCGCGGCAGTGCTATAAGGCTTTTTATTGGATTACATGGGAGGTTTAAGTGTGTTATTTCTTTTATTCTGGAACTTCTCTGTAGCTTCTAAAGGCCTCGCGTGGACGGCCGGCCATTTCTCCGGCACTATGGACGCCCCTACGCCCGCCCAGGAACGGCGTATGCTCTTTTGGTACAGTATGCTGAGCGACATGGTTATGTTTGGTTTTTATATTTCGGTATTAAATGAATTTTTGGGTCTATTGGTAGTATCGGCATTTTGAAAGAGCGAGGTTGTCCATTTTTATTTTGTTTTATATATCCTTTTACATCCTCTCATTCCCTCTTCTGGAATCCTTGATTTCAACACTCGGTATATTCTGCCCGTTTATTCTTCTTTTATACTATTTTATATTTCTATTGCACTGAGTATTGACTGATATCCTTTACTCTTATTTTATTTTATTTTATATCAACTGCCTTCACCAAGAGAGACAACAGATAACCACCATGCCGTTCGTCAGCAGCTACCCGCTGTCACCGCTGGAAGAGCTTGAGCTTCAGGGGACGTTAGCGGACTTTGGCGCTGTAAATCGGGCCATCGACGTCGCGGCAGGCTGCTGGTCCACTGCCGCATCCCCCGCAGTGACGGTCTCCACGCCCCCAGGCTTCCCGTCCCAACACCCGCACCATCCGTTCTTCCAGCTCCACCAACACCACATCCCCTCCTCACAGACCCAACATCAACATCACCAACCTCACAGCCAATTCAAGCAGCAACACCACCGCCGCCGCCAGCCACAAAAGAACTGCGCCATCTCATCGGCATCATCTGCCTCCGATAGCCCGGCCGCGTCATCACCATCGCCTTCTTCCTCCTCTTCTGCGTCTCCCTACGGCTTCTCCTCGGCGTACGCGCCAACTGGCAATGCGGCTCCCCGAGCTATGGCAACCGCCAAATCGGATGTCTGGCCTGCCCCTAAGCAGCTTCGCTTCGTCCACAATCAAGGTCAGCCGCCTTCCAAGCGCAGAAGAATAAGTGCCGCGTAAGTGTTGATGAGCCCTTCTCCTCCGTGGCAATTGGTGTTGGCTGCTGTGTCTATACCACCCATGAGTCTGGGAATATCAAAATGCTAACCTGACCGAGGATAGATGTCTAACTTGCCGCCGAAGAAAGACACGGTGTGCTGGAGAAAAGCCACAGTGCTCAACATGCACCAAGAATGGACACGAGTGCCTTGGATATCCTGAAGAGTCCGCCAAGGTCAGCACCACTGCCGACACCGCTGCAGCTTCTCGCCAAGAAAACTACGAGAGCCAGGACAGTAATGATGACTCGTCTGTTGACGATGCCGATTCTGCCAGTCAATCTACCATTGATTCACAGGAGGATTCACACGAGACGGACAAAGCTGGCAGCAAACAAACAGACAAACATGAATCTGCACCCGCACTCGCACCAGCAAACAAACGCCGTCGCACACGACGCCAAGCTCCATCGCCGTCACCTGCAGACGCTGCATCACGCAAGCTGGATGCTTCTATTCCTCGCCCAACCACGGCGGATGCACTGGAGCAAAGCGCGTCACCAACGCTCCACATCAGCGACCTGAGACGCCCAGTGTCCTCGGGGACATCGCAAGACGGGCTGCTTCCCACGTCACCCACCATGCAGAGAGCAAAGGCCGCTGCGCACCGCGTGCCCTACTTTCGCTACTTTGGGCCTACTGCCATTGTGCCGGGCTTCAAGCAGATGGTTGTCTCGGTACGTGACACCAACTACAGCTCCCATACGGACACGTCGCTGGCCTCTTTGCCCACTAGCCTCATCGGATCCAGTCCGGCCACCAGCAGCGTTGCTATTCCAGGAGAGCTCCCAATCTACGATCCCAATTCGCTCGCACCTGTTCCTGACCTTATCATCCACTTGGTGGAGACCTTTTTCCAGCACATTGGCTGCAACTATCCCTTCCTCAAGGAGCGCAAGTTTATCCGTCTTGTCAAAGAAAAGGCCGCCGAGCCAATCCTTGTCGATGCCGTGTGCGCCCTGGCAGCTCGCTTCTCTGAAGCTCCAGCTTTGACAGGCGGCAACGAGCAAATGCCTCGCCGAGAGCGTGGCCTAGTGTTTGCTCAGCGTGCAAAGCAAGCCACAGTTGACACATTCCCATGTCCATCTGTCAGCGCCGTACAAGCTTGCTTGCTGATGGCCTATGAGGGCTTTGGTGCCAGCCAGGACAGTGCCCTTTGGATGTATCTCGGTCTGGCTATTCGCATGGCCGTTGATCTGGGCCTCCAGAAGCGCATTGGTGTTCAGTACCAAGGCGACAAAGATCCTAATGCTGTTGGTCACCCCAGCAGTCCCGTGGCTAGTCGAGCAGATGCCCTTAGCCTTGACGAGCAAAAGGAGGTTGAGCAAGAACGCATGGACACCTTTTGGGCCGTCTTTGTCCTGGACAGAATCATCTCTTCAGGAACGGGCCGCCAAGTCACATTACGTGACGAAGACTTTGAGCTGCCACTGCCGGAACCATCCATTGACCCCGTCACTGGTTGGCCAACCCTATTCCCAATACTTGTACAGATAGTCCACATGTATGGCCGCGTCTCAGATATTCTTAACAACATCCAGGATGCAAAAGATCTTACAGAAGAGCGCTGGGCCAAGCTCACGTCTATGGAACAGCAACTCACGCGACTCTACAAGACTTGGGATCAACGCCTGCAATTCAACGTCGATAATTTCAAGGCTTACTTGGGCCTTGGCCAAGGAACCATCTTCATCCTGCTTCACCTTTGGTTCCATGCCTTGTTCATCATTGTTCACCAGCCCACCCTTCTAACCCCCAACGAGAGTCAACGAAGTGAGCTGCAACTGCTGCCTGACAGCAAAGAGTTGAGCATGAGCAGTGCCAAGACGATTTGTGATATTCTGTCTTTTGCCGACCTCATCGAACCAAAGAGCTTCATCGGAAACCCTTTCACTAACCAACCCATTTACATTGCCGCCGGCGCCTTCTTGATGGAGTCTCGCTCAAGCCCGAGTCCTCAGCAGAGTCCCTCCAGCGCACCCAAAAATGAAGGCAAGAAGTCTTCCAAACATAGCCTTCTGGCATCGGCTGCGAATCAAAACTACCAGCGATGCTACCGATCTCTGCAGCAGATCAATGAATACTGGGGTGGCGTCACATACGTCATGACGGCGTTGGGTCAGAAAGCCCAGGGCTTACGCGAGCTGGAAACCTTTACAGAGGAAGAGTACGAAGGTGCCAGGGCCGACCGCCGTGGGAGCCTGAGCGGCCAGCTCGCGCGACTTGAGAGCCAAGCGTCTCCCGCAGCGTCTGGGCCGCCAATCGCCTGGAGTCTGGCTGGTACTGCTTACTCTCCCAACTCGAGCCTCACCGTCATGTATCAGACAGGCAATCCTTCTGCAGCTGCTGCAATTGGTCCTCTTCGCAATACAGTAGTACCAGGGCGAGCTGCTGCTACGCCTCCTTCTAGCTTGGCGTACGAAGCTATCCGCCAGCACCAGTCTAGACAGATGTTCCCCCCAGCCATCCCCCAGCCGAACACGTCTTCTATTCGCCATTCACCCCGCCGGTCTTCTAGTCGTTTGGCTGGTGACTCTGAGAGTGGTTTGTATGGAGCATCCGCCTTTACACCCGCAAGTCACTCCGGCTTCGACACCTTCAGCCCAACTGCCGGTGGCACCATGGCTAACCCGTCCACTTTTTATGGCCAGCAAGGCATGGACTTGCAATCGGCGTCATGGGGAGCTGGAGCTGCTGGTAGCATGGACGGCATCACGTTTAACAGCCACGAGATTGACATTGCCTCTCTCGGCCTACAGCCCGATGTTATGGGCGGCTGGCTTGATTACTTGCCCAACGATGTTCTTGGGTTGTTTGAAAACCAAGACTGGGATCATGGCTCCTCATGAGTTCTTGTAGCATATCACGTTTCGGAGCACAAATTCTCGTTATGGTTATGTTGTACTGTTTGTTGTAGCCTGGACCTGTTCATGTATCATTTTGTTCCTGTTTTGTTTTCATTTAGCGGGCGTTGGTTTGGTTCTTTTGGGGTTAATGGCAAATGATGAAACAGTCATGTAAGGCAATGTAACAATAATACCAGAGTCCAGTGTTCCCTGTCATCACTTTTTTGGGTCTTTCTTTCCTACGTCTGCTCTGATACTCACCTATATAGCCCGGTCTTGCTCTGTTCTACCGAGGAACCGCGTCGTTTGCCTCGGACCGTTCATGTAATCGCCTGTACAGCCTTGTCAGTGGATCAGCGTTGCATCGGGCCCTGTATCGCCAGTCAAGGAAGCATTTCGAAATGTCGTCATCCGTCAGCACGGCGTGAGCAATAATAGCAGCAGGCACGACGGGCGCTGCATCGAGACCAGAAGAATATACGATATGTACGAATGAGGCTGCATACACGCGACCAATTGCCTAAACAGAAGACGCATTTCTGGTCTTGCCGCTGGTGACAACACCAAAACGCCAACTAAGGAGAGTTGTCCAACTAACACCACAGGATGCCGCGGTGCAACTAGCAACCAACGTGGCAGCGGCCTGCTTAAACTTTCTGTCTGTGATGATTTTTAAATATGATTTTAATCATGTTTTTTGTCTGCACGTCCTCGGAGACTAAGCGTTGCGTATTTAAAGCGGCTTATGCGTGGATGACTGGGGGGGTGTAAGACCGGAAATCGGATCACGGCAAGCCTAAGCGGGATTCCCGGCTATAGTCTTGATCACGACTTACACGCAACAATAGCGTTTATACAGCTACCAAGACCATCCCGCACAAGGTCACCGAATTCACTAGTTTTCTAATACTCTCAACTCCAAACCATGCGCGGTCCAATCACAACACCGCTCACCACCCTTCTGGGCATCCAGCATCCCATCATCCTCGCCGGCATGGCGCAGGTCTCTGGCGCCCGCCTCGCCGCTGCGGTAGCAAACGCAGGCGGCTTTCCTGTTGTTGGAGGATACGAATGCACACCAGAGCAGCTTCTGAGCACAATTACCGAGATGAAGGCGCTGTTCGACCGCCCCGATCTACCGTTTGGTGTAGATGTTGCCATTCCCAAGGTTGGCGGTGGTGCGCGAAAGACGAACCGCGATGTTACCAATGGCAAGCTAGACGACTTGATAGCAATCTCTATCGACAACGGCGCCAAATTGTTTGCCTGCTCAGCGGGTGTCCCGCAGCCTCACATCGTCGCATATCTACACAGCCGAGGTGTTCTCGTCATGAATGTCATTGGGCATCCAAAACACGCTGTCAAGGCACTAGATGCCGGCATCGACATCATCTGCGCGCAGGGCAAAGAAGGCCGTGGCCACTGCGGAAATATTCCCACGTCCGTGTTGATCCCGGCTGTTGTTTCCATCGCCCAGAGATACCGCCCGCCCATGCTCCAGGGCTTACCTGCCCAAGTGATTGCCGGCGGAGGCGTTTCATGCGGCCCGAGTCTTGCGGGAGTCTTAATACAAGGTGCTGCCGCGGCGTGGGTAAGCACTCGCTTCGTAGCGTCCGAGGAGGCCAATGCCAGCGATGAGGCGAAGCAGGCAATCTTGGCGTGCGGGTTTGAAGAGACGGAGCGTACGCTGGTCTTGACAGGTCGACCGCTGCGTATACGGCCAAATGCGTACATCCAGAGCTGGCATGCGCGGCGGAACGAGGTTGCAGAGCTGTGTGAGCGAGGCGTTGTTCCTGCAGAGGCTGACTATAGAAACAACAATGTGATTGATGTGCCGTTTATGATGGGTGAAGTGGCGGGTTCGATTACGGAGATTTTGCCGGCTGGGAAAATTGTGGAGGATATGGCGAGCGGTGCGGCGGAGATGTTGAGGATGGGTGGACAGTATGTTGGCGGGATGGAGAGGGCTAGATTGTAGAATATCATTTGCTGTTTTTGTTTTAATAGATTTGTATTGACTTTTATGTGAGGTTCCACCAGATTGTGCAGAGTATCGAATTGATTAGTTGTTGTTAATAATGATTTGGTTCAACTTGGTTATAGTAGATTATCGAAATACAGTTGTCTATACAGAGTTGAGGATGTAAAGGATGATACAAGGTTTTTATATAGTCTGTATATTGGAAAGGGCGTCGTCTATTGATAATCTATTTACACAAGAAAGTAGCATTGGTTGCTGATGTCTATAGCATGGCCCGGGGCACATGCGCTTCACGCGTCAAAGTCCACGCCAACTCGGCTAGAGGCCCCTTCACAGCCGCATAATAGCGTGCATCACTGTTTTTGTTCTGTTCGTTGGCCATTCTCGCTGCCACGCCGTGACAGATGACGGCTGACTTGAAGATGTTGAACGCCATGCCCCAGTTCATGTCTGGCGCTGGGTTGTACTCGCACGACTCGGCGTACCACGACAGAAGCTGCGGTGGCTGAGGCATACCCGGTGTACGGCCTGGAAGCATGCACGACATGTCGTAGGGGCACGTCTCTGGTCTAGTGGCAACGTAGAATGCCACAGCTAGCTGGCAGACATCCGATAGTGGGTGGCCAATAGTGGACGACTCCCAACTATACAAGGCGATAAGTAAATGGTCCCAGTTGTGGCAGAATAAAAGTCAGACTCACTCTAAAATGGCTATGACTCTGGGCTCAGTGGGATGGAAAACGAGGTTATCCAGCTTAAAGTCGCCGTGAACCAACGAGAGTCTCTCCGTTGGCTGCCCACCCTCTCGCTTAAAGAAGGAAACGGTTTCGTCAAAGTACGGCAGCTGGCCTACAGGCGTGTTTGTCTTTGTGTCGAGTACCTTTGCTTGACTTCTAGAAATGGCCTCCCAGGTGCGCACTTGGCGGTTGTAGAAGCCAGATGTCTTGCCTCCGTAGTTTTCGAGGCAAATGTCTGCTGGGTCAACAGAGTGTAGTTCGGCCATGGCCTGCACGGCTGCTTTCCATAAATCGTTTCGCTCTTCAGGACTCACATCGCCCATGGTGATGTCTTCAAAGATGCGACCTTCAACAAACTCCATCAGATAAAATGGGGTACCAATGATGCTGTCATCCATGCAGAGTGCGATTGTCCTGGGGGCCGGAATATCGGTCCTCTCCAGAGCGCGAAGAACTTGGTATTCCCGCTCTACTCGGTGAGAGTGCTTGGAAATTAGTTTGCCTGGGGGTCTCTTGCGCAAAACGCATTTGGAGCCATCAGCGGCAATAACCTGATAAGTCGGGTTGGATTGGCCGAGTTTGAACTGTCATAGGGTACGTATTAGTAGAGATGATTGGGACATTTACAAACAAACGTACCTGGCGAAGTTGAATGGGTGTTTTTATTTGAGGCACATTTGTCTCCAAATACTTCTGGAAAGCATCCAAATCAATAGGTTGGCGAACTCGTCCTGCCATTGTGTGTGGAGAGATACTAGAGAGGTGTTACTTGGGAGAAAGGGGTGTTGATTGATTCCAAAGTTGTTCAGCAAGCTTCCTCTATTGCTCATTTATATCATTCAACATCTAATAATGTCTAACCCATATTCAGTATATCGATCGGCCACGCGCTCCATCACACCCTTTTCCGACTGACGTGCCGTGAGGGCCGAAGGGGCTCTGCTTATGGTCAGCTTATAATGCATCGCTCGCTGACCTCAAACCGCTGCAGACATCCATTATTCCCACGGCCACCGCACAGACCAGATCCCTATTGAAAAAAATGATTGGCCATCATATTTTCTAAATCAGGCTCATATGGCCCCCAGGTTCCGCGTAAACCCATCGCTAGACCGTTTCAGGCACACGCTTACAGCCCTACCCACGCTACCACTTTCCCCAAGCGTCTTGCCGCTACTCCACGTCTTTTGGGAGCTTTTACTCTGGTTTGCTTACAAGCTCGGCAACTTGGTAGACATCCTCGGCTCAGCCTTACACCACAATTACACCAACATCGCAGGCTGGTGTGCCGTTTAGCCGCCACGCGAGCAGAATCTTGGATCCGTTCGATCCGCAAATTCCGGCGGAATTGATAATTCGATGCGACGGCAGTCTGAGATGATAAGGTTAACTGTGTCGAAGCTGATGCAATTCAGACATCGATATACGCAACGGCGCATCTAAATCGCCGAGGTGTAAGTCAGCTACAGATAGTAGTCACGAAAAAGACAACATATCGGACTATTATAAGCTTTCAGCATGATAAACTTTAGTATTTTAGTATTTGTGTACTTGGGATAACATACAATATTCTTGGACTTTTCTAACACGGCTATTAATTTTCTTGCTTGTGTGTTGGTGCGATGGTTGGTATACCACGCCCTGAAATTGCGCTCAGGCAATATAATATTAAATAAGTGTCACAATAGCATCGGTGATCGGAAGGGTGGCCGAGTGGTCTAAGGCGCTGTGTTCAGGTTGGTTCCCATCTACCAGGAACGTCGCAGTCTCGCAAGAGGCGTGGGTTCGAATCCCACCCCTTTCACCATCCTTTTTTTGCCCTTTTTGCTTATGTTATGTGTCGACATTTACTCCAAATGAACCAGAGACGCATTTACTTTTTTTATCAATTTGTATAAATGAGATTTATTCCTAATCCTGAAGTTTGTTGTAGAATATCGCCTGGGTCCGCGCCGTCTTCTACACCAAGTCACCGCGTGTATTATTTTCGTGCCAATAAATGTCGTTCTTCGGCCTCCATAAACGCAGCCTTCTTCTTCATCAGCGTTTCATATACTCTATGACAGGTTTCTGGTGTCACCCATTCCTCTGTGGGGGCTGATTGACAGACGATATATATGTTGAAGGGACTGCTCTCGTTGAGGCAGTAAAAATCTCGCTTTATGTGATAGGCATGGAACCATTCTTCCAGCCAATGATTCCACTTGGCTCCAGGCTCCCATGTATCGCAGGTTAGTTCGGTTTCAATCACGTTAAACGTTATGTTCTTCAACGATGTAAACTGTGCGAGATAGTGTATTGGTTCGAACGGACCAAATCCAAGCAGAACATTCTCAAAGCAATACTCTGTATCTCCAGAGCGGATGGTGAGTGCCAGATTCTGTATCTTCTTGTACAAGTCGTCCTTCCAAAATCTCTCCACTTCATCAAACCAGCAGAACACAGTGTCGGTCGCAAAGTTGAACCATACTGGTTCCGTCACGTAACGCTCCGGCAACAACATGGGCTCAAATAATCGTCGCGCTTCGCGGCACGCCTCTGCTTCACGTGGCAAATCTGTGATAAAGGTCGTACAGAAACTAACTGAGTAGCTGTGTGGTCGACCAGAGTACCCTGATCCTCGGGCAAAGTCGAAGAAGATCCACGGCCGCGGCATCATGAGCCATATCATGTAGCGGATTTCTGTTGGGAGCCGAGCAAAGGGAGTGAAAGTGGACATTTAGTTGGTCATTTTGAAGTTGCTAGAGCGTCTTCTAGCAAAACGCACGGGGGCGATGCTTGTACTTTATAGTGGCCTTGAAAGATGTTGTAGTTGATGCGTGTTTGTGCCAGGTTGGCGACGGTGGCGCTACCAGAGAATGCCTTGCCATAAGTTACAATGTCATTGTTCATATTGTGCGTCACGGAGACACATAGACATTCGTATAAATATCGTTTTATTTCATTGCGAATTTCTATTACATGTGCCCACAGCCAACTACAGTACATCAAACACCTTCGTATAAGCAGGGCATACACTCTATGGAAGGTTAAAAAGAAGTACCATGGCGTCATGCAATAGAATAAAGTCCCCAGAAAAGGGATTCCAATCTATTGCCCAAATTATTTCATTCTCACCAAGAATATCATGACAATTTGAAGTCATAGAGTGCAGCCCCGGCCGGGGTAGATATCCGGCGCAATGCGGCTGAAACGTGCCTCAGGCTGTCACATCATCGCAGAACATCAGCAGCTTGAAAAGTTGACTACGCCAACTCGGATCTTTGCGGCACTAAAAGGGTATATCAAAGTCCGTAAAAGAGATTTACCCGCGTAGTCTAGCAAGCTACGACTCTTCTAGGACGTCTCCTCGTCCTCGGATTAGCAACCGCGCTGAGTGGTTTACATATCAGCCGCTTCTCCTACAGCGTCCAATATAACTCGTCAAAATGTCCACCATACTATTCCAGCACTTCTCAAAGCTTCCACTTGAGCTGCAGAATCAGATCTGGGACGAATCTTTACCAGAAAAAGACGCGCCAGCCGTCTTCTTCTACAAACCAGGCTGCTGGGAGGTACATGTTCCCGTCGCGGGCGACAAACGATTTGACCCGGATCGGCCGGGTAGAAATTGGTTTGTATTTTTCGAAGACCGATTAGCGCACACACATGTCTGCCCTGCACTACTGCGAGTTAACGCCGAAGCAAGGCGCGCCGCATTACGCTGGGCTCACAGGCTCGGATACAAGCTACAGTGGAACAATCGTAATCAGCCAGTCATAACGCGGCCCATGGACAGAGAGACAGACACATTATACCTTCCGGATGAACACAAAGAGGAATACTTTACAGTCACGGAGGACCTTATGGATCAAACCGACAGTGGCCACTCATACACCAACGACGTGGACGACAGGCCGGTGGCTATGTCGCAGGGGACCATTTCAAAGGATCCGCTGGGGCTCATACGGGCCTTTAGGGAATGGATACACAATACATATCTCATCCATGCTGTTGTCGGCATACCGTTACCCGAAACCGACCTTGTGGCTCTAGATCCCGGCTTGGACAATGTTCAGCTGAGACGCTGGGAACTGAGAGACGCTCAGCAACCAAATACATACGGTTGGAACCGCAGTAAGGCATGTTTCTTATGGGAAGACTTGGGTCATCAAACCAAGAGAGATAACGATAGAATGTCGGATGTGGGTGAAGAGGACATGCGTGAATGGGCGGAGAGTGCAATAGACAATGAAGTAGACCTATTCGCAGCAGCGCTGGACAATTATCCGGTCATGACAATTCACCTTGCGCGGATCCAATATATACCGCCTTGGGATGAATAAATAGGGATGGTGCAAAAAAGTGTTACAGAGGGTAAATTCAATAACTAGATAGTCCATGCATACGAATGCGCCGATTCACCTATGAGACCCAAACATAAAAGGAAAGACATATACACCAACGGCAACGTAGTGTAAACCATATATTCCCTCGCAATCAAAAAATGAACAAGCTTCTTGTATAGAATGAAAAGTGACAGAAACGAAAATGCAGATGTGTATGTCTATGTACATGTATAGCAGCGATAGCCTAAATCACAACGCCGCGCTGCTTCCACCCACCCTTGCCTCGCCATGCAAAAAGTAGCAGGGCACATGCAATCCAGACGGTGATTGTTTCGCCCCAGAAGGTGCTCGAGTAGCATTTCTTTCCGTAGCAAAAGATGTCGTCTTCGTCAGGTCCGCCGTTGGCAGCATCAGACTGACTAGCACCAGCCTGGTACACGGCAGAGTACACCAGGCCCCAAAAGGTCGAACCGAGAGCAGGAAGCGTCGTCACAATGCCGAAGTTGGTTGCAAAGTTTTCGACACCCCAGATAATGGTGACCATGAGAGGGGCAAGACTAAAGATGGCGCCGTAGCCAGCGCCGACAAGCCCAGACACAACCCAGAAGCGGTCAGCATGGTTCTGCGCCGCGCCGGCAGCAAGGAAGGCAAAGCCAAACGACATGAGACCGGCAAAGAACAGCATAAAGGATACGCGTGAAATAGTAAAGCGTTGCTGCTGGGGCAGAACTTGGCTGCTAGAGAGCTGTGGGTGCTGGGTGTGTGGGCTCGGAGCGATGATGTCCGTAATAGTGCCGATTAAGATGCGTGAAAGCGTGCTAGTAACGCCGAATATTGATACATGGGTGGCAGAGGACGTCTCTGTCCCGTAGCCCTCTGCTGAAGGGGGAGAAAGAGTGCCGATAATAGTGCCGAGGTTGTTGATAAATGCTTCGCCAGGCCCAACCATGAGCAGAAAGGCGAGAGCAAAGGGCCACATGGTGTGGTCTGCGAGGAAGCGGCGGGTTTCAGCATTAAGCACCCAGTTCTTCTTCCATCTTGGGTCATCCTCGGAGATGGATCCAAGGAACGAGCTGTTCCTGGTCAGAGACGCTCGTGCGCTGCCAGTGCCGTACCCTACTCCATCCCCACGGCCCAAGATGGTAGAGCCGTTCAAGAGGCCGCTCTGTTCCAGCTCTTCAATGGCTTCGTCTATAAGATCATCCTCGTCGACAACGCGTAGCGTGAAGACTCCAATGACGCCCATAACGAATAAAAGTACGCCGAGGAAGACAAAGAAGCGAGCGACATTGACTTCGCCTCTGGAGCCGTCTGGCCGCGTTTCGTATAAAAATCGGCTTGCAAACTGGCTAACCCACATGCCGCTGAGGCCAAAGCCTGTAATGGGTAGTGCCAGTGCAAGACCTCTGTATTTACCCTTTCCAAAGTTCTTTGCGCTAGTCGACACGGCAGCAATGTACATGGCGCAGGTGCCAGCACCGATGCAGACAAAAGCAAAGAGCATGACTGGGTATGTAGCCTCGTTCCCTCTAGCTGGGGGCTTCCCCAACAAGTTGTATTCAATATCGAGCTTGTTATACACCCAAGCGGCGAGTCCGTAGCCGAAAGCAAACAGACATCCAGCGAAGCCGGCGAGGGGGGGAGCGCCGACTCTGTCGCAGAAGTAGCCCATGATAGAAATGGGTAGGTATAGGGCGAGCGAACTCGCAATAGCAACGCCATTCACCTGAAACTGTGTGTATCGGAGACGGGACTGGAATCGGGGGCCGTAAAGCGAGAAGACAGAGATGGAGCCGGCGCAGAGCGAGACGATGGTGGCGACGAGGAGGGAAACGGCACGCAAGTATTTCTTCTTTTGGTTTTGGCGGCGTCGAAGAGAGATGTCGGAGTCGCTGCCGTCGTCTGCAGAACTCATTGTGTAGGAAGAGTAGGCATCGTTGTTGTCGATATCGTCATCGCGGCGCTGACCAACCGCCGACTCTGGCGGTGGCCGACTGTCGGCGTGGCTCATTCGAGGCGAAAGAGTCGAGTGATTGGGGGCGGGAGGCAACGGTGTTGTTCTCTAGAGCATGGTCTAAGTGCAATGTGACTGCAATTGTACAAGAAACAGACGAGCCAAGATATTGCTGAGAATGATGGAAGAATGAGAAAATAAAATAGCGAGAGAAAAAAATGAGGAGTTGGGTTTGGCAGTGCCTGACTGGCAATTGCCAACTGGGACACCCGGCTGACCTGCGACTCCCCGCAAATCGAGTCACGCAACCCCCAGCAAACCGTCACGTAATGGTGACTGCAGGTTACGTGCGGCTGCCGGTTGCCGGCGGGTGCATGCAGCCAGTAGTGGGCGGCTTAACGGGCGGATTGGCCCCTGTGGGGAATGAGTTACAGGGCGTTTATAGCGGTTTAAAGTGGCTGGGCGGTGCGGAGGAGCAATGCGATTGGCCAGGGAGCCGCAGAGTTTAGAACAATGAGAAAGAATATTTCAGATATTTGTTAATTGAGTAGTCAAATAGACATCTGCTAAACAAGGGATCGGTTATAAGTAAAACAAGTATACAAAAAGGATAGATGGTGGTGTGCAAGTGAACACCCAAGCCAAACAATCTGCCTTCTTCACCTGCAAATAAAGGCCTCCAATATACTGCTAATGAAAATAATCTACCCCTTCTCAGTCAAAAGGCACAAGATTAAACTCTACTAGTCCATCAACTACATTACATCGAGGTATTGCTTTCCGCATCTCTTCTGATATATTGCTTCTCGCTGCCGCCACGTGATTACGCATCACCTCTCGCGTTCTACTGCTCCAGTGGGGCGCCCATACAATCCGCGTCCCCTGCCCACCACAGGCGTTCACCTTAGCAGCACCGTGAACAATTGCCTACGCCCACGTCGTTTGACAGCCCTGCCTGGAAAATTCCCTGTCAACCATCCTCGGCCAGGAATCAATTTCGCCATGACGGAGTTTACCGGTTTGTCACATTCTATGTTCAATACCAACCCACTTTCTTAGCAGTGCTAACACCTGCTACCCCGTTGCCAGAGGCCGACACCATCCGCATCCTGGTGGCTACAGATAACCACGTCGGCTACGAAGAACGAGATGCTATTCGCAAGGATGACAGTTGGAGGACCTTTGACGAAATTATGAGGATTGCCAAGACCGAAGATGTACTGTCCGTCTCCCAATCCCTCTTTCTCCGCTGACACACTTGCTACAGGTCGACATGGTGCTCCTCGCTGGTGACCTTTTTCACGATAATAAGCCCTCCCGAAAGTCGCTCTACCAAGTCATGCGAAGCCTTCGCCAAAACTGTCTCGGCATGAAACCATGTCCTCTCGAGTTCCTCTCCGATGCTGCCTCTGTGTTCGAGGGCGCATTCCCCCACGTCAACTACGAAGACCCCGATATCAACATTTCCATCCCAGTCTTTTCCATCCATGGCAACCACGACGACCCGTCCGGCGATGGAAACCTCTGCTCACTTGATCTATTACAAGCTGCTGGTTTGCTAAACTACTATGGCAGAGTCGCAGAGGCAGACAATATCGAAGCCAAGCCCATCCTGCTACAAAAAGGCAATACTAAACTGGCCTTGTTTGGACTTAGCAACGTTCGAGACGAAAGACTATTCAGAACATTCCGAGATCACAAAGTCAAATGGTTTCGCCCCAATGCGCAAACAGGAGACTGGTTCAACCTCTTGGCGGTGCATCAAAATCACCACGCACACACAGCCACATCCTATCTACCCGAAAATGTCCTACCTGACTGGCTGAACCTTGTCGTTTGGGGCCACGAGCACGAGTGCTTAATTGATCCCACCCGCAACCCTGAGACCGGATTCCATGTGATGCAGCCCGGATCATCAGTTGCGACTTCTTTAGTTCCGGGAGAGGCAGTGCAGAAACAAGTTGCCATTGTAGAGATTACTGGCAAGGAGTTCAAAACACAAAATATTCCTCTCAAAACCGTTCGCCCATTTGTTACAAAAGAGGTTATTCTTCGAAATGACAAGCGCTTCAAGGATCTCGAGAAGAAAAAGGACAACAGACAGGAAGTGACCAGGCGGCTCATGGAGGTCGTTGAAGAAATGATTGAACTCGCAAATGCAGATTGGGAGGCCCTGCAGACGGATCAAGAGGCCCTTGAGGAACGACCTTTACCATTGATTCGACTCAAGGTGGAATATACCGCCCCAGAAGGTGGCTTATACGAGTGCGAGAACCCTCAGCGCTTCTCAAATCGATTCGTCGGCAGAGTTGCCAATACTAACGATGTCGTTTACTTTTACCGCAAAAAGACGGTGCAGCGTAAGTTATTCTACTTGGCCCTGCTACGTCTCATCTGCTAACAGAGCCCACAGGAAAAGCTACTGCTGTCACGCCCACTGATGCCATGGACAGCCTCGCCGACAGCTCGGACTTGGTCAAAGTGGAATCCCTGGTCCAAGACTTTTTGTCTGCTCAATCACTCAAAGTGCTTCCCCAAGGCCCCCTAGGTGAGGCTGTAAACCAGTTTGTCACCAAAGATGACAAGCACGCCATGGAACTGTTCGTCTCAGAACATCTGTCTGGACAGGTTAGACAGATGCTTGGGCTCGAATCAGACGACGAGGACCTCAACAGCGCAATGGAAATCTACCGGACACGAGTTGAGCAGCAGCTCAACAGTGGCGTTCATAAGCCCACCATTGACAGGCAGCGAGTCTTGCTTCCGCAGCCAGCTACATGGGACAATGACTTTGACGGAAACTGGGAAGACGAGCCGAACGCTTGGACATATGCTCCCGTCGAAAGCTCGGCGCCTCTTAGTACCGCACGTACTGGAACTATGCCGTTCTTGGACGACGATGAGGACGATACACAACCAGCAGCACCACCCAAGAAGCCGACAAGAGCAACAAAAGCAGCACCAAAGCGGGCGCCGGCAAAGAAGGCGGCCACAACCGGTAAGGGGCGTGGTCGTAAGGTTGTAGAAGAAAGTGAGGAGGAAGAGGATGTTGTGATGGACTCGGACGAAGAAGAGGCGGCACCTCCTCCGCCGCCGCCAAAGACTACGAGGAAAGCAGCCGCGCCAAAGGCAAAGCCTGCTCCCCGAGCTGCTGCCACAAGAGCTTCAGCCAGATCGAAGCAGACTACCTTGACATTTTCACAAAAGGGCTCTACTCAGCAGAATTCAGTCGAAATTAGTGACGACGAAATCTCAGACGACGACGCCTTTGAGCCTGTACCGGCATCCTCGCGGCTCAGGAGACGTTGAGCGTGCTGTGTGCATTGTACATTTTTGCATCTCGCTTATACCTAGTAATATATTTAACGAGTTATGAATACATGTTTCTGCCGTCCATTGATGCGTTATACGAGTGTAATCATAATGTCAAAAAAAAATAATTAATAAAGTATTGGTCTAATTTTTTATAATCTGGTTGTTGTACCAAAAATGTAAAAAGAGCCAAAAAAAAAAAAGAAGGGTGCTACTCTTAGAGTAGTGGCGGATCTCTCCCGCCGGGAATTGAACCCGGGTCTCGAGCGTGACAAGCTCGCATACTGACCACTATACTACGGAAGATGTTTCCAGGTGTTGAACACCTGTTGTAGACGGATCAGCTTGTTGAAAAGAGGAGACTTATTTTAGTATATACGTGTAAAGCAAACTTTTTCAATATGCAAGTGGGGCTTGTGGGTCACTCGCCGCCTGTCATCTCCATTCACGCACGCCTACAATGAAAGGACCCCTCAACTTTTCACGACACCTTCTATATCTTTTGTCTTGGTTTTTTAATTGTGTTTTCTTGCTGTTAATTTTCTATTCCGAAGATTTAGTCTTCTTGGTCATCATGTCCCAACCAGTCTCTGAATTAGTCATTTCACCTAGGCAAAAGCTTATCGGCCACTTTTCCTTTGGTGTGCGCTCTTACACGGAATCCAAGGCATTTTACAATGCCGTACTCGCCACCATTGGTGGTATCACTGTTTTCGACAGTCCCAAATCTCGAGTCTTAGGCTACAGTCTGTCCAGTAGACCCAATGAAGAGCCTCTTAATCTGTTTGAAAGGGCCAATGTGGAACCGTCGGGCCCTGGCGTGCACCTAGCGTTTGATGCACCGAGCCGCCAGGCTGTCCGTGATTTTTGGGAGGCGGCCATGGCTAACGGAGGCAGTGATGAGGGTAAATGGGGTCCACGGCCAGACTATGGAGATTTGTATTATGCTGCATTTGTGAGAGACCCGAATGGATTCAAGCTGGAGGTGGTGTACCAAGGACCAGATGACGAGGGCAGCGATAGCGAAGATGCGCTTCTACGGAAAGCAATCTTGGCTGAAATGGTAAGACGTCTTCTTCTTTTATTGTAATGTTACAGATGGACTAGTATAAGTATGCTAACTCGAAATGGTGGTATAGGATATCCAGCATGAGGCAGAGAGGAAGGCAATGGTACAGAAGATTGGAGCGCTACAATCAGCTGACCTCCGAAAGGAATTGGATAAATTAAAATGGCCTGAATAACCATCGTTATAACCAATTTTATATGCTTTTTATAATATTTCAGCGAATTATATGGATACTGTATTCCGCGTCTGCTTTTTCAATATGCTCCAGCCGTCACTCACTTACACCCACACACCCACTCACTGGGGCTGTGGGACAGCGGCTGCTTCCGGCCGTTTTGGGGTAAACAGCACCTGCATCAGCGTCATCTGCAGCCAATGAATCCATTTATTGCTTCGTTAGTAACAAATTCATCAAGCAGCAAATGTTTCTGTATTTTCCTGCGTCTTTTTTAAATTGTGGCAACAAAATATCTCATCCTATGCCACCGCTGCTCGGTCGTCGGCAAGCAACAGCCGCTACCCCAATGTATAAGTGCCGGCCCGACACACACGCCCACCCCGCCTGAACCTTGATTTATAAACGGCCTGCCGCATCCTCATAACCCCTCACGTTCACTTTTTCCCCTCCCATTCATCTCTTCTCCAACTTATCCAATCGCCATCTCCTTCATCCGCAATGACTCTCATCAGGCTCGGCACCGCATCCCCGGCCACCCAGCCCACCAAGGCAGCCACCCTCGCTGCCATTGCTGCCATCGCCTCGCGTGCCGCTGCCCAGCGCATCGACATTCTCCTGCTGCCCGAGGCCTACATTGGCGGATACCCTCGCGGTACCAATTTCGGCGCTAGAATCGGCAGTAGAACCGAAGACGGTAGAGAGGAATATGCACGATACTTTGATGCCGCTGCCGATCTCGGCGACACTGTTGGCGAGGGCAGTGCCGGCGCCGGAACCAAATGGCTCAAGAGGCAGCTTGGCGAGGAGGACGAGGTCCGCGGAGACGGCACAAGAGAAGAGCTCGAGCGAATTGCCAGCGAGAGTGGCGTCTTTATTGTCACTGGCCTGGTCGAAAAGGCAGGCGGAACGCTATACTGCTCCGTCGTCTACGTTTGCCCCAAGCAGGGCATGCTAGGTAAACGCCGCAAGGTGATGCCCGTACGTTTTTCTCTCCATCATGATTTATAAGTGGACATGCAATAACTAACATTTCTATGCTTTTACTAGACTGGTACAGAGCGCCTCTGCTGGGGCCAAGGCTCGCCTGCCACCCTTAAGGCTGTCAGCACCACCATCCGCGGCGTCCGCATCAATCTCGCCGCCGCCATCTGCTGGGAAAACTACATGCCACTACTCCGCCAGACGCTCTATTCGCAAAACATCAACTTGTACCTTGCACCGACAGCAGATGCCCGCGACGCCTGGCTGAGCCTAATGCGCACCGTGGGCTGCGAGGGCCGTTGCTTCGTAGTAAGCAGCAACATGGCAGTAAAGGGCAAGTCAAGCAGCAGCGATATAACCGAGAGAGCTGTTCCTGTTCCGCGACGAAGAAACTCTCTGATGACAGAGGATGGCTTTGAAATTGCGCTGCCTTGTGCTAAGCCTGCAGCTAAGTCGCCTACCTTGGTCGCGCGACGCAACTCCATCATTGACGAGAATGGCAACGAAATCGTCCTCTGTAAGTCGGCTGCTCCTGTGCCGCAGGTGAACGGTACGTCTTCAGCACCGCAGACGAAATCAAATGACTGGGTATGCCGCGGCGGATCCTCCATCGTATCGCCTCTGGGAGACGTGCTTGCTGGTCCTCAGTGGGAGGACGACGAGGGCATCATATTTGCAGATGTGGATTTCCGCGAATGTATCCGTGGTCGATTGGACTTGGATACAGCGGGCAGCTATTCGCGCAACGACTCGTTCAAGTTCTCTGTTGCAGGTCTGGACCTGGAACCTCTCCCATATTAAAGTAGATTGTGGGACATTGTACGCTTGTATGCAGAGTGAATTCTGTATGATATATGTTGAGTAATGTATGTAATCAATATAACTGTTAATACAAAAATGGTAATCAAAAAAAACTCCTGTCATGATGCTAAATCCCAAAAATTAACCAAACGCTATGCCTCCCAGATCCAAATGCCAAATGTAAAAATAAAATTCCAGTAGCAAACGTGATCGTTACTCTTTGCCGTCGTCGCTGGGCTGTTGTCTCTGACAAGGTCTCCAGCCCTTGGCCGCCGCCTCGACTGCCTTGGCCTCAGCGCAGTCTTCTTTCCGCTGGCGTTCAACAGCCGCTCTCGCTAGGATATCTCTGCGGCTCATTCCTCCTATAGAAGCCTTGCCGCGGCCGCCGAGAACGAATTCTCCGCCGGTCCAGCCACCGTCATCTTCGCCGTGGTCGTCATCATATGCTTCCTGTCCGTTGAGAACATATCTCGAGGACTCGCCACTGACGGTGTTACCACCGGATTTCCAGTCAGCTGCGTCGACTTCACGCTCGATTTGATGACACAGGTCCCAGAAGTGGCGATCATGATCCGAGTGGACGTTATGGGCCAGCTCGTGGCAGAGTGTCTTGCGAATGGTCTTGTAGTCTCGGTATCCGTCGTAGGCGTCGGTGCGTAGGCGCAGCTCAATCACTTCGCCCTTGTTGCGGTTCAAGCCAAGGATACGTGAGGTGCCCTCGTGGTTGGACTGTGTGTTGGATAGAGGCTCCATTTCCGTCAGGAGAGCAACTGTAAACTTGTGCTTCTTCATCGTAGCCTTGATTCCGGGGTCTTCTTTGAGGCGTAGCAGCAGGGCCATGCTACGCTCCGGGCGAGGCAAACCCTGTAGAGGCTTCACTTGGCCAAAGCTGTACTGGCTACTCGCGGAAGCGGCCTTGTTCGGCTTGGCTCTATGTCTAGCCTTGTTCTTGGCACGTTCTTCGCGACGAGCAGCCTCGCGCTTTGCCACTCTCTCGCACATGTTCTGCACCGCCGTCACTTCGGATGACGGTGAGCCCATAAGCTTCAGAGTCTTGCCAGCGAGGTTAAGAAGCAAAGCATCCGGTTCTTTGACTGGCCATTTGAGCATAGCGCCCTTTGGCACTAGGATCTTTTGATTTGAAACGGGAATATCCCATGTCTCTTCTATTTCTGTGAAGAGGGCGGCTACAGTGGCTTCGGTGTGGAACTGCAGCTGGTGGGTGTTTTGGCGGTAGCTGATGGCAATGGTGACGCAGTCATCGTCGGAATCGCTGCTTATATCGCTATCGCGATAGTCTTGGTGGTCTTGTTCCGCCATTTTTGTGTGGTTTTTGTCGCGGAAGAGTTGCAGAATAGGTGTCGTCGGGTTATGGATGTAGGTTGTATAGCGCTGACAAATAGCGTTTTGTAGTGTAAAAGGCTTACAGCCGAGTCGAGTTGATGGTAGTTGTATTCCGGGTTGGGGATGATCGACTCTGGGGTCAGGTATGGTTTTATAGCAATCGTCCAGAAATCGGATCGGTAATCGGACGGAGCGATGTGTTATAATAATAGGTCAAAACAGGTTCTGTAAAAGCGGTCATGGCAGATTCCGGGTGCTTCTGCTTAGTGTTTTAGGCTGCTTTGTAATGACGTCGCGGCCTTTTTCTCCGGGCGGCCATGGCACCACGGCTGCGCCACACGAGGCAAAGTCGGATGTTTACAGTGGTGTGAGCGGGCATAAGCGGAGCATTGGTGCTGGATTACAGAGCATGGCCGCCTACTAAGACCAACACATCCCCTCCCCCTTTCGATCCAGTGCGTGGCGCGCCCGCTGTAACTCAGGTGTCAGTAACAGGGTGTGGCTGAGAAGCACGCTTACCGCTTGAAATAATGGCGTATATATTTTTGATAAATTATTTATACAGACTAGTTTGAAGTAGCTTTAGTTGTGTAAACTTTTTGCTCTTCCTTTTTATGCTACCAATCTTAAAGCTAAACATGACACTGCGCTGAACCTAACACGACCCTATAAAAGGAATGACGCTCTGCTGCATTGGGCAATCGCTCGGCCCCCTGTAGCTCTGGCCCGTTCAGTGCATCAGCCCCATCGTAGCGGCGCTAGCTCCCTGTTCATCCACTGTAGCAAGCTTGCTTCGCAAACAGGCAAAAAAAACTGCCGCATCCAATCAGAGCGCTCGCGCGTGTCGTGTCCTTTTTCCCTTCCCACTCCTTGCTTCACCTTCGACCCTTTTCCCAAAGAGCTTCCTCCAAAGCCACCATCACAACTTAACAATCGTCCCGCGTTGGGTTTCTGATCTACAGTCGACACCAATTGAATCTAGACATCGACACGCCACTACAAGCCCGGACCATTACAATACTGCACAAGTCTGGTTCACCCCCGTCCCCTAATCAGCCATGTCGCTAAACATCTTCCGCATTGCTGGTACGGCACCACCCCCGCGATAATCAACCTCTTCCCCTCCCATCACTGACTAACTGTTGTCTTTAGCGGACTTCTCGCATCTGGCGAGTATCCTCATTCTCTTGCACAAGATGGTGCAAATGAACGTAGGTTCCCTAAACTTTGGCGAATCCTTCGACAGCCCAGCTAACCCTCCTCGCCACACTCTAGAGTTGCTCCGGTATCTCCTTCAAGTCGCAGGCCCTCTACCTCATCGTCTATGTTACCCGATACCTTGGTAAGAACTGCATTGGAACTATTCATTTTCAACCTAGTCGGCCGACTAACACGACTGCGCGATAGATCTCTTCTCGACGCACACCCTCTACAACTTCGTCTTCAAGGTCATGTTCATCGGTTCCCAGGGATACATTGTCTACCTCATGACAAACGCATACAAGCCTACCAACGATCCCAACGTCGATACCTTCAAGGTGCAATACCTCTTCACCGGTGCCGCCGTCCTCGCCATCATCTTCCCATACTCCTACACCATCTCGGAGATCCTTTGGGCCTTTTCCATCTGGCTCGAGTCCGTCGCAATTCTGCCCCAGCTCTTCATGCTTCAGCGCACCGGTGAGGCAGAGACAATCACCACTCACTACCTCTTCGCTCTCGGTATCTACCGCGCTCTCTACATCCCCAACTGGATCTACCGCTACGCCGTCGAGTCGAACTACAAGACTGATTGGATCGCCATCATCGCTGGCCTCGTTCAGACCGTTTTGTACAGCGATTTCTTCTACATTTACTATAACAAGGTCCTCAAGGGCAAGAAGTTCAAGCTTCCCGTCTAAGGCTCTGCGCCAAGCTACTAGACACGGGTTCCACTGCTGCTTTTCTACTCTGCGAGTGATACAAGAACACCTGCCATGAAGCAGCATGGATATTGACAATATCGACCCAAAAGGGCCGACTAGGATTGCAAGTTTTTTTTTTCGATATGCGGACACGAATACAAAGGATAATTGGCATGCGGCACCGTTGACCCAAGAGACGCAACAGACATATCTGCAGTGACTTTGGACGGCGGGCCTGCAATTACACGGCGTTTTAAAAAGGAGAAATGGGTTCAAGGGCTCATACAGCACAAACTCCAGACCTGACATTCATCCTGGAGATGTATACAAGTCTGGACTCGCCAGCACTAACATCCCTCAGGGCTGTCGCTTGTACTTCCAATGACTACCACACCCGACACTAATGAATACAAAATTAATTGACCAATGCATAACTGTGATGCTCCCTAGTTAAAATTTGTGCTTATCATTAAAATATGTCCAAATTAGTACCAGAAAGTGATTCAAATGCAAATTAAAAGGTATCTGCTTAAGAGCGTTGTCGGTCGATTATGCCATCACGTGACCATCATCAGTGGTGCTCCGCCGTATCATGTCACGGCCATCTATCACGGCACCATCCATCGCATATCGCCCGTCGCGACCCCTTCCTCGAATTTATCATCACCATCGTATTCACAATGGGAAGCGAAGTCCCCGAGAACAGCCAGCAGCAGGCGCCTGCACCTACCGATGCGGATATGATGCTCAAGGCCGAGCCCGGCGCGGCTGAAGCGCTGGCGCAGATGGAGTTTAAGATGCCCACGCGCAAGGATACTTCGCTGCGCGAGTTCCTACACAAGATCGACGACTTTGCCCCAATTGTGAGTACCTTGTGCCGATTGTTTTCTGGTCAAGATACTAATGCGCAACCCTAGATCCCCGACGCCGTCACCAGCTACTACATGACCAAGGCTGGCCTTCCTCCTCCTCCTCAGACGGACCCGCGCCTCGCCCGCCTTTTGGCCCTCGCCACGCAGAAATTCATTGCCGATATTGCTGCCGATGCCTACCAGTACAGCCGTATTCGCGCATCAAGTAACAACAATACCAACAACCCCATGGGCTCGCTCGGCGCTGCTGCCGGTTTCCCAGTCCCTGGCCAGCAGACTAATCAGCAGAACAAGCAGGACCAGGGCAAAGGCGGACCATTGGGTATCCAGCGTCCTGGATACGGTGGTGGTGGCCAGGGTGGCAGCCAGAACAGAACTGTCTTGACCATGGAAGACCTGGGTATGGCTGTTGGCGAGTATGGCGTGAACGTCAAGAGAAGCGAGTTTTACCGCTAGATGGTCAACAGTACCGGGGTATAATGGCGTTTTATGGACTTGAGTTTCTTTGTTGTTAAATCACGGATGGCGTTTGGGATGTATATCAAGACTACTGGCTCGCAAATACGCAGGTAGCATGCTCACTGGAAATAAAGCAAATCGATTGTGTATCTTTGACATGTCTTTTTGGGGGCATTCATTAAATGTGATTCTTATTACAGTATTTGTACAAGGCTTGTTTCTCAAGCCAACTCCATCCCATGCATGCAGTGCGTATATTCTTTTATTTCTTGTCCCAGATGTGAGGTTTTCTCGTCCTGTTTGGCAGAGTTAGCAATGTCGTTCGTCGAACGTACGGAATCGCCAATTGGTGCGCATTTGCTTCTGGCAGCGGTCGTCACTTACGGTGAGAATTCTCCAAGCTTGTGTCCTACCATGTCTTCGGTAATGGTGACCTGGTGATAGTCTTTGCCATTATGAATCTCAAATCGGAGCCCAACAAAGTTGGGCAAGATGGTCGCTGAGCGCGCCTGTGTTCGGACAGGGGGAACCTTTTCACCTGCCTTCTTTGGCCATACGATAGGCAAACTATTAAGGCATGGTTATGTCAGTAATTCGCATTCGTGATCGCCGGTCGTGGGATAGGGAGCGCTTGGCGCAAAAGCTTACGGGACGAGATTTGGGCCTAGCGGGACAAAAGTAGGTTAGTATAGGGTCCAAAAGTAGCGGTCTTGGGCATTTACATACCCTTCCATACGGAGCGCTTCAATAATACTCTTGATGGCTGCATTGTGGCTGTGATTGACTCTGCAATTGTGCTGGCGAAATCATTTCGCAGGAGGATCCAGCAAGTTGAGATGCCGCCATTGACGGGTCACGTGATCCAAATCGCGGCAGCCAGGAGAGCGTGTAAGTCCTGTGAGGAGTGCCCAGTAAACCAACTTGCCATTATAAGTAGAATTAAATTGGACGGTAATTTGTTTCTCAGAAGCCGTAAATGTGATAACAATAGTAATAATCTCGATATTAGTAGGACTTTGGCGGTTGGCTAGTATGGTACGAGTCGTTTGATGCAGGCCTAGACTTCTACTACATGAACGGCATGTTAGATACAGTTCCGCCTTCTCAGAGGAACTAGAGATAGCGCAACATCTATACGATCAAAATATGCCCAAAATGTATGCCGATATTAAAATATAAAATACATACTCATATCCACTGATATAGCAGTACGTCGCTTCGAAACCGCCTCTTACCGGGTAGGCTAACGGCGGCCACGGTCCAACTCCGTCGCCCGTACAGATATGGAATCTCAACAACCACGTGGCATATCTGCTTTTTATACCATACCGTTTATGGAAAAGAAAATTGTACTTGATGATTTAGTTTTAGTGTTTTCATATCTGTATTATTTTTTGAACAGCATTTTGAATCATTACTCGGGTTTTCTCTCTGCACTGAACCCCGTCAAGCCTCGTTTGGTTCTGAATCGCCCCTGGCCCGCAACGGCCACGGCGGCGCCGGTCCACTTTGTGTTGGGAGGAGAAGGAGAAGCCCACGCCACTGTGGAAGAAGCCACTTCTTCGTTCAACCGCCGAAATCAAAAACCCCGACTTGCTCAACCACGCTTCTTCGACAGGCTTTGGACGAGAATATCTGCTGCGCGAATCCAACGCTGCGTGTTTCCGCAAACTTCACAAGAGGAGACCCAGCACTGATTTGACACGGCGACGACGAACCAACGACCAACAGGTAGAACCGTCGTCAGTCACGTTGCAGCACTCTCCACCCCTTGCCCGCATCGGCAACGCCGTCAAACAACGAGATAGTCAATAATACAACATAATACCTACCATGCCTGACGCAAAAGCATCCGGCGCCGACACAGGCGGCGGTGCTGCTCGCAACCGCGACCACAACCAAGGCAACCAGGGCCGAACCTACACAGTGGAACAAAAGGCCGCCGTATTGCGAATTCGGCGATGCAGCCCTACCGCATTCTACGAAATTCTAGACATCGAAAGCATAAAGACGACATGTACCGAGTCCGATATCAAAAAGGCATACCGCAAACAGTCACTACTTACCCATCCCGATAAGAACAGCCATGAGTCTGCTGATGAGGCCTTCAAGATGGTGAGCAGGGCATTTGGTGTCTTGGGCGATAAGGATAAGAGGCAAAAGTACGATCGCTATGGCACAGATCCGGAAAGCAGATTCCAAAGCAATGCGCAGCCATCTGGAGGAAGAGCTGGCCCCGACCCGTCATTCCCATTTCCCGGTGGCAATCCATTTGCTTCTTTCACTGGCCAGCCGCCTCCTGGTTTCATGCCTCGCCGACACCAGAGAGGCCCGAATGCCGAAGTGACTCCCGAGGAAATGTTTGCGCGCTTCTTTGGCGGTGGTGGTGGATTTGGAGGTGGTCCCTTTGGAGGTAAGGATACAATCAATCCCATGATACGCACTACGAGAGTCGTCTAACACCAACGCAGCAGCATTTGACAGCGGTCCCGGATTCTTCTTTGACTTTGGCGGCGGCCCAGGAATTCGTGTTCACCAGTTTGGCGGCGCGCGACCTCGAACGAGACCCCGCGATGGAGCCGAGGGCGAAGGTGCTCAAGAACAAACGAGCCCAATGTCGACATTACTTGGCCTGCTACCGATTCTCCTCTTCTTCATTTTCCCCATTCTCAGCTCTCTCTTTAGCGGCGAAGCGGATGTTTCGAGATCTCCCCATGTTGTGTTTGATCAACCGGCAGGTATTTACACAGCTGAGCGAACGATGCCCGAATTCAAGCAAAAGTACTTTGTGAACCCCGCCGACATCACCAATTACTCACCGGCCAAGCTGAAGAAGATGGATGAGCGAGTCGAAGTACATTTTATCAACAAGCTATCGGACACATGTCGAGTCGAGATCCACGAACAAAATCGCATTATCGACGAGGCAACCGGCTGGTTTTCGCGGGATGAAGCCAAGGTCAAGATGGCCAAGGGCATGGACTTGAAGGCATGCAACAGAATGACCAAGCTGGGACTGCGTCGGCCGCAGATGTAGACGACAACGAAGACATGACGAGCAGAAAAAAAGAAGAAGAAAATGAGGGTTGTAAATACAAAACGTGTTGGCGGTTTGTGTGTATGAAACAGAACAAAGACTAGCGGGACGGGCGTTCTACAGGCGTTGAAATTTGTGCCGCATTGCATTATTTTCATATTAATAGTTTTTATCCGCCATATTCATGTAATCTAGCAATTCATTTTACAAAGAAATTTACAGGTGTACGTGTCTAAGTTGGGATTAGTTGAGCTCACGGTGATCTGCGTGCTCCAGGCTGGGACTTTTTTTTTTTTGGTAGTGCTCCTCCAAACCTGCAGTCGGTATAGGAGCGTACAATGCAAATATTTGGTTGCTGGACTATGCCACCTTGCAACGGATCACTGGGAAATTGGTGTCCTTTGCGAGGGCACAAGCGAGCGTGGTGGGAGGTGGACGCGTAATATCTGACGAACGAGGCTGCGGGCATCGGGGTTGCGACATGTCCGACATTGGGGGATGCTGGGGGGAAGCGTGTCTGCTGAAGACACGTTTGAACAAGCTTTTGAACACGGATCGAATCGTAAATTCGATACCTGTTAGCAGTAGGACCCGCGAAAATCGAAAAGAAACCAAAAAAAAGACTGAAGCAAACATAGCCTGCTGCCTGTGGTTGCTGAATCGTTTTCGCCTCTTACACTGCCACACGAGGCGCACTCCCCAGCGTCATGCGCCGTACTTAGCACATGTTTACAGGGCGCTTCGCAGGCCCCGCAGGGTCTTCGCCGCCCGCTAAACGTCCCCGTACCGCTGTACCGAGTACAGCTGTAGCTGCGCGAGCGTACGTACGCCGGGCCCGCTGCCCCATTGTCCGCTTCGGGCGCTTGCGCTGCCTCGTCCAGAGCTTGGATGCCAGACTTGCCATCTGCAAACCTCGCATCACGACAGCAGCAGCAGTTTTTGTGTGTTTTCTCCTGCCACGAGTTGCACCCTCAATCCTGCTCTTTCCATCATCTGCATACTGAAGCTGTCATGACAATCGCCTGACATATATCGACTCATAGCCCGCGCTTCATCACCCGCCCTCGCTTCCCCGCGCTGACATCATACCACCAAGAACCAGCCTCGAGGACGAATACCGCCAGCTCTGCAACCAGCAAGCATTAAACAGAACAATCTACCGAGGCTGCTCTAGTTACACCATTTTGATATATACGCTGTCTCTGAATCTGATTTTCGGCGGCAATGGTTTCGTACCAAGCAGACCAGCCGCCGCGTAACCCGGCCAAAGGGGACTCGTCAGCCAATCCAGGCCAGCACGCGACTGTAAACCAGTGGCTTAATGACGAGGAAAACAATGTCTGGAAACATGAATCAGCATCTAGTGGCGATAATACCCCGAAAACAGACCCCAGAAAGAACAACACAAACGATATCCCCAGCATCCTCCGCCCCGGCTTTGGAAACCCCAACCAACAGCCCAACCATAATGTCTGGCAAAGCCACACTACAAGCAAGACCTCAGAACCTACCGTTCAGGATGATATCCCTCAAGCGCTAAAGCCTGCGGTTACAGGGAGTGGCTTGAATCCATTCCGTACTGGTAGTACTCCAGCCAAAACACCACCACATATTACCGTCCAATCCCCAACAGATTCATTCGCTAGCTTGTCTATTAACCAGGCGAGCAATAATCCCTGGGGTGCGTCTTTGCTTACTCAAGCGTCTGATGTGCCAAAGACTGTACCACAACTTCTTCCCGAAGCGACTGATCAAGATCCATGGGCAACACAGGAACCAATTGAAATGGACGCCACCCCGATACAGCACGCCGTCAATGTACCAGGGAACTTGGATGGAAGCTCTGCTTGGACGGAACAGGCAAATACAAGTCCTGCACCTACGTCCGTAAACCCAGCTGTGTCAACCATGTCCCCAGAAGCCAAGGATATGCTTAGAGAGGAACACCAGGTCTGGGGAGATGCTGCGGGTGCTGGCAAAAAGACAAAGGGGAAACGAAAGGACGACGACTCAGACGACGAATGGAATATGATTGATTCAGAGACTTCATCTATTGCCCCCGATGATGAGTTTAAAGATGCGCCAACCACACAGGCAGCCGGAAAACAAAAAGAAGGGGCTTTGCCTGCTGCTGTACCTTTTGCAGCCCCGTCTACCGCAGCAACCTCCGATACAACCTCAAAGCCATTTGAAACACCAGTTTCCAGAAGCGACGATCTCCTCATAGAGGGATTGGAAGAAACACTCCCTACTATAGAACAGCAGACAGGAGTTACGCCGACAAGCCCTGACGTACGGCCGGCTCTGCCTCCGCGAGATAGTGCTGGGCCTGACCGATGGGTGCTAACGAGACAAGCGGTCGATGGCAAGGCCGAGACTTACCAAGTCAAAAACATACGATGGCATGATGTCAACGCTCGCAAAAACCCTCGAAGCTCCCCTATCCTTATTCAAAACGAAAACGGGCCTTGCCCTCTTGTGGCACTAGTGAATGCTCTGACGCTGACTACGCCCGAGGACGTATCAGACACAGCACTGGTCCATACTCTTAAATCTCGCGAGACGGTCAGCTTGAGCCTTGTGCTTGATGCAGTATTTGATGAGCTCATGTCCCCCAGGCGGATGTCTTCGGAAGATGCGCTGCCAGATGTGACTGAGCTGTACGCCTTTCTCCAGAGCCTCCACACAGGCATGAATGTTAACCCTCGCTTTATCCCTACCCCGGAAATGATAGCTGCATATAAACGCAGCTCACTGACGCATTTACATCCTTCACAAAGAGAACTCCTGATGCCTGGTACATTTGAGAACAGTTTGGAAATGCGATTGTACGCGACGTTTTCGATCCCACTAATCCACGGATGGCTTGCACGAAAGACGGATCCTGCCTATGAGGCCTTTGAACGTCAAGCAGCTACTTACGAAGACGCACAGAATCTGCTATTCCGCGAAGAGGAACTGGACCATAAGCTCTCAGGCCAGGGGCTTTCGCCATCGGAACAACAGTTATACCACGACATTATGACCATCAAAATGTTTATGACGGAATCCGCAACACAACTCACACACTGGGGCATTGAGGTAATTGGAAAGGCTATTCGCCCGGGAACATTTGCCATTCTGTTCCGCAACGACCACTTCAGCACACTCTACTGCCACCCTCAGACAATGCAGCTTATGACGCTGGTGACTGATGCAGGTTACAGAAGCCATGATGAAGTGGTGTGGGAAACCCTTGCCGATGTAAACGGCGAAAGGACTGAGATGCTTTCTGGGGACTTCCGCCCGGTGGGATCCGGGCCTGTAGTAGGAGGATCAAGCAGTTCTACCTTTGTCGGTGACGATGCTGGGGGTATGTGGACGACTGTGCAAAAGGGCAAGCGCGGAAAAGCACCGCAACAATCCATGGACGCACCAGCCACTAGCCAGGAAGAGCAGGAAGACCGAGATCTGGCCCTCGCCCTGCAGCTCCAGGAAGAGGAAGAAGAGCGCGAGCGAGAGGAGAGAGAGCGACGACGGCAAGAAACGCTATTGTCAGAGCAGTTTATCGAACAGCAGGCACAGCAACCACAGCCAGTCAACCGCCACGGCCGACGACGCAGCTCCAACAACAACTTTACACCACCGAATCTTTCTTCAAACACGGTCAATATACCCATCACAGGAAGCGGTCGCCCCAGCAATAGCAGCACACATAGCCTTCAACGGCCATTGAGTGGCCAACCGGCTCCTCAACCGGTCCGCATGCAAGAAGTGCGGCCACTGGTACCGCCACGCCGCCCTGGAGTGCACCGCCCCGAGGATCCGTCTGAAGAAGCACCGCCGTCCTACGAGCAGTCGGCTCATGACCGCACCTATGCGCCACCATCGAACCCGCCACCATCGAACCCGCCACCATCGAACCCGCCACCATCGGGTCTCGGGGGTCCTCCTTCCGGGCCGCCTCCCGGACGGATGAGCCAAGCACCAGGCGTGTATCAGCGGCCAATGGGAGGGCGGACGCCTGCTATGCTGGGGAGCGCAAGCAGTGCTCATTTACGAGATCGGGACCGGGACTGTGTTGTAATGTAATATTAACAAAAAAGCGACGTGCTTGACAAGGCATCCTTCATCCATGTATTCCGTTATATAGCGAACCAAGTGTGATATCCCCCCCGTACCATTTAACTACTATTTTTGTTAACCTTTTCTCTATGCAATACTGTTTCTTCGGTTTAACATTCTTCTTTTCTAAAACCTCTGTATTCATAGAGACCAATATTTTTCGCTCTTGCAAGTACCAAAGTAAAAAAAAAGCACATGCCACCACCAACAGCTTGCCTTCCGCGGTGGGTCATTGCACCCGACTAGTTGCGTGGCGGGGCTGGTCTCCAGTTCGCGATCTTCATCTCCCCGCTGTCTGTCACCCGCATCGCGTGTCATCGGCCACCATCTTTCTTTTTCTTTTCTGGTAGCTGCGACACGGGACGACTATACATCCGAGCCTATAAGTCACGCTGCTATAGGATTGGGCCCTCACGAAACTTCAATTGCCTCTCACTCCCACTCACCCCTTTCACCATCCTAACCCCCCTCTACGTTCAAAATGCCCATCATACAAGATTGGATCCCCCCGACGCGGGAAAACTACGAAACGCTCCTCTTCGGCTGGCAGATTGCCTACCCAATTGTAACTATCCCCCCATCACGTACTCCCTCCCTACACCCGCAACATACTAACCCGTCATTTGCTAGATCGGCTCCCTCCAATGGGTCATCAAATGGTACGGCATGGGCAAGACCTCTGAAGCCAGCCCCTTGAACATCCCCGGCCGCATCGCCTGGATGGCCATGGAATGCCCCGGCTTCCTAACGCTGCTGTACATCATGCGCACGCTGCCCGCCGAGCACGGCATCACCGACCTACCCTGGCAGAACCTCGTCCTCGCAGGCCTCTTCGTCATCCACTACCTCAACCGCGCTGTCATCTTCCCGCTGATCCAGCCCTCCATGGCGCCCATCCACATCAGCGTCGCCGCCATGGCCATGGGCTTCCAGGTCTGCAACGCCACCAGCATCGCCTCGTGGCTTGCGGCCTACGGGCCCGTCACCGCCGAGGCGTGGAAGTCTCAGAGCAGTATCCCCCAGTTTGCCCTGGGCTTGCTGGTCTTCTACGCGGGGCTTGCGGGCAACTACTTCCACGACGAGGAGCTGCGTGAGATTAGACGCCGCGAGCAGCGACGCCAGGATAAGATCCGCGCAGAGCAGGGCAAGAACGGCGACAGCGATGTGGCCCAGGCGCCTATTACGAAGCACTATGCTATCCCGGAGGCGGGGCTTTTCCGATACATGCTCTTCCCGCACTACTTTTGCGAGTGGATTGAGTGGTTGGGTTTCTGGATTGCTGCTGGCTTGACCTGCACGCCTGCTAGGGCGTTTTTTATCAATGAGGTGTTTTCCATGTTGCCGCGAGCAGTCAATGGCAAGGCGTGGTATATTGCCAAGTTTGGCGAGGACAAGGTTGGCAAGAAATGGGCTGTTATCCCTGGTGTTATTTAACTGGAAGGGTCGGATGGCTTAGACAAGTATAAAATAGAATGGAGAGGGAGAGATAGATGGCTGGTAATGTGTATGATGGGTAATGTTCTAGAAAGAAGTCACGTTGATGGAGTATGCGGTAGACGTTTAAAATGAAAAAGGAATAGTCTCTCAATATACAGAAGTGTCTATGATATTTTATATATACAGGTACTAGTTGACAAGGTACGGACCCCTCATCGAGCTAGATGCTTTTTTGCTTGCCGTCGTCCACAGCCCTCTTAGTTGCTGGGGTAGGTAAAGCTGCGCTGAATGCCCTTCTCCTCGTAAAACTCCTTAACCCACTTCTGCATGTTCTCGGCCTCCTCAAAGTAGACCTTGAAGACACCTTCGTTTGCCAGGGCGTTCTTGCGGATGAGATCGTTGCAGTGGGCGGCCTTGGGAATGAGACGTACGGGGTGCTGCTCCGTGCTCTCCAGCACGCCTCCAGGGCGCTCGAGCGACGAGACGGTAGCAGGTCTCCAGGGGTCCAACTCGCCATTAGCCCACATCAGACGAGTGGTGTCGACATTGTCCCATCCTCCAGTGTATCTGTTGACGTCGGCGGCAGTAAGACCCTTGGCGATGCCGTAGGTGTTGTCACCCTCGCGAGGGAAGTACAGAGGGCATCTATCGTTGTAGTACTTTTCGGTCAAAAGCGTAGAGATGATCTGATCCTTGCCATTCGGGTTGTGTCCAAAGCGGAACTTGAAGGGCACGTTGCAAAGCATCCACTGCCACTGACGCTGCGTGGTGTTGCGGACAGTGGTGTTGGTGTAAGTCGACTTGTCGGGGTTGTGGCTGTCGACACAATCCTTTGTGGCACAGGACTTGGAGGCGCCAATCTCACGGTAATACTTGGCCATACCCTTAATGGCCTTGCAAGTTCCAACACCCTCCTCGCCAGGCTGAGGGCTTTCGCTTCCAGGCCAGCGGTTCTCGACATAGTCGCAGAAGGTGTTGAGGCCAGAGTAGTTGGAGTAGAACTGCTGGCTCTGCCACGTCCAGTAAGGAGAGACTAGGGACGCAACAAAGTCCTCTTTGGATTTGACGCCTCCGTATCCGAAGCGCTCCTTGAGATGCTGCTGACGCTCGGCGGTGCCATTGATCATGATGTTGTCAATGTAGCGGATAGCGTTCTTGACGTCGGTGCTGCAGTTGCGAGGCATGGCCGCCTCAATGGTGTCCCAGTAGCCAGCAAGGTTGTCAACGCTTTGAACAACAGCACTAGACGCATGGTAGGCCCAGAAGGTGCCTGGTGCAAGATTATGCACAAAGGCAGTGAGAGCGCCAGGGTAAGAGCAACCGCTGAGGACCCAGGCAGCCTTGTCGGGCGTGCTGGTGCCGTTAAGATCAAATGCGAAGCGCACATTCTTGGCAAAGTATGTCAGATCGGCAATAGAGTTGGGGAGGTTCAACTGCTGCAGGTTGGTCGTGGTCAGGTTGTCGTAGGGAGAACTGTCGCCCCAGTAGCGATGCTCGAGGAGAACGGTAGCGCCGCCAATGCGCTGCGCAAACTCGCCAGGCAGAGTACGGTTCGTAGTATATCCAAGATAGCCGTCGGACGCGGCCTCTGTAGGGGCATTGAGAACAATGGGCGATCCTGGACCAGCCCAGAATTCAGGGTTTACCCAGTAGCGCTGCTTGAATGTGCCGAGACTGGGGTTTGTGTGATCGATCAGTTGGTCGAAAGTCGCGGCAATGATCGCCGGAGCACCACGCTTAGCCAAGACGGCACTCTCTTCGACGACCTCGTAGTCGCCATCCAGACCAATTTCGGGAATGGACAGTGAGCCACCCATAGCCATGGCATGGGCGCCAGAGGCTGCCAAGAGCAGCTCTGCGATGACTGTGCAAACAGAGACACGCATGGTAGTGGATGTTTGCTCTTAAACACACTAGTAGTGTTCGATGGATTCACCAAACTCTCCAGCCTGCATGACGGCAGACAACGACGCTTTAAGTCTCTCACAGCTACGGCCAGGGCCACCCACTCTACCAGCTGATTCCCTGTATGCCCAGCATCAAAGGGTCTAGAATGGATGATGGTGCGTATCCACGTGGATGCAAAAGCACGACCCACTGGGGACAGGGCCCTCCGCGGTAGTTTTTGGAGCAACCGTCCATTGTAATCAACCATTGTTGTCTGGCGAATCGCCAATCGCCATTGCAACGCCAACAAACCCCAAATCTCGCAGAAGCTTTTTCTAAACATGACACACCTCATAACCTATTTCGCATTCACTCTTCATGAGAATTGATGCTGTGTAATTTGCGGCCGCATAGATGAAAAAAGTCCCTCCATGCAGCCATCAACTATATGGGGGGACCTGCCCAAAATGGTAATTCCAGCGAAGCGACCGCACTAACACCAGGCTATCCATCCACTCGACCATGCAGCAGGTTGACCAAGAAAATTGGCCAGCTTTAGCGAAACAATGGATACGACGTAGAAGTTCCGCCGGGGTGGGAAGGTAGGCCTACCGAAGCACAGCGGAGAATTCGCAGATTTGGACCCTTTTCCCAAACTATTAACTCAAGGTGGGCGCTGACGAGTAATGTACGAGGGTCCCTAGCTGCCGAACACAGCTAGCGCCACGGTCTCGAGTTGGGGGTCGTCCTCTTTGGTTTCCTTGGCTGCAGCAATCTTTCGTTACCGCATGCACGGCGTAAGCGGAGAAGTGATGAATTAGGAATGAGATATTGCTCTGCAGCGCGGAGTTTTGTGAGGGGTAGGTAATATACCGGTCTACTTCAACCCAACCGAAGCGGGACCGAGCTCAACTCGAAGATGATGACGAGAGGTGGAGGAGAGGAACTCTTGGTGAACGAATAGTCTTGTCTTTGTATGGTTCTGTGGGGATGTCAGAACATATCAGTTAGAAACTATTCAGTTGATGTTGTATCATTGCGATACTAATTCCAGGTACATTAGCGTATCATCATATCTTGAGAGACGTACGTAGAAGTAAGATTTAACGTTATCGAGCGCCTCTTCAATAGCGCCGTGGGGTTCCGGTTTGATGGCGCTGATCCCTCCTTGGAGCCGCGCTGGCGTGCCATGCCGATGTAACCAGCAGATCACGCTAACTAGCGATGAGCCGAGAGATGTGCTCCCTGACGTATATTGACAACGATACGAATGGAAACGGGAGATGCCAATTTTTGGCAGTATAAAAAACTGCGGCTTCTCTGTTGCCAGCTGGCAGACTGGTTTGGCAGCTGGCGACAACCCCCAACACCCGTCAACAGCGCGCTTCTGGGCATAATGCACGACCGGGCCATGAAAGCTGCACATTGAAGCTTTCGCAAAGCGAGTTGATTTCTTTCATGTTTTATTTACACCAATCTTTTTCACATGTCGTTGCGCTATGAGCCAGATGGGCATCAAAGAAGTGTTCGGCCGCTGTACGGCATTAAACATGCAAGCCCGTCAAACGGGCGCGATCTCTTTGTTTTACTGAAAATGATATAATACAACATTCAGGCCGCTATCGAGAGTAGCTAATTGTAACGACTGTATTTTGTAGCATATTTCGCAAAACCAAGCCATGTCGCCAACTACATCAACTCCCGAGCCCAGTGCTGCCGTTGCTCAAGTGTTATCTCCGAATCTATCAGCTTTGATACTGGACGCTGTCACGCAGCCTATATCGGCACCCGAATCGTCATCCGGTAACATCTCCCCTACATCGCTGTACTGGCAAATTGCACACCTAGCTCGCCCAATTCGTTGGTCCTGCAACAATTGCAATCGCACGTGGCCGCTATCTGCTGCGCATCGCTGTCTGTATTGCTCCCAAAAGTACAGCCACTGTACCGCAGCGAACCCACCCATTACGATTTTCGACGCCGATTTTTGGTCCTTGAGTTTCCATCAACGGGCTGGAACCGAAATATATAATACAGGGTTTACCGAAGGGTGGACAGCGGTGGATTGGGCCAACGAACGACAGCGGCTGGTGCAGCGCAGAGATCGGCGACTAGCCAAGGGTGAAGGCGATTGCTCGCGAGATTGTGAATACCCCGGTCATTGCCGCTGTAAGCGACGCGACGCAGCACAGCGGCGAGAGGATGGGATTCGCCAGTGGCAGTTGAGATGTAATCCTCCTGACATGATGGACCTGGATAGTGACTACGAAGCGGTAGCTGAAGAGGACGAGTTGGTAACAATGTTGGGAACACATGACAGAGTTAGTGCCAGTACCAGTAGCACTGACTGAGAAAGACGAGTTAGTAAAAGTGGTATAAATTCATATCTTAGCACCCCTCCCGACCCCCACGATTTCTGCAACGTTGTCGCCGCCAGTACGCCTGCTCAAAGCATAGACGCTGACACCAAAAGTTCGCCGATTCGTCGACTGGTGCTTTTTATGACATTGTCCCATTTCTCGCAGGCAGTATATCCAAGCAAGTAGCGCACTGCGTAGCAGAAAGCACTGCTGTTTCTTGCCGTGCGCCGCATTGCCGAGTCCGTCGAGTATTTCCAACATCCACCACACGACCTCTTTCTGAACAAAATACCGAAAACGCAACCATAAAGACATCCTTTAACAGCTTCAATCCCTGAAACCAATAACCCCACAAGCAAACCAATCAAAGTTGAGAGAAGTAAAAAGAAATAGCAAAGAAACGAAAACCGAGAACCGAAACCACACATACGCATCAAGACATGACAAAGTAAACAAAAGTCTTGTCCATCGCTTAAGCCTCGATCTGCTTGTTCTTCTTCTTCTGCTCGACCTTGAGGAGCAAGGCGCGGTTGATGTGAGGCAGGACACCACCGTAGGCGATGGTGGCGCGGATCAGGGTATCCAACTCCTCGTCACCACGGATAGCGAGCTGAAGGTGTCTGGGAGTGATACGCTTGACCTTGAGGTCCTTGGCGGCGTTCTGCAGGGCAGATGTTAGCATTTCAACAACGGGAAAAGGATTAGCTAGGGTGGGTGGGGAGAAACGTACGCCGGCCAATTCGAGGACTTCGGCAGTCAGGTACTCGAGAACAGCAGTAACGTAGACGGCAGCCTTGGCACCGACACGCATCTTCTGCTGGGTGTTGGCCTTGAGGAAACGCTTGACACGACCGCAAGGGAACTAGAGAAAAATTACACGGTTAGTCTACTGGAAAGCAAGAAGCATTGCGCGACAATGAGGAGCTGGAATGAATGGAGGCTAGAGGAGGAGGTGCTGCCGGTCGCTAATACTAGCTTAGGCCAGCGTCGAGCTGTGTCGTTGCCCCCGCACGCGATTAAACCATAGAGCCGTCGATTTTGACTACCCAACCCATCAAGACCATCGCAAAACGCGGTCGCATCGCTAGTCGCAACATGGCGCAAGCTGGTCCAATAGGTTGCGATGACTCTAGAGGTGGGTTGTTGCGGATTTGAAGCTCTGGAACGCGTCGGGTTCGTCGGTAGGGAGGCAGGACAGTGCAAGACTTGGAAGCGGCGTTGTTGCGGCGAGACGGGCGAGTGAGGCGGCGTTTGGCGAGATGCAGCAAAGAAAAAAAGTGACACAAAGGATGAGGAAGTCGCGACAGTCAAGTTGTACGTACCTGGAGGCCAGCTCTAGCAGAGTGGCTCATCTGCTTCTTGTGGCCATCGACGCTGGTCTTGCCGCCGGAGCTCTTGCCGCCAGAAGACTTTCCCTTGCCACCGGGCATTGTGGATGATTTCGAGGACGAAAAATACGAAGAATTTAGTTGCAAGCGAAAGCTGTAGCCGGAAGAATCAAAGAAGGCACGGGGCGCGTCTTTGAAGCGATTCGGGGGTAGTCGGAAAGGTGTTGATGTTCTGGTGGAGTTTGGCGACGAGGTGGGCTGCGGCGGCGGTGATGATGATGGAAGCGGGTGCGTGGTGCAGCGCGGTGCAGAGGTGGGCGGGTGTCAGTGGCAGAAATTTGGCCGCCCTTTTTTTTTCTTCCTCTGGCTGCGCAGCTGGAGCCGGCAAAAGCACAACAAACATTGGCGCGCAGCCAATCAGAGGCGGCGGTGGCCTAGCTTAGTAGAATCCACCCATCCGCCCTGTTTTGGGGTGTGGCTGGTGCGGCTGCTTGCGGCAGGCGGCCTGTGCACAGGGGGCAACAGAGAGAAGCAGCCCAGGCAGCGTGAAGGAGGAGGAGCAGGCAACGCCGCCTAAGCTAGGCCGCCAGTGATGGCCGATGTATGGGCTCTGATCGTCTTGCGAGGAATGGGCCAGCCGTAGGAAATAAAAAAAAAGGCCAACTTGAGAGAGTAAGTCTTTTTTTTGTTGTTTTTGCATTTCCAGATGTACACCCTATATCCCATTCCCTTAGGTTAGGGCATGGTGCGGGCAGAGTCCATCATGGTGGCGGTTCTTGTCCAGGCCATATTGGCTGGGCTTGGCTCATACCGGGCCTGGACAGCTGGAGAGATTCAAAACCATGTCAGCTTGAGCTTTGCGTATTGCTTTGAATGAAAAAAAAAAAGAAATGGATAAATTTCAAGGCGGAATCAGCTCTGGGCCAAAGACTGAGCTTGAGGGCATCGTTCGGTGCAGAGACGTTCGGCAAAGGCGGGCACGGCTGTCCATCAAAGGCGGAGAAGCTGCCCACCTCGTTTTTCTGCCCAAGTGTGGCTTGCCTGTTCGTAGCTGGTGGCTGAAGCTATAGCGTGTGTCCCGCTGCCAAAAGAGGTAAGCTCTGGTGTGAGGCGAGGTATGTAAACGACGCGAGGCAAACATGTGTGGGATATTATGGTGCATTCCTAGGTGGGAGAAAAATCCTTCAATCGAGAAGATGCATCGTTTGATCAAGTTAGCAAGTCTGATCTTTTATTTTAGTTTATTTTGCTATGAACTAGGTAGCAGCAATGGTGAGACTATTGAGCTTCACTCACCTTGCACATAATACAAGAACTCTGCGCTTGGTAGCCAAGTATCAAGGGATTGTAAATTAAAATGTTTTAACCGTAAATTCGTATATATTCTCAATACTGCCTTTTTCTTCCTTATGTACAAGGTAATGTATTAAACGGGAATTGGTGGTCATAGCCTGCTAGCCTTTGAGAAATGATTGTCAGGACACGGTTCTCAACACCAACATTGAAAATACGTCTGAGAACACTTTGTTTTCAGAATAGCCAAGAGAACTGGGTGACGTAAACAACTAGAATTAAAAGCTCTGCTTGATCATTCATCTATTAGTATGAGCAAGGTGGCCATGCACTGATGACGGCTTACCGGGTAGCTTGCCCGTCAACAGCATACCGGCGTCAGTCGCCAGCTCGACCGTGTCATGGCAGTGCCAAACCGACACGACTCTTTTCTCGCCCACGCCAACCTGAAAAGCAAAAAGATTGTCTAATCCACAATTTCAAGAATCGAAATTATTCACTTACAAACCCCGCTGTTCGCCGTTTCCATCTACACTAACAAATCTTGTTATACACCTCGCGCCACGTAACCAGATCAGCCGTAGTAGCCCAATTAGGAAATATCCACGCGAACTAGCGTGATCCAAGCTTGCGCACCACGGCCGGCGCCTCCATTATACCTCTTCCACAGGCAATTGCTAACCCATGATGGTCATGGGTAACTGCGTAAAAGAAAGGACAATGCTATATAAACCAAAGACTAGTGACGCGGCCAGAAGCCATCCCTGGGTCTATAAAACGGCACCATGATCCGCCCAAGACTCGCCAGTTAATCCCAGTCAAACATTCTTTTGTTAAACAATAACTCAAATATGTTCCTCAAACAACTATTTCTTCTCTATTCAGCAGCCTACGCAGCAAGCTGCCCCCCGTTTTCAAACGACCTTGCGTACTACTCGCCCAACTTTCAACAGCCACAACCGCCACAGGTCAAGGCAAGCTTCAAGGCAAGCTTTGTGCAGCATAAATGGTATGCCCCGGTACTAGAAGCTCTATAGAGTTCTCCTAACGAAATAGGAATGCAAACCTTTCCCACATCACCGCTGGGTATCTGTACAATTCGCCGCCGCAGAAGCTCGTGCGTGCGGACGAGGCGTACGAAGGCGGCCTCGCCTCTTCGCTGTTTGACTACAATAACGTAACCAAAGACGGATTAGTCGATAACACTTTGACATCCGTATACAAGGATTTTACAAAGCCGGATGTATGGCGTGGCTATGTTAACTCCAATTTCCCTCTGATCCCAGAGTCCTTCTTAACAGATGCTGGCGCTGTCTTTTCAGGCCTTACTAAGCGACAATTCATCCCCGGCCAAGTAGCTTCGGTAAGCCAGTCAATACAAATACAATCCATGAAAACAAAAAAACAGAAGCTGACTGCATGCAGTGGAGCATTCTATACCAAGGGGTGATCCCCGTCACTGTCTTTGTGGATGCTTGTAATACGGTCGTTGGCTACGAATACTTCTTTCCAGTCGAGCGGACACACGTCACAACATCATTTTTCAATATTGACACCGAGTCTGTCAATATTTAAAGGGCTGGGATACTTAAATATAGTGAACCGAGCTCTAGAGACGACCTGGTGCGTAGAGACCGCGGTTCATTGGCAATGGTACTCTTGGTGCGCTACAAAAAGACTTTTTCAAGGGTTTTCATAGTTTCTAACTCTTTTTCAAGTACGGCATTATCAATACACTATTGTGCTACTCAATTGTCCTTACAAATTCCAAGAGTAGCAGATTGATCTTGAGATTCTCCATGGCTTGCTCCTTTAAGCAGATAGAGATCATGATGTTGCCTTGTGGAGTCTGTGGCATAAAGTTGACATCTCCTTCTTTTATAGCAGGCAAACAGGGCCGTAGGACGTTGATGGGATTTCCCAAACCGAGACCAAAGTCATGGTTGTAGCAGTCCATCTCGGCCCATGATGTGACGTGCACATCCCGATCTGGCCATGTATATTTGAAGGTCGGAGATTCCCATGTAACGCGGTAGGTCAAAGCCGCAATGACTCGCATAAACGGATTGAGAGTATCAGGTGCCAACTGGTCTCGTAAGTAGACAGCAAGGTTCTCTAAAGGCATAGTCATCAGGTCTCTAGCATCACGTTTGTGGAATGCCATGTATTGAAACATGCCGGCATATGTGTTTGGAAGACCAAAGGCTTCTCGGACATTGACTGCCCTGATAAGGAACGACTCGGTAGAGTCATCCGGACACCTGGATAGTGTGATACTTTTCCAAATTAGAGCTGTTAGTACATCATCTGTCGATAAGGGTGAATTTGGCTGAACATGGGTCTTTTTCGCCTCCAGGGAGGAAACATTAGCGAGAAAGTATACCCAAGTCAGCGTAGGATCCGGCTCATGGTAGGAGGGGGCAATGGGGACGTCTGTTCTTTCCAAACGCCGGCGTACGTCCAATCGGGAGTCGATAGGAGCTTTTTCTATAGTGAAGTCCAAATTGATCCTTAAGTTTCGACTAGCCAATCGTACGTCGTCCTCGGTGAATGCTTCACCACGGCATGCCTTGCTTAGCAAGCGAATCATCGTTACCTGGCCAGTTATATCAAGGGCACCTTTGTTTGCAGAAAATGTTAAGACGGCTGCTCCGGTGATGAGCATGACTTTGATCATAAACACAGGGCTTGGGCTTCCAGAAAAGACTCGTGGCTTCCCAGAGGGTGTCTCTTGAGGTGGTTGAGGCACATACACCTCGGGATCAAGAAGGCTTATTGACCAGTTGGCTTGGAGGAAAGCATTCAGTGACAAATCGAGTCGTTTTCCCATTTGAAGCAATGGCAACTCATCGAAGTCCTCGATGTAGCCGTAGAAACTCTGACCAGCAATCCAAGGAAAACTGCCAGCCAATCGTTCTAGACCTACAGTAAGGGTGGTCTGTATCATGAAGGCTCTAAGGTCTGCGCTTTCATTTTCATTCAAAGCAAATATATAGCTGATGTTTGTATACGTCTTACTCATGCTCAACAGCGAACCCAAGGGGTCGAGGTGAATTGAAGCCATTGCGCAGAATGAAAGTGTAAGTGATACCGAAGAGTTCTGTTTTTTGTAAGTTAAGAGTATGTTTCTCTTCACATCCATTTTCAGGATGTGATTCATTCTTAGTATAGTAGATGTTGAAGATGGAATTGGAAAGCGGTACGTCGCTTCTTTCCAAAGTGATGCACGCGTTCGGGACGAATTAAGCAACCTTCAGCGAAGGTATGGTTAGACCATAGTGACTACCTGCCGCTAGTGCGAGACTATTTCTGTAAATAATCAAAACAAAAATAGATTAATCAATCATACATGATGTAGAACGTTATATATTGTATGATGTAGTAATTCTATGGGACTGCCTGCACCGACCCTGTCGACCAGCGCCAGCGCTTGACAAGGCAGCCACCATCCTCCCATAGCAGGTTTCCAGCTCATCAGTTGAAGTTAAAGACGCTTGGAATAACTTTGCGAGCCCTGATATAGCACTTCGTCGGCGAGTATGTTACCGACAGTGTGCCTTCCCAGCTAGCCAATTCTTCAGGGAGCGGGAGATATTCAAAGTTCCATACAAGCAACGTCAACAAGAAGCGAAACTCAATCATGGCTAATCTTCTTCCAAAGCAGCCGCGAGGACCCATGCCAAAGGTAGCCATTGGCCATGCTTGAGCGTCAAAGACAAGCTCTTTGCTACCGTCCATTTCCTTCAACCAGCGCTCAGGCTTGAATTCATCCAAGTCATCCGTCTTTCCTACATTTATTCCTGCCCCCTTGTCTTTCCTCCACGTTTCAGTCCGCTTTGATTCATTAATCTGATACCCCTTATCAATGAAACTGGGTCCAGCCTGCAAGAATACGACAGTAGTATCCTTTGGAATCACATGGCCAAGAATAGTAGTCTCTTGAACGGTGGATCGATCATTGAACGGGACGACAGGCCACCGGCGTAGTGACTCGTGCATAAAGCCGTCCAGGTACGGAATTGACGTATTGAGCAGCTCTTCGAGATTAGGAGAGCGATCCTCTGCTGCTGCATTTGGATACGCCTCCTACAGCAGTCGTCGTAGTTTAAGCTGGATCGAGGGATGGCTGGTTAAGATTTTCATAACCCATGCCATCGTGGTACTCGTAGTTTCGTGACCGGCAAGAGTAAAACCAAAAAGCTATAATTATAATTAGCAGAAACGTCTTGGAAAGATGTCATTTCTTTTTAGCATGCTTTACCTCATCCACTACTGCGTCCGAGAAATAGTCTGGGGTTTTACCGTATCGCTCGGAGAGTCGACGTTCTCGATCGATAACCAAATCGACGGCGTTTCGAAGCACTGTGGTGCCGTCTGCTTTACCAGCCGTAGCATGAATAGATTTTTCAATCTTCGAATGAATAAATTCTTTTTTCAGTTTGGACTGTTGCTGAAAATGTGAAGTGCGTTTAAAGAACCACCACGCCATGTTTGGCACTGGATATTCGGACACTTTGGCCAGATAGTGAGAGATGCCACCCACGGCTTCGATGCTGGGATGAGTTCTGTTTGTGGGAAAATCAACGGGGGCATCTTGGTGAAGAGACTCAACCCAGCTTTTTGGGTCCAAGCTGGTCAGGGCCTCGAGTCGGGGCATAGTGGCAGTGTTGGACAGGTTGCTACCAAAGGTAAATGCGAGGACGCCATCTAAGGTTGCAGCTGAAATGTCCTCGCCGACTGGGAATGGTCTTCCGGAAGCTAACGCGATTTTTCTATCCCAAAGATCAACCAAGACCTGGAAAGCCTTGTACAAACTCGGCGCAGCCACGTCTCGTAAGAACGCAGGAGACATCGTGTCTTGTACAAGTCGTCGATGGAGCTTCCAAGTCTCACCCGAGTCCAAGACAAACTGATTTGTTCCTATAATAGGCCGGAAAACTTCCTGGACGCGTTTACTGCGGTCGAACTCCCCAGTACGGTGCAACATGATGTCGCGAGTCTCTTCATAGTCGACAATAACAATTGTTGGGGAGGAGAAGGGACTGAGGAATAGCTGAAAGATGGGTCCTTGAAATACTTCTGCTTCATCAACAATGTACTTGACAAAATCCTGAGTCTTTTTCAAGCTCTGCGAAAGGCGAGGTATATCTCCCAAGATGGACCGCGCCGACTTCTTGTGGTAAGGGACACCAGCAATTGGTTTAGGATACGCTTTCCATATTACAAAGGCAACAGACCCTGTAACAGCCAGCCCAACAATAGAAGAGAAGGAAAGCATTTTGAATTGATGAGGATTGCGTACAAAACAGAGTCTGCGTTACAAGAGACATGGCCCTACATAGCGCGCTACGGGCTGCATTAAGTACCAGAGCCTCAAGTTGTGTCCGATGTTATAAGGCTCTACTGGAGCCGCGTAAGCCTCATGTTCTACCAATAACAAGGCAATAGTTTGCTTTCGGAAACTTATAACTCACAGCGGGCGTACTTTTGAGGCTTAGAGGTGAAGTCATGGGCCTCGTAAAGCGGAGCGGAAGGATCGGCCAGCCGTTGCCGTAATATGTATGTATGGGAACGAGCCGCCACTCCGCTCTACGCAAGTCCCCGAATGGTTGATTGGATACTGCACGCACAAGCATTGTACTTCTGCCTGTCAGCTCAGGGCGGACCAAGACGGCGTCTGGCTCGGACTACGCTTGGCGCGCTGAAACTGACAGCCTCGTTCAACGGACCAGTCGCAAACAAGTTAAAAAAGGGGAAGAGATAGTCATATGATTTTACCAAGGAATCGTACCCAAATCCGAAATAAAGTTGCCGCGGTCGTCGTCCTTTTCTCCCGATATAATCGTATACAACAAATTTGCGCTGACATCTGGACTTCCAGCATAACCACCACCACTTCTGGCTTCCTCACTGGTACCACGAATGTTTGACACCACGAAACCGGGGCACATGGCGAAAATCTTGAGATTTGTATCCTCGTTCTCGAGCTGTTCATGCAACATGACCATGTTGAGTGCCGCTTTACTTGCGCGGTAGGCGACCGATCCGCGTTGGGTAGCGTGCAGCGGCGACGTCGGATCTGCAATCATAGCCAAGGACCCAACACGGCTGCTTATATATACGGAATACGGATTGGATGATTCGAGCAGCAGGGAGCGGAAGGCGGCTGAAACAAGCACTGGGCCAAATAGGTTGGTCGCAAATGTCGTTTGGAACATGTCGGCTAAATTTGGACCTTCTGGGCAAATGCCGGCGTTGTTGACGAGTACGTCTAAGCGCCCAAACTGTTTCTTGACAGCCGCTGCAGCCTCGTCTATGGAGGCCGAGTCCGTCACATCCAATTGGAGGGGGACGATCGAGGATGAGGCAGAGGCAGAGGGGGAGAGCTCAGCGATGGCATCTTGAATCTTGGAGAGAGAACGACCACTGGCGATCACAGTGAATGGTTCAGGAGCTTTAAGCAGCATTTTTGCAATGGCAAAGCCAATACCCGAGTTGGCACCTTTGATTGATCAGTAAGTCGTTACCATTGTGGCGCATTGATTTTGCTTGAGGCTCACCTGTAATGAGAGCAATGCGAGACATGTTTGAGGCTGATGACTGTCGAATAGGATGGACTAACTAATATTTGATCTTGTATGGCGTATCGACTACGTCCTCTTTATAGTTGTCAATCTCGCGCTTCGGTATAATACATAAGGACCGGCATATTGCCTGTTTGGGTAATTCCCAGGGCCGACGCAGCGTGTAAATGCTAAGTCCTTTATGTCCGGCGACTGTTGTCGACGCTAACGCCGGTAGCGCCGCGGCAATGTTTGATAAATCAGTCGGTGCTACAGAAATACAGAACAGTCCTGTATGAGCAGCCACCGGAACGAAAGCCAATACCCCAATGCTTATGAGCCCAACTGGCTGCTGTTGCTGTCTCTCTGCGCTGGTGGTATCAGCGACTCTATGCGCCGTTGCTACTGGTGTGTTGTTGACGCAAGAGCAACAACAACCGCTAGCTGCAGTGGGAATTTTAACGGGCCAATTAAACAAACAAGCAGAAGAAGCAAAAAAATCAAATCAAGTCAATAATAGGTATTGGTTGCAGCGTGCTTGCTAATCTTGATCAACGACTAATAACACCGTGCCCTGCATAGGCTTGGCCATCATTACCGTCGTCGCCCGTCCTGCAGTATTGTGGACGCAGTATATCGGAGGCCGTTGTGACAATGCACCGACCCTGCAGCTACTGACGCACTGTACTGGGTGATGGAAAATGTGACACGATAGCTCACCAGGGGGTTATGCACGATGGACGGCGTGGCTGACAGCAGATGCACGCGGGCGGCATGAGGTGCCGCAAGAGTATGCATAAGGCGAATCGCTAGTCCCACTTACATTGGAAGGGAAAACGAGCAGAGAGGAAACGCACATCCTTTGGGGCGGGTTTGCCAAAGGGCAAGCTGTTCTGCGTTTGGCGGTTGGTTGCGTCGATATATCGAAGTAGTTGGCCAGGCAAGGCGAGGCTCAGTACATCGCACGACGGGAGCAGACAAAACACGGCAAGGCACGCAAGAAACCAAGCATGCCGGTGCTTCGGGCCGCGTCCGACAGTTAACTTAACTTGGACGGCGTCCTTCCTCTTATCTGAATGAAGCACATGGTAGCCGGAACATGGCCTGATCCTCTCGGGTTAGCCCATCTTTCGGCTATAGCCGCCACAAATTGGCCAATGGGTAAATTGCAATTCACATCCATTGTAAGACCGGGATTCCAGGTGCGGTGCCCAAGTCCATACACGTAGCGGAGAGATTCGACAAATGCATCCAGAACAGGACGAACCCCTGAGGAAAGCATGCATATGCAGGCTTGGGCATTCTTTTCCCGATCATGTGCTGGGATTCCTTTACGGCATATTATAACCCGCTCCAATTGTCCCCTGCAACGAGCAGGGCCAAGATCGGAATATGGGGACCAACGCAATGCAGGACCTTGGCCAGGGGGTCATGATAAGCGTGGCGTGCTGAAAGTCTACGCTGTGCCGCGTAGACGAAAAAGAAGGGGGCACGTGTGGGTGCTGTTGACAAGCAAGCACGCGTTCTATTGTTTGTTTGTCCAGGAAGGTTTAATGTAGCTGAAAAGAAAGGTTAGGTGTGTGAACAATGCAATGCAATGCAATGCTGCGAGGCGAGTGAGAAGCCTAAAAGCGTTTCATGCAGCGAGACGAGAGGGCGAGGTGTCATGAGATGGCACCTTGCAGCAACCAGGTGTGCCAGTGCCAGATGCCAGGGGCAAGTGTTATTCTACAGCGCGTGTGGTAGCGCTTACAGTGGCGCGCTGGCGCGGGGAAGCACTGTAAGAAGCACTGGGAGGCCACTGGAAATTGCATTGCCCTGCGCTAAAAGCCAGATGCTGCACGCTCTGACATACGGTTGGGGGGATTTTATTTCCTGTGTTTTGGGGGGTGTGGCGCGCTTCAACCCCCTAAACCCAAAGGGTATCCAGGGGAGATGGGACGGGTACCGAATGTATGGCGCTAGTATAGACAAGGTACCTTGCTCTGTGACTATCATTGTGGCCAATTTTACGGCGCGGTGCAATGGACGTTCAGAGGGCACTTTAAGATTTTAGTGGAGCTCATGGCAACCTGGGCCCCTGTAACTTCGTCATTTTGTAGACCTCGCGTCTGGACGGGAAGCGACCTCTGGGAAGAAGAGAGCTATTAGAATGCGGAGAGAGCAGTGGGAGGTGTTACACTGGGTGGTTGTAGAGATGGTGCGGCAGCAGTTAGAAGACTGGTTGTATGTATATTGAAACAAACAGCGTGTTTTGGATTGTGTATCTGCTATTGGGACGTTAGCATACATCTACTTTTGTAGATGCAGAAGCTAGTGGTGTAGCCGCTTGTTGATATCCGCCCAAGCTCTGTTGTACGCAATGAAGAAGTATATCAATTTGGAGTGGCGACAACTGCTTGTAAGTACACACTGGATACCTATGTACATGCAGTACGCATCGGATTCTATTTCTCATGGGCGGTACATTGACGTGCTCGTGTGCTATATCGGACGACTATACCTACACCTTTCAACAGGCTATCCTTCAACGACTTTTGACTGTGTTTTTGTTCTTGAACTTAACCTTAGAATTTCATCTTCAAAAAATAACATCTCTCCAAAGAGGCAAACTTTTACTGCCATCGTGCAGCATCTTCGTAAACTGATCGCTCTCGTGACCTCCATCATGAGCGCGCACCTGCACAAGCCCCCCCTTCACGTCCCCTCTCCCAGCGGGCGGGAACCCACACCACCACTACACCACTACAACACCGAACTGCATCACCAATCGCTGTTAGCGCAATCTGCTGTACGCCTCGTTCGTCCAAGTCCCGACCTTTGTCCAACCAGGAGCCAGAAGCAGCAGGACACATGCAGCAGCAGCAGCAGTTGCAGTTGTAGTTGCAGCAGGAGAAAGACGGGACGAAGATCACATCTTTTTACCTCTTGCTTCCCTTCGCATCTTTTCTTTACCGTTACCAAAACATCATTCATCAACTACTGCTCTCTGTATTGGCAACAACCAACAACCCCAACCGCTATCTACACATCCCATTACAATAACACAAACCCACTGGGGACACCAACTAATTCCAACGCTACAGTACATCCGGCACAGCCCTTGTTGCCTCCGCCCCCGCCCGCGCCGCTTCCTGGCTGGCTGACTGAGGCGTCACCACAAATTATTTCACTGCCCCCCCTTTTTGCGCACCACAGCGCTGGAGCAGCGGAAGAGGGGACGCCTGTGTCTGGCACGCCCCCCCGAAAATCAAATCAAACCGGGACAGTCTGCGGGAAGCTGGACAAGAGGACAAGAAAAAAAAGGAGAAAAACAAAATAAAAGTAAAATAATACGAGCCTGCACAAATCCTCCTTGCACCTCTTTGCCTTTTCTTGTTCTTCTTTCTCTTCTTTTACATCCTTTCTTCTCTGCTCACCAACCACCCCCCGAGCAGCAGCAGCACGATAAACCCTCCTTTTTGACTCCCACATAAATTCTTTGTGCTGTGGACTCGTCCCCACGAAACGGTGAGAAGTCGCCCAGCGAGTCAGAGGACCCAGAAGCCCAGTCGGATTTTTTTTTACGCGGGACATTTGGCCCTCCTTGGTTCTTCTCCCGCTGCAACCTCTCCTCCTCCTCACCCGCGACATCACGACACGGGCAATTCAACGGCTGAGGAGCGCTTTTTGCCGTCGTCCCTGTATTTATTTTCTCTTTTTTGACGACTTTTGCCGTCGTCCCCTAACGATCCCGGCACGATTTTACGCTTCAAGACGACCCTGCCCGCCCCCCATATTGCGCATTAAACGCACACCGACCCCTCGATATTTTGCGAATGACCGTTTCTTCGGCCTATTTCTCCTAGACGATAATTTTTTCCTCCCTCAGGGGCTCTTGCTTCATCGCTGATTAGCTGTCCTGTCGCTTTTTTGGAGACCAGCAGCTAACCCCTTGGCTGTGAATCTCTTCCGTAGCTGTAGGCTGATTTTGCTAGCTGCACCATTCGCTGCTGTTGTTGCCTGGACCGTGAACGGGTTATCTTGTGCACATTCATCAAACGCCATTCAACGCACCATCTGCTGGGAACAGTAGAATCGCCAAGATGGCACAGCAACAGCCCCATGACTTGGGCTACCTCGACTACAACAACAGTAACCCCAACCGCTCCCCGAGCTCGTCACGACAGACATACTCTGGTGCCCCTGGATTCGGCGGCCTCTCCTTGCCTCGTCAGGCGCAGAGACCTTTTGATGCCCCTCTAGGATCTTCCGCCCTCTACCCCTCGGATAGAGTTGGCAACGGATACAACCCTCGTGCTGCCGAGACCTTGTCGCCCTCGTCCGGCATGCCTAGCTACATGCTTGATGGCAACCAGACATGGAACTACAATGCTTCAGGTGCCGCCACTGTCAATGGTGCTTTGCATGGAGGAAACCGTAACCGTGGTGTGAACCGCCGCGCTGCTCTGCCTCAGGTACATTATCACTTTTCCCGTCCCCTTTCGCCGGCCCGGAGGCCTCTAACAGCAGCAAACTAACCCTGGACACAGAACTGGACTGATCACGGTAATGTTGGCAACAACATGCAGCCTTTCCCTGGCAGCCTCAACAGCCAAATGTCCAACGGTGGTCTTCGCCCTGAACATCCCGGCCAGCACCCGTCTCCGTCCGATCTTCGCTCAAACACATCCGATTCCGAACAGCTCATCCCCACGGCCATCGTCATCAAGAACATCCCCTTTGCAGTCCGCAAGGAGACGCTCGCCTCCATCATGCTCGATATGCACCTGCCTCAACCATACGCCTTCAACTACCATTTTGATAACGGCGTCTTCCGTGGCTTGGCCTTTGCTAACTTCCAGTCTGCCGAGGACACGCGTATTGTCATCGAGGCGATGAACGGAATGGACGTGCACGGACGTAAGCTGCGAGTCGAGTACAAGAAGATGCTCCCAGAGGCTGAAAGGGAACGCATCGAGAGGGAAAAGCGAGAGCGCCGCGGCCAGCTTGAAGAGCAGCACCGCGCTCCTATGCTGCACCAGCAGAGCTCGCTTCAGTCTCTTGGCGGCATGTCCCAGTCTGCCCAGCGCTCTGGTGGCTCGTTCATGGGTAACTTCCGCCCCAATGCCCCTTCGCCCGGCCCTGTTATTGACACTGGTGTGGGCGATGTTGATCTGAACGACCCACAGACCCTGGAGTTCTACACGGAGTTGGTTATGTTCCGCCGCGACGATTCTCGTGAGATTCTTGTCTTCCCCCCTGGCATCTCTCCTGAGCATCGCCGCTCTATCCATATCCTAGCCCACCACATGGGGCTTGAGCACCAGTCCATTGGCGAGGCCGATGCTCGCCAGCTTACCGTTTTGAAGCGTCAGCAGCCCTCTCCCACGGCCAATATCCACAATGCTCCCGCCAACAGCCTTGATGTCCATAAGCGAGGCCTCAGCCGCGCTGCCACGTTTGACTTTGCCGCTGACCGCGAATCGCGTGTAACCAGCAACAACTATGCCCAGGTTATGGGCCGTCAGGGCCCGACTCTGGAGCTCCCTGGTAGCCCTGATGGCAACGGCATTCCCAACAACCTCCGAGCGGCCAAGAGCTTTGCTGATTTGCGCTCCTTCACACCCAGTCCCTCGCAGGCATCTTCTAGCTACCTGGCTCCCGGTGGTGGTATGAACAGTATTGGCCCGACGTCGACTGCCCGCTTTGGCGATTACGTTAACCCTGTGGCCTCTCCCTCGCACCCTGGCAACCCCTCTACACCTGGTCCTAAGAATGACAACGGCCTAGTGAGCAGCCTCGGCGCTCTCAACATTGGATCCTACGAGTCAAGCTCTTTGCCTCAGCAAAACCGCAGCACACCTGGAGCTATCGGCAGCCAGCGTCCCAGCGCAAACAACAGCAGCGGCACCAGCAGCGCGGCTGGCAAGGGTGCTCCTGATAGACAGCCTCGCGGCCCTGAGTGGGAAGCCAGCTCTGGATTTGGTGGACGCAGCCGACCCAACGGTCATGCTCAACGAACCAGTGGTACGCCAGCGTAATTGCAGACCATTTACTCATAATGGCAGGCTAATGTTTTGCTTTACAGACTAGCTTACCAAATAATGGAGCAGCCATGCAATTTCAGCATTGGTTGGTGCAATGGGTGGCTGCAATTCACCTCTGTAATATGGTGGTGAGCGGTGCCTGTGGAAGGCTTTCGCTTGCCACACCCTAATTTATGATGCGATCGATGCGATGACTGCGAATTTGGATCAATTACAGCCGTCGATCGAGCGCGCTTATGACGCATCTACCGAACACGAGAGCCAAGATGTGGGCTCTAAAAACAGCATACTTTCCAGCCTTTTGGAACAGATGGGCAACCATTTATGACTAGATGGAGGGGAGTGATATGGGGTTGATTTTATTTTTTATTTTCTTGGAAAGCATATGAGTTGGAATACCCCCTTTGCTGGTGGCGTTGCCCATGGTGAAGATGGCGCTATTTTGTACACTTTTTGGAACAGGGCCTACGACCTATCTGCTGACGATGACGACGTATTCATTTTTACCCTTACGATTTGACGTCTAGACAACCACTACCGAGCAAGCTCTTGTTTTCTCGACTGACAGACCTTGTATCTCACTGTCACGTCCTGGGAGACGACTTGCGTCGGTTTTAACGACGAGCAAGACCATAAAAGAAGAACTTTTTTCGAATTTTTTATCCATTTTAATCAAACAAACAATTTCAAAAAACAATTACGGGTTTACAAGCCTACGACCAAAAAAAGGAGGACGAGGGAGGTGAGAGGAGAGAAGGGGATGACGGAAAAGAGTTGTGCTGAACGACGGGGAGAGGAGCTATACCCACCAAAAATCATGTTGATTTATATATTGCTTTGACATGACGAAACACATGATGACGATTACGATGCCCATGCCACATGTTGTTGCGAGGCTAGATAGCCAAGGGGAAGAGGTGGAAGTGATGGGTTGGGGGGGGGGGGGGGGGGGGGGGCGCTTGGATAATACGAGAGCAACCCCAGGGACGAGGATGGAATCCAAGCTAGGTTTCTCCTGTGGGAGCAGCTGCCACGCACATAATAATCTGCCATGGAATACCAACACGGCATCTCATTCATGACATAGACGGACGGATGAAAAAAGGACACAGGCCTCTCTGGGAACACCTTTGGGACTGGACGGACTGGGAGAGTTTTGATGCTAGGTACGCTGTTTTTGTGCTAGTTTTTACGTTTTTGCTTGTGTTTGAATTGAACATTTCCTTTGCGCCTGACACCTGATGTTGTTTGAAATAAAGTGCCTACCGCCGTTGGAAAGTAAAAGCCAATCGTTGGTAGTGGTGGGGCACCAGCCCGATGATCGCGACGATGACGCAGCCCCTTCTCTCTAAGCGCCACGGAATGCCGCTCGACTTCACTTTTACAAATTCACTCCTCACAAATCAATACAATGACAACCACTATACAGACCGACTGGATCCGCATGCTGCCGCCAGAATCCAAGCAATGGACGACGCCACAGTCCAAAATCGACGCCCTCGACCTCGTCTCCGTCCGGCTGCCTACACCAAACAAAGGCGAAGTCCTCGTTAAGATCCACGCCATCAGTCTGAATTATCGTGACGTGCAAGTATGCACCGGCAAATACGAACACTCTAGCTCGCTTCTACCGCCGCGACTGGGCATCATGGCCGATAAACCAGCCCCCGAGACAAACCTCGTCCCTTGCTCTGACATGTGCGGCACCGTGATCCTCTCGCAAGATTCCAAGATCAAACAAGGCAACCGCGTAATCGCCCTCTTCCATCAGAGCTTCCTCGACGGCGCTATGGACGAGCACGATGCCGAATCTACACTTGGATACCCGCTTCATGGCGTCCTTGCGCAGTACAAAGTGTTCCCGGCCACCAGCATCGTGCCTGTCCCCAAATATCTCTCAGCCCAAGAAGCAAGCTGCTTACCGCTGGCTGCCCTCGCCGCCTGGTCTAGTTTGGAATCTGTCAAGTTTGCCAAAACCGTGCTCTTGCAAGGCACAAGCCCTGTATCAATAGCAGGTCTGCAGCTCGCCAAGGCTACAGGTCTACAGACTGTCGTGACAGCGCCTTCAGAGGACCACGTCAAGCGCGCGCAGGAGCTTGGTGCAGACACTGTAATTAATCACCAGACACATTGGGAATGGCAAGACGCAGTGCTCGACGCAACGGACAAGAAGGGCGTCGATGTCATCTTGGAAACGGGCAGCACGCGCACGCTGCGTAAGAGCTTTGCGTGTGTTGCGTTTGGCGGACAGATTCACGCGGTGGGCAACTCAGCTGGCACTGAGGATGATGGCGATGACGGTGGCGATGAGAAGGGCAAGGCGAAGACGCCGCAGCTACATCGGTTGAATGTGGGCGGGTTGGCGTTGAAGAGGAACGCGACGCTGCGGGCCGTTTTGGGTGGCAGCCGCAAGCAGATGCTGGATATGTTGGCATTTTATGAGAAGAATAAGATTAAGCCCGTCGTGGGTAAGGTCTTTAAGTTTGAAGAGGCAAAGCAGGCGCTTGAGTATGTGGCCAAGGGCGAAGGGTTTGGCAAAGTGGTTATCACTCTGGAAGAGAGTGACGATGAGAAGAAGGAATAAGAGTGCTACTTTTGACGAAGAACACGAGACACGAATTTTATTTGTTCATAGGACATGGGACAGGGAAATACACGATACAGAACTCAGGGAACAGATTGTCAAGGATAATGTACTTGAAAATGTATTAGCGCCAATGTACACTATATAAGCATCATTCATTCATGAATAACCACGGATTCTACATAACAGCAAAGTAACAAATGACGTGAACGTACATCCAGTCATACATCATAGATACAGAGACAAAACAGCAGAAGAAAACACAAAACCTAGAATCAAAAACAAAAACGACACAAAAGCAGCAACGCATCATGTCCTGTTACGGCATGATTCCGTTGCCCCGTTTCAAAGGACGGCAGGCCGTCCAAGGGGAATCGTAATGCGTACAAAACAGATCCAGTAAGTGTTACAAGTAGAAAATAAACAAATTCATCCAACATGAAATAAAAACATTCATTAGTTGGCCCGGTTGAGAGTGCTGCACAGCGGGCAATATCTCAATTGCACCGCAGCCAATCCTACACAAAGCCTTTTTTAGTCGTAGCGACGGGCATTCGTTGCCAAGTCGAGGATGTGGTTCGACAGCTGCACAATGCGTTCCAGCTTGCCACGCTCCAGCTTCATTAGGAACGGGTCTGTTGGGTAGCGGTCGTGCATGGCATCCAAAAGAGGCGTCATCTTGGACATGAGCATGTCCATGGTGGCCGGTGCACTCTGCATCACGTCACGGAAGTCGTCGCGTTCCCAGTCCTGGTTGGAGACGCTCTCACCAAAGGAGCGAACCGCCATTTCGATCCAGTCAATCTGGTCCTTGATCAGCGGGCTCAGGCGGAGATCCTTGGCCAGAGTGGCAATCACAACAAGGAGCATCAGAGGAGACAGGTTGTCAAACCTGCCTGGTGGGTAGCGGCTCAGGCACTGGCGGAAAATCTCATCCTTGCGCTGGCTCTGTACCCACTGAATGATGGCATCCTGCAAGCGACCTTCCTGAATAGCCTGCTCAACGAGTTGGATGCGTTGCGACAAGTCATTGTCGGCATCCGCCTCGCTGCGGTTCATCTGGTTGGCGTATGCCCCAGCCACAGCGCTCACATTGTTGGCCGGGCCGATGTGGTCCGAAGGTGCAATGGAGCCGTGAGGGCTTTGAACCTGGCGGTTGTTGCCATAAGGAGGGCTAGACATATACTGCTGAGCCTGGTGGCCCTGGCTGGGCGTGAAGGCGTTCGAGTGGCCGGGGGCAATGTTGCTGTGCGCCTGAGAACCAACGTTGCTGTGAGGCCCAGTGCCAAATGCAGCACCAACAGCAGGGAGCTCGTGGACCTGCTGCTGCTTGAACTTGAGGAATTCAGCTTGCAGAGCAGCCTGCGAGTTGGCCATGTTGGTAACAGTATCAGTAAGATGAGTGACGTGAGCCAGGAGCTGGTCAATCTTGCCGCTGTCGGATCTGTGTTGCGACTGCAAAATGTCAATCTGTTCCTGGTACTGCTGGTGAATTTCATTCATCGAGCGCTGAGCAGACTGGGCGGCGGCATTGGAGAGCGCAGGAGTTAGGTGGTGAGTCAACGACGCAACCAAATCCTGCTGAAGACCGCCAGTCACGGCAGCGCCGACACGGTCCGCAATGGACGCAACAAAGTCGCCACTGCGCAAAGAGCGGTTGACGGCCTGGGGTACGGCGTTCTGGATCTCCTTTTGCACAGAGGCAACAACGCTAGGCTGAAGCTTGCTGTTGAGAATGTCGGTAACGCTCTTACTGGCCTTTTCTCCAATGGCGGGGATGACGAGTTCAGTGAACTGGCGGTGGATCAACGACTCCAGCACTTTTTGCGTGTTGTCATTGAGCACTTCAGAAACCATGTCGAGCAATTTCAGCTGGTGATGGTTGAAGCTCTCATCGCGAACACGCGCGCCGTCATCAATCTTGCCCTGAAGACTTCGTAGCGAGGACTTGAGCGTATCAGAGACGCTTGCAGTCAATCGTGTCTCTAGCGAAGCAATAGCGCTGTCCAAAACATCATGAGACAGGCCATTAGCAGCAGCAGACTTGCCGACATCTGCCTTGGTGGATTGAACTTCACGAGCAACGGGCGCTGGGGTGCTGCTTGCAGCAGCATCAGTGTCCTTGCCCTTCTTCTTGCGGGATTTGCGCTCAGGCTTCTCAGTAGGGTTGGCGGTTTCCTTGGACGACTGCACGGGCGTATCCGTGTCCTTATCCGTCTTGCTCTTAGCAGACGTCGTAAAATCGGGCCCATTCTTAGCGGACTCGCTGTTGGTAGGTGTGCTCTGCTGAGGCGCATCCTTGGAGGAGGATCCGCGGGCGGCCGCACGGGGCTCAGCAGGTGTGGCGGGCTCAACCGACTGGGTAGAGCGAAGCTTAGAGACAGTAACAACACCGGCGCTAACAGCATCAATGGCGTTGATGACCTTGTTGTCTCTCGACCAGCCGAGCTCATGCTGCTTGATGAGGATGCAAGCAACACCCTTGGAGTGCATGGCGTAGAGCTCAAAGAGGGTTGGCTCGTCGGCATCGCTGGACAGGGCAGGGCTGGACAGGATGTCGAGGCTGCGCAAGATGCCGCGGTCTGCAAACGAATACTCGCGGATGCCGCTAATCACAGCGGTACTATCCGGCTGCGGGATTGACGGATCCTGGGCGGCAAGGCGCTGCATGTACTCGGCCTGAGAAAGCCCCTTGAGGTTGTACTTGGGGGCAGAGAGGTGGGCAAAGTAGATGGAGTTGCGAGTGGGATGGCCAATGATGATCATGCCGCTAGCCGGGTGATACATGACGCTGCACACGGCGTCTGACTCCTTGCTGTGGGGAAGGTTGAACTCTTGCACAGGCTTGCCAAGAGCAAGATCCCAGAGCTGCAGCGTGTGGTTCTGTTTCATACCAACAATCATGTAGCGAAGAGCACATCGCTTCTGGTAAGGTCGCTGCTTGTCGAGCAACAAGACAGACGTCGGCCAAGCTTTCTCACCCTCGGGGGTGCTAGCCAAAGTCATCAATGGCTCATTGACCTCCAATTCAGAGTGGGCAGGCAGAGGGGCCCGGCTGCTAGAGCCTTCCTTGACAGCGGTAAGTTCGCGGACGTCCCAGAACTTAACACGGCCAGACTTGTCAAGCGAAACAACAACTGTGTCATCCTGACTGAATGTGAAGTCCTTTCCAGCCTTGCCAGTGTTAATCTTGAGCGAGCATTCCTTGAAGAGAGCCTCAGTATCGGCTACACGATCGTGGACCGACTTGAAGAGGTTCTTCTGCAAGATGTAAGCCGGCCAGATGAAGTGGATGCACTTTCCGCGGCCCATAGCAAAGTACTCAGGGTGAGAAGTGGAGGCTCGTGCACGCGTCTTGAGCGCACCGCTTGGCGCATCGCCTTCCTGGGCGGGCAGGGGAGGCAGAGTGAATCCGTATTGTTCAAGGTTGGCATCCTCGATGTGGTCCTTCTCGCCGTCTTTAATCTGGACCCAGTATACAGCACCACCAACGCCTGTGCCGATGATGGCTTCACGGTGAACACCGTCGTGGTCGGACGGGGTTACAGACATGGAGACATTGAAGACACGATCCTTGGTGTCGGTGAAGACTTTGGCGTCCTTGCCATCATCCTGGCGAATGACACGAAGGCCGCCGTGCTTGGACATGCCGTAGGTCATGTAGGCTTCGGAGGCAGTGTACAAGTTGCGGTCGATCTGGTCAAACTCCTTCTTGACACGTGCAATGTTCATAACGCTCTCCTCTCTGAATTGGGGGCGAGAGTCAATGGCGTCCTCCTGAAGGGTAATGGAGATCCATGGCTTCATAGGGAAGTTGTAGACATTAACAGGAGGCGTCTCTGGTTCCTCAATGACAACAATTTCGTTTTGATCAGCATTCTCCCAGCTGTCAGCAACGCCTTGCTCGTCTTCAAGAAGATGAAGGGTCTGAACTTTCTCAGTCAGCGAATCAGTCTCCTTGGCGGAGCGGTTGCTGTTGACGGATTGGCTTTTTCCATTATCCTTTTCCGCCAACTTTTCAGCGTGCTCATTAGCAACATGAGCATCCTTCTCAGCCCTGTCGAGGGCAGCGCGAGCATCACGGTCGGCCTTGCTAGCAATGTCATTGACAGCGGCAGTAACTGGTTCCTTGTCGGCATCGAAGACAGGAGATGCCTGTGATGGATGATGAGACTGGTAAGAGCTCGTTCTGTCAAGAGCTTGGCGAGTGGCCTCATGGGGGCTTGACCCGGGAGTGGGTTCTGCGTCCACTACTTCGCGCGACTGCGTAGCAGCAGGCTCAGTGCCATCGCGCTTCAAGATCTGCAGTGCAGGTTGGCCAGGCGCAGAGGCAGTGCCATTGGCAGTACCATTGGTCTTGGGTAGGCCGCCACCGATAAGCTGAAGCAGGTTAGCCACATCTGGCTGCTGACCTTCAGGTTTAGGAGGATAGGAAGCATGGGCAGCCTGCTTGGGCGCATATCTGCTATTCGCATCGGATTGCTGGTCGGCGGACTGGGGCGATGAAGCCTTGGCCTGAGCGTTTTCGGTGAGAAGGGACTCGGTCTGGCTGGGCTTCGGTCTGTTGAGCAAGTTGAGGAGGAAAGATCTAGTATCCTCTGGTGGGGAGCCATTGCCAAAGGGATTGCCGGGCTGAGCTTGATTCTGCTGCTGTTGTGACTGGTGAGGAGGAATAGGAGCCGGCTGGGGAGTGGGCGGCGCCGGAGAGGGCTGATCGGAAGCGCCTCTCATGAGAGCGGCAAGCAGACCGGAGGGGTCGGCAGCACCGGGAGCAGGCTGGTGAATGTGCGTAGGGAAGGGACCCTGAGATTGGCTAGGCATCTTTTGATGCTGTTGAACTGGGGCGGGAGCCTGCTGTTGTGGAGGTTGCTGAGGCGGCTGAAGGGCCTGTTGCTGCTGCTGAGCTTGCTGGGCGTTTGTGGAAGCACTGAACTTGAGAAGATTGAGCAGGTTGGAAGTGCGCTCAGAGGCAGCATTGCCGCCTGCAGGAGGCGTGGGAGCCGGCGGGAGATCCATAGTGAACAGGATGTGAAAGGTGCAGGCGTCTGCAGACGAAAAAAAAGTGTGCGATACCGCTTTGGACGTGGCCGTTACAAACAAAACTTTTGAATGCGAAAAGAAAAGAAAATTAATAAACGAGAAAGAAAAAGAAACAAACAGAAAGACAAGAATGCAAAGAGGACGGCTGTACTCCAAGTATCCTGAGTTTCTATTTGATTGTGAAAAGGATATTTGATGGTGTTGGTTTGTTGGAGAGAGAAGAGAGAGAGAGAGAGCGAGAAGTGAAGAGGAAGAGAGAGGGCGAGGTGGAGGCAGAAAAATTAATGAGGTGGTTGAACTGGCGCAAGCAGACCAGGGGTGCAAACGGGCATCATTGCAGCTGCCACAGCGCCAAAGTTACAGCGGGCTGGCCTTCTTTGTTGGAGTTGGGCTGGCCATGGGCGACTAATCCAAATAGGTTAATTAGCGATTAAATAAAATACTGCAAAATATTTCTTCAATTAAATCATTTCTATTTATTAGACGATCAATTTTTTCCATTCAAGTACCATCATCAATCAGTGCAAGGCTACTGTCTTGTCTTGTTCTCTCACAGTGCATCCGTCAGGCGGTGAGGCCAATTTAAAAAAAAAAAAGCGTAGTTGGGCTCTCGCTCAGGCACTCGCTCGCTGGCCTTCATAACTAAGCCACACCACACCAGCCACAGCTACCGCCGACGCCTGTCGAGCAGCGCCGGTACGTAATTTGTCGTGTCCCGTGGGGTTAACACTAACTTGACTTGGTTCAACCTTTCTCCAACACTCCAACCCATCGGACATCTTCCACATTGCCACCCAGTATCCGCTCTCTCTACAACTCAACCAAGCGCACCCTTCGCTCCGCTGTTCCGCCTCCCTCTACGCGCTCTATTCCATACATCCTCATCACCCGCCTTGCGCTACCGCCTATCCGCGCCAAACGAACTTGCGCTTAACGAGACCCTTCAATCTTATGAACCAACATCTCCTTCAATAGGATACACAACCTCCGCCATGTTCTGTCTACGAAGGTACGCGCCAGTTACAGTCCGCTACCTGTCCGTTCATCCGCTAACCAATCTCTAGCTGGCTCCCGCTCCTATTTATACCAACAAACGCCTCGCCGGCCTTCATATTCATCTTCTTCCTGTGCACATATTTCCTACACCGTCCATGCGTCTACTGCAGCGTTCTTCTACTCATCCTCTTCTTCACCTCGTGTAACTGGGCAGACCGCTGCTTCTTCGACCTCTCGTCAAACTGGTTCCTCCCGCGATCAAGTCCTAGCACCGAGGCCCTCGAAAGTTCGCTGTATAATAGCACGTTGATCGAAATGTTCAATACTACAATGAAGGCAGCCACCGGTGCCGCAACGGATCGCATTGGCGCTACTGCTTCGGAATGGACCGGCTTGGGCCTCGAATGGCTACGTTCTGCTCTTGGAAAGAGGGAATGGCGAATCGAATGCATGGATGTCTACATAAAATTGTAAAATAGCTGGCGGAATTCTTTCTTACATTTCTGGAGTTGGCGGTCTGAAGAAAAATGATTCTGGGTGGCATCTTTTGCTACTATTTGCATAGCGATTGGGTCAGGAACTCTCAAAGTCACAACATGCTTACATACAACATCACCACATTAGATATTATGAAATAATGGACATGCTTCAATCAGGTTACAAGTCTAAAGACGTGTCATTCGCTATCTACATTATGTGTGAGTGTCATGCTAATATTCATATCGCAGTTACAATTCGTCCCGTTCCACCACTTCATCCTCGTCAAGGGCCGCTTCTCGAAGCTCCTCTTGGACTACCGCCTCTTCTTCGCTTTCATACTCTGCTTCTTCAGGAAGCCTTCTCTCTGCTGCACTCTCATCTACCTCTTCTTCTGCTTCTGCTTCTGCTTCTGCTACGGCCGTACTCGTTGGTATTTCTGTAGCAGCAGCAACCGTCTTGGTTTCCGTGACGGTGACGGTAGCTGCACCACAGGAGATTTGAGCTGCTTCAAGCGCCAGTTCACAGGAAGCACAAGGGTTTCCTCCACCAGCGGCGTCGCCCTTTGGACCAGGATGTGTCTCTCCCATGCTTGGCACTTGGCTGTTCTCAGGTGCGATGCTGTTGGCAATGTGAGAGGCAGGCGGCGCGCCACCAGTTCTCACAGCTAACATCATCACTAAAACACCAAGCAAGACAATCGCGCCATTCTTGCGATCCTGAAAGAATACCTTGGTAGCTTCCATCACAAGCTCTGGCAGCGAAGCGCTCTTATATGCCTGCTGTCTAGACTTGCGACGCTCCATGGCTTCCACAGTTGGCGATGGTGGCGTTTCCTTATTGATGTACTCCTCAGCTTCAGACTTGGCTGTTGTCGAATCCATCTGTGGGGTTGGCATAGACGGCTCATCGCCGTAAATTTCTCGTAGTCGTTCCTCGTCCCGATGTCGACGGTGGTCCGACTCTGGACTGTCGGCGTACTCAACGTCAGGGATTGGCGATGTATCCATGTGTACAGTGACCTCCTCTTCAAACAACTCCTCACGGTACATGGCTTCTCCCTGAAGGCTCTCCTGAAGTTCTTCTTCCAAAGCGACCCTTTCCTGCGCCGTGGCAAGTTGTTCCAGTTCATCCAATACGGATTGGTCAACAATGGGTTCAATCTCGACATCTACTCTCTCCATCTGCTTCCAGCATGCCTCCCAAGCTCCTGCCTTCATCAATCCATTGCTGGCGTAGACCTTGGTGCGGAAGACCTTGCCTTCACCAAGAGAGTCGAAGTGAATGTCAGATCTGCAAGTGGAGCACCAATGCGTTTGACGCGAACCAGTAGCAGATTTGCCTTCATAATCTTCATCCTCACTGTCCATATCTTCAACCAAGGACATTTCGTTGGCTGGTCCGAGATAATGGCCACATTCAAGAATCCTTGCTCGCCTGCGCAGAGGAAGCTCAACGGCTTCTAACAAGCGCTCCTCCAGTACCTCAAAATCATTTTGTGGGTGTGGGAGCAAGACACCACGGTCCGACACGGTATCACCGACTCTATCTTGAAGTTGGCGCCATGCCTCACGCAGCGCCTGCCCGGCTTTGCTCAATTCACTGGGACGGGCATTCTCGATGACTTGTCCCCAAGGCCAACGTAGAGGTAGCAGCGTAACATGTAGCAATACCAAGGGCGGCGTGTTTCTCTTAAAGCGTGGTGGAGTCTTCTTGGGCGAGAACTGTGTCGATGGGGAGCCTAGTCTTGAGATGGATGTGCGAGGAGTCCGTCTACCAGTGGACCCGGTGACGGATGGTGGAGGAGAGTGCATTTGATTGGGTTGAAATGCGGACGGTGAGCGGAAAGCTGGGCGAGGGGTTCCTCTAATTGTCGGAACAAAAGCTTCGTCGGGGTCATATGGCTGTATATCCGATATTCTAGATTTGCCGGCTGACTCCGTCGTGGCAGCCTTTGCATACTGCTCGGCTTCGGGAATGGAACCCATTGAACTTCGAGGACTATGGTCACTGAAGACGTCATCCTCATGTTCCTGGTGAGATGAGTTGCTACCTCCGCCGTCACTGTTGGTCCGCCTTGAGCTGCCCTTCTTGCCGCGGGACTCTGGGGTGCTGAGCGAGTGCCTAGAAGACGGTGCATCATGGCTTATATCAGATGGCGCAGCGCTTCGGATAGAAGAGCGTCTGCTGCTGCCATTACTGCCATTGCTTTTGCGTAGAGCTTCTCTCGCCGCCGCTCGGATACTGGCTTCCCTGGCCGGCGAGGGACGGTACGAGGCCGAATCAATAGAGATGTCTGATTCTCTGCGAATCACAGTATCCTCTGCATCTTCGTTGCTCACAGAATCGCCATCTGCTGTTTCGTCGTGAGCAACCCAATTTGGCTCATCCAGACTGCCTTCACCGCCAAAGTCACTTCCTAAGCTCTCTCGATGCTGCTCTTCCGAGTCTGAGGGCATAATTTCGACAGTCTCGGGTTGTTCAGGTGCGTGGCAAGAGGGATCCACGTGAATCTCAAAATCGAGCTCGTCGCGTCTGTTGCGTCGCTTGGACATTTGAAAGGTCTGCTGCTCGTCGAGCTGATGGCGGCCTTAGCAACTTGGAGCTGCCAATTCAGCGGGGCGTGCGTCGCTTAAAAACAGACTTTGCAGAATTTTGCTGGCGAGTAGACGAGGAAAAATAGCAGCGATACAGATTTGGCGAGGTCGATAGAAATGTAAATGGGTATATTGAACAGGAGTTGGATAAAGAGGCGAAAGAGGAGAGAGGAGGACGATCAAACGAGGTAAACAGTGGTTGGCCCCCAAGATGAGGTCGTCTGTGTGGCAGCTTGCAGCGAGCGCGGGAGCGGGAAGCAGTGGGCTTAGCGCTATTGTTGGTGGAACTATGCCCTGTGAGTGGCTGGAACTGGTGGTTGACAGCGCCAATGTCACTGTAAGGTGCCCAACCTGCATTGGAGGTGGCGCACGCTTTGTTTACTTTGGTTGCCTGGCCGATAAGTCTGCCATTGGGCCAGCAACCATCACAGAGTCCGGGGTCAGAGACCCGAAATGAAATAATTAATTTACAAAGAGAAGAAAGAACCCCGGATTGTGAAAAAGAGAGCGTAAGTGTTGACGTCGTTTTTTTTAATCCAAATCGACAGTTGTTTTATGTGCTTGACTCAGTGCATAAGTGCATTCCAGTGTACAACTACCGCACACTCTATCCTAGAACGCTCGCTGGAATGCACCGTCTATTGATTAACCACTAGGGACGATCTAGCATCGATTAATAGGTGTCTCACTTGTACGTCCTATACGATGAGCTGCTGTGCTATGTTAAAAGAAGGGTCCCTCGGGTGGATTACCACACTGATACATCGTTATCTAGTAAATCAGATGCCGGCTTCGCGTAGTTTGCGCCACTGCCATAGATGGAACCTCATCCGACCACTACAATAGGGCCGATTTCGTAGACGGCGTTCCATACAGTGTTGAATTGATTCGGAGTTCCTGCACCAAACAGCCCAGTGCGACCGTTCAAACCTTGTTGGTGCTCCGGCGCCAGATTAGGCAAAACGCCACACAATACGCCAAAGTCTAATCTAGACACACACTAAACAAGGAACCAGACATAAGTAGACGCAACTATGGGGGACTTTTCCTATACTTGGATGTAGAGTCTATTTTTTCTCTGTATATCAAGCATTGCGACGATCATTGTTGCCAGGGGATCCGCGACTGGCAGCTGTCCGCCGATCTCCAAGATCGTGATCGTCTCTCTGCAGGGACTGCCCACACCGTACAGATTGTTTTACCAGGCGAAGGTATGGCAAGATTCCGAAACGGTAGCACAGCTTCGTCGAATACAATTTTAACATCGTACCGCAGGCAAACATATCCACCGCAAGACAACTATTAGCACACACGAACCAACAAACAATGATAAGGGGATGCGCAGGCCGTCGTCCAGTGTCCAACTCAATCACGCAAAGGTGTGTCTCACATCAAGCCATGTCTCGGCCGAGTAGTTCTATAACATCACATCACATCGCAGCCAAAGAATTATGAGCATAGTATATATGTATATGTCCTTTATATTCAGTTGTTTTTACACAAAGGCGTATGTTTTATCATGAGACCCCTCGGCTGACTGAGCCGGATAGTGCTCTATATCTTCATTCCGCTCATATCCCGTAAGATGTATGATGCACAAGTGTTGACTTTCACCGTGACCGGCAGGTCAGGTTCGTCAGTCTAGAATAATAAAAAAAGTAAAATAACCAGAAACGAAAAATAAACAGCTCATCTGCACTTCAAAAGTTCGGCGTCGAGGAATGTGTTGTTATATCAAGCGCATTTCACTCTAGGCAAAAGACATTTGTTTTATCCACAACCACCGGTTCAGCGTGTCAAACCGCTTACAAGTCCTCGCAGTAGTCGGAGGTGACGGTGACAGTGACGGTAGAGGTGGGCTGAGGAGCAGTGCTAGTCATGGCGGTGATGCCCCAGCAAGAGCAGGCAGAGGCGTAGCGCTCAGCACCAGAGCAAGCAGCGGCGTAGGTGGGAACGGCCTTCTCGGCGGAAGCCTCAGCGCGGACGGCGTTGCGCTTGAACTTGTGAGGTTGCTCAGGGTCGACGGTGACGGTGACGGTGGCAGTGCTATAAGGAGAAGGCATGTTAGCAGAGCGGTCTTATAGGGCGACAGACAGGCTGGCAGCGAGCATGGCAGCGAGCCAGTATTGTATAGAGAGATCAATTGACTTACGTAGGGGCGGGGGTGACAACGGTCTTCTGGAAGCTGGAGCAGTCGGCCTGGTGGGCAGAGACGGAGGCAGCACCGAGACGGGTACCGGTGACAGCGCGAGCACAGTTGTCAGCAGCGCAGGCCATGGTGGTGGCGGCGAGAGAGAGGATGACGGCGACCTTCATTGTGATGGTTGTGGTTGTGGTTTGTGAGGAAGGGTATTAGATGGATGGATGGATGACGATAGTAACGGGAGAGAAACGGGAGGTGGAGGAGAGGAGGAGGCAGTCGTGGTGTAATATACTACTACCGCAGGCTAGCGGGCAAGCGAGCAGGAAAAAAGAGGGCGAGAGAGTCAAGGTAACGTCGGGCCGGGGATGGCCATGGGCTGGGTGGTGGGCGGGCGGGCAGGGATCCTCGCAGGCCTAGCGCCGCTTGACTCTGCAGCGGAAGAGCGCGAGCCAGAACAAAGGGCTCCGCTACTGAAGACTTTCCCACCTATGAGAGCAGCGACCTCCCGCATGAGGCAGGTCAGAAAGGCCGAAAGGCTGCTAGGGGAAGAAAAAAAGGTACCTCAGTGCCCCAAGCCACGCCGGATAGTCGCGCCTCCCGATGAGCAAGCAGTAAGTCCAGGCCAGCCAAGCCCGTGGCCCGACCGAAATTATACACGGGAGAAAATATACATACTGATAATGAATCAGAGATACACGTACCTTTTTTTCCATCCAAATTGAAGCCCATTTCAACGCGCAATCTCACGTATGCGGGAAATAAAAATCACAATCAAAATGGCCCTGTGTCAGCAACACCCTCCAAAAGGTACCTCGAATCCCCCCCAAAAAAGGCCGCGCCACTGTCCAACTAGAGTAGGTGTTGTGGGTATTTTTTCCCTTCCGAGTGGGCTTCTGGCCTGGTGTGGGAGGCACTAAAAGGCCCTTTTTTTCTCTTTGTGCTGGGCATTTGCCAAGGAACCACACCCCGTTTAGGCTTAGCGGTATCCCCCGCCCATGGAAATTATGGCACATAATTTTTACAAAGCGGAGAGCTGCAAGAGTCAAGGGCCATTGCTGTGAGGGGAAAAAGACCCGGGGCTGAGTGTTCTAGGCGGAGTGGGCGAATGGGGCAGCCAGCAGCACAGGGTCTTGGCCCCCGGATTCGCTATCAGTGGGAAATAGAGATATCTGTGAAGTGAGGAGATGCGGCGGAAGCGGGAGATGAGGGTAGTGGTGGTGGTGGTGTGTGTGTGTGTGTTTGTGAGTTGGTCTACACAAGAAGTATCGCCGCATCTGCTCTATATTATAGAACGAACGATTGCCTCTCTGAGCGGGTCATGCACAGCAGAAGAAAGATGCCAAAGCCATGGAGCAGCCGATCACAAAGATAGCCTTGGTACAACCCGCAGACTTATCAACGAGGCATTGTCACAACTCATCCTAAAAAGTACGATCAAGCCGCCGTATTCCATACAGTTATTTACGTCTATAGAGTCTAGACTGGGGGGAGAATAACGCTGTGGTCAGTGTAGCAAAATGCTCTTCTGCTCCACTATGCCTACGGCCTGTCGGCCAACTTTTGTCAGTCGTGAGTTGTTCTGGAATTGGGAACAGCGAGTCAACCCTGGCAAGGTCGACTCTGGATGAATTGGGCTCTAATAAGATCAAACCAGACACGCGATGCCATTGCATACGTTGCGCGGCGTGAATCCGATGCTCAATTCAACAATAAAAGAAGCCGCGCTTCTCCGCATCGACGCCACACGCTCTAGCTGACAGAGACCTTATATTGCGCCAGGCCGCATATAGCAGGACATGGCCTATATCCAAGCTGCTACCATCGAGCGCCGCGCTCTGTCATGTCGTATGGGATAACTTTGACTACTCACAGCGCATAGTAAAGAACGATCAAATCCCTTTACTCCAAATTCGGCGCCGGATCAGCAAACAGGCCAATTTTTTCCCAATGGCACCCTAGATCGCGCATAAGATGAGGTGCTCCGAAAAGGCGGGGAGGGAGGCGAGAGTCCGCGCAGCGACCAAGCAGCCCCCAAAACGAGGTGTCAAAACGACGTTACAGCGCAGACTGCCCAAACAAGCAGGTCAAGATAGGCTTGCCCCCTCTCAATCAGCCAGAATACGGGCAAGGGGGGCCGCCGCCCGGGGAAATTGAAGATATGGTAATGAAATGACATGAATAAAAATAAATACATAATAGCTATGGTAAGGCAGCGCGACAATGTTGTCCCTTCACCAGCCGTCCATTATCAACATTACGAATCTGGGAGTTTGGAGGCTCCGGATTATTTACCCCAGCCTCTGGCGAGTAATTTGCCACAGGCTGCTGCTGCTGCTGCTGCTGCTGCTGCTGCTGCAGATGGTTTGTCGATATAGCCAAGGTCGGATCCTTCAGCAGACGCTGTGCATCGAGCCATACCCTACCTACTTCGTAGTCGTACGTGCCAATCCATGCCTCCAGCGCTGCGTGGTGGTCAACCAGAACCTGGTTCGTGAGGTTACAATCGGACACAATCTCCGAGAGTCGTACGCGGGGGTCTCAAAACAAGGCTGCGCGCAAGCGAACGCCGATACCGTCGGGTCCATCCATTCACTCACGTCTTGAGCGTCCATCGCCGCCACATTCTAGGTGTCCTACAGTGCTGTCACTTAGCTATAGTACCTACCTATTTCGCAGGTAACGTATGCCAGCGGTGGCGCTGTAATTACTATGTAATGCAAATGCTGGTACCTGGGCGTGGCTGCGCTGCGACGGCCAGTGACGGCCAGCAACAAGAGGCGTTCCAAGCCGCGCTAACAATCCAGCTGGGGAAATGAGCCTATTTCTGCTTCTCTGGGAAGGTCGACGAAGCTGCCAAGCTTGGTGCGTCGTCTCTTTTGTTTGCTAGGCGTTTAGTATCACTACGTAACAAAGCCCGCTGGGTACGTTGGCCGAGAAGACCTGGGACGGATGTCGAGGCGAAGCAGCGCAATCCCTGTAGACCAATGAGGTCGTAAACAGAAAAAGGCTGGATTATAATCGTGAAAAAATGAATTTGTTTTTTTTTAATAAAAAAAATATAACGGATTTAATAAAAACAAAGACAATGAACGAATCTTGGCTCTCTCTCTGTGTCCGCTGCCTATCCACGTGGAATCCGCGATTCAAAAAGGTTGACCGAAGCGGAGGTCTAATGCATGTCTTGTGCGCCTCAAAATCCATTCTTTTCATGCAATAATTTTTTTTCTTTCTATCGAACAATACACTAGCTGTAAGAACAGACCCAACAATGGCAGGAAACAAGCAATGGCTCCCCGCGCCACAACGCTGGGCATATGCCCAATCAGCCTGTCGTCCCAACACGTGCGCCCAGGTCCCCCACTGTTCCTGGTGGTCCGCTGGGCTTCTGCGTTCTAGCGGCCTCGCCGCGTAATCCACTCCGCTAACACCAGCCGCATAGGAGTTAACGGGCGTTCACCGACCGTACTCTACAGTATATTGCCTCGACATGGCCCTACACGTGCTGATTCTGCATATCTTGACAAGTGAAATATAAAGAGTGGACACGCATAGACACAGCTGAACTTTTTTTTTCGCTTGCAAAATAAAAAGTATTGGCGCCCCAGTGGGCGTTTTTTCACCATGACTGGGTTTAGACGACTCGACTCCCACGTGCGATGAGCGTTTATACCCGCTACTGTCAAGTGTCAATAAACGTTCAGCAAAAGCTTAATTGACTCAGATTCGGGTCCAACGGGGCTAATAAGCGAGCATTTTGATGGTGTAGCTACGACCTCGAACACAGCTGGTTGCTGTTTACCCAGATAACAATCAAGCATGGCCCCCGACTGCGTAACCGAAATACGATCAAACGCTACATGTCGGTTATGGTGTCACGTCGTTCGTTACATCCAATCTGCCAAGTGAACGACTCGCCATATCTAAAGCAGCATGGATATGGAGCTTTCTTTAGTGATTATTCCGTTCTATTGAGTCTCGTGGATGGACTGATCAAGATATCCACGAACATATATGCCGGCTATCCACCGTGTGGGCGAGTTGTAGGCTGTATGATGCTTGATATGCGAGCCAAGGCTCTGTAAAGAAATCATCCTGGTTCCCAACAAACTGTAGGTTTTTATACCCAGAGGTGATGTTTCCGTTTTGAACGCCAATGACTGTAGACATCACTGGGCGACGTATTCCGCGCTCTCGTGACCATACGGCATGCAGCCACAGATATCTTTGGCGGGCTCGAGAGCTAGCTTTTGGATATGTGCCACCCATCGACAATTTTTCCAGAAGAACTTTTCGTTAGTTAAGTTAAGGATGGCAATGTAGCCGGTCATGTTAAGAGGTTGCCTAAACAGAGAGCCGGGATCTTGATAGACTCTGTACTGATGGATCACGAGGTGACGAATCAACACTGTAGCAAATCGAGAACAGCTAGTAAAGAACTTTGGCTATTTTCAATTATAAAATGTATTTCACAATGTAAAAAAAAATATAAAAAAAGGAATTTTTTTAGGGAAATGATACATTCTCATCCTGTAGTAAAAAGTAATTAGCCGTATGGATGGAGATATTGCGAATCTCGGCAGCTGGGCCCCAGCCGTTGAGTTTCTGAGCTTGACGGCGCCACATGGTGGAGTCGTCACCGGCCACCTGTCGATTCGGGCATCTACATTTTGTTTTGAACTTTGCATAATCTACGCCAAACACTCTCATCTACGCTCACTGTGACAATACCAGTGACGTGCAACTTTCCACCAAATAATGTGGCCATGAGTTCGAAAAACAGCACCAGCGCCAGCCGCGATGGCTCCGCCGGAACCAGCCACGGCTGGCACAATCGCCAGGCATATCGCCAAACCGTCCCTATTTCAGAAGACGACGACGACATCCAAAGCGCGCCATCTCCCATCACCACCTCTCCTACGGACGAAAATCACTCTGGTACAGATCCCTTGGACCTGCCACCGTCTTACGAAGCATCGGTATCCCCCAACACGGCCACGCGAGCCACGCCCGAAGCTCGCCGCCCCCAGTCCCCTATAGAGCTAGAGGATCTACATATCGGCGGTGCGAACGAGAGCGATACGATGAGACTGCTGACAGCAGAGGAGTCTCAAATACATATCTTACCAAATGTTACAGGCTACCGCAAGCAGAACCCTATGAAGTGGGAAAATCTCGAGGCAAATGGCCACTGGGATCACTTTGACGACAAACCGGGATGTTTGTGGTCATCCAGTGGTGGCTTCTTCTTCTCGTCCAGAGGAGGCTGCTGCTGTTCTACTCGAGGCTCTTGCTGCTTCTCCGATCGTGAGGGCTGCTGTTTTTCTGATCGCGGCGGGTGTTGCTTCTCTGACCAGGAAGCCTGCTGCTGTGCCATTGATGGTGGCTGCTGCTTTGCAAGAGGCGAGTCATCTTGTTGTGGTTTCTCAAAGAGAGGAAATGCAAGAGATAGGGAGTGGATAGAGTTGGCGTACTGCGGAGCTCTGCCTGCGTTTTTCAGGCGTATATGCAAGTGATTGCATCCAAGATTCTATCAAGCAAACGACAACCAAAGGAAGCCAACTCAAAAACTAAAAGGCAATCCCAGTGCACCACCGCCCATGCCTATTGGCAGGGTTACCTTTTGAGAGTGGCTGCTGGTGGTGGCGGCCGTTTGATGTGGACGGCTGTGATTGGAAGTTGCACAGTGTGTTGTGTTCACGCTGGTCTGCAGCTAACGGCGAGCGGTGGTTTCACTGGCGCCGTCCATCGTGGGCCTCCCGCATATTGGGTTTGACTGCCGGGTGTTCTTATAAGACCGCCGTCATCCACGTCCTTCGCCAAGATGGCCACAGACAGTATTCATTCCTTTCACATTTGACAGCTATTATGTCGCTTCCTATAACGCCCCCACCAGTAGCTACGACTTTCTCGCTACCCCTAACAAGCAAGAAGAAAACGCCACGCCTTGACGCATATGGCAAGCTACTCCATAGGTTCTGTGAGGTGTTGTTCCTCCTCAAAGGACTCGGACCAATTCGGGGGCCGCATACGCGAGTGCCGCCACCACGAAATGAGGCCCATGGTCGACAGCGAGACTTTTTCCGCAATCTTGCCCTTGTATGCGACGGTCAGAAGGGAGGTTCAACGGTCACAGCGATTGGCCTTGCCAAGAAAGATGGCAAGCTCTGTATCTACGCCGCTGCCAACGATGATAGCACCGCCATTGACTTTCTGCGACTATGCGTACGGTTCTTCTCGAAGTTTATGGCCGCCGATGTTCAGAGGCAGCACACGTTGCAGCGAATGTTCATCGAGATGTGCGTCCAACACGCTACTCCAAGAATCCAGTCCTACACTACCAATCTCAGGAATTGTTTGGACGCTTGCATCGATGGTATACTTGCAATGAAAGATGTCCAATGTCAGTATTACCACAATAAGCCGTAGGCATTACTCTAACATAAACTTGTAGATCTTCCGCTCGTACCATGGCTACGATCCATACAAACAAACTGCCGTGGTGGTGTTAAACCACTGGCCACATGCATTGCAATGCATAAAGCAACGCAGCAGGGCCTGTGGAACCAACTTTGCGCATTGGCTGATGCAACCTTGGACAAAACTTCACATTTCCCCAGAGCTAAACATAATATTGGCCGTCTCTCCAGTAGGATACGAGCCCCCCACGCTATGCTAGCCAGTCTTCAGGACTTTTCTGGAGAATTTAGCGCTTTGCGAGTCCACATAGCTGTCATTGCTGTGCCCCCTATGGCTGCTGCGAAATGGCCTGAGCCAGACAGCCACACTTCATTGGATGGCATTTTAGGAAGGATGGTTGGCGCAAATTTTCCTCGCATGGATGAGGTCAAGGCGCGTCTCCTCTTTCTTGATATGGTTTATGATCGAGAGCCGCTACAAGCGATTCTGCTCCATTATACAGAGTCGGAGCCGTTTGTGCACGCTGAGATACGCGTCTTGGAGCACCTTGATACTCTCGAGGTCGAGTTTTTCAACAATGACCGGTACATTTATACCAGCAAACCAGCGTGTTATTGCTGCAGGCTGTACTTCGAAAAGTTTTCTAAAGGCATAATTGTTCCGGAAAGCCATTTTAAAATTCCCAAGCACTGGGGATTCCCTAAGGTGGAAGAATTCTCTAAGTACGATGCTGCCTCTATAGAGCAGCGTGATTTGATCAATGGAATGAACAAGGTGATGCGGACTGAAATCTTGCAGCAGATTGATGGCATCACCATACCGGCTGGTTGGCAAACTGATTCGACCACCGGGGTACCTAGCATTGTGTCTCTAGATACCGTGTCTGTCTTTAGCGACGACTTGTCGCCACGGTTTGAGTTGGGGACATACGGTACTAGCATCCAGCTTACAGAAGAATTCGATGACGGTCAACTAACCCCAAGACCATTAACACCAGGGCCATAGCGTGGCGGCGGCTGCCCAATATGTCAGGATCAACATTTAGAACTAGCTTCACAGGAATTGAGAATGAGATTGAAAGCAAAGATTTTTTCGCATTTAATGAGCGTAGCTGACTAGATAATAAACATCAAACACAGCAAGCGATCCTAATACTAAAAGGCGACTGTCTAGCTTCGAGATCCGTCCAGGTCACAAGATGAGCACAGGAACATCAACCTAGGATACCCCGTGGATTTCCCCGAGATGCCTCTGGAAGTTATCCCAGCGTGTAAACGTTCGTGTGCACAATGGACAACGAAAACGTTCCTGAGGGAAGTGCGTCTTAACGTGCCTCCCCATATCACGTACTTCTGCGCTTGTATGGCCACAACTGAGGCACATCAGTGGCTTCAGATGTTTCTTCATATGTTTTCTATTTTACATTTTAGCATGCGTTAGAATGACTATTATTACATTGGGGAGTAGGGGTCGTAGTACTTCAAGGCGGAACCTGTCGTAAAGCTAGGCCGTGGATCACACTCTGCGTCTCGGCAGTAGTATCGGCCGTCCTGATGTGGTGGATAATCTGGCATCTCGACCACCACAAACTCAGGTCCGAGAAATTCCAAATGAGTGGCATCGAGGTCAAAGTCAACATGTGCAGAAAAGACTGTCAAATCGTTGGATATACCACCAGTATTGTCGGGTCCAAAAGTTTCAATCGGAAACTGTGCACGGTTGTCAACGGCCTAAAGGCCTAGACCGAGCAGAGAATCGAGAGAAACGTTAGAATTGGACACGAGGCTGGAGTTACCCGAGCCTACGTTGACATCCTGGTCAGTATCATCGTCAGACCTGACAGTTGGGAGATCCTGCCAGGACGGCATGGTTTCCGAGGAGGAAAGAAAAGAGCGTGTCTCAATATTGAAAGGGCAATTTTGCTTGCAAAACTAGACCGATGGGCGTGATACGGAGCCTCAGACGGGCATTTATAGACGGTCCTGGCAAGCCTGGCGCGGTGAGAGTCTCGCGCCAATCCAAGCTAGAATCTGGGGCACGTCGATCTGCTACTGGATTCGCCGATGTGCAGTTTCAGTGCGTGGCATTTCTCATGGGCCTCCGCCACAGCCATGCTGCCGACGTGGCGAGCCGTCGCTGAACCGTTGATGCAGCCTCTGGGCCGCGGGTTTGGACCGGGAGTGGGTGGTAGGGTATGCGCCTGGGATGCGGACGACATTTTATGTATGGTGAGGCGATTAGCTCTTCTCACGATGGCTTGGGGAACAAAGCCTTCGTTTGTTGCGGCTGGAGTTTCGGTGTAGTCTAGGTACGTGATTGGTTGCTTTTTTGGTCGATGTCACTTATCACGCACGCATCACAGAGCAAGGGACTGGCATAATTGGATCGTATTCGGTTTTCTGCCTAGGAACGACTATTCCCTGGGGTCAGTAGACGAGACAACAAACAGCTGTGGTACGAACCTGGCAGCCTTCAAACAAGTCCCGGCTTTGCACCCATAGCACAAGTCGTCGCGATGCGGGGGCGTTCCTTTTGTAAAGTATCTTTTGGCTTCCACGAATATGCCCCTCCACTTCTTGATTCGGTACGCGACTCGCTCGGCGTAGGTTTGATCCAGGGTCGGTACACATGCTCGACGACAGCGTCGGCACTGTTGGTAGTACACGCGGGCATTGTACCTGTTGTTGCTGTACATGCGGATAATGATTGGGATAACGCCGCTAGTCCAAGTCGAGCCCTTGCACTTGGGATTCTGGCAAGTAAATGTTCCCACGACGTTTGTCCTATAAGATTCCTCGACACCTTTGTCAGTGTCCTCATGGTTGAACTTGAACGAGAGCGCTGGCTGTAGGATAGAGTCGACATCCGCATGGAGTTCAGGATAGAGCGACCATCTGGCGTTTTTAGAGTTATTTGACGGCATCGTGTACAGGCATAAGCTAGCTGGTGTATAGCTCTCGTCCTTGGCATCACAGGGTGCCGCAAGCTATATATCCCGGCTTCAAAGTGCAGGCGGTTACTGCTGCGAGGCAATCACAGAGGCCCACCACCTCAGCGCATGCATACATCTCAGCCTGCAGATTCAGCCTGTGCCTTCATGCTGTCCTCCATGAGTTTCCACCAGTCCTTGATGCCCCGGACGTCACACCACGTCATCTCGACGGGGTCTTCAAACCACCACTTGCCGCCCTTGTCGGAGGCATACTTTTTCAAGCTTCCCCCGTCAAAGCTATGATTCTTGACGCCAGTAAGGAGTACTGCGCTGCCAACTTTGGGAGAAAAGGACTCGGCGTCGAGAAAGACAGTAAGATGGACCTGTTTGGCAGTCGAGGGGTCTACGATGCGCGCAGTGCGCTGCGTATACGGTGGTAAATAAGATGATTCCACCGGTGAAAGAGAGACTATAATAGCCAAGACGTTACACGTCCAGTTTTGGGCGTATGGTAGATGTGGAATCGCGTGTAGTGTTGTCAATTTGAGAGGTTTCGTGATGTCTGTCCAGTCGCGGGGCAAGGCAACAGGGTGGCGGTGGGCCAGGGATACTGTATTTGCGTGTTTAGAGGGTGATTGATTCCTACTAGGGGGCTGCTTGGACGGCGACTGGTCACGATGGGGCTGCTTCGAGGGTGAAAGCCGTGACGGTGTTGCGTGTCGTGGTGTGCGTGTTCTTGGGGTAGACTTAGCGGGTGATCCTCTCCTTGACGGGAATAGCAGCTCGTCCAAGTCACCAAACTCGTCGTCAGTATTGAATTCATTCATACTCAGTGTCTCTAGTTCCTTGCTTTGTATCGGCAGCACTGGTAGCGGCTCTGGTTCCGTTACAATCTTCTTGTCCGGTTGGACCACGATGGGATCTAGACGATCCAGATCCATCCCCTCAAAGTAGTCGTCATCGTCATCGTCGTCAACTTTAAAAGGCTCTTGTGTTTTCGCCGGAGGTATCACCACCTCGGCCCGTTTCCCCTGCCGAATCTCAGCCCTGCTGGCCAAATCTCGATACGCTTGGTTCCAGCCCAACGTGGAAATATCCCGAAGCACGAGAAACACCATTTTCTTATCATGTGCATCTTCAGACTCTTCATTTTCCGGGTTCTCTACCCATTCCACACGGAATTCGTCTACGCAGACGTAGCATCCAACAAAGACTTCGCCCGTTTGCACGAACCTGTGGCATGATGGTGAAAGAATTGCTTGTACACACAGCTCGCCGTCGCCAAGGAGCAGACGCACCGCTTGCCATCGGCCACTTGTAGATACCGGGATTATATCAATCCCTTCTATAATGAAAATAGACCGTGGCGTGCAATAACGCGTGCGAAGAATGTCGGCAATGATGGGCTGCAGCGTGAAGTCGTGCAGCTGGTTTGGGCCCTTTGTGATGGCAGCCGGATCTAATGCCGGTCTTTCTTCAGAATCCATGGAGTCATATACTGACAAATTACATCTTTTTGTATAATTGGTGATAGTTTTCTTTCTGCAACTATCCGTCCATTTTGTGTCAACTGCAGCTGGTGGTGTTGATGTCACGATTCACTTTAGCGGGTCAAACTCACAAGCTGCCACCGTTATTACCCTGCACCACTTTTCGCGCAGTCCCATCTTCGCCAATACATCTTCGTTTCACACAAAATGGACAGTCCGTACGAAAAGGAGTTACGGCTCGCATTTGGAGCTATCCAGAATGCAGCCTTTATCAGCCAGTCGATGGTGTCGTCCAAAGACAAGGGCGACGTGGAAAAAGCTGACCTTAGCCCCGTCACAGTCGCCGATTTCGCTGTCCAAGCTCTGCTCGTTGCTAGCTTAAAGGGCGCCTTTCCGAATGACAGTTTTGTCGGAGAGGAAGATGCTTCATATATGCGCTCTAATCCGGCTCTACTCGATAGAGTTTGGGCTTTGGTGTCTGGGGTGTCGGCGGAAGCTCTCGCCGCGACGGGCGGCAGAGTCCCCGCATCAAAAGAAGAGCTCTGCGATCTCGTGGACCAATGCGGCTCAAGTACGCCGGGAGGTGCTGGGTCTGGTAGGACTTGGGTCTTTGATCCTATCGATGGCACGAAAACCTACATGATGGGCCAAGTGTATGCCATTAACGCCGCGTTGCTTGTTGACGGCCAACAGACGGTTGGCGTCGTCGGATGTCCCAACACATCAATGGACGCGAAAGCGCCCATGAACAACCCCGATATTGACCCATCCAGCGGTGGCTGCATTCTATTTGCTGTGCGCGGCCACGGTGCATACGTCCGCCCTCTGGCTGGTGATGCTTCATCCGTACCGATCCGCAAGCTCGCTACCTCGACGGCTGAAGGCTTGAGCAGTCTTCGTTTTGTCACGGCAAACTCCATTGTCGACTCCGCTCTCGATGGTGTCCATGAAGTTGTTGCTGAGCGCATGGGTGTACCATATCCCGGCTGTGATTTGCTACCGTGGGTTCTTCGTTGGGCTATGCTTGCGCTCGGCCTCGGAAACGTCACAGTCTGGGTATACAAGAAGAAGACGCGCGTGGGTAAAGTGTGGGATCATGCTGGAGCTATGCTTCTATTCGAAGAGGCCGGTGGTAAAATCACAGACGTACTTGGTCGTGATATCGACCTCACCAAGGGCAGAAAAATGGTGGAAAACTTTGGCTTTGTCGCGGCACCCAAGGACATGCATGCAAAGGTGCTGCAGATTGTTCACGATGTTTTGAAGGAACAGGGTCACGGCGATTTGCTTCAATAAAAATATATGGGTAGTTATTTAGCTGTACATATCGTCTATATCATGGTTTATTTCTCTCTAAGATTGTGTCTATCTCTTGGTATACACACCAGTGCTAGTTGCATGGTATCCCTTGACTCCCACCTTGTCAGTAAGTTCGCTCTTCCAGTCCTGTCCAGCAGCCAAACGCTGCACAACATGGGCAAGGGTATATTTCGGCTTCCAGTCCAGCTCTCTAACAGCTTTACTTGAATCATACACGCGGTCGAGTCTGTCCAAGTACTTCCAGCCAAGCTTGTTGAAGACTGTGTCGATATCTGGGATAACGTCCTTCATAACCGACGCCGCATCGGAGTCCAATCTGCTCAGTGTGTCGGCGTTGTTGACAAATGGCGGAGGCGCAGAAATGATGTATTTACCCCAGCCAATCTGCTTGGCCTTGTTCATGCCGCAGACACAGGCTGATACAATGTCTTCAATGTCGCATCGTCGGTACGCAAGCTCCAGCACCTTAAGGTTGTCGCCGCCCATGGCACCACGGCGCTGATCGTCATCATCGTCCTCCGGGAAGAACCGACTAGCCCGCAAAACAAGCACGGGAAGTCCTGTCTGCTTGTGAACGAGGAAACACATGTCCTCTGCCGCAACCTTTGTCACGCCGTAAATGTTCTTTGGTTGAGGGACAACATCTTCAGTGATCCAAGCCGCCGGGTTTCCAGGCTTGGGACTCAGTGCGGTGCCAAAGGTGCTTGTGGTGCTGAGGAAGAGGAAGCTCTGTATTTGGTCTCCAAGCCTGGCAGCCTCCTCAAGAAGGACAATTGTGCCGGAAATGTTGGTATCGATAAACTGCAGTTTGGTGTGGCTATCAACATGAGGCTTGTGGAGTGTTGCGGCATTGATAATGTGTTTGAAGTGGCTGCTGGTGGCGAGAACCTTTGTAACGAATTCTCTGTCAGAGATTGAGCCAACCAATGTCGTCGTTTCAGATTCGAGGATATCAACTCCAAACGGTTTAAAGCCGAGGCCAGGAAGGGCGAGCATCAGTGCGGCACCAAGATGGCCAGCAGCGCCGGTAACGAGGACGTCGTAATCTGCCATGATTTCGAAGGTAAATATATGATAAAAGACAAAATGTATTGTAATAGGCTTGCTTGGGTCTATATGGAAAAGAATGCAACAAAAATTTTCGTATGTGAGAAGGATTGCCAAGGTTTAAAAGGTTCAGCATCAGCGCCCTCTCCCAAACGGACGTCGGAAAAGAAAAGTGGGACGCGGCAGTGAGTCAAAGTGTTCCGACCGGCTTTGGTGAGCCGCGCTGACTGGTTGTAGTGAAAGTATATTGGGAATTGTTATTATTATTTTGTAGCGGGAATGAGACGGTACGGTAGATCCATCTGCATCCCATGCACGCCACGGAAGGTTAAAGCGGTGTAGTGCAGTGCAATGCCGTGAATTTACGCTCTAACAAGGGCGCGCCTTTGGTAGTTCACCTGTGCTGGCATGCAAGACAGCTCGATAAACTATGACTGTCGAATTCGAACTTGAATGTGGATTCCCCAGCCCGTGATACTCTCCCAGATACCAAAGGCATTTTCCTTTCGAAAGGTGACCTCTCGGGGCGATATCTTCATAGTGATATCTTCGCTATTGTCAGCGCTCCTGCTGGCGGGCGGCCTGGGGACGATGTCTCCAGAGGACATCTTGAAGGGATTCCACCGGCTGGCTTTTCTATTCTCCTCGGCACGTGCCTGTACTGTTTGCCTATCAACCGATAGTGTCGGTCGGCCGGGTTGGAGGTGCTTGGCTAGCCTCCTAGCAGTGCGTTCATCCGACCACCATAGCGTTGAGCTGGGGCAAGGTGCCGCTGGCGCATCGCCAGGCATTCGTCCCCAGTCAGAAAACCCCGAGGAAGAGCCACCAGTGTTATTTGTCTCGACGGGCCGTTGCTTTGTGTCTGTCGGCATCTTTGTGTGCTGTGTGATTCGAATGACTGAGCGGTACTCGCCATCGCGTCGCTCATCGTCGTCTGTCGGCTTCCAGGTCGAGTCAATAACGGCATCGGGGACGAGAGTGGCCTCGACTAGCGACGGCGGCGGGTGGATGGAAGAGATGGAAGAGAGGAGCTCCTCAACGTAGGGGATGATTAGAGAGAGTGTATTATTATCAGACTGATCCTGCACAGATAAACGGGCAGCTTGTTCTGACGAGATTTCGGACCGAAGAGCTGTAAGGTGTGAGGCAAAGAGATGGCTCCGTGGTTGAGCAGAGGACGATGACGATGCGTAGGCGGGGACGTCTGCGGGGAGCGTGTATGGTGGTGGGAGCTCGTCGTCGTCAAATTGTTTCGACATTTTGAGTGATTATGCTGTGAAAAGTAAAAATATTGTGTAAAGAAAATGAAACGAAACGAAGAAGAATAAGCCGAAGAAGAACAAGACAATGGGCACCTTTGCTGTGGTGGAGCAAGCAGCACCAGCTGGGCAAAAAGGTGAGGCTGTGCAAACCGTCAGGCGCCCACCCGCCTCAAAGAGCCAATGACGTAGCGGGGTTGAACCGCTGGAAAAGGAAAAAGAGACCCAAATGCGATCGGGCGCTATCTGGCGAGGCTGACTAGCGGGGGCGACCCTTTCTGTGCTACAGCGGGGAGATCAGCACTGTAACAGTCCACCATCTACGATGGTTCCTAGAAATTTCGTTGTACCTGCGTTTTTGGCTATAGAAACACAAAGAAAACTTTTGTATAATCTGAGCAAGTTTAGCAAGGTCCATAACATCACGCAATCCTGCTCAACGAGTCGGTTTTGTCTGCTTCCATTGGCTGCGATGTCTCCGAATGCTCTAGAACAAAGTCTCCGAGCACCAGAGGCTGCGCACCCTTCTGGGCCACGAATCGCTAGGAACACGCGATTCCCGACCCGATGCGATGACGTGCGGCTCAACTATAAATAGGGCGCTTGTTCTTCTGGTTACAATTTTTTCTTTTGAACTGTTATTTTCATCTCCTCTTCTTCTTCTCCATTCACCCAAAACACACGCTAAACATGGCTGCTATCCTCTACGACGCCCTCATCGTTGGCGGTGGTCCGGCTGGTCTCAGCGCCGCCCTCACCTTTGGTCGCCAGAATATGCGCGCCATTGTCTTTGATAGCGGCCGCTATCGCAATGCTCCGGCCGACTTCATGCACATGGTTCCTGGTGTAGACCACGTTGCCCCGGCCGAGTTCCGAGCGACGGCCCGCGCCCAGATCACCGGCCACTACCACTCCATCACCATTGCCGAGGGCGTAGAGCTGACAAAGGCCAAGAAATTGGACAATGGCTTTGAAGTCGCCAATGAGAGCGGAACTGTCTGGCAAGGAAAGAAATTGATCCTGGCCACTGGCATCCAAGATGTCCCTCTCGATATACCTGGATACGCTGACCTCTGGGGAACTGGCATGTAAGTAAAACACTCCTCCTCTCTTTTGCAATGAAAATTTTGTGATGCTAACTCTTTTTTAAAACAGCTACCACTGCTTATTCTGCAAAGGATACGAACAGCGCGGCGACTCGTCGGCCATTCTCGCAGTAGGCTCACTCGAACACGTCGGCCACGCTCTGCACGTCGCCCGCATGGCCAGCTCTTTGAGCGACATTGTTACGATATACACCAACGGAAACAGCCAATTGGCTGGCGAAATCGAGGCCAAGTTTGGCGCTACAAAAGTCATGAAGACGGATGCGAGAAAAATCACACAGTTCTCCCGCGGACCCAAGAATAAGGAAGTCACAGTCTACTTTGACGACGGTACGACAGAGACGCACGTGTTCATCTCGCATCAGCCTGTAGTCAACCATTCAAGTTCACTAGCTGACCAGCTTGGCCTGGAGAGAACGGCAAGCGGCGAAATTTCCGTCACTCCGCCTTTCCAGCAGACGAGCGTGCGCGGCGTCTTTGCGGCGGGCGATGCGTCGTCTATGATGAAGACGGCGCCGAATGCTATTTATACAGCAAACTTTGCGGGAGCGGGCGCGATAATGCAGGTACAGGCAGATCTCCATGGCCAAGAGCCTCTGATGCCAATTTAATGTCATGTAGTAGATAATTTTATAATCTTTATTTTAATTTTAGGCAGATAATCTATTGTTTATTATCAGTTTTCTAGCCTTGCATAATTTGGTGACAGCCTCGCCTTGCTCACACTGCCACCAATTACATGGTCCCTATTCATTGCTACATTTACAATAATCCATTAATTAGTAATATTCAGCGAAAAGAAGCAGTTATATAATTAGACGAACAGTAAGATAATTGTTACAGGCACAGACCTCGTAGCGTGTCACAGTCTGCGCAACGCTGCGCACGTACCCTTTCTCTCATGCTGGGCGCTAAAGCCGGTTTACATGCGAAAGTATACGGCGTTTTATTGGTAAAGCAAAACGACTTAGTACAAACCATCTTCAGAGGCCAGAGAATTGTCTGAAGTTTTACAAAAGTGTGTGCGGCTCTGCGGCAGTAGTAGAAAACTTTTCCAGGTCTCCGACGCAGCCTTGCATCAAACCACAACGGCCAGGACAGCATCGTCTCAAGTCTCAAACACGGGGCCACCATTACTTGCATCTAGACCACAAAACCTGCTTAATCGTTAGCATGCAGCCGTAACGACATTCCTCTCGCGCCGGTTTCAGACTTAGCGCTACAGCCGCGTCTGCCAATAACCGGTCAGCGTCCAGAGCTGGCGCCACCGATCTGATACCGCTACTGTCGTAGACTCCGATAGGCTCTTACGCCGAGGTCGCCGGAGTCGTATCGTCGCCTATCGTTAGCGCTAATGTCGTGCATCTGCCAAGATGAGTGATGCCAACGGCCGATTTGATACTGTAGGTGTGGTGTAGGTGTGGTACCTAGACAGGAGGCTCCTACACCAAGGCTGGTGTACTTGTCTCATCTTGCATGTTAGCGCATTGCTAGCGCTAACGCTATCTTTGCATGAAGACAAGCGCTTGTTACAGAGTAGACATCGTAGCTGACAATAACCAACTCGATACCTATATAAGTTATCAGGTATTCTGCTCATTCAGTCAGACCTTTATCATCATCAGCAGCAGCAACTGGACAGTCTTCCTTTCATTCATTCATTCATTCATTCATTCACTCATTCAGTTCTTTTCCAACAACACTCCTTACACAGTTTAGCATAGCATCTTTTGCACACTCCCTTCAAAATGCTTCCCGTTCTCGCTCTTGCTATTGCTTCTACAGCGCTGGCCGCTCCCCAACTGGCCGCTCGTGACGGCAAGCCCCAGACCGTCCTGTACTGGGGTCAGAACACAAAGACTGTTCTCGAAAACCCCGATCTGGCCTCCTACTGCAAGCCTGACTCCGGTGTCGACATCATCGTCCTCAGCTTCCTCTTCCAGTACGGCAAGGGTGACGTGATTCCCGGTGGTGCTTTTGACCAATCTTGCGGCGTCACCAGAGGCACTGGCCAGCCCAAGGGCTGTGAGGCCCTCGCTAAGGCCGTTGCCACCTGCCAGGCTGCTGGTGTCAAGGTGCTCGTGTCTCTTGGTGGTGCTTCTGATCAGTACAGCCTTGGCTCCAAGGAGGAGGCCGAAAAGATTGCTCAAAATGTCTGGGAAGCATACGGCCCCGTTGGACCGTCCAAGGTTCCTCGCCCCTTTGGCAACGCCGTCCTCGATGGCTTCGATTTCGACATTGAAAACAGCCAGGGCTGCAAGTTTTATCCTGACATGATCACCAAGCTCCGATCCAACTTCCCCAAGGGCAGCAAGTTTGTCATCTCTGGTGCTCCTCAGTGCCCTATCCCCGAGCCCAATGTTCAAAAGGCCATCGAGCAGGCCCAGTTTGACTACCTCTTTGTTCAATTCTACAACAGCCCTAGCTGTGCTGCCGCCAAGAACCCCAACTTCGGCCAGTGGAAGACCCAGCTTGCCAAAACCCCATCCAAGAACGCCAAGATCTTCCTCGGTGTTCCGGCATCCCCCACTGCTGCTAACGACGACGTTGCGATTTCCAAGTCCTACTATGTCAACCCTGCCAACTTGCTCACGCTTGTCAACAAGTTCAAAAGTGACCCTGCCTTCGGAGGTATCATGACCTGGTCTGCTGGATTTTCAGACCAGAACATTGAAAACAAGTGCAATTTTGTCCAACAAGCCAAGAGCATCCTCACCAAGGGCAAGGTCTGCTAAGCCAAGTGTGGTGGCTGCGGTTATGCCCTGGCGGCGTGACAAACTGTTTGATTAGTTAGGCAGGCCTAACTGATTCCATTCTTGATACATACCACCTCTGGCATTACTATAGCCCGGAGAATTAATTTTAGAATAATGAGATGATTTTTTAATGACTTATTTCCATCTTCATCCTCTGGTTTGCGTTTAGAGTGTAATATCCCAAGTATGCTATACCTGGTGGCGCCTGGCCAATAAAGTGGAGTCGGGCAACAATAGCGAGGCTGTGCTGTGGTCCCCTGACCAAGGCGATGACAGTAAGGTCTAATTCGTGCCAAGTTAGTGCTAATGTATTATGGGGAACGTTTAATTACCCAACGGTGTGAAGCAAACGTAAAAAGTTTCGATTTTGGGTGTTGGGTAGCATAAATGACGGCTGTAGTGAGGAGCCTGGGGCTATTAGGCAGGGAAGCCAATGGTGGCAGTGAAGCTTTGTGCTCAGCCCAGCTTCGAGGCCTGTTACCGGTCCTAAGGGTTGATTAAACACCGTGATAGCAAATGCTAGGTGTCGTGAAAATTGCGCGCCGGTGAAGGAATTGGTTCGGTCGCCCAGGCTGATCGTGAGGCTCCGGGGATAGGGCGGGGATGTGGGGAATAAACTCGAGAGCAAGCATCACGAGGAGGCGAGCGACGTCGGAGCCGAAAGAGGCAAATGCAGGGACATCGGCGCGAAAAAGGACGCGAGGACCGGTATGTTTGAAGCATCAGTTCGAAATGATGTCATGTTGTTTGAAAACAACTTTTGCATAACATAGTGCCAATGCAATGCTGTCTGTGGCTCTTTGAAACCCAGCTGTTAGGGGTCCATTGCAGTCAGCCTCACTGAAGTGAGACGCCAGGTAAGGTTCTGGGAATTAAGTTAGATCTTTTGCAGAGTCCGAAGCCATGCGGTTCATGTACGCCATGGAGGGATCAGGCACATTTACACACAGACCATGTTCGCTTTGTAGTTGTACCTGCACCGAAAATGTCTTGCATCGTAATCTGGTCGTTCTCTCTTCACACCAACCACACCACCTTCGGCACATTGATCGTATTTTTTAGGCGCGAAGCTCCTCCATATTGGAGCCTAGGGCATCCGCTGCTGCAGGAAGCTCGCCCCGCCAAGAGCTTCTGGAAACACAGCCACTGCCCGATTGCCTAATGGGGGCAGCTGCGGACATGCTTCGGCGCATTTTAGCGGGACCGGGCGGAATGTGCTGCCGGGGGAGGCAGGCAGTTCGCCTCACTCTGCCAACTCAACCTGCCATTCAGCCGTGCCGCAGCAAAAAGAGGCGCGGGAATATGGGAAGTGTGCAACCTGTTAAGCTGTTATATAAGGATCATGTTCCCCCGGATGTTCAGTGGCGTAAAAGAAGAAAGAGAGATCATACCATAACAAGCCAATCGTGCAAGAGCCTCCTACTCTAGAGACTTACCTTGCATCTACTACTTACACCACCACCACCACTTCTTTTTCCTCCCTCTCTCCTCTACCAAACACACACACACACACACACACACAACTCTCTTGTCGACATTACATCCGCCAAAATGTCGTACAAGGTTTCTGCCCCCGATGAGTACCTCGCCATTACTGGTATGAGCATCAAGACGGTCAAGATCACAAAGGCCGCATGGGTTCTTCCCTTTCAACGATGCACTCGCTTCAGCGTGCAACCTCGCGACTATGCCATGGATCTGCAGGCCATGACCAAGGAGAAGCTCCAGTTTGCCCTTCCCGTCGTCTTCACTGTTGGTCCTGATGTGAACCAGCGTGGCGCAAACACCAACCTCGAAGTGGAGGTTGACGATGATGCCGTCGCCCGCGAGGACCGCGGCGACTCCCTCATGAAATACGCCATGCTTCTTGCGCAGTCCGACGTCAAGGCACAGCAGAGCCACCATGTCGAGAGTATTGTCAAGGGCATCATTGAAGGCGAGACCCGTGTGCTCGTCTCTAGCATGACCATGGAGGAAATCTTTGCCGAGCGCGAAGTTTTCAAGAAGCGCATCTTCCGCAACATCCAGTCCGAGCTTAACGCCTTCGGTCTCAAGATCTACAACGCCAACGTCAAGGAGCTCAAGGATGCCCCCAACTCCGTCTACTTCAAGTCCCTCTCACAAAAGGCGCACGAGGGTGCCATCAACCAGTCACGTATCGAAGTCGCCGAGGCCCAGCTGCGTGGTAACGTCGGTGAAGCCCAGCGCAAGGGTGAACAGGAGCGAGAGATTGCCAAGATCAACGCCGAGACAGCTGTCCAGAAGACCGATCGTGATATCGAGCGCGCACAGGCCGAAGCCCACCTCAACACCCGCCAGACCGTCCTCACCCGCGATGTTGATATTGCCCGTGTCGCTGCCCAGCGCATGCTTGAGTCCAAGGATGAGGACTTGAAGCGCGAGGTCGAAATTAAGCGCGCTGCCGCTGAGATCGAGCGTCTCCGTGCTCGCGATGTCGTCAAGGCTACCATTGCTCGTGAATCTCAGCAGCAGGCTGCCGATGCTGCTGCCTACCAGATCGCAGCCAATGCCAAGGCCGAACAGGAAGCCCGCCAGCGCCAGGCTGATGCCGCTGCCTACTCTATCCGTGTCGATGCCGAGGCTGCCAACTATGCTACCCAACAGGCTGCTGATGCCGACGTCTTCCGCAAGCTTAAGGAGGCTGAGGGTATCTCTGCAACTGCCGACGCTTACTTGAAGCTCTCGCAGGCCTTTGGCGGCCCTGCTGGTCTCTTGCAGTACATGATGATCGAGAAGGGCACATATGTCGAGCTTGCCAAGGCCAACGCCGAGGCTATTCGTGGTCTTGCTCCCAAGATTTCCGTTTGGAACACTGGCAAGGCTGGCGAAGGCAGCGGTGGCAATGCTGACGGAGCAGAGACAATGAGAAACGTCTACCAGATGCTTCCTCCCCTGATGTCGACCATCAACGAGCAGACTGGCATCACACTGCCTGAGTGGCAGTTTGGCAAGATGAATGCTGCTCGTGATGCGATGAACGGCAACTAATGCGGCAACTTGCCAACCATTTTACTTTTCCTTTGTATTCCCTCTGTAAACCAGTGTACTTTTATCTAGTTGGTTGTATACCCTGCGCATAGTTTGGGATTTTTTTATCGGTTTCTTCTTCATATAGAGCGTATAGACTAAATTGACACCTCCACATTAGCTTATTTCCCTGAATCTTGATAACAGCCGCCGTATTTTACCTAGCGCAGCCTGAAACTGAACACCATTGGAGACGAGGCTCTGTCCAAGATCATCGGACGCGCTTGTGGGGTCCAACGGTGGTGACGAAGACTTGGCTTTTGACTTGGCTTTTTTATTAGCGGGCGCCACCCACCCAACACGGACATTGCCCTGATGCCTCTGTCTATTGTGGTTCATGTTGAAGGCTGCTCAGGACGGACGGTGACCGAAATATTGATGGCTACTGTATATAATTTGAGAGTTGTTTCCGAGAACGTCAGAAAATGTTTGTAGTCGCCGCTGTCTTCGGCGGAATTCGATGCTTCACGCGCAATGCACAGGAACGCGACCACAGCACCTTGGACGATGTTGGGCCATGATGTTTCACTCAGCCCTTTAGGCCGTTCGCCCCCAGAACACGCCGGGCGCTGTCACTACACATGCGTACGCAGTACGCGCGAGGAGACGATAGGAGACAGGGGAAATTATGCCATTGAAGTGCTGAGTCGTACGCTGACGGGCGGCAAGACTCGCTGTAGGTACCTGTGGACCAGGGGCTCTAAAACAGATCAGCAGCGGATATTGCATCATGTAATGGCTATCACGCAAGCTTGGTTCCGGCTAAAGGACGATCAGCTGCTTATCAGCAACCGTGTGCGAAGCAAATTGCCCCTGTGAAAAATGAAATGATGATCGAAAATTGGGTGGCCTGTCCATAATGATGACAGTTACCGGTGCATAAGGCAAAGTCTTGGAAGGGTTTTGAATATTTTTCTCGTCCTTTTGTCGCGGCCTCACGTGCCGCCAGCTGGCAAATTGTCAGCAGTGCAAAGCGACTTGCGTTAAGTGAGGAATTTGAATAGTGCGCAGAGATTCCCAGAGGCAAGACACCTCTTAAGAGGCGCAGCAGACTACTGAAGACGGCGCGCCATCCATCGCGTTCCGCTCGTGTCTCGCACGCCAGTTCACAGGGCGAATTAAGGTGCAATCATCCCTTTGTTTCTACCCGTCTAGCGCCCGCCGCGACCCGTTTTGCAGCGGAGCACCACCCTCAAGGGACCATCCCCTCCCCTGAATATCAACTTGCGCATCGCTGAAGACAAAATAAAAGAGGCGTGCGCTAAAAGCCAACGTCCCCAAGCCCAGATCCAAGCGACCTTCATGCGCTAGATGGGATGCTAACAATACAAACATACAAGAGGACGCAGAGTGCAGTCTTACCAAATTCTAATAGCAAACCCATTGGTTAATCCAGTGGATGCTCTGCTGCGCCGGCACTTCATTCCTTGGCGCTCGATTGGCGCTCATCGCTCCATCTCTGCAGGGCCTCGCCCACTAAATCCCCTGTCTCTGCTCCGCTCACTAGCTACCATTCTCCACCAATTCTACGCAAACCTGAGCTTCGAAAGGGGGGCACGGGCAGCTGGATGAGTCCTTTGTCTTGGGTTTTCCAGCTGTCACTTGTTTCGACTAACTTGTTCTTCTTCTCCTTCCTTCACTCGTTTCTTCTCTTCATCTTCTCTTCTCGCAATTTTCTCCCATTTCTTCCTTTTTGAACCCGTCACTCCTTGTCACGCTTTTCCTTTTTACTTCGTTCTACTTCTTTCACGTCTCACTTTTACCACCCGAATCGACGCGTCGGTTGATTGCCCAGCAATCCTCACTTTCAAATAATCTCGATTTTTTTTCCCTTCGAAGCGACGCACACACTCTCTTCCACAGCGCTGGCTCGCATATTGTTTGCCTATTTGCAAGCGTCTTGGTTCATACTCCAGCTTGCCCAAACCCTTCTACTCTCTTCAACAAGCTAATCCAACCTCGAACCGACGAAAGAAGCCGAGATTTTGAACCAGCAATGGGCATTACGTTACCTGGTGCCTCGCGCCCCTCCTTCATCATGCGGCTGCCTATACTTCGGTTCCTCCTTGTGGCGATCAGCCTACTTGTATTTTTTACCCTCTTGTCACAGAGCGACGCTGTCGCCGATCACTTACGACCCAACTTTCACCCGCCTACCGCGGTTCACCACACCCAGCGTCCTCCTCCGAAAGAGGGTGCCTCCCAGCTCACTCCCACACAGCATGCCGGTGATTTCAAGCTCAACTGCCAGCCGGAAATGTCCCATCTTAAAGAGATTGCTCAACGCTACAAGCTTGACAGCCGCTTCCAATACTCTAAGCGATATGTCCGCTTCACCCGTACTGCTGGACTCAAACGCCAGAGTATGACACACATCAAGCAAAAGCTCATTCCCGACAAGACCAGCTTCCGTACCATCGACCTCTCCAAAACCCCTAGCGGCTCAAATGAGTGCCTCGAGCCACTTGATTTACCGGTTCCTGAGTCGGGCTACCCTCACACTGTGAACGCCTCCGACTTCATGTTCGGCGTATCAACTACTTACAAGCGATTCATGGACCAGCACACCTCTCCTATTAACGAATGGGTCTTTTGGCTGACTGACAGCCGTGGCAACTCCAACGGCGGAAAGTTGCTGCTGTTGCTCCTGGACGCTACCAATGAGCAGCTCCAGGAAGTTGCCAATCTCCTCGGCGATGTCGGCATCGATGTCGATGTATTCAAATCAGACTCTAAGCAGGAAATGGCCGTTCGCTATCTGACTCTTGTTCCAACTCTCTACACACATAAGGAGGCTCAAACCAAAAAGTGGCTGGTCACCTGCGACGACGACACTTTCTTCCCTAGCATGCATGGACTGATGGAAAAGATCAACAGCTACGACCACACACGCGAAATGTACATTGGAACTCTCTCCGAAGATGTCGGTGCTGTTGGCCGGCACGGATCCCAAGCCTTTGGCGGTGCCGGTGTCTTCATCTCGTTACCGCTGGCAAAGCGTATTACAGCTCTCTATAGCTCCTGCACATCACCTCAGAAGATTCGTGAATCCAACACCGGATGGGGCCCCCAAGGCGATATTCTTCTTCGCAAATGCATCTACGAAAACACCGAAACTCGTCTCACTAATGTTTGGGACCTTTGGCAATTAGATATCTTGGGTCGTCCCGAAGGCTTTTACGAATGGGGCATTAAGCCTCTCTCCATTCATCACTACCGCGGAGGCGGTTGGCATGACGCAAAGCCTGGCGCCATGGCCAAGGTTGCCCTTACTTGCGGTGAAGACTGCACCCTGATGCGCTTCCAGACCGAGGACGACTTCATCGTGTCCGGTTACTCTGTTGCACACTACCCGTCTGGGATCACCTTTGACACTAAACAAGCGGAGGGAACGTTTCATGCTGCGCCCGATGACTACGGCTGGAACCTGGACTTCATGTTTGGTCCCTTGAGACCCTCGCTGCTCTTGACTGGCCGAAAGATCTCCTGGGAGCTTCAAGAAGCTGCTCTTCAATCCGATGGCTCCATCTTACAAACATATGTCCGCCACAAGAACGACAACCGTTGGTCTAAGAATGGAAAGCCCATGAGCAACATTGACGGCGTCATTGAACTTGTGTGGATTCCTTCTGCTGATGCTGCCGAGAGCAAATCAAGTGTTTGAGTTACTGTATGGCGTTTTGAGGCGTTTCTTGATTGATTCGGTTTGACAATCTGTCCATTATCTGTTTTCTTTTTGGCCTCTGAGAGTTTGTGCTTGGATTTATGGCCACACGAGTTGGAATATCCCAGACACGGATCTGTTTGATCTGTTGTGTTTGTAGCTATCGTGTTGCCACACAACCCGTATATAGAAATGGCACGCGAACGGCACAACGTTGAGATGTAGATTAGCAAAAATGTTTGATTATATACTTTAGAGCAACGAAATGGATTGCATTTAATCATTAGCAAATATGGCTTTTGGTAGCGACTGTTGTAACCCTGGCTTGGGAGGGCTGTAGTGTGGCTTTTGTTCGTGGACAAACGTGTAGCTTGGTTGTGGCTGTGCCTCCCCCCGCCAACTGCCCCGCCAACGTCATTGGGCTAAGCGCGACGCCTTGGTTTATCTCGACCTTGACCGGACACTACCTGCCTCTGTATTCCCACCAGCGCGATCGTATAGGTCGCAGAATAGTCTCAAAATGGATGCAAAGTGAGTCAAGTTGCTAATTTATACTATGTCATGCCATCGCCATAGCTAACAGGACACCTAGGACCAGCAACGTGCTGTTCATCCCCTTCCGACGCAGCACCAGCCTTTCGCTGTCCACAACTATTCGACAATACATTAACGCCAAATATGACCAGCACCCTGATATGTTCCGACATGACCTTGAGGCCATCGATAATTTACGACGAGATGCAGTAAATGTCCGCGAAGCCCACTCCTCGGGCATCGCGAAGCTTCAGGCTTATGCTGCACAGCTAGCTTGGATCGGCGGCAAGTTTCCGCTTGACGTTAGTCTTATTATTGACTGTACCAACACTCGTGCCTCTTATTTGCTAACCAATAGTACTTAGATTGGTGCTGAATTCACCTGGTATCCCGCCCTAGGATACAATACGGAACGCCCCATGGTCCGCAACAACCTCAAGTACGAACAAATGAATATTCTATACAACCTTGCCGCACTGTATTCTCAGCTTGCTATCCACACTCCTCGTGGCAATACTGATGGCCTCAAGACAGCAGCCAACTATTTTTCGCAAGCAGCCGGCGTTTTGACTCATATGGAGAAAGAAATCCTACCAGAGCTTCGAATGTCTGATCCACCAGAGGACATGGACCAGCATACACTACAGTCGCTGACACAACTCTTTTTGGCTCAGTCTCAGGAATGCTTTTGGCAAAAAGCAGTTATGGATCGGTTTAAGGATGCATCAATTGCAAAGCTGGCCGCACGCGTGTCTGATCTCTACTCTGATGCGGGCGAGGCGGCCGTCAAGAGCGAAGCAATCAGCAGCGCATGGATCCATCATATGACGGCCAAGCACCATCACTTTGCTGCTGCCGCGCAATACAGAGCGGCTTGTGACTGTTTGGAAAAGCGGAAATACGGCGAGGAAGTCGCCCGTCTTCGAGATGCTGTTGCTTGCGTAACTGAAGGTATCAAAGAAACAAAGGGTGGGCTTCTCAACCAAACCGTTGTTGAAGACTTGCAAGGGTTAAAAAAACGGGTTGAGGAAGACCTTAAGCGAGCTGAAAAGGACAACGACATTATTTATTTGCGTATGATATGCTTCGCCATTCCAACTCACAGTTGGCAATACTAACTCGTCTATAGAGGCTGTCCCTCCGAAATCCGAACTCAAGATTCTCGACAGAGCAAACATGGCCGTCGCTAGGACTCCAAAACAAGTATCCGATCCTTACGAATTTCTTGGTGACAAGGCTGAGTTTGGCGCGGGCCTCTTTGCCACATTAGTTCCATTCTCAGTACATGTGGCCATTTCGATTTACGAAGAGCGACGAGACCGTCTGGTCAACCAAAATATTATTCAGGAACTCGAAAATTTGACAGAGAAGCTACATACGATGCTAACATCTTTTGGCTTACCCGGTTCTCTTCAAGCACTTGAAAAGCCTCTTGGTCTGCCACCGAGCCTCGTCCAACATGCTGAGGAAATAAGGCAAGCGGATGCAGTCAACCGCATCAGAAAAACCTTTATCGATGTCGAAAAGCTCAGAGCTGCAGATTTGGCAGTCTTTGAAGAAGGAAAGACTGCACTCATTGGGGAATTAGAAGAAGACCACCAGCTTCGACTCAGATATGGCACGGACAGATGGAGTCGTGCAGATGGTAAGAGTGATCCCCGAGGCGCAAAGCTTTGGAAGCACGCAGAGGAGATTGAAGGGTACTTTGAGAGCAGTCTCAGCAGCGATGGTGTAGTAAGGGACAAATTTGCAGCAAACGAGCAGCTTCTACAGATCCTCTCGGGCACTGATAGAGGCATTATGGACTATGTACCCTCCAGTGGCCGCATTGATATGCCTGAAGCGCTCAAGGCAGCGGTTGGAAGACTACGAAGCACGTTTAACGATGTGCAGCGGTTGGAGAGCAAGCGTCGAAGAAAGGTAGAAACATTACGAGACAATGCCCGCCGCGACGACATCAAGCCGGATATTCTAAAAGAGGCAGCTCGCCTGGAACGCACATATCCCACAACAGCTCTTGTACCAGCACACTTTGAGGATTTGTTCGACAAGAGACTGGACAAGATCTACGAACCAGAAGTAGAGGCTATTAGTAAAGATGCCCATGATCAGGATCAGCTTATGACGCAGCTGGAGCGAACCAATCGAGAGTTTGAGGCTCAGAAGCGCCACTTGGAAAACAAGGGACATCGGGAGCGAGAACAAGCACTACAGCGTCTGGAAGGAGCGTACTTTAAGTACAAGGAAATTGTGAGCAACGTCGAAGTTGGCCGCAAGTTTTACAATGATTTGAGCAAGATTGTTGGCCAGGGCTTCCGGGATGTCGTCCGTGGATGGGTAGCGCAGCGACGTCTAGATGCGCGAGTCTTTGAAGAGTGAGTGTTTCGATATGCAGGAAAGTTGCGTTGAATCTTTGACTAACCGTATTCATCGACAGAGAACTCAACATGCCGCCACTTTCCAACCTCAATATTTCACGAAATCAGACACCAGTCCACGCAGCACCTCCAGCAGGATATGCCCCTCAGCAAGGCTACTATGGAGGTGGCGGTGCGATGCAGACCCCTCCTCCAATCGCACCGATTCAGTCTTGGGGTGGCCAAGGCGTCCCTGCTGGAGAAAGTGTTCAGCAGCCGCAGCCAATGGCACCGCCCGCGAATCCGATGGGAGGCATGTGGAATCCAGCCATTGGTATCAAATTTGGCGGAGGAGCAGGAGGCCCATCTGCCGCGGGTAGCCAAGGACAGCCATCTAACCAAAGCTCCGACACGACGTGGAACCCCGGGTCGGGTATCAAGTTTGGTTAGGATGACTGGGATTTTAAGGAAATCAAGTATATATCAAAGATGTAGCAGCGTAGTTGAGTGGTGCACTTGCTCCTCGTTAATACAGTCACGATACCTTGCTCGAAGAAGGTCATCGCACTTTGAGTTATTGTCAGTTTTGCTTTTATAATAATAGCTTGATTTTCTAGAAAATTGCCTGTATTCTTGGAGCAGTAGCTGGGAATAGATCGTGGTTGATATGTTGGCGGTCAATATGCCGGAGTTCAGCCCACACTAGCTCCAAAATTCCAGTGCGTGCAGATCGACGACACCCGCATTCACGATCACGATCACGAACCTGGAGCTTGCAGTGTCTGTGCGAATTACAGTTCATCGGCATCTATACGACAGACACACACTCTCGGTGTAGAAGATGCCCCGCTCAGAGGAAGCAGCGGCCTTCTTCCACGCCGTCTACGAGGCCATTCTGGAGATTCCTCCGGGCCGAGTCACCACATATGGCCACATTGCCATGCTGATAGGCACGCGTAAGTTTTGCGCTCCCACCGTCCCATCTCGTAGCTCAGAAGAGAATCCTAACGCTAATTGGGTTCACTCGTACAGCGCAGCGGCCACGACAGGTCGGCGTCTGCTTGAAGCATTTGCCCGGAGACCTGACGCAACGGTTCAACATTGACACCGTGCCGTGGCAGCGGGTCATCAACTCCAAAGGAACCATATCCCCTCGGTAAGTATTTTCCTCTCAGAGGCAAGCCATGTCTACTGTGCTATGCGACACGAGTTAATGCGTGGCGCCTAGCTCGCAACCAGCTGCAGCGCAGAACCAAGCGACGAGGTTGGAGGCGGAGGGCGTAACTGTTCGGCGGGACGCCATGGGCGAGATGAGTGTCGATTTTGACGAGTACGGCTGGTTTCCAGACGTATTGCCTTCTGAGGCGGCGGGTGGTGGTGCTGGCAATGATGACGCCGATGACGACGACGAGGAGTGATGCAAAAGACGTAGCGCCTGGTTGGATAGAAGCGTACACGTAGTTTTGTTTGCGCAGCACCTAGACACAGACAGATACCAATCAATGCGTTTCGCGTTGAGCTTGATTCCATAAGACGGTAACCCGTCACTAGTGAAGACCAGGAGGCACCACCAGATTACGCGCTTTTCTTACCATGCACGACATCTTGGTCTTACTATCTCGGGGAACCCCAATTCGTATGAATAACCACCGACTCCACGTTGGAGAAAACCGTGGAGCAAATATAGGTTAAAATGGAGAAACTTTACCCATGGAACGAGGGTACACGCCAACAAAACAGCTATGGTAAGCCGTATTTTTTCTTGAATTGGGGAAAGAGGGCAGGCAAAATGAGGGCCATTACTCGCCGGACCCGCCTTTGGAGGCCGAGATGTGATAATGGCAGCTCCAGTCTTTTGTTGAGCGACGAAGCGGGTTCAGCTAATTATCTCGGTGATTACGTTTTGGGCTCGCGACGCGCGGGTTAAGTCGTCCCATGGGGTTTGGGGATGGGGGAGCTGCAATACCTGTAGGAGGGGACGGGGGATATCCGCACAAACGCCCTTTGCCGCTGGTTACCGAGCCGCTCCTACGCTGGGTTTTGCGGGGGACGGAACGCAAGCGAGTGAATTACGACGACGCCCAGTTGGATCGACAGGAGCAGCAGCTCCCACCAAATACGGACTAATTAGCTGGACAACGTGCATGCGAAGATGGTGCGGTGTGGTGGTACGTTTGCCGGGAATCTGCTTGGCAGCGTCATTGGCAGATGAACGGTGTCTAGTCTAGTTAGGAGGCGTTTCTGGGTGGCTTGCTTGCTTGCATGCAGTTGCCAACCGTCAGCCGGACGGGCTAGGCTTGGCTGGCTAGGCGATAAGGCATCTATCTGCCTGGGTCATTTGGTTTGCTGCTGTTTCCTTGGTTCAAGGCCACGAGCACAGCATCAGGCTACGGTATGCGGCTGGCGACAGTATGGGGCGTGACGGTGGCGCGGTAAAGCGGCATGGGAGCGCCAACGAAGAATCTCTCGGCCAACATTTGCATCTGGGATGCTGTGGCGGTTCCTGGTGGCCCAAAGCGCACTAGATGCAATATCAAAGCGCCAGGAAGCCTTTGACGTAATGGGGCACACTAGCGCAGTTGATTCCAGTGGCGGCTCGGGGATGGCAGGATCTATCTTGGCGGTACGACAGCTACGGCTCAGTCAAGGTGCTGGTTAACTCAACAGGGACCGCGTGCGACGTCCTAAACAAGCAATTCTTGATATTGCTCGTATGTCGGGCATGACGAGACACGCGCTACCTGCTTGCTGCCCATGGGGGCCGGCTTGGCAGCCGGTGCTGACAGGGGGATTCGTTTTGTTAGTAAACCAGGCCAGAGCAGATACGCTCAGACAACCACGCGGTGCGCCTAAAAGGAGCGTAGAATGAAAGGGAAGTTTGTGGCGGTACCAAGTGGAGTGGTGGAAGAGGCGGCCGAGAGAGATGGGCCATCTGGCGAATATGCGCATAGCATGATGCACGGTGGAAGCGACGTTGCAGCGGTCATGCAGGAATCCTGGGCCAATGACCAGTGCGATTTGCAGGAGCGTTATCCAAAAGGATGGATTTGGCCGAGACAAAACGGCTTCGTGGAGACAAAGGGGGGACTAAGCCTCGGCTGAGAAGCTGCGAAGAACAAACACGATAGGGGATAAAGACAAACCGGACGAAGAATTACGGGTACTGTGTTGGTTGATGTGTGGTTCCCCTGTATTCGATTGTTTGCCTATTTTGCCTGTTTTTTTTTATTTGCCCTCATCTGATGGCAACGAGGCGTTGTATCCAACGGCGAATTCCGCCACTTTTAGCACATGGCTACAAGGGCGAAGAAACTCAAAATACAGGGGGTCAGGCTGTTAGCTGAACAAAGTTTCTCGTATTTTTCGGCCGAGCCCAACGCATAGTACCAGAGCATGAGGCAATCTAGATGTGCTCAATGCGCAGCCTGTCTTTCTTCAAAACAGTAGCTAGCGCATGGCAAATGTCTGAGCATCATAGGTGGCAGCGGCACAGGCGAGCAAGCGACGTCACGGAGAAAAAAAAATAGAAAGAAAAATTATCGCAAAAGGTGGCTTGGTGGCGCTCTCGCCATGCGGAAATAGTCCCCGTTCTGTGTAGGGAGACAGCCTCACTTGGTAAGCCCTGTCAAAATATGCCACTGCAAGTGAATTGATGAGTGTATGCATTGCCACTTCGTTTAGAGCCCGTCGGGCACGATTCACGCTGCCGCTTGTCAAACTAGCGGCGAATGCACTGAAAGCGTGGAAAGCATTCGGAAGAGCACACGACCGCCGCGAGTAAGTTTGGGGACCTTCAATGCAAGGGTTTTCTCCCCCATGGGGCCCCCTTCCCTTGCTACGTCGGGGGCTATGGTTGCATTGGGGACTGCTAAAGACGGGCTGCTGATTGGACGCTGGTAGGCAATGCTGTCGCGTGTTGTGCGTCTCCTTTTCTTCTACGCTGCGTTCTTTTTTCTTTCCGAACGGCGAGGTCCAGCTCCGAGTTTAGCCTCGTGCTAGTTGGTCTCAGTGGGTAACGTGTGTGTTGGCTTTTGACAGAGTGTGGTTGCATTGTCCGCCCTCTGTATTGTAATTTTTTTTTAATTCGTGTATCATTGATAGGCAACTCGGCTCGAGGGCCCGCGCAGCTTATTCTAGAAGAACGGTGCCGTCGGGGTTTTTGCGCTGCAAAGATAAAGTTGCATCTTTTTTTATCTTTTGAGTTTGGGAGGCGTTGACTGGTTTGCTTTTCGGGTAGCCCGACCGGTGGCGACGAGGGCGGTCAAAAAATTCTGCCCGTAGCGAGAGCGAAAGTCACTTTTTTAACATTTGCCGTCCGTTAAGCTACAAAGCAGCTCAGCGGAAAAGAGTTTCCATTACTTGATGGCGAGGCAAAAGTGCAGCGCGTCGCGCATCACGAGCTCCAGGCTAGGCATAAGCCAATGAACGCGAGGTTACAGTGAGCAGGGGCGAATAAAAAAAGAGAATAAGGCCTCAGTTTGATTGGAGAAGTGGCACCGATGCACACAAAAGAACCCTGCAATGCGCTGAAGATTTGGCCGAGACAGCACAGCACCAGCTAGCAACAGCTGAAGGGGGACTTCAGGGCAGGCACGGGAACGGGAACGGGCAGCCAGTGGTTGGCGTCAGCAGGCAGCAGGTGCTATTAGTGGGAGCAGCTAATTAACCAAACGCAATAGCGCTGCCGTATTTTGTTGGTCAAGGCGTTTTGTACAAATCAGGCTCTGCTGAGCTGGTTGAATTCAGGCTGTGGCCGTGCTGCAAAGTACTTGTGATACAGCGCTCCGTGGTGGTTCAGCGCCTGGGGAACGGCTCCAATTACAGCGGAGGAGTTCCTCTTTGGGCCACTGTCCCGTGGCTGTTGGCTGCAGGCCGGCGCTGGTTCTGTTGCCGATCCTGTCGCCGCCGTCACAGTGGGCTCAGGCGCAATGAAAAAAAAAAGGCAGCCCAGTTTTATTTTTTATTTTTATTTTTTTATGCCTTTAATTCGGTCTCGGTCGCAATTTGATCAGGAAGGTGGCCTTTTGTCTATGCTGCTTTCTATTATGACTGCTATGCTCTCTGCGTCTTTTTCTTTCTCGTTGTGTTTGTTGGTCGTCTCTTGTCTACCGCTATACTAGCTGGCGTGGTTTAATTTCCGGACGAATGCCGTCGGGCTGCATCGGCTTGGATCGCCTCTACCGCCTGGGCAGCTTAGCATCGCAGAGGCGTTTTTTCTAAGCGTCTGCTGGCAGCTTGTAGCGTGGTTACGGTGCGCCGTGGCTTGCCGTAGCCTGTGCAGAGCGCTGCAAACCCAGTAAAAGGGGCGCTGAGCCGCCAAGCCCAGCGTGGCTACAGTCGATGGCGCTAGTCTGGATGAGGTAGGAGTTTACGGTGGAATTGGAGAAACGTACCCGCATTTAGTGAAAACAGTAGTGTTTTTATTTTAATTATTATAATGAGTCTTTGTTGCTGGACTCTTTGTCCCCCATACCAGTCGGGCCAGTGAGCGTCAGCGCAATCAGAAAAATAGACGAACTACTGGTTCCGTCGCCGTAGAGACATTTTCTACACGAGCGGACGGGGTGTCTCAGAAGTCGGCGCCCAGTAGGGGCAGTAGGCCCTGTAGAGCGCCGAACGCAGAGTGTCTCCAACCATAACAAAGCCCAGGTTCCAGCGTCACCTCCGCAAGATTAGGGCATCCCCCAGGCGCAAGGCAAAGTTCACTGGAAACGGTGGCCTCCTTCCTCATTCAAGCATGGAAAAATGGAGTTGGCCCTGTTCGGCCTCTCCACCCCAGCACCACACCACGGGCGTCCGCTGCTGTACCTGGCCTCGCCTTCCCCCAAAAATCCCCCCAAAAAAGCTCGAGCCCACTCCCCGGCCGGCGCGACAAAGCCCAGGTCGCTCCCCTCCCACCCGCCCGCCAAATCCCCAGAAGACCTAAAAAGTCCCTGCGTCCTCCCCCCTCGCTGTCTTCTCTTCTTCTTTTTTTTTCCCCAGGTAGCAGCATTTGCCCACGGACAGGTAGGAAACTTCTTGTCTTTTCTTTCAATTGTCGCAACAATGGCTCAAGCCCACGAGGAAATGGCCGCTGAGTAAGTTCTACACCACCCTCTCTCTCTCTCTCTCTCTTTCTCTTGCCAGCAGCTCCAAACCCTGGAGATTGTCGTGGTTTCGCGAGAATCAATCAGTGTTTGCTTTGCATTCGCTTTATCTTCGTCCTCTTCACAAAAGAACAAACCCAACTAACATGCTTCTCCCAGGCTCCACGAGGAGTTCAACGAGCGCACCCACAATGACACTGACCTCGCCGGTGGCAAGGTTGGCGTCCACCACGAGACCACCACTGGAGATGAAAAGACCTCCACGGATCTCAAGGGCGACATTGAGAACGGCATGACCCCCGATGGTGAGGAGCCTAACCAGCACGAGCGCAACTCCCTGCGCCGTGTTGGTGAGAACCTTCCCGCCTCGGCGTTCCTCATCGCCATTGTCGAGCTTACTGAGCGTTTCACCTTCTACGGTGCCTCTGGTCTCTTCCAGAACTACGCCGCCAACAAGCCTACCGATACCACCAAGGCTGCTGGTATCGGTCTGGGTAGCCAGGCTTCTACTTCCCTGAACCTCTTCTTCCAGTGGTGGTGCTACATCACTCCCATTCTCGGTGCCATCATTGCTGATCAGTACCTGGGCAAGTACAAGACCATTCTCATCTTTGCCTGTGTCTACTGGGTTGGTTTGATCATCCTCTGGACCACTGCGCTTCCCAGCTCTCTCGAGCACGGCGCTGGTATCGGCGGTTACGTCGCTTCCCTCGTCGTTGTTGGTCTTGGTACCGGTGGTATCAAGTCCAACATTGCTCCCCTCATTGCCGATCAGTACCAGCGTCGCGTCATGGCTGTCCGCACCGAACCCGATGGCGAGCGTGTCATCATTGACCCTGCCATCACCTACCAGCGCATCTACATGATCTTCTACTGGTGCATCAACCTCGGCTCTCTCTCCCTCATGGCTACGCCTTGGATGGAAAAGTACAAGGGATTCTGGACCGCCTACCTCCTCTGCTTCTGCGTCTTCAACATTGGTATCGTTATCCTCATCACTCGCCGCAACTCCTACATTGTGCACCCTCCCAAGGGCTCTGTCATTACCGATGCTTTCAAGGCTATTGGTATCATGATCTGGAACCGCAACATGGACTCTGCCAAGCCCTCCGTTCGCGCTTCCACCAACCAAAAGTCCGTCAACTGGGACGACCACTTTGTCGACGAGCTCAAGCGTGCCCTCCGCGCTTGCAAGGTCTTCATCTTCTACCCTGTCTTCTGGGTCTGCTACAACCAGTTCAACACCAACTACGTCACCCAGGCCGGCCAGATGGAGGGTCATGGAATGCCCAACGATTTCATGCAGAACTTTGACCCCATTGCCATTCTCATCTTCACCCCCATCCTCGACCGTATCGTCTACCCCATTCTTCGCAAGGCTGGTATTCAGCTCCGTCCCATCGCCCGTATCTCCATTGGTTTCTTCCTCGCTGGTCTCTGCATGGCCTGGGGTGCCATTGTCCAGCACCTTGTTTACTCTGCTGGACCTTGCTACGACCAAGCTGGCGAGTGTGCTGCCGGTCTTGTTCCTGGTACTGGTATCACCGGTCCTGATGGCAACGAAATCCCTGCCGAATACCTCCCCAACAGCGTCCACATTGCCATCCAGGCCCCTGCGTACGTCTTCATTGGTCTTGCTGAGATTTTCATCTCCGTCACCGGTCTCGAGTACGCCTACACCAAGGCTCCCATGAGCATGAAGTCGTTTGTTCAGTCCATTTACCTCTTCACCACTGCCATTGGTGCCCTCATTGGTCTTGCTCTCGTTTCCGTTGCCGTCAACCCCAAGTACCTTTGGATGTACACTGGTGTTGCCATTGCTGCCATCGTTGTCTCGATTGGCTTCTACATCGGTTACCGCCACTACGATGCCATGGAGGATGAGTCTTACGAGCTTGACCGCGACCAGCCTGTTCGCACCGTTGCTGACAACGGCAAGGCTCAGCCCCAGGCTGTGCCCACGACCGAATAAAGTCCGACCGACGATTGGATACAAAGCGTCTGAAATTTGTTTGAATATAAATACCCATTTCCTCGAAAATGTTGTAAGAATACATGAGCCTATTGCTTAGCAGTACATATAGAGATGAGATAGTTTTTTTTTACTTGAAAATACGACCGTGTGCATCTCCAATATTTGCTCCCAGCTCCTAAACTTTGATGCTACTGTGACATGACGCAACGAAACAAACATGGATGATTTGATGTGAAACGAAATGAAGGTGAATATTGACAGTGAAAAAAGATGTACAAAACTATAAACTATTTACAAGTGAAAGAAGGTTATGGTTAAGCAAAGTCGACTGTGCGTGCCTCTCCAAGGCAGTAGCAGTAGCAAATTCCACTCCTGATTTAGACTTAGGCACGATATAGCACGCTTCGCTTTTTGGCGCAGGTACCCGTAGGAGGCTGCGTCTTCTTGGAAGCACGATCGACATCGGGTCCGGGCTGCGGGAAATCGAGATCATACGTCTCCACGGTGCCGCAGCCGTTGCCGACGTTGGCGACAAACATGGCAGGGCGAGATCGGTACGGGTCACTTGGGCTGCGAGGCACAGTCTGGCCAGCATTGCCATTGTTTCCGGGGAGCGTCTCAGCTGGTGCCCGAGCCTCATTGGTGACACCACCCTTGATAACGACATGTGCGCAGTTCATGTACATCTCGCGGTTGCCCAAGTTGTTGAACCAGGACCAAGCAAAGAGGGCATCACCGGCTGGTGTATCATTGGGCAGCGTCAAGCTCCAGGTGCTCTTCAAGGGACACTGGCCAATGTAGGAGTGGACAACAGTCCAGGTCTTGCCTCTGTCGTAGGAGAAGGACGCCTGGCACGAGCCGCCGTTGTGCGTTGCCGAGCCGGTCAGTGTAAAGTTGACAGTCTGGCCGGGGCTCCAGGTGGCCACGGCGCGGCCTTGGGGAGTGTCGTAGAGCGAGTGGTAGCCCTTGCAGGGGAAGTTTGCGCCGGATGCCTCGAGCGGCGATGTCATGGAGTAGTCGATGTCGGTGGTGTACTGGTTGTACTTGGAGCGGAAGGGAGGGGGGAAGGTCATTTCCATGTGTGCCTGGACGGCAGAGACTATGCCAAGGGCGGCAAGGAGCGAGAACTTCATGACGATGATGGCGGATGAATGTATGTGGTGTTACTATTGCTTTACTGTTGTTGGTTTTGGAGAAGCCGGAGAGGAAGAAGGCAGACGAGCCTTCTTAAGGACGGCAAGATATGCAATTGTGAATTGTAAAATGGAGCCCTTGTGCCGCTTTGTGTCCGCCCACCAGACTAATTTAGTGTAGATTGCGCATGGTTACTTTTGCAACGTCTGATGATGACGGATGGACAGCGGCCGATCGCCCACGGGGAACAAGATGGCCGGCCGGCGCTGTAACGACAACGGACGCCCACAAGGAATGCGGATGGGGATAGCCTCCGAGGCGTAAATCCCAATCTATTAGAGTGCTGACGAGGACACTAACACGGTTGGTATTTGGGCAGCGGTGTTGTTACCGGAATGGACCAGACGACGGGGGTGAGACACGGCGTCTGCTCCTCAAGAAACAATGGATGGTTCGTGGCTGGCTGCTACATCTCACGTTTCATAATCGCTGCAAGACAGGACTAATTTCCTCTTTGGACCAGCTTTGTTCGGAAAAATTGGTTGCTGAAGAGCGGTAGCGTTGCATGCAGTCGCAACAGACATCTTACGCCAAGACAGCCGCTGCATGGCGGTCAGCAGACGAACACCTCAGAAAGTAAAATCCGACTAATATACAAACTATTGCTACCGCGGAAGACGAAGCACGCGCACTAGTGAAAATGATCAATACCCTGGGGGCCCCAAGCCAAGATCGGGGGAGGGGTCATTGTTCGGATACAGCGTAACGTTAACACGCGGGCGTCGTCGTGGGAAAGAAATAGATGGATTCGGAAGGGGTTTTCAGTATATTATATTGCAGCTAGCTGTATTGTAACCTCCTCCCCCACGATTCTCGCCCGTTTAGTCATGTAATGGCCCAAGTTGGGTTGGCGGGCTATAGTACGGCCGTTATATACCCTCCCCAAACAGGCAAGAGCTTAACTCAAACCCTCGTGGCTTGCATTTGCCCAGACACACGCTTTTTGTCTACACTCGGCATTTGCATTTGGGCGTGGGCGGGAGATGCACACCTGCGAGATGCCGTCTTTGCATGCAGGCGCTGTGAGGCACGCGTGGGGTGCACCCCAGGTTTACAGTGCACGTGGCTGCGCAGAGGGTTATGCAGGCTGGTGCTTGGCCTCTTTTGCCGACAATATATCCCGAGACCGTGACTCGAAGTTGACTTGGTAAGGAAGTAAGTAAGTAACGTTGGAGCTGGCGCCGCAAGATCGGAGATATGGCGATGGGCGGGTAGACGTAACAATCCAGTCGGAGCTTGGCTATCAATCACTCAGGTCAGATGCAGGGGGGCTTGGTGCGGTGTAGCAGTCGTAGTAATTGTATCAGTTTTTGTTAGTGTATAGAATAAAAAAGGCATAACACAAAATACACATGACGGGTTTCATAAGCTGCTCCAACTCAGCAGAGGGGGGCTTTTTGTTTTTGTACAGAATCCTACCGCCAACACACAACACCTCTTTCTTGATAGTGGCATTTTTACAGCTTGGCCTTGTTGTCCTTTTGCCACTGCTCGTACCAGACTCTGCCAAACTCCTTTCGCTCGTGGTCCTTGTCCTGGGTATCCGCAAAGCGCTGCTCCTCAGCCTCCAAGCCAGCCGCATCGAGCTCCTTGATGAGCTTGTTGTAGAGTTCAGCCTTGATGACGCCGTAGACGCCGGCCTTGGGCTTCTCGAGCAGCTGGTACTTGTCGATGAAAGCAAAAGCGTCGTCAATGCTCGTGGCGGTCTCGTCAGCAATGCCCAGCGCGACAGCATCGGCGCCAGTCAGGCGGCGGCCCTCGAGGGCGAGTATGCGGCAGGTCGAAGGAGGCAGCTTGTTGCGGAAGATGGCAGCCATTGCAGGCTTAAGAGGCGCGCCAAAGAGCACCTCGTTGAGGCAGATGAAGCCCTTGGGCGAGGGAGCGAGGCGGTAGTCGTGGGCCATGGAGAGCATGAGGCCGCCGGCGTAGGTGTGGCCGTTGAGGAGGGCGACGGTGGGCATGGGGAATCTGGCGTCGGCGTGTTAGCAAAGTATGACAAGACAGAGTGACAAAAAGAGGCCACGGACGTAAGGAAGCGCTTCCAGACGCTGTAGAAGAGGGCCCAGAAGCCCTCGGTGTTGATGGCCATTTCGAGATCGAGGCCGTTGGAGTAGAACTTGGCAATGCCCGAGGTGGTGATGACGACGCCAGGAGCGTAGCCGCCAAACTCGAGGACGTCAAGAGCCGCAAGGAGAGCCTTGCAGAAGGCCGGCGTGATGCGGTTGTCGGGCGGCGATGTCCATGTCAAGACGTAGACTTGGGGCTTGGGCTCGGTGCAGACGATGGCGCCGCCGGGGTGCGGGCCGATGGGCAGGATGGGGACGGAGAATCGCTCAGTCATGTTGTTCGTAAGTGTGTTTTTGTGAGTGATGAGTGGTGATATCGAGGGTCGGAGGAGGAGAAAGAAGAAGAGACGAAGAAGATGCAGAATAAAAGATGCGGTTGCGTCTTCATGGTCGGACCTCGGCTGCGGGCGGCTGGGGCTCCGCTGAAGGCTACTGACAGACAGGCGCTGGCTGGAAGCAGCACAGGGGCGTTGTTTGGGGGAGTGGGTCGATGGGTTTGGTGGGTGGTGCGGGGAGACATGAACAATAATGACAGTGGGATAAAAGACAGATTTAGAGTTATTTATGGTAATTAAAAATATCAATTAAGATTTAATTGTTGATTAAATGGTATATCCATTTTTCAGACATTTATTTATGCTTCTGCTGGTGATGGACTGGTGGTAGAACATGTTGCCCCAAGCCCCTTCACATGCCAGGCGGCGCTCTTATAAACTAGAGACGCCGCTTCAACTAACCCGTTTCCGCTCCGTGCTATATTCAGCGGGCCGTGGAGTGGGAAGCTACGAGTACATGATGATATACTTTTATTAGTAGTAGTAAAATATGTATCTACAATAAGCGTCCTACATTTTACATCTTAAAACTTGAGAATACCCCGTAACCAGGATGATTTGGGTCACATCACCATGTCAGATGTATTCTAAGTCATGCTTTTCGATGCCAATATGTACAAAGACAAATGGCCATCATACAAATAATGCAGAGGTTATGAATAAAAACGGTCCTCCAACACACTTAACTATTGTCTACTATACTGCAATGAGCTCTGCTGGTGCTGGTGCTCCCAAGGCTGTCACACTGAACTCCCTGTACGGTGCCTGGCGGGCCGTAACTGCTGCACTGCAACAGCTCCCCACTAAAAATTTACAGCACCCCTCCTACAGTGAACTCCATCGTGTCCTCGCGGCTCCTTTCCATCTCACTTCACCTTCTCCAACCACATTCACCACCACAACCCTTCGTCATGGCGCCCAAACCTGCCGCCACAAAGGCAGCAGCAGCAGCAACAGCAGCAGACGACCCCCAATCAACAATCCTATTCTTCCACCCCGACCTCGGCATCGGCGGCGCAGAACGCCTCGTAGTCGACGCCGCCGTCGGCCTCCAGGAGCGCGGTCACCGAGTCGTCATCTTCACCAACCATTGCGACCCATCCCACTGCTTCGACGAATGCCGCGATGGTACACACATAATTGATCCCCCCCAACATCAAACAACTACTAACACCTCCCTAGGAACCCTCGACGTCCGTGTCCGCGGCAGCTGGCTCATCCCCATGTCCATCTTCAACCGCCTGACCATTCTATGCGCCATCCTCCGCCACTTCCACCTCCTCCTCACCATCCTGTTCAACGGCGAGCTCGACAGCCTCCGCCCCTCCGCCGTCATTGTCGACCAATTGTCCGCCGGCCTCCCGCTCCTCCGCGAACTGCTCCTCTCCGCTAGAGTCCCGATCCTCTTCTACTGCCACTTCCCCGACCTGCTACTAGTCCAAGGCCGAAATGCGTCCGCCCTCAAGCGCCTATATCGCGTCCCTTTTGACGCCTTTGAAGAGTTCTCCATGGGCTTCGCGGATGCCGTTGCCGTCAACTCCAACTTTACAAAGTCCATTGTCGCAAAGACGTGGCCTCGTCTCGCTGCACAGGTCGACATGCAGGTTGTCTACCCCTGCGTCGATATTGCGCCGACGAAACCTGCCGAGGTGCCGCTTTCCTTTGCCGCCAAGAACGATAAGCTTATTCTCTCCATCAACCGCTTCGAGCGCAAAAAGGACATTGCGCTAGCTATTAAAGCGTTTGCGGCCATTCCCGCGGCCGATCGCAAGGGCGTCCGACTCGTCCTCGCAGGCGGTTACGATCCTCGTGTTGCAGAAAACGTCCAATATCATTCTGAACTCCAGGATCTTGCCACATCTCTCACTCTTACACACGCCACCATTAACAATACGACGTCTACCGAGACGGGCCCAGTCGACTCTGCCTCTGTCCTGTTCTTGCTATCCGTCTCCAACTCGCTCAAGTCAGCTCTGCTTCAGCGTGCCCATCTGCTCGCTTACACACCATCTAACGAGCACTTTGGTATTGTTCCCCTGGAGGCAATGCTGGCTGGTCTACCAGTCTTGGCTGCCAACACAGGCGGCCCTGTCGAGACTGTTGTGGACGGCGTCACTGGCTGGTTGCGAGAGCCTGAAGATGCGCAGGCCTGGTCCGATGTTATGCGTTCAGCTCTCGCCCTCAGCACTAAGCAAAAAGAGGCCATGGGTAAGGGTGGTGCTGACCGTGTTCGAAGCCTATTCGGTAGACAGCAAATGTCCAAGAGCCTCGACAACATCCTTGATAGCGGTGTCGAAGCTCGTAAGAAGCGTAACCCCGGGGATCCTAGCTTATTCTTTGTTGTCACAAGTACTCTCGGTTTACTAGCCATCACTGTATTCGCTCTCGTTGGCGGCTACCTCATTTAAGTAGGGCTTTACTACCCAGCGATGTTTGTACAATAGCACACACACACACTTGGAAGGAAGAAAAGTGTAAATAAAAAAATGTAAATTACATGGCAATGGCCATCAAGTCGTTACCTGCACTCAGGATAAGCCAATCTTGCCTCCCTTGTTACCAATCACCTCTAGTCGCAGCAAAGTACGACACATTCCCAGCCCAGTTCTTCCACTGTACTTCACTCTATGACGAGTCAAAACAGTGACGCCGTTGTGCGCTGAAAGCAAAGTACAAATGTATGAAGCGTAGCAGCGGACAGCAAATGACGGGTTGCCCCTGCCTTATGCCATCTCTGCAGAGCCATCCAATCTCTCAGAAAACCTCACCATCCACAGAAACCAGTAGAATAGACGAAAGAAAAAGACGCGGGAAAAATTGCAAAATGCCTGCCTTGTATATTTCCATGTTTCCCCATAATGATGTTAAGACCAACCCATTACCCAACCCGGTCTTTAATGCAAATGCCGCTATATGAATATATGAAAAACAAAAAACGCAAAATCAAGTGGTGGAACAAAAAGAAAACAGGTAGAAAGTGCACCCAGCGGTGCCTTCATAAACACCAAAACAGAGCCCAAAGCTTTCTGCCTGGTATTAGTGTGATAAACGTGACCATCCCTCATCAAGCTTCTTTAATCGTAAAACACAACGCGCTTCGCTGTCTCATCGCTGGCCGTGCTAATATTGCTAATGGCCGTGTCTCGTCGTCTAGCCTCAAACGGAGGACGACGCGGGGCAGGAGGATTCGCACCAAGCGTCTTGTGGTTCTTCGACTTGGCCATTTGCAAGAATCCGTCGTCGCTACCGTCGTCATCTTCGTCAACGTCGCCAGCATCCGCATCATTATTCACCGAAGGAGCTGCTGTTTCAGTGGCAAGCTGCATTGCAACTGGTGCGCCGTCCAGAGTGGTTGGGCTTGCCAAAACAGCATCAAGAGGGAATCCGGCCTCCGATTCCTTCATCAGAGCTGGAGGTGTCAGTGAATCCGTTGTTTGCAACAGCGGCGTCTGGTTATTCGTGACATCAAGGTGCCCGAGAATCTCAGATTCGACGTCAGCTGACACCGAGCTTGCACCGCTCAGCAGCGCGGGAAGCGAGGGGTCTGATTGGAAAGCCAGCATCCGATCAGACGTATTCTTTCCAGGGTGTGTGGTGCCAACAGGGCTTGTCGCTTCACTGGGGCAGGTCAATGGTGTGCCGACGCAAGCCTCAATCGACTCGGTGCTCGAAGACTGTACCGTCGTTGCGGTGATGCCGCGGAGAGGCTGCTGTGGTCTCTCAGCGGTAGCAGCAGCCAACGCCTCGCTGATGGCGCTCTTGGGCCTTGTCTCACACGGCGGGTTGGGCTGCTTGTCGGCAACCTTGGGTCCGAATGATAGGGCCTGCACGTTGCTGTTCGACGATTGTGCAGCTTGTGCCCGCACGCTAGTTCCGCTTTCTGCCCGAGATCGCGCTTGGGAACGACTCAAGATAGACTCTTGGTACGAGACAGGCTCAGATCCAGGATTGAAGTGCTCGTAGCGCGACATAGGCGACGACGATAACGAGGATTCGTGGCCGCCAGCCAAACGTTCACGGTCAGTCTCAGCTGGACGCAGAGGCAGGGGGCTTGCGAGTCCGCGAGCAGGACCAGCAAGCACGGGCTTACCGAGACCAACGCTGGCGACTCCACGGTCAGCACCATTGAAAAGGCCAAACTTTTCGTTGGAGTGCGATCGAGAAGCTCCGCTGCCGGTGGATTCTGAGTCGCGGGTCAGTCGCAGGATTCCTTGTGTTGCGGGGGCCGTCCTTTCGGCGGTGCCATCATGCTTAGGCATATACGATTGCCCGAGAAAGGGAGCAAGGCTTAAAAACTGATTGGTGTTGATCTTACCGTGTGATGCTGTTGGTCGGTGCCAGAGTCTGGCTGCGCCAGCTTGCATATCTTGGAGCGATGCCTCGCTCAAACCATGTCGATGGGCGCGTACATGGGGCGCCTCAGATGCAGAGACTGTAGCCAGTGGATCATAGATATCAGGCTCACTGCCTGTCACCGTGGCAATGATGGATACATTATCCATAGCAGGTGACATGGGCAGGCCTCTGCCAAAAAGATCGTCGTGGAATTGTGTTCGTCGTTCGGCGTGGTAGAGGGGCGTAGCCGGTATGCTCCTGAAAGCGGCTTCATTGACGGAGCTGTTGGCGCTACTTGTAGCACGTCGCCTAGATTTAACATCGGGGCGCTCGCCAAGAGGGTTGATAACCTTGCCCACAGCTTTGCGGACGGCAGAGCGCGCCTTTTCAAGAAATGTGAGCGGCACAACGGCCGACGACACGTCCCGTTCGTCAACTTGAATTTTCCTACCATCATGAGGACGAGACGGGTCTGTGTCATCAAGCCAGCCAATTGTGTTGGAGATGCCTCTCAACACCCACGGGTGGCGCTTGATGTCTCGAAGGCGAATACGCTTCTCGGGATTCTTGATCAACATCTTGGACATCAAATCGTACAGCTCATCATCAACATCTTCGTAGATGATGTCACCATCATCACGATAAGGGCGAACGTTTTGTCGAAATACCAAGTTCTGCGTATCGGGGGATGTTGTTGGGTTGACGGGAGCCAGGCGAACACGAGGGATATAAACATCTTCAGTAGCAATCTTCTTGAACATTTGGAACTCATCCTCGGCCAAGAAGGGGATACGAGCGAAAATGAGGCAGTACAGTGTCACACCCAAAGACCAAACATCGATTTGCTCAGAGACCTTTGGCTGTTCCTTTTCGATGTCTGTATAGCAAAGCTCAGGGGCGAAAAATGCGGGGGTTCCGACAGTCTTAGCAAGCTCAAGATCATCGTCAAAGTCTCTCGCTTCAGACTCTGTAACGATGTCCTCGGGTTCACCATCGCGGTTGGGGCGGCCAAAGTATGATACACCAAAGTCGGAGATCTTGACACGGTGATCCTTGCTCCACAGCAAGTTGGCAGGCTTAATATCACGATGAACAACTCCTTGATAGTGAAGGTACTCTAATCCAAGTACTGTATCTCGGAAAGCGGATCGAGCTTGGTCGAAAGTGAAGCACGGCACATAGGAGTAGTCATCCGCGAACGGGTCAGGGTCCTGTGGGTTGAAATCGATAGAGGACATGTGGGACATGATCGAGTCAGCCATGCTAGGCGACCGCTCGCGAAGACATGGGCCATCGTCAGGGAACATGCCCCCATCGACAGCATCGTAGGGATCATTGTTGGCGGTGAGGGGACCAGGGGTTTGGAGGTCGTCGCCCCACAAGACATCCTCTTCAAGCTCTGAAGGGGCCTGGCCAGAGAGAGCCACTGAGTCTCGCCGTGATGAGTGAGATAACCCGGCTGGCGAAGCTGCACCGGATTCCCGACCTTCGGAGCCCGCTACATCATACTTGGAAGAAACGCGGGACACGCTGCTATGTTCATCGGCAGCACCATGTTCCACGCTCCAAAACTCAGCAGGTGCTGCTTGCATCTGCTCCGCCATCTTGGCCCGCTTGTAGTTTTTGAGAGCCATACGACGCTCCAGATACTGATCGTATTGGACCTCTTCAGCTGTCTTGGGTTCTCCCTTGATATCACGTTCCGCCCGACGACGTTCGTACAAGAAGACGTATGGTACACCTTTCTTTCGCCACACGACTTCGCCAAGCTCAACGTGTTCAAGGATCATGTAAATTTTCTTCAGCTCGGGGTCGTCAATGATTTCGAGAAGAGCGACAACGTTGGGGTGGCGGATCTTCTTGAGAATGGCGATCTCTTTCTTTGTTTTGTCTTCGGGCATTCGGGCGGTAAGTTTTCCGAGTCGGCGCTTCTTCGAGAAGCGGGGAATAATCTTGATGGCGACATTGTCGCCAGTTGCAACATTGCGAGCAAGTTTTACCTTGCCATGCATGCCGCGGCCAATTTCTTCAATGACTTCATACTGATTGATCATCTTACGACCAGTAATGGTATCACTGTCAATTAGAGCCTTGTGTGTTCTGCAAGAATCGAAATGTTAGCCATTACATCCTTTCGTAAGCAACAGTTGGGCGGCGAGAAACGTGTTGTGCAACCCTCAACCATCGACAAGCGGTTAATGTTTAATGGGAAGGTGGAGAGGCGACCGACACGGGTGCCTGCAATAAAATTGATCAAACTTACTCTCGAACTCTGAAGTTCTGTAGGGGGTGAAGAAAAGAGACGCTAGCAGCCGCTGGTGCTGGCGAGCTACTTTCGGAGAAGGATGTGATGGGATGATCGCGGAGGTGTCGAGGCGCGGGGCTGAAGAGACCAGTCGACGACACTGGTGTGCTCGAAGTGGTTCTCAGAGGTAACGATGCGGAAGAAGGAAGAGCAGAGGGCTTAGGTAGTGTTACATCGTCATGTTTGTGCTGTTCTGGCTGGCCCTGCTGCTCCGGCAGCGGCTGCTGGAGAGTCTGGTCTGTGGAATCCATGGTGGTGAATTGGATGTGGCCGCCGAGATTCGAGTATGCATGCCGCTCCTCTTGCCAACTACAAGATTTGCGGCAAGTCACGCCCGTCAAAGTAAGGCGAGTGATTCGGCAGTGGCCGTGTGATTTATCGAAGCATTATCGAGCTATTTCGAGCTGGGGCGGCGGCGGCGAGTCGGGTTGAGCGAAAGTGTGCTGGTCGAAGCAACAAGATGATTTTCGTGGACCCTGTCGGGGGAGGATTTGTGAAAATTCGATGGACGGATGGTTGCAGCCAGCTAGGAATTGAAGCAGGCAAGAAATCACACTGAGGTTCTCCTAAATACGCAGTGATGAGAAGCTGAAGGAAACAAACGGTGATGGTGGCAAGAGAAATGTTGACGAGGAGCACAAAGGTGGGAGGGTGGGAAATTGATGGGGGGGCTCTTCTCGGTGGTGCCCGGGGGGAAGAGCGCACGCAGCAAGCGGCGTTTTAGCACACTTGCGCCGGGCACAAAAGCAGGGTACGTACCTTTTTGGGCTTTTTTAGTGGGCGATGGCCGGAGGCACTACAGCAAAGGCAGCCTAAAGGGCCAGAAAAAAAAGAGGCAGCTGCAGCAGCAGATTCAGCACTGTGCATGGGTCGGCAGATCCCACAGTGGACATGGTGGTGGAATGGGGCCGTGCTGGCCAATAGGAGGATCTTCTTGGACAGTGTGATCGACCACGATAAGAAAACCAGGCACTGTTCTCTGGGCTGCTGGTGGCCGCTGCCCCCCTGCACAACCGCCAAGACCCCAACCCAAACCTGGCGCTGCGCACGCAAGCGGAGTCGAGAGTCACTCTGAGTGGGGCCCCTAAGGGTGGTGCAGCCACTAACACACCAGCGTCGACAGGGGACGCATGCCCTGGAGTCGAACGGTACCGCGCTGAGCGTTGGCTTTTTTGTCGCTTGCACAAGTGGCCATAGGCGAGTCCAAGTACAGTGACCAGGCCCATGTACAGTACAGTGGGTGGCCTTGGTCCACAGGCTGGGACCATCAGTGGGCTACCGATCGTCATTCTCTATGCTGTGTAGTTACTTGTTGCTTTCTCTCCATTGAGCATCTCATCACCGTTCCATCGCTCGGGTGTTTGCAGCACTAGCTACAGCATCGTCATTATCATCAAGCATCATGCCCTACGCTAATCCAGCATCATGTTGTTCAACACCGTTTCGCATTTAGTCCCTTCTTTTTTGTCCCCTAGCAACCATGCCTTATCCTATCTAACATCCCCTCGCATGTGCTCGAACAGAGCCGCCCAGACCCTCTCGACCATGCGGCCAGATCGTCCCCAGCAATACACAACACACAACCTGAGACACCCACGGCTGGTTGACTTCTATTATAGGGCCCGGGGCGGGAATGGGACTGATAAGAAACTAGAGACACAACATCAGCCCGAACACGCTCGCGCCCGAGACAAGTCTACTAACACATGGAAGTAATTAGATCTGGTGGCCGTTAGAGCCTCCTTGTGCTCGACGGAAGGACCCGTCCACTTCAATGTACGTCAACATCCATCACATTCATTACAATCCACGCGGGCACCCTCGATCGCCCGTCCCGCTTCTACCGCCACGGCAAAAGAGAGCCGACGGATGCTAAGTGTATCAAGTCCCTCACCAACAGCCACAACGAACAGTGTCTTGTCCTAGGTTCACTATAGAGTGACATCACTTTCAATACTATATCTTGCTGCCCGTCACTGTGATGAAGACCTGCCCTCGCTAACGTGCCATGGCCTAGGTTCCTCTTTATAGTCGTCATTGGCTATCCTTAACACAAAGACGACTGCTTCTCGAACCAGTGTATGCGCTATTCTACACTATACTAGACTCTGTAGCGGCTCTAGACGCCGACCAAGCATGAACACGATAGCACTACCTATAGCGCCAGAATTGGTCTGCGGTCGCGCGAGGTCAATATTTGCACCTGCATACCTAGAGGCATGTTGGCGGGGAAGGCTGCTGCAAGGCCCTTTGGAATTCCAGGCCCAGGCCCTTCCTTGCTGCCCTTCGGAATACCGCCCCGCTTGAGCTCGGCATCGTGAGACTTGCTCGGCTTCCGAGCGCTTGGTGTTTTCATCTGAATACGCCAGCTATGTTATCCCCGCCATATGCTTGAAACTGATCTCCCTGCCAATGGTCCTGGTGCCGCCGAGCAAACCCTGCAGGGGGTGCCGCAACAATTATGCGCTAAGCATTGGGCATCTGCCAACGCAACGCTTTGGATTGGATACAGCGCAGGGTCAGGCATCAAGAAAACAAACTCGTTGTATTTCTACACTTCTATCGCGGTGTGTAGGGTGTTGTGGCTACAGCGCCTACTGCTCAAGTTACCACGGGATCTCATGTGTAATTACCCCAGATTGCCAAGGAAAGATCATGATGTCATCAGTCCTCCAGCACAAGATAGTGTTACAGGGCGTGTCATATCCTGTACGGAGTAGACATCAATTGCCATACCTTAGAACACAAGCCAGGCATCGTCACTTTCAATCGAGAGCTTGGAGCGGGTAGACTTGCCGGAGGCCAGTGCCCCCCAATCAGACAAATGTGAATCATGCACGGCGACAAGATGCAACGCGTGGGGGGCAGTCGGGCAAGGGGTGGCCAACAGCGGAAACCACTTCCACAAGCGTTGCCCAATGCAACGCTGGCTACTGGACAGCCACTTCAACACTACTCAAAAGCCGTCTTATACATTCCAAGCCATGGCGGCTACCGGAGGACAGCGGCGGGTCAACGTTTTTTAAGCCGAGCGATGTTCCTCTTGGGGCTCTGTATTCTATATCGTCGACATAATTGGCACTTGGCATCGAGGCGGTCGAGTCCAAACTAGAAACATCATGAAGCACCGCTGTTAGAAAAGCGGTAACCAAAAGTTAGCCACTTGAAAATCTGCAAGAGCCGCCAAAGTGGGCATCGAAGCCCACAATTGGGTCAGCGCCGGAGGGTCCATAATGCTCGGCATGTTTACTGAGAATCTCCAGGCAAGCCTGCCTTGTCCTCTCATGGCCGGGCTAGCATCATGTGTGTTTCCTCATCAGTGACTGAGCAAACACTACTCCCACAAAGCAGCATGATGGACTGCCCGAAGCGGAACGAGCGATGCGCCGTGGTCTTCGCACCATTGACCGCAGCCGCCGTCGATGGTAGGTGAGCGGCTTGGCGACTCACAAGTCTCCCGTCCCCCTGTTGGATAGAGGCAGGGTATCAAGGGTCAAGGATGCGAATGAATCACATCGCCTATGATCTGGCACGTTTTGCCAGTGCCACGAAGAACCCCTGGTTCCATGGCCTGCGCTGTTTCCCCATCATCCCTGACCACTGACCGACTCTAGCGCTAGGCAGGCATTCGGCACCCTCGTTATATTCTCGGCTTGATCGCTAAGAAGAGCGGGACAAACTCCTAGCCCACGGCCAGTAGCACCAAAAAGGAAAGTCGTTGGGAGCAGCCAAGTTAGCGCATGGGGCGAACGCAGATTACCCTACCCGCTCAACTGAACGATACACTGCTGCGTGTGCTAATAGCAGTGGAGACGGCGAAATCGCCGCAACATAAATCTACGTAGGTACTAACGTTGCAACCCACAGACATTGTTCCGATTTCGAGAAAGCATTGTATCGGTCGGCAATTCCTATACAGGAATTTCCGTGCGAATTAATCGTCAGCAAAGAATGTGGTCTGCGCTCTTGCAACACGCTTATCGGACATTGACCTCGGAAGCGCCGGGGACGTGCATGCTACCAGACGAGGCAAACTCATTTGCTGGGCTCAAGGTTTGGGATTTGTAACGGCAGATTGCAAATTCAGCAGGATTTCCATGTCAATACGTGCCGTGCTATCAATGGCTCATCCCCCAACGCTTGGGGCAGAAGCTGGAAAACAGCCGAGAGAAAATGGTGGCGGCCACTATCTACTGCAGCATCTTGCACCGCGTAATTTCATGGCGTGCATATTTCAGCCTGGGTTGATAGCCTATTACTGCCCGACTATTACAGCAATTGAGGGAAACTGCCTGTCCACTCTGGCAAAGTGACGCATCACTTTATCTGATGAAAGCGCCCGTTCCCATGTGAAGAAAGATCGCCCTTCACAAACCAGATGATACGCGGGGGATTCTCCTGTACCACCCCAGCTAAAGCAAAGTGCCTTCCTGTGGGACCTTGTCCCCAAATGAAACTGGTGGCAGCAGAGTTTCCATTGATGTGCGGCGACTCCAGCGAAGCTAACCCAATGCACGAGCGGCCCGCGCGGGTCCCCGTTCCACCGCCGGTTACATCACATTTGACACTTAGATAAGAAACTTCAAGTGTCATGCATTGCGCGAATAAGACCGAGCGCTGATTAAAAAACCCCAATGGTCTGACACGCACGCATTTGGACTCAAGATTGCTGTGCATACGCTGCGCGCAGCCTTGGCCATGACTAGATACGCATGTGAGAAGCAGGTACCTTGCAGATCGAAGTACAGGTACATCTGGTCAACAATTTCCACGGTTCCTAGATACCTACCTGGCGCGTTGAAAGAAGACATCGTCCGCGTGCTTGCCACCAGCCAAATCCAGCCATGACGCTCCCATGGCGGCGGTAGACAGGGCTGTAGAGTGGTGCGGCTGGCTGGCTCACTCGGCGATATTGGAGGCACCCTTCCATCATCCGGAGGACTTGTTCCAGGCTGCGGCTGTGCGCTCCCTCCGTGACAGAGTGGCATCAGCGATACAACGCCCATTCTTCCTAAAGTTCACAGTTTTGGCGCGCTTGTCACTCGTATTTGACATGAATCGCGCATCCGCCGCCGAGGACATCCTTCAAGTTGCTTCTTTAGACGCTAGGAATGGACAAGCTGTCTCTCGTGACGCACAAGCGTCTAAGAGAGAAGGGCCGCCAGTGTCTCACCTATCGTACCACACTCAACGCCACGCCTACCGGAGGTGCTCCACCACACCATCTTCCCTAGCGGCGAGCCAGAAGCAAGGTGGACGGAACTTCGGGATCAGGAGACCTGAGTGGTCATCCCGGCCACATTATTGGCTGCGGCGGGCAGGCTGAAGCTCCCACCAGGCGACAGGTAACAATCGATATGTTCTGCAGCACAGCCGATGTGAATACGCAAGCCCGTCATCCTTCTTTGATTTTGTAGTGGCGCGGCGCCGTGCTAGGTATCTCGGTTTACACGACTGAATGGCCTGCCTTGCTGAACATAAGGCGCAGCGCCAGTCTGAAAGGTTACACCTCGCCTGAATGGTTCGCAGCCGTTGTCGTACCCCTGCGAGTTCAACTGCGCTAGTTGGCTCCCGTCCGCTGTGTCGTGCAGCTCCTGCACAGTTGCATCACGCCACCGGCACTCAAGCGCATCGACAATAATCCGACGTGAGCCAATAAAGCGGGTGCGCAGATGACTCGAAACGAACTGGTGGTGGTGCTGTTATCAGGGAAAATGCTCATCCCAAGTGCGTACGCGTTCATGGGCGACCTGCGGGAACTTGCCGTATTCATGGTTCTCATGACCACCACACTACTGCACTGGCGACACCCTCTTCGCCGCTGCTACCAGCACAGTTGGGGTTATTTCCGCCGTATACAGCTATCTGGCCCTAAAAGCTTGTTACACATTTGATTTCATAGGTGTAACAATGCCATCCATGATCTTGGCTTGCATTAGCTTTGCATAGTGTGCCAAAAGCCAAGGCAGAACCATGCGTGGCGCGTTCTGTCTGAATCTGGATCTGGTTTTCGTCCACTGAAGAATAGATGGCAAGCTTTTTGAAGCTATTGTACAAGTTTCTCATAATATTTACACCTATAGTTACAAGTATTTGATCTTTATGAGCTACTAGATGCGCTCTGGAAAAACTTGGCTCGTAAACGTCGTGCCTAAGACGTGGTTCATCCAAGCACCAACATCTTGTATATTATCAAGTTTCACACCAGCGTCTCGCAGAAGATTTGTCCAGTCTTGAACGTCATGAATGATAGTGCCAGTTAGCCCATCTACTGGTCGAGCGTCACCTTCGTTGTGGCCAATGTTGAACTGCTCAATAACTCCCTGTCTCGATTCGAACCGAACATGGGTCTATAGCCTGTTAGCGACAATGAAATACTCCCAATCTTATTCATGTGAACCAACCTGGAAAGGGATACCGCTTCGTAGTCGCGGGTCTTCGGCAGTAGAATGCGTGCAAAATGTAAATCGGGGAGTCTGTCCAAACAGCCAGTCGCGCGACTGAAGCTCCCTATAGCCCTCCCGTACCTTTTCCACTTCTAGCGAAGCATCATCGTTAATCTCATCCATAATGTCAAATTCTCCGTACATTTTACGAAACTCGGCCACGACAGCATCCTTGAATGCCTCACTATCAACCTTGACGTTGCGCACCGGGCTTCGGACGCTGTCCACCCCGCGCGTCTTGATCAACCCTTCAGCAGGCGAACGTAACATGCCCGATATGCTTCCAAGGTTAGGGCTTGACAATAGACATGTGCCATGATGGAGCGACCGCAGACGGGTAAGCTTGTACGCGGATCCCGAGATCTTGAACGTGTCGTTGCCGGGGGCGTTATCTGGAGAAGACTTGTCCACATCCATGACAATATCATGACGTGCATTGACACGAATATTAGGTCGGCCTAATGAATTCAACGCCCGGACTACCATTTCCGCATGCTTGTCACGGTCAAAGTCTGCTGGTGGGCAGATGACGCTAAAGTTGACGTTGCCTTCGTCATGGAAGACAGTGCCGCCTCCTGAGCGTCGACGGACGAGCTGCACGGGGCAGTCTGAATCGGCTAGCTTGGCAAGTTGTGAAAGATTGGCTTCAATCCATGGGTTCTGGTTACGGCCAAAGACAACGCACGGCGAGTTGATGTATAGGAGAAGGATCGTGGAGCCGGGCGGTGTCGACTGCAACAGGTGGTGCTCGACAGAGAGGTTGAGCAGAGGGTCGGAGGAGTTGGAGAGGTAGACTTGGATCTTGTTACTGGTATGAGATGCCGCAATGGTGGATAGAGGTTTCGTGGCCGCACGATGACAGCGTTGGGTTTGTCGGAGGAGGAGATGCGCACGTTGCGCTGTGCAGCGGGAAAACATTGTGTCTGTACGGAGAGGTCTTTTGATGGGTTTATCGAGGCATGGTGCTCTCGATTGCTATAATTTAGTATGTATATCAATGCGTCGCTACCGGGATTGTAGAGCTGCGGTTGTTGTGCAAGGAAGAGAAGCGAGGTCCTCTTTGCTGCGTGAAGCTTTGGCGATCCACCGATAAGGCGGTTGATAACCAACGGCAGCTCGCGCATATGTAAGAAAGAAGCCAATGTGCTATACACACATTGTCAAATATTACAAGTACAATGTTAATGAAAATAATTTATATCCTCAACATTGTTTCATTGTCCGTGAATTTTTACATGCTTTTTTTTCTAGTCCCGTTGTACATTCCTATTCATTAGCGGTGCAAAGTATCTGTCTGGTGACGCCCCTCCCCGCGCTGTGCAAGTCACGGTTGTTTCTATTAATGCGCTACCATGGCCTATAGAGGAGATCCTTATAATGAAAGACCAAGAAAGGGAAAGAAAAGAAGTTCGTTGTTTTAATGGTAGATCCAAGTTCACATTTCACATTCGCCAGCAGACGGAACACGCAGAAGCATGGTAAATATCCAATTCGACATTCATAATAAAGTGCTATAATGTAGGGGTATCACTAGTCTATTTCAAAGATCAAACAATAAACAGCCGTACTTGTTTACTCTGTCGGTCGGGCTTCCTCTGCGGGCAGAGGGGCCGATGATGATGCAATGCTGGCTGTCTCGCTCGTCTCAGCCGTCTTTAGTTTCTGCTGCTTCGCGGCTGCAGAGCTCTCCTTTCGCTTCCTCGCGATGCTTTCCCGTTCTGCAATAGAATCTCGCTCAGCTTGAATAACCTTATCGCGGCGCTGCTCAACCTCGTCCCGGCGGACCTCGCGGCGTAGCCCCTCACTAGCCTGCATAAGACCGTCAATGCTGATGGCGTGCTCTGTCATTTGGTGGTTGATATAAGTGTAGATTCTGGCGGGTGTGTCACACTTGAGCAGGTTCTGTTCGTTGAGCTTGAGCAGGGCAAGGGCGACTTGGAATAAAAATGTGCTGCCGTCGTTGGTGCATAGCACAACGTCCCAGACGCGGAACAGCGCCTCGGCGGAAAGGCAGTCGGTGAAGACGGAGAGGAACCATTGGAATGTCAAGGCCTCAAGCTCAATGGAGAGTGACTCTAGATGAGCAGACAGCTTAGGTAGCACCGCTGTCACGTATTGTCGTAGCACCTGCTGGTCGGCGCGGGAGGAAATCAGCGACTGGTCGTAGTAACCGTGTGGCAGGATGTTTTCGACAATCGAAGCCAAGATCCAGAATGCTTCCTCTGCAGACGGTGTAATTAGAAGCAAGTTGGCTGTGATTAGGTTCATGCCCTGGCAGTAACCAACATCCTTGTTGCGCCTTGAGTAAGCAACCAAGACTTCGTTGAGCTTCTGAACACCAGGACCTTCGCGGAAGAAAATGTTGTCTGTAAGGGTTCGATGGATGTCCATTTGAATCTGTCCAACAACTGTGGGGTCGTCTTCCTCGGGGTTTTGTGCAACAATGTCATCATAGTATCCTGGGATGCGCAGCGCAACAGCACCAGAGCATTCAGACCAAATCTTAGCTCGGTACGTGACGGGGATACCACCAAGCACCAGTGTCTTGAACTCGTTCCACTTGGCACGTCCAACTTTGCCCTTGTTACCCAGGCCAGAGATACCAATCATTTCACCATCTGCAACTCGTGTTTCGGGGAGGATGACGGCAGGTTGTTCGAAACGGGCTTCAGCGGCTGCATTAGCAGCCGCCACAGCAGCATCCCCTTCACGCTTTCGCTCTGCGCGGACTTTGCGAAGAAACTCGTTCCACCGAGCGGCTTTGTCACGTTGTAGTACATCATGGACTTCGCTGAGCTGCTGCAAAAGTAGCTTGACAGGCTCAGTGTCATCAGGGGTGGTCGCGCCTGTGGTTGGCGCGGTAATCATGGATTCCTGCTCCGACACTTGCGTGGTTGCTTCGCTGTCTATTGCCGTTGTAGGGCTAGCTATCGGTACAAGGCCGGCTCCAGTTGGCTTGATTCCATGTGGTCTCGCCCGATCATCATTGTCGGCTGACAGGATCCCGGTCGTCTCCATGACCTCAATGGCAGATGCACTGACGCTGGGGGTATGACTTAGCAGCTCCGTCGGGAATGTAGCGATTTTGAGATAGTCTTGCCAGCGCTTAGGCTTGCTTTCATCTTGGACTACGTCGTCAATGCTACCTGGTGTGCTAGGGCGTCCTTCACTGGAGACGCTCCATTTGGGGCTGGGCAAGTCGTCAAGCAGGTTAGGCGAGATACCGTTGCGGCCTGTGGTGAGCATCTCAGCTCGAGTTCCTTGTTTAATGCGCTTTGTCATCTGTGCAGCTTCTCGTTGTCTCTTCTTACGCCTCTGGTCATAGATAAATCCAAATCGATCGGTAAGATGGCTATTGTTTGCATAATTGTTGTACATCTGGTTGAGGGTGGGTGGCTGTGTTTCAGGAGGCAGAATAGCGTCCATTTCAACTGGACCGTAGCTTTCTTGTCTAGCAGAGAGGGCATTTGGGGGGCTGCTAGCCATGTTGTTCCATGATTCTGCCGCTTGCTGTCGGGTTGAGTTGACGGTAGGTATGCTCGAGTGTGTAGTGCGTCTCATAGCCATGAGAGCTCTAGGACCTGCTCCAACAGCAGACGGTCGACCAACACGCTGACTTGCAGAAGACATGGCTCTAGCCGCACCTGATATATCAGCGTAGCTTGTAGCTCGACCCCGTGGGAGCTCAGGTTGTTGTACTACATTTCCCGCGACAAGCTTGAGGGCCATGCTCGCAAGTGATGCAGGCTCTTGGCTTCTGTCTGATGTATATCCTGAATAAATGCTCGAGGCTCTGCTAGAGGATCGAACGGATCGACTGTCTGGCGGATCAAACAGATCATCAGGCAGAGCTGGTCTACGATCAGCCGCTGAGTGAGCTCTGAGCGCTGCTTCGGCAGTAATGGCATCGCCGTTGACGTTGGGGCGGTTTGACTTTCGTGTCCCAGTGCCCCAAATGTATTCTTTCCAGCCTCGAGTTGTTCGGCGTCCAACAGTTTGGCTACCTGGTTGAGCAATAGTGTTGGCTCGGACAGTGGTACCAGTGACACCATTATCTGTATACGTGCTTTCAGACATGTCATCTTGCATAGCACCGGAGAGCATATCGCTCAGTCCGCCTTCTTGTCGTCTCAGGGTGGCATCACTTTTCATATCGTTTTCGACTTCACGGAGGCGAGTCTCCACGTCCAGCGTCGACAAACCACATTCTCGAAGTATACGCCTGAGTGCTCGCTGTCGTTCGTCAGCACGACGCCTCAGGCTGCTAATCTGAGTATCCCGTTGGGCGAGGTCCGTGGCAAGCTGCCGTACAAGAGAGACAGCGCCGTGCCGTGCAATCAAGCGTTCGATATGCTGATCGTCCGCCTGGTGCAAGGCGCCAGGAACTGATCGACCCAACGGGGCATCAGCAAAAAGGGCATCGCCAGACACGTTGCGGTCAATGAGGCTCTCAACGATGGAAGCATGGCCGCTCAAGGCTCTATCTCGCTTGCTATCTTCCGACTCTTGAGTAGCTGTCTTTAGTCGTTCGATGTTATCGGTGTTTTCGAAAAAGCGTGGAGCGGACGGAGCTTCAGGGGAGAAGCTTGGGAAGCTGGTGAGAGACTTGTCACTAGGTGCAACGCTGCTGCTCGCGCTGCCAGGTTGGCTGGCCAGCTTCCTAGGGCGGCCACGAAGAGTAGCGCTGCGGTTGGAGCGCGCAGAAGAGGTGCTCTGTTGAGATATTGACCGCTCAAGCTTGGAGGCCGCGGGGACGTCTGCGGCGGCCATGATGAGCGACGCAGTGCGGTGGTTAGTTAGCCCAGTCTGTTTGTATTTGTTGCCTTGTCTGCAATAGGAGGCTGCCCCAGCGGCATAGAGGCAAATCCAGCAAAGCAGACAGGGGCTATGCGAGCTGCAGGTCGATGATTCAGATGCAAGCAAGGATCGCTGAAGGTTGTGAGAATGAGGAGAAAGTTGGGGAAAAAGCAAGTATTCGGGTTAGAGGTGGTGGCGAGCGGAGGAGTCTCAGCGGGGCATAGCGTTGAAGGAAGCCAAGGCTAGACGCGTCGGCGGGCTCCTTTGGGCTAGCAGATGGGCCGCAGTTCGTGCTAAGCGTCCGCAGTCGATGCCCGTCCTCGTGAGAAGTGCCAGGCAACGCAGCGGTTGTTGGTGATGGTGATGAATCTGTTGAGAGGCCTGGCAGAAGTTGCGTTCTAGAGAGAGAGCGTGCAAGGGAGACGCCGACACGGGACCACGGCGCAGGTGGAGCACAACCAGAACGCTACTTTGATGCGCTGTAAATGCACCTAAAGGGCGCCCCCACAAGGGTCGCTACGGCCCTTATTTTTAGCGGCCCTGCTCCCTGGAAACGCTCACGCAGCCGCCACCCAACGGGACCCGGACGCGCTGGTTTCCCCCCACTAGAGTGCTGTACTGCCTGGCCGTTGCTCCATCTCGAGCTCTGTGAGCCACTAAACGCAGCCTGCCACTGCTGCTGTAACCACTACTGGCCAGCGAAACAACGCCATCGTTGCATTTGGGCGACGGCCCGTCCAGAGCCGCTGGCAACCTATCCTCATCAAGACACATATCCTCTCGCCTCGTCTAAATGCCCTGCTACCAACACCACTCTTGGCAGGCCCTGTCATATTTCAACTGAGAGAAAAAAAACTTTTTCATCAAGCTGCTTGAAACACATCGTAGCTTGGCCCACCTCCAAACTGGCTCTGAGACATGTCCCTGCTTGCATGCCTCCTCCCGACTAGGCGGCTACTCTCCCTTTTCAGCATCGCCTGTGCTCACAGCCTCTCCTAAATGGCGCAAAATGCATTCCGGTCCAGAGCTGCTCTTCTCCCTTTGTTTCCCTTTTGGTTTAGAATGCTCTAGAATGAGAAAACATGAGCTGTTTAGGTTACAGGTGCCGGTGCGAAACAGCCAGTCTAAACAGACAGCACGCGTAGATACACCACAGCGCATCTACATCAAGGACTACAACGTAAAGTATATGCAACAGCGTTATATTCCGAAAATAACCTCATATCGTCTAATCGTAGCACGTTTGTTTCGACCCAATGAAGTAGTGTCCCCCTCCGAAAAACAAAAACAAGTATCAATAGCAAAAGAATCCCGGCAACGTAATGCATGTAAAAAGAACAAGAAAAGAACAAAACTCCCTCCATCAAAGCCATTACGAATTCCAACCAAATTCGACCCCGGCCCTTTCCGGGTCATAAAATAAACATTTTCATCATGCGTCCTCATATGTACATTAATCCATTCCACCACTCCATCGTTGCGCTGCAGTGAGTATTAGGCAAAGCTGTTCTCTGCCTGCCACCGGCTGCTCTGTGGCTCCTCGCCCTCCTCGTTGGCCGCTGGTTCACAGCCCTCATCAGCGTCGTCTCGCGTTGGATCCGGAAGCATGCCTTCTTCAATCAACTTAACCAGCACGGTGTCCATAGCCAGAAGTTCCTTTCGACGCACTTGCAGCCCATCTAGCATGCGCAACCGCTTGCAGCTAGCAGCCAACACAACTTGATGCAGACGGCGCCTCAGACGTGTGGCTTCATCGAGACGGCTGGAAAACTTCATGTCGTGCTCCTCGTCGGCATCCGGTAGCGTGAAGCGGGCGCTCTTATCCTCGGAATTCATCAATACTAGCGCCTGAGATGGCACGTAGTAGCCAAGCGTCATGGGGTTGTCACGGACATCCAACCGCGACAGATGGGGAAAGTCGATCAGGAGCTTCGTAACGGATGTAGAATCTACCAGACGATTGCCCGCCGCAAGCAAATTCTTCAGACGAGGGATAAATCGAAGCGGTGCTAGGTTTGCGATAGCGTTGAAGTTGACATTGAGCGTTCGTAGATTAGGCATCTGCTGGCCAATGGCCTTTGGAAGCTTGGACAACCCGCAGTTTGCCAATTCCAAAAGTTGTAGATTGAGCATATCCACGTGCACCTTAAACGTGCCGAGGTAGTTGCCAGACAGGTACAGCTTGCGAATCTCACAAGCGCTCGCAATCAAATTCAAGTCCAAACCGACCTCTCCACGTTGCTCGCGTAGTGACAGGCTATCCAGCCTCTTCGCCTTGTGCAGACCCTCGATAAATGAGAGCTGGTTTCGGTCAGCATGTAGTGTGTGTAGATTTGGCATGTTTGACACGTCGAGGCTAACAATGTTGTTATCACTGATATCCAGGTGGCGAAGAGACGGCATAGAAACTGGCAACGCAAACGACTCAAGATTGTTCTGGGACAGCTTTAGTCGTGCAAGACAGGGCAACAGCTCCAAGTTACGAATAGACTTGATGCTGTTTCCTACCAGATCAAGCTCTGTCAGTCGATCCATTGCGGCGTCCTCAAAATCCAGATCTTCGATGACATTGTCCCGTGCGCGTAGAGACAAGAGACCATCGTGGTGACCCATGCCATCAAGAGAGGCAATTTGGTTGTTGTCTGCGCGCAAACTGCGCAGGTGTACAAGGTGTTTCAACGCAGACAAGCTCTTAATCTCGTTGCCTGAGATATCCACATATTGTAGATTCATCAGATGATCCCATGATGTAAGCTCAGTAAGCTTGTTTTCAGACACCTTCAGCTGTCTGACGCTTTGTGGGACGCCCTCTAGGTGTCCGAGCGCATTGGATGAAGCGTCCAAACTGACCACACGGCTACAGAACTCATCCAACATGTGTAGGCTCGTCAATCGCTTTTCATGCAAGTCCAGTTCTCGAAGGTCTTCCCAGTACGGCTCACACGGTTCAACTTCGCTAAGTCGGTCCACAAGATCCCTTATAGTCATGGACATCACTCTCTTCGAGCCATCGCCAGTTGATACGTGGCGCTGGCCAACGAGATAGCTTACCTCCAAGCCGAAGGACTGATCTGGTTGGTTCAGAGTAAACTCCGAAAGTGGGCTTAGAGACAACATTCCAACATTCTGGCCAAGCAAGAGACTATCTTCACCCAGAAAAGTGAGGGCATTATGGCCACCATTGATAATCAAGCTCAGTGAGCCAGTTTGTCGATCGGGTGTTCGGCGAGCAATCAAGCTTTGGTCGCCAATGATGCTCAGTTGTTGATCCTCTTCCCAAGGCAACTCCACAGTGGCTTCCTCGTCGCCTTCGTCAATCGGCGAGACAGGACGAGGGACAAAGTCCGCTCCCCGAACAGATCCGTATCTGTTGGGTGCAGGTTGTGAGCTTCTGCCTCCTGACGTCCGTCGGGATGGCTGCGCATTAGTTTCGATATCGTTATCGTCTGAACGGTTGTATGAGGCCTCTTCCTGTTCAAAGCTATCCATGAATTCGGGTAAATTCTCTTGGATAAATGATGCCACGGGCGAAGAGAAGGAAATGGCAGTATTTCGACGTTTTCCAGCGGATTTGGTGGCGAAGTGCTCGGGAGTAGCACCAGCTTCTTCCAGCTTTGCCAACTCGGAACGAGCAGTAGACACCATGCGTGGCATTGCTGCACCACCAGGGCTATTACGTGCATCATAAGATCCAGATGCCTTCTTTAGGTGCTGCAACTCCTTTGTCAAATCAACAGAGAGGTCAGGTATGTGGGCAAATGGGTCGTCGTCACTGCTTTCTTCGTGTGGGCTCGAAGGCAGTTGAACTTCTTTAACAGGAGATCCCGATTCCTTCTTCTTGATCCAGATGTTCTGTTGCGTATCCAGATACATGCTTCCCACCCTATTAGGTATTAAATGGGACACCGTATCAGGATGGATTATACGCTTTGAGTCTGATCCACGGGACGATAATGTCGGTGCGGAATCGCTAGAGACTCTGTCGGAAGAATTCGTTGGGTAGTCGTCGCCTAGCGCGTTGGTATCCAAAGGTCGGTCTGGGTTAGCCGAAAGTTTGATGTTGGGTATGTCGCTTTCTAGCTCGCCCGTTGTTGGAAGAGGGTCGTCTCGTCCATTAAGCCCAAGAGTTTGTGCCCGCTGCGCGAGGCTCATAGATCGCATAGAAGATGAGATGATATCTGCGACATCACTAAACTCACGATATCGCTTCAACTTGCTTACGAGCTCAGCATTGTCGTTAATATCTATTTGCTTCGACGTTGAGCGGCCTTCTCGGCTAGGAGGGCGATCGAACGGTTCAAATGTTGATTCTTGGTGAGAGGGTTGAATGTTGGAATGGTCTCTAAGAGTCTGGTTGTCCTCTTCTGATTCTTCAACACTTTCCATTGTGTTTGGTTTTACTTGGTTTCGAATCATAGCCATGATTTGTGCCGCTTGGTCGACAAAGTCTTGTGTTCGTATGGACGGTTTACGATCAACCTGGTTTGTGGCACTCGTTGACTTTGTAGATTGGTGATGCCGGCGTGGCGAATCTTTGTTTTTCTTGAGGGCTGCGTTTCCACCGAGATCATACTCAAGCTTACGTTGACGATGTCGAGGAGGTGTTGGACTTCGAGCTTCCAGAATCTCCCTGGCAGCTAGGACATCGGGTGATGCAAGTTGGAATTCACCGGGCAAAGCATCCTTTCTCTTCTTTCCGGGATTGTAGCGTGTATCATCTTGCGAGTTGTCTTGTTCTTCGTACGCAATGTCGGATCTATGCAGCGTGCGTCTTCTCTTGGGAGTTGGGTCTTTCACTGGTGATGTACGCGGCCGCTTGGATTCCAATAGGCTTTCCACGGACGATATGGCATCATCTTGGCGAAAAGAAAGGGAAGTGTGTCTGCTAATTCTGGCAGCAGGTCCAAGCGAGCGACCAAGTCCCCGTTCCGCAGGCCGGAGATCAGTCCGAAGCAAGCCATCCGTATGGTTAGTAGAGAGAGGATAGGATGGGCCAGGGGAGCTGTATAGAGATTCAGCTGTTCTTTTGCCTTGGCCATCGCCAGTGATATCTGCTGTAAAAGCAAACCCATCGAGTTGGCCATCGCCAAAGAAACTAATAGACTGTTTTTGTTCAGCAGCGTCGGTATTCTCGTGATCACTGTCATCCTCATCTCGATTATTTAGCAAGTTTGATTCTTCGGATACGCTGGCAGAATTTACATCTTCAAACTGGCTGATTCGGCGCAATAGTGTCTGGTTCGTGAAAGTATCGTATGGTCCAAACAGCTTCAGGGGACTTCCAGAGATCGTTCGGTTTTCGCCTTGCTGTGCACCCTTTTGAGGGCTTGAGAAAGGAACATTGGGAAGTTCGGGGCTCGCATCAAAACTTTGCTGTGTCTTGGGTTTGGGGCTATAAGTGCGGACGGATGGGTATTCCTTCGGTGTGCTGGCTTGGAGTGACTCCTCTGGCAGCATCTCAGACGTATCAACACCGATTCCAGCATGAATCCCATCGTGAAAGAGTTGAGTATCTCCACTCCGGCGGAAGGCGGGGTTGACATGTCCTGCAAACGCACTCCCTGTTGAGGTTGTCCGGCTGTGAGTATACTTGTGTTCAACTTGTGGCGAGGAGTTCCTGGATTGGCTTATGCGTAGTTGCTCTAGCTTGCTGTGAAGATCTTCTGTCACGCCGTCCTCAGGCTCCAGAGTGGGTAGCTTTGATATCTGCGTTTGCTTGCCAATAATAATAGAACTGAAGTTTTCATTTCTGACAACACTTTGGCCACAGGTGTGCCGACTCGTGCCCTCATCATTAGAGGGGACAGCAAGCGTCTGACCAAAAGCCACATCAGATTCCTTTGGACGTATCGGAGTTTCTTCGTATAGGTTTGTTTCGAAATGTTCGGTGTCGTCTGCTGCAGCTCCTGATGTAGCTCTATAATTGACACCTCGTTTTATCCTCCTAGGGCTCGGACTGGGCGTGACTTGATCTGGAAACTGGTTTTCTTCTGCTTCAGCGAGGTTTACAAGCCTGTCGATTTCTTCTTCGATGCCATATTCATATAATGGAGGGCTCGATGGCATTGTATCGTCGGCATTTCGCATATTTGTTGGGCTAAGGTTTGTCTCATCCGCCTTGGGCACAGGTGGCTTGAACATGTCTTGTAAACCAGTTGCGGCGGAACAAAACAAATCCTTTTGTTCGCCATAGCCTAGCTCCCCATAGACTAGTCGGCGCTTCCATTCTGGCGTTTCTCCCTCCTTATGAGGCGATGAGCCAGCATTCGTCTTGTTATGAACCACAGATCCATCACTATCATGGGATACTACCCGATCGTATGTTTGGCTTGGCCTTATTTCGTGTGACAACTTAGATGGCGACGGTCGGTTTCGTGGCATATTGATTTCATTTGCACTCCGTTCAATTAACACATTGCTACTGTTAGGATTGGACGGGGAGTAAATCGGCTTCGATCCAGCAGACCGCAATGGTATCCGACTCGCGTGCGAGGCATGTTTTGACGGTGATACACGCTCAGGCGTGTCAAGAAGCAGCGGAAGGTCATCGTGGGAATTATCAGAGTCGTTTTGCGACGGCCAATCGTCAGACAGTGAGTCTAGCCAGGCGTGGGCCATGATTTAAGTCGAGGAGGGCGATCCGCGTGTTTGATAGCACTTTGTCAAGCTATTGACTAAATCATTGCCTTTTGATACGACTCTAACCAGCACGAGAATGAAGCAGGGAGAAGGGAGAAGGATGCAACGAAACAAAAAAGACTGTTTTTGTAATAGGAAAGACGGGTTAAGTAAAAGAGTGTGAAAAGACTGCGAAGGGTCAGCGGGTGAAGCGGAAAGTCCAAATATAGAGATGGTGTGGTTTAGAGATACAGGAACAAACGGTTATTTGATCGCTTGCTTAGCGGCTAGCATGACGCGCAGGCATAGTCGCGCGTGGCCCGCTCCACACGCCTTGGTGCGGGCGCCAGTAAACAAACCTTGCAGCTTTTTTGTTGCTGTGCCAACAGCAGTGGTCCACTGTCAAATGTGGCTAGTGATCCGTGGTCTAGCCACACTATCGCGCTTGTTCCGACGACTGATAGGTTTCTATCGTCTTTTTCCACGCATTTATGCTTGATATTTTATTATTTAAGGCGTAAAATATATTCACATTCATAATATGAACGATAATACCAAATTTTAACTCTATTAGATTTCTTGCTGGCGAGGAAATCGATAATATAGAGGATCACTTTACGCGGGATCACGTGTAGGCGCGTCGCGTCTAAGTGAGACTTGCAGCCACATCCGATCACCTTGGAGAAATTGCCTGGTCACCAAGTCGATCGGAATTCTGTCGTTGGTTCAGAAACCCCCCTTGTCTCCGAGAGATGTCCATTGTCCTTTGCTGAACAGACTTCATCGTGCTACCCTTCACAAGTCTATTAGCAATTGCATTGCTCCATGGCTCCTCAAACTTGGGCCAACGATGCCATGCATTGCTCCAAGCTTGATGAGGAGGCTTTCTACGTTGGTTCTGACGATGACGACTACGAAACCCCAGCACATCGTCAACTTCAATATAAGCTAGCGGCGAAGAAATATCTCCACGGCGATATCCCAATCCTCATTACAGCAACACTCCGAGGACCTTTCGAACGTTCGACAGGATGGACTAATCCCTGGGCCAAGAGCAGTCCACAACTCCCTTCGATCAAGATAAAATCAAATCCGACAATATCACCTATCAAAAAGAGCAAGAATTTGTCTGTGAGCCCACAAAAACGACTACAAGCTGCAAATGAAGGATACCTTCCGAGTCCCGAAAGCCTTAAGCAGGTTTCGCTTGTTAACGATCCAGAACATCCCTATCTGGAACAAGATGAGCTTGATACGGTCCAGAAATGGCGTGCCAGTATATCTCAGCCTGTCCAAGATAAAGATATTCCGGTCTGTGCGAAGCGGAAACGGTCCTTGAGCACGGAGAACTGGTTGAAGACAATCCGCAATAAACGAGCACGTCAACGAACGCAAACGGGAAGAGCTGCAGATGGTTTTGGCCGCCAGCTCGATTTAAATACGGTCTCGCATACTCAAATACCCGCATCAAGTACGGAGGTCAGCTTGGGTCTAAGAGATCAAGATACACAAGATATTCTGAAGCCTCAGTGTTCTTTCACATCACCTAGTCGACCATCTCCTTCTAAGGAATTACTGAAGCGACAAGCTAAGCAGATTACAGAACCCGCTGAGGTGCCTATTTTGCCGCAAAATACAGTGGCGCTATCATCACCTGTATCTCTAAAGAATGAAACTGGTGAAGCACGGCAACTTCAAGTTAGCAATGCTCAAACAACACCAAGATTGCCATCTACGGAATTCCCAGTACCATCGATGTCTGTGGTCCAGCTCATATCACCTGCTAAAACCGATGGCTCCGAAAAACAAGATGTTAAGATGGCTTGTGAACTTGACGAAAACGACGATATTCATGCCGATGAGGCTGTATGTGAAGAGGACGAAGTGATGCATGAGACAACCACATGTAAAGAAGCCACCATATCTGAGCAACATGTCACCCCCGTTGTCACTAGTATATCACGTCCTTCATCACCCAGCATTTCAACTATCCTATCGACTTCGCTCGCCAGAAAGCCGACGCCGAATGCCAACACTCTCAGCGATGACCATGAAGACGACAAGAGCAGCGTAATCTCTAACGATGAAGACTTCAACGATGCATCCAGCGAGGCAGAATCTGAAATGATTACACCTGATGCACAACTTGCAGAGGATATTTGCAGTGTATCCCACTCTATAGCGATGGTTGAGGCTGTTCATTACAAGCCGGAGAATCATCAGACTGTTGCGCTACAATCCCATGCCATATTACCTTTACCAGATGCCTCACAAGACGGGTATGATGCCTCAGAGGTTGCGCTGGGTATAGACCCTGAAGTTGATCTTGCCACTGCCGCTATTGCGGTTCTGCTCTCCCAAAACAGTGTTCACGAGACCAGCGAGAATGACGCGGACGAAGCGCTTCAGCACTCGATTATCACATCTCGGCCATGCACGCCTCCGATCGATACAGCGTCAGATGAGCTTGTGCTGGGGTGCCCAGTTTCGCCCAGTGATATACCACTCCCATCAACTGAAATCCCAGTGAAGGCCGAAACTCAAGAAGACGCTATGGCTGTGCCTGAATACCAGGAACAAATAGAGCCGCATCCCCCATGCGCCTCCGCAAGAGAACCTGTCGCTCCGGAACCATTGACCTCTTCAACAAGTCTAGATGCTATATATGAGGTTGAAACCACTCCAGAGCCTCGGTTATTACTTCCTAAGCGCTTCGCTAAGCGCTCATCTCTCCCTAAGACGAACAAACCGCCACGCCCGGCCTATGTAATCGAGAAGACGATGGAGAAGCCACAAACGAACCAAACTACTACACCACTTGGTAGAATGGGACCACCACCCGTCCTAATGGCTAGGCTGTGTACCCCAGAGCCAGATTTCCAAGTGAAGAGCTTCTCGTCCTTTATGTCACCATCTCCCCGAAAATCACGACGTGTATTTCCCCAACCCAAACATGGGCGCAGATCATGCCTGGCTGGCAGCAGGAATGCTAGTGATTCTATCGCTTCTCAACAGCAAATTAGAACTGTATCTTGGGCAATGCTAGCTGAGGATAACGAGGGTGGCAAAAGTGCAATACGCGAGCAATCACCGCCGCCGACCATCAGTCTTGGAGATCTACCTACAGCTGAGACTGATAGATTCGCAAATCATTTCTCGGCAGTAGTGAAGCGCACTGATGGACTGCGGCACAAGTTCAAGTCAACCGCGCAACGCAATAGCACGAAAATCGATGACAAGCCTCAAGAGGTCGATCAGAGCACCGTCGCATGTGAAGTATCGGATACCACTGAGGCACCTACGGTGGCCCCAGCACCCTCAATGGCTAATTTACAGATACCTCGCGAAAGAGACGCGATTTCTATGGAGCCGCTTGATGTGATGGACGATATATTTGGTCAAATGGGCGATATGTTCAAGGCATTCGATGTTGATGCTGAGCTTGATCAAGCGCGTAAGTTGACCGGCCCTGTTTCTTGATGAGTTGGGGTGATTGTGGGTGAAGATGTGTGTAGATTAGAAGAAGCTAGCTGTAGATTATACCCTTGTTGTACTGGCTAACAAAAAATTGCTACTGATAAACGCGTTGCCAAATTTCCAAGATAGAACCCCATTTTTGTCCCGGGATGACACTTGCGAAGTACGAAGCATATAATCTTGAATAAAGACCCAATTTAAATTACGAAGTATCGACTCCTGAAACTAAACGAATAATAATTATGGAATATAACTCTAAATATCTTCTTTTATGTGATTTGGGGGTGTGTTTAAAGTGATGAGTATTCTGTAGGGTAACTTGGTGAAGACCGAATCTGACGTCATTCCTATGGCATGAGTGGAGCGTAGCACACCGATACAGTGACTACAGGCTAGAAAAGGAGCTGCTAGTTGATACCTATAGAAGACGAATTGTATTCTACGGCATCAAAATAAAGCACATATTTCTCATACATATGGGAGAGGGTCGAGCTTGCAATGCGTAGCCTCGTAGAAATCGCAAAAATGAAAAAAAGGCGCGCTAAACGGCAGCCATCTCCCCACCGCTACCAGTAAGCGGTACCTGGGGCAGGCCGCTAAAGGTAAAACCCCAGGCTCCACCGCCAAATCGCTGGCCTACCACTAATTGCCACAATGAGCAGCGGCTTGTAGCAGCCAGCAACGTTCCGCGACTAAAGTGACTTTCTGCTTTGGGGTTTCAACCTTGATGGTCCAATTGACTCCCACACACTCGCAACGTGCAACCGTGCGACGGATGCGCGCAGCTTACAAGCCTGGCAGTGCTTTTTGCCCCCTAACAAGTGTTGGCCGTTGTCCCTGGACCTTGGCTCTGTGGGAGCGAGCCCGAGCATCGAATTTTAAAAGGGAGAAAAGCAAAACAAGAAATCATACAATGATGACAGGAGTGACCCCCAAGGTGGTAAAGGGGGAGACAACAAGCCGAACATCGACGACGGCTTCCAGAATCACGAGACACAAGCTACTCGATCATCTCAACCTGATGGGGCTCAGCGCGGATCGAGGCAAACAAAATCAAAGCTGATTGAAATGCACATCACTGGGTCTATTTTTTTTGTGATATGTGACAAGTTGATTGATTTGCAGCCAGAATGAACTCCTGCGACCTCTGATCGTGTAAGCCGCCGCGTGCCTTGCACCCAACATGCCCCCAACAAGAGGTTCAACAACGCCACCCAAGCCCCAAATACCTCGCCGCATATTGTCACGTCGCATGGAGTGTTGATGCATGCTGTGGCCTTTTGTTCCTCTATACCGGTATGCGGAATGTGACCCTTCCATGCATACTACACCACAATAACAACAAAGGGACATTGCGCGATATGCGCCCTCAACCTCAACACTACTGATGCCTTGCATTCAGGTTTCGGGCGCAGCGGAAGCAAGTTAAGCATCTCCGACAGCTTGGAACCGAGCCACAGGGCGGCCAGGGCATGGGTAGGCCTAGTCGAACTCATGCATTGTGCCCTGAACACAAAGATGTTTTGACCAGCAAGGTGACGTCCAATGGAAGCCACCCTCACGGCACATGTGCCCCATCGGCTGTATACAGTTCTGGGGTTACGCCGCGGGACAAGGTGCCTGGCTTCCCGGAGCCTGTAAATTTTGTCCCGGGTGGCCAGCCGCGTGGCAGCTAAATTGATTCGTCCATGGTGAACGAGATTTCACAATGGAAAAAGATGAATAGGGGCACGAGTCAAAGCTGTGTGAGGTTGGCATACGTGGAAATGATGGGTGTAGTTTTAAAGGGCGAGATTCAGGCATTGCTGCGGCCAGTCCATCTTGGTGTGTTGCATGGTGTGTTGTGATGGTATTATTGGTCTGCAGTAGAGTATGTGATAAGGGGAATGGTGGCCCAGGGACCTTTTGTTCTGTTAATCGCAGGGCACCCTAACAAGTCCAGCTTATCTCAAGATACTCAATGTACGCTGTACATGACAACGACGAAACAACATATACAGGATGCAAAGATATCGACGGTGTGGTAGCAGCTGCGCATGAAAATAGCGTATCTGACAACGGACTCTCCGCAATCACCAGCAGAATACGATCGTACTAACAGAACACAGTACCACGTCGTGATTAGGGCACGAGAGCTGCCATCTGGATTAAGTGGTTTGTAGTCGCATACCCGCGGCAGCCACAGCTGGGCGAGATACTCCCCACGTGTATTGCAGCAAGCTGACGCTACGGATGACACGGGCTCTATGAACGCTCACGCCGCTCGTAGAAGCTGTCGATAGGCCCATCCGATCCGAGTAGAAGAAAGCTCCCATAAATACACGGCAAAACGTGGGGAAGCCATTCGTATGACTACGTGTGCTAATTGCACCGTGTTGTTATTATTATTCACAGAGTAATCCTCATTTCACTGCCTGTCTTGGTCTAGCACCGCCTCTACCGCTTGCACTACGCCTGCTAAACTTTAGCGCTAAATGCTGAGTCGTGGAGGCTGCCAGGAGACTCGGGCCAGTTAGACGGCCGGAAAGAGCCACAAGGGGCAGCTTTTAGCGGGGAGGAGGGGCGGTCTCTACAGTGGGCGTCCCGCTGAAAACAGCCAGATCTTGACAGTCGGAAGCGCTGTGACTCCGCTGTAACTGTGGCATGTGCGCCAAGAGGCAGCCTGCTGTGGCCACAGCGCTGTGGGCGATTTCCAGCGATTGCTCAGGGCACGTTTGTTGTCTCCTTTGCACCCATTACGCGCCTGTAATCGGACGCCCAGCCCCCCACCACTCCTTCTGTAGCAGCGGATGCCCCCCCCATTCTGTTCCACTGTCTTTTATTTTTTATTTTTTCCACATCGCCCTTCTTCCCACTACAGTCACTTTTCCTGCTCCCCACCTTTTTCTTTTTCCACCAAACACCATCATCCTCATCGCCACGTCCTTTCTTACCGGCGCTCGCTTTCTCTCTTTTGGCCCAGATCCAAGCGCTCACTTCCCTACCCATACTTTCCCGCACCCCCCTCTTTGCCTTATGCGCTGCTGAGTATAGCGCTCAGATGTCGTCCCCATGTCCCTCCCAAATCGCCAGTCGGAAATTGGCGCGCCGGCTGCAGCTGTAAGCCCGCCAGACTCTATGGCCACACCACCGTCAGCCAGCCATGATTCGGCCTCAGAGCGACACCCCCCAGCCCTTGTTGATGCAACACCGCCCTATCTGGGGTCTGCAAACCCCGGCATGCAGCCTCCAGATGATATAATAGAGGATCCTGCCATCTTACACAGCCTCAACACCTCCCATACCGCCTCCTCGTCTACCTCGACATCGACACCGACATCTCAACCTCCCACACCCCAACGACCCCAAGCTCCTTCGCTGCTCACACAAGCCCTTGCTACAGCCCGAGGGATTCCTTCTCATCCAAAACCAAGTACCGCTTCGAACCCACCGCCGAGATACAGCAGCAGTCAACCGTCGCCGACGAAAGTTCAACAGGAGCCACCCACCCCATCGCTTAACTTCACCCAACCGTCCCACCAGCGACGAGAGCAGAGCCAGCCTACCGCCGCTGTGGCCCCCGAAAGCCACCGAGAGAATGGAGATAGCCTCTCACAAAAACCAATAGCCATGGCCAGCTCAACAGCAGTAACGACAATGACATCTGCTTTGCCCACTCGCGAAGTTGCCAGCGGCCCTGCATCCTTCAGCCAGGAGCCATTGGGTGTATTGAGAGATGCCGCCCGTAGCGGCCGAAACACTCCGCGAGACCAGAGCCGCCGAACGTCAGCATCCCTCGAAATCGATAGACGAAACTTTATGTTTGACCACGACCCGTTCCTAAACTATTCCACGACCGAATCCTCCTCCAAAACACTGACAACTGGCAATTATTTCAGCGCAATCGATGATGTTCCTCCAGAATCCACGGCCGCAGAACCAGAAGTTACGGACACAACCATGCTTCATCGACCGCGCAAGGTCGACAACCGCTTTGCGGCCGGCACCGAAGTTACAGAAAAAGTGTGGTCGATTGGAGCTGGAGAGGGCAACGACGAAGATGGCTTGGTTGAGCAATCTGTCGCCGAAGCCATGGCCGGTTTAGAACCCAACGCTCGAAGCCGCAAAGCAAGTTACAGCTTGCGCTTCTTCAAGGAGGGACTGCCCCCAGAGGACAAACCACGCCGCAAAGATACAAAGCAATCCCACCGCGAAAGGAAGCTTTCTACGACAACCGAAGAGTCTTTTGATACAGACAGTGTTGAGCCCAGCGATACCGACTCGTTGGCCGACGTAATTGAAGATACGACCAACACAATCACTCCCAAGATGGAACCCGTCGCCTCCCCCAAGAAGCAAGCGCAGGACCTGCTGTCCACTGTAGACTCATCTGTGACACCAAAGTCCCGAACTGCAGCCCCGTCCTCAGAGGTAGAGTTTCTAGATCTGGACGAGGACAGTGCGCACACTCTCCCCCCACAGGTTATCCAGACCGGTCAACATGATAGTCTGTTGGTGTCGCCTGTCAAAGTGGGGCCGAGCACAACTGCTCGTGCCGAGGTGGCGGCGCCAGATGAAACGGGATCACCTGATAGGACCGATACGGGCGATTCCCAAGACAGTGGCGATGCAGACGCTGATGATTCGGGAGAGGAAAAGATCTCTTCTGCCGTCTTCCTTCCGCATCAAGAGCTTCCCGAATCGCGACCAACCGAGGATACTCGGATCGATACAGCAACTTCTGCACATAGTGGTCCCCTTGCCCAAAGCAAGTCCCATCCATGGCTGGTAAAGGCCGACGAGCCTGAGCTGGAGCTCGAGCCTGATCTCAGCACGAGACAGGATGAATCGGCCCAACCACAGCCGCAGACCCAACCCAACGAAGAGCTTCCCAGCCGTCCGAAGGATGCTCCCAGGAGCTCACCAAGCGACCGCCCACGAGAAGTACAGCTTGCAGTCACTAAACAGCCTGGCCCGAACGTACCAATCACAGTAACACCTGCGGAAGACCCGGCCGCCCGTGATGGCCAAAACCAGCCGAAGGAACCTCTGGAGGCGATCGAGCTCATTCCATACAAGCACCAGGTTGGTGGACACACGACGATTTGGCGATTTTCTCGTAGGGCTGTTTGCAAACAGCTCAACAACAGGGAAAACGAATTCTACGAAACTATTGAGCTCTACCACCGTGATCTGCTAGCCTTCCTGCCTAGATATATTGGCGTCCTCAACGTCACGTTCCAAAAGGAAGCTCGACGACGTAGCGTGTCCAAGAAGGATGATCAAGCAGCTGCGGATCGCAAGAAGATCCAAGAGGAGGTGGCTAACACGGTAGACGTTTCAACTAACAGCAGCAATGGAGATTCTACTGTAGCTCCGGCTGCTAGAATCATTAGCGAATCTCTGGCGCAAAGCAGCATGTCTGTGCCCACTGTCACCTTCAGCGATAACAAGCATATTTTACCCCGCAATCTCCTCCAGCCATTGCCACCCATCGATTATAGCCGCCGCCGAAGCACGCCAATGTCCAAGGCTTCATCGCTGCCCCCACAGGCACGTCCGCAGATGGAGAATCGTCCAAACAGCTGGGGTGCTACCACTATCAATAAGCGCCTTAGAAATGAAGTGTTCAACGATGCATTCTTAAAACAACCAGTTGAAGTACAAAGACACCGTCGCCCGCATCAAAAGTCAGTCCCGCGGCCGACCATGCAGCGTCTCCTTCGACCCAGCAATTCGGATCCCAACCTTGTGCCAGCACCAGACTCGCCAGTTAAGATTGCACCACTTACACCGATTGTTCCCCCGTCACCCATCCTTCGACCCCAGAGCCAAAGCGACCTTGGACCAGATACTAGCGTGTTAGTAACTGAATCTGTGGATAACGAGGCTGTTAAAGATGTTACTGGTACTAGTGCGCCAGAACCAGAGATCCTCAATGGCAACCCACTCGGTACGAAAAAGAAGCGACGCTACTCAGCAGGAGGTTTACGTAGGAAACCTCAGGATGTCCGCGATAACCGCGGAGACCTCAAGTACTTTGAAGAGGCTGACGATGCCAACAACTTCAAGGATGCATCAGACAAACAAGGCGACGATGAATCATCTGCAGCTATACCCATCAACAAGACCAGCACTGCTCATGTTCCTCCTACACTGGAGCTTGTTCACTCAGCGGCCGCCTCCACTGTGCCATCGGAAACCCCTAGCCCAACCGTTGAGTTCAAGAAGATCCCTCGTCCAGTCAATCCAAAGGAAGCAAAGACGCGGCGCGACCGTGTTGAATACTTCCTGCTATTGGAGGATCTGACTGCTGGTATGAAGCGTCCCTGTATGATGGACCTGAAGATGGGAACCCGACAGTATGGAGTGGAAGCGACAGCCAAGAAGCAGCGCTCTCAGCAGGAGAAGTGCCTCACGACCACGTCAGCGGAACTCGGCTTCCGAATCTGTGGCCTACAAGTTTGGAATGCTAAGACACAGAGCTACGACTTCCAGGACAAGTATTATGGCCGCCGTGTCAAGGCAGGCTCGGAGCTCCAGAATGCTTTACAGCGCTTCCTTTACAATGGAGTGGAGTTGCAGAGTGTGCTTCGTCATATTCCGATTGTACTACAAAAATTGTCCCAGTTGGAGCACATCGTACAAGGTCTGCGTGGCTATCGATTCTATGCTGCCAGTCTCTTGATCTTTTACGATGGAGACACCTCTGAGGACGGCACCAATGGTTATGAAACCTTGTACGATTCAACCACGGACTTCGCCACCGATACTGAAGAGACCTATCGTCGCTCCAAGAAGAGGAACCCACGCGATATTGACTTCAAGGTGGCAGACTTTGCCAACAGCGTCACACCATTCGACAACATCGATGAAAAGCCATGCCCTCCACACCACCCAAACCAACCAGATGGTGGTTTTCTCAAAGGCTTGCGTAGTCTGCGCAAGTATTTTCTGGCTATTCAACGAGATGTGAGAGCAGAGCTTGGGCTAGACCCTCTCGGGCGAGCTGCAGCACGAATGGAAGAGTTTGAGATGGAACAAGAAGAGGACGATGGCATGATTAGCCTGTGAAGACAGTCCACTTATATTATTTTACAACATATGCCCTGGCAGTTACGACAAGCGATTTTTTTTTCGATTCTTTTCTTTTGCAATGCAAGGCGTTTTGCTCTTATCAACTGGAGTCAGACGGAAAGCTAAAACGATCTCTTTTCCTTAAGGCCTCAACGGTAGACAAAAATGCTATACTAGCAACGGCGTCTTGTGGGTTTCTTTACAGATTTTTATTTTTTTAGAACTGAGGAAGCTCTGGCTTGACAAGTGTTTATTGTTTTTTATTGGGTTGTTTTAGTAAGCGTGCGGTAGTTTAGGAAGTACATACCCCTTTGGCATTAGATGTAGAAATGAGCATGAGACTTTAGATTTTTAAGTTATCAATCAGCTTTCTCTACGTGCAATATGTCTTCTTAGTTTCCAAGCCATGGCACCGTGATGGGCTCAAGGACAACGATCTTCGTTCCATGGATCCCGCGGCCACCGCGCTGGTGCCCAGTAGTACTAGAGAACTCGACTTCGCCCACAGCATAACACTCTCAACCTACATCTCCAAAGTATCGAATCATTCACCATGGGCGGCATAGTTTCAACTATGAAGGACGGAGCGAATGCCCTTGTCTCTGGCGCACGACTTTTGACATCCCTTAATACGCGATACCAGAATCTCTTCAAGAGAATCAATTCGGAGCCTCCATTGCCTCTCCCCAACCCCACCCAGCCGTATTGGCTTGACGACGCGCCATTCCCAGAGCTCAATGAGTGCAAGGATCCATTGCCCAATGAAGCAGATCTTGTTATTATTGGGAGTGGAATAACCGCATCGGCAGCGGCAAAGACAATCCTTGAGCTCAAACCCAAAGAGTTCAAGGTGCTCGTTCTGGAGGCAAGAGAGATATGCAGCGGCGCCACGGGTAGAAACGGCGGACACATAAAGTCTGATCCATACCGAGACTTTATTGACCACCGTAAGACGCTTGGATCAGACGAAGAAGCATGTCAAGTTGTGCGTTTCCTGATGAAGCACCTCCCTACATTCAAGGAGTTTGCCGACACGTTTCCGCAGGCTCAGATTCGAGAGGTGGAAACGGTCGACTTCTTCATGGTGGAAAAGGATTTTGAGCTAGCGAAAAAGGACGTCGCAATTACTCAAAAAGCCCTGCCAGAAATTGAGATGCGCATCTGGGATAGAGAGGAGACGCGTGCAAAGTATGATGCAAATGAGTTGGTGGTTGGAGCGGTCTCGTACAAGGCTGGCGCCATGTGGCCGTTCCGATTCGTCACAAGTCTATGGAAGCAGCTCCTAGACAAGTACGACAACTTGACGCTAATGTCACATACACCAGCCCTGGCTGTGCGAAACATAGGCGCGGCCTATGAAGTAGAGACGCCCAAAGGCACCATCAAGGCGACGCACGTTTTGCACGCTACCAATGGTTGGGCTGGACGTCTATTACCGGAATTGCGCCCATGTCTTACGGGATTACGGGGACACATGAGTGCTCAAAAACCCGGAGATAACTTCCCGGGCACAAACGGGCAAAGATCGTGGTCTATGATCTATCTTCCTGGGTTTGACTACGTCACTCAACTCCCTGACAACGAGGATGGGACTCATGGCGATGTCATGATGGGTGGTGGATTCTTCAGAAGTGTTGAGGAGGGAATCGATAATATTGGAATATGGGACGACACCACCAAAGACGCCATGACCATGGTGCATGTTCATGGAATAATGCCGACACTGTTTGAACCGAAATGGGGCATTGGCGGCGGCCTTCGAAAGGCCTGGTCAGGCATCATGGGATATACCGGCGACTTTAGACCCTTTGTGGATCGTGTTCCAGAGAAAGGAAACAAGAATAAAAATGGTAAAGGCCACCAGTGGATTGCTGCTGGGTTTAATGGCCACGGCATGGTGTGGTCATGGCTGAGTGGTACGGCTATTGGCATCATGATTGCTGGAAAAGAAGAGGATGTTCTTGAGAAGAGCATGGGAAGACCAGCAGGCAAATTGGATGACTGGTTCCCGAGGAAAGCGGTGTCCTTTGATGACAAGAGGCTCAAGGCGGCAAATTTGAAGAACTTGGCTGGTGAAATGTAAACTGAGGGCAAAGTGAGCAGCCACTGATTTGCCACCCCCATCTCTATTTCTACCCCAGTGTGTGCTGAAAATTAATCAATATAAAGTAACTACCTATTGTCCTCTTTATTCACTTGCTCAGTTCAATGTCGAATCGTTACTCGAAGCCAGGTTCGTTGGGCTTGCATGCCGCTTTCTCAATCGATTCGTGGCGCCATTCTGTTCCAAGCCGATTGGAGCGTCCTGATCCCTTTGGTGACGATGGCTTTGGCACACGACCTTCGACAAGACTAGTGAGTTTGTATTCTGCATAATAGTACATGATGCATCGCTAAGTATTCTAGACATTTCGCGAACCCGACACTGCTGCTCGTTCGCTTGCAACATCCACTACGCGAATTGGGTTTCTCAAGTCTGTAACCTCAATATTCCGAAGAAACAAACGCGAAAAGACTATTGTTGAGCCAGCCAGTTCATCCCATACGATGCAAGACTCAGTTATGCAGGATGAGAGAGGCTTGAGCTTCATGGAACGGTTGGTTCGCAAGCGTAAATCGCGGTCCCCGTCTCCAGAACCCATGCTTCTCTGGGACTCACCACTTCATTTAAACTTTTTATTTGTCGGCGGTAAAGGATGTGGCCAGACGTCGTTGCTATAGTAAGTTGTCTTTCGGTTGATGGATTGTGATTCTAACAGCAGCTAGTCGCGCCAGATATGGCTATTTTCCAAATGTAAGGACGCCATTTGACTCGATACATTTCCAGATAATGCTAACAACTGGATGATAGGCGACTGTTGTTTCTAGATCGTGCTATGAAACGTATATTTGCAATCGAACATACAACTCTCAACAAGTGTGTCTGGAGCTGTAGGATACCTCTGGTGCACCCGATCTTAAGACGGTTGAACGGCTGTCGTACATGACATGGGATGCAGTTTTCCTTTGTTTTGATGTCAAAGATAAATCTTCCTTGTATACTATCACAAACTGGGTAAGATGTGCAGCATAAGGTAAATGCTTTGTTGTAACTAACAAGTGATAGTGGCTCCATGCCACCGAGGCCGGCTTTTGCTCTAGCCAAGATTTTAGGCCAGATGTGCAGCTTCTAGGTCTAAAGTCCGATCTTCGATGCGAATGTGCACTCCGACTGCCATTAAAAGAGCGCAGAGTTTGGCCCGTAACATCGCTCTCTTGCTGCGTCTCCCAATCCGAGGTAGGGTGAATTGTGTTACGTTGTTTGAAGCTGAGCTAAATTAAGAATTGACAGGCGACTTCTCAAGCTCGAATGATTGAAGCAGCTGGCTACAATGAATGCTCTGCTCTGACTGGGGAAGGAATTAGTGGTGTAATTGATGGTCCTGCGATCCGTGCCGTGGAACGCATCTTGGAGAGAGAGCATGATATGGTGCCATTGCCAGCGAAAAGAAGACGATTGTTGTAGAATGTTTTGTATGGGACGGAAACTTATACTAAAAAGGCTTCGTATCACTTTTTGGAGATTAAATTGTAATTTTCTTGTCAACATTGCGGAAACTCATAAATCAGCTTTGCGCTGCCTAGCACTGTAATTAAAGTGACCACGACTGACGCGCTGCCACTAAAGCGTGACGGACACATCTTCTTCACCACTGCGATCTTCAGCAACCCCCCAAACACCGCCACAAAGCCATTCACTGGGTTTATTGTTGCATTGAAGCAGAAATAGAGACGTCATTTAGCTGCATCGAGACTTCTCGGCGCAGTCGATTATTGGCTCAGCGCGTCCAGCAGTACCCCTGGTGCTATACAGGCAACCTTTCTCCATCTACCAACTAAGTACCATCAGTATCGCTTCACAGACAATAAAGACGGGGCACTCAGGCGACTATAGCAATGGGCTATCTGCTTCCTTTGGTGCTTGTGTCTGGCATAGGCGCGGGTGCTGCTGTGTATGTGGCTTCCTACGTGTCCCCGTCCGCGAATCTGATTTTACGCCTCATCACGCTGGGAATAGCCCTATTGATTTTCACAACGGTATATTCCATCGTGCCAAAAATGCCTTGAAGTTATCTGACGAATTACAGACCAGACATATCCAGCTCGTTGCTGCGAAGAGGCAGACACGTTGGCGCACTCAAGAAGCTCCCACATCGGCGGCTACAGCCAAGGATGATTACTTTCTCTTCGTGCTCGGTTCCGGTGGACACACAAAAGAGATGCTCATGATGATGGATGACGGATTCTGTGATTTCAGCAGAACACATCGCCGATACCTCATTTCCAGCGGAGACAAAATGTCCGAAAATCATCTGGAAGACTACGAAACAGACCTTGCCCAACTCTGCGCAACGAAGAAGTGCACACCTGGGTCTTTTGATAAGAAGATTGTTACACGTGCACGTAGAGTCCATCAGCCTCTCTGGAGTACACCATTCTCTGCCTTCCGGAGTGTACTAGATATCTTCCCATGCCTGTTGAGCCCGCCATCGAGCGCAGTTGGACAACGACGAAGACTACCAACGCAAATATTCTCCAATGGACCGGCCACCGGGTTCTTTGTTGCCTTGGCAGTACATATTCTCAAACTCTTCTACATCGTACCCCAGGACTCAATGCGTTTTGTCTACGTTGAGTCGTGGGCGAGAATATCGACACTCAGTCTCACTGGCAAGCTGCTACACTGCACAGGCATCGCCGATTTATTTTTGGTGCAGCATGATGAGGTAGCGAAAAAGTATGGCCTTCAAAATGCCGGCGAGATGGTCTTCAATGCTCGAAGGGTTGGTCTGTAGGAAGGAAGAGATACGCATCAGGATGAATCAAGAAAAGGAAAACCAGTTTTGTATGATATTGTACATATATTCTATACAGGGACATTAATTAGCACCAGACCACTTGCTTGAGGGGTCGTTTATGCCGTTCTCTCGTTTGCCAACTCTTGTGCAGGTTCCGAGACGTCCTCCTTGATGCCGAATGTTTCCACATCGGCCGTGTTTGCAGCCTCTCTGCTAGCCGTCTCCTTGCCAGCCCAGACCTTCCAGTTCTCAAACTCGCGATTCTCGAGCTGCATACCAACATCCAGTCTGGACTTGCCAAAGTATGCGCCAACATGGCGGGCCTCCTCAACAGCGACTCGCTTTTCAACTTCTTCTTCTTGGCGGAGGCGGTAGAATTCGCGGCGGGTGATATCGTACGCTTTTTGCTTGTTCATATTTTCGTTTTCCATTAGCCACAGCTGTCTTTGAACAACACTAGTTTCGCAAATGTCAGTCACGTTCTCTATGTATAGTCTGTTTGGTGCATACCTTTCACCGTTTAAAGGCAGGCCAGTCTGGCGCAGACCCTTGCTCCAGTCTGCTAGTCTATAATCCATGCCATCTGACTCAATAACTATTCTCGGTCTAGCCAATTCCCACGGGTGGTCTTTGTAGAATGTGGTGCGGAGAGCGTCTTCCTGGTACTTTATCGCTTGGGGCTTGTACAGTTTTCTGAGCTTTTTCGACTTGGGGTTGAAAGATTTATGTTGCGGGGGAATTGTTCGAATGGTAGTCTCGGCAGGAGGGATTGAACCCATAACCTGGTGCCATACTGGTGCTTGAGTGATGAGGTTTTGGAGGAGAGGTTGATTCAGCTCCTGAGAAACGGCCTGGTAGACCTTGGCGGGCCGTATTTGTCTGATACCCATCTTGACGTAGGTATTGCTAACTATAATGACGATTGATTCCCGGTAAAATCAGGGCGACCGGTGAGGTAGGCGCAATTTGTGGCACGACTTCTGAGTGCAAGCTCGTCTGTTGTCGTCGCGAATGCTCCTGGAATAGTCGACACCCACTGTAAATTTTAGCCGGCGAATATTATCGCCGGGTGCCGGGGGGTCGCGATAGGGGAAATCATAAAGACATCAAGACAGGCGCTGCATGCCCTTCTGAGGTAAAGAAATATAAATAACAATTACAATTGAACTTAATAGTACTTACTATATCCTAGAAATTTATGTCATATTTTGTACTAAATATTCGATGATTGAAATGTGCTTGTTGTTAAACCCCAGCTCCTAGCCTACTGCGACAACTATACACTGAAAAAAGTAGCGGCGCCAGCTTCCAACATTTGCACCATAGCTACACGTCGTGTGTGGCCATGCCAACCAGCATTACCGGTGCCACCAAAATGGCAACAAATCTATGATGAACCCTACTCGAATCGAAGGATCTATATGCGGCGCGGTGCTTTCAAAGAGATCGGTGGCAGCATGGAAAGTTGCAGCGGCTTGTCCTGCTTCGGGGCAAAGGAGTCTATCTAGCAAAACTATTGCTCCAGGCATAGGACCAAAGCCTCAAGAGCAGCGTCTGAATGCTTGTACGAAAAGCTCTGCCTGGATACTTTCGACCTTTGCCCCTGGAGTCCAACCACACAGGCTCCCTACGACAGCCCGACTGTCTCTTCGCAACGCACGATTCTCTTCAACGCAAAGCACCGCGCCACCGGAACCCAATACAACTTCGGTTGATACCGACACGAAGAAACCATCATATATACAAACGAAGCAACAAATTCTATCCTACGTTGCCGGTGTTCCAACCTATGCAAACGTGGATGAACAGTTTGACTTCCATCGAGACCCATATCGGAGAGGCTACGCCAACCCCCAAAGCCCCGGCGTACAGATATCGGATAGAAAGAATGATATACAATACCCAAGTGCAGAAGAAACTGCCAAGGCGACAGACGAGATACAAGAGGTTATTGCAAAACTATGCGCGGCTATTCGACAACGTATGCGACAACCTCGTCGAACATCGCTATCCGCAATCTATAAATTATACTGCCAACTACCTGAACCACGCATGTTGTACCTAACGTGGCAATGGCGAACACGACTCATGAAAGTTATGGGTACGCCCCGAACAAAAAGCAAGTCAGGCATGGTTCGATATTTTGAGCTTGTGTCCGACATCCGAGATGCTGGTCTCACAATGCGACTGGCAGAGTGGAACTACGGTTTAGCATTTGCATCATCATACGCCTCAAAAACGACATCTTATGAGCTTGAAACAACACTGAAACTCTGGCGCGAAATGGAGAAAGAACATGGTCTCCCCGGTAATGATGTGACCTTTAATATCTTATTCGATGTTGCAGCAAAGGCTGGCAACTACGATCTGGCCGACATGATCTATCAAGAGATGGAAAACCGTGGTATCGACTTTAATCGGTACCACCACGTCAGTTTAATCCACTTCTTTGGGCTCAAACTTGATGCGGATGGCTTGCGCTCAGCGTACAAGGAAATGGTTGAGTCTGGTGAAATGATTGACACTGTGGTACTCAACTGCGTCATTGCCGGGCTTTTGCGATGTGGCGAAGAAATGGCTGCCGAATATACCTATGAAAGAATGAAACAGGGACATGTACTGGCACCCGATATGCCTGAGCGAGACTATATGTTAGGCAGAGTCATTACCAAGGTTCTGATGATGTTTACCAAGATTGGAAAAGTTCATCCACAAATCAAGGATTCGCTGCAAACCAACGTCCTCATATCACCAGATATCCATACCTACAGACTCCTCATCGAACATTACGCAATTCGAGTGGGAGACATTGGTAAGGTAGCGCAATATCTGGATGAGATGAAGGCTCTCAAAATCCCTGTTCACGCAACCATTTTCCTAGCCTTGTTCAAGGGTTTCTTTTCCTATGGAGGCTACGAGGGTTCGCTGTGGAGCGAACAACGTCTCCAAGACGTGTTGAATGCCCTATATCTCGCACGAGATGAAGAAACGTCCGAATTCTTCATTGACACCTGGGTCGTTATCTGGGCACTCCGTGCGGTGAAAAAGTGTTCTTCTATTGAAGCGGTCATCGATACGTTTGCTGCTCTTGAAAAGCGCTGGGATGTCGTCCCTGATCGTCAAGTCTATATGCATGAGATATTCGACAACATCTTGCGTGACAGGGACGTACATCAGACTTGGCTAGAACTGGATAGCTCCAAGACGAGATCCAGTCGAATGAGGGCAAGCTTGAACAAGATGATTGATTTCTAAATACATAGCATAGCCTGTACATTATGTAACATTAGTTTTGATATTTACTTGCGTCATCACCTGCATAGAGCCGAAAAGGCATTAATCTTGAATATTTCCTTATTAGTCACACGTTCTCATACAACATACAAGATCAATCGTAGTGTCTGTAATGTAATAATTTCTTTTCTTTGACAAAGGGAACTATGTTTTACAGCCAGTGTGTGGACTGTGAGAAAATCTATCCGAGGTATAACACAATAACGATTCCTCCACCGCCTCGAGTCGAATCAACACCGGCCAACGAAGAACAAATGCAGATAAGTCAATTTTATTAAATTATTCGGCGGACTTGCTGGTCTGGTAGACTATTCAATGGGGAAAAGATACGTTAGCTTGACAACGGTCGAGACTGATAATGGCGCGATTGAGGATGCTTACCAGCAATGCCGAAGGGGGCAAGGAAGCCAGTGGCCATGAAAGCCCAGTAGCCAAGAGCGAAACCCTTCTTGCGGGGGTCGAAGGGCAAGTTGCTGTAGGGGCCCTCGGGGTAATGGTAAGGAGAGGACATGCGAGGACGGGTAGCGTGGAAGCCACGCTTGGTGACCAGCGAGGTGGTGGTGCGGGTAGCGGCGCGGGCGAACATCTAGACAATTCAATTAGCTTGCTGATTGGCGTCTCTGTCGGAATCAATTGGGCGCATACGGTGAATATGATGTGTGGACGGTGGACGACTTGAGGAGGTACGACTGTTTGTTCGCGAATTGGGCCCAAGATGGTTTGAGGTCAAAAGGCATTGGGAGCTTAGCCGCAGATTAATCACGTGATGCTTATATTTTTGTCGGCAGCATTCGGCGAGCCAGTGACTGGTCGGTCCTTTCAGGTGGAACCGGTTTTGGTGGTGTCACCGCCTGCCTGACTGGAGCACAATTTTTCTTTTCTGCCAGCTGCCCACTTTGAAGAGCGTACAGCAGCAGCATCATTTTCCTTGCTTCGTAGCACTGCTGTTTTTCTTCTTTTGCTTGATTACTGCTATCTCGAACTTTTCCTCCACCTTTTCTGGACAGCTGAGCAGCTATTGCTCAAAACGCCGCAAAGATGGATGAGATGTTTGATATTTTTGAGGGGAATGTTGACCCCCAGAGCGCCAGTGAAGACGAAGGCGTTTCTCAACACGACAAGAACCAGGACCACAGCAAGAAGCGAAAGGCAGACCAAGTAACCAACGGAGCATCAACTGGCGATGTTTCCAAAGCTACTACGGATGTCGAAATGGACAACGCGACCGAGGAGTCCAAGGCTGACGAAGCTGGAGACGAGGACTCGGATACTCCCAGCGAACAGGACAAGAAGCGATTGAAAAAGACTGAGGAAGCAGAGCCTGTCATGACAGATACCTTCCAGACTGCCGAATCTCGAGAGGTCGCGGGTGCCGCTACATTTGTTCCCCAAGATTCGTCTCTTATTCTCTCACATAACATTCAGCACCAGGTTGCGCTCCCACCTGACCTGGACCACGAATACATTCCGCTTTCCGAACACAAGTCTCCTGCTGAGCCGGCGCGAACTTGGCCTTTCAAACTCGATCCGTTCCAAAGCTTGTCTGTCGCTTCCATTGAGCGAGAAGAGAGTGTTTTGGTTTCAGCGCATACCAGTGCTGGTAAGACGGTCGTTGCAGAATATGCTATTGCGCAATGTTTGAAGCGCAACCAGAGAGTCATCTATACCAGTCCCATCAAAGCACTGAGCAATCAAAAATACCGTGACTTTGACGCTATTTTCGGCGACGTCGGTCTGATGACTGGTGATGTCACCATCAACCCCACGGCTAGTTGTCTCGTCATGACAACGGAGATTTTGCGATCCATGTTGTACCGTGGTTCAGAGATTATGCGCGAAGTCGCCTGGGTGGTTTTCGACGAAGTCCATTATATGCGAGACAAGACCCGAGGTGTCGTTTGGGAGGAAACCATTATCATGCTTCCCGACAAGGTCCGCTACGTCTTCCTTTCGGCCACCATTCCCAACGCCTTCCAGTTTGCCGAATGGATCGCCAAAATCCACCACCAACCTTGCCACGTTGTCTATACCGATTTCCGTCCGACTCCTCTTCAAAACTACTTTTATCCATCCGGGGGTAAAGGCGCGAGACTTGTTGTTGACGAAAAGGGCAACTTCAACGAGCAAAATTTCAACATTGTTATGCAGCAGGTTGAAGAAAAGCAAGGAGCTGATCCCGCCGACCCTAACGCCAAGCAAAAGGGTAAGGGCAAGAATAAGAAGATTGATAAGGGAGGTACAAAAGAAGATTCGGACATGTTCAAGGTTATCAAGATGACCATCAAGAAGAACTTCAACCCCGTCATTGTTTTCAACTTCAGCAAGAGAGAGTGTGAGAACATGGCGATGAGCATTTCAAAAATGGCCTTCAATGACGATTCTGAAGTCGCCATGGTTGAAAAGGTGTTCAGCAGTGCCATTGACAGTCTCTCAGAAGAGGATCGCTCGCTGCCTCAAATTCATAACCTACTGCCCCTGTTGAAGAAGGGTATCGGAATCCATCACGGTGGCTTGCTGCCTATTTTGAAGGAGACTATTGAGATTCTCTTCCAAGAGTCGCTGATCAAAGTTCTCTTTGCTACTGAGACCTTTTCCATTGGCTTGAACATGCCTGCCAAGACAGTCGTTTTCTCTCAGGTCACAAAGTGGGATGGTATTAAGCGCCGCCCGATTACTTGCTCGGAATATATCCAGATGGCCGGTCGTGCTGGACGTCGTGGTCTAGATGCACGTGGTCTTGTTATCATGATGATTGATGACAAGCTCGAACCTGAAACAGCAAAGGAGATTGTCACCGGTCAACAAGATAGGCTCAACTCTGCTTTCTATCTTGGATACAATATGGTTCTCAACCTCCTTCGTATCGAGGCTATTTCTCCCGAGTTTATGCTGGAGAGATGTTTCCATCAATTCCAAAACGCTGCTAGCGTTCCTACTCTCGAAAAGGAGCTCATGGCTCTGCAACAGGAACGTGATGGGCTCACGATACCGGATGAGGCAACCATTAAAGATTATTATCAGATTCGCCAGCAGCTCAACACATACACCAAGGATATGCGATCGGTTATCCAGCTGCCTAACTACTGTCTCGACTTTTTGCAGCCTGGTCGTCTTATCCAGATTTATAACCCCAAGGTCTCGGCTGACAACGTTAGTGGAGGACTCGACTTTGGTTGGGGTGTTGTTGTGAATCACATGCCTCGACGCAGCCCCAAAATGGGCGAACCGGAGCATATTCCCCAAGAGTCGTACATTGTTGAGGTTCTCTTGCCGCTCTCGGCAACAAGCGCTGACTTTGTACCCGGCCAAGCCGCCGATGGTATGCCTTCGGGCCTAGCCCCTGTGAATGGCGAGAAGGATATCATTTACGCACAGGTTCCATGCTTGCTCACTTGTATCAAAGCCATCAGCCAAATCCGACTTTTCATCCCCAAGAACGGTCTGCAGAACGATCAGGACAAGGAGACTGTCAACAAGTCGCTTGCCGAAGTTAAGCGTCGCTTCCCCGATGGCTTGCCTATTCTGGATCCCCTCGAGAACATGGATATCACTGATGATTCCTTTAAGAAGCTCCTTCGCAAGATTGAGGTTCTCGAGTCGCGCCTTTTAGCCAACCCTCTTCACCTATCCCCTATGCTGCCTTCACTCTGGGACCAGTACCATGCCAAGATGGCCATTAATGAGACAGTAAAGGAGAAGAAGAAGAGCATTGCCAAGGCTCATAGCATTGCTCAAATGGATGAGCTCAAGTCTCGCAAGAGAGTCTTGCGACGTCTTGGATTTATCAACGAGGCAGAAGTTGTTCAGCTCAAGGCTCGTGTGGCTTGCGAGATTTCGTCCACTGAAGGTCACGAACTTCTCCTTTCCGAACTCTTGTTCGACCGTTTCTTCAACGAACTCACCCCTGAGACATGTGCTGCTGTTCTTTCTTGTTTCATCTTTGATGAGAAGGTTGAGACTGCAGCGCTCAAGGAGGAGCTGCAGAAACCGTATAGAGAGGTTCAAGCCAAGGCACGCATCATTGCCAAGGTTAGCCAGGAGTGCAAACTCGATATGAACGAAGAGTTGTATGCTCAGAGCTTGAAGTGGCAATTAATGGAGACTGTGTACGTATGGGCTCAAGGCAAATCTTTTAGCGAAATCTGCAAGATGACAAACGTTTATGAGGGATCGCTCATCCGCCTCTTCCGTCGACTTGAGGAGCTCCTCCGCCAGATGGCCCAGGCCGCCAAGGTTATGGGCAATGACGATCTGACCAAGAAGTTTGATGAGAGTCTCCAGAAGATCAGAAGGGATATTGTTGCCGCCCAAAGTCTGTACCTTTAAGCGAGCTGTACTGGGTATCAGCATCCCGACCTTGCAAAAGCATCTTGTTTACTCTGTTTGTTTTGCCATGTATCAGTGGAGTTTTTTGGGGAAATCTTTGCTGCATTTCATTGCTCTTGTCAATATGAGCTCTATTTGAAGATAGGAATACTACCGGAAAAAATAAAGAAATAATACCATTTTTTAACGCCGTGACACCTCGCTTGTGAAAACATGTCTAACTAAATCAAAAGTACAATAGCTCCTGGAGAAGATCTACGGCCGGTCAGATGATAGGCTCATTACTACTCCTACAGTCAAGCTTAAAATGACTCCAGAGCCAACGAATATTTGCCATTTCTCGCCCCAGACACCCTGTCTAAGAAGCCAGGCCAAGCTGCCGAGGGGAAAGAAGAAGCCAATCATCATACCCTTGATGAGCACATCAAGAACAGCCGCCATACCGCCATGCTCTTCATCTAGGCCGCCGCCGGGAGTAGGGGCTTCTCCGGCGTTGCTGTCGATCCACGAGTCCTCCATGCTGCGCATTGTATCTGGGGAAGGCATCGCATCTGGGGCGAACCGAGACGAGTGAATAGAGGCAAACTGCGTGCGCAGGGTAGAAATTTCAGACTGCGTAAAGCCAGCCTGGAGAAGGCGGTCGAACCCTCGAGGTCGTGCGCGTTTGAAAGGTGTCGACTTGGGCACCTTGTCGCTAGCATCTGCTTCGCCTGGTGGTCGCTCAGCAGCGATTCTCTCGTCTCTGAGCTCTGTTGGAGATAGTTCGTCGCCTATTGAGCAGTTGAGGTATACTCTGATAGGTTTCGGGAGATCAAGCCCTTTCCCTTTCCCCTTGGCATCCTGTGCAGATGATCCGGGATCGACTGAAGGAAGGGGAAGCGGCCGAAGAGCTGTGGTGAGGCGGGCACTGTCCTCGAGGATGCGGCCCTGGTAGATGAGGCGGAGGCGAGATTCGGAGGATATTCGGGATCGAAGCGTCTGTTTTAGCGCTACAACAGTGGTAGTTTTGGGCGAGGAGATGTGAATGTCGACATCGGGGAGAGATGTTGGGAAGCGGATGGTGACGAGGAGTGGCGGGTGCGTCTGTAGCGCAGGAGAGGAAGATGTCATGTTGATTGCATTATATAGGCGGTGCCGTATATTTGAATTTATTTATGAATTGGATTTTATTCCACGAGCGTATTTAGAGCGAGCAGTTTGTGTAAGAATGTCATGTTCGAACAACAGGTAACGTGCAAGTGACGTCGCCTACAGTTAGTGGTCCGATCAGGCAATACAGCGGATTTGACCGCTCGGCAGAATAATTTCTGGGGGAGCTTTCCGCCCTGACGCCACTCTACGTAGTGGGCTTCTTGTCTCTTTTTTTTTGCATTTGGAATTTTGAAACCATATTATATTTGTGAACACACTTCATTTGCGGCATCGTTCTGTTTGAGCCTGTTTCTTTGCTTTGCTTATTCTGTTCAGCATTCGACGCGTGCATCTTGTTACACTTCCTTCGACATCATCACGAACCATCATACCACCATCTTCTCTCGCCTTCATGCTTCACGCGCACTGCTGTACTGATGGCGCGATTCGGGAGACCTAAGAATATCAACTGCTTCTACTGTGGCAAGCGAGCTGCGTTCAAGTTTGATGGATCGATTCGCGAATTCCTCTGCCTGAAATGCGATGCGACCAACTACCTAGATCAGGTACGTCATCACGGCTGATGGATAGACGTAGGCCAATGCTAACCGTCATACAGAACGGCGAGATTACAGACCCTCCTGTTGCTACGGAACGAGAAGCTCCTCCGACACAATACATCACGCAGACCTCAGCGAGGCAGTCTTCCGCGCCGGATAGCGTCTTCTGCGAGACTTGCCTCAAGAACCAGCGGCTGTTTACTGCGTCATTGGCGCAGTATCTCCCCGACGATCCGAACCACCCTGATTACGCAGAACTCGATCGCAACTATTATAAATACAGACGCAGCTTGGAGAAGCGGTATCCTCAAGTATGCGAGGAATGCGACGAAAGGGTCCAGCAGCGCATCAAGCAGGCTGGCTACACTGCCCGAACCGATCATCTGCGTCGCATGATGGATAGGACCCGTGGACGCAAGGTTACAAAGACTTCGAGTTCCCTCGACTGGGTCAATTCCACCGGCAGGTCTCTCTGGGTCACTGGCCTGTTGACTGAACTATTGTGGCATCTGGTGCATATATCGGCTGCGCTAGAACACCAGAGCGATGGCATGTACGATCCTGACGATTCGAGCATAGACACCAAGGCCGTTGCTGCCCTGCGTAATGCTGTTGCGCTGCTACCAGATCAAGACGTCTTGATTAGGACGAGTATCACGGCTGGCATACTATGCGTCTGGTGGAATCCCCATTTCGTCCAAGTCAATCGTGGATTCACCAGGCACATTCTCGGTCTCACCCAGTGGTACTCGTTTCAGGGCCTTATTATCTTCTTTCGAATTCTGTCGCGCGGTGTTTCGTCCATTGAGGCTGGAGATGCAAGACCCAAGTCTGCCCAAATAGCCGTACATGCCGTCACCGCGGCTGTGATGAGCCTTGTAAGAAGCTTCTACTCTTTTCGATTCGAACTGAAACTAACGTGTAAATTAGATGTATATTCTCGCATCACGATCCGTCAAAATTGACATGACACCACTATTTAAAACCGAAGAGACAACACCGTTGCGACGCAAGAAGATGTCGCCTGAGAAGCGCAAGGAGGACGACTCAAAGACATTTTCCGAACTATTCAGCGAAGCGCTCGATTCTACTCCCACAAAACACAATACCATTACGGCAAATAGCAGCCCCATTCAGCTATTTGCCTCCAATAGCCCATTCAACAGCCACTCTCCGAATGGCTTCCAGACTTCTTTCAGCGACCCAACACTTCTCAACTCGCAGGCCCCGCCACCTCAGTACGAGGATGAAATGGACTGGTCCCCAAGCCATACATCACCGTATCGAGCATTGCAATCGTCGCCACAAAGACCACAAACAAGAGGCTCCTTTGGAGAGGCGCCGACGCAAGCGAATGGCAATACCTTTTGGTACAAAGTCCCTCCGGCGCCAACGAACCCTGCCCAAAGACATCGAAACCCACCAAACAAGCCAACATTGCGCAAAAAGATGGCATCTGAAGATGTCTTCTTTAGCAGTGCGATGAAGCAAAACGCATCATCAAATGTGGCAGCGGATCGCGCAGATGTGACTTTCAAGAACCCTAGCTTCTTTGCCAAGCAAGAAAACGACGAGGCTAGTTCCCTCGCAGACTTGCTCGGTCAGAGCTTTAGTCTGAGCCAGGATGCTTCGAACGACGCTATCAAAAAGAACGACAAGCCGTCGTTTTGGAGCAACAGCAAATCCTCCTCGGGCCAGAAACCGGTAGCAAGAGGAAACTTGAAGCTGGTCGCGCTGCTAGTCTCCTTGCTGGCATGGCTGGCAGTATCATTTATTCAGCTTCCCTACGAGCTCCATGTCCAGGTCACCGTGTTGGTTGTGGCTGGTGCCATCGCCCTGAGCAGTACTAGCGATGGCAATAGCCATCCTACAGCAAAGGCGGAGAGCGGGCCGATCTTGGCGGGTATAATGTTGGCAGTGCTTGGTGTAATTGAACTCGGCGCCTCGTGTTGGTTGGGCTGGCAGTTGTGGTCGGGCCGGCAGGATATCTCTATTCATGGGATGGTGTTATTGGGAGGCATGATTATACACCAGGCATGGAAAGCGGCCAAGGCATAGAGTGTCTTTTTTTATAATATATCGTGCTATTGGACACTGCATGACTGGTAATGACAGCTAGATGAATATATGGAACAGGAATTAATATATATACTTTGCTAACCATAGCACTAACTTATGGCCCAGCTGCACCGAGCCCCAGGTGTTCAAGTTGTCTTGCTTTCGCTAGGGCTCTTCGAGTAATTACTATGCGTAAGGCAAGGGAAAATACCGCCGTCAACATGATTCCAAACCCAGAGAAAAGCTGCACCCCTAGATACGATCCCGTAGCGTTGATGATGGATCCCGAGATGGGTGGTCCTACCAGGGACCCGATACCCTTAAGAATCGACACCATGCCGATTCGTGTTCCAAGTCGGCGCAGGTCCGGCGTAATACTAGTCAGTACAACAGAGGCTAGTGACACCACACTCCCAGAGAAGAAGCCATACAAGACCGCAAAGGAAATGTTGCCAGCTGCGTTTTCGACACTGATCCAGTAGAAGATACATGCCGAGCAGAGCCCACATACGACAATGAAGGTGTCCAGGCCACCAACTCGGTCTGCAATCATGGATGGTATTATACGGCCGGGGATTGTGCATGCGTTGAGTATTGAGAGGATGTACAAGCCGCCATTTGCTTCAGACATGCCATGCGACAAAGCGTAGCTCTGGACATAGTATGACGGGTTAAAGAATGATATGTTGTTGAAGAAGATTCCAACGCAAAACAAAAGATATGTTGTCTCTCTAAATGCTGTCTTGTCGATGAAAAATTGAAGCGACATGTTCTTCGATTCATGTGCAATGTTGGCCCGGCGAATGCGCGGCTGGATGACGACAAACGCAAATGCACACGTCACCAGGACAATAAAGCCCATGATTCGGACAGCCCATCCAAACCCAAGGCTTTTATTAGCGGCCTGAAATATCAACGGATATACAGTTGCGCCTAGCCCGCTGCCAACAGTGGCGGTGGCCATTGCTGTGGCTCGTCTTGTTCGGAAGTACATTGGCACAATAGCGATGGACGGGATAGAGATGCAGCACATACCCAGCCCAATGCAGACGCCTTGTGCCAGAATGACGTGCCAGTATGTGGTGCTGATGCTTGTGAGCATAAACCCGCCTACTTCGAGGAGCGCCCCAGCAAAGATCAAGGCTCGACAGTACCCGGCATCGTATAGTGGGCCAATTACGACTCCGACTGCCATGAGGCAAAAGACCTGGATAGATCCAATCCATGAGATCGCTGCAGGGGATGTTTTTTGTAATAAATGTGTTGTATAATATGTTTGGAAGACACCAAAGCTTGTTATCAGGCCTCTGCAAACGTAGTTAGAGGAGGTGCTAATGATACTCAGACAGTCAGTCCTTACAAATGATTAAAGTAGAGCGCGAATGCTGCGGCAACCTGTGTCCATGCAAGGAACCCGCCGTCAATTTCCTCGTCATCGGATGTGTTTGCCGGTAGACTTGGGAGCTTCGCGCCAGCATCGAGATGTTCTAGTGGCAGCGACGATGGAGCGGGGGCAGACTGTACGCCGTCTGTATCTTTTGAGGCCGCCATAGTAGCAGTCTATTCTACAAGTGCTCCTTCAGAAGATATTGCTGCGAATCCTGAAAAGATATCGTCTCCCGGAAGCGACGGGTGCGCGATGTCGGTTGGTCCTTCGGAAGAAGGTGTGTGTCAGCGCCATGTCATGTTGTCGGGAATAAGGCTTCGGAGGGCGCCAGTTGCATCACCGCTGTGATTGGTAGGGCTACTTCTCCGCACTTCCGACTTCTACCGTTGGAATACATTCTTAATTATTTTTCATCAGCATCGGGACGATGTACGACATCATTAGTCACCCATTTGGTTATAACCAGCCTAACAGTTCGGGCGATAGTTATGATGACCAAGTGCAGTCGCATGCAATAATTTAGACCAGCGCGCCATGATGTTCAATTTCTCTGCCTGAGACCCGGGTGTAGGGAATACAGCTTGGGCAGCAATTTCATCCATCATATGCAAGGTGGTAATTCATCAACAGGCGCAAATGTGAATTGTCCGGATAATACGTCGTCTCAGCAGGTTGCCGGAAGTCCGGCTCTGCCGTTGAGAAACAAATTCCAGCAGCCTTCGGTGACGGAAATGTAAGTTGGCCCTTGCGCTGCAATGTTCAGACCAGGGGGCCTGAGTCTGCAACGGCCAGGCCCCTTGCCAGTTCGGTGTTTGTGTTTGGAATAGGAAGATAGTCGCGTGAGAAGATTTCCTAGCCAATACTTCAATATCCAGTCACCGAACACGGGTATGTTGATCAGCTTGGCCGTGGCGGAAGAATATAGCCATCTTTTAGGTTTGAGCTAAGTGCCTGAGCTATGCAAGAGGTCTTGCGGAGAAGTACCGCTTCCGGCAATGGCTCGCGTGATGCTCAACTGATTTTAACCAAATTGTACCGGCTACCAATTACCTGATTACGGAAAGATGAAGCTAGTGCGTTGAATGAGAATTGCGCATCGAGATGCTTGTGGTTCTCGGCGCGGGTTGTGTCTCATGCAAGAGTAAAGCTGTATAGGCGATGTCTCCAGCCCCTGGCACGCGCCAAAAGTAATGTCTGCAATGCAAGTGTCCGGTGCAATTTATGGGGACTGCGCTTGTTTGCTGATTTGCCACAAAAGTGTACAGCTAGTGACTACATTTTGTTGCAGTAAAGCAGAGCATACTTCGTAGAGCTTGGTAGCCGCTCGCGGCTTGGTTGGATGTATGCTGCCGATTGGTCCTCCCGCTGCAAAGCCCTCCTACAAAGTTCGGGAGAGCTTCTAGCCAACATCAGACGAGCAGTAGAGTTAAGGTTCATGACGCGGAATTCAATTGCTGGCTTCAGTCCAATGGCGCGCCTCGATTTGGTTGCTAGAAAACATGCGTCACTTGTCACTTTAGCAGACCAGGGTTTCGCGCCTGGTTGCAGCCAACAGCAAACCCAGCACAGAGCAGCCTGTTCACGGGAATGCAACCGCTCATCTTCACAGTGCGTAGTGGCGGATAAGCAACAGTGGCTGTCGCTCCGACAGAAGCCAGCGGGGCGAGGGCTACGAAATGTTTGGCCAGGCGAACTCGTAGAACAAGGAAAGATGTAGATCTGGCTGGTTCTCGCAGCTTAAGCCGACCGACCCTCTTCGCCTAAAGCTGCGCAACGGATAGCCCTTTGAACTAGGCATTCTAGCCCGATGAGCCCATGCGGCGACTCAGTGCCTATTCCTTTTAGAATGGCGCCACAGCAGCTACGGGCCTACTTACCCTTCGTGGGAGCTTGCTTGGAGTCAGCGCCCGGCGGCGTTTTTAGAACAAGGATAGCGGGTCTCTTTCGCGTTGGTTTATCTTGGACGGGATTCCTTCTAGACCGTCGGCGGGTATTAAGCCATCTCGTCTAGACACAATCTGTCTTCTGTAGCCGTCATCTGGACAAGGGGGGGCTAAATGCATGCATCATGTGTCTGGCTTGATGCAAAAGCCTACATGGACGTTTGAGTTGTCGGTGCCAGTGGCTTGCAGAAAATAGCGTTCCGCGGTGCAGAGAACCGTGACGAGATGGTTTGTGGCGTGCAGAATTAGCTTCCCCGGCTATCACATTTCGGTTTCATTGTGATCTATTTCCTGTGGCATTGGGCACAGCTCTGCCGGAATCGTCAAGCGGTGTTTTATTGCTAATTGCTGGCCCAGTGTGTGTATCTTGTGGTGGGTAATATTTTTTCAAATGCTTGGAAATGACCTTTGACTCGTTTGGTATTGGTGCCGGAGTTAGCGTTTGGTGGAGGAACAGGGGAAAAAAAAAACGTGACGGGCGAGACCAGTGGGTGGTTAAGCTCCTTTAGGCAGGAGCACGCCCGAATCCCGTACTGGACAGTGCTGGTGCTGTTAGGCATTTAGCCACTGGTACAGGCGATCTACTAACAAGGATCTCTGTACTACTGTGGCTCGTGCGTGCTGTGCTGTGGTGTGTTGCACTGTAGCTGCTGTACCACAGAAAGGTACAGCAGTAGGGGTCCTTGCAGTTCCCCGCCCGTAGGCACCACCCACCAACCCTGATCTACGCCGCTACCAGCTGAGCGCCATTCCCGCACTGTACGGCATACTGCCCGAGCCCCTACCTCAGCCAGTTGGAACGCCCGGAGCCGCTGGCAAAGGCGCAAAAAAGTCACTAGCGTCACCGAGCTCTTCGCGTCCCACCCAAACCGTAGTGCTGTTTTAATTTTTCTTCAGGCGACTCAAGCACTGGCCGCCCCACGCTTCCAGGGCACCCTTTCTCCCCGCCCAATTTTTTTTCTCGGCCTGCCAGCGCCTAGATCACATTGCCAGTTGACCAGGTCCCCTCATCGCTTCCTTTTCTACCTTGCAACTCCCCCAACCTTCGCGTTTTCGATCGATTTCTCTCTCTCTTTCTCTTCAAACCTACTTATAGGCTCGGCCGCCCTACGAATACCCCGCGTTTTCCTTTGCACAGTATACAAAATGGCCAACAATATACGTCTCGCTTCGCAGCAGCGTTGTCTGTAACCTCGCCTCACGGGTTCACCCTTCTCAGCTCGTCCTGTCAGGATTCATCTCTTGATATCACACTGCTGAATTACACCTTGAGAACTACTCTACAACATCTCTCTTGCTACGCGTGCTCCTTTCAACCTCACCTAAGCATCTTCTACTCCGCGTCCCTACCGCGCCGGATCTCATCACCGATAACTCCGAGCTTCTACAGACCTACACACCGAACACCTATCGTGAATCAACTACTCTAGTTGGCTTTACAAATCATCTTCATTTTCTCCAATTCACATATTTACGCGAGTTATGGCCTCGAAACGCAGCTCTCGCGCGTACAGTGACGAGTCGTTGTCCACCGAAAACAGCCTTCCATACAACCCTCCATCCTACCGTTCACGCCGCAATTCTAGAAACTCCATCAAAGAAGAAATGTCAGAAACTATCATTTCTCTGGAAAAGGAGAAAATGAGAAAAGGCCTTACCAACGATGATGTGGCTGTAAGCGACGTCTTCACTTCTACGCCTATTCACGCCCCGTTGAAAATTGTTCCTATGCACCCCACGTTTACATCGTCCCCCGCCATTCCTGCCGCTCCCTTGGAAGGCAGACCACTCAATTTTGGCGTTGTCATTCCTGGAGTGTACAGGAGTTCATACCCCAAGCCCCCTGATTATGATTATATCAGGGGACTGAAGCTGAAAACCGTCATCACCCTTGTCAAGAAGGATGAGCTGGATGAAGAGCTACGCTCCTTTACTGTCCAGAACGGCATCATGCACAAGAGAATCTACATGCAGGGAACCAAGAAGGAGGCCATTCCTTTGAGTACCATGACATCCATTCTCGAGATTATGCTGGACAGGCAGAACCATCCGGTCCTCTTGCACTGCAACCAAGGCAAGCATCGCACTGGATGTGTTGTTGGTGTTGCTCGCAAGTTATCTGGTTGGTCGCTTCCCACCGTCTTGGATGAGTACAAAAGCTACGCTGAGCCCAAGATTCGCGACTGCGATCTTGATTACATCACTGAGTTCCAAACTGCTACTTTGGAGCTTTCTGTCGGCCAACCTGTCACATTCAGTCCTGTGCAGGTGAGAACTTTTCTCCGCACGCTTTTATTCTCATCCTTTGTTATGGTTATATGGCTTGTTTCAGGGTCACAGATGACGGTGACACAGCCTGTCGATGCCTATTCATGACATACGATCAGCCATATGACATGATCTCATAGTCACTGAGCCATCTACATGGGCCACAAGAACGAGCTCAGTTAGGGGAAATCTGGACTGCTACGCACAGGCCAGACATAATTTCACCATACTTGGAATTTGGAGTTTCTTTAGAGGCATTGGTGTTTGCCGGAAGAACGATTTGCATCATCTGGGATTGCGTTTGCACTGCTGGGCACTATTACGGCCCGGTTCACTTCATGTCGCGTTGCACTTTCTTTTTTATTCCTTTTTGTTATTTTCATTTGTTTTCAAAGCAAACCCACACGGAAATTCAAGCGCTGATATCCATGGTGGCAATAGAGCAACGACTCTCGGCACCGCCACATGTGTCGAGAGTTGGCTTTTTCTTGTATTTCTCTCATGACAGCTCTTTCACGTTCTGTCTTTGTATGTTATTGGTGGAATGGTCGCTACAGGCTCTAGTTCCTGAAGCTATTTGTATTCTTTTTGTCCTGTGTTTTCATGCGGCACTATGCCGATTCATATATTGCAAGCAACAGCAGCTTCTATGCTGGTTGATCTTGTTGCCTCATACATTGCCACTGTAAATTCGCAAGCAGTGACATGCATGCCAATGTGCTGTTAATAGCCACTTGGTTAATGAACTATAGTCGGCTTGTGAATGACGCGCAGTTCCATATAAACGCTATTCCATTGAAAATCATGATGCTAATGTTACAAGGTACAGTAAGAAAGGCTGAGAGGCAACGCAATGGCGAAGCGCTGTGCCCGTTGACACAATCGGAATGTGTTTCCCGAATCGATTGCCCGTAAAACGATGACGTCGGTAGCTTTGCAGCATATTACTACCAAATCACTTTACGGCATCATCACCATGCTGTCAGTAGAACAGGCTGCATATTTATGAGGAACCCCATCTGTTTCTGGCCTTTCGCGCCTCTTCATCCTTCTCAAAGTCACCATTCATATATACCCAGCCTCCAGCAGCAGCGTTGGCCGCACCAAGACCAATGGCGCTGGCGCGGACAACACCTCTAGCAGAGAACTTGGCGCGCAAGCCCTGGCGGCGTCGCAGAGCCAGCAGCGCATATAATCCAGACCAAGCTGCTGTGAGACCGGCACTGCCTGTTTCGAAGCCGGAGAGGTTGAGGTAGCTGGCGAAGAGAAGTGGTGGGGTGAAGACGGCCAGCGGCAACATCTGCACGGGGCGAGCATGCAGGGCGGTGATGAGCGTGGCGAGCAGTGCGGGAGGCATTGAGGATTCTGTAAGACGAAATTGGCTATTTTTCAATCGAATACTAACGCTGCAATGGCCGGAGCCGCGGCGGAAGCTCCGAGTGACAGCAAGCCAGGCTTGGTTAGCAAGGGCCGGGAGGGAGATGGGACGAATGGCTTGTGGTCTATCACGTACTGCCCCAGTCACTGAGATATCCAATGACAGATTTCGAAGGCTCGATCTCGGGTACTTTGGGGGTCTCCATGGTTTCTGTATATAAAATCGCACAACTCGATTTAGATCGTAGCTCTTGCGTCACAGCAGGACCGAGGCTCGCGGGTGGTAGAATGGATTCAAGAGTGGCGTCGGTGTCGTCAAGCGCGGGCGATTTTACCGATTCACCGTTATTAGCTTCGCCCGGGTATGTCTTTGAATCTTGATCTACAAGATTGTGTTGCAAATCGTTTGCGCAAAAATCGCCAATTGCATAGCTCCAAGTGCCGCTGCCTTGGCACAGGACAGCCCCCAAGCGCGCCCGCCGGGGCGTCAATTTTTCCGGCCACAACCACGGCCAGCTTGTTGGTCACCAATAGTCTGCCTGCAGCCAAGAACTTACACACCTCCCATGCTCCAACCTAGACACCTCTGTACTTACTGCAAGTCGTATTCTCAACCACACAAGTATCATCACAAGTCAATGTCAGTCTTGCGTCCTTCGGCTCTCGCCAGTACAAGGTAGCCGCTGTATCATCGTATTAGACGCCGCCGGTGCGATTGGCGCTCCCCGTCGGTCCATTCTGAGGCAACGCCGACGGGCGGCGCCAACAGAGTCAAGAATGCTATATAACACGCTCATATCCGCCCTATAATGGCAACAAATTGGACACGCCGCGAACCAGCTGCAACGTCACTCGTTTAGAGGCGCAGCTGAAGTACCCGCCGATCCCCAAAAAAGCGAGACATTGCGCTTCCGCGTCACCCGCAATATCCAACATGCTGGCACCGCTGTATTTTTAAGCGCTTTTATCGCCCGAGTCGTGGCGCCACACTCAAAACGCCAGGAATTACCTCTCGGCCCTTCTGCTACTTCAATTGGTTCGTTCAGAGGCGTGCGGCCGTGCGGCCCAGGGCGTGAAGTCAAAAGTTTATAACCAAACCCAAGGAGAGGGTGCCAAGTCATTACCAAACTCCGCCATACACCATGCATGTGTCAATAGACCCAACAACTTAACGGTCCGGGAGGTAACAAGACAGCGGCCCGGTAGGTACAGTAGCAAAGACGTCTTTTGGGCGGATGTTGGCCTGAGCCATCCGCCGCCGCTGTTCATCAAAGGCGCTTGTGGAAGAGATGGCTTCTGTTTTACTTGTTCTCTCACATCAGTACAACGGCCAAGAGGGCGGCCGGCTGAGATTGCACCCGCCGCGGCGTCCATCTAGCCTCTAACCCGCGATATCCTACCGGTCCGAAGGCAAGCTATAGAATCGCCCCGTGCACACCCCACCAGCTGTAACATCTGCAGCAAGCAGGAAACAATCAACAAATGCAGCAGGTGGGGGATGCGTCCGGACCTTAGGGTTTGAATTCCGGACGGGCAGCCTCAAAAAAATACAACTGAAAGGTCAAGGCGTGCCCCTGGGGCGGAACGAGGTGTGGTGTGGGCCTCGTTTTTATGGCGCTCTCAGTTCCCTCCTTAAGCCACCAAAGTAGCGCCGCATACCGTCTTAATAGCGAGTTTGACCCGAGCGCGAGCTAATCTACCTGCCTGTTCTGAGCAGAAGCTAGGCCTGATCTATTGCTCGGTTGGATGGTTACGGGGCCGGTTGGCCATAGTCCTGTTAGTAATGGGACCAACACCCGTCTTTAGAAGAGTCGTTTTGACACGGCAGATCGCGCACATCTTTTTGTTGAAGCCAGCCGACGCTTGTTTGACTCGTGCGGCAAAGGCGATTCAACTCGATTTGAAGAACGAAGGCTTTTGAACCGAGGTGGACGCTGGACATGCCTTGATGGTCTGCAGCCGCACCGGTGATTATTGTGGTGTCGTTTTGAACCAGGGATTAAGTAGGACTTGCTGTCAGAGATCGTGTTACAGCAAAGCAGCAAGAACTGTCTGAGCAACCCTGGGTGGCCCAACAAGGGCACCGTGTGTTGTTTCGGTCCACGACCGACAAGAACTATCCTAGTAAAGCAATCGTTTGGATAGTAAAGATAATTGACCAGAGACCTATCTCTCAACTAAAACTAAACCTTGGCCGTCTACGTTCACCGACTTGGGGCATACAATACACATGCGTCGTAGACGTTGATAAGTCAGCGGGCCTTCGTTAACTGGCGGGGAGACGCGCCCCCAAAAGCTCGACTACAGAGCCAATCACGATTCTAGGTCGCACGGACAGGCGGGTTAGTTGGCTGGATGGGTTTAATACCACTTTGCATGGCGGTGGCTCTGGTGGAGGGGGCGCTACGGAGGCTTAGTCCGTTGACAAATTGGTTCATCAAAACTGGAGTGATGTGGCGCCCAAGAGCGCCCCCTTTGACCAGTGCCTGTGAGTGGCAGATATTACATTTAAAGTTCTGATTTCTAAAATGCCGTTGGTAAAGTGAGAAGCAGCCCGTATATTTCTTGGATATGGTATTTCTCGCCCAGAAAAAAAACAAAACGCCTGTAATGTCTATGGGAATAGAAGCCTATCAAACGAACCCGCCCAGTGTAAAAAACGCGACATGTAAAAGTGGAAAAAGTAATATTAAAAAGAAAAGACCGCCTGCCCAACCTGTGCTTTCATTGCTCATAATACACCGCTGTTAAATCATGCAAAATGGGTATGCTTGTACGTTGAAAAAAGTCAAAGTTGCCTATCGGCAGTATTGCCAGGCCTCCTGGTTCTGGCCACTCATAGACGAGTAGTCATTGTATGGAGGGTACTCGCTAGACATATTGTTTTGAAGATATTGTTGTTGATGTGGCATGGCAGTGACATATGTAGACTGCATCAGCGCCGCTGTGGTAACATCTGGGTATCCCTTCGCCCAAGAGTCGCCGGAGTAGAACGCGTGCTCAGGAGTGTCCTGCACTGCTTGCGGGTACATGTAAGAGGAGGTTTGGGAGGTAGTCGCGATGGGAGTAAGATCGTTGTCTTGGCTTGCCATGACGAAGTTGTATGATGTAGGAGAAGTGGCCACGGCGTTGGACACGGAAGCTAGCGAGGTGTGCGACTGGCTGGGGCTGCAGAAGGACTGTGATCCTTTGCGAGACATACACGACTGGAAGCTGGTGGCAGATGAGGCGGGGGAGAGCGCAACGCTCGAGGCATAGTTGCTCCCAGGGCTGCTGAGGCTGGCTTCGTGTCCCTGGCGGTCGACATTGATTGTCAAGGAGCGCTTGGTAGAGCGCTTGCGACGGCGAGACTCGCCGCGGTTGTATTCACACTTGAAAGAGCTGGCAACGCAGCGGTTGCAGCCACTCTTATCGCCACTGCATTTTAACTATAATTCCGTGGTGTTAGCTGCGTATAGCTTTGGATAGAAAGACGTGGGGGTAGAGGGAACAAACCTTTTTCTCATGGCATCTGTCGCAGGCCTGGTGTTGGTTGGACCTGGCCGAGACGGGGTCGTATGTTTGACGGATGCTCTGGATTTCAGAGGTTTCCTGGTCAAACTTCCACGTAGCAAACATGGTGTTTAGATTTGCTTTGAAGGGCCAGGTAGGCAGGAGGAGGGAGAAAGAGGTGGGGGATGAGGAGGGGGTAGGTTGGGAGAAGGTATGGGCGTTGGTGAGACTTGAAGACCCAGAGGCAAAGGAGAGCACTGAGTCGTACGAGGCTTCTGAAGGAAGATGAAGAATGAATCAGAAATCGCGATTTTAACAGATGTCTTGGACGGGATGGCCAGTGGCGCCCAGGTGGACTATATAATGCTTTGCGGATTGGGGTCGGCTGCAAGGTCGGCCAAGGCAAGCAAGTGCCTTCACACGATTTCGATCGGTGGATCCTGAGGAGGGTGTGGGTTTAGCAGGTCCCTTGACGGTCAAGCTAGGGTCAGTGAACAACGGGGCTGACGGCTGCATTGGTGTGGGCTCTGCCTGTGTTGGGGGCAAGTATCTGTTGTTGCCGACGGCAATCATTAACGACGAGGGGGCGGCGGCGCGCAAGGCCCTTGGGAGCACCCGCTCGTGATCCTTTTTGGAGCTTGCTGTGAGGAGCAGGAGACTAGGCTCAGATCAAAGCAATGGCTTCCTGTTAAGCGCCTGGGCAAAGATGGCGTACACAGCGGTGCCGCGGACACACTTTCGACGGGATGATGGACGCCAGTTGAGCTGGGTGCCTTCTTCCTCACAAAGCAAGACGTTGGACGAAAAAGACGTTGCTCTGTGATGAATGGCACGCTATCGTCTCAATTTGGCTGGGTGGGCCATGCCACAGCACGCTCAATCCGTTTTGACGTGCAGGATGGGACAACGGAGGAAAAAGCAGCACACACAAGGCCCGTCTCACCCTGGCCTGCTCTCGCAGACATGGCTGTTGACGACACCTGGTCGTGCACCAAAGCCCATGTGTTAAAAATACCTATTCTCAAACGCTGATCTGTAATGTACCAATGGGCTTCGCAAAAGAACGTCGGGAGATGCGGCCCCCGTATGGCGCCTCTTGCGCCCAGTTGCTTTAGTGGCATTACGTTGCCGCCCAGTGGCATTTCAGTTTATGGTTAAGCCATCAGTCAACGTACACAGGCTCATCGTCGTTCTTTGCTGTGGCACATTTTCGTTGTTACATCGAGAGGCGCCCTCTCCGTGTACCCCCGGGTCTATTGCGTGGAGCTCGTCGTTCCGCAGTATCCACGGCCGGCCCCCGAAAGGGGATAGGGCGCCTGCAAGAGAAGGAAAAGCCGCCAACCATGGCCCCTGTATAGAACAGCACCACCTTTTGCCCTGGGCTGCGGCTGCTGATGCCTACTAAGGTGATTGAGTACTTCAAAGCGTTGGCCGTAGACCACGCTAACGGATCTTGTAGCCAATCGTTTATACAACCACAAAACCGAGAGGCGTGCGATATCGTTCAGGGGAAGAAGAGGGACCGCAGATGTCCGGGAGCCTGTTTTCTGCCTGCCATAGCGTGTTAAATTATTCCAGATGTGATGATGATCTGGTAAGCTTGAAGCGAGTGCGAAGCGAGTGCGAGGGTCTTGGTGCGACAGCAGAGCTTGGGCAGCACGCAGCCACTCCACTGTGCTAAACATACTGGAACACACGCGCTTGTGCTCTAGGCAGCAAAGCCTCAGCTGAAGCCCCACGACAGTGGACGATCTCCACCAGCTTGTACCAATAGCAGAGACGACAAGAGTGCTCACGGTTTGCCATGTTGGTTGCTGTGTATTTGAGCCCGTAAAGATCTAACTCGGCGGGCGTTTGTTCTGCTGCCGTATCAACCTAGCACGATGTGTTCAACCCGTTGCCCACCACCATAGACGTTTCCAGATGACCTAGTTAGCGTTGCTAGTGGATGATGGACATTGACAGGCTTTGGTATCTAGCCAACCCATGCTCACCAGAGCCGTTCACTTAACCAATCGAGTTTTTCCCGCTCGAGGAGACGTGGATCCCTTCCCCCTAAAATCCAACCTACCAACGGCCCGATGGTGACCAACTTAGCGTGTACTTTCGGTCTCAGCAGAAGTTCCCCCAGATTTGTCTTACAATAGTACCTGCCCACGAGTCACTGTCGCATCTTGCTTGCATAGAATGTTAAAGCTTTGGCCTGCGTTAAGCGGAGGCGGGGGCCAAAATAGCTACACAGGGGGAGTCAGGGCCCACTACCTGCTTGACTCCGATTGGTCGATGAACGAAGCTATTTGATTGGTCAATTTTCGCCTCTGGTCCACTGAAAATCCGCGGCCAAGGTGTTCGTCACCCTTTCGAACTAAACTCCACGGCCTTGTTTCCAGGCAGGGCTGGGCTTGTTCGGTCTGAGATCTTTTCCCAGCCCAGGGGGGGGTGCAGGGCTAAGTCGTCACGCCATCTCAGCCAATAGGAGGCCGACGTTTATACGACCAATCACAGTACACCGCGCCCCTGGGCAGCTTATTTCTAACGTGGATCTCACTGCACCGTTTCTCGACCTTCCACAAATTGCCGACCTGATATGGCGGTTATTTGACGTGATGTACACCATTAAACGTCCTCCGCCGATGCCAGCGCCGAAATCAGCACATGGGGCCAAAACAGAAATCTCGTCCCGCATGGACGATCCCAGCCAATAGACTTCACGTCTGTCCTCAGCTGCTGCCAACAGAACGAGCTCGGCGTCGTTGCGGCCCCCGAAACTTCGCTCCCCAATGATCGGCGCCGAAGCCGTGCTTGTCGTTCAGACCTAAAATCCTTAGGCACCATACCCTAACCCGTGGACATGGACACTGATGCCGCTGTGACACCAACTTGTACCTCGTGGCTTTCGAGCAGCTGAGCTTGAAACTGTGCTTTGTGCTCCGCCGCAACCCAGACTGTCGAGCTTGCAAGTTTCCTCCTGCATTAGAGAGCACCGTGCAGTGGGCGCTGTGCCCTACGGTTGGGGGCCTGGGGTATCGGCCTCCATCCACCATTGATGCGCGTGAACTGCCGCCATGGCATTGCGTCAACCAGCCCATGTGCACCGCGCTTAAACTTGCCAACTTGCATGCCCCCATAGCTTAGTAGGCTTGTTCCACAACAGTAACAGCCACATGGAACCATTCTCTTAGCACACCACCACCACCACTGCTGCAGGCAACAGCCACAGCTCCTTGCTTGCCCAAAGAGGTGGGCACAGGCTGCTAACACCAGATACATCCGCCGAAAACCGCGCCCGCTGGTTTGCATATACCATTCACGGCTGAGACGACGAAAATCGGCCGATTCTGACGGGTCTAAAGGGTACCAAAAAGCGACCTCGGTGTTAACAGACGAACCGGTCCGGTCCTAGCCTTGGGCTCTAACTCTGGCAGCGCCACATGGGGCCGCTTGTTGCATGTTTTGCGGTTATTATTGTCCACAAACCTAAAAATATTCACCGTATCTTATCACCAGCTCGGGAAAGAAATAAATTACTCTGAAGAGTGACGATGATCCCTTTGGAGACGGCATGTCACCAAAGACAGTCTTTCAGTCTTTCAGCCCCCTTGCGCTTCTCATTACCCGTTTTGATCCGAATCTGATGAATTAACCTTCTTGTAAGTTTTACTTATTGTGGCTCCTCCTTTGTCGGTGTTTGCTCTGTATGGTATCCTCGCAACATCAGAACCTGGACCCCAAGCAACGCGAGCCGCTGTCTTGGCCCCCGGGACATAGCGGGAAAGGCCCGTGGCGTAGATTGACAGTCCAGTGGCCGTGGTTGAAACTTGGAGATCCTTGCCAGCGCAATATGGTGTAAGTTAGTACCCAGTCAGTTCTGCACCAGAATGGCTCCGAAGCGTCCGAGCTTGCGCGCCCCAAGCACTGTTGCCATCCTCTGCCACGGAGAAGTCCGCAGAGCTTAAAAATTTTCTTTATACGCACGATTCGATATTCCATTTTAATTTGGTATTAAAGTCAATTTAGGTTTCATAATTCACACCCCAGAGTAATATTCCTGCGCTGACGCACAGTTCAGCATTTCAGGCTCCACAACGAGGCTCTGCCCTTCGCACTCGCAACTTCGCAACTCCGCACTCGCAATAGTTGGAACACACCACCCTAATTCGGCAAAGACTTTCCAACACATGGCACCTGCAGCGGCCCTGCTGACGGGCTGGATGGCAGGTGCGACTGCGATGCAAAGTCCGCGGCGGATTCAGCCCGGCTACCGTACCAGATTGCTGTCGCAACGGCGTGCCGGGCGCCGGGCTCCGCTGGAACGGACTTGATTTGTAAGGTTTGCATGAGGTTCATTGTATTCAGTCAATCGGAATATCCCACTTGCTATTCTAGTGGAGTTCTGGATGGTGGTCGGAAACGGCCTGACGCCCCTCTACCGCCACCGTTTACTTGAATCTGACACTCGTTACGAGAGGCCAAGTTTGGCTAGCCGTTACAAAAAGCCAAATCAAGACTAACCCTTCAACCTTAGTATCTCCTAACCAGCACAGTCTGTTCCGCATAGACAATTTCAAGATACTTGACCTCATGGAACAGAGATTCCATGGTATGATGACGGGACAGTATCACATTGCCAAGCCCACGGCCTCGGTGTGCAACCACACGTCTGCTTCTAGAGTTTCCAAGTAACTCTTCAAGCAGTTGACTCATCTTCTGTTTTGGTGATATGTGGACGTAGCGGCGCTTCTTAGGCCATAGTCCTGTTCGATCCTCGACGGCCATCATCTGCAGCGGTGTTTCGATATGCACTCGATGCGCATGCTTGCTGTCTTTCCGAATCTTCATGTTTTCAATATACGTAACATTACCTCCGGCATATATGTTGTTGCCGTTGATGGAAAACCCTTGCTCCGACTCGGGGAAACTGTTAGAGCTGAAAATATCATCATGATATCCAGCGTAAGGTTCGCTAGATCTCTCATGGCGATACTCCTTTTCCGTTCGATGGTACCTTACACCTTCGTAGGCACTATAGGGTCTTGAAAGAACAGATTCAGTACCATCATCACTGTAGTAGGGAAAGCTACGTCGGCGTGGCCGGCTATTGTCTAGAGCAGCTGAAATCGTATATTGTTCTCGGTGTCGACAATTCGTCCTGGGGCAACGGCAATCATACTCAACATCAATGCTCCAGGGGTCAGTAATTGGCGAGTTTGAAACAAAGTTTGACGTTGAACTGTAATAGGGAGAGGAAATGCGGTCTTCAAACCGACGTCGCGAGTATCCGTACATATTTCTCGTCGATGTTCTAAATTGACCGTTTGTTCAAGCGTATGAGTAATCGAGACTGTGGGGGAGATGCTGTTGAGGCTCCAGATTGAAGCTATTCCATGTGATTATATATGAATTCTGCTAGTCAAGGCCGCCAACCTAGACATTTGTTTAGTTGTGCTAAGCAAGACTGACAGTTTCTTGTGTTCTCTTTGAATCTGACATTTTGAGTAGAACAGCTCTCGGGCCGGTGCAAGGCGGTATTGTTCGTTTGAGAGGACGGGCGGCGGTGTGGCGCAGACGCAAACACTTCGAAAGCCAATGCAACTGGCATAGATCTATAACACGGTCCATAATTATACAGTTTGATAGTCTGATCATTCACAGATGTCATGGGCATGACAAATAGGAGGCGGATTCACCAAGAGCGATGGGAGGAGGATAGCCTATACTTCCTACCATTGGACTAGATGAATAAATTATGCGTGGATATTCGTCAATAGCGGCGCTATTTGTTCTTCGTCGGTACAATTATCTGTCGCTCAGTAAGACCCTTGTTAGCAAACACGGCGGTCGTTAAAAGGGACGTTGGTACTGTTCTTTTGGTTTTGCGGGCGCCCGAGGGCTAACCTTGACCCTAAATTTATAACTCTAGAATCATGGTCTATTTTTGAATTTGATGTTCTCTTTGTGCAATAATTTCCTTTATTGCTCGTTAACACAGGGTGCTGTACGCGCATGCGCCGGGTAATGCTGTGGTCATACCCTGGAGCCAGTCTCTGGTATTGTCACTAGCAATCTGCCTTGGAAGCAAGCCATTTGGTTATACACTTTAGTCAGTTATTTTCGTTCCTCTAATTGCTGAGCTTCATGTCGTTACCTGAGGATTCTGTGTTGTGTTTGCTTGGAGCGTATCCTCTGGCGAGTCATTCAGGTTTGGGTGCTGTGTGGTGTTTAGTTGCCAGCTGGCGCGTTCAATTCATATTCCCAACCATATTTCTTAAATTTTAAGAAAATTTACACTTGTTTATCTGAAATGCAGATATTTCTAAATATACCTCGCTCTTATATGCTGACCGTTGAACCCGTCTCCCCAATCAGGCAATACTTCGCTAGTTACGGCTACGCCGGCCACAGTTGCCCTCCGGAAAAAGGGTCCAGCCGAGCAACCGCCGTCATCACCGCGCGGCGCTAAAAGGCCAGCGCAGCAAACTCACAGCCAATGGTAATTTTGTGTTTTTCTGGCAGCTTCTACGACTCGTGCGCCTCACGTCTTCAACCTCCGCCCCCTTTTGCGTCTTTTGCAACATCAACATAATTGACGATTCGTCATTTTTATCGCAATTGCTCTTCTCATTTACACATCTTGCTTAATCGACGCAGCACGCTTTCAAAATGCCTAGCCTTCTGAACCCCCAGATGTACGAGAAGCCCCCTGTCCCAGCCAGCCGCATTCGCATCGTCAAATTCAACCACATCAATGGCATGCGGCCCTGACATATGCTGGCGCTGGCAATCAACGGCATCAAACAATTTAGCAAAGATTATAAACTAACAATGGCTGCAGCACCAACCTCCTCATCATCCTTGGTATGATGCAGGTCTCCAAGCGCGTCCCCTTTGACGACCCCAACGTCCTCAACTCGGTCCGTGCGATCTACGTTACCAGCAACATCATCATTGCTCTTGTATACTTCTACGTTCAGTCTAAGATCAATGCCAAGAATGGTGAGTGATTTGCATCAAGGCGATCATCGCGGATGAGCAAACCCCGCGACACCGGACATCACGCGACAGCCAACGCTAACCAAACGAAATAGACATGACCACCCTCAAGTACGTCGAGCCTGCCCCCATGGGCTCTACCGAGGAGCCCAAGCTCGTCACAACTACTATCAAGGACTACGATCTTGCCCAGCTTAAGACTGCCTGGCGCGGCCAGCTTACTGGTGTTGCCATGATGGCCTTTATGCACCTTTACATGAAGTACACCAACCCTCTCTTGATCCAGAGCATTATCCCCGTCAAGAGCTTGTTCGAGAGCAACCTTGTCAAGATCCACCTTTACGGCCAGCCCGCCTCCGGTGACCTCAAGCGTCCTTTCAAGGCTGCTGCTGGTCTCATGGGCGCCATGCAGGGTGGTGCTACTCAGAGCGACAAGAAGGCCGTCGAAGCCGCTGAGAAGGCTGGCCGCGGTGGTGCTAAGGAGGAGTAAGGTGCTGAAAACGGGAGAGAGTATGGCACAGGAGTACTGTTGTCACCTGCTGCTTTCTGGGTTGGCCGTCTTAAAGAGCCCCGCCAATAGACGGCGTAGGTGATGCATGTATCTTGCAATATACTATCGGATTTATGAATAAAACAAATATCTGTAGAACCACCAAGTGTCCCTGCATCTGTGAATATTGAAGGATATTGATTGCTAAATATATGCGTCACGTGGGGTCGCGTCACTGACGTTTTACGCTAGCTTTCGCCCCTCCAAAAATACTTGGTCGTCTTTTGCGCCGCACGCAACGCATGGCGCTCCCAACATTCACCTCGCCACAATCGCACCAGCTTGCTCAAACACGCCCGATAATGTCATATTATATTCTATAAAAGGTCGAAATAGAGTCTCTATACTTAATATCATCCCAATCAAGAGAATGGACCCGCCGGCGACCCCCACAAAGGCCACTCGCTCGTCGCAGGCCCAGTTACCGTTAACACCTGAAGTGATACGAAAGATTGTACGATGTGAGGGCCTTTTCACATGCTTTAAATGCTAATAGCTTAACTAGGAAGAAAATAGACTAAAAGCGAAAGCGATTCGAGACCAGCGAGAGGCCGAACAACGTGCTGCTGGCACCGCACCGACGATACCCAAGACGGCCTCTGGCTTCGTTCCAACAGAAAATGTCCACGTTTCGAAATCAGTAACAGGGAAGCGTCCTATATCTGCTGTTGAAAATGGCGGCACCAATCGAGACGGGCGTCAGCGAGGCGATGAAAGCGCATTACAAGCGCTTCCCAAATTTGCAAAGTTTGTAGACTATAACATGAGTTCTATGACGGATACAAAAGGTGGCTTCTTATCGACCGAAGACGACCCTCACAACTATGCGCTTGGAGGTAAACCTTCAGGCGATGACGAGCAAAGGCCGAAGAACATGACGATCCAAGAATGGGAAAAGCAACGATTAATACGGGAGATGAAGCGATTAAAGTCGGGCCCGTTTGAGCCGGGCCTAACGGTTCTGCAAGACGAATCGCAGAAAAAGAGATGTCGAGAGTGCAGAAGCATGGATATTGACTTTGTTTGGGAAGAGGTTTTCCACATCTGTGTCTGCAGCAAGTGCAAGGAGAAGTTCCCTGACAAATACTCTCTCCTCACCAAGACCGAATGCAAAGAGGACTATCTCCTAACTGATCGTAAGTGTTTTTTTTTGCTATCATTCTCATAATACATGCATGAAACTAATACACCTTTAGCTGAATTGCGAGATCCGGAGCTTCTGCCCCATCTCTCAAAACCGAACCCACATAAATCCCATTGGCACGACATGATGTTGTTCCTGCGATGCCAAGTTGAAGATTACGCTCTCAAGACAAAATGGGGCTCATCAGAGGCTCTTGACGCAGAGTATGAACGCCGCGAGACACAAAAGAAAGCTCGAAAAGAAAAGGTGTTTAAGGAGAAGCTGCTTGACTTGAAGCGCAAGACGAGAACGGACGCCTTTCGACGACAAGCTGGCACGCTGAGCAAGACGGGAGCAAGCAAGTTTGGCGATGCTGTTGGAAGTGGGCGCCATGTTCATGAATGGGGCCGTACAGTGGAAAACGAAGAAGGCATGACGATCAAGACCTGTGTTGAGTGTGGTATGGAAGTGGAAGAATTGGAGTTTTAAATGATGGAGCTGGGAGGCGTTGTGGGAAACACCGGATGTTTAATAATGTAAAGATAAATATGTATTAATACCCAAAATGACTGATACGTTAACGTTACAATAAGTAAAATTCTATATGCAAAATCTTTGAATAGTATATGAGGATATTATGCACGTAATTCGATATGGATTCATCCAAGAAACCTGATGCTCTGTTTCATAGCGGTCAACTACACAGGAGATGGTTGCTTAAACAGCAGCTTCACAACCAAAGCTTGACGCCGCGCTGCCGCCGTTGAAGGCGTCAATCAACTGTACAACACTGGAATAGACACCGAGGATAGTGGTTGCAATTGCGCCGAGCATGTACAGAAAGTTCCAGGTATGCATAATAGGCTTCTTCCAGAAACCGCGGCTCCAGCGCTTGAATCCAGAGTCAACAAAGGTGACAGTTCTGCTGACAGGATCAAACACCTCCTCAGGAAGGACAGCATCCTTCTGGATCCAGTACGCCATACCCATGATGGCGGGCAGGGTGTATGTGAAGGTAAGAATAAAGAGAGCAGCAATGAGACCAGAGACGTAAGAGAACTGGGGGATGGCAGCAGCGATGACGAATGCAATGGAGAAGTAGACAGGAATGGAGACAATCCAAGCGATCTGGCCCTTGCGTTCAGACAGAGGGGGGAACTTGAAGATCTCCTGGAAGACCTCGACGTAAACGACCTTGAAACCAATGTTGGCATAGAGGGCCGCGGCGATAAGTCCACTGACAAAGTACATGGCGTTAGCGGCTGTCTGGAAGCGGTACGGGGTAAGGCCCTGCTGGATAGGATTGTAGGTAAACTGTCCGTGGAACGAGTAGACGTAGATGCCGAAGAAGAGGTACATGCAGTAAATGAAAGACTCGGCGCAGATGATGGCCTTCCAGAAGTCCATGGGATGGCGCATCTCAGACATGAAGGAGATGAAAACGAGGCAGCCGCCGTACGAGTAAATGGCTTGATTAAGACCGTTGAGCGAAGCGACGAAGCCGACACCGCCGGTAGTCATGTCACTGGGAGGTGTCCAGGCGTAGGTGTGGATGGGGCCTTCACCAAACTGGGGACCAAAGGACTTGGAAGTAGCCAAGAAGTTGGGACCATGTCTAGTCACGACAACACAGCTGACAAAAATGTGTTAGTACATGAATTACTTTCCGATAGTCAACAGAGAGGGATGTACCTGAGAATGATGATGCCAAGGTTGGACAGAACGGCAATGAACGCCAGACGAGAAAAGTGCTGGTAACTTCTGATCTGAGCAAACAGCATGCCAGCAGCCATGAAGATGACCATGCAGGCAACGAAGCAGATGCCTTGGCTACCGCTCTCGCCACGCGACATTTGCGTGATACTCTGACCCTGACCGAGGATGAGCGCACAGACAGAGAGAATCATTTGGATAGCAAGGGCAATGTTGACAGAGTGACGGGTGGTAGGACCAAATAGACGGAAAAAGATGTCGCCGTAGGATCGAAGAGGGAAGCGATCAGAGTCGAGTCCGAGGAATGTCTTCCACATAACGAAGGCAGAGCTGTACAATTTTTAGCATGCATTATTCGACAAAAGCTGTGCTGCGTATTGCGCGTTGGTTCCTTACTATCCAGCTGTGGCTCCAAAGACCGTGTAGAGAAGAACACCCGGCCCGTAGCCGGTCTGAGCAAAACTCCAAGGCGTGGAGAGAGGACCGAGGATATCCGTGGTGATGAGATAGAAGCAGGCACCCCAAGAGGCAGTGCGGAGAGCTCGGCTTGCCTGCTTCCACTCGCCTTCCGAGGGAGCAACCATGATCTTGTCGGCCTCAGCACCGGAAGCCTCCTTGGCGCCGCCAGCAGCAACAGCAGCAGCACTATCGGTGATAGCCAAGGGAGCGTCGGTTTTCGGCTCTTCCTTCTTGCCTGAGAAGCCAAGGTGCTTCTTGATGCTGTCGGCTAAGGGCTCGGCCTTGCGCTGGCGAAGATACTCGAGGTTGGCGACGCGCTCTTCTTCACGGGTAATCTTAGCCCAGTATTGGTACTCTATGAAGGTGACCGAGGGGTCGTGGAGGTTGATTGGGTGGTGGACATCGTCTTTTTCGGAGACGGTCGCAGGATCGACATCCGTAATAACTTTGTTGTTGTCGGGAGTGGTGGCTTTGTCGTCCGTCATTGTCAGTCAATTGCAGGGACAATGAACGATGTAACTGGTGAACTATGCAACGTGATTGTGTACCAGAACAAGCAAGTATGAGGGAAATAAGAAGATGGCAGCGAAATGAACTTGGCGACGGACTAATCGGGCAGTCGAGAAAAAAAAAAAGGACAATCACGACATTGCCCTTCGGGGATTACCAGGGGCGGGCTCCTTCTGAATGCGGCGCTCGTAGCGACCCACACGCGCCGATGACAAGCGTTGAAGCCAAGAGATATATATAGTGGCTGTTAGGGGGCGTCTTCAGTAGCTTTCTGCTGTGAAGAATAAATGTGGTGCGTGGTGTGTAGTGGCGGATTGGAACAACGGAATTATGTTTTGATTTCAAATACAATACAATTGGATTTTTAATCACCAAAACTGTATCCTCAAGCAGCGTAAAGAGGCAAAACCTATACGCCGCCCAAGGAAAATTCGGACTTCTTGTGGCGATTGAGTCATGGCGACTGAATGTATTTGCAGCCGCCGCTTCCGAGGGTCGGCGCGCCACTGACAGGTGCCCTAAAAGAGACGAAGTCGAAAAAAAAACTGGGAAAATTACATCTCGTGTGTGTATAACCAAGAACGCTATATATGTGCTGTATCTAGCGGCATCCAGGCTACGCGACACTATTAGCACGGTAGCACATACACCCTGGAACCTGCACCCGATCGGTGGCTGCGGATCTGCCACGGGAGCCAACGCCGTGGCGCCTTTTTAGCTGCAGAAGATAGGCTTGTGTGGTGTGAGCCAAAGCTGTGTAACCACACGTCCAGCTCAAGTAAATATGCAACATGGGCTTTTTAATCGCAACCGTTCGTCCGCTTCTCGGGTAACTTGATGCCGCCGTTGGCTATGAGGATCTTCCCCATGGAGACTTGAAGACCCCTGGCCGGCGAGCTGCAGCAGAGACAGAGGTCACGAGACGAACCCCCCAATGTGGGATGTGCAGTAGTGTACTCGTCGTGTTTCTACACTACCTGGCTTCCATCGTATGCAGAGAGTAGTAACGTGAAGGCAGAATTTGAATCTTCATATCTGTATCATCATGCAGGACCAGTCAAAACCTTTGTCTTTGGCCTTCTCTTTCGTCACTTTGTGGTATATGCCATGAGCGCCACGAAGGGCCTGTGCTTTCTTTTCGTCTGGTCTGCCCCAAAGGCTATACGTACCACCGTGTACCATTGTACATGCCCAATTCGAATAAAGGGCAGATGTTTTCAATCACCAATTGGACTTTTGGTGTTTTGCTTCTTGCCGTATTTTCCACACCCACAAACTACGCATCGAAATCGCCCGACCTTCAACCCCCCGCTGTTTTCGGGGGCCAACAACGTCTCTGCTGCGCGATGCACCCTGTATAGCGCGCACCGCCCCCTCGACTACAACGCTGGCCGTGCAGGGACTAGCACTTGAAACCCGCATAAGGTTACAGTCCAGAACGGCGATGCGTGCCGCTTTTCCCGAGTAATGTCGAGACGAATGCTTCAACGGTGTTCACCGCATCCTACTCTGTGACCGTAGCTTAGATTGCGAAGCGTCGATGTTGAGGAGAAACAGGCTGGCCTTTAGGCAACACGCAGCGCAATATATGAGAACTATCAATACAGACGAACAGGCACAACGCCATAGTCGCAACAGGGTACAGATCTAGTTCAGCTGGCCTTGTCGTCATAGCCTGTGATGCACGCCTATGCGCCGCGCGTCAGCGCATCTTGTCAACGGCAATCTCGGCAGGCTTTAAAATTCAGCGATGAAAGTAGCCAATCGCATTAAACACAAAGCAGATTATGTTCAATAAAGGCGAGGCCGACCAAAAAAAAAACAGGGGCGACCGGATTTCAAAACTGGATTTCCCACTTACAAAAAAATGAGGACAAGGGAAAAACGGACCGAAAACCTAACCCATTGTGCCAAACAGGCCTACTTTTTTCCCTTTTAGGCACTCGTTGGTTATCGGCGAGCACCGATCAACCGCCGTGCGGCCCCCCTCCTATAGGTAACCTGGCGCCGTCACGTGCAGGCGCCCGATAACAGAAACATCGTCACGGGCTGCTGCACCCAACTGCTTCTTATCTTTACCACGAAATCTGCTTCTTTGCCATCCTCTAAACGCTGTCGCTGTATTCGCATTCCAGCTGCAGTTTTAAACTCAACACACGCAGCATCTCGCAACCATTATTTCGTCTCTCTTCTGATTCCGCCACTAGAAGCGGATCGCGGCCCAGACGGGTCCGCGTTGACGCTCCATGGTTGGATCCTCCATACTGTCAAGGCCAGCCCTCACATCGCTCTCGAATCGCGCTGCTTGTAGCAGCGCTTTTAGCTGTCGCTGGTACACGTCGTCGCCGGCACGACAAGCGGCAGAGAGCCTTTCTACCCCCCGGCTTCCTTTTCGATTCGAAACGGGGGTTGGCCTATTTGCGAAGCGGGCGCCACGTCCATTTCCCCCACCATTCACGTCACCACCTTCCGGCTCCTTCTCGGATGCCCTTAGCACACATCGGCCGTTGGTCAACGGCGAGCTAATCCAGGGCGAAACAAACGGCGACGATGCCATCTACAAAAGCGACTACTTTATCTGCACAAACGATGGCGTCGGCGCCTGGGCAGCCCGCCCTCGAGGGCACGCCGGCTTATGGTCTAGACTAGTGCTGCATTTCTGGTCTAGAGCAGTAGAGGAAAATCTCGCCAAGTTGGCCAGTGCCCCAGAACCCTCAGAACCCGATCCCATTTCAACACTCCAGGACGCCTACGATAAGACGCTAGAGGCCACAGTGGAGCATGACTGGCAAGGGACTACCACAGCTTGCGGCGCGCAGCTTCACTACAAACTGGTTGGCGATAAGCAGGCAGCCCCTGTTCTCTACGTTACAAATCTAGGCGATTGCCAAGTTATGGTCATCCGCCCAAGCGACCAGTCAATTGTCTACAAAACAACAGAACAATGGCATTGGTTCGATTGCCCGCGACAGCTCGGCACTAACAGCCCGGACACGCCCAAGAAGAGCGCTGTCATGGACAAGGTCGACCTTCAAGTGGGCGATGTAGTCCTTGCCATGAGCGACGGCGTCATTGATAATCTGTGGGAACATGAGATTGTCGACATTATTATGCAGAGCATCCGCGCCTGGGAAGCAGGCAAAGGCTCTGGCGCATCCGCTATAAGGACAGGCGGCAGAAACGGAGGCATGGAAGTAGCTGCACGAGAGCTCATGGCAGCTGCCCAAGAAATTGCCACGGATCCATTCGCAGAGAGCCCTTACATGGAGCATGCTATTGAAGAAGGCTTAGCCAGTGAAGGAGGTAAGAACAACGATCTAAGTCTGCTACTCTGCAGAATCCGAAGCTAACAGTATTACCAGGCAAACTCGATGATATTAGTGTTGTTGCAGCTTTATGCGTGGAAAATGACCTCGCTTCAGCTTGCTAAATGGCCAAGGCTACGACAGATGAACGATACCACAGAATCATTTTTACGACCATTGTTTTCATAGAATTGTTTTATTATACATAGCGTGCCGGGTTGGGTATTTTCTAGCATTTACTTGTTTGTTTTATCTTTCTAATTTTAATGTCATTTCAGACTGTTAAATCTTTCATTTACTCGTAACTTCAGCATTCGTCTGTTAAGAGAGTGTCACTCAGTGTAGACTTTTCAGTGGACCTACGGCGCCGGACACCGGCGCTAGCTAAAAGCGACCCACACCGCCCGGCTTAATCGCACGTGCTGTAGGCTAGCGATAAGAAATTTATTTTCTTGGATCAACCTCTTGCCTACGACAGCTTTGGAATCCAACCACAACCACAGTATCTCAATTGCAGATACAATTTCTAGTCGCCAACATGAGAGGAAAGAGATCAAAGCAATATCGCAAGCTCATGGACCAGTACGCCATGACCTTTGGGTTCCGTGAGCCCTACCAGGTCTTGGGTAAGCTCTACCCGCGCAAGGCAAAGTCTTGCTCGAACGACTAGCTAACAGCGATTGACAGTGGACGCCGAAATGGTTCAAGACGCATGTCGTTTCAAAATGGATCTTGCAGCTGGTCTGGAGCGAACTGTCCATGGCAAAGTAAAGCCTAGTACGTCAAAGTTGCAAAGCACCGCGCCGAGAGCAAAGCTAACAAGTGACTATAGTGATTACGCAATGCGAAATCAGAAAACTATATGGAAAGAAGTCGGAAGCCGGCGTTTATGAGGCTATTGAGCTTGCAAAATCATTTGAGCGACGACGATGTGGCCACCACCCCGACGAGTTCCCCGAGCCGCTCAGCACCAAAGAATGTATGTCAACAGTTGTCGACCCTAAACAAAACGGAGAGAATAAGCACAGATATGTCGTCGCCAGTCAGGGCCAGGATGTCAGAAGAATGCTACGTGGAGTCAAAGCGGTTCCCTTGATTTACATCAAGAGAAGCGTCATGATTATGGAACCCATGGCAGACGAATCGGCACAAGTCAGAGCCCGCGAAGAGCGAGCCAAGTTTAGAGCCGAACTTAAGCCTCAGCTTGGAAAGAGAAAGAGGGATGGTGAGGGAGATGACCAGGAGAAGGGCACAGATAAGCCTACAGCAGTAGAGAGTGTTCCCAAGAAACCCAAGAAGACACCGGGAGCTAAGGGACCAAACCCTCTCTCCGTTAAGAAGGCCAAGAAGAAGGTCACTGAGAACAAAGAAAACAACAAACCTAAAACAGAGGAATCTGTGGTTGAAGATGCCACAGCAAACGAGGAACCTGCGGAAGCTGCACCAAAGAAGGCGATTAAGAAACGCAGAGGAAAGAGAAAGGCGCAGCGCGACGGGGACAAGGATGCCACTGCGGAGACCGGCCCCGAACCTGCTGCAGCCGCAGCGGACGGTGGTGATGAGGATTAAGACGGAGGATGAAGACGGCCTCTGGCATCAAGCAGTTCCAACCAAAATATGGAATATGGAGGACGACACGAGCATGGTTGAGCGGCGCACGGCGTATTGTACCACATTGGGTTTAATCAGTTCCTTTTTTCATGGAAAATCAATATTTATTTGCATCTAAAATAAGAACTCTTGGAAGATGTGATACTAAACCAACTGATATAGCCAATTACAGTATGTAGTTGTAAACGGCTTGAACATGGCGCTATGACGGCGAGGGGCAAACAGATCCTGTTTCATATTGGCTTGCGCGTGGACCAAAGGGAGACGCGGGGTGGTGATCCAAGCCCTGTATGGCAAAAGGTGGTTCGAGGGGTAGTATAATTAGAAACGACGATGGGATAATTAGTGTATATGATTAAGATAGAACCGTGTAAGATACTGCTTGCTTTACGAAAGGAGGGGGGAAAGAATACGAATCCAACCCAGGGCCTACTTCTATACGAAGAACTGCAGTGCGCCCGCTAAGCCAAGACACAAGGCTGCTGGCTTGGCCGCTACAGCACAGCGCATCTTGCAGCGCTAAATCGCCCGCTCTAGCGTTAGCGTTTTAGCGCACGACTGCCAAAGAAGATGAGGTGGCATCGGTGACGCAAAACAGTGGGGACCTCTCTTATTTGGCTTGCACTGCCGGACCGCCCACCACGCCCTTTTCCCCCCCTGCCTTTGGCAACGTTCCTCCTTATGCTCTTACAATTACCATGATTATTTCCGCGCTTCTTGCAAACTGTTAAGGTTGCTAGATAGTTAGACGACGGCGTGGTTCCGGAAAACAGAGGCGCACATAGATAGCGGTGAATCCGGAATCACCCATCGCACAGGAACGCCGACAACGACAACACCATCAAACCATCCATACCCCTCGAACCACGACTAGAAACGCGAATACACACATCACAGCCAAATATGACAAATAATACGGCCAAGGAGACGTCATCCTCGACGGCTCCCGCCCCTACTGTCGATGAGTTTGGATTGCCGCTGAAAAGCTTTCCAGCTACAAGCAGTGGCGCCGTAACACCCACCGGCCCTCCCCGCGACCAAGAAAAGACGATCGAAACGGTTTCAAAAGTAGACTCGACCCCTGCTACTTCAAAAACAAAACATGCAGCTGAAGAAAAGGAGTCCAAGACTGCCGTAGCGGATGACCCAGCCAGCGACAGCGACGAAGCCGACTTCAAAGATGCACAGTCAGAGATTGACCCGGAATCGAACGTTGCAACCCCCGTCACACAGACACCACCTCCAGTGCCAGTCCCATCCAAGCTACCTCAATCAGATTCGGTTGCTACAATAAAGGCTAGTGAGGATACCTCGGGAACAGGCGATGAGGAGGCTAGTGTCTCAAAACGCTCAGGCGATGTGCCCGCTACTGAGGAAGCGAAGGCAGGAAATGCCGATGCTGGTGCTCCCGCCGCTCCCACCACCGATACCACGAAGAAGAACGAGACGACATCGCAAAAGCCATCCCACAACAGAGATGTGAGCCTTGCTAGCATCACCACTAGTGTTGGCGGTGTGTCCGAGTTTTCTCATCAGCAACTACAAGTACAAGAAGAAGAGACACCGGAAGATGAAGACAGCGGATGGCAAGAAATGCCGTCTTTTGCGCGATACGACATGTACAACGACGATAATAAGCTGATTGCCCGCGAAATGACCGAAGAAGACGACCAAACATATGGCTATGGAAACCTGGGCGGTGCTGGCAAAGGATACACGCGTGTGCTCATGGATGAAGATGCGGAATCTGCCACAAGCATGGATGAGAATACCCAGTACCTCTTCAAGGACGTAAAGGGCACCAACGTGAATGACGATGACGCTAGAGATGCCATGGGTCAAATGCAAGCCACCAAAGACCTCCTCACTGAGGGTCAGAGAATAGCCTATGTCGGCGTTGCTCGACTAGAGATTGCCAAGCTCATTAAGGAGGGCGAAGCGATTGAGCTGAACAAAAAGGCCAAGAAGCAGGTCACTATGTCGGTAGAGGCCCTTCGAATGTGGGGTCAGAAGATTATGCTTCGCATATATTCACACATGGATATTAGCGAAGCAGAACAGGTCATGATTGAACAGCTTGCAGAGCACGGCGTTCAGCCAGCCGACTTAACGCCTACCCTTCATGCTAACTCTAGAGTTCATAACCCAATGGCTGAATCGGATGACGGAAAGGGTACAAAAAGCGCGCCAATGTCACCGACGAGCCCAGACGACGAATTACCGGCAGAAGCCCCTCCGCCCTATCAGATGGACAACAACAATGCTGTACCGGATGCCCAAACACCAGCACAGCTGCCAACAACTAAACAGATTGATATCGACTTGCGATGGACGGTATTGTGCGATCTATTTCTACTGTTGATTGCCGACTCGGTTTATGACTCTCGTTCTCGAGTATTGTTGGAGCGGGTCGGTGCCTCGCTGGATGTCGAATGGATCGATATTTGCCGCTTCGAAAAGAGAGTTACAGATGCGCTAGAAATGCAACAAGAAGCCGAAAAAGAAAACTGGAATGAAGACGAGCACATGGAGGAACGCAGAAAAAAGGCACTCAAGAAGAGATATGTCATGATGGGTCTGGCGACTGTTGGTGGTGGCCTGGTGATTGGTCTTTCTGCTGGTCTACTCGCTCCTGTTATTGGTGCTGGCTTAGCTGCTGGATTTACGACGATTGGTGTTGGAGGCACTGGTAGCTTTTTGGCTGGTGCCGGCGGAGCTGCCATTATCACGTCGTCTGCGGCGGCCTCTGGCAGTTTCATTGGCGTGCGTGCCGCTAACCGTCGAACGGGTGCCGTCAAGACGTTTGAATATCGCCCGCTACACAACAACAAGCGTGTAAACCTCATCGTTACGGTGTCTGGTTGGCTCACAGGTAAAATGGATGACGTTCGTCTACCATTTAGTACAGTCGATCCTATCATGGGCGATATTTACTCAATTCTATGGGAGCCGGAAATGCTGCGAAGCATGGGTGACACCATTAACATTTTGGCCACGGAGGCTCTTACCCAAGGATTACAGCAGATCTTGGGAAGCACAATCCTCATCAGTCTGATGGCTGCGCTGCAGCTGCCTCTGGTGTTGACCAAGCTGTCGTATCTCATCGACAACCCGTGGGCTGTTTCTCTCGACAGAGCAACCGCAGCAGGTCTAATTCTGGCTGACTCTCTCATCGAACGTAGCCTGGGTACGCGACCCATTACCTTGGTTGGTTACTCGCTGGGCTCGCGTGTTATCTTCTCTTGCCTGCAAGAGCTGGCAAAGAAGGGTGCCTATGGCTTGATTCAAAACGTCTACATTTTTGGATCGCCAGTAGTAGTCAAGAAGGAAGAGTACATCCGCGCCAGGACGGTGGTGAGCGGCCGGTTCGTCAACGGTTACAACCGAAACGACTGGATTTTGGGCTACCTGTTCCGCTTGACCAACGGCGGCATCAGAAGCGTAGCAGGCCTTGCGCCAATTGAAGACTTGCCATGGCTGGAGAACATGGATGTTACAGATCTGGTCAAGGGCCACATGGAATACCGTGCCGCCATGCCTACCTTGCTGATGAAGTGTGGTTGGACAGTCACGAGCGAAGAGTTTTCTGAAATTGAAGATCCGGATCCCGAGAATCACCAGGAGCGACAACGGGAGCTGATCAACGAGATTGAAGAGGCCCGCAAAGAACTCGAGAAGGAAGGCAAGGCCTCCAAGGGTGGGCGGTTCAGCATATTCGGGCGCCGCAAGAAGGAGCGCCAGGAATGGGAGGTCTACGAAGACCAGAGCTCCTCAGCAACGGCTGGAGCAGCCGCAGCAACCGCAGCAGCATCATCGACTGACGGCGGGACAAAGAGTCCTGCTGCTGGCGACAACCCACAAGGAGGTGTCTTGTTTGATATCGACGCTATTCGAGCAGAGCTGGCCAAAGAAGCGGAGCGCGAGAAGGAGGCCGGTGGCGCTGGGTCTTCAGCAACGGGCGACGGCGTGGTTGCGGAGGACGAAAAGTTTGTGATTCGCGAGATCAAGACGACGCTGCCTCCGATGAAGCTGGACATTTCGCCAGTGACACCGTCGACGGCAGCAACCAGCCCCTTGAACCAGGGAGGCAACGCTGCCGGTGTGCTCGGTGCGCGTTCGGTGAGCGAGTCGAGGTTACCTGAGACGAAGAAGTCGGTATCTGGGTTTCAACCGTACCCGGAGTCGGGCCTGGCAGCGTACCACTCGGAGCCTGACTTTGGAGAGGAGCAGGTGCAAATGACGTTTGACACCTCGTTTGAAGACGGGCCTGGGGAGATATACGGCAGGGAATCGGGGGGTCCAAGCGTCGAGAGATTGGACCAGCACCAGCTGGCCGTGCTTGGCGCTGGTGGTGCAAGCCTAGCCAATATGACGATTGCGGACCCTTGGGCAGACCCTGACGATGCAGAGTTTGGACAAGAAGAGGGCGAGATTTCCATGACGTTTGCTTGAGTCTGCGGCAGACTGTCTGTGCATGGACAAGCGGCAGGAACGTCTTGCGTTTTATGCCATTCTGACGTTAGTTGGTGATGCCATTTATTCTACGATGCATTGCGGGTGGCGCTTTTGCCTATTGCCCCTTCTTTTTTTTTCCCGTCTTACACTTTTATAAATATTTTTGCTTCCTTTAGGGGAAGATTGGCGTTTTTTCTTCATTGAGCTGCCCGGTGTTGGCGGCGCTGTACTTGGAAGACATACACAAACTATACTACTACGCTGCGACGCAACTTGGGGGTTAGTTAATATAATGAATAGGAGTGGTAACGGTGGTAGTGACAGTGGTGGTTGTTTAATATACATTGAATACTTTTACACGTGAGTCCACCAATGGGTGAATGCCGTGTCCTATGCTATATTGTGTGGTTACAGTGGTTACAGTGAAGCCAGCAATGGCACGGCTGCGCAAATTGCAGTGGATGGCAGCACCAACCAACAGCAGCAGCAGCAGCAGCAGCCAAAGCAAATGGTGTGCGATTGGGCGGTGGGCAGCGGTGAGCTAAGACGAATTGGGGCGGATGCACATGCGGAGCCTTCTGAATTGGGAAGCAAGAGGCGGACCGTGCATACAAGGCTGCTGGGGGGGGGTCCATTGTGTGATATGTGGTGAGCCGAGGTTGGTTGGAGCAGAAGAACATAGTTGGGCGATAATAGTTATGAATAGGCAAACAGTAACAGTGTTAGAGCCTGCTAAAGATGGATTGGGAAAAAAAATTAAAATTATTGTTCGTTGGTTCGCCTGCGATATGAGTCTGGGGGGACCAAAAACGACATCCCGCCCAGGTCAGAGTAAGGCTAGCGTGACGCTACTGGGCCGCCACGACGCAGATTTTTAGGGTGGTTTAATTGGGCTGTCCAAGTCCCATGCAGCAAGCAGAGCTGTGCTTTGCTGAGGGACTTTTACCCGTCCTGCAGGCCAGCCCAGGGTCTGGGTGCGTGCTGGTGAGAGCCTCGTTTGGCTGGGCCCCGATGCCGATCTTGGGATTTGGGAGAAAGTGACTTTGGTGTGTCTGTGTGGCGGGAAGAGAGATCATCTTCAAGTGCAGAGGAGAAAAAAAGTATTGCGCTTTGTACTTGCATGCGCTAGTGGCAAATCACACCTGCAATCCTCTTCCTTTGTCTTTTCTTACGAGTGTTGGTGATCTCTTTGTTCATTCAACAAACGAGGCTGCTGTTGTTGAGACCCTGTCCGCCTGCTTACAGCGCAGTTTGGCCCCCTGTAATTGCGCAGCCCGGCCGAAGAAAAGCCCGCCTGAAAAGGGGAAAAGACACCGGGCCAATCAGCGCGGTGCAGGATGCCCGCATTTTATTTTTAGCAGCGCCCACATGCACGTTGCGCTGGTACTGTAAGTACTGTTCTTCCCAGCGCTAAGGTCAGTGCTACAGTGCTCAGCGTGGCCAAAAGGGGTCCCTTATTCAGCCTTGCTGCAGTACGGCAACAGTAGTAAGAGCCCAGCGTAGCCGTCGCGAGAAGAGGCACAGGTCGGAGTCATGAACAGATGCAAAATGAAAAGGCGACAGGATGCGATTCCAGTGCAGTTGTTTTCTTTTCTAACAATAGACAATAAGTGCGACTGCCGCTGTTGGAGCTGGTGCCGGTGCTGTTGGAACAATGGCCCTTGAAACTGGGTGACCACCAAGCCAACAAGGCGCTGAGACAGTACTCTTACAGCGGCAACTACAGCAGTATTTGTGTAGACTTCGACATCGCCCGTGGTATGGCGGCATGGAAACGGACCAAAGAACAAAAAAGGAAATCTAGCAAGAGTCAAGGCCAGCAGAGAGTCAGGATCGTGCTATATACAAGGGCATTTAATTAGTTATTTTTTAAAAAGAAATACAAAAAAAAGAGAGACCACAGCCCGAAAAAAGAGGACAAAGCGCTAGCGGGCGCATCCACCCACCGAACAGCGCTGTCATGCGCTAGCAACGCAGCAGCCCAGCCGCCCACCGGCCCAGCAGAGCGAGAGGGCAGGGTACATGGTCCCGCATGCAAATCCCCTCTGCGGCTGCGGTACCTCTACTACAGTACACCAGACTACAGGGCCCCTCCCCAAAGCATCCGTGCGCGCGCTCTTCTGGGCCTCCAGCCTGGTGGTGCCCATCGTTGCGCGTGCTGCCCTGCCCACCCAGCTGTCCGCCTGTCTGCCTTTCTCTGCGCTTGCCTACCCACGGCCCTTTTTCCCATCCTCTCTTCTCGCTTTCTTCTTCGTCTTCTTTTTTTTTCCTTTTTTTTCTGCCGCATCTCTTCAACCGTCTCTTTGTTTTCCTTTTTGCTTTGCTTTGCGAATCGCTGTAATCTTCAACCCTCTCTACTGGATCGTCTCTACACGACGGCGTCTATATACACGGGGGACGACCGCTACTACGACAAACCGCAAACCACCATCACCAATCCGACAAAAGAGAGGGCCAGATCTCAACCTCGCAAACAGATACAATGAGCACAAGCACACCTCCCGCAGAAATCTTGCCTGCTGGGGTTACTAAACCCGCTGCGACAGAGGCACCAGCTAACAAACCCATTACTGCTCCTCCTGCTGCTCCCACTGTGGGCGGCACAGGCCCAGGACCAGAGTCTCTCAATCTTGCTACAGCATCGCAGGCTCCCGCTCCTTCGGCTAGCGGTAACCACGTGGAAAAGGATAGTATTGTTATTTTCCAGGACGATGCCGCCATCAAGGCCAATCCAGTCATTCTCGTCGAGGCTGCTCCCGCCAAAACCTTCTCTTGGACCGTCGTCCAGCCAGACGTTACGCCCAACGCCGTGGCCTTGTATGCCAAAAACTTCGATAATCGGGTTGTCTCGGTTGCCAGGGTCTCTTTAATGCCCAACGATCCCAAGGATATTGAACAAACCCTTATCTCTGGTGAGTATTCCACTTCCACAAGCCCATCACCGTCTAACTTATACATCCCAGTTACAAACACATCCGCAGTACTTAATATCACCGCCTTTGATATCGGCTCACCTAATGATGCTTGGCGCTTCCAGCCTATGCGTCTCGCCCTCATTTGGTTCCATGACCAGGAGGGTGGCATTAGCGGCTCTGATACGTTCGCCGTTGCCAAAGCTGGGAAAGCCACGAACAGTGGCGATCCAGAAGTCATAGTCGCAGCTAACAACGTTAAGAAAGCTGCCAAGTTTGAGCTTCCCCACGACAAAGACGACCTTGGAACAGCCCCTGTGCCCCGGCCCGTCAACAACGGAACCGCCAGCGCCGGCGGCAAGGGTTCAGACGATCTCTCTACTGGTGCCATTGCCGGCATCGCCGTTGGAGCCGCCATCGGTGGTCTACTTATCACCGGTCTCATTCTCTGGCTTTTTTTCCGCAAGCGAAAGCAAACCAGAGACCGCGAGTCGATGCTTCTCGAAGAGCAAAAGGCCCGCGCCCTCATCGACAAGGAGGAGCATCGTTCCACCTCGGCTGGCTCTCCTACATCACCATACGCAGACGAGAAGCCCGCCGCTCGTCGCCCGGAAAGCATGCTTCCTCCTATTCCGTCCGCCACGCCTATCCCTGCCCCCATTCTCAAGTCGCCAACGTCGCCCATTGCTCCTCCTGCTGCCCCGGCCCTCACACACAAGGCATCCCAGGGCTCCGTGGCCGGCTCCTTCTCTTCAGCGCGCCAAGAGCAGCCTCGTCCATCGTCATCGGCCTCCGGTGCCGCGGCCAGAAGCAGTCCGACCCGCGAGGTCCCGTCTTCTGTCGCTCATCTTGTTGAGGACGGCATGACCGATGCCGATATCCAACGTCTCGAAGAGGAAGAACGACAACTGGATTTGGAAATTGAGCGCAAGACAAAGGGATTCAGACGCGCCTAAGCGAGATGCCTCTTTTATATATATGTGGCTAGTGAGGCACACGCTGGGTCCTTTTGATGTTAATGTACAATAATCGGCGGAGAAAGAGACAACAAGGACGCCTGGGTTGCCCCAACGAAGCACAAGCTGCGGGTTGTTATTGCCGCAGCGAGTTGACATCAGTTGCATGATCATATTCTCTGTTTTTTGATACTCTGCGCGGCGTCTTCAGAAACGGCGGATCAAATCTTTTTTTGTTTATTTCTACACACTTGGGAGTTTTTTTGAGGGAGTTTTCTTAGATCTTGCAAATTTTGGTTCTGTGTATATCCTCGCCGAAAGCAAGTTTCTCTATAGTATGGGCTTCTTTATAAAGCAGCTATTTCGTGGTTTTTTGCCGATAAAAAGAAAAGATACCAATATATTTCATAATTCATACACAAACCAACACGCCCTTTATTCCTTTACACGCCTCTTCCGTAATTGTACTGTTCATAATGATCGTTCTTCCGTCTTCACTTGCTGCCACCTTGCATGCTCTCCAAGACCTTCTTCATCATCTGGTCGCCAACCACCTTGGCCTCTGCAAATCGCGGCTCAAAGAAGGTCTGCGTGCTGACGAAGCGCTTCTCCCATGTCTCAAAATGTCCCAGACTGACACACTCGGCCCATCCGCGCGCCGCAAATGTAAACTCCAAGTCGTCGCTGCGGTACGTCTTGTCGTGCACCGCCGTGTAGATGGCCGCGTCCAGGATCTCCGTGTTGCGGAAGAGGTGCTCCGTCACACCGAGACGCAGACGGAACAGCGGCGTGCTGCACAGCATATGATCATACGGCACGATGCCCAGCTCTGCCCAGCAGTCCACCATGGCCAGCAGCGAAAGGTGGTTGTTGGGCCGCGGCGTCGTGTCGTCCGACGGCTTGCCCAGTGAAAATGACGACAGGATCGCCGGCTCAATCAGCGGCCGCGACTCCCACGCCGCCGAGTCGCTGCCGCCAAAGACCTTGTCGCGCGCGCGGTACACGCGCTCCCGTAGTCCTTGGAAGTTGCCCTCGAGCATCAGCTTGTACAGGTCCGTCACAGACCGGGCGTACTGCGCAACTTGCTCACGAGCCTCGGGGTTCAGGATCGCCAGGCCGGCGTACACATGCCACTTTTGGCTGTAGATGCGCAGCATGATGTTCACTTTGACGTTTTCAATGCCACCGACGTATCGGCTGAGTTCCCATGGGAACTCGCGGTTGGCGTGCCATGCCTTGCCCATGGATAGGAAGGCGGCGTGCGTGACGGCCTGGGTGTCGGCTGTGATGCGGTCGTGCTCCTTGGCGGATAGGTAGACAAACTTGGACTTGAGGCACGACAGGACCTCTTCGACCTTGTGCAGGGCCTCGTCAGAGGCGCGGTGCTGGATCAACACGAGCGGCTGGTTGTGAGGATCGACGGCAGGGCCGTGGAGAGAGTGGCACGAGACGATTTGGATGTCGCTCGGGAGGTGGGCTTCAAAGGCGAGGATCTCGGGCGACTTGCACGATGTTTGACCGCCTACAATGGCGCCAATCTTGGTGGCTACGAGGGGTTGTGTTAGAAAACGTCTACCGAGTATGGGATTGTGTAGGCATACAGGGACCGTAGGTGGCAATGACTTTGTCAATGGTGGCTGCCTCGACACTGTAGATGATGTAGTCGCTGGCTCGGGATACTAGGTGGCCGTTACGGCAGATTTCGATGTTTTCCTGGCAGAAAAGAAAATACTCAGCGATTTTTGTTCCGGCAGCAGGAGTAGTCACAAGACTTGGGCAAAAAGCAAACGAGGGCACGAGGTCATACATTGGCAGAATATTTCTCTTTCAGGCTATCGTATCTATCTTCTCTGTCGCAGGCCAGGATTCTATAGAGCAGAGGCAAAGCCCAGTTAGCTCGTCGAGCTCAATACACGGAGGAAAGTAATGGCTCTGGTGAGTGTTGGGCGGTGCGTTGGGAGTAACGCGTGGGCTAGTTGGACCTTTTTTTTTCAGTTAGCTTCGTAGTCATAAAAGGGGTATATAATGTGTGAAGCTTGAGAGGAGAGGAATTCTTTCAGACAAAAGTTTGTTAAGGTAGCTAGCGTTTTCATCAGTGGGAGCTCGAGGCCGTTGTCAAGGCACCGGAACGGTGACTCGACTGGCCCCGAACAACACTCGAGCCAAATGCGCTCTAGTCATCATGAAAGGGTGTGTGTGTGTGTGTGTGTATTTGTGTAAAGACGACAAGAAAATTGACTTACCAATTGGAGAGGCATCGACGAATCTGACCAGACATTCATGCACAGGTCACGACAAAAAGCACTTACTTCCAGCCGGCTTGTGACAGCCGCTCAGCATACATCCGTCCCATGTCTCCCATGCCGATGAGGCCAACTACAAAGCTGTCCTTCCATGCTGGAGCTTGAGCTGTGGCGGCGACTTCGGCGGACGACATCGTTTTCTATGGACGCTGGGTGATGAAGCTATTTCTGGTTGTTTTGGATGATATTTCAATGAACCCCAAGAAAAGCAAGTCACATTGTCACAAAGCAAAAGGTTTTCCGAAGCTGATCAAGCGCCAATTGCAGCTGCGCAGAGGTGAAAGCTCAGAGAAAACTTTTGGAGGTGTGAGGAAAAAGGAAGAGAAATTTATCAGCGGCCCGCAGGGCAGAAATGTATTTTCGGTGGTGGGTCGTGATTATGTCAGCGGGTCGGGCTGCTATAGACGGCTGCCAACTGTTGATAATTCCATGACACTCGATGCCACGGAAAGCGGGATACTCATCAGTCAGCGCAATTTGAAAAATGGATGCATTGTTCGCTTTAGGCTCCAACGGATCTGGCCAGCTCGGTATTGGCCACAAAGAAGATGTCTCTGTCCCGAAGCCTGTCAGCTTCCATCCAGCGCCGCCAGAGGAGCCTGTTGTAAAGGTCGCTGCTGGAGGTAACCACACGCTGCTACTCACCAAGAGTGGGAAAGTCTACTGGAGTGGCGATGCTGAATCGGGAGCTTGTGGTATAGGCCCACTTACGGATGTGCCTGTATTTCAGCAGATGAAGCTCGTCAAAGATGGTGAGCAGGAGCCTACCAACATATCACTAATAGCGGCGACATGGGAGGCGTCGTTTCTTGTGGCCAAGGATGCAAGTGGAAAGAATACGGAGCTGTATAGTCTTGGACTAGGAAATAAAGGAGAGCTGGGTCTGGGAGAGTTCATCGTCCGCACGCCGTCGGCTACCAGAGTAAAGGACTTTCCGCCACCTGGTGCAGAGATTCTTGATATCCACGCCTGCATGGGGCATGTTGTCGTGGCTCTGGATAATGGGGATGCCTACGGATGGGGAAACTGTCGCAAGGGCCAGGCTGGAGAACCTGGAGCTGTCATTCACGCTCCACGCAAAATTGAAGGCCTTGACTTTCCTGTGAAGCGAGTGGTTTGCACCAAGGAGGCTACGTGCTTCTTTGGCGAGCAGTCAACTGGCAGCATCAAGGTCCTAGGCTCGGACAAGTGGGATTTGATTACAAAAGCTCCATCGGTTGCCCCGTCTTGGGCCGATGTAAGCGCAAGCTGGGGCAACATTTACATTCTTACGGCCGACAAGACCTTGGTCAGCTGGGGACGTGATGATCACGGCCAGTTGCCGCCGCCCAACCTTCCGGTCGTTGCTGCCATGGCAATTGGTAGCGAGCATGTTGTTGTACGAACAGAAGATGGCAACGTGTTAGCATGGGGGTGGGGAGAACATGGCAACTGCGGACCCAAGGTTGAAAATAACGACGTCAAGGGTCGTTGGAATATCATTGCATCGTCAAAGTATATACCAGCCGAGTCGCAAATAGCGAGTATTGGAGCCGGCTGCGCTACTAGCTGGGTCTGCATCACCAGTCGATGATGCCAGTATCACCCTTAATCTGGAAACAGGCCCAGCCCTTGTACATCGGAAAGCTTCTGTGTTGGGGCGAGGAACGTGGACGGCGCTGCGTCTCGATGGGCGTCCATCATTTCGGATCTGTCTTCCACCGTCTTTTCTGGCACGCCTCTGCTCATAGTCATGAAGGGGGCCGCCTGGCTGGGTTAGCAATGGTTGGTCTTTCATCATCAACAGATATCTTACCTGGTCCGGGTCAACGGCGCTGTGATCCCAGTCTAGTCGCCCGTTTTCTTCCGCCTCATCGTCTTCGTCTTGAACTGGCTCCCAGCCCTCATCATCAATGAACAGGCTTTCTGATCGCAGAGTCGGTGGCGGTGGGCGCTGAGAGGGCCGTAGGTCGAATGCCGACATTCTCGAAGCGCTGGCTCTAGCGGTGCTCATTGGTCGGGCGGGATTAGACGCTGGTGGTTTGAAAGATGCAGTGGGGGGTGCCGGTTGCTGATCAATCTGTGTACCATTGTCGGGTGCTTGAGAGGGGGCCACGCTTGTGCGGCGCGATACCGGCTCCAGTCTCGGCGCCGATGGCTGAGGAGCTGCCTTGCGTCCTTTTCTCGTTTTCTGACCCGGGTTGCTCCCACGTTCTCCAACGGTCATAATCAGGAACTCGGAAGATATCGCGTCGGATGAATATGAGAATTGTATAGGTTTGGCAGGTAGCGAGTACCGAGCAAAGAGCTCGGACCCTGCAATACCAGCGTGTTGGATGATGGCTCGAAAATCCTTGACGGATATAACAATATGCAGTTTATCCTCGACATCAATGTCTCCAAATTCATCCGAAGATACTGAGATGGAAGTCTGTAGGGGCTTCTTTAAGACAGCTAGAAATAATGTTAGCATTGTCCCAAAAAATACTGGCGACCCTGTGCTTCTTACCATCTTCATTCACGGTCTTTTCGCTAAAGCAGGTGAAATTAACATGATCATCATCGGTGTTGATGTCCAGATAGTCAATGCCTGGTCCAAAGTGATCCATTAACTGGCGTAGTGTTCGCGACGGTATCGACCAGTGGTGCGGTGCATCCTGTTTACTAAACTTTGCGTGAACCGGTGCTGATACTTCAAATGGAAGCTTATGTGTTGACGTGAGGCCATTCCTGAATACTATTCTTGCGATAAATCGACTGCTGACGCCCTCACCATCCTCAATGGCAACATCACATTTCTCTATCAGCGCCTGTTTGTCAGGGTCACGCTGCCCCTCGGTAGACGATCTGCTCCGAAATAGAGAGATAAGAGCCTATATCATCCGTTAGTTGGATGCACTCCTGAGTAGTTTAGTCTTATATACTCTTATGTAAAGCGTGCAGTAGAATCTCTCGCGAAATTGGCCCGTCGCTTGATAATTGTAACGGGAAAAGAACTTGCCCGTCGCGAACTTGAAGCTAGCATAGGCAGACTTGGAATTGTTCAATGTGCTCAAAACAAACTGCCTTGGCGTTAGTCAGGTAAATAGTATGATAGCGTAAAGAAACCTACGGAATCTTTCCTCGCCTCTAGCGATACATCATCGCTAAACTTGTTCAGACAGATGAGTGCATCGCGAAAGGCAGCAACGCCGTCATCGCTGAGCGTGAAGTTGAGAACAGCCATTCCACCGCTGCCTACTCGTCGGTATTAAATGACGCGTCGGTAAATTTCGTATTCAAATGCACATGGTGACGGTCAAATCCAGAGTATATATACGCTGGTGTTGTGATGATGTGTAGGTTGGCTTGCACGGTTGGCCTGAGCCTGGTACATTGCAACTAAGCGTAAGTGCTGGTTACCCGATAGATGCATACGCGACACTAGACCATCATTTCACGGCGGCGAAACAGGAAGGCGGTTCTTTGAACAGATAAAAATTGGGGGTATTATTGAAAAATATAAATAAAGGAAACTTGTAAATGAGTGTTGCCAGTGTCAAAAAAATCGGCGAAAAATGCAGTTATGCGCCAGTATGTGATTCCTTCCGTGCTCAGCCCTTGAAGCAGCTGAAGCTTCCCAGTCTTAAGCTCCAGGGTCCCTTGTGAATGCCGTGCTTATCAACGGTGATATTGGTGCCGAAGTGACGGCCACCAAGACGTTTTGAATACCACCAAGGCATATTGTGATGTATATGTGAGGGAAAGGCGGGAAACTGAGCGACTTTTGTTAGAGGGCGACTCTTAGGGTAGTGGCTGCAGAGGCGCAAACTTACAGAGAATGGATTTGTTTACGTACAAGGAAATAGGAAGTGCGTTCTAATCTACAAAGAAAAGATGACTGGTGTGTATTCGGAATATCAGATGGTCTGCGTGTGTTGAGATTAAATATACAAATCCCCCTGAGGTAGCCCGTCCTTATTATGGCATCTCGTACAAACTATTTTAGCTCGTCGGTTAAAAATGCTACGAGGCGCTACGAGGCCTCCGCTAGCGCCACTGTGCCACTGAGGCTGAGAACGCCTAGAACCCTTAATCGTACGCTGGGTAGCGGCATGTGCTGGAATACAGCAGTACGATTTGCGAGCTACGAGTGGCTGCGACGTAATTTAAAATACATGTAGTGCTTACTCAGTAAAAACCACAAAGAAATATACACATGGAAAAAATATTCAAAAAATTATACACTCCTCTCTAGTTTAATCGCATCGCATCGCATCATATCTTTACTGTCTTGAGATGGGGTATCTTCAGTGCAGCGCCGATGACACACGTGAGCCCCACTATAGACCACCCGCCAAGTAGTCACTGCGCAAACAAAAATGCCATCGTCATTTCGACATTCGCATCGCGGCATTATTGCTCCATCAGCCTAACTGCGACTCGCCAAGGCAGGCTTGCATCCATTTCCGATAGAGAAGCATCGAAACGACTTGCTTTCACCAGTTGCCGACATACCACATGTCTTGAGACTGGACGGGCCAAACGCTGTTTCCGGTTGGACTCATCTCCTCATCGCGCATTGCACATTCTACGTTCTGCTTGCTGACACGTCTGGCTTCTGTTTCCCTGCAAAAGATCTTAGGATCGCAGCGCAAAAGCACACACATATACATACACACACGCTATCATGGCTTCGAGCTCATCTGATGAAGGGGAGATCGCCGATGACGGTGCTACCCACTTGAAGGCAACTTCAATGCCTCACGTTTCTAGAAGCGGTATTGACCGTAAAGACAGACTCCCGAGTAGATACGGTTCCTCCGACGATGATTCCACCTCGAAGCATAACTCGCATCGCTCATCTAGGGGTTACAAGCGTGGGCACGACGACTACGACTCTCGCGACAGACATCGCCACCACGACTCCCGATACTCCCGTGACGATCACGATCGCGACGGCTACAAGCGATCAAGAGTTTCTTATGATGATCTGGACGAGCCATCATCTTCTTCCAACCGAGATCGAAGCAGAGATCGTTATCATGACCGATATGGCTCTGCCTATCGTAACAGGCGGCCTCGAAGTCGAAGTCGCTCCCCACGTCGACGATACGATTCCGGACCAAACGAAGATCGGGCACCGAGAGACAGTCACCGCGATAGGAGAAATGATAGACTGGCATATGACGACGATTCCCGCAGTAGACGTTCGCTCGGTCAGCGACAAGGCGACCATACCATTCAGCTCTCCCGACCAGTTCGAGACAACGAGCCTGCCACACAGGTTCCCAAGCCCGGTATCTTGAAAAAGGTTGAACCGGAACCGGAACCGGAACAAGACCAGAATTTTGATGACCAAGAAGCCTTTGACGAGGATGCTGAAATTGAACGACGGCGCAAGAGACGCGAGGCGCTCCTCGCGAAATCGAGCTCTGCAACGCCTCTCCTACTGCATGCTGTGGGTGCCGCTGCTGATAAGGCAGGAGCGGAATCGCCAGCAAGTTCGACGTTACCAGGAACTCCTCAAATGGAACAATACGCCGGCGGCACACCTGGTACACCGCAGTCGCCCAATTCCCCGGCACGCCTGGATCTTGCTAGCGATTTCAACATCATGAACGTCCACGGTAGTGCTAATTTTGAAGAAGACGGACCCTCAGCAGCTGACTACGATCCAACCCTTGATATGCAAGAAGACGAGCGACGAGATGGGCTGCGCCATGCACAACCAGAAGCCAAGCCGTCCCAGCCAGCACCAGCTAAAGCCGACGAAGACGACGAGAACTTTGACATGTTTGCGGATGACTTTGACGAAGATAAGTACGCTACCAATGCCGCGGCTACAGCAGATGCAATTGATGGTGGGCCCGAGGGAGGCATCCTTGAAGGCGATGATAGGGAAGGTTACTACAAGATGCGTATTGGTGAAGTCCTCAACAACCGATATCAGATACAGACAACTCTCGGCAAGGGTATGTTCTCCGGTGTCGTCGGAGCCATCGACATTACTACCAGGACGCCTGTTGCTATCAAGATTATTCGAAACAACGATGCTCTGCGCAAAGCTGGTCACACGGAGATTGCCATTCTTCAGAAACTCAACGACGCAGACCCAGAAAACAGAAAGCACATTGTCAAGTTTGAGCGATCATTTGAATTCCGTGGCCATCTTTGCATGGCATTTGAAAATTTGAGCATGAATCTTCGCGAAGTTCTTCGAAAGTTTGGAAACAACGTCGGTATCAACCTGTCTGCGACTCGAACATATGCGTACCAGATCTTTGTAGCTTTGGCACATATGCAAAAGTGTAGCATTATCCACGCCGACTTGAAGCCCGATAATATTCTGGTAAGACAGATAACTCTAAAACGGCGACAACCTGTGCTGACGAATATTGTTTATAGGTTAATGAAACGAGAAACGTACTCAAGATTTGCGATCTCGGCACTGCTATTGATCGGTCAGACGCCGCCACAGCACACAACAACATCACACCTTATCTTGTTAGTCGTTACTACCGCGCCCCGGAGATTATCTTGGGTATGCCATACGAGTATGGAGTCGACATGTGGTCCATTGGATGCACGCTGTATGAGATGTACACGGGCAAGATCCTCTTTACAGGTGACAGCAACAACCAGATGTTAAAGGCCATTATGGAAATCCGCGGGCGTTTTACACCCAAGCTATACAAACGCGGGCAGCTTGCCATCAATCATTTCGACGACCTCGGACAGTTTGTCAGCGTCGAGCAGGACCGGGTCCTCGGAAAGGTACGTTCTCAATTGTCTTTTCACACGCATTGCTTATTTCCTCGTTTCCACGTTTTCTTCGGAAAGCCACTGTCCCATCACCAGCGACCGTTTATTAGCTTTTCCTGTTTTTGGTCACAACTTTACAAGCGCCCTGCTATCTCAATCAATACATTGAACGGGCTTCTATTTGAGGCGTCGTGCAAGCTGAGTGGCTCACAGCCTAAGCGCTATAGTGGGTTAGCCGCCCAACTAGCGAACCCCTGTCATGCAAGCCACCCAATACTTCAGGTGTCTGTCGAGCATGTGCAAACTATTGAGGGGATTGGGGCTTGGAATAGAAAGGCCCAAAAAAGCAAGGCGGGTGGTCCAATAATTGGCCATCGGGAAAGTTCCCAGCTGGATCGGCGCAAGCCTCACGAGCAAATACACATAACCGCCGGCCATGTGGCCGCAGCGATTGAGGCTGTCCGTGCCATGTTTTAGTTGATTCTACCCCTTGTTCAGGAGCATGCAGGCGAATTTAGAAACACTTGATATTGGCTCTGCTGCATATAGCGGGCGCCTATGCAAATTATGCATAGCCAGCGGCTATTGTCTTGCTAGTGCTTGATGGACGCCTGGTGCCTTGCAGGCGTTCCTGGCATGGCCGGTAGATCGGGCCCCCTTTACGAATTGGAAATTTGGAGAACAATCAGGCTAACTGGAACCATCTAGACCTCCGTAAGGACGCTGCCGGTGGTCAAGCCGACTCGAGACCTACGCACACGCCTGTTAGCCGCGTCTAGCGGCATGACAGAGGCCGAAACAAAGGACCTCCACAACTTCATCGACTTGCTTGAGCACTGCCTTGCATTGAATCCCGACAAACGAATCCAGCCGCTGGATGCGTTGAAGCACCCCTTTTTCACCGCAGCAGTCAAGGGTTCTGCTCGGCGTTGATCCTGGGATGTGGTGCAGGCGTTCGTGTGATGGGTAGCAAGCATTGTACATGCAACTCCAAAGTAGCAAAAGAAGTAATTGAATATCACAGTTGTTGCGAACAATGGCACAAGACGTTATGGATTGGCACAGAGTCGTTCGGTTATTGTTCCGAAGGCTTTTCCAACCTCCTTAATTTCGTAGCGACGTCGCATCGGCGGTTACGGCGTATCTTTTTCGAAGTGCTGTTGACGAACCCAGGCTCATTAAACAGCGCACAGGATTCCCAACTCACACGGTACCATTCGCCACGCACGACACCGAACGTGTGCAGCTTTCGCCGTAACCCAAAAACGCATCGTGGTAGCAGCACAGGCGTGCAACCTCTCGTGGCAAGGACGGAGCGACGTTGAACGCATGAACGACGATGCGGAGTATGTAGGGTGTCCATCGGCGCAACAAACGAATTTGCTTGGTGCCAAATGGCGCGCTATACAGCGAGCTTGCCGGGCGTTACGGTGCGGCAAGCACGCGTAGCATGATGTATGACGAACTATACGGCCGACATGATGCCTTGATTACGGCCGAATCAGCCCTCTCGCATAGACGCAATGTTGATAGAAGGTTGCTTGTGCAAAATTGAACGCTTCCTGTTTCTAATTTCGAATCACAGTCTACGTGTCCATTTCAAATGGAAATCCTGGCCTTTTTAAAAACAAGGGGTTTCTAGTTTGAGGGAATTCTTTGTGAGCAAGGCCATCGTGACCACGGGAAGCCCATCTGTGTTTATGTGCATGAAGATCTCCGGCGGTGACCCCCAAGGTTCGGTTTGCGCGACATGCGCGGCTGAAGCGAAAAAAAAAAAGAGAGCTTAAGGGAATGGTGGTACGGTGCCATTGGGCAATTAATCTAGAAGACACTAGAATAAGCTCTGTTGGGGGCAGATATCACAGTAGCATTAGGAACCAGCGTGTGGTAGTCACCACTGAGGTTGTAGCGCCATTACACCACGTCAAAAAAGATTGTGCAACGCTGCAGCAGGCCCGGTTCACGCTCAACATGAACTTGTGCTCTCTTTACTCGTGTAAGGCGTCTTATCGCGCCAATGCAGGCGTCGTTGCACCATATGTCAATCGCCGGAGATGCGCGTGAGAAGATCGTGTAAGTCGGCGATGAGGACAAGGTAACTAAGTATATGGGACGAGATTAGTGGTCGATGAATGAATGCGATCGCTCAAACCCCGGCTACAATGTGACTAGTAACGATCATAGTGCGATCTATTTTTTTTCAATCGTTTAATTTTCCAGATGACTGGCTATGAGCAGCTTGAATGACGATTTGCGCGTGAATTTTGCCACAAGAGTCATGCCGATGACGTCGTGATATGCTGACAGTGGGCTCCGAGGTCACCGTAGCAGAGAGAAAGCCAGCGCAGCCTAATTTCTACTGGGCTGACGGGTTGTGCGCGCTGTAACATAGAATTTTCACGTTCTACGACCGTCACATAGCGTTCGGCCCGGGGTGCAGTGTTGCCTTTCTCCGCGTCATGCGCATGCCACAAGATGTGCGTTTGTTGAGCCATTAACAACGCTGTTGATTGACATCATCCCGTCCCTTTGTTCGAGGCTGTAATAGTCTCGCTAAAAAAGCAATCATGACTCGCAACAATCACCATGCTATTGTTGTTTTGTACAAGTGCTGTGCATTATGTAATTTGACGTATCAGGGGACGGTGGCGTGCTTCCCAAAGCGGTAACTAGCTTTGCTTCTCAACCCCGATCGTCCAGGGCAAATGGCCGGTGATGGTATCCGTCCTCAGTCTGGAACGGAAGGGCTGAGGCCGTGTGTGCGCGTAGATAGAATAATAGCTACCTCGTGGGTTGATAGGTGATATCACGCCTCAAAAGGGCAGAAAAAGCAACAAGCTCTTGTCTTGCTTTACTGAAGCGACTGCTTAGCGCCTGGCACCGTCGTACGGCCAGTAGTGTTCATGTTTGCTTTTCCTATGTTTCGCATCGCCTAGTGCGCTTCTCCCTGCTAGCGTTGGCTTTATTTTGAACTTGGATTGCTCAGCAAGCATCTTAACCATATTTCAAACATCATGTGGTTTTTGATATGGATCACGGCGATTCCAACGCGCTGGGCCATAGCGTCATGTTATGCTCGGGCTTAGGCCGGCCGCTGGAACAACGACAAAGACAACATGGGCCGATGCTTGCTTTCAAAATAATCTCCCTTAATTCCCACCAACGCGTCATGTGTGTCTTGGACCCTGCGACGGCAGTAGCGCTGGCAGGACTGCTGACTAGGCTAGTGTCACCACTTAAAGTGTCGGAATGCTGCGGGGAGAATTCCAGCGGCTGGAGCAGCGGCGAGGCACGGGTACAGCCCGGTGGCACCGAGATCCAGGCCTCTTTAGCACGCTATGTAGCCGACTATTGAAGGCCATACAATGGACTAAGTAGCGGTGGGCCAGGAATGCGTTGGGCGAGTAGCGGTCATGAGGTGGACGGTTCCAAAAGCAACAATGCCAAAAGCAAAGTGTTGATATGGAGCCGATCCAAAAATCATAGCTGCCAGCCAGAACCACCCTCGATTGCTCAAGAATGAGCTTGACAACATAAAAATAGAGAATCACGTCACTACGATAGAGAACCCTGGTTTGTACCAATAATAATCCGGTAATGCAAGGGAGACTGTTGCTCTGGTGGTGGAAGTTTCAAGGAAGATTCTGATGATGCTCTAAGCCAGACAGCCGATCGTCCAACTTTCGATCCGCTTCCAGGGTCTAGACAAGACAACTTTTGCAGCTCCACACCCCAGGCCAGGCCAAGCCAAACGGCTTCTGATTGCGGAGGGCTTGTCTCAATCATCATGAGACTGTGTAATGGCGGTGTCGTGCATTGCTCGTCCCGTCCGCCATACATGCATTCAGTGGGTGGCGGGGCGGGCAGGTCTCGCATTGTGAGACAGCTTGCGCTTTGAGCGTGTGCCACGGGATGGTGGTGCCAATATATTTTTCTTTTTTTCACAGTTGTGATGTTTCGCACTGGACTCACCAGGCTGTTTGTCTCAAGTAAGCGATCACACAAGTGGAGTAGTGGCAGCATACCTGTCTGCCTGTTGTTGGTTTTAAGTGTGTGTGTTTTTACTCGCCTGGTTCACAGCGCCGTGCAAGCCCTGTACTATGTGGCCCTTAGATGGCATTCCAGAGGGGATCATAGATCAGGTTAAAGGGCCGGTAGTTAGAGACAGTTTTACGCCACATAGGATATGCCTATCGAACGGTCCTTTCGGTAGTCAATACACAAGACGACGTCCGCTATGGTCAACAGTGGGCGTTCAAACTCTTGGGATCCAACGGCGCCGGTGTGGGGCTTTCCGGACGGAGGCGTCGCATGAGGGCCATCCGGAGCGGCCAGCGCACCAGTCGGCGCTGCTCACAGGGTCCGATGCGCTGTAAGTTTTGGTAGCCCAGTGGTGCCAGCTCGAGCCATCACGAACGGCAGGGGTAGGTAACGCTGCATGCGATCGGTGAGGACGGCCAGGCCAGGCGTGACCCCGTTGGTGGTGGTGACCGTCACGCTGTGCACATATGCCGTGTTATCCTGTCATATTGGCCGCTAGAGGAGAGTATGTCAGTTCCTTCACAGCTGCTGCTGCAATAGATAGCCACCGGCAACAGCCATGGTTGAAGAGTGTGAGCGGGATGGTGGGCGGTGTTGGTGAGGTTGCGGCGGCGTTCAATTAGCAACCGCCCTTCCCGTCTTACTGTAAAATGAGAGAACAATCATGAGCAGACTTAGCCACACGGCGGTGCGATCTGCTGGTGGTTGCTGTTTAGTTAGAGTACAGTTATTGTCCACCACCACTACGGGTGACGAGCACACCACTACGGCGCAGGCTGGCTGGGCGCTGGTCTCATGGTTGGCAGAGACTACAAGCAAACATGCAGGCCACCAACACCAGCGGCAAACCTGGGAAAAACGGCTGGGACGGTGAGACTGAGCAATGGATGAACGAGATTGGAGTATGACGCCGACCGAACGGCCGAAGGAAGCAAGTTTTGTCAGGTCTGCAAGAGCGGCTTATGGCTGTGATTGGCCAGCAGATGTGACGAACTGTTGAAACGGGCGTCAAACGGTGATGCACAATTTCGGATCGATAGCTGGATTCATCTGCTGCACCGAGAGCAACCTGGCCCGCCAGCTCAGGAGGCCGGACTGAAGGTTGAGTCGGCCCAAGCGTGCAGTGCGTGCAGTTCGGCACAAGGATCTATCAGATGGGGGATCGCACCCTGTTTCTAGCGAATGGAAAAGCAGGCTCTAGCGTTACATTGCAGGCAGCCCCGGCATCAGCAAGAGCAGCACACGTCGGGAGCCTCGTGCGGTGGCGCTGGGTGTGAGCCCGTGTCGGGCTGCGTTGGTGGCTTGCTGCTAGCGGGCTGCTAAACTAAGAGGTGTCAGAAATGAAGCAAACGGGATTGGATGCGACGCTCCAAGGACTGTGCTGTCCTACCCACACTATCATGCGTAGCACCCAAGCCGTCGAACGCACTGGCCACACACTATCGAACACGGCGAGCGGATTGGCTGAAGCACCTTTGGTTTGGACACCATCAGCTCCCAAGGATCTGGGATGAGGTGAAGCCGCCGCTCCGCCCAAAGTGGCCTTAGTCATCAGTCCCGTGACAGCCAGCCAATCTTGAAATCTGCCACTGCTACGCTACGGGCTTCGGGTCCCTGGTCCAGGGGCAAGCGAAACCGAAGAGACAAAAAAAATACAATGGAGCGGGTGACTTGGTCCCCTGGGCAGTCTTCATTCGCCGGGTGGTATAAGCGAAATGGAAGGATTCCAGATGGCCGCGTGCGTGGCTTGGGATTTTTTTTTTTCTTACTTTCTGTTCAGTCACTCGTATCTGCTGCTAAGAAATAAAAAAAAAAGGTAATATTACTATTATTATTGCCCAATGTATTGTTCCTGCGCCGCCCGGGCCCCAGTTAACGGTGGCTCTTCTGCACGGATGCTCCGGCTGCATCGGTCACATCAGCCATTTCATCCGTGCCATGGGCTTCCGAAACATCAAAGCATCCAGGCGTCGCAGCCTACCCGGCAGGCTGCTCGCTGTATTATAACCTTTTCGTTCTTACCTATAGGGGGGAGGGCATGATGCAGGGCGACGGAAGGCTTTTTTTAAAGGTGTATCATATTTTAAGCATGTGGATGCAAACTGCTGCAACACAACAACGGCTGCCTTGCTATACCGTCTCTTTGTTCAATGCCGTAATAATTCGATATTGAACGGGCTGCCTGCAGTCAAGTCCGCCCACTACACCCAATAGTACAGTGGAGGCGCTCTGGTCGAACACGGAGTTGGGCTTGCATCCTAAGCGCCAAAAAAGGCCGTGCGGAGTGCTGGCTGACCTTTCTGGGCGGCAGCCATTAACTTTTCCCACTTTACAGGCAAGCAAACAATGGAGGACGGCGACTTTAGCAGGCTTGGGCTAGTGGGCAGGAGGCTGCGAGCGCGCCTCACTGGGGACCGTAATTTAGTGGGCGCTGGCCTAGTGGCGTGTCGACTGACGACGGACAAGGCACAGTGAGTGGCACCCGCCCACATTCGACTTACTCGCCGCCATCTCGGCGCCTCCAGCAGGGGGGGTTCCCATCAGTCACGCAGGCAGGCAAAAAGAGCGCAGTGGGAACATGCGAGAAGGGCCTAGCTGTCCTCTTGTGGCAGTGATGGGGGAGCTAGTGCTCGCTTCCACCGGGCTCCAAGGCAAATCGGACTAACAGCAATGGAGGCTGCCTATCTGTTAGAAGCCCCAGCACTAGGCAGGCTTAGCTGAACCTGCTGCAGGTTGTTCGCTAGCCTTGTGACCATTGGGCAATAATAGAAGCACCAGCAGGTGTTCGATACAGCGGACAACACCAGCTTTTCCACGGAGGCCCGGTGAAGGCGACTAGATAGAGAGACCAGCTAGGTAGTACTGAAGAGCCAAGAGCCAGTAACTGCATGCCGGCAAAAACGATAATTGGTAGCGCTATTTATTTTTATTTATCTGTTGCGTCAAAGGCTGTTACAGATTGCGCATCGCAATGAGCTGTTTTGGCGATCAAACAGTGGTTACGCACACGGCTCTGCTGCTCATGCCACTATACATTTCAGGGGCGTTGGTGGTGGTGGTGGTGCTGCACAGCAGGCTGGCGCTACCGCCAATACAGGTGGTGCCTCGTCAGCCCACGGTGCGAACAATGGGCAAACAATAACTGACGCAGCAGCAAGGCAAAGTGCTAAGTAGGCGCCCAAGGTCGGCCTGAAGCAGTGGCCTGGTGCAGGTTCAGCCACTGCGAACGCGTCAAGGTGGCGACGATCCCTTTTCAGGCGGCTTGTGCATAACTGCCGTACGCGAACGATGATTGGCCACGCCACTCCAAGAATAAAACCACGTATTGCTTGCAAAGTCGCGACCGCCGGGCGGGACACGCTAGCGCTGCATAACTCATGCACAGCCCGTCGTCGCAGATCCAGTCGTCATTCGTTCGCCTACGCCAAAAAAACAAAACAGGCAAGCTATTCATTCAGCCTGAGGCCCAATGACAGCCAACCAACCAGAGGCCGGCCGTGTTGGAAGAACGCACCCACACGTAGGTAGGGTCCCTGGAGGCTGGTCTTAGCAGCACCTGGTATTATCAGCAGCAATTTGGCGAGTCTTATCCTGCTCGTAGCGATCCACCATCTCTAAATTAAGCCGTTTGGTGTAGCATCGCAGCGGATGCCTACCTCTCTTACAAGATCTGCTACTGCTAAGCAGGACGGACTCGGCAGTCAATGAACGGACCGCCATTTCCAGGGCCTGCTCCGTGCCTGTACGGGGAAGCGGCCCCCTTGTCACGAACCAAGAGTGCTGGATTCGATGATCATCTCCGTGGGCTCGTCGATGCGCCGTCTCTGTCAGGCGCAAGTACTGAACCTACCGAGAGTAGCGACTATTACCACCGTCAAGGCCCTGCTAAAGTATGGACACGCACGGGCGGTATTAGCGGTACAAAACCCCCCGTAGCTTTTTTGCTGGTGCTTAGCGAAAGGAATGGCCCCGTTTTGGTGGAGGTACAGTACTGCTGCTTGCGTGCGGCACGTCGTGGGCCGCTATAATTTCAGCATGCTGGCGGTACCGTACCAAAGTAACTTTACTTACAGCGGAGCGCTACAAGCGGTGACTGGGAGGCACGGGCGGAGCGGGATTCCAGTGAAGACGAAGAAGGTTTGACGTCAAATTCCATGCCAACCGCCGGAAGCAACAAGGAAAAAGAGGGAAAAAGTTAGACAACATGCGTCACTTTACGTTTTAGGAACTGCAGGGTTCAAGAACGGCCGCGAGGGTGAAAGCATAATAAATAAATAATTAAAAAAGAGAGTTTGTTTACAATTGACTTTGGCAATGCGATCGGCTGTCTCATCCTCGATACGCTGGAGCCCCAAGGAGATGCAGCACCAGCAGTCGCAAGCAGGACCGCCGCCGCCGCAAGGGATAGGGCGGGTTTCGTCTGCAGGCGAGTCAATGGGCGACAAACGGGCAGAAGGTCAGACGGGGTGGGCAGCAAAGAATGGGTCAAACACGCTGTCCCAGTCACGGGGAGGGGCTCAGCGGGGGGTGCGCTGGAAGAATACAGTACAGGCTGTCCACAAGGGAAAAATAAGATACGTACAACTGGCAGGCAGGCAGCAAGCAAGCAGGTACTGTAACCTGTTGGTCCACTGTGTCATCATAGGGCCGTGGATCATAATAGAAAGAAGTAGAGAGATGCAATACGTATGTAATCTACGTGTAAAAAAACAGGATGTACAGTTGCTAGTGCTGCCACTCGCAAAGGCAATCCTTCTCGGAAAGGCTAGTATCTGCAGCCTAGACAAGGAAAATTCGCTAGTTCTTGGACTGACTGCAGCCAGCGGCACAAGGATAGCCAACCAACCACCACTTTCTTTACAGTGGTGGTGGAAAGCAAGCGGGTTTGCAGCAGTTCCCCAAGCGCTGTAGGAGTGTGGGTGGGTGCTATCTATTGCTTGCTTGCTCGTTCGCCATGCCAGGAAAAAGCCAAGAAGGTGTGAGCCAAGGGCGGGCGGGGGGGCAAAGGAAAACAGAAGGCGAAGCGTGCTTGGAAGAAAAAAAACGAGGCGGCGCTCATGACACAAGGGAAAAGCGGGAGCGGCCTCTGCGCTGTGCAGGCGATGTGCGTGCGTGCGTGCGTGCGTGGGTGTGTGTCAGACCACCACTACAGTACCCAGAAGAAATCCAGCCCGCCCGCTGCAGCAGTGTAGAGGAAGCGGCAGCAGCACCAGAGGAACAGCAGGCCCAGCAGTCTAGGACGGGGGGGTGGTCGGCCTGCTGCTGGGAGATTCGCCTCTCGTATATTGCGCAGCACCGTCACTCACGCCATTGCTTCACTGCGCTGCACCCACAGGAGGCGCTATGGGGACCCACTCCAACCTCGACCATTTCCCTCTGGCTTTTCCCCTCTTTTAGCAATCACACCCACCAACACCCGCAAGCCCACTCACACTGACACCACGGTTAAGAATAGGTGCATCAATTAGCGCCGACCCACCCGCTGGCTTTTTTGCTTCTGGACTTGTCCCAGAGGTACGTACCTCCACCAGTGACCCCCCCCTGCGGCGAAGCTAAGACAAGCCCCCAGCCAGCCTGCCAACCAGCCAAAAAAGACGGACCCACTCATCATCGTCAGAATCTTCTCTCTAATGAAAGGTGGATCCCCCAAAGAAGTGGGGACGCCTTTTTCCACGCAATGCATTTCCAGACGCCGCGCTAGTGCTAGCACCACCAGCAGGTACGTACCCTCGCCGCTACGAAGCCTGCATCTGGTTATCTATCTCAACTCGCCCACCTTAAACGTCGTCTTGCATCTTATACACTATCCACCTGGACGACTCGACACTCCTTGGTATACCATCTCGCCTCTTCTTTTCCCAGGATCCATCGTCTTCTTGCTTTCTACAATCGTCCTTGTATACCTTTTTTATTATCTTCTTCCTTCTTCTTCTCTCTCTTGATCTTGCACTGCTTCTATCGCTTCGTTGACTTCGAATCGATATCACCAGTCCTCGACCATTTGCCAATATAATAAAAAATATTTGCGCTTTCCGCCTGCATCTTGACCCGTTGATTCGGTTGTTGAGATTGTATACTTGATTGTCTTCTGCTATCGTCACCCGTCAGCAGTTCTTTCTCTCCTCCACACACAGAGACACACGACCACCATGCAGCACCATGCGCAATTCACATACCCTTCGCCTCCTGCCTCGCCCGCGTACGACAACTCCAGATGCGCCCCTCAACAACAACATTTCCAGCCTGTTCGATGCATCCCGCTCGCTCCTGAAGCGAGGCTAGGTCGTCTCCTTGAAGGCACTCTCCAGCTTACAGATATCCTTGGCACCGGTGCCTACGGCGTCGTCTACTCGGCTGTCGATATCAAGACGGGCATCCGCTATGCCGTCAAGTGCCTAAGCAAGTTTAACGCCGACGGCACTCCCCTTGAGCGCCGCCAGGTTGCCTACCAGCAGCGTGAAATCCGCCTTCACTACACTGCCTCAGCGCACCCCAACGTCGTCTCCATGCACCAGATCATCGAAGATGTCGACTGCATGTACGTCGTCATGGAGTACTGCCCCGAGGGCGACCTGTTCCTCAACATCACCGAGCGTGGCCAGTACGTTGGCAACGACTTCATGGCCAAGAAGATCTTCCTCCAGATCCTCGACGCCGTTGAGCACTGCCACAAGCTCGGCATCTACCACCGCGACCTGAAGCCTGAGAACGTCTTGGTGACTGACCAGGGCGAGACCGTCAAGCTTGCCGACTTTGGCCTGGCTACTGCCGAGGACCGCTCTGAGGACTATGGCTGCGGCTCTACCTTCTACATGAGTCCCGAGTGCCTCGACCCTTCTGCCCGCAAGCCCTACTACATGTGCGCTCCCAACGACATCTGGAGTCTCGGCGTCATCCTCGTCAACCTCACCTGTGGCCGCAACCCATGGAAGCAGGCTTCTCTCCAGGACTCTACCTACCGCGCCTACATCCGCTCTCCCGGCTTCCTCAAGACCATCCTCCCTCTCTCTGATGATCTCAACGACATCCTTGGCCGCATCTTCCACCCCAACCCCGAATTCCGTGTCGGCATTTCTGAGCTTCGCTGCCGCATCATGGCCTGCACCAACTTCACCATGCCGGCTCCGGCCGCTATTGCTACTCCTCCTGCCAGCCCCCAGCAGCAGATCCTCGAGTACTCTTGCGAAGAGGACGCCATTGTCGACGACTACGACTACGATGAGGCCCTCTCCCCTGCCTCTTCCTGCTCCGACGAGGGCTCTCTCACTTCTGATGGCTCTACGCTCTCCGACCTCGACGAGGACTTTGTCCAGGAGCAGCAGCACCTCGAGCCCCAAGTTGCTTTCGCCTCTTCGCCTGTTGGCTACGAGTCTGAGCAGCCCCAGCTCATCCAGCCCGAGCCCGTCGTCTACCAGGAATTCATCCCCCAGTACACGGGGCCCATCCTCCCCTCCCAGGCTGCGCTCTGCCAACCAAAGCAGGCAGCGGTTCCCATCATCCAACCGCCCTGCCAGCCCAAGTCCTTCTTCCCTCTCTGGGAAGTGGTCAGGTTTGTTCAGCAGGCCCCCATGGCCCAGCATGTTCAACAGATGCACCAGCCCGTCCCCTTCCTCCCAACCTTCCGAGGCTACTAGATGCCGCCCTCCTCATCACCACCCCCTTCTTCCTGTACAAAGAACTGTGTTTGCCTCCGCGGGCCCACTGCACACTGATTTTTCTTCGCTTCTCGTCGTTCTGCCGGTCAGGATGAAGCAGGCCCGCTGCCTCGCCTCCATCTCCAGCCATAATTGTGCTGGCACGACTCACAACCTCTTCAATCACAAACACATTACTACTACTACTTTGTTTTGACAAGCGTGGAGTTTATTCTTTTCTTTTTATTTTGGGATTGCGATCTTCTTTTGACACAGCATGTCACACGGCGCAAATATCTTTTATTTCTGGGATTTAGCACTGCGGAACAGTACTTCACCATCCACTTCCCAGAGTTCCTCCTTTGCTTTGAAGCAAATCACGATCAAAATGACGAATTACAAAAACATCTTTTAATCGCCATTCAACTCTTTTCAATCTTTTTTCTTTCATTTCAGTCACAGGGTCAAAACCATAAAGGTTGCCCTTACTTTTTTCCTTTATCTGTTGAAAATCCGAGATGGCGCCAGACAAAATGGGCCTCTTGAAAACTGTACGTGCTTACTTGTGAGATATGGGAATTTTACATAGATTGAGCTTGAAGGCTCAAAGGCAAAAAGGCACCGGACTACTTTTTTTCTTTTTTTCTTTTTTTTTTCTTTAGCAAAGCAGCTTAGACAGATTCCTTGCTACCAAAGAGACACAAAGTTTGCCCGCTAAACACTATTCTGGCTTGGAGTGATCATCCTAAATCGCCATGCAGTGAACATCTACAGTAAACGAAGGCAAAGTCAATCCGTGACAACAAATGGTACGTACTAAAACACTAAACCAGCCTAGCCACGAAACTTTACTATGTACGAACTAACTTTGGGTTTGGATAATACTTGGTACGTCTGTCCCTGCCAACTATCTGCAGCCGAACTTTGTACTGTAGTACTCTCTGCCAGCCCAGAAGTATACGATCTTCGTTTCGGGAATTAAAAATTCCTCAGGATGAAAGCGGGCAGCAGGCTAAGACGAAACGGGTTGGAGGGTTGCATCGGCTACGACTCTAGCGTTGCGGCAGAAGCGACAGAAGGTGGAACTAGTGATTTTGGGGGGGGGAGAAGGCGTCCTTGTCAAACAGGCCCTTTGGTACGCACGCGCTCGCACTGATGCGGCTGGGGGACGCCAAGTACAGCAAACTAACGTAGTGGGTGTCGCAGGATCAGCGGCTTGGGCTTGGGTTGGGCCCTGCGCTGTGGTGCGATTGTGCGTTAGTCTCTGACGCCTCAAGTCCCGACTGGATGGATGTGCCATACACTAAGGCAGGCTAGCCTCTCTTTCTTTCTCTCTTGTTTGCCCCCCTCCTCCCCGCTTTGCCTTAGAGTTCTCTTGTGCGTCATGAGCGCAAGGGTGCGTGTGTGCATGCTGCTCGACGACGAAAAGGGTAGCAGCCCGAGCCAGCCGGTGGTGTTGCGAGGATCAGCCGTGGCATATACAGTACGGAGAGTGTCCTTTCTTTTGCTACGGGCGTTAGGCTGAGCGCGAGGGAGGGTTGTGTAGATGTTGCGGATTGCGCTTCCTGCGTCATAGATCTACATAGTGACGAACAGAGCAACGTTGATGAGCGCAGGATGACGAACTCGGTGGTATGAGCACCAGATGATCGTTGTATGCTCTGAAATTATCACATAATTCTTTTTCTTGGTGTTGATCCATGTACTTCCTTTTCATGCGCCTGGATCATCGCGCACATCCTCCGTCATGGCATAGCATGTAGGTACAGTGGTTGCTTGGAGTCGTAAACACTGGGCGAACAGCCCATTACAACCTCGGTGGGTTTCTTTCTCCAACGTTTTGGCTAGGAAAGACGCACAGACACTCCGCCGACATGGATAATGGGCTGCTTTGCTACAGGGGGCAGGCTGTGTATGGTGGTCAGGGCAGAAAGCCAAGCCAAGCCTCTTTTCTCGTCGGCGCAACAAAAGTCAATAAGCGTACGATTTGCCATGAGCTGGTCTCCTCTCGCATAATCCCAGCAAACGCCCTCCGGCCGAGTTAGTTAGCGGAGGGGGGGCTCACTCAGTCAGTCACTGCTTCGGCAATGGGCTTGTTGCTTACACCACCATCACCAAATGACCCGTGTTGATGATTCTCCTGTTTGGGACGGGGCTTTGTCTTGGCCATCAGATTGCGTGGCGCCAGAGAAAAAGCGAGCAAGACATGGCAAAAATGGTTTTCTTGTCTTCTGGATCACAGCCGAAAGACATCCGCGGCACGCAAGAAGGCAGAGCTGGGCGGCGAAAGGGTGCGCCGCGCCAGGCGGTGATTGGGTGGGCTGCAGCTTTGCTGCCTCGAGGCTTAATCAATAATAATCAGCATCTTCTGTTTTTCTACTGTGCTCAGTTCAGTGGTGGCGGTTTGCCTACGCCCGCCGCTACACTACTACCCACGACGTCGGCTGCATGGATCGCGATGGCTGACTTACACCAACCCTCTCAACAAAATCCCCATAAGAACAGTATAGAAAACTGCCAGGTGACGAGGCACGCAGCGCCACCAAAACGCCCATTCGAAAAGGAAAGAAAGAGGAGGAGGAGGAGCAGTAAGTTTGGGCCAATCAAGCGAAAGCGGCGCCACCAGCCAATGTGCCAGCCTCACTCGCGCAAGCAAAGACGCCTGCCTGCAGAGAGGCCTTGGAGCTAGCTAGCGGCTGGCTCAGCCATCGTAGGAAAACCGGCAGTGTCATCACCACCACCACCACTTGGTGGGTTGGGGGAGGCGAGGACGGGCCTAGGCCTAGGCGGAAGCTGCGCTAGCGAAGCTTCTTTTCCCTGATCGACTGCCTCTTGTGTATGCAGTGTTCATGTGTTCATGTGGCCGTCCTCTTTTGGATTTGGGTGACCCAAAGATGGGATTTTCCCTTGTTAGACTTTGTGCAACTGCCGCAGCCAACCAACGCAGTGAGACAAGCAGTATGCCGATAACACCTGAAGCCAACGAAAAGCAGCGCTCTCTTTGGCTCACGTGAATGGCACCTAATGCACTCGGCGTTGCGTCGTGCATCGTCGCAGGCGGTGGCTGCGAAACAGCATGCACCGTGTAAGTCAAGACGTTGACGGGACCATGAGCTTCCACCGCCCATCGCTGGGGATAAAGAAACAAGTCTGGATTGTTGGCCGAGAGCTGAAGAAAGACCGGTACAATAACAGGGCAAAAAAAGAAAATATTTCTTTGCAAGACAATGACGGTGAAATATGGCATGCATGCAATGCATACCGTCCTTGCTTTTTCTCAGCGTTGCTATATATGTCGAAGACGCCGCAAAAGAAAAATAGAAGCAATTGTGCATTCTCCATAGCACACATGGCAAAGCAAGGGGTAACTTGCCAAAGACGATAAAAAAGCAAGCAAGAAAACACAGCATGTCGATCAGAATGCTGATGATGAGACCTGCGGAAGCGCAGGAAAAAGCAATTGTACCTTCTCTGGCAAAGCGCCATAGGCACTGTGAAAAGCAAAAAAAGCCTACATAAGTGTAATACACTGCATGGCAACCACAGGCAGAAAAAGAAACCTCATTCTTTGACCGCTTCTGCTGAAACTGGAGCTCATCTAGCCATCGATCGAGATCCTCATGACAGGCTGTGTGGTTTTGCTTCTTTTTAGGCAGTTATTTTATCTACTGTTTTTGTCACGACCACGAGACATATATTTTGATTTTGTCTGTGATGCAGCGATCTAGCGGTCAAGCATTCCATATTTGCTTATTTTATTTTCCGACGGTTTTGTGTCGTTGTTTTACTTGCTACGGGACGGGAGATGCATCAAGTGTTTGTCAACGGCCTAGCCTTGTCTTGGACGAGAATAATTATTTTCAAAATTACCGAGACCTGCGGGATTCGGAAAACACCGAGTTCACGCCAATTTTATTTTTGCAAACAAAATCGGTTTTTTTTTACCTGCTGACCGCAGCGCCATCGTCGGAGATGGGCAGCCTGTATCGTGATATCGCGCATCGCTGTTTACATGCATCGCGGACCGACACTCCAAAAAAAATTCCAATTTTTTTTCTTCCGTCACTCACCTGTAATTCTCCGTCTCGGAATCGGCCGACGCAGGACCCTCGCATCGCGGAACACGCCCATGGTCACCAAAAAGGCATCTCACAAGTCGATTCCGCCCACAGCGTGACATTACTGGACTTGACCTGCCACGTAGCCCCGTCATGGGGTTACATTGTTTCCATTACATGGGGGCCCTTGCCAGCGCAAGGCAAAATGCTCACTGCAGAAAGTCAAGCGCACGCAGGGGGTCGCGGGAAGACATGTCTCTGCCTGTCACCGCAGCATTGCAGCGTTGCTTTCCTGTGCTGTGCTGAGAGTGGTTGGTTCTCGCCAGCGCATAGCCACCATGCATGCGCAATCGAACCCATCGCCCTCGCCTGATCAAACCATCTGCATGGCGCTATCTGTCTCCGGTTACCTTCCAGCCCGCCTGGGTCACTGTGACGCTGTCTTGCCTGACAAACTGACACACACACAGAAGGTTACGCCGTGGTGCCGTCCGGACGGGTGCTCGTCTACTATTCCGTGCCGCCGTTGCCTTGTGTGTGGTGGTCGCCCGTTGGCGTTGGCGCTGTAGTAGTCTCTCTCACCACCACAGGACGGGAACTCCGCTATCGTTTGGGACGGCCAGGCTTACCAAAGGATGCACCAACGGCCCGGCTTACTTGCTCTGTAAGCGACTCAGTTCAACCGTGTCACGCAGCAGCGCCAATGGAACTCCCGGCCGTGCCCAGCACTATCGCTGTGGCGGCAAGCTTTTCTGATGTCGCATTCCTGTACCTGGTCTCCTCCTCGTCGCTTCCGTTTGGCTGTTCTCGCCGCCTACGGGAATCCCATTTGGCCTGGTGAGCCTGCTGGTGGCGCCATACTTTTCGACGCTCAGCTGCCCGGACGCTGCTACTCTGCCGTAGGCCCGCACCAGACAATAGGTGTCGCCCACCTTCCCGCAGGCTCTAAGGCCCACAGCAGCCCGTACGATGACTTGATGGCCCCTCAACGATGGCTGCTTGGAAGAACCAGCGCAGTGGCAACGCCCCTAAACTCTATCTTGTCATGTGAGGGGAGGCCGAGCCTGGCTACCCAGCCCGCCCTAGCTCTTGTAAGGGCAAAAAGGGACTTGTCAGGATGCGGCCCACAAGTTAGAGTTTGAGCGCGAGCACAACAATCAGCTTCCAGTATTGCCTCGGCGGGCTGCTGCGTCTCTTGGTGGTAGTGGTCTAGTGTCCTGGCGTCTATCATCTGTTGGCGTTGGTGTAGACCATCCAAGAATAGGACACTCAGGTGACTCGAGGTGGCATAGGCTGCTGAGAGCCGAAATCCAACGGCCATAAACAAACTATCGAAAAGCCAAAAAAAGCATCGCCGCAGGGTCCAGACGAGATATGCAAATGACGCCAAAGGCTGTGTGTGCGCTGCGTGTAAGTGATAGAGTTCTCTGCATTCCGGTGTGTTCCTGAGGGTTGCCTCTCCTGTCCAGTAGAATCGCTCGCGTAGTCACGTTGGTATCTCTAGATGACGCCTTAGAGTCTGTATAAGCCTTGAAAGGCGTTGGTTGTCGCCCCCTCAATTCAACCCGGATTGGCTTTCAGGCATCACCAACACAAATTGACTTTTCCACCCCGCCGCGCATACACTTTAGCCTTTACGATTTCTGCAGCACCGTTGAGAGGGAGTCTATTCTCCGCTCTCTTCGATCCGCTTGCGATATAAGGAAAAATGAAACGACCGCTACCAGATAGAGTTTCGCCGTGCCCTCCCAAAACAGAATAAACTTCGGCGCCGTCGCCGTCTCGGAGGCGGGACCCGCTTATTTTCCGCCGGGTCCGGAGCTCCGTGCCGGTGATTGGCCTCTGCGCTGCTGCGGCTCAAAGGACGAAGACGCTAAATAATTGTATGGAAAATGCACTATAGCGATAAACTGAGTATAACGCCACCAGAGGGGATCTATAGCATCCAAGTGGACACATGTACACCGGAAAATAGTGCAAAGAATTAGAGTTGACTCGTCATCCCTCTCCCACCACGGACTTCCTCCGCTACGCGCCACCACGCGACTGCAACGCCAAAAGTATCTAGAGTTGCAGTAAACCTATTCTACCCGTATAGGGCGCTGGAAGGGGTGGCATTGAGGCGAGATGCGGAATGCTAAAATGCCATTCTTGCGAAAATTATCGAAACTTCGAGCCGCCCTCCCGCTACCAGCCCCAGCGGAAATAGCACCCCCAATCACACCTTGAAGCTTTCCATCTTGGCTTCGAGATGGCTGTGCCCTTCGGGTGACGCGAAACGTACGCGCCTCTGTCTTGACTCGCCGACGCTTTTCGGAATAACCGGCCGGACAGTTTAAGCTTTCAGTTCGGCTGTCGGCCACCAGGGGACGGAAGCCGAGGCCGAGTCAGGCCGCTGTGCAAAGTTTAACCGAAGCGCTTTGATGAAACGACGAGAGATCGAGAAACGCTATCACATAGTGCCGTTGAGTAAGTACTCGTTGGATTTCAGGCTGTTGTGTGCACTTGTCGGTCCGGCAGCCGTTGCAATGAGCTGACGTATCTCGGCTTGACCTGTCACCGTTTGACGCTAGTGAGCCGTCCTGAGTCGCCCGAAATCGTACGATAGTTTTCGCTTGGACAGTTTTGAACACTATTCTTAGCTGAAATGAGTTTGCCTGAAACTGTTGTATTTCGTGCCGAATCATCTGGCATGAAGACACATTTGCCGGCAGTTCAGTCGGAGTGTTGCCCGTATTACACGAATTTTGATGGATTGCTGACAGTTATGTCGAGATTCATGTTGAGGTAATACACGTTGCGTTCTTGTACTACTATTCTAGCGTCATACAGTAAGGCGATGGGCCCGACCGGCAGCACATTGTCACGGTCTTGCTCTCTATGGGCTACACCGGAAACAGCAGATCAAAGGTTGTATAGCTATCGAGAGCTGAGATAAGAACATCTCATGTTCCCCCTGAAGACCTGACAATATTCATTGGGCATTTGAACCATTTTCTTTGCTATCATCAACGCATTACATTCTTGTTCTGTTGGGTTATACTCATCTACCAATATACACCACTCGGGCACTCCGCCCCACAGCGGGAGCATCCGCTATAGTTTGAGCGCCGATGCATCGTTTACAACTTCATCTATGATTTATATGAATCTCTGATCTTAGTATGATTGGAATATATATCTATTGGCTCTACATGGCTTCCCAATAATTACTGGGATCATTGACTCCGCTGGCTCTTCGGACGTCCAAAGATAAAACAACGTTTGTTTGTATAGACAAGAACATCGCTACTCTATAGAACGTTGGCGATAATCACACGTGCTCTATAAGTTTATACGTTTGTTTATGTAACAAAGAACATATCTTAATAAATAAATGCGTTTTAAAACAAAGTTTGTTTGTATAGACAAAAAACATTGCTTCTTTAGAGAATATTAGAGATAATCACATGATGTACATATAATTATCAAAGCGTCATTATCAATCTATAAGTTTATAACACATACACATAAGTTACATATACAGTACATAATCTTCATTACGAAACTCTGCGTAAAAACCGTGACTACGCCCAGGCCAGACTAGCTTGTAGCCCCCCAAGTCGTATTGTTCCAATCAAATAGTAAGTCATCGGAGATAAAGTACTCATGACCAAGTTCGGATAACCGTGGTGTTGTTCCCGATGGACCAGCATGGACGGTATATTCTGAGTTGTTGCCGCCCATAGATGGTGGACGAACCTCAATTCTTGGAGGAACGGGAACCTGGCGGGAAGCGTACCCAGAATCAGGACTCACACTTCCTTCTCTTGTTGCCCCAAATCGCTCAAGAATAGTACCAACTGCATCCTCAAAGACGGAAGCAGAAAATGCTCGGACGACAGCTTCCTGGGATTGTAGTTCGGTGGGCAACCGGGTCTCGACGAGTCTGTCAAAGACAGATGGCCATTCTTGTACAATGTAATCCTGCAGAGCTACCAATTCGGCAGATAGAAGCCGTTCCGTATATGGGCTCTCAGGCAACGGATGACCAGGAAAGAGAATCTGGAAGATGCCATTCCACTGCTCGCGTCTTGACTTGGTAGGGTCTACACGGCGACGAAGGGCAGCCTTTTGTTCCACAGTGACACCTTCCCACTGCTTTGCTTGCTGCAGACTGCAGTTGCGCTGGCGTAGATGCTCATCGCGATCTGCCTCTGTTGGGAATTCGGTAAAGCAAATCACACAGTGAATTGGGACTTGGTGGTTTCGCCACAGATGCTGCTTGACTCGAGATATCTCCCGAAGCACCATGCCCTGACAGCTACGGTATGTCAACGGCTTCCACTTGCAAAATGGGCAAGCAAGAAGACGAGAGCCATCATCTTCTTGTGCCATACAGGCACTGTTGTTCTGTGCTGGTGGCGAACGATGAGGTCCATTCTTATCCTCTTCGTCTTCCTTGCTTTTACGCCGACGTTTCAGAGGATTGCGAGGATTGTCAGAGGAGCTTGGAACCGCACTGTCGCATATAATTGAGCCATGGTCGCCCGCAGCGTAAGGATAATCTCCATGGGCTGTAAGGATTGCGACTCGCTCGACGCGGCTTTGCGCAAATGCGTAGATCAAACGGTCATGGAACCACTTTCTTGTTTCCAAAGATACATACTTGGAAACGTCCACGGCCTTTTGATTTTCCTCTGTCCACATTGACAGCTCGCCGTCCTCAAAATCTTCAGTGGCTGCATTGCTCAAAGGCATCTGGGAGTCATCTGAAGGTCGTCGTGGCTTCTCCTCCAGAACAACATTGGGCTCTGCACCAACGAGTGTAACAGGGCATATATCCGACTCCATCTGAATCCGTGGGATGCTGTCTTGAGGGAACAAGCACAAGCCACTGTCCGTTCTCATAGGACTAACATCTCGATGGGATGGCTCAAAGACATAGGAATTATTACTGTTCCATTCCCATCCGCTAAGAGGAAGTTCCAAGGCTTGTGGTGAGTGGAAGTCAGACCTGTCGCTTTTGCCCATGGAAGCAAACGACATGCGTCTTAGTCCATGGCTTAAGCCGGAAGGGGAGCGTGAATGGTCGCCTTCTGAGTGACGGACATCAACAGAAGAACGGGAATGATAGCCCTCGTCATACGAAGATGCTGTCGACTTTACATTGAAGTATCGACCCGGCCAGAGATGTCCAGGATCACCCTCAGGGGACGAAAGAGGAGGCTGGCCAGCTTCTTGCATCCACTCCTAGAGGAAATGTTAGTGATGTGTGATTTATATTCGATCTGATACACTTACTTTGACTTTGTTAACAGATTTCCGTCTGATCTTAGAAGCGGTCATCTCAAATGGCTCCACGTCAGCCATGAGGCGGTCATCCATTGGACTGCAGTCACTATCCATTGCGACAAGCAGGGGAGGCGACGGGCCGAGTGTAAATCGTCGAAGTTGATGGGCGACATCCAGTGAATCTGAATATTTTCGCACATTTGGGGCCCGTCTATCCTCCAACCTGTACAAGGTTGGGCTGCGAGCAGGCGGTCTTAGAAAAGGCGACGCTTGCAACACAGGATTGGGGATGGGAGCTAGCAGCACGGGCGAGACGCGCTGTCTTCTTGTAGCAATTTTTCGGCGGATGATGAACCAAAGCTAGAATTATTGGTTAGATGCTATAGATGTACTGCTCAGGGTAGAAAGTAAACGTACGTGGATGGCGCCAACTTGGTCTTCATTGCCTCCAAATGATTCAATAAGAACCACTTTTGAGAAGCGAGAAGGACGAGGATTTTCTTGAAACCAGGACTCAAGAGTCCGTTTCTGCCTCCTTGTCAGGTTCATGAGTCTGTCTTTGGCAGAAGGCACGGATCCATCAATACGTGCTTCCAACGTAGACGTGAGCCAAGTAGTGGTGGTGGTGGATGAGGCCTCTGGGCTGGCCGACGAGAGGGAGTGGTCAGTTAAGGGCATGGCGCTTGATTTTGTCCCAGGCTCTTTGGGAAATTGTAAATTACCGGTCGGGAAGGGTCGACTTGAAAAGCATTAGAAAAAGAAAGTCAGGATAAAGAGGAAGATTGGCAGAAGGCCGCCGCATGGCGCACCTCATGGCGTCGTTGAGTATCGCACCGGCGTGCAGTCGAATCCCCAGCCAAATGACGTCCCTATGGACCCCTAGCGCTAAGATCATCCCGCTGTTAATCTAGCCAAGAGGGCCAAACACACATGTGGGCGTTCCTGGGGGCGCAGCCGCTAACAAAACGGAATGCCCGCGAACCATGGCATTGTCGTCACGCGCTGCTGCGGCCCCCGGGGCGCCTGAGGCTGACAGTGTGCGCCCTAAGCCTCATTTTTTTCGATAGCGTCCTGGATGAATGCAAGGGTGGGCACGAGCCATTGGTTATGACGAAATAATGCCATTTCCAAGGAATAGCGATCAGAAGATGATGGAAGAGAAGGAATAGCAAATCGCCAGGGGAGGAATCCAAAATCAAGGAAGTTGTGAGAGCCACGAGGTAATGGCCCGCGAATCGGCAGACCACGCCAGCCACCGACTGGCAGCCAGGTGCCGGATGCCAGGTGCCAGGTGGCGTCAGTGGTTGAATTGGTAATTATTGCACGCATACGCCTACAAAGCCTTTGTGACACCTGAATCGCATGCTTGTGTCGGCAAAGGGATTTATTTGTATGGAAGACCTGTGCCGGCTCGGTGTGATGAGTATACCTCCAGGAGGATAGAAGAAACCAACAACAATATGGATCGTAGCTTCGCGATACGAAGCTTCCATTGGCACCAACAAGCCTTCAGCGCCTTTTTCTATATCACTTTGTTTTAATAAGCACAGTTTTACTGGGGCTTGATGTTTGCGTGGTTCTGACTCAATTGAAAGTGAAAAAAGTGACGCAGGAGAATTAATAGCCTTGTTTTGCGGAAAACCTGAGTTGGATAGACAAACGCAGGCAGTGTACCTTGTTAGGGGTGGACTACGTAAGAAGTAAAATCAACTAAAGACTTAAGAACTATATTTATAAAATAATACCAAGTTATTTCTTATAACTCATACTATAACTTAACTTAAATGACTATTATTTTATTTTTATCTTGTAATTCTTTAATACTTTAATAGTATATTACTTCTAAACTTCGAAATATCTTCATAAATTCAATAGTTTTCTTTTTGTGTTTGCGTGTAAGAATCGTGTTTGTGCGCAAGAATCGCGTTTACTAGTTTCTGTCGAGACATCTCGGATTCAAAGCAATGCTACGATATTTTGGCACCATTGCCACAAATGCACCCTCCACGACCAAGATGACACTCGGTATAATAGTTTATCTCTTTTCCTGTTATTACTCTAACTTACAACTTTCTTGTAACTCAATCCAAGATTCAAAGCTTTTATCGCGATATATCCTGTCTCATCTAGACCTGTGGTCGCAATGTCAAGTGTAGTAACCTGGCAACACTTACCACCAGAACTTCGGCAGAAGTGGCCGTCCTGGGCTTCGATTGACATTGTTTCTATTTGGAAGCTGAAATATGAAGATACAGAATTCGATATCCTCATCGATAGCTTTATTTCCAACGCGATATACTGGACAGAGAGAGATATCATCTTTTTCTGCTCCGTCATTTACAAGCTCACACGCCGCCAGCTTCGCGAGGGGCCATCACGACACTTCGTTGCTAGAAGTAAAGGTCCCGTCCGTGTTCGTGACTGGATCATCTTGAAGCTATTCGGCCCAGTAAGAGGCTTAGAATTCGTGGGCACTCGCCGTGCTGCGTTCAGAGGATGGCATAACATGGAATCGCTTGATCAATTAGACAAGCCTCCCACTTCGTGCGCATGGGACAGTTTACCCCCAGTGGCTCGTGTACTAGACTTGATAAAGTGTAGTACACGAACCTATGTCGCGAAGCGATGGCACCTAGAACGTCGTCGTGCCGGGAATGTCGACATTTTCGATCGTTTTATGGCCAATGCGAAGAGGTGGACAAAGGCTGAAGTTGAGTTCTTCGGCAGAGTCCTTCCAGACCTGGTCATCGATGACCAGTCCCTCTCCCCAAACGATCATCGAGTTTCTAGTATGGCTGGGCCGCGACGTATTCGCGATTTCATTCTTCTCAATCCATACGGTATTCCCGCGGCCCTAGCAGTCGTTCAAAATCTGGTTCAATTTAACGGATGGGACCATATGGACGAGTTTCTGAAGCCTTCACCGGTCAATCTCTTGGCCAGTGCCGACGATGCTAGTCTCGCTACATCTGCTGTTATGGTTGAGAGTAATACACCAAACAGCTGATGGAAAGAGCCATTAATCAAGTGGATACATACAACTAGTCAATCAGACAGACAGTTAGAACAGAACAACAACAACCAGATGAATTACACGTCCATTTGTTCCATTTGTTTATCGTAAGCGGGTGTGGTCTCTAACAACAGCGCCATCATTATCATAGATCAAAACAAGCATGTTGGCGATAGCGACGAGTCTATGGTTGATAACAATGAACCTAGCGGTGATGGTGACGAACTCGCGACCGACAACACCGAGCTCAATGGCGACGGCGATGAGTCTATGGCTGAGAATATTCTACTGAGGCAATGTAGCGATCAGAAGGAGATACATGAAATTTTGGTTGACTAGATCGCGAAGAACCATGCCACAGATAATGGGAGCACACGTACGGCTAGCGAAATCGACACTATCGCCTGTGACTGTGTTCAGAAAGAAATTTTTAGGTAGACGCGGGTAGACACGCCCAGCAGATATCTTCAGGTGAGGTAGCGAGAGTCGAAGATGCAATGCGTAAAGTCAAAGACAATTACGTCACTAACGCATGTCAGCCCACTCGCATGCTCACCGAAGATATGCGCGAGGTACGGTTTATCATCACTAGCATCAAAAACAGAACTAGCTTTGATTATAACCACTTTGACAACGAAACAGAAGAGCCCTGGCGTAATAGTTGTGATTAGAACATCGTCGCGACTAATGGACCTTGATCTTTGGCTATGGCGATGGACATGATGATAGTATCACGAGAATTTACTGGTGATCGTTGGGAGGCTATAGAAGACAATAGAAACATCAATATGAATGGTACATGGGAGATATCTTTATAGTTAACACGGATTTCTGGTCAATTTAATTTAGCTTCTTAGGCAGTTCATTGCCTGTTCTTCAAGTGGGAGATGGGACAGAGGACATGAATGTCCTCTGCTGTCGCGCCCCGAGCACTTTGGGCATCATGTCTTAATGCAAATTATGTATCTTAAAAACATAACTGGTGTAATTTAGTGCAATTTTATGACGACTTCTAATTGGCTCCAAGTATTGTACTGACAGCTGCCAAAGTGTCAAGTGTCCATAGAGATAATCAAGCAACGTGGCTTTTTGAAAGAAAGGCGGATGTTCTTATCTATTAAAGCACTCTCATTTCACTGCAACCAATGAATTCAGGGACGTTTTGTACTATCTAAGTAACTAGATCACGATGGTGACGCCTTCAAGATGCCCTCTACAAGAGCTTCCACAAGCCGCGGCTAGCGCAGATGTCCCCGCCACCACAAAGCCCAATAATATTGCTGCTAGAGCCAACCATACTAAAGAGCATATATTTCCTTAGCGGAAACTACCTGATTTTTTTGGAAGCTCTAAATACACACTTAAAAACGTATTTATTTATCAAGATACGTTCTTTGTTACGTAAAAAAAGCATAATCTTGTAGAGTACGTGTGATTGTTCTCCAACATTCTATAAAGTAGCGATGTTTTTGTCTGTGCAAACAACCGCTGTTTTATCTTCAGACATCCGAAAAATTAGCATCTCTATACTAAGGTTGATAATACTTGCGACACGTTCACTAAGGCTACTGCCATGGATAATAAACGTAATTATCGCGACAAGAAGAGCAATCATGACGACCATGGTACAGTTGCGTCGACACTCCCCGATACGGTGAAACAGATTGCGCAATGCCTAGATATCGCTACAGACAAAGACACTTCCAAGGATCTGGTTTTATCCTTAACATCGGCGTCTACTGATAAGACAAAAGTGATTGAGTTTCTCGACATTATCAGTTCGCGTCAGTACGATTCAAGCCTGGAAGACCTACATGATTTCGCGGGTGTCCAGGACCAACAAGACTGGGCTGTACATTGCCCAAAAATGGCGAAACTATAGAATAGTTTCACTCAGGCTATGCGGCCGGTTTGTCACAACGAGTTCAATATCGAAGAGATGACCGCGCCTTCTGGCCCATTGCGATCGCGATGCACTTTTGTCTGGCACTACCCGACATTTGCCTCAAGAAACACGCGTTACTCCCATGTTCTCGACCCTGACAGTAGTACCATATTAATGCAAGCAGTAGGTTCATATGTGTATTTCTCCAATAGGTCCTCATCGTTACTCTAGTCAAAGATCGGTTTGCCTCGCGATTTGAAGACTCTCAATTTGTATCCAATCCGGCTGCATTATAATATCGGCGACGCCAATGAAGTAAACTGGGCTAAGGAGTTTTCTAATTGGGATGCAATTCAGATGCTATCGGTTTCTTTCTCGTGCAACAGATGGCGACAAGATCATCGTCGCGATAGGCAACCATACGTTTCAACCACTGGTGACGATGGCAGAGGGAAGAGGTTGGACGATCAGGCATCTAAAGCTCAATATTCAACAGAAAATCTTTGGCGAGCCAGTACGGCTTACTCTTGCCTTGGACAAGAACTCGAACCTTCAACAAATCATCGTTCGATCCTATCATGGCCAATTCGCGTTCCGCAATCAAAATCAATCCCTTGGCGCACTCTGGGATCTTATTTTTAACAGCGCCTGCGATTTTGCAGGTATATCAGTATTAAATCATATGTTCTTTACCTGGAGAAGTTGCCCTACTGAAGAATTGTCGAATTATCATTGTTCAACTTCTTCTGTCGCGACGGGCACGTCGGCAAGTTTGATTGGTCGCGTTGGATTTCAATTCCTCATAACTATAATACAAGCTGAAGAAGGAAGGTTTGGAAGGTACTCTGTTGATGCGATAATTCAACGCTTTCCATTGTTCTTTTACGATCGACAGGACAGAGTCCAAGCTGCTCATGATGCGTACCATGAGCATCGCTACAGTGCAATGTATCCCGTCGTCCAGTGGCTAGCCCGGAAGCGAATAACTACTCGAAATATGAGTCAAACAAAGAAACGAGCTATTGAGACGGCCAACGATAGCGACAAACGAGAGCCAAAGAAACGGCCTACGTCAAATCAGGCAGCATGGCTTAATAGCGATCGCCACAAGGAGGGCCAGGCTAAGGGGCGACAGAAACGCCACGACGAAATGATCGCGAAGTTCGATGCTTTGATGGCGACGCATCAAGTTGACGAGCGCTGGGGGAACGCCACAATGAAAATAGAGAGGCTAAGTTTTCAACCGCACTTGTGCGCATCGACGATCTGCGGCACCTGAGAGACACCCTTCATCTTTATGAAGATGGGCGAACAAAACCAAACTCAGCTCGATTCAGTATTAGATTGGCGTTATACGCCGCCTTTTATCATCCTGAGAAATACCCTCGTGGCCTCCGATATCTTCCTGCGCATGGAACGGATGTCGTACCGATTGATCGCGATCATCCAGCAGTCAAAATAACAGCAAATAGCGGTATTAGATCTGAGGCGGAGCGTAAGCAAATTGCTGGACCTATCGCTACGTAAAATACACCTTTTAATTGTCATAAATGTATTATTTCTTTCTACTTCTAAGCTTATACCTCTTTTTCCATCGATTAGTCGCGACGTTGGATCACTATCGCGACACTTCTATTAGTTGGTCGCGATGTTACTACCATGGCCCTCGCGTTTTTTTTGTCTTTTTTGAGTGATAGCATAGTATAGGCTTTTATAGCGGTCGATGTTTTTCTGTATATTATTGTAATAGAGGCTCAAGTATAAACTTTCGTAGCCTTGTGGTGGTTTAGCAGATAGGGTATGTCCACGAGATTCGGTAAATTACTCCAATCGCGATCCATACGCCAGAACTCCGCGATTCTCCGCTCCTTCTCTTCCCTGTCGTTAGGACCCAAGAGTTGAATGTTATCTATAACGTTTTTGCATGCTAGATTACCAGGGCGGATGCCTGGAACTACATTCATGCAAGGCCATGCCCTAAACACCTTCCGACGATTCTGCAAGTAGTCATCATTGTATGGTCAGGGATATATTTTGGAAATAATCCAATCTCGAACGCGTTGTGGACCATCGGTCGTCGTGACAGGATGAAACTTAGGGTCGTTTCGGAGGTGGCTGGTATACATGATTGAAAGAATGATCGCGAAGTAACTTATTTCACTGCGACTCCATTTGGGAGTGAGTGCGATGAAATCAAAGATAATATCCTAGTGTAGATAGAGATTAGACCAATTCCATCGTTTCTTAAAGAACTTAATAGTTCTCTAAGGATTGGTATTGCGTATGTCAGATGGTGGTTCCCACCAGGTCGAGGGGCCAGGCATGCCGTTTATTGCAATCGTGATGAATTGTTCTGTGCTAAAGACGAGTATAATTCTATAATGAAGAGATTTAAATTAGGATTTATCAAGGTTTGTTGACGATGTGTGATGTAGTGATAGTCGCCGCCTTTCAAGTCAACGTAGGCTGACTTTACGCTGAGCGTGAGAGGTCGTGATAAGAATCTACGGGTACAATCTGAACGAGAACTCAGATAATAGTAGGGTTTATTACCACTATAGGTATACCTTTCTTGTAAAAGCCTACGACTCAGTGGAACAAAACCACATTGTCTCCATTCAACCTCATCCCTGTCTTGGAGACCATGAGTGTGTCCCTCGTCGTGATCACTGCTCTTTCTACCAGGTGGAAGCGGCTAGGCGTTAAATGTTATGTAAACCGTTTTAGTATTTTACAATCCATGTTGTCTAATATAGATGTATTGGGAGTGATATGTTGACAACGGTGGTCTCGATGTGATTATAGACTGGCGATCAAAACAAGTTTGAGCTTGGTAGAAAGAGCCTGTTTAAAAAAAAAAAAAAAAAAAAAAAAGAAAAGAAAAGAAAAGAAAAAAGGGTCAAAAAGTCAACAAAAAATTACGACAGAGACAGGGTTCGAACCTGCGCGACCGAAGTCACAAGTTGTCTACTAGGAAATGGCTTGCCATTTTCGTTCAAGACTGTAGATTGGTGTTAGTACAAGGCTGAAAGTGGAGACGTCGCATATCGACTAACCTTGCCCCTTAACCACTCGGGCACTCTGCCCTGTGGGGAACGTGGCCTATTCTATTTTATATTCCCCTCTCCACCAAAGCTCAAAAGAAATCTCAAGTTCCTTGGCTGTATACTACTTGTATAAACCTCATATCGTTGTCATGCACACACGCAGTCTGCACATACGTTTGTTTGAATGTTGGTGTATTTATGCAAACAATCTAACCCATTTTTTCTCTGTTCAAAGCAACCGATTAACGCCAAACTATATATCAGGATATGAAACACTGCCAATGCGTGACCCATTCATGTGCACAAGATGATCATTATTACTGCTCCATGGCATCGTCGTCGTCGGCGGTCTCGCCGTCACCCCAGAGACCCTCGAGCTTGAACTCAGCAGCCCACTCGGTAACAATCTCCTTTTGATCGGCCATGACCTCGTCGTCGCCAGCATTCTTGATGGCAGGCTTCGTAGTGCCGTTGCCGATGTCGACCTGCAGCGTGGGGGCCTCGACCCAGCCTTGGATTCGGCCATCTCTCCAGTCCGTAACGACTGTCATGGCAGCAGAGCCAAGGTTGGGGACACCACCACGTCCGAGTCTTCCGCGCTTGCGAGCAACCTGGACCAGGAAGTCGGTGGTGAAGTCGCCGTCGGCGCGACTGGGGAGAAGTGCGGGGATGTCGTAAACGTCAGTAAGCTTCTGAAGCAAGTCCTGAGACGAGGACAGACGGCGAATGAGTAGTGTGACAGCGGGGATGGGGTCGTCAATCTGCTTGGGAGGGACGGCGTTGAGAAGGACCAGGTGAGCATGGGCCTCAGCCGCGTTCTTGAGGTTGACAAGACCACCAGTCTGGATGGACGACGACGAGGGGAAGACGACACCAGGGGAGTCGAGCAGGGTGAGCTTGCTGTCAATCTTGACGGTACGGATGCTGGTAGTGACACCGGCCTCGGCGCCAGCAGGGCAGGCCTTTGCGGCACTGGAGCCCTTGCCTCCCAGGCGGCTCAAGAGGGCGTTGATGACGGAGCTCTTTCCGACGTTGGGGTAGCCAATGACGCCGACGGAGATGGCGCGCTTGAGGTTCTTGTTGGCAGCGTAGGACTTGAGAGCCTTGAACAGCGTCGCCGAGGTGCTCTGGACAGTCAATTCGCGGTGGTTGAAGACGTGTGCGTTGGGGGCGGCTCCGGAGGCACGCAGTGGCAGCGTGGGGAAGTAGCGGCGAAGGTAGATGAGCCAGTCGCGGAGGACCTTGGGGGGAATAAGATCGACCTTGTTGAGGATGAGAATCAAGCGCTTGCCGCCAGAAGCTGCGGCCATGATACTGCGCTCAACCTCACGAGAGCGAGTGCCCTCGGGGTCACGGGCGTCGAGGACGTAGAGAACGACATCGGCTTCGTCAATGACTTGCTTGAAGACTTTGTCGAAAGTCTTGCGTGAGGAGGCCTGGCCGACAGAAATCTCGCGGTTATCTTCGTTGTTGTCGGCATCATCGTCATCTTCGTCCATGACGTCCTCGGTGAGCTCCTTGTCGTACTTGGCGGCGGCAGCTTTGGCGCTGGCAATGAGAGCGGCCATGGGGTTGGACTCGTCCACGTCGGCGTCATCGTAGTCGTCGTCCATCTCGTCACCCTCGACATCTTCGCCCTCGACATCCATGGTCTCCTCCTCCTTGGCTCCAGTCTTGGCAGCCTTTGCCATTTCTTTTCTACGCTGAGCGTCTTCAGCCTTCTTAAGCTTCTTCTCCTCAATCTCCTGCAGGATTCTGTCCTTGTAAGGAAACATGTTGGGGATTCCAGGATCCTTCTTCAACTTGGAACGCCATTCGGGGTTCTTCTTGGCGAGCTTTCTGTCTTTACGCTGCTTGGAGGCCGACTTCTTTTCAATCTTGTGTCGAAGACGAGAGGTGCCTCTCTTGGACATGGGCTCTGCACAAAGCTGTTAGCACAAAATTATGCAGACTTTTTTGTCGTTGGCAGCTAGAGGAATTATAAAAGACTCACTCTTCGGCTTGTTGATTCCACCAGCCATTTTTTTTGTATTTCGGTAAAGATTCCTTGACTAACAGGAAAAAAGAGGTTTGCAAGCGCCGCCAGTTCTGCATGTAAAAAAAATTAAGTGGGATTTGTCGATTCTGCCCATATAAGGCTGTTCACCGCCTTCCTTTTCCTTCCCCGCCAGATGGTATCCTTTGTTCTGTGATGGACAAAACACTGTCAATTGCCCGCCTTGTTTTTCCTATTATCAAAATAATTATTAGGAAATCACAAAGAGGTTATTATTACTTGGTTCCTATCACAATACTTTCCATCAATTTCTCTACTACACCGCCTAACACCGCTCTAGTCTACCACAGACAGCCGCAGTGTCGCCTGCCTTAGCCCCACTATTCCATCGACGACCGCCAACGCTCCCCGAACTTTTCGTCGCGACTCCTAGAACGCTCACGTCCAACCTCGCCATCTACACTTGTCACCTCCTCATCACCTACTCCTTCCATACCATCGGCATCATGGATTATCAAAATCGAGCCGGCTCCAAGTTTGGCGGCGGTGGTGTCGCATCCTACTCAGCCACCAACGCTGACCGTCGCGAACGTCTTCGCAAGCTCGCCCTCGAGACCATCGACCTCGACAAGGACCCGTACTTTTTCAAGAACCACGTTGGCACATTCGAATGCCGTCTCTGCTTGACTGTCCACCAAAATGACGGCTCCTATCTTGCCCACACACAGGGCAAGAAGCATCAGACCAACCTCGCTCGCCGTGCCGCCCGAGAGGAGCGCGAAGGCAAGCAGGCCATCGACCCAGCCACTGGTCTGCCCGCTGGCGTAGCAGCCGCCATGGGCGTGCGCAAGAACGTTGTAAAGATTGGCCGACCCGGATACAAGATTACAAAGATTCGCGACCCGGTTTCCCGCCAGCAGGGCTTGCTGTTCCAGCTCCAATACCCCGATGCGACCCCCGAGACAGCGCCGAAATGGCAGGTCATGAATGCCTTTACACAGCACGTCGAAGAGCCCGACAAGAACTTCCAGTACCTGCTCGTGGCGGCGGAGCCTTACGAGACTGTCGGCTTCAAGATCCCGGCCCGCGAGCTCGACAAGCGCGAGGATAAACAGTTTTGCTACTGGGACCCAGATGCCAAAGAGTATTGGATCCAGGTTCTGTTCATGACAGAACGCGAAGAACGTTTCAATGCAGCCCCCGGCTTGACAGGCAGAAAATGAAGCTGCTGCTATCGTTTTCATGTTGAGCGTTCCTTTATGAATCATATAGTGTATTTATTGCATGGCGTTGCGGTTGCATTTGGGTACAAGAAGGTTCTGTAAAAGTAGCATGCCGTCTAGAGACAAAAAATATAGATAGCCAATAATATCTAGAAGATGTATTTACCTGATACGAATGCCTCAGTTCGAAATGACATGCCAATTTTCGTTCATGCTATATGGGGACTAAACTAACTGTCTGTGTCTCTGACCAAACTCAGCCCAACGCTCCAGCTGCTTACTTCCGTACTCCTCGTTCGAAGCAGCAGATGCTCTATGCACGCGAGGTCTACCAATGCAATTGTATATGTATCAACTTTTTTTAAGCCCGCCAATCAACGCATAACAAGCCCTCACCACGCTCAAAATATTACCACTCTCATCTCTTTAGCGGAAGTTGTTATCAAATCGCTTGAAGGTGTAACCAATGAAAGGCAAGCTCATCTCCGGAGACTCTTCAACTGGGCCAGTACGGCCTTGCTGCAGAGCCTGAGCCTTGAGAACAGTAGCATTGTCAGTCTGGTCAATCTCATCGGTAGGGAAGTATGTGGTATCAATGTTGGAAGTGAGATGGGGTTCAAAGGGAGCACGGATACGGCGCAGGCTGTCGTAGTCGACGCCTCGGAAGAAGGCGTGGCTCTTGAGCTCATGGGCACCTCCACGGCCCAAACGGTTCTCCGTGTTGCATACCATGCTGCGTGATTGTTAGTCAAATCTAGAGTACCATCAGACTTTCGCAAAAAAAAAAAATACATACCTGCGGATCAGGTTCTCAGCTTCAACTCCGAGGGTGATATCATCGGGGAAGTACAGAGTCTGACGCCAGTTGACAATCTTGCGATAAGTGTCGTGGCTGTCTTCAGCACAAAAGGGAGGCCAGCCAACCAAGCACTCGAACATAATCGTGCCCAAGGACCACCAATCACAGTCAAATGAGTAGCCGTGGCCAGTAAAGATCTCGGGGGCAATGTAGTCGGGAGTACCGACAGTGGAGTAGGCCATCAGTCTTCTTGATCGGCGCCAGTCGTTGATCTGCGAACGGTTGCTGACTGTCAGATTAATCTGGTCAATAGCGACAGAGTTGCGATCTCTAGGCTTGTTTGAGCGCCCTTGCAGAAGCTGCTGATAGTAGTTGTTGTCGTGAAGACGGTGGAAACCAGTTGAGAGACCAAAATCGGTCAACTTGACGTGACCACCACGGTCGAGGAGAATGTTGTCGGGCTTGATATCGCTGTTTCGGGTTAGATAAAGGGATTACCACTAATGAAGCCAGATGTCTGCTTACCGATGAATAAAGCCCAGCTTATGAACGGCCTCAATAGCGAGCACAATCTCCGCAATGTAAAATCTCGTAATGTCTTCGGTAAAGATTTCGTACTTGATAAGCATAGTCATCAAGTCGCCACCAGGCAAGAACTCCATGAGCATGTAGAGGAAGTATGCATCCTGGAAGGTTGTGTACAGCTTAACAACCCACGGGCTGTCAGATTCTGCCAGGATATCACGTTCTGATCTGACGTGGGCAAGCTGGTCCTTCTTGAACATTTCCGTCTTAATTAAAGACTTCATGGCGTAGACCTTACCATCGCCCTTCTTTTGCACAAGCTTGACCTCACCGAAAGCACCCTTGCCGATAATCTTGACGGTGTTGTAGTTTTCAGGCTTATCCTTAGTGCGCAGAAATCTGAGGTACTGGCCTTCTTTGCGACCAGCCGTGGTCCAAAGTTGCTCCTTGCGAGTAGCATTTTGGCCCGGATCAGAGAGCTTTTGCTCAAGCTCACTTTGTCTATGATTGTGTGTCAGTAGAGTGCACCAAACTCAGCGCAGCCAGCATCATCTTACCTTTGATTACGCTCACGAGCTCTCTTGACGCTGTCCTTGAAGAAATCAGCAGCAAGCTGCGAGCACTTCTTCTGGTTGCTATTGGCGTTGGAACCATACTTATCGGGGTTTCGCTCTGGGATTGCCTGGAATTCTGACTGGGGTGTTTGGGTAGGCAACGGCACATTGTTATAACCACCGTACGGGCTAGGCTGTCCAGAGTTACCAGCAGTTCGTGGGCGTGGGGGAGCAGGGCCACGGGCGCCATATTGGGCAGCTCGAGCAGCACCTCCTAGGTTCTGGTGGGAGAACTGATGCGCAAGGCCTGTGTTAGGGTCCGCGGTTCCAGGTCCATTGGGTCTGGCGCCTTGGTAAGCAGCACCACCGGCATTGTTGTAGTCGTAACCAGAAACCTGGCCAGCATACTGCTGCGGTTGCTGTTGCTGCTGGGCAGAGTAGCCTGGCTGCGCAAAGTATCCCTGAGGTGCCTGAGCGTAGCCACCAGCGGCACCATACGCCGCTTGCTGAGGCGCACCACCGGCGGGCGGTTGTGCTGAGGAGCCAGGCGGAGGGAATACCGGTTGGGGGAATGTAGAGGGCGTTGTGGGATATGCCCTATCGTTGGGAAGCTGCAATCTTTCGTTGGCAAAGTTGAGGTGCAACCGGCCGGGGTTGTTGTTGGCGTCCATCTTGAAGAAGCAGAGATGGGCACTAGGCACCTGCGACTAAATAAAAGATTGGAGGATATGTGTCGGTATGTCGGTTCGGGTCGAAGAGGATTTCGTCGAAAGGGCGTCGAGAAGGAGACAATCGGTCAAGATGAACGGGCGTCTAAATCTCGAATGCTCGCCTTCGTAAGGGGGCAGATTTTGTCCACTAAAAGATGCTATCTCGGTAGATGATCAAGGAGCTTTCAAAACAAAAACAATACTAAGCCAGTCTGAAGCGATGCAGGAGAGTTTCGAGAAGCCCACGGAAGGCAAACGATGTCTTTCCCAAAGATTGGGCGATGCAATGCGAGTCTTGGGGAGACGAGATGGGCGGTCAGGGGAGAAGGACAAAAGGCGGGGTGTGTGAGAACTGGCGGCGCGCGGCTGGAGGCGTTCAGAGAGGGGTCAGGTTTCGCAGGGGAAGAGCAAACTTTGGAACAATTGGCGTGATAGTAAAAGAGGGCATAATAGGCATTTTTAAAATAATAAATGTAAATTATATTATATTAAGTGTCCCTCCATTTATTTATATTTATAGCATAGAATTTCTACCCCTAGAAAAACAAGCATTGTCTGTTGCAACAGACCACTGTACTGACCTGTTTCAGCGTAAAATTATAGCGGCAGAATTTAGTTCCTTGGTGACAACAAACAAAGCCCAGTGGGGCCGCCGTAGCGCAAAAGTTAGCGTGCTTCAGCCTACGTTTTGCCACTAAGCCAAAGTTAGCATCAGCACACCACCGACGTGCATACGGCTTGAATGCATTTAATATGTACATCTCAGATGCCACAGTATTTATATTACAATAGCGACTTGCATGACGTAGGGTACAGCACTTGAGTCCAGCCTTCGTATCCGACCACATCGACGCCAAATTCGCACCCGACAAAGCCGCGATTGCCAACCCGCAATTCATAATTCGTATTTGATACAGTACATTCTATCTAAATACGCTGCTCCTTGGGTACCAAAAACGCTCCTATGGCGCTAAGCCGTAGGGCAAAGGGATTATATCTGTCCGGGTATAGCTTCAGCATCTCTGCAGCAAGCTCGTTCGCATCCTTGGGGTCCTTCTCCTCCAAGACCTTTCCAAAGTCCTGAATATACTTCTTTGTCGCTGCCAGATGCCATACACCGTCCATTTCCTCCGCTTGCTTATGCCCAGCAACCACGTATACCGGATCCAGCTTTTCGACCTTTTCAATACTGCGGATCCAGGCCTCGCGTTTAGCCTTTGTGTTGGCTTCGAGGAGCATCTGGTGAACTTGGCCGTAGACCACATCACCACAAACGGCGAGCTGCAGGTCAGGAACCCATAGGATAGTGGAATCGTAAGTATCAGACTGGCCACACTCAATGGCTTGAAATAGCCAACGGTCTCCAAGCTTGAAGCTCAGGTGCTCAGGCAGAGGCTCGGCCAGCTTAAATGGCTGCGCAATCTGGTTGGGAAATCGGCCGCCCCAGTTCTTTTCAAAGTAGGAATCTTCGATTTGCTCCTTCATGTGCTCAACTGTGGCTGGTGTAGATACAGGAAGCGCTTCGGGGAATTCTTTGAGTAACAATGGAATGCCGAAGAAGTGATCGCCATGGCCATGGGTGATGTAGATGTATCGTAGGGCGCGGCCGGGAGCAATCTTCTTGATCCACGCGATCAGATCCGATGTCTGCGCTATTGTGATAGGTGTGTCCACGAGAACCGCATCTGTTGCCGAATAGACGAGAGTACACGAGATGGGAGACCAATCACCTGTGCCTGTTCCAGGAGGGGGGATAATTGAGGGAATGGGTGGTGCAACGTACACAGCACAGCGAAGGTCAGACATTTTTTTTTCAACAAAGTATGCAAAGCAATTCTAAGTATCACTATAAAAATACTATACAAAACATGGACAATATGTAACAGATATTTATATACAACTTGTGGCGTCCAGTTCGCCTTGTACCTAGGTAAGCCGACGATCCCAAAAGCAGGTGGCGTCTTAGTGGTGCAAGGCGCCTAAAACTCCTGTATAAAGCCCGTAGCTTAAATTCATCCACCAATCACACCGCCTCCCCATCGCTCTTTAGGCCATCTTTTACCGACGAGGCGCGCTACGGAGTTAGCGGGGGATCCTAATATTGATTATTAAACCACCCTAACGGCCTTTTTGATTCCAACATTGAAGAATATTCTCGCCTATTACGTGATTATTGGATTTGTAAAGCATCAATTAAAGGATATAAAGACAGTCGAATATCTACTTCAGAGAATCTCACTACCAGACAAGCAAACGAACATCTTCCAACCCTAACAACGCACTACTACCTCACACTATCTTTATTTCATAATGTCCGCCAACACAAACACAGCAGTTGTCCTTACAGAGGTTGGCAAGCCACTCAGCCTCGACACTAGCCGCGCTATCCCTGAGCCTGCTGGGGGGCAGATCCAGGTCAAGGTGTCCGTCGTTGGCATCAATCCCCATGATGGCAAGAGCCGCGACTTTGGAATCTTTGTCACTGGCAAGCTGCCCGCTGTTCTAGGTGCTGATGTTGTCGGTACCGTAACTAAGGTCGGCGCCGGTGTCTCCAACTTTAGCATTGGCGACAGAGTCGTCTACCAGCCTTCCTTTTTCATTCCCACATGGACTCAGCACGGTCTGCAAGAATATGCCGTCGCTGATGCCTGGGCTGCTGCCAAGATCCCATCCTCCATCACCGATGACCAGGCCGCTACTCTTCCTACAAACGTCATTGCACCCCTCGTGTCTCTCTTTTCCCTTCTCAAGATCCCTGCCCCGTGGTCTCCCGCCGCCAAAGACTTTGACTACGCCAACACGTCGCTCCTAATCGTTGGTGGCGGCTCCAGCAGCGGCAAGTTTGGTGTGCAGCTTGCTAAAATTGCGGGCATCGGCCGCATCGTTGTTGTCGGCGGAAAGGAAGATGAATTGAAGAAGTTCGGTGCCACACATGTTTTGGACCGCCACGCCGACTACGACACTCTCCTTGCCAACATTCGCAGCATTGTTGGCGATGACCTCGTCTACGCTTACGATTCCGTGAGCAACTTGAACGGCCAGCTCCTTCCCCTCAACGCACTCTCTAAAACTAAAAAGGGTGGCCTTGCCCGTCTATTGCCTCTCGGCCCAGTTGACAACTCCAAGGTTATTGGAAAGGAGGCAGGATATGACGTCCACGATGTCTTTGGAAGCTCGCATGCTCACCAGGAAGTTGCGAAGGGTTTGTGGGCCAACTTGACTCAGTATCTGGAGAATGGCCAGATTATCCCTCTGGGCTATGTTGTGAAGCAAGGCCTGAAGGCCGAGCATGTCAATGAAATCATGGATGCGTACAGAGACGGCAAGCCTGCCACCAAGACTCACATTCACATTTGAAGAATGAACATGAAAAAAAAATATTAATTAATAGATATATAGAACCCATATTCAGTAATAAACGCTTCGAATATTTTCTAATTTCTTCTATATATCCTCATCAAAGTGAAAACAGAGGTTGACTGAGAATAGGTTATAGTAGAGAGGCTACAGTATAGAGGCGTCTATAACGAACGCTCACAGCCACGATGACCAACCTAAAATGTTAAGCTACATGAAAAAGTACAACAATAATCTTTTTACATATTTTGTCTGGTGAAATTTTCATACTCAAAAACTGCCAATTGACTTGTTTGTCAGCACTAAAAAAACTCATGTCGTCGTGTAAGTCGGGCGTCGGAAGGTTGTAATTCCACTCCGCCTAGCTTATCGCAGGGCACCCTTTCCTTATCGGCCGCATTTTTTACTTGCTCTCAGCTTGCATCAACCTCGCGATCGGCCAACTCGGGCATCTGTCACCACGCACCCATTTAGCGACTGTCGACAAATCGCCGTTAATAATACACATCATCCAGCATGGCTGAAACAAATCCCCCAGCACAGCCTGCCGCCGCAGCAGCAGCAGCACCTGCAACACCGGCACCACCCAAGCCCGCCGCCGCCCCTAAACCTCAGAATCCCGCACTCCGAATGCTCGGCCTGCCCAACCTCCCTCGCAAGCTGCCCTCGCGCAACTGGCTCATCTTCTGGGCAATCACCGGCTCCTTCACCGCCGCCATAGTCTATGACAAGCGCGAGAAGAACCGCGCCACAGCCAAATGGCGCCACGCTGTCGAACACCTCGCCAAGGAGCCCATCGGCAACCCCAACGCCCTGCCTCGCAAACTCACCATCTTCCTCGAGGCCCCTCCCGGCGATGGCCTCCGCTCAGCACAAGATCACTTCATCGAGTACGCCAAGCCGGTGCTTGCTGCCTCTGGTCTGGACTGGGAGTTTGTCCAGGGCCGCCAGCAGGGTGATGTCCGCGCCGCAGTCGCCGAGAAGATTCGCCGCACAAGAAAGAAACAGGAGCGTCCCAACGAGACGCTTGCCGAGACCGACGAGACGATCGTAGAGCGCCTGCGAGAACGCATGGGCGTGGAAGACTATGTCGGCACCAGAGGCGACATTGTAATTGGCCGCCATACATGGAAGGAGTACATCCGTGGCATGCACGAGGGCTGGCTGGGCCCTCTGGATCCCCCTGTCGTCCCTGAACCTGAAAAGATCGAGCCAACACCCGCTGCAACAGAAGCGCCCGCCGAAGGCGCCGCCGCCGAGGAGAAGAAGGAGGAAAAGAAGGAAGACGACAAGCCCAAGCGCCCTCCTCAACCGCAGCCCTACAACACCCCCGACTCCTACGCCGAGGCCGCGCTCCCAGCCACCATCCCCGTGGAATTCGCCCCCTCTACTGTCCTCGCATTCCCTCACCGCATCGGCTTCAAGCACACATTCACCCGCTTCGGATGGTTCATGACGCGCCGCAAGCTAGCCGACGAGATTGGCCGTGACGTTGCCGCCGTCTGCTTCGCCGCGTCGCGCGGTTGGCGCGAGACTGACGGCCGTTACGAGCAAGAGGGTGTCCTAGAGAAGGACGAGGTTGGCTGGCCCAAGTCGGTCTTCACAGAGGAAGAGGAGCGCAAGGCCCCTCCCAAGGAAGGTGAAGAGCCTAAGCCGCCCAAGGAGTTCATCTGGGCGTCGCCCATGCGCATGGATGCCCGCATCGTCGAGCGCATGCGCCGCTTCGAACTTCTTCCTGAAGATGAAGCCCGCGCCGCTCAGATTGTCGTCCCTGAAAAGGAAGTCGAGGGCTGGATCAAGGGCAGCCTGCGCAGCTTGGTCAACTGGGGCGTTGACTCGTGGAACCAAAAGCCGTGGGCACCCAACGTTGGCGACGTTAATGACTCTTAAAAAAAGGACGCAGTTGAAACGAGTTTGGCTTGCATTGTAAGAATAATCAGTTTTCGTGTCGGCATTGTATGTACATCACATCTCCCTATGAATCTTGGCATCCGAAGGAAAGGACAACAAGAAAAGACAAAACATCGTCAGAAATCGAGTTGGACTTAGACGCTGGAATATCTTGTACCACCATATATTACATGTAATTTACTATTGAAAAAGGTTTTTGAAACAAAAAGGAGTCCTCTTCGCCTGTCTTGGCTGTTCATTATCGTTATTCGTCATCGCTATCGTCAGAATCATAGGCCACCAGGCCCATTGCCGGCTTCTTCTTGTCGTCAACTTTTGGTGGTGCCTTTTCTTCCACTTTGCTCGCTTCTGCCGGTTGGGGCTTTTCATCCGACTTTTCACTCTTCTTGATAATAGCGTCTTTCACCACTTTGCGCTTCTTCCGACCAACTGCCCAATCTCCTGTCTCGGCTTCAACAAGTCCTTCGTCCGTCGTCTCATCAATGGCGGTGCGCTTTTGCATCTCCTTGAAGCCCTTCAGGCCATCCTCAATTTCCTTCTTGCGACCCTCATCATCTTTACGCTTCTTTTCGCGCACCTCGTCCAGAAATCCCACCTCGTCCTCATCTAGTGACCGGAATTGGTTCCTGATTTTTGTTGCCTCCTCAAACGCTGCCTGCTTAGCTGCTTTGTTCGCCTGCAACACCTCATAGAGACTCTTGCCCTCGTCTCCTTGACCAGAAGCGGCCCTTTGTCGTTCTGCTTCTCGCTTCGCCCTTTCAGCGTCCAAATCTGCTTGGACAGAAGCCCACTCGGCTTGTGCCTTCTTCTGGGCTGCCGAGAGTTCAGTGGCCGGCGCAGGCGTAGTAGAAACTTGACCATCTCCAGATGCACTAATAGTGCCTCCAGACACGAATCGACTCGACATCTTTGAGCTGCAATACTCGCTCACATCGATTTTTGATATGGCTGCTGACAAACTGTCGATATAATGCACAATGGCGCCGTCTTGTATACAAACAGAATGGTGATGTTTCCATCAAGCGCTGGCGTTAGTAGTCATGGTAGTTTGCTTTCCGGAATTCTACCGACCCACCTACATGGCTGCCAAATGTGGAATATCAGCGCATCTCCCAAGCACACTCAGAGATGGTAATTTACACGAACAACAGTCACAGGAAAGGATTATTGGTTGGGGGGAATCATGTAAATATATTTTTGGTTGCCAAAATGGCAAAATAAAAATGAAAGTGTCTCCAGTAGGTAAGAAGGTTCAGGAGCATCGGTTGAGGGTTCAGTTCAGCCATGCTAACAAAGCAACAACCAAATCGAGAGAACACCAACCATAAAATGTGTCGGTTGAAGCTAGTTGAAAAAACAAAAGGGTTTGTGAGAATAAACAATATAAGTAACGAAGAAAGGTTCCGACCCAAGGTTTCCCCAATTAACCGCTGAGTACAATGCATAATCCATCATGAAAAATTCCAAGCTTTTTTCTGCCCAACGTGCCCATAAACCCCAGAATAAAAATAGCAAAAAAGGGCAGTGGGTTGTAATACCAAATATATACTGTGAAACGCTTCGTTCACCAAATTTTGAGCTCCTCATCGCCGAAGTTGTGTAGTTAGACTATCCAAGCAGCTCTACCACCTAGAAGCAGTAGACTGTGCTGGCTCATCAAGAGCATGGTGTCTGTGCATGGTCTGACTTTCGGCCGAGGATACGAAAGAGAGAAAAAATCATAAACAAAAGCCTATAGCAAAGCCCACGTCAGACAGGCCGAAAGACGGGCTTATCCAACATAGCTTGCATGGCCACCAAAAAAAGGAAAGGCTAGGGCTCTTTCTCCACCAAGCCCAGCTGTGCCAGGGCTTGGTGCCAAACTTTGAAGTCTATGTCGAAAAAAAACAAGGGGAGCGAAATAAAAAAAAATGTGTTGCCGCGCCGAAAAAAAAAATCAAGAAATTTGCCAGTCGAACCCCAAAAGACGCCGTGTATGAATCATTAAAAGCGTGTATCGCCGGTATGCCGGGGAAAAAGATAAGATGCCACCGAATGAGTGGTTTCTTCCATGTTTCGAAGAAGAACGAAAATGCAACCCATAAACTAATGCACCGCAGTCGAGTGAACAAGGCTGAACAAAGAAATACTGTTCATGCCTGGGGTATCTTGCGGAGCACTCTCCGAAGGGAGTGAAAAGAGAATCGTTGTCGTGATAGTAGGAAAAGAGAAGTTAGCCGCGTTGGCGGCTAACTGTGATGTGTATAGTCGCAAAGGTAGAGACAAAAATGTATGCATGGTGGGAAAAGAAATTCGTGGGAGACCATGGCTCCAAGAAACCAAAAAGGAAAATCCCAATCGATCGTAAAACTGCACTTAGCCCATGACGGGTTGGCCATAGCCATGAGGAGCGAAGTAGGGAGTGTGCTTCATGGTAGCAGTGCAGCCAGGGCACCCACACTCCATTCCGTGCTCCCATCCGTTGCCTTGGTTAGCATAGGGATATTGGGCCGTGTAGTTGTGCTGACGGTTGGGGTAAAATGTGTTGGCGGTAGGCTGAGGATAGCCCCGGCTGTACTGAGCAGCAGCCTGAGCAAACCACTCATTGTAGCGAGCGTTGCTAGAGGCGGCAGACATTCCATAGTCTGGGGTGCCATAGCCAGAGTCGGGAGGAGTGAGAGGCGCGCTCCAAGGGTTGTGAGCCCAAACACCGTCGCGGGCATAAGCCTGCTGTTGCTGGACCTTCATAGCCTGGTAGCGCTCGTACTCGGCCACCTGTTCTTGCAGATAACGCGAGTGAGGAGACTGACGGTTGCTGTTGTAGCGCGTCAGCTCGGTGTCGATGGCAGGAACCAAAGAAGCAAGTCTGTCGCGGCTGACGCGGGCAGCCTGGCGCTTCTTCATCTGCAACCAGTCTCGCCAGTTCTCAAGCCAAGCCTGGTAGTCCTTGCTGGCATCGAGGTTGACATAGAGCTGCCAGTTCATGGCCTGAACCCAGTCATACTCGAGGCCGTTGAGCTCAGACACGGAAATGCCGCTGACTTCAGACCAAGAGCGGTTCTGGAAAGTGTTGTCGTCGAGGAACTTGCTACCAAGGAGGAGCGACACAGTGAGGTAGCGCCAAACCTGGCCCTCAGAGGCCTTGTAGGGTCCTTGGCTCTTCATGGCATTAATGCGTTTGGCGAGATAGTTCATGCCCAAGAGAATGGTAGTGCTAGGAAGTCTCGTTGACGTAAGAATCTGGGTGACGAATTTCCGGAAGGGGGAAGTAACAGCAGCTTCGGGAGTGACAACGCGCACCGTCATCTCGGAAACATACTCAGCCATCATGTCGACCTCATAGTCGAGGACGGCACAGACGCCACCGGGCATGTTGAAGGATGGGGGGGGAGGGTCCGACAAAGATCGAAATAGACCTTGGTCGGAAGTCAGGAGTTATTGGCTCCTGATGCAGAGAACTAGACAAGCAGCTAAATGTGGTGCAAAGATGACCTCAGGTTTGCTGAATGCAAGATGCTTTGCGGCGACGCGGTCGGAGAGGGAGGTGAGCGTGAGAGGAGGTTTCGTAAGAAGCTCTACTGAGAACGCTGAGCCATTAAGTATTGTCGGGAACAAATCGCAATAAACTGATCGTAAGTGCCGGGTTTAAAAGTTGGTACAGTACGGAACGTCGTCAAAAGGAGAAACGAAGATGTCGACGAGAACGATGCCGTAAGGACTGCGTTGGAAAGGCGAAAAAGACGTAAACACAACGCGTGCCGGATATATAATCTACCAAAGCAACATGTTAGTTTCGATGTTTTATACTTTTCTCGGCTTTTGAGTTTGCCGCTTGTTTCGTTCCAAACTTTCGTGTCTTTGTTTTGGTTTGGGCCCAGCAAGGTGTTGTTGATAGGGTTACGGCTCAAACGTTGCGTTCAAGACGGCCCTCCCACAGTCTCAAGCCAGGCTATTCTCTCCAAGACAAAATATTTCGGTTCGGGGCGAGACAATTGTCGAAAGGGTACGAAGCTCTTGCTTCGATGTCATGGTCAGTACTAACCTCGCGGAACAAAGGATGCGGTGCAGAAAGCAAATGCTTTTTCGATGCGAGAGTCGTGAAGGCCGAATATGAGCGAAGCAGAAACTGTTCCGGTAAGAACGTCCACTACGTGTCGAAAACAAGGAGTCTCGTAAGCTGGCAAACACTATCGATGAGTCCGTTACACAGTGGTGAAGCTGGTAGACGGAGGCGAGAGAAGTATAGAAATGAGCCCACGCAAAAAAAGGGAACCCGGAATCAAGAGGAAAGAAACGAAAAACAGATCTTTGAACGGTGAAAGAGTTCAAAGACGATGTTTGTTCCTTTGGTAATTTGACGACGACTCGGATTCTTTTTTGGATCGTGAGGGAAAAAGGGAAGAAAGGGTAAAAGAAAAAACGGTGGTTGAAGAGAGAAGAGGACGAGGAGAGGAAGCGAAGTGGACGGAGAATTAAGTGGTAGGGTACAGGCGCAGCAGCCCACTCTGGTGTAGCAGGGCCAGTAACCAGCGCTGCTGAGAAAAATGGGCAGCCAAGTCGGGGGGGGCGGAGGGCAGCAGCAGGAGCAGAAACCAGCAAAAACGCAGTAGTGCGGGTAGGCCCTTCGCAGCGCGTGGACTTAGCGTGGTTCTTTGCAGTGGGCGGAACTTTGGGCGGGCCAGCAGGTACCCTGGGCGCCTAGGACAACAACACGACAGAAGAAAACAAGTACGAAAAAAGAAGGCTAGGCAGGGTCGGGGTCATCCGCCCACTCACCCCGGGAGCCACAGCAATGACTGAGTTGGTGGTGGTGCAGTGCTGTGCACTGTGTGAGTGTGTGTGTCTGGTGCCAGCTATTGGTGGGTGGCAGGGGACCCGCGCCGTGTGTCTCTGCGCGGACCAAAAAAAAAAAAAGAAGAGGGGGGGATGGGGCGACCCAGACTCGAGCCAGCGACTGTCCGCAGTACAATGTACAAGAATCACATGTACCTTTGGTTGACGACCCCACCAACGTTACGTACAACACACGCGTTCACGGTACACATTGTTTAGTACCTTGCACTTGACCACCAGTACGTACCTCAGGCACCGCAAAGTTCCCTCTGGTGCCCTGGCTGAGTTTTTTTTAGGCGGCAATAAGGGGCGCTGCGGTGGGTGGCTGTCAGTAAAACTGGGTGTTGTTTTTTTTCTGGGGACGTCATTATTTTTTTTTCTTGTTAGTCTAGTTCCATGACTGGATTATTAGATGGTACCTGGCTTCTCTACGCCTTCCACAGCGGTTTCCATGTACCTCTGTTTCTGCTGTAGCAGCGCAAGGGTCCGTCATCCCCCAAGAAGACTCCACCAAACGGGGACAGCGGCTGTTTGTTGATTTCTGCAGCTCTTCTCTATCCCGTTCCCACACGACATATGTGCATGGGCTAGTAGTTTTTTTTTTCATCGGTATCCGTCAAGAGATAAGAAGAGGCCTGGTCAATTTTTTTTTCCGTTCACAATAGTGCGCGCTTGGCTCGATTCATAGCCGTGTCAGAAAGCGGCCATCCATCCAAGACAAGATGACAAGACCAGAGGTGAGCGGCTATGTCCTTACACTAACGAACACGCCCAGGAACTGTGGCACAATGGCACACTAGCAACCCATTAGTGGACTTCGGCTTAGCAGGAGGCCACCGCTCAAAGCAGAGCGCCCGAAGCTGGACTACGCTAGGCCGTCTATACATTGGCACTAGATGTTTATACTTTTTTGATTGAATTTTCTGATTCGGGCCAAACCCGGTGTTTACTTTTACAGGGCCATTGTCATGCGTCTTCTAAATTTGGTCTCCGGAAGTTACAAAAGTATAGGCGGTAGTGGACAATTCAGATGCCGAAACGCCTTACATGGCATAGGCTTCACTGCCTGCAGGCAGCGCATGTCAGACCACTGACTACACCGCAGGCATTCGTCGCAGTGCAGCATAGCGCCGCGGTACATCCCTGTGACGTATCGCCAGGCAGGCATTTGCGTTTTTTTGGCGAACCTCTCTGGCACTGTCTCTCCTCGGGTCTGGACTGCTAGGTTTCAGATTGAGACGCTGCTTGGCGTGGGTGCTGGATGCCTTTGGCGAAGAGTAATACCTGACCGCAGGTGACCGTTCCTTTTCCCACGATTTCCAACAGCCCCCTTGGCAAAGACAAGCAGTTGTCCGGGCTGCAAATTCGCGTACTAAAATAATCAAACGGGCACCACCTTGAACAATTGTAATGAAGAGCGCCACCATTTGGTCAGAAGCCCGGCCATCTGTTCTGGAACGGAACCGCCTGCAGACGCGAGCCAGCACCTGGCCTGTCTGTCGCACATCCCCCGAGGTATCCGCTGGAGTGTAGCGAGCCGGTAGTGGCCCGGCGCCCATGGGTTACAGATGTACAGTGCGCCTTTCCCTCTCACTACGTGCTTCCCACGCCCACCGTAAAGCCAGGTCCAGCCTCCCCTGGTCCACCGGAAGAGCCCGCAGGCCACCACCAACCGCAACGTGCGTGCAAACAGCCAGGCTTCGCTTTACGATGCTACGGCAGATTCCCAACCCGCCCTGAGCCTGCGACGGGTTTGATGCGACGGATCTCCGGCAGCCTATGCTTGATAATTCATGCTTGCTGGTGCTGCCTTTGCTGTGTCAGGTTTTTCTTTTAGACGCGACAGCATGGATATCCTGTATAGGATTTTATGATCATTTTATTTTATCTATGATTTTTGGTTTAATTTGATTTGATTTTCTCTTTTTAGCCACATCAACATAAACCCTTACCGCCCCTCCGCTTTTCCACAAGACTGCTAATTTCACCTCGTTGTTCTAGCGCATCATACCAAAGAAACAACCAACCAACCAGGAACAGCCGCCCACGGTTGGTGGTAGTGGCGGTGGTGTAGGTACAGTACTCGTACAGTTACTTGGTACTCGGATTGGCCCGGTATTTACTCGGGAGTTGTTGTTCCTACACCTTGTTCCTGGTATTGCTACCAAACTGTCTCCTCTCCAGGTTCTCCTGCGGCTGGTACCAAGAAATTACTAATGAACGCTATTATTGTTTAATACTTGCTCTGCACATGCTTGCTGCTGCTGCGGATTGGATGAAGCCTAATTTTGCATCCATCCCCTCGCCCACGGAATCCTGACCGCTTCCCGCCTGGCTCATGACTTCTGTCGCAGCAGCCCCAGAAAGAGGAGAAGAAAGGTGGACAAGACGCACGCATTGGTGGAGTAGGCCAGCTTCGTGTTCTTTTACATTGCCCACTTGCTAACCGCCCGGACCTCATTGGGTCGACGTGCATGAGGAGAACGGGGTATAGACCGCCACCATCGTTTTCTGCTGGCAAACGTGACTTACTGCACGCAGCAGATGTACTTTGGCCCTCCATGTGGGGAAGACGAACGAGAAAGATGGAGGAAATTCCCTCAGTAGCTCAAGACCAACTTACACCAGCTCGTGCTGCAGGTCAGGCCAGCCCCTCGGGTTTCCGTTTGGCCATCAAAGAGCGAACTGTCACTTTGCCTGGAAGCGTCGGAACCTCAACGTGTGCCTGGGGTATAGTTTCCCCCTCCTCATAACGCATGGATCTCTGGGCACCCTCTGAGGAGGCAAAATGACAAATAGGTACCTCTATGTGACTCTTCTGGGTATTATTGCCGTATAAGCGCTCAACTTGGGGAAAAAATGCAGTTCTGCCTGCTAGGCTGTCGCCGCTCCTCACATTGGAGCACACTTTGATCTCGCCAGGCATAATTAGTTGCCGCCGCCTCCCCAAACACGTCATAGGCACCCTCGATCTGCACACAGACATGCCCACCACCACTGTGACTCGCATCGCCACCAACAGGTTGCAGGCTTGCGTTCTTGTATAGCCGTGCCCAGGTACAGTACCAACCAGCAATGCGGCTGTGAAAACTGACCCAGCTCAACACATGTGGCGAAGTGAAGCAGAGGCCACCCACCACCTCCTGCAGGGTTAACTTGCATCGGAGGCGTTCATACGCATAACGCACCTCGTTATGGGCGCTCTCCTCGTTGCTGGTACTATTAACGCTCCACTGTGTCCAATCCATTTGGCCGCTAATTACGTGCAAGAGACGTCCTTCTATCTTGCTCTATCAGTGTTCTTTCACAGGCAATGCGAGGAGTTCATGGTTCTTACGTATAATATCAACCTGGGCCTTTATTCGTCTATTCTCAGTAGCGTAAACATCATCGCTATAACAGATAGTTCTTTGTATTAATAGTAAAATTATCCATTTTATGTAGCTATTGGAACTCATCTATGGCTTGTAGGCTGTCTTCCATGAACGTCTTTGTGTTAGTGTACGCTCAGTGGCTGTTGTATACGCCTACCCTATATATATTAGCGGATTAGTGTAGAGATATCTGTGGCTAATAATTGACGGACTTGGCGGCTAATATCACATGTATGGAGAATACACGTTTAGTTTTCCACCAGCATATCCTCGGAATATAAGAGGATGTGCTGTTTATCAATATTCTGATCGTTAATTTGCACCGTAATGAAGACGAACTCCCACCAAGAACACACACTTGTAAGCACCAGATATCTCCCAGGTACTGCCCACTTCCTTACAAAGAATCAATAAAATACGAAATAAATTTCAAAAATAGTTGACACATAAAATAAATAATTTTTAAATACACAAGAAAATCAAGCCAGCTAACCTGTAGAAGGTAGCCGTAGACCCTGGACAGAATTCAAGGTCACGTGACGAGACTGGGGAATGGAGGCCACAGAGCCCACTGGCGGGCAGCGCGGGAGGTGCGACGTGGCCCGATACCGACGTTGAACCCTTTCCACTTCTCCTGGCCTCATTTAGTCTCGCGACAACCTCGACTTCATCCACGCCCATCTCCCCAGACTCGTTCCGCTCCTTACCGCCGCGCGCATCTTCCAGTCCCTCTCTTCACACACATCCCTCCGATATTTCACAATGGCCGACCAAGTTGAGAGCCTCATCGAGCTCCCCAAGGAGTTCATCAAGGACGGCGTCCAGTTCATCAACAAGTGCCAGAAGCGTACGTCCCATGCGACCAATTGCTATGCGCAGGACCGATGGATTGGCTCTTGAGATTGTGCCAATGTCTATTTATTCTAGACTAGACACACCGAGTCAACCCCAGTCGTCACTCGTGCAGCAGCTCAAGCATCGACAATAATTGCTAACTTGTCTGCAGCCGACCGCAAGGAATTCATCAAGATCTCCCAGGCTATTGCCGTTGGTTTCTTGACCATGGGCACTGTTGGCTACGTCGTCAAGCTGAGTAAGTATTCGATTCATAATACACGGGCTCAGCAAAGCAAGCTGTATATGTGGTTGGTTGCACGTGCTGACATTTCGCTTCTTCTTAGTCCACATCCCCATCAACAACATCCTCGTCGGTGCTGCTTAAATGCAGTTTATTGACCAATTATTGTCTTGGCGCAACTTAGATGACCTTTAACATGGAAAAGGAGTCAGGGTGACGGGTTGACCGCGAGGGAACGAGCAAATACCCGAGTGGAACAATTTTTTTTGGCATGGGATCTTTACAGTCCCAACATTTCAATTGGAGCTGGCGGGAGCATCTGGCAGACTGAAAGCCACTGTGCTTCCGTCGACAAAGATATACCCCGGATTGGGTTATAAGCAGCCGTCCGGGCGGATACTATTTACTTTACGATATCCCCATATACTGCTTTGGAGGGGAATTCCAGGCACACACTGTACAGGAGTTTTCTTCGATGTAACAATAAAAATCACGATATTACAGGCCTAGCTACAGCTACTACACTCTGAAACCACACACTTTGTAATATACATGCGAAAAATCGTGTTCCAAGCCCATAATGTCAATTGCAACCAAACGCCTCTCGGTGGCTCCCAAGTTCATGTGTCGCTACACTTTCTTTAAAATCAACTCATTGCTCTATCGCCACCACTCTTTTTAAACCATTTAGCCCTTGCTGTAGGGCACAATAGCCTTGTCGATGATGGGTTGTCGTCGTGACGAGGCACTGCTCTCCGTGCCCCATTGAGCCTTCCACTCCTTGTCCTTGTTAATGGCTGCATCAAAAGCCTTGCGGCAATCTGGCGGCAGCAAGGCCTTGACGTCGTCAGGGACAGCCTCGAGGCTGTGGAACGCGGCTCGCATGTCGGCGGCGTCCGATGCTGCAGATGCAGCCGATGGACCGACGCCAGACGGGCTCTGGTAGATGACATCTGCCACCATGAAGTTGCGTGCAATCTTGAGCGGCACCGCGGGGAAAGTAGCGGTAGCTACCTTGTCGTCACCAGGAGCCACTTGGACAATTCGCGCCTGCGTGGGCTGCATGACGGCAGGGTACTGAATGACATTGGTATGGATGTCGTAAACGCCATTGTTGTTGAGCTTTCGCACAGAGTTGATGTTTGCATTGAAAGTGCTGGCCTCGCGAGCATGCTCGAGCATCCAGTTTGTATCGTTGACATTCACCTTGCGCTTCTTGTATTCCGGCTTGCCCGTGGGATCTGGTACCGAGGGCACGTTTGTGTGATAGACAGCACTGGCTCCGTGCCAGGCAACGTATTGGTTCTTGTTGTAGGGTTCGCCGGGAACAATGATATCTGCTGGATCCGCGAGCTCGCCCTCGACGGCGCCCTCTGCCTTGACCCGCGTCACAGCATAGTCGTCGATAACGCGCTTTCCACCAACGATAATACGGGCACCGAATTCTCGGAACACAGAGCGGGCTGTGACAATACCTATCGAACGACCCTTGTACGAGTGAGGGATGATGTCTCTGTCAATCATGTCCCGCTTCTCCTCATCGTCAACGATAATCTTGTAAAGCTTGCGGTGTTTCGTAAAGAAGAGATAACTGTCACGGAAACCGACACATCGTGCGGGTTCTGTAGACAACATGTACTGTCTGTTGCCGCGTCCGAGGACTGTGAATGTTCGGCATCGGTAGTCGCGGCCGTCGTTGAGGTTACCAAGCTTGTCAACCTTGGTCTCGCCTTCGGGGTCTTCGGGCAACACACACTCGTCGTCTACAATATCGGCAACAGTTCCTTCAGCGTCAATGATTTGCTCGGGCTTCGCAGCCATCGCGCCCTTGCGGCCTCCGCGGCCCCTCCATCCGCCTCGCCCTCGCTTCTTGGGCTGCTCCAGGTCTCTAATGTCGATGGTAATGAGTTCATACTCGGGAGATCTGTTCTTGGGAGGGCGGCCAGGACGACGCTTTTTGATGGTGATTGTACGCGGAGGCGAGGACTCTTTGTTGGCTTCGGCCTCTGGCTCCAATCCTTCCTCTTTTACGTTGACGGTGGTGTCGCCTTCCGCCTCACCGTCACCGTCGCCGTCGCCATCTGAGCCATCGCCATTCTCTTCCTCAGGGGGCTCAATGTGTTCTTCATCGTCATCGTCTTTTGTTTGAAGCTCAGACATGTCTGCGTCCGCGTCGGGCATGAGCTCGTCGTCCAAATCTGCGAATCCCTTAGGCGTGTTTTCTACGTAGAGAGTAGGTGGTTAGCATCGCCGCGCGGATCATGTACGTCGTGGATAATACGCAGAAACTGTAAAGCTCTGCAGCATCTTGCAGGCCATAGCGCAGGCCGCGATTGGAGTGAAGCATACCTAGAGCAGCGGCCGCACGTTTGGCGGCGGCGCGGCCTGATCGTCGACCGGCCGGCATCTTCGCAGCGACGGGGCGTTGGCAATCAAATTGACGAGATAGCTGATGTATGCGACAATTTCAACTGTAAAATCACGTTTCCTGATGGCGGTGCCGTCGATTCGAACTGTGTTGCGCTGGCTCCTGTTGGGCTTGACCAAGTCACCACGGTGGAAGACGCGCCTTGGTCGCAAAAGATTCGCTGGGGCGCTCCCTTGATTGGGCCACTCACAAACAGTAACAAATATTATTTACACTGTGCATTTACACTGCATGCTATATACTCCAACAGGCGCCTGTCGTCTCTTTTATGGACAGTAATCCAAATTAATTAGGGTGATGGAAGGTAAAAAATAAATATGCATATCTTCGTCTATTTGTAAGTCTCTACTCCAGTTATAAACAACACCCTCATTTTCTTGGATATCACCTCCGTTGGAACCACTCCAGCTATCAAAAAACGTCAGCCATTTTTAGTTTGACTGTTTCTTCATAATATTCTTCATCTCATAAAAATACTGTCTCATTAGAGAGTATCCCATCCCCCATGATTGATATCAGCTTCGAGCTTGCGGCAGATAAGACTAGGGACGCCATGATTCAAGACTGTTGATCGGATCATGGAATCATATCGCTTCTGGTTTAAGAAAAGCTGCCGGCCATGGCGCAGCTGATGATCTGTTTCTCCGTACTTATCCGTGTATGGTGCTTGTGTAAAGGAGCCAGACTTTCGGAATAGGTACAGAATTGTGCATTTGCGGACATTGAGGAACACGCCAATGTTTTGTTGACACTTCTTTCTATGTTGTTGAGCGCCGCCGATTTTATTGTTGTCAGATCCGGAGCTATCAGGCTTCTGGCAACAGGTCGCCTGACTGCAGAAGAGCTCACCACAAAACAGGCATATTACCGGATCTGTAAGATCCTTTCCTGTTGTGGGACAGCGTCCTCTTGTCGCTTCTTCAATCAAAGTGTCATAGGTCTTAGGAAGACCGATGAGCTCGAAAATGCCAGGGTGGCCCAGCATGGCTGATACGGGCAGCTCATCGCGAGACCTTGGCCACCATATTTGATGCTTGATCCAGCCAGAAACTAAACCACTCGTCTTTTCAGACCAGCCACAGGCGCCAGCATTTGGTGTCAATGCTGCACACATCTCGTCGAAGTTGGGAAGGCGCAATGCTTCTGTTAATCGATCGAGTTCATCTGCCTCGGGCTGCTGAGAGAGATGGCCATTGAAATCCACGCCGTACTTGACGTTTAGTAGAATGACACATTTACGTAGGAATATCAGTGCATATTTCTTCGCGAATGTGTACCATCCTTCAAGAGAATCAACTCCAGGTTGTTGAAATCCAAGATTCTCAAACTCAGACTGAGTGTCATCTGAATTCGTCATTCGTGCCTTTTCGAATTCCATACTAAACTTGGTGATTGAGAGTGCCCACTCTGCAAAATTGTGTATCGCTGGATCTTGAGAGGTTCGGTTTGTCAATTCATGTAGCCATTTGTCTTGCGAGATGTTGCGAGACATGTGGAAAATGGTCTTGACAATATCAGCCAAATAACAGAGGCGCATTATGTGAGAAATTTCAATCTTGTGTGTTGGAACCAATCCATACGCACACTCGGTGAGAAAGACAAATGTATCCAAGCTCAGTAGTGGTGTATATGTGTCTACCGGGCGTCGTGTGTTGGCAGTTCCAGCCCCAAAGTACCGGGCGATGAAAAGCTGACAATGCTGTCGTTCTGCGTCTTGGTCAAAATCCTTCTGAAGTTCGGCACCCGCGTAATGTGTTCCGACGGATATGAAAGATGAAACAGTTTCTGAGAACACTCGCAGATTGGTAAGTGATTGTTCGGAGATCTTATCCAGAAGGGTGCGACCTGGTTCAGCCTCAATGCCTCTTTGCTGGAGTTCTACAGCAGAAATGCTGTAACCCATTCCTTGAGCCAGGGCAGCGCTTGAGTGAAGGTCAGTATTATTGGAAGAAGATATGTCCAGATCTTGATCAGGGTCAAGGTCATTGACTTTCAATGTGTCTCTGAGTCGACGATAGGCGCTCACAAGATCTCGAATCAACGGGTTCGTCATTGATGTGGGCTGCTGCATTTGAAATCCTGTCTCAGACTCGGCAGTCGGCGAGAGTAGCATCTCTTGCGGCGGCTGAGCCTCTTCACGACCCCATTGTGCCTCCGTAGTAGAAGACGGTGCGATCATAGTTTCGATAAGGCTACCAGGAAGACTAGGTGTATGCGCTTCTGAGGCGGCAGTTCCTGGTGGACCAGTTGTCTTGCTGCTTCCTAGCCAGTACGCAGAGCTCATTTGGCTTTCCAACAGTTCATCGAACGACGTTTGAGCTTGTAGGTAACCTGGGTATGATTCATCCATACCTTTCCAAACAATGGGTAGGAACGTGTTTCCAAGTGCTTTGCATAGAGGGCAGACAAATTCGTTGCGTGCTGTATCCTCTGGATGATGTCGAGCAATCTGCTGGGCATGGCGTCTACTAGTAGCGTCGTAATATTGTTCAAAACAGCGGAAGTGCATCATATGCCCACAACCACTGGCAATTGGCCCGGTGCGAGAGAACTTGCCTTCAACACCCTTGCCAATGGTCTGTCTCTCAGCGAGGAAAACTTCACCAGACGAATTTAGCTTCTCAACCATCTTTCGGTTTTCTCGCGCTATTCCAAAGGGTCGTATGTCCTCCGCTGACCGGTCTAGGCTACATGGCGTTTGAGAAGCTTCTCGGACCATGTCTGGATCTTGGAAATTGGTCTGGCGCAAGACTCGACTATTGTTGAGGAGAGCAAAGGAACCGTAGAGGCGACGCTCATCTGCCTCCTCCTGACATAGGATACACGTTCCAGTTGGGTACTTCCAATTGTGAGTTTTCTCTTCATCGTGTTCTTCTCCTTCATCCTCATCAATGTCGGAACCCCAGTCGATTTCACCTTGGCTTTCAAGGAAACTCTTTTGCTGTTGCTGAAATTGGGCCATGACTTTAGCCTGTCTACTCAAGGCTGCCTTCTTCTTTCTTTCTCGTTCCTCTTCGGCGGAATTGTTCGCTGGGGACGCAGTGTCCAGTCGATCCACCGCTATTCCTAAATGCGAGAGGGCATTACCAAAGCCGCTGGGGCGGTGCTGCTTCAAGCGCCTGAGGATCAATGAAATACGTGGTTGCGCAGCCTTGAATTCCTCTTTGGTGGACATTGTATGGAGAAGGGCCACAACTGTTCTAGCATTGCTGGCATCAGGCATGATACTGAGAGCTGGTTTGGTCAAGGCTGTGTGAACAAATGACTTCTTTCCCTCTTGCTCAACGTCACCTTCGGTAGTTTTGTCCTCGTGGATTGCAATAAGCATGAGATGCAACACAACTTGGAGGAAGGTTTCCAATCGAGTGGCTGGTACAGTTGGTGTGAATCTGGGTGCCACCAAGGGATAAAGCAGCGAATAGTAGATAATTTGTGCAAAAATACCCGTACTGGTGAACTGTGCCAAGTTCTGGAACAGCCCAGATGGAATCTGGCGCAGATTAGGTTCATACACAATTTCTTCGACGGATTTGCCCGTTTTCTTTGCCATCTTCTTACGATAAGCCATTTCAGACTCTTCACGTTGGTTTTTGTTGTAGTGGGCAATGTAGGGATCAATGCCTTCAATGAATTCTTGTCGTAACTCGAACGTTCCGACGTCCGACACGCCCTCTGGGGGTTTGAAAATGGTCATTTCATCTAAGACTTCATGGAAATCTTCTTGCTCTTGGTACTTTTCTGGAAGCTTATTCACAATTTCGTTGAATGAAAGCGGCTTGAAGCATAAAACATGAGTGATATCGCGCCTCATTGCTAAAAGACGAGAATTTGGCTCTTCCGATGAAGCAATCAAAGATGTTCTATCGCTGAGGAGAACAATAAGAAGGTGAATCATATCTTCAACGACATCGAGATGCTGACTGTCATCCTGTGCTTCCGACTTTAGTTCGAACAGGCCCTTGACCCAGCCGTCCATGCCGAAGCGATCAATAATAGAAGCTAGTACACGGCTTGGGTTGCATATAACCATGGCAGTTTGTAACAGAAAGATATCTCGGTGGTGCGACACGTCTCTTTGCCCAACGCCCTTATATTGGATAGCTTGATGACGGAGGCTGATGCCATTTCGCACCCACATGTTGGCTTTTATTTGTGCAAGCCAGACACATACTCTTAATGGATAGTCGAAGGCAGCCATAAGATAGTCTTCGGCGGAATAATCTTTCTTTGGGAGCTGGGGACGACCCATGAGTCGTGGTGTCGCTTTTAGTTCTTGTGCTGTAAAGCTGAGCAATACTCGGACATGGTCTGCAGAGAGTGTCTTGCCACATTCAATCAGCCATGAAAGAGTGTAATGCAGTGCGTGGTGGAAGCTGATAGAATCCTTTTCAACCAAGAATTTGACAACTTCATATGAAGCAGCCTCGTTGTCAAACTCAAAATCGCCTACTGTTTTGAATCGGACCTCATCCTTAATTTCGGCAGCTTTGAATCTCTGTCTCTCTGCACCTATCGAATTGAGTATGACAGTCTTGGCTGTAAAGCGGATCGCACGTTGCAAGTAATGACTCTCGTCGGGTGGGCAGTCTCTGAAGGCCTCTGTAACAATACGGGCCTGGAGATTGATATAACGAGTGACCATCGAGGCTGTTATCCAAGAATCGGCTTCGTATTCGACATGCTCAACCACAGCACGAACGTTGGGTCCAATTCCTTGATGAAGCTTGACGAGGTCTAGAAATTGCATTAGATAGCGTTGTTCACTTCTGAGCTTTTCTTGGACATGAGTAGCTCCAAAGAGATACTTAAGGTCTTGGTAGAAATGGTACATGCGTCGGTTTGTAACGGAACCACTTTCAAATCCTAAGACAGCATCAGGTGAGATATCCCATGGATGTGCGACTTGTCTAGTCGTCAAGAACGTGTACAGGATTGCCAACAGGCTGCTCATGAAATTTCCCCTTTCTACTACTTCAGCCGTTATCGACGGCGTAGTCAGCATTTGTAGGGACAAGTTGATAATGGAGTGGTCAGGCTCTCTGTCGCCCACGAGGTAAAGTTGGGCAAGAATTGTGTAGAGACTAGCAAATCGCAGGGCCAAAACACGCTTGAATTCAGGTACCTGGACCACAGTAGTAATGTAGAGGGATCGCAGGTCATTGCGGACCTTTTTCCACATTCGCAAGTCGAATAACAACAGCCAATCCAGTCGTACTCGTTGGAACACATCTTCAGCTGGTGGGACATTATGGCGCTGTGTGTACTCCGCTGGTGTCTCAATCCAGTACCTTCCAGGGCCTGGAATAAGTTTTGCTGTCTTGCCAGGTGTTTGAGGAATTTCTTTATTGGCTGTCGCTTTGATGGCTGGTGCAATAAGAGGGTCGACCGCAGCATCAGAATCTGACGGGGTACCGTCTCTTTCTCTTATAGACGCAGCTGCCGTGTTTGGCTGAGCTGTACCAGCGGCAGTGGTAGCAGGCGGAGGTGGTGGGGGAGGATATCCTGCCATGGTGGCCTCATCCTCTTCAAGAGCTTCAGACTGCGCCCAGTTCATACCCAAATCGCCAACCTCACCACGGGCGTCCATCATCATGACGTCCTCTCCGTCTTCTTCTTCTGCCCCTGCAATTGAGCCCACTGGTGAGACATGGTCAATTTCATCATCAAAGTCTCCGTCTTCCATAAAGTCGTCCACCTCATCCATACCGTCATCGTCATCGTCGTCGTCATCGTTGCCGTCTACCGTCAACTGGCCAGCGGTTGCTTGAAGAGCGAGAATGAAGTTGGCATTGATTCCAGTCAAGCGGGACCGGAGGTCTAGCCGTTGATCATCCTCCTCTTCATCATCGATAACACCCAAGGTATGCGTTGCCAAGCTACCTTGTCTCCATGGTTTCATGACCTCTTCACACACTGTCCGTCTTAATATGTGATTATCACTACCAACACTGCAGCCTGAGATATCGCTGAGCCACTCAACCAAAGTACCGCACATTTGTTCACGGAATGTGTCGCGGGCCGAGCGAATAGTCATTGTTACTCGGATGGCTTCCATGACTTTTGACATTTGGAGTAATTTGTCAATTTCAGTGTGGTATGTCAAGATACTTCGGCCGACTGCATCAGTTTCCAATGCGTCCTTTGCGGCCTGTCTCAATGTTTTTCGGCAAGCTCTAGCAACTTGGTCTTCAACGTCTTGAACAGTATGCTTTTCATCATTCCACAGAACCAAGGCAAAGTCTTGACACGGCTCGGCAGTAGTTCCGTAATATGTGGAAGATAGGCGAGAGGATTCTTCGTCCTTGAGAATGGAAGCTTTTGTTTTAGCTTGACGGAGCTGTTCAGGGGAGCAGGAGATTACATCGCAAATGTAATCAAATACCCTCCCAATAGTCATTTGAATACTTGTTTTCAGGTCGTCAGCTAATACATTAGGCTCTTTTCCCTTGCCCTTGTTTGGGCCATTCTGTACGTCGGAGTGAATGGTGCAAAATAGTGGTGTCTTCCAAGCTTCGTCATCGCCACAGTCGCAGCAGCCGGTGTTGCCAAAGGAAATCGAAATCCTGACGATATGGCCGGTGTGATCTGTGGAGTCGAAGCAGCGGCTGCAAAGACAGCAGGTGTCATCCGTCCCGCATGTTCGACACATGTAGGACGCCTCGCCCGCCTTAAAGATATGCCCACACCGTTTGCCTCTGGCCGCCTCGGTATATTCAGCACCCTCAACAGCGCCTTGCGCATCGCTAAGCTTCATTGTGGCTGGGGGTTTGCCTTCTGGGAATAGCAAGCGCATATTGCCATCCTTACCACCAGCCAGAGACCAGAAGAGGCTGTTGAGAAGCTCATTTGCTGCTTCTTTCGAATATCGGTAGTTGAAGCGAGCCGGCAGGTCAGCCAGAAGCTGGCAGAGCTGCCGCTCTTGTGTGGATAAATATTCCGTCATTCTACAAGCCCATACTTATATTGCTTAGTTTGGCAGGGTGTGTATAGTCGATGGTAGATCGTCAACGAAGGTGTGGTCGCACGGTCGACTCGAGGGTTGGAGTGCGGGTTCAGACCGCTCGTGCGCACGCAGTTGAGAGCGTGTGTGAATTAATCCTGTAGAGAACTGGCCTGATAACGGAAACTGATTCGGGAGAATTAATAGCGTAAATGGAACCGAACGTGCCGAGATTGATTGCGCTGAATAGCAACACAAAAATAATAGAAGCTGCAGATGTTGTGTGATGCAAGTTCGCCCCTCTGCTGAAGCTGGCGCCTGCCAGACGAACCCCAAAAGTCTACGTCAGTCACAGCGGGTGCATGAGCCTAAAGCGGCGACAGCCACCACGGCAATGCTTCGAAACACACGAGGCTCGCAATAACAGAGCATAATTTAATTAAATAGGAGTAGGGACGTGACGAAAAATCATTTGATTTGTCCTTGTGATGCAATTGGGATTTCCAGACTGCACTGCACCCGTATCTGTAGTGTTCAAGTCAAAGAGTACCAGCAATTGGAACAAAAGAAAATGGGGTTGCCCCGTCTATTGGCGAGATCAATATAGTTTTGTACAGTACTGGAACGCTATTTTCCGAATTCTAAGGTTTTCCATCGTTATCCGGTCCTTTATTCATCCTCCTCGGCCTCCTCGACGTACTTGTGGCGGATGTCCTTCCATTGGCGCTGTTGTCAGGGTTAGCTACGACGGTCTGATTCCGAACACAGAGTCAATACTCACGCCACGGTTGTTGTTATCCCAGATTTTGTTCATGGTAGAGTTGAAGCCCCTGCAAAACACATGTTAGCCTCCATAGTTGTCTAAATCGAGTCGGGGGTTCCTCTGGGTCTAGTACGCACATCTCGAACGCGAAACCAGTAGCGAAAACGGCCGTCAACATGGTAAAGTTGTTGCGGAAAACAGTGCTACACGATAAATTGTTAGATTGATCGTTCGGGAAACGGTCGGTCGGCATCGATGTCGTAGAAACTTGCCTGTAGATGGTGTTGGCGAGAGACTGTTTCGTTGCGCGATTAGCCAAGGTTCCGCCGGAGCCGATGCGATGCATTGGAAACATACCATGATGAATAATTAGGTGTAATAAAGTGCTTTTTTGCAATTTAATTCACGCAATTGGCGGTCGCTGGAGGGAATTGAAGAAGACGTGGTGATCAAAGACGGAGCGAAGGTGAGTAGTCGGCGAAAGGGAAATTCAGGAAGTGTCTGCGTCCGGATTATGAGCTCTCTGATTGGCTGAGCTGGGTAAGCCTCGGGTTCCACCGTTTCCCAGTAGGTGCCAAACAGCCATGTATATAAAATGGTAGACTACTCACGCTGTTGATTTCTAGCGACCCTGAATATATCTCTGCAAGTAAAAAATGAGTATTAGAATTGTTTCAGAATATTTATATAATTATTCCCGGGTATTCTTAGCACGCGACTTCCACCGTCAACCGTAGTTCTATGGCTGATGCTCAACGCCCAGGCAGGTGTAATATCGGCCAGTGAAAGGGATAAATAGAATTCTTTTTTTTTTTGGAATACACATTCTCAATTAAAACTTCTTACATCAGTTTGTTTACTATCAGGGTGCCCATCCCTGCGCGAATGTCATGAGTTCCTTCGTGGTGGGGCACGCCAGAAACCGGCAGCGACCCCACGATGCGCCGCTATTCGTCGCGAAAAAAACACACCATGACATAGAATCCGTAGATCCTTTTCCAGTTTTTGCTGTTTTGTATTGGATAGACTGAATTTCTCTACTGGCATAAGAATATATTCCAGCAATAGCCTGACGAAATACGGTCACATACTCGCTGACAACCTGTTACGAACACATCCAGGCCACTGTCACGGCTACAGCGTTGAAGCAGTCTCCCAGCATGGCGCCCTCAGTTTCTAACGCTGGTATTACGACAGATGAAACCAGTGGTGAACGACATATCCCATCATCAACTAGAGCTGACGGAAGCACACGAAAGGCCATCAGAGTTCGCCCTGGCTACAGACCACCAGAAGATGTCGAATTATATAGAGCCCGTAATGCGGTAGCTCGGCGCGAGCGAAATAGAGAAGCTGGTGTTCCTGGTGCTTCAACGATATCAACGATACCCCCACCTACTAGCAGCCGACCAATTCCAAGAGAATCCACCCCAAAGCAATCTGGCGCGCAGTCAGCAAACTGGCGACAACGGACTGATCGCACCGAGCCTACAAAGCAGATAGGAGTTGACAAGGACGCCAAAACACCAGCTAAAGGGGATACTCCCAAAACTCTGGATACCAAGTCAGATACCAAGGAAACTGTTACAGAAGTTACTAAGGATCCTGTGGTGGATCCCGAGGTTGAACGTGAGAAGAAGGCAAGAAACCTGAAGAAGAAGCTCAAGCAGGCAAAGGAGCTGCAGACAAAGAAGGAGAATGGCGAAGGCCTGCTACCGGAGCAGATCGCCAAAGTTATTAAGATTAATGAGCTGGTACGGGAGCTCAGTCTACTTGGATTTAGCGAGGGTGATACTGCCCCCCCAAAGGATGAAGGCACCAACAAACCCGAGACGAAATAAACACCACTCTGCTTACCGTTCTGACAGAAGAACATTATGACTTTGTTTTTAATTTGAGTGTTAATTGGAGTCCTGGAGCAGGGGTTCTCTTATGCTATTTTAAATAATAGTTGTTTTACATCTTTCTATCATAACCATGCCTTCCTGATTGCTGGAGCGAGTCTCTGTATGGTTCAAAATTGGGTAGAAGCAGGGCAGTTCGATCCGACGATAGATTTGGCAGTAGTGTGGAATCAGTGGTTTCTGATCAACCCGAATTTCCAATTAATGGCTTAAATTTTGGGGGAAGCAGCCTTTTGCACACCGGCCAGGGAGACCGGCTTGGCCGTTGTGTAGTTGGGGATATCGCCAAATACCGCCGTGGCACTCGGGCCGGAGGCGGCGGCCTTGTATGAATCAAGGCTATCCCATTTGAGGGTAGCCTGGACCTGATAGGGAGCATCCTCTGGGAATTGGAGGATTTCCCAGCTCTGTAGTCCCAGAGAACCCCAATTCCTGTGTTCCTAATTAGCCGGATTCATGTACTAGCGATGACGTCTTCGCGTACTCTTGGACGATCTTCATGTGCTTGCTCAGGTAGTAGTCCATGTCGAACTTGTGACCCGAGGGGTAAAGAAGAGTAACAGTAGTCATTTTGAGGTTGGTGTGGGATTGATGCTTTACGAATCTTGATTGTGTGGATGGAGAAGGAGGAATCTCGTGTTTAAAGCGAGTTGATGCGGACTTTGTTAATATCGCCGTTCCCCGCGCGGGGACCTCGTTGGCTTATAGGCGCTTCCATCTGCCTGCATGCTTATCTTTACTATTGTGCTATCAGCCACATTACGGTATTAAGACTTACTTACACTGCAATGGCAACATACCCATGCATTTTAAATTATTAATGCGCAGTTTGTGTTTATGCATGCTTTTTGACAGGACCGTCTACAACACCAGTCATTGGTTCAATTGTTACGCTGTAGGAACTTTTGACACACTCCCAGTCTAGAAAATACGGTATATATTGCGTCTTAAAGATATGTAAACTGGATGATAGGAATATAAAATATTTTTTCAAATCATTTGCATCCGATCTACCACCTGTCACGTCCACTGCGTGTAAGTAGAGTACCCTACAGCCGCCACCCAAGTTAGCCCGACCTTCTGCCGTGGACAGCTATGTGGCCCACAACCTCAAGGCTCCAGCCAGGTGAGGTAAGCTCTCGCGCACGACGTGCGACGCCCTCACATCAGCGGTAACCTGTGTCGCCATCCGCTGCAGGCAATTACCACCAGCAGCTGCCGACGATACAAATACACATCAGCACATTACAACTGGCTGTAAATAGTCAAGAATAACCAACGAACGAATCTTACACCACCTCGCCACCCGCAAGTTCAATACCCACGCACACGCACAACCATGTCACCAGAGGAGGAGCGCCAGGAAGCCCTCAACAGGTACCGGGCGAAGCTCATCGAGTCCCGCGAATGGGAAGCGAAGCTCAAGAACCTGCGTCTCGAGATTAAGGGTCTCCAGAAAGAATATGACCGCACGGAAGAAAACATCAAAGCCCTGCAGAGCGTTGGCCAAATCATTGGCGAAGTTCTGAAGCAGCTCGATGAAGAGAGATGTAAGGATGGATTAAGGAGCAGCCCACTCAAAGACGATGAAATGCTAACATTGGGTAATTTAGTCATCGTAAAGGCCTCTTCTGGCCCCAGATATGTCGTTGGATGCCGATCGAAAGTTGACAAAGCCAAACTGAAGCAGGGAACGCGTGTGGCGCTCGACATGACAACGTTGACAATTATGCGCATGCTCCCCAGAGAAGTCGACCCATTGGTCTACAACATGTCATTGGAGGACCCGGGACAAGTCAGCTTTGCTGGTATTGGTGGTCTGAATGACCAGATCAGAGAACTCCGAGAAGTCATTGAACTGCCTCTTAAGAACCCAGAACTCTTCTTGAGAGTTGGCATTAAGCCGCCCAAGGGTGTCTTGCTGTATGGACCTCCAGGAACAGGTAAAACACTGCTTGCCAGAGCAGTTGCTTCTAGCTTGGAAACCAACTTCCTGAAAGGTAAGCGAATCTGTCTGTCTTTCGGTGGCCACACACATCTAACATTTATTGTCTACAGTCGTATCTTCCGCAATTGTCGACAAATACATTGGCGAGTCGGCGAGATTGATCCGCGAAATGTTTGGCTATGCCAAAGAACACGAACCCTGCATTATCTTCATGGACGAAATTGATGCCATTGGTGGCCGTCGTTTCTCTGAGGGTACCAGTGCCGACAGAGAAATTCAGAGAACATTGATGGAGCTGCTGAACCAATTGGATGGTTTCGACTACCTTGGCAAGACAAAGATTATCATGGCCACCAACAGACCGGACACCCTGGATCCCGCCTTGCTGAGAGCAGGAAGACTGGACCGTAAGATTGAGATTCCTCTGCCTAACGAGGTTGGCAGACTTGAAATTCTCAAGATTCACGCGTCAAGCGTAGTTTTGGACGGCGAGGTAGACTTTGAGAGTGTCGTAAAGATGAGCGATGGTCTCAACGGCGCCGATTTGCGCAACGTTGTTACAGAGGCGTAAGTGAAAGCGCACCACGAAACGGATGGACTACTACTGACATTGCTGGGTTTTACAGTGGCTTATTTGCGATTAAAGATTACCGAGAATCCATCAACCAGGACGATTTCAACAAGGCTGTTCGTAAACTTGCCGAGGCAAAGAAGCTCGAAGGCAAGCTCGAGTACCAGAAGCTTTAAAAAAAAAGAGAAAGCCTACGTACGAAAGACGACGACCTAGTTGTGTATAGCTACGGAAAAGGGACAGGGCTCACTGGGCAAGCTTGTACAACTATCCCGCACCGTAGAATGAATAGACTATTTCATGCCCCCAAAGCTCATTTAACCATGTGATGACGGAGACTTGTTCGTAGACCATAGGCTGCGGTGTAACAGGTAATGCGATTTTTGAGAGTGAGGAAGGCTATCTCTGGCACTTCCTTGCAGCCTCGAAATGACAACTCATGCACAGCGCCTGAGCACCAGGGACATATGTCCTAATGCGGGAGAAGCAGCACGACGCCAAGGCTGAGCTTAACGAGAGAGGTGGCCAAATTATTTCTTGCAGCGTCAGGCCATGTGGTGTTTAGCAGTGTAGCCAAGAGAAGAGCGCGAGAGCGAAGACTTGGAGAATGACGTAGTCACTCTGCGATTTGCAAGACCTCGTATCGAATAACGGGGCATAATTAGTTGCGGCCGTACGATTCACTGGAGAGTACGAAAATAGGAGAGAAGAATGACAGGCATTCTCCGAATATCCCTAGAAAAGCCAAATGCGGCCGGCCCAATGACGGCAGTGGTGAATTTCGGAAGGATAAGCCGCCGTCGATGCGCAGCAGCATCAGCATCTATTCTTGGAAACAAGTTGTGAGGGGCAGCGAGGCTGTGCCCTGTACCTGGCAGCTGGCCAGGAACGGAAGCGTTCCGAGGCTGAGGCCATCTTGAGATTGGCCACTGCGATTTTTCGGTAGAAGGAATTGTTTGAAATTGGGGGGCACATACGAGCAATTTGGGGGAGGTATTTTAGACATGCAAACGTGTTTGTCGAACAAATGCAGCCCTGGCTTGTAGTGTGCAAACGGGTTCTATTACGCACAAACAGGTGGTAGTGCTACCACTGTACAGTGCCTTACTGCACTACTGTACACTGCGCTGCAAGTTACCTGCATGCACTGTATGAGACACTGCACCGGGCTAGTAAAATTAGGCGAAAAAAAAAGGGTCGAGCGTGACAATGCCGAAAGGCGTCTTGGCCTGCCCGCTATAATGCGACTATAGAGCATTCTGTTGGTCGGGGGACATGCAGCCTCTCCAGCTACGACCTCAACCGTTGCCATGACGAAGGTTTAGCCTTGAAACGCGACCGCCACACAATCGTGCAGAGCGAAAACGTGCCCCTCTCCCCGCCGCAAGGGACCACTAAAAAAGACGAGACAGCATAGCAGCCGCTGCTGACACGGAGCAAATACGGGCTTTCAGTGGAAGGGAGGGAACGGCAAGGGGGCGGTGTGCTGCGAATAGGAAAGGCTGCCCTTGTTCTGGCATTGCCAGCCCATGCCCAGCCACCGCCATGCGCTGTCGCTACAGAAGGCTGCCCAAGGCTGGCCAGTGTCGTAGAACGTGCTGGCTGGGGATAATGGTCTGTTCTCGCCAGCTATCACTTTTTGTACAGAAGTGGGAATTATTTTCAACAAGGCAGACCATTTGTCAGATGGTTAGCCTCTTTATCCAAACAAAAGGAAAATCACGCGCTACACGACATGCTGCAGCTGCCCAGTGGTCCGGCCAGCCCGTATAAAAAAAAAAACTTGACAGCGACGCCTAGCGTCTGCGAGTGCCGCTGTAAGGCCACCTTTTCGGCAGCCATTACAGCAGGCAGATCGACGCTTGTTCGTCGCCACCAGGGCCTTTCTGGCACCTCCAAGAGCCCGCTAGGGCCCAGGCGATCGCTCATGCCCGGGGGCCCGCCCCACCCCGCCTGGCGCTGTGTTTGGGTGCGCTGAGCCCCCCTCTGCCGTAAGGGCGGCCCCTGTCGGAAAGCCAAAAAGTCGCTGCTGTTGCGAGAGGAAGCGAGCGAGATTTACGACATGGCGGTGCACCAGCAGCCCAGTCGTGTTGCGAGGCTGCTAGTCTGGGCTGCTGGTGCTGTTGCTGTGGTTGTAGTACTAGTAGTATTAAGAGTAGTCGAGGCTTGTCTTGAGCTCTTTTTTTTCTCTTCGTCCTTGCATCTGCTTGCTTCCAGCTTATATGCACATGTATGTACTTTACCCGGAATCTCGTAGTTCTAGTGCTCGTTATCGATTCGAGACCGCCAGCTATCGGCCCTCTAGCACTCCCTCGCCCCCCCTGCCCCTCCTGGCTTGGGGCCTCGCACCCCCCCAAACCCTGCTCGTAGGCGGCTAGCGCCAGGTCCCCACCTTGACAAGTACCCCAAAAAAAGAGCTGGCAGCTGTGAACCTGCGCTGCGGACACGCCGCCAATACAAAAGCTTCACTCGCCCTCGTCTCCCAGCACCCAGACTCCCTTGCTCCTCTCGCACTGTTGTCCATTCACTATTGCTGTGTTTGCTTCAGCTTTATCAACGCATTTCCACCATCCATTCTCATTAATACCATCTCTTCCACTTCCTCTACTATCCTCCTTTGCTCTAGACGCTACTACTGCAGTTCCCCCTCCAACCTGCACCGTCGTCCCCCCGCCTCTCTCTAGCCGCATCATCATCACCGCCTTTCAATCTTCACACCAACAACCGTCATCATGTGGTAAGTTTTTAGTCGATTTGAGCCGCGTCACGCTATTCTTTGTGCGGTCTTGTGTTTGCACATGGATTCTTGTCCTCTGCTGCTGCTCCTGCTGCTCTCTTCGCCTCTGGCCCTGCCCATGAAACGTACAGCTCGCTAATCTCTCGTTACCCCTCCCACTAGTGGAATTTTCGGATACATCAACTACCTCGTCGAGAAGGACCGCAAATTCATCTTGGACACCCTCATCAATGGTATGTTCCCTATGTCAACCAGAATCCTTCACCCTAAATAAACTCTTTGCTAACATCCAATTGTCAGGTCTGTCGCGTCTCGAGTACCGTGGATACGACTCGGCTGGTCTCGCTGTCGATGGCGACAAGAAGAATGAAGTCCTTGCCTTCAAGGAGGTAGGCAAGGTCGCTAAGCTCAAGGCTCTCATCGACGGCAGCAACCTCGACCTCGAAAAGATCTTCGACTCACACGCTGGCATTGCCCACACCCGTTGGGCTACTCACGGTCCCCCTTCCACCGTCAACTGCCACCCCCACCGGTTAGTCTTCGTTTTTGTTGATTGCGAGCCAATGTTTCGTTTACTAACATCCGAATTTTTAGCTCTGACCCTAACTGGGAATTCTCCATTGTCCACAATGGTATCATCACAAACTACAAGGAGCTCAAGACCTTGCTCGCCAGCAAGGGCTTCAAGTTCGAGACCGAGACTGATACTGAGTGCATTGCCAAGCTCACCAAGTACATCTACGACCAGGATCCCTCCATTGGCTTCACTGAGCTTGCCAAGGCTGTTATCCAGGAGCTTGAGGGTGCCTACGGTCTCCTCATCAAGTCTGTTCACTACCCCCACGAGGTCATTGCCGCCCGTAAGGGTTCTCCCCTCGTCATTGGTGTCAAGACCCAGCGCCGCATGAAGGTTGACTTTGTCGACGTCGAGTTCGCCGACGAGAACTCTGCCCTCCCTGCCGAGGCTGCCTCCCAGAACGTTGCTCTCAAGAAGAACGCGTCCAACTTCCTCGCCCCCAACAACGGCCTCCTCGGTGCCGCTGACAAGTCGCTCCTCCACCGCTCTCAGTCTCGCGCCTTTATGACCGACGATGGCATGCCCATGCCCACCGAGTTCTTCCTCTCCTCCGACCCCTCCGCCATTGTTGAGCACACCAAGAAGGTCCTCTACCTCGAGGACGACGATATTGCCCACATCCACGAGGGTTCGCTCAACATTCACCGTCTCAAGAAGGTTGATGGTACTTCGAACGTCCGTGCCATTCAGACCCTTGAGCTTGAGCTCCAGGAGATCATGAAGGGCAAGTTCGAACACTTCATGCAAAAGGAGATTTTCGAGCAGCCTGAGTCTGTTGTCAACACCATGCGTGGTCGTCTCGACAACGGCAACAAGACTGTCACTCTTGGTGGTCTTCGCACATATCTGCCTACCATCCGCCGCTGCCGCAGAATCATTTTCATCGCTTGCGGTACCTCCTACCACTCTTGCATGGCTGTCCGTGGTATCTTTGAGGAGCTGGCTGAGATCCCTATTGCGGTCGAACTTGCTTCTGATTTCCTTGATCGCGAGGCCCCCGTCTTCCGTGACGATACCTGCATCTTCGTTTCACAGTCTGGTGAGACTGCTGACTCCCTCATGGCCCTCCGCTACTGCTTGGAGCGCGGAGCCCTGACCGTCGGTATTGTCAACGTTGTTGGCTCTTCCATCTCCATGTTGACCCACTGTGGTGTTCACGTCAACGCCGGTCCTGAAATCGGTGTCGCCTCCACCAAGGCATACACTTCTCAGTTCATTGCCATGGTCATGTTTGCCCTGTCTCTTAGCGAGGACCGTGCTTCCAAGAAGGAGCGCCGTGAGGAGATCATGGCCGGTCTCGATGCCATCTCTGGCCAGATCAAGGCTATCCTCGAGCTTGACCAGCCCATCAAGGAACTCTGCCAGAAGGTCTTCCAGAATCAGAAGTCTCTTCTGCTCCTCGGCCGTGGTAGCCAGTTCTCCACCGCCCTTGAGGGTGCTCTTAAGATCAAGGAAATTTCCTACCTTCACTGCGAGGCTGTCATGTCTGGTGAGCTGAAACACGGTGTCCTTGCCCTCGTTGACGAGAACTTGCCCATCATCATGATTCTTACTCGTGACAACATTTTCACCAAGTCTCTCAACGCCTACCAGCAGGTCATTGCTCGTGGTGGCAAGCCCATTGTCATCTGCAACCCTGATGACGAGGAATTCAAGTCGTCTGATGCCATGAAGATTGAGATCCCCAAGACTGTCGATTGTCTTCAGGGTCTCCTCAACGTCATTCCCCTGCAGCTCATTGCCTACTGGCTTGCTGTCCTCGAGGGTCTTAATGTTGATTTCCCCCGTAACTTGGCCAAGTCTGTCACTGTCGAGTAAGCACTGTCATTTTGCGCGAACAACAGACCTGTGCATACACTATAAAAAAGGGGCAATGATGTAACTATTGGATGGATATACTAGTGGTGAAGGAGTGCGTGACTTTTGGTTTTTCTTGGCTATTTCCTTTGTATTGCGATTGTCAGCCTTGCTCTTTTTATATTTTAATGGCGTGTTTAGTGACGGTGGCATTTGGCACCGGCATTAACATGTGTACATTGGTTTATAGGGCCATTAGATGTTAGATGATTATGAAAGATGAATTTCTATCAAGCTACGACAAGCATTGTATGTGAATGTTAAATGCGGTGGTGTAGGCAGAAGATAAATGTAATAGTTTATTGTTACAACTAGTTGTGGGTTTGCGTCTATCAAAACTGCTTCGTATCACATCCTAGGCTGTATCCTTTTCTCAACCGTTTATTTCAGTTTTTTATTTCTTTAAACGGTTTGTGTGCCGTATCCCTTGATTCTATCGGCAAAAGCCCAGCTCTGGTTCTCCAACTTGAGGTCTTCCTCCAGCTTAACGCCCTCCTTGGTAACAATGGCCATGGAGTAGGAGTCCAGACTGCGAGCATCACGGTAAAAGAGTACCTTCATGCATTCCTTGATAATCTTGACGGCCTCCTCCTCGGTAAGCTTCAGCGCAGACTCCTCATCAGGCGCATACTTGCGCATAACGGGCTGGGCAAGCATGGCACCGAAGCCGGTAGCCAGACTGGGAGATGAGTAGGTGCTGCCGAGGAGATCGGTAGCAGCCAAGAAGGGCTTGTCGTCGTCATCGAGACCAGCAATGAGCAGGTGGTTCCAGAGGGGGTCGAACTTGGAACGGCGGTTGTACATGAGTTTCGAGAGGTAGCGGTGGAGGTTGGCGGCGCAGAGGCGAGCCTTGTCGGGCGAAGAGTAGTTCTCGTCGAGCGTTAGGTCTGTGAGGTGGCGGTTGAGGTACTGCATGTCGGAGATGTCACCACTGAAGCCGACAACGGAAGTGTCCTGGAAGTTGCGCAGACGCTTGACGTCGGTGAAGCGGGCAAGGGAACCGTATGAGGCTGACAAGGCAAGCACGTTAGCACACAATACGTATTAAATCCGAGACGAATGTGAGAACGTACCTAGGTTATCGGCGGCAATGATAACGCCGTCCTTGAACTTGAGGCCAATGACGGAGGTACCTGTGACGATGGGCTGCTGGGTGTTTTGCTTGGGACCATTGTCCTGCATGTACGAGGCATCGTAGGCGCCGTAGACGTCGTCTCTGGGCTATAAGAAGGAACAGAAGTTAGATATAAAGGAACTGATAGCTAACAACGGGGCAGAGAAGGGTGTTACGCACTCTACCCCAAGCTACTGGACGGTGATCCATGATGGCTGCTTTTGATATGAAGGAACGGGGACGGGCGGGCGGCGGTCTAGTTGGTACGGGGCGAAAGTAAGAAAGGAGTATTTATCGTGGCCGCAGTGCGTTGGATGCAATTGACTGAACGTTGGCGCAGCAGGCGGGCGATGGGATGCGGCGATGGAGATGCTGATGCTGTCGTGGATATTACCAGCTGTCGTTGAGTGTTCGCGTCCCACTGGAGCCTGTCTGGCCTGGCAGTAGGCCACAGCGCTCAGTGACGAAGCTCTGGCTGGCTGGAGCGGAGGGCCATGTTAGGTAAGCACACTGTGATTGGCCGAAGCTGGAGGGGAGCTATCTGGTGTAGCGGATACATTGCAGCTCCACTGTTGGCACAGCTATGGGCTGTGTACCAGCTACACTCCCCACCAGCCTATACCTCTGCCCGCCTCACTGGTTTGCGGCTGCTTTCAGGTACCAGCTCCCTGGAACAAAGGCCTACCGCGGACATGCGACACCGCGTTCGATCAGGAGCCCACTTTTTCCCCTTCCTGGTCGCCCTCTGTAGCTGCTCCCCAGCCTTCGTCATTTCCGCGCCGCCCTCGTCTGAATGCAAGTGTCGAGCTTTCTTGCTTCATCTTACTTTTCATCGTCTATTGATTTCAACGGTCGCCTCGAACTACACCTACGCCTACATAAATTTGCGCCATTAACGAGATTGTAATCGGTCACGCTACAACTTTGTCACCACTAGCCGCATAGCTCCATCTGGACTGATACGCGAAGCTACACGAACAGCAGCTATTCAGCGCCCCCTCCCTCGTTACATCAACCACCACCGCAACTCACATCCATCATGTTCACATCTGCCGGTAGATCTCTGGCGCTGCGAGCCTTGAGCTCTGCTGCTCCTTCCACAGCCGCTAGAATTGCGCCCGTCACACTGCGCGCGCTGCCTATCCGCACCGCCCCCGTCTCGCGCAGCTTCACCGTCTCATCCTGGAACCAATCGACTGCCACCGAGGGCGAGAAGAAGAAGAAGAAGAAGAAGCCTGCCGCCAAGAAGAAGAAGGCTGCGCCCAAGAAGAAGAAAGTTGCCAAGAAGCCTCTGACCCCCGAGCAGAAGGAGAAGAATGAGATTCGCGATCTCAAGACACGCGCGCTCCTCAACGGCCCTTCGCTGCTCCCCGAGACGTCGTGGGCTGTCTACCTGGCTGAGAACCCGGCCTCTGGCGAGTCCACACTTGTGGAAAAGGTCAAGCAACTTTCTTCCTCTTTCAAGACCATTTCCGATCTGGAGCTCAACGTAAGCATTGACACCTTGCCATTTACCATATATGATGAGTTACTGACACGTGAGCCACACTATAGCGCTTGAAGAACATTGCCGCTTCCAACAAGGACGCTAACCAGGACACCCGTCGCGACTGGGTCGAATCATTCCCGCCTGAGGTTATCTACACCGCCAACTTGGCCCGTCGCCGCCTCGCGAAGAAGCTTGACAAGTCCCGCGTCTACGTCATTCACGATGAGCGCCTGCCCAAGCGCACCGGTAACGCCTACACTGCATTCGTCAAGTCCCGCTACTCCAACAGCGGAGGCAGCCCTACCGAGAACTTCAAGGCCGTTGCCCAGGAGTGGAAGGATCTCAGCGAGCACGAGAAGTCCCAGTACAAGGACGCTGCCGCCACCAGCTCCGCAGAGATTGGCGCCGCCATGAAGGAGCTCCGCGTCAAGGGTGAAGCCTACTGGAAGGCAAAGAAGGCCGAGGCTAAGGCTGCCAAGAAGTCGTCTTGAATATGAAACAGTGGCTGACGACTTCCCACGCATGATACGACTACGTAAAACACTGAAAACAATTCTTTAAAAAAAACATGACCGCGAGGTTTAGCTGTAGCGGCAAAACGCATCGTAGCAAAAAAGAGCTGTAAGTGAGCGTGAGCCGCTATAGCGAGGAATGCATATACTTTGCGTTGGCATATTCTCACATCTCTCTTCTTACTTGATACTATAGTTTCCTTTGTCATCTGTCACTGGAGGAGTATTGGGCCTTCTTCTACTTGCCTAGGTTCTTTGTTTCTCCTTTGGGATGCGGGTTAGGCGGAGAGAAAATCCATGTACACTAGCGCAGTTTTTGTTTGCGGGTTTGAAATGATTACTTCTTTTTAATATGCTTGTCATTACCAATTGCCTTCGTGTCCTTATAAAGCACCCTTCTGATATTCCGTCGTAAAATGCCTACCGTGTTGTATACCAGTTCCCAATACTTAGACACCCCCAAACTCCATAAATCAATCAATGTTCCCATGCATTTACTGTTCCCACCCAACAGGCTGTACTGTAATCAGCACTTCTCCATCAGCTCCATACCAGCTTGCACCTCTGGTTTTTATGTGTCGGCCACTGGCAAGATAGGCAAGCAAGTACGTATGCTTTGCCACGTGTGCCCAGCTGTATATCCGTAGCCAATCACCCGACACGCTGCCCCTTCTACACCACACGCCCCAGCCAGCGAGTCCGCCTTGGATGTAATTGGAAAGGAAGCTCCAAGCTTCGTCCTGCACGTGTGGCGGCCACGAGGAGCAATCCACCAGCCAGTACCCTCGATCAAAAGGTTGTATAGACTGACTCCCATACACAGGCTTATATCGGGAGGACAAATCTGAAGCCAACTTTTCAAGCTTTGGAGGAATAAGCGAATGTGGTTCCAGGATCTGAACCGACACTGGAGGCGATGGAGGCCGGATGGCGAGCGTGAACGATGTTGAAGGTGAAGACTCCCCACTATGAGGCAACACAGAATCACTAGAACTTCGTATCACCGTGGGAGTGTCGGAGCCAAGATACTTTAGACGCTTCGAGGCCATAGGCTCAGACTCAGAGCGGACGTGTGCGGGCCGTCGAGCCGAGATTGGTATAGGTTGGGCGAGGGGCGGCGTCGATGATATAGAGTCATTGTCGATGCTGCTTGATATATGTGTGACTTCTATTCTGGACGTATCTGGGTCGGTATCTGGAGCTGGACGCTTTTTCGAAACGGCTTGCTGCGCTAGAGGTGTTCCTGGGATGCAGCCTTGCAGTAGCTGCATACGAGTAGACTGCATTGCCTGCACGCTTTCTATGCGAGACTGCGGCAACGTAGGCGGTGCTGATTCGCGGGTTCGTCGTGTTGGGGAGGGAGTTGGTGGCGATGAATCGTCTGAGATGATGCTTGCGCTAATATATCGTCGTAAGACCTTGGTTGGAGAAACGCGGACAACACCTTTGTTTGGAGATGTATAAGAGTCTCCAATCTCGCTGGGGGGAGTTGCATGGTTTTGTACCGGGACAGACTGCGGATGCGTGTCCGTATCTGGCTGGGAGCCTATCAGTCGTACAAGAGGCGATGAATGGTTTCCAAATGCACCGGTGAAGCTGAGTTCTTGGGAATCGCGACACAGGGCTTCCACAGGCGGGGAGACTTGTGACACGCCATCCTGGCTGGCTGTGTTGTCCTGTGTGTGATTCAAAGGTAACTTGGTGGAAGAGATGTGCTGTCTGTTCTTTGGTTTGAAGGACAGATAGGACTGGGCGAGCTGTCTGTAGTATGTGTCGTCTGATGATTTGCTTGGTGCGGCGACGTGCACAAGGATCTCGACCTGCGAGGACGAGCTCATGCTTGGAAGGGTGTAAAAGGAATAGAGAGGAGGAGTACCATGTTAGGGAACCAGAGGGTATTTTGTAGAGTGGAAGCTAAAACTTTCACTCTGTCACGCTGATAGAGTTGTGTAAGTTATGCTGAATGCTGACTTTCTCGTGACTGCAGGCTGTGTCTGAGAGCGATTGCAGTGTCCTTCTTATATCCCCATCTGCTGGGGTCAGACAGAAGGAAACCGACAGGCCAGCAATCAATGCAGCAGCAGGCAGCTTCCGCGGCAAGGCGAATTCCTCTGGTGCTGTTTGCAGCTTGGACCGTGTTTCGTGAACTCGTGACGCTAAGTTGGCTTGTGTGGAGTCGCTGGGGTTCGCAGCCTGCAGGCGCTGGCGTGGAGCGCTGTGGCCGCTGGAACAGGCAACCAAGACGGTCTCTCATTGCGGTGGACGGAGCGCCATTTTGCCCAGCATCCCACGCAAAGATAAGAAAAGACGAAGTCTGCTGCAGTCTCCCAACAACAAAGAAACACTGTAATTGAGAAGGACGGTATCCGAATTTCTTTGACATACAGTCATCAGCCGCCTACTCAACATGGACGAGGTCATTGCTCTTCTTGAGCATCACAAGCGTCCTGAGCTGACCAAGGCTGTCATTCCAGTGTTGCTCGACAGCCTCGTCTACATTTCCAAAGCGCTTCGCCAATCGCAGACAATTTCTCTGACAGGCGGAGCAAACTCATTTGGAGATGGTCAGCTCAACGTCGACATCTCGGCGGAGAATCTAATCCGTGAGGCACTGGCCCTGTGCCCTGCCGTGGCTACAGCGACCAGCGAAGAAGATCCCGTTGAGAAGCCGTCTGAATCTGGGAGCACAGCCGAGTCCAGAAAGGCATCTGGCGAAGAATACACGGTTGCATTCGATCCTCTCGACGGAAGCTCCATTATTGGCGCCAATTGGTCTGTCGGCACCATCATTGGCATCTGGGACGGCAGCTCTGCCTTGAACCAGTCTCCCAAGGATAAACAAGTTGCGTCTATTCTCGGTGTTCTTGGACCCAGAACAACAGCTATTGTTTCTGTACGAACACCTGAATCATCAGAAACGTCGTGCATTGAAGTCGGCCTAGCAGACGACTCCAGCATCCAGATCATCCGCCCACAAGTGCGTCTCTTGGCAAGCGACAGCATCAAGACGCGGTATTTTGCGCCCGCCAACTTGCGTGCCACGGGAGATAGCAGTGAATACTTGGATCTGGTTACAGGATATGCCTCGAAAAAGTATACGTTGAGATATAGCGGCGGTCTTGTCCCTGATGTCATCCACGCTCTGAGTAAAGGCCACGGCATTTACACATCGCCCGTCACCGAGGCAAGCCCTGCCAAGCTGCGACGCCTCTATGAGCTGTGCCCCATTGCATTGACTCTTGAATGCGCTGGTGGAAAGGCTGTTGACCCGGTCTCTGGTGATGACATTCTGTTCAAGCCCATTGCAGGCTGCGACGAACGAGGTGGACTTATCTGCGGTACAACCGAAGAAGTAGACTTTGCAGCAAGCAAGCTGGTTAAACCGCGCACTTAAAAGTAAAAAATAATGATACATCAATTTATAATAATTTATTTCCAAATAAAACACTCGTTCTAAATCTCTCCTCTTACACCGTTGCGGGTGGCTTCTGCAACGGTGGTGGGGCTTCTTCAAAAAAGTCCCCAAACCTCCTTAACTTAAACATCTCCATCTCCTCCCCCATTAACGCATCTCGTCCTCCCCTCCCGCCAACACCACCAACGGGTTTTCTACACACACACATACACAGCAATGGCTCCCGAAAAGAAGAGAGGCACCATCGGCAAAGTCCTCATCGTCGGAGGCAACGGCTTCCTCGGCCACCACATCGTCAACCAGGCCCTCGACTCATGGACCACGACGAGCGTCACCTCCGTCGACCTGCGCTGCTCTAAGAACCGCCGCGACGAGGCCGCATACCACGAATGCGACATCACCGACAATGAGAAGCTGGCCGAGCTCTTCATCAAGCTTGCCCCCGACGTTGTCATCCACACAGCGTCGCCTGTTGCCGACGACACCGCAGTCGCCAAGGACCTCTTCCTCAAGGTCAACGTCAACGGCACCCAGTCTGTCATTGAGGCCTGCCAGAAGGCAAACGTCAAGGCCCTCGTCTACACAAGCTCAGCCAGTGTCATCAGCGACAACACGCTCGACCTGCGCAACGCCGACGAGCGCTGGCCCGTCCTGCGCGGCGCCCAGCAGAAGGAGTACTACTCCGAAACAAAGGTGCGTGCGATTTCCCATATATGTTATGATTTGCTAACATTGAACCCCCTCCTCTAGGCTGCCGCTGAAGAGCTCGTCATCAAGGCCAACCGCACCGACCCCTACAAGCTGCTCACAACATCGCTCCGTCCCGCCGGCATTTTTGGCGAAGGCGACGTCCAGAACCTCGCCGGCCTGCTGCGCGCCTACAAGGGCGGCAAGACCAACGTCCAGATTGGCGACAACAACAACCTCTTCGACTTTACCTACGTCGGCAACATTGCCCACGCCCACTTACTCGCTGCCCACCGCCTGCTCGCCACTCTTGGCGCTTCCACGCAGCCTCTTGACCACGAGCGTGTCGACGGCGAAGTCTTCTTCATCACAAACGACTCCCCCGTGTACTTTTGGGACTTTGCCCGTGCGGTGTGGCGCGCTGCCGGCAACGAGAAGGGTACCGAAGGCGTCTGGGAACTCAGCCGCGAAATGGGCGCCTTCTTTGGCATGGCCTCTGAGATCTTCTTCAGCATCATCCAGAAGCCTGCTACCTTTACCAAGCTGCGGGCTACCATCTCCGGCATGACTCGCTACTACAACATCACAAAGGCCAAGACGGTGCTTGGCTACGAGCCCCTGTGGACAGTGCAGGAGGGCATTGATAGAGGCGTTGGCTGGTTCCTCGAGCAGGACAAGAAGGCTGCTGTCAAGGCCTAATGACTGTGATTGTGAGAGACAACTGATGAAGGAAAATTAAAAGGACACGGAGACGCCATTTATTGTTCTGTTGGCATTTATAATTTATAATGAAGCTAGCTAGCTACTTGACTTTTCGTAGCTGCTGCTGTTGTTCGCATCGTGCGCATCGTTTTTAATTAGTACATATCTTGATAATACAGAGAAAATACGGCCGCGATGGCACTGATGTAATGCATGTGTCTTCTCTCAAGCAAAACAATTTATGTAAAATTATATACTACAGTCACGGGGGTTTTCTAGCAGAATCAAAAAGTGTTCCGTTGTAAAGTTTAATGTGTTTCTTATCACTATAGTCGCCATTGCAACTTAAAAATTAAAAAGAGAAACACGATTGAATGTCCTCTAAAGAGATAACCAGTCTTTTAAGGTGTTACTCCCATTGAATTTCGTCTTCCAACTAATGCGCAAAACAAAATGCTTCGACCTCGCTCCGATCGGATCGAGCGTTAAAACTCCCATGATGCTTCAATCTCTTCGTTTTTTCGACTTTCGTTCTTCTACTCCCTCTTGCGCCATCCAAATGTGCTATGCTTCATACGTATATAACAAAAATTGTACTGCTTTGTAAAAAAGCAATGCATGCTGCCGAAGCAGACAAACGTGCTTCTTCTTCGATGACAACCAACCACACCAGCGCCGCCTGTTTTCGTCACTCCGTATCATCTCGTTGCCAAAAAAACAAAACAAAACAAAAATACACAAACAGTCCACCCAATATGCCAAGCAACAATCTCCAGGAAAACAACTCGCTTTCATTTGTACGTCGTCCATGCCCTCGACATATGCCCTCAGCGGCACAAGCCATGCGTGCCTGGAAGCAGAATACCTTGCCACTAGAGGGCCTATTGTCGAGAGCCAATGGAATATAAACTAAAACGCCGCAAAACGCCAATCAATGGGTGCAAAAAGAAACTCATAATAAAATATGAACCAACGCCTGCGCTTAGCGGAAATGTGTCAAACGGCGCTGACACGCTATGAGTTGCCGACACCAAGACCACCGGGGGGATGACGACCCCAGGCCGAGTTGCGCCAGTCGCCCCGTTGGCCGTTCTCTGGAGCGCTCAGGTTGCTATCGGACGCAGTGTACTGGCTATTCTTATAGGGAGACGGACGCTCGTCACCGGATGTCCAGAGCTGGGGTGGAGTTCCCATGGTTTGGTTCGGGGCAGCGGGATCGTTGATGGGCCGGACAGTTCGCTCGGCCTGCCAAAGGGAGGGGTCTGTTTCGACTCGCTTCGGGGGCGATCGGCTAGACATGTCTTGACGGTTATAGACTTCGTTCACATCGGCTATTTGGACTTGTCCACGACGATCCTGGAAGCGTTTGAGAATCTCTTTGGTGGTGACTTCTCCAGGTCCGCTAAAGAGGTACGGGTCGTTCAGGAGCGAAAGCAACTCATCTGGGACCTGGCACATTTCTTCAATGTTGGTGATGAGTACCTCGACAGCCTCAATAACAAACATAGCCTCGTTGTCGAGGGCTGGTGCCTTGGAAGGATTGGTGAGAATGTTGGGTGCAATAACAGTAGCGAGATTGCGGACATCCATTTTAGAACCACCCTCATCGTCAAGTTGGTGGAAAGTGCCGGCCCATTTCAAGAATGTGAATAGAATCTCCAAACAGTCTCGATGGCTCTTGGGTAGAAGGCAGCATAGCAGATGTAGACACTGCTTCTTCTTGGCAGGGTCCGAAATCTTGGCTGCACTGGTCCATAGGCCGTACAGCTTGTGCGTCATCAACGGATCAGGCAGCTCGCGCAGGTATCTCTTGAGCAGAGCCGCTAGCTGAATCACGGGCTGCTCCATGAAGTTAACTGAGTCACAACCCTCTGCATTGATGCGCTCCACCATCTCCAGTTGCTTCTTGATGTTGCCGTTCTTTCGGAAAACGCCCTCCACCGACAAGTCCATCTTGCGCATGCAGGTGACAATATCATCGACAATAGCAGGAACACGTAGCGCACCAGGGCCGACACCATCAGTGGATTCAGCTCCATCGCGCTCAATGATAGAGTCCAGAGGGACGCCAAAGACACCCTTCTTCTTCGTACCCTTATTCTTATCGTTCTTGAAAGCTTTACCCAAATTCTTCCAAAATGTGGCAGGTTTTCTGGCCTCAATGAACGAGAGAAGCTCCTCCAGACTGACTTCCTGCTCGACAAGCGGATGCATTGTCAGCACCGCCAAGAGGCGCATGTTGAAGTACTCTAGGGCAGACAACTCTGGGAAAAACTTGCGAGTGATTCGAGCTGGGACGGAATCCGGCGTGCGGAAGTCTGCGTCCTTCCCTAGGGAAAATGCGCGGTTGTGTCGTGTAGCGGGAGCTGCGGGTTGGCCAACAGCCTGCTGGTTTTGCTTCTCGCGCGATTGTTCGGCGGCCACGATGCGAGGGATATCATCTAGCGTAATGGCATCGTTGTGACCAAACATGGCATCCGTAGATTCCTGCGGGCCAGTGTCTGCGTCTCCAGCCGGTGAAACTTCCCGTAGAGCACGACCATCTCCCTCAAAAACCTTGGATGTCCTTGCACGACGGACGCTAGTTGAAAGATGTCGATCAAGCCTCGTGCTTCGGAGCCGGCGAACTTCGTTCAAGGTATTTTCATATGTAGACTCGCGGCGCGCCTCGTTTCCGCCAACTGGGGAATAAGATTTTGATCGTGAATCGGCTGTTAAGCGTGGAGGCTCGGTAATTAGGTTGTTCTTGTCGACGTTGGCGATAGGGTGGGATGGGATGGCCCCATTGCTGCTGAGGATATTCAACAGACGTGCGAGCGCTACTTGCAAGAGGAAGATAAACTGTTGCAGTTTGGAGACATACTCCAATTGTGTCGCAGAATCGAGCTGTGGCGCGCACTTGAGACAGTACAACTTGCCTTCCTGTGCATTATAGCGGGTGTCGACTAGCGTACGTCCAAGTTCGCGGCCGCAACGGTTACACCCAACACAAGCGAGATGCCAACGAGAATCACCGTTCTTTGCGCACTCATCTTCAATGGCTCTCCTACATAATGCACATTGATCGGAATCCTTGGCAGAGAGTCTAACATCTGCCATGGCTGCTTGCAACATACCGTCGTCTGTCTTGGAAGCATCAAAGTCGTGCAGGTCGTCGAGAAATTGGTTGAGGCCGAGGCTGTTCTGATCCTCGCGCTCAAGTCGGAGTGCGCCCTGTAAGCAAATACGAATAAGAAGCTTCAGGTAGTGTGCCAAGCCGGTAACCAGGGACAAAAGTTCCTGTGTAACACCCAGCTTGCGAGCTTCGTTGTCCTGGGTTTTCGATAAGAGTGAGAAGAAGGCAACAATCTTTTTGCACAGTAATTTTGCTTCGCGTCCATATGACAATCCTATGTATTTTTGGTTAGTTGTCGTCCTTCCGTATATGCATCTCCTAGTTCTTACCTTTGCCGTTTTGCTCGAGGACTGTTTGGTCTAGCCTATCGGTAGACTTGAAAAGTATTTCAACGTGCGATATGAAGCGCTTAGCTACAACAACGCCGTCGACGTACGATCCATTGCTTACATGAAGCAACATATCAGAAATACAGGCAGCCGATGATTCTTCGAATGTCGATAGGACGCTCCAGATACGGAATACCTTTTCCTCCATCAGCTCCTCATCCTTTCGAATGCGATCTTTGTCGGCCTGGTTGTCGGGTTCTGGAGGCGGGTTGTTCTCGTCTACAGCCTGGCCTAGGCGTACATTCCAAAATTTGTGAATCATGTAGCACTCAGGGTGCCAGTGTTGGTTTTGGCCATTGCGGAAGATTTCGACAAACTGCTTCAGAATAGCTGTTTGGCAACCGTTGCATCTTTGCGCAAATCGTGTTGAGTAGTGGAAGTGGCAGTAAACGTTGCTATCATGTTCGTAGTAACTATCTTGCGCGCCAAAGACAGTTGAACACATGCAGCATGAAAAGTGATCGACGTGGTATTTTCGGTTGAGGGCGGTGATGTATGATCCACGAAGCGCGCCGCCGCACTGGTGACAGAGCAACCCAAGGCGCCTAAAATAATCGGTTTCGCACAAGGGATATTGCCCTTCACCATTATTGTCGTCGGCAGGGAAGAATTTGGAGGCTACAATTTCTCCGCAGTCCTACAAGTTGAAAAAAAAAATTGTTAGCCTGGGCAGGCATTACCACAACAGCGTAGATTTCAAGAGAATCATCTTACTCTGCACTTGAAGCAATCCAAGTGGAATGTTCCGTCCAGAGCACGGACAAACTGGCCTGTCAGTTGCTCGCCGCACTTCTTGCAAGTGCGAACTTGACCGCTTCCTGATCGTGCAGACCTTTGTCGTGATCTATTTCGTTCGCCGCTCCGACGAGTAGGATCCTCGGGCCAATTTGAAGCAGGAGGGATGGCGCCGCCGGGATTTGAATGGTTGGAGCTTGTTGGATGTAGTCGATGCAAGCTGTCGGGTGTTTGCCGGCCAGAGCCAGGTTGTGTCGCATCTGTGACGGGAGCTGGGGGTTGGAAGTCGTCGTCGCGAATCTTGTCGGCCGAGGGCCTGCCGTTAACCTGCTCAGACGCCATGTTTGTCTGAGAGATGATGGAGCCGACCTAGAAGCGCAATGATGGAGACGGAAAGAGACAACAATCTATTGCTGGAGGGTAAAGGCGGTGCGCATCGGCGGCTTGATGTGCAATGACTGTAAAAGAGGCCCCGTAGGACGGCGCGGACAATTGCAGGTGAAACGCTGCGGCGTGTCGACAGGATACGGGGGCTAACAGCAGCCTACAATCTGGTATCCGTGGCGATGTCTAGCTGGACGGGTAGAGGGGAGTCGACGACCGGGGCAAAGGTGCAGCCCTCCCCTTGCGCGTTGACAGAAGGATGCTGAAGGAGTGGCGGTAGAACAGATGCTGGGGCTTGACTGTAGATGTTGGTTTGCGAGTGAGGCTAGCCGGGAATAGCAATTGTTGTGTCATGTATGTACTATGATGGCGAGCGAGTAGGGGATGAAATTGGGGCTACCGCGTGCAGAGCGGATGGACGAGAAGATGATGCTGTGGCTCGCGAGCACGCGGGTGTTTGCAAGGTGAGGGCAGCAAGACGAGGAGGAGAAGCAGCTGAGGCTGGGTTGTGCGGTGGGAATGAGAGAAGCGGGAAGCGGAGCTGGTGCTGTCAAGGCGGCAACGCGAGAAGAGGAGAAGAAGGTTAGTGCGGCTTGGGCCTTTTTTTTCCTCTGCAGGTGCTGTGCACACGGAGAGTGAGGGGGGAAAGCGTGCCAGCCAGAGCGCTAGTTAGGCTGGAGTAGGCTCCGTGCAGGGCCTGAGGTGCGCCGCACACTCAGTAACTGTAACAAGCGGGGGTGTTCACTGTTGCGGGTGGCGGGCTGGATGCGCTTTACGGGGGAGGCTGTCTGTCTGGTACCCAATTTGTCTTTTGTGTTTCTTAACCTCTACCGCAGGAAATTTCTAAATAAAAACTAAACAAAAAGTATGCCTCATCTCGAACTCTGCTACCATTTTCCTGGTGCTTTCAGAGCGACGAGGCCCCCATGAACCGCCTGTAATTGCGCTGGCCCATTTGTTTATTACGAGCATCCGTGCCTCTTGCTGCTAGCAACACCTGCGCCGGGGCCTCCTCTGGCAGTGCGTCAAGGGACCCCATGTGGCCCCCCCAGGAGCGACGCACCGCGCATAGCGGCGCTATGTCGTCACTGGCGGGGGCGAATGGGTTGCCTCAGTTGGGCAGGCGACAGTTGTGTTTACGAGACGGACAGAAGGCATGCCGTTGACAGGCTGTTTCCAAATATAAAAGGCTAATTGCTCACTTGGAACACACTTTATACTTTAGTGAGAAAATTTCCCAGGCATTTCCCTAAGCATTATAGCAATGCATATGCCCCCAAATAGGAACCAGGCCCTGTTCCTGCTCCAATCTGCGGCGCCTGGCAATCGCTATTTCCAGGGGTTCTGTCTTCTGAATTGCGGTGGATCACGTCACGTGTAACAGCCTTGGCACCAGCGGCACAGCAACCATCCACGTCAGACCAAAGCTGTTGATGATGCTTTGCTACCAAAGTAAGGGCTTCGCTGCAGCGTAGCAAAATAGCGGTTATATTAATGTGCTGTTTAATTGTCCAAAATTATTTCTGTCGTATACTTCGTAAAATAATTGCATAAGTCAAAAAAGAAAAAGAGAAAGGCAAAGGCAAGAGAGGACCTGCCGGCCTGCTCAATTCTTCACCAGTTGACGCAGTCGCTTTTCAATAGCATTTCGCCCGGCCTCAGTCTGCCAAACCTGGGGAGGGGCATCATCGACGATATCCCAACTCTTGAGAGCATCGGTGAGCGTTGTAAGATCACGCTGCTTCTCTTCCCAGTTTGCATCGCCCTTGATGTGCTGACCCGAGCTAACAACTACAAGAGGTGTACTCTTTTCTTGGATTTGTCTGCTGCCTTCGACATCTCGGCGAGTAAATGAGTTCAACACGAGGCTCTCCTGCAGCTTCGCAAATATGAACTTGCCGCTCTGCCCAGCAGATCGGCCATAGACGCGGTCCTGGCTGCCTCGACCGCGGAAGATGGCTCCAGAAAGACGGTCCAAGCCCAGAGGAGACAAAATACCACGGAGCCAGAGGAAGAATCCGACACGGGCTGATGCCAGAGGACCCAGAAGCGTTTCGTGAAGCGGGTCAATCAGAAGCATACCCGCTACATCATGACCGTGGCGGGCAGAAAAGACACGAGAATAGAGAGATCCAATACCCGCGCTGGCCAATACCCAGGGCCCAGTCTCACCAGCCTCGGCCAACGCTTCGCTCAATGCATCGACAGCAAAGCCGGCAGACAAAGGCGAGGGTGAGGTATCGGACCAGGCGACACCAGGGCGATCAGCGAAACAGTATCGCTGAATAGTTCCGTTTTCAATTGCATTGCCCGCAAATTGCCAAAGGCCATGCTCCACAGGGTCATCGCCAGCCTCAAACAAGACAGTTGTAACCATGGCCCCCATGGCATTCGTCTTATTGCCATTGCAGTATACATGCAGACGATAGTTGCCACCATCAACCCAGTAAAGGTTTCCGGGAGGCGCTAGACCAGCATCGACAGCACGGAGAATGATGGTGCCTGTCATGAGAACCACGGCAGCAATCATGACCGAATAAGCCAGAGTAGAGAGCATAATGGAGAGCCACTCGGCAACAGTGTGTCGGGATTCTGCCCGTCCAGTTAGTCGCTGTTCCTCCTCTTCTTTGCCCCATTTCACGGTTCGGTCCGTAAAGAGCGTCCACAGGCCCATGAGGAGCGCCCAAACAACGCTGACGATGCCAACCCAGCCTTCCTCGTATCGAGTCTTTTCAACAGAGACCAAGATGATCATATCGATAAGAAGTCCAAACTGTGATTGTGATTAGTACCTCATTAACAAATTTTGTTTCTTATACATCGCAGCACTTACAGACATGACGCCGACCAGCACACGGACCGACTTGGACGGCACGATGAAGAAGATGAGCGTGAAGAGCATATTGGCCAGAGCCAAGCTGGAGAATCCGTACGAAGAGAATATACTGCCACGAGTATGGAAGCCTGGGGGCGTTGCAAACACCGACACCAAGACAATCACCCACCAGACAAATGTGACGAGAGTAAAGAAAATGGTAAGATAGCGCAACAGTCGGATGCTCCACAGGTTGTAGGGCGAGACAGCGGGATCATCAGGGCTAAGAAGTGGCGCGCGAGTTGAGTCGATTCTGTTGGGTAGCAGACGAGTGTGTTCATCTGGAGGGGGTGCAGAAGCTTCATCCTCGTCTTCAGGCGAACTGGTGCGTGAAGCATCCCGCTTAGAGACGAGCGGCATGGTGGTGGTTTGGCGGCGACGACGACGAAGACGATCAATTCAAGAGTTAATGGATACAAGGCAGTTCAGGCGCCGACACAGATGGGACAATCAATCCGTAGATGTTGGAGAGAAGTTCTGCACCTTTTTCTTTCAACAGACTGCAACTTTAGAAGAGCCCAGCAAGGTGGGCGCGGGAAAAGCAAGCTGCCGTTGCAAGTACATGTCCCAATGCGGTCGCAGAAGACGTCATGGCTGTCTCCAAAAACCGGCGTGGGCGCTGCGCCAGCGCTAACTTGTAACAAGAAAGTCGGCTCATACCCGAGAGGGTGAGCAAGCAAGTATCGGGTATGTGGTAAAATTGTTCACTATTCTGGTACAATAACCTTTCACGACTGTCGAAAATTTGAATATATTATTACAGCATTTTTTCCTACCACCAGCCTGCGATGTTCATCATCAAGCCATTGTGGTATGTCTCAGTGATCGCCGGGCGCCGCCATAGGGTGTCTGTCGCGTCAGTGCGTTAGTCGTCTCCAGCCAGTCGGTAGTTTGGATAGACAGTGATCGGCACGTTTCTGGAACACGGCGCAGACTAATCGACCGGTAATTATGGATCGCATGAACGTGGCCGCGTGATGTCTAACCAAGCAAGCCTGGGGCTGGGTACACGCCAGGCTAGCTGGATTAAGCTTTCATGGAGTGCATGTTGGGTGATGTCAGGTAACAATGGGTATCGATAGAATATATATGCTATGAACAAAATGTGACATACAGCGTTGTGCATATATCAACAAAAATGTAAGAATAAAAGAACAGTACAAAGAGAATAGCTATACACAGAAAATGGTACAAGTGATGCCGACCTGGTGAAGTTGCTTGTCTATCCCGAACCCAGAAAACGCCAGTACATGTTGGAGAGGAAAACGAAAACCAACTCAATGGTTTACTGTTCGTCCCAAGGAGCAACGGGGTTCGTCTCCTTGAGACTAGATGGGCCAGAAGAGTATCCGCTCGAGACCGAGTGCGCAGAATGTGTATGCTTCATGAACTCGGGTCTCTGCTTGCGCTCCTTAAAGATGAGCTCCTCTGGGGTTGGACCCGAGGTCGATGTTGTGGCATGTTTGGGCACCTTGCCCATGGGCAGATGCATCTTCTCGGCGGCATGAGGGTCGCTGCGGCTGACGCCGTGCTTCTTATATGTATCCCGGCGCTGTTTCTTCATGGCCTGGGCCGAGGGCTCGCTGGTAGACAGCCACGTCTTGACGCTGGACAGCCAGCGGCCGTTGCCGGAGCTGCCTGCTGACGACGACGACGCCATGGATGAGTGGCTATCGCTGTGCTGGTGATGGTAGGTTTGAGGCTGGTCGTTGTTGGGTGCGTAGGGCATGCCAGTGGTCTGATAACTATGGCAGTGCGGTTGCTGGTCGTACGCGGCAATAGCAGAGAAGTATTCCGCCTGAGGGTCTGGGTTTTTGAACGGTTTGCGGCTGGACGACTTGGCGAAGGACGGCATTGAAGATCGGTGAAGGTCAAGGTGAATAAGTGGTGCTTGCTTGGCGTCGGTGGTATTCCTCTTGCGCACGGGCAGGGCCTCAGCTTCTTGAGAGTGGGTGTGTATGTGTGGTGATGGCGTGTTGTAGACGTAAACCGCAAACTAGTGATGGAGCACAGTTTGCTGCAGTAGTAAGACCAGTATGTATCAGAGAAGTGTATTTACGAAGCTCAGGTGCAAAGAAATAACGCTTCTTTAGTTCTCGGGCCTTTTCGAAGCTTGTATGTAGCGAGAGGTCGTATATGCCAAAAGGTGCGCACGGACGGCGTGATGAACAGGCGGGTTACGGTGGTGGTGGGCGGATCCGGAGCTGGTAGTAGAGCGGCGTTTCAGAATAAGACTACTGAAAATGAAGAAAGCACGAGGAAGCCGAAGCTGACGGAAGAAGTTGAAGACGCTGTGGATTGGGTAGAGAGGGCAGAAGTTGAGAACGTCAGAGGGCTGCCGCGTGCAGCTACTTATTTGGCTTGCACTAGGCCCCAGGGCGCACAAGGTGATATGTGATCTCTGGTACGGTTCTTTTTTTGGTTAGTGGGAACTGGCCCAAGTCAAGGCGTAACGGACTGGGGGAGGAAAAGAAGGAAAAGAAGGCCTGCGTTTTGCTTTTTATGTTGGGCCAGATCCTTCTCTGTGGTAAGGGTCCCATTGGCTGCGTTTTAGCTGCGTCTTTTTTTGCTACTTATGTTTTTGGTCGGCACGAAAAGTCGTCTGCAGACTATGTGTGCCGCTCGTATTTTTTATTTAATTAATTCTGTCTTCGGTTGCAGCAAACAATCGCTTTGTCCGCGACACATGGCTTTTTCCTTATTGGGTGTGCCACCACAGAAAAACGCTACCCACCAGCACCACCATCATCCTGCACTAGCCACCATCATCAACGCCTGTTATCAGAGCACATGTTTATCAAAACACCACTGTAGGAGGGCTTTGCGTGCATTTCCTGCTGCTTTTACAGCTGTTTTCCACTTCTCCCCCTCTTTGCCCTATACGCCCACCCCCTCCCGTCAACAGTGCCGGTGCTTCCATATAACAATTGGCTGCAGCGCCACCTTTCGAGCGCCTTCATCCACAAGCAAGCCATCTTCAGCTGCCTCTTCACAAACAGCGAGTAGGAGCCTTGCAATTTCCCTCCTTTCGTGGCTTGCATTTCTCCATTGTGTACAAGCCTCGCCCGCCGCAAAACCAGTTACCTACTGTTGGGCAAGTCATTGGCCCCTTGGACCACTTTCGCCCTCTCTTTCTTTTCTTTTCTTTTTTCTTTCTGCGGCCGACTTATAGTTCTGGAACCTGCCGGCACAGCCCGCGGCGTCGTCCAACGAACTCACGCCACCACGCGGTCATGACACAAGGAAGAGCGCCATGTGTATGCAGTCTAGTCTCCATGCGCATGCAGCTGCTGTCTGAGGATGGATGGAGCCCGGCCTGCATATTCCCACAGGTCGCACAGCACCGCTCTGGTAAGTAATCACAGCAACTTGTTGTCGCTGTTGCTGGGCTGGGGCTGCTCCTTTTCGCCACGGTTTCTCCCCACCGGTTCGCAAGCACCGCCCTGAATGGCCACCCGGTTTGCTCAACGGTCATGCACCAAGCCTCTTTCTGTTGCTCCGTTTACGCGAGCATAGGCAGAGAGTCAAAGAAGCTCCTGTGATCACTCCGCACACAGCTTTAGCAGCAGCATGAGAGGTGGAGAGCCACGCACGTCGACTCGGCGCATTTGTCCCAATCTGAGTAGTCGCAAAACGTATGCCACTCTAGGTCATGCAGCTTGTCTGTGTGCTCTCTGGCTAGTCTGTACACGTCTGACGCTGTTTTAGTTACCAATGGTTCGTGCCGTACCACTGCAAAGTCCATGACAACACATGCAGCCTAGCTACAGTAGATGCGCAATCGCACAATGCCGTGCAATGGGGGCAACAGAGCATGTGCCTTGGGTCTATTGATGGCCGTGCGCGCAGCAGCACCTTAGTTTGCTTCAGGAATCTGCCTATAAGCAACGCACCCCTGGTCAAGACCACCACTGGGCGCTAGCTGGTTACGCCCCAGCTCAACGGCCGCCAGCAAACACATGGCGATATTACCGGCGCAAACTTGCAACGGTCACCGGCGTGTTTTTTTTTCTCTAAACGCCGCCTCGTAACCGAATGGTCCCATCTGGATGCAATATTTCAATAGTATCTGCACGAAGCAGACGACAGCTTCCACTGTGGCGTTTCTGACATACGCGCATTATGCCATCTCATCAAATCTCCACGTTGGATGGCTTGATGCAAAAGCAATTATATACTATTTGTATACCTGCTGGCGAATCATGTCTCTGCTAGCGCCTCAACCCGCAAGACTACAGCATTAACTAGGCAGCCCGTTTTTGCTTTTGCCATTTGCCATGCTGCCGAGGACTGCATCTACTAGCGCATCGCTTTGCTTTTTTTACCCATTGTGAGCATTTTCAGAATTATTCGTTTGCTGTCCTTTTTCTGGCGCCACTGCCTGTATTGGCGCCCCCTCGCAGTGCGTTCGCGTCTTAACCTGACGGCAAAAGCAAAAGATGCCTGTTTTTATGGCGTCTTCCACAGAAAGTCTAGAACTAAAGGGAGGCATTGGACGTTTCGAAGTTGCCTGCTGGTCCGCGCCGGATACTATTTTCGTATGCTGCAGTCATCGCCATGTTGTGTCAGGTGAAAGCCACTTGTCGGCGACCACACCTACGCCAATATTCTCAGTTTGCTAGCTATGAAGCTGTCTTGTCTCTTTTCTCTTCGGTTCAGCTATCCGAGGCGTGGCGTAGGCAAAAGCCACACCAACAGCTGGAGTAGACCGGGAGCTCTAGCTTCTCCAGCCGCACAATTGGCTGTCATATGATGTATATGAGGCAGAATAATGTACAGGAACATCGTCCCGGCACAAATAATAGACTAACTTCATAGGATTGGTCGGCGAGCACTGTTATCCAAAGTACTGTATACCTACAACGTCGCCCAGCGCTGCCTAGAGCACAAACTACAAACTCTTGAGTAGAGTGTACAGAAGCATTGGGTACCTGCCACCGCCCGACGCAAAGCGATTTCCTAGCAGCTGTTCTCTCAGCTAATTTAGAACAAACATCCTACGGACTATCACGAAGCCAAAGACGCGGCCCAAGCCGGCTAAAATAGATCGCCGATGTCGCTATTGCCAAGCTGGCTCACACTAAATACAGTAGTCGAAGCTTATAACTAGAAGCTAGCTTCTAGCACAACCTGCATCTCAGCTCACTAATTTATCGGCCGCAAGTGCCGAAGGCGCCGATGATCTCACCGCCGCACTTGCATGGCCAGCGGGGCGACGCAGCCAAGTAATAGCGCCAACGATTAGCGAAAGGGACACGCTGTGGCTGGCTGCAGAAGGATGCTTATTTTTTTGACGACATTCTCTTTTCCAATCAGACGACAACAAACAATCAAATGTTTTGCGCTTTCTTTATACTCTCTTTCATCCTGCCGTTGCTTATCAGGAAGAAGAATTGATCTACACTACAGGCCATCCTAGCTCACGCGACAACCCGGAAGTTCGCCAAGTCAAATATCATGGCGGCCAACAGGCTGACGACGTTGACCATCATTTTCGCACCAGTACTGGCCCGTCATTTGCCCAACCTCGTCGATTATCCTTAAAACAGCAGCTAGCTATGTTTCCGTGGTGTCCTCCATCAGACGAGATTTTGTGTAGAGCCGTGACTCGCGCCCAACACCGTAGCATGGAACCTTCACTTCCCATTCCGGCACCTAAATTGGGGGTAAGCTTGGGGAAAATGCTACGCCAAAAGCTGTAATGGCAAGACCCGCCACGTTCGCAACGTTGTACTTCTCAGTGAGGCCAACGAGGATAGGGAAGTTCGAGCTATTTTGGGTTTGCGCTAGCACCGAAATCGCAGGAGCACGCTTTCTCCCGCCCATCAAGCGTGGGGTTTCTACGCGTGGTCACTTCCAATAACGCATCTTGGAAAGTTTGCGGACGATCGACGTGCTCGCCGAATGTTGGGGCTATGTCGTCTCCGCGCAATATGCCGCTGGAGCAACTGAGCACGGTCTCTACCAATGGTTTAGGAAGGTGGTCTTGTTTTGAGAGGTTGGACAAGGCAAAATTGGGCGCTGTGTTATTTTTTTTTCTTTCATCAGATTTTGCCTGATACTCAATCGCCGCCTGTAGAAGTGTTGCGCTCTGCGGGAACCCAACGCAATGTTTTGCGGCTACCCATGGCTCAGCCCTGGTCCAAAACTAACGTTCAGAGTAGGATCTTCCCCATGTTCCTAGAAATGGCATCCAGGTGGCGTAATTAATGCAGGGGAAATACTGTAGAACATTCGGCGCTAAGTCCGTGTGGGGGAGCCACGCCCTCTCATCCCTCACTACTTACGCAGCCCCGTCTACAGACGGCCGACGAAAGGATGCGAATTTGATACCAAAGGCTAGAATCGTTTTAGGAAGGTAGTGCTTCTATTCGTGAGCGCGGACTTCAGACGAACCATGACATCGGTATAATTCCATTCCACGAAAGCATCGTACTTCTTGACAAGTATATAATGGCTTATACCAGCCTCTCTCTCTCGCTCTCGCCTGGTCTGATACTCCCATCTACAATCAACATTATCCTCTACCTTCTCTCCTATCCGTTCTCCCATCCACACGTAACATCACATATTCCATCATCATCAAGTTCATCAACACTCTTGCCTTGGCCACTTCGGTGTCTGCCGTTGCTCTTCCTGAGACTCGCACATCCGGCGGCTTGGAGCGTCGCGGTCACCGCGGCAATTCCGACAACTGGGCTGGTGTTATCAAGAAGGCTGCCGGCGTCAAGACCGTCACTGGCACCATGGGGATGCCCACCATTAAGAATGGAGCCGAGGACTCTGCCGTCTCTGCCTGGGTCGGTATTGACGGCAACACTTGCTCCACTGGCGCTCTGCTCCAGACTGGTGTTGATATCCTGGGCGATGGCACATTTTCTCCCTGGGTCGAGTGGTACCCCAATGATCTTATCAAGCTCACCGACTTTGTCGTCAATGCGGGCGACAAGATCAAGATGACTGTTACCGCAACCAGCACTACTGCTGGCTCGGCCAAGCTCGAGAACTTGACCACTGGCAACTCGTCCAGCCACGACTTCGCCAAGGGTCCCGCTGCCCTCTGCTTGGCCGAGGCAGACTGGATTCTTGAGGATTACGACGACGATAACAGCGGCAAGATCAAGCCTCTGGTTAACTTTGGAACCGTCAGCTTCACCGGCGCCTCTGCTTCTGGTGGTTCTGATGGCACAGTCGGCCCCGACAAGGGCGAGATTATCACCTTGACTGACTCCAAGGGCAAGGCCAAGACCTCTTGCTCTGTCAAGACAAACACTGTTACCTGCAGCTACAACGCTTAAGGTTTAAATTATTGGAATCCGTATATAGATAATACCCCAAAATCGTTTAATGACTTTTTCGTACCTTTACTTCTCCGCTCCTTCACTAGACAGTAACCTGTGCTTCCATGCTGTGAGCGTATAATTTGTACCCATTGTTTCATAAAACATTGTTATGGTTGCCTCCGCTAAAGGGTCAGCATAATACTGGCTGAACTTTGTGCCGTCCCAATCGCTTGCTGATTCGCCAGTTGGTAGGGTTGCATTGTAGTCCCACGGCAAGGCACGGAACCACAGTCTCACATATAAGGTAAGTGAGTACTTGTATGTCGGTCACAATGGTTTTCACCTCAGTTTAGGTTTAATGAGGCGGCCATTAGGATTAATATCGGGCTCGTCTTCTTTTGAAATTCCGCCATGAGGAGAAGATGCGCAACATTGTTAATGTTGTTAAGTATAACTTAGGGCAGACTCTGATGGAACGTTGCCGTTACTGTTGGGTAACTGGGCCCTATTCTTAGCAGTATGTAACGCCAACAGGGGCATGACCTTACCATTGGCGGAAACAGCTATTTTGATGTTTGGCGCTATGTCCGGGGTCAGCTGTACGTGATGCAGCAGCCCCAAGCAATGTGCATGGCAAGCTCACGGCGGCCAGGTTCCCGGGGCAAGATGCTGGCGCATGAGGCTGTAAAGGTAGCAGCAATAGGTTTCAAAAATAGACGTTTAGTCAATAGAATCTCTTAGTTCGGGCAAGACTGTTCCCGGGGCATTGCAAAGGGGGCGTCTTATATCTGCGATGTGGCCCAGTTGTTTCAGACGTATAATGCGCCCCTAACTTGGCTTAAACGAACCTTTTCAAAACGCGACAATGTGCACGACGATTTGAGTCGTCTAGCATGATCGTCGGAATTCTGAAACTTGTGCTTATTTAGCGAGCTTAAAATCATACTACTTCCCGCCGACACCATCCGAGCCAGTCTCTCCATGGTATCGGCTGGTCCGTCTTTCGTTTTTCCTTAGTCTCTTCATTTTCGTTGGCGTAATAGCGTTGCCATTTTTATCGACTTTTCTTCATCTATTTTCGCAAAAATTATAGGGTCCTTTCTTTCATCACTCAGCGATTTCCAAATTAATGAACCATCATGGCTCGGGCAAGACTCCGAACAGTATGGGCCCTCCTGGCGTTGGCCTTGTTCTGCTTCTCCATGGTCGAGGCCTCATCTCAGTTTAACAAGAACTTTTTCAACGGATTTTTCAACAATCGCAAGGTCAACAACAATGCGAATGGCAATGACAACAATGGAAATAACCAGAACAACGGCAACAACAACAATAATAATGGGAACAACCGGAACAACAACAACAACGGCAATGGTAACAACAATGGACAGACTAGCGGGCAAGGCGGCGCACGCATATTCCAAGCAACAGACGGCTCCATGATTCTCGACAAGACCGTGCAAATCAAGTAAGCATAGTATGCCTGATGATATAAACATAACGTTTCCTAACGGCAATTCTAGTGGACTGCCTATCCGATACAGAATCAGTGCTCCCGCCGATCAATTCACGGCTCAGTCCGGCGTCCAAGGAGGTAACTCGGCGCCCAACTCCGGTGGAAACAATGGCATCAATGTTCTTCTTCATGGTGATGGCGGCCAATCCTTCTTTGCCTTCCCAAACCAAGGCGTCAAAGGCGGCTTGATGGGCGTTGCTGTGCTCTCGCCCGACAAGAACCGCAAATGGGGAGGCGCAGACAGAAATGGCGTGACCCGTCCCGACGGAGTTGCTCACTCTCAAGCCGTCAACGACCTTATTCAACAGGAACTTCCCCAAATGGTTGCTTTTGACAAGTCCAATGTCTTCTTTACTGGCGTCAGTGGTGGCTCTCTCACCTTGTCTGGCTTCTTCATGCCCGCCCATATGGGAAACTACCCCAACACGGGCGTCATGCTGAACTGCGGTGCCTTGCCGCCCCAAGTGAACTTTTCTCCAGAAGCTGCAGCTGCCATGGCAAACACACGTATCCATTTTCAGTCCACGTCGCGAGAGCTACGCTCTCTACAGCGAGACATTCCCCGAGCAGCTATGGCTTACGAGCAAGCTGCTGGTAAAGCTGGGCTTAACAACCAACAGATCAACTCGCTACAGACCCTCAATAACGCTCCCAACGGAGGACACTGTGCATTTGATGGAAAAGGCTTCAGCAGCGGCGTTCAGCTCATGGCGAACAACTACCAGAATGTGATGCAGGCTGGTGGTAATGGCCAGGTCAACGGAATCGGGTTTGTCAGCAACGGTGTCGTAGGTAATGAGAGACCACAGTTTGCCAACTAGTTCAGTTTTACTAGCATAGCCTGAGTCGTGCCATATACAATCATTTTCGAAATAAAACTTTGTTGCTGTAGTTGTGAATACAGAGCGCCACCGTTGCCTACGTTGTTGGTGAAGACGCCAAGTTGCCCGCCAAACGTTGGGGATCCACCGCCACCAGCATTTTAGCGTCGTCGCTAGCCGAAACAGAGCGGCGTGAATTCTTTCGTCGCAACGTCGAATCCTGCTGCTTTTTGCAACATTCTTCACACAAACCAGGAAAACGCAAAGCCAGCATCACAACTCCATCAATAAAAAATTTAACATCTATAAATAACTGATCATCCAAGCCAAGACGCCACCTAGATCACTTACCCCGCCACCGCGCAACCCCTCGCCACCTTCGCCTTACATCATCGTCAAGACGCGCTACCCGGCATCAGCGCAATCATTTTCAAAATGCCCGCTCTTACAGTCAAGACAGACGCGTTACCACAGTCTTCAAACCGCTCAGCATCGCCTGTACGCCCTCCTATATCACCAATAACTCCGCCACTTGCCGCCACAAAACTCCCCGGCGATGCGCCGTCTGCGTCTACGCTGCCACCACGTCAGGGCTTTACGCATACGACACATCCTGCTCAAGCATCATCTACCCTACCCCCAGCTCCTGAGCCTATAGATTTCTCGGCAAATCCAGATGCTATAGCTCTAAAGTCAGCCATCTCCGTGTTGCAAGTCCAGCGCCAACGAGCTACGGCAGACATTCAGGCTCTAAGTCGGGCAAAGGATGATGCAGTCCGCGATCCTGAAGCATTTGTCAGCGATCTTGTTGCTGGCAAGGTAAATGCGCCGCAATCTCAAGTATCATCAAACTTGGACGATGATGAAGCCGATCCGTCACAGGCTGCCCAGCGTTCATGGGCTAGTCTACCCAAGCCACAGGATATTGTCAGATGCCCGCCGATAAATTGGTCACAGTATGCTGTTGTTGGTGAGTCTTTGGATAAGTTACACGCCGAGCAAATAGACAGACCAGTACAAGGCAGCCCTGCAGTCACTGGTCCGGGTGGTGTTTTTGAGTTTCGTGGAGAAGCAGCTGGTGTATCGAATCAGCCTCGTGCAGAGCGATACATTGGGGTCGCTGCGCCATACGCGCCAGGGCGAGACAAGATCGATGGCAAATCAAAAGGAAAAAAGTAGATGATATATTATGATCCATGAAATGAAATGAAATGATACTGCAGACACAGCATGCAGCAACCGGCCTCTGCTGGTAGAATTAGAATAGCTAATGACTTTATGAGTAATGGTCGTGATTGAACAATCCTATCTCGTCTCCGCCCCCCAAGTGCTACAGCTAGTAAAGCGCCCTGTCCCTTCATATGTTTGGACTGTGTTAATACCATTGACCTGCTGCCCCGTAGTCGTGCTCGCCACTAGACCCGCTACTGCATGCTGTCTTGAATGGATCTTCGGAGACGACGATTATAAGCCCTTCGCCCATCAGTACCAGAACCCCAGTACAGCTTTGTTGCCTCTGGATTTACAATCTTTCGTGGATCATAGGTAGGGGCAGTCTCTTCCAGAATTCCGACAATAGCATCGACGTGCGATTTGGCATCCTCCACCTTCATAGAGTTTGGGATGTAACAAGGCACGCCTTGAGAGGATACACGCTGGTGAAAAATTCTGTTTTCAAATTGCACGCGTGGTTGTTCTGTTGGAAAACGTGGACTAAATGTCATTTTGATGGCTATAACATCGCCCTCCAGTGCAGGACCAAAGTAGCTTATCAACCAAACAAAAGGGTTCTTATTTTCCAAGGCAATGCTGTAAGAGTCGTTGCTTGTCTTCAGCAGGTCGTTTATATGGTCGAATTGATATTGAAGATTCACCGAGACTGTTGTTTCTTTACGCTGTTCTTCAAGACCGTCGATGGCCCATTGTTCGGCCTCTTTGTCTAATGCAACTTTGATTCGGTGCAATCGCTGCTCCAGGGAGGAATAGTTATAACATCCTGGCATCATGTTACCCGATGATTCGAAAGGAGCTCGCTTGAATTGTTGATTATCTGTCGCATGCTGTTTGCCTTCCTGGATTGTAGCGAGATAACAATCGTAGTACCACAGGAAGCGTCGTTTGCAGAGGTCCTTGAAAGGCTCAAAGGTGAAATCTTCTTCGTCTGACGATCCTATATCGCTGTCGTGTTGATAAACAGGTTGTATAGGCTGACCGTCGGATCTCATATTCAAGTAACCCTCAAGTCGCTGGATAACTGATATTCGTAGTGTTTCATGGCGAATCTATCAATGGAGTTAGCATCTATATAATGAAAGATAATCTACAAACTGTAATGACCTTGCGTGTATACTCTTGGCTATTCTTTTCGCAGTCTGGTCCTTTGAGAGTTTCAAAGCCGGGCTCGTTTGTGTAAGGCTGGGACGACATCAGACTTTGAATGGAGAGTAAAATCGATTCGAGGCCTTGTGCAGAGGACCATTGCTCTCCTGCTTCGGCACGCCAAGTTCTATGACTGTGTTAGCGAAGCGCTTGGTTTGTTCAGATTCAGCATACCCTAAAATTGACCTGAGAAAACGTTAGACAAACGCAATTAGATGATTGGGGGAATCAGCACTTACAGACAAACTTTACCATCCGCATAGATATTGGGATTGAAACGACAGGAACCGTTATTCGTCGTGATACACTGTACGGCTGGTGGCTCCGAGGGGTACGCTACTGAATTAGTAATGACCCAGGTATCAGATTGGAAGTTGCGTCCTACCATTCCCAAATTTTATCGAAAACTAGGAAATGGTTAGCAATGTTCTCCCAAGCGAATGATAAAGGCCAAGAAAGCCGTGCTTACCTCGAAGAAGCCAAATTCGTACGGTGTTTCGTGCGGGCCGACAATCAAGGCCTTTACATTACGAACGTCGACATCTCGACAAGCAACCGCCAGTGCTGATGCCGAATGTTAGTATCGGTTGACGAATATGTGCTGTTTACTGACATAGATCTGGGTTTTTCTGAATGTCGCTCAGCTCCTGGGTGATGTGTCAGTAGAGTATGGCTTCAACGCACGGCATCTGAAGGACATACCTTGGTGATTCTGAAGATAGATTGATCCATCTTGTACACGGAGGAAAGATATATGCTAAAATAGCCAGAATGACACCTCTACCAGTCTAGAAAAAAGTGCTGGTAGAGAGCATGCGGATAAGGCTGAGCCACGCTGAAGGTCGTCTGTGCCTGCACCGCCAGATGTCTTGTAGGTGTAGATCACTGGTATCAAATAACGTTCCGATACTGCCTGTACAAAGATGGTGAGTGGTGAGCAAGCGATGCAGAGCGGCAATCGTTGGATGAGAAGAGACGGAGAGTGAGAGAGGTGTAGCTACCAAGTAAGTGGAAGTGAAGCTGCCTGGAGGCGCAAACCGTCAACTGCAGGTGGCCGCCTTTGGTGGGGTGTGGGTGGGTGGGGTTTGCCTGACTCCGATATGGCTGTGAGGGGCAGCTCTTGGGCGGCTCCCAGCGGATGTGTGTGCAGGTTGGCTGCCTGGCCGCATAACGCTCAGGCGCAGGGGGCTTTTCACGGGCGGCTCTTTTGCACCACTGTGTGTTGTCTCGTCCCAGGCTCCTGGGATGAGAGGCTGCTGGAAGGTCGCTCGCGTGACAGGCGTTGGCTGTGACCATAGAAGAGAGCTCGCTATTGAGTAGGTGCAGCATGGAGCTGGGTTTCATGTGTTCCACTAGGTAAATTTAATATCGACATATTTTCTACAAAAACTAAAAAAAATCCACAATTATTATATACTTTTATTTTCTAAGCTGTGAATCGCCTCTAACTTTACCGCTTGTTTGCTCGTTACCTTGCTGTGGTAGAGTACAAGTCGCCCCACGCCCGCCAACGCTGTCCACCGTTCAGGGACCTCCCAACGCGCCTCGCGTCCACCAAAGCTCTCCGACGCGTTAAGTGCTCCTCTCACCACCACCACCACCGCCGACGACTTTAGCTAGCCATCCGAGTGCCATTATAACCGCATACACAGCAATGGCTAGTTTTTTCGATCTCAAGGCCAGAAAGGCCGCTGCTGCCGCCAATGGCACATCAGATAATAAACAAGACAAGTCGGCAAACGGTCGCATCCAGCCCTGGGTCGAGAAATAGTACGTCCCCAATCTGCTACCGTGAATTCTGCCAATTGGTTATAGCTGCTGACTCTGGCAGCCGTCCAAAGAGCCTCGATGATGTCGCTGCTCAAGAACACACCGTCAATGTTTTGCAACGCACATTACAAGCTTCAAACGTAGGTGCGCTCCCGTCAGCCTGTCATCACCGCTAACTCGAGCGCAGCTTCCTCACATGCTCTTCTACGGGCCTCCTGGAACGGGTAAAACATCTACTATCCTGGCCTTGGCTAAGGAACTCTACGGACCTGAAATGATGAAATCAAGAGTCTTGGAACTCAATGCCTCCGACGAACGCGGTATCTCAATTGTGCGACAAAAAGTCAAAGATTTTGCCCGAATGCAGCTCACGAACCCGCCCGCTGGCTACAAAGACAAATATCCTTGCCCACCATTCAAAATTATTATTCTCGATGAGGCAGATTCCATGACGCAAGATGCGCAGAGTGCGCTCCGTCGAACAATGGAAACATACAGCAAAATCACGCGATTCTGCCTCATCTGCAACTACGTCACCAGAATTATCGACCCATTGGCCAGTCGATGCAGCAAGTTCCGATTCAAGAGCCTCGATCAAAGTAACGCGAAAAAGAGACTGGAAAACATTGCGACTGCCGAAGGAGTTAATGTAGAAGATGGCGCACTGGATGCTCTGATCAGATGCAGCGAGGGTGATTTGCGTAAAGCCATCACGTTCTTACAGAGTGCAGCTCGATTGGTCGGTGCCGCGGCAGCGCAGAAGGACGGCGATGGCGATGAGGCAATGGATGTGGACAAACGCCCTGTTACTGTGAAGATTATTGAGGACATTGCAGGTGTCATCCCAGGAAAGACTATTGATGATTTGGTTAGCGCTATGCGCCCCAGAGCTTCACAGGGATCTTTTGCTTCCGTTAACCAAGTCGTCGAGGATATGGTGGCTGACGGCTGGAGCGCCGGTCAGCTTGTTTCACAGGTGCGTCGAACTTTTCTTTTTCTCTTCTTCTCTTGCTAACTGACATACAGCTTTACCAAACGGTGATGGCTGACGAAACCATTCCTGATATCCAAAAGAACAAGATTGTTCTTGTATTTTCAGAAATTGATAAAAGACTAGTAGACGGCGCAGACGAGCACCTCTCCATTTTAGACCTTGCCATGAGAATATCGGGCATTTTGGCTGGTAAATAAAAGGTATCTGTGCTTGTTTAGCCTCATCATTTTATTTACTAAGCTGTCGATGCAATTCTATCTTGTGGGCATTTACGCGGAGTTAGGAATGGCAAAATAATACACAGTTGTATTTGCATAGGTTTCTTTTGTACCAATGTGACTATTGTGCTGTATGTAATATAATAATGGACTCATTCATAGCCTAGTAAGCCAAGATTACCGTGTATTTTCGACCATGTGTCGTTTCGCCTGTATGTCTTGGGTAGCTTCTTGTCCTTTGGTGTCCGCGGTGGCTGGTCTGCGAATCCCGCACCAACCCATGTTTCGTCCTCATCTATGCTATCAAGAATAGTATCGTCGACGGGATCTTGAGTCTGGCTCTGTCCAGTCAACTGTCGTATTGTATCTACTATTTGTGATGACTCTTCAAGCGCTATCTGACCAGCCTCGATATTTTCGGCAAGATGCTCCAGGCTGTGAATCTTTGCTTCATCTGCAGCATCTACCCAAGTCTTGACTTTCGTCTTCAAATCAAGGCTAGTGCCTGTATTGACAGTCTCATCTCGGATGCTTGATCGCCGGCGGATATCCTTCCCTGACGAGTCTGATACAAGTTCGCTCTGCTGAGCAATGTCGGTGAAGTACTGGTGTACTTGCTTTGACTGCTTTGAAAGAGATGCAGAGACCTGCGATTTTGTGGAAACAATATTCTTGTGTAGTTGAGACACTTCCAGCAGAGCTTTGATATGTGGTATGCACATGTGATCCGACGACGAGACGGCGTTGTTGGCGGTCGTTCTCTGAGGCAATGACGAGGGCGCCGTAGATAGAGAGCGGCTTGCAACTGCTGATTCCTGCGAAATCATATCCAGCAACGCTTTTCTTGAGGATACGTATAGCGCATATTTTTCCTGGATGGCGTCGAATTGCCTCGAAACCAGGCTACCACTTGCCCCTAGCCTCTCGCCACTGTTGCCTTGGCCATCATCTTCGCCAGCAGAGGCTTTACTAAGCTCTGTTTCGATCCAGGTAATAAGCTCGTTCCTTGTCGTATTGAGTGCCTCAAACTTGACCTCTACTCGGACAGGCTGTGGAATTCGCGTTGTTTTGGATTTGGCATCCCGCAATAGCTGTTCTTCTTGCTTGAGAAGTAATTTGGCTCGGAGCACAATCTTCTCTAGATTATTAATCTGTTGTTGGATATCTGTTGGAGCTTGAACCTGCTCTATGACAATGGTATTGAGCACTTCTTGGGGCACTTTGGGCAACTGTGCTGTTCCTTCAAACATGCTATCCATGTCCAAATAGTCTTCCGCCGCTGCCGGCTTGTCTAGGAGATCTATGCATGATTCGTGAATAGCCGCAAGATTCTCCTTCTTTTCTTGAAGTTTTAAAATAGCAATATGTCGCTCCAGAGCGCTCTTAGCTACCTGATTCGGCGGTGAAGACCGCTGCTCTTGTAAGCGATGACCAGTAGCGATGGTGTCTGCATATCGTTTCTGTGCCAGTCTGTGTTCTACCAGGGCATTGAAATACTCCTTGGAGGTTTCATCGAGCTCTGGTGCCAGCTTCGCATTTTCATCAAATTCTTTGATGAGTGAAAGCGGTGGTCTAAGTGTGCCTGTTTCTGAGCATTGTCCTAGATGAACGGCAAGGACTCTTCGGATATAATTGACCTGTTCTCGTGATTTGATGTATGGCTGCAGGGCATGCTGGAACTTATCCAGCGTTTCGGTAACTTGGCTCATCCCCAGCACCCTTTTCGCCGTATTTTGTAACTGCTGTTGCAACTTCAGGATGCCATTATTGGTAAACACACCGCTGCCCCGCCGTGTCTCTGCCCAAGGCGCGTTGTGGTGGTGCAGCAGGCACAAGGGTGGCGCTAAACCGGATTGGGACGTAGCGTTGTGCGGCGGACAACCAGATCTGAAATTTATCTCTGCTGCCTCACGCGCTGTGGCGGGACGACCAAACTCCTCCTCTTTTCCATCCCCCAATTCCCCGTTTCTCCCATCATAAAAAAGGCAGAGCCCGCCAGGACCCGTCGTGTTATTACTTATTAGACGGAGGTAACGTATGGTTTATTAACCAGCCAGGCTCTGCCAGCTCTGCGTTGACGACGCGCCGACCGAACGACGACACCACCCTTCCAACGTGGCCATACAACCAGACCGCCCAAAATGTCGTCTGACGCCAATCGCGATGTGTCGCAATACAAATATTCGGCCATGTCTAACCTGGTTCTCCAGGCAGACCGTCGCTTTGTCACAAAACGAAGCGATGAGGCCACAGGTGATCCCGAGTCCCTCGCCGGCAGGCTGAGCATTCGCGATATGGGCTCTCGCATGGCACGAGATGAGATGCCCAAACAGAAGAAACAAGGCGCCATGCCTAATATTCAAAGAGGAAGCTTGCAAGAAGGTCAGGATGTCCTCCTGCGAGAGCAGCGAAAACGCAATGGCGAGTCGCAGCTCCGCGGTACAGGTCTCCTTGGCGCCAACGAGCCGCTAATCGAAGGTATTACATACCGACCTAGGACGCTGGCAACACGAGCAACATTTGACTTGATCTTGACTCTTGTCGCCAACAACTTGGGCGATGTACCCCACGAGGTCGTGCGAAGTGCCGCTGATGCAGTTCTCGAATACCTCAAAGACGATGACCTCAAGGACCTCGACAAGAAGAAGGAAATTGATGATATCCTCGGATCAAGCATGAACCCCAAAGAATTTAACGAGCTTGTTAACTTGGGTAAAAAGATTACAGATTATGACGCCCAGGACGACGATGAAGATACCAACATGGACGACGCCAACGGCGACGCCACCATCGATGACCGTCAGGGTGTGGCAGTAGACTTCGATGACGAGGAAGACGACGACGACAAACTCGTACACGAAGTCCGCGATGTCTCTTCAGATGAAGATGAGGATGCCGAAGAAGATGACGATGAGCAGGCTGCGAAGCCTGTCGACGATGCGGACGAGGGTGATGAGATGGTCCTCGATGGAGGAGTTGACACCGCCAATCAAACTAGCAAGTCAAAATCAGCCATCCCGGCCCGCGATATTGACGCCTTTTGGCTTCAGAGAGAGATTGGTCACTTTTACCCCGACGCACACGAACAGGCCGATAAGACGAAAGACGCCCTGCGCTTCCTTTCTGCTGAAGCTGACGAAGAAGGTAGCGAAGAAAAGACTCTACGTGAGATCGAAAACGACCTCATGGAACTTTTTGATTTCGATCACCACGAGCTCGTACAGAAGCTTGTCGAAAACCGCGAAAGAGTCTATTGGTTGACCAAGCTTGCGCGCACCGAGTCGGCAGAGGATAAAGCGAACGTCGAGCGCGAAATGGCATCCGAAGGCTTACAACATATCCTTAATGAACTTCACGGAAAGACCTCAACGGACGACCGCAAAGGTGCCATTCGGATGGACATCGATGTCCCAGCCCATACATCCGCAGCCAATGGGGAAGCGAAATCCGAGGCGCCAACAGGACTAGTTGGTGGTCTACAGCCCAGAAAACTCATCAATCTTGATAACCTCGTGTTTGACCAAGGAAATCATCTTATGACCAATGCGGAAGCTAGACTGCCCGCAGGAACGACAAAACGTTCTTTCAAGGGCTACGAAGAAATTCATGTACCAGCGCCGAAGAAGCGAAACGAGCCCGACGATGTTTCGGTGCCTATTTCAGAAATGCCCGAATGGGCCCAGACTCCCTTTAGCACCACAAAGGCTTTGAACAAGATTCAGTCAAAGTGTTATCCTACTGCATTCGGCGACGATGGAAACATCCTTATTTGTGCCCCTACTGGCTCTGGTAAGACCAACGTTGCCATGCTGACCATTCTGCGTGAAATTGGCAAGCACCGCAATCCTACAACAGGTGATATCGATCTCGACGCTTTCAAAATCGTTTACATCGCGCCGCTCAAAGCCCTAGTACAGGAGCAAGTGGGCAATTATGGCAAACGCTTGGAACCCTATGGCATTCGTGTTGCAGAACTCACAGGTGATCGTCAATTGACGAAGCAGCAAATCGCCGAAACACAAATTATTGTCACAACCCCTGAGAAGTGGGATGTCATTACAAGAAAGGCTACCGACCTGTCGTACACCAACCTTGTTCGCCTGATTATTATCGACGAGATCCATCTGCTTCATGATGACCGTGGTCCGGTTCTCGAGAGCATTGTGAGCAGAACGATTCGCAAAACTGAACAGACTGGCGAACCGGTTCGATTGGTTGGCTTATCTGCTACCTTGCCTAATTATAAAGACGTCGCCAGCTTCCTCCGTGCCGACGTTGACACTGGTCTCTTCCACTTTGATGGCTCCTTTAGACCTTGCCCTCTGAGACAAGAATTCATCGGAGTCACGGATAAAAAGCCTATTAAGCAACTCAAGACAATGAACGATATTACATACAACAAGGTTATGGAACATGTTGGCGTCAACCGCAACCAGATGCTTATCTTTGTTCATTCTCGAAAGGAAACTGCCAAAACTGCCAAATACATCCGTGACAAAGCCCTGGAATTGGACTCAATCAACCAAATTCTTCGACACGACGCCGGCAGCCGCGAGGTTCTAGCTGAGGCTGCCAATGAAGCTACCGATAAAGACCTGAAGGATATTCTTCCCTATGGATTCGGTATCCACCATGCCGGTATGAACCGTGTTGACAGAAGCGACGTGGAGGATTTGTTCGCGCGTGGTGCTATTCAAGTCCTGGTGTGTACCGCAACTCTGGCCTGGGGTGTCAACTTGCCTGCCCATACTGTTATTATTAAGGGAACACAAGTTTACTCTCCCGAAAAGGGTAGCTGGGTAGAGTTGAGCCCTCAGGATGTTTTGCAGATGTTGGGTCGTGCTGGTCGACCACAGTTTGATACCTACGGTGAAGGCATTATCATTACAACACAGGCTGAGATTCCATACTACACCTCCCTTCTCAACCAACAACTGCCGATTGAAAGTCAATTTGTCAGCAAGTTGGTTGACAACCTCAACGCCGAAATCGTTCTAGGCAATATCAGAACACGCGATGAAGGTGTCGAGTGGCTTGGATACACATATCTCTTTGTCCGAATGCTTCGATCCCCCGGCCTCTACCAGGTTGGAGCTGAATATGCGGATGACACAGCGCTAGAGCAGAAGCGTGTTGATTTGATCCATTCGGCGGCTACAGTGTTGAAGAAGACAAACCTCGTGAAATATGACGAGAAGACTGGAAAGCTACAATCGACCGAGCTCGGTCGTATTGCTTCGCATTACTACATCACTGCCAACTCCATGGAGACATATAACAACCTGATTCAACCTTCCATCTCCACCATTGAGCTCTTCCGAGTATTTGCCCTCAGCGCTGAGTTCAAATACATTCCTGTTAGACAGGACGAGAAGTTGGAACTGGCTAAGTTGCTGTCGAGAGTTCCTATTCCCATCAAGGAAAGCATCGAGGAACCTCACTGCAAGATCAACGTTCTACTCCAAGCGTACATTTCTCGACTGCGTTTGGATGGTCTGGCTCTTATGGCCGACATGATATATGTTACACAGAGTGCCGGTCGTATTCTCCGCGCCATCTTTGAAATTGCTCTGAAGAGAGGCTGGTCTTCGGTTGCCAAGACTGCTCTAGACCTGTGCAAGATGGCTGAGAAGCGCATGTGGCCAACCATGTCTCCGTTGCGACAGTTCCCGACCTGTCCTCGTGACATTGTTCAGAAGGCTGAGAGAGTGGATGTAGCATGGGATAACTACTTTGATCTCGACCCCCCTCGCATGGGAGAGTTGCTCGGCATGCCACGTGCTGGGCGTACCGTATGCGGCTTCGTAGCCAAGTTCCCTCGCGTTGATGTTCAAGCACAGGTGCAGCCCATGACAAGATCTATGCTAAAGGTTGAACTCGCAATTACCCCCAATTTTGAGTGGGATGATGCCTTACATGGTACTTCGGAAAGCTTCTGGATCATTGTCGAAGATTGCGACGGCGAAGACATTCTTTTCCACGATACCTTTATCCTGCGAAAGGACTACGCCATTTCTGAGGCTAACGAGCACATTGTTGACTTTACTGTCCCTATCACAGATCCCATGCCCCCCAACTACTTCATCTCCGTCATTTCTGATCGCTGGATGCACTCCGAGACCCGTGTTCCCGTGGCATTCCAGAAACTGATCCTCCCCGAGAAGTTCCCTCCCCACACTGAGCTTCTCGACTTGCAGCCTCTACCAGTATCTGCCTTGAAGGTAGCCAGCTATGTCAAGCTTTACCCTGACTGGGGCCAGTTCAACAAGATTCAGACACAAACATTTAACTCGCTTTACAAGACTGAGCAGAACGTTTTTGTTGGTGCCCCCACGGGAAGTGGCAAGACAGTTTGCGCCGAGTTTGCTCTCTTGCGCCATTGGATGGATGGCGAAGCTGGCAGAGCCGTGTACATTGCGCCATTCCAAGAATCAGTGGACGCTCGATATGAAGACTGGCAAAAGAGACTCAGTGGTCTTGCTGGCGGCAAAGACATCGTGAAGCTGACTGGTGAAACTGCTACCGATCTGAAGCTGCTCGAACAGGGTGATCTGATTCTGGCCACACCAACGCAGTGGGACGTACTTTCGAGACAGTGGAAGCGTCGTAAGAACGTCCAGACCGTGCAGCTCTTCATTGCCGACGATATTCACTTGCTTGGTGGACATATGGGATACGTCTATGAGATCATTGTCTCTCGTATGCACTACATCCGCACACAAACAGAGCTGCCTCTGCGCATCATTGCCCTCAGTGTTTCTCTTGCTAATGCTCGTGATGTCGGAGAATGGATTGATGCTAAGAAACACGACATTTATAACTTTAGCCCTCACGTCCGTCCTGTTCCGCTTGAGCTGCACATTCAATCATTCACCATCCCCCATTTCCCGTCTCTCATGCTCGCTATGGCTAAGCCTACCTATAGCGCCATTACTCAGATGTCGCCTGACAAGCCTGCGATGGTGTTCGTGCCAAGTCGCAAACAAACCAGAAACACCGCAAGAGACTTGCTTGCAGCTTGTTTGATTGACGAAGATGAAGACCGATTCCTCCATGCTGAGGTTGAACAGATGAGACCGCTTTTGGACCGTATTCATGAAGAGGCACTAACTGAGGCGCTCTCCCACGGTATCGGCTACTACCACGAGGCGCTTAGCCAAAGCGATAAGCGCATTGTCAAGCATCTCTACGACAATGGTGCTATTCAAGTACTCGTCGCGTCTCGTGACGTTTGCTGGGAGTTGACCAGCACGGCACATCTCGTCGTTGTCATGGGCACGCAGTTCTTTGACGGTCGCGAGCATAGATATGTGGACTATCCCCTGAGTGAAGTCTTGCAGATGTTTGGCAAGGCGCTCCGACCCTCCAAGGATGGTCGTGGTCGTGGTGTCCTGATGGTGCCCCAGGTGAAGCGAGACTACTACAAGAAGTTCTTGAGTGAAGCTTTGCCTGTTGAGTCGCACTTGCACAACTTCCTTCATGACGCCTTTGTTACCGAAATCAGCACCAAGATGATCGAGTCTGGTGACGATGCCATCAACTGGACCACCTTTACGTACTTCTACCGCCGCCTCCTTGCTAACCCAAGTTATTACAATCTCACAAGCACGACACATGAGGGTCTAAGCAACTACATGTCCGATCTTGTAGAGACTACGCTGAAGGAGCTTGACGAATCCAAGATTATTGACTTCGATGAGGAAGATGGTTCTGTGTCCCCTCAGAACGCTGCCATGATTGGTGCCTACTACAACATTTCATACATCACCATGCAGACCTTCCTTCTGTCGCTCAGTGCTCGTACGAAGCTCAAGGGCATCTTGGAAATTGTCACCTCGGCTACCGAATTCGAATCTATCCAAGTGCGAAGACACGAAGACGGGCTGTTGCGCCGTATCTATGAGCGTACACCAGTCAAAATGTCGCAGCCTGTATTCGATTCACCTCATTTCAAGGCATTCGTTCTTTTGCAAGCTCATTTCTCTCGCATGCAACTCCCTATCGATTTGGTGAAAGATCAAGAAATCCTCCTCACTCGTGTTTTGAGCTTGCTGAGCGCCATGGTCGACATTTTGTCATCTGATGGCCACCTTACGGCGATTAACGCGATGGAAATGTCGCAAATGGTGGTTCAAGCCATGTGGGATAGAGACAGCCCTCTGAAACAGATTCCCCACTTTGGTACCGACGTTGTCAAGGTCGCCAATGACTTTGGCATCAAGGACATCTTTGATTTCATGGAGGCTATGAATCCTGAGGAGAACCCTGACTACAAGAACTTGATCAAGGGCTTGAAGTTATCGCAGAAGCAGCTTGCCGAAGCTGCAAACTTCACCAACGACAAATATCCCGATCTTGAACTTGAGCATGAAGTCATGGACGAGGATGAGATTCGCGCTGGTGAACCGTCGTACCTTCAAATCCAGATTACACGTAATCTGGAGGAGGATGACGAACACGATTCAACAGTCCACGCGCCATTCTACCCCAACAAGAAGATGGAGAACTGGTGGCTAGTTGTTGGAGACGACAAGACCCAGAACTTGCTCGCCATTAAGAGAGTCACCATTGGCCGTGAGCTCAAGGTCAAGCTCGAGTACACTGTACCTACAGCAGGTGAACATAAACTGAAGTTGCTATTGATGAGCGATAGCTACGTCGGTGTCGATCAGGAGAGACAGTTTGTCGTCACTGTTGCCGAAGGCATGGAGGTTGACTCTGATGAAGAGGAGGATGAGGATGAGGAGTAAGAGAGGGTTTTGTTTTGAAGCTATTATCATTTCTTCTTTATTTCAACGAAAAAGTGTTGCGTTTTATTTTAATGTTATAAATGTATCAGTACAATTGAACAGATATCTTCCATATCACAGTCCCTGTGCAGTGTATCACTTGATACTCCACGTCGTCATGTCTGGACAAGGAGACAACGAGTTGGGATGCAGCCAATGTTTTGGTACGAGTTTCCTTTCATTACAAAAGTCCAAAGTAGCAAATCCATAAAAAGCCTAGCGGCCCAATGGCAGAGTCTAGAAACGCCTAAGACGCCTCAACACAACACAACCCAGCTCCTACGCCCCATCACGTGATGCCTATTTGAGTGACGTTCTAAGGCAAGGTCGCCGCATCAGACCAACTTCCCGAGCTTGGCCAGCCTTTTTCCAACATCTTTCATCACACGCACTGACTGTACTAAGTCGGCGCAAAGCACAAATCGGAGAAGCGCATCAAATCAACCCGTCCCACGCCTTGTAGCGCAACATTGTCTTTGCTTCCATTGGGCCGCTCTCTACGCGCTCCGTCACGCGTTTCAACCGGCTGCCGCTGACTTTGTCCCTTTGAGAGGCATTTGCCGGCACCACATTGCTCAATTACCACCCCAAGGCCAACCAAACACTACGCGACGCACTCTATCATCAAATCATGGCCGATACTACCCCCAATACCGCGGACGCTGCCCCCGCGGCAGCTGATGTCAAGGTCGACACTGCCGCCCAGCAAGCTGACGCCCAGCCTCAAGAGGCTTCCGAGAAGCAGGAGACCAAGGCTGAAGTTGGTACGTATGAGGACACTCGCTCCAATTCCTTTACGCGAGAGGAATACGCGCCGTGCGCCTAGATGATGCAGCGCATCTTATGCCTCGCAATTGCTAACCACGCTCCTAGACAAGCCCAAGCCTCAAGAGACCGAATCCGAAGCGAAGCCCGCCGAGACTACAAGCACCGAGGACAAGAAAGACGCCGAGCCTGTTGTCTCAGCCGACACTGAGATGAAGGATGCCGATGCTGCGGCCCCTGCTCCCAAGGCCGACCGTCGCAAGTCTGGCGCTGGCGAGGCCAAAGGCAAGGCCCTCAACAGAAAGGGATCCAAGGCCAAGCTGAACTTCAAGGATGCTAAGCCAGGAGACCACTTTCTCGTCAAGCTTAAGGGCTTCCCCCCATGGCCTGCGATTGTCTGCACCGAAGATATGCTGCCCGACGTCCTTCGCAACAACCGCCCCGTCTCTGCTGCCCGCGCCGACGGAACATACACAGATGCATATGCCGATGGCGGAAAACGTAGCCAGGACCGCACTTTCCCTATGATGTATCTCTTCACTAATGAATTGTGAGTACCGATAGTTGCGCCTCATTACTGAGATAGAAGCTAACACAACTGTAGTGGCTGGGTGGTCAACACAGCCTTCACAGAGCTCACTGGTGAGAAGGCGCAAAACTCCATCAACGACAAGCAGCGCAAGGACCTCCGAGCCGCCTTTGAACTTGCTGTAGAGCAGCACCCCATCGACCACTACAGAGACCTCTTGAATAAGTTTGAGGAGGAACGCTTGGCCGCCGAGGCTGCCGCTGAGGCCGCTGCAGAAGCTGCAGAAGCCGCGGCTCGCGAAGCTGCTGCGACTCCCAAGAAATCCAAGAAGAGCAAGGCCAAAGATGAGAATGGTGATGTAGAAATGGCGGATGCCGAGGGATCCACCAAGAAGTCTAAGAAGCGCAAGGCGGATGATGAAGTCAGCGTAAGTACCATGACCACACGCTCACTCGGACTAAGCTAACATGATTCAATTAAATAGACTCCTCAGCGCACCGACTCTGCCAAAAAGCCAAAAATCAAGCTCAGCACATCTTCAACACCCAAGACCACCAACGGTACCCCCAAGACCAAGGACAGTGCTGCCAAGACCAAGAAGAGCGAAAAGCCCAAGGAGACACCAGAGCAAACGGAGGCAAGTTGTTTTGGTGCTCTGATATACTATAGAGTTTATGCTAACTGTCCAATAGAAGCAGGTTTCGTGGCTTCGTCACAAGCTCCAGAAGGGCCTCTTGACTGGACCTCCAGTAGAATCAGAGATTAAGGGATTGTCAGGATTCCTTACGATCTTGGAAAAGTTTCCTGATCTTGAGGCGGCCATTATCAAGGCGACCAAGATCAACAAGGTCCTGAAGGCCATCCTGAAGCTCGAGAGCATCCCACAGGAAGAGGAGTATAATTTTAAGCCTCGCTCACGCACTCTTCTAGACAAATGGAACAAAGCACTGGCTGCTGCTGCTGCTGCCGCTCCCGCAACTGGTCCTACCAATGGTGCCAACGGAACGTCCGAAAAGAAGGGCACTCCTGCTGCTGAGGCGCCCAAGCCCACAGAGGACGTCAAGCAGTCTATTGAGACTGCACCAGTACCCGAAGCCGCATCAAAATCTGATGACAAGCCGGCTGCTGAGGTGAGCAAGAGAGCATTACATATGTCGAGCATTCTTTAGCTAACCAGAATATAGGAACCTGCTGCTGCAACTGCTGCCGCTGCGGAGTAGAGAGCCAAACCCAAGCAACTTGGCGTATTTGAAGCGCAGCCCGTCCTGTAACTGTATCTATGGCGGACTTCAGCGCCTTGGTTTCAAGATATATACTATTCGCAAATCGTGTCGCTGCTTTGCGGATGACCGAATTCTATACGATACTGCTGCTGCTCAGGAAATAGTGGCGTTAACGGAGTGCGCCAAGATGGAAGCTATCCTGACTGTGTTACGTACAGTCAGGAGAGTGTCATATCCGAGAATACTTTCTAAGCGGATTCTGAAAGTGAGAAAAGGGAACTCACTGCGCACATGGGTGCACAGAGAGCGAGACTCTGGTTCCCAAAGGGGTTATGTTGTTCATGCTGTCTTTGTTTTTAGTCTGAATATTTTATATTTCCTTTGTTGTCTTCATTGTATGAACTGTCTAGTCGATGAATATGAAAGAAATAAGTTGAGAATTTTCTCTATATTTATTATTTAATACTTTGTCACCGTCCATCATAAGGGCGCCGCTACTATCAAGGGAGACTGGAGTACTGTGTATGTACAGTGCTTAGCACGGTATCTTAACGCGTCCCCCTCTGACGACCGCGTCTGCGAGCTTCAAGCAAGCGGAGGGACAATTGCATTGTATGGCAGCAATGGCGCCAGCAGAAAAGGCCGATGGTGTTTTCGAACACGAGGATCACAAGGTAAGCAGGTAATGCATATACTGACTAGAGGCCCTAGAAATACTGATGTGTATCTATAGGCAGCTTTCATATTTAACCCGGACGATGACGGCGGCAAGAGTTCGCGGCCGAACAAACGCCGTAGAGTATCAAAAAAACTGACCAAAAAAGACAATGTATCGGATTTAGAAAACGTAGGCCTTTTTACACCACTCCTCAACGGTGCTGAAAAGCCAGAGTGCGTTGCGCTGCGGCAAACGCTCTTCGAAGATAGTTGGCGGGACATCGACGGAAGAATACAGGTATGGGCCAATTGGATCGGATATGATGGCCAATTCTCTAACATATATGCAGAAAATTCTTCGTGATTCGAATTCTGCAATTTTGGAACAAGTTACAACGTTTGTGGCGGACTCACAGTCGAAGACGTAAGTTCGGGGAACAACTATCGAGGATGGCCTATTAACCAAGACTACAGCATTGACAAGATCCCATCGACGTTTGTTATTACCGGTCCCGATATCGCCGCTCAAGAACTTCTCTTTGATCAATTAGCGGATACACTGCAGACTGCCACCTCCGGCAAATTCGTACGACTTCGGTCGTCGGAGACGGCGTCTCTCAAGGCGGCGTTGAAGCGAATTATTCAAGTTGTCACAACAAAAGGTGACAACGAAGATGACGAAGATGAAGATGAAGGCGTCAGAACACAAGGCGGTCGAAAGTATCTCGACTATGATCTCGAAGCACTCCATGCGTTTTTAAAGACTCAGCACTACGACCACGTCTTTGTATCTTTTCAAGATAGCGAAGGCTTTGATAGCGGCCTCCTCTCAGAACTTGTAACACTTCTTCGGTAACACCTCCCATGCGACCAAATTTACTATACATGCTAACATTCCGCAGGTCTTGGCGGCCGAGAATACCATTCACCTTGCTATTTGGTATTGCCACATCAGTTGAACTGCTCCAGGCTCGCCTCCTTAAGTCCGCTTGCCGACAGATCTATGGAGCTCAATTTGACGGCGTTCAAACAGAAGCTACGCTCGAAACGATCTTCAAAGCATCAATAGCAGCCTCCGATATTGGACTGCGGATGGGCCCTCTGGTGCTGCGCTGGATGCTGGATCGTCAGCGGGACCAAGTTGCAGGTATACAGCTGTTTGTAAGCTCGTTAAAAGTAAGAACTGGATGTAGTCGTCTTAACCATCTCGGTACTAACTTTACCAGTACGCATACATGTGTCACTTTTACGCGAACCCGCTCAGCATTCTGCTGTCTGATCAGGACAACTTCCAACAAGAGCATTTGGACGCGATTCGAAATACCCCGTCATTCCGTGCTCATGTAGAAGCATCGGTTGCTGATGGCTCTTTGGACTCACTTAATCATGCAAAGTCCATGATTGAAGATGACAGCTACCTGAAGCAGCAAATACAAGCAAGTGCTAAGAGTCGCCAAGCCTGGATAAACGAGCGACTTCGCTCGCTTCTGATATTAGAGACAGCAGGTCTCAAACTCGGAAGCTTTTCTCGGGCATATGTTGATGCCATGCGACAAGGTATCCTGATGGGTGAGACCTCTGCATTTGTGGAGGGTGTGCGCCGGCTAAGCATGGACAAGTTGCAAGACATGCTGCGTCGAATCATCGATATTGTCGCAAATGGCGACAGCAGCCTAAACCTGACGGGCCTAGATACAGCGCAAGGCAAGGCGTTGCAGGCGGGTCTGGAAGAACAGCTGGAGCAACTGATTGGCCTTCGAACGCGAGCGGAAGAAGCCGGTCTCACTGTACGAAGCAAGTACATGGGCCACGGCAAGGTTATGCGAACAACGGTGATTGCTCAGAAGGTGCAGCTGAGCCAAGACTCGGCTGCGCTGGGCGACGAAGACAGACAGCTCACAGCCATTATCGACTCGGTGACGAGCCTGCTCGCCGAGCATCGGCATGATGAGACAGTCCCTGGGCACGATATCCCGTTTTCTGAGGGATGGGTCTACGACTCTCGTAACCCGTCTCGCGACGTTTTTGTGCCTCGTCCTAGACTCATCTTTGAAAGGTGTCTTTTGCGTCCGCATGACTACCTGGTTTCGGGAGATGAGCCAGACGCTGTTGGGGTTCAAGCTCTGCAGCCGGCAACGGCGATCCTGTACCAAATGTACCAGGAGGCGGGAAGCCTGATCAATGTTGCCGACTTGTGGTCAGCATTCTACACTATGACCTCTGGACGAGGGAAAAGGGAGACTGGGGAGGATCAGGAGGAGCCAGTCGCAGAAGATGAGGAGGAAGATGAAGAAGGTGAGCGGCGAGCGTTGGTCATCTTCTATCGTGCCTTGGCAGAACTTCGAAATCTGGGGTACATCAAAGCAAGCAAGAAGAAGACGGACCATATTGCTAAGGTGAAGTGGCTGTAGACAGACCTGATCTCCCGGCCCAGATAACCAAAACATACAGACGAAACTCGACGAATATTTCTTACCGAAGAGTGCTAGGTAGATGGTTTAAAACAAATCTTCACATGAGACCACCACCACCACCCTTGCTGTTAGTTGATCTACCTATCACTGGGTAAGACGCGGTGTTTCCGCTGGACAGCAAAGAACACAAAATGTTGAGCATGTTTAAGACGATCGATCCTGAGGCCTCCACGTGAAAAGGAATGTTCCAAGGCCATTCTTCAGGATCGGCCCAACCTTGCCGTGCAACGGGCCCGATTACGTCGTCACGCCGGGGATGTGCAAGGAGCCATGCATTCAACGCTTTGGCCCAAAAGAGGCGGTAAAGCCTAACGAGCGAATAGGAAGCACGCGATCATGATTTCGCAGCCTCCTTTGACGTGGAAAAAGCAATTCTGGGACATGGCCGGCGCGAGTGACCAAGCAGCATGATGCGCAATGTTTCGCTGCGGGAGACGACAAGTCGGCTTCTCGACACGTCAATGGCCAGCCTCTCGGGTCCGAGGTGTCCTAGAAACTTGAACTGTAGCGCCTAGACGAGGGGGCAAAAGGGGTGGGAGGTTTTTTGGTGATGAGGCTGTCCACGACTTCTGGTCTTTTGTGGCGTTGTGAATCAGATCAGCGAGACACAGGGTACCAAAAATAGGTGCGTCGTTTATATGCACCACAGCGCAGACACACCCTTTTTGCTTTGCAGGCAGGGCCCCTTGAATCCAGCACCCGCTTCAGCCTGTCTCTTGCGCTGGATGAAATGAACCAAGGTTCTGCGATGTGCCGGCTTTTGCCAAGTTTGGTTTACAGGATGCCTTGGGCGACTTGGACCGCGGACAAGTGTCTCATCCCGCTTTTGATATCATTTACACCGACCGGCTGCAAGCCACCCCTTTTTTTTTGTTTGCTTGAAGTTTGGATATATCCTCCATCACAAAAATTAGCAATTAATTTATTCGTTAATTAATCCGGCTATTGATTAAAAAAAGAGGCCGCTCCTGGGGGCCGGGGCGTTCGCAGCGAACAAAGCCTCCCTGCATTCAGAATGGAGAACCCAGCTTTTAGCGTGGCCTACTAACACCGCGGGTATGTGACATATACTTTTGCGGGATCCGGAGGATAAAGTCAGAGTAAGGTAGTATCTAGTTTGTTGTAAAGCGAGCTAGTGCCGAGGGGAAAAAAAATAATCTCGGTGGAAGGGAAATTTGCACGAAACCAGAGCGTGGGTGATGGATGATCTGACGATGACCTGTTGTCTCGGTTTGATGAGAACAGTGTGTGGGCGACTTTGACCATCGGCAGTGCGGTCAGCGAGCCGATGAAACCAGAACAAGATACGGATTCGCTACAGTAGCAGTCAAAACGGAAAATACGTCAGTCGTTCGTCCGTTGCAAGCGAATACGCAGGAGGATTACAATGGGACGGACATGACAAACCTTTGGAACAGCATCCGGCGAGCCAGTAGCCCACGCGTCATGACCATTTTAATTTTTTTTGCCACAGCTAAATAAACGACGACTTTAGCATGAAAAGGCCAGCTACACCGGAGAAGAAGAGCAGAAAGCAGAAAGAAAACGGCAAGGCTCCGCTGCTATCGACGGCCGAACCCATATGAGGCCCCAGCAATGTCTCACTTTGACTTGTCGTTAACCTGCCGCCGCTCCCCACCTTTTCAGCTTCAGGTTTCGCACGTCTCTTCTCTTTTACCCTTTGGTAATTGCTTCCGGGCGAGCTGGTTCCGGAAACCCGCACTTGTCCAGCGAAACGGGCGGGTGCGGCGACCGACAGGTTGCGATGCCGGGTTTGTTGGTGTTGTTGTAAGACAATAGACATACGCTGGGCTGACTGACGTTGCGCACTCAATCTCGCCAGGCTTTGTTTTGCGGCGGGCTTGCTTGCTTGCCTTGCTTGCAGTGCATAGCGTATTAAGTTAATTGAATGTATGTTATCTGCAGGTATGATGTGATGTGATGTGATGGTGGTGGTGCACAAAAGCATTCATTCATTCATTCATCCTGTATTGTGTATAATTCCTTTTTTTTATGTGCGCCTCACTGTTGGGCGGCTTGCTTTTGCCATTGTGTGTCTTGCCCCCTTTTCTTTTTCCATTATTCTCCTCCCTTTTTTTTAAACTATTCCCTGCTCTTTCCTTTTTTGTTTCTTCGACATTTCTATAATTGGAACCCAGCACGATGTGCATCGTAGACAAACAAGCCATTAAACCAAAAAAAAAACAAGGGAGGTTGACGATTTCGCCCGAACAAAGAGGCTGGACGCCCTCTGTTGGGGGAAAGGTTGAGCGCTGTAACGAACCGCTATAGCGTACCCACCGACCGCCTGTAAGTGGGCACTCTTTGCATGCAGCAGGGCTGCGAACAATGGCCAACCTCTCTCTCTTCAGCCTCTTTCTTTTATGTTATGTTGTGTTATATGCAGCCAGCCTTTTGCATACGTTGCCAGCCGCATGGGGGGCTGCTTAGTAGTTATGCATAAGGAAACAATATTCCATGTGTTTCTGTACAAACCTGAATATATCCACTGAGCTGGTTTTCGCATCTGCAGCCGCAGCAGCAGCAGCCCTGGCTGGGCTGGGCTAGGCCTAGAGGCTAGGTAGGGGACATCAAGTCCTCGTTTACAGCGTTTGCGTCATATCACCACCGCCTGAAGAACACGGGCAGCGAAAGAAAAACCCTTGCTCTCGAGCAAATGAACGGCCAGGCGTGTCTCACCCGTGCCCACCTAAAAGAAATGTCTTGAACGGTGCGGCGCTGAAAAAGAAAAGGAATAAAAATAATAAATAAAAGGGAACAAAGCGAGACACTTTGGTCGCGGTGTGGGGGCCGCTGACGAACTGCACTGTGATGGCGCCTGTAAATTACAGTGGGCGAGCGCTGTGGCAAGTAGTGCTGGGCGAGCAAGAACAGGGCACAAAAGAGGTGGTGGGCAGCCTGGAACGGCGGCCGGTGCCTGGTTGGTTGGGTGTTGCCGGAAGCGTCACCACGCAGCCAATCAGAGGCTGCAGAATGAGACAAGAATGGTTGCATCTGCGTGTCTTGGCCATGTGGTCTTTTCCTTTTCTTTTATTCCTTTGCAATGTACTGCTTGAAAAGGAACTATTATTTCCCTTTTGGAGAAGTATTATTCGAGGAAGCCTGGGTTTTTATTTCCTTACAATTTGTTCTGGCTGTATGTCCCAATCCAGAAGTCCGCGCCGAAACACTGTAAGCTAGTGTGGTTGGGGTTTGTGTGTACGGCGTCTCGCCGCTGCGAAACTTGTCATGTCATTTGGTGTTTTGCAAATTGTGCCGCACTCGGCTGTTTTCTTTTCTCTACTTGCTGAGCAAATTGATTCGCCCAAGACATGGAAGCGGGCGCATGTGTTGTGCGCAGTCATCACGGCCATCTACACCACACCCTCGTTTTCGAGCTGACCTGCACGCCGCGTTTGTCTACAGCGCTCGGGTTCTGTTTTAGCCCCCTCTTTTTTGCTGCCCGGCCTCTTCCCCTCCATCCTTTGAGCATAGCCATTTCCAGCCCGACGTTCATGGCGGATGCGGATGTGGCTGGGGGGAGGCAACTTTGGGGCAAGGAAACGGGGCTACAGTGGATTCGCTGCTGGATGCTGACGGCGCCAACAAAGAGAACAATAGAGAGGCTTTCTTTTTCGGGGGGTTGTCCTCGTGGTCAAGGCTAGTAGCTTGCATCAAATCACCAACCCTCATTCGTCAAATGATTTTCGTGCTTCTGCTGCGCACGGCGCTTACAGCCACCTTTTTTCGTTTGTTTGCTCTTGGTGGTTCCCCCTTGCCTCCGCCTCCACGCTGCGAACGCCTGCAATCAATAATGCCAACGAAACCGAATAGCGTTGTCGTCTCCTTGATATAGCCCCGCGGTCGTCGTATGAGCGCCAGCGCAGCGCAGCGCAGCGCAGCGCAGGGCTAGGCGGGGTTGCAGTGCATCGCAGATGCCGAAAGGTTGCAGAGCAGGAGGCTGGCGTCGATTGGTGCAGGCAGTGAGTGCCCTCGTTTGGCTGTTGCTGAGTCTATGTGCGCGCTCGCCCTGCATGAACTGCTGTAACTTTAGGTGCATTAGTTAGTTACAGTAAGTATCCATCGGCACTACCAGAGCCAGCAGGCCGGCCGTGTGCGGATATTGTAAGAAAGCGTGAAGGAGGGGGCGGGCATCATGACGTTATCAAGTCGTCAACAAGTATAAGCCGGCCCAACAGGTCTAAGGGAACGAGGACAGGGAAAAAAAGAAGGTCTCAATTGGCATTTTTTGGCCAACTGCGAGCGGGCGCGGGAGCCATCGAGTGTCTCTGATGGCATTCGTATTCTAGCAGTGTCCCGGCTTCTTCCATGTTTTAAGGCTACAAGACATACTAAGCCCCAAAGCACCGAGATTAACAAGACACGCAAACGCAGGCTGGGCTTCGGTGGAAACGGCCGGCTGCGGCATTCCACAAAAGGCAAGAAGGGCAAAATTAGGGGACACAATTGCTTGTATAAAATCGAGATGGTGAAGAATGCAATTATGCTATTCTGCGAATGCAATTTGGGGACGCGGTGAAAAAAACAGCCGAGAGACGGAGGGCTTCTCGTTTACAGTTGGCGAGGGTCAAATGGCTTTCGGGCATGTTTTAGTTTGCTCGGGGAAAACTGGAACATGGAAAAGAAACAGGTTGTCGAGACGTTTGTCCATAGTGTGGTAACGCCTGGTTAGCTTCTCGTTTTTTCCTCTTCGCCCCCTTTTTTGTGTCTGTAGGAACCGTCGGGTCGGCCTCTTTTCCTGGTGTTTTAATTGTATGTCATGACCATCGGTTTTATGCACGCGTCGTAGTCAGTTTCCGGTGACGACTGACTTCAGTACAACAGGGGAGGTCGGGGCCGGGCTCCGCACACGGCGGCGGCGGCAAGGTCACTCACTCAAGCAGGCAAGGCAGGGGCCCGCCAGCGCATGCGCTTTAGTAGTGTTAGCGGGGTGGAGGCGCCTGTGGTGTATGTACCTCCCGTAATACAGGTCCAGACAAGTGGTACTTTGGCTCCTTTGGGCTCAGCGCTAGCTTGGGCGGGCTGGGCTGGGCTGGGCTGGGCGTCCAGCGGTCGCTGGCTCGCCCCTCCCCCCAGTTCAGTGGCCTGGCACAGTTGAGTGGTGCTGTGGAGATGACCTGACCGCATGCATGTCGCTTCTGCGCTGGCTTGAATCAACGAGGAGAGACCCCGACGAACAGAGTTTCTGCGGCCGGCTTCTTTCTCGCTAGTGTCTCTCTTGTCGCTGGCGTTTTGCCTTTTTTTTTATATTTTTTTATTTTATATTTTTTTATTCTATTCCACTCAAGCAAGGGCCCCGTCAAATACACTCTTCCACCCGCAACCGACCACCACCTGCTACTTACTTTACTTGCCCACCCCTCCAAAGCCCGAACCTTCTCTTTTTCTTCTCCGACCTCCCCTCCAAACTTCACTTTCCCCTTACATTTTCTATTTTCTCGGGTTCAGCCTCCTCTCTTCTACACCTGTTCGTCTTGTATTCGGAGATATCTTCATACCGAACTCTCACCCCTTGCGTTACTGCTCTCTAACGCTGGCCGGCCAGATCCCATATAATCGCTTTCGCCGCCACTAACTCTCTGACTGTATCCCAGCCATTCACGCTGAGGCCAGCCCGGGATTCACTCCCGACACTAAAAAGAGGGAAAACAGCCTGCTTTCCCCATAAAGCACTCTCGTCGCACCGTTAACTAGACACATTGACTCTCACCGTCTGTTCTGTTACCTAGACCTGTGTCGCCCGCGCTGCTTTTGCCTGTTGCCGCCACAGTAGAAGACGACGCAGAGCTACACGAGCACGCCGCTTCCGAGCACCACGCCTCACGCCTGCAATTAGTCGTGTATCTGTGCATATATATTCTGCCTGTATCGGATATTGTCGCACAGAAACCCCACGAACAACTTGGCATATTCTTCTTCGCCGTGCTTGTTTGCCTCGGAGAATAAAGAACACTCTGTGTCCCAACCAGGCGGTGACATCTCATACGAATTGAACTGCACCGCAAATCCTGCACACGATTGATGCAGACGACCTAGACTTTCAATTATACACCGCTTCACTGCACAATTCCATCCCGCTTTCTCAGTGCGGCATCCAACGCAACGTCCTGTTTCCACGTCCTGTACCCGGCCGCATTACATAGTCACCCTCTATTGCTCTATTGTGGCTCGCCGACAACCGTCTACTTGTACACACACACACAAACTACACGCATTCCCAAAATGAATCGTGACTTTTCTTCACAACAGCAGCAGTCTCAGCAGGCCGCCTCTTCAGGCCCTACTTCTGCATCTGCCGCCTCGACCTCCACAACCACCGTCGCATCTCGAACGCTCAGCCGACGAAACCGCAGAAGAAGTCGCTCCCAGCGTGGTCTTGTCACGTCATCCACATTCAATGCTCAACTACCTCATCTCAACGCCGGTGTCCCTCCTAATGCCAGTAGTTTACTGGTCCGCAACCCGAGACTCGCTCACAAGCTCCGCCAGATGTCGCTGCCTTTGAGCCCGCTGGTGCAGCTCACAACTGGTGCCGTCCACCCCGACTTCCCTTCAACTGTCTTGCACTTTTGGCTCTTGACCAACGACCAGCTCGAATCATTAGCTAGCTTCTATCACCAAGCCCGCCCCTCGCCCTGGTCGGGCCAGTACCCTTGCCCCGTCCGCTGGCGATCAGACGCTCCCCTCGAGGAGAAGCGCCGCCGAATGGGTCGATTCATCGGCCTTCGTGGATGCGAACCTTCGTCTGGACCAGGCTCGCCCAGGTTTTCTGCAGCTCTTCTCGCCTCCAAGTCTGACGAAGAGCTCATGCGCGAGATTAGACTCGCCGCCATGGCCAGCGATGAAGAGGCCATGCGTCGCAAGACATTCCCTGGTCCTTTCCACAGGTGAAGACGGCGTGCGAGAGTGTTGTCAAATACTGTTTTGGGCACTTTTGATTTTCTTGCACAGCACCCCTTTTTATGACTTTCTACACCACTGGTCAGATGTCTCCCTTCTATTTACAGGGGCAGCATCACCTCTTACAAACAGCTGCGAAGCACGCGTCCTTCGCCTTGTTTCTTTGGCGTTTTTTATCGTTTAGCGAATACATCCTGCTTGGCGTTATATTTTGTTTTTATCCGCCATGAACTCCTTGGACACAGTCGAAGACAGACTCGTTCATTATATGGAGTCAAACTATCAGGGGTGGTTACTTGTTTTTTTCTTTATACACTGGCGTTATGTTTCTAGATATAACATCGGCCATCTCTAGCAATGGAGCAGCCGACATGTTTGATGACTTAGCTTAACGAACAGAGAGAGTATGTATATCTACATGTTATATACGAGTTCAGGGCGCAGAATACATGTGGTTACAAACGAGGCAGAGAGATGCTGCTAAAGAGGCCACCTTGTTAGTATTACAAGAAAACGAACCAAAAATGGAATAATTACCCAATCCTTCCTTTCACTCGCTCTCTCTTTAATATGTCACTGTGTTGTAAAAACAAAAGGAATCAGTGTTCAAAGCTGGCCAACTTTTAGTATATTAAGCCTGTCCCAAAAGTAAAGGTATGCAAATCTATGTAAGAGGAAACAAAGAACGCCATATACGCCTTATCAGCTGCTGTCACCCACCAGCCGTCCGTCCTTGTCCATCGCCTTCATTGAATGGCAAGGCATCACGTCAGTACACGCGAATATATCGAACTCGGACTGCATGCGCCTCTTCCGTACTCTAGCGGCCCTGCGGCGCCGTCTACCCCTGCAAGTCGCCTAGTTCTTGCTAGGTGTGTCAACGAGCACAGCGTCGTCCTCGCTTCCCTGAGTCGTGCTAGCAGCCTTTTCCTCATCGAGCTCCTTCATGAACTCAGTCGAGATCTGGCCGCGGCGCTTCTCCCACCATGCCTTCTCAGCTTCTGTCTGGGCCTCGATCTCAGCCAGGCGTTCGCGAAGTCTTGTGTTGCCGGAGATTTCGTGTGCGGATTGGAAGATGGTAGGGCCCCAGTTCGGTACGAGAGCGTTAGCCTGCAGATTAGGTGTTAGTATGTGTATTTCAGTTCCATAGTCATGGGGGTAACATACCTCAGTCACAACATCGCGCAGCTCCTCCTCCATCTCCTTCTCAGCACGCTCAAAGCGCTGCCAGAGGTCGTCACCGACGCTGCCGCGCTGCAGGAGAGAGCTGCAGGCCTGCTTGGCAGTCTTGATCTGGATGAGGCGGTCGATGTCCTCGACAGCGCGGCGCAGGAGAGCAGCCTTGAGAACGCTCACGGGGACACCAGGGGTGTTCTCGTCACCGTCCTCGGGCTCCATGTGCATCAACGACATGTAGACGTTGCGCTGGAGGTTAGGGCCGAACCATGGGGCCAGGTTGGCGCTCTCGGCTAAGGAAGAGCTGTTAGCATGTGCGCTTGCATGAGCAAGTTGAGATGAAAGCTTACCAGCACGGCGCTTGCGGTAGATGGATGAAAATGTCATGAGAGCTCCGCTGAGAACAATCAGGTAGGCAAAGGGCAGGGCGAGGCCCTTCCAGTCGATTGAGAAGAACATGGTGATGGTGATGTGGCGGCAACCCTTGCGAGCTGTCTGGAGAGTTGCTTGGGGGGATGATCGGGCGTCTGGTGGCGGAAGAAGGCGAGATTATTTAATTTCGCAGTTCTAATATGTTCAATCGATCGTGCTGCGCGCAATTCGACAATGCGGAGGAATGCAAAAAGGCTGTGCTGTCGCAAATTGGGCCGTTGTCAAAGCAAGGTTACAGAGAAGGGGAGCGACGTGCTTTGTACATCTGGACAGATAATCAATGCTAAAACGGGTGGTGGTGCTGAGAGTGCCGCCAAATTCCCCACAGGGCACCACCACCGCCTGTAACACTGTGTGTGTGTGGGTGGGTGTGGTGCTGCTTCTCATGCGTTGCGACGGGCCGAATGTTCTCCCGGCTTCTGTGGCCACCCAACTGCGACTCGCCCCAGGCGGGTAGGCACCCACGCCAATGACGGAATGCGGTGCAGTGCAGCCCTGCCTTTCTCAGCTAAGCAAATCGGAGCTTGCAAACGCCACCACGACCACCCACGCCTTCGTCACTTCATCCTTCGATCACAATCTGCTTTTGACGGCGTGCACTATTCAATCACTGACGGCAGCATCACGGGATAGCTTGCATCAATAAATACACGAGATACCCGTTTAATCCATCCGTCTACAATACTCCTGCTGCGGGCTGCCCCTCCACACCCGATTCATCATCACCAACACCGCCCGTCATGTTGCTGCGCTTGCGCGGGCCAGACGGCATGATCCGTCTGACCGTAGAGTCTAGCACAACCTTTGGTCAGATGGGTGAAATGGTAAGTGTTTTGAATTAGACGGGGAGCGAAGCTCCCATGATCCCTCCCTGGAACAGAGTGTTATACTGATCGGCATGCTGTCACAGCTTCTAGAGCATCTTCCCAAGACAGTCGATCCCAAAACAATAGCCATGTCCAATGCTCCCCATGGTGGTGATTCTAAGCGACTGGGAGACATTATCAACTTCAAGATTGGCCAAATTGGACTTAAGTAAGTTGTGGTTCTATCGGAATGTCATTTGCTGCCAAGCTAACAACACTATCACCAGGCACGGCGACCTCATCTTTATTAGCTACAAACACAAATCCGATTCCGGAGATGGAGACAACGCCCCTACGACAACATCTGCAAGACTAAATGGAAAGCCAGTCCTCCCTGCCGAAGACCTCCCGATCGACCCCCGCCCCGAGAGGATATCCAAGCCATGGGAAGTTGTTAAGCAGTCTGCGTTGGACGACCGACTAGACAAGCTCGACGGCAAGATCCCCAGACCCAAGGATAGAATGTGCCGACATGGTCCCAAGGGCATGTGCGACAACTGTCAGCCCATGGACCCCTTTGACCCAGCCTATCTCGCCGAGAAGAAGATCAAGTACCAGTCATTCCACTCCCATCTCCGCAAAATCAACGCCGCCACAAACCGACCCGAGCTAGGCAGCTCCTATATCCCTCCCTTAAATGAAGCATACTACAGAGTCAAGCGAGACTGTCCGTCTGGCCATCCGCAGTGGCCAGAGGGTATTTGCACAAAGTGTCAGCCAAGTGCCATCACTTTGAACCCACAGCCATTTCGTATGGTGGACCATGTCGAATTCTCCTCGCCCGATGTCATTGACGGCTTTATTAACACATGGCGAAAGACGGGATCTCAACGTCTAGGCTATCTGTACGGCGCATATGCAGAGTACACTGAGGTTCCCCTCGGTGTCAAAGCCGTCGTAGAGGCTATTTATGAGCCTCCTCAGGTAGATGAGATTGACGGAATTACTCTGAATGCGTGGGAGAACCAAAAGGATGTTGATGCCGTGGCCAAGCTCTGTGGGCTAGAGCCCGTGGGCGTGATCTGGACAGATTTGCTCGACTCTGGCAATGGAGACGGCTCCGTTGTGTGTAGGCGCCATGCCGACTCATACTTTCTTTCGTCGCTTGAGACTTGCTTTGCTGCCAGGCTTCAAGCGCAATATCCCAAGCCAACAAAATGGAGCGACACTGGCCGATTTGGCTCCAACTTTGTCACCTGCATCATTTCTGGAAACGAACAGGGCGAGATTGCCATCTCAGCATACCAGGCCTCAAATGACGCTGTCGAGATGGTCCGCGCTGACATTGTTGAGCCTTCAGCAGACCCCACACAGATGCTTGTTCGTGAAGAAGAGGAAGATGACGGTTCCACAAGCCGCACAAGATATATCCCTGAAGTCTTCTACCGCCGAAAGAACGAGTACGGCGCCAATGTGCAGGAAAATGCCAAGCCGGCTTTCCCTATTGAATACCTTTTCGTCACCCTAACTCACGGCTTCCCGGCCGATCCCAAGCCTGTCTTTACACAAACAGGATTCCCTATTGAGAACCGCGAATACATTGGTGAAAGCCAGGAGCCCTCTGCGCTTGCCAAGTCCCTCAAGTTGGCCCGGGGGCTCAAGCCCAGCAAAAACGGCGAGGAAGTCTCGAATTTCCATCTCCTATGCTTTATCCACCAAATGAGCATCTTGTCCAAAGTAAGTAGAACTGTCGTATCAACGCCTTCTGGTACTAATCATGATGTCTTACACAGGACGAGGAGGCGCTGCTCTGCCGCGTTGCCAGCACACACGATCTATCCGACTCGTTCCAGCTGCGTTCCTCGGAGGGATGGCAAAATCTTCAAGCCATTCTCCAATCGACTGGTGAGCGAATCCCCAAACGCCGTCGCGAAGACCCGATACCTAGCTCCCCTCCCGCGCCACCTGCTCTTTCTTCCACCCTCTCCTCCTCCTCGCACACTTCCTCCACCCACTCCTCATCTTCTACATCTTCTGGTGAGCCCCTTACTAAACGTCTGGCTGCCTTCAGGCTAAACGAGCGCCATGCGCCGCATCGATAATACGTCACATATCGTCTTTCGTTTTACATGGCCATGTGTAGTTGGTCTTTTACTGCTAGTGAAAACAATCTTAGGAGTTTGACGGCATTTACGTCACAGGAATAGCAGTCTAGGGGCAGAGTAGCTGCGGGTGAAGCATCCGAATATTGAATAAATAAACAAAGAAATTATAAAAGAAACTAGCAAATTCGCATCCGTGGGGCATTCCTTGATCTCCCATTTGCTTTTAGTGCGCCGCAAGGCTCCTGCATCGATCTGCAGCCTATCGCATTCCATCTAACATCCATTGTTTTTCTTTTTTTATATTTTGAGATTTATTCCCGTAAGCCCAGGCTTATCCAAAGCCAGAGACTTGGTGATTATACAGCATTGCCTTTATAGGGGCTTGCCGCCAATGAAGTTGGACCAAGCCCTGACCTCAGCGGGGATGCCTTCCTTTCGTGGGAGCTTCTCGTTCATGCACTGGGCGAACAGGATAGCAGTCTATAGCGGTAGTTAGTATACGAAACGTCAAAGGCATATTAGTGGAATTCTTACCTGGGGCTCCATGAACAGAGGCACGCCAAAGTCGACGGCGTTTCGACGCATGACGTAGTCAACATCAGCAGTAGTCTTGCCACGCTGAAGGGCAAGGTTGAAAACACCGCGGATGTCGTACTTTTGGAAGACTTCACGGAGAGCACGCTTATCATCAGTAGGGAACTCAATGACCTCGACGTTGACGTTGCCCTTGCAGCTAGACTCGATGTGCTGCTTGACGTCGTTGCCAGCTGCGTACAGCTTGTAACCGAGAGGGGAGAGGTAGTCGACAACCTGGGTGAGCCAAGACTCGTTGACCTCACCACCAAAGAGGAGACCCTCGCCGGGCTCAGGCATGCGGAAGTTCATGGTCGACTGAAGCGAGGTCCAGTAGGCTTCGACGAGATCCTTACCGAAGCAGGCGATTTCACCAGTAGAGGCCATCTCGACACCGAGGAAGGGGTCGGCACCGGCAAGACGAGTCCAGGAGAATTGGGGAACCTTAGTAGCAACGTAGTCACGCTCAACCTTCATGAGATCGGTAGGGTCGGGAACCTGTTTGCCGACAAGCGCCTTGGTGGCAACGTCGATGAAGTTGGTGCCGAGGACCTTGCTGACAAAGGGGAACGATCGAGAAGCTCGCAAGTTGCACTCAATGACCTTGAGCAGAGGCTCGCCGCCCTCGGGGTTCTCCGCCTTGATAATCTGCATGTTGAAGGGGCCGGTGATGTTCCAGGCCTTGGCGACACGCTTGGCAATGTCCTTGCAGCGCTCCTTGACGGACTCCTCGAGGTTGACGGGGGGCAGAACAAGCGTGGCATCACCAGAGTGAACACCAGCCTGCTCGACGTGCTCAGACACAGCGTGGACAATCAGCTCACCCTTGGAGGCGACACCGTCGACATCAATCTCCTGAGCACCCTCAATGAACTTGGTGATGACAACAGGGTGGTCAGGCGAAACATTGGCAGCAGCCTCAAGCTTGTCCTTGAGATCCTCCTGGCTACGGATGACAGTCATAGCAGCACCAGACAAGACATAGCTGGGTCGCACCAACACGGGGTATCCAACCTCCTCAGCAAACTCCTCAGCCGCCTTGACCGAAGTCAGCTCCTTCCATGCAGGCTGGTCAATGCCAATGCTGTCCAGAATCTCCGAGAACTTCTGTCGGTCCTCAGCCTTGTCAATATCCAGCGGGTCGGTACCCAGCACCTTGGCCCCACCCGTCTCCTGCAGGCGCAGCGCAATGTTCTGTGGCAGCTGGCCGCCCACTGACACCACCACGCCCGATGCGCTCTCCAGCTCGTAAATATCCATCACACGCTCGTAGCTCAACTCCTCGAAATATAGCTTATCCGCCGAGTCGTAATCAGTCGACATCGTCTCCGGATTATAATTGATCATGACAGTCTTCTCTCCCATCTGGCGGAGGGCCTGGACGGCAGAGACGGCGCACCAGTCGAACTCGACGGAGGAGCCGATACGGTAGACACCGCTGCCGAGGACAATGGTGCCCTTGTCCTCGAAGGTGACATCGTGGGAGGAGCCGTTGTAGGTGGTGTAGAGGTAGTTGGTGTCGGCGGGGAACTCGGCAGCGAGGGTGTCGATACGCTTGACCCAGGGGCGGATGTTGAAGCTGAGACGGACGGCGCGGACCTCGTCCTCGGTGGCCTTGACGGCGTTGGCGATCTGGCGATCAGAGAAACCAAGCTTCTTGGCCTTGAGGATCTGGTCCTTCTTAAGGGCCTGGAGGCCGCCGGCGTTCTGGAGCTCGGTGGTGCAGTCGACAATGTTCTGGAGCTTGTAGAGGAACCACTTGTCGATCTTGGTGAGGTCGTGGACCTTGTCGACAGAGTAGTTTTCGTGAAGCATGGCCTGGCCGACGGCGAGCCATCGGCGGTCGGTGGGGTTCTGGAGCTCGTAGTCGAGGTCGTCAAACTTGTCGCCCTGGAAGCCGACGAATCGGGGGTCCACCTGACGGATGGCCTTTTGGAAGGACTCTTCAAAGGTACGGCCGATGGCCATGACCTCACCGACAGACTTCATGGCACTGCCAATGTCGCGCTTAACGTGCTGGAACTTGGCGAGATCCCATCGGGGCATCTTGGTGACGATGTAGTCGAGCGAGGGCTCAAAGTTGGCGGTGGTGGTCTTGGTCACGGCGTTGGGCAGCTCAGGCAAGCTGTGGCCGAGACCAATTTTGGCGGCTGTGTAGGTTTTGGGGTAGCCGGTGGCCTTGGAGGCCAGGGCCGAGGATCGGGAGAGACGGGCGTTGACCTCAATGACACGGTAGTCGAGGCCGTCGGGCTGGAGCGCGTACTGAACGTTGCACTCGCCGACAACGCCAAGATGTCGAACGATCTTGATGGCGGCGGATCGGAGCATGTGGTACTCCTCATCGCTCAGGGTCTGACTGGGGGCAACGACAATGGAGTCACCGGTATGGATGCCGAGAGGGTCAAAGTTCTCCATGTTGCAGACTGTGATACAGTTGTTGTTTGCGTCACGGACGACTTCGTACTCGAGCTCCTTCCAGCCCTTGAGGGACTTTTCGACGAGAATTTGGGGCGAGAGCGTAAGCGATCGCGCCGCCATGTTTCTGAGCTCTTCTTCGTTGTTGGCGAAGCCGGAGCCGAGACCACCCAGAGCGTAGGCGGCACGGACAATAATTGGGTAGCCGACCTTTTCGGCGGCATCGAGGGCCTCGTCAATGGTCCCGACGGCAATAGACTTGGCAATGGGAATGTTAATCTCTTCAAGAGCCTTGGCGAACAGGTCACGATCCTCGGAGAGCTCGAGGGTTCGGACACTGGTGCCGAGAACCTTGACACCGTACTTTTCCCAGAGGCCTAATCGCTCCATCTGCACACCCAAGTTGAGGGCAGTCTGTCCACCAAAAGAGAGGAAGACGCCATCGGGCTTTTCTCGCTCAATGACGTAGGAAACATATTCGGGGGTGACGGGAAGGTAGTAGACCTCGTCAGCAAGAGAGTGGTTGGTCTGGATAGTGGCAATGTTGGGGTTGATGAGAACAGAGGCAACACCGGCCTCCTTCAGAGCCTTAAGAGCCTGGGCACCTGCGCGCGCTGTTAGTGACTGATTGACAACGCAAAGCTAAATAAAAAAAGTCAATTGACTTACCAGAGTAATCGAATTCACCAGCCTGGCCAATGGCAAGACCACCACTACCAATGACGAGCACCTTTTTCACATCTACGTGCTCCTTGGGCTTAATGACACCGCTGTCAAGGTAGGCCTTGGGATTGGGCGCTTCCTGGACGGCGGCGCTGTAAGATCGGAGGATTGTGACGGTGCCGAGTCGTTTCGACTGGTTGAGTCTAAGAGATGGTCTGACGGAGGCATTGATGGCCGCGGAGGAGAAGGATCTGGAGGAGAGGGACTGAGGAATGCGGCGGCCATGACGGAGCAGAGCCGGTGCTCTGCCCGCAATGGTGGAGGAGATGGCGAAAGGCATGCCTACGACGGAGTTCGAGGGCTTTCTGTTTGTTCAACCGATGAAATATCGGGAATTGAGGCCTGTGAGGGCGCGGGGAGAAGAGAAATCTCGTTGGGGCAGCACAAGGAGGTGAGTGTGTGCCAGCGAAAACAACCAATGCCCAATTCCAGTTGTTCTTTAATTGATAAAAGAACAATGGGCAGAGAGGAAGCGAGGTGAGGATGAATTGACAGAGGGGAAAAGAAAAAAATTGTGGCGCGAAACGGATTAAAGCAAAAATGGCGGAGAGCTTCAACCTGACCGGCTTTGGCTAGGAAGAGGAGGTGAGTGCGGCAGACTGGAGGAAATCGGAGCAGAGTGACTCTTTGCCCAACGCGGGAAAAAGTTAAAGTGGGGCGCTGGAGATGGATCTGGAGAGGCATTTGCAGTGGCAGCTGTCAGGACCCAGGGTCCGAGGCCGGTCGACGGAGGCTCACACAGTCACAGCGGCTTTTTGGGTGTGTTTGGCGGGCGCTCAGCGACCATTCGAGGGGCCATATCCACTGTAACCCCCGACATGCACCCAGACTTGGTAGGGCCGTGTGGGGACTCTGACCCAAGCTCGCCTGCAGGCTGCGCGCCATTGGCTCCAGCGATAGCAAACTGGGGATTCTCGTCTGCCGGATGGGGCCCGGGGGCTCGCTCGCTGCATTCTGGTGCCGCTGTGCAGTGGTAGATGCGGTGCTACAGGGGGGCTTGACTACTGTACTGACAAGGGTTGCGCCCGCGCCCCATTCCCAGCAATGCTTAGCGCATCTCCTTATCAATGAGCGCCCACCGCGTCCGCTGTAATATTTTAAGTTGCCGGTGGTGGTCGACAAAAAAAAAGTTGGTCAAGGAATTATGGAGTGGGTGGGATGGGGGCGTTTTCTCATTACGTTTAGCCTGTGGCTTCCAGAATATCTCCCAACTAAGAATGCAACATGCATGCTGCTGCGTAATAAAAGAGCTTGCGTTGGCGGTCAGATTTTGGCTTCTTGCTTTTGTCTGTTTCGTAGGCCATGTAAGGATGTGACAACCCTGCCATTGGACCTCGTACTGTAGTTAGTAGGCCGGTTAAATCAGAAAAAATACACGACGTCTGTGGAAGATTATGCCGCAACAGCCGATTCATGATGACCCTCAGTTGGGGGCCTTGAGGTCCCCAATTGCGGGCTTTTTTCTCTAGCACAATGGCTCGGCTTACTCGCGTGGGAATAATCATCCGCTTCTTGGTCGAGACTGAGTCGGTTTAACATTGGACGTTTACTATTTTGTTCTGTGGCTGGCGAGAGTGTTGCGGAAGCACCGTACCGGCACACACCCTGTCGGCGACTACCCGAGAGGGCTATAAGCAGCGTCATTGCAGATCTTTTAATTTGGCTACAGATAAATTTTCTACATAAGTTGGTTGGTTTGAGTATTGTAGACTATACATGAAATTCTTCCGTATCCGTTTGAGTGTCGTATTGGTTCCCAGTATATCTTTCTGATGTTGTTAAGATTGTATTTCGTTTGTCCAACATCTTGAGGCGAAAGATTATTTTCTAGACTTTACCATGGCACAAAGAATCGACCAATTCAACTCGGGAGCATTCATTTTTCTAGTAGAAAATCACACCAGAGAGGCATATACGCGGCCAGAATTTACTTTACACCATAAACTCATCACACGACGATTCATTTGGGAGCCATGAGCACCGGATGTCAATGCTGGTACCCACCGAACAAACAACCTAATGGGGTCACAGCACTTCGAAACAGTTGTCTCTCACAATGCGCCGGTCTTAAGAGCAGTGTCTTACGCAATGTCCCTTGACTTTTGGAATGCTAGCGACCACCCCCTTGCACCTGGAAAACAATAACTTGCCCATCTTACCAGAGGAAACCCGCCGACTTGATCAACACGCCGGCTATTCTTGATGCAGGTGAGGTCGGCACTTGTAAGCAAGCTACCTAACATGTAAAGCGCAAGAAAGGATAAAGGCAGAAAGGGACGAATCGAATCAGAGCAAGCATGATCTCAGTCGTAGATCCAACGTCCTTTGAGGTGCGTTGCAAGGCTCCCTTTGATGTCTTCGAGCACCCTGTAACGCTGGGCGCTATTGCGAGTGGATTCCTCCCTACCCTGCGCATCTGGTGGTTAACACGCAAAACGCATAACCTTTATAAAGCGCTATGACGACATACGCTAATAGTAATGCCAGTGGCAAAAGATGGTCGCTAGAGTTTGCCCTCAATAGTCGCCTGCCAAGGCGCTGTTTGGCGATCATCAACTACAATGCATATAGAACGCGTCTTTGTCTGTAGACATGTTGTGCATCCCACGATCGCGTGTTTGGTAGGGTTTACGATGCGTTCGCTGATCAAACTGGGGTTTGCCAAGCAAGCGCGCTTTTCAAAGCAACGAACCGTCCTTACAGCTGGCACAGGTGTCAGAGGGCTGCTGTCAGTTGGCAAGATGGTGGTGCAACAAAAGGCGAAGAGGGTGCGGCGCCTCGTCCATCTCAACTTTCATCATATCAACTTCCAGCAGACAGCAAATAATCGGCATAAAAAAAGACTTGAATATAGAGGTTGACTAGGAGATCAGATTTTATTTTATTAAAGAAGCCTTCTACTGTTCGAGAATTATTCTCCGTCGGAGATGGGAAATCTCCTAAATAATTCGATTTGATCCCGTCTCCTAGTGACAAGTTTGTTATCCATTCGTCCCAGCCGTCTATACCAGACAAAACGTCTCCGCTGACTGACCGCTATCAGTGGTGCACCAGTGCTTATGGTACTGAAATTAGCCTCTTCAGTTACCTCATTGGCCATGATCTGGACACTGGTCGCCTCTTGACCCCCGTTGGTTCTTGTTGATGCTGGCTCAAGGGTGCCTTGGAGGAATGCTGGGAAATTTCCTTGACCCCTCTACAACGGAGTGTGATAGACGACCGTCTGAGCCATCTTGGGAACCTTCGGTATGTGTGCTTTGAATAGCCACCAAACGCTTGGTTCCCCGCTCGTTGTCTCTGAGACATGTGAATTCCAACAACAACATGCGAGCCGCTGCCATGGTTGGGATTTCCTTGGTTGTCCTGTCACACCATGGGCTATTCTCGTTCCATTGCACGAGTTCTTGCTGCAAAGTGTAGGGCTTCTTGAACTGGTGGACCTGGACTATCATATTCGACTGCCCAAGCTTGTCCGCCCGAGACAAACAAGCGTTGCTATGGCCGGTGTAAGTGTTCGGGGCTGCCACCCGCCAGGTATAAGATCTGGCGGGCAGAATGAAGCTTGTCACTAGCCACCTAGAATCTCTATTCCCCCTCTCTCTCTCTCTCACCCCATCTCTCATTACCTCCTCCCCTTCTCTCGCCTCACGACTTTGTCTATCTCTTCAAACAAGTCCTGCCAAAGCATCGAGTTGCTGGCAGTCACACTACCCCTATCGTTTATTTATCTTATTACTTAATTTATACCGCCCTCACACAAAATGAAGTCCAGCGTTGTTGCCGTTCTCCTCACATGCCTCGCCGGCACTAGCTTGGCAGCGCCCGCTCGCTACAATGACCGAGATATCGACACTCTACAAGCGATGGCCAACGGCCAGATCGATATGAGTGATATGGACGCCAAGGCCATCGAAAAGGTCTTTGAGAAGTTCATGGGTTCTCTCGCCCAGCGAGACCTTTTGCCAACAGGAACACTGCTCAGCGCCGTTAGTACTACTACCCCAACCCCGGCTGCGCTGCTCTCCGGGCTACCGGCTCTCGTTACTCCTCTATTATCCATTCCTACTCCTACCGGCACGCCCGTGCCAGCTGCTGGCAAGGCTTCAGGACCACTGGATGGCTTGACACAGACTGATGGTGGATCACCTGTTGATGCGGTTGGCGGCACACTTGGTACCGTTACGGGAGCTACCAGCGGTTCGCCTGTTGATGCTGCTACAGGTGCGTTGGGAGGCGTTACTGGTTCTGTCGGAGATCTATCCGAAAAGGCAAGCCCCGTGCTCGCCCTTATCACTGGTCTTATTATCCCCCTTCTCCAGGGACTTCTCCAAGGTCTTGCCGGACTTGGTAAGCGCGACAACATGGGCGGCCAGTTTGGCAGAGAGGATTTGCACAACATTGGTATTAGCTACGAAAATATCAACATGATTGAGGCGGCTATGAAGGTTTCTCGTTCCACCACCCCTGGCCACTTTGAGAGCGAGTCGCTCTCGGCATATGGAATTCCCAAGGATGAGGCTGCCAAGCTCATCAAGGCTGGCCCAGAGAAGATCTTTGATGCTGTCATGGCTCTTACTACCAAGGACAGAGATGGCAACCTCATTTTTGATACCGACAAGCTTAAGAAGGCAGGCTACACAGATGCGCAGATTAAGGAACTTAAGAACCTGAAGCCTGTCGATGCTCTCAAGGATGTTGTTGCCCTCTCTGATGAACACACCAAGAGTCAGCTCACCGGCGCTCTCCAGAAGGCCGCCCCGGTCACTGAGGGTCTCGTTGGCACTGACGGAGGCAACGGCGATGCTCTCTCACAGGTCGGTAACCTTGCTGGTGGTGCTGGCGATAGCGTCAACGAAGGCCTCGGTGGTGGTCTTTCGCAGGCTCTTAACGGATTAGCCGGATCTCTGAAGTCTGGCTATGCAAATGGTCATGACGACGGAGCTGGCATCATGGATGCTCCCAAATCGGCCCAACTTAGACATGGCTCCGTCGCTCTTCTGCTTGGCGGTGTTACGGGTGGTACTCCCGTTAAGCGTGATGCCACACCCGCTCCCAATGACAAGATGATTGAAGCCTTTAACAACATTCAGAAGGAAGCCATGAGTCTTGGTCAGACCTTTTCCACGTACCTGAAGAAGGATGACGCCGGCAACTTTGTCTTTGATGAGAAGAAGATTGACCCCAATGGCGCCGAGGTTAAGCAGTACTTCAACCCTGACCAGAACGCAGTGATGACGCGCCTGATTGGCGACATCTTGTCTGTTACGGGTAATCCTACCAAGCGCGATAACCCGGTCGGTAACCCGCTCATCTACGATCTGGATAGCGATCAGATGCTCAAGGGAGACCCTACATCTCTCATCCAGCAGAGCTTCAAGGGTCCAATTGGTGGTCTGCTTAACACCATTGTCACCATCCTTAAGGGCTCCAACGACGTTGACCCCAAGATCTTCCAGGCTGCTCTGGAGGGAGATGTCCCAACGCTGACAGAATACGGCAACAAGCCCCTTGGTGGACTTGTAGGCGTTCTCCAAGGCCTTCTCTAAGCTCATATAGCACCCTTCACATGCTTCATAACTTGAAGCAGGCTTACAAGCGTCCAAAATATGACACCAAGTCATCGATACCCCGTGGATGCAGCACCTGTACCAAAAACAGTCGCTCAGACTAATCAGCAATTCGTTTCTCTTTTCCCCAATGCTTGGTGGCCCATCCATCGACTTCTATCGGCCACTCCAGCGACTTCCGCATCAACCACCATACATCCTCGTCGGCAGCCTAGATGGCGTGCTGAAATGGGTGTCCGGCAACGCAACAGTCGCTAACCTTGAACTACTCACGATGGCAAGTTTGGATGAATGGGGGCATACCTTTCGCATCCAGCATTGCTTGTTTTACCATTATTTGCTATGCAATCTTTAAATCTTTCCTAGTTCTAGCTTTTGATTTTCCTTTTACTCGGTGTATCTCTGGTACGATTACTTTAATACACGTTTCAATTAGTTTTTAGTGTGTTCAAGATTCGTCTACATTATCAGGTCACTAATCCAACCCGCAACAAAGAGTAGCTAACCAGATCACGCCTTAAGCGCACCAAACAACTTATGCTTAAGCTTATCCGCCAGGCTTGTCGGGCTTTCCAACTTCTTTGTATCAACCGTAGCCGCAGCTACCTCTGCTTCCTTGCCATGGCCGTTTCCGTTCTTATGATCGTGTGCTGAATGCTCATTACCAGCTCCGCCACGACCTGTGTGAAAGTCCTGCTTGTCGCAGCTAGGGCGAGTGGCTACATCTGGGATAAGATCGCGATCCTTGCGCTGTGTAGCTGGCGCTCCAACGTCGCCAATGTTCCCGGCACCTGTTATGAGTCTATTGTTAATATCCCTGTTTCAAATCCCGATTCACCAACGTACCTCCTCTACCAGAGCTGTACGCTCCGTCGCCATGGCTTCCTTCAACTCCTGTGCGGACAACCTCGCCATCGACATACTTTGTCTCGTCGGGGTTGATGTTGCCGGCGCCTCCCCGGCCGTGGGATACTTCGGCGGTCATGGCGTTATTGTAATTTCACAAGCAGTGTTTTCAAAAACAAAAAATCGTACGGCATATACTGTAGAAAGAATTGCCAAAGTTGGCGGCTCTTTTGATTATATATCAGCTGAGCGGGCGATATCGGAACCGCAACAGATGAATGACGTTGGCGGAATCTGGGGAAAGATAAAGTTTGGGTGTATAAGGCGTTGCAATAGGGCACGTTTAGGCTCGGCGACGCAGGCGCTGATAAGAAACGAGGTTTGCCTTTTTTACGTGCATACACATCGGTTGAAGCCTCAGCGTGCCCCAAAAGGTTCTATCGTTTGATCGCTGTTATCTATTCTATGCGCCACAGCCATCCTGAAGACTACGATAGGCTAGTGATAACGGGTCGCTGCTGGGGCTATCTCTGGGCGTGGCGGGCTGGTGTGGGGGAGGTTTGACATGTGTCAGTGGCGTTTTTGCAGTACGGCGACGGCTAACTTGCAGTTGAATACCGTACCTGTAGATCAGCACTGAATAGCAAGACAAGCTAGCTTAGCGCACAGCAAAAACAATAAGACGTCACAATCAAAGGTGATCCATTCATCTAATAGCACTTGGACGGGCCCATGGCTCCGCTCAGGTCTATAAGGGTTCTCATCAATATCGGCTTCATAAAATAAGCCCCAGCCGCTTTTGCCCCATTCCCCATGCTGTCTAGGTTTCCATTTCTCTTCGTACTCCCGGGTCTCTCTCAGACACAAACACCAAATACATAATTCGTAACGTTTTCCAGCATATGCACCTGCCCACTATGCGCGGCCAGCCTTGCCGATCTGGAGAATCTCACCTGTCAGCTGCTCGTCACCTCTGAAGACAGGCCACGAGGCTCCGTCTGCCTTGATCAAGTTCAGCTCCATCTTGGTGCCGAGGATCTTGTGTTTCGACTTTTCCGTGTCGATGAGCCCATATAGAGGGATTGTGGTCTTGTATCGTTTCGGTGTTGGGTCGGTGGTGACGAGGTCGACAATGAGCTCTTGCGCCTTGTATTCGACAGTAGCAGTCTCCTTGTTGATCTTCTTGAGGAACAGAGAGGCGATGACTGCACTCGGGGTCTGATAGAAATCGTGTCTGCAGACATGCGTTAGCTTGCGTCCCCATTACAACGGACATCCACGTGCTGGCTTACCGAACGGTCGTTAAGACCTCTTCGCCACCATTGCTGGCATTTCCCTTCTTGCCACTACCAATGAAGAGATGTCTGTCTTTTGTCCTGCAGCCTTCAATCTTCATAAACTGGTCAAACTCTAGCACACGCCTCTTGCAACACGTGTATCCTTTGCTGCCTTCATGGAAGATGGGAACGCCAGGGTGGTGCAAACAGCTCTCTGCATCTCTCTTGCTACCCTTCTTATACTGCTGGCCACAGGTTCTACGGCGACAGTAGGCGCCGTCCACAATCTCCAGGCTAGGGTCGTCATCCTCTGACTCGGGAGGAGGCGGTGGTGGAGTCGGGGTTTGCTGGGCGGGCTGGATGGGAGCGCGGGGTCGGGCAGCAGCGGCATTGATCTCGTCTACTTTCTTCGCGATGGCGGCATCGTCTTGCTTCGGCTTCTCTTCGAGTTGCGGCGGCTTATCTGTCGCAGAGTGCGTGCCCGTCGTGCATGGCTTTATGGACATGAACTCGTCAAAAGTGAGGACGCGGGGCTTGCAGCATTTCCATCCTGATGTAAAAGCGTTAGGTGGCTGTTGTATTGTAACATTGAGATCTAGATCTACTTACCCTTTTGCCCTTCGTGGAAGATTGGGGGCCCAGGGTGGTAGATACAGTCTTCCGTGCTGCCTTCAGCAAAGAGCTTTCCACATCCCTGGTGGACGCACTTGAGCGACATCCTGAAGGCACTAAACGCTTGAGAAGCTGTAGATGATGCTCTGATGCCAGTGTCTTGTAAAAGCCGATAATGTTAAAGCAAAATTACAGATGGAAGTAATCCACTGTCAATGGCTTCTTCTAGAAACTCTGTTTGATAGCTTCCACTGGCAGATGCATGGTGGAGGGGCAGTTCACCGCCTTCCGAAAATGGTGCGGGGAGCTCGTCCTGTCACAGTCAGCCCCTGTAAGCTAACACGCCTGACTTAGATTCTGGCCCCTTGAAGGCAACAACAGCTCTTCAAATCGATAAAAATGTTTGCAACTAGAGCGCTCTTGCAATCATGCAGAATCACAATGTTTAGCCGTGATACTTGCGGCCTTTGTACACAGGCAAAAGGCGTGCTTTCTGACGTTTGGGACAAGCGCCCATTTGAATTCAAAGAAGTCAACCTTTCCAACAGCGAGAAATGGAGAAATCTCTACGACGTAAGACCGCAGTCGATCAATTATGCATGTCGGTAAAATTAACAAATCATAGTTTGATATTCCGGTTGTATGTGGAGACCACGGCCAGTATCCGTTGTCAAACTGCTAACGATTTAGATTCACTTCGCGAAAGCCAATTCACCTGAGGAAGACGTTGCCAAGGCAGCCAAGGCAATCAAGCTTATGCATCGCTTCACACCGGAGCAAGTTGAGGAAAAGATGGATCTTATTGACAAGCTTTAATTCGACGTGGTTGCCCATACTGGAATACCGCTTCAGTCTAGTACGACAAACCTCGTCCGGGAACAGTCTGGTTCTTAGCCACACTCAATTCGTGAGACGCAATTGCCGTCAAAGACGTAAAGTCTGTTGCAACGTTGATCATATCAAAGCCCTGGTCGGCACAAACCTTGGCCTGCTCACCGGTTGAGCAGTAGATACCACACTTCTTACCGGCCTTACGCGTGGCCTCAAGAATTCGGGCAATGGCTTCTTTCAGCTCAGGATCCATAGACCCAGTGATGATTGGATGGCCAATATTATTACCTTGGATAGTCAGCATTCTGCCATATCTACATTCTACTTGAGCAGGACACAACTTACCCAAGTCAAAGGGGCCGATGAAGAGGACGTCAATGCCATCCACAGCAGCAATAGCATCAACAGCATCAAGGGCTTCTTTGGTCTCAATTTGGACCATGGTAAGTAGAGAGCCGTTGGCTTGCTGCAGGTACTCAGTCATTGATGGGATAGGGTTGAATCGCTCCATTGCAAGAGGCGAACCAAACCCTCGTTTACCGAGGGGAGGGAACTTTGCGCTTTGTACCAGCTCCTTTGCCTCTTCGACATTTCGAAGAAGTGGTACAAGAATCTTTTGATGTATTAGTACTCATTCATTCATACAAGTTAACAGGTATTTACTCACGCCATGTGCACCACTGTCTAGCGCTCCTATGTTCTTGTATTAGCAATAGCAAATCTTAACTCAACACAACTGCAAGCCTACTCTTGACCATCCAAGACTGCATATCTGGGAGTCTAACAATCGGGGAAACTCCAGCAGCGGCGATGGCAGGGACAGCATCATGCATGGCACGGTCTTTCTCTACATGTTAGCATCAGCATGCAATGGTTAGCTCTAAGAACCCATACCGTCCATGTTTCCATGCTCGCAGTCAACCATGATCCAATCAACACCGGTTCTAGCCAATGCGCGCGATACATTTGCTCCAGGAATCATCTGCCACATGCCCATCGCCTGGCGGCCTTCCTGGAACACTGACCAGAGGCGGTTTGCCTTTTGCATTGCTGTTGTAGCCATGATGTAAAGAGGGGTAACTGATAGTTGGTACTGTGATTACAATATTAAGGACTATTTGAAGAAGAAGCAGAAGAAGCTAGTTGATGTAGAAGAGAAAGCGCGGGGAACTGTCCGTGAGCCAGAAAGGTGACTGACTCCCATGCTGAAGCGTCTCGGCTACCTTTGTCCCGGGTGCGGAGACGCGGGGTGGAGGGCGCGGCTCCGATTCGCGGCCGATGAAGCTCACCAACAATTTCTCGCAAAACGAGCTGGATTATGAAGGACGAGGACTAGATCAGATACCGAATTAAAGAATTTTGCTTTATTTTTTTATTCTCTGCGGAACCAGCAGAGGCCTTGCACCTGCTGGGATATTTTTCCTAAATTGTGTCTCCAGTGTTCATAATACAGGGCATAAGACTCTCTCTATATGCCATTTTCTAGACAGACCTACTTTTATCTTTCAGTTTCCTTTCCAAGGAATGTTTCTTGTTATCGCTTTTTTAAAAAAAATTCATAAGGGTGCACACCGCATCTGTCACCGTCCCTCACTATCGTCGTGCCTATGAAGGCAAACCGCAAGTTGTATCGACGATACAATAGCCAAGGAAGTGCGTTGAAAGGATAGCTCGGGTCTGCAAATCAATTATTCCAATATTCCTTGGAATTATTCAATCTTGCAAGCATCTAGATCCGAAATGGTTAGCCTGTGTCTTGTGCGGACGGGTTGATGATAGCTCCTTACCCAAGGTAATCCTCCTTGATACTTCCAATAGCCCACATCTCGCCCACTTCTGTTCTGGTACCAATAATCTTGACTCGGACGTGGGTTTGGGGCTCGATTGTAGTATCTTCGTTGTTGGTGAACTGAGGTGGTGTGGCATTGGGATCCCACTTGATATCACTCGGAATCAACTACAGAACTTGTTAGCATCCCGTGTGTGACTGCAACGGTGTAGTGAAGCAGCAATCAGAACTTACATGAGCAGATACGAAGAGTTTCAGGGGACCTGCTTGAGCAAAGAAGCCCTGGGGGTTGATGGAATAGACAACGGCGTCGACCTGATCTATGTTAGCAAATGCGTCTGAGGCGCACAAACCGGGTTCCTGCGTACTGTCTCTCCCTTGAATGGGCGCCAAACTACAGCGCGGTATCCGACAGTGAATTCAGCAAGACCATTGCCGGGAAGGATGCGGCCTTCGGAGATATCGAAGGTATCCATGATGGAAATGATGTAGTAGCTACCAGCGCAAGTACCTTCGACATCCTTCAGAAGCTTGCTGGTAACGAGCTCGTGCATATTTCTACCAAAGTAAGACGGATGCAGAGTGACTCTACGCTCCATGTTGTAGAGGAAAAACATGATGGGCGGATTGGGGAAGTGTGTCGCAACAGGATGAGGCGCTGTCGCAACGGCGGAACTGGTTGTGGTCTAGGGAGATGCTGGGATCAGCAAATTGCAGTCGGTACCAAGTTCTGCGACTAGCGTCGTTCGAATTGTAGTATCCCAGCGATGTGTCGGGTCGCATGTGATGAATTGTCGACGGCACGCGGAAGCGATTCGATTCTTCGGTCGCGGGGGGAGGCGGAAAGGTGAGAAGCCAAAGCCGAGCAAACGCAGCGGACGCCGGATGATGAATAATCGGAAGCGTCTGTTGAATCGCGCGCTGCTTGCTAACCAGCGAAAAGGGCGGATGCTGGTCGGCGGGCGTTGGGGACAAGAAGGACAAAGAATGAACAGAAGGCGTGATTTGGTCGCGCGAGAAGCAAACCGAGTAGAGGCAAAGCGCGGAGGGTGGGTGGTCCGTGCGTCAGCGATGCAGCTGCAGTAGCCTAGGTAGGCACACTTAATAGCGGGAAGAACCATGAGCTGGCTTGAATTTAGGCGCTGAAACAGGGAATTTTGCTGTTTTTAACGTAAAATTCTAATTTCAGCGCTATATTGGTAAAAAAAAAAAATATTATCATGAAATATTATCATACTCTTTTCAGTCCCGGCGAATGGTGGTAAATCAACCGTGCTTCATGGCTAACTTACTACAGTGTAGATCGGTCTTTGTCTGAATATTTGAAAGTTGTGATTTTTGTAGAAATATCCATACTAAAACAAACGGTTACTAAAAGCCACCTCGGTATATGACGATCGTTAGACTGTGACTCAATGCTCAGTCTCTCAGCTGGGGCACGGCTTGTTGGGGAGCTCAGCTCGTTAGCGATGTGTCACTATACCCCTCTGCCTCTTTTAGAGGGCTTCTATAAACTACATCACCATCGGCCTGTCCACATTTTGCGACTTCTTTCGCCTTTTGATTTAGAAACGCTATCGCTATGCATATCTGCTATTTGCTACCATGATCCAAATAATAGCCCTTCCAGGAGAGATATTAACTCACATCTCTCTGTTCCTCAACTCTCGCCATGATGCCGCATCTCTCAGCTACACATGCAAAGCGCTTCACCAAGTTGGTCAAGATCGAATGTACCAAGTGGGAGGTTCGCAACATCTATTATGTAACTGGGCAATAAAAACAGGCGACGTGGAGCTCTTTCGCAGGGTGTTGGCAGCTGGTAAAGTTCGTGGTGATATGAAGATGCTCTGCTTCGCCTGCAAGTATGGTCATATCGACATCGTTGACGAACTTATCAAAATCGACGAGGTTTATAAAAAGTTGATCAATTTCCCCAATTACGGAAAAGTCCATCCATTGTATCATGCGTCTCGGTATGGTCATGTCGACGTGATGCGGCGCCTTCTCGCTCTCCCCAACACCAACCCGAACAAATTCAACGGAGTGCGCAGGAAAACAGCACTAGATGCAGCTGCGCTGCAAACGAACCCCGATGTCGTTCGAATACTATTCGAATCAGGTGCTGTCCTACATTTTGACAATAGTTGTCAGCCGCCGCTGTTTGTCGCAGTGTCATCTGGGCACACCGCGGTTGCGGACGAGCTCCTCGAGGGTGAACGCCGCGCAAGATCTCGTCCGGCAGATTGGGACGAGTTGATTTATTCCTTTTTGAGATTTACTGGCACAGGTAACAAGCAAGAGGTGGACAAGTTTATACTGGATCATCTTGCTCCGTGTGCTCCGGGTCGTGTTTTGGCGGCTGCCGCCATGCAAGGTCGCTTGCATATACTGGAGACCATGGTGCAACAAAACCCTTCGCCAGTGCAGCTCGTTACATCTACAATATTGCGTGAACTATACCCATCAATATTTTATAGCGATTGGGCTGTCCATGTTTGTCGTCTGCTGGTTGAACATGGCGCGATTGTTACTGAGACGGGTAATCCAACCTTGCCCACTCCAACACACTACGCTGTGGCGGCGAATAACCTCCGAGCAGCAGAATACTTTTACCACAAGGAGCTAGACACTGGTCCTCCACACAACCATTACGTCGGTCTGCTGAATCGTGCAGATAGCGTATCCATGTTTGAGTTTCTATTTCAGGAGAGTCGAGATCTGGACAGCGTGGATGACCAAGGATATACGCCGCTGCTCTACAAGATTAAGAATTGGAATCATTATCGACAAGACGGAAGAACATTTCTAGATGCTGTCAAGATGTTTTTACAAAACGGCTCGGACCCTAATTTCGTTGGGCCTGCCGGAGAAACACCTCTATCTCTTGCTGTGACGGAACGTTGTGCCAGCATCGCACCTAGCTTGGTGAAGTTGTTGACAGACTTCGGTGCAGAACTCAAAGATCCAACCAACGCCATCGAACAAGACTATTACCCGATGAACTTCCTGCAGATTTTAGTTGGCACTTATCGCTATCAAACTGCCGAACTGCTGCTTGACCATGGAGGCAAGTTGTATTACACAGACAGACAGGGCTGGACGCCTATAATGCACGCAGCGTATTGCCGAGATATTGACCTCCTTCGGTTATTAATCAACAGAGGCGCAGACGTGTTTGAAAAGGATGAAAAACGGCGTACGCTATTGGCTATCCTATCAACGTCTTACGAAAATTGGCCACGACCACAGGCTAGCCTTAACGAGACGATTGCCTGTATTCAATTGCTGATAGATATGGGCGTGGATTTTGAAGAGCCAGACATCAATGGGAAGAAGCCTATTGACTTGACGGAGAACGGCTACGAAAAAGAGTTTTATTTGAGACATAAGAAAGAGTTGATGGGGATGGAAGAGCGCGGGTTGTAATGGGACCTTTATAGAAGAACTCTACGGCGCTGCGTTCTTAATCAATGGATACCAAAACACTAGGAATTGCTTTCTTTGCTAACAATTGACAATTTTAATTTCGCATGAGTTATAATATACTTAATTTAGATAGTTTCAGTGACATATAGAGTATAGAGTGTGACCACTAAGGGTGCTTCAATCCTTTAGGGTAGCGATTAATCACAGGTCAAAGCGCTACAAACGCGCTGGTGTCGGCATTCCAGAACAAAAGCTTAAGCTTCACGCGCTACGCAAACTGCCACAACCGGTGTAAGCCGTTGAATGAAAGCATCAAATGAGCCTATTGCATCCAGAGACAGCGTTGCAACGATCATATAGTAAATTTATGGGCGTAATTTGACGATTCCAGTGTCGCGTGACCATGCACCCAGTTTAATGAAGTTCCCTGTCCTGTCACCAAATGTACCTGCCTGTAGCGCTGAACGGTGCACTGTAAACAGGCCCTGTTAGTGGCGAGGGCCCTGCACTAGCGTCACTGGCACCCAAGCTCGGCATCGCGGCCCAGCTTTTTTTCTCCTTCGCTTCCGGCTCCCGACCTTTCTCCTACCGCCATCTGCTCGATTTTATCCCCCCCTCATCCATGTGACACCGACCATCCTCGTTACGATCCACGATCATCCTCCCCGCCGCCATCCCATAGATCCTTTATCGAATATTGCCTCGCTGGATTCTTTCGTCGGACGACGCTGAATCTGCGCAGTTTGCGACAACGGCAGCCCTCTGGCCACAAGCTTCGGCAAGACGATAGCGCTATCAAAAGGACCCGGCTGGGTGCGAAACCACATAATCCACGATGTCTCTCGATCTGGAAAAACAACTCACCTTTGTACGGGATACTATCCACTATAACACGCTGCGAAATGGTGCTCGCGCTAATCCACATGATTCTAGTATGGTGCATACCACCACAACTCGGTTAATGTCGCCATCCACATGGTGTGCGTGCCGCTGATTTTGGTCACAGCCTTTGGCATGGTAAGGGATTATACTATGTAATTATACCTCTAAGGAGACATGCTAACCGCTCTAACCGTGTAGGCGACGTATACCGGCCCTCTCGTGGATCTGCCAAGCTGGCTGACTGTCCCATACCTTGATCTCAATTTCGGCACCATTGCGGCAGTGGTGTATTCCGCTCTGTATCTCTTACTCGAACCTGTGGCAGGCTTTGCCCTCGCTGGCTTTTGCTTAGCAAGCACTGCATACGTCAACTACATGCGAAGCCAGGATTCGGAGATGACTTTGCAAGTTTGCCTTGTTATCCACATTGTGTCTTGGGTACTTCAATTTATCGGCCACGGCGCCTTTGAGGGTCGCGCCCCCGCACTTCTCGACAACCTTATCCAGGCTATCTTCCTGGCGCCCATGTTTGTTTGGCTCGAGCTGCTTTTCAAGCTCGGATACCGACCCGAGCTTCAAGCCCGAGTGGAGAAGGCTGTCCAGCAAGAAATCGCCAAGTTTAAGGCCGAATCAAAGAACGGAAAGGCTCAATAAGCAATCCAAGCCATAAGGAAGCCGGCAAGTTTTGCTATATGCCGATATTCTTCGTGAACGCTGCCAATGATCCCGAGACGATGACCCAGTACCCCAGCTCAGCGTTCACAGCAAGTACGTCACCGCCGTTGTTATTTATTCTATTTTTGTTGGCGAAAAAGCGATCCGAAACCCACAATGGAGAGCCAGAGAAAAGCATGTCGAATAAGGGAGTTGTGGTAATGTTGACAACGGAGGAGTTCAACCCAGGACATATCTTTTTAGTTCACTCAAAATGGACACACGGAAATCTCAAAATCAAAGTCTAATTGCGTGATGTTATCTAATAAAATAGTGGAAAAGCACAAGATCAGTGGTACATGGAAAGTACATCTTTCAAACCCAAGTCAGTTGCCGCGCCTCTCAACATCTCGCGCCTGGCAACAAACAAACGATTCATCAGATTCCGTCTTTCGCAGCACCTTCTCACTCACCTCGCCGTGTATCTTTCTTACCAGGGCCAGCGGGCCCGTATTCTTCTTCGTCTTCTCGGTGTTGACTGCTTGGCTCTCATTAGCTGCCACAGCCCACGGTCCACGCTTTGCGCCATTGCCACAATCGCAAATACCAGGGATGTGAGCTGTTGGACATCCTCCAGTCTCCAGCTGGTCGGGGGCAATATAATAAGGGTCATTACATCGTGTATGGAACGCTGTGGACCGCCCCTTCACGAGCGGATCCGGGAGAGGGATGAGGGCGGTCCGACGCGGCGCGGGCTGAGCGTCGAACTTCTGCAGGTTCTCCCTGGTGAGGGCCGGATGCCTGGGGGTAGACTGAGGACGGTTCGGGGGTTGTACCTCGAAACCATTCTGCGGGCTGGGGTTGGCGATGAAACCGCGCCCGATCCGTTGCCGCCTGGGACTGGCGTGATGGCTGTTCTCGGTCTGATCCCCGGAGCCACTCGGCAGGCTCAGGCCGGTAGGACCCAGTACGGGACCGGGGCGATTGCTGTTGTTGATCTGAGCCACGAAACCATTCTGCCGGCCCGGGTCGGTATGAACCAGCCTGGGAGCTAACCTGGGAACGGCTTGATGGCTGGGGCTGGTCGGAGCCTCGAAACCATTCTGCAGGTCCAGGTTCGTAGGGCGCAGTGCGGGACTGAGCTGGTGATTGTCGCTGATCGGTACCTCGAAACCATTCTGCAGGTCCAGGCCGGTAGGGTGCAGTGCGGGATTGGACTGACGCCTGTGACTGATCGCCTCGAAACCGCTCTGCAGGCTGGGGCTGGTGGGGAACATTCTGAGCGTTGCTCGATGGCTGGCGTCCGTTTGGCTGCATCGGGTCCCGAGAAGAAGCGGGAAATTGGTCCAACCTTGGAAGATTGGAGAAGTCTGGAGGCGTTGTAAGTTGTTCCAGCGTGTCCTTGTTTTGAAAACGTGGTTCGCATTGCCCACACTTCCTTTTGCTGTAAACCACATCACGAACCTGCGTGCAAGGTTCGCCCTTCTTGGCGAACAGAGGGTCGATGAGCTTTCGGCCCAAGTTCTCCAGGAACTTGTATTCGGGGCAAGGATCCATATGGGTCCTCTTGTGGTGTCTGCACTTATACTTTGTTAGCCTGTAACACATTGTGACTTACCTGACGATTTCGAAGAAGGTGGTAGGAAAGGAGAAGGGAGGAATGGTGTAAGATGTAGACTTTTTTTTGGTGATTTTGAGTGTTTGGTGTTTGTGTGATGAGAAGATTGACAATTACGAGGAGAAAGCCATTGAATATATAGATTTCGGGAGGATAGGTCATGGGCAACATCTTTGTAAGATCCTTCTACTGCTCGTCTTGAACAGTGGAAGAACATCACAAAGCCCGATAAATGGAAATCGTTGTTTTGAAGAAGTAATACTACTGTTTAAAGAGAGCAACTTTCTGAGTATCTGTTCTTGGCTTCAAAGAAAGTGTTCTACATTCACGGCTATTAGTGTGTGGCTGAAAGAGCTGGATCGAACATGAGTTCGTCCACTCAAGGCTGAAAGCCGCATCACAGTTGATGGTACCCTAAAAAAAACTGTATTAATATTGGAAGTGATGTAGAATAAAGACACGATTGTCCTGTTCTGTTCTAGCGCTCTTTGCTGCGTCTATATTCTCTATGTGAAGTGTCGTTGTAGACGGCCAGCTCCATCACGTGGGGTCGTTCAGCCTGTCAGCAGGTCGTTTTATAGCGGACCCTGATCTCCTTTACAGTGGGGAAAACACGCTAAGAATAGCGGAGAGCCGTCTGTTTTAGCGCCTGCTTGGCTGGACAGCTTCAGCGCTTTAGCTTTAATGGAGCCTCCACCCAAACTGTACAGCACCGCACAGATGCCTTTGTCACCGCATTGAGACTTTTCTGCTTGCGGGTGCAACTATAACGCCTTGACATCACTTGCCGATGACACAGACATCGCCTAATGTTCTGAGACAAGTGTGTTGCTAGGACCTGCACAAAGGGACAAAGGGCCGCTGTTCAAAGCGTATCCTTCATTTCTTTCAAAGGCGGTTCAGCATCCTGCGACGCTGACAACCAACAAACCCTCATAACGCTGCCCGACCGGTCTCGACGAAATCATGTCCAACCAAGACAGCGAAGCAGAAACGCTGCGACCGCGGCGAGGTTCACAGAGCTACAGTGGCCGTGACTCCCGCCCGACGAGCACAAAGGAGATCCTCGGCTGGTACACCTACGCCTTTGCGGCGGAAACGTACGTGATTTGTGGCATTGGTAGGTTTGCACGCTGTCCTCAACGGACAAAAGCTTGTATCTGACACTAGAGATAGCCTCGTTTATTCCGATCCTCTTGGAGAGTCTTGCCCGCGAAAACGGCGTCCTCCTCTCCGATCCTACAAAGCCATGTGGCTCGAGCGACAGCCAAGGAGCCCAGGATGGACAGTGCATAGTCTACGTGCTGGGCATGGTGATTAACACGGCCAGCTTTGCCATGTACACATTCTCTGCCAGTGTTCTTTTGCAGGCGCTGCTAGTGGTCAGTATCAGCTGTGCTGCTGATCACGGCACATACCGCAAGAAGCTGTTGCTTGCATTTGCTTGGATTGGCAGCTTCTCCGTCATGGCCTTCATTTTCGTGGGCAAACAAACATACATACTCGGTGCCATTCTCACCATTATTTCGAATACATCATTTGGCGCCTCGTTTGTCCTGCTCAACTCATTTCTGCCGCTCCTGGTTAGATATCATCCCGAGGTGCTGCAGGCTCAGAGAAACCAAACAACACCCGATCTGGCCGGCGATACTATGCAGTCAAGCCAGCTTGAGGATTCAACGTCGGATTTGAACCAAGCCATGATCAACTCTACCTCGGCACTCATGTCTGATGAAGCGCCTGCGTTTCCCAACGGCGTAAAGTCTGGAATTAGCCACGAGGAGCTGACCTCAAAGGAGCTACAGCTGTCCACCAGAATCTCGGCCACTGGAATTGGCATCGGCTATTCAGCTGCTCTATTTGTGCAGTGTCTTGCTATTGGACTATTAGTTGCCATGGGAAATAGCACTTGGGCTCAGCGTGTAGTGCTCTTTATGGTTGGCACCTGGTGGGCAATCTTCACCATCCCCGCGGCGTTTTGCTTAAGGCCACGACCTGGCCCTCCCTTGGTTGTCAACGGCCGTTCAGAAGGCATCTCTTGGATATCGTATTTCCTTTATTCGTGGAAGTCGCTTTTCAAGACTGTCAAAGCAGCGAGGAAACTCATGGATATTATGCTATTCTTGGCAGGTTGGTTTCTTCTCTCGGATGCTGTTGCGACTACGAGTTCAACTGCTATCCTATTCGCCAAAACACAACTTCACATGAAGCCATGGGCGCTGGGTCTTATCAATGTCATTTCCACCATGTCGGGCGTCTTCGGTGCCTTTGGGTGGGCTTGGATCTCCAAAGTTTTTGGACTCAAACCACATCAGACAATCTTGGTCTGCATAGCGCTGTTTGAGCTTATTCCCATTTACGGCTTACTAGGCTATTTACCGTTTATCCAAAAATGGGGAGTCATTGGCCTGCAGCAGCCTTGGGAGATGTATCCTTTGGCAGCAGTTTATGGCCTTGTGCTCGGTGGTCTTGGAGGGTACTGTCGCTCCCTGTTTGGAGAGCTTATCCCCCCAGGCTCAGAAGCAGCCTTCTATGCCCTCTACGCAATCACAGACAAAGGATCCAGTGTGTTTGGACCTACCATTGTTGGTGCCATCATCGACCACACGGGTAGTATTCGCCCGGCATTTTGGTTCCTTGGTGCCCTTGTTGGCCTTCCGGCTCCTCTAATTTGGCTCATCAACGTCGAACGAGGCAAGCTTGAAGGCGCTAAACTGGCGGAATCCATGACGAGATACGGACACAATGACGGTGCAGAGGACGAGGAAGCGATTAATGATGATGAAACGAGAGGCATGCTTAGAGACCAGGCATAGGCGCTATTGGTGACTCTTGGATATTCTACTAGGGGAAGCGTGTCCATGGCATATATACACATGTATGAGCTTTTGCGTTATGGTTTGTTTGCGCTTGTTGGGAACTATTGGTAATGTTGATCTAGGGCTATTGTATAACAACAATGTTTGCAGAACTAACTAGTACCAGTACCAGTACCAGTATTCTGGCGATATTGTTATTAGGATAGAAACAGTTGCACATAAATGTACCTCTTTATTCTTGACTTTTGCTATTAATATTTTAAGCACATTTTTACAATACAAACAGCGCAAACAACTGTTTTTCTCGCAAGCGCCCGCAGCTGTGAATCCCGCCGCCCGCCATCATCACAGAAGAGAAGGGCCGTCCCCGCCGCCGCACTGCACTGTTGGCGCTAACGTCGAAGCTAACTTTAGCGCCGTGGGTCTGATGTTGACCGTCCAATAAACCCATGTGCTACCAGTCCATTGGCGCTCGCTGCACCATTGGTTGGCCATCTTTAAAAAATACTCCAAGCTCGACGCTGTTCCCCGCGATTCTCGATCCGCCACACACTCTCCTTACGTCCTCGTAACAGCTTTGCGCTCTTGCTGGCGAGCTTCCCTCGTCGATATAACCCCGCACGCAGCAGTTGATACATCGACGACTATTCAGAGATCCAAGATCGCCAGTGGAACGATCCCCGTCTGACGTCGAAAGGCGTTGGCTGCACAAGAAAGCGCCCTCACGATGGCGGGTCGCAAACGCAAGGAGTCGACATCGCGCGACGAATCTACCAAGGGAACCAACGGGAATCACTCGGATACTATCGAAATCAAACTTGACGACGACATGTTCGACGATTGCCCTTTCTCCATCGACATATCCTGCGAACCGGCGCAGGGACCGTTACCTCCCAAGAGCGGGAACAGCGCCGGGGATGCTGGTCAAAAGAAACGGCGCAAAGGCAAAACGCCCAAGATTATTCACTATCTACAACAATCATTATTCCAACCAGAAGGTTCCTTTAAGACACATACATCATTAGACACAGATTACCGAGTTGAGCCATGGGACGAGTGGACCGCAATGAACGGCTACAACAGCTTCATTAGTATGATAATCGCATGCAAACGTGGCCTTTGATTATGAGCTAATAGATGATACACTAGTAAATAAAACGAAGTACTGCGTCGGGTGCTACATATACATCGCGAACGAAGACAGCATGACTAATGCTCAAGCTACGAAAGACGATTTAATATCACGGCCGCTTGACTATTGGATTGGTCGAGTCTTGGAGGTTCGAGCTACGGATGTGGAAAATGTCTTTGCTCGAGTAGCATGGATGTATCGACCAGGAGATTTGTCCCATTCGAAAGACTTTGACGGGAAATGGGTTATTGGCCGACAACCTTACCACGGTGTTAACGAAGTCGTGTGCTCAAATCATAGTAAGCTCCTCTGCAACATTTAACACCCTATTCAGGTTGCATAGGCTAACATGGCTTTGTAGTGGATGTTGTTAATGTATCCTGCGTTGCAAATATCGCCAGCGTGGAGCATTGGAAGCCAAAAGATTTACCGAAAGGACAAGAGAGCCAATCCGAGGAAGAAAACGACCTCCTCAACGGGATATATTGGCGACAAGCCCTGGACATACGAACAGGTGAACTTTCGGTAAGCTTCAATGATAAGCCCGTCCTAAAAGATGTGCCGATTTAACCTTTTTCTCGCAACAGTCGCTACCAGTGGTGTGTCGGTGTAAGAAGCCTGCGAACCCCGACCGAATACTCGTTGAATGCTCAAACGACAACTGCGACGAATGGCTACATTACGAGTGCCTGAAACATGACGCTCTTATGAAAGTATACAAGCGCCTGGGGAAAGATAGACCGCATCTTGAAAATGGGGAGGGGTCAAGTAATGGCCTTGAATGGGAGCTCGACTTTTCTGACGATGATGAAGCAACAAAATACAGTGATGAGGAGGAGGGGGACGACACAGAGCTTTTCCGTAAACCGCGGAAGCCTGGACCATCATCCAAGAAATTCAAGAATTCGAAAACGCCGTACCTTGGTCTTTTCGACGCGTCCTTCATCCGCAACCGATCACCTAACGTGTGGAAAATCAAGGATTTACGAAACGGCATTATTGGAGGCGTCAGATCATGGAAACAGGAAGTAGAGTGCTTGTGCTGCTCGCGCGTTATAACGTAAAAGAAAGCTTTGAGGGCATATTTGATACGATTGGCGTTGGATACCGGAGTGGGCTTCGTGTTTTTGTATGGTAACCTTTCTTTCTGGGCTAGGACCTGCAACCAATGCTGGTAGATTACTGCAGCTTCATATATTGTGTATTTATTCGTAATTACTTCAAATTTGAAGAATTGATGGATCCTGGAAAAAAAAGCTGCAACCCAATTCAATGAGGAAAGATACTCTTCATTGATAGCATTGCATCATCGCCAGCAGAGCACAAACGCACAGTACCAGTCGTAGTCGGTGGAGCCAACCACCCCGCACCACCCAGGGCACAGCTCTCAGGTGCAGCATTGTCCTTTCAACGTTTCGAATCCCCCAAGCACTTCAAGCTGCCCAATTTTGGTCCTCGACGACCAAACGAAGCATCTCAAAATGGCTGTCGATCCATTTGATTCCGCTCTGTAAGCCAACTCCCGCACAACGGCCTCAAACCTGTCCCCTACCACCTCGGGGAGCCCCTCGCTGACGCGCAAGCTCCTTTGCGAAATAGTGACCTCCTCCGAAGACTCAACCCAAAGCACACGACGGAGCATCTCAACGCTATTATCTCTCTTGCACCCGACCTGACCGAAGATCTCCTCTCCTCGGTCGACCAGCCTCTGACCATCAAGCGTTGCAAACAGAGTGGCCGTGACTATCTGCTCTGTGACTACAACCGTGATGGCGACAGCTATCGCTCCCCATGGTCCAACCACTTCGATCCTCCGCTGGATGAGGCCGGTGCTGGTGGCGTAGGTGCCGGCGGTGTGAGTGAGGGAGCTGGCGAAGGGGCTATTCCTAGCGAGCGAGTCCGCAAGATGGAGATCCGAGCCAACGATGCCTTTGACGTCTACCGCGAACTGTACTACGAGGGCGGTGTGAGCAGCGTGTACTTTTGGAACTTAGATGACGGGTTTGCCGGTGTCGTATTATTAAAGAAATGTTTGTCATGACAAGCATCTACTCGAAACAGGCAAGATGGGCTAACCGAACTCTGTAGCTGCACCCCCAGGCGGATCCTCAGACGGCGTCTGGGATTCCATTCACGTATTCGAAGCTATTGAACGCGGCCGCACGACACATTACAAACTCACTTCGACTGTCATCCTCTCTCTTGCTACAGCGGGTAATGCTACGAGCAGCAGCTTGGGCGAGCTCGACCTCAGCGGTAATATGACGCGCCAGGTTGAACAGGACTTGCCTGTCGATACTGATGAGAGCCACATTGCCAACATTGGCCGTTTGGTGGAGGATATGGAGCTTAAGATGCGCAATCTGTTGCAGGAGGTGTACTTTGGCAAGGCCAGAGATGTTGTTGGCGACCTGCGAAGCATCAACAGCTTGAGCGAAGGTGCCAGGGAGAGAGAGGCACAGCGTGAAATTATCGGTAGTATGAAGCGATGATCATCTAGCATAGTAGGCCCCCCGGCATTCCAACTGCTGTCCAAGAAAGGCATTGGTGTAATGGAACAAATGTTCGGCAAATGAACTAAAACCAATCTGAGCCATGCGCATGTTCACACGGATATTTCCACCCTAGACACACCATGGGTTAAGGTTATCAGTGTACTAAATTCTATAACCGAATAGCCTGATTTGGCCTAGTTGGCGTCATGGATGCCCCCGTGCCAAACCCGTGGCCGTACATGGCAGTCATTGCCGATGGCGTTGACTATCAAACGGGTCGGCGATGCGTGTCGGTACCGCATAGCACCTTGACACCACAGGGCGTGAGCATTGGCCACGTGTGTATGTAGAAGCCTGCAGCACCCGGGTTTCGAGATGCATCAATGCAGCCCTTTCGAGCGGTAGATGCTGGGTAATGTATCACGAGAAGTTGTGCGCCACGACCAATGGCCTATGGAATCCAATATGAGACGAATATGCATGTAAAACCGACCACCACATCAGAGGCTACTTGCGCCACTACTGTCAAAATATCCGCCGTTTGTAGCCTATGCCGAAACTAAGGCTGTCTTTTACCATGCGATAGTGTTGCTTGAGAGTACCCCAGCAACATGTACCAACATCAAAGTGTGGTATCTGTTAGATTTACCCCCGACTGAGTATCTGTAGAAGCTTCAAACACCTACCTACAATGGTAGCTAGTAGATGGTTGGCTCGTCGTGTGCGCACATGTCGTTCTCCAAGCTAGACGCTAATGAGGTGACTTTATTAACCCGTCTACTTGATCAGGATAACCTGTTGACATTTGATTTGAGCCGTGTAAGAGCGGCAGAGGAATATTCCACCATTCACAACAAATTATCCACGACTGGTGGCTTTACACATTGTGAAAAGTCTTGGCCCAGAGACCTTGGCGCCAGAGCCCGTCTAGTCCCTGGCAAGCCCAAGAGCATCGACAGAAGCGAATCATTGCCCGGCTTGACACCAATTGAGTGAGGCTGAAGCAGAATATTTATCCGCAGGAAGCCATTGCGACCACGGCGTTCTAGAAGGTTGCTCAGTGTGGCAGCCTGGCCTGCGTGGGGGGCTTTCTTGAGTCAAGCCAGCTGCCAAGGCTCTACAAACCAGTGTCGGTGCTCAGAGTACGGATGCGCTTGCGATTACCCTATTAAGTCAGCGCACTATGTGGCAGAAAAAGTATATTTTATACAATTGCCAAGATGAATAGCCTGTAACGGAGTTCATCGTGCGTATTAATATACGCCTCGGTCCAGATTTGCCGGGCACAGCCTTTCTAGAATGTCATGTCGCCTGCCGTGGGGGCGATTTTACATGGATACTGTTTGCTTAATTTCCTGCAAAGTACCCCAAGGACAGTCTGCATGCATGAGAGCGGTCATATCTTGGGCGGGTTGATTGACGAGCCGGGCCCTGTTTTTGTTGCACAGGAGGACGCAGGAACTCGAGTTACTGTGCATGGTGGCGTAATCAGTTGACAACGATGGTGGGTGTGGTAGAGCAGCTCACTATGCCCAGAGCAATCGATGACATGGAAAACGGTGTCAGCGGCGTCACTCGTTGAGTGGCACCTCCTGCTGTTAGACGTTGGCAGAGTTGTATTGCAGATCAGCGGGCATTGTATATACTTGCCATGAGCCGAGCCAGGTGCCGCCGTGCGGCCATTAAGTGGCATTGACTGGTCGGATGGGCGATGGGTCTTGGAACCCAAAGAAGTAGTTGTGCGGAGGTCTTGACTGCGGGTGGCGGGAACGATGAAACCGTCATACGCCAGAAAGTGACAGAAGAAGAAGAGCTATCGGCCTCGGACAAGCCAAGACCGAAGCAAATAATCGAGGAGAGGCGGCGGCAGGTAGGGCTTGAGCATGATGCCAGGGGTTAGCTACCTTACCCGTGACCCTATTGCGCTTGAGATTCTTCCGCCTGGCTCACTCCTTTGGGCCGATGTTGAATCAGCCTCTGCCAGAAAGCCAGCATACTACAGCCCAGAAGAGGCCCGTCTAATTTCAGATATGTCCACCTTGTGGCGTCATTGCGTATCACTGCAGGTAGAGGGGCCGCATGTCTAGTCAGCCGTTTGCATTTGTTGTCCAGTGGTGTTTTCTCTTTTGCTTTGCTCTCCAATCTTGCTGTTTCGCTGGCTCTGCCGATTGTGGATCTCGGCAAATGTCTGAATCGAAGGGGCCTCTTATACAACCATGCATGCAAACAAACCTTGTTGAGGGCCGCTTTGCTGGCCGCATTGCTGATGATGGAATAGCGGAGTTTGTCTCCCATGGCGGGCGGCAGCAATTAAGGCTAACGCTAGAGGGGGACCGTCCCTGTGGCTGGCAGTGGTGGGTGGGCTGGCCCCTCCGGTTCTCCTCCACCCCCTGGCTGCCCATAGTCGCCTGTTGGCGGCTGGCTTGGCCGGAGCTTCTTCATCGGCCCGGCGTTCCTAGAGACGGCATTTCTTGTGTGTGTTGCAGTTGATGCTGGTTGCTGCTGCCCATGAGACAATGTCGGATGGTATGACCTGGCTAAGACACTACAGTACAAGTCACTCGTCTTGTTGTCACCACTGGCCCTGTCTGCTTCTGCTGACCGTGTTTGCTGCAGCTCACCACGGAAATGCACAATCCCGTCTACCCCGCTGAACGGTAGGAACCATGCCTATAGAGCTTTACCCACAGGGCGCTACCAGTACGTAGCAGCAGAGTGCTGTATAGGTACAGGTGGTTGGCGGCGCTCTGGACGAACGCGCTAGAATAAAGCGTACCTGGCATCTATCGACCTTCTACATGCGCTGGAGCTCCCCACTTTCAGTGACCGCCAAAACCAAGAGCACTAAAATAGGAGCATAGCGACTCGACCCCACTGAACGGACGGCCCGCCGGGCTTGGCCCGAACAGCGAGAAGCCCCTCCCCACCCCACCAAGTTGCCCAGGAGGAGACCGCCGTGGTGGCCTGGTTGTCACGTTTGTCATGCTGGTTCATGCTGCTGGCGTTGCGTTGCAGGGTATATCTTTTTTTTTCTTTTGGTGGTTAGCAGATATGGGTGTATATAGCAGATTCTGTTATAGCCCAACTAGTTACTCAGCACGGCCCCCCAAGAAGAAAACAGCATAGCCGTAGTACATATACAGGTATCTGCACTCTTGTAAGCGCTGCCACCACAACTGCAAGCCATACTTCAGCGTCCTCGCTTGATATAGGCCCCTAGCCGCCACACCATAAATGGATAGGCGTGTTGGATGGACAGCACCAAAGCTCAGCGCTTGTCCGTTTCGGACAACTGCCATTGCAGTAGATAATTCCTTAGAGGGCCACTAGCTGTGCTGGTCCTTACCCCCTGCCCCATGCGACACAACCGTCCCAGTTTTCTTCGCTTCTTGTTTGCCTAAAACACAAAGCTTGAGTCTCCCCACTTTCTCCCGTTGCGCGCTACTTATTGACGGTCCCTGATTCCCTTCTTTTACTTGTCCCGTCCCCTTTGCGTCAGCTTCTCTCTCTTCTTTGCCCGTCCTGGTGTCTCTGAGTGCTGTGCATCGCCCTTGCAGCAGAATCCTTTTCCTGGCCCTCGATACTGCGCCGCCCGCCTGCCCCACCTTGGCACCGTCGACGACACCCAGCATTTCTTCAGCGGCACCACAAACTTGCCTTTCTGCCTCCCCCTTCCGATCTTGTCCTCCTACATCGCCGTAGAACCGAGTCTATTCCTCGAAATCAAAGCTGAACCAGCAATCAGCGATATGGCTGGCGACAAACCATCCGTCCTCATTGTAGGAGGCATGGGTTACGTTGGCCGCTTCCTGGCTCTCCATATACAAAAGAATGGCCTAGCGTCTGAACTTCGGCTGGTTGACAAGGTCCTCCCTCAGCTTGCTTCTCTGGCTCCTGAGTTCACCGAAGCTGGTATTCAGTCCAACTTTATGCAGGCTGACGCAAGTAAACCTGGTAAGCTCAAATAATATCCTCGCCACAAGGCTGCCGTGGACGCTAGTTACTAACCCAACGCTCCCCGTCCTCAGAGGGCCTTGCCAGAATATTTGACCGTGCCGACGGTTCGAGTTGGGACTATGTCTTCAACTGCGGTGGAGAAACACGATACTCCCAGGAAGATGAAGTATACAAGTTGCGATCGCTCAACCTCTCCATCGAGCTGGGCAAGGAGGCAGCCAAACGCAAGGTGAAGGCATTCGTTGAGCTCAGCACAGGCATGGTCTACAAGTCCGACTCTTCCCCAAGCAAAGAGAACGATAAGCTAAAGCCCTGGAGCAAGATTGCCGTTTTCAAATTGCAAGCCGAGGAGGAGTTGGCCAAAATTGAGGGGTAAGATCATATCTAAGACTGCTCATTCACTTTCTCTAGCCTGCAACTTGTCACTGACCAAATTTTGTAGACTCAACCTCGTTATCGGCCGCTTATCTCACGTTTATGGCCCGTATGCGTCCCAATGGGTCGCCACGGCTTTGTGCATGGCAAGAGTATACCAATCACTGGAAGAAGAGATGAAATTCCTCTGGACAAAAGACCTTCGAACCAACACTGTCCACATAACAGATGCCGCACGCGCGCTTTGGGAGATAGCAGCGTGGTACGATGCTGGAAAATCTGGCTGGGAGGACGGCAAGATGGGCAAAGTTCCTACTTTTAACATTGTCGACAACGGTGCGACTACTCAGGGCACAATGGCCGAAATCATCGGCAAGGTTTTTGGAATCGAGACTGGCTTCCAAGGTCAACTGATCAGTACATTTGCCAGAATGAACCTCGAAAGCGTGGTTGACGACATCAATGATGAGATTTTGGGCCCCTGGGCCGACTTGCTGTCCGATGCTGGCATCACACGGCCGGGCCCACTGACGCCGTTCATGGAAAAGGAGCTTCTCAAAGACACCGACTTGAGCATGGACGGTAGCCGATTGGAGAAGCTGCTCAGCTTCAAATACGAGAAACCCACCATTACAAAGGAACTGGTGGAAGAGGTCATTGAAAGCTACAAGCTCATGAACTGGTGGCCTTGAAGCTCTACTACTGCTTATATTCTCCTTCTGACATTCATGGCAATTACGACAAGCAAAGTTATCAATCATTTTACGACAGACATCAACAGGGAGTTGCAAGAAAGGCACGCTTGAGCATATATTCGATTGGAAAGGCGACTTCCCTGCAGCGGCGGCCGCTATCTGCTACCGCAGCAGTAAGGTGGCGTTGCGCCTTTTCACTTGAACTCCCCAAACCGGGCGTTTTAGCGTCTCTAGAAGCAGACACAGAAAGGGCAATTTGTTCTACTGCTTTAACGGAAGGGACGATGTATCATTACGAGATATCCAAGGGTGAGGCGACGTCGGTTTGCAGCCCATGCCGACTCAGGTAATTTGAAACTGGTTAGAGGAGTCACAAACTAGCAATTGATTGATTACGGCCATTTTAGGCGACTGTGCTATGACGCGTGTGTGGAAACGATGGCATAAATCCGGGGGCTGCATGGGCTGCCGACGCAGTCAGAGGCATGCCAAGTCTGGAGCGCATCTCAGCGCAGTCCAGGTGCAGAACATGGGAAAAGCTTGAGTTCAGGGGTACAAGGGAACACTTGTTGGCTGCATATGCATGCATTAGCAGCGGCACAGGATGGTTGGCTTTTGTCTGACACAGACCAGCCCGGCCATCTTTGAGACAGAGCTTCAGGTGAGGAGCGATGTATATTTGGCGGGGACTATAGACAGGCGTATCTGTAGTGTAGGCCGTTGGAAAGCAGCGCTAACCGATGGCGGATAACAGTGCGGAGATGAGGAACATAATAAGTTAATAGTGTTATAGTGACAGCAGGACATGAACGCCGTGGCCGCAGACGAGAGCATGAGAAAGGTGATTGCGCCAAACCGTGGCTGGAGGAGGAAATTGTGACGTATGTAGTTACTAATCATGCAAATTAAGATCCATTTACTTCATTTTATTTTTCATTATATACATTTATTTGGAGGGCCTCTGCAGCGTACCGTCCCAGTGCCGCTCCGCCCCCGCCGTTCGTCTGCAGCGGTGCGCCGTGCTGTACGTACTGCGGGGGAGCCTGGCAAGCCTCGGCTGGCATTCGCGACTTCCAGAAACCGCTATAGGAAGGGATAGCTCGAGGATCTAGTGGATTCAGGTAAATGAGGGGTTACCCATTCATCTCTGGCTGCTATTATTCCCCCACAATAAATATCTTTTAGCGCAGGCTCTGGTACGCATTGTCATTGTTGCTCCGTGTCCATCTCTACGCCGCTCGTTTTTAAGCTTGAGCGGTCCCCGCCTTCGCTTGTGACAAAAACGTAAACCTCACAGCTTCAACCCCTCCCCCGCACCGGCATCGTCATTTTACCCAAAGCTTGCCAACAATTTGCCCAACATGGCTGCTCCCGCCGAAAAGACTCTCAAGGACCTTAACGGAAAATGGACAATGGTACGTGCTTGCAAAACTACAAAAAGAAAAGCAGACGCCCCCAAGTCGCCTCATGGAAGCTAACCAATGGCTAGAACCATGCCCTGTCCGATTCTGCTGAGCCTGGTCTCATTCTGCAAGGCATCAGCTACCTTGTTCGCAAGGGTATCCTCATGGCCACCATCTCGCTTGATGTGACGCAGTACGAAGGCCCTCCTAACCCTCCCAGCGAGTCCACCGACATCGTCACCCACATTGACATTGTCCAGAGCGCCGGCAGCCTGTCCTCCACTCAGGAGAACCGCTGCGCCGATGACGTCTACCGCGAGCACAGCGACTGGCTGTTTGGTAACGTCCGCGGCAAGACCAAGTGGATTGCCCTCGAGGAGGGCGAGGACGAGTACCTCAAGGGGGGCTGGGAGCCCGAGGCAGATGGCAAGTACATCCGCACCTATGTCGAGAACGACGACTACGGTTGGACTGCCGACCAGATTTGGGGCTTCCAGATAGTCGAGGGCGAGAGATATTACTGCCGTAATATTCTTATCAAGAAGGGTGACGAGCGCGCTCAGTTCCGTTTGGTCTACGACTGGACTCCCGCGCCTGAGGCTGCCGCCGAGGTCGAGGACGAGGATCCCGCTTTGTAAAATTGCGTCTTGAGTGTACGTGATAGAATGCCTGCTTTACTTATAAATTAATTTGTCATTATTGTCTATATACTTTTTTACTTTTTCGATGCATGACCACGGCAAGCTTATTCTGGTCGTCGCTTGACAAACTCTTCCAAATCTTGTACCGTTGTAACGCCCAAGACAAATCGTCTGTTCTCGTCTGTGATAACTGCAAATTCTTGAGCCCACTCTCCCTGGGCAGGCTGCTGTTCGCTGCCACCACGGAAGAAGACCTCGAGCTCCTCAAGTGGCGTCTGCATTGTAATGACCTTGTACTTGCGGCCCTTGCGCTGGAACCTTGTCATGGCGGCCGAGAGCGGGTCGTTGGGCTTGACTTTGCCGGCATCAAGCTGCTCCTGGAGATGAGGAATGGCGACGTAGCCGAGCAAGGCGCGGGTCTCGGAGTCGACAACAGTCAGATGTGTGTAGTCGCGTTCGAAGGCGGACAGGAGGGCGACGGAGACGGCGTCGGTGGGGTTGACGGAGAGAGCGGCAGGGGGATCTATGTCTTCGACAGTGGCCTAGAAGGAAGAGATGTGTTAGCTCAGAGAGTCATCAAACGGGCGAAGTAGCTGCCAGTCTTCCATCACGGTGCGGACCAGCAAGAAAGCGGTCACCGTTCTGGTTTGCTTGGTGCGAGGGATAAACGTACGCCTCGATAGCGGGCAGCCCATTTCGAGACGACAAGCGGGGTAGATGATTCCGAAGCCATAATGCGAGGATGTGCTATTGACAAATACTGGGGTTGAGGCGTCGCGGTCGTCTGTACACGGAGAGGTTCTGGTGGTGACGGTGAGGAGAAAAGTTGAATCTGGCCGGTCCAAAAATGCCCCTCCCATGGGATGGTGAACGATTAACAATGTGGGGTTACCGACTGACGTGCGATAACCTGGATGGGTTGTAAGTGTCAGCGCCAATTGAGCTCTGAAGCGATGAAATGGTAGAGTTTTTGAAGAATTGTATATTTTCGATAGAGACTCTAATTAAGAGAGTATTTAATTAAGTAAACTGATGCGGCGAGTGTACCTTGTGTGGTAGAGCAGTTCCAACCGTTGCACTTATAGACATGGCGCTGGGCCGGAGATCATGGTGACAACTTGGTGTAAATCTCGTTCGAAGTAAAATAATGTGCAAAATGTACAAACACATTAAAAACCCCCTGAACAGGCCAATGCATAGTTTTAATACAATTTCATGAACCAAAAAGGTATTCGCAAAGGCCGAGGACCTTATCGCCGAAAGCAGTGATGTCACCGGGTTGTCCAGCTGTCATCGAAATCGGCCTTAGGCAGCCTTGCCGCTGGTTTAACGCCGAAACATCCCCTCGCGGTATTTATTTGATTGAGTATTTTCATTTCTCCTGTTTAATCATCGTTTGAATTGCTATCATTCTTTGAACCAACATTGTTGTGTCTGTAGTTGAGTATACGCACCTTGCTGACAGTGCCGCAATAAGCCAATACACACTGTTGGACGCCCTCCCGAGACAGCCGCCAAACAATGCTTCCTTTTCTCCAAACACGAGAAGTCTCTCAGAACTCCGAGGGCAAAAACTCATTCAAACAGCCTCGATTGTATTCTGCTGCTATGAGCGAAGTATCCATGACCCCTACCAAGTACCAGGCGCGGCCGGAATTGTTCCCTGCCTTCTCTGTCATTGATGATGCGCAGAAGAAAGTGGTCAATGCTGTTGGCGCAAACAAACCAGCTTCGTCTGGTAAGATGGAGCTCTACACTCCTACATACTACGCCGCTTGCACCTTTGGTGGCTTACTTGCCTGCGTACGATACTCGTCAAATTAGGCCCTTTTGAGCATTTGACTAACAATTAGAGCTAGGGCCTTACACACGCCGCGGTGACTCCTCTTGATCTTGTCAAGACTCGTCGTCAGGTAGATCCCAAGCTATACACTGGTAATATTCAGGCCTGGGGAAAGATCCTTCGAACAGATGGCATTCGAGGCGTCTTTACAGGCTGGAGTCCGACGCTGTTTGGCTACTCAGCCCAGGGAGCTTTCAAGTACGGCTGGTACGAATACTTCAAAAAGGCATACTCTGACGCCGTTGGCCCCGAGGCTGCGGCAAAGTACAAAACTGGTGTGTATCTGACTGCATCTGCGTCTGCCGAGTTCTTGGCCGATATTGCCTTGTGCCCGTTTGAAGCTGTCAAGGTCCGCTCACAGGGTTCAATCCCAAGCCCATACAAGGGTACCTTTGATGGCATTCGTTCCATCATGGCGAAAGAAGGAGCTGCAGGGCTCTACAAGGGCATCTATCCGCTGTGGGGTCGTCAGATTCCATACACTATGATGAAGTTTGCGTCGTTTGAAACAATTGTCGAGATGATGTATGCTCGTCTACCTGGCTCGAAGGATGACTACAGCAAGGCAGCGCAAACTGGTGTATCCTTCTCCGCTGGTTACTTGGCCGGTATTCTCTGCGCTATTGTTTCGCACCCTGCCGATGTCATGGTCAGCAAGCTTAACTCCAACAGAGGCGACGGAGAGGCATTCGGTGCCGCCGTGGGTCGCATCTACAAGGACATTGGCTTTGGCGGTCTGTGGAACGGTCTGCCAGTCCGTATCGTTATGATTGGTACCCTCACTGGTCTTCAGTGGATGATCTATGTAAGTATAGTAGCCATGGTCGTCGATGCTACTTGATGCTAACTTTAAATGTAGGATTACTTCAAGATCTACATGGGCTTCCCAACCACTGGTAGCGCCACTGAGGACGATAAGGCCAAGAAGTGATTGTGAAGGCCTGGGTATATTGTCGCTTCTTGTCTAAGTTAGATTTGCCGGTGAACTCACCAAAATATCCTATGTAGATTGTTTCAATTTATTTTATCAAGTCGTAAATTGCTGAACTGCCTGATGCGTGACCGAACGAGTGGCTTGCGCCAACGCCACGAACTGGTTTTGGACGTCACTCCTCCCTCTTGGCAAGGGCGCAATCTAGCATACAGAGGGTGCTTGCTGTGAGGGGATGACGGGCCGAATGTGTTTGTTGGTTCTGCTGTCGTTCTAAAGCTGGACTCTTCGGCAATCCAATTACCGAGTGAAGTCTACGACTAGGCTAGCGTATCGAGCCATGCATCCGATGCTGCGATGGACATTCGATGTTCCGTGCTGCTGATGTCTGGAATAATATGGTAACTGGACTTGCTGGGAAGAATCTGTGGTTGTCAGGGCATCACAGGGGGTGGCGAACGCCTATCAGTCTCCAATTTGTACGGCGGCCGCCTATTGTCGGGGTACTCGCCGTAGTCCCAGGATGCGAACAGCCCACGGCTACTACTGAGAAGGCAAAAATCGGTTCGGCGAGAATGTACGTCAGGCGACACCGTTGGTGATGAGGCTGTCCGGCGGTTGAGTCAGTTCTTGGTAGCACAACTGGGTTACAACCATGTCCTCTTCAACAGCACTAGCCTGATTGTAAGACAAACCAATAGTCTGGTAGGCACAACAGAACAGCCCACAGCTCCAGAATGCCCCGAGGCTGTGGCGAGATGAGCCCTTTCTCCACAGAAGCTCGCGTGGTTAAAGCGGGAAGCGTTGGGAGAATTGCGGGGAGGGCCGTGGGAGTGCAACTGCACAACACACTTGCGCCTCGTTCTGGCTGCGGCCTGTAAATTGTGGTCATGAGGCTGTATAGCGTACGTTGGGGAGCGGTCAAGCGTGGCGTGCCTAACGGAAGCTATGTGAAGAAGAAGTAGACTGGCCTTGTGTGCTTGCTACTCTGTTCAATTTTTAGAAGTAATAAAACGGAATGACAAAAAAGACTACACAGGCGTAGCTGAGGACCACCACCACAGCACTCAAGCAAGGAGCTGATACGCCGTGACGCAAGCAAGTGCGTGATGCTGCAACAACTGCCTTTTAGGATGCGCCCCCCTCCATAGCAGGCAAACCGAGAGCCTGATTTACGTTGTTGTCCTCTGGCCAATATTCTTGCTTCGCAGCCCCCCTCCTTTTCAGCCTGCAGGCGGCAGCACAGCATGACAAAAAAAGGTTCCCGCCTCGTCTCGCCTCGTCTCGCGTCAGTGGGTTCGGGGGCGTTTGAGGTTCAAGTTACAGTGGGCGAGGTCCCCTGGAAGGGACATACAGCGCCTCCGCCCTCCCCTCTCCGCAATCCGCCTGGTGTAGTAAGTTAGTGCCATCTCCAGTACGTACCTCAATTTTGTAGCTGGGTCGACAACTGCCTGTAGAACAACGCCACGTCCGTTTTTGCGGCCGTTCGTTCGGCGTTCTTTTTCCTCTGTCGGGGGTTGCAACCACCACGCGGGAACCATACGAGAATGTTTGCGGTTGTGGTGTGCCGTGCAAACAAGAGATAACACGGCCCTGCAGAGAAGATGACGCCTGTGACAGGCTGTTTCTGCCATGTACTTGCGAGCATTCTGCAGCCTCACGCCTGCACTGTGGTGATGCATGACCCTCCTCCTACAGGCAACTACAGCGAGTGAACGAGCGCTAAAAAGCAAAAGGAAGAAAAAACAAGATACCTCTGCTGCGGGTGCTTCTGGTCCCCCACACCACCACAACCACCACCCACAAAACGCTCTGTTACTGGCTCACCTCGTCTTTCCCCGGCCTCGCATCCCCATCCCTCAGCCCTCTAGTGCGGCCGACTGGTTTGCCACTAATGCGCCTAATCCCAAGGGCATCCCTGCGGACTCGTGCTCCTCTGTCGACATCCGCCGCTACGGGTTACCGCTGAATGCTACCATACCCTCAGCTGTCGCGCTTGTCAAGTAGTGGGTTTGGGTTACCTGCGACCTGTTCAGTTTGCCTTTAATGTTTTTGCGGCTGACTTTCTTTTAGTCTTTTCTGTCTGAAGTCGTATTCAGCACGTACTCTTGGTCCTGCTCTTTGTTCTCTTTTCCTTTTTTTTCCCCTCCTCACTATACACCACCCAACAAAACTCCAACTCCGCACCGCCAAAATTTACCACTGTAGCCTAGCGTTTGGGGGACGCGAGTAAGCCACAAGCCCGACTTCTACAGGTGTCTCCAGAACAAACTCCTCTACCCCCTCATCCCGCTCAGTGCTGCTAGTGGGCGCTAAGACGCTATTTCCATCATCCACCTTCAAGCCACGACCTCCGCCTCGCCAACGCCTGCCAACCCCAGCCAAGCCTGGCCCCTTCTTCTCCCCCTCGCCACTTGTGCTTCTCCTCTTTCAACACTTGCTACAGCCAATCCCTCGCTCTTCGACCCTTGCGCACTTGTTTAACGCGATCCGAACCGCCTGTTGCGAATCTCTTTGTCGAATGCGCCGTCCCTAACGACACGTCGTCGTCGCTCCTCCAGTCTCCGAGCGGGTACTGAGTGCGCTGTTCAACCGTTTTGACAGCCATCCCGCTGCCCTCACGTCTCGGCCAATTCTAGCGACAAACGCCGACCAAGCACCGGCCCGACAGTCACGATGCCGAGCATCTTCAATAAAATCAAGAGCGGTTCGGTATGGCTCCCTACTCGATACGATGCTGTGCGCCCGCGACCCGGCGCTCAGCTCTGTCAACCGTCTCCATTAGTTGCGCAACTCGTCTGAACCTCTTTTCGCTAACCTCTGTTTGCGTACCATGAAGCAATCCGCGAATGTAAACGGAAAAGAAGCGTCGCCTAAAAAGAAGGATGAAGCTCCTATAGAGCTGACTCCATTGGAGAAGATGCTCCAGAATGCTGGTCCTCTTCGGGACGACGGTCGCGACCGATTTCTAGGTTTCGAAAATGTAAGCTTGCTTTCACCCACATATAACCTTCACTTTCTAACTTGATTTTACAGTTCGGAAATACATGGTACTGATAGTCAACTATGTTATCTTGGCATACGCAACTAACACTGAGTTTAGCTACTGCAATTCGATCGTCCAAGCGCTATACCACTCCGATTCGTTTCGAGAGAGCATTATAAACTACCCACCCCGATCTCCGACAGATACCCCGAACAATGATTATGCAAAGGCAAATGTGACCATTCGACCTCCAATCATTCCCGCACCACCCCCTCCCAAACAAAAACTTTCTACCAGCCAGGTTTTGAAGCAGCGCCAAGCGATAAATCTTGGACAGACGGTACCTGGACAACAGCCTGTAAAGCCAGAAGACAAACCGGATACGCCTGAATACAAGAAGAAGCATGCGATGCTTAAAGGTCCAATTCTGGAACTTGCCAGAGAAAATACAGTTGCATACGGCATGAACGAATGCACCTTTACTGGTCTCAAGGACATCTTTCTTGCCCTCAATGAGAGCAATACCAGGACTGGTGTTTTGAGCCCGCAACGTTTTCTTGAAATCTTCAAGAGAGATAATGAACTCTTTCGCAGTGCCAACCACCAGGATGCCCACGAATTCTACGTTTTGGTTTTGAATGATATTGTCGTTAATATTGAGAAGAACCAAAAGAGATTGGACGAATTGCAGCAAAACGGCTCATCAAACGGACTAACAGAGTCTGTCGAAAATATTATAGACACGACAATGATTGACCACGCATCAGGTTATAGATCACCAGGTACTGGTTGGATTCACGACATATTCGAACTAGTTCTGGCCTCAGAAACCAAGTGCCTCACTTGCGAGACAACGTCCCAAAGAGAGGAAACCTTCCGCGCGCTATCGATCGATTTGAAGGAACACTCATCGGTGACATCATGCCTCCGCAAATTCTCTGCTGAAGAAATGCTCTGCGAACGCAACAAGTTTCAATGCGACCAGTGTGGCGGCCTGCAAGAAGCCGAACGACGAGTTAAGCTCAAGCGCCTCCCCAAGGTCTTGACTCTGCATCTGAAGCGTTTCGAATATACTGAAGATTTCAGCCGTTTGCAGAAGCTCTTCCACAGAGTCGTGTATCCATATCACTTGCGACTGTTTAACACGGCAGACGATACGGAGAACCCTGACAGACTCTACGAGCTCTACGCGGTAGTTGTACATGTTGGAGGCAACGCATACCACGGCCACTATGTATCAATAATCAAGACTAAGGAACGCGGATGGGTTCTTTTCGACGATGAAATGGTGGAACCTGTTGACAAGCACTTTGTCCGCAACTTCTTTGGTGATAAGCCTGGTATGGCTACGGCATACGTCCTATTCTACCAGGAGACAACCTTTGAGAAAATGCGGGCAGAGCAGGAAGCAGAAGGCATGGAGGAAGTCAAGCTTGCTACCCAAGCTGCTAATGTGGCCTTGGGCAAAGATGCTAATGAGAATGGTGATGGAGTTCCTCTGTCGAAACACAACACCACCCAGCCGGTGGCTTCAACGACTGACACATCACTACTTTCGAAGCTTACTCCTTCACGGACAGCTCCCGATACACCAACTACAGGTTCTCCACTCGCTAGCCCTGTACCTGATACGCCGCTTCCTCCGGTTCCGCCACTGCCTACAATCACACCGATAGCCGAAACGACAGTGACATCTCCTACTCCCGAAGCACCCCTCACGAAATCAGTAACGCAAACGAAAGAGGACAAGAAGCGAGAAAAGAGGGAAAAGGAAGCTGCTGAGAAGGCTGCCAAGCAACTCGAGAAAGAAAAAGATAAGCAGGCTCGCGAAGAAGAAAAGAAGAAGCGTGAATTGCATATTCGTCAGGTCGCCGCGCGACGGATGGAAGAAGAACAGATGGAACGAGCTCTGAATGCTAGCAAGAAGAGCGCGATAGAGGAAGAGAAGAACCGCGGCAAGGATGAGACAACGGGAAATGGCAGCTTCCTAGACCGGTCGAAACGCGGCAGCAAGTCCATCAGCAGAAAGGGCTTTGGGCTCTTCGGCAAGGATAAAAGCCAGGTTCCGGAAGAGGCCATCGACAGCACACAGAACGGAGTGCCGCCCGAGAAGCACGAACGCAAGAGCCGTCTAAGCATTGGCTTGGGACGCAAGAAGAGCAGTAACATGCTTGCGTAGATTAATGATTATTTCCCGGTGTATATTGCTGTCGGCTATTTCTATTTGATAGACGTGGTGTTCTGACATGGCGTCTGCTGTCTGGAGAATGGGTCAGATTTAGCTGGTGTTTTTTATTCGTTTCTTGTTTTGTGAACTAGCATTTTAAAGCGACATGATTGCGGAAGACTAATGTATCTATTTCACTACTCCTCTTCCCTATTAATTGAAATGTTTGAAACACTTGTTACCGGTTTGTACTTTAATTTGGGTGTGACGTATTTGCGTGGCTAGTTCACTGTCTCTCCCCCACAATTTCTGGCTCGCTTGCCCCTGGCGCCATCTTTCCCTCATTCATCAATCAAACGCGACAAGATGCAACATCTCATCTTTTGTATTTTGACCATTTAAAGCTACTCTCTAAATCAACAACTGTCACATTTATAATCAGCACGCGATTACGGTGGCACGCGTCTGATTTGTCATGGCATCCTCGCTACTAGGTACCTTCAAAACCCCCCTCTCACCATAGCATATAGACAAGCTGTCTAACACATCTTAAGATCTGGCGCTTAATGCCACGCTCTTTATTATCCCACTAATCCATCTCCTTCTTGCGCCATACTCCAAGGTTGAGGAGTCATTCAATCTCCAAGCAACCCATGATATCCTGGTGTACGGTGTCCCTGTTACCAATGCAAAGGTCCAGCTCTCGTCGACATACGACCACTTCACATTTCCTGGCGCTGTGCCTCGCACGTTCCTGGGATCAGTGCTCTTAGCAGGGATTAGTCAGCCCATCATTGCACTTGTGGGCTTTGCGCATGCGCAGTTTGTAGTGCGAGCCCTACTAGGATGCTTCAACGCCGTCAGCTTGCTCTTGTTTAGAAGGGCGCTTGATCGGGCCTTTGGAAAGGCCACCGGCCGTTGGTGGGTTGCCTTGATAGCCGGCCAATTTCACTTGGCGTTTTACCTGACGAGAACGCTGCCAAATATGTATTCCTTTGGCCTCAGTACGTTTCGATAGCCAAACACTGCTGAGCTACCTACTAACTATCCTCTTTAGCAACACTCGCTGCAGCACTGATTATCCCACAGACAAAGTATTCTCTACCCGACCAAAAGAAGAGCGTGTACCTTTTAGTCATCTCCGCCGCCATATTCCGTTCAGAAACTGCCATTCTGCTGGCTACTACTTGCCTTCACTTGTTGATCAGTAAGCGTATTGGACTCCTCGCCCTCATTCAAACTGGAATCGTCTGCTCATTCACATGTCTTGTGGTTTCAATCCCACTAGACTCTTACTTTTGGCAGACGGTTCCTATGTGGCCTGAGCTAGCGGGGTTCTACTTCAATGCCGTCTTGGGATCGTCATCGGAATGGGGAGTATCTGCGTGGCACTTCTACTTCAGCTCCGCACTGCCTCGCGTTCTTCTCAACCCCGTCACCTTCGGTTTAATTGCCTTAGCTGTATTTCTTCCTGCTACTCGCCGACAGGCCCTGGATTTGACGCTTCCTGGCCTCATTTTTGTTGCTATTTACTCGATTCAACCACACAAGGAGGCACGTTTCATTTTCTATGTCATCCCGTCCTTTACTGCCGCCGCCGCTCTTGGTGCATCGTACCTCTCAAATCGAGCAACAAAGGCGACTTTGTATCTTGCAGCCTCTGCTGTTGTAGGATTATCAGTTTTGGCCTGCTTCGCAGTCAGCATTGGTATGCTGCTCCTCAGCTCTCTCAACTATCCCGGCGGCGACGCTATGAACCAGCTCGCCGCTCTAACATCATCTACACATGATGTTTCATCCAATAACCCGGTCCGTGTACATGCCGATGTGCTGACATGCATGACCGGATTGACTCTTTTTGGCCAGAACCCGTCTGGCCTGCCGCTGGCGATTGGCACACCCTCGAGAGACATTTTAGATTCGCTTCCTACAAAGCCTCTGGTTCTCTTTGATAAGAATGAGGACGCGGATGTACTTCTAAAACAGTCATTTTGGAAACAATTTGACTACGTGTTAGCAGAAGACCCATCGAAGGTCATTGGCGGTCATTGGAAGACTCTGGGCGTGGTCCAAGGATATGATGGCATTGAAATTCTGCGCCCTGGGCAGACACGCAAGTATGACGAAGATGCAGAGAGTGGTCGCAAGTATCATGTCCTCGGTCGTGGAGCCGTGGTTGCGCATCTACGCGAAATGGTGAGAAGGGTGACGAGAGGATGGTGGGTTGGACCGCGCATGTCGCCCAAGATCTTTATTCTGCAACAAGTTCAAGACGGTGCCGCCAAAGCTGCTGCTACTATGTAGTTTACTTTGTGATAGACGCTTAGAACTGTATGCTATCACAATGCATTAAGAAACACGGGGCCAATGGTGAGAAAAGCAAAATAAGTTCGTAAAATATTACACATATACGCCGTTGATGGCCGCTCTCCCAAATCGCTAATTCAGTTATCCTCGTACAGTGAAACACGCTGTCCCATAGACGTAAAAAGCAGCGCAAAGTCCCCTGAAAACACCACATATCTCCCGCGATAGGATTCTGCTCAATAATGCCATAAACATAGAAGGAAGCGTTCAACGCTTCGTATGCATTGATCCTGAGCAAAACCGCGTCGCCTTCAATCCAAAGTAGAATCAATGAAAAACGCCCCAAAAAATAAGTAAAGGCAACAAAATTGCTGCTAAGAATAACCATAGGTTCCCATGTTGGTTCGTCGAGTTCGATTCGCAGTTATCCGTCCAATTCTCCATATTTGCTCTTGTAACGTTCCAGCTCTTCCTTTTGTTTTACAAAGAAGTCTAAAATTTCGTCCATAGATCCGCGAAGTTGGTTAAGTTCCTTGAGAGGGCCATTCGCTTTAGCAATATATCTCATGGCGAGCGTAGCAACACAAGTCTAAAAAGGATGTTAGTTGATGTAAACAGAGAACAAACGTAGCAAAGGGCACATACCTCAATTCTTGTAACCTGGTGGTCAATAAAGTTGAACAGGAACTGTTCAGTGACTTCGCCGCCATGCGACTTCATACGATCGAGAAGTTCTGTAGCAGGGGTCTGGAGACTGGGGTCGCCTTGTACTTCCAAGTTGCTGCACAGCATCTCCAAACGTAGATTAACGTTCCAAAGACCCCAGATAATCTCAGGATCAAAGGACAGCTGTACGCCAGGGGCCAGTGTCGCGGGCTTGTCGGTGCTATCGTGCCTGTCTTGGTGCTGGTGGTATTCAATACGCCCTGCTAGAGCATGGGGATAGAGGGAGTAGACGACTTCTGGGTTTTCCAAACCCTTGAGTTTCCGTTCACCCATCTCCTTGACCTCGAAGCCTTGCGAGGTTAATGATCGCAAGTCTTTGCGGATGGTCGCGGCAGACGCCTCTTCCTCAAATGTGTCGTCAGAGCCAGTCGAGCCATTTCTATCAGTGTCCTGGTATGTTTGCAGACATCGTTGGATCTCCGAAATAAGATCCGTCGACACGGCAATCTGTCCACCATCTGCAACGGCAGCAATACGCGAGCCCTTGTTCATCATCGGACCGAAGTAGTCCATACGGCGAGTGACAGGGTCAAGTTCGCACACACAGTTGCCGAAATGAATGCCCATTCTGACAGACAAGCCCTTGAAGATCAGCGTGTTGTCCTTGTCGTATATGGCCTGTCCGGGCATGGCGCTGAGGATTTCAGATGGCCATGTCACTTCGAGGAGCTCTGCTTGAACGGCGAAACACCAAAGAATAGCCGATGTCGCGTTAGGGAACGATACAATAAAGGCATCTCCTTCAGTCTTGACTTCATATCCACCGATACGGCGAAGTTGTCTTCGCATGACTTCGTTATGAAGCTTAATAGCAGATCGCATTGCACTGGGGAACATCTCCCACAGCGTTGTGGAGGACTTGATATCCGTAAAAACAATGGCGACGTTGCCTGTCGGAGCTGGAATTTCGGCTTCAAGGCGGTTGAGGGATGAATCAAGCACATCACGGTTCGCTTTGCGAGGACGTCTGGTGGCGACTTGGCCGTCTTCCGATATACTAGATGGGTAGAGGGACATGCTTGTGCCACGATTAAGCTTGGAACGTTCAACGCGGCGCTTCAGATCCGAAACACTAATCATCATAACCATAATCTTTCCAGTGGCGCCATATGCGATTGCCAGGTCACGCAGCTTTTGCGCAGCTCGCATCGGATCTTGTCGCTCCGATCGGGCGATATCAGTAATCAGGCCAGGGGACAAGTACTCCCATAATTCACTGGTCGCAAGCAGCAAAATTTCGTCTTGCTCTTTGATGGTCATATGGCTGATATGGGGTGCTGCCTGCACAGCCGGCATAAGGTCGACGTAGCCGAAAGCGCGCGAGACTTCCAGTAAATCGTTGAGTCGTCCATTTCGTGATACCCAACCTCCTGCTTCACGGATGCGTGCTCGCTCGCTCGGGGCCGCGGGATCGTGTTTATGGGTTAAAATTTGGTGCTTGCCATCAGTCTGAATCATTATTCCCTGAACATTGCCAACGTTGGCGACATAGAGCTCGGTACCTTGTAGGTACGCAACCGTGGCCACGCCACCAGAGTTGAGATCCTCTCGGCTGAGAACGACGGGCTGTGCAGAGCCTCTATGTGCTCGTCTAGGTCGTTCTTCAGTGTGCTGAACGGCGATACTGACGAGATCCTTGTTTAGAGACAAAAAGGCCCTTCGTAGCGCGTCGATAGGTGTTTCACTTGAGTGAGTCTTCAAAGCCTTCAGCTCAAGCGCAAAGATGTGGCCAAAGTTCTCGTGGAGGTACTTGGCAATCTTCGAGCCGCCACTAGAGAGTGCTTGGCCATCAAAAAGACCGAGAAGCATCTCTGTTTCTGATGAATTGAATCTAGGCACAACCAGGTCAACGGTAGAAAGATGCTCGTTTTTACCAAGCGTGTCAGCCATACCGTACGGGAAATGGCCTGCTAGTGAGCCAGATGTACGGACTCTCTTGTCTTCATTTTGGTCTGGAATGCTTGGTTGCGTCAGTGTGACATCCATCAAGCCCAGGACACGCAGATTCTGGAGGCGGTTGAAGTCGGTGTATTCCTCGCGATTTCCAGAACCAGGGCCTCCAGGTCCCCAGGCAGCTTGCTTGATTTCTAGACGCTTGTTGCCCGACAAGTTGAGATAGCGTAGATTAGGGTTGAGATTCCAGTTCCAGTCGTACGGGACGTTAGCGATATTGTACTTGAGATTGTTGTTACCGCAATCCAATACCGCCAACTTCTTCGCCCTGGAAATATCAGCAGGCAAGTTCGTAAACTTGTTTCCGTTTATATAGAGAGCTTGTAAAAGACTATGCTCTTCAAGATCATCAGCTGGCAATGTTGTTAGTCCGTTACCAGACAGATACAACTCCACAAGCTGCGGCCAGCTCTTTATCGATCGCTGTGGCATATCGCCAATTTCTTCATTGTATGACAGGTTCAGTACCCGGAGCTCTGCCAAAGACGTGATTTGGTCAAAGACTTCGTCATCAAGTCGGTTGTCGGCCAAATACAGATTCTTCAGCGAGCCAGCAAATGTGTTTGTTAATCGTGACGAGTGACTGGAGTCCTTTCTAATGGCTTGAGGCGTCACCGTTGACATTGCTGTTTGCGAGGTGGTACGTGATACAACGGATGTTTTGCGGCCAGCCTTGGCATACAATGAGGCCACGGATGTCTTACGATCCGCAGTCTGCGTAGGCGTGGATGGGCCAACGCTCAAGAGCGTACTTCCGGACCCTTGGCTTGGCCGCCTGTCCTCGGCTAATTCTTCAAGGCTGGGCGTTGTTGTTAGGGAATTCAGCGGTCCCATTTTGCCATTGTGTGAGGGAGGGGGGCCAGATGACTCGTCACCTGGAAGACGAGGAGGTCGGGAGCTCGGGTTAGGGAACTGGTCCAGAACGTTTGAGGAGGCGTTCAGTGTTTCCAACTTGCTTGCCCACCATAGCTCCATGGGCAGGCGGGAGATGTTGTTGCCGCGGATATCAAGAACACGCAATTCAGTCATGCAGCCGATTTGGGGAGGCAGTTCACCGACAGCATTGTTCGCAATGCTAAAATGTTCGAGTTTCGTAAGTAGACCAATTTGTTGAGGCAGTGATACGAAATAATTCTTATCAAGAATTAACCGCTCCAAGTTCATCATGTTGGGAAACGCGGAGTCAATGCTCGCGAGCTGTGCATGGCAAAGACTAAGCGTCTTAAGCGTTGGAATAGGCTCTGTCAGCTCGAATTTGTTAAGCGGATTCTCGTTCAACTTGAGCAAGCGGATACGCTCAAACTTTCCTCGAAATGCCGAAATTTGATTGTGTGCCGCGTAAAGCATTTCAAGCTTTGGTAGCTCAGCAATCGTATCGATACTGGTAATGTTGTTGTATTTGACATCCAACTCTCTAAGGCTGCTCATTTCGCAAAAGGTTGCCGGCAGATCAGAGCCAAGAGAGTTGTTGGTGATTAGCAGCTTCTCAAGGTTTTTCAAATTTCCAATTTCCTTTGGTAGCGTTGCAATATTATTGAAGCTCAGATCAAGCTGAACTAAGCTTGCCAGGTCACAGAGGAACGCAGGAAAGGACTCCAAAAAGTTTGACGATACATTCAAACTCCGAAGAGCCTGGTACGCTCCAAAATACTCTGGGATGTGTGAAATTCGATTGTTGGCGAGGTTCATCTTCAGCAGGCCAGTTAAGCTATGGAGTTCCGCATGTTCGAGTTGCTCGATTCTGTTATTCGATACATCGAGATATGTAAGCTTGGCAGCTCTACTCAAGCTTGGAGGCAGTCGCTTCGCTTCATTGTTATTGAATTTAATATCTCGCAGTTGCTTGCATGACTGAATAAAGTCTCGTGGGACGTCCAGAGAAAGATTTCGCGACAGATTCAACGAGATGATATCAGCAGCCTTGAGGTAGAGAGATATGGGGATGGTAATGAGATTGCGGGCGGAGAGGTCGACGTAGTTAAGCTTCTGAGCTCGCTGGATGCCGAGATCGGTCGTCTTGGCGTGGAAGTCGCTTTCCCTTGCTGAAAGGAAAAGGAATCGGCAGAGGTAGCCGTTGTCTTCGCGGCCCAGATCTTCGATTCTATCTTTGTCTTCGTATCCAACTTGTTGCAATAGCCTCTTCTGTATGAGTAGTGGACGCTCCTGCGCTCCCAAGACTCTGATCAGGTCGTGCTTCTTCATTATGATGTTATAGTTTTCTAATCCGTCAACGACATAAGTCTTCTTAATGACCTGTGAAATGACGTCGGAGACTGTCGCATCGAGCGACATGGAATGCGTCAAAAATGTACCGTCGGATCGGAAAATTCGGATACAGTACGCTGATAGCTTTTCCTCCGGTCGTGGTGCCACAGAGGCATCTTCAGGCTCTACCGCTTGCTGTGTGCGGTCTTCAGTGGTACGACGGACAGCCCAGCTGTCGGGCGCATCCCACTGGCCCTTTTGCCCATTGGCTCCAGTATCCGACAGGTCCTCCTCGAGACTGTTTACATAGGAAGCATCTACAGGTGTCAGAGACGGCGCCTTGGTGAGGATACCTTCCATATCGTTTAGGTTTGTGTCGAGGTGGTACAGCTGCCCGCTGGTGTTGTGATCTGTAGGCCCGATAAATTCATCCTGATAATCATGGTGGCGCTGGCCTTTACTGCGGCCCTTTGCGAAAGGAAATCTGTTATTGAAAGTCGCAGGGGCGGGTTTGCTCGGAGGGGCTCGCAAATCAACGGTGTCGATGGGTTCAGGAGGACCTGGAGGACCTTCCCAGTTATCGGGAATCGCAGGAGGTGGTGTGGCATCTTCCGTGACCTGGTTGAACTCTGCCTTGGATGGCTTCGGTTGGAGCGACCTCGATGATGGTGGGAGATCACGCAACTTGGAAGGAGTGGTGCCGTGTTCATCCTTGTCCTTGTTGTGGCGCAGGAACCTGTTGAAGAGGCCGCGTTTGTTATGGCCAGGCGATGAGTGTCCATCGGTCTGAACAGGGCGGGACGACGCAGGAATTGGAACGCTTGCTGTGCTTGGCGTCGGACTATCCGACCTCGACACCGTTCTGTACATGGCGGCCGCCACTGACCACTCGCGCGGATGTTGGGTCGAGGTTGTGGAATCTTCTCTGCTGACGCTTGGTCTTAGGGCGCGTTGGTCATCGTTGCTCTTGTTGTGTCGATGGCTGGAGCCTGCGGAGATGGAGTGGCTCGATCGCGCCGAAGCGGAAGTCTTTGGGGGATGGCTGTTGGATGGCGTGTCGCTCATGTATCGATCACGATCAGGGCCAGTCATGGTATCTCGCACTGGAGCTTCCCCATATCGCGCAATGTCCTGGTGAAGTGGGTCAGAATATTTTCAGTTCAGGTGTACAAATTGGTCAGCTCTCAGCGCTTCCGGGGCTTGGTGGCGGCTGTTCTCAGTCGCCAAGACGATCCCCTACGTAGAGCAGGGCAAATTATTTCGGTGAGAAAAGAGGAAACAATAGTAAAGGTAGGTTGCTTGTAAGATTGGCCTGCTGTGGATTTTTTTTTTTTCGACAGCGGGTTCAATTCAGCCGGCTGGGGAGTGAAGCGAGTAATTTTAGCTGTGCAGGGAAAGGAGACGAGGGGAGGGGCCCGTAAAGTGAAGCGAGGTTGGCGTAGCCTGATTACCCAAAGCAGCCAATGGGCAAACCATGCACCTCAAAGCTGTGATCCTTGTTCCAGCCGAGATATCACAGAAGTGAAGGACGAGAGCAAAGTAGAAGACGAAAAGAAGGAAAGCATCAAAGCGATGAGACTTACCGAGTTGTCTTGATACAAAAACGGGACGACTTCAGGGGCAGGCAGCGGCGTTCGAGGCCGTGATGAAGCTGGCGATGCTTCCCTGTCCGTCGCATTGGAGTAGTTTCGATCTCGCTGAGGTAAACGTGTATGACTATATGAGCGCGATCTTTGATCTTTGCTCGTTCCAATGCTGAAGCTGTGACTGTGGCTGCCAAAATGGTTTGTTGATGGCACAGCTCCCGAGAATGAGTTTGACAAGCTATTAGCGTCTGGGCTTTCACGCCCAGGGAATTCTTCGCCAAAGAAACCCTGGAGTTTCCGTAAGCCTCCTCTTGTGCCACTCGTTCGTGATCCTTGGCTGCTACCCGTAGTGTTTATACTGGCCGCAGACGGGCGTCGGTCATTATCAAGATACATGGCGTCTGGCATATTGGCATCAAAGCTGGCAGACGGGCCATGGCCTCTCGATCCACGGAATGTAGCTGGGCCCAGAGCTGGTGAGCTCTGTGAGTTGAGGGACATGCTATCGGCAATATCCTCGAAGAAACCATTGTTGCTGGGGTTTGGAGGCGTCATCCATGGCGCGACCTGCAGCGACGGTTGGCTGTGATGTATGATGGGGTGGCCGCGGGGTGCTGATGATCCGCTGTCAATGGACGATAACTCTCGTCGGTAATTACCGAATTCGCCTACGCGGCGGTCTTTAGCCGTATATCCAGACATGCTGTTAGCTGAGGATGAGGACGGAAATGGACCTGGATTCAAGGATGGCGTCGAGGTGGGCGAAATCTGAGCGTCATTACTAGATGCCTGGCTGCGTAAAAACGTGTCAATACCTATCAAGGCCTCCAAACCATGGCCAAAAGATGTAGCATCTATAGGCTTTCTAATAACCTACCTCAGTTTGCTATCAATGCTAAGCCGAGAGCCGCTGCTCTGCCGGGGTGCTGATAGAGCGGACGGCCTGTATGTGACAGACGATCTGTTGCTTTCAGAGTTACTGCTTGAGCTTGTTATTGTGCTGAGGCGCGATTGCGTTTCATTTCTCGGCATTCTAGTAGCTGTGAAACTACGGCGCCATGTCTAGGCGGCCCGTTGACGGCTTGCGAGTTGCGGTCTGCTTCTTGAGACGGGGTCGGCTGTTGTTGTGGCGGGGAAGTGGAAGTGTCGTGCTTTGAGGCTCGCTAACGTGTCGGTGGCTCGAATCGCGGAGTTTTGTAGCAAAAAATACTTCCAACTAAGCAAAGGCAGTGGGTGCAAAGTAATGAAGGAGCGTGAGGAGCGATAGAATGGGTTATGATGGTGGAAAACGCAGAAAAAAGCAACCACCGATGGGTTCGTTCGTGGCTGGGCTAGTTGCTGTGTGAGGTGAGGAGCCTGAAGCTGTGCGTGCAGCTACTAGTCGCGGCGCTTCAGCGGGGGATGGGCCACCATGCATGTCGCATCACCCACACCCTGCTGCCATGACACAACCAGCCACTTTCTGAGACGAGCAGAAAAATTTCACCCGCCTACGAACGGGGGCATCGGCGATCAGTGCTTGTTGGCATTTGCGGAAGAATTTACTCGAGACTATGCAGAAACATCTAGGCAAATGGCTGTGGTAGAAAGAATACAGCAGAGGCTGCCCGACCAACTGTTACATTTGCACCATTCGCCGGCAGCACAACAGCCTCCTACAGTACTGTGCCATCACGCACCCGCCCGCTGGCGTCCTGCGTGGCGCGGGCGTAGTTCGGGACACACAAACGAGCAAATGAATAGCCTGGGGTCTCAATAAACGACGCCCATGGCATTGGCTAGAGTTAATAGCCTGATGATCACCTGCGGCGCGGATCCAGCGATTCTCTCAAGGGCATTACACCAGGAGCGGCGCTGTTTTTAAGGCTGCCTAGCTTCGGTGAGCTAACCAAGCGGTGCGAGCGCAGCCACTTTGCATTATGGACTAGTTGTCTTTACACAAAAGAGAAAACAAAAAGGGATTGGTTTCGTAAATCCACACAAACACATCAACAATCCAAAAACGCGTCTCAGTCGCCTTACAAAGTACCTTTACTGGCGATTCATGAACCTTCAGGGACTGTCACTGCAACGGCAGCGTGGCCTCCTCACTTTACCGTTCTGCTCCCCAAAGCGGCCGCTAAAGTAAAACCTCCGCCCGCCTACCACGACTAGCGCCATCGCTCCCTGATCCCGCTGGCCGGCCCTAGCGCCGCCCACACATGGTGAACCCACCCGTGGCGGTCCATGCGCTGCTCCAGTTGGGTCCATCCCCTGTTGCGCTACACAGAATAGCCGTGCACCCACCAAAAGCTGCTGCTAGTGTTGGGGAACAGGACAAGCAGGGAGGCTGGCTTCATCTCGACTGCCGACGTTGTAGTTGGCGTGAGGACGCAGGGGTCCCGTAGATTGTATGTGATATAAATAGCAGAGACACTACAATTTCACTTATGAGACCTTGACGACAGATGCATTTTATGCGGCTTAATTCCACAATCGACGTACCAGCTGCAACCTCGAGGTGCCAATTTCTCTTCTGCTACGAGTAGTGTATGTTTCATTGCCCCTTTATTTGCTCTAATTATATACAACAGATCAAAGCTACAATACTATACATACATCTGTATTGTGAATTGTTTCGCTAGATCCAACCTTATTTAAAAATATGCAAGTCATCCATCTCCTGTCGCCACCTCGTTGGACACAGAAACTTATGGCGCACATATACATCTTTCCGCCACTCTTTTGCTTCTTCCCTTGAATGTCCAGTTTTACCACAGCATGGGAAAGGGAGTGGGCATCCAAATTCATCTTTCGAGTCGCCCACGAGGTAATCTGAAAACGCCCACCAAAGGACGCGTGCCTCTTGAGCTTCGCGGCGATTATAGGCAAGTTTTTCGGCATGGAAGAGCCACGCTTTAAGATGTGTTCGAAAACGCGAGATGCGCATACTAGAAAAGGACAGTCCGTTCAACGGATAGAGGCGATCGTCATTGAAGAAGGCGTGATCTTTTAAACCTTCAGACGTAACGTCGCGTAGCTCACAGTCCCATGATGGGACCTCACCCAATGCCATTTCAATATTAGGAAATGGACCCTGTGAATGATGTTCTCCAACCTGCCTAACGCTGGGAGGCACAGCTGATGGCCCGAGAGTCACAATCGACAATGTTTGTAATTTTGGGAGGGTTTCGACAGAGAGCGCCAAACAGGCTTGCTCAAGATCCCATCCCAGCTCTCCAATCCCAACGTTGGTGATACGACTTCGATCCAAGCCCAGAAAAGGATCGATAGGGTCTTGTGCTGTTTCAATGGTTGGATTTCGGTCGCCTCGGGTTATAGAATCCCAGAGAAATAGCATTGTAAAGATATCAGTATCGTAATTGATGTAGGGCAAATCGAATCGGATGATACATCGCACCCGATCCGCTGTAAAATATTCTTGCCGTCGCTTTGGATGCCATAGCTTATGACTCCAAACTTTCCTGGCCTCTTTATTCGCGTACATCGGCGGGAAGAGCATGTGCTCACGTGGCTGGACAACATAACGGAAATGACAGTCGTCACGGCTTGTGGAGGACACATTTCCAGTGTTAGTAGATTGTGTATCCGTCTGATGGACAGGTCGGAGAGTAGAATATAGGCTTGAAGGTGCTAAGAGAGTCACAACCCGCTCAGGAAACGGTACACGCTCCCAGATCATGTATCGCAACTCGGACGGAAGCTGTGTGAAGAGGTGAAATTCTGTCAAGTCAGTCATTTTAACAACGCGGTGATGCCATAGAAAACGGAATCAAAATATGTTTGGATTAACAATACAAAGAGACTATAAAACAACAGCCGCAACAATGATTATGAAAAGGTAAAAAACAACGCAGCGCAGGAGCCGCGGTTCCTGATAGCACGGACACTTTCTGCGGGGAATGCGTCACGCTACCCTTATGATGTCAGCGGCGGGAAGATAAGAACCCTCACACGCGATCTCGCAGCCTGGTCAATGTGTTGGCATGGCTCTCCCCAGTTACGGAAGTAGGTACTTACGGTTGGATTGTTTTCTTTACGGGGGAGGCCCAATTTATAACATCAACGTAATCCTAGGGGACCTCCGTTGTCATTAAATATGTTTGCCTCAGGATAAACGAGTGGGCGCGCTACCTTAACGGAAGCTGTTTGATTTTGCGGGCGCCCCAAATACAATCAAAATACAGTCTTAAAACGTATTTATCTATTTATTAAACTACATATTGTGCTACATAAAAAACGTATAATCTTGTAGAGTACGTGTGATTAGCTCTAATATTCTAAAATGTAACAATGGTTTCGTCTATACAAATAAATCAGTGTTTCTCAGCTAAGATACTTTGTCGGTCCGAGATCCAAGGCCAGGATCCAGGGCTGCTCCAGTAGCGTGGCCCGCTATAATCGCCTGTAGCAAGTCCCCCGCGCCGCACCCCGCCAGCCAAGCAGAGTCCGTTGCATCGTCATAACCATTTCAATGCAGAGGATGTAGCTCGGAATGAAAATAAGTGGAAATGATTGTTCAATTCGCCACAAAAGAAGACCTTAAGAGACACTATGGATTGTCATTGGCCATATTTCTTAATCTAGTGACTGGAAGACCCAGCTTAACGTCATCTCTCCATATAAACGACACTTGACCCAACTGTTCTGTTTCCCCTCTCCCGTCAACTCTCTCTTCACAATAGTTCCTTTTGAGGCATTTCATTCCTGACTTCAAAAATTCATTACACTGGTCATCCTGTTTATTGTTACCAGCTATGCCTGGAGGAAAAGACCAGCTTCGAACCTGGTGGAAGGAGAGTTCCGTGTACCAAATCTACCCCTCCTCGTTTCAAGACTCTAACGGCGATGGAATTGGTGATCTTAAAGGAGTCATATCCCGAGTACCTTATCTTAAGGATCTTGGAGTAGACATTGTCTGGCTGTCTCCTATCTGCAAGAGCCCTCAAGTTGATATGGTGGGTGTCACCGTTCACATCTCAATCGGTCAAACTTCTAATTAACGATAATAGGGCTACGATGTCAGCGACTACAAAGCAATCCATCCCCCCTATGGAGATCTATCGGATGTTGAAAAGCTTCGAGATGAGCTCCATAGCCGTGGTATGAAACTCGTTATGGACCTAGTCATGAACCACACAAGTGACCAGCATGAGTGGTTCCAACAGTCCAGAAAGTCCAAAGACAATGAATTCCGCGACTGGTACATCTGGCGCCCCCCTCGATATGATGCCCAAGGAAACCGTCAACCCCCAAACAACTGGGAAAGTCATTTTCAAGGTACCCTTGCTATTCATTAATCTTGTTAATCTAGTCCTTACTAAACTTATCTGCAGGCAGCGCGTGGGAGTATGACGAAGCCACCGATGAGTACTACTTGCGGCTCTTCTGCAAGGAGCAGCCTGATCTGAACTGGGAGAATCCCAAAGTACGAGCTGCTGCTCATGATGTGATACGCTTCTGGCTGGACCGTGGAGCCGATGGCTTCCGCATAGATGTCATCAACTTCATCAGCAAGGACCAGTCTTTCCCAGACTCTAACAAACCCGTTCTGAGGGGATCAGAGCATTACGCTTGCGGGCCTCGGCTCCATGAATATCTCAAAGAGATTGGTGTCATCCTCAAAGAATATGATGCCTTCAGCGTCGGCGAAATGCCATGCGTTCAGGATGAGAAAGAGCTGATCAAAGCCGTTGCGGCTGACCGTGACGAGTTGAGCATGATTTTCCACTTTGAGCTGTAAGAAGACTCATTCAAAAGAGCAACTGTTGGGTCTGAGTACTAATCAGAAACTAGGGTTGATATTGATCACGGGCCTGGGGGCAAGTTTTCTCCACGCTCATGGAAGCTCACTGATCTAAAGGCAACAACAGCCAAGTGGCAACGATTCATGTATGACAACAACGGTTGGAATGCATTGTATCTCGAAAACCACGATCAGCCTCGCTCTATCAGCCGCTTTGCCAGTGACTTACCAGAGCATCGCGAAAACAGTGCCAAGCTAATCGCTCTGTTTATGGGCTTCCAGGCGGGAACTCCTTTTATCTATCAAGGTCAAGAAATCGGCATGACCAATGTTCCCAAAGGCTGGCCGATGGATGAGTATCAGGACGTTGATTGTCTGAACCATTGGGCGTAAGTACCTTCATCATCATTCAAGTTCTCGTTTAACCTTTTGTATAGACTCCAACAAGGCAAGGATGAAACTACCAAGGCCGCCTTCAGAATCGAATACCAGAAGAAGTCAAGAGATAATGCTCGAACACCCATGCAATGGGATCGCTCTGCTCATGCAGGTTTCACTGATGGTCCTAAGCCATGGATGCGGGTTAACAACAACTTTGCCGAGATAAACGCTGCATCTCAAGTCACAAACCCCAACTCTGTATACCATATTTGGCGCCAAGTCCTTGAAAAACGCAAATTGTTGAAAGACGTATTCGTTTACGGAGACTTTGCTTTATTGGATGAAGGAAACGATAAAGTGTTTGCCTATATCCGCAAGGCCGCTAGTGGTCAGTCTGGTCTCGTTGTGGCCAACTTCTCAGGCGACAGTGTTTCTTGGGAGTGGGCTGGAAATGCCGTCGAAGTCATTTTGTCACCAAATGGTAAGACCAAGGCCGATGTTAACTCTGGAAAAATCGATTTACAGCCTTATGAGGCTATTGCGTTGCTTCTGCAGCATTAAAGTCGCAGATTATACTGGTTTACATGATCAATATACTCTTCATATTTGATTACTATGCACCGCCCCCATATCAACTGCGCCTATGTCGTATAAATATCGTCATGAACCATGATGCCAATGGTTTTACTGTCTTCCAAGACTTCTATTGCGTCGTCTTCACCTACATCCAAGTCTTCCATTATCAAACGTATGCCTAGTTCGCCAACAAGGACGCATTGGATAAATGCTGCAGAACCTCTAGCTGCAATAACTTCATCCTTTAGCACCCTGGCCTTTAGTTCAGTGCTAAATTCTCGAACCAGGTAGTCACTCATGGCGGTCAACCCACGAGGTCCATAGTACCCAGGGTTCATGTTATCATCTTCTTTCATCATTCGCCTTTTTCCAGCGTTGATTGACTGCTCGTGCGCACGGCGGAAGTATGAAGGCGAGCCGTCAATAATTCCAAGCAAGTCTGACCTGAATCTTCCAAAACGATTCTCAATATTCTTCCAGTCTACCTTCGGATAGCCTTTTTGCTTATAGACAGATTCGGCAGTATGCCTTTTATGCTTTCGGCAGAACGTTGTCTGCATATTTACTGTCAGATGTTGTCTCCCCTTTGAGAAATCGTCCAAGAGCTGCCTGTCCACCTCTTCGCCACACCATGGACACGTTGCTTCTTGTAAATCAGCTGCATATTTATCCTTCGCAGCAAGTCCTGGAGTGTCATCTTCGGAGTCGAACTCTGACAGCGTTCTATCGACAAACTCGCCGCCACCGTCTCGTATAGGCACGTCTATGAAGTCTGTTGGCAGTCTGAATATGGCCTTAGGCGATGATTTTCTCCGTGAGGGTTCATCTTTGTATTTGTTTGCCTTTGCAAGGCGCAGCTTTTCTTCATCAGAGCTAAAGTCGTCGTCCAGGTTCGCATCAATGCTCTTGAATTGGGGGCCAGCGTCCGGCGAGGACGATAAGGCGTCGGGCATTGAGAATGCCCGTGCCTTTTTCTTTGGAGGTGAGTTGAGTGGACTCGGTACTCGTATCTTTTTAAACTTCTTGGGGGGAGCTATGCAATGGTCACGTTAGCATATAGGCGAAGTTCACGGTGCAAAGTCCATACATGCTGGAGCGTCTTGGCTACTCGACGCTTTTTTCCCGTAAGTTGCTTTAGACTGTTTGACTTTTACAAATCCATGCTCGTCTTTAAGATGGCCTCCGGTCTTCTTGAAATTGCCTGAAGCTGCAGAGGGTCGAGCAGGCCGAGATGTCCCTTTATACGGCTCTGGGGCGTCTTCTGAGGGCAGCCTCAGTCGCTTTGATTTTGTATGTAATTCATCTCTATTCGGGAGATTCCATTTCGTGGTGGACTCAATATCTCGGTCTGTGGTTTCTGCCGTCGCCGATCTACTACGAGTATTCCTAAACGTAGTTCGTTTCATAGATATCTTGGTCTGCCGTTCCTCATCAGAGCTGTGTTCCAACTGGGGCAGCTTAGTAGTCTTGTGCCCTTTAGGGGTTCGGGGGAGCAAGTCGTTGGGTCGCGTAGTTAATTCATCAAAAATAGAATCTTCTTCTTGTTCTGATGCGCTCTCATCAGTTGATAGAGGGGGGGCATCATCGTTCACTGGCTGCTTGGCCGGTTTATGTCGCCCTTCGATATTCTTGAGCAGTGGCTGGGCCTTCGAAGCCCGACTCAAACCAACACGACGGGACATTTTACCATCAACAGGGTAAGATTGACCGTTTTAGTTGCTCAGCGGCTCTATAGATTTGGCCTCTATTGCATCGTTAAAGAAGCATGCTTTAGCTCTCTGTGGACGCAGCGCTGATGGTTTTGTTGGCTTAGTTCGCAATAGTCCTAGAGATTTTATTAGCAAAATATTTGGTCCTTTAACCCTACTATTTCCATACTTTGTTCAATTATTCCGTTTCGCGAATAAAGAGAGGCTGATTTGGCGAGTCTGTCCCAACATTCACGATGACACTATGCGCGTCTGCTGAGACACGCGTGTAGCACATGGGCCGGAGCTCTGGTGGGGTGACCTCACCTCCAACACAGACCGCCGTTGTTTGCACTTTCATCATCCAGCAACGTTCCGCGGAGACGGTAATTAGCGTCAATATTACTACGCCAAGCGCATTAGTATCGTCATAGAAGGCGAAATAATGGCTTTGAATCGGAAATACGCCAACTTGCCAGATCTGGTTCGTCGCATGCGATGCGTTCAGGGGGCTCCCGTCCACTAACTAGTTGTCTCTCAGGATTCGGCACCAGACATTTATGAAACTCCCGACTTGGTAGATGACAATTCGACGGTTCCCGTAAGATTTCAGCGTATCCTAGTACATAACTGAAAGCTAGCATGCTAACTGCAGTAGACAACGGCTGCGCGAACGCAATCTGAGGACGAATTCTACGAGGTTGAGGACGATGCGGATAACATTTCGCGATCCAGATTGCGAATTGGTGAAGCTCGTTCGCGATTTGAACCAGCAAATGTTGACTCTACACAAGTTGACTTCTCTGACCGCGTTGATGGCAAACGAAGATCATACAAAACCTCAAGCCGACGCCAAAGAATCCTCGCCGACGGTACACACGAGCTAGGCGACTTATCTGACGATGAGGACGAAGAGAGCCTTGAGCGACGCATCGCAAGACTTCAACGAGAGGTCCAGGAAGCAAAAAATGAATACTTGAAACAGAAAGATGCTACATCGTCATCATCAGACAACCAGCCGGATCCTCGAGTCGAGTCGTTAAGCTCAGTGCTGGACGAGATCTCAAAGCCGATTGGTGTCGTCCAAACTAGCAGTGAGACAACGCCTCCTGTAGATGTCCCGAAAGATTCTGCGATACCACAGTCTACCACTGGAGGCCCTACCTACACAGTTACATACGCTCCTACCTATCAAGAAAGCCACGCTTTGGCGAAGGCCGCCGACTTTGATAGACGCCTGGTTATTTTGGAACGAAGCTTAGGTCTCGCACTGTCATCCGCCAATGAGATAGGAGAGAATGGGCTACCCCGTGCTATTCTTCCAACTCTTGATGCGATGGAGAAGCAGATGTCCACCATTGCTCAAGCATCTACTGCCAATCTTGATGCCATTAGCCGACGTGTACGCACCTTGGCACAAGACCAAGATAGGCTCAACGACACGCGAGAGAAAGCTAAAGCTCTTCGAGAAGAACTTGGCCGAAATGAAACGCCAGCTTCAGGCGAGGAATCCGAACAAGATACAAAGGTCAATGCCCTCTATGCTATCCTACCGACGATAGAAAACCTATCCCCGATCCTGCCACCGCTTCTGGATAGACTGCGTTCTCTACGAACAATACATGCTGACGCAGCCACTGCAAGCCAGACGCTGGATCAAATTGAGCAACGACAGGCGGATATGACCGCAGAACTCAAGCAATGGAACGAAGGCTTGACCAAGCTTGAAGCAGCTATCAAGGCAGGTAGTACTACAAACGAAAGTAACCTAAAGGTCATGGAAGGATGGGTCAAGGAGCTTGAACAAAAAATGGAAAAGCTCTCATAAATACCTTATAAATTATGTACAAACTTTTTGGTAGAACTTATAGCCATATTCAATGTAAACAAGATACCCGAAAGCGCTTCGGCAATCGCCGGTCACGTGGGTGTTCACACTTAAATTTCGCGAGCTAGCCATCAGTCCCTTTCTCTCCTCCAACGCAGCCATCTGCTCTGCAGCAGATGTGACCATTGAATTGTAAGTACAGTTCTAGCTCATATTTTATTGTTTGCCTGCATTCTACCTCTCCGATTGGAATGATGTTCAAAAATAGCATGTATTACCTGATACCTATTGATGATCCTTTTATCACCAAGATCTCTGACTCCAATTACTACCCTCTTTCTCATTTACCTCTGCTCCAACAGTCTGAATGAACCGTGTGGCTAACCGAAAATGAAGCTTGTTTCTAGACATTCGAAGCGTCAAGCTATTGTAAAAACAAAACACTCTGAAACCCGCTGTCAACCATGGCGGCACCGACCTTTACCATCCTCTACTTCGCCGGCGCATCGGCGTACACCGGCAAAGAGAGCGAATCTTTGCCAGCGCCAATGCCACTTAGCCAGCTTTTCGGCTCCCTTGAGACGCGGTACCCAGGAATCGGCACCAAGATCCTCGACTCGTGCCTCGTCACGGTAAATCTTGACTATGTAGACGTGCCTGCCGTGACTGAGGCATCGAAACAAGATCCAGAGTCTGGCACAGTAATTAAGCCCGGCGATGAGGTGGCCATTATCCCACCCGTGAGCTCCGGTTGATGTAAACCCCATAACATGCGCCGCCCTCCTTGCTCCTATAGTCTCCCCGAAAGACGCTTGTGAATAGTGATGTAGACGAATACAGTCAACCTCTACTCCTGTTCCTACGGGAGCAACGGCTGTCTTTCTGCATCCCTTCTTCGACGGCGAACCCGGCGACGGCCGCAACACATCCAGTTTATCACTGCTATGAACCAGCGGAGAATCGACAGAATCACAGATATGATAAAGAGCGATGCCAGCGTGCCAGTAACAGAAACACCGGCTGTCACTGCTGTGTATGTTGAGACAGAGCATCCAAACTCTTTCGTCCTCAGTTCCCACCTTTCATCAGGGTGCGGGCAAAGGTCACTCTGGTAGAAAGGAGCTAAAATAGGTATCGAATAATTATTCGGCACACAAGACCAAGTCTAATGCCCGCATTCGTTAGTAACTTTTATGGCGTAGGTAGAGGTTGGACTGAAACCTACGTATGGACACCAGGAACACTGGTCAACGGCTAGACAACCACCGCAGTCTTGGTTGACCCAGCATCGGAGAAGCTCCTGCCAATCATTCTCAGTGCCTGTAATATTGGGAGCGGCCATCTGGTGATATTTATGGAGTGTCTGTGATTCCTCCATGATTGTCGTTTTGTTTGTGGCAGGGAGAAACTTGAGAGCGCCGCAATACAGAACGCGGGGCTCTAAGCCAACCAGGCGCAATCCTCTGGCGTATGTCACAAGACACACCAAACGAGGCGAACGCGCGTCGAGGCTCAAAACCTCGAAGTGATGCAATAGCAATACATTATCATATTTATCTATATTTCTAGTAGTTATGTAAATAATAAATAGGCTGCTGGCTCTAGATTTGTGCATCCAATTTTCCCTCTTACTGGACGATCGGAATAGAACACGGCGCTCCCGTGGTACTAGACGGTTTAAAATAGAGTGACTGGGTGAATAAACTTGATAATGGGCAAAATAAACCATGGGGTATATGAAATGAGGTTATTTCCATAATTTACAAATGCTATCTCCTGGCTTAGTGTGTAGCCCTACAATATAAACAAACTACCCTGCTGCTATTCTGGCCGATTAATGCTATGGCTGAAGTATACGCATTAACGGATAAATAATGCAGGAGACTGGTATCGTGATGAGTCTTTTCAATAGCGTATGATTCTCTACAGCTCATGCGTATTAATGAAACTGTCAGAGATGGGCTGTATTTATTTCTCGTGATCTGCGAAGCTGTTGCTTGAGCTTCCTCGTTTCTGCTCGACGCCTCCTCGCCCATTGTTCATTGTCTTCGTCTGGGCGACGCTCACCAAGAGTTTCCAAGGCAATCAGATCGGCAAGGAACCGCCGAATCCGCAGACCAGTTTTATTCCGAACATAAGCATCTACCTCTTCGTCACAAGCCGCGGATGCTGCAATATGGAGGCCTCGAAGCACATCGCGATCCGTGATTTCGTGGTCATCATAGTCCAGGCGAGCAGAAGCCAAGAGTCGGGAAATCGATGACGTGCGTCTTGGAATATTCGGCTTCGCATTGGCTCTTGATGGAATGCCACGATTGCTTCTACAACATATACCAATATGATCTGGATCGAACTGAAGGGCCGAATCAGTCGGGTAACCCTTGTCGCGTTTGCGATCTGGCTGGCTGATAGCCGGCAATTTATCATCTCTTGTTCCTAATGAGCCCTTCGGATCCTTCTGGTTCATTGCGGACGTGCTGTGAAACTTTCTCTTAAACTGCTGAGACGTGACTGCATCAGGAATTGAAGTAGAGCCAACCGGGGGGTTCGACTTTGCCTCATGCGGCTGCGTCGGGGGAACCATTTTGGGGCTAATTGCGCGACTAGTAAGCTTACTCGGATGGCTCTGGCTTATAGTCTGCGTTGGCTTGCTCGGGGAAGGGTTATCAAACAATCCTAGCGACGGTCTTGGGGGACGCCGCGGTACTGGCGGCGGAGGTATCTGAGGAGGAGGACCGATTCCCAGGCGAAGATTTGACGGTAGCGGAGCTTTGGGTTGAGCAAACCGCGTCCAGTCAGTGTCTGTGGAAATATCACTCTTCCGTGTAAAGCAGGGTAGGCAACCTTTCTTTTTCTTCTTATTACCCGTTGGCTTTTGCTTTTTTGCTGATTTTTCTGGCAATTCATCTACCAAGGCATAGCGCCATTCATCCATGTCACGAGGGCTAGCAAATGATATTTCAGTTTGCGGGCTATCGCTCTCTTCCGTATCACGATGGCCATCCAGCTGCACTCTTCTTCGTGTTGCATCTCGCGCTGATGTAGAGGCAGCTGTTACCTTGTCTCTTCGAGCGGCAACAGCCTTGGTAATATAGCTCGGAATTCTCCTCGTTTGGTCCTTTGATGTTACGGCTAGCCCAGCCTGTCGGAATTCTGATCGATACGGCAGCAAGGCTGAGATTGTTTTGACTGTTGATGTTGACTTAGCACCTGGTGGTGATGCTTTGAGATAAGGCATATTGCCCATTGATCTTTCCGTTCGCATTTTCGCATCTTTCCCAAGTCGACGAAGATGATCGTGCTGATGAGGTAGGTTCGAACAAGTATTGCGACCCCGTCCATTATTGGACTTGGGCCGCTGGCTAGTTCCGATCGATCTTCCAGGCTTGACGCAAGAAGCGTATTGGAGCTGCTGCAGAATATTGCGGGAGATAGCATTCACAAGCTCCATATCCACGGTACTTCCCTGGGCATCTTTTTGGCACAGCTGATGGTCATTCGCACCGTCATAGAAAGTATACTTGATTTTGTTCGATTTTGTATTATCTCCGGGCACCTGTCTTTTGTCTGTATACCGTGTCGTTGTCCTATACGCAATAGAAGCCGTTGAAGGCCTGCTAGTACTCGACTTTTTCTCGCTATCCTCGTAATAATTATGATCCCTGTTCTCCATACCAGAACGCGGGGGGCGGGGAAAGTTATCCAGTATTGGAGGCAAATCTATCTGAGCCCTTGTGATGTCACTGGATATACAATCGGAATATTCGTCAGTGGAAGCTGCATGCGTCGTCTGTGCCCCAACACTGCTTTGCGCAGCTTCAGTTGTAGTAGTGGTACCCGCGGCATCAAAACTGCTTTCGTTGGGTTGGTCATACCAACTTGAGCGAGGATTTGTTAAACGGACTGAATGTCGGACTCGTGTATGCCGCTTTGCCACAGGGAATATCCTGTGCTTCGTTTTAAGACCATGTTGCTCCGTCCCAGGCTCAGTCGGCAAATCATTAAAATTGGAAGGATGCGTTTTAATGGCTTCTGGGATCGACGCGAGCCCAGCCATGCTTAACCAAGCAAAATATATCCAGCCAGTGTATATATACCATACGTGGTATCCAAAAGAACGCCGGAGGCACCTGGAAAGCTGGCGGTGTCGAGAACAGGCTAGGTTCTGCGCCGATGAATAGACCGAGTAAGCATGCGGCGTTGGTGACAGGGCCTGAGTGTTCTGCTAAAAACGCTACTGGGGACCACACTATCACACAACGGATAGAACTAGGGGTTCATGGAGGCCACAAGCCGGGAGTCAAGGCAACGGGGTCGAAGCCTATCGCGGAAGCCAGCCGACGACATGGCAACCAGAGAGGGCAAGAGCAGCCCCGGGCAATCATAATCATAGTGACAATTACCTGACATCTTTGATTCCCGGGGAGGAATAAAGCTCTAATTGGCGCTTACCCTTGCGGAGGAGGAACTCAATCGCGGCGAAATCTCGCTTCTCGACAGTCAGATGCCGCGTAAACTCCGCTCTGCAACAAACCCATGTCAGCAAGTTGGTCGTTAACGGATCCTAAGCCATCCTTCTTACCGGGAAAACTTTTCGAAATTCGGCCTCGTCTCCTAAGCGGTAATGATTACATGAGCATTCTGCATGGTATCGTAGACGAAGCACGTGAAAGGAGAAGGCTTACCACGGGCTTCTTGCGGCTCTCCCGGAGGCATTGGCGGTACAAAGCCAAAACTTCTTTTTGAAGGCCCGACAGACGCATAGCTGATATGCACGGCAAGTAATAAGCCACACTCTATGATGAAGTTTGAAGTGGGAGCTAGGAGGAATGCGGAAGGATTGCGACAGCGTGGTTGAAGATGGCATGCACCAAGTTCAGTCTCGCAGGCGGTTGGCCCATGCAGTGTTGTAATGTTGCCTGCAAAACGGGGCAAACAAAGCTGTCTGCATTTCAGCGCCCTCTGAGACGACGCACAGTGGGCCAGGGGAGCTAAGCCAGCTGTCATGGGGCACGCTAGCTTTTAGTGGCTGCTCACCCAATCAACCACTGGAAAAGTGCGCTGCTGGAGCGCTGCCGGATCCCGATCTAACAGACGTTGCCGGCCGGGGATTACTGACATGACATCCGCATTAATAATACCAGAGTTGACGGGATGCTAGTAGCTGAAAGTTGCCGAATCTTACATGCCGAACCATTTCCGACTTCAACTAAGGTTGCCAAGTATAAAACACTTTGTATTCTACGCCAAAACACGTCTGGCATACAGTCTAATCAACTTGCTCTTACACGAACAACACTTTGCATCCCCTTTTCTCTACACATTTCTCGTTTCAGTGGATATTGGATTATATTGATAATAATAAAACTACAATGTCTGATTTCACTGTCCGTTCCTTATATTTCCTTCATGGCTTTAGACCGATGTTATTTCCTTCTCAGACCTACTAACTCTTATCACAGAGGCTCGTCCGCTTCATGGCCAATGATGGCCAGACTTACTATGGCGATGCTATTCTTCCTTCAGACACGATTGATATATCCCAAGCTACTGCAGCTCGTATCATCGAGGGTGATATCTTTGGGGAGCACCATGTAACTGACCAGATTGAAGACATTGAACATTTACTGTGTCCCCTTGCCCCTGCGGATGTCGGAACTGTTCGCTGCCTGGGACTCAACTACGCAGATCATGCCAGAGAGTCAAAGATGCCGGCACCCAAGTTCCCGGTGCTGTTCTACAAGCCAGCAACTTCACTTGCTGGCCCCTCCGACGCCATCCCGATTCCTGACATGGCCCAGGAAGGTGCGGGTCTTGATTACGAGTGTGAGCTCGTTATTATTATTGGCAAGCAGTGTACCAATGTTTCTGAGGATGACGCCCTTGATTGCATCATGGGTTACTCCGTCGGAAATGATGTCTCCCACCGCGAGTGGCAGATCAAGCATGGCGGTGGCCAGTGGTCCCTCGGCAAATCATTTGACGGTTGGGCACCGTTTGGGCCTGGAATTGTTTCTTCTCGAAACATCAGCAATCCTCAGTCGCTCAAGATTTGGACCAAGCTAAACGGTGATATTCTTCAAGTAAGTTGGAAGCCCCCAGACAGTTGTTCTCAAGCTTACAATGCGACAGAGCGGCGATACAGCCGATATGATCTTCAGCGTCAAGAAGAGTATTGCCTTCCTTAGCCGAGGCGTCACTCTTATGCCTGGAGATATTATCTTCACTGGAACGTAAGTAGTATACTAACAATTTGTTGTCCCACGCTAATTCTCGAATGCGAAGGCCTGCTGGCGTTGGTTCCGGTCGCACCCCTCCCGTCTGGTTGAAAGATGGCGATATTGTCGAAGTTGGATTAGAACACGTTGGTACATGGTAAGCAGTAGCACTCATCTGCGTCGGTTTTAAATCCATCCATATTAACATTTCTAATAGCACCAATAAAGTCGAATACGCAAGAGCCAACGCGGTCGCAAGAATATAGAAGCCATTCAGGGCGTACGACTGATTAGACGACAAGAGTAGAAAAGCGTTTTTAATAGACATGGCCGCTGGTTCCATAAAAGTGACGTAGATGTATTTCAAGTTTTAGGGGCCTATTCCTCACCAAGAACTTGCCAAAGGCTAAAACTCACCCAGCAGCAAATAACATCCCATCCCACACTGCTGACTGCTGGGTGTTGGTGTAGAGCATCCCATACCACGTTCCATGCAATTCCAGCAGAGTTCACGGCTCGTACTTGCTGTGCTATCAATGTGATTAGAATGAATAGCTTGGTATACCATGCAGGTTCGCGGAGCGTCAACTCTGGCGTCTTGTCGCGAATCAACTGTGACAAGATGATTGGCACAAATGCGAGTAAATGGGGTGCAAGTAAGTAAAGCATAAAGTTAGGCGATTGAATCAACACCGTAACCTGCAAACTTGATTGGAGGGTGGCAATAAGTACGACTCCGTTCCAAAATGCCGTCGAATTCCACCAAGAACTTGGATATAGCTGGCCAACATCTGAGGCCTGTTTGCTTGGCTTCTTCGTTTGCGTCACGGTAGGTCGGTGTAGCAGTGTTGCAAGGAAAAACAGATTCGCTGCAAAGGAGATTGCAACGATTTGGCCCAGCAGAATAAACGCCCATGTGTATTGGATGTTTCTATGTTTCCCTATGGAGAGTGAGCGAGCGTCGTCATTAACAGAGGATAGCACAACTTACCTTGAACAGGGACCATGACGCTGAGAATGGCACAGAAGCCAAAGATTTGAACTGACCACCATGCTTTCTCGGGGGATAAAAGCACAGAAACCCAAGCCTGTCGGAATAGCGTAGTTTGGCGGAGCCAGTCACCGAGGCGGATGCCAGCCCATGTGTAGACCTCGGCGCCTAATGCGGGAGATTGAGAGGTGGCCCAGTCGATATAGGACCAACGGAAGAATTCAAACATGTAGTACCATGTTGTTCCCAAGCTCAATGCTGCCAGAAGGGAGAATAGAGCAACTTTGGCACGTGTTGAATTTGTCAGAGCCACTCGAGAGCTTTTTGCTGTCCCGAGGCAAATCACAGTAAGAGCAGCAGCAAGCACCATATACCCTGTAAATATGGATAGCGGACGAAGATTGGACTCGGAATCCATGGCTGCGAATGCATACGGCACACCGTGGCGGTTTCACCGATGGTCGCTAAAGCTTTGTTCGCTGCAGGAAGGCTTGTAGAGTGGACAGAGTGAGGCTGCTGCCGAGGGATAACAGGCCAAAAAGACGCTAGCGCGGCGACCGATGGCGGAAACGGGCTATCGTAGCGTCCAGCGGAGCTCCTGTAGCGGGTCGGGTTCGGGTTCGCGCGACGAACGCTGATCTTCCACGAGCACAGATACCAGATGGGACGTTCAATGCACTGCCAACCATATTCCCGCTTGTCATCCGCAGATCAAAATGTGTGTCACGCTTTACACCGAACGCATATCCCCCTCAGGCCCCAGCAAGTGAGCCTTGCTCAGGCGGCTTTGGTGGGCTCGGACAAGACGCTAGTGCTGCCGCCCTGTTCAGCCGCTCGTTCGCTGGGTCCCTCCCCAGTCGCTTGCAGCCCAAGAATGAACAATGAGGCTTACCAGCTCCGCCACATGGGCTAAAGGACTCGTCTTGAGGGTGTTTGTGGAACGAACATGGCCATGTGGCGGTAGTACCTGGCGGCGGCAAGGTGTAGCGAGATGAAGTGACTGACGCAGGCTACCTCGTCCTCAACACTTCGACTCATTGTTTATCCTCAATCTTCAACTGTGACCTCGTTCTACAAAACTGCTGCATAGAGCACTTTACATGATGCATCTTTAGCCAGCGTTATACAAGTCTCTAGCCGACTCTACGCAAACTACAATGGTGTCGGTCGCTTTACGGAAGCCTGTTCCCATTAGGGAGCCGGCAGCCATGTCGGCCACGGTCGCCCCAACCGAAAGGTTAGACCTCTACGAGGACCCTTATACTGTACTGGAACAACTACAAGAGTCGTGGAGGGAAAGACAAGAAAAGAGCTTTCAGAGCAAAGATGAGGTGTCTGACGTGGATATCGGCACAGTTGACTGGCGTTCATACGCACCACCAGCAGGAATAAGTGATACACAAGGAGTAGACTCAGAACTCTTACAGGAAATCATTACAAGCTCGATCGAGCAGCTCCAAACCCGATATGAACGCGAAAAGAGAGAAGAGGCCGAGGCTGCAGAAGCACAGCGAACAGCAGAGCACGCCGCATCTGAAGAGGCAGCGAAATCGAAAGAGCCATATCTGCCTATTATTATCGTCAATGAATCGGAGACAAAGAGGATACCTATTGTGCCTGATTGTGACCCTCGTCCCCGAGATTCGATTCATGATGGCGACATATACGAGGACGATTCTATTGGGCCATGGGATTCCATCAGTGTTGTATCAGCGACGCCAGCTAAACGCCGACATGTCTTCCAACGGCTATTCCGAAAGCACCATCACAATCAAAAACTACCAGTACAAGCCGAAAGCAGCAAAGCTGGCGCCGCTAGAGAGGCACGCGAGGCCCAGGATGCGCAAAGGCAGCTCCTAAACGACCGCCTTCGAAAAGTCAACATCAACCTGGCCAATCCCCAAGTTCAGCAGGCGATTGCAGACCTTCATAGAAATACGTCATTCCGGATTCCAGAGAAACCACAGCTTGTGTAAGTAATTTTCATACATCTACGAACAGAGCACTAGCTAACTTTCAAAGGGAATGTGTATCCTGTCTGGATGATTTCGAAGTAAAAGAAACGATTCGGGTCCCTTGCCACAACTACTGCAAAGAATGTTTCGATCGACTTATATCAGCGGCTTGTGAAAACGAGCAGCAGTGGCCGCCAAAGTGCTGTCTCAACGAGATCCCGTTCCGACAAGTTTTACAGAACATCCCTGAAGAGCTGAAAACCAAGTTTCGACAGCGTGAATCCGAGTGGACTACTCCAGTTAGTGAGCGAGTATATTGTTCACGTCCTGATTGCGGTCTGTGGATTACGCCAGATCAAATTGACGGAGCACGACGCATTGGCCGCTGCACTAACAAGCACACAACCTGTACAATTTGCCGAGGCGTACCACACGGGTCGAACCCTTGTCCAGGGGACCAAGATTTGAATCTTACAAACGGACTTGCGGAGGAAGAGGGCTGGAAACGCTGTGCTCGGTGCAAGATTCTAGTCGAACACCGTGAGGCCTGCCAGCACATGACCTGTCTTTGTGGATATCAATTTTGCTACGTATGTACCAGGCAGTGGCGCACATGTTCTTGTACAGTCCAGGAGCTCAACGAGCTCAAAGCCGGAGTCGAGAGACGTCGAGAAATCCGTCGCCAACGGGAAGCAAAAGAAGCTCAGGAACTTCGTGAAGTACTAGAAGCGATTGCAGCATTTGAGCGAGAGGAAGAGCGGCGAGCTGAGGAAGAACGCTTGGAGCAACAAAGGCTAGAAGAGCAGCGATGGGAACGACTTCTCGTTGAGCGTATCAAGAAGGAGACGATACGTCGCCGAGAAGTAGAACTCAAATTCCAAACGCTCCGCATCGATATGAGCTGCATACATCAGAGGCAAAAGGCATTGGTGGCAACCGAACAAGACGATCTGGCTGCCACAACTGTATCTGAAGGACTTGCAAGCTTGCGAGAGATGGAAGCCCAACATAGTGTCGAGCGTGCCGAAATCAATCAGACAGTGACAGATCGCGTCGCAAAGAAAGCTACTGAATTGGACAAGGAGTACGGATGTCGTTTAGCGGAAGAACGCAAATCTGAAGAAGCATACGAGCAATCACTGGTAGAATACTGGAAAGATCACGATGAGGAACATTGTGACGAGCACGTTTCAGACGCTCTTCTACTCTACCGACAGCAGCTTGATGAGTTCCACCAAGAGTGGCAGGACTGGCGTGTATCCGAATTGGCAGCGTATCGCGCAAAACTGGACGACAAGAACGCAATCCGAGAAGAGCTTATGTACAGTGCATTGCATAGGCTGCGAGGTCGAAATCGAGACAAAGACGCCGAACTGGCTCAAAGACTCGCTGCAGAAAAGAAATGGATCCAAGAGATTATAATAGAGCGGGTGCGTTTGCTAGACGCAGCTGAAGTTGCTGAGATGGAAGGGGACGCCGACAGCTTGTTCACACCAGAGAACATAGAGCGGGCCGAAACAGCACAAGTAATGGAGGCTGCTGCCGCGGCAGACGCATCGCAGGCAACAGAAACAGTCGAGATTACTGACATTACTGACAATCCTTGGGAACAAGCTGTTAGTGATGGTGAATCCTACGGAACTGCACCAGTCTCGTGATGAGGTGGCCGTATCTGGGATTTTGTATATATTATAGAGAATAGCAATGACTGGTTGTTAAGCACATATATAGTTTTGTATTAGTATTATTTCCAGCGGCTACAAATTCGATTTTCTGTTACTTCAAGTGTGGGAGTCCTTAAAATCTCAAAGTGCACCTTGAACCCCTCCGAACTCCGGGGCCCGGCGCCGATTCAACCCCACCGATGCGATCGCTAGGCGAAAAAAAAAAAAAGTTCGTCACTCCATCATCGCGGGGCAGCGACTGGTTTTAACTTGTCTCTTCGCGGCACCGTGTACTTACTTAAAGGAAGGGCCCTTCCAATACAGCAAGAAAATAATAGCATAGTCAAAATGGGGTCCGTTAGCACTCAAGAAAATGAGCCCATCATCATTCAGTACGTTCCAAGTCCATGCTTCGACAGCCCAATCTCCCAGCGCTGACTCCTCCTCAGCCCGCTCAAGGTGTTTGAAACCTGTCGCAAACAGGGAAAATTCGTGTATGCCTGTGCACCCATGGTGAGATATAGTAAAGTAAGTCTGAAGAAAGAAATACCCTGGCTGTCTCGCTAACCCCGGCGCAGCTCGCCTTCCGACAAACAGTACACACGTACGGCACAGATCTGTGCTGGACGCCCATGATCCTCGCCAAAGAGTTCAACAGAAACAGCTTCGCCAGAGACAGTGGTTGGTATTATCGTATTATACTAACGAGAAATTATCTGCTAACACACTCAGACCTGACGATCGCAACGGCCGGCCCGCAACCACCCACGATTATACAATTTGGCGCGAATGTGCCTACTGAGTTGGCACGTGCGTCTTCCCTAGCCATGCCTTACGTAGGAGGTATCGATTTAAATTGTGGCTGTCCACAGTCATGGGCATGCGCTGAGACTCTCGGTGCTGCGCTTATGAACAAAAGAGAGCTCGTGCGAGACATGGTGGTGGAAACACGCCAACGGCTCGCAAGTGAGGGTTGGGGAGTCGGCATGGAGAAGGATATCGACAATCCCAAAGGTCGAAGTGTCAGCGTAAAAATCAGAGTCCACGACGATTTACGGTACGTGTCGTCCAATCTTTCTTTCGCCAAATCCTTGCTAACTAGACCACATCAGGAAAACAATGGATTATCTCGATACTGTCATTGGCCACCCCCAGAACCGCCAAGTTGACTGGGTCACCATTCATCCACGAACAAGATACACACCGTCCTCCACCCCTATTCGAACAGAGGCCCTCGAAATCCTCGCCGAAAAGTACTCTCCGATCCTGCCAATCATGCTCTCCGGTGATGTGTTCGACCTAAACGATCTCCCTCTACGCGCTACTCGTACCGACCTGGCGACTCTGACAATCAAGGACGAACCAACCGCCCCAGAACCCGCCAATACATATCTTTCAGGCTTCATGTCTGCACGTGGCCTTCTTGCGAACCCCGCACTCTTTGCAGGCCATTCAGCATGTCCATGGGAGACCGTCGAGACATTCATGTGCAATGTTGCTCGCTGTCCTCTTCCGCTAAAGCTCGTCATCCACCACGTCGAGCAAATGTGCTCCCCCGGCATGGGCAGGGATAAAAGCTCATTGCTGTCCAAAAAGGAGCGCTCGCGCTTTTCACGGATCGCCGACATGGTTGAGTTGATAGACTTCCTCGACGAGAAGATTGCCGAGCACAAAGGACAAGAGGGCGGCATGAGACGAAATCTTTAGATACGGCACATGATGGATGCATGAACATAACGACAGATAGAAACGATAGATACCGTGTAAATAGATAGAGCATTTAACTCGGATAAAAGGACAACTACGCTAGCAATGATAGATACAATATAAAAATGCAGCTGCAAACATAACAACCCGACGCCGTTTTCCTTGGATAATTCATTCGTTGCATCGTGTAGATCACCAAAAAAGGAGGGACATTTTACAATCCAGACAGCATATGCTGGATACCCACAGATCCCGAGTCATCTCTTCGTTGGACAAACGCGCGGAAGTCTGCCTTGGATAGTTTGCCCTTGTTGCTGTTCTGGCCCGGCGCAAGTTGTCTCGACTTCTCCTTGAGAGCCTCGGCACCGACAATGAAGAGCGATCCAATCTCCGTCAACTGTTCAATGGCATTACCAATGTCCTTGGCAAGCGGCCACTCGCGAATCATGGAGACGTACTTGGCAATGTCCTGCGTGACCATGAGACCGCCCGTAGCGTTCACCTGGAACTTCTTAAAGTGCTCAAATAGCAGGCCGTGTAGAACAAGCGCAAGCTCACTGAAGAACTTTTCGGCATTCTGCCCGTCAATGGCGGCCGACGCGTGCTTACCAGCGCGGCTGAGGAATGTGCAGATGCTAAGACAGGTGGCAGTTTGCAGAGACTCGAGCTCGACGTCCTTGGGGCGGAAGTCTTGCTTCTTTTGCTGGCTGAGTGCCTTGGTCACCCAGTTGGTGACGACATCAATGGAAATCTTCATGACGGCGTTGGTCTTCTTTTCTATAGAGTCCATGGCCATCTTCTTTTGGGCCTCCATGCTCTTGCGGACCGTCGTGTTGGAATCGGCAAGGCGGATCAAGACTGTTGTGATGAAACGATCCATGATTGCCGCGATCGTGACGGCTGGGCGAATAGCCGGCATGTACGACAGATCCGGTTCAGCTTTTGCGTGTTCCAGAGACACTGCCTGGGAGTGGGCAGCCTCCAGCGCCGTCTCGACGTAGACCTGGCCCATATTTGTCAGAAGCAGGTTCAACAACATGCTCATATCCTTGGCTGTTTCTGCCGGTGAGCCCAATTCTAGCGTTCGTTGCACACTCTCGGCCAGCCACTTCATCATTCGCTTAGCGTTGGTAACGCTCAGTGTACCGTCATCCTCAGAGAGTTCAATTTCGTTTGTGGTATCTCTCTCGTGGAGGCCAGCGACGCGAAGCATGGTAGCTTTTTGCGTAGGGGTAAGATCTGATGAGTCGAGTCGTTCTAGGTAAGCATCCTTGGCAGATGCCATGAGTTGAGTGCCTTGCTGTGCGAGCGATGCCATGAAACCGGTGGGTGCCTTCTTCCTCTTGGAGTGATACATTGTGAACTTGAAGAGTAGCGAGCTGTACATTTCTTCAAGACTTTTCTTTTCTCGATCGATGTAAAGGTTGCCTACAAGATAAGGCACAAACAGCTCGTCGATTTGTTGATCCAAAACCTGCGCTACTTGGGCAGAGCATGGTTCAGGATGCTCAGTTAGGCCATGGGTTTTGAGATCCTCTATCAGCGCACTGATGTAGCTTCTTGAAGAATGAATAGATCTGAGGAAGGCTAACGACGAGACGCTGTCAGCCTTATCAAGCACCTTTTCTAGGCGTTGTTGAATGGACTGTTGAAACACTCTTTGCGTAAACTTTGTCAAAACGATCTCGTAATACGGGAAAGCGCGCTTGATGATAAACGACTCTTCTTGCATGACGAGCTTCACTTCATCGACAAGCGACTGCAATGTAGGCTCGACGTTTGGAGGATCAGCATCAGGGTCCGCTAAGCGCTCCCAGGTGTCGTTGTCGACCATACCCTCGTCTTGTAAGAGCTGGTCACGATCGATGAAGAACTGGTGTTGATTCACAAAGTTTGCAATGACGCTTGCACCACCGTTAAAGTCGTAAAGCACCTTTGCACATTCCATCATGTCGTCAAAGTTTTGCCTTCTGTAGCTGCTGTTGAACTGTTCCAATAGGTCCCTTTCCAAAGACTCGCAGAACTTTTCAAGGATCTCGCGCGTATTGTGCATCTTTCCGGTCGGGCTGCCTAGGCCATTTGTAGCACTAATAGTAGAAGTATGGCCGGCCGTCTGCCACAACGTGTGGTCGAGCTGCTGGCTAATTCGCGTAAGCTGTCGAGCGATAACGGCGCATCTGATTTGATTTTCGGCAGTGGCTTGTCGGCGAATATCCTCTAACGAGCCAAGTTGGCCGGTTTCACTGACTTCGGTCCAACATTGGATCAGAAACTGGGCATCTTGAGCGCGGCGTCTCTTTCTATCAAGCTCCTCAAGCTTCTCGCCGATTTGTACTGCGACATGGCCACCACCATCTCCTCTCTTAGGAGCTTCCGCTGGGTTGTTGGGTGTTTGATCCATGGAAAAGTCCAGCTTCTCGAAAGATAGCATAGACTGGTCGAGCTTTCGGCCGAGTGTATCTAATGTTTGGTTGTGTTGAATCTCCGCTCTCCTGACTTGGGAGAGAAGTTCGGACTCCTTTTCTTGGAGCTCTTCGCCTAGGTTTGCCAACTGCGACAAGGCATCTAGTTCCATATTAGCGCTCAATTGGTCTAGTGCGTCGGGTTTTTTATGTTCGGGTCAGTATTACTTTCAAAAGTCCGAATCAACGGCTTTGGGTCGAATGCCGGTTGCGCTGGGCCAGAGCGGCGGTTAATGGGGACAGCACTATCAGCTAAGCTTTCGACAAAGTCTCTGACAATGAAGTCCCTGTTCGAGAAGTTTTCAAGTGTGAAGCTGGGCCCTTTCGGGTAGAGGCTCTTTGGCCCCAAGACGCTCGTTCTCTCCATGGTGGTTTGGTTGGCCGCGTCACTACATGTGTCGAATAGGAGGTCGTAGCATTGGCTCTCCCATCAACAGAGAGGTCGAAGATGGGGTTTCCGCTCTTCTAGCGCGAGAAATCGAAGCTGTTTCGCGGCGTCGGAGGGGTTCGGCTGCTTGCTAGAATGTTGATGGAGGCTCGCGACACGCACTGTCGATGCTGAGCTCAGCGCTGTACCAGCAGGGGCCGCCCCGCCAATGTGGCTCAGAAAGCGCTGTACTGCGCCACACTAAGCCCCCCGGTCGCAAGCACATGTCGGAAGAAAAGACCAACGCATCACGGAGCGAAGCTTCCTTCATTCAGCCCGCGCGTCCTTCTTTTTTTTCTCTTCTCCTTTCGACTCATTGGAGACGGATCGGCTGGCCATATCAATTCCATTACCGACTGATTCATCTTCTTTTCGTCTTTCCACTCTTTTCTCAGCCTCTCTTTAAACCCCTTTTCATATCGACCACCACTACTCGCCTTCACCAACGTCATCACGCACCCCTCGGACTGCAGCCAAAATGCCAATAACAGTTCGCGCCCGCGAGGCGTATCGCGCGGATGAGAAGAAGAGCCATACACTGCTCAGCGAGCAGGAACGAACCCGTCTTATCAAAGTGTGTAAAGCAAACCCATTCCGCTCCCACCATTGCTAACAGCTTCGCAGAACCATCTGCCACCTGTCAACGATCCGCCACCCGCTGCGAAGACTAAGAACCAACCCAAATCACACCTCGGCGTCCGAAAGCTGTTCAAGACCATTATCTATGTGTTTGTCTTTGGTCTCATGACCAGCTTCTTTTCGTTATACATTCGAATTCGTCAAGCATGGAACGTGGTCCGCTATCAGATTTGCTCCATCATGTACTACCACCATGGCACTCCAGAATATATCCGCCGCGACATTGAGGGTCTTCCGAAGATGCCCAAACATCTGAGCGCCATTCTCCGAGCAGAGGTAGATAAGAGACCCAAGGCGGATTTGGATCGTCTGATTGATGAGGCTGCCGAGCTTGCCACTTGGACCGCATGTGCCGGAATCCCTATCCTTTCCATTTACGAGAAGACTGGTAAGACATCGTCAACAAATAGATTGTGCCCAATTTCTTTACGGCTTCTAACTAGAATCTAGGTATCCTCAAGAAGCACACGCCCCAAGTCTACGAAGCTGTTATTCAAAAGTTTGCCTTGTACTTTGGCCCCCAGCACCCGACTCTTTCTGTCAAGTCACCTCACAAGGATGAGTACGCCTTGGAGTCGCTAAACTCGGGGTCCGCTGGCCATTTGAAGCTTCACTTGATTTCCGAGGAGGACGGCCGCGAGTCAATTGTCGATCTTACGCGAACCATGGCCGACATGTCCCAGAAGGGTAACCTGTCGCCCCGTGATATTTCCATTGAGCTCGTCGACACAGAGCTGTCTGATGGTATTATGCCCGAGCCCGATCTGCTCATTCTTTTCGGCCCAAATGTCGAGCTCTCTGGATATCCTCCATGGCAGATTCGCTTGACCGAAATCTTCTGCCTCAAGGACAACGAGGCCTTTGGCTACCAAGTGTTCTTGCGAGCGCTGCACAACTATTCCGCTGCTCAATTCCGCCGCGGTAAATAATCATCTCGGGCTGGCTTCTCGAGACAATAGTCTACTTAGTTTCGTTGCATACTTTCAATTTAGGCGTTCTCATTCCCTCGCTTCCATGGCTTCATCTCCCGTGCTATACTATCCCACTTGTACACGGTGCCGACGCCGACGTTGTAATTGTAGTAGTTTTCGGTACCCTCCCTGGTGATTGCTTTTCGGAAGGTAATATTTATTCTCCCACCATCTTCTACATTCTTCCCAGTCCGTTTTGGGATTGAATGTAACCAATTGGATTGAGTCTTGCCCTTCATGAGAATCATGTCGCCACTTCCAAGAGGTAGCTTAAGCGTCTTTGCTGGTGGGCCATCCGTGAGCGATGTTTGCGGTTTATGTTTGAGCAAGAAGTCGCGTTGAGCCCCCAAAGAAAATGAAGCAATAGCGGGGTCTTGTCCGAGGAATCGCTCGTCATCGCTATGATACGATATACTATCCGTACCTGACGCGTAGTAGTTGACTAGGCAAAAGTTGAACTTGCATCCAGTCGCATCTTCAGTACGCCGTTGCAGCGAAGCCAGGCAGTCCGGTATTGGTCTCGGATGGTACTTTTTATACCTCTTATCATCCACTCTGACGCCAGTGGTAGCATCGACTGGCAACCCCTCGTCATCAAATCGACAGGTATCGTCGAGGCCAAAGACCGTCGTCCACCTTGGAGTTATTATATGTGTATCGATACCGGCTCTCTTTATGTTATATTCAACGCGGTAAAACGGTAACTCGGCTCGCAGAAAGGTGAAGAGTGCTTTGGCTAGTGAAGCTGTCGTAAATGGTTGGAAGTATAGCAGGTCCAAATCCGGTTCGTTGTTCATAGGTTTACCTGCTTTTCGAGGACACTCTGATATGTCTTGAACAAGTGATTCTGAAAAATACGGAATTGGGAATGGGTAATCGTTATGCTGCGTAGTCTTGATCTAGAAGACCAGTTAGATTCATGGTTATTGATAGTTAGGTTAGGTTAGGTTAGGTTAGGTTAGGTTGTGCGTGTTCACTCACGGGCTTAGCAGCAGCATCGCTTTCATCCTTTTTACGCTTCGATTGCGGTTGGAAGAAGCTATCTAGTGTTCTTTTCTGAGACATTGTATTATTGAGAGACGTATTTTCCAGCCGTAGATACGCAGTCTGTCTGTTGATGCCAGTCGGCGAAACTTGGGCATGCCGGGTAGCGGGGGCTTTGTTTACCAACCTAGTCGCGTGAACCATCTTGTCGCGTTGTGTTTAATGATATTGGCATTTTATGAGCGTAATATTATATATATATATTATATAATGTCTAATAACAATTTTTTATTCGTTATTAATTAATCTATGGGGGGTATAGAAGCATTATACACAAGTTAGTACTTGGCCTAGCTGGACCTCATGAGGCCCGCTACCAAAGTGTAACTACATTCGTCAAAACCCCAGGTCCGAAAATTTCGTTACGGAACCCTGCAAAGCTCATTTCCAAGCAAGCCCCGAAGCAACGTCACTTCTCGTCATGGATGTAAGGAGTCAATATTTTAGCGTACATCATATCATTAATTTCTGTATATCTAATCTTTGAAACACATATAGGCAAAGTCCCAGGAAATGATTGCAAACCTCTTCAAGGCACCAGCCGCTGCGAGGGCAGCAAAGACGCTTGATAGAGCCATATTCGCCAAGTCACTGCCTACTTTTGCAGCTTCCGTGCGTGAGAACAAGCTCATCTCAAAGTATAGAAAACAACTTGAGAAGACAAATGAACTGCTATCTCTGGAACGCTTTGATGTCATCACGCCAAACCCGGACCCCGCGTTGGCAGCCCAGGGCCGCAAATGCTTGATTCTTGCACCAAGTATCAATGGATCTTGTAAGGCAAAAAAAGAAAATTCAGATATTCAACTAAATAGAATTGCTAACCCAATATATAGCACCTGATACCTGGAGTGCCGAGCTACAAGAAGGCACCAAGACTGGTGACCTTCAACTGGTACCCTTCGAGCTCAAGATTGGCTATGATCTCTGGAGTTATCGTCAGTCTCCTTGCCATTCAATCCCTGAAATTCGTTACTAACTTGGTATTAGTTGATGTTATGCGCAGCATCTTACCCGAAGACCTTCACGGCGAAATCCCTGTCGGCTTCAACACCGCCGGCCATGTTGGTTAGTTTTGATATAGCTCCCTAACCGTGGACTTCGCAACTAATGGAATACTGCAGCACATCTTAACCTGAGATCCCAGTATCTTCCTTACAAGCATATTATTGCGCAAGTTATCATTGACAAGAACCCTACCATCCGCACCGTTATCAACAAGATTGACGACGTCGGTACACAAAGCGAATTCCGAACATTCTCGTACGAAGTCCTCGCTGGACCCGACGATATGCTTGTCGAAGTCAGTGAGGCAGGATGCTTTTTCAAGTTTGACTACTCAAAGGTCTACTGGAACACCAAGCTTGGCACTGAACACCAGCGTATCACCGCTCTGTTCAAGCCCGGCGAGGTTGTTGCTGACGTCATGGCAGGTATTGGTCCTTTTGCTGTACCTGCGGGTAGAAAGGGAGTATTTGTTTATGCAAACGATAAAAACCCCGAAAGCTTCAAATATTTGAGCGACATTATTCGTCGTAACCATGTAAGTCACTACTGGGATCCACCACCGTCCTATTTTCATACTAACCATCATCAATCGTAGACGGAGCAGTTTGTAAAACCATTTAACGAGGACGGTCATGAGTTTATTCGCAACGCAGCAGACTATGTTCTCGAGGCATCCATGAGAGGCGATTGCGCAACCATCAAAGCCAAGGTATCTCGCTCTGCTACTAAGCCTGTACCAGAACCTAAGCGCGTTCCCCTTCCACCAATAATATCTCACTTCGTCATGAACCTTCCGGCCTCTGCTATTGAGTTCCTGCACAACTTCAAAGGCGTCTACCACGGCCAAGAGAAGCTGTTTACCCCCCACACAGACGTCAAATTGCCTATGGTCCACACCCACTGCTTCGCCGTCAAAGCTGACGATGCCACTCCGTTAGACGACATATGTGAACGGATTTACAAGGAAATTGGGGTCAAGCTTGTGCCCGGAGATGCTGAAGTGCCTGGCCAGGTTGGAATCCACGAAGTCCGAGACGTGGCTCCAGCAAAACGCATGTTCTGCGCGAGCTTCAGAGTTCCTCCTGAAGTTGCTTTCGCATCCCGATCATAACCGTTACGTCCGGAGCTAGGTCCGATCATATGATTGGGCTTGAAAAATGGCATATTATAGCATAAAGCCGTCGCTTGAGGCGATATCGTTCAACCGCCGGACCGGTCGGCAAGCGTGGGACGCCCGTCGGACGACAAGTCTAGCGTGGTTGTGTCTGCAGATACGAGCAGAGGGGAAAGTCAAACACTGGAAATGGTTTCCGCCACCACCATTGCGCAGCACTGCATTTCTCAATCGGTGCATTGGTCAGTCCAATTGTCTAGGCTGAGGGCCACAGGAATTGCATCACCTATGCATATCGGGGATATCAAGAGGTGTAGTGATAATATAAAAACCGGGGCCGGTCGAACGGTGTTGCAGCAACGGCCGTCTAACAAGCCCATCCCACGGAAGGATTCTGCCTATTAACTGCACCAGATGCTTGGCGTTTAGCTGAGCCTGATGTTGGAATGGATGATAATGCAGCTGCAACCAGGTTTCCAGGCTCAGTACCCAGTGAGATGCGGAGATGCCGTAATTGATCGTCGGCAAGAGGCCGGGATATACAAGCGATCGACATAGATTCATGATTTCATGATTGAATATAAAGAAGTAATGAGGAGGCACATGTGAATCTCTGTGACAGCGTATATGACTGACCTTTTGAGCGTCATCCATTTCATGTCCTACCAGCATCAACGGCCGCTCTGCGGGCAATGAATCGTGTGCATTGTAACAGGATCAGCATACCCATTGTTTGAAGACGCCACGCAGGAATTGCATTGGCGCATCATCTTTATGGATGCATGTCCGCGTGGCAAGAGTACCACAACGCGAGGCCACACCAAAGGGCGCAGTGTAGTTGGGCTATATGTTCAAGCCACAGTTAGACAGCCCATGCCAATATTCCGGCGGCCCATTGGTGGTCTATCCAGGTATGAGCTTGCTACTCAACGTACTTGTACATTGGCTTTAGGTGGAAGGAGATATAACAGCACGATTCCCATCAAAGTGCACAAGTCCTACCACCATGCATGCTTAAATGAATTAAGCGTCACTAATTATAGTAATACTCGGCCAATTGAGACACACAGTACCTCTTCTTTTTAACAGCTAAGACGCCATACGTGCATGCGAGTTCGCCCATGCCAGAATCCTTTGGAGGCTTGCAGGGTGCGAGACCGTTGGCATGTACGCCACACACTCACTCCATTAACACGGGTGTGAGATACCAACTAGCGATTGGGCGGCTTCAACCATGACCAATCGTTAGGGACTCCGGCAAATATAGGAATATCCTTCATGCTGGAGGAGTGTGGTTTAGGCATCTTCCCCCACGATTGCCAGATTTGCCTCTCCACACGCGTCGGAGCGCGGGGGGACTCCAGAGGTACGATACATCACGAAACAATTGCCCCCCAAACTCTCCCCTACTATTCAGGAATGGGGGTTCTTCTTATCATGAGATCCAAAAGTGCCACTGATGAAGGGAAAGGGGATATTGTCTTATCAGCGTCCCCGGTCTGGAGAACCTGGGCCCGGTGGGAAAGGAACCCCACTGTCGCAGTGTGGTCGCAGCGCCATTTCCGTTATCTTCTCTCTGTGTAAGCGCCTACTGCGCCGGTCTACCAAAGCATGAGAAGGTGTATAGTTTCGAATTGAATGGGAAAATGCGGGCTGGGGTGATCTTCGACGTGCGCTGTCCTTCAATACCGACGCAAGTGTGGAATGGGGGCACCCAGGTGGAAATGATGGTTTTCCTTTGACACCATACGAAGAATACACACCTCTAGACATACAGTCTGCGTCCATCTGGGGCGGCGTGGGGCGCTGGAGATGTTCACCCACGAGGCAAATACAGAGACGTGATTGAAGCAGCGTTTGACGACAACCGTGCCTGGGGCTAGGGCGGTGCTTGACGCAGAAGACGATCAAGCCAAATTCTCAGTAGATGGGCGTGTACGTACAATATTTTCAACCTCAAGGAGCATCGCCTTAGTTGGCAGTACTTGCACGTATTCTTGGCGCCTGGTTGAACACTCCCTCCTATAGAATTGCTTGGAATTATTAAGGGAGGACGGCTGCAGACGGTGAGAGTTTGTGTGCCGGACCGATATAGCAACACCATCCAACCATGCTCCGTTTGCAGTACCCGCTATATGCAGAGACCGTTCTAATAAAGGACGCACGGCTGCATCGTTGATCGCTCATCGTCGCAGGTCGTACAGGCCAGTACGGATAGCATCGCTTGTACGGCTCTTTACTAGGTCGACCACTGGCGTTGGGCAAGAGAACCCCACTGAGCCAATAAAGAACCACGTTTTATACATGCCCACTGGTAGGGATTGCAACTGCATTCGACGCCCGGCGGTCCAAGCATTATGCGGCCTTTTGCAGACAGGCGTACCGTCAAGGTGGAGGACCAGAGCCTCTGGACGCACAGCGGTCTTGCTGGCATGCAAAATACCTTCTCAATGTCACCCATCCCAGCTTGTTTTGTGTGGAACGAACCGCCCGCATATGCAGCACACTTCTCCCTGATGCAACCAGGGGCGGCTGCGACCAAGTATCCGGTTGACGGCATACAGTATTAGTGAGGGTGGCCGCCTGTTTTCAGAGAATCGTCCGATTGGTAGAGCAGGTCGTCTGCAGCCAACATCGCCAGCGAGAACCGCTGCAGCGCGGGCTGGATGAATTGAGCCACCACAACCATCAATACATACAGGTGGCGCAGACGTGTTCTCGTTGTGCCCTAATTCAACAGGTGTTCAATGCCCAAGCGACATGTTCGATGACTTTGGATACGCCCAGTTATCTATGGTTTGGATATCCCACCTCAAGATTTCCTATCAGATGCCTCACTCAATATAATGACCTCTTCCAGAACTACCCCCGGAGGCCCACATAATTGTCGTTTGACTCTGGCACCATTCCACCCGCGACACCCCGTCTGAATCTTGATGTTTGAGAAAACAGCTTTCCACATGAGGCTGGGCCAGCTGCACTGTGGCTTGGTCGAGTACCCAGCTTTGTGCATGACAGCTGCTACCGCTGTCAAGACCTAACCAGCCGATCCTTGTGTTCGCTGCTCCACAGTGCATTGCGCTAGAAACGTGGTGTATGGTTGCCCACAGTCGATCCCTCTGGCTGTTGTGAATGCTTCAACGTGGCTCACAGCCAAACACCCTTTTTGTGCTGATTATTGAGCTGCATGTCCCACTAAGATGAATAGGAAGCGATAGCGAGTGAGCGAGTAAGCAAGAGAGCGTGCGTTCTTGGCTGGGCCACTGGGAAAGGTGAATGCATAGCGCGGCGGCCGCTGTTTACAGACGTTCCGCTCACCAGCATAAGAAATTGGCAGTAAGAACCAAACGGCAGCACATGTGTGCAATTGGTCCATTAAAAACGGTTTGTGTGCTTACAGTGCTAGCTTCGCTGTACGAACGGGGGATACTGTCACGACTAGCCCCGACTACTGACCACTGTCGTCTTGACGTCGTCCCGCTCTTCACGATAGATTGTCGATGGCACGGCCAAAACCGGACCGGCCCTATACACCTTATTCAGCATGACAGTTTTAATTGCATAGCCTCTAGCCAAGGTCTGTCATCCATACTGCCATGATGGATCTGGCTCATCGATATGAGACGGGAGAAGTCGGGGCGGCCCAGCTCTCTTCAGACTGAGTTGTGGGGGCTCCACCTGGATCGACCGTTATCATTTGGAACTAGATGCAGCCCCTCGTGGGCATGTGGATTTGCGCGCGCTCCAGCCCGGCCGAGGCAACGGAGCAAATCAACCGCACGCATGGCGACATGTTAAACCGGTAAGATGCTATATGCGCTCAGTGTGAAACGCAAGTTGAAATCCGGTCAACACCAAACAAAGACTGCGGGCCGACGCAAAAAGACTTGTTGCGCCGCGTATGATTGTCTTCCACAAAAACGAAGCAGACGATTGCTTTCTGTTGCTCTCCGTGGTGCTTCTCAACTTACACAAGCACGGCGGTTTTTTTGACTGTGGGCTTCATTTGGAGATAAGAAAATCTAGAGTTTCAAAGATAGCCGAAAGGCACAAACACAGCGGGCTCGAAAGAGGTTTGGCTTCCGTGTCTTGCCGTTGGCCACACAGTGAGGTGCGGCAGCCAGCACTAGTAGAGTTTGCGAGCCGTAGCGAACGGCTCGCAAGAGTGCAAGCCACAAAAGCTACAGCGCAACGCTACACCACCACACCAACAGATATCAGGCTGTCTGGGCCCGCAAAGAACAGAGGAGACTACGCCACTAGCGCCCGTACCTCGGGCATTCTGGCTGTCTGCTGAAGACGAACCAGTTTGGTTGCGACGTCGACTTCAATTGATCTGCCCGAATTGTTGTATGTTTGGCCGATCTAACACCGAGCCACGGGAAGTACCATTTGCTGGTTATAAGCTCACTGGCATCACCATTGGGTTCAGTATCGTTCATACAGAGTCAAAGAGTAGGCAGCATCGGATGGACCTTTTTGCCCGCTTTGGGATAACACCTAGATCATATATTTGGGGCTCTCTCCACTTGCCGCAGCATTCATTCCGAAAGGCAAGTCAGTGGTCGCGGGGGCATTATCAGACTGTAAATGCGCCACTTTGGACGGTTGAAGCCACGAAAGAGTCCCTTTTTCTCTTTGGGCTAGCTGAACGGCTAAGATTAGCGCCCGTCCAAGAGCAAGATGGGAAGACGAAAGTTGGCCGATGCAAGGCAAAGAACAAGAGGAGTTCGGCCCAATAGAGGCAGCCAAAATTGCATGTTGCATATGCACTCGTATTGCCCACCATGAGTCGGATATATGGTGCAGAGTTTTTCGTTCTCGTCTTTGGTCGCCACCAAGATCCGCCATGGCGATGGCTTGCATGAGACAGAGAGCCAGTCGAACTACAGGAGGCTGCTGTGATTGGCGTGCCCCGTCGAGTTTAGCACGCTTTTCTCTGGTCAATGCTTCGGTGTCGCACCCCCTACGGGAAAGAACCGTTTTTTCTATGCAGTTGGTATCCCTGTTAGCTGCATCGCTGCCCCCGGCTGAACGACTCAGTCGTCGACTAGACAAAGCAAGGCAAGGCTGGCTGTGCTGAAGGCTCCGAGGAGATTTGCACCACGCACTGCCGCATGTTCTTTTTATAATAGCCCATGGCGGCTACAGAGTTTGCAGCAATAATAAACAAATCCCTGCTGGGCGTCAGGGCGAGACAGACAGGGCAGAAGAAGGGGAGAGCAGGGGGGAGGGTTCGGGGCAGCGGATAGAGCGCGTTAAGCACATTTTTCTTTGGTGTCAAGCGTGCCTGTTTGGCCAGGGATGAGGCGTAGTGCTGTGTATACCTTTTTTACCAGTTTCGTTCATGCCCATTACTATGCTGCTAGCTTGAATTTTTTTTGGGCGCTGTCGTGTCTTGGTTTTGCTTTTTTCCTGTACTAATTTAGCCAAGTTTGATGCTGGAGGAAGAAGAGCTGGCGCGCACTGGGTACGGCGAGGGGTTGGGTGGTGGCCGCCCAGTGCATGGCTCTGCGCGTGGGAAAATAGCAGCAAGATCGTCGCCGTCAGAGGGTGTCAGTCTTCATCATCGACGTTCCCTAGCCAGCCAAGCGCAGTCGAGAGTCGCCAAGGGTGGTGGTTGCTTGCTCGCATGCTTGCACAAATAAAATGAGATGACTTGTTGTGCCTTTGATGCCATTCTTTCCTCCTCTTTTTCACTGGCATTGGCCGGGAATGACGGTTGGCTGGCGTCCAATTCAGATCAAGCCAACCAAACGCTATCTCTAGTATCAATCACGCAAAACAATCGCTGTAAATTGCTCTGTGCACAACAGACGACCCCACTGTATCGCTTAGTAGGCCGTGGATTTGCGGCGGGCTGGTGCTGCTCCTCCACGGGGGACACGGCTTGGGCAGGTTCACAACTATAGTACAGTGCACCCGCCAACCCGCCAAGTACCGGTACCGCGCAGCTCTGCTCCAGCGTCTGTAGGCCGCTGTGGTATCGACACTTGTCTAACTGAGCCGGTGTAGGCTGTGCGACGAAGCCGCGTACGGCACGGTGGCATCCCGGGCATGGCCACTGGCACCTACACGTCGCCCCACAGGCCGCCGCATGTATCAGTACCACATCATTGGCCGCTATCGAGCACTAAACAACTCTAAGGTTTTTTCTCCTCAGGTGCCCCCCCCTCCTCCTTTATCCCACGCCGAGTCTAGCCCTTCGCTACTCCACTGTAACTAAACAGCCTCTCTGGGCTTTTGCACTGGACCGGCGATGGCTTCCGACTGGCCCACCCCCTCTTTTTTCATTTTTTCCCCCGTCCACCCCCCAATGTGGCACGCTGTTACAGCGCCCCAGACCCTGCTGAATCGTCTGCTACAGCGCAGCCAGTGGTTGGCGTTTAGCGCTAACTCAACTAGAGAGCAGGGTTTTCCTCGCTTTCCCGCTGTGCCGGGTCGGGTCCCTCCTTCCCCTTCCCTGTTCCTCTTCTACTGCCACCATCGCCTGCTACCAAAATTCTTCGCCCCCCAAATATCCTCGCTCTCCTACCTCGTCTCTTCAATATTCTCTTTTCCCACCCTTCGCTCTCCTCTCCTATCTTGTCACCCTCTCTCGATTTCCTTGTCTTTACAACCGCCGTTGCCGACGCACTTGTTCTTTTCCTTCCTTCTCTACTACCTCGTTACGACACTCCCCCACTGTATCTTGCAGTACCACAACCCAGTAGGAACGTCTTGCGCACCGTGCGTTACAGTTGCCAACCCTGCCCAACAACCCAAAACCACACCAAACAACTGGCAAACACCGTATACAACGCTGCATCGTAATTTTAGACGCTCAATCCATTGCGCTGCCAAGCACCTGTCACGCCCTCGCCAGCCAAAACTCTGTTCAAGCGCGCTTTCTACCGTGTTGACGCATCGAGCGAACTTTGAGCCTCAGCCCATTTATACAAAGACGCGCCTCCCACCCGACACGATTTACAACCAAATTCGCCTTTAATAACGATTACCGATGAGCTTATAGTCGAAAAAAAGACATCAACTACAGACTCTGCGGTGAATTTCTATTCTCCCAACTACCACACAACCACATCACAGCGCCATGGCAGTCGTCCTCCCGTCAGAGGACGACGGCTACTTTGCTCCGTCACTACGTCGTTCGCAGTCGCAAACCAAATTTCTCAGACCTTTAGGCTATAGCCTGCCAGCGAAGCTGGACGATTCATACGATCCGACCTCTAAATCCTCCTCCGAGTCCGACCCTTCCTCCGCACCATCCTCCCCTCGCACAGCCCATGTCGAATCGACAGACCTTTCCTACGTCTCTACGCCAGCCAGCAATTTGTCGATAGCGTCAGAGTACGACGAGTCACCGGAAGATCACTTTGTGCTGCCGCCATACGAGCAAGAGAAGATCTTTAACCGACCCGATTTCCCAATGCTCGGAGATGTAGACTCGGACGATGAGTTGCCCAAGGGCTCTCCCGACCAAGCATCACAAGAGCCCGATTCTGAGGGAACTTCCCGACCTGGTTCGCCTAGTTCGCCTGACAAACGGACACCTGCTGAAGATGACACTGCTGTGGCCTCGAAGCCTTCAAGGCAGGTAGATTATCTGTCTCATAACTGGGCTGAGGAAGATATTTGGACATCTTGGAGATATATTGTCTCCAAAAGAGGTGAATTCTCCAACAGCGCAAGATTAGAAAATGCGTCGTGGAGAACCTGGATGAAGGCCAAGAATAACCTCAAGACCATTTCACCAGAGAGCCTAAACTGGCTTAAGGACTGCGACGTCACCTGGCTATATGGCCCACTCCAGTCGCGACCCAGCAAGCTCTACGAGTCACACACAGAACCCTCAAGTTCCTCCATGTCCAAGACGGAATCTCTGGTCAACATGGCCACGAAGAAGCCGATTCTTAAAAAACGTACAATGTCGGAGATTATGCTTCAGCACTCTCTCTCTTCAGCGTCTTTACTCAAGCAGGCTGCTGCATCAATCCATGCTCAACAAGAAGTTAGCGATCCTGAAATCGACTTCGCTCCCGTTTCTTTCGCGTCCCGACATCTCAGCATTGCGAGTGCAAGCACTGTGGAGTCCACGGATTCCTCCACTCTTGCGTCGCCTTGCACAGAGCGTCGACATATCCATTTTAATGAGCAAGTTGAGCAGTGCATCGCCATCGACGTTAAGGGAGACGATGAGGACGAAGATATCGACATGGACATGTACTGTGATGAGAGTGACTCCGAAGAAGGCGTCATGATGAAGCACATTGCAGCAAAGAAGCGTGGACCTCGTCGCAAAACACCCAAGAGGGGTATTGATGGCAAGATTATTGCCAAGCTGCCATCCACGAAGCTCAAGTATCGCGAAGATACACCTGAGCCCCGCGAAACTGCCATGAGACACAGTCGTAGCCCTTTGATATCGCCATCGTCGTCGCAAGAGACACTGCGACCCACTCGTCAAAAGAACCGATTTTATTTTGATGAAGAAGACGATGAGGACATGGATGATGAGACTAGCAGCCCTCGAAGCGGCTGGCGGTCACCTCCAGGAGAAGGCGGCTTGCAACGATCCTCCTCCACAGGCAGTCTGCAAGATGCTGCTTCTGGCCTCCGGCGCACATCGTCCGGTATGCTCATGCCGTGCGAGGATTTGGATGCAGCTGCTGGCGATGGCATTCTCGGCCGTGTCATCGATACTGTCAACACTGCTCGCGATATTGCCCACGTTATATGGAATGTAGGATGGCGCAAATAATTACGGCAACGTTGATATGAGGGCACGGATTGCGCCATCTTTTGAAATTTGGTTTTATACATCATGGCCAGCCTCTGAAATTCGACCTATATGGATATATTCTTTTACTGTTATTTTTATCGACATGTTTACGGCCCAGGTGGGATTGAAAATGGGACTTGTGTTTTTGTTTGATTTGTATTGCTCGCCCTAAACCAGAGGGGCACTATTATGAGAGCATTGTCTGTTTTATCATTGGCGTTTTTTGTTTGCTTGGACCAATGCACAACCTGGCAGTAACGACGTTGCCAGGACTAGGAGTTTTGGATAGCACACACTAGGCTAGAAAGGAAGGCAGGGTGAGAAGCCCGCGTATGCCTTTATAGTATAGCATAGCAAATCAAAATCATGATTATACAAAACATGTTGTAGCTTAATGCAATTACGTCGTGCCTTCATTCACTGGTGGCTAATGTCCACGGACCATGGCTTTGGAGACTACCAAAATACGGCTTGCGAATGACGCAGCATGTTGGCAGCCGCTGTACCAACCTTGGGGTGGTGGCTATTGTGTATTCTGGGTGGCGAGTTTAATGAGGTTAACATCACGCGACTTGGGGATGAGTATGAGAGATCTGGGGCAAACCAGGCTGTCAGCCATCACCCAATTAGGGTCATGATGTCAGAAGCCGGGGTAATAGGGGGAGGAACCAGCCAGCCACGGCACTTGGAATTTAAGGTACACAGTATTCATTGCTACCAAATCATTCAGGCTGGTGAGACGGCGCCAGCCAGGGTTTGAGACGGCAGGGGCTGGAAACAGCGGCTACAACATGCAAGACAAGCAGGTTTTTTCGCATCGGGCAAGGTTCAGGAGGCAGACCGGGTGCATACAGCGCGCTCATCTAGCACCAGATGATATTCTGGCGTCATGGTAGCGAGGGGCCTTTGTCACGTTGGTTGCGCCTCGCCTTCGGTTGGTTCTTCTAGGCGGTGGCCAAATGGGGGGGCTTTTGCCTGTGTTACGTAGGCCTGGCTCTAGTTAGGCAGTTAGTCAAAGCCAAACCATTCTGTATGGCTTCTGTGCTTACCTTCCCTGGGGCAATGTGGGCTGGGCGGAGCGGCGGAAGGAAACCTAACCCACGATTTGGGGCGTGTGGGTGACGAGGCGCGGGGATTGGGACAACTTCCCCGCAAACGAACCCTTGATTTTTGTTGGGGAAAAGGGGCACTGTACCAAAAAAAAACAGGGGACTGGTCACGCGCGGGGGGGCTTGTACAGTCTGCCTATAGTGCAATTTGGACAGTGTAATTTGCGAGTAACAAACATTGAAAAATAAAATCCATAGATAAAATAAAAGGAGAGAAGGGCGTTTGCGGAACCGCAGGATGAATGCATTCCATTCACGCGACGATTTCCTTTTTTGTCTCTTTAGCAAGTATCATTTATCACATCCTGTCAAGCTGTCACAGCGTATAGCGGTGTACGGTGCTGTGTGTACAAGCGGACATCGGCAGGGGCGGAGTGGACAGCATCTTTTTGGTACTGTGCTGGTACGGTTAACCGAGGGGAGAATGAATCCATCAGGCACATAAAAACAACAACAAGTACTTATTACAGGACATACTGTAGAACGTACTGCCGCTGTAGCACTGCCCGCCACAGCCTACAACACTGCATCTCAGCCGTGTCGGTCTGCCGCTGTACGCCCCCGTGTAAAAGGTCGGTGAGGTACGTAGGCGCTGTCTGTAGGTGCCGTAGCAGTTACTCTTTTTCTATGCAGCTGTGCGGCTGCGCGAAATACATGGGATATATGTCATGCTGTAATAGCAACCTGTTCATATAGCCCAAAGCTGGGCTGTGTGGTTTGGTCATGCGCTGGTTTGAACGATACTCCTACTACAGCGTGTTCGCTACACCGGTGCGGTTGATCCACCGCCAGGGCGTAGCACAGCGCGCGCCGAGGCAGTGGACGTTTGGGTGCCGAATACGCTGTGATGTTAGGCTTTTTGTTTCGTTGGGGACAGGCCGTAGGTCACGCTGCCTATTCTCGTTGTAGGCGTGGCGTCATCTCTTTTGCGTGTGTTGTATATGCGGGGTGCAGGCTGCTTGGGCGCTTCCGATTGATTGGAAGAGGCCCAGGGTCTGCGCTGTGTGGCTGAAATCCTATTTCGTCTTTTTCCTTTTTGGTTAGTCCGCTTACCTGCAGCACCAGCGATGAAGGGGCTTTTATTTACTTATTTCTGGGGGACGCAAAGTCACTGTACTTTGTCGGCCTGAACGAAGCCATGTTGCAAGACGGGCATCCTGCGGGCACAGTGCGAAGGGCCTAGCAGTTAGATCTGGGGTCGTCGGTAAGGCTCGGCTGCTGCCGACTACAACCAAGATGATAGTGAAGATAGATAAGAGTTGTTATGGTATGTATATGAACGTTGTGGTGGATAATATTAAGTGGTATTGTACACGGCACATCTTCTATCGTAGATGGCCTGCCTCTATATGCTTTTTCAACCCGCAAGTATGATATACAACGGCTGCTGCTGGTACACAAGAGCAATTGCAGCCGTGGATGATATATGATAATAGTACAAAAATGACGGCAAAGTACCATCTACTCTCTCGCCAGGCGCTTTACTGCCTTGACAATGATCTGGCTCGAATGAACATTGACATCCTGCAGCTCTACCTCGAACTGGTCATTGACCTGGATATCATTGATTAGCGCAACGCCCTCCAGCCCATTAACGTCGAGTATAGCAGGCAGACCAAAGACGTCAATCTTGCCGCTCAGGCCCTTGCGCCAGCGTGAGTCCACCGTAAACACAATGTTGCGCGGCGGGTTGTTTTCAAACTTCCACGCCCGTACAAGCGCAATGAGAATCCAGTCCTTTGATCCGCGGCCGATGGCGCGGCACATACGCTCTCGAATCTCCAACATGGGCAACATTTCTCGCATGTCTGAGTTGCTAAAGGGAAGAAGCTTCCTGGAGATTTCCTTGTCCACACCCACCAGCGACCCGTGCTCTCGCTCATGGGCTAGTGCCGCATGAATCTGCCAATGGGCAAGCATGTCGCCGTATCGTCGAAGCGGCGACGTACACTTGGTGTACATGTCGACACCCTGGATAAAGTATGGTCCGGGCGCTGTAGAAATCTCGACTCGGCCCGTCAACCGCATGAGCTTGTTGATTTGTCCGCCTGACGGCTGGATGCCCTGCTCGACTAGCGGATAGAGCTCGCCAAAGGCAAAGTCACGGACCTGTTGTCCTGAGCTGCCTGGTTTGCTGTCTCGGCGGAACGGGATGGCAATATTGCGTTCTGCACACCATCGTGCGGCAACCTGACCGGCGAGGACCATGGTATCAGTAACCAGTGAAGAACCTGACCGAGTTTCGGTTGCGACTTTGATGTACGGGTCTTGGGGAATGGAAATCGGACCGTTGGCGTCGTCACCCTGGAAAGACTGTTTGTGAAGCCGCACAGATACAGATGGGCGCGGTATATAGTATGGCCACGCTCCGTCTTGCAGCCGCTTGGTCTTAAGGGCAGTCGTTAGTCGGTACAATGTCTTGAGGTCGTCTTGGTCTTTGGTATCGAGCTCCGTCGACTTGTGGATTGCTCGGTTGTGATATACTTCTGCCGCAGGCGGCGTGCCTACTTCTAGTACGCGGCCCTCCTCGACCTCTCGTCTTGGCTCACTGCAGAATGTTGCGACCTCATCGGGATCCAGGTACACAATGTTGCCTAGTTTGCTTGGTTCGACTGTGTGTTCCAAAACCTCTCCGCTCATGTTGACCTTGGCACTGAAGGTTAATGCTGGTGCGTCGTCTTTCAGCGAGAATTGGTCAACTAGCGGAACAGACTTGTCTCGCAGGCCGGCAGGCAACATTGCCTGGTAATGACCAGGGAGGTAGATGCTCTCTGGAATAAGCTCGAGGTAGGTAGCCAACTCTGATTTAGGCTTGATTTTTGACGTCGGGTCTGCAACATGAATATGGATCCAAAATTCGTCTTCCTTAGTTGTTCGTTCAAGGGAAACGCCATCGTCAATAACGACTGTTGATGGTCCGTCAATACAAAAGACGGTTGTGGCCCCATAGTTGATGCGAGCTCCTTCTGCAATATCTGGGCGAACAGACTCCTCCATAAACTCAGGCTCCAGGCGTGCTAGCCCCTTGCCCCGGACAATCTTAGTATGCGGCAGCCGAATCTTGTATCGAGAAGGGTTCTCCCATGGTGTGATGACGTTCGTTTCTTGCAAAAAGGTCCACGCTGTGGCTTGATCCAACGGGACATTTTTGTAAGTCTTGAGGCTCCGCAGAATGACGGCGCCGTACGCATGGAAGCGGGAACTAGCGTTGAAGAGCCCATAGCCTGCCCACCATTCGAGGAAGCCAATAATCTCTTTGCTTGCAGGGCTCCAGTTGAATCTCTCTATTTCCACTGAGTTGGAGGGCTCGACAATACCATACGGTGTGGGCTTCCTCTGCTTTTCGCTTAGAGCCAGTGCTCGCTTAGCTTCTTCTGCAAAGTTGTCCAATGCCACCTTGCGCCGCGCAGCATTTGACGATGGGTTCGCATTTTTGGCAATGTTTCTCACGACATAGTCTCGAACCAACACCGCAATCCTCTCCATCATAGTTGTAACACTCAGTGGCAAAACTTCGAATAAGTGCGTCTTGAGATGCATGGCAGATGACGGGCTGAGGGGGTAAAATGTGTTTTCGCAGCGCTGGATTGCGCCATGGACTGCGTATAGAATATATGCTGGCACCTTTCCATCAGCCTTGACGGAACTGGGAAGTAGCGTTTTGGCCATATCATAGAGGTTCATGTATGTGATTTGGCTGGGGTCGGCAAGCAGCACCCGGGCACCGTCAAGTCGCTCCATATTTGATTGGTAGACCTTCTCAGCCCGACTTCTGAATGTCATCATTTTGTTAATGAGATCACGGGCGTCTTCACGCGATGGTCCACCATTCTCCTCACGCAACTTGTCAAAGTCACCAGGTGTGCCGTCCTGGGGAATCTTGGCCAGCACAGGTTGCAGCTCACCGGATGTCGCAAAGCCTGACACCGTAAACATGGATGAAAAACCCATACTGCTAGCCCATTTGCCATTAATCGCATAGAAGTGGTTGCGTTCACCAATGTGACCCAGGTAGATGCCTAGCATAGGCACTCGTGAGCCAGGTTGTCTGTGGAAAGGGTTAGGACGAGTGTGATATTACTGGGATGCGTCACTCACCGGAGTTCCACAAGATCACCAGGCTGTTGATACGCTGTTCCAACACTACCTGGCGGTATCATCTCATGATCTTGCGTTTCTACGATTGCACCATCAACACTTTTCAAGTTATCCATTTCTGCTGAGCCTGTTGACTGGGATCGGGTGAAGCTGTTGGATATGGTGCCATGCAAGACCATATCCGGAGGTAATGGACTATTTGGCGGATGCGCCTGATTTTCAGTCACCCATTCTCTTAGTTTCTCACGAATTGGGCTGTCCAATTCAACGTTGCCGATTGATTCTGCAGGCTGAATGCCCTGACCTCCTGAGAACGGCACGCCGTTGAATACAGCCGGTGGCCGCTGCTGAGATTGACCTTGAGTAGAATTATTGCGCTGTAGAGTTATAGAAGTGGTCAGTAGTTGATCTAATGCACAAATTCTAAAGTCACGAACCTTTTGCGACGTCTTGGTAGACTTTGATATTACCAAAGGATTTGTCGGTAACGTTTGGCACAGCGTGCGGTTATGTTGATGCCATTGCGGTATACGGCAGTTTCCTTGCCATACCTGGCGATGCGATATTCGAAGCATCATAACCAGCTATCCCCTCTTGTCGAAGGTGGAGCGGCTTGTGACGTTGGCGATGAAGTTGATGTCTTTGGTGGTGAGGCATCGCGAAAATGGCAATGTCACGTGCCGGAGATCATCGATGTCTCTACTGACAGTGGAAGCTAAAACGCCAATTCATAATGAACAGCGAATGACATGGGATTTTCATGCTAGGACCCGATTTTACAAATTCTAAGAAGCAAGCTCGATTACAATTACGTTGTGTGCAATTAGGCTGTACCTCTAGAGCCATGCTTAACAGCGCTCATCGCTACGACTGAGCCGACTGACCTGTTGCAGGCGCAAAACTCTCCAAGATAAAACAATAGATACAAAAGTCATTTTTGCATCACACGCTGAAATCTGCCAGCGAGCTATTGCGCGTGGTGAACAATTTTTGTTTATTCTACCGGGGACAACAATTAGTTCGTATTGACAAGTAGCGCTGCAACTCTACCTAGACATCTCGGGAGCTAGTCCCCGTATCCAAACTTGGATACAGGTTCCTACCGCGTGTTCATTCCACACGAGCAGCCGGGAAAAACGGAGACTCCCGTTTAGGCCATGCCTCAAATGTTCTCGACCGTGCCAAGCTCTTACCCATGGCCTTTGTAATGCGGCTCGAAGTGGCAAAGGACCGCTTCGCCCCTTGGATTTGGGCGTCGGCATGGCTGTGCCACTGACAGGGTTCCTAAGCCTGTCTAGAAATAGGAGAAATGGAGCCTTGACAAGGGGGGATTGGTGAGTAGGCGATCGAGTTGACGAGGTACTGGGATCGGATCAACCAGTGCAGTTGGTCCAACTATGGCCACCGCGCGGTACGATATGACCGTCATATTACTGAGAGCCTTGATAGCAAATCACGGAAGGGCATCATGGACATGCAGACAGGACTTTCTCAATTATCTATCCTGGTAGCCGGCTGAAGGATAGTTGTTGTTTTGTGCCAACGTAGGATAGAATCTATGAGTTGCGTATAGTTTTGTTAGACCCGGGATTATGCCTTGCTTCGCCATGGAGGGGATCACGATTGAGATTGTCTAATACCGAAAGCTTGCAAAGAACTATCCGGTGACGCTATGGGTCATGCTCATGCTGGAAATAGATTCCATTTCGGCAGTAAAGCCGAACAGCGGCACGGAGGGTCAGGGTGGTAGCTCTACGGAACCCCAGGCAAGATCGCAGTCGCGTCGAGACACGGGGGAGCACCATGCTGCTTCTGGCAAGAGATCGTCATTTTTCACTTTGGCTGTTGTCTGACTGACATTCGACCACTAACCCCGGCTAATAGGGGGCTTCGTAGTCTTCATTTCATCGACCGCGGTGTGTCTCTTTTGGCACGAGACGAAGAGGTGGGCCGGAGAGAGTGAGGGCTTTGACATACGGTGGCGCTGTAGCCGGTATGTAGACGCGCTCAAGGAGCCAGTTTTTTGTGCATGCACAAGGCGGGACAACTGCCACGGCTGCGGTGGGACAAGTTAACGGACACCTGTGGGTTGCTGGAGTTGCGCCTTGTTGTGGTGGTTCAGACGAATAATGGCCATTGTACACGAAATCTACATATGTCGTATAGATGGCTGATTTGGGGAAAAATAAACATTCCTGCGCGTCGTTATTTCCCGATGAATGTCAATGTCCGGCCCGTCGCTCAAACTAAACACAAGCCGTCCAACTTAGTATACAAGAGAAGTATGACTAACCAACTTCGCCTGTCCGTTTGTGGCGATTCATTTGGCAGCTCGACGTTAACTGGCTGAATACATAACGGCACAATTTTTTCTTCCTAATGAAAAGCCACAGTAGGCATTAATTTGTGTACGCAGTGTGTAAAGACGGCGACACGCACCACAGAGAGGCTTGTGCATAACAGATATGTGGGCCCGTTCCTGAGTTATTCCCTAAAGGGGAAGGCGTTGTGGCAGGGGGCGTGGTTCCTATTGAACTCATCATAGAATTTGAATTTGCAAATGCTGTGCCGTTTACAAGTAAAAACGGATCGCGGAGCAAAGAGATACGTAGAGAGACATGACTGAAAATTCAGAGTTCAACGGTGGAATTTACCGTTTATCTCTGAGCGGCCATGGCGTCCGGTCGGCAAAATGACTGACTCTTGATGATTTTTTTTTCGTTTGTGTGTGTCTGTGCCCGCTGTCAACATCAAAGTGAGGGATAAAAAATAGGAAGCGAAGGAGGCAAACAGACAGCGGCAGGCTTCCCATTGTCGAGTCGAATGCAACAGACGAGGCTCATTTAATTTCATCTTCCTTTAGCGTCGGTCAGCCTACGCTCGGTCAATGTCACTCACTAGCGAGCGAGCCAGCCGACTAGCCGGTGGGAGGATTGCGGCGTGTGAATGCCAGTGCGCAAGACCTTTCATAGCGCTGGCTTACCGCCCGTTGTGACTCTCCACAGCAGTCTGTAGCCACCGTAGTGGTTCTTGAGAAGCAGGCGAACGCGTAGCCATGCGACACCCTAGCACTGGAAATTGGCCAGCGCAGGCGAAAAGAGGAGAAGAAATCCTCGGCGCCGCAGCCTCCTTTTACAATTGACTCCTATTCCAGCAAACGAGGCCTTGAAGAAAGCCCATGGCGCATGCATGACCCTGAGGTACCGGGCTGATGCTCCTGATTTAGTTGGCGTCGCCGATGGCCCTGCACGATTCCGGCCAGGCACAGGACCAGGGGCTGCATGTGCAAAGGAAATTTGCAGTGGTGGCCGCCAGGCACCACGAGCCACTCATAGGCTGGCGGAGATGTGCCGGCGCAGCAGAACAATCAACAGTAGAAAAGGCGTTGCAGGGCCACCTCCCTATCCAGCGGGCGTAATCTCCCCTGAACAGCAATAATAAACACCACTGGGCGGCTGCAATTTACAGGCGGTAGCAGTGCTAGACAGACAGCTGGCTGCCCAGAGTTCACAAGCTGCAAGCACAAGAAAAACGCGTGCTCTGCGCTCCACGGACTGTTAGACTCACACACACGCCCCCCTTTTGGCTTGAGTTCCTTCTTCCGCTGCCGCCGCCGCTCTGTTTTTTTTTTTTTTGATTGCTGCTCAGCGAAGGCTGGGCATAACTTGGCTGCACAATTTAGTTATGGGGGCTGCCTGGCACAAGATGCTGTCCAGCCCGCTCAGACCAACAATGAGGTCCCATTGTTTAAGGGCTGTCTGACCACTCACAGCGCTCCGTAGGCCGCCCACACCAGTCAGGCACCGCGAGCCACCAAGAGGCTAGTCGAATGTGAAAAGCGGGGCGCGTTAGCACACACCCCCTGTCCAGGTCCTGGTAGCGCGACGGAGCCCATTTCAACTCATCAAAGCAGGGATTGCAGAGGGGGTCTCTCGCTCTCCCGCGATTTGCTGTTTCCTGCCATAATAATAACCCACAGTCCCGTCCCTCCATCGCTCGATCTCCCTTTTCCCTCCTTTTTTCTCTTCTTCACGCACCCGTTCAACGCCCACGGTCGTAACAGAAAGCTGTTTTCTTAGCCAGCGCTTTCGTCCTCTCTTTCAATTCCATTCTTCCAGCGTTACGCCGCTTCACTCCTTTGCGGTTTTTTTATTTCCTTTTCGACCAATTCGGCTTTTACGAATCCATCGACGACTTCAAAATGAAGGGCACTTTCTTTGCCGCCGTTGCGGCCATGGCCAGCCTCGGCGCTGCCCACAACCACCGTCAGGTTCACCAGCTCATCAAGAAGGACGGCCTTGCCGCTACCGGCGTTGCTGCTCCCACTGGTGAGATGTGCGTTCCCGGCTGCACCACCGTCTGGAAGACTATCACCGGCGAGATGACCCGTATGTCTGCCCAAAATTCCTACATTACACGACGACAATCGTTTGCGTAATCGACTTCATGCCGAAACTGCTCTGTGTTTGCGAAGTCGAGATCTACAGTCGATACCGATTTCGAAGCAGAGCAGAGGCTTGCAGATCACTATCGCTCAATCGCTCGTAGTAAACCGGTGATCGTGATATCTTGCTAACCACTTTCAATAGTCGTTCCCACCTCCACGGTCACCTCCACGCGCTACAGCACCAGCACTGAGACTTGCACCGTCCCTGCCACCACCCTGAGCAGCAGCACTCCTGTTCTGCCTACTCCTCATCCCGTCACTTGCCCTACGCCTGGCACCTACACCATCCCCGCCAAGACCATCACTGTTAACCAGACCACCACTGTCTGCGGCGCTACCTCCACCAAGGTTCCTCCTGGCACCCACACCGTCGGTGGCCACACCACCATCGTCAAGACTTCCACCATTGTGACTTGCCCTGTCGCTACCGTCACCACTCACCACAACAAGACGACCAGCACCGTCATCATGACCACATACGTCTGCCCCAGCGCTGGTACCTACACTGTTGGTGCCCACACCACCACTGTTTCCAAGGAGACCGTCATTGTCTACCCTACTCCTACCAGCTACCTCCCCGGTACCTACACTGCTCCTCACACCACCGTCACCATCACCGAGACCGGCACCGTCTACTACTGCCCTTTCACCAGCTCTGGCATTCCCGCTCCTACTCCTCAGCCCCAGCAGCCCGCTCCTAAGCCCCAGCCTAAGCCTGAGCCCAAGCCTGAGCAACCTAAGCCCGAGCAACCTAAGCCCGAGCAGCCCAAGCCTCAGCAGCCCAAGCCCCAGACTCCTCTTGGTGACATGACTGGTCCTTCCGACATGTGGGCCATCACCTACACCCCCTACCGCTCTAGCGACGGTACTTGCAAGTCTGCCAGCGAGGTTGAGAAGGATATCTCTGAGCTCAAGTCCCACGGCTTCACCACTGTCCGCATCTACTCCAGCGACTGCAACACCTACCAGACCGTTGCCCCTGCTTGCGAGAAGTTCGGCATGACCATGATTATTGGTGTCTTTGTCAAGAACACTGGCTGCAGTATCAACACCCCCGACATCAAGAAGCAGGTCGACGACATTGTTGCCTGGTCCAAGTGGACCATGGTTAAGCTCTTCGTTGTTGGTAACGAGGGCGTCCAGAGCGGTAGCTGCTCTGTCCAGCAGCTCCAGCAACTCATTGTTGACGTCAAGTCTCGCTGCTCTGGCTACACTGGTCACTGGACCACTGCCGAGACGATCAACGTCTGGCAGCAGCCTGAGGTGCAGTCTGCCCTCTGCCCCCACGTCAGCGTCACAGGTGCCAACATCCACGCTTACTTCAACCCCAACACTCCTTCTTCTGATGCCGGCAAGTTCACCCAGGGCCAGCTCGACATCCTCAAGAACATTTGCAAGGGTAACCAGGTCATCAACCTGGAAGGTGGCTGGCCCAGCGGCGGTAACGCCAACGGCAAGGCCGTTGCCAGCCCTCAGGACCAGGCTACCGCCATCTCGTCTATCCGTAAGACTTGCGGTAACCAGGTTGTTTTCTTCTCCTTCGAGGACGACTCGTGGAAGCAGCCTGGCTACTGTGCTTGCGAGCAGAAGTGGGGTATCAAGAACGCTTTGTCCATCTAAATTGTGACAAAGGTTCGCACTGCCAACAGGATGACCCGGGAAGTGCTCTCACATCCTGTCGGCATGTTGGGAAAACCACAGCATGATGTCTTTTAAATATTTGGATTTTCTCTGCGAGCGTCAGAACTGTACACCCGCCACCCCGCCTGTATATGAGAAGTCTCTTTTTTCCTTTTACCGAGGACATTACAAGACGAGGTCGGCTTGGTCTACCTACTCGGCTGCTCTCCTGCGATTCGCTCTTGGGTCACTTCAGTTGGAAGACGAAACTGCTGGATATAGCCTTGTACATATGTTGCCTGTTTTTGATTTCGATGGATCTAAGAGGTGGAAGAGGTGCAGTGAGTTAGGGTCAATGTATATTTTCTCTTCTACAACCATGTCCCCCGATTTGCTAAGAAAGTCTTGTCTTGTTCCGCTTTGTACATGTCATGGCTTCTAGAGGGGTTGGATGCACGGTGAAGATTTGGAAAGATCTTGATTATTTCTTTGGAAGAGTTAGTTTTTTTTAAACCTTTTTTCAATCAACGTCATGCTGGAACCTGAACAATACCATCTTGTGTCCCATGTTTTTAATCTCATCATTCATTACCTTGTTGTCTTTCCCATGCTCAGTTTGTTGCTGTTTGCTACAACCGCCATAAACATGACCTCTTGTCTCTGTTTGCTTTTCCTTGTAACCCGCCAAGGCACGGCGACCCTTGCATCCGCCCACGCCTTGCAAAAGAAGAAACTCTGTCCTCGCTATGATTCGTCCGAGCAGAGGGAGCAGAAGTAAGTCAAAAGCCCCGTTCGTTTCTTTTCGTTCAAAACGGCCAAGGGCGGGAATAAATAACAGTCTCAACCGTAGCTAGGGCGTGGCGCCACAGAGCGCTAGGTTGTCGCAGATATGGATGGATAGTGTAAAGGGAAGCTCCAAACACGTGTTTGCTTATCTGTTTGTGTAATATGTAGTCTGCAAATTTGAAGGGATACAACGCTGAGCGTGTACGTCGTCTCAGTCTCACAGGGCATGCATGTATCATACGGACGAGGCGTGCGCATATCAAAGGTAATACAATGGCAAACATATCTTTTGCTTGCTTGTTTTATGAAAGTTGAAAGAGTGAAAAAAGTAGTCTTTATTTTGCCATTCTGCTATGGAACAAAAGATAAGGGGGATATATCCAACATGTTGTAGGCGCACAGGTATAATCGTAGAGAAACAGAAACAGAAGCAAGTAGCAACATCTATCATCGCAGCTCTATTGATGAAATTGAAAACAGGAAAGAAAAACAACAAGGAATTGCACTTGAACGCCGGCTGAAACTGGCACAGCGTCTCTCCAGCTCGGTGGCTGACCATGAGTGCAAAGAGGGAAGGATAAGATGTTAGGGTCGTTAGAGGATAAAATATACTGAATCATCATGAGTTGGTGGTGTTGAGGAGGGATATAGGGAGAGATTATTCAGTCTTTGGAAGCATAAGATATATATGGCGATGTAAGGGAGGGATCGGTTGCTTAGAATGGCTCGAGAGCGTCATTGTCGGCAAGCCATACAGTCTCCCGCGGCAGGCCATGAAGCTTCTCGAGGCCACCACCGCATCTTTCAAACTGTAGTAGGCCACCACGGTGGGAGTCGCGGCACAGAATGTTGAGGTTTTGGCCTTCATTGGTAAAGGAAGCGCCGCAGATCTCACCGAAAACGTCAATGGTCTGCTTGGTGTTGTATGACTTGGCATCAATAATGTTGACAAAGTCGGCCTCCTCGGCAGCCACCAAGACGGGCGGGCCGGAGCCGACCAGCGAGAACTTGAGAGTGCGTGCGCCAGCCAGCTCAGACTTGATGGTATGTAGAGGCTGGCAGACACCACTATTGGAGGACCAGTAGCGCGCGTCCCAGATCTTAATGGCCATATCCTGCGAACCGGTAGCAAGAGTGTATCCGTCATCAGACCAGGCACAGGCGAAGCCGTAGTCGCGATGGCCGGATAGCTGAAACTGGATCTTGCCCGTGTTATCGTCTGTGATGAGAATCTTGTCAGAATCACCAACGAGGGCACGCATCGTCTTGTTGGGGGAGAGCGCTGTGCAGTTCATTGCGACGGGATATCTGCGCTTAGCAACAAATGTGTCAGTGGCAAAGTCGTACAAGCGTAGAAAGTCATCGTTGCTGGCAATGGCAGCAGTTGGCGAAGACGAAGACCGGCTTTGTTCAATCTTGATGTGGTTCGTAATGCCGCTTTCATAAGCTGAGATTTGGCCCTTGGCATCCGGACCGGGCTCTTCTGATTCAACAGCCTTGACAACGTAGTTGCCTTCAAAGGTTCCGCACATGACGACGCCAAGATCGGCGTCCAATGTGGTAACAGTCGATCCGGTCATGGAAAACTCAGGGATCTCGAGGAATGTGTCCGTCTTTCCTGACAAGGTGTTGAATCGTCGGATACCGGTTCGACCAGGATAAAACGCATTGGTTCGGGTCGGGCAGCCTAGCACGCTGCGTAGCTGAAAGTGTGCCAGACACACATCGTTCTGGAAGCTGGTACGCTTAAACTTGAAGAAGTTGGACTCTTCTCTGCCGCTGCAGCTGCAGTGGCGAGTGTTCCATTTATCAGAGTCTTGACGGTTGACGTAGTTGCGGTAGGTATACTGTCTTCTGGAGCGAGCAGCACTGCGTGTGGTGCCCATGGATAGCCAATCAAGGCCCTGAAAGTCGCATCGATCACCTCGGAGATCGTCATACGAAATTTCACGGCGGTTGACTCGCTCTTGTCGCAGCACCTCGTGAATGTTGGGGCCTCCTAGCCCGCTTGCTATTCCGAAATGTGCCTGCGCAGCCCATCCTCGCAGAAAGTCAAAGAGACCGAGGTTTTCAAGACCCAACACGGTGGGGTTTGCGTTGCTATAATGCACTGGATCAATGACTTGACCGTTGGGCATGGTAATGGCGGGTAATGGAACGAAGCCCGCTGGTGGCTGAGGCAGAGGAGGAAGGTTGGCAAGCTCAGGAAACTGGCTTGTATGATTTGGAGAATTGGATGGGACACTCCTTGGCCGTGACGGTACCGGTTGAAGTTGATGTGATTCATCTTCACTATCCTCATCATCGTCGTCCTCTTCCTCTTCTGTATCAACCTCCATGCTTCGGTCATCAACTTCATCATAATCCTCGTCGTCGTCATAGTCGTCGTCACTTAATGGACCGCCGCTAGTCGTAGATGCCAGCCATGGCAGTACAGCGTTTACGCCGCTTCGATGTCTGTGATACTGGTGATCTTGGTCATAAGAATGGTTTTTGTTAGCATCGCTGCTGACATACGAGCTTTCGTCACATGAAGTGTCAATGTCGGATTCAGTGCCTTCGAAGTGGTCACATCGGCTGTGGTGAATCCAGAGGGATCTTTTGGGACACATGCACGGTTGACGGCAGCCCTTAGGTGACGCGCCGGTCAGAGCTAGCCTTCGGAGGACTTGTCTAGGGCCATTGGGAGACTCTTTCCGTCTGGAGGCACCGTCGGATTCGGAGTCTGTAGGCCATCTGTCAATATCTCCCAAGGATACGCCAGGTCCATGGCTAACATATCGCGGCGAGCGGCTGCTAGCAGGGCTATTTGGTGCAACTTGGCAGGCCTTCCTGCCTCTTAGAATGGCCTTGTTCATAGTTTGAATTGTCATCGGCGAGTTGCTATAGTCGTCGGTGGAGGGGTTGGTAGATTGTGCGTAGGCGCGTCACCAGTCCAGGGTCCAATCCAATGTGGGATGTTCCCTGTGGCTAGCGCGATCTCGGATCCCTATCATACGATGTCGCAACGAACTTGCTTAATCCGTTTTGGTAGGTTGTAGAAGTAGTAGTAGAGGAGCTCGTTAATAGCTGGCGTCGTTGCAACGGCGCGTTTATGTCGAGTCTCGGCGAAAGAGGGATGGGTGGCAAGGGTGAAGGGCACTGTATTCGAGATGGACGACAATGAGAACAACGAACAGCAAAGGAATCGAGCTGAGTCTGAACACCTTGCTGGAAATGACACGGACGAGTACGAGTTGCGTTCCAGACGGCCGTGGCTTGTCGAAGGACTGTATTGCAACTAGTGGGCTGCTTTGGCGGAAGTCAGGCGGCCCCCAAGAACGTCGAGTTGGCGTGAAGCAACGGTCGAATGCTACCGATGTGAAGCGGCGTGGGCGGGTATGAAGGAGATGTCGATGTGTGAAATAGAGAGCGTATGAGGAAGGAGCGAAAGAAGTAGGACAAGACGGATGCAGAGGGTAAGATTAATAATTTGTCGAGAGTTTCGCTGGGAATACCGGTTTAGGGAAAAGAGCAGCAAAGCAAGCCGAAGGTGGTTCGCCCAGCAGTTGTGAATATGAGCTGCAGGTGCTATAATCCTTCCGTCTGTTTTTTTTGGGTCTGGCACTAGCCTCTGCGTCCCTCTTGCTGCTTTTGGCTTTTCTGTCCTCGTTTGTTTTTCTTTTTTTTACGTTTTGGCGTCGGGGGCGGGAGTTAGGCACAGAGCAAGCCCAGTGCAGAAGACGGCGGCGGGGCCGTTGGAGGTTTTGGCGGTGTTTTTCAGCGGGCGCCAGGCTTGTCAGAGCCCAAACAGGTGGTCGATTGGGGAGGGGTGGGTGGTACCCGTAGCAAGCCGGTGGGGGGAGGCGAAGGGCTGGCAAACAAAAAGGAAGGGAAAAACGAAGAAAAAAGAAAAAAGAGACGTCGAGTGCGTGGAGGAGGGGGTGGAGGAATAGCTCAGTGAAGGGGGGGAGTGGGCTGTTGTTTTAGTGGTTTTGGTTTAGCGGCCTCAGCGGAAGATGGGCCACTGCGCCTGCTGTGCGACGCCGTACTGTAGCTGGCTGTGTTAGTTAGCGGGAGGTGTGCTGGAAGAAGGAAATGGAGGGGGGGAAGGGGCCCTTCTGGGTATGCAGCGGAACGCAGAGGATGCAGAGGGGGGACTTGTAGTGGTGGGTTGGCCGCTGTGAGACCATCCGCGCTGTAACTGGAGCTCTCTAGGCCAGGACCACGGGGAGAAGTGGGGTTGCCGTCGGGCTACGACAGGGGTTGTCGACCAGCAATGACGAAAAAGCGGACAGAAGAGGGATATTTGGAAGACGATAGACATAGAATCCAGTACAAGCAGTGGTAGCTAGCAGCAAGAGACGTGATAGCTAACACGTGCAAGTATCCGTCATCCTGGGCACGACACCAGATGTGCAGGCTTTTCATGGTGGACGTACAACCGCCCACGCCCTCTCTGGCTGCGTCGCAAAAGGTCAACCCACGGCGCCGTGGCGGCCCGCCAGTCGCCCGACAGCCGAAACAGCGGCGTGCTAGACTGTGGGCAGACACCCAGCAAAGCAAGCAAAGCTGTGCCGACAGCCAGACAGAGGAGGGGTCAGGAAATTTCCCACCACAGGGCCACGGCCTTGCACCGACGACGGGAATGTGGTGCCGTTCGTGGTCTTGTAAATGCACCCTTGTCTTTTCTAGTCGGCTTTTTTTTTTCTCATTTCTGTCCTAACAGTAGGAGCTGGAGGCAGTGACAGCACCTACATGGTTGCTCTCTCTGACCGATGTGGATCGCAAGCATCATGCGCTCTCAACGGCCAACGCAGGCGCATGCAAGCAAAAGACATAGAGTGTGTGCATTGTCTTTGCAGCGCTGTGCAGCAGAAGCGACAGCGCACTACGGCAGCCGCAGTGGCAGCCCTGCCGCAAAGTACGCTCGTCTTTCAGCGCAAGCTGGCTTTCATTCATTACACTGCCGAGAGCCTGCTTGTTCAATTGCGTCCTCTGTAATTTGCGATTGGGTTGCGTGTTGCCCGGTGTCACTGCAAGTCGAACACCGCCATGCAGCCAGCGACAATTTTCGGTTAGCAAGATAGCTTGACCAGCTTAGCTAGTCCATTGCCTGGCGTGTGCTGGCTGAAGTGCGCGCCCAAGTTTGCTCTTTCGGGATGTCCAAGTGGAGGACTGCCGATTAGCCTGGGCTCGGCCGGAACGAAGGTAAGCAATTGGCATTTGCACTGTGTTGTGTCACGGGCTGCCATGGTATCTTCTTTTTGGTGTCCCACGTTCCCTCACGATCTCGATGGGTGACAGGCTCCTCAACCCCCAACATGGACAGCCGGCGCCCCATGCCAAGCTGCTTTAGTGTGGGATGGTGTGCTGCTGGCTTTGGCCCAAGCTGTGATTCGTGTGAGCTGGAGGGTGCTAAGTGAGGGGTGATTGTCCCAATAGGGTGCTGCTTGAATCACGCTGGTCCTTTGGATCGCGAGGTTTGCTTGCGTAGCAGAGTCATGCAACTAGCGCTGTGCAAAGAGGCTGTCTCGCTGATCGCGAGAATCCGATTGGATGGCGGCTTCCTTTTTGACGAGAGTCTGTGTCTTTTGCTCCGCCGTGGAGACCCTCCCTTAACACGGCACAGACCCAGATACTGTCATGTAATAGTGCGCGAGAAATTCAGCTTAGTCCCCAGTTAAGAATTCCCAACTAAGGCAAACGCAACTCTCTCTGTGATGGTGAGCCAGGTCCAGCTTAACACGCGAAGCACTTGCCCACGCTGGCGGATTGGACACGCCACACCAGCGCCAGTTTTGGGGGTGGAGGAGGGGACACGCCCGCAAAAATGACGATGTTGTGCCGCAAGGCGCGTTCAGGCTGGAACGGAGAATAGTGTATTCCCATCTCTCCGAGAGTAAGTAGTTTAGGAAGAAGGGTAAAACAACGTGGCTTTAGAAGGGTGTAGTATAGGAGAAACAATAACCTACGTGTTGTTTGCCAAACCACAGTCCTAATAGGAGTTGGTTAGTATCCTCGATGAGGATTAGGCTTGGATAAATAGCGTCGGGAACGCTAACAAGAGACAGCGGCGAGGAACGACCCCCCACGGTACGTGGTGTTGTTGGTGTTGATTAGTGGTAATTGAGGGAGTACTAGTGTTTGTACTAGTAACCGGCTGCCGTTTGTACATTAGGCGTGAAAATGTACGACGAGCCAGAGCAAGACAATGTACGTCTGTGTGCGCATGTGAGTAGCTGCCGGTCTTGACCTATTTATTATTTACACAATGTCACCAAATGCATAACGACAGCAGCATCGGGTTGGTTTCCAAGCTCCACCGGCCACGAAAATAGCAGCATCGTCTCAGCCTCTTCCGCGGCATGGCGGCGTTCCAGACAGGTTTGTAGGCCTTCTAGGTGCTTTGCAACATGTACAGTAGCGAATAAACAAAACTGGGTTCGCTTGGCTACACCAGCCTGCTGGCCATCACCACCGCCGCCACTTACTAACTGAGCCGGTGCCCATCTAGCAACGGGAAGGTACACCCCTTACGCACACGCCTCAGCGTCTGTGTATTACACTCGAAGTCTTTCCTTATTTTTCCCTTTTACAGTCCTCTTTTATTTTTTTAATTTATTTCGAACTCCATTTTTGGACCCTTGACCCGCCGTAAACCTACCGCTCGTCTACACTATCATTCGTACTTTTATTATTTATGATAGAAACACTGGGCTCGCAATCGTCACTGCGGGGAGGGGTGCGGTCTGTCCCAAAGGTACTCGTCACTTTTCCACCAACTTTCTTTCTCGATGCGCGATTCCCAGGCTACTGGTCAGCATAGGGCGCGCGACAGCGCGGTATTCAGCATATACACGCCGAGTGATTCTCCGAAAGTTGCAAGTATGGTCGTGGCGGTCCTAGTCATACCAGCTGGTGGAACAAACAGGCCATCAGATGCACACTCAACGACTCAAGCAGCGTGCATATGCAGCCAGCCAGCATGCATCACCGCTTCGTCCACAAACTCTTGCTCGGCAGCAGGCAGCAGGCATCTCAGAACGAACCCTGGCTTGCTCTCCGTGGAACCCCTGTTCTTCTCCGCCCTATGGCCAGGTGATGCGATAGTCTGTGTACTTGGTCTCTTACAACGGTACCTCCCAAACGACCTGCTTTGGTAGAATCTCGCCAAGATCCCGCATAATACTACCTATCACATCTATATGACGAACAAATCACCTGACTGGCAGCCGTTGGTGTTTAACAGTTGATTGATACCTTTTAGGAACGGCAAGCATTACAGCACACGCCATAGCGTCTCGCCTCACTGCAACTAGCTATTACGCCCATGGTGCGTTGATGGTGCGTTGATGGTGCGTCGATGGTTCTAACGAGGACGTGGTAACATTTTTTTTTATCTTAATGTGTTAATGTAACAGCATCACATATCTACGGGCTGCTCTAGCGCCTACACAGACCCTCTATTCTGGTGGGGGCAATAGAGACACCATGTCTGACTTGGAGATCTGGGATTTGTATGAGGGATCGAGGACTGCATCCCGAAGAAGCAAGTCATCATGCCTTCATCCGCACAAGATCATGTTTCTGACAGGTAGCTCTGTCTGATATGAGCTGTCTGTCAGGTCGCCCAAGCCCCATTCACACTCTCTACACGTCCATTTCGCTGTGCCTCTGAATTTTCGTGTGGCTAATTTTTTTTTTTGTAACCAACGAAAATCGGGCTGCGTATAATGGCAGTCAGAAACCCGGCGGATGACGGTGCATTGCACGGATGGGCATCCGTCGCAAATTGTAACACCCCCTCTCCCTATTTCTCAGGGAACGGTAGGGTTGACAGGCCAAGCCAAACATCAGTTAACGGCGAAGGTTTCTCGAATGCAAGTTATAAGCGATGCTAACTGCTGACCAATGATTTGCGTAGACGAGGGCCAGACGAGGGGTGAGGCAGTAATGACGCCAAGGTCCAGAGCATACCGCAAAGGGTGATCGCCTACATCCCAATGTGGCCCACAGACACACAAAAGTGCGAGAATCCCATGTTGGCTTTCCCATGTTGTCCAGAAAGCGGACAGGCGCCGCTTAGGACGACTAGGGTGATTTTGCTCTCCCCCTGTTGGACGTGTGGTGCCCGGCGTTCGTCCAATATGCAGTATGGCACGATGTTAGCCATTGGCCACACCACTAGGTCGGTGGAAGCGAGCTGAATGGTGTGTGTGGAGGGACTAAACGCGACAAACGACAAATAAAAATAAAAGGGGATTATGCTTGTTAGCTATGCAGGGATCGTCGACGCCTTCGGATAAAAAAAACACCCCTAAGAGAAACCTTTTGTCTTGCTGTGCCGTGTCTGTATTTGGTTCAGCGCCGGTAGCATGGTACACTTGTCAGTCAGCCTGCAGCGCGACCACAAAAATGGCAGGCTAGCGGCTCCAACGATATATATTTCATCGATGTGCACCAGATTTCTCGATGGCCACGCAAACTCGCGTGTTCCTAGCCCCTGGCACCGTCACCTAGCTGCATGCGCTCCGCCTTTTACTGGCACGCCGGTCCGGCCATATTTCCTTCTTGTTGACCTATCCCTTTTCTTTTATGGAGTTTTTTAGGGTTCTGGTTATTTCATCTCTACCCGATGTGAGGGTTGCGGCGTATGGTTGCGTAATGTGGACAAGCATCTGCAGATGAACCAGATATCATGGCTTTTACCTCCCCTAAGTTACTGGACTGACGCGGACCGCATGCCGGTCATGATTCACGCCACCTACCTCGGCTGTGAATATTTCTTTTGATACTCTTCTTTCCGATTCTATTACGTTCGGCGCTACATTACGTGGCCGGAGCCATAGGGCTCGCATAGCATCACCACGGGGCAATGAGACAGATGCCGCCACTGGCAGCACTCCCAGTGTTCCGCAGAACATCCTTGCAATGCAAGTACTGCAGGTAATTGATACGAAAAAAAAAGGGTCGCAATGACGTTCGGCAGGCAAACCAGTGTCATTCTATGCAAAAGCCCGTCTCATGTAGTTTGCAAGATGCCCATACGTGGACCAACGGTCCGAGTACTACACCAGCTTGGCTCAGTTTATCACGGTATAGTACGGTGACTCTATCAGCTCACAAACAAGACCACGGACCAACGCCACTGTGATCACTAAATGATGGGCGGTTCGCCGAAACCACCGATCCTATTCGCAATCGTCATCCACACCGCCGCCTCAGTGGTACATTACCTCTGGTACGAAAAGCGGCATGCGGCGCTTGCAACTCATGGCTGACCAGGCACAGCGTCAAACTCCGCGTCGTCAAAGCAAAAACTCTTTCCTCTAATTAGTGTGTTCGTCGTTCCGCGCCCCTGCCCCATCCTCCGCCGCCGCCGTTCCCCCCAACTCGGTTCCGGTGGTGGACCATCCATCCACTAACACAGACTGCGGGGAGCCAGTAGCCCAGAGAGGGGCAAGCCACCACCGGCCGGTCAGTGCCCACCCAAACTCTTTGGCATTTCTGTCTTTTGTGATAGATGACCTATCGGGCCCCCACTAGCTTTTTCATCGATGTTCTCTCTTCAGCCGTTTTATTTCGATGGGCTCCTGGAACCTAAAACATCCAGCAACGCGGCTTTTTGACTCGTCTATTGCGCGCTCCGCGCTCGTTCCCAACCACCAACAGCACACTCCGCACTCGTAAACATCCTCAAATCGTTAGTCTCCTAGTGATTCCAGTACAAGCCTCAGTCAACTAGCCGCAGCCTTCTAGTGGAGAGAAGTACTCTTACCGGGGTCTTACAAACGGGACTAATACCCTCGGTTCCGTCCAGGGCTGGGGTCTGGGACCCCTCCCCTGGATTCGGGCGGCTTCCAGATTCCCATACCACAAGCATGCGCTTTTGTCGGCACTTGGCTCACGAGCGCTGAAATCCCTATGACACCTTATCCCGTCCCCCGCCGCGCCTTGTTTCCTCATCCTTGTCTTAGGAGTCTAGAAGTGTCTTTCTTGTAAACTCGCCTACGCTGGCTGCGGGTGACACGGAAAGCATACGCCGGGCCACGCTAATACAACCAGCATTAATCAATCGTAACTCGTGTCTTCGGAACGGTCATCAGAGGTGTTCCCGAAGCCCCAAAAATATTACTAGCGGCTAATAATACAAAGTATTGGTTGCAAAACAGCCGGCTGCCAGATGCGCAACTGCGTTTGCGGCCATCGCTGCAGCCAACAAAGCTCAACAATACGCCCTCAAGGCAGCGCAAGTATGACAGACCACCGATGCCCTGCTGCCCATCTTGGGTCCCAAAAGTTTGCATCTGTCTTGCAGACGCCCGTTGTATGGCGCCCCCCTCTCTGCACAACCCTCTTCTTTTCATTTGATAGAGGCCACGCCGTATTGACTGCGTCGATATTAACGAGGCTTGCAGCAGGCAGTGGGCGATGGTCCGTCACTTGCATTACCACACCACCACCGACCCAGCCCAACAAAAAAGACATGACAAAAGCAGGCAGTGAAAGAGCCACTCTCTCCGCCTTGACCTGTGCGACAACTGATAGACCCCTGTTTGGGAAACTATATACTCCGGCTTTGTCCTTTCTCGTCCGGCGCCAATTAGACACTAACCACCATAGTTCCATTTAGCTCGACGGCGCGATGTTACGCTATGGCTAGCTCTTGCCCAATTGACGGGCAAACCATGGCAAATTGGTAACTTGCGAGGTACGCATAGAGACATCAACCAGCCTTTTTGCTTATGGTGGTCCAAAGCCGGCGCATTGCCGTCGGGCCAAGGTCTTGCAGGGATTGTTGTCGAGACCGTTGCCACCAAGCGCCACGGATCGCCAGTATTGTAAGCAATTTCCAACGGGCTGTCTTTCCTCTCTTATGATATGCGGGCTTTCAACCGCCAGCCACGGCGAAAATGTGATGCAACGGTGCTGATCTCATATGAGCCGCCGTGAGGCTGCAACGGCGCTCATTAATCGCTGCTCTTTCCACATGGATGACGCCCCTTTTGACCGTTGTGCGGTGAAACTCGCATATGCAGGCTGTATTATTTTGCCCAATGCCGAAACCTAGACTGGAGGCTACGATTACGAGTTCCATGCACCTCCAGAAACCTGGGTGTACAATAAGAGCTTTGTTGCCTTGCCTAGACCAATACCAGAAATAAGCATATACGAGCAAAACCACCAACGACGGACGGCGGTAACAGGCACGTGTTTAAGAGACGTCATATTTGCGTATATAAGCCAATGAAATTTCACGATCTGACGACGCAGTAAGTATGTATTAGTACGTACACGCCAACTTTCATATGCGCTTTTTTGTCACCCTCATTTCCCATTCTTTTTTATGCCCCGATAGACTCCACGCCCCCCCAATCGACACACCAGACCACACAACAGGGCCCCATGCACAAGCTTAATCGGCAAGAATAGCGGCGGTCTGAAACAGACAATATCTCACGCGAAAGGAGACAAGAAACGCACGTTGTCCCAGCCACCTTGGCTACCCCTCTTGCTAACAGTCCTCAAAAAACATTCTCTTCCGCGCCACATTATCGGTAGCCTCGTTTAGAACTTGTTGACGCGTCGTCTCTCGGCCTTGAGCTTCATGGCGGCTTCAAGGGCGTCTTGCAGAGGGATCAGTTCACCCTTGGTCTGCGTGGCCTGATCATCACGGTTGCGAATGTTCACCGTGCGAGACTTAGCCTCTTCGGCGCCGACGACTATTTCAAAACAGGTTAGTGAACTTCCTTTAAACGATTGGCGATCGTTATGGTCATTTCCTCTTTGCGCCACGGTTTACCCGGAGCAAAGGTGTAGGTGTAGCTTTAAAAAAAGGTGTAGAAACTTACCAAAGATGAAATTGTACTGTTCGAGCTGGCCCGTACGGATCTTCTTTTGGAAGGTGTTGGCACTGAGATCTGCGTCACAGTACAAGCCGTTGGACTTAAAGAGCTGCTGAACCTCAGTGGCATAGTCGTTGACAGCAGGCATGATGGGCACGACGAGAATCTGGCGAGGGCTCATCCAGAATGGCCACTTGCCAGCAAAGTGCTCAGTAAGAATGGCAATGCAACGCTCCAAACTGCCGAGAACAGCACGATGAATCATGACGGGGCGGGCGTAGCCAGCAGGCAGATCGGGATCGTCGTTGTTCTGGGCAGCACCACTGTCGTCCTTGGAGGCGACATAACGGAGCTTGAAGCGCTGGGGCAAGTTGAAGTCAAGCTGGATCGTACCGCACTGGTGGCTACGGCGAAGAGCATCAAAGACAGTGATATCAATCTTAGGACCGTAGAAAGCACCATCTCCAGGGTTCTCTTCCCACGTAGAACCGACTTGTTGCGTCCAGTTGTCAAGAGCCTCGCGGAGCTTACCCTCAGCAACATCCCAGACCTTGGACTCACCAATGTAGTTCTCGGGTCTCGTGGACAGGAACAACTTGAACTGGAAGCCGAAGAGGCCGTAAACAGCGCTCAAAAAGTCGAAGCAGCTTTCGATTTCCTCACGGATCTATTATATTTTCAAGATTAGCAATTCTGACAGCGCATAAATAGGTGTGATTTTACGAACCTGATCGACCGTGCAGAAGATGTGAGCATCATCCTGCTGGAATCTACGCACACGCGTAAGGCCAGAGAGAGCACCGGAGAACTCGTTACGATGAATGACACCGAAATCGGCGACACGCCAGGGAAGATCACGGAAGTTCATGTCAGAGTGGGCGAACATGCGGCAATGGCCAGGGCAGTTCATGGGCTTGAGACCGAATTGCTCCTTCTCGACCTCCAAGACGAACATGTTCTCCTGGTACTTGGCCCAGTGACCAGACGTCTTCCACAGATCGGACTTGTACATGTTGGGCGTAACAACTTCCTGGAAATCACGCTTGCGGTATTCGCCCTTGATGCAGTCGACGAGAGCGTTGTAGATGCGGGTGCCATGGGGCAAGAAAAAGGCAGAACCTGGCGAAACTTCGTCGAAGAAGAAGAGCTTCTGATCTTGACCAATCTTTCTGTGGTTGCGGAGAGCGGCCTCAGCAAGGAAAGCCTTGTGCTCTTCAAGGGCCTTCTTGTCGGGGAAAGCAATACCGGAGATTCGCTGGACAGACTCGTTCTTGCTATCACCGAGCCAGTAGGCGGCAGAGTTCTGCGACCTGTTAGTTTATAGTTATCATTTGTCTGTAAGTGTTATTTACCTTGAGGACGGCAAAAGCCTTGATGTTACCCGTGGTAGGGACGTGAGGACCACGGCAAAGATCGATTAAGGGACCGCAGCGGTACACCGTGCTGAGGGTTCCATCCGGCACGCGCTGGTTGATAAAGTACTCCTTATATTTGCTGTATTTGAACATTTCCAAAAGTTCATCCTTGGACAGTTCAAGACGCTCAAAGGGCTGCTTCTCCTTGACAATCGAGTTGGAGAGGTTCTCGAGAGCCTTCTTATCGTCGTCAGTAATAACTTGGCTGTTGTCCATATTAGTTTCCATGGAAGACTTCAACAGTTGTATCCAATAGCATACCCTTCCATGTTGGCCATATCATAGTAGAAGCCAGGGGGGTTCTCCGTGGGAGGACCGTTGCAGAGGTAGCAGCCAAAGCGTCTCTCAGCAGCTTCACCGAGAATATGGGCAGCGGAGTGCCAGAAGACCTTCTTTCCTACACAACGCTAGTCAGTATCGCAATTTACAAGCTCGTCTTCTCATGTGGTGTAAAATTACCTTCCGTGTGCTCGAAATCCAGAAGTTCAAGCTTGCAGCTCTTCTCAAGTGGTCTCGTAAGGTCCCAGAGTTCGCCGTCAACCCGTGAGATGACCGTGCGCTCAAAGAGGGACTTGGAGAGCGCTCTAGCAATGCTACCAGGCGTGGTCTCCCAAGACGTGCCCTTCTGTTCCGAGCCGTTAGGGAGTGAGACGGTGATCTCCTCGCGCGGCTTAGCTGTTATTCGCCCAAAGTCAGTCCCCAGCTCATCTATATTGTATACGACCCCAGTTTAGAATCGTCTTCTGGAAGCTTACCGGCTAGTTCCTCCGCGCGCTTAGCCTTAACTCTATCGAAAACATTGAGACGGTGTTGAATAAACTCGGGACGTTCAGCAAGCTAGTGGCAACGGTTAGCCTGACCCCTCCTTCTTGCGACGAAGCCTAGTCTGCAGCTTGGAAGCGACAACTTCGTACCTCAAGACTGGCGCCCTTTCCACCCTTTGGGGTCTTATCCTTCTTCTCCTTTGGTTGTTTGGCTGGACGAACGGGAAGCTCGGCCGTGTTGGCGGCGGCGTCGACGTTTTCAGACGACATGTTTGTGTGATTTTAAGTTGTGGGTATCAGTGCGCAGAATAGTTGGTTCAGGCGTATAAGAAGTTGTGAAGCCGGAATAATATTCGCACTTTTTCGAGAATCGCAAGCCTGTCCGGTTACAAGGACACGTTCTTGGGTTAGGTTGAAAGGTTACAATTGATTTTAGACCGACTGTGACCATGGAGTTTTGGCATGGAGGGGCACGTTAAAATATGGCACAGGGCAAAAGGGAGGGGCACAGTAGAAGGTGGGGTTGACTCATAGAGTCGGCGAGTCATCCGAGGATCTGCCGCGTTTACACGGTCGATGACTAGGCGATGCGGCCAGATCGGAAGGTTTGAGTACAAGAAAATTAAATTTTGACTGTTGATAAAGTATAAGCAAGTGACTAATTTCCAGTCTCAGCCGCAATAAGAAATTACACCGTTGCCTTTTCGAGGCTATGTTACGATATGCTGGTATGCCGGCATCGGAGAAAGCCAGGGTGTCATGCTGGTATTAAACAGCGTTACGTGTGAACTTGGTCACAAATTAAATGTATCCTGCATATTCACGGGGGAAATATATAATTCGAACACGAGTTGCTGTTTTAGGAAGGTTTATACTATAGACTGGTGTATATGCAAAACAAAAGGTCGTAGCGTGGGACTGAATATGTACGTTTTGATGGATAGTGTTCATGATGTTTTTCAATTTCTTGTTGACCGGAACAAGTCGCAGGCCAAGGCCCAGTTGGCTAGATGCTTTACTGGCCCTTGGTAAGAGGGTTGTAAAAGCCAAATCTGTCTTTGGGATCCCACTTTGCCTTCAGCTGGCGCAGGCGCTGGACTCGTGACTGATCCCTTCCGTACGTCTCGGCGACCGTCTCGGAACCCATCGCGTAGTTAACGTACATGTGGGGAATAACGTCTTCTCCACGAATGGCTTTTTGTATCTGAGAGCCGTATGACATAGCTTTCTGTCGGTCAGCTTCCTTGTGGCCCTTCCACCAGAGCATCGGCGACGTCAGCAGATGGCGTTGGCGCTCCTCTGGGGCAACAGCGTTGAAGTCGGCCGGTACGTTACGTACACCAACACGCCCATATGACTCTAGTAGCCAAGCAGCTCCAGTGAAGACGGGGTCAGCGGTCAAATTGGTGTATAGGGAGAATCCCCGGCGCATGCCCTCGACGTCCCAGCTTTCAAAGGAGTTGGGGTATCCAAGGATATTCTCATTCTTGCGGCAGACTTGACTGGATTTGCCAAAGCCACCAGCCTCAAATAGGTCACCCCATGCAATATCCTTTGTTGTTTGGTCGAAAACAGGTCCTAGCTTTCGGAAAGCGGTCGTGTAGGTGTCAATAGCGGTGTCAGAGCCTTCGTAGATAACCTGCAAATTGATGAGGGGCTATGAAAATGTGTCAGTCTCATCGTGGTCAGGTAATCGGCTGGTTAGCGAAGCACTTACGTAGTCCTTATCAACCTCTGGGTTTCGGGCCATGACACCGTTGAGAAGCAGGAGGCCAGGATTGGCAATGTCCTGCTCCAGCTGGTTCCATGTGCTGAAGAATTCCTCCAGCTTGTCTTGCGTAAACGAGAACACCGTCATATTCCACTTAGCACTAGCATCATATAGCTTAAGCTCGTAACTCATAACGATTCCAAAGTTGTGGCCGGCCCCACGAATAGCCCAGAAAAGGTCGGCGTTTTCGTTTTCAGCAACGCGGACAATGGAGCCATCTGCCAAGGCAACACGGGCAGAAACCAGATTATCAGCAGCAAATCCGTGACGATTCTGCAGCATGCTATGCCCGCCTCCCAGGAGAGGTCCGATGCCTGATGTACACTCGCAGATACCGGTTACTAAATATTGTTAGAGGGCGATCACCAATAACGATGTAGAAATTATACGCACCAGCTTGCTTTTGTTGCTTAAAGAGAGACGACGTAATCTCCCATTGCAACGCACCTCCACCAATTGTGGCCGTGTTTCCGTCCTCAGCGATGGCTGTCGAGTTGAGTTTGCGCATGTTGATCTGGATGCCATTTTTTACATTGTTCAACGTCAATGGCCAGCCATGAGCACCAGAGACAGCCAAGAATGGCTTGCTTTTCTCGTTGGCATATCTGATCTATCATTCTTTGAGGTTAACAACCGTTCCATTGTGATTCGGTCTCTGTGGCAGAATAAGTATGGCAATGGTGAGTACGTACTGTCTTCTGGACATCCTGTTCAGTGGCGACCTCGACAATAGCGACAAAAGCGGGTGCAACCCGTGGCGTGGAGGCTCGAATGAGCAAGTTGCTTCCTTCGTCAGATGACGGCAGCACAATGGAAGCATGCTGGGACAACTGCGGTCCCAGCTCTTTAATTACTCGCTCGCCAGGATGCATCACGGGACAGCTGCCACCAGTAGGAGATGAAAGGACGCTGCAAACCCAGAGGCTCACGAAGTGAGCGCTGAGGTGGAGGGGGCGCATGGCGGACTGACGTAGGCGAAGTGTGCTGTATGTCGGTAGTGTCTATTTGGGGTCACTGGTGCGGCTCGGGCGACCTCACTCGCCGTTGGACAGATGATTAGGCTGCGAGGAGCAAACTTATATAAAAGATAGACGGAGACGCCGATTGAACTGCGGATCCGACAATATATGCAACATGCAAAGTTCGATTCAGTGAAAAGAAAAACGGACGTCAACACAATAAGATCAACATGAAGAGAGCGAAGCGCGACACTAGGCCCAGAAGGACCATGGAAGCCTGCAAGGAAGCCGTCTCACCAACCAAAATGGGTAAGGAACACTTGGTCAGAATGCTTCCAGAGGTGATTTCGCTACGCGAATGCTCTCCACTGCGATAACACAGACCCATTAGTGGTTTGTTACAGGGAGCAACATTAGGAATATGGAGCTACAGTTTGTGATCCCCTGGGTACATTACACGACAGATATGGACGCAGAAATTGGTAGAGGGGGGAATTCAGTTGCAAAATGGAAGTAGATGGGAAGCCGACAAGTCATCCAAAACATTCAGAATAGCGATGTTGGTCGACAAAAGCAACGAGTTGCGGTGAAGATGCACTATATAGGCTATTCGAAGCAGAGTCGCTGCTGATGGATGCACAGCTGCTGGCTCGCGGCAACAGTGGCGACGAACCACCACAAATTCAATTGGGTGGATTCTATGGGTAAATTGCTTCCAAATAGGACAGCAGAAATACTAAAGCGAGAATAGGAGCGGAAATAGGCACTACACCGAGGAAGAGCGGCAAGAAATGAGTGTATCCGCATCGATGCGACGGCGCGCTGTGGCGGCATCGAGCGCTGTATTGTTCGCCACGGGTTGTGGGCAGCGTCGGTATGCGGGCTGCTGGAGGCGGGGCTACAGTGAAGCAGGGGCGGGCCGCCACAGAAAAGACGGGAACCCAGACGCCACCAAATATCCAGAAGGCTGTAGAACGACAAGGTTGGGGCGTCCAGAGAAATTTATACGTGTGAAAAATGGACAATAGGAACGAGGCTGCTACCGATTTAATTTTGAAATTAGCCACGATTGACTGAAAATTTACATTCTTCTTCACTTCCTCTTTAGTGAACGGGTTAAACGGGCCGCCGAGCACCACGGTGCGGAGAAACAAGATCCGCTAAAGCACGGCACTTGTTTCTCCTCTCTAGCACCAGCACAGCAGCAAGAAACAGCCACCCCATAGAGGTGCTCTTGTGATAATGTCTGAGTTGCTCTGGTCTTGGCTCCCCCTATAACGGTAAATATACACAGGCTTGCCTTTGACACAATGATCACCCTGTACAAAATGCCCATTGCTGCTGACAATGTCTCGATACCACTCGTCTTTCTAGCAATTGCTGACGGCAGCAATTGTCTTGCAGCAAACACAACATCTACATCTACCGAAGACCGGGGCCATTACTTGGCACCTGTTGATGCTGCTACTGGTAACCTATTGTTCTGTGCCTAGTTTAGGGGTACTAGCAATGTATTCTGCCCCCCCCCCCCCCCCCCCCCCCCCCCCCCCCCCCCCCCCTGGTCACCAGCTGTCACCACAGAGTACGACCAAAGCGACCATTCTACGAGTTTGCTAGGAGTCCAGGGCATGCATCTGATCCCCTGAGTCGACAAACCGTTCCTAGTCAAGCCTGACAGGCAATACCTTGACAGAGATGCTGGTGATGATCTGCCGTTGTGCGCCACGGCCACGTTGAAGATGTTGCTTTGTACCTCCTGATTGCCGACAGTTTGTCACATTTGCTTCGGAGCAGTTTCCTTTCCTACCTATTGTCTAGCTTTGAGAAACCAAAGAGAGTGAAGCAATGTCGACAAAACCCGCCGGTCGTAGGATGCAATGCAACGCATATGGACCTGTTCTGCGACAAGCGTCCTTCACTGGACAATAGGCTTGGTGTGCTGAATCATGGACTGGCTTGCAGCGCCCACCGCGTCTTTTTAATGCACCGGCAGCAGCGCGAAAGGCCCCGGTTGATCCACTGAGATGTGGCCGCACACCTAAGTCAGCTGTCTGCCTCCACCATGACGGGCATCATGGTGTCTTGCAGAGCTAGCGGCGGTGGGTTCTGCTTTGGTCCATAAGTCCCTCCTCCTCCGGCAGTTTCTATCATTCTCAAAAGTGTACAAGTCTAGAGTACGAGTGCGGCGCAGCTCCAGGGCAAAATCTGGCACAATTAGCTACAGCTCTCAGGTCGACAAGCTACACGCCAGGATAGCCCTCGGCATTCATCCTATTTAAACTTCGTGGCGTCGATCCCTGACTATCTAGCCTTGCTTAAGCTAGCTTTAGCAGGTGTCTCACGTCGCGCAGACTTGGCCCGACAGCCACCAAAACGAACCCGAAGGTTCCCACTACAGCGACCCAGGCACAATCCCACATATCCCGTGTGAATGTTACCTACCGACGACTCGCTTCTCCTCTAGTAGCACTCCACCCTCAATTCTCTTTCTCTTCATATATATTTTCGCTACTGAAGACGAGCTTGATCTAGCAAGCGGCTCATCTCTCAACATTGTCTTTGTCTTCGCGTTGGCAGCCGCCAATCGATCGACCTTTATACTACCAACAATACGTCGCCAACCGATACTGAGCGCCCACTTCGGCTCCACGCTGGGCAACCCGCCGCGGCCATGGCCATGAACGCCTTTGGAATTGAAGTATGGGCCAAATATGGCGTTGCCATGTTCATCATGATTGTACGATTTATAGTGCGGTGGAAGATGATAGGATGGCGGAATTTTGACGGCACCGACTTCTGGTGTGTCGTTTCTGCAGTAAGTGTTTTGTTGACCTTTGCGCAACAGGCGCAAGCAGAATTCAGATACTAACATGGGAACAGTCTTGTTATACGATTGTGTCGACCTGCGATTACCTCCTTAGCACACGTTTGTGTCCCCGTCACTATCTAACACTGATTTTGCGCTGACAAACATATATATACAGCCGGCTACCCAACCAATATTGGCTTAGACGAAGTTACAGCCATGCAAGTCCCCGACAGCCAGATTCCTGCAATTGTTGTTGGTTCAAAGATTGCTCACTTCTCATGGACCATTTATATATGTATGATCTTTTCGTTCAAGGGAGTCATGCTATGCTTGTTCCGCAAACTCGGGTACGTCCATCATACATTCTGACACTACGACGTTTTCTAACGCGCTGTTTCCGATAGCACCGATATTTGGAGGCAAGAAATACTTGTGCGCGTTACCAGCGTCATCGTTATTGTTTCATGGCTCGCCTCCGTCCTAACACATCTGCTCGCATGCCTACCAATAGAGAGGTTTTGGCAAGTGAAACCATATCCCGGTCCATTATGCACCACAAGACCGCAAAACTATTATGTTGCCGGTATTTTAAACATGGTAACGGATGCAATGATTATTGCTATCCCCATGCCCATGCTCTGGCGTCTTCAAGTGCGGTTACGCCGTAAGCTGGCTCTCGGCGCCCTTTTCTGCTCAGGCATCTTCATCATTATATGCAGTGTGCTGCGCACCATTTACTCGTTATCAAGCTTATCCGACCAAGAAACTGCCGAAGCATGGGCAGGCCGCGAAGGCTTTGTATCCATGTTAGTCGTCTCTGCACCTGGCCTCTGGCCGCTGGTGCGGAATTCAAAGTGGTTTACTTCCACGGATGATCGCTACAACGAGAATGACGGCAGCGGAAAGACAGGGAGCAAGAAGCATTCCACATTGGCGTCAATTCGCTGGCCGGGCTCTCGCAATAAACGCCCACGAGACCCTCTCGATACTGATTTCATGGACGAAGGATACCAACTTGAATCATCGCCGCCTACCCGTGGCATGGGCTCCGAGGGATTCGAAGCTCATAGCAGAGACAATATCGCCAGCGGCGATAATCGGCCATCGACCATAACAGGAACTACGAAGCACGGCAGCGATGAGGAGCTAGGTATGCCTATCACAGTAACGACAGAGTATACCATTCACCACGAGACCATCAATCCCAGCACACCAAATCCTGACAACGCAACCGCCAGACGGACAGGCTGGTAATATATCCCGTGTACATCCACACGGCCTGTATATAGACATCATTTTGAAACCTTTAGCAAGCGCGTCTTTAAATAGCATCACATGTTTCGATCAATCAGTAACAACCACATCTTGAATCTATCTTCGTTCGGCCTTAGCGATTGAAACTCCTAAACTCGTTTGCCCAATGGGTATCATAATCGTTATACAATAAAACAAGAAGAACGCCTAATATATGCAATCCTCCCAGCATAATCTTACAATCCATATCTCGTCACGCACTCCTCCCTATGCAGATCCAAGCACTGCAACGCGCACACCCTTGTACCACACTTCATACACCGTACTCGTCCCCAGTATCCACAGACCTCGCAAAACACTCGTCGAGGGTACGATCCTTCGCCATACTCATCATAGCGCCCCTTGGCCTCGCCATAGGTCAGCGCCGGTTGAGCCAGCAGCGCTCGCAGCTCTGCATCCGTCGGCAACGGCGGTACGCGCGAGCGCAGCAGTGCCTCCTTATCACCCGGATGAGCAACAGGTTGGGGAAGAAACGGTTCTACCAAAAGATCATATGTCTTCTCCACAGGCACAGGCGTCGGTCCGTCCTTCTTCGCTGTCGCCGCGCGCTTGCTCGCTGCTGCGGCCGCCGCGTTGTTCGCTTCGAGGGCCTGCAGGGCAAGGAAGTCGTCGAGATGGTTGGCAAAGTTCTTCTGAGACGTAAGGATTTTTCGGACATTCGCCGTATGCTTGACTTGTGCTATGCGTCCAGAGATTAGCATTTTCAAAGCAAGTGGCTTGACGATGATGATGATGGTACTTACGTCGCGAGGTCTTGATGGGGATTGGGATGGAGCTGTCTCTGCCTCCGTCTTTATCCAGCACATCGAGCTCCTTGCGAATTCTTGTTTCTTGTCGCGCCGTGAGATCGTTCATGGACAGCGCGCCACCAGGCGGGTTGCGTGAGCGCTTCTTGTTCTGGTTGCCACCGGCACCAGGGATGCTGGGCCTATTGTCGGGTACGTAGGCCCATCCTGGAGCGGATTTCGTTTTGGCGCTTGCCAGCTCGATTACGCCGAAATCTTTCATGATTAGAGGGGCTGGAGGCTGCGATTGCACAGCTGATGTGGTTGTGCAGTGGAAAATAGGGCGTGTTCAGGCGCGGTGTTCTGTCTGGCCCACTATGCTACAGCGCCTGAAGCTACGCAAGCAGCTACCGCTCCTCCATCATTTTTCCGGGCCGAAGCTGTGCCAGAATCCACGCATCAGCGATTCCACCTTTTTTCCACGCGCCAATTCATCTTTCGCCACCGTCTGTATATCGCCCATCTCGACCCGCCGTCTTCGATCGGATCTTTTTCACAGCTACACAAGATGTTCGCCTCGTCCAGAATGCTGTTCCGCGCCGTCGCCCCTATCGGCCGCAGCGCCTTCCACACGTCTGCTCGCCGTATGGCTGATGCTCCCCTCGTCGCCAAGAGACCGATGGGTGCTTTCCGTGGAGGGTATGTGGCCTTTATTGATTCAGTTCGAACTAGCTGCCTTTTATGCTTCCAATTGCGCTTATGTGGAGCGCCAATTGGTCGACGGCCGGTGGAAGAGTCGCCAACAGTGTTCAGAAAGCTAACCTTGTTTTCCGTCTAGACTCTTCGGCTTCCTCTTCGGCAGTGTTCTCGCCGGTAGTAGCGTTTACACCTACCTCCTTTCCGAGTATAAGATCTCCAACGACCTCCTCACCGAGGATATCTACGTACGTGGACCTGTCCAAATGCCAGAGAACGGTGCCGGCGGCGCGACACGCGCAAGTTCGGCAGACGATACGATATCAAAACATACTAACAGGTTATATAACAATAGACTCTTCAGGCCTCTGTTACCCGCTTGACCAACTACGTTAAGAGCCTCGAGCAAATAGCACAGGAGAAGAAGAAGAAGGACTAAGATGCTAGGGGAGCCGAAACGAATAACGCCGGGGTATTACGGGAATGCGCGTCACAGAAGACGATAGAGGAAAAGCATCAAATAATATCGTCTGGAGCTTGACAGAGTGGAAAACCAACTGTTGTAGGGTATAACAGTCCTGTATCAATACAAAACTAACATCTTCATGTTCATCATCTCTACTAGCAACATAGTACAACAAACCTCATAACGGGTCGGACTACAAACACATTCTAGTCACTTTGACATATCACAAAAGCGTAATGGGAACGTTCGGTGAATCATACAATGTTGGTATACATTTATCCACTAAATAAAAAAGTAGATCGGGCATCTTCATCGGCCACAACAGGCATAGAAACTCCTTTCTCCACTGGGGTCTTAATTTTCAACCCCGTCCTCTTCCATCTGTGGAAATCTTTCGTGAAAAAATGAGACATTACTTTCTTTGAGGTTTTTTTCATTTTCCTTAATGTTTTGGTTTTACAAGGCAATGGCTGCATTTACAGCTCATCGTGGTCCTCGGCCTCCTTCTTGGGCTCCTCCTTGACATCCTCAGCCTCCTCAGTGGCGGCGGGAGCGGCCTCCTCGGTAGCCTCCTCCTTGGGGGAGAGGACAGCCTTGTGAGTACCCTTCTCACCGATGAACTTCATGAGGTCCTCGACAGTGCGGGCACCCTCGTAGGTGATAGGGTTCTTCTTGTCACCAGCGGTGAAGAGCTTGATGGTGGGGAAGCCCTGGATCTCATCAGGGACATCGTTGAGGGTAGCGTCAACCTTGGCAATGACAACCTTGTCCTTGAACTCGGACTCGGCGAACTGGGTGCCGAGGTCGTCGTACTTGGGGGCAAGAGCCTTGCAGTGACCGCACCAGGGAGCGTAGAACTCAACAAGGACATCCTTCTTCTCGTCAAGGACAATCTCGTCGTAGTTCTTGGCAACGACAATGGTGACGGGGCCATCCTGAGACTCGGGGATGGGCTCGGACTTGATGGAGGGCTCGAGCTTGCCACCGACGAAGTCCTTGACGAACTTGGCGATGTTCTCCTTGGTGAGCTCCTTCTCCTGGTCGAAGGGGAACTTCTGGTTCTTGGCAACCTCCTGGATGGCGAAAGAGGGGAACTTGTCGGTCTTGAGGTTCAGGTTACCGGCGTGGGCGCCGAAGGTCTTGGCATCAATGGTACCAAAGTTAACCTTGCCCTTGAACTCCTCAGCGATGGCCTTGAAGGCGGTGCTGAGCTCAGCACGCTCCTCAGCGGTCTCAGAGAAGATGTAGGCGAGGGGGAGGCCAGCGGACATATAGTCAGCGTAGGTCTCGGGGCCAATCTCGCCAATGAGAGGGGTAGCGGCGGTCTTGGCGAACTCCTTGATCTCGTCGGCGTCGAACTTCTTACCGGGGTAGATGTTCTTGCCCTCGTCGAAGGACTTGTAGACGACGATGGCGGGGGCCTTGACACCCTCAGCCTCAGCAACAGCGGCGTCAGTGACGGCACCGAAGAGGTAGTTGTTGCGGAGCTCCTCAGCAACCTTGCCGAAGGTCTCGGTAGAGGCCTTGTCGTCGGCAGAGGTGTAGGCGACAACGACAACGTTGTCGGCAGTCTTGAAGTCCTCAAGAGTGTCCTTGTCGAGGGTGGAAACAGCGGGGAGGGACTGCTTCACCATGTAGGAGCTGATGGCACCAGCCTTGCGCTGGCCGCCGTAGGGGGAGACGTTGTCAAGGCCCTTGAAGACCTTGAGGGTAGGGTAACCCTCAACGCCGTGGTCCTTGCAGAGGTCAGCCTCCTCAGTGCAATCAATCTTGGCGAGCTTGATGTTCTTCTCCTTGAGGGTGGTGGCAGCCTCCTCGTACTCGGGGGCAAGGGCCTTGCAGTGGCCGCACCAGGGAGCAAAGACTAGATGAGGTCAGGTTAGCGATCACGATTCCAGCAATGCCAATTGAGGCGAATTGGATTGATGGGGAGCTTCTACTTACACTCAGCGAGGACGAGGTCGTTGGTCTTAACGAAGTCGTCGAAGGTGTCCTTGGTCAACTGAACGACGTCGGACTCGGTATCGGCGGCGCCAGCCAGGCCGAGAAGACCGGCCAGCATGGCGAGGGCAAGACGCTTCTGCTGCATTGTGAATGTATGTGGGGGTAAGATTGTCAGGCTAAAAGTGACAAAATTGGGGGAAAGGAGGAGAGATAGAAAAAGCAGAAGAAAAGGTGATGATGAAGAAAGAGGAAGTTGGGAGGTTTATGAGGCAGCTGAGCAAAGTAACAGGTGTCACTTTACAGTGGGTTGTTGGAGTACCGCCACCCACAGGCCCATACCCACCCACCAAGGTTGGTAGCGCCGCAGGGGTGCGAGGGGCGACCAGAGCATAGGCCCGTGTGGGGAATCAATTGAACAAGTGTCCCTTTCTCAGCGCTGCCCAGGAACCGCAAACCCAGCCAATTCCGAATCAGGGTGTCCCCGGCGGAGACAAATCTGGCGCTAAACCGGTACGAGAGAGACGGGCCTTTCTTTTGCGCAGCGACATTGTCTGCCCTTTTTTTGTTTGTTTTAGGTGAGATAACAGATGGCAGGCCCGGGTACCTGCTTAGAAATACCATCACCAGCACCAGTGGCAAACGACGTGCTAGCTACTCTTCCCGCATCACCTACCAGCCAGCTTTCTCGAACAGCCTGGTGCCAGCAAAAGCCTTGCCGTAGAGGCTTGACTCAAGCTGAGCTGCATTGGCGGGATATGCACCAATTCAGTACTCATCACAGATCCCCCCATCTGGTTGCTCAGCTGTATGCCGGTGAACCAGAAAGCCGCTACGCCCCCGTGCATGGGCGCGCACCAATCAAACCACGCACAGCGCAACGGGGCGCGGATAAGCCCACTGTACTGGAGTCGTTCTGAGAGAGATTCTCCAGTTTGTAGTCTTCTAATATCTTTATCTTGACACTATAAATGCTGATTACTTATAATAAGCTACAATTTTTTTTTGGCGAGTCAAGTTGCTATTCCATCAAGCGCTGGGTTCACCATCAGTCCACACCTCTCCTCACTGGGCCGGGTAGTTCTCCGAGGCTGTGACTGCGCCTTGACTGGCATCGGCTGCATGTTTAATGCAATATACCATGCGCATTCTTGTCTGCCTGTTTCGCATGCATGCTAGACAGTGCTGTCCTTTATTCAGTAGTACCACTCCATGTCCACAGCTGGGCTACACTGTGTAAGCATGTCTCAGACCATTCAGCCAAGGCGACATCTCCATCATAAAAAAGGTACAAAAAGTTGCAAATATGTCAGATTGTATAAATCATAAAGTTCGTTAATTTCAGCCTAATACGACTACTTTCTAAAATAGAGAGTCTAAAATATACTTTTACGCCGCAAAACGCCGCCACAAATGGCCATATAGGCATCTATCCTTCTTCCGGGTACCGCCACTCTATTTTGGGCAATTCAAGTACACCGCATCTTCTTAAAACTTAGAAGTTGAACGGGGAGGCCCAGCACGGTGGTACTGATTAGGCCACTTGACAGGTGTTTGGAGTTGGTGAGCTGTGCGGAGGACAAACTCAGGCTCGCGCAAGAATTGGCGACCAACAAGGGCATAGTCCGCAGATGGTTCATCAGCGCCTCCAGCCTGCACAACCTTCTTGGCAAACTCAGCGTCGCGGATGCCTCCAACAGCGCCGATCAAAAGAGGAAGTCCCTCTGCCTTGATAGCCTTGCGGATATGCTTGGCAAAGTCTGTCTGGAAGGTCTGAGTGACCTTGATCTGTTGCTTGTTGTTGTTGCCTCCACTGCTGACGTCAAGGACATCAACACCGAGGCCAGAGAGCTGCTTGGCAAGCTGTGTAGTCTGTTCGAGGTCCCATGAAGGCTGGCCGTTGTATTCCATCCATTCGGTTGCAGAAAGGCGCAGCCAGAGGGGCATGGTATCGGGAATCACAGCCCGGACGGCTGCAACAACTTCGCGTACAATTCGGGTTCGGTTCTCGAAGCTACCACCGTATTCATCGGTACGGTTCTGTAAAAGGAAATGTTAGTCCCATATCAGGATTATACGGTATAAAGTGCTTGCTTACGTTGCTGAGGGGAGAGAGGAAGCTAGAGATCAAGTATCCGTGGGCACCGTGGATCTCGATGACATCGAAGCCGGCCTTGACAGCTCTCTGAGCAGTCTCGGCGAACTTCTGGACGACCTGCTTAATCTCTTCCTTTGTAACTTGGTGGGGAGCAGCATAGTCCTCAGCAAAGGGAATGGTGCTGGGGCCCCAAACGTCAGTGGGCCAGCCGCCGACGCTCTCATCGGCAACGGTTTTACTGACAGTGCCGCCAATCCAAGGCGCCAAAGTGCTTGCCTTGCGTCCGGCATGGGCAATTTGAATAGCAGCCTTGGTGTTTTGGCCGTGGATATAGTCGACGATGCGGCGCAGAGGCTCAATCTGAGAGTCCTGCCAGAGACCAGAGTCTTGAGGGGTGATACGTCCGCGAGGCTCAACAGCAGTGGCCTCGACCATGACCATACCAGCTCCGTGGAGGGCAAACTTGCCAAGATGGACAAGATGGAAGTCCGTCAGGTGGCCATCGTCTGCGCTGTACATGCACATGGGAGACACAACAAAGCGGTTGCTCGTTTCCACCGAACGGACCTTCAGCGGGGTGAAAAGCGTGGGAGCGTTGACGGCATCCTCGGGGGTACCAGCTGGGGGAAACTGAGCAGGTGTATAGTAAGGAATGCCTTCAGCACCCTTGTTTTCATATGTGACGGAGCCCATTGCTGTAGAGTATGGTCTTTTGTGTGTTGAGGAGGGGAATGAGGGGCAAAGCTGGTTGGAGATGGATCGTTGGTATAGCAAGGCAGACGACGCAATTGAGTATGCAAATGGAGTTCCTGGAAAAGAGAATCTAACCCGGACTGTATGAAGCGCCTTTGAAAGCTGATGCATAGAAATTTTCGAGTCAAGAGGACTTGCGGACTATCGGGATTTATATTTTCTCAAGTTGGGGTAGCAGTATTTACCCTCAGTTCGGCTACATGAAGCTTGTGGAGACAAGCCCGGTTATTGGTCCGATCTCAATTCTGTATTGCTAAGCAGCCCGTATGACGTGACCGACTATCACTGGTGGATGCATGCTATTAACAATCAACCATTAGTAAAAATGTACTGACGAGATGGCATTGCTGAAGAAGGCTTCAAGATAGCTCTGCATGTATAGGCCATCTATTAACCGTGCTTGCTGCTTACACCTGCGGAGTTTCCTTTCTCGGAGCCGCAGATCAAAGCACTCAAAGAAAATTAGTGTGGTGTTGGTGATGACAGGAGTAGTCGTAATAGTAGTAATTGGTTCGATCTTTTGTCTAACATAAAAAGTCTAATAAAGCAACAAAGTCTATATCTTACTGTAGCAGCGGTATGTAGTCCGCCTCTCTCTTGTTACATTCTATCTCATCTGTTACATGTCGAGTAACTGTTTATTTGGACTCATCCCAAGTGGGCTTCAGGTTCCAGCGCTGGGACTCGGAACCGGCAGCAAAAGGAACACCGAGCTCGAAAAGAGTGACAATGACGGCAGAAAAGTCCTTGAAGAACTCGTCGTTGGACTTGGCGTAGCGCTCGACGTGGGGGCGGAACTTCTTGTCCTGGACGAGGGCCATGTCGGTGGGAAGCATCATGAGGGTCTTGGTGGTCTTGTCCTCGTACTGCTTGGGACCGTTCCACTTCTTCCACTGCCACTTCTCCTCGAGCAGGAGGCGGTAGTAGTCGTTGGTCAGGATAGTAGGAGAGAAGGTCCAGGGGCCAGTGAAACCAGAGCGATCGGTGTGGCAGCGACCAAGGGCGTGGGCACCAGAGAGAGCGACAATCTCCTGGTCGTTGAAGCCCATACGGCCAAAGATGTTGCGGAGGTGGTCGTGGCCCTGAGTGGCGTCGGGAAGACGGCCATCAGGAGTGCAAGCGGCAGCCTCACGGTCACCACGGCCGGGGCGGTAGGGGATGATGGGGCCCTGCATCTCCTGGATAGCGCAAACACCAGCGAGGATCCAGAGATCGGAGTAGGTGATCCAAGGGTACTTGGCTATACGAGTGTGTTAGTAAATTGAGGCAATTGGGGGTCGTTGGGGACCGTCAATCTTACCCTTGATAGGCTCGAGGAAGTCGCGGGCAGTCAAAAGACCAGCGTTGGCGCCGTGGCCGGACTCGGGGTTGAAGCGCATAGTAGCACCGTTGCTGCCACCAGTGCCGGTAGCCTTGTCAAAGGTACCACTGGCGTGCCAGGCAAGACGGAGGAGGACGGGGCCGAAGCTGCCGTCATCGTAGTCGTCCTTCTCCTCGAGGCGAGCAGCAATGTCGTTGTAAACCTTTTGGTAGTCGGCCTGGGTGGGAACCTTGGTGAAAGCGGCAGAGGGGGCGCCATTGGAGGTGTAGTACCAGAAGCCAAGACCACCAGCAGCAGCGGCGGCGATGATGTAAGGAAGGCTAGAAGAAGACTTCTCGGGAGCAGGAGCCTCGGACGAGTAGGCGCGGCGACCCTGCTGACGGAAGGCCTGGCGAGGGAGTGTAGAGAAAGCGTTGCGGCCAGTGGCGCGCGTGGCGATGCGGAAAGCTTGACGAGCAGCCATCTGTAGAATGTAGCTGTTAGCAATCATGAACAATGTATGGTGGTGGTGAAGCTGTTTGGGCCTCGGCAGTGGGAAAGGTATAGACGGCAGTCTACACTACGAACCTTTGAATAGCTTTGCTTTGTGAGTTTGGGAAAGGAGTGTGAAGGAATAAAAAAACAAACGAACTGGAAAAAGCTGGAAAAAGGGAAAAGAGGAAAGAAGCAAACGCGCGACGATGAGCAACGGGAAACAATGCCGAGCTGGATTCCGAGGGAGCCCGACGGGGGGCCAAGCGGGCAGCTGCGCGAGACGGCGCAGCAGGTGAAAAGCAACTGTAAGAAAAAAAAAACACCAATTACAATGGCCGCAAATGAGAAATTGGAGCACGCTGAGTGGCTCTCGCGGTATGGCTCGTTGCTATGAAAAAAAAGATAGACCCATTTCCCAGCGGGTCCACGTGGGAACTCAGCGCTGCCCTTGGAGTAAAAGCTGACTTTTTTTTTACTCTTACGTTACTGCATTTGGTCCATTGCCGATTGGGCTGGCTGTTCTGAGCATAGTCAAAGCTGCTGGAGGCTATCCAGGTGCATCGATCCTGGTAATTGAGACTCTTGACATCTCAAGACGGCCCTGCAAGATCTGTTTCAGCTTGCCTGCGTTCCACGTTGGCATTGTGAGACCCTTGCTAAAGCTGGAATTTGTTTCCGATATCGCAGAAATGGTGTCACTCGTAATCGGAACATGCTTGGCTTGATACTCACTTTAAAGTCAAATTCTCTCCGTTAAAGAATGGCTTGTGAATTTCGTTGCTGTACAACGCTCGTCATTTGCACGCTAGTGGAGCCCACGCCTTACCAGGAACGCACAGTGTGCGCTGCGTACCTTACAGCGCTCTTCACACTTGCGACGCACTGTAACCCTCTTCCGTTATCACGCCACATCTGCCCGCTGTTGCGCCGAACCTCCGATGCATGGCCACATTGGGGGCGCCATCTTTATCCAACTGGTCTGAGGTTCTGGTGAAGGATATATATAATTCAATAAAATTCTTTGATTCAACACGTACAGTATTCTGCATTTGCCGACTAGCTTGGGCATTTCAGAATATAACTACCGGTTCCTAGGGGCCACCGCGTATAATACAAATATCCGTGCATCATACACAAAATTGCAATTGCCCCGATAACATACATTTACGTTTCGTTTTCATCCAGATCTGGATGACTTATATATCGCCAAGAAGTCTGGTTCTCAATGACTCGCGTCTTGCTTTCTTCTCCCCACCATTGTAGGTATCGAATTGTAGTCGCGTTAGTTGAAGTCAACTTGGCCCTGCGCATCTGCGGCTGGTTCGCCCTGCGCCTCATAAAAGGCCAGGTATCTTGTTTCGGCTTTCAGGCGTGATGCCTCATCTAGCTCAGCTGAAGACCCGTTTTGCTTAGGATTTGATGATGCTTTGAATGACACTGATGCTGGGCCAAACATCTCTCTGTCCACCTGGATAAAGAGCTTCATCGCGTCCTTGCCACCTTGTTGAACCAGGTACGACATGTAAATCTGGGCAAGCTCCTTCTTAGTAGCCAAAGAGAGGCTGCTTTTCGAACGCATCTCGTCGAATATATGCTTCATGTTCTTGCTCTGATCGCTGCCGCTCTGGTCTAGCTCAAAGTTAAACCATCTATCCCAAAAGATGCGACTATCCGAGTATTGCTGGACATTTTTCGTGAAGATGCCACGGATTTCTTCCGCAGAGCCTTGGGAGTTTCGGAGTAGGTTAGCCCACTCGCCAACCACGGCGCCCTTAGTGTAGAGATCGAGGTTGGGGGAGTCAAGCTGGTCTTTGAATACTTGGCAGGCGGCTTCTACGCCGTTCTGTCGACGCTGAACATTGGCCCATGATACAATAACCTCCAAGCAGCTTGGTAGCTGTATCAGTATTGAAGCGTGGATATCCAACGCCACATCGACACGCCCAGTGCTTTCTTCAAAGTATGCCCATTGCATCCGAATGCCAGGGCGGCTAAGCGGAACAAACATTGTAGACGCGCGGATGTAAATATTGCGTGCGTCTTCATCCTTGTTACCTTGCGCAGTCATCCATCTTGCGTAACGGAACCAAAATTCGTCGTAGAATGCGCATGTTACCAAGCATCGCTCGTAAAGGCACACAATTCTTTGAAAGTCGCCCTCTGATTCCTCAAAGTCCAGGTATTTTCTCCAATTCACAAGTTGTGATTGCTCCAGCTCAGTGACGTGAAAGTAGGGGCGCTTAATCTCCGACTCGTATGTCCATCGCTTAGTGACCTCGTTTTGAGTCAATGTAAAGACCTCGTAGTACATCGTATCAATCTTGGCACGGATATCTCGCTCGATTTCGAGTTCCGGGCGTGCTGATCCACCTTCGGCTGCAACTTCTGATTGAAAGCGGCTCAGCGTATCTTGATCAATAGCCGCAGCCAGCGGCTGAGAGTGGATCAGGCCACGAAACCGTTCATAGTATCGTGCATATTGGTGCATTGGGATTCGGATGATTCGCGCATGAATCGCAAAAACTCGATCCTGAGCATCCTGGCGCTCCTCATATTCAATGTACTTGTCCCAAAACGGGTGGGCTAGAAAGTCCAAGCCCACAAAGCTCGAGCCTCGTTCGAACAGTCTAGACAGACATGTTAGCAAACTAGTCTTTATATAAGAGGGGCTACAAGATAGATGGGGGAGGGATAGGGATGTAAGTACACAAAGGGATATGGTCGTGGTAACATGGCATGAAAGTGGTTGTTGTTGGAGGACCTGCGATGGTGTTCAGGTATCCAAGCGTTGTGCAGTGAGCGCGCGGGGACATTGGCAAAATCTGGTTATAGCGTGAGAGAGCGTCACGGTTTCAAGGAGCCATAAAGGCAAATCTCACCAGCCAGCTGTCTGACTACGTATCTCGTAATGAATTCGTAGACCGGGCAATGCCCAATGCAAATCTCAGGCCGTGACGCTGTGGTGCGCAAAATGTGGGTTAAGGTGCAGTAAAGAGGGGAATTGTTGCGGTATCGATGACTTACTCTCTCACGATGCGTGGGTCGTGGGTAGTCTCCATCGTGAAGGAGCAATAATCTGTCCAGAGGTCTACTGAATGTGTGATGCTGGCGCAGCCTCGCTCATAAACCTGTTGTTCTCGTTAGCGGGCTGCCTGGCACGCGAGAATGAAGTTGCTGTTAACGCACCATCTGAGCTGATTCGGGGCCGGCAATATTAAATTCAAGGTCGGCATACTTCTTCCAGTACCCGAACAACAGAGGGAATTTGAAAAGAAATCGGTCGTAGGCGTCGCGAAAGCAAGCAAGTGCTTGCGGGCTGGAGTTGCGATTCAAGCCCCCCTCGAAGGTTTCGCAAGCTTTGATCAGGCCCTCCCAGTTTTCAAAGTTATCCGCATCGGATTCCTATATATGGCATATCCATTAGCGACCGCAACTGCTGAAAAGAAGAGCGGCTTTGACGAAAACCTACCAGCAGAGCGTTGCACTTTTTGATGGACGCGTACTCTTCGTCAGAGCCGCCGTACGTGCCGTAGTCGCTCATGGTGACCGTGAATAACGTGGAATATACAGAATACTATTTGCGAATCGCTATGGCCAATCAGGCCGGCGGATTCAATTGCTTTGCGACTGGCGACGGAATAAATGCACGAAGCAGATGCTGAGGTTTGCGCCGAAGCGTTTTTGGCAAGGTTGGTAGCTTTGGCAGTTGAGGATATGCTACCTATGGCTGATGTTCCCTTGTGCGTATTTAGTAAGTGGAAGTACGTGTGGCCAATGTACCTCCAAATAGCCTGCTGGATGAGTCAGCATCCACAATGGTATTTCAACGGCGCTGAGGGGCCAGCAATTTTTTGCTTCTCCAAAATATGGCTAATGATGATTCCCCATGAATAAAAATATGATAGGAAGAGACTGAACGCTTTCCAATGGAGAGCATGATCTCATTGACATAATCTGAAGCCAAATTATCCCTTTTATTCTTCTTCTCCTACCTCCCCTTCGGCAATCCGCCCAGTCTTTACGATTCCGACAAGAACGGCGCAGTTCTCTCCATGACGATGCTCACGACAAACGGTTGAAAGAATACCAATCTTTCTTTTATTGTTTTATTGTTTTGAATGTTTAAATGTAGCTTACCTTTGGCTTTGCCAATGGTCTCTTGTGGCTATGCGTAACAGACTGGTACTTGTGCTGCCGTTGCATAGTACCTTTAGCAGGCGACCAACGCTTTAGCTTATTCGTTTTGGATTTGACCCCCTTTAAGCCTGTGATATGCTATGCCCCAATAGCATGTCTCTCCCAGATTTCAATCCGATGTAGTCCTGATTCGCTCTACTTGATCGCTGTGTAGTCCGTATCCATGAATCAGTGCCATACAAAAGGCCAGGGTGCTATAGGAAGCGACTGTGAAACACTACTGAAACTTGACATCATTTCATACTATCGTTATTGCAAGAAATGCAATAACAATGTTCCAGTATTTAAAAACTGGGCGTTGTATCTGGTAGACAACAGCAGGCACTGTAGCTCCTGGTGGTGGGGCGCTCTAAGCTGAGCTGGCCGACGTCATGCCGCCGCCAAGTAGCCGCGCACAAGCCTCGCTTCCAGGTCCAACAACGGTGCCACCATCGCCGGTTTTGCAACATCTGTTTTCCAGTTTTATCCAAGCCAGTTACATAGAACATCCGAGATATGCGCGGAAGATAACGGCGTCCGTATTCCGTCCAACACCACACGGAACAGCATACCGCTACTCCCACAGCAATCCGCCGACTACGGATCGAAGTCGTCTACGATGGATGCCTCGAGCAGCCAGTGGAGTACGCAATCGCCCGAACAGTCGTGTGAGCTGTACATTCGAGACTATCCGCATCGATCGATAGCTATTGTATCGGCAACACATGCCCTGATTCTGCGGTATAGCTCCACCGCTACCGAATTCAGTGCGAATGGCTCGCAGGTCTCCCTTCCGTCCACTCGCTCGCATGGGCATGGCAACGTAACTGCTGCAAAATGCATGGTGGAGTTTTCACCATTGTCCCAAGAGCTTCTTAAGGATTACCGCCCTTTAACAAGCCGGCCGATATATGGAACCTTGGGACTGATATCTATCAACGGTGATGTCTTTCTATCAGTCATCAATCATGCCGCGAGAGCAGCCACGGTTCGCCCTGGAGAGACGGTGGAGAGGATTCTTAGTGTATCGTTTTACTGTCTAAGCAGTGCAGACTACGACGATGTCGTCCCTCTCGACTCCCTCGACCCCGACCTCTCCGACGGCTCGTCCATTCATAGTCGCGATGGCCCGTATGCACAAGGACTTGGCCGACGAGATATACCTACAGAACACCATCCGTGCCATGATCTGCGAAAGATTTTGAGCAATGGATCATTTTATTACAGTACTGACTTTGACGTCACAACCCGACTACAAGAACGGTAAGCCTTTCTCTGTATCTGTGCGATGGATGTTAGCTCATATGAAGTCGCAGACCCGTTAACTCGAACTCGTTCCAAATTGATGACTTTGACGACACATATCTTTGGAACTCATATATGATTAGCCCTTTGGTACAGTTTCGATCACGCCTTATGCCTCAAGAACAGGCCGCACTAGACAAATCTCGCATCCTCACCTCCGCTATCCGAGGCTTCTGCAAGACAATGACAATACCCCAAAGTGGATGTCCATTAAAGGGCAACACGGGCCGGGCATCTCTTTTGACCCTGATATCGAGGTTATCTTGTCGTAGAGCAGGAACTAGGTTCAACGCGCGTGGAATGGACGACGATGGCCATGTTGCCAACTTTGTTGAATCAGAGACCGTCTTCTGGAGCCCATCGGGGACAGTCTTTTCGTATGCTCAAGTTCGAGGCTCTATACCTGTATTTTGGGAGCAGGCTGCGGATTTGATACCTGGCCGCCAAAAGATTACCCTTACGAGATCGCCGGATGCAACACAACCCACGTTCAATAAGCACTTTGAGGAGCTGGAAAGAGAGTACGGCGCGGTTCACATCATCAACTTACTAAGCAACACGAAGCCTGGTGAAGTTGAACTTGGAGGCGCTTACAAGATTGGCATACGAAACTGTCCGCTTAGCCAGCCTTCACCAGGTGGCTCAGCTGACAATGTTCTATTGCGAGAGACTCACTACGATTTCCACGCAGAGACAAAGGGTCCTGCTGGTTATGAGGCAGCGAGGGACATTCGCCGATATATTGAACAGTCTACGGATAGCTTTGCTTACTATCTAGCAGACGAAGCTGATGATACGGGTCGCCATGACAAAAAGGGCGGCGTCTCCCGCTTGATCGTCGTTCTCCAGCAAGAAGGGGTATTCCGAACCAACTGCTTGGACTGTTTGGATCGAACCAATCTCATCCAAACTATGATTTCACAAATGGCGATGGAAACGTTCCTCGAACACCGAGGAGCGAGAGCTAGCCCTGATTTTTGGATGCGCCATTCGACACTTTGGGCTGACAATGGTGATTCGTTATCCAAGATTTATGCGGGCACTGGGGCTCTAAAGACTTCATTTACTCGATCCGGCAAGATGTCGCTCGCTGGTGCAGTAGCCGATATGCGCAAGTCGGTCCAAAGAATCTATCACAACAACTTTGTGGATCCATCCCGTCAACATACAATTGACATGCTCTTGGGAAGGCTCATAGGTCAAGCCCCTGTTGATCTGTTTGATCCAATTAGCGACTACGTATCAGCTGAGCTGAACAAACGCAGCCAAGAGTTCACCAAGGTCGAGTCTATTAGTATATGGGCCGGCACGTTTAATCTAAATGGTAAAACAGAGGGCTTGAATCACGACCTTTCCTCCTGGCTGTTTCCACCAGCAGTAAAACCTCAGCAGCTGCCTGACATATATGTCGTCGCATTTCAGGAGATTGTCGAACTGAGCCCACAGCAAATTATGAACAGTGATCCCTCGCGGAAATATCTTTGGGAACAGGCGGTCCAACGAACCCTCAACCAACGACAATCAGACTTGGGTGGCGAGCATTACGTGCTCCTACGGAGCGGGCAGCTAGTCGGTGCAGCGCTCTGCATATTTGTTAAGGCATCGGCACTACCCAGCATAAAAAATGTGGAAGGCAGTGTAAAGAAGACTGGTCTCTCGGGAATGGCCGGCAACAAGGGTGCCGTGGCGATCCGGTTAGACTACGCCAACACCCAGATTTGTTTTGTAACTGCCCATCTTGCAGCTGGCTTTGGTAACTATGATGAGCGAAACCGAGACTATACAACGATCCATGAAGGGTTGAGATTCCAACGAGATCGAGGCATAGACAACCACGACACGGTTATTTGGCTGGGAGATTTCAACTACCGTATTGGACTCGGATCAGATGCAGCCAAAAATTTCATTAGGAACGGCGACCTCGGAAGCTTGTACGAAAATGACCAACTCAACCTGCAAATGGTTGCTGGCCTTGCTTTCCAGCACTACTCAGAAAACCGTATTACATTTATGCCCACATACAAATTCGATGTTGGAAGCGATACATATGATAGCTCGTAAGTTCGGACCAGCACACACCTTCTCAAGACCCCTACTAACGTTTTCATAGTGAAAAGGCGCGAATTCCTGCGTGGACAGATCGCATTTTGCGCAAGGGTACGAATCTGCGTCAGCTCGCATACGACTCTGCACCTCTACGGTTTTCAGACCACCGACCCGTATATGCCACATTTGACTGTGATGTGAACATTGTCGACCAAGGTCGTCGAGAGAAAATTAGCCAGGAGCTATACTTGAGGCGCAAGCATGACATTGGTGATACCACTGCTCACATTGGAGATGGTAATGAAACCGACGATGAGGATCTGATTGGCTATGACGCTATTGAGCCTGGGCTTCCACCTGCGAGTTCTGATCGACAGAAGTGGTGGCTTGAGGGTGGACAGCCTGCAAGAGCACAGGTTACCAGTTCCAATGGGCATAATGGACACATGACGATGCTGAACCCCAATCGGCCGTCGAATCCGTTTGGCAAGACGACAGAGCCAGACTGGGTGAAGATATCGCGAGCTTCTCCAGCCTCGACAACGTCGGCATCATCCTATGGACAATCTACGAGGTCTAAAACTGTTACATCAGCAAACAACAGCCGCCGGTTACCTCCAGCATATGACCCTGATTCGCTTCCTGCCAAAGTTGGAACTATGAAGAACAACGGGGGAGATGCAATTCAGCGCAAAGCGGTACCCGATGGAACAGAACCCCCACCACCGCCACCCCCAAGACGAACTGGCACAGCTTCAAGCCAGGCGATAGGGATACAGCCACTTGCTTATCGCCCAGGTTCATCAGCCTCATCTCATGCGTCAAGCATATCACAGCAGACCAAGGACGGCAAAGGCCCGCCACCAATTGCGAGGAAGCCGGCGTATTTGAGCACAAGTGCCGCCAATAGCCCAGTTGCTGCAGCTTCATCCCAAGGGCTGCCATATGTGAACAATACAGCTCCAGCACTTGCCCGGCGACCTGTGGCAAGCACCGCCAATGTAGATTTACTGGGTGGACTAGATGAGAGCGGACAAGTGGGCGAATGGCAGAGCCTACAGCCCTCCACAAAATAGATGAGGATTAGCAGCTACGAATAGGAAAATGACTTATGCACCATTGACCTCTAACCGCGTAGCGTACATGATACAGCCATTGTTACTAGCAGATCCAAGGAGATTTGCAACGGCGCATCTTCTAGCCCCGATTAAGGGGCGGTTTTGGGAGAAACGGCATCCACGTTGCTCGGCTCTTATTGAGGGTCCCTGAAGAGCAAGGAACCTGAGAAGTGTGTGTAGCATCCGAGGTGACGGTAGGTCGCTAAGACATGTCCAAAGCCAGCTTTTTGCTTCTGTAGCCAACAAGCTTCAGCTACGCCAAGGCTGACAACAAGAGAGTGGCAAGGTGAGCCTACGCAAGCCGTCTTAGTCTCGGTGCCGCACCACTTTTGAACAGAGCAAACTCTCTCAGACTTGCAGATAGATTGGCCTGTGCCCGTTGAAGAGCATCGGCAAACAAGCAACAAGGGCAGGTGTGGAGACGGATATACAGCGGACAGCAAGGTGACTTGACTGGTAGGGTCGCAAGGAAAAGGATGTCACCACCCGCACTTCATCTCGCTGCTTGTAGTTGCAGCATCACGGCGCGTGCACCGCCCTCCCCTGTCGTCACTGCCGATGCAGTACTGTGTATATATGTACAAAACCCGTCTTTCTATCTATCTCGTATGCATCAAGAGGTCAAGCGATGCGCCACCTTGGCTGCCTTAGGGCCATCAGCAGCTCCCTACTGCCGCTGCAGCTGGCAAGTCCCGAGACACCTCTAGCAACGCGAGTTTTTTGGTGGCTGTCGGCCGGCTGCCGTGCGCGTTGAAAGGGCATCTTGGCGATTTGCGCTTTTCAGTACAGACAGACGGCCCAGGCCTTGGTTGCAAGCGGGGATGTGCAGCACTCGGGACGACGCTAGCTGGCCGCCGAGCGGTACCGTACGATGAGAACGCAAGGCCGAGGGCGCACGTCAGTGGTCTGAGTCGTGGACGTGGCGATGGTATTTACCGGTGCCGCCTAGAAAGTCTATTGTTGATTTAGCAGCGGTGACGTTCGTTTGCTCGTCAGATTCAGAGCGGTGATCACTTCAAGCGAGGCGTTCTGTCCCCCTTGTGGTGTTTGTCTGCAGCGAACCCTACACTTTGCGCAGAATCCCTGCTTGCTTGCAGCCCGTGATGCGCTCATCCGCGATTTGATTTGCGCACCACCTTCAGGGCCTGTGTGGTCCAGTCCCAGTGGATCAAATCGATGCCTTCGGCTAGCGGGCGCCACGGCCTGTGATGGGTCACCGCGCACTATTACTTGCCACTAGCGGACAGCGCTGCGCAACAAAAGGGGGGGAGCGGGCGCCAGGCTGGGGAGATAACAGCAGATGGCGCTAATGCAGATGTGCACGGTGGCAAGCCTGGCGGGTCTGTCTGTTGTTCGTCTGGACGCGCTGAGGAGAGCAGACCGACCGCTAATTTGTTCACTGTGCGTGTGTGCAGCGCTGTAGCGGACTGCTGTGTGTGCCCGGGGGTGCTGGGTTAGGTACCGTACCGTAGCACGCTGCGACAGCGGAATGGGCCCAAGTTGCCTGCCCACTGTAGATGCAACGGGGAGACACAGTGTTATCGGTGCTGCTGGTGGTGGTGCTGGTGCTTGTACTTTATTTACTGTTCTAAGCGAACGTGCAATATATTCCGACAGTTCTTTTCTTTTCTTGTCGGTGGTTAACGAACAAAGCAAACTAGCGCTCCCCTTTGTTAAAAGCTTACCCGCGTGTCTAGCTGTCTACCTGCGCTGTTCCATTTCAAAAAGCCCAATACCACCACCACCACCACCACCACCACCACCACCATCGTCATCCCCCACCCCGCCCTGGAACTGGAACGGCCTGGGTCCCAGCACCCAACTCGACTCGAGTCAAGGCAATCGCCGCTGTCGCATGACCGCCCTCCACAATCAACAGTGGCCACAGCGCATCACAGGATCCGCCCACAGCGCGCACCACGCAGGGAGCCACCTTGGTTGGCCACCTATCGCCGTCGCTGCCTGTGGTGGTGTTTTTGTACTGTTTTTTTTTTTATTTAATTGAATTATTTTTTGACAAGAAACGCTAAAAAAGATCCCGCCCTCCCGTCTTTCCTTTCTCCTGTGAATTGTACTTTTCTTTAGTCTTCAATCATCAGCCTTTTTTCTTACTCGTCGTCCGAATCCGGCAACCAACAGTGTGTGCTTATTTTTACAGCGGTCGTCCACAGCGGCTAAGTTAGCCAAGAAAACTTAACGCACCCTGCAACCTACGAACGCCTTTGCGGTTAAGCTTTTCTTTTGGCCTGTGACTCTTTCCACCAGTCCTCGGCTACCAGAGAGGCGTCCGTCGTGTCTTTGTATTCTACCATCCTACAAAGCACAAGCGCCATCCTCTTTTTTATTTTGTCCTCTTTCTGCCATGAACTGCTGGATGCCTCTCTTCTCGCCCAATTAGCAACCCCCAGCCTTTCCATCGACCACCGCTGCACCATCTTGGCCTCGAACCCTGCCGCCCCCTGCGCTTGTCCCGCCTGCTCTCCTCACCCCCAAAAAGAAGAGCGCCTCCACCTCCGCCTTTTTTTTCCTGGCCTCAGCGCTGGAGCCCCCGAGACACCAACAGCCCTGACTCGAGCTCTACATTCCAGACTTTGCGGTATTCTTTTCTAATTTTAATCCGCCTTTGTATTCGTCGTCATTGTTGTAAAGGAGTCAGTCAGCCTGCGGATCTACGCCATATATCTGCTTCCTTTATAATCCCAACGACATCGCCTGCACTCCTTTCGCCTAAATCGACGCCTGATCGCCACATCCTTCATCCGATCGGCGACAGCAGCAACAGCAACACCATCAAACATCATGGCGGACGGCATTGAAGTCTCAGAGGTGGTCTACCCACCCATCTCTGCCTCCAAGCAGAACCGCATCAACATCTGGCGAACAGAGGTCGCTACGGCCCTGCTCCCCGCCGACAACGCCTCTGTCGCCTCACCCTCCGACTCGTGTGCTCCGTCATCCTCTACAACATCAACAAAATCATCGTCCTTTTCTCGCCGGTCTGCTCTGCTGGCTCGCGGCCGCAACTTCTTCTCCGGCATCGCTCGCCGCCTCTCTGGCAACCATCGCGACGCAAGGAGCGAGACCAGCGATGGCCCGATCCGTACAGAAATGTACACAACCCTACGACCAGACTACATCCCCGGCAATGTCGACTACCAGCGCCTGCTTGCCACGCACAACGCAGCAGACGAAAATGGAGAGGTCTCGCTAGGCGAAAGCAACCTTTCTGGCCGCGATGCCGCCTTACGAGAACGTCAAGACCGCCTAAGACGAGCAGCTAAGCTGCTCCAACAACCGGCCCTCAACAAGGCCCCTGTACCAGTCATCGCCTGACCGCCAACCACCCATGCTTCGATCAAGCGGTACACACTGCATCACGATTTTACAATATTCACGATTTACCACGATAGCCTGAACACGTTCTAGGTCAGTCCGATACACAAATCGGCCCCCTCAACGTTCATGGCACGGCATTCATTCATTTTTCTTTTTGTTCCTTTTCTCCTTTGGATTATTGGCTTCCCACGTTTATTCATTCCCCCTTTAGTTTATCATCAGCGTTGGAGTATGCCATTTTGATATATATATGTCTCATCAGAATCTTTTTTTTATTGGCTTACCTTGTCTGGAAGACATGACAAGGGTACATCACATATACATTATACCCCCAAAGAGGTTGTTTATTCTTATTTTTACACGGCTACCTGATGGGTTTTGAGCTTGCCCGGTGTTTTCATATGCCATAGAGCATGGCACCTGTAATGCGGACGGAATTCAGGGTATGCATCTAAGTCGTTTCTAGTCATATTGTCAACGAATATGAAGCTATTTTCACTCTACTTCTGTCCCATCTTGACCTCGTAGTTACTGGTTCACATCAAATTATCACAGTAGGAAAAGTGTTTGAGTAAGTATTTTGCAATTTTTTGTATACTGCGTTATAGAAAGGGTAGAACGAGTCCCTCACTGTCCCCTATCCCAAGTTCCTGCTTCGTAATACAGGCAGCCAACAACAAAGCTGTCAACGCCACTTGTAATCGACGCGAAGAAACTCTTACTAGAAAGGAGGAGAAAAGGCTGTTCCGCAGTCAAAGTATAGTTGCCAAATGGTTGGAGACAAAGGGAACAAACAACAAAAGAAACGCGACAAAAAGCAACATAAACAATAACAGACGAGTAAATGGAAGCAGGAAAGACAAAAGTGTTTCTGTTTCTTCAACATTTCCTCCAGTAGCAGAGATAGAGGATTGGTCCCGCAAAGGAATCAACCCATCATGTCCCTATGTCCAAAGAGACCTCTGCCGGAGGATATGAAAGACCAGAAAATATCCACCGCCCACGCCTTTACACGTCATTCTCTTTCCCAAATGAAACCATAAATCCGTTGCCGTCCTCATGCCGCATTGGCACAAGTACAATAGCAAAAAAGTTCACAGCTACGCCAAACCAGCCCAGCCAAATACCCATAATCGGCGGGGATTCTAAACGCATCCGCAAAACGCGGGACCACCTGTCGCATCAAACAGTGGCTAAACAAACAAGAAATAGGAGCATCCGTGCCTCAATTTCACGCATACCTCCTCTTCTCGCTGAGAGATTCGGAATATGGGAGGGGAATTTAAGAAGCAGCAGCGGGAGCGGGCTCCTCAGCAGCAGCCTCGGCAGGCTTCTCGGCGGCCTCAGCCTCCTCCTTCTTGGGGGCCTCAGCAGCAGCACCCTCAGCCTCGGCGCTGTCGGATGAGGTCCAGAGGGTGAGGTTGTCGCGGAGCAACTGCATGATCAGAGTGCTGTCGCGGTAAGACTCCTCAGACAACGAATCGAGCTCAGCGATGGCGTCGTCAAAGGCCTGCTTGGCAAGGTGGCAAGCACGGTCGGGAGAGTTCAGGATCTCGTAATAGAAGACCGAGAAGTTCAGGGCAAGGCCAAGGCGGATGGGGTGGGTGGGGGTGAGCTCGGTCTGAGCGACGTCGGTAGCGCTCTATATAACAAAACCATGTCAGTCAATGCCTTTCTCTTGTAAAATAATTTTGTGTGTTGAAGCTTCAGCGCTGCATTTTGAAGCGCGCAGTCCAATTTTCACGTACCTTGTAGGCCTCGTGGGCGTCGGTGGCAGCATCCTTACGCTTCTCACCAGAGGCGAACTCGGCGAGGTAGCGGTGGTAGTCACCCTTCCTAAGCAGGGGTATTAGTAAAGCGATTCCTCCTCGGAGAGACTTCGGGATTGAAAAACATACATCTTGTGGTAGAATACCTTGGACTCGCCAGTGGCGGCGTTGGGGATGAGGCTCTCGCTGAGGACGTCGAGGACATCCTGGCAGACCTTCTCGAGCTCGAGCTCAATCTTCTGACGGTACTCCTTGATGGTGGGAACATGCTTGTCGGAACCCTTGGACTCCTCCTTCTGCTCGATGGAGGAGATGATGCGCCAAGAGGCACGGCGGGTGCCGACGACGTTCTTGTAGGCGACGGAGAGCAGGTTGCGCTCGTCGACGGTGAGCTCACCGCCAAGCTTGGCAACCTCCTTCATGTAGGTAACCATCTCATCGTAGCGCTCAGCCTGTTCGCAGAGGCGGGCGAGGAAGGTTTTGCTAGAAAAACGACAAAAGTCAGTATTAAAATCCTTGTTACAAACGCGTTCGCTCGTTGATGGCGGCGTCCTGGCATTGGCGGGGTTGCTTTCAATCCAGGGGCGACGGTGAAGCGACTTGAGAGACGAACCTTTCACGCTACAAGACAGAGAAAAAGTTAGTTTATGTTCAAGACCAAGAGAGTAAACAGTGGCAATCATGCGATATAAACACCGTGTGCAGCAAAAAAATGAGCAGCAGACACTCGAATTCGACAGCACGGCCATGGCGGAAGACACGGCGGCAGCGGCATCGAGAGAGGGGGTGTTGGCATAAACGAGTCAAGGACAAGTACGAACCTCAGTAGCCATTTTTGTGATAGGTTTTGGTGTGTGGGAGGGAAAAGAAGAGAGAGTAAGGGGGTTTGTGGTATCAAAGAAGAGGAAAAAACGAAGTGTGGAAATAAAAAGACGCGGGTGTTCGATTCACGAGATTCGAGGCGGGATGGTAGCGGAGGAGGAGAAAGAGGAGATTTGATGTTTATATTTTGAGCTGGTGGATTCGCTGAGAGGAGAGGGGCGGGGGGGGGGAGGCGGGGGTGCTGGCAACCAAGCAAAGGCTCAAAGTGCAGGCAGGACTGCGTAGGCGGCGTGCGTGCACAGAAGTTTTTTTCTTTCTCTGCGTTTCTGCCAGCGCGTAGTTTTAGTGGAGTTGGCAGGGCGGTACAGCGCCTGTAACGCCTGGACTTTCGGGTAACAGGTCACTGCGCTGTTTTTTTGTGGACCAAGCGGGCGTGTTCACTGGTGTCGCTTCAGCTGTTGGCTGGCTGCCGCCTTGTTTGACGCTGCCCTGCTTCACTCCGGGTTGCCATTGGCGGGAATAATAAAAACCATTAGTTCAAGTCGTCATTCTGTTTGTCTTTGGTACCTGGCATCAGGGTCTTCTTTTTCTTATTTTTCACTGGCTCTCCTGCCTTCCATCTTGCCTGTGGCCTGTTCTCCGCGGCCCTATTTCCCCCTCTCTCTCTACAGTAATACCAAGTATTAGCGGGCGACGGGTAACGCTGCCCGCCTTGCCGCCCCCGCTACACGGCTAGGCTCCTCTCCCTTCCACGTCTGCTCCCCTCTTTTTTTCCCACCAAATTTCCAGTTGATTTACGGTGCGGTGAACACGCTGTGATGACTTTGTCTTGCATACTATTGCAGGTAAACTGGGTGCCCAACTAGGGGCTAATGATGTCTTTTTTTTATCCATCTCCACTGGCTCTCTGAAGCACCACTGGCTATTATTTACGTTCTCAAGCCATTATCTCAGATGGTACACTACTATCACTAACCCGTTCTTAGTAACAAACAGTTCAAACAGCGATCTATTTCTCTCTCAGCTACAGGTAGCTTCTTTCTATACAGCCGGCAAAGGTAAACAGCCCACAAGACATCACAGGGTGAGGCAAAAGACAGATGTGGTACCATCCTTCAGCCTGCAAGCCCAAGACAACAACACATTTTCGTTGTACTTGGTCACCAGGGCTGTGCTCTTATCTGCTCTGGTCGCGTGCCCCTCTGCACTCAGCGCCACCTCCAAAGTAGATGTCCCATTCCTTCGACTCCGAACGAATCGAGTAATTCAGCGTGAGTCACTGCCCAATAGCACCTGTTCTTTGTTAGGCTAGAGCCCAATCGGGCACTATCTGCTGGGTCGTGCCCTTGCATGTGCCGCTACATCACGCAGGATCCTGATCGCTCTGCAAAATGCACATTGTAAAGCGTATTCTTAGGGATAAAAACAAAATGTATACTAAAAGTACGACGCCAAACTCCCATCAACCGGTAAAGCCTCGCTATGCCTGTAACCTAATTCATAAAACCGTAACATCATCACTCAAAACTACAGCTCGTCCTGTCCCAGATCAAGTCTCGGTGCCTCCCGCCCCCAATTAGCAGGATCACCGCCAGGCAAACAGAGTCCAAGTCTCCAAAAGTAATCTCGGTGCGAGAATAGCAGTTCCCACAACTTCAGCCGTGTGGGGATACCACGCTTCAGGATGGGGACGCTCTCAGATGTGTCCAAGCCAGTCGCTGGCGAAAGTCGACGGATCACCTCATCAGGTATGCTGTCCTCTCTCGTGCTGCAGGCAGGATCTTCGTCACCAACACAAATTATAATGTCTTCTTCAGAGGGGGGCAGCTCAGACTTGGTAATATGAATTTCACCAGCGTGGGATTTGTAGCCCCATTCCCCAGGTGGTAGAAGGGGAACTGGATCGCCCACATGTGTAACACGGCGATATGTTCGGCTTTCCAAAGCTGAGTCTGCTTTGGTATCAAATACACCATCGATAAATCGGACGAGTGCATCGTTTCCTAGTCTTGGCTCGCCAAAGGTAGTAACGACAACATCGTCGATTCCAAGCGAAACCTTCAGTTCCAGCGCCGCCAGGCAAGCTACAGCACCACCAAGACTGTGACCGACGAGATGAACAGGATATGTTGGGTGCTTCTTGTGCAAAGCTACAAGCTTGGGAATGACCTCCTCTCTCGCGTCTTGCCAAGTGGACAGGAACCCGGAATGCACTGTACAATTTGCGCATTCATGGCTAGGCTTCTCAGGAGCTTCGCCGCCGTCATCCGGTGACGGATATGGGGCATATGCCTGCGGTATGGTGCTTAAATCAACAATTGTATTGGCGATGCTATATGTTCCACGGAACGCAACAATGATAGCCCCTTCCGTAGTTTGTGGTGCCGCGGGATCCGCCGCGAGGCCATGTTCGACGCCATGATCTAGCGCAATGTAGCCGACACTGTCCGAGAAGAACATACCCGTGCTCCAAGTATCGACGAGTGATAATTCCGGAAACTCTTTGCATCGCGAGGCACAGTCAAACGGCTTGTGTACCCCAGTGGTGCCTATGCAATAAGATATGTCAACAAGCCGGGCCAAGCGCTCCAGAGCAGCAAAAAGGCGCGTTGACGGAGACGGAGGCACAGCCTTGTTTATGTCTGCTTGTATATTGCTATTTGATTTTGCAGTGCCCAGAGAGGCTAAGGCTGCCACGATGGCAGCATGGTGAAGTCGCATAGCGGGAGGTTGTCCGAGACGCCGAAAGCGGCGCAGAGATGGGAGCCAAGGAAGCGCTGCGCTACGCGGGTCGTGATAATCGTCGGGATATTCTTTCGCTGACCTTCGTCTCGAGTGTGTCAGAGGAGAATAGCGCAGGCCGACTGGGCCGTAGGATGTTGTTTGTGATGTTTGAAACAGAGCGTAGGGAAATCACTATGCTGGTCACGAGGTTGAACAATGGGCTTAGCGTGTCACTACGTAATAGTAAGCGGTTGTTGGCCCCAGACTTTGGGAAACGGCGCCCCGCTAACTCAGTGGCTAGGTCTATAATACATCGGGAAACTCCATAAAAAAAGAAATAGGCAAAGGAATTAGTTACAAAAGAAAATAAATCTCATTTAATATAATAATACAGATCTGTCTCATATAACCGTACGAAATACGAAGTCGTTAGATAATATCTCCAGCAGTGGCGATGGTAAAACACCACCAGCTGATCCTCCACAGTCCTCCTTAGTTGCGGATAGGGTTCAAGCTATTATATGTAACATTATATTCGGCGGCTTCCGTCTGACAATGACAGTTGAGAACACAGTTGAGAGGCATTATAAAGCTTCCAGAGACCTCCCATTGCGGTTTGCTTCCAAAACCATGTTAGCAAATGTCCCTACCCTGCAGGTAATTTAGCCGTCAAAACTTACCCGTCTGACCCAGGACAAAGTCTCTCAATGAGCCAAAGTTTGGTGGCATCAATATCATAGATGAATTCAATGTTTGGATTTTCACAGGCGTATCTTGGGACGCCGCCGTTGGGGGCCACGTTGACGGACTTGTCGTTGAAGGTACACTTTGCAGTTGTCTTTGTCTCAACATCGCCAAAGTCGAAGGTAAAGGCAGACATGGTTGGCTTGTTTGTGTCGTTGGAGGTTCCAATAAGATTACTGATGGTATACTGAGCAGGGAAAACGCATCCATCCTGAGTTGCCGCCATTCGCTCTTCAGCGAGCACTGGCTTAAACAAGTAGAAAGGTGTCGCCAGAGAGCCGAGCGGCATGATCGTTGACAGGAAAGTGGCGGTCTTCATTGTGTCGATGAATGAGGAGATCGATTTTCCAGTAGAAGGACAGAGCGTTTGGTATATGGAATTTACGGCGCGCGAAAGCTAGCTCTGGACAGACTGCAGGTGGCGATCACCGTCTATTTAAGAGCCACATGCCCAGTGACGTTGTATCGTTACTTGGCTGCAACGGCAAACATAGGCGCTGCGCTACACCAGGCCAATCACAAATCTTAAATAGCGCATAACACAGAGACATTTATCACTCGTCTTTTTAAAGTATAGTATCCCCGTTGAACTGAACACCCCAACAGGGGGAGCTGGTTGAGGGTAAAGCACATGGACTTGCACATGCTAGCGTGGCACGAGCTGCGGCACGCCGTAAGGCATTTGAGTCCAGGTTTGCTCTGCATGCAGCGGAATACATTGTGAACAACACCGGTTACTGACATGGTGGTGCTTCGGATCGCATGTTTGCTGCAAGGCAAGCCAACAGCTCCAACGTCAGGTAGTTTGCTTTCAAGGGCGCGCATCCGAAATGCCGAATCCAAGCGGCGGGCTGCATAATCTCGTATTCGAATCTCAGAAGCACTCGGCTGTGTTTGCTTTCTTCCGGTCCATCGGAGAGCTCTGGCCAACACGACAAGTCAAACAGCCTGCTGCTGGAGTTGTTCGACGAGGTTCATTAGAGAAGAATCAGACTTTTCAGAATGAAACTAAACACAAATTCCACCGGTCATTCATCCCGCACTGCGTTGATCAACTTGAATAACAGGCTTTCCTGGACGTGCAAATCACCAGCGCATCGGGCGATCGCACGATCTGGCCTAGCAAAGGCAGTCCATCTTGTAGCGTAGCCCGTTCTGCCATTTCAGGGTCCACTATTTTTGGCTACCAGCACTTCATCGAGCAACACAGCCAATTCTCGCTTACCCTGAGCACGTGACCCCACAAGACCACACACCAAACGAGCGAAAAAAAAAATTGCCCTCCCAAGAGGAGCAGCGAGGCCCACATCTCCTACTATAGTGGCACCGGACAGGCAAAATCTCTTTTTCACACCTCAACCGCATCCTCGACAAATATCGAACGAGTTCAACAACATAATATACAATGGCTAAGGACGCTTCCGCTAAGACTGGTCTGGCTGTCGGCCAGAACAAGGGCCACGTACGTGTCAAAGTCTCACCTCGTGGAGGATCTCTGCTCCCGCGATGCGGCTGTTGCACATGAGGGACGAATATTGAAGGGCCAACCTTCTGTCGTCGCTCATGTTGCCAATGCCCGCTAAGCACTTCATTCTTGCAGACGATGGACGCTGACTATTGGATTTTCCCCCGTTTATAGAAGACCACCGCCCGTGTTACCAAGCCCCGTGTTTCCCGCACCAAGGGCCACCTCTCCAAGCGCACTGCTTTCGTCCGCGAGGTTGTCCGTGAGGTCGCTGGGTAAGATATTTCACCCCCCAAGCAGTTCGGATTCGAATCAACGACCATCATTATCATGCAAACGTTGCGCGGAAACGAGAACGAAACTACGACGGAATTGGACGAAGAAGATTCTGGCGTGGACAACGTCCCGGACCGCGTATACGTTTTGATGAGATGATTGCGAACCGAAAACGACTGCTGAACACACGACAACGCACAGGACATCCTAGCTAACCACGATTACTATTATAGCCTTGCCCCCTACGAGCGCCGTGTTATTGAGTTGCTCCGTAACTCCATGGACAAGCGTGCCCGTAAGCTCGCCAAGAAGAGACTCGGTACCTTCGGCCGTGCCAAGAGAAAGGTTGAGGAGATGCAGCGCGTCGTCGTTGAGTCTCGCCGTGCCGGTCACTAAATTGGCAACTCCCCCAGGCGTTTCTCTTTTCTTTCCCGTCCCGAGTCACGAAAAAGTTTATAGAGGACAGTGATCAACCCCTCATGACGCTTTTCTCTTCCAGCAGACCCGCGATTCACATTTCCGATCACTGGTCCTCGCATGTTTCCTATATTTAGGGGGTTGCTGGAGGAGAGAGCTCGCAAAGTTATACAATCAAAAAATAAGATAAAAATTAAAAAAGCTTCTGTCCTGTGTGGATTATGATGTGATTCAATATGCTTCGACAACTGGTTTACTGCACCTTTACATACATCACTGTTTACTCTGTTGAAGGGACCTTGTCTTTGTAATTATTGATTTATAAAACGCCGAACCATGCTATGTATGTCATCTCTACTACACTGAATATGCTATTTCTTGCCCAACTTCAACCACTTTGGTATCTTCTTCTTTCCATCGCTATCTGTTGCTTTGCGTTCCTTCTTGTCAACTCGCGCTACAACTTCGTTCTCTGACTCAGGAATTGGTTCTGGCAGAGCCGGCATTGTAATCTCTTGACCTTGTTTGGCAATATTCGAGAGCAAGAACGGCTGCTTGCGAATCTCCTTGGATACCTTGTCATTCCAAATAAGATTAACAAGAACCCTCCCAGAGAGCTTATAAGATCTAATGAGATTATGCTTTTCGCTACTGTCATCCTTGATAACAGTAGTACCACCAGACAATACCAAGTGAAACGGTTCATCTTTGGCAGCCATGACATGGCGGACAGCCTCGTACAGGAAAGCGCCTGTCGAAGAGGGCTCGATTTGCCAATCGCTGCTAGTGTTATCGGGGAATCGAACGCGCACCAGGACTGACTTGATGGCTGCTACCTTTGCTGCTTCTGCTGCAGCCTTTTCCTCCAGCTCCTGGTCCGAAGGAAGTCTTCTATTGCGAGAGCTTTCCTGAAGGCGAGCCTGATGTAGCTGTGCGTGCGCTACAGTCGGAGTAAAGTCTGTATCATCTAATGGTAGATTGGCGGCCGCCGGAACTGTATTGTTTGGTGCAAGGAACACGTTGATGGGATCATATGGATTTTGAGGCGCTTCTTGAGCTGGGGTCTTAGCAGATTTTGGCGGTTCTGCTTGTATCGATTCAGTAGGTGCTTGGTCATCGACAGCTGGTGCGTCTGCCATTGGTACGTCCGTGCTTGGTTGGGATGTCTCCTTCACTGGAGCCTTTACACCAGCATCAGCCGAAGACGGTGAAGGTTCGGGGATATCAGAATCTTTGAAGTATTCCCCAATCTCATTCATGGCTTCAAATAGAGTCTGGCGCGTAGTCTTGAATGTTAGACGGATCAAAACATTACCAGAGTTGTGGCCAAGCTGAGACATTGTCTTTTGAAAGTCGGCAAAAGTTGAAAAGTCTCGGCCCATGATATTCAATACTGGTGTCTCGTAGTACAGTTGACCAGCGCCAGTTTCTTCGGCTCCTGCGGTTTGTGCGACACCTCGGGCAGTGATGTTGATGTTTCGACCTGCACTGGCATCTCCGCTCTCAAACTGGCGCAATATCTTCCATATAGTCAAGTCTGAGGGAAACTTTTTAATTAATCGGCCACCAGGAACGTCCTTAGCTTCAGGCTGTGGCAGCTGCAGCGCAATCTGGATCGCAGAGGGTGTATTCGACTTGACAACTAGCTCCAGCTTGGCACCACCAGTGAGACCAGACGCCCGAAAAGGAATAGCTAGCTCGACATTCTTTTGCTTATGTCTGGGAAATATGTTAGCTAGGAAACTTGGCGCAGAACCGAGGTCGACGACCTACTTCATTAGGTATTTGTCGCTGCTAAGATTTAGCTTCTTGCATGCTTCCTGGAGCACATCGATAAGATATGTGGACGGCGTGACTTTGATTGTTGCTCGGCGTAGATCCGTCGAAATGACAACTACGTGAGACGCCATGACTGTAGTTCGAAGCCTAAGCTAGACGATGTAGTTGTCGCGATATCTGGTGCGGGGTCTCGCTGTATTGTTGGAGTAACGACCGTAGGCGTATATAGCCGTCCCTAGCAATGCAAGAGCACTGTTCGGTATGCTAGGCCTGGTTTCAAACAAGAAACTCGCCGCGAGATGTCGATACTTTTGTCAGCGTGCCGTACGCGATAGAGATGATTCGAGAAGTAGTGTAGTGGCGGTTCTGAGGGTAGCTACGGTGTAGGCCCCACCAGCTTGCGTCACACGCCGGCAGACTGACACATCTTGCTGTATATGTAGTGTTCAGCTTTTATTAGATGCAATTTCAATATTATTGTACACAGTTAGTAAAGAGGTTTAATAAATTTATAATAATTTTTTAGAACTTTTTAACCGCTTCATTCCTACACATACGCCTCCAAACAGTAGCGCACCTTACAGGGACCATCTTCAGTGGCCTCCAGCGGCCAAGCTCCCCTGTAGCTGGAGCCAATCAGAGGGTGGCGTCCCCACAGACCAAGTTCAGGCGGGGATTATCCGGTGGGCCGCGCCAGTCGTGTTTGCCTTGCACGCTGAAGGCAAGCTGTCGCTAGGCTGGGGCCAGTTGCGTGTATCCTAGCTTGGAGGGCCAGCAGACGACGACAGCTTCCATAGCATTACGATCTCCCACATCCACGACATTCCAACGCCGCGAGTTGCATCCACTGCTTGCAATTACATCACGCTACTAAACTATACTCCTCGCCTACTTCATACGGCGTCCTAGCCTCGCGAAGTAACCAGCTACACACTGCCCGCCAACCTGGCCGTCAGACGCTCACCGAGCTACCCATCATCATGGTACGTCCATCTCTATCGCGACAGCGGACTCAATCGATATGTACAATGTCTAACATGTTTTTCTGCAGTCTTCTCCCTTCTCGATAAGTATGAACCGACCCGCGCAGCACCACGACCGTGACTAACCCTTCTCCAGACGGCGGCGCCTGTGTTGCCATGGTAGGCAAGGACTGCGTGGCCATTGCTTGCGATCTCCGACTCGGTATGCAGGCCCTTACTGTCTCCAACAACTTCCCCAAGATCTTCCAGTACGGAGACGTCTTCCTTGGCCTGACCGGCTTGGCCACCGACGTCAACACAGTCTCCGACCTCTTCCGCTACAAGGTGAACATGTATCGCCTTCGCGAAGAGCGCCAGATTGCTCCCAAGACATTTGCCAACCTTGTTTCGTCATCACTCTACGAACGCCGCTTCGGCCCTTACTTTGTGTCGCCTGTCGTTGCTGGTCTGGACCCTAAGACATCCAAGCCCTTCATCTGTGGCTTTGATAGCATTGGTTGCATCGACTTTGCTAAGGATTTTATTGTGTCTGGTACAGCCTCGGAACAGCTCTTCGGTATGTGCGAAGGTCTCTGGGAACCTGATATGGAGCCCGATGCTCTTTTCGAAACAATCTCCCAGGCCCTGCTCAACGCCGTTGACCGTGATGCCTTGTCCGGCTGGGGCGCACACGTATACATTATCGAGAAGGATAAGATTACAAAGAGATTACTGAAGGGAAGACAAGATTAAGCTGGCGAAGGGAGCAGGAAAGAAAGAGATACAAATGATATAAACAAAACACCGCATGGACAATCCCAGAAGAATGGGGTTTGTCCTTACATTTAAGCTGTATGAATAGCCATTTTTGAATATTCATTCTCACAATTGCAGTGACTGTAAACCATAATCCATTTGTAAAGGCGGAGAAGAAGGGTAATTAACGTAAAAGTTTCATTCAATTCTATTTTATTTTCTCCAAATGCTTACGGCATATTTGATATGCCAGATTGAGCTACTTGTACAATGTGCTCCCATTCAGCAAAAACACTGCGCCGAATTTTTCTGCTCCTTAAATCAAATAAAAATGGCCATCATGAAAAGCTAAGGATATTTAAATCTTCTTCTTTGTGGTCTGGGCATCCTCTGAAATCTTTTGCATGAAGAACTGGCGTTCTATCAGCTTGAGCACCTCGTCCAGGACGACAACTGGGGCGCTAATGATGATGACGGCCTTCCACTCAATCCAGTTCAGAGGAAGGATGGCAAACAGGCTTTGCAGAACGGGAGTGTAGAGCAGAGCAAAGTGAAGAGCCATGGACAGAGCAATGGCGTAAACCAGCATCATGTTTTCCCAAAGAGGGAGAGTGAGGAGGGATTCGCTGGAAGATAGAGCGTTCATGGCGTTGAACATCTCGATGACGACCAGGATAGACAGGGAGACCGTGGAAGCGGACTTAGCCATATCGTTGGAGAACATCTGGCAGCCAATCTGGGGGAACTCAGTAGAGCAGTGGTGGAAGCGAGACAGCTGAGAGAAGGTGATTTGAGGACCGTTCTCGTAGAACATGAACCACCAAGCGTAGCCAGCAACAGTAGCGAGACCGACGTAGGTACCAATCATGAGGTAGCGGAAGAAGAGCCAGCCACCAATGAGCTTCTCGTCACGCTTGCGAGGCTGACGCTTCATGATGTCGTGATCAGGAGGGTTGAAGGACAACGCGGTAGCAGGGAGACCATCAGTGACGAGGTTGACCCACAGGAGCTGGACAGGAATCAAGGCTTCAGGCATGCCGAGGGCAGCCGTCAAGAAGATGGATACAACCTCACCAATGTTGGAAGAAATGAGGTAACGGATGAACTGCTGGGTGTTGTTGTAAATGGCACGGCCCTCTTCAATAGCAACCTCGATCGTAGCAAAGTTGCTGTCGGCGAGAACCATGTCGGCGGCAAGCTTGGACACATCAGTACCAGAACCCATGGCAACACCAATATCGGCCTTCTTGAGAGCAGGAGCATCATTGACACCATCACCAGTCATGGCAACAACTTCACCCATGGACTGGAGGAGGTCAACGAGACGAGACTTGTGGCCGGGTTCAACACGGGAGAAGAGAGACGCGCGCTTAGCGGCTTCAAGCTGCTCGCTGGGGCTCAGGTTGTCGAATTCGCGGCCAGTGTAGCTTTTACCAGTGAGATCTTCATCGTGGCCGAAAACACCAATCTGTCTGCAAATGCTTTCAGCGGTGTTGCGGTTGTCACCAGTGATAACGATAACGCGGATACCGGCCTCCTTGCACTGACGAATGGAACCAGGAACCTCCTCACGAGGAGGGTCAAGCATGGCCACGAAACCAAGGAAGGTCATGTTCTGTTCAAGCTGGGCGTATTCTTCGGTGGACTTGGCGGTCTTGACGAGAGGGTTCTTGGAGACATCGTCAATGCTGGCGAGAGCAATGATACGAAGACCACGGTTACCATAGCCAACAACTTCCTTAAGAAGGACATCGGAGAGCTTCTTGTTGAGAGCGATTCTCTTGCCGTCGGCGCCGACGAGGGCGTGAGTGCAGCGGTCCAGGATAGTTTCGGGAGCACCCTTGACAAGAAGCTTCTTGGCCTTACCGTTCTGAACAAGCACAGACATGCTCTTACGGTCGCGGGAGAATTCGAATGTGGCGAGGCGGGGGAGATCTTCTTCATACTGAGCGCTGGCGTAGTGAGTGCAGTCGTCAGCATCGGTTCCTTCGGGAGCGCAGGGGCCAGCCTTTTCAACAAGAACACGCAGAGCACCCTCGGTGGGCTCGCCGACGCTGGAGTAGGTGGCAGTCTTTTCATCGTAGGCCAGGTGGGAGTCGTTGCAGATGGCGGCAACCTCAATCATTTGGCGGATAGTATCAGATTCCTCGGTGATGTCCTCAACAGTCTTGCCGTTTCTCTTGATTGCACCCTTGGGCGAGAAGGTGGTTCCCTCAACTTCCAATTCAGCCAAACCGTTACCGAGAGCATCGAGATGAAGAATCTTGTTAACGCTCATGTTGTTGGTGGTGAGAGTACCGGTCTTGTCAGAGCAAATCACGCTGCAGCTTCCAAGGGTTTCGACAGAGGGGAGACTTCGGACTACAGCGTTCTTGGCGGCCATCTTGCGAGTGCCGAGGGCCAGGCAGGTTGTAATAACGACGGCAAGACCTTCAGGGATAGCAGCGACACCGAGGGAAACGGCAATCTTGAGGTAGTAGATGGCGCCCTTGGTCCAGCTTCCGTGGCTGGGATCGTTGAAGTTGGGGATGTTGATAAGCCAAACAAGGACGCAGATGACGGTGATGACCTTAGCGAGGCTGTCACCAAAGTCGTCCAGCTTCTGTTTGAGGGGAGTAGGCTCGGAGATTTGGGCGGTAATGCTCTCGTGAATGTCGCCAATGGCGGTGTTGGAACCGGTCAGGACAACGACGGCTCTGGCGTGACCAGTAACGACGGTAGTACCAGAGAAGAGCATGTTGGTCTGATCTTGCAGAACGGCCTTGTCGTCCTTGACGACGGCAGAGGCATCCTTTCCAACACTCTCACTTTCACCAGTCAAAACGGCTTGGTCGACGTTGAAGCTATTGCTATCGATAGCCACGACACGGCAGTCGGCAGGAATACGGTCACCGACCGAAACAGAGATGATATCACCTGGGACGAGTTCCTCGGCCTTGATGCGGGAGACATGACCGTTGTTGCGGATGACGTTGGCTTCGTTGGCAGAGTATTCTTGGAGGGCAGCAATGGCCTTTTCGGCGCTGCTCTCCTGGGAGACACCGACGACGGCATTGAGGATTAGAATAGTGAGAATCTGGAGTATGAAAAAGTTAGAGAATTGTCACACAATTGGAATGGGGTGGGTTGTATCGCTTACGACAGCGGGGTCGACAAAGGCGCTCCAGCCACCTTCATCTTCGAGGAGCGCGAGGACGAAGGAGACAGCGGCGGAACCAAGTAGGATGATGACAAGTTGATCTTTGAATTGTTCGAGAATCAACTCCCAGAGCGGGGTTGGAGGGTCTTCGGGAATAGCTACCGAGAGAATTGGTTAGTTGGCCAGTGGTAGAGAAGTACCGTGATGAGGAACCTACAGTTGCGGCCATGCTTGTTGCGCTGCTCGGTGACTTGCGCATCGGTTAAACCAGCGCGCTGGTCGACTGAGAACTCAGCGAGGACCTTGTTGACAGGCCTCGTGAAGGCGTCTTCCATGTTGATTAATGCGAGCACGCGTGTAACTTTTCGTACTAGGTGGACGCTGGGGTGAGGACGGAAGGGATAAAAATGAAGTGTGACGCCCGTCTGCAATGAATTGCTTTCCGATGCACCGATGGAGATGCAAATTGATAGCCAAACACAAAGGGCGGGATAATCAAGATGACGACAGAGACAAAAAAGAGAGGATGCAGGAAACGGAGCAGGCTCTGGTTATCCGTCCGGCTGTGTCCGAGAAGCCAAAGAGGCCAGCAAGCAAGAAACACGATTTGTCAGGGCCCCACGTGGAGTAGGCAGCTGTGTGGCGGCGTGTTTTGCGGCCAGCGTGTTCTGTTTTGGCGGGCTGAAGGAAGACAGGGCGCTCGGCCTGCCAGACATCAGAGCCCTGTCCCGCTGGGGTTTAGCGCCTTCTAGCCCCTTGCCCGTCGCTGGGTTTGCGAGAGTTGAGGGGCGACCGGTACCTGCGCTAAGGTGCTGCGCCACCCGACAAGCCGTGTTGGGCTGCAGCGCATAGCGCCAACGCCTACAGTAGTTTTTAGCGTGCAACTATTAGGCGGATGCTACCGTAAGGCGGGTGCGCCATGCACGACACAGTTGGGGAAGATGATCGACTAAACAGAAGTCGGCTTTATCATGTCAAAATATCCAGTAATTTATTTGCTTGGTATAATAAAATATCCAACCAACTAATACGTCATATATACTGACACCATGACCTTGTTTGCATTCGTCGTTTGCCAAAAGACGGTGCCGCCACACCACCGACCAACCGACGCTGTGGCGCGGCTGCAACGAACCACGCATGTTAGAGAACTACTGTGAAGGCAGGTGTGCATGCCGGGCCAACCATCACGGCTCGCTCTTTTCAGTTTCGGCGTATTTCTTCAAGAATCAGCAATATGGGTAGGCTCGCTGTACACCTTCCCAGATAATGGATCTAGTACTCTCATGATGACATCTGGTTTACAGAGCTTCACTTTTACACTATCTTGCACCACATTCCAAGAAATGTGACGATCCTTGGCTTGACCCTTTCTTGGAATAGAATTTTTTTTGCGTTCATCATGGAAGACTCACTCATTACGTCTGAAATACATCCAACTTCTGGACACATTTTGAATACTGGTTTCATGCCTTTTGGCACCAGCAGCGATCATCAACCCAACGAGGCGTCCGAGACGCAACCCGATATCACAGAAACATTAAGTGACCAACTACAAAACCTTCACTTGCAGATTTCATTGCCTGATTCTAGGCCATCAAGCACTGAATGCAGTCCCAATATTATACCTGCAACTCTTGCCGACAGTCGCCGAAACTCAGACGACACTCCAGATGTAATGGAGCTAGATGAAGACACCACAGTCCCAAAGCCATTCCATCGCTGGATTAGATCTCTACGCCGGCGAGCAGCTCACAAGCGAGCCACTGGAGATCATCGTCGTGACGAGAGCCTTTTTTCGTCGCCAAATCAGAGCCGTCAGCAAAGTCCAAGTGGCCGATGCAAAGCTCAGTCGTCCTCCGGCTCGTCTTTCAACCTTCTTACCACGGTGCGCAGCGCAGCTGTAAGTACACTAAGTATAGGTGCGGCTATAAACCCCAATACCGGAGTTAAGCCATCACGAGATGCTTCTCTATCGGATGAAAATATTACCATGGGCCATCCTGAACGAAGTGCCAGTAAGGAGAGCCTCAGCCAGCGTCCACAGCACACGGCATCTAGGGAGCGGAGCTTCCAGCGACGACGAATCTTGGAAGAACTAATCAATACTGAAGAGGGTTATCTTGGGGATTTAAGGTTCCTAATGAATGTAAGATAACGAAATTGAAGACTGCCATGCGACCGGGGCTCTAACTCAAACGCTCTAAAAGGTCTACATAACGTTATTCTCGTCGGTGCCTGCTCTCTCCGATAGCTTTCGAGCCGCAATAAGTCACAACTTGTCTCAAATGATTGAGCTTCACGATGAGATATTGGGCGAGCTACACCGTGCAGTTCCCAATTCTCAATACAGTGCCACAGAAACACATCCTCCAAAGCCATCACCAATACATAGTCAATCACACCCTCATTCTTTGGTGACGCACCGCCGTTGTGTGAGTCTTGATGCTGTTGTGGACAATGTTCAAATCGACAGATCCGATCAAAATCATCAGGGCATGGCTGTTGAGCCGCAGGTCGTAGGTGAGGTGGCCAGAATCTTTGGACGAAAGGTTTGGCCCTTATTATGTACCCCAATTACCAAAATTATTAATAACGTGATACAGATAAAGAGATTCTTCGTATATACGGAATACAGCGCTCGATATGAAGCAATAATACAAGACCTGCTTACCAGGCATGCTGACTTGACTACATGGTCCGTTTACCAGCGTGGGTTGGAGAATCTTGCAGCTATCTTGGACTCGTGTAAGAACTCTGATGAGGCATCCCGTCGAGCCATGACCGTTAGAGATCTTCTTATCAAAGTTAGTCATGGAAATGGCTCTTATTGCCAAAGCTAACCAGAATGTCGGGCAGCCCATTCAACGAGTGTGTCGCTACCCTCTATTATTTTCCGAACTTCTAAAACACACCCCCGAAGTAGATTGTCCGAACTCTCGCATGGAAATTGAAAACAGTCTGTTTAGGCTGAGAGAGGCCACTACAGAAATCAACCGTGCCGCTGATGATTTAGACATGAAGAATATCCTCCAACGTACCTAGATGCTACAGGATCGGCTATTCTTCGCCAATCATGTAAGAGAACTAGCGAATACGAATTAGAGGTATCTGCTAATGCATTTTTATAAGAAGTTGGATGCAGTTTCTAAAAACCGTGTTCGAGCGTTTGGACATGTTCAGATTTGTGGAGTGCTTCACATCTGCTGGCAAACATCTAATGTGGTGAAAGGGGAGTATTTAATCTGCTTACTCTACCACAACGTGTTATGTCTGGCCTCAGCTGGACAGTTTGAACTTGTGTATGGCATTCGTGCATGTATTGATTTGACAAAAGCGAGACTGGAAGAAGCCGAAAGCGACCGAGGTAAGCTGTGTCCCTGCTGGTGAGTACCTCTTATCTAATATGGATTCCTCAAGGACTACAATGTTATTCGACACCATTCTCTTGGAAATTAGTTTTTGAATGCGACAATCAGCTATATGAGATTATAATGACGGCTTGCAGTGCTAAGGAAGAAGAGACGTGGCGGACGCAGCTCTCCCGATTAGCCACTGACGGGAAACCACCTGAGAGCAGCGGCGGAGACATTGTTCCGTCTCTAGACTTGGACATCAAGAGTATAGGATCGATTTTTGGAAAACCAGGTATGCCGTTCTTTAATTAATATTGATTCATCATACTGAGATGGGCTCGTAGGAAGTATGGCTCGGAATATATCGACCTGTCAGATGCGATCGAACGAAGGCAGGCTATCATCACTTCACGTTATGTTGAAAAATACGAACGCTCTGGGCGAACACATAAATAGCCCAACAGTAACAAGCCGTATCCATCGTACGAGGTCTGTGTTGACAAATGGACAAATTACCGTTCTCAACCCAGCTCGGAGCGAACGAGCACGATTGGAAAATCTCGTTCGCGATGTTTGGTCAAAAGATTCTTTGCCATTTCCCGGCATGATTATGCGCTCAAAATCCGAGAGTTTGGTACGAACATCGGCTTCATCAGTTATGAGGAAATTAAGCGTTGCAAGCATTGCTAGCTCTCTCAGCAAGAGATCTAATAGTACAAAGCAACGATCCAGATCAACCGGGTACGTTGGCCCCGACTCATTCAGCGTCGACCCGCCTGAACTGGAAACCATTCAATCGAACCCTAAGAAGAGTGAGGAAGATGGACGGAACATCAAGAGACGTCGCACTGGATTAGAAGGAGAGTTGATAGTCTGCGACAAATCCAAACGACACGCTTCGTTTCATGAAGTGACCATGCTGTCTGACGAGGCTAGCAAGGAGGAGGGCTTAACGAATAAAAAGCCAACAAACTCATCGTGGTCATATACCAGTAGAAGTCTCAATCTATCCCGACGAATGAAGCACCGCAGCACTCGTAGTCACGACTATAATGGGGCGAAGCCGGCACTGGAGGGAACGCAAAGGGGAGTACCAATTAACGCCGTGCCATCTGGTGATGGAAGGCGAGCAACGAGTTCTCACAGTTTACGTGGGTTGTTCTGGTAGTTCGTTTGGGGGTTCTTTTTTAGCGAAGATATATGTTATACTGTAGCAGCGTTAGAAGCAAACAATGGCTTGTGCAAGACAGACGATCAAAATGGACATTTGTGTACCACCAAGCTCGAGGTCACCTGTGTGTAAATTCCTGCTCGAGGTGAATGCCGGTATATTCGGCAACGTGCCGATCTATTATGGTTCCTGGCGTCACGATATAGTTGGAAAGGCGATTTAACTAGAATAGGCATGGATAAGCAAAGACGGTGTTGCAGAACCAAGGCAATGACGTATGCCACTAGGTCTAGGATGTGGAACGGGCCGGAGATTGGGGGTGCCAAACTGAGGGTATCATCTCGTGACCTTAACAAGGGTTCCTGTGGCAAAGCTCGAAATAGAAGATGCAAGGTGAGTCAAGCGGGTGAAGAACGCCCGCTAACGACAACTTAAACCCCCCAATTGGTGACTTGTTGCGTGCTTGGCGGCATTCTGGCTAATCAAGCTTCAGCGAGCTGCGGGGTAACTTGGAATCCGTAACAAGGGAGTTCAATTGTGTTTAGCACTAATTTATTGGTGGGGACTATGAATTGAGAACCTTGACAATATCTTTTTATTGGCATTGACGTCAATAGAACATTCACGAAACAGCTCCCCGTTTGTCTCGCGTCACCAAAGTGCATCTCAGATGACGATAGCGGCAAGCATCCCCTGTAGCACCCTAGTCCTAGGGCGGTCACTGCCCACTAAATCAGACCCACTATGAGTCTGTTGCTGCAAAACGGCGCAGCGCTGAGAAAGTGTGGGGGAGGCGGACTGCTGGTGCTGGGTACTTGTGCTCCCCGCGTCATGGATATGCGCAGGTGGGTACCGAATACCAACGAGTTACGATTATGACGTAGAAGAACAAGCTCAGCTTTCTGTCTGCCGCATCGGAACAGAAGCTTTTGCTGCTTTCCCCCTCTTTGGCTTTCTTAAATAAATACTCCTCTTCACCTTTGCCGTTTTCAATCTCTTCATACTTCATCATCACCTCCAAAGAAATTCTTTTTTCTATCACCACATCCTTTGTAGTTTCTTTACTTGACTTACAAAGGCATCTATCTACACTTACATCCTCCTACCACTGTCACGCGACATACATCCTACCTACCTACCCCTCAAAACCCCCCATCTCTTTCACAATGACTCGCGGCGAAGCTGTCCAGACTAAGGTCCACTACAAGGGCAAGAATGAAGACTACGTTGTCTTTGTCGACGATGCCGACACTTACAAGAAGTGGCAGAGCGACAAGAGCATCCCCATGGCTCACTTTGTCTCTACCTTCCAGGTCTTCACTACGCACAAGTACGTTTGCCAGCTCCCATATAGTATCGTTCTTATTCTTTGTACTAATATTTTTGGTTTGATAGGCACGGCGCCCAGGGAAACCTTGACACAGCGCCGAAAAACATCCTCAGCGCAGAATTCGACACAGAGAACCAGGATGACATCATCAAGATCATCCTGGAGAAGGGCACTAGCCAAACGGTTGAAGTAAGTTTTCTATGCTGCAGCTCCATTTGAAACGAATTACAAAGCTGACCAATGCGTTCTAGATGCCCGACCGCCAGGGTTCCAAGAACGACTCCATGAGCTCTATGAATGCCAAATAGATGCCATTCAAGAGCAAATGTTAGCGATTTTGACGGCGTCTGGCATTTCATCCATGCATTCCAGCGGAAGACTCGACACGAGTCCAGCGCACCAGCGTCGATTGAAGCTAGCTTGTATTTTATAGCCGGGTGTAGTAGCACCCCAGAACTAGGACCAGTAGCGACATGATTTCAAGCTATTCCAATAAATGCCATGATCTTGTAAAGGCACATTTCATCTATGTATGTGATGTGAATGATGGATTGAAACGAAATAATATATTTAGATTCCAAGTACGACAATAATAGTAACTCCAAATGGCCACTTGACGCGCAAGCAGCAACGGTATTTATCTCACAGGGCAAATGGACCCTGGCAAAAAGAACATCCCAATTGGCTCCTGGTAAAAACATATTCAGCGGCCCGCTCCCTCATATTCCGAGGTGGAACCAATTCAAACAAATAAAAAGAAACAAAATTGTATCACAAATGACATTATTCATACAAGTCTTGGCCTGTTAGCCCTCGCCGCGTCGGAACTAGACAGGCGGCTCTGGTTGACCATGTGACATTCGTCGGATGTTGTGCATTATTCTCTCCACAAACTGCATTGATTCGGATCCAGGGACATCTGCAAACTCTTGCTGTAATATCGGCTGCGACTTTTCTATGACCGGCGCGGGCTGCCCTGTGTTTGCGGATGCGGATGCCGGTTCATTGGCCGAAGACGTGTCCTGTTTGGGCGGGGGAGTTGCGGGGGGATTGGTGCAGGCGGCAAGGAAGTTGGCAGGTAGCGGTACAGGTGATTGCTTCTCGGGAATCTTATATGCCTTTAGCTGGGGAATAGGCTTTGGCTTTGGCTTCTGTACCGGTATCGTAGTCTGGAGAGTTGTGTATTGTGCAGGAAGAGTAAACATGGGCGGCTTTACGGGGGCCAAGGCATGGCTGCTAAAGCCAAAGACAGGGGCGTAGGGACTGCGATAGTTTGATGCATCTCTGTTGTGGTTGACAGCGAAGAATGGGTACTTGACGTACACCGATGACGCTGGAACAGGCGCCTGTTGAGGTGGGGTAAAGCTTGCTGTCGGTGTAAATTGAAGTGTTGTAAATGCACCTGTACCCGATGTGTAAGGAACAAATGTGTGGTTCATATATGGCTGAGCAGCAACCCCATATGATTGACGTTGCACGTTTGGCTTGACTGGCTTGACTGGCTTGACCGGCTTGGGGGGTTTCGGAAGCGTGTCCAAAAAGTTGCCTTCGGGGTTATGTCGTGGCAACGCAGGATCTTCCGTGAACTGTGCACGGGCGTCTGTGGATGTCTGTCCAAGGTAGTGCCAAACTTGATCTTCTTTTGCGAAGTCAACATTTGCTTGGTCTGTGTTGGTGACTGCCTCAAGCTGGAATTCAGCCCAGGTATAGCCCTCAGCGAAGATGTCGTCCTTTCGTGGTTTGTCGTCCTCATGCCGTTTCGCATTCAGGCGTTCCTTGGCTCTCTGCGACGCAGGCATCGGCAGAGCTTTAGCTGAGGCCTTTGGAAGATGGAAGTCTGATGGATCAGGGAGCAGAAGCCATTTATGCTGTACTTCTAGACGTTCACTGCAACTTGTTAGTTATACTCGTTTGCTCAACGGCTGACATAGTTCATCAACTTACCCGCTCGGAATAATATCAACAAGTAGCATGTCCTCGTCGACACGGTTTTCCACAACCAATCCTGCAAATATATCGCCCTTGAGATACTGGAATTGGCAAATATCTCCAGCCTTGGCGGCTTTGGCGGCATTTTGGATGCGCTTGTTATTCTCCAATGCTTCTGCATCGATTTTCTTGTCCCTCTTAGCACGATGGAAGCGGCAGCTGAACTCAAAGGCCTGCTCTTTATACTCTACTCCATCCTCGCCAAATACGGGAACCTCTTCGTCTTCAACAAAGACACCAGCAGCTGCAGCGCAGGTGGCATGATACGCCCTGGCGCATTTCTTCTGAGAGCACTGGAAGCAGGCGCCGCGTTTTGATCTGCAGAAGAGGCAGCGGAGCTCAAGGCGATCTTTGTGAATCCTTGTCGTGTTGAAGACCTTTTCTTTGCCGTCGTCTAATTCAACGTATGTTTCGGGTATGTATGTGGCACAAAGGCGATGCGCCTTTCGACCATCATTGGTTTCCAGAAGCTCCATACCTTTGAAGTCGTTCGGGCAGAGACAACACGGTGGATCGGGTTTCGCCTTGACGCGTAGTTTGACTTTCTTGGTCTTTCGCTCACCAGGCATCCGCTTCTTCTTCAAGCTCGGTTCTTGAAATTTGACACCGTGGCTTGCTGGGGGCGTTGGCAAGCCAGACATATCCTCGTCCTCGTCTAGATCGGTCTCCTCGTAGTCGGTTTCTTCGCCGCGAAGCTTTCTCTCAATTTCATAGACATCAATCCAGACACTGTCTTGTGCTTGTGCACACTCGCACCTCTTGGCAATCTTTCCCATTGGAAGCCATGCGTCCAGGGCAAAATTGACAGCTTCTGCACAGTTGTAACCCAGATTGTAGCCAGAGTGGTAGCCGTACGGGTAAGTAACAACAAACTCACCGGGATAGGATAGACACTTGTTGACTTTGATGCCATAGTGCGACAGCAGGTGTTGTGGCGATATCAGATAGCCCTTGTGACGAAGGAACTGACTGCAAGACTTGGCATCTTGTGGCCAGATGCTCTTCATAGCCTTTTCAAACTTTGGAGCATCAGCCTGGGAGATGCTGTACCATTGCTTTGGAGCACCAAAGTGAACATAGTTGATACTGTAGAGATCAACATCTTCCAAATGCCAGGCAAAAGTAGCTTTCCACATGCCCAAGTAAAGATATGCGGTATTGACACCCGGGATCTTGGTTCCGAGAACATCCAGTAGATTGGGTAGCTTATTCAAATTCCAGATGTCTGTTTTTTCATCAAACAGAGTACCCATCATATCAGCTCCGTAAAGAGGTGGCGCATAGGTGAGCGTTTTCCAGTATGCTCTCTCGAGCTCTTCACATCTCTCTGCCGTGTACTCTGAAATATCCATCTTGTAGTCGAAATCTTTGAAAGCCTCTTCATCAATCGCAGCAGAGCCTTCACGTTTGCTGTACTTTCTTCGCGCAGAAACTGACTGTGTCTTGTCCTTTGCAGGTTTAACAGCACCCATCCTTCGAATAGGTGCTGGCGAATCATCGGGGACTTCATCGTTCTGAGTAGGCTCTTGCTCGACGGTTTCGACAACAGTCTCTTCTTGTTTCGGCTCCTCTTGATCAGCCTTTGGCGATTCTGGTGTCATTGGGCGCTCGGTTTCTTCTTCTTTGACCTTTGGCTTTGGCTTGTTCTTCGGAGGGCGACCACGTCCTCGTTTCTTCGGCGTTGACGGATCAGCTGGCTTTTTAGGCGCAGGCTTGGGCCGTGGAGCCTTTGGCTTGTCAATAGCAGCTCGGCGTTCGCCTCGGCGCGCTGGAGGCTGGTGTTCGCTTTGATTGCATAGGTTCCGCCACTGAGGTAGGTTGTAGGAGCGGCCGTGTAGGATATTCACTTGGCGATATGTGCCATTGGACCCCATGATATCCTGCTTGATCGGTTCTCGAACTCGGATCTGCTTAATGAGGTCGTCTAGTTTCGGTTGCATGTTCTTCCATTCCTCAGGTGGGATGATTTTGATAATTCCTGACGTCATTCCGTATGAATCCACCTTGCTCATCTATAGAAACGCACAGTGTTAGCATATTGGCAGCAATGCCAGCGCGAGAACAGGCTTGACGTACAAATTTCTTAAAGTCTTTGAACTGGTGCATCGTTGGCTTGAAGACGGGTACTGTTCCAGACCAGTGGTCAGGCAGAACTTCTCCAATATCCTCCTCTTCGGGTTCTTCTTCCACCTTGGGAAGGCCCGGTATGCTGTCAATATCAGGCATTGCTTCGTCGAGATCACTAAGCTCCGAGTCGCTTCCGTCTGTCTTGGTCGCATTGTTGCTATCTGGAGGCGAATATAGAAAGGACGAGGGGCCATCCTTGGTAGCCGCAGTCAGATGTTCTTCTGCGACTTCAGTGGCAACCACAGGATCGGGCCCGGGGCCCGGAGGGTGTTGAACAACGGCGTCGGTCGACATGATTAACGATGCGTGACGAAGCGGGCTGAGGATTCGATGTTTAAATCAACGCAGCGCCTTGGGCGAGGCCATTCGGGCGCAAGGCCAAAACTAAAATTCGAAACAAAACTGCTGTCGTTTTCCAAGCAGCGCGTATTTTCGCTGCAATTTAAAGGATCGTGGCTGTTGTGTGTATTTCGGTGCAAAAGGCGACGTTGCCACTGTGCGAAGGCAAAGTCAAGTTGCCGGGGGGAAGCGAGGCGCTGGTGGTGGTGGACACTCTTTTGCAGGGAGGAGCAAAAGGCCAACCACTGAAAAGCAGGTGGAGCCAGCGAGTCGGGCGTAAAGGAGATGCGGAGAGAAACAGGCAGAGCCAAGGCCGAAAGGAGGGAGCGCTAGTCCAGATTAGGTAAGAGTGCGACGCCGCCTGAAAGCCCTGGAGGAATGCAGACATGTGGATTGCACAGCCAGGTCACATGAGAGTGTTAAAGCGGCGATGCATCTAACCGTTTCAGCACGCGCGCTGTGAGCCTCCCATCGCCCTGAGCCCGCGCCTCGCTGCGTGTGCCCCTCTTGCAGTTCCCCGATCCACGCATGCAGGGCTTATCAATCTATCCATGCAGTTCCCAGCATATATGCAGTGGGAGGTTCCCTACTACGCCGCGTGTAAAGCGGCAGACCGGGACGATACAAGAGACTGTAGGAAGTAGTGCGCTTGACGTGAGTAGACCGGCGCTGATGCTGACAGATATCGAATGATGAAAAATACAAGTCTATTAATATTCATACAAGGCGAAACATACACGAACCAGTTCAATATCAGGCCAAGTTTGTGACGGGCCCCCTAACTATGTGGCGTGTCTTCTACAACTCTTACATTTGCTCGAATCTCCCGCAGCCACTCGATTGCCACCCATCTGCACCCAGACTTCATCCCAAAAAGCGCACTCGGAAAAGTCAAGGGGCGCCAAAGTTACATTCTCCTTGACGTATACACCGCGATGTTGGCAGCTGTTGAACTGCGGCCAGCGTTGTGCTTTTGTTGATGGCCTAGCGGTGGCTGCCAATGCCGTCCACGCTGCGATGAGGGTCTGGCTGATTTGGCGCTCGCCAGCATTTGCGCTACAGTTTCCTTGCCTAAAAGGCATGTTGTCCAAGTTTCCAAAAATATATGGCAGCTCGGCCGTGTGGCTCGCTCCAAAGTATGGCAAAAGAAGCTCGGGGGGGACTGCCTGCCCTCCCATAAGCAACCAGGGACAGCTCGGGGTAGTGTCGAAGATATAGGCGTACGCTCGGGTCCCAGCAGCTTCTGCTGCCCGTAGCATGCGGAATGACGGGCAAGTGTAACTTGCCGCTGTTATTATGTGAGAGACTGCAAACACTACGGCGTCTTGCGTTCTACCAGTGACGTTGAACCGTGACAGCGGGTAATATTTTTTGACCTCTGCACTTGCGTCACCCCAAGCGGCTAGGAAGTCAGTATAATTGCTCTCAGTGATGGGTGTGGTGCCAGTTTCGTAGTATGGCAGCACAAAGAGTGTACTGTCATCTGCATCTAGAACTCTGTCAGCGGCGTGTCTTTCCCCTTGATCAATTATCCGGATTCGCTTACTATGACCAGAAATGATTGGTACTTGAGGTCCCTTCAATAATGGCTCAGTTTTGACAATATTACCATCTAGAACGACGGAAGCCAGGTCTAGTTTTTGGGGCATGTTGACCGCAAAAACACCGCTAAGAATGTTTTGATTCCAGGTTGCGGAAGTATTGCTTAAGGCGGTCACCAATTGTTCCACTGGTTTCGACTGTAAACAACCAAGCTAATTTTTTTTCATCGTCAGTGAATTTGGTTTACCACAGCCTCGTGAAATCATGACTTACATCTTCAGGTGCGCAGTGGAGAGCGCCAGCATAGCTGGCTCCTGCTGTTTGGGCATTTTCAAGTGACAGGAGATCTTGGCCGCCGCCCGATTGCAAAATGACGGACGACAGTAATTGCTTGGATTCGACGAGCGTCGAGACAACAAATGCATCGTCAGCTCCGGCACTTTGACCAAACAACGCCACCTGCGATCGGTCTCCTCCAAAGTGTTCAATATTGCTCTGCACCCAGCGAAGCGCCATGAGGTAATCCTGGATAGCCATGTTCCCTTGGATGCCAGCTTTGTTTAAAGAGAGAAAGCCAAGCGGCCCGAGTCGGTAATTGAATGTGACAACTATAGCATCCTTTGCTAAATTGCAGCCGTTGTAAAGGTCGTAGTTAAGGGCTCCTCCAGTATTTCCGCCGCCATAGGCAAAGACTTTAACTGGGAGCTTCTGGTCAGAGTTATTCTGCTTCGGCATGTAGACATCCATATATAAGCTACAAAAAATGTTAATTATGATCAATGCCGTACAATTGCAGCGTTTGGTACTTACCAGTCCTCTGAAGGCGTGGGGCTTGTAACTGCAAACATCGGGTCCCATTGTATACACGGCGGGGGTTGTTGAGAGGCATCCAGTTCATTGTTTGTATATGACTGATTGAAGACTTTAGGTGGCATGAAACGTAGCTCGTTCACAGGCGGTTGAGCGTACGGAATCCCGTAAAAAGCATGTACGTTGGAGCCGTCACAATTGGTGCCGCGTACGCGACCTTGCGAAGTATGTACCGTTGGGGTGGCAGAGACTGATGAGATATTGGCTGCAAGAGCAGCAATTGCTATCAGTCCTCGAACCATATTGTATATCGATTATTCTTGGCCTCAGCAATGTATTAAGGATATTATATTGCTATCGAAGATGAGCCAGGTAGTGTTTGTGAGTACAAGTTCTCCCGTGTTCAAAGGTATGGCGGCGGGGGCCGCACCTATAAGACAGTGTCCCCAATGCGGAGTAATCAAACTCTGGAATCGAATGGTCCATCTCTAAACTCAGAATTACGCGGCTTTTCGGCAAAGCAATGTCGATTAACCTCTACAGCATCTGGTACCGCGTCGCCCTGTAAGGCGGAACCTGGTCGAGGCGCTGGCGCTAAACCCGAAATAGGGTCGCCAGCGCGAGGTACGCAGTGTTCGTCTTACACGGCTTCTCCGGCATTTGGTTTGAACGATGCGCGTACACGAGTAATTTCCCGCTGGATTGACCGTGATAAATGGGGATTGATAGAAAATTTGTAGAATGGAGTTGGCGTGGTTGCTGCTTTACGATGCAGCAGTTCTGTGGTGCTGTCCGGCGTCGGATTGGATTTTGTATTAAGAACTGTCTTCAGGCAATGTACAGTTCAAATACACTCACAAAGATGCCACACGAGCTCATATAGACAGAAACAAGAATACAGTCGTACTGAGATATGTACTTGTTTATACAGGACGCTGGTAGAAATCAAGAGTTGGACTTGCATGCTGAACGAACGAACCCGTCATTTGCATCGAATCTCTCGCCACTAAAAAAAATTTTATTGCGCAGTAAAAGCCAAACATCTGTAACAGACAAAAGGGACACAATTTGTGTAATGGGCAAAAAACTAGGTTCCGGAGGGAGTCGAACCCTCGCTGGCGGAATCAGAATCCGCAGTCATGACCGTTAGACCACGGAACCGTGCCAAGGCACTGAAGCGGTGATCCGCTTCTCGTGGTGTATTTGATGGGGGCGCAGAGAGAAATTAAACTATAAGGACCCTTTGGCCAAAAATTAAAGTACCCACTACGATACCAACTGCCACCACCCACCCGTCATAGTATAAACCGACATATTGTAAACCGAAATCGAAAATGATACTAAGAAAATATTGTCATTGTATTCTAGGATGCGCCATTTTCATCAATAAAGTGCCAACCCCTGCCAACGTGACTCAATCACCGCTCATACTTTGTCGTCTACGCCCTCTACATGGGCCCAAATTCACGGTCCACTAAGACCTCAGCTGCCGCCTTTCTTTCAGATGTCCAAAGCCACCGTGACTAAAAATCTCTTGGTCAATCTTCTTCATTCACCACTCAATTCAACAGATTGAAACTATTCTGAAACAATGACTGCCTCTACCACTGCTCTATTTGTCATTGATATCCAGCATGCTCTGGCTATTGACTCGAAAGAGAGGATTCCCCATGCCGAAAGGCTAGTTGCTGCGGCAGGAGAAGTAGTAGATGCAGCACGCGCCGTGAACCCGCCCTTGATTGTCTTTGTTCAACATGAAGAGAAGCCAGAGAATGGATGTCTTGTTCGAGGCTCGGAGGCCTGGAAACTTGTCTTTAACCCAGATCAGGGTGCACCCAATGAGCTACTTGTTCACAAAACGACGCGTGAGTCTTCTGATACTGGTGAGAGAATTTGCGCTAACACATTGCAGGGGACACGTTTGAATCAAACCCAGGCCTAGCAGACACACTCAAGCAAAAGGGCATCACACATATCATAACCTGCGGTATTCAGAGTGAGTGCTGTGTCGAGTCTACGTCCAAGGGAGCCCTTGCCGCGGGATTCCAAGTCAGCATCCTCCGCGATGCCCATTCGACTTATGATGATGATGGAAAGTCGGCTATTGAGATTGAACGCGCCGTAGAGCAGCGTTTAGAGGCACTTGGTGCAAAGGTCGTTCCCTATAAAGATGCTCTCGCACAGTGGAAGAGCGCCAATGCTCTGTGTTAACTAGTCATGGACGCTGAATAGCAATAAAATTAAATCGAAATGTTTCAAAAAGTAACATTTAAGTAGTTTTCTTTTTATTATTTTGCTTTTTATTCGTTTTCAATTATCGACGGCCAAACTAGAAGCTACCGGCTTAAGAACTGGAAAATCTTCGTATTCAGACTCCGCAAGCAACAGTCGTGCTCCACGTGGGCCGCCGTCAAGGCTGTGAAAAAAAGGTCGTTTTTGGCGCTATCCACGCCAACGTCCCCGCTATTCGGCGCTAAAACTGGCACGTCGCCCGCCGTTTAGTGCCTGTCTGCCCCAACCACCTTGACGGCCAGCAACCCCGAGACCTCTTTGCAATCTCTATTTCCTTTCTTTTCAATCCTAAAAGGTGTTTCTACGCTCGTGGGCTTTGCCAATCCCTTGAAAGTTAGAGACACGGCTACGAGCAGCAAGACTTCGACCACATCTATTCACATCTCCCCGCACTACCACCCCGCCATCATGGGTCCGCCGAAAGTTTTACTGCAACTACTGTGTGCTGCCGGAGCGGCCATGGCGCAAGCCAGCGTCAGTGACAATGAACAGGTCTGGGTTGCCGTTGTCTTTGTTAATCATGGAGAGTCGACTCCAGCTCTCGTCGGTTCTTCGAGAATTCTGACGCCTACGGGAGCCCAGCAGATGCAAGCACAGGGTGACTTGTTCCGCAAACGATACATAACTTCCGGTGATGGAGCCAACTCCAGTGCAACAGTCATTCCCGATATGTCTAAGGTTGCCATCGACAATACTCAAGTTGGTGTATCATCTCTCAGCAATAGTTGGGTCTCTGCGGGGGCAACCGCCTTCTTACAAGGTCTATATCCTCCGTCGTCTGGCGCCATAGCGTCACCCGGCGGCATTGACTTGGGTCACAATCTTGCAGTGGCTGGCAACACAACCTCTTACCCTCTCAATGGTTACCAATATCCTAACATTAAGACATATGGCCTTGGAGATGCAGGCTCCATCTCGTAAGTGTCTCTGATTATCCGTAGCTGACAGCCCCATACTAATTTGAATGCAAGCATCGACGGAACCGAAAACTGCGCCGCCTGGCAAAACACCATTATTAAAAACGTCTCAGATACTCTGAAGGGCTCTGGGGACTTGGACAAAAAGAACAAGTTCTACACAGATCTCTTTTCGACAGCGCCTTTGCAAGGTACTCTGCCAATCCAAGACGCGACATATTTAAAGGCACTCGAAATATTTGACTTTGTCAAGTACCAATACTCATACAACAAGACCGTACACGATTCTCTCAAAGATGCCGATGCCACACTACAGACATTGCAGACAAACGCCCACGAGTTCGAGCTACTTCAAGTCGATGACTCCCGAGGCGGAACGGACGATATTTCTACGCTACACAACATTCCCGGCCGAACATTGATACAGCAAATCTCAATTCAACTCTCCGACGTTGTCAATAATCAGTCGTCCGGCCGAAAACTAAATTTCATATTTGGATCTTCGCTTCCCATGGCATCCTTCTTCAGCATTGCTGGCCTGTTGACTCGTCAAACTGATTCCACACCTATCGGGAGCTTCACTCGGCCCGGAGCCGCCATTATATTCGAACTGGTTGGTAACAGTACGCAAGGCTCGAAGAGTATGCCTTCTCCAGACCGCCTAAACCTCCGCTTCAGCTACCGTCCAGGAACGGGTGCCAATGATTCCATCAGCGCCTATCCGCTGTTTGGTTCCCCAGGAAACACAATGCCATATGCTGCATTCACCACCAATGCCAAAAAGCTTGGAAAGAACTCTTCAGACTGGTGCCAGTTGTGCGGTTCTGCGCAAGGCAACCTTTTCTGTGGTGGCAACCAGGCCGGCAGTGCTCAGATCACACCGTCTAACGGCGGTATGAGCCCAGCTGTTTCAGGCATTATCGGTGCAATTATTATGCTTGCCATTACAGGACTCGCTGCTCTGGCGCTATTCTTCTTGGGTGGCTTCCGCATCAACCGTGCCCGCAATGGCGAGAGAAGCAGCAAGTCAGGTGGCTTCAAGGGCGCTGAGAAGATGGCTAGCGACACCGACGTCCGTCTTGGCAACCGTGGTACCCAAGAGGAGCGCATTGGAAGCTGGGAAATGGGTGGGCACGCGAACCAAAGCGAGTCGCATGATATGGGCATTGTGACATCAGACTTCCTAAGAGCCGATAGAAGACATGATGATGATGGTGCCAGTAGCATTAACCATGCTACGGCTGTTCATGCTAGAGAGAGTGTTTAGCGAGTTTAGCCCATTTGTTATACCGGAACGAATATTGGAAACATGCATATTGCCGATATGGACGCAGGAGTCTTGACTCGATTTGCCAACAAGCTCAGGAGGGTTTGGTTGGCGGCAAAGACATGAAGGCATGAATTTGAATGAGATTAAATTTAGATGCGTATAGAATTAATGGTTCAGGATTATTATATTATTCTTTTAGTTTATTTTCTCCTAGGCGACTAGAAAACCAGTGATCGCCACGTTAACAGTGGTCTCTTATGCCCCCCTCCCAGGGCCACAAAAGGTGGCCTTGCTTACCTGCCAATTTTGCTACGGGCTGCATATTCATATACTCAACACCAAGGGTCCGTCTACAGTGATCATAGAACCTCACCAGCAATATCTCATCTCTTAATTAGACACTAAATTAATACTCATGACCAAAACTTGGGCCTCGCTACTGCAACCTGCCCCATTACCGGACTACTTTTACCAAGCTCTCCCCTCCGACCAACATATTCGCATACTTACACTTCAGCCGTCTACCGTCAAGAATGCGCCCCTTACCGGTACACTTGAAACAATCAGTCTGAAAGATCCTTCCTTCAACTATTCTGCCATCTCATACGTATGGGGCAGCCCGGCTGACCGCGCACAATTCACATGCGATGGCGGCAGACTGACCATCACCCAAAGTCTTGCGGACGGGCTGTCCCGTATGCGCAAGCCAAATGAGCCAGTACGCCTGTGGGCCGATCAAGTGTGCATCAACCAACACGATCTTGCGGAGAGAAGCAAGCAGGTCAAGTTGATGAACCAGATATACCGCAACGCAGCGCAAGTGTTAGTCTGGCTGGGCAGAGACGACGATGGTGTTGCCAGCCGAGCCTTCTCCAAGATTCGATACCTCAATACCGTCTTCTCTAACAAATCACAATATGAGCGGTTTCTTAAAGCATATTCAGAAGATCTTGATAAGCAGCCGCGGGCCTCGTGGGCGCCACTGACAAAACTCACACAGTTACCATGGGCAAGTTTCCAACCTACCTATCAAGTCTTCTATCGCTAACACACGAGACAGTTTCATAGAATATGGATTGTCCAAGAGATTGGCACCCCATCTACAGCTCTCCTACGCTGGGGAGAGTCCGAGATTGATTGGGAGATGCTCTCGTTTGTAGTCGGCATCCTCAACGAAAAGTTCCACCGCCTGCGTATGCGCAACCACATTGGAACACCCAACATCCGCTACTTATACAAACGCTTCATCGAGCCTGAAGAAGATTTTGACGAGAGCCACAACCGTGGGAGCTTTATCTACGAGCTACACCGCGCCCGACACATGCTCGCCGAAGACCCCCGGGACCACGTTTACGCCTTCCTCGGCCATTTCTCATTACAAATCGCCACGCCAGCTTTGAAAAGCCTAGTGGCAGACTACTCACGTTCAGTCGAAGACATCTTCTGTGACGTGGCTGCACGCTCCCTGATTGGCGCTTCGAACCTATTACTGCTCTCAACTGTTCGCAACCCTGAGTCGAAAGATGGTACAGTAGCCCGTCCGCTTCCATCATGGGTGCCAGACTGGCGCCTTGGACCTCACCATATTGCTGGATCTCCTCAAACTCACCATCTAGCCGCAGGCGATACAAAGCCAGACTTATGGATTGACGAGGAACAGTATGTTCTGCACATCAAGGGCCTTCAAGTTGATACCATCACTACATGCTCATTTGAGATGTACGGGTCCGCCTTCAACTTTCCAAGAAGCGACGTCGAAGTACAAGTTACGGCTGTAGAGAAGCTGTGGACATCAATATGTAAATTTGTCCTGCCAATCTCCTTGGACCGCCAATATCATCAAAGCAGCGACAGTGCCTTTTTTGCCATGGCACAGACGCTCTCCAACGCGTGCCATGGTATGGACCGGCTGCGAAAGTACATATCTATACACCCAGACGAATGGATTTCCCATGCTGTAGCATACCTGGTGCGTGCTAGTGGACAAGAAAGCACGAGCATTGGCCTAGACATCCTTGCACTGAACGAGCAAACTCCGGGCGATGCCTTCAAATGGGGCCACGAGGCGACGCTAGTATCACGCCACAAGCGTTTCGCCATCACTAGTAATGGCTACTTCGTCTCCGGACCAAAGGCTCTACAAGAAGGGGACGTTGTAGTAGTTTTATATGGTGGTAAAACGCCGTTTATTCTGCGCCCTCGAACGGAGGACGTCGGAAGTGGCTGGTACATCCTGGGCGAATGCTATGTACACGGACTAATGAGCGGAGAGGTATTTACGAAATGGGATCTTATAGAGGAGGAATTTTCAATCTACTAGGATATCAGCCCCGATATCGGGATACCGGACAACTCACAGTTAATCTCACCATCTTCTCCTTCATCAGCCGTGTTTGTCAGGTCAGCAAATGGTACTCAGCGTTCAGCTGTACAGCCCCAAGTAGATCCAGCCAATAATCAAAATAAAGGGCATCGTATCAATTAATTGCCCAGAGTTACATTGGACACAAATGTCAGTTCACCTGTGCCGCTTGACCGCGCTGTGCTGACCGTCAGCCGGAATTGGGCACTACATGTGGCTTACACTCCGGATCTGCACAGTTGCGATCTCACTTCGATGCTCGGAAAAGCCTTATCGGTGCAAACAATGGCTGTTTCATATTGTAAGATACAGTCACGGGCATTGAGCATGGACCAGTAAGATTGATTAGAGTAATGAATATTTCTTTATCGAGTGGCGCGGGGCCACTGCTCTATCTATACAAATCTCGTCTGCGTAGAGACGCTCTTGGCCTTCATGGCCTTGGTAAAACAAAACATGGCTAACAATAAACAATTGGCTACAAGCCAGATATCCCAAAAACGCCGTCCATTCCAATCCGTGATATGCGTCGAGCATAAGCAACATAGTATTTGAACATGAAAGTAAAAAGAGCTCGCTTACGTGGTGCTTGAAAACATCGTCAATGTGAAGAAAAAAGTGCTCTCCATGAACATTTTACATATCCATGGTAAGGAGTTCCAACCTCGAAAGGATGGGATCCAGTTGGGCACTGATGTGCGCTACACGAGCGATAGCAATGCTAGCAGACTCTTGGGCAACAGCAGCATCAACAAGTTCAAAGCGAGGCGACATCTTCTTGGTATCCATGCCAAGTGTAAGACGGGACAGGGACTCAAAATCGATCTTCTTGGCTTCTGCGGTAAGGGCGACAGGCTCGGAGTGGAACAAAGCGAACTCGGGGTTGGCCTCAAATTCCTCATCGCGAGGGACAGCCGCGATCTTCTCCTTGGCGGGCAGGGAAGAGCGGCGCTCGATAGCAGGGAGCTCAGTCTTATCGTTGTCTTCGGTGAAAGAACCAACAAAGTTGCTGGTCTTACCAGAGAGAACGGCAGCATCGATGGGTGCGGGGAGCTCGGGGGTGTCAACAACAAAAACCTGGGGCTGGAAGTTGAAAGCAGAGTTATCTAAAGCGAGCATGGAGAAGTCAACGCTCTGCTCGGGGATCATGGCGAAGCCAATCTGCTGCTGCTGAGACTGAGCACCGTAGGGGTTAATGTCCTTTGGGGTATCACGCTGCTCAGTTTCCTCGGTCTTAACGACGGCTGCGACAGGAGCGACGGGGGCGCTTGCGGGGTTGGTGCTGAGGTGGTCGAGGAAGTTGGAGAAAGATGGCGAGGACAGAAGCATGCGGGTAAGGTCAGAGAGACGCTTGTTCTCTTCAAGGAGAGCACGGTTGTTGACACGAAGGCGAGTGAGTTCCTCGTCCTTGTTATCACGCTCTTGCTCAAGCTGAGTGATGTATTCCTTTCTGCGAGAGCGGAAAGCACGTGCTGAGACCTTGTTGCGGAGTTGTCTTCGTTCCTTGCTACTAAGCTTCTTGCCCTCTTCACTTGCAAGCAGTCTCTCGTCCTCATCCATGTCATCCTCAGCCTTCTTGGAGCGGGCCATGCCACCAGAGCCGCCGGCAACAGAGCCTTCGGGGGAAGCAGGCTTGGCGCGCATGCTGTTAAGAAGCTGGGTGATCTTGCGCTCAACCATAGGGTCGGTGGGCTGGGCAGACTTGCCGCGGGCCTTTTGAGGGGTGGCCTGACGCTGTTGCATCAACTGGCGCTGCTGGGCCTGAGCCTTGGCAAGGGCAGCCTGAGAGTGGGCACCAGGCCAGAGGCGGCCGTTGCCACTCGAGACGGAAGAAGGAGATACACTACCGCTGCTGTTGTCTTGTTCGATGTTGCTAGGGTTGACGGTACCGAAGAACTGAGAGTCGGTGTTATCAAAGTCCATATCGAGATCAGAGGCGGCGAGGGTAGGCTGGGAAGGAGTGGTGTTGAAGTCGAAGAGATCATTTTCGGGGGATAGTTCCGAAATGTAGTCGAGGTTACCGAAGTCCTGGTAGCCAGTGTTGTTGGACTGGTTGACAGCCATTGTGTTTGCGAGAGCGCCAGGAACAAAACCAGTTTGTTGGCGGTAGAGTTCGTAGTTGTGGCTCGGGCCGCTCAGCGTCTGGCTGGTTGTGGCGGTCATAGAGATAGACTCGAGTGTGGTGGTAGGGCTAGCGAACGAGGGCTTTGAGCCCAGTGAAGGAGATAGCGAGGGAGACTGGTAGTTGACGCCGTCATACTCGGAAAGATCGAGCAGAGCGTCGAAGTCGGTATTTTGACCCGACATGCTGGATGGAGTGATGCGAGGTTGTGAAGGCAAATGCCTGAGTCAGAGCGAAAAAAGCGCTTCGTGGTCCTCTATATGAGAGATGGTTTGCAGAGACTCGAATCGAATGATTTGGAATCGGGATTCGCGTGGATGGAGTGGTAGCGTTGGTGATGTAGAAGAAAGAGAGTTTGAAAATAACTTCCAAGCGGGAAACGAGGCATGAAGGGGGGCAAACGGGCTATGAATGGCAGCCAACAGTGGCAGGCTTAGTGGGCGGAGTAACGCTGCGGATAGTCCGAGCAGTCCGCATCGGCTGGCGGCACGCCTGTGCTGGCCTGTAGTGGTGAGAGCCAGCGCCAAAAGTGGGGCCCCTGCGAGGACGCGTAAGCCTTTGGCAGCAAAGCGACGACTTGATTGACGCTAAGCCTAATTAGGAGCGTGAGGATGACGACGACTTCCAGCACCAAAAACAAGGCTAGCGAGGGTGCTGCGCCGCTATACTGGCCAATCACAGGGCCTCTGGCGCGGTGGATGGTGGCTTTCAGCGCTGTAAAGTGCCCTTTTCAGGCTTGTGCTAACGGACTCTTACAGCGCCCCGACGCCGCTAATAAACAGTATTTGCTCGGCGCAAGCCTCTTCTGGCCAACAAGGGCTTCCATCCAACGAGCCGCAAAAGTACCCGACAAGCACAATAAAATAGTATGAAAAACAAAACCAAAATATTTCCTAGTAAAATATTGATGCGAATGCGAGCACTTTGCATGCTCTAGCTTAGTTCAGCTTAGCAGTCAAAACTAATGATGCTCGACTGCAATGCTGCAATGCTGCGCATGCTAAGCCTGCTTGTCTCTCTCTCTCTTACACATTTCACGTGGGGGGCATCAACACACCGTCCTGGGGCAGTTCAATTACAATTGAATACTTCCTCGCCAATCCATTCCCCCCATTGCTCCGTACCTGCATATTGCGACTGAAAGCTGACGTATGTATATCCGCAACACGTCCTCACCTCTCCCCGTGTGCAATTGATTCTACCCTCTAGGCCCCTGCTCTCTTGCATAACCCACCGCTGCTTCGTGTCTGTTTCGTTTTGGATTTCTCCTCCACGCCAACACCCAAATCGTTTGGGTTGGCATAACCGCTCAAAAGAAAACACGGGGTTGTTGTTCCAAGCCTTGGTAACGCTTATTGGCCAGCACCGGAAGTCGGCTCGCATCCCTTAAGCCAGTGGCCTCGGACTTGTCCTCTGCCCGTTGCGGAATTCCGTGACAAGCTAAGGAGATACTTGATCCGTAGCTGCGCCCCAATACTAACAGTTGGTACCCATGTATCTGATTCCCGGGGATCCACCTTGGGGCTGTGTCGTTCCCCTCGAACCTTCCAAAACGGGTACCCTTTTCGAGGCCGAGTCACGTGTCACGCCAAGTGTCTCATTTGGGAAGCCTTCGAGATGTTTTGTTGTGCATCTGTTGGGCTGGTAACATGTCTAATCTATGAAAGGGGTTATGCTGTCAGGGGCTGCTTCAGGGGACCTCTCTGCCTTGCCACTTTTTTTGCCCAGTGGCAGGGTGAACAACGACTGCCGGGAAGATATGGGGAAACAGCCCACGCTATAAAAAGAAACATGAAAATGGGGCCTTCTCGATATCTAACCCGCATCGCTCATCTCCTGCTAGACCCTTGGGAGAGAGGTTTATTTCCTGTCTAACCCTGTTGTTTATTTGTGTTTGTATTGTGACAATTAATATCGTCCCAGGATATGCCCGTAGCCAAGATGTCTTCCGGTTAATCTCCAATATTTGGGGTGCCTAATCCATTGATACGTTACTGCCTAAAAATGGATACACATGTTAGGCAAGAAACATTCCAGATGCGCTATTTCATGGGTCATGAAAACAAGGCAACGATTTAAGATTGATGATCAACTTCCAGTTGGGCATCGCCGATGAAACCCTTGTGTTCAAAGCTGTCCTCACCGAACAGTCCCTCCGTGACGGTGTTGGCGTCGCAAAAGCGGTCGTCGTCCTACGTCAGAGCACCTCAAACAGCAAACACGGTCTCCAAGCAGATATATATTGTCATGTGCTACCACAAAAGATTTTTCGTATCATCCATAAATTCGGAAATATTTTTCTTCATTTACAATGACCAACAAACCCTTCTACCAGCTCTAGATGATGCGGCGCAAGATCCCACCACGGCGCTTAGGTAATGCAAGATTTTCTGCCCAATAGACATCGGTGAAACGTCGTCGCCCAACGCTGGACTCACAGCATCACCCAGCGCACAAACCGTAACTTGCAAGCCTGGACCATCGTCAAGAAATTTTGTAAACGCATCGCTTTCATCTCGGGCGAAATCTATTGAATCTTATCTCATGACTTCTTGCAACTGCGTTGGTTGATTAAAACAGGACCAGCCTCTGCCTGGCCGCTCTCGGCGTCTTCATCTCTCTGGTCCAAAGTGATTCCCCTCTCACCGTCTAGCTGGCATATCTGCGGAACTTAATCTCCAAACATGCTGATCTCGATCTAGTCAGCCATGAGTAGGGAAAACAGAGGGTTGGCCGAATCCTCGGCGCTCCCAGCGGAATTAGACCCAAGACGACTGGTGCCTAAAAGCAGGCATCACTCATACTTTGAACTCGTTGAGAATAAAGACAAGAAGAAGAAGCTGGAATTTAAGGTTTGAATTGTCTCCTACACACCTGATATGATATGAATGACCACTCACCAACTGAATCAGACCACCTCTGAGAAGATTCCACCGCCAGGGTTTGAGTTTGTTCCCATTGGGAATCCTGACCTGACCACGGCCTGCAAAGAAATATCTCGTGAAAGAGAAGCTCTGATATTTATCGTGTCGGTATGAAATACGCAGTACATGTCTATTACAAGTGCATCCAGTTAACAAATCTGCACAGACAGCCAAGAACTCGGACGCACAACATTTGTCTCAGCAGATTCACCGCATCGGCCACCATATTCGTGAGACAATCGTCGCGGAAGCCAGAACATCCTTAAACTTGGCTGAAGATCATGGTTCATCATCATCAAATGAGTTGGAAGCCATACCAACTTCTGAAGCCCAGTATCACGCGCAGGTTGACGCAGCGATCAGAGACTTATTTCCACGGATACCAAATACCGATCGCCAGCAAATCATTGACACATCCTTCACACGGTCTCGTGCCACCGCAAATGCTGCTGCTGCAGCTCTGTATGTACCCGATGCGCTTACAGGCGAACCCAAAGATGGCCTTGGTCAAGTGCCAGTTGGCCTCTCCATGGAGATTCCCCTCGCTCGTCGCGTCCAGCTTGCTGTCTTAGCTCATATCCGACATACTCATACCCGATATGATGAACTATTAAAGGAAACATCATGGAATTCTGCACGGAAAGCTGTCGAGACATTGTGCCTTGATACACTTGTCAAATGGCGTGGAGATGAAGAGACTGGGCGCGACCAGCTAGACGAAATATTGCAGGAGGTTGTTGTCATATCTGATTCTGATGACGAGTCTGAAGAATCTGAAGAATCTGATTCTAGCGAGGCATCATCTTCAGATGAAGATGAGCCCCCCAGACGGCGCCGACGATTAGACTCTGATGTCACTGCGCGGCAGCCCCGACTGTCCGACGAGAATTACCCGTCCTTTCTTCACGTGGACCATTCGTCGCGGGCATTTCAGCAAACCACTGCTGATGACATCGCACGAAGACGGAGACAAGGCTTTAGGCGGTATCAGGCATGGGAGGAAGCCATACGCCGTAATCGTATCGATGAGGCGCCACGCTATTCTCCAATGCCTTTGGATGATATTTCTCGGTATCGGACACCGCCAGTGGCAGGCCCTCCCTCACACTTTAAGCCGCAGGTTCTTGCTCCAGTATATGCGATACCAATCAAATCGCCGTCTCCGCCCACTGTGGAGTTGAAGGATATGTTGGTCCGGTCAATTGAACCCGAGTCTGGCGAAATCCCAGGAGCTACGTTCATCCGTACCCTTCCACCACGACAATTAATACCACTAGACTCACTGGCTCGAGAGCCGCCTGCTCGGTATCATGAATACCAGCATTCGGGAGGATCGCCTTATCAATATGCACCCCATGCACCGGCTCTTCAGCAGCACCCAGTTATGCAGGATAGGCTTCATGGCGGTCATGCACCCATCCCCATTCCCAACCCGCAAGTGCATAACCATTTTCACATGACCGATCCTAATCCTGGTTTCACATCCTCGTCTTTGCCCGCTACCCGATTCTATGAGCCCGAGAGACGGCCAAGGCAGCAAAGCAACTCCCCTGACCTCCCACCAGCAAAAAGGATTGTTTTGGATGCGGCACGTCCCGGAGAACGACCAACACAAGTGATAATGGAGGACAGAGGAGGCTTTTACGAAAAGGTTTTTGTCGATACCCCTCCTCCAGGAGCAGTCTTGATCAAGGACGCCCCGTATCCCTCACCTGTCGCTCATGGCTATCTACCTGATGCGCGCGGCCCACCTCCAGCCATCCATACAAACCATGGTCTAGTTGAAGTGGTTAGAACCGCGCCATACCAAGGTCATGTGCCTCATCCTACTGCTTCGCCGTCACGGATACCAGCCGCCTTCGCCCATGCTGGTCAGCATCACACAGATGCCGGCAATCCGTACATAGCACAGCCCGTTTTCTATCGTATAGAGTAAGTGGAGATGCATCTCAATTGCCTGACATCCAGCTAATATCATCTACAGAAGAAGTGGTGGTCAGCATGCAGCTGTGCCTCAGTATGCGGACCGGCCGCTGGATTCGCCTACAAGAGGCCGAAGAAACATGGACTACGAATAAAAGTCTATCAACAGCTGCTCTTTCGGGTGAACTCTACATAATGAAGAATATGACTTACGATTAATGACTGGCACTAATATCTCGTTTGGGACTTGAGCAAGATCGGCTAGAAGAAGCCTTTTTATTGCTGGAGGATGATACCCCGGATAGTTAACGCAACACATATAAGACGTTCTTGTTTAATGAAATCGATGTCTTTTTGTATCTTGAAAATTCATAAATGCAGTACCTAAACAAAAGAATTAACTGTATATATAAATGCTCCTGTACGAGCAATGTCCCAAGATTCTTGTCTTGCTGTTAGTTTCGTCAAAACAGAACTTCAAAACTCCATGTCACCGTTTGGATGTCAGTTTCTTCCTCCTCGTCTACCTTTACCAACACCACCACCGCTCTGGCCATGGCGCTTGTCAGCTCCCAGACCGCGTCGGCCAGCAGCAATGCCACCGTGACCGCTGCGTCCACCACTTCCACCGCGGAAACCACCACCTCCGCGGCCTCCGTTGAAGCCGCCTCTGGGCTTTCCAGGGCTGATCTTCTTTCGGATGGCCTCGACATCGTTGGCATCCATCTCCTCATCGTCATCGTCGTCGTTGGATCGCTTGTTGGAGAACTTGAGCTTGCCACCACGTCCACGCTTGGCGACATCACGGCCCTTGATGGCAGCAACGTAGGCACCCACGCCAGAGGCTTCGCCTTGGTCAACATCCATAGCATCGCCTTCATCGTCGCTGTCCTTGCCAAGAATGAGCTTGCCATCAAGATCGACCTTAGCCTTGGTCTTCTTGGGAGCTTGGCGCATCTTCATGGGCTTTGTGGAGGAGATGTTGGCAAGAGCCTTCTTGTCAAGCAGATCAAGAGGCTCATCCTCGTCTTCCACAATGTACGTCTTGCCACCCTTCTGGTTCTTTCTGGACTGTCTAGCAGGCTCGTCGTCGTCATCGTTGTCATCTTCCGATTCACTGCTGTAAATGGCGCGGTCGTATTCGTTCTCGAACTGGTTCTTGCCGTGTTCCTCATCGTCGTCACTGCCGTCCTCATCGTTTCCAGCTCTGTCGGCATCCTTCTTCTTCTTGGCACGCTCCTTGGTCTTGCGAATGTTGACAATCAACTTTCTATCGGCCTCGGGGCAGTTCTGGTGCACAATTTCAAAGCCAAAGCGGCGGACCATGCGCTCGAAAATGTGCTTGACCTTGGCCTTAAAGTGGCCCTTGTGCTCGTGGCTCCAGATGATCAAGTTCGGTACCATAGTGGGGAGACGGGGCATCATAAGCTCGACAGGGAGACTGATAACGCAAACTTTGACGAAGCCAAGACAGCTCTTGACAATTTCACGGTTGTTTGAGGTGAGGAACAGATCCATTGTTTGAACAAGGTCTGACAATGTCTGGTCGCTGAGAGAGGAGCGGAATTCGTAGAGAAGCCTGCTGATGGCGGTGATGGAAGCAGAAATCATGTGGGGTGTGCTGCCAGCAAGACCGGCGCTGACCATGGTGAAGAACTCCTCAATGTTGGCCACACCAGCGGGGGCATCGCTAGACATGTGAGGAACCTTTGTGTTGTCAATAGGGGCGTTGTTGGCAGAAACCATGCGCTGGCCCATCTGGACAAGAAGATCATAAGCAGTCTCACGAGCGCGCTCATTATTCTCCTTGCAGCAGATGACGACTTCGCTCAAGACAGAGGGGATGAAGTGGAGAGAGTTATCGGGGATATAAGGTAACAAAGCACTGATGGCGGCGAGACGCTCGCGTCGAGCGGGAGCGGATACCTTCTCCGTGCTGCTGAGAATAAGCTGTTGGAGTTCATCAGAACGTTGGGTGAGAGCGGCCTTGCCAAGCTCAGAGGTCTCAAGGCGCGGGATAAGCTTGTAAGCCTTCTTTTGGAGCTGGGGCTCGTCTCCACGGTTGATAATAAGAGACGCAATTTCAAAGAGCGTTGCAAAGCTCTCTCGTGGGAGGTAGGCTGAGATGGTGATGACAAGATCCATCAAAGTCTGTGCTGTCGACGGCATATGGTCCTTGCCCTTGTTTCCCTTCTCCTTCTCTACCTGCTGTGGGTTCTCTAGCTCAGCAGCCAACATTTTGCTAACTCTGTCAAAGGTCTCCATGAGCTCTTGGTTAGGAGTAATGCTAAGGAAGGCGTTGACAGTTTGCAGGATGGGGCCTCTGCTCTGGGGAAGGGTCTGGGTGTAAACGTTGAATAGCACAGCCAGCATGTTACCAGCGAATTGTCCTAGGTAAGTAATGTTTTTCGAAGCAGTCTCCTTGGAGACTCGGCTCTGGAGAAGGAAGTCCTCTTCATCATCACCAATGCTGGCAATGGCCTGGTTGGACTCGACAAGGACTTTAAGAGCACGGCACACGTCTAGGCGCAACTCGACCTGCTTGTATAAAAGATTGGCGAGCATTTCGGCGAAGGACTGGTCGAATGCCTCAGTGAGATCTAGGGGCAGATCGCAGTATCCAGGGAGCATAGACCAAACCTGTTGCACTACTGTTTCGTAAATCTTAATCTCCATAGTCTTAGGAGCCTCACCATGATCCAGTACACGCTGGAACATGGCTTCACTCAGAGCGATCATCTCAGTCTTGAAGTGGGACAGGTTTGTGTTGCTGGTGTAATCACGGAGAAGGGGAAGAAGCCACGCGCGGCCGTTCTGGCCCTTGACAGGCTTCACCAGGTTGAGAGGCAGTACAGAGAGAGCGGCTTTGGGGCCCATGGCGCGGATAGCTTGTCCAATAACTTCGTCAGCCTCTTGCTTATTACGGAAGGACTGGTTTTCGCGGATCTCGCCAATGGTTCTCGTCACATTCAGCAAGATAGGGTTGGCCCGCCAGCGCAGGGCAATGAACATGGCGCCAATGACGTTGAATGTTTGCAACCAGGCGGCTTGGTACTGAACTGTGAGGAGTGCCTCGGCAGTCTTGGCAAGCTTTTCCAAAACCTTTTCGTCGTATATCGAAGGTTCGATGATGACTTGCTGCGGGATACAGTTGGCAAGGAACGAAATCATGCATTCGGAGGCGGAAATTCGGATGTTCTCAGACTGGGAGCCGAAGTACTGAGTAACCATATCAAAGAGAGTAGGGAGCTTCTGGAAAGTGTCTTCAGGTTCGACCTGAGCAGACACATCGTATCCTCGAGAGAGAATTGCCAGCCACGCGGGGACAAGCTGGGTATCGTTGGGTGCAGGCTGGAGTTCGGAGATGATGTCCATAAGTCGGGGGAGCTTGGCGGAAGAGACGTCGTTTGTCATGCTGGCGAAGATCATTTCGAAGATTTCAAATGCGGCCATGGTCATATATTCGTTGCCGGTCTTGGCGATGCCGAGCAAAAGTTCGCAGAGGGATTCGATCTTGGTGCTCGGCCAGCCACCACTGGCAGCAGCGACAGTCTTAACCAAGTGCAGAGCATGAATCAGCTCAGGATCGTTTGTAGAGCCTGGTGTCTTCTTGCCCTTGCGCGCCTGGAGGTTCTTGGCAGCCAGCTCCTCGAGGTTCTTCAAGGCAGTCTGGGCACACATATCTGCTGCCGGGTGGTCCAGAGATGGGCTAGGAGGAGGGTTCTTCAAAACCTTCTTCAGAGCATCCTGCGACCTCTTGCGGACCTTGGGGCGCTGGTCAAGAGCAAGGTTCAAGAGACCAGCAACAGCACGCCGGGGACCAATCTGGGACACTGACAGTTCCCACGATGGCATGTCCTGAGCCAGCAAAAGGGACTCGAGGCAGCCAATCGATGTGCGGAGAAGAAGAGGCTCGGCATCCTGCATCAGAAGAACGGGTGCAAGCAGTGTAAGAATCTGTGTGAACTTGGATCGGAGCAGAGGCTGGGGTGCGAAAGGTGTCACCACATCGAGAAGATAGACAGCGGGAGCCGCAAGTTCAACATTGACGTTGCCATCGCTGATTGCCTGTTGCAGAAGGGCGAGGAGAGCCGCAAAGTAGCCAGTCGGCGTCGGGGCGGAGTTTTGTTCTTTCAATGTCGATTCTACGGCCTGAAGAATAACGACGGTCTATAGAGAGTGTTAGCGGGATACTGAAGCGGGCGACTGCTCGCCACTTACTCGTTTTTGACTCTGAAGGCCGGGAGACTTGATCTTGTCAAGCTTCTCAGCCAGAGTTGGCGTCGACATGATGGCGTCAAGAAAACTTTTGTAGTGGTTTTCCTAGAAGCCGAAATGTTCGGTGAAGCAGGTGTCGAGACTTGTAGTGCACTAGGCTTCTCCAGCAAAAATTGTTACGGCGGGAAAAAAATTCCTTATCGGCTCCCCGCGAAAGCGATAAGAAGAGGGAATATTCGCACAGTATGGATAGGTGGTTTTGATGTGAGATATACCAGTGTGTATACAGTGTGAATTAATGTTTCTGTGTTAGAATAGCATTATTGGTTAGTTTGGAGACATAAGGATACAAAATAATACTTTTTATATAATACTATGACTGCTTGAATTCATTTAGTATGATTTAATCTATATCGTTTGCTTATATTGCTAGCATAGTCTAAAGCGTTCACTGCACTATAAACCACGATAGTGTGAGTGTGCATCTGAGCCCTACGTTGTCGCCAAATATCAATGTAATAGGGAAAATAACGTTCACAGTAATTATTTCTGTAAGTATAATATCCATTCGTAAAATCATACCCTCATCCTATAATAGAATCATCACTCAATTATAAACACACCGTAGCCAGCACGCTCTCCAGGGTATCTGCAGCACCACCAACAAACAAAACAGGTGGACCATGAGCTGCCTACGTAATGCGCCGCCCCGCCACCGCCCGCTAGCTTGCAGCAGCTCCGCCGGCCGAACGTCGTTGCATGCAACTCGACCAAAGCCGCTCTCTCTCCCGCCCAAACGACACACGCCGCACAACACCTTCCCAATGGCGTTTCTAATTCTCGTGATTGGCGACATTCACATCCCCGACAGGGCCCTCGACTTCCCTGCCAAGGTGAGTGCACGCTATCCCGGCTTCAAAACCGCCGAGCTAACCCACCATGTGCTTGTGATGTAGTTCAAGAAGCTTCTTGCTCCCGGCAAGATTGGCCAGACGCTATGCCTCGGTAACCTGACAGACAAGACAACATACGAGTACCTCCGATCCATCGCCCCCGACCTCAAGATCGTCAAGGGCCGCTACGACGTCGAGGCTACCTCGCTGCCGCTGACGCAGGTCGTCACCCACGGTGGCATCCGCATCGGCTTCCTCGAGGGCTTTACTCTCGTGTCCAACGAACCAGATCTGCTTCTCGCCGAAGCAAACCGCCTAGATGTAGATGTTCTCTGCTGGGGCGGCACCCACAAGTTCGATGCCTTTGAGTACATGGACAAGTTCTTCGTCAACCCGGGTAGCGCGACAGGAGCTTTCCTAAACGGCTGGGGCTCGGAATCAGAAGACCCATCACCGAGCTTCTGTCTGATGGACGTAAGTTGCTATCATACAGTACAATAGTAACACACCTTTAGAGCAATCGTTCTAACGTCGTATAGGTCCAAGGCATATCCCTCACATTATACGTGTACCAACTAAGAAAGGATGAACAAGGCAACGAGAACGTCGCGGTAGAAAAGGTCACATACACAAAACCTGTTGAGCCATCAGGCGGCTCATAATGATGAAATGATGAATCGCCAAATAGAGTGGCAAATGAGTCGGATATAGAACTGGGTGACGGCCGACCGATTTCGAACAAGGCTACACTGATCTGTGAAGGTGGTGCGCTGGCTTTTTCTTTTTGAGTGGCATGCTATGCTGGGAGTTTATCAACGAAAGCGCTGATCTTATTTTCTGTTTTTGACAAATCAAATATACAAGCATTGAAAAGAAATCGCGATCCGAATACATAAATAGGAGAGAGAGGCAATCTGTAAAGCAACAAGAGCACAAGTTAGGCTCAATATTGAATGAATAGAATATGCAAAAAAGCTGGTATGCTGAAAACATGAAAAAAACACAAGCCATCCAAACAGACGCCTCCCAGTAAAAACGCCAGGCTTTACTCCGTCAATGACAAAATTTTTTAAGCAGTGGTATCACAAATGTTCCCCTATACCTCCTCTTCCTCAAACCATCATGCTCCGCCGCCGCGATCCTGTACGCTCCTTGGCAACGGATGCAGATTCGGCATCCACGGCCGCAGAGAACCGTCTTGACGCCTTCCCTCTCGTAGGACGACCAGTGCTCTCATCCATTTTTGGTGACGAGCTCTCAAAGTCGTAAACATCAACCTCGGCTGCGTCCTCATCGTCGTCATTATCAAGATGAGCGGCAAAGTCTAGGGCTCGGCGAACTGACGAAGTTCGCTTACGCTTCTCTGTTGTTTCAACTTGTTCCATTGGCGAATTGTCTGCGGCTGGAATGGCCTGCAGAGCATCAGGGCCAGCTGATTCCCGTTTAACAGTACTCTCTAGAGACTGGCTCCAACGTCTGGATTTGGCCTCGCCAGCAACAGCGTCGAACAATTCCTTTGTCGGTCGTCGCATTTTGACTCGGAGACTTGGTTCCGCATAGCTGATAGTAGTTCTATTTCTTCTGCTTGGCCGAGAAGTTTCTCCCATGGATGAAATGTCTGCTGGTGGAGGGGTGTCCCCACGATGCTCTTCCACTGGTGGTGTTGGCTCTGGCGACGCCGGAGAGAGGAAAGCGGTCTCCGCCATGCTGACACTGAAGTCAACAGGAGAAGCAGTAAGCTTTGGAGTAACGGATTCTTGTAAAGATAGAGACTCGACCCTCGAAACCTTGCTCTTGGGCTTCAACTTGTCCACGGCAGGCTTCTGTCGCACCAAATTAGCTTTGGCTACAGCAATATCGTCCATTGCAATCAAATGAGCAAGCTTCTTCGGCGAGGTGATATCCTCATTTGTTGTCTTCGATGATAGTGGCTTTCGGGCAGGCTTCGTGGTGTCTGGTCGGTTTCTTGCCTCCCGTCGTATCGAGGCCAATTCCTTCAAAGATTTGCCATATGCCTTTTCCCTGATAGCTACCTTTTCAGAAGCGGAGTTGGTGTCGGTACCATCCTCCGCTATCCTCTGAACCGGTACATTTTCCATCTCACCACCAAAGTCAAGCTTGCGCTTAGAACCTGCTTTGACAGGCTTGGGCCGCCGTTCTTCGACAGTAGCGAGAACTTCATCAGGTTGAACCATGAGCGTAGATCGCTTTTTGGGAGATGTGTTGATTATGATGGTGCTCTCATTGACAGGAGAAGGAAAGCGGACGGGTGAGTTGAGCAAACTTGACGAGCTACGCTGAGGCACTGGGCGATCCGGAGAGTCAATTTTGACAGGGTCTCTTGTTGGAGATTCCGTGACGGAATGGAGTGGCCTGTCATGGGCTGCTGAGTCGGCTTCGGAAATAAGCGCTGATATTTGTTCGGGGCTGTTCAACGTTAGCGATCTCTGTGACGCCACGGAAGCATAGTAGCCATCATACTTGAGGGATTGACGTGAGAATGCTTTGTGTTCGGAAATGTGACCCAGCTCTTCGACTTCACGAGCAATATCTCGAAGTCTTCGTTGTGATGGGCTTGTTCTGCTGACCAAACTGGCGCTAGAACGCTGATTCTGTGATCTCGGCGATTCAGGCAAGCGTCTCTTTTTAGGAGGCTGGACGCCCAGCTCGGCAACTATTGTGCTCCATTCAGCCAGTTGTGATTCGAGCCTTTGTTTGATATCGAGGGCGTGGTCGGCAACTCGACGCGCTTGTTTGTCTTCAGCCTGGCCTTCGAGTTCGAGAATGCGGCCGCGGAGTGTTAGGTTTTCGGAAATGGCACAAGCTAGCTCACTTTCCAATTCTCGTATTCTGAGGGCTCGGACGTTATTGCATTTGGCAAGCTCTCTATTTTGTCGAAGCATCTTGCGCCGAACTATATGTTGAAACAGATTAAAGTTAGCAGGCCAGTGTCATTACGGTGTCGTAGTCGGATAGTCAACGCACGCGTCTCGATGTTGTCCGTAGACATTGGAGGCTCATTCAACCTAGCCATGGCGCATAATGTGCCGTATTGTCGGTGTTGGTGGTGTTGAGGGTAAAGTCTGCAGCGAGCCAAAAACGTTTGAGGTTGATGAAGCGCGACGCAAGGCGTGCTAGTAAAATGCCACCGTCGGGAATGCTGCTGGCCACTGGAAATCGAGGCGTGTGGGTAGCTGCCACAGTGGGACGAGTGTTTACGTTTGCCCCAATTTGGGCGAAAGCAACATAACTAGGCTTAGCGTCTCTGGTTGCTCCGGCAGCACAGCACTGCACGTGTGGCGTCGCGTCGGGGGTTTTAGCGGCTGTGGTCCACTAACGAACCACTGTAGGCTTTATCGATTATAGTGGCTGTCCTTTTCCTAATGGCGGGGAACGTGCCTTTGACTGTGTGCCCTATCGACGACATCTCTATTCAACAGACACACCAGACCCCTAATTCACAGCAATGGCGTACTCAGGAAGATCAATACCATCGCAAGTAAGGGCGCCAAGCATGGCACCCGGAGGCAGCCAGCAATCATCCGCCCTCGCAGCGCGCATTGAGGAGAAGCGTGCCGAACTCGCTCACCTCCAGGACCTCCGCGATTTAAGCGGCGAAGTTGCCTCACAGATGGAGCAACTTGAGCAGAAGCTCTCTACGTTATCGGATGGAACTGAAGGTATGGGAGATTGGTGATATTGGAAAGGAGTCGTTGTTGGCTAACTAGCATTAGCGATTGCTACCGTGGTTGGCAACTGGCATAATGTGCTACGCGCCATCAACATGGCCTCCTGTACGTTGGACAAGGAGAAGATGCCCTACGTTTGCAATATCTGCTAATGATTATTTCCTTGCAGCAAAATTAGCTCCCGAAGCCGAAGGCAACCAGCCAGAGTCTGATGTGCCGCTTCCTCAGACTCTGGTACGCATCCCGACAGAACATGCGCCAGCACTACAAGCCCAAACCGAGAATTTAGAAGCTGCCGAAGGCGAAGACGAAACAATGGGTACCGCCAGCTGAGCGACTCTTCTATTTGATACAAAAATATGCTCGAAAGTCATGATTGCAGCATGCATCTGGTACAGCAGGTCTACGCTAATGGCTGCCTACACTCCCTCCTCTTATCACCGAGTTGATGTCGCAGGATGGGACGTTCGCTGTGACTGCCATAATTGTCAGGAAACTGCCATTGCTCTTCTACAATGAGCCAGCCACTACTATTTACGGCCGTGATCTTTGGAAATCGCCTATATTTCCGATCTGTGCGCTGCTCACTGGACGCACTGTTCCGTCGTGTGGGGAGCAGTTGCAGACGCGACGCGTGCTGGCTGCTGCATGGCTGGCAGAAGCTGCACTCGGCTGGAATGGTCGCAGTATTAGCCCCGATTTGCGCTCCCTAAAAGCTGTGGGACAAAAAATTAAGACAAATAAAAAAGCCCGACCTGTAGCAAACAATCACATTGTTTGCTTGGATTTACATGGGTCGAGGCATTTCTGCAACTGGTGGTACAACGGGCCATAGAACCGCTCACCTGCCGTCTGGGGGAAGTGCAGGTGCTGCTCTTGGCCTGCATGATGGCTTGCAGCAAGTAAATAGCAACTGCAGCAACGGCTACACAAGCGTAAACAAAACAAAACTAGCAAAACAATATTGCCAACTTGCACTCTGATATTACTCTCGTCACGTCACGTCCACGTCTCTTCTTCTCTTCTGCACTACTTCATCTGTTTTCCAACATACATTTCTAAGCTTAATTCAGTTGCTCTGGTCGTCTCACTAGCCCCGAGGGTCCCTGTAAACTATCAAGCAAGGGGTCTTGTAGCGCTTGCTTTCTACTGGCACGCTTCTTCATCCGCGAAATTGCTGCGGATCTACTAAAGTATTATCCCTGTCTATCACATCGTTACTAGCGACCTTCAGAATGGTTCTCGAAGCCTTGCCCCCTGCCTCGACCCTGTGCAGCGACTTCACCATCCTCGAGGACAATGCCAGCGTTCACTATCTAAACAACACTGCCAAAGCTCTCGCTAACCAGCAGCCTCCTCTGGCGGAGAGTCCGTTTCATAACAACAAGAGCAATATCATTGAGATAGACTCGTATCCGAAGCCGTTTTCAGCAGAGGATCAAGAGAACCGCGTTGTTACTACCGGCTCGCCGCAATACTCAAAGTCACCCAAAACAACGCGTCGTATTGTTGCAAACATATCGTCTCGCTCTCCCACGTCTGATCAGGACATATCAAAGGTTAAACAGGTCGTTAGACAGAAGCGACGACCAGCATTACTGTCTCCCAATCATCGTCGACCAAACACCCCTTCTCTAGGTAGGCTCGTCTGTTGCCATGATCATGATCGTTATCTAATCCAACCAGTCTCGATTCAGGAAGACAATCCTTTGGCCATTGCCTCCCCTATTTCTAGTGTCCGCACACAAGTCGAGAAACACCTTACAGGTCAGTATGACTGGTTACTGGTCTGTCCAGCAGATACCACCACAATTGGTTCCAAGTGCCAGCCAGTGCTCGCTGTTACAACTACAAAAAACGACGATGGCTTACTGGCATATGGTTGTAACTTGGTGCGACGAACTACACCACCGTTGACAGCTCATGAGGCATCTCCCAAGCATCTGGTCGCTGACAAATTTACGTTGATAGCCACACCAATCTCCGCTGCGTTGACGGCCGATTGTTTCAAGTCAATGCAGCTCATAAAAGAAATGGCCGCCATTGACATTCCTCAGCCACCGCCACATTTTGGGGTAGCCGCCCTTAGTGTTCCAGAGGCAACCGAGGCTGTTCAGGATGCACTCTCTCCAATTCCATCACCCTCAATCAAATCGGAACGTAGCTTTATTGGAGCTATTTCGCCTGCTGGTTCGTTCTCAGGGCCGCGCATTGAAGATTCGCTGGAGGAGATTGACAAGTTGGAAGAAGAACTGGAAGCAATAAACGAGGTTGCGGATTTTAAGGAGGTTAATTCGACCCGCACAAATCCACCAAAGTCAACGTTGAATACGCTGCCCACCACAACGACAAACGCTTCGAGAGCTCGAAAACGTGCGTCAATGGCGAACCTATCCCCAAGTACTCGGCTTGGTTTGGCTGAGAATGCAGAGCCTACCTTGAGGAGGTCAGCATCATTGCGCTTGCGGCCAAATATTGAATCATCCCCGGTACGATCTTCGGAAAAGAAGGTGCATGATGCCCCGGCAAGTGCTCAAAAGGCTGGCTTTAAGAGGCTACCGACAAGCAAGTCATCCAAGCCACCGACCGTGCCCAAATTTGAGCTCCCTGGTGAAGCTGTTGCTCGGAAATTGCGAGAGCAGCGTGAAGCAAGGAAGCTCCAACAAGAACAAGCTGCAAAACTAGCCATGTCCCCTCCGAAACCTCTCACTCTTACGAAACCGTGTTTTGAGCTACCAGGCGAGGCCATCTCTCGGCGCAAGCGTGAGGAAAGAGAAGCTAAGCTCAAGGCTGAAGAGGAGGAAGCTCGCAAGAGGCGAGAGTTTAAAGCCCGTCCGGTACGTCACAGCATCGGGCCTAACACATTGCCCCGCGAAACCGCAACCAGCAGAGCACGAGCAGCGCAGACACAGCAAAATGGTGACTTACTCCGACCGACCCTATCTACCCAGCAGAAGAGGATGTCTATTGGACCGGGAGTTCATCTCACAGCAGCTAAACCTTTGCCGAGTAGCAGAAGCTCGCTTTCCAGTAGCACAAGTGCAGGATTATCTCGTCAGTCGACGGCAGATTCTAAAACACAAGGCGTGGCTCCCACCATAACCACATGGGAGGCTGCCCAGAAGGCTTTGCGCCGAAAGAGCACATTTCTGGAGACTATTCATGATACGCGTCAGCGGGAACGCCAGGAGAAGGAGAAGACGATGAAGGAGGCTAGAGCACAGGCCGCGGAGCGCTCTAGAATTGCTAGCCGTGAGTGGGCCGAGAAGCAGCGACGACGAGAGTCGAGTCAACATTAGAATCGATACAGGAGAATGTTTGCAATGGGAGTTATTTGGAAGATGCATTGGTCATCATGGAAATGGACGGGCCTGACTTTTTACCTTGTTGGCGCTGGGGGAGATGTTGAAAGTAGCATGTATTATATTCCGGCGGCTGTGCACCACAGGTTTGCTGATTGTTCATTTTATAACGAGTCAATGAATGCATTTATTACACCAGAAACAGATTTATGTGGACTACAGCAGGAACGAAAAAGTACTCTATCAAAGCTGTCTATTGGTCTTATCGTAATGTTGAATGACAATCCTCTTTGATGAATCTTTCCTCCAGACCAAGTACAGAAGGTCACAAGCTAGGTTGATGTAGTGAGAGATGATTGAAATTGTGTTTTTCGCTATTGATTGTTTCCTTCATGGATGTATATTCTATCTATAATAACTACACCCATACAAAAACATTTCCCTTTTCTTCAAAGTGACAGTATAGGCACTGCCACAAAAACAAACATCTTGCCATCTGCAACAGGATGCCCAAGTTGGAATCCAGGTCTTGTGAACCTTGCAGCAATCATGCTTTCCTTGTGTCGCCGCTGAGGGCCGAGCCCAAACAAAAACAAATAAGAGACCGTGATAATGATTCAAGACACAAAAAGACAAGAACAAAGAAGACGAAGAATCAAGACACGGAGTGCCATATACAGTTCAGCAAGCAAAAATGAGCGTGATGAATGGCAAGGGGGGTTCTTGGACAACACCAAGTTATCCCAAAAAAGACAGAGACAAAAAACAGGTCAGATTATGTATCAGGAGCCAAAAGTTGATGTTCGCCCGGTGTCCAATATTACGTCGTATATACAGCGAAATGTGTCGACAGGCTGGGTTGGCTAACAGCGCAACAGTGGCAGATTAGACGCTCCAATGAAGACTTGAGCGGCAAAGAGGCTTAGCCACGAGATGGGTGGTCGATGGCAGAAGCCAGGAGGTGGCTTTCTTAAAAGTTCTGGGCAATGCCTGCGCTCTGCTGAGGGTAATGAGCAGAGTTCTCAATCTGGGTGTTGCGGCGAGCAGGGTTGTCACGAATAATGGCCTGGCCAGCGCCTTGGGCGCCGTTCTCAGCATATGGTCCCTGTCCGTACTGGTCATAGTAGGCACCAGCTGGGCCGTTGTAGCCGTCTGATCCTTCAGATCGGCCACCAACACTATAGGAGGAGGAAGCGTTGGATGGACCGCGGCGAACATTGGAGGGGTTGTTGGCGGCAGAAGGGCCCATGGCACCAAGGATCTCACCCTCCTGAGATGAGTGTTCAGCGGCATAGGCAGCTTCGCCAGCAACAGAGCGGGAGGGACCCGTGCCGTCCGATAAGGCACCGGCAGCAGCGCCGCCAGACATGGTAGTAGAAGCCTTGCGGCCCATGGAACCTGCCACAGTAGAACCCCAGCCGCGGTAGCCCGCAGAGCCGTCTGAGCGCATCTCATAGGCAGCGTCGCCGGCAGCACCTACAGCGGGAATGGTTGGATCATTGTTGGGGTTGTAAGAGTAGTCTTCGACTTCCTTACGGCGCTCTGCTTCTTCTTCCAGGCGAGCCTTGCGCTTTCTCCACCACCACAAGCCAAGAACTGCAAGAATGGCAATTGCAACAATAGGTACCACAACGCCAACGGCAACTTTTCCCTTGTCGCCCAGACCACCACTACCACCACTGCTGCCATTAGTTGGTGTGGGTGATGCTGAAGACGAAGTTGGTGAAGAAGAAGTGGACGTTGAGGTTTCAGTTTTGGTAGAAGTTATCGTTGTCGAAGTGGAAGGGACGGTCACAGGTGGAGGGCTATTCTGTGGTGTAGACGAAGCCGGCGGTGTAGTCTGCGGCGTAGATTGTACAGGGGTCGAAGAGCTGACTGGTGGAGTGCTGGCGCTAGTAGAAGGCGGCGCTGAAGATGAGGGAGTACTCGAGCTGTGAGCACTCGAGGAGCTCACAATTGGTGACGAGGATGGCGTTGTAGACGGCTGGGTGGGAATGCTGGTTGATCCGCCAGTGCCGAGAGGGGGACCCTGCTGGCCCGGGTTGGAGCTGGGAGTAGCCATGATAACGCGAATAGTACTGGTTTTGGGTTGGCGACTGGCTCGTTGGCTAGAATCACGGCTGGAGGGGCTGTTGTCAGCTATTGTTGAGTTTCGGAAGAAAACAATCATGATGGCGGTTGGATTCGCACTGGGTTCCCAAGAGATGGACAAGAAAATAGCAGAGAGGGCAGTTCGATGCTCAACAAGAGCCTAGCAAAGCAAATTCGGCGTCGCTTCTTTGATGAATCTGCCCTCGACTAGTCCTGCGCTGCACTGGCAGCAACTGCTTTCTTTAACCCAACACGCGCGTATCAACCAAAAAAACAATATGCAAAAGAAACGAAAAACAAAACTCTAAAGCAGTAGCAGCCAGTAGAGTTCCGGCACGCGAAGCAATCAACGTAAAAGACTGTAACAAACTATACTCACTCGACGAGCAAGAATGAGCCGGGTCGTTGGAAGTTGACAAAGCGTGACTACCGGGCCAATTCTCACGGTTTTCTAAACAGAAGACCACAATGAAACGTCAGAGTTACGCCCGCGTAGTATGGCAGCTCCGTTCTTGGACTATGGTGGTAGCGGCGCTGGGTTGCGATGGGCGTCCCAAGGTTTTTTTCTATTTGCGTTCGGGGGGGTACCCAAAAGAATAAAATGGCACGTAATGGATGCGATTGGGTATTCGGGATAAGTTGATGCTCAAAACTCTCTTGCTGCACAAGCCGAGTATAATTTTTTCCGTGGTGTGTTTGACCGGTCGTGGGTTTGGAGAGATGGAAAAGGGAAAAAGGGCAAGCGGGAAATACGGCGACAGGGAAAGGAAGGAGCCGCAGGCAGGCAGGAGAAAGGGAAAACTGGGATGGGCATCCAAAAGCCCGAAGCCCACAGTGCGCGCACGCAGCCTAGCCCGGGTCCACAATGGTGCGCGCTGGTGCATGTGGGCACTGTGCACGCTAGGCTGCCTCCAAACTGTGTGAGCTAAAAAGCAAGACCAGGCCGATGCGCTGGTGGCGCTGTGTCAAAGGCTCCAGAAACACGAGGTCTCTCTCGCAAGCTCCGTCATTCGAAAAAAATAATCTGAGACTTTTACTTTCGTTTTGAGCACGGCATATGGGGGGCTCCTAATGCAATTGTTAATTGTTTGACCCAGAGTCATTCATTCGCGGGGAGACATTGTCCGCAAACAGTTTGCTTTTCACTATTGTTTTGTTGTCGCCGTGGGAAAACAGAGCAGAGCAACATCATACAAGGGCTGCGCCTTAGTGAGCACTATCTCTCACACTGTATGTGACAAGGCTGCCTGGCCGACGAGTAAGTGTGGTCGCTACTAAGCATACCCAGCTTGGTTGGGTTCGTGCCTCTTTTTTTTTTTTGCTTTTTTTGCTTGCTTTTATTTTAATCCCATCTATTTCTTTTATTTTTCGCGTTTATTTTGTTACACGATATATTTGGCTGCTACTGCGCGTCAAATGCAACGCTGGAAGCTCTCCCGCTGTCAATGTTCGCCCAGTGCGGCCCGCGCCAGACAACAGGTGCCCAGTAGCATCTTACGTACTGCACTGTGGCAGTTGATCGTTCGTTGCCCCTTTCTAGCCCATGTTCCCCATCTGGTCTCGGCACATGTGCTGCCAAAGGAGATAAAGAAAGGGACCTACGGGCTTCGGTAAAAATAGAGGAAATGCATACGATTGCATCGAATTCGAAAGAGCCGGGGAATTTTCTCGCGTGTAAAAATAGGCGCTGCTCGTGTTTGGCAGCCCCAAGCCAGCATAGTTTAAAGGCTGGCACGCTAGCTTAGACACTGGCCAGCCCCGGCCCAGACATAGAGCAACGTTAGTGCAGCCAATACATGCCAGCCAGCTCAGACGCACAGCTGCAATACAGTGGCGTCTGCAAACATGCAATGGCACAGCGTTGCATACTCTCAGCCCCTCGACGCCGCTGTCGACGGCTCAGGGTCAGCTTGCTTGTCTGCAGTACAGTGCGCATCTCAACAGGGTTGTGTGGCTCGTAACTTATCCAGCTTTTCCTCATTACACTGCCGCGTGATCGACAGGACAGTCCATCCGCAATGCCCTGGAATCCTGAAATAGCACGTTAACCTTGGCACAAGGTTAGCCACAGTGCAACCAAGATCTTTTGCAACCAAGTTTAACGGACGCTGCTTGCTCATTCTTCGCCCAACACTTCATCTCTAGTTTCTTCTGTATATGGAAAGGTGTTTTGACGTTGTTCATTGTGGCTACGCCTTTATATAAAATGTAAATAGTGAAAAAAAAAATATGTACAGTAGTGTCACCGGCTTCACCTCCCGGTAAACCGTATCGCCAACAATGCCTACTTTACCTTGCTTTGGAATACGATGGTGGCGCATCCCAAGGCGCTCTAACAGACGCTGCAGTCGACTGAACTAAAGAGAATAAAAACAAAATAAAAACAAAAAAACACCGTGATTGCTTTCGAGCATTTGCTGTGATGCTCGAAAAGAAAAATGCTGGGCAAATTAGTCCCAGTATGCAATGTATGGTACGCCAAAAAAAGAAAGTCTATCCGTTTTTATGCACTGCTATGCGATGCCTCATGAGGCAAATCAAGAAACCATCAATACTCGCTCGTTTAGGCGCGCATGCCCCATTGAGGCTTAAGCTGGTTACCCATAGACGCCGTCGTAAAGACGGTGTCTCCAGGCAGTCTGCTGACTCTACCAGCTCCGGCCCGGATGGCTCCAAGCTGTCTGGCCGAGATGCCGCTCTTGTTGCTTCGGATGCTGCCAGCGTCGCTTCCTCCCGCTTCCGCATCCTTGAACTTCTTGGGCGGTGCAAAGTCCAAGTTGGTAAACGTGTTGGACTTTCGCAGCATGTGAGGGCTGGGCAAAGCTGAGAGCTCATCAAAGGCTGTGACAAGGGGCGAGGCGCCGGCAGCGACAGCCTTGTATGGTCGGCTTTCACCAAAGGGACTCTGGCTTCTACCAGCAGCTGTATCCTTGAAGGACTCAGGAGGGGCAAAGTCGGTAGCGTTGAAGATGGCGAAGCTGTCATCCTGGAGCTTAGAGGGAGTAGGCAATGTGCGCAGAGCTTGAGGAGGAGGCAGTCGCTTCTTAGGTAGTGGTCTGCGGCCAGCGAATGCTGAGCCCGCACGAGGTCGTCCACGTCCACCTGGTGCCGACATACCACCAACAGAGCCAGGGCCGCGAGGAGCTCCACGAGGACCACGCATAGGAGGACCACGATGACCACCTGGAGGAGGTGTCATGGCACGTCTCATGACGGGTTCGGCATATGGCATGACGAATGCGTTGGAGTCGGGGTCGTAGTAGGCGCCATCCTCGTAGTACTCTCCGTAGTCGCCGTAGTCCTGGTTGTTGCCGCCGTCCTCAAAGTATTCCTTGTAGAATGAACGAATACGGTTAGCACGGTACTCGGGATCCTCCGATTCCTGAACATCATGAGGGGGCAATGGGCGCAGGCCAACAGAAAGACGCTTTCCCTGCATTGGAGGGACACCAAGAGCGTCCTGCTGCATCGGGTACGGTGTCATGTCGTCCTCGTACATATGGGGGTTCTGGGGAATGTCGTCATAGTATTCTGAGGTCTGGATCTGAGGGTAGCTGTCGTACTCGGCGTACTGCTGGTGGTTGTCGAGGTGGGCATCGGGGTGGGGGTGCATCTGGTCATCCATATGGTCCACATGAATCGGTGGGTACTGTTGGTGATCTTGAAGGGGCAGCTCATGGGGCGATTGGAAGCCCAAGCCAACGCCAGGCTGATCTAATTCTGCAGGCTCGGTCTGGCCGTGCTGGTCAAAGAAGCCAGGCTCATTGTTGACATGAGAGGGGAGCTCTGGGAGGTCGAAGCGGCCTGTGCCTTGGGGAGAGTTTGGCACCTCGTAGTGGTTATCCTTGGCCAAGACTGGGGGAGGAGATTGAATATCAGGCATGTTGTAGCCACCATGGTCGTGGTGCTCATCGGGGTAGACTGATCCAATCTCGGGGACAATGGGCTGAACCGGAAGATGCAGCTCAGAAACATCACCCTCTGGCATCTGGTGAACTGGGTGAGGAACCTTGGGTGTCGCAAAGGGATCAGTCTTCTCGCCAGGCGATGGAGGCAATGAAGAGCCAGCCGACTTGGGCATGGAGTTGGTCCTGGGAGGGGGCATGTTGGGACTTCTGGCACCGCCCTTGGCGCGTGAGTTGATTGATGCAGCATCGCCGCCGGCGGAATAGAGACCGACTGTGTGGTAAGGATCCTGTTCATTGTGAAAGTTCTTGGCCATGTTGTGGATAGATTCGCCAGATTGGGTAACGTGAGGGGCGAGAAGATATGGCGAGTTGAGATTCATGTCCATGGACAGCTGGCCAGGACGGTGAGCGTTTTTATCCCCACCACCAAAAAGCGTTCTTCGCTTGCTTTTCTTGGGGTCATCTCCAAAGTCGAGGTCCATGTTGGCGTGCAGAGCATCTTCTTGTCGAACTTTGCGAATGTTGCGTCTGTGGAGAAAAAAGAAGACAATGGCGGCAACGGTCACCGGGATGACGGTGCCCAGGACAATGGCGATAGTGGTGGCATTTGTACTCATGTAATGGCCACAGGAATCATTGGGGTCGCAATCGGCTGATCGCCGTGAGAGGCGAGCCCAGAGGCTGTTTGTGCCTTGCTCAACAACAGCTCTCTTCAGGTTGATGGGAGGAGCCATGGTGTACGGTTGTCCGTTGAAAGTACGGGCACTCTCGCTTATATCGGGGTTACGAACGCGATCTATATGCATCTTGGCGGATAGAACGCGAGATTTGCTGATACTCGGAGTCTGGTGTTTATTCGAAACGATTGATCATTGCCGTTTTGAAACGAAATATGGAGCGTTGAATCGAGGTAAACAACGTGAGACGAGCTTCAGAAGGACAATCGTGAGTTTGATAACCGAAAAGAACAACTAGCAGCTGGGATGCAGTAGACGAAGTAGATTTTATCTAGCGGTGATGCGAAATTGAATGCTGATGCGTGCGTATCGGTCGTGATGGAGAATGATTGTGTGGTTGTACTGCAAAAAACGCGTTGCTCCGAGGCTTGTTGCTAAATGAATGTCTATAGTTTAAATGCAAAGGAAGGTAATGAACAGTTGTCTATGTCGATAGTAAAAGGAGTGAAGTCGAGATAGGCGAAGAGTTCGAGAGTTTGGCGTCTGTATGCAGAAGACGACGTTACAAAAGGATCGGACGACGCTCAAAAGACGCGTTGCTATTCCCAGACCTAGAAGCTAGGGAAGTCACAATGACGCAGATGAGATGAGCAGACGAGAAAAAGAAACGAAAGGAAAATGAAGGACTGGAGTTGAAAAGAGGTTGAGAGAGGCGTCCGCGAGAGAAGGGCAAGAAGGGGGAAAAGAAACGACGAGCCAGGGCCTTGCAGTGTCTGTCCAGCACTGCGACCTGGCTATTGGCGTGCTTCGGCACGATTCTTTCGGGGAGAGGAGGGGATGGAGGACCCCAGTGGGCGATATGGGGCACCACAACGACAGAGACAGGGGGGCGTGAGCGTGGCGGCATGCTGCAGCGTGGGTGTGTGAATGCGCGGAGGCGGCAAGAGAAGGAAAAAAGAAGAGGGGCTACTGAGAACCCAACACCAGCGCCAGGGACGGACGATCTGACGAGTCGAGTCCCTTTTTTGTTGTTATTGTGTTATTTAATTTAAATTTATCCGGGTATTGTTGTAGTTTGATTGAACAGTATATGTATTTTTTTTACATTCAAAGTACACCCAGTACTGTATAATAATAATGTAATTGTATATACTTGTCCAGTTGATTGTATAGAACCGTTTTATGCTGACAGCCAATACACTATCAGCAGATAAAAGAAAAAAGGGGGCGTGCAAACTGCCTTGTCTGGTTTAATTTACCACAAGCTGCGCGTTGCTAGCGCCAGGCACAAGGCGCTACTGCCAGGGGTAAAGTGGTCTTTTTAGTGGGCTTACCCGCCCAAAGGCATCCTTAGCACGGTTCTAGGCTTTGGCGCCGCTGAGCTCCGGTCAAATCAAGTTTGAGTAGCGAGGATAATGCCTGTCTGTCAAAACAGCAGCAGCAGCAAGAACTGGAGAGGAGAAGAAAAAAATAGCTCAGCTACTGCTGTGGATGACGATGAGATTTTAGTCCTGCTGCCTTTCACAGGTGTCTATTTCCGCCGCTTCCGCAGGGCTTGCTTTGCAATACACGCCCCCTAAGTGCCAGAGCAATAGCATCCGCCTCACAGCGAGCTACAGGCGTGGCGGCGTCGTGCCCGTAGCTCAAGCCAGCCAATGGCCATGCTCCATTCCATAGCTCTGCATTCGCCCGACAGGCCAATCACGCTATCCCCTTTCCCAATAACCTGGGTTTTTCTGCTGGAACAGCGGTATTGCTGGTATGGATGGGGCTTCGCATGGCACGCTACTCGTCCAAGTTTCTCGCAAAGGCTGAGTACACAGCCCATGATACTCTGCAAATACCCATAGCTGCCCTGTTGACATCGCCGCGGAAGACACTGTGGCAGGGCAGCAAATTTCCAGCAGGACCACGGCCCCGGTACACTGTCATTTACTCACTACACCAGCCTGTCCTGTGCGTTTTTTGGGGATTTTCAGTCCAAGCTCAGCACTCGGTGCCTTTTCTCCTTGTGGCTTTTGGGCAACGTTACAGGGCTTAATTCCTTGGTTTTTTGCAAAGGCCCGCCCTATAGCGGCTCTCGTCCGACGCTAAAGATGCACAAGCATAGCTCCGCTATCTACAACTGCCCCGTCTACAAAGGGCAAAAGAAAGACAAAGCCTATCGCAAACCCACAAACTGGATTGCATTTCAGACGGCTCAAAGCAGCCTGTCCAGTGAACCGTGCCACCTGCTGCGTCGTAGTTGCTCGCGCCCGTGTCGCATCGCCCCAGATGTCTCATTCCCAATCGGCGCTTCGCCCAGTCTAGCCCACTAGACTCACAAAACAAAACATTCCATCGCGCGCTATGCTCTGTACACTTTGTAACCCGCTCGCTCACCTATGCTCCCTCCGTTGACGGTGAATACGCGTAGGAATAGCGCTGTTGCCACCCTTGCCGCTTTTGGCGATGTCGTTCCTAAACCCAGTGCCGTAACAGACGTAGGCTGAGCCCGTGTCTGTGTCGTTCGTTGCAGTAGGTGTAGCAGGACCGAATAATTGGTGGTGGCTTTCCAAGAGTAGCAACAGCTCCGGGTACCTTTCTTTGGCTGTTCCCTATAAAGCACTATTACCTATTACTTTGGACGTGGCGTCTTATTTCGTCAGCATCATGCAGCTGCCGCACATGGACCACTGGCTCCCATGCACAACATCCGATATGTGTGTGGTGTGCGGCTGCGTTGGCCAATACCGCATAAACCGTTTTGCTTGCTTTTGGGGGGGCCACAGGTTGGCTTCTACAAAGTTCTGCAAGGCCGATATTAGTGTGCTTGGCAGACATACCGAAATGAACATGCATGTTTTATTATTTGTATAGTTTCTATTCATGTGCTATCGTGGTTGTCATCGATTTGATAGCTTGTAGAATTCAGGCGCATATTCCAATAGCCAGCCTTTTTCGATCTTTGTAATATCCCGGATATATGTCTTATCGCCTGTCTGCATAATTTCATGGAAAATCACCCAGTCTGATTTCCTGTTAAACATGACCGAGCTGGGATGTGCATGCAAGATACTGCCACCTTGCACATTTCGAAACGTGCCGTCCGCCTGCATCCTAGCTGCATGTGCAAAGTAGCCTCCTGTCAGGCACCTCCTAATCTGCTCTGCTTTGGACACTGTGCCAGCCGTGTCATTTTGAGCCGCCTTGCTTGAGAGCGTTTCATCGACAATAATGCCAAATCGATCAAGGTATCGCTTAAGCTGGCTACGGACACTAACAGCCCTTACCATAGACTTATAATTCAAGTGATTTTCGTGGCAAAACTTGGCTTCTTTTTTACCTTTTGCGATAAATGCCTGATATGTGTTGAGAAGTGTGAGATGATCGCCCTCTTCGGCCGCAAATTTCCGTCTTGCACTTTCCATTTGGCCTCGCTCTCCCTCATGGTAGAACCATACGCTGCTTCCAAGACTTGTCATGGCAGCAATAGTCAAGATTTCGCTAACACAGCCAAATGCCGTAGCCGATAGTAGTGTTTTGGCCATCATCGGTTCAACTGCAATCTCGGCCATTCTTGTGCCAAGCGGCGTTGTGAGTTTGGCATACTCGTCGAGGGCTCCCAGCGAATATAACAGCTCCAGGCCTTTGCCTACTAGCTCGGCGGGAGGAGGTGAGAAAAAGGCAAATCTGACAATATTATCAATTCCAAGGGCCTTCAGTTGCAATATAGTCGGTGCTAGATTCGACCGTTGTATTTCCGGCGGGTTTGCCTCTGCCAGGGACGCATAGGCTTGCTCAGTGTATAACCTATAGCATTTTCCGGGCTTTGTTCGGCCAGCTCGACCTGCCCTCTGTGATGCAGATGCTTTCGATATCGGGGTTGTCACAAGTGACTCGATGCCAGTTTTGGGATCATATGCTCGCAGCTTAACATAGCCACTGTCTATCACGTAGACAATACCTTCGATGGTGACAGATGCCTCTGCAATGTTCGTTGAGAAGACTACTTTTCGAGTACCCTCTGAAGGCCTGTCAAAGACATACATCTGTTGCTCTGAAGTCAGTCCGGCATAAAGGGGCATAGGCTGAAGCGGTGCCTGCGTATTATCCATCTGGCCAGCTCGTTCGGCTACCGCTTGGATGGCGTAGTCAATCTCCTCGCGGCCCGTAAGAAAGACTAGTATGTCACCAGTATCTTCTTGGCTGTGGATTTCAAAAACAGTGTCCATAGCTTTGTCGACATAGTTTTCTGCTGGTGTGTCCAAGTGCATAACATCGATGGGATAGGTGCGTCCTTCGATGCTCACAATCTTGCCCGGTGCACCCGCATTGTCGGCCTGGTCGTCCTTTTGGTCATCTTCACCATTGGAAAAGAATGACAAAAACGACTCGGCTTGTAGTGTTGCACTACTGATAATTATTCGCAAGTCGGGTCTCTTCTTTTTGATCTTCTTTAGCAAGCCAAGCAATATATCTGTGCTAATGGACCGTTCATGGGCCTCATCAACCATGATGACAGAATACCGACTCAATAGTGGATCAACGAGGGCTTCTCGAATTAGTAGTCCGTCGGTAAGAAACTTGATCTTAGTAGACGCAGAAGTGACATCTTCAAATCGAATTGAGTAGCCGACTTGTGTGCCTATCTCTACGCCCATCTCTTCTGCTACGCGGAGCGCCACTGTAGTCGCTGCCACACGGCGGGGCTTTGGAAATTGTGATTAGCAATGGTTCTTATAGAGTTCTTGCATACCTGCTTACCTGTGTTACCCCAATTATCTTTCCATCGTGGCAAAATCCTGCTTGTTCAAGGAACTGAGGAATCTGGGTCGTCTTTCCAGAGCCAGTCTGGCCGATAATAATTGTTATAGGAAATGTCTCCACTGTATATAGAAGGCTCTCCTTGTGTTTGGCCACTGGCAATAAGGCAGCCGGTTTGTGGAGAGACGGAATAAAGCTGGCATCAATGTCAAAGTCGGCCATTGTTGCAAAGTCCTGATTATATCCTGTCACGTTCCCAATACGCCCTAGCAGCCTTGAGCCTATGCTCACACAATACTAAAAATAATGTTAAAATTTATCGCACGCATAATATCAATTAAAATATCAATATGCAGAGGCCCGTGATGAAACTTGGACGTTTGGCATTGAGTTGTTGTCACGGCACCAACGCGCTACCCGGCAAAGGCTTGTTACCACAGGGCAAAAGCTTGGGTGGCTCAGTTGTTAACGGCTGCGCCACGGCGTCTCGTCGCCAGTGGAGACGTCATCTGCTTCGCGAGCCTGCTCCATCCCCCGCCGTCATTGTCACAAGGATCCCCTACTCAAAGCCCCATTTCCCTCTTTTTCATCAAGTGTAATTTGACTTGAGCGCCTAATTTCTGACCCTGAACCTGTTGCCCAAGGCCTAATTTTCTTCAAACCCACTTACATAACCACAAGTCGTGAGGGATCCATCATGACTTCATTGCCGGTCGTGAGCTTCCCTAGCTAGCTGCTACCCAGCGTACCTGTTATTAACCATCCACCTCATTAGACAACGCCTACGAAACGGACGGAGCTTGTAGCCGAGTCACCGACCACTGCCCGTCCACTGGAAATGGATGACGACGACGTCCACGACTCTACCATGACAAGCGAACCTGGTGTTGTTACCCCTACCAAAGATGCCACCGCGAGCAAACCAGAACCCGAGACATCAACGGACACTGCGCCTGTCCAGACAGCTGTCAGTGATGAAGCGGCGCCACCAAAGCCACCCAGACCTGCTACCGAAGCTCAAAAGAATGAAACAATTTTGAAGGAAGCTTTCCCTAGCGTGGATGCCAGCATCATCAAGGCTGTCTTGACTGCCAGTGGTGGCAAGGTTGAGCCTGCTTTCAACGCGCTCCTTGGTACAGAAACCCACGACCATATTGCTTGATATTACAACAGCTAACATATATTGTTTTAAAATACAGAAATGACGGATCCTGAAGCCGCAAAGCAAGAACCGGAAGAGCAACCCCCTGCACAGCCTCCAAGACCTCAAGGCCAAACCCACATGTCGCAACTCGAAGCCGACGAATTATATGCACGCCAGTTAGCTGAACATTACGATAATGTTGGTGCCTATGAAGCTAGAACTTCCAGCCTTAACCGCAACCGGCGTCAGCAGCCTGACCTAGATGACGAGGATCGTGAGCGTAACTTTATTGACGACGACCTGCCTATTATTCGCGAGAACCTGCGCCAAGGATTCCTCGATACTCAGACCAAGGTAAATGGGTGGATCTCCAATCTGCGCAAACGAATCGAAGACAACTTTGACGAGGGCGACGAGGAAACGCACAACCAAGGCCCATCTCAACGTCACTCGGGAGACCGCAGCCGTCGCAGCGGGGATTATGATCGATACGATGCCGACCCTCAGGTTCTGAGCGATGATTTCGCAGGCATGCGATTCTCACAGGATGGCAGTAAGTGCATGTATATTCATAAGTTGTCAGCGCCACTAACACCCTTCCTTTTAGCTGCTCATCCCCTTTCGGGGGGTTTACACCGACCCCCTCCACTATCGAAATCACCGCGACCTAACGACGGACGCCGTGTTGGGTTCAAAGAGGGCCACGAAGAAATTAATATGTACGATTCCTCGCCAAAGGTCCCACCCAAGGATACGCCTCCTACTTCAGCAATGAAGGCTAGCAAGTGGCAACCGTTGTCCAGCGTGGAGCCTGAGCCTATTGCCGATAACGACCCGTTCAGCCTGGGAGATAGTGAGGATGAGAAGGAGAAAGATACCAAGGACAAGCCTAAGGATGCTGTCAAGGACAGCAAGGATGACGAGGCTGAAAGACTAAAGAAGGCTGCCGCAGAAGCCATGTCAGACAGCCTGGTTGATACACCAAAGACGGACGAAACGGCTGCGAAGACCGCTTAGAGACGAACTTGAAAAAATTGAACTTGTAACGTAAGATTGCCAGGAATGCATCTCGAATATACAATATTCAAAAGCGCTTTATCAAGTCAACATGTTTTCTTGTGGTGCCTGGTAGCTGTGTTTGCGGCGGGAGTCGCCACCACTCACATGCTGCCAGTTTGACTACATAAGGTTGCATCTCAAAGCTTCGGGTCGGGACCCTCCCCTCCTGCAACAACCCCTCTTCTTTGGGCTTTAGAATTGGAGAAGGTGCAGGCGGGGTTGGCCGTGTGTCGTCAACGGTTCAAGAGAGTGCCTGGTTGCCATGCCTGTGCTTTGTGTAGGTACATCAGAAAGTGACCAGACACAGTTGAGATGCTGGCACGGGGTCAGATTCGTAGTTCTGATTGGTTGTGGGAGACGAAAGAGTGTGTGAAAGTAATTCACTAGATAGTGTAGCATCGATTCTGTATGTGCTTTTGCGTGGTGGCTCCATAGCCGGTTAATAATCGGATGCTGAAAACAGGTCCAGTAGTGGACACTGCCGACCACGAGTCCCGCCAACAGTCACTATGAAGCTATTGTCGTGTCAGCGGCGTGAACAGCGGCATATAAATGACGGAAAATTGCGGCAAAATGGCTGGTTCAGATTCGAAACTGCTTGTGTATTATTTAGCTTTGAAGTTACTTTATAAATTTTGAAATATTGTATTGAAAACTGTATGAATATGACCAATGAATTGTGAAAAATAAACAGCCTTGTCCAGGCTCCGTAGTGCTCGTTTACAGCGGTCTTCGCACCTCTAAGGCTCGCCTTGCAGCGCTATAGCTGCACCCTAGCGGCGGCCCGGATACCACCCCGCCCTCGGCGCTACGACGCGCAGGAAAGCTTGCACGACCCCCAAACCTCTCCAGCACTCAAACTTTGTTCAACCACGCCTCGGGCCAAACTCTGAGCGATCACGAGTTTTTCATAGACGCACAATCTTTCCTGCTTTCGTTGTTTTGACCAGCGTTCTTTGTTGCCCTGCACAGCTTGACGCGGTACGATTGTCCCTTCGCAACCTGCGCCCTGGCGCTTTTCTCACCCACCCGCCGCTGACCATCGTCCGCTAGCCGACGGATCGCCTTCGCTTATCCCTACGCCCAACATCAGTGCGGAAGCATTGTGCGAGCGAGTTTCTTAAAAAGGACACCGACTCTTTTTTGGGTATTCGGTCTACGCCTCCTTCCAAGGACATAGCACAGCCTGCGCCTACAGCTGAGCTCTTGTCCATACACGGCCGCCTGTTGAGCGAGCTATTTGAGCGCCGCCGAAAGATTGGATACAGTTTCACGGGCCATTTGCAGTGAAATCTGAAATTTGCCGCCGATTGCTAAGAGAAACCGCTGCATCAGATCACTGTCATGCCCTTGTCGCATTGAACGAACTCTTGAAGACATCAGCAACATCGAAGCCTGCCCAGGCCCTATAAGTTGCTTCTTTTGTATTGACGAAAGCTTCCCGAGAGATAATTTGGTTTCACCTACAGTCGTTTAGACCTCTACAGACAACATGTACGATGAATGTGTCGAGGTATTGTTAAACAATTGCTAACGGTGCTTGCTATGTAGGAAGTTCGGCAAGCAGATTCAGAAACGACAGCTTGAAGTCCCCGAATATGCGGCGAGCTTTGTTAATTATAAGGCACTGAAAAAGGTACGATTCTATAGCTATCACTATTTGACGGCTCGGCGATTTCCGCTTGCGCCAGACGCACCATGGCAACGGCTAACAAGTCCCTGCAGCTCATCAAGAAGCTTTCCGCCACACCCACCATCTTCCCACAGGCTGACCTGAACCGCCGCCCGTCAGTTGCAGACTCTCAAGCTGCTCTACAAGCCAACAAGGCGACGTTTTTCTTCCAGCTCGAGCGAGAACTCGACAAGGTCAATGCGTTCTACTTGCAAAAAGAGGCTGAGTTGAAGATCCGCCTCAAGACGCTCCTCGACAAGAAGAAGGTGTTGCAAACCAGAAATGGCGTTTCGCGAAGATCGGCCAAGTTTACGACCCTCGAAGAAGGATTTCAGCAGTTCGCTACCGACTTGAGCAAACTGCAGCAGTTTGTCGAGATCAACGGAACGGCGTTTTCCAAAATCCTCAAGAAGTGGGACAAGACCTCCAAGTCAAAGACAAAGGAGCTATATCTCTCCCGTGCTGTCGAAGTGCAACCTTTCTTCAATGCGACTGTTATCAGCGAACTGTCCGATCAGGCAACCACCAGTCTTCAAGAACTTGGCGCTTGGTCTGACGGCATCCAAGTCAACTTCCAGTCATCCGGCCATGTCGTTCAGAGCCAGCACTTTATGGGCACCGACGAGGGTGATGCTGATACTCTTCTCCTGGAGACTGTCATTACTGGTAACTTGGAGCAAGTGAGAGAGCTCATCAGCAAGATGCAAACTGCTAGCGCTGGAGCTGAAGGCGACAATTCTCTTATGGACCGTTTGACAAGAACCTTCCTTGCTGCTATCCACGAAGCCCCTAAGGAATCCCTTCAAGTCCTCCTGGAAACAAATCTTGTCGATCTACACTCCTACGACGACATCAACGAACGCAGCTGCTTGCACCAAGCTGCCATTTACGGACGCCAGCATGTTCTCGAATGGGGCTTGAAGGCAGGTGTTGCTGCCGACCGCACTGACGTCTATGGACGTGTACCAGCACACTATGCTAGTTTGCACGGCCGCTTGGAAATGCTCGACTTGTTGCTCGACGGTAAGAATATTTCACCTGACGGATGCTGTTACTCGACAAACACTAACATTCCATCTCTAGCCAACCGACAGACTATCGATCTCATCGACCACGACAACTTCACACCTTTGATTCACTCGATTATTCACGGCCACCTTGAATGTGTCCAGCTCCTCCTGGCTAAATCAGCTCGTATCGACCCCGTCTCCGATGCCGACCACGTTCCCCTCAACTTGGCATGTGAGCATGGCTCCGTCCCTATTGTCAACCTTCTTCTCCAGCACGGAGCCAAGATCCTTCCTGATGCCGAAGGGCTGTATCCTCAACATTTGGTTGCCCGATCCGGCCAGACCTCAGAACTGCTCCTGTTGCTGAAGAGCTTCGGCGCCGACCTTGACCAGATTGACAAACTGTACGGTTGGACACCTCTTGTTCATGCCGCCAGTGAGGGCAGTGTGGAATGTCTCCAGGCCCTGCTCAATGTTGGCGTAGATACTGGAATTGTGGACGAGAAGGACCTCCCTGCAATGTATTACGCTGCATGGGAAGGACATCTGGAGTGCATGAAGCTTCTCAACCCATTCAACAAGCGCACCAGAGCCAGTCCTTTGACTGCCCAGCCGTCTCTCGGCGCCATGGACAGCAGCAGCGGCCCAGCCCCGATGGCCCTCGATCCCGATGCCATTCCCGTTCTCGAGCTACCTCCCCCCATCATCCCTCTCCGTAGATACGGCCACAACTTCCTTGACACCAAGACCGTCATTCAGCTCAGCTTCGACAATGCCGAATCGCCTCTGGTGTTCTTCCAAGATGGCAAGTATCCTGCTGCTCGCTTGACCATTTCCTCCAAGGTTTCGGATCTGATCCCGAAGAACATCATCCTGCCCTTCCAGGAGGATAACCGCATCGTGTCATTCCAGGTCGACAACCTGGACTCATTCTCTCTCGACTTTGAAGTTTTCCCTACCTACGGCGCTAAGATCATCGCCAAGAGCGTTGTCCTACCTAGCATCTTCAAAGCCTCTGAGGGTAGCACGAAGTGCTGCGTTCCTCTCTTCGACCCTCGTCTGCGCGCCATTGGCCAAATCACCTTCAACACGCAAGTCATCAAGCCTTTCAACGGCCAGCCTTTGGAGATTACCGACTTTGAGACATATTGGAAGGCGACAAGCCAGTTCAACCAACCCACAAATGCCGTTGTCACTGGCTCCAGTTTGTCTGGTAGCTACGTCAGACTCTATGTGCAATACACCAGCGACGGTGTCCCAGTGCTGTGGCCCCGTTGGGCGATTAACTGCGGTGGCCTAGACATTCCGGTGTGCCGCCTGACGCTGGCTCAGTTTACCGCTGTCTCGTCTGGCAGTGAAAGCCGCGCACACCTGGCTGACATTGCGTCTAAGAATATTGGCGACATTTACCATATTCTCAGCACAGCCGGTGTTACGCTGAAGGAAGCACTTGCCATCCTCCCTCAAGGTGTCCATGCCAACCTGCAGATCTTATACCCCAGCACTGAGGAAGAGGCTGCTCTCGCTCTTGGCCCATCTCTGGAAGTCAACATCTTTGTTGACGCTATCCTCACCGTCGTCTTTGACCACGCTCGTGCTCAGCGCGCCCAGTCGAGCTCGGCCCAGGTTGTCCGATCAATTGTGTTTAGCAGTTTCAGCCCTACGCTCTGCACAACTCTCAACTGGAAGCAGCCCAACTTCCCCGTCTTCCTCTGCAACGACCTCGGTAAGGAGGATGCAGTCATGTCCACCACCAGCACTCCTGGTAGCGGCCAGCGCAGTATGTCGATTAAGGAAGCTGTTCGCATTGCTCAAAGCAACAACTTTATGGGTCTCCTCTGCTACTCACGCCTCTTGGTAAGTTTACCCTTTCTTCACCTTTGGATATACATGCTAATCATTAAAACAGGACATGGTGCCTGCTCTCGTGGATGCTGTCAAGTCTCACGGTCTGGCCTTGGTTATGGACAAATCTTCCGAGTCGTCTGACCAGAGCCCTTCGGCGGACCCCTTCCCTCGCGCACCCAAGGGTGTCGATGGTGTCCTGAAGAGCCACGGAATCCTCAAGTTCACGGACTCGATAGACATGTAGGCAATGACCTGCCGATATCCCATATGTTTTCTCTTTCTTTAGCGCTTCTGTTATGACACAAATGGATCTATGTACGACGTAGATTCATGATGGATGGCTTCTAGCCACTTTTTGCTTTTTGGGTATTATAGAAATGACCATCACCAAACTAGATTATAATAAAAGGCGCTCATGTGCGCCATGAATGAAATTCTTATGTTTTATATTACTCTCTCAACTTCGCTCATTAAGCACCACGATACTCGTAGCGTAGACCTGTCAGCTCCTTCTCCGGATCTACACCAGCCATGAGGAACTTGGAGAGCGTCACTACGCCGAAGACGATGCCTGGTAGATACCCCATGCCAAACCAGAACGGCCCTGTGGTTGGCTTCATTGACGCGACAAGCTCCATAAGCCCAAGCATTATAACAAGACCTGTATTGAGGTACGGAAGATGGGTGTCGATTGGAGAGCGTAGACCACCCGCCAGGACCCCAGAGCTTGACCACGCGTCTATAGGCGCAAGGCCAGTGACTGCAGGTGGGAGGACGCGAAGGAGATATGCTGTCGACGCCAGTGATGTGAGGGCGAGAATAGAGATCATCATGGTTGCGGGGCGAAAGATGGACAGCAGGTATGGCAGTGTCGAAACAACTGGGAATGCGAGGAGATATGTCGTAAAGGCCACGTCTCGGGCCTTGTTTTCTGCTGCTAGACGTTCGATATAGGCTTCTTGCTCTGTAATGAAAGATGTTAGCTGGGGTTCTTTGATAAGCCACCGCCAAAGACCATGGCCAATGCCGTACCTTGCTCGTCCATGGCGTCGAACTGCGAATCGTCGTCGGAGTCATCGTTTGGATATTGGAATGTGCGACGCAGACGCGCTGTTGAGTTACCGTGGGAGGCCATTTCGATTGCTTCAGCAGTTTTGTCCGGCAAAATAGGAAGCTTAATAATGTCTGGATGTTTGTTGCAAGAGGGAAGAAACGTTGCGCGCGAAGGGAGCTTGTGGAGGGGAGCTGAATGACGTTGGTCTAGGCAACGAGGCGCAGCTACAGCAGACAATAGCCTCTGTTTCCCAATTAAAAAAAAAGAGAAAATGTTGAAATAGAAGATGAATTGCTTATTAAATGTTTATATTAATTAAAACCATACATTTTTAAATAGTCGTTCGTTGAAGCGGTTCCTGCTGTTGCAGGTTCTTTTACAGTCCCTGCCAACGGGCGTCTCCAATCCGCCAGGCCCATAAAATAAACCCGCTGCGCATTTTCAGAAACCGCCTACCAAGACTCCACGCTGCCAAAATCCTCGTCCTGTCGAACCTCAAACCACCACGATCCCCTCGACACGGGCCTGAATTTTAAATTCGAGCGCGGCACACAATGCTCTCCCGAGTAATCCGAAGGAGGCTCGCCTCCACCATCCGCCAGCACACACAGCGTCCTGGAGCCCAGCGACGATGGCTGACCCCTGCACCCAAAGTTGGTGATGGACCGCTCATGTCCCGTCGTTCGGACCGCGAGCTTCCCGGTATGCACTTATGGACAGTTCAATATTGGAATATAGCTAATCTGTGTGTTTCTCTGCTAGATATCAAAGACGGCTTCCGCTGGGGCCGCACGCTACCCGCCTTCCTGCTCGTCGTAGCCGCCTGCTCCGTCGCCATCTTCAACTACCAGAAATCCTCGTCCCCCGTGGTATCAGCGACCCTCTACGCCCTGCGAACGTCCCCCAAGGCACGCGCTGTGCTGGGCGACGAAATATACTTCAAGCACCAGATCCCGTGGATCGGCGGCGGCATGAACCAGATGCAGGGCACGATCGACATCAACTTCTCGGTGCGAGGCACAAAGGGAACCGCCGTTATGCGCTTTGCCAGCAGAAGACCGACCGTCAAGGGAATGTTCGAGACTCACGAATGGAGTCTGAAGACAGAGGACGGCCAATGGATTGACTTGCTTGAGGGTGCTGACCCTTTCAAGGCGCTCCTTGGCGACGATGACATGGACGACGACTTTAGCGTCGAGGATAACACGAGAGGATACAGACAACAAGGATCTCTCAACCGATAAAACATCTTGCCAGGCAGCTTACAGGTGAGAGGAAAGGAGCCATCTTGTTTCCCAAAAGCAAAACAAGAATTAGGCCTGCTTGGAGCCGCGGGATGGCACGAGTAGGAATTGTACAGTAGTATTTGTATGACATGTGTATATCTAAAATTACAAAAAGTCCGCTTCAAAGATCATCATCTCTTTTCCCTGGGACATTCGATCAAACGCTGTTATGCATTTCTTTTGTTTTTCTTCCACTCTAAGCCTCGGCGTGGCCTCTGCGCTCCTCCTTGAGCTCCATGTGTCGTTCTCTAGCCTGCTGCAGCTTCTCCTCAGCACCAGGGTGTCTCTCCTTGAGATCAGCCAACGCGGCCTCACGGAATGGTGTCGAGGGCGCCTTGCGCTTCTTGGCGTCCTGGATCTTGACGAGTCTGCCCTTGGGGCCAGGCACGGCACCACTGACGAGGATGACGCCGAGCTCGTTGTCGACCTTGATGATCTTGAGGTTCTGAACAGTCGACCATTCGTTGCCCATGCGGCCAGGCATCTTCTTGCCGGGCAACACGCGACTACCACTGCCTTGTGAGGGACCAGTGGTACCGATTGTTCGGTGGTTCTTGGAGTTACCGTGCGACGCCTCTTGACCCGCGAAGCCGTGGCGCTTCATACCACCGGCGAAACCCATACCTCGCGACTTGGCGCGCACGTCTACGTACTGGCCCTTCTTGAACCAATCGGGCAGCAATTGTGCGCCGACAGGCAACAGGCCAGACTCGTCGCGGACCTTGAACTCGGAGAGCTGACTCTTGGGTGCAATGCCCTTTGCCTCGTAGTATCCCAGCATCGGGCTCGATACGACGTGGCTGTTTTTGCTTCCCAGGCCGACCTGAACGGCCCAGTATCCATTTGCTTGTCGGGTCTTGTTGGCAATGACCTGGACTTGGTCCATTTGCAGCACGGTGCAGGGGACCTTGATCTTTCCGACAAAGACACTGGTCATACCCTTCTTCAGGGCCAGGACGCCAGTGCGCAGCGGTGTGGTTCCTTCTCTTCTCTTCAGGGCAGCGGCAGGACCTGTTGTCAAGACGGGCAGGCCAGCGTTGGGCTGATTGAATCGGTTGTGTTTCGATCGTGGCGGCGCTGTCGACCATCCGTATTTTACACCGCGTTGGGGGATCAGGGGCAGAATTAATCGGCGTCCGGTATCCGGGCGGGCCGGCGTGACCCTAGGAATGGCCAATCGAATTGGCAGACGAGGCGGCATCGTCGAATTGTGATTGTGGTAGTTGAAGTATTAGAAGAACCGTCCCAGGGTTAAGCGTCTCCTTGCGCTGGTGGATAGTTTTTCGACGGCGAAGGAGGGTCACGTGAGGGATACTAAGATGCTGCAAGAGCAACAACAATATTGGCATAATTGCCCTAGGAACATTTAAATAAAATGAAATAAAAAGTTTTAATACTTTTATACATGCTTATAAACTATTAGGTCTTTAAATATTTTCACCAGCTATGTTTTGTGCAGTGTCTGAGACTGATAACATGGCTAACCAACGAGCTCAATCGTCTTGTAGCTTGGCTATTAATAACCACATTTTATATTATACAGTGGTTCCTGGGTAAATAAGAATATGGTATAGTATAATATAGAGCTTATGCTCCAGGACCTCTTCCACCAATGCCACTGCCCATTTGGTTCACGCTGGTGCCCTTCAACTTGTGATCCCCAGGCTGGGGAGCAGCTTCATACAGAATATTCGACGGTGCCTTGCCCAGTTTTGTCCACTCTCCCTTGAATCCGACGTAGCTAATACGTGAGACGTCTTCTTCGCCGTCGGAAAAGTTGTCCACGAAAAACAGATCGAGACGCTGTACGCGCGCAAACAGCGCTCGCTTGACGGGGATTTCTTGGACGTCAGAAGTCTGGGAGAGCTCAAATTCTTGAACGGGGTCCGATTCTTCGGCAGCAGCAAAGTCAAGATTGTCCTGGTTGGTGAATACGCGAAGAGTCTTGGGAGCTGACGGCGAAGCAGACGTGCGGATCAGAATAGAGTGAAGTTTGACTTGAGCAGTGAAACTGTACGACATGTGGTTTATCAGTAAAGGAACTGTCATGAAGATAAATATTAAAACCATTGTTTACAGATGTAACGCACGGGACGGTCATTAGTAGCTGCTCGTCAGCATCACTCGCCACCTCTGGCTCTGGCGTTAGCCTTTCGACCCATGTCTTCTTGACAATGGCTTTTCCAGAGTTGCTATGTGATTCGTTGAGTGTTACGATTTCATCAAAGTTGATTTGTTCGTAAAGAGATGCTTGGAGCGCTGGTGTGATGTCGTCAGAGTGATCATGCTCATGATCGTGGTCGTGAGAATGGCCATGGCCAGCATGTTCGTCGTGACAATGCGACATTATAACGGCGATTTTCTCGATACAAAGATATGAAAAAATGCCAGACGTGGCTCTTATAGACACCTCCTGTCGTAAATGTCGTTAGGCGTAAGGCAAACGTGGTTGATGCAGTTGCAGGAAACCGTCGAAGCGATGACGATCCAGAAAGGTGCAAGTGGAAGCCTGCCCCACCATCGTCTAAGTCAGATCACAGGCGACGACACTGGCAAAGGTCAAGACCATGTATGTAGAATATTGATTAAGTCGTCGTATTTACGATATGCAGTATATACAAAGAGCAAATATTTCATCTAAAACCACTCTTTCTTTTGGCCTTCTTCTTCTTCCGCTCACTAAAAGCACCAGGGAGAGCTTGGCTGCTGATGGGCACTGGGAACGATGAACTGGGCAGCATATTTGTCTGCGAAGAGTTTGGCGCCTGCGGCTGGCTAGACATGGTCTGCAGCGGTGGCGGGCGCATTGGCGTGACCTGTATCTCGTTTTCCAATCTTGGTAGGCTCTGTTTTGCCACTGATAGGCGGCCGTACTTCTCAACATGAGATTTGCGACGGGCCTCTCTCTTGAGCTGACGCTCTCTGACTCCTCTAAACTTATCATCTGTGGCCATGGTAACGCTGGAGACATATTCACCAAGGCTTGTGCCCGGTTCCTCGGGCCAAAGATGAATTATGCTCGTCTTTTTCGCTGCAGGTACCCTGTCCCCGACACTCACTGCAAGAAGCCGCAGCCTTTCCAGTGCGCTATCCGTTCCTTGCGAACCAGTTCCTTGGGTAGATCTCTGGGACGAGTATGGCCCGGCTTGTGATGAAGGTATCAGCTGTGAAGAAGGCATGTATTGGCCTGCAGAATCGCCTGGCTGCAGCACTGGCCGAACCATAACGCCGTAGCTGGCTAGAAACAAGTCTCTAGCTGCCATAGAAGCCCATACATTTAATGTCTTTAACCCAGGAGCAGTCACCTTCCGTTGAAGAGGTGCTATCCACAGCATGCTGATGCAGTTTTCAATGTCGCTCAATTCCAGGTTTCGCGGAGAGTCTCCCTTGGCAAATCGTTTCAGTTGTGGGAATTGGACTTGATCGTTTGCGTTGCTGATTATATCCTCATGAGTGATGGAGCCGCGAACTTCTGTGTTTCCAAGTTCTGTTGATTGTAGTATAGATAGCCATGAGGTGACAGAGAGGTGGCCTTCATCGAGGCCTTCACCAACCTTCTGAGCAATAACTGTATAAAGCTCCGGGGGAATCTCAGCGCCCCCTTTTGCAAATGACTCTGATAACATCCTAGATATGATAGCGGTCATTCGAGTCATGTTGAATTTCGTAGGCTGGGTTACAACAGGCTTTTCAACGATAGGCTCGGGCGTCCGAGTTTCAACATTCGCTTCGGGTTCGTCAGAGAACATGGTCTTCAAGTCTAAATCGGTTATCCCATCTGGAAGGATAAAAGCGCTTTTCGAGTGCTTAGCGAAGAATTTATTCTCTCTTTTCCACTTCCTTCGACGCGCTGCCATGTCGTAGTTAACACGAGTGCTGGGCGGTTTGACGGCCAGTTGTTTGTTGGCGCTGGACGCACACAAAGCGTATTGCAGTTCAAAATCGTCTCCAAGCAAGTGGACTTGATAGAAATACACTTGGTCGCGAGAATAATCACCACCAATGGACGATGGCGGGGCTCTAGGATCGTACTCAACATCAAGAGGAACAATGCGGACTTGGCGCAGAGTTTTTGACGTTGATTGCTCGAGATTTGGGATCTGCATGGATTGACGACTGAACTGGGGCAGCATTGCCTCCGATTCATTGTTAAGCCAGAATAAATGCAGCAACTGATGTATGGAACTGAATGCAACCAGTATGGATGACAAGGTCTTGGGCGATGCGCCACATATAGCCATTCTTGTGTTATCTGATATCATGTTCCCATGAGCGATGGATAGGATGACTTGCGTCGAGCAGCTATAATCGGCAGTAAGGAGGAGTTTGATCCAGATGATGTTTGATTTTGTGAGAATCAAAATATCTTCGTTACTGACTGGAGAAGCTTGAACATCAATAATATCGGAGATTGGGGTGCTGCTCTCCCATATGCTCTTCCGCCGAGTGAGCATAGAACCTGTTTGTGGGTTAAATGCCTCTATGCGCTGACCATTCCAAGCCAGAAGAGTCGCGTTTGAGGCCAACATGTCGTAAGCTTCATCATTGGAATCGTCTGAGTCATTTCCATCTCTGGTCAACGTCTTAGGCCAGCACGTTAGCAACCCGTGCCGTTGCGCTCGGTAGTCTTTGGTGTTATCTTTGGCCACTCCATCAATGTGGCCGTTGATGTTATCAGCCAGATGTAGTGTTTGATAGGTAATTGTGTGAGAACCACCAATGGTCCAAATGTTCCAATATCCCAGCACATCTATGATTCCAATCCAGTGAGCATCAGCACCTGCAGCACCAAAGACGCAGTCAGAATGCGGTGACCCGCCAGTCTCTCTGCTGTGGATAGTGAAGAGTCTGGGCAAATTTATTAGAGATGCCTTCTCCCCAGATAAAGCAAGTTGGAACCGATCGTGTTTGGTGGGGAGGGCATGGTATTCGGGTCTGAGGAGAGTTGTATATTCATCCTTCTGAACAAACAGCCAATCCACGCGGCCCCGAGTGGAGGTTCCTGAGCCGAATTTGAGTTGCTTAATGGGAAGGCTATCCTGATTCCACAATGTCTCGTTGAACTTATCCTCCGGTTCAACGAAATTCTCAAAGAGGCGTGCACTGTTGTCGTTTGGCCACAGCCATTGTGATTCATTCAGCCTGGCGATACGCAGCGACTCGCCAGATCGACCACATGCTACAGCTATAACAGGTATTCTGTTGCCGTTCTCAAGCGATGTAAAGTTGGCGATATTTCCAAAAGCCAACAGTGACCCGGATGTGAATGAAGTTTCCTCCGATCCATGATTCGTCAAGGCCTCAGTGAGAGCCCCATTGAGAACTTGGGTACCAGCAAAAGTACCGGGAATTGATTGAAGAAGCCATCTTTCGTGTGTTCTGCGTGTGAATTCTAAGCCTTCTCTGCGATTGCTCTGAGATGGTCCAGCAGCATGATAAATGCGACGAGATTTGCCGATGAGCGAAAGTGTTCGTTCATGACTAAAATTGCGAGAGGTTTCAAGTTTGCCTAAATCTTCATTGGAGGATCGAGGTCTATAGGTTAATTTTCCGGCCTGGCCATAGCTAAGGCCAGCAAACCGCTCCTTCTCAGCCATCTGGACTGGTGAAAGAGATTATGTGATGTATAAGTTGTTTGCGTAGTCTCATGGCTGGTGAAGAGATTGGTGTGGATATATTGGTCTTGTGCTCAGCTTTAGCAATCAAAGCTAAACGTTCATCGAAAAACTATTAATTGCGACCCTTTCACTGCGTTTGCAAAGACACTTCACATTTTTCCGTTTGCTGGCGCTAGAGGTTGATCGATCTCTTAATGAGTGCACGTGACCGCGCCATTGTCGCGGTCGGCGTAGCAACGCGCTAAAGAAGTAAACGGTAAACATGCCAAACGCAGTTTAAAGATTCAACCGACAACCTCGAATTTATACCACAAATTATAGCAAACGACATAAATTTGCGAAACTTCCAACTTGAAACATTTTCCACATCCCAAAATGGCCGCTGTTCAAGAGGGATCCCGCGCCAGCATGCGCCGGCAGACATCAGTGCCTTTGGAGGGGTCGATGAGCGACACGCTACCAAGCATCAACTTTGGATTCGACGATTTACGCGACCGCATGGCGAAATTCACTGTTAAATTCGATAATTTTATTGAGCAAGGGCGCAAACGCGTCTTAGAAGAGCGAAACCAGTTCCGCATGAATGTCGCAGAGCTTCACGGTAAGCATACCCTATGAACTTGGTAAGGATACATTTTGTTGATAACGCATGTTTAGAGGACGAACGAATGCGAAGAAAGGACATTGAAATTGTACAAATTAAGACAACAACACACCAACACACTGTCGATCGAGAGGAGGCTGAGAAGCGTGAAATGGAGAGTGCCATTGCTAGCTTAGCCTCACAGCGAGACCAACATCTGCAACAGCGCGATAACCTCAAGGCGCAAATCGCTGAGACACAGATTGAGATTGAGAACCGTCTAAACGCGCAGCGAGAACACCAGAAGCACCAAGATGCGCAGTCCAGATTCAACGTTCCCGAGCTTGACTTTTGGATGTCGACGCTCTGTCTACGAATCGACGGTGCGGGCCGCGACGACCGCCTGAAGTTTACATTTACGCATATCGACGAAAAGAACTGGGAGCGCGAGGCTTGGTTCGAGCTGGTGACGAGCTCGCGCGACTACGATGTCAAGCATTGCAGACCCAAGCTGGAGCGTGAGGCCGTGGAGCGGGTGCTGGACCGCGTTAACGAGTCACGAGAATTGGTGGTGCTACTGAAAGGCATGCGACAGCTCTTTGTTGAGGCTATGAAGTCTTGAGGAATTAAAGTATTTGCTATATGACTGCATTTTATGGGCGTTTTGGGAATGGGGAGGACTGGCATGGATAGATATACCCAGTTAAGCAGAATTATCCTCAAATGAAATGTTATATAATCCTGTAACCTTTTTGCATTTTATATTCCTATTATTGATACATTAAACCGACTATCGTATCCTAGTTTAGCACAAGTGTTGGCGATGCTGCCGCTACGCAGAGTGACAGCCTCCCCACCATACTACACCTTAACGATAACGCGTGCTTGCTCCGCGTCGACCCAAACCCCCACCACTGACAACGACACACATCACAGCTACACCACACAATGCCTGACACAGAGAACAAACCGGATAAGCGCGTTGCCGCTCAGCAAGCCGTTGATGTGCTTCACGAGATTTCAACCATATTAGTATGTCACCGGGGATTTCAGACCCTTGAGGACTTGGTACTGACAGGACGCTGTAGAATTGTGACCTCGACCGCCGCACGCTCTCAATATGTATCTCATTAGTTGAGAGAGGGGTGAACCCGGAAGCCTTGGCTGTAAGTTTCAATGCCTATTTGGAGCTCATGTACTTTGCAGGAAACTAACAGGACGGCGTTGAAGAGAGTTGTTAAGCAACTTCGTCAGGAGGCCCAAGATGCGGAGCAGGCATAGACTACAGCCACGCAATATGACGACTTGGACGAAACAGTATTTGATATTCGGTTGATTTTTGGTGTCAGGAGTACATATTTGCGCAGGATCACATGGCGTTTTTGTCATCTTGAAGGATTATTTTGATTTAGACTAAAAGTACAAGACACGCGTACAATAAGAATATCACATATATTGAAGATATTGAAGTTGTTTCGCTGGAAATGCTATTGCAAAACGTTCTATGCCGCCGAATAAATAAAATGTTGCAAATTCAAAACCATATATACCTTTGAATCAATGTCCGCTCGCTGTCCGTATACGCCGTACTGATGCCGTGAAAGAAATTTTTTTTTTAAAAAGAAAAACAACCGCTGTTGTCATCATTCATCACATTCAAAACTTTAGCGATGCCCAATAAGCATAATTTCATGCTCATCGTCATCATCTTCCTCTTCAGAATCGTGGTTATTATCACTGCCATTGTCGTCGTCATCTTCGCTTGAGCTGTCGTCGTCACCACTGCGCCAAAAGACAAGAATGTCGTTGTCAGAGTCACCATCCAAGTCGGCATGGGTAGAGGGCATCTCTGCCACACTCAAAGGCGATAAGGATCTTGCGGTTCGTTCAGGCACGCGCGGTTGCAGCTCGACGCCGTTGGAAGAATGTCTACGGCGACCTGCGAGAATACTTCCGGTCCGGTCACCTCGCGGTAATGTCGTCTGCATGGGCGGTACATCGTCGAGTGATTGTGGGTGCTGCAGAGGGACAAGCTCTGGTCGTTCAGTGTGAGCGCCGGGTGGAGCTTGCCCATCATGTAAGCCACCTAGAATTTGTAATTCGACAGTGTTGTAGGACTGGCAGATGGCACATTTCAACCCAAGCCAATGATAAGGCACAGTGCACCTGCCAGAGCAGTCGTTGCAGAGGATGACGGCCTTGGTATCTCGAAACTCTGGTGGCATTGGCTGACTGAGAATGACGAGATCCAGGTTGCGAAACTGGGTCTCCATGTTTACCAAGCTCTTATTGCAAATAGGGCATTTGTATGAAGTCTTCATGTGTTGATCGTAGCACTTCTTGTGAATGCTATGGCCGCATACCATGAAGACGACTGGTTTGGGAGACGTGAACATGTAGTCTCCGCAAATTGGACAATCGCAATCTGTTGACCGCTCGATACACTTATGCGATGTTTCAATAGATGTTGTTATACAAGCTCGACACACCTATGATTTTATTGTTAGCTGGTCGTCGCGGCTGACGGCACGCACGTGCTTCCACCTACCTTGCAGTGAAAGAAGTCCTTTCCTAGACCGAGTCCGCGTCGACATATACCGCAGTCTTCGCAGTGATAGATGGGTTTGCTCGGGCGATTTTCCCATAACTTGCAAATATCGCAGTAATAGTTGGCGCTAACCTCTCCGCAGGTAACGCATACTTCGCCTGCACGCTGCGGAGTTGCGCAGAGCATACAAAGCATGTGCTTTGTCTCGGAACGTATCAGATTGTGATCTTCGACTGCATCGTGGCAGAATCGGCATGTGTACCATTTGTCGCAGGTTGAACATTGCAGTTTGACATTTCGCTCATAATGTTGGCATCCCAGAGGAGGCGTTGTTGGAGGTGGGGTAGTCGGCTCAATTCCATCCACAACCTTTGGTGGACGAATCGGAGCAAATGTAGGCATGATGTCCTCTGCGGTAAGATTAAATGACTCCAGAGGAGGTTGTTCATCTTGGCGGAAGAATCTCAAAGGATCAATACCTGCCGGCGAGTCCGAGCTGGGGCCGCTTGGGGTAGACTGTCGTGGTGCCTCGGGCGAGAGGCCGGGAAATACAACGGCTCTTGAAGCACGGTAACGCTCGGTCAAAACGTCATGGATTTGTCTGGCTTTTTCATCTTGCGCCAGCTCTTTGGCATTGATGCTGTGAATTCTTGCTCGGAGATAGCCCATTCCATCATCTTCCGGGATCGGGCCGGTTTTTCGCGGAGTGGTAGGAAAGCCGAGATGGTCTCGCGGCGAAGGAACAGTCGGAGGACTTGATGTGATGATTTCGTCAAAAGTGACATCTCGATCTGGAGTCGTTGGTAGATCTGTCGACGACGTTTCCAAATCGATGGCGGTTTCTAGCCCTGGGTCCTCGGGCACGACATCGTCAGCACCGAGGGCGCCTGGCCGCGGGGTGGGAGCATCGTCCTCGCCGCCAAATGTTGTTCTTGAGATCTCAGAGAAGCGCCTGGCCTGTCGCAGGACCGGGTTGATAATAAAGTCGGAGACGATCGACGCCATGGTAGATGGTGTCCCGTTGCAGCCCTTGTAGACGCAACAGGGCAACGATATGTGACTGTTCAGAACTGCTGCTGCTGCCTCTGAACGCAGATTATTGCTAGCATCAGAAGGAGAAGAAATCGACACCGACTAGGGCTCTTGGTTAGGTTAAAAAGGAGGAGTAGAAGCAGAGGGGCTGCATGTCCGAATGCAAGATTGGCTAGACATGTGATGGCGACCAGATGGTAGTGGGAAGTCAGTGCATCGGACCACGCCAGTTTGGGAATTGTGGCTCAGTCAGTATTGAACCAGCGCCACCAAGTTGTCAGTGGGCGGCGGTGGTGCTTAGTGCCCAACGGCCCATGTTCCAGGTATGTCGCCTGCCAGTTCCACCTGTCCATCGCACGAGGCTGCCAGCTTTCCAAGTGCTGGGTCTACTTTTTCCAGCGCTAACAGCACGCTGAAGGGAGCTGGCCGAGTTAGCGCTGTCTCCCAAGACACAGTGCACCAGAGCAGGCAAGGCTTCCGAGCTGCAATGTGGCCAGAACCCACATGCTTGGTTTAGCTGAAAGGTGAAGCTTTTAGTGTTGGCCTCGTATTTGCTTTGCGCCATGCAATACGCCCTCAAGGACAGAGAGTGAGGAAAAACAAAGAAAGAATGTGTATTGTGAGAGGTTTATTTTGTTTGCACATATTTTAATATATGTATATGTTCTTCCTAGACAAGAAAAAAACTGCGCCTCGTAGTCCCTGCTCAGTAATAACTTATCTGCACGCACAGTTCTGAGCGACACCGCACTGTATTTTCCACGACGGCGCCCGCCTGTCCACCCACTGACGACACGTCCCCCTCTTCCCAGGCTGGCTGCGCTACGCTGCCCCTTTCGTCTTTTGCTGCTGCGCGCTACCAAGGCTCCACCACCCCTGCTTTCTCTCGTACTCCCCTCTTCCCCCTTGAACGTCTCGTCTAGCAAACGATCTCCTCTTCCCAATTCTTTCTCAATTCGTTTCCTTTTTCATCCTTTTTGTTTCTTCTCTTCTCTTCTTATTTCAAAGGTGATCGCCTCGATTGCCTTGGATCTACGGAGAGCCTAGAGTTTTCTTCTTCCTCACACTTTTGAGTCTTTGCACAGCTCGTCCTCTCTTTATCGACGTCCGGCTTCCAGTTGTCTTCAACTTTCCGCCCGACGCCTTTTTCTTTGCCCCTTCGCTTCTCTCGCCCAACCAACTCCTGGTGGCGCCTCCTTTTGTTCGATCCAATATCTCTTACGACCGCTTCTCGATCTACCACCTTTTAATCGAACACCATGGCTGCCGAGAAGGCTGTTGCCTCCGGCGCCAACCCTGGCGACGGTGCCCGCAAGCGCGCCGTCGGCCAGGCGCAAAATGGCTCTGATGTCCAGCCTGCCCAGCCTGCCCAGCCCGAGGACGATAAGAAGCTTGCCAAGAAGGTAAAACAAGCTTCAAGTTGCGCCAATTGCTCTGCTGCAGCCGGCTAACACTCCCCATAGCAAGAATCTCCTTTCGATCTCTTCGACAAGTTCGAGCCCATCATCGCGCCAATCCTCTTCACTGCGCTTGCCTTCTTCACTCGATTGTACAAGATCGGCATCAGCAATATCGTCACTTGGGACGAGGCTCAGTATGTTGTCCCTGCAAGAACGCTCCGAAGAGGAGACTCTCCGCTAACTCTGTCCACCTAGCTTTGGCAAGTTCGGCAGCTACTACATCAAGCACGAATACTACTTCGACGTGCACCCCCCTCTCGGCAAAATGCTAGTCGGCCTCTCTGGAGTCATGGCTGGTTACAACGGCTCCTTTGAATTCAAGTCCGGCGAGCAGTACCCTGAGGAGGTCAACTATACCTTCATGCGCGCCTTCAACGCCTTCTTCGGCATCGTCTGCATTCCCCTCGCCTACTACACCGCCAAGGAGCTTAAGCTCAAGAAGGCTGCTGTCTGGCTCGTCACCCTTATGGTTCTCTGCGAAAACTCCTACACTACCATTAGCCGTTTCATCTTGCTCGACTCCATGCTGCTTTGCGGAACAGTCGCTACCGTCTTCTGCTGGGCCAAGTTCCACAACCAGCGCCACAACAGCTTCGAGCCCGAGTGGTTCCTTTGGTTGTTCCTGACCGGTATCAGCATTGGCTGTGTCTGCAGTGTCAAGCTTGTCGGTCTCTTCGTTACTGCCCTCGTTGGTCTCTACACCATTGAGGACCTCTGGGCCAAGTTTGGCAACGTCAAGATGCCTGTTGTAAGTTTTTATAAATGATGGCTCTCAGTCAACTCGAGCTAACTGATTTCTAGACTACTCTTGGTGCTCATGTTCTCACCCGTGTCGTCGGTCTCATCATCGTTCCTTTCCTGATCTACATGCTCTCCTTCGCTCTCCACTTTGCGATCCTCGACCGCACTGGCCCTGGTGATGCTCAGATGAGCTCCCTTTTCCAGGCTAACCTCAAGGGTACTGAAGTCGGCAAGGACAGCCCTCTCGAGATTGCCATCGGTTCCAAGGCTACCATCAAGAACATGGGATACGGCGGTGGTCTTCTCCACTCACACGTCCAGACCTACCCCGAGGGCTCTCAGCAGCAGCAGATTACTTGCTACCACCACAAGGACACCAACAACGACTGGTTCTTCTACCCCAACCGTAACGAAGCCGACTACGACCCCGAGTCTCCCGATCTTCGCTTCATTGGCGACGGCTCCACCATCCGTCTTCTCCACGCCCAGACCGGCCGCAACCTGCACACCCACGACATCGCCGCCCCCATGACCAAGACCGACAAGGAAGTTTCTTGCTACGGCAATGTTACCGTTGGCGATGAGAAGGACCACTGGCAGGTTGAGGTTGTTCGCGACGCCGCTTCTCGTGACCGCAGCAAGATCCGCACCTTGACCACCGCTTTCCGTCTCAAGAACCCCGTCCTTGGCTGCTACTTGAAAGCTACCAACAAGAACCTGCCTCAGTGGGGTTTCAAGCAGATTGAAGTTTCTTGCACCAAGGAGAACAACCCCCGCGATGCCTACACCCACTGGAACGTCGAGGCTCACTGGAACGAGAAGCTACCTCCCTCCGACCCTGGCGTGTACAAGTCCCCCTTCTTCCACGACTTCATCCACCTCAACGTTGCCATGATGACCTCCAACAACGCTCTGGTTCCTGACCCCGACAAGCAGGATGATCTCGCCTCCAAGTGGTGGCAGTGGCCCTTCCTCCACGTCGGTCTCCGCATGTGTGGCTGGGACGACAAGATTGTCAAGTACTTCCTCCTCGGTAACCCCATTGTCTACTGGGGTTCTACCGCTGCTCTCGGTGTTGTCGGCCTGGTTGTCGTCTGGTACATCCTCCGCTGGCAGCGTGGCTTCAACGACCTGAACGAGAAGGAAGTTGACCAGATTCACTACGCTGGTATCTACCCCGTTATTGGCTGGTTCCTGCACTACCTGCCTTTCGTCATCATGGCTCGTGTCACCTACGTTCACCACTACTACCCGGCTCTCTACTTTGCCATCCTGGCCTTTGGATTCCTTGTCGACTGGTTCCTCCGCAACCGCAACGCTTCTATCCAGAGCGCCATCTACGGCTTCCTGTACACTGTGATTATCGGCCTTTACATCTGGTTCATCCCCATCTGCTGGGGTATGACCGGCCCCAACAGGGAGTACAGCTACATGAAGTGGTTTGACAACTGGAAGATGACCGATTAAACGGCTCTCCTACGAAGCAATTGGAGATCAGCTACACTTGTCGTTGCCCTCTGATTACCTCGGAAATCCCTGATCTTTTTAACGCACCCGATCAAATGGAAAGAAAGAATCTAGCCGAGCAAATTTGTAATTTGTGGAATTAGTTTTTATGAGCTGGGACAAGGGTGGGATATTGCGAATGTATAATCAACAAATAAAAGGGGTTCCCGTTAGACGCTGTTCCTAGACAGGGCAGCAATTGGGAAGAGTTGCTTAGTTGTAATGCAAATATGAATTTTCTTTGGAAATGCTACATGAATACTTTTGGGTAGAGTGAATGACCAAGCAAAGCTCGTGTGTGTAATGGTGCATTATTAGCGTGCCATGGTATTAAAGTATTATACAAAAAAAGGAGGTAGTGCTGAGCAGAGCTTTGACTATGGCCAAAAGTTCTTTTACCAGCAGCTGATACATGGGTTGGCGAGGAACACGGGGTGGGTGCAGTTCGTAAGTTCATTATACAGAGCCGTTCCGTCGAGGGCATCGAGGTATTAAATAGGGTATCTCTTTAGCAGCATCCGCCGGTGATAGCCTTGGATGCTTCAGCAGCTAACCGGACCTGACGATTGCCACCGGCGCTAGGACCTTTGACGCCAGACCGTCTGTCGTTGAGATCGTACTTGCCGGCCTGAATATTCTGGTATATTCTATCGGCGACACGCATAAAGGCCATTTCGACGTTTTCGCCGCTCTTGGCGCTAGTCTCGACGTACTCCATGACTCCGTTGCGCTTCGCCCACTCCTCTGCTTCCTGCCTTGTCACCTCGCGCTTGTTATTTGCCTGCTGGGTCAAGTCGGCCTTGTTGCCCACGAGGATGACGACAATGTCCGGCTCCGCGATCTGGCGCAGGTCGTTGAGCCAATCGGTAACATGCTCAAAGGTCTGTTTGCGAGAGAGATCGAATACGAGCAGCGCTCCGCTAGCGCCGCGGAAGTACGATCTTGTCACCGACTTGTAGGTTTCTTGGCCCGCCGTGTCCCAGAGGCTGAGCTTCATGTGCTTCTGCGGCGTTTTGCTCGTATCGCGGGGCGGTTCCGGCAAGCCCTGCGACAGCGTATCGGAGTCTGCGTCATCGGTTGTCGTTATTGATTTCGGAGCAGGAGCCGGTTTCGAATGGGGAGGGCCGACGGGGACGATGCGGGAACCGAATTCGACTCCAATGGTGACGTCGTGATGGGGAGAGAAGCGCCCCTCGCACAGGCGGATGGTGAGACTGGACTTGCCGCAGCCCGAGTCGCCTATGCATACAAGTTTGGCGATGAAATCCCACGGCGTCGAAGACATGGCTGGATGGGCTGTGAATTGGATGGGGTGGCGGCGGTTGGGAGAGATGGATGGTGAAGATTGAAGGAAGCTCTCTGCACGTGCGAGCTTGGGGGTGTAGCTACTAGCCTGGGGTAGCTAGACAGGCGGGGAGCGTAAAGGGAGACGGGCGTGAGATTGGGCGGTAGGGAATCGGTGTAGGTCGGAGGAGCAGGTGGCTGGTGTTTTTAGCTTCTGTCGAGGATGGATGAATGGGATGGCAGACGGATGTCCGGTTGAGATGCGGCTAGCGAGTTGTTGGGAGAAAATGGGATACCGGAGGTGGAAGCTGCCGCTAGCCGAAGCTGCCGTCACGGGTTGTTAGGCGCCGGGGGGGGGGGGGGTCAGTGGATGAGCTTTGGGGGGCCGTTCAGTACAGGAGACCGTTCAGGTACACGCGGTGAGGTGCAGTGTTGTACTCGATGGTCTTCTGCGGGCGTGCGCTGTTGGCTATTCTTGTTCGTGAGAGAAATAAAACTATGTGTGCGTATATATTTGCAGCTTCGGAATATGCAGGATGTAGGCTATGTGCGTATTTGTCAAGTCCTTGTGAAAATGGGCTTGACTCGCCATGTCTTATACTATAAACGCTATATGGTGCTGGTGGTCCTGTAGGTATTATTAGGCGAGCGACGGACGCTTGCGGTTGGGCGTGTCTCACGCTGGGCGGCGGATAAGAGCCTGAGGTAGTGTGCTGTGGTGGGTTGGGCTGGGATGCGTCGAGAGAGGCAGAGCAAACAAAAAACCAACTGCCGAGCTCAAGAAATGTACTTTATTTGGAAAGAATAAAAGAAACCACAAAGTTCTCTTTGCAAAACGCATCGTATTCAGTAAACCAAGGCTGGCGTCGAGACGATAAACAAAAACATAAAACGCCTCGTGCCACTGGCGTGCTGCTGCTACTGCTGGTGCTGATGCTATTACGAGACTGTACTTACGCTGTAAGTAGTAAAGTTACCTTGCCCCTTGTACCTCCCGCTACTGTAATGTGCAGTGCAGTCGCCCGTCAGTGCTACAGTACACTTGTTTACTGGAACAGATGCTGAACGCTACACTGGCGGCGCTGTCTGCCTCGTGACAAGGCCCCCGTCGGTGCTCGCCACAGCGGTGTACATGACCGCCGCACTCGCTCCAAAAAATGGTTCCCCCCACAGCGTACTGCTTAGCTGGTAGCGTCACTGGGCCTGTCTCCCATGACTCTTTGCCTGGTCGCTTGACGCTAAGCTCACTTCTGCTCTGCCACCCCAGAGCCGCTTCCATCCATCCACTTGTTTACCTGTCACCGGCCTTAGCTGCGGCCTGCTTCTATTTTATTTTTGTTGCTTCTGTTTGGAATACCTGCAGACAAACTACCAAAATCCTCACCATCTCTTGATATCTCTCTCCCGGCGTTACATATTTTCCCCCTCTTATCGTGTCTCGCCTTCTCCCCAGTCCCCGCAGGCAGCAGCCCGTACATGGTAGCAGCCACAGCACCAGGCAGAGACGGTCGACACGAAGCGTAACCGAAACACCAACAAGAATCCGAGGAGGCGGATGGTGAAGGTGTAGAAAATGTTTTCAGAATGTGAGTATTTCTCAGCGTCTCGGGCCATTTTATCGCTGAACCGGTTGCTAATGTTCCTGCAGACGCATCACGCTTCCTCGCCCAGTCGCAGTCACGGCTCTCCAACTTTGGCCAAGTGGACGACAATACACAACGAACATCCGACCGAGCCGGACGAACACAACGAGACGGCACTAGATCGGCTGCTGGCCAGAGATCCTTCCTGTCGAGGGGCTATGGCGGCAACCCGTACCAGCAGAACGGCACTGGCTCCAGGTTTGGTAACCTTGCGTTTGCCTCTCGCATCTCTGCAGCCCAGGATGCACCGCTCTTCCACGGCACGCTAGACGAGTACCGCGAAGACGATGAGGAGGACGAGCGAGATCGTGAGGATCTCTTCGCCCTACAGCGATCACGGCGAGTCGCTGCCGCTAGCAAGCTGGCGGAGAGCGTCGAGTCCGACGCCAACAGCCGTGGATCTCTGGACGACAGTGCAGCGCTCGACGACCATCCGTATCGAGGTAGAGGTATGCACAGGGGGATCAAGAGCAGCTGGAACGAGACGAGAGGTCACTACCGAGCCTCAGTTGCGCAAGATACTCTCCAGGAGGAAGCCGAGGAGCTGGGTGAAGCGGACGAACACCCGCTGCGTGACCAAAAGGCTGGCTTGGTTGATGTTGGCCTAGATTCGCAGACAGAAGATAACGATGAACCCCCGGAATCTCTACTTGGCGACGCTGCGACAGACTCGAGCCCGCCGCCGTTTCAACGATTCAAAACTACGGCAAACGACCGAACACCATTTATGCTCAACAGAACGTCTACCGACACCACGGAAATGAGCGACCTTCAACGCGACGATCCTGTAGAAGGAGAACCCATGGATGAGTTACCTACGCCTTCGGATGGAGAAGTCTTTCGCCACGACCCTTTCTTTGCGTGGATTTTCCTCATCAGCTGCGCCGGCATGATGTCTACTTATGTGCTTGTCTGGCTGCATACCGCTCCTCGCAAGAGCCCTGTTGGAGATACTATTTACACCGCCATCCAGAGATCGTTCCACATGCTGGCCGTGGACACAGTCGTGGCCATCATAGTCTCGTTTGTTTGGCTCGCAGCTTTACGGTCGTTTGTGCGACCTCTCGTCAGTGTTATCTTGGTGGCTGTCCCGGTGATCATGATGTCCTTTTCCCTCTACGCCTTTATATCGTCGTTCCAGGGCAGGACACATGGCGGAAGTTTCCAGGATGGAGTTATGCGTTGGGCTTCCTTTGTCCCCGCGGCAAGCTGCGTCCTGTGGCTATGGCTAGTCGTCAAGGGCCGCCGCGCCATCGACCAAGCGATTGAGATTTTACAATTTTCGTCACGAATCTTGGCTCAGAACCCTGGTTTACTAATTATGGGATTTGGCTGTCTGGCTTTGATTGTGGTATGGACGTGGGTTTGGCTGGCCATGTTTACGCGTGTTTTCATGGGCGGCTACTTTTCCAAGTCGTCTCCAGCGCGCTTCGTTATTGAGCTTTCTAGCTGGTGGCTTGGAGCAGGCTTTGTCTTTATGTACATGTGGACGCTGGCCGTCATCAACGCTGTCCACAGAGCCACGACAGCAGCAACAGTCTCGCAGTGGTACTTTCACAGAAACGCTGGCCCGGCGGCTCCGTCGAGGGAGATTGTCTTGGCCGCGCTTGGCCATGCAGTGACAACCATCTTTGGTAGCATTTGCCAGTCCACCCTTCTCTCGCTCCTTATCCGAGCGCCGCTGCTCTTCTTGCCGCGCCGCGTTGGCGCCACCATTACCAACATTGCATCAGCTTGGATTCCCACGCCGATTGTAGCACTCACCAACCCTCTTACGATTACATATGCAGCTATTCACTCGCAATGTTTGGCTACGTCTTCACGAGGCCTTGATCAAATGGAATTCGTGACGCCAGCAATGCCAACCACCACATTAACTCCTCGCGCGTTGCGGCTGCGTGGGCAGCAGTCGGGTTTGGTTCCGTACCGCCTGGCGAAGCTGCTTCTGGTTGCGACTAGGTTTATTATGGCCACCGGCTTGGGTTTTGCCGGATGGGTAATCACCGCAAAACAGCTGCAAATATTGCAGTCTGGCAATGCCGGTGTCCGCGGCTCAGCATACGCCTATGTTGTAGGACTGGTGGCTGGTTTTATTGGATACTCTGTCATGGGCGCCATGGAGGGCATTTTGAGCGGAATTGTAGATGCTGTGTTGATCTGCTACGGCAGCGAGAGGCGCATGGAAATGGGCCACGGAAGATTTTGTCTAGAAGCTGCATATCTTTTTGGCGAGCGTCGATCTGGAGGTCTTGGCGACGGCCGCGTGTAAACATAAGACTCTTTTGAAAGAGCGTTGGTTGTATCATATGAGTATCACATAGGCTATAGCATTCGTGTAATACGCCTGTTTAAGCAACTGAAATAAATGTACAATGTATTTTACTACTAAACGAATATCCCCTTCCTCGCCTTTTCCATGTCCCTCCGCGTACTCCAAGCCTTGTCGTTTAGCAGGCCCAAGCATGATCATCATCATACTCAAAGTGAACCTTTGTCAAGGTGTCGATGCCATTGTTGGATTTTCCACTATATCTGGTGCTCATGCACGAGCAGAAGCCAGCGCGGCAAAACTTGAGCACGTCATGAGGATATGTGAAGATGTCGGCGTCGCCCTTGCCGGTCTGGCACTTGAAGTGTGTGGTGGCGATTTCGTTGCCATTGGCTTGGCACTGCTTAGTGGTATCGCAGCCAACCATGAGTTGTGTATCACGAGGATCAATGGAAGCGTACAAACAGTTATTTTGATCGACCATGAGGATATCAAGCGTGCCTGAAAAGCGAGCAGCGGCGATGCTGGCGAGGGCGGTAATAGCAACAGCGAAGGACTTCATATTGGTGGTGGGAAGATTTTGAGGGTGAAGAGAGTTCTGTGAAGAAGTAATAATGGTAGATATGTGTGAGTTTGTTTGAAAGAAAGCAAATGGAGGCTTTTTAGAGGGCTTTTATAACACATTATGCGAGCTGAGTGGGTGGGTGGAAATGGCGCGTAGGGCGGATTGCCAAATCGAGTAATACGATATTTTAGCGCGAGATCGCGCAGTGCTCGTTTAGGGCAGGCAAGGCGAGGATACGGGAAGCCGGGGAACTATTGGTGGGTAAATATTAATATCGGCGGTGTACTTGTGAGTACAGATGATTTTTTGTTTTACTAATCTTTTGTTAGGCTGGCTTCGGGTTTACCTCTTTGGATTTTGCTCCATGAACTTCACATATATGGCTTGAAGCAGCCAGGCGCTGTGGTTCCTGTCCTTAGCGTTCTGAATGCCCTATACTTTAGGTGCGCTCAGTGGCTTGTGAGTGTGTGGCTACGGAAATATGCACGATTTGTCAAAAAGGCGAAGGGAAATGGAAATGAAATTCACTTCCTTTCAAACCAAGCAGGCACTACGAAAAAACAAAAAAAACACAAATCAAGTCTCTGCGCCACATGCGTGTGTTGCACGTTCGTTGTGATTCCAGCACACGCGGCGTGGCTGTGCACCTGCATCGTCAGCAACCCTTCGCCCAATGACGACATCAGCAGCCCAGCGAAATCGGTGGGTGGCCTCCCTCTTACAGGCTAAACCAACCAGGTCACCGCTAACTCTACAGTAGCGCGGGCGACACACAGCAGCTGACTGCAGTGGAGACTCCCCCGGGAACATCTTGTTCCAGCGCCAGGCCAGGCCCTTTTACTAGGCGATTCGGCGGGCTTCTGGAAGCGACACCAGTGGAGAACTGTCGCTGCCTTGTTTGTTACAGGCCAGCACAAGCGCTGTTGCTGGTGGCGGCTTGATGATGTATGCCCTTGGGGCTGCGCCAGCCAACCAACCGCACAAAGGGCCAGCCCGCCGAACGTATATGAAGAAGGATGGACGCTTTTCCTTTTTTTTTCCCCTTTTTGAGCTTGTTGATTTTAATTTATTTTTGACTTCTTTGCTAACTTTGTATTGATATATCCTCCATCCACAGCCAAGCACACATACACCAAGCAAAACGCCGACCCCACCTCCCAAGCTCGCTAGCTTACACCACACCACCCTATAAACAGAAAGCCCGCCTTTCCCCTCCTCCGGAGCTTGCGCTACAACCACATCCCATCTAGCGGCATTTCTGCTCTTCGTTTCTCTCCCTCGACTCTACCGAACAGAGCGCATATAAAATACGATTCATAGAATGGCGGACTACGCTGCTCCCTCTGGTCCTCCCCCGCCCAAGGCCCCCGAGGTCCCCGCAGGCTGGGCCGCTCGATGGAACACTGAATACAAGGAATGGTACGTTGCGGGTTGACGCTCACTTTGTGTGTTTGAGCAATTGCTCCCCCGTGTGCCTCCAGCTAACGTTTACGCCCTTCCAGGTTCTATGTCAATGTTTATACGAAAAAGTCGCAGTGGGAGAAGCCCACTGAGCCCGTCTTCCCGGCTGCAGACACTCCCGACGCTCCTCCGCCTTCTTATGAGCCTGGATCTGCCCCCGTCGTCACTGATACCAAGAAGAACCCGTACGAAGAGCCCAAGCCTAACCCCAACGAGGCCAGCAGCTCGGCTACCGAGAGTGAGGATGCTAAGCTTGCCGCTAAGCTCCAGGCCGAGGAAGACTCCAAGGCCCGCGGATCCAGCTCGTCGGGCCCCCAGGGTCAGTCGGGAAGCTTTCCCAGCGACTTGCCTCCTCGTGAGCGTGAAAAGAGCAGAGGTTTCCTAGGCAAGCTGCTCGGCAAGGGCAAGAATAACAACAACAATTACCAGCAAAACTACCCTCAGCAAAACTACCCCCAGCAAAACTACCCCCAGCAGAATTACCCTCAGCAGAATTATCCTCAGCAAAACTACCCGCCGCAAAACTACGGACCGCCACCTCAGCAGTACGGCGCTCCTGGCTACGGTGCTCCGGGGCCTCAGTACGGCGGCTACCCCCAGCAGCAAGCCTATCCTCCTCAGGGTCCTCCAGGTGGTTATGGTGGTGGCTATGGCGGCGGCCCTGGCTATGGTAACAACTATAACAACCAAGGCCGTCCTGGAAGAACTGGCGGTGGTATGGGCATGGGTGGACTGGCCCTCGGTGCTGGTGCTGGTCTTCTTGGTGGTGCATTGCTTGCTGGTGCCTTTGAGCACGAGCAGCACGAGGCATATGAAGAGGGTTACCGTAAGTGATTTACAAATTTAATGATGGAGGCTATTTTACTAACAACTGTATACAGAAGATGCTCAGCACAACGATGCCATGAACCAGCAGAGCCAGCAGCAAGATTACGGCTCACATGATACCGGCGATTACGGCAACAACGACTACAACGACGGCGGTGGCTTTGACGATGGCGGTTTCGGTGATTTCTAAGCGGTTTGCACAGCTAGGAGATAGAACGCATGAGATACATGCCATGTTCAGCGGACAGTCTATTATTGAGCACCTCTAGACACAGTTACGAGACTTGACCAGTAATTTCATAATGACGACTTAAAGAAAAATGAACCATATTCACCATTACGTATACAAGACGTGATTGTACATTCTTTTGTTTAATCATTCATGTCTAAACATTCCTCAGTTCTATTATCTTGCCGCTGCAGTTTCTTTTCTGTCTATCGTCTGACACCCTCAACCTTGCGCGACGCCTCCTCTGAGGCGGCTTCCTTCTTATTAGAGCCGGCCAGGTAGGCAGCCATATCAAAGTTGTTAAGAGGGTTCTTCTTCCCAGCCTCGCCGGCGTTTCCGGTGAGGAACGCATTCATGGCGCTGTTCTTTTGCGAGGCTTCAAACTCGGCGCGCGTCTCGGGGTCCACTGCAAGGTTCCTTGGTTAGCTTGTTTTTCTCGTCATAACTCCTGCCGAGACGTACTGTTTTCAACGAGCTTGGGCATGCCGATAAAGATGACCATGGACACAATACCCATGAGGATCATGGGGTTGCCAAAGATGGTCATAATGGAGACTATTGCGACAATTTGTTAGCTTGCGTCACCGATAGGTAGACAATCTCCCATCTGATACTTACACTTGGGACGTTCGTTAAAGTACAGCTTAGTGCCCATAGATTTGACTTGGAAGCCCTTGACCGTCTCCGTCTCCGTCAGAGGCACAGCCTCGCCTCTGTTGTCCCAGTCGTTGCCGCGGTATGTTTCCCAAGCCAGGACGACGTCGCCGCCGCCCACATCGATGCGCAGGGGCTTGAAGCCGTCAGTTGCGCAGTGTACATCGGCGAGGTATGATCCGGGAGTAACGTTTCGGAAGACGAATGTGCTGGCGTCCGAGATCGGGGCCGAGAAGCGCTGGCCGAGCGAGGAGAGCGTGGCGTGTGTCGACGGAGGAAGCGAAAGGGGGTCGGGGTGGTAGGCGGGCAGGATGAGGGTGACGTCGAGGGCCAGAGCGGTGCCCAGTATGGCGAGAGGAGCGAGGAGATGCATCGCGGCGAGGATGTGGATGGAGTGTGCGGGCGGATTGGGAATGTCGGAAAGGCAAAGCTGCGTTAATGCGGCGGTTGACGTTGGAGGTTTGGCGGCACACTGGCCGGACTGGAAGTGGGTTGGGGCGCACCAATGAGAAGGCTGCATTGTAAGTAGCCACCACCAGGGACAACCGAAAATACTCTAGAAATCCTGGCATAATTATTTATATTGATAAAGGTCGCGAAATTTAGAGAAATTACACACTATTTATATTCATTGCTATCAAAAATTAAGTTCCATCGGCTTATGGTTGCGAAATCTACGTCGACTTGGCGACACCCGCAGCCTCAAACGACTGCTCAAAGTCGGCAATAATATCGTCGATGTGCTCAATACCAACGGAAATGCGGATGAGGTCTTCTGTGACTCCCGAGTTGGCCTTTTCCTCATCAGACAGCTGCTCGTGAGTTGTAGTCCAGGGGCTGCAAAACTTGTTAGCATATTGTGTTTGCAAGGTTCATAAAGAAGGTAATACGTACTGGATAGCCAGCGATTTGGCATCGCCAACGTTGGCAAGGTTGGAAATGAGCTTAAAGTTGTCGACAACCTGGCTGCCTGCCGAGCCGCCGCCCTTGACGCCAAAGCTCAAAACACCACCAAAGCCCTTCTTGAGGTACTTGGTGGCTGTCTCGTGGGACGGGTGGCTCGCAAGACCGGGGTACGACACCCACGACACGTATGGGCTCTTTTCGAGGTACTGGGCGAGAGCCAGGGCATTCTGTGCATGGCGTTCGGCGCGCAGACTAAGTGTCTCGATACCAAGGAGCAGCTGCTGCGCGGCAAATGGGTTCAAGCTGGCGCCGAGGTCGCGCAGAATCTCCACGCGGGCGCGTATGATGAAGGTGATGTTGCCAAAGGTCTCGAAGAACTTGAGGCCGTGGTAGCCCTCGGACGGCTCGTGGAATTGGGGGAAGCGGGCAGCGTTGGCGGCCCAGTCAAACTTGCCAGAGTCGACAATGACACCGCCGATTGTGGTGCCGTGGCCACCGATCCATTTGGTTGCAGAGTGCACGACAATGTCGGCGCCGTGGTCGATGGGGCGGACAAAGTAGCCACCAGCGCCAAATGTGTTGTCGACCTACGTGTTTGGTTAGCTTCCTTAACTAATAACTAGCAACATGTGTTTGTTGTAGATTTCTGGTGGACTTACCACTAGAGGGACGCCCTTGTCATGGGCCACCTTGGCAATGGCCTCGAGATCAGGAACGTTGTAGCGCGGGTTGCCGATGCTCTCGACGTAGACGGCCTTGGTCTTGTCGTCAATGGCGGCGGCAATCTCGTCGGGGTTGTCTCCGTTAACAAACTTGGTCTGGATGCCCAGACGAGGGAGGAAGACCTTGAATTGGTTGTAGGTGCCGCCGTACAGGTTCGACGTGGAGACAATGTTGTCACCAGCATGCGCGAGTGTGCTGATGGTGATGAACTGGGCGGCCTGGCCCGACGAAGCAGCCAGCGCAGCGACACCGCCTTCCAATGCAGCTATGCGCTTCTCAAAGACATCGACAGTAGGCTATAGACCTCAAATTAGTCAAACGGCTAGTCACAGTAACGGGGGTTCGGAGCACCTACGTTCATGATGCGGCTGTAGATGTTGCCAAACTCCTTGAGGCCAAAGAGCCGCGCGCCATGGGCCGAGTCATTGAAAGTAAAGCTCTATTGCGCAGTCAGTATACTTCCATTTCTAACTATTGGTGTAGATTGTTTGTTCTTACCGTCGTAGCATAGATTGGAACAGCTCGGGCGTTGGTCGCTGGGTCCGGAGCGGTGCTGTGATGGTGTAAGTGACGGGCTACTAGCAATTGCCGCAGACCATGGTCTTTAGCGACGAAACGTGTACATACCCCGCGTGGATCTGAAGAGTCTCAAAGTTCTTGCTCACGTTCTCTGCCATAGTATAGATATGGGAGAGCTATACCAAAGTCGATGGGAGTATAATGCTTGCTTGAAAATAGTAGTTGGGGTATCACGGCAGGATGGAAAGACAGCAGAGCCCAAGAAGAGGGGAAGTGCGGCATTGAGCCGGCTTTTATTCTCCCAGTACAACGCAATCACATCATTTCTGCTGCTGCCGCCATTCATCTGCATCCAAGCCCTCCTCTATCGGAGAAGCCAGCACCCGCAGCATTCGGGTCGGGTTGTCGTGCCCGCCCCCCCCCCCTCCCCCGCTCTCGCCGCCACTGCGAGGCACCTGGCGCCAGCTGGTACAGCATCGCCAGGACCACTTGTACAGTTGGCTGCCAGGTGCCAGGTGCCGCCAACTGCCAGGTGCTGGTGGTGGGGTTTCCCGCTAGCAGCTAACTGGCGGCCATCGCCCAAAGCACGCAATTTGTCGTCATTGGCGTATTGCGTGATTTCAACCAGCCGCCTTTTGGGGGGGAAGCATCTAATATTTAGTTGGATTGCGCTGTGCATGACTGTGAAAAACTCGCTGCATTCATTGGCTCGCCTCTAGATATTGTACGTGCCTTCCTGGCCGCCAGGTGCATTCGAGACCTGGTATCGGATCAAGGGATCTACATCTGTGTATGCTGTGCCTTTCCCCCGCTGCTGTCCCAGATTAGATAAAAGGAAACAAATAAAAGCGTTGCTAGGTTTAGGGTTATAGCAAATTACTTTGTTAGAATCCGGGTTGCCGGCTATTTGCGTTAAATGGCGCGCATCGCAGCAACTATACAGGTACTCTAAATGGCTATTAAAGTATGTAAGTTAGAGACTAAATAAGTTACTACAAACAATACAAACAAATATACAAGAGGGTGATCTGTCAGTGTAGTTTACATCTTTAGCAATCCATCGAAGTAATTATTTGTACATTGAGGGTAAACTCCTTAACGATCACTTCGCCAATTTTTTGGTATTGTTAATACTGTTCTTAGGCTTTGCCGGCTTATACTGAACTATATAACCGAGGGTGCCTGTAGTACTCTCTAGGTAGCCGCTATTTTAATGATTGGTTACGGCCAAGGTATTCTGAATGTGATTAAGACGTAATGCAAGCTATCTTGTGTGAGTTTCAATTGGCCATTCTATGTCTTCCTCTTTAAATTTGAAATTACAAGAACCTAGTAGACATATCTAAACTGAGGGATCTCCTTGTCTGTTCGATCCATCAGGTTAACCATGACGTCTGCCTGCGCGTCCATACACTCCTGCACCTGTTCAGAGCTGACAGAAGTATTCCTCTGGTGATTTTCCCGGATGAGATAAAGACGAATGCACAGCGTAATTGAAAAGGCACAAATCATGCAGACCAAGACGCCAAAGAAGCCAGAGTTACACGTCGGCTTCTCCAACGAGAAGAACAGCTGCGGACCGACAATGTTTCCAGCACAATACGCAATAAAGGGCTAGAAAAGAATTAGTAAAAATATAATACAATATAAAACGACATGGATTATACGCACCAATGCATTGACGGTCGTCTTCTTGGAGAAGCCGCCAAAGTTGCCCGACATAAGAGACATGACAAGAGGAAAGTTGGCGCTAAAAGCAGCAGCCATGACTATGCCGGCAAACTTTGCCCAGCGCATCTCGGCCGGGACGTAGCGAATCATGGCGACGCCTGAAATGGCAATGGAATAATTCCACATCATGAACAGAGTGCGGCAGTTGGTAAGGTATGTGCTGTCCAGAGTTCCGATAATGACGAGGATCAGCTGCGCAATGTACTGGACACTGCTAAGCAGGAGCGTGTTGAATACGCTGAATCCGAGACCATTGACTGCAAGGCGCGCTGGCAACTCCGCCATGTGCGGACGCTCCTACAAACCAAGATTCATGTTCACTTGGCCAACAGGCCGGTGCAGTGTCATGGGGCCAGAACAACTTGCCGGTGTGATGCAGACGATTGAGGAAAGGTCTGCCAAGGCCAAGGGCACCTTTAACAATGAAGAATCGCAGACCAGAGTATGTGAGAATATTGACAGATTGAATATTATTATTTTATGTTTTAATAGAATTGTTGGTTTGCCAAGCACGTCAGGGTGTTTTACACTGTGAAAATGGTCTCTGCGAGAAGAGGTGGTTTGTGGCAACGCCAACACAGGCCGTCTCGGCCAGAACACGGCGCATCGTAGCCCGCGCAAGCGCCGTATTTGGCTCCCAGACAATAATCTTGGCAATCATGGAGTCGAAGTAGATGGAGATGCGCGAGCCAGTATCAATCCCCGTCTCAAAGCGGACAGTGCGGTTGGCAAACGGCGTAAACGTCGCTGGCTGCCACAACCGAATCAAGCCGTGGCTAGGATAAAACTCGCGGCCTGGATCCTCAGCGTAGAGACGACACTCAATAGCATAATCAATCTGCGGTATATTCTGCAGAGGCTCTAGTTGCAAAAGATTTCCCCCCGCCGCAACATACAATTGCAACGAGACGATATCTAGACGCGTGACCTCTTCGGTGATGGGGTGTTCAACCTGCAGGCGAGTGTTTACTTCCAGGAAGTAAAAGTTGCTAGTGGCGACGTCAAACACAAACTCGACAGTGCCGGCATTTTCGTAATGCAGAAGCTGGCCAATCCTAACGGCAACATCGCTCATTTCTTGACGCTTTTCGGCTGTTAGCCACGGTGACGGGGTCTCCTCAATCACTTTCTGATGTCGTCGTTGCACCGAGCAGTCCCTTTCGCCCAGCGAGGCAACGTTGCCATGGCTGTCGCCAATGATTTGTATCTCAATGTGCTTGTAGGCCTCAATGTACTTTTCCAAGATGCAGTCGCTGGATCCAAAGAATCTTTGGGCCTCAGGCTGTGCTCTCTCCAGCCCCGACTGCAGCTGTTCTGGGTTGGATACGATACGCATTCTCTTGCCACCGCCACCCGCAGATGCCTTGAGCATAATCGGGTATCCGATTTGCTTGGCAACCTTGTCCATGTCCACATTGGCATTGCTGCTGGACCCGGCGAATCCGGGAATCAGCGGCACCGTGGGATCATTTTCTCGCAAAAAGGCCTTGGCCGATCGCTTATCGCCCAAGGTTGACATGGTAGAAGCACTTGGGCCAATGAACTTGATTCTAGCGGCTAGGACGGCCGTTGCAAAGTCGGCATTCTCGCTCAGATATCCGTAGCCTGGGTGAATGCCGTCAGCCCCGGCATCCAGCGCAACCTTGACCACCAGCTCGGCATTGAGATACAGGTTTCCACCAGCCTGATCAATAGACCCAAGGCGTATCAATTCGTCTGCTAGAGCAATATGACGTGACACCGCATCTCTAATAGTAACAGTTAGCTTGGTCCCAACTAGACTTTCGCCAAGAAGGGCTTACTCGTCAACGTAAACGGCGATGAGACAATGTTTAGAAGGCGGCAGGTGTTGATGACTCGACAAGCTATTTCTCCTCTATTTGCAATCAAAACACGCTGCAGGCCTGGTCGCCCATGCTTATCCGTGGGTAGTGGCGCAAGGAAGCGGAAGGAGAGTCGCCATGGCGAATTCAGTGGGTGACGGCGTGGGGAAATCTTGAATCGTCTCAACATTCAGGCTACGGGACATGATATATAGCAGACTTGCCGATCCCACCAGCTGCGGCGTTCGCGTGCCGCAAAACACCGAGATTGCATCCGGGGTAGCTGGATTGGCCGGGGCTGGTGATGGCCGTGCCGGGCCGGCTCCGGGTGCCCGTGCCCGTGTCGAATGCCGGATCGCCTGTTAACGTATCCGGCTGTAGCCTCACTCGCCACACCGGCGGTCGCGGGGGCCAACTACAGCCTGAAAATTGATCGAATATAGAATTATAATTTATATTGCTTTCCACAGCTGGAAAAAGAGCCGCTCTAGGCTATTGCGGAGCCAACTATTGCAAGCGTCTTGCACTTTGTGTCTAGCGTGTGGTCAGGCGCTATACAGTTGAAACAGATGCGAAATATATATGTATCAAATATTGTAGAAATTATTTGTAGAGGGTATTGTACAGTTTAAAAATAAACCAAGATTCGCTTAAACATCGTGGGTTGCGATCCAGGTACCAAAATCGTCCGCTGTGGTGTAGAGTGATTCGGAGACGGCCTCAATCGGGGCACTCTACGCGTGCTGCATCTGGGCATCGAGCACTGCGCCTTTTGTAGACTCCGACTCGAACCAATCTTTTACCGCAATGACGGTCGACGTGATCCAAGTGCTGAATTCGGCGGCTGCGATGACGGCTGCCGCCCGGGCCATGGTACACGCCGCACCTTCGCAGGTCGACAGATATGTGAGGAATAAGGCGTATGCAATAAATCCTGCAAAGTAGAAAATCGCATTGAGAGCTTCAAGGCCGAGGCAGATGAGCTGATGTGATGGTACAGCACGCGCTCGAGACAGCTCAAGATATATAATGGATAAGATCGAGACGACCGGCGCAAAGATGAGGAAGGCGAGCGCTCCGGGCGACGCTACATGCTCGTTCGACAAATAGTTCTGATATACTGCAAGATTTTACTGTTAGTCAGGCCAGTCCTCGTTTGGGTGCTCTTGCTTTAATGGGCACGTAGGGTTTCGCAGCGCGGCGCGCAGGTACTCACCAGATGCTGCCAGCGCCAAGTTAGCCACAGCTAACGCGGTTTGAAGAACTCTCAATAACGAAATAGCCAATTGAACCATGGTATAAACGTGAAGATTTGAATAGTATATTTTCAGATCGTGATTACGATCGTGGCAGGTGTTGTGGCCGCATAAAGAGCTTTGTATGGCATCGCGGCGGCGTGACTGGAATGCACCGCGAGATGCCAACGGAATGGCGCCCAGCAGTGCCCACCACCAATCGCTGGCATTAAGTGTCTCTCCGCCTATGAAGTGTTAAGTTCATGTTTGGTGATTTGGTGCATGACGTAGACATGTTGCTCATCCAGTTTCAATAGCGCTGGTTCCCAGCCCAAAAAACCACCTCTACCCAACCAGCCGTCGCGATGTATGGGTATATCAATCCCCACGCCACATTGCCCGACAAGGTCTGGTTTTACTAGCGGCGCAAGGCTTCAGTAGACCGTACCTTAACTAGCTTAGCGCTGAAAATGCTCGTCTCCCACTACCAAAAAAGATAAAGAGGCTGACCAAGGCTCCGCCGCTAGTACGAATAGTTGAGCAGTAACATGGCAACCACGCGCAAGTCTTGACCCCATTCAGATATTGGAGAAGCCCCCACACCGACCCCGGACCTGCTTGGAAAGTCCGCCGTCTTGGTGATTCAGCGGATATTGTCCATGGAGAAAGGAAGCCAAGAACTGAGCTGCGGTCAATTGAAGTAGCCGATGTAGATAGTCTCATTGCCTCAAAAATGAAAGGCTGTTTGCATTAAACTCTGGCGCTGCGTCATCGCTTGCAATTCTGGCATTGCTTTATCTCGTCTCGATACCCCGCTGGCAAAACTCACTGTGCTCTCGCACAGCGCTTGGCGGCGGTTTGCCAACTCGAATGGCACCACTATAGTGCGTTACTTTCCATCCTCCTGTGGTAAGACAAGGCGCCACCATTTTGCTATACCTGAAGCCCAAGAGTCTGAAGCCACTCAGCGTCGCTTTGTTGTAGCAGGGGGAATGAATGGCTTGTGGCAACACCTTATGGGCCGCGGTTAATGCGAGTCGGGCCAATGCACGCCGGTCTAGGAGCGAAACATGGCGGCGAACAAACGAAGACTGTGCGTTTGAGCAATGCAACACACGGCAGGGCACAGGTTGGTGCAGTCTTTATATAGAGAGGGCGGGCTCGAGCATGTCGCAGAAATAGCGGTCGACTATGCAATCTGTGTTGTGTGTTTGTTGGTGTGCCCGTCGTCCCAGACACCACTCCGCGGCGCCGCCAAAAAACCTTAGGCAGGCATCTGCTCCGAGAGGCGGCCACCTGTGACAGCTGGCACAGGCGGCAGCTGGTGCCAATGCAGCTGGCAGGGAAAGCGCAGTCACATTGCTGCCTGTATTTAAAACCTTCTTCCTCCTATGAAAATAACTATACACCATATATATACACGTCGTCATCATCACCAACACCACATCAACCTGCCGTCGCCTTGCGCGTGTTCCCCTTTTGTAAATTTCCCCGGACCCGCAACGGCAACTTGGAGACTTCCCCAAATGTCCGTCCACGCCAGAGACCGGGCCACCTTGCTGCACTGGGTCTAGCGCCACAGCGACCACACCCACGACGCAACCAACGAGCGGAGCTTTGTAGCTTCTAACCTCGGGCCCCGCCGCCGTCTGCAGGCCCTTCGGCCGTTGTGCCTCTATTTATCACCTGTGTAGCGCTAGCATGTTCCGGGCTCCTCGGCGATTTGGACTGACTTGTGCTGAGCCCACCTTAGGTCATTGACCACCCAACCCACTCATCGTTATTATCTACCATACCCCGGATTCTCCCCTCCTTTTCTCTCCTTCTCCTCATTGTTCCTTCAAGCTCCAAGATTTGTTTACCCTCCACCAGCTTGCCCAACATGCCGCAGGCCAACTTTGAGTCCTACTACAAGCGGACCACCGATTTCCCCGAGAAGAATGGTCCCTTTGGCTTGCCCATCCCCAACTCGGAGCGGCCAAACCGCAGTGCTGTCTACAGACATCACCGCTTCCGCGATGGCCCGCTGCTGACTACCATGGACCCCAACATTCGCACTATCCATGACATGCTCGAGTTTGTCTTCCAGGAGAAGCCCAAGCATAAGTGCTTTGGCGTCCGCAAGTGGATTCCTGAGACCAAGACCTGGGAGCCCAAGTACTCGTGGGTCACTTTTGGCGAGGTCGCTGAGCGCCGCAAGAACCTTGGTACTGGTATTGTAGAGATTCTCCAGAAGCTTGGCTACACAGGAGACAAGTACGGTGTTGGTCTCTGGTCGCAGAACCGCCCTGAGTGGCATCTGATTGGTACGTGTCAGCGTAGAACGCGCCAGGCTGTTCAAAGAAGTGCTAACAATTCTCATTTACAGATATGGCTGCCACTTCGCAGGCCTTGTTCACCGTGTCTCTCTACGATACGCTTGGTCCCGATACCACCGAATACATTATCAACCACGCCGAGCTTCCCATCATTGCTTGCTCTGTCGACCACATTCCCACTCTCCTCCAACTTGCACCCCGCATACCCACCCTCAAGGCCATCATTAGCCTTGATGCCCTAGAGCATGGCGAGGAGGCCGGCCGATCGAAGCGTGAACTCCTTAACCAGATGGCAGCTCCTGTTGGTCTTAAAATCTATGGCTTGGAAGAGGTCGAGCAGATTGGTATCCAGTCTGGTCGTCCCATGCGCTCGCCCCAGCCTGAAGACTTCAGCACCATCAACTACACCTCTGGTACAACTGGCCCTCCCAAGGGTGTTGTCCTAACCCACAACATGGCTGTTTCCGCAGTCAACACCGCCATGGCTACCGCCGGGATCAACAACGGCGATACCCACATCTCCTACCTTCCTCTGGCTCACATCTACGGCCGACTGGTGGACCAGCTTACCATTGTATGCGGTGGTGCTACCGGCTTCTTCCACGGTGATCCATTGGGTCTCATTGAGGATTTGAAGATTCTGAAGCCCACGACCTTTGTCTCCGTTCCTAGACTCTACAACCGTATCAACTCCGCCATCAAGACAGCTACAGTTGATGCTCCCGGTGTCAAGGGTAGCTTGATGAGACATGTTATCAACACCAAGAAGTCCTACATGAGCCTCCCTCTGGGTCAAGCGCACAACTCCCACTTCCTGTATGACCGCACTTTGATCCCCAAGATTCGATCGGCCGTCGGAATGGACAAGGTCCGCTCCATGACCAGTGGAAGTGCCCAGCTCGATCCTGATGTGCAGGAGTTCCTTGGTGCCGCATTCTCGAACCACTTCCGTCAAGGCTACGGTATGACGGAGACTTACGCTGTTGCCACCGTCCAGCTTCCTGGCGACTACCGCAAGAACTGCCTCGGCCCTCCTCTTCCCAACACGGAAATTTGCCTCGAGTCCGTACCAGACTACAACTACTCGGTTGAGGACAAGCCGTACCCCCGTGGTGAGATTCTTCTCCGTGGTCCTGGTATTTTCAAGGGCTACTACAAGAATAAGGAGGAGACGGATAAGACCGTCGAGGCTGATGGCTGGTTCCATACTGGCGACATTGGCTTGATTGACGAGACCGGCTGCCTCAAGATCATTGACCGCAAGAAGAACGTGCTTAAGCTCGCCCAGGGAGAGTACATCTCCCCCGAACGCATTGAGAACGCCTACCTCGCCAACACCAACCTGCTTGCCGCTGCCTACGTTCACGGTGACTCTAGCCAGGCCTCACTGGTTGCCATCTTTGCCGTTGATCCTGAGAACTTTGCTCCGTTTGCCGGCAAGATTCTCGGCCGCTCTATTGCCGCTAATGACAGAGACGCCGTTACTGCCGCATGCTCCGAGCCCCAAGTCAAGGCTGAGCTGCAGAAGGTGTTGGCCAAGATTGGCCGCAAGCTCAAGTTCAACAGCTACGAAAACGTTCGCAACTTTGACTTGGCTGTGGAGCCTTTCACCGTTGATAACGGCATTCTTACCCCTACGTATGTTTTCTACTCGCAATTGCAATTTGTTTCAGATGCTAACCAGTTATATAGTCTTAAGCTGAAGCGTCCTATTGCCGGCAAGGCCTTCCGAACCAACATCGACCGCTTATACGCTGAACTTGCCAAGGCAACCCCGGCAGCCACAATGAAGCTGTAAAGCTGTAACTTATAGATATATCGCCCATGTAACGTTCAAAGATCGTCCCAGGATTGGGTGTGCTGGTGAAAGTACCACTGCACATTAGCGTGTTTTTAGTAAAGATTTCTCACTACTTATTTAAAATGGAAAATGAAAATTGTTTAAATTTAACTAGAATTTTTGTTACGGACTGACCCGGGCCAGCTGGCAGAAAGGGTGTCTCAAGATAGTGATTAATTCGCTTAAAGAACATCTTCCAAAGTCTTCAGCTCGTGGAAGACTTTATATAAAGACCCTGGATAGGGGTAACAAGCACGTCGCCCGAGTGATTGACAAGGCCCTTACCGGGCCTTGATCGGCCTCTCTCTTCCTAGGTATAGGGTAGCGCTGGCACCCTTCGCGGAATGGGTATCGGGCATAGCCCGATTCTTAACAATTTTACTAAAATATTACATGTTATATGGGGGTATAGAAACAGAGTAGAACTCTAGCTATAAACCGAACGGTGTTGAGACGTCAATTTTATAGTGAGCAAAAACACTATAAAAAGAGTAAATCTCCGCCTTTTCATCATTATATGTGCTTAAAACTATATAATATTCAAGATAATATAGCGTTGCTGCTATTATAACTATAAAATATATATAATTCACTAATGTTGGAGGTTTTATGCCGTGTTTTCAGTGTTGGTTGAAGCGTTGACCATGATGCATGTGAACGGCGCGCATAGAGTGCACATGTTGCTGCTACCAACCAAGTTGGTTGGAGGTCTAAAGTATATGCTTAAAATGGTCATATGTCAAGTTTACGCTATTTTCATATAAAAAAATAGTTAATATAATATCAATTCCAATAAAAATCCTATTCAACTCTAGTGACGTCCTATGACTATATCTGCTGACCTAATCAACTTTAGACTACCGGATAATCCATATTCCGCCACTCCCCCAACTAATTAGCCTCCTTTACTTTGCCTAGCAACTGACGTTCAAGATATATTACCACTTTAGGCGGAAGCTGTATGCAACCCGTCGAAAAGGGCAATATAGCACGAGGTTATCACGCGTTTTACGACCTCATCTTCCAGTTATACAGCTTAGTCGAACTTTTTGGTCCTCGACCAATCTCTTTTGTATGAGTTTCCAATTGCTAGAGTCGTGACGGGACGCGATATGATCACGACCGTCACGGTCTCGACCCCGTGGTCGATGTTGGACTCAGCGGAGGATATATCGACACAGCGGACCTACGAGGATGAGTTTAAGTACTTTATCCATCCGCATTCTTATGACAACGCACCATCGCCTGCCCGCAAGCGCCAGAGGATTGTTCCAGACACTGCATTAGCTACCAGCAATGATACGACATCAGCACAACCATCCGCGCAGGATGCGATTCGCCTTCTAGTATGCCGCCTTGTCAATGAAGCTGTTCGCGATGTAAAGTTTCGCCGACTACAGGTAGACAACCTTGCAGTACAGGTATGCATCAATACATTATTCCTTTCCATCATGCTTGTCATACTAATATCCATTTGCATAGGTTGTTGGAGAGCTGGTATCAAACAAATCGTTTTGCAAAAGGATTGCCACATCTGATGGCCACCTTGGCCATAGATTACGGCTCAAAGTAGAGCTCGCTGTTGAGAGTTTAGCAATACAGCCTGTAAGTCATATCAATACTTTAACACTTCTTAGTACTAACATCTACCAGTGCTTTTGGTTGTCCGATGACATGAGAGGTAGCCAATGCCTTGTACTAGAACACGACGATTTCCTTTTCAAGTGCATGCAACAGTGGTACTCGCTAGATCGCCAGCCAGTTTTACAGTCGCTGCCCACATTGGCGGTGCTACCCTCTCGTCGAAACGGGCCAAGGTCAAGGCCTTCATCTCTGACAACAAAGACTAATACATCTCGCCACCAAATCACTTCAATACCTCAGCTGGTATACAAGCCGTACCTAACTGTCAAAGAACGCATGGCTATTGCCCGCGGAGTGGCCCGCTACTCAGATGCTGTTGATCTATTGACCAGCCCTCTCGTTTATCATGTGGATTTTACAGATGAAGAGATTGGCGCCATTGTCGAAACACTAGGGGGTACATTCGAGCCAGGGGTGCCGCCAGCGATCTTGTCAAAGCGGAATACCAAGGGCAATGTGCTGGCACTAGTCGGTCCTCGACTGCCACATCGGACACAGGCCAGCATTCGAAACTTTCTAAGTGATGCTCAGGATGGCATCTACAATTCCTCACAGAATCGACACATATTATCAATCAAGAAACACACCTCTGCAAAACGCGGCCGCCGACTTGACGATCTCCAGCCTCTTCTTCTTGCTCGAGAGTTGGATGGCTTGAGGGGGTTTGGCCGAACCCGAACACGGTTCAACTTTCAGGCTGAGGTGGTAACCATATGGGACGACCAGCTCAGCGTTGTCTCGGAATATACAAACTGTGCTGGAGATATCTCGACTATCTCGTGGCTGCCTGGTCACAGCTTTATTTGCGGCACAACAACACACTCCGACTCGCATAATCAGCAATACAACAAACAGGGCAATCTGTTGCTTTGCTCTACTACAAAAAACCAACTTAAAGCCTTTGATGACCATCGAATCCCACGACCATTTGTCATGTCTGGCGAAAACTCTACTGCGGCGATGCGTGAAAGCCAAGACCCATGGCTATACTCATCTGTCGTTTCTTCAGACTACGACGCCATGACCAAGCAAGCATTCACATCCTCTTTTGACGGAACCGTCAAGTCATGGACAGTAGACAATGACGGTGTCCATATGAAGTCAACTTCCACCTGGCAACAACGAGGGCGAGTCAACTTTGTCGCCTGCGCAAAGGACGGTTCCGGGCTTGTTGCCGTCGCCGCCGATGTACCAACCGACGCCATCCGCATATACAACACCAAGGCCAGCGATGAGGCAGACACCCTCCATATGTCACTGTCTTGTTCCAGAACCGATGCCAATGGATCAGACCGCTGGGCATACTTCCCTGCGACATTGCAATGGGGCATTTGCCCAGCGTCCCAGCATCTCCTTCTCATTGGATACTCTCCGCGATCTCTGCGCGATGGCGCTGACGACGATATCCCCGAGGAGAAGCGCAACACGGGCGAGATTGCCCTCTGGGACACACGGCGCAAATGTCGACTACTGGTCCAAGCAGCCACTACAGCAAACGTCTTTGAGGTGGCATGGCATCCCACGCTCTCCCGCTTCCTTGTCGCCACGTCCCCGTGCGGCGTAATGGTCAACGGCAGGACCAAAACCCAAGTACATATCTTCCAGCAAGACATTGACCGACCATTCGACTGCTACACGGAATTCCAGGCGCTCTCCTGTCCCGCTGTCGATATCAACGAGCTCACGTTCCGCCCAAACTCGCTCTTACACGCTTACGTCACGGCGGGCTGCACCGACGGCTGCGTCTATGTCTGGGACACGGCCCAGGGCGACACGCCCGTTCATGTCTTGCGCCATGGAAAGCCCATCGACGAAGTCCACGGCGACCGTGAACATTTCGACACTGGAGTCAAGTTCACAGCCTGGTCCAGCTCCAGCGACAGGTTCTACACTGGCTCCAGCGATGGCGTCGTCAAGGTCTGGAACGTGCGCAACCCAACACAACCATTCCTTCGAGACCTCCTCAAGGCGCCGGCACCCATATCATGTGGTGCGTTTTCTCCCGACTTTTCCTGGCTCGCCATTGGCGACGCCTCAGGGCGAGTATTTACATTCTCTACTACTGGTGCTCGCGGGACAATGTCCGAGGGTATCAAGATAGCAGGGACGAACCGTGTGATTCGCCGTCCACGAACGTTTATTCCGCATCCCGAACCGCCAGCACAACCAGTTGATGGGCAGGACATAGAGGCAACAGCAGAACTTACCAGCGCGGAGATGGCGCGGCAGTACCTGACCAACCACCAGCTCGTTCTGCATCGCAACCGCGTCGTAGGAGCAGTTAAGGGGCCTGCGTACATGACGACAAACCTGTTCCGTGCAGATGCCCATCTTGATAGCGACCCGAACTTGCCGCTGTTGGCGGAGTATGAGAAGCTGCAGCAGGAGACCCGGCACGCTAGCACTGGCGGCGTGGTGCGCAAGATGCGTGTGCTGGACGAGTTGGTTGAGCCGCTCTCGCCCATATTGGAATCCCTGCGTTGCCAGTTGCACAAGGTCAACTTGAGCAAAGACTTTGACCCGTCCTGTTTGTCTAGTGAAGAGGTGGCTGCTCTGAACAAGGATGGCGTTGAGCTAGAGGCCGACTTTGGATTCGACTACGACGACTGACGATGTAACGATATATGTATTCATACAACTTTGCATTTATAGCGCCTCGCAAGCGAGGACGGGCGTTTCTTTGGTAATTTAACTGATATCCAGGGCAGAGGGGATGGCTTACCCTACTTGTACAATTAACGTTAATTAGAGACGCAATAGTTAAGTAACCTGGCGTGTATTAGTATCAGGCATGGCACGAAAAAGGACAGCAGTGAAAGAATTCGATCTATTACGACTTGATAGTTGACAAACTTTCAACAATCCCTATTCCCAAATAACAAACAAGACATTCATTTCCCTTTTTACATCTCCACATCACGCTTGGCGTCTGGTATTTTTACAGTTTGCGTGTAAGAATGAGTCTATAAGCTTTCCTTTCGGACCCAGCCGCGATAAACAATGTGACGGATCAACCCAAAGTAGTGTCAAAAAACAAGATAGGAAAAAAGTCGCGTGCGCCGCCGTGAGAAGCAATTGGCCAAATATCGGAGCTCAATTGACTACCCAATGGCAGCGGTCAGGCATTACGCAGAGAGACCAGGCTGTGTTCCAAGCCTGGCCTCCCCTAGCCGAGTCGGTTGTCGTGTGGTGTTGTTACTACTACAGCCAAGGCGCGTTGCAGCGCATCACACGCTGGGGCTTCGGTAGGCGGGGATTTAGTGCTTCGCGGAGACCTGGTCACCGGTGAGCTGTTCGACATAAGTCTTGGCACTGTAATTAACAAAAGTTAGCAAAAAAAAAGTGTCCAGGGTTTCCGGCCGCGTGATGATGGGGTAAAACAGCTCTGTGTGGGGATGGGGGGCTCTCACATGTCACCGATGGCAACCATGCAAATGGTCTGCCAGACACCAAGACCAATGCGAGGAGCGACACCACGGTAAAGACCGCGGATACCGTTCTGGCCGTAAATGTAGCGGAAAGTGTTTCCGACAGTCATCTTCTTGGGGCGGTTAGGATCCTCCTTCTTGCTCTGCATCTCGACGCGGATGACCTCGATGGGCTGGTTCCAGGCGCTCAAACCACCACCAAGACCGGATGCAATGATCTTCTCGTAAGCAGTGAGCTTCTCCTCGCGGCTCTTGCCACGGATGTCGCGAATCCAGCCTTCAGCAAGTCGGGAGAGACCGAAACGGGAACCCCAGTTGGTCATCTGTCGGATGGCGACAGCGTTGACACCCTTGTTAATACCGCGGATACCTTCCTTGCGGTAGATGTCCATGAAGGTGGCAAAGGTGGACTGGGGCGCAACACCGCTTGCAGCCATCTTGTGCTTGGTGATTTCGACAGTCTTCATGCAGGTGCAGAAGCCCATGGTAGCGTAAGCCTGAGCAACACCACCGGTAATACCACCGATGATACCACCACCAAACTCGCCGAAGCCGCTGGCGCGAGCGTAGTACTCGGCCTCGGAGGCGACGAAGAGGAGGACGGCGCCCTTGGTGGAGGCTTCGATCCAAGCCCAGGGGATGAGGCCCTGGTAGACTAAACAAGAAGAGAGTTAGCAATTGTTTCTTAGTGGCAGCGGCGACGGATAAAGGCAAGCAAGCTTACAGCCGAGAACACCGCCTCGGGACCAGATGCGTCCCAAGGCCGTAGCAAAGCCGTCGCCACGGTGAGCCGCCATGGTGGTCTTGACGACCTCGAGGGGCTGGCCGAGGGTGGTGACCTCGAACATGTTGAGGCCAGCGCCGAGAAGCAAGTTGGAGAACTTGATGGGCTTCTTCTCAAGCTTCTGGGGTTCCCCAATGGGGCTGGGGAGGGTAGCGGAGGCAACCATGATTCGAGCGTTTGTAACGTTTTCGCTGCGGAGGGGCCCTGACCAAGGGAAATAGGTAGCTTCGTCGCTGAGGGGAGAATTGGAACGGGAGCAGAGTTGCGATGGAAAGGAAGATGAAAGTGGAGAGAAAGCGAGGAGAGGGGGACAAGCGCAGCTTTGTTGGTTTCGAGAATGGAGAAAGAGAAGGCGGAGAAAACAGGAAGCCAAGGGGGGCGGCGACTGGACTCCACGGTTAACTAACTGACCCCAAGCACCCGTATTACAGGGCGGGCGGGCTGCCCAGGCACAGGCATTAGCGCCTCGCCGAGACCCCTATCAGGGGGCATGCGATAGGCGGGTTACAGAGCTGCTACAGGGCTCTGTTGGGTTGAGACAACAGTTGAGAGATGGCGTGCCGACACCGCTGTAAGATTACCACAGTGCAAGCCGTACGATTCCGATGAATTTTGAACGGGCAGCAGCATCTGGGTAGATGGGAATAAAATGTATTTTATTGATCAATTGCTTCCCAATTGACCATGTCTTGTAGTTTTTCGTCCTTTTTTCTATTTTAACCAGTGCCAATATGTAAACAATCCCGCATGTGCATACCAAAACACTCTTGTCCGCTGCCCTGGAATGGCCCGAGGCTCTACTCGGGTCGGGCGCCGGATAACCAAAAACCAGTGCTGCACTGTGGTGCTGTGGCCTGTGATACCAATCCAGCGCTACGATTTGCACGTGCTTGGGCACCACCAAGACTAACCACTGTGTTATGCTGTCTAGAGCCTAGCTGTCAGCAGACTACAGACCTGTTGCTAGCACAGTAAACTTGCTGACATTCATAAGGAACTACGGCATACAGCGCATCGTTGACCTGTGTCAGCCAGTGTGCTGTACTGACTATCACTGTTAAGTACTCTCTGACAAACTACCATCAATCACGGCATATCCCCCCAGATTAGGCCCGTAAGACACCCCAAAAGCCGCGCGGTAAACGGATTGTGAGCGACCAGGTTTTGCAGGGCGCCTGGCTCTTATTCTTTTTCTTAATCGCGTCGCAGTATCCAGGCGGTTACGCAAAATCAACCGTTTTAGTTTTGGCTGGCCATTTTTCTGGAGCGGCCTCAACACCCGTCCCAATTGTTGAGTTCCACTCCTAGCGCTGTACTGGACGCAAGCACTGAGCAAACCCTCCAGCAAACATTGTAGCGCGTAGATGCACAATGCGTCAGAAGCAAATCAATAGATCGCTTAACCATGAAAAAAAACGCATCTATATCTTTACAATGGACCATATTAGTGTCTCCAGTGTTCTCTTACAATAGCCGAAACGCCAATACTCTCGGCTCTTGTAGATTTAAGCTGGTAGCTCCGAAGCAATGCTACGGAGCTCCGAGTTCGGCAGCAAGCTTCCTAGCGGCAGATCGGATCTTGCTTTATAGAGTATTGACATCATTGGCGCACAAGCTGAACATTAAGCATTGGAAAAACAAAGAATCCATTGTTTCTAGTATAATTGTACAAAATAGCTCTACCACTCGGCTGGCGAGGTATCAGCCATGTCCATGGTCTTTCACAGTCAAAGCAAACGCCAGCGCTAGCAGTACAGTGGCTAGCTCGAGGGGAAACAACAGGAAAATCTAGCTGCTTCTCCCCCTTCTAGCCCATTTTACTCCTTCTAAATCTTCTCGTCTCTTTTTTCTATATCCTCGTCGGAAATCCAAGCTGTAGTCGTACAAAGTTCGTTGAACATGGCGCGAATTGGACTTGGGACTATTAAAAAAGCAAAAGCACCGCTGTGCTTTAAGCAAATGGTATCGTCATTGTCGCAAATCGATGGTCGTCACTGTCCCTTTCTTTACAGCTTGTTGCAAAGCTCAATCCACTTCTCAGTAGAGAAAGACTTAGGGCGCTCAATGGGGGAGCCGACGGCGCGGTCAATGATGAGCTGAGGAAGAACACCGATGGCGCGGGAGACACCAAAGAGGACAGTGTAGTAGCTGGCCTCAGTCAAGCCGTAGTGCTGGAGAAGGACACCAGAATGGGCATCGACGTTGGGGAAGGGGTTCTTGGTCTTGCCGTGCTCGGTCAGGACACCAGGGGCAATCTTGTAGACCTGGCTGACGAGCTTGAACATGGGGTCCTCAGGCATGTGGGAGAGAGCAAACTCGCGCTGAGCCATGTAGCGGGGGTCGGTCTTGCGGAGCACAGCGTGGCCGTAGCCGGGAACGACACGGCCGCCGTTGAGGGTGTCCCAGAGGTACTTGGTGATGTTGGCATCGCTGAGGTCATCGCCGATGACCTTCTTCATCTCCGTGAGCCAGTTGAGAACCTCCTGGTTAGCAAGGCCGTGGAGAGGGCCAGCAAGACCGTTGAGACCGGCGGCGAGGGAGAGGAAAGGAGAGCTGAGAGCACTGCCGACAAGGTGAGTGGTGTGGGCAGAGACGTTGCCACCCTCGTGGTCAGTGTGAATGGTGAGGTAGAGACGCATCAACTCAACAAAGTCCTTGTTGCTGCCGAAGCCGAGCTGGTTGGCAAAGTTGAAGGAGTAATCCTTGTCCTTCTGGATAGCAGCGACCTTTCCGCCCTTGAAGACGTTCTGGTAGATGCGGGAAGCAATGTTGGGCAGCTTGGCAATGAGGTCCATGGAGTCCTCAAAGGTGTAGCTCCAGTACTCCTTCTTGTTGATACCCTTGGCGTAGGCCTTGGAGAAGGAAGAGGTGTGCTCGAGAGCAGTGACGGCCAGGGAGAACTGGGCCATAGGGTGGAGGTCGGTAGGGCAGTGGTCAATAAGCTCCTCGACGAACTTGGGGATGTCGGAGCGGGCAGCCCACTCAGCAGAGAGGTCGCGAACCTGCTGCTCGGTGGGAACCTCGCCGGTCAGGAGAAGCCAGAAGAGACCTAGTGAGCGGCGTTAGCTTGCTTGTTACACAGTACAACGGCACGCTGGAATCAGCTGCGCGTCCAAATATTCTTACCCTCGGGAAGAGGCTCCTTGCCGCCGGGGGCCTTGGGGAGAAGCTCCTGGCACTCGGGGATGGTCTTGCCACGGAAACGGATACCCTCCTCAGAGTCGAGGACGGAACCCTCCCAGACAAGAGCCTTGATGCCACGGGCACCACCGTAGACCTGGTCAAGAGTGACCTTGTCAACAACCTTGGATCCGTGCTCCCTATTGTAAAAGAAAGCAAATGCCATGTTAGTCGGAACGGTTCTTGCGAAGCAATGAAGCAATTGGATGTTTCGGGGGTTGCGTACTTGCGAAGAGCCTTGATCTGCTCAATCTTCTCGGGGAGGAGCTCGGCGAAGCGCTCCTTGAGGGTCTACGACAGGAGAAACAAAGGTCAATTGTGCGAATTCACAGGATAGAGCACATCAATGGACCAACCTGGGTCTTGGCGGAGTAGCATCGCAGCGAGTTGTAGCCAACAGTCTTGCTGAAGGCAGAGGCGCGAAAAGAGGCCTTGAAGGCAGAGTTGCTGAGACGGGTGACAGAGGCCATTGTATCTAGCAAAAACCAAGTACAGTGTATATTTGGATTAAGTTAGAATGGAGAAAAGGACTGAAGACGAAGAATTCCAGACTTCGGGGTATAACGGGGATGGAGGGGGGAAAAGGGAAAAAAAGATGAGACTGCACAAAAGAGAACAAAATACGTTCAGCGCACAGCCTGTTGTTGGGCACTACGGGGAGGTGTGTAGGGGGGTGGCAGAAAAAAAACACCGCAACATTTCCTTGGCCTTGCGCTCACTGACACCTGGTAACTTAGTACCTAAACCCCCCCTACAACCAGCCGCCTGGAACACTACATCATCCGCTAACTCATCAGGCTGTTACAGCGTCAATGCACCACTAAATTCCCCCTTCCACTCCACCAAACGCCCCGTCTCTACAAAAGGGAGCAAAATGGCCAGAAAAAAATTACTGCGCCGGGTCGATCACAGCGCCTCTTAGTGCAAGAAACGCGTGCTTCCATTGACCCTCGGCCGACCACAGTGGATCTTTTTCGGTCCCCCGTCAAAGCTTAGCTGATGGCCGATGCAGCCAGCGTCATCATCACCGCAGCTACCGCCGGACGCCCGCCTGAGGCACCCAAGCTACGGCGGAAGACCAGCGCCACAGTAGCGCCGAGCGGGAAGAAGAGAAAAAAAAGAATTGCCCGCCCGGCAGCCCCGGAGTCCAGCAGCTCGCAGCCCCGGAGTTGTAGGGACGGGGTTTCGTTTTCTAGCGCCCTGTCGCCGCTGTTGTTCCAGCGTGTCCGATTACACGCCACAGCGACACTTTGGCTGACGGTCTCCCTGTTCGCTGAGTGAGACTGCTGATGCTGTCTAGACACGGGGTTTTTCTGCCAGCGCATCTTCAATTAAGAGCTGAGACCGTGTAAACTCGCTCTGGCATCAATTGATTGGTTAGTAGTAGCCAGCGCGCTCAACAGACAAAACCCTGGGCGGCAGATTGTTGGGAGTGGTCATTTCAGCGGCCAGCCTTGAAGCGCCATAGTAGGTCCTATCTGGTGTGTCTCCAGTGGGTGGACAACGTCCCTGCAGCCAATGTCGATCCACTGAAAAAAAAAATTGTTGCCTGTAACAGGGCTGCTTAAAGTAAATTAATCCGTACAGAGTGGGTTATCTCTCCTCTTGCTAATGCTGTAGTAAGATAACAGCACCACTTAACGCTAGAGATACGGGCAATTATCGCGCGACCCAATTTTCCTTTTTTCTCCAAATACCCCAAGCGCAAAGCTATCGATTTGTAGAGCTATAGGAGCGTCTGAACCTACACTGACTGGTTGGTGTGTGTTGGCAGCACAAAGCCGTCTGATGCTTTCCAAGGCTCGAAAGTCCAGGTAGACGCTATAATTTTAAAGAAATCGCATACATCTATATACATGAGTTAGTGGCATAAAAAGAAATTGTGTTTATTTGAAAGCATTAATTTATTCATTGGTATTAATTATTGATAATTCGCAATTAGTATTGGCGTCCTCTCAGAGAGACGCGTGGTTATGTAATCGTGTCGTAGCGGTCCCGTGACTTTGGACCTCTTTGGCCGCCTTCGTGCGCGCGTGGCCAGCCCCTTGACACTTGACATTTTCATCATCAAACCTCCTTCAACTTCTCTTTCCCCTTCTACGGCCTAGTCATCGCCGTCCATCGAGAACGCGTCTGCGATTTTCGCATCACTGTTCGACTTTTTCTCCGACTCAAAATATTCGTATTTAACCCACACGCTATCCGTCGTGGCCATCGTTGAATAGGCGCCGCTTGCCAAGTGACTTGATCCAAAACGTCCTTGACAATCACGTCTAGTCTTGCAGACAATAGATCCTAGAGCTGCTTCAAGTCCCGTATTGTCCGTTTTGATATAGTACCTGCAACTCGTACTCGCCCAGTTACAGCCCTCAAGCCGCGCATTCATCTCAGTGTCATCCCCGGCGTTCTTGTAGGAACACGTCGTTGTCCCCGAGATCAGGTCCAATAGAACAGGCCCTCCCCCAGTTGAGTACAATCGCTGCGCATTAAGAGCCAGTGTCACTGCAAGTAGCACGCTCTTCAAAAAGCCTGGTCCAAGCCTCGTGCTGCAACCCAAATCGTATTTTATCGGCCAGCATCTGCCACCCAACACTTCAAATTTACCATGGCTGCCGTAGCAGACTTGGAAGCTGGCCTGCAGGCTATGCTTAATCTCAAACCACCCGGAGTTTCTGGTTCCCGCATTACCAGTCTCACATCGCTCTGTGTATCCAACATTCAGGTTCGACTCTTCGCTACCAAATAGACTGACTGCATTGACATGTGCTAACCAAGATCGACAGTCTGAATCTGTCTTGATTCAAAAAATCTACACTCACTTCAAAAAGACACCAGGCACCCATAAATTGGGTGTTCTCTACGTCGTAGACTCTGTAACACGAAAGTGGCTTGAACAAGCCAAGGCTCAGGGTCAGGCTATAAACGCTTCTGCTCAAGACGGCACGTATGGAGCCGGTGTCCACCACGTAACAGAGCTTATGCCTGTATGGATGAATGATATTTCACAAACAGCTCCAGAAGAGCAAAAGGTAAGCATGATATTTGACTAGTCTGTGTTGCATGGCTCATGGCCTCCTGTCCCCCACGTGTGAAAAACTCGTCAAAGGATATGCCTTCTCAAGCAACTTGGATCCGGCCATCACAAGCCTTTTCTTCCCCGTATAACAAATAACTCACACACAATGTTTCCATCTTGTAGGAAAAGATCAAAAAATTGGTCGATATCTGGGAAAAGGGCCAGACATTCCCCGCCCCCATGCTAGAGTCCTTCCGACAGAAGCTCGCTCCCGCTGCCGCTACCAGTACGTATTAGACGATATCATTACAAAGCGCTTCCCTTCAAGGCGCTACTAAGTGATTAGATGTTTTAACACTTTCAACAGCAACAACACCACCAGGTAGCCCGCCCGCTGCGGCGATTCCCAGTCACCCCGGCCAAGCTGCCCCCCCAGCAGCCGCCGATGGTTCATCCATCTTAAGCATGCTTGCCAATATGGCTCGCCAAAGCTCTGCTGGATCTCACAACACTAGTCAGCCACCCGCCGCTGTGCCATCGTATGCAATGCCCGGCCCAGGTGCTGCTGCCCCCGCCCCGGCGCCACCCGCCCAAGTGCAGTCTTCATATCTTCCTATGGCCCAACCAGTAAATGCGCAGCCTATGCCGTTCTCGTTCCCTCAGGGTATGCCTCAGAACAATGCTCCCATGAGAGCCCCTAGTAGCCATAATGCTATGCCATCCCAATTCAATGCCCCGGCTGCCCCTCCTGCAGCTGGCATAGACAATAACACCCAGCAACAGATCTTGCTTATCAAAGCACTAGCCGATCAGGGTATTCCTTTTGACAGAATTCCTGCTATTATTCAAAGCATGACAAATGGCGCTGGAGTCGCGGCTCCTGGTATGCCTCCTGCAGCTGCGGCCCCGTATTCATCTGCACAGCAGCAGCCGTGGGCTGCCGCCGTACCAAACCAACAGAGAGATCATGACAGAGGCTATAACGATAACCATGGAGGGCGTTCGCCCCCCAGACATCGTGGTCGATCTAGATCCAACTCACCAGACCGTTGGGATCGCGGGGGTAGAGATGGACGCGGCAATGGTCGCAACTCTCCTCCCAGGGATAGTAATGGACGCCGAGGCGGAAACGACTACCGTCAACGCAGCCCTCCCGGAAGACGCGGCCGCTCTGCCACACCAGATCTCCCTCATGTGGAACGATGGGTGGAATATGACCGCAGCTTGCCGTCCGGCAGCATTAAAGTCCTCAGTCGAACTCTGTTCGTCGGTGGCGTTACGTATGTTCCTCCTGCTACAACACAATTTCCAGACTTCAAACTAACAATATACTAGTTGCTCCGAAGCTGAACTACGCAATATTTTTGGCCGCTTCGGCACAGTCCAGACATGCATCGTTAACAAGGACAAGCGCCATGCCTTTGTTAAGATGCTGACTCGACGCGACGCCGAGAATGCCAGAAGCAACATGGAACACCCCCGTGACTTGGATATCCCTCTAAGAGTAAGTGCTTCGACTTTTATTCGGGCTACAAAGTACTAACGGCTCCTGTAGACTAGATGGGGTGTCGGCTTCGGGCCCAGAGATTGTAGTGATTATGCTACCGGTATCAGCATTATTCCTATTACGAAACTAACAGAGGCCGATCGCAAGTGGATGTTGACAGCCCCGTACGGTGGCAGCGGTGGTCGTCCTATTGAATCGGGCCTCTGCGTTGAAGAGCCCGATATTGAAATCGGTGCCGGTGTTTCCTCCAAGGCCATCAGTCGCCGCATGCAAACCGATAAGGGCGGTAGTCACGGCCCTAAATCCACTAAGCGCCGCGATGGAGAATGGAACGACGACCAAGATGGTGGAAACCGACGAGGCGGCCGTGGCGGCCGAGGTGGTCAATACCGAGGCGATGCACACGATAGCGGCAACGGTGACGGTCAGGGAATGCCAGGGTTTCCTTTTGGCGTCGGCACATTGCCCAATGGGATGCCCAGCTTTCCTCCAGGGTTCTCATTCCCCGATCCTGGACGTCATAACTAGGCTCTCCTTTGTAAGGCTTTTGCATTTCTCATTTGTGGTATCATATTCATGGAATGGAGCGGGAAAAAAACGGGAGGATATAGAGGTTTTGGTTTGGTGTGGGCTTTTTTATATGATTTTGTCTTCTTTTGTCTGTAGTAAGCATAATACATTTCATCTTATTCATATTCGAGTTCATATTATAATGCAGTCGCACGGCATGTCGTTATAGCTGTTACGCTACCCTAGGGCTTATCAGCCAGTCCAAGGCTATAGCAGCCATTACGTACGGATTATGCCTTGGTCATATTCTAGAATATGACTTACCGAGATCCTTGTCACTGAGTTATCAATACTGTTGACAAATATTAGGGCGTGCGGTAAAGCAGCCACCACGGACTAATCTTCACGTGGTAGATGTGAATGACATCATGAAGAGAGGCGTCAGCTGGTGGCTTCCTCGAGCCTTGCACCATATTAAGCAGAATACGACAAGGGAAGTAAACACCGTAATAGTAAGACATACTAGCCTTTTACAAAACAAACCACGAACTTATCACCGCAATCTCTTTGCAACAGCAGCCGTACGACTAGGGTCGGATATGTCGGAGGTACAGAGACGATCGGTGCCGGAGCTCCATCTAAACACCCTCCGCGGCTTGACCGGAACCTGTAGTACAGAAAATGTTCAGCCCAACTAGGCGCCGTTTCCAGCGACAAAATTTGATGCGATTCGTCGGAGCTCGCGGCGCCCCAAAGCGCGAGGGAGCGCGACCACTCTCGGCTGGCAACAGGCGGGAATAACGGATGGAGTAATTGCTCTTTGAGATATACTTAGTAGCGACTTCGGATATGCACAAACGGGGCGGCAAATGAGCACAACTATGAGGCTGCGGCTATTGTCTTTCTTTTTTTTTGTGGTCTCTCTTATTACACGGTGCACACCCCTTGCACCCTGTGAGCCTCAAGGTTGGAATTGGTAGTCTGGAATATTGGCCCCGAGACAAACAGTAGCATTGATGCGAGGGCACACCGATCAAAACAAACACAAGCGAACCGTTTTACGCACATGGCCAAACAATAAACGAGTGCGCAGTAGACCGCTTTACGCGTTGAGTGATCACAAGAACGCTCAGCATACCAAAGGAGAGTAACGTCGGGTGGGATGCCGTGACAATTCCGAGCCTCAACACCAACCAAGCACTATCTTTGGATGGCGAATCGCGTAGCGTAGCTGAACAGTTCTGGCGTCACCGCCAGTGCAGGGCTCAACTCGGTTGCAACGGCATGTTCACACACAGAAGGCTTGGCCCCCAGTTCCCATCGTAGCTAATCAGAGAGGATTTAGCTGGGGCCCCAATGACATGCCGGGGATCAAAATTTTCTCTTTTAATGGCGTGCCTTGGCCCGGGCCTGGCCCATGGGGGCGCCATGTTTTGGGATGAATAGCCCAGTAGCAATGGGTAAAAAAAAAGACGCACTATGGAGCTACGTCGGGCGGCCAAGAGGACGCTGAAAGGGCTTTCGTCGCCCACTTTTCTCGAAGTCTTCCATGGAAGCTTCGCCGGAGGGCTGGTGCAACGGGCGTGAGAGCGAGGTAGTAGGAAGCCAAGCAAGCCATCATGCGGCCATTGTTGAATACGACGCCGAATGCAACGCCCAGCTGGTGTGCTTGTTGATGGACTTGACGCCTATTCATTTAATGATCTTCAAGCTCTTTGCGCGATATTAACTTTTGCGCTCTATGGCGGTCCAGAACCAGGGGTTGTGTCGTGCCGACATGGAAAAGAGACGCCAAGCAAGCGGTGGCGGCGAACGCCTCTCGCGAATTGACCTAACCCTTGAGCGCAACGCTTTGCTGCTCGTTATCGTATCGTGATGAGACCTACCCTTTCTAGGCACCCTGCATTAAACCCAAGGCCCTCTCTGGCCGACGAGCGTGGGGAAGACCGAAGAGGCGCTCTGGGACTCTGTCAGCTCGTCTCCCGAGCCATGTCTCACATCGAACAAACCAGCTTCGGTAAACGGTAGCAGACAGACCCTATCCTTGCAGGCGGCAGCGACTTTCCCCGTGCCGACGTGCTCTAGGGCCGATTCACCCGCCACCTTGTAGCGGGACACACTTCCTGCGCGGACCATTAGGAAAAGAGACAAAGTTGCATTTAGAAGCTGGTGGTGGTCAGCGCTACGAAACTTGATGGTGTAGTGCACTTGGTTGGGTAGATGGGTTAAGCCCGCATCTGCACGATGAGTGTTGGAGACCGTTGTTAATGTTGGGTTCTTGAAACATGAAGCGCGATGACCACCCCGTAGATATTATCATACACAACTGCCAGCCGCCAGCCAGTTGCCAGCCAGGTGTCTGGTTTCGACCGCCAGCTGGCTGAGTGCCGCGCACTCTATCAGAAACGGCGCACGGCCTGTAGACTTATCGGTTCAACTACATCCTCAAATCTTGCGTTTGCTTCTACGCGTGCATACAATGTTACCTCCGGACGCACGTTCGCATCCTTAATTATTTCCAGACCGGCAACGAGAAATGTTCCATACATGACGGTATACTCCAAACACGGCGCTATCCTTAGCGTGTAAGACACTGTGGCCGATCTGTGCACTGACGAGGCTTGCAGCTATTACCACCGTCAGCACACTCGTTCTGGCGGTCAGAGCCACCGTGTGAGCGAGCCCCAATCGACCTGCTAGGTTTCCGCGGCCAGGGATACCGTAAAAATATCGTTGGCCGCGGCGATTCTGACGTATGGGGAAAGCCAATAGAACCCTGCATTCACCATCGAGACCCGTCGGGCATGCAGCGGCCCATCATGCAGCTAAACAAGCCGACAATGGAAGTAAGCGGGTCTCACCGGCCGTCACAAAAACAAATGCCTCGTTAGTAGCCGCTGGAAGTTGAATGGTTGCGGCGAGCAAAGGATGATGCTACACGGCCTGGATAGCGCACAATTGAGCTGAATCTGGAGCCAGTAGCAATTGGCCATTGCCAGCTCAAAACCGGCGGAGAAATTCCGTGGAATGGCATGACTTGGGTGCTCCAGCATCGGTGTTTTTCCCTTTAGCAACTGTTGCCTATTTGAGCACGCCAATAGCCCATCGCCAAATAATGAGGGTCAGTGTGTGGTAATTGGCGACGGAATACTGGCCGCAAATTAACAAGTCCGTTGCAGTGGGGGCAAAAAACGCCCAGAGGACCTGACTGGCATCGATTACACTAAGGAGCGGCTAGGGTTTACAGGAAATATCACGATAGTGGCCAATTGTCTTTAACGAGTAGGGGAAAAGGCCGGCGCAAGTTGTTTTTGGGTGTTGGTTCTGGGCTGGCACCGGGAACGACGAGGACACGGCAGGCTGCCAGCCCGGAGCAGCTTCAATGCATCGACGGTGAGGGAAATTCCTTCTTTTGTGGGCTCTAAACGGCCGAAACAATTCCATGATTCTTTCCGCCGGCCTTCCACCAGCGAACAGCGAGCCCAGTGCTACTGTCAGTGGTGGCCATCCATCCCAACAGCACCGTGCTGGCCAGAAGCTCCGTAGCGGCGTCGCCGACCGCCCCAGAAGAGCCAGAGCGAAAGATAGGTACGCCGGCAAATTGGCCCAGTGGGTGTCTCAGCATGCCAAGGGGGGGTGTTCGCAGCAAGCTAGGTGTCATTTGGAATGACGTAGCAGTCTGCCCAGGTTCTCTCGGTCGTCGATGTTTTTTTGGTTTCGCGTCAAGGATCACGGTCTTTCGCGCGCCGACCAGGGATTCTACTGCTTCTACCGCACTTCAGAATGGTCAATTGGCTTTGTCCTCCCTCACAGAACTGCATCTTGTCCTCAGGTTTCCCCTGATCCTCAGCGGTTACCCAGCCAGCACAGTGGCGGCGTGTATTTTTCCAATAAAATTTTACTCAGCCAAAGCGGATCTAGCTGTGTGAAATCACTGGAGACCCGAATCGGCGGCGCTTCGCACATAGTAATAGTGGATGCTCAGTGAGAGGAAGGCGGCAATAATGGTACTTTACAGCAGGCCGTGCAGGCACAGTGTGTGCTCGACAATGTGGTGTGGCTGCCCAGCGGCTACCCCGGAGCTGGAGAATGCATGGGGATGCGCTATGCATTCACAATTCATGTTAGTTCATTGGCCACTGAAGTGCGCTGAGCTTCGCTAGTCGCGGCACAGCATCGAAATCGTGCCACGCTGCGGAGATGGCTTGCGCCCTGAACCTTCGTTACTTCGCCATCGATTGCTCAACACGAATAGTTATACCACATGCGATGCTCTACGTATCTGCAGATACGCCACATTGAATCTGATTGCTAAAGATATTAATTTAGCACGCCGTACTATCTACAATGCGCAAACCGGTTGCATCTACATCAATCCTCAGCCATCTTCAGGGTAGCTCTGGCGCGGCCGACAGTTTCACCTGGCTGCCTGACATGCAGTTTTATTTCCCCCATTCCTCAAGGGTCAAATGATGGCAATACTCAGAGACCCCATCATATCTAGAAGCTTGGCAGTTTTCTAAGCACCAGCAACGATACAGCTGTCTTACAAGAGTGATTTGCCAAGCGGACGAGGGCAGCGTTCAACAGCGCTCACAAGACTAGTACGGTTGGTGGCCAGAGACACCCTTGAGATAACCTTAAACAGTCTGTGCTCACTTATTTTTGAGTCGTCCAAGCGACAATCATGCTGGATCAGCGGGCTGCATGCTGACAGCATCCCGGTTGTCGCCGCAAGAGCGTAAGACAACACAAAGACAAGGGATGATAGTCGCACCGCCAAGGCTGCCATCACCGAGGAACCCTATTTCGTCAAATGAGCAGTCTAGTCGTGCGCCTGGTCAGAAAAAGGCAAGGTGGCATTCGCTGCTCCGAAGCAATCAGCGCGACCGGATTAGACACCAAGCAGACCCTGGCTGGACTTACTACCAAGAGCCGGAGCTATTATTATATCTGGGGCCGATTTGAGCCATAACTGGAGACGGATAGCGCTGAGCTCGCAACGGACCTGACTAGGCGGCCCATACCCAAGCCTGCAGAGTGAGTAATACGACCACTAACAGTCTCCAAAGGCTCTCCACGCTCTGTTCCGTTGCAGCTCTGTCATCATGGTTATAATAAAACATGAGGTAAGCCGAAAATAACGCACTGTCAACAGGCCGTGAGGATTGGTTATTGCTAGGGCCAATGGATGTCCTGTGACAACGAACACCAAATCGCAAGGGAACGCTGCCTATGGTGAATTTGCCAAGCCCAGTGTAATTCCTTTACCCTGCGCTGAGCTAACATAGGCGGCGATGGTGATCTGCCTAGCTAACCTCCCGATTGGCACTGTCGCAGCTTAATCCCCCTACCTCGTGGCTATGGTAGCAGCCCAAAACTGCCTGGGGAAAGGTTGGTTCCGCTATTGCGCAGCCGCTCCAAGAGATCTCACCCAAGCGCAAAATGAAGGCCTGTGAATACACTTTGCAAAAGTGCTAGTTAAACTCAATCTCACTTGTTGCGATCATCCGGGCCGCACAAGGTTTGCACAGGCGCACCCTCTTCGGTGAAACAAGTAAGCCCAGCCACCAATTGTCAACGGAGCAGGCGACTTCCATTGCAAGAAGCCCTCTGAAGCAAACTGGACACACTGCGCTGCTAGTGCCGGTAGTAGGCCTTGTTTAGCCCAGACGGGCGTATCGTACATACACCCTCCACAATTTGATGCATGCAGGTCGGCAGCCATGCATACACTAGGTTATGCATGCACCCCAAAAGGTTTGGAGAGCACTGGGAGGCAAAAAGCCTTGTATTACAGGATTTGTGCTCTGGAAGCAGAATGTGTGGCAAACACGCCCAGACAGCACTGGATGGGCTGCAAGAGAAGTCTTTCGAACTCGGGCCCAAGGCAGACAATGTCGGGAGGATGGCAACTGCATTCTTTGAAAGGGCGGGCTTAAATGACGACTTGTCGATGCCAAGAACCTTGCTTCATATCGAAATCCCTCGATGCATTGGCAGGGCACATGTGGCTGTTCCGGTGTCTAGGCCTTACTTAAGTGCTAACGAGGGCGGCAGAGTCTCTCAATTCGATTAAGGTTAGCGACTGGCATACTTTTGGACTACCAGACTAGAGCTAAACCAGGCAAATGTCTGACGAAAGCCTAATTGATTGGCGGCATCATCATAGCCGGGCGTACCACGACGCTGTGGCAGAGAGAGACACGCTATCTGAGACGCCAAACCGGGCGTTGCCCATGGGGAGAGAGTGATCGCATGATGATCGCAGTATTGTCCCAAAAAACCCCAGCCCCTTGCCGAGAAACGAGGTGTTCGTACAGGGAGGCTTTTTTCATTACATTGTGCTTTGAAAAACTAGACAGGCAATCGTCATTGAGTTTGAGGCGTCCTGGCGCTGGAAGCTTCACTAATGAGTGCTCCAATCAAGGCGCGCCAAACCTGCCATCGGGACCGCCTGCAGCACCTTACGCAGGCGGCGTCGAACGAAGAAGCGAAGTAGAAGCCTTGGTGCGGCTTTTTTGGTCATTTTGCGGCGGCAGACCTGGGCTCATTCGATAGTAGAGCTCTGACCTCTGAGCGCCGGCGGATTACTCTGTACCGTGCGGAGGCGGCACAATTCGTACGGCTGCGCGCAAAGTATTGCGGTGGCCCTGAGTGGGCACCTGTGCTATTTTTTTCAGTGGCACCTGGGGGACTTTCCGGGCTGTTTGGGGGGGCGACAAGCCCGCTAGAGTGTGCGGCGCGAAAGGCCGAGCAGGAAAAAAATGGGCGTCGGAGCCCCAGGGGCAGAAAAAAATTACCTGTCCGCTGCATTCAGCGCAAAGATACAGGCGGAAACAGGGCCTGTGAGAGCGAGGCCGGAAAAAGTTGGGCACGCGCTAGGATGGGGAATTTTAGTGGGCACCTGCTCCAATCTGACTTTGTTGACACACGCCCCCCCTCTGAAGCGGAAGGCATGGGCGAGGAAAAAAAACACTCACTGAAAACGAGGACTTATCGCAGCACGGGGCGCCTACGGTAGGCTCGGAACCCACTGTAAGTTTGGTCAAACTTGGGCAGGCCAGGCACACGCCCCCCACTGATTTCAGTGGTGCCCCCGTCACAACATCAACCTTTGGCAGAGCAGCAGCACGCAAAAGTTAGCGACCAGACCCAAAAGCTAAGAGCGAGACCAGGGCCCCAAATTTCCTCCATTGAAATATCTCCTCCCACCCTCTCTCGTCTCTTCCTCTTTCTCTTCTTTCTTTTCTTCCCTCACCCACGAATGCGTTTCCTCAAGACGTATCCCTAAATTCTTCTTTCGTGAGGTGGTCGACACTACACTTCGTTTTTCTTTCCCCCATTCATTCCTCAATAGCACAATCAATTCTACTCTCGAGTAGCTTGGCCGTGTTGTTGTTGTTTTGAATCCCCCCCAAAACAAAAACACCTTCTTTTGCAACCTAAGAAAATCATCTTGACAACGCATTTGCGCGTCACTATTTACAATGGCTGACTCCACCAATGTTGGCGCTCCTGCGCTCAACACCAACATCGAGTCTGGCAACTTCGACGAGAAGAAGCACCAGGCCGTTGCCGCCGCTCAGGACGCTGCCAAGGCTAAGCCTGCCGCTGAGGACGACGACGAGGATGAGGACATTGATGCCCTCATCGAGGACCTCGAATCCCACGATGGCCACGGTGCCTTCGAGGAGGAAGAGGAGGAGGTCAACGCTGCCACTGGCCGCGTTGTCCCCGAGGACATGCTCCAGACTGACAGCCGCATTGGTTTGACCGAGTCTGAGGTTCTCGCCCGCCGTCGCAAGTACGGTCTTAACCAGATGAAGGAGGAGAAGGAGAACTTGATTCTCAAGTTCCTCGGCTACTTCATTGGTCCTATCCAGTTCGTCATGGAGGTATGTATTCGTCTTTCTTTTCGCTTTCTCTATGCCCCAGAACGATGGCTTTGATGCGCGTCTTCCAATTCACCCTTTCCCCCAATCCCGTGCCTCTGGCCATTGTGAGAAGGCGCCCAATCCCTGTGCAGTTTTTACAATCGTAGAAATTGCATTGGAAAACGGCGTCAATCACAATTGTTCAGACAAGCAAAGTCCGTTTTTGGCAACGAAAATTGGTATTGTTTGTGCTGCTGGACAACAACAGACGGCAATGTCTCGCTCGCTCACCCGGTGCGGCACCGTCTTTGGCATGTTTGGCGTGCAAGGCTGCAGCTTTTTTTCGCGCGTCTTTTTTTCCCTGGCCCTTGCCGGCGCAGATTACGCTGGGCCCACCAGAGCTCCAATTCGCCCTCACCATTGGCCCCATCCGAAATGGCCTGCACGCTGAGTGGAGTCGCCGATCCATTCGACTTGGTTCAATTCGCCAGGCCCACAAAAGCTCGAGTTTCCTCAAGCCGTCAACCCTTGCGCGCCGCTTCGTCTGCTTCCGGCCGCCGATCGGAAAAACTTCGACTGCGACCGGAAAAAAACAAGCACAACGCTCGAGCTCCCAGGACACCACCTACGCACGTGGCTCGCTAGCGGCCTCTGCTTATGCAAAGCTACCACAGCAGCCGCTGTCACGGTGCGCAACGGGCCCGCGAAAGGAAAAAAGGAAATTACGCTCCACGCTGCCACAGCAATATTGCAACGCGCTCTATTGGGATCCATTCTCTACACAGATTCCCTGCACACACAATTTTATAGATTATGCAATTGAATTTGCCTTGCTAACATGCTATGATTTTAGGCTGCTGCTGTTTTGGCTGCCGGTCTCGAGGATTGGGTTGATTTCGGTGTTATCTGCGCTCTCTTGCTGCTTAACGCCGGTGTCGGTTTCATTCAGGAATTCCAGGCTGGTTCTATCGTCGAAGAGTTGAAGAAGACCCTCGCTCTTAAGGCTGTCGTCCTCCGTGACGGTGCCCTGAAGGAGATTGAGGCCCCTGAGGTCGTTCCCGGTGATATCCTCCAGGTTGAGGAGGGTACCATTATCCCCGCTGATGGTCGCATTGTTACCGAAGATGCTTTCCTCCAGGTTGATCAGTCCGCCATCACTGGTGAGTCCCTCGCTGTCGACAAGCACAAGGGTGACAACTGCTACGCTTCCTCCGCTGTCAAGCGTGGTGAGGCTTTCGTCGTCGTTACCTCCACTGGTGACAACACCTTCGTTGGTCGCGCCGCCGCCCTCGTCTCCCAGTCCGCTGGTGGTACCGGTCACTTCACTGAGGTTCTCAACGGCATTGGTACGGTTCTCCTGATCCTCGTTGTCTTCACTCTCCTCGTTGTCTGGGTCTCCTCTTTCTACCGCTCCAACGGTATTGTTGATATCCTCCGCTTCACCCTTGCCATCACCATTGTCGGTGTCCCCGTCGGTCTTCCCGCTGTCGTTACCACCACCATGGCTGTCGGTGCTGCCTACCTCGCCAAGAAGCAGGCTATCGTCCAGAAGCTTTCCGCCATTGAGTCCCTTGCTGGTGTCGAGATTCTCTGCTCTGACAAGACTGGTACCCTCACCAAGAACAAGCTCTCCCTTGCTGAGCCCTTCACCGTCCAGGGTGTTGACCCCGATGACCTGATGCTCACTGCCTGCTTGGCCGCTTCCCGCAAGAAGAAGGGTATCGATGCCATCGACAAGGCTTTCCTCAAGTCCCTCAAGTTCTACCCCCGCGCCAAGTCTGTCCTCTCCAAGTACAAGGTCCTTGATTTCCACCCCTTCGATCCCGTCTCCAAGAAGGTCCAGGCTGTTGTCGAGTCCCCCCAGGGCGAGCGCATCACCTGTGTTAAAGGTGCCCCTCTCTTCGTTCTCAAGACTGTCGAGGAGGACCACCCCATCCCTGATGAGATTGACAAGGCCTACAAGAACTGTGTTGCTGAGTTCGCTACCCGTGGTTTCCGTTCCCTTGGTGTTGCCCGCAAGCGTGGTGAGGGTGCCTGGGAGATTCTCGGTATCATGCCCTGCTCTGATCCCCCCCGTCACGACACTGCCCGCACTATCAACGAAGCCAAGCGTCTCGGTCTTTCCATCAAGATGTTGACTGGTGATGCCGTCGGCATCGCCCGTGAAACTTCTCGCCAGCTCGGTCTCGGTACCAACGTCTACAACGCTGAGCGTCTTGGTCTTGGTGGCGGTGGTGACATGCCCGGTTCTGAGGTCTATGATTTCGTCGAGGCCGCTGATGGTTTCGCCGAAGTTTTCCCCCAGCACAAGTACTCCGTCGTCGAGATTCTTCAGCAGCGTGGCTACCTTGTTGCCATGACTGGTGACGGTGTCAACGATGCTCCCTCGCTCAAGAAGGCCGATACTGGTATTGCCGTCGAGGGTGCCTCTGACGCCGCTCGTTCCGCCGCCGATATTGTCTTCCTTGCCCCCGGTCTCGGTGCCATTATTGATGCCCTCAAGACTTCCCGCCAGATTTTCCACCGTATGTACGCCTACGTTGTCTACCGTATCGCTCTTTCCCTGCACATGGAGATCTTCCTTGGTCTCTGGATCGCCATCTTGAACCGCAGCTTGAACATTGAGCTTGTCGTCTTCATTGCCATTTTCGCCGATATTGCCACCCTTGCCATTGCCTACGACAACGCTCCCTACTCCCAGACCCCCGTCAAGTGGAACCTTCCCAAGCTCTGGGGCATGTCCATTCTCCTCGGTATTGTCCTCGCTGTCGGTACCTGGATTGCTCTTACCACCATGTACGCTGGTGGTGAGAACGGTGGTATTGTCCAGAACTTCGGTAACATCGATGAGGTTCTCTTCCTTGAGATCTCTCTCACTGAGAACTGGCTGATTTTCATCACCCGTGCTAACGGTCCTTTCTGGTCTTCCATTCCTTCTTGGCAGCTGTCCGGCGCCATCTTGGTCGTCGATATCATTGCTACCTTCTTCTGTCTCTTCGGATGGCTCGTTGACGGCTCCCCCCACACCTCCATCGTCGCTGTTGTCCGTATCTGGATCTTCTCCTTCGGTGTCTTCTGCATCATGGGTGGTCTCTACTACTTCATGCAGGGCAGCTCCGGCTTCGACAACCTCATGCACGGCAAGTCCCCCAAGGGCAACCAGAAGCAGCGCTCCCTCGAGGACTTCGTTGTCTCTCTTCAGCGTGTCTCTACCCAGCACGAGAAGTCCCAGTAAATATGTTCTGTCACATACCCGCATGGCATTTAGCCTGCTTCTTTCGTCTTCACTATGTTTAAATTTGCATTGTATGAGTCGTAATGGGGCTGTGGACTAGTTTTTCAGTTTGTTGTGGTTGGAGAGGAAACTTTTCATACCCCCTTACACCTTGTGTCTAATTAGGCAGTAATGGTAAAAAGTAAAAATTACATGTTCAATTCTCTTCTATGTGACTGTTTTAAAACGACAAGATTCCAATTGGTGTTGACTTATACTCAATGGCTTGTCTGGTAGTTGGACTGGTGATGTTTCGGCGACAGCCTAAAATCACGTGACCAGCATGGATAGGCTCTAAGTTGTAACTTTTCGACGACGCCTTGTTTGCTTTACATTCGTCTGTGTAGATGTGGTTTCAGTGGTTACCCTTAACTGGTTGAGGTGACGTTTAACACTTACTGTTTGACGTCTAACTCCAATACACAGCCTTTAAGGCTCATAGACCTGAAAATTTATCATGGTTGTCGACATTCCCGGATACTACTATGGTATGTCAGCCATGGGCTATAACGTGGCCACCGCTCACAATATGCTACGAGCTTTGAAATATGAGCTAACAAACTGGTAGATTCTGAGAAGAAAAAGTATTTTAAAATCGAAAAGTCCCATACCGCACCAGCATCAGCAGCATGGTCTTCTGACGAGGTGAAGCGCCGCAAGGTCCAGGACCAAGTTTGCCATGCAAAGCAGCGCCGCGCAGACCGTCTAAAGTATCATATTAAACGCAACCATGCTATCCAACGGCATGTGGTTAGCAGTGAGATCTTTAGCAGTCAACTTGGTAGCGGCCTAAGTAGCGTTGTGGCGTCCTATGGGCCAGGGCATCTGAGAGCAGCGGCATGGGCGGACGGACTGGCAGATAAAGGATTGATTCCGTTTGTTCCTAGCTTTGCCCGGTCAAGGTTTGCCAATATGTCTTGTTTCTATGTCAGTGGTGATGACACAAAGACGGGGATGGGCGCCGCGTATGCTAGTTAGTGCTGTCTCTTCTTTTGCCAATCTTGGTACGAGCTAACGTGGTCGATAGCGCTGGATGAGGAGACGCTGGTAGGCAGCTACATTGATATGGATGACAACGACAAGTATGGTTTGAACACTGTTTTGGGTAACCTGTACCAAGCTAACATGTCTATGTAGAGTCAAGTTTCTGGGCAACTCATCAAGTCGACCTGGCCACGGACTCTCGTTTCGAACAGAAATGATCCGGTGTCCGCAAATATCATCGATTCAATACCATAAACCGTCCAACAAGATACTCCTGACATCGAGAGAAGTAGAACCGAGTTGCGGAATCTTTTGCTTTTCGCCGCTACTGTCTCAGCCACATGATAACCGCCCGTTCTGGCTTCTTGGCGAAAGTATGTTGTCTTCACCAAATTCCATCTTTGGCATGTCTAAATACTAAATGACCATTATAGCTGAATACTACCAGCGAATACCTATCCGCGTGGGCCCTCGAGACGAATGGCTCGTTAACAAGAGTACGCCTGCACCCCCATCATCCGACCTTCTCTGTGTAGTTGGCACCAATACAGGCCTACTCCGCGTGACCTCCAACGAAACAATGGCACACATCTCGTCCCATGCAAACAACCGTTCTGCTGCTGTTGGCCAAGGACACTTCCACAAGGCTGGCCGCCAGCCCAAGGAGATCTTTGACCAGGACTTTCTCACGGGCAACCACAACGTTGTGCTGGCAGGTGGACGGCAGCCGCGTGTCTGGATTACAGATCTGCGTGTCCCTGAGCCGCAGTGGTCGTCCATTGCACATGCTAGCTCCGTCGCGCATCTTCGCAGTGTAAACGAGCACCAGGTTGTAGTAGCGGGCCTGCGACACTCCATGGCGCTGTATGATATGCGCTTCTTCCGCGAAGAGTGCTGGCCAAACGGTTCTTCGCCGTTGCTACAGTTCCATGGGTACCGCAACGAAGCGCACTTTCATACAGGATGGGATGTATCTACAGATCTGGGCGTCGTGGCTGCTGCGCATGACGATGGTACTGTGAAGCTGTTTTCGTTGGCGTCGGGGCGGCTGCTGAATCAAAAGGGCGACGCGCTGGGCGGGATTCGCTCGCAGACACCGATTAAGGCGCTCATGTTCCAGACGATGCCGCGGCAGAAGATGCCGAGTCTGTTTATTGGCGAAGGACCGTCTCTTAAGAAGTTTTCGTTTGGCGTTGACTCGTTGGAAGACGAGGCTTAATGGTAGAAGCATACCAGCTAATATTGGCTCGATTTTGATGTATTATTGTATATTGTTGCGTTCATATTAGCACTAGCAAGCGTAGTCCCTTTCGTTCTCATTTCATATGGTTATATTTATAATACAGTACTTTTCACTTTTGAACCTCTTACATTCCGAGATTAAATCCATCCGCTCGCCCGTCCCCTAACGCCAAAAGAAAGTGTCTGTACAAATACATACACATAACCAATTACATCGAATTTGCCCCCAAAATAGCCTACAGATTCATTCCATCTGCTACCTGTTGGTAGCTGGCGAATGCGATGATTGTGTATAAGCTGCTGGCGATCTCGGTATATTCGCATCCTCCGCCAGCACCGGAAACGCTCGAGCAAACGCATCACCAAGTTTCCAGTTATTCAAATTTCTCAAGTGGCGCTCAAAAACGGGATTAATTACCAGCTCACCAGAGTCTGGGCTCCTCAGCAACGTATCAGTGTCATCGTACGGCCACGATAATTCGAGGGTCGTGGTGTACGGGATGAAGAAGTTTTCAAAGTGGTAGTCGGTCGGATTATACAGCCGAACAAGCTTGTCTCGCATACCGGGGAACGGCAAATGATCGATCCATGCAGGATGCGGCGTGAGGATTTGGCAACGAAGAGGGTGCATCCACGGCGGCAGACGCTCGTAGTTTTCTCGTGTTGGCGAAACCTGCCATCGCATGACAAGAAACATGATGTATAACACGGCTACGCGCTCAGGAAGACCCGAGATATCGGGAAATTTGGCCAGAATGTCAGTAAAAACGCGCGACAGAGGATGCGAGTGTACACTCTGCATGGGGTTGAGGAGCGATGAGACAGACGGGTATCGCGGGCCGATGACGTCTTGTTCAGAATGGCCTTCCGCCGCACGCTGTTTGCGCTCATGGAGGAAGTCGAGTAGCAAAGAGTCCAGTGGACAGGTTGGAGCGCTTGTACGCACGGGAGCAGCGTAGCGAGCTATTGTTCCCATGTTGGTATCACTCAGCTCGATGAGTTCGCCGGGATCGTCAGACGCTGGGAGTGTTGAGATGTTGGGGTCTCCGTAGGGATATCCCGATGGCAGTGACTGATAGGACTGCATGGCATGCGCGTGCTGCGCACTGCTTCTGTGAGATTGCTGCACATAGTGCTCGTTTGCCGGCTTGGGCGCCTTGCGCGCGTTGAGCAAGAAGTCGAGATCAAGTCTCTCCTGGCCCATGTCGAGCGATAGTTTATGATCCCCTGGTTGCTGGTCTGCATCGCTGTGCAATCTGCTGGCGGTGGTTGGTGACGGTGTGTATCCCGGGGTGCTTCTTTGGCTGGACCAAGGCTGAGACACGGGGTGTGTTTGTGTTTGTGTTTGTGGTAGCCCTGGGAGGGTAGATGATGAGGCACTAGCACCCAGCATGGCTGTATGACGGGACAAATGGTGCGAATTATCTATAAATGCATCTGAAAGTATACGCGTTAGCTTCTGCAATTGTTAACGAGTGTTATTCATGGACATACCGTTGCCGATGACGCATCGCAGCGTTTCAATGACGCTCGCAAGCTTCTTTTTGATTTCGACATTCTCTCGCTCAACGGCCTCCTTTTCACGAACGACGGCCTGTAGATCCTGGTAGGGCTTTTGGTTCGTTAGTTCCTCGATTCTGCGCTCAAGTGTTTCAATCTGGCGTTTTGTCCGCTCTCTAATGTTTCTTTGCGCTTCACGATCTAGTAGCAGCCAGTGTCAGCATTCACAGCCCGGTTATACTTTTTTTCTTTCTCAGGAGGGCATTCTTACCATTGGCTCGCTTCTTTGCAAGCTGCTCCGGCGTCAAGTTAGCCACGCCTCGGCTGCTTGCCTTGGCTGCCTTGCGCTTCCTCAGGGCCGAAGCATCACCACTGTTATCCTCTGCTGCACTGCGCACATCCTCCATTGGCGACTCTGGCACGCTCTGGTCCGCGTCTCTGCCTGACATGGACATGGTGAACCCAGTTCAAACAGTAGCAAGAAGCCCTGCGTACTCATTCACATATGCATTCGCGTTGTCCCTGACAAAATGTCAACACCGAGTGACGACCACGCTACAGCGCAGGCGTTGGTGCACTGGACGGACGTTGCAACCGAGACCCGACCTAAAACGGTAATAAAGCTCAAGCGCCTAGACAAAATAGATTTGATCCTTGGCAAGGGCCGTTTGCTATTGGTGGGTGGGGTGGGTGATGAAGCAAAGGCGACTCCAAAGGGGCTGGTTGAGTCGTGACAGCTATAGCTGGGCGGCCTCTGTTGAGTCAGGGAGCAGACGGTAGTGTGCACGTGAGCAAAAGGCGTCGGATCGACGCTGGGTTTACAGACGGATGATCGCCAACAAGGGCGTACAAACACAGATGAGAGTGGTAAATATAGAAAGAAAAAAGAATATTAATACATACATTCCCGTGGATTTATTTATTTATTTATCGGGATGAGGTCTGCGGGTCAATAACAAAACTGGGTTGTTGCATTGTTGCATGTCTTTTCGTATAACAGTCTATATCAGCCTGTTGTAATCGATCAATTATACGTCTATCTATGGGAGAATGGACGGAATCTAAGTTCTCCTATATCTATGGTTGAATGTATTTGTTTGTGAAATTATTTCGTATATAAATCTTATCAATACTCTATATCTCACATCGATTTAGAAAAACAGATATATTACACCTATTCACCATCCTCATCCTCATCCTCATCTTCATCATTCCCGTCACCTCCATAGAGCCAATGCGCATCCGGCAAATCATCCGACAACCCGCCAGACATCCACTCCTTCCATCGGCATCGAAAGTACACAAAGTCTGCGATGGAAGGGAACCACAGCTCATCGCCCTCGGACCAGGTGTAGACACGCCACTGCGGCACTTGCTCCTTGGGCGTACCCCCGGAATACTTGTAAGCGTACAGCAGTAAGGTTGCACTTGTTGTGGTGCCGTCGCCGCACTCCCATCCGGTGATTACCTGCCATCCGTCTTTATACCAGCTCTGTCTTGGTTGGTGGTCGAGCCTGGCATACCTCGTCAGGCGATAGTTAACTCCTACCACGGGAGGGAACTTGAGGCAAATCTTGTCTGGGTCCCCGATGGCGTCGGCCAGGGTGAGAAGCTTGATGAATTCCGTCGGCGGCTCAAAGTCTTTCTCGCCTGCAGTATCACGCAACATTGACATTAGCTCGGCTAGATAGAGCTCCCTCACCTCTTCTGGGGCAGGTGGTATAGTACCGTCCCCAATTTCTTCCCCAGTAAGCAGCTGCTCCGGAGACGTAATGTCTGAGAGGTAGCCTGAGGTTGGCCATTTCTTCCTGTCGAAGTGCGGCGCCAACTTATGCCAGGCGCTGTCTGTCAGTCAGCGTCCGATTCTCCGTCAAGGGTCTCATCTTTTCTGTGAGGACGGATGTGTTGTATGCCCGTATCTCACGGCGAAAGTGAGCGACGGCGACGGCAATAGGGTCATCATCAGCGACTAGGATTTTGTTTCTCGAAGACGAGATGGACATATGGTAAAACAGAAAATAAGCCGTTTCTTTGTGCGCTTTTTTTAAACGGCGTTAAACTGACTTGCTAGCTCTAACCGCCAATACCGGTTCCAAGGTTGTGGCGAGTCAGAACCTTAACTTCCAGTTAGTACAGTCCAGTACACGTACAGCCCGCCGTTAGCCGCTATCTGACTCGTTCAGCGGCTTTCTTCTTTACATTCGTACGATTATCTCAACGTACTTGGAGGATATATATTGTAAGAATTCTTCGAAGTAATACTACAGCGTGTATGTATGCCAACTATTCACAAAAGAAAATGGCTCAAAAAGTCTAGTCATAAAATCATCTCAACACTCAAAACAAATACAAAATTCCAAAAAGTTGCTCTAAAATCCAATGCTTGCACCAATGCCTCTCCCTTGGTAGTATATCTCCTCCACCCACTCGCCCAATCGAACCGTCACATTGGCTACTGCATCAAGTCGAAGCGTGCCGCCCAGCGCATCCTTCATCTTGTCAAATCCGACGCTGTCAAGATCCCATTCCACAGGCAAGTACGGAGTTTCTGTGATACCTGGTGGAACTTTTATCGACTCGTTGTAGACGATGGTGCCGACTGGTTGCGTATGGTTGTAAAATGCCGTGGCATTCACCTTTTCAATGTAAATGGTATTATGCTTCAATGGCGATGCGAGGTCAAACGTTGCAGACGATGAAAACAGATGGAAAACAGCATTGCGAATGAACCCATGGCTCCCCTCGTCGTCATCATCATCTCCATTGTCGGGCAAATCCATTGGCGGTAAAGAAAACTCCATTCGAATCTTCTTGAGCGCATCGCCTACGCCAGGCATGCCAGGAAAGCTGTCATGGTGGGATTGCAGCGCAATAATCGCATTCTTGCCAGACAAGTAATCGGATATAACGTGCCGGCCTTGGCTCACTGCTTTTGTACCCCCCAAACTCAAAGGATCCCATGTAACAGATACAGAGACACTGTTGGCCGGACCAGGGAACATACGTAAATCGTGTACGGTTGCCGATGCAATGATATCCGCATTTGCCAGAACATGCATACTCAACAAAGGAATAGTGGCTGAATATGGTGTCGGGTTGGTAAAGTTGACCTGTCCCTTGATTACCACGCTGCTTGCTGTGGTGTTTGTAACCAAAAGATCATCGATAACCGGGTGTAAAGACGGAGCAAGCTCGCTTGGTAGGTCTAAAACAATCGAAAAAAGCGTCAGCTCAAATCGCCCTCCTCTGCCAAGTTTGTGGGATTACCAGCGAGACGACGGACGTTTGAGCGGCACATTTCCTTTGGCGGGTACTTCTCGAACAATCAAGTTGCCTACAGCAGTGTCGATCTGGGCGTCAACTAAGGCAGAGACATCGAGAGTAACCTCTTGACCGCCAAAGAGCATCTTTTGCAATACATCGGAAAACACATCGCTGTCGGTGATTTCCACGGGAATGTCGACCACGGAAGCAGTAATCTTAAGTATGTCGATGTCGCTGACAACCTTTTCGGATTTGGCATCTTGCCACTTGCCAAGGTCGAGCATGCCAAACTTCTTGCTCTTGTAAAAGAGATCAGCAGTCGCACGGAGGCGCTGGACATCAACATCCAGGTCAAACCCTTCTGGCAACGCAGCAAGCACTTCGACAGTTCCAGAAACACGGGGATTGCTGTCGGGATCATCAGGGCCGGCAAATGGGCTGGGAAGCTTAAAGTCGACATCCTTCAAAGTCATGTTGCGAATCAGGCCGTCCACACTTCGACCAGGGAATGCGATGGGTACTGTGATGTTCTTGACAAAGTCACCAACCCAAGCTGGGAGGTCAGACGCCTCGATGTTGCTTTGTACAAACACGCGCGCTGTCTCACCGCGTAAATATCTCTTCATGAAGAGATCAAGCGGGGACATGTCTGTCTCGGGGCAGACGCGGATGAGACTGTCGGGAATCTTGCGAACCAGGCCAGTTGCGTCTGCTGTAATGTTGGAATTGGCTTCTACATGAATCACATCGGAGACCGCCGTGGCCACTTTGATCAATGGCTGGCTCTTGTCGCAGTTGGACACCAAGATATCAAAGCCTAGTGAGGGAACGGTCAGGCTGACAGGGTAATCGTTAGGCACGGTGACGGTAATGTTGGCTCCCACGCCCTCTTTGCCACCATCGCCGATAGGAACATCATGGAAGTCGAGGCGCTGTATTTTGTACTCGGGAAGGGCTGGCACTTGAGAGGCTAGTAAAAGATAAAGGTCAGCATAATGCCGCTTGTTAAAACAAAAAAAAGAAATGCAAAGAAAGCAAAAAAGCCGCCGTGATTAAATTAGTTTACAATAGACTTTTCTCCGAAATACACTGAAGCAAAGGAACGGTAGAGAGATTGACCTTCAAATACCATAGATTCCACCACGTCATGGGTTCCTAGGGGTAGGAAGCCCGTCTTGAGACTCAGGGCCGTCTTGCCCGTCACTTTGATATAGTCGAGCTTGCCATCGAGCCAGTCGTTGACAATAGATCGCAGGGCTTCGGCATCGCCCGGGTTCAGATCAGCAACAAAGTCAATAACCGTATTATGACCATCGACGAGGTCGAGAGAGATGGGGGGAAGCATGGCGCTGCCGAGCATGGCGTTGCCGTAATGCGGAACGTAAATGGCGAGCTTGGTCTCCAATGTTTCTATCTTGCGCATGATGCTTGTTGCTATGCGCCCGATTCGCTGCGCGTTTTCATCGGCAACTCGGGAGCCATCCAGGCGAAAGTTGGCCTGGATTCGGGCACGGATGCCGTCTTGTGTTATGGATTCCAGCGACAGCCCGGTCGGCTCAATAACAGCGGCGTTTTCCGCGTATGTCTTTACAGCGGGCGGCACCAGGAAGCCAAGGACGATGACAACGCCAACGAGGACGGCCAGCGTGAACATGGCAATTATAGATGGCCAGCGCGATTTGCGCGATGATTTGGTCGATGTTATGGAGGGAGTAGGTTCATCATGAGCGTCGTGATCGGCAGCGTCCTGCGCAGTGCCGTTGGAGAGAAGCGGTGAGTTTTCGTTTATGTCGTTGTTGTCTGCATCATTGTCGCGATGCGCCAGCAACGGCGAGCGTTCCGTTGCAGGCATCCTGAAGAATGTGTGTGTTGGTGGTTTTGTTTGGTGATGATGACAGAGAAGTTGCAATGCAGCCGTTGGATGATGACGAGGACAAGGGCCCAAGTCACGGGTGGAGCGGATGGCGTTGGGGGGCGCTAACCCCGATTCGTCAGCACGGTGTGTCACTGGAACCCTTTGTATTGCTAACCTGCAATCACAAGATCACGGACGTTTTGATGCTAAATAAAAGAGAAAAGATTATATATATATATAATACAGTGCAAAATATTCAGCTAACGCGAGTTAATAGATATTTACGGCGAGTATCGAATTGACTTTCCTCTGCGAGCTCTATGGCGCGTCTACGGCAGATAGAATCTCTTCAGCGTCATCGCTCTGCATCACCATGCTATAGAAAACACTCTTTGCTTTGAGCAGTCCTTTTGGAGATCCCATCTCAACGATACGCCCACTGTCAAGAACCATGATATCATTACACTTGGCTACGCTGGGAAGTCGGTGCGTCACTACAATCACCGTTGCATCCGAGAACCGCTCTCGTATGACTTGTTCAACGAGCGCATCTGACTGTCTGTCCATGGCGCTGGTTGCTTCATCCAAGATCAAGATACGTGTAGTACCTGTTAGAATGGCTCTCGCTAAACAAAGGAGCTGACGTTGGCCGTGGGACAAGTTGGTACCGCCTTGATCGATGTGCAGGTCTAAGTCAACCTCTGTGCTGCTGTCACCGTCTCCCTGTTCAAAGAGTCGGACCTGTCTAACGGCTTCTTGGACCTGCGTTTCTTGCGCATGGCCACTCGGATCAAGATTCGACCGCAGCGTCCCCGACCACATAAACGGATCCTGTGGGATGACGGTAATACTTGCACGTAGCCGCCTTAGAGGCAGCGAGGATACGTCAACACCGTCAATCAGAATGCGACCACTCTTTGCCTCAACGATCCGTAATATGCTATTCGTCAGACTTGTTTTACCGGCCCCTGTTCGGCCAACGACACCAAACCAGGACCCAGGAAGGATGCTACAGGAAATATTACTCAACGCATTCTCTTCTCCGTATGAGACAGACACATCGCAAAGCTCAATCTTTCCTTTAGAGGGCCAATGTACGGATGGCTCCGTACCATCAGTTGGCTCAGTAGGCATCTCGACGAGGTCCAACAAATGATCCACAGCCGTGGCCCCCATGTAGACGCTATTTATTCTGCTAACCATGCCGGCCAGCGACGTCTTGAGCTGCAGAGCCAATGTAATCGTGAAGCCAGCTATAGAAGCATTTGCATGCTGCCAAATAAGACTCATGGTCGTTACCGCTACAAAGAGGTTGCCAATGATGCCGATGCGGAACTGCATCCACTGGATACTTAGCGAGAGATGCCAACCGACGCGTGTGCCTGAGTCCAAGAGTTGGTAGAATCGATCTAGATAGTGCCTCCCACGCCCAAATGCTCGAATAACAGGCAAGCCGGATACTGTTGAGTTGACGTGCTGCAGGATGGGGCGGCTGCTCAGTGGTATAAGCTTTTTGAGCTTCCTGGAGACACGGAAGTGCACCGAAGCTACTCGAATGTAAAAGAGGAAGATGAAACTGGTGCAAATAAGGGGCTTTGGCGCCGATTTGAAGCTACGGAATTGGTTAGAAGGATTAAGAGGCACATAAGGAACTGCTTACCTGGTGTAGATGATCAATGACATGTGGAAAATATAGCAGCCAACATTTCCGAGCTGCATGCCCAGCCGATGGTCCAGCTCGTAGAGATCCTTGCCGAAGCTCTGCAAGAGATTCCCCGTTGGAGTGGTCGATATCCAGGACATGGGTGCCTTGAGGATATTGTGTACTGAATCTTGAAACAGCTTCGAGGAAGCAGCCAATCCAATGGCGCAGAATGCGACAGATTTGATGGAAAACATGACGCTGCCTGCTACAGATAGGGTCATGTAAATGAGGATAGAATAGTTGAGACTATAGTGCGTCCCGCCTAGTGTCCACCTGGATAGCCACCAGGTGCTACCAGCCGAAGCTGCCTGCGAGATTAGAAGAATGACAATGATTGAGAGGACAGTGCCAAAGCCGCCTGCTGCACCAAGATATTTCGTGGCTACGTGTTGAAGGCCATGGCCAGGAGTTGAAGCTGGTGTGGTCTTTTTGTTGGAAGATTGCTTTTTAGAGGGAATAGCATTAATGGTAGTTGTTGGCAAGGACATGTCTGGCACAGACGCAGACGGAGTCAACTGGAGAGGCACAGTTTCTCTCATCTCGCCCACAACTCGACCATCTTCAATGGTGACAAGATAAGAAGCTGCCGGCAAACACAAATGCGCGTGCTGCGTCGCAAGGATGACGGTTCTACCGCGGACAAGATCCCCCGTCAATGCATGCTGACACAACCAGTTGGCAACAGATACATCGACAGCACTGAGAATATCCTCAAAAACCAAGATACTCGCCGGAGAGTAAAGAGCACGGGCGAGGGCAACACGCCACTTCTGGCCGCCACTGAGAGCAGCACCACTGAGGCCAGAAGGAGTGGCATCACCCAGAGCCAGCCCAGCCAGATCATGCTCCAATGCACAGGCTCGTATCACTCTTTGATAGCGGGTTTCATCGTACACATTCCCAAAAAGGATGTTTTCCTTGATAGCTGTGTTCTCAATCCAGGGCGGTTGCGAGACAACGGCGACGGAAGTATCTTGAACATCATCGCGTGTAAATAATGACGCTGCTTCAGGCCTGAATAGAGTTCCAGATTTAATATCGGCGTTTCCAATAATGGAATTGAGCAGCAGCGTTTTCCCTGAACCGATGTTTCCTTGAATGATGCACAGCTTACCAATTGGAAATGTAAGGTTAACACTCACCAACCGGAATCCTTCTGCATTTCGCTCATCCCAAGACAGCGTCGCATTCTGTAGCTCAATACAATGGCCTGTTTTATACTTGGCAACGTGGTCGGCTTGTTGCAGATACTCTTCAATTCGCCGGCAGCTCATCCAAGAAGCATATAATTCATTCGCTAGGCCGGGCAGGCTGCGAAAGATTGCGTCAAAGTCGCTAAAAAGCGCCAGTACAGCAAATGCCAGCGACGGTGCCAGAGATCCAGTTCTGTACGAGTACACGGATAGCGTGACGGACGTAAGAAGAACGGAGCTCAGGCTCGCTGCAAAGGTCGATGCCGCGAGGGCTGCACCGCACCAAAATATGTAGCTAACTTCTGCAGCGCGAAGAGAAAACAGCTTGGCCTGCCATAAGTCCTCCATGGAAGAGAGCCGGATTTTGTGTAGACTGTCTAGCGCCTCAGAGACGCTGCCCATCAACTCGGCATGCTTCTTGGATAAGTTGGACCGCAGCAATCCGTGCTGTTTTGTGAGTCGGACTGAAATGGGGATTATGACAACAGAAGCAGCGGCAGCTGTGACAATGGGCTCTATACCAACGAGACGTGTGAGATATACGCCGTCAAAAAGCAGTTTTAGTGCAGCCAATGGGAATTGGTAGGCTGTACCGCAGACTTGCGATACAGTAGAACTAAAGCCGTTAGATTATCGGACAATAATGATTAGACAGTTTTGTTCCACTATACCTGTCATTGGAGATCATGTCTGGTATGGTAGTTTGATACGTTTGTGCAGACCTTTTGGCGCTCTCTCCGTGCTGTACTGTATGCTTCTTGTTGAGCAACTTTTGGTAGATAAGCACATTTAAAAGATTTATGACAGGCATCTCTAGCTTCATCTGAGTAACCCAGCTGAGTGCCCGCCCAACAGTAGTCTCCATGAGCTGGCTTATGCAAAAGATAACAGCCCATGTCCAAGTCGCCGGCGTACTCTGCTGGCTGGCCAACTCGAGATGTTGCAACAAATGATGGAGGGTTAGTCTGCTACCAAACTCAACGCTTGCTTTCATAACCACAAGCAGCCACTGTAGACATAACGTCGTGCTAAATGTTTGCAGAAGCTGCTTCCAGAGCGGGGCGGACTTAGACGCCATTAGCTGATGCTGCCGCCGTAGAGTTTTGGCACGAAAGTCGTGATGCATCGACGGCAAATCGTCCAGCCGGATAGAATCATCAGACTTTGCGTGGGTTTTATGAAAGGGAAACCATGAGAATGATAGCCTTGATAGAGTGGAAACTGTTCGCTCTCTGTCTATAGCTTGGCTGTTAGATGACGTAGCGTTCGCAGGGACACAGAGGGCATAGAGCAGGACTATTGTCGTAGAGAGTGCGTCGAGCAATAACAGCTGAGGACTCTCAGCTGCTGGTGTATTTATGGAGCGGATGGTATGAGAAATGAGCGTTGCGATGCAAAGAAATGCTAGGTATAAGCTGGAAGCGTATCGTCTTGAACTGTTGGTTTCGATCCTGATATCATTCCCAAACCAACATATGAGAACCTGATTAGCTCACTATGTTAGCTAATGTCTTAACTGCAACTAAAAGAATCAGGTATAATTACCATGCCTGTCAGAGCCGGCCATTGCTGGGCATACGTCATGAAGCGTCCTCTATTGAGCGTTGCCTTGACCACGAGCTGAAGGGCTACGTCCAAAATCCAACGCGAAATCGCCATGATTTTCTTGGAGAAATTTACTGCCTCTCAGGGCTGTTTTGTATGATCTTTTCGTCCTTGACGTAGAAGATTGAAGTTTGTGACCCCAACGTGTTGGGTGAAGTATGTTTATAACGTAACTGTGTAGAACGCCACAGAGCCTTGTATCGGCTAACACGGGCCGACATACGGTAGCGCCAAGCCCGTGTACTGTACGTATCCAGCCACTTGCGCAAACAAAGCCTGCGATTATACTTGCTAAGATCATTGCCTGGGAATACTATAGGGAGCAGGCTATCTTACAGAGCGTACAAATATGCTATACAATGACCTCTGTCTTTCTGTCGCTTCTCACCTTGATACCAAATTCGGCTCGTAGCGACTCGCGCAGTGGGATGTCCTGTTCTAAAAATGCAAAGATTAGAGTAAAACCGCAGATGGCAGCAGCAATCAACCACAAGACACGCAGGGCATCCGTGTATACTTGAACAATCTCGGGCTGGATACTGGGTGGAAAGCTGAGGATAAACTCCCGCGCAGCGTTGGCATAGGCGTTGCCACCACTCAGAGCAGCTCGGGCCTCAAGATCAGGTATCTTCCAGAGACTTTTGGAGAAGATGTTGTTAAAGATGACTGCGGGTATAGTGACACCCCAGATGGCGCCGTAGCTGCGCAAATATGCCCAAGTTGACGTGCTCAGAGCATTATCCTCATCTGTAAGACCAGCTTGGACCGCAGGAAGCAACGACGTCGCCAGTATTCCATTTCCAATGGAGTTGATGAGCTGAAGGCAAACCCACATGGCAGTATCCGAGTCGGCACCCAACGCCGCAAAGCTACCGAGACCACCAGCCATTAGCAGGATCCCGACAATGTGCAGCATCTTGTATTTTCCAACTCTTGTGAGGTATTGTGAAGCAATGGTTGCACCAGGAATCATGCCAAACACTGTCGGCAGCAATTCTACTCCGGAGCGAGACGGCGTGACGGTTTGAACGGCCTGGAAGTACACAGGTAGGAAGTAGAGGGTCCAGAGGGTCATAAGTGCATGCGCAAAAGTGAGAAAGAATGCAACAGCTGTAGTTCGATGTCCAAAGAAGCGAGCAGAGATAGTCGGCCAACTGCAGAACCTCGAGCCTTCATAGACATGAAACGCAGCAATACCCAGAAAGCCACAGACGAGCGGCGCCAGCACGCGGACATCAGTCCAGGCGTAAAAGGTGCCTGCGTACGTTAAAGCATACATGATGGCAAAGACAGAGCCTATAATGAGTATATTACCAATGTAGTCGATTCGACGAAGACGCTCTTTCAAGGGTACCTGGACCGAGTTGACCTGTAGCGCGAGGTACAGCATCATGATGGACACGCCTCCCACGGGAAGGTTGATCCAAAAAACCCAGCGCCAACTAGCGTGCTGTACAATGGAGCCACCGATGAAGGGACCGAGGAACAAGCCAATGGCAAACATGATGCTGATAATGCTGATAAACTTTCCACGCTCTCTGAGCGGTACGAGGTCGCAAATGATGAGGTCGACAAGCAGATTGAGACCACCACTTCCGAGGCCTTGGATGGCTCTACCAGCAATTAGGGTGGCAATGTTGTTCGCACCACCCGCAATGGCACTTCCAAGTGTGAAGATGGCTACGGTGATGATGGTTGGCCATCGGCGGCCCCAGGCATCGGCAAGCTGGCCCATGATGGGGAGAAAGGCGGTACTGAGATAAGGTTAGATACATTAGTGTCTATGTTGAAAGAGAGAAAAGTAGACGAACCTGGTAAGAAGGAAGGAGTTGACGATCCATGGATAGTTTTCGCCAATATTAAGCGTATGGACGACCGTGGGTAATGCTGTAGATAAAACTGTGTAGTGTAGTTAGCCAAGAGTGTATCTATAGAATTGAGTGTTTAAGAAGTAGGCGGGAGGAAAAAGAACGACGCACCAGTCACTTCCACCGCTGATAGGAGTGTAGTCACCATGAGTGATGGTATAATAGCCCAGAATCGCCAAGATTTGCCCATGAAGAACGTTGGCAATTGTTTGCTGTCAACCAGTCTGGACTCGCCATGACCGCTACTATCGGCTGGTGTAAGTGGTTCTTTGGTTGGTATAGGCAGATTAGCCTTGCTTTCATACAGAGACAGCTCCATATTCGTCTTGAATTTAAGTATAGTTTTGATCGAGCATGAAGGTGCTGAACCATGTATTATACACAGCTATATATGTATACATGGCTGCATTCTGCTTAGGTTCTTACTACGACAGATCAGCGCTGCCTCTCCGAGAGTAAAACATGGAAAAGTGAGTACCTGATATTTACATCGGTGAAATGTACCTATTGTTCGGCGTTATGCACCCTGTTGTCTCGGTGTTATGTACCAGCTGCAGGAACGCCACAGTGAACGCCATAATTTAATGAGGCTGTAGGGAGCAAGGCGCTGACGTCTTACTCTGTTCTACCATCAAACAAGCGACGTTTACTTGAAAGCAAGAATTATTACAGACTTAATCAATCTAGCTGGATAAAAATGCCTCGACGACGTAATACCAGACCTCTTATACGGACAGCCTGCGACGAGTGCCATGCACACAAGCTTCGCTGCCAACAGCTCCACGACAAGCCGCCATATCAGTGCACGCGCTGCTTGCAAAGGAATGTCATGTGTGTCTTTAGCCCAAGAAAGCAGCGCGCACGGTACTATCCTGGTAGTGATACAGCGAACAGTGTCAACTATTTCAATATTCCCGATATGCAGCAGTATACTCGCCTCCAACTTGACAATGATACGAACTGGACGGTCGGCGATGATATGATACAGCTAAGCCAAGAAACACCGTTGATATATAGCGTCCAAGACCAGTACACCAATAACGAAGCATTGTCACAACAAGCTACGTTGGATCATGACCCGCTGCCATGGTGTTCGTTGGAAGTCTCAACGTCATCAACGCCATCATTGTCTGATGGGTGGCTTGCAGACCAACAATCTGCTTCTGGTGTGCCTCTAGATGTCTCGCTGGCCTCTGAAAATGCATCTACAACAACAAACCCAGTCCGAGTATTAGCAGATCTAAACGTCAGTCTGTATGAGCATATGGCCACACTCCCACCAATATCATCATCCGTCCAAAACCGGGCGCCATCGACACATGGCAGAGTATTTGCTATTGATAAGACGTTCCAAATGACACAGATGCTAGTCGATACGCTCAAACAACTACGTCAGTGGCCCTCCTCACCGCCACTACTATCTACCTATTTCGACGCTGCCACCGTTCTTCTTATTCTATCTTGTTCAGATCGCATCTTCAGCCTCTATAGACTGATATTTGGCCACATGCGTGGCTGTATCCGCCACAAGATGACACCAGTTGACAACAACAATAAGACAATATTGATCCCTCAGCTGCGAATAGGCAGCTTTACACCACCAACGCCAAGTGCTATTTCTATGCAGATGCTTCTGATTATATTGACGGCCTCGGAGTTGTTTGATCAGCTACGCGGCGTGTTGGGCATCTTCTGCCAGCAAAGTATGGGACAGGAAAGCAGTGACGGAAACAATGATAGCATTACAAAAGACATAATAGATACAGGGATGGTCTCTAAGCCTGTAAGTGGCAGTCACGGACGCTGGGAAGACTGTGTCGAACTAGGTACCAGTGAGGTGGTGACTGGTGATACTCCCGTGGAATTCCAAGACCTACCCGACATGGGCGTTCTACAGCGCGCTAAAGAGGTTGCTACGGATATCTTAAACACCCGGAAGCTGCTTTTAGCTCTGCCAACTTTACGTGGAGAAGGAGCTTTGTGGGAAGTCGTGGGCTAAGAGACCTCAACGTCGTTTGGCACGTACGAGTCTCACCTCGTATAGAATCGAAAACAACTACATAATCATTACTGTACGGGGATATGAGATAAATTTCAATATAACATTCATGTTATGGTATTCTCCATAGAGTAAAGTACGGAATATCCATCTCTACTTGGTAGTTTCGGGTGCTCCCATTGCGCTGGGAGGGGGGTGGTACCACTCCTTCTACGTTACGTTACTACCATCGATTTTCTTGAAAAAGTCGGGTACAGGCTTTCCCCTTCTAGCAAAAACCTCAACCATATCTTCTGGACTTAATCCCCAGGCATTGATAACGGTTGGCGGGCTGGTGCTGTAATCGATCGATCGAATTACACCATCCAAGCAAAAGGTGTACATGTACATGCTTTTGCCCTCGATGGGTTTTAGTGTTTTAAGACAGTCTGGAAGGTACTAATGGTTAGAAGTATTAGTCAGAGCATCAGATAGAATTTAATACTTATTTCAATTGCATACCGGAAACTCATATTGAACGGTTGAGTATAAGTTGTTGTAAACTATGGTGGAAAGTGTAGCGCAGTGTAGTTGAAACTACAGAAGGTGTTACAGCACTTGTTTCAGCGGATTTTATAGCGAAAAGTGGCGTGTAGCTTAACATGGGTGAAAAAATAACAAATAAACACAGCTCGTGGTAGACGATTTTAAAACCAGCCCACCGACGAGCAATTGAGGAGCCTCGTCCATGTTGTAGACCGAGTTCCCTACCAGGTGTGGCTTGTGACTCTTGTCGGCTCAGCAGAACCTTTCGTCTTTTACGGAGCGTCAAGGTGCGTTCAGAATTACGGGCAAAACGGCTCCGACCATCTAATTCCTGGTACTCTTGGCCTGGGGCAGGCGAAAGCAGCGGCCGGCTGGAATGGCCTCTTATATAGCTTCCATGGGTCCCTGGTCGAGACCTACCTGAGACCTCCACACGCCTAGCCCGTACACAAAGTACATGCATTGTTGTTGCGTTGTCCTCTTCTCAACCTTTTCCAATTGAACTCAATTACAATCGCAGATGTCAAAATCATGGTAGAGATCACAAAATCATCATCCGCAGTTGACTCAGTGCGCGGTAGCAGCATTTTTCACGATATGCACCACCAAAGCCAACCGATAGCCTGGCTTGAACAATTCGTCAATGACATTGACGCAAGAAGCTCAAATGTCCCCATACACCCCGTCATCAAGAGTCTCCAAGATCTCATCGAAAGCAGGACCGAGCTTCGCATGTGGGCGTCCGTAATGTTCCAAGAAGTGCCCAACAAGAATCCCTACAACAACCAACACAACAAGAGGACAAAAATCAAGGGTGCCTTCACTCATACCCCTGTGCGAGGATATCGCCACATGATAGACCTCTTGGCTGTCATCGTGGCTGAGGTAGGGCCGCCGTATGCGCTGACTGTTCCCGCATTTGGAGTCATGGGCCTCCCATTCCAAGCTGTAGTGGACTGGCCAATGGGCACACCAAGCGGGCATGCGTTTTTCCTCGACACCCAAGTTAATGCGAAACTCAAAGATATTCTGGATGCTTGGCGGGACAACGTTCTTACAACGAGCAAGTCTCTCGCAGTCGTCACAACGGCACCAGGCTGTTGGCTGTCGCCGGAGTCTGTTGCTGCATTTGAACGGGATGCCAACTTGGACAGCAAGCAGTCGTTCTCCTTTGAGCAGCTGTTTGCTTGCGATCCGTACGCTGACCCTGTGCACTGGGGATTCAAGTCTTGGGACGACTTTTTTGTACGTCGGTTCAGGGATATCGATGCTCTGCGCCCAGTTTCCCATGCGGACGAATCGACGTGGATAGCGAATGCTTGCGAGGCGCTGCCAGTGGCAATCAAGTTAAAAGTGAAAAGGTATGACGAATTCTGGCTTAAGGGAACCAATTACTCCATAGCAGATCTCCTGGGCCATCATGAGTTGGCAGACAACTTTGTTGGCGGCACGATTTACCAAGGCGTTCTGCGAACGACATCATACCATCGCTGGCATGCACCTGTGTCTGGCCACGTTGTCTTTGCGCAAGTAATTAATGGCGCCTACTTTTCAGAACGCTCTACAAACGGTCTGGGTAGTGAACCGATAGGCCCCCCGACATACGACCAAGTCTACTTGGGCCATGTTGCCACGCGTGCCCTCGTCTTCATCCAGGCAGACGAACCGATCGGGTTGATGTGTTTTATTGCCATCGGCATTGCTGATGTATCATCATGCGAGATCGCGGCTAGGTTCTCGGGGAATTGGCCGCAACCCATTACAAAAGGCGAAGAGATGGGGATGTTCCACTATGGTGGCTCGAGTCATTGTCTTGTGTTTCGCAAGGATTTGCACCTGGTATTTATGCAGGAGGCAATTCCTGGAAGCGGCAGTTTGTGCGTTCCAGTGAGGGGCTCACTTGCGTTTGCAGCTGCAAGTAGTTGAGAAAGGGTGCTGTTTGCCGTTGGTTGTATAAGAGATCAGTTGTATCCTGAAATGGACTTTTCTTGTCGGAAGCAGTCATATATGATGTTTCCGCCGTGTGTGCCGTTGCGATGTTCAATTTTAAGAAAGCCTGCTCAGCTGAAGCCAAACAAGTACCATAGTACAACGTCATTTCCCCATGCCATAAGAGATTTGTGTCTTTGGCTTCAGCTAGGGTTAGCATTATAAACATATGCAAGTCTCAGCACAACCCCCTCTCTGTGCAACCTGCTGATCCCATCGCCGCATATTACCTGCATTCACTCCTACAACGAGTCACGGGATAGAAGGCATTGTACCCTGCAGATACGAAGTTCATTTATCTTGTCGCATAACTAGTAGGATCTTCAATAACATCCAGACGCAATATAAGCAGCGCAACTGCCACCAATCTTTGCTTGGAAGATTATAGCCCTCAGTCAACATGTTCCCCCTTTGTTTCTTGCCAATATTACTCGCAGCTCTTTTTCTCAGTTTCTTTGTTTATTATACATCCCTGCCTATTAACTTCCCCCGGAATATACCAATCATTTCAATATACGCAAGACTATACGATGTCCTGCGCGGCACAACCGAAACAGACTTCTACAATGCTCGCGTCCGCCACCATGCTGAAAAACACGGCGCAGTTGGGATTTGGCTGGAAGGGAAGTGGACTGTTGTCATTACGAAACCAGACCTACTTTCTCAAATGTTTCGAGACAGAACAAACAGCCTTGCTAGGTGCGGTCTCTATCAAAGAGTCCCAGAGGGCATTGGCGCCCAGCTGTTTGGCGAGAACATTATTGACTCAGACGGCGACCTCCACCGCCATTTCAGAGACATAATCAAGCCTGGAATAGAGATGCGGCATAATTTCACCTCATTACGATACAAATCATCGCAATTGGCCATTCGGCTAATAGACATTCAAGAAACTGCTACAGATTGTAGCGGAGCTGCCATTGCGGAACCTGTTTTCTGGTGGTCCGTTTCCGTCTTTGGTGAATACTTTCTAGATATCGAGTTTGACGAATTGAAATTCCTAGAATGCAACATTCAAGCAATCTTGGGAGCTCAAAATAGCTCAGTTATCGGAAGATTAGAAGGTCTTTTCCCCATCCTTGGCAACCTGCCGTGGACGTGGGCTACCACGCATCAGACGCGAAAGCGCTTTCACAATCTAGAGGCGATACTTATGGATCACGTTTCCCGTGTACCCCCTCCCGCTTTATTATCTAAATCCCAGGAGAAGGTTATACACCGCATGAATGCAGCACACCTTGATGGTAGCATGTCCGATTTTCATTACAAAAGCAACTTAAAACAGCTATTCGTAGCTGGTACTGAAAATGTTGAAGCAGTACTGGTATCAGCCATGTTGGAGCTCGCCAAGTCAAGATTGGTTCTAGATCGCCTTTATTTGGAGCTCACACGAGACCTTCCGACAGACTATTCAGAGACCGACGTGAGGCAGTTACCTTTTCTATCCGCCGTCATTTACGAAACTCTTCGCTTATACCCACCGCTGGCGTTTATGAGAAACCGACTTACAAAAGAATCTTATCAACTGAGTGAGGATATCCTCCTACCTGCAGATTCGGTGCTTGGAAGGCACATATATGGCTTACACACAGACCCGACCGTATGGAGTGACGCATGCGTTTTCAATCCTGACCGATGGGGTGCAGATATCGACGCAGTCTATAGTATGGTTCGTCGACTACAAGCAAATGGCCATTTCCTTCCATTCGGATTGCACGCCCGCAGATGTCCCGGGAGCCCGTTTGCAATCACCCAACTTCGAATAGCTCTTTGCGAACTTGTCCGTAGACTGGATTGGACGCTCAGCCCGGAATATCGGTTTTCATTCATCGATGTAGGTACATACATACGTGACTCAAGGTATATCTGGAAAAGAATTTGGCTAACAGTGAGCATTCTAGGGTGGCCTATTAGCGCCGTTCGGTTGCAAATTTGTATTTTCTAAAAGGAACTGAAGTCTGTTAAGTACCTTAACAAAAGTCATTAAGTACAAAACATGCTAGCTTGTGTGGTCGACTAAGGGTAATCAGGCTGTGGTAATTACTTAACTATAAATGAAGCTACAGAAGGAATTACAGCGCTTGTTTCAGTGAGTTTTTTAACCAAAAGTGGGAGGTGACTGGTTTGTGTGGTGGACGAAGACCAATCAGGCTGAGGTACGTACCTAATTATAACAGTCTGCTTTCTTGTAGCATGTTTGTTATGTAATCAAGAAAAGAAATGTATTAAGATGATATTGATGTAATTATGGCAGTTGTTTAAGAATCCATTGCATGGCTTCCTTCTATTATGTAGACATATACATATACATAGACAAAGGCAACTAACGCTCGGGGCCGCTTCGTGCCGGACTTTGCTAGATATATGTCAAAATCTATTCCATGGTTTCTGCACAACTTCTACATATAACAAGGAGAGTAATGGAAGGAAAGTTTGGTATTTATTCCTCTTTTTTGTTATTAAATACAATACCGTTGACATAGTTGACCAAGTCTGCCACCGGTTGCAGATGATTGCTACCCGGCTCAAACGACATTCCCATCTTCATGACCTGCCTGTAATTCTCTCCAGGGCTAATTTTACCCAGTATATACGGTCGTCTTGTAGCAACTCGGTCTGGTACGGGGATACTTCGCCCTACTATAGCTTCCATGCCTTGCCATGCAAAAGTAATAGCCTCCTTTGCGTCAGCTGGAATCCCCGCCTCGTCCAGCATCACGACTTTGGTCTCTGGGAAATTCTGTTGAATATAGTCGGTTATGTTTGGATTCTTGGCACCACCACCACACATGTAGATTTCGGCAAGGGGACCATATTGCGTAGGCATATATCGGCGGTAGTGGTCAACAATAGCCTCAGCTGTGATTCTTGTAATCGTGGCGACAATGTCCTCAGGCGACATCTCCTTCTCTAGGCCCTGATAAATCATATCCTGAGCAATACTATCTCTAAAGACCTCTCGGCCCGTCGTTTTGGGTGGATCCAGTGCAAAATACGGGTGCGTCGTGAGGAACTCGTCCACCATGTCTTGGTTCACGATTCCGGCGTGGCCCATCTCACCATCCTTGTCGTATTCTCTCTTACCGTTGGTGAAGAATCGAACAGCTGCATCGATGAAGACGTTTCCAGGGCCCGTGTCAAAGTCGAAAAACGCCTGGTTTAACTTGCCATCTTCATCTGGAGGGATGAAGCAGACATTGGCTATGCCACCAATATTCTGACACGCTCGAAACTTGGTCGGGTGATGAAGGACGAGAGAATCGAAAAAGGCAATAAGGGGAGCGCCCTGGCGACCTGCCGCTTGATCAGATACGCGAAAGTCTGTAACGGTTGTAATGCCTGTCTTCGACGCGATGAACGTGCCTTCGGCCATGGTGAGAGCTGATTGAACCTGGCTTTGCTCCGGCATGCTAAGGAGCCAAATAGTCTGCCCATGCGAACCGATAGCATGGACCGAATTCAAAGGAATATTATTTGCAGAACAGAATTTGATGGCGGCGTCGGCAAACGTTTCCCCAAGAAGCACGTTGACCTCAGATAGTTCTTCAGGAGTCGTTTTGTTGTGTAAGATCATATCCATCACGCGTTTCTTTATTGTCTTTTCAAGAGGTATTTCGCCATATTTCAGCAATTCAAAATGCATCGGTTTGTCCGATGACAACTGCCTGAAGCGGCACAGAGCACAGTCGATACCATCCATAGATGTTCCCGAGTTTAGCCCAAGAACCGTCATATCCAGACCAGGAGTGTTGCTTGTAGATTCCATAGTAGATGTTTTTCTTTTCGTAATGACCTATAATTTACTGTGAAGTTGGTAATAAATGAGTTGAATTAAGATGTCTCAGGCCCTCATGTTAAGAGGTACGTACCGGATCTGCATCTTGGCCCCAGGCTCCCGGCAATTGTTTCCCCGCATTAGAACGTCGCACTGAGTTCCCTCTGATATCAGTGTATAACTACTAGTTTTGTCATTCTTTTGTATTCAGACACGCTCTCCTTGATGATACTTTCTTATGAAGCGGCACGACTAACAACACCAGGAACAACATGAAGCACCAAGCATTGAAGCGCCTTCCCGGAAAGGCGTTACTAATTTTAATTAATGTCGTTGCTGCCACGGCATTGATTTTCGAAGGTATGGCTACCGCAAAAAGTTTTGTGTTTGATTTCGTGTGTATGCTAACAACCGCCTCTCCAAGGGTATAATCAAGGAGTTCTTGGGGTCGTTAGTGGGACGCCCGGGTTCATTGATATGGCAGGCATTGGACACGATGGGATTGTTACCGATACTACCAAGCAAGGCGGTCTCGTGGCTGCGTATTACTTTGGTGGTATGTGGGGATGCTTCGTCGGCGGTAAGTCTTTGTGCGTAATATCGTTGATGCTTCCAAACTGAATAAGGATACAGGATGGGTTGGCGACAGAATTGGCCGCCGAGGCGGTGTCCTCATAGGCACAGTCTTTGGCATCCTGGGTGCTGCACTCATGGCAGCAAGCATCAACGCCAGTATGTTTATATGTGCCCGTGTTATTGCAGGCCTCGGTATAGGCTTTCTCAATGCCATTGTTTTGCCATGGGTTAGCGAGCTTTCTCAATCTCACGACCGCGGCTCATCCTTCTCCCTCGTCTTCGTCGCCAACTATGCCGGCATCGTTATAGCGTATTGGATCAATTTTGGTGTACGAAGCGCCCGGCTCGAATTTCGATGGAGATTTCCTCTTGCCTGGATGACTATACCACTTCTTATTGTGGACATGGCGGTCCCATTTCTCCCAGAGTCACCCCGGTGAGTATTCATTCTGGTCGATATCCATAATCCAACTAAACCAACTTTTCTTCCTGAATAGGTGGCTCATTGCCAATGGTAGACGCGAGGAAGCAATAGAGATTCTATGTAGGCTCCGTGGAGATTTGGTTCCTGATGATCCCAAAATCGCAAAGGAGATTGCGCAGCTCGACGCTATAGTTCAAGCTACGCGGCATAGACGGAACGACTTGCTCAACATTATCCTGGGTGGAAGATACTCGGGAAAGCTTCATTTGGGGCGACGTGCTGTCATGGGATTTGCCTTGCAATGGGTCCAACAATGGTCTGGAATTCTAGCTATTGTTGGATGGTCAGGAACATTGTTTGCATTTGCCGGATTCGACTCTTATAAGTCTCTCTGGCTCGCTGGTCTAGCCAACACAATTGGTATTCCTGGAACAGCTGCAGCCTCCCTAGCCGTTGATAGAATCGGCCGAATCCATTCTCTTGTCACGTCTTTCGTTATACAGGCCATCTGTCTATTTGCTGTGGCTGCTCTTATCAAGACTAGCCAAGACGCCGCAGTTTCAAATCCTGAATTGTCCACTAGGCTGGGGAGTGCAGCAGCTTCATTCGTCTTCATCTATACTTGGTAACACTACTCTTTCATCATTCTCTACATTCTAGGTTGTGCTAATAAATCTTGCTCTAGGTTTTTCACCATGTTCAACATTATACCTGTTTGGATCTACGGTACGGAGATATGGCCGCAAGAGATTCGAGCCAAGGGATACAGCTTCACCATCTTTGGCTGGGCAACAGGCTGCGGTACAACCCAGTTTCTTATCCCTATGATGCTTAGTCGTCTTGGCTATGGAACGTATATCTTCTTTGCTGGCATTAATATCGTTGTGGCGCCACTTGTCTGGTTATTCTTTCCAGAAGTGGCTAACAGGTCACTGGAGGAAGTATCATTGCTTTTTACAAGCGAGAGCCTATTTGCCCGTGATAATATGAAGGAGTTCCATAAAAGAGTGGGAACTGCCGGTGGTGATGTTGCGGCAGCGGCTAGAGCATTGTTGGAAGAAGCAGCAAAAGCTGAGGGCGATACGCAACACAGTAAGCTAGAAATGGAACAAGGTAAGGTATAGCCGACAGCCTGGCGTCTGATGATGCGCGGCTTGTTAGTATATACCAATGCTCGAGTTGCTACATTTGACCTTGGTGCGTGCACAGGATATATAAGCCACAAGACTTCATATTTTGATACTATGTACTACGCCCACTGGGGAAACCTATAGTGCAGTACCATCACGGCCTATATACCCAAATCTTGCCATCCCCCGTCTGCACAGGATACTTACAACGCGCGTAGATGCCGTTTGTCTTAGGATTGCCATCGTACTGCACCCACTGCTCACTACCCGAGCCACTCGGGGTATACTTTAAGAGCGCACCACCGTAGCATAGCTGCCATGTGCCGGCTTCACCAATCGAGATATACCTCGCAGAAGTGGTGTTTGGCATTGGCGCTCATTTGAAAGGTTCTCCAAGGTAGCGGTAATATTTGTTCTTGCGATCCTTCTTGATGGTGAGACCGCCGTCGGGATCCGATTGGAAGCTGGCGTTCTCGAAGCTCTTGTCAATCTGCTCCCATTTGATGCCGGGGCCGATCCAGCGCCAGATGGTACTGTCAGAGTGTGCGAGCATGAGGCGGCCATCTAGCCCGACAATGCGATCATACTCGTCGAGGCGGTTCCAGCGCACGCCGTTCCATACGTGAATACCCTCCTTCGTCATTTTGTGGACGTTGTCTGCGTTGGCGTATATAGAGACGGTTAGGTCCATCTCGCATATCGTCTCGCATATTGCTACGACAGAGCTCGGATAATTCCTTTCTAAGAAAAATTCTATTAAAATTCATTGCTTGCGATATTCTTATGGACATTTTTTCTTGGCTAATGTCCGGTTGCCGAAATAGGGAATTCGGATCTCAAGTTTACTGATGTTGCGCTACGAAGAGCCAAGTTGGACGTGCCGGGTACAGTATGGCTATAAATCCATATAAATCCATTGTTAAATCCAAAGAAAGCTATTTTGACCACCAGAGAAAACTTTCAATACCGGAACCCATGAACACCCTTCTACTAGCCACCGTATTATCCCTCGCTGCCGCCGCTGAGCCTCCGTGGCCCATGTTGGGCTTGGATGGATATCGCAACTATGACCTCTACAAAATGCGCCCGGGAGAACAAATCCTTCATGACAGTTCCTTCGATAAATTCAACCAAAAGAGGGTACCCTACTTGTGCCGCCGCCGCGATGAGAACGGATGGTGCATCTTGGGTGAGGTCGGCCACAGCCCGTGCCAGGTTGCTTCGATCTGGGTGCAAGACGAACCAGACTCTATATCCAAGGCGGGAGGATTCCGCGTCCAAATCGACAACAATCTTGCTGTCAATGTCCCTTCCGGGGAAGGGCTTTTCAACGGATGGGTTTACGATCCTTTCAAGTATCCGTTCCTCAATGACTATCGCCTGGGCATGGGTGGCAACGTTATCAAGGTACCAATGCCCTTTAATTCATCCGGTCGAGTTACGATGCAGAATTCTCCGCGTAATTATGCCATTAACTTCCGACATATCCCGGACTATATAAAGTTTCCTGCATTTGATCCAGACCACAGGGTCGCTGATATGGGAGAGGACGTTATTGCCGCCCAAACTTTGTTTGGCGTCACCGACCCCAAGCTAACGGGGAAAGCGGAAAATCATGTATCAGGCACTATTAGCAAGTCCCGACCGACGTTGAAGCTGGCATCCACCTGTGGTATGATTACCAAGCTTGCTATACGCGTCCCCTCGATTCGCCCCACGGCGTTTGTTGACGATGATGGATATGCTATCCGCGTGGGGCGAAATGCAAATGTCACACTTGCGTTGGACAAGAATAATGACATGTGCAAGTTCAGCTGGCGTATCGATGCAGGAGTTGGCAAGCAGAAAGTCAAGGTCTATGTCGACGACAAGGTGGCTGGCAACATCACCAGCGGAGCTTACAGACCCGGAACCTGGGCTGACATGACTGTTAGCATTCCTAGCTCCATGACCCAGGGCAAGGACAAGATCAAGGTTCGGCTCCACTGCGTTAGCTCCGAAATCGATTGCAACATCTTCAACGTGGCACTGCATTGCAAGGCCAAAGATGGTAAATGGTCGTCTACCAAATATGTTCCAGGCAACGACTGGACGCTCATGGCGGCGGTGGATGTTGGACCAAGCCACAAAGATATAGAATGGATACGTGTAAGTCCTAATTGCTCTCCGTTCCGAGGCCTCAATGCCTTTGAATGCCCATATATACTGACTACATACACAGGGCCGTCTAGACCTTGAACCGGTTTGGAGTGGGCGTCGCAAATACGCATACGATGACGTGAATCATACCACAGATTCGATTCCAGATCTGCGCTTGACACTGACGTTTGACGGGAAAGAGACTGTATCCAACGTACCGCTCGGCCAATTCTTCGCTTCTGGCCTTGCCAAGGGTGACGTCAAATCTTTGTTGCTCAACGTTGACACCATGATATCCAACGGCGCTTGGACCAGCTACTTTCCTATGCCTTTTGCTAAGTCGGCTAGCATCACTCTCAAGAGCGGCGATGGATCATCCATTGCAGCCTCAGTTGACGCAACCATTCAGTCCTGCAGTGACGATGGTAAGCAATCAAAGCAACCATCCACCGGAGAATGGGGTTATTTCCACACACAATATCGCCGTGGCCAGACAGTGGAGGGAGAGTCATGGCGGATTCTCAAGACTCCTGGCCCAGGCATCGCATGCGGTGTGAGCCAGACGGTTCGCAGTCTGGACAACTCCCTTGATTTCCTCACGGGCGCTGAGCAGATATGGGTCAACATGACGACGCCTATCACTATATCACAGGCAGATATAGCCGGAACTGGTACAGATCACTTCTACGGCGGCGGCTTCAACTTTGTGGATGGCTTTGCGGACGGTAGGCCCCAGCTCACGGCGTTTGCAACTTCTCACTCAGGCCTGTCTACCAGTGTTGTTGACCAGTTCGGCAACCAAGGCACGAGCGTATCCATGCACCGATTGATGATTGCCGATTCCATTTCCTTTCCAGAAAACGGAATCGCATTCCACATTGAGCACGGCGATGGCAACCGTGCCGTAGCAGAGTATGAGACTTGTGCTTACTACTATGCTTGATGTATACCAGTCCCTGATAGATTTTACAAGAGATTATTACTATGTTAACTATAACTATACATGTATTCTGGTATTTATCTTCTAATTTTAAAACAAACACAAAACTGGTGATGATGTCTGTCCCTCTAGGGTATCAAAATCATCAACTTCCCCATCCACTCTTCAGCCGCACAGTTTCAGCCTGTCTACGACAATGCGTGACAATCTTGATGCAAAAACAATATTATGAACCTTATAGACTCGAAAGAAGCAGATAAATCAACCCAGATATATTCCGAAGCCCCACCATGTGAGACATGCACACATCCTTGCCCCCGCTCGCGTATGAACTCCTGGCGATCAACAACGCCTAAGCAGTTGGCAGAGACTTCCGCCAAGGGATGCTTGACCTGTACATTGTTTCTTCAAGGAATAAAAGCATGTGCTGGCACAAGATCAGGAGATGAGAAGCTGAGAATTCAATCTGGCTTGGATGGGTCGGGATCGCGGGTTTTGCAAGTTAAGCTTGTGCTCCGGCCAGCGGCAACACTCTCGTTTTATAGGTCACCAGGTCCGTTACTTCTACCCAGCTAAAAACCCCTTACTAACGTCTACCAACAAGCTATTCAATTAGATGCCTATACTGGACTGAACACGTGGCCGCTTGGCTATGATATTCCGACTTCTACGTCATCGGGAGAGAGTCTCACCTGGGCGATGGGTCAGCTCGAGAAGTGTGAGAGACATAGTATCTGTAACACTGGCGGCAGTACTGTGCTACCTAATCGTGTCCTATACATTTCAGAGCAAGACTACCACAGTGTTAGGCTTCTCACAACTAATGGGACCGTGATGGGGGTGTATGCTTGCTTAAGCCATTGTTGGGGTAGCGACCCAGAGCGGATTCCAAAAACGTTGAAGTCTACATTACGAAGCTACAACGACCAAATACCGTGGCAGTTGCTTTCCAAGAAATTTCAGCAGACGATTGAGTTCCTCTCTAAAATTGGAATTCGATATCTCTGGATCGACAGTCTCTGTATTATCCAGGATGACCCCCAAGACTGGCAAACCGAGGGAGCCAAGATGGAATCTATATACGCAAACGCAAATCTAACTATAGCTGCCGCCTACTCCTCTCACCCAGACGAAGGGATATACTCAAAAAATACTACCACAAAATTCAAGGCACAAGAGCTGGTTCTGGACGGCAATGCAAACTCAGGCCTATTTTGTCGGCCATCTATTGAGCATATCCATCATGAGACTAGTGCATACAATCCAATGGACGACCTATTTTATTTCCTTCTCGCAGATAAGTACGACAAACAAGAGCCAATCGACGAATTTCCACTCTTACGCCGTGCATGGGTTTTACAGGAGCGCTTCTTATCGCCGCGTACGCTCTACTTTGGCGCAAACGAGCTTCTTTGGGAGTGCCTGGAACATAGAAGCTGCCAATGCGCTGAAAGCATGGATTTTAGCGAGCCCCAAGGCCAGACATTGGACGGCAAAGTCATCGAGGTTGCCATATCGGAAGAGCTAAAATGCGCTGTGAATCCGAAACGCTCATACAGTCCAGCTGCCCTGCAGCTTTTGAACGCTGAAAACGGACCTGAAGCCGTGGTAAAGAAGTGGCTGGCCTTGGTCGATGAATATTCTACGCTGCAGATGACATATCCGAAAGATGTATTTCCGGCACTATCTGGGTTAGCAAAGGCGTTTGGAAAGATTCTTCAGACAGAGTACCACGGCGGACTGTGGCGCAACCTTTTGACCATGGGCCTACTGTGGAAGGCGAAATCTGTGAATCATCGACCAGAGAGGTGGCGGGCACCATCTTGGTGCTGGGCAAGTGTGAATTCACCAGTGTCACACTTTCTAGCTAATAAGTTAGACGGCAAGCAGGAGGACCTGTGCTATGTCTTGCGTGTTAGTTGCACTCCCGCAGGCGCAGATCCTACTGGTGAAATCCAGGACGGTCATGTTGTGCTTCAAGGATTGGCGGTGGAAACGGAACTGCAATACAAACCGGGAAGAAAGACCAATTGGGATATATTCGATCTCGATTTCATGTACCAAAAGGGAGGTAATGTATATGCAGACTATGTTACGTACGATAGCGTTCCGGCAGGCACGCGGATTGTGTGTTTCCTTGTGGCTAAGACAGTGCCCCAGAATGACTACATGTTTCTGATTCTTCGGCGCACAAGCCAGTCAAGCGACAATGAGGGTTACGTCGAGTATGAAAGGATAGGGATAGTTGAATTATATGAGCGCCAGAATGGTCTGAAGGATGTGTTTGATGACTATATACGGCCGCGCTCGAAAGAGGCAGTGGTGATGATTGTTTAAATATCACGAACATATGTATTCGCCCTAGACTATATACTCGTATAGAGACATTATATACACTAGAGTCGTAGCCTGATACCCTTGTATCTGCTTTCATTACAGGCTTAAGAAGTACTTGGACATATCTGGGTATCTCGGAGTTCCAAGACCTGTGACGGGATCCCACCCGGGAGCAGTATCGAAGCTCTGGTTGTTGCAGGTGTAGGGGCGCGTCTTCAGCATACCTCCGAGCGTGATGTCGTTGAACATGGCTGGATTCTTGTACAGGGCAGGGTTGACAAATCCGACGGGCTTCTTGCCAGCAGCTAGACGATCCTAGTTGATACGGTTAAACATGGCGGCAATGATAGGGGTCGACAGGGAAGCGCCACCAGTGTAGCGCATTTCCTTGTAATACCCAATTCAACCTTGGGCGCCAACCGCGGAAATATCAGGATAGGCGCGTCCGGCACGGTTGAAGAGGCCTTGTGAGCCAAGATCGGGAATACCTGTCTCTGTCGCATTGTAGCTGGGGAAGGGTGGCGTGTGGTTGGTGAAGAAGCTAGAGACAGCAGCGTTCTGGTAGTCTAGGCGTGGGAAGATATCAGAGAAGCCGCCGCCGCCAGAGTAGTGGATTATTGCCGCTTGCTCTTCGTCACCGGCAGTCTTTCCGGTCGGCAGCTCCGTAGCACCCACGGCCGTGGTGTACGGGCATCCCACCAGGCTTATAGGACCAAAAATCTCCTTGTTGTCTTTACCTTCGCAGATGCCGAACGGAGGAGATGCTACGCCGGTATCACCCGCCGCGTGAAAGACGGACACGTCCTGAAGACCAAGCTTCATCCATTCGTTGCACTGGCGTGTCTGGTAAGGAGCGCTCCATGCCTTCTCAGAGACTGAATAGGAGAAGGAGAAGACGTTGGTGGGTTTGTAGGCACCGCAGACGTGGCTACCACCAGGCGTATCCACGCTGGGATCGTCTCCCTGGCAGAAAGAGCCGTCAATGGCGTCCAAGAACTCGTCGTAGAGCTGGCAATGTGTGTTGTTCATGTTGAAAAGATGGATTTGCTGCGGGTATATAATGGGATACGCCATGTGCAGGTCAAGCGAGACCTCTGGCTCATACCCGGTGCCTGTGGGTTTGCCAGTGTAGTAGTTGATATAGTCCACTATAGGACCATGGCCAAGTGGGATACCGACGTTGGTGTTGTTGTAGAACAAATCAAGGTCATCTAGCTTAAGGAAAGAATTATTGCCCTCATAGATGCCGATCATGTTGTTGGGGTTGGGGTTGGAAGGCGCGTCAGGAATGCCGTACATGGCCTTGATGCAAGAGGGTGTGACCCGGTCAGGGAAGGGAGGATCAGCAGCAGCGGATCGTGACTGAAACACATCACTCTTCTCGCTGGGCTTAAGATACGCAGGGCGGGCAGTAGAAGGCAGAGCTGCAGGAGCCTCATCGCCCTTCATCTGCAGCATGGAAGTGCCAGGCACAATCAGATCCACGTGTTCAGCCATGTTGGCAGGCAAGTGATACTAATCGACACCCACGTACTGGCGAGCAGATTGTGTGTCTTCGTAAGCATGATATTTTGTATGTAGCAGCGACTCGAGTGTGCCAACTTCGGCGGTGAAATGGACTCAGGCCTTGGATTTAGGCACAGCGATAGAGTTTTCGGAAATGCCAGACTTTACAAGCCGATTTGTGACGGCCTCTTATAGACTCCTGGCTTGGGGCGAATATGTCGACAACTTGGTAGGCCGTGTGTGGTTGCCATAGTCGGGCGAGTCGGGGTACGATACCTTCATGAGAAGCTCCATGCCTCGTTCCAGGTTGCGTTGCTTGAGGGCAATGCGCACCGGCACCCGTCTATCAGAAGTTAGGTTGGCCCACTTCGCAATGTGCGGCTGCACATTGCGAATCTCATGCTGGACATGACCGGCTGGGACGCCAAGAGCTGCCACTACAAGGCCGCGAGGAACACGGCAGCAATCTTCATTGACGTAGAGAGGAGCGAAGTCGCGCTGTACAATGGTAGAAGAAAGCTTATGGAAGAAGAGAAAGTCGTTGGTCAAAGCCGAAAACGAGAATAAGAGACCAAGGAGATGTTAAGTGCTGAAGAGGGGTTCATGGCGGCAGCACTGAGTTAAGTTGTTCATCCCCCCTTTGATCCAGCGTCGTATTTGACACTACGCTGTGATTATGCAGAAGCCTATACTGAGATTCCTAAATGGGGACGTCTCGATGTCATCAGTCCTCTGGCACTCAATGTAGTCGTAGAAGTTATACAATGCCGCCTCCATGGAAATAATTCATTTCAAAAATGCTCAAATATAATTATATAACAGACAAAGCACTGTACCATTTACCAGTTAGCTGTCTTGAGAATTAAACTGGGAAACACCAGGGTGGCACCTTTATGCAGTCGCAGCATTACACTCAGTTGATGGACCTTCCTTTCTAAGTCTAGATTGTTAGAGAAATTCATCTGATGAACGGCAACGCTGCTGAACTCGCTCGAAGATTAGTGGCTTCTTAGGCGGCCACATGCCTAATACGGTTAGAAATGCGGGCATCGTTTTGCGGGGAGAAGTTGCCCGAAGCCCGCGTGGTCGATTCCCCGAGAAACTCGGTGGCGGTAAACCCAGCTGGGAGCGCTGGAAATAGCATCAAAGAAGCCTTGCTTGGGTTCTTTGAGCGTTGTATGGGCGGACCTGTAGAAAGCATATCCTGCCATTATAGCAAGTTGACAACAAGCGGTTCGGCGCGCAAGCAATGCTCCGTAATAGTTGTATATAACTTAGTCGGACCTGTAGACCACACTATGTATAGTGTTTAAACATATAATATATTGCGATGCAATGCGATACTTAACTTTGAACAGAAAAAAAGTATATTAATTCGCAATATACTGGAATCTTTAGGGTATTCTAGCCACTTTGATACATGTTTAAATACTAAAAGTACGTTTGTGCAAAATAAGTGGAATGATGGTCAATTCCCCGACAACAAGACATAAGTTAGTTACTTCATGCATGTATTATTAATAAATCTTATGAAATATTAAATTAAGATTCAAAAAAAGAGAGGAACTAGCAAAGTACTATTTTAGAGTGGGCACTTTTATAGGATTAAAGATCATAGCATTAACGAGGATTTAGTGCGGGAGACAGCGGACCTTTGCAGCGGCGGAAAGCTTAAATTAGACCGATCGATGAAAGATCGATGATGTCAAGATGTTCCAATGCGGTGATGGAGTGACGCTGGCCTTTTTGCCACTGGTGCAGCCAAACGAAATAACGGCTGATTGCACGTGTCGGAGGAAACAATCCGGAATCTTTTTTTTATTTGCCTGCCAACTGCCGCCAGCTGGTGCCAGGTGCGCGGCCACTGCGATGGAATCTGGCGCTTTCCAAGGCACAGTGCCTGTTGCTGTTTCCAAGGTACACCTTGGTCTCAGAGTCCCCTACCACATCTCCATGACGTCAACCATGAGCTCCCTCGCCACTCCTTAAAACAATTTGTACCCAACCTCTCTGACTTTGAGATTTATTCTCCTAAACACATTCGATTCGGTCAAACTCTCTGCAATCGACCAAAAGTAAAAACGTGAACAAAGATGGTGCACGTCAAAATCCTATTCACGGCGCTCCTCGCCACATCTGTAGCTGCTGACGGGTGGCTGCCAGGCACTAGAGCTGGTGAGCTTTTAGGTTCTGTTACAATGCATGCCGCGGCACAACTCTAACATTCTCTAGTGTACAACAAGTGGCACGAGACGGAGCTGGAGCGCTGGCTCAGCGATAACGGTATCCCGTACCCCAAGGCTGCTACCCGCAAAGACCTCCAGGACCTCGTTGACACAAACTGGAACGACTATGTTGTCCAGCCCTACAACAAGTGGACTCCGGACCAACTAACTGAGTTCCTCAAAAGCCAGGGACAGGCCATTAAGGAAAACTCGGAGAACACTCTCGATTACCTCGTCAACCAGGCCAAGATTAACTGGTATGACACCAGCGACTATGTGGGCAAACAGTCTGGGAACATGCGTGAATGGGTATGGGATACCTGGTCTGACAACCAGCTTGTTGCCTTTGCTGAAAAGCATGGCATTGACGGTAAGCATCCAATAAGATCCCCGCTGAAAGACAATTTGCTAACGGCTACCAGTTCCCGGTGTAAAGAAGCGAGATACACTTATTCACAAGGCTCAGGCTGCGTATGATGCGGCTGCCAAGCAAGCTGGTCAAACCGCCGGCTACGCAGGCGATTGGTTGTACGAATCTTGGACTGATGCCGATCTCAAGGCCTGGCTAGACGCTCGTGGCATCCCTGTTCCTCAAATCACCAAACGCAACGAGCTTGTCGCCCAAGTCCGTCGCAACGCCTACATCGCCCATCTCAAGGCCCGTCACGAGCTGGCTCGTGTTAGCGCCAAGTCTCGCAAGGCATTTGCCGAGCTCAAGGACAGCACCATTGATGCATGGGACTCATCTAAGCTCCAAGAGTTTTGTGATGCCAATGGCATCCAAGTACCCCATGGCAGTAAGGTCGGTGATATTCGTGCCCTCATTCGCCAGCGAAGCGCTCAGGTTATGGGAACCGATGTCAAGGGCGAGGCTTCTAAAGCCTACGAAGATGGTGCTTCGGCCGTCAGTGAAAAGTTTGAAGAGGCAACGGATGCTGCCTCCGAAGCTGCCCGTGAAGCCTTTTCTGCCGCTACCAACACGTGGTCCGAGAGCCGCCTCAAGAGCTACCTCGACGCCCGTGGTGTACCAGTCCCCCATGCCAGCAAGCCCGATGAACTTCGTGCCCTTGTCCGTAAGCATGCTCACAAGGCCGCTTCTGGATGGAGCGCGTGGACCTTTGATGATCTCGGGCGTGACGAGCTCAAGGCTTATCTCTCCAAGCATGGCGATAAGGCTGCCAAGGCTCTCGCCGAAAAGAAGGATGCCTCCATGAAGGAGCTTTCCAAGGCTGCCCACTCTGCCTACAGCTCCGCCTCTACTCATGGTGGCGAGAGTTACGCTTCGGCCACCAGTTACCTTTCCAGCAAAGCCACTGAGGCTAGCAGCAGCGCCTTTTCTACCTGGTCTGAGTCCGACCTCAAGGCCTACCTCGACAGTTATGGCGTCAAGGTCCCTCAAGGCTCCACTGTTGACGAGATCCGAGCGCTTGCCCGCCGCCAAGCTACTTATTTCCGTTATGGCACGTCTTCCCCTAGTGAGACTCTTCTTGCCAAACTCGCAGAGGGTTGGGGTTGGATCACGGAGCAGCTTAGCAACGGCTTCGACACCGCCAAACAGCACGGCAAGGAAGCTGAAGAAGCAGCGCGCGAGAAGCTTAATGATGAGCTCTAAATTACACAGAAAAAAGAAATTATGACTGCGAAGCAATTTGATTATTAAAGTATTATAATAGTGTTTAAAAATAAATGGCTGCCAACGTTCCTTGCCTGCTTGAGTGTGGATTGTAATACACTGATACAACATGTGGCATGTTATTTTACAAAAGGCCTCGCAAGGCGCTTCGCAGGCAACCGGGTGATGTGCACGGACGACACGAACACTGTGTGAATTTCCTACCAGTGGTTTGTGAGCTTGGCCGCAATACCCGAGGCAAGGTGCTCCTCCATAGAACGGAGACGGTATATCTTATATGGCGAGGCTCCCATATGAAGGAATCGTGCCACTGCATGCAGAAGCCACGGGCCCGGGCCCGAAAGTCACTTGATGCGCCGCTAACAGCCACCGGCATCCTTGACGAATCAGCTACCAAAACGGGTTATGGATGGTGCATGTACTTATAGCCGATTAATTTGCCATAAAGAATAAATAGCTTCCTCGTTGGAATCACATGCAATGCGACGAATCTACCATCTTCGACGCAAGTCTATGACTTATACATCAGAATGTTGGCTCCAGAGAGTGAACCCAAGTATAAGCGGCCCGTCATATACAAGACGATCCAAGAGCCCGTCATTCTGCGTGAACTTCTAGCAAATGACGTTTTTCTCCTTGGCGGGCAGTTTGCCATCCTCTGCCAATGGGCGCATCCTGGGTTAGCCAAAGGCAGCCTGTCGCGCTCCAACTTTGCCAGCCGAATACCAGGCCGTCTACGAAATACAGCTCGTTTCGTGAACGCCGCGTTATACGGTACTCAGGAAGAAAAAGAAGCCATCTTCTCCGTGATTCACAGATACCATGCCTCTGTTCATGGTCCTGGCTATGATGCCAACGACCCCGAGCTGCACAAATGGACGGCTGCTACCTTGTTCGTGTCCATGGTTCTTGTTTATGAAATCATAATGGGCGAGATGCCAATCGATGTCATGACAGACATGTTCAAAGAGTCTGCCATTTGGGGCACATCCCTTCGCATGGCACCAGAAATGTGGCCAGACACTCTCGACGAGTTCTGGGAGTACTGGAACTACAACATTGCCACGCTTGAAATCACAGATGAAGCGCGCCAGCTCTGTCAGGCGCTCCTGTACCCTTCCAACCTGCCATTACACTTTCATGCCATGCTGCCCATATCGAGGCTCATCACTAGCAACATCTTGCCCGCCCGTCTTGCCAAGGAATATAGCCTCGAGCCGTCACCTTCCAGCAAGGCCTTGTTTCAGGTGGTAACGTACGGTTTATCGACTGGGTTTTACTGGCTACCAGAGTCTGTGCGACAATTCAGACACAGATACTATTTGGAAGATCTCAAGAAGGCTGCGGCTAAGATTCGCGACACTGGCCATTGGGGTCAAGCTTCAGAAGGTAATGCAGGGGAGCCTAAACTACATAGGCTATAGGATGTACATTCTTTTCACATTATAAATTGGAAGCGACTACAATGTTTGGAAATTGAAATAGCCGTATAAATATATTAGTATGAAGATACCACGAAGCTCTTTGAATATAGCCTAGTCCAAGACTTCTTGTCAGCGCGTCTAGCTACAATCGCACTGAACCGACCTGATACGCTATACGCAACGGGCTACATCCAAAAACGCTTTACGAATCGTAAACGGGTCTGTCTATCTATTTGTTAAAATTTAAAATGTGTGGGAAATATTTCATTGGGTTTGGCTATTTTTCGGAGTGTAGATCTAAGCAAATGTTCCAGCCGCTCAAGGTTGTTCCGGCGTTCCGGCTGACAAGACTCAAGCTATGGGCTGCAACCTGGTTGCTAGAACTGTAAAACTAGGCACTATACAGACTATACAAAATAAACAAAATCAAACTAAATAACTCGATCAATTATGCAAATGATAAATCGAAACTCGTCAATTGCTCCCTCGGACTCCCTCCCCTGCTCTCTGCCAAGATCAAGCATAGCTTGCTGAAGGCGGCTCTTCATTTTGTCGCACTCGGCCGGATCCGACAGTTGACGATTCACACTTTCAGTGTGGAAATGCGAAGGACCATCCTTAAGAAAATTCCATATAAGGTCAACCGTCTCTGGTGTAGCCTTTCTGGAACGCCTGTCGTACACCTTATCAGTAACGAATAGCTTGTCAATAGCCAGCGCCGGCGCGGATGCGTTCGGATCGATCCCGCTTTGGTGATGGAGTAATTCATTCGCAACCTCGACTGCACCCCTAATGATTACTTCTGAATTCCCTTTGTTCATCCAGTCATTGGATAATTCGCTCCATTTTTCACCACCAGGAGCGCCCTCGGTCCAGTAGCGAGTGACGGCGTCGCTCATATCTCGTTTACCAAAAATCGAAGCCATGACTTTACCATTAGAAAATGGCTGACTGCCAGGACCTGGAATGTCCAACAGCAGTTTACCGCCTGGTTTTAAATAGGAGTTCCAATCGGCTATCGCTTGTGGAATAGATTCGAAATTGAGTAGAACAAGGGCCGAACAGATGCAAAGAAGGTCGAAAGAACCCTTTTCCAACTGTGGTACCTGTTCACCCAGTTTGGTGACATCCCCATTATAAAATTCCATAGTCGGTGGCTGCTTTCCCTGCTGTTCGTATTCCGTAAGAGTTGTAATCTTACTGCGCGCCTGGTCAATGAGAGCTGGAGTGATGTCAACACCAACCACTAGACCAGGTTCGTCGGAGGCAGTAATACTGCCGTCGGACATCATCTTAGCAACAAATTGATATGTAACAAGACCTGTGCCGCAGCAGAGGTCGAGAACGCGAGAGGATGCATGGAGAAAGGAAGTCCCGTCTGGGTTTGTAAGGAAACCATTGGCAAAGTCGAATGCGAGGTCCTTGTGAAACTGGCTTTCATCATAAGTCGGCGCGCGTTTCGTATACAAATGCTGGAAAGAATCCATCAACTCCTTATAGTTCTCGCCCTCGTCAAGGCGATCCATCGATGCTGACATTTTGAATATTTTGATTTGATATGTATCTATTTACATCCATTGGGGTCTAGTCGGGTACACGGGAATTGGGCCTTGATTTATACGAGAACTGTTTACTTCCCCGCACAACCCACCTATTTTGCCGAAACGATCCAGAGTTGGATATGTGGACGCCTCATTTAACGACCCGTGATAACTTACATAAAGTACTGCTCTGTTCTATGCGACCGACATACAACCAGTCAAACCCTCGTACTGTCCCCGTCTAATGAAGAGTATCCTTTATTTGTATAACTAGATTAAGTCAACGATGTTTCGTTATACCGAACTATTGAGTACTATATTTTAAATATAAATAGCTAGTATACTGCCATACTTGACCATAGAGCCTAAGGTAGTATTTTATGTAGCTTTTAATCTGTAGTGTAAAGCTATTCTTTGTTAACAGATATATATCTTTTAAGTGTAATCTATTAATGAGAGTCAAGTATGATTGCCCAAATAGAAAAATAATATTTCTTCTCTTGCCAAGTTAATTATCTTCTATTGAAATTTCTACTATTTTTAGGTTATGGCTTCTTGAACCCTGCCGACTTGCTCACCATGGTCCTGCCACACGATGCGGCTCGTGTCTCCCGGAGACCAGTACCCCCGTCCACCTCTGTCGAAGATGTCCTTGCGCTCTGTAAAGGAATGTGCAATGACATCTTCCTGTTCTCTAGTCATGCTTTCGTTGGGTCTGGAATTGCCAAGTCCAGCGAGACGAGATATATCTTTCTCGGACATGTTAGAAAAGTCCCGTAGTACATAACCGTACCAGCGCAACCCTCGCTCTGCTTCGCTATAACCAGATTCATGCATGCAAGAATTCCTATGAGCTTCTTTCCAGATCTGAAAAGGAAACCTGTCATAGCCATCAACAGCAGGACTGGTGCGCACTCTAGAATCGAGGAAGTATCGTTGTCGGTCGAGGTTCTTTTCAAAATTTTCGAACGTCCACCGGTTTAGGCGCGTGAGAGGAGCCGGTGTAATACTGATTTCAACCGTAGTTACTACGCTCGCCAAAAGTCTGGGAAGCATGCGATTTGTATATGGGAAGTTCTTTGACGAGAGAATCTCACACTGCTCGTCGTACCCCGTCGCAGTGACAACCTGATGAAGGAAACCAAGCCCGTAAGAGAGCTTTAAAGCATACGTTAGCCGGCGTTAATGAACGAGTAGTGGCATTCTCATACATACTATACCTTGCTTCTACCCATTTGCTTGCCCGTTCGTTTGCCACTCAACCCCATGTTCTCCCCATACAACATCGTGCTTAGCTACTTCATTAAAAGCTAGAGGGCTGTGATCAGTACTTTTCAATCAAGTTTCAAGTTATATTTCTTACACTCTGACAAGATGCGTTCGATGAAGTCGTAGTTACACCCCAGCTGCTCATTGACCCAAGGTGGACAGTAGCCTAGCAAATGGAATCTAGCGACTAACTTCATCTGGTCACGTCGCCGCGAGGGAGGATCGATCCCGCGTCCATCGCCGTAAAATAGACCACAATATATTTCAAAGCGATAGAGGGCTCTGCATATTAAGAATCTCTATGTGGGTGATATCGGCGGTGATATTTTCTCCTGGTACGCTGGCAAAAATGGGGCATCCTCTGAAGCGTTCAGCATCATATCTCCAATACGGTCCGCAAAATAGCCAATGATATTGCTCATCTTACTAATAGCAAGAGCTTTCGCCATAGTAAGATGTCCAAATTCCAACGAGTATGTCTCTAGTGGATGTGAAGGCGCAGCTTTTCTGTGAAGGTCCGTTAACAGGTCGACTGCGCGAACTAATTCGAAGGGGGCGCGTCTTGATTCATCGGCGGTCAGAGCAAATGCAAAAAGCTCAGTTGTGACTTCATTGGCGACGACTGCCTCCAAGACTAGACGATTATGCTCCTGAAATGCAGAGCGTAGTGCCGAGTGCGTGGAAACAGCAGCGGCGAGGCAGCAGCATCTGGGAGAAACTGAAGGATATCAGCGAGTAGGTGCTTCGGTAGCCCGACCAGCGATAGCCCTCTCATTGTATATGCCGACGATTTTATTGGTGAATACCGCAGAGAAGAGAATGTGCGATATTTTAAAAGACGTCGAGCCTTTCAAGTTTCGAATATGGGTGGAGTGAGTCACAGTTAGTCCACTGTGTGCTTGCCTACCTGCAAAAACGATGGCAGGGATGCGACACGGCGATTATAGGGAACTAGAAGCAAGTTTGCTCCATAGCTGTACGGGTTCGGCTCGTCGGTATGGTCGAGATTACGACCTGCCAGGGGACTACAGCTTGAGTGAGCGTAAGATAAACGTAGGCCGTCTTGCACTGAATAATGAAATAGTGACGAATCATAAATTGGTCGCGGACTAGAAGATTAGGCATCTGGTAGGTGGAGACAATCGCAGAGACTAAGGGCCTTCTCTCAATTGCAAATTTACAGTCACATCACAGTAAAAGTTCAAGTATTGGCCATTAAAATATCTTGATTTTAGTGAGGCTCGTGGGTGAGGAGTTGTTAACCGGGATTATGGGGCGTATTTCGGAAAGGAGAAGTAGCGAAACAGGTGATGACTTAGCGCCGAGTTATGCTCCTAGAAGCCCCTTAAATCTCGAGAGGATGCACAGAATTGGGAGGACACTTGCGGCTAACTGAGTTGGGAGATAAGCGGCTTATAGTCTACATTTCTTTATTAGCTTCCTATTATTCAGAAAGGACATAATAAAGGATAACAAAAGCAATATGTCAAGTGCCTATAAGATATATGTACTCTACTAAACGGAAAAGAAGGAGGGCTCGAGCTTATTTACGAATAACCAACACCACATAGGCCAACAGCCTGTATCCCGCAATTATACCAATCATAATTCCAATCCAGGTGGCCTCCTGTCCCGTAGAAATACTAAACTGCTTTAGTACATCCTTGCCCGCAATCAGACCACGATCATTGATATCACTCGGGTACTGGCACTGGTACTTGCCGTTGGGCAAAGTTGCACACGAATACTCGCGTTGCTCAAACTCATTGACCATCATACCCTGAAAGACATATGCCTGGTAGTCAATGTAATGGAAGACATACTTCCAAAACACGTTGAGAATACCCATAGGGACCAAAAATCCATCTACACACATCCAAAGGCCATTAGCAAAGGCTGTAACGGCCAACGCGACAACAAAGATGTTGAATATGGATGACACAAAGACAACCAAGGACTCGGCAGCCACAAGATCCAAAAACAACCATAGCACCCACTTAAAAAAAGCTGAGGCTTCTGGACGGAAATTGGAGAGCCAATATTCGACAACGGAGAAGAGAAGCGCAATCAAGAAGAGAAATGGCAATCCAATGATAAAGTTCGACGTCATGAATGACAACGGCCCAACGAGGCCATTAGCGCGCTCCTGCTTGAATGTGTGCAGATCTTCAAGGAATGCGGGCACATACGCAACAGCCATGAAAGACATGAACGCTCCACCAAAGAAGATGGCGTTGGTATAAGGTTGGATGTAGCTCTGTTCCGTCTTGAGCCGCAAGAACACGGTGCCCATTAGAATTGCTAAACCGAGGTACATAGCAATGCGGATGCCATATGCCATAATGTCTCGATACGACTTAACCCAAGACCGACGCAGCAGAACTGAGAGGATTGTCCAGGAGCTCGGGCGGCCATCTTTCTGTTCCAGGTGTCTGTCTTTGTCCTCAACATCGATACCCTCAAATTGCTGCGAAAGTTCCACTTGATTGGAAGAGGTAGCCCAAGCTGAGCAAATATCTTCAGTGCGCTTAAAAATGCTGCCATCTTTATCCAGGTCTGTGTTGATGAGATCCAAGAAGAACTCGGCCGAATTGGTCTCGGGAGGTATAGCATAGCCAATGTTCGAAAAGTAGGACACAGCGCTAGAGATTGGGCCGAAATAGCAGGTACGACCGCCTGAGAGAAGGCACAGTTTGTCAAATTGCTGAAAAGTCGAGGAGGATGGCTGGTGGATGGAAGCAATAATAACGAGCTAGAGACAAATTAGATACTATCGGTAATGCGGCGTAGCAGGTTGGGCCTCTTTTTATCGACTTACATTATGCTCCCGACCAATCTTTTTAATGTAATTACAGACCTCAAGTGACAGGGCGCTGTCGAGGCCACTAGTTGGTTCGTCGAGAAATAGAATCTTGGGGTTCGTTACAAGATGGCTCGCAACGCCAAGACGCTTCTTCTGGCCGCCGCTCAGGCCCTTTTTGATGGGTGTACCGACAATGGTATCTGCTTGGCTGTGCAAGCCAAAACTAGAAATGAGGTCGTCCACACGCTGCTTGATCTCCTTTTTCGAAATATGACTATGTGTTGTTAGCTCGCACTCGAGCTGCAAACATGTACGTCCTGGCGGGTAAGCTTACCTTGGAAGAGACATTTGGGCGGCAAACATGACGGTTTCACGGACGGTCAAGCTACCAATAAGGGCATCCTCCTGCTCAACATAGCTGGAGTAGGCGCGGATCGACTGTAAGGTTGCAGGCTGGTTGCTGACGCGAATGTCTCCCGTAGTGGTAGCGCCGGCAGCCGCAACGCGATGCGCAAGGGCGTTGAGTAGTGTGGTTTTACCGGAGCCGCTGGGGCCCATGATGGCCAACATCTCGCCAGCCTTGACTATACCATTGGAACCTTGCAAGATGGCTAGCGGGTTGCCGGACTTGCGGTCCTTGACCTTTACCTGTACATTATGCCAGCTAAAGGATTTGACGGAGAGGTTGGTGAGGCTGGCGCTCTGGACGTGCGCCATCTCCAGGTCTGGGTTGGAGGCTGCCATGTGGATGCTGGTTGTACCTCGTAGAGTTATACTAAGCAAGATTTGTTTAGAGGGGATTCAATTATATCTTGGACGTTTGAAAGGAACCTGTACTAGGAGGGTTTGATACTTTTATAGTATGCCCCCATCTTCTACACTCAAACGGTAACACTGTAAAGTCTTTGGCGCAGGGCTATTTCCAAGTCCCCGTCTTAATTGCCCGTATTTTGATCAACTACCTAACTGGCCGGATTGTCGCTGGCGGCTCTTGTGGCGGGCCAGGATTGTCGGACCATCGGCACCGATATTGCCTTGCAGCTGTAACTAGTGAGAAAGTATCGTTCGCCTTTGCGTCGCCGACTCCGATTTCCCGATCTAGTCCCCGAATTTAGTCCCCGGGTCCAATCTCCGGCGCTAATCGGTCGCTGGTACTCAAATTCTCAGTGGAATATAATTACGCCTGTATATTCGACTAGCTTGTGGCAAGTATTCCTCTTGATTTCTTCTATAAATCTTCTTCCTGCGTCAACAGCTATAGCCACCTGCTATTTCCATCCACAGGCTCTCCTTAAAGTCGCAGACCTACGGACAAATATGTGCAAAAAGACAGTCTGTGTGAGTTGTAGTACACTCTCTTCTCCCCTTTCACCGTGTTCTTCTCTAACTTGGTGCAGAGAAGGCGAGCTGGTGGGGTTGTGGTAACCATGTTGAGTCTATTATGGATGCAATTCCTGCTGACGAGCAATGTATATGTGAACCTCAAATTGAGCGTCAAGGCTCTAAGTACCCGCCAAAAGGCCCACAGCCACAGTGTGTTTGCAGCTAAAGCAATAAGGGACTATGATTTCCTGTCCAAGATATCGCCACTTTGAAAGAAGAACAAACCGTGATGACTATGCTATTGGAGCTCCCTAGAATACACAAACCGTGGACAGCGTCGCCGATTAGCGATGCCCGACATCGCCGAGTCCCACTTACCAGCACCGGCGACTACAAGACCAGCGGGGACTAAATTACCTAGTTAGGACAGCGAGTCGGCGAGTCGGAGTCCACGACGCCACGAATAGTCAGGTGGCGTATTTTCACTGTGCATACTATATGTTCACACTGTATCCTAGACCATGCTATATCTCTCAGTACAATTAACTGCAATCCAAAACAAACGTAATGATCCAGTGCTGCCTATTAATTAACTATGGAACAATCTTCGGCCAAAGGCACTGTAGCCGCTGCGAAATCCAAGGCTTGCCTTGCATGTGTATGTTGTCAGACACATCCGTCGTATCCTATCACAGATTTGCTAACATGCGCCTCACTCACAAGCGGAACAAGCACATCAAATGCAATGGCTTAGATCCCTGCTCTTACTGCATAGAGAGACAGCTTGACTGCGTATACGTTGTGTCGCGTCGTGGGCACTACCCGCGCCGGCAAGGCCACTATCTACGGGATGGTACAAGGAAAGCTTACACGCCCGCCGACAGCTCATCTCACTCTGCAACCACCGCGGATAGCATGATAGCGTCTTCGTCACCGAGCTCCTCGGATAGCCCTTCGAATGCTTTCAATGGTCTTCAGGGAAATGAGGCGTCTATCACTACCACAAAGTTGCCTCTCGGACCGCCAGCCGCTATCAAGCCGTACGAATGTGCTTCTTCGTGTCCCATAAACAAGCTAGTTGACGGCGCCTTGGAAGCGTATTACTATTATTGCTTTCCTGCACATCCATTTGTTCTACCCCGAGCTTATGTGGCGCATGTTGCTGCAATGCCTTCCGGGGATGCCCTCTTGGCTGCTATGCGATGGACTGGCTCGCTATTCATCAAAATGAGCCCAGCCGCGCGTGAAAGCCTCTTCACTACGGCATACGATAGAGTTAGGGATGCCTCATTGCCCAGAAACGGCTATCTGGCCCAGGCTATGCTAGTTCTGGTAATTGGCATGGACGGCGTTTGCAAACGAGATGCGGCCGCAGAGCTGCTCCAGAAGCTTGAAGACATGGCCTTAGAAATCGGTCTCCATCGCCGTGAGTTTGCGGCTCGCCATGGTAACGAACTTGCTGTTGTCGAGGAGAGTTGGCGAAGAACCTGGTGGGAGCTTTACACAGTTGACGCCATGGTGGCTGGTGTTCATCGAAAGACTACTTTTCCATTATATGCTGTAGATTCTGGAGTAGCGCTTCCTTGTGAGGAAGACGAATACCTTACAGGAGTACGTTGATGTTAGTCTCAAACCGCAGCAGAAGAAATGCTAATCTCCATCGTAGAATATCCCAGCGCCATGCTTTCTCCATGAGCTGGAGGACGAAGCGTTTTCCACAGACCAGCGCCAATTTTCATCGTTTGCATATCGTATTCTCTGTGCAAATATTATGGGTCAACTTATTCAGCAACAACCTATATCAAAGCACGACCCAGATACAGTACGTCGACTGGAGGCGGCTCTGACGAACTGGCAACTGCATTTGCCCGAATCCAAGCACAATGCGATCCAGCGTAACGGAAAATCTGACGAAATGATCTTCCAGGCGCTCATGATGCATCGTGCCATGTCCGTTATACTACACCAGCCTTTGTCGCAGTTGGACACCAGTGTTACAGAGACTATCAATTCTTGCGCATCACCAGAGTACCTTCAAACACAAGCTAGCAATATCCCGTATGACGCACACGCAGCGCACGCTATTCACGCCGCGTCAGAAATTAGTAACCTAGTTATGCACAGCTCTACGATGCTCCGTCATAGTCACTTCTTTGCCTGTGTTGTGACGCTGTCCTCCATCGTCCACTTCAGCAACTGGGCCATCACGACTAGCTTTTTCGAAGAATCTTCAAACACCGACAGCAAACAAAACAGCGCTGATATCCGTCAGTACATTAAGCTTAATATTGGTGCCCTTCGTGCGCTGGCTCAAGTATGGCCCGCTGCAAGCGGTGCTTGTCTCCAAATCCAGTCTGTAGCTCAAGAGCTTCACAACATGCGAAAAAAGGTTTTGCCTAGCATGCAAATACTAGATGAGACAATGGATTTAAACTTTACACAAGCTTTAGCCCAGGATGATACGCTTTGGCAGATGTGGAATAGCCTTGGCTAAATAAGCGTAGTGCGTCATGATGAGGCCACAGAAACTAGTAGAATTGTTATATGAGAAACGCGTTTTATATTTCTAAGATAGAAGATTTGCTGTTATAGGTTGGGTGCCTGATCCTTTGCGTTATCAACTGAAAAAGGCCATAAGATGTATTCAATCTTGTTTCCTTCTCGCAAGGTTAACGCTATCTTAAGACATCCTATACCCACCAATTAGCTTCTAGATACCTTTGATGTATAGTCGAATAATGAACCAGTCATACCTTATGGTTTTCTTTATTGGTCCCAGCAGCGGTACGAGGCAATCGCCTTCCAGGGTTTAGCGTCGCAGCGGCCGTCACTTACACTGCAGCGGTAGGTAGTGCCCCAGGGAATACCACAGCTTGTAGTGTAGAACTCGCAGTAGTCCCGTCCAGGAGGTGGGATTACAATACCGCAGAGGTTATCCTCTTTGGCACCGGACACATTAGTGCAGCCGTCGCTGTTGGTCTTTTCAACACCACCATTGCAAATTTCCCAGTTCACCTGGGTAGCCTGGGCGGCGGACAAAAAGGCAAGGATAATGGGGGCGTTGAACTTCATAGTGGAGTAAGTACTGTAGTTGAGAGTGTGTATGTTTGTGTAATGCTTTGGATGTTAATGCTTTTGATTTCTAGTATGTCCAAGCGACGGCTGCGCGGTTACTTTATACCCGTGAAGCTGGACATCAGTGGTGTGTTGATTTACATCCAGTCGCTTCCCTGTCACCAGCTGAGTCTCGCACTCCAATCTATTTTCAGAAGATCATGGAGCCTGTATACTCAACCAAGTGTATGTCTGACGACTTCGCCGCCTTTACTCTAAGGCTGTGGGCCTAAGAAATGGGAGCTGAGACCCTTGATCGGCCAGCGATGACCCGGGCTGTGAAGAGTCTTGACGATCATTACTTGATTGAGAATTATTACAAAGCTTAATAGGGCTAGGCTATGCTCGCATTCAATACGGAGCAACGTTTACCTCTTGGCTCCAAGGCTGATAGATAGCGCCAAGCATCCGCGCAAGGCGATTTTAGTCAAGGTTCTAGTGCCGACGACTTTCATCAATGTTGTGTCGTTGTTCGTGATCCTTACCTCAGCGGCCTACGGGAACAATTGTGCGCTTACAATCGCTACCGGTATTTACACAAACGTAACGAGCTCCTATCTGAAATGATTTTAAATAGAGTCCTTTTTCTCTTTTTCTCCGCTTTTAACAATTCGCAATTGACTTCATACTGCATTCTGTGACTATTTCGTAGATTTGCACTTAAACGCCATAGTAGAGATATAACGGGGCATGGCTGATGCCTACCGCCATGGCTGTAGATCTGCTAAGTTACTGTATCTGGGGTACAGCATGTATCCTCAGCCGTAAATCCACTTCTAGGCGTAATTCTAACCCGTCTTACGGAACCTGCCTTGCGCAAGCTACAGAGCAGACTGTTATTTTCTCTAGCAGACCTACCTAAAATTTCGTTTAATAATATTATACACGTGGTACTCGGCCGTATTTCGCTTGTCTTATTCACGGGACCGCCGACATAGCCTTGGTCCAGCCCATGTCAGCGTATGATTGAGCCACCTTGGTTCAGCCTCAAAATATTGGGCTCCAGGCACGGTTTCATCTTTACCGAATGCCTAAGCGCTCAGCTCTGCATCGCTTGCATCCACAAAAGGGCTGACTTTGAACCAAAACAGTTAGACTATCGTAGTGCGGCTGAGGCACCTCCCCTCCACTTTAGGCAATGGGAGGCGCATTAGCGACGACGCGCATCATCGGCACAACGTTGAACATGATCCGCCCATAATTTGCAGTAAATTTCGTGAGAACATGGTGAGACTTTTCAGCCTGGACGTAAGATGGGAAGCATTGCGCACCGAGAAATTGAGTCGAGCAACAAGATATAAACCGCTGCAGCCCCCGACATCATCATCCTGACCACTCTCATCATCCAATCCTCATATCTTGCAATGCAACTCACACTTCTCTCCCTCTCTTTTGCAACTTTGCTCGGCTCGGTCAGCGCCAACTCCTACCCAATCAATGGAGATGGTGTCAACTGCCGCTCTGGACCTGGTACCGGCTATGCCGTCCAGAGATCCTACAACAAGGGCAACATGGTAACTCTCACCTGCCAGACAAATGGTGAGAGTGTCAATGGTGATAGTCTCTGGGACAAGACTACCGATGGCTGCTACGTAGCCGACTGGTATGTCCAGACTAACACCGGCAACATGGTTGTTGGCAGCTGCAATGGCGGCGGTGGCGGTGCTACTTACCCCATCAATGACAACGGCGTCAACTGCCGATCCGGCCCTGGAACTGGCTACGCCGTTCAGCGGTCTTACAACAAGGGTAACATGGTGACCCTCACCTGCCAGACGAACGGAGAGAGCATCAATGGTGATAGCCTCTGGGACAAGACCACTGACGGCTGCTATGTAGCTGATTGGTACGTCCAGACTAACACGGGTAACATGGTTGTTGGCGCCTGTGATGGTGGTGGTGGTGGTGGTGGCGGCGGCGCCGTTGGAAGCCCGATCAAGCGCAGCGATGTCATTGCCCGCGCCCGCTTCTGGACCAACAAACACATTCCTTACTCTCAAACCGCTACATCGCCCGATCCTCAGGGCCTGCGCTACCGAACAGACTGTTCTGGCTTTGTGTGCATGGCTCTCCACGCCTCCGCCCCAGGCCTCAACACCGTCTCGCTGCCGTCCATCTCTCATCGCATCAACTGGGCCGATCTCCAGCCAGGTGATCTTGTCGGTACCCTTGGTCCTGGCACTGGCGGCGATGCTGGCCATGTCACCCTATTCCTTGAGTGGGTTGATGGCTCTCACAACTCATACCGATCGCTTGAGTGCAATGGCTCCGATGGCTGCGTTCAGATGGTTGAACGCGTTGGTTGGACTGACGGCCCATTTACCGCTCAGCCTTACCGCTACAACAACATTCGGGACTAAACAAGCGAAGTTTTATTTTAGTCCGCGTGTAGACAGATGTTTAGAATAATTTTTATATTACCAGCGAAAAATGTATATTTTTGGAAGATAGATAAAGTTCATTTATTACATTTGCGTTCTTTCCTGTTGTAAGCTGTGTGATGATGGAACAGAGCCTTACAATTGATGAACAAAACCAAAATGACCAGCCTCTTTAGTAACAATTTATATATAGCTAGAGTTTAAATACAATTGCAATAGACGGCTCTTCCACGGATCCTGCTGCTTGTCAGTATATACAAAGAAAGAGCGACATCATCTTGCTTGACGACTACAGTGAACTGCGGATTTGTTGGGCGTAGTTCCCGTTATTCACGGAAAGCTGTGCCTCCCACAGCATTGCGCCGCCGTAGTTGGGTAGGTTCATGTTCTTGACGCCCTGGATGGCGCTCTCGAATGTAGCAGCATCAACATAGCCCTGATCACCGTCGGCGCCGCTGGCCAATCCTCCAATGAAGAGGGTTGCGTTTCCAATCCCATTGCTCCATTGCTGCACAGCGCTGTTGAATCCAGATTGAGCAATGTTGCAGTCACCATTGTTGTAGAACTGAACCCAGACGTAATCAAGAAGAACGCACACATCAAGCGGCTCTGAGGCATCAGGGTATGGGCATTGCGGTGCTGCTGTCAGATAGTATTTTTTGCTAGTATCCTGAGCAAAGTTGGATCTGAAGCGCTTTGTCATGGCAACATAGCCGTTGGCGTTACCAGACTCGTTATCTATAATATAGTCAGTTTTATATAACACACTCAGGTCAATGGAGTATAGACGCACCAAGATCAACTCCGTCAAGCTTGATATTTCCAAAGGGCCGCAGGGAAGAGAGGCTGGTGCCACCAAGGAACAAATTCCAAATCTGGTCAGCAATTGCTTGACCATCACTGTCACTTTGAAGCGTGACATCAGCATAGTCAACAGCACCGCCCATTGAAAGAATAACTTTCTTGCCATTTTGCTGGCATGACTGGATGGCAGGTACTAGGCTGCTGCCGTCTTGCAGACCAGTGGCTCCAGCCTGCTGTTGTGCGGCTGACGGGCCATTGAGACCGCTAAGGGACAATGTGGGATAGCCTCCAGGGCCGTGGAAATAAGCGAGAAAAGCCAAATTGACAATGTCGTAAGTCGGGTCATCACAGACGGTCTGCAGAGACAAATTGTCGTCCTCAGCACCCCAGTAGATAGCCAGCTTACCACCGCCAGCGCGAGTCTTCAGGCCCGTTCTCGGGAGAGCCTGAGTTAGAGAGCCTACAAGGCCGAGCGCAACCAGTGCCTTCTGAATGAATCCCATTCTTTGCTGCGTCAAAAAATATGCAAGAAAATATAATTAAAAATCTGAGAAGAGAAGCTGGGTAATTCTAGCAAGTTCACCACAATACAGACTGCCAGTCGCTCATATTTATATAATCCGGAAGAATGCTGAGCACTTTCACAGGATATATTAGTTTTCATCCTATAACCCCCGCAATAATACCGACACTAGCAGTGTAAGCACCAATTAGGTAGGTGTTCATGGCTGGATACCACCATGATTTGTCGATCTACACGATGCTGCCAAGCCCGATTGGTGGAACTCGCGGACACTTGGGGTCAGGAGGAGGCATCAATGCCGATGGCTTATTACCTGAAACGGGATTGTTCCTGTTGCGCGTGCCTGTTCTTGGAAATTTTCCCCACGCAGCGCCACGGTCTAGCCGTTTGGAAGCTGCCGTTGGTGCTGGTACGTTACATGGCTGAGAACTGTTAGATGGGCTGCAGTTGGGGCGCATCACCACCACAAACTATGAGATAATATATTGTAGATAGTGCTGGATTTGGTACTGAGTAGTAAAAGTAACGTTTCTCATAATGTATGGCCTCAGTGGACATCGCAACGTGACGAAGTTGATATCGAGAATTAATTGCACTTTGAATTAATGATACTTCAAATACATTTATACACGGTTCCTAGAGCTTGCTGGTTTCATTGCAGCAATGATAATCATTCTACCGTGACGATCACCGCAAACAGGATAAAGAGCGAAGCGGATAGTAATTCTATGAACCTACGAGGCATTCAGCTTGAGTGCGCGGGGTCAAATGAGTCAATTTCGAAATCAGTTTACAAGAGAATACTTGCTAAGCTTCAGTTTCGTGAAATAAGATCACATTGCCGCTCAAAAGTAATAAAATTTTTATTCTCTATGACAAATAAATAAATTTTATTATTTATATTATTACTGTAATTATTCTGTTCACATCGGGTTGCGTGGGTTATACTTTATAATACCCAAATAGTGACTTGAGGGTAGTTACTCCTGGAACGCGTTGCTGCGTTCCGCGCGATTAGGTGCTACCAGTTTAAGTCAAATATGGACGCATAAATCAGAGTATAAAATCATCTCAACTTGAATTAGCAAATATATATAGTCATTCTAGTTATAATAATAGAAGGATGCTCTCCGAGGTCATAATTTGAGAAGATTATGCAGAATCACACAACTTATCCAAAAAAAAATATACACCGACGCCCTGGAATGTTCACCCACATCAACTCCAGTACTTAGATATGAGAATCTTCGCTTCAGCACCCAGTGCTCCAGCTGCACCACCTATAACCGCGCCAGCCGCAGTTCCTACCACGGGCAACACGCTTCCAACAGCAGCACCAACAAGAGCTCCCGCAGCGGCTCCAGCGAGCACTCCTGTTCCGTAGCCTGCCAGCGCCGCGCCAGTCTCTCCTAAGTGCTCCTGTGCAAACTCTGAATGCTCGACTTTATCTGCTACATATCCTCCAGCTAGAGCCCCAGCCGCGGCACCGCCGACTGCAGCGCCTGCAACGACAACTCCAGCCGCTACCGCCGCTCCCGTCGTTCCGGCGGCTGCAGTAATGGCCGTAGCCTTTGCCGCCACAACAGCGACGCCGACACTAGTGACACCTGAACCTAGATCAAGCGCTGCCTGGGTGCGCGTACTCGGCTTTTCTGCCGAGTTTGTCGCGGCTCTAGCCTGTGACGGCATCATGAGAACGCCCACCCCAACCGCCAACGGCCCTAGAACCTCGGCACCTGCGCCAACAAACTTGGCTAGGCCGCCCGCCTTGGCGATGAATGCCATCGCCGCTGAATCCAGACCTTCTCGCGCTGCCATGATGGCCGGATTGTTGGCATGCTCAATCATCGGCGCGAGTTGCCCCGCCCTGGCCATGATGTCGTTGATTTCTGTCGTCATGGCAGTCCATCCTGGTGACCCGTGCTCAACCCCGCGAATCGTAACTGCTAGCCGTGTCTCCCAGCCTGTGCCAAACTTCGCGGCAATGTTGGCCGTGTGCTTCTCAAGTTGAGCGATGATGCCGTCTGCCCCTCCAAACGCACTTCTAAGCTCCGACACTGCAAGTACTCCGTCCTCTGAGTACTTTGTAAAATCCATGAGTTTGTGCTCGTACGCCTGTTTCAGTGCCGGAAACATGAAGTCTATGAAGCTTGACCCAAGCCGCTTTCCTGTCGTGGCATTCGGAAGATATTGCTCAAACTTGGCCGCCACATCTGCTGCTTTCACGCCGCTAGCTATCATTCGGTTTTGAAGCATGGCTGCAAAGTCTCCAGCTGCCATCCTACCGAATACACGCCATTCCCGTAGTCCAGAGACCCAAGATGGCAAATTCTCAAAAACAATCCAGTCCCTGGCTCTTGATCGTATCACGTCGCTCGTCCACCCTAGAGCAGCTGATGGCGGTGGTGCGCCAGTAGCTGGTGCCGCGGCAGTTCCGCCTGGGTCAGCGAGCATAACAGGATTTCCATGCGAGTATTGGTACAAATTGGATCCATCTACTGAGCCCTTTGGATCAGCAGAGACGAATCGTCCTAGCCACGGCGCGTAGTATCGTGCGCCCAAATGGTATAGCCCCGTCTCTATGTCCCTTTCTTTGCCGAGAAAGCGGTACCGTTTCGGGATCTCAGTTTGCTCAAAGTTTGCCTTGACAGATGATATGCCATACGGGGTGTATTCTTCGTACGAGATCAACTTGCCTTCCTGATCTAGTTCGATCTGAGCTGATCCCTGGAAATTGGCGAGTTGGTATCTGTAGAGCAGCCCTGGTAGCCTATCATCCCCCCCTGCGACCCGATTCTCGATCAGCAGTAGTTGGCGGCCAGATTCCATGATGCGAATATTGTTGACTTCCAATGACTTTGACGCCGCAGTATATCGTCGAAATACTTCAAATGCGCCGCCAATATAGATAGTTTCTTTGATTATAGACGCCTTGTCTGAGCTGGAATGCCGCTCAGTGATTTTGCGAACACGCTTGCCCGTACCGTCATACTTATAGTAGGTTGTTTCTTTGGCCTCTCCGTCGCTTCCCAGACTGTGAACCGAGGACGCCATGTGTTCGCCATAATCATAGTTCAAATGCGGTAATCCAGGCATGGATTTCATGCTACCTGACTCTTTTTCTAGCCCATCATATCGGTATCTCTCTATTGTATCACCAATCTTTGTATAACTGAGCCGGTTGTTAACTTGTTTGTTGTCAACAAGACTTGGCTCCTCGTAGTGGTAATGCCTCGTCCAGTTCGCATTCTCGGTCAAGTTTGAATGATGCATCTTCTGCAGATTGTTCACCGCATCATATACATACCGTTCAACATAACGTCCCAGAGCTTGCCCGTTATTCGGATGGTAGATACTATCGCCCGCTGTTGGTTGATTCTGACCAGAAGAGTGTTTGGCTCTAGTTGTATGCATCTGTCCAAGATGCTCTCTCCCAGTCGCTTCGATGAGCCTGTACAGAGAGTCGTAAGTAAAAGACTGTGAGGCTTCAACTCGTTGATTGCGGAAGAAGACGGCTTTCGATGCTTTATCTGCAACGTGTGTTATGTTTCCAGAGGCATCGTATGTATAGCGCAGATCTTGATACCGTTTGGTCCTCCTCCTTTTAGGTCTGGGCTTTAAGCGATGTTGGGGGCTACCCTCAGAGCTACTCGTGCTCGGGCTTGAGCTCGTATGCTCTCGGAAACTTTCAATACGACAGATTCTGAATGTTAATGGGTCAAAAGAAGTGACAGTTTGAACTCCGTTTCCATTCACTACTTTTGTGCGTCGGCCTTTTGCGTCGTACTCAATATCCCGGATAGCCTCGCTCGTAACGTCGGAGCTTGGAACGGTAATCATCACACTATTAATAAGAGCCCTATCGTTATAGTGGTAGACAGTGACGGTTCCATCCGGGAGTACTGTCTGAATAGGCTTGCTCAGCGCGTCAAACAAGATCTTTTCAACGAACGTCTCTGGCTCAAGTGAGACCGCATCTTCACAATGCCAGTCAATAATATTCTTGTAGTCGCTAACCAATTGTCGGTCGCTGAGTATAATATTTCCTTGAAAGTCATAGTCGGGAGTTTTCGTTATGCCACTCTGGTCATAGGTGCGGACGATACGACCCCTCGCGTTATGCTTTTCAGGGTCAGGTTCTGTCTCGCCGTAGGTCGACTTTTCGACGAGGTGCTCTTTGTTGCCTTCTTTGAGATGAAGGCCAATAACTCGTCTATTACGGTCATATTCCGTCTTGAATCGTTGTTGTCGGGCATTCCACGTCAAAATTGATTTGCCAGAGGAATCCACCAACACCCATTTTGTGCCATTGTCAAAGTTGGTCTCACTGAGAACCGTTCCGCCTATACTGTAGATGCTTGTTGACGTCAGGCGGCCCAAAGTATCTGTAACCTTGTAGGGGAGGCCTTGAACATCTATATATGAGGGCTGTCGTAAGATGGTCCCAGAAGATGCTGCTTGCAAAGGGTCTCGAAGCACTTCTAGACTTAGACACACACGACCTAACGAATCAAAAAAGACCGTGGTCGGAGTGTTCGCAGCTGCGGCAGACTTTTGAGCCGCTTCCTGTTGAATGGCGCCCATCTGACCATGTGCACGCTCTTGATACCAGGTCGGCATATAATCTTCGCGTGGGAGAAGTGCAAAAAAAGGACCTACATCCGCATCCTGTGAAGGATCTCGAATGAGAACTGTATCATTTTTATCCCACTTATCGCTGCTCCAAGGACCAAATCTGACCTTTGTCCAGGTGTGATCTGGAGATAGGACGGCGACTGTCCTCCCAACTGCGTCATATAGGGTTGTCGAAGACACACCGTATATGGCGCGATATTGAAAGGCATGAGTTTTGCTAAAGAAGGGTTCATACTGTTTGACTGGCTTATTTTTATTGTTCAATATCACCCAAGAGCTCACCAGCCATCTTGTAGACGCCCATCGGCAGCCTTCGTTGTCTTTTGTGCCTGCTTCCGCATCCTCGTTTACGTCCTCACAGCACCCTGGTCCTAGCAACGGTCCGGGCTCGCACTGGGCCTTTGTTTGGATTGATCGGCCGGATCCATCAGAATACGTCATCGTGACAAATACTCTGCTCGAGGCGCCTTCAGCGAGGTCGGATACGTGGGTCTCCCGCGACAGAGATGATACCCAGTTAGGCTGTGGATGTTTGTCGTGTTTTGTGCGGTAGTACGAGAAGAAGTCGAATAACGTACGCGATGTAGCACTCCCAAGCAACTGCTTTGATAGGGTTATAGGGTTTTGGAAGAAGTCTCTCATCTCTTGATCACTAAGACTTCGTTGAACATCTTCCAGTGAATCTCCGACGTTCTCTTCGGGCTTTCCCATTGCGGCCGCAGCAATGACATTTCCCAAGACATCAAATAGCACCTCAGAATGGTTTCTATTGGCATCCATGACTAAAAATGGTCTGAGCAGTCTATAATCGTTGCCCATCTTGACAAGCGGAAGATATGGATCAACGGCTCGTTCTCCAACCGTTACTCTGTTATCGTATGCATCGCGCGCCTCCTGTATCAAGAGATCATACTTGTCAAAGGTGTAGAACGATTCAGCTGGGTCTTCCGGTCTATCCCACGGCGGACGCGAACGGCGAATGACGAAAAAGTGCTCTCTTGCTTCTCGTAGTTCTTCCTCTGCAGTGGTCTCCCGATCAGGTGAGAAAAAGGCTTCACCAGAGGAGATCCACCACCCTGATCTCTTTGGCACCCTAAAGTAATCACAGTCACTCTGAAGAATTGCATTCAAATCTTCGGATGAGATCTTGCCCGCCTTACTGTATTGCTCCGCTTGGCTGTCGCTTAGTGCCAGTTGAAAGGTTTTCCATGGCAGCCCCAGGGGCTCGATTACACCAAGAGGAAGGGGGCCATTAAAGTCATCACGTCGATAAAATGCTATGCTCTCTTTTAACAAACGTCGATATAGGTGCCGTGGGGACGGATAAGGTCCAGAAAAGTTCTCAAATGGGATGTCAAAGTTTCCAGTTGCGAGAAGGGAAACAGCCTGCGACGCCTCTGCAAATGAAACTAAGCCTAATCGGCCGTTTTGTCCTCCATGACGTCGTCTACAGATGTCTATGTTGATGATCTCATAAGATTGTGACTCAGCTGGCTTAGGAAGAAGATACGTTTGAGCTTGATCTAGACTGTTTGTTGTTGTTGTCCGCGACAGGACTGCGTAGCTCTTCTTCTGCGATCTCCTATCCTCATCGTGTAGAAGTGGATCTGGATCATCGTGCTCTCGACCATAGCTCACGGTCATTGCTTTAAGGGGGTTCCCATAGTAGTCGGTTTCCAGTGTGAGTGTGTGAGAAACACGCGGGTCGAAATATTTCGTTGTGCCATGTCGATACTGTTTCCTATCGTAGACCATTTCGAGTGACTCTTTCGGTCGGACGAAGAATACGGCATGACGATTGGAGCCAAGACGCTGGCGTTGTTCAATGTGCATATTGGATTCTTTGATTAAATAAGGAATAGCTTGCAAGTCCGATCCGTCGATTGCATATATCTCTGACCGCATCATATTGCCCCGAAGTGCTCGACATGCCTCTCGTCTTTCTTGAGCATCCGATAGGTATGATGTGGTGCCTGAAAGCGTGACAATAGACGATGGAAGGGTTGTTTCCGAGAGTGACCGAAGCACTTTTTGAGATTTGTCCCCAGCCCAGTATGGGACATCTGGGTATGTTGCGACGGCTGCTCCATCGCGATATTCGCCGGTGTGGTACCAGGTCTTAGTTAGCGTCGGTGGCACATTGGTGTGCTTGCTAATATTATCAAAGCTATCTTCGCGCGATTCAAGGCTGGAGTACTTTTCGGTATCCAAGGTTTCTACCATGCCGAACCCACGGAACTCTCGCTCGACACCATCGAAGAACCCATCATGATACGCGTAGGTAGTGGTAAAGAGGTTTCTGCTGACTCGATCAACCACTTCAGTTTTTGAAACGCATTGGACAGGAAATGGGAGCAGAGATGTCCAAGGTCTGCCAAGTTTCTTGTCTCTGGCGTAGAACTGTGTTGATGCTTCATAAGTCAGACGCGTCTCCCAGCCCATATTGTTGTCCATGCTGACGAGCAAATATGGCTTCCCAGCTTCCATCAAGTCCAGATAACGAATCTGACGACCAGAATCGCTAGCAAGGTTAGAAGACCACACCAAACACGCAGTACCCCGACCGAGCAAATCCGTCACCTGCACGTTTGTTGACACATCGATACCTGGGAAACCAGGCACTTCAATACCTTTGCTTAAAGCGTTACCGCTAAGGTTTTGATACATTGTTACTCTGTTTCCAAGGTAAACAATGTCTGTCGTCCCTGATCCGTCAATATCTGCAAGCCGCAAGTACTTCTGATCAAAGAGCTCTTCTGAATCGAAAATTGGCGTGCCATCCATAATAACTTTACGATCAAATTTGCCGTAGCCGAGGTTCGGCCAGTAGCAAACCTCGGAGTAACGAACTCGAACCAGATCAGCTAGCCCATCTCCTGTCATATCTGAAGTGTATAGTGCTTCTGTACCATCCCAAAATAAGAGCCGAGCATTAGAGCCCGGGCCCTCTTCTGTTGGTGGCGATGCATACCACGGACTACCAAACCCGTCATTTCCTAGCCCAGGGTATATCCTAAGCTCGTAATCATCTATTATGACGGCATCAGCGATTCCATTTCCAGTAAGATCCAAAAATTTGAGCTGCTTGTTGTCCCAAGCGACATTTGGATAGGACTTGAAGGTACGAAACGTGTTCCAGCCCCCAGGTTCTTCTAGGTCGCGCTCGTAGAATCCTGGGGCACTTCCACTCAGCTGGACCAGCTCAATCTTGCCACCACCACAAAGATCCATCCACTGCTCAGACCCTTTCTTAAATACCGCGCTTGGATTAGTTGATATTGTTTCCGTCGGCCCGAATTCTCCATTTGCTAAATTTGCCATATACTGCAAACTTCCTTCTGTACGTAGGACAACCCCAGCGAGACCCTGACCCTCAAGATCCACCAGTTGATAGTCTCCAGTCAATCCTGCTGGAAGGTTTGCTAATGACGAAGACTTCAGAACTTTTGACTGTTTTGATGGTTGAGCCATGGAATAGGTAAACTCCAGCGGAGGCAAATGTTCCTTCTCATAGTCGTCTCCTTTGGCCCTCCTCCAATGTTCTTGTGTAACCGATTTTAGAACCGTGGTTATAGAGTAGCCGTTTGATTGGTCCATATTTACGGTTTCAAAGTTCATGTTGAATGATGCGACTACACAATCCTTGCCAACGCCAGGTTCGTCAGGGAAGTGATGGAACATGAGAATTCTCCGACATAGACGGTACATGCGAATTTCGAAACATGAACGACGCGAAGAAAAGGGATCTGAGCGAACAGGCCAAGGCTGCGATGTTTCTGACCGAGGATGTTGACTGTCGTGATCGCCATAGTCAAAAACAATCTCGAACATCCAGCTGTTGGTGGCCTTGAAAGTTGGGCTCAGTGCCGAGACAGTATTTCCATACTTTATACGCTTAATGTACCTAGCTGCGGTTCTGGAAAGGGTAGATCTCTGTAGCTCAGGTAAAGAGTTAAGATCTACGCCACTGGAGTCCTCCTCCTTGTACTCATACAAGGTGATATTACCCTTGTCATCGTAGGTTTTGCTAGGTAGCCATTCAAACACGCGACTTGGATCGAAAGGGTCGAATGTTCTGCTGTTTGGACTGTCGCCGAAGATGGTGGTAATATTGTTATCCGTCTTGACCTCCCAATATGTGTCATATGTTTCCGTATCCGTGAGTCTCAAAATCCTTAAAAATCCACTCTCAATTCTGGGGTTATATCGAGCAACTCGAAATGTTTTTCCATGTTGCACACGGAATTCGATTTTATTGACGAATGTGCCATCGGATTTCAATTGTTGTACCGGCACAAGGTCCTCCATTCCAGAGAGCAAGAACACATCTGAATTTTCTGCATCCATATACTGCGGTAACCCTTTGTCCGTCTTTCTCGTGATCGCCTGACTGGATATTTGCCAGCCAATGCCAAAAGGGCCATTTCCTGCGCCTGAGCTATAAGAAAGGCTCAGTTCGATCGTACTGTCGCCTCTGCCTTTGCTAGTCTTAATGGGGACTGAGAAGCTGCTTGTGCCATTCGCTGGGCTAACCGAGAACTTTTCGCCAATGCCTTTAATTGCTCCTCCGCTTTTTGGAAGAGTTACGGAAGGGAGGCTATAAGGCTCTTGGACTGCTGCACGGCTAGGCGTTGTGTCATGCGGACCTGAGGACGGCTTTGGAGGTGCATTATCAGGTTTTGATGCTGCTTTGGCATCGTCAGTAGGCATTGATGAATCCATCGTAACGATGATCCGCTCTCAAAAGTTCAACTCACAAACGAGGATCCAAAGCTTCAGAGAGCGAGACCACGGATATTGACATTATGGCAGCTATGGGCGATTGCCGTTAGCACGGATAATGGTGACACGGCTTGTCCCGTTGGAAGCTGCCCAATATCGGCATGTGGCGTAGCTCGCAGCGCATGCGATAAATCTTTACGCCACGCTGAAACACCATATTTACACAGCTGAAAAATGTTTCGACTTGTATGGACAGCAGGATGTAACGCCAATGTTTGATGGGTTTTGGCACTGCAATTATCCGAAGTCTAGAAGCAGAGCTGAGCTGTCTGTGGAGGTGGCGTCAAGCTACAGCACGCTGCATGGTGTTGTACGACGCGTCGCAGTCGCCTGTACTCTATAGCTTACCACTTGCCAGGTGCTCTACTGCCAAACAATATTACAAATTTATGAGAAAAATGAATATGTTCTAGAAAATGCTACTGAAACCTATTTCTCTCTTTGTAGCTCTATTTAACATAGAATGCACGCTAATTGGCATTTTCTAAAATATTATTGTACATATATTTGCCCTGCTTGCTTGGTACACTGGCACCGCACGTTCCCGCTACAAGCGGCACTGTCTTGGCCTTAGGCATCCCATCTGCTCGTGTCACCTGGCTGGTTCTCACTCCCAGACAAATCCTCCAATGCTCGTCCCCTGCTGCCAAAATATCCATCATCATTCGACGGATGAAAGTGAAAGGCGACCAGCCTCCAACAGCCCGAAGATTATAGCCCCTTTCAGCAGCCACAATGTCTGCAGGGCATTCAGCCACTATGCGGAGTCGTCTCCTGTATCAAAGACACGGATAGCCCACAAGGCTTATCACGATTGGTGGGGAACTAATCTACCGACATCGAACGCTAAAAGTCCCTACAGCATCGATATGCATATTGCTGTGGAGGCGCTTGCCTTGTGACACAGGCTGAGGTTGGCCAGTCCTGTCATGTCATAGCCACCACCGGCAGAACCTGGATATGTATCAATGGCGGCGTCCCTTTCAAAGCGAGGCGGCAGAATGCGGCCGCCTCCAACACAAGTTTTCTCTTCAGCTCGTACAATATTCCCCAACGGGTCCAATGGCTTACATCAAGAGTGTGGCTGGTTTCCTCTCAAATCAATAGCCTGCTCTGGGCAGAGTCCTCGATCCCCATATTCTACTCATCCAGCTTCGTACATTTACCATCGCAACTTACTCGGTCTCACAATCTTCTCAAGAATATTTTTTTAGCAGTTCTTCACATCATCTAATTGCAACATGGGGGCTGTATCGTCAGACATGTTATTGGTCCGCATTGTCCCATCTAGTCCCTGCGGACCAACAGCTTTTGGAGAAGCTCTCAAAGACATCACCATCACCGCATATGACAAGACTGTAGCGGATCCCACCAACGACAGACAATTAGGATCAGCCACTGGTCTGGCTGATCAACCTACACCTGGACAGCCTGGCTCCGGTGGTTCTAGTCCAAGTCCGTTAATACCGGCGCTGACAATTTCGGACAATCCTCCGACTCTAACACCCAGTATCTTTCAACATTTCGGAGTATCAGGCAATGTTGTCACCATGTATTCAGTGGCTACGGCCATCATTCTTATTGATCGACAAGCTCTGGCTAATCCAAACGAGGAGTATCCCACACCAACTTCGTACGATGTGACCCTCAAGTTGACGCAGGCATCAACCCAGCAAACCGTGGCCAGTCGTACCCAGATTCTTGATTTCAATGTCCAAATAATTACAACCTTCCTCCTTCCACAGACTGTCTTCTACATGTCTATGGCAACAGACGTTTATCTCTCCATTGATGTCCCTATAGCCCCTCTCCCAGCGGGGACAAATATCGTTACCTTAAGCAAAGATGGCACCCCTCCCTCTTTCGATTTTATGGTTACTGCCATCAACAATGTGCTTGCAGACGACTCTCCTGCTGGTGCTTCGTCGTTGCAAGCAATGACAACCTTTCTCACTACGGCCCAAGCACAGCAAGTCGCCGGGGAGTTAGTTAACAACAGGTTGCTTGACTCTCCCCCACAACCGCCATACCCTACATCCGACATCTTCAATTCGGGAAAGATCTTTGAGAACATGTATACCATTCCAGACTCTGGAGGATCTGTCCCGCAAGACATTGATCAGGCACGGACTAAATTTGAAGGCGACCGCTCCTCGTACTATGCATTGCGCATGTCCGATGCTCTCCGGGTAGCCAATTATGTGTATTCCACGATATTTGCCGTTTACGCGGAAACATACACTACGACTGCGACCTTGGCTGTTGTTGATGTGCCAATAATGAATAAAATACAGCACTCATCTTCTATATCTACACCGTCACTCCCTCTGTCAGGAACTACTGGTGGTGCGGCCCTCAATCCCGCCTTTATAGTCCCGGCAGCCTACTTCTACGCCTTGTCAACCTCGTATTCCATTTCACAAACGTTTGATACTCGGCTGAAGCTCATTTTTACTACTCCAGAAGCTTCACTTGCTAATACGCTTGGCCTTGCTATCTCATCAGGAGTCTTGGGTTCCCCTGATCCGACTACAAAGCTAATCACCTATGCCTGTACGCTTACATCGAACAGCGGTACTTCGATCAACCAACTGCAAGCTATACGTCGTATGACAGCGCTACAGGCTTCTGTTCAAAACCCATCACCAACCCTGGTGGATATGACTGCCAATACAAGCGTTCAAACCATCATTACATCATGGCTGCAATTTACGGGCACTGACGCAGATATTGCAGCTCAAGTCTGGTTCCCTCCAACTTCAGAGTACCTTAACGCCATTCTAGAGGTTATCACACCTGGTAACGAGTCTCTAATATCGGAGATTTTGGTAGATCTCCGTTTACCACCGGCAAGCGGGACAGGCCTTGGACTAGTAATCGCCAGCGTGACGGATCTACTAAGCGTGACTGAGACACAATGGCTGGAGTTTTTCACACGACATCCAACCCTACTACCAAGCAAATATTTATTGGGAAATCTAAAAGGTCGTGTACACTCTTTTGTCCAGGACATAACAAAGGTGCTCTTTGTTTTACCTGCACAGGAAGCCGCTGCCGACGCTGGCACTCAATCCGGCATACCAACCTTGGGTGCAAATCTCTCGGCAGATATTTTGGTTCAATTCTTCAACACTTCTACTTTCACTCTCTCGGATCAATTGAATGATACAGAACTTGAACAAATACGCACAACGGCTTTCCAGCTCTTTGGATCACATAGCATTGCATCGTTCGTGACATCCGCGGCCAATGAGCTATGGGTCCTGTACCAGATCACAGCTCTTAAAGGTATGCGATAACAGATTCATGTGAAAATACGCTTTTACTTAAGAAATGCCTTTAGATGCCACGAACTCTAGCAAGACTATAGATCCCACGCTCAGATTCTCCTACATGGAGGCTCTCCATGCGCGGGGCTTCACAACTGTTGACAAGGTTCAAGCATTGGCGAGCAACCAATTCGGCGCTGCGCTGTCTGGAACAGTTGCCTTCCCTCGTGCAACAGATATTTATAACCTGGCTATGGCACTGCCTTCAAATTTGGGATCTTCAAATCCAGAGCCAGGTTCTGGATTTCAGCCTATTAATGGTGGAAACCTGACCAACTGCGAGCCCCCTTGCCATCTTTCCCCGTTTGGCTATGTGGCATATCTTCAAGCCTTGTTGAAGTTTTCTAACGGTACAAACACGTTAGGCACTGTTCTGGCAACAAGACGAGGCCAATTTGGCAGCTTACTGGTTACCGAAGAAAATCTGTATACCAATGTTCCAGTTATTGACCTCATCAATGAGAGTTTAGAATCGCTGGCTGCTAATCTGACTTCTAATGTCGGTGCAATATACAACACGACAGGCAATTTTCTCACCACTCTCGACGTGCCTGGTGCCCCATCTATTGTTGAGCACGGCGTCAGCGAAGACGATATTGTGAAGGCATTGGCTCAGCATTCTGCGCCACATCTACCATCGGATCAACCCGCGATTTATACAACACTCAAAACGGCGATAGCAGGTCCAAATTTGCCGTATTCTCAAGCATTGGACTTGTCACGCACCTATCTCGGAGCGATTGGTACATCGAGGTTCGATGTCATGCGCACCTTTCTGGAGAATATTACAGAATTTGCTCTTGATGCTTTGCATGAGCCCCCAAATTTTATAAAGCAACAGTGGCGCCTTCCTCTTAGGTACGAGATTGCACTTGAATACCTAGGCATATCTGCAGATGAAGCAAGTATAATCTTTGGGGGCAACATGACGGGTTCAGTAGCACTGCAACTCTTAGGCTTATCAGGTGTTGAAGGAGGGAGAAATGTTTCAAAGGTTCTTCAGGTTACAGTCTTTCTACAGGCAATGGGAATCACATATTGTGAATTCCTTGAGCTACAGCGCAGCGGGGTTGTTGCATTTGGCCCTGGTACTGAGTCAGAAAAGTATCCAGAATGTCTGCCCTGTTGCGATTCGGATTTGCTAATTTCGTTCGGTGGCGAAACCAGCCCTGCGGCTGGATTAGTTCAATTGGCAATCTTCATTCGCCTCTATGGTCATCTTAAGAGGGCTCGTTTTTCCGATGGTATTACAATGGAGATTTTGGCCAAAATATGCCATCTGTTGGGCCTCTTTACTAACGAAAATGTGAACCCAGACTTCCTTAGACAGCTGGCGTCGCTTCTCTTGCTCAAGGAAATATGGGATCCTCCATGGGCATGCTTGATAAACCCGGTTTCAACCAACCCGACAAATCAGTGTGTATCTCTCTGGTCTGGAAGCGCACCAGACACTTTGGGTTTTCAATTGGCTGTAAAGGCACTGTTGGAGAGCATCGAGGAGCGTGCCATTCGCCACTATTGTTGCGAAAAAAGATCCGCTGCCTGGCATAAGATTACGGCTGCAAACCTGGATTCACTGGCTGTGTTAACAGGGTTTGTCCAAGATACATGGTACTCAAAGCCTACGTGCACCATCAGATTCATTGAAATTCTCACCAAGCTCTATGCGTCATCATTTACAATTGGCGAGGTGCTGTTCCTTTTCACAACAAAGGAGCATGTCCGCGGCGACGACCCATTCCCTTGGACAGAGCCTGAAGAATCCTTTGACGACCCTCTAAATGTTCCAGAAGACGATGAAAAGCATGGTCTGTGGGAACTGCGCAGAAAACTACTCCAAGTCGAAGTGTGCGACGATGAGCTTGAGCGATGGACATGGCAGAGAATTAAAGCAGTATTGCATGAGATGGGCTATGAAGACCATGGAGAGCAGTACTCATTGACTTATTTCTCTGAACACTACTTTCCCGAAACACTTGCAAAGAGTGGCATGCCAGTTGCGCCACAGCATCGACGCTTTGAAGTGCAGATGAACAAGTCACCGTCGCCATATATTTGGCATCCGTTGAACGCATGCTCTCCATTCACATATTGGCCTAATGGTGCTGATTCCGAAGAGAAGGCAATTCTTTCTACTAAGCTTCCATTAAGAGACAAAGAAGTGCTTCATACCTTAAGAGACATTCGGCAATTGAATACTTCTGAGGCTGCTGCAGTACGTGCGGTGTACCTGATGCCACGAGCGGCTCTCGCACCCTTCGCTCTTCTCTTCTCTAATTTTGAGCACGCTGCAAATTTCATGATCCAAGAACCATGTGAGGATGAGAGGTTTAAATTCTTCCAAAAAGAGATCGCTACATTCCATAAAAGATGCTTAATTATTGCTCACCATATACATCATGCGGCCCAGTTTGCAATGAGAACCGATAGCGAAATATGCAGGTGCAATCTGGAAGATTTTGATAACTGCAAGGGGCTCAAGGTAGCTTGGCGCGTTATGCTTAGCCTCATTGCAGATGAGAATAGACCACAGACGCCATGGGAAGACCCGGGTGACACTGGTATCGTCCCAACGGGGTTTACATGGGATCCAAAATTCTGTGGCAGCGCATTTGCAGCACTCCTAGGTTTGATTGGCACTGGACTTAAGGGTGAATACAGGGGAAAGGCGCCTTATTTCGTTTGGAAAGAGATGCGTGGAGGCATGTCCGGCTGGGGAGATGTCTGTGACAACTGGAATACCCCAATCCCGACGGTATTACCGAAACTAACTATCAGTCCTCCAGTCGGAGAGGAGTCCTTTATATCGTTCAAGAATGGATTTGCTCTAAATCAAGTATCTGGAATGACTTTATCTGGAGCTGAGCCGTTCGAGATTGCCTGGTGCGGTGTGCTGGTCGTTGAACGATCAGGATGCTACCACTTTACATTTTCCTGCTCTTCCCATCATGACGAAGACAATGAACACTTCTGTGCTTGCAGATGTGACGAAGGGAAACTATGGGCTATCAAGCTAGATCGTGGTGAAAAGCACTGGACCCTTCTAAATAAGGGCATAGAAGATGACAATGCCTTCAATGTGCCAGAGGTTTACTCACGCTCTATTCCTCTCCACCACGGTGCATATAACCTTACAGTTATATTCAAGCAACTAGCACCTAATTTCAGCAGCTGCGATTGCGATGAAGACAAGAAGAGTATACACACAGGATTCAGATTATGGTACAGCGGGCCAGATACAAATGACTGCAGAGACGAAGTGCCTCTACAAGCCTTGTACATCGAGCAGAAGGATGGACCCTTGTTTGTTGGCGGTGAACAAGTTCCCGCCGCAGTTTCACAAGTGATGAACCTGCGTTATATCCCAACGATCAGGGATATCCGTCGTACTTACCAGCGCGCATTCAAGTCTGTTCTCTTCTCTGAGAGACTCTGTCTATCTGCATGCAAGCTACACTGCGAGGAGCAATCTGAGTTGGGCTACTTACTTGATAACCCAGAGGCTTTTCAGGGCACATCATATTATTGGGATACATCATCTTCTTCTTTCAAGTCTCATCATGCATTCTTTGACTTCAATTTCCTGCCGATATCGGATGCTTATTTCCCCCCATCGGCTGTGACTGATGGAAGGGTTGCTCCATCAGCTAAGCGACAGAACGCGATGTTTGATTGGTTCGAGCGCATCTTTGATTATACGGTGCTGCGATGCGAAGTCAAGCGTAAATGTCACCCACCGCTATGGCTTTTGTTCTTCCATGCGACGCTAGATTCTCCTCAACCAGTACCCCAGCTTCTCTGGCGTTTGGGCGTTGAGGCAGACCTAGCGCCATTACTGTTGCAATACTACTCAACCAATGGGCTGTTCAATTTGGCAGATAATGCTAACATTAACTGTCTCGGAGATGAAATATGGACAACCCGAATCTGGAAAGCAAAGCTCTGGCTAGAACATGTCCGGCAATCCTTCTGGTCACCTACTTCTGAGCTTGTTCTCTGTCAGCCAGCCCTCTGGGCTAGCATCCCGGAGCCCGATGTAACTGTTAGTGGAACAACAGGCAACATCAATCTTGCCCAGTTTGTGTTACGTTCATGCTTAAATATGGACAGTGCAGCTTTAAGATTAACGGATGTTACGAAATGGAATGACGGTCTCCGCATTCGCGCTCGTGAAGCGCTTTTAGGGTACCTGGCGGCCAATGGTCAATCTGTCACCGACATTTCGGATCATCTCCTGCTGGATGTTGAAACTCCTATTCATAACAATATTTCTCGTATCGAAGATGCCGTAAGCTCGGCACAGAGACTTATGCAAAGAGCCATCTTAGGATTGGAGCCGTCCTTCCCTGTCGATCACCATACAGTAGAAGCTTGGGAATGCAAGCTGGCTACTTTTGAAAAGTGGGCAGCAGGCCAGCGAAGAGTGTGGTATTTCGAAAATTGGCTGCAGTGGGATGAATTCAAGCGATTGGAGAAGAGTGAAGGGTTTAGATCGCTTGGTAAAGCTCTTAAATCAGATGTTTCCACGGTTGCCAACTTTGCTAGAGACTTTAATTGGAGTGGCACAGCGGGAATACCCCGAGAGCCTGGCAAAGCTTCACTCTCTTGGTCTCAAAAGTTTGTCCTAGGTCTACAGCAACAGGCTCTGGATGAGGGTATTGACCTAATGGGCACACCAGACAACAGTGGACAGCCAACCTGGGTCGCGCCAATTGGTCCACCATCCATGTCGGGAGGTGGTGGAGAGTCCTCCTCTGAGGGCGGCAACAACAGTTCTAATACGCCTACGATTCCTAGGCAAGGCAGGGAGCAAAGTCTCGCCAGAATCACTGGTAAAACAGACGCCCTAGATCGATCAGAGTCAAAGTCGCTAGAAGCACCTACCTTGGCCCAGGACGGCGTCGTCCATGAAGCCGAACACGTCTATGCCCAAGAGTCCAGTGTTGAAGTTCCAGTCATTCAATCTGACAGCAGACTTCCTGGGGCATCTTCTCTCAAATCCATTCCACTCTGGGTTCAAACAGCTCTACGCCTTGGTGTTAGGTTTATCAGAGTGGCAGCTTCAAGTCTTCCCATTGCCGCGCCATATCACGATGGCCAATCTGAAAAACAAAGCTGTTGTCAATGCAATGAAGAACATGCGCCAGTCATTGATGAATATTACTTTTGGCTCCAAGACGCGCGACGATTTGACCCAATAGATGCACCTGCTCCTCAGGACGCGGACACCCATGTTAATGTGCCTGGCGTTAGTCAAACGATCGATCCAAACAACCCTCAAATAGATCCACGAACAATTCAAGCGGATCCAACCTCTGACTGGGATGCCCCTACCGCACAGATGTTACACTGGAGGTCTGAACCAAAAGTGTATTTGTATTGGACAAGAGTTCATATGGGGCTTCTCCAGGATCCAAGACGATCAACAGAGGGCCTTAGCTTGGTCGAAACAGACCTCTCCAATCTGTTTCTAGACCTTCGCGGCCGCAATTTTGATTCTCTGTTGTTCAATGTGAAGGAGGGCGATTCTTCAACTGGATATCGCTATGATATTGTGACAGATACGGCAACATTGATCCCAGAAGCCGTCCCAAGCGATGCACCACCCGCCCTGCCTCTGCCATCATCATTTGTGACTGACCTTGCTGCCTTTCCATACTTCCTCTATTTTGATGGAGGTGGACCGCTTGTGCCTATCGACACTTTTGGCACTAGCATGGCCATTGCTACATCACTCCGTGCAGACTGCCGCTACGAGTCGTCTACAAAATGGTTGACAATCTCGTACGACCCTCTCTGCAGAGATAACACATGGATGCAGTGCGCTAGTCGAGGAAACGATAATAGTGTAGGCGAGGCTAAACCAGAATCGTCTATTGATGATTTGTTGGTCTCAACGAATTTATTCTCAAAGTCTTCTGAATTCAATCGGATTGGCGCTACTCAAGCAACGCAGCCGGAGGCTGGTAGTAGCTCTGACCGAACTGAAGAGCATGGTGTTACGCCAGATACAGAAACAGCTTCACCGCCGCCAATCCCCAATGCGAACGCAACCAATATCGTCGCCGAAAGCGAACGAAGTCGCTGGCCGCAGGATGCAACTTGCTGTCCCACTGCTCCCGCCAAAGGTGGAAAAGCCCGTGGCCGGGCAGTGACGCTTGAGTATTTAGAAACCTTGTTTGCGTGGGCAGAGAGCCTCCGTTGTCGAAATTCGCTTGAGGCTGACCAACAGGCGCTCACATTGTTAACCATTGCTCAGCGAGTTATGGGACAACGGCCAAAAGACACACTTGCCGCTGACTTGACGGGTGGTACTATGACGATAAACACCTTCCAAGCATCGTCGCCAGCATTGAATCCGAGGTTAGTGGCATTATATGATAAAGTATGGGATGCCGTATCTATGGTTCAATCCGACGTCAACAGGCGCAGACTCCGGAATGGAGTTATTGGTCGAGATAGAGCCATCTACGGCTCTCACAGACGATTCCAAATTGAACAACATTCATGGAAGTCTGTGCCTGAATCTGACTGCGACGATGGCGCTTGTGTTTACTCATGCTCCCAGGCGTACCGATTCAGCGCCGTGCTACCGAAAGCGGTTCAGTGGATAGCCATGACGAAATCTATGGGGGGTGCTCTTCTGTCTGCCTTTGAAAAGGCAGATAGCGAAACCCTTTCTGCTCTGCGAGCAGCACAGGAGCGCCAAATAACGGAGTTAGGTCTCGATGTTTCCAAGAACCAATACCGAGCAGCAGATTGGGACGTCCAGGCGCTTGATATACAAATGGCCAATGCCGTAGCTAAGCTCCAGTACTACCAAGCGTTGATTTCTGCAGGTCTCAATTTTAATGAGAATGCATATACCTTCGCAACAACAGCATCGATGGCAAGTCGCACAGCGGCCACTGTGTCAGACGGCATTGGGCAAGGCATGGCATCCACGCCTGACATGTGGGTTGGCGTTGCTGGCGCTTATGGCAGTCCACTTCAATTCCAGCAGATGCCGATGGGAGTTAAGCTCGGCACAGGATTTGCAGCTGCTGCACGCATTCTTAACACAGTGGCGGATATTTCCAGCTCTACTGCCGGACTCTCGTCTACTGAGGGCGGCTGGGACAGGCGCGCTCAAGATTGGCAGCACCAGTGCGATGTCACAGTTTACGAGATTCAGCAAATAAAGAGACAGCGCTTGGCAGCTCGCCGACGACTGGAGATATCTCTTCGAGAACTCAACAATACCCAGCGGCGCATAGAGCATGAAGCTGAAGTCCAAGATTTTATGAGAGACAAGCTTAGCAAGTATGAGCTGTACCTGTACTTGCAGCAGGAAACAGCCGCCCTCTATCAACAAGCGTTTAATGCCAGTGTTCAAGTTGCGAGAGAAGCACAGCAAGCAGCTAGATATGAGCTCGGAGACACATCTCTGGACTGTGTTCCATCCTCTGCTGCCGTTTGGGACAACTTGCATTCTGGACTGCTGGCTGGTGAGAAACTTGACCTTGGTATCACCGCGCTAGAGAGAGCGTACATGAACAGACATTGTCGCGAGTATGAGCTTTCTAAGCAAATTTCGCTAAAGATGGATTTCCCGGCAGCCTTTGTGTTGCTCAAGTCAACGGGCTACTGCGAAGTCGACCTACCCGAGTGGTTGTTTGACCTTGACTACCCTGGACACTATATGCGCCGTATCAAGACCGTATCGCTGACGATACCCTGTGTTGCTGGGCCATATATCGGCGTTCACTGCCGTTTGCAGCTGCTAAGCAGCTCAATCCGCGTAAGACCGATAATAGAAGCGAGGAATGTGTGCTGCAAATGCGAGGATGCGAGCAAGACGGGAAACTCTCCGCCGAAGGGTTCCAAAGAAGTCAGCAGTATGATCCCTGCGAAGAAATCTACTGGTCGCTGTATTCATGACCCCCACGTGGTAACTCGATTTGCTGGAACAGAGGCGATTGCAACGTCAACGGGGCAAAACGATTCAGGGTTATTTGAAGTTAGCTTTGCTGACCAGCGTTATCTTCCCTTTGAGTACTCTGGTGCTGTCTCGCGCTGGCGCATTGAGCTGCCCCCGGAGAATAACCAGTTCGATTTTGACAGCTTAAGTGACGTGGTCATACACATCAGCTTCACATCTCGAGAAGGTGGGCCAGAGTTACGGCGAGTGCGGCAACATACAGCACAAGAACATTTACCCGGCAATGGGCTAAGATTCTTTGATATACGGCACGAGATGCCTGAGGCATGGTCAATCTTGAGACGCAACGAACCATGCCAAGAGTGTGAACGAGAGCCTGAAGCGTGCTGTGAGTTGAACGAGCGTTGTGAATGTAAACGCGAAAATGGCAGTCGTGGTATCGAATCATGTTGGCACCAGTCTCACCGTCGTCACCGTGAGAGAGAATTTAGCCTAGAGTTGACGCGTCAAATGTTCCCTTTCTTGAACGGATGCGGGCAACTGGAAGTGACGGCGATGCACATACTACTCGATATCCCAGACTGTGACCGCGACTGTGAGACTCCAACCTTCAACACTTTCCAGATGTGTTTCACTCCGCCTCCTGATGAACTGGGCTGCCCAGACGAGAAGCAGGTTCCCTTCGTACGCACCTCTGGTGGTATTTGGACTGGAGAGGTTGAGTTAAGTAAGCCTTTGAGGCTTTCGGATGCTACTGGACCAGGGATTCCATGGCGTGGTAAGAGAGGACTGCTGGGCTCAATCCGTGTGCCATGTAATGTGAAGGGTATTACCCGAGCTTGGCTGCTTTGCAAGTATAAAGTTGTGGGAAGATTTGGCGATAAGACGCGAGTTTGCTAGTGTTTTGTCACTTATTGTTTTACGCATTTGACAGATTGAAATATAGCCTATTATTTATAAAGCATGTTTTACTATTATTTGCTGGCCCTTGAGTGTATGTTCCACAGGCGCTGGAAAGTATTCTCTGAATTTAAACTACCTAGAGGGTTGTAATTTGACAGGCTCCGATCTCTCCTAGTTCCGAAAGATTTCTTTGAAGTTTCACATTTCAGATTTCCAGTCATGCAGTAGCATCCAACTACTGCTTGTTGACATAGTGATCGCCACCATGGCCATTTAGAATGGATCCGACAAATTCGACCCATTCACCACCAACACCACCAATGGCAGTGATAGTGTCTGTGATGGTTTCAAAGAAATTGCCGTTTGCGCCACCATCGCCAGGGCAGCCACCATGGGTGGTCGAATGCGCCTTAGCTGCTTCATTGAAAGCTATATGTATGTTAGTGATACTACGGTAAGGACTGAGGAGAGTTTGAAGTGAGTTTGGAGGCTTTTGGAGTCGTACCTAGAGCAACGGCAGTGGCGTTGTAGACTGGTACCGTTGCAGCAAGGCTAGTAGCTAAGATGGAAACGATAGCTCCGGTGAACTTCATTTTGTCAAATGTAGTAATTTTTTAGAAGATTGAGAAGATTTGTAATTGATGGCGATGTGTTTAGAGAATGGAAGTTGTTTGAGAAGGATAATGTTCTCATCTTTATACCCAAATTGACGGCATTGTGTACAAGACAGAACTAACACCACAGGCAGAATATCAACCTCGGCAATATTTTTCATGGACTGATATTGGAAATCGCCGAGCTGTGATAAACCGTGTTTGTGCTCAAGATGCACATCTTGATAGGTGTTCTGAGTAGCATTTATAAACACAGTCGAACGATCACAAATCACGATACTCTCGCATTAGGTTACGGATGTTGAGCGTGCCGAGATGATCGCCCGAGATGAACTCCCGATAGACAGGCTTTGTGCAAGCTATCTATGTAACGGCTCCACTAAATGAGATTCGAACACCACATTACGATCGTAGCGCGCGATAATACAATGGTCTAGATCAATGCAGATCTGGCCCCCGCTTAAGTTTAGCCATCGTACGACTGAAGCTAACTACCCGGAATGGCAAACCCTACACATCGGCACCTTTCACTTTTTTCGGCTACTTGCTTCGAACTCAGCGCCTATAGTTGTTAAATATTTTAGTATGCATCTGTGCGTTCGGCTTATCTCGGCGTCGATCATTATCCGGTACAGCACCAACGCGCTCTAGCTGCCGAGCTTGCATATACCCATGCGGGAGTACCATACATACCACACTTTAACACGCTACAATTGCACCCTAACCGGAGTTTAGTATAACCTTTTGCACTTTTAAATACTCTCTAGCTATTGCCTCTATATAATCTTAGCTTAAATACTGATACACATAATCATAGATACAAGAGAACGCGTGATCCCGCCCCGCCGTTGTATTAGGTTTAGTGGCCGCTGAAAATGGGGGCCCAATCCCCAATTGTCAACTTTAGAGTTCCATTGTTGAAGGCTACTCGACTCAACAACTCAATTAATTGTCGCTATTTAATTTGAATATTTGTTTTAAATGCCTTAAGAGACCGCTAACGATGGAGAATTATTAAACGTGGCAAATGAAAACTGAAATTGTTTTTGTATTTATTGTTGGGCTGTTATTCTCAACAACGAAATAGCGTTCATGGTGCAATCTGCCCAATTCACTCATCATATCTCCGCAATTCTGCAACTTCTAGAGTTCATCCTTAAAAGCAGCTTCGCCTCTGGCAAAGTGGTCATCCATATCCTTGAGAGCCTTTGCCGTCTCATCAGGTCTCTCGTCAGCGCCTTTGATAGCCAACACTTTGCCCAAGTTGGATGCCGCGCCTCGCAGGTTCTGAAAGTTGGAAAGCGCCAGCTTCTTACCAATAAGGGGGATAGCATAGAACTGTGCCTTCTTGGCGATGGCGGCATCTACCGTATCCCCAATTTCCTTCGTGAGAGCGTTGGCAACTTGAAAGGCTTCCTCCTCTGAGTTTGGATCCTCGCTAGAATTAGGGGCTCTCACATCCGGGTGAGCCTCAGCAGCTTGCATCTTTTTGACGAGGGTGCGGGTCTCCATAAGGAGGGAAACGCCACCTTTATAACTTCCGTCCCAATCGTTGATAGTCTTGTGGTAGGCGACAGCGTCCTTCATGAGGCCCTTCATGACATCGAGAGTGCCTGGGTCCGCTGCGACGCTGGCGACCAGACCGGCAATAGCAAAGAGCGAGATCTTCATCTTTAAGTTTTAGTTGTTAACGTGAGAGCAAATTTTGTGTGTGCGTGTGTATGCGTGTGCGGTTGAAGTTAGGCGCTAAATGTTGGCGGCTATATCTTAACAAGCGCAGGAGACGGGGATTGTAGCACCCTATACGGTGTGTTTGTTTAGTTCGAATATTCAATATTCCGGATAAAAGAACCCAAGCATATCGGTAGAATAATATCAGGCGACCCGCGTGTGTCAAACCTGTGCCGCGGATTCATTCCATCAACTGCTCGAGACATGTCTCGGCAGTGGTAACTGGCTCTAGCCCAACGACATAGTCTCAACACGGCTGATAGAATAAAGTTGGGACAACGGTAAATGTCAAGGGCGCTTATCTATTTGCTCTGAAACCCACTAGAATGTGGCTAGAAAATTGGCCACGGAACTGGGTTATCCCAATCTACATCGTCACGCTTCGTTTCCACGCGTTCCTTTCGTGTGGCAAACACGGTATCCCAGAGTCGTGTCTGGGACCCAAAATTGCCGCTCTCCTTCCAACCAGTCCGGTGATGAAGATCATGGTCTTCTAGGGATAGGTCGCAGTTGAAATATAGTAGTAGTGGGTGGAAGAGATTGGGAGGTGAGGCGTACATGCGTAGTCCGCTGTGGCCACCAACTTCGGTAATGAAGGTTTGGAGGTTGCATATCCACCACTCGTAAAAGCTTAACGACAGCCCAAGAGAGTTGAGAAAATAGTAAGTGACTACGGGGCAGACAATGTAGTCGAAGACGGACTGCTCAAAATCGGCAAACGCCGTCATAAGCGTAGTTGGATGGCGTGACATGTGGTGTTTGCGTTGGTGCTTCCGGAGAAGGGGAATCTCGTGCAGCGATCGGTGGTACCAGTAATACCAAAAGTCGAATGTAATGGAATAAATGGCCATTTTGACGGGTAGCCAATACCAGGCGATATCTCCAGGGGCTTCCAAGTTCGAATAAGCAAGCCACGCAATCAACGAGCAACGTCCACTGAGTAGGGTGTTGAGCGTAAAGAAAACCTCTTCTACTGCCGCATCTGGAATCCCTTGACGCTCGCCAGATTTAGCATCTAGAAATCCAAGCTCGTGGCTAAGCCCGCGTAGGTGTTGTTGCCCGCGTACAGCTGTGAAAATCATCGTAACGTTGTATACAATGAGTACTTGCCAAAGAGGCATTGTCCTACCAGTATACTTCATGCACGCATGATGTAAGGTCATAGGCAGAACACCGTGTAGAATAATCCAGCCAAGCATGGACCAGTTGGATAGAAAGGGCACCTTTGTCTGCTTTTCGTGAACAGGAATTCGCCGACCGAGGTCAGAGTGGTAAAGACCGAGGATTTCGTAAAACCAGTGGTATATTGTCCAGCTGGAGCGGTCCTGAGTCCGCCAGGTGTACTTCAGCGCATCTTTTCGACTATTCTTCCTCGGAGGAAGTGATACTTCGTGGTTGAGGATCTTCTCTGTGGTTTCGGCTGTCATTGTTGGAGTTTTGCGATAGCCCAGGCGACATACAGATAACTGAGCGGTGCAATATTGTCAACGATCGTCCTGAGTTCTGAATGTATGAGAAGAGTGTTGCCGAAGCCAGCTGTCATGGCCCGAAGGGCAGGTAAAACTATTGTACTGTGTTTTAAACAGGAATTTCAAATTTTGTTGCCTAGCGAGGCGGAAGTAAGACCTTCGAGGGCGATACAGTTTGCGGCTCGGGAGAGATGTAGATCCTAATGTGGCCTAAAACATGCCGCCCTCCTGCAAATGTGTACTTATTTTCCTGTAGCTGTAGGAGGTTGTTAGACAATTTCACTGCAGATTATATGCCCTCTTTTTTAATTTGCCAAGTACTTATGCAGCGCGATAGTGTATCTTTTATTATCCCGGCAAATGTGGCTAGGTAGCGCCACAGAGGGAGATGTCTAAGGATATCGACATACGTCGACTTGTGAGACTAATGCAACTACGCGTGTCGTGTTAAGATAATGGATACTCTATGTAGCCCAATATCTACCCATTTGCGTCTTAGAATACAGCACCATTAATATGTACCGAGTTAAGAAACGCGACTCCGGCGCACACAGAGATACAAACTTGCTGAACGGTCACGTCACCTCTAGGTATATCCTGCTTCCCAGATTCACGTATATTCTAAGTTAACGTATCTTGCTTTACATCTTTCCCTCCATTCAAATCACAACGCAGTTACAGAGTTAGCCACTATGCCTCTGAAACCCCCACCTGCTCCTCCCATTGCCATTGTCGGCATGGGTATGAGGCTACCAGGTGGGATATCAACAGCAGAAGGCTTTTGGGATCTGCTGGTCAATAAGAAAAGTGGTAAATGCCGTGTACCAGACAGTCGCTACCATGTGGATGCCTTCTCTGGTGATCAGACACACCAGCAAAATGTTGCAACCGACCAGGGATACTTCCTCGATGTCGATATCAAGGCCTTTGATGCAGGGTTTTTCAATTTTCCGAGAATGGGGTTGGATATTACTGACCCTCAGCTCCGACTACTTCTTGAAGTTGTCTGGGAATGCATGGAAAGCGCCGGGCAGACAACTTTGTGCAGTACAAACACTGGAGTCTTTGTTGGTACCTTTGGAGAGGATTGGCACAATATTCTTCATAGAGATACTTCGACACCGAATCTATATCGAGCTATTGGCTCTGGCGACTACAGTCTCTCCAATGTGCTTTCATGGCAGTATGATTTGAGCGGCCCAAGGTACGTAAAGTAAAATATGACCGAATAGAATGGCCCTCGTAATGCTTACTATTAAATCCAGCATGACCATCCGGTCAGCATGCTCGTCGTCTCTATCGGCTCTTCATATAGCTTGCCAAGCCCTGTATAATGGTGATTGCCCAGCAGCTATTGTTGCAGGCTGTAGCCTGATCATGGATCCTACCATGACCATCGACATGTCGCAAGGTGGCATCCTTTCTTCCTCTGCATCATGCAAGACGTTTGACGCAGACGCAGACGGATTTGCACGTGGAGAGGCCATCAACGCGATCCTTTTGAAACCGCTGGAGGATGCATTGCGAGATGGTGATCCCATCCGTGCGGTTATTCGATCTACGTCAGTAAATTCCGACGGCAGGACGACTTCTATTGGCACTCCAAACCAAGCGGCGCAGACTCAGATGATTCGAAGAGCGTACGAGAGAGCAGGGATTGAGGACTTCTCCAAAACACCATTCATTGAGTGTCATGGAACAGGTACTATCCGCGGAGACCCGACTGAAGCAGCGGCAGTGGCCAAAGTGTTTGGGGACCGCGGCGCATATATTGGTTCTGTGAGTTGGTTCCATTTATCCACCAAAACGGTATTGCTGGAAATACATCTACTTACACTCTTAGGTTAAAACAAATCTAGGCCATGGCGAAGGCGCCGCTGCTTTAACTAGTATTATCAAGGCAGTTCTTTCGCTCGAAAACACAACTATACCCCCGAATATCAACTTTTCGACGCCTAATCCCAACAGTGAGTATAAAAATGGAAAACCGATTTCGATGATAAACTTACCAACTTTTGCAATAGTCCCGTTTGAAGAATATAAGCTTCAAGTCCCGGTGGAACCCATTCCCTGGCCCAAGGATCGGCATGAGCGAATCAGCATCAATTCATTTGGTATTGGAGGAGCAAATGGACATGTGAGTTTATTATATATATAAATAGATATAATAGATGACGTACTAATCTCTATGTAGGTGATTCTTGATTCCGCTGCTTCATTCGGGGTCAAAACAAAGGCTCTTACAAGACAACCATCCGAGGTGTCTACTACGGATCTCGGCGCTATTTCTATGCAAGCTTCGGAAAACTCATCCGATGATTCTTCCGAGACCAAATCCGAATGGGAAGTCATCTCGGAGATGTCCTCGGTGGAATCATCCGAAGATATCCCCAAGATACAAGAAAGCCGCTCATTGAAAAAGATACTAGCCAATCGTATCAAGACAAACGCTGCAGAATCTGTTAAGAATGTTGCTATAGAACGCACTAATCAGTCGCTTCCGTTTCTTCTCCCAATCTCAGCTGAGAGTGAACGCTCACTTGAGGGTCGGATTCATGATCTGAAACAATATCTTGATGATCGGCCAGAGTGTCTTGGTAGCGCAGCCCATACGCTTAGTCTTCGACGAGTTCATCTCAAACACCGAGCCTTTGCTGTTACGACAGCATCCACAGATGGATTATTAGAATTCGAGCCTCGTGAGAAGGCTTCCACAGCTGTTAGTAGCGACGATGGTATCGCATTTGTCTTCACTGGCCAAGGTGCACAGTGGCCCGGTATGGGCCGTAGCCTCCTTGCCACAATCCCTAGTTTTCTTGAAGATATCAGAGCTATGGATGAGGTCCTTCAACAATTAACACCGCCACCCGCTTGGAACATGGAAGAATTCCTCAGCCACTCCCACCAAACCAATGCACAAGACGTCAACAAAGCAGAGTTTTCTCAGCCTCTTTGTACAGCCATCCAAATAGGATTGGTTAATTTCCTATCAAAATGCGGCATATCACCAAAGGCTGTAATGGGCCACTCGAGTGGCGAGATTGCCGCGGCGTATAGTGCAGGGGCCCTTACAATGTCCGAGGCAATTCTCGCGGCGTATTTTAGAGGACTTGCGACAAAGAGCCCAGAATGTAGTCGCGGTGGTGGCATGGCAGCTGTGGGACTGGGCAAGGAGGCATTTGCAACATATGCTAATGAGGGTGTTCGAGTGGCCTGCGAAAACAGTCCAACTAGCATCACCATCTCCGGTGACTTGGATGTCGTCCACAGTACTCTGGAGGCAATCAAATCCGCAGATGCGGCAGTATTTACTCGCATACTTCCCGTTAATATCGCATACCATTCAGGTTAGTGCTAATCGAAATATCACTTAAAAGTATCATTATTGCTAACCCGACCTGTATCTTGTATCAGATCATATGAGGAAGATTGGGCAAATATACGAAGATATGCTTAAGCCTCACCTGTCAGCTCGCGCTCCAGACTGTCCTTTCTATTCCACTGTCACTGGAGGTTGTGCCCAGGTCGAGACTAGACTTGACGCCGAGTACTGGCGGCGCAATTTAGAGTCTCCAGTCTTATTCAATACGACAATGGCAAAGCTGCTGAATAACGTGCCCGATGTATCAACCATCCTGGAAATTGGTCCTCATCCCGCTCTACGAGGCCCTATCGGCCAGATCTTGAAGCAAGATCGACAAAAACACGGGCCAAGTACGAAAGGGTCGCCCAACTATGTTGCAACTTTACGCAGAGAAGAAACCCCATGCTCATCCCTTCTAGTCGCTGTTGGCAAACTATTTGTTCTTGGACACGATGTGGATTTCGCGAACCTTTGCCCTCCAGCGCCTGTTCTGACAGACCTACCTAACTACCCGTGGAATCGAGACCAAAGGTTTTGGAAGGAGAGTCGTCTTTCAGAGGCCTGGAGACTGCGAAAGCATCCGCATCATGAGTTACTGGGTTCCAGATGCGCTGAAGCAGCAGAATCGGAACCTATGTGGAGAAATGTGCTTCATCACTCCGATGTTCCATGGCTCGCCGATCACAAAGTCGAGTCTGATATTGTTCTTCCCGCTGCCGGTTATATAGCAATGATGGGCGAAGCCATAAGACAGTATCTAGGCTCCCAAGCTTATGAGTTGCGGAACCTGATGATAAAATCTGTTCTCTTGGTGCCCCCAAAAAACCCCGTTGAAGTGATAACAACCATGAGGCCACTGCGACTTACAGGTCTTTCCAATTCAGCGTCATGGTGGACTTTCTCAATATCATCATTTGATGGAACGAGCTGGGTCGAGAATTGTATGGCTGAAGGCAAGATAGCCGAGGAAAGAAGCTCCGAAGGTAATGCGATGGCTGATATTCCGCCGCATGTACGCCAGGTCCCTACCGGATACTTTTACAACCATATACGCCACCTGGGTCTCAAGTGCGGCCCATCATTCCAACTGCTTAACGATACATTTGCACACACAACAGACTATTCCGCCATCGGTACGCTGCACAATGATGTGGCCAAGTATGAAGCTCCCTATGCCGTCCACCCGGCTGTAATCGACGCCTGTGTGCAACTTACCGTTCTCGCCTACTGCAGGGGAATCTCGCGGGAGCTGAAAAATCTCGCCCTTCCTGTTGAGATTCAGCACATCGTGATATATCCAGGAACAGGCGACCTAGATGCCAAGGCTACGATAGCCCCCGAAACATACGCTGGAACTGCCTTAGCCGCTACCAAGGACGGCAATCTGGTGGTTAAGCTTGAGAATGGACTTTATGTCCCCTTCAACACCGGCCAGCACTTATCAAACAAAGCCCCTTTGCATGCAGCGCGCGTGGAGTGGCTCCCAGATATCGACTGCCTAGAAAACACCAATGAGCTACTGACACTTCGCCGAAGCAACATTGATAAACTCACGCTTGCTGAAAAGGGATGTATTCTTAGCATCCTACAACTTGTCGACGTCATGGAGTCTCTCAAAACACCGCTCTCCGGCCACTTTATCAAATATGGTGCGTGGCTGGCTAAAGAACGAAACTTGATTCTTCAAGGTCAGCCCGATGATATTGATCCTGAGGCTCGACAGTGGGCATCCCTGGATACGGATGCGAGAGAAAAGTTGTTGGATGCATTAGTCGAGCAAGTTTCGGATCCTGAAAACGCAACGCTATGCGGAACCATCAAAATCTACCAAGCCTTAAGCCGACGTTCAAGAGCTGAACCTATCTTGACAGGACAGGCGAACCCGTTAGAACTGCTGCTGGAAGATGACGGATTGCGTCATTTCTACGACTTGTTGAACGAGCCAGTAAACATAGACAAGTTTGTCTCGCTCTGTGCGCATTCCAAACCAGTGATGAAGGTCTTAGAGATCGGAGCTGGCACTGGGGCCATGTCGGAAGTCTTTCTTAAGAGCCTTGTGTCGGACAGTCGCTTGAGAATGTATTCCCAATATCTCTTTACAGATTTATCTTCCGATTTCTTTGCTCCCGCAAAGGACCGTCTCAAGGCGTTTGATCAGGTAGAGTATAAGGTTCTTGATATTGAAACAGATCCTGCCGAACAAGGCTTTGAACTTGGGTCTTTCGATCTCATTATCGTCTCCAATGTAAGTTTCTGGTTTCTTTCTTGTATAAAAGACGTCCTCAATTAAGACGACTTTGACTCTAGGTCCTTCATGCTACATCTACTATACGCGTTGGATTAGAGAATATTCGAGCACTTCTTCGTCCAGGAGGGCGACTATATCTCCATGAACCGGTCTTCTGTAAGTTCCTTAATATGTACACCACACGCTCGGGTCACTCTAACAGCTGGCGCTTGAATAGCTATGAGATGGAGACTGCTGCACATATTTACTGTAAGTCATTCTGTCCATGCCACTAGTAAATCGCGTTTACTAACCCGCCTTTTTTCACTGTAGGGTCTTCTACCTGAGTGGTGGATTGGGCAAGACGACGACCGTTCCGAAGATCCATGCGTGTCGGTTCAACGATGGGCGGATGAACTCGAGTTAACAGGCTTTTCGGGTACTGATGTCGTCACATTGGACGAGGAAGATCCAAAGAATGCTGTTTGCGCTCATATCATCAGCACGAATCCTGCACCAGTACCTGACCCAAATACTATACTCCTGCTATATCATGTTGAAAAACCTGAGTTTGGATATAGACTGGCCGAAGCACTAGAGCAGCAAGATGTCCCGACTCAGTGGGTGAAGCTTGGCCATGAAGATGACTTCATTGACGGACTAGACACCATCTCCACGATTGACCTTGAGGGGCCATTCTTCAACGAAATCTCCGAAGAGGACTATAAGACCTTTTTAGGCTATCTTGCCAAGTTCAAGAGTGAATCTGGCATGTTGTGGCTCACTCGGCCCGCCCAAATTGGTTGCACGGATCCTGCGTATGGAATTAGCAGTGGCTACATCCGCTCGATACGTCTTGAGCTCGGAATTGACTTTTGGACGCTCGAGCTGGACAATCTCAACGTATCAGCCATAACCTCCACCATGGCCGTCTGTAAGAAGTTCCGCCAACGGTCTCCTTCGAACGAAACGATAGATTCGGAATATGCGGTCAAAAATGGTACTGTCTACACCGGCCGCTACCATTGGGTATCAATAGAAGAAGAACTCCGATATGAGCGGAATAACGACCCAAAGAAGCTCCTCCTTGGCCAGCCTGGAGTTCTTTCGTCAATGGAGCTGGTTCATTGTGATGCCATCCAGCCGTTGGATGATGAGGTGGAGGTAGATGTTCGCTATATGGGCGTGAACTTTAGAGTAAGCCGCCAAGGCGAAAGTCCTGTGATTGTGCTAATCTTACTTTCAGGATGTTATGGTTGCGATGGGCATCATTAGAAGCTCAACTGATGACTTTGGCCTGGAGGCTTCTGGAGTCATCACCAAGATAGGTAAGGCGGTGGCTGATCTAAAGGTTGGAGATCGTGTCGTCGTTCTTGGAGAAAAGATGTTCACTACCAGAAGGGTCTTGCCAGCCAAGCATATACACCGTATACCCGAGGGCATTAGCTTGGAAGAGGCGGCCACCATTCCAGTTGTCTACATCACAGCAATCCATGCTTTATGCAACCTGGGCAATCTTTCCCAGGGACAGGTAAGTCAAACAAAGCTCCCCAGTCTATATATGATCTTGAATTTGCTAATTATTCCGTGTATTAGAGCGTCCTGATTCATTCGGCAGCAGGCGGTGTTGGCCAAGCCGCTATTCACATCAGTCAGATTATCGGAGCTGAGGTAGGTAAATGTCTACGGCAACATATATTCTACGTGCTAACAGTTCTCAAAAAGATATATGCTACTGTGGGAAATGACGAAAAAGCTCAGCATTTGGTAGATCAGTTTGGTATATCTCGGGAACGAATCTTCGACTCACGGAGCAGCTCATTCCGCGACAATGTTCTACGCGCTACAGGTGGACGAGGTGTTGATATCGTACTGAATTCCCTTTCTGGGGAACTACTTCATGCTTCATGGGAGTGTGTTGCTAAGAACGGTAAGATGATGGAGATTGGCAAGCGGGATATGCTCGCTCATGGCCATCTCGCCCTGGATGGATTCCAATCGAACCGCACATTCTATGGCGTGGATATTCGCGATCTTGGGTCTGTGCTACCGAGGTATGATTTCTCAAATAGCTATCATGTTGATGATATATTAACCTTACGGGTTGTGCAGGTCGATGGATAAATTCGCGGAGCTCCTCGATAAACGGCAACTGAAGCCAATCCAGCCTATCCACGTCTTTTCCATGGAGCAAGCGCCAGACGCTTTTCGGTTTATGAAGGCAGGTCAGCATTTTGGTAAGATTGTCATTAAAATGCCCGAGGCAACAGAGACAATAATAGTACGAAAGCCTCATGAGCCTACCTTGCTATCACCAACATCCACCTATCTGCTTGTTGGAGGGTTGGGTGGCTTAGGAAAAGAGATCGCCAAGTGGATGGTAGAAAGAGGAGCTAGATCCTTCCTTTTCCTATCACCCTCGGCCAACGATCGGTCAAAGCACGGATGCTTCTTCAAAGAGCTAGAGACTCAAGGGTGTCGCTTGACCTTGATCAGCGGCAGCGTAATCGACATGGCGGATGTCGTGAAGGCTATCGAGGCTGCACCGACAGCAATTGCAGGCGTCGTACACATGCCTATGACTCTAAGGGTAAGAAATCAAAACATAAACTACCATGCCATATAATTACTCTTCAGCTAACCCAGATCTGGATGTCCACAGGACTTGCCTCTTCTTGAAGTCACGTATGATGACTGGCGCGCGGTCCAGGATCCCAAGGTCAAGGGGGCATGGAATTTGCACAAGGCACTTTCGACAAACGCCTTGGAATTCTTCGTCCTCTTCTCGTCCATTGTAAGCGTAACAGGACACCCGTGCCAGTCAAACTACGCCTCTGCAAACTCTTTCCTAGACTCGTTCGTGCAGTTCCGACACGGCCTTGACCTTCCATGCTCCGTCATTAATCTTGGTGCGGTGGAAGGAATCGGGATCCTCGAATCTCAGCCCCAAAAGCTAAACCAACTCCGACAATTAGGCGTATATATCCTCCAGGAGGAGCATGTGATGCAAGCCTTCCGCATTGCCATTCAGAGAGGCTCTAGCGCTGATGGCCTCCAGCCTGTTGGATCCCAGAACGCACTAGTAACCAAGTCACAACTCGTGGTTGGCCTACGAACAACGAGGTCTCTTGCCGAGTCAAGAAATACCAGACTTTTCACCAGCGATGTTCGGTTCAGTATGTATCTTAACCTCGATACCGAAGACAAGCTGGCCTCGACAGGACAAGACGACGAGCTCCAAGCGCTTTTGCGAGATGCAGAACAAGATCCAACCTTGCTCGATCTCCCGGAGGCCCTGAAACGTACGTCATGGGAGATTGGCCTTACGCTTTTCAGATTCCTCGCATTGCCGCTGGAAGACTTGGACACTAGCATGACGCTGCAGTCGATTGGTGTAGACTCGCTCGTCAGCATTGAGATTCGTAACTGGTGGAGAAAGACGATGAAGACGGAAGTTACGGTTCTGGAGATCATGAAGGCTGGTACGATAAATGGACTGGGAAGGCTTGCCATTTCGTCCATAAAACAGACGCTCGGCATCGCTGAAGATGCTGCGCCTGCTGGCGATGGTGCATCCGCGAAGGGCTACGTCGCTTCTTCAGCGCCGCCGTGAGTCCTTTCAGGGAGAACGGTCCCTATTTGATTATTTATATAGCTAGCTATATGGCAGTAGTCGCTCATGTCATGTTCTGGTGGCAACTATAGGTGAAACCGAGTTTAGTTTATTTTTCTTGTCAGACATTAAATGACTGTTTGCTAACTAATCTACTAATCCCCCATCCCTTTTGACTACTGGTACTTGCAGACAATATCGCCAGAGCTACCGGAACACTTGCTGACAGTCTTACTGTTCTGATGAAGCTCGTAAGATTCGCCAGTAGAGCCATCGTAAGTTCCGCTCGAACCTGATGCAACCGCCTTGCTAAATGTCACTGTGTCGTAGTTGGCCAAGGTGATAGTCTTTCCATTACGAGAATAAGCCTCAACGACCCATTCGGCGTTCTGCTCGCAGAGGGGCCCAGGACCACTGGTGAACTTGTGGGAGGCCTTCTTTCCTGTCGTCAGGTTCTCCGTCGTAGTGGTGCCAGTGGTAGTTGAAGTGGCATCAACAGTCACTCTGACAACGTCGCCGGCCTTGACGGCGAGGTTATAGTTATAAGCGGGTTCGGAGTACCACTCGTACCAGGCATAGGTAGAGCCACCAGCATCGGCAGTAATTCCAGCTTGCATGAGAGAATTACAGCCGTTTGTACCGTCGATACCGACCCAGAATGATGCACCAGAGCCGTCAGGGCCAGTCACAGATGGGACAGTAAAGGTGCCAGTGATGTGGTTTAATCCAGTTCCCTTTTGGACAATTCCAGACCAGTTATTACTGACTTGGGTATAGGAGTTGTCGCCATGTTTAGCCACAGCGTCCATTGGGCGCGACTGCATTGGTGCCTCGTGCTCCAGCATGGCGGGCACGGCCACAACCGCAGAGATGATGGAGGAAAGGGCAAGGGCGTATTTCATGATGACGGATATTTTGGGGTAGATAGTAGACTTTAGATAATGATGGTATAGTAAATAGCAAAGCTGGGATAGAGATTGCAATGTTAGAACAAGTTCTGATGGATAAGAGACGGCTCCTGTGACTTATTATATAACAAGAGTTTCAGGTATTCACGGCGTCTTTTCGTCCATAGCATTCGAATTGCCGAAGATAGAGAACAAATAGATACAACCCTTGACACAGAGAAGGCTCTCCTTCCTATTTCTGGTCGGCCTCGCTGATGTGGCGGCAGGGTGCCACCACCAGTCTTATAGTACCATGTTGCATATTTTAATCAATGTCCTTCCAACTCTGGTAAGGAGTAGCTGTATCACTCCATCAAAGTCTTGCCAGCTTCAAGGCTTCATTTTTAAACGGATTTCGCTTAAGCATGTACTGATTTTACCTGCCTAGTAAGGCTCGTTATTTGCTCATGGACACACACCTGTTACCCCAGACTTTCCCACCGCAACCTTATCTTGCCTCACGCAGTGTCACGGCAGTTACAATTCAAGGCTAGCATACAATTCTTTTATGTAATGTCTTTCAGAGAACTATGGATTAAATTTCCATTGGTACATAGCCATTGGTTATATTTTGGGGTTTCCGTGAGCTCGTGTGGGGGTAAATCATGGGGAGGTCCGATTGCGGCGTCGGAAAGGGGTCTTGTATAATCTAGGGGCTTTCGGGCTAGCCTTTCTATCAGAATCCAGATATTTACTATTCAGCAGTCTCTTTAGAGATCTCCCTCTCTTTCTCCATATGTATCACTTGGAATCCATACATTACTAAAAGCTACCCACTTACAAGTAAACCAGGTCAGGGATTTTATTTTGACTATTCTAGTTTCTGCATAACGCAACGAGAACCCCCCGATCTCACAGATAATGCTACAGTAGCAGTCGATGACTATCTTTAATTTGACAGGTCCTGGTTGGTAGGTTAATATGAATATTTCCTGCTGCTAACGGTGGATTGTATGCCTTGATATGTATCGATTTTTAACTTCTTGGTCTGCGGTAACGGTCAAGGCCCATATGAGGTTCATGACTATCCAACATAAATAGAGCGTATATAAGACTAGCTATGGGAATTACTCTTGGAGCAATTTCTCTTCGTACTTGTTGGTGTAATTGGCGGGATTTGCCCCAACTGTCACAATACTAATACTACAATGGCCACGATTACGAGTACTACCGCGATGTTCAATGTATGGAAATTTAGGTTATAGAAGCAATAGCTGCCTGTAAAACGGGAATATTTAGAAAATAAGTTATTTAAATACTTAGAGTCCTCACTAAACCTATATCTGATCAAGGTGTCGAACCGCTGGGCAAAATATTACCTAATGGTCGAGTTTCTTGTGACAAACTGGAATACTGATAATATATTAGACTTTGTTGCTATCAAGAGGCAGTAGACCGTAGAAAGAGATCAATATAGAAGTACGGGTCCTATCGGGCAAGGATGACTCTAAGAACAACATACCGTTGAACACAAGATACATCTTTTCGTTTCCCTTTCTTCGCAAATAAATTACTTTCATTTAATTAATTTCACAAAATAAATAGTTTAATTTAATTTCAATCCAAATTCAAATAATTAATTAATTTAACAGTTTTGGGTTGAATTGATAAACTCATCTTTCGTTTTCCTATAGCTTATGAAGTTGAAAAGTACAGCGTCTATTGTCGATCCAAGTGCCAGCGCCCAGCTTTCGGTACAAACAGAGCAGTAACACTTGCGACCTTCCTACACAAGTCGGCTTCCTTCTGTTCAGTTGCTGGATTCTGAAGCTGAAGATCTTGAAACAGAAGAGGTACGTTGGATGCTTTCCAATCGCCTTGCCAGGGGCTCCGATAGTTGGTAATGAGAACAGCGATAAGAAAAAGCAGCTCAGCAACGCAGAGCATGGCCAAGAAAGAAAGATAACTCCAGCGAACTTTAAAGCAAGGCTGTGCCTTCTGAGTTTGTCCCACAACGTCCTCAACACCCACGGGCTGGGGGTCTCTGCGCCACTGCGCGCTGATTGATCTGGCAATGCCTTCGCCGAATGTAGCTACCGACGATACATTCAGCTTTCCTCTATTCCATAGCTGGTCCAGCCAGGGGTAGTCGCTGTTGCTATCCCTGAACGCCAAATAGAGCTTAGCACCGCCAAAAAAATCTCTCATGAAGTATTGTAATGCGGATGTTTCTCCCGCGTTAACCTTGTAAACGCATTCCGGACGATAATAGATGGTTTTTGGCGTGAAATTGCGCGTACTGTTGAGAGCCAAGAACTCGTACCGGCTTCCGCGCGTCGTAACTTCCATACTATGCGACGCGCTCTTTTCAGTAGATGAACTGCAGTCGACAATGGTACCGTTTGGCAACGTTGCGTTTGCTTCCAACTGGAAAAGAGTATTTTGTGGGTTTAGGTAATCAATTTCAGGATACAACGGCTGCTGAGAGGTTTCGTGTTCCTGATATATGTGGTTTACAACGCTGCCGCTATAGGTTCTGACGCAGGGGGTATATCTGCATTCAAACGCAACTGCTGTGTCGTTTGGGCCGTTATCCAACATGCACGGCCCTTCGTTTTTGCAGCTCATGGCGAGGATTTGGAAATCCATGAGCGAGCTTCTATTCTTCTCATAGTCTTTTCTGAAGGGGAAAGATACGTTGGCTGAGGTAGTCACATTGACATATACATGTCGGCTACCAAATCCAGGTGTGTCGATGCGGAATACTGTGGAGTTGTAACCTTGTCCTACTAGCATCCAGGTTCGATTGTTCGGTCGTTGGATTCGATCAGAAATATCGGAACACGAAGAGCACATGCTCAACGTGGTAAACGATGGGAAGGTACAGTTGCCCGTAGAGCAAGTAACTTGCGCTGTGACGGAGCTATTCGGCGGCATCGTATAGATTCCTGCGTACATGGCGATTTTCATAGCTGGGCTTAGCTTCGTACCATAGCCAACTGAATCACCTTGGTGAGATTGCAAAACGCGCTGGACTTGTGCAGGAGCTGAAACTGTAGGTGAAAGGATTTGGTGGCAAGTGCCCACGGCGAGGGATGCCTGAGAGAAAGGACCGACAGCGAAGGCGAGAAGAAGAAGAGCAGCACCAAAGCTGGATAGAGAACTGGAGCAATACCAAATCCGTGTTAGCACAGGTTCTTTTACAAAAGAGCCCAAGAAAAAACATAACGGATTAGAGAATATTGCTGTACGCACGAGAACCGCTGTCCGCGGAGTTGTCGAAAGAGTAGCATGACAGGCCCCCATGCACCGCTGCCACCTTTTTCATAGATAGAGAGATCAGCCAGGCTGCGAGGCCGCTTGGAAAACCAGATCCATTTTAGCTGCCCCATTGCTATGGCCGGTAAATTAGCAGGAGTAAGAGCGAACGAGTGAACGGTTCAAGTTGATGTTGGCATGACGTACCGCCGGCAATAGGCAAAGCGAGAGTACCCTTGAAGATGGTGGAAAATATAGATACCACAGTGTTGAGAGAGAATGGTGCTTTCCAGTCAGAGGTGTCACGACCATTGTAGGTGTATAGAAGAATGATGATGGCGATGAGGGAGACAGCACCCGCCGAAAAGGACAGGAGCTCCCATTTCCACACTGCTAGGCTGGATAGAACATGTTTGTCATGAGGGCTACCGTGCGCTGCGTAATGGTCAGTAGACGCTATGCGCTCATACATGTGCTTTTTAGGCTCTAGGAGCTCAATGTCGTCTTCGTGGTCGTGGGAAACTACTGTTGGGTGATCAGGGTCTGTTTGCGGAACGGCACTGCGAGAGATACCCATTGTAATATGCTTGCCCAAGGCGAAACACAGAGTAGAGCATTGATTGATTTAAATCAAGAGCAAATACAACAAAAGAGGCCAAAGGTTGGTCAGGAGTAGCATCGGGCTTACAGTAATTATAGGGGGTGTGTAAGGCAACCAGCCGCAGCCGTGCGGACTACGCTGGTAGTGTTGTACAAAGAAAGTACCGTCGATCCGCACCCTAATCAGCTCTTACAAAGAGTCAAATTGGTACTACAGCACAAAAACCAGACAAAATACTTGGACTGCCGATTGCAAATCAGGCTGGCAAGTAGGCTGGGTGCCCCGCCCCCAGATGCGGGTAGACGGCGCGAGCCGACTGGGGAATGATATGGCAAGGGTAAGTATTGGTGGAAACGTTCTTCAGCTGAATGCAAGTGGTAGCGGTTTGTGTCGAAAAAGAGCTCGAGCCGCCCCTACTTTAGACAAAAAGCACTATGAGCTACCTACGCTAACCTGTGTATGTCTATGTGAACCTAGCCACAACGGCCGCGATGGTGTTAGACGAGCGTAAAGACCTCCTCGACAGCCTCTCCTGCAAGATCCTTGTTGAAAGCTTGACCATGCATGAAATCCTCCACATAACACTCGCCAACAAAAGTATATTCACCAACCGTTTCTGTTGCGCGGAGAATATAGGGTACTTTACCTCCGTATAAGACCGCCACTATATCGCCACTTGAGGCGAATGACGGACACAGGCCAATTTTACCATCTTTGGTGTTAAACATGCACCGACCGTGACAGGGGAGCCAATCAGGCTGTCTGTATGTAATTCCTTCAGCTTCAGCATCATCATCTTCTTCTTCTTCGCTGGCGGTTACAGAGCTTCGCTCAGGTGGAAAGTAGCCCCAATGAGCAATGTAATGCCTAACAAGCTTGTCGTAGTCTCGCTCGTAGTCTCCTAAATCTCCATCACCTCCATTGCGAGAATTCAGCCATGTTCCCATGGTGGCGGGAGGATCAAAGAGTTGCGTATACGCATCTTGTAGACCAGCAGGCAATGGCGGCTGTCGATAGTACGGATAAAATTGAGGATCGTCTGCAAGCGAGCCAAGTCGAACGCCTCGAAGCTTGAGCTTCAGTCTCTCGTTTCCTGACCCAACCGCTGTGATCCTCGTAGTTGACACGTCCAAGAGTTTCATATCAGCTGTCGTCCTATCACCGCATGCCGTATAACCAGTATTGCCATTATACAGTGCGAGCGTTCCTTTGGCCCAATTATCGTGGCCAACAGACCAGAGAGACCAGGATGCCCTGTTCTGTTGTTTAGAAGTTACATCCATCGCCTCTACATCACTACTGATAGATGTACTCTCAGGAGGCGTCAGCCACTGTTTGCCCTCCAGAGTGTGCACAGCAGACAGTATACGCAGTGAGCCATGATGCAAAATCCACCATCGTGTAAAGTCTGCATACACTAGAGTGACGTCTTTTGTATAATCAGGCCCCAGCAGCCGAGGCAATTCGGAGATGTTATGCGTCTCTTCACCAAAAGTCAAGAGCGCATATATTTTGTCCCTCGGGTCTGTAGCCTGCAAATCGAGTCCGCTGATGATGATGCTCAATATATCACTACGCGGAGCTGGCATACAAGTAAGGCGTGATGAGTCTATGCCTCTCTTGACGTTGAATAAGTTGGTAAGAAGCCGTGGCATAGTGTAGTTGTTTAGGAATCCGGCCTTGTCACAGAGGCAACGGTTGGCCTGGACCAGTATCTCCCACGGCAAGACCTCATCACCGCAATGTATGCTGACTCTACCTTGGATGAGTTGCTCGTCTTGTGTCTCTCCAGTCTCACCAAACGGAGATTTTGTACTCCATACCTCTTGAACCACCCATGCCCGCTGGAACCACGGCCGCTGGAATATACAGTCAACATCGACGGTATAGTAGGTTTCGTGCGCGATGCGTTCATGGGTCTCCCGAACACCAGGCAGACAGAGTCTATCCCCTTCACCTGCAGATTCGCTTTTATGCTTACAAGTGGTTTCTCTCATGGTAGCACTGCTGTACGCGTCGCCAATTGAACGGATAATAGCAAAGTCCTCACGCACTTGGTCATCAGCTTCTCCAATCCAAACTTTGACGGATTTTGCAAACGCAAATATCTCTCCCATCAACCCAACTTGCATAGCACGCTCCTCCAGGTCAGCCTGGTTGATGCAGATCAAATCGATCCATAGCACCCGTTGAGCCGTAGACCTAAGTTGCTTAAGTGCTGAGTATAGGTTTGCCCTCACTGGTATCTCAACGCTCTTATCGGAGAAATCGGGATTTACCAATTGAATGACGTTTGCATCGTTATCTGCATCGCCCCAGCAATACGATAGAGCTTCATACGACAAATGATTCGGATCCAGCAGAGAAGCGTATTGAAGGGAGATGCGAACTGGAGAATCATTATTTTGGTTGCTGACGAATGGCTCCAAAACAGCCAACCGAATCTCCTTTTTCCACGTCTGTAGTTGTCGGTAAAGCACATGTTCTACATGTGTAGGTAATGAATACCGCGGGGAGGGCAGCGGAACGAACTCCACCCACATATCAATTCGAGCAGACTTTACAGTATTCTTCCACCCTGGGAAGAAGGCTTTTGGCACGAGCCGGATGATGTCACCACCACGTATTCCATCCAACCACGAGACTAGCCCGAGTCCCTTGCTCTCTTCTTTAGAGGACCACACTGCGGCACCCGGTGAAGCGCTGGCCAGGGTTTCATCCCGTCTGTCCCAGACATTGACATGAGTCCGGTACTCATCGCTTCCATGTAGGTTATACTGAATACGACGTCTTGGTACCCGATCCGATCCAGAATGAGGATCAACAGCGTGTGCCTCGAAGAACGAATACGATCGCTCATATGTGCCGAGAAGGTCGGTCCGGTCACTGAAGCCTTGATCGTGCGACTCTGTGGTGAATATGATGCGATGAATAACCGGAATCGTGTTATTTCCTGTTTCCCTCGCCTCTATCGCTGCAGAATGCGGAACCGCTAGCGATAAATATGCGGTTTCCGGGCAGTAGGCGCATGTGTGCGTTATATGTGTTGCAGTGGCTTGAGAACGGCGCCAGGTAGGGTCTACCTCTAGCTCACCCACGTTTCCGCTCATTATTAGGAGTAAAGCTTTCGTGACAATAGAACTGATAGTCGCTTATGGAAATTGAAAGGCGGGGTGTCCTGCAGCGTCAATAACAACATCTTGCCCCCCCGCAGCACAGCTGACCACGGTGAGGCTGCAAGTCTGCAGCCGTAATCTAGACAGTGTTGATGACCTTGATAATACTGGTGAGACGTGTGAAATTATTTTTAATCTGCGGTATCTTCCTGGTTTATGCTTCAGTCAAAGCGGTTTTTAGATGCAGGCTATTGATACTACATCAAGCAATGTATTATGATGCGTCTATATCAGTCTTCACAAGACTCACGCATTCTTTAGTATACTATTTGATTGATTCATACCAACAGTAAAATATCACCTAGCGTAAGAGAATAGACGAAATAGTACCAATTCGTTTTGGACAACAAGCCTTCTTGATAAATAAATGTATGGCATCAAGAGAGAGTCCATATATAGCTTCAATTTCTTTGGAAACATGTATGATATATAAAAATAGCTCGTCCTCTGATACATACGACCATAGATACAGGAGAACTCGGGATCCCGTCCGCTCTCCCATAGATAAGCCTGTAATCGGCAGATTAGTAGTTGGGTCGGTGACGACCAGCGAACACCGGCTGTTGTATGTTTTTTTTTGTGGATTTTGAAGATTTCTTTTTGGTTAGTATTGTGATGATGTCTAGATTAGGAACTAGTGGAGTGGACCTACCAATTAAGTGGGTGAGTTTTTATTACTATTGTAGAGGGTAAGCTATTTATATTATAGAAAATAATTTATTCGCTCCTCTAAACATAATGAAAGCTTAACCAATAACGAAAAGAGAAATAATATGTATTATCTCAGATAATATCCCTGAGTCCCTCCGCCTATAGTATTATCGAGGCTTGCTCACCACTTTTCACTAAATGGCCGGATGCAAATCTCCTGTGACAGGTGTGGAATATGCTGTTTGTGAAGAAGCCAATAACTTTGTGCAATCTAGTTTACAGTTTTTAGCATGGCACTAACAAAACATAACTGATACAAACTCACTGCGTTGGGATCCAACTTGGCATGCCAGGATGAAAACGGCTTCAGCCACCAAGTTAGAGGCATGCGAATAACTCCATCAATAATTACATGTGCAACGTGGACTCCCTTTGGCTTAAATTCGTCATAGAGCGTTTGTGCAAGCCCTCGGAGGGCATGCTTTGGGATGTTGAACGGTTGTAGCCAAGCATTGGCTTTGACTGAGGCCGTGGCGCCAGTGAAGATGAGCGTAGGGACGATCTCATCGTCGTCTGCCATGTTGAGCAACAGTGGAAGAGTAGCCTTGGCGAATAAGAAAGCACCTATCCTATAGCGAACAAAAAGTGTGAGTGAATAGGACGGAAAGCACGAGCAAGGTTCACTTACAAGCTAATGTCCAAGCCGTGGCGCAAGTCGTACGGCGACTGCCATGAAAATGGTTTGGGGAATGGGCGAGAGCTGGCATTGAACACAGCCGCCGCACATTTTGTTCCAAATGCGATGCGGATCTGGTTCATCGCAGCTTCAATGCTGGTCTCATCAGACACGTCTGCTTTGTAGCTAACAGCACTGCCTCCCTCGGCATTGATCTCAGCTGCAAGACTGTCTGCGAATTGCTCTGAGCGTGCCAATAGCGCCACAGGGTATTCTTTTGCAAATTTCTTTGCAACAGCCGCTCCTGTTCCAGCACCTGATGCTACTCGTTAGTAGGGGACACCGCTGTTAGAATAGAGTTGAACTAACCAACACCCGCGATGATGGCAAATGGCTTGCTGCTCATGACGACTGTCTAAATTTATTTGTAATATATCGATATCTGCTTGGTTAATGGAATTATCAATATTTTTAATTTTATCTATTATTTTAATAAACGATGGGGGTTGTTGGAAGAGGGGAGCGGAATCGGATCATCTTCATCGCACGTAAAGGCTGGCGCCTAGAATGACGGTTAGGACCGAGGTTAGCACGCCACGGCCGGATTTGTACAGTACCCTCCCTCATACAAAATACTAATTATATCGGCCATCCTTTTCTTCTCTTTTGCAATTGTATATCAAGTTTATCGCTGGCCGAAATCACCAATATGGCGCCCTTTATTATTATTGTAGCCTCTGGTAAGGAAGTTTAGCCGGTATCAACCACTGTCCCTTGTATATTAACTGACGCTCGCTATACTAGGTTCTAAAGTGTTGGACTCACAAATTACAAGCGCATTTGGTCTAGAATACGACTTTGTATTTCTCACTGATAAGGAAATCACTTTTGACCCGACCCTTGAGCTCATTCGAGATCAAGGGAGAGAGGCCAAGGTGTTCCCAATTGACAGCGGAGATGAATCCTCCATTCAGGAAGCTATCGCCAATGTCACCACACAACTAGGGGACAAGCACTGTGCAGCCGCCATCTTCCAAATGAGCAGCGCTGAGAGGACACCCAAAGACTTTTTGCAGCAAAACCTTGACGATTTCCGCAGCGAGGTTGTCACGCCCATCCAAAGTGCCTATGTCTTTGCAAAGGCTACCTTGCCTCTGTTGCAAACCCATGATGGCACGGGTGCGCATCCTCCCACTCTGTTATTTTCGGGACCTCGGGGAAGTTCTTCTCCCGATAATATCCATGAAAATGCCTTGGTGGCGCTATCACGAAGTCTAGCGCGTGAGTATGGACCAAAAGGCGTCCATGTGGCTCATGTAAAGTATAAACAAGACAGAGAAGTTAAAACTACAGAGCAGGCGGTAAGTAGGCTTTTGTTATTTAGTGGAGACTCTTGGCGGTTAACACGAGATATAGGTTGTTGAGGCTCTTTGGGGCCTACATGTACAACCGTTATCCTGTTTTATGAATGAAATTATCCTGTAGTACAATCCCGTTGGGGTCCTAGCCTAAGAGAGCCTGGGAGGGAAATGTACAGAGTCCCTGTTGGACGACCAAAGACCGGAGATGAATAGCCATGTGTATTCCTGTATTTCTATAGTAGCTACTACAGCAATACCCAACACAATCAACCGTCTAGCTGCATCTATGGTTTGTTGCAGCAGCACTTCTTCGAAAACCAACCACAGCCGTCACCAGTCATATGAGAAAATCCACCATACCCCTTGCAATAATCCTCACATTTGCCGCTCCAGGAGATGCTGCAAGAACTTGGGTGGAAGCAGTTTTCCATAACAGCATTGGTGTCCAAGGTAGTAGAAGTCTGCTCCTCGGCGGATTGCGCCGGGAGAGCGGTGGCACCAGAAGCCAGAACAGTGAGAAGGACAACGTTGAACTTCATTTTGTGCAAAAGAAAGATCTTTGATACAAGCAAAGAGGAGAATAGAGATATTGTGATGTTGTTTGTGGATGTCCATCTGCTCGCTTAGAGACGGCCGGATCTCTGGTTATATACTCAGCAGCCATTGGCACTGGATAGCGTACTCATACTCTGGTGCAATGTATATTATGATTCAACATGTTTATCAATCCCGTCAATACCCAGTATTTTACGGTCACTGTTATCCCAACATAGTGAGATGTGCAAAGAGCTGAAGAGCTGCACAGCCGTGTCGTGACCTGTATATGATGTACACGGTACGATTTACATCAAATTCTACCATTTCCAGTAATTCCATGTACCAAGATGTACACTTTTAAGCATACCATGATGCTTTCAGCTGGTGTACTGTTCAGCTTTAAGGTTTCGGGTTGAATACGATTGGGCGACGTCCCGGAATGCATCGCCTCAGCTCAGCCTTGTATCACCGTATTTGCAGATCTCCACCATAAACTTGGAAACAACTCAGACAAAATTCTGTAAGACGAACTATGATTCATCCGTTCGCCGAAGTACCTTCTTTGTCCATTTGGCGACAGGCCAGTGGTAGTAAAGTATAAATAAAACCACCTATTCATCTTGTGCCTCTCCAATTCCCAGCTATCCCCCCGAAAAGCTACAAAGACAACGCTTACTACATCACTACCTTTATAAACCCCATTTTGTTTTTAAGACATAATGCAATTTACTACTCTTTTTGCCATCTTTGCCACCACTGCAGCTGCTCTGGCTGTCGAGCCGCGCGATTCGGCCGAAATCATGGGCGACACTTGCTACTACCCTAGCTCATGCTCGGCTTTTTGGTCTGGAAAGTGTGAGGATTACTGTGGTTATCGAGGATTCTCACACATGACTGGCGACGGCTGCGGTCTGTTTCAGAAGAAGTGCTGCTGCATTAGACCGAGGAAGGAATAGCACGCTTTGACATGAGGAGGCCATGTCTACGGGAGGGGGAATTGATATCACGTTCGCATAAAACAGCAGTTCTTTCACCCAAGCTAAAGATAACAATTTACCTCCACTACCACCACAACCATGACCTTGTACACCGGTGAATGTGTGTTCGTCTCTGTCCAACCAGAAGACGTCTAAGCCGTGTTTCTCGTTTTGCCAAGTGGATCATCATGAACGAGCAGGTTGATCTTCGTCACGGGGAAGCCTTTGTCGTTGGTTTAGGCGAGAAGCCCAACACCCTCTTCTAGAACCAACAATCTATCCACGCACGGACACGGACATCCTCCACTGTTGCAGAAACTACCTGGCCTCCTATCTCCGGTCCATGGCCACCGTAGAAAGCAGCCACCCGGCTAACCGAACAGAGAAGGATATGCGAAAAATGGCGCCCTGATAGTGGGTTTACAGGCACACCACCACTGACAGGTAATGACAAATGGGCCCTGAACATGGGAAGCGTCCGCATCGATCTCGTACCCCGAACGGACCGAGCGCGATGAAACAGGGGGTTTCTACAGCGCCGACGCGGACTTTGTTAGCGCCCTCTCAACGGGGTCTAGTGGATGGTGGGCGGCGGCGTCGACTCTGCATCGAGGTTTAATATATTTATATTAAAAACGCAAGTCCGTGCAGTGCGCCTCCACCAAACTATTTCCCAGCCGCACCGGATTCCTGCCGGATCTTGGTAACGGAAGGATTCGGTTCTTTGCATGTGCAGCATGTTCTGCAGCATTAGCCGGCTATTGTTATCTGTCGTATTTTTTTTATGTTTTTTCTTGCACCAAGACCCGGCGTATTGGTCCGCATGAACCCTCTCGGTAAATGCCCTCTCAGCTGCAGCCGTCAACGCCAAAGAAACGCCAAAGCCACGCCTTATGCGGCTGCTACCCACTGAAACTTGCTTCTGTTGAGAGCCGCCTATGTTGCAATTTATTGATTTTTTGGTTCCTGCAAGTGTATTTTCTCCGAGGTCCACTGTTGCCACCCATGGTCTAGCCATCCTTCGGGGCTTGAGCGTGGCTTTGAGGCGCAAGTTTGTAGGATTTGCTTTTCGGGAGGCATGGCGGCCTGTGTATAGATATCTCTGCCTCCGCAGTTTTTGTAAATTCTATTTCTTTCTTTTCTTCTTTTTTCTTTTCTTTGCTTCCTGTAAATACTTCACGTTTAATAGTCAATCGCCATATAGCATGACTGCTGATGCTCTATCCTATCTGCAACAGTATGAGGGCAAGGTGGTGCCGTTCTCTTTCAATGCTGGCTATGTCAGTCTCAGTTATGTTGTGAGCCTTGTTGGTGCGGCTTCTACTCTCGAACTGATTCGTCGGCGAACCTCTCACAAAGGAATACATAATCTGTGAGTAACATTGAAGTCACTGTGGCCAGGTCATATGGCGACTAACACGTCATAGGCTATTACTGGCTGGTGCTGCAGTCTGCATGGGAGGAATTGCTATTTGGTCCATGGTATGTCTTGTTACCTCTGCATCCTCTCCAATTTGGCCGTTTCTGGCCATGTATAGCCTACTATTCCAGTCCACCATATCTGCGGCTAACAACGTACTAGCACTATGTCGGTAACCGTGCCATCGCCATGCTTGACGGCGAAGAAGCTCTTCAGATTGCCTACGATACCAAGCTTACCGTTCTTTCCTTCTTCATGCCTATCCTTGTTTTACTTGTGGCCTTTGTTGTCGTCACTGCCAGTGCCCAGGTTGCATGGTGGCGCATCTATCTATCTGGCTCCCTCTCTGGCGGTGCGATCTGCGGTATGCACTATATTGCCAACCTATCAATCAGTAACTATCATACAACATATCATGTTAGTTACGTCGTTGGCGCTGCTTTGATTGCTGTCTCGGCCAGTTCGGCAGCACTTGCTCTCTTCTTCGTCTTTGAGACTTCATGGACCAATTCCTGGTGGAAGAGAGCCGGGTGCGCCATGGTCCTTGCTGGTGCCGTCTCTGGGATGCATTGGTGTGCTGCTGTTGGAACGCAGTACACGCTAATGGCATCATCATCCATCAATGTTGGTGGCAGCTCCGTGTCACGCAATGATACAACCATTATTGTTGCATGCCTTTCCATCGCCGCATGCGCCATCATCACAGCCAGTCTCATGTTTTCGACATACGTGCGACGAGTTTCCGCCCGTAAAGCACAAAAGGTCGTTTTGGCATCTGCTGTCTTTGACTCCCGAGGGCGAATCATGGTCAGCTACGAAGGCATTCTTCCTAGTCAAGTCGTGACAACAACGTTCATACCAAGGGTACTCACCTCCTTCCTACTCGCAACAAGAAGCACCATATTAACAGTTACGTCTAGACAAGCAGCGAATTTTTCGACACAGCACACCCCATATTTCATTGGATGTTTCGCGCATCCCGGTCCTGGGCCAGTGTGGTCGGCCTCATCGATCCTATGCAAAGACACATGGAACAATTGTCTCGAAATAAATCGCTTCTTGTTGCCGACGATGGTACCATGGCAAGCAATTACAATTTGATTATTTGCGAAATGTTCTGCCTTGCCGCTGCTGGCCTTGCCTCGCTTATGAAGCAGAGTCTTCAAGATGTAGGCAAGCTGTGGGATGAAATCCTGACTACTGGCAACGATGGCACTTCGTTGGCCGCCAATCACCGCCCAAAAACGCCAGCCAATCCCTCATTGTCTCCCCGAGAAGCTGATGTTGAAAGTGTTTCCGAAAAGTCAGTCGGCTCAATGGATCACGGACGCGGCTCCCTCATGTTCCTAGTACGCCATGTTCGTACTCAGGAAGAGGTTGAAAAGCTCAAGGCTGAGGGCTACCGATTTGCAGAGATCCACCAGGTTCTTGGCAATATCAGGTCCAATATGCAGATCTTAACCCCAGACCTCCTCGATCGGCTGCGTCGCATGTCGGAACCAGACTCAACTGCTGACAGTGACATGAGACCAGGAGTCTATCTCGGCGCATTTGTGCTCAGAGCCAGGCTGGATCACAACAACAGCGGCGGTTTCGACGTCTTGGTACAAAAGGCCACAAGAAACAGACTTCCTTCAAAGTTACTACCTATACAGGAGCTACAAGAGTGGCACCACGCCTTTCTCAAGCACTTAAATGGCTTAACAGCGTCTGATATCCTTCAACGGCTTCGCAATGTTGGAAATACCAGCAAGACTAAAGAAGCGCTATTTTCTCGGCAAATATTCAATGCACTCGTTGAGATTAGAGACGGATTTAAAGAGACTATACCATCGGATGCGAGCGATGCCTCAGCATTCGATAACGCCATTCTCATTCCGCAAATCACTCAGTTACCTTGCGTTGCGGATTCCAAGGAAGCAGCTTGGGGAACAAATGAAAGACATTTTACATGCTCTTTAATATGCTTCCGCTTAGTTCTCCCTATCCACACCCGCGATAACTTCAAAGCGTATCAGGTCGATCCCCTCCCCTTCTTCAAGACACGCCAGCTCGTCTACCCAGGCTCACCTCAGCAAGTTGAGTTTTCGCACCAGATCCATCGAGATGTCATGGCATCCGTCTTGAAGCTCTCTACTTCTGAGGTGGTATCCAAACCAAAGGTTATTCTAGCGAGGATGGGGGCCTTTGGATTGTTGAAGAAGAAGGCCGCAAAGTCTGCCGACAAGGCTATAGTTCTGCAGCAGTTGGATAGAAGTAGTCGCGAGGGACTAACACTCGCCACAGCACCAATGTCGAATGTCTCACATGATGAAAAATCAAGCTCGTTTGGGGATCGCAAAGACTCCGTATCTAGTTGCTTTGCTACGGATGGCACTGATCTAGGTGGCAGAAGCCCCAAGCCGTTGGGTGGTATCATGGTCTCTCAGCAAGTGGTTATTGGTATAGAGGAACGAAATATACCGGCCAAGAATACTGGTGGTCGCGCCAACTTGGTGTCTCAGCAGGACAGCCCATATACAGCGATTACTATTGGGTCCGACGGTCAAAGAAATGCTGCCGGAGACCATGGCCGGCAGTTGGATGACGTCTTTGTGGATGAATTGTTTAGATTGTGTATAAGCAGTTATGTAGCACGTTGATCCTCGGGTAACAAATATTAATTATACGTTTATTTCCAGACAAATAATGCACTGCGCATCATCATCGAGTGGCCAAAGTTTGTTAACTAGCATACAAGACACTACATCACCTTACCACTCGTCACCCAATTACTCAAGGCGGTCTTATATGGTCTACTTTTACCACCGCGACTCACAATCAGCTTCTCGACCTCCTTTTCAATTCCCAAGGCTGTCGCATCACCGGCATTATACGTAGAATGTGCGTCTTCTAGAATAGAAACTTGGAATCCGGCACTCAGCGCTCCTAGTGCCGTGGCCTGGACGCAGTACTCGCTCTGAATACCCAGAGTGACCACATGGGTTACGCCATGACTCCTAAGACGGGCTGCCAGGTCTTGGTTCGACTCAAATGTATCGCCTGAATTGTCAGAGAAGTCGTTTATTCAAAATATGATTGGATGTACCTGTAGTCTTATGGACGACGAATTCATTAGAACTGTCGTCCTCCGGAGTGAAGACCAACTCCCATGGTGCAGTCCCATAGACCAAGGGACCGTCCTCAGGGTGCTGCGAGTGCTGTACAAACACAATTATTGGTGCTTCCTGGTCATTCTTCGGGACAGAGGTTCGCGCCGCCGATAGAATTTCAGACAAGACGGACTTGAGGCGGTCAGCGTGAGGGACACGCGAGGCTGGAGTGTTGGCAGTTGCCGCTTGAACGTCAATAATGAAGATGGCGGTCCTTGAAGTCATCGTGGCCTGGTGCGTTGTGATCTTGTAGTATGCCGGTTGAATTTTGATTTGCTTATTCTTTGAGGTATACCAATGGAGCTGCAAAATCTAAGTCTGTACGTTTTGGTCGTGCAACTTCACAGCTAGAGTTGCTCGACAGTTTGCACAGCCTGGTGTAGCCGTGGCGTATCAACGGAACTTTTGTCTCTCGCTCTAGCCTGCACAGATCATGGATCCAGTGCTTAGGATCCTGCGGTATTGATGGCGTCATCAAGATTCAAATACATAAATTCTAGTCTATTATTATGCATGGTGGCCAAAAGGACCAATCTCTTTTTTGGCAATTTAGCCCCGATTCCCCTCTTCAAGTTGAATCCAATCTTCACTCGTGGTAGAACCATTCATATTCTTTCTCATTTTCTTTTCTTCCTTTTGTTTCTGCTTTTCTTCCTTCTTTTGTCTTTTGATAGCCTTCTTCTCTGCCCTCGTCACTGTCGGGAATTCACTGTCCGGCCCTCGTAGCACAAGACCTGGGTGAACTAGGTTCAGGAGTATCAAGGCAAGGACCATTGGGGAAGCATCCAACGCAAGCGGGTAGATTTCTTTGGTAATCAGTTGATTGTTTGCGTCGAGACCAGGACCGAATTCTACCAGACGATAGACGATTCGAATCTAGAGTGTCTGTTAGTACAGATGGCGCAAGACAGCAATGTAAATGCGGACTTACGATGATAAGCGCGAGTACGAACAACATAACCCAAACCAAGTACCGAAGCTTTCCCATTTGACCGCGGCGGAACCGATGCACCAGAACATAGTACCAAATGGTCATTCCGCCGAATATGACGACAAAGGCAAGCTGCAAACCAATACCAGCGACATAGACTTTCATGCCGATCTGTACTATATTCTGATTGTCGTTATTTGACAGCATGGAACCGCCACCGAGTTGCACAATGAAGGAAAGAATATCCAGGCCGACAAATAACGTCGTAAGCTTGATACCCCGGATACCCCATATCGACTTGTCAGGCAAGGTGAAGTGGACCAGGCGGGCGACAACCATGTAGATGAACGCATTGATCCCTAGCAACGTTAATGTTGAAACTTTGGGTAGCATGTTGTAGACTTACATAGTGGTGCTAAAAGGAAGAGAATCGTGCCGATGATGGCGTATTGGAGCTGTTGCTGGTCATGAGATCCGAGCGTTCGCAGTGTAAAGGCTGCTGTTTCCCACAGTCCTCCCATGATGAGGACCCAACAAAATGTCTACATGAAGTTAGTTATGATTTAAATAGGTTTCAATCACAATCAGGGCGTACCTTTTTGAAAATGATCGCCTGCACGATGTGTGTAAGGGTTGTCAATGCAAATAGTACGAGAAAGGCAAGGTTGGCTTCGAAGCTGGGGTCGAAGTTGTAGTAGGAATTGCAGGCACCATACGGTACATGACCATATTTGTCTGGTACAGCAGTAATACAAGTTGATGTTGCAGTGGTGGCACTGGTAGTGGCAGTAGCGGTTGGCGGGGGTGTAATTGTGCTCATGGTGATCTATGGAAGCGGATTGACGCTAGTGATCTTGGCTACTTTGATGTGCTGCAGGAACAGCTCGGCAATTAGAGACTACAAGTCCAACTTTATACTATCCAAGGATATACCCCAATCATCTAAGATGACGACGATGCTGAGGCTTATCCGTTCAGTCCGAAGTCTCCATAACTCGGAACCCCAAGTTGTCGTTTTATTACATGTTAGTTTCCGTATTGACGGGATATTGCGTAAGCAGGCTGTGTATCATATGCATTGCATATAGTAGGCAAAACTGGGTTGCCTGGAATGGTCAGCAAAGAGTGTTTATCTTGACATTTAAACTTGTCTATAGTAAGTAGACGAAGAATATGATTGCTGCCGTGAATAATGGCATCAATCTAAATTCAATTCCATTAAAAATTACATCTATACATTCTATTTACATTTTCTTTTACTCAGTTTAATTTTGTATTTTTTTTTTTGTTATTCTACGAAACGTGCTCCTCTATACAACGTAGAAGTGCTCCATGCGTTGCATGACGCGCGTCGTTCTCAGCCATAAGGCTGACAGCCGCTCTATAATTATCAAGCCGCACCACGTAACCACAGGGGCTGAACTGTAAAAAGATGAAAAAGGAATTTTTCGCTTTATAGAGCTAGACAACCTGGTTGCAAGCTTATATTTGGAGGCGTTGGCCAATCGGAGAGTTAAATGAAGCATAGATCTTCTGGATGGTGATGCACATGTGCAAAGTTGACATTTGAGCAGAAGGCCCCTCTCGCTCCGACAATATAATTCGCTTCACAATTATAGTTATTTTGCCTTGCAGCTCTGCTATCATGTAGCGATACTATCAGTATCGTATACTATAAACGGCGACCGACACAAGCTTCGAAAAGATCCTTCCGAGCAACACAGGCCCTCACTATAAGACATACCAAATACTCTGAACATAGAGATACCTTACCCAAGCTCCCTCGGGATCCGCCGCTAGCAAAAGCTTGTACGAGCAGTAGTTCCCCAAGCTCCACGATGGAAAGGTAACATCCACACACCGTTTGAAGAGCTTGTTTACAGCTCCTGATACGTTAACAATGACCTGTAATGGCCAGATGCTACAATGTTAATTTTTTTCTTAAGACCTAATTTTGAGCAACCATACTGACTACTCTATAGAAAAAAGCTTTAAATTAATTTTTTTGGACAATATTACCTCGTCATGCTTTCAGGCGAGCGGCTGTCCAGCATGTGATGTGACATCATTAACCTACTTATATTAGCTTAGCCTCAATAAAACCAACTGCGGGGGCGTCTATTGGCAGCACGCCTTGTGCTGTTTCGGGGCGGCGATGTGGTTGCTCATCGTACACATCATGTGATACATCGTGCATCTGCCGAGGTGCACCAGGCGGGGGTCTAAGATCAACAAGCTAGTCACTTACAGAAGTCGACTAGCCTCCCTCCCCGCCATTTCTTTCCCTCCGCAGTTTTCCAAAAACAAAAAAAATTCCTCTTCTTTTTTTCCAATTGGTACCCATTCGACACCAACATCACAGCTAAACCGCCATGCCTCACCGCCGCAACTACGCCCACGTCGTGGACGTGCCATTTTCCTTGTACTTGACGCGCTTCTTCCAGGCGCTTCTTGCTGGCTGCCTTTTGGGTCTCACGGCCTATGCCATTGCGTTCAATGACTTTGCTTCCGTGCGATTGTCGGTCTTTGCGGTACGTCTCGTCGCATTCTAGGAGCTGTTGAACTATAAACCAGGTCTAAGCTTCTCTGGAACTGCTGCTAATCTGATTCCTCAATGTTAGTCGGCTTTTGCTCTAGCCATCCTCGGCTACTATCTCGTCGCCGTTCACGCCTTGCCCTTCATCTACAACTGGCTTGCCATCATCATCACCGAATTTCTCATCATTGCCTTCTATGCCGCCACTTTTAGCTCCCTTGCTGCTCTCTACACGGACGAGAAGTATTCCGACTTCCTCTACAGCAATGTCATCATTGCTATTGTCGCCATGAGCGCCTTTGCCTTGTATGTTTCTTGTCGGTACCCTATGCGCGATCTCTGCTCACCATCGTTTTTTCTTTCCTGTAGCGTAACCCATGTGATCACCTTTTTGATGCATGCCGCCGGCGTGGTTAAGCATCGCAAACAGGGCAAGCCACTCTTCAGTCCCCAGGGTAGACGCCCAACCATTGACATGAGCCAAGCTTAAGTGGACATGTGGGAGGACGAGAGAGATGTGCCGCGAGCGAATTAGTTGTGTGTGTGTGATTGACAAACTGTGGTAATTATTATCAATACTTGTTACACAAGTTCACTGACCAATAATGATAATGATCATAATAAATAATATTCCCCCGGATACTTTTTGGCATATTTTTCCATGTTATGTAAAAGTCGGTATAGCTTTCAATGTGGAGAGCCGTTTGCGTACGCAACTCATGCACTGAAGCGCCCTTCATCGATCGTCTTCAGCCTGCACATAGCCCATTGGAAGATAATTCATCCAGCTTTATTAGTAGACAAAGTTCCTTCAACGGCTCGTAACGAGAGCGACCATTGATTCGTCCGATCCGCCGGGTTCGCAGACTTTCTTTTCCACCTGTTTTCATTGTAAAACTGCAGTCAGTGTCAGATCAGTAGAACAACCCAGCCCACTATTTTCAGTGACAGTGCCCCCCAGGCTACCCATGTTACAGCGGACTGCCTGTCACCCACCGCCCGTCAAAAAAAAACCTCCGATCCGGCGCTGTGACTCCCAGGCTCGGCTTGCCTAAAAGGGCCAGGCCGCTACTTCTTTGCCTTCTCCATCGCCAAGCCAGACACGCACAACGCGACAACCCTTTTGCAGGCTCGACGTTGCATCTGAGATCCAGTTTTTCTCCTCTTGATTTCATCATAGCTTCGGTGCTAATAGAGCCCAAGTGAACTACAAACAGCAGGACCCAGCTTTTCACTCCGCAATTCCTCTTCATCTCGTCTGTGGTTCTTATCGTGGGCTCGACTCAGTCTCGTCATCTTTTTTTCTCTCAAACACCGCATCTCCAATTGCTTTCCGCACAACGACTTACCATGAGATCCTGCGCTATCAGATCCGCCAAGTCGGCATTGACTGGCATTCAGGCTAGAACATATTCACAGGCTGCTGCTGCCGCTGGGGCCACTACAGCTCCTCCCCGACATCTTCTCTCCATTGGCGACTTGAAGCCCCGTGAGTTTGCTGGTCTTGTCCGCAATGCTGCCTCACACAAGGCTGCCATCAAGGCTGGTACAATTCCCGCCGACTTTTCTACTGGCCTTGCCGGCAAGACGGTGGCTATGATGTTTAACAAGAGAAGCACCCGCACTCGCGTGTCAACTGAGGCTGCCGTTGCCATGCTCGGAGGCCACCCCATGTTCCTAGGCAAAGATGACATTCAACTTGGTGTAAGAATTTATTCCAGATCCATCAGATCCGTCTTCCTGTTTAATTTGCTAACATTTGCGTGCTTCACATATAGGTCAACGAGTCCCTCTACGATAGCTCTGTTGTCATTTCCTCCATGACGTCGTGCATGGTTGCCCGCGTCGGCCCACACTCGGACATCACACAACTCGCAGAGCACTCCAGCGTGCCCGTCATTAATGCGCTTTCGGATGACTTCCATCCTATGCAGGCTATTGCCGACTTTTTAACTATTCACCAGTCGCTCGCATACGCCGAATCGTCATACACCAGCTCCGCCAGCGGACTTGGTCTCCGTGGCCTCAAGGTGGCCTGGGTCGGTGACTCAAACAATGTCCTCTTTGACCTCGCCACTGCCTGCATGATGATGGGTGTCGACATCACAGTTGCATCTCCCCAGGGCTATGGCATTCCCGACTACATGAGACAGCGAATTGTCAAGGCTGGCGACGGAGTCGAGGGACGAGGCCATCTGTTTGAGACAACAGTTCCTGAAGAGGCTGTCAAGGGCGCTGACATTATCGTTACTGACACTTGGATTTCCATGGGACAGGAGAGCGAAAAGAAGAAGCGACTGGATGCTTTTGCAGGATACCAGGTCACCAACGAGCTGGCTAAACGTGGCGGCGCCAAGGAGGACTGGAAATTTATGCACTGTCTCCCCCGCCACCAAGAAGAGGTGTCTGATGAGGTCTTTTACGGGCCTAGGTCTCTAGTCTTCCCTGAGGCTGAAAACAGACTTTGGGCAGCCCTTGCCGTCCTGGAGGGCTTCGTGGTAAACAAGGGAGAATTTGACGTTTCCAAGTGGTAAGCGTTGCAACGATGATGCATTGGATGGGGATGTATTTGAAAGCAAAAACTTGTGATACAAAAGAATGGATACTACTCCGAGGAATGGTTTCACCATGTAGAAAAATATTAATTCAAAAAATTTGAAAGCCTACTTGAACAAATTCAAGAATTCATCTCGCCATACGCCAAATTAGCTTCTTGATAAAGCTCTTTCACTGCCAATATCCCGCAATGCCTTTAACCAGGGGGGAGCTGGGAGGCATCGACAATCTCATCGGCCTCCTTGATAAGAGGCTCCTCGGTGGTGTTGGGGAGGATAGAGCGAGGCAGAGCCATCAGACCGGTGCGGGCAGATTCGAGGATACCAAAGGGGTTGATGAGCTTCATGAAGGAATCGACTCGGGAGGGCTTCGCAGACCTGTAGAAGAAGTCTTTGTTAGTATGTCGCTTACATATGCCTTATGCGTCTTATTTTTTGTAGCTTACAGTTCAACAATGCAGCTGACGGTGCTGATATCGAGAACCTTGCCGCCAAACTGGTGCGTCAAGTAAGTAATAGTCTTGAGATGCTCGTGCTTGTGGCGAAGAGCTTCACTAGCAGCCAACTTGCTAGGGTGGAAGTCTTGAGCGGATTCTTCAAGGCTGAGCTGGAGCTGCTCCGGGTCCTCGGGCTCGCCAGCCGTCATTTCGCGGTGGTGGGTGAGGAGCTCCTCAAAGTATTCGGGGCCAAGAATGTTGACCTTAGCAAGCAGAAGCTCGCGCTGAACAAGGGCAGCATTGCTGTAGTCAAGGACGGCCCAAACGGGGACAAGATCCTCCAGCTGTCGTCTAGCCTGCTCGACAACGCCGTCCTGGCCAGTCAAGACAATGGTCATGCGAGACAAGTCCTGGACCTCGGTGTTGCAGACAACGAGCGAGTCAATGTTGAAGCCGCGGGCGGCAAGAATACCAGACAGACGGGACAAGACACCAGGCTCGTTCTGGACAAGACAGTTGAGGATGTGGCGCTTGGGGGGAGTCATGGACGGAGTAGGCGTCTCGTAGAGAATGTTGGAGACGGCAGCCTGGGCAGACCATGCGGGCGTGGCCTGGCTCAGCGGCAGAGGAGCAGAGCGGCGTCGAAGAGCCTTGTAGGCAATGGCCGATGTCGAGCTGCTGGATGAGTTGTATCGAGCGGCGCCCTGGATAGAGGCCGCATGGCGGAGCGGCTTGCTCCAAGCTCGGAGCGAAGCCATTGTGCAGGTGCTGGGAGAAAGAAGAGGCAATTGGTCCTCTGTGATGGGTCGCTGACAAAGAGTAACTATCTCGCAACCAACAGCAACAAATCACCCTCGTTTGTGATGGTGTAGTTTGTGAGAAGGCGGAAGAGGCGTGGACGAGAGATGTGGGAAAATCTTAGCGGCGCTCTTCTGTGACTCGCTATCGGAGCAGCGGGCGTGACCCACTGAAGAAGCACCCTATAGCGGCCTGCACATGCCAAACGCAGAGATTGGGATGATTTGGTGTGGTTCTCAAGTTAAATCACGTCTAAAAAATTATATACCATATTTAATGACAGATTTTCCATCGATTAGTATTTCGTAGGTTTTACAATTGGTAGTGTTTCGTCTGTTTGCTGCTGCTTGGAGCTCCCATATAACCCTCCGAAATCGCTCCCGGCCCTGGTCTGACACTCTCCGCAGCCGGCTACACAGGCCTTCCCCACAGCAGCACCAAAAAAAGTTGCCTTAGGTAATCGCGATTTGATTGTTTGCGGGCTGCATTTTTCTCCAAGCAGCAAACTTGGTATATCAAGGTGTCACAGCCCGCCCCGTGTGTGTGTTTGTCGACGCTTGTATTTCTGTCCGCTCCATCTACGATTTTTGGGGCACGAACATTCGATTTTCAATTTGTTAGCACCACGAGATAAATAATACCAATACCGTGCACTCGAAACCATGTCGGACGAACCCCGCGCAAAGCGTTCGCGCTTCGATCAAACAGAGCCAGAGCCAAAGCGAGCATCTCGATTCGACAGACGCTCACGGTCTCCTGCTGCGATAAACTCAGAAGCTAGAGACAGGAGCCCGCTGCGCAACGAAGAGAATGGCGAAGCTAAGCCTGCTGCTCTTGACCCCGCCGCCGCAGCTGGTAAGTGACAGACCGACGGCACTGCTAGGGAGCCCGAGAATGCTAACATAAAGCCCTTCTAACAGCTGCCGCCGCCGCCCGAATCAACGCCCAGCTACAGGCTCGCAAGGGCATTCAGCACGTCGACGTACCCCCAATTCAATCAGCCGATGGAGGCCCTCCTGTCCGCCCTCCTGCGCCAGGTACTGGTGACGCCAACGACAAGCCTCCTATCCACGGAGAGATGTATGTTGCTGGAGGCGATTTCATTCAGGATATCGAAATCAACGATCTGAAGAACCGCTACATGGTAGCAAAGGCATCTACACTGCAAATGATTATGAGAGAATCCGGTGCTGGTACGTTTTCAAACCCGTGTACCCAACCCCATGTTCCGCCACCTGCTTACAATCGCTTTTAGATATTACAACTCGAGGAAGCTATTATCCCAACAAGAGCATGGCCACCGCTGCGAACCCGCCATTATACCTTCACATCACAAGTTTGACAAAGTCTGGTCTGGAGGCTGCTGTTGCCAAAGTCAACGAACTTATGCAACAGGAGCTCCCCCAGCTCGTTGACGAGAGACGTTTCCAGCGCAGAGACCAGCGAGAAGCTGAGCCTCAAGATCGTGGTCGCGTAAGTTTTGCATGGCGATACTCTTCATGTTTCGTCCTTTCAACTAACACGTTTGACAGCGCAAGTGGCTTGAAGAGAAGATCCCCATCGACCTCGACCCCGTCCCCCGATTTAACCTCCGTGCTCAGATTGTCGGTCAAGGCGGTTCATACGTGAAGCATATCCAGAACGAGACTAGGTGTCGCGTTCAGATCAAGGGCCGAGGCTCCGGATTCTTAGAGCGTGAGACTAACCAGGAGAGCGACGAGCCCATGCATCTCCATGTTACGTAGGTCAACACCAGGTTCATTCATAACAAGTTTGTTTCTAACCCATCTCTAGTGGACCCGAGCCTGACATGGTTGAAAAAGCAAAAGAGCTTTGCGAAGATCTTGTGATGAACGTCAAGGAACAGCACGAAGAGTTCAAAAACAGACCACCTCGTGATGACCGCGGTGGTTACCGCGGGGATCGTGACGGAGGTGATAGCTACCGTGGCAGAGGCGACAGAGGAGATAACCGCTCCTACGGTCGTGATTCGAACAATGGTGGCTACGGCGGCTACGGTGGTGGCCAAGGCGGCCAAGGCGCAGATGCTGCTGCTGCTGGCGGTGCCAACTCGGCAGAGCTGGCCGCACAGTACGCTCAGTATTACCAACAGAATCCGGGTGCAGACCCATACGCTGCTTATGGAGGCTACGCTGCGTAAGTTTCCCTCTAAACCTTTTGCTTGACCGTAACCGACTAACTGACTTGCTATACAGCTACGCTGCTTACTATCAACAGTATTATGCCCAGTACCAGGCACAAGCTGAAGGACAAGCGGGTGCAGCTGCACCGCCTCCTCCCCCCAGCGATGCTGCGCCTCCTCCCCCACCTCCAGCGAACAATCCTCCCCCACCACCGCCTTCTGGCTCGCCACCCGGTGCTGGAGGAAGCTACGGAGCAGTAAGTACAGATTCTCGTCCTATTTGAGGATGCTTCGCGGCTAACAGTATTGTTTAGGTCCCTCCTCCACCTGGACTGTAAGGTAAAGGGGCTGCTATTACCAGCTTTACGAGGTGGTTGTTGATATTTGGTAAAAAAGAAAAGTGCATTTGGTTTGGTACACTAACACACTATGCCAAAGTACATCGTCGGGTCATTAGTAGGGACTGACATAACGTCGAAGAATAACATTGACGGGCGCAATAGGCGAAACGACTACTACTACGGTGGCTCACAAACCCCAGAATCTTTAATTTGAGTATTTTGTTGCTGCTGTTGACAAGGAAGCACTAATTCCACAGGGGCGGCACGCGCTGCTGCTTACATTTTGATATGGGTACATGTTCGCTTGTGATTGCTATAGCTCACTTTGTCGGCAGGTTCTGTTTGATGGTCCAGATACCTTACTCCTGTATCAGCTTTTGTGATTGACGAAACCGAATGGTTTGCCTAGAAGCTTGTATAGTAGCCGCAAATAAGAGCAGCGCGCCACCTGAGCGGTGGGCAATCAGCGCACGTAGATCCATGATAGTACGGCTCTATTTACAGCATGATAAATATACCGTACTGCATTATAATAGATGCCTCGTACTTAGACCCTGGTATTTATTAATAATTTTATTGAAATATATATAGCCTCGTAAACATTGCCATGGTGAACACCTCTTACAGCTCAAGCTCTTATCGATTGGACCTCGCCGCCCGCAACTGTCCCACCCAAGCTCCAACCTCACTCTGTCAAAAGAGGTGGCAGCCCTCGAATAATACGTCTTATCCCGACCAGTCTTGGACATAGACACTTTAAATTATGAGCCATCAACGGTATCTTTCCCACGACCCGATAAAGGAGCCGCATTCGGTCTCCGTCAAAGTCCTACGGTAACGCCTGTCCCAAACAACGTCAGCTGGTGCTTCGTGCATGTCACGACTAACTTGGAAACATTCGCAACAGCCTATCCCGACCGTCGCTTGTAACCCAATACCCAATCAATCCTCCGTTTTCTGCATCGACAGCGCCTCCTACAGCCCTACCTGCATCGCTCTCATATACGTCGCCATCGGACAGCAACCCCTCATCCTTTGTCCTGAGCCCCATCCTCAACCTCCCCGCGTCATTCGGCTCGGCCTACGTCGGCGAAACATTTAGCTGCACGCTATGTGTCAACAATGACCTTTTACCCGACAGCCCGAAACATATCCGCGATGTACGCATCGAGGCTGAAATGAAGACTCCCGGCCTGGGCAACGCGCAGCCGCTGGAGTTGACGCCAGGCGGCTCTCCGGACTCGGTAGACCTAAATGCCAGTGAAACACTACAGAAGATTGTCTCGTTTGATTTGAAAGAGGAAGGGAACCATGTGCTCGCTGTCACGGTGAGCTACTACGAGGCGTCGGACATAAGTGGAAGGACACGCACGTTTCGCAAGCTGTACCAGTTTATATGCAAGGCTTCGCTGATTGTGCGCACCAAAGTCGGCCCGTTAGCTACGGAAGATGCCGGACCGAAGCGGTATATCTTGGAAGCGCAGCTGGAGAACTGCAGCGAAGAGCCTATACAGTTGGAAAAGGTGGTCATGGAGCTAGAGAACGGGTTTAGCTATCAGGATTGCAATTGGGAGTCGACGCGGAGCGACAAGCCAGTGCTTCAGCCTACAGAGGTTGAGCAGGTGTGTTTTATTGTGGAGGATCGCGGCACCAGAGAGGCAGACCCTGCAGACGATAGACTTATTTTTGGCGTCATGGGGATCGGCTGGAGGGGCGAGATGGGTAATCGTGGGTTCCTGTCTACAGGAAAGCTAGGCACAAGAATCACGCGGTAACGTCACGCCACAGACGAAATATAATGATGCCATGATTTAACACACACACATGCACAACTACTTTTTGGGTTGACAACACTAGAGACTTGACAATGCTAGAGGCTAGGCGTGTCTTGTTGAGACTTGGCACTTGCTGGAGTTGCCGTCGTTTACTAACGTCCTTGGCTCAGTAATCAATCGAAACCAACCCGATAACGTCTGGGTTCCCCTCATTAAGACCACCGACCACATGGGAAAGTTTTTCAGCCGACGACGCGAAGGAACCGGACAACGTCATTAGCCTGACTCCACCCGGCACTGGACCGAAGAAGAACGGTTCGAACTGGTATCTTTGTAGAATTCAGGATTCAAGACTGAGGGATTTTTCTCTTTCTCTCTGGTTAGTACACATTGCTGCAAAAGGAGTTGATCATAAGTGCTAAACGAAGAAAAGAGACACGCTGCATACAGTATGCGCTGTAGCGGGGGTGGTTCACTGTACAGCGCAAGCACATCTGTAAGTGGTTTGAACATGGCCCAAGCTCGACGGCTTGGTTCTATGGCGTCTCCGCCGGTGAGCCGCCCTTGCATGGTAGCGAGACCGACCTTTTTGGGAGTCAAAAGCTCGTATTCGATGGGCATGCATTTTACCTGCTCAAACAATGGCTTTTTTCTGCGGGCGTCCGGAGTGCGACACCTGGCTACTTCGGGCATTAGGTCAGTCACGCCAGTTGCCCAACGGCAGCATCATGAGGTCGTAGCCCAGGCACCAAAGTCGTCAGGTTGGCTCGCCTGTGGTGGAAGGGTCCTTGCACAGCCGGACGTGAAACAGAGCCGTTCACTCGCGTGCCTTGTACCTGCATCTTGACTTGCTTTTTTGCAGAAGCGAACGACGCTCCACCATGGGGGTCTTCTTTCTTTTTTTAGTGTCTGTCGTTGCATTAGCCAGTGGCCTGGAAACTATGTTAAACTAGCTTCCTGTAGGTAGTAGTCTCAGTCAGCAATAGCTGGGGCCGCCGCACACCTACGTACAAAAGCATCGACATGGCTGTGCCCCTGACTCTGCACTGGCTGGGGTGGGCTTCCCAGAAAATCGCCAGTTTGTACGGACCCTGTAAAAAGATGTGCGGGCCATTGGTGGGCGACCGGCGGTGGCTTGGGTCAAAGCCAAGGCAAGTGATCCTCCTAACAGCCACGCCGCGGCAACTAACGAAGCTCCTGTGGTGGTAGTGGTGATGTTTGGGTACGTGGTCATGCCCGAGTGGACTTTTTTTTGCGGCTGCGATAAGCCTGTTGCTTCTTTGGTGTCTATCTCAAAGACAAGCATCTACGCACTGTGCCTCACATGCATCTCTGAACCAACCTATCGGTGTGTGCGTGTGTTTATCCTCGCTAGCGTTTACCCGCGTCAGAGTCGTGTCGTGGTGGTGGTGTTGATGGTGGGTGTGGTGGCCGGCCACCAGCAAAACGGAGACGCTAAAGCAGTGTTGAGACGCAAGCCATGTGGAGCCTGGAAAGTTTTTTGTCGGCAGCGGGGGAAGGCCGTCGACCCGCTACGAACGCGCTGGAGCCCGGGGGCCTTCAGGGGGGAGACACAGGCACCCCCGACGGCGCCGTCTTAGCACGCATCGGGCTGACAGGTGCAGATCGGAGCTACTTCCAGGGCGTGCTGTCCACTGACGGACCACGCGATACAGCGCTGGACTAATCCGGCCCCTGTCGCTGTGCCTTGGGGGGCTTGCTTTTCCGTCTTTTCGTTTTGGGTGTGCTGCGATGCTGCAGGTGGAACGAGATGCAGGAAGAAGCAAAGATGAACGTAAAATAGACGAGCAGCAGTAGCAGAAGGGCGTCTTCTTTTTGCGTTGTATAGTAATGTATTGTATTGTCCATTGGCGGCGCACAGTTCGCCGTTGGAAACAGTTGCAACGCAAGCCCGATGCAACAGCACTGCGTTCGTCTTCTCCTCCTAACAGTGCACTGTAGCAGCGAGGCACGCCCGTGGCAAATAGTGCTGTAACTGCCATGGCACTGTTGTCGCCGAGCCACTAATGTAGCCTACATTGGGTGGATAGTGCTGAAAACCGTCCCATGCACCCACTGTAGAGACGCCTGTTAGTACTGTAGAAAGGCCCCAGCAGCCAGTGAGGGGCTAACAGCACCGTACAGTATCTCTTTTTTTTTTTCCTTTCCTGTTCGCCGTTCCCCTGCCCAAGCCCCAGGACCTTGTCCTGCAGCCCAGCCCAGCCCAGGCCGAGCTTTCCTTCCGCGCGTTTCTCTTCCATCCAAGTTTCTTCCTCTCCGCCTCCATCCACTGCTCGGCGCTTGGTTTTCTCGCGACAATCTCCCTTTTTCCCTTTCCTATTCTTTGCTCGCCTCCTCTTTCGTTAGCACGCCGGGCGTTTGTTAAGCTTCCTCTGATGATGTCAATCTAGGTGTAGAGTAAGTTTGGGTTCCGTGTCTCGCCTTTGCTCCGCTTCTCCCACAACCACCACCACAAGCCGCCGCCGTTGCCAGCCAAACCCCTCGTTTTGAAACTGTCCCGTTTTCAACTAACAGCAGATCGCTCTTTGTTAGATCTTTTCTCTCTTCACCGAACGTACTGTGCCGATATTCTTCTCTCCGACCGAGTTCCCCCAATCACACATAGCGCGTTGACATTGTCTGTGGCCCCCGAACTGCACTCACCCGAACCGCAGCTCACCTTCAAATACAAATCCTGCCCTGGTGGCGGTTGATACCTCGATATGGAGACAAGTATGGAGTCCTCATCTATTCCCCTGGCGGAATATTTCTGGATTGCTGGTGTTGAGTCCTTCTCATATGACGATGCCAACTTTACAACTGCTGCTGCTGCTTCGCCAGTGGAAGCTACCATCTCCGAGGATGGCCAGCCAGTAAACGGCAACAATGCCAATGGATCTCACAAAAATACTGCTCGTCACTCGAGACAGAACTCTGCCAACCGACTCTCCAAGCTTTCCTTAGACATGCGATCTATATCAAGTGCTTTTGACGAAATGGACGCTGGCACAAAAAGCAACAGAAGCAGCACCACCATAAAGGCAGTCAATGGCCAGACTAACGGTGCCTCTTCGTCAGCTGAGGAAGAAGTCAAAGTCCCTGAGCCGGGTACAAAGGATTTTGACTTTGACAAGGCTCTCTACAAGTTCGCTTCCGAGAGAGAATACTTCCTTGAAGACCTTTCGTTTAGTGCTGGAGCCAAGCTGCAGCAGAGACCTCCCATGGTCAACGCTCGAGCAGAGCGCATCAAAGCCGATGAAGGTGTCCCCAGTGGCCGTTTAAGCCCGCTTAGAAGCATCACGGGAAGTCTTCGTCGAAAGATTAGCTTCCGGGACAGTGGCAGCATCCGCAAAGCTCCAACTAGGCCGGCAGGCCCGCCCAAGGCTGGTAAGGCAATCCATGAAATTGAACAATTGTCATCTTGCGTACTAACTCCCTTCGTCTAACAGCCTCTTTCCGAGCCGCAAAGCGACTTAGCAACTATAACTCTGTCATTCCGCCCCCTGAGCCACTCAATGCCGATCCGCATATGCACCCACTGAAGCGTCACTTCGAGCCGGTTCTCCTCGATCGTTACCCGCCCAAGAATGCCGCTGTTGAAAACGAGCGACGTGGAACCTTCCCCGACTATGTTCCCATGTTTGCCTTTCCAAATGATATTCAAATAGTTTCTTCAGATGACCGGCCCCGATCGACATGGCACGGCTTTACAATGACTGGCCAGGACAATACGAAATTATACGGAATCACCCTCATTGTTTGGTCTGCACTACCTTCAGACGTAGCAGACGAGGTAGAGCAACGCTGTGAAGATTGGCGCCAGGGACACATGTCGAACGAGGAAAGAGAATTGGCTGCAAGCTTGGGCGTTCGTCTCGCTGGCGAGAGAACACATCTGTCACAGCTGTTGGCAAAGCTGCCTACCATTCCCACCGGACTTCCGGCCCGTGATGAGCTTGAAGATGAAATTGGTGCAGTGGAGGAGAAGATTACAATGATGACTGACATGTTGCGACCATTGCGACATGGTGCAGCGTCCAAGATCGAGGGCCTCACGAGCGGTGATAGCGGCCTCTGGTCTCCACGAGCTTACGGTATTATTGGCAAGGATCTAGCCAACATGGCTTTCTGGAAGGAGTGGCTCAAGGCAGTTATTGTACCCATGACTGACGGCGCTGTGCTCAGAGTAGCCCCCAGCTCGCCGAGAGTGGGCAGATGGCAACCTCTAGAGCGCTACGTCGTTAACTTGTGTTCTGAAGCCTTTAGCCCTCTAGGCTCCAAGACCCAGGTCGAGCTCGGTGTTCGCGAACTGCGAATGTACGCCAGAAAGGAAGCTGCCAACGAGCTTCCAGGATCCCGAACAATCGACCTATACGCTCTCTTCCGTTGTCTGTCACTGGAGAACATTGTGGCATTGTATGAGTATGCCATGTCAGAATCTCGCATCATCTTTCTGTCATCGCATACCAGCATGCTGCACCTTGCTTGTCATGCTCTCGCAAATCTGCTCTATCCCCTTAAATGGGCCAGCATTTTTATTCCAGTTTTGCCAGCACGTCTCATTTCCGCCTTGGAGGCGCCTTGTCCATACATTGTTGGCATTGAGCGACGATACGACAACATTGAACTCCCAGACGACGACTATGTACTTGTTGACTTGGACAAGGATACAATTGATGCAACTGCCCAGCCTCACAGACTACCAAGACAGCAGCGCCGCAAGCTTATGTCCTTGTTACAGGTCGCTGCACCGCACCGGCTTCGATTTGGTGTTGCTGAGGGTCCTCCACCATACGCAATCGAATCATTCCCCTATGATGCCTTCTCTTCTGAGAATGGGGCCAATTTCGATCCTGTCACTATGCCCAGCACCCTAGGGAAGTGGGTTTCTCAAAACTCGGCCAGCTTTGGTGAACCTAGCTTGCCTTCTGAGATCCGGGCGCCAGTCTTCAACGCATTTGTCACTGCGGCTGTTGATAACGGCAAGTCTGACCGACCTGGAACTAGTAGATCCGGTCGAACCAGTCCCCGATCATCAGTCTCCCCAGTCTCTACCAACTTTCCGCCGATGCCACTTACACCAACAACCCCAACGACGCCAATATCGAGAAGCGACTCCGGCTTTGCGCTGACAGCTACGTTGCGTGAGAAGCGCTCTGGTCATTTTGGAGGGGAAGAAAAGGGCCGCCGCAGCTCGTCGTTTGGCCTGGATAAGTTCCAGTCATCACGATCAAACCTGCCAATCATCAGCGGTCATCAGCCCAATCTTTCTATATCGGGCATGTCCATGGATTCTCAGTCCTCGTTTGGCGTTGGCTATGCGCCATCTACGTACGCGCAGTCTACTCTTGCGGCATCGACCATTATGCCCAGCATGCAAATTCAACCCGTCCACAACACCGAGACAACTGTGTGGGTAGAAGGCCACTGCTTCAACCTTAACAGGCACGACGTCCTGTCGACATGCTCGATTTGCGATGAAAAGGCTGACAACGACGGCATGTATGACTGCACCGCCTGCCATACAGCAGCACACGGCCGATGCCTGGGCTTTGTTTCCCTAGTTTGCCCAGAGGCTTTCCATGCAGATCGCGTCAGGGCTGCCTTTGTCAGATGCCAGGCTAGCCTCCTGTATACATACCGCAAACACCTGGGCCGACCTGTAAAAACGCAAAAGAACAACAACAAGCTGTACGGCTTCGATATGGACGGGTTCATTAAGAATCTTCCCCATGATCAACAAGAATATGGCATGATGATGCGAGATACACAACGTAAGTTGACTTAGTATAACCAGTTTGTTTCAACCTCCTGCTCACACTGCCACAGTATTTAACGAATTCATCCACGACCGAGAACTGAAGCCTGTCGGCGACCCAGCTATCCGCCTCTTTGACGAAATTATTCTGGCCAAGAAGGCTCGCGGGCGTCCTGGCCTGGGATCTAGCCTGTCGCGACTGTCCTCGATTCGAGTCTCCCACGGTGCCACTGCCAATGTCTTTGGCCTCGCCCCTCCAGGCCGCATCTCCTCGAAGTCATCGGCATATCTCAGCGACACGTCGGACCATATCTGGCGAACTGCCTCGGTTCCTCTCCCCAAGGGAAACTTCCCGGGCGAGTACCGTTCTGTGGTGACTCGAATTCCTTCCATCCTGGATAAGTCTTTGATGCGTGAGCCTCGGGCCATTCAGGGTGTCCCGCGCATGGAGCAACGAGGAGCTAGAAGCCTCGTGCGAAAGCAAGTTGCCAGCATGCTCGGGACCACACCTTCATAAATCACAACGACTACTACTCTGGTCGCGTGATGCATTGGCACGAATAGCAGACTCAGCATACACTTAACCTCAACAGCGGCACATTGCACTTTTCATTTATCACACGGAGTTTGGTCATGAATTTTTATTACATATCTGGGAATCAGTACACGATAAATGGGCAAATAGAATTGTCATTAGGATCAAAAGAATGTATGTAGACATGGTGTTCGCGTCACAAACTTGTATATCAATATCACAAAACAAGACATTAGCAACAACTCTCAACACAGGTTTGATGGTGAACATGGCACTCTAAAAGTTAGAAAACAGAATATTTGGTATGCTGGTACAATGCTAGTAATCTCAAAGTAGAGGTAGTCGTTTCGTCATCAAATGCAATACCAGTGCTATGTAAATGCGAGACCAGAAACTCAAAACACATAAACAATACCGCAACGCCGTCCTCAAACAAGCCTCCAAGGCGCATACAGTACAAATGCAATACCATCCAGCTCCTTATCTGCCTCGTCGTGTCACTGGCGGCTTCAAGTCGTCCCAATTCAAATCCCGAAGAATCTTGGGGGCCATGCGCAAGTAACTTAAATGGCCATGATCAAGTCTCGGGACCCGGTAGTTTTCAACACCGTTGGCGCCTTGGACATCTTGAAGACCAGCAACACCATAGTGAATATTTGATGTTCGGTACAAAAACCCCAGAATATAATCCTGTTCAGAGTAAACGTTGACGAGTCGGCCAGCGACAACACTTTTAAGCGTCAGCCAGACCTTACTCTCAGACGGTGCCGGTGTGCCCATTAGCACAACCGAGTCAATGGCGCCAAACTGCCGGCGTTCCGCCAAGATCATGAGGCACGCATAAATCGCCCGTGCTGCTAGGCTGTATCCAATGAGAGAAACTGGTCGATCCCCTTGAACTTTGTGCCGTATAATAGCATCAGCAAGCACAGAGCCTGCCTTCTCTGCTCGCACCATACCGACGCTCCAAGGATTGTCGACAATCTTGCTAATCTTGAGGAGCCCAACTGGCCAGCGGGAATGGATTAGACTATTGAATACTTGTCATGGTTAGCATCTCAAACCTAGATCGTATGGATTATACATACCAGTCTCTGCTGCAATAGCCTCTTTTGCTACCTTCCAAGCTCTACTTTTGATAACAGTTGCCAGTGATGATCCTAGACTTTGCAGGGCAGCAACTTCCCATCTCACCGTGTATAGCTCAATGTTGTCGTCAAAGTTCATCCACGGTGTGTCCACATCATCCTCTTCTAAGAGAAAGCCACTGATAGCAATAATAAGACGCAAGCGCCGCTGGTTAGCTGGGACCTGGCGTGAATCAGTATACTCGGCCGTCCCTAGTGGTGTGCGGATGTTGAGGGCAAAATCTTGAACTTCCCGGCCAAAGCCTTCAATAGTTTTATCCAGAGGCTTGCTTGGATTAAACCCAAAGAGAGCCCCGATAGCTAAACCATTGTCAGACATGCTTCCTAGCAGCCCAGCAGCAGCCGTCGCTGGCAAACCATATCCTCCCTGTAAGGTTCCAACTCCCACCGCTGTCAGTGTCGAAGCTAATCGCGGAACAGAGTTTGAAGCGACACCAAGGCTGAACTTCCATCTCTTATTGTTCTTATTTTCTTCTTTTTGAACAGCCGCCACTTCAGGTGCGACATCCATCGCCGTCTGTGCGAGGCCACGAGCAAGTCGGACCTCATCAATTCGACAAAGCTCAGATGGCAGGTTGAGTGATGATGCCAGGTTCGATATGAAGATGTGGGCATTTGCAGAGTATTCGTTAGAGGATATCAAACTTAGGAGTACAATATGATGATAGAGTTTTCTCTTCTGCAGGGACGTTGTCCAAAGAGGATTGGCTGTCGGTGGATAGTGCCGCGCCAAAGTTGAATCTACTGGAGGGCTGGGAATGCGAAGAGGACCTGTACCATTAAATCAGTCTTTATTCAACAGTTTGCTTAAGAAAGTGTTATATACCAGTCGCAAGCGACAGTGTTTCTTGATCAACTGTTCGAGGAGCAGGCGGGCCCTGAACTCCTCCCCGGCCGCCTCGTCCACGAAGACTGCCTCTTGAAGGCCGCCCACGCTGACCCTCTGAGGCTGACGCAAGATTGACCGAAGGTGGTGATACTGTAATGTCTCGAATTTTCTGCAGTGTTGATGTTTGCCATTTTCGAAAAAAGGTAACAGCTTCCTTCTGTAACTCTGCTAGCTGCGGTGTTGCTGACTGAGCCTTAACCACATTGACGGCATCGCATGAATAATTCTGATGCCGTGGTTGCCAGCCTTTCTCTATAGATTGCTTTGATTTGTTGTAATCTTGCTGTTGGCGTCGGCGATGGTTATGAAGAGCAAGTGACATGCAGTGGAAGTGATCGTCGACATTTGTAAGCTCCTGCAGCGGAAGTGATGGAGAGTCGAAGACATCTGTGATATCCTTGAGCATCTTTTCCGATATTTCGGAGGCCAGAGCAACCAAATCATTGCGTTCTGCCACAGAAATGATGCTGGTCAAGTCTGTTGGGCGGCGTTGCGTTTGTGCTGAGCTGCGTGATCCTCTGGCCATGGCGAATGTCGATTCGCCTGTTCCGCGATCCGCGTGTAAGTTGCAACTTTGAAAGTGTTTCGGTATGAGGCGTGATGAGAACAAGGAAGCAACCGGAAAAGAAGCTAGTTTCTGAGAATTGCAGTGAATTCAATGAGGTGAAGCGCGCAACTGCTTTTAAAACGGCCGAGTTACACAGGTGAACGAACGGCTGGCGGCCACCTTCCTTGGGCACTGGCAAGGCAGCTCGCAGCTGGCCGCCAGCTGGCAGGTCAGGCAAGTGATATCGACGTGTTCCTCCTCCTCCTCGCGTCTTTTTCGTTTTCTCTTCCTTTGGTCGTCTAACAGTTGCCAAATCAGGCAGTTTCGAATGCAGCTGCAGGTCCGATCGGTTTCTGTCGAGTTCACAGAAGAAGCAAGAATAGATGGAGGCGTCTAATTTTGTCTGAGCTGTGCATAAGCATTCATTACGCCTTTTTCTGTATGATTCTTCAGGTATCGGCTCTTCCGGGCAATGCGGCGAAGCTGAGGCTTAGAGTGTTTGCTTTGAAGACGTAGCCGCTGCACCTTACCGCGCGGTTTGCCATTCTACCACGCGAGTAGCCGAATGCTGGCAGGGCGCAGATCGGGCGACAGCACGAGTTCGTTTTTTCTTGGGCCCTTGTTTGAAAGAGCAAAACGTTGCTAATGAGAGAAGTAGGCCAACGTGGAGACGCCATTGCTCATCGGTTCAGGCTCACAAGATTCGTGTAACCATGTCCTGTGGGCCAATCCCATCTTGCCAAAGCCTGTCATGGCGCTGCGACTTTGCTGCCGGTTTGCTCGCATGGGCGGCAAACACAGAATTGACACCCAATGTGCCTCAAGACCACCAGGTCGGCACTTTAGGGGCGCACAACGTGGGGGGTTTGCAGTGGGCAACGGTCTGCTGGTCCACGCCAACTTCGAGATGATGCACTGGCCGAGAGGCGTTTTGTGTCATGTGAATTATTATACGCCCATTTATACGTTGGTGCAACACAGAGTGGCAAGCACACGCTATAACTTCTATCGATGGTATATGTGGCAGAGGCATGCTGGGTTGTTGTGTGCGGATATGAGGTAGTGCTTTACGGCCGACCTAGACCGGTGTGTCGGTTGCCATTTGATGGAATCGCATGTGCGCCTCTTTTGCAAATTCGGGGATTGAATTGCCACATAGGTGACAGCTGTCACCCACGGCATCTTCCCATTCAAACTCTTCCTCTAACTCAAGTTCGGCCGGCTGTACTGGGACAACCTCGGGGCGCTTATCCCCGGGTGGGCTGTCCGTGATCTTCCAGGGACGCAGCACTTCATCTTGGCGCTTAAACATGACAGAGATATCTCTTCCAATACCATGCTTATCATCTGCTGCGGTTGCTTCCATGTTTGCAACACAGATGTTTATAAGCTGTAGGTTCCATCGTCGGTCCTGCTCAGCCTGTACCTTTCTTATAAGAGGCAGCAGGGTTTCAGATACTAGCCGTTGGGCCTGCTCCTCCATATCCTCGTCAATATCAAAGACAAACTTGGGCAATGGACTGGACTTTGATACACGACTAAAATCGGAGCCGTTCCTCGCTCCGTGTACCGACCACCAGCGGACGGACAATCGCAGCGTTTTTGGCCTAGCTCGCCATTTCCGGCTAAATCCCTCTGGGCCATCTTCTTCATGTATCAAGTCGATGCGCATTCTTCGAATAAGTGAACAAGATAGTTTGAAAAGCTCTTCAGTGATGCGGGGTAGAGTTTCTAGCCCTTTGTAGGTGTCTTCAATGCTGATCTGAGAGGGCACATCGCCCGTTTCCTTGACCTCACTTGCATCGACGCCATGCAACAGTCCCCATACACGAGCTCCACATCCCTTTTCAGCTCCAGGTCCGGCAAGGAGCTTCTCTAAGAAGGCTGCGTTGATGTCTGCGTGGTTCTTTACCTCACCCACGTGCAGAACAGAATCGAACTGTGTGATGTCCATGTCTTGCTTCTGCTGTTGCGTGATGTGAGATTCTATACGCTGCACCATTTTAAATCCTAGTCCAGGCACCTGCCGAAGCTTATGCCGGTCCATAAAAGCTGCAATGGCGTCTTCGGACAAGGACAGAAGTGTCGTTTGATTGCTTGGTTTGTTTTTGGAACCAGCGAGCTTGCTGAGAACCTTGTTGGTGGCGATTCCGCAGGTTGATGTATACCCAAAGTCTTTTTCCAACTTGTTTCGTAGATACATTGCAAAATGGGATCCAAGCAGAAGCCGCAGGTAGGTTAAATCCTCCGTTTGCTGCTTGGTTGGGACGTCACCCATCGTGGGGCCGGCGACAGACGATAAATCGCACGCAAACCCGAGTTCGGGGTCTTTGTTTGACAAGAAGAAGAAAGAAGACTCTAATGAAGACTTGTTTAGGCACGACAAGTTATAGTCAATAATATCTGTGACATCTTTATCGTCGTGTTAGCCAGGTTGTCCCGTGCATGAATATGGCGAACTAGACTCACCCAGGAACACCTCATCAAACCCGAGTCTCTCTGCCTTTCCATTCCAGGAATGCGATTTGAGAAAATTGAACAATATTTTACTTGTGTCTCGAAAGGACGTCAGGTCTTCACCGTCCACTAAGACGAGGTCTGGGCATGCCTTCTTAGCTTCCGTGATGAGCATGAGCTTCTTCACGCCGCGAGCGCGAGCATTGTAGTTGCATGTAGCCAAGATGTTCTTTTGCTTGACTCCAACGGGCTTTGATTTGAGAAGCGGGTTTTTATTCTCAATAACTTGCGCGTAGAAGCAGTCGTAGTCCTAGCACGGCGATATCGTCTCAGCGTGAAGAAAGCTGGTATAGTGGTGGGAGGATAGACGTACAAATTGCAGTATGACTCTTTCGTCATTTCTCCGCGGCCTCTTCTTAGCCGGTGGTTCCATTCTGACTCCTGTTCTCCTTTTTTCCCACGAATCGAAACGTCCAATATCAAAGTGGCAGGACTTGCTTGCACAGCGCGCCCTTGTGCAGACATTCCGGGATACGCGTGGTTGTAGATACAGTGCCGTAGGGGTCGTGTACAGCATGGCCACAGCAGATCACAGCGGTCGCACCCACTATAACAGCGTTGGGCGCTACTCCAGCGTGCGGCAAACTTATCGATAACGCCGTGTCTTGCCGCCCGGGTGCGGTTTTCGGCCACTTGACTCATGTTGCACAAAAAAAGGCAGCTTGCCGTGCGACACATCTGTCTTTGTCTTGTTTCTGTTTGCTCTCCTCTTTCCACCACCAACACCAACCACTGCTGCTGCTGCACCCCGTCTCGAGAGAATACTTTTGGCAGAGCTGACACAGCAAGCACACGTCCTGCACAATGGCTGGTTCGGTAAGCTGCTCCCACTGCCACTAAACTCCAGCTCAGAGCCGCCTGTATACTGACCGCTGCCCCGCCGCACTCTCTACAGCAAGCGATTCTTCCCTCGCTGGACACGGTCCGCGAAATCATCTCGAAGCCTTCCAAGACGGGATTAAAGCCTACGCTTGTCCCCATCTACCGCCAAATCTCCTCCGACCTCATCACGCCCTCAGCCGCATACCTCAAAGTCTCCGCACACGCTTCCAAGACATCCCAGTACTCGTTTCTCTTCGAATCCGCAGCCACCGAGCAGGTTGGCCGATACAGCTTTGTGGGTGCCAATCCCCGCAAGATCCTGACCACAGGTCCCGGCTTCGGCCCAGAGACAGACCCTCTGCCTATCCTTGAGAAGGAATTGGCCGAGCATGTTGTCGCTGATGTGCCTGGCTTGAAGTTGCCGCCACTGACGGGCGGTGCCATTGGATACATTGGCTACGACTGCGTGCGATACTTTGAGCCCAAGACGGCGAGACCCATGGAAGATGTCCTCAAGATCCCCGAGTCGCTCTTTATGCTGTTTGACACTGTGGTGGCCTTTGACAGATTCTACGGAGTCATCAAGGTCATTAGCTACGTCAAGGTCGGCGAGAACCCCAACGTCGAGGAGGCCTACGCTGAGGCCACCAAGAGCGTCGACGAGCTGATCGCCGTGCTGGAATCGCCCGAGGTCCCCATGCCGCCACAGGGCCCCATCACACTGGGCCAGGAGTACAAGTCCAACATTGGCCGCGAGGGCTACGAGGGCCATGTCACCAAGCTCAAGGAGCACATTGTCAAGGGCGACATCATCCAGGCGGTGCCGTCGCAGCGCTTTGCCCGTCCCACCAGCCTGCACCCATTCAACATCTACCGTCACCTGCGCACCGTCAACCCCTCGCCATACCTGTTTTATATCGACTGCAAGGACTTCCAGATCATCGGTGCCTCACCGGAGCTTCTGGTCAAGGAGGAAGCAGGCCGCATCATCACGCATCCCATTGCTGGTACCGTCAAGCGCGGCAAGACCCCCGAGGAAGACGAGCGCCTGGCCGACGAGCTACGCAGCTCGCTCAAGGACCGCGCCGAGCACGTCATGTTGGTAGACCTTGCGCGCAACGACGTCAACCGCGTAGGTGACCCTCTCACAGTGCGTGTCGACCGCCTTATGGTTGTCGAAAAGTTCAGCCACGTGCAGCACCTGGTGTCGCAGGTCTCTGGTGTCCTGCGCCCCGGCCAGACTCGCTTCGATGCCTTCCGCTCCATCTTCCCTGCCGGCACCGTCTCTGGCGCCCCCAAGGTCAAGGCGATGGAGCTGATTGCGGAGCTGGAGAAGGAGAAGCGCGGCATCTACGCTGGCGCCGTGGGCTACTTTGGCTACGGCGGGGTGGACGAGCAGGGCAATGCGGTGGACGGCGCCATGGACACGTGCATTGCGCTGCGCACGATGCTGTACAAGGACGGCACTGCGTATCTGCAGGCCGGTGGTGGTATCGTGTTTGACTCGGACGAGTACGACGAGTGGATGGAGACGATTAACAAGCTGGGTGCCAACATGTCGTGCATCACGACGGCTGAGCAGCTGTATCACGCGCAGCAGCAGCAGCAGCAAAAGTAAAAAAGAAATATAAATAAAAAGGAAAGAAAAAATGGGTATACATAGATGCTTTATACATTACAATGTGTATTGGAGACAGAGACGAAGAGAGGATCTGTCACAATAGAAGGATATGAAATATAATATAATTGTACTTTTTTCACTCAACTGTACTGGATACATATACACACATGAGAGATTGGTTTTTTAAATGCAACTTTGTATAATTAAATGTACTTATATAAAAATGGTCGTATTCATTCAGATGAAATTCGTTAAATCGTGTAATAGATACAATGCATAATGCATGCGTAGTTACATACGCTGGAGGGGACTTCGCTGTAGCCCTTTAAAATATGTATATTCCCCCAATTCCAAACCAAGCCTCCTAACACTCAGCCCTCATGAGACTTGCATAGCAGCAGCCATCTCAGGGATTGGCGTATCCCTCTTTGGCTCGGCGGTGGCTAGTAGGTGTGATGCAGGTCCAGTGGGTGTCTTCATGTCCATCTCTGCGTCGCCCGGCGTGAGATATCGAGTCCCAGGCCCGGACTCGACTGTGGTGGAGGAAGAAGCAACGCTATCGCCATCCGACATGTCCACGTCCTCCGACTCGCTGCTCGAGTCTCCACTGGTGACGCTCGGATCTGGCGTCTGCATGGTGGTAGCAGACGCAGACGAAGCGTGGCAGGTTCCGGCGGCAGATGCGGCAGCAGCCGCAGCAGCTTGGGCCCGTAGGGCAGCAATAGCGCCGCCGACTTCCTCATCCTCGCCCTCTTCACAGTCCTTTCCGATTGTCCAGGCCCAGTGGCGCTTCTTTTCTCTTCTGCGCTTCTTGCGGATGCCGCCGTTAATGGGGCTGGCGGCTGTCAACTTGGACAAGCGGCGAGCTGCGTCCTCCATGGGGCCAGGGGTTTGGCCGCCGTCTTCAATCTCGTGGCCAGTAAAGGCACGAGCAATGTCCACGGCCATGGGCTGGCTAAATGGCGACAGAGGAGACGGGGAGGCTTCTTCAAGGAGCAGATCAATGTGAGACCGGGTATACTTGTTTGTGGTGATTTCCTGCTCAATAGGGCTGTTGTAGCCAACTCGTCTGGCTGCTCTCTCTAGGAGTCTCTGAGACCGGCGACCCGGGGACATGGGCGTCAAGGCAGAGCGGGGAGGCAGTGGGGAGTTGCGCAGAATGCTGCGAAGAGAGTGAGAGCGGACGTAGGGAGCAGGGAAGGCTGGGGCAAATCTGCGGAGAGGCGTGCCTGTGGCAGTCACCGGGGAGCGAATAATGGTTTCCGTGGTTTGCGAGTATACAAAGACCTTGGGGCCATGGGGATCAACAGGGCCAGCAGAGAGGGGCGGCGTGGGCGTCATGACGCTGGGATAGGCGTGCATGCGGACGGGTGAGCAGGCGGTGCCACCAGCAGAAAGGGGAGACTCTGGAAAGGCCGAAGCAAAGGGGGTGATGGCCTTTGACTTGAGGTTGGAAAAGTTGGTGTTGAGGGTGAGCTTGGACCCGTAGAGGGTGTTGATTGCTGTGGCCGGCGAGGAGGTTGTTGGCGTAGAGCGCTCAATGGCGGTGACATAGGCGTTGGAGAGGGTGTTGAAGGCCGTAGGGTCACTGGGATTGACGGAGAAGGTCCTCGGTCTTGAAGCATTGTTGACGGCTGGTGTTTGCGTCTGAAGAGAGAGACGGGGACGCTTTGCAGCGGCCGGTCGAGGATGTTGCGAAGCCATGGCGTATGTGTGTAAGAGAATGCGTGCTGATGATGATGCAGTTGTTGTTCTTGTTGACGATAACAAACCAAGAATGAAAGAAAAATCAAAAAAGCTCAGTCAATTTGCCAGCAAAAAGACCAAGAACGACGCTCTTTATCCACAAACAGACGGCGTGTCGTATGGGATCACCAGCGGTGGCAAAAGAAGAGCGTCACAGAAAGTAATAGCCCTGGGTCCTCAGTCTCGTATTTGGCTGAAAGTACCTGTACCGCCAGGGTGCAGGGGTGCGAGGTTGAAGAAGTGAATTAAAGATAAAATCCAAAGGGCAGAAGAAGAAGAAAAGCAAAAAGCAAACACGACGAAGAAATAGAAGATGTGAAAAAAAAGAGGAGGAGGAAGAAAGAAAGAGGGGAAGCGTGTATTTGGGTGCGGCGGCTACAGTAGCTGGTACACTGCGCTGGGCTGGCGGGGAGAGCGCTGGAAGGGAAAAGGCAGAGGGTAGCGGCAACAGCAGAGGATTGGTTGAGAGCCACAGGGGTTGTGATGGTGGAGAGGGGGGAGGGGGGAGGTCCCGGCGGCTATATACTGTAGTGTGCAGAAACAGCAACTGTGAAGAACAGATGTTTTACTTGCACTCACTCCAAACACTTCTCCATTTACATTGCGGTGAGATCAAGCGCCCGCTACGCTACGCTCCAATTTTTTAATCTTCTTTTTTTATTTGTTTTTCCACTGGCTCTCGTCCCATTTTCCCATTTTTGCGCCGCCAGGCTCTAAGCGCCCATGCTCCTCCAGTGGATACTGTACAGCGCCCATCAGCGCCGTAGCTGGCCAATCAGGCTTGCGCGGCGGTGGATCTCACAGGTGATTGTTTGCGCTGGTGGTGGCCCATTGTGGCGGGCAGCAGGGCTTCACAGGCCCAGCGGAGCGCTGCATTTTGGCTTCGTCCAGAGCCCGGCGCTTACATCTGGTTGGTAGCGGCACGCTGCGTTTCAGATTCCCCTCCCCCTTCTTTTTTTGTTCTTGCCGCTGTGTCTGCCGCGCGGGAATCCAAAACATGAAAACCAATCTCCGTTTTGTGTTTTGTGTTTTGTGTTTTCAGTCTTGCAAAAACTGCAAACATTTGCTCGCTTACGCCCTTCAGCGCTCGGGGCCGACGCCAGGCATGGATGCGCCGCAGTAGAGCACCGAATCAGGAAAACAGCCGCAACTACCAAAAATAGCTGGCGGCGGCGCATTTGCTCTCTACAGGCAGGGCAGACAGCATTTAGTGCATGACAAGTAATACGCGCTTTCAACAGTAATGAAAAAAAAAGCTTAGTAGATGCTAGGCAGTAGTAACAGTACAAGCAATAATTAAAATTAAAAATTAAAAATAAAATTCACCGGAAATGCGAGAAACAGAAGCCAGTACACACGCCTGCCAATCGCCGCGTGCATCTGGAACATTGGGCAAACAATAGAAACAAGAAACAAAGACAGAAAAAGCAAACGCGGTCCATGAATCAGGTCAACTTACCGCCTTACAATTCGGTTCGTTCTATTTTTCCACCGCTTGCTTCTGCTCCTACAGCCGCTGTAACAATGGGCGGGCTTAACCGCAAAGTGTCTCACCAGTGCCCGTCCCGAAACAAAAAAAAAAGACACCAACCAGCTACCCTTTACTTTATTTAGAACGCCAGACTAAAAAAAAAGCCAAATACTCAATATTCTCTAACCATACAAACCTAACGCAGAAAAAAGAAACAAGCGTTCTCGGCCACGTTTCTCCCACCGTTTCTAGCCAGCCACGCGGCGCACCGCCGTTACTATACTTGGTAACAAAACACCATGCCTCATCATCATCACCGCCATAGCCTGCTCGCACGACCAACATACATGACTAGCAAACAAACAAAACAGGTTTTTTAAACATCGTGGCAATTAAAAAAAAACATAGCCTAAAAGAAACCCACTCTCCGCCACCGTCTATGCCTCGCATAATGCATCGCGTGGCCCTGATAGAAAACCGCCAGGCGCACGGCCCTCGCCAGACAAAATTACGTCGCTTGCTGCGCCCTACGATTCCACCGCCAGCGCCTTGACACCTACGATCCGGTCCTCGGTTGCGCTCACCACCCAGTACTCTGTCCTTGTAGCGTCCCGCGTTACCCGGTACACGCGGACGTCGTTGCCGCGGCTGGCCTCGCGCACCGCCTCGACTACGTTGGTGTATGCCCCGCGGACGTCCCAGTCTGTCGGGTCCATGATGCTCACGTTGGCATTGTCGGCGTCCCAGTGCTGGATGAGCTTGGCGAATTCCACTATACTGCCTGTCAGCCTTTCTTCACGGACCTCGGCACATGACGTAATGCAAACAGCAAACGTACCTTCGTCGGGAAGCCCATCCTTGCCCGAGTATCGCAGCGAGACAGCCTCAAATGGCTCGTCGGCATCGCTCACGTAGAATGTATCTTTGCAGACCGCGGCGATGGCGGGGGCGGGCGTCTCGCCGGCGTCGAGGGCCTTGAAGCTTGTCGTCTGAGTTCTTGTTGTTGCTGCTGCAGCAGCGGCGTGCGCCTCGTCTGCGTCGCGGTTGGCCTTGTCTAGGAATGCCATGTAGTCTTCGTCCGATGCCATTTTCTTAGTGATACTAAAGAGCCGTGGAGATGTCGCTTCTCTCGTGGACGTTGTCGAAGCTGCGTGCGGGCGAGTGTACGTCTGTAGCTTTGCGTACAACACTAAAGAAGGACAAGTTGCTGTGGCAAGTCTACGTGTAACTGTTCGTTGACTGTAAATCAGAGCTCTAGTCGCGGCTTGTGTCGTTTGCTTGCTCATTTGCTCGTGGCCAGGTTTTCTGCTCGCCCCTCCAAATGCACGTCACTGATGCTACTGCTTGCTGCCCGCATTGGAAGCCCGAAAGTGGGGGTGGCACAAAGCAGCAGCAAACACCACTCACCACCACCTTAATTCGCACCACACGCACAAAACCGCGGCCAACCCACCCGACAGCCGCAAAGACTACAAGAAGAGAATTTCTAGTATAAAAAATAGTAAAACATACATAAGTCTGTTAGTATAAATTTTACGAGGACAGGAAGTGTGGTCAATGTCAAATACAAGTAGAAACAAGTAGAATGGTGTGCAAATATCACGGGAGAAATGGACAGACGAAAATTATTGGAAAATATGTCATTTTTTATTTCATAACTATCCTCTACCTGGCTTTTACGTTCATTCCGTTATGAAACCCGCATCCAGCCATTGATAAAAACAGATATGGCCGGGAAAAACAAACCCTCGACACCGGATGCAAAACCATGGAAACGCACAAACAAGAGACAACCATCAGCCAGACGCTTAAGCGCTGGAGAGGTCCTTCTTGAGGGTACCCATGAACTGCTTCTTCTCGGCAGGGGTCTGGAAAGCACCGTGACCGAACTCGGAAGAGGTATCGATCCACTTGAGGCTGATCTTCTCGAGAGCACGGCGGGAGGTGTGAGTCCACATAGACTTGCGGAGGGTCATGACACGCTTCTTGACACCAGGGATAGAGCCCTTGAGCATGACGAAGTCGTTGTTGACCTCACCGTAGCGGACAAAGCCACCGAGAGGAGTAATCTTCTTCTTGGTGATGTCGAGCTCAGTGGAGGCAGAGTCCTCAGCATCGGCCTTGCCAATTCTGTAGATCTTGTGGTTGGCAGAGGTACGGTGGTGGTAACCCATCTGACCAGCACGGGCAACAGTCCACTGGACGTGGTTAGGGTGCCAGGCACCGATACAAGCAACCTTGCGGAGACCCTTGTGCGTCTTGCGGGGAAGCTTCTTGGTGCCCCAACGGGCAGTGACACCGTTGAATCCGTGACCCTTGGTGACGGCGATAACGTCAATCATCTCGTCCTGCTCAAAGATGGAGTCGATGGAGACGGGCTTCTCAAAGAGGTCGTGGCCGAACTGGACCTTGTCCTCGATGGAGCCACCGTTGACCTGGACCTCCATCAAGTGAGCCTTCTTCTGCTTGAGAGGGGTCTTGCGGACCTGGGTGTGGGCGAGGACACGGATGACGGAGCAGTACTTCTTCATGCGCTCAAGCTCACGGGTGATGGAGGAGCCAGAGGCCTCGGAGTGCTTCTTGGCGTACTTGGTGAAGGCCTTCTTCTTGGACTTGTACCAGTTCTTGTAGAATCGGCGCTTGACTTCGTCAGACAAGTGCTCGGCCCAGACAGTGGTGAGCGAGCGGAGACCGCGGGGGGTCTCGACGTAGCCAACGAGACCGACAACAATCATGGGAGGGGTGTCGACAATGGTGACAGCCTCGACAACCTCCTTCTTGTTGGCCTTGGCTCCGGGACGGTCGAGGTCGCGGACAATGGTGGTCATACCGGCCTTGTAGCCCATGGCGGCGGTAAGGTGGACGGGCTTCTTAGGGTCATCCTTGGGGAAACTATTTCATCGAATCGCATGATTAGCCTTCTTGTTTTTTTTTATATACGACACGGTCTTCCTTTCTTTCCATTCTCTTCATCTCTCCGATTTCTTATGTATGTCTTCTTCGTCGTCCAAGAGTATCGAAATTGTCGAGATGTCGAAAGGATATGACCAAAGGGAAAAAAACTTACGACTTGACCTTTCCTCTGTGACGGGCGGCACGCTTGCGGGGAAGGTAGGCCAGCGAACCGTGGCGAGGTTCCTCGTGCTTACGGTGCTAATGAATATGTTAGAATTGTATTGTTTCTAATCGAATTGCAAGTGTTGCAGACGTACACTCATTTTGACCGGCTGTGATGATTGGGGGTTAGTGGGTGAGAGTTGCAAGGCTACTTCTCGAGAGAAAAGACTTGAAGGGTTTGTGAAATAATTTGTGGGCGAAATTTTAATAAGCGAACGCTCTGTGTGCGTGGTTGTGCGTGGCCCGTGCTTTTCCTACCTCAACCTAAGCCTAATTCGGAAGCCCTGCGTGGGAAATTTTCTGCGCTCCGTCTAGAAAGTCGGCGGATTTTTACTTTTTCCGACCCGCCCGCTACCAGCCAACAACCCAACCAGCAAAATCACTGAACGGGCTACAATCTGCTTATGTAAGTTTACATACCCAAGTTTCCTTGTTCGTATGTCGATGGACAGTCACACGATCATGTAAAAGGCAGTTATTAAAAACGTGAATGGTATATTCTTTTCAGACAAACACAGTAGAACATGAAAACTATATAGAGACTGTTCTCGCTCTTCATCCTCCAAAGCGAACCGCAAGCCCAGATCTTGGCTCTAAAAGGAAGTGTCCATCATTTTGGTTCTTTTTTAAAGCCAACCCAAAAAGAAAATAGAAAAAGGACAAAGGGAATCAAACACAATTCAGTGCTGGCACCGTGATATACATGAATAACCCGTAAGGAAAAAAGGAAGGGGGGACAAAGAAAACGTCGCATCCAATACAAATCTCCTTCAACGCTCAAAACTCCATTGCCATACAATAAGCCTCTCTATTCAGACTTGGTAGCAGTCACCGTGGCGCTGTTAGTGGCAGAGCCAGAATCCGAGACAACAGTCTTAGTGTCGCCTGCGGTAGAAGCAGGAGCGGATCCATTGGTGGCGGCGACAGTCTTCTTATCATCCTCGGCGTCATCGTAATCCTCGTCCACATCCATCTTGCGAGCAGCACGCTCAGGCTCAGCAGCAGGAGCAGCTGAACGAGTAGCGGGAGCCTCAGCAGCTGGAGCCTCTTCCTTGGGCTTCTCAGCGACGGCGGGCTCAGCGGGCTTCTCGGCAGCGACGGGAGCAGCAGTAGCAGTAGCAGCGGGCTGCTCGTCAGGAGACACTTGGTTGGGGCCGTTGGGACGAGGGTGATGGGCAGCTTCTGAGGGGTGGTACGGCTCGGCCTTGGGCGCAGGCTCCTCGACCTTACGAGGAGGCTCTTCAGCGCGGCGAGGTTCGTCAGCACGCTTAGCCTCTCCAGAGGGACGACGCCCGTTTTGAGGAGGTGGGGTAGACGCTCTGCGGTGTGTAAAGTCACTGAGGCGAGCCTTGGTATCGTCGTTGGCTTGCTTCTTAGCAGCGGACTCGTCTTCCCAGTCGCGCGGGCGCTTAGGACCCGTGGAAGGAGGGCGATCTTCGGCACGGGGGCCGGTGGCGTTCTCCGACGCGGGAGGGCCGTTGTTGCCAGGTGCAGGTTCCCGATGGTTCTCAGCGTTGGGGGCAACGGGAGCGGAGGCTTCCCGGTGAGAGTACTGGGGGTGTGGAGGAGGTGCCTGGGAGTAGCCAGACTTGGGAGATGGCAAGCGGTTCTCATGAGGACCACGCTCGTGGCGGGGGCTGCTGTTGGGACGGAATGAGCTGCCGTTGGGAGGAGGTTGGCTGCTACCGTTGGGGCCGCCAGGAGGAGCACCGGCGGATGGGGCTGCACCGCTCCAGTTGGGGTTAGGGACGCGTCTATCCGTAGGAGGCGCTTGACCTGGTGCAGCTGGAGGCTGTCCGTACTGGTGGTTGGCAGGAGCTGGTGAGCGACCGCCGCGGCCCGAGCCACGCTGGCTGTCAGGGTATCCGCCGCGCATGTGGTCCTGTCCGGGGCTGGGGGCGCGCTGCACAGGAGGAGCTGGTGCGCTGCGCTCTCCATAAGGGTTTGGAGGCTGAGGAGGAGGGTTGACATTAGACAGGCCCTTGGCCCAGCTCTCGCCAGCTCCAGGGGCAGGAGGAGGAGGACCGCCGCCGGGAGGCTGCTGCTGTCCAGATAAGCCTCCCCATTGGGGACCGGTAGGTCCGCTAGGTCCAGAGGGGTGGTAGGCATGAGGGTGCACATCAGCAGGCTGAGGAGCAGCTGGGGGAGGACCGCCGTTGCTCTGGCCAGAGCGCAGAAGCTGAAGGCGAGTCTTGATGTGAGGGTTTCCGGGGTCGAGCTCTGCAGCGCGCTGGTAGGCATCGAGAGCATCTGCAATCTGGTTGTTACAGGACTCGTACAGAGTGCCCAGGTCGTACCAGACCTCGGAGATGTAAGGGTTGAGGCGAATGGCGCGGGAGTAGGCGTCGAGTGCGTCTCTGTACTGGTTGATCTGGTAATAGAGGACACCAATGGAGCACCAGAATGTTGGGTTCTTGCCATCACGATACACGGCTTGCTGGTAGGCCTCATACGCCTTGGGGTACTTTTGCTGCGACATGTAGCAGCGGCCAAGCAGGTACCAACTCTGGGCATCAGAGTTATCTACAAGAGTGTTAGCAGTTGTTATTTCAGAATTTGTTTTGTCAGTCAGCTGTAACATACCTGATCCAACAGACTTCTCGAGGTACTGGATGGCACGATCTTGGGACTCGTATGAGCTGCTCTGCTGGTGGTGGAGCCAACCGAGCTGCTGGAGAACCTTGGCGTGGTTGGGGGAGTGGTCAAGAACGCGCTGGTAGGCAGCCTTGGCATTGTCAAACTGAACAGGGAAAAAACAGTTAGAAAAAAATGTGTCTTCAGGCTTGCGGATAGCAGGGTTTGGAATAGCTTACGTCTTTTTGCTGTTCGTGGACGTGGCCAATCTGGAACCAGATGTCTTCCTGGGTCAAGGGACCAGGGGGCGAGTTGACAATATACTTGAAGCACTGCGCATTGTTAGTCATTGGTCCAACAAAACAAAAGATAAAAATACGAACCTCGAGACTTTGGGCGAACTTGGACTGCTGCTTATAAATTATACCGAGGCGGAAGTAAATCTCGTTGGCCTTTTCGAACTCGGGCTGGATCTGCATGACCTGGGAGAAGGCCTCCTCGGCATAGTCGTAGCTTCCGTAGCGGTCGTACAAAATACCAATGCCATACCAAAGCATAGGATCCTTGGGGTCTCTCAGGTTGACAAGCGCCTGCTGGTAGGCATCATACGCTTTCTGAAGGTTCTCGGTCATGAGGTAACAGTGGCCTGCGCGCATATAGAGTTAGTAGCTAGAATAAAAGCAGCGGGATTGCGCATCCTTTGCACATACCAAGATTGCCCCAGGCCTCGCCATTGTTGCTCTCAATCTGGACAATAGCGCGGAAGAACTCGAGAGCCTTGTCAAAGGCCTCTCTTCCCTTAAGAAGCAGACCAATGGCGTTCATGGCGGTAGTCGAATTGGGATTGGCAGCCAAGGCGCGCTCGTAGGCATGCATAGCCTCCTCGGGGGAGCGCAGGAGCTCAGAGAAGCTACCTGTAAGTATGTGTTAGCCAATGTGCGAAGCGATACCAATATTTTTCTTGGGTTGTAGCGTACCAATCTGCAACCAGACAGCCTCGTTCATGGAAGCAATCTGCTGCGCCGGGTTGAAGTGGCCTTGCTGGACATTCTGAGGAGGCGCAGGAGGGCCCTGATGCTGCTGTTGTTGCATCTGCATCATTGTGGGCGATGGGTGGTGGTTGGCCATGGCGATGTAGGGTCAAACCGGGGAGAAATGCGCAAAGATCGGATCGTGCGATGCGACTGCGCGGGAGCACGACGGGTATCAGCCAACAAGGAATTAAGAATATTATCGGCAAGCCGAGACAAGAGCCAATGTGCAGGCGATGCTATAAATCGAGTCCCTGGGACGGGTTGTTGTAGCGAAAGTCTTCCAGCGACGCCGCGAGAAGTCGCTATTTTTTCTTTCGTCTCCCCTAAATAGAAGCTGATGCAGGTGGTGCCAAAATAGCCTGCTGCAGCAAAGGGAAGAAAAAACGGATCGTGTACTAGAAGGAAACAAGCCCCGAGTCGCGATGCCGGTCGCAAGTCGATAGGGGACGAGGAGAAATCGGCTTTGCAGAGATGGAGGGGATGAAGCCGGGTTGGCAGCGATTGGGGAGCAGAGTGAGTAGGAAGAGGAAAACGGGCCGCTTGGGGGAACCCAAGAGGCGAGAATGTGGTGGAGGGCACCGCTGGCAGCCAAACTCCCCTAACCCATGGAAATGGGAATGGAGGGAACGGGCTGTCTAGATGCACGCCGAGGAGTGGGTGCCAGGGGTCGGACGCAAGCGGGGCCGCCCACTGAAAGATGCAGCTTATTATTTTTATGTTTTATTTTTTATTTTTTGGTTCTAGGCGGGTGGATGGGGGGCGGGACAGACGCTTCAGGGCACCGTGGAGGCGCTGTGGCTGCCATCTGCCACCCTAAGACCGCTGTTGGCAGGCGCTGCCACGCCTAGGGCGGGGAGCGTTTAAAAGGGGGGTTGGGGGGCCACACACCAGATTTTCGGGGGGGCCCTTGGCTGCTGGAGGTGCTGGCTGTTAGTTGTTGTAGTGGAGAGAGAGAGAGTGAAGGGGGGCGTGTGGCTGTGGGGCTGCTGGGTGGGCGTGCAGCTTGCAAACTGTGGAGCGCGCTTTGGTGGCCGAGGGCAGCAGCCAGGGAAGCCGCCAGCGATGGTGTTGCCGGGGACTGGCCCGCCGCTGATGGGCTGCGCTAATACGCTACGGCTGCGCTACGGCTACGCTCTGGGTTCTGCGCACAAGAGGGAAGACCCGGGGCCCTATTTTCCCCTCGCTCTGGGGGCTTGGGGCTGGCTGTGGTGCTTGGTGCTTGTTTTTAGCGGCACGCAAGTGAATCACGCACACACGACGACGACAGCCTGCCTGCCTGCTGCGCACACACACCCGAGCAGTGATTTGAGCATTGCTTGGCTGACTGTAATTCCTTTTTGCTTGTAATGAGTGAATGTATGCTGTATAAGTTACCACCCGGCACGCACCTGGCATAACCGTCATCGCCACCTCTGCCAGGTGTCAGTGAAGCTGCCAGGCTACGCTACCCGTCACGCACCTCGTGCTTTGTGCCAGGTTTGGCTGCCTTGCCCAAAAGTCTGCAGTACGCGATTGATCCGCGCCGAGTGGAGGGCTGCCACAGGTACATGGTACTCCTCCCTGCTTTTGCACCGCCGTGGCCCAGGCCCAGATCGTGCACTCAGCTATTTTTTTTTAATACTCGGCCGTAGTGCATTACTACGCTACTATTGGCCTAAGGCGGGAATATCGCGTGGTCAAGGCTCCCAGCAAAGAAACGTATGCTACAAGCTGGGCCCTTTTTTTTTTTACTTCCTCGGCTCTTGCCAGACGGCTCGGACCACCAGAACCAGTTAAATTCAAGGGACCTAAGTTACCTCCGTGACTCCCTATTTGCCACCATACTGTAATTCAGACCCCAGCTGGGATGGATTACCATGGAAGGGGGCGGAGTGAAAAGCTAATACCTGCATCATGACGCGTAAGGCATAATCAAGGTTCGTCCCGATCTAATGACAAGTGCAAAGATTTCAACAGCGCACCACCGGCGCCGCTGGACATGGTGTCACGTAGCTTTGTGGTTATTTCCAATGGGGGGTTACCATTCACCCGCAAAAAGTCAAATCGGATGTTTTGTTGCAGAGCATGTTGTAACAGTGTGTCATGTCACATCGGAGGTGACGGCGGTTTAGTCTGGTTAAGTAGCGGCCGATGTTTATTGCATTGCATGGGCCAAGGGGCGCTAGGAAAACGAGACATTCTCGATTTAGACTTTTGACGACAAGAAGCAACGCACCAATAGAAGAAGTGTTAATAAATTTATAGAAATAACCATTAAACGCTGTAAATGTATAAATACAAAAACCATGAACAATACTTCTCGATTCACAAATTTTGAGCGGGTTCCTCGCCCTTCTGATGATTGCTGTCGCTGTCCAGGGTAGCAACCTTCACCTTCGTTATCCCAAGCACAAGACGCGCTAATATCAACGCTAACACGTGCATATGTGGCTAAGTGGTGATCATGGAAATAATCCGACCCGTATATACCATCCTTTACTGTCATATATGCTGACTTACTCGCACAACTACCCATTGACTAGCTATTATGATATCTCGGCCAACTCATTTGCGCCTCCCCTGAAGCTATGACCTGTCTTGCATTATGAATGTATAATACTCAATAGAAACAATTAGTGGAAAAAAATGCATACAAATTTCTTCCAAACATCACCAAAAACAACACTCTCAACCTCGGCAGAGCAATTATGCAACCACCCGATAGTGATGATTCTCGATGCCGTCGCCTGTACGTTTAACGTCAGTACTCTAGAAGCTAAGACAGCACCGTCGCGATAGCTCCGCACTAGGCACGCCTCACATTACACGCTAGGATTAAGCTAACGCACTAACAATTTTTTTTGCTATTTCGGCGGCAGCCCAGCATGGCGCCAAGTCCAGGGTGGCCTTATTTCCCAACCCAGATTTTCACGTGATAGCTAGCCCACGGCAGCCCAGCGCGCACGTTCGCATGTGGCTTTCGAGGCTGTCAAGCGAATGACGTGCACGGCTGGCTGGGCGGCGTGCATCCCACACGCTGCAGAGAGGGCTGCACCGTCTCGTCACATATCCGTTTCTTTGTCTTGCTGGCCACCACCATCACGCTAGTAATTACCAGTTTAATTTAGCAGCGTGAGAAGTGCTTCGTAGCCTGGCCCAGAACCAAAGAAAAAAGGGGCGTGTCTAGCCGCAACGCATGCTTGGGATGGGATGGATGGGGGGGTTGTGTCTGAAACCGGCAGACCCTCCAAGATGCGAGATGGGCGGGCCCCTCACCCTATTTCGATGCGTTCTGTTTATGTCTCTCGGATGACTTAAGCCACGCCGTCGAAAGGGCTTTATGGATCGAATGGCATTCATCGACACCCTGGAATGTAGCTGGGCCTGATCGGGGACATGTCTCTGCTGTATTTAATTACTTCTGGGTCCACTAGCTGTTCGAGCAGAGGCTGCGCTTAGGTACTGATGCAACCTATTCTGGATATTTGGCCATGTCTCCCTTGTAGTCTATTTCAGTCGGTTGTAAAAACGCTTGTTATGCATCAGTCTACGGTGTGTGATGATGCATACGGAGGCAGTGGTAGTTTCCCATATCAGAACAGTGCGGATCAACACAGTCACAGAAAAAAAAAGAATTAAAATTCTCCGTGATACATTCACATCTATTTAATTGACCTACTATAAAAGGAGAGGGACCCCCGGCCACGTTGTATGTGTGACGAACGGTGCGGGCTATTGTCTCGTCACAGTGGGAGTAACACCAACCGGTCGTGACACGGGCTGTATGCAATGCACGATGTTGTACGCCCATGGGGATGGTATAACCTAGAGAGGGACAACGCTGCAGCCGTGTACAACTTACGAGGGACGTGGAGATACACATGCCCAGTAAGCTGGATGTGCTGCTGTGCGGGCGGTTCTATGTCTATAACAGCGTTGGAGAAGCACAAGTGCAAACGCAACCCCTCACATTCCGCGAATCACTTTACAATATAGACGAGTGTAGTTTCCAAGTTAATTATTTCCATATAGAATTTCATCGCTATGTTAAATGTCGAGTATACAAAAATCAGGGCCAGTCATAGCTGCGTAAAAAAGAGGTATTATATGTTACCGGCAACCCCCTATGCCTTCTCTGCGTCATGTCGTTGTGTTGAATCCTACATCCCTCCCAAATATCCTTTTATAGTCTGCTTTTACCACCATCCAGTCACTCCAGATCCGGGAAGGAGCGCAAGAAGTGGCTAGGGCACTCGTAGCCAGCAGGGTTTCTGTCGAGGTAGAGCTGGTGGTACTCCTCGGCAGTCCACCACTTGCCAGCGGGAGCAAGCTCGGTGACGATGCCGTTCTTCCACCACTGCTCGTTGGCCTTGGCGGTGACTTCACGGGCAATCTTCTCCTGCTCTGGGTTGTGGTAGTAGATGGCAGAGCGGTACTGGGGGCCGGTGTCGGGACCCTGCTTGTTGAGGGTTGTGGGGTCGTGCATGCGGTAGAAGAATTCGAGGAGCTGCTTGTACGAGACCTGCTTGGGGTCGAAGATGATTTGTGCGGCTTCGGCGTCTATCAAACAATTATCAGTTAGCATTTGTTTCTCGTCTTGTAGCGATAGCTTGAGGGTTGTTGTCGTCGAAGAACATGGTAAAAAACTCACGGCCAGTCTTGCCGCCGCAGACAGCGCGGTACGAAGGGTCAGTCAGGTCGCCGCCAATGTATCCAACCTTGGCATCAAGGAGGCCCTTGCCAGCGAAATGCTTGCGGTAGAGATGCTCGGTTCCCCAGAAGCACCCGGCAGCAACGGTGCAGAGCTCGGCGCCCTCAGGAACAGCGACCGACGCGGACGATCCAGAGGTGCCCTCGGGAACAATGGAAAGGCGCGAGTTGAGCTGGAAGGGGCGCAGGAAGCGGGAGAAGAAGGTCATTGTTGCGGTGGTGATGTTGAGTGAGGTTGAGCGATGTCGGTGAGAGTGGATGGATGGTGCTTGTTCTTTTTTGGTGGTGGTGGTTAGCAGAGTGGTGATTGGGGATGGTGGTGACTTGTTGCAGAAGACGTACAAGATGCAGCGTTTAAATAGACAAGAGGCAAGTTCAACAATTCCAATTACCAGCAAGGAAAAAGATTTGAAAGGAAATTCATCGAAGGAGGAGAAAAAAAAAATCTGGGACCCCTCAAATTGATTCCATTGCCCGTTAGCTCTGGTGACGTGATCGCGAGGGAAGAGGGCCGGTGGGGGCGTTAGTGGATTCCAAATACAGCGCTATAGTGGCTGGCGCTGGGTACTGTAACTAGCTGCACCTGGGGTAAGCTGGTTTGATTCCAACCGCTTCTAGCACGGGGCCTCTGGAAACTCAAATAAAAAATAACACAAATAGCCTGTAATTCTTTTTTGCCATTTTTAAAATTTGGAAACAGTCAAAATAAAGAAAACAGGAAAAGAACAAATACGTCATCCGCATGGGTGAGCACAGTGGCACTTCTGGAAGAGCACATGAAGCGTTCACCTATGTTTATTTGGTATATTTTGGATGTCTTCTTGGCATATGATCTACGTCTTTCGTTATATCTCAAACAAATACTAGCGACTGATTGCTGTTTTATTTAGAAAATGCTAGAGGTGCAAGTTCCATGGATTTCACCGTCCTTGCTAGGAGTGACCGCACAGTAAGTTTCGTGAGGATTGCAGCACTCGTTGTCACCCGAGGGGTTGCAAGGCCCTAGATGACCAGTAGGTAACAAGTTGTGAAGCACCCAAAGATGATACAAAGCTAAACATCGTTTAGCACTTACCGAGAAGTGCGACACCAGTTTCGTCGCGCTTGAAAGGCGAGGGTCCGCACTTGCGGTTGGGAAGGCAAACGTGGGGGCGCAGCAGTCCTGGAAGAAGTAATCGCAACGTACTATTCAAGATGTTATATCACAAGGCCCCTTCTAGTCGCTATGGGTAAAGCAACGATAGGGCTACTTACCGTCCTTGGCATGGCACTGCTCCTGCTTCTTGACCACCTTGGAGAGCTTGATGTACGAGCCCTTGGTGAAGTCGTCGCCGCCGCCCATGTTTCGGCAGTAAGTGCCCTCACAGCACTGGGGAGCGTTGTAGTCGAAAACGTCGCAGATGTCTGTTAATCACTTGTTACTAGAGGTCCAACTAGAGGACGGTGCTTGACGTACCCTGACCGCTGAGACATTCGGCACGTTGGCCGAGGACAGAGGCAGAGGCCACAGAGGCGAAGAAAAGGGCAGCAGAGAACTTCATGATTGCTTAGAGTATTCGATGAAGAGACTATTCACCATTGGCAAAAAAAAAAGCAGCAGCAGGTCCCCTTTTTAAGAAAATATCTACATGTATGGATATAGAGCAGGAGAACCCCAATGGCCCCCGATCACCTGTTGGGAGACATGCCAATTGAGGAGAGCTTGCGAGAGTTTAGCTTTCCCAGCGAATAGCGTTACAAGCATAACGGAGCGCGTGGATCGAAGCAAGGTTTTCACGCTGCATATCCGCACCGATGCAGCTACGCGCTCTGAAACCCTGACGAACATCACCACGGCGGGGCGCCCTATTCGCCGCACCATCCCTCTTCTACCCGACTCAGAGCGGGTGCGATCTGGTTCTACCAAAGTGCCGCCCGTGTCTTGTAATGGAGCCAGTCAGCACATCTCATCGTCCAAGGTCGTGGTCGGCAGCAAGCCGGTTCGTCGGCGGTGAGGTAGTATCCGAGATTGCCCGCTGCACAACGGCCTAATCGGTCGATGCTTGCGAATCTGTAGAGGATTGTTATCCAATGATTCAGCAGTGCTTGCAGCCGCTGCTCACAATGCGCGCAGCGTCATAGTCAGCAGCAGCTGAGGTTAAAAAAGGGCTAAAGAGGAAGTTCATAGAGAAACGAAGCGTATACTTATGTGAAGGGCGTAGATGTGCGTAGGCTGAGTGTTGTATTTCTATAAAGAGGCATGGATGGAGAACCGTGAAGATGGACGGCCTCACTATAATACATGAGAAAGAGGGCGAGGCAATCTTTGGGTATTCGGCACGAGCCGAGTAAAATGCAGCCGTTATCCCTTTTTTTACACCAACGGCAACGTCTCCGAACTTATTCTTCTCTCACGGGACCTAAGAGCGAGTTGCCGACATTGGGGCCCACGCGCTTGGCGTCTGATGGCGCTGACAGCCTAACGCCGACACTCCCCGACGGGACCTCCCTTTGTTCCATCCGATGGCTAGATAGCGCCGCCTCTATTAGGAGATCCCCAGGTTTTGTCTGCAAGATTGTCCCGGGATTATAACGGCGCTATTATGTGGCGTGGCGCCCCATTCCCTGACGCGGATGTCCGCCCTCCAGTGAAAGAGTCGCAGCGGCTTGTCTTCTCGCCTAGTTTTGACCCAGTCCTTGCTTGCTTAGGCTGTTTAGTAGTGCCTGCTGCAGGACGCCACTGTATTTGTTTGGTTGATTTTGTATACGAGGTCGTTCATGCTCTCCAAGCACGCCACGCATCTAGGCTCACTCACCCGTAATGCGGCTCAACTCGCTTTGGAGGACGGCGCCCCATTGCACGAGATTGCGATCCTCGTCATTCCAGAATGACAGCATGCCCATCACGTTGTAGATGGAGACGTGCCAATTATCCGGCATCGGGCTACCAAGCTTCGCTGCTGCGACGAGAATCAAGGCACTGCGAGTGCAAGCACGAATCATAAAGAGACCGCCGTGGTGCCGGTGGTAGTACCCCGGTTCGTTGACCTTGACTTGCTGAATATGTGTCTCTAGACCGCGCCTGGCTAGTTGCGCAGTGGTCATTGTGACGGGGCGACCAGTTGTAAGGGAGCTTAAGCTTGCCATCACAAACGGCCAGTAGAGCATTTCGTAGAGATTGACGAGCTGACCACGCAGGACAGACCGACTAATCGTATCTTCCTCTATGGGCGTATTGATGGATAGCTCTGCAGGAAGGTTATCAGACCACTCGCGAGCCTGGGCCTCATACTCCGGAATCATTTCACCCAGTACTTCCAAGAACCTCGCATTGGACTGGTGCTGCTTCCTTAAGCTTGTAACTTCGGTCGATAACCGGCTCGAAAGACGTCGAAGTGAGATCTCAGCGAGGTAGTACAGCCAGGCGGCTCTGGCGCGTTGTGTTTCCGAGTCTGGGCCGTCTGCTGAGTCCGTTGGGTGAGCCGGAGGGGCGGGGAAGAATGGCGGGTAGAGAGTGCTGCCAGAGTGAATAATATCAAAGTCGGGGAGCGAAAGCTCGCGGCGCAGCTCGCGCTCCGATTTCCAAGCGGACCAGTACACTGCCTGTTCCTGTGTCTCTTGCCGACCCATCTCTATGCCTTCTGGTGTGAGATCGGGACCCTTGGATAAATTCATATCCTGCACTTTGGCAAGGAATGGAAAATGCTGACAGGCGGCAAGGGCCTGTGAGAAGAAGCGCCAAGCATAGATGGGCTGGAACACATGCATCATGTAGACGCCTGATAGGAAGAGGCATTGCGCGCCGACAATGTCCGAGCTCACCAAGAGGATGCCAATTCGCTTCTGTGCAGCGTGGAAAAAGACTTGAGAATCTTGATAGGCTTGTGTTCCAGGCTTGGTGCTATGACTCGGGCCGAAAGGTGTGGCAAGGCAGCCAAGAGCGCAGATGATCATGGCCAAGCAAGACGCCGGCGACCAATCGATGCCATTGAGAAAGGCATTGCCGACCATGCGACGCGTGGACGCCTCATCCAAGATGGGGTTTTTGCAGTGAATGTAAAGAAAGAAATTGTCGAGTAGTCGGTATAATCGATGCGATTCCATGTCGACAAGGCTAGCAAGCGCCGCGGAGCCTGCAGATGGCGTAGAGATGGCGTCGGGGAGCTGGCGGTACGGAGTCTCCGCCTGGCCTCTGGCATTGAATACTGGCCATTGTAAGATAAAGTCCACGCGGACGGGTAGCACACTATCAACATCTGGACCATCGTCCTCGTGAATGATGCTGCTAATGGCATGTGGCTTTTGATGATGCGAGCTAGAGCTCATGCTCCTCGCCCGAAGCGGGGAGTGCGCCGAGAGCGATGCCGATGACTGTCGTCCATTGTGCTGGTTGGTATTGTATGCATTCATCTGTCCATTGCTGTTTGGAATCGCGGGGCTGACAGCGCCTACTTGGCCGAGTGCCGAGACGGCCGTTGTCTCGCGCATGAGGCGTTCGAGATCATCGAGGCGGTCCAAGATTTTGAGACTGGCGGGGTCGAAGCTGGATAGATCAACCGGCGACTGGATGCAGTTTGCGCCAACACTCAGGCAGTATGAACAGCTGGGTTTCTTGTTGTCGCACTTTGTCTTTCGGGCCCGGCACACCTGACACGCCGTGTTTGCTCGCTTGCGCGGATAGAAGGCGGTCCCGCGGGCAGCAGGGCGTTTGCCGGGCCGCCTCGCAGGATCCTGAGGCGGAGATGCTGCATTGCCAGTCGGCGTCTCGGGGGAGTCTTCGTCATGCTGCTGTTGGTGCTGCTGATGCTGGGGCGGTGGGAAGCCTGGAGACATATGCGCAGAAGGGACAGCGAAACCGGCTGGCTGTGCCGACGCCTGTAGGGGAGAGGGAAGCGGCATGTCGCTCCAAAGCACGCGACGAGGCGTCCTGTCTTGCCCAGCAAGGCAAGCCGATAGGGCAGCTGTCCAATGAGGGCTATTGCATGGGGGTCTGGGGAACAAAGCTAGCGCTGCTGTCTATCCCAGGAACGATCGGAGAGTAACAAGCGGTGGGTAAGGAATTGAGACACAGCCGGATGGAAGGGGAAAAGGAAGAAACAAGTCTCGGGGAGTCTCGCCACTTTTGAAAAAAAGGAAGAAAAGAAGGGGAGGCCAAGCAGACGACGACAGGGCTTTCGGGCTGTCAGCTGGGGCCGCCGCGATGGAGTTTGGGGTTTGGGGGCCGGAGGGTTTTGCAGCTGGTGCAGCTGGCGCAGGTGCCACGGCTGGTACAGGTGCCGCTTCACAGATGGCAGGTGGCGGGCGGTCGAAAAAAACGGGGAGAGAGGGCGTCGTGCTTTTTTTTACGGTGCTTGTCTGGGCTATTACAAGGGCGGGCAAGCCTGTGTTCGGCCCTATTACGTTCTGCAGTGGGAAGCTTAGACGAGACGTATTATTACAGAGGGTGATCCATGAGCTAGCGACAAGCTGGGGCTGTATAGAGTCAGCGCGATTATTGTGTTGCTGCTACGGTACGCTACCCGCTTGGGAGGCTCAGCGTGCTCAAAGCAGCAACAGCGCGATGGGAAAAATATGGGCAGCGACCGTTTGGGGAAGTTGGGGAACGCGGGATTCATGCTTGAGCCGCTATAGGCTTTGGGAGCACCGGCTGCTGTAAAATGCGGGGGGGACTAGACTCGCCGCTAGCAGGGCGCTAAAGTGGTCAAGGCTGGGGGCCCACAGGGGGGGCCAGCGAACTGCAGCATGCGCATGACCAGTGAAGAACGGGCGGCGAACGATGGATCCCCAGTGTGTATGTTGTGTATTGAGGCTCTCGTCAACTCTGCAGCGCTGGGCAACGAAAGAGTGTGATAATGGGATATGGCCTCATATTGCGCACAAATCTCAATTTTAATTTACATGAAATGGAACCCAGAAAAAAAAGCCTCATCAGCACTCAACGGACCGGCAGCCACTGGCGCCAGCGCGATATTTCGTGAGGGGGCCACTATCCAACGCCACAAGCTCGGCTGTTCAGCGCATCTCCTGGGTGCCGTACGCACTATAAACAGATTACAGCGGAGACAGGGTTCTTTTTAGTCGTACCATATTAGTAACCTACCTGTCCTCATTGTCTCTGCCACCTGGCGCACCTGGCATTGATTGAGTCGTGTCAATTTGCCATCTGGCGCATCTGGCAGTCCGTGCTGTGTTCGTTTTGCCGCTGGGAAACGAAAGGCCGCTATAACCCGCCACCCACCCGTTGTAAAACTCGCCCCAGAGGCACCACCACCATCACCGCCAGCAGCCGCTGGCATCCACACTGAGCCGCTGAATCATGGCCGTTGCTTTGACTTTAGTCACGACACAAGCGAGACGGAGATGCTATGTAAAGGCGAAAATAGCCGCTAGACCACATGCTCGCCTCGGTACGTGAGCGATTAAATTGTTGCTTTGACCCCTTGGCAGCGATCGGGATGGAGAGGAACTGACTCTGCCCAGTCGATTTCCTCATCGCTCTGCGCAGATTCAGGCCAGCCACTCACTTGCCTCGACTCACAAGCACCATGCTCTATCCGATCCAGCGGGCGGGGATTCACAGGGTTTTTTCAGTGGGCATTGTGGGCGGGCTTTAGTGGGTGCTGCTGCAGACAACCGTTTGATTGCTCAATAACCAGCCCGACAAGATGATGATGATCTGGCCGACCATGTGGCAAGCCCATGTTCGTCCGGTGCTGGCATCACCATTGCATCTTCCCTCGACATACAAATAAAACGTCTTGAAGCAGCGTGGCATCGGGGAGCGTCGCCCTCCACTTTTCGCCTTGCTCGCATATCCCCGCACGCATGGTCCAGCCCTTAGACCAAAGTACCCCAGATCAGCAGCCCAGCGTCTGTGTGTTTGAGTCGCCTGCCGACATCGACTCGCTCGCATGGCTGCTGCACTTTGCCGGCTGGCACAAGACATGCCTGCCACTTTTTGCCCAAGTATTGTTTCTGCTGCTTCACCTTGATGAAAAATCGGCCCGATGCCAAAACAGCCAGGGCTTGCTTTCTTGATGCTGCTGCTGCTTCCCCCAAGAGGCGCCCGTCTCGGCCGGGGGTGGAAATGGGCTGAAGGGGACGAGATGGGGTCAGGCAAAACGCTCCTCTTTTCAGTCCCAGCGCTACCACACACACACCTGCGCTAGCAGCCTTTAGTGCGACTCAATCGCGGGCTCGCGATTCGTATAATAAGCCGAGACCATCCTCGTCCCTTTCCGATCTGTGTCTTTGTTCCTCAGCAGGAGGTGTACATGTTTTGCAATTCTGTAACATATCTTTTTCCTTTTCTTTTCATCGAGGCTTATAAAGCCCGTCTCGCTGGACTGAATTGAGCCAGAATTTTTCTCTGCCAGGCTCTTGTCGCAACTCCGCATCGGAGAGCTGGGGCACAACCGTTTTGCCACGTCAAGATCGCCGCCACTACGATGGACGTCAAGAACGAAAATATGGAGTCGCATGTCACTGGCATCGAAGATATCAATGCGAAAAGGGAAATCCGCCAGGACAACGAGCGTGAGCACAACACGACAGTCCGAGATGTGTTCAAGAACCACCCCGCGCTCGTTTTTTGGGTGGTCGTGTGGGCGTTGGCAGGCTGTGGATGGTATGAAACTAGAACGTTCTTTTTACTGAACCCTGTGCTAACCAGAGTTGATAAAACAGGGGCTTTGATGCGCAGGTCAACGGCGGCATGATTGGTGTTCCCTGGTTCCGTCGTGATTTTGGATACGAGTTCACCAACGACCAAGGTGAGGAAGACTGGGTCATACCTGCGGATTGGCTGGCCGCGTTCAATACCATCAGCAGTGTTGGCCAATTCTTTGGCGGCTTCATGTGTTCCGTCATTTCAGACCGCATCGGCCGCAAGGGCGGTCTTTTTGTTGGTCTGCTCCTCGCCACTGGCGGTGTGTTTGGCGAAGTCTTCTCGACAACTAGACCGGCTTTCCTCATCTCCAAGCTCATCCTTGGTCTTGGTCTTGGGTTCTATCTTACACTTGCTCCGCTTGTGACCTCGGAAATCTCACCAGTTGTATTCCGTGGTATCGCGACTGCTACAGTCCAGTTTGGATTGAGTTGCGGACAGCTTCTTTCCAATGCTGTCATCAAGGGATTTGGAGAATGGGAGAACAGCTGGGCCTACAAAGCCCCGTTTGCCATCCAACTCTTCTTCAGTGTCTTCCTCTTTGTCATGATCCCATTTGCCCCAGAGTCGCCTTGGTATCTAGCCCGTGTTGGAAAGCGAGACTCGGCTAAGAAGTCCCTGCGCCGCCTCTATGGATCAAAGGTTGACTTGGACGCCATGCTCTCGGCTCTGGAGGCCACTATTGCTGAGGAAGAGGCAATGCGATCTAAACAGGGATCATGGATCCAGTGCTTCAAGGGAACCAACCTCGTCCGCACTATCATCAGCATGGGTGTCTTCTGTTGTCAGCACTTTGTGGGTATCATCTTCGTTCTTGGATTCTCCAGTTACTTCTTCAAGCTTGCCGGACTACCCCAAGGCAGCGCTTTCGACATGGGCATTGGCGTCACAGCCTGTGGTGTTCTCGGAAACATCACTAGTTGGTTTACCGTCAATCGTTTTGGTCGTCGATCCTTGTTTGTCACAGGCATCTTCACCTTGACTGTTATTCTCTTCATCATTGGCATCTTGGATGTTGTTCCCACATCTGGTGCTAAATGGGTCCAGTCTAGTTTGACCGTCTTCTACGGCTTTGTCTATTCCTGCTCCCTTGGTCCTATGGCATTTGTCCTGTTGGGAGAAACTAGCAGCACCACCCTGCGAGCCCCAACTGTTGCTCTTGCCACTGCTACCCAAGCCGTCATGGGCACTGCATTCAACTTTGCCATCCCCTACATGGTCAACCCCGATGCAGCGCACCTCAATGGCAAAGTTGGGTTCGTCTTTGGAGGCCTGGGTCTCATTGCTTCTATTTGGGCTTGGTTCTTCATCCCAGAACTCAAGGGTCGCTCCTTCGATGAGATTGATACCATGTTCCAGAATAAGGTTCCCCCACGCCAGATGGGCTCTTATCAAATTACTTCTTACTAGGCGACGGTGTAGTGCGGTGGACTTGTCTTTTTTGAAAGCGAAATTAGCTTTTTTTTGATAGCGTGTTTTCTTTTTAAAGTGTTATATATATCCTGGAATCTATTTACAATTTGACAAATAACTTATCTTTTCTCATGCCAACCATCGTAATCTAATGTGCAAGCCTCTATATTGCTGGGAAACGTCAAGGGTATTCTACAAAACATAATCATAAAAAAAAGCTCAAAACCAAAGCAGAGGCGAACTAAACAAGAAAAGAACCCTACAACGTTGGCATAGTTGCCGCTTGTGATTTTGCGAGGGCATTCTGGAGTTGCCCGATGCGAAGCGTCAATGGTACCAATGTAGGTAGAGCATCGAAGAAGTCAGGGCTGACCGGTACACCACTCTCGATGTACATGTCGCCGTTGCCGTATGTGGCTTCATATGCCATTGTCTGAGGCATACCGTCAAAGTGGATGTCACGTTGATGTGTACTAGACGACCCATCTGTCGGACTAGGGTTGGACGATGCACTCTGTGGGGATAATGTCACACCAAGAGCGATCAATTCCGTCATGACGAGGTCAACACAGGTTGCGATGACTACAACGGTTAGCAAGGGGGAACCAAGGATGGGCTAGCAAAAACTTACAGGTACTACGAGCCTTTATTTGGTCTAGCCGGCGGATACAGTACGTTACCCGATGAACCGCGAGGGCATCATGCGGGTTCGCCTGCACCTGGAGCAACAGGACAGTAGCGGCAATGTATATACTGTATGCCATTGTGAGGATGGTGTGTGATGTGCCGAATGATTTGCAATTGAGATCAAAGACGGCCACACAGGAGAGGGCGGATGTGACGCATTCGACGACGCAGCTATGAAGGAGCTGCTTGTCTTCCTGCGTGCGAGGGGGACGAGTAAGCATGGGCCGGTACAGAACAATCTTGAATGTATGGTAGATGCAGCTAAAGAGGGTTAGCAACAGTTGCGGTGTTTTCAAAGTAAAGACAAGCATACTTGAGTGCAAGAATATGGGCCGGCGGTGCGAGCTCGGGAAGGTTGAGGGGGTCAAGTTTTAGGTATGGGGGCAACTCTTCCCAAAATTGCTTCATGGCAGGCGCCTGAGCGCGGAAGCAAGCGACCATCTCTTCATCAGAGTTGGGTGTGTTGATGTCGTACATGTGCAGCACGACTTGATTCAGGATAATGGCAAGGCGGGAGGTGGCCAAGAAGCATGATGCAGAGTATGACGGCTGCGGGGGGTAGTTCCAAGTAATCTCTTCAGGCAGCCCAACGGGCAACCACATTTCATTTTCAGACGAATCATCAACTTGGGATCAGTTAGCAAACTATGCAATGAGAAGAGCCTGCTAGGTTGGACTTACACATTACAAGCCTCGGTGACGTTTCCGTCTCTTGGATTGCAGGACGATAGCCAAGATATAAGCTGACAAGTTTGTCCCAAAAGTAACAGCTCCAATAAATGCGGCGACGAATCTCAATGTCTTCATCAGTCAAGTGTGTGTTTCCATACTGGCCTTCTACGCAGAGACCGATGTGATCCATCACACGGAAGGCGATGCCGCTGTATACCCACGCTTGCATACTGTTGCCCAGACCAATTTCTTGGCCACTCAACAAGATGCATGTTTGAATGGTTGTTATTGAACAAGTACCATCGTTAAGCTCCTGGAACAGCATGCTTCGAGCGTGCTTGGCAAACACTCGACCACCGTCGTACGCGTCATCAAGTAGGCGCTTAGTGGGAGCATCAGACATTGCCCAACGGACGGAATGGGCAAGGATGGCATTGAGGAGCATGTGTGAATAATATGGTCCCATGGTTTGCATGTCCCCTGCCTTCTGTTAGAGACGAAACACTGTATGCTGCGGGGTAGGGGCCAATATACGTACGAGTAAAGCAAGGTCGATAGACGCTGTTGAATATGGGCTGAATCCAGAACCAATGAATATTCAAGAGGTAATGGAATGGTGCCTGCATTTGGTTAGGGTGTTGGAAATATGGTGAGAGTGGTGGGTAAGGTCATACCGGTATGCCAGCGAGGTCTTCGAGAGCACGCTGCTGCCACGCGTTCGACACAAGCCTCTGGCGGCGCTTCTGATCCGCGTCTGAAGACAATTCATTGCTGTGAGGCGGAAATATATTAAACAGATATTGACTCTCTGGAGGTCTGTCACTCTGGAGAAGCTGGTCCCTAGGACTTGACAGCAAGATTTCCGCGCCTCTCTCCCGCTTTGTGGGTGGCTTGGCTTCTCCAGCACCAGTGCCAGGAGTGGACATGCTAGAGTAAGAGGCAGCAGGAGAGGTATTAATCTCAGCAAGTTGGTCCTCAAGCTCTTGGATACGCCTCTCTAGGCGCTGTGTGTAAGACAGCGTTGGGTTGCTGGCAGAGCTGTGTTAGCGGCTGCACTATGCACGCGGGCTGCATATCTTGCTTAAGCGAGATATAAGGGACCACTCACAGTTTGTATACGCACTCCTCACTTCTGGATGTGCAGCGCACGCATTTAGGCTGCTCACCTCCGCATTTGACCTGGCACGAGGGCATGCCATGTTAGCTTCTGCGGGCTTATGATGGGAAGGGTGGGAGCTTGAAGGACAGGACAGGGAAGATGTGGTGTAAGGAGGGATACAAACCTTGCGGCGGCGACATGGTTCGCAAGAGAAGGCGCTCTTTTTGGTGGCTTTGGCCGAAGACATGGTAAAGGCGAGTCAAACATGCGTCCAACGTCCAGTGGCAGGGTGAGATGAAGGCCACTGGATGGAGCGAGGGGGCGGGGAGACCGGTGCAGATAAAGGCGGCCGGAGGGAAATGAAGCAAAATTAGGAGCAGCAAAGATGGGAAAAATACGTCGACATTTAGAAGCACCAGAACAATTGCCGCAAAGGGCGGGCGGGTAGAGCAAGGGAATAAGAGAGGGAAAAAGCGAGGATTGCGAGAGGAGAGGAAAAAAAATAAGGCTTCAGCTATGGGGACAGAACTGGGGGCTACGCTACGACAGTAGAGAGTGGGAGTAGCCGTCGCCGCAGAGCAGCTGGGCGTGGAGTGCCAGGTGCCAGCAGGTGCCAGTGCCAGGTGCCAGAGCAGTGCGAACCACTGGCGGTGCCGCTGATCCAAGTTGTGGGGAGACTCGACCTTTCTCCGCGACCCGGCGCCGTGTAGTTCAAAGCCCGGAGGACGCTAATTTAGCAGTACGACGCTGGCGCACAAAGAGGCGGTTGAAAGGAGGAGAGGGGGCGAATAGGGCAGTGCTCACGGAGGCGCCTTGCATGAATAGTGTTGTTTCCCTTTGAGTTAGGCGAGGCGCTAGTCTGCGATCATTTAGGCAAGTCGAGAGATTAACACTTGCCTGAATCAGCACAGTTGGTTGGTGACTCCTCCGGCCTGGCCTCTCCTCCACCCCCATCCATCCGGAACTGGCGCTGTTTGCTAGCTGCGGATTTTCCTTCAACAGCCTTGCGTATAGTTTCCGCCCAGTGGTTCCACCTAGAGCCCCTTCTCTCCCCCGCCAGCGCTAGGGCTGGGAGAAATGTTCGGACTCGCAAGCTGCCGGTGGCCGAGTCCACTGAAAGAGTTGTCTTTTAAGCAGTTGACCTAGGTAGCGCCGGGCTCCACGAATAGTCCGGTTGGTGGGGACAGACAGACGAACCGCCACAGTTGTGCAGTAGTGTACAGTAGTGGGCTTCTACGGGGTTTCTGCCAGGCCTTCTTTCTGCAATTTACAGCGCTTGTAGGGTGGCATTGTAGCGTAGCATTGCTAGGGGCTCTGCGAACCAAACCAGGAAAAAGATAGAATCAAAAGCAACAAAGGGTCTAAAAATACAGGATAATCATCTACATCCTGGTCAAGGCCACGCGGTTCTTGCCGGTGGAGGGAGGTCCCAGCGCCAGCGCATCTCACCGCTGATAGACACGCGGAAGAGCATCACTGGGAACAAGAACTGTTATCCACAGAACACATCACCAATATGGCTGCCTAATAATACGGGCAACTCTACAGTACGGAACAGTCAGTAATCACCGTAGGGTACTGTAGCAGCAGCATTTTTTTGCCAGCTGTGTCAGCTGCGCCAGCCGCACGCACGTTGGGACCAGTCGACACACGCTGGAACTCGTAGAAAAATAGGCCCGTCTAGGCCCATCGAATAAGCACCGGGCGTCCATTCCGCACCAGGAGGAAACTCAATCGGCAAAAGAACCAAAGGCCAAATCCCTGCCAGCTTCCTTTTGCTAATCGCTATTCTCCGGTGTTTCTCAGGGAAATCGGCCCGCGCCAAGTCAGTGGCCTGTCGATCTCGCTCTATTTCGTACTCCGGGCTACCTCTTCGGCAGCCTGCTTTGGGCTTCCCCCCGCTGATGGCTTTGATACGGCAATCAACACTCCTCCATCAGGCCATCATTCCGACAGTCCGAGAGAGCCTCTTTGTTTAATTGGCACCAAAAACTTGATCACGGATCACCTTTGCATACACACAGACACACACACTGCTTGTTCCCGCCCCCCGTGGCTTCAATTCCGCGCCGCCAGCCACAGAAACCGCCGATCCTTATCCCCCAAGCACACAGTCGTAAGACCACGAGACAGCTTCATCGAACCATCTCTACTTCACCCAATAGTTCGAACAGATGTGATCATCAACCCGGAGATCATATCGAAGACGGCGATTTCTGGCTAAACGTGTCGTCTGAAGCATGATGACAATGATGGGATCAAAACGGTGCGCATATGGACTTATAGCCGGCGCATCCCGCTTTGGGCCAAGACCAAAAGTCTAAGTACCACGCGGACGTTGAGTTTAGTCGCGGCTATTGTCCGATGAGTAAACAACTTGGTAACCACAACTCCGCTAAAAGGCAGTTGCCGATTCACCGACCGCCCTAACCTTAGACAGAAAGGGTAAATGTCACGGTTCATCTCTTTGCTCACTTTGCTATCCTCTTTCGACCTAGTGGCCCCTCATAAATGGACCTTCTTTCCTCTGGATCGTGGCGAAGCCCAGCATCCGACGATTGGCCTCACCATTTAAACGACGGCTCATTTATCAACCCAACGATACCGAGTGTCTACGTTCCTCATGATGTACCACATGGCTCAAAGAGACAAGAGATCGCCAGCTCTGTGCTCGGCGGTATTATACATTCCCATCCAAGCCGGCCCTAGTCTTACTCGTATGCACCGAGGAAGGAACTCTATGCTTAAGTCCGACATGGAGACGTTGCCAAGGGTAAGATCTGCTCAGAAATGGGAACCCAATGCTTATTTTTGTACAATGTATTTATTTTAGTTATGTACAATGACGCCCCCAACTTTAGGCACTGCAGAGGCCATCATGGACACTAGGGGGGTTGGAAGAAGCATCTCCCCAGTTCATACCACCAATGACCTGGCCAACATGAGTAGAGCGGTCGGCACGGATGTAATCGCCTACATAATCAAAGACCGAAATGTGTTAGCGTTGACCTCTCTCTTGTCCCGCATAAGCTGAAACGTGGACCTTTGATGATACATACCGCGCTGAGGGAAATACCACCAATCCTGAGAGCGGAAGGCATTGCCGGTAAGCTGCGAGAGAACGTCGTTGAAGCCCTTTTTCAAATGCCGTGTTAGTTTGGCGTACACGTTTGCCCATTGGAGGCCTATTCCCAACTTACAGTGTTGCGGTCGTTGCGGTGGGCGTGCTTGGCCCACTCGACATAGACCTGCTTAGGGTTAGTTTCACGATAAACAACCGGATTATGAAATCAATCACCTTGGCATGGTCAAGTCCCTGCTTGCCATTGGGTCCGCCAAGACGCTCGCCCGCTGTATCGTCGTTGAACGTGTTTTGGATCTTGCCCCAGTCAAGCGTCTGGTAACCACTGTGCTGCGAGAGCATCAGCTGAGCAGGACGCCAGAGGCCATCGTCAGACTTCTTCCAGATAACAATCACACGCTCCCAATCGCTACTCTCTGTTAGCATGTCAAACTTACTCTTACAACTTTTCACGGTTACAACGTACTAAGGGTGACCAAAAACGTGCTCCGGGTTGAAACTGAGAAATTGCGGGTTAGCTAACAGTGCTTGAACTAGGCAATCGAACACAACGAGACTGCAAAAGGAGACAAGACACCTACCCATCCTTTTCGTAGAACAACGAGTACTGGATGCGAATCGACTCAGGAGTGCACTTCTGGTAGCTGTAGTAGATGGGGAACGACGGCGAAGGGTTGCCAATGTCCACACCAGGGGTACGGCAGTGGCAGCCAGCGTTAGGCCAGTCACACAAAGCAGCAGAAGGAGTCTGAGTATCGTTCTTGTCGGTCGCAAATGTCGGGATGCAAGGAGGCTGCTTCATGGCCTGACCAAAGAAGAACATGGGCTGGGCTTTCATGGCCAAGCTGACGCCACCCTCATTCAAGAGGTCGTCCATCTGGGAGTCAGTCACGCTGACCAAGGCCTTGGCCAGGCCAGCGCTGGCGGCGATGCAGCTAAGGACAGAGAAGCGCATGTTTGTTGACAAAAACTGTTTGATTACTTGGTAAGACTACGGCAGGTCACCAAGGCAGGGGCTTTGCTGGATACAGAGAGACGCAAAACAGCATGCTATACTGTCGCCGGCGGCATGTCATCTTATATAACTTATGCCAAGAGGGCGCGACGTCAATGTTGCGCTAAAAGCAAAAAAACGGTCCCAAAAGACATGGTCGCCAGCATGCCTCTCGTGGGCAAGCCATCGCCGCCTACTCGTCCAATCCCGTCTCTGACCGGCTCCCAATTGGGACAGTGGACCGAGATGGTGCATGTGCCTGGGTTAGCGTGGAGGAATTGGTGCGGGACAAGCCTCTGGGCACGGGCTAATTTTCCACCTCTCGAAGACGTCGCAGGCATGGATTGGCCCCGATGCAGTAGCATCGTGCTTACAGGAGCCACTATTGCGATGGAGAAGAACGGCACTGAATGCCGGGCCACAGCCAAGCCAAGGACGCCCATCAGTTGAGGCTTCGGGGTAATTGGGTTGCAGTGCTGAGGAACGCATTAGGATTGGAAATATGATGGCGGCGGCGCGCGCAGCAAATGGCTATGCACTAAGATGAGAGAGCCTGCAGCTATCGTTATGCGTTCGCTGTAGCGATCGCACAGCGCATCTTGGGTCGTGGGAACGGGCAAATTGGAGGATCTCCCGCCATGCGGAGACCCTGCCCGGGGCACATTTACTAATTGGTCGTGGATCTTCAACAGCCTTCACCTTTACGGCCACGGGAGTGGAGGGTGATATCTTCGCATTTAGAGCTATAACTCTGAGCACTGCAGGTTCCCTTTCCAAAGTGAGTCAATCTAGTCTGGTCATATCGCCCTTTTTTCTTTTCTTCATGTGAATCATGGCTGCGATTATATGAACCGCAACGTTTCCCCCGGCTAAGCAAAAGCGCCGACCACGGACATCCCGGCAGCTGCGTTGGCAGCGTTAGCTTCGTTTCAGTCGGCAGGCATACTCTACACAATGACGTACCTCCAGCAAGGACCCAGCAGAATGCTGCGATCCTGTCCTTTTTCCTCATCACTCTCTGCGCTTCCTCCGACAAGAAATCTTCGGCGAGCAAGTCCACTAGGGCGGCATATATGAGCAGCCCAGAAGAAATGGCATTGAAAACCCCGACAATGATTAGGCCGAAGGCGCTTTGCGGATCATAGGTGCTCCTTGTAAACAGGCCAATGGCTTGTCCCAGCGGCGCTGTGGTGCCAAAGGCGAAGACGAGAAGCCATGGGCGGATACTACGTTTCGGGTACGGTACAGCCGCGATCCGGGAACCGAGCCCCAACCCCTCAAAGGCTTGGTGAAAAACAAGCGCAATGAGAAGAATAATAAATCCGTCGATTGTAATGGAGATGGTCATGCCCACAAATACCGAATGGAATAGGATGCCGCCTTCCAGCAGGGTAATGTTGGCGGACATCTTCTTGTAGGTCTGGGCTGAGACTGGGTTGCCGTCGTCGTCAATATATGGTGAAGACTCCAGGCTGTCCGATTTGGCCGATACACCACCCTTGGATATATCTCCAAGTTCGATGTCCTCGGAATTAGTGTCATAGGCCAATGTGCGCTCGCTAGAACCAGTATCGGACCGCTGCAGGGTTGGCTGGTGGTGGTGGTTGTGGTGGTGGTCAAGGACATTGCCAGTGGGACCGCCATGCGAGTGGCCGCCTGTTTTGGCGTTGAGGTACATCTCGATAACGAAGAGTGCAAACATGGACGCCATCATGATGACACCAGGCATTGGAGGATATTTCTCAGTGAAGAGGTCTGGGAGACAGGGGTCCATCAGGTTTCCAAAGGCGGTTGGGAGGAGCTTTGCCCTGTTAGCTGAGGGACCACAGTCACGATTTACTTCACTTACATGTACAAAGGCCGTTGCAATAAGAACACCCGTGCCAAAGTGTTTACATGCAAAGAAGACTTTGGGCGGAACCTTGAGCCACGGAATCTTTTTGGCAGCTACCGGGAAACCCGCACCTAGGCCGTGTTAGTTTTTATCGCTGATCGTAAAATTAAAAAGTGATCTTACCAAGGCATGAGGCTGTGAGAATTATAACTAGTATATGTGTAAGATATTATACGTTGTAGTAGCTGTATGTTGACTTACAAAGGCCAGCCACATGGAGAGCAACATCATATTCAGCGGCAGCCTCGCCAGCGCGGCTGCCACATTGCGGCTTTGTAGATTCTTCAGACATTTGATATTGAAAATAAAAACAAGAGCTAAATAGAAAAAAAAGAAACAAACTGTAGAATTGGAATCTTATCCAACGACGAGGACAAAGAGTCTTTTTTAATGTTTGTGCGCAACTCCAACATATTACCCCGGATAAAGACCCTGACGAATATCCGGCCCACGAGAACGTTTCAAGAATGTTGCTTTCGCAGAATGACTCTCCTACAGACTGTTACAAGACCCTGAAGAATCTGTCTGATACATCGTATCACAGGGTCTTAACTGGCCCTATTGGCCCCCAAAGTCGCCACAGCTACACAACCAGCGGACATCTGGGCCGGTCGAAAAGCCACCGATTAAGCCATAGATCTTGTAACACACAAAACCGTTTATTTTCCGAAAGACGGAGGCTTCCCCTGAAAAGGTGCTATGTACAGTATCAACAAGGGGAGCCGAAGCGTGACTTAGGGGGCATTTGGCATGGCGATCAAACGTCGCTGATTTCAGCTTGATGGGGTGTCGATGCAACCTCGTCTTTTACAGTGGCAGCAGCAGCACATGGAAGCCACCACAAAACAGTTGGGAATAATCTGGCATTTTTTAGTATGTAGATCGGCATTCTTACCGGATTTACAGTCCAGTGTCCTATTCCCCTTTCTGCAATGTCAGCACTTGTGTTACAAGGTGTGTTTTGAACCGCCGACTATACAGACAATTGTCAGTGTAAGCCGTGCGACAAACCCAACAATGCACATGCACCGCATTCTTTTTCCTTTTTACAAAACATGGCCCCAGAAGCAGAAAGATGCCAAGAAAAATGCCCGTTATCATTCTTGTTAGAGCCCGCCCCCCATGTAAATAAGACCCCTTATGCCAGTCCCTCGTCCTGTCCCTGCCAAGACCATCTGGAGGTCTAGTGCAACAGCGGAAGCATGTCCTCGCCGCGCTCCAGACGCTGGATATTCTCCAGCTGCTGCCTATAGAATCCCTTCATGCTTTCATCCTCGCCGTAAGCAGAGTGAGGTGTCAGAAGCACATTGCTAGTCCCATTCTTTCCCCATTCCGTCGTCCGCCACTCGCTATCTGCGGGCAGCGGCTCAATGTCAAACACGTCGAGCGCCGCGCCGCGAATCTTGCCCTGCTTCAAGATATCCAAAAGGTCCTTTTCCACAACAATTGGGCCCCGCGACGTGTTGACAAAAAACGACGTGGGCTTCATGCGCTGCAGGTCCACGGCCGAGACGAGGCCCCGCGAGCGCTCTGACAGCGGCAGATGCAACGTCAGCACGTCGGACTGGCTAAATAGCTCCTCTTTAGATACGGCACGGAACGTCTTGACGCCATTCGTCTCGACGGGGAGGCCGGCCTGCTGGGCGCGCTCGTCGGCTGCGTCCTGTGTGAGGTTGGGGCTCCAGGCGATGATCTTCATGCCCATGGCGGCGCTGAAGACGCGGGCGAGCACGATGCCGTAGCGCCCGAGGCCGAGGACGCCGAGGGTCTTGCCGGAGAGCTTGATCTTGGTTTGCGTCTGCCAGCCGCCGGCGTGGACGTTGGCGCAGTCGGCAGCAATGTTGTGCGCGATGCCGAGGATGATCGCCACGGTGTGCTCTGCTGTGCAGTTGAGATTGTTGTCTGCGTCGCCCGGAGCGGTGTCAAGAGCACCGACGACGGGAATCCCACGGGCGGCCATGGCTTCCATGTCGACGGCGCGGTTGATGTGGCCGGTTGTCAGGAAGACTTTGAGGTTGGGCAGGCGGGCGATGAGCTCTGCGGGGAAGGGCGTGCGCTCGCGCATGGTGCCTAGAGAGGTAGGTGGTGGTTAGTGAAGATTGATTTTGGCGAGAGGAAATGAGGAGGAATATACTAATGATTTCAAACGGCTCGAGACGCTTCACAAGCTCGTCCTTGATTGCTTGGGGTGTGGTGGCGCCATTATATGGCAGCAAGGTGTCTTTGAAGTAGACGACCTCGTAGTTTGGCCCGAGCTGGTTGAAGAACTCGGGCGAGGTGTCGGTGTAGTCGTCGAGGACAGCGATTTTGGTGACCATGGTGTTGGATTTGCTGGAGAGGAATCGGTGCGGAAATTGAGGTCGGCGGCGGTGGTGGTGGTGATGAATAATAGTCAATGGTGAGGTGGATGACGTCGGAGTGGCTCGGATGGCGGCCGGGTAGTAATAACGGGTAGCGCCCCGATTGCGGAGGAGGGCGCGGACAGAGGGAAGAGTGATGGGCATTCTGTGATTTTAGTGTCAATGAGATGGTTCTGATGGAGTTAAGAGATATTTTGGAAGCTGTGGTTTAGTTTCGGCATATTGTGGTTGTTGGCCTTCGTGAAGAGGGCTCGGATATTGCTGGGTCATGTTGATGAAAAGGCGTCAATCGAGTGGATACAATCGGGAAGGTTGTTGAGAAATATTTGCCTCTATTTTCAAAGAACAATAAATGGCAGCTGTACAAATTGGAAACTGGGAAACTGCTCTTTCATCTGTTGCTCTGCCTACCATGCGTCTCCGTCAACAGGCTTGAAGCTCGCCTGCCACTTTGCCAGCTGGCAGAAGGAACTTTGCTTCTACATAATCTCCAAACACAAACAAAACAAACAAAACAAATAAATAGACATAATGGAAGAAGATACATCAGTTACAGAACCACGGTTTAGATACTTTTCTTCGCTTCCACGGGAGCTGAGGGACGAAATATGGCTGCTTTGCCTTCCTCGACGAGTCCTCGACTATTTTCCTTTGCACGATCCGCCATCGCCCACAATCCAAGGAATCAGTTTTGGTGCAGGCCTCGAAACAACTTGCGTATGTAGAAGACCATATCCCACGAAATACAACAACAGATTCCCAGTTCTCTCTTTTGTTTGCAGCGAGTCTCGCCAGGTGGTGCAGCGGTATCTCGAGTTAGAGATTAACAATGAACCATCAATCTGGCTATCAGAAAGACTCTGTTCCGCTGTTATATTCCGCTATGAGACCGACCCAGAAATATACGTATCTTTGCAACCAAGAGGATCAAAGCATCATACAGAGTATATTGAAAAAATGAGGAACATGTTCCAGTGGGCACGAGACCACAACATGATACCCTGTTTCTATGATGAATTCTTGTGTTTCTACAGCGACTGGTGGTTACGACATATGCCGATAGCGGGATTACTTCAAACCGAAGTGATACACGAGTTTGTTACTCTGGGAAGCGGGATGCGGCTGCCTTATATCCTAGTGACCGCCACTCTGCATGTTCAAGAAGACGTGGCACGACGGTCTGGCCTATTTGGTGTCTTGGGAGACGAGGCATGTCAGCTCGTGCCAATCACAGACTTCAATCGTATACGCAAATTTTACAGGCTCTCAAAGACCGCCGTAGTACACAAAGGGAAAGCAGCACTTGGCAAGAAGTTGTTTTGGGGTAATATACTTTCCGAGGGGAGGTTTCATCAGTACCTTCAAATGCACATGAATGATTTGGAGCATATAATGCTTGCTGCCCGGTGGTCTACCGGGTCACACCCCGACAATCCGCTGCTGCAGGTCGCTTTTTCGACTTACAAACCTGGCTACATCCCAAACACCGATGTAATGGCATATAGAAGGCACCCCTGGACTATTGAGGCGCGGGACAGGCTTCCTGTTCTAGTGCCACATATATGCTTTCGATATTGCGGCGATAAATCGTGTCTGAGAGAAACCATGGTCCCAATGCCGAAATTCCAGAAACGCCCAGAATCAAGAGACTCTGAAAAGGATCTACTTACGGCGAGGCATCACTACCCATTTCGTGGGCGAGGGCGTTTTCGATGGATACGCTGGCGCAAGAAGGATGCCATTCCAACCACGCCTCGAAGAATACGTGCATCAGTTTTGTCGTTCATGTTGTCAGGGGCATGAAACGAATATCATTTTGATTATGCTATCTATAGCGAAGAAATAGAAAAACCACTACCATTAGCGTACTTTACATCTTAGTCATTCTCGTAGCACCATCCAAGCGAATAACAGTGCCGTTCAACATCTCATTCTCAATGCAGTGTCTGGCGGTGGCAGCAAACTCGTCTGGGCGACCAGCTCTTTTGGGGAAGACAAAGGTCTTCTCGAGGCTCTGGCGAACCTTGTCGGACATGACGCTCGTCATGCGCGTCTCGAACAAACTAGGTGCAATGGTCACGGCGCGGATACCGTGGCGGCCAACATCGCGAGCCAGAGGCAGCGTGAGGGCGGTAATGGCACCCTTGCTGGCCGAGTAGGAGACCTGGCCGTTTTGGCCATCAAATGCAGCAGACGAAGCAACCATGATGATGATGCCGCGGTCCTCGGAGGCAGGGAAGGGAGAGTTCTTGACAATCTCGGCACAGGTCTGGCGAGCAAGATCGATGGTGCCGCGGACGTTGACGCCCATGACGAATTCAAAGTCGCCGAGGTCGAAGGGGTTGCCGTTGCGATCGAGGATCTATACTAGTTGTTAGTATATACCAATTTCTTCCAGAAGATACAAAAAAACACATACAGCGGCGGGCAGAGAAACTCCAGCGGCGCAGATGGCACCAGCAACAGGCTTGCCAGTCTGCTTGGCCCATGCGGAAGCTCCCTCGACGGCCTTGGCGACGCTATCGCTGCTGAGCACATCGCATTCAAAGAACTTGGCACCTGCACCAATCTCGGCGACGAATTCGAGTCCATTTTCTTCGTTTTGGTCGAGAACAGCGACGTGGCCACCCTGGGCTACGATCTCAATGCAACAGCCCTTACCGAGACCCGAAGCGCTGTTAATTCATATGTTAGCTGGGATAACCAAAGAAAGAGTGGGAAGAATGTTTACCCTCCGGAGACGATGAATGTGCGGCCCTGAATCTTCATGATGTCTTGCTTGCTGCAAATGCAATGGAACAAAATAGATGTAAGAACGAGAAAGAGAGCTTCTCGGATCGCCGGTCACAGGTGTTTTCGATCCGGCGCCGGCGGGGACTGACAACCTCGGCACAGGGCGTTAGCGTCGCTACGGTTGCTGGATTCAGCGAGTCTGTCAGGCGCCAGAGCCTCATCGCTAGTGGGCTGCACTAAGTTAGTGGGCAGAAGACCGTGGCGTTTGGGCTGCTCGAGCGATGACGACGTTGTGATGGAGGGGCAGTTTTCATGGGTATTAAAAATAGTGTAAAATCCCTGGTGAGTGAAGAATCCTTCTAGAAGCCGTCAGATAAATTGAACAGCATGCATACTGTAAGCATTTCAAAAATAGACGCATGCCCTTTTCTGGCTGTTACGCTGAGGTAGTGCCCGCTTAGCCGCTATAACATTCCACTATAGCCGCCGCCGCCCACTGAATTGCTGCCCAAGGATCATTAGGTAATCCACCGTCGGCGCCCGCCAGTGCCGTCACCACCAAATATTTGCTTTGTTTCTTGGCTATCTATCACGTTTTCTCGCCCCCCCGGACGCCAGCTGGAGCGGCGGCACTCCTCCTTTGCACAAACATACACACAACACACGAGATACCCCAAGACTGTACATACAGCCCCGTTAACTCGCTACAACCTGCTTTTCAACAAAGACTATAGCGCATCGACTAGAGCAAAAAACCAAGAACCGCCGCCATGACGAGGCCACGGGGGTCCTCTATCAATAGCGAGGAGAGCGCCTCCACGGCCAGGGAGCAGGTATGCAATACCGACTCAACGAGCGATTTTATCGAAGATGTCTCTAATCGGAATCGTAGGAGTTGGGCAGCATGTATGATTATCTAGCAAAGATTATTCTCTTGGGCCCCAGCGGCTCTGGCAAGTACGTTTCAGTCTGATACGCGGCCTTGTGTCACCGCCCATACTAACAGCCCGCGGGTTTCTAGGTCCTGTCTGCTGCACAGATTTGTCAAGAATGAATGGCGGGTCCTGTCTTCGCAGACAATAGGAGTCGAGTTTGCAAGCAAGATTATCAAAGTCGGCACCGGAGCCCGTCGAAAGCGCATCAAGTTGCAGGTACGTGATAATGGGCCAGCCGGGCACCCCGCCCAACCCCTGACCTCTATATATACTAACATGTTGCTTAGCTTTGGGATACTGCCGGAACCGAACGATTTCGATCTGTTTCTCGATCATACTACCGCGGCGCTGCGGGCGCCATTCTCGTCTACGACATTGCGTCACACGCCTCCTTCCGCGGCATCCAGCCCTTCCTGAACGATGCTCGAGCCCTCGCATCCCCGAATCTGAGCGTCATGCTTGTTGGAAACAAGGTCGACCTTACTGCCGAAGACGAAGACATGCCGCCGCCGACGCCGATAACGCCGAGCAGCTATGGCTCGACGTACACCATCACGCCGAGCTCGGCATCGACTACCAACACGATTAGCAGCATGAGCACTATTCGAAACAGAGACCATGCTGGATCCGTCAGCTCTGCGACGCAGCAGCGCGCCACAGTGGCCCTGGATGGCCGCGAGGTGTCTACGGCAGAGGCTACCAGATGGGCTAGCACTGTCGGCATATCCGTTGTTACAGAGGCTAGCGCGTTGAACGGTGAGGGCGTCGACGAAATCTTTGAACGACTGGCGCGTATGATTCTCACCAATATTGAGCTGGGCGATATCGATCCAGATGATCCCATGAGCGGCATTCAGTACGGCGATAGTGGCGGCTGGAACACGGCCAGCGATGGGGCGAGCATCAAGAGCTCCATGACGGGCGCGACGGTGGACGATGGTCTGCGTCGACGAAGAAAGCCCAAAACTCGTGGACAGAACTGGACGGGCCTGCGAGAGTGGGAGGAAGTGTTTACGCTGAGCAGTAGCCGCCGCCGTGGTAGTAACTGCTGCTAGTGTCTATAATGCTTTTGCAAAGCTGGCTGCACACATACAGCCTACATTTCTTTTGTTTTCTGCGAGCATGGGTTTGAAGATTATACCTTATTTTTTTTGCATGGCGTTTGGGGCGAGAGGCTTGTCTGATATTGCAAAGAATGCTCCTTGTGTTTGCTGTTGACTTTTGGGAAGCGAGTTATATTTCCTGTTTGGCTTGTATTGGTTGTATAGGCTATCGTACTATTTGCGGAGATGCTCCTTGCCTATTCTTTATTTTTGCATTTTGTTAATTAATACCATCCACTGTATGCGTTTTCTGATTACACCAAGGGTTTCTCTCGGTCTATCATTCTCCATCTATCTGATGATATGCTGCTGGCGTACCTGGGGGGCGCTATATTTCGCGCCCCCCAGGTGAATGTTTAGCGGGTACAGGACAGGCTGCAGGAGCGAGCGGTGACGATTTGTTTTGGGGAAAGCTCCCCCACAGCGGGGTCGTCTTTTTTGATTTCCGGGCGCTGTACTTGTCCGGGGCGATGTAATGCCGTGTTGCGTGTTGCCGGGCCTAGAAGCCGCTGCAGGAGGCCAATAATTGCGTATTAAATTTTGACAACTCCTTATAATGCATAATAACGCATAAACTAAGGCAATTATTCATAGCGTTCTCTTTTGAGTTACTATTTCGCACGCTGCCTCTTAATCCCGTCTCGCCCATTGTGGCAGGCATCTCCAGTTACAGCGCCCTCGCCTCCACTAAACAGCGCTGGGTGTATGTAACCTTACAACTCCGGAACCCACCCCCACTAACCAAACCAACTAAAAACCCAAGACGGTGCCGTCACTTGTGCCAGCTGGCAGAACTTGTTTCCTTTTCTCGTTCATCAACCTCTTCCATCTGGTTCCAGGACGCCAATTTCACCGTCTTTCAAATCATCATGGAGCCTCGCACCGTCATTCCCATCGACAAGCACTGGCACTTCAGACAGGCCGACAAGGACGACGGCACGTTTCTGCCCGTCTCGCAGTTCCCAACAAATATCCACCTCGACCTCAAGCACCACGGTATCATTGCAGACCCCTTTATTGGTAAGAATGAGGCCGATGTGCAGTGGGTAGGCGAGGCCAAATGGACCTATGAGACGGCCTTTGAGACGCCGTCGTTGCCGTCCAAGGCCAGGGCTGTGCTCGCCTTTGATGGCCTCGATACCTTTGCTACTGTCTCACTCAATGGAAAGGTTATCCTGGAGTCGGAGAACATGTTTATCCCAGAGCGTGTGGATGTTACTGATGTCTTGCAAAAGAACAATGCCAACGTGCTCAGCATTACGTTTGACAGCGCTTACCTTCGCGGCTGGGAGCTGGTGGACAAGGAGCCCGAGCATGAGTGGAAGCTCTGGAACGGAGAGCCCTCTCGCCTGGCCGTTAGAAAGGCACAGTACCACTATGTAAGTTGTATACAAACTTGATGAAAAAGAGTTGAGAGTGCTAATAGCATGCAGGGTTGGGATTGGGGCCCTGAGCTCAACACTTGCGGTCCTTGGCGACCCATCAACCTGGAAGTGTACGAGGCCCGCATTACGGATCTGTACACCACCATCAAGGTCGACGACTCTCTAAAGAACGCCACTGTTATAGTCAACACCGAGTCTGATGGCGATGCCTCTCATGTCCGCTTTGAGGTCGCGCTCGACGGTAAGATGGTCGCCAGCGAGACTGTCGATGCGGGCTCTACGGCGTCCGTCACATTTCACATCGCCAACCCCGAGCTTTGGTACCCCATCCGCTACGGAAAGCAGCCCCTATACACGATTAGAGCAAGCCTCATCCATAACGACATTGAAGTCGACTCCATGTCCAAGAGAATTGGTCTACGCAAGGCCCAGCTCATCCAGCGTGAGCTCAAGGACCAGCCAGGAACCAGCTTCTTCTTCGAAATCAACAACATCCCCATCTTCTGCGGAGGAAGCAACTGGATTCCTGCCGACAACTTTGTCCCGCAAATTTCCAAGGAGAGATACAGAGACTGGGTCAAGCTCGTGGCCGACGGCAACCAGTTCATGATCCGAGTCTGGGCTGGCGGTCTGTACGAAGAGCAAGTCTTTTACGATGCCTGTGACGAGATGGGTATTCTTGTGTGGCACGACTTTATGTTTGGCTGCGGAAACTACCCTACCACCCCCAAGTTGCTTAAGTCCATTGATCGCGAGGCACGCGTCAATGTCAAGATGCTTCGCCACCATCCTTCCATTGTTATTTGGGCCGGCAACAACGAGGACTACCAGGTCGCTGAGCAGGAGCACCTCCAGTATGATCCCAAGGATAACGATCCCCAGAACTGGCTCAAGTCCAACTTCCCCGCACGCTACATTTATGAGAAGATTCTGCCAGATGTCTGCCGCGATCTGATCCCCGACGTCCACTACCACCCCGGCAGCCCATGGGGTGGCAAGGACACAACCGACCCAACAGTTGGCGATATTCACCAGTGGAACGTCTGGCACGGGTCTCAAGAAAAGTACCAAAATTTTGACAAGCTCGTCGGCCGCTTTGTCTCCGAGTTCGGCATGGAGGCCTTCCCCTCTGTCAAGACTATTGACGCCTACCTGCCCAAGGGCAAAGACGACCCAGATCGCTACCCCCAGTCATCTACCGTCGACTTCCACAACAAGGCGGCTGGCCATGAGCGCCGTCTTGCCCTCTACCTGGCCGAGAACATCCGCTATGCCCCCGATCCTCTAGAACACTACGTCTACTGCACACAGCTCATGCAGGCCGAGTGCCTTGCCTCCGCGTACCGTCTATGGAAGCGTCAGTGGAAGGGCCCTGGCCGTGAATACTGCGCCGGTGCCCTTGTCTGGCAAATCAACGACTGCTGGCCTGTCACATCGTGGTCGATTTGCGACTACTACCTGCGCCCCAAGCACGCCTACTTTACTGTTAAGCGCGAAATGGCGCCCATTTCCATCGGCATCACTCGCCGCGAACACAAGACTCCTCTGCGCAAGCACACGGCAGCGTACATTGACACCAAGATTATGATTGAAGTCTGGGGATCTAACCTCATGCTCGAAGACCTCGAGGCCGACTGTGTCATGAAGGCATGGGATGTCGTTACCGGTGAGGAGACATACTCCAAGACTGTCGAGGCCGGCTTCTGCTTCCCCTCCAACCGCTCTACCGAGGTAGTCAGCATGGAGGTGCCTGTGCCCAAGCCTGGCGCTGAAAGCAGCACTGTGGTGGCAGCGTACCTTGTCAAGGATGGCAAGCAGCTTGCGCGATATGTCAACTGGCCAGAGCCTCTCAAGTATGTGCACTTGCAGAAGCCCAAGCAGCTCAAGGCGGAGCTGAGTGCCGATGGTTGCACTGTGAATGTGAGCGCCGAGGTTCCTGTCAAGGGTGTTTCGCTGGAGTGCGAGGAGGACGAGGTGAAATTCGAAGACAACTTGATTGATATTGTCCCTGGCGAGGTTGTCAGCGTCAAGGTGAATGGAGCCAAGAAAGACACTACCGTTACCATGCAGTACTTGGGCATGCTTGCTTAAGTAGATATCCTAGATGATGATGAGATAGATATAGTATAGTAATATGTGCTAGAAATGAATTGTAAATAACGTTAAATGATCTCTACAATCTCGTCTTGATACGTGTGCAAGGAATACACTTTTTGGTTTAATAGAGTTGGATTCATATAGAAATTAAATACAGACGTGGATATTAGCAATGCGCTTGCGGTCATGACATGCTGTTGTATATACAAAGCGATAAAAGAAAGTAATAAACATAAATTCTCTAGGCGTCAGCGACGTGGAGAACTTCACCCGTGGCGTTAATGGCCAGCTTCTTCTTGGCAATCGACGCCTTGACTGGATTCTTTGCCTCAAAGATTTCATCCAGTTCCTCAAGCTGTGACGTTTGTTAGTCGAAGTTAATATGAAGGTGTAATAATGCAACTTACAGTTCGGCCCTTGGTCTCGGGGAGGAAAAAGTAGACAAAGACGGACATGATGGCGTCCCAGATGGTAAAGATGATGTAGGTCCTCCAACCAATCTTGTCGAGGGCGACGGGCCATGCAAACTGATTAAGGAGGCCGGCAAGATTGACACCCAGGTTACCAAAGGCCATGCCCTTGGCGCGCTGCTCAAAGGAGAGGACTTCGACAATGTAGAGACCCTGAAGGGGTGTAACTCCGACAGAGAAGACGGCGCCAAAGAGGAAAATCATGGCGAGACAGGCCTTGGAGGCGTTGTCGTTGGTGTAGATCTTATTCCCAGCATCATCTAGGCCGGCATAGGAGGCGTCAAACTGCGCCGAGGCAATGGTCATGCCGAGCCAGACGACGGTGCAGCCAATAAAGGAGAAGAGCAGCAGAGGGCGGCGGCCGATGCGGTCGACGACCATGGCACCAGCGATGGCGCAGCAAAACTGGATGACATTGTTGATGAGTGTAATGTTTGCCTTTTCAATGGGGTTCGTATAGCCAGCGGTAGTCAAGACAGAGCCGAGGAAGTAACTAAGCACGGCGTTTCCGAGCCACTGAGCGAGCGCAGCAACAGAGACACTGCAGACGAGGCGGTAGACGGAAGGGCGGTCGCGCCAGAGTGCCGAGTAGTCGTACCAGCGCTTGTCGGCGCCATCGAGGTTGAGGTTCTCTTCGTACTCGCGGATCTGGAGGGCGGGCCAGACGGACTCGGCGTTGCCGTGGGCGTGGTACTTGATGAGGAACTCCTTAGCGGCGTCCTGCTTGCCGTGGACGTATTGCCAACGAGGCGATTCGGGGAGGAAGGGCGTGAAGAGGATGACTAGGCCGGAGAAGAGGCACTGGAGCCAAGTGATGAGGCGCCATGAGTAGTTACCGCCGACATTGAGGCCACCGCGGGCGGCACCCGCAGCGAGAATGGCACCGCCAAGCCAGAGACAGTTGTAAGTGGCGCCAACTACACCGCGGTAGGCAGGGTGATTGATCTCAACGACGTACATGGGACCGGCTGATGCGCTGAGGGAGACACCGAAGCCAAGCAGGAAACGGCCGCCCATGAACTGACCAGAGGCAGACGAGGTGCCCTGGAGAATGGTGCCGATGATGACGAGCAGCGCGCCACTGGCCATACCAACTCTACGGCCCAGGCCGTCAATGACAGGGCCGACAAAGGGCAGGGCAACAACACCTCCAATCTGGTACATGGAGGTGACGATGCCTGTCCAGAGACCTTCTTCCCTGACGCCATATGTCGCGCGGAACCATTCGTTTTGCAGCAGGTTGTTGATGAGAGAGGAATCGTAGCCGTTCATGGTGGAGCAGAAGAAGCCAATGATGGAGAAGAGGTAGATCATGAGCATGGGCGTGGAGAATGGGGTAGGCGGCTCCTTGATGAGGGCCTCGTTGAAGGCCTGGTCGCCATGGACGACTTTTGTCTCGACAGCGGTCTGTATGAGGATGTTAGCGAGTTGGAACATGAAGCGCAACGCGGTAGTGTGCACTAGACAGTGATGCTAGAGGGGAAACGTACGTGTGCGCCCATCTTTTCATCCGAAGGCGGGCTCTCGGCACTGTGCACAGAGGTGACGGCCATGTTGACGGGAAGTGTGAGCGAATGCAAGAGGTTACTGTTTGCTGATGATCGTGATCGTGATGGTGGTGAGGGGCGTGAGCAACCTTAATAGTAGGCTAACAACGGAAGCCCTCACAAACAAGGGCGAGGCTGGCTACAACAGGCGACAACAAGCTTGTTGGAAATACAAAACGCAAGACGAAGGCAGGGAGAATGAGGAAAGAAAAAGGGAATTGAAAATGGCACGCTTTGTCCTGCGGAGTATTATAATCGCGGGCGGCGCTCGTTTAGGGGACCCGGGACCTGGGAGTCGCGTTGAGAAGCAGAGAGCAAAAGCCCATCCAGCGCTAAGCAAGCCACTATTTCGCCCGCTAGACTGAAAAAGAGGCTGTTGGGAGGCGTTGGATGATGGCCCTGGTTGCATCCGCAGTGGAGGTGCAGTGCAGAGAGAGACAAAAAGAGAAGAAAGATGGTGTGCTTACGGCGGGGGGGCGTTGTGGTGGTGCAAATGAAATCCCCCTCTACAGAGGTACTCTAGCGGGGTTAGCAGGCGGCGGCCGACGCACCAGTACTGTAAACTACAGTGGTGGCTGACGGGCAGCAAGCAGCTGGCACCGGTTACCGCAGGCACATCGGGGCGGTCGCTGGTGGCCCGTCGGCAGGTGCTGTGGAGCGGCAGGCCCCCCCTGTGATTGCTTTTACAGTGGACCGCCCCAGGGGGAGCTGTGGGGGATGTGCGGCGCGCTGTTTGCTTGGCCTTAACCCGTCGGGGGCGGATGCAACGTGCCTGTCGCTTACAGTGTGTAGTGCAGAGGGAATTAGTTTTAGGGCCAAGCAATTGCTGCTCTCAATTTATTTACCTATTCTGGCTACTTTACAGTAATTATCAGTATGGGAATACTCACATGGGATATATAGATAATAGGTACAAACTGTATGTGTGTATAGCTGTGGTGTTGTCTGCTTCACTTTGCAGAGTTCAACGCCTCTTGGCTACTGCCCATGCATTAATCCTATACCGCTTAACTTATATGTTAAGAGGCTTGCCATAATGGCCATGATTGGGCCATGCAGCAATATATCCCAATACACAAGGCTGTAAAACACCGAGTACTATACGATCCTATACAGACAGACTCACCCCTCTCAGAAGCACGCGACATACCCTCAACTAAGCCGTCAAACAACCCCAAGAGCATGTATACATCTGTAAAATCCAATACCTTGAATACGCTCCCCTCCCAAAACACCTGTAACAACACTTTGCCCCAAGGCCCCCAAATCGCACCCACAGCCTCACACCAACCAGCCCTCCACGCCGTCGCCACGCCCACCCCCAAATCATCGGCTAATTCCCCTTCACAAGGCAAACCGACTAGAAACGCTTCTTCTCTCGATTACCGGCAGCCGAATCCGGCCCTACTACTTCCCCCACAAAGCCACTGGCGCGCGCAGTCTCATATCGCCGCGCCTCAACACGGCAAACCATATCTCCGTCCGACGACATGGCTGCGAATGAATGCACCTACGGGGCCAAGCGACATCCATCCAATATACACAAACGACAACGATGTTGACATGGCTTTTTTTTTTTAATTTATTTCCAGAATGACAAGCTCTATTCTCGGCGAAATGGGGCGGTGGCACCACACCACCTCACTCACACTACACATCATCATCATTCACAGCATGGTTCATGTCAAACACAAAAGGAAGCACGACATGTTCATACATACAGCATGAGACATTTTCACACATACACAACGTTAAACAAGGAAATGTAGGAGCGCTTGGAGCCTCGCCCGTGTAGAACAAACCGTCACTCTCCTCCAGCACCGAAATGCCAGAAGAAAAAGCAACAGCCGCCAGCGCCGCATTTGGCACCGGCCCAACAGGCATGGACTATGATGGTCCGTAGTATTTTGATCTCGCAGCAACCGTTTGAATCACCGGCCCCAAAAAGGACCGCCCTGCACCGCCAGCCTACTTCCAGTGCAAGCGCACAAAACGTGTCTCGCGCGGAAGACTGCCCTCCTCTTTCGAGAAAGGGCGAGACTCATGGGGATGGTTGGTGAGTAGCTGTACAGGGATTCGCTGCAAACATTCACTTTTTCATCTTCTTCTTCTCAACAGAGAAAGAAGTGATAGCATGCACTGAGCAGGAGTCACGCATCAATGGCGCCGCGTTGGCATACATTGAGGCTTGTCCGTTTCGCCTGATTTTCTTACCGTGACGATGCGTGTGCGGCAATGAATATCCCCGAGAGAGAGAGATACGTGCACACACAACGCGCGTGGGAATGTGCCACAGCGGCAGCTTGTGTTCGGGGTGGTGGCAGATGAACAGGAGAGAAAATTTGGCGGAGCTGCGAAATTTCAGTAGATGAAAGTGGACTACTGGCGGTGGTGCCCGTTTAGGTGCATATCCCGTTCCACGACCAGCCACCAACAACTTACAACACAATCCTTACCACTGGCAATAGTGAAACAGTCACGGAAAAATAAAATGTTTAAAATAACGGGCATGGTAACTTCATAATGCATTTGTATGTCTATCTTCTGTTTTTTGTATCGTGGCTGCTGTAGCTATAGCTGTAGCTGTAGACGTGGCGTCCTTCTTTAATTCTCCCCGTCTAAATGTATCTCCGCCACTTCATCCGCCTCGACCTGGCTGCTTCCTGGTCCTAGGCCCATTTCAATGTCCACGTTGGATGCGTCGGCCTCTGTCATCATCTGGTTGTCCGCACCTTCGTCTCCAGACGAGTCTGCCTGCGCAGCGTCGCTGGCAACATCGGCATCGCCATTCAGGCCGCCAAATGTCCAGCCCTGTGTCAGATCCAGGGATTTTCGACCACCGTTCTCTACGCTGCTTCGAATGTTGGTCAACTTGGAGTACGAGGGGAGATCGTCGTCATCCGAAGAATCGTGCTTCAAGGGCGGGTGCCAGCCACGGCCGTCACCTGCTGCCTCGGCCTCTTCCTCGCTCGCGTCGCTCTGGCTATCGCGGTCAAACTTTTCCAGGATCTGGCGGAATCGCTCTCCTCCAAGAGGGCCGCTTGAGCGGCGCTTATAAAAGAGCAGGTACGCAGCAGTGGTGATGACGGAGTTAGGGTCTGATACGGCGCTCACTGACGAGTCGTTGTAGTTGTACCACTTGCCGTCTACAAAGTTCTTGGCATACGCAGTGTAGTGACCACCGCCGAGACCGCCATAATGGTCGTCGACTCCAATCAGGTCATACACCTCAGACTTGCCCTCCTCTGTCTGGATGACGCGCGAAGTCAAGTCTAAGCCTTCAATCGGGAACTCGACAAGCACGTCAAGCTTATCGCGTCTCCATCCAGAGCTGCTGAAGCGCTTCAAATGCGCAACCAGATAGTCTGGCGTCTTCCACAGATCAAATTTCTTGCTGGCGCGGCGGTGTTCCTTGCAGCGGGGGCAGTACCACATGTCCTCTTCCGACAAGATTTCTGCTCGCTCAAACTCGTCCAGGCATTCCTCAAGCGTGATGCCGCGGGACTTGCGGCTCTGGCGCCGTCTCTGGTTAATCTTGAGCGCAGTATCCTCAAGAGACTCAAGGTTGGTGAACGTCTTGGCACCCTGCGTTGAGTCGGCAGTCTTGATCATCTGACCAAACAGAGTATCCCATGCATCTTCGTTCCAGTCAACGACCAGACCCTCCGACATGCGGATAAGAGGTCCGCCATCGGCAACAGCAGGCGGCATTGGCTGAGGGGCAACGTTGGGCATACGCTGGGCACCGCCCTTGTTGCCGCGCATCTGCTTCGCGCGGCGCTTGTTGCCCTTCTTGCCATACATCTTGTGCTCCTTGAACTTCTTGCGACCTCCCGCACCAGGTTTCTGGTTGTGTAGCGGGCGCTGATAGATTTGCTCAATCTCCTCTTCGCTCGATTCATCAGCCATGCGTGTTTGAGTAGCCAAGTCTTGGCCGTCTTCGTCATTGCTGCTGTCCTCATTGCCAGATTGGCTGCTGTTGGAGCCATCGACACTGGTGCTCTCTTCTTCATCAGCCTTGACTTGGGGCGCGCGGTCAGCAATCTTGGGGAGCGTTCGGCTGTTATCGAGGGCATTCCATCCAGTAGGTACCGCTCCGTCGTTGCCCGAATAAAAGTAGCTGAGGCTAAAGAGGTTCTGAAGCTCCGGGTCCAAGAAAGTGCCGGCCTTGACGAACTCTGGGCGCTGGCGCTTAAACTCCTTGAGCAACTTGGGCTGGTTTGGCGCTACATAGTTGTCGTCCTTCATGCTCACATCTACCATGTCGTCTTCACCTTCTACGGAGCGAGCGGCAACATTGACATCTGCAGACTCGGCATCGGATCCGTTGCTTGTGGCGTGACCGTTTTGTTCAGAGGTGTAAAGTTCCTTGAACTTGGGCCATGTGCTAAAAGTAGCAACTCGTTCCAAAACCTTGCGGCGAATTAAATCTTCACTACGCGCCTCCTCTCGAGTCAAGGTGATAAAGTGTGGCGGCGAAGTGCCTTCTGTGCGTGACGAGTTTGCTGGGCGGCGGTGGAATACGGGCACAACCATTACGTCGTACCGGGCATCTTCCCACTCTGAACCAGTGGGCTCCTCAACATCCAGCATGGACTTGTACTTTTTACGTTGGCTAAGGTCTGGCCAGTTTGTTGGCCTAGCCTCCAGCTCGTGGAACGTTGGGACATCAGAAGACGAAATCTCTTCTGAAATGTCCATTGTGTCGTCATAAATCTTGAAGAAGGCGCCTTTGAACTCTTCGGCACCAATGAGGCGCTCTGCGGGAACACCTAGGCGAACGGAAAGATATTGCTTCAGGGCTTCAATGGAGCTGTGCTTGGGAAGCTCTACCTCGAGCTTAACGGGTAAATCATTCAAGGGATAGAACTTGACTGCCTTTGTCCACATGTTCTCCATGGGCAACGGGAGCGTCAAGTTGTTGAAAGGATCAAAGGTAATGCTAATTTTGCCACATTCAGGGCACTTCAGCGTCGACTTGTACATTCCAGTAAATAAGTCTGCAATGACGGAGTCGTCACGCTGTCTGGTAATATCCCAGACCTTCTCTGCCATTTGGCGGATGGCCTCTGGGTCGTTAATCATGTCGTCCGTAGAGTCTGGCTTCTCGATATAAGGCTTGTTCTTAACGCGACTCAGATCTTCTTGCAGAGCGTCGAGGAGGAATCCAAGAAATTCCTGCGAATCTTGCTGACCCCATCCAGAAAATGTGCTGCGGCATCGGCCCACAGTCGCCTTGAAATCTCTAGGGCTAACAGAACCCCGACCTTCGGCGTAAATCTCCTTTAGCAAACCGCCATAGGCCATGGCGACCTTTCCGTGATATCCAAGAAGGTTGGTCTTGTTAATTTCACTCATGTAGGCATCTGTCAAGAAGAACTTTGTGAGTTCCTCTACACTGCGAACACATTGTAAAGCCGAGTTCATGTAACAGGTGTTGCCGAGATTGTGTAGACCGACGGCACCAACTCCGCGACCAAACTTCTTACCCTTCAGCCGTCCTCGTGTCATGATACCCTCGGGTGCCGGGCTACTACGCGCACTGCTTGTTCGCGACGATATCGACTTGACAAGCCCTTTGCTTGTCGACTTGCCGGTATATGTGCTAACCCAGCTGTTCTTATCAATGGATTCATCCAATACCAATGTGCAATCGGTGACCAGATTGTTCATTAGCAGTGAGGACTTTCCATTGTAATTGCTGTTGACTGTATGATCAATGAGACCGCTAGCCTGGCGCATCTCGCGAGGGAGAGCAGTAAAAGTCGGGTTCTCCAAAAGAAGATGAGGCCAGACACCAGGGACAGCAGCTTCCGCATCCTTGCTATCCGGCGAAAGAGGTGGCGTAAGAGTAGCGTCTATCGCGGGAGAGTTTGCGGCAGGGATAGGAGGGGTAATTTGAATGATGCGGACCTTGCGGTCCAGAGGGATGCCAGCAAGGGTCTTAATTTCCTTGAGCAGCTTCTGAGCAACAGCTTTGCGGCTCGTGGCAACCACCAACGTCGGCGGGTTCTTAGCCTTGAGTGATTGCTCAATCGGCAAAGGGCTGAGTTCCGACCAAAGGCGGTGAACGCGAAAGACGAGCGGGTTGATTTCGTAAATGATGTTGGTCTCGGTGGCATCGGATGTATCGATAGCCTCGCGCTTAATGGGTTCTTGACCTTCTACAATACCGTACCAATCGCGAACCATGGCCCAGGCATCTTCTGGGAAGAGTTCATACGACTCTAGTCCGATACCGGGTCGAAGACGTGTGAAGATGCTGCCATCAGGTTGCTTAAACGTTTCTTGAATAATATCGGTGTTATCCACGGGGCCGAGCGGTCCGTCTTGGGATCCGGTCTTTGCCTTTTTCGGACCGGTACGCAGGGCCAGGGCCTTGTCGAGCCAGGAACGCGATACGACATATGCCGTGTCTCCTTCCTGAACGGGAGCGTCTGCAAACGCCTTGAGAAGGGTTTCGACAATTTTAATCTGCTCTGTTAATGGAGGGGGTGCTTTTAAAAGGTATTAGTAACAAAAATGGAAGAATATTGATGGCACTGCTAGCATGGCAATACAAAGGACCACTTACGCTGAGAGGCAGCAGCAGCATCGGGGTCGGGAGCGTCCACGCTCATGGCGCGGGGCAAACCACTAGCAGAATCAGCAGTTTGCGAAGAGGACATGTCGACATCGACAATGTCGACGCTATTTGATTCGGGATCCATGCTGGAAGCCCGTCGTTTCAATGGGGACGAGGACCGGTGAGGCAGGTCGGCGTCGCCGTTCATAATTGCCCTGCGCGAGAGCGGGTATGGCGACCTGGTTCTGGTTGATCTCGTACCAGAAGCAGGATCGTCGCTTCCACGGTCACTCTCCAAGGTGAGCTCAGCGTAGGCCGAGGCGCAAGGAGAGGACGCAATGGAGGAGGCGTCGTCGGCCGGGAACGCGTTGTTGGCGCCGTGGGCCAGCAGGCGGGGTGGCAGGCTGGAGGCGGGGATGGACTCGCCGCGAATGTAGGACGGAGCGTCGAGCCCTTGGGGCAAAGAGGTTTCGGAAAAGGAGTATGCGGGATCGTCGTTACCGGCCTGCTCAGACGAAGGCAAGGCGGTTTCGGGGGAGGGCGACGAGTCGGAGAGACGCTGTGCGTGGGTGGTGGCGGGGCGGACGAGCCTTCTCTTCTTTGAGGAAGTCGTCTTGACAGTGAGCTGCCCCTCGCAGCTCCGGCGTGCAAGTCGTAGAGTCGACGATTTAGGGGAGGCAGGAGTATAGTTGGAGCAGGCGGTTGCTCGTTCGATGGCAATGCAGCCTGATGATGATGATGCAGGCTGGGGCAAAAAGCAATAGAGCGCGGGCAGGGAGAAGCGGCTGGCGGCAAAGTGAAGTGAAGCGAGGGATGAAAAAAAATTATGGAGAGGACTAGTCTGTGACGATGGCGCTTGCGAGATCCCACAATGGAAAAAAAAAACTGGCGTTCCAACGTGTGCGTTTGTGTGGTGCAGCAGTTACTTGGTAGTAAGAGCAGCGAGTTAGCAAGGAGCGGGCAGAAAAAAAAAGACCCCACCTTGGCGTTGGTGGGCATATCACAGCTGTCAATGTTGGCTGTGTTTGGAGGTTAGCTGGTTGTTTAAGCTGAAAAGTATCTCAAAGAATTGCATAGTAAATATGAGGAATTAAAAGGACTGTCATAAACCTACTCCATTTATGAGATTGAAAATTTAAAGATTGTTGTTGGTCTTGTCAAATGGGCGAACTTTGATAGGCGGGTAAGAAAGGAGCACGGCTGATGTTGCGTTTGATAGCTGTGCATCGTCGACGTTGAAAATTTAAATTTATATATTCAACAGTATCCATTTTCATCCTATCAATTGCACATTTGCCTTGTATAAGATTTCTGAGAAATTGTGTATTTAATAGAGATTTATGCGGGACGTCATATCTTATATCAGATAGACCTTTGGGAAGAGCCAGACAAACGGTAGCAGCAGTTTGTTAAAATCACCAAAATTTTATCGATAGAGAGTGAATACCATTAATATATTCAATTAATATATAATAGCCTCACTTTCACAAGAAAGGTCTTTGTTGGCTCGATTGACCCCAGCTGTATTGTTAGAAAACTCAGCCTGTCACTCCTATGCTAGGCAGCGGATATACCCAGACAGCGGCGTTATGCCCAGACTCTGTCTGCAAGGCTAGACCCGTCTACGCACAGATACATAGCCCAGTATTCCAATCTGTGCGTATCTAGCCGTCCACAAATTTTAACCAATTGCAGATGGCGAGAACCCATTATCATATGCTACAGGGCGTATTGCCAAATCGGGGCATTACTATCCTCAATATAGGGTGAGTGGTGCGATTGCTGCCGGAGCAAAGTGGCCCCCTGCCGCGCAATGCACCACCTGAAGATGGCTATGCTGGTGGCAACAATTCGTATTCGTCCCACAGAGCCGGCTCCGGCAGTTTGGTCATATATGATATGATGATAATCTTGATGATCCAAGAATAGCTCTGGAGCTTTGGAGCTTTGCATTCTGCCCCTAGTGCTGCAGCGCAAGCTTGGTTTATTGAAAAGCTTCATGGCGCGCATTCCTGCCACAGCGGCTAGTGCGCCGCTATAGCGCAGTAAGCTTCCCCGTTTGGCGCCGGAAACAGCTGCTGGGCCAGGTTATGTGGGGGAGCGGCGAATTGGATGGACCCTGAAGACACCAGACGAGGACGAACTCCAGCACCTAGAAAAACGCGGGGGAGGCAAGAACAGGGGACCGATCCAAGACCTGGCAGCAGCCCAGACATGCGTATAAAAAAAAAACCCCCCAGTACCTAAAATTCCCTTGGTGTCCCTCTCGCTTTGCGCCGGTCCCTGTTAAGGCGAGCAATGCCTTGCATATCGATGACAGCGTGCGACCTGCATCGTCGTTTTCGCCTGGTAAGCCATGTGCACATCGGCCGGTGGCGATTGCTGAAAACGACCCGTCACGCGCTGTAGACGCTATTGCTACTGGTGGTCAGCGGACGAAGCTCGGGCTAGCGCAGGCGTAGGACCGCTAAAAGGGCTACGCTAGCGAAGATGGGCCACCACCACCACCGTCGGGGGGGGCGTCCAGCTACAAACGGCGAAGGTATTTCACCGTCTTGAATTCCGTTGTGTATGCTGCCCGCACGATCGCCTAGTGTACCAGAGGCCGCCGTAAACGTCCCCGTCCGGCTACTTCTCAGTTAGCGTATGGCTATGTCAGGCGCCCTGAAACTGGGCCCCGAGACATGAGAACTAATGACCCTATTGGACTGTGAACGGCGACAAGGCCACCGGCTAGCGCGCGCACTGGCTTTGGTTTTACTCTGTCCATTCAGATGTGTCACAAGCGTGATATAGAGCTGGTGATGCTCTTTGCTGTTGCTGCTCTACTACAGCAGTGCATCGCGAAAAGTGCGATCGGGTTTATGCTAGAGATCGTGCCGCCATTTGCTCCTGTGATCCGGAGACGCAAGGATTGTGCACATGTGTTGAATCTGACTAGTAAACAGCTAAGCACCTGACCTGGGGCGTCTGTAGGCTGAAGCGATGATGAGGACGCAAATGATCGATGTGGTGGTGGTTTATGGCGTCGCTAGCTACGAGATGGACGCTGGGGCGATGGGGGCGGCTGATGAACAATGGCGGGCCATGGCGGCAAGGAAAAATGGAAAGTGGCCGCTTGGATGGCTTACACTGAATGAAATGGCTTGAATAAGATGGGTAATACACGGTATTGGGAAGGATGTGATTTGCTTAACAATGGGGAAATGGCAACGCCGATGCGCAGCCTCACCAGCCAAGCTGTAGGCGAGCCAAGGCTTGTGATTGGGCAGTGCAAAAAAGGACAAGAGAGGACCATCGCTGGTAGGCATGTCATCGTAACGACTCAGGCAAAACGGCATGGCACCCTTCTTTCTCCATCACGGCTCTTTTTCAGCAGGTGTTGAAAGCAACCCTCCACTGAGCCGCTGCCGTGCGAGACATGACCGAGAAACAAGCTTCTGACGACGCACCAGCTGTCTCCCCGCCTCCGCCGCCGCCAAGTGCACACACAGGTGTTTTGGGATTTGGGATTTGGGAGTTGGGTGCTGTCAAGTGTACTGTAAGCTTGTAGACCGCTTTATGTCTCGTCAGCTGGCGGTGATGGTGGTGGTGGTGGTGAAGGCGCACGCAGCGAGACAACAAGACCATGTACGCCTGCATGTATGCACGGCAGTAGAACGAAAAGGGAAGAAAAAGAAAGCAAAAGAAGCTGACGGGGATGCAGTACGCACCGCTTGACCGGTTCCGCAGCCCATTCGTTGCAGGAATTCGATTTACCGGCTTCGCGTGCTGTGAGTGGTTCGCGGTAGCGTTGCCGTATGCAGGTGCTGCAGCACTATCGCTGGGGTGGCCGTCGTTTTAGGTGGCAGCTTGCGACGAGTCAAATGCTGCCATTGTTGGAGCGCGGTCTCAGCGAAGGATAAAAAAGCACAAGCACCGGGCAGCTGTAGGGCCGCGCCGAGAATTATAGGGGGTGTGTGTTGGTAGGGTATTTATAGGGGGGGGCACTGTAGTTATTGAACAACAGAGCGCAACAGGAGTAGCTAATAGTGTAGCAGCAACTGTAGAAGTATTTGCTGTAGAATGGGCTGGCACTGTGGTTTCCATGCATACATGCGTATCATAAAAAAAGAAACATATGCTCCTGTAAAAACATATATGCATGTCCCATCTCATGCAATCAATCTCTACATAAATGCATTTTATCTTTTTTAATTATTTTTATTATTTCCTTGGGTCATCCATCCTACAATTCGTGCCTAGATCACGCTCCCCATCGAAGTCGTCCTCTCTCTCACAGCACTCGCTTCGTGCTACACCCCTTCTGAAGCGCCCATCCTACACACCCTCTGTATGTACGTACCTGCCTCCTGTAAACAGCCCACTCCGGTGGCAGCGAAAAGACGCCCCCTCCCCAAGCACCCAAACACCCAAAACCAAAAACTTGGGTACGTACCGGCATCCGGCACCACCCACACCTGCATCCACACTGCATCCTCAACCTCCGCCACCTAGACCCAGACCCAGTTTCTGTTTGTCGAGGCTCTTGGATCAGCGCCAGTGTCGTCGACCTTTTTTCCTCTTCAACCGGCAGTCAACCACCTCTGGCCAGCCTCTTCCTCACCTGCTCTTCACAATCACCTTCGTTTTTGGCGGTGCTTTTGTGCAATCGATGGATCTTGGGCCGTTTTCCTCTTAACCGCAGCCCCTCTCCGCTTCTTCACCTTCTTTTCGTCACACAATCGTTGAAGGTTTCTGTTCTTCTACACGCATTGTTTCACGCATAACCGAGCACCCCCTGTCAATCCGGGCTGCATCTCGCCATTCCTCACCGCAGCCAACGACTTCTCTGGATAAGCTGCCCTCGACCGGACCTTGAACCGCCGTAATCCTGCAAGAACACAAAGCCGTTGCTTTGTTCTTGTTGTGCTTGTTCCCGCAAATCGAGTCCCCCAACGACTCTCGCCACTCCGCACGCACTCGCCTCGCCTCGGGTCATGGTAGCGTCTTTGTGACAACTAGAATCTCAATCTGTTTGTTTGCTTACCGTGCATCCCCAATGGATGCATAGACGAGTTTGCTAACCGAGACACCTAGCAGCCCGCCATGGCGGCTCCCGACGAACCCCCCTCCTCGAATCCCGACAATAGCGGAAACATCGTCGACACCATCCTACACGAAACACAATATTTTTATAGCACAACCCTGCTCATCACCTTTATTGTTGGTGCCGCTTGGTACAGCGTCTATAATGCAAAGAAGAATGGCGAGTTTAGCCAGCAGACCACCGTCAAGGGTCCCGGTGGCAAACCGCTCCCCGTGACCAAACGGAAGCCCAAGGACGAGGCTGAGCGCAAGATTGGCCCCAAGTTTGGCTCTGCCGCCAAGAATACCTTTCGTTACTTGGCCGCGGTGGTATTCATCTCTTATCTGGCTTCTGGCTCGTCCATGTTTATTCATGCCTTTTGGCACGAGGATCCAGCGAAATGGTCTCGCCAGGGCCTCCCCTGGGCAGGCGAATACAGCCTCGTACGTAGTATTGCAAAGCAATACAAAGACCAATGGCCCGCTAACTCGATATAGGTACATGTTATTGGCTCAACATTCTTTTATCTCTACATCGTCTTCTCCCTATTCGATTGGCGTAAGGGCCCCAACTTTGTCCACTTTGTCGTGTGGAGTTTAGGTTTGGCGGGAGAAGTCGTGTTATTCATAACGACATATGTTGCAGCAAGCGAATGCCACTTTGTTCGCTCGTGGTCAACACCCAAAGGAGGCAAGGGTAGCTGCGTAGATTCTTGGACAAAGATCGACTTGGTACTGTACTTTGTCCGTATCCTACACATTCTTGCCATGGTCGTACTATACTGCTTGGCGTGGTTGTCTAAACCCAAGAGCCAGCAATCTGCTCGAGTAGCTGAAGAAGGCCGGCAAAGCGAGACGACTCCACTACTCAACGGTAACCATCGATCCTACGAGACGCAGTCGAGCGAAGCGAACGGACGACGCCGTGGCCGTACAATGTCGAACGCAAACAAGGCAAATGGTTCGACGTGTGGCAAAGACGACAATGCTGCATTTTACAGACAGAAGCAATTACCCCACAAGACGTGGTTTGAATACGTTCGAGGCTACTCGCTCTTCTTCCCATATCTTTGGCCAAAGGATTCATTGAAGCTGCAGCTCAATGTCCTAATCTGCTTTCTAATTGTTGTTGCTCAGCGTCTAATCAATATCCGCGTCCCAAAGCAGATTGGAAACGTTGTTGATGCGCTCGAAGTAGCCATTAAACAGGTACAGGCGGGTGAACCCCTCACCTTGAGCTTGTTCCCACTCAAGGAGATTGCTATTCTCGGCGCTCTCTGGGTTCTCCAAGGACCTTCGGGATTCTTGGGCTGTGCAAGATCTATGCTTTGGATCCCAGTTTCACAATACTCTTACCGTGGCCTGACCACGGCTGCGTTTAATCACGTTCACTCCCTGAGTCTGGACTTTCACTTATCAAAGCGAACTGGCGAGGTTTTGTCTGCGCTCAACAAGGGTTCGGCTATTAACCAATTCTTGGAGCAAGTCACCTTCAACGTCATTCCCATGCTCTTTGATCTGTTTCTGTCTATTCAGGTGTTCTACACCGACTACGGACCACTCTATGCCCAGATAAACCTGGTGTATATTTGCTGGTATCTCTACATGACCATCAAGATGGCTTCGACGCGCGCGGACCAGAGACGCGAAATGAGTAATGCTGACCGTGAAGAAGAAGCTGTCAAAAATGACTCCATTTCTAGCTACGAAACGGTCAAATACTTCAACGCCGAAGAGTACGAGTCAAACAGATATCAAGACAAGGTTGGCGCTTTCCAAAAGGCCGAGGTCAAGGTCCAAATGGGCATGGTCATGATGAATGTCTGCCAAACCATTGTATTCAACCTAGGCCGCATCATTGTTGTCATTGTCTGTGGCTGGCAGGTTGTTCTCGGAATCCGCAACACGGGAGCATGGTTCACTGTCGTGTCCTATCTCGGTCAATTGCAAGCGCCGCTAAATTTCTTTGGTACTTTTTACAGGACCGTACAACAATCCATGATTTCCGGCGAGCGCCTTCTCGAACTGTTCAAGATTCAGCCGACCGTTGTCGACACTCCTCACGCTAAGCCATTGACCAACTTCCGTGGCGGCATCCGCTGGAACAATGTTAGCTTCTCCTACGACCGTCGTCGCCCTGCGCTCCGAAACATCTCGTTTGAGTGTCCCCCTGGAACAACAACTGCGTTTGTTGGAGAGTCAGGTGGTGGCAAGTCGACGCTGTTCCGACACATGTTCCGATACTACGACTGTGACGAGGGCAGCATTGAGCTTGACGGCCAAAACGTCAAGGATCTGACTATTGCGTCAGTTCGCCGCCATATTGGTGTTGTGCCCCAAGACACGACCCTCTTCAACGAGACAATCATGTACAACCTCAAGTATGCTAACCCTGATGCCACCGACGAAGATGTGTATGAGGCATGCCGCGCTGCAAGCATTCACGACCGCATCATGTCGTTCCCCGACCAGTACAACACCCAAGTTGGAGAGCGTGGCTTGCGCTTGAGTGGCGGTGAAAAGCAGCGAGTGGCGATTGCACGCACGATCTTGAAGGACCCTCGCATCATCATGCTTGACGAAGCCACGTCGGCGCTTGATTCACATACAGAGCAGGAGATTCAGGACAATGTTTGGAGCATCGGCCAAGGCCGCACGCTACTCATCATTGCTCATCGTCTCTCCACCATTACTCTGGCCGACCAGATCATTGTGCTTAACAATGGTACGATTGTTGAGCGTGGCAACCACGAAGAACTTCTCGCTGCCGGCGGTCGATATGCATCCATGTGGGACAAGCAGATTCGCGCCGAACGAGCTCTTCAGACGGCCCGCACCGCGCAGATCAAGGCGGCGCGCGCTATGCGTCGGGCCAATATGGGCAAGTCTGAGGTTGAGGAACATATTGAGGGTTATCATAGTCACGGTTCCTCGGAATCCTTGTCCGCCCAAGGCGAAAATGGTGGCTCCAAAGCTTCCCGTGGCGAAGGAACGTCCTCATCGGCGTCCTCAGATTCGGAGTCCGAGTCCCATAGTGGACATGAGAACCATCGCCCAAAGAAGCGGTAGAGATGAAGATGTTCAACCTCTTCCTCGGCCGCTTCTCTTTGATCCAATTTGATGGACCTAATTTTCTCTTTTTCTCGTTTTTGCTTTCTTGTTTACATTAGATGGCAGAGCAATCACCTACCAGAGTGCGCTTGTCTTGAAACTAATATTCGGCGGTTTTGACTTTTTTTCCCCCTTTGAGCATTTGGTTTGGTTTTGCTTGTTTTCTGTTTCTATTTTTGTTTTATTTTTCTTCATGACTTGCAACGCAAGCATGTTGGCATCAAGACTGCACTTTGCATAACAGCGGCGTTTTAGGAGCACGAGGCGGAACTTGGCCGTCGCTGCCAAGCTTGTTTTCCCTGATCTTTTTTGATTTGTTTTCTTGCTGATTTTGCCTGGCCATTAGACCAGACCGGATAGGCGGACTGTTATTTTCTTGTCCTTTTCCTTGCCACCCTACTCTGCGTTTCGAGTAGTTGAGTTGAATCAAAAAGGCTAGCGTAATATACAAAGATCCTTTTCTCGACCTGTACAATCACTTTATGACGATGAACGCGTGTGTTTTCAATATGTTGATAGATGTTTGCCAACGCAGTGGCTATAACGAATGATGATGTGTGAGTAAGTTTCTAAAATACATGGTAATGCTAAGCGAGTGTGTATGACGTTTCCCACCTCGTCCCGTCGTTTGTCCCTCCCTATAAAATCCTGGGCCAATCCAGCCAACCTTCTTTCTCCTGCATGTGTGAAAATGAACTGAAAAAAAGAGACGGATGGGAGTAAAAAACAAGAAGACAGTGCCCCAACCGACAACCGCCTTTAAAGGTACAGTTTTTGGAAAAAAAGAAGTAGAAAAAAAATTACAAGGCATAAGACATTTTGTAACCTCCCCCCCCCCAATCTTGAAGAATTAAAAAAGGCAATCAAACCAATTGCATGAGAATGAAAAACTCCTGTAGACTCCAGAAGTGCGCACAGTTCAACAGCGTTAATCGGTCTTTTCAGCCTTGCCGTTGATGGCGACGGTGGGAACCTCAATCTCTTCTTCCTCTTCGTCGTCGCTGCGGTCATCGGTGGCCTGTTCGGGGGAAATGAGGAAGCGGACAGCAATGCGGACAATGTAGAAGAGCCAGAAGAGGTTGAGGGCCTGCAAGCTCATGAGCAAGCCGGCGGTGATGAACTGCGAGAGCGTGCACTTGTACTGCTCGGCGGCCCAGTCGAGCTCAAAGGGGCCGACGGTGCGGAACTCGGTGAAGAGCGAGATGAGGATGCGGATGTTGATGTAGTGGCGGAGGTAGACCCATACGCAGAGGAAGACGAAGAAGTACGGGCCGATGAGCCAGTGGTCGAGATAGTTGAGGACCTTGGACGTGGCGAGGAAGAAGTCGGAGATGTCGTGGGAGATGTAGACGGCGACACCAATGTATGTGAAGTGGAAGCGGTACGAGAGGCCAATAAGCGCGAGCGAGACAATGTGGTGGCCGACAAGCTCGTAGTAGTCCTTGCGGGGCTTCTCGAGGCCCAGAATCAGGACAATGGCCTGCTGGGCCCAGTAGGCCGCCTGGAAGAGGTAGTAGAACTTGACTTCGGCCTCGTGCGTCTTGTGCGGGAAGTTCTCATACATGCCCGTGGTGTTGAAGTACCACACTGGTGTCTTGCTCATGACGTAGAGGCCCGCGGGGCCGAGAAAGGCAAAGTAAATAGCCGTGTACGCCTGCTCCATGAAGCGTGCCTGTTTCGCCCTGCTCAGCCCTGTCTTCTTGGCCAGCGGCAGCAGCATCTCTTGCATGATGAACTCGCGCGTAAACGACAAGACGACAATGTAGAAGAGCACAAACGCCACGTCCCAGCGGCCCTTGCCATAGTGCATAGGCAGCGCCGGGTCGTCCTGCGGCAGCGGATACGACAGGAAAATAAAGCGGTGCATGATGTTGGACTCGGACGGGTTGATGGCATACGCCGTCAACATCACGACGAGCATCACGGCGGGCAGCACCCACGTGTGCTTGACAATGATGTGCTTTGCGCGCGACAGCAGGCCCCGCGCGCGGCGGCGCTTGCCCGCCTTGGTGTGATTCTTGCCATTGGCCACGCCGTTTAGGGATGGGCGGTCGGTGGCGGAGAGACTGTGTCGTGAGGAGGCGAGCGAGGGCACGCCCGTGTCGCCGGCGCGGATCTCGCCTCCTAGGCCGGATGACTTGCGGCGGCGCCGGGGCTCGTTGTTCTCGGGGGCGAGCTGGTCGGCCGTGTTGAGGAGGGGGAAGGGTTCGGGCGTGGGCTGTTTCTCTCGCGTCATCTTTGAAACAAGCTGGCTTTCGTGGTGTTTTGTCGATTCGATTTCGATGGCGGCGGGCGTGTCCGAGGCAAAAAGATGCGACCGAGGGATAGAAACAGGAATCGTAGATCTCTGCGCGCGTCACGAGGGCGTCGTTGGCATCAAATTTTCGCTTTTTCGTTGAATTGCAGGTAAAAAGGAGCGCTGAGCAATACAAACGAAGGCCAAAAAAGAAGAAGCACCGCCGGGTTGCTCAGGCAGCTGATCGGATTTGCGAGGGGAAAAAAGGAGAGTGCTAAGTTGGGCGGGAAAATTGAAAGTGGACAGGAGATGATTATTATCCCCAGTTTGTTCCTCTTTTTTTTTTTGACTGTGTCCCACCAGGAAAGCAGTAAAACTATTAGCAGGCGGCAGCCCACGCCTGGGCCTAAATAATAAACTCAGGGGCGGCCCTTTCGCCCTTTTTCAGCCAATAGCACAGCGGCTCCGCGACTTGGCGTAGCATTGGATTATCGTTATGGAAATAAGCAGGGCTTCTTTTTTATTTTTATTTTTTATTTTTGCTATGGTAGAGTGGCCGACTAGGTGGAGGGGGGGTTTTGGCACCTTCTATTTTTATTTTTTATTTTCACCGACGATGATGATGGCCAGTTGATAGGCTGTGAATAGTGCTGTTAGCTAGCTGAGCTGTATGTATTAGCTTGCAGGAGCTGAGATATGCAGTGTGTTCGTTGTTGCTTTTTTCCTTATTTGCGGATATTAATCCAGGACCCCAGAACTAGGGGGGTTTAAGTACAACTTTAATTGACATGTGAACATGGTCTAAATTGATGCATCTCCAAATCATGGATGGATTGCGCTTGAGGATTGCACATAAACTTTACGTATAATATACATGTAGGTCAGCAACTCGTAGCAGTAAACTAAACTCATAAACTCGCTGTGTAAACACTGTGTTGCTGTTACTGGTTAGTCGCAATGATTGTATTGCTCAGTCGACTAGCCAAAAGGATTTCTTTGTCTCGTTTCTTTATCTATAAAATACAGCGGTAGAAACATAGGCGTAGCTAATTCCATCTTGTCTGTTGGTAAGCATAGAGCTAGAACACAACCAACATTTCGTTTTACCAATACTCTTAAATTAGAAGTGTAGAAAAAAGATATAAACTCAAAAGTTATACATTTTATTGCTGTCAAACAATGAACAGTATAGTATTGTATAAAGCTCTCGTTATATTATAGAGACTTATCTAAAGCCTCTGCTATTGTGTCTTTCTTTCAATAGTGACTAAAAGATAATTGAGGCAGCCTGAAGAGCATTGCCATAGCATCCGCCCTGTGTGTTTACCTCTGCGCCGCTTTTGAGTAACGATTGAACAATCGCTTTATGTCCTTCAATTGAAGCAGCCTGCAGGGCATTGCCATGCCACCCGCCCCCTGCGTTTAAGTCAACATCGGTTTCGAGCAAAACGAGCACAGAACGTAACAGCCCAGTAAACGATGCATAGTACAGAGGGCTTACTGCATCCGCATTTGTTGTCCGTTGATATTTGTCAGGGCTGTATAAGTCATACCCTGATGCAAATGCTTGTTGCGACGAATAATATTCTTTGAGTATGTCAGGGACTTTTTGATTTGACTCTTCCATAATAAGAGCGAAATCTGACCAATACTGTGCCGAAAACTCCGCAAAGGGGTATTGTTCTTTTGTCTGATGTAGCGGCAAGGATACGTTCAAACTAAGCAAATAAGACACACATAAGTCGACGATAGCTGTAGCCGCAGCTGCTTTGTTGAGTTGCTCCCCAAGGGCCGGCTCCAACCGATCAGACTGAAGGTACTCCTGAACTGAGAAATGTGCAAGCTGGATCTCAATCACCTGCGCCTTCATTATCGGAGCATATTTGTAGGTTAGCGAAACAAAGCTTAGGCAGTATTGAGTAATTTCTGTCGGAAATGGCATTCGATTTCTTGGATCAAAGCGTGGTTTGCTTCCTGGTTCAACAGCGATAGCATCCACAGCCTCCTCGATACGAAGGGGTCGCTTTGAGTGTGTTAAGAGCTGCAAAAGGCGTATTGCAACAGGCTTGAACTCGGGGGATATACGATAGTACATCCGCGCATAGGTTTCGTCTAACGTCCGCGGGAGCGCCGCCAGTTCTCTTGTTATATCTTTCAGACTTAGGCAGTGTTCTAAACTGTCAAGTTGGCAAGCCGCCCATCGGAACCTGGCTCGGTTAGAAATATAGAAATAATTTCAATAAATTTCAGAAATACCCACATTCCATCAGCACGTTCGTTTAACGTACTGGCTACTAATTTCTGAATATCTGGACTACCTCGCCACCTATCCAGCTGCTTGACCCTTGTATGGATGTATATACCTATGTCGTCTGCAAACAAGTCGGGCTGAAGCGATACTATCTCGTCAGTGCTAGCCCATGCCTCTATGGATGATTTGATGTCGTTTTCTGGTCGGCTTGTGACAAGGACATGAAGGTTGGATGGCGGACTGCTTAGCTTCTTGATCCATAGTAGAACACTGTCACTGGTATGCAGACCTCGCGTGTTACATTCATCTAGACCATCAAGAACAATCCAAACGTCACGGCATTGCACAATCATATTTTGGAGGAGTTTTTGCAATAATGCTTGACTGAGTTGTTCTCCGCTTCTAGCATGTTGGGCATAGAAAGAATCGAGTAATCTTCGAGAACGGACACCCTTGCGGTATAGTTGGTCAATTAATGAGCGCACCGCTTGTTCAGTCGACGTTTTTCCCACGTCATTGAAGTCGAAATAGAAATAGAGAAGGTTTGGTGAAGTTGTTGTGTCATTGTCTAGGTCCGCGACCACCGTGGAGCTGAGGATTGTTTTGCCACAGCCTGATTTGCCGTATAGCCAAAGAAAAGAGCCTCGAACTTTTTTCCAAGATTGATAATGCTCACTGTCAAGAAACCACTGACCTGTTCCAGGTTGGTGCAGCTCTCGCGCTTTGTTTTGATTGGCTGATGGAACTGGTGCGGAAAGCCATCTTGCGATCTTGTCTGAGTGAGCATCGCTCACTAACCTCTGAACCGTACATTTTGTGTCAAGTGTCGTCTGTTGCACGCCGTCCATCTGTTGCTGAACTACTTATGGTTAGGGTATACTCCAAATTCAACAATCTCCCTCTCTTGTAACTGCGAAGCCCAAATGGATGGAATAAGAAACCAACTTGATTGGAGTACTTCAAACGCCGCCCTAGTCTCGTGAACCTCTACAGCGGGCACATGCACTAGTAGCTCCTTGGCATACGCAGCAGCGGTAGCCGAGGCGTAGCGCTGCCATCGGTCATTCTTGTGAGAATCGGCATAGTCGCATATTCCTCTGATCACAAGACAGGGAAAGTGATTCATCAGACCAGCGGCTTCCATCTCAAAGCAGATACAACCCTCACCAATACCAGCAAGAATGCGATCGCGTGTAGCGGCGTCTTTGACAAGCGTGTTGCCGGATGCGATGATCCCGTAATGGATATCAGGATCTCGTGTGTCTCGGACCTCCCGATTAACCTCATATGTCGTATCGCAGCCGCGACAGTCTGGACCGGCGATGTGGTCGAATGAACTGTTAAAGAGGCGGTCATTCTCAACACCTTGGTGAGAATAGCCAGCATTTTGCCTAGAGCTCCTGCCCATTTTTGGGTACTTTTCCAACATCTCGCGGAGGAAGAAGGGAACTTTGGCATCCTCCATCTCGTGGGCAGCTTGGATTTTGGTAAGCGCATTTAGGAGGACTGTCGGCGGTCGCCCTAGGAAACCCTTTAGTTCACGGTTGTCACCCGCCTTTGCTTTCATCAAGTCGTATTGGCAGACGCCGCCCGTGGTTCCATCAGGTTGACTAACGGCGATATCACCAAGTCGAATATCGTGGTTCTCTGCGGGTCGAGCAATACCTCCACCTATGCCTACGAAAAGGCCAATTCGGATGGATGGCAAAGAGGCAAGCAAGCTCGACGCCGTGGCCGCAGCCGACGTTGTTCCATACATTCCGGCGGCAAGGCAGGCAATTACGACGTTATGCTCTCCCACACGACCCCATGTATAAATGTTCGCGTCGGCTTGGTGTTTAATAAATCCTGCCGGAGTTGTATGCACCTCATCGAGCATCGCCTCGGCAGCGGCTCGTTCGATAGAGAGAGCTGCAATCCAGGCTACGGCATAAGAATCAGCGCTATTAAGAACGCTATGATCTGTCATATTGCCAAAAGAAAATGGATGTGACTGTTATATGAACGGGCAGAATGATCCGGTTGGGACTGATGAGGACCTTGGGTTGCGTCAGAATGAGCAGGTGAGATGACGACACATTGTTTATTCTGTTCGGTAGAACGAGATCGAACTTCAGATCAGAAAATAACAACGGAGGCGAGCTGAAGAGCAAAGCATGCAGGCTACGCACCAATGAGAGGATCTCGCCGCATGTACAAAGGTGGTCAGCTGCCTAGCTTGCCGCCCATCCTCGAGTGAGCAACGGCGGGCGCTTCAGTTGGGACCCCGCCCTCGTTTTTACGCCTTGGCAGTGTACAGTCGGCGTTTCATATAGCATTTGGGTTTCGCTTGTCAACAAAATGTCAGACCTGTTGAATGCTCCTAGGAGCGCTCTTGACGTTCTATTACTTGGTATCATGATCACTCATGAATTAATGGACTACTATACAGCAGTACGCGACCAGGATGCTGAAATTGCTAAAACGACGAAGAAGCTTTCGGATCTACTCGCCTTGCTTAATGAATTGCACTTACAGATAGAGCAACATCGCCAAAGAAAGAATAGAGGAAATATTTTGGCAACAATAGAATCATCCACGAAAGATTGCGAGGAGATCATTGAAGAGTTGAAGGAGGAATTAACTAAGTTCAGGCGAGTGCCACAGCATTCCACGCTAACTAAGCTGCTCACCACTGGCCGTCGCTTCGCGTATCCCTTTCGAAGAAGCACGCATCAAAAGCTTGATGAAGATATCAATGAAATACTTCGACGACTGTCTTTCGGCATGAACATAGTGCTGCATAGAGATATTGCAAGATTGCAAAATGGTATGGATGATGTCAAAGCATTGCTTCAGTCGATGGGGACCGCGCAAGTTTCCTCAGATATCAAAGACTGGCTCGAGGCGCCCGACGCCATGATAAATTTCAATGAAGCAGCAGACAAGAGGCACCGCAATACGGGTCTTTGGTTTGTGCAAAGTCAAGAGTTCGAAAACTGGAAACAGAGTACTTCTTCATTTCTCTGGCTTGTTGGCTTTGCAGGATGTGGTAAATCCATCTTGTGCTCCACGGCCATCCAACACACAATACAACAGCGTACGAGCCGAGGTGCTGCTCTAGCGTTCTTTTTCTTCACTTTCAATGATGACCGAAAACAAAGTGCATCGTCTATGCTCCGCACGCTTATACTGCAGCTATCCGGACAGCTCAGCCAAGGCAATGCTATTCTTTCAAAACTGCAGAAGAGCTGCCATAGCATGACCCCATCCAACCAGGCACTCAAGGACTGTCTTCGGCACATTTTGAGACAATTTCAGGCGACATTTATCTTTCTTGATGGTCTAGATGAAAGCCCAAGAGACAAACATCGTGGAGATGTTTTGCAAGCATTGGCAGAGCTACGTTCATGGTCAGAACTAAGTCTGCACATCATGGTATCTAGTAGAGATGAAGTCGATATTCGCGATAGCTTGCGTGGCTGCTCTACGGAGATAATCAGGATGCGAAACTCTAGCATTGATTCCGATATTGCGGCCTTCATTTCTGAAAACCTGCGCAGCAACTCCCGCCTGCGAAAGTGGGAGCAGCATTCTGACCGGATTAGCACTGTTCTTACAGAGGGAGCTCAAGGCATGTAAGTCGTCCCCATCATTTCAATGTCAAGGTCGTATGTGGTGCTCATATTAATGTAGGTTTCGATGGGCGGAGTGCCAGCTTGACGCAGTTGCGCGCTGCCCGCGGAGCGAGGACCACCTTGAGAGTGTGCTCCGCTCACTGCCCCAAACGCTTGACGAGACTTACGAACGTATGCTTCAAAGAATATCAGTAGAATCAAAAGGCGAAGCAAGAAGGATGCTGACGATGCTCTGCTGTGCAAGGCGGCCCTTGGTGGTGGACGAGCTCCTTGAAGGCATGGCTGTGGAGCTTGGAGAGTCGCCAAGGTTCAGCCCGAAGCGGAAGCTCATGGACATGGACGCGATCCACGAGATCTGCCCCGGATTCATAGAGTTTGATCGGAATGATGGTGCAGCAGAAACGTCTGTACGTATTGCGCACTTTTCGGTTCAGGAATACCTGGAGTCGGATCGAATCTGCACTCGCCAAGATGTAGCCTTTTACAGAGTGAAGAGACGGCTTGCCCATGCGGACATGGTATGCATTTGCCTCACAATATTGCTTGAGCCAGACCTGCTCCAAGACGAACGTATAGTAGAAGATTCGCCAATTAAGACTCCGACTCCGAAGGTAGCAATGGCGAACTACGCTGCACGTTATTGGCCGGCACATTATCACGATTGTCAGCAAAACTCCCTTGTTGTTAATCAAGCAAGCCGGCTCTTGGCCGACAGAAATCCACACTTCAAAGCATGGGTTGCTCTCCATGATGTCAACCGCCTTACCTCAACCCCATCACCCCTCTATTATGCATCACTTCTTGGACTAGATGCCGTGGTTCGCAATATTCTTGCCTCGTATCCTGATAGCATCAGTATGAATGGTAAACGGTTTTATCATCAATTTACGCTTCGTGGTCGATACAACAGCCGACAGATCCAGAAGGGCGAGCAAGATTGTCCAGACATCAACGACCGAGGCGGATACTATGGGACTGCTCTGCTGGCAGCATCTGTAAGGGGACATGTCCATGTTGTCCAACAGCTGCTTGCCAAAGGCGCGGATATTCACACAAATGATGATCTATATGGGAGCGCGTTGCATGCAGCATCGCATCATGGCCATAGATCTACACTGGAGCACCTCTTGGATAAGAGCACCGAGGCAAGACTACAACGCGAACGCGGATCCATAAATCCATGGGGTACCGGTTATAGTGCAACCCTGCTGCCAACGACGATAGCGTTGGGGTTTGCTGCGTGGCTTGCTGACTCCGAGAAGAGCCGGATATCACTTCCAGTGTATGCAACTGCTACATTGCTCTTGGCTTGCACCATCAGCTACTCATTAGCCTTACGAGGTAAATTTATTGAGCCATTAAGTGAACGAAATGCACAATCACCCGACAGAATTGCCAATGTCGACTCTAAGAATAAGTATAGCCGGACGCCGCTGTCATGTGCCGCTGAGAATGGGCATATTGATGTAGCCGTGTTCTTGCTTGAAGCAGGCGCCGATGTGAATGCACGGGATGCGCATCGCAGAACGCCATTATCTTACGCAGCTGAGCACGCTCATGTCGCTATGACGAAACTGCTTCTCCATCACGGAGCTGCTGCCAGCCTTGATTCAGATCCACGAGATCCAGGTACAGATCTCATAGAAATAGGTGACACAGAAAACATGACACCATTGCATTACACAGTCAGGTTTGCAGCCGCCAATGTTGCAAAACTCTTATTAGAATCTGGTTTATCCATTGACGTCGCCGTCCGCCGCAGGCTCTGGGTTCATCGCTTCGATGAATCAGGCAGGATCACATGCAAGCCTGACGCCTCGCACGCCTCAGACGGAAATGGAATTGGCTTGACACCGCTACACTATGCAGCATGGGTGGGAAGTATGAAAATGGTTGCGTTTTTCCTACGCCATGGGGCGGATCCTAATGCTAGGTCCCAAGAGGGAGAGACCCCCCTTCAGTTAGCCGTCGCCAAAACTATTAAAGGACCAGAGTATATGCAATACAGAGACTACTGGACGGAGGATGACTGGAGAATTGAGGTTATCTCTAGCATCGCCATTGATGAAGGGAGAGCTGAAGAGCTTTCATCAACCCACGCCGAAATAACACGTGCCCGCATGTCTGTGCTTAGCGCACTGCTCGATGATGGGAGAATTAGAGTTAACGATGTGGATGATGAAGGAGAATCGGCCTTACACAAATTGAAATATGGTAGATCCGGAGAACATCAGTTCGTCAAAAAGCTGGTTCAGTATGATGCCCAATGCACGGCCCGGCGACAGGATAACAAGACACCTCTACACCTCGCCTGCCTAGGTGGTGATTACAGGTCCGTTCGTATTTTGGCAAATAGTGCTGATCACCTGGCGCGATGTGACAAAGATGGCGAAAACTCGCTTCATTGCGCTTGTAGAAGCGGCTGTAAGAAGACCATTAAGGAGGTGATACGCGCTTGCCGAAAGCACAACATCGACTTGTCACCAACAAAAAGCTCGCTTGGGAAGAACGCACTGCATTGCTATGTTGAATCAATTTTCGTACAAAAGGGAGTGGTGCAGGTGTTGTTGAATTACGGTGTTGAGCCTTCAGAGAGGGATTCCACTGGATCGTCGGCTCTCTCGCTGTACGAGAATCTACCATTCAATGTCACCGAGCCGGATATACACCGGCTGCTGAGCTTCAACAAATAGAAATTCAAGATGGTCACAATCACTAACTGCATTTGCACTTGAAACTATCTCTCACAATCGTGATCGCAGGAATAGAATAAGTTTTGATAGTGCAGAGCCACTCGTCATATCTTCCTCACATGCGTCGCTTTCCACATGCTGCAGAAGCCCGCTAACGGTCTGGAATGGTGTTGCACATGTTGGACATTCGAAGTTGTAGTCATTGGTTGAGCTCTCGTATGCAAATGAGTGCTTACACTCAGATGCCAGATCTATGACGTCTTCGCAGTCAACCTCTAGGGCACAGCCAGCATTTTCAACATGCAAAACCATATGTGAATATTTTGAAATCATTCGCTTGCATCCGAAGCATTTGAGATTCTTTGCCAGGTGTGTTTGTCGGTGCTGATAATGTCAGTGCCCTTCTTAATATCTACTGTGCCAGTTGAACTTACGTTTCGCAGGTTAGAGGGAGTTTCGAAATACTGCTCGCAATCAATGCAAAGGTTATGTTGATCTATATCATGCCGTTGAAAATCACGTTGGTCATCATATTTGATGTTGCAAGCAACACACTTTTGATGCCGTTGCTCTATGTGTTTGTCAAGTTCTTTCATGTTCGGCAAATCATATGGGGGATCACAGTCACGACATATGTGGTGTCTCGGCGAGTCTTGCCAGTGTTGCTGGAGAGCGTTGGGATTAGCGAGATGCTTGTTGCATCGTTCGCAGTACGCATGCTTAGATGAAGTCTCTTGATGTTGCTGGAGGGCCTTCGCTGAGCCAAATCGTTTGTTGCAGGGCAAATATAGCGTCATTTTTCGTGCTGACGTGCGTTACAATGGGGCAGAGGTCCGATGATGAGCTGAGCCAAATGAGGGGTCATGGCAATCCCATGGCCGTAGACATTCAGGTGACATCTGCACTATGCAGGAGGCCAACCACCCTGAATACTAGGCGGCGAAGGATGCATTAACTCATATACCCGCTTGGATAAATCATGTTCCGAAGAGCCAGCGAAGAGGTTTAGAGGCGCCAGTTTTATTGCAGCACAGAGCCTTGAAAGTGGATTGCCACGTAAATGGTCAAGTTTGGCCGTTGAATCTACCGCGGTGAAGCAGAGGCACGATCTCGATGGACGCACATGCGGGGCTGATAGTCCTATTTTGGTATCTGTTATGGCTGAGTCCGCACTTCCCAACTCTAGTAGTCAACGTTGTCTACTTCCTAAGCTTTACGCCATGTACTGTTTGCATATGATTTTTGAAATGGTCCAGACTCGTTAAAAAATCACCCAAATGCTTGCATTTTGGATGACGGCAGAGGAACCTGGGGCCAATGGTTTCATAGCGTAGATGAAGGTTCTCAACATGATCCATCATATGAGAGACACGTTTGAAAGAACGCATCCGGTCTTTGATTGGAAGTTGATCGTTGCTAACGCAATAAATACATTGCCTGTCCCTCAACATCAACGGGATATCTGTGACTGGCCCTGATCGTGGTTCTTCATCGGGTCTAGATGCACGGCTGCCTTTAATAGGAGTGGGCGCGGGGGGACGAACCTCGCGACGAGAAGCGAGAAGTGCCATCGTATCAATTGCCTGCACCTTACGGTCAGCGAGCTCTTGAGCCGAGAGTTCAGTCCTAAAGTCGCAAATGATTGCTTGAAGCTTTCTCCTTTCCTCGAGGTGGTGTTCGACTGTTAGTTCGTCTGCGTCTTTGCTGCGTTCTCGTCGAGGCTGCTTCTCCAACTCTTCATTGTGCATTCTTCGGCGATAAGCTTCCTGGTATACCTTTGTCATATGGTCTTTGAAAATCTTTTCAACATTGCGCCGCTCGTCCTGTAGCTCCTTGTAACTCTCTCGCTCCTTCTTAGGTGCCAACTTAATGAAGCCATACAGCTGTCGTAATCGAATGGATTCAAGCTTAGTTTCCTTAGCCAGCTCGACAGCATCGGGGTCAGGTGGGAGCTTGTTAAGCTCGGCAGCTGGAATTTCTCTTGGGACCTCTGGGTTGCAACGTATACTCATGTGAGTAAAGGCCTTTGTCAAGTCATCTGCGGTTGGGTCCCTCTCCAAATACGCATCCTGCGTATTGAAACCGACTCGCTGGTTCAAGTACGCGTTTGCCAAGCAGCCCGTCATAGGATCGTGTCTCATGACTTGGTCTACGACGGCGTCTGGGGCCATGCCAAGAAGGGCGTTCGCATTTCCGCGGCGGAGGCAGTAGGTAGTCCACTTGTCGTCTGAGCCCAGATCCCAGCCTATGCGGTTGAGATAAAATGCATATGTGGAATACTTCATCGGCTCTGTGAATGACTTGACCCAACCGCCAGAGGCGATCCGTCTGGATTTCCTGAAGAGTGGCATGTTTAAGACTGAGCTCTTCCATTGCACTTTGGTTGCTTTCTTGCCTATTTGAGTAGAAAAGAAGGGTCTTGCCTGACTGTATCCGTCCACCTCGATGGCTTCGTCTCGCATAGCACGAGCCAAGATATGGCTGATGGGGCAGAGAATTGGAAGTGGGTTTTCTCGAAATAAGAAAATTGTTCTTTGGGCAGAAACCGTTAGTGACAGTATGGCAGCGGCAAATGTCAGTAATGACTTACGGCTTCGGCTTCCTATCGGCGCCTTTGTGATGCCGCAAGAAGACTTCCATAGCTAACATGTCCCTGCCGCCATGTTTTGCATCTTTCACAATCCAGAGAACGATGTCTTCATAGCATATAGCTTTATGTCTGCGCGTTTGCTCCTCTTCCGATTCAGCAACAACAGTTTCTCGCTGAAGGGTCGATGTATCAACCTTCAACTTGCGGCTATCTTTGGGAAGAGGTTCATCATCACTACCATCGCTTTCGATAGTGGTGTCAGTGTCGTACGGCTCGCTGCTGTCGAAGACAGCATCGTGGAACTTAGAGCCGGAGCTGGAATCCATTTCTTCGCCGTCTCCAGATAGAAAGCGGTGCACTACAGGCACCTTTCTCCGCTCATCTGTTTTTTGTCTTTTCGAGCTGGGCGTGTTGTTTGCTTTGGTCATCGAATTGTGATCATTGTCTGCATCGTCCGTATCGTTTTCATCGTCTTCATCTAGCAGCGGATCCCCAGTCCCTCGACGTTTCGTTCCGTCCACGAGCTCTGCCGGTCGGCAGGCAGTATACACTTGAAAAAGCATAATCGTTGCTAGATCAAGTCGATCATCTTCAGTAGGGAAAATGCTGCGATCGCGAGACCAATGTTGAGTAGACCGAGCAGAAGATCGTCCACGCCCATGACAGGTTTCGACCCAGGTTGATCGTCCAGGTCAAACACCTCTTTCAAACGGCTGTTGATATACTATTCAAGTTAGTCGTAAATCGCTACAAATCCCAGTTCTGATGTATATGTACCTTTCTGATTTCTTCGCAGTGGTTTCCGTTAATTTCTTGTCCGTCGTTGCAGCGCTGGTAGAGCATTTTGAAATCTCGCCAGTATTGATTGACTGTCTTCTTCTTGGATCGCTTGCGGCGCGGGCGCAGGTAAGTCTCGCAGATCCAAAATAGAAACGTCATAATCAAGCCTTTGCTACAGCGTAGTGGTCTGATCACCTGTCTCCAATTGCCGTGCTTCTTTTCTCTGCAGAATCTGTGGTACTGTTAACACCACCACTGGTATGTCAACACCACCAGACCAGCCGATGGCAATGAGGAGGAAATTTACTTCATAAACCGTATTCTAATGTAATAGATGTTGGCTCTCGTCGTGTGTGCATCGATTGGTGCCAAAAATGTCTGCTCATCAAGATGCCTTCGCAGGTCTTGGTACTCGTGCACGCCGAGCCTCTCGCTCTCCGTTGCCTTGCGTTGCAGCGTGTCGGAATGGCGAGCGACTGCAGCGCTCAGCAGCGCTTGTTGAATGTCAGAATGCAAGGCCATGATGTTTAAGGGCTTCGCTTGCTGGAGGGTATAAGAGCCGGCGAAGACCTGCATTTATACTTTGGCTGTCGTCCATAGTGGTTTTAGCGCGCTTGTGCCCCGCCGGTCGAAGCCGCCTAGGGCGGCGACGTTTGTCGCCGAATCGGGAGTCGGAAACCGTCATACTTGGCCTTTTTGTATAATATTAAGAACATTCATTTCTTCACCTGAAAAAGTTTGTTAAATAATATTCCGCTACAGTTCGAGGTTAATCGCAATGTTGCGCAGCCTAAAATAGTAAGTCGTTTATTCCCACCAGTTCAGTATGCGAGTGTTGCGACGCCGCCCTTTTTCTGTCAACTACTTCGTTTTTTAAAACTTTAGACACATCTAACTTATTGCCTTTTCTTTTCTCGTACCGCGGTAATGAAAAAGACAATTGGCCTCCCTCTGGAGATTTGGATCAGAATCTGCTCCTTTCTCTGTGCCCAAAGCCGCTGGCCCTCACACGAAGCTTAGATATCCAGTGAACTTCGAAGCCTCTTGCGTGCGAGTCAAAAGCTGCGTATCGCCGCAGAACCCTTTGTTTACTATAAAATAAGATGGCTAAAGGGGGATACTGTGCTGGCCAAGCATCTTCTTGATAACCCACATCTAGCGCGCCATGTCCGCGCGTCCACTCGATGGCCGTTTTGTGTTACTGATGGTATTCAAAAGACGACGAGTCAACCCGAGCATAAAGACGCCATAGCACCACAGTGTGTTATGAAATCAGCAACGGGTCGTTTTCTATCATCAATGGTGAACCTTGAATACCTTACTTTTATAGGTGGCAGCGATGATACCTTTCTTTCCGAAGTTGGTCCCGCCACCAAGTGAGCGCTTCGTCTTGATAAGCTGCGGACGCTAGAAATTGGCACTGATTCAGACATTGAGCCACTTGATCTTACAGGTCCAGCGCTGTATGAGATTCTGGTGGTAGCGCCGCATTTAGAAGAGTTGCGTATTGACGCCTTTACAATTCCGTCTACAGCCTCTGCCAACCACATGGACCACTTGCGACCTACTCTTAGTAGCTTGCGCCGATTGACGATTGCCGACGACAGTTTTCACCTTGAACAATTCGAATACTTGCGAAGCTGGCTAAGCCTATGCTCAAAACTCCAAACGTTCCTATGGATTGGGATCGGAGAAGGACATGGTATAAAACAGACAGACGAGATTATGCACACTTTGGAGCCCCTAGGGGAGACACTTCTAAAGCTAGACCTCAACATTCACACTCCCGTGTTGGATTATTGCGAAGCTGGCAATTTTGACCCATTCAAACGCCTGGAGGCATTGATTATTCCGAGCACTATGCTTTGTGACTGTCCGAAAGAACCCACTTGGGAGCATAGTGTAGACTGTTCTACGAGCCTCGCCAGACTTCTTCCAGTAACAGTGAAGCGGCTCACTGTCATTACGCAAGGCCCCAGTTGCCAGGGATCGGGTCATGCTATTCATCTTGGCTATGAATATAAGTTGAGGACGGATTTGCAACTGAAAAGACTTCGAATGGCAGCTGATACTTGGTGGAACGAGTACGACGAAGACGACGGGTCAGAGGTGGAGCGTAGATGCTCGACCGATGATATGGCTATGGCTGGATTACAAGTGAAGGACGCATTTGCTTTGAATAGAGTCAAGGAGCAAATGACATGCTACTACTCTCCCATTCGATACGAGGGGTGGAGATGGTGTTTGACCGATTCCGACGATGAAGTTGAGGCGCATGCATATACCAACTCGACAGTCGACGAGGATTCTGAGCGGAGCGATGAAAGTGATGCGGAAGTCTGAGGAATAGATTTTCTCATGGTCAACTTCTATATGTATGGGAGGAGTATAGAGAGGTACCGCTTCTTTTCTTTTCCTTCTCGGCTGCTCGCATGTCTAGCCTCAGCCTTGCTGGCTCGGCGGGCCGGCGTTCCCGGAGGTCCGTTCCGCGCCACCCGCGAGGCTCCGAGTTGGATGGATTAGAGCCGTGGGGGAAGTCTGAGGACAATCAGGCTGGGAGAATATGCCCACCAATCTGTGCGAGCTGAGATTATAGAAAGGGTGAAGTCGACGTCAGACAGACAGTGAGACGACCAAGTTGTCGGCGTCTAGTTGTCAGATGTCTAATGATGGATGGACGTAGAGATTGTTCATTGCATATTGAGAATTTCATATCATTAACCTACATTAGTCGGGTACACTTCCCGCCAACTGTCAACAAACTTGAAGGCATTTTTAGATAAACCTAATTGCATTTCGTAGTGCTCAACCGCACATACTCACTTTCCTTATTGACTTCCATCAAGCAAACAATTTCCTACGATCGTGTAAACAGCAACTCGGTTAATCACTCTCATCCGTCTCAGTATCGACACACTCCCAGTCGAATGAATCATCGGTAACCTTAATCCAATCATCCAACTCGCCATTCGTAGCGTCGTCGTCTTCCGTCAGCTTTATTTCCTCAAGCGTCCCCTCTATTTCCTCAAGTGTCTTCTCAACCAATGAATCCTCCGCAACATCATTTGTCAATAGAGACATGATTGGAACAGGCTTGTAATCCACAGGGGGCGAATACAAATCCATTACATTTTCTACTGCAACGGCTGTCTTAACAACGGGCTCTTCTTCTTTTCTTGTTGCCGTCAATCCTGTCACTGCTTCAATTCGGGCCCTTATTTCTTCAAAATTGGGGTTTGGCTGCAGCGGCAACTCATCAACTTTGCAGGCAACGTCCTTCTTTGGCTCCTCACCAACACTGGATTCATAAACATGTAGGGGACCTGCTAGGTAACTTTTCAGCTTGTCGAACGCTAGGCTCGGTGACTTGAGGGTCATTTTGTGAAATTCCATGGCATTAGCAAGACGGCGATACTTGGTGACAAGTGTGTTGTCTGGGTATGCGACGAATTCAATAACCCGCATAACTTGCTGGAACAGGAGGTTCACTGTAACATTGTGACAAAACCCGTAGTAGTTGCCACCGTCAGCATTGTTGATGGGATAGACGGGAACCAAGTCAAATAGCTTGGATGACTTGCTGTAGATGAAGATGCGGGCTTCCATGCCGCTTGCATGTGAGATGACCCATGTAGTCTCGCGTGAGCGGTTAAGAAAGGCACCCTGGCAGTAGATGTCGAGCGTTTGGTAAATTCTTGAACCTGGGGTGTTAAGCTCGTAGTAATAGTCGTTGACGAGAATAATCTGAGGTGAGTAGCGGATGTCGTCTTTGTGGAAGGTGGTGATGATGCTGCCGTAGTTGACGTGCCAGTTTGGCAGCGTGAGCAGAGTCTTGATGTATACCTCCATGGTGAGCAGATGGAAGAGAGAAGATGAAAGATGAAAGTTGGAGGATGAAGGGTGTAGAATCTGAGTTGGAAGGTTGGCGAGGTTGAAACATTTAAATACTTCCCACTGAGAGCTGGAGGTTGGACAGGATCTGATGAGGAAGTGAGTGAGCGGCGGCGGAGCTTTGTTTATTCGTGTCGTGTTGGCTGGAAAGTGAAAAGTTTGTGACTGGTTAAGGTCATGTGAGAAGAACCTTATTCACTGTTGACAGCATTGTGTACGGGGTGAATGTTTTGCCTTTGGAGTTGATTCAGACATATGCTCTTTGTAGGTATGATAAGCTTTGGAGCTGCAGGATGCATCAGAGGACGGGTCACGACATTTCTGAAATATGTGATTAGAAACATTCACTAATACAGATGTGCCTATTATTTATTACTATTTTATTAACATTTATAATTGTTCTTTCCTACCATCTTCCTCTGCGTGCATAGTGTTTGTTCTCCCTGGATCACTTACAGCACCACAGAACACCCCACCTACCACCCCCACTATACGTTCTAAACAGAATGCACACACACTTAATTACTAAGCACCAGCTCTATATTCTGTTTAATATTTCCAAAATATATTTAATTCAACTTGTCTACGTCTCCCGTTGTCTGCCTGCCCTCCGCCTTCCCACATGTTCCCGATCGGGCCTCCAGCTCCGGGGCCATCGGCGCAACCACCGCTTTGGCTCCGCTTAAAGTTATACCGAGGCTCCGTCGACAACCCGGGGCGCTAACAAAAAAACAGTAGTCCACTAATGAATCGAGTAAATTATTCTTTTTTTTTTGTTCTTTATTGGCCCACGTTGACGCCCGGTTGGTTCATTGGCCAGTAAAATAAAAAATAAAAAATAAAAAAATACAACTCCGCAGATAGGCGGACTTGGGTGCGGGAGCGGCGTATGGCATCATCGACCCTGAGTGTGTTTTAAACTACTACCACTACCACTACCCCTTTGTCGTTTTTTTCTAAATTCTTTCTTCACACATACATCGACCATGACCCTCAAGATCGAAACCCCCCTCACCCTCCCCTGTGGCCTGGTGCTGCCCAACCGCCTCGCAAAGGCCGCCATGGCCGAGGACTGGGCCGGCTCCAACAACTTCCCCCACGAAAAGTTCATCGACACTTACGGCGTCTGGGCCGACGGCGACTGGGGCCTTGTCATGACGGGCAACGTCCAGGTTGACATCAACCACCTCGGCCAGCGCAACGACATTGCCCTGCGCGAGCCCGGCCTGCGCGCAAAGCAGCTCGAGGCCTGGAAGAAGTGGTCGGCCGTCACCAACAAGAACGGAACCCCGACCATTGTCCAGATCAACCACCCAGGCCGACAGTCCACCGTGGGCGCTGGCCACCGCGGCTTCTTTGGCAAGACCATTGCGCCCTCGGTCGTCCCTGTCAACCTCGGCAGCGGATGGCTCGCGAGAGCAGCGGCCGCGTTTGTATTTGGCACGCCCCGCGAAATGACAAAGGAAGACATTGCTGGCGTTGTTGCTGATTTCGCGGATGCTGCCAAGATGTCCTACGAGGCGGGCTTTGCTGGTGTCGAGATCCACGCTGCCCACGGATACCTGCTCGCCCAGTTCATGAGCGCAAAGACCAACCTGCGCACTGACGAGTATGGCGGCAGCCCCAAGAACCGCTCGCGCATCATTGTCGAGGTCATTGAGGCTATCCGAAAGGTCGTCCCCAAGACGTTCTGCGTTGGTATCAAGTTCAACAGTGTTGATCACCAGAGCCAGACTGAGCTTGCCAAGTGCATTGAGCAGCTCGAGGATATTGTGGATGCCGGTGTGGACTTTTTGGAGATCTCGGGCGGTACCTACGAGGACCCCATTGTAAGTTTTGTTTTGGAGAGAAAGTCTACGTATAAAGATCATACACTAACTGCCGTGAAATAGATGGTTACCGGCGAGAGCCTTGAGAGCGACGAAAAGCCCAAGGAGGCCCCCAAGGCCAGCACCGTTGCCCGCGAGGCCTTCTTCCTCGAATTCGCACAGGCCATCCGCGACAAATTTGACGACATCCCCCTCATGGTCACTGGTGGCTTCCGCACGCGCCAGGGCATGGAAAAGGCCATTGCCGACGGCGCCTGCGACCTCGTTGGTCTTGGTCGCCCTGCTGTCCTGACACCCGATCTGCCCAAGAAGATCATCTTCAACAAGGATATTCCTGACGCCGAGGCCAAGGTTAAGACCATTGACATTAACCACCAGAGCCTGGCAGACTTCCTTGGTCTCAAGTTCCTTGCCCGCGGTACCGAAGTTGTGAGTAGTAGCGCCTCTCTACATGTTTTATATCATTTACTAACGCGCTCTGTCTGTAGGTCTGGTACGGCGCTCAGCTCCGCAAGATTCTCTCTGTGTACAAGAACTAAAGCGCTCCTTTTTATACCATTTCCAATTTCCTTGTTAGATTACCCTCATGTAGACGATACCATTGATAACACAAGACCGAGCCCGGAAAAGCGAGCTCATCATGTTTCTATTATTAAAAATTACAAAATCAGGTCCAATTATTATCTTAACTGTGAATGGTGTATCCAGCCTGCGGGATGGCGACTTTCTCGGCCAAATCCCCCCGGATCTACAACAACCTTCTTCACGATGCATGCAACACCACATGCCCATCCACACCAATGATTCGTGGAATTGCTACTAAATATGCAATACAACGCCCTCGCACTAGCGGCTCTTCCACATTAGAGGCCCTATAGCCCGCCTGTTTAAGGGCCGACCGTAACGCAACCCCACTGCCATCCGGGCTGTCGGCCCGATTGCGTATATAACAGCTTCCGATGCTGTGTATTTACACCCGCCGAAGCCATTGGTTTCTCTGTGACTTGTATAAGCAAAAGTTAATAAGCCAAGATGATGTTCAAGTCTTTGTTTCTGCTGCTGACCTTTGTGGTCGGCATCATTGCCGCGGTCGAGACGCGCGCAAGCCAAGTCAAGCTGCTCAACTACGACTACACCAACAGCATCCTCTCCGGATCCATCACCGTGCAAAATATTGCCTATGAAAAGGTCGTCAGTGTCTTTTGGGCTGCTGGCAACAACTGGCAAAGTTCGCCCATCAAGGCACAATATGCTAGCGGCCCTGATGGCTCTGGCTACGAAACCTGGACATTTTCTGGAAACGCCCAGGCGGCTACCGACTTTTACATCCAGTACCAAGTATCTGGTCAATCGTATGTATCTTCTCCTTTCTCTCTTCATGACCATTCATTAACGAGACCAGATACTACGATCCCGGCAATTATGTCAACTACCACATTGGCGCAGCATCTACAACCACAACTCCCGTAAAGACGACGACCACAACTCCATCAAGCAGTTCGTCAGCGATGCCTACAACAACGCCATCTTCTTCTTCCATCAAGACAACTACAACTCCAACCTCTTCCTCTTCCACAACTACCCGCCCACCACCAGTATCCGTCCCAGACTCTGGCCCCGTCAAGCCATCCGCCATCCCGCCATTCTACTCCGCCCCTGTTCCCTCCGAAGCACCAGCATCACCACCCTCCGGCTGCGGAAACTACAACGGCAAAGACTCCTGCGCCTCCGGATCAACCTACACGGTCCCCGATGGCGCTGAGAACCGCCGCTGGCAGACTCCCCCCAAAGGAGACCCCACCTACATCGACAGCTTCCAGTCTTATCGCTCCCTCACGGGCTACGCCGACATCCAGTACTCTTCTGCCCGCCAATACGCTGCCGTCGTAGTCAACTGCCTTTCACGCGCCGGCGAATCTCTCACATACGAGTTCAACGGCGCCAACCAGACCAGCAATGTCTACCAAGCCAACGCCAAGTCCAACAGTGGCGGTCTCAAGATCACAGTGTACGGATCATCAGGATCGACTCTCGTCCTTGACCCTCTCTACTTCATCTGGGAAGCACCCGCCATCACCAGCCACTCTGACGGGCAAAAAGGCGCCATTGTCGAACTGTTCGGCTGGCCATACGACGATATTGCACAAGAATGCACATTCCTTTCCAAAGCAGGATACATGGGTCTCAAAATCTGGCCGCCTCAGGAGCACGTCTTTGGATCGTTTTACTATGAACCTGATGGCCAGTTCCGGCCGTGGTATTTCGCCTATCAGCCCGTTTCGTACCGTCTCCAGTCTCGTCTTGGCTCGCGCGAGCAGTTGCGGAGTATGATCCAGACGTGCAGAAAACAGGGCGTCCGTGTATACTTTGATGCCGTCATCAACCACATGACTGGCAACGGCTATGATATCCAGAACCACCGCAACGGCGACTGCTCGCTGTATAGCGGGCATAATGCATCTACAGGATCGCCGTACTTTACTTGGGGCCAGACCTTCCTCATCAACCCCTTCACCAACACTCGACCAACACTGGAATACCCAGCTGTGCCTTATGGTCCTACAGATTTCCACTGTGAACGATCTCTTTCATCATGGACTGACGGCCAAACAATCACCAAGGGCTGGCTGGTTGGCCTGACAGATCTCAACTCGGAGAAGCCATACGTGCAGGACCGTATCGCGACATATCTCGTAGACGTCATGTCCCTGGGTGCCTCTGGCTTCCGTGTCGACGCCGCCAAACACATTGGCCCAGCCATGATGGCCCAGATTTACGCCCGCGTTGCTCAGAAACTCGGCGGCTCGTTCCCATCTGATTTCATCACATGGAACGAAGTCATTCTTGGTGGTGAAAAGGATCTCTTGGCCTGCAGTGGTGGTGAATGGTCCTGGTATACCAACTTCAACTCGGTGCTCTCTGGCGCAGGCTTGTCCGATGACGACATCAGCAAGATCAAGATTTGGAGCTCCGACTATCCCAAGGAATTCCCAGCCTGCGGATCTTGGGTCATCCCTGCTTCGCGATTTGTCATTCAAAACGACGACCACGACCAGCAGAACCCAGGCTCATCTTCGCGCGATATGGCAGACAAGGGCAGCGTTCTCGTCAAGGATAAGGATGTAGCCAAGCACCGAAAGTTTGAAGTCCAGCTTTTCGATCGCACAGATGCGGATTGGAGCATCAAGGCTGTCCTGAGTAGCTACATGTTTGCTGCAAATGGCGGTGCTGGATTCCCCGACGGCCTCAGCGACTGTAAGCTTTACACTGGCACCCAGAGCAAGAACGCATGCTTGGGTATGGAGTACGACAAGGCCTTTGTTGCAAACGCGGTAAGTATACAACGATAGCCAAACCAGACAGATAACTAACTTCTCTAGTGCGGTTATGGTGGAGGTGCACTCACTGCAGGCAAGTATACTCGCGTTCATCGCGATGTGTCCATTGTGAATGCCATGAGACGATGGGTTGGTCTGGCCGAGACGACTTCCGATGCTTTGGGCATTCCTGGCTGTGCTTAGTATCATTATTTTAGCAATAGCACATGATGATCAAATTTGTCAATAAAAATCAAATTACAAATTATTTACGTAGCTACCAAGTTATATGTACTTAGAATTGGGCCTTGTAGCGGGCCGAAGGAGTGTTGTAGGTGCTGTTGGCGGGCAAAGTGCCGTTGATGCCAACAGTCGAGTTGGAGAAGCCAACATAGTGACCCAAGCTGGGAGGAAGATCCTTGACAGAAGTACCCCATTTGCTTTCCTTGGGACCAAGCGTAAGGACGAGCTCCTTGCCCTCGGTGAAGAAGGAGTGGTCGATCCAGTTCTTGGTGTAGGGCTTGCCGTCGAGGGTGGCGCTCTGGATGTAGATGTTCTTGTAGGTGGCGTCAAAGTTGACGTTGCGGATCTTAGCAGTCTTGCCAGTGACGGGGCTCTGGATCTGGACGCTCTCAAAGTAGGGAGGAGTGATAAGGTACACGTCCTGGCCAGGGTTGGGGAAGAGACCCATCATGCTGAACGCGACAAAGGAGCCCATGGCACCAGAGTCGTCGTTACCGGGAAGACCAGCAGGGGTAGGGTTGAAGAACTTGGGGATGTAGAAGTGGCTTCTGGCAGCAGACAGAGCAGGGCGACCAGCGTAGTGGTACTGGAAGACAGTCAGGAAAGCAGGCTCGTTGCCAATGTAGGTGATGCCCTTGTCGTGCAGGTAGTCGAGACGGCGAACAAATTCGGCAGGGCCGCCAAAGAGGGTAATCAGATCGGCCTGGTTGTGGGGGACGAAGAAGGCGTACTCCCAGATGCTGGACTCGAATGTCTCGGGACCGCTGTTCTGGAGCGAGCACACGCTCTGGTCGTCAGTGTTGCTGCACTTGAGAGGGTCCTGGTAGCCCCAGGTCTGGTTCAGGTACTTGGGCTGGAAGAAGCCCTTGAAGCCAGTGTCGGTACCGTTCTTGTAAAGCGACTTTTGGTCAGCCTTGAAGAGGTTTTGCCAGTATCCACTGGTTTCAAGATACTTTTCCTTGTCGGCGTTCTTGCCCATGGCACCAGCAAGCTGGGCAATGCAGAAGTCGTTGTAGGCGTATTCGAGCGTGCGGCTGATGGTGCGGGTAAGTGTGCCAAAGCCCTTGTAGTCAAAGTCCTGGACGGGGATGTAGTTGACCTTGTTCCAGGAGTCGAGACCACCACGGCCATGGCAGCACCAATCGAAAGGCTCAACCTCGGCGTCCTTCTTGACAGCAGCCAGACCCTTGTCCCAATCCACATTATCCTTGATGCCCTTGAGGTAGGCATCGGCCAAGACGTTGTCGGCGTTGGAACCTCCCTGAGTGTATCCGCGGCTGAGTGACATGCGGCAATCGGGCAGCCAGCCATCGTTCTCGTAGGTAGAGATGAGGGATCGAATCATTTCGGTGACCGCAGCAGGATCGAGAATGGTGAGGAAGGGAAGCTGAGAGCGGAAGAGATCCCAGATGCAGTAGAAGGAATCAAAGTAGGGCTCGCCGTCGTTCCAGAGAGGGTTCTCGTTGGTCCAGTTCTGGGGATTGACCATGGTACGGTAAATACCCGAGTAGAAGTTGGTGACCATGTCCTTGGGAACGCCAGCAGTCTCAACCTTGATTGGCAGCAGCTTGTGCTTCCAGGCATCCTGGGCCTCGCGCGCATGGAGGTTGAAGTCAAAATCGGGAATCTCGCTCTCGGCGTTGTGGCAGGCCTGCTCAACGCTAATCATGCTGACTCCGACTCTGGCATAGACGGGGTTGCGGCCGTGCTCGAAGCGAACAAAGGCACCACCGGGCAGAGGGTAGCCGTTGATGGATCGGGAAATCTTGAGCTCGTGAACTTCGGTGCTAGCACGGCTGTCGGCAAAGATACCAGCATCTGCAATCTCAGCACCGCTAAAGTCGGTGCAGAAGTACGGGTTGTAACGGCCCTGACTGAAGCTGGACACAAAGGTAGCACCACCGCTAATACGGCCGGTCTTGGGGTCGACAGTAATGGTACCATTGTCCTGGCGAGAATCGGAGAGATCGGACAAGTCCTGAAGAATAAGAGGCTTGTCGCCACCCTTCCAGCCATTGAAGGTAAACTTGAACAGAGCAGCATGATGAGTTGTGGTCATCTCGACAGCAGGGCCGCTGTTGAGCGTGATGCTAAAGTGGCCAGGCTTGGCAATGACAGACTCGTTTCTGAAGCTGCCGCCCTTGGAACGCGTCTTCTTGGGGAACGCGCAGTTGTTCACATCGTTGTCCTTGCAAGTGACGTACGGGAACAAGGGGAAGTTTCCTAGAGAAGGAGAACCACCGGTACCAGAGTCGTGCATGACACTGAAGCCGCTGATGGGGTTGCCATCGAGGGTGAAGCCGCCCTGGTTGCTACCAGAGGTAGTGTCGGCGACAGCCTTGGCCATACCGTAAGGAATCGAGGCACCGGGGAAGACGTTTCCGCCGTTGGTGGCACCGATGAGGGGATCAACATAGTCGTTGGGGTCGTAGTGGATGTCGCGCTGAGTAGCAGGCGTGGACGCTGCGAGAGCAACGGGCAGCCACGCCGCGACGGATCGCAGAGAAACTGTCATCTTGGGTATAGTAGACGTAAAAGTCGACAATGGCAAGATGAAGTGGAAGGAAGCAGAAGCTAAGGATGTTCTAGCGGCAGGTTATGCTCCCAGACATTCCAGTGCCGGCAGGGCTGGGGGGACGCGGGTCCAACTTATACAAGACCGCGTCTTGGGAAGCTTGCGAGGGCCCCGCGTCCGCTCCAGCAGCAATGCAACCATTTGCATCTGCTATAGACAAGGTTTTCCAGACGATGGTTTAATTGGGAGCATTCGGCCGACAAAAAGGCCGTCGCGTGCAGCGCGAGAGAGGACTGTCGCCTAGCTAGATGGCAGCTCTCCGGGCCTGTTGGTGGAGGGAGCTAGCACTGGCCGCCCCTCAACGATGCAACGCTGGGGTGGCGCTTGCCCGTGTTTGGCAACGGCAGAGCCTGATTGTGTCGATCACGATTGTCTCATTAAACTTGGAATGGGTGGGAGGTGAGGGGATCCCGGTGCGGGGAGAGACACCAAACGCGTTAGCCTGGCCGGCCGCCGTCGATTGTATTACCTGTTCTGTTGTGTGAGCTCTTCTTGTTTGGGGCCTCTTTTTTAGCTTTGCAAACCTGAAACGGGCCATGTGACGCTGTTGGAGATGCTGTGTATAATAGAGTTTCGGCGACTCGTGGGAGAGTCAGATGAACAAGAAACTGTCACGAGAAGAACCGCCGAAGGAGGGGAAGCTATTTTTTTGGTTTTCATCGCCAGGTGTACCAGCTGGCTGCCAGGTGCTTCGAGTGGCCACAGGTTGCAGTGCAGCTACAGTGCAGCTTTTAGTGCATCAGGGGAACGCCCCCGCTGAGGTGCCGATGTGGCGCTGAGTGCAGGCCGCTAAAGCTGCTGTAATCTCCTTTTTTGGTGGCGTTTAACGCACTTTGCCCGAAGCCACAGAGGGAATACGGACGGATGAGCCGGGATTTACAGCGCCGTCAGGGGCAACTTTTGACTTTTCTTCAGTGGGCGGGGGGCAATGACGGCAGCCTGCAGATACACCGTCCAATCCTACGAGCGATGCGACGGCTTATGCGATACTCCCCGAAGCTATTGCGACTCTGGGCTAGATTTTTCTTTTGGACAAGAATTTTTAGGTAACTAGTTTGTGCTCGTTCGGCAGTAATTGCTCCGACGGGACTGGTTGGGGATGGAATGGACGGCGCTGCACACGCAGCTACCCTACGCTTGGTGAACCGCGACTAGATTATGCAGTTCAGCAGAGAATATTGGTGTAAATATTGTTTAAATTACATTGGCTATGAATTATAGCATTGTGTAACGCGAAATATGGATACAGTTACCAAATCATCGGTTGTTGGCTGTAATACCCAATCACGAGAGGTTGCCAATATAACACAGCTATTGTCGACGATGCCATGGAGTACTAAATCAAGGATCCCACCTCTGAATGCAGTATAATTAGGCTTGCAACAGACCTCAAGTTATAGCAATGAACAGCTCGATAGAAAAAAGATAAAAGAAAACAGTCCGGTGGCCGAGGCTGGCTCTACTTAGAGTGTCTAGTCTTGAAGTGGAACGTTGATATATTTGTATCTAAAATGCGTCATAAACCTCGTAACATGTAATTTTACTTCTTTTCTATTTCTTTAATTTCTTAAATCACACTGTCCAGCATATCCAAATCATCCTCCTCTACCCTTCGTGGCGGTGCAGCAGCTTGCTGTTCATCCTCCTCTTCATCGTCCAAATCCAGCATAGGATAATTAAGAATCGCCGCAATGTCACCCATCATCTTCAACCGCTGCCCACTCTCATGATCACTGCTCAAAATTCTAGCCTCACCACCGTCTGCCTTGACCTTGTCAACAAGCGCGACGTACTTTTTGCGCACAGCCAAATCTTGCGATCGGAAGAGCGAGTTGTTGATGAGCAACACGCCACCGCCCGTACCAACAGCGCCGTCCTCTACAGCCTTTTCTACCGCGCGGCTACCATACCATGCACGGCCATCATCCAGCTTGAGCATGTCGAAAAAGTTGTCAAAGTAGCGGGCTTCTTTGGAAAAGTTCATGTCCTTCATGGTGGCCTTGACTTCGGCGCTCTGCAGTACCTGGTTGAGAGCGTAGACATGGCCTGTATTCGAGTGGATGACGGTCGCATTTTTAGCTAGCGTTGTCAAGAGCTTGTCCGACTTATCACGGCCCTGCTTGGTGATGTACTCTTTAAAGTCGTTGGCCACGAAGCCCGGGCTGGCGAGTAGCAGCGGTCGTGCGTTTGTAAAGTCAGCCGCGCGGAGGAGGGACTGTAGTGTTTTATCGAAGAAGCGTATCAGGCCTGCGTCTTGTGTGGCTGCAGTATCTCTCTTTTTGGGAACAGGGACTTCGATCTTGGTCTTGACGACGGTTCGGAACTCGGTAATCAGGCAGATGTTGGCAAGGCCCTCTTGCATGACCACGGCAGCCAAGGCGCCGTTCTTGTCGTCAGAGAGAGCAACACTAAGCGCTTCTTTGGCCACCGAGTCCCATCCGTGCTCCTTGACGATTGTAAACTGGCGATTGGCCTCGATATCGAGCGTGTGGTATGAGCCCATGGAGACATGGTCGTTTTCGGAGACGACAGGGCCGGCGACACGGAGAGAGGCTGTTGCCGGATCGAACTCTGTCTTGCTAACTTTGACAGTGAGGTTGGTATGAACTCGCTGCGAGGTGACGGCGCCGGTGCCTTCGTTGGCGACACCAACCTTGCGGACGGCGTGGGCGTGGACGAGGTCTCCGGGGACGACGAGGTTGTATGCGTGCCACTAACAATGGAGAAAAGACGGTTAGAATAGAAATAAATGTAAATGAGGGACTGCGTACCATGTCCTCGGCATCTTCAGGCAGAAGCGTGATGCTCTCCTGTTCCGCATCCTTTGGCGTGTGTCGGGACACGAGCTTCATCGCGACGAGTTCTGTGGGCGATGCCTTGTTGAGCTTCATTTTTGTTAGTGCGTATTCAGTGGAATGGGTGATGTGATACTAACAAAGTACAAAGAACGTGGTCGTCGAATAATTTATATATGCAAAATTGGTGAAGTTTAGTTGGCAAGGTTTTTCTCGACAACCCCGCCATTGCCACCCGCGTGAAGCTTTTGCGGTGACGCTCTACCATGGTGGGGTAGCTGTGCGCAGTCAAATCAGCGCGGAGGCATAACCAAGCACCACGTGGAAGGCCAAGGTTTGTATTTAAAAATATAGTTGTACCTGTAAGAAAAGTTTATATATACGAGAAAACAGGTGAATATTTCAAAAGTATTAATTTTCTTGTAACGGGTGTTCTAAGGCTAACTAGCTGTTACACCGTCAGGCTACGACTCTTGTCTAAGCTGTAAATAAATCCATAAAATATCCAAAAATAATAAACCCACTTGAGGTAGAAGCAATAGACAGATACCCATCCACTGCATCTACTTTAGTAACTATTCCCCAAACACATAGACCGCTTTAACTGCCGAACACCTGAACAATAATACCGCCCAATATACCTACCTATCTACCACACACACACCAATCTACATTGCGCCTGAATAAAACAAAACTAATACACTAACTACGCCATGTGGCAGTCCTACAATAAATCCATGGTCACCTTCCTATCTCGAACACTGCTCCCCCATTTAAGCTGTCAACGTCCCGGCTACGACGGCACACCTTACACCACCCCCCCTTCTTCATTGTAAGCCAAACATCATGAACCTAAGCGCCTCTCCGTTCGGCCGACACATATTCCTCTGTGACGTTTTCTGATCGCCTCTCCAGAATGCCTCTGTGGCTGCTCTACTCGTCGTCACGCTACGTAGTATGTCCGAGACAAACGTGCCTTCACACCATCTTTAGCTACCTCCAAGACATTGCACCAACGCTTCCTTGGGCAACCGCCGTTGTCATGTTCTGCGTGTCTCACGCGCCGCCCTATTCTTTAGCACTGCCATGAGACATTCCGGAGCACAGCCCATCAAAACAAAGCGATCTCGTCACCTTCATCGCCAAGATCTACATCAGACTAGCCATAACGACTATTTCGCACAAATGCCCGGCTATTCCCCTGGCCGACTGTGTCATCCAAGGTTTTTCTTCCGTTACCGCCTCATAAGAGACAGCGTAACGTCGCGCGCCGCGTGATTCCATTCGCCCATCTCATGCCCCCCTCAATGAAACGCACTAGTGCCATTCTCCCGGGGCACTCTGCAGCAGCTAGCGCAGGAACAGGAAGCCTCATTCGGCCAAATTTGGCTGCATGTAAGATGAAATGGGTGCCGCGAAGCTAGGAAAATCTCACATGGCCGATGCAGGTGCACACCATGGAGCGCAGGGGACCCCTATTGCGCGTGGGTTTTGGGACAGTTGCTCCAACTCTACCATGTAACGTTCTCATGAACTACTGCAAAGTAATAATCGCTTAGCGGATACTGTCAGCGCCTGCAACAGCACCCGATTTTCCCGTGGTGGAGTTTTCGGCGCTATTCGTGGTGATGATCCCCGGCGCTGGTAGTAAACCGCTGGAATGGAGGTGAGGAGGGCAACCCCCCGTAGTAATCAAACGGGCATATAATGCGGCTCGTCCCTCTTCGGAAAATAGGAAGAAAAAGAATAAGAAAAGGAACATCTCCAACAGTTCCAGTGGTATCGACACCAAACCGCCTAGGTAAGATAACGGCGCGTCTCTATATACTTTCTCTCGACAAACACCACCATGCGCTTCTCTAGCACTCTCGCCCTACTTGGCCTAGCTGGTCTTGGCCAGGCTATTCCTCGCCCTAGCCTTCTGACTACTCGTCAGACTGGTGGTCCCCAGAATGTGGTCTACTGGGGTCAGAATGGCGGCGGCACCATTGAGAACAACGATCTTGGCTCCTACTGCGAGCCCAACTCCGGTATTGACGTGATTGTGCTGGCCTTTTTGTACCAGTTTGGAAACGGCGGCAACATCCCCTCGGGCACCATCGGCCAATCATGCTACATTAGCACCTCGGGCCAGGGCCAGAACTGCGACAATGTTGTTGCGTCTATTGCCAAGTGCAAGGCTGCCGGTGTCAAGATCATCCTGTCGATTGGCGGCGCCACCTCGTCCTACTCCCTGCAGTCTACGCAGCAGGCCGAATCGATTGGCCAGTACCTCTGGGACTCGTACGCCAACTCGGGCAACACTGCTGTCCAGCGCCCCTTTGGCAACAACTTTGTCGACGGCTGGGACTTTGATATCGAGGTCAACGGCGGCAGCAGCAAGTACTATCCTGCTCTCATTGCCAAGCTGCGATCCAACTTTGCCAAGGACCCTGCCAACAAGTACTACATCACTGGTGCTCCTCAGTGCCCCATCCCTGAGCCCAACATGGGCGAAATCATCAGCGGCTCCCAGTTCGACTATCTCTTTGTCCAGTTCTACAACAACAACAACTACACCGTCCCCTGTGCTCTGGGAATCAACGGTGACGCACCCTTCAACTACAACAACTGGACCTCCTTCATCTCCACCACACCTTCTGCCAACGCCAAGGTCTTTATTGGTGTCCCTGCTGCCCCTCTTGCAGCCAACGGTGGCCCTGGCGGCGCCGTGTACTATGCTTCTCCTTCCCAGCTTGCCACTATTGTCAACGACTACCGCAGTGATGCCCATTTCGGCGGTGTCATGATGTGGAGCGCTGGCTTCTCCGACTCCAACGTCATCGACGGCTGCAACTACGCCCAGCAGTCCAAGAACATTCTCGTCAAGGGTGTTCCCTGCGGCGGAGGCGGTCCTCCCGTCTCTTCTCCCACTCCCATCACTACTACTACCAAGCCCGTCGCTACTCCCACCAGCACTACTACTCCCGGAGGAGCTCCAGGTACTACCACCACGCCTGGTGGCGCCCAGCCTACGGTCGTTCAGAAATGGGGACAGGTATGATCTATCACTTTTACAATTTCCAAAACAAGACTAACATTTTTCGTTTCAGTGCGGTGGCAACGGCTACACTGGCTCTACTGTTTGCGAGCCCCCCAGCAAATGTGTATACCAGAGTGAATGGTGGTCTTCGTGCCAGTAACTCATTCATTCATCTTCTCTGTATATATGAGATTATATTTACTGTACATACTTTCTTCTTTGCATATACAAAGACTTTCAGGTTACATTCTATTATATTCTAGCTATGGCTGAGTTTAGTTCTTCTTTGCTTTAACAAGCTCCACGTAATGATCAATCACCGAAATGACCTGCTCTTCATAGTTCTTGAACTTGATGCCAAAGACTTTTTGCGCCTTTGCGTTGCTCACAGGGATATGGAGCGTCTCAGCCACGCTCGCATCTGCAAATTTGAAAATGCCAGCCTCAAGTTCCGCAGGATACCGCTTCTTGACGATATCAAAGGAATCTGTCCACTGTGTAACACCGCCGTCTTCACCACTGGCCAAAAAGTTTTGGTTACCTTCGATTTTCGGATCAAGAGAGCGCAGATGCATTTCAGCAACGTCATCAATGTGAACCTGGATTCCGGAGAGCGCAGGACGCGGGTAGCCTAGAAGCGACGCCATGACAATACCGTTTGTGCCCTTCGTAATCTGTGCCGCATCCGTGACAGTGTCGTCGCGTCCAATGACAAAACAGGGCATGATGGTGATAACATCAAATGAGGGCTTCTGCTCCCTCATAAACGTGTTGGTTGCTTCAAAGGCCTCATACTTGGACATAATGTAGGCGTCTTGAGTACTTTGCAAGGGCCTCGTAATGTGGACATCCCGGGTCTCCTCGGTCAAAGACGCATCGGAATGCGTGGTGTTGGAGGTAAGAGAAGCAATAGACCCCGTAATCACAATCCTCTTGATAGAGGGTTCTGTGGCAGCAGCCTCCAACATACCCAAGGTACCTCGCACGGCGGGCTTGACAACGCTAATCTCGTAACTCTCAGTGCTAGTCCCTTCGTTGATGGGGCTAGCGACGTGGATGACGTAGGTGACGCCCTTGACAGCTTCATTGTATGCACCCAGAACAGTGATGTCAGGTACAACGACGTTGGAGAGTTGTGAGAGGTAGGGAGCGAGCGGCGCAAGACTGGCTATGCGCTCATACGACTCTTGGGACCGAGTCGCTGTGCGAACAGTGTATCCGGCTCGCAAGACAAAGACCAAAACACGGAAGCCAACCATGCCGGTGGCGCCGGTGATGAGGACCAAACCATTAGACATTGCTACTAGAATTTGCTGAGATGTTTGGAGAAGAACTTCTGGAAGAGTTGCTACGTAGTTGGCCGGCTGTAACGCTTTTATAATCCAACGCGGGGTCGGTGAACTTTTGTGGCCGCGATTTGCGATTGGTGCAATTGTATCCGAGCCTCGTCAACAAGGCGCCGCCACTGCAAAATGGGGAGCCGAATGACAAGGCTGAGTTGTAGCCGAGGCAGGATATCTAGACATTTATTCATGTTAAACACACTCTGTCCAGCGTCGAAAAGACCTGGTTGTAGATCATGTATTCCTTTAAGCGGCTCTTCTAATTCCAGGCGACTGCTCTCCACCTTAGGTAGATCCATCGGCGGGCCGCTCCTATGGTAGTATATAACTTAGAAGGAACGTCTTTTTAATGTATTTCGTCGATCCTCTGCAAAGCCAAAAGAATTCCTGTAGGAGCACAAAAGGCTTTCAACTACAGTTCAAGTGGCCAGTTTACATCAGGTATATATGGAAGACCACGTATTACTGTAGAAAAACAAAAACAAAAGAATTGAGAGTGATTACTTCTATGTATTTATTATTGCAAGGGGGCCACTCTAGATAAATACGTCCGTTTGGAATATAAATCTATCTCGGAGAAGACATTAATTTGACGGTAGGCCTGCAGCGCACTTTCTTCGAACATGGTCACTCCCCTAATCCGAAAGTCTCCTGCAGAAAGGTATAGCATTCGTCTCGCTGCGTCGTCAGAGGAACTGCTTTCCGAGGGGCGGTTGAACTTTCCACACTTTTTGAAAACCCAATGGGACGTTGGCCACAAAGAAGCCATTCTAACTGTGGGAAAAGAGCAGCGTATGCCTCCGCCTCTGTAAGCATGCGATTTCGATGTGCCCTTTCCCAGATTTCATCGTCTTCATCGTCTTCATCGTCTTCACCACCAATGTGCTGGTCATTTTTGACAATGTCGCTTCGCATTTCAGCAAGTTCTCGCTCATCGTTTCCAACGAGGCGCGCGGAATAATACAGTTCTGGAGCCATAGAAGGCATTGCAGAGATGCGGTATGTATCCCGTTCAAAGGCCAGCATTGTCAGTTTCTTCAAAGTTGCCAATGAATGTCGCATTGCATTATGATCTATGAGCCATTGACACTTCCACCCAAAAGAGAAGCCCACACTAAGATGAAGTCGCTCAAGTGACTCTATTTTCCCAATCGTTTTCAGAGCTGCTTCCGAGATATGAGCATCCATCGGTCTGTCGTCATTGTCAAGTGTACCGCACTGTAAAGAAAGGCAAGTGAGATTACGGAATAATCCTTCAGCTAGAATCGGTATGATAAGAAAATCGAGTCCTTGCTCGCCCGGTGGTCTGGCATTATCGTGTATCGAGAGCTTGCGAACGAAGTTGTGCTTCTTTATGAATGTAATCATCTCATCATATGGTCGAGGCAGACAAGAAATCACGAGGCTTTCGAGATCTCGCAACGGCTCACTAGCAGCAAGGCAGCCCTTGAGGCTTTTGAACTCGCATCTAGGTAGTGCCAGGTGCTTCAGAGTTGGGACAAGCAGCATTGAGAACGTCAGAGGGTCTATACGTATTAAGCCAAGCTGCAAGTGTTGTAACCTGGGAAACGCCAGAGGGAATTCGTCTAGGGACACTACTTGCGAATGCAACTTTATGTCAAAATGACTCCAGTGTAAAGTTTCAAGCGTAGGAGCGCATAGCTGAAATAGTGTTCCGAAGAAACTGGAAAGTGGGTGTTTCGATTTCACGTCTGGTGAGTTGCTTATGCTTGATTCGGCTGAGTTCGAAGCCGAGATAGCAAGGTTCAAGTTGAGATGAAGTGATCGAAGGGGCCAGGCGTCAGCGGTCAGCGGTGGTTCCAGCCGAAAAGTGTCATGAATTGTCATACGTGATAGCCTGAGGTGATGCGCCGAACTTCGACTAATAGCTTTGAAGAATTCTTGATCCACCGTATAAGAGTCCTCCCAAGCAAGCATCTCTAGATTGGGCATTGTGTGAGAAATTGCCAAGATTGAACATTCCCTTGCTAGCTCGTAGAATGTATTCGATCCCTTTCGTAAATCATTACGCCGTTCATCCGTGTATGCGTCCCGTCTTTCGCCAAAAATTGAACTATACAATTCAGGATGTGCGGCTCTGACACACCCAGGATCTGATGCGAAGATAACTCGGCGCACACAAGTGCCAATCGCGTATAATGGCACTTCCCCTCGTTTTATTTCATAAACCTCTTTTGCCAAGTGAGCAAACAGACACAACGAGCGAATACTGTAATCGAATCGAATCTCTGCAAACTGGCAGGAGCGAGCGAGGTAGCGGCAATCACTGTTTACCAGTGCGAGAGAGCTCAGTGAGGATTTATCATCAGCTATCATATCAACAATCTCAGCAAGAATCTCGGATGGCATCTGAAAAAGTTTGCAGCTGGATGCGCGATGTCGATTAGGCATTACGGATTCAAGCAAAAGACATCGTCGCGGAGATGCATCTCGGCCAAACTTGTCTACCGCATTACCATCAAATGACGTTATCATTAGGTCCGTAACGTCGTGTACCGACATCATAGTCGTATTTTGCTAAGGATCAAGTTAGATTTGATAGGTGTAATACAGAGTCAAACTAACCCCATGAGCAGTCAGTCAGCAGCTTCTTAGATTTTTGGTGTCGGTATTTCGTGCAATAACTCTTGCTCGACAACTAAATACCACACCAAATTTCCCCGCACCCACCGATTAGCTCCTACTATCACGGAAGCGTACGACTTGGATTGGGAGTACTGTCTGTGATTGATGCTGGTGACAAACGAAACTAGTCAGGAAGGCGCGGGACGAGGTCCGTATCCACATGTGATGTGTCGGTGTGGTCGGTGGCTCCCACCCTGACACCTTAGTCTCAGTAAACTAACAGTATTATACTTGGGGGGACTCTGACGATCAAAGCTATACCACGTTGGAGCGGCACGTGTAATCTAAGTTATAGGTTATAGATCTATAGTTCGCGAGCCTGCAGCACATATTTCATACAGGATTTTCTTAATGTTTTATGATATATATTTATAACTAATTCGCTTTTCTCTCCTAACGAGTAGAATAAGCGAGCACAGTGAACGAGCACAACGGTGTTGCAAGACAATTATACTAGCCACTGAGGATTCACAGGAGAATGAAGGCCTAGCTTGCGATGCGGCTAGGCTACAAGCTCTCGCTGTAATGCATCGCGCCAGTTCGGCAAGTCTTTATCACGCCTCGCTCATAATACAGCGACCGCGTGCGTACACTGGTGTGCCGTCGGACAAGCTGGAGCCGAGTTACGGCACCGTTGGTGTGGTGGTGGCTTCGCTGCATCTTCCTGCCGAGTGAGACCTCCCCGCATCCAACTCCAACAGCTCTAAGCATAGAAACAACCAGTACGCTTTCTACAATATGCGGGGAAAGCATGTAGATGATGTAGTATATGTTATGCTGTAACCCCAGTATTTGTCCCTCTATTGCCGTAGCATCACTTGACTAACAGAGAGTAAAAAATGGCTGCAGTACAGCTAGAATCGATTTCGTTTGAACACCATCCGACGGGTTTCGGTATTGGCCATCGGAAGCCTAGAATTTCGTGGAGATTCTCCAGCGATAATACCATAAAAAGCTGGAAGCAAGAATCCTACACTATCCAGGTCGGTCGACAGAACAACCAAGACCCAGAAGTCTACAATGTCCAGAGTAAGGACTCTGTTCTAGTACCATGGCCTAGCAAAGCACTTGAATCAAGGGAATCAGCTTGGGTCAAAATCCAAGCTTATGGCAAGGGCATTGATGCGTCCGGCAATAGCGTTTCCCATAGCACGGACTTGTCCAAGGCAGCGACAGTTGAAGCTGCATTGTTCGAGAAAGGAGATTGGACAGCGCGCATGACCGCAGCAGCCACAAAAGCAGACGCGAAAGCACCAAAGCGTCCTATTCTCTTCCGAAAGGCCTTCTCTATGGCTCAAACCGGTAGCCAAATCGGCAAAGCCCGATTATACATCACTGCACATGGCGTCTACAAGGCATACTTGAACGGCACACGTATCGGCTCGGACGAGATGGCTCCAGGATGGACTAGTTACAACCATCGCCTGTTGTACCAGTCTTTTGACGTTACCGAAGCCCTTCGAACGGATGGTTCCAATATCATGGGCGTGGAAGTCGCCGAAGGCTGGTTCGCCGGCCGACTAGGATGGGAGCATCGGCGCTGCTGCTATGGAGAAAGGCTAGCATTTTTGGCCCAGCTGGAAGTTCTGTTTGATAATGGGAGTACGTTTACGTTGTGCTCAGATGGGACCTGGAAGTGTTCTCCAAGTCCCATCACACGAAGCGAAATCTATGATGGGGAGGATTACGATTCTCGCCAAGAACAAGTCTGTTGGATGACAGACGCCGGATTTAATGAAGATGATTGGAAACCAACAGAAGAGATAGAATTCCCGTCAGCGTTGCTCATTCCTGCAGATTCTCCGTCGGTCCGAGTCCTCGAAGAAATAAAGCCAGTCAAGATTTTCAAGTCACGATCTGGCAAGGCCTTGGTGGACTTTGGCCAGAATCTTGTTGGAAAGCTGCAAATTCGTCTCCCAAACCCAGGAGCAAAACCAGGTCACATGTTGACATTTAGTCATGCCGAAGTGCTCGAACAGGACGAACTGGGCATCAGGCCGCTACGAGACGCTAAGCCAGTGGACAGTGTCATTCTCTCAAAGTCTCAACCAGAGATCTGGTCTCCCAAGTTTACTTTTCACGGCTTCCGCTACGTCCAAGTTGATGGGTGGCCCACAGAAGACAGTATGCCCTCAATATCTGACATTACAGCACTTGTTATGCACAGTGATATGGGGCGGACTGGATGGTTCTCGTGCTCCGAACCAATGGTAAATCAACTCCACGAGAATGTGATTTGGAGCTTAAAGGGAAACTTCTTTTCTATCCCAACCGACTGTCCACAGCGAGATGAGCGACTCGGGTGGACCGGCGATATACAAGTCTTTACCCCATCTGCTAGTTTTTTATATAATGTCAACAGCTTTCTGGGTAGCTGGCTAGACGATGTCTCGGATGAGCAGCTAGAGGAAAAGGCAAACGGTGTCCCTGGCCTCGTTGTGCCAAATATCTTTGATAAGCCTAACCCACCTGGTCCCCAGTGTGTTTGGCATGATGTCACAGTCCTTACGCCATGGGATTTGTATACTTCTTCCGGAGACGCTGGATTACTCCGCAGACAATATCCAAGTATGAAGGCCTGGGTTAATAGAGGTATCCCGCGGGGTGAGAACGGTCTCTGGGACCAAAACATCTGGCAGTATGGTGACTGGCTAGATCCTTCTGCTCCACCAGATCAGCCTGGCAAGGGCAGTACTGATAGCCACTTAATTGCAGACGCATACTTGGTGCATGTCTTGGAGACAATTTCAAAGGTTTGTTCTGTGCTAGGTGAGGCCGAAGATGCCAATCGTTATTCGGAAGACGCGAGAAGGACCAGGAAGATGTTCCAAGACGAGTATACAACCTCTTCCGGACTTATTGTCGGCGATACTGCAACGGCGTATTCGCTAGCAATAGTGTTTGGGCTTCTTGATGGAGAGCAGCGTATCAAAAAGGCGGGAAACCGACTTAGCCACTTAGCATATGCGACAGACTACCGCATTTCGACCGGCTTTGTGGGAACGCCTCTCATCACACACGCCCTCTCGGCATCTAGAAACCACCAAGTGGCATATCGCATGCTCCTGGAAAAGTCATGCCCGTCGTGGCTATATCCTATAACGATGGGGGCCACCACAGTGTGGGAGCGATGGGATAGCATGCTTCCCGATGGATCTATCAATCCTGGTTCCATGACGAGCTTTAACCACTATGCTCTGGGATCTGTGGTTAACTGGATGCACAAGACTGTTGGTGGAATAAGTCCACTAGATCCTGGCTGGAAGCGAATTTTGGTCCAGCCCGTCCCCGGAGGAACGCTGAAAAATGCAGAGGTCAAGTATGAAAGCCCATATGGACAAGTGGCGGCGGCCTGGAAGATCGATGCAGATGGAAATTTTAACTTGTCTGTTACTATCCCCCCGAACTGCAGTGCGGTGGTTGTATTACCATCTAAGCAGCAGAATCACAGCGGGGAGAATATTGGCTCTGGAGTGTACAGCTTCTCCTGTCCATATGAGCCGGAAGACTGGCCGCCAAAGCCAGAGTTTGAGCGATCAACATTTCGTCTAGAGGGTTAAATAGTGATTCACAAATAAACAATTACTTTTTGGAACATATCCATGCAAAAACAAAGTAGATTTCAGAAAAGAAAACTATACGACAAGAACTGCACTAATATACGAACCACTCAGCGTAAATGAGTATCGAGACGCACCACTTGGCTGCACATTTGTCTCTGTCCAGATGCTTTGCATATCCCCAGGCAGATTGGTACTATACTTGTCCTTTGCAGTAAGTGTCTTGAGGATAGCCGTGTTTGTTTTACCCGGAACTACAACGGTGATGGGCGTCGAAGCAGCACCGCCATAGTTGACAATCTTGATAAAGTGTTTACCGTCTGCATTCTTGGTGGCGGCCCAGTACAACGGACCGAATCCAACATTTCCTGACACTGATACAGTCTCTGTGCCAAAGTTTGTGCCAAATAACTTGGCAACGTAGTAGCTCATGGAACGTGTGAGCGCGTTGGGCGAGTGCTTGATCATGGCGACATTGTCTGGTTCGTCATGGAGGCTCTTGATCAATGCGCCGTGACAGATACCTACAATCACATCTGCATTCCTCTCCAACCCTAGGAAGTAAACAGCCTCAGATGTCGCTGATTGGAGGGTAGGATTATCCAGTTGGTTTCCATTGGTGTGTTGGTCGTCGTAGATGGCGGCGTACTCGCCCACCAAGACCGGTTGGTTACGAGGGGCATGGTCATAGCCGTCGAATTTGCTGACCATGTCACTTACTGACAGGTAGTCATGAAGATCTTGGATAGTGTTGTCAGGAAACGCGCCGTTAAAGTATCCTGCCCAGATGGATGAGATGATCTTCATATCTGGGTACTGTCGTTTGATGGCATCCGCGAATCGGCGAAACCGATAGCCTCCAATGCGTTAGTAGATATTCCTACAATAGAGAATGTAGTTCCAATATTAACTTACCGATGTAGCTGGGTATTCCACCATTCAAGAAGTCCTCGTTGCTTATTTCGACATATTTGATCTTGAACGGATCCTGGTACCCCAGGGACGCCCTCACCTTGCCCCAAGTCGATGTAGAGGGTCCCTATAGTTTATTAGCATCGATAAAACCTTTTAAAAAGAGCATCAGTTTTACTGACTAGTAGAAATTCGAGTTCGTTCATGACGTCGTCAATGTAAGGCTCTAGGTCGCTTTCACTAATGACCTCGCCATCCAGATACAGGCCGCCCCAGACTGCTAGAATTGGCTCGAGATTCATATCAATGCACCACTACGCGACCAGTGTTAGTCGCACATCCAGAGAGAATATGATAAAGGGGCGACATACCTGCATCATCTCGAGTAGGCCAAGACCATCCGTAGTCACATAGCCCCATGTGCCAGGTCGACCTGGACGGTTGATGATGGGGCCAATCGTCTCATTCCACTTCCATCTGTAGGGAGATGCAATTCCTTCCAAGTTATTTCCACCAGGCAGACGCAGAAACTTGCCTCCTAGCTCAACCAAAGCTTCGGCCAGATCCATTCGCAAGCCATTGTGCGAGTTCTTGAACGTTTGCTGAAACACGCTAATCATTTGGAAGCGAAGACTCCTGCCAGCTACACTACCACCGTCAAATGTCAAGTGAAAGGTGTTCTTTTCATCCGGTGCCGAGGATGTAGTGGTGAATGTTTGTGCATAGGGCACCCAGCCGTCCGAGTCCTTCTGGTTGACATGGAATGTCGTGCTTCCCAGCATAGAGTTTGTGGTGTTGCTCCAAAATGCCGCGAGAATCTCGCCCTGATAAGTACCGCGCAGATAAAAGTTGGCTGCATAGCGTGTTTTGGTCGTGATATTCATACCCCAGTAGCCTTCGTTCCAGAAACCAGTCGCTCCCGTCGCTCCTTTTGCTACGTCAACTCTCATGTGCCATGGGAGGGCAGTCGTCAGTAGCGGTGCATCATTGTCAAGAGTCAGGGTGTCGGCTCCACGAGTATGCCAGTACTGTAGCGTTTGATACGGGCCTTGGTTATTGTTTACAGATGTTCCCTGGAACGCGCGGTTCTGGATCACTTCGGAGTACAAACCTCCGTCACCAGAGTGGTAAACATCCTGTGGTCAAGGTTAGTTGGCAACCGAGTGTCGGGATTTGGAAATCAAGGTAGACACACCTCATAGAGAAGACCATACATGACTGGACTCGTTGCATTGCCGTTGATATTCGAATTGACGGTCAGTACAGTTTCTGCCCTGGTCAACGATGGCACACAGCCTTGTAGCAGAGCCAGACAGGTCAATGAGAGAGCGGCGGAAATCATGTTGCTTGTACGCGACGTTTAGAATACTATAGAGAAACACCAAGCAGTGGACTACGACCTGTTTATGTACAGAATATCGTTACGAGGTATTATTGAACCAAAGACTTATTATACTTGGTATGCCAAATATTCTTCACCTGCATCACTAGCTTCATTGCGACGCTGACATTGATGTTCTCGTTCGGTGAACGACGGATCGCCGGCACTGCTCGTTGTAGCTCCTGCCGAGGAATCGTACACGCGTTTACAGCCTCGCTCTAGCTCCACGCGAAATATATTCTATTTAACTATACTAAGAAAACAAATATGATACTGCCTTTCTGATCTGCCGAGTTGGGACATCGTCGATTTCCCCGCATTGATCTGCTGCATGGTCGGTGCATCTTCTGCCGAGCGACGTTCTGGCGCCAACGCCTCAATATGTTTGAGGCTCTCTTGTTCCAGCCACCGCTGTCTATTCGAGCAGTAGGAAGCAGAAGGTGATTTTATCCTGTAGATATTCCCAATTTCAAGTAAATATATCCTCGTTGGCACGTCGCGAAATTCTCTTCTTTGGCTGGTAGCTTCCGCACTCACCCTGCAGTTCCTGTTATGCAGTCTTTCTTCCGTACTTCTGTTCATAAAATCTATTTCTCTCTCCCAATTATCCAACCATGAAGGTCCAATCGGAGAAGCCATCAGTTGCAGAGCACATAGAAACCGCTACTGCTACAGATGGTGACAGTGACCATGGCCTCTTCAAATCACGATATGACCAGCTGTCGCTGCCCCAGACACTCTGGGTATTCAAGCGCGTTATTCTTGTAACGCTAGCAGTTTACACTGGCTATGTGTGCGAAGGATTCGAGCTCGGAGCCGGCGGCACTGTGATTGCCAATGCTGGCTTTATCAAACAATTTGGATCGAGAGACGGCACGGGAGTTCGAGCCCTTGATCCCACGTGGGTATCTACCTGGAGCTCGCTCTTGAACGTGGGCCAGATCGTCACGTTTACACACATCTCTTGGTTTGCCGACAAATATGGTCGCAAGACTTCATTCTACCTTGCCTGGCTATGGCTCGTCGTTGGTTGTACGCTGCTCAATACGGCCAAGACACCTGCGGTTTGGGCAATCGCCAAGTTGTGTAATGGCGCGGGCATTGGTGTACTCCAGGTCGTCTGTCAGGTTTATGTGATGGAGATTTCCCCCAATCGCATCCGAGGTGGTCTGGTGACATTCCAGGCTGTCTGGAGCAATATTGGCAGCATCATATGTTCGGTCATGATGCAACATCTCAATCAAACGTATCCCGACGACTACATCCTGGCCATGAGGATTCTGTGGGCTCCTGTTGGACTCATGATTCTTTGTTGGGTGTTCATCCCAGAGTCGCCGTGGTTCCATGCTCGCCACGGTAACAAAGAGAAAGCTATTAGAGCAATGACTCAGCTATACGGCGGAATCCCCGACTTTGACTTTGAGGAAGAATATAGCATCATCGAGCGTACGATTAAACACGAGAAGCAGATGCTACAAGCTGGACCAGGATATTTACAAGTATTCAAGGGATTAAATCTGGTAAGATTGCCATAAGCTGTTCTTACCATATTCTGACTGCCACACTGACACATTAGTCTCTAGAAACGTACACTTACGGTCATGCTCCTGGCCATGTCCCAGCAACTCGTCGGTCTAGCCATCATTAGTACCTATTCGACATGTATGTTACTAATCAGTTATATTTTTCGTTTGAGAACATCTGTGTTAAATTTATCCAGACTTCTTTTCGTTGGCCGGTTTGCAGGATCCGTTCTTGGGTACTGTTATTCTATCGTCAGTTGCTAGATTGCCTTCCAAATCATCGTCATTTACTAACACGGTGTAGATGCTGTAATCTTCTTGCTGTTATTCTCTGGTCTTTCAGCACTGATAAATTGGGTCGCCGTACCATCATAAATACATGCGAAACATTTATCTGTGTTATTCTATTTGTAGTTGGCGGTCTTTACTGGACTGGCGCAACAAATGGGAACGCGGCAGCAGCAACAGCCCTTGTGAGTATATCATGCATGTGCTTTGAATGATAAAATTCTAATAAATATGAATAGCTCGTCATTTGCTGTTTCTGGACATTTGCATTTCAAGTCATTGCCATGTCGTACTATCTGTATTCCGCAGAGCTCCCTTCCGCCTTTCTTCGAGGTAGAGTCTTCCCGCCTATCAACGATCTGCTCGGTGTTCAATTTCTAACTATTTAACCAGTCAAGACGGGACCCATTGCCTTTTTCACAAACTCTATTTTGGGTATTGCTACTTGGTTAGTCTGTTATTTATCCTTTATAGCGCTATTGCTAACAGGCTTCCTAGTTACGCAACACCTCCCATGCTTCTGTCGCTAGGCGTGAGAGCTGGCTTCGTTTTCGGCGCTTTTTCCGTTCCAGTTTGTATTCTCATGTGGATATATCTCCCCGAAACTAAAGGGCATGTAACAAAATATCCATATTGGTTATGCTTTAGACCGCAAAGCCAAAGACATGAATCTAACTTTTACACAGGCGCTCCGCTGCTGAGATTGACGAACTGTATGAGCGTAAGATACCAGCTTGGAGATGGAATGATACAGTCACCAACGCTGAGAGAGAGATGCGTGCCATGTTTGGAGAGAAATCGGATATTGCTTAAGTTGCGACAACTTTTTAGTTTACAAGTTTGTACCGGCACTGTTGTATGACGCTTTTTATTCTATTTATTCAACCAATTTGACACATGGTTCTCGAAGTAGGGGCTTAACACTGTAGAAGAAAATCACAAGTTACAAAGTTCTATCTTATGGCAAACGAAAGAATGAATAAAATATGAAGCAAAACTAGACTATAGACATTGTTGAAAACACGCGTGTACTGATCCAATTCAGCTCCTGGATATCATTGTGCAACTCATCAACATAAAGAAGGGAAATGGCCTCATCAAGAGCGCCATGCAAACATGGTGTAAAAGTAGTAGGGCAAAATAACGACTAGAGGAAATGATAGAAGGGACAGTCTCCGCTCAACGTAGATATGACAAATATTGTAGAAAATCAAATATTTAGCTTCGCTGCTCAAGAGGAACGCTTCTCTTTAGCTTCTTCCGAGTCTTGCCATTCCCACCGCTTGTCTTTCGGGCTGGGAGACTAGTGATGTAGCTGTTGGCATAGCTTAAATGGTTACTTAAACTCCTTGCGAGTCGGCGAAGCTCATTCTTGACTTCTTCGTTGTTTGTATGGCCTTCCATGATGTGAGATGATGGTGCGTCTGGCGGGTCAAGCGGTAATTCTAGATATGGCCGTGCTATCGAGATGTGTTTCTGGTCGTGATGGCCGATTGGTTGATAATCGGCTTGTAAGTCATTGGATCCGAAAACGTTGAAGAATTCGAGGTCGGTATCGGTAAAGTGGCTGAGGAGAGAGGAGAAGCTGTTTTGAAAGTAGAGCTCCGGGAGGTAAGACGTTTGTTTTGAGGAAGAGGAGGAAGAAGAGGTAGAGGAAGATGAAGGAGAAGTACCAAAGCTGAGATCGTCGCCAGCGTCGAAAGACGGATCACGCACTTTAACAGATGGTGTGTCAAACGATACGTAGCGCTCCAGTTCAAAGAGGGTTTCACCAGACTCGGATGATGAGCTCGCGATAGTCGATTCCATAGATTCGACTTTAGACAGCGACGTGGTTGGACGGTATCCAATAGAGAGGTTGTCTAGGTCTGGAAAACTGACATCAAAGTTGATGAGACTCCCAACAGTCAATCTGTTACTAAGGAATGAGTCGTTCGTAGGCGCAGATGTTGAGAGGATGGCTTCAGATGGGCTTTTTAGAGCGATTGGACTGCTAGCTTGTAGGAGTGACGCATCGCCATAGAGCGGATATCGATTTGATTCTCGCAATATTGACTGGCGTTTAGGCGTAGCTGGTGATGTCATGAATGGGAATTTCCAGTCCTGCGTTCGTCGATTAAGGTTGGTATCTGCTGGGTCACTTAGACGGCGCATCGTGTAATTTGCATAAGATGAAACATCTTCAAAGTCGTAAATGACGGTGCTGGGATGTCGTAGTGTATGTAAATCGACGTATTGGGATTGCCGACCCTCCATGAAAGACGCATCAAGATCGATGAGAGATTCGCGGGGTGTTGGGAGAATAGCTCGGGGCGGAGGTGGTGGCGGATCCATTGGCGGCGCACGATAACCTCCATAATAGAGCTTTGAATTGTCATCATACCGTGACAAAGTATAAGGATCAAATACTTTCTCTATTGGGGCTTTAAGCCTTGGAAGATCGGGAGGATGTCGCCGTCGTGTCTTGGGTGGCATCGGCTTGATAGTGTCGTCGTTGAAGTCTTGTTGATTGTAATCGACACCTGCGCCGTACACGTCAAAGACATCTTCAGCAACACCGTCTGTAAGCACTTTCTTATCAAAGGCTGCTGTGGTACTGAAGTTCCAATCTTCATCATTCGCAATCTCCGAAGGGCGGCTGCCAAATCTCTTGCTAACTCTCTGTGCTCCGCCAGCAGAGAAGAGAGACTGTCGCTCGCCACCTTGTGCCTCCCAGAGGCGAAAGGCACGAACTAGATGCGATAGAGACGATGTTGGGTAGGCGTCTTCCGTTTTGTATATGTAGCGATGCCGTTGGATCTTGCTGATTGTTGGTCGCTTGCTAATGTCTTTTTGTAGACAACAAGCTATCATGTCTTTTAGCTCGGGTGAATATTGACTTCCCTCTAAACGAGGACTCTGTCTCTTCAAGTGGGCACCAAGCTTCATCAGGTTCATGCCCAGCATGACATTAGGCGGCTTTCCAGAAGCAATCTCATACGCCATGGCTCCAAAGGCCCAAATGTCCACCTCAGTGCTATACGATGCCCGCTGGTCGAATAGCTCTGGTGCCATCCAGTGTGGTGTTCCAATCACCGTAGTTCTTTTGTCGACTTTTGTCTCAACCACGCCAGCAACTCCAAAATCACACAGCTGGACCCGACCGTCTTCCGTGATCAAAATGTTAGCACCTTTTAGATCGCGATGTATGATCCCCTCTCTATGCACCCAGCGCAGAGCAACAGCTACCTCTCGCAAAATAGGAATAATCCACTTCTCTTGTAAGCCGCCGGGTGCCGTCGGTCTCATCAACGTAGAAACACTTCCTCCTGCGCAATACTCGGTCACCACCCACATGGATTGGCCGACTTGTATCGCCTCGATGACCAAGTTAATATTCTTTGCGCCGCCCCGCGAGAGCAGCTTGAGCGCCTTGATTTCCTTCAACAAGTCGCTGTATGTATCGGCAAACTTTGGGTTTACCGTGTCGCTCTGATCGATGTCGATAATTTTAATTGCTACCAGCTCGCCTTTCACGAGAGATTTGCCTTTGTATACACGACCAAAGGATCCCTTCCCAATAAGTTCGGTGAGATGGTAAGCGGGGATCTCGGTTCCCAACAACTTGCATGATTCGAGCACAGCCTTTTGCATTCGTATCGCATCGTCGAGCGCTTTTTGTTTTGTTGTTGAGTACGTCGACGCCCGCAGACGACGTGTAGCCATCATTTTGGCGGCCGTATTGATCGTGAGAGTGCCCAGCCCTGGTTCGACGATATTGCTTTGCAAGGGTGAAGTCCAGGGTGAAGAGCCCAACGACTGGTTCTACGCATTTCACGACGGAGCCCAAAAGAATTATTTGGCCACATCAGACTGCACCGTTGGTGACGTGTTGCTATTTTTACGCGGGACATCCGCAGCGACGTTGCGTTCGCGGGTGGCCGACGTTGCAGCGCTATGTAATGGGAATACCTATCAACACGAGACGAGGCTGGTAAGGCACCGCGACTTGCAGGAGACTGGCGTTATTTCCTGCAGATAGACAGACGAATCTCTTTCGCTGTGTACAATACTATTTTATTTTGCGCAGGTTTGCAGATCCCCCGCCTCGTCCGGCCGAGATCAGCATGCAGCCATACATATTGTGTTTGAGCTGCCACGTTTTCCAAGAATGCAACACCCGCCTTTTCTAGTTTGACTTGCGAGAGATTTTTTGCGGTATGAGATGAAGGTAGTGAGCCGGCTGATGCATGGAAAAGCAACACAGTGCCAGTTGTTGTTTGCCGTCCAAACGCCCAAGTGAGGGCACGGAGTAAGAGCTGTCCATGAACGGTTGTCTGCTCTTGCGCCTAGACCGCAATTCGTCGCAAAATATCCAGTAAATCCTAGACTACATACAGTGGTATAACTAGCTTTGTGTCTTGGTATCCGCCCAAGGCTACAGCGCTACTGTGATATGTCCCGGGACGGGTGCACCTACCTCAGAACTCGTTCTTGCTCCGGGCACTAGCTCTGTAAGGAAGAGACTATCCTCAGGTTCACAAAGGTCATCGACGAGGCTCTGTGGACGGGGCCGAGCGGGTATATACAAAATAGGCATGAAAGCCACTAGTGAAGAACTGAGAGATTTTTTCGTTTTAATCATACAGAAACTATCTTAAATCCTCACAATTGTCATAGCAAGGGCTACAATGGCCAATACAACTACTATTGAGGAGATGCAGGAGGCCGTGGCTGAGTTTGATCGGACCCAGCAGGAATCCGATATCAGATTCCTCAACAACGCCGAATTACAGCACAGCGCGGTTCGAGAATAGCTTGAGCTGTGTGACGATGCAGAAACCGACAAGACGCTGCCAGGGCTAGAGGAGGCCTGGGTGAATCTTCCGCGAGGCATCTCAACCCAGCTGATGATAAAGTACGAGCAGCATTTCTCACCACACTTTACGATGCCGTTGTCGCAAATGTCGATCCAACCAATCCAGGCAGCGAGATTCCGACTTCGCCACCCAGGGACTACGAACAACTTCTCAGCGTGACGAATGGGCTGCGGGACACTGATCTTCGCAGCTCAGGCGTCGCTGCCTTGAACCCGGTCCCAGAGACGGAGAACGAAATCCACGGTATGGTGGCTAATAGGCGGACGCAGGCCTATTCCGTACTCGATCTAGGCGAGTCCGGCTGGGAAATGTCTACTAGCTACGTTATGGGCAAGCAGGGAGTAAACCCGCAGGTGTTTCACTGGCTGGGATATTACTACACTCGAAGGGATCCTACAAGACATGATCTTCGTCCAGGCGAGGAGGAGTGGAAGTGGCGCGTATTTTACAAGAAAAAGGAAAGATTCTAGCTTAATTTCCTTTACACCCTAATCTTTGATGGCATCGTGGATTGGATCAAGTGGTATCAAGATTGGTGGCCTCGCATTTCTGTCCTGTATCCAGAGTGGTTAGCTAAGCACAGACGCGATGTTGAACTACTTTATGGAAGCAGCAGCGACGATGGCGACGAAGAGGATGAAGATCAATGAGCTGAATAAATGCGATAGGAGAGAATGTGGAATTAGAGAGGCGCTGCGTATCTGGATGGGTGTATTCTCCAACACTGTTTTTGTTGCATGGCAGACTCATATACATGTGCTTGCTAGAAATGTCTGATGGATTAAAAGCTCCTCCGAAAAGGGGCCTTAAAGGTCTAACTCAAGTGATTACTTTGACGTGATAGTAACGCCGAGTCCTCCACAAGTAATGGCGGACCACAGGAACCAATTACCATGCCAGCTTTCCCACTCCCTAGCAGAGCTAAAGGCGCAGGCACAACCACCCAAATCACCATTAACACACATTCTTCCAATTCTAGCGTCCCAGCAACCTCCCTTGTTGTTGCAAAGATAGGCAAGACGATCACTTGGCTTCATGTCGTCATCCCATCGACCTGCATCATTGTTATGATTGCAACCGCAATCATCAGCCTTACGAGCTACCTCTTGTTTCATTTCTTCAACAGGTGTCGCTGATGCCACCTGAAGAAGAAGGACGAGAGCCAGGAGCTTGGATTGCATGATGTCTATATTGAAGCATGTTAGTAAGTAAGTTTCTCATGGCCATATGTGTAACTAACGCTTTGTTTGTAACGAGATAGGGCAACAGTGTTTAGAAAGGTACTAGAGTTGCTTCAATGAAGATATAAAAGAGCTTGTGTTAGAAAGTACAGCGAGAATGCGGGTTGAGCTCGCTTTATATAGACAATTAATCGGGCAATACCCAATTTAGGCAACCTCCGTATAGCATCTTTGCTCCTGCTGTAACTCGAGGGGTCGAATAGTTGAACCTCGTTCAAATTCGTTCAAGTTGACCGATGAAGATCATGCCTATTATGGATTGGGCTGCGCCAACCCGAGGAACCGAGAGCGCGGCACGCAGCAATGGGGGTAGACCGGCAGATCACAATCAGGCTGTAACCTACCTCTCGTTCAATCACTACCGGGGCATATAGCCAAGTTACGTGCACACTAAAATATGACCATGGTGCATACTTTACGCAGTAAATTACATCGTACTTTTGTAGAATTGTGTCTGTTGAATTAGGTATCAGGTTATGACTATACTAGACCTCATTATTATGTACTCTTGCGACGACCCAAACCAGAATCGGGAAGCTCTTAGGCCACATCTTGGAAACTATATTGTCCTAAAGTTAGATTTGAATACTGACTTGAATAACCAATATATTATTGCATTTCAAATCCCTCATGTATCTTGAGGATGCCGATCATTAGGCTGTGCTGCCCACAGGTGCTACAGGTCAAAGCGCTTTCAGCTTGAGGTACCATCTGCACTATCGGCCAACACTAGATGTAAGATTGGCCAATCGAACGCTTGCCGAGATACAAGGTAACTCCATAATCCTGGGGATCGTCCTAGGACTTTCCGCTTTTTATGACGTACTATGCTGACTGCCGGCTCGCTGGTAAACGAAGATGAGGCTGTCACCCTCTCTACTACGAGTAACACTCGGCTGTTTCCTGTATAAGCAAATCTCCGCTCCAATGCCAATGGAACTGAATTGAATACTTTGCTTGGGACATGGTCATGTGAGCAGAGTTTTCCCGAATTGAGAATGGTACTACTTCTGGCTAGCCGGACGAGCGCGCCGAAACACGGCCCTGAAACATACAGCATGTAATATTGTCATGTGATACCATTGAGCCTAGTCTTTCCTACAACTAAGAAGTTCCAAAAATCCAAGTGAATTATTTGATGGGGTTATAATTCATTTCCAAACTTTCTAGGAGTAAAGGCTGTCTCGAAATGCGTGCGTTGTCAATTCCATTTCCCTTAGCGCAAACAAATGTGAGATCTTTCTTCAAGGACTAACAATAAACGACCTACAAATCGCCCTTAGACCCGATGTCTAGTATATTATCAGCGCAAAATTAATCTCTTATCACGTCTAGATAGTCTTGTTGAGATACACTACACTTGGCTGTGTTGGTATAATAAGCTTGGTCGTTTCGGCTGTGGCAAGTCATTCAGCGTGAGAAACGGTACCATTTCCTAACGAAGCGATATTATTGTTCCCGATACCAGGCATTGTCTGGAATTTTCTTAGGTTTGTCTTTAGAAGCAGTTGCCTCCAAAAAATAAGATCCTAGAATTCGTACTGTGGCAGTTCGGCTATACAGGCAACACGGGATCAGCACTTGGGGCAAAACACCACACTCAAGAATAGCCTTGCGCTAGAGTGGCGCAGTGCCGAGTAATGCGTTACTTGTCTTAGCCTCGCCGGCTCATAACAACCGGCGGGTTTCAACTTCTACAACAAAACAACCCAAAACCACGTCGCGCAACTATCGCCATGGGTTACTTCGAGTCCAGCGACACACAGAATGGCGATGATGTTGTAAAAGACAAGCGTCCGCGTATTCTGTGTCTCCACGGTGGCGGCGTGAACAGCGAGATTTTCGCTACTCAGTGCCGCGCGCTCATCAAACAACTCTCCGAGTTTCGTCTTGTATTTGCTGATGCGCCATTTACCAGCGAAGCAGGTCCAGGAATATTGCCTACATTCAAAGACTTTGGGCCTTTCCGTCGCTGGCTGCGATGGAAGTCGAGCCAACCGGAGCTCTCGGATGACGAGGCGGCGACCGCGCTGGTCAAGGCGATTGAAGACTGCAAAGCGTCGGATGCGGGATCCGGCAAATGGCTGGGAATTCTGGGTTTCAGCCAAGGAGCGAAGATTGCAGGCAGCCTGCTATACAATCAGCAGCGCGGTGGCGAAGGTGATTACAAGTTTGGCGTGCTTATGGCTGGACGATCGCCGTTTGTCAACCTCGGACGCGAACCGCACATGTCTCTGATTGGTGCTGGGGTCATTTCTCGAAGTGCTTCCGAATTGCCATTGCCTGAGAAGAAGTTGCAGATCCCGACGGTCCATGTCCTTGGTCTGCGTGACGCCGACGTTGAGTGGCATCGCTCCATGGCGCACGGTTTCTGCGAGGACCCGCGGATTGTGGAATGGGACGGCGGTCACCGGATTCCGATTAAACCCGTGGATGTTACGGCCGTTACCGACGAAATTCATGCCATTGTTGAAGAATTAGAGTTGCTTTAGATTACCGACTGGGTTCGATGCATAGACTACTAGCTGCCGGCATTAGATGGGCGGGGATTGTTTTAGCGTGGCGTGTCAGTTGACTTTTTTTTCTTCTTTAGATAATATTACAATGCTTCTATACATATACCGAACCCATAAATATTTTTGTCTAGTAACGACACTTCTTACAGAATTACGATCTTTAAGTTACCGCCAGAACAAGACAAACAATGCTCTCAGGGTACAAAGGAAATGCAGCTGCCCAACAAGATGTTGTACAATGTCCTAGACCGAAGTCAGTAATCAGTATCCATTACGGTTCACCGTTCCCCCAGCTAATGGTTCTTTTGCTTAAACCGAGTCAGGTTAGCTGGCCATGCATAGTTCAGCACAATCCACGTGGGTGAGATTTCCCACTGCGGCTGAAAAATAACCTTCCAGAAAGAGCTGCATCTCTCCACAGATCGCCCATGGTAAGCTAATTAACTCTATCGGCCACCCCGTACTCGGTCTCGCTTCTCGCTTCTGCGGTAGCGCTGAATGTACTATGAGAGACATATAAGTAGAGGTTAATCCGTCTGTACTGCTGCCAGTCAGTTACAATTCAATCCCTCCAATATCCCCACATCAAAATGAAGTTCTCCATCCTTTCCGTTGCGGCCTTGATGGCTACCGCCACCGCCACCGCCATCCCCACGCCTGCCGAAGCCCTCTCTGTTCTTGAGGCTCGCGCTGGAGCTTGCACCAACGCCGGTGTCGACAATCTTCTCCTCCATACCTCCATTGAGGACTTTGAGAAGGCCCGCAACGCCAAGAACCCTTCTGGCTGCGACTGGTCCTCTGACAACTGCTCTTCTTCTCCCGACAAGCCTGACGGCTACAACTTCATTCCTAGCTGCCAGCGTCACGACTTTGGCTACCGCAACACCAAGAAGCAGAACCGCTTCAAGGAAATGAAGACGAAAATTGATGACAACTTCCACAACGACTTGTACAAGTACTGCTCCCAGTTCCACGGTCTGTCGTCCTGGAAGGGTGTCGAGTGCAGACGTCTTGCTGATATCTACGTTGCTGCCGTTCGCAAGTTTGGCAAGCGTGAGGAGGACGAGGTGGAAGAGTCTGAGTAATTATCAGACCTTGTAAAAACGAATTGGTAACGCTCGGCTACATGATTGTAGTTGCTATCCGGTATGCCAGTGGTTCCTGGGGCAATGCTAGACGAGTGTATACATAGTACATAAATAAAATTTCAGCTATGACCAAACAATTGACAGTACTACAATATTATTGTTTATGAATCATGTAGTAATCTGCGTAGTGAAAGGTGGACACAATCGCTACAACTTAGACTTTAGTGTGGACTACCCTAGTTTTGGACAAACCCAGTCGGATAGAAACAGTTCTTTGTAAATCACGTTTTGTTATGAATATTTACCACCTTTTTAACTATTTACAATATATACAATTTTAATTATTATTTCTCTCTGTGATGCACCACTACCTTACATAACCAGAGAAACATTCTTGGAGCCAATCGGGTTGCCAGCCTCGTCAAACTCAGTAATGCGGATGGAGCTGCCCATGGGGATGGACTCAATTTCAATGACATCACTGCTCAGAGAAACATCTGGCGCCGGGCCCAAGTCGCGACGGAATTTGGCAGAGTCACCCATAGGGACAGGCTTGCTGTTGGCAAGACGGTGTCTGCAAGTACCTCCAGGAGTGAGAATATCGCCGAGGTAGCCCTGCACCGTGGCATACTGGTGGAAGATAGCCTTCCAGTTTGGCTGGATATTGCCAACACCGCCAGGAACAACCTTATCGTAGAGCCCAACGACAGTCTCCTGTGCCAGGTTCTCCTGCTGGCTGCTCTGGGCGTAGCTGTCGCAGACAGCCGTGTCCATGTTGTAGTTGTCCAACCAAGTCTTGGAGTTGGAAAAGGGCACACCGTATTTGGGGTCGAATCCGTGCGAATCAAGCGAGTGACCGGTCTCGTGGACGAACACAGTTATGCCAACAGCGCCGTTCATTTGGATGTTGTCACCAGAGCTGCCTGCCGATTTGTTGCCCGGAAGAGCAATGACATGGCGAATGTACTCGCGCATGTGAACGGGCATGCGGCCAAACAGGTCAATCATATCAATTTGGCTGAGCGGGGAGTCCTTGTGTCTGCAAAAGATCCAGACATCGTTGCAGTCGGAGTAGTGGATGTTGAAAGGGGTGATGTCGAACGGAGAGAAGCCGTTGCTCTTGGCGAGGTTCTTGCAGTCTTCGGGGATATAGCCAGCGCCCCAGTTGTCGTGAGTAGACTGTGTAGGAGCCAAATGGTCAAGAAGGCCCTGCGCCAAGCTGTCGAGACCACCACCAGGGAATGTCGGGTTGATGATAGGCTTGTCGAGTCTTGCGGAGGCAACAGAGGCCAGACCGGCAGCGAGGGCAAGTTGACGGAACATATTTGGCCAGAATGTAATATATACAATGATTTATACACAAACAAGTCTTTCCGCGTTGTTAGCAATCCAGGATGCCCACCAGCATTTATACACATGCCCACGGGCAATTGTCCGGCGCTTCTCCTGCATAATGCCCCAGTCTCCCGCCGGTTATAATACTAGCTCGGAAGCGATATATCTCCACTAGAATTCTCTTTGTATAGGAAGGATGAAATGCTTTTCCTAGCGTGGTTGCCTACAAGTGCCGTGCCGTGCAAAGCCCACACGATACCCGGCATGTCAAGCAGCGCTAGCCAATAGCGCGACCTGCCAAGGGTAAGCTTACAGCAAAACAATGGGTGGCTTGCTAGTTTGTCCCCGCTGTCGGTTGGAGAAAATCCAGTTTACTGCATGTGGCCTGGCAGGGCGGCTGAATAAGAAGAGAACCGGTCTTTTGCTAGTTAAAGTGGCTAACCCAGTGAGGCGTTTGTTCCGGACATAATTTCTCCGTTTGGAGGCTATTACGTTTAGTCTGTATGATCGACAAGATAACACCAGATGGATGCCGTGCTAGGTGAGTTAGGCTATGAGTTATAGCTCTATGCTTAAATTTTCGGTGCCTGCACAATCGTCCATCTTTCCTTGGGGGACGTAGAGACGGCCCGATTTCTGTAGTCTTCGGGAGAGTCAGGGCCGAGCTATGCAGCACGAGCAATTATTAGAGACTTCTTTTTTTTTGGAGAGGACAGTATCCAACTCGACTAGTCTAACTTGGGCAGATTAATAAGAATAATAGTATTAAAATTTAAATTCGTTTGAAGTTGTGCATTATAGCGATGCTAATATCTCTCTTGTCCTCTGTATTTACAATTTGACCCCTACAATTCGGACTTGGAGCCAGGGTTCACGTTGGAGACTTTGAAATCACCCGTGACAACTATCGAAGAGGGCCCTGCCTCTGCAATAGCCTCTTCAAAGGTAGGCGGCGGTGCCTTGGGGCCATTCGACGGACCAGCATCACCATCAATGGGCACATCAGTAAAAGGCGGCGGCTCGACAAATGGTGGAGGAGGCTCATTGAGTCCGAGCGGTCGGGGCACAATTCTCGTTGGGACTTCAAACTTGAGCTCTTCTGCTTTGTCAAGAATCCTGTACGAGATGTAGTACTTGAAGACTTGCACAATCTTGATATTGTGTGTGGTAAAGTCTGGCCGCATCACACCGCCCCATATGGATCCGAGATGACGATTGTCAGAGTATAAGCCCCTGTCTCGCAGCTGTAATTTGAACAGAGCGCCAAAGTCCATCGCCTCAGCATCGTCTGAAATAGTCATCATGACTGGTTCTTTCAGACTGTTAAACACTCGCTGTAGCTGGAAATCGCCACGTTCTGTGCCGTTGTCAGTCCGCATACCGAAAGTTCCAGGCGCCTGCACGTAGACTTCCCATCTATACGATATGCGAATAGAGTTTAATGTGATTGGGATAGGTACATCATGGAGCACCTCGCTAGTCTGGTTACGGTCCGGAACAAATCGCAGCGTCAAGGGTATCGTGTCAGGATGATCCAGCTGTATAAGAGAGGGAGTGACCAATTCGACGCGGTATTCCAGCTTGGGTACACTCGATGTATGGAAAAGCTGTTTGCTCTTTTGCTTAAGGCTAAGTCCTGCTCCGTCCATTCCTGGGGCCAGAAGGTACGAATGGATCGATTCACGGTGTGCGCGTCGTTGCAGCTTCCAGTTTCGAATTGGCGAAGCGAGCGGTGTAGCGCGAACCTCAATGGGTAATCGAGCAGCGTAATGTTCCCAGCGGCCTTTATGTTGATATGTCAACATAGCCTCAAGGTAGTACTCTACATAGGACTCGGGGTTGCCGAAGAAGAAGGTAGGAGGGAGCGCGTCGACAGGAGTCGATTCCAGAGTGCCCAGTGGCGGGAATGGAGGTTCATCTTTGCGAAAGGACCGTGGGTCGATTCCAGTTACTGCAGGCAAGTTTATGGCAAACTGCCATGTTTCAGGTGTGCCGCCAGATCGCTCGATGTGCATAGGCCCATTGTAGAGCAGCAGTTCGACATCGTCCGCGTTTGTATGGAAGAATCGATATTGGCTTCGATAGGTGGAATGGCTGTTGCCGTGGCGCTGAACAATCTTGACCTTGGCTCGGCCAAACAGACCAATGCTCACTTTGGCCGCGGTTGTAACAATGGGTGCTCTTCGACTTACGGTGCCAACGATTGGGCTGCCTGGATCAAAGATCTCGTCGGTCGTGTCGATGGCGAGCATCTGGTCGCATTGTTTATAAGTACGCGGCATGGCTGATGAAGTCTTAGGGCACGGTGTCCCGTGTGACAATGGTCAGGCAATGGGGGGAGTCGTGCCAATTTTAAGGCTGGCGATTTCCCCCTCTATCCTAAAGCGCATGCCTCACGAGTAGCCTTGTCGGTGCACAGCCTTAGCGTGATGTCATAGCCACCGGGAGATCGGCGCAGGTGTTGTTGCCCAGCGGGCGTTGTCAGATATGCGCGGGAATAAGCCAAAGTAACATGGAATCTCACGTCGCAGACACAGTGAAACGCTTTACTTGATTTTTTTCTGGGTTGTTTACTCGCTTAAGTGAGCAACATTGGAGACATTAAGTTGTAAGCTGGATTTTTGGCCTCAGGGGGCCATGTCCACCAGAATCCATCCAAAAGACGCCACTACGCTAGAGAGCCATATACCATCGAGTACATCCTAGAGATGGCTTTCAGACATGGTGAAAAGATGGATATGATGTCTTATTCTCTCTTGGCTTTACTATACTAAAGCTGGGACAAGCCATACAATGAAGGAACTGTGGCGTAGAGCGCAGGATTTACTAGGTCAAATGTGGACTGCAAGACCAAGTTTGCTTGATCGTGGGTTACCCGTTGCTTTAGTCTAGCTCTATAACAATTTTAACTGCTACTTTACTATAGATATTTTGTAAAACTATTACTATAGGGTTACCTCGAAGTTATACAGAAGCCGACCAGCGCAGTTTCGTTTCCTGTAAGCACACTAGTCAGGCGACCAAATTATGAAAACGAAAAGGCGCTGCGCCACCCATTTTGCAGGCTATAGTGAACTGACCATTGTAAAACGCCCACAGAAATCAGGCTGGCAACCCCTGCATCCACAGCCTCGTTTCTCACTGTTTGGAGACGCTAAAGCACGCCACGACCCCGTTGGATGCTAATTCTATTGGAACTTTTCGTGGGTCTACAACCGAATTCTGACTCTCTCGCCGAAACGATATGAGTCTTCACAAGCCAGCTCCTGCCCCTCCTGCAGGAGGAGCAAACGATAAAAGGCGTTGCAGGGTCCTGCTCACGGATTGAACCAGTCAAGCCCTTGCACCCTGTTGAACGGTCAAATTCACCTGAAGCTATGCCGCCTACGAAAGACCAGCGAACGTCAGCTCTGGTCCTGAATGTCAACATTCCTCAGGGTGTAACCTTTCATCCTGGCGAGTTAATTACCGGCAATGTCTTGCGCCCCAGCTACATCTCGTCGCCTAATGCTACCGTCACCATCAAGCTTCAAGGGCGCACCAAGGCCAAAGTAGAAAAGCACGAGTACAGGGGAGGCAAAAGGCTCCATGTGGTCTACTATCGGAGTCGCTTTCAATTGTTTGAGGTAAACCCTAATGAGACCGGCCGGACACTGCACCAAGGCCCGCTTCATATTGAGACGTACAATGATCTCAGTCGTGCGTGGAACTTTTCTATTCAAATACCATTCTTCACGGGCCTGGACCTCAGCTCTCCTTATAACTCCGAATCTACATATGTCGACATGTCACCGGAGGCAGTCGCCAAGCACCCACTGCCCCCGACGTTTCACCCGCTGCATGTAAACGGCTTCGTGGAGTACTATCTTGAAGCAACTCTGCACTATGTCAACGACAAAGGTACCCCCCAGACAGACAAGTCTATCCTTGTCGTACCTATGGGCATGGCGCGACTGCCGGCCCCCATCTTTGACTGGAAGCCCAAGCTGGAGACGGAGTCTGCGCAGGCTGTCAGCTACTTCCTCGTGCCTGGAACGCAAAAGGAAAAGATGGGCTTTCGACAAAAGACGAAGCAATTTTTCCAGACGACAAGCGTCCCGACGCTCAAGTACAAGGTGGCTGTGAGCACTCCATCTGTCATACAGCTGAATCACGCGGACTGCTTGCCGATATATATCAAGTTGACGAGTGACTTGGAGGGCTCAACCGATGCCTTGCGCAAGCTACCGTTCAAGGCTGTGATTACGCACATGGAAATCGTGGCCAAGCATAAGACCGCTATCAAAGGTGAAGGGATGAATTACATTTCTGGCGAGGGCAAGATTGAAGAGGACACTGAGCCCGTAGAGCTAGGACTTGAAAAGGTCTGGGCGACTCTCCGCGAACCTATAGAGGTGCAAGTTGCGCCTACAGCTAGCTCTGTCAACCTTTCTGCCAAGTTGGATCTGCGCCTGCGACATGATGGTCTATACATGGGCGCTACAAAGGTGTCTGACTTGAAACGCGACCTGGTGCCGAGCTTCAAGACGTACAATATTACACACGAATACATCTTCCACTACACTATCAAGTGGAAGATTGTCGACTGTGAGGAGGCGATTACATTCAATACCGCTACTACAATTTTGCCAGAGGCTATGGCTGCTCAGCCTGTGGTCGTTCAACCAGTCCCAGTCCCAGTGGCTGATGTCCAAGAAAAGGCGCCCAAAGTAGAGGAGGTGGTGGTTGCCGTGTAAATTACAAATAGCACTACTAGAGATACCATTGAAAGAAATACTAAACGAAAATTAAATGAACTATAAATTATAAATTCATGTACATGGTGCTACATTATTCGTGGGCGCATTTAGCAAGCGTGGTTCTGGCCGCAGTGAGAAGCTATTGAGGTATTATTATTAGTAGACTGTAAACCAAGAGTAATCTTAGGTGAACTTACAGCTGTAGCAAGCGGAGGTGCAGAAACTAGACAGGAAAGAGTCAGTACTTTTAGTTCATATATTTGCACAAAGAGCCGACAAAACTTACCCGCCACCCTGGCCAGCGCCGTTGTTAAAGGCACCGCAGCCCTGGTTGCACTTCTTGAAAGCAGCGCAGTCGCACTTCTTCTTAAGAGCGGCATCGGCAGAGTCTGTACCCATGAGTTAGTATATTTCAATGGCTCGTTTTGTGTTGGACAGTTCGTACCGGCGCCGGGAGCAGGGAGGGCCATGACAGCACCAACCATGGTGAGGAGGAGAGTCTTCATGAACTGCATCTTGGAAGTTTGGGTTGTGAAGGTGGAGTAGGAGAGTTGGAAGTGGTAGTTTAGATGTTTGAGGGTGATGAGGATGATGAATAGAATGAGACTTGGGGAAGATATTCTCGTCCTTTTATATTCAAATCTATACTGCTGTCGGCCGACTTACACCACCATGCCTCAGAGCACCCGTACGGCCCCTCTGGTATAGTCAAATCAAACCTCGTTCATCGAAACTAGATCCAGGACGTCAGACCAGTCTAGGCAGCCAAATTCTGTTTCCTCTCGTGTCTTCGCGTTTAACGATTCCTCCACCGTCCCTCACACGTTCGAACCAGTGACTTCGCTGGATGTCCTATTATTTGTGCAGCAGCATCCTTCTTCGATCTGCGTGAGTCGGCTATATGTCGCCGGACCGGTGTGTTTTCCTTCACCTAGGCCCTGCTGGATGCTCTAGAACGCAGTAGTTAATCTGGATGCCTAAAGACTGTATCCGCCAAGCTTACAGATCGTAGGATGGATCGGGAAACTCGTCTTGGCTTATGCTGGCCCGCCTTGGCAAATGCTTGGAGGTGTGCCGAAAAGTAGGGCTGCTTCTTCTCTACAAAACAGCGCCACTGTTCAACATATAACTCCTATTACATTTTTATATCTTTTCTTTAAGATCTCGTTATATTGTAATATATACTTGCGGCACAGTTTAGAAATTGAAGAATAAAAGTCAGTCAATTGCCCCTCGGGTTGCACACCCGTATGTTCGTCATATTCCACTAGCCCCCTTCGTTCATGATTCAGTCCCTAGTAAGCCAGCCGCCATCACCGTCTCGGGCCCGAACCCGGCGACTTTTGCTACCCGTCACGCGCAGTAATATAAAGTTTTCACTCTATGGGTAGTAGCAGCAGCTGGTAATGGATCCAAAATACCACCAAACAGTGTATCCATTTATTCCTCTTTGGCCCGCAGCTCGTCGTAGCTGACCATGACCATGTCCTGGAACGCCTTGCGGCCCTTGAGGGTCTCATAATACCGCTCCAAGTTGGGCCGCTTCTTGCGCTCAATATCAATGTCAAAGTATCGGAACAGCGCGTGACCAAGCTGGATATCTGCGAGCGTAAACTCCTCACCAGCAAGGAACGTCTTCTTGGACAGCTCCGTCTCAGCAATATCCAGAAACTTGTCCAACGAGGCAATTGCGCCACGAATCTGCTCTGGGTTCTGCTTAGACTTTGGTGTCCGGACTACAGGCCAAAAGATGGGCGCGGTAAATCCGAGAAAGACATTCGTCTTTGCCCATTCGGCCCATTTGTCGACCTGCGCACGTTTCGCGGGGTCCTTGGGCCAAAAGGCATCAGAACCATACTTGGCTGCGAGGTAGCGCACAATGGCGCTCGACTCAAAGAGCGGCTCGTCGTCGCCATCGCGGATCACAGGTACAAGGCCATTGGGGTTCATGGCCAAATATTCGGGCGTGTTGTTGCCGCCAAAGCGGTGGCCAATGTCATACTGTGTATATGGCACATTGAGCTCGGCGAGGCACCAGAGCACAGCCTGGACATTAGACGAGGTCCTGCGGCCCCAGACTTGCAACATCTTGTTAGCTACCGATGTATGGAAGAGTCGGGATGGAGATGTGTATATGCTGGCGATGAGCGGTTTTCTAAACATGAGTGCGGAGAGAGAGCGACACAAAGAAAGCTAAGGTTGGGTTGCGCCAAGATGTGACGGAGGATCATTAGCCGGACCCCATCAATCATAGGGCGCAATTCCTCCCCATACTTTTTAAAGCGGCGTGGCTCGGTTTCAACCCGAGACGGACGAGACGATTGGCGGGCGGAAGCCATAAAACTGGCGATGTTGAGTTGCTCTCTCATTGTCCTGCCAAAACAATATACGGTAAAAATAGCAACAATGTCTGCCGCTGTATTTCGGGCTGCTTACGCACTGTATCAGTGCTGCTGCTGCGCCTACTTGTCATGTCGGCTAATTGTGATTGGTGGCCCTAAATGCCGACGTCAGACGCTAGGCACGCCGCTACCCGATCTCATAAGCGCAATTCATCCCGAAGAAATCTGACAGTAGAAATTCCTCCTTTCTACATCTACATCTTCTCAATTGACGTATTCGTCTCTGTACACGATGCTGTCCAACAACGTCCTCTTCCTTCTCGTCGCCTCCGCCGCCCGCGCCTGCGCTGTTCCTCACAAGCCTACAGGCGTCGCAGGTTGTGGCAAGGCACTCCCTGCTGGCCAAAAGGCCGGCGGCGTGTATAATGTGACGATTCCCAGCGACGGCGACGACTCGCGATACGTGCTCATTTCCATCCCGCCCAAGTACACCACCACTGCGCAGACATCGGCGATTCTTTCGTTCCATGGCGGCCGCCGTAACGCGCAGAGTCAATTGGACTTGGACCTGTTGACATCGCAGAACTTTAACACAGACAAGTTTGTTATTTACCCTCAGGGCGTTGACGTAAGGCTCCTTTTTTTCGTTGCTACAGCAGAGACTAACATGGTGATACAGGACGTATGGCAAGGCGTGCCCGATGTCGAAGTCAATGATGTCCAATTCACCACCGATATCCTTAACCACCTCGAGGCCAAATACTGCATCGACACCAGCCGCATCTTTGCGACAGGCAAGTCTGACGGCGGCGGCTTCTGCAACGTGCTCGCCTGCGACGCAGACCTGTCGAAGCGCATTGCTGCCTTTGCTCCCGTCTCAGGCGCCTTTTACATTGATACTTCGCCTTGCCGTGCATCAACCGTCAAGATCCCCTGCAACGCTGGCCGTACCAATATCCCCTTCCTCGAGTTCCACGGCGGCAACGATACCACTATTGCCTACAAGGGCGGGGCTCGCAAGGGCGAATGTCTGCCCACGATCCCTCACTTTATTCAAGAATGGGCGGTCCGTGATGGCCTTGGTTCAAAGAACACGTCCTCGTCGGTTGCTGCCGACACCACCTTATACAAGTTTGGCAGCGACGGGCTCGTTAGACACATCTATAACTCGGTCATTGGGCACGACTGGCCCAGCACGCAGCCCAACGAGGATAACAAGCGTGACGGTCACCATGTTGCCAGCTTCAATGCGACGCCCATTATCCTCGACTTTTTCAACAGCCACTCGCTTGCTTAGATTCCTACTTAGAGTCACTCGCTTGTCTGCTTGAGCGATGTCATTCAATCACCTCACGAGATAGGGAGTTTTTTCTTGTATAAATAGAAAATTAGATTCATAGAATTTTGATGTCCCCATAGATACACAATATATATACAAGTAGAAATACAAAAAAAGAGAATGATGCATAATGCGTTACAAGCGGTCACCCGCTGCTTCTTGTTCATCAAGGCAATGCCTCGTCCCATGGTCCCCAAGTCGTGTTGCCCCAGCCTCCTATACATTTTACTTGTGCTGGCGGCGTAAGCTGCCACTCAATCTTATCGTCCGCAGGGTCTTGTTGGGACACGATATCCGATACGAAGCCCTTCCATTTATTAATCCTCCTGCCCGCCTCAATGGTGTATTCATAATTGACGGACGGGACGACGGCAATCTTGCCGAATCCCTTGTACCACATTTCTTTACAAAAGATCTGCGGCTCGCCTTGATAACATTCACCCTGCTTCGCTGCTCTAAAGCGTAGGCCCTCGAGCGTGGACTGGGCTCCAAAGACGGCGCCGCCGTTCCAGCACGAGAATACTTGGAAGGGCCGGAACGCCTTATATCGGCTCATGACGTAGTCGTCATTCCAGAAGAGGTCTGTAATCTCTTCCCATCTGCCATCGGGCACATCAATAAAGTCGTCGCCCTTAATTGTGCGAGCTATCCAGATATCGTAGAATCGTGGCGGATCCAGGTTCCAGTCCATGCCGCAAACCAAGTCGGCGCCGAGGTTGCGTCGTTGGAGGACGAGCTCGAGGATGCTATCGCTGCATGCGGCAACATCGTTTAAAAATACAATCGTGGTATCTTTCGAGGCATCAGCGCTATTTACAATGAGCGGCTTCAGCGCTAGGTTTCGCAAGTCGGCCAGCGCCTGGATTCGCTCTGTCTTTTTCGGGTCAATCGTAGAGCTGTCGAGGTAATAGCGAATGCCCAGGCTCTCGAGGTGCGGTCGGATAGCATTGAGGACATCAGCTGTACCATCAGGAGAGTTTCCCTCGAGAATAGAAAGGACGCAGTACTCTGGCCCGAGAAATCGTATAGCATCGACAATGCTGCCAATCAGGCGGGGCAGCAGCCCGAGGTTCTCTCGCAGGTTGAGGGCGAAAAAGTATCGTATTTTCGGATTTGTCGGCCCCGGTGATTTTGTAAGGTCTGCGTATCGTGTCTCGTTTACCAGGGGACATTGGAAAGTATCGATTTTTGCTTCCCGGTGGAGGAAGATGGCGTCAGTGTAGCTAGAAATGTTGTCTGCCTTTAAGATGTCGCCTGTGCATCAACCATTAGCCAAATATTGTAAAATAAAAATGAATTCCCATAACAAAACATACCATCGCGCACGGGGATCGCAGCAAGATGATTCAGCGACTTGGAGAGCCGCTCTGCTACAATCTTCTCTGCGCTCAGCGTCTTGGTCGTTGACGTAACGGATGGTACCCGCTGGATATGGTCGGTTCCGAGGCGTAGCTGAATAACAAGAAAGCAGAGCCCTGCAAGCAAAACAATAGCAAATAAGATATTCTTCTTCAGTGAGAAGAAGGATTGCGCGAGCGACACCATGATTGGCGATGATGGCGATTGGGTGCCCGGTCGCAAAGTGAAAATGGCGCGGGGATTTGGATGGGAAGGGGGAAAAGAAGAAAAAGAGGACAGCGGCGCGGATCCTGTGGAAGCGACAGCCGTTAGACAGGCCGCGTCCGCCAAATATAAGCAAATGCGAAAATGGGCCTGAATAAGCGCACTGTTTTTTTTAGTGCTTGTTTTTTGGGTTGTGTACGCAAGCAATGCAAGCTGCCAGCACCAGCAGCGCACGTGGTGGACGGGCGCACACTCTCAGAAGACGCTCCCGGCGGCCCCCCCCCAGTGCAAGTGGCGTTGGGCACAGCCTTAGTCGCTATACGAGGCTGCTGAATAGGGGTAATGAGAATGCCAATCGTCGGTGCTTTTCCCCAATTGGAGTTTTGCTTAGTGAGAAGAAAAAAATAAAAATACCACAGGGAGGACAGTGCGCGCAAATACCAATGTGGGCAGACAGTTAGTTGTTGGAGTGAAAACGTCGTGATGTCAACTCTATTTCACCATAACATCACTTTGGACAGCACAGCACAGCTCAGCTCAGCGCCATCGTCTGGTCCTTATCGCACGGTGCTACTGGGCGATCGTATAGTCCAGCCCGGAATGTCAGCCAGGTAAATTTAGCTAGCGCCGACAAGGGGACCCAGCCAGCGAGGGAGAGAGGGGGGGGGCCATCCACTGTTACGATGAGATTTAACTGTCCTTGCGCCCCTAGTCTAGCTGCTTTCAATTGGACCGACGGAGTTTTGCCTGTGCGCTGTGCACTGTGCGCTGTAAAGGGCAGGTTTCGGCAGTTAGTTGGGGGCTGTAAGCAGAGCATAGACTCGGGTACCCAAGTATTTAAGCATTTACCCAAAGCGTTGGGGAAACGGAGTCCAACGGCTGTCACGAATAAAGTTGCAATCACCACTGGCCAACTTTAATCGACCGCTGCTCCGCCACGACTTGGTTACTAAGTCCCCACGGACGTCATGCAAAATAAAATGCGCACAGTAAAAAAAAAGTGTGAGAGAAACGACGAAAGAAGAAAATGGTAGTAGTTCTGTTGTTGGATATTATTGATATAATATAACTGTGGTCAATTTACAGATCAAAGTAGTCATTGTGAATGGTCAGTTTGTCGCAAACACGTTGCATTGTGCGCTGTCAATGCAAAACATACACAGGACGAACCAAAATTAAACCAATTATAAAGCGAGTAAATATTCCTTGAGAAAGGCAAGACGTATTTCCTCGACGGCTCATTGACCTACGCGTCATGGCAATTTCTTGCGCACAGTATACGATATGCAGCTTCTCCAGCGTCTTCTTCTTCTCCTACCCTTGATAGCAGCGTCTCCAACCAACCTCGCACCACTACTCTTGCACGATGAGAGCACCGGCGGATACGTGGTGAAATTAAAAGAGTCTGCTGCCGCTGTGGCAGACAATAATGTTTTACGGCTAATATCCGTCGAACCCGATTATGTTTACACTCACGTTTTAAATGGCTTCTCAGCAAAACTCGACGAACGGTCCCTTCACGCTGTTCGCCAGCATCCAGATGTAGGTTGCCGTATTAAATTATCAATTATTTCATTCAATACATTTAACGTCCAGTTTAGGTAGAATACGTGGAACAAGTAACCACCGACTATGCCCTTGGGTTTGATACGAGCTACGAGAAATGGAACGATCAATCTGGCGCTACCTGGGGTATTGCTCGTACTTCGAACAAAAAGTCTGGTATCAAGACGTACAGTTACCACGAGTCGGCCGGCAAAGGGGTCTGTGCCTATGTAGTCGACACTGGAATCGATGATGCCCACCCTGTAGGTTGCCCTATTGCCTTTACTTGTACTTGCGACTACACAAACTAACAATTCCATGCGTAGGACTTTGGAGGGCGCGCCAAGCAAATCAAAAGCTTCATCAATGGATCGGAGATAGATGACCATGGCCATGGAACGCATTGCGCAGGCACCGTGGGCAGTAAAACATGGGGTATCGCCAAAGAAGTGACTCTTTATGGAATCAAGGTGCTCAACTCTGGCGGTCGTGGCGTGGGTGATGCTGTTGTAAACGGCTACGACTATGTTGCTGTCGATGCGCCCAAACGCAATTGTTCTGGTGTTGTTGTCAATGTATCTATTGGAGGAGAAAAGGCCGCTTTCAAAAACGACGCCGTTGCCGCTCTCGTCAAGAAGGGATACTTTGTAGCCGTTGCTGCGGGCAATAACGGCAAAGACGCCAACGACTACTCTCCATCCAGCGAACCCAGTGTCTGTACTGTGGGAGCGATCCAGGACGGAGACTCCAAAGCCAGCTTTTCCAACTATGGCGCTATTGTTGACATCCAGGCGCCCGGGATGTCGATTGAGTCAACGACGCGAAAGGGTCAAAATGTAAGTAGAGTACACCAACATACTGAATCACCAAGCTAATCATTCGCAAATAGGGGCAAATGTCAGGAACGTCCATGGCTTGTCCCCATGTCGCTGGGCAAGCAGCAGTCTTAATATCGCAAGGCCTTGCCAAAGGGCCGGACGCCTGCGACAAGATCAAAGAGACGGCCCTAAAAGGCGTTGTAAAGGGCCTCCCCAGCGGTACAACCGCCGATCTACTGTTCAACGGCAACCCCAAAGCATCCTAGTTAGACATTATACATACTAAGCGACACAGACGCGCTTCTTTATCCCTTACCTCTTTGTTTCTTACCATAACTGCTCGTCTCTCTAGCAAACCCAACAAGCAGTAAACATTAAGCACGCAACTCTAGGTTGTGGGGAAAGCAGAGTCAGGCGGCAACGTGAGCAATTTTAGAAACATCGTTAGGCGCCTTACTCTGTAACAATGTGGCGCCGCTGGCCCCCCCTAGCCGCTTGCTTGTAGCCTATCATAGCCGCCATTCCCGTGTCGATCCGCTCTGTGCGGCTGGGCTGTTGCTCCTTCTCCCCTTCTCTCTCGATTGCAAGAATTTCTTCACCTTGTACAGTACAATTTCACTCATATACACAACATGGCAGCCAAGGGCATCATCCATTACCCGTGGGACAATGAACCCACGAGCGTCAATAGCAATGGCCACCGCCGCGCAACGTGGGGTTTCAACGACTGTGTGAAATTGCAATGGAACTCGTCGTCCGACTCGCCATTCCAATGGCTGCATCTGGAGTGCAACGAAGGGCCTGACGGCACGAATCCTCCATGGGATCGCGTCTGGGCCAACAATTCTACGGCGCCCTCGGGCAATGGCTCTAGCATCTTCTGCCTGGCCAACTCGAACCCGACGCCGCCTCTCATCAATACCTGCCGATTTGTGCTCGAGCTCGGCGCTAACCCGGAGGCTTCTACGACATTTACGGCCTTTTCGCCAGGCGTCAGTTTGGATGTTGGCAACAGGAAAAAGGCTGGCTCTACTTACCCGATAGAGTCTACGTCGTCTATGTCGTCTACGTCTAGAAGCTCCTCGGCTACGGCGACGTCTACCAACCGTGGTAGCAGCACTGTCGCTAGCTCAGCAACCAGTATCCCAGCTAGCGCGCAAACAGGCTCAGGCGGTTCAACGTCACCTGGGAGCAGCAGCAATTCCGACAACTCTTCCTCTGGCCTCAGCACAGCCGCCAAAGCTGGTATTGGCGCCGGCGTTGGTGTTGCTGTCCTGGCGGCACTTGCTGTTATTGCCTTTATTTTGTGGAGAAAGAGACGCAGCACTGGCGCACCACAAACACCAGCGCCGATTCACTATAATGCGGTTGAAAATCCAGAAAAGCGCAATTACGTGGAGGCGCCTGGCCACGCTCCTGCTGCTGGCTATTACGAACCTGCAATGGATACAGCGTACAATCACGAAAACAACAACACATATCACAACGCATACGGTAACGCCTATAACCAACCGCCACCAAAGCATCCCCAGGAGCTTGGCTCTGGGCACGACAACTCTGTTGCGGAGCTTCCTGGCAGTGGGCGATAGACTGTCCTCTGCGGGGTTAAACGCAAACGATGCGAAGCGCTGGAAAAGCTTTCCTTTAGCTATCAGAGGATTAAGCTTACTATGCGCGACGTATGAGAACTAGAGGTTCTTATTTTGTACAAGAAGCAAGGGTTAACTAAATCACTCTGGGCTGAGCGTACACAGGTGATTGGGTTGCATACTTTTATGGTTTTTTATGTGAGCGAAAGAAAAGGTATAATATGAATATGAATAATTTGTAAACCCTGATGCTTTTTCAACGATCAACTCTGTTTGCTCATGTAAAGTTCGGCTTTGTACGCACCTCAGCCTAAACAGCCATCCAACAACTCAACAATGGCACTCATACAAGGACCGCGGAGTATCGCTCCCAGTTCAGGTCGTCTAAATGGTGGCTGTTCAACTATGCTGCTCTCCTACTGCCATTGTCCTTGTCGTATTCTAGAATTACAGCCGGTGAAAACACTCCGCCCCGAAGGCCGATGTCCCGCTTGCCTGGCTCGCTTCGCATTATCTTTCGGGACAGCTGCGCTGTGGCGTCTCGGAATGTTCTTTAAAGACAGGAACACAGCACCTTTCAAACACACTTGGAATGCAAAGCTTCTGGCGCCGTCAGTTGCTATTCTATTATATCTATAATATATACCAGCCTCTTAAGTTATCGATTCTGCAATTTTGACACCTTTTAAGGCCCAATTCTATAGAGAATCGCTACTCTGCAACAGGCTTGAGAGCACAGCCTGATTATACCCGGTTTACGAGGTCGAGGCTGAGAACCTTTGTCTCGCACCTTACCATTGGCTCGGGACCGGTACCGTGGAAACAATGGAACGCCTCACTGGTAGAGAAATGTATGGAGCCAACATATTGGGTGTCGATGGAGCTAGGATCTCCGCTGTAGTGCGAATTGAGTTTTGGTGCCTCGCACTAGCTTTGTCGGCTTTCCAGGCGGGGCCATTGTTTTTGGATTCTGATTGATAAAACACTAAATTGGCTTTATGCGTTTTCTGCTGTTGCACGATTTGCTCCTCCTCACAACTCCATGGGGACATACAGACCATGCAAGGCTGTCTCGTCTATTCTTCGGCCTGTCGCGGTGTCGTCCTCGTCATCATGCATGCAAACGAGACCAACAAACGATGAAATTAGCCCGAGTCGTAAAAAGGCTTCTTCTCGCATTCAGGTACAAAACGGTGACCAATCCGCGTAAACGAACCTACCAAGGCAAACCCAGCCAGGAACGCCCTGTAAGGCAACGTGCTTGTAATGATTAGCGACGCGCCGTACCTCTTAAATCCGCCTAAGCTCTGTTGGCAACGCCCTCTACGCCCATGAAGACGGTCTGGCCCCGACGCCTTCGGCCTGACGGGCACGCTATTGATCAGCCTCCCAGCCACAACGGAGCCTCAACACTGCTTCTGGCCTGTACGAGCAGCTACAAACAGCAGGCCTGACGCTTTCGGTTAAAAAAATATGCTTGAATTTGGAGTGGGCGCTTGCCAAGAGGGTAAATGGGAGCCACCCACAATATAGTCCGAATTGCGTGGCTGTCTTTCTTACTGAGCGCTTGAACCGAACTTTGGCGATGACTCGAGTCGGTGTCGAGGGAAGGACAGTAGACGGGACAGCGCATAGAAAATACTAAAGAAATAAAATAAAAGTAAGAAGAGGTATTAAAATGGCATCGGTGTATTTGTGACTTAAAATATCTCTTCTCCACAAGTCGTACTCCTTCAAACTAGGTCGTGATGCAAGGCCGCGTGGTGCTCCAAACGGGTGTTCCTGGCGTTCAGCCGCGCCGTTTCGTCCAAAAGATGTGATTCCGCGAAGCTTGCGGAGAATACGGACGCCACGGGAATTATGTATTTAAACTGGTCAATGGGACCCTCCAAATGTCAAATAGTATCCATTCCATTCCATTGAACAATCATCACTCTTCGTACATCATCAAACATCACCAACCTTCCAACCACCACAATGAAGTCCTTCACCCTAGCCGCCGTTGTTGCCTCTTTGGCCACCGCCGTCTCTGCCGACTGCCACGCCGATAACTGTGCCCGTGCTGTCACTGGAACCCGTCTTGGTCCCGCCTTTGTTTCCTCTGCCAGAGCCGACTGCAGCACTAGACAGGCACACACCGAGACTGCTCCCGCTGTGTAAGCTCCCCGTTTGGATAAAAACCGATAAACAAGAGCTAATGACTTCCAGCACTGAGACCCAGTATGTGACCGTCCAGGCTCCCACTTACGCCTCTGCCTGCTCTGGCCTCGTTCGCTACTCCAGCGCTTGCTCTTGCTGGGGCATCACTGCCACCACCTCCGTGGTTACTCCTGTACGCCTTTGGTTTGAAGAAACTAGCTCATTATCTAGTACTAACTGTTTGGCACAGACCATCACCACTACCTCGACTATCTACATCGACGGCAGCGAGGCTTAATTGGGTGTAAAGACACACGACAATTTCAGATGAAACACACTATAATGAGAATCCAACGAGTGTATGAGAACAAGCATTTTACACATAAATACAAACATCTCTAGATAGATTCAATGCATATTCATAATCTATACACGTTGTCATCGTTCTATCAATACCCCGCGATCTAGCAGGGACAGTAAGCAACACTGGTGCCGGAGCGGTGGCGCTTGGCTTCTTTTGTGTCAAAGTAAACAGTATTGGTTACCTACTGCCTCGTTAGGCGTCTTAGCCAGAGCTTCAATACCGTCGCCCATTTGTAAAGGAAGATACAGTTTCTAATAGTCGTGGTAACAGAGCGTAAGCGTCGATACACTTGATGTGACGTTAGTGCCAATCGGCTCTGTTAGGCATATAACTAACAGAGCCGATTGGCACTAACGTCACATCAAGTGTATCCGGATCTTCCCCTTATGCCCCGCTAAGCCTCCAAATAGAGTTCACCATCAGCCTTAAAAAGGGAGCTAAGATCTCTTTGGCTGCTACGTTGGATACCATGCGTGCCAGCAGCCAGCGTAAGCCACGTGAGCATATCTTAAAATCTGCAAGAGCAATGCATGCGATCGAAGAATGATGCAGACAGACAGTTTTACCCACCCGAGTATGCATATTGTAGTAGATATATTAAAAATTGCAAAGGGATCTTTCAGTCTACTGTGAAACTCTACATGGTTGCGCATAGTCTCAGCCTGACAATATGCACTAAGCTACAGGCGAGACGCTGTCTTCTAAAAACCCCAATATTATTGATCACTTCTTTACTCTATATTGGCATTAAATCCGCAATGCCCTTCCACAAACATTTACAAGAAGGGACCGCATAGACTCTAAGAAAGGAGAAAAGAGTTCGAGCAGTGCCAGCCACTAAAAGTCAAAACCAACCACCAATGTTTTAATTCCCAAACCTACAACTGGGACAAGCGTAGCACACGTGCGCCTTAACAGTGGTGCGATAATGATCGACCGTATTGTCTCCAGCAAAGCCACGCAAAAAATGGCCGTTCCTTATGGCAACACGCCATCTAATTGGCTCCAGGAGTAAGGCAATGTCCCTTTTTCAATACCGAAGACCCTCTGTCGGAGCAATATGCCCCCAGGCAGGATAAAGCCCTAGCTGTATCCATGGCCCAACCCGAAAGAAGAAGGTGGACGCCAAGCTGTCAGCCAATTGCAAGCGCTGCGTGGAAGCGCGTGGGCGGGTAGGTCGGCATGCGGGCCGATTGTCTTCAAGGACATATGCCCCGGATAGGAAATATCACGCTGCTAGCTTCACTGTAGTGCCGGAGCACGGCTCTTTGCTCTGTGGGGAGAGTAAGCACGGGGGGTCGGTAAGTCATTGTTTGGGGGGATTGACAGAAAAGATAGACACGAATAAATACATGTATATATATCCGAGGCCGCATTCTTTCTTTTTGTTGGTATTCCTCTGTTTTCTACAAACACCTGTAACACAAGTCGTCACAATGGTTTCCGCCAAGGTACGTTGGGGACGACAGCAAGCCTCTCGTCCTCCTCCACGCTAACATGCCTTGTTTGCTGTAGATCATCACCGCTGCCCTCTCCCTCGTCGTCGCCGTCGCCGCTTCGCCCGCCAAGCGCGAGTCTTGCGTCTACCGCTGCGGCGGTGTCTGCTACTGGCAGTCCGACATTGACGCTGCTGTCCAGAAGGGTTTCTCTGACCTCCAGAACGGCCAGACTGAGCGTACGTACCCAAAGAATACTATATCGGACGACTACAATATAGCTAACACACCCCCATAGACAGCTACCCCCACCAGTACAACGACCGTGAGGGCTTCGACTTCCCTACCTCTGCCCCTTGGTACGAGTACCCCATCCTCTCTTCCTACAAGGTCTACTCTGGCGGCTCCCCCGGTGCCGACCGTGTCATCTTCGACTCCCAGGGCAACCTTGACTCCCTCATCACCCACACCGGTGCTTCCGGCAACAACTTTGTTGCTTGCGACCAGCAGTAAATACAGCCTTAGCTTAGGGCGACCCCCAAAAGCGTGATGGTGGAGAGAACAATGAGTTCACCACTCGCGTAGAGGGGCATTTATTTGTATTTTAGATTACAAAAGTATATATCATGATGAAATGCAAACTTTCCAAAACGATCATTCTCAGATTCCAAACTCCGCCCGGCTTTTGTTAACACAACTTTAATCCGCGGCGTGGATTACAAAGCCTCTGGCGTCATTCTACACTAGCAATACACCACACTAGACAAAACAGCAAATGCACCCAGTGAAAAGACCGATTTGTAATCTTGCACGTCAAGAATATATATAAATTGTAACTAGGGTGTTCATCTTCAAAGCTGCTCCAGCCCAAATCTACTTATCTACATCTCATCACTATAACCATACTAATATGCCTTTTTACGCAATCATTTCTGGCGCTGGCTCCGGCACGGGTGCTTCGGTCGCACGGCACTTTGCAAAGACATATCCCGTAGTCCTGCTTGCGCGCACAGCAGCATCCTACGAGCCCATTGTGGCCGACATCAACGCCAATGGAGGCAAGGCCATTGGCATCGCCTCTGACGCCACCGACCTGGCTGCGGTTCAAGCCGTCTTTGAGCAGATTGCCAAGGAGCTCCCCGGCCATCAACTCGCCGCCGCCGTGTACAACCCCGCGGCGGGGATGAAATACTTGCCCTTTTTAGAACAAGAGCTGGCGACCCTGGACGCCAGTCTCGCTACCAACGTGTATGGCAAGGTCGCACTGTTTCAATGTCAGCTGGTTCTAACATGAGTCTAGGCGCGGCTTATTCCTTTTCGCCCAAAAGACAATTCCTCTATTGCTTGCCGCTGTCGACGCAAAGCCAGCCCATCCGCCCACGCTGATTGTCACCGGTGCTACTGGCTCTATTCGGGGTTCGGCAAAGTTTGCAACCTTTGCGACAGGCAAGTTCGGTCAACGCGGTCTCACCCAGTCGCTTTCTAGAGAATTTGGCCCGCGCGGCGTGCATGTCGCCTATGTTATTGTGGACGGTGGTATCGACACACCCTGGGGCAAAGAGCGCGTGGTGAACAATGGCGTAGAGGACGGCAAGATTAGTCCCGATGCGGTACGTATTGTTAAAGTGGCCCAGAGTGTTTTGTACTAATTTGGAGTGGCAGATTGCTGAAAGCTACTGGCACCTGCATACTCAACACCGTTCGGCGTTTACACAGGAGCTGGATCTCCGACCCTTTGTAGAGAAGTTTTAAGAAAACAAATTTGAAGCTTTTAATAAGTGGTACACATTACTAGGTAGTGAACTATGTAGTGAACTATGTAAGTGAAGAATACACACGAAGGTCAACAAGACACTTCTTAGTTGGTGCCGACAACGGAGGTGCAGAGAACGCCCTGGCCAGCCTGTGGAGTAATTTGTTAGCATCCTAATAACTTACAGTATACGATTATATAGACTTACAACGGGGAGGACACAGCAGCGAGCCTGCTGGCCCTTCTTGGCGCAGATGTCGCGGAAGTCGCGGCCATCGCGGGGGGTCTGGTCGGCTGTTTGATGAGATTATGTTAGTGCATTGCGTCTGACATGAAGCAGAGAGCAACGTACGAGCACCACCGTCAAGGCAGGCAACACCGAGGACATCGGTAGCGCAGCAAAGAGGGTTGGAGAAGAGACCGTTGGGGCAGACGGGGCGGTCGGTGCGGGTGTCGAGCTCAGCAGGGGCAGCGAAGGCCACGGCGAGGAGAGAGGCAGCAACGAAGAACTTCATTTTGAATGTGGTGGAAGAGTGGTTGGAAAGGTTGGAAAGAAGAGAGTGTGAAGAGTGAGTGTGAGATGATTGTTGTTGTTGAGGATGAGGAACAAATGCAGCCAGAGACGGGGAGCTCAAGCACCTTTTATATCTGACTCTCACGACGGGAGCTACCCTCTTGTCCCCCAAGATCCAGGAGCTTACTCCGCCGTGTACCCCAACAGTGACATTCACTTATTCCCCATTCTTTTTTTTACTTTCCGGGTGGCTGCGGGCGGCTGCGGGCGTCAATCTTAGACCTTGGCTTCCCTGGTGGTGGTGTTTGCCTCGTTCCTACGCTAGCGCCACCGTTTGAATGGAGCCCATATGCAGCTGGATGCGGTGCGTGAAATGTGACGAAAAAAAAGCAAAAAGAGAAAGTAAAAACTCATGCGCGAATTTCGGGGTGAAACAGGTGAAATTGAGCCGACGAACCATAGTGGTCCAACGGACATGCTTAAGCGCCGGCTCCGTTCCCGGATTGTCGGCCATGACGGAGAGTATACAGAGAGGAAAGTGCTCTTAGCGAGCATCATCTAGGATGTGAAGCTGTGTAAGTAAGAGTTAAAGCATATCAAGCATAGCTAGATTGTACACAATGCAGCATGTATTGCCACTACTATCCCCCTACAATCACCAATGGAGACTCTCTTTCTTCCTGTTATTTTCGTCGCATTTCCCGAACCCGAAATAGAATCCTACCAAAAAACAAAAAGGGGATAAAAAGCAAGCATGCAAGATGAAGTGTCTGGATTCCAATAGTGTCATGCATCGGACTGGGGCTAGTGTGCCTGGCAGCGGACCTTTGCATACACGATTTATTTCCGCCCTCCCGATCCCCCGAACAAACAATGTTTTTTCCCCGGTGGATGGAAACCCATTGTTTTTGTGGGTTACGCGGCGCCATGTTTCTTGATTTTTGGTCAGTTTTTTGCTTCTGGGGGTTGGCGTTCGGTCCATCGCCGGTTTCAGGTCGATAGCTCTGTAAGGAACGTCCCTGTTTTTACTCTCCTTTTGGCGAATTAGCGAAATGAGGCCCTGAAATGCCAATACTACAATACAACAAGCAGGCTGCAATGGACGAGGCCACGCGGACGCAGCTAACCTGTATGATATACATGCATATGTACGTACATTCATTGCATATTTCACATACCGACATGTTCTTGTAGACACCACTTGACATTACAGAATTACCATTTCAGCTGCACCATCACTGCCAAGGCTACACTATTGCTTTTTACCTATGTAATCCCGTAGCCGGATGCGAGCTCAGCGGCACCTCGGCGTCCAGACATTTTGCGGATGAGGCTGTGGAAGGATCTCTCTCTCCTTGCAGCAAGCAGCCACCTCAATAGCTACGCTAACTCAAAGTTGGTAGAGGACGCGAGGCGGAGATGAGTGGCAACTTGTTGTTCCCAAGGGCGGCCAACATTTTGTTTTAGTTTCCTAATACGGCTGCCAGCGCAGCGCCGCGTGTGGTGATGAACCAGAGAGGTTGTCGAATGGCTCTGGAACATGCATAGTTCGGGAAGCTCGGTTGCTCGACTCAGTTGAACGTGTCTCACGCAGACTGCAGCTGCCGTAGATGGGCCACAAACGCCTCATGGGAGAGAGTGGCTCCGGCGGTGGCGGGAGTAGCGGACAAGCCACCCGGGTAGCCATCGAGCGGTGGGTTTCATCTTCCCGGTCTGCCCGTATCCATCTCACGGATTCCCACTGACAGTGGCGGGGAGAGAGAGGAGACGATTCCACAAAGAGGATCTCCCGATGGAGCTGGAGCCGAGCTGCCAATTTCGGGAAATAAGAAATATAGGGTATTTTTATGTCACTGTACGTAGGGAGCCGTGGAGGCTGGGCTGCCGTCGACCGGCTAGCTGTCCGAGCAAAAACAAAGAAAAGCAAACATGGTGTCTTGGCCCATTGTTTACGAACGCCAGCAGAAAAGCTCGCCTCCGCACGAATCAGAAAGGGGTCCAATACACACTCGAGTAAATTGTGGCACTATAGACGCGTCTACGCGCTTTTGGCTGCATGAGCTTGAGTTTGGACACTGCTATTTGGGTAGGTTGCTGAGCACACAGTAGCAAGATCACCAGCCTCATCCTGACAAGTGTGTAGATGGTAGAAGGTTAGAGTAGATAGAGAAGTTAATTAAATAAATATGGATTACTATGATTGATATATGTTGAGGAAGATTTTCATTCCGTTTTTACTTATCATTTTGTAAAACGTAGTGGTCAATGTGCGCATTGTTGTCAATGCTACCCTATAGTCCGAAGAGGGTGTGACAGGATAGCCATACTACCGCTACGCCATTTAGCAAAAGATTAGGCACGAACTATACTTTGAGTAATTAATGTATGGCGTATTTAGAACTAGGGCTTGTAACTCATTACGGGAGGGGGGGGGGGGGGGTCAGGACAACGTGGGCAACACAGACTGTCATTTTCCGGGTGGCTTTGGAACGAGGATCTTTTGCCTCGTTGCTGATGGGCAAGGCTGTGCCGGATATTAACCACTCTGGGTATATTTGCAGGTAGCGGCGCTATTCGTAGACAGGACTATACCGGATGTTATCCATTTTTGGTATATTTGCAGGTAATAGCACATTGGACAAGTGCTAATAACCGTGCAGCTGTGACATAAGTCAGGCAGTTTTGTGGGCTGTGAATCATTGCACTCATGACGATCAAACCGTTGCAGGTAAGTCTCCGTCCAGCGTTTGCTCTTAGAATGGATTCTAATCTAGGCAGGATTCTAGTCGGTGACTGATGATAAGAACATCTTTATTCAAGATACTAGTGTTAATTATCTTGGTGCTCAAGTCACTGCATATAAAGTAGAAGTAGATACCAGCTTCAAATTATATTCAATCTCCTTCTGGGAGTATCCGTGCTCTGATTATAAAGATATATAGACTAGTGGTTGGTGTCAAAACCCGGCCTTGTAGCGAATGAACCTTGCTACAAAAGTATATATGTTGTTGTCCTGTCCGCTTCCAACTTCCTATGGCTTATAAAGCAAGGCTACATGTGTTATATTACTGTATAATCAGTTCTTTGTGATAACCTTCTCGGTAATTGATGAGCACCATGGTCACAAACCTTGGATGGTAATAAACTCATGAAATATATTTTACAATGCTCTATTAGCTAAATTACTTGGATATATATACAAAATAGCACTACTTCTTTTTTTTTTCCCAAATATATTGGTTTTGTATTGTACCAAAATAGAAGCCCCGTTGTAGTGAATACGGTAGCTCTGCGAATAAGTGCGTGAAACAACATGATCATCCAACTGGCCAACTCTGGTGCTATCAACATCAACATGGTATGGTTCTCTTAATTTAATCCACAGCCTGCCAAGACATTGGCATTTACAGGCACTTGATAACCTCCTTGCCGCCACAGGCAAGACCAGTCTGGCACTGGGCAGGAGTCTGGCCGTGCTCAGCGCAGGTAGCAAACTAAAAACATGTGTTAGCAGACTATTTACACAAATAAGAGAACAAAACATACGTCGACACCGCACTTGGTAAGCACGTGAGAGCCAGCACACTTGAAGAAAGACCAGGCCTTCTTCTCAAACTTCTTGAGAGTGCGGCCAATCTTGTGGAGGAGGCCGTGGTGGTGCTTCTTGTGCTTGTGGTGGCGGCCGGAGATCTTGGCAACGGTGTTGGCGACACCATTATCCTCAGGCTCAGCGGCGTTGAGGTCAATCTCCTTGCCGGAAGCATCGTAGGCACGGACTATGGACACATTGTTAGCAAATCTGTACAAATAGCCCAAATAGCATCAGTTAAAAGAGTACGCACCGCTGCCCTCGGCAGTCTCGACGAGAACACCCTGGTAGGCACCGTCAAAGGTGAGCTCGATGCGGCCAAGGCCGTTATCAGCGCGCTCAAAGATGGCCTCGGAGCCCTCGACCTCGTTAAGGTCGGCCTCGATAGCAGTGGCAGGGTTGATGGCGCTGGCCACGGCCATGGCGGCGGTCGAGAGGATAAGGTTGTAGAGGAATCTCATTTTGGCGGATGGTGCTGTACGATTGGATTTTGAAGAGGGAGAAGAAGAGAGAACTTGGCTGCTGGATGATATCTTCGACAGTCACGGATGCTCAGGTATATATAGATATTTTCCAATGGACCATTACCATGTCTACATCGCTTACACAGATTCGATAGTCTGTTCAGCCCTCGTTCAAACCACCACCATCATCACAATCTGCATCTACTACTGCTGCTGTTTAGCGCTGTTCGCCAGCTTCAGCTGTCAATATAGACGGTTATCACGGCACGGACGACCGACACCCTAAGCGGAAGGTCAGAAGACCCCAGCGCGCCCATTCCGCGCTCCAAGGCTGACTCTTCTCGCTTGGCGATTCCGATCATGGCGTTGCCTTGCGCAGCCCACGTCTCCGGCAGGCTTTTCTTTCTACCTGGATCCGCGCGCTAGGCTAAACTGAAGAGAGCAGGACCATCTAGAACGGCGCTGGGATGTAGTCAGCAGCAGCAGACCACGCTACGATGGGCGGATCATCGGCACACGGCAATGCCTTTAGTTGGTGCTCGCATCGGCGCTGCTTTGGGCTTGGCTTTCTCTGAAACGCTGCTAAACCAATGGACTAGGCCAATGGGGTTGCATGGCGGGCTGGGCCGAGCCCATCAGCGCTAGTTGGGGACCTGCAGGGCAGCTGAAGCTGCACGCTGACTGTCCACGCGCTGTATTGTTTTATTATACACGCTGCTCCATTTACGGACAGTAGGAAACGAAGCTTTTAGAGTAAAAAGTGCGGAATTAAAAACGCTGTCTTGCTGCAGTGAGGACGGCAGAGCAAAAAAACCCACCAAATCCGCCCCGGTACACTGAGCTATGTTATATACAGTAATTTCTTTAGGCACTCGCGACTTTCCTAACCCAGATCTCACCGATTGGGTCTCCAGGCTCAGCTACACACGTCCACTCGCCCATGCCCATCTTCTCCGGCGCCATTCGCACGCCTCGGCCGCCGCCCCCGATGATCAGATTGCCCGGGCGGTACTTGCTATCCAGCTTCATCCGCCGAATCACGCTTCCATGGACGCGGCCGCCAGGCGGGATATCACGAACCTCACCCCGGGGCAACGGCCAGCGAATGGGCTTCCACGAGCCGTCTCGCTGCAAGTCCATCCGGCGGAACGGAAGCCACTCCATCATGTTCCAGGCCGTCACCGCAATAGATCCCAGGCCATTTCCGTACTTTAGGGCATCGTGCAGCAACGCCGTATGAGCTGCATGTAAGGGATGGGGCACCTCGGTCTCGTTTGCGGCGGTGGCCCCTGGTGGCCCCTCTGGCGTAGGCGATGCTTCAGTCAGCTGAATGTCCACACCAGCCTTTGAGTGAATGGTTGTCGGCACCGTGGTATCCATACACTCCATCTCCCGCACCTTGTCTATGTCAAAGGCAAGGCCGGCACGAATGGCTTCACGGACGATCCAGACAAGCGGCACATGGCTCGCCATCTTACCGTCCTCTGTGTTGATCCATCCGCCGCCTACATCGCCATGACCGCCAGCAAACCATACTTCGTCGATATCTTGCGGTCCATCAGCGTCTTCGACTATTGGCGCTGAGTCTTGTCGGTGTAGAGGACTCTTGGATGTCGGTCTGCGTTTGAGCGGTTTGGGTCGGAATGGCGCATATCGCTTCTTGGACTTGCTTCGATGCCCGTTCTCAGCGGCTTCAGGAGTAAGAAAATCAGCGCGAGACTTTTGCTTCGCGTCTGGATTGTCTCCGTTTTCCTCAGCGTGTGGTGTGGTTCCTTCGGGTTCTGCATTGGGATGCGTAAACGATTCGAAGCTTCGGCGTACAGCACCAACCAGCCGGGTCAGGCCATCGACGCGCTCGCCATCCTTGGCCTTTGGTTTCTGTTGGTACAGGAGATCCTGTCGAAACTTGGCTCGTCGTTCATCAATACTTACGGCATGGCGAATCGTCTTGGCTGTCGTGCCGGCTGTGTAAGGAAAATTATTGCGCTGCATCCAGGCCCCTTCAAACTGGGCGACGGAATTAACCGTGTCAAAAAGGCCCAGGAATCGAATACGACCAACGGGCCTTGAGAATGTCTCTCGAAAATTCCGCATGAATTCGTACATTTTATCCGTTTTGGTATCGGAGCAATCCTCGTCGTCGCTGTCACTGTCGCTGCCATCTTCCTCACGGCGACACTTCCTTCGGCTCTGCCACTGAGCAAACGCCTTCCATGCAAACTTGACCATTTCCTCGTTTCCATGAGACAGTAGGCCGACATGATCGAGCATCTCCGCCAAAAATCGCACAATGTAAGCTCCACGGGAGAAGCCAAACATGTAGATTTGGTCACCAGCTTGGTAGTATCGCATCAGGAAGCGGTACCCAGCAACAACATGCTCATCAAATGATGTGCCAATAGCAGAATCCTTTGCCTTTTGGTACTGAGCCTTGAGTTTGGACAGTTTGCCACTGTAAGAGAGAGATGTGGTAACAATGTAGGTCCCAATACCGGCTAACTTGTTAGTAAACTGTGAGTATTGTATCCTTGACTTGGGCACATACGTTGGTAATAGTGGTATTGCTCGTGTGCACTGCGATCCAGCATGCGGAATATTTTGAGAATATTGCTGTCGCTATCGTCTCCGTGAAACTTGTTCCCAGTGCCATCAAAGCACAGTACCAACTTTCTTGGGCCAGTATGGCCAGTAGCGTGTGAATCCAGGTTGGACATTTTGTGTATTAGACAGCGACTCTAGCAAACGTATAATGATGCTGTATGGAAGCAAAAGAATAACACCACTACAACAGTAGTTCAGATCTTGGATGTTAGATGGTGGCTAACCATTCGTATTCCCAAAGGAGTCCGCTTGCCTTTTTCAAATCCTCCAAATGACAACACCTACCATGCACCAATAGTGAAAAGGAATCCCACTGTCTCATCAGCCAGGGCGCCGCCATTTCCATTTGCCGTTGAACGCCACACGCAAATACCCGCTTGACAAGCCGATGATCAACATTGCGCTGTGATTAGCCAGCGAGGAAATATCTCCTCTTCCATCCCAATCTGGTGCCACGCAGCAAACATCAAGCTTCAGCTAGCTCCACACCGAAAATTCCCTGTGCTGCAATGCGCTCCTTATGCATGATGTGTATCGTCAGCACCCAATCAGGAGCACTATATTGGTGGCCCACGGGTAAACCGCACAGTGCAATGCCCCGGGCTGTTTATTGTGCATGCTCGGAGCTGCAGATTCCCGTTGCCGCTGTGACTTGCAGCCAATTATCACGCACGGAAATGTTATCACGGCCCGGCCCGCATAGATCGGCAAGCGGGAAGAGACACTTGACCATAAATCTCTTCTTGGAAAACCTTGCGAAAGTGTCACTATGTGGCCATTAATCTTAGAGAACGTATACAGAAAGATAGTTGGTTTGGGGCAAAGTTACGAGTTGCCGCTACAATAGTCTTTGGCAACGACAGCAACCTTCTGTACGACTCCGTATTATTATGGATACTGAAAATAATTTCAATCTTGACAACCTAGCCGAGCTGAAATACGGATACGGGGAATCTCCAGTAAACCAAGACATGAATCCATTGTCGGCACTGTCTCACCCTTGTCCGTCGACAATCTGCACCTCGTGAGGGGACTTTCCGGTCGTTGAGCATGTGGCGCCAGCTTGGTCCATGACGTGGCAAACCAGCTTCGAATCATTGTGTTTAATTGAAAAGCAGGGGTCCAGGTGGTCTGTTGTATATGCCGAAGTATAGCGAGTTCTACGATTGGATGAAGCCAGCAGCTCGGGTCGAAAGACGCTCAATCGGTAATCAGCCGCACCCAATTGGTTCTATACTTAGTTTCCTCCTCTTCCTCGCACTGTAGCTTCTGAGCTCTTGTTTTGGTTGTTGTCTTTCTCTTTGCAGCTTTTTTCATCTTTCGCTGCAGCGCTCTATCCAATTGACAATGGCTAGCAAACTCAAAACCCTCATTGGGACTATCAAGCGGAAGCCGTCCCAGGCACCGGATGGTAAATCGGACCAAGAAGCCTCTGGAGAAGTTGAAACGAAGAAAACATCCCTGGGCCACGATCTCACCCACCTCAATGGCACACAAGCAAAGACGGTTGCACATGCCATCACCACACTCGCGTCAGGAAAGCCTCTGGATGATAAGGAACTTCTGCTTGAAAATGGAGTCTCGATGCTTCAATCCCTATCGCCCAGCAGCGCTCTGAGCAAAACCATCTCGGATGGCTTCATTAGCATGTTGTGGCATGATCTGCCCCATCCACCACCCACTATGACGGGGCCATCCTCACGGTACCGTCAGCATGATGGAAGCGGAAATAACCCTTGGGTTCCTGGCATGGGACGTGCGGGATCAGCCTATGCGAGAAATGTTCCGGCGACGAAAGCTAAGGGCCCAAACCTACCGGACCCAGAGCTTGTCTATGATCAACTCCTTCGCCGAAACGGACCATTCAAGCCTCACCCATCTGGTCTGAACCGCATGTTCTTCTCTTTTGCGACAATTGTCATTCATGAGTGTTTCCAAACATCGCGCAAAGATCCCTGGATCAACAATACTTCCAGCTATGTGGATCTAAGCACCCTCTACGGCAATACTGAGAAGGAGCAAGTTCGCGTGAGAACATATGAGAATGGCCGACTCTACCCTGATTCCATCGCCTCGGAGAGAATCATGATGATGCCTCCGGGTGTTACTGCACTGCTAATTATGTTTTCTCGCAACCATAATCACATTGCGGAGGATCTCTTCTCTGTGAATGAGGACGGACGCTACAAGCCTTGGGATACCCTTGATGAGGCTCAGAAGAAATGGTACGCGATCATGACTTGTAATTGCAAAAGAGGAAGATACTAACAATCTGCAGGCAAGATGAGGATATTTTCCAGTTATCCCGAAACATCAATGTCGGCTTCTTTGCTTCTGTAGTACTAAAGGACTATGTGGCGGCCATCCTCAACACACCACGCGCCAACTCAACATGGACCTTGGACCTCGGAGCCGAGATTAAAAAGTCTGGACAGAGAGTAGAAAGAGGCACTGGCAACGTTGTCTCTGTCGAATTTGCAGTCTTGTACCACTGGCACGCTGCTCTGAGCGCGGCTGACGACAAGTGGATGGAAGGCTGGTTAAAGAGGAATCTACCAGACATCACATCCACTGACGAAATTAATGCTGATCTCTTTGCCAAGGTTACCATGGCAGAGGGTCATAAACTGATGGCAACTGAGCCTAGGAACTGGACCTTTGGCGGAATAGAGCGTGGCCCTGACGGAGCCTTCTCTGATGTCGATCTTGCTGAGATTCTCAAAGACTGTATCGAAGAGCCTGCGCACGCCTTTGGTGCTCATGGGACGCCTGAGAGTCTGAGAATTATTGACATTATGGGCCAGCTTCAAGCCCGAAATGTCTTCAATGTTTGCACCATGAACGAGTAAGTACTCCGTCACTCATACAGACTGAACTAGCGACTAACTATTCCAGATTCCGTCGATACCTTAATCTCCGACCCTACAAGACCTTCGAGGAATGGAACCCAGACAAGGAAACTGCTAGAGCAGCAGAGCTTCTGTATGGGCACATTGACAACTTAGAGCTTTACCCAGGCCTTATGGCAGAGGTTACCAAGCCTGCCATGCCAGGCAGCGGTGTCTGCCCAGGCCAGACTACCGGCAGAGGTATTCTTGATGATGCCGTTTCGCTAGTCCGAGGAGACCGTTTCCTTAGTTACGACTTCAACAGCAACACACTTACCAACTGGGGCTTTGCGAAACTTCATGTTCTTCCAGGCGGTGCGTACGGCGGAATACTGCCGAGCATCCTTTTCAATGGTCTCCCTGGCTCGTGGACAGGCACATCCTCTTATGTGCTTCTACCATTTTACACACCCACCGCAGCCAAGGAAATCTTGACCAAGAACAAGGTCGTGGCAAAATATGATCTCAAGAGGCCACCCAGCGACAGGCAAGTGGTCGGCATTCACACGCAAGAAGGATGTAAGAAAGTTTTTGAAGATCGCGAAAACTTCAAAGTCATGTATCAAAAGGCTATCCGCGAATGCACTGACGGCCATGACTTTATGATTGGCTGGGACGACGCAGAGCGACACGACCCTCGATCTAAGATTCTGCACAGCGTCTTTTTCGAAGAAGGCTTCGAGGCCAACCTTACCAAGTTCTTCCGCACGCACGTTGCAAAGCAGATCAAGGAGCATTCTCTCGCATATTCAAAGAGCACCCGGAGGTCGATCGACATCGTTCGCGATGTTACCAATGTCGTTCCTATGCTCTGGCTCGCCGACCGCTTTGCGCTTCCCCTCAAGACGGCAGCTACGCCTCATGGTCTGTTAACCGTGCCGCAAGCCTTCCAGGCCTATCTCGTTCTATTCATGTACCAGAGTTTCAATATCATCCCAGGAAATGAGTGGATCTTGCGCGAAGGCTCTGCTACAGCCGCGTCTGTTCTTCGAACCGTGTTCTCCACACACCTGAAGACACAGCGTGGTGTCAAGGAGCGCGTTGTAGACTGGTTTGCCAAGGGGAGCGCGTTTGAAGTTAGCCCGGATGCCGATAGACTCTACCATGCGCTCAATGCAACCAAACTTCCCATTGGTGACCTCGTTGGCGATTGCATTGGTATGGGCGCGCCCGTGGCTGGCAACCTCACGCAGCAAGCCTCGCTTCTGATTGATCTATACCTTAGCGAGGGCTACGAAGAGTATAAGAATCGCATCATTGAGCTGGTACATAAGGACGATGACGCATCGGAGCGAGAACTTCAGGGTTTCGTCTTTGAAGGTATTCGACATGCGGGCGTCGTTCCTGGGCTTCCTCGTGTTGCTGCAAAGGACGTTACAGTTGTGGACGGCGCGCGGGGCCCTGTTGAGATCAAGGCGGGCCATACGATCCTCATTGCAACATCGTCGGCGGCGATGGATCCCGTGGCGTTCCCAGAACCCGAAAAGATCAATCCTCATCGCCCTTTCTCGTCGTACATCTTGCTTGGCCACGGCCTTCACTTCTGTTTCGGAGCCCGAATGGTTGGCGCCTCACTTGCTGCTACACTTCGTGAAGTGTTTAAGCTTAAGAATCTGCGCCGTGCAAATGGCAGACTGGGCCGATTTACTGTTGTTGGCCACGAGTTTGCTGGTGTAAGAATGCGAAAGTATCTGGATGCAAATGCAAAGGAGTCGCCGATTCCTACTACTTTGACTTTAGAGTATGATGCGGACGAGTAATAGCGATGCAGTTGACGTTGGCTTAGTTTTAAATCTATTTATAATTTTCTTGGATTAATACAGAATTATCGTTGCCCTGTGGCTGTCTAGGCGCAAACACCAGCGACATTGTGTAGACTCCTGCCATTGCGAAGCTGACCAGCCATTGCATGTAGCCAAGTACGTTGTAGACAATATGTATTACGTTTTATTACAGTATATATCATATTTTGCACTTCAAACAAACGTCTGTGCAATCAGGCTGCGCCAATACGCCAGTCAGGTGATTCCACATGGGGGCGGAACGGTTAAGCCGCATCTCACCAAATGCGGGCACTAGCTTACCAAGAGGCGAATGTCTGATACACTTGTCTTCCAGCTTTCGTGTTTCTAGCATAGATATCTGTAGAGAGGCAACTGATTCGAAGAGCCGCGACCATGGGAAAGAAGCCGGGCTCGGATGTACCGCATGCGTGCGACATCTGCTCCAACGTATACGCCGGTCGTAAGTTTGTTAAGACGCCGGAGTTGCTCTTATTGTACTTGTTAACAAAATAAAAATAGGGTTTCAAATGCTTCGTCACAGACGTCGTTGCGTCACAATTAGCAAAGAGGCAAGGCGTCAGAGAGCTTGTGATCAATGTGCTCAGTGGAAGGTGAAATGCTGCTACAGCCGGCCAAGATGCTTCCAATGCAACAAGCGGGGAATCGCTTGCACATGGCATGTAGGCAAGCGAAAATTCGAACCGCTGCATCCGGAGCCGGTAGTAGATGCATCAGCCGAGTCAGCTACGTCAATGACAAGCCATAGCCCGCCAAGCACATTCTCACTTGGCCAGCAAGACGCTGGATGGTCGATGAATATGCCTTCTATAGTGATGCCGTCAGCCGAGATATCTATTTCTGGTGCACCGTCTGATGAGCTGGTTCCCTGGCGGATGGGGTCGCCGGCAGAAATGCTATTCGACGAAGAGCTCATTGGGTACAACAAGGATCCTCCTAGTCTTGCTCTGCTTTCGGATCCGCAAGAGCCGTTACAGGACGCATCGACGGATACGATGGCAAATGACAATACAAGTCGCAGCATCATCTCACAAGGACAAATACAGCTGGCCCAGTATCCGACACTCCTACAACAAGACGGATTTGAATGTCCGTTTATACACCGTAAACTATTTCAGCATGGGATAGCAGATATGGCCATGCTATCTCACACAGCCGTGGCAATCTGCTGCGCGGCTGGTCTCTCATCCAATAACGAAAACCAGTTTGTGCGTCACGCTATAGAAGCAAAGCGCCAGATGCTCATAAACGCCTATGTAAGTCTTTGTTCTGAACCTCACGACTGTTCTACTGTTGTCTGACGAGTGTATAGCCAGATTATTATTGCATAGACCAGTGGGATGCGCTTCACGCCATGTTCATCTACGAAGTCCTGCAATGGGACGCCTCTGTCACTGACAACGGCGACTGGCGATGCAAGTCAACCGGAAACGGCTTAAAGTCCCCGTTTGTGACCAAGATGACTATGTACTATCTCGAAGCGCACATTGCTACAATCATGGCGGCAGATATGGCAATGGATATTTCCTGGACAGACTGGGCCGTTGCTGAAACAGCCCGACGCACCATGTTCCTCGCCAACATGGTCAACTTTCTCAGTAATCGCAATTCAGAGACTGGAAAGCAGTCACCATACTACGAACCATTTGATAGCGAACAGATTCTTAACCTTACTCTTCCTTGTAGCCACGCCCTGTGGAATGCAAGGACCGAGGCAGAATGGCGTGCCCTTATGCAAGAGGAGGCAGACAGCAGCAAAGCACAAGCGCAGACTCAGGGCACTGGAGGTGTTCAAAGTAGCGCAATTCCTGTGAATATTACTCTACAAAAGGTCCTTTCTGAAGCCAATTGGGACGAGCCTGAGAGTAGTACGATAACAGAGCTAGGGTTTACAAACGTCGACTCGCTGCGCTCTCTGATCGTCCTATGCGCAAAGGCACAATTTGAACCAATTTTCAAAAAGTCAACCCATGGATAGAGTTGAATTTCATTATATTATACTTGATACAACTTTATATATGGACTTGATACAGAGAACCTTTTTTCTATAGGTAGAAACGCAGCGGGTTTTTAGACCATTCTGCAGAGCCCAACATGAAACTTGGCATGATGAATAACGACTTTTACAATTGCTAAATGCATGTAATTACACTTGATTTCTAATCTAAAACACTAATCTATGATATTATTAATACCAAGAAGACGAATATACCGTACTGCCCGAATTCGGAGTTTTGTCGTTGTTCGGGCATTTTGTCATTCGGCGAAAGTGGTCGGTATACTGGCAGCTAGTATATAAGCCACAACTACGTATAAATTTTTCGAAAATAATTTTATAAATTCCCTTTCAAAACAAGCCATCAACTAACTATGGAATCATCTACATTGAAAGAAAAGCAAGTGGCATCCACGGGTACGTTCAGCATTCTGTCGCCTCAGAGCACATTCGTCGTTTTGATACGACAAGTTACTAATATTCTCTAGTTGCCAGTTCGCTTGGATCAGCTACTCCAAATAGAACGAACGAAATCGAAAATGAACCCCATCATGTCTACGCTGCCGATAGTCTCTCACCACTCCACCAGATCGTCTTTGTCGCGACCATCTGCTCGGCGATGTTCACGAACCAGCTGGGTTTAGGCCAAACAATGGGCATTGTAAAGATTATCGGACAGTGGTACGGCATTATGGATGGAAACCAACTTCCCTGGCTGGCTGCAGGCTACAGTCTCACAATTGGCACATTTGTCCTATTTGCCGGGCGGCTGGGCGACGAGTTTGGCCACAAGAAGCTCTTTGTGCTTGGCATGGCTTGGTATGCTCTTTGGACGCTGATTTGCGGTCTTGCGGTCTATTCAACAGCTATTCTGTTTATTGTTGCGCGAGTCTTTCAGGGAATTGGTCCTGCCATGACGCTACCCAATGCCATCGCCATCCTTGGTGCAGCGTACGCTCCGGGCCAACGCAAGAATCTTGCATTTGCCTTTTTTGGTGGAAGTGCTCCATTTGGTGCCATTGCTGGATTTGCGACCGGCGGTCTCTTTGCTTTGGCCTGGTGGCCGTGGGCCTACTGGAGTGCCGCGATTGCTCTCGCTGGTCTGTCGCTGTTTGCTGCTTGGTTTATCCCAGCCGACTCAGTAGCACCGGCTGCCGACGGTGAAAAGGGTATGAATACGACTAATAGATTGACTCGGCTGGATTTGCCTGGCTGTGTCACCGGAGTTACAGCCCTTATTCTAATCAATCTTGCCTGGATCCAAGCCGGGTCCGTTGGATGGCAGCAACCGTACGTCTATATCTGCTTCATTATCGGTCTCCTTTTTCTAGGGCTGTTCTGGTTTATTGAACTGCACTGGTCTTCTCATCCTATTCTACCACTGGCTTCGTTCAACGGCGATATTGCGTTTGTCCTCGGTTGTACCGCTTGCGGATGGGCTTGTTTCGGTATTTGGGTAAGTTGTGTAGTATTTGACTCCTCTCAGGCTACATCTTGCTTACTATTCACTACAGGTTTATTATGCTGCGGTATTCGTCACGGAGCTAGATGGCGTGAGTCCCCTGCTGCTTGCTGCCTGGTACAGTCCAGTGATCCCGTCTGGCCTGTGTGCAGCTCTCGCCGTTGGAAAGCTTCTTGGCCGCATTTCTGCAGCGTCGGTCATGGTAATTGGAATGATTGCCTACTTTATTGGGTCCCTGCTTATTGCCACAATGCCAGTGGGCCAAGTCTACTGGGCCAACTTTTTCTGCAGCGTTCTCATCATATGTGTCGGGATGGACTCGTCATTCCCCGCTGCAACAATCATCTTCTCCGATGCCGTGGAATCCAAATATCAAGGCATTGGTGCTAGTGTTGTCTTGACTATTGTCAATTACAGCATCTCACTGGGGCTGGGGTTTGCAAACACAATCGAGTACGAGGTGAATCGAGGCGGCCACACCGCTAGCGACAAGGAACGTGGCTATCGCGGAGCCTTTTACTTTGAGCTAGGCCTCTCAGGGCTAGGGCTTTTGTTAAGTTCGGCATTTTTGGCGAAAGACTATTCGCGTAAGAGAAAGGTTGGCAAATCCAATGTTTAAAACGCTAATAGATGACGTTGTATCATTGTGGAATCGGTTATAATGGAGGTGAATCAATAGCTAGTGGCCAATAGACGATAGATGGATAGATTAGCTGAGATTAATATGTACACATGCCTATCTAAATCTATGCAAAGTATACATCGGCAGCTCCTATGAACGTGATAAGAAACAGATATAATTCAGCCGCTGGAGACGGGGGTCCGTGGCCGTGTTCAGCTCCGATTATACCGCTCTGCAGCTGAGAAGTTGACAAGAGCCAAACGCTTACCAATTGACCCAGCTTACCAATGAACTTCTGCCAGTTCCAAGGTTTACCGGCTCCAGAATCTCGTATATCGGAGAAAAGTGGTTAGTTTTTAGTAGAGCACCACAATTTCCCGATGCCCAGCCTTCTTTTTCGGGCTAAAGAGCTGAAGAGCTGAGAGAGCTTCAGCTCCGTTCCGACTCCGGGTCCGTCTCCGAGTCCGCTGCTGTAAAGATAGGAATCCCTTACGAATAAAGTGATAATGGAAGATTAATTGACCGAAGCCAAGAAGCGAGATGGATTTAGGTTTTCTATTTAAAAAGCTTGCCGTCCGCCCCTTGTTTCGTGAGTCTCTACGCCACATCTACAACGGAGATGCGCCACATCTAAGCATGGCAAAGAAACAACAAACATATCACATTATCACATTATCAAAGTTCCATGTTGGGCAAGTATAAATGTATAGTAATGTATATATTAATGTATATGTAGCCTGTGCATACTGCTCAGAGTCAACGCTCTTGCAGGCTCTATGATCGGCCCAGACTGGCTTGCTGCCGCTCTATGACAACACTGGTGATAAAATCCAAGTGTATACTGTTTTGGGGCGCGCACCCGAATTCTGCTTGGTCATCTAAAAATTGCCAAGCGTTGGCCTTCTTCTTTCCATTTTCATCGCGGCGCTTCTTTCTCTTGGCCGTCTCAACGGATATCACGTTGCCAAACTGTCTGGCAGGCGGTGTGAGAAAAGTAAATGTCGAGAGGCCAGTATCCTGCATATCCATTTCCCTCACAGAGGAAAAGATGATGGAGTTGCGTGTCGTGGTATATAATAAGCAATCGAAGAATCCGTTGAATGCAATCATGGCTCCAGCAAAACAAAAGTATTCGACGGGTATCCGTGTGCCGGACATCGAAATAATACGGCCAATAGCAATGGGAAGCGTGCAAGTAACATAAATGATGGGGTATATAAGGAAAGCGTAACTGTTTTGCGTGGTCGTGAGGGGGCCGTCGGCGGTATAGGTCTTTGCTTGTCGTGAGTTGCGATAACGGAGTTTGAAGTAGATGGTCGTGTAGACGACTGAGGTGGTGAAGAGGCCCAGGAATACGTATGCGTAATGGGTGGCTAATCGTAAGGTCTGGTATTGCTCGTTGACCCAGCACTTTTTCGATGGTTAGTTGTATTCTACTTTTTTATTGTCGAGTATACATACCCAAGCAACAGCTCGAACAAAGTAGCCGCCATTGTCAGCGCCGTTTCTGGTTACGGCAATAGGCAGGGTCGAGATTAAAATAACAAAACTCCATAATAATGCAATCGTCATGTACAGCGTCCGTTGTTTGGGCTGGTACTGTTTGATAATAGAAAGGTAGGCGTGGATGGCAACAGCCGTGATAAAGACACTCGATGCGAGGTCTCCAATGGACACTAGCAGTCCCTGCGTGAAGCAGGTGGCCGTGCCCACGATGATGCCGTTTCGGAAAAGCCACGATGCGTTGAGGCTGAACGCCGTGGCCTGAAGGAGGTCTGCTAGGACCAAGTTATATATAAGAAGAAGCGATTGATTGGGGGCGCCTCTGCATCGCCGCTGTCTGCGAGCCGTGCTGCTGGCACCGCCGGCCGAGCTTGCATTGTCTGAAAAGATGCCATCAATACCGAGCTTAAAGTCGTCGGCTTGCTGGTTTGTCGGCGCCGAGTCCACCGAGTCGAGCGCGACGCTATCTTGCTCGACGGGCGTCTTGGCGACAATCAGGTACCATTTCACCAGTTTGACTGTCAAATAGCCAAACAAAGCAAGGGAGGCCAGAAATGAGATAAACGCCAGCACCGTCACAGCAATCAAGCCCTTGTGCAGGTCCGGGTACAGCGGCGTCAGAGACTGCCCATGGTGGTTGAGTCCGCGGGGCATCTCACGCGATCAAGTATCGGTCGGCTATCGTCTGCTTCTCCATTCCCAGGTTCTTTGTATTTCCTTATCGAGGAGCGTCGTAAAAGGTTTGTGGTTTGTGGTTTGTGGTTTGTGGTTTGTGGGAAAGGAAAAAAGAGAGCGCAAAAAAAGAGCGAACATTCAAACGCCGCAGGTTCAAGCGAAAGCCGCCACCAAGTGGCTTTTAAAAGCAAAATAAGAAAAACCTACACGACTCTCTAGAAGGATAGAAGCTTCGGCGCCCCAAAGAGCGCCACGAATCCTAACATGGGGGCCCTAGCTCGCAAACAGGGTCTCGACTACGGTTAAATTGCCCACCCTCGCCCCGGATACAGCCAGTTAGCTCGCTGTATCCGCTCGCATCCCGCTGTCAGGGCTGGCTTAGTCTCCACGCTGATTGAACTCAAATGCCCGCTGGATGCCTCGGAGGACCAGGCATGGAGGGGGAGCGACTCTCAGCTGCGCCCGCGTGAGGACGCCACCTTATCTCACTGCAGGCGCCCTCTGAGTCAAGGCTCGCTAGACTAGACATCGAGGAGAAGGCGGAGAAAGCTGAAGCAATCGCCAACGGTCCGCGGAGAATTTTGGGTTGCGGAGATCCAAGAACGGCGCGGGATGCGAGGGAACGGCACGGATTTGGAGTTTGATGATGATGATGGGCTTAATCATAATGATTATCAAATCCTTTTGGAACGAGGACTCGCTCGCTGCATGTACTTGGACGGCACGCAGCAGCAAAGGCAGGGCCTCGATCGCCGTGATTGTCTACCATGTCTGTCTTAGCTAGATGAAAGGGTCTAACCCCGGGTTGGCCGATGCAGCACTACGACTCGTGTCATTGGTTCGCAGCGCAATACCCCGGAACAATGGCAGGCCTGTAAAGTGTAACGCTCATTGGCCTGTGCAAAGCAAACACTGTTAAAACGGTCATTTGCTGGTGAAATAGACAACTTGACCCTGGTAAGCCACACCACGCCAAAACGCACGGAGTGGCAAACATCCGCTGCCACACCTCCGGTCGGTATTTGGGCTCTGTTCCTGCATTGGAAAAACGTGGACAAACAAACTGAGTTGGATGGTACAAACGCAAAAAAAAGCAATGTGCAGATTAGAGACGTAGAGATGCCATTGGCTGTAATAGGAGGTATGGCTAGGCCAATGTCTCCCAATTGGGGAATAAAAAGCGAGCCAGCGGATCGGCCCCAAGAAAAGATTAAAAGGAGCATTATCGGACACTTGCTATCGACTCCTGAGTAGCCGGCTTGCATGCATTTTTCACAATAGTACCCTAGCCTTATCACGCACAGGTGGGTGACAGAAAGCACGCACCAACGGCACAACAAACTCTGTCACGACGACCGACTCCTTTATTTCAACGCAATCAATTTGTAAATTCATCATTCATGCTAAGCGATTAAGGCCCATGGCGGTCGGTGCCAAGAACAAGGCTGAAGCACACTACTCTGCACTACCATCAGCAACCACCACGATGCTACCCCAACCCACGTGTAAGCCCAGCCCCAAGCCCAAGCCCCTTCTTCACCGACACGAAGGAAAGGAAACCGCGCGCGCGACACATTCTCCCGCCGTATAAATCACAGACAAACAAGGGCTGGCAAACCGTTCTTGCTCTTGCAGGAAGGTCGCTTGTCTTCAACGCTTTCTCCCCTGTTTGCCCAAATGAACGTGGGGCTTTGTCGATCCTTTGGATAAAAGCGAGAATACGACCCTAAGCCGCGTTTGTGTCAAGTTTGGTAAAATTGTCCTATGGATGGGGGATTCGGACATGTTTGCTGCTCTATCTCCGGCAGCGAGCTATTCATCCTGAATGTGCATGGCAAACAAGCGTGAAAAGATCGCCATCTTTCCATATGCATGCAAGCGCATGGCAACATTCTAGAAAGGCTCCGGCGGTTGAAGTCTATTTGTCAGACTATCGTTGAAGATCAATGAGGCGTCCCCCCCTCCTCTCGACTCAGCCAAGTCCGCTGCCACATCTTCGCATTTACTTCTTAACTCCGCCAATTCAGCCACCCGTAGACACTGGCCACGAGGTTCATCAGCGAATTGTTCACTGAGACGTCCAAGCGTGGGATACACGCCGTTCCAGCAGTTGCCAATCACAGTGTCTATGCTGCCGCCTCCGAGCACGGGGAATATACCACGCCGCCACAAGGCGGTCCTGTTTGGAGTGCCATCGGTCGCTTCGTTGCCATCAGTCACTTCGTATGGTTCGTAGCCTCTGGAGACAAAGTATAGTACGGAACCAATGGCAAACTGTTCGGTTTTGGCGCTGTGGATGCCCCATGGGCCGTCTTCATCACCAGCACCACCACTGTCGTGGTCTTGAAACACGCGTGTCCACGGGCACCTTGTCCTGACTATGTTCATGCCCATCTCGGCACACAGATCAAAGTCGGCCAGTTTCAAGTTGTCGGCCGCGTCTAAGAGCATGTTGCGTGGCCTGAGGTCGCCGTGTGCCAGGCCCAGGTCCTCTAGCCAGGCTGCTGCCTCTGTGATATGACTTGCCCATTTCCTTACAGTGCTGAGACTTTCCAGCTTGGTGACTGCCACGAGCATATCGTTTTTGTCTCGTGTTTGAGAAGCCCTGATGCGTACGTTCAGCGAGCCGCCGGGCATGAATGGTAGAAAGTTCATGCCTGGCTGGCGAAAGATGCTTTGCAGAATGTATGGGCTAGGCTCGCCCGTCTCCAGAATTTCGTACATTTTGTTTTCATACGTCATGGCCAGAGAATTGTAGTCTATCGATAGCTTGAGAACGATTCTGTGGTTGATCTTAAAGACCCATCCCGTGGCGCCTTTGCCGAGGAGAGGGTACTTGGGCAGCGAGGAGATTGGCCGTGGATTCGACTTGGCAGAGTACATTGCTTTTAAATGATAGTTGTGTATGTGGTATGAATCCTATGGCAATGTGTGCCATTGTATAGAATTTATCTATTTTGATTTGACAGTGAATGTCAGAATATTTGGGATTGGTGATGGTTTGAAAGCGTGGACATTTGTACGACTTTTGTCATACTCTCAACAGGCCGGCGTGTCTGCACGCTCAACGGTGAATATTATTTCATCAAAAAGGTCTTATCAACAATCTATTATTTTCTGTTAACAAATTGTACTCATTACATCATGTTGTGCTGAGTGTACATGTTTGCGCATCTCACCAGTGGTCGCCTCTAGGGTGGCAAACCCATGACTTCATAAAAGAAATGTCAAATTAATTATTCTATAAATGCAATGCGTGCGTACAATCTAAAGTAACGGCTATGGTATATTCCAAAGGCAAAAAAAAAACAGACGTAAATCGTGGCCATGCTAGGAACTATTATTCCTCCAAGACAAAAAGTCTACAACTCGGGAGAGCCACAAGCACCAGCCTGCCACATCTTGACAGACTTGACCGTCATACCGCGCTCATTAGGCTCGCCCCAGGTAGGCAACCAAGACTTGGCAGCGTTCCAAAACGTCCACTGGGCGTTCTGAGCATCATCAATCCAAGGCTTGTCGCCAACCTTGTCCTTAAACCAGCCATTAGTACCACCAACCGCAAGGTTGAGAATCAGATAAAACTTTTGGTCAAACGGCGCGTTGCCGGTAGTCGACGTGCTCTTGGCCCATGGGTTATCAAGCAGCGTGTTGTTCTCGTCGGTCTGCTTGGCAAAGTTGCCCAGATCGTAGAGCGGCTTGTGCTTGTCGAAGCCGATAAATTCAATCTGGTGGACGCGCGAGTCGATGTAGAAGTAGATGTAGTCGGGCGTCCACTGCATACCGTACGTGTGGAAGCCGTCGGCAAAAGTACCGCGGCGGATCTTGTTGGCATTGCTCGTCTTCCAGTAGGCGTCGCTGGCGTGTGTAGGACCCCAATGAAGCGTTCCGTAGTACCAGTTGCGGCCGCCTTCGGGGTAGTCACGGCCGTTTCCGCGTGATTCGGCAATGTCAATCTCGCCAGAGCGCGGCCAGACACCGTAAGTGTCGTTTTCAGGCATCATCCCTACGTGTGTCTGTTAGTCACATCATATTCTCTAGATAAGTGACGTGAATTCACGGGGCGAATACTTACAAATGGCGGGCCACAGCCAGTCACCCTTGGGCATCTTGGCAACGACTTCGACACGACCGTAGCGGATGCTCTTGCGGCCTTTGGTGGACAGACGGGCCGAGCGGACAGGGGGAATCATCTTGCCCTTGACGGGGTCAGAGGTGACGACGCAGCTCGAGTTTGCCTTGCTGGTGCAGCTGCCGTCCTTGGTGAGATCGAGCGTGTAGTTGGCGTAGAGCTGGTCTGAGGTGATGCTGGTGGTCTGGTTGGTGAGCGTGGGCACAATGTGCAGGCCCTCGGCGTCGACGTACGAGTTCTTCTCGTCGGTGGTGGTCCAGTCAAAAGCGCCGTTACCAAAGCCGTCAAGCTGCACCTCGTGCGTCCAGACAGACTTGTCGAGCGTCTTGAAGTTGTCCTCGTAGACGAGGCAGTAGTCGCCTTGCACATAGGGCTTGGAGAGGAAGTAGACGAGGACACCGGCCGCAGCGAAGCCCAGGAAGACAAGCGTAAGGACAATGATGTTGTTGATGCGCGTCTTCTTGATGCGCTTGTCCTCGAGCCACGGCTTTTCCATCTTGCCAGCGGCCAAGCGGTAGCTGCGAAAGCGGTAGCGCGGTGTGGAATCTGGCGCTGAGGATGTAGAGGTCATGGAGTGTCTGGGAGTAGGCTCAGCCGAGACGGCAGCAGCAGCCACATTGAGTGAGTCTTGCATGTTGTGTGTTGTGGTATGTGATGTTTTTTGAATGGAGAACAGAAGTGAACAAGACAAGAGAAGAAGAGAAAGAGGGAATGGATTTCAAGCGTGACAGACAGCACGCAGCTATGGTGGGTTCGCAGTGTATAAGTCTGGGCTTGGGAGAGCTTGTGCCGTATCTGGGATGCGTATCAGTGTTCTTCGCGAGACCTACATACAAAAGCTGTACCCGATTGCCAAGCTGGTAAAATTCTTTTTTTTTCTTTGCTGTTTAGTTTCCTTTTCTTATCTCAACCCAGCTAACAAAGCAGCAAAAGCTATTTGGCATCCCTCGAATGTACGGGCCGGGTTCACCGCGTGCACTCGCTGCCATTGGCCCACCCGAGTCAGGAAGCCCGGGCCGACCACGCAGAACTGACAAGTGGGGCAGCCCATTAAATGGTTTTGTTTTCTTTCTTTCTTTTTTTTATTCTTATTTTTATTCGAAATTACTCGTTTGGGGCGTTATCTTCCCGTTTGGGATTTTATTTCCAGCGCCACCCTGTCACAAATCTCGATAGCCCACTAAGCGAAGCCAGAATAAAAAAAAGAAATAAAAAGAAATTCTTCGGGAGCCCACTGATAAGGACGAGCTTTGCGATGAGCGGTGCCTTTTTCTTGGATCCTCATCGAGACTTTCATTTTTCTTTCCTTTCTTGGCCTTGGAACTTGGCCTAGGCCGCTAAGCAGGATCACGATAAGGGAGGCCTGGGCTGAACTGGCTTACTATTCACGGGCCAATGTAGACAGAAACTAGCTAGGCTATGCTTCGTAGTCAGCTCAAGCTTGTGGCTGGGCGCGATTTAAACTAGCCTGTCCTCAACAATATGCACGCCGGGCGCTAGGGGAGGCAGATTAGACACCAGCGCTATGCTGTACGCTGTCCGGCATTTGCTAGCGTCAGGAAAAGTTCCGAGATGGTGTACTGCACAGCCTGGCAGTGAGTGAGTGTAGCGTATCGCCAATTTGCACGGGAGATGGATGATGCCTGTTGAGCTGTCTGTGAGCCATTATTGAGTCCCGTGGCTGGCTGTGTATGTCGGTATCTGCCGCCGCCGCCTCCGCCACCACGATCCATCTCGGGGGCCAGTTTCAGAAGACGGGCTGGGCTTGCTGGGCTGGGCTTGCTGGGCTGGGCTTGCTGGGCTGGGCTTGCTGGGCTGGGCTGAGCTAGATACTGTAAATCACCGAACATGTTTATACTCGGCTATGCAGGCTAATTGCTACGGCTGATAGTCTGCATAGAAACAAAGGAGCTGCCCCCTTCGCCCTCTGCTCGAGCTTTGTAGTGACCCGTGCTTTTTTTGCAAATAGCCTCAAACGCGCGGGCCGACAGCGGCAACGTGCATCACTTTTGGAGAAGAAAAGGCCTTTTCCGAGCCAAAACGCAGGAACAGATGGTACGTGCGTATATGCGTCCTGTTCGCTCCGGTTAAACAGGCGGGCTATTGATTTCCCAATATCGGATGAAGCACCCTCTTCCCTTTCTTCATGGCCTGGCCTGACCCGTCCGTATTCTTGATCGGATGGCGCCGTCAAGGTGTACGCCGACGCCAATATTGCTCGCATCCTTCCCCGTGAGGGGCCGCGCAACGACAAGCACCCTTTTTACCAATCCAATAGTCCCATCTCGTCTTGTGTTGCAGGGAAGATGGAGAGCTTGGCTGGGCATGCTGTAATTTCGCGGATCGAAACCTCTAGCTACCGCAGTTGCAATTGCATCGCCGTTTCCGGTGGTCGCACACACGGCCAAACCAAACGGTTATCCGTCAGCAAAACGAAACGGTCTAGACAAAACAAAACGTAATACTTTGTAGTAAAAACTTTTTCTTTTACAATCGTTAGCAGCTACTAAGAAAGGTCTTGCTTGCTTGTGCGAAATGTGCTTGGCGGGGCTTCTAGAACTGAAGCCGCAGACGGCTTCTTCCACGTTTTCCCAACCCACGCCGAAAAAGTATGGCGCCTCTCCCCCGTATGGAAGCCTTCCCGAAAGTCAAAAAGAGGCGGTGGATTACTATTGTTTACATGATTTTATCCCTATTCGGCAACCAGCTACTTGCTACTCTATGCCCAAGACCTCGGCTTGAGCTGTCTGTCTGTCTGTCTGTATCTTGAAAAATTCTTTGCAAATCAACATGGTTCAACTGTAATAAGCAGACAGACAGATACCCGTACAAGTAAAGCTCACCTGAAGGATGCGATTATGCAAGATACCCTGCCGACCCTTTTCACCTTGTTAGACTACCACTACCACTGCCTTGCTCTGTCCCCCAACCCATTTGCTATCGTCAACCCTGCCGCTCACGTCGCATTCAACCTGCATTAGCATCCTTCTCGCCTATCTAACGCCCTTCTGGATTGTAATCTTTCTGCGCTGGCGACCACGGCCCTGGCATGCATGCTAGTGCGGCCAACCCACGCTAACAAGTTTTTCAACAAATTTTCGGGGCCAAGACGCTAACAAAAGCACGCTAAACCTTGTCCAAGGCGAACGTATTGCCTGTTCCGTGAAGATGGTCCCGACTTTCAGGTTCGCCTCAGTGGCTGCCGAGAGGCTGACTGTTGGTTGTGCTGCTATTCCTGTATCTGGGCCGCTGCCAAAACAGCTCTTTTGCTCCTTTATCGGTGACGAGGCTAGCGCGGCTGAAAATAAAATAATAATTATTATTTTTAATTCCTTCACGCCAAGCTCGCGGCCTGGTTCGTCACCCATTGCCTCCTCCACGTGGGTCGGGTACCTGATATCGCTCCTCCCGTCGCTCACAATTGCCTTGTAATCGCGTCTTTGTCTGGCGGTATCGGGGGATTGTTTCTATTCTGTATACTCGTACCCATTCGGACGCAGCGATTTTGTCATCAAATCAGGGTCCACCGATACGGATGTCCGGCCATGATTCGCCCCTGCCGCGGAGGACGAGCGCGATCAATTTTTTCTCTTTTGTAATGGAGGGAGGGACATGTAGACTGATAGCAGGCGGCAGCTAGCTTAGGGGAGTGAGCTCAGTGATACCCATCCATACATATACAGCCTGGTAGAATCCACTCGTCAACACTTTGTGTTTCTCTCGTCCTCACTTACACACAACACACATCTTGTTTTGCTTACGGTCAAGATGAGTGCCTCTCCTGCGCCTTCGGTGCGCTTTGCAAGCTTGCCGCGGATCACATCTACTGCTGCCATGTCCACGGCGTCTGACTTTCAGCCCACCCATGAGTCTGATGAGGACGAGCATGACATGTCTCCTCAGCACTCGGGCACGCAGACGCCCTCTGGCATGCGTACGCCAAACCACAACTCTAGCTACGATGATTCATTCCGCTACGAGACTGTAAGTGAAGATCTCCTCCAAATTGTCACCAATTTTGTGTTCCAACTAACACGCTCCTTGTAGATGATCAACTATCTTCACAAGCGCATCGTCGCCTCTGGCTGGATGCCTTCTTCCGAAATGTCCTTCCCTCACCAGCCTCTGGGCGTTCTCCTCCGCATCTCTCGCGGAAACTACATCTCTTCGCCCGAGGACCCTGCCCATCCTCTGCTGCTCGGCGCCGTGATCCGCCTCAACCTCGCTGTGGCCTTCACCATGCGCTCGCAGATGCTGGACGGCATCTTGGCCAAACTCCCCCAGGGCCAGTCGGAACTTCGTTTCAAGGACGGCTCGCAGATCCAGATTCTTGATTCCATGGCCTCCGCGCAGCCCTCCAACGTCCGCAAGTTTCAGTACGGCTGCATCTTCCGCGAAGAGCGCGTCCTGCTCACCTGGCAAGACAGCCTGCAGCACATCATCTCGCAGGGCAACAAGTTTGAAGAGAAGCTTCTGTCCATGGTCTGGGGCGAGTCCTCATCCATCCCCGCCAACCTGCTGCAGATGCCTAGCCGTCCTCCATCCATCTACTCTGGCGCTTCTACCCCCGCTGGCGCCATGACGCCCAACCCCATGCACGCCGCTCTCTCTGAGAAGACAGCTTCTGTCTTCGCCTCCCAAAACCCCTCTGAAGACGACATCACCATGGAAAAGGACGACGCCGTCGACCGCCCCGAGTCCCTGGAGCGTCCTGTGATGCACACCTCTGCCGTCTTCATCGGCCTGTCCGTCTGTCTCTCCATCATCCTCCTCTGGGGCGTCTACATCTCCAAGATTGTCTCCGAGTGCCTGCTAGACGGCAACTGGGTCCGCATGGCGCTGATTGCCCCGATCCCCTTACTCATGTGTGTCTCGCTCTTCTTCTTCCAGATTGTCCTCACCAATCTGACGCAGATGATTGGCCCTATTGGCGGCGTCCACACCAACTCCCGCTACTACTCCTGCTACAAGCCCTCCTTGAAGCGTGCGTTCCGCGACGGCCTTGGCGCCGGCGGTCTGCCTCTCATTACCATCCAGATGCCCGTGTACAAAGAAGGTCTCGAGGTTGTCATTATGCCCACTGTCCGCTCCCTGCAGGCTGCGATCAGCCACTACGAGAGCCATGGCGGCTCGGCCAACATCCTGATCAACGAAGACGGTCTGCGTGCCGGTATTTCAGACGAGGAAGCGCAGAACCGACGCGACTTTTACCACGATAACAATATTGGCTGGGTAGCTCGCCCTAAGCACGGCGCCGACGGCTACGTCCGCAAGGGCAAGTTCAAGAAGGCGTCCAACATGAACTTTGCCCTGAACCTGTCGCAGCGTGTCGAGAACCACTTGGAGCAGCTTGTCAATGCCCGTCTGGAAGCGGATGGTGCCACTACTATTTCTGAAGAAACACAGGGTGAACTCTACGACCAGGCGCTCGCCAAGACGCTCGAGGAAGAGCCTCTTGCTTGGGCCGAGGGCAATGTCCGTGTCGGTGAGATTATCCTCATTGTCGACTGCGATACTCGTGTCCCTGAAGACTGCCTCTTGTACGGTGCCGCCGAGATGTTCCTGTCCCCTGAAGTCGCTATTGTCCAGCACTCCACTGGCGTGATGCAGGTTGCCTACGACTACTTTGAGAACGGCATCGCCTTCTTCACCAACCTCATCTACTCGTCCATCAACTTCTCCATTGGCTCTGGTGAAGTCGCCCCCTTTGTCGGCCACAACGCCTTCTTGCGCTGGGCTGCCATCCAGGACATTGGCGTCAAGGAGTCTGACAACTACACTGCCTTCTGGTCCGAGTCCCACGTCTCCGAGGACTTTGATGTTGCTCTTCGTCTGCAGATGGCTGGCTCTGTTGTCCGCATTGCCAACTACCACAACAATGAGTTCAAGGAGGGTGTGTCGCTGACGATTTACGACGAAATCGCCCGCTGGCAAAAGTACTCGTACGGTGTGTCTGAGCTCATCTTCCGTCCTTTTCGCTACTGGTACAAGGGCCCCTTCACCCCCATGTTCTACACTTTTATTGGTTCCGATCTCAACTACTCCTCCAAAATCTCCATCTGGGCCTACATGTGCAGCTACTACGCTCTTGGCTCGGCCCTCATGCTGACCATTATGAACTACTTTGTTGTTGGCTGGTTCCGCGACGACATTTCCGCTTGCTACTTGACCTCGTGGAACGTCTTCCTTTCGCTGGTTGTCGTCTTTAACGCCTCTGGTCCTATTGCCCTGGCTATTCTCCGCTACCGCACTGGCGAAAAGTCCCTACTTGGCGGCCTTGTCGAGAACTTCAAGTGGACGGCGCTCATGACTGTTCTGTTTGGCGGTCTCTCGTTCCATATTAGCGCGGCCTTCCTTGCTCACTTGTTCAGTGTCGACATGACTTGGGGCTCTACCTCCAAGGAAAAGGTCGAAAGCAACTTCTTCCAGGAGATGCCCAAGATCTTCAAGACATTCTGGATCATGTATGCCTTCATTGTCGTCATGACCGGTGCCATGATCTACCTCGGCGCCTTTGCTCCTGCAGACTGGGCCATCAACGACTTTACCGTTGTCCTCCCGCTTGCCTTTAACTTGTTCTTCCATGCCCTTTGCCCTATTGTCCTCAACCCCAACCTCATGGTCTTCAACTACTAAGGCCTGAGGTTTTTCTTTTTTGTGCTTGTTGCAATTGACGAGGTAGCTGTTAGGCTTCTCCACGCATGACGATTCATTACTAGATACCATTAGAAGCATAGACTGATTTGAAAGCGACTACTAGCGCTACGATCTTAACACCTAATCCAATACATATTTATATATATATACCTATTTCAGCACTTTTGTGCCGTGATGAAATGCAAAATCAAGTGAAATTTTGTGTGGAACTCACAAGCCGCTCATGATATCTTATAGCAGTAAAATAACCAAGTATACATCTTCCATCCTATCCTATATACTATTTTAGCCGCGATAGTCCGGCTTTCGCGACAAGTTGACGGGTGGTGGCTCGTCGTCGTCCAATGGATATGGAGCAAATTCGCCCTGTGGGATAACAGCAGATCTGGGCGGTCCGCGCAGAGGTGCCATCTGAGGAGCTGGGGCATAACTGTCATGTTGCAGTGGTGTTTTGGGTGGTAGAGGCGGCGCTTCTGCGTATGGCAAGGGCTGCGTTACGTTGGCGGAGAATCCCGAACCAGCAGATGCATTTCGGTACTGTGCGGGCGTCGGTGCAAACGAGGTAAGTCGATCGTCGTTTCCGTCATGGCCATTCTGGGACGGGCGACGGTGATGGATTACCGAGAGGCGCTTGGCAGACTTGGGCGGCGGTGAGGAGCGCAAAGGAGGCGGGTGAAGAGGAGGAGGGTGCAGTGGGTGTTGGCCAGATGACGAGCGCTGGTCGTAGTATGAGCTGTGTGGAGACGGTGACATGTTGGAAATCGTTTCGTTGCCCATTGTAAAACTGTCGGGTCGACCGGACTCGTTGGATGCGCGGCTGCCGGGAGATAGTGGCGATGGGACATAGTCATACGGAACTTCGGCGGGCAGCTCAACAGCACCCGGGCTAGGGATCTCGAATTGGCCAGCCGAGTTGGTTTGAACAAGCTCCGGAATGCCTTGGGCCTCGCGATCGCGGCGCATACGAAGCTTATGAATGCGAGCTAGCTTGCTCGACATGCTCTGTAGCATATGTTGCTCCTCATCGCGGCTCATGTAGCGACGCGTGCTCGTGCTAATATCGCCCAGGCGGTTCCATTCGTTCATGCCGAATTCGCCTACACCAATTTCAACATTTAGACGGTAGTAGTTGTCTGGGTTTACGCCTCTCTTTGCTAGGTTCTGGCGCATCATGGTCTCGTGGATGCGCTCGCAGCCCTCAATCTTGGAAATGAGCCGGCGTCGGGCCTCGGCAAACTCACCCATGAATCCTTCGTACCAGGCCTGCTGGTTAGAGTCGGAACCGCGAGGTCGCTTTCCGGTGCCTACGCTAACAAAAACACCAATCTCACGGCCGGGCCATTCGTTGACCGCAGCTTCGTCGAGGGCTTCGGGGGCGGGGTTGAAGGTGCCAACGCCATCATCATGGAAGGTGGACTGACCAATCTGGATGGGCTTAAAGGCTAGGCCAATCGCAGAAGTAGCGCGGCCAGCCTGCCAAATCTTGCAGTCGAATTCGGGGGCCGGTTCGCGTTTAGAATCGTATGATCGGAGCATCGCTGCTGGGCTGCCGCGTGGTGACGATTTGTACATTGCCGTGACGGCGCTAGAAGACAATCGTTAGCTACATATCCCAGAGTAGCCAAGAATAAAACTTACGTCTTGGTGCGATTTTCTCTAGCATCGTAAAGACGAGCGTCTGGGTTTCCATAGCGCGAGTTGGCAACGGGTCTGGCGGGGGCCATTTGCGCAGCGGGACTCCGCGCGCTGAAGCTAACGGTACTGGCATTGCTGGAATGGCGCCTTGGATATTGCGATGACGTCGGTCTCGAGCTAGAAGGGCTAGTAATCTCGTCAAAGTCCGGTTCACCCGAATCGTTTCCCTCATTCTCGAGAACCGTGTGGTCGCGGACAGCAGCCTTGATGGCGTCCTCCAGTCGGCTAGCTTTGAAGAGCGTTGAGCGGTACGGTATACCAGCAATCGTCTTATCCGTCTCAAACACCATGCGGGTCATGCGCACATAGAGCTCCTTGCACGTCTCCAGATCCAGTCGCAAACGGCCCAGCATAATCGCAATCAGACCGCCGGTGCCGGTGCCGACGATGAGGTCGAAATGGTCGGCAGGTTTGGGGATCTCGTTTCGGCGGGGTGCTCGGCCATGCATCTCAACAAAGGTGCGGTGCATGAGCTCCTGGACGATAATAAGCATCGAATAACCGCGGACGCCTCCTCCGTCTAGTCGTGGTTAGCTAGAGCTCACGCGCACGCGACGAGCTTTAAGAGGGCACCAGCAACTTACCGAGCGAGAGCACGCGGAGGGGCGCACCCTTTGTGGTGTCTTTTCTCCTGACACCGAAGGAGTCCATGGCGGCGGTAAAGGGTGTTCACAGTCGACGTTGAGTTGTTTAAGATGTACTTGGGGTAAGATGTCGAGTTGAGAAAGTTACAAGTCCTCCTCCCCGCAGAGTGTGGAGGCGGGAAAAGCAAAAAAGCCAAGTGGAGGATGCAACGATGATGTTGGGCCGCAGTGCCCGTGGAGGTGACGCAAGAGAAAAGGCAAAGCCGCCACGCACAAAAAGTCCTGGGGCCAAAAATGGGCGGGCACCTGGCAGCTGGCAGCCGGCACTCAGCAGCTGGCGGCGGGCACTGGCAACAGCCGTAGCACCTGGCGGGCGCCTGGCAGCGGGCTTCCCCGCACCGGCAACCCACAATGACGGGGCCCAGCGGCGGCCGCACAGCAAAAAAAAAAACAGTGGGCGGTTGTGTGCACTGTACGACATTTTTACAGTGGCGGGCTTGGCCGTGGCTGAGCAGCGTCACATTCTACAGCACCAGGTGATTTCTTTTTTGCAGCATGTCTCATAATGCAGACAAGGCTATCGCGGGTATTGGGGATTCATGCAATGCGGGTTTTGTGTTTTAGAGTCGTGCACGCTGATGGGATTTATACATGATGTACATATAACAATCTGTTATAGGGCATGGGGAGGTTCATGTAAGATTATGCAACCAAATGAGATTGTTGCTGAGCATGTTGGAATAAAATCATCGCCGTCGTAGGAATACGCAAACTAGCTCAGAGGGGAAATCGTCCCAACAAATCGCACCACCGGCAGTGGCTTGCACGCTAAAATCCTACCGACGTGGCGTCAGCGTCGTAGCGAGCATCAGTATTTCAGGCACAGACAGCTTGGACGATCAGCAAGTACATTATGCACATGTTTGCATTATCCGGCAATTCTTTCTAATGATCATATACTTCACATGTACCAGCGTATGTATACCTTGCACCTTGGTTTGTTAGCATGGCCCCAGCGGTAAAAGTGGCACGCCGCTACAGCAAAGTCATACGAGCACAAGCCATCCATATAAGTCAAACATCGTACAACCATTCCATTTCCCATTTTATAACTTTGAACTAGCTTTCTTCCAAATTATACTGGTAGTAGACCTTGTGCGACTTGCCTGTACAACCCCTTCACCGCATTTTTCATCCTTGTAAACACGCCCAGACGCCAACATCCCAATCCCAATCCTTTAAAACTCGCTATCCACCCCGTTTCTCTCTCAACCGTCGTACTCCTCGTGCTCAAACCAAATCAACTCAGACGCTAATCCTATGAACCACCACTCCAACGTCCCCATCGCTTCAACACTAACAAGAGATCCGCGGTCGACCGAATCACACCTCGCCATGGTAATGTCTGTCACGCACATTCCCAAGTTCCCAGGTAAGGGCTCCGAGGCGAAGATAATGTTTTCATCGGGGGCCTTGTAGATGGGCCTCTTCAACTTCTCCAGTACCACATGGCCCAGGCAGGCTGTTGTGCCCTCTGTATACTGGACGACGATTCCCGTGATGACGTGCCCGATAAAGCACGGCTGTACCCAGTGAACGCCGCGCAGACTTGCACTTGTCCTGAAATGCTGCCGTCCTAGGAGAGTGGTAGGATAAGTACCCAGTGCCCTAGGAACACATAGCCGAATACTTGGGTCTAAGTTTGTGCTACGTTCTGGAAGGAATCCCATCTCCGCGATGACGCCGTTGGTGTTTTCGATGTACATGTCAATCGGCAACCTTTCAAGTCGCGCAAGAAGCTGGTATTCAAACTCGTCGTCTGTTCCTTGGGGCGGATGGACACCGGCGACATGTACACGGTTCGCCGTGGTAGTAAACTAGAACAAGCTAACGTTAGCACTAACACGATAGATATACGGCTCTCAGAGATTGATACTTACCACTAAAGCATAATCAGAACTGTTTGGATGTCGTCGCTTCCAGATGTCGCGGATATACTCGTTGCGGTCAATGGTGAAATGCGACCAGATTGTCGCGTGGTGGCCGTTAATCTGATAATAGCTGTAGTCATCGTCATGGTATCTGTGCGCTACAATGTCGATCAGGCCGCCGCAGTCGTTGCAACCAATAGAATAACCTACGCAATTGTCTCGGTTAACTTTGACTAGCTTGTATCGTTTAACATTTAGGTCTTCGACAATCAGGGTGTTCATAACCAAATCACCGCTAAGCATGGGCTTCGGCCACAGTGTGCTTGGGTGGGATGCTTCCCACTCCGCGTTGTTAAAAATGTGTCGAAGTTTAAGTCCCTAACAGAAGGATTAGTTATAGTCATACTCTACATTGCGATTTGTTCACTTACATCTCCACGATACCACAGCTTCAGCTCGGGAAGCAGCACCCGCTCCTAGCAAGTATTGCTGCTAACATCCCGGAGAACCTCATCTTCGTTGTTGGCACAAATCGTAACATCTAGCACGCCGAGCTGGTTGCGCAGCACAAAGGCTCGAGCAGGTGTCTCCTCCTCCGTAGGAGGACTAAGCAGCTGCGAGGGACAGTAGATGACAACCGACCCATCCGTCTCCGTGTTACTGAGTGTCGCGAGGAACCGGTGGGTGTGGAATAATTCATATGTAGCATACACTTTTTCTGTAAGGTCAACGTCTCCGAAAGATCGGCATGGTCTCCCTTCTAGTTCAAGGCGCTTTGTCTGCGCTCTGAGGCGGCTGCGTATCTCCAACCTCTCAGTAGCATTGAGAAACTGACGAGATTCCTGAGCTATGCCGAGTTCGCATGCCACGGCTGTTTCGTATCGGATCTCGTCCGTCTCATTGAGGTTGTAGTCTGTAGCAGTGACTCGACAAATATCCAAGGTTACATATTGGGTGGGTTCGTTGCATAGGCCGTGGACAGCATACCATAGGCCATCAATGTGAGCGCAGCCAGGGAAGCACGGTGTCTTGGTGCTTGGTTGACTTAATTCGCCGGTCTCTGAGTTTATGGCTACGATTGTATCGTTTTCTCGGACTGGAAGGGTGCAAAATGCGCAAGAATCCGTCGTGCATGGGTAGGTAAACTCGTCAAAGTTGACATCCGCAAGTGCGTTGTCGGCGGTTTGGTCTGTCATGGTGGGCTGTTGTATTGAGGGTTGGCTCTTTGGACTCGATCTGGATGGTTGCTTGTTGCCGTAGATTTGGAAAGAAGTGATAATATCGCATATATTTAAATAATGGCACAATTGCACTGAATTGGTTTATGCAGATGATTCTATATACTGCTGGTTGAAATGCCACGGCTGATATATACACAGTTGATGCGTGCAAGCGGGAGGTAATATCACAGCTACTAAATGAGTCTCTATCATTGACATCATTTACCTATTCACATCACATTTTTTCTCTATTCCAGCTCTTACACTGACTTCCGTTCCATTTTACAGCCATTCATTCTCAAGACACACACTGTGCGTCAGTCTCGGTGGGCGACTTACACCGAAGCACAATCACCACATACACCTTAACTAGGCCACCTTTGCGTCTTCGTCATCTTTCTAGAAATTATTCACGTGCTATTCGCCCTCGGCAATCAGCGTAACAGCTGGACACGTCGATTCTTCTACCGAGCCCATTATTCGGTAACGATTCGCTACCAGCCTCTCTCGCCACAGCAGGGACCCCATCCCATACAATTTGCCACCTACGCAGCCTGCTTCCCCTGACCACCGTCTAATTGACCAGTAAAAATCAGTAAATAGAGAAAGATGCAGAATACACGCATTTAATCAATACGCATGAATTGGAAACCAGAATTTTTATCCTTTGCGTGCTTTAGCGAGCCAATCGCCATTCGTAGCGCTGCCTCCAGGGTAAATTTACGATTCAGTGGCAACGCCGCTCTAGTTTCTGGTTGGCTGAGCGCCCAAACAGCCACGCGAGCAAGGCCAAGGCCAAAGGATTACAGAAAAAAATAGACTACGAAAAAAAAAGACAAAAGGACAACTCTTGGGTATCAAGCATTGTGGCAAATGCAACACGACCAACAAAGGGCCTTTTGGCGACGGCAAAATCTAGATTGCATCGGCCACCGACGTCAAGAGGCCGCACGAAAAGGGACATGTTTTTCGAGGGGGCTTGTCAGAATCCCCTAGCCGCGCCTATCAGGAGTCGAGAGAGGCGGAATGCGGCAAGGCCGAGGGACGAGGCGAGCTGAAAGGCTCCAAGCAGGGCGAGCAAGGCGTGGTCGGCGATTGGGGGGAGGCAAGACAGGGCAGCCTCGCGGGCCACGCTGGGCATGCATACACGGGAGGGTAGAGCCAAACGATGTGTGCTAAACGAGGTGTTATAATTAGATGCTGTGTTGTTGCGGATGAAGTGAGCGCTGGGCTGTGTGTGTGTGCGTGTGCATGTCAAACGAAAGAGTGATGATGCGTTTTGCATAATTGACTTTTTGGCTCACAATCGTCCGATGCTCCTTTTTACTTGCTGCGGTCACGAAGTTTACTTGTTCGTGTTAGGCACCCAGAGTAACGGTGCATGTACCTACCTTGTACGCGTGGCGCGCGAGGCTTAGGCTGGTGGAGAGGAGCCTGTGGGAATTATCCAGATGTAGCTCGAAGCACCATAGGTACAGTACAGTACGGTACGGTACGCCGGAATGAATGCCTGTAAGCTACTGGAGTACAGTAGACAGCAGACTAGGTTGGCTTGTGCGGCGGCGGCGCTAGCTTACTGGAGGGTGGCCTTGTCTGGCATCACGGGTTCGGGTTGATGAGATTAGCAGGAATGACATACCGAACTGCGAAAAAGCATATGAGTGACTAAGTGCCTTGGGCCGGGGAGTTGGTGCAGCATGCATTCCGGGTTGCAGTGTATGGGATCCCGAGGAAGCCAGCCGCCCAAAGCAAACAGAGAAACGGTGCGGGCAAACACTTGCAGACGCACACACACACACAGACGCACAAACACAATTTCTATACAAAACCCGACCAAGTCGGTGGTGGTGGTGGTGGTGGTGGTGGGTTACAGTGTAGGTAGTGGCGATGACTGTACGTCACACTAAACGCCGCATGCAGGTCACCGGGCCGTGTTTGCGCGTGGTTTGCTTTTGGATTCCGTGCCGGTCTGGGTGCTGCGGCCGTTGTCCGTAGGGGAATTGGGTGAGCAAGGGAGAAGCCAGTATCTTGTACAGTACGGTAACTGAGAGTAGACACGGGAGTCACGGCTCATTGACCGTCGGCGGGTGTACTGCGGTATCCTGTCTCTGTACTGTACTGTACCGTCATTGTTCTATTACCCACAGATTTATGGCGTGAGTGAATGTATGTATGTATGTGTGCGTGCGTGCGTGCTGTCTGTCTGTCTCAACTCAACGCACCGCTCTTCTCTCTGCTGTATGTCGTAGTAAGCGAGGCTGCTGCTGGCTGCCCAAGGCCCAAAGGGTAAAAAGCCAACACCAGAGACCACCAAAAGACACAAAACCACAGGGCCAATGGCAAATGCCGTACCGGAACAACCCACAAAGTTTACTCTGGCCGCGCCCCCCTCTTTCGCCCCTTGTCCGCTTACAGATGGGACAAGAAGGCGAGAGAGAAAGTGGCCCTCGGTAGTAGTAAAGGGGGGATAGGAGGAGGAGTGACGATTAGCGATAGCTGGCTGGAGCAAAAGCACCGGCCTATCTGGTAGCCTTTTTTCATCCCATATCGAGAACCGAGCAAATAAAAATAATAAAAACGAGATGTGCACGACTCATTGTCCCTCTCTCTCCACCTAGTTAGAGTGGTCACCCTGCGTCTCTGCATCTCGATTCGTCCAGCGTAGCATCCCCAGCGCACCATGTCAGCTGAAGAAGAAAACCAAGCCTGCCCCTAAAGGCGCACAAAAACAAGAAGAAGAGGCCTGCCTCGGGCCTTGCTAGGGTGGTGCTTGCTTGGGAGAGGCACTTGACTGGATGGTGACTGCGGCTGCACCGCCCCATCGCCGCGCAAGCCACAAAGAAAAAAGTCTTTCCTTCAGCCGGCTTGGAGCTTCCACAGCACCCGTAGCCCTGCTTGCAGCCAGCCAATGACGGGGCACCGGGCCACCGCCGCTGTGGCGCTGGTGCTTGCTGCTGGTGCCCAGGCCAGGCCACGCACGGAGAGTCCACAGTGGCATCGTAGTGCACTCTTACCGCACCACCAGCACTAAGAGCGCCAGCAAGCACAACCACCCCCGCCCTTGTTGGGGCCACACACCAGGTCGAGGAGGCTGCAAAGCCTCGAGGCAGCAGCCTTGCTTGCTTGCCGGGGGACGGAGGGCGAGGCCACCAGGCAAAGTAATTTAGGCCTTGTTTGGGGGGGATCACCGGGGGTGGGTGAATGCTTTTTTTCTTTGGTCCGTCGGGGCGGCTATGCTGCGTATTTTTTTGTTACTATTCTTGTAGCTGTGCTGTGCTGTGCCTCTATTTTATTCTATTATTTTATTTGCACTCATCGCTTAATTGTAGAGGAGGCGCATAGTGATTAGGCCCTGTGTGCATTTTTACGAGTACAGTACAAGTATTACTGCTGCCTGGTAATTGGCTCGCTCTCGCCCCCCTCTCTCTCTGTCTGCCACGAAACCCAGCGTATCTCTGCTCTGCTATTTTTATTCCTATTTTTATTTACTATCGTATTTATTTTTTTGTATTCTATTTATTCTATTTATTCTTCTTCTTTTTCTACTCTAATCCTCCCCCCAATCCACACCCCTTGCCAGCTGGCGTGTAACCCCCTCCCCCCGGCGCCAAATCAGCACAGCACCCAAAAAACAACTGACCAGCTTGGCGGACGAACAAGCGGCCGTAGCATTGACAGGTGCTGGTACTTGTTCGACGATATTTCTTAACACATCCACACCACCCACCCCATACACCGCTGCTAGTCCGGCAGTTAGACCAAAGTCCACGCGCTAGTGGCCCTTGGTTTCTAAGCTAGCCCGCCGCAGTACCCGCAAGGCGAGCCAGGGCATGCCAGCCGCTCCCTCTATAGCGCAAGTGAATGCCGTGCTAGGGGACCGCCCCCCGTCCCTCGCCTTGAATTGTCTTTGCCTCGCCCCAAAAAAGCCCTCTTCGCTCTCTCTCACCTTGACCTCTTCTTCCTCTTCTTCCCTTTTTTCCCTCTTCTCTATTTTTTCCCTTCTTCCTACTGCTTCCGGCCTATCGTTTTATTCTCGCAGCGTCTGCTTGGCCCTTTTTCGGCTTGCTCGGCTCTCTTCTTTTTGTGGCCTGATTTTTACGGCTTCGATTCCTTTTTTCTTATTTCTCCAGCCTGGCCTTCTCTCGCCTCGCCGCGTCACTGCCTCCTCTGGAAAAGCAGCCCCCATCGTTTCTGCAGCCTCGCCGTACGCAGCGAACGCCCTTTCGTATTTCCCACACCAACATCACCCGACCTCGTCTCGCAAAACCGTTTTTCTTTTGCCGCACGCTCGTCGCTTCTCGCAAGCGCCGCTCGACTCTTTTTTAATTCCCTCGACGTTTTAGACGCCGGCCGCTTTTTTTTTTTGTGTCGCCAGAGTGATGCTACCGCGCCATCACTAGCAGCAGCACGTCTTCACCTCTTCCCGAGCCAATACTGCTCATTCATGTCACGGCTGCTGCAACTCGATGGAACACTGCTCCAAAAAGCGCAAGCTTGCTCCCAAGCTGCCGTCGCCGCTGTCGTCGGACGCTCGGCTGCCGCATCATAGTCACCATACCCCCGAACAGGTAAACTACTCTTCTGCCACTGGAACTGGTGCTGCTGCAGCTTCTGCTTTTGGTGCTGCAGCATCACGCATCCAGCTACCGCCTGCTCCTCCTGGTCCTAACTTTGCTCAGTCCGACTCTGCCGACTTTGGCTCCTTTGCCCGACACCTCCAAGATGCCGCCCTCTACATCCAGAGCCAAGCGGCGTCTGCCACGACCAGCTATAAAGACGTCTCTGTCCTCATAATACGATGGGAAAACGATGCCTACAACGTCCAAGACTCCATGGACCTCGAGTCTGTTTTCCACCACCAGTTTGGCTACCGCATCGAGCCCTGTATGATCCCCGTCGTCCAGAATCCATTTGCCAAGCTCGGTACCCAAATTGGGGCCTTTCTCGACAGCAAGCCCGGTAACCTCTTGATTGTCTACTACTCCGGCTACAGCTACCAGGACCACAACGGCCAGCTCTACTGGGCAAAGTAAGTTGCTTGTTAAACGAGTCTTGACAACCCCCCGAAAAGTATCCGAGCTAACTTGTCGCAGTGATAGCAGAGAAGACGCCGCCAGGATAAAATGGGATGGCCTTCGATGCCTCTTTGACGAAGCCCAGGCAGATATGCTACTTATCCTCGATTCCTGCTTCCCATACAACAACCCCGCCACATCCAACCACGGCATCAAGCAGCTCATTGCTGCCCACACCCCCGAAGCCGCCGCTCCCAAGGATGTCCCGCCAGCGATGACGCCATATCTTCTGGATGCCCTCCAGCGTGTCGGAACCCAGCCATTCACGGCCGAGTCACTGTTTAGAGAAATTCACCGGAGCATGCGTGAACGATATCCCGACCTTGCTGGGCCAGTATTTTCGCAACTCACCAGCGGGTCGCATCAAGACTTGATTCTGACGCCACTGGACCGTCACCGCAAAGATGGCACGCCCGAGCAGGAAAATTTGATTGATGGTGAGACGGCACGCAAGTTGGCCTTTGGCGAGACTAGAGTCCTCGTCTGCACAACCTTTGTCGGAGATTCTAGCCCCAACATGGAACACTTTCACCACTGGCTCCAGCGAACGCCGTCCCCCGCCAAGATCAAGATCGAATCCCTGTTCCTCGGCCCTCCCACCATTCTCATCATCTCTATGCCACACTCAGTCTGGGAGGTTATTCAGCACGACAATGTCTGCCGCTTCCTCGGTCAGATTACGTCCAGCAACCTCATTAATGTATACGACAAGGTGATTGAAAACACAAATGCCGCATACCCCCCGGTAAAGACCAGGCAGGATTCCGCAGAAATGCAAGAGGCTGCTGAGCAACTGAAAGCTCTTAGCCATGTTCGTCACTCACCGCCATCTCATGCACCCGCCCGAGGCACTCTGGCTAGCATCCTATCTCCGGTGACTATTGATGGCCGTTTCCCTGTCGATGTCCGTAACTCGGTCATGGCAAGCAGCAGCGGCAGCAGCCATCATGTCAACAACAATACTAGCAGCAGCAACAACAGCACTGCGAATAACAACATCAGCACCACCAACAACAATACCGCCACCGCCAATAACAACAACACCAATATCCACACTCAAAATGATGTCACTCTCCCGCCACTGGGCTTTGCAGCGTCGGATTCCTCTCTCGCCCGCAAACCACGACCGCGCCAGCCATCCAAGGCAGACGTAAGCTGCACACATTGCAGCCACGCACCGTTCCGGGACGCATCCTCTCTGCGTAAGCACATTGCCGCTGCACACACCCGCCCGTTCCCGTGCGCCTTTTCGTTTGCCGGCTGCACCTCCACGTTTGGTTCCAAGAATGAGTGGAAGCGCCACATTGGTTCACAGCATCTCTGCCTCCAGTACTACCGATGCTCCGCTTGCCCCTCGACGACAGCCGACGGCAAGGGCAACGAGTTCAACCGCAAGGACCTCTTTACTCAGCACCTCCGCCGCATGCACGCTCCCGTAGACGTCAAGCGAAGCCTTCCTCACGAGCCTCAAGAAGAGTGGGAGGCGCACGTCCGCGCCATGCAAGACTCGTGCTTAGTCACACGCCGCCAGCCTCCCCAAAAGTCTGCCTGCCCCAAAGCTGAGTGCAAGATTATCTTTGAAGGCCGCCGTGCTTGGGACGAGTGGACGGAGCATGTTGGCCGTCACATGGAAAAGGGTCAAACCGACGGCCTCGGCGTAGATAGACTCCTGGTAGAATGGTCCATTCGTGAAGGAATTGTGGAAGGAGAGGAAGGAAACTATCGCCTGGTAGGAGCCAGCGATAAGGGAGCCGACAAGATGACGTTTTCCAACGACAAGGACGAGGGAAGTCAATCGTCGTTGCACGATGGGCGGGCATGGGGACGTGATTAAACAAGTTCCAGAGGAGGGAAAGTTCCTGTCTACTGGTTAGACTGGTTGCATTGCTGGCGTTGCATTTCCGGCGTTTGGAAATATACACTTATTGTGATTTATTTACCAGCCCTTTAGGGTCTTCTTTGCCCCTTGTCTGTTTTTTTTATTTTTATTTTTATCTTTTTATTTTGAACCGATGTATTACCTCTCCACCTGGAATTTCTATATATAGCTTCGATTCTGATGAATGAATTACAATAAAGAAGAAAATATTACGCTGTACCTTGTGTCTCTTGTGAATCGTGATGGAAACCCAACCTTTAGCATACTGCTTCTCTAGTACGCCTCTAATTTACGCCATCTTCCCCCATAGACAGACAGTTCACATACTGTATTTGGATGTTGTATAAAATAACACTTTCATTAAAATATAGTCACGCTAATAAAACTTAGTTCTGTATTCCGTCACCCCTCTAGATCTTAGTAGAGCTCTCCTTGGACAGCGAAATGTTGACATCAACGCTGCGGCTTCTCTTGCCATCAGCACCCGCCGACTTGCCCTTTGTCTTGCAGTCCTCGCCAAGGATAGTCACCTTGCGGATCGCAAAGGGGTGGTCAAGACCCAAAGTGCCCTTAAGCGACAAAACACCATTCTTGTACTCAAACTGAATGTCCGTGACGCTCTTCTGCTCAATGGACACGCCGTCGTCAATGTACAGCTCGCCCTTAGCCTGGTGGTCCTCGTCAAGCGGCACAATCAGCTCAAAGTCCTGCTTGCGGACCTCGGTGGTCGTCATGGCCGACTTGATGCGCACAGGCAGGATGACACCCGACTTGATGAGTAGCGGGATGTGCGTCATGGACACATTGTCAAATGTGTGGGTGCGGCCGCCAGGGATAAGCTTGTGCGTGTACCAGTCGTAGAAGTTGTCCTCGGGGAGGTACACAGACACCGAAGTGGCGCCTTGCTCCGTCACAGGAGCAACCATGACACCAGGGCCGTAAAAGTACTGCAGCTCCAGGCCGTAGGTGGCCTTGTCGTGCGGGTAGTGGTAGAAGACGGGCGACAGGGCGGGCGTGCCGTCGCTGTTGGCGCGGTGCATCGCCGTGTACATGTAGTCGAGCAGGCGGTAGCGGATGTCAATGGCCTTCTTGGCCGACTCGGCGACCGCGGGCCAGCGGTAGAATTCCTGCGGTACGGAGCCCTCGGCGTTGTGGTTGCGGAAGAAGGTGTAGAAGGCGCCGAGGGAGGCCCAGCGCGCGCAGAGCTCCTCATTGGTGTTGTCGCCAAAGCCGCACACATCAGAGCCGACCATGTTGAACTGGAAGAGTGAGACAAACGCCAGCATGCCGCGGATCGACTCGCGGTACTTTTGCCAGTTGGACAGGTTGTCGCCGAGCCAGTGGCCGACCTTGGAGCCAGCGCCGGCGTAGGTGCTGCGGGTGATGATGAGAGGGCGGAGGCCGGGGCGGCGGGTCTCCATGGCGCGCTGCGAGGCAATCGACATGAGCGAGCCGTACAGGTTGTGCCAGTCGTACATGGCCAGGCCGCTCTGCGAGATGAGGTCTGTGTTGACGGTGTGGTTGGAGATGCCGCCCTTGTCGGCGTTCCAGTCGTCGCGGTAGGCGGCCTTGTTGTGGATGGAGTACTTGGGGTAGAGGAGATCACGGCCGGGGAGACCCTTTTGGTCGCCGGCAGCAGCGCGGCGAGCAGGCAGGACAAGGCTGGAGGTGTCGATGGCGCGAGCTTCCGCGGGTACTTCGACCTCGCCAATGGAGCGCTTGCCGGTGCAGCCCTCGGGCTGGAAATCGCAAGACCAGCCGGGGATGGGACGAGGGTTGGCGCGGACTGGAGGGGGCGTGGGAGGGAAGCCCTTTGCGGCGGCGTAGGGGTCGTCGCAGGGGAAGTTGCATGGGAAGTTGGAGGGCTCGTTCATGTCGATCCAGAGGCCGTCAATGTCGACACCGGCGTCCTTGTCAAAGAAGCGCTTGAACTCGCCGGTCCAGTAGTCTTGCGCCGAGGGGGCAAACCAATCCGGGAAGACGGTGACACCGGGCCAGACGACGCCGAGCCAGGCAGAGCCGTTGGCGCGCAGCAGGAAAGCGTTTTGCTCAATGCCACGGTGGAGAGGGCCGTAGTCCTGGTAGGCCACTGCAGGATCTACCATGACAATATAGTGCTGGTCGCCGCTGTGCAGCTTGTCGACGAGAGCGCGCATCTTGGAGATGGGGTAGCGCTCGGGGTCGTTGGAGAAGGTGCGGCGGCGGTCCATGTAGTCGATATCAGTCCACATGGTCTCGAGGGGAATACCGGCCTGGCTGTAGTTGTAAACAACCTCTGCGACTTCAAAGACATCCTGGTAGCCGTAGCGGCAGTTGTGGTAGCCAAGACCCCAGTAGGGCTGCATGGCAGGAGTGCCGGCGAGAGCGCCGTACTGCTGGACAGCCTCGACGGGCGTGGGACCAGCAAAGAAGTAAAAGTCGAGGACGCCACCGAGCGTGTTGTACTCGAGGTACTGCTTGCCAGCTTCGTCCTTGTTGATCATGATGTCCATGCCGTTGGAGTTGAGGAAGAGCACACCGTGGGAGCCCGTCTCGCGGTGCTCAAGGTAGAAGGGGTGAGCGCCGTAGAGGTTGGCATTGTTGGGGATACCATAGGAATCCTGATTCCAGAGAGTGCGGATGTAGTTGTCGGTGCCGAGGCGCAGTGAGTCGGAGTGCTCGCCGAGACCGTAGAGGTTGGGATTTTCGGGCAGGCTGGTACGCAGGCGCAAGTACTGCGACTCAAACACAAGCGACGCGGCCGACGAGTCAAAGAGGACTTCGTTGCCGCGGCTGACCTTGAAGCTAAATGGCGACTCGGTGTGCTCAAACTTGAGCGCGTTCTTGCCGGCGCTCGAGGTTTCCTTGGAGCGCGGGAACACAGACTCGGGAACCTGGTAGACCTGGTTGTCCTTGTCCTGGATCTTGACGTGAATGCGGTTGTCAGTCTCGTATGTCACAGCGAGAGTCAGATCCTTGAGATCGTCTCCGTAGGCATTGCACGCAGTGCCGCCGAGGGTGAGATCGGCAGTCAAGCCAGTGTCGCTAGTCTTGACATTGGATGCCTTGTAGCCCGGGCACGCCGCGAGCTTGTCGTTGGCGGCGTCGTCGCGTCGCAGAATGGCGGCCGAAGCCAAGCCGGAAAGCAGCACGCTTCCAAGCAACTTCATGATGAATCGCAATGGAGATTTGATTGCCAAACTTGATTGACAAGCAGAGCGCTGTCAGACAATTGGAGGGGGTCAATCAGCAGTTTATAAACGCGCTGTCGGATGAGGATCCCGGACCGACAATGCAAGCTAGCCCGGGCTAAGGAAAAATTACACCAATGGAAGCACTGCAGCAGAGCAAATCTTGGTGCTGGTCACTGCGGAGACCTGCGACTAAAACGGAAAGGTGGGCAGCCTCGCACCCAAATTACGGCAGAGCTGGCGCCGAAAAAATGGGCTCCAGGCCGTGAGAGCACACACAAAGTCCGGGGCTTTGCTGGAGGAGCGGGGGAGGCGTCTGCGGGTCGAGTGGGCAGTTTGGAGAATCCTAGCATGTTTTGCCATTGTTCCTCTGTTGCTGTGTTGCTAGTTAAACTTTGCCAATTGGGCTTGTCTAACGAGCGTGATGTTGGTAGGACCATGTTCAACATGTTTATCTGTTTCACCCACTCGATTTCACACGGCAAACTTCATCTCGTCTGCTGCAAACAATCGCACAGAGATTGAATGGTAAGCGGGGCAGTGACCGGGGATGTGAAAAAAGGCCGAAGACAAGCTTGCGTGTGGCGTTCTTGGTCCGTGTTGATTGGGTTGGGATCAGGGGTTTCCGGTGGCTGCATCGCCATGGCAGACGAGAGATGTTGTCAGTGGCGGCGGCGGGCATGAACGTTAATACCAGGCGAGAGGACTTTTGTTTGCATTCGTGTTCTAGGGCTACTATGTGTGTGTTGATTCTGCTGGGGAGAGGAGATGAAGGGTGGTGAGTTGTAGCTGTGACCTCTTGACTGTTTGGGGTCAGGTTGTGCAAGGAAAATCGGTTGGCGATGCATTGTCCATTGGGAGTCTGTTCCTAGACCAGCAATAATCAGACAATTATAACACCACGGAAAGAATGGTCAATCTGCTGCTACCAACAAATGCAACGCCATTATGAAGTTTGTGGCGATGGTGATCAGGAAATATTTTACGGGTGGAGAAAGCACCGAAGTGCGCCCTTCCGGTCCGACACTCCCGCCAGCTGCCCGCCAGCTGCCAAAGAACCATTGGTGCCAGGTGCCAGGTGCCAGGTGCCAGGCAGTTGGCACTGAGCGCCCGCTAAAACTCTCGCTCGAAAAAGACGCTAGAACCGCTAACAGCATCGGCTCTCGACGGCGGGGAAGCAAAGAAGCTGTGGCGCTATAGGGCCGAATACAGTATTATTCCACATGATGCTGCATATTAGGCGGCGGCCTAACGAGCGTACGACTGGGAGGCGGATGCGCTCGGCTTCATAGCAGCGGCTTACGTGCGGCATTATTGTATCATGAAGCGCAGGCATGTTGAATCGAGCCAAACACTTTCTGCTTTCTAATGTTTTTGATGACGCAATTTGCGTAGTGCCGCGGCACAATATGAGGCTGACAGCTCAAAGTGGTATTTACCCTTACCTCCATAGAGGCGTGATATGAAGAAGCAGGTGAATGTTGCGGCAATACGCAGAGACTATACATGAACAGTTGATGCCGACATATCTACGCGCAAGTTAATATAAAAAAACTATCTAATTTGGACCATATTTTCTGTCATCTTTCTGCACATTCGCTGCGTGTAGCCTTTTCGTTTTTCGTTTCTCTTTTTTTCAATAGAACAGAACCGTTGAGCATTGTCCGTTTTGGTAAGCTCCAATACATCTATAACTTGCCTTGTAAACCTGTTGCGGTTTATAGTGAAGTTAGAAATGGTACTGCATATAATTGATCCAACACCTTCCACTACTGCAAAACGAGCATTCTGTAAGATTCCTCGACACCCTCCTATGCGAAGTAGTTATTTGCCACTGCGATAGTGATACCAGCTCTCCTCCATGCGACGAATCTGACCATCAGTGAAGGCGTAGCCGTTGGTCGCCTTGCAGGAACTATATTCAACCTTTGTTAGTACAGTGTTCCTCGGCTATTCTATCAACTGCAACGATTTCGACATACTCGTGGGAGTAATCCATGTGGTTATGGATAGGGTCCTCGCTAGCCTGGCTGCAGGTATTGCGGCCTGTTGGGCATGGCTCAGTAGGCGCGCTGGCCTCAGCTGGTGTATCATCGACAAGATCACCATCACCAGCGCAATTATCTCCCTCAAATGTGTGCATTAGATTTTGCCAATGGCCCACCTCGTGGACAGTACTCATTCCATGGGATAGCTCGTCCCCGCCAGTGTAGAGGGATAAGTTACCAGGAACTGTCCATGCGCTGATGATACACCCGTCGATCGGCCAATATTGAGTCTCATCAGTGGGATAAGAACAGTATCCCACATGTCCGCCGCTGGAATCTGTGAGAAAATACAGGTTCAGCGCCCTGTAGCTGCCCTTGCGAAGCTGGGTCATCATGGTGTTGTTCTCCTGATTGCGGGCCCATTCTGGCTTAACAAGCCAGTCAACTTCGGCTAACCGGAACGTGAAGGAACTTCTAGCAAACTCTGCATTGAGAATTCTCATCTGTTAGTCAATCATGGCTCTCTAGTAAGTACTATGTTAGTGTATGCTTGGTAGAAGAAGGCCAGTGATGGCGATGGAACGCTTACTGTCAAGTAGTAGGAACTTGGGCTGTTTGATTCAGTCACAACATGAACATAGCTGTCAACTGAAATGCTGGCTCTTTTACTAACAGCACTCTCGCCCAAACGGCTCGCAGCGAGAAACTTTGCATGGACAGCGCGTTGCTCATCAGTCAGCTTGGGCGTACTGCAGCTTGGTACGGCAGACCAGAGATCCAAGGCAGAAGCAAAGCCGAGAGTGATGAGTAGTGCTAGTCTGGCGAGCATATTGATTCGAGTTGAATGTTATGTACTGAATATTCTTACTGAGGAGCGCTGTTCTGAAGGGAGTAGCTCCTGAAGAAGGTGGCCAAGTTAATCGATATATATACTTGTAGAATAACAGCGTGCCGAGATAGTCGTAAATCCTTTGTTATATTTACACTGCTTCGATCTGTTGAGACCAGCCGGTTCAATAATACGAATCTCGCTCTAAATGCCGGTAGGTTTGCGGAAATATACCAGCGGTCACTCATCTTCATCTTGTATTCGGTAAACGCTTGGCGTGAGGAGCAAACTAAATAGCCAAAATATATGGTTAAATGGAAAGAGACAAATTTTACCCCACAAAGAATAATTGATGAAAATCAGCAGTTGTGTAGTGTATCTCGGAACAACACCGAGGCTACATCGCGCCACACCGGACGTTTTGGAGGCCTCGTATTTTAGTCTGGAAGCTAAGAATACAAACTATCGCGGGTAAATAACAAGGAGTTGCAAAATAGGAAAGTCCTCAGCACATGTATTAATTTATATTGGATGGCTGGTGTCGTACGTTGGCTTTTGGGCCGTCAGTTGAGTTGTTGTCTCCTCTGCTCATTGAAACCTACCCGCGTATTAGTGCCTCCTGTCGCTTTTCTTGGTATTGACGGTTTATACCCGCACTGGGACAACGCTGCGGTCTTTATGACTATCATAACAACTTCACTAAACTTAGAAAGTCTATTATATGGAGACGAATATACACATTGTTTAGGCTTAATGAATTCGGACTATAGCCATCGCTCGATCCCGACTTTCTTACCTCAGCCTGCGGACCTCTCCGAAGACCCGGTCTTTCTAAATGGCTACGATTTTGCGCTGTGATATCGCCTAAGAATACTAGATAGCAATGTATTAAAATACTAAATAGATATGCTAAACACCCAAAATAGTCAGGTGTGATTTTTAAGAATTATCACGGAGCTGTTCAGGCATAGATAAGACGTCTAGAAAGTAGCTAGTTGACACGAGCTAACTAAACGAATAGAGGGGAAAGCACTAAAGAGACTAAACCTGATCTAAAACAGGAGAATGGTTAAAATTCTATAAATCTTCTTACCTTGTTTGCCGCTCTCTTTTCTTTTTGTGACGAGTATTATTTACTGCCAATGTTCTATGCATGTACTCACTCCTCTCATCTGGTCACGCTGCTCTACCGCCCTCTCTACCGACGATCGCAGCGAATCACACGCCGGATCATCGGATGGTACGTCTCAAGTCGACATCACCAAGAACAAGCTTCGAATTTATCCCTTCCCGTGAAACGTTCTATTTTGTTCGTTGTAACGCGGGGTAACTAACTTGGCAAGCTGGGGCCCTATAACGCGCCTCAACTATAGGGCGACCTGGCTTCCATGTGGTTGTCTCACTCCCGGAAATCTGCGATGCCGCTCATCGTGGGGAATGCTTTGCGGAGTAGGCCACGCGTGGTGAACAGGGGGAAAAAAATACGCCGTCCAGCTCATCACACGTTACGCTTATGCGTGGGGAGGGCCTTGGCTCTAGTGGTCCGGTGTTGGCGGTCAGCGCTTAATTTATGGTGATCATGGCATTTGACAATACCACCTTACCAAAGTAGCCATATGGCCGAGGCGGTTCCGTGAAGCGTGACTAGAAGAGATGGACCCTACGATTGTCGCGTGCGCGGATATATAAAAGATGGAATCGTGCTCTGGAATGCTGTTGAAGAGAGCTATAAAAACTATTTAAAAATAGCACCAGCCCGATAATCTTCAGCAAGCAACCAAGCACTTCTCTACTGCCCCATCATGACGCGTCTCTTGGAAACCAGCTTGATGCTGCTCGTATCGACTTCGGTCCTGGCTGCACCAACCGCCGGCCAAGTCTCTACTTGCGCTACCAAGGGCAAGCCTGCCGGCAAGGTCCTCCAAGGATACTGGGAGAACTGGGACGGCGCAAAGAACGGCGTGCACCCGGGCTTGGGCTGGACACCCATCACCAACCCAGACATCAAGAACCACGGCTACAATGTGATTAACGCCGCCTTCCCCATCATCTACCCCAACGGTACTGCACTATGGGAAGATGGCATGGACACCAACGTCAAGGTTGCCACGCCCGAAGAGATGTGCCAGGCCAAGGCGAACGGCGCCACGATCCTCATGTCTATTGGCGGCGCCACTGCTGCCATCGATCTGAGCTCCAGCGCAGTCGCTGACAATTTTGTCAACAGCATCGTGCCTATTCTGAAGAAGTACAACTTTGACGGCATCGACATTGATATTGAGGCCGGCCTCACAGGCAGCGGCAGCATCAACACGCTCTCCACATCGCAGGCCAACCTGATCCGTGTTATTGACGGCGTGCTGGCCAAGATGCCCGCCAACTTTGGCTTGACCATGGCGCCCGAGACGGCATACGTCACCGGCGGCAGTGTCACCTACGGATCCATCTGGGGCTCTTACTTGCCCATTATCAAGAAGTACGTCGACAACGGCCGCCTCTGGTGGCTCAACATGCAGTACTACAACGGCGACATGTACGGCTGCAAGGGTGACTCCTACCAGGCGGGCACTGTCGATGGCTTCATTGCTCAGACAGACTGCCTCAACAACGGCCTCACTGTCCAGGGCACCACCATCAAGATCCCCTACAGCCAGCAAGTTCCCGGTCTGCCTGCCCAGTCTGGCGCTGGCGGCGGTTACATGACCACATCGCAGGTCGCGCAAGCCTTTGACCACTACAATGGTGCTCTGAAGGGCTTGATGACCTGGTCTATCAACTGGGACGGATCCAAGGGCTGGACCTTTGGCGACAACATGAAGAGCCGCGTTGCCAATTAAAGTAGACGCTAGTATTTGACTTGGCGTCTATTTTATTTAATGTGTATATGAAATCCTTTGATGTATATAGCTTCTCTACCTCATCATTCACCATTTTACTCCAAAAATACAATTTCTTTTTCTGGAAAACCATAGTACAATCCTTATATACCATCCATGACGCTTAAATGCACGGCTCGCGCTACTCTGCATCCGATTCTCGGCTGATCACGCATCGCCACGTCCCGTGTCTCAGCCATATTGACTGCATACTTCCAATCTTGCGAGCCGATCACCGTGGAAGCAGCTCTTCTTAGGATTGGGCGCCTGCATGTCTTTAGCAGATGCATTTTTTTTTGCGAATCCTTCCACTGTATAACGCGAGCTGAGATGTCTCGGCCTGTGAAAATAAATTGCGGCTTGTCACCGCCGTTGGCTGTGGGCCAGCTTCGTGTGCAGCGGGTTTTTTTATATTTATAAGCGCCCGTGAATCGTATTCTCGCATCCTCACCATTCTCAACGGGCAGTTGTAACGATTCGCAATGGCGTCGCAAGATGAGCAGCGTCCTCTGCTGGAGGACATCGTCGATGATGCTGCCGTAGAGAGCACCTTTGCCAGCTTTAAGGAGCACGACCCCAAGAATCCCCGTGAATGGGCGAGCTCATTCAAGTGGTTTGTCCTTTGGATCCTGGCCTTCTGTGCCTTTACCGTGTACGTTTCGGCATTCTGTGCTTCTTGTGAAATGGTCCGCTAACCGCCTTTCTAATAGAACATGGACGTGCATCATGATCGCCCCTATCGCAAAACAAATTATTGACGAGCTGTCCCCCGGCGGCTCGACAAAGTCGGCCAAGGTGCTCCTTGTCAGCATTTGGGAAATTGGAGAGGCTGCTGGCCCTCTGCTGATTGCGCCATTGTCCGAGTACTTTGGCCGCAAACCAGTGATTCATGTATGCAGCGTTGTTGCTGTTATTGCGACAGTCATATCGTGCACGGCGCCATCCACCAACGTTCTCATCATGGGTAGACTGCTCAGCGGCGCAATGGTGACGGTAAATGTCCTCAATCCTGCCATCATTGGCGACATTCTGGCCCCAGAAGAGAGGGGAACGGCTATGAGTCTTATGCTGCTGGCACCATTAGCAGGAGGCACTTTTGGACCAGCCTTTGCAGGTTTCGCTGCGGAGCGTTGGCATTGGCGGTTTGCCATGTTGACCTCGGTAGTCATTGTGGCTGCTGCTTCTGTTACGCTCTTTTTGACGTTCAAAGAAACGTATGGGCCTGTTATACTCAAGAAACGGGCTGCAAAGGCTGCTTCAGAAGGACAGCCAATTGTCACGGAAGCGGATGCCGTGGAGAATGCTGATAGCGAAAAGGCGAAGCTCCTAGATGCGATTTTCCGCCCAGCCAAGCTTCTATACAGCTCTGGTATCCTTTTGGTCTTGTCTCTATACACTGCCGTAGCATTCTCGTACATCTACGTTGTGGCTGTAGCCGTGCCCGAAATTGTCGAGGGCATCTACGGGCTATCTCCGACGCATACAGGCTTTATTTTCATTGCCAATGGTAATCATTCCGAACAACGCAATCCAACTTACACTAACAACTTGTAGGCATCGGCTCAATCTTTGGCATTCTTGCTGCTAGAGCTACCCTCGATCCGATCTACATTCGTCTTAAAGCCGCCAACAATGGAGTCGGAAAACCTGAATTCCGCCTACCAATGGCCATCGTTGGTTGTTTAATTCTTGGGCCGTGTATCATGGTTTTCGGCTGGAGTGCATCCCTGCGCTGGCCTTTGTGGGTTGGCGTAACCACTCTCGTAATCATGCGTGTTGGCATGTTGCTCTCCTTCGTTCCCATTCACGCATACGTGGTGGACGCATTTGGTCTATTTGCTGCATCCGCCATGACTGCAGTTATCGTCTTGCGTTGTCTTGGAGCAGCCTTTCTTCCACTATTGACGGAATACTTGGCAGGACAGTATGGGTACGGTCTGTCATTCACCATGTGTGGCACCTTTACCATCTGCTCGTTGGTGGTTCCCTTGACCATTTACTACAAGGGTGAAAAGTGGCGTCAGAGATGTAAATACAGCATGTCAGCATAAATGGGCTTGAAGGGGGTACGGTAGCATCCATCGATTCGTTAGCGCATCTTTTTATATACCCGCTAAGGGTCCTACTATCTGCACTAACTATGCCGAAGGTCGGCCTAGATTTTACTTAAATGTTAAAACGAATAGACCAGTATTGAATATTCCAATCTCATGTCAACACTATATGCATGCACTACCGCCACAATCGCACCGGGATGAAGAGATATTCAGAACAGATGTATGCAGATATGTATGTGGTTGGATTGAATATATACAGGGTTTTATATACAGAAAAAAGTCATGTACAAATGAAATGCCTCAAAACTCTTGTCCGCGATCCATCTTAGCTCGCTATTTAAACAGAGCACTTGGAAGCAGCAAGGGTCCAGCCAGTGAGGCGGTTAGCAACGTCCTGGGCGTAGCAAGGAGTAGAGCCACGGCCGTCATTGAGGTTGCTGTAGGTGGCAGAGCCAGAGTTGTAGACGCGAGCACCGGCGTAGAACTTGCGAACGGAGCTGTCGCCAGTGTCCTTGGCAGCCTGGGCAATGGTGCCCTTGACACCAGCACCAGCGGAGGTACCGGCAGTACCGTCTCTGATCATCTGGAGGATGTCAGCCTTGGGGCAAGGGTTCTTGCCAGCGCAAGAGCCAGAGCCGTTATGGGACTGCATCAGACCAGGGTTGCGGACACCATTGTTGGTGGTGGGAACGCGGACGCAGCCCTTGGACTCCTGCATGACAATGGCGAGGATGAAGCGAGAGTCGACACCAGTCTCACCGGCGACCTGCTTGATGGCAGAGTTGATGTTGTTGATCTCAGTAGCAGAGTTGTCGGCACCCCAACCGTTCCAGCCGCAAGACTTCTCCATCAAGGGCTTGTTGTCGTTCCAGAGCTGGTCGTAGGAGCCCCAGGCAGACTGGGCAGGCCAGCCCTGAGCAGTAGAGCCGTTGCCGTTGTAGGGCTTGTAGGTGTTGCCGTAGCGGCGCTCAAGGGGAGAGGCGGCAGCAAGGCCAGCAAGAGCGAGGATGGTGGTAGCGTGCATTTTGAATGGTGTGTGTGTGAGGGTATCTGAAAAGATGTAGTATATACAGAGACACTGCCGGAGTGTAGAGGTGGATGTGAAGGAATGTGTGAAAGAGCTGACTGTCAAAGTGCTTGATGAAGAAAGAAGATATTGGGAAACAAGAGGACAGGATCACATCCTTATATATCCGTTTCGTCGACTCCTGGAAATCAGTCCACACATCACAATTGTGGAATCATACCACTAGCTGCTCTTGCTGCTGCTGCTGCTGCTGCTGCTGCTGCCTTGATGCTACAATGCAACAAACGAACGAGTACCACGGCGCTACACCGGAGGCATCAAATCGTCCCAAGTGGGTTCACGACTCCATTACTGATGCTCGGCGATATATTGGCTTCTCATGCAAAGCCACCAGTCAGGACTCTGCATTGTGTCTGCAGCAGCCACGAGGCCTCGCCCCCAGAGTCGGTATGTGTGTGAGCCTTGCAGACGGCCACGCTAATGCCGTTAGTGTCCGCCAAAGGGCTCATGCTACAGCTCCTTTCGCTTACCCTCCCTCATCGGCGCGCGCTCCCCACCACACTCGACTAAAGGCACCGGCGCATGAAACGAGTTCCTGCAGCAAGGCGCTATACTTTGGCGTTCTAGGCCGCGTCGTCGCTGACCAGCAGTAGCCTTCCAAGAACGACCCTCATCCGCTTCTGGCTTGGCTCGTGCCTAGGCCGGCGCCTTATTGGAGGAACACAATGGAGGGTGTAAGACGGCAGCACCGCAAATTGCTCTGGGGCCTTCCCGAAGGAGAAACTAGAGGGGGAGAACTATGGAGCAATCCCCCCCTTAGCCCCCACGTTTTTTGTCTCTGCAAGAGGGTGCAGACACAAACTGTTACGCCTATCTGCGACAAGACAGCTGCCATGGATCGTAGCCACACTGCGGAAAGTTGTGCAAGGGAGGGCCAAATGCAGGAGGGAAGCCTAAATTTGCGGATAATGCCATTGAGCAATGACCAAGGGCGCCCTAGGATTTGGCTTCTTACAGCGCCGGTAATAATGTAACGTATGCTTCTTGCGCGCCGTTCCCACGCGGTGCATTCCGCGCTGATCGGCCAAGCCATGCTGAAAATGTTTAATCGACGCATGAATTTGGCACGCTGATGTTTCCTCTTTTTGCACTCATGCCGCGATGAAGGAGGAGAGCCGGACGCATCGGTGATTGTAATCTGCGGTGCAATGCGAGCTGCATGCCTACAGTTCGTCTTACCGACCTGCTTTCCTCGGTCGCTAAAAGATGCGCCGCGGTATGGCGCTCTCTAAGCTACACACGGCATATCTGCGCAGAGCTAAGCTTTCTCTATGCTGTGCTGCCCCTGCATTAAGTGGGATGTAGCGATTGCGCTAGCTGAAGGCACGTTCTGACGCTGAAACAACCCACTGGGCCGAGTCCAGGCTTGGCAAGTTGAAGATGGCAATACAGTTCAGTTTTCATTTGTAATATAGACGGAAAAATTATATCCATCCTCAGCGGAAAGCCGCGATGTCCATCATCACCTCTGGCAGTCGCTCGGCTTACACAGGCCCTCCACATCCCAGGCCTCACTGCCGACGCCACGCCGCACTATGAACAGGTCAAGCGGATCCCACTTGGCCTTTATCTGACGGAGGCGTAAATAGTTTGCGCCCCAGAACGACCTTTGCCAGCCTGGTTCGTCGGCGTCGGCCTCATTAACGTACGCGCCCATGTCTGGTTCTAGGTCACGCAGCACAGGCATCCACTCGTGCGTGATGTTTGAGGTGACCGCCTCTTGGTAGGCGACGGTGGCATTCAGTGGCCAAGACCAGGAGAGAGCGAGGTGAGTCGCTGCCCGGCGCCAGGCAGGATTCACGGCATTCATGTTCTTGTTGCGCGATACCTTACCGCCCGCTACAATGTGGCCCAACACACTAATGGTCCCGGTGGAGGCGTGCTTCAGCGCGGCGGTGAGTTCCGAGGGCCCATTGTAAGAGTTTAGCAAGTCCTTTGAGATGAGGCGGGATCCGATTCGGTCAATAAACCCTGTTGGATCGGGGGTCACTTGCTGATAGTACCGGAGAAATGTGTGCATGGAGTTGCTGTAGTTGGCCGGAGGGACAATTAGTCCATCGCCGACTTCCTTCTGTAGAGTGCTTACCAACGGCGACAGAATATGCTGCATATCGTTAGCCTGGTCCTGGGTAAAGTTGGCGAATATGAAAAACCCTCCGAGCATGTATTCAGTCGTTGGAGTGGACGGACGATTCAGGGAGTAATAGCCGGAAACACCAGCATCGTTGATATGCGGAATCAGCGAGTGGAACTTTGTGATAGAATTCCAAAATGTTGTCTCGTTGGTAGTTACCAGCTTGTAAAATTGTATGTATGCTGGCATGTCGGGGGATGTTTGGAACGTTGCGTCAACGACTACCCCAAAGGTTCCGCCCCCTCCGCCTCGGAGTGCCCAGAAGAGATCTGCATTCTGATAGTCGTTTGCAATAATAAGTTCACCCTAGACAAGTTAGTCTATGCTCATAGACAGACAAAAGTAGGAAAGAAGTATAAGCTATACCTGAGCGGTGACAACGGTAAACTGTAGGACGTTGTCGGCAGCAAGACCGAGGAGCGGACTCAAAGGCGAATGCCCGGCACCTTGGACATAACCGCCGGCAGCTCCAACACTCGGTGATAAACCAGCAACGGCGAGAACATTGTGTTCTGACAAGACTTGGTACAAATCGTTAAGCATCACACCTGCGCCAATGGTGACTGCGGAGCCTCTGCTATGGTGTGCCCCAATCGGAGTGAAGGAGTCTGTAACGGTGATGCTGTTCAGTCCATGAGTGAAGATCTGTAGCGACTCGGGAGCAGATGAAGTTCCAAGATAGGAGTGGCCGGTATTTCGGATTGCCAGACGAAGGTTATGCTTCGTGGCGAAACGCACTGCGTCCTGAACGTGTGACGCCTGCTTAACAAGTGCAGAGTACAAAGACACTCGACCCTGACCACAAGGGATATCCACGCTTGTGCCGACCAAACAGCTTTCATTAGCGGAAGGGAGTGTTTCCCAATTGGGATACTGTAGGGCTGCTGGCAAAGACGCGCGAAAGACGGAGTTTGTGTTGGGGTTGCTGTTGACTGTGGCGCATAGGGTAGCATTGTAGCTTGGGGCGTGGCACGGGCTACCGTATGGGCGTAAGGCGACAAGATTATTGTCAATGGATGTATTCAATGATTTCCATTCATTTTCAGACGGCCAGCAGGAATCGTTCGATGTGCATCTGCAGGAACGGGTGGCGGAGGAAAAAGCAGAGAGTGCTAGGAGGGCGAGTATATGCATGTTGACCAGAAGTGAGTGCAACCAGCAGACAACAATCATCAGAGGCTTTGTTTGAAAGACTTAAATGATATCTTTTGGCAATAGAAGCAATGCGATATTTATAGTTGAATTTCTACCAATTCTTTTATTCGAGCTGAGTTTTTCGGCACATCACGCCGCGCAATCATTTCGCCGTATAATTCCCAATTAGGCAGTAGTGGATCCAGCCGCTTTACGGGCGTTGATTCGCAGCATAAATCCCAATCGGGCTATTTCTGTCGATCAATCAATCGGAATGCATCTTTCACTGTTGTTTGATGGCAATGGAGCCGAGTGAAGTGTGTAGGGAATGGTGATACTGCTATATTGATAGGGGAAACTTTGGCGCGTGGTGCTCGACCTGCCAGCTGGCAGCTGGCATGGCAACGTTTCGCAGCTGGCCGTATTGATACACCTGGCACGTATTGTTGGCATGCGCTTTTGCTTTACAATAACCTGGGCTTTCCTATGAGCTGCGATGAGTTATTGACGTTTGCTAGACATTGAGCTCGTAAATGTTGCGATTCCGCGTAAGGAGCAACCACTATGACCAGGCTGCGACACCGCCTCAATGGCCCACTCTCATGGGCATGTTCTGTGAGTCGAATTTTAAGCTGAGCAGAGGTACGCCGCGTAATACATCATCAGTCATTGCATCACTGTCCAGAGAGCTATTTGCCTGTTATCACCGGAAATATGGCCGAAAAGAATTCGACCGATACGCTCGACGACTTTGCCGTTGTGGAGCGAGACAATGTGCCTGTTGTGCCTCTGATGGCGGGCGAAAGCCTACACGACAAGAGAAAGAAGGTCTTGGACTGGCTCCAGCCCACCGACTATCTTTCCCCTGGTAATGAATACATGAAACATCGACATGCCCATATACCAGGGACAGGCGAATGGGTACAAGCTTCGCCTATATTTCGCTCATGGTGTGGCGAGTCCCAACCTGATAAGGTTGGGTTAGACACCGATTCCGGATATCACTACATTGCTCCAAAGACAGCACACAGCGCTTCGTGTCTCCATATTCGCGGCGTAGCCGGTAGTGGAAAATCCGTCTTTTCCGCCAGCACAATCCATCAACTGCAGAGAGCTGGTCATATTGTTCTCTTCTTCTTCTTCCGCCAAATCGTCGACAAAAACCACGCGGCAAAGTATCTTGTTCGGGATTTCGCTGCCCAGCTACTCCCACACTGTGATGCACTTGTTAGCGAACTCATCCAATTGTCGACGAGCATCGCTATTAGTGATGTCGGTATAGGTCCACTTTGGTCGGCTGTTTGCAAGATGCTTGTTGAGGGAAATGTTGGTCAGCAAGTCTTTTGCGTGGTGGATGCCCTGGATGAGATGGATAATGAAGACTTCCCAGACATGATGGAACGGCTCATCACGCTGGGTTTATCAAATCCTCAGACGGTGAAGATGATGGTTACTGGTCGGCCGTTGCCAAAGATTGAACTGGCCATTCAGAACAAGGGCATTGTGCAGCTCAAACTGGATCCAGTTTTGCTATCTCCAGACGTGGCCCGATATGTAGATGCTCGAATGGCATCTCTTGAGCCTAGGCTCAGTGACGATAGATGCAGCCTCGTCACAACTGCCATTTGCCAAAGAGCCAGTGGATTATTTTTACATGCTCGTCTTATAACGGACAACTTGGCTCAAAACCTTCAAGAAGGGCGCATTACAGAAGAAACTCTACCTGAGAGTTTGGAAAGCCTCCCGATGTCGTTGCGACACGTTTATGAAGAGATGCTCAGAGAGAACTCTATGCGTAGCGGTGTATCCATGAATGATCAAGCAAAGATCCTTACTTGCGTAACTCATGCGAGCCGACCGTTGCGATTAATCGAGTTGGGCTCACTCGTTGCACAAATGCTTAATGCCGACTTGAAAAGGGGCAAGGAACTTGTACGTGCAAGCTGTGGAAGATTGCTAGAGCTACTGGAGGATGAGACTGTTAGTGTCATCCATCACTCGTTCACCGAGTTTCTCCACGATAATGATCGATCTGCGCTGCCAGATGCCTTCCCTGTACTTGAAAATTCTCCGGCTCACGACATGTTCGTTGTCCTTTGTTTGGAATATTTGAACAGCTGCCCGCATTTTGATCCTGGGGAAAACTCACACGACTACGATCTGGAAAATTCGACATACCGAGCAGAGCAAGCTAGGCGAAATGCCATTAGGACGGAGCTGCGACTTAGCCACCCGCTGGCTGCATATGCTATCGAAAACCTTGGCTTCCATTTCACCAAAAGTGGTAACATGCCCAATAACCGTGGAATTAAAACGCTGGATGCATATTTCATGCCCAATCGCCCTGCCTTTGAAACATGGATCCTTATGAATTGTCCCCCCGACATTAGTACGCGCACCAGTTCCTTGCATCTTTTTATCAATACAGCACAGGATAACGCCATGCCGCTCTTCGTTATTCAGCATATAGTTCAAGCAAACCCTTTACTAGTTGATCTTACCGATTGTCTGGGCAGAACACCGCTGAACATTGCAGCGAAGATTGGACGGTGTGACGTAATGCAGTTACTACTATCTAAAGGCGCTAATCCAGAAACCGGAGACAATACTGGGCAGACACCACTTCATTCGGCGATATTAGGAGGCAGAGAGTCAGCCACCCAACTGCTTTTGGATGCTGGTGTTGATCCGCTAATTAAGACACTACCAGTGTACGATGGTTGGAGCGTGGCATTTGATTGCAGAGTTCAACTTAGTGAGGAGCAGGCACAGAAGAGATGTAAAACCGCACTCTCAATGGCCATGAGCGGCCAAAGTCTGGCTATTAGAACGAAGTTCCTCTCCTTGGTCCCTGTTGCTGAAAATACGTCTGTTTTCCACAGTGCAGAAACCGTCGACACCCTTGAAGCAATTCTAAAGACTGGTACAGTCGATATTAACTCATATGGCCCGAAACGTGAATATCCATTCAGAAGAGACTTCCAAACAACAAAACTTTTTGAAGTGGCTGCAACCAAGAAGCTTGACATGGCTCAAGTTCTTCTCAACTATGGGGCTGATCCAATGCGACGCGAGCCGGGCCAACCTACTGTTCTACACGCTATGGCTGGTTCACAGAGGCCATATAATACTTGGTACAAAGAAGATCAAGAAAAGCTCAATGATCTAGTCAAGTCGCTTGTGCATGCTGGCGCGGATATTAATGCTACAATGGACGAAAGGAAGCCGCAGAATGACGGCGGATATGCCCCTTTACATCTGGCCGTGCGACGCTCGACCTACTTTTCTCTTACAGGCTCCGAATCCCACGAAGAAGTTTTTACCGAGGCACTTTTGAAAGCTGGTGCGGACCCGAACAAGGTGACAAGTACCGGACAGGCACCTATTCATCTCATCAATCCATGGAACGCCGAGCTTGTACGTGTTCTAGTAAAACATGGAGCAGTGATTAATCAAATAAACAACCATGGCCGTACCGCATTACTAGAACTTTTGTATCAACTGGTACGAAACGGGCGCAGTAGCATCCCGAGGCATGAGTTAGTAGCAGAATCGTTGAATGCGCTGCTGGACTTCGGGGCCGACCCATCTATCATGGACAAATTTGACAATGGGGTTTTCCACTACATTGTGAAAGCATTGCATGTTTTGGATCATGAGTGTTATCTTCCTCTTGTGGAAAAGCTGTTACAAAGAGCTGATTTGGGTCTCCTCAACCGCCCAAATATGGACGGAGACTCACCTATACACGGTTATGGAACACTAGGATCCTTGGAAATCCTGAAGCTGATGATCCGCGCCGGTATGTGTATTGATGCTCGAGACAAACGTGGCGATACTGTCTTACATATGATGCAATGCAAATATGATACATCTACCGCAGATTTGAACAGACTTGTTGCCATTGGTGCTGATCCAAACGCAACGGGACGGGGTGGCCAGTCACTTTTCCGGGCCGCTATTGGATTGTGCAAACCATTGGATTGGCTTAAATATGTGCTGAAGATCAACACTGCGCCATTTCCCGTTGATGATGATGGAAATACTATTCTGCATCATATTTCCAAATGTTATGGAGAGACACTTGAGTTGGTTTGTGATCTTGTCGTACCAGCTGGAGCAAATCCTTTAGCTAAAAACAGGCATGGGCAGTCTGTCTTTCATACTATGGCGTCCAGGAATGCACGAGCTGTTCTGAATAGCCCACATTTCGAGGAATTGGATATTAATGAACAAGACGTTGACGGATTCACGCCACTGCATTATATACGCAGTGAAACGCATGTGGCAGAACTTTTGGATAAAGGTGCCGATATTTCCATCAAAGCAAAGAACGGCATGTCACCTTTGCACTGTGCAGCAAAAGCAGGAGCGGCTTGCGCCGTGGAGCTTCTCATCAGCCTATATCGAGGACACTCTACGCTATCTCAGGAGATAAATGCGCTGGGAGATGGAAAATCACCTCTGCACTATGCCTGTCAAGCTGGATCATATACGACTGTGGCTGTTTTGCTGAGAGCTGGTGCAGACCCCGGTGTCGTTGACCCGGAGGGGTGGACGCCTCTTCATATGTTATCTAAATTTATACCCACGAAACCATGGTCTGATGTGGAACCCATTACATCTCGTACACCGGAGATTGTACAGATGCTTGTTCGTCAAGGCATAAACTTGGACGCTACAGTCACGCATATGCTCGACGGCAAACAGCCCCCAGTGCGGGCTACTGCGCTGGATTTGGCGGTAGATGCAAAACGATGGGAGCTAGTTCGTGAACTGATAGCTTGTGGAGCCATTGTGCCGGAGAAGTATAGAGATTCCGAAGAGTTTCTTCTTAATACTGATAAAGAATTGGCTCTTGTGGTTGCCCAGAAGATGGAGGCAAAGCTGGCGGAAGAGATATCAGGTCTATCAGAACAAGAAAGATCTAAGAGGCGCTATCACAATCATATGTGGCGTGGTCGCTGGTCTTCTGCGTATGAACCCGAATCAAAGGTTGAGGGTTGGATTCATAGCCCAGAAGTGATCTTCACCCCACGGAAGTATGCTAATGGTGTATCAATACCAGAGCGCTATGTTTTTGGAGCGCCTCTGGCGGAATACGAGTTCGATATCATAAAGGAATACTATGCTCACAAGGGTGATATATTCGATGATCCTGAAAACATTGACGGTTTCATGAAAGTGTTGGTTTCCGAAGGGTATGAGTCGCTCTTGAGATACTTCATGGGGAATCGTCTTCATCGTGAAAATCCAACCAAGCCTGATGGTGAAGGGAGGACAAAGCTACCTGGACTTACCCTGCTAGGAACATGTTGCTCCAATACCTCTCCATCTATGCATATTATAGAATGGCTGGTTGATGAGATTGGGGTGGACATTGATGGGAAACATGCCGACCAGAGCATTCCGCATACCTATTACAACGCTCCATTGCATATACTTGCTAAAGGATGCTCATTTTGGCACGTTGAAGCCGCGAAATATCTCATTTCGAAGGGAGCAAACGTTGACGTGCGAAATACAGGAGACCAAACGCCGTTGTGCATCGCGCTAGACGAATCTGAGAGACGCGGGCGATGGAACTTGGACTTTGCTCGGCTGCTCCTGGAATGTGGTGCGAATACCGACGTATTTCACACGTCCATTTTCGGTCGGATCAAAGACCCACGGCTCGTACAGTTGGTTGCGGCGTCTGGTGTCGATATGTCGCGACATAGCCACTGTTTATCTGATAATATCATGCACTCGATGCTTCCAGAGACAGTCAAGGCGCTTCTTGATGCTGGTGCAGACCCGAATGACTTTCTTGAAGGGGAATCATATGACAGTGACGATGGTAACTCGGATGAAGTGGATGGCGAGCAAATCGACAAAATTGAAACTGTAGCATCATTCGATGCTCGATATGCTCTGCACGAGGCTGCATCTAGAAGATCCATAGATGATCACGATGACTATCCACTCGAGAATCGAGTAACTGTAATTAGCTTGCTACTTTCGTCTGGAACGAACCCGTTTCTGACGTATAGCGATGGAAGCTTTATCCTACAGCAGATTGTGAGAGACCGCGGCTTGGCGAAGCAGTGTCTATCTATGATGAAAGAACATAAGCCAGATCACAGGGGACGATATGGCCGCACACTTATTATTGAAGCAAGTATACCGGGTGCACAACGTTTTGCACCCTATGAATACGATTACAGAGATAACGACGAAAAGAAGAAGGAGATTACGGTTATGGGCGACGTCATAAAGCTTTTGGTGGACTTGGGGGCTGATATTACACTAGCCGATGACCGGGGCCGGACCGCTCTACACTGGATGTGTACTCAGAAAGTGCCATTTGACCTAGAGGCTAAAGAGGCATTCAAGGCACTCTTAGCGAAGAACCCGCAAATCGTTGAGATTGCAGATAACGAAGCCAATACGCCGCTTGCCCTTGCACTAGGCTCATACTCAAACAAGCATGCTTCAATGGACTTTGCCATCCGAGAGTTGGTTGCAGCAGGGGCAGATACAAGCATATTACAACCAATAAGCGGCAACTCTGTGCTACACCGTGTAGCACAATGGCTCACCAAAGAGGGGCGGGAGACAGCTGGCGAAGTCAAAGCACTGTTCAGTGATCTGGCCCCTTTGTTGGATATAAACATGCGAAATAAAGCAGGAGAATCGGCTTTAGCGATAGCCCTCGCAACACCCTTTCCTCCACCTGGCGAATTCCACTCATCAACGAACCCAGATTGTGTGGAAACGTCTGCCGTGGCGGCGATAGAGCTTCTATTAGGTCTAGGGGCAAAGGTAGACACCGTTGACGCAAAGGGTCGTGGCCTATTGCATGTTACCGCCGAACGGCCTATCAATGAGGAGCGGAGCCACAGCTGGCGTGAAGAGAGTATGATTGAGAAGACCTTTGTGAAACTGCTTGACCTAGGTCTTGATCCGCATCTAGAAGACAATCAGCTACACACTCCAATTGACATTGCCGTTGCTAGGGACTTGGACGGGGTGGTGAAACTGTTTAGTGAGGAGGGCCGGCGTGCGGCGGAAGAACGCAAAGTGAAACGCGAGAGTACTGAGGATAGTAGTACTAGCCAGCGCAAGAGCTCTCATTCGGATACTGACGATGATGGCGAACATGACGAATAACCACAGATTTTTGTCTGTCTCGCCAGACAAATGGCATGAATGAGGACAGCAACTAACCGTCTTGATGCAAGGTTAGCAGCACCTTGCGGGTTGGTCTTCATTTAGTATTAGCTCTTTAACTATTTATAGTAATGTACTCTTCTAGCTCTAGGAGCGACGGCTTCCCGATTTCCATTTACGAAGAACGTCAGCACACTTTGCATTGGCCTCGCCCCTTACGCTCGCTGGATCCGCACCATGACGCAATAGAGCTGTTACAATCCCTGGTTTTCCCGCACGCACCGCGATATCAAGTGCAGCGTCGCCGGTTGCACTACCATTCACAGTAGCGTGGACATCAGCTCCTCTATCTAGCAGACATTTGACACCGTCAAGAAACTGGCGGTGGCATACAGTCATTAGGGGCGTCCAACCAGCGTCATTCATAATCTCCATATCCGCGCCGCCATCAATACAAAGCTCCATGAGCTGGGCGTTTTTACTTTTTGCTGCGGTATGAACTGCTGTATAAACTTCATTGTCACGAGTGTCGATGTTGATCCCAAGCTTGACGAGCTTGAAAAATGCGTCTCTCGTCGCGTCGTCGTACCGCTGTTTGGCCATCTTGTGCATCAATGTGAATCCTTGACGGGACTTTTGGTTAATTTCCGCACCATATTGCAGAAGCAATTTGATCATATCCATTGAATTCGTCGCCAATTCGAGTGTCCCAATCTCCTTGTTATTTTGAGTGTTCACGTTCGCGCCAAGGTCCAGGAGCCGTTTCACCGCAGCACGATGGCCACGTCGAATAGCATTGTGCAAGGGAGTGGTCCCATTGTTACTCTCCTGTTCGATGGGTACACCGGTCTTTTCTAACAGTGCAATGGCTTCTGACAGTCGCGACGAAGCTGCCTCGTGCATGGTAGATGAGCCGCTGCGAGTCTGGACTGTTGGGCTGGCGCCAGCTTCTAGCAGAACTTGCACGACGCAACCTCGGCCATCAGTGCAGGCCTTCAACAACGGTGTGATAGCGCCATTTTGGTGTGTTTTGGAGTCTTCTTAGTTTAAAATATCGACAGGAACACCCATTTTCAAGAGAAGGCGAACAGTGTCCGGGTGGTTGGCAACATGCATGGCTGAACCCATCAAAGCTGAGAAGGTGAACGTTGGCACCGTGATCCACAAGAAGCTTAAACGTTTCATATGACCCGGAAAGGGCAGCGAGATACAATGCTGAAGGGCTTTCCGACGCTGAGAAGTCAATGTCAGAAACTGTTGGCAGAAGGAACTTGGCTACCTCGGCTTGGCCAGCCCTAGCTGGCACCTGAATCGCTGTGTGCAGCTTAGCTTGTCCAACGGGGAACTCTGTCTGTGCGCCACGATCGAGGAGTTCTTGCATCAATTCCACATTTGAATAGCCAGCCGCATAGAATAGAGGTGTTTGAGTCCCCTCGGCGGTCCACAGAGTGCCAATTGGGTTGGTTCCACGGCGAAGGAGAGCCGTAGCGATGTCGCCATGGCCTGCCCTGGTAGCTCGTAGAAAGGGTGTTCGATCATGCTCGCCGAAAATACAGTCAACTTCTACTCCTCGGTCAAGTAGCAGCTCAAGGCACTTCAACGCATCCTTCTGGGTTCCGGGTACAGGCTTCCAGCCAACCACACGAAGAAGAGAACTGTTGTCTAGTATGGACTGTACTTGAAGTACTAGTGATCATATAGAAAGAGGGATTAACAACGTAATTTTCAAGAAGACTATGCTTAGCTTGTAAAATATAAAATGCCAATACAATATATACTGGTTAAGAATCAGGCTATGTTTGAAAGCGATTCTGCAGAGGACCATGGCTACCCTACAGCCAAAAATGGCGCTCGTTAACGCCCAGTGAAGGCCGGTAGGGGAGATACTATTATACAAAGAATGTAATTAATTCTATACTGGGGATTTTATTGAGGAACTACTTCTATATTATAGTCAGTTTCTAGCTCCAAAGTCTGTCCTAGTTATGGATAATGTCTCCTTCCACTATTCTAAGAGAGTACTTTCCATGTGTGAAGCAGCAGGTCTAAAGGTGCTATTCCTACCGCCATACTCTCCAGATTTAAATCCAATCGAAGAATGTTTCTCAGATTTGAAACGATTTTTACCAAAGAGGTGGAATGATGAGCAGCGAGCAGAGCTTCCGTTTGATGCGTTTCTCCGTCGATGCGTCAAACACCTGGGCCGGAAACAAGTCTATGAAAATGGAAACTGGAGAAACTTCAATGCAGAGAGTCATTTTAGAAATTGGAGCATCCACATCGAATATCCAAGCTAGAAATATTAATATTTGCTTACATTTATAAAACAAATTCTTTAATCTACTGTACTGTCACTCTTCGCCTGAACAAAAAGACACCCCACCTCCCAGCTCAAAGAGGCCCCAATCAGGCCGACAGGGTTCAGCCGGGCCGATATCGCCGCGGCCTGCCATCTACATCAACGCAAGGCTACTTGATTCAACCCCACTGCGTTTGCGCTGCCGCCCAGCACAAAAGCCCTCTCGGAGCCGATCGTGTTTGATCTTCCGATTCCCGCGGCGCCCGCCGCAGCAAGATGAAAAAAAAAACAACGCCCAGCGACATTTCCCTCCTGCTGCTTTTGCTTCTTTTACCAACAAAGCAGAAAAAGGGACATAGAATGTAAGCTATAGTTTTTTTAATCATCCGAAGATGCTCTGAGCTAAAGTGGCAAAAGGCTTTTTGCTTTCCATTGGATGCTGTAAGCTTTCGTCACAGCAGAGCCCCCATGGAGACAGGCAAGCGCAGCGTACAGGGCCTAGGCAGGATCGCTTCCCCGTTGCGCAACAACAAACGATTGTCGGCTGGCTGCGCCGCTGTAAGAGCGTCCATCGCGCAGAAATTAGCGTGCTTCAGATGGACATTGCGCGGGAGGTTCCACGCCTCTCGTCTACCACACAGGGTCTTTTGTCTGTCGGGCCGCCCATCATCCTTCCACCGTAAGATGTATTGGACGCCACAAAAAGTGTAATAAATTTGAAGTAGGCCGAAATTGAGCGCTGCAGGTGACAAAAGACATTAACATCTGTTGGTTCGGACGAGTCAGCCAGCGTCACATCGGCCAGCCTGAACGATGAACGGCGCTGCAGGCTTCGTCCAACGCTTGACGGACAAACAACCTTGGAATAGTTAGCGGCCTTTTGCGCACCCCTCTCCTCGGTGAAAAATTACATGATTTTTATTACTTCTACGCGCCGAGCATCCAGGAAAGGGTGGATGGAGGACTCCACCCAAGTAGTAGCAGGACCAACACGGCCAACAGAGCCAACACGGCCAACCGATGTCGGCATCCCTCATAGCTCGATAATGGGTAATGAAATCTTGGGCAATATTAGTATCATTTTGTGCACAGCGACGGGGCAAATCTGGCAATATAAGAGCTTTGAGATTCTGAGGCGCTGGAGAGATTTATTGGCTGGATATAATTTTCACAGGTGGTGCTGTTGGCCCTAAAATACAGAATACGCCACGCCTGAGGGCATCTGCACGCCCATCACATTCCCCACTGCAGTGTGGTGAGCACCGACGCTGAGTGGCCGGGCAGACAGGTATCGGCCGTGCCCCCTCTCCCAAAAATCACAGGCTTCCCCGCTCGGACACCTGGACTCGCCTGCGCCATTAAACTCTAAAAAACAAACCAACAGAAACTCTGCCGCCCACCATGCAGCCGTTTGCTCTTCTTGTCGCTGCCCTTGTCGCTACTGTTGCTCAGGCCGGTATGACCCTCTTGCTCTTGCCTGCGTGTCGTTTTCCATGACTGACCTGCTCATAGCCCCTGGCGGTACTGGTGGTAACGGTCTCTTCTTCGCCACTGTTGAAGATGCATCGGAGTAGTTCTGCCTTTACTTATACCATTGTGATTTCTTTTCGTTTAGGGAGAGGAAAGGGGAGCATGATACCATATACCCACGCATAGATTAACGCATATATATTTGTTCTGTTTTGGAGTTGGGAGCCATACCTTGAGATATTCACCACGTCATGATCTCCTTACGCAACCATGTGGCCTTTCGGCATGCTCGGTCAATCTGCTTAAACCTTGTTATATCTGGCTCGTAAAATACAAGCCAGGTAGAGGGGTATATTTATCATTATCATCGTGCCTGGCGTGCCGCGTTGGACCGAAGACGGGAAGGTTTCTTAGGCGTTGGTGGCTGAAACGAGGTGGTCGAACTCTGTTTGCAGGGTGGAGAAACCCACTCCAAAAGTAGACCTGCTGTTGGCCCTAGTAAATATACATTGTTGGCTGCTCGCCCCGTCCCATCCCCTCATCAGATCTCGTCCGTCTCCCTCTACACCTTCTATGATATCTGCTATGAGCTCGAGCAAATAGCCGATGCCATGGATTTAAGCAATCTTTCTCTATCTGAGAAAGGCTTGGTTTTGGTTCATGCCGCATCTCTCTTGTCCTCCCTTTTGCTCTATGTCCCGCCGCATATCACTGGGCGAGAGCCACAACGTCTGGCAGTAGCCAAGCCTGTATGTTACTCTTTTGGATCGACATCGAACATAGTTAATCCTAATTTATCTCATGGGAATAGATACGTTTGGCTGCTGTCTTTGGCAAGGCCGTCGTCTTATGTACTGAGAAGGAAAATGGGATCTTGCACGATTTCCTTAGCACTCTTGCCCTTCTTGGCTGCGCAATGCCGGCATTTGCACTTGTATTCCCTAACCTTGTCGCTCTATTTAGTGGCCAGCATGTTCTATACATAAGCATCGTTCTCGACATACTCTTTGATGCTATCGCCGCCCCTCAGTTTTCTCGGTTTTTTGTTTCGCCACTCCTACCTCGCCTAGGATTAATATCGATGACAATCAACTGTATACTTCTCGCACGACCTCCATCAAGTCTTGCGCAAGCTGCTCAATCCAGGGACTGGTCATTCACTAGACCTTTAAAAGAGTTTTGGAGTACAACAATGTCAATTACAAAAGAAGCCACTATCCCAAATCCCGATGCTATCCAACCTGCCGACCGATATGTACATCAGGATCAGTTTGCTGTAACCATTGAAAAGCAGCTTTTTACTTTACAGGACAAGCGAAAACAGTCAAAAGGTTTGTCGAGATTGATAAGTCCAATACTTGATTTTCCTAGCTAACAGGACCTAGAGGACGGCACAGTACACAGCCTAGCAACAGCATTGGTTTCATTCCTGCTTGATGGTCACCCAGCGATTCTCTTTCAAGTCTTCATTTTCGCTCTCTTATCCGTGCTCCAGTCTATTTACTTGCAAAACACACTCCCTCTGCTTGGCTTGGCTTCCCCAAAGCTCACCCCTGCGCACCTACATTTTGTGCTGGCTACAGCCGTTTTGTTCACTGGGATGGCTATTATCAAAGCAAAACTTGGTGCACTTACCGTTGATGCTACCTATAAAACTAAACAGGTATTGACAGCTGCTGTATTCCAGAAGACCCTGCGCCTAAATAAGCGTATTGCTCTGGATTCAACAGCTCGCACCTTACTAAGCGACGAAATCGAAACCATAGTAACCAACATGCCATTTGCTTCGTCTGCCATCCTTAGCGTGGTAGAGATATGCTTCGCCTTATTGGCGTTAAGATACACGGTGGGCACACTAGGTTCTCTTGTCTTGGTAGCCAGTACAAGTGAGTCAGGGGCCTTTCGTGACATTGACGATAAGCTAAAAAGATTTAGTTCTACACCTGTACATGGTGCATCATACGTCGCAGATGGGAGAGCAACAGGCACAAATATCACAAGTCTCCCGAAGATTGTTTTTAGCCGTTAAAGATATGGTTGGCTGTATTGTGCCCCTCAAGATGATGGGCCTAGAAGACACATACTTTACGCGCATTCATGCTCTGAAGATGACTGAGCAAAATGTATGGCGGGAAATCCATCTATCACAGATTTCTCAATCAATTCAAAGTAAGTATCCCACTAGTCTCAAAATCATACTCTAAATACCAACTATGGATAGCTGCGTTTTACGTGGGTCTCTCAACCTGCGTTCTCCTGGTCTCCATGATCTGGAAATGCAAGGTTCAGGGCATCTCTATTACAGCCACTGCTCCTATTGCTGCGTTGCTATTTTATCAAGTCAGTATTTCGGCAGTATATATACCTTCTCTACGTCTCATAACCTCGATAAAACATAATCTCGACCAAATTGAAGAATTTCTCGATACGGCCGAACCGATGGAACAGAGACAACTACGAGCGTTAGGTGAGAGCGCGAACTCAGATGGAGCGAATGTTCGAATTGCGGGTCTCACATGCTATTTGAATGGAACCACGGAACCCCCGTTCCGCAGATTGGATCTGTCACTCAAGAGTGGGACAGTGACAGTTATACGAGGCTCGAGCGCCTCCGGTAAGTCAGCAATTCTTGAATCGGCATTAGGTACGATTACTGCCACAGCAGGGAGTATTGAAGTACCAGACTGCCCTATCGCCTACTGCAGTCAGACTACATGGCTTCAAAATGCCTCTATTCGGAATAATATTATTGGCTTATCGACGATTGACGACAATTGGTACGATCAGGTTGTCAACGCTTGTGACTTGCAAGTAGACTTTGAGGCCTTGCCTCAAAGTGACTCCACAACTGTCTCTAACAATTCGCTGAATCTCAGCGTTGGTCAAAAAATGAAAATAGTGAGTCGAATCACAGCACTCCTCGATGGACCTATCACGCAGAAAGTAGCATATTAACCTGGCTACTTCTCAGGCATTGGCTCGGGCAGTCTACAGCAAGGCCCCTTTACTACTATTAGATGACGCATTTTCCATTTTCGATACAGCTATGGCGTTAAAAATTAGCCAATCATTATTTTCTCACGATAGTGGCCTTTTGAGACAGTCTGGTGTCACAGTACTACTCGCCACTCAAACATGTGAGCCTTACTTGGGGTTCGAATTTTAGTAGTAGTCTTTCTAACAGTTTCTAGTTCCTATTCCCGGCGTGGTTGATGTGGTGTACAATATTCATGCCAACGGAGCCTCTGAAGTTTCTCATCAGAGCCTACAATTCACCCCGACATCCAGCGCATCGGATCAAACCGCGCAAGCTCGCATCGCCCAGCCCCAACATCAGCCTGCTGATAGGATTGGGCCAATTCACGTTAGATACAATGGATTTTCAATCATGGGTCTGTTACGCTTTGTATTGAATACCTTTCTGGACAGAAAATCCTTCTACAGGTTTTTCTGCCTCCTTGTACTATTCTCTTGTCTTGAATGGTATATTGGTAAGTGTGAGTGCTTATGTAACCGGAACCAAGCCGCTAAGTGTCTTTAGATGTTCCTGTTTGGACTGATTTTCAGTTAAAGAATAGCAGTGTTTATTCTTTCTGCAGTTGGGTATCAGCATGCGTCATCAGTGGTGCCATTACTATATTTGCGTATAGGTAACGTGTTCTCTAGAGGGCTATGTCGGACTTTGCTAATTAATATATTTTTCTAGGGTTCTAAAGCTAAATTTGATACCCAACTTTGTCAAGTCGACACATGGTAAGATGTTGCAAGCAGTATTGTGGTAAGTTAGGATGACTGTCTCAATGTCTTGACTATAGTTAACATGTCTCTCTTTCAGGGCGTCTGCCGCGTGTAATGCGGCCAATGCCGATCAAGTTGAGACTATGTAAGTAACTACTACACATCAACTGCATAAGTGATCAACGCTAATGCAAACACGAATTCACAGTATGAACGAAGACATGTTTGCAGTGACTAGGCGCCTGCCTAGTGTGCTTGCACAAATCGTTTACGGTATGAGATTGTAAAGTGGCGTAGTATTGTTTTCTTAACTAATACGATCATTCAGATGGTATCTACCTAGTTTTATATTTGGCTACCTTGGTTTCTGTAACGAGGTACTCGATATATTCGGGAGTTGCTGCTATTATCGTCTTTTATCTGGTTCAGAAAATATTTGTTGCCGCTTCTCAAGTGGCCGACAAGATATCAGCGGCAGCATCGATGAAGATGAAGTCGAACTTCTCCAACATTATCGACGGATTGACACACATCCACGGCTTTAGATGGAGCCATCAGACATGGAAACAGCTGCTGTCAGACCTGAGTGCAGCACAGCAGGCAACGAGACAACAGTTGAGACTTGACCCCTGGCTTGTTATGGCTGTTGATCTTACAATTGTAGGCGTCATATCCTGCTTGGCCGTATCTCTTACGATATTCCGTGATAGTATCAGCTCTTATTCTGTGGCTCTGAATATATTGACGGTCTGCAAACTACACAAAATGGCGGTTGAGATGGCAAAGCTCCTCCTCGCATTAGCAAACACAAAGGAGTCACTCGCTCGAATGGAATACTTCCGCTCCAACTTTGAATCAGAAGAGGTGAGAGAAGCAGTCGTCTTACCTGAGAGATGGGGTGAAGACGCATCTATCGAGTTCAACCGGGCCGTCATTGGCAATCATGCGTAAGTCAACTACCATTTCATTTCCTAGACGAGCCTACCGCTAACTTGGATAAAGTCCCATCACAGGCATTGCCATACCTGGTCGGTTTGTCACCATCCGGGGACGCAGCGGAAGGTCAGTTTTCATGGTATCCCAAATACGAACAATGATGCTAACTACATACAGTGGCAAATCACGAATCTTACTTGCCCTGTTATCATTGGTTCCGTATGAAGGATCCATCAAGATAGCAGGCCGGGAGGTTCGTGAGATCCCCCCGCGAGAGCTTCGCAAGCACATCTCCACCATCACACAAGAGCCGTTTGACCTGCCCGGCACTGTTGAGGACAACCTTTTCCTGTACAAGCTGCGCAATCCAGAGATTACCGGACGAGTATTGGATACCGTCACCATGTTTCTCTTGGCACAAATCGGTATACTCGATGCCGTGGGCGATTACTACGACGCTGCCTTCAGCGAGCTGCACCTCTCGTATGGTCAACGCCAAGGTGTGAACATTGCCAGAACTGCACTGCATAAGTTTCAGACATCAAACTTCATTCTTCTCATGGATGATGCTTGTGGCAGACTTGATCACGAGACTGCAGCGGCCTATAAGCAGGCAGTGAGGGAATGCTTCTTTGGCAACGCCAGTATTATGGTTGAGACTGCCGACTGCGATCTTGAGGTTGTTGGACTACTACCGCTGCCTGACCCCGTCGATCCACTCGCTTAGACGGAATAGGTAGAACAGGCGGATGATTTTGCAATTGTTGGCATGTCCTTTGTATTTTATTTATCTTGGTTCTTGTTGCGTTTGCACTACTTGCACTTTACTCCTCTCTGCCCCTTGCTTCATTGCACACGTAATTTGCTGTTTAATGCTTTCTCAATTATATACTGAACTTCATTATTATTTTATTAAATATATTTACTAAAATTAAGTCTTTTCCTCTAAATATACCGAGCTGAGTAACCATCACTTCTGAGAAAAAATATTCATAGTCTCTAAAAACGAAGAAAAAGGAGGTACAAACTGTGTAAAGCTTGTCTGCCACTGAGCAATGCATGTGGGTTATATTATATGTCTCGATTAGGTATAGTTCCAGTAGCAGCACCAACCTTAAATGTATAAAGACGGCACCATCGATCTTCAATTCTGTGTCATGAGCGTGTCCTTATCATGGCCGAGATGCTAAGGGTCAACATCCTGTAAACACTACGCACGCTGTATACTTTGTTTCATTGGCCAAAAGTAGCTGTTTGGTATAAATTTTGGTATGTAGAAAAAGTGAGACTGAACTTGAACGGCAATATATAAATTTGTAATTAAGCCTCCTCTACAACCACCTGCTCTCTGCCTTTTTCCTCTCGCCAGTGGGGGATGTTGTGAGCCCACGGCCAGGCACCTCCAAGCGCGACTCCATTATCGATGAAGAATTTCTCCACCCAAGATAGATTCTCCTCAATCTGATTCAATTCCATAATATTTTCATACGTTACTTTCACTGCTTTCCGTATGAATTCTCTGTATGGCTTAGTTTCCGCTCTTCCAAGCGACCAATCCCGATAGCGTACGAGTTCGTTTTCGAGGCTGGATGTCAGTCGGTGCCGTTTCTTTAGGGGCGGCTCGACGGGGGCCTGTGGGATGGGAGCCTGTACCGACAACTAAAAGTAGCTGCTGCCAAAATTATTGGTATCCCAGAAATTGGATACCGAACTTGAACTCTGCTGTACCAACAATTACAGTTGCGAATTATACGGATACTTGTGCTCAAGTGTGTAGAAGACGGCCACTTCTGGCCATTTACCTGGCTGTAGAGCGTTCAAGTAGCAATACCTTGTCGGAACATAACAAAAAGGAGCTAAGTTACACAAAAATGCGCGGTCTACTATTAGGCTTATCTAGCAAAAGCGCGACAGTCAATTCGCTGGTGACTGTAACAGCCCCTCTATCCTGTATCTTTTTGATACTGACTAACAAATACACATAAATAACCGCTGTCTTAATTCTCAATCAATATATATTTCCCTTTTTTAAAAAAAAAAAAAATCCTTTCTGAAAGAGTCTTTTAAGCAAGAGCTTGAAATGTAATACTTGAACAGGAGCCTTGGAATATAACTTACCCAGTATACTTAAGACGTCATGCATTGTTCATTTCACTTTTTATACGGAATAAAATCAACATCTCAGCCTGTAGGGTTACAGTGGACTGAGGTATGTCTCGCATCTTTTCCTTACCCGAGGCTGAAATGCGATAGGTTGCATGATTCAAATGCGGTCTTACTACGGCCTGCCTAATTTAGTTGCAACAGGATCACATATTGGTGGAAATGAGTTCTAGCCGGAAATAATAACTGTTAATCGTGGCAATTCTACTCTATTTTATCCAGACCGCTAAATATACATATAAGATCCACTGGCGACAGAGTCCTTGGTGATGTCCCCTATCAACATTTCTCTTCAGTTAGTGCTGCGAAAGAGATGATTCAATAAAATTCGTTACAGTATGTCAACTCCAACCAAAAATGGGGCCGATGAGGGCGGGACTAAGGCAACTGACCCGCACCGTGAATGGCGCCGCGACGCTAGCATACGGGTAAGAACCCAAAAGGTGCTATTTAGGCTGCTCATACATTTAAATCAGGCTCCGTTTGCCGCATCATCTACAGCAACACCACCAGAAAATCTTGCAGTGGTAGCCTACGTAACTAGTTGTAGGGGGATTCATTAGGCCGAGCCGATCTGTAGTGGAAAGCAACTTTAATGTCATGTGATGCGCAGCAAACGTCTCACGGCCTTGTGCGGGGAAGGTGCTCAGGTCTGGCCTACTTGACTGCTCGACATCGTCACTGTTAAAGTAGCACCAACGATATGTCTGGCGCTGAGGTTATCGGGTTGATATCAGCTATAATTTCGATTGTTGAGGCTACCGTTCAAGTCAGCAACGCCATCAAAGATGAGGCTGGCCTACCCCCAAACTTCAAGGCTTCCGCAACAAAGCTTCCACTAATCACAAAGCTTCTCGATGATGCAGAGAGATATGTCAAAGGGTCGAACGAAGAGTCTATCGCCTCTACCTTCAAACCAATTTTAACAGATTGCGAAGAGAAAGCCAAGCAGTTGCAGCAACTCTTCGACAAAGTAGTCCCAGCTGAGGGCGACTCGCGAATGCAATGCTACCTTAAAGCTGCTCGAACGATTGGCAAAGGTGGTCGGGTGGAGACTTTGATGGCTGGTCTCCTTGATAGCGTGCGGCTGATGGCGACCAACTTTCCGGACACATTCACACCGAGGGGACAAGAGAGTTTGGCAAAGGCGATTGGCGAGGTGGCTGAGATGGAGCCATCCTTGCCTAATGACTTTGACACCAAATCCTCCTTTGTTCAGCACGGGAATGGGGTGCAGAACAACAATTTTGGCAATGACAATAGCAATATATCGGGCAGTCAAAACCATGGCTCGGGTACGATGTTCGTTGGTCATAATATTGGTATGCCGCCTAAGCCATAGATGTCTTGTCGTTAAAATACTTAATTATTGTATAGTTGTTAATCATCCTGCAAAAGAAAATATCCAAACTAGTATAACTAGCCTCATGTTTGATTCAAGTATGTCTGGTCTCAATCCTTATACAAACGAAGATGGCAAAGCGTGAAGGCTAACAGAGATAGGTCTGTGGGGCAATAATTTTGACATTACTTTTAGTATGTCTGAAGTGCCCAGGATCCGGAGCTTTGTGGCACGAGAAAAAGAAATTGAAGAGATGCGTCAGTCGCTCAGCTCTGGTATCGGCCGTCGCATCGTCGTCCTCCAAGGACTTGGTGGCATTGGCAAGACTCAAATTGCTGCAACATACATTGAGCGATTTCAGCAGGACTTCTCTGCGATATTCTGGCTGAATATGAACGACGAAGTGTCTATTCATCAAAGCTTCGTTACGATGATGGAACGGATCTTGAGCCAGCATCCTACCGGAAGCGCGACCAGCGCGCTGAACCGACAGGAAAGCAACGACGCGGTCATCGAAGCTGTCAAAGTTTGGCTCGGCTTACCGCGTAACACAAGGTGGCTCCTTGTATGCGATAACTATGACAATCCAAATTTCAGCAATATTACCAAGCATGGGATAAACATCAATCATTATCTTCCCGCAGCATTTCAAGGCTCTATTATTATCACGACTCGAACATCGTTTGTTAATGTCGGACACCAAATTCCCATAAGAAAACTCGAATCAATCGACGACGGCCTTATGATCCTAGCGGCGAATTCGTATCGGCACCACTTGCATGACGGTAAGTAGTCTACTGGTATTGCAACATTTGCTAATATTTCCATAGATATAGATGCAAAGCGCCTTGTTGAAAAGCTTGATGGGCTACCACTTGCAATTGCTTTGGCTGGACGGTATTTGGAGCGCTCTTCAATGAGCTTCGCTGACTACCTTCAATTTTATGAGACGTCATGGGCAAGTCTCCAAGCAAACACTCCAAGCTTGGGATCTTACGCTGATCGCACGCTATGCACGACGTGGCAAATTTCTTACGAGCATGTTCAACAGCACAATAGTCTTGCTGCGCATTTACTTCGATGGTGGGCATTTTTTCACAGGGAAGACTTGTGGTTTGAACTCGTTCAACACGCGGCAAGCGAGGGGCCAGAGTGGACACGTGGTCTTGCCAATAGGCTACACTTTGATGCCGCTATGGGCAAGTTGTATGATTATGGATTCGTCGAAGCACATCCTTCTAGCAACGATGTAGGTGAGTCGAGGGGTTACACGATTCATGGCTGCCTGCATTCATGGATAAGTCATATATTACACGACAAAGAAGAGAAGGACCTATCTACGCTGGCCTTTACATGCATTGCGTCACATGTTCGTACGAGTGACAATGAGAAGTACTGGTTGCATCAACGACGTCTTATATCTCATGCAATAGCCTGTTCCAACTTAATCCAGAATAGCTACAAAGATTTAAGCTGGGGCTTTAACAAGGTTGGAGATCTTTTCATGGACCAAGACAAACTGAATGATGCCGAGAAGATGTACCTTCGAGCACTTGTGGGGTATGAGAAGGCATGGGGTCCAGATCATACGTCAACGTTGGATACTGTCAACAATCTAGGGAATCTTTATGCAGATCAAGGCAAGATAGACGACGCCGAGAAGATGTACCTGCGAGCACTTGTGGGGAAGGAGAAGGCTTGGGGTCCAGATCATACGTCAACGTTGGATACTGTCAACAATCTAGGTGTTCTTTATACAGATCAAGACAAGATGGTCAATGCCGAGAAGATGTACCTACGAGCACTTGTGGGGAAGGAGAAGGCATGGGGTCCAGATCATATGTCAACGTTGAATACTGTCAACAATCTAGGTGTTCTTTATGCAGATCAAGACAAGATGGTCGATGCCGAGAAGATGTACCTACGAGCACTTGCGGGGTATGAGAAGGCATGGGGTCCAGATCATACGTCAACGTTGGATACTGTCAACAATCTAGGTGTTCTTTATGCAGATCAAGACAAGATGGTCGATGCCGAGAAGATGTACCTACGAGCACTTGTGGGGAAGGAGAAGGCATGGGGTCCAGATCATATGTCAACGTTGGATACTGTCAACAATCTAGGTGTTCTTTATGCAGATCAAGACAAGATGGTCGATGCCGAGAAGATGTACCTACGAGCACTTGTGGGGAAGGAGAAGGCATGGGGTCCAGATCATATGTCAACGTTGAATACTGTCAACAATCTAGGTGTTCTTTATGCAGATCAAGACAAGATGGTCGATGCCGAGAAGATGTACCTACGAGCACTTGTGGGGAAGGAGAAGGCATGGGGTCCAGATCATATGTCAACGTTGAATACTGTCAACAATCTAGGTGTTCTTTATGCAGATCAAGACAAGATGGTCGATGCCGAGAAGATGTACCTACGAGCACTTGCGGGGTATGAGAAGGCATGGGGTCCGGATCATACGTCAACGTTGGATACTGTCCACAATCTAGGGAATCTTTATGCAGATCAAGGCAAGATAGATGACGCCGAGAAGATGTACCTGCGAGCACTTGTGGGGAAGGAGAAGGCTTGGGGTCCAGATCATACGTCAACGTTGGATACTGTCCACACTCTAGGTATTCTTTATGCAGATCAAGACAAGATAGACGACGCCGAGAAGATGTACCTACGAGCACTTGTGGGGAAGGAGAAGGCTTGGGGTCCGGATCATACGTCAACGTTGGATACTGTCAACAATCTAGGGAGTCTTTATGCAAAGCAAGGCAAGATGGTCGATGCCGAGAAGATGTATCTTCGAGCGCTTGTGGGGAAGGAGAAGGCACGGGGTCCAGATCATACATCAACGTTGAACACCGTCAACAATCTAGGTCTTCTTTATGCAGCTCAAGGCAAGACGGATGATGCTGAGAAGATGTATCTTCGAGCACTTGCGGGGAAGGAGAAAGCCATTGGCCAATCTGATATTGCTACATATCGACCGGCAATTAATACCATCTTGAACATAGGCATCTTACGACATGAGCAAGGAATGCTCCTTGATGCTAAAGACCATTATCAGCGCGGGTACGATGGCCTTTTCGCACTGCTTGGGCCGGCTCATGCAGATTCTTGCTTAGCCCTCAAGAGACTTGTGGAAGTGGATGATGCGATTGCTAGAACCTCAAGTATTAAGCAGACAGACTAGATAAATATTAGGTACAAGACGTTGTAGGGTTGTCCTGCACCAAGCCGGGCATGAATCCTGATTCTAGTAACTGGTGGCTCCAGTATTATCGGTGCGGTGTTACAGTATATATGCAGCATTATTATATTGTAGAACATCAAAATTCCGTGCGTGATATTTTGGCTATATCTCTTCGTCCAATTTCCAGCATCTAAACTGGACGACTGAAGTGTACTCATTGACAGCGTGAGTGATGCCTCGCACCATAATCTGGTCTCTGGAGGAACCAAGATACATTATCCATCACGATTACAGACCTTAGGCCGGGATATATGCCACAGAATTACAATAACTCAAGAATAAAGTCATTATACAAAGCACCGGTTGTAGAGCCTTGGTAGACTCTTCTAAGGAGAATGCCGTCTTGTGTGTAGGCAAGTAGAATATGCCATCGATTTCCGCGGCCAAATCGTTTTATCTAAGTAGGGGCTGTGCCTTTCGGAGACCAACCCAAATGTCTAAATCCGATTCTTCTATCACAACCTGATTCATCGACGAAGACTATACGATAAGAAGGCTCTTTCCCTATCCTGTATAGAAAGTCGGAGCGAATGTCATCATCGCGCTGCTCTGCAATTCTTCGCATTCTTTTACGACTCCAGCTGATAGATTGCAAAGCCCGGCCGATGGTTCGCTCAGACACTTTGTCCCCAAACCGTTCAAACAGGATGTCAACCATTTCGTCTCTATACAAATCAGGCTCTTCAACGAGTAATTTGGAAAGAAATTGTTGCATTGGTTTCGATACTCGACTACGGCGACCGGTCTTCCGTCGTTTGGGCATGTCGGAAAGCCCTTCGTGGCAGAGTCGCTGGACTGCTCTAGTGCTACACTAGGCCTGACGGGCTATGTCATTAGTGGGAAGGCATGCAAGAAGGAGAAATTTAACTAGGCCACGTTGAGCAAGCGAAAGCTGTGGTGCCATAGTCAGATTTAGATGATAAAGAGCCAATTTAAGCTCATATACTACAACTCAGGGTATGTAGGGTGGAAGAAATGGGACGAAAGCGAAGTCAAGGCGTTTGGGGGGGGGGGGGGGGGGGGAGCGCAGCGCCTCTGAGCATCAAGCGGGCGCTGCAGCAGACCTGTCTGGTTCGTCTGGCCCCTGGCTATGCCTGGATGGCTCCACATTGCACTGCGCTCCAGTGGTACTTCGAGGTACATGGATGGTTCCTTGCGCTAGGCAGCCACCATCAAGCCCAGTAAACCGCTTTATAATATAACTAGCAGATGTGCGACACTCGTTCCGCCTTCTACTGTAGCATAAAAAAAGAGAGAGAAACAATTCCCATATAGAACACACACACACATACACACAACTGTGTCGCGTTGTTTGCAGTGCTGTGCTGCGCGCGTAAAAAACTCAAAAGCGGCGCCAAATGATTGGCCAACAGCGACTCTCAGCGCCAAACACAAGCGCCCAGCACCAAGGCAGTGCAAACAAAAGCGAGCGTCTGCTGCCAATCACGCAAGTTTTGTTTTTAGCCGTTTTGCTTACAAGCTCCTGCATATTGCGAGTTTCACTTGACGCTCACTCTGGGATTCACTGGCCGCCGTGTATTTTTAGAGTCTGCAGGTGAACTGGCCGTGACAATGGGCCGTGAAGAGTGTATTAAAGCAGCAGCCTGTGCTGCCCATTGGTCCTGTTTACATTGAGCAACTCATTCATCTTTTCCTATTGTCCTTTTCCTTTGTCAAATTTTCCTTTTGTCTTTTTTTATATTCATTCCCCATTTGCATTTACCGCTGGTCGGCCACCCATCCTCCGCATCTACACTTTTTATACGTCTACCTACCACTACCAACATCATCTCTTCGTTTTATTTTTCAATACCGATATCACCTAGATCTTCGAAAAAAAAAGAACAGAAAAATGAAATTCTCTGCCGCTCTCAAAGCAGCCAAGTCTGCTCAACAGGCACACTCTGCCGCCAACGACTTCCGCCATGCCGATAAGCGCCAAATGGGCCGTGACGCTGGCCACTTTGCCTACACACAAGGCACCGATAAGGGAAAGACAGTCGCCAAGACATGGCTCAAGACATTTGAAGTGATTCCCCGCGTCATCTGCCGTGGTACACAGTTCATTCTGGCCTTGATTGCCATTGGCTTCTACGGCCACCGCGTGGATGCTGATCGCAAGGACGGCTCTGGCTTCTCCCCCGAGTGGCTATTTGCCGTCATCATTGGCGGTCTATCTGCCGTCACGTCGATGCTGTTCCTTGCGACGGCATCGGCGGGTATGATTCCCTTTGTGGGCAGCAAACTCAAGATGCTCAAGACATACCGTGCTTTCTGGTGGGATGGCGTGCTTTTCGTGAGCTGGATGGTCGTCTTTGGCATCTTTGCCAAGATCTTTTTGAAGCGCCAGGATGGCGATACGTACAAGGGTGCCGACACGCACGCCATGAAGACGGCGATCTGGGTGGACCTGATCAGCGCTCTGTTTTGGATGGTTTCAGCTGGGTACGGCTGCGGTAAGACATTCTTGGGAAGAAAGGTCGATGGCGTTACGGAGAAGGCTGGCAACAAAATGTTTCAGCAGCAGCCTCAGCCTGACCCTCACGGTCAGTACAGCCAGCAGGGATACCCTGGCTTTGCAGGATATCCTCAGGCTGTCTAAGACTTTGTGTGGTTCCACAGTTGTTTATCTTTTTGCTTTAAATCACATAGATGCGACTAATGAATATGCTTATTTTGTTTTGAGATATAAATCTTTCGTTATTTTATTTACTAGTATATCTATATATACAATCGTTATGTACGTTTGACATGTATTTTTGTTCCTTTTTTGCTTTTTTACTGTATTAATTTAGAGACCCTTGGCCCAACCAAGCTGGTTGTTGGCATCGTCAAAGATGACAAGGTTGGACTTGAGGGCAACGTCACCAAAGATGGAGATGCCGCCGAGGCCGCTGAGGGTGGCAATACCACCAACACACTGGCCGTTGCCGTTGGGGGCAAAGTTCATGTCAGCGCCGGGGACGGTGGCCTTGCCGCTGCCAACGTTGAAGTTGAAGCTGGGAAGGGTGGTGGAGCAAGGGTAGAGCCAGGCGTGACCAGCACCGTTGTTGATGGCGACCTTTTGAGCGCCCTTGACACCAGCCCAGTAGGCGTTGGCAATGGTGTCGGGGAGGATGAAGAGGGAAGTACCAGTGTCGGCAGTACCAGTAATAGAAGCCGACTTGGTGGCGCCCGAGCCGATAGAGTAGCCGTTGGACTTGAAGAGACGGTGGCCGAGGTCGTCAGTAGAGGCAGGGGTGTAGCTGATGGCGCCAGAGTACTGCTTGGAGTCAATGTAACCAAAGTTGTAAGAGCCGGCAGCCTGGTGTCTCAAGCGGACGGTGAAGAGCTTCTTGTCGAGACTGGCCGAGATGTTGTCGAACCAGGTCTTCTGCTTGGTGGGGGAGGCAGTGTTGCCCTTGCTGAGGGCAAGACCGAGGAGGCCAGAGCTCTGGGCGTCGTCGGTGAACTGCTGGGAGACAGTTTGGGCAGACTCGACAGCCTGGCCCTTGACGGTAAGGCCACCAACAGTGACATCGTCAGAGTAGATGATACCGGAGCACTGGGACTCGTCGGCGTAGTGGATGGCCCAGGTCTCGCCGGGGATCTGCTTGGCAGAGGTCGAGCTCTTTGGGTTGTAGAGGGTCTGGCCGTTGACGACGGAGGAGTCGGTGTCGGTGGAGAAGACCCAGAGGTCCGAGGAGCCCGTGTCGAAGTCGAGCTTGAGGGTCTGGGCGGGGGTGCCGATCTTGACCTCGGTCAGGTAGAGGGCATCAACGTGGTCCGAGTTGGGCTCGGGGTTGGTGATGGCAGAGCCGGTAGAGCGGGCCGTGTTGGAGGAGGCGAGCGAGGCAAGGATCTCGGCGCGCTTCTCGGCAGGGACGTACTTGTTGAAGGCACGCTCAAGATCATGGGCAACGTGACGAGACTTGCCGTTGAAGGTGGTTGTGGCAGAGAAGGTGACGCCGCTCTGGGTAGAGGCGGGAGCAGCAAAGACGCCGCCGAGGGTAGAGGCCAGGAGAAGGGCGCTGGAGGTCTTCATTGTGAAAAAAGGTATGTGATGTATATGCGAGAGGAGGAGGGAAAGAGGGAAGATGTGCTTATGAGACTGATGTTTTCTTTTGAGACATCATGAGCGGGCATCCGATGCCCTTTTATAACCCCCCTCCTTCTGGTCTGATGATTGCCGGAGGACCGGTGTGTGTGTGTGATCTCTCGTCCCCAGCCATTGAACGAAGGCTAAAAGCAACCTGGACCTGCAGTACAGTACAGTACAGGTACTGCAGTCGCCCTATTCACCAGGCTACGGAGCTAACAGCAACGCTACCCCAGTTCAACTACCACTTGCCTGGGTTGCTGCATGATCTGCAGCTATGGCCAGCCCTGGTGGATCATCTGGGGGAAGCCCAGCTCTTCTTGTTGGTCTCCAAAAGTTCCATGGTCTGGCTGACTACCAATCACCGGGTAGAAATGGACTGGGCTTCCTTGTCAGGAAAGCCAGAGAGTTGCCATTACCACATGTCAGCTCCTCCACGGAAGCTAGGCTTAGAACGATACTGTCTGCCGACGCTTGTTGTTGTAGTGGATCTGTACCGACCTTCCGAATTGGGGCTTAGAGTGATCAGGACGCCTATCGCACTACGCAGGCCACTACTGTTTCATCATAGCCGCCACCCACCACCTTATTAGGGGGCGTGCGGGGGAACATGCAGCAGCAGCCACCACTACTTACTTGCTGCTATCAGTACCGCTAAGTAGTTGGAGCCTAACGATACACTATGGTGGCGGTCCTGCTGCTGCGGCCTTATGACGGCCAATGTATCTCAATCAAAGACGCTATGAAGGCGCCTATTCAGAACGAATTTCTTTTATGGTTTACCCCAGTTTATCCAACCCCCTGAAATGCTGCTTCTCTCATCCCAGATGCCGATGGCGAATCGTCATGGGGCACCTTGTGGTGGGGGATATTTCGTAAAATGATGGGGAACACGATGGGGCTTCCCCAGTGCCGTCGTCCCAGAGCAGAAGGAGGATAACTGATTGCGTATTTCCCAGCTCAGGGCCCTTTCGTAATGGCAAATCGCTGCCGCTGTCACCATGACTCGAGGGGGCGGGCACCGTTTGTACTTCTCTTTGCGCAACAGGGGCAACATGAAAATAAATACGAGCATTTTCTGCATGCTTCTTGGCAGCCAGCCCACCCAACCTGTCAAGTCTTAGACATGGACAGAGCCAAGACAAGGCGTCTTTGGAGAAGGGAGCATTGGGCGATTTGCATCTCTCGGCAGCCGCCGCCACAGCGTCGCGGTGAGGAGAAAGTGCAACGCCAAAGAAGGTGTGTGTGGGATGCTAAGCAAGGCACGGGCGAAAAAAAAAAAGGTTATGCATGAGGGGATGAAATTACCCGGTTGCGTTAGCGGCAATGCATGAGCTTAGCGTACTGTAGAACAGCAGCATCTGCGTCGGCAGTCTTTTTCCCCATGGGATTGGATCAAGGTCTGCGGGGGGAGGGAGAAGAGATTACACGGCAACACGAGAATCGGTAGTTGGGCCAGCTCAATATTCTCTGGGGGACCAACCACGGCAGATTGTGTTGTGTAAGCCTTTGTCCCGGAGATGGTGGTGCTGCGGCAGAAGCAGTAGCACGCAACACAGCACCGCGCTCTGAGACAACGTCTAGCCGCCGCTGCCTGTTTAAACTACAAGAAAGAACAAACAAGGCAGCGAATAACAAGCCTCACATCCAGCCCCGTATGGGAATTGCTTCAACCTTCCATCTTGGGATCGAGCGGCCGCTGCCCGCCACCACAGGCGTGGCTGAAAAGTCTAATGATGGACGTGGCACCGGCATTAGTAGCTGGAAGAGTTGGCAAAAGTCCTTTGTCATTGGCTGATTCCCTGGCGAGAAGCAAAAAGGCCCCCTTTGTTGGGTGCTACTGCATACAATGCTCCATACACTGGTGCGCTGAAAGTAGACTTCTTTCTCCGAAACTCTAAACCAAACCCGGGCCCGTGCGTCGCCGTCGTCCCACGCTATCCCCTGAACAGGAAGGCCCTGGGTCGATGGCGACTTGTCACACGAGAACAGCCGTGCAAAGGTTCATCATTGGGCCGCGGTATCGACGAACAAGACGTCATCTCTTTGTTGGCCCCGAAAGCTACTGTACCTACCACAGAGGAGTATGGCCATTATTGCGCCGAACGGCTTTAACCTTGATCACCACACACACACCGTCTCACTCGGCTTAGGCTTTGGTGTTTAGTGCCTACTTGGCTTGGAGAGCGAGAACCAGGATGTTTCACGCAAATATTGGATGAATTGCAAACAGGAGCTAAGAAAATCACATCATTGTATTGCTACCTTGCATCTATTTCGGCCAATTATCTCTCACCGGCTAGTCTAGTCTGGTCTAGTCTGGTCTGGTCTAGTCTGGTCTGGTCTAGTCTGGTCTGGTCTCCCCGTCGGCTGAGGCATGCGGTCTCCAGCCTTTCCCCGCCTTCTTCCAATAGACCAAACCACCGTATCACCACTTTTACAAAGGGGGAAATTCGATATAACGTTTCTTGGCGGTAAAGAACAATGCCCCCTCATGAATTGTCCCTCAAGAGGCGCTTCCGGTCAATACCCGGTTCTTCATGTTCACATCCATCATGGGCCCATACCAAGTCCCTCCAAAAGTGTATCTCCTGAGCATCGTACCACCGCACATAGTTGTGTCGCGTCAGAGGCTCCATGTCTGGAAACGCCTCGTGGGACACTTCAAGCTCAAACTTGGCCGGTGAGCACGTATAATAGTGCTGGCCCATGATGGGGTAAAAGCTACTTCTCCAGGCGGGCGAGGGCGGGCCAAAGGTATGCGCGCGCGTCACTTCGACGACCTTGACAAGCTCGATATTCGGAAAGTACTTTTCGTTCTTGGCCCTGAAGAGTCGGACGCTTTTATCGTGATCACGGTACCACTTTCCATACCAGCTATGCTCGATGATGATGCGGCGTAGCTTCTCGTTGCCCATGGTATCGATGAGATCGTCGATCACGAACTGGTCCACCCGCAGCGTGTCAAGCTTATAATTGAACCATGTCTTGCGGCGGCCGTGCTCCCGAACGTATTGAGCTCTCGGGCTGTCGCCTTTTGGGGCTGCATCGACAACCAGGAGTTCGTACTCTTGCAGGAGCGTTTCTCTGGCCAATTGGCACGCTTGCAACGCTGGCGGTGTACTAATTATATCGACGTCAAAGCAAATCTCTCTTGGCTCGACAGTGGCTTGCCAAATGGCGATCTGCAACTCCACCGGCAAACGAGGGAAGGCATGAAATGTGCAAGTCATGATATCCAATCAGACAAAGACAAACCTCCAACGAGAAGCAGCAGCAGGTTCAAGGGGATATTTATTTTTCAACATTATTTCCATTGATTGCTATTTACCACGGCTATTATTTCGCCACATGAAGACGCATTATGTCCATTGTCTCCAAACGGCGGCGCCGACCAAAGAAAGTTAAGCCAGCCCCATCGAACGACCACAGCGCTCGTTCGCAGAGTATATTTACAATGTCACTCACTGCAAGGCGGGCATGACTCACGGCTAGTCAATCTCGGTTCGCCCCAAGTATCTCCCGAGATCCCCTTCTTACTGGTACAGCTTAGCGAGCTTGACAAGGAGAGTACCGAGGGCGAAAAGGATGGGCTCGAGCTGCAGACCCAAAGCAAACGGGTTGAGCTTATCATTAAGTCTAGTGAAACTCTGGCACTTGGTAGACAGCGTTCCGTCAAAGGCATCACCTGTAAATTGGATGGCCTCGACGAGAGCAACAACTTCGGTGGTGAGGTGGCCACCGGCCTTGTAAGTAGAGAAGCGGACGGTGGCGCCGTTGTCACACCACGTCTTGCCAGTCTTGACAGCGCCGTCATAGGGAATCAACTCATCATCAGACGCATGGTACATCATGACGGGAGCGGTGGGGGTCTCGTCCTTGTTGAGGGCCATGGTGTTCTCCGTGAGGATGGGAGCTAAAACAGGGTGGTAGACAAGCCCGGGGCCCAAGCTCTGAACCTTGGTCGAGAGGAACTTGAGCCCAGGGTACTTGAGGGCGTTTGCAGGAGCACACTGTGTGTTGCCGTCATTGACGACGGCGTGGCCGTAAGGCGTGGCGATGGAGGCAAAGACGGGGCCAAGCTGCTTGCCATAGGCAGTAGGCTTGAGCAGACCAGCAATGGCACCGGGCAGGAGACCAGCAGCAGCAGTGCCGTCAATGTTGACAAGCGTAGAGGTCAGGTTGACAGGAGTGCCGCCCATGATCCAGGCCTTGACGTTGAGCTCAGGAGCATAGCTAGGCTGGAGCGACGCAGCCCAGCCAGCAGCAATGGCACCGCCCGAGTAACCGACATTGACCATCATGGGGTTCTTGACCAGACCAAGCTTGGGGCTGTAGTTGCGGACGGCGCGCATACTGTCGAGCACACCATGGCCTGATAGTCTACCAGCAGTCCACGCAGCCTCGGGGCCCTCATAGTCGGACGAGGCTACAGTGTATCCAGAGAGGAGGTAGGCTTGGAGAACGAGGAACTCGGTCTGCAGAATGAGATCCTCCTGGCTTCCGCCGAGCTGGTACTGGTAGCTAGGGTTGCACTTGGTGGCCGAGCTGTCGTAGGCCGTGTTGAAGATGACGACGCGGTCCTTCTTGGCAAAGAGGGGCTTGAAGATGGTGGTGACGGTGGCAATGGCCGAGCCGTCGAGGGCCGTGGAGCGGTAGAGAAGCTGGCGAGCATCGACGGGATCCGGGAGTAGACCAAAGAAGGAAGCAATGATGCGGCGCTCCTTGAGCACGGTACCGGCAGCCTGGGACTCGAAGCCCGAGGGCGGCCGGTAGAAGGGATCGTTGGCCGGCGTGGTGGCGCGGCGCTCCGTGGGCATGGAGGAGGGAAGGACAGCAGCCAGCGCCTGGGGGAGCGCAACGCATGCAATGAGCATGCTGCGAAGAGAGACCATCTTTGAAACAGAAGAACAACTGCAGTGCAAACGCAGGGCAAGTGTTTTTGGTGAGGGTTTCTGGGACAAGCTTAAGAAGCAAGGGGAAGTAAAGGCAAGGTATACTGCGTCTACCACTATATATATACGCGTCGGTATATATATATATGCTCGATGACAGGCTATACGATGCAAATGTGTATAACACAGAAAGGTATCTCGGCACCGCTGGGCTCACTCAACCGCAGATTTTCGTGGCGGCCCGTCCAGCTTACTTGTCTTATATAGCTTCAAGCGAAGCTATAGCTAAGCCAAGCTCCCTCCTCGGCAGGATACCATCTACGGTCTGTTTTCGTCTCCCCCGACCCAACGTTTTCTTGGCTGGGAAAGGGGCCATCAGCACCAGCAGCCTCGAATTCCACGGCGCGGCAATCCAACGACTGCAGTAGCAGTGGACCTATGGCGGCGGCCGCAACTTGCAACTCACCTCCCTGATTAGTCCATCTCTTAAACGCCTACCTCGGCTGGTCGCTGCCGAAGAGTGCCTGTTCTACTTAGCAAAGCGCATAGCACATGTCTTTTGGGCCAGCTGCCGATCCTCTGTGTGACATTTTTCTTACTATTATTTTAATTAATACAAACATTTCTCTCCCGTCACGTTATGCGGCGGCGGCGGCGGTCAAAGGGTTGTCCCCTAACCCTTTATGGGGAAATTCTGGGGTGTGCATCACCGTTCCCACCAAGCCGGAGGCACGGCGCAATGTATAGGTCCGTTTATAGTTTAAGGGTTCAGTGTAGTCGCCCTAAGAACAATAGCGCCGGCGGGTGTTGGTTCTAAAAAGACGTTGGGAAGTTAGTTAGTGGATGATATAGCCGGCCGTTTTGGGTTGGGGTTTAGCGCAAGTCGGCTCATGTTTGAGTGCACAGTCGTAGCCTTAGGGAGGGTATTAATTACTGTGCGGATACGGAGAAAAGGAAGGTTCTCTTATTGGTGTGTGTGGGCTGGTGGCTTGGGAGGCTGCGATGGAGATGTCTTGTTTGCCGGCACCGGGCTGCACTGTGACAAAGCCAGGCTGTAATGATTGGCGTCAGCCGTAACGATCAGAAGAAAGACATGGCTCCGAGGTAATACCCTGAAAGAAAATGCGGCTAGTGATGTCAATGTCACTCGCTGCCGTGGAGGGACGGGATGATTGGGTGTGATACACAGTGTGAGTGTCGATGTGGGGGAGAGAGGGAGGGGTAATATACCAAAGAAGGAATACATGCAAACTTAAATATATTAATAAGACTAGTGTGATATTTTTCAACGAATTAAAAGAAGTGAAGACGAGGCTCTGGAGCATGTGTTAGGCAATGGGGGAGGGATTGGAGGGCCTGTAAGACAACGGGCACCAAGTAGACGACAGTGTAGTCAATACAAGATGTGACAAGAGAATAATTACTCAAATGTTACCCTCATTTACAGTGTAAGAGATTGTACCTTTTTGATTTATTATTATTTGGTGAGTGCATGTGTTGTATATGTTGTATGATGTTTGTAGGTGAGCAACTCCCCTCTTACAGAGCAGTACCCTACAGCAAATCCCATGTCACTACAAGTACACGACTTCTATATCATGGGCCCTTTTTTATAAAATGCCATTTATTTCTATGCATACATTTTATCGTCTTCTTGCTTTTTGTCTTATATATTCCTTCCCGGTTGGTATCAAATGCCAATGCGCCGTTTTCGTTTCATGTATATGCCTCCGGCCCTTCATTATCATTAAAACTTTTAGTTGATCCTCTTACTCGGATCCGTACGGGACAACACCCGCCTCCAACGCCTCCTTGCTAAAAGGGTAATCATTGTAACCCTCCACGCTCTTGGGGATAAAGAACGTAGGTCGGTTGTATGGTGTAAACGGCACCTTGTTCTTCACACGAAAGACGAGGTCCGGGTTGGCAACGTAGTAGCGGCCAAACGCAATGCCGACGTCGTAGCCCTTGTACTTTTCGTCAAGAGCCTCGGCGGCATTGTCGGCCGTATAGCCGCCGGCAACGATAAACGGCGTGTAGTTCTGCCACTGCTCCAGGAACGTCAGGATGCTCTGCTTGCGATCGCCAAACGGGTTCGGGTGGCCAGGGGGAGGCGTCTTGCCGTACAGCGACGGGTCGAAGCGCGGCTCAACCCACGAGACATAGGCGAGCTTGAAGCCGCCCTCCTTCAAGCTCTTGAGCACGGCGCCCGTCTGCTCCCAGGTATCCGTGGAGTCGGAGTAACAGTCCTGGTATGTGCCAAAGGGGCTAAGACGCAGACCAACACGGTCAGCACCAATCTCCTCAGATACAGCCTTGACGATCTCGAGCAGGAAGCGGTTGCGGTTCTCGACCGAGCCGCCCCAGCGGTCGGTGCGGTTGTTGCAGCTATCGCGGGTGAACTGGTCAACAAGGTATCCGTGGGCGCCGTGGACCTCGACGCCGTCGCCGCCGGCATCAATGACATTGCGGGCGGCCTGGCGGAAGTCGGCGATGCGCTGGAGAATGTCCTCCTCGGTCATGGCCTCGGGGGCAACGTCCTGGCCCTTGACCTTGATGTTGCCGGACGAGTAGTACTTGAAGCCGTTCTTCTTCTGCCAGTCGGGCTCGCTGCCGCGGCCGAGGTCCCAGAGCTGCTGGAAGACGAAGCCCTTGTTGGCGTGGATGGCGGCGTAGATCTTCTTCCACTCGGCCATCTGGGCGGCGGTGCCGACACCAGGAAGATTCTGCTCGCCTTCGGCGGTGGGGGAGACGCCCGTGGCCTCGGTGATGATGAGGGTGCCGGGCACGCAGGCGCGGTCGGCGTAGTACTTGGTCATCATCTCGAGCGGGACGTTGTTGTCGTCGTTGCGGTACCGTGTGAGCGGCGCCATGGCGACGCGGTGCGACAGCTTGATGGCGCCGAGCTGGAGAGGCTCCCAGAGCTTGGATTCCGAGACTGTCATTGTGTAGGATTACTATGAAGTATAAACTAAAAGGAAAAGAAAGACAGAAAGACAGAAAGAGAGTAGATGGGATAATATGGTGGGATATAATCTACAGAAAAGAGACTGGGGGATAATTGGATTTATAGAGAAAACCCAGCATTAACAAGCAAGCACGCAATACCAATCTCAACGGCTACATCATAGGCACATGGGACAAAAAAAGTTTGGGGTTTGCTGGTGTTGCTTACAAATTACAAATCAAAGTGTCGGTTTACAGCGGGTTCAGGCGTCGAGATTTTTTCACCTTGTCCCGCGAAGAATTCTCCACCAACGAAGGCGCTAGAAAGGGAGACTTGCAAAAAGGCAACGCTGCTATCGATAGGTGGGTGGTCGGTGAATTGGCCGGAAGACAAAAAGGGGGAATTTCATCTGATGATGGTGACGATGTCAAAGGAGAGATGTTGGTTATGGTGTTTTGGCGCCCGCTGACATTCCGACAAGGGACTACAGTATCCCAGCCAGGGATTTGCTTGCGTCTTTCTTACTCCTGTCATTACACCAGAGGAAAGTAAAAGCCACCGGTCGGCGACAAAAGGGTGGTGGAGAGCGCCGGGCTTCCGTGCCGTTGGACGCGCTAGCACTGTTCTAGGGGCAGAGACAGGAGAAGCACCAGTTGGACCCCTAGGGGAGAGAAACGACGCTAAACTACAAAGAACAAGGAACAAGGATGAGGGGCTGCTCTGTGATGGACAGTAACAGGCCAGCCTTGTGGCGGTGCTCTACTGCGAATGACGATCTTTATCAACCTGCAGGCAACCAGTGCCATTAGTCAAAAGGTCCAGCTGATGGAAATGGCTTTTGTTCAACACTATTCTGTAACAAGTATACCGCACTTGATACTGTCGGCAAATACTGGTGCTAACTGCCCAAGTATGCAAGACATACGCCATATTGATCTCAGCAGACGCCAGCCAGCCACAAAACACCTCTGTTTTTCTCATGATTGATTATCAAATGGCGTCGCCAGAAGCAGTATGTACTAATATAACTTGCGCCAGCCTGATATGCCGAGTTTTCATACAAGGCGTAGTATGCATCGCGGCGAAAGCAATTAGTCAGCGCATTCAACAGTTAAAGACAGCGCCCGATGGAACGGCAAATGGATGAGTATCGTTTACTGGAACGTCATTTACTGGAAAAGAGGCTATGAGGCTTCAGCGGCAGTGGTGACGATCTTCAGCGCGGACAGGCCGTGTGTAGGTTTGCTTAGTGAGAATGCGAGTGCGAGAGACCACCGCCACTACACTGCCGAGTTCCGTGGGAATTTGTCGAATGGCCAGCACTAGTAACGCTATAGCTGCTATTGGGTCTAGTCAAACAATAATCGCTGCCAAGAAACCGGATATCGTTGCATGTGGCCGACCGCGATCGCATCACGCACGAACCAGGCGTGCAAATCAATATCTGACGTCAAGAGACCACTCCAAATGCCTCGGGACGACTGAGATTGCACCGATACACAGCCCCCAGTGTGACTGGGCTTTTTCCGATATGTTTTCCGGTGGCTTGCGGTGGGCTATAGGGCAGAGCATTGGCTGCCTCTGACATCGCAACAACGACAATATCCCCAACTCTTACAGCATAACATGATCCAAAAATTATTATTTTATTTTACACATCTTTGGAAAACAATAGGAGACCTTTCTAGAAAGTTTCAAGCTATTTGATACAAGTTTGGACTTTTCCGGCGTAGCTTCTCGTCTTACACGCATCGGCATATCGGCAACGCATCGGCCACCACCAAATCCACCCCTGCACAGCATCGATCAAGTTTTTTTCTTCTCTTTCTATTGCACCTACTGCATAGTTTAAATTTGGACGTGTCAGTGATTACGCGGCCCCAGACAACAGACCCCTGCCGGCTTGCGTAGTCGTCTCCGCCGGCGCATCGACAGCCGCGACTCCATCACCGTAGCGAAGGGACGAGATCGCAGGGGTTGTGTTGGTTGCGTTTTATTTGCTGTCAGACAGCACCGCCTCTGCCGTTTCAAACGGGAATAACACCCAAACTATCGGTCGGTATTCAGAAATCCGGCCGCCGAGCTGTGCTGTGCGACCCCGAGTTTGGCTTTTGTTGCTGATGCTTATTCTGCCAAGGCCATTCTATAGCTAGTTTCAATAGTCTTTTGATCTAAAAACGCGACTATTGACTCACACAGACACAGCTCGTTCTTTTAGTCTCGTTCATTTTTTTGTAAGGCTGGTGCGCAGCCAGCGCAAGAGCCACTCTCTGTCTTTGTCTCCGGTACTAACGTTGCTAGTGATTTTTTGTTAGGGGCGCTATGCAGCGCATACCGGATTTGGGTACCAATTCGAACGGGATTCGCAGCCAAACAGGGCTACCAAGTCCGGTCCAGTGCGCCCGTAGCCTATCAAAGCAACCCGCCGTAGGGAGAGGGAGACGAGGCTACGCAAGCTCAGCCACTAGTCGCAGCGGCGCATGGGGCAGCGCCAGTACGAATCGGGTGGGCTCATCGAGGATTTGCAGCGTAGGCGTTGCCTAGTTGGGCATCTTATGCCGCAGGGTCGAGATGACGTTGCGCCTAAGCGCAGGGGGTTGTGTCTTTGGTGTTGGTGATGGAGCGAGCAGATGCGACAGTCGAGGAGTATATTTGATGCAGCCGTGTCCCTCTTCCTGTCGGGATGTTGGAACGGAATTCACACCTTGTACATTTCTTGTTTCAACAAAAAGCAGTTTGTCTTTTTTGCTACATCTACGACTACTACAACTACTAGCACCGACACCAGCATCACCACTACTACTACACCATACTCTAGATACTCTACTCTTGTATACGACACCAGCTCTAAAAAAAGAAGAACAAAACAGTCACAATGGGTTTCTTTGACGACGATGACGATAGTGGCGACAAGTGCCCTTACTACGATCTCAACGAGGGTAAGAAGAAGCGACCTATTCGCGATAAAGGGAAAATATGGCTAACATTAATTATTGCAGTCGCCAAGAGCAACTTTATCGCAGGCATGAAATTCAAACAATTCAACGAGATCCTCGCCGGCGCATGCACCGCACTCGCCTGTCTCATTGCCTTTATTCACCTCTTCCGCCATGCCACCCATCTCTCCGTCCCTCGCCAGCAAATCAAGTATGTTTTTTTTCTTTTTCTTTTCTTAATATTTCTACTGGAGCTGCTTTCTAACCTTTGTCACGTTACGCAGAGTCATGAGAGTCATCTCGCTGGTACCCCTCTACGCCATCACCAACATCCTCTGTGTCGCATTCCCTCCCGCCGCCGTCTACATCCTCCCCGTCCTCGATGTTCTCTCGTCCTTTTGCCTCGCCTCGTACTTTATGCTTCTCTGCGAATACATCTCGCCGCACTCCGAGGGCCACGACGCCTTCTTTGCCCGTCTCGAGATTGAGGACAAAAAGGCCCCTGACGGCAAGGTCCAGGACAACGTCAAGTGGTTCAAGCAACGCACCTTTATGATTATGCAGTACCCCGTTGTGGCGCTGCTCATTCTCATTGCCACGGCTATTACCCAGGCTATCAAAATTTACTGCCAGTTTGACAGCAAGACTAACTACGCCAAGCTCTACGTATGTCTTTTTCGTTCTCTCTTCCTCCTCATTCTTTTCTATTTGGAGACATTTGCTAACAATTCACAGCTCAGCATTGTCCAGGCCATCACGTCCGGTATGGGCATCGCCTCGGTCGTCCTCGTCGCCGTCAACGTCAAGAAGCAAATGCCCGGCCTCAAGCCCATCCACAAGCTCGTCGCCATCAAGCTGGTCGTCGGTCTCGCCTTTTTGCAGCAGATTCTCTTCTGGATCCTGCAGAGTGTCAAGGCACTCAAGCCCACCGACAAGCTGACCTACGGCGATCTGCACATCGGCATCCCTTCGCTGCTCAGCTGCATCGAAATGGTCCCCATCTCCCTCGTCATCATGTGGGCGTACCCTGTCGGCCCTTACCATCTCAAGTCGTCTAATGCCCGCCGTGCCGAGCGTGGTGAGGAGCACGAATACACTCCCTCGTCCTACCAGGGCGGTCCTCTCGGCATCCACGCCTTCCTGTCGCTGCTCAACCCTTCGGACGTCATCAAGGCCATCTTTGTCGCCTTCGGCCATGCTATTAGCCAGGGAAGCAGCAAGCTTGGTGACCGAGTAAGCGACCGAGTCAACCAGAACTCGTCCAACTTTTACAACAGCAACAACAACAACACTACTCAGTACAACAACAACTACAACGCTCAGCAGCCCCAGTATCAGCAACAGCAGCCTGCTTACGGACAGAGTGGTCGTCCCCAGTACAACCAGAACCAGTACCAGTACCAACAGCAGCAGCAGCCGCAGCGCCAAAACAATAACTATGGAACCCGTGCTGGCGCGAGAAGTTACCGCAACCAGGGCTACGCCCGTGCTGACTCCCGCTCGCCTCAGGGCCACTACAACCAGAGCTACGAGATGGGCCGTCGTTAAACGAGTAAAATATATCCCTTGATTTTTTTGTCTTTTCATTTCATGTATTACGGTCTGTCGGTCTACGGAGAAGCAATTTTTGGTTATTATTGCACGGCGTCCACTGCGTTTTTGTTTTGGTATAGATTAGAATGAACCAGCCCAGTTTGTTATGAAGGCAAGCATTTAGAAGAGAGAGAGAAATACCTTTGAAAAATATGCAGATAATGCATTCTACGAATATTCACGTCTACATCCTATCCAATATTTTTGCTTGTTATTTTTCCCCGCATTAAAGTGGTCGTGATCATCTCGCATTTGCTGACCCGACCCAGGGATCATGCTTACTTGGTGGATTTCGTTTCGAAAGCATTGTTTTCCGACGGCGTCATCTCACGTGTACAGAAATTAAATAATGGCGAATCGTATAATTATACCAACTAGGTAATTGTTGAGTGCCCACGTGTAGAGGAACAATGTACGATGAATTTTGTTTCCCTTCAGCTGAGCTGCTCGTGTATATGTATAGAAATAGAACTGTAAAAAATCAACTACGTCTATGAGCTATGCACCGGCTGATCATGTACCAAAAACTGGAAAACATCGCGGAAAAAGGCATTCTTGGCTTCAATCCACGGCATATGCCCACAGCTTTGATACACCACATGTACGGCATCAGCCCCAATGGCCTCCCGCGCAGCCTGGCTGGAAACCACAGAACATACAAAGTCGTCATCGCCTGACAGCAACAAAACCTTTGCAGAGACCTTTTCCAAATCCTCATAAAACGCCGCACCCGGTCTGCAATCCGCCTCGTTCTGCTCTGTCGACGGCCATGTCTGGGCGAGTCTCGTGCCATTCTGCTCTTTAAACACGGGATAGCTCGTCTCCGGGCGTGTAAAGTACAGAGGCAAGACACTCCGTATCTATTCCGTCGCTTCCTCGTCAGTAAGCAGACCTCCCGTACGGCTCGCGCAAAAGATCTCCATCATATCCTTGTAGACCGGATCGTGCTTGCGGCGCTCAAACGGCTCGTTGACCCAGCCCTCTGGCGGACTGTAGCCAATGACTTGTGTTGCAATAAGAATCGCCTTGGTGCAGTGTCGAGCGTACATTGTCGCATAGGCCAGCGCAATCCCTGCGCCGTTGGAATGTCCGAGCACGGCAATTTGGTCCTGGCCCAGATGTTCGCGAAGTCTGTCTACATCGTCCGCCATGTCGCGCGACGTCATCTTGGAGGTATCCTCGGGCCGTGCTGAGGGTAGCGTGCCCCGCGGCTGCATGCAAACGAGAGTGACGTGACCGCTATCGACGAGCGGCTTCATCGAGGTAGGCAGATAGTTGATGCCCACGCCCCAGCCTGGTGCAATGGCCACGAGCAGGGTTGGCCCGCGCCCTGTGACGTGATATACCACTTTGTTATTTGCGATCGATGTGAATGAGTAGTTGGCTGGCGGCAGCTCTATGCCGTTGAGGGCCTGTTGGACGTGGTGCGGACCACCAGTCTCGGCGACAGGCAAGTCGAGAGCATAGACGGTGGGTGTTGGCGCGGGGTCATGGTCACTCATCTTGATGGTGATTTTCGAAAGTAGGGCAATAGAGTGTAATGACTATGGGCGGCGAAGAATGGGCTGGTACTGTCGTTGTTTGAATATAAAGCCTCACCGGTACAGTAGTCGCTGTCCGGTGGAATTCCACTTTGGGATCTTGGCCGGTGTGACGTTTTGTTTTGACCCAGCAGAATTAGCAGCCAGCCTGATTTACGTTGCATTATGGTGTAGTGAATAGCACCACAGCAGAGCTAGGCCTAGGTTGGTCACTGGGGCGCTAATGCAGGAGCCTCGTTTCTCAAACTTGACGGCCTGATTTGCCAGATTATTAAATTAGAGTCTGTTCATGGCAAATTGCCTTTATGCCGTCTATACACGCTATAATCAGTGAAGAACATAGGATGACGAATGTAGGTGAATGATGTATGATGACAACGCTTGCTTGTTTTGCTTTAAACAACTACTCTATACTCTACCCATCTTCCACTCAGGGGAAAAGACTATATAAAAAGAGCTCTTTAAAAATGATGAAGCATAATCTTGCGGCGGGCGACCGTCTCCATCTTCTCGGCAGTCTCAAGCTCCTGCTTCTTAGTGGAAACGAACCACTTGACGTAGTCTTTGCCCAGAGCACTCTCTAGCCATTCTCTATCGTTTTCAATGCCGTCAAGGGCTTCTCTGAGTGTAGCAGGCAGCGGCGTGGTAAGAGAGAGTTCTTTGCGCTGCTCCTCGCTCAGCATCGGTGTAAAGACTGGTCCATGTTAGCCATGCAACAACTTGTTCACGTCAATAAGTAAAACCATACCTTGAATGTTGGGAAAGGTTAGCGGCTTCGCATCCAGAGCCGCTGCAATCAAGCCACTAACCATGGCGTATGCATTCGACGTGACGTCGTGGCAGCGAAACTCCCAATGGTTCCTGTGGATGCGGCGCACGGGCATGTCGCGGTGATGGTCGCCCCAGCCGAGCAAGCCACCTGTAGCAATGGCGCCAATGCCTACTCGCTGATACGAGTCCACCTGAGCCAATCCAATCGGCATCAGGGTCAGCAGGTGGCTCATGATGCCGCCGAGCAGTTCGTCCGGGTTAAACGAGGAGCCCTCCTGTCTTCCGTCCTCCCCGCCCTTGGTAGCCGACAGATGAATGTGCTGCCCGACCTTTTGCTCGTCGACGCCATCAATAAAGGGCGTGGGGTAAAACGTAACGACGTAGCCGTGCTTGTGTGCAATGGTCTTGATCAGCTCCATGGCATAATAGTACGTGTCGACCGACTGCAAGGGCGGCAGAGGCGGCAGGGCCGTCTCGTACATGCTAGGTCCAAACTCCTTGTTCATCTGCTCAACAATGATGCCCTCATCAGCCAACGTCTCGATAACCTCCTTGAGCACCGGCCACACCTCGGACCGGTGCGTCAAGGATGTGTTGTAGATGTCTGGCAGACCAGAGCCCACGAGCGTAAACGGGTCTGTTTCCGGAGCCGAGCCCGAGGGGCGGAAGAAGCAGAACTCAAGCTCAAAGCCTACGAGAAATGTGAGATCGTGCTTCTCCTGAGCCTCCTGGACCAGCCTGCGCAGATTGGCGCGCGGCACAACGGCCTCCCAGGTCGTGTCTGCAGCGACATACGCCGTCGTCACCTGGCCGTTAGCGTCTCTATCAATCCCATGAATAAATCCCACGTCAGGCTTGATCTGACCGCGAGGCTGCGTAAAGTATGGCGGCGGGAAAAGGTCGTTGTTGATGCCGCCCGTGGCGGGGATGCTCATGTCAAGCGGTGTCTGGTTGAAGCCGCCGTCCTGCGCTAACAGCTGCTCAATGCGCTGGACAGACGCCGTGCGGCAGCGGCCAACACCGCAGAGGTCGATCCATTGCGTGATGATGGTCTTGACGGCCGGGTTTGCGGCGACGTAGGCCTTGAGCGCCTCGACTTTGCTAGCTGTTGCAGATGGAGATGCAGACATCCTGTGGGGGGGTGATTGAGCAAGTAGTGAACGAGTAGATGCGACTGGTTCAGAAAGGCAGGTAAATTTGGCACTAGTAGCTGCAAAGGGGCGTCTGTGATGCTTGATTCATGCGCCCAAAACAGGTTGGTTGGTTGAAAAGGGATCACGCAGCCCAACGGAAGAAACGGCAGCCACTTGTAGTAAACTATGGTAAATTTAGTAGGCAAGGGTAACTAGCCGCTAGGAGCGAGATGGTGTTGCGCCTTTTCCGCAGCCTGATCTGTCCGTCCTCCAGCCACCGCAGCCTAGCAACCCACACAAACCTAAAAGGCTACCCTACCCCTCTTCCCCGTGACTCTGTTCCCCCGGAATTCCGCTGTGCTAAAGTACGAGTTGCTGTAACTGTCGTTGGAGCTACTGTGGCTAGTGGCTTGTACAGTAGAATGACACTGTGGGACAAGGTACCGAATGTAAGATTACGGGCAGATGGCCCTTTTAACATGGTATCTTGCAGAACAAATATCTCGTTGATCCAGCTTGCTACGGTACAGTGAAATATTTCAGGGCTGTTATTTCTACATTTTTCTTCTAAAAACATTCAATGAAATATCCGCAAAATGTATAAAATGCCAGATCCAATGTATATAGGTTACATGAGTACCTGGCGTTGTACTTTGTTGAGAATTGACAGAGAAGCCGTGCACACATGGCCAGTGTCAAAAGATCCGAGGATTCGCGCCATTCGTGAGGGTCGTACGTCAGCTTCAAGGTTTGGTAATAGTACGGAAGCCAGTATTGCAGCTCCTTTTCAGGATTGGTCTCGATTTCGTACTTTGACGTTGTGCAAATGCCCCGAAGGCGGCCGTCCTTATCAAAGTACTTGGAGAATTCATCCGTCGCTGTCCAATTCTTGCCCAGTCTCCAGAATCCGGCATTCTCCATGTTATACTCTGACTTTGCTGCCGCCGCCACTGTCTCAGCTGTTGTCGCGATGGCGGCTTGTCTGTCCTCGTCTGTTTCCCATGGCAGCTGAGGTCTCGCTTGTGCATAATGCTAGATAAACTCCAATTCTGGCGCTATTTTTAGGTGTTTAGTAGAGGGTAGAGTGTCCAGGAAGGTGGTTAACAGATCATTGGCAAGATCCTTTTGATTTTTTGAGAGTAATAGTGCGTACAACCCTTGGAGCTTCGGCCACAGATCCTTATCAGAGAACCCCACGAGATACTCATCCATGAGAATCTGCTTCTCGACCTCTTCCACAAACGCAGAGTTGTCCTTGGTCCATGGACTTATGGTGGCTGAGAAATCAACAGTAGCTTCCATGGTATCGATTGCCCTGGACGTTGATACTTGGTAAGAGAAGATGTTGCGCTATGTTGGATATCAGCGCATCTCGAGTGCTCGTTGAGAATTAGCTATACTTTTATTAACTGCGATGGCCTCCTGGAGCGAGATCCACCCATAGCCTCGTTAGCACCGCCTATGGGCAAATTGCTGGGTCTGGGTGTCTGGGTGTTCACCACAAAGACCGTGAATGTTCTAGCGCTAACACTAGGCTACACTAGGCAGGTGAAGCTAGTGTAAATATTCTCTGCTGAGCGAGGCTGCGAAGAGGGTTTCCCAGTAGGCAGAAAAGCGTTTTGCTGTTGCCACGGTTTTATTACCGGTCGTCTTAGCTGCCGCTGGATCTATATCGTAGTTCTATTTAATCATCCAAATATTACCGTAAAACTTCCAAACTCGTGTCGTAATGGACGTTGTGGATAGTGATAACTAATAAGCAGAGCGATCCAAGCAACCGCTCTCCTCGCGAAGAACGCCGCTCCCTGTTTCTCTTTTGAAATAAGGAATAAATAAATAACATAACATAACGTCTCCATTGAATAAACTAACACTTTCTGTATATGACAAATTATGAATGGAATATAAAACATACAGAAAAGCGGCTACTCTCTCATGTTCATCACGCTCTTCATTCCGCACCTACACATGTAGTTCTCAATACGCAGCAAACGAATGAAGACATGATTAAACAGTAAGTGAATTACTACACACAGTGCTAAGCCACAGGATAAGACCGTGCTCAAAAACAACTAGGCTGAACTCCTTGTCCCTACTCCTTCTCCTCCTACAGTGCTTCTAACCAGACAAGGCTGTGAGGTGCATTCCCCCCCACGAGGAGCGGGCCCAAATGCTGCATTCTAATTGCTCTGTTCGTTTATAGGCCCGACGCGGTAAATGAGCGGGCGATCGGTTATCCCAACGTCCTTTGCCCACGCCTGGACAGACTCCCAGCGCACGCACTGCTCCTTTCCACTAGACTCGTGCTGCGGCTTGAGCCTGCCAGGGTCGTTCCAGTTGAAGGACATGAGCTTAGTGTTCGGGCGGCACATGAGGCTGGAGCGCAAGTTGTTGATGCAGTGGTCTGGACCAATCAGTTAACTGGGGCGTGTGATGGTTGTATCTGTGTGGCGGCGCCTACGTACCTAGATGTCCCCTCAACCGGGTGACTTGTGCATCGTTGATGTCCGGATAGAAGTAGTCCGCGTAGACGTACTGACGTATCATCCGCTAAGCGCGGCCGTTAGTTAGCTGCCCCCGTTGAGCGCCGCATGTTGCATACGTACCAGGCAATGAAGTTCATGCAGGACGCCAACACCCGCAAGGTACCCCTCAGGCTCCATGCGTGTCTTGTTCACCATGGACTCACCACCCTTGGTCAAGAGTTCGGCCGTAGCAGGGAAATAAATGGCTTCGTCTGAATTAGTATGCATGGGACGAAGAGGGGTGGGCGGGGTACTTACGGCGTGCTAGGTCATACCATGCCTTGATGTTCTCTTCGGTGGGTGGGCCACTGTAGAGATGGCTGTGATGTTGGAACGTCTGGCGTACTTCGTAGGTGAGATACTTGTCCAATGGGGCTAGAGGTTGTGAGTGAGCGAGTTGTACAGAAGAAAGACTGGAGAGCACTTACACCAAGATTGGCCTGGCAGAATGGGGATTGTGCTGCGGCTCATTTTCCAACAGTAAAGGGCAGCAAAAATAGCAAGACAGTGGATCACAACGAAATATAGTCGCTGGAGCAAAGTTCTGGTGGCCGTGGTGCGCTGTTGGTGATGGTTACCCTGTGTATAGGGTGGTGTGGTGGCATCTTCTGTGAGAAGTTGGGCCGACTCTTGGTCATAGAACTGTTCTTTGGACGATGGGAAAGACATTTTGATTAAGTTTTGGTAGAAGGTAGCGTGTGTAAGGTGATGGCAAAGAAAAGAATGGGTAATTGCAAGAATAAAATAGAAATGGGCTGCAAAGAGAACTCCAAAGCCTTTTCCACATTATGAAGAGCAGAGGGGAGCAGCGTAGACCTTGAATACTTACATCATCGGCCTAGACGAGGCGCACAAGCACGCACTTGCAAACCATTTCGTATCCATCTTTGGAAATATTCAACAGACGACGCCCAGGCTCTGTGATGAATCTCGTCCCAGTCATCTCATTGGCTCCCGGACATACGCTAGACACAGGCCCTCCATGAGGCGGCTCAAAAGTGCCACGCTAAGGAGGCTCATGTACAAGGCAGAGCGAGGCAAGAAATCAAAGCGTCCGTCAACATGATGGATGAAAGTACCATGATTGCATTAGCTCCTTGAAGCAAGACATTCAACGGCCTTCGGTCCTAAGCGATCCCGAGGTGCTTGTATTCCATGGGCAATGCATTGCACAAGTATAAAAGGGAGCCAGTCGACCGTTTAGAAAAAGATGAAATTCCATCATCATCACCTCACTTTTATCTTCAATCACTTACTTATATTCTTACTTCACCGTACATCTACCCTTCTTCCAACATGCAATTCTTCCAGAACCTCCTTCTTACCGCCCTCATCGGCGCTGTAGCCGTCTCCGCTGCTCCTGCAGTTGCTGCCAACCGTATGGTTCTTTTCCATTATGCATTATGATAGTTCATACTAACAAAGACGACTGTACAGACGCCAATGTTGCTCGCGCTTCAACCTTTAGCAATGATCCTGAACCTTGCGGAAAGGGGTCAAAGGACTCCAGCGAAAGCAATGACTGCTTTTAGATTGCCTATAGCGTAATCATGTAGAGAATATGTAATAACACCGTAATTTCTCTAGTCTCTCTTGTATCTATACTGATAATTGCCAAGTGCTTGTGTGTGTGGGCTGCCGGACGCGCGATTGGTGGGATGTCACTACCAACCATCTACCAATGCCAATAAATCGGTGTCTTTTTAAGTCGCCTTGGGGTCGGTTATCCGCTAAAGGTAGGCGTAGCAGTAAATAAACGAGAATGGTAAAACGCCACAGCTCCTATACACCACAAGATCGGTCACATCGGTCGAGAAAACACATCTCTCCGGCGATATGTCCTCACCAGAGCATTTTTCGTTACTATTTTCGACACCAACAGACCATAATACGTCACACAGAGTATACTTGGAATATACATGAGCGTCTGTTCGCGGATCGAGCGCATGACTAGGTCTGGGGGGTGCAAGGGCCTTGTCTACCCACGAAATCAGCCCTACGGCAGGTACAAAGCAGGCAAGATGGTGGTGATCCGCGCCTTCGGGGCTACTCGGCATTGCTCACAGACCGACGGGTTGCTAAATTTGGCCGGATGTGCTCAGCTCTGCGTCACTGCAGGGCCCAGAGCGGCTATAGCGAACAAGGCTGACCAGTTTGCCGGGTGTGATGCCTTGATGCCATGTCGTATTTTCCCCATCATCGAGCCTCTTTGCCTTGCATAGGGCAGAAGGCGAGAACGAGCCTCGCCCAGACGGAGACCGCCGAGCGCACCCATTTGCTCAAAGAGGCAAAGAGGATGCTGCTCGCCTCAAACTTTTGTCACTTATAAAGGCGAAGGCCGTGAGCGGCAAGCCCGGCAATTGATTGGTATCTTGGGGAACAGAGAGAAGAAAGATGCCTCAGCGGTGGCTTGGTCAATAGCTCCGGACACTTTGCTAGCCTTATTTGTAGAGTCCAGCGCGGAAAGCGTGGAATAGAGACCTACTTGGTAGGTTCTGGAGGATAGCGACCCAGTACATATTACTCTATAATTCCAAGATCCGTGTCTGAAGACTGATATGTCATGCACGATATATTGTTCATCGTCTGACGCACGTTGGAGAAGCAAACACAGCCATAATAGGCATTCCCGGCATCTTGTTTCCCCTTCCCGCCACAGGAACCGAACCTCGACGCCACAGCATTTTTTCCTGGGCATTTGATGCAATGGGCGTAATAAGGCTGTGTAGTCAGGCGACGTTGCAGGTAAGTTGTAAAAAAAACAACACGAGGCAGATGGCGTGTGTGCGTGTGTGCGTGTGTGCGCGCAGCCCTACGAGGCAACAAGGCAAAGACACTTTGCAAAGTAAACCCTACAAGGCTGCAAAGGGCCTTTTACAAAACATGCACAGTTGCAAACAAGAACAAAAGTACTTTTGTATAATTTTACTGTATTTGGTGGAGGTTTTATGTACGTACACGTCTCTGGTAAGTAGGCAAGCAAGCACAGTGCATGTACTGCTTGAGAAAAGACGATAAGAATATACACAGAAAAGGCCCGCCCATACTTCACTCCCGCTTTTTAGCGCATTTAGCTGCTGAAGAAGTCAATGGCGCCCTGGAAGTCGCCGTCAATCTTGGCCTGGGCAGCGTTGCCGCTGTCCTTGAGGTCATCGGGGGCATCAGCAATAAGAGCAGCACCGAGGCTGTCAGTGTCGCCCTTGAGCTTGACGAGCTGGTCGTGGACAGTGCTGGTCAGGCCGTCCTTATCGAACTGGGCCTTCTTTCCCTCGAGGGCCTGGACGGTGGAGGCGATTCCAGGCTCGAGGGTGTTGTTGATGTAGTCAATGATGCTTTGGGCATCGGCCTCGCTGGCAGCGCCGGCGGCCTGGGCGTCCGAGGTGGCCGACTTGATGTCCTTGTCGAGCTGGTTGGAGGTGTTGAGGATGCCAATGGCGCTGGCAATGCCGCCAGAGTAGGCATCGACAGCCTTGTGCAGGTTGTCGTTGTCGGTGTTGATGGTCTGGAGGTCGGCGAGGACCTTGGCAGCATCACGGACGTTGATGGCGGCGCCGGAGACAGCGGTCACCAGGGTGAGGAGCTGGGCAATGGTGAGCATCTTGGATGATGTTTGATGTGTAAAGAAGAAGAAGAAGAAGAAGAAGAAGAAGAGTGATAGTAGTGATTGGTGATGATATCAAAAGGAAAAGGACAAGAGATAAGCAGGATGATTGCTGGCTTATATAGACAAAATCCTTCACTACCCCGTCTCGTCTTTTCGCATTAACCCTTAACCTGCCGCTACTACTGCCTCACCTTTCCCACCCCTCACTCAGTCCACCAACAAGAAGAAGTTCCGTGTGTTAATGCTGTCCCGCCCTATAGCACTTCACATGCCCCAAATCCACCTCTACGGGACGTGCCTTGCTTGGACCTGCGTGTTGCAGCCGAGGGATCTCTCGTCGCTCCCCCAATTTGTAGGGGCCCCGAGACTATTGATGACGAGATGCAGATTGCACGGTGCCGGATGCAACCCTACAAACAGCTCCTTGCCTCCCCGCCCCCGCATTGCTATGGCCCAGCCTGGAACTAAGCTAAGCTAACGCCTGTTCCAGCGGCAAATGCTACTCTGGCCATTCTGGACTGCCCTGTGGTGGGCTGTACTTGGTGTTTGTTGGCCCGCCATCGATGCATGTTTTGCTTTTGCTTGCTTGCGTGTTTGCCCTTTCCCACCGCAAAGTGGCGTTCGTGCCCATGCCCGATTCGTCTCGGATTACAGCTCCATGAGGAAAGGAGGCGTATCCCAGAGGGGGCCGTTTCAGCTTGCCGGCTTTACTTCTTTCTGCGGGATTCGCTTCGCTGACATTTGACTTTTCTTGTCAGCGGCCTTTTTTTCTGACAATAGGCTATTTTGATCCTATAAAGTCCAAAGTATTACATGGGGACTTCGTTCCGGGGTTCTTCCCACCCCGCCTACATAGTAACTCCTCGACGCCGATCACAGGCCAGCCGAATGCTACAATGCACGGTCATGAGGCGTCTGCTACCTGCATAAGCTTCCCTTTTTGGAGAATTCCCCCATTTGCGGCGTGAAACAAGCACTTGGATGGCGAAATGAAGATGTTGCCATTGCGCACCACTCTTGCGAACTCGCCTTGCCCAGGGATTCTCATCTTCTCGTTTGCTCTCTTCCCTGTTCGCGCCGTTGCGACAGGTAGATTGCCGTGCCAAGCTAACAGGCCCCGATGTGGCCCCTCGATCATGATTGTGGCGGGCCCGCGGGGTAAAAAAAAACAAAGATGGTGTAGACGGGGGACAACGTGGAGGAGGATCAGGGTACTCGGTCCAATCACGATGCAAAATGACAGGTTAAAAATTCTAGCGAAACTTCCCGACGTACGGCCGGAAACTTACGATAATATACATGAAGTATCGCGTCTTTCCATGTCTAGGGCAAACGCGGGAATAGTGTACATTGGCCTCTTGGGCTGAAACTGGAGGATCAGGTCCAGACCACAGGAGCCAACATCTAGGCCCCGCAGGAAAAAAAGTATAAATTGTAAAAGTATATTGGATCATATTGCTGAAATTTGTGACAATGCATATGTCCTTGATTATTTCCTTGATTTTGGGTTCCTTGCGTGGTTCAGCTGCCGTTGGCTTGTTTCACTAAAACCTTAGTCCGCTTGTTATGGTTTGTCGAATCGGCTCTCGAGTCATGGATATTAGCCGGAGCCAGAAACACCCGGAGGGCTTCTGTTAGACTTCCAGGTTGGTAGGATAGAATTGCCTCTAAAGAAACCAAGACGTGGTACTGTACTATATCCCAACAGTATAATACATTGGTTCATTCTCAAAGTCCCTCTCCTCCAGCGTGACGCTCACTCGCATCTTGGCACCGTGAAAAGCCTCGGTTATATCTCGCTTTGCTTGCGCATACAAATTCTTGAGTCGAATGATCATGTCTTCAGTCATCTCAGTGTCAATGAAATAATGTTCGTGGTCGTTAATGCGGTTTTTCATGCCTATGGTATATTGCACAATGACAGCAAGAGATGCCAGTGTAGGGAAGCCACCGTCGCTTATCACAGCCCCCAAATGGCATGTGTCACCAATTGCACGAAATTTATCGTGTATTCGTATGGTCAGTGTAGTCACAGTCACTGGGAGCATGTCTGTGAGGCACGTTGTCGACCTGTTAGTGTCCACCCAATGGTGGCAAAACACTTGCTCCTTGACATCCAAGTTGGTGAGCATTGCAAACATGCTCATATTGCTTCCAAGCAAGGTAGATGGAACCAGGTTATGAATCATGAGGTAGCTGCACGCCAATGAAAATTGTGTCAGTGTTTGTAAGGCGGTAGCCAAGCACTCAATAATTGTTGTGGGGGAAAATGACGGCACATCAGTGGATCTGTCATTGGAATAGAAGCATAGGTGAAATCGCTTCAACTTCCTACATTTCTTGACCACCTTTTCAATTCCTATGAGTGGCAGCGTCTCTCCGGAATGATGGCATGGGTAGAAGTAGAGTTCGCGCAGCTCCGGTAGCGCTTCCCATTCGAGCTCAGGATGCTGTGGTATAGTATCGTCAAAGCTACCAGGGTGCATTGAGCAAGCCCAGTCAAAAATCACACACCAGACATTCGGTATGTATTTGAAGATAAAGTGTAGTCTGCGCAGCCCGAGGTCGTCCAACGTTGCTTGTTGGGCATGGCGAAACACAATAGACGTAAGATTCAAGAGTTTTTCTGCTGTAGATATTGTGGTAGGTAGTGGTAGTCGAGCGAATGTACGGGTGTGTACTGAGGATCCCTCCAGGGACACGACCAACTACCATCATTGAGATCGATAGCAGCCATTTCCAAATTGGGTAACAATGCAAAATATAGTGTAGTCAATAGATTATCCACCACCATATGACCCTGTCGAGATGCCAAATTATCTTCTTCACTCCAAGGGCCAGTGCTGGAGATCGACCGGCAGCGTTCGTTGTCCCTAGGAACTACGAGTCCTATTGTATTGGCGACTTGTCTGAAAAAGTCGAACTTCTTGAAAATGTCCATTGCAAGGTTCCCAAAGGCGTCCTGTATCCAGATCATCTTGTAGTCTGTCGCAATCTTCATAGACTGTGCTAAATCGGGCCGTTGGATTAAGGACTAATGAGCTCCTGGTGAGAGCGAGTGTATGCGGCATGAAAGACGATGGGCTGCGCAAGATCTCTCATGGCTTGGGATATAGGGCATAATTCTTTTAGTGCTGTTAGGCCTCCACCGCCATCAACTATTCTCCAGCAAAATAAGGGTAGGTTTTCATTTGGGCAGTGACTGCATAGCTGGCAACAGATATAATGTTGGATTTCAGGCGGCAGCTGAAGGAACGGAAATGACGTGAGGGTCGTTGGAGTGTCCGCCATTGTAAGTCACCTGTGTTGGGCGCGTTTATTCGTAATACCTCCTGCAAGAGATACTTTGGTAGAGAGAGAAGCAAGGACAAAGAAGCAGTTGGACAGAATTTTGCATCCTGAGTCGCGGCATGAAAGGGGTCTGAGCGTCGAGACCAACATGAGGCTGTGATGAGACGCCGCGGTGGAGCGAGGCTACGTAGCGCCCGCCCATCCAAGCGCCTCAACAGCCAATCACGACATAGCATTTTCATCTGCTCGCGGTAAGATGATACAAAAAGGGATTATGCAGAGCCTAATTCGGATCTAAATCAAGTTGAAATTTCATGCGCTGGGCCACATGAGGATACAAGATGTGTCTGAAAGACGCTAGTGTCTGGTCCCCGTGGCAGGTGGTTATACCCGACGGACACAGGCTGGCCAAGAACTATAACAAGTCTTTAATTTAGACATATGTAAGTATATCTCTTTATCTTTCATCAACTTATTCGTCTCCTGTTTTTCCTCTGTTTCCTTCACCATGATTCCACAGTTACCCTTCGTTGCCTTACTTTGTTTACAAGTCGTTGCAGGCGAGATTTTGACCATCAGGCTCGACAATGGAATGGTCCTCCAGGAGAATATGGATGACGAGGGTTCAACATGGTTCGGAAGAGTACCCATTAACAGGGCCACTTTCCACTATACCGTTGACGATTGCGAACGGCTCGCCCAGGATGTCTACGCTGGCTTGCGAAGAGCACTAGACAGCAACATCAATGACAAGAATAGTCCAAATGCTATCCGAATGTTCGGCAAATTTGGCAAGCCCAGTTCGTCTGATAACCTTTTGGTCTCAGCTTACACTTACCGAAATGCCGACTTTGCCTGGATTGGATCTCTTCCCAGGAGCATCGGCTTGGGAGATGCGAAGCGCAATATTGTTCAGAGGACAGCCATGCTTCGCGAGGCTATTAGCTCGATGGACCAAAATAAACAGATTTGACACCGTGTTCACTCAGAAGAACAATTGTGGCTCACTTTCGAGACAGATAGCGAACATGGCCTGGCAACAATCGCAGATACAGGCGTAAGACGGTCTGAGGGCTATCCAGTTGGATCTGTTGTCGGATCTGCAAAGGCAGTTCGTCAGGGGAACATCATACCCGACGAAGCCAAACCACGAGATGCTTGTAAAGTGGATGATGTTCTAACTGGATTTGCTGACGGCAAAAATAGCCGCGCCTGTCAAGCGGTAGCCACCAGTCTTGGAGTCCAGTTCAAAGATGGTCTCCCCGCAAGACCCCCACACCGCAACCCAATTGGTAACGATGTTATATCCGATAATGACCTTGCAGTAAGTGCATCTAACAGTCTTACAAACTACTTTTATCAAAATGTATTACTGACACACAGAATAGAACTGCTTCCAGGAGAAACGCTCCGACAGCGGGAGCGCCAGAAAAGAGTGCGCTCTAGTCAAGCCCTCCAGCGCTGCTCCTTCCAAGCCTGCCACCGCTTCTAAAGCGTCCTCCATCCCGGCAAATCCAGCATTATCGACCTCCAAGGTTGCTCTTCAGCCCAGTTCTGCGTCTCTCCAGCCTAGTGTTTCCATCCCCAGTCGCCCCAAGGCTGCGTCGTCAGTGCCTCCCAAGGCTGCTTCTAGCAAGGCTGCTCTCCCCAGCTCCTCTGCAGTCAAGATTGTCCCTTCAAAGCAAGCACCTACAAAGGCAGTATCCACCAACGCTGCTCTTCCGGCTCTTTCATCCAAGGTTGCACCCCCATCAAAGGCCGTGTCTAAGAGAGTCCCTGCGTCACAAGCTGCCCCAGCGAAACCTGTGAGCCCAGCGGCACCGGCGAAGCCCGTGACACCTGCAGCGCCACCTGTAAAGTCTGTTCCTACGAGCTTTAAGACATCTGTGAAGCCTTCATCTGCTGTCAAGGTGTCTCCGACAAAGATTCCGGCGCCAAAGCCGGCTCCGGCTCCGACTGCCCCCAAGAGCAAACCCGCGCCGGCTAAGCCTCCCAAGAAGGGTGGGAAATAGAGCTCAAGTAGACGAGAAAGAATTTTCAGTTTTCTTTGAGGTCTCATATTTTAAGTCGTAATTTCTCATGTTTTTGGCAGAAAATTCAGTTTATCATTCCTATGCCACAATCCCTAACGTGCAGTGTGCCTGCAGCGTAGTCCTATCCATGCGAGTGTCTCCCTATACCTTAATATTCCTTATTCCCTCCGATGCATCATAATAAGCTATTTTAGAACCGATGGAAAATGCATCGGCTGTCATCCATGTTTTTCCCTTCAGTTTTGTTCCGTCTTAGCCAATCCACGATGCTAGAAACTCTAGCACTAGTAACCTTTCACAGCAAATCCACACACCTCCATCATAAACAGCAAAGCCAAAAAGCAAAAGCAGTGCCAAACATGTCTAATTTATCCCTTGGTCATTTACTCAATCCCAATAGAGGCTTCAAGATTCTTCATACGCTCCTCCATGATTTCCATCTGCAGTCGAACCATGGCGAGTTCGTCGCTCAGCCTGATGGTTTCTTCCCTATCCATATCCTTCGAAAGCTCCATGACATCCATCATGGAAGTAATAGTGGCCTTGACATTTCGTCGAAAGTTTTGTTTTGCGGTGCGGAAATCGGAACCCTTGGTGGCATCAGGTGTTTTAACCGAAACCTGCGGGACAGAAGTCTCTTGTTCAATAAACAGACTTTCTTCAAAACCAGGCGTGGCGGACTTGTGTCTTATTAGTGACGACGGGCTGACGTCTCTTGCACCACGAACCGGAGTGCTAGGATCAGAAGCCACACGCAGAGTATGCGAAGTGGCATTGGAGACGGCTTCGGCCAGGCACTCTGCTCTGATCTTGGCTGGAGTTGCGAAGACATCCATGGCGTACTGCGGCATATTAGTTTGAGCCAGATAGGATGCAAAGATTATACATACCTTTTTGGACGTCTTTGGTGTTTCAGTAGAGGGGTTGTCGATTTCTGTGGGCTTTTCAACTTTGACAGCTTCCTTGGGACACTATACTCGTTAGCTACAGCAATAACAATTGTAACATTACAGGATGTATAGAATGAGGATACCTTGTTTTCGGTCGGCACGGCAGGGCGTTTGGAACGAATGATTTCAGGGGAATCAAAGTCCATGGGACTGTTTGCGACACTGGGCAATACCGTGTCTTCCATCTGGGATGGCGTCTCTGGTTGTTCGACTTCTTCACGCTCATCCATCCGATCGTCTCCATCATCATTGGCTGAGGCCGAATGCGTCTTCTTGGGAACCTTCTTGCGAGCATCTGTATCGATAGCCAGACTTGGGGCGCGCTTCTGTTTGAAAACCTTTTTCTGGTAGTCAATGATGTCTTTCATGCCCTCTGAAGCTTCCTGTGGGAAGCCATCTAGTGCCTTCGGGAAATCTTCCAAGAAACGGACCACCTGCTTATGCTTCAAGGCAGCCTTTCCGTAGATGAGCCACAGTACTGCAATGCGCACTCGTCTCAACTTGCTTTCTTCAGGATGAATCATGCGGCGATGTACCTGATGATTGTTTGCATAGGCCGTTTTAGGCACAATTGTGAGGTTCATCATGCAGCCAGTGATAATGTATTCCAATTCTTCCGGATTACATTTTGGCAGAATGTGGAGGCAGATATCCTTGATCAAAGGCAGGTATTCCTGGCCTTGGGACATGGGTATCATCAACCCACTGTCTCGTAGCTTCGCAAACATTTGGACTGGGGTCAGGGGAGACCGGACGATATCAAGCACCCGGTCTAGGTTGAACTGACTAGCCTGTTGCGGAGCCATCGTGTATGTTCTTCTGGGTCGGATGTCAGCAATGGCCAAATGATGTTTGCAATTTGAAACAGGACGGTTCAGTGTTCAAAAGTATAGCATGAGCACGTCAGTTTCAAGTCAGATCCAAGTATGAGCGGCGATGGGCAAAAAGTGAATTGGCGGGCTGGGAAAACTGGTCGCGGGCGCAGTCACTCACCCTGACTTCACCTCACATCGACGCTGCAGTGGATGCAATTTTGCTTATGACATCGTAGTACAACTGATCTTATTCGACGTGATTTATTTCATTACTACAGAATCTTATGTGGAAATATCAGAACACGAGTGTCAGCAAATTGCGTGCTAGTTATATGTAACGACTCATGCATAACCATGACTGCAATCCCACAACGTATAGTAGAACACGTTGTATTAAATTTTATTCACAGTGAATCGCTTATTTAAAAAACAACTTACCTTTCCCACTGCGCTATCTACCATCACACTTTAAAAATTGTGGTCAGCGCATGCACTGCGCGACAATCAAAACATACAGGGTAGCGCACCACCGAGCTCGTAGCAGACGTTGTTCCAGATCCTAATTGGCTACTTTGGCATTGCTATTTAATATCTAATAGTAATATTTGCTTTCAAATCATTATGATAGCCCATTTTTAGTGGACCGCACAAAGCGCGTGGTGACATGGGGGCGTGCTATCGGAGCGTACCACATTCTAGCTCCGTCGCAGTACCTGCAAAGCACCATGAGAGTGTCAAACTTGATGACAAGACAAAAAGACTACAGACAATATGGCGGAATCTGAAGTAGGCATTGCTCGCAAACAACATGAAGTGCCCTTTGAGCAACTGCCAAATTATAGGCAAGTATGGAACCAGCCTCCAGGGAGCTATGCAGAGGGTCTCGGACGAATGGTTATTGTGACGCCAGAGATAGTGGCCGAAGCAGCGCGCGAATGCATCAAATCTGGGAAAAGAACAACAGTGTCTTGGAACATGGAGCAGCTGAATATTGCCAACTTTAATCGCCAGCCAACTCAGCACCACATTATTAGTCTGTTGGGCGGAATCGCCTTTGACGACGTATACATCTTCAACCCGCAGCAGTCGTCGCAGTGGGATGGTCTACGACACTTCTCTGCACCATTCCCGACAGACAATGATCCTTCAAAGAGATTATACTACGGCGGAGTCGAAGCAAAAGATATCGGCAATAAGTCAAACAAGCGAATCGGTCTACAGCACTGGGCGAAAGAAGGTATCTGTGGCCGAGGAGTGCTGTTGGACTATAAACGATATGCCGACAAACACGGTATATCGTACTCATGTTTCTCCGAACACAGTATTTCCCTGTCGTTATTGATGGAAATTGCGAAAGAGGCAAACATAACGTTCAAACGCGGGGATATCCTTTTTATCAGGATGGGCCTTATACCAGAATGGGAAGATACCATGACGGCCCAACAGAAAGCAGACTATGCTTCAACGAGCTCGCCAAAGCATGCGGGTGTTCAGGGGACTATGGAAATGGTCAAATGGCTCTGGGATAACGGTATATCAGCTGTAGCCGGCGATGCTGTGTCCTGGGAGGTCTATCCACCACTGAAGGAGTATGACGATGGTGCTGGCGGAAAGATACCGAGTGTATTTATGCACGAAATTCTGCTAGCAGGCTGGGGCATGCCGATTGGAGAGCTATTTGATCTGGAAGCTCTGAGTAAGCTTTGTGAGGAGCAGAACCAATGGTCATTTTTTGTATCTAGTGCGCCGTTGAATATGCCTGGAGGTGTAAGTAGTCCTCCTAACTGTATGGCATTCTTTTAAGCGGCGGATCCCCCTTTTTAGAGATAGCAATTATTTATTGACCATAAAATAGAGCCATAATATTCACTACTTTCATCTTGTCCCGTATTTTCCTTTGCTGAGGTTTGGTGGCTGAGCGCCGACCATCGGCTATGGCTAAATGCGCAGTTGCCGGCCCCAAAGCCCCCCACGCCAGCAACTCTCCATCTACAACTTCAAGCTGGATTGCAAACACGATACTTTCTGCAAAATGGCATCAAGACACGCCGCCAAAGATCTCGCATGCACGCAATGCACACAAGTCTTCACCCGCCCAAGCCATCTCCAGCGACACCTGCAATCACACCTCTCCCGACGTGAGCGTGATCTGAAGCAGTGTCCCCGCTGTGAGCGCTGCTTCTCCAGACACGACGTTCTTCTCCGCCACCTCCGGTCCTATCATGATCTAAGCACGGAAAATATTGTCAAAATTAATAAAAAGTCGTGTGAACGGTGTATCAAACGGAAAACAAAATGTGACAGGCAGCTTCCGTGCAGCACCTGCAAACGGGCGGCTGTTGGGAGCGAATGCTGTTTTATTGGTGTCGAACAGCAACGGCTACCTATTGACGGCGCTGATTTGACAACAATCTCTTACGAAGAAACTCCAGAGACACAGATGGAAACAGATACGATGCTGGATTCAGAAGTGCCAGCGCAAAATATGGCGATCCTTGACAGCTCCTTTGACGCCTGGACAAACAGCCCGTCACGACCAAATTGGACGGGGCAGCTGCTGTCGCCATCCTCATGCGACCCGGAGCCGTTTCTTGATCCGCTGATGCAGCTTCAGACATTTGAGTTGCAGCTGGGCGATCTGGATTGGCTCGATACTGACCTGGTTAATACGCTTGCGGATGCGGCGGCCGTGGTGGAACAGACAGCCCAGAGCATGGCCACTCCCAGTATGATGCCAACCACGCAGCCTTTCTGGGCAAATGAGCCCAGCCTGCAGACCCCTCGAAGCGAGACATATGCAAGTGATAGAGGAGGACGACCAGGAAACCAGCCGCAACAGTGGCCGTTTGACGAAGACGCAAACGACAAGGCCAATCTCCCCTCGCTGCAAGCTCTTCTTCGTGGGGTGATGCCCAATGGTCCATCACAGACACACCAGAGTGGGAATTCATCGTCCAAAGGCTTTGCAGATGCACAGCGCAGAGCTGTCGAGGCGTATTTTACTGTCTTTCACGACATACTGCCAGTTATCCATGTACCGTCATTCCATACATCCACCTCTCCAGACGTGCTCAAGGCAGCTATGTCTTGTCTGGGTTCGATATTTGTTTCTGAAAAGAGCACCTTTAAAGATGCAGTTCCATTTTCTCAAGAATATCTACGGCAAGTTGCAGTACTGGTAAGTCTTCTTTGCTATTGATAGAATCTTGACTAACTTTTGTAAGGCCGATGTCCCGGAGTCCCAGGGAACTGCATACCTCACAGCGAGCTGTCTTCACCAAATATTTTCCTTAGGGTCCGGCGACAGGCAACTGTACCATCATGCCGATCGCTCTCGTAGCTTGCTTTTCAGCGGTCTTAGAAGCATTGGCGTTATGGGCATGACTGGGAACAACGCTAAGTACGACTTGAAAGGGACCGACCCTGAAACTATCCATCAGTTGTGGCTAGAGTGGATCGAATCGGAGCACAAGAAGAGGTTGGTATGGTCTTCCTTTGAGTACGACTGCAGTCTATGCACTCTGACGAGCCGACGTGCCGCCGTGGACATATCCGAGCTACCCTCGTTTCTGCCATGCTGTGACGCTCTCTGGAAGGCTCCCACGGCTCAATCTTGGAGGGCGTTGATGGTGAAGTTACCAGACGAAGCGAAATCCGCGTCAACACAAGCCACGGTTCGGCGTGTGTTATCTGGTCTTCCGCCGCTGCCAGATTTACCGTTCTGGAGTCAACGTCTGTGCACACAAGTCATTGGGAGACAGCTCTGGGATATCCGACAGGGAGAAAAAGCGTCCATGGCCGACTGCTTTATGCTTCCCTCGCTGCGCAAGGCCCAAATCGAAACCAAGCAGCATCTTCTTGCTGGCTTACAAATTCTCACGGAGTGTACAAGTTCGCCTGCCGATACAGTTGGCCTTGTTAATAGCAACATCATCTCCCTGATCCTGCATTATTCGCACTTGTACTGCAGTGGCGACACTTTGGATTTAATCATCTACATTTTTCGCACATCTGCCTCTTCATCGGGCGCCGACGCATCAGTCGCAGTAGCTACACAGACACTCTACTCGCGCCTACATCACAACCCGCAAGCGACTCGACGACTTGCATGGCACGCAGCGCAAATTGTGGCCGCCGCACAGGAATACCTCGTCTCAGCACCCTGTGAAATTCTTCGCATTTTCATGGGCTACATATTTCTCGTGGCGTTTGCAAGTCTTGGCCCTCACGCCTCGCTGCCTGGCTCCCCGACATCGGTCAATTTCCATGTCTCGGAACACAATTCGACGCCCTGCGAAACTGCCGAGCAATGGATCCAGCACGGTGGCCGTCTCACCGTCGGTGCACTGATCGATACACAGGCCGACGGAGAGTCGCTCAAGGCAGGCCTCACCAGCATCATGGGCAGGCTAGGCAACTGGGGCCTTTCTGAAAAATTCAGCAAAATTGTCAATTCATTCGACCTGGCCATCCTTTCACCCGATCAATACAACGCCTAAACTCTATTACCCATTCTACTGCACAACAAAGACGTTGGTGGTGGGCCAGTCTTCCCCGCGTTATAGCGGAGTGCCCCGCCAGATCTGATGGGGCGATGCCGATACATACTGCCGATGTGACACAGGCGGTGGTACGCTCCGTGTAGCTCTGTAAATCTCCCTTTACTCCGTGCGAGCATCATGGGATTTCAGCTTTTGCAAGTTGTTACCATGAAACTGTCTAGTATTGTTCACCATGGCAATTACGGCAAATAAAAAACGAACTACTCCCTACAATAAGCTGGTCACAGTGGCAGTGGCCTTTGGCTCTCTGGTAAGTCGTCAGCGGTGCTATGCTGGCGATTTTACTAACAGCTTCTAGACGTATGGATACGCGTCTGCCATCATTGGAAGCACAATCGGTCAGCCAGGATGGTACGCGTTTTTTAACCTCCCGACCCAGGGGGAGGACGGATACGGAACGACGACAACACATGCCATCGCGACAGCCAACGGTCTGTACTCTGCTGGAGGTGCAATCGGATGTCTCTTCATCATGTGGTCTGCTACTGCACTCGGTCGTAAGCGCAATATTCAAATCGGCTCTCTCCTCTCTATGCTTGGTGGCGCTCTCCAGAGCGGCGCTGCAAACCTTGAGTATGCCTGATGCTTCTAGACGGAAGTCTTACAGCTGACAAAAAGCAGCATGTTCCAAGCAGGCCGTTTCATTTGCGGGCTCGGTATTGGAGTTTTAGTGACCATCTGCCCAATGTATCTGTCCGAACTGGCACCGCCTGCGAAGCGTGGCTGGCTCGTAGGCCACCATGCCATTTTCCTCGTCTTTGGGTACATGCTGGCTGCGTGGCTGGGCTACGCCTGCTACTTTGCGACATCGGTAAATCCGTCTTTCGCTTGGCGATTCCCTCTTGCTGTACAGTGCCTCAGTCCTACGATTCTGTTTATTGCGTCGCTTTGGATTCCACGATCTCCTCGATGGCTGCTTCAGAAGGGCCACGTCGAAGAGGCGTGGCATGTTCTCAAGCGGCTCCGTGCAAGTGCTGAAGATCCCTACGATCTCATTGCTAAAGAGGAAATGTACCAGACGAAGCAGCAATTGGCACTAGACAAGGCCAAGCTGCAAAAGCTTGGGGTAACCCCGTGGACATCCATCTTCAAGATTAAGAGCTACCGAAAGAGAATGATTGTCGGTTTCCTGACCCAATGGGGTGCAGAATTCGGCGGCCCTCTTGTCATTGTAAGTGTCGATCTAGATCAGTTATTGCTTTAATACTAATCGTTTTTTAGAACAATTATCTGGTCATTCTCTTCACAAACTTGGGACAAACGGGAGCCATGCCCTTGCTGCTTTCTGCTGTCTGGCTGTCAACTGCAGGCCTCATCTACAATCCGTTGGGTGCCTGGCTACACGACAAAGTCAACTCTCGTCGTGGCATGTTCATGTTTGGTACGGCTGGCGTAGTCCTCACCGTGACTCTTCTTGTGGTCATGTTGGCACTCTACTCTGGTACGACAAACCAAGGCGGCAACGCAGCTGGTGTCTTTCTCACTTTTCTCTATCTTGCTTTTCAAGGGTACGTTATCATGCTCACCGTCGTTTCGAACTTACGCTAATTATGTATGTAGAACCTGCTGCGATACGACCATGTACACGTACGTCTCTGAAATCTTCCCGACAGACATTCGCCCAATTGGCATGGGCTGGTCGCTCTTTGGACAATTTGCTGCCTCCATCATCCTCCTGCAGACTGCCCCCATTGGTTTCGTAGCCGTCGGCTGGAAGTACTACCTAGTCATCATCTGCTGGTCCATTTGCTTCATCCCTGTCATTTACTTTTACTTCCCCGAGACTGCTGGCCTGTCTTTGGAAGAAGTTAACAAGCAATTTGGGGATGAAGTGGCTGTTCACATCAACGATGTCTCCGCCGAGCAGCGCAAGGAGCTCGACGACTTCCTCAAGCAGCAGGTTGAAAGTGAATTCCTAGAAAACGCTCAACAGCCATCCAAGCACTAGGCCAACCCATATCCGACTCTTCTTATTTGCGTGCACACCGAGAAACACATGTTTACTTTAATTAGTTACGTAGGACCTGCAAATTATACCAACTTGATACTTCTATTAATTATTATATACTTGAATTGGACTCTCTGTAACCCTTAAGAAGAAGGTGCCTTGACCAACTTGATAATAATGCCTCGCGGCTCAGCACCGCTAGCCTTGTACCAGTCCGACTCGTAACGAGCATCTTTGCCGCTTGGCGTCACGGCAACCTGACCGCCATTCTTGCCACAACCGATGAGGGCCTTTGCACGCTGCTCCTCTTTGGCATTCTCGCCTCCATCCACAGCACGAGCGAGATCTTCAAGGAGGACAGTCGAATTGACTCTGGGCGCAATATGCTTCGCCAGAGCAAGCACAGAACCCGAGCGAGGAACAGGCAGCGCCCACTCGCCGCAGGTGTCGCTCTTGGGCATGTTAAAGAACAGCTGTTGGCCCGTTTGAGCCAAGTAGCGCAGGTGGTCAGCGACATACTGGACATCGTCCAGCGTCAGGTCCTGCGAAACGCCGCCATCCTTGCCGTAGCAGATTTTGCGGTTATCTTCGTCGCAGGCGGCGCTGGGGACATTGAATTTGGCGGCCACGCAGGCGGCGAGGACGGCGGTAGCGAGGGGGAAGTGCATCTTGAGAGACGAGGAGAAGGGGTTTCTTTCAGTAGTGAGATAAATTGGGTTTGCCTGAAATGGACTTGAGGTCTTTTTTTGTGGAGGAAATGGCCACGATTCTTATGTTCGTGGTGCGTTGCTACAGGAATTGCGACTGGAATGTCCGGTAATGCAGGGACGAGGCTAGCGCTAGGGGAGAGGACGAGCCGAGTAGATTTTTTTCGGGGAGCTGGCGAGGTGGGGTAATAATTTAGATCGGAATTAAGCGATAAATGAGACGAATGGAATGGATCTGCATTGGGAGTTTGGTCGTGGTGGTGGTGTAAGTGAGATGTGTGTCGATGTGTTCCTTGCATACGGAACGAGGATGCTGGTTGTGTTGGAGCAGAACGTGCATGTATGCGCAGATGCTCACTTTTCCTCTTTGAAATTTATTGGCTTGACTTCTTCCACGCTTTGCGATGTTTCTGATAGCTGCTGCTCTTGCTGCGCTGCCTGCTGCGCCTCCTGTTCTTGTAGGCGAAGTCTGGCCTTTCTGCGCTTACGACGACAAAGAATCACGCAGGCAGTCACTGTAAGAGCGACAATGATGACGGGCAAGACGACAATAAGCATAAGCGTTCCAACTAAGATGCCAACGCTGTCATGATTACCCCCCTCGTCACCATTCATCGATGCCCGGTCAAATGGGTCAAAAGTTGTGAGTGTTGTAGCATTAGTAAAGACGGGGAGGGAAACGGGTAGCCTATCCGTGGCTTGCCACTGAACAACCCACGGCTGATGAAGTCTCGTAACCCAGGCTGTCTCGTCGTCAGAAGTGTGGATATAGGTTCCATAGGTGTAAATGCACGAATGCCCAGAATTGGTAGACGTCAGGCTGAAGTAGCTGATAAATAGCAAGGCCAGTTAGCATCAACTCCATAAAACTAGTGCTTTGTAACGTACCGGCTGCAACAAAATGCTTGCATCATGCGCGTAGCATCAGAAGTGGTTGTTGCCATGTTCCAGTATGTCCAGTACGAAGGACAGACGCCAGGACTGAATGTAAAGTTCGATTCGTCCCATCCTGAGGGTTGACAGGACGAGAAGAGGCTGTGTGCGGTGTCGCTCGTGATCAAAAGGGTGGGTTTGGTGTTGGACAAGGTGGCCGTTCTATACAGAGACTCGCATGCGTAATTTAATGGCCTTACGAGAGTAGTCAAGGGCGGGATATGATGCTGTGTGGACGACGGCTGTGCGGATGTGATTGTTGCCATTGTCGTCATCGGCATTGTAGGGCTCGCCATGGTTGCTAGGATGATATCACAACCTTCAACAATACACTACACGCCAACGTCTGCAAGGACGAAGTGTTATAAAAAAAGAGAAGACAGCGAAGAGACGGGTTTATTATACAAAAGACCACTACTTCGTCTTTTCTAGCCTTAATTGTTATATTGGCGAGAAAAATGTGGGCTTACAGCCTCACCGTTGATCTTAGCCGTTGTTAGTCCATGTAAATGCGACTCAAGTTTCCACGTTGGCCATAGTCAACGGTACAAAAGTGGGCTTTAGCGAGTCGTTTGTGATGAAAAAAATTAAAATTAAAAAGTAAACCTTTCTGATGTAGGAAATCCTCAAGCAAATTTTGTGAGTTTATATCCTGCACATTAACATGGAACGCGTAGTACAGGAATGGCTTGGAAGTAACAAGAATAGTATGCGAAGTTTTATTGGGACACCTAAATAAATTTTATTGTGACCCTAAGTTGTTCCTGAGGATCAGTAGCGTGGCGCAACCTTGGCACGGGCGCTTAAGTGTGGTTTCCCACAGCCCGATTAACAACCGCACTAAACCTGACTCCTTCATCAACCTTGATGCGTGAATTGATCTGCTGTTTGGAATCAATCGAATCAGGTACACTCGCATAAAATGGCGACTGTACCGGAATATCGCGATGAAAAGTCCTCCATGGCTTCTCCTGTCACACCTACTCATCAACAGCAGTCGCAAGCAACAGCGGCAAATGACGTAGCGTCGAAGCAAGACGGAGGTGAAGAGAGGTCAACTCAACCGGCTATCTTGCGACTGCACCTCTCCTTCTGCACTCTCATGTTGGTATACGGCTTTTGGGAGCTTATCAACGCACCAGGTGAGACGCGGGACCCAACACAAAAGAATAGGGCAGGCTTAATCCAGTGGTGCGCCTTTTGGGTTATCATGCAATGGACCTTGTTTACTCAAGACAGCCCGGATTTCTTTCCACCAACATTTGCTCCACCAGAGAATAAAGATACGCCCCTATACCATTATGTTGAAGCGCTGTGGCCTTCAATAGCGTGGGGAGTTATGCTTCCAGAGATCATGGACGGTTTCTATTGGATCTACAGGCTGTGCCGAGGACAGAGCTCTGAGACACGGATTGGGCACCCACTCATGATCCCAATTTTCGCATTGGTGATTACGCCTATCGTCATGGTGTCCAAGGGGGGCAGATTGGAAGACATCGGCATATGCGTTCGCCTTGTCTCCCTGGTGGTTTGTACGAGCGATTTATTTTTTGACCATCAGACGGCACAAATTCTATTTCCATCTTGTTCGGCGTCTATGGCTTGGAGAGGCAGTCGTGTCCGTCGAGTTCAGTGCTTTAGGGCCGTCCCTTGCTAATAGAAATAAGCCAAGAGTGCAGGACGAAGAGTTGGGTGAAGCATCTGACGGCAAAACAGACAGCAGTACCTCTGAGAAGTCTGAAACTGACCAGGTAGCGCAGCTCAACCATTGGCGTCGAGAGACGCGACTGAAGTACTTTTGGGAGAAGACACGTTAGATATATAACTCCAAATGGACAGCAATACACTGGCGCTGGGCAGCCAAACCTCACCAGTAAACATTGCTACACACCGTAAATTACACTAATTGCCATTGTTCCGATACGATTTCCGATTCGAATCATGTGTATTTTTAATATTGGTCACTGAAACATCATTTCCACATTGGCCAATCACCATCCACGGCTACAGCGCAGCTTCCAGCGGGCGGCTCCGATCCGACACCGATCAGCGGGGAAAAATGGTCGGGTACAACACCGCTGTCGCTCGCCTGTCTTTCTCACCACCATAATCACCTCGGCTATACATTTTGTTTCCGGTGACCATTTTGTCTGTGTTTTCTGCTGAACAAATAAAAAAAAACACGAGTTGGAAGTGATGGGAACAGAGAAAAGGATCACGGCGGCGGATTTAAGCAAACACGACACCACATCCAGCGCGTGGCTCGCTGTCAACGGCACCGTTTACGACTTTACTGAGTTTGCGCCAACTCATCCAGGAGGCTCGGAGAGTACGTTCCTCTTATCAAACTATACAGGAAATATCTGCTAATCCTCATTCCAGTAATATACCGCTTCGCTGGAAAAGACGCGTCTGGAGAATACAACCAGATCCACGCGCCAACTCTTGTGGAAAAGACGCTCTCCGCGAAACGAATTGGGCCTATCAACATGCCGCCACCACAGTCTACAGCTAAACCAACAGCTCCAAAGCCAATTTCAACCCCAGTTTCTTCTGTAGCCGTCCCCGATGCTCCGCTTTCTCTTACTGACAAGCTCAACCTCGACGACTTTGAGCGTGCTGCGGAACAAGTCTTCTCACCCAAGGCATGGGCCTTTATCAACGGCGGCTCCAATGATCTAATCACCCTTGGCCTGAACCGATCCATGCTAAATCGCATAATGTTCCGTCCAGCCATCTTTCGTAAAGTGGCTTCCGTCTCAACGAAAACAACACTCTTTGGTTGCGACCTAGCTATCCCTGCCTTCATATGCCCCATGGGAACAACGCGCCTGGCAGGCCCAGAGGCAGAGATTGCGCAAACAAAAGGTGCCGCGGCATCAGGATCAATTCAGTGTATATCAACGGCTGCCTCGTTTCCATTAGACGACATTCTAGAAGCCACACCTAAGCAGGCCTGGTTTCAGCTCTATGTCAACAGCGACCGCAAGATTACAGAGGCGCTGGTGCGCAAAATAACCAACGACGGCAGGGTTAAAGCACTGTTCATTACTGTCGACCTCCCAGTAGTGTCAAAGCGTGAAGCGGATGAGCGAGTTAAAGCAGACAACAAAGCAGTCACCAACCCAGCCCTCTCCAAAGGGAATAACAGCCAAGGTGTCGCCAAGAGCGTCAGCTCGTGGTTTGACGCCAACTTATCGTGGGATGATATTGCTTGGCTTCGAGGGCTAACACACCTGCCTATTATTGTCAAGGGCATTCAGCGCTACGAAGATGCCAAGCTGGCTATGGAATATGGCTGTGACGGCATTCTGATTAGCAACCACGGCGGTAGAGCGGTAGATGGTGCCGTCCCGTCTATCCTGACATTGCTGGAGATTCGAAAGAAGTGTCCCGAAGTCTTCTCGAAATTAAAAGTGCTGGTTGACGGCGGATTCCGTCGTGGATCTGATATTATCAAGGCCATGTGTCTTGGCGCATCTGCTGTTGGATTTGGGCGGCCGTTCATGTACGCGCTGCAGCACGGCCAGCCTGGCGTGGAACATGTGTTTAACAGTGAGTATTTTAGTGCGCAGATATATTCTGCAATGGCTAACATTTGTCTCCTAGTTCTCCGTGATGAGCTCGAGACGGGTATGAGACTGTGTGGTATGACGGATATCGACAGCGACCCCAGCCCGAAATACATCAATACTAGAGACTTGGATTATCTAGTTGATGGCGACGAACTACCTCCGCTTCGTCAAAAGCTGTAGATGATAATACATGAAGCTCAATTGGATTTTTTGTTGGTGTGAGACAGCGTGTCCTCAGATACTAGACTATTTTCCTTGGATATTTGCAACTATAAATTTCCTGATAAATTTATGCCATGATATTAAGTGCATTTTATCATTTTTCATATTATTCTACTATTTTATCTACAATAGAAATTATGCACTGCGCAGTCTCCTCCCTGCCAAACAATCCTATTGTCTCTACTTGCCCTGAAAGCGTCGTCCCTTGCACGTGACCCACCTGCAGTGACTCGCAAGCTGGCCGCAGGCGGACACCACGGCGATGCCCAAGGTGGGGAATTTCTTTCGCTGCCTGCGGCCCTCCCTCGCTTTTGCCCGCGCAAAACAACATCACCACTTCCCATCTCTTCAGACTTTGCGATAATTAAAGCACTGCGCCGTTGCTGCAAAATAACCCCTCTTTTGCTTGTTGCGGTCGTCTTGCTTCCCTTCTTTCCTTTTTTTCTTCATCTCTGTGCCTTGTTCGCTTGGCTGTGTGACTCTCGTGGGGTATTTGGAACTTGCTCGTTTCGTACCACGTCATCATATCAGTCCTTTAGCTGCAAAGCATAATGTTAGCTTGGAGACATTCCACCTGTCTAATCAATTCATCTCGTCTCATCTAAGGTATGTACAGCATCATCTCTGCAAAGGCATTCCCGCTGCACGACACTGACGCCAGCTGATACCTGGCCTTTTTCATGGTCATGAATTACTAACGCGCCATAGCAACATCTAAAACACAAAACCCTACACACCCAAATACAACATGTCTTTCTTCGGCTTCGACACGAGCGGCCATAACAAGGCCGCTCCCGGCTTCTCCCAATCCCACGATCCATTTGCCGGCCTCTCGGGCAACGATATCGACGATGCTCTCGACTTCGAGGATACCTACGACGGTCTTGGCGATCAGCTCGAAGAAACTGGCGATGACTTCAACGATGACACCTTTGGTGGCAGTGCCGTGCCAGCTGTGGCCAACCGCGGCGGCAAGGACTTTGACTTCTTCGGCCAGACAGCCCAGGTTGCCGATGCTATTGAAGAGGAACACTTGCGTTACAACATGCAGGCTCCTACTCGCGCCGCGGCTCCCCAGGACTATTCGCAGCAGTATGCCACCCAGGACCCATACTACGGCATGCAGCGTCCTGCTCGAACCGGTTACGAAAAGTACACGGCAGATGAGCCCGTTCCTGAGCTCAACGTGGACCAGAGCATTTGGGGTATCGCGCCACCCAAGGCCGCTGCTCAACCTGCTCAACCTGCTGCCCAACCCAGCCGTAAGATCATGAGCTTGGAAGAAGTCGAAGCGTCCATGCGCTCTCAACCCAAGCCGGCTCCCTCTACGGCTCCCGAGGTTGTCTACCCTCAGCAGGACTACCAGGCCGCCCAAGCCCAGTACCAGCACCACCAACAGCAGCAATATCAACAACATCAGCAGCAGCAGCAGCAGCAGCAGCAGCCAACCCAAATCCTCCAGCGCCCTCAGCAGCAGATACAGCAGCATCAGGTTCCCCAGCAGCATCTCCAGCAACAGCAGCAGCAGCAGCAGCCGATACATCCTACCCAGATCCTCCAGAACCCTAACCGCATCCCTACTGGTCCTGGTCACCAGCACCACCGGTCTCAAGCCTCTCTGGGGGCTCTTCCCCAGATGCAGTCTCACCCCCATTTGGCGGGCATGTCTGAAGAGGAAAAGGCTGCCTTTTTGGACCAAGAGGCCAAGCGCGCCAAGCGCAACCACAAGATCTGGCTCCTTTCCAAGGATAACGGTGTCATGACCCCGCAGGACAAGAACTTCATCACCCGAATCCAGCTTCAGCAGCTTGTTGCCGCCACCGGCAACCCCGTTGAACAGGGTGCCGATGCCTCCATTGCTGAGGACTTTTACTACCAGGTGTACAGCCACATCCGCGCCGGCCAGCGCCAGAACCCCAGCCAGCCGCTTAGCACATTTGCCCAGACATACCTCTTCCAGACCGGTAGCCGTCACAACATGCGCCGCCATGGTCGCCCTGCTGAGAACCATATGCAGCGCATGGAGCAACAGGTCCAGCGTGCTGTTGAAGCTGCCAAGAACAAGCCCAAGAACCCACAGTTGGTGATTGCTGGCAGCTTGGGCAAGATTTCCTTCTCCAACGCCAAGACCCCCAAGCCTCTTCTCAACATCAAGCGCGCCGAGTCTGAGACCCCCAAGCCCGCCAACGGCAAGAAGGGTGCGGATGCTGCAGGCATTGACCGCAAAACCATCCTTCGCAACGTCGAGCGTGTCTATGACACCCTCATGAAGATTGAGGACCACGTCCGCCAGATCCCTCCTCCTCCCAACCCTGCCGACCAGGAGCTTGAGGAGCGCCATCGTGAATGGGGCGCCATTCTCGAAGCCCTCAACGCTAAGCTCTGGGACGAGCTCAAGGTTCACGAGCCCATTGGTGCCACTGCCCAGCACCCCTTTATTGCTTTCCTGTCCTGCGCCAAGGGCAAGAAGGCCATTCCTCGCATCTTCCCCCACCTCAGCTTCGAGCAGCGCACCACCATTCTGACCATGATTGTGTACCACCTCGACCAGCTCGACGTTGTGCAGGGTGCTGCTGTTGATAGCGACGGCACCACTCTCAACGCCAACATGCGCGAGAACATTGAACTCTTCATTTCCACCGTCATGCCCTCGCTGATGCAGTACCTCAACGAGACCGGAATTGACATTGTGGACGGCATCCTGCACTTGATTGCCACCAAGCTCAACATTGACCTCATTGCCCGCACTCGCATCGGTGTCTCCATGCTTACCCTCATTCTCAGCCGCACCGTGCTGCTCAAGCAGACGGACGCCGGCAGCGCCGAGCAGTGGGAGAAGTGGGATCAGACTTTCGAGACCTTGTTTGTCCGCGTCGAGCCCAGCCTGCCCTACATGTTCCCCGGCAGCGTCAACGCCGGCATCGACGTGTACGTCTGGCAGTTCCTTGCGGCAATGGGTGTTAGCGCCAACCACGACCAGCAGACTCGCCTGGTTCTCGCCGTCAAGGACCGCGTGCTTGATACCGTCACGCTCTCCAAGACCCTTCCTCCCGCCATGGCCGCCGAGCGCCTCAGCAGCGTCAACCTGTTTATGCGCGCCATTGGCCTCGACGTCGAGCTTCTCCAGTAGAAGACCTCGTATCGTCTTGATTTAGAGTTTTTGACATTTCTTGCTCTTGCATTTCTAGTTTCTGCTGTTTTTTTTTCAGTCTTTGTCTTTTGTCGGGGCCTTTGATACGATGGGAAGAATGACGACTACAGCCTCCTTGTGAGGACGTTTACATCTCGCACGACACATGTTTTCTGCTTTTTCTTGTTTTTCGAATTAGTGCAATTTGCTTTTCATCTCCAAAAATAACAACAGGCGAGGTCTGTATCAACCTCACATACAGGTCGCTATTTTTTAACAACGCGAACCTCAAGGAACATTACGTTCCTTGCCCAGCTACGCCGACGAGATTTTTAACTGCTCGGCAGCGGGACAATTACCGATCTATAGGACAGGCCATTAGCTGTGGGAAGCTAGCCTTATCATGGACGGGCACTATGCTTTCTAGGTATATATGCATATCTGGAGGCGCCACCAAAAAATCATATGTACGGGGATGGTCTCTTTCATTGCTTTGGGTCGGCATCGAAAAGGGCCATGGGTTCGGATAGATAGACAGATGGGGTATTATATTATCATTTCATGTTGATGTAAATACAACTAATAGAAGCTGAGTCTTCTATCCTGCCACCACTTCTCTCCCATTTTCTTAATCTTGTGCCTGTGCTTGTGCCCAGAAATTCTCATGATTCACCGTAAAAACGCTATGCTATAAAATACAAAACACCGCCCAGTCAGTGCTTACGCCGTCGACGACTTGCGCCCACCACGTCTTGTTCCAACCGCCGCGCCGCCTCTCCTCCGCGTCGTCGCCGCCGGCGCAGGCTTTTTCTCTTCCTCCTTGACCGGCTCCTTCTCCTTCTCCTCATCGGGCACCACAACCACCTTTTCCGGCTTCTTGAAGCCGCTCACAGCCTCAAGATGGCGCTGCTCCTCCCACGTGGCGCTAAAGCTGGGGACATGCTCGCTCAGGTCCTTCTCAACCGCAACAGCCTTGCCCTTATCGTCTTCTTCTACGGCTGCTTCTTCCGGGTTCGTCAGGAACAAGCTCTCATTGTATACCTCCCACGCAGCCTCCTCGTTCTCATCCGTATACTTCATCTTACGCCACGGCTCAGACTGCACAGAGCGCAGACGGTCCGCAATCGTCTCTGTGGTAGTTGTCTCGCCGTCCGCCGTCGTCTTGATGGTCATGTGGATGGCGCGTGGGCCGGCTGCCGACGAGCCCGGCTGGCCTGTGGACGAGGAGCCGTTCGGCAGGCCCTCTTTACCGGCAGATGACGCTGTGGCCTGGCGCTCCAGCTGTGTAGTTGCGTCGAGATGGTGCAGTTGCGGGCGGAGGTGGACGAGGGTCGAGACAGGGGTGAGATGGAGGTCCTCTGCTTTCATGTTAGTTATGCATTCTATGATGGAGGAAAGAAAGGGGACCAAACGTACTGCCTTGGAACACGCCAACCATGTACTGCACCTCATCTGTCTCCGGGTACTGCCCACCAAGCGTCTGCGTGCGGAGAATCTTGTCTTGACGCACCGCCTCGTTCCAATCAATCAGATCGTCGTCATCGATGCCATCGGCCCTGCTGCGGCGGCCGGCCGCGCCGCGCTGCTGGACGGCGCCGAAGCCAAAGCCGCCCGCGAGACCGTGGCTGCCGCCGTTCTTGGTCGTCATGGACTGCTGCAGCGTGCGGCCCCATTTGAGGCCCTTGTCCTTGTCGTAGGCCTTGTTGTAGTCGAGGGGGACGTCGACCTCGACCATGCCGGACTCGGCCTTGAGACGGAGTTCGGTGGGCGCCGACCGCGCGGCTTCGTCGCTGTGATTGGGGTGCTGGAGAACGAGGAGGCGCCGGCCGAGAGGGAGCGCTGGGTTGAGGAAGACGGGGTACGAGGCGGTGATGGGATCGTCGTCCATGTCGGATGAGTCAATGTCCATGGGGACAGGGTCTGGCTTCGTGGCCATGGTTGGGGTTTTGGAGTTCGGTCGCAGTGATAAGAAGAAAGATTGTAGTGAGAATGAAAAAGTATTATTCAACTGGAGAGGATAAAAGAATTACAGGTCATGAAATGTTGTAGGTAGCGCGTGGGTGGTGGTGGGGGACGAACAGTTGAAGAAAAAAAGTTGTAGCTCTTATCTTATCGCTGCCATTTACGTCGCTGAACCCAGACAAATACCCTACGACTACAGAATCACATTATTCCTATCAGAGGATAGTTAATCATAGCTAAATATTTAAATTACAGTCAATGTTTTAGTCAATTGATTGGACTCATTCTTTCTGCAATAGTTGAATATTTTTGTAAATAATCCTGTTAAACTAATCCTGCGCCTCCGCTCTCATAGTATCATATGCTCTGCAACACAGCAAACACCACAACTCCAAAACTTTTCCGGGTCCTCTATTTCTTCTCCTCAACGGAAAGTTTAGCAACGTCTGCCTCTACTCCAGCCTCCTTAGCCTTGGCCTCTTCAGCCTTCTTCTTAGCTTTCTTTTCCTTATCAGCGAGCTTCTTAGCCTTCTTGGCAGCAGCCTTCTCAGCCTCAAGAGCCTTTTGCTTCTTAAGCTCCTCACCACCGTAAGCGTCGCGCCACTCATCAAGCTTAGCAGCAGGGATGACGGCAAAGAGGGGCTCGGGTGTGCCAATCTTCTGGCCGCCAGATACGGAGGCAAAGTCAAACACTTCGGGAATGGATGGTGAAGGCTCGCTGCCGAGTTGGGTGAAGATGGAAGCGGCAACGTTGGGCATGTATGGCGCAACAAGGGAGGCAAGGAGGTAGACGTGGTTCATGGCGACGTTGATGACGGCGTTGCAGCGGTCGGGCTCGTCAGCCAGCAGCTTGTTGTTCAGGCCGCTGTCCTGCAAGAACTTGTTGCCAAGTGAGGAGATGGCAAGGATGTCAGAGACACCAGCACGCAGCTTAGTAGCCTCGAGATGCTCGATATATGTGGTAAGGGCCTTGTTGGTAGCCTCCTTGTGAGCGTCGATGGCGGCATCGGTGTAAGTGGAGGCGGGAACGGTGCTGTCCATCTTGGCCACACAGAACTTGAGAGTACGCTGGATAAAGTTGCCGACGTTCTTCAAAAGCTCGTTGTTGTTGGTGTCGATGAATTCCTCCCACTTGAACTCGGAATCGGCAAATTCGGGGCGGCGCGACAGCAGGTAGAATCGCCAGATATCGGGGTCGATGCCGGTATCCTTGGCGTTGTTACCGAAGACACCAATACCACGGGACTTGCTGAACTTGCCGTTCTCGTAGTTGAGGTACTCTGTGGCCGAGATGCGGTGCACCTTGGTCCAGTTCTCGTGGGTGCCGAGCTGCGACGACGGGAAAACGATGCTGTGGAAACCAACGTTATCCTTGCCCTGGAATTGCATAAGCTGGACCTTCTCGGGGTTCTTCCACCACTGCTCCCACTTCTTGCCGTTGCGGTTCTCGCCGTCAGTGTAAGTCTTGGTGATGGAGACGTAGCCAATGCAGGCATCGAACCACACATAAAAGACTTTCTTCAAGTAATCTTCGGTGACGAGGCCGTCGACAACAGGGATGGGCACACCCCACTTGAGATCTCTGGAGATTGCACGGGGCTTCAGACCCTTGTCCATCCAGGACTGTGTAATGGCGAGAGCGTTGGTGCTCCATCCGTTCTTGGTGAGACCACCGTACCACTCCTTGAGCTTATCTTCAATAGCATCGAGCTTGAGGTAGAGATGCTTGGTCTTGCGCGCCTCGGGCGTAGTGCCGTCGACCTTGCACCGCGGGTTGACAAGCCAGCCAGTAGCCTTGAGCTCTGTAGTCTCTTCACCCTCGGCAGTAGTCGAATCTTCTGGCTTGAGAGGGTCCAGAATACCACCACAAGCATCACACTGATCACCTCTGGCGCCCTTATCGCCACAGATGGAGCATTCGCCTTCAATAAAGCGATCAGCAAGGAAAGTGTTGTGTGTCGCGACGGGGCAGAAAGGCTGAATGGTCTCATCTTCAAGGATGTAGCCATTTTGGTAGAGCTTCTTGAATACGTCCTGGACAATATCGGTCTGATGCTGGGTGGGGGTCTTGTCGAAAATATCGAAATCGATGCGGAACCAGTCGTAAATCGACTTGTGCAGGGCGTGGTACTTGGCGCAGAGGGTAGCGGGGTCGACGCCCTCTTCTAAGGCTTTTGTCTCGGTAGCGGTACCATATTGATCCTATTTGGTTTCATGGTTAGCGTTTTTTTCTTTGCAACAAGTGACATAGAGCAAATGCGTACAGTTCCGCAGACGTAGAGAGTCTGGTAGCCTCTGGCTCTGCAGTAGCGGGCGTAGACGTCAGCAGACAAGACACTGCCGATGACGTTGCCGAGATGGGGCAAGTTGTTGGAGTAAGGGAGAGCACTGGTAACGAGAACGTTGCGCTTGCCATCAATAGGCAAGATTGGCTCGCTGGTGGTGTTTGATGTCGCCATGACTGTGTTTTTAGATGCCTGCACTCGGCGTTTGGCGGGGTAGATGTAGTGTATCGAACAGCCGGAACAATGTACTTTGAAGAAAGAAAATGCAAGGAAAAAGAATTCGATATCGTCTATGTAACCCTTTTCAAAGCAGAGAGCGATATGCCTTTGTTGCAGAAAAATAACAGACGCTGGTGATGATGGAGTGGCAAAGCTGGTGGTGCTGTGAGTCAAGCCGTCTTGTTTTTCAGCGACGTCGCATTCAGCGAGCGACTGCGGGCGGCTGCCGTGGGATTTTTTGGCGGGGTAACTTTTTGTGGTGGAGGGTTTGGTTATGTAAGCCGCCATGTTATACTTCTTCCGTCTATAAGTTAGTTGTTCCTTTTTACAATATATTTATGCTTATTCCCTGCTCATGATGAAATATATTATTGCTAAATTACATCATCATCGTCATCAAATGGGCCGTCGCCGGTGCTACTATCCATCCGCCGAGATCGGAGTTCTCGCCCTTGACAGCCAGTACCAGTTCCTCCATGCGTCCAATAGTAAGTAGCTGGGTCCTTTAGTGGCATTGCCCACGCTAGCAATTCTATCTTGTAATATGCCCAGCTTCCCTTTGCGTTAAGACATGTGTATTCCGCCAACGTCAATAACCAGCCTAAATAACCACACTAGCTCTATCGCCAAATAAGGCTTAGCCAGAGAGACATCATTCTTCGATATGACGCAACCAATTCACCAACTGGATGACCTCCTACGCCAGCACGACGAGTCAGATGATACCAGCTTCTTTCATATCCCTCTTGGCTTTACTATATACCGTACAGACTACACGACGGAAAACTCAGATCAACTATGGACAGACCTAGTGGAAGATCGTACCCAATGGCTGGTTAAACAGGTGAATGACGAGTCTGAGGGCTATGGGAGTAGCCCTACACAGCTAGCTGCTGCGGAAAAGTTGCGGTCGCTGATTCGTTTTGATGCCCGGTCGGACAGAGACAACCTCGAGGGTCGCGATTTAGATCAACTGCGGGATATTTTCAACGATCACGTGGGTGGAAAGCCTCTTCACATTGGGCAATATGAGCGAAATTTGTTTCTCGTCGCTGATGAGGAAGTCTTTGACAACCTTGTTAGCAAGGATGATCAGCCGTGGGTTAAGGCAGTAGAGGCTAATTACGACAGGAGGAGCACAAGGCGACTGATAATGGACGTGTCGCCATTCCTAAAGTATACTATGGCTGGATGAGGGTAAAGACTTTTGGTGTTTTGATGATGCACGCGATGCTACCAGGGAACCAACTGTCAGATATCGCACCGCGCATGGATGCTAATGGAAAAGCAAAGCTTTACAGCTGATAAGAGCCCAGTGTGTTACAAATACAGGGGTGATGGGCATTCACAGTAAGTTTATACCACTATGCTATTCCGCTAGTATCAAGATGAAGCGTATCAAGCAATGCTTCGTAGTTGCGGAGAATAGTAAGGACTGATGCGTAGCTCGCATTGAACTGCATTCTCAATATTATGTAAGCCGCGATGCTAACCTAGAGGACGCGTTGCCGAATCTGTTCACTAAGAAACGTGCAGTTGCAAAAGAAAATCATCCTTTAAAAGATATACATTGTAATTTAAAAGACAAAAAGAATTCTTCTGGCTTAATTAAATGCCTTATCAACTATGTTTGCAGATGACTTGGCTTGTGTTACTGGGGAAGCACATTTGACAGCTGGCAAATCATCACTCTTTTACAGCTGCACGAACCCTCTGATTTAACCATCAACCAAAACGAGTACAAAAGAATGCCATTGAATTGATCAGTATATGCCAGCGTCTTACAAATTACATGGATTTCACGCAATGATTAGCGGACGCCTCGGATACTTTACATGATTCGCCGCCATGCCAGGCTGACGCGCCCCCGCACCAACCACTAACACCGACTCCAGGCTTTGGAGAAGCACACGAGGTTTAATCCTACAAATTTCGTGTACATGCATGTGCCTACCAAGAGTTGTGTTACCCAATCATACAGATAAAGACCTCTGGAGGGTAAATTATGGAAAGTTACAGAGGCAATTGTCACTGCGGCAGCTTTCGGTTTGCCCTGGACGCAGCGCCAATCACCAAGGCGACCGAGTGTTCTTGTTCACTATGCTACCAAAAGGGCTACCTTTGGAACGAGGTTCCTGAAGATTCTAAATTTGAGGTCACGAGAGATGATGGAAAATTGGATACATATTCTTCGTCGGCAATGGAACACAAGGTACGCTACAATCCTGGGCTATGCAACGAGACTGTGCTAACCTATTGGACAGTTTTGCAAAGCTTGCGGCACCGGAGTCTTCGGGACTCACAAATCTGGCCCTCTGCAGGGTAAACGGCTTGTGAATGTGCGGACAATTCTCGATTTGAATCCATTTAAATTCAGGTGAGAAAACATCAGCGCTCCTGTGACTACGCGTCTTGTTAACAAATGAAGTGATCCCGACGTGATGACTACAGATGAAGCAGCCCGCCCTGTGCCGCCCATCACCGGCCCTGTTAAACATGTGGGATCATGCCACTGTGGTAAGACTACGGTGGAGATCCTTGCCCCAATTAGCGAACAGGAAATTAAAGAGGACAATTGCTCCTCATGTGTCAGGGTAAGATCTATGGCTACAAGTGAAGACCAGGACTAACTTGTACAGAGCGCATGGATGGGGATATACCTTCCTAGAAAACTCGTTCGATATCACGGCAAAGAGAATACGACAGATTATGCAGCAACATCACGCGGATGGACTAGGATGCCGTTTTGCCCAACATGTGGTGTCCATTTATTTATGGATGTCAGAGGCCCTCCACGTGAGATAATCGATAGAATCCCAGCAGAGCGAAAGGCAGAGGTTGTGGCGATTGTGGTAAAGAACATGTCCACTGCGTCCATCAATGTCCGATGCTTCCCTGAGGTGAATATTGCAGAATTGACTGTGGAGCGGACCGACGAGGGCACAGAGGGATACGAGCTGAAGGACTGATTATAAGGTGCCACTGTTGCATACTTGTGTTAGTGATTTGGATTGTGATGTTAGCGCGGCGTTTGTGGTGTGGTTGAGGCGAGACAGGCGTTGGATATCAAGTGAATTGCAGAATGACAGCTAACAGATCGGTGGTGGGAGTTATCTAGTAAATGGAAAAGAGTCTTGTTCGATACTCATGGCTCCAACACCGATCTCGATGATCATGCCTATCGCCCCCATCTCGGCTGCGTCATGGAAAAAGCACATACACTGCTCTGCCGAGACTCATTTTCCACCAAAGAAGCCGAACTTACCGAGAAAGTTTACTATATACGACAAAACCGTCACCTGCATTCCGAACAATTTATAAACACCGGACGGACCAATTTGAAAGCCAACTCTCCGGTGCCGTTGGTCGAAAGGTTGTCACACCTGACCCTGCGCGCGCCACCACTTCCCCGCCAACAGCGCAGTGCAGACAAACGCAGACGCCAGCTGTTTTCCAATAAGAGAAACTCGCAAGAAAGTCGTCACCTGCGCTGGAGACTAAACAATACCTCCTCCAATAATGGGCTTGTTGGGCGTTGTGGGGGTGGGGATGCGGATGCGGGGTACTGAAGAAGCCGACTTGACTTATACTCCGTCCCATCCGCCCAGCATCCGTTGTTTCGCCCAGTTCAGTAATTGACCTAGTTTGTTTCTAGGGCGTTAAAATCAACAAGATCACAGTACTTCAATCTTCATAAAACTTTACAAAAACGGAAACAAAGACAATGGAGATCCCCACCACACAAAAGGCAATCGTCTATGACGAACCAGGCAAGCTCTCCACCAAAGTGACAGATCTACCCGTCCCTGAGCCAGGACCCGGAGAGGTTCTCATTAATCTGTACGTCACATTTGAAACTGTAGTATGACCGTTATTTGACAGCTAACCGCCATTAGCACCCACTCTGGTGTCTGCCACTCTGATTTCAGCGTCATGATGAGCAACGTACGATTGCCTTTGTCCTAACCAACGCGCCAAAGCTAACAAACATCTACAGTGGGCTATTCTGCCTTTCCCCACACAAAAGGATCAAGTTGGCGGCCACGAAGGTGTCGGCAAGATTGTCAAGCTTGGTCCTGGCAGTGAAGAGACTGGTGTCAAGATTGGCGACCGTGTCGGCGTCAAATGGATTGCTTCTGCCTGCGGACGATGTGGTACGTCTATTTTGCCCTCCTCCAAATTTATATAGCCGAGGCTAACAAAGCCCACTTACAGGTCCTTGCTTTGCGCTTTCGGATGGCCTTTGCCGAAACGCCAAAGTCTCTGGATACTATTACCCAGGAACCTTCCAGCAGTACGTCATTGGCCCAGCTACCTATGTGACGCCCATCCCTGACGGTCTCGATTCTGAGCAGGCGGCGCCTATGCTGTGTGCCGGCGTGACCGTTCTTGCTGCCATTAAGCGCGCCCAACTCAAGGCTGGTGACTGGCTGGTCATTGTCGGCGCGGGTGGTGGTCTTGGCCATCTTGCCGTGCAGCTGGCTAGCAAGGGCATGGGATACCGTGTGATTGGTATCGACCATGGCAGCAAGGAGGAGCTTGCCAAGGAATCCGGCGCAGAGCACTTTGTCGACATCACCAAGTTCCCTACCGACGACAAGGGCGAGGCTATCAAGAAGCACGTCCACGAACTGGCCGATGGCATCGGTGCCCACGCGGCTGTGGTTTGCACCGCTGTCAACGCTGCGTATGCTACCGCATTGACCTTTTTGCGCTTCAACGGCACTCTTGTCTGCGTTGGTATTCCAGAGGGCGAGGCTGTCCCCATTGCGACTGCATCGTCGCCCGCCATCATCATGAACCAGTGGAAGATTGTTGGCTCGGCTGTGGGCACGCGCCAAGAGGCCATTGAGACGCTTGACTTTGCGCGCCGCGGTATTGTCAAGGCGCATGTCAAGGTCGAGAAGATGGATGCTTTGAACAGCGTGTTTGAGCAGATGCATGAGGGCAAGCTGCAGGGCCGTGTTGTGCTGGACCTTGCGTAGATTGTAACGATTTGTTGACGAGTTGATGACGATGACGATGATGATGAAGAAGGGGCGCGGGCGTTTGGATGGAAGCAGAATAGCATGTCGAGGGGCGTTTGGTGGCGTGTATTAGTCGACTGGGTGGTTATGTGTATGTACCAGCAGGCGTTGAATATGTAGAGTGAGCAGGTCATAGTGGCACAGGTTGAATCAACGTATAAGACGAACAAGAGTATGTAAACTTAAATCATTCTCTATACATTCCGTGTTATTGTCTTTATACACTCGGATATACAAACTAGTTTAACAAAACATAAAAACGCCAGTTAACTATACCAATCTCTTATTCGAGGAATCCCCTGTCTTTCCACTGCTGCACATAAAGACGAACAATCTCTTGGCTTACAGGCTTCATCTTGGCCAGCGTAGGAGAATGCCTACACGCTTCATCTGTACCCAAGATCAGAGTACCCGTCGACATGTGCAGAAACTCAACGTCGAAAAAGTCTGCCAGCATCGCCGCTGGATTCCTTGTGTCCGCACCACCCTTTGCACCATCCCGCACAAGAGACACCCACTCATCAAAGGCGACAATCTTGCCTTTAGGTATGTCTAGCTCTTGGGCAAGCATCTGTATCATGTCCAGCCACGATTGCCTTTGCGGATTATCAATATGGTATACTGCCCGCGGCGCCTCAGTAAACAACAAGTCTATAGCAGTCCCAGCGACACCGTCCACTGGCGCCCAAGCAAGATGTCCAGGGATATGCGGCAACGAACCGAGAAATTGCGAAGACTTGATCAAAAAGGAAATATGCTCTGCTGTGTTCCAGTAGCCGCTAGTGCTGTGTCCTGCAATCTGACCTGGACGCACAACCATGATGCGGAAACGGTCTGGATGCTGATGGAGAGTGGCGTCGAGCATCCTCTCACAAACATGCTTTGCATCACCATATCCAATGGGCAACACAGAGTCGACAGTGAGTCTGGATTCAGGTGCGACTGCGGTACCAGACCAGACCGGCCAGTGTCCCACGGCCGCAATGGACGAGACGAGCTGGAATGTGACCTTTTCTGCCTTGCCTGCGTGCGCAGAAGCATCGACAGCCAGACCAATCATATTCTTCATAATCTGGAGTTGCGGTTGAAATCTTGTCAGTGGCCACTTTGTGTTCATCAGCCATGCATTGTGAATAATGTGTGTTGCTGCTGCCGCAATGCGGTCGTATGTAGACTGTGACAGGCCAAGATTCGGTTTGCCCAAGTCTGTCGCGTATGTCGTCAGCTTGGCAGCTGCTTCAGAAGCTAACTGGATTTTCTTGTCCTCAAAACTCTCGATTTGACGCCTCTTGTCATCGTCATATCCCCTTTTCGGGCGATTCAAACACACAACTTCTCGTACATCCTCTCTCTCCGCCAATTGAGCCACCAGATGCGCCCCCAAACTGCCCGTACACCCCGTCACCACAATACATTTCCCCTCTGTACGCCGTCCCGCTTCACCCCCGACTTTGGTTACTGCCTCTTCAAGAGACTCGTCAAACCCGGCAGTAAACTCAGCCGTAAACTTGTCAATGGCGGCTTGGCGGGTATCAAGGTCAGCACACGGAACCTTGGACACAGGCGGGGTAATTGGGAGATGTGCGTACCTTGTTGACGGAGCAGCGAAAGCGACAATGAGTCGTTCGAGCTTATTTTCTGGTCGTGCGCCGTCTGTCCAGTCAACAAGGCCGTAGCCTGAGGATTGCAGCACGCTAGACCACTGCTGCTCGGTCTGGACGACGTACTCGCGGCCGTCGTCAAAGAGCCACCAGCCTTCAAAGAGGCCAAAGACGAGATCCATCCACCAGACGCGGCTTGTCATCTCTACAAGCAGCAGCATACCGTCGTTGCGGAGTGCTTTGCGAATGTTACCTGTGGAGGAGTACAGGTCGCGCGTGGCGTGGACGGCATTGCTTGAGACAATGACGTGCTGTGTGCCGATTAGATCGTCAGGTGGTGCGTCTTCAATGTTGTGTGTGCGGAACTTGACGAATGGGTAGGTGCTGCTGAATGTTTTGCGTGCTGCAGCGGTAAATGACGGTGCTAGATCAGTGAATGTGTATTCGACGGGGATGCCTGCTGCCGCGAGGATGGGGAGAAGGAGTTTCGTTGTGCCTCCAGTGCCAGCACCCATTTCCAAGATTCTTAGAACGCCATCGCCACCTGCGTTCTTAACTACGGAGGTGAGACGAGTGATGAAGTCTTCTAGTTGGCGATAGATGAGTCTGTGCAGCGGCCAGTCGGCGTAAAAGTGAGAAACCATCTTTCGTCCCTCAGCTGAGCCAAAGATGAGTTTGATACCGTCTGTGTTGCCACGGAGAACATCGGCAAGTCGGCCGCCCGTTCTCATAGTAAGTTCATCTGCCATGCTCTGCCCAGGATATAATTGCTTGAGCTGCTCAAAGAGGGCCTGGCTTGACTGTTCAGGCAGTGCTTTGGTTGTTCGTGTCATTGTCGCGCCGTTGATGGCAATCAGTCCGGCTTCTTGGTCAAGCATGGCGTAGAGAGCATCTACCAGGCGTCCATGCTGCTCAGCATGCGGTACTCGCTCAATCACTTGTCCTGGCGTAGCGTTGCGAACAGAATGACCAAGCTCATCCAGCGCATCAAGAGTCAAAACAACGCAGAACTGCGTCTGAAGCGGCTCAATTACAGTAGCATAGTCTTCTTGACCATACTCGACAATTCTGGCATCTGTCGATTGCTTTGTTTGTCGGAATGCCTGAATAACAGAGTCGATATCCAGTTCCAGCTCGCCATCGTCCTTCTCAGAAGGCACTGCTGAGGGCGTGCTTATACCAGTGAGGCGGCCACTGGTATCCGAGATGGTACCACTAGTATCAGAGAGGCTGGAGTCTGAGATCTTGTCATCTTCAACGTCCTCGCCCACCGAAGTATACTGTCTCACGACTTTGACCAGACCAGGAAGATCAATGATTTCATTCAGAACCTCATCAGGGATCGACACTTGGAACGTGGATGCAATTTCGCTGCATAGCTCCATTCCCAGAAGAGAATCGATGCCAAGATCAGCAAGCGAGCTCTCACTCTGGATCTCGGCCGCTTCCAAGCCAGACAGTTCAGCCACGATTGCTTTAATTTTCGGCTCGACCGTGTCGGTCTTGCGGACCTTGGGTGGTGAGGCTACTTTTGGTCGTACAGCAACAGGAGGAGATGCCCTCTCTGGCTGTGATGTCTCTTTTTGAGCTGTGGCTGGTGGTAATGCCGGCGCCAGAGTAGAAGTTCCAGTCACCTGTGAAGGCAGATGTGGGCTGAGACGAGTGAGAAGCTTGCTCATGGAGGCCCGGGGCACTTTGTAGTAGCTTAGTCCAGTAACTACCTCGTAAAGCTCGCCATTTGAGGCATCAAATACAAATATATCCGAGACAATGGATCGAGCATCTGGTCGTCTGTGCAGTGCAAGAACGTGGAATTCTTGCGGCTTGATTGTAAGACGAGGGTTACGGAACCAGTGTGTGACGCCATTGCACACGTACATATCTGTGGAAGCACAGTCAGTCATGCAAGTAGCCCAAATGCCAGCTACTTGGCAAAAGTAGTCTGCAACGAACGGGTCAAGCCATCCCTTGAGCTCAGACTTGCGTGAAACCAAACCAGCAGATGTGTCTCCAAGGCTGCACAGCTTTTGAATACCTTGATACTCCTCTGTATAATCCACGACGTCGACAAACATTCTGTAGATGGTTCGATTCGAGAGGACCTCGTCTACCGCAGCTCCGCCATACAACATATCATGGGCCTGCTTATGGCTGACGAGTCGCGACAGACGATCGAATTCCACAATAGCGTGTTGCTGAGCGGGTGGAAGTAATGAAATAAAGCCAGTGGTGTACACAGTTTCGCTATCCTTTGCATTTTTCTGTGTGCTGAAGAGGGTAAACTTCCATCTAAGGCCTTGGTTGATGGTCTCTTCGTTATGAAATTCGATAAAGTGCGATCGAGTCTCATCCAAGCACAGTGGCGTCTGGCATTTGACGTCAAATAGCTGTGGCTGCCAAGTTTCCGCTACATCTGCAGCTTGTACGCTTCGAATAGCCTCAATGACAAAGTCAAACTGAACTGTAGCGGGACAAATAGCTGCAGTGCTGGCAAATATGTGGCCAGAGACAAGCTTTTGGTAAGCAGCAGATTGGGTGTTAATCTGATACTTGGGGCCTGACTTTGAGGACTCTACCAGATATACTAGTTCCTCCTTGGGCGGCTGGACAACCTTCTCTGTTTGAATTACCTGCTGTGCCGGAGGTTCCTTTAGCTCCAGCCAGTGTTTCGACTTGTCAAACGAGTACGGTGGCAGCAAAAGGGCGTCGTGTTGCTGTCTCGCTGCTACTCCGTGATGTGTCCAGAACTGAATATGTAGACCATCGCGCCACAACCCAATAGTGGCGTCGACAAGCTGATTCCATGCCGTTTGAGTGTTGCTTCGAAGGTTGAGAGCGTGGAAGCGAGAGCCTGTGGATGTGCCCAATGCACGACTTGCCATGTTTGTCACAGTAGAATTGGATCCAGCCTCGAGGAATACGGCAGCAGGATACTTCTTTTGTAGACGAGCCAGAGCATGATTAAAGAAGACTGGCGATCGCATGTGCTGAGCAAAGAAGTTTTTCGAGATCTTGTCAAGTGGCTTTTCAGTAGCATGTTCCAAGTGGATTTGTGGACGCTGGAAAGTGACTTGGTGGCCAATCTTGCCAAGTCCATCAATGAGAGGTTCAACCAAGTTGCAATGGAAGGCATTTGTAACATTTAGTCGTTTGGTTCGCATGCTGACGCTGCTCTCACTAAAAACTTGGGCCACGATATCGACAGATCGCTGTGAGCCGGCAATGGTGAAGCTAGTTGGTCCGTTGTAACAGGCAATGCTCGCTGGAGCAATGGATTCTCCCTCGCAAAGCTTGGCTGCTTGCTGTAAGATACCATCAACTGTCTCCAAGCTGCCTTCTACGGCCATCATGGCGCCCTTATCCTCTCCCCAAGAGTGTCGGACGAGACCGGCGCGAGCCACGATTGCCTTGATAGTGTCATTAAGGGACAAGGTGCCGGATACACAAAGGGCAGTCAACTCGCCAAAACTGTGACCGATGAGAGCGCCAGGCTTGATGCCGGAGTCTATCCAGCTCTTGGCGCATGCGTATTGCATAGCAAACAGTGCAACCTGAAGTCTGACAGGATCATCAAAGGCCTCTTGCTGGAAAATATCGGGGAAAATGCTCTCTACACCAAGTGTCTTTGCCGCCGTATCCACGGCCTGTAGATGTCCCCTCAACAACGGAACACGATGGTAGAGATCTTTATCGAGCCCAACAAATGTAGATACCTGACCACCGAAGCAAAGCACTACATCCTTGGTTGGGGTCTTTGCAGTCAACGCCTGGTCATTCAATGAATCCAAGCTCTGTAAACGTGTTGTAAGCTGTGCAAATGAATTGGCACTGAACATCAAACTGTGTGGCAAATGGCGGTTGGATTGGCGTCCAAGATTATAGGACAGGCTTGCTAGGAAAGCGTCTTCATCGGCCTGGATAGAGGCTGTTGATCTTTGACTGAGCCACTTGAGCAATGCTCGAGCTTTTCTCTTTTGACCAGACTCATCAAGGGAGGTGATCCAGAAAGGATACGCCAATTTGCTTTCGGATGAGCTCTGCTTGGACACGACACGTCCCCTTGGTGCTTGTAAAACAACCATGGAGGCATTGGACCCCGAAGCACCGTAGTTGTTAATCAATGCGGCTTTGAATTCAGAGTCCCACGTCAATGGGGAAGTCGGCACAACGATACTCTTTACAGCCTTGATAGTTGGGTTCAGAGTTTGATGGCTAGCCTGTGCTGGAATTTTGCCATGATGCATCATGAGGAGGATCTTGATCAGAGACAACACGCCGGATGTTGGCTCTGTATGACCAATGAATCCCTTGACAGAACCAAGAACCAGCTGCTTTTCCCTTGGCTTCACTGCGAGAACCTGCTTCACACTTTCATACTCAGCGGGATCGCCAACTGCCGTTCCTGTACCATGGGCCTCCACTACTCCAACTTGTGAAGCATCGACATGCGCTCTATCGAGTACGTTGCGGAATAGATCAGATAGAGAAGGCGAGTTGGGGACAAAGATGGGCGTGCAATTCTGGTTCTGTTGCACACCACTGGCGGCAATAACACCAAAAATTTGGTCTCCGTCAGCGAGAGCAGTAGACATCTTCTTCAAAAAGACAGCACCGACACCTTCACCACGACAGTACCCATCAGCCTTGCTATCAAATGGCTTGCACTGGCCAGTCTGACTCAGGAACGACGCTCCAGCAAGGTTCTGGAAGCGGTAGGGACTCGTCATGATGGCTGTTCCGCCAGCAAGGGCAGCAGCGCACTGTCCACTGAGGATAGATTTGCAGGCCATGTCAATTGCCACAGCTGATGATGAGCATGCCGTATCGACAACCATGGCTGGGCCAGTCCAACCAAAATAGTGACTGACTTTGCCTGCTGCAAACGCCTCGAGATTACCAGTGGCAGCAAACGCATTGGCAGGGTGGCAGGCAATGTTGTTCTCGTAGTCTGTGCCACACAGGCCAATGTAACAACCAATGTTGGCATTCTCCGTTTTAAGAGGCTGCTTATGAAAGTATCCAGATTGTTCAACTGCTTGATATGCAACCTGTAAGAGGTGGCGCTGTTGAGGGTCGGTGGTTGCGCTCTCACGCGGACTTGTCTTGAAGAATTTGTGATCAAAGCAATCTACGTCATCGATAAAGTTTCCAAACCACTTGCGCTTCGGGTCTACCTCTCGGAACAATGTCTTGAACGAAAACCGCTTGTCGTCTGGTTTGATCTCGCGATGCTGTGATTTTCCTGTGGAAAGAACTTCCCAGAATTCATCGATATTGTCAGCGCCGGCAGTCTTGCACGACATTCCCACAACGGCAATGTCTGTGTCGAGGTATTCGTCTTGCTGACGAACATTACCAAGCTTTTCCTTGTCTAGAAGATGAGTTGTTTGAGGGGTGAATTGCTTGATAAGAGACGGCGGAATAGCGCGCTCATAGCCTGTCGATACAATACGTGTCTGCTTGTTGATGGTCTCTCTATCTATGAGGCCTTTCCACGTATCAATCCAAAGGGATTGGTCGACCAGAATGGATCGAAGCGCGTGTTCATGAAGAGGCCCAGATGTGACCGGCGAGCCATCATGGTTGTTATATGTTGCAATGGTAGTTTCCGCTGCGTCTTGCAGTTGAAAGGCCGGATGAGTAGCGCAAAAGTCGAACAACGTTTGTAAAAGAGGAAGATTTTGCTGGCTGTGGTATCGTCCTCGTAGTCCGATTTCTGACGCGACGATTCCGGATTCGCGAAGTTGTTTAAGAAGTGTGGGAGTCGTGTTTGCAGGTGCCGTTATAGTAGCCCTGCTGCTATCATACTGCACGGAAATATACGACGGCCTGTTGTTTTCCAGTATATCATGTAGGTGGCGTGTCTTCTCCTCGTCCTTCCACTCAGTACCGATGCTTCTCGCTGGGCCAATGGCATTGCCTTTGTCGTCGGAAATAGGTAGATCCGCAATGGTGCCAACCAGCATACCAAGTCTAATCGCATTAGAGCCGAACTTTTCCAGGTCGGTAATGGACGGTGAGCTTGCAACGGCAAAGGCACCAAGTAGTCCGGTACAAAATCCTAATACGCCAGAAGTAGCGACTGGAACTTTGCTAGATGTACAGAAAGATGCATAACTTTCCAGTTGATATAAAACCACTAGAGGAACCAGCAGTTTGTTGGAAAGGGGGAATTGCAATTGGCGAGCATCAGCAGAGTTGAATGCTTCAACCAGTGTACTCATTTCCTTAGCGCCAGTATCCGTATCCGAGCTACCAAGTCCAGCAAGTGTAGCAACAGATTTCCATTGTTGGGCAAGATCGTTAATTGCCGCTTTTGCCCATTGGAAATTAGGGTTAGTCTTCACATCGGCGCAAAGCTTGTCAAAGGCCGAAGCATTGAATGACAACGCCAGTGATCCGAATAGTGCAAAGATTGGCGCATCGTGCTGCGCAGCAGATGAAGAATCCATGTCGTGCTTCATAGTGGTTCACGTCTTTTCTTTGCTGTTGAATGCTTTGACAGCTAAAGACGTATAGTAAGATAACTCTAGTCCAAAGTGTTGAAATTGGGAGCTAAAGATAATGAAAGCGAAGGTTTCTACCACATGCAAATTAATTTACTACATGCACATATATTCTATTTAACATAGTACGACGCACATGATCACGATGGTTTACTGGGTCCCGAGTAACTCTAGAGTTGAGATGAGTGTAACGCGGGAGAAACAACTGCCCGTAGATAACGATCATAGAGCTGAAATAATTAGTTGTCATAATATTCTGAAAATATAAGAAAAAGAAATAAAAAAGACAAAAAAGAAACGGCGTGTAATTGGGGTAGTCCCCGGCGCGTCTATCGCAACATAGAAACTCCGGATCGGGACAGGAATCGTTCGGACTAAATTCATCCAAAGCTGATGTTTCAAGGATTTCAATTGCACGGAGCCGAGTACACTTTGTAAGAAAGTAAAGCCAAGAATTAACAGGGCTGAATGGCTCTGGTTAGATTGAATCGTCTACCAAAGGGCGGTTGAGAGGGAATACCACCATCGCCAACCACCAACATCACACTTGGCTCGATCCGACGTAATCAACCATACCACGAACCGAGTGACAGCCTACGTGTTTCAATATGACAGTTAATCCAATGCCAGATAATAGCGGCAGCCTTAATGTGGCCATCGTTGGAGGCGGCATCGTCGGCTTGATCATGGCCGCTGGCCTTCAGCGCCGAAACATCAATGTCACAATCTACGAGCAAGCCCGGGCATTTCGAGAGCTTGGCACTGGTATTGCATTCAACCCTGCGGCGCAAGGGTGTCTGGAGATGATTGATCCTGGCCTCACTGTGGCCCTGCAAAAGGGAGGGGCTGTTGGTCTCTCTGCATTCAACGATGAAGAGATGAATGATTGTCTACGATGGATAGACGGATACAACCAGCGTCAGCCCGATGATCCAGACTATCAAAAGTTTTACTTGAAGACAGATGCTGGATACCGCGGCATCCAGGGTATTCGACGCGATCATCTACTTGAGCAGCTCACAAAGCTGTTCCCTGAAGAGGCGCTCAAATTTAAGAAGCGATTGGTTAGCATTGAGGACAATGATCATGATGACCAGGTTATTTTGACCTTTGATGACGGCACAACTGCCACTGCCGATGCAGGTAAATGTTTCACAAGCCATATTTAGTACAATAAGCTAACTGGACGGTTCAGTGATTGGATGTGATGGCATCAAGTCCAAGACTAGAGAACTGATTGTAGGACCAGGCTCCATTGCTGGAACCCCAACTTATACGCACGTAAACTCGTATCCGACAGTCATTGCCATGGACAAGGCGGTTTCTATTCTCGGCGAAACAAAGGCCAAGGCATTCCACAACCATTTGGGGCCGAACGCCAACCTGTTACATTATCCCGTTGCCAACGGGACCATGTGCAATGTCACTGTCTTTATTCGCAATCCCGACGAATGGCCCGAAGACAAGCCAACCAGTCTCATGGGCCACAAGGCTGATATCTTGGATCACTACAAGAACTGGAACCCGGTGGTTTGCAAGCTCATTGATGCTTTACCGGACCAACTACCCACATGGGCTGTCTTTGATCTCTGGGAATACCCTATTCCGTATTACAACAAGGGCCGCGTATGTGTGGCCGGTGACGCTGCGCACGCAAGCAGCCCGCATCACGGAGCTGGCGCCGGCATGGGCATTGAAGATGCGCTGTGCCTTGCAACGCTTCTCTCCGAGGTCGGTCTGACGCTGCGACAAGGGCAGGCCTCCAAGTTTAATGCGCTTGCGACGGCATTCAAAGCGTATGACGCTTCACGTCGCCCACGCAGCCAGTGGCTCGTCAATAGCAGTCGTCGCATCTGCGACTTGCATCAGCAAGAGGAATGGGGAGATGCTACAAAGTGGATCAAGGCCGAAACTACACTGGAAGAGATTCGTGACCGCACAGATAGGATTTGGAACTTTGATTATCGAGGCATGGTGCAGGACGCGGTCGCCGACTATGTAAGGAGCATCAGACAGCATAAGCATAAATCAATCTAGTCGCAGGTACGTAACTCTAAAGAAATCCTATTTATTTTAATACAAATTCTACATCTTATTAAGTTCATTGGAATAGTTTCTATTTATGCATAATTATAGTTTTCATCCAAGTTGCTCAATTCGTGACCATAAGTCGCAGTCATAAGACGTCATATATTTATCACTCTCTATGTATGCTACCAAGCCAATTTACTTAAGCATCTCGCCAGTCTTACCCAAAGTCTCAATCAGTCTACCACGAATATGCTCGCCAATAATCACCTCTTCACCAGATCCATCGAGCGCCTTGGCCTTGAGCTTGAGGTTTCCATTCAGGAAAAAGGCCACGCTATAGCGGTGCTGGTTCGAGGTGGTAATGACTCGGTGGCGGGCACTTCGGTAGTATCCGCCCGTCCACTTCTGCATCATGTCACTCATGTTGACGACGTAGGCGCCTTCCATGGGAGGCACAGAAATCCATTTCTCCGTTGGCGGGTACCAGACTTCGAGGCCCTTGCTGCCGGTCTCTTGGAGGAGCAGCGTCAAGCAGCCAAAGTCGGTATGGTCGGCCACTGTTTTTGTATATATAAGTTAATCTTCTCTTGCAGTTGTATGGGAATCAGAATGTTTCTTACCACCAAATTGGTTGTCCTGACGGACAGGCTGCGGAGCATAGTGCAGCATGCGCATAGGAATGGACGGATTCTCCGCCAGTTGCTCAAGGACGTCCTCCTTGTGACCCCATTCTTTGGGGAGACCGCGACCAAGAATCTTGAGGAACACCTTGGCAAGGTTCACCATCTTGGCTTGGTACTCCATCACGGGCTTACGGAAGTCGTTCTCGTCGAGTCCTGCTGGCCACAGATTGGGACCAGTCGAAAAGGTGCCAGCATCCGGGTGATCAGGCGGAATCTCAGCGCCAACCATGAACGTCTCTTTAGTATCTGGAAGCAGGCCTTTGTGGTGTACCTGAATCAGCGACGGCTCGTAGCCACGCAGGGACTTGCCCATGGATTTGCCGACGTGGACTTCCATACGCTGGTCCATGGGAAGGTCGAAGAATTTCTTGGTGCAGTTAAGCATCTCTTTCTGTTCCTCTACCGAGACACCATGACCAACGGCGTGCATGAAACCGTATGTAGTAGCAGCATGGCGGACCTGGTCAACGACACGCTGCTTTTCCTGCTCTGTGGCTGTTGGGGAGATGAAGGCGCTGATGTCCACGGTTGGGATCGAATCTGTACCAACGGAACCCATTTTTGTGAAAATATGATATACAGATAGCCGCAGCTAGCTAATGTTACTTGAAATATATTGGGCGAATTTTGTTCAGTGTAGGGTGGTAGTGTAGTGATGGAAGTCAAGGTAGCCTCCCGGCTTATAAACGACCATGGTTGCAGATCGTGGATCTAGCTGAGTCTGTGCTACCCTAAAGTGAATTAAGAGGGAGAATCATACGGGAGATAGTTTCTATAGGGATTAGATGCCGAATATGTAGAGCTTAGGACTAATCAGATGTGGTGCGTGGCGAATATAGGAGGGGGCATCAGATCCGCCACTACGAGTACAAAATGAACAATAAAGCACTATACGATGACGGTAAATTCAAGCATAATGCAATCATGGTAAAATAGAAGCTTCTTTTCTTTTTGGTTGCCTGCTTTATGCGCATGCATCTCTCTTCTGTCTCTCTTTTTTTTCTAGTTAGTAGTATCGCACTAACTGGACGCCCTCTCTCTAACCAGTTCACCACACACCCCCCGCCGTGCCCGCCCGCCGCCCGCTCGGGAGTCACCGGAGCGGCGGATCGCTGCCGGTGTGTAACGCAATCTCGGGGATAGCTCCGCAATTATGCCCGTAGCGCACCGGCCGAAAGTGCCTCCGGAAAGTTGTTGCGGCCCAGTTTGTGCACAATCCAACGCGCTGTGTGTGTAAATCTCTGCAAGTACGGCACAGATGGTAACGCAAGTTCTAAAAGCAGTAAATCAATAGGGCAAGGTCACTGTTTGACATTTTGGTGTCCAGACGCGTTCGCGCCGTTGTTGTATCTAGCTACCCGAGACTGCGCATCTATAAACCTTCAACTTGGCCTACACGCCGCCAACACTTGGAATTTCTTTTATGAAAGCAAGATCCTATCTAGTTTCGCCACTTCCTATCGAGCCGGAATATTCCGGGATACGATCGACTCCTAGTAGTTCAGCTGGACTCGAGCCTCCTTCCTTCAGAGCTACATGCTGGCCCATGACGGTAACAATAGGCCGTCTCTTCACTCGGGGCACACTTAGTGCCCGAATCTCAGCTGGAGATGCAAATTGCAAGATGAAACGCCGTTGCTTGGCATGGCCGGCGAGCCTGGAGAAAAGTCCGCCAGCTACCCTGCGTGCCGGAGGCGAGATCACCATTTTTAGTGTAAGCCCGGAGCGGAGCTGAATGGAAGCTTGAGGCGCCTTCGGCATATCGAAATGAATTACCCTATCATTTGTTTAAGCAACATAACGCGGCAGTCGAGCGGGAGTGGCTGCTGACGCAACTTGCAGGGTCGGTTGCTGGTGTTGGTCGATTACGCGATGCGACAGCGAAGCAGCAGCCCCATCAGCCATCTATCTAACTAATCATTACGCTAAATATCTGTACATGGAGTTATAGCATCGATATACTTTGTATCATCTGTTTGAAATTGGTGATACATTTCTTTTCTGGATATGTTTCACGATACCATGGCACCGGCGAGCCGTCGCCTACATACACCGCTCACAGCAACCAGTGAGCCCAGTTCGACACTCCATCTGCCTCGAATTCTCTGTCTCCACGGCGGTGGAACAAATACACGTATATTCAGAGCACAATGCCGTATCCTCCGAGCCTTTCTACAGCCATACGTGCGATTGGTCTTTGCCGAAGCACCGTATGCTAGCAAGCCAGGCCCTGACGTGGTATGCGTCTACTCAGACTGGGGACCGTTCCGCAGCTGGTTACCACCACCCGATACACCATTATCAACTGAGCAGGATATAAGCAACTATACCGAAGATATCGATTGGTGTCTGCAAGCGGCAATAGAGGAGGACAACTTAACCGGCGCCACAGGCGAGATTATTGGGCTGCTAGGCTTTAGCCAAGGGGCACGGATGGCGGCAAGTCTGCTGCTACGGACACAAGAAAACATGGCACAACATACCGGACACTGTCTGCCACAGTTCCGATTTGCTGTGCTGCTTGCCGGCCGTGGCCCCTTTGTCCAGCTACACACGCCTAGTGAAAGCCCACGCCCGCGGGGGCGCACACCACAAGACCGCCTCCTGCTCCATCTCCCTACTGTACACGTACACGGACTTTTGGACCACGGGCTGCCTCACCACCAGGAGCTTCTCGGACACTTATGCGCGGCCGGCAGCACGACACTGATAGAGTGGGATGGTGGGCATCGAGTGCCCATCAAGACAAAGGACGTCAGTGTTGTTGTGGCAGCTATTCTTGATGTGGTTAGGCGTACGGGCGCCACCACATGAATGATACTGTTTCAGCTAACCGACACTGAAGAAAAGGTGCATGATGATGGTCTTGAAGTTTTCCTTGCGCATGTATGCGGGACACAAGCCTCGCATGGGGGTACTATATAAAATAGAATAAATACAGGGTCTATCGGATGGGTCTGTCATATGCAAACAAATTTAACTTTATTTTTTTTATGAGGAGAGCAATAAGCAAGACCCAGGGAACGGAGCCTCACTGCATGCCAAGAGTGACATTCACTCTGCGAAATGCCGTTGTTATTGGCTGCAGGCAGAGGTAAGCGAGGACAGAAGCCCGCGCATTTGGAGAGAAGGACATAACAGAAGAAAGACTATGAAGAGAGGCTCGGAGCATCGTAGCCGGTCGGCCGAAAGCGGCTCGGCGCCCGGCACGCGATGGTCGTAAATTCGCATAGTTGCCCATTCATTACGCAGTGGCTTGGGGCTGGGGCTTTGCAAATCCCTCAGCAGAGCCCGGATCTGATAAAAAAAATTCACATCACGTATACGCGCTTTGGCCACAGCGCAGTCACGCCCCCCCCTCCTCCTTGAAGATAAGCACGAAAATCGCAGGTGGCACTTTTGTTTACGTGCTGTACAGTATACACCGTAAAGTCGGCCGCAATTGGTCCGTAGCCCGGGCGAGCAAGAGAGCAGCGGCACTGGGTAAGGAAGCAGAATGCAACCGACTAAAAGTAGAAAGTAATACGCTTCTAGTTATACTTTTGGCGGCAGATGGGCTCGGGGCTTCGCTGTTCGGAATCTGATAGTATCTGTCGCCCAACTGCACGAAGCAAGGCAAACTGCATACTGCTGGCTGCTGCATACTGCGGGCATTGTCCGTAGGGAACTCTCACTCTCTTGACTCATTTGCTGACTTGCTGCCCCTGCAAATGCAGTAGGAGGGGATTTTCCGGCCCAAGCTGCACAGGAACGGGTGAGCTGCGCCATCGTGAATCGCGATATCCGCTTGTAAATTGCACGTTAATACCCGTTTTCTCTCTCTTTTTTTTTTTTTTTACATGTGGTTCCGTGGCCCCGTCGCCGCTGTGGCGTACGAACTATCTTTCTTAGCTTGGCGTGGCGCCCTCGTTCTCTGTTCCGTGTACGCCACGCAACGGGATGGCTTTTTGTTCGATGCCACTGTTAAGTTACCGCAAGACACACACACACACACACTGCGCACTCTTTCCCCCCTCCACGTTACATGGACGCCTTCTATGACAAACTTAGCGCGGCTGGTTGAAGTTGTCGGCAGGCGTCGTCGTCGAAAAGCTGGCGTTTACTCGGCACCAGAGGCTAGCCAATTGCAGGGGCATGCCACGGCCCAAAGCGGGCGAATTGCACGATCGCCCTGGATTTGTGCCAAGGATGCACTAAACGGCCCCCTCCCTTGGTTGGTGTACTGTACAGCACTAGGCGGGATCTACACGTTTCAGAGGGTTGGTGCGCAAGACACCAAGCGGCCGCCGTGTACAACCTGTACTGTATACCATACCAAGAGGGGCGCTAAAAATGATTATACCAACTTAGATATAGAATGTAGCTAGAGGCAGTGGGACTTTGCCCGGCCTCTGTCTGCATAGTACAGTACACCCACCCCCACAGCACAACACGGCAGAGGACGAGTATAGCAACAGCAAGGCACTATTACACGGCGTAGCCCCAGCTGAAGACCAGTTACCAGATGCTCCACAGAACGCGAATATGCTGACTGCGGCCCATCAGATCCTGTACGATGCGGACTCGGCTTTGGATGTGGATGCCGTGCTGTCGACTTACTCAATATGGCATCAGATAAACACCCTCCTGGCATATAAGTTGCCGACGGACTTGTCGCCGCAAACCATGTAAGTAGGGCCCGTGTTTCTGCTACATTCTACTTTGCACAATCCAGACAACAACAGAAAATGCAGTCACATACAAGAACACAAGCCCATTTAGCGTGTGAAGAGTGCAGGAGGCGCAAGGCTCGCTGCGACAGAGTACGGCCACAGTGCGGAACTTGCGCTGAGTTGGGCTACGTATGCGTCGTCAACGAGAAGAGGCCGCAGCGGGGTCCGAAGAAAGGACAGATGAATGCGTTGAGAGCAAGAGTTGGTAAGTAGATTGGTGGTCTGATTAGAAATGGTGAAGAGAATGCTAACAAGCTGGGCTATAGCAACTCTTGAGCGGCAGTTGAATGCCAGAAATATAGAGATCCCGGACGAACCACAAGACTTGGACGACGCACCATATACAACGACAGCACATTGCAATCAGCAAGAGACGAGCATGATTACACCGGCTCTTACGACCGCTGCCTCGACGGTACATTCGTCAGAGGATGACAGCCATCCTCATGATGCCATGTCGAACTTGGACAATGGCCCTTTTCCTCTCTTTGACTTTTCCACCATGATACTTCCCAACCAGCCGTACTACGGTGCTGGTGATGCCCCCAATGAAGCCATGATGGACACTGGGGCGACTCTCCACGGCATGAAAATGGACCACAGCGATTGCGGCCTGGGGCTGTTGCTGGAGATTCCTCTACTTACCCGCGCTGACTTGTAAGTGATCCCTTCTACAAAGCATCGCCTAGGCTAACCATGCGCAACCACAGAGACGATCTATTCTTTGACCGCGTGTATCCAATTGCGCCCATTATCCACCGCCGCCGCTACCTCGCCTGGAGCCAATCGCAGAGTGATCATCACGATCGCTCCACGCTACAACTGTGCCTCCAGTACGCCATGTGGGCAGTGGCCGCTGCTGTATCCAGCCAATTCCGACAACTTGCAGACAAACTTGCCGACGGCGCTATACAAATGCTGAACCATCTCAGCGTTGTGTCCCAAGACATCAACACAATAACACCCCTAGCCCAAATACAAGCCTGGCTGCTCATTGCGCATTATGAACTACTATGCAAGAGCGATAGACAGGCTATGCTTACTGCTGGCCGTGCTATTCGTCTTGTCCAGCTTGCACGATTGCATGAGCTTGACGCTGATGAGGATCAGTTTACAACGCCTGCTAGTTGTCCCGCGCTGGACGCGGATACCTTTGTGGAAATGGAAGAGCAGCGGAGGACATTCTGGCTGGCATACTCGTTTGATCGTTTCTGCCTTTTACGAAATAACTGGCATTCGTCGATTCCCGAAGAATTGGTATGAGTCTCGCTACTACGAAAAAAAAACACCAAGACTAACATCAGATTACAGATTCGCACAAGACTGCCCGCACCAGAAGGCAAATTCCAAAATAGCCAACCCGTCCGGACAGATTTTCTACCCAAGGCCATCTCCAACAGCGGCAAGGGCGGCGTTTTACCCCCATTTGCAGAGGCCATTGTACTCGAAGCCTTGTTTAGCCACTGCATTGTGCACCAGAGACTGATGACGGTCGAGCCATCTCTCAATAACAGCAACAATAACAACAAGCGCGACCTGTGGAATAAACACGCGTGGTTGTCCCTCGCCGTGGAAAAGCGCAACCGCCTCCTCTCCCAACAAAGCCAGCCTCGCAACCTAGGCTACATGCCCGATCCCATGCTTCTCTTCTCTGACGTCCTAGCAAAGTGTTTGCGCATGTATCTCAGCTGTATCCGCCCACGCTCAGCCGCGGCCTCCGACTGGGATGGCGCCGGTAGCCGCCCCGACGAGCAGGAGCCTGAGATGGAGCAGGACCCCCAGGAGGAGCTCAGCTCGCTGGAGCACAACGACAGGGCAATGGAGTCGCTCAACGACCTCGTTCAGTTGGCCAAGACGCTGCCCAAGTTTAGTTGCTTCAAGGTATGTTTTCTTATTTTACTTGCCCTCTTGCGGTCAGGCTGCTAACCGTTTAGATGCACCCTTGCCTGCCCAATCTTCTGTATCGTACGATTCTCCTACTGGTGGAAGAAGAGAGGTCCATGGGCCCGCGCATTTGGACAAGCGATGCCCACGCCGAGATTCTTACGGCGCTCTTGGCGGCCCTTTCGGCCCTGCAGGACGTGAATAACCTGGCCAAGGTGCTTTTGGCCAAGTTGGAGCCGCTGGAGCTGCCTCTGTGTTGATCTTTACTTGAACCGCAATGGACAATCGTATTCCTAAATAGTATAAAAACGTTGCAACCTAAAAGAATTGAATTAGATTCCTAAGCTAAGATACACACAACCACATGGTATGGCGAACTTTGGGCTGGCTGCTGTGGCGGGCATAGGAATGACACACCCCATCCCCCGTCTCATGTCATTTTTTTTTCTTGATTAAGCAATGCAACTTAATTACCAGACGGAGACAGTCCGGACCAACTCGCTTCTTCCGTCCCCGGTAGGATCCTAGCCTGACTATGCACACGCCCCTCCAGAGAGAACGCCACATGCAACGTCCTCGGTTCAGCTGTTCCGCTCTCCCAAAAAGCCACAAAAAGAGTGAAATCTTTCCATCCTCATGATCTTATCAATCAATACTGTGCGGCGCCATGTGGCTCTTGCCCACTTTATGCTCTCTTTCTCCGTAGCGGGCGAGTGTCGGCTTTGCATGCACCCTTGCAGTGCGGCTTACACGACATCACGATAGTAAATAAGAAGGGTGCATGTCCTGCACTACACTTGCATACCTGGTCTCTCTCACCATTGTCTATTCTCGTTCCTCTCTTTCCAAGAAAAAACAATGTCGTCTTCGACAGATTCTGAGAAACAGCCTGCTGCTGCTGCTGCGGCCGCGATCTCGCCCGCCCAGCCTGCTACTGGCGATGCTGCTCCAGAAAAGACAGTCCAGCCATTGGACGCTAGCAAGTTGCAGTCCAAGGGTGTCACACGCATGGAAGCCATTGTGCGCGCGACAAAGACGAACCGCACCATGCTCTGGATTGTCGGTGGCTCGATCCTTCTCTGTGCCTTTGCTACGTCCTTGGACTTTGGAACAACTCGGTTCTATGCTATCCCAGCATCAGGCTACTACAAGCAGCACAGTACCGTGCTTTCCACGCTGACCATTGTGACCAACATCATTGCTGCTGTCAGCAAGCCGTTCATTGCCAAGATGTCCGATGTCACGAGCCGTCCGTACATGTACTTGATGACACTGATTCTGTACGTTGTGGGATACATCATTGTGGCCGCGTCGCAGAGCATCTCAGCCTACGTGGTCGGGGAGGTCTTTGTGGCCATTGGCTACTCTGGCCTTGGTATGATGGACGACATCATCGTGGCCGACTTGACAACATTGGAGTGGCGAGGATTCCTGAGTTCGCTTCTCTCTACACCCTTCATCATCAACACATGGTTCTCGGGCAAGATTGTCGACGCACTTGTTTCACGCGGCGAGTGGCGATGGTACGCAAAATAAGACGCTTCTCTACTGTGTCATAATACTGACTGTACTGATCTAGGGGTTATGGTATGTTTGCCATTATCATGCCGGTAGCCGTCGGTCCCGCCATCATTTGCCTTCTCTACCTCGACCGCAAGGCTCGCAAGCTCGGCGTCTACGGCCAAACGGCAGCCGATCTGCTGCATCGCAGAGAAAAAGACGGCGGTGACGAAGTCGGCCATACCAATGAAGAGGCCACAGCAGCCGAAGTTGCGGCCTTGGCTGGTACGGTAGAGGAAAAAACATGGCAGGAAAAGCTAAAACGCGGTTTGATTGAGATTGACGCTTTTGGCCTGTTGCTACTCGGCTTCGGATGGTCTCTGTTGCTGCTCCCCTTCTCACTCAAGACGTATGCCCATGGCGGATGGCAGAACCCGTCCATGATTGCCATGATTGTCGTCGGTGGTGTCATTTTGATCGGCTACGTCGTCTACGAAGTCAACTGGGCTCCGGTTCCTAGCGCACCTCGACGCCTTGTGTTCAACCGCACTTTTATCGTTTGCGTCATTGTCGAAATGTTCTACTTCAGTAAGTTAAAGTCTATCTCTTCTTCCATCTACAACGCTAATAGAGTATAATAGTCTCTAGCAGCATTCAGGGAGTCTACTGGTCCTCGTACGTCCTCATCGCCAAACCCTGGTCCTACCAGAACTGGGTGTACTACAACAATGCCGCTACCTTGGCACTCTGCGTGTTCAGTCCCATTGCTGGTCTCATTCAGCGATGGACGCATCGCTACAAGACTATGCAAATTTGTGGTCTGGTCGTCAAAATCATTGGTGTCGGTATCCTTCTCGACGGTATGCGGGCAACCACCAACACTGGCGCCTTGGCCATGTCCAGCATTCTCATCGGTGGCGGCGGCTCCTTCTCCGCGGTTGCATCCCGCGTTGCTTCACAGGCGTGTGTTCCTCACCAGGATGTCGCCACGGCCATTTCCCTACTTGCTCTTTGGACTGCTGTTGGTAGAGCCGTTGGTGGTGCCATTGTCGCCGTCATATGGTCCTCCAACATGCCCGGCCAGCTCAAGGCTCATCTCCCTGCTCGCAATGCCACGGATGCCACCGTGGCGCGCATGTTTAACAATATCCAAACCATCAGCAAGATTCCTTACAACGACCCGGTTCGTCAGGGCGCCATTGTCGCGTACCGCAACACTCTGTACTACTGCCTAGTCCCCGCATTGGTGCTGGCCTTTATTCCTCTCATCGCTGCCTTGTTCCAGAGCAACTTTTACCTTGGCAAGCAGCAGAACGCTACCGCCAACATTGGCACAGACGGTCAGAGCTTGAGCGATGAGGATATGAACCCGGTTCTTCCCAAGGCGACTACTAAGCGTGAGAAGTTTATTCGCTTCTGGGCCGGAAAATAGACTGTAGCTAGGTGATTATGTCGTCCCTGTATTAAAAATGTGACTGGCAATAATATTATTGCCTACCGCTATTCCTTTCGAGTATACATCATTAATCCCATAATATTTTGCTATAGTGAACCCTCCCCCACAATCTATCTTTCTAAGTGACTTGACTTGAGTAGCAATTTCTGTAAATCATTATTTAAACTTTGTGCGCTCGTGGATGAATAGAAATCTCGGGTACAGGGCTAGGGTTGTTATACCATCGCGATCATAGCGATCCGTGGCTAAACTACCCTGAGCATAGTGTAGCATAGAACACATTAGCCTAAAATAACAAATATCTTTCTTCATCATTTGCATGGACTTCGTCTACTTTAAGTCTATGCTCTCTATCCAACTTCTATGCAACCCTCCTTCATAGCCGGCCTTTTCAACGGCGGAAAAGAGAAAAGACAAAAAACAAACACGCCCTCACAATGCATACACCCTCCCACCAAATCCGACGCCCGAGACTAACACCGAGTAGCGGGCGGCAGGCATCGCAAATGAAACCAAACGGGAAAGCAGCAAACACAGCCCTTGCCCTGCATCTTTTGTCATATGTCAGGCTAGCTGACCGCCCAACGCTCTTTCGCCCCCCATAAATAGACAGGTTGACATTAACTGATTGATAAGGGGTTGTGCCGAAGCGCCACGTCCGGCGGCGGGGATACGCCCCCCCAAGATCAGAGATAGTCCGGCCCTATTTCCGGAGAGAAAATTACCGGATTGGGACAACGTCTCCATATACACACTCCACTGGTGTTTTCTTGTGCGACTCCTCGCGCTCGGCTCAATGTTCGTGTTCCGACACCCGTTGCCTTGGTTGTGGCTGGCAACTCAGACGATATGAAGCTAGTGCATCGCGATCTGATTTATCTGATCTTTGACTCGCTGGATTTCTGCTACTTGTTATAACACGTCGGACTCAGCCTGAAAATTACAAGAATATTATAGCAGCTTTCATCGTCGATTGTCCACCATGGCGACTGCTGTTCAGAACGATGCTGGGCAAATCCCGACCTCTGCAACAAATCTTGACCATGCGACAGATTCAAGAGTCAATTCAGATACAGAAAAAAACGAGGATTCACTCCAACAACAACCGCAACCTCCGGCTGGACCTCCTGATGGCGGCTTCTTTGCGTGGCTGCAAGTCGCTGGCAGCTTCTTCCTCTACTTCAACTCATGGGGCGTCCTAAGTGCCTTTGGTGTCTTTCAAACCATCTATGCACGTGGCGATCTCTTTGTCGCGTCGCCGTCCAACATTTCGTGGATTGGCGCTATCCAATACAGCGTGGCTATGATGGCTGGTCTTGTAGCAGGACCCATCTACGACCGCGGACACATGAGACCGTTGCTGGTAATTGGTGCCTTTGGTGTTGTGTTTGGCCATATGATGTTGAGCTTGTGTTCGACATTCCCTCAGGTACTCCTTGCGGAAGGCTTTTGCATCGGCATCGGCGCTGGCTGTTTGTTTGTATGTGCCATATCGGTCCTCCCTGGATATTTTTCCTCCAAGCTCGGCTTGGCAATCGGCATAGCAGCATCCGGATCAGCATTTGGCGCCATTGTGTACTCTATTGCTGTGTTGCATCTTCTCAAGCACATGTCGTTTGCTTGGGCGGTGCGTGTCACAGGCTTCATTGTTCTTGCCACACTGATACTTCCCCTTATTGTCATGAAGCAACGCGCAAGACCGGCAAAGCTGCGACAGTTCTTCGACCCGACTGCCTTCCGCGATGTGCGATATCTCGTCTTTGTGGTCGGCACGTTCTTTGCCTCCTCAGCGCTCTCCACCATCAACTCGTACATCTCGTACTTTGACAGCGACAATCATTTTACCAGCGCCGATATGGCCTTTTATGTTGTGGCTATTCTCAACGCAACATCTATGTTTGGCCGAATCATACCAAACTTTGTCTCGGACCGCATCGGGCCGTTCAACGTCATTGCGCCATGTAGCGCTGCCACCGCTATTGCTTGCTTTTGCGCCATTGCCGTCAACTCACAAGCTGGAATGATCATTGTCACCCTTGTACTGGGATTCTTCAGTGCTTCATTTATTAGCATGCCACCGGTATGTTTTGCCAGTTTGACAGAAAACAAGGCTCTTATTGGCACTCGCATGGGAATGGGTTATTCGTTGGCAGGACTTGGTTATCTCGCTGGAGCTCCGGCGGCTGGAAGCGTGCTGGGAGCTGTAGCACCATTGAAATGGAACATGCTCTGGGTGTATGGAGGAGTCATGTCCATGGCGGCCGGGTTGACCTTTGCTGGTATCCGCATCTCTAGAACAGGCTTCAAGTCAATTGCCAAAGCTTGAGCTTAACCACTAAACTATGCATAAATATTTGTAGCTTAATTCTTAATCACAATAGAAAGTTCATTTGTACAATGATTCCATTTTAATCTAACCTAATCTCCTCGTTGCTTCTAAAATGGTGTGCGGACAGTAGACTTGAACGGCGTAATGGTAATCTTGTCCATATCCCAGATTCCTTCCTTGCAGAACGGGTCGGCGCGCAGCTTGCCCCAAACCTGTTCCTCGTCTGCCAGACGCAAAACGAGAACACTACCATTCATAGGCAGTGCGTTGTTTGTGACGGTATGGTTTTGCAGCATGGGACCAGCGAAAATCAGCTGGTCGGCGGCGCGGATGGGTTTGTAGTATTCAATGTGTCTAGGAAGAGTATCGCGGCGCGCTTCGAATTTGTCAGGCTGGTCCTGAATCAGTACGAGCCATTCTCTGTCGTCTGCCATTGTGTAAAGAGGTTTGTCTTGTGGAATTTGAAAGAGAGGAATAGAGTTGACGAGGGTCTGAAGTTTCGTAGGGAGGGTTGGTCTCGTTCACTCGGTGTAGCTGGACTTGATATAACGGTCGATTATTTAGATTTATGTCTAATACCACTTTCTTCCATCTTATCTTGCTTTCGGATCTTGCGCCTCTGAAGTTTACCCTACAGCCTGCGACATCATCAGTGGCCCGCTTAGGCGTTTCTTTCCTCCGCATAATTCGCCGGGGAATGCTCCGCGAATTAGCAACAGCTACGTCATTCTCTAGACGAAGAGGAATGTAATTGTAATTTTTGGACTTTTATTTTTATTTCTGTATTTTTGATTCACTGACTGAATGGTCCGGTCGTTGGCTGACTAAATGGACCATTACGATTTGCGCATGCATCTACCTGCAGCAGCCCCCTCTACAGAACTCCAGTAGCAACCTAACATTGCTCAATTTTTGACAATTCACATCATGACTTGGCTTCAGACTGTATCTTCGTCGCTCACAATGGTGCTTCCTCAAGCCTCTGGACTTATCCAGATTCTCCTGTTTGTAGGATCCTGCGGACTAGTTGGGCGCGTTATCCATGTTTGGTGGCGGTTGCGGCATGTTCCTGGACCGTTTCTCCCCTCATTCTCAGACTATTTCCGTGTGAAATGGGTGCAATCGTCCAAGGCACATTTCGTTCATCGAGACCTCCATCGCAAGTATGGTAATGTGGTGAGGATGGGACCCAACATGGTGTCCATTGGCGACCCAGAGGCTGTTCCTCTGCTGTACCCGATGAGAAGGGGCTTTTTAAAGGTACGTGCTTCTAAAAACTTGAATGACATTTACCCAATATTAAACATAGGTTCGTAATAATAGGCAGACTTTTACGTGCCACTACGACCGTACTCTCGCACAGGTGGTGCACTGCCCGCCGTGTTCACCTCTTTGGATGAAGACATGCACTCGCGCCTCAAACGACCCATTGCACAAATCTTTTCTCTGTCGAGCGTTGTGACTTTCGAAGGCCTGGTTGAAGATGTACTTCAGGTCATCCATGCGCAGCTCGACGATCGCTTCAAGGATACGGGCGAGGTCTTCAATCTAGGCGAGTGGCTGCAGTACTTTGCGTTTGACGTCATGGGCACGCTCAGCTTCAACAAGCGCTATGGGTTCCTTGAACAGGGTGAAGATGTCGGTAACAAGCTTGATGCCGTCTGGCAGTTTATGAAGCAAGCCGCTCCAGTGAGTACCCATGATCTGGCTCTCCGGCACGATAAAGAACTGACAGCGACTCTTTTAGATGATGCAGGTTCCATGGCTGGACAAGATCCTCTACAAGAACCAGTATGTGGACATGCTGCGAAGAACGCCTGGAAACTCGCTGCTCCAGTTTGTTGGCCAGACCATTGGAGAGCGACAACGGACATTTGACGACAAGGCCAAGGTCGACGCTGCCGAAGGCAACCGCAAAGACTTTCTGGATCGGTATATCGAAATTCAGAGAAACAACCCTGAAATCCCACCTTGGTAGGGTCTCTCCCTCGTGTAGCCGCATACCGATCCTAGCTAACCTGGTCATAGGGCCGTTCACTCTTGGACATTTTCCAACGTCATTGCTGGCTCCGATTCGGTTGGTGTCGTAATGCAGACTGCCATGTACCACATCCTAAAGAACGAAACGACTAGAACAAAACTAGTTCAAGAGCTTCAAGAAGCGAGCGTGTCACGCCCGTATCCACAATGGTCCGAAGTCAGCAAGCTTCCATACTTGGATGCGTGTGTTTTGGAGGCTCTAAGAATGCATCCGCCATTTGCACTACCCTTTGAACGAGTTGTCCCTGAAGGAGGTATCACTATCTGCGGCACCTATCTTCCCGAGGGGACCATTGTAGGTGCTAGCCCATACGTGACGAACAGAGACACCCAAGCCTATGGCGAAGATTCCGACGACTGGAGACCAGAGCGATGGATTGAATGTGGCCCAGAGCGCAAGAGACATTTGGAGAATATTCTTCTCACTGTAAGTCTTTCATATGCCCAATGTATTGTGACATTTATTAACAGGTCTAGTTTGGCGCTGGTCGCCGTATCTGTCTCGGTCGATACATTGGCATCTTTGAGATTAAAAAGTTGATTCCGTTCCTGGTTCTACAATATGATGTTGGTCATAAAGTTTCGAACCATTTGTATTCACAGCTAATTATTGTTCTAGATGCGCATTGTCGATGAAGATTCGTTTACCTCGGAGAACTTTTGGTTCTTTAAACACCACGGACTGTTTGCTCGAATGGAAGGATCGAAGAAGGAGGTTTCTCAGAACTAGTTTTATGATTTACTGTAGCTTCAAATTTAAAATATTGATATTTTCATCACTTATATATTTTACAAAATATTTCTTCATTTCTTCAGGCGCGATGGAACTACGTCAGTCTAACCCATGCGCGGCGTGTACCGCGCCACTCTCTCTCCGTCTTCACCTACGGGAACCGAGTTGAGCCGAATATTTTATCTGATCACAAGTTAAAATCTGGGTCCATTCTCGCCGCGTCAAAGTACGGGATGCATGAGCGTCAGCTATGGCAAAGAAACTCCGGGTCCGCAATACGGAGTTACAATCATAGTTGATCGCCAATTGCCTCACGCATGCCACACTTTGCAGCCTTTGTAACATGTAGATTTCATTTAGTTAATATAACACCAGTTGTCTACAGAAAGCCACTGATTTCACCACAATTCTGTGTCCTCTATCCCCAACACCATGTCTGAGATTCTCGCCATCACTTGCCCTGGCGGCAAGCAGTGCTCCCGCCTCATCCCGCTCCTCTACAACAAGGGAAAATTCAAGCTTAGACTTGCTGCCCATTCTGATGCCTCGGCAGAGAAGCTTCGCGTGCAGTATCCCGACGCAGAAGTCGTTCACACTGATCTCCAGTCACTTTCATCTTGCTCGGAGCTGCTCCGGGGCGTAACAGCCATCAATGCAGTCTTGCCTAGTCTGCACTCTCGTGAGAAGGAAATGGGCTTCAATCTGATTGATGCAGCCGTTGCTGAGAGTAAGCGAGAGGGTAACGTGTTTAAGCACTTTGTCTTTTCGAGCGTCTTGTCCACCCAGCATCGCCTGCTGTTGCACCACGATCTCAAGAGCTACGTGGAGGAGCGACTCTTCCTGAGCTCCCTGACTGGATGGACCATTCTCAAGCCAGTTAACGTATGTCCAGCATTTCCTTTGGCCGTGTTACAGTTTAAGTCTAATATTTATATAGTTTATGGATACGTTCCCGTTGGCAACACTAGCCGCACAAGAAACACCCGTTCTCAACAAGTGGTGGTCTCCGCACTACGCCAGCAGTCTCGTCTCTCTCAAAGATTTGGCAGAGGTGTCGGCCAAGGTTCTGAACGAAGGCGAGAAGCACTACCTTGCTGAATACCCACTGTGCTCTACACTCCCAACCAAAGAGACCGAAGTAGTCGCCCTAGTAGAGCAGCGCATTGGCAAAAAGATCGAGGTCAAGGTGCCCGATTTGGAGGGCGGTTCAGATAGACTGATGAAGTTCCTCTACGGCGGTGGCCCCGATGAAGGAAGCAAGGGCGATTTGCGCGGGGACTTGGTTAGAGATACTGTCGAGCGCCTGATTCTCTATTACAATGCCCGTGGTCTCCAGGGCAGCCCCAACGTCATGAGATGGCTGCTTGAGCGTGAGCCAACATCCGTCCAGCAGTGGATTGAGGATGTCCTGGGCAAGACTAATTAAGTATTTCTCAATCAGGTATTTAATAGCTCTGCTACTGCGTCGCTTGCATTTGATAAATATTAGACTGTTAGAGAAGAGAGATTGAAAATGCCTGTGATGTCGAGAAGCGCCTGCTGAAAAAGCCGTGGTAGATACGGAAGCGAGAAGTAACCACTAGTAGACTGATATGGATATGTATTTGGTATCTTAGTACAAATTTCTTTTGTAAAACTCAACTCTAATAAGACGCTGCCGAACTACAAGGCAGTCTTGCTGGCTAGGAGCCGAGGAGCTGGTGGTGGGTATTGGCGCCTTTCACCTGGGCCGTGACTGACTGTGGTAACATACGCTCAGTGAGTCCCTCCCATATCCATTATTTCCAGAGTTGGCAAAGCTGGAATGGCTGGTATTTATGCCATCAAGCCTTTTGCTGGGCATGCCATAGTGGGCATCAAGACCAGCTCGCTGGCTATGCGTCGGTTGCGAAGACAATGAATTTGGCTCATCCGCTATTTGAAAAGCCATAGCACCCTTAATAGCACCGTATGAGTCGTCGCGTAATTGGAATCTCAACCGTCTCTGCGCAAGCTGCTCGCTTAACGGCTCGGCGCCTGTTGATTCGGCTGGAGTAACAAGGTGATCCAGGCCTGCCGCTCTCGTTGTGCGTAGAATTGTCGAGAATGAGGCGCCATACGTAAGTGACGAGCGGAATATGGCGACTAGCCCAAGACTGACAGCAAAAATAGTCACAGCTATTCCCAAGCCATAGGCAATGTAGACGTTGCGAGGATTGTACGTGTACTGCAACTGAGGGCCCCAGCTCCTGAGAGGGATAGTTGGTAAGTTTTTATCTTGACTCCTATTGTAGTCATAAATGTTAGTAAAATCATCTGGCAGATAGACTGCAAAGACTCACAGGAAATGAGGATCGCTGAAAAGGCTCAGAGATATGTTGTGGGACAACTGCTCGATAGCCTCTGCCATGGAGATGTTGCCTATAATGGAATGTTCATAAGCTTCGAGAGGCTGGCTGCCAGGTTGACCGCTATTCAATTCTCGACTTTGCATAAGGACTGTAGAAAAGACGGTTGTGAATACCTGTGCCGATGAGCCATGGTGTGAATATTCCACTCGTCCGATGAATGGACTAGTAAACCCTTTCACGTACGCCCCAACAAAGAGCTGCTCCACGTCGATTGCCCCCGTAGTTGTTTCACCGGCAGATCCAAGTATACCATTTTGGTGAGTAATATTGTGAATTTTTATGGACTGCTTATTATCGTCGAACCGGACTGTCGTTTGATATGAAGAGTTGAAGAAGCCGCATTGCCATGTGCTCTGTGCTGCCGATACTCTCGAGTCATTGGCGTAGGCGAAGAAAAGAAGGCGAGCATGATCTACCGACGCGTAGTCTACGTACACTGGCGAGTCCCGAGTTGGTATGTTGGATTCGTTGAAACCGTTGAAGATTTGGTCTTCTACCGAGTCTCTTATCCCTTGGGGATTGAACGGTTGGATGGGAACAAAGGCCATAAATGTAACATGGTCCCCTACTGTGTCGTTCCCTAGCATGTTGTTGAATCTCTTTTGGAATGCTTCGCTGCCACCCATTGGTTCGCACGAGACAGAAGGGGCATAGAAATTCAAGTCGTATTCAATATTGGGAGACGGTGTCGAAAACGGCTGGATACGGCCCTGGCTCAAAACCGTCGAAATTAACCGAGCAAAAGCATTCGATGGTCCTCCATAGGTATTTGCCCCTTGCGGTGAAAAATGGACAAATGTGTCTTTAATTGTAAAGTTCAGTGTAGGCTTGGTCATGGTCGTCATGTTGACTTGCGGCCTTGGTGCTGTTATGACTGTCAAAGTACCCGGTGTGACAATGGCAATTAGTGGAAGAAGCCTGTAGCTGGTGAGCTAGAGTACCTTTACTAGTAATTATTTCAATAGACGTACCAAAGAAATGCAGCAATAGGAACTAGAATGGACGCCTTGTGCCAAATCTCAAGACAGAAGAACTGCGTTGCATTATGTGGGAGGCTAAACAGGGAGTCGATTGTTTGTAGTTTGACGGCTTTCTCCTTGAGAATAGACCAGAGGAGCTGCGTGTATGAGACGCCAACGGCGGTGGCAAGGCAAAGCTTCACGAGGAAGGCCAGGCCCGTTCCGATTCGGATATTCCATTCTTGGTCGTCTTGGCCGTGGATGATGCGCCCATCAAGACTCAAGTAGAAGAGATGGTGGCCAATGGCAAACATGAATCCGCCGAGGAGGCTGCCTATCATGAGGATGAGTACTGATCTACGCGTAAAAGGAGTGTTGGCCGCCATTTTGAGGTTGAAGATAGCTAAATAGTAGCCCCTAACACTAACAGCGGGAAACATCATACCCAGAAGAGATATTTAAAGAATTTGGAGACATAACATTAACCCAGGCGCCTATTTTTATTCGATGTGATAGGGTGGGAATGGGCCTGCGTTAGCGCCAGCCTCATTTGGCGTGCATGAAAGCCAGACTTTCAAAACAGTGATGGGATGGCGTTTCCCATTGTGGCTACCTCTACTGTACTCCTTTAGACGCTGTTTACTCAGACAGAATCAACAACTGAATAAACAAAGGCCAAGTGAGAAATCGGTACGTGGGCTAATGCTGTTGAAGTATCCCCTTTGTCACCTTGTGGCAATTTACACAACCCACAAACGGCAATATTGTTCTGGTCTGTCTCTCTTTGTTCCACCACGCTAGCCCACGTAGAAATCACGGCGCTTAACTCCCACCAGTAGCCGTCTCTATTTAGGCGCCCGGTGCAAAAGTCCGCCTTGCCCGTCCACAATTCAACCCGAGAGATCATCTATGAATGGTAGCGAGAAAACAGGCATTTATTCTAATTAACTACTGCCACAATCTTCTTTGCCGAGACACCCTTCTTTAAAATGCTTAACGCTTCCTGGATGCGCCCGCAACACCTTTTGTGGGAACAACTTGGGGTGACGGCGCAACCTGATACAGTGCTTTGTCTAGGGCTTCAGGAAAATATCCTCCAAATGTAGCTTTAATTGTTTCCGGATACCCAGCTATGCCGCCCATAACAAAAATCATCTTTGCCTCAACGCCTGCTGGAGAAACACACTCTAGCACAGGGTTCGATGCAGCCACAGTCAAGGACTGCCTTGACTTGTCTGGACTTGGGCACGTTCGATCATTTTATGGACTTTTCTTTGGATCCGCGAGAATACGCCTGTTTCAGCATCAAAGAAGATTCTATAACAAAGGATACCAACAAAGAAGCTGCAGTAGAAGAGTTCAAGGTTGGAAAGGCCATCTAGAAGGCAATTGTGGTGGATATGGGCGACCACAGGGACGGTAAAGCTACCCGGCACCTTTTTATCGAATGCATTTATCTATGGATGCGCTAGCTACGTAATTCCTCCCTAGCAACGAATGTTGTGAATAGCAAAAACAGCATAGAAGCAATCAGATGTTCGAGGCTTTATCCAATTTGATGCGGATTCTTGTTTGCTGACGGTCTCCAACTCAAAGAGCTCGCACAGTCTCTCCTCGACACAGCTCTACCCGGTTTTAGAGACGGTATTGTTTGTGTTCGGCAGCGCAACCAGTTGATTCCACCCTATACACTTACGATGTAACTAATGTGAGACCGTAGTTTTGGAGGATCGGATTGACCGGCTGGAAATAGGTTGTTCCTCCGTTCGTGCAGTCGCCATCACCGCCCGAGGTGACTCCTTGAGCCTGGGATCCGGAGTAGAAAGAACCACCAGAGTCACCTGGTTCAGCGCAAACGTTTGTTTGGGTAAGGCCCGAGACGGATCCCTCGGCATAGTTGACAGTAGCATCCTTAGCATTAACTGTACCGCAGTGGACACCAGTAGTCGAACCAGAGCGACAGATGCTCGCACCAACTTCTGCTTCAGCACTACCCGAAACGGATATGTCACCCTGGCCGTAGCCGTCGACAGTACCACTCAGGACTGCACCACTCACAGTGGCTACATAGCTCATGTCGTTACCAGGGAAGATAGATCCTGAAAAGGTTCCAAGGGACTCGCCTCCGCTTGTGGTGGCAGAATCGCCGGAATTACCACAATGGCCAGCAGAAACATAACCAGAAGTCACTGAAAAACCAATAGAGCACCGGGCAGCGCCGTTGATGTAGTAAGCATCACCACCTTGAACGGTGACCTTGGTCGTTGGCATAGCCTTGACAGTCTTCAATACAAAGTCAGACTCTGTAAGCCCAGCTTGTGAGGCTAGCTCTTGGGCACGTCCGTGGCTCTCAGACAGAGCTTCAATGACAAGTTTGTTGGCAGTGACATCGATGTAGTATGCTGCAATACCGGAGTTGATGCCTGGGGTTGCGGATGTAGCAGCCCTAGTTCGTCCGATAAACATCTTATCGAGAGCGGACTTGGCATTTTGTAGCTTCGAGAAGCTGTTGCTCATAATGATAGGTGAAGCACCAGTAGCCTTCACACTGCCAGCTAAAGTAGGATCAGTAATACCAATGTAGACCACATTAGTATCAATCCAACCACCAGCAAAGGAGTCACCCACAGACTTGCGCGCCTGGTCAATGAGATTGCTGAAATGAAAGTCTTGAGCCACACGAGCAGTAGATTGCTCAGCGTTCAGACCCAAATCACGCTTCATGGCTTCCAGGATTTGGGGGTGGAGGCTATTGGCCGCCTGGGTAGGCGCGCCATAGGCAACGGGCAGAACGACTGCAAGAAAGGAAAGAAACTGAATAAGTTCCATACTGAAAAGAAGTATTTAGAAGAATAGATGAGTTTGTGAAGCTTTGTTGAGTCTGCGATAGTTCCAACCCTCGGATTGTTTGGATATGAGACTGTATTTAAATATATTTGTTTGGCTCGAAGTGTGTCGCTCCCTAATCTACAGGCTGATAGTAACATTCTGCATGCTGCAATACAGTTATTCGTGAGACAAGTAAGGTCATATTTGGTACTGTGCTATCAGTAGTCTTCCATCATGTAATGGAAATTCGCCCGCCCAAGTGCCGAATCAAGCTGACTGGTGATAGTATATGAACCAGATATTGCTGCACCCATTTCTTGGTTCCTCCTTCCGAATTAGATCTACTCAGCCCCCTTCCGACAGATAAGATGCGCTGGAGTTTTATCACTTTAGGCAGGGGATTTTGTAAATCAACGTGTCGGCTGGTATCTACCCCGCATGTTAGAGCATGCAGCACATCCGAACGCATAATCAATGTGATGCATTTTTAGACTGCTGCATAATACCACATGCCTTGTTAAGAAGGTGGCGGAAAGTGACGATCGGCAGAGCGCGGGATCAGTTCTATAGCTGGGGTGTATTATAGGTTTGGGATGCATATCATTATGGCTTAGCACCATACTTTTATCTCGCCGCTACCCGTTTCCAGGTGTGCCGTTCTAGTCGGCAAGAGGGTTTGGGGTTTATTAGCATGTAAAAGAAGGGCAACTGATAATATAGAGCGACGCGCTATATGAACTTGCTGACCAGTTGCCGAGTAAATGCAGGATGCCAATTTGCCTTCACGCAACTGCCGACCTAACATAGAAAAGGCTTGCTCCTGGCAATTGCATCGTTTGGACAAGCTAGACCCAAGTAGGTAGATAATTTGTAGAACATCCATAATTCATGCGCCCATGACCAACTTAGGGCCAACTGTCGAGGCATTCTCACAGAGCAAAAGTTGACAGATATCATGGGGACTGTTCTAGACCAAATGCAATGTAACATGAGTTCATATCTATTCTCTGGTAGACTGTTTGTTCCAATTTCCCAGCATTTGGTCGATAAGTGTTTTATTGGAAACCATGTCGGAGACGGCACCGAGAAGCGATGATGCTGTGATTTGTACAGCTCCTCTCATGTTACCACCCGACCCTATATCCACTGCAGTTGCCAAGACTGTATTGATGAGTGTCTCTAGAGTCACCTTGACAGAGAGCGGCCGTGCCCGCAATAGTGTATCGACAAACCTGACATGCTGCCCATTGACAGTAGTGGTATTTCCAGTGAGATTGACCACGATGCGGCCCGCGGACAGCAAGTCTGTTTGGCCACCGAGTATGTTCCCAATATTAGCCAGAACGGTGCCAATGTCCAATGCTCCTGTAATTGGCAACGTGTTGACACCCGGCACTAGCTTGACATCTCTTAAATAGATGACACCTACCTTTACTCCACTAACCAGTAGGTTCAGCATAATGTCTCCAACATTGACGCTGAGAGAGCTGGTGTTGTTTAAACTGATGGCACCATTGATATTCTTTCCATCGACAGCAGGAATCAATAGCTTTAGCGTCGGAATCGTAATCTCATCCAGCGTAGACAAGCCCTTGACATCAATCGTCGTGTTCAGCTGCGGCGAGTACTTGAGGCTACTCAGAAATATCGACAACCTGTCATCGCTCTGTACACTGATTGGGACCGTCTCGTTTCTCACAAACCGTAGCGCCCAATCGACGAGGTCTGCTTCGTTGCTGATGTTTAGCTGCGACCCGACGACTTGTGCGCGGGTAGAAGGGCTGACGTGGAATCCGGGGACGTTGAACTTGATGAATGAAGGCTGTGAACCCATCTCATGTAGCCCGTTCAAACGCAACGGCAGATCGCCGAGACGAACTGGAAGTGGTGCCGTAAATGTAGCATTTGCGTCGAGTCCAATAGTGTCAGGGCCCTGTAGCTGTACAAATGCGTGCTCAAGAAGAACAACTCGATTATCTACAAACTGTTGCACTATTGCGGATAGGATTATGGTAAACCTGAACCGCGGGTCATTAGCCTGGTGGATGTACACAGCGTGGTTGCCGTGTCGTTGTACGCCAACTTACAGTAGAGGGAGGAGTATAGCAAGGAAGGCAATCACAACCAGAATATAAATCTTCCATCGTCGTCTTAAATGTTGATTAACTCGCTTCCATGACCACGGAGGTTGTTGTGTCTCTGTCGACCCGTTGTCTGATAATGGTTTGGCGTTGCTGCCGACAGTTTCCTCATGGTGGATGGAAGCGCCATCCTCTTCCAAGCTAGAATCGGGACTTCCAGTAGTATTGAGGTTCTTCGAATTTGGTTTGGGCTGTTTTGGGGCCATGTTCACTTCAACTGGTTTGGAAGTATGCGAATATATCGCTTCCATTTGTCGGCGTCGTCAGCACAGTATCACCAGGCCTAGTTAAAACAGTCACAGCACAACATGAAAACGTTATATAGGGTACATATATCACATTAATCGGAAATTGATTCAAATTCATGGCTCGATCAAGTCGCTTTCGGGCCGGAATTGTCCCAAACATCCAGCGGAAGAGGTACCAACTATGGCTCCGACGGACTTGACGTCGGCTCACTCGAATCAACTTAATCTTAACGCCCCGATCGCGTTTCCAGTATACTTTCAGCAGCCGGAACGGCTTAAGTTATCCCGCTTTACATCTTTGTTCGGTTGACTACGTTAGCACTTCAGCCTAGCAGACCCACCGTACGACGGATGGTGGCCGAGCTACGATCTTACAGTAACTTAGATAACTCCGCAAATGTCCGCATCAGGCGGACACCAATAGTAATGGCTAGAATTTATCAACTACCACAGTGAACCTAGAATGCATTAAGTTGGGCCAAGGTTCAGCTGCGGGGAAACAACCCCAACTTGCTATACATGTAATAAGATTATCAAAGAACCCACGTTTCCACAGGGCGATGAGGTATAGTCATAGACGGCTTGCTTGGACTGAGCCGCCATTCGTAATACACAATCATTCGACTGAAATGTAATATCCATTTAACCAGTGCTAGTAAATCCAGAAGATAACTAGAATTCATATTCTAGAATATAACTAGTACTAGGTAACTCATGGTCCCTTTCAAACGCGTTCTTTAGCATTAGGACTTGCCCAGCTCTGGTATTCCGTATACAGTACCACCGGTACGTGTGTTGGCGACAGACGTAAACATGGGGAATGCATGTACAATCCTGCACTGGGGGAGACCCTCGAAGCTCATGTTGCATTACTGCGTCAAACATGGCAGCGCTCTGACCGCTACTGATGCCGCCCTCTCTGTACGGCCACTTTTTTATCATGCTGATGACGCGACGACGAATCGAAACGATAAAGGTCCGATCGAAAATGGTTTCCAACAGGCATCCCAGAGCCGGCGAGAAGGAAAACGCAGGAATACCTTCATGCCCCATGTACGGCGAGGATACTATATTTGAGGACAGGACTTGATCAATCTCATCAAGCAGCGCGTTGGTCTTGCGCTCTAGCAGAGCATATTCAGCTGTACCGTGTTCAACTCTTTTCTCCGCGCGGAGGTTTAGGAAACTCAAGTGCAGTCGGATAGTCTGAAGCGATTTCCAATCGTTGCTGTTGTTAAACCGTCGTCCGTATTGGAATTCATCAAGCTTGGCCGCATACGTTTTGATTTGCTGTTTTAGTGCCTTGGGATTATTTTGCGCTATAGCCTGATCGTTGATCCCCGAATGCATATATGGCAGCATTCCAATGTAGGCTTCTGTTACGGACGAGAATGCCGCGTACTTGGGCAGCGCAACAACCCATTCGCGTTCCCAGCGATGTTGAAAACCCTCTGTGATATCGGTGCTCCCGTCTATGGCGAGGACGACCGACAGCAGGTCGTCGTAGCGCAGGATACCTCGGCGGTCGCTGGGGCTTTCCTCGCCGAACCGCAGCTTCTCCAGTAGATTGGCGAGGTTTTGCGCATGTAGGACGCTCTGCGGGCTGTCTTTGAGCATGCTGCAGATGCCAATATAGATGATGTTTGTCATAATGACCATCTCCTTGTCCATGTACTGCAGGTTTCCTTGACGCTCCGCTAGCACCTGCGCTAGGCATCGCAACGACTTATTAAAGTATGTCAGCGCTAGCATATAGTGGCTGTTTGACGGCGAGCGAACACGCACGCTCTGGTGGATTGCCGTCAGGGATATCGCGGCGTACCATAGCGATGGGTAGGCCTGCGCAGCGGTTGGAACATCGACCTGCCAAAAAATCTGGTTAAAGGGACCGCTGACAATTTTGACAATGTCGTTGTGGAAGCTGCCAAACAGGTTGATCTCGGTGTCGCTAACAGGTAGACCGTGGGGGAATATGTACACCGAAGGTTGGTGTGTAATGCCCTTAACGCCGGGATATTCACAGACCACGCCCGACGCAACACAGCGCTGACAGGCCGGTCGCTGTTCACGGCACTTTACCCTGCGACGTCTAGTCCAATATTTATTAGCTCATACGCATCGTATTAGAGATTACCACCGTACTTACCGACAGGCTAAGCAGCCTGATCTGGATCGTGGAGCAAATCTCTTTTGCTGCGCACGAACTGGCAGAAAGGCGGGCTTACTAGGCAGTGGCGTCCGCGGTACGATGGCCCTCATTGCTTAGATGTAATGGTGCAAGAAAACAAGACTAAGATGGGTTGACACGGGCCGATGCTGCAGCCGAAGGCTATATATACGCTCTGATTATCAGGTGAGGCTGCGTCGTCAAATAGCCTGTAGCCCAACCTAGCGTAAACACGTCCTCAACTCGCGCCCAACTGTTATTGGCAGAAGAGAAATCGACGAATTTCCATGCGATACCCCACCACGCACTATATTCTCTCACACAACACATATGCCCGATCAGGACGGCATCAGGACGGCACCGTTTACTGTCAGTCCCACCAGCGCCCCACAGGATGGCGCAAGATTGCCGACAGTTGCGACGTGCTAGTCAATAATACGTTTACTAGAGTTATTGAAGGGCTATACAGATCCATATCGCCAAGATCGACTTGTTCTAGCGCCCCATTAGCCCTAGGTAGAGACTAATGTATTGCATCTGCAATGCAATATTACCAGAATTTCATTGCTCTTAATAAACGATCCGCACACAAGTCGAGTCAGAGCTCTTGACGTTGAACGTGATTATAACGATAATAAAAGGGGACACTGCTGCTTGTGTACTGAGCTTAGGAAATACTTTTGGTAAAATAGTACATATCATATAGTATCGAGATTATTGAAGTTAGTTAGCAAACCAGATTGTTAGTTAATGCTATTCTATCGTGTAGTGTAACCGCCGTTGGCAAAGATGGTTTGTCCCGTAATCCACTGGCCACCAGTGACAAGGAATGTTACAAGCGGCGCGATATCTTTGACATCGGTCAGGCGACCACCGAGTGCCTGGCTCTTGTGATAGGCCACGGCGTCGGGGCTTTCCTGTGGGTAGAAGAAAGCTAAAAATATCGGTTAACTATTACATCTCCAGTAGATAAGAAGGCGAGAAAGAAAACTCACGTGTATCCATGGGACCTGGGGCGACAGCGTTGACACTAATCCCGCGAGGCTGCAGTTCCTTAGCGACGCCACGCGTAAAGTGCTCGACGGGGGCCTTGGAGCCGGCGTAGGATGTATAGAAGCCGGTAAAGGCGGCTAGCAGGGACGTTACAATCGTGATAATCTTGCCACCATCGGCCACGTGCTGGGCACCAGCTTTGAGGATGAGAAATGCGGACTTGGAGTTAACCCTGTGCAGTATTCTAGGTTAGTCTTATGTTGTGCTAAGCTTGAGCAGACTGGGGTATCTTACGCAAACATCTCATCATATTCAGCTTCGGAGATGTCGATGATCGACTTCTTGAGCACCTTGCCAACGGTATTGACAACAATATCGATCTTACCAAAGTCGGCTAGAACATCCAAAAAGAGGCCATTGACAGCGGCCTCAGTGGTCAGGTTAGCCTGGTAGAATTTGACTTTTATGCTGGGGAAGCTCTGCTGTAGCTCAGCGCCCAGCTTGTCAGCGTCGTCCTTGGACTTGTCCGAGTTGTAGTGCAGTGCTAGCGAGGCGCCGAGCGCACCGAGCTCGCGGGCAATCTCGGCGCCGAGATTTTTGGCTCCGCCGGTAACGATGGCGACCTTTCCGTTGAGAGACATGTTGCGTAGGTTTCGTAACTTTTCGATGTGTAGATATACTTAAGAGTTATGACTTCCTCGATGCAATAACTTGGTTGATGGATGGAGACATTCAGACGCCGAATGGTCCATCGTCTTCCTTTATAGCAAGCTATAATAGTGACTTGGATCAACTGCCGATCATCGTCATTCTGGTGGTGCCACTCGTAACCTTGATAGTCGTGCCACTCACCTCGGTAGATGTACAAACTTTACGCTAACGTCTGTCACGTCACATCTCGCTTGCAAATCAAGTGGAGAAAGGCATCAAACTACAACATTGAGTTTTGCTGAATGCAAAAGACGACGATCGCTATAGGCTGCAAACGCCGCCGGTGCCGCGAATTACCGCCGCAACGGTCCTTAGCATGGTTTAACTGTGGAATAATTATTATTACTCGATAGTGATGAAGTGACCGGTGTAGCTTAGCTTAAGAACACGATTCCTATTTATTTCAATGCTACAAAAGCTATATATGCATAGTGGCAGGTGCATATTTATCTAGTCGCATTAAAAGAATCGACATTTAATTTATATATTAACAGCAGGTATATGCTACGTTCTGGTTCTTCCACTCGTCCCATAACCGATGACAACATACCCAGTCTCTAGTTTAAGATCGAGGTGTCCTCTTCATCCACTAAAGCTTCCTAATACCTGGCGTCCGGTCTTGCTCCTAGCCCGTGCTGCGGACAGTATCATCGTTCATCGCGTTCCAAATCCTGGTCCAAACAGGGCTCAGAGGGACCACAAATCTTTCTGCGGGATGGTGGCGAAGGTCGTTTAGGTGCCAGCGCGTTAGACTGGGAGGGAAGTTTTTAACCACCTCTAGCCAGCCAACAGCCATCGAACTTAAACAGGCGAAATGCGTTGTTAGTAACGACAGCTTTGGTTGTGCCACCAAAAAGTCAATCAAAGGCTGCGCGGTGAGAAGAATGGTGACGAGACTTAGAGACTCTAGGCGAGGGGAAGATACGGGCAAGTTGTCACTAAACAGCAAATTGGCTAGAGAATGCATGTCCTTCTGCGGTAAATGTATATGGAAGGCGAAGGTGAGGTTGAGATGTTCGAGGGTAGACTTCGCAGAGCAGAGCAACTCGCCCAGAACCGACCGATTGTTTCTCTCAAGCAGGAAACCGGCGTCGACAATGTTACGCTCTACTGTCCTTAGCCCAGAAAGCACGTATCTAGCCGCTTCTGTATCTTTGATGTCATCACCATTCAACCCAGAGATTCTAAGCACCTCTATATGCCGGTTTGTGTGCTGCATTGATTGAGATATTTGACGGACAAAGGATCCGAGCACGGCGCTGCGAAGTTGGGGATCGTCCCTGAGAGAGGTTAGCCGTGTAAATTTTGGCACGGAACTGTACATGACGGAAAATATTGACCTCACTTACATAACATTGGCAAAGAAGCGAAAAAGATTTTTCTACATTATTGGAGAGGCAATCTCAACATGTCGCAGACTAGTCATATTCTCGAATAGCCTGTTTATTAGCTCTCGGACATTGTAACTGTTGCTGTCTGGCGCGCCAATATTGTCATGCCATACGGCCTCTTCAACATCCATGGTACTCCTGGTTTCTCCCGATGCTAGGTAAATCCAATATCAGTATGTTATGTACGAGGCACAGCGGCGGCCTGGATGAACGAACCTGTGAGACCGATTGACGGCGCGAAATAAAACTTCCTACATAACAAGCAATCGGAAGTATATCCACTACTGCTTTGTCCAAATTGGCACATTGGGCAGAACGGGTGCGGCCAGCATATCCTTCCCTAGCCTTCTGTGGTTCTCCTGTGAAGTGAAGTTCGGTGAACAGATCCTCGGCATATATCGCGGCGAAGAACTTATTAACGAGACGCAATGACTCGAGATCTGCGCGTTCCAAGTCTTCAGAAATTTGTTCGAGGAGCAACAGCGGTAACGAATCCATTTTGGGGGAGACGATGATTTACGATGTCTACCCCGGAGGAGCTGAGGTTGTTCATTTACAACGATCTCTCATGGCGCCGCCTTAGTGACGTTTTCAGCTACATTACATATCCCCACAACGATATTCCCATTCAACGTCCATACTGCATTCACTTAGAGGTCCGTGACTTTCGGAGTCACAGTCACTTTCGCCTACTTTGTGGTAAGAAGAGACAGAGCACCGTATTAAGACGCTGAGCAGGAGCTGAGTTTACAGTGTCGAGTGCAATGTGCGGGAGGCTGCTCACAACTAAGGCTACGTATAAAATAAAGTTAGTGGACATAATCAAGAGTACAGCAGCGATAATGGGCGCCATAATTTTTTTTAAAAGAAGAACGCTAAAGCACCGTCGATGGAGGCTAGCCGGTCACTGATCGCTAATCGGCGATATGATTTCAATTGAATTCAGAATCCATCAATCTAAAGTGGACGAATATGTGTTATATACCGTTTCAATTACTATGTAAAATACAAGAGGGGGGAGGATTAACTTTGCTCTGGGCAGCAACGCTCAGCCAACCAAGTAGACGGAGTCTGAGCCCTTGATCTGAGCCTGGCACTTGGTTTGTCCGTTCTGCACCATGTTACCAACATTAGCGCCGTCGAGGCCAAATCCCTGGCCGTCAAAGGTGGTGCCCTTGCATCCAGTCATGGTGGTGCCGTCGAAGCGGGCTAGAGGCCACCATTGTGTAGAGGTATGGGGATCCTCAGCAATGAACTCGGCCGTGGAGAAGCAGAGGTTGCCTTGAGACTGCATGCTCATGGGAATTGTGCGCTGCTTGCCGGTGCTCTTGTTTTGAAGGTAACTATATGAATGTTAGCAGACCATCTCCTTCTTTCAAGCTCTTGGTACTTACACAGTGCCCGTGCGGGAGTCGGAAGCAGTAACCTTGACGTACACCTCGTGGCCAGGGCTCACTATTTCTTTTGTTAGTTACTCAACCCGTATAGTGGAACAAACAGGACACATACCAGGGAAGTCATTGACAAACACGGGGTAGTCTGGCCAGAACTCGTACCAGAACTGCGTGTTGACGTAGCCGTTCTGGATCTATTCCGAAACGGGTCAGTACACCCTTTCAAAATACAATGGGAATTGTTCTGCAACACTTACATCACCGCTGGTACCAGCCTGCAGGATACCAGTCTGGCAATCGCCAGCACCGTCAATGCCAACCCAGTGATACTCGACCCAGTCGGTTTGGGAGCTTCCTCCAGGTGGCGGGTAGACATTAGGAACAACCCAGGAAGCCTCTACGCTCTTGACCTTGCCAGGGGGTCTGTACTGAACGGCACCGCACCAAGTATCCCAGGCCTCGTTACGGCGGCTGAGGGTGCGTGCAGGTGTCGAGGCAGGATTGGGCAGCGCGGCGGTGAGGCCCAGAGAGAGAAGAAAGGGGAGTAAAGCAACCATGATGTGTTCACCAAAAAAAATTCTAGAAATTCAAATGAACAATATGTTGGTTTATAAAGTAAATGCTTGACCTGCACAGTTGACGCAGCCCTACTTATACTGCTCTAAGCATTACCCCAGGTTCCCTCCCCCACACCGCTGTCAATGGGTAATCGAAATCTTGGATAAAAGCCATGACTAATAAGAAAGGGCTGGTTTGCCCAATCGAGCAATCATTAGGCACTGTAGATAGCCCGTACTGGTTCCTATGGTCTGGAGACCTTCCTCTTGCGCACTAGTTCGTGGCGGGGCGACCGCTCACAGGACAATGAATCATCATCTCACGATGTAAAAAGTCAGGGATCTTGACGTAACGGATTGTCTGAAACCCGGCTAGGGGGAACTTACAATAGGATTAGTCACTTCACATATCGCCCTGCATGTTGCCGATACCGCCGAACAATAACCGGCCACTGTTGATTTGCCTTATCATGTAGGATGGCTCTAGCGGGGTTTGTTGTTTCCATGGCTTTCTCTTCAAGTTGATATTTATCATTAAATGAAGCTACATACAAGTAACTATGTACATATTTAACGAGAGCCATGCTGCTTTCTATCTAGTGTGGCGTCCAGATAATATAGATCCGCCGCCTTAATATATTGGCGGCTCGCCGTATTTGCGGATGGCTCGTGGCCGGCTTCATCTGATGTTTGCGCGCCAAAGGCTGCAGGCTTAGCTATATTACTCTTTAGTAATGGCAATGTAGTTCTATATCCAAATAGATCGCCCAGATTCGGTGGGTTGTATTGTTATGGTTTGCCTGCTAGGGTTAACCCTAGCTTAGCTTCGTGTGCTGTACCCTGTCTGCACGCTTATCTCAACTCTTTCCACTAGGAGCTGCTGACTATGTTCGCCGGATACCCCCATAGTTGCATTTGGCCCCGTTGAATGCGGACCGAGCCGCAGCCTTCCAAATCTCCGTGATATCATCCAGCATTGGCTTAGTATAGTAGAGCCGGCAGTCCGAATACTCCGTCCCAAACTGCGCAGGCATACCGTCATCAACGTTGCCCCGGAGGATCTGGTCTCGGCCATTGACCTGCCCGCTGACGCGGAACTGTGCCATATGGGCCAACTTGGAAAGACGCGACTTAATTGCCTTGTCTGTTGTCACATTCATCGCGTACCGCGCGTCCGAATAGATGGTGCTGAAATATGAGACCTGGGCTCCCCTGGTTCCGCCAACACCTTGCTGAGGTCCGCTGCGAGGCAGACCGCCCAGCACGACGGACTTTACGCCGCCGTTAACGCGCAACATTTCTGCCGCTACGGCGCACGTGGATGCGCAGTACCCATTATAGAGAACGACGAGGTCATCAGCGTCATAGTACTTTGTAGCATTGGCTCGCGACTGGTAGCCGGTGATGTCGATACCAAGACCGGACTTGACAGTCGGATCGTTCAAGTCGTACGTCATTAAATTGGTATAACGGGTGTTCTTGAACATGTGCGGACGAAACTTGTCGTCGTAGGACGTGAATGGCTGGAACGTGCTGTTGACGTCGAAACGCACGTTGTATTGGGACTGGTATCGGTCGAGCTTGTCCGGATCGACATCCGGCGCGTACGGATCAAAGTCGGCAAAGTAGTCGGTATAAACCCGCGCGAGATCAAGAAAGAGATTACTTGCCTTCCAGCGCGTGAAGCCGTCCTGTTGCGTGTGTGGGAAGAACTGTCGGAACAGCTCGTAGCCAAGGGGGACGATACCACCACTGTTACTCTGCAGGTCAATGACTACCTTGGTCTTGTCGGCGCTTTTGGATCGCTTCAAAAAGTCCTGGATAGTGTTTTGGTACTCGGGGATATCCTCAGGGTCAAAGTCTAGCAAGACAAGCACGGCAACGTTATCCACTCCCTCGCCTTGCAAGAAGTAACCGCTGACGGTATTGTCGCTAGAGCGAACGATAGGGTTGGAATATGCCGCTTTGGGTGGATTGGGAGATGTCGGTCCAGCATTCTGAGGTTTACCCGATTTAGAAGGTACGCAGAAAGCGTCGTAAAAGGTTTGACCATCAACGACACCGGTCATGTTCGCTTGCACTCGGGCAGTGTTTTCTAGCGTGAGAGTCGTACCGTTGGCAAATCCAAAAGTCGTCTCTTTTCCCTGATAGAAGCTGCTAAACTGTGCAAAGGGCCCCAGAGGTCCGCTAGCACCAAAGAAGCCTCTGCCAACGGGCGTATCAAACATGGTATTATACGCGGTATCGTTGACATGACCACCAGTGGCACTTGTAGCAAGATCTACCAAAAATTGCGATGCTGCCTTTCCATTAATCGATTTTAGAATGGATGCGGTACCCGTTGACTTTTTGTAGTGATCTATGACAGAACCATAGGTTAGCCAACTACTCGTTAGTTTCGACATGGCATGGATTCCACTTACCGGAGAGTTTTATAACAGGCAGAGACTTCCCGTCATCACTGTACGAGACGACCCCTCGAGGAAAAGCAAACCGGAAGGCATTCATGGAATCTGGCGAATACCTCATGTGGCCATCAGCCGCTGGCAAGAAGACTCGCTGTTGGATGTCCTTTTGGAAGTCGTACTCGCTGGCATAGGACTTAGAGGCGGCTTTGGCACGTATATCCTTAAGGGCAGCGAACATGTCATAGGCAGGGCGATCATAGCCCTTGGGAGAGTCTTTGAGATATTCGGTATCCGTTTGCCACTCGAGGTAAGGGACCAGGCTATCTGCAATGGCAACGCCACGAGCTTTGTTGAAAGGGACAGAGCGTAGACAGGCATAGGCCAGCTCCGCGGGAACAGTAGCAGCTACATTCAGTTAGCCTCTTCTTCAGGAAGAATGCATTAGATAAAGGCGCATACTTGAAGGGTCCTGTGTAGCCCATGCTGCGCTCACTTGTGCACATGGCTCTTCTGTAGGAGTAGGCACTACGGCAGCTTTGGCTGACGCCAGCGAAATGATCGCCAGGGCAGTGCTTGTGTAGATTTTCATAGTGGGCTAGAATGGTAACTCAGAATCTGGACGAACCAGGGCAGTCCTGGACGACGGAGGCAAGGCCGCCTACATATACTACAACATGAAGTATATTGATAGCCTTGCATATGGGTCGCAGAGGGTTCAACACTGTGGATACTACGTTAGTTCGTAGTTACGGACAGGGGCGATGAATCATCCACAACCAAGGTCGACAATGTCTTCTTCAATGTACACTATCATGCATGGCAGAACTCACACTTTTTATATAGTTAGACGTAGAATGAGCAAAATAGGAGGTTCAATGTATTTATATAGGTTCCAGGGATCCGAAATGCATTTTTTTAGAATATTCACTTTTCGTTCCGTATCTTTATAGCACAGCGTAGCAATGAGGGCCTTCCATGACTCGCATGGGTTTGTTCCCACAAATGTCATTTCCAGAGCGCTGCATCGAACCTCTGAATGCGTCGGCAATAGAGAAGCATGGGGCGGGCTATTACTACATGGTATCAGTTATCCCCTAGAAACGATCGCTTAGTGTTAACGTGCAAGTTATGCCGTCGTGCCCTCGCCCACGGAAGGAAACGAGGCTGCCAGAATGTGTCGCTTGGATTATCTCTCTCGGGTTTTCCTGGCGAAACCTTCGTAACCTTTCTAATATATGAGGTGGTAATCCAGAAGGCGGGCTGTGCGTCTTAGACCAATCGGCTTTAGTGAAGATATCATGTCTTGGGGCTAGTCTTGTGCTGATCATGTACTCAGTGTCGTGGGCATTTTCTCTCCAAACAACGGGCCCTTCACGGTAAACAATCAATGCTTGGACAATATCGTCGCTTAAACTCGTCAATCCAGGATGTACCGCTATAAGCAACAACATTTAGAAAAGGTCTTGATATTAGCGTCCCAAGAAATATCATGAGCAACAAACCGGATACATAATCATATATGCTAACAAAGTCTTTACCCGGACTAGGGAGAACCTCCAGCTTCTTGTTCCACTGCTTTAATGGTCTGTCTTGACCACAACATCTGGCAAGATACTCAGTATCTGAGTCCTCCTCCTAGCTACCATCTTCCTTTTGCTCTAGCGCATATGGTCGTTGTTCATCGTCAAGATCTCCATACGTAACAAATTCAGCTTCTTCATGGAGGTCATGAAAATGTGCCCAATCACCCTCATATTGCCCCAATATAGGGACGGATACAGTGACAGACGAGATTTTGGGCTCAGTTAGAGGCAGCGATGCAATCTCATGCCAAGTGCCATCGGCTTGGAGAAATGAATACCACGGATAGGGCTAAATGTTTGGCCGATTTTGTTCCTGGTTGGAAACGATTTAAAGCCAGCCAGCCTTGTTCTTACAGAGCCTTGGTATGGGCAGTCACATGAATACCTCTTCCAAAAAAAGGACTGTTTAAACTCTGTAGAATAGTTTAAAATATAATTTAAAATATTAGCATCAGGAAGTAATACTTCAGCTACGATATAAAACAGAAGGTGTCTGACCAAGCCTCTCCCGACTACGGCAAGCACTATAGCCCGGAACAGGTTGCGGAGACATTTGCACCCAGCCAGGAATCCGTCGATGCCGTCACCAATTGGCTGACCGCTGCTGGTGTGCCTGCTAATGCTATCACAATGCCCAAGTCCAAGGGCTGGTTGCAGCTCCAGATGCGTGTTGGTGATCTCGAGTCCCTCCTGAACACAGAGTACCACATCTTTGAGAACAAGCAAACTACTAGGCAGTACTTGGGCTCTGAAAAGTATCATTTGCCAGCTGAGATCGCCGAGCACATGGATATGATCACACCTGCTGTATCCATGTACACCCTCGCTGGGACTGAGCGAGCTGGTAGCAGCGTGGCTCGCTGCGCGATTGACATGGCGGATGCGGAGCTTCAGTCCAACGACGCTAAGCCATGCGGTGACACCGTTACTCACGAATACATCAAGACAATGTACAAGATTCCCGATGCGCCCGCCAAGGCGAATCCCAATAACGTCATGGGTTTGTTCGAGTCGGGGCTCTCAAGACCCAACCAAACAGACCATGATGCATACTACAAGCTCGCCAACCTCAAAATCCCTGCAGGTTTCGGCGCAAAAGTTGACATGATTAACTTTGACAACACCAGCCACGTCAGCACCTCCCCCGAAATGCAGCTCGACATGGAGGCTGCATACCCCATCTTCTACCCTCAGAACATTAAGGTTTTCCAAATGAACAACACAAAGTCAGACTTGTACAACCATTTCCTGGATGCTATCGGCGGGTCTTTCTGCGATGTTCCCAACCCTGATCCAGACACCGGTGCGCACGTCTGTGGTGGCTATAAGGCCCCCAATGTCCTGTCCATCTCATACAACCTCGTCGAGGACGCCTACTCCCTAAAGCAGTCAATCCGTCAATGCAACGAGTGGATGAAACTAGGCCTTCAAGGCACTTCTGTCTTCCATTCAACCGGCGACACTGGCGTAGCTGGGCCCTTTCTCGGCTTCTGCTCAGGTAAGGATAGCGCTGTTTTCAACGCTGCCACACAGGTTGCCTGCCCATATATCACTACTGTTGACGGCACAGAGCTACCGCGCGGCGCAGATGCCTCGATGCCGCAACAGGTCGCCAATCTCAGCTACTCTGGTGGCGGTGGCTTCTCCAACTACTTCCCTCGCCCCTCGTACCAGGACGCTGCCGTCTCTGAGTACTTGAAAAACCACGCACGTGCATTCCCAAGCTACAATAAGACTGACGGTACGCTGCCAGCTGATGGCAGCAACGGCGTTTTCAACCGCGGCGGCCGCGCCTTTCTGGTTCTCTCTGCCGTCAGCGCCCGCGGCTTCATATACATCTACGGAAAGACTCACCTCACTGGTGGCACCTCTGTGTCTACTCCCATCGTCGGAGCTATGTTCAACCTGATCAACGAGAACCGCTTGGCCGCCGGTAAGAGCGTTGTTGGCTTCGTAAACCCTGCTCTCTACAAGAACCCTGCCATGTTCAACGATATCACACATGGCGGCATTCGCAAAGATGAAGGGTTTGCCTGCAACGGCAACAGCTTTGATGCCACCCCTGGCTGGGATGCCGCCAGCCGCCTAGGTACTCCAACCTTTCCCGTCATGTCCAAGTACTTTATGAGCCTATAAAAGTACTGGTATGGCAAATGAGATCACTGAATTGTGTATACCTGTTTTGTTGTACAATGTTGGAATATAATTGCTTCAGACGCTACAGTGACCCATTACTTTCCGTCCTAGAGTAACGTATGTAGTTTAGTTCACAAGGACTCCCTATGATTCCATCTCAATTCTTCCGCTGCGTAACTTCTACCGTCTCAACCTGCACAGCGTCCATCTCATCCTCTTTTAAGCTCCGGCTAGTGTTTGTCGTCGCTGGCCCGTCGAAGATCTCAGCACATCTCTTCAAGAGTACGACCCTTGGTTTCAGGCACCCAGAGATAAATGCCAGCGACCAGGAAGGCGAGAATTACCGTAAAGACAATGTAATACCGCCAGCCCATGTCTCGCATGGCAATAGGATGAACAAACATGCCACTGATCAAGCCAGCATAGGTGCCAATATAGTTGACGGACATGCCGCGACCTCGAAGGCTATAGGGGAAGATCTCGACGGTGTAGGCGATGGGAAGGGGCTTCCCATTTTGCCCGACGCCACGTTTTGTTACTGACGCTAACTTGGCATCGCAGTAAGAGGCATAGCAGATAGAATAAATTTGTATATGCCTTTAGATATCGTTTGAAAACGTCTTAATTAAACACACACCCAAACCTAACAACACCTACGCAGCCAAAGAAGACCAGGACAAAGAACGCCTTTGGGGCTGGGCTAAGGAAAACAAGCAACACTTACAAAGCATTGCCTACTTATAGAGACCAAGTATAACAGGCACATTTTAAATCTTAAAAATTCAAACTTGAAATTAACTCTATCTATTTACTGACTGAAGCATTTTGTAAATTTACAAAAGTTATATGTGGTCGGATGTACGAGCCAAAGAGTAAAGATACCCTATAATGAGAATATTATAAACCAACCAAGTTGTATCTTCGAAACTCTGTAGAATATTTGAACACAAAATCTAGAATATTAATTTCGATAAATACTAACATGCCTAGAATATAAAATAGAGGTGAAATGAGAAAACGTTTAATAATGCTATGTTATTCTAGTGTTTCGACGCTCGCTGAGCGATGGCGGAATGGGCAATGCAGCCAGCAACCAAACCCCATTTTCGTATAAGTCAACATTGTCCCTTAGCGATACACATATACAGAGCGGACTCTTGGAGCAGTTTCGTCAAGTGAAGTCCGGTAATACCACCGGCATTGTTGCAACCTCGCCAAAAGTCAGCGCTGGGGGGACCCTTACTTTCGGCACGTCGCCTAATGCACTCGGACGATCGTCTGCCCTAATAAGGCTATACTTGGCGGGCTGGGAATTACCGATGACCGTCCCAGTGCTGGTGGCGCACGGGAAAGATCTCCACGGGTGAGACATTGATGCTGTGTTACAGCAAGAAGGCTACATTTGGTTTGTTTGTTTCTAAAGCATGAGGCAGAAACGGCCAGGAGGGTGATTGCCGGTATCTGCCGACCGCACTGGAAGACATGTACAACTCTAACATGCTGAGACAAAGAAGTATATTGCTCTCGAAAGAGGTATTGGAAGCTGGTGTAAACGAGAAATCCTCTTGTCCATGCAGGTTGAAGGACAGCTGAAAGGAACAGACTCGGGGTACCTAGTCTGGGATATGAAACATGGTATGGTTATTTGCGGAAATGAAAGGAAGACATCAAGGCACATTCGAGCAGTCAAATTGGTACCTTCGAAAGGTGTATAGCCCTATAATCACGTTGCCTACAGTAGAGTCGTTGATGTTGGCGGAAGACTATGAATAGGTCAATATAATGGCTTTTACGGCAATGGCTACTTGGTCTCATAGTATTGCTGCTACGGCTATTGCGAATGTCATTTTGTAACTTAAACAATACATGCAGTGCAGCAGCATGTCATCACGGTATGTAGCACAACAGTCTACCATGAAGAGTCCATGTGACTTGACAAAATCTTTACAACGCAAAGATTTGTTTTCTCAGCGGCAAGTTTTCTCGTTTTACGTTGCGAGAACTTCGGCAGTTATACAGTATCTATCTACTATCATCACAAAGTATAAATAAGCCTCTGCTTCTCTTCATGATACACTGATCTCTCTCAACTCATCAGCAACAATCGACAACATTATGAGAACCTTTTCAATTATTACTTTTGTTTCTTCCGGTGTGAGCCTTGCCGCAGGCGCCACGGAACCGGCGCCCGCGAATGGGACCGCTCCCAAAGACGCGGCTGCCCCCCAGTGCGGTGTTGATGGTTGGGGGAGGACTACCATCTACAAGACCTATACTGGCAACAATCTTGGCCTTTGCGAGGAGCTGTGCCTTGCGGATTCCCTCTGCGAGTCTTACAGTGACGACAAGAGGGGAGTCACTGGCAATTGCTACCTCTACAAAACTCCTGTCAAGGATACACCTTACAGCGACTACCCGAACTGGGCAATGTATGATCGACAGTGCGCTCTAGATAAGCGTCCCAAAGGAAACAAGCTCTGTGAGGTCCCTGGCTGGGGTAGACGGACTATCTACAAGACATTTGCTGGCGAGAACCTTAGCCTCTGTGAGGAGCGTTGTATCGTGGACCCGGAATGCAAATCATACAGCGACGACAAGCGAGGCGCTGGGGGCAACTGCTATCTATACAAGACTTCTGTTGAGAACACCCCATACGCCGACTATCCCAACTGGGCCATGTACGATCGCCAATGTGCGCTTGACAAGCGTCCCACGGGCAAGAAGCTGTGCGAAGTCCCTGGCTGGGGCCGACGCACCATCTACAAGACTTTTGCTGGCGAGAATCTCGGACTTTGCGAGGAGCGCTGTCTCGCAGATCCCGACTGCAAATCGTACAGTGACGACAAACGCGGTGCTTCAGGGAACTGCTATCTATACAAGACCGCTGTTGAAGACACCCCGTATGCCGATTACCCTAACTGGGCTATGTACGATAGACAATGCGCCATAGATAAGCGTCCTTCAGGGGACCTCTTGTGTGGTGTGCCAGGATGGGGTCGCCGAACCATTTACAAGACCTTTGCTGGCGTCAACCTCGCCGGCTGCAAGACTCGCTGCCTCGCAGACCCTGAATGCAAATCCTACAGCGATGATGAGCGCGGTGTAAGCGGCAACTGTTACCTCTATAAGACTGCCGTCAAGGATACGCCATATGCTCCCTACCCCAACTGGGCCATGTATGATCGCAACTGTGGCGAGAAGCCCCCAGGCGCAGGCGAGGGTGAGAAGTGCGGCAAGGACGGCAACAATGCCAAGTGTGCCGAGGGCCTCTGCTGCTCCAAGGACAGCGTCTGCGGCAAGACAGAGAGCCAATGTGGCGTCGGCTGCCAGAAGGACTTTGGAACTTGTCTGCCTGGTTCTGGTCCTGGCGAGAGATGTGGCACTCAGGGCAACAACGCCAAATGTCTTCCTAGCCTTTGCTGCTCTCAGTATGGCTATTGTGGAACAACTCCTGGCCATTGTGGTACAGGTTGCCAGCCCGCCTTTGGTAACTGTACGACTGGATCTGGCCCCGGCGAACGATGCGGTCCTCAGGGAGGCAACCTCAAGTGCGCCACTGGCCTGTGCTGCTCTCAGTACGGTTACTGCGGGAGCTCCGACAAGAACTGTGGTACAGGCTGCCAACCTGACTTTGGTAACTGCACCATAGGCTCTGGACCTGGTGAACGATGTGGCCCAGAGGGAAACAACCTTAAATGTGCCACTGGCTTATGCTGCTCTCAGTACGGTTACTGCGGGAGCTCCGACAAGAACTGCGGCACTGGATGCCAGCCTGACTTTGGTAAGTGCACGCCTGGTTCCGGACCTGGTGAACGCTGCGGTCCCGAGGGAAACAATCGCAAATGCGCTACCGGACTCTGCTGCTCTCAATACGGCTACTGTGGTAGTTCGGACAAGAACTGTGGCTTGGGATGTCAACCAGACTTCGGTAACTGTACCACAGGCTCCGGCCCAGGTGAGCGTTGTGGTCCAGAGGGGAATAATATGAAATGCGCTACGGGACTTTGCTGCTCTCAGTATGGTTATTGCGGAAGCTCTGACAAGAATTGCGGCACAGGATGCCTACCAGACTTTGGAAAATGCAACTAAGGAAACGGATATTGATGATGAATTGAGGCAAGGATTTTTTCTTCTATTCGTGGCTTGCGTATTCAACATAAGCGGCCATGCTCTTTATCTCTAGTTATTTCGTTATTCCATAATTTATACCTACATTCCTTGCATACCCTTGCTCAACAAGAGACTGATAGACTACTCTTGATATTCAAACCAAGTTACCTAATGATGCAACGCAGTTTTAATCATCTTCTGGTGGGTTCTTCACTAGCGATTGATCAAGTGGCTTTCTGACAAAAGTATCACACTTTCCGGTGGTTGCTTCGCCCCTAAATCTTGCATCCATCCATTCAAGCCATTCGGGTGCCGCAGCAGGCATAACAGACCCGTGAAACTTTGCTGGATACTCAAGCAAGTGAATCTCGCTACCTTCGCGACAGCAATCGTTATATACATCTCGCGTGACCTCTGGCAAAACAATCTTGTCGCTCAGGCCCTGAATGACAAGTACAGGCGCCTTGCTTCGATTTCCGGGGCTACCAGGAACTACCGCGATTGGCCAACCGAGCTCCTTGATCTCCTTCAACGAAACATGTGTGTGATTGTGTTCATCTTCGTTCGTGAGTGCATAAAGAGGATCGACAAGTCTTTTATTCAACAAGTTGAAAATTTGGGCTTGCTTCTCGGCAAATGCTCCTTCAACTTCAACAGGTTCGGTAGACATGACGAAATGGATGGTTGTGCGCTACTAAGGGTAAAGGGCACGAGAGTAGAAGATGGCCAGTTGTATTTAGGAGATTTCAATTGTGAAAAAAAGAGTTCTGGACATGAAAAAATAAGTGTGGTTATAACCTGGTTACCCAGGTGTTGATTGGGAACAACATTCACTGCCAACAAACTCTTAAACATCGAATTTCATTAGTACCTTTTTCTTCTTCTACTTATTAGGGCTCCTTTCACACTTACTTTTGCTTTGGCTTTGGCTTTTCACATCTTTAAGCATAGAACCTTGATTCGAGATTTTCAATCATGGATAAAATTGGTACGACTTTTCTTGCGAAAACAATGCTCGTTTACTGTAAATCTCTAACAAAGACTGTTTCACAGGAAAAAGGCAAGCTTTGTACCATCACAAGAAGAAACTTGACAAGTGTATTGACCTTCCTCGACTGTGCTTTTTCAAGAATGGCAGTTCTTCGAACCCAGCTACCGCTACCGCTGCTGCTAGTGCTAGTGCCTTCGTCGCCAAATCGGCCTCAGCTGCCGATGAAGCACAATTTTATGCATCACTTGTTCTAGTTGCAAAGGAGGGTACTTGTGAAGAACTCGAGCGCGCTCTTGGGCTTGACCCTGCGCAAGATATCGTGGGAGAGACTCTGGAGGATCTCGATACACCGAGAACACTTCATGGCTTAATCCATCGTCTTGTGGAGGAAGACTATGCAGATACTTCGATACCAAGCCTGCCGCTAGCGCATAAGCTAAAGACGCTTCGTCCGATGCTAGTTGAACCACAACGAAGCAAGCGTCTCCTGGCCAAGCAGCAACAGGCTAGGTATAAGGAAACCTCAGATTCCTCTGGGAATGAGCCTACAAGTGAGACGAAGGAAGAATGCAGGCTGGTAGTAATGCTACAAATAACGGCGAAGTCTCCCGTTAACAAATTCGTCATTGATGTCATGGAGGTTACCTGCCCAGCAGATGATGAGACAGGCATCACAATTGCCAACACCAAGAGCTACCGAGTGGACGGTGAGGATATCTGCTCTTCTAGAGTTGATGGTTCCGTCAGAATTGACGGTCATATTGCTGTTCATGTTGAGGTGAAGGCTGCCGACATGACTGAGAAGGAGAAGGAGAGGTTGTTTCAGCAAGTAGGGATTGAATTCATCACCCTTATTTCTGCAACTCTCCCTCGATTTCGATACTATTTCAAAGGGAAAGATGGTATCTACCGGTATGTTATTGAATCTCTGGCGTTGAGTTGAGCTAACCTTGCACAGTCGTGTTTGCTTTGGCTCTTGCGGTCTAAGTGCATTTATTACTATCTCGTTCTATTCAGAGGGATACATCGAGTATTTGCACAAGCGACCGGCCAACCCTCGTCCTCTAAGAGAGGATTTTTACAAATTGCCAAAGATGGTACTTAAATCCTATGGCCGTTGGGACCTCGGCCAGGTGCATGATCTTTGTTCATTTACACGTATTGTTCGCCGAATCCTGCGAACAAGGTCAAAATGCCGGCATTCTACCCAGCGGATGTCAAGAGCTTGATGAAGCAATCCAAGAAGTGAAGAGAGAAGAAAGACTTGGTTGATTGAACCATGGTATAGTGGAAGCTAGGAAGAGGAACAGCAGAAAGGTTGAAAGGTGAAAACATGGAAAGGTAGAAAGCGTTCACATCGGTTGTGCGTAGGAACAACTGATTTTGTGTAGGAAAACCCCAGGATAATGGTTTCTTGTTTCACGGTTCGTTTTACGGTTCGTTTTACGGTTAAAGGGTTTTAGTTAAAGTTAGTTTGTGACAAAATTGGTAGTCAAACTCCGATATTTCAAACCCAAAGAATTTCCACACCACGTGTACTCGATCCACGAAGGCTCGCCACCACAAACTCTGATACACAGGCGATATCGGCCAACAAAACAAAAACACTTTTTCTTATTGTTACATAGCAAGCACCATTTCCTAAAAGCGCAATACCGCACGTGGCCAGCTTCCCAGAGCTAAGCGAGGCACCGATTCCCATGACCAACAGATACAACGTGGTGATGCACGACTTACGCTTCTCTTGCTCGGCGATCAGCAGCGCCCCCTCTGTAACAAAGTGGCCCCTCTTTACCCGGTTACAACAAGGAATTAGCGTAGCCGTAGCTTATTACAATACATATCTTGCAGCAATTAGTGCTAGTCCTGCATTTCATCCTCCTATCAAATGCCGCCCATGCGCCCCGGATTGATCTCCCCCCTCCACCGGCATATTGGGCAAATCATCGCTTAGCCGCGCCAAAGTGTCACCTTCCATAAACAGTCCATGTAACGTCCTCTCTCGGTGACCGCAATCAGAGGCTTACTTTGCACGTTGAACAACGCCTGTGTGCCATTGGACCACTCGCCAATGTAGTGGCCATGGTTGCCGAACGCTTGTTTAAAGCCGGACTGTACTCCCGCTCCCCAAACCTGAATAGACATCACAAACCAAATACCCATCATTTCTTTTCCAAGAGGAAATCAGAACAAGAAAAAAATGAAGTCCGCTCCTCTCTTCATTGCTGCCCTCGCTCCCTCCCTTGCCGCTGCTGGCATCGGCCACTCATGGTCCTTCTCGGGCTCACCCGCTGCTGGCATGCAAGACGTGACCTTTGGCTTTGATGTGTCCAATGCCCAGCACAAGCGTGGCTACTACTACGCAAATCAGTTCAACTTCCAAAACGTCTCAAGCGTCAGCTACACCGGCGTGCAGCCCCAAGATGACAACAATGGTCAGGCGTACATCCGCGGCGTCTTCTCGTCCTTCCAGAAGGGCACGACATCGTCGCACCCCAACTGCAGCGATGGTGCGGATGGCGGTGCTGGCGTCAGCTGTGCCGTCCAAATTCCCGTGGACAACTACTCTGGCCGCTTCGACTGTGTTATCGAGAACATTGGCGGAACCAAGTGGCGCGGGACGCTCGTCAACGCTGAGACTGGTGTATCAGCCGTCATTGGCGAGTTTGTACAGCCCGCTGGCGCTGGCGGCATCAAGAAGTCGCAGGTTGGCTTCTTGGAATACTTCCTCGCCAACGGAAACCCCAACTTCAAGTGCAGCGACCCCTTTACGACCGAAGTCAGCTACTACTACCCGACATCCAACACGGAGGGTGCTGGTACTGGCACCATTGCTAAGCCTTACGAGTACGGTAGCTGCCAGGGCGAGCAGAACTTTAAGACTACCAGTGGCAGCAACTACTGGACCATCAACAGCGGCTTCTAGAGGCCTAACGAGCGATTGTACATAACCCAAAATGCATATAAACCAAGTAGAAGAGAAAATGATATATGTATTGAAAGAAAGTCGGAAAGATAAGAGTGTAGTTTGACAGGCAAATTAATGTGCTATATGTTGTGTGTTATACATGGATTATTCGGCATCGACAAAATGCACCTTGACGTTGACGCCGGCGCCAGGGCAGATGGTGAGGGAGGCATCGTATTTGACGTCGCCGACTTCGGAGCCATCAATGCGGTCAATACGCTGCATCAGACGCACAATCCAGTATCCAAGACTGGTGAGGGCGAATTGCTGGCCAATGCAGATTCTGGGGCCGCCGTTGAAGGGCAGATAGTCCCAGCCGGGGCGACGGCCCTCCCAGCGTTCAGGGCGGAAACTGGCGGCATCTTCGCCCCAGAGCGACGTGCGGAGATGCATGGCGATGACCTACAGTAAAGCGTTAGAGGTAAGAAGAGTTTACAAGAGGGGGTGTATACTTACAGAGTACTCGACAGACTGGCCCTTCCTTACAAAGATGGGAGACTTGCCATCAGGGCCACCACCAGTAGGTAGTGTCGTGTCTCGGAGAGCAGCGCGGCCATTGTATGGAACTACAGGGTATACACGCAGCGTCTCGTTCAGGCACCATTGCAAGTAGCGGCAGTTCTTGAGGGACTCAAAGGTAATGTCCTTGGGGTTGGCATAGGTGCCAAAGGTCTCGAGGATGATTGTGCGGAGCTTGTTGTACGTCTCCCGGTTCTCGTCCAGCGCCATGAGGTAGAAGAACCAGCCCATAGTGGACGCCGTGGTATCGCGGCCAGCCAGGAGAATGTTGAGAAGCTGAGAACGAAGCTCCTCGGGATCGCGCGTCCTTTGTGCAAGCTCCTCCAAGAAGACGTACTTTTCCTTGCCATCGCCCGTCTTACCCTTGGAGCTTCCATCGGACTGCAGGGCAATGTTGACAAATTTGTCGACGTATTCGTGTGTGCGTTTGACCGACCTGCGGAACGCCGCGTTGTGCATCGTCCAGTAGTATGGGCCGAGACGACTGGCCAGCGCAAGCACCAGCTGCGAGTCGTTGAAGTCGTCAGCAAAGGTGTTGTTTGAGGTGCCGGTCAGGGCAGCCACTTGCGTGCCGGCCGACTCGCCAAACAGAAACTCAGTGGACGAATCAAGGGTCAGGTTGAAGAAGAGCGGGAGAAGATCGACTTTGCCTGTCCACCCGTTGTCCTTGCTGAGGTGGCTTTCGAGCGCCTTCATGAGCGATGAGACATGGCGTTCTTCGACCTCGAGGTCGGAAATCTGAGACCGCGCAAACGATGGTCGAAGTAGTGCTCGGGAATGCTCCCATGGTTTTCCGTCCGTTGCAAACTACAAGAGTAAAAATCAAGTTAGCCCAGCAGTTCCTATACACCAAAGGGTCGTTATATGTTTTAGCGTACAATACCATTGCCCAGGAGTGGCTTGAAGCCGTTGCAACGGTTAGGACCAAGCCCAAAATCGGCAAACTGGGTGGCCAAGATGGCCTGGATATTCTCAGGATCCCTAGTGACAATACTCTGGTCGAACAGTGGGATCGCAAAGGTCATCGTATTAACCTCGCGGCCCTGCTCCTCCGATGTCAGGCGGAACTGCTTCAGCACCCACTGTGGGAATGCCTTCTCATCCATCGCCTTAGCCACCTCCTTGACGATGCGGAAGCCGCTGCTATCTGCAGCAAAGACAGGCACAGGTGGCTTGCATCCGGCCTTCTTCGCCGCACGGTAGCGACGCAGCGCTGTGTTGAGATGGGATAGTGTGTAGAGGACGACAACGCCTGCAACTGCAGCGCCGGCGAGTTCCTTGAAGTCGAGCATTTTGGAGTCGCTTAGCTTAAAGGAAGCCATGGTAGCAAAGAAACAACAGTCAATCGAGAAAGGTGCAGAAGCCTGCGACTTTATACTGTGCAACGTCTGCCAGTTTTGAGTGAGGGGGGGTTTGGTCGTTAAGCAAGCAAACGAAGGTGGCTCAAGCTTTCAGTGGCACGCAGCCGCATGGTAACAGCTTTGACGCAATACCGGCAGCTAGCAACTAGAATTCGGAGCTAGTGGATGTACCGATTCCTCTTTCCCCCCTGCGTCCACTGGCGGTGTTTGCAGGTTGCAGCGGCGTATTGGCTACTTGCGGACTCTGCGCCTCGGACTCAGCGAATAGGATTCTGGGCAATTCGGGCCACTGTGGAGCGCTGAAAGCGGGATGCGCTAGGGCGAGGCTGGGGTAAAAAGCTGGGCGATCAGCCAGGGAGAAGAAAGAATAGTGGGCATATGTGTGTGCTGTGGCGGTTTGAGGACGCTGGGCACGAGCAGCCAACACCACCTGGAGCGAGTGGCTATTATGATGGACGAGAGGGAAAAATTCAGGGTGTACAGGAGGTATGCGTAAAGCTTGTGATATTTTTGCTGCTATTTATTAAGGGGTGGTCAAGGCTACATAAAATTCAGTAACCCTGGCTCGCTATGCATGAGACACGGCACGCAGCTTCAGCTGTCAAACCCACTGAAAACAGAGCACTGGAACTGTTATCCACTGTGCTGCACTGCACGCTGGCTGTATGAGCCGCTACGGCCGAATTTCTGTAAAACTCCGCGCTTCAGTGCCCAAACATCCTCCGTGATGACGGAGAATTGGCGGACAACACGGCCCCGTCATCAGGCTGCGTCACTCAACCCAACTTCCGCTAAACGGGGAATGGAACGGAATGCAGCCTAATAAAAAAAGAGGAAGGTGGGAAAGAAGTTTCGTTTAGCTTGTAAACGGCAAATCCTCAGTGGCAGCCTTATTTTGTCTATCCATCCATCTCGTCTCGCCTGTGGCTGGCTGACACCATGGCTGCTGCAAAAGTCCGAGCATATCTCCGTCTATATACATTTCATGAGAAATCATATGCGCCAATAGGGCATATACCACGACGCCAAACAAAACCACATGGCTTCGGTCAATACCCACATGCTGATATCTCCTCTTGCTACTGCTTGTCCTCTACCACCACTACTACTTTGTCCTCCAGGCAGCCAAGACGCCAAAAGTGCCACTGGGCCACGCAAGCAATCGCCACTACCATTAGACAGCAAAAAGTTCCGTCTATGACCTGCCCTTGCCTCGGTCTCGGCGCCCAGCATCCAGCATCTTGACCTTCTTGCGGAATCGGTCGCCCATATCCACGTGTCCGCTTGCTCGGGGCCCGTCTGTCGTCTCGCGGCCGCGCTTGCGGCTCTTGTCCAGCATCGCCCGCACACCGGAGCCTTTGCCGCCGCCCTTGCCCTTGGTGAGCCGGTCGATGCGGTCGATGCCCTGGCCGAGATCGTGCCACTCCTCGCCGCCGAATTGCATGGCTGGACGGCCGGACTGCTTGGCCTTTTTGGCCTTTTCCTTCTTGCTCATGCTGGGCAGGCGCACAAAGTTGGCCTCTTCGTAGTCCCGGCGTTCGGCTTCGTCCTTGCGCTCGTCGGTCGTCTTCATCCTGCGGCCGCCCTGCACAATAGTTGTACCAATACTGGGCTCGGCCATGGGCGCCGACGACAGCTCGGAGTTGACGAACTCCTCCATGGTGCGTGAGCGGTTGGGGCGGCGCTCCATCTTGTCTTTGCGCTGCGTCTCCATCAGCTGGCGCTCACGCTTGGGTGCCTTGTATACACCGCCTGGACCGTCTTGTCGCTGGGCAGGCTTAGCTGTTACATCGTCGACAAGCGTGCCAAAGCGAGGGGCCGCTGCATTCTTGCCGTGCTTTTGGTGCAGAGGTTTGCTGGGCTTGACCTCTTCGTCTTCTTCGCTGTCGTCTTCGTCGTCCTCATCCTCGTCCTCCTCATCGTCATCGCTGCCCTTTTCTAATTGCTCCTGGCGCTGCTTCTCTTCACGCAGGGCGTCATCAGCGCTGCGGAGGAATCGCTCAATGGAGAATCGGAGTTTTTCTTCGAGGGGTCGGGCACCCTTTTCGAGGTAGAGTCGCAGTTCGACTAATTGTGTTCGCACAGATTCGTCGATATCCGAGGGCTCTTTTTTCGAGTCCTTTGCGTTTCTCAACTTGACAAGAATCAAAAAGACCAAGTTTTGGAGGTAAGACAGCAGCAGCTCGTTCTTTACATCAAGCAGCGAGATGCCGTCCTGCTGGTGCTCAATGGCCGCAATCGTAGGCGTAGCTTCTTGTGCAAGAGTCAATGACTGTGTCAACGACGTCAAAAGCGCCGGTAACGTAGCCGGAGCCGCCATCTTTTCTGTTTTGTAGTTGTGATGGGATGATGTTGCGGATGTAAACCCGATGTGTAGTCTAGAAAAAAAATCTAGACATGCATTTTTTTGGCCTGCTGCAACTTTTTAGCGGGGCTCACGCCAACCGCTGGCTGTCTGTTGTACCACTGACTGCCCCCCCCCCCGCCGCTACAAACCTTAGTGGCGCTGGTGCGAGTGCTGCAGTTTGCCTGCAAAAAAATTACTAAGCCACGTTAGGCGTCACCAACGGTGCTTGACAGCTTGCTGGCCTCTCCCCTGGATCACCACTTTGCACAAAGCGCCGTCTCCCCCCGCCCACGTTAATCAGGCTGGACGGAATACGAACTTCGGAAAGCGCTCCTACCAACCAGAGGCGCTGAAGCTTACAACCCATCAATTGCTTAACTGGCTGTCGCTCCCTGGGACGCCGCCTCTCCCCCTTCTCGACACTAGCCCGCACCAGCCGACCATTGTCAAGCTCGACCACAGCACACAACACCACTCGAATCCCATCCGCCCTCCCGTCCTCTGCGACATCACACAAAAATGCATGCTCGCGACTCGGCGCCATGGGCGCTCATCACATCGCTGCTTGCGACATCGCAGGTAGCATCGGCTTTCTACCTGCCGGGCGTAGCGCCAACTTCATACAAGAAGGGCGACATTGTCCCCCTCAACGTCAACAGCGTCAAGCCCGTCATTGCGAGTCAAGACTACCGCATGCACTCTGTGCTCTCATACGACTACTACCATCCTGGGTTTGGCTTCTGCCGGCCCAACGGCGGCCCCAAGTACATCCAGGAGAGTCTGGGCAGCATCCTCTTTGGCGACCGCATCATGACGTCGCCCTTTGAGCTCAAGATGGGCGTGGACGAGTCGTGCAAACAGCTGTGCCCGCAAAAGTATAGCGAGGAGATGATTGAATTCCTCGTGCCCAAGATCGCCAATGACTACGCGCTCAACTGGCTCATCGACGGCCTGCCCGCCGGCCAGATCATGGAGGACGACCTGACCAACACGCAGTACTACAGCCCTGGCTTCCTGCTCGGCCAGCAGAGCGAGCAAGAACCCCAACCCGAACACTATGCCTTCAACAACCACTACGACATCACCGTCGAATACCACCGCGTCAGTGGCAAGGACGACCAGCTCCGCGTTGTCGGCGCCGTCGTCTCCCCCTCGTCCCGCAAGTACACTGGCGAGCCCGACTGCCGCGACGACCTCGACGAGCTAGTCATCCGCACGGGAGACAAGGTCCTCGATGTCAGGTTTACCTACAGCGTGCAGTGGAGGGAGTCGCCGACTGCGTGGGCCACGCGCTGGGACAAGTACCTGCACGTCTTTGACCCCAAGATCCACTGGTTCTGGCTGATTGACACGGCCATCTTTGTCGCCATCCTCGTCCTCACCGTCATGTCGGTGCTTGTGCGCACGCTCAAGAAGGACATTTCGCGCTACAACCGCCTCGACCAGATCAACCTCGACGACCTTAGCGGCACGGCTGCCTTTGACGACGGCGTACAAGAGGACTCTGGCTGGAAGCTTGTGCACGGCGACGTCTTCCGCGCCCCCTCGCACCGCCTTATGCTCTCTGTCCTGCTCGGCAACGGTGTACAGTTGTCCGTCATTGCTGGCCTCACTATCCTCTTTGCGCTGCTCGGCTTCCTGTCCCCGTCTAACCGTGGCTCGCTCGGCACCATTAGTGTCCTGCTGTACACCCTACTCAGCTTCATTGGTGGCTACGTGTCGGCGCGCGTGTACAAGAACCTCGGCGGCGAGCAGTGGAAGCTCAACATGGCGCTGACGCCGTCGCTCGTTCCCGGTGTCGTCTTCTGCACCTTCTTCTTCCTCAACCTGTTCCTCTGGGCCAAGCAGTCGTCCGGCGCCGTGCCCCTCAGCACCATGATTGTCCTCATTGGCATCTGGTTCGTCATGTCCATCCCACTCTCCGTCGCCGGCTCATGGGTCGGTTTCCGCAGCCCCGTCATCGAAGCGCCCGTCCGCACCAACCAGATCCCGCGCCAGATCCCGCCTACCCAGACATACCTCAAGCCGATCCCCAGCGTCTTCATTGTCGGCCTGTTGCCCTTCCTGGCCATCTTTGTCGAGCTCTCGTTCGTCATGTCCTCTATCTGGTTCAGCAGAATCTACTACATGTTTGGCTTCCTCTTTGTCTGCTACGCCCTTATGATTGCCGTCGCCGCCTCGTCCACCATCCTGCTCACTTACTTCTTGCTCTGCTCCGAAAACTACAACTGGCAGTGGCGCGCGTTCCTTGCCTCCGCCATGTCCGGCGTCTACATCTTCATCTACAGCTTGGTCAACCTCTTTGGCAAGATTAGCTTCAGCGGCTTCGCTGGCGTTGTTCTGTATCTCGGCTACAGCGCCCTCATCTCCCTGCTCTTTGGCATCCTCGCTGGCTCCATTGGTTACTTTGCCAGTTGGTGGTTTGTCCAGCGCATCTACTCCTCCATCAAGGTGGACTAAACCAAACACTACAAGACACTTTTAACAAGAAACAAAAACTGTAAAAACACCACTACCACAAGACCCCTGCGATTCGACTTCTTTCACGGTGTAATTTAGGGATTCAAAAGCAGACCAAAGATAGCATTATAGAACGCGTTAATTTCATTTCTTTTTTTATCTAAACTCTCTATTCCACCCTTCCCCCGTGACACCTAATCGTCATCGTCGTCATCATCATCCAAATCATCCAGATTCGTAAACTGAAACTGCTTCTTCTCAGGCTTCTTCTCGGCACCACCAGCAGGTGCTTCGCCACCGGCCTCACTCGCGCGCCGCCACTCAGCAGCCTCCTTTTCTCGCTGCTTCTCGCGCTCCAGACGTGCCTGTTCACGTTCCTCACGCAGCACTCTCTCCTTCTCTGCACGCTCCTTGGCCTCCTGCTCCTCCTTGTCCTTGCGCTCCTCTTCCTCCTTCTTCTTGCGCTCCTGCTCCAGCACAGGATCAAAGCCCTTGGGATCAATGCCCTGCTCGATCAGCAGCTGGTTCGAGGCCAGCGCGCCAGAGCGGATCTTGTCCTCCTGGGGCCACGGGAAGAAGTGCTGGCCCGACAGCGGGTTCAGGTACTGCGCCATGGCATCTGGCAGGCGTGTGATGCCCGCCGCTGGCTGGGCCTGCAGCGCACTCGTGTTTCCCACAGCGGGCGATTGTGCCACCGACGGTGTTGCAGCAGCAGGAGTCATGCTCTGCCGGCCGCCGTCGATTGGCGTCTGCAACTCGGACTGGATGGCTGGTGGGCCGGCGGCGTAGATGGTGGACGCGGGAGGCATGCTGGTCTTGCTGATGCGGCGGGCATAGCTGAGCAGCTCGTCATATATGATGGGGTAGTTGGGATTGGCTGGGAACGTGGTGATTTGCGTGTTAACAATGTCGTTGCGGGTGGAAGCGAGGGAGGTGAGGGTTTCGCGGATCTGAGTGTCGAGAGCAGTGGAAGCTTCGCGGAGTTGCAAGATTCGTAGGTGATTGTTCTGATGTGTCTCAACTGCTGCTTGTTAGCTGGTGAAATTGGGCGAGAGTAATCTGTAGCTAGCTACCTTTTCCTAGGCCTCTGGTCAGTTCGAGATCAGCGGCCTTGAGCTCGTCGGCGACGTTCATGGACGGGTGGTATTTTGCGACAGAGTCAATCAGACCAGTCAGGGCCTTCTCGAGACGCTCAAAGCGCGCATCTATAAATTTATCCATTTTTTCTGGCGGAATGCAGCAGTTGCAATGCAAATGCGCCGTGGATGAGTGTGCAAGCGTGAAGCTCACCAGCCCAGCCAGCGAGCTTGGATGGAGCCAGTGCAGCAAAGCGCAACTGACCAATCACAGCGCTGCAAAAACCTGAGGCACCACCCGGCCTCATCCGGGCCAAACCTCGAAACTCTGCTCTCTTGATTTGCGACTCCTGTTGACGATTCACCCCGCGCCAATTACCGACGAATTCCTCGCTTTTCGCTTCCAATCTTCCAAAATGGTTTCCGCTGTACGTTGGATTTCTTCCAATGCTGCAGAACTGTCGCTCGAGCTCGTGCCAACGGCGCTGCGCGTAATTTAGTGGTGGACGATGTGCTGACCTTTGACAAATAGACTACCCCCCGTGCTGCCGAGTTCCGCAGTGCTTTCGGCCCTAGGTACGACATTCCCTCGAATTCAGAAGATACTTGCCAGCAGCTGCTTGTCCAATTGCGTCGCTAGACAGGCAGCAGGCGCGGCAGACGCTTGACAGGGACCGAACACTGACGATAAACAGATACGCTTTCCAGCCCAACTTCCACGGTGCTACCGTCAAGACCTTTACTCGCTAGTAAGTGACGATTTTCCGGACGAGCGAATACGACCCGATAGCAGAATGATGAGTGGTAAGGGGTGTAACTACGATGGAGGCAGACGACAAGTGACTGAGGGACCAATTGCAATCGTCAATGTGTATCCCTTTGCATACTCTCTCGGCTCACGAATCTTGAAACTCGTTTCGATGCCCTGCCACCATTAACTGCCTTTTGGTCTCACTGCTCGCGTCGAATACCACACAATACAGGCATAGGCTAACAATATACAGCGGCTTCCGTGGTGCTTGCTTCGGCGCTGCTGCCGGTGCTGGTGCTCTCCTCTTCACCTCTGGCATTCCCCGCATCCAGACCGACATTATCAGCGTATGTTTCTCTCGACGCTCGACTAGAATATGGACCGTGGCAAGCTAACTAGCGCAGTACGTCCCCATTGTCCGCGACTACTTCAAGAAGGAGACTCACCCCCAGGACAACGTAAGTGACGGGCCCCGACTGCTCTGGATACTGTGTAGATGACTAACTTTGGCAGCCCTTCTAAATAATCATGGGAGTTGTTGGGTGGAAAGTGTAACAAAAAAAACCTGCTCCGCGGGAGCCCTCTTTGTTTCCTTTGTATAGATATTCAATAGACCATATACAGTCATATCCTCTGCGTGTTCTTGTGCTTGTATTTGTTCTCATATATAATATTTTGAACTATGCCTATTATAGCAATAATTTCCCTGGACTTACTTCACCTTAATTCTGTTTGTGTAATGTTGGCACTTGCGCTCAAGCTGCCAAACCACAGCGCTATGTTCGAGACTCCACTCGCTGTAGCACCACCTACAAGTTAGGCGCGTCTCCTATTCACATCATCCTCATCGGCTGCGTCGGTGCCACCAAGACTGACCCTCCATACTCTATTTTCTTTTCATTCCCAGCAGAGGACTCAGAAACGTCTTTGAAATTGGCACAATGGCTGCCGTCGCCATCGCAGATGTAGCTCCGCTTCTTCAAGAGTACGCGGTTAGCGCTGCTAGCTGCCTTGCCCTCATGTTCGCCTACGTAGCTTGGAACCGAGCATCGAGCGATTCTCTTCACTTTGTATCAGGCATGCTTGTCCCAGTGTTAAGCTGGGGCTGGTTAGGTCTCGTATCCCGTATCGTGCCTGAACCATATCTAGTACGTCCACGCCTCCTTGTCCAGGATCACTCACCTAGCTAACCGAACCAGGACGAGATATTCCATATTCCACAGGCGCAAAAGTACTGCCAGGGCAAGTACCTAGAATGGGATGACAAGATTACTACCCCGCCTGGATTGTACGCCCACTCGCTCCAAGAAGATATTGATGAATTACTAATAGTGTGTAGATACTTTGTGAGCATTGGCATGAAAAAGGTGGCGGATCTGATTGATCCAAACGGCCTGCACTGCGACCCATGGTTTCTGCGCATGACCAACGTCGCCGGCCTCTGCCTCATCAGCCAGGTCGTTATGCTGTGTCGTACGTATCTGGAGAAGCGTCCAGGCACGTTCTACAAGGAAATGTCCATTTACGCGATCCATACGTCATTCAACGTCGCCATGTTCCCGTTGCTCTTCTTCTTCAGCGGCCTGTACTACACGGATGTTCTATCAACACTCGTCGTCTTGCTCTCGTTTATCAACCATATTATGAGAGTAAGACACTCAGTATCGGGCATCCTGAGCGACTTGACGACTGTCGTGCTGGGTCTCGTCACACTGTGGTTCAGACAAACCAACGTCTTCTGGGTAGTTGTTTTCATGGGCGGCCTCGAAGCAGTCCATGCCATCAAGAGCATTGCTCCCAAGAGGGTAGAGCAGCCTGTTGTTCGCACACTGTCTGAGCAGCTCAAGTTTTTTGCCTGGCAATACTCCCTCGGCGAGGTGCACGATCTCTCGCTGAGCAAAGCTTACCCCGACGGTACGTACTGCCACACATTCAAGAATGCAGAATGCTAACCATACTAGACATGCTCTTCACGGTGATTAGTCTCGCGATAGCAGTCGTCTGCAATCCCATCCGCGTTATTCGCCAGATCTGGCCGTACGTGTTCGTCCTCGGTTCCTTTGCCGGTTTTGTCTATTGGAACGGCAGCGTCGTCCTTGGTAAGTTTATCACCTCTCTATTATCAGACACAACTAACACATTCAGGTGATAAATCCAACCACGTCGCAACCATCCACTTTGCTCAACTGCTCTACATCTGGCCCTTTTTCGCCTTCTTCTCATGGCCACTTCTGCTCCCTGGCCTTCTGCGACCCTTTCAAGTCGCCGCCTACTTCTTCCCGGGCAACGCATCGACCAAGCCAAAGGCTGCACCGACAACAGACAAGTCCTTCTTTCTGCGCGCCGTCGCTGGTTTCTTCAACTACCGCATCCTGTGGCCGTACTACCTCGTTGGCACGGCCGTTGCATCGTTCCTAGTAGTCAAGTTCAACACCATCATCCATCCCTTCACCCTGGCCGATAACAGACACTACATGTTCTACATTTTCCGCTACACTATCCGCCGCTCCGAGATGCACCGCATCCTGCTCATCCTGCCGTACACTCTTGCGCGCTGGCTCGTCTGGGACGGCCTAGGCGGATTCAAGGACTGGACAGACACTGCCCTCAGCGCCGACGAATCTGTAAACTATCCCTTCTGGATTGCCACAGACGCCAGCAAACACCAGATGCCGCAAGCTAAGCAGGACACCAAAGCTGAAAAGACCATTACCGTGGAAGATGCTCCCAACGCAGCCACGACAGTCACTACATCAACAGCCCTCATTTTCCTGCTGGCAACCGCTCTTTCGCTCGTCACCGCGCCTCTTGTCGAGCCGCGATACTTTATCATCCCATGGGTCATGTGGCGTATCCTCTTACCGTCCTGGAGCATCCCTCTCACTGGTACACTGTCCGAGATCCCCATGGTGCACCTTCTCGCCGACGCCTTGGGCGGCTACGATCCTCGCCTCGTCCTCGAAACGCTTTGGTACCTCGCCATCAGCGCTGTCACAGGATACATCTTCCTATTCAAAGGCTACGTGTGGAAAGCTGAAGACGGCACGATCTTGGAAGGCGGGCAGCTACAACGCTTCATGTGGTAGAATGAAAGGGTAAATGGTTGATGGTGGTGCAATTATATGCTATTCTGTTCAGTCTTGACAGATCTGTTATAATGTAAAATAAAACAAAAGACAAAGTACTCAAGCCCCCCGAAAAATGCTCCATAAACGCCAAATCCGTGTCCCATAAATAATCATAACCCAACACAAAACATAAAACTCATAAACCAAGCCGTGTGGCTTAGAGGCTCAGTCGATCCAGGCTCAAGCCGTCATTACTCTTGATTCTTCGCACGACACCAACCTTGAAAAAGGTCTCTTCGCCGCTAACGCCCTTGCCGCCAATATACCAGCCCGATGTGCCGATGGCGTCGCGGAAGCCTTCTGACGAGCTATCGCTGCCGCGCCGTCTCCCCGACGCCCCTGGAATAGGCATCGCATTTCGCGGCGAGTGGATAGTCACGCTCGTATTCCTCGCGGCGGCCGCAGCCGCAGCCTGGATGGTTCGTGGCCGTGAAGCAGAAGTCGCTGCCACTGCAGTCTGTGTCGACGACGCAGTGACCGTCTGTGTGCTTGTTGTTGGCTGCTTAGCCTGCTGTTGCTGCTGCTGCTGTTGCTGCTGTGTGAGAGGATGCGGCTGTGGGCGAAAGGCGGCGAAAAAGGAGGAGAGGAAGTACTGGCGCTGAGAAGGCATGCTTGGGCTCGCTTGCCTTACAGCAGAGTATCGGGATGATGGTGTTGGCTTGCTGCTATTATCGACGGGCGGACAAGGCGCGCCCTGTTGTTCCTGGCAGAGAGCGTCTGTGGCGGCGGGATGGCGGTCGGTTTGTCGCTGCGCCGTGAACAAGCAAGCAGCGCTTTTTGTTTTCTTCGCGATGGGCAAGCAGAAAGATGCGTCGTTTTTTGTGTGAAAAGAAGCAGAAATCTCGATGACGCCGGACCTACGGCGACTCGGTAAAAGCCGGGGCCTTTGCACTTTTGGCGTTGAGTAATGGCGGGGTTGTCACTGGTTCAATAGTGCAGCGGGTCTGCAGAGCCAAACAGCGTGGGGCACGTGAGGTGGGTGGTTTCGGCTGTTGACGGGTGCTGCCACTGTCGTAGTGACTCTAGCTACCCTGATGTCACTTGTTTTTGGGGGTGAAGAGTGCGGCACAGTACGTGAAGCGAGCAAAAGGGAAAAAAAATTACTTACTTAGTGTAGAGTATTATATAATTATAAGAGCTTAAATTCCATTTTGTTTTTTTTCTTTGTCCCGTTGTAGGAGGGCATGGGGCGCGAGAGGGGCCTGATAGTTGTTAATCAGAGGCGGGAAAAGGAACAGCCAAACACCGATCATTGCAGCAAAATGGCGATAACTAATTTTAATTATGAGATGCCCTTCTTAAAGACTACTAATATAATATTTATATTTAAGCAAACATACTGATACGCTTTGCTCTTTTTTTTTTTTTTTATTTCAGAGATGGATTTTATGACAGGCTTGTTTTTCAATGTACATAGCCGTACACTACACCATATGTGTCTATCCGCCATGCACGTTGAGCACACGGTAATAACCAAGAGACGAGCCAGGTTGACTTGTATATAATTTGATAATGATTCTAATGATTCTAAGGGATCGATACTTTATACATGTAGCGGACGGACCATGGCTCCGATATTGTTTTAGGTATTGGCCTGATGACAACATTATCCCACCATAACGAGGAATGGCGAAATGTACATGTATATTAATACGCAATATACATCCTATTTATACGTAATATAAATAGACTTTAAGCATAACTAGTATACGCGAGCCTTATATGCAAGTAATATAAGTATGTCTTGTTTAAAGACCATGTGAGCTAGCCATTTCCGTAGAAGCGTGAGCTCTACTTATGAGTATTATAAGAGAGCCTTGTTTGTACGTAATATATACCAGCCTTATTAATAGATTATATAAATGAGTCCTCTTTAGGCGCAATATATATGGACGTGCTTCTGAGTAATATAACGCGACCTTGTCTAGAGTAATATAAACAATTCTTGGCTAGTGCAATATAAACGAGCCTTGTTTACGACCAGCGTGAGAAATACTATAGGAATCACATAATATCTGTTAAAAATGTACTTTTGATAACTATAAGATTGCTTTGCTAGATTTATCATTTTCAGATTATGGTACGACTACTGCAGTACAGCAGCTTCCATCACATACCTAAACACCACAATAGCAGACAGAGTTCTGATATATTACTTTACTTATCAACAGCCATGTTACGGAGTGTTTCTTTAATAGTTCTGCTACAGCTTGCTGTGGTAACTTCAGGCATGCCCCACGACACTGAGGGAGAAGGCATGTTTGCTGGCGACACCGCCTTGCAGACCAGCGCACCTCCCGAGATACCAGGTTCTGGCGTCCTCTCGGAATTTGGCCAAGGCATCGTCGAGAAAGATTACCGTCAGGGCAGAGTGTCCATGATTGAAGCACCGGCAGGGAGCCTGATTCACTACAAGGCCATCTATCATGATGAGGTGGGCGATTATAAAAACGCAACCCCAGGCGTGGCGCACGGCAACCACACAGTCACAGCAAACCACACGGGCTCCGCGAATCACACAGTTGTGGCGAGATGGGAGGCAGGCAAAGAATTCTACGCCTGGTGTGCTGCAAATGCCCCATGGGGCGCATTTAACGTGGCCTGGAAAGCATGGAAAGGCAGCAGAACCGATATTCGCAACGCAGCGAAGGGGTGCTTGGAGGGCATGCGACAAGTTGCTGAGTCAAACTGTGGCCTTTCACGAGTTATTGTCGGCAGCGGCGATTGTGTGTGTGGATATATCTTGGGTGACAAGATTGATGCTGTTCAGTTCGGGTCTGCCAACTCCGCCGTCGGCGGGCTTGCTTGGGCAAAGGAGCAAATCGACTACAATTATAATTATCTCAATGCGAATGTCTGGCATCGCAATATCCGCGACCGCAACTATCGCGTTGGTATTGCTGTCGGTTGCCGCCAGGGTGTGGATGAAGAGAAGCGTGTAAATGCTCAGTTGGATCTATGGCATAAGGGTGATGACTACCAGCGCAGTGATGACTCTGGGCGTACAACGGGCATCAAATTGAGTGGCAAGCCATCTGAGCCAGACCATAAGCATGATGAGCTATAGATATAGATAGCCAGCCGATACTACTATAAATAAACATCATAGAAGACTAGTCCATAGGCAATCAACACCATCTCTCGTAATATATCAGGTTCGTATCGAACTCTTGTTAACTCTATTTTATAGGGCATTTTGGGGCTATAGGATTGTTGGGAAATCATGTATGACACTCATAATGATTAATGGCAAGAGTTTCTTTTTGTTTCGAAGGTATTTGTCGTCTTTCTTCGTCATCATAGCAACATCCGCACGCCTCATTACGTGAAGCCAGCACGACCTCATATGCCCGACAGCTTCCGCGTCTGCATCTCCAAAATCGGCTTACATGCAATAATGATGGAAGCGGATTATCGGCATTTTGCCTTTTCCGTTGCTACTGCTTTTTACGGTATACCTCATGGGTGTGCGGGTGTGTGAATCAAAGATACCGCAGCTACCCAAACCAAATTCAAGGCTGCGGCTGCGGACTTTGTCCAAACAAGGCGTCGAGCATCACAGAAGGGATGCATCATGGTGTTTTTTGATTTATAATACGCGCCACGAATTCGTAATAGTAATAGTAAATTCAAACTATATAAATGGCTTGTCCAACACACTCAATTACACTTCTGGGAGCTATATAATTGGCGCCTACGATATCAGTTATCGCCTCTCGAAATGTCGAAACTTAAGCTTCTACTAGTTGGAGCATCTGGATACATGTAAGTCCACGTATAAAAATGAACTGAAAGCCGAGCTAATGAATTGGCAGTGGTGGGAGCATTTTGACCTCCCTTGTGGAAGCGAACAAAGATACGCATTCGTTCACCATTTCGGCGCTCATCCGGGATGCATCACACGCAGACACCCTAAAGAAACTTGGCGTGGAAGCTTTTATTTTCAAGGGCCTGGATGATACCGTATATCTGGAGAAAGTCTCCCAAGACTTTGACAGTACGTATATTATATACACATGTTAACCTGGCTAACAACAAATTTAGTCGTTGTCAATGCGGCCTCAGGATGGCATACGGAGGCTGCCCTCGCCATGATTCAAGGTCTCGGCGCAAGAAAGAAGAGCCTCGGCACAGAGGTCCACTATCTACACATCTCTGGCACATCGAATCTTACAGATCGACCTCACAGTGTCGGTTATGTCGAGACACGCACGTTCTCCGACGAAGAAGACATCTACTCCTATGAAAAGTACAGGGAGTCCTTTGAAGTGTACCCCCAGAGAAGGAATGATATCGTTGTGGCCGATGCTGGCGAGGAACTGCAGGTGCGAACATATGTCATTATGGCACCTATTGTCCACGGAATTGGCACCGGGCCTTGGAACAAGGTGACATTTATTCTCAACCCGCGTGTGGATGCGGCCATTGTATACGGAGACTGGGCTGTTATTGGCGACGGCAAGACTGTCTGGAGCCATGTCCATGTGCAAGATCTGGCAGCATTCTATGTAGTGTTGCTGAACCATATTTCTTCTGGACACACCGGCATGGCTTATGGTAAGAAGGGAATTTACTTTTGCGAGTCGGGGCAAGCCTCGCATATGCAGCGGACTCGCGATCTGGCAGACATTGGACAGCGGTTGGGCATCACCACGTCGAACACTGTTAGTAGCATCGGCCTGGAGGAGGCAGCTCAGCGCTGGACCGGGGGATTAGTTCCACTGGCTGAGACATCAAGCGGTGCCAAGTAAGTTTTCCTTGTTCACTACTAACAAAAGAAAAGAGAAACTGACTTTATTATCTAGCTCGCGATCAAGTGCTGTAATGGCGCGCAAGTTGGGCTGGGTTCCTCAGCACGGGACGGACTGGACCCTTGATTTGGAGCAGAGTATGGCCATGTATCAAAAGACTGCTTCATTCAAAGAGCTGTGGGCAAAGCATCGAAAGACGAAGTAGTTAGGTCTCTTTACAATCACTTGGTGACGACAGGTATAAGTTGTCCATTAATTGAGGGGCCGGCAGCAAGCAGCATGTTAGCAAACGTACTTTTAAAATTCGATGATGAATCTAAATATTAGCCCTTGTGGGTAGATACAGTAATAATTATGATGTGATTAATAAAAATGAAGTTTATTTTCAACGTAAGCGCCGCGTATACATCGGTCTGTGCTGGCTGCATATGGACTAACACGCTCACACGACACTGTAGAGCACCGCAGCAGAGAACACTGCCCACCCTATTTTCTCCCAACAAATAAACGCAAACAAAACCTCAAACCTTCCGTCAAAGAAAACAACACCCTTTCACACCCAACATCTCCTGCAGCCAACTTCATTTCAGCCCTGCGCGGCCTTCTAGAATATTCCCGCCACCATTGTTCGCCGCCCGCCCCACCATCCCGTCCACAACCCCGATCTCCAACATCATCAACTCCGCGTCCTCCGCACTTTCTCCCACTTCTACTTCCTCGCCGCACTCCGCTCTTTCTCCTCTCCTCCTCTTCTTCTCTTCTACCAAACCCACATCCATCCGAACTCTTATCCACAGCCCCGACCATGTCGCGATCGATAGAGCTCAAGGAAGAAGGCAACCGCCACTTCCAGGCAGGCGACTTTGTCGGCGCCGAGTCGCTCTACTCCAAAGCGTAGGGTCTCCCATTTGTCTTTGATCTCCTATTCCAGTCCGCTAACCATCCTCTCAGAATCATCGTCGACCCGAAAAACCCTGCCCTCTACACCAACCGCGCCATGGCCCGCCTCAAGCTCGCCTACTGGGACTCCGTCATCACCGACTGCGAGGCTGTGCTCGAGCTGCCCTCGGGCGCGACTAATATCAAGGCCCATTATTACCTCTCACAAGCACAACTTGCGCTGGGCTCGCCGGCCGCTGCCCTCCCGCACGCTCTTAAGGCGCACGAGCTCTGTGCCGCTGCGAACGATAAGTCGCTGGCTGCTGTGACGGCCGTGGTGCTCCGATGCAAGAAGGAGAAGTGGGAGCAGGAGGACCGGCTGCGTATCCGTGAAGAGCAAGCCCTCGAACGAGAGATGCTCGCCTTGTTACAAAAGGAGCTGGATAGCGATGTGGCGGCCGAAGAGGACGAGATGGAAAAGTCGGCGCTGCGGGAGGAGGGCGCGGCCAAGAAGGCTCGCCTGGAGGCCATGTTCGAGCGTGCGCGCTCAAAGGCTGAGCAGCGGCGAGAAGTGCCTGACTGGCTGATTGACGATATCTCCTTTGGCGTCATGGTCGACCCTGTTATTGTAAGTGTACACAACTGATGAGACAAAGGGGACCTCTGCTAACTAGAGCTGAAATCGCAGACCAAGACGGGCAAATCCTACGAACGAGCATCCATTACTGAACATCTACGCCGGCACCCCTCTGATCCGTTAACAAGAGAACCCCTGACTATGGAGGATTTACGGCCAAACATGGCGCTGCGGAACGCATGCGAAGAGTTTCTCGAAGAAAACGGCTGGGCTGTCGACTGGTAGAGCGGAACAACTTGTATTTATTCACTTTGCATGGTTAGCGATCTCACTATTCCTGTACATTACACCCTCACGTCCTGCGCGCATCACTCGATAGGCGTTTTTTCTTTTCTTTTTCACATTCTTCAGCAAATACGTTAGAGTGTAGGCGATGCATCATATACCATTAACATCATAACATAATACTATAAACGTAGACCTATACAAGAATACACAGTCGCTTAAACGTCAAGCAATGCCCCGCGCGCGAATAAAACAAGAATATACAACTCCAGTCTCTATAATGAAACCCAAGAAAGGAACCGCAGAAAAAGAGTCAAAAAAGTGTAAATGCTTTTTTGGAAGGTCGTGATTTATATCGGTCGGCCATCATGGTGCATGTGATGGCGGTGCGCGTGCAGATCGTCTTCTCTACTACGGCTGCGACTCTGGCTCTGCTCGCCGCGCTCGCGGCTACCGCTGCCGCCTCGCTTCTTCTGCTCCTCTTCCTTGACAAGCCCCAGACGCTCCTCTTCAGTATTGTCCGGGCTCTTGCGGAAGACGCGGTTAAATGAGAACTGGCGCTTTGCGGGGAACGGGTTTGTCGGCAGGCCAGGGAAGGCTGTGGTGCCGCTGCCCGTGGTGGCGGTTGAGTCTGCGCGTGCGCCGCGGTACGATGTATCGCTGTCAAAGGTGATGTGGTGCTGCTGTTGATGCTCATGGCGAGGGAAGTAGGTGCCCTGCTCGAGGTCCTCGTCGACGGCAGAGTGAGGGTGTGGCGGGATGTCGTTCAAGGGAACAGCGCGGATGCCGGGGCTGCGCATCTTGCCGTCCTCGTCGCCGTACGACGGGGGCATTGTGGCGTTTGTGCGAGCGCGGCCGCGGATGCTGCCGACAATCGATGAGAGCATAGTGCTAGGGCGGCTGACGGGGCGTGTCTGATCGAGTTCTTCTTGTGTTGGGAAGTAGGACATGCCGAGCGGAGGGTGCTCGCTGGGAGGGGGCGGCGTGAAAGTCGGCACGGGCACGGGGACTTCGCCGGGAGCAGTGACGGCGCGGCCGCGGCGGCTGGCGAGGGTCTTGCGGCGTCGTAGACCGTCCCATTCGTATTGAACAGGCTGGCCGTCTTCGCTGATGGCGCCGAGGCCGTCCATGGACTTTTCCTCGTGCAGGCGCTGCAGCTCGTTGGCTTCCATGCGCATGCGCACCTGTGAGATGCGGCGGACAATGGCGGCTGCCCCTCGGATGGCATCGGCCTTGGGCTCTGATTCGGGCTGTTCTTGCTCGGCAATCGTCTGGATCTGGTCGAGGTCGCCGCGGAACACGGCGGTATCGGGAACATCCTTGGCGGACTTGGACAGTTGCAGCAGCACGACACCGGAGCAAATGACAAGGAACCCGAGCACGACCGTTACTATGTCCTGAGGGGTGCCCTTGAAGCCGCGGAAGAGGACGGAAGAGGTGATGATGGTGGTGCTGGTAAAGTAGACGTAGTATGTGGGTGTGACCATGGCGGCGTTGAAGAGGTTAAGCGCTTTCTGTAGAAGGGTTGGTTGTTAGCAATGGATGAGGAAGGGATTCAATTGTAGACTTGCATTGAGGTAGATGATTTCGGTGAGAAGCGTGCCAATGACAAAGACGAAGAGAATCCAGAGAAAGGGTTCCTTGTACTGAGGCTGGCCGCCTATCCAGGCAATGATGGAGGCACCAAGGCCCTGTGTGCAAACGACACTGAGGCCACCAATCCAACTGCAGATGGAGATGTAGACAAGCATGTTCTTGTTGCCGTATTTGGGGGCGACAAACCATGCGACAGCTATCGAGCCGACAATGATGATGCCTGCATAAGTCAAGAAACCCGGCGATATCATAAAGTGCTGCATTTCCTGAATGTTTGCGACGGACGACTCTTGCGGCGCATGCAAGACGATGACGACGGAGCCCACTATGCACAGAAAACAAGCGACCTTGCCGACGATACTGAGCCGCTCCTTGAGGAAAATGGCAGACAGGACGGTGGTGATAACGACCGACAGGGCTCCAAGCGGCGTGACGAGAATGGCATCCGTAAAGGCATACGCGACAAAGTTGCAGATCTCGCCGACAATCATGAGCGTCATGCCCGCCCACCAGTAAAAGTTTTTGAGGTAGCCGTAGCCCTCGCCGGCAACTTCGTTATACTTGTCGTTGGCTTTGAGCAGGCCGACCTTTTTCAGGACAAACGAGGTGCCAATAAAGGCGCCCGAGCCGACAGCCAGGCCAATACCCACGGCTTTGTAGAAGGCCGGGCGATCGTTGCCCGTAGCCAGCCGGGCCGCAATGTCCGAGGTATGGTCCATGTAGTCCATTGTATGTGTGACAATCTATAGATTTCGGAGGAGGAGGAGGAAAAAAAAGACAGGCAAGGCCGCGTCGAGGCTGGCCCAGCTGTAGAAGCGGGAGGAGGAGGAGGGGAGACGAGGAGCTGGTACTAGAGACTGTGCTGCTGCATCTGTTGGCGGGGGTTGTATTCTCTTTGTGTATTTCGGTGTCGAGTGCGAAATTCGAAAAGAGTCGTGAATGCTTATGCGTCTTGTAAAAAGAGGAAGAGTGGCTGGGCTGGCGGTTCAAGAACAATGATGGTTGTGTCGTTTAAAGGAGCACGTCGGCTGCGTCCTAGCGCTCAAGCCACGCACGGAGCCTGGATTTACGGACAAGGCGCACGCAAGGTTTTTGCTTAGAGTTGCTTTGCAGAGGTTAACTTTTTGTCTTGCTGCAGTAGCTAACAAGAAGAAAAAAATTACCGTAGAGTGACAAAGACAAAAAGTTGGAAAGGGGGCGACGTCACAAGAAAAAAAAGGAAACCGACAATCTGGCGATCATCCTTGTTTTGTTGGTTGCCATCGCTACAGCGCTTCCCTGGAAAGCGTTATAGTGTTCTAGCGTCGTAGCGTCGTAGCGCCAGCGCTAAAGGGACCATGCAAAAAAGCAGGGGTGCGAGAGGGGACAAAGGGTCCCACGTTGTGTTTCGGCGGGGGTTCAGTTTACAGCGGGAACTGGAGGGAGCTTACAGCGCTGTGGTCCGCTAAAAAGTTATGCTTGGACAAAGCGTGCGTTGCCTTGTAAGAGAGAGGGGCTGTGCACTCACTCCTCTGTGTGGATGTTTCAGCAGCCTTGAGAACGGGAAAAATGCAGGAAAAAAAAGAAAATGGCCAGGAATAGCAGCAGCAGTATCTCCACAGCCAGCCGGAAAATTTCATCCAAAAAAAGAATTGCGATAGGAAAGCTATGGCATTTTGCGAGGAGGCGACCGACAACCGAGACGATATCTATGGGGGATATGCGAGCTGAGTGAGAGCGAGAGGTGTAGTCTCGATAACACGACAAGAGGATGATCCTGACGTATGGTACTATTACAGTGATGTAACGTGCTGTAACAAGCTGTAACGTGCTCTACAATGCCATACTGTACGCTTCTTGCGGTCCCGTATTGGCGATGCTGATGGTGGTGATGGTGGTGGCTGAGCGTGGCGCGTATTCGCATAGCGTCCAGCAAAAGCAGAAAAAAGTCTGGAACAACGCTGGGAGGCCGCTGTAGGCTCCAGTCCACCCTACAGACGTGGCGATTATGGTTATCGGCTGCAGCAGCAGATCCCACTTCATAGGCGAGCCTTGCTGGCTGTTGTTACTTGTTCAAGACAAAGCGTGGCGTGGCGCAAGGGGGGGGGGGATGATGCGACAAGCCCCACCCGCTGCAGGTTTGCGCTGTGTGCTCAACTGTGCCTGCTCCTGGTAGGTGTCCTGCGAGGCTTGAAACTTTACAGCAGCCTTCGCCCACTGTAATGAGTTTTCCCAGTGACCATCAGTGCTCCACTGAAAAAACGTAAGAGGAGGCGCCACCCCTCCAACCATCCCAGCTGTCCCCCGCTAATAGCACCGGCGCCAGCAATAGCGCCGCTCTGTTTCTAATTGTAGCACCCGTGCCGCTGGCTTAGGCTTATGTGCCTTGATTGGGTTAGCTTGCCCGCTGTGATGCATCCGCCGGTGTGTCCCCGCGAAGGCAACACGTTGCCTGGACCTGTCTTTTCTCTTCGACGCACACGACACGCGCCGTTTGCTTGCACTCTGCATACGCGCTTGTTTATTTACTGGCCCTTTTTGTTGAGCTGCTCAGACACGCGACTGACTGTGGCACCAATTATTTCATCACTGAGAAGAAAAAATAAAAATACAGAAAACAGGGAGAATCTACAGAACAAGGCTCTGTGGGAGAAAAGGCTCCACGCCACGATTAAGCTCCCACCCCGTTTCACTTGCTGGCCTCTAAGCGCCAAGCTCTCCTCTCCCGCCTCCACGTGATCCACTGCCAGCGCCGGTAATAGCTTAGGCTGGCTATTGCAATTGCTGTTGGTGCTGTTGGTGCTGTTGGTGCTGTTGCTAGTAGAGCTCTCGCAGCCTGATCCGACCAACATCACCACTTGGATGGTCCAAACACACTGCACGGTCCGATCAATCATGCTACAGCAGCGATCCAAGTAGCCAATCATGTTGGACCTTGAACTTTATGACCGTCTACGCGAGCTCAACATCACCATTGAAGGCGTTCAGAATGTATTGTCCATTGTTGTACTCTTTCTCTGGTGTACCGCTTTCATCTTCCCGACCAAGATTCGCCTAGAGAACAATGTCGAGGAATATGTCACCCCCATCAACTTCAAGCTGTTTCTTTCCCACCGCGAATCCGTAACAGTCCTTGTCTTTCTGAGCTGGCTTCCGTGCTGTGCTGTCGCCTTGTCTTACTATACGTCTTACATCCCTAGTAATGACTTGATCGAGAACAAGCTCCGAGAGATTACACCCATTGTAAGTACGATGTTCCCAGAGATGAGGCAAGAGTTGAAGTAGCAATTGGCTACGCAATAGAAAAGATATCATACAAAATAAATGGGAGAGATAATCGCCATTCCGTACACAAGACTAACACTGGTGCACTAGCTCTACCTCGGCGTCTGCTGCATGGGCTTCTTCAGAGCCAAAAACTACACCGCCGGCTTCCTCATAGCCGTGTGCGGCATCTTGATCAGTGCCACCATCATTGCAACGTCTACTATCGACCTCTTGAAGCCAGACATTGATCCAGTTAACCATACACGTGCCCTTGCGCTGCTAACGGGCTCTGTTGCTACACTATGCTCCTTTGCTGGTTTACGCCGCTATCCAGATGTCTCGTTTGACGGAGAGACGCTGGATCGCCAGGCATTTGCGTCTGTTTTGGAGTTCCTGTCTTTTTCCTGGGGCGCCGACTCGTACAGCGACCATGCCAATCCCGCCGCAAAGATACGTGAGCTTCCCGGGCCCCGGCTGCGATACCGTACCTCGGAGGTTGTTAAGCGCACCACCCCGTATGATTCCAAGACCAGCCTCTGGTCGTGGCTATTCAAGGTCTACAGAGGTCCGTTCATTCTCCAGTGGGTTGTAATCATCGTCAAATCAGCCTTTGCCGTGGTCCCTCCGTACTTTGTCTTGCAGTTTCTGCAGGCTTTGGAAGCACGAGAGCCCAGGTCGCCAACCACGCCCGCCCTTCTCCTCCTTGTCGTGGGAATCGCCGTATCCGCCTTTGCGGACAAGTTTGTAAACATCCTCGAACAAACCATCACGTATCGCTGGCTTAGACAGCCCATGGCGGCGCTGCTCCAGTCCATGATCTACAGAAAAGCACTGCGCCTCGAAAATGCAAACGATCCAGATCCAACTTCCGAATCCAAAAGCACCCAGAAATCAACCAGGGCCATCATGGCTCATATGCGTAACGACGTGTAAGTAGAAGCCCTAAAAGACTGCCTAGTCGCCTTTATCTAACCATTTGCTACAGTTCCAAGGTAGCCGGCGCTACACAGGATTTGACCAAAATGCCCGTGGCCTTTTTTGAACTAGCCTTTGCCTCCTACTTTTTAGTACAGCTGCTCAGCTATAGAGCTGTTTTCTTTGGCATTGCCATTGCCGTTCTCAGCCTCCCGACAGGAGCCCTTTTTTCCAACCACTACCGCATTCTGCAAAACAACCTGACCATCCACAGAGAAGGGCGCATGTCGTTACTTACACAGGTACTCCGGAATATCCGCCAAATTCGATTCTCTGGCTCAGAAGACTTTTGGATTAAAAAGATCCTTGAAGTTCGACGACGCGAGCAAGCAGACGACTGGTCTGCCGGCCTGGCCATGAGCACATATGTCTTCTTGTCCAATTTGAGCTTGGTCTGCCTCGGAGCCGTCCCGCTCATCATGCATGCCTTGGAACATGACGGCATCACCGCCTCGGTTGCATTTACGTGCATGAATCTCTTCAGCACCGTCAACGGCTCGATATCCATGGTCCCGCTGGCGTGGTCGTTTGGAATGGAAGCGAGGGCTGCGGCTCACCGTCTTGAGGCGTTCTTCCGTCGAGCGGAGCGCGCCGAAGTCATTGTTCCATATGAAAAGATCATCTTTGACCATGCGTCCATAACTTGGCCAACATCTGTGAGCGAAACCGACCGCGAGGTCTTTCGGCTAAGCGACCTCGACTTTGGATTTCCACCTAAGCGCTTTTCCCTCATCTCCGGGCCTACTGCTTCGGGCAAGACACTGCTTCTCAATGCCATCCTCGGTGAAGTCAAGCTCCTGTCTGGGCAAATCAAGTCGCCTGCAGGCCTGCCGTCTAATTCCAACGGATCTCCTCGTGTCGCCTTTGTCTCGCCCAACCCGTGGATGGAGGACACTACAATCCAAGAAAACATTCTCTTTGGCGCCGAGCCTGATAACCTACGATACCGCATGGTGCTCGAAGCTTGCGGACTCCGACCCGATCTCCGGCTCTTAAAGGACGGCGACCAGACTGAGCTGGGCCCCAAGGCAGCAACCCTCAGCGGGGGTCAGCGCTGGCGCTTGTCCCTCGCGCGAGCCTTGTACTCCCAAGCCAAAACCATTGTTCTGGGTGACATTATGAGTGCGGTCGACGTCCAAATGAGAGAATGGCTTCTCAAGCACGCACTGACAGGCGAGTTGGCCAGAGGGCGAACCATCATCCTGGCGACGCACCACATTGACCTGTGCCGACCACGAGCCTCGTTTCAAGTGCACCTCGCCGATGGCAAGGTTGCCCGTACAGAGCGCCTTACTCCCGTCGAGTATCGAATTCCGCGATACGAGGACTACTCTGAACGCTTTGGAAGCGATGACACGGAGAAGTCGACCAAAAAGCCAACCACAAAGAAGCCTTCTAAATTTAATGGATGGGAAAGCCTTGGCATCTGGATGCAGGTCAGCGGTCCATCTGTAGTGTGGCCTCTTATGCTCTTGGCTATCGTGCTCCATCGCGTGTTTGTAAACATCACACAGTGGTTGATGAAGGAGGTTACGAATCTGCTACAGGGCGACGAGATAGAAAGCTCATGGTTAAAGGTCGACCAGATACCGGGGGATCCGCCTACGTATCACGAAATCCTCGTGAGTCTGCTTCAGCTCTATCTCATCGCAAACGTAACCAGCTGCATCTTTGTAGCAGCATACAACGTCTTCAGCTATGTCATTGCCCAACGAACAAGCAAGGTCCTCTTTGAAGACATGATCCAGGGCGTGTTCCGCGCCATGCTTGACTGGGTAGACAATGTTCCGCGGGGCGAAGTCAACAGTCGGTACATGGGCGACATCAAGGCTGTGGATTCATACTTGCAGCCCAGCGTGGCGCATCTCATCAGCAGCGTAGTCAACGTAGTGGCCATCATCATCGCCTGGTAGGTCTTACTCACAAAATTCCAAGCTGTCATCTACTAACATACACCTTTTCACAGTGGCAAGGTGTCTGGGGCCGTATGTCTCTGCGCCTGCGTCCTCCTAGTCGGAGTCTGGTACAACAGCAGCTCGACGCTTCCCATTTCAGAGGAGCTTCAAAAGACCGAATCCGCGTCCCACGCACCCATCTTTGACAGAATGTCGTCGCTGCTTGCCCCGGGTGGCCTCACCACCGTGCGTGCGTACCGTCGCGAAGAAGACTTTATCGACATGATGCACGAGCGAATCGACAACCAGTCGACAGCAGGCTGGGCCCAGCTTCTGTGTACCGAATCCAGCGCGATGAACACTCGCCTGATTGGCCTTGTGCTGCGAGCCACCATTGCCATTGCCGCCGTCCAATTCCAGACGCCCGCCAGCACCGTAGGCTTTGTATTAACAGTCGAGGGCAACTTTACCCGTGCCGCCAGCGATGTACTCTCACGAGTCATCAGCCTACAAGGCCTACTCCAATCCGCCGGCCGCGTCCACGAATACGGCACTATGCCGCGCGAGCGCCTGAGCGGCTTCGACGCCCCCAAAGCATGGCCTTCCCGCGGCGAAGTCGTCATTGACAACTTCTCCGCCGGCTACGACGACAAGACGCCCGTTCTGAAACGGCTCAATCTTACCTTTGCCGCGGGCTCACGCGTCGGCATTGTCGGCCGCACCGGCGCCGGCAAATCGTCCTTCACGCTCGCGCTGTTCCGCCTCATCGGTGCCCTCCACGGCAGCATCAAGATTGACGGCGTCGAGCTCTCGACGCTGAAACTGCAAGTCCTGCGCAGCAAACTCTTCATCATCCCGCAAGACCCGTTCCTCTACGGCGGGACGCTCCGCGCCAACATCGACTCTGAAGGCAAATACACGGATGCGCAGATCAACAAAGCGCTCGTTAAAGTGCAGATTGGTCTGCCTCTTGACTTTGACGTTGCTGATGGCGGGGGTAATCTCTCACAGGGCCAGCGGCAGCTGATTTGCCTGTCGAGAGCGCTGCTGGCGCGGCCTAAAGTGCTTGTGCTGGACGAGCCGACGAGTTCGGTGGACATGGAGACGGATGGGATTGTGCAGCGCGTGCTGAGAGAGGACTTTAAAGATAGCACGATGATTGTGATTGCACATCGCTTGTCGTCTGTGGCGGACTTTGATAAGATTGTTGTCTTGAATGAGGGTGTTGTTGCGGAGGAGGGGGCGCCGGCGGAACTGGTGGCGAAGAAGGGTGCGTTTTGGGATATGGTTAAGAAGAGTACGGATAAGACGACACTTCTTGCTGCTATTCAGCAGAGTGCGGGTTCCTCTTCTGCGGCTAGTTGAATTGGAGGAGGGAATATGCGCCGTGGCTCGTTGGAGGATTAGTGTGATTGCCACCCTGTGCGGGTAGGCGATGGGGGTTTGTGTGTTTGTAGTCTACTCTTTCTACATTTTTTAAGTTTCTATAAGTTTTGAATTTATATGTACTTCAATTCAATTTTATCACATCTATTCTAAGAATTTATGCCGATGTGAATCGCCTACATGTGGTGGTGGATAGTGTTACTAGTAGCGCTGGTGCTCCTCGGCGCTGAGCATCTTCTGAAAATAGGGCAAGCTCAACTACACCGCACTCAAGCCGCAGCTGAAATGATTGCCGTTCTTTCTGCTTCCCATTTCTGATAATGGCCGTGCCATTTTCACTCCTCCTTCTACAGAATGACTCTAAAAATAAAGGCCTCCCCTCCTCGTGCTACCATCCGTCCTGTCACAACGCTTCTCTACGCGCCAGCATGTGTAAGCGCCCGCTGCACCCCCCGCCAATCACAGCGCCGGGCCGCCTTTTCATCACACTCGCCCGCTGCGCCGCTGCAACGCAGTGTAATTTCCAGGGGTTGCCACGGGCGGCTAATGCCTGTGTGTCCTCTACCACAGCGGCTCGTGATTCGCTGTCGCCTCTCGCCGGCGTGAATGGGCACAAAAGCAGAAAATCAAAGGGGGATGGGATGTTGTGGTGGTAGTGGTAAGTCTGGATATATAGATATAGAACGATGGTGGAACTACGCGCTCTTGATAAAAAGTGACGACTGCTCCCTTTCCTTTCTTGTTGTTAAACAGGTCCGTTAACCTCAGAATCGAGTTTGTGAATCCGCTGCTGGTCAGTGTTCGACTCTCGCATCCCAACCCACAATGGCAACAACATCCCCGTCCCCCGTGGCCTCGGGCCTAAAGAACCAGCTGTCCATGTCCGACTTTGAAATGGAAGCCTCGTCGATCGAGACATCCTCGCGCATCCGGACCCTGCGTGCCATCAACGCACTTCGCTCTGCCCTCACATGGCTCTCCATTGTGCTGGCCGTGGTGGTCCTCGGCGTCTCGGCCGATGCTCTCGACACATACTACGCCACGAGCGTTGGGCCCGAGTTCTTCCTGCAGCTGTGGCCAGCACAGTTTGATGTGCGGCCCACGCAGGCGTTTGTAGCGGGAAGCGTGGTGGTTCTAGTGGCGAATCTGGTGGCCCAGGTGCTGGGCGAGATACGAGTAAGTCAGAAGATACTGTGACGGCACAGAACAGAACAGGGGGGGCGCTAACGTTGCATGGATACAGGCCCCGGCTAGGTACCCTTACAGAGGCATGTACGCCGTAGCAGGCAGCCTTGTTGGGTTTATTGGCGCCCTCGTCGCCATTGGTTTCTACTATTCGGTGAATGCGTCGACCAGCATCGACACGCTGCAGAGCTGGTCCTGCCGCTGGGAGCATGTGGCCATGGGCAGCAGGCCGCACTTTGGCACGCTGTGCAAGGAAAGTAAGGCTGGATTGGCGCTTGCAACGCTGCTTGTCCCGCTGCAGATCATTGTGCTGGGTGTGGCGTGCTTTCAGGCGACGCTAGATCGCAAGGTTGGCCACTTGCCTTTGAAGCGAGGGTAGTGATTTGCTGGTGCTTGGTTGGTCCCATTTGTGCCCATCCGTTGTGATGGACCACTAGTAGTAGGGGCAGTAATAGCGGTACAATTGAAAGTTACTGTACCCATCCGTTATTCATCGTCAATGTAAAGATTGAACGGGCGTGTTCCTCATCCCTGGATGGTCCAGTACCTGGTTCCCTGTGCTTCGGGGGATGTCGAGTGTGATCCGGTGCGCTGTGACGAGAAAGAAGCGCGCTGACGGGCGGGCTCCGAGCGGGGCAGCTGACGGGGCGTTCGATATTGCTCTGCTGCGGGGGCATCAAAAGTGCAACCGTGGGGCGAGTTGGTGATTGTGTCTGTGCTGGGAGTAGCGGTTGTCAGTTGTCTCTAACCGAGGGGGCCGAGTCAGAGAAGAAAGGTACATAGAGGGTTCCTTAGAAGAAAGAGGAGTTGACTATCTGTATCGTATTCTAACCATCTGGCTAAGGTACGCATATCGGTTAGCAAAACGCATGTCCATCTTGGTAGTTTGGGCCTACTGCAGAAATGGCGTCTGCTTGGTTGGGCGCCACGGTATAACCCAGCATCTAGTGGCGCAAACTACTCACTGTCTTGTACAAACATAATCCTTCGGCATTTCGTAACTGTGCCGTGCATACGTGATGAAAGTGATGGGCACCGTACCGCTATTGGACAGGATCTGTGACGCCGATAGTTGGGCCGGTGTGGCGTCAAGCTTTTGTTGGCAACAGCACCGAGCGTGAGAACGGCTAGTTCAGCGGATGCCCTGGGAGAAAGCACTCGCCCGCCCCCACCCCACCGCGCTTCAACAGGTGTACCTCGATCGCCAGCTGTTGGGCGCTCCTGTCCGCATGCTGCATAATTTCTTTCGCTTTTTTTCTTTCCATCCCTCCTGTTGCCTTTTTACATGCCAGAGGCTCACTTTCCATCCATGAATCTCTTCTAGGAGAACCTTGTTTGCTTTGCTGCCCTCTCATCATGTCTTGGTCTTCGAACTACCTCATAGGCTGTGCCCAGTCGGCTCTGCTCAGTGCTGCGCTGTGGGTATTGCTCCAGACGAGCCAACGGCCAACATGCGTCAAACAGCCATTTGACAGACTGCTCCAATGCAAAATGGTATGCATACAACCCTAACGTTAGATCTAGTCTCAATAATATGTCGCAGCTGACTCGATTCATAGCTCGTCTGTCTCACCTTGATTGCTACTCATGCTGCCTCTCTCGTTTTACAAGTCGACACCACGACATCTGGCGCTAGACGTCTCGCTTTCCTTGAATCAGTTTTACTGCTTTCGATAACCTATCAAAAGCATAAGCGTGATATATCATCATCAACATTCGTCAGTTTCTACCTGCCCATCTCCGCCTCTCTCGAGCTTCCGCTCGCCAGATCGATCCCTTCGCTCTCATATTACCACATTCCGATTCTCGAAGCCATCTCCGTGGCCCTAAAACTTTCAACTTTACTACTCCATGAAACTTCCAAATGGACATATCTTACCGATGATGATGCGGCTGAAATCGTGCGCGAGAGTGCTAGCGGGTTTTGGAGCAAGTGCCTTGCGCTGCATCTGACTCCAGTTCTGCGAACTGGATCCAAGAGGGAGATGAGTCATGACGACCTTAGCAGTGTACCACCTGAACTTCTTAGCTCAACTTCTATGAAGAGGTTTCAAGCGATCTGGGAAGATTGTAAGTACCGCTAGCAAACCCGCGAAACACGCAGCTAATTGTACCAGACAAGTTATTGGCCAATGGGCTGATAAAAGCATGTCTTCGTATGGAACGACCTCGGTTTATCGCCGCAGTCCTATCCGGCATGCTTGCAGTCACTCTGCATACCTGTATACCACTCTTGATTGGATCTGTCGTAGAGCTGGTTGAAGACAGAGCCTACGCGACACATGGACAGGACACGCCAACTCAAGGCCAGTTGCTCATCATCGCCACAGCCATTTTTACGGGAGAAGCCGTAAGTATGCATGATGATACGCAACTAATATGGGCCTTTATTAATTGAGTTTAGATTTTACAAGGCTACGCACTACGCTGCCTAACAAGGACCAACACGTCTATTCGAGGTGTTCTGCTAGGCTCAATTTTTAACTCAGTAACCTATCTATCGGATTCAAAGCTTGCCACCACAGCAAAATCGTCAATCTTGGCAAATGAGATTTCAAGCTTAGGCAAAATCGACAGCTTGTACTATGTCGTAGTACGAGTCTTTCATGTTGCTCTATGTGCATGGTTACTTTGGTATACTCTCAGTACCAGGACCTTATGGCTTCTGTGTTTCTCGTTTGGTATGGACCTTCCTATCTGAAATTTCAGATTACATTGCTTATTTATGTTTAGGAATGACATTCTCTACTCTCTATGTAGGAAAATCCATGTCGAAGCGCCTGACCGCCCAGCATGAGGCGACGACTGTTAGATCGACAACATCAGCTAACCTACTGCGCAACATACAATCAATCAGGTTGCTCGGCCTTGAGGAACAATTAAGACGTACTGTAATTTCATTGCAAAGTGATGAATTACAGGCCATTAGCAAATCACTTGGTGAACAGCGGAAACAACAGATAATAAGTATGATAGCGAAGCACGATTAGGTACCGGGCCTTTACTAACAACTTAGTTGCCTCTTATATGCCGCTGGGCGGCTTTTTCGCATTCTCCAATGCCATATTTCCATCCAGCCCAAACGATACTGAAATGCACCTTGCGAAATTCTTTACAGCACTTGCCCTAGCATATGAGTTTTGCTTTGCAATTACAACATTTATACATAATGCAGCCCGACTCAAATCAGTGCTCACTAGTTTTTCCAAGATTCAAGAACAACTACTAGCATGGAAGGAAGATTCTCCGGACGAGCCGGTGAATCCGCTGCTTGATCCTGATATGAATGGTGATAGCAACAGTCCTGGTACGATTGAGCTAGATGACGTCGCTGTGGCAATTGCAGTCGACGAAGACCCAGTGGTGACCGATATTACCATGTACATACCTGGGGGATCTACCACGGTTGTAGCCGGACCGGTTGGATGTGGTAAATCTACTTTGCTGAGTGCTATTGCTGGAAGAGCTGCAATTCTTGAGGGACGAATGGAGGTTTCGCAAACACGCATCGCTTACAGTCATCAGATCCCCTGGCTGCAAGATCGCACCATAAGAGACAATATCGTTGGACCAAACAAATTCGACCTCGAATGGTACAATGCAGCGAAAACGGCATGCTGCTTAAATCGCGATTTAGCCATGCTCCCACTGGCTGATGAGTATATGGTCGGTGCGAAGGGAGGCAATTTGAGCCGTGCTGTGCAGCAACGCATTGTACGTCAAGATACCACTTCGTTTAAAAAGAGCTTGATATGCTAACAAGTTATCGATAGTGTCTTGCGAGAGTTGTTTATTCCAAAGCACCTATTGTGTTGCTTGACGATCCTCTGAGCTCTCAGGAAAAGCCCGTTGCTGATCAGCTCATTGAACAAGTCTTTGGACATTATGGTATTCTGAGGCCAACAACAGTGGTCTTGACATCTTCTAAACCACGTAGGCCATCCTTAGTAAAGTCATATCGACCGAATACTAACATTGCTGAAGTTCCATATTCACTTGTTGCTACTCATGCGCTGTGCATCGATGCAACAGGGGCTGCTCGAGAAATCAGCACTAGACGATTGCTAGAAATCGGCGTGGTAGTAAGCCAGCCTGTTACTCATGATCCTGAAAATATTCCACAGGAACGAGCTGCTGAAAGCCATTCAGCCTGGGACTTGCTGGCGAAGCCCATCAACCCGAACGTCAATAAAAGCCGGTTCCAGTCAACTCGAAGGGGACAAAGTTCATGGAAATTTTGCTATACCGGAGTTGACAGAGGCTTGTTTATTGTTGCGTTTGGGATAAATTTCGTGATGACATTCACAGAGAGCTTTCCTTGTAAATCCTCCGCATGACACTCCGCTGATGTTCGCTAACGATTTCCAGACATTTTGCTTCAACGCTGGTTTGAATCCACTTCTACCACTCCGTTCCCAATTCTATATTGTGCCATTATTACTTCGTTAAACGGAGTTGCTGACGTTATATTTGCAATGTAGGTTACAAAAAGACATCCACATACAATAAGTACTAAGAGAGATTCGAACAGTCTATGGCACAATCGCATCTGCCGTCAATTCGCGCAATATAGCCTTGACTATCTATTGGATAGAATTATGAAGTTAGCTAACAGCAATCGATATTCCGGAGGAATTGCTAACTTTAACGGCAGGATTACAATTGCATCTTGGGACCCTGTTAAGTCCGAAGCCATGATCGGCCTGTATGTGTTCTTCGTGGTTATTTGGAGTTACTGCAAACTTACACGCCCCCTCCAGGTTCAACGAAGCCATGCAACTAGTCACGTTCGATTTGGGCTATGAACTCAAATATGTAATAGCGCGTAAGTTTTGTAAACCAAGTTTTGCAACGGCGACTGATGATAGCAGTGATCAACACAGTGCTCGTCTGTTGGGGCGTCGTCATCTCCTGCAGCCCCATCTTAGTCTTTGCTTTTGTCCTATTCACTGTATGCTTTGTGGGAATGAAGTCTATTCAGCACCGTGCCAGCTGTCAATTACTACAGATGAACCTTGCTGCCGAAGACCGGCTACGAACTCATTTTGACGAAACCTTGGCCGGCGCAGCTCAGGTCACCTTGTTGGGCTGGAACAAGCGATATAATGAATGGAGTAGGGCACATATCGATCACTCACTGGCTACATTATACAACAGCGCAACCTCGAAGGCTTGGTTGATCAATATGACGAACCTCAGTACCATCCCGCTTGGTCTAGCATTTGTCGCTGCCTCTCTATATGTGGACATTGCTCCGCATTTAGTTGGCTTAAGCCTGGTTGTCATGCTGGAAATTTGCAAGATTTCCCTCGTCTATATTCCATTCTGGGGTGCTTGTGAAACATCCTGGGCCAGCATGAATCGCATCCATGGACTCATCATGAAGGCTCCAGTGGAAGTGGATAGGAAGGACAGCGACCTCCCAGCTCAATGGCCTGCAAAGGGAGTGATTCAAGTACATGGAGCATCCATCTGGCAAGAGTAAGCGCGTCTAGGACACGAGATGTCGACTATTTCTAACCTTTTCCAGTGCACATGTTTCACGTGGTGAGCGGCCACAACTGGAAAATGTGACTTTTGATACGTCCAGACATCGCCGAATTGGCATCCACGGCGATTGCGAGAAGTATACATCTAATACTACTTGTTGGCTTCGTATCTAGCAATACTAATCCTTTGCGAATAGAAGTCGAAACGCCATGCTATTATCACTTCTCGGACAGGTAGCATATACTGGATCGATCAAGGTCGACGGAGTTGAGGTTTCAAGTGTATCGCCACGCACGATGCTGTCCAATGTAACTGTCGTCCCGAAAACGTCTGTTATTTTCCCAGGCAGCGTTCGTCAAAACCTTTTACCACATGAAATACTCACCCCCGGCAACGAGACGGAGCATCTTGCAGCGCTGGAGTATATTCTTAGAGGCCTGAGCTTATGGGGTGCAATTACTGCCCAAGGTGGCCTCTCACAACAGATGTCCAAGCTGCGCATGACACCAAACCAATTGCAGAGGTTCGCTCTCGCGCAGGCGCTGATGGCATTTCACCTGAAAAAGGCAAATATGGTTCTCATGAACGATACTACGAGTGATGTCAACACTGACAGCCTCCTCCTGATGAAGGCGATCATGAGGGATCTTCTTCGACACGCGTCTATTATCACCAGCACAAAGTCTCTGTATGCTACTCAGGGTTCGACGCTGAAGGTTCATGTTGGAGATGGCGGAGCTGCCATTAAGGCGTATGCTCCGAGATGAGGCGCGATCGTGCGAATCAAATTGTTTGAAGATTTGGTTTCCGGTGTAGTTACCTTATTGGACGATTAATACTCATAAGTTTCTTGCCACCTTGTGCAACCATTTTAATTTTTTGGGATCTAGTAACTGGATTTGTTTTTGGTTTTTAAGGCGTCCACAATGCCAAGCTTGTTGGGAAATGAGTCAGGCTCTAGCTTTGGATGAACTCATGGATTCTGTAGTGTTCACCGCTGTCCAATTAGGCTATGCTAAACGCATACCACAGCACCGCGTGGGCGTGGGGAACCCGCCACAGTCGGCACTGCCGGCCAGGGGCGCTACTCAAACCACAAATTGCCACGAAAGAAGGGCCGCGGAATCTTCCTTTTTCAAACCACAAACACACACAACAACAATGCAGTTCAAGACGATCATCGCTTTCGCAGCGATTGCTTTTGGCATTGCTGAGGCAGCTGTTGCCAGTATGTAAAGTTTTACCATTTTTCCTAATCCATCAGCAACTCAGCTAACCTGGCTACAGAGCCCGTGGAGGTTCGTGGTGAGCAGCACACCGACTGCTGTGCTCTACCACATAGTCGATAGGGAAAGCACAAAGTGTTTCCTAGCGATTAGGACAGACTCTTGGGGATGAATATTTGGTTGAAAGTACATGCGGATTATATGTTATGGCTTCCAAGTTACTAAGCAAGCTATAACCTAAACCAGCATGTTTTCAATACGCTGGTTTCCACCAGGCTCACCGATAAAAACTCGAACCTCGGGGTATCTGATTACTTGTACTGCAAAGTGCTGGGTAGGGAGCTTCAACGATATCTCTTGGTGATTTTTTTTTGCCAAATATGGCAACAGAAAAAGTTTCCGGTGGTATTTCATGTATGGCGAGAAGCGCTTGAACTAGTCGTAATAACATGGTAGTATCATAAGTAATCGCAGAGACCGGCTGAGAACGGCTGAGAAGTGTCGCGCTGATTATCACCTTGCACTACCGGCACACATGACTCTTTACCTGCCTGTTGTAGCTAAAGCCCTTACAAAGTCAGCGACGCTTTGCCTAAACCGGGGAATGGCGCCGGTGTGGCTTCCCCACTGTGTTCGTACTGCAGCCTGATTCTGTAGGCCAGCGCCACGGGCCAAAGATCCTCCCCCACCCCGCAAGGTCTCTAGCGCCTGCGCCCCTCGCACGTCGTTGCTGTTTGTTGGTTGCTTGAGGTTGGCTTTGCATCCTTCCTCTGCATCAAACCTGCAATATCCAACCCTCTGGCTAACTGAGGCATGATCGCTATTCAGCACAATGTCGGAACCTCTCGTCGCCAAGATTAGCGAGCTAGTCTCTGCTCTCAGGGACATCGCCCCTGTTCTACCAGAGGTTCTGGCCCGGTTGCCCGTCTGCTTGGTTGTTGCATTGACGCCGTGGCTTGTGGCCCGCGATATCCAACAACCGATCTGTGTCCGGAGATGGATTGACAGCCTCTTGGTTATTAAGATGGTAAGTTGATATGGCTTTCCCTTCGACAGGCTCCATCCACGCCTCATAGGTCTAACATCTATCTAGTTGATCTGCTCTGGACTCATTGCCCTCCAGACACCCGCTCTCTGGTTTGCTCCATCAACGGCGCCGCTTTGTGATTGGCTTACGTCCAGTCTTGACACTTTTGCCATTTCGGAAGCGTTTTCCCTGCTTGTGATGGTATATTTCCAGCATATGCGTAGCCCAAAGCCGTCGGTACTGCTGAGCTTCATGTTGCCTGCTTCGGCGGGTGCTGATTTCGCCACGGCCACCATCTTCCAAGCTGCCCCCTTTGCAAGCAAGCACGAGACATATTACTTGTCCGCTATGTTGAAAATCGCCTTACTGGTGTTCCATGAAGTTTCTAAAAACTCATACTTCAACGCCAATTATTCGACGGTCGTGAGCAGCAATGACGCTGGCGGATTCTGGAGCCAAACTCTGGGCCTCTCTCAGACACCCGTCATCAAATATGGACGGACGCATGAACTGTCTATCAATGACATATCCGATATTCCAACAGCTCTTCTTTCGGCAAACATGTATGCCAAGTTCCAAAGCGCCTGGCAAAAGCGTTAGTGTCTTCGTATCTGTCTTCATCTCTTGTCATGCTAATGTTGGTTCCAACTTTTTCAGGTCGCCCCAGGAACAATGCACTCTTAAAGACTTGTATGGCTATCAGTCGCCGACAGGTTATAGAAGCCATAGTAGCTGGACTTTTCGCTAGCTTACTACATGCGACAACGCCTCTGTTTATTGAGGATATTGTATCGCTGTCTCAGTCATCAGAGATTGGTTCCGCCATGGCTGAGCAAAAACAAATCCTGATGTGGATTACGTTTTCCGTCTTTCTAGGACAAGCTGTATGTTGATTCGTTTTAAAATACCACACTAAACGAGTTACTCATATCTTTATAGGTATTACGGGGCTACTCTAAGCGTCGCTGTCTGTCCGTTCAGACGGCTACTCAAGGAGCACTTGCCGCTGCCGTATTCCGGAAGTTATCGTCCATTTCTGACAAAAATCTGGTTCAAGCCGCCAAAGTAACATTGGTCACCACACACTTGCCGACAGCCGTTGAAGGTATTGATAACTTCTTCTCTCTAGCAACCTACCTTATTGAAGCTAGCGTACATATCGTGATGTTGTGGGCAGCTCTAGGGCCGACAGCGTTAACAATAGCTGTACTAGTTATTGGTGTGTATCATATTCCCACAACCCTATATTCATGATGTAATTAGTATTAACAACACATTTTAGGCTGTCTGTCTATTGGTATTCGGCTGGGTAGCAGCTTAGCCGAGTCATCGAGACAGCTAACAGCTGCCACATCTGCGAGGTCGCAGACATCTAGCGACCTACTGGCTAATCTCGAGAATACGAAACTTCTTGGTCTAGAAGCACAGTTTCAGCTATCGCTTATGACTTTGCAAAAGACGGAGCTCATCAAATCGTGTGAGATGGCCAAGTCAAGTTCAAAGCAAAATATTATTGGTATGGCATCTAATACATTACAAAAGAAATATAGCTAACCGGTTGTAGTGATATCCTACACGGCTGTCGCATGTTTGTTTAGCTGTTCAAGTCATCTAACTCCTCAACAACCTGGGTCCTACTTCAAGAACCTGCCCCTATTCTTCAGATCATTTGTGATCATTAACGAACTATGCTTTGTTATGGCAAAGATCACTCATTACTGGTGGAAAATACCAACATCAACTGAATCATACACAAAGATCGAAAAGTTCTTGAAGTTGCCTGCTAAAAAGGTCACTGAGCAAGCCCAACAGTCGGAAACACAACAGCAACCGCAACTACAGTTGGGTGAAACCCAGGGTGTACAGATGCAGGATGTCTCTATTGCACCCGGCCCTGGTGGTCGCCCCCTCCTATCAAACGTCAATATAAGCGTACCAACGGGTGCTACAGCAATTATTACCGGATCACCAGGGACTGGTAAATCGGTGCTACTCAATGCAATTGCAGGACGTATGTCCATTACCCATGGCCGAATCTCAGTTAGTGGTCGACATCTTGGCTATTGTGGTCAAAACAATTGGCTGCAATCTCGTTCGGTCAAAGAAAACATCATCGGCCCAACCCCATTCAATGAGCGCCGATATAGCCTCGCTAAATCTGTTTGCCTTTTGACTGAGGAGATATCTCTACTTTCGGGTGCAGATGATTGCATTATTGGCCCGCACGGTACTGTATTGAATCACGCTCTTCAACAGAGGATCGTAAGTTTATCAGCAATGTCATGAGCTCCGCTACTAATCAACTCTCTTTTAGGCTTTAGCAAGAGCTGTTTATTCCGAAGCCCCTGTCTTAGTTCTGGATGACCCCCTCAGTGCACAAAGCAAAGATGTTGGAGATCGGCTTATATCCGGTCTCTTTGGGCCTCAAGGGGTGTTACAGGCTTCCACTGCGATTATCGCAACCTCCAAACCTTGTAAGTTTTTCTACTTCGCTAAACGCGGCTAAAATATTAACTGCTTCTGAAAGTCCGATTCTCGCTTGTAGCAACCACAGCGTATTGTATCGAAACGCCCGGATCCATACGACACATGGACCAGAATCAACTTTTAGGCTTTGGGGTAAAGGCCAGTAAGCCTATCACAAGTGATATGGATAATATTCCTCAAGAGAAGGCTCCATCCAAACTTCCTAGTCTTGCAACTGTTGCCAGGCAGATGTCACAAAACATTCGAGTGGAGAAACCGATTAGCCTCAACAACTCCAAAGCACCACTCTCGCTCTACCTGAGCAATGTTGATAGAGGTCTCATAATTTGCTGCATTGGCATGTGTATTTTGGGCTCAGTCTTGGAAAGCTCTCCTCGTACGTTGCACCAGCGCACTATTTTCTTTCTTCATTGAACTCCGCTCTAACATCTCTCCAGAAATCATGCTTCGCATCTGGTTCGGTTCAACAACGACACGCCAATTTTCTGTGGTTGGCAGTGCCGTTATTGGCCTCCTTACGGGTGGCGTATTCGTTTCCTATATCAGGTATATATAGCTCGCAACCTTAAAACAGGGCATTTGAAAGAATCGATGGCTAACAGTGTATACTATAGTTTATTCCGCCAGGTCGTCAAACCCCGATGTTCCAAGGCTATATTTATAAACTTGGTAAACTCTACGTTGAGGTTTGTTTTGATCCTTAGATGCTCCTAATCAACACATCATTGTTGCTTACGTTGTTTAGAACTCCGATTACGTCGCTCAGCCCAGCTAGGCTAGAAACGCTTCAGAGCTTGTACGTGTATTGCTGTAATTCGTTCTTGAGATCTCTGTCTAACAAGGCGCTAGGTTTACAGAGGGAATGCGAGTTGTAACTTTCAACTTGCCCGACGCCACCTATTATGTTCTTGCTTGTAGGCCCCACTATACTCGTGGAGATCGCTTAATTCAAGGCTAACCAGTCTCAGTTTTGAGTGCGGCACTCGTCGCATGGGTCACGGCTATCTCGTGTATCCCACAGCTCATCTACGTGTTGCCAATCTTCCTGGCATGTGTCGTTGCTTCAAAATCATTTTTCCATCATTCCTACCGTCAAGCACAGCGCCTGCATACTGCTTACAAGGACAAGCTGCAGGTCCATTTTGTTGAGACCATTGCCGGAGCTGCACACATTGACTGCCTTAACTGGCATGTTGGGTATAGCACTTGGAGTGGTGAATACGTCGATGCATCACAGTCTACGTTCTATTTCAAAGAGGACCTCATTAGATGGCATCAGGGTATTTGGCATATTATCATCGCAGTGCTTGCCTTCATTTTTGCCGCGGCATCGATCTACGCGACCTCCTCTCCTTATCAGGCTGGCATTACCATGGCAGTGTTCCTTGATCTTTGTAAAATGATCAAGGTTTACTTGCCATCATGCGTGGATCTAGATATAGGATTAAGCGTCTTGGATCAGATCAGGGAATTCATTGCTACCTCTCCGCAAGAAGCTAAGCAAGCAGATTGTGAGCTGCCCGTGGACTGGCCTGCAGAGGGTGTCATTGAGTTCAACGACGCTTCGATTACTCATGGGTACGTATCTGCTCTCGAAACCATTGCCCACATGGCTAATTAACACCTTGCTCTCTAGACCGGAGGAAGCACAGCCAACAGTACAAGGATTCACTCTCACAGCCCCACCAACCACTAAGATGGTGATACAAGAGGCTCCCAGCAGGTAAGCAAAAGACTACATATATAAGCAACGTGGAATAATTCTAACAATAATCTTCCAGAACTAAAAGTCCTTTCATCCTGTCCATGCTGAATCGCGCCCAATATAGGGGCTCTATCAAGCTTGACGGTGTCGAAATACGTGAAGTCTCACCCCGCACAATCTTATCACGAGTAAACATCATCGTGGACAGACCAATCATCTTTCCAGGTACCGTTCGCCAGAATCTACTTCCCCAGGAGCTCCTACACGCTGGGGATATGAGATTATACACCAGGACTATGAAGTGTGTTCTAGAGAAACTGAGCATCTGGGACGTTATCGATTCACAAGGTGGCCTCCTTCGACGACTTGAGCAGATTCAAATGTCCCCTGAGCAAATGCAGCGATTTGCATTTGCCCAAGGTGTCATGCGGTACCTCCTGAACAGAACCTCGTTTGTGCTTATCGATGGCATTACGAACTACGTTGACAACGATAGCAACCTTTTGATGTCGCGAATTATCTCACAGATCTTCCAACGGAGATCGGTGATGATGGCTGCACACTCCGCAGCAACATTACAGCGCCCTTACCTGAATGTTGAAGTAACTGATGGCGAGGCGGTAGTCAGGGTACGGCCTACGCTGCAACGACATTAATATCGAGATAATAAGTATAAGTTACCCAAAATAGAGGAAATAATTAAAATGGAGTGCAGGTTCCACCGGGCTCTACCACTTCAATTTGACGGGCAATCGTACACCTGTAGTAGACTGTTATGCGGCATATTTGTGATTGCCTTGGTAGCGCACATCTTGACTCGACGTCCGTGATAGATCCTTTTTCATTACATTTGAAGTTTCAGTATATAGTAAATAGTAGAGAGCCTCGATCATTTTTCACTCTCGCCTCTGGACGAGGGCTCAATGACCTCCTTTTCCAAAGTCTTTACTTCGGTGGACTCGTCATCAGATTCATCTGGCTTCAACAACCCACCATCACGTAGTCTAATAACAATGTCCGAGTTCTCAAAGCCAGATGCACGATGAGATACCACAATTACAGTAGAATCCTTGAATGCCGCATTCATCCTGTCCTGCAGCTTGCGGTCAGTTTCATGATCCATGGCACTGGTCACCTCGTCCATGAGAATAATCTTAGTCTCATGATCTTTGTGGTGAATTAGCGCGCGGGCAATGTTGAATAGTTGTCTCTGGCCGGCTGAGAAATGAACATCATTGATTTCCATGCCGAGCCCACCCTTCTTTTGGACTTGCGCAAGAAGACCGACATCGTCAAGAGCCTGTTCAAGACGGCTATCCAACTCCTTATCTGCGTTGCCGTCATCATGCATGAGTTCAAATGGCATGAGATTTCGTCGGATTGAGCCAGGTAGCAAGAGTGCTTCTTGAGGAATTGTGGTGATTTTGTGGCGGAGGGTGTGTCGAGGAATTTCAGAAATGTCCACTCCATCAATCAAGACGGAGCCGGACAGGTTCAAGAAGTTAAGAACTGTCAGGACAAAACTACTCTTTCCACTATCCAAGATTGTCAGTACATACATAAAAAGATTTATAGCCGTGAATGAATCATACCTTCCGGTTCTGCCAGCAATGACTGCCTTCTGGCCATGGCGGATCGTCAAAGAAACGTGCTTCAAGGCTTCAGTTGTTGAATCGGCCCTGCTTTGGTTAGTTATATGAATACAAATATAGCTGAAAAGACTTACCCGTATTTGGCGGTGACATCTCTAAATTCTACCTCGCCCTTGGTTGGCCATGAAGCAGGCGCGTCGCCATCAACATCCTTCTCAACCGGCGTATTCTGAACAAAGAGCCTCAATCGTGCGATGACACCAAGTGCATTCTCAACTCTGGTCCAGAACATAAGCCAGTGTCGCATGGCCGGGCCATAGGTGACAACGTTCACCAGCGCCAACCCTAGGCCGGCCTGGTTTGTCTGAGCTCTAAAATTGACAGCAAGAGTCACTAGGATGATAGCAACAGCAGCTCCTGCAAGATCCAGAACCAGCAGCAGCCATCTTTGGATGCTGCGGAAATAGTAGTAGGCCTTTTGTGAATAGTCCACCAGGGAGAAACTATTCTCAATAAAGCGATGTTCCCAGCCATAGCTACGAATATGCTCGACTCCAGACAGGGATTCTCCAATCTTGGTAAACATAGGCGTTTTGGCTTCTAATTCTAGAATTCTCATCTGTCGACTGGTTCGCAGGTAAAACCACTGCAGGATCCAGAGATAAATGATCGACACTGGGATAAAGGCAATTGCGTAGATAGATCCAGCAGCAATGACACCGAGTAGAAATCCAATTTCCACAGTTTCTGATTAGTTAGCGTCGACCGTGAAGATAAAACAACAACAAATTGAGCTGCGACTTACTGCGAACAACATTGAGGAGGTTTGTAGGAAGTTCCTTGGCGAGAATTGCCATGTCCTGGCTGAATCTGTTGATGAATAGACCGCTGCTCGTAGTCGTGATGAATGGTAGACTTGCACTAGTACATGTTAGTATATCGTCACTAAGAGTCAAATTTATCATACCTAGTGACCGCGGTGAGAAAGATCTTGTGCATTCTTTCCGCCATTCTTGGAGACATGTAAACTAGATACAGCCAGCTAACCATAATTGCTACAATGATGGTGAAAACAGACATGATTGCACCACCAGCAACGATGAGAGCATTGTTAGGGTTCGTAAGTCTAACCCAAATATTCAGGTAAATTGCTGAATTCAACTGTTAGCTTGCTGGCCTAGACGGGAACGCGACAGTTATAAAATAATACTCACTGAGGAAGTCGTTGCTAATACCGGCGACAGTTATACCGACAAGCCACGCAGTCGTTATCCACCAGGGAATTCCTTGAAACAAATATTTGTAAAGCGAGAAGTCGGACGTAGGGCGGATTTGGTGCATCTGCTCCGCTTCTATGTGCAGCTCATTCAGGATATCTGTTACCTGGCTGTTGGAGGCATCGTCTTGAGTAGGTTGGCGTGTATAGCGGGCTTTCATTCTTTCGATAAATTCGTCGATTGCGCCTTTGTCGGTATGTGTAGTGATGTTGTGGGACGCATCCAACTCAATGAGTTGGTCGGCATCCCGCAGGAACTCGACTAGGCGTTTTGTTAGCAGGTGTCAGAGACCGTGGAGGGTTAAATAATAGCTTACCAGCATGCGTGGCAAGGACTGCAGTGCGTCCATCTCTTCTGAGAAGACCGCTGGGTCCAAACACATTGTCAAAGACCGCCTTTGCTGTTGCTCCATCCAATGCACTGAGAGCGTCGTCACAAATCACGACAGGGGTTAAAGCGTACACAGCTCTGGCTAGGGCCTAAACATTTGTCAGTACATAGTATTATTTTATTGGGATCAGCCACTTACCAGACGTTGCTTTTGTCCTCCGCTGAGATTAGAGCCGTTGAGGCCGACGCGTGTTTGGTCGCCTTTGGAGAGTTGGGAAATATCATGGAGCAACTCACACGCTTTAACAGCCGCCTCATAACGTCCTTTGTCGAATTCCGCACCCTCGATAATGACGTCTTTCAATGGAATATCTGGCAGCCAGGGGTGCTGATCACAGTAGGCAAAATTATCCGTCGCAATTGAGACCGTGCCAGAGGTAACAACAGTCTCACCAAGCAACGTTTTCAGCAGGACTGTCTTACCAGATCCAACAGGTCCAGCAATCATGGTGAGACTTCCTTTGGGGACAGAAAGATCAATGTTCTTGAGGATAGATGTCTGTCCATCTCTTCCGCTAACAGAAACATTGTCCATCGACAGTGTCGGTATTCCTGCTTCACCTTCCGCTTTCTCAGTGGCAGTATTGGTGAGGAGTTTTCGATGATCAACACGCTCCTCACGGTTGAGAAAAGCCTGTATCCGGTCGAAGCAAGCCAACATTGCGGCAAAATGCGACCAAAAACGACAGATCTGTTGGGTTGGATCATGCAGGAGATAGAGCATAGACATAGCTGTGAATACAGATGTGGGATCAGCATGATCACGCCACACAGTCCAGTAGATGCCTCCGATCATCATGAAGACTCCTGGGATCCAAGTCAAAGACATCCCTAGCAATCAGTTAGCCGGTTTTCCATGTGGAAGTCGGATATCTAGTTTACTTACTGCATGCCACCTGGTAGCTGCTCAGCCTGAGGGACCACTTAGAAATGGCCATCTCGTCACTACGCAGTCCTTGGATGAATTCGGTGATTGTTTTCTCAAGGCCAATCATCTTGATACCCTTAATCTGAGCGAGTAAACCGGATGTCTGGCCAACACGAACTTCGATGGACTTGTTCCAGGCGCGTGTGGCTGGACCCTGCGCTTTTCCGATTTGAAAGAACACATAGATAATGGCTAAATCGATGTTAGAAAGAGAAGCCATGAGAGGATACAATGAACATCAATACTCACCAACGATGGGTAGGAAAGGCAAGAAGAACGCAGGGCCAATTTGTGTCCACATCATATACAGACCAAGACCAAGTTCTGGGAATGAAATCCAAAAGTCATGTAGGGAATCAATGGCAACAAGAATGTTTTCGATATCTGCCGTGATGAGAGTGAATGCAGCCGCGTCTTTGGTCTGTTCGAGCGGGAGTCGGAGGTTTTTCTTCAAAATTTGAGAGACGAGAATTCCTTGCGTCATTGTGCCCGTGCGCACAGTCAGGTATTCGTAGGCAGACATTGTAATCTAAAAATATTAGCATAGAACCAAGTTATTTTACACATCTACGTACAGCAAAACCACAGTATCCAAATGCAGTGGCACCAATGATTCCTCCGCCACTGTATCCTGGGGGATTCGGATCGCCCAAGTATGAAAGTGCAGCTTGGAGAATGAATGGGTATGAAAAGAAACTACCTGTGTACATGATGCGGGGGACAAGGGCGGCAACAAAGGGTCTCCAAACAACCTTTGCGCAGGCATAGAGAAGAGCCCGCTTGGCGGTTTTGTCCGTTTTAGCCCAGACACGGTCAAACCTAGCAGTAAGATCTTTGGATCTGAATTCGGGACCGATGTTCAGGATGTCTTGCATCGTGATGGTTGTTCGAAAGCCACGGACTAGAATTGAATTGATCCAGTACATCCAAATTCTGTCCAGAACACCGCTTCGAGATTCTAGCGTGTACTTGTCAGCCTGGCTTACGCCCTCCTTCCACTTTTTGGGGATTTCTTCCACAACGATCAAAACCAGTTTGGCCACGATCAAGGCGATGGTGAGATCGCCAACTTGAGCAAGGCCAGTACCAGGTCGGCGGTAGAAGGTTCGAGCGCGCGCAGATTCGCCCAGGACAGAAAGTGCAAGAGACAAGCTGACGAAGGATGCGGATCGAAACGCATAGAAATATTCCCAGTGAAGCGTAAGCATGATTGCAACGGTGGAAAGAGTGGCCAAGACGGAGCTTGCAGTGGTGGTGGAGGAGAGCAGAGACTGCTCCTGAATGTAGTCGAGTCGGCACAAAATAGCAGATCGCGCGAGTTCAATGCCAAACAAAGCCAGTCCCAATATCTATAGACAAGGTCAGTACCAGAGAAATTGCTAGATCTCATTTGACAGGATCGGATAATTACCTGTTTGACCCAGTACAATAGTCCGCGGTCTGCTACAGCGTCTTTCTTCCAGTAATGCGCAATGTATACGGGGCTGCCGACCAGGAGAACAACAGCAGGCACAATTGCCATGAAGCTGTTCTCAAAGACGATTGTGAAATCGAATTGATTGGCGAAGCCAGGGCCAAAGGCATTGTCGTACGCAGACATGGCGGTGGCTGCGGCGTGGTGTGGCGCACTCCAAGGTAACTGAACGATCAAATTGAAGTTTACAGAAGGTATCTAAGGTTGTGTGTTTACGGTTGCAAGTTCAGAAAAGAGGAGGGCGGACGTTGGCTACAAAGAAAGACTGATCGCTCGCGCAGCCGTCCGTGCGTTGGTTGGTCGGTTGGTCTGCATGTTGGTCCTGCCCCCCGAAGTCAGGGATCTTTTGTTCGGCCCCGACTTCCTGCTTTGGCGCTAGTGCATACATGGTCCAAATGAATAGCAAGAGATGTTGGTGGAGATCTGAGGGGTCGCCATAACATAACATGAGTGCAGCTGCTCCTTTTGGTTAAGGGTGCGGTGGGCACGAATCATGCACTGCGGAATCGGCTACCTCACACAGACGAACCCTGAGTTCTGAAATCGTGGCGAAGATCCCGCGTCAGGCCGGTTCCATTCAAAGAGCCATTTCTAAAGGGCACGGCACGCCACTGAATAATTCGGGTGGCACACTGCAATGCACAGACCGTTATCGTGGCCGCTGTGGAAATAAAGCCACACAACAAAAGAAAAACGCCATGTGTGCCCATGTGATGTGACGAGACCTGCTGGAGAAGCGCTGAATGCAACCCCCCGGCGTCGGTAGCGTGAAAAATCAGGCTGAGCTGTGGGTGGGTGGATTGAATCGCCCCCGCTAGATTTTCCCCTCACCTCCCAGGCAGCATGCCCGGGCCGTGGAGCCTGAGGTTTCAGCGTCTTCAGCACACTTAGCGCAACTATTGGTCCACCGTTTCTAGTGGGTGGCTGCTTATCACTGCATGGCCCTTTGAGTTTCGGGCGCACTCCGGCCTGTGCTTATGCATCAAAGGCCGTGAAAGAAAATCTGGGGACAGAAACAGCGCCTGTTGGTCCGTCGCATCGCGACCCAACAAAGACATCAATGGTCTAACAACGCGACTACCGTTCCGGAAGTAACGGCTGCCCCTCAATCCTATTGCAATCATTCACCTGGATTTTGTCACTTCATCCTCCCTTTTAATCTTTCCCGGATGTTTGTCCAAAGGCTGCCAGCATCATGGACGCCACCTACCAAACCGTTGCGGGCTTCCTAGCAAGCTGGCCAAATGCATGCTGCATAATATTCCTTTTGCTCGGTATATGCTTTGTCACTTTTGACTGGGCTGGTCCCATGGAACCACTACCCAAGCAGGAGTTTCTTGAAGAGGCCTATGTACCTATCGAAAAGAAGGACGAAGTTGCTACACTTAAGTTGGCCCGAATAGTCACTCCCAAAAAATGCCGGCTACTTGACTTGCCTAATGAATTGCTCTTGCGCTTGGTCGATCTTATATACGATGGCGGGTACAACTCAGTAGCCAAAGATGCGAATGTGTACCGCAAGATATTCGTCAACTTGCTCACAACAAACAGAAGACTCAGTGCCATGGCAATGCATCGGCTTTACCATACAGTTGGCCCATACAATACTGTCCGCCTAGTCTCAAACTTTTGCAAATATCCCATGGCGGGGCATAGAGTTAGAAATCTTGTCATCTCAGATTGGATCATTGAATCACATGATGTCGCAGCTCACTTGGGAGATATCGAATTCAACATCAATACAAAGCTGGCTTCACTTCGGGTCCGTGACACTCGTGAGCGCGGCATCAAATTCGACTTATTTGAGGTAGCAGCTGGCACCGAATCATGTGGCAGCCAGGCTGAGCTCAGAAATGCCGTATCGATGCTACTCCTTCTTTCCTGCCCCAATATCGAAGTCCTTACAATTGACCAAACCAACTGGTTTGTTCCTGTCGGCGCATATGGAGTAACATTGAGTAAGCTTCGCAAAATTGAAATTAACGACGGCACTTTTACAATCTTCACGGAGAGTACCCTGGCTCCCGAGCCCCCCGACTTTGGTTTTGATCTGACTCATATCGATATGAACTTCTCGGGTACAGACCAAACGACTTTCTCGGCGCTGGTATCCAATTGTACAGCATTGCAGAGCTTCTCGTACGGGGTTGGTGGTTATTTGCCATTAGTTAACTCCGACATCTCACCAGACTGTCTCATTGAGCAACTTGAAACACATACAGAATGTCTCAAGACGCTCCGCCTGTTATGGTCAGAGCATAATACAGATCAGTGCGTCTGCTTTCCCATAGAGGAAACTATTTATACATTGGCGCACTTTACCGCCGTCGAGGAACTGCACATTGGTCTACCAGGTCTGGAAGTCTACCACGCCAATCAGGACACAACAGAGCAGTTCTTCCTAGAACTCCTACCCCCCAACCTCCGCAAACTTCTCTTATGGGACGGCACAAAAGTATGGGATCTTGATGAACTGTACATGGCCACCAAGCACCACTTCAACGATCTGAGAGAAATACACTTATGTCGTAGTCTTAAAACAGTGCGGTCCAGGGAAGATCGACTGATTGGACTCTTTGCGAAACGTGGCATCCGTTTGACCTATTCTGGAGATGACCAGGATTCAAGAGATGGTGCCATGAATCCCCCAGGACTGCGCACTAGTGATGGCGTGAGAGTGTGCACGCTTGTCGCAAACTACGTCAAAGGCCGTACGCTCGAATAGAATACCCAGTAAAAATAATTGTATATATAATGAAATTTATACCATTGGACATTCAAGATTCATCATTTGGCACTGTTTGTCCTAGCAAGTGAAGTCAAAGTGAAGTGATGCTTGCCTGACAGCGACTGCGCCCAGCCGACTGCTTCTGGCGGCAACTAAGTCACACAAACAGGCTTCCTAAGTATCCCTGACCACCGGTATTGAAATACTGGGCCATTGAAACAAACTAGGAGAAGAAAACTTTCAACGTTACCAAACCATCACTTTGGCAATGGATGGCATCTCAAGCGAACCCAACCCGCTCGGGTCATGCCCCGTTCAGCCAGTGGCCAGCAAAATGCCAGGCGCCGAGAACAAGCTGCAACACCCACGCGTGAAGATTCCAAGCAGCGCATCTGCTGTGCTTCTAGAGGCCATCAATTCAGCAGACATTACCTCCGAAGCAGGCGAGCGTCCGCCAAGTCCCCAGAGGAACGGATCTAGCAACCTGCTCCGCAAGACACGCCGTGACGATCCAGAGAGAGTCAAGGCCGTCACTCAGGCGTTGCACCGATCTCTGCTAATTACAGCGGAAATAAAAACCAACGTCATTGTAATGTCTACATCTCCCTGGAGGACAGACAGGCAAACTAACAAATTCTCTCCAGATTCGCAACGAGTGTAGAGTGCTACAAGGCCTCTCTTCCTACCTATCGACAGCTTACAACCAACCCGAAGAATCAATCAGCGTGAGCATGAGCCATAGCGATTGCATGCTATTTCAAAACTCGCTCAAGGCAGCGTGTATTGTCACCATTCACGCGCTTCCCTTCAAACTAAAGGCTACTGCGAATGCCAAGATTATACCACCGCTATCGAAGTACTTGACCTCGCTGATTCGCGTTAAACCTGAGAGAATCGCCATTCGCTTTGTGGCTGTAGACGAGCACATGTTTGGCATGTATGGCTTGACTGTCTCCGAGATGGTGGAAAAGGCGTTAAACAGCGATCTGGGGTATAATTTAAAGGAAAACAAAGCTACAGAGATGGTACGTTTTGGAATATTCTCGTGATGTATTTTTTGGCTAAAACTGAGGAGCAGCAGGTTGATCCATTCAAAACACAAAATACAAACGACGCCAAAGAAGCTAATCGCAACACCTCGAACGCAAACGAGCACGTAGGTGCTGATTCAAGTGGTGACTCACCTGAAGATTTAGTGCCTGAGAAGAAAATACATCGAAAAAAAAGCTTTCTTTCTTCTTTGTTTTGCAGAAATAAGTCGGGGGCCAGCGTGCCGGGTAGCAACTAAGAGAATTGGCAAAGCGGCCATTCAGCACAGGTAATGCCCATGTTGACATTATAGAGATTAATGGAGGATAAAAATTAGGCAGGATGAAGTGCTATTGCTGTTAATTGAATATTTGCACTCGCTTCTAAGACCAGATCTTCCCATAGGCTCTCTCGCTCAATGCTTGGTGAATAGCTACAGATGGTGTCATGAAAGCAGCAACACCACTATATCAATGCGGTATTATTTAATAAATCATAATAAATGTATAGCATCTCATTTTATTTAATTATAACTAATTTACTATTAATTCATGCCATCTTGTAGCTGTCAAGCGCTTGCCACCCACTCAGCCATGCCACCAAACTGCCCCACCACAGTGACGAAAGCAACCAACGCACCCGCAGCTCACCTTGCTCACCTCTCTCATCGACATCGCCAACCTCAATCAAACTACCCTCTCGCCCTTCCTCAATCGATTCAAATTAATTCTCGATAAATTCCGACCCCCTGCTACTGCGCCATAACCACAGAACCCACGCCACCGGTTTCCCTCAGCTTAAGACAGCCAACGAGACCTCACCTCCTCCTCCGCCTTGGTGTAACCACCCTGTTCATCTCGCCAAAAGATCCTCAGCCCTTCCGCTTGTCCGGATAGGCCATTCAGAACATGGAGGTAAGGTCGCGTGATATTTATTCTTCTACCCCTTCCAGCTCCTGCTTTTCTCAAGGGAGAAGCAAGCGACAGGCAGCTATGAAGCACAGCGTGCGGACCTGCCCTCAACCAAGAGGCTTTCGGAAGTGAGGCTATATAGGCTTGTGCACCCGGAAGACAGCTTTTAGTTGGACCGGCGTATTGCTGCTATTCTGAGAATTGCTGTGCCACGTCTCTCTATACGGGATGGTCACCTGCGGGCAGAGGTAGTCTGTCTGTCGCATCATCTCGTCGCGGATCAGAGGATCGTGCCTTTGCATCTGCATTGCGCCTCCTGTATATGCAGCGATACACAGCCTATGCTTGGTCTCCAGAAGCTCATTGCCCGGTTGGTGCCATGCCTACGGCCGTTGCTATTCCCAGCGCCGAGACCCGGCAAACACTACTACCCAAACATGCAAAGTGCAGCACAGCTAACGCTCTGGCGCCTCCATGAACAGGCTCTACGAAGTCCCCCAGCAAAAGACGGCGAAGTGGCCACGGGGTTGCCCATTAAGGGTAAGCCTCGTCTGCTTCTGATGGGCCAAAGACGGTAGGCTCCTAGAAATCATATGTTGACCTTGGATCTCTGCTAACTCTACCCCAGGAGCGGCAAGTCGTCCATTTCAAGCGTCGTATTCCATAAGTTGCCCCCAAACGAGACACTGTTTCTCGAATCCACAGCCCGCATTCAAAAAGATTCTATGGCGTAAGCACGCACTTTTACTCTTAGTAGTAACGAACAGGCTAACAAGCCAGCTCATTTATGGACTTCCAAGTATGGGATTTTCCCGGTCAAATCGACGTCTTTGAGAACCCCGACTTCGACATGGATGCCATCTTTGGCGAAATCGGTGCGCTTATTTGGGTCATTGATGCCCAAGACGACTATCTGGAAGCCGTAGCGCGGCTCAACGCAACCATTCTTCACCTACAGGGCAACTATCCCAACATTAACATAGAAGTCTTTATCCACAAAGTCGATGGCTTGTCGGACGACTACAAGCTAGACATCCAGCGCGACATCACGATCCGTATCCAAGACGAGCTGTCTGACCACGGCTTCGAAAACGCACCCGTCACATTCCACCTCACCTCCATCTACAACCACTCCATCTTCGAGGCGTTTTCCAAAGTCATCCAGAAGCTCATCCCACGCCTCGGCACGCTCGAATCTATGCTCACCAACCTCTGCCGCACGTGCCGCTTTGAAAAGGCGTATCTATTTGATGTCCTCTCCAAGATCTACATTGCCACGGACTCGGCAACGGCCGACATGGCCAGCTACGAAATCTGCAGCGACTATATTGACGTCATCATCGATATTACCGAAGTCTACGGCACATGGCAGCGCAGCGATGAAAGCGTAAAGCGTGTCGAGGCTGAGCCATGGGGCGCAAAGCTCGAAGATCAGGTGGGCTGCCAGACAGCCGAGAGCTGTCTCGTGCTCTACGATAGCAACAAGCCCATTATGCTGAGAGAGGTCGACCGCTACCTGGCTCTCGTGGCCATTATGACAGACGACTCGTACGACCGAATGCCACTGGTGAATATGAATGTCGAAGCCGTGGTTGACGGCCTCACTGAGTTTTTCAACATTACCAAGCCAAAAGTCGAGGCGGCAGAGGCGAAATGAGACAATGGCAAAAGTACATAGCTAGCAACTCTAGGACATGCATATGACTGATTGATGCGAATTGATACCTTAATCTATGGCTAGCGTGGTGACTGTGGTCCTGTTTGCAGACAGCAAGCTAATTCTGGCAGGTATCTCGCCTCTTAAATCCACCTTTTCGTGGGTTTCCAATTTGACTGGTCGGATGTTCATATCTGCCGGCATGGTGTATGTCGTAGGCGATAGGTTTGCAATATCGACCTCCAAGGCATCGTCGTTTGGTGCATAAGTCAGCGTTGAGGCCGGGATAGAGAGCAGCTGCGCTTCATTGGAGCCTGAATGGTTAGTCAACGTCAACAATATGCTGAAAAGATACATACTTGGTTTCGTTGTAAGAATAACGAGGTCTGTCCTTAGGAACTTGATGTCAAGGATCCGACGATCAGGTAGCGCAACAGTCAACATTGACGGCTCCTTATTTGTCGATATTCCATTGACAATCGTCATTGGCATTTTAAACAAGGAAACTAACCCGTTAGCTTGTAAACATGATATCGCCTGACATCTTTCGACTTACTCTTTCCAGTTATCTCTTTTGATGCCATGGCTGCGAATACATTTACACCATCCTGCATCATTTGTTAGCACGGTCATAACCACACTTTACACCACCAAACTACGTACCGCATCATCCAACATTTTGACATCCAAGCAGTGAATGACAGCCCCCATGCCCAGTTTCACTGGTTTCCCAAACCTGACGCTCCGAAGTTTTGCTTCAGCCACGTCCTTGAACATGCGATTCGCCCAAGTGGTCGCATAGTTGACCAAGAAGTCCACATGCGGCAACGCCTTCATGTGCGCAACACCCTCGTCTCGCTTCTGTAACTGCTTATCCAGCACAGCAAGCAGGCTTGGCCCATCCTCTATATGGTCCCAGTCGGCCGAGTAGTCCTCCTTTGCAATCTCGCCGAAGTAGCCGTCCAACGGACTACCTACCAGATATCGCTCAATGTATGTAAGAATCTTGCCTGTTTGAAGTGTGGCTTCCTTTTCTGTGAGCTCGTCGGCCGCTGAGGACGAAGCGCCCAGTTTGTCGATCTGAAAGCGTAGCCAGGCGGAAAATGCATGGAAGTGGTCCAGCTCGTCCATGACCTGCAATAGGATCTTGTTACCCACAAGCGACAGACAGCTAATAATGTCGAGGATGCGGTTTAGTTGGGCTACGTTGAATCCTAGATCGTCACGGAGGGCGTGGTAGCGCGCTAGACCACGCAGACGTGAGAGAATTATGGCAGCGCGGTCTAGTGATGGGAGGAAGTTTTCGTGTACAAGACAGCGCAAGTTTTCGAGGCCTGATACGACTGCCTTGTCCCAGCGTTTATGGCCCTAGTAGCATGGTTAGTGGTCACCGACAGACGTAATAGTTAAACTTATGAGCAGACTTACTCGTTCGGCGAGTGTATCTACAAGCCACTCCTTGACAGGAGGGTATGCATGGCCTGTCGCAACAGTGTGGTATAAAGCAGATATAATGTCCTTTGGTCCGCTCTCTAGCTGCTGCAAATCTTCCTGGACGCTGCGGAGGAATCGCTTCGGCAGCTCGCGCGCATTGTTCCATTCGACTTGCATGTGCAGCTGGACTTGTTTAAAGTATCGGAGGAGTGTTTGGAGAGTGGTCATCTTGGAAGCTAGCAGCGATAGGTTGATTGGCGACGCGGAGATAAACGGCAAATCTATCGGCACAAGGTGTACATTGCTAGGTTCTCCTTCGTCGTCTGTAAGTAGCAATGCCTGGGTTGAAAAGCGTGGATTCCAAGCGTGCGATATCATTCGCGGTGCGCGGGCTGTTTCTAGCGTTGGACAGTGGAGTGATCCTATCACAAAGCTGTCATAGACGCTCAGATGTAGCTTTCCATCTGTAGTTCCCGTAATCATGGCATTTACTCTGCCGTGGTCAGAGCGCTTCGGAGGCTGGAAGAGAAAGTCGATGCCACTGCGGAGTGTAAACACCGTCGCGTCGTCACTGGAGTCTCGTTAGCCGTATTAATCCCAGCTACTGTTGCTGTGTAGACAACACGTACCCTGCGCCAGCACTCCCTGTAGGAAGCGGGCTGATCTTAGGGAGAGCTGTGTCGATTTCAAGAAACTTGATCTCCTCTGGTAAATCGAGGACATGTTCGGCGTCCTCCTCATCTGCCATAAGGCGCTCTAACTTTTTGGATATCGACGCGGCTGCCTTGTCTACAATGACGGCCGTTGCCCAACCAATATGTGATATTTTACCTTCTCCATCTGTAATCGGGATATTGTGTACTGTTTTATTGTTCTCCAGGCCCATCAGCCGCACAACGCCGTCGCTCCATCCCACAGCGAGAAACTGACCTGTGACAACGATATTAGTTGGCTGCCTTGATTGATACGTGCTCTAAACATTACCGTCTGGCTTCCATGTTACTGTCAATGCATCTGGGGCTTTTGATCCCGGCGCAGAGTACTGGTGGATTTTGGAAACGACCTGCCCGCCGGGTCGATAGATGTAGAGATTCCTTCCAGCGGCGTCCCACGCTGTGCAGAGATCAAGGGCGGGATTGCCCACGGGATAGCCAGCGGTGGCTTTAAAATCAAACGATGTCTCGCTGTGCTGCGAGAGAGACGCGTCCTGCGCCATTTCTGCTACGTTTTTTATCTGCGTGCACGGCGCGGTGTGGACATGTCGCTTGTGGTGGTTGGTGGTAGACGTGAGGTTCGCGCTGGCCAATCAACCCCACGTCACGTCAAGTCAAACGGTGCACCACCCACATGGTTGGTGATGAATACAGGCTCAACTCTCACACTTGCAACATAAATAGAAGACGTAGCACATACTGGAATTTTAGAAAAGCCTTTTTAAACTGTAATTGATTTTCATTTCGCCATTAAATTCTACGTAGAACCACCCCTGCATCCTGCAACTTTTTAAATCTATTCAATAACAAAGTTGTCGGCGTTGGACTTGACATCCTTGGAAAAGGTAACCTCTTCGTCTTCTTCCAAAAGACTGACAGAGGTAACATCGACATCAACAAAAGGCGAGCTCTTGCTGAAGCGGACGTTCATGGGGAAGAACTCGTTTTCGTCAGTGGTCTCAGCCTCAAACTCGAACGAGCCGTTGGGGTTCTCATCGTCAACAGCGCCAATGTTCCACTCCAGTACATCACCAGAGACCTCGTACGAGGCATCAAAACTGGAAACAACGGGTTCGCCGCCCTGGTAGGGGATAGCAACGCTAACGTCGCGGAGAGGGTCGCCGCCAGTCAGCTCATACTCGACTGTAATGTTAAACTTGGAGCCGTCCTTGTTAATCCAGACGGTAAATGTGATGGGACAGGAGGCAGGGTCGTCGGCCTTGGGGGAAGCTCTCCATCTCAAGACACCGACGGCGTTGTTGACGGGGAATCCACGAGCTGTGTTGCTCATCTGGATAACCTTTGTGCTGTTGAAGACGTTACGATCAACGTTGGGGTGTGTACGGAACTGAGCACCGTGCGAGGGAACGGCGTGCAAGGCAAGCTTAATCTTGGTCAGGCTGGGATCTGTTACACGCAGCGTCAAGTCACCAGTAATGGCGACAGAGCCAACTGCTCCTTCTCTGGAGAGCTTGGCGCTGATAGACTCGGAAACGGTAATGTGGATGGCATCGCGGTCCAGCGATGACGAAACATCGTGTTCAACGGCAGCAGCGGCAGCAGGGGCTGGTGCGGCGGGGGCGACAAGAGGAGTGTCGTCAATCTCGCCGCCCATGTCGCCTCGTACGCGCTCAAACATATCAGTCGTCTTGGACTTCTTGCCGAGCTGCATACCCTTGCCTTTGAGAGCGGGGGCCCTGGATGAGGTGTTAGTAAGGCGCAATGATACACGTTTAGTCGGTATACATACTTTTGGAAGGTCTTGTTCTTCTCAGCCTCATACGAGTCAACAGCAGGTGAAGGGGTTGGTCGCGATGGGGCACTGTAGGAGTTGTAGCCTTGTGAGGACATACCGCCTCCCATGCCGGACATGCGACCGGCTCTGGCAGACTCCTTGCGTTGCATCTCGAGCTGCTTGGCCTTGCGCTTGCGCTCTTCGGTAGCTTCGAGTTCCTTGTTCTATAGGTATACGTTAGCATGTCTTATTCCAACTGCAGCAGCAATCATACGCACTCTGGCAATGATTTCCTGGACACGCTCTTCGTGAGACTCCATCTCGAGGAAGGTCTTGATATGGCTGATGTTGAGGTTCTCGCGGTAGCCGAGGGTAACAAGCTCATCGAAAGCGCTGAGCAGCTCGTAGGCATTGCGCAAGATTTCTCTCTCGTCGAGGGTCTTGCAGGCGCCAGTGACGACCTGGGCAAAGAGGTGGAGGGAGTCGATATCTTGGAGGATGTTGGATTGCTTGTTGGTGATGAGCACCATGTAGAGCTCGTCCAATGGCTGGTAGACAAAGCGGACATTGTCTTGCTCGACCGTAGTATGCTGCGTTCCGCGTTCGGCAAGCTTCGGGAAGGACGCAAGCAGAGCCTCTATTCTCGATCGTGGCATCTCTCGGAACTGTCTGGAAAGGACAGCTTTACCCCCGCGGGTGCAAATCGACGCTGCTAGGACGACCTATCAGAGGTTAGCGCCGGGTGTGGCTCATGCAATCGAAGCAGCAGGTTCCTCACCATCTTGGGCGAATTTTATATTCTCTTTCACAAGCAAAAAGACGGTGTCTATGATGGGCGGTGATGTTTGTTGTCCGCGTAGCCTGTGCTTGGATATTGGCCTAGGTGGTGTGAAGTGGGGTCGCCTGCTGTCGTGGTGGCGGTCTTGCGTCCAATGGCCACCAAAAGGGGGCATTCTGCCAGCCTAGCCGTTTTGGGCAAGGCGGTCTTGCTCCTACCTGGCCTAGCTTCAGCCGTCGCAACACGTCCTTGTATGCAAGCAGCCGCTGTCGTTTATGCTTTGTTTGCAACTTGTCTTTCTTTTCTTTCATCTCCAAAACATCACGCAGACGGGTTGATTTTGTTCTAAACCCGTGTCGTAATCGTCGCGCACATATTTATTTTACCTGTGGATCGTCCCGCCACACGCGCACATACACACACGGCAGCTATTCGTCTTTGCCATCGCGAACATTACTTCACACGCGCCACTCAACGTAAAATCGCCCACGAAAGCACCTGATTGCTAACAAAAGTATCGACGAATACCATCTATCAACATAAGGAAGCTAATATACTCTGGATCGATTATTATTCGGCCAGCTTTGAAACGCTGCCTGCACAGAGCTCTTGTCGCAACACGTACTTAATCCTTACGAGGGTTGCAAAACCATGGCCGATGTGGATATCGAAATAAACACGGACCTCCACAAGGCCGGAAAGGAGGAAATCAACGACGAAGATCTTATACAGTACGATAGCGATGGAGGCGAAGCCCAAGAGGATGGTGGCACATTTGACCTCGAAGAGCCAGTGATGGCAGATGACCAAGGAGAAGCAGACAACCAAGACTTTGACACAAATGGTGACGCCACAGCGCTTGAAAACCAGATTGAGGATGGAGACCCGATCGCCACTGAGCATGATATCACACAACCAGAAGACATGTCGCTGTTGGATGCTGCGGCAGATGCTGCCGAGAACGACGGGGAACTGGTAGTGGAGGAACCTATGGAAGGCCAGGAAGACGAAGCTGAAGCTGTCGATGCAGGCGACATTGACTATGACATCTCGTTGGATGTTGGAGAAACTGGTGCCACGGCAGAGGACGCCACTATCACAGAAGTTGTTGAGGTGGACTAGATGGAACCCGCCACTGCACTTACGACTACAGATCTAGGTGATGGTGATAATGATGAAATTGGCTGGGAACATGACGAGGAATCAGCACCGAGTGCACTATTTGCCGCGGAAGAAGAGCAGCCTACAGCAGATGCTGCCGATACAGATGATCATACCCAGGATGGCATCCAGGAAATTGGAACCACGGCCAATGAGTTCCCTTCCATCACAGTCCACTACAAAGGAGAAGAATTCCCCTTTCTAGCGCATTCCAACGGCTTCTTTTCCGATGCTTCTATTCTAGACGAGACGATGGATAAGCTCCTGTCATCACTGCGCACAGAGTTGGAAAACGAGCTCACCGAACAAGACGAGGTTGTCTTCCAAGTCGACGAGCTAGGTCTTGAATTTTCCCAGGTAAGATAAAAGTCCCGCCACACATAATCACCGTGTTTAAAGCTAACATTTCATTTTAGTCTTCTCTCCAAGACTCTATGGCGTCCTTGACGCTACGACAAATCCTTGAAATCTTTGACTTGCTTGTAAAGAACCAAGATCCGGATAACAGCCGCACCCTTTTTACATATGTCATCATCCGCCCCAATACGATTAAACGCTACGAGGCACTTGTCGAAAGTGCCGCTTCTGGAAAGGGTCTGGATGAGGTCATTCACCTGTTCCAACCAACCCTTCCGTCACCCGACACCGGCACAGCAGACCACAGTGAGGACTACGACAGCCCAGAAGTCGAGGGGTTCAGAACACAAGAAGCTGAAGTAGATGAGGATGAGAATGACGACGAAGACGACAACAACAACGATGAGGAAGATGAAGATGAAGACAACGATGAAGCTGACGATATCGAGGAGGAAGTCGAAGTCGAAGTCGAAGCTGAAGCTGAAGACTCAGAGGAGCCTGATGCCGACGAGTCTGAAACACTTGATCTGGACGATATGCAGGAACCAAACCATATGGAAGAAGGCGACGGAGCCGATGGAGAGGAACCTGAGCACGAACATCTCGATGAAGTCATATTCGAAGAGGCTGGTGCGCGCACTGAACCTGGCGCCGAAGATGCCACCTATTTTGATGAGTCGCTTCAGGATGAAGACGGCAATGCTGCAGACGGGTTCTTCGGCCAGGACGTCACACTAGTCGCTACCGATTTTGGCACAGTGGACGACGATGTCGCTGAAGAAGAGGAGGAGGATCTCGCCGCCGATATCCTTGCATCAACAACCAACGAGGATGAAATGGGAGAAATCGACTGGCAAGAAGACGAAGACGCCGATGGCGGCGAGGCAGACGGATCTTCGGTAAACGGTAAACGCCCGCGAGCCGAAGATGGAGCCGGTGTTGAGGATGAGCAAGGTATGTCTCGATGTCGCATTATTATCATATTGAAATTGAATGCTAACAGCGAGTAGATGCCAAACGCGTTCGCTCATAGCGCTCACGCCGCTGCCGATACTAACATACACCCCAGAGAGTCATCTAGAGACACACATCTGGGTGGCATCTGTACACAGAGCTTTCTTGGGATGGATGGTCCCATCATACCCTTTTGTTTGAAAGGCAAAAAACACCTGACAACATTGTTTCTCGCGGATTGCCCTCTTTGGGCGGAGTTTTAAGGCGCAAGGTAAGGATACTTATGATACTAACGTGCACTTGCACATGTAATACAGGTTCGAGTTGATGTCGTTTCGCACTGCTGCAGCAGTTCGCTTATTACCCCCTTGTCGATCTCTTTTATTCTTCTCTTGCGTCTATTTTATTTTCTTGTACTGCCATTTTATTGCAACCAGCAGCAGCCACAACAGCACAAGGCAAAGCAATTGATTGGGTTCGTCTCTCTTTGATCTTGCCCTTACTTGGGGCAACTCGAGGTCGTTAGTGCAGTTCTACTGGACTAGGTCAAGTATGCTGCACGACATTTAGTGGTCGCTTCCGACCAAGGTCGATATTTCACATAGTACCGCCGGTTCGGCCAGAGAAGTAGATATATCTACGAAAATATGAACAAACTCAATGTTGAATGCTTTGACTGGTATAATTGCACGTGATTTCGGGCCACACAGTCCTTTGAGTGTCTGCTCTCAGTGCTGTGTCCCCCCTGCGTTCGCTGGTTCGTGTTTGGTGGGTGTTGGTGGCGTTGACCTCGGCCCAAGCACGCTCCAGATATGGGATCATCATCGCCAGGAACAGCACCAGAAGAGAACATTTGGTGGCGGGAGGCGCTACACTAGCACCACCACCACCACACCAAGGGCACACACCAAGCAGAAAAAGTGTAGCGAGAGGGTAAAGCGGCCCAGAAAAAGGGGCGCGTTTCAGAAGACGCGTGGGACGAGACGGCCGACGTGCTGGAATTTGCCAGTTGATTGGCGATAGAGCATCAGGGCCACCCCCTTTGGCAGGAGGAGTACACGTATCCCGAGACAAATAACGTCGTCGTCATCGGGGTGGCAGACGATCTCTTGGCTCTTTGACGGATGAAGCAACAGAGCCAGGGCCTCGCTTCAACGTTTTGATGGAGGCGACGGCAAAGACAAGGCAGCGCAGCCACCCCCCTGGAGTCGAAAGATGGGCGCTATAAACGTGGGTATGGAGGGGGGCCACTGGCTGGCTGGCTATTATTACATTTACTTGGCTACCTCTTTTTTTTCTTCGGCTCCTACTGTACTGTACGTCCGTAGGTGTGCACCTGTTGACCGGTAGAAACGCTTCATGTGTGTTTGCAAGGAACACGTAACTCGTATCATGTCAGGCGGCGTTGCTTACCCATGTTACAGGGCACCCCCTCACTCCCTAGTTGCAAGTGGGCGCCTGTATCCACCTAAGAGCAACAGCTGCAGCTGCTACTGCATCCACTGTACTGTACTGAACGGCGCTGTGGGAAACGAGTGCTGTTTTTAGCATTTTCCTTCTGGGGGGCCAGCAAACGTTGCGGACGAAAAGCTATTTTCCACGCCTGAAACTCTAATGAAATAAAATATGTGAAAATCTTGATTGCAATCTATATCTACTGTTTTACATCCTTGATTTTTCTATCGTCTCCAAACATTTTCCAACTTCATATACGCCGCCAACCTTTTTCTCCTCTAGCGCTGAGCTGTACTGTCCCCTCTAGCAAGCCTCGCCCAGCCAGCCCACTCCCCCCAGCTTAGCCTAGCGTTTAGTGGTTACCCGCTAGCCGACTCCCCTCATCCTCCTCTACTCCTCCTCTCTCCGCCCCCCCAAAAAAGCCAGGTCCCCTGGTCGTGCTACTTCTTCCTCTTTCTTCTTTTTCCTGCCCCAAACCCTCTACTGCTTGCCCAACCACCCGAAAAAGTGCCCGCAATCGACAAAGAACCGAAATCGTCGCCTGTCGACTGTTTTACCATCGTCCTTTGCAACTACTGCTGCAGTGTTCACCAGGCCGCGCGACACCGACTAGCTTGCCCTACACCTCGCTTTTCTAGACACGGGTCACCTGCTGCGCCTCCTTGGCTCAACGACTGCTCGTTCCCAACATCGCGACTTTTGCTGCGCTTCCAGCACGCACGCACTCCTCCATACGAACAGATTTGTGCTCCATACGGCTGCTGCTCCTGCTGTGGAATATATACGACTCGACGTACCTCCCGGTTGCTGTCTTTTTTTCTTCTTCACCTGCGGGAGAGATCCGAGACACATCGCACGACCAGGCGCATCTCTCCGTACACTCTTTACCTACGACTTTCGTCCGGCGGCCTCCTCAGCACATAGCGCGCTCTTGAAGCGGCTGTCTTTCTATATACTTTCTTTCTTTTCTTTTGTAGTTTTAGCGCGTGCAACAGCCGTGCGCATTTGAAGAAAGCGCCATGGTTGACGACAAGTAAGACACGGCTGCCTGACCGACTTTGGGGTCCATGTGCGTGTGTGTGTATATGTATGCTGACTTGATGTTGCAGATATGTTGGCCTGGCATTGGCCATGTCTTCGGCCATGGCAATTGGTGAGTTTTGGGTTTCTGAGATTTTGCTGTTGCGCAGAGAGTGCTAACGTGTCGCAGGCACAAGTTTCGTCATCACCAAGAAAGGCCTGATGCAGTCCGAGGAGCGCCATGGATTCGAGGGCGACGGCTTCGTTTATCTGCGCAATCCCCTTTGGTGGGCCGGCATTGCTACACGTACGCCATCTTGACTGATTTCTATTGCGACGAGAGATACAGTTTGCTAACTAGTCGTTCTTCTATAGTCGCCATTGGTGAGGTTTGCAACTTTGCCGCCTACGCCTTCGCCCCCGCCATTCTCGTCACGCCTCTTGGCGCCTTGTCCGTCCTTATTGGCGCCATCCTAGGCTCATACTTTTTGAAAGAGGACCTGGGCATTCTCGGTAAACTAGGTAGTGCCATTTGCCTGATTGGCGCCATCGTTATCGTCCTGCACGCCCCTGCCGACAAGGAGATTGGCACCGTGGATGAGATTCTCGATCTCGCCATTCAGCCCGGCTTCCTGCTCTATGCTACGTGCGTTGTGTCGTTTGCCGTCTATATGATTTACAAGGTCGCGCCTCTGCACGGCAAGAAGAACGCCCTCATCTACCTCTCCATCTGCTCGACTGTCGGCTCCATCTCTGTCATGTCCGTCAAGGCCTTTGGCATTGCCCTCAAGCTGACCTTTGCTGGCAACAACCAGTTCAGCCACCCGTCCACCTACGTCTTCCTTATCCTCACTGCCGTCTGCATTCTGACGCAGATGAACTACTTTAACAAGGCCCTCGCCTGCTTCCCCAGCAACATGTAAGTCTACAAGCGTGGCCCTAACCATTGCCCCTCAATAAATGCAGCTCCGCTCTAACATGTGCCGTCTTTAGCGTTAACCCTCTCTACTACGTCACGTTTACCACTGCGACCCTCTGCGCCTCATTTATCCTCTTTGGCGGCTTTGGCACGACCGACCCCGTCAACATCCTCTCGCTGCTCTGTGGCTTCCTCGTCACCTTTGCCGGCGTCTACCTGCTCAACCTCTCACGCAACGACCCCAACGGCACCAAGCTTGCTGGAAACCGCGGCTACGAGGCTACTCCCACGGATATGGTGTCGAGCTTCCAGACGCGCCGCAGCATGCAGTCGCGCCGTAGCGGTGACCCATCCCGGCATAGCATTGGCAGCCTGAACGGCGATCGCCAGGGCCTTATCCACGGCTATGACGAGGAGGAGGCCCACGGATTCGGTCTTACGGATCTTGCTGAGGACAGTGAGGACGACGGCCGCCGACGAAACGGGCACGCCAAGAAGGAGTCGGACACGATTGAGCTGCAGAACCGCGCGCCGAGGTGAAGCTCCTGACGGCACCTGACGCATATGATGAACAAGAGGCTATGAATTTCACTAGGCGGACATGTATGTGTAATGTGACCAGGGTGTTTGTGTTTTATTGGAGGGGTTCTTGGGGTTCTTGGACATGACAGAACTTCGCTTGTACATTTTGAGCTGTGTAGGTTAGTTTTGTCGTGTGGTCTGTTATGATATACCATGAGGATGGGCGTTTCGGCGTGTTCTTTTTTTTCTTGCAGCATTTAGAAATATATGGCATTGGGTTCACCCTACTTCTTTGGTGTTGTTTGTCTTTTTTTGTGAATATATGACTCTGAAACGAGATAGACAGTGGGCAACAGATGAACCACGGCTAAAGACGATACGAAAGATGTAGCATTCGCCATCATTTAGCCAAATTGACCATGTCTACACAGCCTCGTCACATCACAATTTAACATGTTCCATAGCAAACATATTCACCACCATTGTTCAAGCACACAAGCAGCATTTGATGTCATCAAGTTGTCTCATTTTTTATGGTACGCTACCATTACATAACAGATGAAACCCTCATAGATGCAAATGATCAATGACGCCTTTTAACCTAATTCGGTTCTTCTTTTTTATTTCATAAAAACCGGCTCTTCTCCATCCATCACGCTTTCGTCAACAGGAATTTATTGGGGAGCGGCCTCCTCGGCCTCAGCCTCCTCAGCAACGCGAGCATCCTGGCTGGCCTGGGCGGCGGCGGCCTTAGCACCGTAGTCCTGGCTGATGGGCTGGAGAACGGGCTGCTCCTCCTTGGGGTCGATGATGGTGACGGCGTCGGGGAGGGTCTTCTGGGGACCGCTCTTGCCCTCGGGGTCGGCACCGCGCATGATCTTGACCTTGATACCAAGGACACCCTGGCGGAGGAGGACGTGGCGGGTGGCAGTGTCGATGAAGTCCTTGCGGGGCTGGCCAGAGTGAATCATGAAGCCGTCGGAGAACTTCATGGACTTGGCACGGGCAGCACGGAGCTTACCAGAAACGACGACCTCGCAACCCTTGGCGCCAGACTCCATGATGAAGCGGAGGACACCGTAGCAGGCACGGCGGACGGCAAGACCGTTGAGGAGCTTGTAGCGGAGGGACTCGCACTGGGCGACGGCGGAGAGACCGCGGTTCTGGACCTTGGCGGCGTACAGCGAGACAGAGTTCTCGGGGAACTTGAAGCGCTTCTGGATGAGCGAGGTGAGCTCGCGGATGCGGCGGCCCTGCTCACCGAGAACCTGCTGGGTCTGGGTGGCGCGGATGATGATGTCGGTGACGGTGGGGGTGACGCGGACCTCGACGCCGGAGTAGCCCTCCTCAGCGAGCTCGCGCTGGAAGAACTCGTTGAGTTCGGCGTAGAAGACGCCGTCGGCGACGAACTTTCTGCGCTTGGAGCTGGTGGGAGAAAGGACATGTTAGCGGGGTTGTTCTCTTTTCATTCGTCACTAGACGTCGTGGGGTTTCGTTGTCTGCTCTGTCCGTCTGTTTTCTATAATACGTGATACGACATTTGGTGGTGTATATTGGCGAACTGATTCCGTAAGGATGTGGGAAATTGTCGAGCATTTTCAGTAGTCCAACAGTTGTGTATATCGGGACTGTAGAACCGCAATTGTCGTCGTCGTAGTTTCGTAGTTGTGTATTCTCTCTTTCGTCGACTCTTTTTTTTCGTCGTGTCGTGTAATAGTAACAGACAGGCGGCAGAACAAACAATAAAAAACCCTTTGCGTCTATAAAACACAGTCAAACAGCAATTCAACTTACATCTGAGCACCGGGGTGAGACATCTTGACTGATTTACTGGGAGTAACTTGTCGAGGATGAGGAAAGTATGGAAAAGCGTGGATATCGTCAAGCCAGTTGGGTCCCTCTCTGCGCACAGCGCTCGCCTGCTGGTCCCGCACTGCCTCGCATTATTTTTCAGTGTGGGTTGAGCCCTAATCCACCAATTTTGCCCTGGCCCCACTCTCTCGTGGGATGGCCATCAAGCCCGGAGAAACTATTTTGGCGGATCCCGGAATCTCAGATCAGCCTGCCCCACATGCTACTCGGTCCATGCCAGCGTGGAATTTGTTGTAGGGCCACCACAGGCGCTAGACGTGGGCGAGCTTAGTGCTCTCTTTTAGCGACCCCATGCACTGTCGAGCTAGCGCCGGAGCTGTAGCGGCCTTCCAGCGCTGTTGTACCGCCTGACGTCGTCGCATGCCCGCATTTCCCCCACCTTGTGCCCAGCATACCAAGCTCACTCGGACGTCACTGCACTCGGACTGCCTGTCTGCGTGTACGCCGAGGCCATCATTGTCATTGTCATCATCACCGTTTGTTTCTTTCAAGACGCACGATAGCGGGAGAAAGGCAGTAGACGAGGCATACACAACATCACAACATAGATACGCTCGGCTCTTTGGCCCCGCAGACACGCAACGTCACTGGCGGCGGCATACGCGGAGCTTAGCATTAACGCAACGACACACGCATCTCCTCAACAAATATTGATGCTTGGAATTCTCACCTCATAGGCCAATATTTGAAAGGCAACTTTGACTGCTATGGAGGCCAAAAAGGTACACCACCTGCGCTCTTTCAAGCGAGGTCTCGCTGACTCTCTAGATCGTCGACAACGTCCAGGGCATATACGGCGGCCAGACAACGAGCGGCACCCTACGCTTGACCGATTTCCATATTGTCTTTTGCGCACCGGCCCCTGAATCCGACGACGCTCCTAAAGAAGATCCGCCCAAGCCGCCCAAGACTCGAGAAAGATGGCTCACATATCCGATGCTCTCGCAGTGCACGTTCCGACCCGTCCCTCCCACGTCCCGTCAAGCACCATCGATTCGCATCCGTTGCCGCGACTTTACCTTTGTCACGTTCAACTTTGCCGATAGCGATGTTGCAAAAGAAGCATTTGATTTTATAAAGACACGGACTGCCAAACTAGGCAGCGTGGAGAAGCTGTTTGCCTTTAGCCATAAGCCACTAAAGAATGAAAAGGCTTGCGATGGATGGAACTTTTACGATCCTCGAGCCGAGTTTAGACGCCAGGGCATCAGCGAGAAGCTACCGGACAAGGGATGGCGAGTGACCACGATAAACAAGGACTACACTTTCTGCGATACGTACCCGGCGTTCCTTGTCGTGCCGTCCAAGATATCCGACAACGTTCTCAAATATGCAAAGGACTTTCGGTCTCGAAACAGAATCCCTGCCCTATCTTATATCCACCCCGTCAATAACTGCACAATCACTCGCAGCTCGCAGCCTCTGTCTGGAATTACAAGGAAAACAAATGTGCAGGATGAGAAGCTGGTCGCTGCGTCCTTCTCAGCGTCCATGCCAGAAGGATCTGGTGCGCAGACGCCAGTCTCTAGCCAGTTAGACCTCTCCAACACGCCGTCTACAGTCGAACCGGAGCTGTCGGAAACAGAGCGCTATGAAGATGATCTGATTGCCAAGTCGGCAGCGATATTTGACGCAAAGACGGGAAAGCGCTTGATATACGGTGCTCAGCAGAGCAACCTAATTGTCGACGCTCGACCAACCATTAACGCCATGGTCAACCAGGTGCAGGGCATGGGCTCGGAAAACATGGACAAGTACAAATTTGCCCGCAAAATCTTCCTCAACATTGAAAATATTCATGTCATGCGCAGCTCCCTCAGCAAGGTTGTCGATTCGCTCAAGGACGCCGACATCTCGCCACTGCCGCCAAACCGCGAATTGCTTCACAACAGCGGCTGGCTGAAACACATCCATGACGTCCTCGACGGATCAGCCATTATTGCAAGACAAGTCGGTATCAACCACTCACACGTCCTGATCCACTGCTCCGATGGCTGGGACCGCACTAGCCAGCTGAGCGCTCTGTCGCAAATCATGCTGGACCCGTACTACCGAACCATGGAGGGCTTCATTGTTCTTGTAGAAAAGGATTGGTTGTCTTTTGGCCACATGTTTAGATTACGATCTGGCCACCTCAACCATGAAGACTGGTTCACCACCCAACGAGACGCCTTTGCAGGCACCAAGGTCCAGCCTGGCGAGAATGACGGCGTCAACGAGACATTCCAAAACGTTCTCAGCGGCGCTAAGCGCTTCTTTAACCAGAACAAGGACGACGTAGACATGTCCAACAGCGACGAGACGGCATCTGTCAAAACAGTTGACACCCAAGCCACTACGCCAAAGATGGTCAGTCCCGTCTTCCACCAATTCCTCGACTGCACGTACCAGCTTGTCAAGCAAAACCCGAAGCGCTTCGAGTACAATGAACGCTTCCTCCGCCGTCTCCTCTACCATCTCTACTCGTGTCAGTACGGCACATTCCTTTACAACTCGGAAAAGCAGCGTGTCGATGCCAAGGTTGCTGAGCGCACATCCTCTGTCTGGGACTACTTCCTGTGCCGCAAGCAAGAGTTTACGAATCCCGACTACGACTCCACTATTGACGATCATATCAAGGGCCAAGAACGCATTCTATTGCCCCGTCTCAAGGACATCCGCTGGTGGTATCAGTTATTCGGTCGTACTGATGATGAGATGAACGCGGGTCTTAATGCTGCTGCTGCCGCTGAGACGGAGCGCATGGCTGCCGTATCGTCCCTCAATTATCCCTCTGTCGTGACAGAGGAACCCACTCAAGGCGGCGCATCTCCTCGCATTGCGCCTCTCACGTCTAGCCAGTCTGTGCTGACGTCTGTCGAGACGGCCCATGAGTCCCTTACACCTGCCGCTGCCAATCCCTCGCTTCAAAGAAGCGCATCAGCAGAGGGCATGCGCGCCTTTACGGCCATCAAGGAAGGATTTGCTGGCCTAAATATCGGGCGAGGAATGCTGAGCAACTTGGGCATTACTGAGGAGCCAGAGCCAGCGCCTGCGACCAAAACGCAGCCTGCGAACCAGGAAATGCGAGAGATGGCGTAAGAGGGCTATTGTATGATTCTTCTTGTAATAGTTGATTTCAGAACAAGCTTTTTATGGTTAGAAGGAGGTGGGATGGTGTTTGTCAGTCTCTGATGAGCGTTGCATCGCGGGTTTATAAAGTTATTGCTTCCTCCATTTACACGCATTAGTTCAGACTCATATGCATAGATAGATGTTTGATGAATTTATTGTTTTATGACGAATAACGCCGCGTAAAAACCAAGTGTCTCTATTTCCAGCATGGCCCTACGTCTCTTTTTGTTTGTCCAGTTTACTCTTTTTTCATATATGTAGTATTGGTCTCTTTTCTTTTGGTTCGTTACAAGAAAGCCTCGAGGTTGACTTCTACCGTGCTGACGGGATATCTGGGACAGGTTAGCATTTCTGTTTCTTTGTTTGTTGATAGGACAGCATGATCATGAACATACCTAATGTCAAACTTCTCCAAGACGGTAGGGTGCAGGATACCGAATTCACCAACGCGGGCCTCCTTGCCCTCAAGACGGAGGTGCACCGAGGCAGCGTGGCCGTGGAAGAAGGTTTCCTCGTTGAGCTCCTCGATCCAGTAGCCGTCGGGGTTACCGGGGGTAGCTGAGCCCTCGGTCAAGAACTTGGCGTTGAGCATGAGGAAGATGCGGTCGAGAAGACCGTGGACGGCTTCGAAACCAGAGGTCTTGCCGCACCAGGCAGCGGCAAAGTTGCGCTGGTTGCGAGCCTTGCGCTCCTCAGCATCGTCCTTGAAGACAACGTCGGAGACCTCGAAGATCTTCATGGGCACGCTGTGGCCCTTGTTCTCACGGATGGTCTTGAGAAGACCGGGCAGCAGCGAAGTGCGGACAACCTGATACTCAAGGGTCTTGGGGTTGGCAAGACGGACGACAGTGTTGCCGTCATCCTTGCGGTTGAGCCAGGCAAAGTTCTCATCGTGCGAGCAGAGGATGAGAGGGAGGACCTCGACCCAGCCGGCCATGGCGGTCTCGATGCGGACAATGTCGCCGAGCTTGTTGATGGGCAGAGCACCACCGACGGTGGCACCGCGAGCGGGAGATGTGCGGGGGAGGTTGTTGAAGCCGTGGCAGACGGCAAGATCTTCCATGATATCACACTGATGCAGGACATCGGCGCGTGTGGGAGGGATGGCAATGTCGAGGAGGTTCTTGTTGGTGGCAGAGGGCTTGGAAACGTAGGCCATCTTGGTGAGAAGCTTGCAGAGGTCCTCAGGGGAGCCGTTGAGGCCAGTGCAGGCGTTGAGGTAGTCGACCTCGGCGGTGGTCTCGCGCGGCTTGAGAACAGGTGTGACACGGCTGAGGTTGTTGTGCTCCGAGACAATCTTGACGGGTTCAACGGTGAAGGGCTCCTCGCAGTACATGGAGAACATGGTGACAAGCATGTCGGTGACGATGGCGAGCTTGGTCATGTCGGTGGCGGTGATCTCAATGAAGACGTTGGTGGTGTTGAGGGTGATCTTGGAGTGCTCGCCGTTGATGATGGGGGGCAGCGAGCAGACGACGCGGTTGGCATCAAAGATGACGGGGTACACGGGGGCGTCGCGGATGATGTGCAGGAAGCGGCCCAGGTGCTTGTCGGACTCGTAAAAGGTCATGAGCTCCTCGCCGGTCATCTCCTTGGTCTGGTTGAGCGGGATGAACTTGAAGGCCTTGGGGTCGAGCGCCTCGTAGGTGAAGGGGCCCTTGATGGTGTCGAGATCGTGGGTACCCATGGACACGAGCGTTCTGTTACGGGCAAGGTTCTGGTGCAGCTTGTCCTGGAGGCCGATGAAGGAGTCGTAGCGCTCCTGCGTGAACTTGATGTTGCGGAGGACGGCACCGGCGACGAAGGGGCGGACCTTGAGGGTTTCGGGGTGGACGGTGATGACCTGCTGCTCGGCGTCCTTGGGCTCGACAACGCGGTAGTTGGGAGGTGTCATGCGGCCGAGGAAGATGTTTAGGTTCATGGCGATACCTTCGAAGCACAGCATATCGTAGCGGTTGGCGGGGATTTCGATCTTCAGCTGTGGCGGCTCCTGCACGCCATTGACAATGGGGCGCTCATCCTCCTCGGTGTCTTCGTCGAGCTCGACGCCGTACTCGAAGCAGAGGTCTTCGAATTCGTCCTTGGTGTATCTGCAGCAGAGGGAAATCGCAGTGCGGTCAGCATGAGACCGGTTGATGGCGGGGGAGGGGTACGCGGTTTTTGGGGACGGGCAGCGTGAACTTACTTGCGGCCGAGGGCCTCGAAGAGCTTGTACTTGTCTACTGAGATGGTAGGCATGATGGGCGGTGCTGGGCCAATGCCTGTGCTCGGGGAACTTGGAGGGCTCTGAGGGGTTTGGGGATGCAAGTCGATTAAAGGCGGCCGGTGTTGAGTCACAGGAAATTTCCAGCTGACGACGGATTGGCGATGGTGGCCGCTATGAGTCGCGGGCGGCGGTGGTCTACAAGGCGGCGAACGCTGCTAAAATTCGGTTGAAAATAAAAGGAACGTAAATTGGAAGTTAAAGAAGAGGAAGATTATTCTCTTATATTATTTTAGAAATATTTTCAGCTTCAATTACGCTTCTTACGATCGTCCCCAGCTGCAAAGCCCCGAGTAAACTACTCGTCCCTAAAAAAGAGTGACTTTGGCGCCCTCAGCATCCCCACCAAAACCAAAGTCTCCCCATTGGCACCAAAATTCCAGCGACCCAATTGCCCATGGCGGGGTGCCCTTCCACACCGGAATATCCATCGCCCCGTCACCCAGCCAGGTGCCAGAGCTCCGCCATAGCACTGTCAACAAGTGCCCGCCAACTGCCCGCCAGGCGCCCAGCACTCGTCGCCAGCTGCCAGCACCGCACCGCTAATTTCAGGTCCCCAAGCTTGCAACGCCAAAAAAGCTGCTGTTTGCTGCCCCGCCCGCCATTTCTGCATTGCTTGCTACGTGCTGTCCTTTGCTGGCTGCTGCTACTCTCTCGTCGTCCGTGCCATTTTCGCCTGAATTGCCTACTGCCTATCTTACGCTCTTCATCACAAGAGCTGTAATTTTTTTTTCCCATTACTCACCAGTCGTCTGTTCCTGCTGCTGCTGCTGCTGCTCGTCGTCTGCGTTGCCGCTGCCCGCCCTTGCACACGCGATCCACCGCCCGCCTCCGCTTCCCAAACAACCTGCCTTTCCTCCGCCAGCGCAATCCCCTTGCCGACCTCTTCGTCAACACTATCCCCAGCCCGCGACGCACGCCTCATCGCCTACATTCGCCATGGCTGACGCGCCAAACCCCAACGATGAGCTCTATCCTATTGCTGTGCTCATCGACGAGCTAAAGGTAAGGCGGTGACTGACCCAACCATCTCCTCCTCGGGCAACGCTCTGACGCAACGGCTTCTCTTCTAGCACGACGACGTCCTTCTCCGACTCAACGCAATTCATCGTCTTTCCACCATTGCCTTGGCCCTGGGCCCTGAACGCACCAGAGAAGAACTTATTCCTTTCCTCGACGGTTCGTCTGACTGCCCGCCTAGTCTAGCCCGTCGCGTCACCCGTTCTAACACGTCTCGATAGAATCCGTTGAAGATGAAGACGAGGTCTTGGTTGCCCTGAGCGGCGAGCTCGGCACCTTCACAGAATATGTCGGAGGCCCTCAGTGGGCGCATGTCATTCTCTCCCCTCTCGAGAACCTTGCTGCCATCGAGGAGCCCGTCGTCCGCGACAAGGTAAACAACAGACGATTGTCAAACGTTGATGCATATCTAACAGCTGCATAGGCCGTCGAATCTCTCAACAAGGTCTGCGAGGATCTCTCCCCCGAACAAGTCGAAGAATATTTTATCCCCCTCACCATGCGCCTGTCGAAAGCCGACTGGTTCACATCCAAGGTCTCGGGCTGTGGCCTCTTCACTGCCCCCTACAAGAAGGCCTCGCCTCCTGTTCAAGAGCAGCTGCGCCAGCAGTTTGGCTTGCTTGTTCATGACGATACTCCCATGGTCCGCCGTCAGGCCGCCACCAACCTGGCCAAGTTTGTCAAGGAGATGCCTGCCGCCATTGTCGTTGAGGAAATGATTCCCCTCTTCCAGCACCTCGTCCAGGATGACCAGGACAGCGTTCGTCTTCTCACCGTCGAAATCCTCATTTCCATCGCCGAGGCGGTTCCCACAAAGCAGCAGTCGAGCCACGGCGTGCTTCTCACGTCGCTGCGCAACTTGATAGAAGACAAGAGCTGGAGAGTCCGTTACATGATTGCCGATAGATTTGAGAAGATTGCCAAGGCTGTCGACGAGGAGGTTGTTTCTCGCGATCTTGTCCCTGCCTTTGTCAAGCTTCTCAAGGACCAGGAAGCCGAAGTCCGCACAGCCATTGCTGGCCAGATCCCCGGTTTCTGTGCCCTTGTCGACCACGAGACCCTCCTGGGTGATATTATGCCCAGCGTCGAGGATCTCGTCTCCGACACCTCCCAGCACGTCCGTGCCGCTCTCGGTACCCAAATTAGCGGCCTCGCCCCTATTCTCGGCAAGCAAGAGTACGTCCTTTCTTCATATCCCGTCATATGGGTAATACTAACTTTTGTACAGGACCATCGACCACCTCCTCCCCATGTTCCTTCAGATGCTCAAGGACGAGTTCCCCGAGGTCCGCCTTCACATTATTTCCAAGCTTGAGCTTGTTAACCAGGGTATGTTATTATCTAACCGCTACGGGGAAACTTGACGCTAATATCGATAGTCATTGGTATTGATCTGCTCTCACAATCGCTGCTCCCCGCCATCGTCACCCTTGCCGAGGACAAGCAATGGCGCGTTCGCCTGGCCATTATTGAATACATTCCTCTTCTGGCTAGCCAGCTCGGTGTTAGCTTCTTTGATGAGAAGCTGAGTAACCTGTGCATGGAGTGGCTCGGCGACACCGTCTTCTCCATCCGTGAGGCGGCCACCCACAACCTCAAGAAGCTGACTGAGGTCTTTGGCGTCGAGTGGGCCAGCGAGGCCATCATCCCCAAGGTCATGGCCATGGGTAACCACCCCAACTACCTCTACAGAATGACGACATGCTTTGCCATTTCGGTACGTAACCCATCATTTTGTTTGTTCTACTATTGCTAACCAGCTCTAGACCCTCTCTACTGTTGTGTCGATTGAAGTGATTGCCAAGTCTATCCTGCCCATCATGGACAAGCTGACGGAGGACGATATTCCTAACATCCGCTTCAACGTGGCCAAGACATATTCGACACTTATCCACGCGCTGAAGCGCCTGCCCGAGGATGGCACTCTGTTTACTCTGGAAAAGGAAGGCAAGGAGACGACCCCATCTCCTCGTGGCCAGGAGCTGATCCAGTCGCGCGTCCTGCCCAACTTGGCCAAGCTGCAAAAGGATGATGATGTGGATGTGCGATACTTTGCTACAACAGCTACTGCAGAGGCCAATGCTGCGCCGGCGGGAGGCGACCCCATGAACACGTCACCATAGAGGTTGAACATTGCAGAGTAAAGAAAAACGTTATGTTATAGATGCCATGATATTGTTTATCCTTTTTCCTCGAAATCTTCTTTTTGCTTTTGTATTATGTGTAAAATGTCTATGAAAGACGCTGCATGCAAAGTGTAGATATTGTCTGGCCTTTGGCGCCGCCAAAGCTAAATGTCCTGTACTTGACGCGGCCGACGACGGCAAATTTGCCAGCGGTTTCGTCTTGCCCGTTAACAAACCAGCCTTGTAGTTCCTGTTCTGTCCAATTGCAGCTCGTAATCAAGAAGATTCCTCCAACCTTTAGCAGAGCCAACGCGCGCGGTCTATAGCCAGCCATGATTCGCTGGCCGCTTTCATTCGTTGCAGCCGAGAGAGAAATGGCATCGAATGTCCCCTTATCAAGAAGCACGTCATAGCCGTCCTTTTGGTCGCCAAATGCGTCTTCCATCGGTCCTGCAAGCAGGTCCCATGTTGTAAATGTTATCGGTTGGCCCTTTGCTTCTGCGATTTTGCGCGCCAGAGCAACACTCTGCGGTGAGTAGTCGATTCCGTGAAGCGGGCCGGAGAAGTTATGTGTAGCTAGCGAAGAGAGAAGAGATCCGTTGCCGGTTCCGAGGTCGAGGAACGACGTGGTCTCGCGGGAGAGTGTGATATCGGGCAGGTCAAAGTTGGCAGGGTCGTCGTCTTCGTCGTCCGAGTCCTGCTCGTCGGCATCGCTTGCTAGGAGCCGTAGGAACTGTAGCATCTTTTGCTCGGCGTCCGAGTCGTCGAACCATACTGTGCCAATATCGGTGGGGTCTGCTTCGTTGTTGGATAGTTCGCGGGTGTAGAGGTTGTCCCAGCTATTGTAGGTTAGCTTTTGGAGGTGGTGTAATGCAGGGGGGGTTGAGCGTACTATTCTTTTGTGCCGAGCTCAGAAGGCTCAAGATGGTTTGGGTTCGCCATTTTGAGGGAGGTGGAAGTGTTTGGTTTGTATGGCGGGAGAATGACGAGGTTGATGGAGGACGTTGGAATTTTGGAGGGGCAGATGGAGGGGTGGGTGGTCGAGAAGGGAAGGCGGTGGGTTGGGCGCTACCCTTTAGTTTGACGTTGAGCAGCGAGTTGTGAGAAGTTGCGCCAACAGTGTGATAAAAAAGATTTAGAAGCTGAGGTTGCGTTTTTAAAGAGTTGTTAAAATATTTAGAGGTATTGATTACGCATTTTGCATCTTGTTTGGAGGTTAGGGGAATGTTGTGGTGAGATATCATTAGTGGCGGAGGTTAAGTTGGTGTCACGCGAGAGAGGAGGAGCAGTTGTGTGAGCATCAAGTCTATACTTTTTTTGTTTTTATATACAAAATGCTACCATAAAATATCGTCTTTGACGCTTTTAGCATCTATGCAAGATACGACGAAAAAAAAACCCTAGAGAAGGGACAGAGAGAAAACCCAAGGAGAGCAAGAAACAAGACCCAACACCGTGCCCATGAAAAATAAACCGTATAAAGAGAAAAGAACCGCTAGTACATTGCTTAGTAGAAGCTTTCCACCATGGTATCCTTCATGTTTGTGTTGATGTTGCTTGGGCCCTGGCCGTCGCCGAGGCGGAAGACGCTCTCGACAACACTCAGCTCGGTGGCTGTTGTGTCGAGGCCAGTGACGGCGAGCCAGTCGTTGACGACCATGCCGGCGCCGACGACGTTGCTGCCTCTGTTGACGGAGCCAGCAACGAGGGGCACCTGGAGCAGACTGGACAGCTCGTCCTGGTCCTGGATGCTGGTCTTGGGGTGGACAAGGCCGCCCTGGTTGGAGAGGGCCATGTAGCTGCCGACGAGGACGTTGTCGGCGACGGTCTGGCGGAAAACCTCGACGCCGAGGACGTCGGCAATGATCTCCTCGGACTCGCGCTCGAGATCGGGGTGGATGAGGGCGATGTGGTCATTGGCAGCAATGACGTTACCGAGGGCTGAGAGGCGCTCCTCAATGCGCTGGATGCGGACCGAGTCGGGCAGCGAGTTGCGCAGGTGCTGCAGCTCCTGGTCGGTGGTGGTGGTGGGCACCAAAAGTCCCTTGCGGTTACCGGCCGTCAGGCGGCCGATGATGCGTGTGCCGGCAATTGTGGTGCGGACAGTAGGGATGATGTCTTGGAGCTCGGACTCGAAAACACTATGGTGAAAGTTAGCAGATATATCAAGCACCCACGCATGCACGCACGCAGCGCGGGGGAAGAAGAAACACGAACCTGTAAAAGTTTTCGCTGGCGCCGAGAGCAACAAGAGCATAAGAGTTTGTGAGGGTCGCGAAGACACCAACCCTGTGAAGAAGCTTGCGGTTAGTTCGTGATGTTCTTGCGTACTACCCGGACGGTTTTATGGCGGGGTAGTAGTAGCACAAGAGAGAAGGGACAACATACTCGTTGGAGTTTTCGAATTGCGCACGGAGAGCCATGGTGTATGAATGGACTGGTATGAGATTCGGACGGGTAGTTAGGGTGTAGTAGAAGAGAGGGAAGTAGAGTGGTTGGAGGAGGAAGAGGTTGCTTGGAAGGCGAAAGATGCGGTTTGATTTTTTTCGTTGGTAGTAGTGACGGAAATGGTGGGGTCCAGCACAAGCTTTTTATCTACCAGAAGAGAATTTGCGGGGCGTCTGGAAGCGCAGAGGCAAAGACAAAAAAAAAACTAAAATAAAAATAAAAATAAAAATTACGAGGCTAAAACAGGGAGTCAGCGGCTGGCCAGGTTGATTTCTGGGCGAATTTTAAGAGTCACGGTGGAGAGAGGGCGGGCAAATGCGTCAGTCAGGCCAGCTTTGTATGCGGTGCGTGTGAGTCAACTGTGCTGCGGAGTGGCGTGTGATTGGCTGGTGAACGGCAGTGCCTGGAACTGGACCCGGGTGATCTGGGCGCGGCTGTGTTTGGGGGGGTGATGTTCAACGAGATGGATTATGACGATGAAAAAGTCTGCTAGTAAGAAAAAGAGCATGTGGAATTTAATTGGCAATTTTATCCACCAAGATAATCAACGTGCGGTGTGCAGCGTCGACTGAAAGCAGTCTGCATACAGCCCATATACTGTAGTGGACTAGGCTAGCTAAATGGCAGTCATTGATACACATAAATCATGTACGACAAATACAATCATCCGATTGATACTATTACAAGTCATCCAATTGCCTTCTCCATACGCACCAGTCACACTCTCACCTCTCCAAAGTGGTGCTGTGAAACACGGTGCCTGAGATCCCCGGCCTCAACCACCACCAACACCAACACACCCGGCCGCCCATCATTTACACAGCTGGCTTCACCTACACTCACACTTCCTTCGTCACCACCACCATCATCATCCCCTCAACCGCCACAATGCCCAATCCATCACCATGCTCTCCCGCATAAAACACCTCTTCCGCCCCAAATGGCCCATCCTCACATTCCCCCAATCCGGCCCGCCAATGCCCACCCCCGCCGTCGAAGAGACTCTCCCAGACTACCTCTCTACACGCTACCATCCCACCGTCATCGGCCAAGTCTTCAACGACAGGTACCAAGTCGTAGGCAAACTAGGCTTTGGCGGCGCCTCCATCATCTGGCTAGCGCGCGATCTCGAGTACGTGTCCCTCCCCTCTTTTGTATCAGTCCATCCACTAACAACAAAGTAGACAGCGGCGCCATGTCGCCCTCAAGGTCGGCGTGCAAAAGTCGTCTCTGCATAAAATGTACAACGAGGGTCGTATATACGCGCGCATGCCGCCGTCCAAACATCCCGGCCGAGAAGCGATCCGGCCGCTCCTGGATTCCTTTGACGTTGAGGGTCCGACGGATGTACATCCGTGCTTAGTGCATCCTGTGCTCTTTGAAGATCTGCATGAGTTTATGGAGAAGACTGGTAACAGGCAGCGCATGCCGCTGGTAATGAGCGCTACGATTCTGCAGCAAGTGTTTAGGGCGCTGGATTATCTCCATACAGAGTGCAGAGTGATTCATACAGGTGAGTTGATGCCGGTTTCATCGCACTTGTGAATATAGGCTAACGATGACCGTGCAGATATCAAGACAGACAACCTCATGTTTCCGACGACGGATGAGTCCGTCTTTACAAACATCGAAAACGCGTGGCTGAAGCAGTCTATCCCTCGCCGAACAGACGAGACAGGACGCATCATATACCCCATTACCTTTGTCCCGCGGCCCGCTAGCAAGGATATCCTCATCCCTGTGCTGTGCGACTTTTCCGCATCGGTCCCGGGAGACAAAGACGGAAAACACATGATCCAGGGCGAGCCGTTTCGCGCGCCAGAAGTACTGTTAGAAATTCCATGGTCGTATAGCGTCGACGTATGGAATACCGCATGCATGGTACGTTGGCCGATCATTTCTCTATTAGTCTTGCTCACATCCAAATAGGCCTGGCATCTGATACACGATGTCCATCTCTTTCCGGCACCGGCGTACACGCCCTCCTCACCAACCACACATCTCGCATCCATCATCAATCTAATTGGTCCCCCACCAGCTAGCCTCCTCGCGCGTTCGCCTACGGAGTACTTCCCCAACGGCGAGTTCATAGATCAGGGCCTTCTGTTGCGGCAGCGCGAGACTTTTGCCGATCGACAGCAGCCTAGAGATGCTGAACGGACAAAAGAGTTCTTCAAGGAGGCTGGCAGGACCTCTGCTGAAGGTCGCGAGTTGCAGCGTCTCTTCATAGCACTGATGGAAAAGGCGATTCGCTGGGATCCTGCTGAGAGGGCAACTGCTGGACAACTTGCAGACGACGGCTTTTTCGAGGCTGTCACATACGCGAAAACCCCTGTATAACACAAACAGACAGAAAACAGGCGATGACTTGTATATAGAACCACTCAGACGACCTTTCTACTTAGTAGGACAGACGTATTTTGTACATAGCGCCTGGTTAGGCAGAAACATCAACCACTCAATGTTTTGCTCACATATATAAAAATGAAATATCCGTAATTCGTCAATACGCTACATGCATTATATACCAGCGTCTAGTAGTACCAACTGGCGACACTCTACCCCTACCCGATTTTGTCTTTTTTCCCTTTTTTTCTAATCGTCTTTTTTGCTTTCTTGGTTGTCGTTAGAGTATCCATACCGGCGCCTTCATCAGCACTTGACGGCCGCGCACTTCAACTGCCATGAATCCGGCGAATCGCACCTTGCTGTCCTTGGACAAAGCTGTTTTCGTGTTAGTCTGGGGTTTGTGGTGAGATAAAGGAAGCGGAAACTGACCTCTGGACTTTTCTTCGTCATCGTCATCGTCGTCGTCGCTCTCGGGGCGTGGCTGGCCGTCGAGCGTGGGCAGCGCATTCTTATCCACCTCCATGAGATGCGGGCGCACCATCTCGCCTGGTAGCGGGTACATGATGGCAACGTCACGGCTCTCCAGTGGCAGGTTGGCCACAAGAGCAACGGCAATCTCGATAATGGTGGATGCACTGCCCTCAATGCCGGCAGGCGGCGGTACGCTAAGATACTGATGCAGGCAGGCTGTCAGGTTAGTGACAGCCTTGGAGGTAAAGAGAGCACGGTTCTCGGCGGTCGTGGTCACATCGAGCTTTTTCTGGAGGCCGTCAAGCGTGGCCATGCGCCAGTTGACAATCTTGGTGGTAAGGGCATCAAACTCTTCGCGGCTGTGCATGGTATGGGCATTGCCGCGGATGCTCAGCTCAATCTCCTTGAGCTGCATGCTGAGCGACATTTCCAGACCGGGGTGGAAACATTTGTTGAAAATCTCCTCGACGAGCCAGCGAGAAATGACGGCACGGCCCACGGCAGTCATTTCCTGCTTGGCTGTCTTGAGGGCATCAGCGCTGACATAGCTATCGAGCCACTTGGGAAGGCAGCGCCAGTCCTTGCGGATATTAAAGGACAAGTCCTTGATGGCCCCGTCCAGGCGGGTGAAGCGTGTCACGTATTCGCTGTCATCTAGGGCTGTTCTAGACTGCGACATGCGCTGGTTGGCGACGGCATTCTGCAGCGTCTCGACCTGTCCATTGAGTGCCTCGATCTGGTTCTTGCCGTCAAAATACAGACGCTTAACATGCTTATATTTGGTTACTGAGAGACGGTGGCGTTAGTACTGGCAATTTGGCATTGATTTGAGACAAGGAAAGAAATGTGAAATGCAAGGGAGGTAGTGGACGGGCAATAAAAGAATAAAGTAAAGACAAGAATAGATACCAAGGCCGTGACGACTTACATAATTCTTTAAACTGCTTTTCTGATTCGCCATCGCGCTCGGCGGCGGGTGCGGGGCTATCGCGACCCTGATCGACAGCGGCACCTTCGAATTGAGCTCCGCGCTCACCCTTGAAGGACGCTTGGCCAGAGGGAGGACCCGCGGCAGGAGGTTGAGGGCTGGTTGGGTTGATACCGGCAGTGCCAGCGCGGTAGCCCGGAGGCGGGCCGGGAGGGGGATCTACTTGGGCACCACGCAGAGCCTTTTCGGCATCCTGGGTTCGGCGGCCAGCCGTTGCTGGACCAGAGGGCATTGCAATGGATTTGTCGGGGCTGTAAGCGTTTACTTGGCCCGGTTGACGGTTCTCGGGGTCGGTGACGGGCGACTCGTACGACAGCTGCGAGTCAGTCTCTGGGTTGGTATGTCTGAGGGTGGGAGGCCGTAGGATGTCCTGCTGCGAGTTATTGTTGGACAAGTAGGGGTCCTGATTGTTATTGTTGAAGGCTATGGGGGATTGCACTTCGTGACCGCTGCCCTCGTATTGGTCTTCGTTGGTGACTAGGCCGGGGAGCTGGCCTTGGAGGAGCTGGGGGGATGGGCGGAAACCGGGAGCCTCGTCGTAGGCAGAGGGGTCGACGTCGCTGCTGTTGGAAACTTGGCGGATGGGATTAGGCGCACGAGAGTCCTGATGAAGTTTTAGTTAGCAATTGAGGATATTCGGGGCAGACGCGAGGGTGTGCACGGCCCTCGCAGCCGGGGAGAAAAGACGAGACGCACTCGTTTGCTAGTAGACGGCCGGCGGTACAAGTTTCCACCTGCGTTGTTATTATTACTATCGTGCAGAGAGTCGTGAGCGTAATGCTCGTCGGCAGGATGATGGCCTAGAGAAGAGCTGCTGCGACCCGAGCCGAAAATGCCCTTGATAATTTGCAAGCCGCGGGTGGTTCGCTTGGGATAGGCCTGCTGTTGCTGTTGCTGTTGGGGCGGGGGCGCAGCGTTGAGGTACTGCTGTTGTTGTTGCTGCTGTTGCTGCAACTGCTGGAGAGACTGCACCTGATTGTGGCCAGCGGCAGGGTATTGTGCAGCAAGGTCGTCGGCAGAGCTAGTGGCGATGCCGATACCGTAGAGTTGCTGTTGTTGTTGGTGGTGGAGGTGCTGCTGCTGTTGGTGCGGGTGCCCAGCGGAGGGGGGAGGGAGGCTGTGCGGTGAAGAGGCAGAGGAAGCGAGGGGGGCAAAGCGCTGGCTCTGGGAGCGGTTCACGAGGGTATCGTGGGATTCGGCAGCAGGCAGGATCTGACGAACATCAAAGTCGTCGAGAGAGCCGCCGGGGTGGTGCTGGTGTTGTTGTTGGTGGTGGTGATGGAGGGAGCCTGAGGCGGACGGGGGGTTGGACGAAGGTGGTGGTGCGTTGAATAGGTGCGGCGGGGGTGCGGGCTGCTGTTGGTGGTGGTGCTGTTGCTGCTGGAGCTTCTGTGGAGGCGGTTGCTTCTGCAGCTTGCTGGGGCCGGCGACAAACTGCTGCTGCTGTTGCTGCTGGTGAAGAAGCTGCTTCTGCGCGGCCTCAATCTCGTCTCGCGAACTCAACGACGCAGAAGGCGCTGTAGCAGCAGCAATAGAAACCGAGGGAATACTGTTTGTGTCAGACGATGAGCGGTGCTGTTGCTGCTGCTGTTGAGACGCCGAAGCACCGCCAGCAGAAACCGACGCGAGGCTGGCGGCCGTGCTGGCACTGGCGCTGTGGACAGAGGAGGGACCCCCCGTGGCTGTGGCGGGATCCGCGACGTTGGAGCCCAGGCTAGCAGCGCCTGAGGGACCAAGTGTTTCCGGGTGTTGCGCTTGCTGTTCCAGGCCGTGCTGCGAGCGGTTGTTGTGTTTGCCTAGGCGCCCGAAGCTCGGCATTGCTCAGTCCGATGCGCGCACCTGGGATTTTGGGCCTTTGTCTATTTCTAACAAGGTGCGTCGGGGTCACGCAAAGGGGGCGGGCGAGATGCGACAGCGAGGAGATGTGAGAGATGTGAGGAGAAAGAGAGCCCGGCGCGTGGCAATGCTTCTGGGGGACACGGAAGAAAAAGGAGGGGAGACGGAGAGCCAGGAGGAGGGGGGCGTGAGGCGCAGGCAGCGCTGAATGAGCCAGTGGATGAAGCGAAACGACGGCACGGCGAGCGATGGGTGAGAATGGAGAGAGAGTCAGTGCTAAAAGACATGGGAGTCTGGGTGGTGGTGGTGGTGGTGGTGGTGGTGGTGGTGCGCCAAGCGAAGCACACACAGCGTGCGGTGCGGGAACGGGGGGCGACCACAGACGGCGACAGCGGCACGGGCAGCTAATACTGTCGAACGCAGGGCCAGTGTGGACGGTTAGTACATGAGCGTGTGTGTGTTGAGCTTAGCAGGGGGGGTGTTGGGTGTTGGGTGGTGCGTATGCTGTGCTGGCTGTTGTCGTGGTGGTTGCGAGCAAGACAAGCTGGGATGCAGATGGAGTTTGGGGCTAAGCAAGGAAGCAAAGCGGGGAGGAGGGGACTGTAGCGGTGCGGATAGGCCCTCCCCCAAGACGCTAACGAGGGGTGGAAGCTAGGGACGAACGGGTAACGAGGGAGAAAAAAAGAGACGAGAGGCGCAGGGGACTAACAAGTTCCAGTTTTTAGTGGAAAAGAAACCCGCAGACCGTTGTTGAAGCAGGACGGGCGAGTTACCATAGGCTTGTATTTGCGCACAGATACGCACCACCTCCCTCAGACAAGGGTGGCGAGTACTATATTATTCGTAGTGGTGTTGAGAAAAAGCCAGATGATGAGAAATGCTAGATGAGGCAATACTTGGTGTTCCAATTGGTGCTTGGATTTTTAGAATCTGTGGTTTGGGAGGATGTGGCGTGTCCGTGGACGGAGCAAGGTCGAGATACGGGAGATGAAGCTGAGCACCGCCGCGGAAGATGACGACGCTTGACATCAAAGTATACTTGGCAACATCCCTGCCAACAAAATTCATACAGACAATACAGAAACTGCGTTTTCTTGTTTGAATTCTTGTGATATTATGCCATATTCTTTTGCATCTCGTAAAAAATGATAAGACTCTGAGAATCCACTCTCCCGTGCGCTAGCCGAACATGCCTACTGCAGTACTACAGTACAGCGCAGCCCGTAGCGCACAGAGACACCACTGACAGCAGCCCCGGCCGCAGCCTGACGAGGGTCCAATTTCCGTGTAAATTGCTAACAGCAGATAGTCTTTTCTTTTTTTTACTTTCTCACGGGCTGGCCTTTCAATTGATTCACTTTTATATATTTTATACCTCCTTTTTACACACATAGTAATTTTCAATGCGAACAGCCGTTGCTCTTAATCCAATTACGATTAACCTGGCCGCCATCCACAGAAGCGAGGCTGCGCTACACTGAAGGAAAAAAAGCCAGAACATGCAGCCTTCTTTGATTAAAGAAAATTGGGGGCGTTTCTATATTTATCAGCGCCGCATATGAACCAACAGCATGAGCCCTTTTCTCATAATCTCTACAAACCACTCTCTCTTATTTTGCATGACTGTCCAATTAGTAGATATTTGTCGTAATTTCTCTTTACTCACAACATCCGGGATTCCACAAGCGCGTTTTCTGGCGGATCGTTTGCCGGCATTTGGCGGACACTTGGCCAGGTGCCTCGCACTGACCTAGCACCTGGCACCTGGCCGCATGGCTGCCAATCACAACGCCACGGCTCCCACTTAGCAGCCTTCTCTCTCTTTCTATCACCTTGCAAAATGTGCTATTCGTTTTTATCCAGTTTTGTTTCCTTCTCTTGATGCTGCAGACTTTTCACTTCGTAGCAAACACAATACAAACCCACTAATGCTGCCAGCTGGTTTGCTCCAGGTCGTCAACTTGCATACGCAGGGCCAGCCACCAACACGTCTAAGCAAACAACAAACCACTCCTTCGAAGATTTTGCTAACTCGCTCCACTCACTAGCCTCACGCATCTTCCATTAGCTCGCCCGACAGCTCCCCTGGCGAATTGCCCGGCCCATCTCCTCTTTGAGATCGTCGCCCGTCTGCCATGCCATGCCACCCACACCTGCTCCTCTCTCGGCGTCCAAGCACTCTCCCCACGAACGCAGTGCTGCGTCCAAGCAACAAGTAGAATGCATGCTGGCCACTCACTTACAGCACAAGTTCGCCAAGTATCCTCATTTTTTTTTGTCTCGTCTAGTTTCTAGACTAGACTACTGCTGTAGAGACAATCAGGCCGGGCGAATAGTCTCGCTTGTGAACGACCAGACGTGGTGCGCTGCAAGTCGTGGTATATAAATAGACGCCGCCTTTTCTGCACGCATATGAATCGTAACCAGCGGCAGCTGAGGTGTTCCGTTCGCCAGCCCTCTTTGTGCCCTCAGGCTGCTACCCAAAGTGCAGCCTTGCTAGCGACACGGCAGATGCAAGGCTGCATGACTGCAGGTGGCTGCAGCGCTTTGCGGGCTCCGGCGAGTAATATACTACTCGTGCTGGGGTACCAATGCGTGCTCGTTCATAGCGGCAATCCATGGATGACCTGCGGGTTTGCGGTGTAGGGCTTTGTATGCAATATGCTCGTATCAGCAGCGGCAGTTGTTTGGCTGTCCGAGAGCGTTTAAGCAGACAAGTAGGCTGATCAGCATAAGCGTCTTACAGCCCCCAACAACAAAGTAGACGCATGATTACCCAACCTTGTAATCCGACGCTGCTAGTTCTTAATCAGCACTTGCAAGGCCTGTGCCTTGTACGAAGAGATGGGTGGCAGCTTGTGCTATGTATGAGCCTGCTGCGCACTCACTCTGAGCGAGTTGCTATGGCGTGCGTAGCTACGTTCTATGTATGGTGGTATGACTATCCATCTACAGTTAGTCGTAGATTGTTGTACTCGCTTATTGTAGGAGATGAGTTCCATATGTAGATTTATAACCTGCAATAGCATGCGAGGAGACATGGATAAGATGCCTTCAATCTCCAGTGCGTTACCACTCCAACCACTATTTACACTAAGGCTAGGCCTAAATCTTTGTATGCCATTTGAGTCTTTGAGCAATCACTATTTTATTAATATATTTCTTTGAATAACACTCGACAACTTTCTACGTGTTTAGTCCACAAACCCAGAGCTACCACCGTTTGTAGCCTTACATCCCCATTACCCCAGACTAGTGAGCACCCCCACCACCTCTTTCTCCAAACCACGTCATTCTCGGCACTTGCAACCAACCATTATAAAATTCGCCTCAAAATATGTAAATAATACATTGAAACACCACGTATCAGATGCTCGCTAGCGAAGCCTCCACCTTCCTCTAATGGGTAATACTGGGAGAGACGCCAACTAGATTGCCAAAGACGGCGTTGTCATTGGCGGACCCCGCGGCCGGCGCTTCGGAGCCAGCCGACGTCCCGTTATCGGCAGCTGTTTGACCCCCAGATATAAGTCCTGGCGGTCACCCTAGCTTTAGTGTATCTTGAGAGATTCATCACTAGTATCACCAAACACGCATCATCACAGCATCAAACGCTGCATAAGTAATCAGTAAATCATTCTCTAAGCATGGCACTCTTGTCGCCCACCATCATCGCCGTCGCGGCCGCGCTTGTCCTCCTCGCCCGCGTCGTCTTGCGCTTGACGTCCCCGCTCGCTCGTCTGCCGGGCCCAACCGTCTCCAAAGTCACATCGCTATGGCTCAAGTACAAGGAGCTGCGAGCAGAGCGCACGGCGTATATCCACAGTCTGCATAAGCGGTATGGGCCTGTGGTGCGAGTCGCGCCGGACGAGGTGTCGTTTACGTCGTGGCCGGCTGTCAAGGAGATTTACTGCTCGGGCGGTAGCGGGTACGACAAGACGGAGTTTTACGACTTGTTTAAGATTTTCGGCATCAGGACCATGTTTACGACGCTGAATAAAGCAGATGTAAGTGTTGGGACAAGTCGCGTGACAGACCATTTGACTGACAGAGTGATGATAGCACGCGACTCGCAAGAGGATTCTGGCAGATCGCTATGCCAACAGCAATGTCATGAAGAGCGTCTCTGCAGAGGGTATCCAAGAAAGATCCAGGCGCTTTGTCGAAAGGTGTACAGCTGTACCCGGTACCGCGGCGGACGTTTATGTAAGTTGAATGACTGAAACCGGCAGATGTAAAGCTAACGGTTCTAGATTGGTATGTTCTTAGTGATATGTAGAGGACTCATAAACTAACAAAACTAGCGCTTCATGCGTATGCTTGCGATTGCATCACTCACCACCTCTTTCACCCCCACGGGACGGACGCCCTGCGCAACCAGGTGGATGAAGACATGATGCACCAGGTTGCGTCTGACAACTCGCTGCAAAGTAAGACGACTTCTATCATTGATCTTGAAGTTTGCTAACTCTTTAGACCGTCTTATTTCATACTACTCACCAACGCTGCATAGCCTGTTTGGCGGCGTGCTTGCTCTCTTTGCCAAACCCCGCATGACACCGCTGGCAAACAACTATGTTCTCAAGACTGCCAAGTGCCCAGACCCTGCTCCATTTACGCTAATGAGCCGCCTGGAGGAAAAGTCTAAGGAACTCACCATGACAGACATGGCAGCCGAGTGCCTCGACCACATGACTGCTGGCATTGATACTACAGGCGATGGTCTTTGCTTCTTGATGTGGGAGCTCTCACAGCCACGGTCACTAGAGATTCAGCGTAGGCTTTCGGAAGAAGTTCGAGAGGGTATCGCGCGTGGTACGCCCATTGACCAACTACCGTTTCTTGATGCAGTCGTCTGCGAAGGCCTACGCTGCTTCCCGTCCATCCCCATGTCCTTGCCGCGCTACGTACCGGCTGATGGCAGATTGATTGATGAAACCTTTATCCCAGAGCATACCAAGGTCAGCTGTCAGGCACTTTCGGTGCACATGGTAAACACGGACGTGTTTCCTCGACCCGAAGTGTTTAACCCTGATCGATGGCTGGTGCAGGGTGGTGATGCAGAGAGACGCCGACTTATGTTTGCCTTTTCCAACGGCGGCAGAGGGTGTGTTGGCAAGCAGTAAGTTTATGAAATTTGTAAGATCAGAATCATTGCTAATACTGGGTAGTTTGGCCATGCTTGAAATGAAGACGTTGCTACGGGATGTCTATGCGCAGTGCCGAACTGTGCCTCACGTATCGATGAAGGCGGAAGATATGGTCATGGCGGATGATTTGGTTTCGACGCGGCCAGCGGGAGGCAGGTGTTTGTTGCATTTCGAGCGTCTAGATTCGTATTCCTCGTAAAATGTGACGATGAATATACTGTAGCTTTCGTAGTAGGGCGTTGTGTTGCTTTTGAAGCTGGTCCATGGGCTAGCGATGAGCCTGTCTTTTTCTATTGATATTCCTTTCCAACGATATACTTGCTCACATTAAGCTATTGTTACTGCCTCAAGCAACTTCTGCTATTCTTTTCGCTGCACTGCACTACATGTGACGTTGTCTTGTTGGGTGCAACGTCAATACGACAGACACAGGCGTCCAGTGCTTGCCTCTGCTACCTAAAGCGGCAGCCGTTTCCCGCAGTTGGGTGCCAGTGCCAGTGCCAGTGCCAGTGCCAACCTGCCCCCACGTGAGCTCACGACAAATAAATTTTTTTTTCCTTGGAACTTTGGTTGACAGCATTTGCGCAGGGCTGCGGGTGAGTCACTCAGAAGCACCAGCTGCAATATTAAATGCAGGGAAAATGTCACAAAGAATGCCAAATTTCCTTGTGATATTGGAAATTTTAAATTGGCAGTATAAAACTGGTCAATTGGACGGCAATGGGGGAGACATCTGCGACATGACACGTATAGTAACAGCCTACACCGAGCACATTTGCAGCCAAAATCAGAGAGAAAGAAATATAAAAGAAATATGGCAAATTCATTCCACCCTTTTCTACCCATGTGCACTGCTCTGTATATTTTTATACCTGCACCCGCCCTCCTCCCGCGCTAACTCCGATAGCCCCTCCAAACCCTCCCGGGGATCCGCCACCAAAACCAGGCCTCCCACGCCCAACGCCTTCTCTCCTCTTCTTTTTTTTCCTTCTTCACAACACAAACTTCATCACCACCGCCCTTTTTGTTTCTCCACCCGCAGAGAAACGCACAACGCTCGAGCATCGCTCACCAAGTCTCTACATTTCGTATTGACAAGACCAACACTGCAACACAGCCCGATCGACCCCGTCGTCGCGCACCCCGCACCTACAGCGAATCTTTAGCACCGAGTCACCCTTCTCCCACAGCTTGTCGACTCCCTCAAGCAGCACACGATACATTTCTCACTTGCGTAAACTTCTTGTTTATGTATCAGCACGACCAGCTCTCCGTCTCCAGACACCTCCTAAACCTCGCGCTATTCCACATACCGCGGAAACCCTCCAGTCCCGACATCGGTCCTCACGGTTGATATTTCTTGCATTTTTCCAAGTCTCAAAGAGTTGATGCCTGCATTACTTTACTTCAGACTCCAATCTTGTCCCAATATCCACAGTCCTAGTCGAATTTAACAGTTCGACAATATACCAAACCCAAAAAAACAAAACGTCTTTTTTTAACACATCAAACCCCCCAACCGCAATCATGGCTACCGTCAACGTCCGCCGCGATGTCACCGATCCCTTTTATCGTTACAAGATGGAGCGTCTCCAGACCAAGGTCGAAGGCAAAGGAAACGGTATCAAGACCGTCGTCGTCAACCTGCCCTCTGTCGCCCGAACCCTCGATCGCGACTCCAACTATGTCATCAAGTACTTTGCCTTTGAGCTTGGTGCCCAGACCAACACCGACCCGAAGGATGATCGTTGGATCATCAACGGTGCCCACGAGTCTGCCAAGCTCCAGGACCTCCTCGACGGCTTCATCAAGAAGTTTGTCCTCTGCAAGAAGTGTCTTAACCCCGAGACTGACTTTGTCATCAACGACCCCCGCATCTTGCTCGACTGTAAGGCTTGCGGTCAGCGCACTGATGTCGACTTGCGCCTGAAGCTCAGTGGCTTCATCATCAAGCACCAGGCCAAGAAGGGCAACGACAAGGCTGCCAGAAAGGCCGCTCGCCGTGCCAAGAAGGCCAGCGGTAACGTCACTGCCGGTGATGCTAGCGAGGACGAGGAGGATGACGCTCCCACCAACGGCAACGGCCACGCTGCCAGCGATGATGATGCCATCCCCGCCCCTGCTGTTGAGGAGGTTGTCGTCCGTGACGATGAGTGGGCTGTTGACATGAGCGAGGATGCCGTCAAGGCTCGCCAGGCCAGACTCCCGGACGAGTTCAAGCAGAAGCTGAGCCTTGACGATGACGAGGAGGCCGGTGGCCGCACCACCTACGACGACCTTGCCGACTGGGCCGAGGCCGAGGCCGAAGCCAAGGGCGGCATTGACAATGTCGACTCCATTGCTGTGTACCTCAAGGCCAAGGAGCTGGGTATTGAGGGCAAGCACAAGGTTGTTGCTGTGCTGATCCAGGTGCTCTTCAACGAGAACATTGTCGCCCAGATCCCCAAGCGCGCTGCCATGCTCAAGCAGGTGATTAACGGTGAAAAGTTTGAAAAGGCCCTTCTTGGTGGCACCGAGCGTCTGCTCTTCATTATGTCCCAGACCAAGCCCGACGCCTACTCTCTCATTGTCAAGATTCTTCAGTTGTACTACCACCACGACTTGATCACCGAGGAGGTTGTCCTGCACTGGAGCACCAAGGCCAATGTCAAGTACGTCGAGCGTGACGTTGCCAAGAAGATCCGTGCCGCTGCTGAGCCCTTCATCACTTGGCTCAAGGAGGCCGACTCTGAGGAGGAGTCTTCTGAGGAGGAGGATGACGAGTAAATGGCAAGGACTGGCCATTCTCTGAATACGGTTACCCTTTGTTTTGTCAAGTAGTTAGCTAGTTTATCAATGTCGACCTTCAAATTTCCATATTTACATGTGCACTTCGTTTATAGTGATTTGACTTGTGTGGTTGTGATAATGTTCCGTTGTTTAGTAAACTAGATATAAACCGCATCCTGCTAACATTTCATGAATTAATTTACCGTAAAAATACAAGCCCCGTTTATTCGTCTTACTGTTCTTCATCATCAACCTCCTCCTCCTCTTCTTCGTCTTCGTTGTTGTCGTCCTTATCCTCATCTTCATCGTCCTGTTCTTTCTTGTCATCCTCGTCTTTTTCATCCTCCTCCTCCTCACTACTGCTCTCGCTGCTACTACTCTCCTCATCTTCCTTCTCTTCAGCACCCTCCTCTTTCTTCTCCTCTACATCCTCCATCACCGCATCGCCGCCATACACAAATGCATCAATCTCGTCCACCGCTGAATCACCCTTCACCACCAACCCAAAGCCCTCACCGTCCTCATCTGCCTGCTGCACAAGCACATACCGGGCCTCAAAGCCCATGTCGATAGCAAACTTGGCCGCTGCCAGATCCGCCACAATCAACGGCACCTTGCCGGCCTCCACGACCGCTTCGATCGCCTTGGTGCTGGTGCCCGTGTCATCCGAATACTCGACTAGTCGGTCACCGTCGCGCAGCGTGTTGAATTCCTGCTTCGTGACGAAATGGAAATGCTTGCCGTTTGTCTCGCCCTCGGTTGCGTCGCGTGTCGTGTGTCGTACTACCTTGCCAAACACACCGGGACGCTTCTCGAGAAGCCCTGCAACAACGGCATCCGGGGCGACCAGCACAATAGGTGTCGTAGATAAGGGCATGTCTGCAGCAGCCGCGGCGGGCTCTTCGTCTTCCTCTTCTTCATCGTCAACAACGTCCTTGAACACGATGGAGATGTTCTTGGGGTCGTCGATCTTGTCGAAAGCGGCGAGCTTAGAGCGTGCGGCGATGCGGAGAGCGCGCCACGATTTGCTGGACTTGGTCTCGATGGCCTTGGCCTTTGTGCTTTCGTTGGTAGGCATGCCGATTTCAAAGTCGTCATCGGCAATGCCGCGCTCAAACGACTCGAGAGCAGGTAGTGCTGAGCGGTCTTGCTCTTTAAGTGCGGCCAGCGCGGCGTCCGTGTCGTCAGAGTTCAAAAAGTCCATGGACACAGCGCCCATGGGCGTCGTACGGAGACGCTTGGATGTAGCGGACCGAGCCGCCGATGATCGTGCCGACAGAAAGTCTGCGGGTGTGACGGACTCGCGCTGGATGTTGGGGCAGGCGGCTAGCTTCCAGAACACCCAGTTCTTATCTCGGGCGAGCACTGTTTCTACCATGCGGTAAAAGTAGGGGCCGTCAAAGCCTTTGCGGAGGTAGTCGGATATGCGCTTCTTCATGTCTGTTGCCCATTTTGTCTGGGGAATATTAGTGATATTGCTGAGGGACGGTTATGATTAGCAATACGTACGTCGTCTTCGTTGAGCTCGTGGGCATATGTGACGGCCTTGTTGAGGCCGGTGGCAGGCGTTAGCTTTTGCTTGCCTTGGGCGGATTGAGAGAGGAGGAATTCGGTGACAATGAGGGCTTGGACGAGGACGTGCCGCCGGAACGAGAGATCGCTAATCTAGAATGGGTGTTAGAAAGCTATACATGTTGGTCTGTAGTAGGGTGGCCGTACCTCTAGTTCAAACAGGTCGCGGCTAGTAAGATACTTGGGGTTAAATGTATCAGGAGCTTCGCCATCGTCAGCTTTGCGCTTGAGGTTTCGCGGACCGTCTTGCTGCAGCGCTTCAAACGCCTTCATGGTGGTCTCGAGGCTTGTTTTGTACTGAATGAAGTGTGCCTCGTCAAACAGCTTAAGCGGTTGACTGAAGCTTTCTTGTAGCGACCAGAACATGGGATACAGCACGTCTGGGTCCGGGCGCTTATCAGCAGTAGCAGTCTGGTCATTCGTGTCAACCTCCATCTGCTCTGGCTTGGGTTCGTGCTCGTAGGATGTGACGTTTTCGACGTGGTATTCGCCTCTCAGGTTGACGGAGCTTCGATCGCCCAGCGGGAAGCTCTGGAACATGAAGATGAACACTCTGCCGCAAAAGGTGGTATCTTCGGCGCGCGAGAGACGTCGCAGCAGCTCGTTGCAGCTTCGTAGGATGACAAGGTTCTTTTGTTTGAAGTGTTTTGCCGTGATGCGCTCGCGGCGCGACTCGAGGTAGTCGAAGATTACACGGCACCCTGTGATTGTTTGGCTGTCGAGAAGCTCTTCTATGAGCCAGAAGACAAGGGCCGGGTCGCATTGGCCCTCGTCAGAGAGGACGGAGAGGATGTCGAGGAAGTGCCACATTTGGTCGAACTCGGGGGCCTCGATGGGGGTTGATGCCTGCAGAGAGGGAGTGTGTTAGCAATGGTGTTGTGTCCCTAGTAGGAATTTTGGTAGTCGCACTATCAGTCGGTCAAAGAGATCTCGTGCCGCTCCTTCAATAATAGCAAACTGCCGCGTCTTGTCGGCTTCCTTGTCTTCATCGTGCGGCGTCTCCAGCGGCGGTAGGGCGGCGACGGCCCGGGCTGAGATGTTGGGCAAGTCGGCATCGTTGGCCATTGTGGCTTCATCGACCAGCTCGGAGAGGAGCTTGCCAAAAGTGTCCACGGCAGACACACCGGGTTTGTCGACGTCGAGTGCCGGCATTGCGACAAGCGTTTGGGCGGACAAGCCTCCCAGCTTGCGGGTTGTTGTTGGTGTATTGATAAAGGGGTTGATTAGGCGATACACGAGTGTGTTAATTGGCGGATTGAATCGCGGTGGTTGCGCTGGGAGAGGTGTTTACTTGGAGATGTTTTTGTGGTGTTGGAGCTAGTTGGCGATGTTCAGTATGGCGGTTTGGCAGCATAGTGGAGACGCTGGTACAAGCAGCGACTGGGAAGAAGGGGGAGGCTAAGGCTACAGAGAAAGAGTAGAATTTATGTTAATAGATAATTACGGTTATTAGATGCTACTTGATAAAGAATAATATTTCCTTTTATTTTTATTCACTGCTGTTGCTTCTCACATCGTCGGCGTGTAAATACACGTGATGTGACCAGCCTGTGGAGTGTTTGGCGGGCCTCGTCTTTTCAACATCGCCAACTTTTATGCGTGCAGCTCTCAACACGCCCGCTTTCCTCTCCCCATTTCAGTCGCTTTACACACGCGTCGCCTTCGATTTTTCACTGCTGCGCTCTGCGACTGCGCATCATCCACCGCTACACAACCTTTGCACCCGCAGATGAAGCTGTAATCACAGGCCATGCCCACCGCAAAGCGAGTCAAGAGAAGCGGCCGCCAGGCTGCTGCGCCCGCTGCTGCGCCCGTCGACACCGAGATCGAGAGACCGACGCCCGCCGATGTCGAGCAGGAAGAACACCCGTTTGTGCACGTGGCTCGCCAGAATTGGCTCAAGGCCGGCAAGAAAGGCGGCACCGTCAAGGTCAAGAACGACTTGATCAAGGGCAACCTCTGGGACGTTGTCGAAAAAGATAGCTTCTCCAACAAGCCCATAGCGCTGCTCGAGAGCTTGCAGACGCTAGAAAGCTATCTTTGGCCCGGATACACGGAACAGTCGTCCAACTTTCATGTGCTCCTGATTGTGTTGATTGTCAACGCCAAGCGCCGCGAGCAGCTTGCTACATGGAGTACGTTTACTTTCTTTGACATTGTTTTTTTTCTGCATGAGCTAACAAACGAAAATAGGCCTCTTTGAAGATCGCCCCGATGAATTCTCGTCCATGTTCCGCCGCGTCCTCTCCCTCACACTCGACCAGACCCTCTCGACCGCCCTTCGAACACAGCTCCTCAACTTCCTTATCCACGCCTTTCAGAGCCTCGACTGCGCCATTGTACGCGTAGAGTGCGCTCCGCTCGTCTCTATTGCCATCTGGCACAACATATCTACCGAAACTAAGCGCGACAAGCTGCTCAGCCAGACGGCGCACCTGAAGAAGTCATGGAGAGCATCACTAAAACGCTTCGATGCCGCCGACGACGCAACAAAGGCCAGGCTCAAGTTTGAAAGGTCTTGGCTCTACACGCTGCTCCTCGCCTTTCTCAATATGTTATACGATACCAATAAGCCCGACGAAGACCTCTACTGCGAACGATTCGTCGAGTTCGTCTCCGACCTGCTCAGCCAGCTGCCTACTCGTCGATATGTCAACTCGCTACTGGCGGATCTCAACCTGTTGCCGGCCATGCGCCTGTCTCCTGTGTGCATCAACCAGGAATCTGCTCTTCTGCGCGATCTTTATACCCTGTTGGCTCACTACGCCAACTTTGCTGTGGACGACCAGACTGGCGCACAGCTGTCAAGGACAGAAGCGTACGATAGACATTGTGCCGGTCTGAGCAGGCTTCAGCGTATTGCTCTCAAGCACTTTAAAGATAAGCTAAGCGTGCTGGCTCTGTCAAACTATGGAGCCATCGAGACGCGCGAACACCTGCAGGGCTTTTTGGACGTGCTGACAGACGACGAGCTACGAAGCTTGGTTGAGCTGGCGGGTCTGCGCGTGTCGTACCCGGAGACCTTGAAGATGCCTATCGACCGCAACTTTTTCATCGAGTGCCTCGTCAGTGCGTTTGAGAGAAGACGGACCTTCCAGGAGCAAGCCGAGAAGATGGCGATTCTACCAACCGAGCAGTCGCTATTTGATGCTGGCTTCCAGCGGTCAGACAACTACGACGGTTCGCATCCTCTGGCTCTGCCCAAACTCAATCTCCAGTACCTGTCGGTAGGCGACTTTTTATGGCGCACATTGGTGCTTTACAGAGCCGAAGCCTACTATGGCATCAGAAAGGATGTCGAGACGGCACTACGTCGCCTCCAGCCTGAACTCAAGAGCCCTGGTGTCACACATTTCAACGGGTTTTCGAAAATGGCCATGCCTGTGAGCAAGGCAGCGTAAGTCTTTTTTTCCTCTTCTAGCACCGAATCTCGCTAACACTTTACAGCATTGTTGAAACCGTACCTGCTTTAGTCGGTAGCCAAGAGCCTTCACTCGTCCGCGCTGAGTTGTCCTTTGACATTCGCCGTCTTGGAGAGGGTGTCAAGAAGGAGTGGGACTCTCTGCGTTCTGATGATGTAGTCTTCTTGCTGGCCATTGAGCCCCATGACGCAGAGGCTTTGGCCAATGGCGACACCGATCTCACCGAGCTTGAGAAGTTGGGCCTGGTAGCCATTCGATCTGCTGAAATTATCCAAATCACTGACGGCAAGGATCGCCAAGTTCGCGATGGAGCACACAACCTGGACGGCCGCCGCCGCGTTGAGCTTAAGCTAGACTCGCGTACTTACACACGAGACGCTGCGCTCGCCGCTGCTGGCAAGACAGACGTCTACTCGCGCGTCAACATCTTGCTGCGCCGTAACCGCCGCGAGAACAACTTCAAGCCGGTGCTTGAATCCATCCGCAACCTGGTGCTCTCCGATGCCCCTCTGCCTACATGGCTGCATGAAGTCTTCCTCGGCTACGGCGACCCAGCCGGCGCCAGCTACAAGAACCTGTCAAACAAGGTAAAGACTGTTGATTACCGCGATACATTCCTCGACTGGCAGCATCTCATTGAGAGTCTTCCCGGCAAGACGGTCGAGCCGAACGAGACAATGTCGCAGAGCTTTGGATCGCCATACATCCTAGAGGCGACGGACAAGCCTGCGCCGGCAGCAGCCAAGCCCTCCAAGAAGCGCAGCAGAGATGCCGATGCACCGGCCAAGACGGAGATTGAAACAGTCAAGGTTTCAACCTACAAGCCGCTCAACAATGGCCCATACCCCACGGATGCGTCCAAGCCTAACACGGTTCGCTTCACGCCCGCGCAAGTTGACGCCATCATGTCTGGCTCCCAGCCCGGTCTGACGCTTGTCGTGGGACCTCCTGGCACGGGTAAGACGGACGTGGCGACGCAAATCATTAGCAACATTTACCACAACTTCCCCAAGCAAAAGACGCTTTTGATTGCACACAGCAACCAGGCGCTCAACCAGCTGTTTGCCAAGATTGTTGCGCTCGACATTGACGAGCGACACCTGTTGCGCCTGGGTCATGGTGAAGAAGAGCTGCTTGCTCAGGGCGACTTTAGCAAGCATGGCCGCGTTGAGTCGTTCCTCGACAACCGCAACCAGTATCTGCTCGAAGTGCGCAAGCTGGCCGCAAGTTTGGGCGCTCCCGGTGCGCATGATAACTCTGCCGAGACAGCGGGCTACTTCAACACAGTCTATGTCGAGCCCGCGTGGAAAAAGTTCCATCAAGCCGCACTTGCTGAAGACGCTACAACTGAGACTATTGTCCAGAAATTCCCTTTCCATAGCTACTTTGCCACAGCTCCTCAGCCTCTATTCCCACAAGACGGCGATAAGGCGGCAACGCTCGACGTGGCCGAGGGCTGCTACCGCCATATCTGCAAGATCTTCTCGGAACTTGCAGACATTGTGCCCTTTGAGATTCTGCGCCGTGAGCGCGACAAGGCAAACTACCTATTGACCAACGAGGCACGCATCGTGGCCATGACAACAACACACGCCGCCATCCGCCGTGGCGAGATTACCTCACTGGGCTTCCACTACGACAACGTGATTATGGAGGAGGCCGCGCAAATCACAGAAATTGAGACCTTTATCCCTCTCGCCATGCAGAAGCCTGTCAACGGCCAATTGCCGCTGCAGCGCATTGTCCTGTGTGGCGATCACTTCCAAAACTCGCCCGTGATCCAATCTCTTGCGTTCCGACAGTACGCCAATCTCGAGCAGTCGCTGTTTTCGCGCCTCGTGCGTCTGGGCGTACCCGCCGTAACTCTTGACATGCAGGGCCGCGCACGCTCATCGATTGCCGAGCTCTACCGCTGGCGCTACGCCAAGCTGGAGGACCTGCCCGAGGTGCAGACCGGCGAGCGCTTTGTGCGTGCCAACGCGGGCTTCAAGTTTGACAGCCAGTTCATCAACGTGCCCAAGTACAACGGCAAGGGCGAGACGGAGCCCTCGCCGCACTTTATCCAGAACCTAGGCGAGGCCGAGTACGCCGTCGCCATTTACCAGTACATGCGGCTGCTGGGATACCCTGCCAACAAGATCACCATCCTGGCGACGTACGCGGGCCAGCGGGCTCTGATTCGCGATGTGCTGGCGCATCGATGTGCCAAGAATCCCGTGTTTGGTATGCCCCGTGCCGTTGCAACGGTTGACAAGTACCAGGGCGAGCAAAACGACTGTAAGTTTCTTTTTCTGTTGAAATGAATAGTGTGCTAACAGTGCATCTAGATGTCATTTTGTCGCTTACACGTACCTCTCGGGTCGGATATCTCCGTGATATCCGCCGCATGACGGTTGCCGTGTCCCGCGCGCGACTCGGCCTGTATGTGCTGGGCCGCCGCGAGGTCTTTGAGGCGTGCCCGGAGCTACGGCCTGCGTTTGATGTGCTGCTGGCGCGCCCTGATAAGCTGACGCTCGTGACGGGCGAGATGTATCCTGCCACGAGGGCGTCTGCGGAGGGCGATGCCCCTGTGGAGGGTGAGGTTGTCATGGAGGGCGTGGAGCATCTGGGGCAGTATGTCTTTGAGATGACGAATACGAAGATGGCGCAGATGCAGGCCGAGGGAGGCCAGGTGCTGGGTGCGGTGGAGGAGATGGATGAGGATGAGTATGTGGAGGGCGATGAGGAGGATGAGGAAGGGGAAGAGGAGCAGCAGGAACAAGGGGACGAGGTGAAGGAGGAGGAGGCTTGATTTGATTTATTTGGTCTGTCTGGCTTGTTAGAATTTGGGCGGCGTTTTTTTGTATTATTAGAGAAAAGAATGAATGGTGCGCGTGCTAGTGTAGGATGCCGAATGCCTTTTACATGTTTCTTTTGTATCTGACTTGATTTTGCAGTCATGTGTGATCTTTGCGATGTGTAAGTTTATCCTATAACTATTCGTATATTTTATTCAAGGTAGTATTTCTATAGCAAGTATTTTTTTCCAGGGATTGTCAGTTTAACAATGGAGATGTCGTATGTTGGCGGGATGCTACCACTTCGTACTTGCATTTCTAATTATTTAAAGTCTTCCCATAGACTTTTCAAATGATTTATTTTGTGTTTATATTTATTTTATAATTCTTTACAATTATTCTGCCACTGGATTCTCTCTTTACTGATCATCTCCTTTCTGAGCGAGGCTGTGCGATCGCCGCCGCATTCCCAAAGCAGCTCAGCCCCCCGGCGGACGGACCCTCAGCCTGATCGGCAGGCGCCAGTTTTTAAAAAAAGAAGCCCCAACCGCCAACACCCGCTTTCATCTTCTGCATCATCACCACCGCCAATCGCCAACTTTGCCACGGACACACCGCCACCATGGCAAGCCCGCAGCCAATTACGTCTAGCTCTGCCATGCCAGGCGCGCAGCAGACGTCGGCCCCCTCACAAACAGCATCTTCCTTCTTTACAGAGATCAAAAGTGTCAAGCCTCCTCCTCTCACAACGCAGCTCACAATGGCCGAGTCCTGTTCATTGCGCTTCGTTCGGCTTAATGTTACGACCTCGACAATGACACAGCTTGGTCCCGACATCTTTTACAGTAGAGGCAACGGGTACTATTCCACACACACACAAACCCACACATGGACGGAATTTATTTCCGACACTGCGGCGCCGTTCTTCTCATCATGCCAGGCATCCGGATGGGACATAGACAAGATGACATTTAGCCCGGGCCTCTGTCCTAGTGGCTGGACATATCATTACATGAGTGCTTACACGGATTACTATAAGCCTGAGCCACCCACATCTACGGCCATATGTTGTGCTCCGTACGTTGTTCAAACTATCCCCCTTATCCCCGTCAACTAGCTAACCTATTGCGATCTTTCGATAGATCGTTCGATCCAACGCAGATGTCTCCATATACCGCTTCAACTTGCGTCAGTTTTAGTAGCGACTACTATGAGGGCCACTCCAGCCTCTTCTACCACACACCATATGTTGTTCAGTGGCAGCAAACAGACCTGTCCAAGATGGCTATATCTCTACCCGACCTGGATCATAATCGCCATGTTACAACCTGGGTACCAGGCCGCACACTGGAGGCCTGGGAAGGATACCTAGATCGCCCAGATATTGGCGAAATGTCAGTTAGCCTGATACTCCTGATCCTCCTTCCCATTCTCGGTTTCTTTATTATTCTGGGTATCATAATCTGGTGTGCGCTGCACTCGCGCAAGAAGCGCAAGCTGGAAAATGCAAAACACGAACTCGCAGAATTGTCGCCTGTTACAGATGCCGCGAGCCAGCAATCCTTGGAAGCTGGATCAGAGTCGCGCGCCAGTGACGCGCAAGCGGCGCCAGTAGCAGAGACTAGCAGTACGGCTTCAGCTACTGCTGCTGCTTCTGCGTCTGCTACCGCTGCTTCTACTACTGCTGCTTCTACTACTGCTGCTTCTACTACTGCTGCTCCTGATGTCCCTGTCCCCTTGGCAGCTGGACCAGAGTCTCGTGCCAGCGACGCACAAGCAGCGCCAGCAGAAGGGACTAACGGTGCGGCTTCAGCTACTGCTGCCGATGACCCTACCGATGCCTCTACCTCTACTACTACTGCCGCTCCTGATGTCGCTGTCCCTACTACGGTTGCTGCTGCTGATGCTGCGAGTACCCCTACAGCAGAGCCGCATCCGCCACCAACTACCTCAACTCCGACTCCAATCTGATTCCTTTCTTGCTTGATTGATTCCATAGTGATACCCTCCGCACAAACAGCGCAACAAACGACTTGTCTATATTTATTTCCTGTATACACATTTGATAATTTCCCGGATATCCACAATTCTTAATGTATTTATTTTTCGCTCACTCTTGGCTGCCTGGGTCTCGCAGCCTCGTTTGCATCGCGGCCCCACGCAAAAAAAATAGGGAGCTTATTAAAAACTCCTCCCACGCTCGGCGCCCGTGAATAAGCAGACGCTCAATTGCTCTTCAGTTGTCGCCGTATCTGTACTCTACTGCACTCGCTGAGCTGCATCCAAAACCAGAACACAATGGCGTCGTCTAAACCAACGCCCGTGCAATCATGGCCCAGCCTTGTCACGCCCTTTACACCAGAGCCGAGCTGCTATGGCCTCGTCACCTCCGACGTTCATAGGCAAACATACACGTATGGCGGCACAACCAGAACCTCTGTCACAGTTACCATCGGTCCCAATACCGCCAATCCGTCGTACTCGGCCTGCGAACCGCCTGGTTGGGACGTTGCCTCACGATTCTTCAGTCCCGGCTTCTGTCCGCCGGGCTCTGTTTACCACGCGGTTACTGCAACTACAAGCTCCTCAACAAGAGTAACACAAGCATATTGCTGCCCTGAGTAAGTGCCCTGCTTGATTGCACATTGGTTAATGTGTCAAAGCGCTCTCTGCTAACCCGACCAAAAGGAAGTTCTATACCTATTCCTCCCTTGGCCATGTCTACTGCACAACCAGTGCATATGACTATAGCACATACTATGTGTACACCCAACCAGCCCTCACAGTCCAGTGGCAGAATAGCGACACATCTCTAGCGTCTACAGACATCCCCAAGCTCATCACGACGTCTTACCTGCGAACCTGGGATCCGTACTATGACTACGACTACGACTCCGACTATAGTTATTACTACTCATCGACCACCACGCGGAACTATTACGGCTACACAACCACACCATCTTTGCCTACTTATACTGGCAGCAGTGGCGCGTATCCCTATCCGCAGAGGGAGGCGTCAGGTATGGACGCCAAGACGCGTGCCGTCGTCATTGCCGTTCCCATTGTGGTCGTCCTTTTGCTGGTGCTCGGTCTTGTCGGTGGCATCATCGGCTACAAGAGGAGCCAACGCCGCGCGGCGCTGCTCGAAAAGACTGCTCCGGAAGCTTCCGAGGCCGGAAGTTTTGCTGCGCAAGAGGCTAACATTGCACAACCGGCGCCAGCAGTGGTGAACCAAAGCCGTTGATCAACCACACGGCATAAGCAGTTTGCCAACGAGATGTACAAACAAACATGTCAAACAAAACAACCAATCATGTCAATCAAACAAAGAAAGAACGTATATTGACACATATATATAATAGTAAAGATGCCAGTTATCAGCATGTGCAAACTGCAAAAACGTTGTATAGATATCCTCCATTGTTAATACCAAATTGATTTTTTTACGATTTATTCAGCACCTCGTCTCAAGTGCCAGACGAAAAGCAACCTAGAAAAGACCGGGGATGAAGCGTGCTGTTCTCGCATTCCAATTCACCCATTCATCGCCAAACAGCTCCTTAAGCATCGCCTCCTCTTGGCTGACTCTAACGCGAACAATCTTAGCGAGCCCAGCAACCGCTGCCGATGCCGTCACCAGCGCAGAAAAAGGCATTGCATCAATCAGGCGCGCAGCAAAATCAGGCATGTAGCAGCTCGCACCGGCATCCCAGCGGCAAAAGAGCGCCATGCACGAGCCAATGACGAACAGAAACCCCGTGTAACTCGGGTGCTGCACGTATGCATACACGCCGTCCGTGACGAGCCTATTGGGCGCTGCGAGGCTGTATGTAAAGTTCTTGCCGAGGTGCTTGTACGCACCGAGCCGGATGGGCGCAAAAAGAAGAATCACGACGAGTATGGTCGCTGTGTACGAGTTCCATGCGAATAGCGCCGGGTTCGCTACGCGCTTGGGACATACAAGTGGGAGAGCGGTGGGCGATGCGACAGCCACCAGCGCATGGTAGACGAATGTGGTGGTGATGGCAGCGGCGACGGGGCCGACAAAGTTCATGCCGGCGGTGGATTGGAAACTGTCGCCCTTCCATTCATTCTTGGAATTGGCATTGGGCGGGAGGAGGCATTTCAGAACGAGGCAGCCGGCGACGAGGGTCGCTGCGGCAAAGGAGAGCGCGTGGGGGTCGTCTGTGATGTAGTGGTGAAGAGCGTCCATGGTTTTGAGTGGGATGGTTGTACTGAGGCGCTCTGGATTGGTAAAAGATGAGATGAGAACAGAGATTAAGCGGAAAAGCTGGCGTCGCGCGCGGAGGATTCGAGCAAGCGGTGACAATCCACACTAAAATCGGGATCGGCTTCGGGGCCGGTGACGATCGTCGGCGTCTGGTGGCTGAGCGGGGTTTGGTTTCAAACCACCACCCGAGCCTATTCCCGTAGCCGAATGGTTCAGCTGGCTGGATTTGGAAGTCTTCAACCTCATCATCATTATCAGGTAGTGTGTGTGGGGTGAATTTTATAGACTCTTCCAACATCATCATCATGTCGCAGACTGTCACGCGGGAACAAGTCGAGCTCGCTATCCTCCCGGTTGGGCTGCCACTGGCTGAGCCTATCAAGGCGTTGTCGCTGCAGCCTTGTTTGAATAGCGACCAAAATGAGCAATCCAACGAATCGGTTGCGCCTGCAGAGGCCTCTACTGTATTTGAAGTCATAGAGCCGGTCATCACTGTACCCGTGAGCGATGCCTCGCGCTTCGTCATTGTAACGCTGCTAGTGGTGGCCAATTTAATCCAGGTGAGACCATTGCAATACGAACAGGAAGCAATTGCCTAAAATTAGAAATCTAGTTCATTTCCAACTTTTTGACCATTAGTGGCGGTCTCACGCTCACTCACTTGCTAGGTCGTGAAACTGGCCCTGGCAAGGCAAACTGGATGGCGGCGTCGTTTGCGCAAGTACCTACCCGGCGCGTCGTTTCTGATATACTTCAAATGCTAACAATCTCGCAATAGGTTAACTCAAGGCGCATTTGTGCTCATTTCAGGCCGTCTGGGGGCCATCCACGGCCATCAAAATGTCGCCATCGTTGGTCTCGCGGTGTTTGCAGTCTTTTCCTTCGCCAATGGCTTCTGTCGCTCGTTTAAATCCTTTGTAGCTGTGCGGGCATTATCTGGTGTTGGCGCCGGCATCTTCATGCCAAATGCAGTTACAACTCTAGGGCTCATGGTTCGGCCAGGAAAGATGCGCAACTTGCTCTATGGGCTGTTTGCTGCGTCGCCGCCTCTGGGAGGGTTGATCGGTGCGCTGTTTGCAGGTTTATGTGCTACCTGGGATGGCATCTGGGCATGGACTGTTTTGTTTGCGGTTTTGTAAGTTTATTCGAGATATCAAATCATCGTTTTGGGTGTTAACTCTGACTTATGATAGGGGTGCCCTCTCGGGTATATGCTGCGCGTGGCTGCTCGTTGCGGCTCCGGCCGAGCGACCAGTCGACCAAGGCGGAAAGCTGGATATTGTTGGTGCAGTCCTGGGGGTTTCAGGCTTGCTTCTGTACAACATTGCGTGGAAGTGAGTATTCTGTTCTACACTCTGTCCATCGCGCTAATCCAATACAGCCAAGCTCCAGCAGTAGGATGGTCGACACCATACGAGATTGCCATCTTGATACTCTCCGTCGCCATCTTTGCTGCTTTTCTCGTCTGGGAGCGCAAATATGCCGCTGAACCCATCATGCCGCTTGATATCTTCCGGGCTCCGACCTTTTTGTCCATGATCTTCGTCGTTCTATTCGCTTACATGGCCTTTGGTATCGCCCTGTGGTATTCCATAGCATGGCAGCAAACTCTACGCAACATATCTGTGCTTGATATCGGCATCAGCCTGATTCCCTTTGGCCTGGGTTCAACTGCTGCCGTCGGCTTAGCTGTACTTCTGCTGCCGCGCATGGCAGCCAAATGGGTCATGGCCATTGGCGTAGGCGTGATTGTTGGAGCAAGCCTGCTTCTAGCGACAATGCCAATGCAGCAGTCGTACTGGTTCCAAGTGTTTCCAGCGATGCTTCTCTGCGGCTGTTGTCCGGATTTTGTCTACCTCGCTGCCCAGGTGATTGCGAGCAACAGCGTAAATACGAAACACTTGGGCGTGGCTAGCAGCTTAGTTGGCACCTTGAACCTCTACGGTATCAGCCTGGGGCTGGGATTTGCTGGGACAATTGAGGTGGCACAGGGCAAGAATTCATGGCCAGCAGGTAGCGAGGACAGCCCCGAAGCCGTCATGGCTGGCTTCAAGGCTGCTTTGTATTTTAGTGCTGCTCTGGCAGCTGTAGGCTTACTCCTCGATATAGCGTTTGTTAGTGTACCAAAAGTCAAACACGACGAGTAAGTGTGTTTGTAGCAGATGCCGACCCAAAACTGCGCCGGCCAGCTCGCCACAGATAGAGAGATCAGAATTACCCCCTTCCGCGGGATCTTGCATCAAAAAGCTAACAATCTTCCGTGCCGTCGTGCCAAGAGCCTTGCCAGTGGCGCTGTCTCTTTGTTTCTGGACAAGGGCATATTCAGGGGCCTTCAAATTAGGTGTGAGTGGGTAACTCAGCGCGACAAAGAAACGCGCCGTGCTCCGTACAGTACTCCTGGGCCATCAGAGTAGGACGCGCTAGCGGGCTTCTCCAACAGAGGATGGCTGTTATTGTCGCAGTGGAATGCAAAGTGGATTGTATTGAATGAGGTATTTGGGATCTAGACGTTTTGTATCAGATAGGGAGAGACATGGCGGCGACGGCGGTCCATCGGCTGCGACGCATTGCGCGAGCCTGCACACGTCTGACGCCCGTTATGCGCAAAAGCGACAGTTTTGCGACCAGAAAATAAAAGACTGATTTGTGTGCCTTTTATTTCCTTTTTCTTGGTAAGAGGCTGCATGCAGACATTAGCGTGTGGCGGCCCTTCCCTTGCTCGGTGAGCCTTAGCTTCTTTTCCCCAACTAGGCGAATCTACGTCATGGGGTAGCCAGCCATGTTGCTAGACGCGCCTGCGACGTTTTTTTAGTGCTGGTGATTGGTGCGCAAGCTCAACGAGTGCGCGCTTTGTGAATCACGGCCAGATGAGTTGGAAAAGGACGTGTAAAAGGAGGTCGTCCAGATTTATCATACGAGGCGATCCTATCAGCCGCTCATTGTTTGTGATACATGTGCTGGCACAGCAATTGGCCGCTTCGCAAATGCGTTTGCCTTGCGCTCCAATGACAGGGCTAGCTGACCAATCTCGTGATCGGGGATATTGCATCGGCACATAATGGTGCGCGCGCTGCTTTCTGTACGAAGCCGTTTCTGCTGCCGGCTTTTGCAAACGATGTCAAATTATAATATCCATAGCAAACGTCTAGTTCTAGCAGCCAGAGGCATTGCCACCGCGCGGGGCGCAGTTAACCAGCGGGCGCATCCGTCTTTGCTGTGACCAGTTGGGCTGTAAGCTGTGGTGTGTGTGGTTCGTATGCGTGGCTGTTGGTGAGTCACAGTGCAACAGACGCAGCCTATTTTTGTTATGCAGGCGGAGTTAGCGGATAACAGGGAGTTTGTGAGATGGGGTTTATGAGCAGCAGCGATGATTCGACGGGTGGGGGATCGATGGCGGCGATGTGTAAAGTGGTGATGATGCGATGGGTTGATGCCTGGCGGTTGGAGGGGTCAGAGAAGAATGTGACAGGTGATTGTGGGGGATATAAGGTACGGAGTTGTTATTATTGGGTAGATTCGGGCAGAGAATGTATATGACTAAGTGATAGCGATGACTATTGGGATGGAAACTAAATAAAAAGAGTCACAATAGATGGGGATTTAGCAAGACATGTTGGTGCTGGTGAAGCAAATAAGCAAGGCCACGATGACAAGGTGAAGCTACAGTGAACGTAGCGGGCACCACTACAGACTACAGCGCAGAGGGTGCTGTAACCAAGTACAGTTTCAGAGCTAAATGGTATGCTTTTACAGAGGATTCAAAGCAAACGTTGAATCGCAGCTAACTTTTTTTCACTGCCACAACTCTGGTTGCCGTGGTGGTATATATAAACGGGGAAGTATGGCTCACTAACAGAGCTGCCCCTTATTCGCCGTGGCTTCTTGTTAGCGCCGGATGCTTCCCTGGTTTCCGTCTCTTGTTGGCTACTGTAGGTTTCCCTGTTTACCTTTAGGGCGCTGTTACACCCTATACGCCCTGTAACTAAGTTTCTTCCTGCGCTAAAACTCGTCCCCCCCAAAGTGAACTCGGTAGGCCAGCAGGCTTGCAAAAGTAAAAAGTGGAGCGCTGCTATTGGCCCGCCTGTTCCACGGCTAATCCCACGCCTTCCATTTTCTGCCGCCCAAAATTTTCCCTTTTCTCGCTCGCCTCTCGCTTTTCCCTCTCCTCCTCCCTTTCTCTCACCATCTCGTCGACGAGAATCCAAACGTCATCACCAGAAGAACCAGCCCCTGTTGTAGGAGTGGTTTTTATATCGGGTGGTTTCTTTTTCTCTTCTTTTTATTATAAGCCGATATTTTCTCCTCGCCGAGATTTAATCGCCCCCTCGGAACCCCGACAAATTAAAAAAAAAAAACAACAGAGACAGCAACACCTTTTCTGGTTCGCTTGCAGTTTCTCGCCCTTTTTTTTAATCCATCATCCCAATTGGCAACTCTTTGTTCCTTCGTTTCTTTGCTCCGGATTTTCCTTGCCGCGGTCCCCTGAACCTCGACAAGACTTCTGGCTTTTTTGCGATTTCAAAGATACATCACCAGTCCTCCTTCGATTTCGACTCGACCTCCTTTGCGTCCCTTCGTCATCGACACGACTCTCATTTTTGCACGGTTCGATCTTAATAGACACTGATACCCCCGGAAGTTATCCTTGTTTTTCTTGGGCAACTCTAATTGCGACTTTTTTTTTCGTCGCAGAATGCGCAGTTGCTTCTCCGTAATACATAATCGGTCAAAAAAGCAACCCCTTCACTCCCTGCTCCTCTTGCCGTTGCGCGTGGATCATCTCCCCGAGTAAACGGTGCTGAGCAGTCAAAACTCTCCTCTCAAAATCATGGCTGCCAACACTTCTGGCACCTTTGTGCCGAACGGTGGCCCGGTAGGCGGCGCCAAGCCTGGCATCCAGTTCGGCTTCGACTCGCCCGCCATGGCGCAGACCACTCCTCAGTCTGCTGCTGCTGCCCCCATCCCCATCCCTGGTGGCAATGGCAACGCTCCCAGCGTTCCCTCTCCTGCCAATTCGCCCTCCCCTATTCCTCAGCCTTCTGCCAGCGGTGGTAGACCTCCTTCTGGCATCCAGTCCGGCAACCAGATGACCTTTGGTAGCCTCGGAAGCGATGGCGAGGTAAGTTCTAACTATGGGCGCATGAAGTCACTGCGCAATCATACTAACAAGTCCATTTTTAGCGTCACGTTCGCCAGGGCTCAGTTCCTGCCAACACAACTGGCACTCCTGCGCAGCCCGGCGCTCACTTCCGACGCGAATCGAGCCACTCTGTCCAGGGTGAAAACAACCGCGGAAACTACCAGGGTGGACGTGGTCGCGGCTACAACCCCAACTACAACAACCAGATGGGTTATCCTCCCAACAACCAGTTCCGCAACGGTCAGGGCCGTGGCATGCCTCCTGCCTTCCAACCCCAAGGCCGCGGCATGCCCTACCCCAACTCTCCTCAGGCCAACCGATCCCCGGCCCCCGTTCCCTCTCTGCCAGGCACCCCCAACATGCCTCCCGCCAACATGCAGATGCAAACGCCTCCTCAGTACCACTACCCGCCTCCCATGGCGCCTCAACACCAACAAGTACAGTACCCCCTTATTCATCCCCAGTCTATGCAGCATCAGTCTTCTCTTGCAACGCAAGCGCCGAGCAAGCCGTACCATAAACAGAAAAAATCCAAGCCTCGTCGTGAGTACGACGGTAGGCCAATAATCGTGGGACATGGGCAGTGTCCGCCACCGCCACCGCCTTCTGCTCCTCGTAACACCCTGCCACCGCCAGATGCAGATTGGCCCCGGTGTCGGCATCATCAACGCGGTAGCAGCAACGGTAATGACAATGTTCGCGAAGGCCCAAGTAGTTCCTGGAGATCCTTTGAGCGACCAGCAATCGCCCACTCGCAACAGCTCAAGAAGACTGAGCCAATAGACCTATCTCCCGAGACGGGAAAGTTTGAAATGTGGCTAACCATGAAGAAACAGAACTTTGGCTATCCTCCCCAGCAGATGAACCAGTACGGTCAGCCCATGAACATGCCCTACAACTACAACAACATGGGTTACATGCCCCCTCAGGGCCAGGCTGGCGGTTACAATCCCCAGTTTGTTCCTCCTTACCACCAGCACAGCCAGAGTATGTCTCGTAGCCCTTCTCAGGCCGACAGACCCTCTAGTGCTAGCCAGCCAAACCAACCCGCCATTGTGTCGAGCACCCCTCAGGGCACCCCGGCCAAGCCTTCTGGCGACTTCGTCAAGCCTAGGAAGAGCGCAGCTATTCAGATTAAGAATGCTGCCGGCGAAGTCGTTGATACCTCAGCCTTTAAGCAGCCCGCCTCCCCTGCTCCCGCTACTCAGCAGAGCAAGGCTCCTCCCGCCACTACCGCCGCCGCTTCTCCCGCTCCTGCTGCTGCTACTGCTGCTGCTTCTCCCAGCCCTGCCCCCAAGGCTGTTGTTGCGACTCACACTCGCTCCGACAGCCAGGCTACCCCCAAGACGGCCAAGGAGATTCAGGACGAGCTCAAGGCTAAGATCAAGCAAGCTACCCAAGGTGCTGCCCAAGAGGACAAGGCCAAGGCCGAGGCTCCTGCTGCCCCTGCTGCCGAGGCCCCCAAGGAGACACCCAAGGAAGAGGCTAAGCCTGCTGCTGCTGCTGCCGCCCCTGCCGCCCCTGCCGATGAGGAGGAGGATGAGATTGAGCGCATGATTCGCGAAATGGAAGAGGCTGATGCCAAGCGCGAAAAGGAAGAGGAAGAGCACCGTAAGCGCAAGGAGGCTGAAAAGGCCGCCAACAAGGAGAAGGACGAGGCCAACCGTAAGGCCAACGCCGCTGAAGAGGACCGCAAGCTCCGCGAGCAGGAACGCGAGATGGAGCGCCTCGAAGAGGAGAAGGAGAGAAAGCGTAACGAGGCCGAGTCGTCCGGTAAGACCGTGTCCGTCGCCGAGGCCTTGGCTGCCGCTCGCGATGGCAAGACCAGTGAGGACAATGTCGAGTCTGTTGCAGACAAGCTCGCCGATATGAACATTGGTGACAAGGTTGGCGCTGACAAGCGTGCCAAGCCTGCTGCTCTCAACCTTGCTCCCATCAACACCAAGCCTGTTGAGCCTCCTCAGCCCACTCCTGCCATGCAGTCTCTCAAGTCTGCTCGCTTCCTCGAGGTCATTGGCCAGGACCTCTATCCCGAGGGCATCAAGTCCCCCAACCCCGCCCTCAATGCTGCCGTCGCCAAGAAGGGCAAGACCTTTAGATATGATGCTAGCTTCTTGCTGCAGTTCCAGAAGGTCTTCACCGAGCAGCCTTCTATTGAGTTCCACCAACAAGTCAAGTCGCTCATTGGCGAAGACGGTGGCCGCTCTGCTGCCCGCACGCCTGCTTCTGCTAGACAAGGATCTCGCGGCGGTGCCAGCTTCCCCGGCGGTGCCTTCAACGCTCCTCCCGGCCGCGGCCCTGTCGGTGGTGGTCTGCCCAAGTCTGCCAGCGGCGTCAACCCCATGGCTGCTTTCCGTCCAGGTGCTCCTTTCCCTGCTCCTGGTATGGTCCGCAGTGGCTCTAACAAGAACATGTCCAACACCCGCAATGGAAGCCGATCTACTCGCGGTAACAACAACAGTCGTCGTGCCGAAGTTAAGGAAGCTCAGGCCGCCAAGACTATGCCTTTGACCGCCGGAATGGAGATCAAGCCCATTGCCATCACATCTACTGGTTGGAAGCCTACCAGTGTTGGTCGCGCTCCCCAGCCCGGAGCCAGCGCCGGTTACATGGACCCTGAGATGGTGCAGCGTAAGGTCAAGGCTGCTCTCAACAAGATGACTCCTGAGAACTTCGACAGAATTGCTGAGCAGATCCTCGAGATTGCCGGACAGTCCAAGGACGAGACTGACGGTCGTACCCTGCGCCAGGTCATTCAGCTTACCTTTGAGAAGGCTACTGATGAGGCTCACTGGGCTTCCATGTACGCCAAGTTCTGCAAGCGCATGTTGGAGTCCATGAACCCCGACGTCCGCGACGAGCGTATCAAGGACAAGAACCAGAATGTCGTCACTGGCGGCAACTTGTTCCGCAAGTACTTGCTCAACAGATGCCAGGAAGAATTTGAGCGCGGCTGGACTGTCAACGTTCCCGAGGCCACTAAGGAGGGCGAGGAGACCGAGAAGAAGGAAGATGCCGAGGCTGACAAGAAGACTGGCGAGGCTGCTCTGCTCTCCGACGAGTACTACCAGGCTGCTGCCGCCAAGCGTCGCGGTCTCGGTCTCGTCCAGTTCATTGGTGAGCTGTACAAGCTGGGCATGCTTACGGAGAGAATTATGCACGAGTGTGTTCGCAAGCTCGTCGACCATAAGGGTGTTCCTGACGAGGCTGAAGTCGAGTCACTGTGCAAGCTCCTCCGCACCATTGGTGCCAACCTCGATGATACTGAGAAGGGTCGCCCCATGATGGACGCCTACTTCCAGCGCATCCAGAACATGATTGACCTGCCCGAGATGAACAGCCGTATCAAGTTCATGCTTATGGATATTGTCGATCTCCGCAAGCAACGCTGGGTCTCCAAGGAGGCCGACAAGGGCCCCAAGACCCTCGACGAGGTCCGCGCTGAGGCCGAAGCTGCTCAGGTTGCCAAGGCCCAGGAGGCTGCCCGCACCAACCAGCGCGGTGGCGGTGGCCGTCCTCCTGTTGGTCGTGGTGATGCCCGCGCCTTCTCTGGTGGCTACCAGCAGCAGACAAGCAACCAGGTCGGCATGGACGATCTCCGCCGTCTCAAGGGCTCGCTCAACCGCACAGCCAGCCAGAACGTCACTCTTGGCCCTACCTCCATGTTTGCTTCTCGCAGCAACAGCGGACGCCGCATGGGTCCTGGTGGCGCTATTGGCCGCCCTGGAGATGAGTCTGGTCTTTCTTCCCGCGCCGCCACTCCTCCCACAAACACCAACGCCTTCAGCCTGCTCGCCAACATGGAGACGGAGACCCCTGCGTCTCCTCCCTCTGCCGCTGCCTCGCCTGCCTTATCCAAGGCGGTGCCCGAGGATGGTGAGAAGAAGGAGAGCGAGTAGACTTGAACTAAAAAGCATTTTATTTGGTGTCTTGCATTTTGGGCGATAGACTAGACGGGGGGGCAAATCACGCACACACACTTTCTTCTCACATCTGCGCTTCTTGTACCCTTCTTGTCTGCAATACTTTTCCTCTTCTCTTTACATCTTTTTCTCGTCTCGCGCATATTTCTTGCCCCAGAGGCTCTTTTTTTCACGACACGGTTTCAAAAGTTGTTGCGCCTTTTTTTATTATTTCTTCCTCCTAGTTGATCATTTGATGCTTCTTGCCTCCTTCTATCTTATCCTTGCTTCCTTGCTGCTTGTCGTTTTACGTTTTGCGAAATCTCTTTTCATGCGATACCTTGACCACAGCCCCGATAGAGTATGTTTTTTTTCAGCTGGAGAAACAGTACACGCAGCTGTTCTCTGCTAGGAGAAGGGAAAAGATTATTTACCGGACACGAGACAAAGGGAACCAGAGAGGATGACAGGCGAGCCCGTTGATGGCCGCCGTGCTTTGCTTTTTGTTGCTGTCGTTGTTGTTGTTGTTGTTGTTGTTGTTGTTGTTGTTGTTTTCACTCTTGTCACGCAAGGATTTTAATGCTCAGATGTCTTGCGATACTTTTCCCCTTTTCAATAGACGTCTCTTTCTTCTGATACTTTCTACTTGTTCTTGGCCTTAATGTGACTGTGACTGTGACTGGTTGACTGGTAATAATATGCTTGTAGTTCGTAATGTACATGCTCTATAAAGTCGGTACGACCCAGACAGCAACACAATGCACGTAGTTATTTTCAATATCTTCGCACTTTGAATCGTAGGCAGCATATTGTAGACATGTGTACTTGTGATTAGATAATTGATGTAATGCAGTATAGTCCATTCATAACATATATAAAAGAGAAAATGCAAAAAGAGAAAACGCAACGAGAGCTAGTCCAGAGAACGCCATGATATAGAGAAACCGCACCGGCTCATTTCAAGCCCTTCCATACTACCCAAAAGTCCCATCCAGCCAGAACCCCAATACAAAGAAAAGTACTACTCGCACACACATATATATCAACCATCTCTCTTTTACTCCGTGGTAGCCATCAACTTGCTGAATCCAAGACGAGTAAAGAGCGAGTCCATAGCAACCCACTGGCGACCACACTTGTCGAGGTACTTGTCGACAACGGCCTTGAGCGTGCTGAAGCGGACGCGGTTGTGCTCAGCCAGCGCCATGATCTTCTCCGACTTGGCGCCCTCGCCGGCAGCCTTGGCCTTTGTCTTGTCCACGTCCCAGAGGGACGCAAAGTAGACAAGCTGGTTGTAGATTTGGCGCTCCGTGTACTCGTAGTGCATCTCGCCGCGGCAGTCCTTGGCCAGGCCGTTGGCGCCGACACAGAACTTGCCGTAGACACTCATCTGGCGCGTGCGCACCTCACACTGCGGCTCGTTGCAGGTAAGCCAGCCGTCGTAGTAGCGTGTGGTTTCGAGACGGATAGCGTGCTCGAGCTGCGCGACAAGAGAGAGCGTGGGGATCGTGGCGCCGCAGCCATCGCAGAGAATGCCGGCGTTGGACACGCGATCGGGGGAAGCGAGAAGGCCTTCAAAGGGAGAGGACTTCTTGCATGTGCGGCAGCGCAGCGAGAGACGTGTGCATTCGGCAAAGCGCACGTCGTCGGGGATCTGCGACTCCAGAGGGTGGATCTCGAGATCGTCGCTGGCTTGCGAGCGTTGGTTCTGGTTCGAAGCGTAGCGACGGGCATCCAAGCCAAGTTGTTCGGCAAGCTGGGATGTCGAGGTGCCGACAATGTTGGCGCACAGACGCTCCACGGGAGGGAAGACCTGCTTGACAATGTACCAGTCAATGTCGGGCAACAGGTTCGGGTCTGTCTTGAGATCGTTGGGGGCGTAGGCACGCTTGGGGGCAGGCTCGGAGGACGAGGTGTCGCCTGTGATGATGTACGAGACAACGTCGCCCTTGCGGACGGTCTTGCCGCGGGAGATTTCACGCAGAGCGACTTGCACCTGGGGCATGGAGTCGGCGTTGGGGTACTCCTTGGGGCCCTTACCGAGCTGTGTGAAGATGATGTACTTGGAGGCAGGGATCTTGTGCTCGCGCATCTGCGTCGAGATGTCGCGAAGGTACTCGTGGATACGGGTAATGGCGACTTCGGCATCATTGCCGGAAAGAATCTCATCGAGCAGGTGCTTGGAGATTTCCTTGGACAGCGCGCAGTATTCACGACGACGCATATCAAGACCCTTGACTTCCATCTGCTCGATAAACTTGCCGTCCTTCTCCACGAGGTTGATGGCGGCATACTTCTTCTTGGCCTGTAGCAAGATACGGCGGAAGACGTTGTCAATGTCAATTTCCAGAAGGCGGTACTGGTCGTTGACGGCCTTCTTGAACTCGTTGCCAACCTTGAACGCCTCTGCTACCGATTCGACGTTGGCGTTGATCATGACGGAATCAGTATCACCGTAGATAACTTGCAGCGAGTTACTCTCAGCAAGCTCCTTGGTGCTGCGCAGAATCTCACGGCCCTTGTGGGTGGTGAGAACGGCAAGCGGACGAGCATAGAATCGAGACTTAGTGTATCCCAAACAACCGTACATGGAGTTGGCTGTCAACTTCAGAGCAAGCTGCTTGATATCCCAGGTGGCAAGCTGTTCAACGGTAGCTTTCTTGTCTTTCATCAGACTCTTGACTTGGCGACGACGACCAACGAGGGTGGCAATCAGACGGGGCAGAACACCCTGGGCTTGGTCGACAGGCACCTCGGGGACCTCATCTTCGTCGTCCTTGGCTGTGGATCGGTCAACAGTAGTGAAGCAAATGTTGAACTCTTGGATAATAGACGGGTACAGCGAGTTGAAGTCCATGACAAGTACAAACTTGTCGTAGAGACCCTTTTCAGGCTCGAACACGAGACCTCCCTTGTACTTGTCCTTCTTCTTGCCCTCGCCAGCCTCTTCTTCATTCTCGTCTTCAGCCTTTTGGCGGCCGCGGAATGTTTGCTTATCAGGGCAGATGTACTTGTTGCGGTGGAATTCGTGCAGCAAAATGTACTCGTTTCGCTCAGCGCGGGTACCTGTCAGAGTACGCGCCCATGAGTTACCAGCCAAGTTGGTAAGGACCTTGGTAAGAGGAAGCATCTGCACACTGATGGCCAGCGCAGCGATGAAGTGCGTATCAGCCTCAATGTGTGTGATGTAGTCCATGAGGCCAACCTTTTCGGTAGCCCAGGTGCTCAAGGCAACTTCGTTGTCCACATCGCGGCGGCGGTTGTTGCCTTGAAGGTACAGGCTGCACATTTCCGTCAAGCTCCAAGTCTGACACTTGTACATGGCAGATTTACCAGCCTCGTTGGCCAAGTCGCAAAGCAGGCGGCCAGAGATAATTTGACGCTCGGCAAAGACGTTGCCTCCCATCTTGTTAATGGCTCCTGGCCATTGCGTGCGGCGGAGACGGCCAAGACGAGACCACTGGTGAATCTTCTTCTCCTGGAGGCGGTTGAGAAGGATGCTGTAGTCGACACCTTCAAGCTGGTGGCCAACAAGGACATCCGGATCGGCAATGTCAACCTGGGCGAGGAAGAAGCTAAGGATCTCGGACTCTTGCTTCATCAGCTTGATTAGACCCTTGTTGCGTGTCTTTGCAAGCTGATCGAAACCAAGAGGGAAGTTCTTGCCATGTGGGCGGATGAGGGTAAATGTTCTGCAGGGAAGCTTCTCTGCAGGCGTAGGGTCGTTAAGCATAAACTTTTCATAAATTCGGGCGCTGATGGCAAGAATCTCCTGCTTGTTCTCTGCTGCGTTGAAGCAGGTTCGGAAGGCAACGCTCATGAGCGTCAAAGGAGGAGCATCCATGCTTTCAGAGTCGCTAGCAACTGAAATCATGTTGGGATGCTCTGCGAGCACTTCCAGCTTGCAGTGTGAAGCATTCTTGATGGCGCCAAAATCGGCATCTTGAATCTTGAGCCAGCATGGGCCCATGATGTTCTTCCACAGTACGAACTGTTCAAAGAGAGCTGTGTTGGTGCCAAAGACATGAGAAAAGGTCTCGCCAGTGGTGCCAACATCCAACTGGGGCTTGGTGTAAGGGTAGAGCAACTTCATGTACTGGGCTTCCTTGGGGATGCCCTCCAGCTCAAAAGCATATTTACGGGTACATGCTTTGATCTTATGCATATCCACGCGCATCTTGGTCATCAATTCGTCGACTTCATCATATACATGCATCATTTCAACCTCCTCTCCACTGTCCTCGCCGCCCTGGATGCGGGTGGCGCGGGGCAAGAAGTAGAGCTTTCGCAAGATGTTGTCCACCTTAACAAAGCAGCTGACATACTGGCTAGTCTTCTTGTTCAAGACTTTGCCGAACAAGCATAGACTGCCGTTGATTTCTGTATAGTCGGTCCAGAAGAAGTTTAGACTGCCATCCGCCTCGATAGCATCTTTGTGATCAATCTTGCCAATACCACGGGTATCGGACTGCGAATTTGTGACGACATTCAAGTTGTTTGTAAGATCGTTCCAGGACGACGCATCGACAGCCGCGTCGGGCGCCTTCATTGGTGAAGAATTGGCGGGCGAAAGGTAAGGCTCTTCCTTAATGATCTTCTTAGGCAATCGCGCGCTAGCAATGTTGACGCTCTTTGCGTTGACGGCGCCGGCTTGGCCGACCTCCATCATATCTTCATCATCATCATCTTTGGGCTCTTGCTTAATTTGTCGGCGCTGGGCAACCTTGGCAGCTGGAGATGATGGCGCGGGGTCGCTCATGGGGATGTCACTCATTGGCGCAGGGGCGTCGTCAAGGACAGGCATGTATGCATCATCATTGTTCTCAAGCGTCGGGAGAGCGGCGGCGGATCTATCTTCGGCGCGCCTCATCTTTTTCGAGGCAGACTCATCGGGGGCGGGGGAAAGAGCCCGTGACTTGCGGCGGTTGGTGCTGAGCTTCTCCATTCGAGCAACACGGGATACCGGTGCAGGGATATTGTGGTCGACTTCGCCTAGCAAATTCGACATGAAATCGTCATCGTCTTGTGTTTTGGTTGCCTGTTGGGCTGTTAGTTTCATGTGTTGATATAAGATCGTTCAGGGGGGAAGCACCTTTGGCTTTGGTTGCGGCTTGCCGGCATTGTTTCTGAAATAATCGCCAATGCTCTTGTCGTTGGCATCTCGCTTTACGGCCTCTTCGCCGGCCTTTTTCTTGTCTGCTTGCCTGTTAGTTGTTGTCCCAATAGTGTTTGCACATTGAGGTGGCGATGCTTACTCAACTTGCTTGGACGTCCTCGTCGCGGCAGATCTTCGCCGTCGCTCTCTGAATCATACTGGCGCACGCGATCCCAGTCTTCTCTGCCGTCGTCGGCATAGCCCTCGCCGTTGTCATCAACGACGAAGTCATCCTGGTCCAATCGATCACGGACTACCTTTTTGTAGCCGTCTTCGTCGACCTCGTCGTAGATGGCATCCACGTCCTCGACCTGATATGCCTCGAAGGCCTTCTTGCCAGACTTGCGAAGAGCCTGCAGCTCTGCGAGCTTGGCTCTGCGATTGACCTTGGACATGGTGTATGGTGTATGTGAGGAAGCGTGAATGTGTTAAAACATGAAGAAGCAGTGTCCAATGCTGGTATCAATCGTCACCAACGAGAAAATTAAAAAGAATAAGGAAAACAGAACAAGAGGAGTAATGCAGCCAAAGTGGGAGGGAATGTGTGCGGGCACCAAACACAGGGAGGATGGCCAGGAAGGGTTTTGGCTTCAATTGTCTTGAAATGGCTTTGTTCCTATTCATCCAGACGCCATGCCCGCCTAGAGTACCGCGTCGTGGCGCGTCGCGCGTTGGCTGCCGTGCGGTACGCGTTGAGTGGAGAGCCCGACTTTAATTGGTACGTCTGCCACCTAAAGTAGTGTGCCCTGCAGTGGTTACAGGGCTCTTACAGCAGATTACAGCGCGCATCAGCTCAGCCACAGCAGCCACTACCGCCACAGCTGTTGTCATTCATCATCCCGCCAACACTTTGGAAGCCTGCTACCCTGTTCAACTACAACACAAAGATCACGGAAGGCGCAATCTTTGGGAATTTGCAGTTGCATCATTGAAAATAAAAATACAATCATCGTTGCCTAGATACCACTACTCTGCATATTCGATTCAAAACAGACTCACGTCTTACCCCTACTTCCTCTCTCCTGCTGCTTTCCACAACGGCTCATCTACACCATCAATATCGGGCATCTCTCTCTGTTCCCCACCCACGTCAAACCGATTTGTCTAATCCATCTTGGACCATCACTTAATCTTTCATACCAACCTATATACATACACAGACAACAAACTACAAAATGTTGATCTTTTCCAAGCAACGCAAGAGAGCAGAAGCTCTTAAAGAGCAGGTTGATGGCAACTCGCGTGGAAGCAGCTAGAGGCTGTGGAAGACTCGATCTCGCCAGCAGCGGGCTGTCAGTGGCCCGGTTCCCGAGACAAACCACACTGAGGCAAAGCGATGGTTTTCAACATTTCGTGGCCTCAAAGACGTGCCCAAGATTGATATTGCTGAAGTAGGATCATCTGATGACGACCAGTCAGCTGCTGATAACCCTCTTCCTCGTGTAGGACAGACTCATGGTATGCTACAATATTCCCAAACACGTGTGGTAATGTAGCAAAACACTGACCATAAAATACTAGAAGCAATTGAAGGCATTCGTCGTCGTGGAAGCTTAAATGACTTCCTCCAGACTGTGAGAGCCCGCTACACGAAGGATGGCCCTGGTAGTGAAGACAATTACGAGCTCTGTCACCCCATCACAGTTCGCAGGTCATCACGGAGTGACAGAGACAGCATGACATCTGTCGTCGCCCCTGTTTGTCACACTCCTCCACCAAGGCTTGATGTTTTGTGTGAGCTTCCTGCTGATGGCCTGGTACGCACCTCCACGTTCCGATCCAGCTTGGAAAAGGCTGTCGATGATATCAACGACAAATACAAAGAAAACGTCCCCCCCAAGAAAGTACCAGTTTTACGTATTGACACCCGCTCTCCACCTCTCTCTGGAAATGTAACATTTCCTCGATACGCAACTCGCCTACCAGGAGGCCGACCTCCAGCGCATACTGCTGGAAGTTTGCGCGGAGCCCGCATGACTTACCGTCCTATTTCTATTGATCCGGCCTACAACGTCCTGAAGCACGATCTTCCAGAAAGGCTATCAGTTCAGAATGATACTATACAGTCCTCCAACCCATTCACTAGAGCGGACATCGGTCATTATGGCGACCGTGACACTGAAGCAATGGGTCATAGTTTGGAAGAGGAACCTGCTATTGTAGAGTTGGCAGATACCTCCTTGTCTTGCCCAAACCAAATTACAATCTACCCCCCTAGCCCAGCAGCGCCGTCTTCACAGAAAGCTACACATAGTACCGATAGTGAGACCCGTTCTAGTCACTCGACACGTTCCACTCTAGCCGACGACGAAGTGAAAAAGGAAAAATGCCAGACAGGCGAGGACGGCGTGTCAGAAAACTCGAATACTGAAGCCTCTCAAGGGGATGAAAATCACACACCGGTTTCAGAAGAGTCTGCAGACGGCGTCTATGATGACCCTTTCGGGGATCTTCAGGCAACGGAAGTCGAGGAGGCTTACATGTCCGGCGCTTTAGCTGGTTCTACTCCGTCTTGCTCCTCCCCAGCTGCAGATGGTGGGCTAGACGATGCTAATGATATCCAAGGGATTGGAAATCGAGAGTTTATGATTCAAGATTACGCCTTACAAGCCTTTGAGGGGATCGAGATGCAGCGAAACCCGGGCTATCGAACATCGTCTGCGCCATCTGTGGCGGAGCTAGTGAACAAGTTTCGACGTATGCAACATCTGCCTGAGGTACCAACGGACGATTCTGATGCCGATACAGTGTGCTTGATAGACAAGCTATGCCAGCGACAGGGCTCTGGGACGTCATATGAAGAAGCAGAGCAGGTGTCCAGCGGCGATGAAGGCAGCTTGACAGATGCCTTTGGGCGGGAGAGAAGCAATGGAACGCCACATCCATACGGGGCTTTTTAGGGGGCGTGCACAATGCACGGGAGAATATTGTTACAGGATAATACGGTTCTTTGTTTAGTTGATGATGAGTATGGGTATTGATTGTAATTCTGTATAAATACAATGGCTGTGTGCAGCCGTAGGTAGCTATTCTACATGATGATATTGTACAAGAGGTCATTGAGAGGTGGTGAGTAATGTGTGACTTGAAGCGACTGATCTCGCTATTCCTGTTGTTGTCTATACGAGTCCCGCTGATGGCGTCTGTCATTGAAGCGTTGGCCTCCTTGTTGTCGATTAGGACGGTGATTATCACTGTCGTTGATGCGATCCTCATGACGTCGTGCTCCACGATGGGGGCGGCGACCCGAGTGTTCATCCGAACGTCTGAATTCACGGCCACCCTCTCGATTGCTTTCAAATCGTTGTTCATGGCGGTGACCGTGTTCACGCTCTTTGTGGTTTTCTGGCTCGAGAGTGGCCTTGCCAGTGTCCCAGATGAAGTCACCGCCCTGGTGGAGGATGAGGGGTGTTGTCTTGCTTTTCTCACTGTTCTTGCCACGCTTGCCTCTACCAGCTTCAAAGGACGGAAGGTCTCCGTCGGCATTCTCATCAGGGATGCTATAGAAAGCCTGGATCTCACGATTGATGCGTGCACCAACAGGTTTCAATGGAGCCAGCTCCTCGGCAGACAGCATGTTTTCGGAGACAACCTTGTTGTAGGCAGAGAACATGGCGCGGGCAAGGGCAATGACTTCGCGCTGCTCGTTGTAAAGGATCTTTCCAGGGACAGCCGCGGTGGAAGGCAAGTTTTTGAAGTACTTGTTGTACAGGGCGCGATATGGCTCCCAGAGGCCGTCGATAGCGGCGGTGATTTGCAGTGCGTAGTCACGCTTCGCCTCGTCTTTGAGTTCGGTGTTCTTGGCGACCTTGTTGCGGAAACGGGCGTGTGAAACGAGCGCAGTGTGCAGGTATAAGCGGAGAGTGTGGATGTCTGGTGTGGGGAGGCGTTCGAGCATAGATGTGAGGATGGAGCGGGCGTTGGGGACGACGTGGTCATTGATGTTGTCGCGAATGCAGGCCTCCATGGCAATCTTGTACATGCGAGGGTTGAGGTCTCCGCGGGGGATGATGGGCATGAAGGAGGCGGCTTGGGACGAGGCGCGGCCGACCTTGAGCATGCCGAGCAGGCGGAGGTAGCAATCTGTGTCGGGGGCGACGGAGAGTGTGTCGACAATATGGTGCCAGTACGAGAGGCCGGCGGTGGTGAGGTTGAGGGTGGCGGCGGTCTTCAGGATTAGCGAGAGGGTATTCTGCGTGGGTGTTGCAAAGAGGCCCTTGTGAGAGGCGGCGCGGGCGACGGCAGCCGGCTTCTCAAAGGACTGCAGGGCTGTGTCGTCGAGGGTCTTGCGCTTTACGGGCTCGAAGCGGCGGATGAGGTCGGCCTTGTCGGCCTTTGCGGTAAAGTTGGGAATGTTCATGGTCTGCTGGATAAGATCGAGGACGCTGAGCTTGTCCTTCTTGTCGGGCGACTGGAGCAAGATGCGGCCCATGGCGCAGACGAGGGCCTCGTCGATCTGTGTCTTGCCGTTGGTCCAACCAGAGATGACTTCGGACCAGATGGCCTTTGCGCGGCCGACAGCAGTGGCGATGTTGGCTGTCTTTTGGGCGGGTGCGAGGTCGTCAGCGCCGGTTAGAGCGTGGTGGCGTAGAGCGTTGAGGATGATTGTGTATGTGAATGCGTTGGGGGACCGGGCCTTGTCATTGGCAGTGTTGATGACGTGGAACATGGAGTCGATGTCGCCGGCCTTGGAGCATACAAAGAGGAGAGCGTTCATGTGTGTTGCGTTGGGCTGCAGACGGCGGTCTTGCAGGAGGAGGTTGTAGTGCTTGAAGGCCTCGCCGACTGCGAGCTTGGGGTGGTTGGAGTGCGCGAAGCCGTTGAAGAGGATGGTGTATGTCTGGGCATTGGGGTGCTGGCCGCGCTTCTTCATCTATATGGGAGATATGTTAGCAATGTCTTGATAAGTGTATGGGAGTTGCGACGTACGTCGTTGAAGAGCTTCACTGCAGCTTTGCCCTTGCCGGCCTTGAACTGGTAATCAATCAGGTGATTCCACGAGACCACATAGCCAGCGTAGATACTGATTGCCTCGACCAGCATGAGAGCTTCACGGTAGCGGTCCTTTTCTAGCATGCGCTCAACCTCCTTTGCAATCTTCCACGGATCGTTCATGTACTGAAGCTGCTTGCGCACATTGCGCTGCATCTGCTTGAGTTGCTTTTCGTCCGGCTCGCTCGACAGATTTCCCACTGCGTTTCGAATCAGCTCTGTGGCCGTGGCAGCATCGACTGCGCCTTTGCTAGATGTGTCTTGCTGCTCCGGAATCATCGTCTTGATTCTCTTGACGGCGCCTGATGCCTGCGTGAAGCTGCGCTGCCACAGCGGAGCAGCGACTGCTCTACGCAGACACGCCGTGCAATTCACCAAGCCAGCCATTGATCACAAAAAAAAATTCTCTTCGTTCTCGTGCTGTTTGCGTTGTGTTATAAAAAAAGTATGTCTCGTCCTCACACGACCAGCAAGCCGCCCCCCGAAACTTTAGCCCACGCCTTTTTTTGCTTATCTTATCGCCCCTTACGCGCCTCACCCGCGCCGCGCTCTCTGTCCATTTACAACCTCATCACCTCCAGCAAACGTAAACTTCCATCCATTGCAGCGACGTACATCGCCGAAAACGCCGCAAAAATGCCTGGTGTCGCTACCGAGTTTCAGAAGATCATCGAGAATGGTACATTGCCCGCCGTACTCTGCCCAGCCGTCTACGCACGCTAACAAACTTCACCCAACAGGCCGAGATCGCAAGAAGAACGAAGCCCTCGCCAGCAAAATCTTCTCCAAGGACCGCAGAAAAAGCGCTCCCGGGAAACTGAAGCCCTCAGCTGGTCCTTCGCTCGCCTCTCGCGTCGGCGTTAAGAAGGTAAACCAAACAACCCGATCTTCTCTCCCACCTTAGCAGTCCAACTAACCAACCTGGTTCTTCAGACCTCTGCCCGTACCGCTACGACAAATCGCCGCGCCTCCGTACCAGCCGGCAACGTCAACGGCGACTGGACACACGATCTACACCATACCGTCTCCAAGGCCGGCGCCGGCGCCGGTTCGCTCGCCTCACGCATCACGCCTGCGGGCAGCAAGCCCAAGAAGGCCAACAAGCAGGCACGCCTCGCCGCCGCCCTCGATGCCATGGACGTCGACCAGCTGAGCATTCAGCGAGCCGCACCCGTCGCTCCATCCCTGACAATCAAGGGCCTTGCTGGCCCATTTGTCGTCATGGGCCAGAACTTTGCGCCAGGCACCACCCCCGCGGACGTCGAGTCGGCCATGACGCCAATTGGCGGCGAGATGGTCAGCTGCCGCCTCGTCAAGTCGCAGCCATTTGTGCTGATGGAGATGATATTTGCTTCGCGCGAGGGCGGCGAGCGTGTAATTGAGACGTTCAACGACAAGACGGCTGATGGCCGCATAATCAAGGTGTATGCGAAGCAGGGCAATGCACCGGCCTCGGCACCGACAGGGCCAAAGAAGGTGCCTACGGGACCCAGAGCGCAGCAGACGCAGGAGCCGGGGAATGGAGGACTCGTCAGCGATGGCATGTCGAGAGGGAAGGGTAGAGGACGTGGCGGACGTCGATGAAGAGCTGCAGAAAGGAACAAAGTGTGTGTTTGTATAAATGTATAGCTGGCGTTGGGGGATATTTTTCTTATTTTTGATTTTGAATGGACATTGATTACATTGTATTTTAATCTACGTTGTGTATGTGTATGTACGTAGGGACCTGAAAACAAGGAGGACTGACTATGGGACATCACATCACATAACATCACTATTGTGCACTGTTTGGTGGTTTGAACATAGTGGTAGTCTTACTAGCATGTGCAGCTATAAACCCATCATATACCCCGTCTTCCCTTTCCCAGCCCACTTCCCATGCCAGAACAAAGGAAACCAGAAAGCGACAATTTACCTGCCTACAAAAACTTTCTTACAATCTTCCTTTTTTGACAACAATAACCACAGTCCGGCTTCAATGAAACCAAAACAACAAAGAAATTCTACTCTTCTGGCCGCTTAGCGACCTAATGCCATGTATTCTGACCCTGATGCGTATAGCCTTCCTCCAGTGTCCGCTCTTCTAGGTTGCGGATAAAGTCACGGTTGCTGCGCGAGCCGCCTTGCTGCTGCGTGCGGCTACCCCGGCGTGCTCGTCCTGGCGTCGTGTCCATGCCTTGACCATGCCCAAGCTCTCCCGGTGGCGGGTAGTACGCTGGGCTAGGCTGCAGACGAATCGGTTGCGACGGGTCCAAGTGGCTAGCAACACGCTGGATGGCTGCAGGAATACCGCTTTGCTGCTGCTCCATTGTTGATGCACGCTGGCGGTTCGTACGCATACCACCCTGCTGCTGCTGTTGCGGCTGGTACATGTTGGGCTGTTGCTGTTGTTGCTGAGGCTGCATGTTGTACGGCGCGGCGGGCATTCCTTGCTGCGGAGGCATCATCTGGCCGTACTGTCCGCCCTGTGGTGCGTATGCCGAAGCCATGTTTCCGTGACCGCCGGCGGCAGGGTACATGGGGTTGGCGCCGTACATTTGCGGTTGAACTTGTCCGGCAGACTGGGCGTACTGCGCGGGAGGCATATTGGCATAGGCTGTTTGTGCTGCAGAGCTGGCACTTGCTTGGGCAGCCTGCGCTCGCTGCTTGCTAAGAGCCTCGGCTTGCTGCTGCTGGTGCGTGCCTGGTGCCGGCGATCTGTTAAGTGACGTCGACTTGAGGTTCATGGGTGGCACAAACGGCGCCGTGTACTTTTGTTGTGTGATGAAAGGGTGAAGCTTGGCCTGCTGCGGTGACCATCTCTCTAGTGGGTTGATGTTGAGCAACCCGCGGACAAAGTCGATGAACGCTACTCTGTTGTTCATTTCTACAGACACTGTTAGTTTCTCGTCCATTCCCATCAGCTATCTTCAGATATGCAGACTTACCTCTATCAATCTCGCTTTGCTTCATATTCTTGCGAGGCATAGGATAGGATTTGATAATTTCGGGTAGCGTACTGGCCTGGAAATACTTCTTGCTGGGCTGCTCCTTGGTGTTGTGCTCGCGCGCGTACTGCTCCATAGGCTTGAGGCTGTAGGTTCGACGGCCGTATTCGTCCTGGCGCTTCTCGAAAAAGTCTCCGCCCTGCTTACCGACTTCGACCATCCAGTTAGGAGGGTTGCCCATCATTTCGACGATGCGTGACACTTGGTTATACTCTGACGAGCCAGGGAAAAGCGGCAAGCCCAAAAACAGCTCCACGACAATGCAACCCAACGACCACATGTCAATGGCTGACGAGTATGGCAGACCGAGAAGGACTTCAGGCGAGCGGTAGAATCGCGACTGGATATATGTGTAGACGGTCTGACGCTCGTCGCAGGCGGAACCAAAGTCGATAATCTTGATAATCGGGCTCTCGAGGTTCTTGAGCAAAATGTTTTCGGGCTTCAAATCGCAGTGAATAAGGCGAGCCTTGTTGAGTAGGGCTAAGCCATTGAGCAGCTGCTGCGCAAAAACACGGACCAGCGTCGTGCTGAGACCGCGGAACTGGTTCTGCTTGATGAGCTCATACAAGTTTACACTGAGCAACTCAAACACAAGACACAGATGCTGCTTGTGGATGAAGGTATCTTTGAGTCGTAGGAGATGATGGTCGTCGTTTTTGTCGAGCTTGGTGTTTAGCTAGGACTAGTTAGCATTCGGTTTTACTCGTCACCTAATCGGCAGGTTACGTACCAAGTCGAGAACAGACACCTCCATCATACTCTGGTTAAAATAGGCCGTCTTGTTCTTGATGACCTTGACGGCAACGACCTCTTGAGTCTTGAGGTTCTGGCACTTGACGACCTGACCGAATGTACCCTGACCCAATACGTCGAGAATCAAGTACCTGTTTCTGCTGCTTTCTGTTAATACCGCCTGAAATGCATATGAGACAGGAGCTTAGCTTACTTGTGACCAGCCTCTTCGGAACCGAGAATATCGTTGACGTAAAGAATATAATCGCTATCTTCATTGTCGTAGCCGTCATTCTTGACACCCTTGCTGGGCTTAGTCAAGACTCTGCGGGGGTTTCTAGACGTCTCGTATTTAAAGCTAGGGTTGCAAATTCGGTAGGTGGCAGGAAGGTGGCTCGTCAATGCTTGCAGCGGCTGTTCCAAGAAAGGTTAGTATTTTTGGGCGGGTTAAAAAAGTATAATGAGCTAAGAAACAATAAATCCTTACGCTGATGAAACCGCCCTCGGGGTTGGCACGGCGGAACGGGGGCTGGCGAGGAGCCTTTGGCTGGAGGTCGGAGACGGCCCTAATCTTTTTGAACTCGGGGACGGGTTTGACCAAGGGGCCCGTCGGACGCTGGGGCGACTTGGCAGCGTTTGCAAAGGCGTTGTCGAGATTGGCGACAGCAGAAGATGGATAGCCGTCGCCGCGAGAGCCGTATGGAGAGAGAGGGGGAAGCTGCTGTTGCTGCTGACGGCCCGGGTAGTAAGGGCTCTGGGGATACTCGGCAGCGGAGCTAGGAGACTGGGTTTGCGATGGCGGGTTTGCAAATTGGCTAGTCTTGGGGCCGTAGGGTGACGTAGGCGAGAGCGTCTCCATGGGTGAGTAACGTTGAGCAGCGGATGAGGGCTGCTGCTGGAGATCGTGGCGGCCCGCAGAGAGGTGCGCTTGGTGGTGAGGCCGCATGGGATACTTGATGCCGGCGTGTTGGTCGTGGGCATCTCGCATGGCGACATCTCCATTGCCGTCACGGGGCTGGCCCATGGGCGACGACATTTGATTAGCAGGCGGGTGGTGAGGCTGCTGTGATGGCGAAGCGTTGGCAGCGGCAACAGCAGCGTGGTATTGGTCGTATGGGTACGCGGCGGGGGACTGGGCGGGAGGGTTCATCTGGGCGCCGTTGTGCCGTCTCGAGGTATTGCTTGCGTTGGGATCGTGATACTGCGGCCACGACTGATCCATGGCTGGGACAGCGGCCCTACGAGAGCAGGCCCGAGTTGTCGAAGCGTGGTGGTCAGGTTGTCGTGGTCGTTTCCGTCGGGGATTGGTTCGAGCGGCGAGCAAGCAATGCGAAGGCGGGAAAAAAAAAGAGAGCAAAGGCGGAAAACAAGCAACGACGGAAGCGTCCTTTGCAAGAGAAAGAGAAGCCTTGCCCGTAAGCTGGCGGACGGGCAGCCAGGGGAGGGGGAGCGAGGACGACGGGGTGCGCGCCTTTGTTGTTGATGTCGTGGAGCAAGTTGGGCGGCAGCACTAGTGGAGCGAGGAGAGAGGTGGGTGGTGTGATGATGGTGGTGGTGAGCGGTAGCAGCAACAGCTGTTAGTTTAGCGTGTGGGGGGGAAAGAGGAGGAGGCTGGTGCTTGGTGCTGTTGCTGGCTGGGTTCTCCACGACGGGAATAGAAAAGTGTCTAACTACGGAACAAAGCTAGTTGGGAGAGAGAGAAGAAGTAAAGGGAAGATAATAGACTACTGCCTAGAACACCATAAAATATTAAAGATACTGAATTCGCCCTGCGGATTTGCCAATGGATTAGTGCCTTTTTTTTCTTTGGAGTCAAAGTCACACTTTTCTATCTTCGTACAGCACTGCAGGCACTACAATCCACTGAGCTACAGGCGCTTCCAACCGCTAGAAAAGCGTGGGTGCACAGCACAGCCCAGCTGCTTCCGGTGCCATTTCTGCCGCACAGGTTGCCTGCCAAGCCCAATCTCCACCTCAGACGCCGCGTTTCCGAAGCGCAGAAGGTGAGGCTGCAGGCGATTCTAGACGCTGCAGATAGATAGATGCGCCTGAAATGATTGGCTAATAAAAGGGAGGAACTGAAAATAACAACAGCGGGAGATGTAATTGCTGCGGTATTTTTCCATACATGTGGTTTTTGTTCTTATTCTTCTTTACCTCGACTTTCTCGACCCAAAGTGGGCGACCGCTGTGATGGGGCTGCTGACGAGACAGCGCTGGGGCGGGTATCTGTTACGCATGCATGTACAATGCATAAAGGGGATGAATGACATAGACTTCAGAACTTGCCAAGCGGACAAGGTGTAAAATATGGTTCTATACCATCTGAACTTTCTTGTATAATTTTATAGATATTTTCTTTTAGAACATATGACCACGATCACGTCAGTGAGTGTTTATCATTCGCTTCGACGCAACGTGTCATATACACAGTTTGAAACACGCGACGAGATCATACCTACAGCAGGGAAATCATAATTAAATATGCAAATGAAGCTCACGATTATACGTCTCATATAAAGATATCATAAACGAATATCAAAGTGTAGTCGTCCGCTTTCATTGGCAATCGCCTTGTCGTCACCATTCTAAAGACAACCTGCTAACTCACTGACGTTACGCTTCAGTCAAACAATCTACCAAAATAATTCCTTAAAATCCCAACTTTTAATTCCCCCAAAGTTCTGTACGCAGCCCAAGAAAAGAATACAACAGAAGAGCCTCCGCTGGATACGCCGTAGCGCACCGAGTAAACAGTCATCAAGAAAAGGAAAGAGCACCGCTTCCCATCCGTATGCACCATAGACAGACAGAAAGGAAACAAGGAAAAGGTTTTTAAGAAAGAAGAAAAGATACGCTCAAAAACCATGACGTTGATGGGAAAAAAAGAAGAAAAGAGAATAGAAGAAAGAAAATAAGACAGAGAAATGAAACGAATGCTCATCGCTCTGCCGTGGTGCAATTCTTGGAATCGACACCGCTTAGCACACGGGGATATCTCGTATGAAACAAACAAAAAAGAGACAACAAAAAGAAAAGAAGAAGAAAGATACAGCAAGGAAAATAGAAAGAAAACAAAGGTCTCACTGGTCACAGCGGCCTCTTACGCTGCTTTTAACTTCCCAATCCCTCGCTCATGCTTTCTCCACCGTCCACCACAACCATTTTTCTTCTTCTCCAACTGTCCAGCGCTCTCTTTCTAGGACTGGTAGCCACCAAAGCCGTTGTTGAAGTTCTGGCCAGCAGGAGCCTGAGCCCACTGTCCGCCGTTACCAGGCTGGCCGCGTCCGTAACCACCGGCGCTCTGGGGGGCGTTATATCCGTTGAATGCGCCGGGAGAGGCAGTCTGGCCAGCGAAAGCGGCATCTGTGATTGTTAGCAGATATAATACAAATGGTTTAAAAGGAGAATAGCATATTGAACTTACCACCATACTGAGGGTAGTAGGTAGGGGAGCCGGGGAAGCCGCCAGCAGGGGCGCTTTGAGGGCTGTATGGCTCGAATCCAGGTCCGGTAGGCGTCTTGTCCTTGCCCCACTGGTTTCAATTAGCAATTCATTCTCTAGGGACTATATTGGGTAAATGAGAGTGGTAAACTTACGCTGCACTTGAGGGGGCGGCCGTTGACGTTGTATCCGTTCATCTGGCAAATGGCCATGGAAGCATTCTCGTGTGTATCCATCTTAATAAAGGCGAAGCCGCGGTCAGCCTGGAAGCGAGACTCGACGACAAAGCCAAAGTTTTGGAACAGAGGAACGACATCGTTGGGTGTAGTGTATGGGGTTAGGTTGCCGACATAGACGGTCGTCTGCCACGCCGGAGTCTGGGCCAGGATGACGTCGTAGCTACCGACGCCATGCGTGGGGAACTGGTGGTGACCGAAAGGCGTAGTGGGAGTCAGACCCATGGCCTGCATGGCCTGCTGCTGGGCAATCGATGGCTGACCCTTTTGGTTGGCCCAGTTGCAGCGAATGGCTCGAGATCCGAGCCACTCACCGTCCATGGAGCTGAGGGCCTTCTCAGCATCGGGGCGGTCGCGGAAAGCAACGAAGCCGTAGCCGCGAGAGCGGCCGGTCTTCATGTCCCACATGACGCGGGCCTCAGAAACGGAGCCAAAAGCAGAGAAGGCCTGGGTAAGGATCTCGTCGTTGACCTCGTTGGACAAATCACCAACAAAGATGTGGAAGTGACTAGTAGTATCTTCTTTGCCAGCAGTGTTGGCCTGGTAAGCCCAGTTGACACGGATTTCCTGCACCATGTTAGCATTAGCCTATACACGTGGAAAGAAACAGTTACATACGGATTGGTGAACTCGGCGGCCGTTGAGGGTTTGCATGGCACGGTCAGCAGCTCCGGGGTCGTCGTACTCGACAAAGCCATAGTTGAAGCCCTTGGCCTATAGGATTATATTAGCTTGATGATGAAAAGAGACAAAGAAGGTAGGACCACCCCATAGTGTAACTTACGTTCTTGTCGGGAATAATCTTGACATTTTGGACGTGGCCAGTGGTTTCAAAGATCTGGCGCAGGACGTCCTCGGTGACACGCTGGTCAAGACCACCGACGTAGAGCGCTCTCTTGTTAGGCTCAGGGGCAGCACGTCGGAGGGCAGCAGTGGTGGGGGACATCAAGCTGTCCATATCAATAGGCTCCCTGCCATCGGTCGGTGAAGTGACCGAGGTCGGGATGGGATTGTTGTTTTGGGGGATATGCAGAGGAGGGGGCATGTGCGGCTGGGCAGCGCCGTTGCTGGCGCCGGCATTGGCGTTGGTGGTCTCTGCGTCGGCCATGATTATGTATTTGATCGGGGGAGGGTATTATGTCGAAGAGAGGATCGAAGAATGTGGGCGAGATGCAAGATGCAAGATGCTAAAGAAGTTGGTATGCGAGGGGTTTGGAGCTCGTGGGGCGAAGGCGAGTCAAGGATGTCGAGACGTAGATTGTAGAATCCAAGAAAGACGGTCGAGTTTTTTGTAGACAAGACAGAAGCAAACTCTCGAGAATCCACAAAGCTAAAAAGATAAAACTTTAAGGTTGGAAGACGGCCGCGTGAGCTTGTTGGGGGAGGCGGAGGAGGATGGCCCGTGAACTAGAAAGCGAGGCGTTGGATAAAAAAAGGAGGATAAGGAAATACTGGAAAAGGAAAAAAGACGGAAACTGGGAAACACAGACAAGCTCCAACTGAGAAATGCAGAGGAAGCAAGCGTACTCCGTGATGCTTTTTAGAACTTTGCAAGATGTGTCGGAGGGAAGAAGGCGGAGGAGAAAAGAAGCGGCGAGGAAAGCTGTTAATATCACCAGACACCCAGGCGCCGGGTACCCCCCAGGGCCCGGCAGCGGGAAAAGATGTTATAAAAGGAGGCCCTGAAGCGGCATAGCGTCAAATTTCACAGGGCGACAGGGGCAAAGCGGGGTCTCCAGGCCAAAATTACAGGGCGCTTTACCACTCTGTAGCAGCAGCCCGACCAGCCCAAGTGGGCACTGAGGCTGTCGCTACAGAAAGTAACGAGCAGGCCTGGAGCCACAAAGACGACCACCGCTACACTACGCTACTTTACTCACAGCGCTGTCCAGGGCAGTCAAGCAAGTACACTGTGGGAACAGGTCGCCAATTTAGGAGGGGCTGGCCCGCTGACCGCCTCTGTAACGTGGTGGTTGAGGTGGTGAAGAAAAACACGACGAGCGACGAAGCGAGGCGAAAAATATAGTTGTCCTCTTCGGGCTACTACCGAATTTTTAATCAAGAAATGAAATTTACAATTTCAACCTAGTGCTCTTTAATATACCGTCTATAAAATAAAAATTGTGAATAAAAATCCAGTGAGCGTAACCTAATCTATGTTTCTATGCACACCTAACACCACCATCCAAGCACCACAGCTCTTCAACAGCGCTAATTTACAGCGCTATAGCGCTACAGATCGACCGCCATTTCCCGCTAACATCTGCTGCTTCCCGCACCCAGCCCCACCTAAGCTGTTGGCTGCCAGCCCGCCAATCACAGCCCGTCGCCACTCCACCACAGCGCTAAGCCGTAACCACTCACCTTTCAACATCACCACCAGGCCAATTGTCACCACGTCGCCGAACACACGCTCGCATCGCCGCCACCGCGAGTCCATCTCCCAACAATCCCACCACCCAATTCTATCTATCCACCAAGTCGGATCATAACCAAATACTCACTCTGCTGCCAGTCGGCGCATATCGCCCGCCATGGCAACGATCCCCAAGTCTACCAACCCTCTCGATTCCCTCCAACTCCTTCTCAACGACGCGGTAAGACGCCTGCCCAATCATAGCCTATACACGCTAATCATGTCCTAGCTCGTGCAAACAGGCAAAGCACTTCGCGCGTCTCGCCGCGATGAAAACGGCAACCTAATCTACCAAGGCGCGTTGCAGTCAAAGCTCCCAGACACGGCTAACGCCTTCCACGCCGCTCTCGACGACCTCGACCACAATATTGTATGACTGAAAAATGCCGCCGAGGATCTATAGTAAATACTAACCATGCTTTTTGATTAGATTCAAGCCAAATCTGTCCTTCTTCGCGACCTCAAGCAGCTGCGCGCCAAGCAGGCGTCTACGTCTGCCACTTCGCAACAACCGCCGGCGGAGCCAGAGCCTGTCCTGGCGCAGACCAAGTCTCCCATGGCTATTGATATTGGCTCATCGCCGCCAACTGCACCTGCACCTGCACCTGCACCTGAAGCAGCACCAGAAATCAAAGCCGAGCCCGCAGCCGAAACTATCGACATCACCAGCGGCACCGAGGACAACAAGATCGATCTGGAAGCGTCGCTCGCCGGATTGACAGACACAAACTTTACTGATATGGAGTTTGCGCCACCGAGTGAGCCGACCACGTTTGACATGGCCAGCTTTGCGCCGACGGATAACGCGACGGACCTCTTGTCTCTGGAGAACTTGATGCCAGCCGCGGGCGACGGCAACACCGCACCAGTAGATGCTACGGCGACGACAGCTGCAGCACCATCGACCTCATTGGACGCCGAGTTTGCGGACCTGTTCGATAACAACGATGGTCAAGCGGACGGTATGGATTTTGACTTTAGTATTGGGGGAGGAGCTGGTGGCGACGACACGTTTGACGACTTGATGAATACCCGTGGCGAGGATAGTTTCGGTATGGGCGGTGACGACTTCGATGCATCCTTCCTCGGGCTCGACAAGCCCGAGGGAACATGATGACACAGCGACTCTCGCTCCCATCTTTGCTATTTCTGGTGTTTTTGGTGTTGGCGGGAATACGGGCACAGGCGTTTTTACATTGTCCAGGCCAGGACCTCTTTTTTCATATCACGGCACTTTTGATATGCTATCTCTTTACATACTCGTTATATTTTCAAGATCGCTTCTATGTACAAACATATACAAATTTTCTTTTGAAACTCATTAAATACCACTCGCTCATGGAGTCTGTGTCATGTCAAACATCTTGCCAAGGCGGCCCTTGAAGGCTGGGTTTCGCCAATCCTTCCAGGCATAATCGAGCGCACCCCAGGTCTCTTCCTTGTCGACCTGTCCGTCGCGGACATAGTACGAACCCTGCAGCGCCCAGTGCGCCCAGTCGGCATCATTGTCCTGCATATAGCCTACCAGGCAGCTGAGGTAGTGGTCATCGTCGTCGTTGAGTCCGTCGTGAGGTCCGCCCTGCATACCGACGCCAAACTCAGACAGGAATAGCGGTCCGGTGTACTCCTTGCCCTGGACAAGCAGAAAGCCAAAGAAGCCGCCGTACTCGGTGCGTCGGATACCGCAGCTGCCAAAGTCGGGTGTCGTAATGGTATAACTGTAGCTGTGGGCTTCCCAAACGTGCTTACCAGGCCATCCAGAGGCATCAATCATACCGTGGCGAGAAACAGTCGATAGATCAGTGCCGCCGTTGAGGCCGCCAACAATGACCAGAACATTCGGGTTGGCGTCGTGGACGAGCTTGCCAGCTGGCGGGATGTGGGCACGCCAGGCGTCGCCAGATGACGGGATCTGGGTGACATGTGCGCGCATCTCGTTGCGCAACGACATACCTACGATGCCCGGGCGAGACAGAGACCACTGGGCCATGGCGCGCAGACCATCGTGCCACTTATTCGTATCAAAGAAGCGCGAGTTGGCATCGAGATAGCCGGGAGCGTCGCTCCACCAGCCGTTGCCGTCGTCGAGGTTGCAGCACCACGAGGCCTTGGAGACGTGGTTATCGAGGATGGTCATGATGTTGTTCTCCCAGAGCTTCGACTGGACCACGTCAAACGCCTCAATTACGGTGGCATTGGCCAGGAACGGGTTCTTCTGGACCGCCGTGTTGTAGAGGTTCATCATGGCGTTGACATCGGCGTTGGCGGCAGCAGCGCCTTGGCGGAACGAGTCCTCAACACGAAGGTTCTGGTTGAGTGCCATGTCGATGGAGTAGGTCAAACGCACACAGTTGTACCCGGCGCCGGCAATCCAGTGAGCGAGATAGTCGACCGACTGCTTGTGCAGACCTTCGGGCACATTGGCCTCCATGTGGCCGGCCCAGTTGATGCATCGCAGCTTGACACGGTTGTTGTTGGAGTCGAGGATCCAACGAGACGACGAGTGCAAAGGAACAGCAGGCTTGTCAAGTGCAAGGGCTGGCACCGTAAGTGCAGCCAAGCCAGCGAGAGTGGCTACAATGTTCATCATCGTGCTGATAGTGAGGTCTCAAGTCTGGTGGGGGACTGTAGCTATCACGGCGCTATGGGAATACATCTGACAGGTTGATCTACGGACTTTATATATACATCCGGGCCCAGCGGACACATGCTAGCGAACGGGCGAGCGAGTGGGATTGACAATGCATTGCAGAGCCACCATCTTACCATCTCAATGCGAAGCAAGCAGGCCCAGCGTTCGGAGCGCTCTTCCCCGAAAGGCACATGCCCACCACGGCGCAATGCCGGTGCTTGGCCCCCGCTAGCGGCTTACACCTGAAAGAAGGGATCGGTCGGTGGGCAAGGGGAGCACAGGCCGTGGGTTTAGCGGGGGTTGGTTGTGTGCATGTGCCGAAGAGGGTAAGCAGGTCGTTGCGATGGCGCTGTGGGAGAGTTGCAAGCAAGGAAAAAAGGGCCGATGGGCCACTGTTAGCGTCTGAGTTACAGAAGGAGGCAAAGAAGCCAGAGAGGAAGGTTAGCGGCAGGAGGGTGATGTGCGCTCCGCTGTGGAGAAGAAGCGCTGGGGTTTGTCTCAAAGTAGAAGTCTGGGCCGTGAGCGCATAGAAGAGAACGAGAGACGAACTGCTGCACAAGAGATTGGGCTGTTCATGCGATGGTGATGAGAGGAGATGGGCGTTATGCGGCAGACGATAGCCCAGTGTCGGCGATTACCCTCAACGGGCGCAGGACACCCTAGGTGGCCGTGGAGGGTGTTGTACTTGGGGTTCTGCTTAGCATTGTCGCATATTTTACTTTGTATTTTTGGAGGCGTTCGTGCATGAGGGTGGTGTCGATGCAACGTTAAATGAACTGGCTGTGAGGAGGGCCTGTGTGCAGGTCAGGTACCGAACTGCGCAAAACTAAAATCTATAGAATTTATGCCCATCTTCAGCTCGCTCATTGGACGCTTTTGGTCAAATGTAGTCAAATGTAGATCTCCAATTGGGCCATCCAGATGCACTTGCAGACGGTAAGGAAAGGCAGCAAACTTTACACGTAAAATTCATCTAAAAACTCAATGTAACTTATATAATATATTTATATAATGTACAATGTACTACAAATATGTATAAAGAGAATCGAATTTTTTTAGAAAAAAAATAAAGTAAAATAAAGTAAAAACAAGAAGAGTTGCACGATTTACTAAAACCTAGTAGTCTACTCGTAACGTTTACTGATGATCTACTGCACACCACTTACAACATCACCATAACGCCGAAATCGCCCATGTACCCAAATATCCGATAAAAATTAAAATAATCTCCTTTAGCCTATTCAGATCAAATACAAACGGCTAAATCCCCTTAAACCCACTCACGCTATCATGACATGCAAAGGGCGCACTGGTTAGTCAGCAGCGCAAACACCAAAAACTCAATATCACCATCGTCCCTTATCCCAACCACAATCATCATTTACCATTCGTTCCCACAGCTCCAATGAGCACATCCGCCACAGACACCATCGCTCTGCACCCTCTCCCCGGCACCCCTGCCGGCGCAGCCTCCACGTCCGAAGACCTGCTGCGAGACTTACACACCCATGAAACCGCCGTCGCAGCCTCGCCGCCAGGGCTCTCCAAAACTCGCCGCGTAGCAGTCATCATCACCATAGCAGGTATTACCTTTGTCAACAGCATTGGTTCAGGGATCCTGATTGCTGCACTGCCCCGCATTGCCCAGGAAGTCGGGCTGGCCGAGTCCCTCATCCTCTGGCCGGCTGCAGTCTACTCCCTCACAGCAGGATGTCTGCCGCTCATCTTTGGCGCCATGGCCGACATTATCGGGGCCAAGCTCGTCTGGGTGACTGGCAGTTTTCTGTTTGCCGGGTTAACGGTTGGTCTGGGGCTGGCTAAGACGGCGCTCCAGGTGATTATTGTGAGGGCGCTGTTGGGCGTCGCTATCTCGCTGTGTCTTCCTACAGCCGTGAGCCTCATCACGAATACGTTTGCGCGCGGCACATGGCGCAATGTGGCATTTGCAATGAACGGCATGGGCCAGCCGTTGGGGTTTGCCATTGGCCTTGTTCTGGGTGGCATCTTTACTGACACGATTGGCTGGCGCTGGGCGTATATCCTCACGGCCATGGTGAATGTGTGCCTGTCACTGGTGTCTGTGTGGTCGCTGCCTGCTGTGCATCAACCATCTAACAAGACGAAAGCGCAGAGACTAGCCCAGGATATCGACTGGCTTGGCATGGGGATCCTTAGTGTGGCCCTTGTGCTGGTTCTCTACGTGCTGGCCGTGGTGACGAGCTCGTATCGCAGTATTAGCAGCCCTTTGACCATTTCCTTGCTGATTGTGTCGGTTGGCCTGCTGGTTGCCTTTCCAGTATGGATGCGGCACCAGACGAACCGCAACAAGCCGGCGCTTATCCCGAACCATCTGTGGCGAAAGACATCATTTACGTTTATCAGTGTGGCCGTCTTTTTCTGCTGGGCAGCCCTCAATGGCATTGAATACTTTACAACATTATAGTAAGTGCATCAGTATAGCGGACAGGACAGTCAACACTAACAGAAGATGCAGCTTCCAACAGGTTGAGGGTGTTGCTGCCCTGCAGAGCTCAATTCGCTTCCTCCCACACGTCGTCATGGGCGTATGCGTCAATGTCGGCATGGCCTTTTTCATTTCACGCTTCACTGTGCGCAGACTTGCTGTGGTATCGGCCATTATCACCATGGTCACGCCGCCGCTCATGGCAACTATTCCCGTTGGCCAAAATTACTGGTTTGCGCCGTTCTGGGCGCTGTTTCTGTCACCGGCAAACGCAGATGGTAAGCTCTTTTTGAGATTATCCCAAACCCACACTAACTTTGTTTAGTTTTGTTTACCGTATCAAACCTCGTCATCTCGGATGCTTTCCCCGCAGAGACACAGTCCTTGGCTGGCGCCGTCTTCAACGTGGTAGCTCAGCTCGGCAACTCTGTCGGATTAGCTGTTACAGCAGCGATTGCAGCCTCAGTCACAGAGCATTCCGACGTCAAGGACCATAACCTCGCGCTGATGGAGGGCTTCCGGGCCGCCTTCTGGACACTCTTTGCCGCGACGGCGACAGTGGTAGTGGTATGTTTCTTTGGACTACAACGAGGCGGTGTTGTGGGTAAGAAGACGGACTGAAGTGTATTATTAAAAAATAGAAGTAGTTATAGAATAGTGTTGGGGTATATCTAGTAAATACCAGGAACAATCTTCCACTTGACCACGCGCTTGTACTTCTCCCAGTCATCACCGTACTTCTTCTGGCACGCCGCGTCGTCACGGCCCTCACGGTGGATCAGAAGGATGCCAAAGTACAAGCTGTAGAAGCAAGTAAAGGCAATACCCCAGCCCCTAGCGTCGCCCTGCTCCACCTGGCCATTCGCCTGAATCACGTAGCCAGAAAGACCGGCAGCGAGGCAGAAGGGCAGCGACTGCAGCCAGTCACCAAAGTAGTTGAGATGGCGCGAGATACCCCACCATCCGCCAGTCAACAATCTCGTGCCGCGCTTGGTTTGGATGTACGAGAGGCCAGCAACGCTCGGGTGGTTAGGCTCCTTGCGGAAGACGGCCTTTTGCGTGTTTGCGGCGCGGAAGATGTACAGACCCAAGGCAAACACAGAGAAGAGTCCAGCCAAACCCAAGGGACCCAAGTGCACAGGGTACACAGCCAGGTAGCGCGCCTGCGTGGAGTAGATGAAGGGCACCCAGACAATATCACCAAAGGTCAGCATGAAGCCGAGCCCATCGCTGATGATGTCCATCATGGAAAGGATACCGGCCTCGGCGTACTGGCCCTCAAGGACGTAGTAGCCCTGGATGGCGGTGACGAAGATCATGCTGTCCGACACAAAGCCGTGGCGGTTGTACTGCTTGGCCATGAAGGCCAGGTCGAGCAGCAGCCAACCGGTCAAACCAGGACGCATCTCAAGCCACGTCTTGATGTCGATCTCGCCGCACAGGGGCAGCGTGACGCGCGGGTTGAGCTCACGGCCAATGTAGAAGTCGTAGATGAGGTTGCCGCTGGTGCCGCCCTCGGCGAGCTCGCGCAGCTCCTTGTTGCGCGGCTTGACGGAGAAGCTGGCAACGTAGACGTAGACGGAGATGGCGTATGCGAGGATGATGTTGGCCGTCAGGATCTGCAGGTAGTTCTCGTCAATGTAGCGCCAGACGACAAAGTCGGCGCCGTAGATGTATGTGCCGACTGCGCAGGCGACGACTTGAACAAGGGTCGAAGAGAAAGCTATACACACACATTTATACATTAGTCTGTTTCTCTCGGCAAATTCAGTGCATAGTAGACGTACAGTTGAAGCGGTAGTTGAGGGGCTTGCCCGACTCCTTGAGCTTGGTGCCGAGGACCTCGTGCGCAGGCAGCACAACGTACAGGGCCATGCTGAGAACGTAGTACGCAGCGACCCAGCCGGTAGCCTCGAGGCTCACGAAGCCAGCCAGACCATCAGCTGGCCATGGGATCTGCGCGCGGATAGTGTCCCACGCCAACTCGAGGCGGAGCAGCGCGGGGGCAGGGCATCCGGAGATGTCGTTGCAGGCAAAGTAGAAGAAGGCGACAAGCAGCGGAAGGCCAAAGGTGATGGCAGCGGCGCCAATACTATAGGATTCTGTCTGTTAGCCGTGTGTATCTTGATGTTGTGGTTTTCACGCGCAAGCTAGCCGTAGCTATCGCGAGTCAGGGGCGGATTGAACGTACGGGCCGCCAAACTCGTAATTGTGCTTCTGCGCCATTATGAATGCGGTATCGTGCAATAAAAGAGCGGTAATGGCACGACGCTCGCTATATAAAGGACCAGAAAAATGGTGCGGTGGTAGATGGTCGCCCCCTTGGATGGAGAAAGCTATCCGCGTACAGGTGGGAAAAAAGTAAGGTTAGGTGAAGAAGTGGGTGGTGGATCGCGCCGGAGCCGAGACGCCGGGCATCACGCCAGCGGGGCGCGGCCGGAGCGAATACGACGGCGCTTCGCAATCGGATGTGGCTTGGGGGAGGGGCTGCGTACCGTTGCGATTAAGAAGAGAAGTGCGCAGATGTGCGGGTTACGATTAGATAGGCCGGGTAAAAATATGGGATGAATGTTACGAGGCAGAGCACAGTAGAGCACATACGTGTCACGGAAAGAGACGAGGGGAACAGCATGTAGAAAGTCAAATCAGGACGGCGGGTGTCGCCGCATCGAGTGTGTGATATTAGGAGTATCAAAAAAAGGGAAGCAGAAGCCGCTGGGGTGTCATCATTATCTCGTAACCGCAAGAAAAAGACAGGAAAAGAAATCGCCAAATTCAATGAATGCTTGCGTCGTGGAGACCAGAGTGTCTCCTTTGGTCTCTCAGGGTTGTGTGAAGGAGCTGGTGTGTCAGTCTGACACTGTTTGTGTAGAAGGCGAAGAACGGCCGATGAAGAGGAGAGAAACTTTTAAGCCTTGGAGGCAGCAGCAGCGCTCATCTTACGCTTGGCCAGAAGACTCTTGAGTGCACCGACAAAGAGCACCAGGCTCTCTTCGTCGGGTGCGCAAAACTTGTAGCTCTTCTCCTCAGTAATGACCTGGAAGCAGTTGACCTTGGTCCTGCTCTGCGCGTCAATGTCCACAATGTCCACAATGGCAGGGAGCTGCACAATCCACTGAGCCAGGTACTCGCTCTCGTCCTTGTACATGATGAGGTTGCGTGGCCGCAGCACTCCCCACATACGCTTCCATTGCCGCACTCCGCCCTTGCTGCGCAGCAGGTGAAGCCAGCCCTGCCAAATGACACGGTCGGGATCCTGTTCAAAGGCGTTGACGGGCGCGGCACGGTCTGTCGGGCTCACGCGGTACGGCATGCCCGGTCCAGGCACCGAACCAACAATCTGGCCAAGTGGTACTGAGGAGCTTTCAATAGAAGCCCCGCGCATGCGGTGCTCGTTATCGGACAGGTCGGAGTGCGAAGGAAGCTCGTTGCCCGAGAGGCCTGACGAGTCGAGAGCGGAGGATTCGCGGCGCATACCGGCGTGCAGGAAGCCTGGTGTCGGAGGCTCAAAGGTTTCGGGAGACGACGACAGCATGGTCTCCCGTGCGAGGGGTGTAACGCCGTCACCAGGCGTCACAGCCATTAAGCCGTTGGGTGAGACGCTGCGAACAAGAGGGCTGGCAAGAAAGAGCTCTTCCTGATCCTCCTCGAGACGGGCCTCGCGGCGAATCAGTTCCAGCCATCCTCGTGCTCCTTCAGGTGTCGGGGCCTGGAAGTGAAAGTTTCGGGCTGGGCAAAAGAGGCCAAACAGGTTCTGACGCTTGTGCTTTGGGTCTTTGAGAAAGGTGACGGCAGAAAGGTCGGAGAGGTGGACTTGGTGTCGAAGCTTAGACTCCTTTTCGTCCTTGTATATCGAGAGCGTGTTTGGTCGGAGGACGACAAAGCATGTTTTCCATTTCTGTAACAAGTCCCTCAGTTAGTATCTGTATAGCCTAGCAAGCTTGTCTGAGCAGGTGTCATCCTTACCTTTGTCTTTTGGGCTCTCTTTGTGAGGTAGCCGCTTTTGATGACGCGGTCGAATTCAAAGCAGCCGTTGCTGCTGACCGAGTGTGTTTCGAGGTTTAATCTGCTGCCGTCTCTGGGCCTCGGAGCGACAGAGACGGGTTGTGAGGGCGGGAGCATAGCGTCGAGAGGCGGCGGCGGCCGTATTGTTTCGACCATGGCCGCAGGCATGATGGGCTGTTGCTGGTGTATGGTTTGTTCAAAGTTTCGAGTCTGTCTGCTCTTTTTCACTGCTGGTGCAGGAGAAAAAGTCAAAATAAGGCCAAGACGTAGTGTGCTCCTAAAAGGAGACGCATGTAATCGACGCAGCAGCAGCGCAGCGCAACGTTGCGGTGTCCAAGTCACCAGAGGCAAAAAAAAGAGCGCGGCGGGCTGGAATGGGCCAACGGCGTGGAGATTCGTTGGGATGGATGATCGGAGGCGGCGAGGAGGGGGGAAGCTAAGCCGGGGTGCAGCAGCAAGGAACAACAGTAATTTTAAAATCGAGGTCTTCTGCCGAATGGCTGATAAGATGAGCCGCTAAGGTATATAGCAGAGAACAGCTGTAATTAGTCGGTAATTTTAATCGTCGATGCCGTCGTTCTTTTTCTTTCTTGGGCTGCAGATGAGAGTACGGGGGCGTCCGGGTCTTTTTCTGGTCTCGTTGCTGTTGTTGCAGACACAAGACTAGACGAGCACGGGATGAAGCAAGTATGCCTCGCTGCCTACTTTGTTGCCAGGCTGCTGCTGCGGCTACTGCTGTTGAACGAGACGCGGGTGGTGTGATTCAGAGCGGCCCGCGTGTAAAAAGAAGAGAGACGGATAAAATAGTCAGCAGTCTCGTCTTGCGTTTGGCTCGTTGCTGCGGCGTGTTTCAAAAGTTGGGGTTTGGTTTTGGTGTAGGAGTTGCTGTCACCAGGCGAGAGGTTGTGAGTTCCCGTTTTCGCTTTACAGTGGCAACAGACGAGCCGTGGGGTGGTACCAGTGCTGTAATTCAGAGGGTGTCAGTGGCTAACGGGCTTGCGAACGCGGCCAGTTGAGTGGCTGGGGGTGGTGAAGAAGCTTCCCAGGAGGCTTTTTTTTAGCGGGGAAGGGTTTTGGGAACAAGACAATGGTTACTGGTGAGGCAGCTCTGGCGCGTCAAAAATGAAAGGGGTCGCCATGAGAAAATTCAGGGCAATGCACAAGATGCTTCTAGACTTGCGGAATATTTTGCCAGAATTACCTCTCCTGCCCAACCTCTCTTGATAAATCCTCCAAGAGGAGTCTATTCCCTGTTGTACCCAGGTTGGTAATCCACTCGCTGCGGGTCACTGAACCTGTTTTTAGCGACCGCCGCCCCGCCACAGCGGCCCCCTGTGGCCGCCAGCACCAACTGTTGCACCGAGTGGCTGCTGCTGGAGGGTCCTCTTGCAGCACTAATGCAAGGTCTCTGCAGCGCTTAAGCTTTTTTGCCGGGCGCTGGCAGGTAAGCCACTGCAGAGCGTGCAACCTCGGCCAGGGCCTTGGATGGTGCCTGTGACATCATGGCTGCAAGGGAGTCTGCGCAGAAATAGACGGAGGGAAAGGGTAAAATCGAAAATAGCATGTACGTTTCTATTTGTTTCTGCGGAAAGTCAGAAAAAAGGATATGGGACATGGTTGCCATGAGGCACTTTCTTTCGTCCCCTTTCTTTTCTCTTAGTCCATTTCTGAAGCGTCCGTGTTTCACACCAAGCATGCGACGCGAACTTGTCTCCAACGCTGGATTTTGTCTGGTAGTGGCAGGCTACGGGAGTCTAGACCAGCTCAGAAGCATCACGATAGAAAAGTAACCCTGTTATGCATTTTTATGTTTGCATCTACAATTCAAAGTGTGCCATATATTGTATCATAAACCTTGCCATTATGCTGTAACTTTGTGTTGCAGCTCCACCGCTCCAGCAGCTGGCACCGCTCACGGACAGCTGGCAAACCCGTCAACAAATACACCGTCAGCAGCCGTCTAATACTTTCTTGTAAAATTATCCCTTGTTCTGAAATTTTACTCATTGTCTTCTTTCAAAAACACCATAAATTCCTTGAGAAAATGGCTTAGCTGCAATGGCGAAGCTGCCTTCTATTATAAGTCACCATGTTATGCGGGTGCTTCAAAAGTAGACGTCTCTGATAGGAAAAGACAAACAAAAAAACTTCATTTTCTGTAGGTTCAACCAATTTCAGACTAGTTTGAGTACATCCTGCGCCGCTAAACTTAAACACACTTATGATTTATTCTTCTCAGTCGGGCTCCATGGGTTGCTATCACCAAGACGGTCAACCGTTAATCCTGCACTCCCAGGATTTGAGTATCCGGCTTCCAACTGTCTCTGGTACGAGACATTGCGCAGCCGTTCAGCCTCTTTAGGAGTAAGTTGTAGCTACAGTGAATGTTAGCAGGTGACTCAGAACAAACGAACGAATAAACACATACATAGATCTCCACACCAACTGCATGGATCGCGAAAGCAAGCCATAGAGCCATGCCAAAGTTGACCTGCATAGCCGCAGCAACACCTGCAGCACCATTGCTACTCAAGGAGCCCTTTACTGCCACGAAAGCATTCTCATCCTGGCAGATAGGGTACTGTGATAGCGCCTGTGTAATGTTGTTGGCCAATGCAATGACCTCGCGGCATGGTAGAGCTTTATACATCTCGTCAGTACCTTCTCGTATCGTGATGGCAAGTATCGAAATTATTCTGAGAGTGATAATTGAACCAGCCTACGTAGACAATGGCGTTAGCATTATAGCATTATCCCTTTGATCGATGACAGATGGTACCACTTACATAGAACCAGGCTCGGAGCATCCAGGCGCGATGCTGCTCAATCTGCAGCCTCTTAACGTTGTAGTATGATATCGCGAGGGATCCAACAAATAGAATGGCAACGAAGCCAATTCCAGTTTGCGTCTCAATAGTACCTCCAAAAGTTCCGCTGGCAACCATAAGGGCACCAACGATGGCGACCAAGCTGAGCGCGATAACCAAGTACCCAGTAATGCGATGGACGAGGATGAACTTATGGCGGATCACTGGTGTAAACTGGGCGCAGACCAAGATACCAGCAGGGATGATGGTGTAGAGATGCATCTTTATGCCGATAAGATAGCGTGTCTTGCTGTTGTAAGTCCAGCACTCTCCTGGGCCCGCAGAGTTCATGCCTTGGCGGAACGGCGAGCAGTAGATACCGTTGAAGTCGAGGTACATTATCCGTGCAAGACAAAATCCTAGCATGGCACCAGCAAAGATGAACCAGAACGTAAAGTTGTAGCCCTTGGCGAAGCCGATGGGATTGTAGAGCTTGCGCATGGCAGCCACAAACCCGTTGGCAGGTGGTCGTGATGAGACAGCCATAGTCACAAGTCAACCAAAAGGTATTGGTAGTAAAGGTATATGGTATTGTATTGAAGTAGATGATTGTTTTGCCTGGTGTATTTCCAAAAGAGAATCCGACGCTGTACTAACCCGTGCCTTTTATACTTGATCTGTAGAGGGCGCTATGTCTGCCCAACTACCCTTCGTCGAGATGAGGCTGGAAATCATCATTGTGATGAAACTCTCCGTTGCCCGAATCTGAGTACGCGGCTCTCGTTCAACCGCGTCTAAGTCCATCCTTAATGCCGAAGATCATAGTGGAATACGGGTTGGGGCTATGAGTGATTCGCAGTAAGGCTGTGGCTTACCAATTTCGTCAGCACAAAAGCCCACCCACCACCCCTGTATTCTTTTAATGCAATGGGCTGTGTCCGTTGACGTGGAACGGGTTAGCAGGATGTTAGTAGCGGGTTAATCGGGATTGCTTCGTACGTAGTGTTTTTCATACACTACAGCCACTACAGATTAACCCGGCGTATTGAACACGAAATACGCAAAGTCAGCCCTGCTGAAGCAGACGAATAATGCATACGTATTGAAAATACGTCATGATGCCAAGCCTCCACCTTTTCTATTCCTAAACTTAATTTTAATTATTGTGCTACTACAAAGGGCGCCCTACAGATTCTATGAATCGGTAGTGCGTGCTGCAATGTAATGTGCGTCGTCCAGAGGTGCACGTAGGGAGACGTACTTCTGCACAGTAATAAAGGGCCTTTCATAAATATTACAAAATATCATACGTATTCAAGTACTAGTGACACTTTCATTTCAGACTATTCTATAGTTAGTAGAATCAATATCAGACCGTACGACGCAGCATCATATGGATGATCGCCTCCAGAACCAACACCCCCACCAGCCCACCCGATCCATGTGGTGACCCCGCCAAAAAGTTTCAACGTCCAAAATTCTTGCCTCGCCACAACGACTTGTTCCCCCAAACCGCCACTCAGCATTGCCGACTTCCCCCTATATTCTCTTTGCGGCCCAAACCATACACAATGGCAGACCCAAGCCTCTGCCGTCGCTGCAAAGAGCGCGCCGGCTCTCTAACACTGCGCAACCTGCCAACATGCCCGTACGTTGCCCCTCCATCGATGACTCCCTTTGCTTAAGGCTGACACACCACCGCAGAGAATGCTATATTGAACATGTCGACTCCAAGATGCGCCGCCGCCTTGGTATTCTCAACAAGGACAAGAAGAACTCGCGCGACCTCGAACCCCGCCGCTACCTCGCCGGTCTCTCGTTTGGACCGTCGTCCACTGTGATGGCTGCCATCCTCGACACTAGCGCAGACTACCACGCCAGCAAGAAGGCCTCGTCGCCGTTTGAGCCTCATGTTGTTCACATTGACACGACTGAGTCACCAGACGGCCAGGTCAGCGAGCAGGCTGCTAAGAAAATGGACGAGTTTAGAGCAAAGTTCCCCCACATCACATTTGAATGCGTGCACGTCAGCCGCGCCATGGGCCTCTCCTCGATAAACTGGACGCTTCTTCCAGTTCCACAAGATGAATCATTGTCGCCGCAGCAGAAGCTGAGCGGCATGTTCAATGCGCTGCCGTCGATAACGTCCCGCGCAGATGTCCTCCGCATACTCATTCGCCACTTGCTCATCTCTGTTGCCCTGGAGAATAACTACAGTACACTGTTGCTTGCCCATAGCACTACAGCCCTGGCGGCTCTAACACTCGCTGAAGTGGCTAATGGTCGCGGATTTTCCGTCCCTGCCCAGGTCAATGACGGGCCAATGACGGTATGCACATATGAAGATGGCAAGGAGACTTCTCGACTGGACTTCCCTGTGCATTACCCGCTTCGTGAGGTTCTCAAGAATGAGCTTCTCAAGTATATGGATTTGGTACCTGCGCTACAGGACATGAAGGTTGATGAGAAGCAAGGAGCCGTCGTATCACACAAGGATGTCAGCATTGAGGAGGTCATGCAGCGATACTTTGAGGGTGTCGAGGGCCCGTATGCCGGTATTGTGACCAACGTCGTCCGCACAACAGGCAAGCTAGAGCCCATTAGCGGCTCCGAGTTTTGCGGCTTGTGTGGTCTGACACTCGATGAAAAGGGTGATTCACGATGGGCCGGCGAGCTAGGCGACGAGGATCACCACGGCGAGAAGCTGTGCTATGGATGCAAGCGCTCCGTCTACGGCTAAGCGCTTCCCAAACTCTTTAAAAAGCATTTTGATTTTTTATCATCTTTTGTATATACCCCATTTCACGAACTTATGAAGCCAAAGATAAGATAGATGTAGCCTCTCGGCTCAATGTACATAGATATCTTTCTATACTCAAAACTAGAAAAATGTGAAAAATAACTCCTGTATCCTTGTTTTTGTTCTCCATCCCCCGTCGCACCATGTACACTCTATATATATGCTCCATGTGACGCTTGTAAAAGAAAAGAAAGAAGAAGAAGCTCCTGTGTGAGCAAATGCAAGCCCAAAATATCCTCCTCACCAGACAGGCAATATTACGCCTGGGAAAGGCTGCCCTCAATTACCCCATTTCGTGTTCGACTCTGAAAGTCTTTAGAGCAGATGCTCTTTAGATTTGGCTCTTGCTCTCAAAAGCAGGCAGAAGCTTGCCCTCGACCTTGCGCATCAGCTTGTTAGTCTGCTCCGCAAGAGACAGAGTCAGGATGGTATGCGGCAGGATACGCGCAAGGTGGGGGAGGAAGCCCTTGTAGATGGCGAATACGCCTTCGGTTCGGATCGTCTTGCCCAGGCAGTCGAGGACGCCCTTGTAGAGGTTTCCGTTTTGGTTATACAGGCGGGACATGATGGTGTCTGCGTGGCCAGTGTTAGTCAAGTCGTCCGATCTCCAGGGTCTTTGCGGGGTCAATCAACTTACCAGGAGGATGCATAAACACACAAACAACAAAACCACTAACAGCACTGCTGGCCAGGTGCAGAGCAGGGCCTTCTTCCATGCCAACATGCTTCTGCAGACGTCTCTTGGCCAAGAAGTACGTGGGCAGCTGTACGGAGCTACCAAAGCCAGTGCGGATCATCGCAGCACCGACACCTCTGTACAGGCCGCGGATGCCCTCGCCCTTATAAATCTGCGACAGGCCGTCAAAGGCATTGCGGTACATGTGCTGCGTGCCGACGGGCAGAAACGGAGAGTAGCTCTGCAGACGAGTCTTGACTAGGAAGAAGGGGCTTCCGGCGGCGGCACCGATGACGCCGGAGCTGGCGCCGCAGAACATGTTGACACCCAGGCTCTGCGTCTTGGCGTCGCTGTAAATCAGTTTGGACAGGCGCGCGCGCATCGGCTCGTAGAAGCCCAGACGGCATCCGTTGAGGAGGATCTGGTACACGTACGCGCAGCCAATACCGCGGTAGATGCCGCGCAGGCCCTCGTTGCGCACAATGACGCCCACGCCGTGGATCGGGCCGCGGTAGTGGTGCGGCGACGCCGTCTTTGTCTGGAGTTCGCCCTGCAGTTGCATTCGAATCTTGACCGTCTCAAACGGGTGCGTGGCCGTGACGGCGCCGCAGGCCGCTATGCCGCCGGCGATGAAGGCGCTGCAAGAAAAGAAAAAGACCACGGTTAGTTTCTCCGGTGGTGGGGATATTTCACGGCGGATATTGAAGAGCAGACTTACCCCAAGGTCGTGGACATTTTCTTTCTATTTTTTTCTCGCTTTCCCTGGTAGAAATCGTGCGAAGGAGCGCTCGCGGTGAAGGAGCTTGTGATGCAATGTCAATATTTTTGGGCGGGTTACGGATGCGGCGGCTTAAGGGGAGTTTGCCGAGACGACACAGAGAGGCTACTTACGAGGCGATAAGGCTGGACGAAGGGCTCTTCCCGAAGAGGATATGTCCGAGGTGTCGGAATTCAACTGAAAACGAGAGAATGGTGTCTCTGAGGACGTATTTGTTGGGGCGCCGCCTTTTGCTGTTCGAGCCGTGAGTCTGGGGGAGGAAGAGGCTCTGCAAATAGCCAGAAGCCCGTGTGCCGACGTCGGCCGATGGGGAATTTTGTTTGGCGGGCTGCTTTGATTTCGGCGGCGTCCCAGTGGACTACAGGCGGGGGGGGCACTTGGGCTCAACGGGCACTCCGCCTGGAGTTAGGCGCTGATAGCGAAGGAGTGTGGGCGGTGGGGAGTGTGGTTTTTTGCAGTGGGTGGGTGCGCCGGTGACGGAAGCTGCCCCGTTCGGGTAGTCGAGGCTAATTGGGAGATGAGGGTAGCCCAAGGTGCTGAGGGAACGTTGTAAGCAGTGATTTTTATGTGTAGATAACTGCGTGGGCTTGTAGATGCTAGCGGCAGGCAAGGATTGTGAATTTATGGAAGGATTTTTGCGGAGATTTCTTTATCATTGTATTCTGTATGTTGGAAGATGGCAATTGCTGGCGAAGCGCAGCGACTTAAGTGAATACAGATAGTATATCCCACACGCAGAGGTTCAATGACGGGTAATTTTCTTAATAAAATTTAATTACACATATAAATATACATAGTACTCTGAAAAATATTTCCATAGAATTATTATCAATACAATTCATCTTCTAGCACTCTCTCTTCCCAGCCGATCGGCGAAAGCAAAAACCCCCACCAAAAATCTCCAGGTGCCAACGCCAAATCTACCTCCACACCCAAAGAAAGCTCGCCGGTCACGAGACGACGCGCCAACCTCATCCCTCCAACCACCGCCGTCTTCTCTTCCACGCGCCAATGTCCACCGTCGCCTAATAGTCCTCTCCTACAGCTGCACACCGCCATGGAGTCCACCCCGATGGACATTGACCGCGCCGACCGCGCCAACGGCACCTCCAAAAGCATGTCCAGCCTCCCCGACGTCATGTCCTCATACCGCCCTACAAAGGTTCGTCCATTCCACGCGCCATTGGCCCCCCGGTTCCACGCTCGCACAGCTAACATGGCAACAGCTCTTCCGTAGAGACAATGCTTCCGAAAACAACTCGTCGGCGCCGTACGTCCTCTCCATAGACTACGATGACGAGGGCGAACTGCTGCTCACGTCGGCCAGCGACGAGACGCTGCAAATCTACAATGTCCGCGAGGGCCGCCACGAAAAGAGCCTCGTGAGCAAAAAGTACGGCGTCAAGCTTGCCAAGTTTACACACACAAAGTCGAGTATCATCTATGCCTCGACGAAACAAAACAGTGCGCCACCCACCCGTTCTTCCTCGCCCTTCTGTCTTTCTTGTTTCTTTGGGGGGGTAGTGATTTGATCTCATCATACTAATTCTTCTGCTGTAGATGCCATCCGATACCTCGCGACACACGATAATTCTTTCATCCGATACTTTGAGGGCCACGAGGCCACCGTCACAGACATGGCCGTCCATCCCGGCAGCGACAACTTCATCTCGTGCGCCCAGGACAACACTGTCCGCCTCTGGGACACCCAGTCCAAGCACTGGCAGGGCCAGCTGCTGCTTCGCGCGCCGACACTCGCCGCCTACGACCCGTCCGGCACCGTCTTTGCCGTCGGATGCCCCAGCAGCGGCTCGATCCTACTCTACGATGCACGCAACTACGACAAGGCACCCTTCCAGACCATCGACGTCCTCGAGCAGAGCCGCTCTGTCGATGCACAATACTCCATGAAGGGCTGGACCAAGCTGGAGTTTTCAAACGATGGAAAGTCCATTCTGCTTGGTACAAAGGGTAATGGGCACTTCCTCTTCGACGCCTTTGAGGGCTCCATGAAGGCATACCTGCACCGTCCGACAGGTGGCACAAGGCGCGCAGCAGTGGGCGAAAGCCAGGCGACAAATGGGGCGGTGCCGCCTGGGCCGCCGTTTGAAAGTTCGGGAGACTGTTGCTTTGCGCCGGATGGCCGCTTCGTTGTCAGCGGCTCGCGGCAGGACGTTTTGGTGTGGGATACGATGAAGGCGGCAGATGGAAAGTTACTGGATCCGTCGTACACGCTGCCAGATAAGAGAGAGGCGGCGGTCGTGGCGTTTAATCCCAGGTATAATTTCTTTGCGACGGCGAATCAGGAGCTTGTGTTTTGGGTGCCGGATCCTCACTCATAAGGAGGTGTGTTGTGTGTTGTTACTTTATAGTTGATCATGGGATGGAGTTTGCTCAAAATTGGCTTGAATTGAAATCTTTGCCCTGCTTTCAGTCAAATTATATCTTGTTCCATAAGCGATCTGATTCGAATGCGCTCAGGTGTGGAGATGTCGTTAGTAGGATGAATGGCAGTGGCCACCACCTGCAACAGAACGTGTTTACGCAACGGTTAAAGCAATACTTATCCATACAAAATGATATTTATTTAATTATAAGATTTTATAAAAATATAAAAATACGAGGCCCTCCGCAAAAGCACCACTTAGACCATCGTCGCGTGTGTATGCAAGGTCCTACCCGGCACAAAATCCACCAAAAATACCCCACCACAACCACATCCCAAAACCATCGATAACTTGTGCCACCACTTCCCCTACGCCAACCACCCCTCAACCCCTCACACATCACAGCGGTAACGATGCCGTACTTCAAAACAGGCCAAGAATGGATGGAGCAATCCGCTCTCCTAATTGAAGCCCGCCCCAAGACTGTACGCTCTCGCCCTCTACTTGAATCCGCAGCCCGTTGCGGCCAACGTGCCACCTTCAATCTGCCTTACGATATGCTAACATGCGCAAACTAGACCCGCATAACAACAAGATACTCCCTCGCTCCTGCTCCCACGCCTAAATCATCAGGCGACGCCCCTGCCGACACCCAGAAAGCCGCCGCCCGCGCAGAACTCGTCCTCAAGACCTTCGATCCCGTCTCCGGCGTCACGCTAAAGTACAGAACCACCAAGGCACAGGAAGTAACACGCCTGATGCAGACATCACTAGGCACGCTGGGTAGAGGAATGGCCGGTCTGCCTGCGCTGCCGGCTGAGACAGCACCAGAGGCCACGGGCACAGCGACACCCGTGGGCGACGCAAAGGACGGAGCAGCACCAGCAGCTCCTGTAGGCGGCAAGAAGAAGAAGAAGGGCAAGAAATAAACTACACGTGGAGAATGAGGCGGGGAGATTAAAATATAAAAGAGGTCCTTGGGAAGGCAAATTATATAGACACAGAGGGGGACAGGAGAGACATGACACAATTTACGACTACTGGGCAACAGTGAAAAGCAAGGTTATCCAAACATAGCAATTGAATTTTATGCGTACAACTAACAAAACCATCATAATAATCCATCCTTCCATCTCGTGCTTCATGCCCCGAAATATAAACCAACAACGCCGGGTGGCCGGGCCATAGGCACACCATTTAAAAGAAGATATCCGGGCATGCTGCCGTTTTCCGAGCGCAGACGCTCAAAGCCCACAATATACAAGGTATGTGCGATACAAAGGAAATGAGAAAAGGGAACATGGGGAGTAAAGAGGGTATAACAAAACGTGTAGACTCAAAAACAACGCGGAACCTCTGTGTGATTTAGAAGTCCTCGTCAAAGTTGAAGTCACCGCCATCGCTAGGGCCATCAGCCTTGCCGTCGTCAGCCTTCTTGCTGGCCGAGGCCATGACACCGGCCTTCTGGTACTCGCCAACACGCTTCTCGAAGAAGTTGGTCTTGCCACCAAGGGAGATGTTCTCCATGAAGTCGAAGGGGTTGGTGGACTTGTAAATCTTCTCGTTGCCAAGAGCGACGAGGAGACGATCAGCGACGAACTCAATGTACTGCTTCATGAGGTTGGCGTTCATGCCGAGCAGAGCGCAAGGAAGAGCCTCGGTAAGGAACTCCTGCTCAATGGTGACAGCGTCAGTGATGATGCCGGCAATGACCTCCTTGCTGGCACGGTTGTTGAGGTGGGAGTGCAGAAGGCAGGCAAAGTCGGTGTGAAGACCCTCGTCACGAGAGATGAGCTCGTTGGAGAAGGTCAGACCGGGCATGAGACCGCGCTTCTTGAGCCAGAAGATGGAGGCAAAGGCACCAGAGAAGAAGATACCCTCGACGGCAGCAAAGGCAACGAGACGCTGAGCAAAGGTAGAGTTCTTGTCAGAGATCCACTTCAGGGCCCAGTCGGCCTTCTTGCGGATACAGGGAATGGTCTCAATGGCGTTGAAGAGGTATGTGCGCTGGGTAGGCTCCTTGACGTAGGTATCAATAAGCAGGGAGTATGTCTCAGAGTGGATGTTCTCCATCATGATCTGGAAACCGTAGAAGCAGCGACCCTCGGGAATCTGGACCTCGTTGGAGAAGCGCTCGAGAAGGTTCTCGTTAACAATACCGTCAGAGGCGGCAAAGAAGGCAAGAATGTGGGAGATGAAGTATTTCTCGTCATCGTTGAGACGGTTGTTCCAATCGTGCAGATCCTTGGAAAGATCGATTTCTTCGGCTGTCCAGAATGAGGCCTCGGCCTTCTTGTACATCTGCCAGATCTCGTGGTACTTGATGGGGAAGAGAACGAAGCGGTTGGGGTTCTCCTGGAGGATGGGCTCGTCGAGCTCAGCAGCCTTGGCGTCGGTGGCAACGACAGCCTTGGACTCTTCCTCCTTCTTGACCTCCTCAACGGGGGCCTTGACGTCCTTGGACTCCTCCAGCTTGGCAACAGCGTCAGCAGGGAGGTTTTCCTTGTTGGCGACGCCAAAGTCAAGCTTCTTGACCGGCGACTCCATCTTGAAGGACTCGATGGCAGTGGCAGCCTGTTCGCGCGGGACCGCGTTAGCAATTGCGAGCGCGAGGGAGCAGCACACCATGGCCGGCGAAGCCAAACGTGAATGGCGCGGATGGTGGCAAACTTACCTGCTTGGAAGGGGTGGTATCAGCCATTGTGTGATGTGGAATTGGGTGGGAGATGTGATGAGAAGAGACAAGCAAGAAGCGCAGCTTTCTTTTTTGTTTCGGCTCGAGGTCGATTGGGGCGTGATGCAGAAGACGCGTAAAGAGAAAAGGCGCGGGTTCATCAAGAGCTTTTTGTACAATGGACTGGGCGATGCCGTCACGTGCGGCGGACGCGTCGAGACGTGTTTGCACGGTGGGGCATTTGCGCGCCATCCAATTAAGCCTGGCTGAGCAACCGCTCCCTTTTTTGGCTGGTTCCCTGGGGCGCGAGACAAGGGCCCCAGCAAGGCACCAGTTTTCTTTGCGAGAGAGGTACCAAGATGAACAAGGGCGTCAGCGTGCACGGCCATCAGGCCCAGCCACCCAGCATTAGCCTGTCGACGAGGGAACCGCCGCACGCGACGCGCCTTCGCGTTCAGGTACCTCATTGACTGCTCGGCGCTAATACGAGACCGCCGCCAAGGGAGGAGCCGCTGGGACGGGGCCCACGGGACGGAGATGGGTGTTATCAATCAGCTATAACATCATCATCACTCAGCAAACAAAGCACCACTTGCTCGCCGCACGCCCCCCTTCCCAAGAGGGGCGAGACACGTTCGACCCGCACCTGGACCATTTGCCTCCGTCAACGAGGCTCAATTGGGCCGTATATGCTGAAGGATCGGGGGGTAGCGCCGAGCTCGTCTCGGAAATGCAATGGTGGGCTGATTGGCATGTCAATTCACCACTCTGTGCAGGGAGACAGACTGACGCTATGTGCCGGGCTCTGTCTGTTGTTCACGATGGGGCCGCTTAAAGCTGGGGTACTAATGTGACTGTAGACTTTGGGATGGGGTCTTGGTCATGCTTGGATCAGCATTTGTTGTAAGTTTATAATTATTCATTCCACTATGCTATTTGGTAACTATGGCATAACGACGTAAAGAAAAGGTATATCTGTAGTGCAAAGCACAACCGGTGTCCAACCCCATTCCTCCACAATAACATTACTCATGACTTGAACGAAATTCAACATTCTGTAAGCAAAAAAGCAAACTACTTTCGTGTTGTCGCTGGGCGACTGGTATCAACGACACCCGTCTCGAGGTCATCTGGCCGTGTCTTGTTGCGGCCAAATGTGCTGGTGCGAGCCTTTTTGCTGGCGTGCTTCCGCGCATATACCTCGTCTACTTCGCTTCGGGCTCGATCGTACTCTTCGGGGCTACTAGGGTCTATGTCGGGCAATGGCTCGCCTTTTCGCTTTAGGCCCTTCTGGCCCTTTTCGCGAAGGTGCTGCTCGAGGAGAAGTGCGTTTCGGGTGTTCGCCTTGAAGACGGCATCGCAGAGGTCGCCGAGGAACGGCACGAGGCCAATGACAAAGTCAACCATGATGTTGAAGATCATGGACATTTTTAGGCTCGTTGGCAGGCCGCCGTCGATCTGTTCGCAGGTTCGTAGGACCATAATGGCCATGAGGGTATCCATTGCGTCACCGATGCTGCCGGCGTGTTAGTAACTTGCTTAACAGTATAGCGGAACCGTATAAAACCTTACAATGGCACAATGCCAATTACGCTGCCCCATCCGAAGCGGATACCGGCAAAGTCGAACAGCGCCATGTCCATGCGGTACGCCCTGCGCTTGACTTTGGTGAGGACCTGGCCGTCATTCTCAGAGATACCAGGAGGTAGCGCCTTCTTGACTCTCTTCATCTTCTTTGTTGGGCGTCCCCAGAGTCTCGTGGCGGGGACATAGTCGAAGTAGGGATCCTGGAAAGTTGATTGTTAGCCGCTGTTGGTCAAGACAACGCGCTTCTCTGCGCAAGTGTACCTACTTCTTTGCCAAACTTGTTCTCGACCTTTTCGCCCAAGATCTTCTTGGCGATCATCTTTGTCACAAAGGTCGTCATTTTGTCTGTGTCGGCGCTCGAGCTGCCTGTGATTTCCTGTCCGTTGGTGTTGCGATCCGTGAGATGAAGGGGTTGTTCTCTTCCGACGCTGGAGAAATTACAGTGGGTGGCTGGCGGGTGAAGTAGTAGCGTCGCGTGCTGGCGAAGAGAAAGAAGGGATTGTTGAAAGCACCGGTGTGGTCCAGGGCGAGAAGGGGTTGAAATATAGTTGTGGTAAGGGGGTCTAGACTCAAGCCAAGGTAGCTGGATCGTCGCTGTTCAAAAACATGTTTTTTTTCTCCTCTCTAAGTGCCACAATGCAGGCGTCGGCTATAGTGATGTAATGCATCATGCGCCTTGGACCTTGGTTGGGCGGCCTCTGGTTCCAGCGGGGGAGATGCGTCGCGCTAAGCTTAACTTGGGGCTGCTGCAGGCCAAGCTCGAGTGCCGGATTTGGCTGGGCGGGCCTGGCTTGCGCTGGGCAGGGTAGCTATAATTAGCGGGCGGTGGGATAATACTGGACTGGGGGGATGCTATATATCAATCGAGATTAGGGTATGGTATACAAGGACGAGAGTGTAGATAAGATATCATACAAGTATCATATTTTGTGTTTTTATCTGTTGTGAATATGCATACCAAATTCCCCTTATACATCGGTCTCCAATGTTCAAGCAACGGGTGTATAGACCACCCGCAATACCGCTGGATGGAAAATGGAAGCCAATGGAACTAATTGCACTTTTCCCAACAATAATCTGCATTGGAAATCAAATCCCCAACCAGTAAACCGTTTTATATACAGCCACTCTTCACATGCTCACCTCTCCAACCACGCAGCTGCTCGCCTGTGGCGGTGCAAAAACCTTACGCCACAGACGCAAGCGGCCCCCACATGTAGCCACACACGCTGTTCAGGCTGCACAGACAAAGGGAAGAGGTCGGAGCGGGACTTGACAGCCCAATTCGCGCTTCGACCACCTTTCGCCGCCCGCAACCCAACCTGTTTGTTATCCTTCGGCACGAGCTTTGCATCTTCATCCTATCCTCATCGCTTTCTAAACAAGCGAGAATATCGCGGCCTTAGCTAGTCAGCCCGCTCAAGGAGACTGCTACGCGTGGCTCCCCTCTTCTCCCTCGACAGCAGCCAACCTCCCACCATCGCAGCCCAATCGACGATGCCCACGACATCACGTCTGTTTATTTGCGAATTGTCTTTGGATCAGTCGTGAGCGTCAGATTTCGGAGAGTATTTTTTGATCTATCTATAAAATAACGAAAGCTGGAGCATGGAATAATATATACAACATCAACACCAAAATGAACGGAAGGCAGATGCAGTTAGAAGATTGTACGTTTTTGCTACGCATCCAACTACGCTGCACGCCACGCCCGCTAACTGCCCAATTTTTATAGGGTTGGACGATCTATGCGTCCGCTTCATTATCAACCTCCCCGAGGAGGATCTCTCCTCGGTGGCGCGCTTGTGCTTCCAGGTGGAAGAAGCGCAATGGTTCTACGAAGATTTTATCCGACCACTTGACCCGTCCCTCCCATCCCTCTCGTTACGGGTCTTTTGCTTGCGCATATTCCAGCATTGCCCGTTATTAGCGTCCTTTTCCGTCGAAAATCACACAAAAGCGTTTGAAGAATTCCTACAATATAAAACACGAATCCCCGTCCGCGGCGCCATCCTCCTCAATCATGAAATGGACTCATGTGTCCTCGTCAAGGGCTGGAAGAAGGGCGCCAACTGGAGCTTTCCTAGGGGAAAGATTAACAAGGATGAGGACGACTTGGACTGCGCCATCCGCGAAGTCTATGAAGAAACCGGCCTCGAGCTTCGCGAAGCAGGCCTAGTCCCCGAAGGCAAAGCCAAATACATTGAAATCAACATGCGCGAGCAGCAACTGCGCCTCTACGTATTTCGCGATGTGCCCATGGACACAAACTTCCAGCCGAGAACCCGCAAGGAGATCAGCAAGATCCAGTGGTACAAGCTCTCTGAGCTCCCCACGTTCCGCAAGAAGACGGCCCAAGCCCAAAACGATGGCGCGCATGTCGGCAACAATAAATTCTACATGGTGGCGCCATTTTTGGTACCTCTTAAGAAGTGGATTGTCTCACAGAAGAAACAGGACGAAAAGAAGCTCGGGATCACCCACTACAACATGCAGCAGGCGCAAATGTCCGTCGACGATGCCGCCACTGAGGACGACACATGGGCTCCTGGCCGAGATGGCGCGAGATCCCAGATTCCGCCAATCGAGACTCTTGATGGAGCCACACAAGAATTGCAACGGCTGCTTAAGGTGCAACCGCCTACTCAGGGACTCCAGCAGGCAGCTACTCGCCAGGATAAGGCTGGCGCGCTGTTGTCTATTCTGCAGTCCAAGAGCGCACCTCAGCAACAGCAACAGCAACAGCAACAGCAGATCTATCCTGGAGAACCCCAATATCAACAACAGTATGCTCCGAACAACGAATTTATGCACTTGATGCAACCACCTCCTCAGTTCCTGCAGCAGGGCAACAACATCCCCCCTCAAGCGCCAATGCCAGTCGAGGCGGCACATCTCCGACATGCCACCGACTCGGCGCAGCTCATGCACCCGCGACCATCTCTCCCCCAGGTTCAAAAGTCCGTCTTTGCGACAACACCTGGACTGGAGAATCAACCTCCGGCTCACGCTCCCCCGCCTCAGCAAGCAAACCACAACCACGGTATGGCTGGCCAGAAGCCGGCCAACCTGAGTGGCGCTTCCATGGCACTACTAAACGCCTTCAAGAGAGATGCACCACAAGCTCCTTCTTCGCGAGACGATGCGTTTAGCAATATCATCTCCAATCTGGGCAAGCCGAAAGAAAACAACAACCCCATCCCTACCCATCAGGTACCGCTCCAGCAGATGCAGATGCAACACCTCCAGCAGTCGCTACCACCCAACATTCCCAACCCATTGAGAGCTGCTGAATTCCCCTCTCCGCCCAGTATGCCTAGCTTACCTAGCCATCCTAGTGAACTGGCTGGTTCCTCCGTCCGTGGAGGGGCTGTGGATCATCGCTCTGCTCTACTGGGTATGTTTAAAGCTCAAGAGCCTGCGCCAGCCGTCAACCACCAGATGTCACCGCCTCAAGCATCCCATGCAATGCCGGCTCCTCCTCAGCAACAACAAGGCGCATCGATTTCGCTAGACCAGCTCTTTATCTCCAAGCAGCCGCGACAGCCCGCACCGCCTAGGCCAGCCTCCAATGCCAACACCAACGCAAGCATTGGAGCCATGCTCGGAACGCCATCTCGCCCGTCGTCTGAAGCTCATGGACTTATCCCACCCCCATCCCAGCAGGCCCGCCTCGGCCCATCACCTCACGCAATCTACCCTCCCAACTACCAGGGCCCGGGGGCTGGAGGAGCCAGGCTTGGTGGCCCAGACTCGAAGCAGCAGCTTCTCTCCTTGTTTGGCAACAGCCAGCGCTCTGGCCCGCAGGACATGGTCCATGAGATTGCGCAAGGCACGCCAATGGAGCATATGCCCAGTAAGACCAGAGTTTCGTCTCTGGCGTCTATGGGTGACGGATCGCGCCGTGGAAGCGAGACACCCATCTCTCCCGCCGACGAAAGCTTCCTTCTCGGCTATCTGCAGAGCCTTACGAATGAGGGGGCAAAGCGATAGGCCACTTCTACTGTACTTTATAGTTTTATAGGGATGACGGCGGTAGTGTAGTAAACCAGCGTTATTCATTTTTTTGTGTATCTACAAAGAGTTCAACAACATGCTGTGCACTACGCAGATTTGAGATGTGTGTTCTAGAAGAAGCAGGGCTACGTGTCGATGATTTACGTGCCATGTCTCAATGGCTAGTGTATGTCTAGCGTGAGTATCGCCAGACATTCACATCGACCGCTATTTCCACGTTTCTTACACTTTTTCCTTTCCTTCCTTTTTCAATCCCTTTTCTTTGATCCTTTGCATAATTAAATTAGACGTTAGTTTCTATTCCTCATGATTGGCCCAATCCGCCCTTGATGGTACGCATAAATCGCATAGCCGCAAGAAGCAAACACAGTGCATGGCGACTTAGCCTAACACGAGATCACGTGCTTTATGCAGCTAATACGAGATAACAACGCCTCCGAAGACCCTGCCACCCGAATATCTTGCATACGATGTGCAAGTCGTATGTTTCGCCACTCGTGTGTGCTGGATTGAGGACTTGGTTTCTTTATTATGTATTTTTCTTCCATCTGTGTAGCAGCGGCGGGAATGTACCGCGCGTAAAGACAGTCGCGCACTGTTGGGTCCAGCATTCCCACTATCGTGAAATTACAGCGCAGCGTTAGCGTATCGTAGCGTGGGCTAGCAGCGCTGTGGTGCCTGGCGCCAGGCGAGAGTGAGACACCCAAATTTAGCAGAGGTGCGCCAGGCCCCACTATTGCGAGCACGGCGACTGGCTGCAGGACTCATGCACGCAGCGTTTACAGTGGGCGTTAGGGGCCGTACAGTGCGCTACAAGGCGAGCGAAAAGGCCGCTAAAAATATTTGCTGGGCTGGGCTGCACGGCCCGCGTCCCAAACCCCTGGCCACTGTTTTCTGGCCCGCGCCTCCTTTCACCTCCTCTTTCTTTTCTTCCTCTTCTCTTTTTCAACACTGTTCAACTGTTCCTGTCGCAGGCTCACGAAGCTTTATTTTAATTTTTCTTGTTCATTCTCTTGCTTTTCTCAGTCTCTCGCTTCCGAACCCATTTTTTTTTAAATCATACTTCTCGCTTTTATACTTTTTACCGTTGGTAAACAGTAACGCTCGCTTGCTTCGACACGCCGAACAACAGAAAAAAGGAAGACAGACAACGTTAATACTATACACGACATCTTTTCGATACAGAATCCGTCAATATGCGTCCTGCTCTTCCTCTTCTTCAGCTGGCAGCTGCCCTTTACTCGGTAGCACCGCTTGCCGCTGCCTGGCCCGGGCACAGTACCGGCCAAGTAAACAATGTTGTGGTAGTCCGCGCTGACCGTACGTCATGAAATGAAATGGAATCTGCTGGTGGATTATATACTGACTTGTTTGATTTTAATAGCCCCTGCCTCTGCTGCTCCCAGCCAGGGCCAGACTTCCAACAACGACAAGCCCAAAGAGACTAATGCTGGCAGCAACACGGCCAAGCCCCAGGAATCCAACAAGGCGGGCGGCAACACGGCCAAGCCTGAGCCTACAGATCCTCCCAAGAACAAGGGTGATTCGTCGTCCAAGGATGGTGGCTCTTCCAGTGATGGAGGAGATTCGTCGTCTAGCGAGAGAAATACCGACTTTGCTTTTGACGCTGGCAATGGCCGTGTCGTCATGACCAAACCCGCAGCCTTCGATATCCCGCTCTTCCGTATCGGCACCAATGTCACTCTTGGCTGGAACTACACGGGACTGCTCGCTACTCCTACCGCTGTCGACGTCGTTCTTACGCAAACTATCGCAAAGGCCCGATGGACCCTTACGGCCAACATGAGCTTTACAAGTGCCGTCAACTATGTCTGGGATACCACCGTTCAGGGCAGCGATAAGAGTGCACCACTTCTTGACTCCGACTACCAGCTCATTGTCAAGGATTCCGATGTTCCCCTCGATCAACAACTCAAGCCCGGTTACTTGCGCCCTGACCAGGTTTTGAAGCTTATGCTTTACCGCGCTCAACCCTATGTGTCATTGCCCGACTACCAGTGCAGCGGCTGCGCCAGTGCTGCTAGCTCCATGTACGGCAGCGCTGTTGGCCTTGCGCTGACAATGACTGTTCTCAGCGTTGCGACATTCACCATGTTTGTCACTAGTGCCGGTATTGTCTAAACAAGCCCGTTCCTGCGTGACAGGACAGTATAAAATTCTTCTTTTGGGTACTACTACTACGGCCGTACGGCGTTTTGTCTTTGACGAGTTCAGAGTTTGCCATATATTCACAGCTGGCGTTTCTTGTATGACGATTTTTGCTTTATTTTTTGCCTCCTTTTGGGGGAATACTTGATGATTTGGCGCATGGCCTGCCTGGAAACCTTGTGTATAGCCTTTTAATAACACTATTCTCTTCTACTCTGCCAGTCTTTTATATATGCACATGTGTTTAGCCCCTGCTATCTGTTATCTCAATTGGTATTGGGAGGCTTCACTAATCTCCAACCTACACCATTCGTAATGCAAATCCGCCACCGCGCTCTTCCTTGTCCCGGCCAAAGATGCCGCTGAAATCCGCATCTGCAAGTGTATTCTTCTCTCCTCTCCCCGGCGCATGCGGCTCGTGTCGCCGCCTCTTTTCTTGTCCAGCCTTGCTGGGGAAGGTAGGGAACATGCTCTCTGGCTTGGGCTTTGGATCTTGTGCAAAGTACTCATGTCGCAGCGCCTCATCAGCCAATGGTCTTCTATCTGGGTTGAGCGCCAGCATATCCGTCAGCAGCTCCGCGCCCGCGCTCGTCAAACTTGGAAACGCTGTGCGCAGAGACGGCGGCGCTGTTGATGACGAAGGGAGACGCAGGTGTCTTGCGTGTGGTAGTCTCCTGAATCCCGGCCAGGAAGATTCATCTGGCGTGCCTAGCAGCCCAAATATCTTGGTCACTTGGTCGACTTCGTTCTTGCCCTGCAAGAGCGGCTCGCGTGAAATGAGCTCGCCAAAGATACACCCGACAGACCATATGTCGACAGCAGACGAGTATGTTTTGGCGCCGAGGAGGAGCTCTGGTGAGCGGTACCAGAGCGTTACTACGAGTTGCGTGAGCTTGGGGCTTGGGTCGCCGACATAGCGTGCCATGCCAAAGTCTGCAACCTTGAGCATGCCACGGTTGTTGAGGAGAAGGTTGGAGGTTTTGAGGTCGCGGTGCAGAATGGCGTTGGCGTGTAGGTAGGCTGTTGCAGATAGGAGTTGCTGCATAAGGGCTTTGATTTCGGAGGCGAGGAATGGTGAGGGAATGTCTTCTAGGATGGATTTGAGGTCGTGCTCGACGAATTCGAGTACGAGATATATGGAGCTGATGCCGATGTGGTTAGCTTGAGAGGATGGTATTGAGTTAGGCATAGGAGACATACTTTGTTAGAGATGTTGTTTCATTGCCGGCAACGACTTCTTCTAGTGATACAATGTTCTTGTGGCTGCAGTTTTGGAGGATCTGGATCTCGCGCAGACCTGTCACAGGCAGGCCGTTGCGGTCGCCCTTCTCGAACTTGAGCTTCTTGAGTGCGACAACTTTGCCGGTGCGCTTCTGCGTTGCGCGCGCCACGTAGCCATATGTGCCTTCTTCAATGTCATTGAGCTTCTCGTAGCCGTCTATGCTTGCACTGGGACCAAAGGTGCGAGCTTCGAAGCGGAGGAGTATGGCGGGGATGCCATCGTCGTCTTCATCGGGCGTGGGTGTTGTTTTTCTGCGCTTTGGCGGCCGGGCTGCTTCTTCTGCCTGTTGCGCTGCGGCAGCCTCCTCTGCTTTACGGACCTTCTCGGCGCGCTTACGTCGCTTTTCCTCTTTTTCGAGCTTGGCTTGCTGGGCGAGCGCGGCGTCTTCTTCGGTGTCGGCCCAGCGCGACGAGGGCGTCATGGTGGATTTTGAATGTGTGCGTGGCGCGATTGGGACTGAAGAGAAATTTTCGGAATTATTGTGTGTTTATGGGGGTTTATTTGGCGGTGTAGGCGGTGATGGTGTTGAGGAGTTGACGATGTGAAGTTGGGAGGTTGAGTGGCTGCGTTATCTTATCGGGGTTGGCGGCGAATATACAACATGTAAGCGCAACACTATGCACACTGGAAACAGTTGAAATAGTATCTAGATAATAAATTGTAAAAATTGAGGCATGCTGCTTATCTACCATGTTATATCGGCATATTATCTGTTCTTCGATTTAAGATGAGTATTTTAGTGTAATTCACACGTGATGTGGTTCAAGATGCAAGTGAATAGCGCGGTGCGACAGCCTCGCCAGCCTTGCTCTCAACCAACACACACACTTTGAGAAACCAAACCACTGTTATGGAACGCACACAATTCAAGTCCAAAATGTTTGATCTGCCGGACAATTTAGTTTCCGTTAGCGTCGTGAGAGCCTACCTTACCGCCATTCTTCATACCGTAGACGATCTCCCGCAAGACGAGGCAGACGACGCCGCCGCAAAGTGGCAAGGCGGGTTCGGGAGACAATTTCGACAGTTGAGCAAAGTCAAACTTTGAAAAAACATTTGGTGAGAAGCACGGCAGGCTGTTGTATCAGTATCGCCAAACAGTGTCCAGAAAATGGTGGATTGAAGAGATTCTCCCTGCGAGTCTCTTCTTTGGAGGACTTCTATTGTTTTGTTCTTGGGTAGGGTACATGATATATTTGGACCTTCAGCCGAAAAACGCAAAGTAGAAGCTTAATGGTATATTGAATCAGCATTTTAGCGCATATAAGTTCTGCATATTAATATAATATATTCTATTAATTTGCAAGCTCCTCGTTTTACTGGGTGCAGCGCGTACGCTCTCTATGTCAGTGGATGGTCCATGAAACCACGTCGCCTTGTAAATTCGGGCTCCTCGACTGCAATAATACCGTGGTTACTGGTTTCCCATAGCTTCACTGACTGCGGCTATGTTGGAAAATGATCCAGGTAACCTTCTTTGGAATAAATTCGGTCGCGCCGTGTAACCTTATCATCACTCCTATCAATGCCTAGTTCAATAACAAGTTGGCACCCTTTGCAGCAAACGCCATACTGAACTTCCCCTGTTATTGGATTGAATAGTGGCATTGATGTTGAAACCATAGATGACTCTATATCGTTGCTTCGAATCTTAGATAACATGGACGCAGCGCTGGTATCAGAGAAGCCAAGCTTGCCTAGAGCGCTGGTAGCATCTGGACGAGATGCCAGAGAATGCCTAGCTTTTCTGGAGCGCCGTGTCATTGTGTAAATCCCAGGTAGTGTGCGTAGTCTGGTTATAAGTGACGAAATGTCTGCTCCCGAACACCTATTTGCTTGGTAAGTCCTGCAACAATGAAAACTTGCAAATCATGCGGTTCGTTGATACATGGGCAACAGCAGCGTGTTGTATTTGGTAGAAAGAGGAAACCACCAAATTCGTTATCACATACAGTACATCCACGCGTGCAAAGTGCCTTATATAGATTAGATATTTTTGACATGTGGATATACGCCCGTCCGAAGCAACGCGCGAAGGCTCTCAAGTGCGTGTTGAGTAACAGCTCGATATTCAACCATATCAGAAACAAATCCACGAGCCCGCCTGTTGGCCTGACGCAGATTGAAACACGAACTAATGCCTAGTTCGAGACAAATCATCCTTAGGAGCTCTGGAGGAAGCAGCCCCAAGGTCCCAAGCCCTTCTACGGCAGTAGAGTCGAAAGGTTGTGAGATGGAAGACTGGGTCGGGGCATGCTTGTGAGCTGGGGAGCTGATCAGTGCCATCTCGAAATCAAGCCCGTGGTGGGCAGCGACCCGGAGGATCGGTTCATCCTGTTTGCCATTTGGATCTACCATGGTTGATGCGACACTTGTTTTCCGGCCAACATGTGGTTTGCCGTGTTGAGCTGCTGTTCCACGTCCCCAACTATGGCAATCTCAGGTGGTACTAGACGTTTAACACAGCGGCTAGTTGGAGATTTAGCATGGTTTAGTAGCTGACGTTAAGTCAGGCATTTGGGAAGCTTTGAGACGACTTGGCGTAGTTTCAGTATTTGTTGTGTTGGTTGTAGCGAGTAGCCTTGACAAACCAGGCATCCACGACTGGCGGCTGGGCACGTGCCGCCAGCTGTCAAGGCGAGAAAGAATTTCGCAATCAACCAGCACTGTACACTAATTTGTAAATCTCTACTATTTTTGATTGCACTTGGAATAATGACGAGAGCCTTCTACCGATTCTTTGTAAGGAGAGCAAAAATGACTTGATAGACTTGGGTCCGCTATCAGAACAGAGCCAACTTCAACTCGCCTATTAACTTACAATGGTGTAAAGATCCGGCAGCAGCATGGATGGCGCTGAATCATTATACTTAAGAATGTATTTCAAAGCATCTTGTGTTTAATTGGATTCCCCTATAGCATGATTTCGAGAACCTCCCCGTCACCGAAGTCGGACACTATGGTTGGGGGCGACGCCCGTTCGAGAACCGGGCTCAATAACTTGGAATCGTAAGACACCATCCGGCACTCGCGATTTGACTTTGGATCACCCAAAGGTTCCAAGCGACAACGTTCGAGACCCGAAGCTATCCGAAGATACTGCTTTTGTGGCTTCAGGCTACTTACACCGCACTGCCGTCCTTGACGTCGTTCCGCTGTTGCGCCATCGAGCCTGATCTGCCAAGAGCGGCACATCGCACTATGCTCCAATCTACAGCCCTTTTTTTCTTGGCCTCAAGTACCCATGCGAGGAAACGACTGTAAGCACCACTACCGACGCCTCCTCTTCCCTCACAAGCGGGGGTTGTTACCAACCCCGCGTCACCTTTGCCTGGCTCTCGTGAACGACGACGGGACGTAGCCTGATTTGGAGGCTGGGACTTTTGCTAGCCCACATTTCGGCGCTCTTCCCGAAATGGAAACTCTTTGGAAGAGCAAGCCTGGTGTAAGTCGACTATCATGACGGAGAGGTATGGCGCCGTCCGCACTCTCTTTTCGGTTGTATGAACTTTGCTTCTGTGCGGTTTGGTTACAAGTGTGCTGGTGATCAAGCCATTGTCTTCGATATGGAAAATCTCAAGAAATATTTCGGCCGGCATAGCTATCAAGCTGTCGATGTAGACTCTAAAGAGAGTCTGCAGGATGGCATGATGTACAAATCAGCCAGTCGTTCGCCTGCAGAGGCTATCCGAACCGCCATCATTGTCTGCTTGCTCATCTCCAATATCTCGCTGGGCATTGGCCTTTACAATTCGACTGCAGAATGTAGCCATTTTTGGGCTACAGAGCATTACAAAAACGCAGATATGAATCGAGACATTAAAAAGGACTCTGCATACTGTAAGTAATTCCGGTGCGTCTGCTCGAGTAGTCTCTGACACTTTGTCTAGCCCCTGTCCTCGATCGATTCGAACTCAACCCGCGATTGAAGACTTTTAACGGCGCTCTTCGAGACAATTCATCAATTTGGCGCCAGCCTCCTTCTCCCGAGGTTGATGCTGCTTGGGACTACATCTCTGCTGAACTGTTTGAGTTGATTACCGTCTCAGAACAGGACATTATACTCTCTGGCAAAGATCCTTCCAAAACACTACAGGCTCCTTTGTCCTGGGGCTATGGTGAGGGTGCATACATTGCACAGGTAGATGTTTTTCACCAAATTCACTGTCTCAATGAGCTGCGCAAGGAGATGCACCACGACTACTATTACGATGGGAAGCCCGCATCTGAGCTGCATCACCATCACAAGGCACACTGCGTTCACATGTTGCTTCAAGCTCTCATGTGCTCTGCTGACGTCGGCATCATCACCCATAATTGGGTACACAACGAACGGATTGAGGAGCCCAAGATGAGACCAATGTCTGATTTCAATGTTGTCAAGAAGTGCGCAGATTTCGATGGCCTACTTGCATGGACGAGAAAGAATGCAGTGCAGGATATTAAGAGCAAGTGGCCTCTCTTAAAGTATGAACCTGGAATGCCTATTGTCGCTGGCGAAGGATATGCCTGAATATATTTCTTTATTTCAGATTTCTACTCTAATAATCTCTACAATTCACTCTGAACTCCATGAGCCAAGGTCCACTGCCGAATGTCTTCAAAGTTCCGGCAGGTATGCTGAATATCAAAGCGTGGCTCGGGTGCCAATTTCTGACGGGAGCGATCGTTGTATACGATCAAGTCAATGTCACTGTCACACTTTGAATGAGTTAGCAAAGGATTCTCAAGAAGTAGCATATGCCAGGCTTACCATGATCTTCTGTCGGAGGACGTCGAGGCAGTGGTCTAGAGAAAAGGTTAGTATCTCGGCCTGTTTTCAACAAGACTATCAGACTTACCGACATGGTAGTCTACCATGCCTGGATCATCGTGAAAAGAGGTATAGTCTGGGTAGCTTTCGCGATGGATGAACTTGCGGACAAGATTCAGGCAGTGCAGTTGATGGAAGACTTCGACAAAGGCAAAGTACTTGCCGTCATGCCCATACGCATTTTCGATGGGTTGGTTGATGCGCTTCATTTCATCTTCAGTGATGAGAATTAAGCTCTCTGAGATATTTGGTTAGTCTGAATAGACAACGGTCAGCAAGGCTTGTTCTCACGATTCATGATTCCAGCCCAGGCAGCGTCGAGCTCTGGTCGTGGTTTGCCTTTGAACGGCGATGGAGACTCATTCATGTCTATGAGAACATGATCATAAACTCTTTCTGAGTACTTCACGACGTCCCATAGAGGTGCTGGAGAAAGTCAGCTCATCATCACCATGGCTTCGACCCTGCCCACTCACAGTAGTGCCTGGAGGCCTTGTCTTCTCGTGAGGTGTTTGCACCTCTTTCGAAATAGACATGGATCACAAGAGTGAAAATCACAAGAACAGAAAGCCCATGCATCAACCAGTGCAAAGGGGATGGCCTTCTTGGCTGGTATCTCTCATGGCCTAGTGACTCATCATCAGTGCTTTGGCTGTCCGCCTCAAGACGATAGTACTCTTTGTCCATTTTTGTGATTGACTGCCAGCTTTACTTTCGAATGATGGGAGTGGCGATGCCAAAGACCCCGTACAAAGAGTCTCTACAGAAACTATGGCCATGCCGCAGCCTGCTTGTGACTATGGACTCGGCCAGTTAGGCTCAACCGTGCTCAGCGCCACCGGCTGGCCGACGGCGATAACTGAATGTGGAAACTATCCATGACAAGCTTTCTGGGGAAACAGGTGCCGAATTGCCGTGTTTCCTGCGATCCTCAACTCACCTTCCTGAAGTCGTTAAATAGCCAGAGCCTTGTTCGGGTACGTGAACCAACCACTCAGCCCGCTCGACGCCACCGACAGCCGATGCAGGTTGGCGACATCGCACGCCTCACAACAGCTGCATTTGCTGTATACTAGCTGAATGGTGGATATGCCACCGCACGTCCCCTGCATTTGTGGCGTTGGGGGAAGCTACTTGGACTCTGGGGCTTGTATACGAGAGCGTGGGCGTTTAGTAATGGATTGAAGATCGAGTGGACCTATGTTATCGCAATTTGTTCGCCATTATTGTGTAATTGACCGTGATACTTGGTGCTCTTGAGCCACTTTTCGGCAGTTGGATGGCTTAGAGGCGGTCGGGCCTCTCGCAAGCTACTGATAGCCAGCGGCACATCGGACAGTGGCGTTGAGGTGTCTTACACGATACTTTTAAACATGGGCTCAGATGAACGGAGTATGCCGAAACATGATTGGTCAATTTACTCATATATAGGAAAAAGCTGCTATTCTAGCGCCTCCAATGGAGAGAAGGCGGAGGTTATTGCGTCAACCAGGCGTTCTAGTTGGCGTTCTCAGCATCTCTCTCGTAGGCAGTGACCCACGATCCGCGGAGAGAGTATCCATCGACACCCTCTTCGGCACGCTTGGCCTCCTCGGCTCTCTTAGCCTTCTCGTAGGCGGTGACCCAGGAGCCACGGAGAGAATACCCGTCAACGCCCTCTTCGGATCGCTTAGCATTCTCAGCGTCTCTCTCATAAGCAGTTACCCAAGAGCCTCGAAGAGAGTATCCGTCAACACCCTCTTCGGCCCGCTTGGCTTCCTCAGCACGCTTGGCCTTTTCATAGGCAGTAACCCAAGAACCTCGCAGGGAGTATCCATCAACGCCGTCCTCAGCGCGCTTAGCTTCTTCGGCTCTCTTGGCCTTCTCGTAAGCAGTCACCCAGGAGCCACGCAGGGAGTAGCCGTCAACACCCTCCTCGGATCTCTTAGCATTCTCAACATCCCTCTCGTAGGCGGTTACCCAAGAACCACGGAGAGAGTATCCATCGACACCTTCTTCACCGCGCTTCTCCTGTATAAATTGTGAATATGTAGACTTCGTTGTGTCTTCTGGTGGGTACTTACAGAGGCCGGAGTAGGGGCAGCTAGGACATGGGCAGCGTAAAACGCAACGGCCAGGAGGGAGAACTGCATGATTGCAAGAAGAGAGAAATATTTGGATGCAATAGAGTAAAGTTTGAAAGCTGATGGTTGATCTGTTGGTGCCGTTTCTGCGGACGAGAGGGCCGAGGTCGTCTCTTTTATCCTCCGCCTTCGCTCTTGATAGCCAAAGACAAAAGTTCTGGACTCTGAATTGGCCGGGCACCTTCCTAAATCAACCAAGAGCCATTCTTTCGGCTTACTGAGAGTATTTCGTTCCAGAGATCATCATATGATAGACAGACCAGGCTCGTGTACTTCACGCCACAGGACGAGAAGGGCAATCGCCGCCGCCAGCAGAGGCGAGTAGAGCAAGGAGGAGGCGGGGTTGGCAATCAGGCTAGCTTTTCCATATATTCTGGTCATTTGTGTGTGTTATAGTATATACCGCTTGATTCCCACATCCTTCTTTGGTCTAGTCATCTTCCATCAGGCTTCTTTGAACTTCAAATTTGGTTAAGATGGGTTACAGCAGAGTACCTACACAGCCTGCCTGTGATTGTGAACGATGTCTCTCTCAGCATGATCAGTTGAAGAATATTGATCGTCGAATTTCGATATTGGCTTCTCTAATTGCCTCGTTTGTATTGAACGCGGTGCTAGTGGCATACTTTTGGTTTGCACCAACAAGACATGCTCCTGTGACAGCTGAGGCTGCGCAATTCTTATACTGTGAGTGTTGCAAAGGGTATCATCGTGAACACACCTAGGATTTGATGCTAATTAATACCAGCACCTGCACAAACAGCACTTAAATACACAACTCGGGTCTTTGACAGCGCCTTTGGTATCCAGACAACCGCATACCAAGGCCGACCAAACGAAGCCAACGACCAACTGTGGACCGAGCTATACAACTGTAAGTAGCCAAAACATTATGATAATGACAGAAGCTAACTTGTTTAGTCGGAATTACCCGGATTTCAGCAGACGAGGCCCGGCCTATGGTCAACAAGACGCTTCCAATTCCCGGTCAGAGTGACCATTACTTGATATCGCTCTCGGTGTTTCATCAACTCCATTGCCTAGTAAGCGGCAACTATCCGTTTTTCTTATCAAATGTAGACTAACACAAAGTTTTAGAATAGGGTCAGAAAAGGCCTTTATGGAGAAGTGGACTGGTCAGATGTCAGCGAACACTCGGGCATCACGCACTTGGACCACTGCATCGACGTGATCCGACAGAGTCTTATGGTAAGCATCAATTTCCTCTTCCTTTTTGAAAGATCCGGATGCTAATTGAACTGTACTTTAGTGTAATGCTGACGTCACCCCTCTCACATTTACAAGGGATTCCCGAGACGGAGTCGCGAGAGAAGTGGCCGAAGTTATACATCAGTGTCGTGATTTTGATGCCATCAGAGACTGGGCAGCTACAAGAGCAATGCCGGGCATGTGGGATACGACAAAGGTTGTAACTGACGACCCTCTTGGTTGGGGTGATTACCATGTAGACTACTGATTGGAGAAGGACTAGAATGGCAGTTAATAGACGCGGATACGCCGAATAAGAGGAACAAAGTCGGCGCTTAAACTAGAAAATACCTGTTGATATCTTGAGTCTTCTAAAAACGCATTCCATTACACTTGTCATTTATACAAAATCCCACTCGATGGATATACTGGCGTCACAGTCCCCTGTTTACTAAGTTCCCGTAGCAATTGAGCCTGTCCACACACCTTGAAATGCTCTAGAAAGCCAGCTCGGCTATATTGCTTATAAATGAGCTTCGGCTTTTCATTGGGAAGCAAGTTGCTGTCAAACTCGGGGTCCAAAAACAGGCATCCTGCACATGTTATGGGCGACTCGACCTGGCCACTGTCTCTGTTGTAATGGGCTAAAGAGCAATAAGCAACGAATCGAAGCAAATAATCTCTTTCTGGGTCTGGTGCTGAGGATCTGGTGTGCAGCGGCAGCATTTATGGTAATGGTCCGTCTGTGCTGGCGTGTTGTGCCGCAAAGCGGACTCTCAACCGGTGATAACGATCCACTCTTGGCTTCATTTGTAGCACAGCTATCATTTTAGATAGTTCGTTGTTCTCTTCAACTGTGAAACATGCAAAGAGCGGGTGATTTGACTTTGTCTTGCCAAAGCCGGCGTTGTTGTATCTTTTCTGTGCGTCAACCCTAGAGGCGTCGGCTGCAGATACCATCAGGGCTCCAGCGACAGGGCTCATTTGCTTCATTGTGTATGAACCAGGAAGTATCTTGAGCGGCGAAATATCGGTCAATTCTCCCTTTTCTTCCTTTGCTCGATCGATCAGAAGAGACGAATGTGACACCGTCTCGGCCGCTGGCGCTGTGGTGAGGCAGTAGAAGCAGAGCCGTGACCAGAGTATCAAGGATACAAATCCTGCATATTCGTCACACTGTGAGCAGCTGGGTGTACAGAGGGAATTATAAAAGTCGGACAGCGTGACAGTAAGGCCAGCCCTGGTTCGAAGGAGTGCGCAGTACATATCCAGCCTATGAGTAGCAACCCGCTGATATTCCTTCATGGAATCAACCGCTTGTCGGGCACTGCGATTGACTTGGCGTAGAAGGAATATAGTTTGCATATCGAGCTGTGTAAATATTTCTCGTCGGATTTCGCGCGGAAGATTCTCAAGGTAGCCAAGTGTGGACTTTGGCGCTCGTTTGAAAGGCCACGCGAGGGAGGAGTGAACTCTGGCGTGAACTCGCGGTTCGAAAGATATACAGGCATCTTTGAGAGTCTTTTGTGGAAATGAGACTGTTTCAATAAGTTTGTCGATATTTTGAGTGTCAAAGTCAAGTGAACTCATATGCAGAGGGATGCAATTGGCGGCTGTTTGGAGAGGTTATGTTTGAAGTGTCCATGATTGGTGATGTTCTTGGAGGCTCTGAAGGTTTCATCTCCTACAAAGTGAAATTATCTATCAAAACGGGAATAAACATCAGATTTATGTTGTAAGTTTATTGTTGCTGCCTGGCATCTGGCATACGCGGCCGACTTATGATTCGCACGAGGCTGAAATCGTAGCCTGACGAAAGCTGTGGGGCAGTTGCCGTCTTTTGGCTGTGCGCCGCATTTTCCAACTCCTAACCTCCAACATCCACCACATCGTCGACATCACCACCGCAATTGCGCGCGAAAACACTCGCAATTGATTGGTGAAGCTGGAAAATGTCGCTCAGAGTCGCATACAAATCGCTTGCCCGCTCAAGGGTGCCGGTCCAGGCGCCACTGCGAAGGGCCTTTGGCGGCACGTCCATTCGTCCGCAGGAGCGCCAATGGAGCACGCCGCTCGCCAAGCAGCTCTTTGAAGCCATATCTGTGCGTTAGCAAGCCTTGATACTAAGTGAAAATACGATCTAATTGCTTTGTAGACTACAGGCACCGTGCCTCTTGCAAGCTACATGCGCATGTGTCTGACTGGCGATGTCGGCGGCTACTACACTGGCGCCATCGAACAGGGCCGCGACCAGTTTGGCCTCAAGGGCGACTTTGTTACGAGCCCCGAGATTTCACAAATGTTTGGCGAGCTGATTGCTGTCTGGTTCATTGCCGAATGGATCAGCCAGGGTAAGCCGAAGAATGTGCAGCTCATCGAGATTGGACCCGGCCGCGGCACGTTAATGGACGACATGCTGCGAGTAAGTTTGACCGTCTTTAATGCCAAATTATAATTGATATTAACTTCTGTAGACTATCAAAAGCTTCCCTGCCATGGCCAACGCCATCGACGCCGTCTACATGGTCGAAACAAGCAAGCAGCTGCAACAGTCTCAGAAGCAGCGCCTTTGCGGCGACGCACCCGCTACAGACTCCGACACGGGCTTCCATAGCACCAGTAAATACTCAAAAACACCCGTCCATTGGGCTGAGAGCATCAAGGCCGTCCCATCCAGTATGCGCAATCTCTTTGCTACCTCTACTCCATCGCTAACAAAACTACAGCTCCCGAAACAACACCATTCATCATCGCCCACGAATTCTTCGACGCCCTCCCAATCCACACCTTCCAGACAGCCGTCGCTCCCCCGCCGAAACCTAAACCCGGATCCCCTCCATCGACCCCCGATCCTGCGGCCCCGAAGACCATGGAGTGGCGCGAGTTGATGGTCTCGCCCACCCCTCCTGGTGTCTCGCACGACGAGCTCGGCACACCAAAGAAGCAACAGAATGAGCCGGTCCCTGAGTTCCAGCTCACCCTGTCACCTGGAACTACACGCCATTCCCGATTCCTGCCGGAGTCGTCACCGCGTTATAGAGCCCTCAAACAGACCGAAGGCACCGTGGTGGAAATCTGCCCCGACGCAGCAATCTACACGGCTGACTTTGCTGCGCGCATCGGCGGCTCACCCAAGGCGCCCAAGGCGAAGCCTTCCGGCGCAGCCCTCATTCTTGACTACGGCACTACCGATACCGTACCCATCAACTCTCTGCGAGGTATTCGCCAGCACAAGATTGTCAGCCCCTTTGCGGCTCCCGGTCTTGTCGATCTGAGCGCCGATGTCGACTTTGCGGCACTGGCTGAGGCTGCTATGCTGGGTAGTGAGGGTGTTGAGGTCCATGGTCCCATTTGCCAGGCCGACTTCTTGGAACTCATGGGTATCCGTGAGCGAGCCGGCGTGCTGGTCAAGAATGCAGGCGCCAAAAAGGATGTCGTCGAGGGCATCGAGAAGGCGTGGAAGAGACTTGTCGACAGAGGCCCAAGCGGCATGGGCAAGGTCTACAAGGCACTTGCCATTTTACCAGAGAATGATGGCCGCCGAAGACCCGTTGGGTTTGGCGGAGATGTTAGCAACTAAAACACATACACTATCTGTATTATAATGTGATGAAAGGCAAAAGCAGGGAAGGCCAGCTTGTAAGAATAGAAACCGAGTTGTAATCATGTAAACAATACACCATATCTATGCATAACCAGACACTAGAATACATCCTATTTTGTTTTGACCAGCTTGTCGTCCTCACTTTCCTCGTCATCAGAGTCCACCGCAAAGATGGTCTCGCCTTCGAGGGATCGGCGGACGGCGTGGGAGGTTGTTGCCGCTGGAGCCGCAGCGGGTGTTCGCGAAGGACCAGCGCTGGGCGGAGGCGCCTTGCCAATCTCAGCTTCCTCATCGAGCTCGTCGTCTGAGTCACCAGGCATACCGATCTCGCCAATTTCAAAGTTGCCATCGTCATTTTGGGCAATCTCGTCACTCATGGCAAAGCGGCGGTTGTTGGCAGTTGGGCGCCAGACATACGCAATCCAGGCGACATCAGCGAGGTAGACCAAGTTCAGCCAGCCGTCAATGATGAACCAGCGCGTCTTCCAGTGGTTGGGAACATAGTTGGGATCCGACAAGGCGCGGACGTTGGCGCCGTTGAAAATGACAAAGACAAAGACAAAGATGACAGTGCCCAGGATTGCCCACCACAGCTTCTTGTACATGGCCTCCTTGACAAACTGCTTGCGGTCACGAAGATCCTTAAGCGTAAAGGTGAGCGAGTTGAGCGTCGCCATATAAAAGGCTGTCATGGTGGCTGCCAATGGCAGACCGGTTAGTAGAGATACCATGCCGGCGTCCTCGGGCGGCGTCAACAAGTTGACAACGGCGTAAATGAGACCAAAGATAAAGTGCGCAATACCCAGGATGCGGCAGTAAAACATGAGGCGGCCTAGTGTCGGCTTGACGACACCGTAGCCCATGCATACGATGAGCAGCAGGAAGAAGGAGAATGAGTTTCGAGCCGCGTTGAGGATGGCCACCACAATAAGGAATGCCTTGGATCCGACGTTGTCACCATTGTGATTGAGGTAGTCTATATCTGTTAGTTTGATACTTAGAGGGAGTGAGCTGGGGAAGCCGTACCATAAAAGCCCCAAGTCATGAGCATTTCGACAACAAGGAAGACCAAAACCGCAGTAATGTAATTTTGCACGGGCACTGTCGTTCCATTAGCGAGGTTCGTTATTTACCCCACAAAATCGTCACTTACGGATGTCCTGGCGGTGCATATAGTAAAGAAAGCCCCAGTAGCCTGCCATAAGCGTGTATACAAGCGTAATGCCACCGTAAAAGGGTAGCTTGGGAACCTGAGTGGCAGACAGTTCGCCGTAAGAGTTGCGGAACTCGGCTACAGCGGAATACTTTTGCGCCGTAAAGCCCTCCGTCAACAGGCAGTAGTAGCCTGTCTTCTTGATAGAGTATAGGATCGGTGCAGGCTGGTCTTTGAGCTTGATGGCCTTTGTAAGAATAAGGGACGTGGACTTCTTGGTGGCGTTTGGGGCGAGTACAAACTCGCCCTTTTCGAGTTCCGTGCAAGCGCCTTTGGCGATGTAGTCGTCGCTGCATAGAGCAACGTTCTAGTTAAGTCAGTATGGAATTCTACAAAGCCAGTATACCCATCGGGGGAACTCACCTTTTGTTTCGTCTCGGGATTCTGAAGCTGGACGAGATCCACGTCCTTCCACTCGAAAATCATCAGGCTCGCGGCGTCATTGTCTGAAGCCTCCTTGTCGCCAAAGAACTTGACGCGGATGAATGGGTCTACGCTGCCTCCCCAGTCTGCTTTACTGTACATGCCTGTTTCTGTTAGTTGTATATCGACCAGTGGTTTTCGAGCTGCGTACCGGAGCAGAATTGCTTCTTCATTTCGGTTTGGTCCTGCGGGGAAATTAGCCACATCTTGTCTCCATGCGTACATAAAACATACCATCTGGACTTCCAGGGCACTGGCTGTCCATATTGACAGGCCAATGGCCAGTAAACTGTAAAAAGACCGCATTGCGATAGATGTTGCGGATGATGCTGTAGACGAGGCTGGCCAGGTGGCCAAAAGGGTCTCCTGCCCAGGTGAAGCTTTGGGTCAGCCGGGCGCAGCTTATTTGAATATTCCTCAAGCTGCAATAGAGTTTCCAAATTACTCTACCAGCGATGTTTTATCGGGAATCAGGAGATCTGATAGAGTGTCGGATGGGTAGAAGTTGAAGCGAGGTGGCTGTAGTTCGTAGGGGTCAGTGGGTCTGAATGACGACGCACCCGGCAGGAGACTATCGATAAGCGGAGCAAACAATCCGTCGCAACCTGATGGGCTTTTACTATTTCAACATCACAACCACACAACACCACAATGGGAAAGGGAACGGATAAACTCTATGTAAGTACTCCGTTCATCTTGATATTCTGCTACTAACGTGTCTAGATTACGCATTCCGAGTGGGCCTCGGCGGGCGCGTACTCTGCGAGCGGTGGCGCCTCGATCAATGGCCAATCCGTTCCATTTCGCAAGCTTCCCTACAACTTCTGCGCCGCGTCGCTCCAGCCGTTTAAGAACCCAGTGTGCACGCCAGACGGAACAATATTCGATGTCGAAGTCATTGGCGCGTGGCTGGAGAAGCACCCGAACCAGAACCCCGTCAACGGCGAGCCGCTAGCGAAGAAGGACCTGATCAAGCTAAACTTTGCGCGCAACTCCGAGTCGACGGGCGAAATCGGAGCGACCGATGGAAAAGGCGACCTCATCGACCCTGTTACCTATAAAGTATTTACCGATAACACGCATATTGTCGCAGTCCGCCATGGCTCCTACGCCAACGTCTTTTCGTGGGATACGGTCGAGCGCATGAACATCAAGGCCAAGATGTGGCAAGACTTGATGGACGACGAGCCATTCACAAGAGCCGATATTATAACACTGCAAGATCCGAAAAATGCAGCTAGCAGGAACCTCGACCAGTTCAAATACCTGCAAGAGGGCAAATCAGCGCAGCTCACCAAGGAAGCGGAAGAGGAGCGCAATGCAAGCAACATCAACGCCGCCTCGCTTGGCTCAATGGGCGAAAAAGTCCTCAAGGCCAAAGCAGCCGTCGAAAAGGCCCGCAAGGCCCGCGAAGCCGGCGCCGATATCAACCGCAGCTCAGGCGCGCTCACGAAATCCTCGGCGCCGAGCGCACCTGTAGCACCCCTCATCCGCGAGAAGAAGACGGCCGCCAACGCCGCTGCATACACAACAGGCAGAGCTGCTGCGAGTTTCACATCCACAGGTCTGACTCCCGAAACAAGCGGCGAGCGCGCGCTTCTTACAGACGAAGAGTTTATGCTCAAGCCCAAGCGCATCAAGAACAAGGGCTACGCGCGCCTGGAGACCAACCTCGGCGACTTGACGCTCGAGTTACACACCGATACGGCGCCGAAGGCAGTATGGAACTTTATCCGCCTCGCCCAAAAGGGATACTACAGAGGTGTAGCGTTCCACCGCAACATCCCCGGCTTTATGATCCAGGGCGGCGACCCGTCAGGCACGGGTAAAGGCGGCCAGAGTATTTGGGGTAAAGCATTTGACGACGAATTTGAGGGCGGACAGACACACACAGCGCGGGGCGTCGTGTCCATGGCCAACAAGGGCAAGAACACAAACTCGTCTCAGTTCTTCATTACGTACAAGGCAGCACCGCACCTTGACCACAAGCATACCGTGTTTGGCAAGCTTATTGACGGCCTGCCTGTGCTGACGAAGATGGAGGATGTGCCGACGGACGGGTCCAACCGGCCGCTGAATAAGATTGTGATCAAGGACGTGGTCGTCTTTGTCGACCCGTTTGAGGAATTCCAGGCGGCGAAGAAGGAGACGGAGCGTCTGGAGAAGGAGAGGGAGGAGATTGTGCGGATGGGCGGCACAGAGGCCGATAGAACGACTTGGACGGGTAAACGGATCAGAGGAGATGGATCGGTTGAGTTGGGAGGAGGTGTTGGTAAGTATCTTGAGCAGGCAATGAGCAAGGCGGCGAATAAGTATGGCAAGGCTGGTGGTTTGGAGGAGCATGAGGAGGCACCGCGGAAGAAGATGAAGGGAACAGGAGGGTTTGGCAATTTCGACGGTTGGTAGACATAATGTAAAAAGATAACTGGATACAAATCGGAATTTAAAACTTGTGTATTTATTAGCTACTAGATAGAATTCTATGCTACAGTGGGTAAGCAAAAGTTACAAGTAAACTGGTTTATCGTCAATCTTTCAAATATTCTTTAATATATATTATAAAATTAAGTTTTCTATTAATCTTTTAGAATACTATGTGTGGTGTAAGTACTTTACATTTATCGAGTTTTTAGATGACTATTATATATAAAGTTCATGTAAATATATTTGGAATATATTGGTTCAAATATAGACTACTTGTAAGTTTTGTTTACTTACTATAGTGTAACGGTCTCAACCGAGTATATTGACAACTAGTTAAGCGACTACTACGAGTATCCGAAGATGAAGAAGAAGGGATCGGAAGGGGGCTATTCCAGCGAGCTGGGATGGCCTCTTGTATGACTTACATGGGTCCCTGGTCGAGAGTTACCTGAGACCTCCACGGGCCTAGCCCGTTACATATAGCTTGAATATACTATAGTAGTATTCTCTCGATACGTAAAGTTATATTTAGTAAATGATGTTGATTCCGTGATATAGTCACGATTAAGCTACAAAGCTTCGCTCTCTGCAGCTGAGGAAGAATCATCCTCACTAGGGACCTCGGCGAGCTGGTCAATGGCTGAACAAAGACGCCCCCAGTGCATAGGTACCCAATAGGTATACACGTTCATTGTAAAGCGGTACGAGGTCCATCGATGGGTCTTGTTTTTGAAGAAACCCGCATGGATGGGGTGTCGAAAATATGAGATGTCGCCATCTGCAATCACAGGATAATGCCCGTATATCTGAACTGAAGAGTCATTATGAGAAATCGAAAACGCCAATATTTCCCGGTTGACCTCATCGGCACGTCCAATATTGAGAAACAATTCAGCAATAGCTCGCACCGCAAGAGTAGCAGAGTGTGCGTTCTGTCGATCTGCCACTTGTAAGTCACCGCCTGCACCCTTAACCTCACAAGTGAGGAATGGAACGCGGAGATAAGCGGTTGCCAAGAATAGAGATTCATCGCCGACAAATATATTCCCAATGAAAGGGCGCATTCTTGTCGATTGTTGCCTGGTGAATGCATCGTGGCGGAAGCCAACCGCATAATCCGGAGCAGGTTGAGTTTGTGTAAGTGGCTGTGAGAAGGTCCAGCGAGCAGAGACAGTTTCTGTCAAAATTCCCAAGCTCTCATGTTTGAAGGCAGCTGCTTCAGCTGAAGGGACCAGGAGTCTTGATATATCTTGAATGACTTTTGCCTCATTTCTGTTAGATAAATTTGCGCAAGTTCTCGCGATACAATCGTCATCGAACAAGGTATTTTGAGGGACGGGCTGTTGATCGTTAAGGAGACTAGCCACTAAATTATGGCTGCCTTCTGAAATTCCCAGCGTTGATGGACGCATAAAGGACCCGTGCGTTTCTAGCAGCAGTTATAGAGGGCTGCGATAGGGGGATGTGTTTTCATCATCTAGTTCATCAGCTCCGTTTAGCTGAGAACAGCTCCGTTTCTGACTCTTAGAGGGTGAGGATATTGATTTCCTCTTGGCTAATAATCGAGCCGTTCTTTTATTGAAGGAACTCATTGGCCAGGCTTCGTGACGCACCCAGTATTCTGTAACAGGGTCTGAGGTATCGAAGGAGTCTACTGACGTGGGCAAAGGCATCATTTTATTGCAAGAATCTGCCTGTTTGTTGGTTTGCGCTTGCTTTGTCCTTTGTCTCTTTGGTGCTCCATTAGAGCTGGAATGGCGTCGCTTGATGGAAGGATGACCTTCTTCTTGTGAGCTCAGACTCCTTTGATCGCAGGTTTGATCGCAGGTGAAGTGCGTACTTGTATTGTGCATTTGGCCGCTTGGAGCGGTCACCTGAGAGAGTGTACTAGGCATGTGTTTGTAGAAGGAGTGTTTTAGTACTTTGTTTGTAGAAGAGATAAGTAGAGGGTATTGCTTAAAGTTAGTTACAGGTGGGTCTACAGTGTACATCTCGTGATATAGTCGGTAAGCAAAAGTTATAGGTAGACTCGTTTATCGTCAATATTTCAAATATTCTTTAATATGTATTATAAAATCACGTTTTCTATCAATCTTTTTAGAATATCACGTGTAGTGTAAATACTTTATATTTATCAAGTTTTTAGATGACTGTTATATATAAAGTTTATGTAAATACTTTATATTTATTGAGTATTTAGATAACTATTAGATATAAAATTTGTGGAAATTTATATTTGGAATATGATTGTTGAAATATGGACTACCTGTAACTTTTGCTTACCTACTAGAGGTCGAGTTCTTTGTTGCGCGCGTCACTTCCCCGGCGCTTCTCCACTGCCCTTTCAGCATGTGCATGTTTGCTTTTGGAAATAGTGATCTATAAACTTACAGTAGGTTGCAGGATAAATCTATATTCATAACAAAGGCAGTATTACGCAGTATATTGTATATATTTTGATATATAATAGATATGTATACATGTACGCTTGCATGCTGGTGCTGACATCTATTAAAAAACGCCTCTCTCCTGTTTGCTTTTTCGTACGCCCGCTAACTGTATCAAACATCAAACAACAGTCGTTAAACAATAGTAGGTAAGTCATCCACGTAGGCTCCTGCCAGAGCCGAATAGACCTCCGTCCAACGCTCGTCCGGCCTGTCGCGAACCATGTTAGCCACTTCGTGGGCTTGGTGGAAGCCTGTCTCGGCATAGATGCTCTCAAGACGTTCGACTGCGTAGGTGCGGACCTGGGCGGAACACATGCGCGCGGTGCCGACTGTGTGTAGGGGCCAGACAATCATGTTGCTTGAGGTGGCAAGCATCATGAAACGCGCGGCGTTGTGTCCGCCGGGCTGGTTGGTATGCGAGGTATCCTTGAATGAAGGAAGTTGGATGCGAATGGTAGACCCGTCCTCGGAAGACGAGGACGTGGACTTGGGTGTGGAGATGGCGTCGCTCAATGGACGCTCAACGGCCTCAGGACATCCTGCAGCGACAGAGTCGAGCCAGTTGACGACGCCAAAGTGCTGCGGAACAGAAGCAAGAACGCCATGGATGAGTTTGCGCTGGAGGTGGAGTGCGCGGAAGACCTTGGTTCGTGCGGCCAAGTCGAGGGCCAGCGGATCGGTCGTGCCCATGGTGAGGTGCTCTATAATGGACTCTTGAACGAGGATGCGCATGGTACGGATGACATTCCAGAGAGACATTTGTGTTAAGCCTGGGTGAACATGGCAGTACTCATCAAATGCTGTGGGGTGAGGTTGGTCAAGGTGGACAATTCGGTAGCGCATAGGACCCGGCAGACCGGCGACAATGGTGATAAAGTCGGCTTCAAGCGCATAGAGGCGTTTGAGGATGTCGTCGCGGTCTGTAATAGCGCGCGTCTTAATGTCATAGCGCAGCTGGATGGTGTCGGACAGGTGACCAACGACCCTCATTGTCGTCTTGTTGAGTATATTGAGCTTCTCGAGCTCTTTGCGCAGGTCGAGGATGGCCCTCGGCATCGGGAAGCCGGTCTGCATGCAGCTCAACAGCACCGAGTGGTTGAGTAGGAGAAACATGCGTACACCGGCCTTTGTGCGGAACTGTGTTGTGCCTCGAATGCCAGCCACGGCAGCGGCTCCGTCTACGTGCTTCTGCCATAGTTGGATAGTCTGCGGTGTTGTACCAGACATGAACTCGTATGTACCCAACAGCAAAACGGCTAGCATGGTCGTGTCCTTTGTGACTTCGACGGGGTCCTGCAGCGCGGCGTTGGTCAGATTAAGAGCAACGCCATAGTCCTGCCGGGCTCTGTCCATGGTCTTCTTGCAACCCGTCATCTTGGACAGTCCGGCCAACCCAACAGCGGTAACGCCCGCCGTGATAGCAACAGCGTCATCATTCTCGGGCGACATGGGAGCCTTCCACAAGTCGGATATAAAGTCGTAGTTGGGGAAGCAGCCTTTATCAGCGGCTACGTATTGGGAGAAGAAGAAGGAGATGCCGCGGTCCTGGTATGGCGCCGCTGGGTTTTCAAACGGCGGCTTGTCAGGGTCGATTGCAGACACATCGAGTGTGTCGTCCTTCCAGGTGGTGCTATTAGTAGCCATAGGCTGTTCGAGGCGGACGGGGTAGTCGACGGGATGGGACGTAGGCTCTCGCAGGACCTGTGGTGTCGGGGAGCCGTTGGAAGATACATCAGTGGCGCCTTCAGAATCGGGCTGCAGCTTCTTCGAGGAGCTTTTGCGGCGGGTCTTTTTAGCCTTTTGAATAACATGGCTGCTCTCGTCGCGGAACATGAGGTCGACAATGTTGCGGTAGCCAGGGCAGTCTTCTTTACGCTTGGCGCATTGCGTGCAGCCGGGCTTTGCTTCGTCGCACTATATTCGAGGGAAGAAAACGCTACATGTTAGCCAGCCGTTGACTGGCAAGTTGTGGCAACGGCGACGTTGGCAAAGACAAACCTTGATCTTGCGCTGGCGACAGTTGGAGCAGCCCTTGGACGGCTTCCCGCAGTACGGCATGGCGAAAGCTGCGGCGGTCTAGCAGACCGGAGGGGCGCAATGTAGAAGGGGGATATCGCAGGAGGAAGGAAAGAGAGGTTGTAGGAACAAATGGTTGGGTCAGGCGTGCATGGCGGACGGGATTGGGCGTAATGGCGACGGGTGTGAATCTACAACAACAGGCTGAGACACTGGCCGTTGGTTGGGGGCGGGTCGGTTGAGAGTGTGGCCGGCGGCCCTGGTTCGTAGCGAGGGAGATGTGGTGATGATGGAGCGGAGCGTGCGAGTGCAAAATTGGCGATTCAGAGTGTGAGGCGGTTATATGAAGGGCATGAAGACGGGACAGAGGGGAGGAGTTGTGTGTGGGCAAATAGCGTGGAGGATGTGTTTTGGGGGCAGATGGGCGGATTCATGTACCTACCTAACTTGAACGCTGGTGCCGTAGCGGGTTGTGTTTAATGGCCTGCCACTGCCACTGCCACTGCCACTCACTGTGCTGCACTTCGCTGCAAACTGCACGCTGTGTCTTAGCGGCGTCCAGGCGCCGTGGTGGGGTGGCCCTGCGCCCCCCGCTCCCCCATTCTTCAGGCTTTTGCTCTTTTTTTTTCTCCTTGCGGCGCATTGGTGGCGCTAGAAGGAAGCCAAAAGGTGGGATTCTCCACACCTTCTAATTTTTTTCTCTGCTGCTTGGGCGGCGCAGCGCTGGCCGGTGCACCAAGCTAACGGTTTAGCGTGTATGCGGGTGCTGTGCTGTAAGTTGCTGTCCTCGTGCGTCGAGAGAGGGGGTGGTAGGCGCCATTGTCGAAGAAACTGGGGGAGGACGATCTGCCAAATTCTGGCTATATTTAGCTTCTTGTTGGGAGTTTTTCATTTTATGGTATATAAAGACCACCAATACAGCAATATAATCAGTATACTTTCTGTCCGTCTTCTGTTGCTGTTGCTTTTAGTGCCTCTACAGCCTGCCCTCTGCGAGTAATCCTTCGGGTCTCCAATTCTAGACACCGCTGAATCGCCAGCATGATTCAGAACCCCTCTTCCTCAACAGTTATAGTGCAAATCCACGACGCTGCAGCGCATCGCCTCCACTCCACCCGCCCGTCAGCGCTGTCTAGCCAGGACCGTGAACGAACCGTACAGCACCAGTTGCAAATCTGTCGCTAAGCCAGAAAAGAAAAAGAGAGAGGCCCCTCTTTGTATCGGTGAAGCGATGCTGGAGACAAGCCCGACGCCGTTTCTTCTGCTCTTTAGTTCCAAGCGTGGCGTGCTCGGGCAACCTCCATTCTACCACCAGCGCTATTCCCTTGCGGCGCCGCCCCTAAACCCCGCTGGAGATTTGGCTAATTACTTACTACGCTGTCTTACAAGTACTCGGATGTATTGCTGCTCCCTGTAATGAATCGACTGTCTTCCCCGCCGCCGCCACCGGCCTCACACATCTCCAAAACGCAGGCTAATGCGCCATAGTGGACATGTCGCCTCCTTTAGGCGGATGCAATCCCCTTGCTCGCCCAATTCCTTCCAGCAGTCGGCCCTTGCAGCCCGGGTGGGTTTCTGCAGTCACCCTCGTTACTATTACTTGAAAAACCAAGTCAAGTCGCAAAAGGAGCAGGACGTTGCACTCACATCACCTTGCTACATGAATACAGCGGACAGGTACTGCGCTGTAATTGCCCCTGTCCAATGGGTCCCATCAGCCTGGTTACGCAGCCTCTACCAAAAACCAAGGTTCCAGAAGACCATGCCCGCCCCACCAATCGTTTCGGCTGGCTTGGCTTCCGCAAAGCGCAGCCCTACAACTCTTGCTCCCCGCCTGCCGATGCCGCTGTAGATGAAAAAGGGGGCCCGCTAAAGTAACGAAGACGGCAGGCAACTCAGGGCTCAACAGTGGTTAGCGCCAACCACCACCATCGCAAGCCGCAGCCAAACCAGCCAGGCGTCTGGAGGCGTGCTTCGCTTCTGTAGCAGGTGATTTCGTGGCTATGCATGCCGCCGTTTTGATCCAAAAATAAGCCGTTTGCGGCTGCTTTGGAAACAAATCGGACTCGCCGTAATTAGGGCTGAGCTGGGCCTTTGTCGCCCCTGTTTTTCTTATACTGGTTTCAGAACCTATCAGCCTCACTGTTTCCAGCTTGGGCGTTTTTTGGGGGGTTGGCGCTGGCACCTGCGGGGAGATCGGCGACGTGCGCTCGTCCCGTCGGTTTTTAATTTATTAATTAATCAAGCCGTCATTAATCAAGCAGGTACACTACATATGATCCGCGTCGGTGTTAATATACAGCACAGTTCGGATATAGCCCGAGTTCAGACGATGCAACACATGCGCACGTGGGTTGTGATTTTGAGTTTCTAAATGTAGGGAGTTCATTATTCATAGGCTACGTAGTGTACAAAGGGAAAGTTGAAGGCGTCATTTACAAACAAATGACGGGGCATACTTAGAGAGGCGATCCAACAGCAACAGTCAGCACCTTTGGCGCAGGGTCGTTAAGGAAGCCAGATTGGTCCTCGCTGTTGCTCGCACCAACATCGTCGTAGGGAAAAGCGTAGCCCTTGCCCGCGACCACGACTTCATGGCAAATTCGGCTGTAGTGGTTCGTCACAGCGTTCTGGTAATACGTCGCGACCTTCTCACCCTCGGGTTGCACAGAGTTGGTCAGCAGCGTTGACCGGTTGAGCGCTGCCGAGATGCGCGCGCCAATGTTGAGCATCTCCTCAGACACGCCTTGGCCATGACCGAATGGGCCCGAGTTGCACGAGAAAATGTCTAGCGCCGACGGCTTACTGAACCCTCCTACACCTTCAAACACAATCTGGTCGCCCTTGGTGCGGCCCTTGACGTCGCCCCAGGTAAATTGCGTGTTGACCGTCAAGTCCTCATTGGCATACTTGGCCCATACAGCGTCCACGTAGCTCTGGTAGTATCCATTGAATAGACCGGGAATGAGAACAGCGCCGGCATTAGGGCTTAGAGCGCGCAGGTTGGTGCCTCTGGTTGACTTGATAACCAGCTTCTCCCAGCCAGCGTGGTCCGCACCGCCTTGGGCCTCGAGACCCTGGCATACTCTATCCAGACCGTCCGAGGGCATACCAGCAACCTTGCGAACCTGGCCAGACTGGTTCTCTAGGCTGAAAGAGACGGGCAAACTGACAAAGTCGACATACGAGACGTTGATGTACAACTGGCTGGTGTTGTAAGTGAACTCGCAGAAGCCCCAGTCCAGGTCATAGTTGGCATCGCCGGTGTTCGTGGGCGACGGCTCGACCAGCGAAGGTCCAGGGTTCAAGAAAAAGTTGAGAGGCTTCTCCTTGGAGAACCAAATGCGACCACCGTATACCAAGGGGATGGTAACCGTCCTACTCGCACCTGGCCCGCCCAGGTTGATGGCGCAGTCGGCTCCAAGAGGCTGCATGGTGGCGCCGCTCGCAGGCGACGCAGGGTGATAGGCAGTCTGCCCGTCGGCGTTTAGTAGAAACAGGCCATTATCAGTCGTGCCGGTGATGTGGGCGTACACCGTGGGCGACGACGTATTGTTGCGGAGAATAATCTGAAGAGTCGACATTATAGCGATGATAAATATATACTGAGGTATAAGAAAAAGAATCAAATGGGAGAGTTAGGCTTGTAATGAACAGTCCTCTCGTTTTGGTGGTTCCGGCCACCCCGATACTTATACTTGAACGATCGTCATCGATTTGCGCCCGACCACCTGCTAATTAAAGAAACAAGACTCAACCCATGTTCGATGATCGTTGCCTGTCCACTGCCTAGTCGAAACACTAGAGGCCACCAAAAGGCAAAAAACAACACCTAGGTATCTCGTGCCTGTACCGCCCTGACCTGCATCCTACCGTCATTGTCTGATCGACCCCGGCCGCACGCCGCGCGCATCAAACACACTTTTTACTCCCAGAATAACCCGAATGCCTGGCGCTAAGAATGTCATTCAGGATCCGTTGCGGTGGAGATTTTTCAAACGCTGCCCGCAACGGTAGCGTCGATCGCCGTCGTCACGGCTCTTCGCTGATGTAGTATCAGATGACGCCAAGGTCACATCCGCGCCATCACTTGACTACAGGCGAAACTTTCTTCAACGAGAACCTTCAAAATCAGTCTAAATTCCACTAACAGTAAGTGTAAATATACTTATAACTTCGGCGCAATCATTTCAGCGCCCACGCTTCCCAATGTCCGCCTGGTTCTGCTGATCGCAAGCGAGAATCCGCCAGACGTTTGGTTCAGCCTCAGGCGCACCTGAACCATTGTCTCCAAGTCATTCACAAGCTACACGGAGCCACGTAATGAGCCAAGCAATCACCAGATATTGAGCAACTCCTGCGGACATGAGAATATTTGCCGCGCTAGCATCACCTATGTGAGGCTCGCCAAGAGTTAGGTACGGGCCGCCTGTGCTAGCGTTGAGAGCTGACATGTTTGGGACAATGCATGCCCTGTCCATGCTCCCATCGCATTCCACAAATAGATCAGTCGAGGTCTTGGAAGAGTTGTAATAGGCCTTTACATAGCTAACTACTATGCTGGCATCCTCGGCAGGTGGTCCCCCAGACCACAGAGCATTACCATTGCTCCAGTGTTGCAGTATCAGATGGCCGGCGGACGAAGGAATAGCGCTCCCTGTCATCTCGCACAGAAGTTTGCTATCAGCATAGAATTTGACCTTTCCTGGCAAGTAATCAAATCGATATTCATGAAACGCAACAGTCGGATCAAAGTCCAGATTAACAGTCTGGAACGTGTTTGTGCCATGAGCATCAAACCCAGCTCGATCCGATTCCCTGGACTGTATAACCAGATTTACAGGAAACGTTTTGTTTAGGTAATTAAACTCATGAGAGAGAAACTCCATGTCGATTTCTTGGGTGTCATTAAAGTACTGGAAATATTAGACGGCTTCAAATTTACCGCCCTCATTCACTTACCCAGAAAAATGCTGCACAGGTGCCTGGTATCGCCGTCAATCGCATACCGGCTCTATATGATCCCCAGAGCAGATCAAGTCTGGATGTATCGACTTCCGCAGCGAGTACTGAGTTGAATTTAAGCTGACTATCAACTTGTAGCTGTAGACCCTTTCCGTGTGTAGCAACAACATTGTCAGGCGTAAAAGTCTTGCCATACCGTCCCCGTCCAGCTTGGGCTGTAACATTAAACTCTTGTCGTATCCAGTCCTTGTCTGCATCAATCAATTTCATGGAGACAAAGTTGGTCTCCAATGCATACATAAATGTCGACAAGTCTTGAGACTGGCCATCTGGAACCCGGAAGCCGCATTCACAGGTCGCCTCGATGCATGGCCAGAGTGACAAGTATATAGAAGACCACTTCAAGCGCATCTTGACAGATTGCAACGAGTCTGAAGTAATCGATCAGAAAACTAAAGGTTTTGCAAGATTCTCAAACGACAAGATGGTCTACCATCTTGCCACCGTACACCTTGGAGCAAGAGGTAGGTACGCCAGCTGTCTATCTTAGTAGCAGTTGGCACAGCTGGCCCAGCTGGCACAGCCGCCGGCTGGGGATTGCACAGTACACTATCTAGGTGGTACGTCTAGGATATTTAAAGCACGCGCGATGGAGTCACAATTTGGAATGAGTATGACAGAGAACAATGGTTAAAATTTCAAAGTACCAAGTATCTATACACGAGCCGGCGGCCAAATCCCTCTCATCAAAACTCCTCGGAGAACCAGCCTCATCAAGAGATCCAAGCCTCAAATATCCATCAAAGCCGCGACCCCAGCTCAATTAAGGAAAGACAACAATTTATATCGAACAAGGTATCAAAACAAGCGACCATTTGCGTGAGTGTCGACAAGTAGAAAAGAAATACAAGACAGCAATGCCATATATGTCAAAGCAGTCTAAAGGAAATAGGAGACAAGGAAATATAGAGAGAAAAAAAAGTTGAATCGCCATGTGAAAAAAAAAAAAAGGAAACGCGCGTAACAAATTAAAGAAGAAAAGACGAAATGCAAGGCCATTATGCGCGCATCAAAACACAAAAAAAAGACATCCAGATCGAAAATCGACCACGCTTCGTGGACATATACGCAGGGGCGTCCAATAATGTCCCTGCAAAATTAGGCGTTGCCGAAAGTTATCCACTGATAGGAGGTTGCATCTGTCAAAGCAATAACCAAAAAAGTCAAAGTATTGCAAACAGCATCCTGCTCTGTCTCAGGAGCTGTATCAAAAGACAAACATAGGAGAGGTGAACAATGAAATAATAAGAGGAGAACCCAAAACTCCAATTCCGAATAAGAAGAGTAAAAAAGAAAAACGCCGATTTGCATAGAGTCGCATAATGAAGATTAAACACGCGAGGTTGGCGTGCAATGACAATTTGGTGTAGATAGCAAGGAAATATTCGTTTCAGTCATGGAAGTTAATACACGCTGTCCTCGTCAGCACCCTGCGAGGTCATCGAGGGTGTTGAAACGGTAGAGGCAGCTTCGCGGTCGTCGACGAAGCCGACAAGGGCTTGTGAGTGAAGCTTGAACGATTCGCCCATCAAACGGGTGATACTATGAAAAGAATTAGCAATGTGATTATTTGACAAGATAAAGCGACGAATGACTTACCCCCAAACAACAACTTCGTCGAGCATGGAGCCCCAGAGTCGGGCAACGATAGAGCTGAGATGCGACATGTGAATCTCATCAATATCGTTGACAAACAGCTGTCGAACCTTGTTGTACATGACCAGCTCCTCTTGTGTCGCGGGCTCTTCATCATGTTCCAGACGATAGAGCCAGAGAGAGAGGATAATCATGAGATCCAGGCCGCAGAGCGGGTGCTCAACGCTCCAGTTAGTGGGCGAAGTTCTAGCAACCCAGCGCACGCCCTGGACAACGGCGGTTTCGATGCAGTTGTAGCATTCCTCGATGACCTTGATCATCTCGCTGGTACGCTTGACACGGTCTCTGGCGCGAGACATGGCTGCTCCAACCTCATAAGGATCGTGATATCGCAGCGCTTCCTGAACACCCTTGAGATCAACCTCAAGACGAGCACGAGCATTGCGGTACATGGCCTTGGCGTTGAAGAGGAGAGGATGTCCCTTATGGGGAGCGCTCAGAGGAATCACCGTCGCCTCAGGGTCGCAGAGTTCAAGCGACTTCTCCCAAGTTTCCAAGGCGAGGCGAAGCTTGTACTCGGTAACGACATCCTGCAAGGCTTCGGGGCTTCGCTTGTGGTACCAGACTTCCAAGAAAAGAGCGTTAACCATGACACGGGCTGCAAAAGCACTGTAGCGCATATTGTCACCTTGGAACAAGGTTCCGTGAGCGACCATGAAGGTGACAGCGGGTGAAGCACCGAGGGCCTCCTGCCAAGAGGCTTCATCCGAGACCTGAAGGTTCCAAAGCGCTTCGGTTGAAGGCAGCTGGAGGTCTTCAAACTCATTGAAGCCGATGGCTGGAGTGTGGTTATACGTCAAGGTCAGCAAGCCAAAGAAGATGTAGACGGCGTAGTAGGTACGGCGGCAGCATTCGTCTTCGACCCACTCAGCGCGGGTGGGTAGAGTATTTCCACGGGCCTCCTGTCGAAGGTTTAGCTCATAGCGGTTACCAGCAACCATGTTGGCGAGCAGACTCTTGATCGAACAAGCCCACTCAAGTCCCTTGGGATCTCCGCTCCAGCTTGCAAAGATCATATTGAGCAACGAACTTTGCATGGTCCACAGGGGGCACTTTCTAGAGCTGAAGTTCTCCTTGTTCTGTAGGAACTGGTTCACCAAAACTTTGGAGCCAATGTGAAGCATGTAGGCTTGATCTTGATCAAAGGCGTACAAGGCACCAATGCTGAGGACGGCCAAGAGTAACGGGGGTGAAACCTGTGAAGGGTTGAATGAGGCGGGGTGCAGAAACGGCAGATGGTGGTGAAACAGCCCGAAATAGGTAGACAGGTAGCGGTTCAACGAGCCGAGACCTGGTAAACGGAAACCATCTGGGATTGCTTGTTCTCTGTCATGGTTGCGAATGATATCGAGAATCATGTTGCGCTCATCATCGTTGGCGACTTGGGGCACCCGGAAGCCAGTCTGCGAAGGGTCAACAGCAGGTGCGTGAGATGAGACATCGGCATGGCTAAAGGATCCAATCATAGACTGCAAGGCGGGAATGAAGCCGCTAGGGTCTGCACCAGAGGCGTTGATGCGTGCAGGCTTCATCGTGGCGCTGCTAGCAAAGGACTGTTGCGACTCCATAGACGCAGAAACACTGGATGTAATGGAGTGGGCTCTGGGTTCGTTGACGTTTTGTTGCATAAAGTTATCCCACTGAACTTGAGGCAAGGCAATTGCGCCGGAAGGGTACGTAACAGCAGGCTCCATGGATCCTGCATGGCGGGGCGAGTAATTGCTGCTGTCGTCAAAACTGTCGTCGTTGCGCATGGCAGCAGTAGCCTTGTGGTGTAGGTCGGCAACAAGCATAGCAGCAGCCTCAACGTCGAATATGCCATCGGCACCATTTTCCATCTGCTCCAATGTGGACGCATCAAGGGCAGCAATGGAGGACTTGGGTGGGCCGTCGATAGCACGCGTCTTGGGCCCGGCACGACGCTTTCCGTCGCTGTGGAGGGGAACACCGCCGTCCTTGGCGTGGACAGTTCGGTCATGTCTGAGTAGCAGATCGCGGCGGACAAAGGTACTTCTGCACTTCATACATTTGAAAGGGCGCTCTTTGGTGTCTGTGTCTGGTTAGTACAAATGCATGCTTGAACAGGGGTAAGTAGGCGGTGATGTTCAATAAGCGCGAAGGGGACGGTGGGGGTGGGTTATATCCTATTTCTCCAAGAGGGCAAGAAGACAATGCAGAAAAGACTGAATTATACGTACGTGATCTCTCGTGGCGACTGCGGTGCTCACTTCTGCTAAAAGCGCGATTGCAGAACTGGCACTTGTACTTGCGTTCCGGCGCAAGGGCAGTCTTTCGTGTAGGCGCAGAGGCGGCCGTTGGCGGCAGCACAGCAACACTGGCTCCAGGCATGTTGATTGTGGTTGTTTGTTTGGTAAAGGGGGTATTGACAATGGTCGTATGCCAGAGGCCGATGATACTGTGTGGCTAACAGGTTGAGGCAGGCGGCAGAACGATGGTTGAATATCGCTTCTAAATGTGTAACTCTCTCTTGAACTACGTGCAGCTCCTCGCTCGCTTGCGCGCGCGCTCCCGTGGGGTTTAAAGTGTGACTGCGGTGGTCTCGATCGTGGAATAGGTCATTGGTAACGGTTGTATTCTGGTCATATATGGCTGTGTTGGGAGGGGTGGTTCTGTTGAAAAGGGGGGGTTGAGGCAGCTGAAGGCCTCTGAAATGCGCTGCGAATGCTGTGTGCAAGCCGATCACTTTTCGGGCGTGATGGGCGGCGAAAGGTGGTTTGGTGATGTTGAAGAAGCGATGGAGAAGAGGAGAAGTCTGAGGGGGAAGAAGAGGGGGGGGCAGGTACTTGTTTGCAAGCGGGGGGCAGGTCACGGAAAGTTAGGAGACTAAGAAAAAAAGAGAGGGGGCGGCGTGAAGTGGGCAGCAGCAGGACACCGAAGAGAAAGAGGGGGGCAACCAAAGAAGGGAGGGGTGGATTACTGCATTACGGGTACCGGGCCAGTGGACGGAAGTACCCTCCCCTCTGCCCCTCTGCTGCCGGGGGATTCTTTTAGCAGCAGTTGGCGCCCCACTACGGGCCTGTCAATACCACTCTTCAGCCTAAGGCATCCAACAATAAAAAAGAGCACCTGGAATAAGCTCGCCGTCAGAACGCTTGTCATAATTGTTCAGCGGGGCTAGAAAAAAAAAGAACGTAAAAAAAAGAGATGAATGTCCACTGTAGGGCTTCAAGGCCTGCTCGTGTGCCCCCCTAACAGTATCCACGGCGACTCCGACGCAGAAAGCTCACGACCACCACCTCCTCTCAAAGCTACAAACGAGGGGTAGGCAGTACAAAGAGAGGGGAACAGGACAGCCAGCCAACCTTGTGCTAGAGACGAGGTTAGGCTGTGCTAGCTCAGGCGTAGTCTAGCGTATGTGTTAAAAGAACGCGTCGTGTGATTAGAACCTGGCGACAGCTGCGGCAAAGGCTTTAATGCGGAATTAGCTCATCGCGTCGCTGTACAGTTGCTTGCGCCTTCGCTGGAACCCAAGCACCTAACCCAGCCAGGACAGCTTAAAGCAGCCCTGGAATTGCCTTCTCCGTCGCTGGAACCTCACTGTTGCCCCTAAGCCATGTCATATCTGACTGATCCCGCAGGCGGGTTAGTGTCTTTAGCGTCCATTACAGGTACCGTCTTCTTTTATTGTATACTCTGTTGTAGGCTGCCAACATGTTACTGCAGCTGCATCCATCGGCGATGGCAAGACTCGCGATTCTCATTATTTTCGGAGCTGACGCCCGCTATTTGTTGTTTGTTGTTCGTTGATGCTTCTGCCCCCGTCCCTCAAGCTCTTGTCTTCTTCTGTGTATATATGTTCGGTTCTCAAGTCATGGAAGAGCAGCGTAAGAGGTACAATCAAGTCGAGACACTAAACATGCCCCTGCTAGACTGTTTTCCCTCTCGTCAGCAGCCAGTGCTCTCACTGGCTTGCCATAACAGTCTCGCTGACACGACCTCTCAGACCAGCGTGGATTGGGCGCTAAACTCGCAGGGAGGTAGGGCACTGGAGACGTGGAATGGATGACGCTAAACGCACTGGCGTGAGGGCCACTGGGCGTGCTGAGTTGGTGGGCATGGCTTGCCAACACGCTCCACAGCACTCCGCCCCGCCAAACTGCTTCGTACAAGCACCTGTATTAGTGTGCTGTACGAATGAAACTGCGCACTGCACGGCTGCTTTTTTGGTCTACCAGTCGAGTGGCCTTACAGCCCAACGTGCAGAAAGAACACCGCCCAGCTTTTGCATACAGAAGACGGTCAGCAGAAACAAGGCTCAGCGTATGCACCGTACACCGACTTAGACATGCTACAGTCGGTGAAAGCTGCTCCGCAACACCGCCATCAGTCGGCAGCGTTGCTCTCAGAAGAGTTTGTCGACAACAGCTGCGAGCACTTTCGGGGCGGGGGCATGCCGTACAGGCCATTTGCCAAGGTGCGCCGAGGTGTCCTTTGGGCGCAGCGCACAATGTACCGCACGCCAAGTAACGACAGGGGTATCTACGCACTGTGTGCACATAATTACAGAGCCATAAGCACAGTCTGAATTTGAGACACGCACGGCTGGCCGCTTTGAGGTGGTAACGCAAGAACGCAGGCTGGCGTAGCAAGCAATCTCAAGGTCTAATTTCGCGGAATTCCCAAGCCTTTCCACTAGTGGGGGATGGACAGCGCAATGTCCCCCTCCTTAGTGGCTAGTGGTGCGCTGTACGAAGCTCAGGCGCGAAATTGGAAACGGCCGCTTGGTTGGCCTTGTTTGCTTTTCCGCTGGGTTCAACCTTGTCCGCGGGTCCTAGCGTCTTTCTCCCGGGCTTCTTTTCTTTTTCTCCCCTTTTTGGCGCCTTCCATATCTCAACTATGGCCACTAGCACGAGTCAACGAAGGCAAATCTAGGTGGAACAAACTCCAGCCAAGGCGGGCTTCTGCTGACACATGCGTCTGCACTGGAGGCGACTTCTTTATAGGGGGCAAGGATGCTGCTGCGTACCGGCGTGTCGCTTACCGTTTTGAGGCTGAAAGGTACCGAGTAGTCGGACGATGGGTACCATATTGGGTCTGTACAACGCGGCATCATGAAGCAGGTCAGTGGCGGGAGGCGGCACGAGAGTCGTGCACCGAGCACGTTGGCTGTGTTGCTGTCTCCTAAGGACGGATAGGGTTTGGGCAGCTCTAGTCGTGTTACCTCGTTTTCAGCTCAGCGCAATCATAAAAATAAAAAATAAAAAGAGAGAAGGAGAAAACAAGGCGGTAAAAGAAGTAAAAATAAAACTAAAATGCCACTGTCGCAAGACCACCGTCTAGCTTGCATGCCGTTTGATGGGAATCGGTGGAACAGTAGTCCCCAGCGGGCCGTGGACCCGCTCCTCCACACAGCCCATTTGGTGTCCTCAACGCTGCCAGCGCACCCACTGACAAGGTGCTGCATGGCCACCCCTGGACAGCTTCTGGCGCGGCGACGGAGCTAAGACACGACGCTGGCCCCCCTGTCTTCCCTCATAGCTGGCGCCGTCTGCTGCTCGCATAGCGCATAACTACTTCATAGCCTTGGAAACACACGATGGAAGGACTTTGGACATGGTCCCAGGGGGCCCCTGGTATTGTCGACAGCGGCACAGGAGCGCCGCCCTTCATACCGCAAGTTTATGCAGCAGCTTGCAGCCAACGATGCCGAGGAGCTTCTGGGATTCGTCTGGGATGTGCATTGTGCGGTGAGTCGGCTACGCGGACGGTTTGCGGTTAAACTCGTTGTGTCTTTTGCTGTCCATTGTGCTGATGATGATGAGATCGAAATGTTCACCATAGGCGGCCATTGTGTGGCTCCCAGACGCCGCCAGCCGCCCCTCCCCCGATGTGCCCCTCTCTGTCTTTCCTTTCTTAAAACCTCAGGTTGTAAAACCAAAAGAAAACAATTAACAAAGAGTGGCCGAGAAAAACGTCTCCCCTTTTTGGTACTTCTCCTTTAGGCTTGCCACAACGTGCCACATCACGAAAAAAGAAAGAAGCCCACTTCCCCTGGTCGTAGCACCTGTCACGTCCGGTAATGACCGCCCGCGGCGCGCCGCAGAAGAAATGGGAGTCGCGTATAGCGTACCACGGGTGGGTCCGCGGGACGCTTCCGGTACCCAAGAGGTTGAGTAGCTCGGTGCGCCCCACGTGGATTTGTCGCGATTTAAGCAGGCGGCCGCTATTCTGTGCGCTGAACTGGGCCAAGGCAAAGCAGACTTATTTGTACAAAGTGAGGGCAAAAATAGGAGCTGGGATGCCGGGGTTAGAGTCAGGAAGGCCCTTACCTTCTACAGCGACAGGCGGTGCTGTGTGCTTATGCCATGCACAACTCTTTTCCGTTTGTGGCCTGCCGTCCAAGCGTCAAATACAGAGAACATTGGGCAAACGATAGACACATAAGGACGCCACTTTGACCATGTTGCGCAGCAGTTCAGGAACATCCACACCACGAGCCACAAGCCGCAGGCGCACCGCACCGCACACCACATCCAAATTGATAGTGTTTCTGCATGGCGTCGTGCAAGCCATCGAGTCGTGTCTCCACTTTAGTCAGCGGATTTGGGTAGACGTCTTGGTGATAGCTGGCTGAAGTCAAGTATGACAACAGATGTGAGCGTTGCAACGAGCGTCGCAGCATGCAACTTTGTTGTTGTGAGCCATGAAGATTCAACGCAAGGAGATGATTGCACAAACTGAGTTTGCGGTTTGTATTAGACAGTTGCTACTGATGCGAAGCGTGCCTGCGACACCGAACCATGGACGCACGACTATGTGGTGAAGGGGAGCCAAAGCGGGCACTGTCAACAGTTACTAACGCTGGGGCTTTCTCGGCTACAGCGCGCTCAAACCACTAGACTAGCACAAGCACCGCACTATGGCCGCTGAGGCGTCGCTACCTGCGCCCTGAAGCGTTTGAGGGGGCGGCTCCTGTTTCGCTCCTTCATTGGAAGAGTTTAGGCTTGGTGGGCGCGCTACACCTGCGGGCAACGAAAAATAAATTGACTTGAAAATCGAGGTGCACGCCGAGGAAAATTCTGGATTTTGCGCGATTTACCTTGGATTTACTTTTGCTGCACCTTGCCTCTTTTTTTAGCAACGCGATGATACTCTCCATCTCTACTACAAAGTGAACGTGCGCAAAAACTTGGCCGCTCGCTCTCCTTGTTGGCCCATTTTCGTAGCCAAGCTACGACCTTTTTTGTAGCAGTTCCAGCACTTGTCCGCCCGCCAGGGCTTTTCCCCGCCAAAAAAACCAAACCCCTCCCCATACGCTTTGGGCAAGCGGTGCCGTCAGGAGGTGGCCCCTCTTCTGCCACGAAACACACAAGCTGCAACGGAACTAGACGACAGTCGTGCTGCCCTGTGTCCTGCTGGGTTATCGAGCCTTTTTCAACCAAGATAATATCGTCCTGCTTGTTGTGCACTGATCTGGATTGATATTTTTGGCCGCCAGACAAGCCCTAGCAGCCTGCCCGACCGGTTCACCTGCGCTTCAGAACCCGGCACAATGCCATGACCGAGATCGCGGCATCCCGAATTCCCGATTTGAATCTTGCCGTCGAGCGCCAGTGATCTATTTCATCTCATATCAAGATATATTTATTATACAAGCCTCCACCTGCGAATAACAGAGACTTCGGCACGCCGTCCGGCCCGACAACTTGGTCCGACTTCGCGGCGGCTATAGTTGATAGTCCATCGCACCATCCATCATGGACGGCGTCGGTGGTGCCCCTGTGGGCACGATGTATGTACGTGCTCTCTACGACTACGAGGCCGACGATAGAACAAGCTTGAGCTTCCACGAGGGTGACGTTATTCAGGTTATTACGCAACTGGAAAGTGGTTGGTGGGATGGCGTTATCAACGGTGTCCGAGGCTGGTTCCCGAGCAACTATTGCCAGATTATCACAGGTCCTGAGGATATGACAGATTTGGCAGCAAATATGGGTACAAGCCACTTGGATTTTGAAGGGGATGATGTTGAACCCTACGAAGATAACCTTGACAGGGAAGACTACTCTCCTATGGACAGCAATGGTGCCGGCATGCTCCAGCACCAAATGGCGAGCACCGACGATAAATCAAGAGCAGACTTCTGGATCCCGCAAGCGACACCAGACGGTCGCTTGTTTTACTATAACATGATGACTGGCGATCGTAGTATGGAGCTCCCACTCGAATCGCCTAGCTCAACAGCAGAATCTGGTCCAAGGGACAGAATGAATGCTGATGTACCTGAAAGAATGCGACCTCCTCCTGAAATGATGGCCAGAGGCCTGAATCAGGACGAGGATGATGATGGAACTTTATCTGCGTCGGACGTTGAGGGCGACGTACACGGACGCTCCGTGGTATGTGAAACTGTCACAAAAGCCTCACAACCCCACCAGTCATTGCTAACCCTGCCACAGGGCCGTCACCGGTCTTCAGTTGGAACTGTACTTTCTCCTTCTACATCTATGGATTCGATGAACGGCTCACCAGAACAGCGCCGAAAGAATAGCAGTAGATTCGGTAGCGCCGCTACGATTAACCACCCTCCAAATATGGCATCTGCTACATCATTTACTAGCACTACATACAATGTTCCTACGACGACGACGATTCCCCGATCCTTTTTTGACGACGGCTCAACGCCTGCACTCAACTGGCCGCTGCTGGTAGAAAATATGAAGACGAAAATTGAGCAATACAAGGCAGTTGTGGAGGAAGGCAAGCGGTCAGAGTACGTGGCTCGAGCAGAGGACATTTCCGATCATCTTCGACTTCTCCTAGCTGCAGGCTCTGGAACTACTGATAACCACTCTGGCCAGCCCTCTATAATCTCGACAAATAAGGCTCTCTACCCTCACTTTAGAGATATGATGTCCAAGTTTTCCAAACTTGTGATTTCGTCGCACATTGCCGCAGCCGATTGGCCAAATGCTGAATCGGTACAGAAATGTTTAATTGAAGCCGACGGTGTCATCCAGGGTGTTTACAGCTACGTCGAAGTCGCCCGTCAGCAAAGGGGACAAGACATTCCTCGCCTGTTTCCCGGTTTCCTCATTGGAAGCAGCTTGGGAGGCAGCTGGCTGAATAACAACCTCGGCCCCCGAGATCCCATTGCGGCGAACTTTTTAGACGACGAAGACCCATCCTTGGACCCGACAACAAATCTCGACGGTCAGCTTCTGGAGAGGCTTGATGAACAAAAGCGCATGCTAGTGTCGAGTATTAGAGAGCTGGACAAGAGCTTGCTTGTTCCTGAAAAGATTGTGACACCTCTACGTCACGAAATCATTGGCAACAACGTTTGCCAGGCTGGTGGAAAGGTTCTAGAGGCTTTTAAGCCCTGGATTTCCATGATTGAATCAATAAACCTTGGATCTCTTAGCAGCAACTTCCAAACACCGGGATTGGCCGAATTCTGTGTCAACAAGCAAAGCTTATATGACAATATGTCGGATCTGGTTATTGGCTGCCAGGCTGTTGCTGGTCCTCTTGGGGACGAGTGGGCTGAAGTTCGCGGAGAGCCTCTGGAGAATAGGTTAGAATATGTGCGTCAGTGCGCCAGGGCACTCGAGACGAACTCATCACATATTGGGTTCTCATTACAGCTCCTGTCAGAACATGTAAAGATTGAGCCGGCTCAACAACGAAACCAAAGATCGCAGATTCAGAGGGGAGATACGATGCCTTACGAACGACCTCATCAACGCTCCGAATCCAAGGTTATGCCTATCCGGCCTCCGCTTATGACCTCGCAATCTTTTAACGATGGCGATCTCCCACCTGGTTCGTTGCGCAAGGGTGACTACTCCAAAGTCAAGAAGATCTTTGGTGAGGATCCTTCGCCTGTTTCCGGCCTGCAGGCTGCGGATGATACACCTGATTTCCTACGCCTTGATTACGAGAATGATGTATCATGGGACACGAAGGCCGTCACTCCCACCGTAAAGGGTGGTACTCTACTCGCCTTGGTCGAGCAGCTAACCCGTCACGATAAGCTCGACTCCAGTTTCAACAACACCTTCCTTCTTACCTACCGATCCTTCACCTCTGCGCGAGAACTCTTTGAGCTGCTAGTTAAAAGATTCGCCATCCAGCCACCTGAAGGCCTATCGCCAACCGATTTTGAGGTCTGGCGCGATCGCAAACAGAAGCCCATTCGCTTCCGTGTTGTAAATATCATCAAGAGTTGGTTTGACAGCTTCTGGATGGAAGAGCACAACGAGGAGTCGAAGCAACTGATACGCGACGTTTACGACTTTGCTAGAGACACAGTCAAGTCGACGGAAACACCTGGATCTGGCCCGCTCATGTCCATTCTAGACCAGCGACTCAACGGAAAGGAGGCGGGTGCACGTAGAATGATCCAGACACTGAACCAGAGCACGCCTGCGCCGATCATGCCAAAGAACATGAAGAAGCTCAAGTTTTTGGACATTGATGTGACAGAATTCGCCCGCCAACTGACAATTATCGAATCCCGCCTCTACGGCAAGATCAAGGCTACTGAATGTCTGAATAAGACATGGGGCAAGAAGGCAGCCGAAGGCGAACCTGATCCTTCACCGCACGTCAAGGCGCTTATTCTGCACTCTAACCAGATGACCAACTGGGTGGCGGAGATGATTCTTGCGCAGACGGATTTGAAGAAGCGAGTTGTTGTGATCAAACACTTTGTGGCTGTTGCTGACAAGTGCCGCGGCCTCAACAACTTTTCTACGCTGACATCCATCATCTCTGCACTTGGTACGGCTCCGATCGCGCGCCTCAAGCGCACATGGGATCAGGTACCAGCTCGCACGCAGGCTACGCTGGAGACGATGCGTAAACTGATGGCTAGCACAAAGAACTTTGGCGAATACCGCGAGGCACTTCACATGGCAAATCCCCCTTGTATTCCCTTCTTTGGTGTCTACTTGACGGATTTGACCTTTATCGAGGACGGTATCCCGTCTATTATCAAGAAAACCAACCTGATCAACTTTGCCAAGCGCGCCAAGACGGCTGAGGTCATTCGTGATGTACAGCAGTACCAAAATGTAGGTTACTCGCTACATCCAGTGCCTGAGCTGCAGGATTACATTCTCAGCAACATGCAGCATGCCGGCGACGTCCACGAGATGTACGACAAGAGCCTTTCGGTGGAGCCGCGTGAGCGTGAGGATGAAAAGATTGTTCGGTAAGCCCTTTTTCTACCCTATCTCATCAGCGTAAATGACGTCTCCGCTAACAGTAAGCAGAGTCTTGGCCGAGTCTGGCTTCCTCTAGACCTAGCACTGGTCTACCTGTCCTATACCTGTTCGTCCTTTTTTGGGAACTGTACGCTTTGTATTTCTGTAGCCCTTTTGGCAGGCTGCTGTACGAATGGACTTTGTTTCAAGCATAAGAATGGCGGGTTTATCAAACTGCGTTTCTATCTCTTCCTTTTCTTTTTTAGTTGGCTGGCTTTATTCTTTATGAGGATACGATGTAAATGAGGGATAACCGATGTTTTGGGTACATAGGCAGCGGTTTCAAATTATCCATTCATTGCTACTTGGTGAATCTGTGTCAAGTGAAACTGTAAATTAAAGAAGAAGAAAAGCGCAACGGTATCTTTCATCGCTAAACAATAACATGGCGGTGTATATACCACTATAATGGCCGCCTAGTGCATGTGCAGCTTCTCCTTGATCTTGTCGATAACAGATGTCTTTTCCTCGTGTGCAGTGCCTCCGCTGCTACTGCTCTGAACGATTTCGCCATCGTGATTGCGCATTCCCTTTTCCGCCATGAGGCCTGTGAATTGGTTAGTGTATGTCACAAAGGCTCGGGGGACGGCTCAAACTTACGGTCTGCTTCGCGCCCGGCACCCGCTCTTGTAGCGTCAAAGTCACCTCCATCAGCTTGAAGGCCAGTGCTCTTGATGTACTTTTCACCAGTTCCCTTTTCTTCGTGAGAGTTTGGGTCGTCAATAGCATTCTTATCGCCAATGCTGGTGGCGGACGCATTGTGGGAAACATTGCCTGCGTCACCGCCGTTTTCACGGGCAATTTCTTCCAATGTGCGTGGTCCAGGACCAGTGAGGTCTTCAGCGCTCATTTGGATTTCTTCTTCTGCAGACTTTGCTGAGACGTCTTCTGAAGAGTCGGCGGTCGTCACATCGGTGTCAGATGGACCAAGGCTTCTGGGGGCCGAAGAGGCGGTAGGGTCAAGGGCCTTGTTTATACGGTCTTGCTGGTGGGATTCCAAGTTGCCAGCATCGAAGGGTTCACCTTGGGAAATGTTGCCAGTGACGCCAGAGAGGGGTTCCTTGGTGTTGTCCATGGTGAAGAATAGTGGTGGCGGTGGTGCATGTAAGTGGTCAAGGGTAGCGAGAGGTGGTGCGGGGGAAAGTCTGGTGTTGCAGTCTGCCAAGGGGTTAAGAGTAAAGATCAACAGGAGAAAGAGAAAAGGGTCTTTTGGAGAGGATTCACACTGGTATTTGAAGGGTTGCTCGGTTGAGCCGCTGACGTCGTTGGTGATGCAACTTTTGGTTTCTGTCTGGCGGGGGTGACCAATCAGACAAAGGCAGAAGACGACGTCATGAAAGCAAGTTACGGGATGGTGCCCATTTGGCAGATGGAAACAGTGGGTACATGAAAGCCCGTTTATGCATGTTTGCGTACATTTTTTGGGGGGAGGGTGGGTGGGTTGGTACTGGCGATGGCTTTAGCAAACCGTGATTCAGGGCTATGCGATTGTTTGGCGTTTGTGGGGGATGCACGCTAATGCTGGATGGGGCGATCAATCGACGTCACCGTTTTTTTTTTGGCCGAAGCGGGTTAACGCGGAGGATTTGGAGTACGACCGACGCGGAGAAGTGGTTGTAAAAGGAGGGGCTAGCAAACTTGCACAAGATGTATCTTGGTATATAGTGGAAATGCTAATTTAAAGTATTTTTTCTCGTAGGTAGAGTGTTTAGAGGATGGATTGGCACGGGAGAAGGTGACGGCACCTGGTAGGGCTGATGCTTTAACATGACGGTACAGTACAAGTACAGCATGTGTGCCAAAAATACGAAAGAAAGGAAGAAGAAAAATAATGATTTTTAAAAAGAATATAAAATATTTCGACTAACGGGTTTCGTCTAGTAAGTACAGAATACTGGGATACTTTAAGCGTCGATCGTCGCGTAGCAAGTCTTGTCAATGTCACATATCTTTAACAGCTCTTTGTTTCTTACAAACTGCTTCTTTGTGAGGGACTGTATAAGTTACAAGGATCCTCTGTTTAACATCATCTTCACAGTATGTATACCTAAAAATACCACGCAACATCACGCTACCGGACACTGTTGACCTATCCGCCGCTCCCCGTGAACACCGTACCGTTACAGCGGCCGCTCCGGAGGCACGTTGTCGCCAGGCCGCTCGGCACTGGTTCGCCCCAACAGAGGCCGCTGTCAATGGCCACTACCCCCTGTAGCGGACACGTGAGAGGCCCCCCGCCACCCCTCCAAGCAGCGGCTCAGCAGAGGCGACGCGTAAACAGTTGGGGGAAGCCCTGGCATTTAGGAACAAGGAAACCTTGCCAGCTGGTTAACTCGGACTTTGCTTCTTCTATTCGTTTTCTTTTTTCGCCTCGACAAACAAGCATCACCACCCGACATGCATTGCTAGTGTTTTATTTTCCTGCCTACATATATACTCGCAAACCGTGTTTGGATATGGTCTTTACTCTCCAACCACTTGCGGCGCTCTTAGCGCTGGCGCTGGCGTTCACGTCCGCCTCGCCACGACCGGCCCAACAACAAGTCCTCAACACACCATCACGACCCCCGGCTACCATCCAGCTTGTAAATAACTCACGGCCACCATGGGATCACCAAAAGCCCATGTTCCCGCATAACCCGGGCCAATTCACAAACGGATTCATTGCGTTGGGCGATTCCTACTCGGCCGGCATCGGCACATCCTTCAACGGGACCGAGAACGACTGTCGAGTCGGCTTGCACGCATACCCGAATTTAATATGGGAAGACCTCTCAAGGCTGCGAGGACTTGGCAACGATAGCTTTCAGCATCTGTCCTGTACTGGAGCCACGATAGAAGATGCCCTTGCTGGTGCAGAGCGCAGCCAGGTCGACAACATCAACATTACCGATGCTGCCGATTTCGCTCTGCTGTCCATCGGCGGTAACGATCTTGGATTCTTTGAGATTATGAATAGCTGCATATTCCGCTTCTTCAGCTTCTACTCGGGCACCTGCGAGTCCGCCATTGCAGAGTCTGCCAAGGCTATTGCCAGCCCGACGTTTGACCAGCATCTGCGGCTGCTAATTATGGAGATTCTAGACCGCGTGCGTTGGGAGAAGAAGCCGTGGTTCTCTATATTTATTACCGGATATGCTCGATTCTTCAACGCCGAGACGGACGAGTGTGACGACCATTCACTCGGCGTCTGGTGGCGCGGTCCAAAGCTCAAGAAGGAATTGCGACAGCAAATGAATGATATGGTCCAAGAAGTCAATGCGAGGATCAAAAAGTCGGTCAAAATAATCAATGCTGGCTTCTCAGAGCCCCGTGTCTTCTTTATCGATTACGACGACAAGTTTGAAGGTCATCGCTTTTGCGAACCGTCTGTTGTCGAGCCTGACTATACTAGGAACGAGACTTGGTTCTTCCTAGTTGGTGGACAGGACAATGGTGAAGCAATAAGTGATCCGACAAAGGTTCCCATGGAAACTCCACCGGATAATGAAGAAATTAAAATCCAAAATTCCATGTGGTACGTCCCTACGTATTACGGCAAGACGTTCCATCCTGTAAGCCCTCTAACCCTGACCCTGGATATTCTCCCGCAGCGTGCTAACAACATTGGCAGCGAACGGAAGGACACAAAGCCATCCAGCAAGCGATTTACGAGCTGTGGTTTAAAATGTACCGTAATTAGAAATTTGTTAAATGAGATACCCCCCACCCAAAGAATGCGTATAATAGATTTTATCTTTACCAACTTTTGCATCGCGTGTTGCAGGCGCATCGGTAGGAGTGACATGCTTCGGCGGTGCCTGTGCCTGGCCGGATTAAGTTTGATGCGCCAACCTCACTCTGCGCGTGGCCAACCGTGGCCACCTCCAAGCGCATCTGGCTCACCAACTGCCATCGATTTCCATCCCCTCACAACGCCATTTCCATCGCTTGAATTATCGGAAATACTACGGACATCACTTTTCATCCATATCCCGCAAGAGCGCCACCATAAAACCACATCTTGGTTGCAGAGAATTGATTCTGCTGCGACACCTGCCCTGTGGCCGCGTTAGGACATGGCGCCAGACGGCAAGGGTGTGTTATGCATATCTCGGCGCTCTGCGCACAAATCATGAGCCAAAACGCTAACTACCGGTAGAAAAACCAGTGAAGACGCCTTCTAAGAAGGACGCGAAACCAAGCATCATAAAATTGAAGAAGCAGCCCCCGAAACACAACAAGCCTGGCAACTGGCGCGACGGTAGCGTTATTGAAGGTAGGCAGAATGCGCCATTGTCGTGCTACATCAACGCGTCAAGCCCGCCATTCTAACAGTACATGCAGATGATAAAAAGAAAGCAGTCAGCTCGCCTGCCACCTCTGTAGCCTCACCAGGCCCGGTTGTCAACCAACTCGACGACACTGCGCGCGAAACATTCGCCACCGGCCGACCCCTCGAAGATAGCCCCGATCTGCAACAATGTAGACATTGCAAGAAGAGCGTGATCAAGACGGCAGCAAAGGCGCATATTGCGCAGTGTCTCAAAGTAAAGAAGGAAAAGGCTCAGCGCAAGAAGGAGGCTCGTGAGGCCCGCGAGCGCGCGAAAGAGGCGGCCAAAGACGAGCCAGCAAAGGACGCAAAGGCCGAAGAGGATTCCGAAGAAGAAGAGGTCAAGCCCAAGCAAAGCGCTGGGAAAAAGATTGGCGAGTCCAAGGCGGGTAAGAAGAGAAAGGCGGATGCAGATGGCGCAGGCCCCAAAAGCAAGAAGAAGAAGGAAGAACCGCCAAAGCAGCCAAAGGTGCCCAAACCGAGAGGTGAGACTCAGCCGAGATATGTTTTTCTGCCAATAGTGCTAACTTATTCTAGGACCCGTGGATGTCGAGCGCCAATGTGGTGTTATTCTACCCAACGGCATGCCTTGTGCTCGCTCGTTGACATGTAAAAGTCATGCTATGGGCGCCAAGCGCGCTGTGCCAGGTCGTTCGCTACCATATGATATGCTGCTAGCGGCGTATCAGAAAAAGAACCAGGCTAAGCAGCAAAGTACGTACTCTTATCGTTTGTGCTGTTTGAGACCAGAGCTAACACATCCCCTACAGAGGCCGCAATGGACGCCAACGCCCCCGTTGAGGAGGAAGACGACGCCAACAATGGTCCTGTCGACTCTGATGAAGAGACTGGTGCTGTCATGGCCGCTCTTTCACAATGGCGGCCTAAGCCACTGATCCCGCAACCCACGTTTGTTCCCATTAAGCGCCAGTACCAAATGGCTAGGCTGCACGAGCAGTTGCAAATGGCTACCAACGGCGGCCGCACAAACATCTTCCAAGTAACAGGATACGGTGCCCAGAAGCTACCTGATGGCCATCCAGGGCTGCTTGAGGGCGAGGACGCACCGGGCGAGGAGATGGACTTGGCTGCCATTGGCATTACCAACGGCAGGCCGGGGTACGGGTTCAGTCTGGGCCAGCCCCCAAAGACGGCGGCGAGCAGGGCGTAATGAGTCTTTTATGATTTGGAAATTCAACTGGCGTTTAGGAGAGGACGAAGGGAAGCACGTTGTATGTTTGTTTTTGGGTTTGCTTTTGAGCGGATATGTACATGATGGACTTTGGGCCTGGGATTTGGCTTGCTCAGCGTATAATAGGGAACTACAAAGCATTCACGATATATTTTCACAGTAGGAGCATGAGTGCGTGATGCTGATGTATGGTGTGATTTAATTATAAATGGATCTAGCGACTATGTAAAATTTCACGTGTTAATTTATCCTTTAGAATGGGGCTTTGAATTACATGCGCCTGTTTGACTGACCGGTTTGGGTGGAGTGAGAGATCGACCCTCGGTTGCCGTCGATGACGTCGCTCCACGATCCAAGAGTGGACTTATAGACACGCGATAGCCGCCCGCCCGTTTCTTCCTTTATCAGCATAATTGTTTTTATACAGGTTCTATATTCTCTATTTAGATACAGAGGAAACAATGGTATCTCAACAAGTTATACAGGCCCTCGGCCACGCAGCCTCTGGCTCCCTCGGCACGGGCATATCGACAGCTGTGCTTGCACCGCTCGATCTAGTCAACATGCGCCTCAAGGTGCAACGCCAACAGGATGGCGGCGACCACTACGACGGAATAATCGATGCCTTCCGAAAAATTATAAAAAATGAGGGCATGGGCGCACTCTACCGCGGCGCTAGCACCGATATCGCCAAGTCCCTCATCGACAGCTTCCTGTTCTTTGGGTTTTACAACTACTTTCGACAGCGCAATCGGCACCCTAAAATTTGGCAGGAACTAGCGTACGGTGCGGTAGCTGGTGCATGTGCAAAGGCGTGCACAACGCCATTGGCGAATGTTGTAGCGCGGAAACAGACCTCCGAAACGGATAAGAGCATGGCGCACACGCTCAGGGAGATTCGTGCAGAGGGCGGTATTGCGGCTCTCTGGTCGGGGTACTCGGCTACTCTGGTGCTTACATTGAACCCGAGCTTGACGTTTTTGATCAATAGGCGCCTAGCGGATAAGATTGTTGCGGCCTTGGAGGAGGAGGATATTCCGGTAGCATGGATTGCGTTTCTGCTAGCTGCGACAAGCAAGGCTATTGCTACGGCAGCAACATATCCGTTTCAGGCAGCTAAGGCGCATCTGCAGTTGCATGATCAGCCTGAGGAGGATGAGAAGAATGGTAAGAAGAAGCAGGATGGGTTGTATGTGAGGCTTGTGAGGCTGTTCAGAGGGTCCATTTTCGGGCTCGTAGTGGCCTTGGTAGCGAAGGACGGGTTTCGGGCTTTGTATGATGGTATGCAGGGCGAGATTCTTAAGGGCTTTGTAAGCCACGGCTTGACAATGGCGGCGAAGGGCTTCACGCACAGGCTAATGGTGAAGGCGTGGCTGGCAGCGAAGTCGAAGCGAGTGGCTAGTAGAGTGTAGCGTTTTGGTAGATGATAAATGTGTATTATATTTCAGCATTGGAACATTGTGCTTAAGCGTTCGACAGTATTTGCTCCCTTGGCTGAGAATCCAGTGCCTTCGGATTTGATAATCACTAGACCAACAGGGAGTTCTTTTGTCTTTCCCGCGCCAAATGGAACCAAAGCTACCGGTATATCACAGACAAAGCACATGATGGGCATGTCATCAGGGCCTGGGTTGTCTTTGGTTGGCTTGATAAGGAATTGATCGACGCATTTGCGACACAGCACATGGCCACATTTCGAGGCGGCGATGGCAGCCAGAGAATTGGAAAGTGTCTTACGGCAAGATGGACAAGAGCGTACAGGGTCTGCGGAGGTCGTTGAACGTTCTTCGCTAAAGTTGACGGGAATCATCTTGGCCATGGAGAACACATGAGTATCGGATGTGGATGCTGGGCATACAGCAGCAGTCTTGGTCTTGTTGATCTTGGCGAGATGAACAGAAGGGTTTGCATCGGGAGTGAGCGATGGTGTCCAGAACGAGGGCAAAATTTCCCTTGCGTCGCCATCATCCGTCTTTCGCAGCTTGGCCTCGCTCTCTCTGCCCGTGTCAAATTTGCGCTTCTTGGGGCCTTCAATTTTGGAAAGCCCGGCCTGCGTCAGTTCGAAACTTTTGACATCTTTTTCCTTTTGTTTCGCTTCTTCTTCTTCCTTGCGCTGTTCGTCTTCGGCAGCAGCGTTCTTCTTGGCCTTTTCAATTCGTTTCAGCTCCTTCTTTTGGGCCATCAAGTTGGTCAACGCACATTCACGGCAAAACAAATCACCGCGTTGACACGCGACAGGATCTCGAGCAATCTCAAGACATAAACCGCAGCTACCAAACGGGAGAAAAGAATCTCTGCTAAGGCGGGCCGAGGTGTCGGTCCAGTTGGACTTGGCGAGCGCGCGTTCGTGGCTTGTGAAGACGGCACGCGTTGAGTTTCGTTTAGCTGTTACATGTTAGCAGAGACAACCTTAGATGTTGAAGAATATTTTAGGCTTACTTTGCGGCATGATGGGGGCAATGTTTGTTGTAATATAAACCGAAATGCAAGTTTGATGAATTTTAAAGAGACGGCGTTCAGTGACGGCTGCCGCACTAGCGACAAAGCGTACCTGAGTAGCGGGGCGGGTGGCTTACATCGCTGCACTGGGAACCCCCCGATTTGCAATCCCCAACAATCTCCAACGTCGTTTTTTAAGGCGCAAGGCCTCGACAGCGCGACCACCCGTCGTTATGGCAGATCTCACGCCTACCAGGCCAAGCCTGCCCAATCGTCTTGCTGCTGCTGCCGTCATGGGCACAGTTGGCATGGCGTCACGGGCCTTCCTGTACGGGTTGAACAAGGTCGAGGTCACTGGCCTGGATAATCTCCTTTCCACTCTCGACAGGCGCAAACAGCAAGGAAGAGAGCGGGGACTTCTGACCGTTTGCAATCACGTTGCAGTGTATGGTGTTGCCTGTAATTTGAAATATGGAATAGACATGCTGACCAAGAAAACAGACTGGACGATCCGCTCATTTGGGGAATTCTGCCGGCGCGTTACGCTTTCGATCCCGAGAATTTGCGATGGGGTTTAGGTGCTCATGACATCTGCTTCAAGAATGCGTAAGAATAGAGATTGGTGGTTGCAATTGGGATGCTGACATTTAACAGCGCCACTTCCAAGTTCTTCTCCCTGGGCCAAGTTCTCCCAACCCATCGAGGCTGGCATTCGAAGCACGGCGGCCTTTACCAACCGACAGTAGCAGAGGCAGTGCGACTTCTCTCCGGCCCGAACTCGCACGTTCTTCCTCCGAAGACTACGACGTATACAACTGATGGCAAGGATAGCCATATCCTTCCGTCAATCTATACCATCAACCGCAAGGCATGGGTGCACATTTTCCCGGAGGCATGCTGCGTCCAGAACCAGGATGCCACGTTGAGATACTTTAAATGGGGTGTCTCTCGCCTCATCCTGGAGAGTGACCCTGCTCCCGAGTTCATTCCCATGTTTATCCATGGCACCCAGAACATCATGCCCGAGGAGCGCGGCTTCCCACGCTTCTTACCGCGGATTGGCAAACAGTTCCGTGTCATGATTGGTGAGCCAACTGACGTTGATAAGTTATTCGGCGAGCAGCGCGCACAATGGCGTAAGTTGGCGCAAAATTCGAGCGAAGAGGAGCTCAAGACAAAGCCCGAGGCCGTGGAACTCCGAATCCAGGTAACCAAGGCGGTTCGTGACGAAGTCGCAAAGCTGCGAGAGAAAATGGGATTTCCACCAGATCATGACGAAGAAGCTGCTTTGGCAGAGACTTGGGCAAAGGAACCCAATGTACGAAAATTTAAAAGCCCAGTTGACGGAAGTTTGGTCAACAGGCACTGAGCTACCCATTTCAGAGGGCCATAGACACACATAGCATCACGGGGACTCGTCGCCGTTGTAATATCATGTATTAACGCTAACTCCTGTATTTTTTATTTTCTCCAGCCATCATTGTAGGCATAGTCCTCGAGATAGGATATGCCGGATGTGTTTTGGTTCCAGATTACAGTCTAAAATATCATGGCTTCATGGCCAAACTGGCGCCAAGCAAAAACAAGCAAAAGTAGAGCGAGCAAGGAAATTGTACAAATCTAAAGGTAAAAGGATATGAAAGAAAGCAAAATCGAATCGTCATTAGTATCCGTCGTAACCAGTTACGGGCACGCCAGGTTGATATGAGCGTGCGGCCGACTGTTGCTGTAGCTGCTGCTGCTGCTGGTGAAGAACAATGTCGTTGAACCACGGGTGCTGCAGGGCATCATGGGCGCTGATGCGTAGCTCAGGGCGAACTTGAAGCATGCGTTGCAGCAGGTCAATGCCTGTGGGGTCGATGGCTGGCAAGATGGTGCGGAGGTCTTGTGTGGCGTACATTTGGAAGTTGGACTTGTATTCGGGGAGCTGGGTAATGCCGGGCCATGTTCGCTCTGTGGGGGTGCCCATGATGCGGAAGATACGAACTATCTGGTCCTCGTTGGTGGTACCGGGGAAGAGGGGGCGACCCGTGTACATCTCTGCCATGATGCAACCGGCTGACCAGATGTCGATGCTGGTGTTGTAGGTTCGGCTGCCGAGCAAGACGTCGGGTGCGCGGTACCACAGGGTGACGACCTCGTTGGAAAACGTGTTGACGGGGATGCCAAAGGCGCGAGCCAGACCGAAATCGCCGAGCTTCAACAGGCCCTTACTGTTGAAAAGCAGGTTCTGGGGTTTGAGGTCGCGGTGTAGAACTCGATTCTGGTGGCAAAAGTCGATGCCCTTGAGCAGCTGGTACATGAAGGACTTGATGATGGGGGGCTTGAGAGCGCCGCGCTCGCCGTTGATGTCCATATAGCGCTTAAGATCGCCGTCCATGTGCTCAAAGACGAGCATCAGCTTGTTCTCGGTGTGGATGACATCGTGCAGGGCGACAATGTTCTCGTGCTTGAGCTCCTTCATGAGGGAGATTTCTCGGATGGCTGTCGACGGAGTGCCTTCTTCAGAGTCGAGGTGAATCTCCTTGAGAGCAACGAGCTCGCCCGTTTGTCTGTTCCTCCCCTTGAAGACCTACAAGCGCCTAGTTAGCATTTTCGCCATGTGATGTGGAGGATAGACGAACAGTCGCATAGGTTCCCTCTCCTAGCTTTTCCAGCTGCTGGAACGAGCTGGGGTGTCGTTTGCCGTCCATGATTGTGCTATGAGTGCTCAGCAACAGACAAAAAGAAGAGCTATGACAGGTAGAGGCAGAAACTGGTCGTAGACGCCGGAGCGGTAATGCCTGGCGTCAAAGGGCGGCAGTGACTTGGAGGGATAAGAGGGGTTATTTACCAGGCGAGGCTATGGATTTATCGGTGGCGACCGCGGGGCACGTTTTCACCAGGGTCCCCGCTGGCGATGGAAGCAAGGGCAACATTTAAGCAGGGGACGTAGAGGAAAGGGTGACAAGCGGCATATTAGAAATGGAATTTGGATCCAGTCGAAGGGGCAGTGTGGCTGTGAATTAAGATGAAATTTCTCATAAATTTTAATCGCTGTCCTGTAATATGTAACACACTGCGCGGAAGAGCTATATATGCTAAGTACACATAGACGCTGCAAAATAACCTGGTAGAGCCGTATTGGAAGCCCAATAAGGCTAAAAATAAATAATAAAAATGAATCATAGGCGAGTTCACATTTGAATCATACTGTTTAGATATCTCGTACTAGCTGTAAAAATCATAATCCCAATTCCCATCTCAATAATTCGCTGTCAATTTGGGTATTCCCATGCATCAAGGCCCTTCCCACTCGAATAATTACTCTTACGCCTCAATGCCCACGGCCTTTAATGCAGCAGTGATGTCTCCAATGTCGTCGGCTGCCTTGGAGATATGAGCAAGTTGCACTACACCCTTGGCATCCACAGCGAAGATACCACTAGTCTGCCAACGGTTGCCGCTCTCGGTGGGCTTGTTATAAATACCCTCTTCCTTGCCCATCTTGAGCAGCGAGCTAATTACCCACGGGTTGAAAACGTGCCAGACACTGGCTACTCCCAACCCCCACTGTGCGTAGAGATCGCGCTCCACATCGACAATGACATCAACGGCCCAGTTGCCGCCAACTTGAGGAACCCATTTCTCAGTGTGGTCGGTGCTTGAATGGGACACAGCATAGCAGTGGACATCCTTGTGCTTGTCGGATACCGCGGTGAGCTGTTTGAATGCCTTTTCAGCGACTGCAATCGCTGTTAGCAAAGATGATTCATGTTTAACGTCTAGTATGGTTCACTTGCATGGACATCCGCAGTGGCGAAGGAAAACTACGATGGTAGGTTTTCCATCGTCCAGAGGGATTTTCTCCGATTTGGGAGCAGCAGCACCAATCTTGGGAATGGGTTGGATATCCTTGTAAGCTGGAGTCTTGAGCGATGCCATCTCATCCCAGAAGCCGCCCTTGGCTTGATCGGCAGGAGCGGCTGGTTGTTGTTCGGTAGCGGCAGACATTTCGGTACCGATGCTTGATATGTTTTCGAACAGTCAAGGCTATTAATTGACGGCTTTCGTGTATGGAAGGCGATTGTCTATGAGTGGTGTAGATGTCAAGTTTTTTCCGTGGGCACTGCCTCCAAAGACGGCAGATGGGAAGCTTGGTTGGTGCATGACGTCTTTGGGGCAGCTGGAGCTACTACAGCAGCTTTACTAGTGGCCGATTTAGTGGGTGGTGGCGGCCACCCACATCGGCTATTTGGTTGATAGAGAAACAGAGTCGGCTACAAAGGACGATTGTCGAGGTGAGCATTGGCGCTAGGAGATCTTTTTATTTTCTCTTCCTATTTGATAGCGTTGTTTTATATGATTGGCTTGCAACGATCATTTCGCTTCTTCGAGGTCGTCCGCCGTGTAAGCTGGCTGTTGGCGATGGCTTGTCTGCATCAGCCCACTTTTTAACCAGCGCAATGAGAAAACGTCTCGAGCGACAGTCAAAGGTTGTCAACTGCTCCACCACCACATCAACCCCCTGTACACCAACGGGACAATGAGAGAAATCTTAACGCTCCAGCTGGGACATCTCGGCAACTACACTGCCACCCATTTCTGGAATACCCAGGAATCTTATTTCACATATGAAGACGGCCAGGCCCCGTTGGTCGAGCACGATGTGCATTGGCGTGCGGGCTTGGGCCAGGACGGTTCGGAAACCTTTCTTCCTAGAACCGTTATTTACGATCTAAAGGGTGGCTTTGGCTCTCTGCGCAAGATTAATGCCCTCTACGATGCCACATCAGATGGGGATGAGGCAGACAGCGCCTTGTGGTAAGCATGTACAGCCAGCTGAGCTACCATTTATATATATCCAACTAATAAACTCGGTATAGGACTGGTCAGCCTATCGTTCACAAGGCGAATCCAGTAGAGCCCATTGAATACCAGAAAAGCCTTGAGACGGGCGCGCAAGCACCTAAGCTCACAACATCCAGTGTACGTTACTGGTCCGACTTCTCAAGGGTCTACTTTCATCCAAAGTCTCTGGTTCAGCTGTACGATTATGAGCTGCACTCCACAGTCATGCCATTTGAGCGTTATTCCATGGGTAAAGAGCTCTATAGCTCGCTTGACAAGGATCATGATATTTTGGATCGCGATTGGCGGCCCTTTGTAGAGGAGTGTGATCGCATGGAGGGTGTTCAGGTCTTCACATCCCTCGATGATGCCTGGGGTGGCTTTGCTGCGTCGTACATTGAAGCTATCCGCGATGAGTATGGCAAAGCTCCAATCTGGACATGGGGCCTTCAAAGTCCTCTCGCAGGCGTCTCTCGTGATAAGCGTATGCTCCGTGTCAACAACGTTGGCCAAGGAATCGCAGAGCTCAACTCCTGCGACGCAACCATTATCCCTCTGTCTGTTCCAGAGAGCAAGCTCCGTGGTGTTCATGTAGACACCAGCTCTAATTGGCATTATTCTGCCCTTCTTGCTACTGCTATAGAATCTGCGACACTACCCTCAAGACTTCTACAAATTTCGTCAATTAAGCCAATAGCCCTAGACGACTTGACTGCGAGCTTGAACACGACTGGCAGACAGCATATCGCTGCTATGACACTAGGAGTCGGTGAAAGAAATGACGATGACAAAGATCTCGAGCTTTTTAGCATTGGGAATGATCGGCGCGAGACAAAGGGTGCATCAGCGCGATGGTTTGGCCATGTTGAATGTGTACGTGATGAACAAAAACAGGACGATAAAGACGAAGAAGAGAACAAGAGGAATATTATTGGCGAACAAGTGAACAGAAAGCAAGTAATCTCCGCCACACAGACCGGACAAACACTAACACTCCACAGTTACCATACAGTCTTAGAGTTCCCGCTGATGGACTCCTTCCCAACCATTTACACTGATTACGATGGCAAAGCTAAGATACCCGCTCGGTCATCACTATATACTGATCAATCCATTTCAAAGCATATGAAGAACCTCAGAACGCAATTAGCTTGGGGTATTGGCCTAGATGACAAAGAAGATCTTGTCAACTCCATTGCAGAGATATCCGAGGCGTACCAAGATGACTGGGATAGTGGTTCAGACGAGGGAGATGACGATATATAATAAAAATGCAAGCAAGGCTAATATAACAAAAAAAAAGTATATAATATATTAGCGACTATCTACTTATGGAACGCTACAAGAGAATGGGTAGAGATTCAAATCGTAGAAAGAACCCGACTTCTCTATGTCGGCTTTGAAGATCGGTGTCGCGGGGGGCGGTGTCCAGTGCTTGCCGTCGTACCTGACATGTTTCTAAATCAGCAGTTTTTTTTTGTTGGCTACATTACCAGAAGAGATCATAAGATGTCTCTTCAGCGCCATTTGGCTTTTTCGCTCAACGAGTCTCATCTATCCAAAGAAGACCGCCAGTTCTGCTATGGCAGAAAAAGTAGGCCGCTGTGCATGCTGTGCATGAGCTATATCCATCGTGGAATCGTGGAATAAGGGTCTTTTGGGCTTGTTTATCCCCTCCACGAGTATATATGTCGCTTCTTAGGGGGGCGTCGTTGGCGCAAGCGGGATATGCCGGATTTTACTCTGGCTACGCTGCTTCAGACACTAGTAGTGTTGAATATGTTATACATACCATGATGGCTTCAACCAGCGGCAGCAACAGAGGCCTGCTGTCTCTTGGCCGGGGGTTGGTTGTCATCAGATGGGCCACGCTTCTTGCCGCTAGATTTGCGTTGCGGTTTGGTTTCACCCTCATCGAAAACATCATCCGGTAGATTGAAGTTGCGAACGTGTTGTACGTTGATGGAAACCAAGCTGGACAGCTCGTCCTTGTACTTTTGCCATTGTGTACACAGCTCCTTGAACTCGTCCACTTGGAAAGACAAATCGAGAGCCTTCGCTCCAGGTGTGAGCTCAAGACCGATGTAATGTGTGTTGGTGAAAATTTCTTCAGGAGCAGCTTCGACATCGCTCTTCTCCTTGTCGCCAGCATCGGCCTCGGTGGTTTTCTCATCTTTTGCACCGTCTTTTTTGTCCTCTTTAATCACATAGTCTAAGCTGCCCTCTTGAACCTGTTCAATTTCTTGGTCGGTTTTGCAGCGATGTTTTCGCGCAAATCCCTTCATAAATGCATGAGCCAGTTGGATGTTTTGGTGTTGCTCTAGCTTCTGTACCAACATTCTGACCTTGGACTCGATGTAGCCAGACCAAACCTTGTTTGCTTCGTTGCCTTTGCTGCAAGATATGACTGAGATATAGTACTTGTACCCTTGTGTAAAGAAGGTGTGCTTCACAAAAAGATCGGTCCAAGGTTGCTTGTCCATCATAATTTTCTCAGTAATTTCCAATCCACGCTGAAGTTCGCGTTGAATAATGCTCATTGATGATTTGGTTATGTTGAAGGTTGCGCACATGGATGGATATGCCGGTGTGATGATCGGCATGAGATGGAAGGAGTCGCCCTTGTAGACCTTTGGGTTCCAGACTCGAACAGGTAGCGGTCCGCTCTCGATTGGCTTCAAAAGCACAGGTTGAGGCCATCTCCATTGGCTCATGATGAGGAAAAATTTGTTGACAATGACGGCGGGGGCAGCCTTCGGGTATAACTGGCAGACACGCGCAACAAGCATTGCCCAAGCAACACCACCCGGGAAACCCATAATGTTTCCGTATACAGCCCTGCGTTGCGCCCAAAGCTTGATAGCGCGCAGAGCAAGTCTGAAGGTGCTTTGCTCAGGGACTAGAGCCAAGATTTCATCTGTGACTCTGGTACCGTTCAAGGAGCGAAGCTCTGCTTCGTCCAGGCCTCGCAGTAGTCCAGAATCTTTCAAGTCGAAATTAGGGGCAAGCTGCTTTTGTATGATTCTCGAGAAGATAAGATCGATGCTGATTCCGTGATACTCGAACATAATAATGGGCACAAAGGCGTCCGTAACGACCGTCAAATCATCAATGGCGCCCTCGGGAGCCATCTCCGTCAGGAGGTCGGGAAAGTATTTGAAGTAGTCTTCTCGGGTAACGTACTTCGGTGCGACAACAAGAGTATCGATATCGGAGCCAGGGCCAAATACGCCCAGTCGGAAACTGCCGTAGGTGAAGACTTTGCCGCGGGCATTCTTGATCAGGATCTCGCTCTTGGGTTCCTTGACACGTGCAACCTTTTTGACAAACTCGTCGCAGATTTTCTGTAGGGATTCAAGAACCTCGTATCTATATGCCAAAAAGTCAGATACAGCACCAATGATGCCAGATCTTGTTTATGGTCTTACCTCTTCTGCGTGGCGTCGGGGCTCTCGAAGGTCTTCTGTCGACGAAGCTCTGCGATGAGAGTTTCGCTCATTTGCTTCTCATGCTCGGTCGGAAGCTGCGTCGACATTGGCGGTGTGACGCCGTAGATTTGGTCGCTTGACATGGCGGCGAGGGCAGAAACGCACGATGGATGGATGAGTAGCGAGGCTGGTGAACAGGAAATGATCGAAACCAACAGCGAACAGCGCAGCCAGACACCCACCAACCAAGTTTATCGACTAAAGAAATAATAGAAATCAAACTGGCCACAGCAAAGAGAGAACAATAAAAAGAAAAATATAGCCGCTGGGAGATGGATTAGGGGGGGGTGGCGATGCGAAGGGGCGGCTGGGACAATCAATGGAACAAAGAAATCGTCGCTGGGCTGTCTGAACGCAGGTGAATGAATGTCAACAGGCGCCCCAGCGGTAAAGGTCGCTGTCGGGATAAAAGCTTCTCCCTTTCCGGGACTAGCGCGTCTTTCCAACCTTCGGGCTGCTGTCAAACACTAATATGGGGCCGCCACTGTAAGTTCTGTCACTAGAAATCAAGAAACAGCTAAAAGGTCAAAGGTACTGTATATTGGAGATAATCCAAAATACCGGTCTAATCTAAACATGCCAAGTATACTTCTATTGAGAAACAATTTTATCCAGCCAATCATATACAGTCTGGCTCAAGTACACCGTTGCCCCTTCTGAGCAATGAAGATGCGCAGCATCAGCCGTGTTGTAGCTGAAGAGTGTCCCATTAGCCCCGAGGGGCTTGGCAAGCATTTTTGGTTGACCTTGGAAGAAGATGTCTTGTTCTGGATCACCAATAAAAACAGGTGCCTTGATTTTGTCCGTTAAGCCGGTAAGTGTGTAGCTCTTCGCCATGGTGTAGTAGTCGAAAGGCGACTCGCTCTTGAACGACCACAAGCCCTGATCCAAGCCCCATCGAGCCGTTGTATCAAGATTGTCTTTGTTTTTCATGACGAGGTTGTTAAAGGTGCTTTTATCACCTTTATTCAGAATTTCAAGAAGCTTGGGGTTCATCGAACAGGTGAGTACGTCATGGTAGTCGTAGATACCATCGATCGCAACAACCGCCACGGGCCGATTGTCGAAGGCAGCGATACGAGTGGCCAGGTAGCCACCAAGGCTAACGCCCATGACTACCATCGCGCTTTTGTCCACTTGTGTTAAGCTAGCTGCGTAGTCAATGACAGGGACGCCAATCTTCTCCCAGTCGGGGATAAAGCCCAATCCTTGATCGCGCCGAACTGTAGGTTGACCCGGCCCTTCGTACGTGATTACGTTGTAGCCTCTCTCCAGCGCCGATTTTCCCAAAAAATGGTACAGTTCTTCTTGAGAGCCGTCGTATCCATTGCAGAGGATAATAGTTGGCCGTGGCCCTGGTTTGCCGCTACTGTAGAAGATGGCAGGTATCGTAATATTACTGTCTGTCGATGTGAGATTGGTGCGCTTGCCTGGAATATCCATAAGATTCAAGGCCTTGTCAAAAGCTGATCGATGGAGTTTCCAGTATGCGTCGATTCTGGGGTCAGACGAGTTGCCGTGCAGATAAAAGTCGGCTGCTCGATAGTAGGTCGCAGCGCGGAAGAAGGCATTGCGGGCAGACACGGGATGTTTGCAGCTATCTATAGCTTTTGCACGTTCATCCACATGAGTTGCTAACTTGTAAAAACTGTCAGAGAAGGTGGACATGTCCTTCTCTTTGAGGTCTTTGATTGCCATGAGAACCTCAGCAATGTCGGCGCCTTCATAAGGAGCTATGCCAAGCATGCGAATGATTTCAAAGTGGAAATCTTCATCAACAGACAGTTGATACATGGGGTCCACAGGATCTTGGTCCTTGGAAAGATCCCTAGGAATGAGCCTCCCTAGTCGAGCCTGCGATGGAGATGTTGGTCATTGATTGACTTGGTCAGAGTCTGATTTCAGCTTACCATGCAAAGACCTGCATAGCAGGCGGCTAAGATTGAACTGCTAAACTTCATAGTGAATGATAGAATGAGGAAGCTGAGTATACAAATCGAGTTGCCAAGATGGATTGTTGTTATAGAGCAGCACGGCGAACTACTCTTATATTTATAACCACTGGGCGGTTTGGCGAGTGCGGCTCTGTGGCTGTACAGTTTGAGCAGCTAGACGATATCGGGTATACTTGTCCGGAAAGTATACATTCCGTATTGTTTAGAGGCGTACAGAATCCGCACGACATAGGTATAGAACCCGCGGCCCAACGCAGCCCATAGCAATATGGACATACGTGTGGGCGTTGGGTACTTCACGGATGTTGCTAGTTTGGGCAAATGTTGCGCCCACAATTCGGTTCGATCGGCATTCAAAGTACAGCCTCAGTAAGCACTTTACTTGACTTTCGCTGTTGCCGTGACGCGCAACCAGAGCCGCATGGACGAGGCTCTCGGCTACCGACCCCGGTGAAGCCCCAAGAACACGGCATCCATTCCCGGCCGAGCCAAACAGAGTACTTACGAGCAGTTTCACCTATACAACATCTTAATATGTCTGTCTTCGTCTATTATCGAAGCAAGAACAAATCACTGAAATAGCAAGTGTATGCGTTGAGATGTGGCTTCAGCTGTGCTGCCCAGCCGATACTCTAAACCTCTACAATTGGATGTACCAACGAGGCTCCAAAAAGCGTACGGCTACGGCGTTTACCTCTTCGAGCCATGACATTGTCGGGCGAGACAGGAAAATCTAATGAGGAACCTCGGACTATGGCTCAAGAACAGGAAAACCAGGCGCAGCCTTGTGAGTACTAGCCCGAGGCTGTGGGAGACAGCGCTTCATGGGACCTGGTGTGTGGCAAGTCGTCAGGCTCCAGTAGGAGCGGGAAAGTCGCAACGTCAATAGCTGACGATTTTCCCGCTTCTGTGTTGACGTCTTGTTAACTAAGCCTCAGGCGGCTGTGTCCGTGCTGTGGCACCCCACTACTGACAGATGGCGCAGCTGGTGGCAGGTGCCAGTTCGTGCAAGGGAGAAAACACACACTTGGTGTCGCGTAAAATTTGAGGCCAGTGGAGCGCCATACTCGACGCTGGTTGGTCCGCCCGCGGCATTCACTAAACGCGAACGCGCTGCCCTCTGCAACGCTGGGGTGATTTTTTGTGAACCAATCCCTGCCTTTGACCTCGAAATCACGTCGTCCCTTAATTGCAGCCTTACTTCGAAACAACACCAACGACGGCTGTCGCGACAAGCAGCATCCCCCTTTCCGGCGCCTCTTCTGCATAGATCCCCTACTGCAGGCTCTATGGGTCGCATGATTGCCTGCGTCGCTCAAAACACAAAGTCCCTTTTCGCCTGAAACTCAACATCTACAGATATCCGCAGCCATGCCTCTCTCCGCCAAGCGGCCGCAGCGTGGCCAGCGCTCCTCCTTTTCCGCAAAGAATCACAGTTCCTCTCTTGATGTCGACTTTGAAGGCGATCTTCCCTCATCGCCTAGCCGCCCAGCAAAGCGCCGCAAGAAGGCTCCTGCTCCAACCAACGATACCCGTAACAATGCATCGCAAGGCACTGAGGACGACCAGACTGTCGCTCAAGTCACTCAGCACCTCAAGTCGCATCCCGTGCAGGCTAGCAAAGACCACTCAAATGCCATGCACGAGGCTAATGGTGACGGCGTCAAGGCGTACGCAAAGGTTGCCGCTCAGGACTGGACATTTTACATCACCAAACTAGCAGTCAATATCGGACGAGCCCCGGAAACCGCCCACCCGACCGAGGACGACGAGGATGAGCAAATTCATATCGACTTGGGCCCAAGTAAGATGGTCTCTCGATCGCACGCTTCTATAATATTCGACTCCAAGGACGAGAAATGGCTTCTTCAGGTCAACGGCAGGAACGGTGCCAAGGTCGATGGGCAGCTGCTCAAGTCTCGCGCGTGCTATCCTCTCACTAGCGGCGAGGTTATTGAGATTGGAAACGTCGAAATGATGTTTGTCCTGCCGTCAGAAATCAGCCCTCTACATGTTCATCCGTCGTTCCTACAGCGGTCCGGTGTCACCAGCGACGCCGGCTCATCAGCACAAAAGAAGTCTGCCGCGCCGCCGTCTTATCAACGTCCAGGAACACCTCCATATAGCGAGCGCACCAGCACCATGAACACCAAGTCCCCAGCTACCAGCACGCCTGCAGTAATGATTGGTGCTAGCGGTGCTGACCTGAGCCTCGACGATAACCAGCATATCAAGCCTCAGTATAGCTACGCACAAATGATCACACAGGCTGTCATGAACGCTCCGGAAGGTAAACTTAATTTGAATGGCATATACAACTACATCATGTCAAACTACTCTTATTATCGCCACCAACAAGCAGCCGGTTGGCAAAACTCGATTCGACACAATCTATCCCTCAACAAGTCTTTCGATAAGGTAGCAAGATCCACAGACGAGCCAGGAAAGGGAATGAAGTGGCAGATTGTCGCCGACGCCCGCGACGAAATGATCCGTAATGCTTTCAAGATTGGACGAGGCGGACATCGTGGCTCTTCCGCGCCATCATCACCAAACCAGCTCAACTACATTACGCACGGGCCCAAGGACATGGCAACAAAAGAATCGCCGACAAGAAAACTCCGCGGCTCCCCTCTTACATCGCCGCCACCGCGGTCATCGCTCAACATCTCCACGCCTAGCCGGTCCGATCGCAGTTTAGAGCGAAGTGCAACCTTGACAGCAGACGGTAGCCCGCTACCCCGCCAGAAGAAGACAGCAGAAGCTCCGTCTGCATTCTCCGGCTTCCAACCTCAATCTCCTACGCTTACATCTTCCTATCTTCATGAAGAAGGCTCATCGTTCATAACCCCTGCCCCTCCCAGAGTTCACCCTAGGTTGGCACCACCGAGCACTGCACAGCGCCCAAGCCAGCATATGCCTACCAGCTCACCGGCGCCGTTTTGGAAATATGCCGATATTGGAAGCACGCCACTAAAGCCGCCTGCCCCCTACGAGATTAGCCCGTCAAAACCTGGCAGAGGTATGCCACCTCCAAGCAGTAGCCCTGTTCAGATGGGCAAATCGCCACCAAGCAGCCCTTCTCGACCCCAGCTTCCATCAGTGTCGGAACAAGAAGGACCTGGGGAGGTAGAAGAAGAGCAGGGCTTCGATTTGACGAAGTATGTTACCATCCATCCATTAAACATTGCACTATCATTTACTAATGAACGTATAGGGGATTCCAGAGCATCAGCGCATACCACGCACCAGTTGGTAGAGGATTGGCGGTGGGGACTGCTTTGAAGGGCAAAATGTAACTTGTAAATCTAGCTGTATCTTCTTTTCTTGTTTCTGAAATGACGTTTATGTGATACGGTCGAATATTGGTGCTTGGGTTAAGGACATCGAACAACGTGTTAATAATTACATTGATTCCCAATGCAACACATCGGTTGAAGCATGTCTGTCGTCACCACAAGCTTGTAAATTCTGGAGGAAGTGATGAATGCATATTATATGAGTGAAGATTCATTTCTGTGCTATCTAGACGTGTAATTTTCCGTTGTGTTTTATACATGGCCCCTTGGCCGCCGCCTCCTCCAAAAGGTTAAACTTTTCAAGTCTTTAGAAATACAGTGTTAATTTTGCGTTAATTTTGAGCATCTTATATATAGATATAGACGAAAATTGAATCATGCCGTAATCAGACGATTGTAGCAGCATAGTTTAGTTGCGCTTCTTGGGGTTGCCCTTGCCACTGCGCTTCTTCGACTTAGGCTTCTTGTCACCTTCGATGAACTTGATAAGTTCGTCCACGCTGCGAGAGTCAACCTGGGTAGAAGAAGAGTTGGATAGCTGCTGGGTGGAGCTAGCGGGGAAGCGGATGCCAGAGGCGATGCGCTTGTCCTGTGCGTCCTTTGCATGTTTGGCGATGGAGACAGCGTTGTGGGTAAGCTGCTCAAGCCAATTTTCAGCCTCCTTAGTGTTCTTGTCATCTGCACCAAGCTCGCTGAGGAAGATGTTGTACGACTCGCGCATGCGCTTGACAGCGCCCTTCGAGTCCTGGTCAAGGGCAAGAGCTTGGGCTAGCTGGAACAGGAGGGTAGCTGAGTTGACAGACTGCTTGCCGAACACGGATTCACAGACGTGCAAAGACTCTTCAAACCACAGGCGCGATTGGTGGTACTCCTTGAGGTGCTGTAGCATGACAGCACCGTTGTTGATCGTCGTGATAGAATCGGGGTGGCCTGCGCCGTAGATGACCTTCCACAGAGTGAGTGCGTGCTTGGAGTATACAAGGGCAGCCTTGCTGTCACCGACTTGGTGGAGGAACAAGCTGAGGTTGAGATAGTTGAGCAGAGTTTCGGCAGAGTCGATACCGACAGTGCGCTCAGAAACAACAATGGCTTTGCGCGCAAGTTCGACAGCCGCCTCCTTGTCATCCAACTGGTAGTAAAGCATAGACAAGCTATTGTAGACACGAGCAACCTCGGGGTGCAGAATGCCATAGATTTGCTCATGTAAGGAGAGAGACTCCAAGAGAAGTTCCTGGCCGAGCTTCTTCTGGTTCTGCATAATGGAGATGCGACCAGCTTCTAGAGCCTCTTCGGCCAAAGAGCTACGGGGAGCAGAGTGTTTGATGATTGGTACAACATCGACGATATCATCGGGAGTGAATGTAGTGGGCGCGGCGGCAACTGGAGTAGAAACAGCGTCACCATTCTTTTTCTTCTTCTTTTTCGAGTCGCTGTCAGTCTTGGTAGCTGAAGAAACAGTAGTCGCTTCGGTCTTCTCAAAAACGTAGTTTTTAGCCACAACTTGCAATCCGAGTCTCAGAGAGACCTCACGAAGAGTCTGAACGGGACGAGTAATATCGGACCATTCAGCATCAAGCTCGTATCTAAAGCGCTTGTAAACCTGCGCTTCAATCAAACTACGAAGCTCGTCAGGGGTGACGGTCTCGAAAGACAAATCAGCTTCGGTGAAGAGAGAACGGAGGTCCGCATCGACCTCAGCCTTGGGTTCGGCGTTCAAACGAGAGCCCAGTAAGCAGTTGAGCAAATGGGCAACGCAGGCCGGTGCCAGGGGACCAGGGACAGTGCGCAGATAAGTGCCAGCAATGTGCTTAAACGAGCGGACAATCATGTCTTGCAAGCAGAGCTCTTTCAGACAGCTCAGGCGGTCATCCTTTGCAAGAGAGGCAACCTTACCAAGATAACGCATGTTGATACCGCGCTTATGAAACAGGCGACCAAGAGAGGGGCCATCCATGGGGAAACTAATTTCAGAGTCGGTAAGCTCTTTGAGCAAGTTGGGGATGACTTTGCTCTCAAGGTATTCACAAGTCTCACGAACTTCCTTCTCATCTTGGTCTAGCTGGTCCTTCTCTTCCTTGGTCTGGGGAATTTGGCCGCTGAAAGCGTCGGGGTTCAGGGCGAATTTGAACTTGGAGAGGTCAGGTTGCTCAGGCTTTTCATCTTCAGTTTCAGCTTCACCCTCGCCAGCATCCTTCTTATTCTCAGCAATTCTAGCCAGCTCCTTGTCAACAAACTCCTTCATTCTGAAACGACCAAAGGATTCGACAAGTTCAGGTCGCAACACAGTCATGCGGTGGGGATACTGCTTGGCCTCAGGAATGGATTCGTTCTTGGTGGTCGCCTCCATCCAGGCAATATCGAACGGGGTGACACGGTACAAGTCGAGGACGTACTTGCGGCCATCAGTACCCATCAAACCCTTGGTTTCAACGCTACCTTCGAGATCAAATCGTTTGCCATCCTTGTCCCAAACAGGGTGGCTCTTGACCTTGAGAGCCTTGGAGAGCTTAGCGAAAGGTTCCGCGAAGCGAGAGTCGGCAGCAACAACATCCTTTCCGTCAACAGCGCCATAATCGATCTGATTTTCACCAGGCTCGCGCTGTTTGAAGATGCCAGGAACAATGCTCTGGCCAACAACACGCTTGCCAAGGTAATCAATGACAACAGTAGCGGGAGTGAATAGACCATCAATGTCGAGCTGGTTAACTAACCTAACACCAGCAACATCCTTTCCTGTAGCAACACGTGCAGCTTCATCACCGCCTTCGGTAGTAAAAGTACCAACACCGTCGGCACCAAAGGAAAAGAAGATGTTATTATAGACGAAGATCTGGGCATCTCGGACCTCAGTGGGGTTCAGCGGCGCAAGCTCGCCGCGGGCTACCATAACAGCGCCTTTAGTAGCGGCATCATTGTAGTCAGCGAAGAGCTTTGACACCAGACGCTCACGGAATACTCGGTCCTGAACAGTCTCCTTGGGTAACTCCTTGGCAGACTGGAATTCCTCGTTCCAGTCTCTCAGAGTCTCTGCATTGTCGACACCAGAAAGCAGATATGTCTCTTGGGTACGAGCAGGGTCGGAAGAGTGAGCACGGAGGCCAGACGAGGGTGATGGAACCGTCCAAGGAGCCGACGGGACAGCATTCGTGATCTGGAAGGTCGCGAGGGGGTCTCTCTTGTTGTTATATTCCATAAGTTGTTGGAAAGCAGGGCCAAACTGAGGAGACACCATCTCTAGAAGTTCAAGAAGAGAGCGTGCAGCGTAGGCCTTAGGGCTAGATCTCGGGAACGGGTCAAACTTGGCATTGGAGGACTTGTTGACAAAGAATCCAGAAACGTGGGCGGTGATCTGGACAGCTTCGCTTTCCAGCGTATTGAGGGTGAGGTATAGCAGGTGACCACGCTGGCGAAGGTGGCATGGAGGCGGGTTCCACGCAGACAGCGCCAGTGACTTGATAGTTTTCGGAGCCACTTCAGTAGTCTTGGGAATGAGTGCAGTAGGGGTGACAGTGCCCTGGAAGTCATAGGCGGGGGCCTTGACCTCTTCGCCAGATTCGCTAGCAGCCTCCTGTACGGGAATAGAAACGGATTCGAAGAGCGACAATCCAGGCAAAACACCATGGGTGAACTCGACGCGGTCCGAAGCAGCGCCAATCAGCTCGCGTGTTCTAACGACATGTATGCGGGCTTCGCGCTCGGAGTAGGGTTCGTCAACGAGGTGGAAGGTGGGCTCGGTGCCAATTTCAGGGATATCGGCAATTGGAATAAAGTCACTAATCTTTTGCCCCTGGTATTCGAGGTGGAAGCAAGTGTATCGGAAAGCGGCAGGAAGGTCGATTATAGACTGTCGGACTTCGTGAACCTGCTCTTGGGGGGCAACCTGTGATGGTGGTGTGAGCGGTTAAACGTAATGATACACCATTGAAGCACGTACCATAATCCGAATTTTTGTAGACTCTTTATCGGGGAGGACAATGGTCAAGTTGAGTAATGCTGTGTCACCGTTAGCGGGAATATAGCCTCGTAACTGGCAAGGACTCGGCGCATACCGTCGGCAGCGTCGGTAGCCTCAGTGGCCTCAGCACCAGCATCTTCAGGCTGCTGCTGCTTATGTTCGACATTTCCGGTGGCATTGGGCTCTGCGCAAATGTCTACATGTCAGCGGTCGTTTGTCGGCGCAAAAGTTGTGTATTGTTTGACTAACCGTCCTCGGGGCGCTTATCGGGGGTCGAGCTGGGGACGGCCATGATTACACAGAAGAAAGTACCCCTTTATAACAGAAAGCGGTTATAAAACAGTTGAGAGAAGAATTAAAACCACGGAAGGTGATGTGGTTTATGAAGAAAGGAAAGATTAATGCCCACGTGTACTTAGGGGTGCGGCATTGGACGACTGGAAGGGGATGGAATGGACAGGCAGCTTTTGCTGGAGAAAAAAAATTAGGCGAATGGCATTGGTCCGCCGGGGTGCGCTGTGTGTGGAGTAGACGGGGCGGCCACTGTGCAAGCGACTCCAACAAGTCCCGATGTCTCTGGTGCCGGAGGGCGATGTCCCTATGGATGCCTCCATTGTGCGGCTTAAACCAGTGTTTCGCTTTCATTGGTGCTTCAGCCCCAAGAGGTGTGTGGCCTGGACCCCTCAAAATGGTCGCGCCTGCAGTTACTACGTCGGGCAACGCTCGGCATGAGACTGTTAGACGAACGCCCATTAATTAGTCTGCATACAAAGCACAGTAAACCGAAATCGCAATTTGGGCATGGGAGCTTGCAATCCTGTAGAAACCAACGTAGCCAAGCACCTGCCTATTGGGTCATTTTTTACAAATTCCAATTACCTCTCCTGGGCTGCCTGCGACACTGACACAGACCAGCCCGCGGGTTAACGAGGGTTAGCGCTCCATGCATCTAACGAGGGAGGCTACCGCGCCATAGGCGGCCCATTTTGGGTCAGCCCGGTGTCGCACGAGGACATTTATGGCGTCAGCCGAGCACTACTGTTGCGGCTGCATCTACGATTCCCCCCCCCCCCAAACCACCTAAATACAGTAGATTGCTCGTTATCTTGTTCACACGCTCGCAGTCCTACAAGACGGTCGACCAAGAAGCGCAGCGTCATTCTTTTTCTTGTTTTTGAAAAACTACACTTGGACGGGCGACAAGTACTGATACTGCAAGCGGCAGCTGCTCCAAAGCCAACCTCGCCGCCATGTCTTCCAAAGCGGCTGTGCCATTTCTCGTGTCTATGATGCTGTTGACCGGCGTCTGCAACACTCTACTCACGAAGTATCAGGTAAATTTCATGACACTGGTTTCAAAATGTGCAGACGGAGTTCTAACAATGCATCCCGCTTGTAGGACAACCAATGTGTTCACCACTGCAACAGCAAAGATCCCAAGAAGGCGGAGTTCTTTGACCAACCCGTTCTCCAGACTGCACAAATGTTTGTCGGTGAAATGGGATGCTTTGCTGTTATTGCCATCATGAACATCTACAACTACATCAACGGAAAACGATCTCAAGAGCCTGGCTATACCGCCGTTGACGCTGACGAGCACGACTCGCTTCTCGGGGAAGATGACGCGCCTCCACCCAAGCAGTCGATGCTTAAAGGCTATCGAGTTGTTTTGCTTGCTTTGCCAGCCATTTGTGATATCCTTGGAACTACGCTCATGAACATTGGCCTCCTGCTTGTGGCCCCGTCGATTTACCAGATGGTCCGTGGTGCTTTGGTGCTTTTTGTTGGACTGTTTTCCGTCGTCTTTCTCAAACGCCGGCTCCACCTGTTCCAGTGGCTCGCCCTCGGTGGCGTTGTAACCGGTGTTGCTATTGTTGGTCTCGCAGGTGCGCTCTGGCCAGATAAAAAGGCCCAGGTTGGATCCAACACCGACGGCCTGTCGGACGCTAGCCGCGCAATCACTGGTGTCGTTTTGATTGCTGGTGCTCAAATCTTCACCGCCACGCAATTCGTTCTCGAGGAATGGATGCTTGAAAACTCCTCCATTGACCCCATCCGCGTTGTTGGTTGGGAAGGTGTCTTCGGATTCACTGTCACAACCCTTACCATGGTAATTCTCCATCTTGCAGTTGGCCAAACCTCTGCTGGTCAATACGGACGGTTTGATATGGTCGAGGGTTTGAGGCAAATGACTACGAACCGCACTATTCTAACCACAAGTATTCTCATCATGCTCAGCATTGGGTAAGTACTAACCTCTAGTTGGGGTCTCACTGATATCGCTCACTAACCATAACGTAGTGGCTTCAACTTCTTTGGATTATCGGTAACTCGAAGCGTCAGCGCCACATCTCGATCTACAATTGACACATGCCGAACCCTGTTCATCTGGATTGTGTCCCTCGCACTAGGATGGGAACGCTTTAAATCTCTACAGGTAGTCGGCTTCGGTCTGCTCGTGTACGCTACATTTGTATTCAACGGTCTTATCCGGCCTCCTTTTGAATTCCTGCGTGTCCGAGAGGAAGAAGACAATGAGGAGGAGTTGTAGGAGGTAGGAATCCCAAGGAATTTCGTTGTAGGATGTGGTTGCGTGACCGTATTGTTACATATGCTTGCATTGGATACATTGAGGTGTTTGGAAATAGGCTGTTTTTGTCTAAGTTTAATACACATAAACTTGTGTTCTAAAGATGATTTTGAAATACATGTGTACAGAAATACGCCGCTAATATGACCATAATGAATGAAAACACCAGAACGCCATCTGTTTGCCGCAAAATCAAATTCCGTTGGGGAGCGCACATGTCTGTACCCTTGACTTGGGTTAGACGCTTTCGCCCATGCGGAGCGTAAGTAAAGCCGCTTGTTCATCATTAAGCAACGTTGCACAGAAGCTCAGCTTCCAAAATGAACTTGCCCTCCTTGTACTTTTGCGAACTCTCATAGGCTGTATCATATTTCCAACCGACAACTACACTGCACTGGCGGCATGTAATATCAAAAACGACATGCCGTCCGGTAGTCATATTTCGCTCCATACGCTCTCCAATATCGACGTTGACTACGTTGTGAAAGAGGTATGCCTTGCCATGCTGGCCACGGAAACTCTACTCCCATGTTAGCATCCGGCTCAGATCGATCCGAGACGAGCCGCGCTACAAAGATTCCCAGGGGCATAGCAGGATTCATATTAATGATAGCCACCACTGGGTTTCAGAAAGTTTCGCTATAGCGGCCGCTGCGGCAAAGATTACAACTCACTCGGCTAATGATGTCGTCATGGTTGGCGAGGTGGGTTTTGCATCCTTTGCAGCCGTATATCTTGCTGCTATTCAAATAAGTGTTGTATGACAGGCCCATTATTTCAGGGTAGCGGTAAGCAGGTGCCCGTAAACAAAGGTAGTGTATCTGGGTGACGGTGAGCCGATGCTGTTCTGTGCTTTTGGTGATGATTGGCAATGGCGGGATGTGAAGCTGGAGAGCCACCCAGGTTGCTTCGTGACTAACTTGGGCTACAGGCGTCGTTTCGGGAGGGTGGACGCTGGGGACCAAGGTGGGGGGAAGGCAAACACGCACCCCATGCTTTCGGGTCCCCCCCGCCGAGCGGCGCGTGACGGCCACAACGCTGCAGTACACAGGCCAGCTACAGTACGTACAGTACGTACAGTGGCTTATCGCTGTAGCACGCTGCAAGCTTCCGCGTACACTGTTGTTTGCGTTTAGTTCGTCGTGTGAAAGCTACAACCAATGGAGTCCTTTGTCTAACCTCGCACAAGACTCCTTTAGGGTGATTTAAAGAATAAAATTAGTATAATGTATTATGTGCAAGGTTGATTATAATAAATAGGTAACACAAAAACGCCGCCAGTTATCCTGCCGCCCTGTAAAATATTGCTTGCCGTGCGCTTGACCTAGTTCTTTTTAGCCTCAGGCGCCTTGTCACCAATGTTATTGTAGTGGAAGATACCGCGCTCGCGATCTCTGGCAAGGAGTTCCATATCCTCCTTGCTGATTGGTACACCTTCGGTAGACTTGACCTTCTTGCCCTCGAGAAACATCATGATGCCACCAATTCCAGCAACTCCGCAGCCCAAGCCGACAAACAAGCCAGTCGCCCAGCTGGGTCTGTCGTATCTGTTCATTCCCCACATGAATCCGCAGAGAACACACTGTAGCAGTGTATTGGCAACCATGAGCCAGATAACCATGTCTAGCTTCCAGACCTTGGAGTCGTTGGCGCGAACAGCCGTGAGGGGAGCATCGGGGATCTTCTCAATAGGTTGGGGGAGCGCTTCGATGTCGCAGCCGGCTGCCCTGTTGGCAATGTTTCGAGGGCCAATATCGGCCTCGATCTTAGATGACCCAGGGAGTCTGAACCAGTCTCGGTGAATGGCTGCTAGTTTGCGTAGGCCAATGGTGTTGCGACCAATACGGTACTGGAGCAGGAAGTAAAGGTCACGGAATCGCCAGGGGGCCAATCCAAAGCCTGTGACGCAGAAGAGGGCGTTGAGAATCTGAGAGTCCCACTCAACCCACTTTCTTCGAGGAGAATCGATATCGTCGCATGTAGGATAGCACATGGCAGGGGCTGTTACGATTGTGTTAGCGCTTCTTCTAAGGATAAGTGACCATAGAGTATGCGTTACTTACAGGCATTGCAAAGAAGTAGGAAGAGCATACCACCCCAAGCGACAACATTGAGGCCGTAAATTGTGACGAAAAAGCCGACGGGGGTCAGGAAATAGTGCCAGAATGCAATAGAGCCAGACTTGAAGTTTTGCGCAAACGAATGCTTAGGTGGAAAGTGGTATCCATTGGGGAAAGCAGCCGCAGCCTGTGGTTCAGCAATCTTCATCTCTGGTGTAATGGTTCGCGCAACCACAGATCCTTCCTCAGCAACAGAAGGGATAGCTTCTTTGTTGACTACGCCGCCCTCTGCTGGGGCCTCAATAGGTGACACGTTGGTGTGGCTGACCGCGCGGCCAGACAAGACGGACGAGGCGATGCCCCCAGTAGCTGCAAAAAAGCCGCCAGGAAGCTGAGATTGTTCGAAACTCAGCGAAACGCGTCGCAAACCGCCGCTGATGGAGCCAGATCGATTTTGTGCAGAGACGGTCGGCGTGAGGACTTCGTTTGTGGGCGGGATTGAACCGGCTTTGTCATTGGTGGTGGCCATTTCCAAGGAAAACAGGCTCTCGGGTGCTGATCAATGCGAGTTTGTCGGATCGATGATGGCAACTCCTAAAAGTTGATGATTTTATATCACAAAAATCACCAGAAAAATCTAGTAGGGGAGTCGCTGGAGATAAGAGAAAATCAAGGGTGCACGATTTCGGGATCTCCGTTTGGCGTGTTCTGGGCCCAATCACCTGGGCGATGCGCTAACCACCTATCTAAGCTTCTGTCGTCAGGAGACTCCACCTATAGCAAAAAATGCCGTCTCGTCAGAAGCGGAGTCAAGCTAGATCGCATTTGTCTCAGCGGCCTTTTGCGTAATTTTTGCCTGGTAAGCGCGGTCGCATATTCGCCGTCCGTGCAATTTCGTGCTTTGAGGCTCATCGGCAAGTCACTACATTGTTTCCGGTCCTGCATCCCTGTGTCCGCCGTCCTTCCGAAAACGCCGATTCCTGTGGCGGCAGTTTCTCCAGCCCCCAAAGAAAAAAAACTTTAGGTCTCTTTGCTGTAGCGTGCGTGCCTGCTAAAGTCTTGACACAAACCTACAGTATAACGGCAAATAACGGACAGCATGAACAACGGGCACGTAGCCTTGACGGTGCTGTCCAATTTGCAGGACCAGCACGATTGGACACAGCTGGAAATTATCCGGCTGCCCGAACTGAAAACCGACGTCGTCAAAGGGCTGCCCCCTCGGCTGCTCTATCTGCACCCTGATGACCAAATTGCTGCGCTGGCGCAGGACACAGCTGGCATACAAAAGCCCGACAACGACCCTGTAGTCGAATGGGTTTTGCCAGTCCAACTGGCAGATACGTGGTCACTATCAAAGCTGGCGTCTGTCTTTGACGCTTTGAGAACCAACTGGACCCACGATCAACGCAAGCGCATCATTCTGGCAACATTGCACAACGACTCTACGGTGGTGTACTATTTTGTGCATGAGGGAATGGTAAAGCCGCGTCAGAATTGAACTACGGGAGGAAGACTACCTTGTGCACCTTCATTTTGTCAAAGTCAATATATGCCTGCTTGGCGTCGGACAGAGGTCGGATGTTGTCAAACATGAATCTGCACAAGATGTTAGGTTCGTTGTGGTTTCTAGACAGAAAACTACTTACTCGACCTTGTCTTGCACCTTGCTGAGCACACCAAGGGCTTCGGGAAAGATTGATCGAACTGGGCATCGGCCCATCTGCAGGCGGATGTTTTTGCTAGATGTCAAAAGTCAGAACCACTCGGAGGTATGACGAAGAGCAGTACTTACGCATAGCCTTCGGCGCCACTCCACGGAATCTATATATGGATTGTCAGAACATACTGGTACAAGCGATGGGTGTACGCTTACCTCGGCATTATGTACGCCAATGCTACTGATGGCACCGAACGGGCGGATCAAGTCAAATGCAGTTCGCAGAGCTGGCGAGAGGCCTACGACTTCAACTACTAGATCTGCTCCACGACCGTCTGTTACGGCGTCAACTCTACTCTTCATACTCTCAATTCCGTCGTTAAAGTTCAGTGGAGTGGCTCCAAGTCCCTCAGCTATGCTAAGACGGCTATCAACATTGTCCACGACGAAGCAGTGCTTAGGCTTGAGTTGCAAAGCAGAGATGGCAGCGCAGATGCCGACAGGTCCAGCTCCAATGACGACAATGGTGGCTTGCGAAATATCGAGAGAAGGGCGTAGCTCCACGGCACTCTTAACGCCAAAATATCCAGTTGGGAAGATGTCGGCCATCAGAATCAGCGCCTGGTCGGAAATGGATTCCGGCGCCTTGACAACAGTACCGTCAGCCATAGGCACCCGAACATAATCTGCTTGTCCACCATCGAGCTTAGCGCAGCCGAAGAGTACACTGTCTACACAGCGTGAAGTCGCACCGTTTTTGCAATAGAAACACTCGCCACTAGACAATGTTAGCATATCGCGGCTACAACTCCCTCGCACTCCCGCAGATACATACCAAGATGCGGTAAATGGGGACACAATTTTGTCGCCAACCTTGACAGTTTTGACTGCGGGGCCAGCTTGAACAACTATACCAGCAAATTCGTGACCCATGATGAAGCCCGTTCCCGACGGTTGGTGACCTCGGTAAACATGGAGCTCGCTGTCGGAGGTCATTGTTTAGCTTGTACGAGTTCTACTTGTAGGCGTTGTCGACTTACGATCCACAGAGTGCGGTAGCTTGTACCTTGACAATGATGTCTCTATCATCCGAAACTTGAAACAGTGTTAGATTAAAAGGGCAGACAATAAGGCCATGATAGCGATTATACGGACTCTTGGGCACTGGGCGATCCTGAACCGAGACCTCGAACGGCCCGTCAAAGATGACGGCCTTCATTGTTTCGGGGAGTGACATGATCGGCTATAGACGTTTTATTTCCGCTATTAGTGGCGTTTCTCAATCCGAAATTCAGATATCAATGCAGGTTCAGTTCGCCTTTGTTGTGTTTTGTGCGTTCCCAAGTTTTGCCGTTTCCCCCGCCCTGTCATTGCCGATCGGACTTTGGCAAGCTGCGGGGACCGCCGTGCGTGGAGCAGCGGCCGAGGGCTGTATTGAGGCTGAATAGCTGGTATCTGTTTGGGTGGAGGTTCGAGATCGAATCGTGAGTACTAAAAATATTAATATTATTTTCTAATATAACGAGATTTGGCGGGTTTTGGCGGCTGGCACCGCCTGCAGAGAACGATCGGTATGGTGAACCCTGTGATATGGCTGGGTTGACAGTGGCTCGCAGGGCCCGTTTGTTACACCACGCAGCCCGCCATTGGCAGCAGTAACCTTAAATTCAACGCTGTTTAAGACTAGCGGTGCTTTAGACATTGTAACCTGGCGTGTACAAGCCATCGAGATGGAGTAGCGGTAGGGATCTTTCGGCTTGTTTTCTTATGCCTTGGTGTGCAAAGCAAACGGCTTCCCATAGGACATAGATTATCCAGCTCATCGGCATTGGAGACGGACGGCGGTTGTAAGCTTGGCTGATGGAAAGAGGCGCTTTTGATATGCAAGGGTGTACAGCCAGAGGCTTGGTTGTCTCACGGATCTACTATAAGGGGCTCTCAGCACGCTTCCCCGGTCGCGGAGGGTATAGTGTTCTTTGCACCCAGACGCACGGTACAAACTGTGCCTCTACAGTTATAGCTTATGCGAGGAAGCGACGCACAGGCCAAAGAAGAGGGAAGAGACAAGGCGAGAGAGAGAATGTGGCATTTTTCAGAAAAAATCCCCCCTCTCTATCTCCCCCCATGTCAGCTCTGTAGTGCACTAAATAAACGCCGCAGATGGCACCCGAGAAAGGACAGTGCGACGCCTCTTCATCTATAGATAGGCTTTGTTTGCGTTGCTGGCGGCGCCCCCCTTCATTCCAATGGGGGCCAAGTGCCTGGACAAGTCGCTCCGTTGGTCCCCATTGGATGGCTTTCTCCAGTGGAGCTGACTCCGTCGTCAATGTCACCTGTACATCCGAAGCCGCAGGCTGTGGCACAGGCCGGGGTGGCTCCATATGCACCGAGAGTAAGAGCTTACTCTTACTTTGCTTACTCTTGTTCCTTTTCGGCTAGCCACCTTTTTAGGGTCATTGGCGAATCTAAGGCCGCTGTCAGGTGCTACGAAGCGCTTCGTAGGCATAGGTAAAGCCAGCGAGCGCCATGGATAAGCAAGAGGGGAGGTTACTAACTGACGAGAGTTACAGGAATGCGTCGTCTCACCCCTCCCACTCATACCCTCCCACCACCACTGCCTCACATCGTAGATCTCAAAGGAAGGATAGAGGAGCGTCAAGTCTCATATATCCCCCATAGACTTGCCGTCCTCGCAACTTAGCTCTAAATGGCTCTGGCCGCTAAGTTAAGGCAAGCATCTAAAATGCACCACCCACCAGAGCCTTCAGCCGCTTCAGCTCCCCCTCCACACCAGAGCTAACTTTTTGTACTTGGGGTCCTGTCGGGCGTCAACGCCCCTTCCGCGTTCCGCGTCCACTGGCCAAGAGCCAAGCAAACATGGGTTGCAGCAGATGCCACCAATCTCACCTGGCGGCGGCGTCGAGAAGAGCCGCACACCAAAAAGATGCTCGGCTCTGGCTTTTGGCTTGCTCTGCGCACCACTCTGGCATCCTTCGCCGCGCGCCCCCCCTTGGCCTCTTGGTCATGGAGGCTTACCCCGTATTCTTACTACAAGATGATTATGCCCACTCCATGACAGCGCTCGCATACTGTGAGATTCCGCTTCTTCATCTGGAATAGAGCAGCCCTGTGCCGTAAGCCTCTGGTCCCCATACTGGGCTAACGTCATTCGCAAATACTACTGTCCTTGTACGGCCCAGCTTCACAGTAAATCAGGTCCAGCAGCCGCGTACGCTATCCCCCATACCTGCAACCAAACCCCGTCACTTTACTCTCTTTCGTGGCGCCTTGCCTGCTTCGGTTGTCTTGGCCCGGACTCCCTCCTCCTTCTCTCACCTTTGTCGCTCAGCCGCCGCCCACCTCTCCATTCGCATCATCCTCATCTTACTTCCTCTACACTTCTTCGGCTGGCGTCTCTTGTAATTACTTTATCCTCTCTTTTGGGTTTCTCTTTCCTTTCTTCCTTCAATATCGTGCTCATTGCATTCTCGCCTGTCTTATATTGATCCCGGAGCATTGGTTCGGGTCAGCCAAGCCGCCTGACTGAACAACAGCGACCTAAAGCGCTCCTGACTATTAGCACAAAGCGAGGAAGTTATCCGAAAGATTGTTGGAATTAATATAGCAACACTTACAAGCGTCTTTTCGCTTGTCAAACGCCTTTCTTGTGTTCTAATTGTCCTTAAGAGTCAAGCCCAACAACCCGTCAGCATCGGCGTCTACGCTGTCAGACGAAGTATACTCGGGGCACCCAAGTCTGGCAAATTCACTCTTTTACACCACCATTTCAACCACATCTGACTTCTCGATATAAGAACCTTCCGACAGGTCGGAATTTGCAGTCGGGTCAATTCAGAGCTACAAGCAGTAGTTTGCTTCTTTTCCGGCTACCACTAGGACCAGCAAATAATGACGTCCCTCCACCGCCAAAGGGACTGCTATTCATCACAACTAGGGAGTCGTCAACAGGAGCAGCCAAGACAGCCAGCAATTACTCCAAGGAGTATCCCGCATCCTAGAACGTCGCTAACGCCCGTCGACTCATCGCCGAGCGTCTCGCCAGAGCTCCTAGGCTACTCAAACTCGACCCGGTGTAGGATCTCTACACCACCAGATCTCCCACACACCTCTACAGTGTATAAAAAGATGCACACAAACTACCGCACCGACAACGGCGACGATGCCCTTCTTTCACAGTACCATCGGGATATATCTTCGTCAACACAGTTCCTCTCCATCCACGATGACTGTTCGCCCACCTATCCCGACCAAGTCCCCCGCAGCCGGCATGACTACGCCAGACCTTCTGAAAAGAGAATGGCTCCCGATATACTAACGCCAAGCGGGGAATTGCCTCCTCTTCAGATTGACTACCCAAGACTGGACCAGGGAGTGCAGTCACTCCCTTCGATTCGCTCTACCCTCGGAGACCTCAACACTCTTCCGCCGCTGGAATCGAGTAGAGGCATTGAACCCAGGGTAACCAACCGATCTAGCCACGAGTCTGCATTTGGCCACTCTCAACATCGCAATCATAACATGGCGCCTTCACCTCCCATGTCCCCAGACCAAAGTTACCGAGTGTCCTTGCCGCCTCGAGGCTCTGTAACAATACAAATGCCACCCATCTCATCTACCGGACGCTCGCCATTTGACAGCTCTATGCGTAGTAATGCTTCAGCTCACAACAGTGAAAGTCCTGTATCAGCAGGCATCACGTCGCCGTCGTTATCACAGGCCGATACTGTATCCAGCACTACGGCAGGCAGCTTTGTCTGTTCATATCCCGGATGCAAAGCCCAACCGTTCCAGACACAGTATCTACTCAACTCTCACGCCAATGTACATTCTTCTGCTCGACCTCATTATTGTCCTGTACAGGGTTGTCCTCGCAGCGAAGGTGGGAAGGGATTCAAAAGGAAAAATGAAATGATTCGGCACGGGCTTGTTCATGATTCACCTGGATATATCTGCCCATTTTGTCCCGACAGAGAACATCGCTACCCCCGTCCGGATAACTTACAGAGGTGAGATACTTTAGCAACCGTGATGAGAAACTCTTTGGGCTAACAGCAAGGGACAGACATGTACGAGTGCATCATGTTGATAAGGATAAAGACGACCCCCTCTTGCGTGATGTGCTAGCCCAGCGACCCGACGGTCCTAATCGTGGCAGAAGGAGACGGGGCAATAGTTCCTCGTAGTGTGTCTTTTAAGCGATGAGCACAATGATTTTAGCGGATTTATTACTACTAGCATTGTAATCAGCCGACCTCTGCATGGCAATATATATATATACCTTGATGATCTAACATACATTTATGCTCGACCCCATGACTTGTAACAAGCTATAATTAACATCCATAAAAAGAATATGCTTTTTGACTACCATATTTCCCATTCACCCGCTTCAACTGATGAATCGCTAAAGACGTCACTCTCAATGGCCGTGATAGAGTGACGCATGCCAATTGTTTCTAGAATCAGCCACATGCCCTCTCGCTCTACCCTGCTTGGCTCAATATCAAATTCAGGTGTACGAATGACTGTGGATGTTTCCTGGAACTCTCCTTCACCCGACTCTGCAAGCAAAACTTGCTGCGATCCCCAACCGTGGACGATTGATAGGCGAATCATCAGCGACGGCGCACTGCGCGAACCATACTCTGCATTTTTGGGTAAAACATGCCTGGCACATACATAGCTTCTCGTCAGCCAAGCTGCACTGATTGGTACACGATATCTCTCCTCATGCTCCGCTAACTTTAGAAGGTTAAGAGTCTTGCGCAGCCTGCCCGCCGCATCAGCAGGCACAGGCTCCAGGCTAACAGAGGTGGTTGACGACGCTCGTACCGCAAAATTGGCGATTTGGCCGGGCTCAAATGTCGAACATATCAGGGTATATGATCCTGGCTGTAGGATGGAGAGGCTGGCAACAGCGCAGCCTTTGCGGTATTCACCTGACGATGTTGCAACATCCTTGGCTCGTACAGAGACCGCTCGGCGACCGAATGCCCAAACCAAATCGACATGCACATGGATATCTCTCGTATCTGAAGCGATCAATATGGATATTGGTGACGCTTTGTCGATTGTCAGCTTATACTGGGGGTTGATGAAGTATGTTGGGCATGACGAATTGCCTCCAGCTGTGCGTCTGGTCCAGCTACCACCTTGTTCAGCAAAATGGGACATTTCTTCATTTGCTTCTGTGAGTGAGACGCTGTTGTGAGAGAATACAGATAATGTGAATGAGTAGCTTGGCAATGGAAGCTCTTGCTGGTCGAGAACGACGGTATAACTGGTGTTGGCATCGGCATCGAGCCTAGCAAGAGTTTGCGGCGAGTCCACATACGGGCCACAGTATATCTCATCGCCACTAACTTGTACTCGCTTGCCTTTGTTTTTGAAAACCAGAATACTCATATATCCGAGCTGTTGCGATACTGCAGCCATGGATCCTGCCTGTTTTCGCATGATATCAAGCTCAGCGTCCACAAAATGTCGACTGATAAGAATCCAAACTGGTCCTGCCTGTGCAGGCGTCACAGAGAACTGTTTGTTTTCAATTAGAGATGAGGCTGCGTGGCTAGCAGGTTTTTCCCAGCGAAAATGCAGATCAGTTCGATTTGGGAAAAGAGATGGGTTCCAGTTGAGGTACATGGACTCAAAATGCTGGGCTACGTCTTCAAGAGCAACCCATAGTGTACCGGCGGACGCAGGGCTCTCATGGCCATCATCTGCTAATGATAAGCTCGGCGCTGGAGACTGCTGTGGTGTAGCCCAACCTGCACCTGTCCATATTGGGCCATTGCACCATGGATTCTTAATCAAAAGCCTGCGAGTATCTCCAGTAGTGTCCAACTCAAGGACAGCATAGTCATGCTCACCAACGAGACCCATGACTTCTTCTTCTTCTGCCGATACTCTACCTGTTCCAAGGGTTATAACGACATCTTGGACATCGTATGCGCGCTTGATACGGATCCAAGTCTCATTCAAATCAAAATCTTCACGCTGTAAGAAAATTTGTTCGGGAATCCATCCCGTCAGCACCCACAGATCAGTTCCCGAGTTACTACCTGGAAAATCGTATCCTCCGCGAACCTTTAAGTATGCTTTCTCGAGAAGCGCAGGCCAGACTAAGGTAGGATTCCGCCGATCAACAACAAATAATGTGCGGTCTGTCTTCGAGGCAGGCAGTCTGTCGTCAATGACAACTCGTCTGGAACACCCATTGAAATTCATCTTCATCACATATTTTCCTGAGCGTGATACTCGAGGTCGTCCATGGATACGATCAAACGGATGAAATATTGAGGACAGTACCTACATTATATTCGTTAGCTGGACGGAAGCAATGGATGAGGAAATACGCATGCACACTTACGGCATGCTTGCCAACCAAGACTTCAAGCGCCGCACATAAGCTGGCAACGACAGAGCAGTCCGTAGTGATGTCTTGAACGAAGTTGCAGTCTCTCGTTGCAATCATAACTGACTCATCATCGATCTCAGTTTCTTCTGCAAACAACTCCTGAGGCCGACTCCACGAAGCAAAGTTCTCTGCTTGTGACGGTGACAAAGCAAACGGGGCATCATCGCTGCAATTGGTTAATACTGAACAAATAGCTGTTGAATATTGATATTCTTACGTGAAAAGATTGCCACCTGGAGGAATTTGAAATTCCTGGTCCAATGGAGACGAGGTCCATGCTGGAAAGACATTGCCGTGAAGCTTGGAGGATTTGGTCAGGATATCGGGATAGCCACTGCTCAGGGTTGCGTTGTTTTGAGCTTTGAGCTTCTCAGCAAGTGCAATCAAACTCTGACATTTATGACGCAGTCTTGTTGCCTCAGACTTGGTTGATGCCGTTCCAGCAGCCTGCATATACAGCTCGGCAGCTCGAATAGCATGGCGTAGCGCTGCGGCACCAATGGCCTTTGCAATCAAGGCTTCCTCAGCCTAGGAATGTCAGCATTTGGGCTAGATATCTGTTGGGTGTCAATATATACCTGTGCGTTTTTCTCCATGCCTCATGTCTCATCATCCGCCGAATCTCCGAATGTCGAGTCGATTACGGTTTCACCCAGACCTTGGTTGGTGGTTACCATCCCACTAAAAGCATACCCTCGTTTAGCACTCCGTTGCCAGTTGCTATCAGATACAGGCTGCTGGGGCGCGTTAGATCGCCCCCGCATTACTCCAAAGCCTTTGAACCAAAGCGAGCGCCAAAAGAAGGAAAAAATCAACGGCGCTACGCGTGCAGATGATGAACGTGAGCATAAAATGTACTCCGGAAAGACAGATGCTATATTTTCATAGCATTAAACACATGGTGACTGCACATATAAAAATGCTTACCCAGCGAGTCTAAGCATTTCAATGCTAAGGCCCTGGCTGATGTTCGGTTCTTTACCATGCCCACCTGGTAATAAATAACATGGTGGACAACGCATGCACATAGGCCGCTGTAGGAGGGACAAAGGCCTCCATCGTTCAAATCTAATTAAGTTGGTATTCTTCTCCTACGTCCGTCTATCAGATAGGATCATGCCGGGAGCCCGCGCCGAAACCCTCCCTTATATTTTACCCATGCCGACCAAACACTCTCGGATTGGCTCGGGGCCATGGGTGGGCCTTACCGAGGTCACTGTCTCGCCCATAAAGTCCGCCTGGCTGTGCGTCACAGGCAAGTTGAAGGCGCGTTAGACGGCCAGATACCCACCCGGCCAAAGACCGCCGGACGACCGAGGTTCACTTTACCTCAACCCGTTCTCCGATATTCGTCTATCCCATTGCGGCATCTTCATCCACCGATTGAGGCTCCTCTCTGAATCATAATTGTCGGGACGGACTCGGTTTTATCCTTCCTTTGTCGCCAATCTATTTAGAACCATCTGGTCAACCCCGTTACACATCATCCGACTGTCGCCGCGTTCGGAATCGATCCATCTCGGCTAATAATGGCTGGACAATCCAAGCCCGCAATCTCTCCCTGGGGAGGAGCTGTTGCCGGTGCTACTGGCGCCGTCCTCGCAAACGCTTTAGTGTATCCTCTAGACATGTAAGATAATGTGAGTTTATTTGCAAAAGACAGAATTGCTAATTGAGTCCCGCCCCTTTGGTACAGCGTCAAGACCAAGCTGCAGGTGCAAACGAAGCAAGTCTCCGGAGTTAAGAGCGACGACGACACACCACACTATTCTTCGACCTGGGATGCCATTTCTCGCATTGTGCAGGATGAAGGCCTAATTGGCTTATATGCAGGCATTAATGGCTCTCTTCTTGGTGTCGCCTCCACCAACTTTGCGTACTTCTACTGGTACACTATGGCGCGAACTCTACATGCCAAATACACCAAGAGCACTGGTACCAACTCTATTGCTACAGAACTTTCACTGGGTGCGGTAGCCGGTGCTCTTGCGCAAATTTTCACCATCCCCGTTGCCGTCGTTACGACCAGACAGCAGACGGCATCTAAAAGCGAGCGCAAAGGCCTTATTGCTACAGGAAGAGAAGTTGTCGAAGGCCCTGATGGCGTTAGTGGCCTCTGGCGTGGCCTCAAAGCCAGCTTAGTTCTTGTTGTAAACCCAGCCATTACCTACGGAGCTTATGAGCGCCTTAAAGTCATGTTCTTCAACGGCCGAAACAATTTGAAGCCTTGGGAGGCTTTCGGTAAGTTTCTAAGCAATGCATTTACATATATAGTCTTACTTGTTTTTCTAACAATACCTTTTTACTAGTTCTCGGCGCTGCTTCCAAGGCTCTCGCTACTATTGCAACCCAGCCACTTATTGTTGCTAAGGTTGGTTTGCAATCCAAGCCACCTGCATCAAGAAAGGGCAAGCCTTTCAAGAGTTTCATAGAAGTTATGCAGTTTATCATCGAGGATGAGGGTCTCTTGGGCTTGTTCAAAGGCATTGGACCCCAGATCACCAAGGGTATCCTGGTGCAAGGTATTCTGATGATGGCTAAGGAACGGTATGTCCACACTGCTGTATTTCACGATATGCATCACTCACTAACGTCCGCGAACTTAGTGTCGAACTCTTATTTATCCTCTTCTTCAGATATCTCAAGTCGCTCCGAACAGCACGGTTGGAGAGACTCGCTTCGGCAGCTGCTAGCAGAGCGCCAGAGCTTGCCGCCAAAACCGCTTCAATTGTATCTGCTAAATAAGCGATGGAATCATTCGCATGTTTTAAACTACCTCTCTTGGATATATAATGATTTTTTCTTTGTCACGTTTATTTTTATTTATAAGTTTGTTGCCATTGAATTGTACAGGGATCCCATCACAAGGTGAAGTTCTGTCGCTCATTCAAAACAGACGCCCCACGCTAAGGCAATCGAGCATGTTAGTCATCATTGACCCACATCACACTAGGGTTTTTCGATTTCGCACACATTTTGCACGTACGTACGGATTGGTCCCAGTATACTCAAATTACGACAAAACAGAAACAATGGCCAGTATGTTAATGCGCATAGTCCGGAAAATGGGAAATTGAGGTCTAACAAAGTGTATAGAGTCAAAGAACTCGTCTCAAGCCAACCAGTGGGCCAAGGCTCACCGTAACGGGTTTGTTCGACCACTATCTCGGTAAAAATTCGCATGCTAACTACGAGAAATCGCAGTATCAAGAAGCCCAAGACCTCCAGATACCCTTCTCTCAAGGGTACCGACCCTAAGTTCCGCCGCAACCACAGACACGCTCTCCACGGTAACCAGAAGGCTTTGGTAGGTCCTAATCTCCATGGCAGCCAACCTCGAACGCTTCTAACCCCAGAAACAGAAGGAGGCCAAGGAGAAGAGTGCTTAAGCGAAGAAGCATGGGTGGAAGAATAAAATTGGCGATGCTGGGCCGTTGTCCATCATATCGATAGCCCGGACGAACAACATAAATATAAGAAAAAAAGTTGAAATATTTCTTCTCAGAAACAGGCGTGAAAATGTTATCAGCCACGGCAACCATTATGTCCGGCAAGTTCAATGCGATTTAACGACCCTATACAGACCGAAATACCAGCAATCCTGAGACAGCACATGATCAAGAACAGATGGTTGCCAGCGAATTGGTGTGGCTCTACGGAATCAACAGAACATGTATCTCAGCATTACTGACGCCTACCGAACTTCACAAAAGAAAAAACTTTAATCACTAAACTTCCATTTCTCTCACAATGCAAGGTCGTTCAATAGTTGATCATGGGAAATGGTTCATTGCCGGCATCCCAGCGGCAAATGGCTTCGCGCGCTTGACGCTCCAACAGACTTGTAGCTATGGTATCCATGATGCGGAGCGAAGCTGAGAGCAACAGTTCCCCGCCAGATAACATATGTATAGCCTCGTGTGTGCCTTCGATAACACACCATAGTTGAATTGGGGTGGCCGTCTGAGCTCTAGCCCAGCACCCTATGCGTTGTCTTCTGCCCAATGTTTGAATGTATTACACCTATTCCTGTCACTGAACTAACTCACAGGAAATTACACGGCGCTACCAAACCGTCACTTCATATGCATGTTAATGTGGTTGAGATTTATGCACGCGAGGGCTGGATTATTACCTAAGACAACTCGTGGCGGAAGCCCACAGCATCCCCTGGAGGCACTACTCCACCCCTCCGACGATTAGTACTTCGCACGCGTGAAATGTTGACTGCGTAGCCGTTTCAGCCCGGTCGGTAATTTTCTCGTTTGCCTGGATGCGAACATCATAGAAGTTATCTTTCTACTTATCTTCAGTTCTTGTGATCCTCGACATCGCATCGCACCGATCGCTGCCGCTGGCTCTGCGTCGCCCCCATCCCTACCACCAGAACATGAAATAAGCAGCCATCAACCTACTTTCCAAGCTCCTTTGAGGTCAGCCGGTCACTGCAGGAGTCGACGGATCTGATTTTTGTCTCCTACACTTCATATTTTCTTGAAACTTTTTACTCGTTCGATTCTTGCCACTTAGCCCGTTGGATAATGCTCAACATGTCGGGTAGTCACGTTATTGGTAACCGCAACAGTACACCAGAGGTTAACTCTGTGTCGTCTCTCCGCCCCCCTTCCTCGAGAGCAGTTGGCTCAGGGAGCTCTCTGCGAGCTTCTGCGGACATGGCTGCCATCTCGGCCTCTGCTTCAACGAGCCGGATTCGACCTTCATCCGACTTTTACGGACAACCCCAGCAGAGTCTTGGTCAAACTGGATTTGATGCAGACTCGCAAGATAGGATCGCTCAACAATGGATCGCCGACATCGATCAATATGAGACTACGCTGGAGGAAATGGCAGCTGCTACGCTTGATCAGGATTTTAAAGATGAACTTAGCGCTATTGAGCAGTGGTTCCGAGTCTTGAGCGAGGCTGAGCGCACTGCTGCTCTTTATGCTTTACTACAACAAACAACTCAGGTTCAGATCCGTTTCTTTATACAAGTCCTTCAGCAAATGGGAAAGAATCATCCCATGTCTGGTGTTCTGTCTCCTGCTACTTTCGACAAAGGTAAGTGTTCTTGTTTCGAAACTCTTGAGAACTCGCTAACTTCTAGAGGGAATATAGACCCGATGACGAATAGACTGAGCGATGCCATGAACAAACTTACGGTGGAATCGTCCAGAAACTCGTTTGCCCGGACTTCGGCAGCCAGTGCCGCCAAACGACAATCTGGCTTGGACCCCTCTACAATCAACGCCATGTTCCCAGACGCTGCTGCTGCCATTGCAACAGAGAAAGCCAAATTCACTCAGCAAACAGGGAATCCTCCCGCGTCTAATCGTAATAGCGCCGCTGTTGATGTGAGGAACTCACTCGTATCTGCGCCTATTGCTGCGCACCAAGATTCTGGAGTCCCCAATCAGGTGCCACTCTCACCTTGGCCATCCACCGAACAAGGTGTCCCCAAATCGGCCAAATCCCAAACTCCTATGGGTCAATTTGGGCAGCCAAATACTCCTGGCAGTCTTAGATCGCCTCTTCCGCAGATGGTAGCAAATTCGGCTATTCAGAATACAACCTTGAACGCCCCTGATAAAAGCGCCAACGATCTTCCTCTGCTCTCACCTTACAATGGTACTAGTGGAAACTGGGCTTCTATGGTAAACACGCCAATGAACGCGACTTTTAATGCCCCAACTTCTGGAGCTTCACAAGCTGATATGGTGGCAAATGCGACTGCTATGAAGCTCGCCGCCCTCTCTACCGTCAACACTCGCTTTGCTCTGGATGACGTGCGCAAGTACCGACGAACTCGGTCCAATGACCCCCATGGAACAGTCACTGCACATGGTCAAGTTCTTCCTACCGCCAATGTTGTTATGGTGAATGAGCACGGCCAAGTACTCAACATGGACCAAGTTGCGTCTTTTCAACAAAACCAGTCATTTGCAAGTCGCTCTCGGCCCAACTCACCAGGTATTGCCGTTCAGCAGGCTGTCGGCCCTCTTCCCCCATTTGCTCCTCAGCAGCATGGTGGATTCCTTAGTGCATATGATGGATCACCGGTCATTATGAACACTGGTGCGATGGGCATGGGTCAGCTTGGCATTGCAGGGCATGAGGGTTATCTCTCGGACCATTCGGACATTGCGCGAGGTCGTTCGCCTAGGGGTCGCCGTGGAAGCTCTAAGCCGCCTGAGGATCCTACTGATCCAAGTTTGCTACAGGATATTCCTAGCTGGTTAAGGAGCCTTCGCCTGCACAAATACACCGATAATCTTAAGGATATGCGGTGGACAGAGCTTGTCGAGCTCGATGACAAGGCCCTGGAAGACCGTGGCGTTAATGCTTTAGGGGCTCGACGTAAAATGCTCAAGGTATTTGAGCAGGTCAAGGGTAATATTCGTTTCCTTTCCCTTGCCGTTTCTGATACTGGTGCTAACTTTTATTGTAGAAGCGAAGGCAGAGGGGCGATTGGCCTAGGTAGCAGTATCCATTCACTCGCACGTGGGCCAGTAATGTAGACGCGCCGACATTAGCAGCAACATATACGATCATCTGTCGATACTATAGGCGCACTTGGTACACACACGTAAACATATCTCCATAGCCTTTTTTTTTCAATAGTAGTAAACTGAATCATTATTAACAAAGTTGGGAAGAAAATCACATCGCCCTACCCTAGATGACATAAATGTGGGTCTTCTCGAGTTCTACCAATCACAAGACTCTCTTTATCAACATATCCAGACAGGACAATACTTAACTCATAGTATTACACAATTTAACTGTTTGATGTTAGACGATGAAGAGCGCCGAAGATAAACAAACAAGGTCGTAACTACAGAACTGAAATGGAAGATCAGCCACGGATAATAGAGTGAGCAGCAGTGCCTAGACCAACACATCGACATCAGGAACTAATAGAACCCTAGGGATAACTCGTCTGATGCCGACTCAGACCTGGAGGAACTACAAAGCGACATTGCCAAGTTTGACGAATCAGTGAGAGAATTCTTAACATCACACAATGGTAATGGTGATAGATCAACGCCCGGCCGGAGAGGTGGCCGAGGCCGAGGATCGCGTGGTCCGCGCAAGGCAGCAAAACCGCGAGGAGACATCACCGCGCGACTAGCAAAGGTTAACCAGGCATTTTTGGGCGGAGACTACGATCGTGCACTTGACCTAGTATCAGAGGTTATCAGGATAAACGCTGAAACTCACCAAGCGTGGACAGCCCTTGCATCAATATTTCGCGAGCAGGGCAATGAAGAGCGCGCTCTGGCAGCCATGGTATACGCAGCCCATCTACGGCCAAAAGATGTACCTGGCTGGTTATCCTGTGCTGCGTATGCACTAGAGACGACCGATGCAGATGGTCAAATAAACCTGAAAACAGCAAGACTATGTTACTCTGCAGCACTCAAGGCAGAATTCGACAATCTCGATGCTAGGATGGGAAAAGCAGCCATTTGCCACCAGCAAGGGCATTTTGCCCAAGCTATAACCGAGTATAACCTGGCTCTGCGCAGTCGTCCAGCCGACCTTGATATTGTCCGAAAGATGGCCGAAGCATGTGTCGACAACCAATATCAGCCGACATCAGTGGGATATGCCATTGCTGCATATGGGCGTTTCTTCGCAGTCGCACAAGCAGCATCCGCAGGCTATCTACTGGAAGACCTTTGGTATGATATCGGTGTTTACGTGGATTTGTTTGCCGCAACAAGTCGCCACAAGGAAGCGATTTTTGAGCTCCGTCGACTGTCCCGGTGGATTTTAAGGCGCGAGGTAGAGAACTTTTGGGATGATCTACGGGAGGATGATAGAGAATGGGATTTGGAAAATGACCGTCGAGAACAAATACCGTCGTTCCAAACAGGAATATTCCCAAAGGCATCGTATGGCGAGTCAATGCCACCTGATTTGCGGGCTCGCCTGGCTACGTACAGGCTCAAAATTGGCAACCAAGAGGAAGCTTTCGTAAGTTAACTGCTAATATATTTACCAGATACGAGATGATGGAAACTAACCGATATGTGCAGAGGCATTTGACCTCAATACCAATAGGTTCGCCGACCACCGTTGATCTAGCGTACGATTTTCCAGTCCTCACATATGAACTGGCGGAAGCATTACTGGCGAATAAAAGCTATGAAATAGCTCTCGGGTATTTCAACATTTTGAGATCAAATGCGACAGAGTCGGATGCTGTTATTTTACTTCAACTCGGACGCTGTTATCTGGGTATGAACCAATCTTCAAGGGCAGAAGAGCTGTTTCTTGAGGCTATCGATGCGGATGAGGACATAATCGAAGCACGCATTGAGTTGGCCAACATGTACGAAAAGGCAAAGGAAAACGAGGAGGCACTGATTTTGACGGCTGAGGCGATTGCTCTTCGAGAGGCTCGTGACTACGCTGAGGCTGGGGTAGATGAAGTGCTGACTAGCCGCCGACAAAATGCCATGGCAGCTTATGGACAAAAGAATTTACCGCGCCGAGCCTCCGCTGGTGTCATACCTCGGCGTTATCGATCTAAGCGCTTCGCTGGACCTGATCAAAGGAAGCAGGATGAGCAAGCCCGTGCTCTGAAGCTTTCTCGACAATATGACCTCGTAAAGAATCTCAAATCGAGAGCCAAGGGTGGAAATCGAGAACTGGTGTCTCAATGGATGGAGGCATCGAAAAATTTGGTGGATGATTTCCGGTCACTGAAGAGATTCTACTCGTGGGACAAGTATCTCCATTTCGTGAGCTTGAGCAGCGCCCAGGGCGCCGCTAATGAACAAGGGGCGAATTCCGCACTCTCACAAATGTATCAACGACTCAGTCAAAGTACGTGTTAGTGTTTATATTGAAGCGTATTTCACTAAACGTTAAATAGATATAACGCCAGGCGCACACGACCAGGAAAACGGCGGAGTTGTGCAGACTCCCGAACTACATCAGGGTATCTCTTTCGACGACTGGTTAGAAATTTTCCTAGATTATGCCATTGGATTGGCGATTGAGTATAAGAGGGAAGACTCTTACCGAATCTGCACTGCTGCCCGTGATTCGACCGTCTTTCAATCTCCGGAGCACAGCTTCCAGATTTATGTGGCTTGGGGAGGTAAGTTACCCAAGGTGTTTTATTCTAGGCCGAAGCTGACAGAGTCAAAGTCTGCGCAGTATACTCAAATGATGAAGAAACTTGCGTAATGACAGCCCGGCAACTGATGAGAGATGGTACTGTTTCGGACTCCTATCGGTTATTTGGCCTTCTTTCTAAGATTTGCCAATCTCCCGTTTCATGGTACACGTCCGGTCCAGCCCAAAAATATATCCTTCGCCAAATCAAAGCCATAGACTCAGCCTACATGTCTTCCTCATCAAGTTCTGGGCTAAATAACCCGGCTAACATTCGAGATGCTGCAGCTACAATGGATGTTTGCTTGCTCATGTTGTATGGGCATATCCTCTTTACATCAACAAGTTATACTTATGCGATAGGTAAGTTTGATGCTATTCTGCGTAGACCCTGTGCTAACTTTAAATGATAAAAAAGGCTACTTTCTTAGGGCTTTGGCAGTAGATCCTGAAAACCCCATGGTTCAGTTTAGCCTTGGTCTAGCCTACATACACTACGGACTCAAGCGTCAAGCAACCAACCGCCAGTACTTGCTTTTGCAAGGTCAATCATTCATTGGCCGATATTTGGAGGCTGATGGAGGAGATCACACTCGTCCATTGGCTGAGAAATATTATAATGTGGGAAGAGCATTCCAATTGCTTGGACTCGCGAACATTAGCAACGACTTTTATGCAAAAGCCAAGTACAGCAATCAAGGGCCTGACCAGGATCGAACTCTAGAAGTGATGACTTCACTTAATATGGCTTTGGCATACATGATTTCGGGGAGCAACGAAAGAGCATTTGCCACGATAAAAGAAGGCATTATTCTATGAAATTTCGAAACTAGCGCTATGTTTCGTCGTAGGCCTTATGACGTATGATTTATAAGTGCAATGGTCTTGGCGCTCGTATGCGTGAGGGCACATGATAATGATATTCTCTTATTATTATAGAGGCTGAAATATGAAAATGTAGAAATAGGTTAAAAACCATCTCAGCGCCCTGTAAAACTTTTATAGGCTCGTATATGTTGCTTTTATTGCCTTGCTTTGTACGCGAAGGGTGGTTGGTTTAGTTGGGTGGTCGGGCTGGGTTCTAATTCCGGCGACCCACAGCAACGGTCATCCTGCGGTGGTACAGCTTGCGATCCAACATGTGTCGCTCTTCAAACGTCCGCTAGCACAACATACTGAACGCCAGCACGCTTATCGGGTCATCCAGCAGTTGCACGATTTATGAAGCAAATAACCATGCGTCATGGTGCGATTGCTTCTGCAGCAATTTGCGTGACTCTGCTATCGCCAGCTACCCTCGCGGATGCAGGGCGGGTAACTCAGTCGACGAGCTATTGCGAGGCGCGAACGATCAATTATATAACCCATAGTCTGCCGCAAGCGTGTTTGACGAACACATGGGAGTCGTCAGGGTCGAAAACCCAGCAACTTATCCCATCAGAAGCCTCTTCAGCCCCGACAACTATTCCCAGCTCTAGCGAGAACGACGCACGCGATGACCAACCACCAGCAGCGGTTGCAGCCCCCGCCAACGACAGCGAAAACCCGGATGCTGCACCAACGCCTTTTATGTCATTCGAGGACTGGAAGGAGATGATGTTGAAGCGAACGGGGCAAGATCCACAAGCGTTAAAGATCCGCAAACCGAACGACCCTAAAGAGGAACGACAACGATATTCCCAAGACGAATCCTTTGGCGATGAGGACGAGATTTCCTTAAATTTCAATGAATATTCGAATTTTGAAGATAACAAAGAATCAACCAGAGTTCCTGGAGATTCAAACGATATGTCAGATGATGAATCGACAAATTATGAGGTTGGCAAGCCGGCTATTCATCGCAATAAGGACGCAGGCAAAACTTGCAAGGAAAGATTTTCTTATGCATCCTTCGACGCTGGCGCTACTATTGTGAAGGCGGGCGGAGGAGCTAAAAATTCCAAAGCCATCCTCGTTGAAAATAAAGATAGCTACATGCTGATGGAGTGCGCCACTGCCAATAAGTATGTTATTATCGAGCTAACTGATGACGTTCAAATTGACACGATCGTGCTCGCCAACTTCGAATTTTTTTCTAGCATGATTCGCCATTTTCGAGTCAGTGTTAGCGACAGGTACCCTGTCAAACTTGATAAATGGTTAGAGCTGGGCACTTTTGAAGCAAGGAACTCCCGCGACATACAGCCATTTCTCGTGGAGAACCCACAGATTTGGGCCAAGTTCGTGAGAGTAGAGTTCCTAACTCATTACGGAAAGGAATACTACTGTCCTGTATCGCTTCTGCGTATCCATGGGTCTAGGTTGTTAGATTCCTGGAGGGATAGCGAATCAGGTGCCGACGATGACTTATCCTATGAAGACGAAGCCGATGCCGAATCGACATTTGAAGAACCTGAAGCCCTGCAAGATCATCGAAATAACTCAACGGAAGAATCTGAGTCAATTGTTGATGTCGAAGCAATGTCACCATATCGACCGTTAGCAAATCCGTTCATGTACTATGAAACGATTTGCAGCTCGACTATTGATACAGTCGTTCAAGTTGAAGCGACGCATGAAGTCGAAGAGATTCGGACTGAAGCTAGTTCGGAAATTATCACTTCTTGGAACGATGAACGTCTTCCAACAACGGCTGCAACTCTGAACCAAAATCGATCAATTAACTCTACCGCTGCCGAAGCAACCACAACGGCTGAGGCGACGCTTGTACCGACCGCCGTAGACACAGTTGTCAATGCAACGACCGAAGTTATCGAACAGCCAATTCATGTTACAAGCAATCTTACTTTTGCTACTGCCACTACATCTCAAGACAATAAGAGTGTCTCGCCATCCAAAAATACTACCATATCAAACCCAGTACAGGGGAAAAACAATACGAACACCGCTACCTACTCAAGCAAGAATACTACCAATCCGAGCACGAATAGTCAGGGCGGCAGGAGTTCCACCGGCTCCAACACAGGTGTTAACAAGAATTCCACCGCTGGGACGCAGTCAAAAAGCAGAGGGTCAACAGCTTCTGGGCCAACATCTGCATCTCCAACAGCTCAAGAGGGTGTCTTTAATGCAATGGCTAAAAGGCTACAGAGTGTTGAGAGCAGCCTTTCTCTGTCACTCAAATATATAGAGGAGCAGTCTAAACATTTACAAGGAGCGTTTCAACAAGCCGAGCGGCAGCAGTCAACGAAAGTATCAAGCTTTCTAGAACTTTTGAACTCTACTGTCATCGCAGAGCTTCGAGCTGCCCGTGAACAGTATGATGAGATCTGGCAGTCTACTGTTCTTGCGCTTGATGGACAACGAGATCAATCAGAAAGAGATATTCTTGCCCTCAGTAGTCGACTGAATTTGTTAGCAGATGAGGTTGTCTTCCAGAAACGAATGGCGATAGTCCAAGCCGTCCTTTTACTGTCTTGTCTATGCCTAGTGATTTTTTCGCGTGGCGTTCCCCTTCCATATACATCGCCCTCTCATGACCAGGCTTTCGCATCCCAATTTGCAGAGATTTTAGCGTCAATGCAGCGACCAGAGAATCCCAACTCTGGAAGTCTTCTCCCTCGACCTACGCCCTCTGATATGTCATCCGACCATCTTCAGAGCCCCCCGTCTTCGATAACTAGACATCACGAAGAGTATCCTAATCACATATCCGCACCAGCGCCTAACCATGCAGAACCGGATGAATATGCATTTCAATGCCCTTCCCCATTACTTACACCAACTCGAGATGAGGCGGTGGGTGATGAGTGGTTGGATCCAGAGCGCATGTCCCAATCGCGTGCCAGCTACTCGAGTGCGAGGAAAAAACAGCTTCCATCGCTACCAGAGAATTCTCCGCCTCGGACAGATTTATAGCATATCGAATTTTATGAAATCGTTTTAATGAAACCACTTTATTTCCACCGCAGGTGTTTCTTTTCCTTCTAGCTAAGCAAACATAGACGCACGGCATGCGAAACAAGTAATTCTTTTTCAACCGAGTATGAGTTGCCCAATCACCGTCATCACCATTAAAGTTTCTCCGCGCACGAATAAATTATTAATCAGCCAATCAAATAATCTCACATGAAAAAGTGTCTTGAGCATCACAAACAGTGAACTATTTTGGGTCGAGACAGAGTTGCTGGACCGAGTTTGTAAAGTCATATTCCTCCAACGCGGCGAGCCTGGTTCCGCGGTCATATTGGGAGCGTCGTCGTCTCTGTTCATCACGATACTGCTGCCCAGCATTGGGAGTGAACAATCCTGAAAGAACCAAATAAACAGGATGGTCATCTTAAAAGCCTGGTCCGTAGATCTTACCAACATGTTCTGCGTTTTCGCAGCTTCGCTTCATTTTGGATTGGTTATCTGGACCAGGAAAGTGCTCTTCTTGTCCAGCCATTTCAGGCAATGGCCCGTTCGACGTAAAAAATAACTACGTAAATGTTAGTTGAGATCTGTAGCATAATAATGCACGCGAACCTTTGGTCGGTAGTGCGCCGCCTCGAGCATCACCGAGCTGTTCCGGAACTTTTGAACCAGGCAATCCTTGCCCTGGATTGCTACGCACTAGATTTTAGTTTTGTAGTTTATGTCAATTGAACAAAACATACTGGCATAGGAGATTTCAGCGACCTTGTCACTTTTGAAACAGTTCCTATTGGCTATTTAGTTAAGGGTTGAATGAGCGGTCCCCAGGAGAGATTACCACCGCTGGTTTCCTCGAGCGTGTACAAACTATAGATCATTTTATTAGCACCGGAAAGAATGTTTGAGAATAACTTAGATCACCAGAAACTAACATTAATGATGTCAAGAGGCTTTGAGGTTTATTAGCGTTTCATGACGGAATTTAACACTTGAACCTGACGTTTTCACTTACGTCCACGAAGTTGATAAACGCGTATCCAACACTATCAATTAGTAAAAACTCTCAAATATGAGACTTATTAGTGTTCTTACTTGCAATTATTGGCAAAATCAATGCGAAGATACATGAAATCATACTTTCCCCAGCTTGATTCATCAATGAGCCGCTTCAACATCGCTTGGTCGACTTTATTGGGGATGTTTCTTAACATAATCTACAATTGTAAGATTGGGTCTAAATTCGAAATCAGTTAAAAATGCTTACTGTAGTTCGGACATCAATGCCATCTCGTATACGTTTGACATCAACGTAGTTGTGGTGGCTAGCGGAGTGGCTACTTGGAGACCGGTGAGGTCGAACGGGAGTCTGGCGACGAGTGTCCACCCTAGGTTGGCCAATCTGAAATCTTGGAGGGCTGAAGCTGCTGGGCGTTGATAAAGTTGGCGAAGGGGGAGGTCGAAATGAGTTGTCAATGGAAGAAAGCCCTGGTTGTATTCTGGGCTGGGCAGACAGCTGTCCTTGGAATTCTCCCGCTAGCATAGAATCAATCGAATATGGTATCCTTGGAATTAGTGTTGGCTGTAGAAGGATAGGAAATAAGGCAAGATGAGAATCAGGCACTGGCTGCATGTCGCGTGTCTGGCGAGTTGGACAAGGCGTCCAGGTTAGAGGCACTTCCTCTCGGCAGGTTTGCGGTGTTGTGGAATCCGGAATAGGGGTTGGCACGGTACGAAGCCAGGAGCGTGTAGTGGAAAAAGACTATGAAAGTAAGTTAGACCTCAGAGATGAGCTATGCGGGCAGGGAACCAACTTCATCAAACCATAAATCGTCTGAGCTTTCCATGGCGGAACTCGCTGCTCGTGTATCACAGAACTCAATCGACATTTCCATGTACGCACCCGGTAAATATTTAACAATCTTTATCGCGAAAATTACTCCAAATTTCTGTAGAATATCTTGAAGTCGTAGAAAGATCTGGAAATGGTCGAAGGGCTTGTTCGTGGCTGCGGTTGAGACTGTTAGTAGGGCAAGCTTTGCTGGCTCTTTGACGTTCCAAGTAGCCTGTAAAGTGGTAAGTAAGCTACTAAACTTTTTGAAGGTTAATAAAATGAAATCTTACAGGTGAAAGAGAGCTTTTATCTGTATACTGTATCGTCCAAATTGTCTGTGTGAGTCGAAGTTGAACATAAGCTGCACAGGCTTCTCGAATGTCTGAGAAATGTATTATTGCCATCGTTCCAACAACCTCAATGGCTGTTTCACCATCGTCAAGATGTCCGTCATGTTTCAATTTCTGTTATACATTAGCTGTATGTAGCGAAAAGTTGACCACATGGACGAACCAAGAGGACTTCCTCGATTTCTGATTTCTGAATAGCATCAAACGACGAGATACTAATAGTTCTTGAGAGGCCAATTTCATTGCTCAATAAAGAAGATATTGAACTAATATGATCAAGTAGTTTGGGCTTTGCCACTCCTGTAAAGGGTTCAAATGATGATGCCGTTGGCGACAAATTGCTTGACTGACTGCGAGGCGTCACGAAAGGATCTTTGCACAAGAGAGGCTGAGGTTTGTAATGAGACCGCTCCTGTGATATTGGATCCAGTCCTACGTGACAAGATAGATGAGATGGTCTCAAAAACGTTGCATCAATATTGGAAGACTGCCTTGCCAGGGCCTCCTCATCTGGAGTCCCCAGTGATGAGGTTGTTTCACTCGTTGAAGACTTTGGAGAAAGAGGTAAGGCAATTGTTGTGTCCATTCTCACTCAGAAATAAGGTTGCTAAGAAGTCCAATTTGAATTGGATTGGAATAACAGAATTTTATTTATCTAGGTGTTCTCTACCTTGTGGGTAGCAAAAGTCGTAGGGTTCAACAACCTGGTGATAAATTGACAGGGAAGGAACTGCCACTTCACTGCCAGTTTTCCTGGCCAGCTGGCACAGCTGCCATGAGTGCGTTTCATAATGAGAATACAATAGTGCATAACCATTCATGTGAATCTGTGGTCACAACCTCTTAGAGCAATAAGGGATTCTCGTTTTCGCACTCTGCTTTGCAACAATTTCTTATGTTATTGCTGAATTTATCATCTACATTATGACCAAATTAATTATAAATTTACCATCCGAGTTTAGTATAGTTCTGGAGATAACCGCCGTAGTAGAGCTAGCTGCTAGTACTCTGTAGAAGCCGCCTTCACCTCGATGGCATGGCTGCGGGGCTCGTGACTTCGAGACTTCCTGCCTAGGTGATGTCGCGACCGAGTTAGCCACTTAGCAGAAAGCAAAGCTGGCATACACAACAGCTACCGACTACGCTATGCCTCGACGAACCGAAGCCATAGATGATTATTCAACTGCAATTCCGCAGGTAAGTAAACTTCAGGATTGTTTGAAACATCCCTCGCTCAAATCCCCGTAGATAGTACTTTCATCGGACAGCGATTTCCTCGATCACCTCATCCCAGTCCTGAAAGATGCGGCCAATTCCAGACGAACGCCAGCCTTGATACAGTGCTTGAGCAGATATTCAGATGAAAGAGAAGCCGACATCGAACGAATCGGGCTCACTAAGCATGAAGAGTTCCTAAGCTCTGTTAACCAACTGCAAGGCGTGCGCGAGGACACGGTCGCCCTCATTGGCGAGATTTTGCATCTCAATCAATCTATACAAACTAGTACTGAAAAACTGGTGGAACAAAAAGGTGCTCTGGTCAACACTAAGGCTATTCGACAGAATATTGCAGATGCGTCGGACGCGCTGAAGGACTCTCTGCGTGTTTTACAAGCCGTAAATCTTGCCCATGATTTGATACGAAGGAAAAGATATTACTCGGCCTTAAAATCTCTCGAAGACCTTCAGAACGAACATATTGTACCGATACTACAAAACCGATACGCGACCCAACACCGACTGGCCGATGCGATACAGAAATCAATACCTGCGTCACGCAAGGCTATTTCGGAAGCTGTGATGGTTGATCTCAATACGTGGCTCTTTCATATTCGGAGAGTATCTCCACTTCTAGGAGAATTTGCATTTTACCAAACTGAAATGCGTCGAGCGCGACAGAAGAAGAGAATTGATGAACAAGAATGCTTGCCAAACTTCAAGCTCAACTCAGCTATTGAGCTTGTCTGCGACGAGAGTGAAGAATTCGATGTTTTGAATAACGAACAGTTGGAAATTGACTTCACACCACTCTTTGAAGGGCTGCATATTCATGATGCTCTGAATCAGAGCGATCGTTTTAAAGCCGAGTATGCTGCGACTCGCCGACAACAAAAGGACTTGCTGATCCCGGCTTCCATTGATCTGTTGACAGAAGACGAATCATCGTTGAGCAGCTTGCTGGAAGAAATAGCGGGATTTGCAATCCTTGAGAAAGCCTCAATGCGGAAGGCACCTCAGTTGCGAACCGCTATTGAGGTAAGTTTCATCGCGTATAGTCTGCTATTACGTGCTAATATAGTTCCGCAGGTTGAAGAACTCTGGGAATCGATGTGTAGCTCGGTTATAAAATTAACCAATAAGGCCCTGGGAGAAATATCGAATGCTGAGGCACTTCTGAAGATCAAAGGTGTTATAGCTCTGTTTATCCAAACCATGGAAGTGAGTATATGGTGATTCGAATATCCCCATCAAGACTCTAATCACTTGTAGGGATATGGCTATTCCATTTCTAGCCTTGACAGCTTCTTGTTAACATTATTTGACAAATATGCCGAATTGCTCAAGAGGAGGTTTAGCGAAGACTTCCAAGAGGTTTGTCTAATATCTAGCCCCCCTTCTACCCATTGCTAAGACCCTCATAGATCGTATCGACCGATGATTACATGCCAATGGCGATTAACAGCATAGCAGAGTTTGAGAAAGTTCTCAATATCAGCTGGTATACGCACGACCAACCAATTGCGCAATTATCGTACGTCCTGCCTATTAGTTATTTGCCTCAGCTGACTAACTAGTTCAAGCTATCCCTGCGTCCTCCCATTTTCGCAGATGTACCCGCTCTGCTGTATTGATATACGGAATTTCCTGAACCAGTTTTACTTCTTCTCCGACGACCAGTTCCAGCATTCTGAAATCATTGACGAAACCCTCAGACAAGTACACTCTTTCCCAGATACTGTAAACCTGGTATCCTTGATGCTAATATCTACCTTAGTCACTTGACGAACTTCTAACCGAAAAAGTATGCCGATCGATTGTTGAGAAATTAAGCTCACAATACCTTGGACAAATCGTACAAATTCTCATCAATTTGGAACACTTTGAAATAGCTTGCCAGGAGCTTGAACAGCTTTTGATTCGTGCAAGGTCATCCACATCTGCTGGTGGACCTCTGAAACTCAAAGCAACTGAAGAATTCCGCAACCATAAAAAGACCGCAGAGAAACGAATATTTGAACTGGTCAATTCAAAGATTGATGATCTTATTGATACGGCAGAATATGAATGGCAAGAAATTCGAGAGGTGGTGCGCGCCATTGAACTAATCTGCTAACAATATATCTAGGCTTATATCATCACCTTCACCTGAGCCAAGCAGTTATATGCAGACTTTGACGAGATACTTATCTAACATCATGAACTCAACCCTTCTGGGCCTTCCTCGCGAAATTAAAGAGCTAATTTACTTCGATGCTCTCAGCCATACATCAAATAAAATTTTGGTATGCTCCTACGAATGATATTAGTTGCTTATTTGCTAATCCTGCGTAGGCTCTCCCACTCTCCACCGACGTCAAGCATATCAGTGGACCAGCTGTCGCTAATCTAGCACAAGATGTCAAATATCTGACCGAGTTTGTAAACAGCCTGGAGAATGGACAAATGCTCCGAGAAAACCTTGATGAGCTTCAACAAACCGTCAATCTGCTACAATCCGACAATCATGATGAGTTTTTCGACATCTCCATCCGCAACAAGAAATATGGCCGCGTTGACGCCCTGAATGGACCTGTGCTTCTTGAAAAGTGAGTATATTAAACCTTATAGAAGAATAAACCTTTGGCTGACATTGTCTTAGATTAACTACTAACGCTAGCCAAGTCCCAATTCGTAGCGCACCATTATCTAGCCTCTCCTCACGCTTTGGCATGATGAAGTAATGTGCTATAATATCACATTTGAATATGGGAGGTTTTGGAAGAAATCAGAATACACCACAGATACGACCGGCGACCCAGTGTACTAATTATCAAATAAATCAAACCGTAACTGCCTCAAAACACACCTTTGTACCTATGCGCCAACTGCCTCCTGTATGGGACGCACTTTACTCGAACTCCTCAGCTGGCATCGATGGCTTTGTGAAAATATTAGTATTGAGCTTGTAACATTGCTAGAATAACCTACTTGCTGCTGTTGCATCGCAGAATATGAGTACATGTCACCCATTTCTCCATATATTGCGCCCGAAGGTTGGTTTTGCGCATAGCCAGCACCGGAGGCGCCACCAACTTGGGCAGGGTACATGTTGTTTGGATTTTGACGGTAATCCTGATCATGGGGAATGCTGTGTCCAGCCATGTACTCTGTTCCTGAGATTGAGTGGTTGCCAGACTGTGCCATTCCGCCATGCTGACCAGGTATCCTTGACTGTCCAGCAGCAGGGGGCAATGCGGAGGCAGGCCCGGACTGCGAGGCAGTTCGCTTTGCATGTGCGGCAGCTTCTTCTCTAGGCACGATATCGATCAGAAAGTCAAACATGTCAGACTTTGCCAGCGCAGACGCAATGTCTGAGCGTTGCAGTGTACGACGCTTGTTTTCCTCCGCGTGGATCCATGCGCGCATGGTTAACTCAGTAATGAAAATATCACACCCCTTGGCAAATAGAATAGGTGCTTCAGCTGATATCATCTTCACTTCCGGATCGGCCTTCATAACTTTTTTGATGCGGGCCAGAGGCAGTTGGTGAAGCTTGTAGTCATGGGTATCACTTTCAAGGTGAGTGATGGTCTGTTGCCAGTATGTCGTAAGGATATCCTTGTATTGACCAGTCAGGCCTTGGTGAACCTAATAATCAATTAGGACATTTTAATACTTGATTCAACGGACTCATAACAAACATTTGCCCATGGGCCGGTGTACAACTCAGCTGGCGCGAAGCCTTGTGTGGCTAACTAGATGCATGGTCAGTACAGTGAACGATGAGAACGACTAGATAGTTAATGCATACTGCGGCACAAGCACCTAAATACGAAGCAAATTAGCGACTAAACTGACTGAACGGTGGCTGCGACGATGAACGAACCATAATGACCACCCTGGCTGGTGTCGTAAACTGGTGCTGGACGGCCTTCAGACTGCGCCGATTCGTTTTGTGAGTCCATGACGACAATAGAGCCTACTGAAAGGGCTGTTATGGAACGATTTGTGAGAAGCGAAAGCGCCGGTTATATTCCAACTGGCCGTGATTCGTGTCCTATCGAGTATATGTATTGTAGGATCATGCGGTCGTTAAACGCGCTCAGGTGTGTTTGGCTGGCCCGCTTCCCAAAACCGTCTGGAGCTTGGACCACGTCAGGAGAGCCCCACTAAATTCACCCCATCGCCTATAACTTTTCTGAACTTTTTTTTTCCTGTTGCACTTTCTTCCTATCCAATTTCTTCAGAAGTTGGGAGATGAAAATATCTCGACCCCTGCCATAACTGGCGTGTGCGCGGCAACATGTCGGTTTCCCACGATGAAGAAATCTTCGGGTTGCTTCAAAGAGCTGAAAAAAGACTCGCGGATCGCCAAACAGATAACATCGCTCCAGAACATAATAAACTGGACGTCGCTCTTGTCAAAGCACCACGGCCGACTCGCGAGACAAGCGTTCGCCAGGTTGTAGCGAAAGATGGCGCCCCGGCTGAAGTCAAGGTACGTTTTTATCTCTTGCTTGCGCAACATTTTACTCGTTTCTTTCCACTCGAGCATTTCCTTTCCCAGCCATTTCTATTCGGGCACAGTGATGAAAAATCAACCCTTTATTTCTCCGTGACACGAAGCAGCCGTCCGTTTTGGACAAACGCACGTGAACATATGAGCCTCTATTATCATAGTTACTCTGATATATTCCCGATACAACCTGTTCTGTTCAATATAACCTGCCGGCTTGGACTGAGAATATGATTGCTGACCTAGCTATCACACAGGACACCGCAGGCTCCAACTGGTTTGGTCTTCCGAAGACGATCATCACGCAAGAGCTCAAGAGGGATTGGCAACTTTTGCGTATGCGCAATGTCCTCGATCCAAAACATCAGAAAAAGGCCCTTCGTGCAGAGCTCCCCAAGTACTCTCACGCAGGTGAAATCATTGCTGGGCCAACGGATTTCTTCAGCGGCCGATTGACCAAAAAAGAGAAGCGTGAGAGCATTGCTGGTGAAGTTATGAGAGACTACCAAACCGAAAAGTTTAAATCGAAGTACGCCGGAATTCAGAAGTCGAAAATGTCTGGAAAGAAAGCCTTTTATAAGAATGTGGTCTCTCAAAGACGGAAAGGCAAGTCGTGAAGAAATTGACTCGATGATACGAGATCTATCCCTTGCCCTGTTGTATCTAATGGCAGTCTGCGAAGGCTATTGGCGGCCACAACTCTCTGCGCCTCTAGACACAAGAGGTTGTACGACATCCAACGTCAGCCCGTTTGCGATGGCTGGCTTTTCTGTATACGCCGGTTTAATCTACGCAAATGCAATACTACGTCACATCTCGACTAGAAAAGGTTGAGCATCGTTACTGCAACCCGAGTCTACCAGTCAAACTCACCGTCGCTCCGCCGCTCACTGCGGCATCAACGATGTAAACATCTACCATCACGCCATTATTATTAGAATCTAATAATTGAATAATTATCAACGCTATTTTTCGAGTTGTAAACTGCATCACCCGTAAAGAAAATTAATAAACAATTTTTTTTGTCGATTATCGTCCGTTAGCTTGCCTTGTTTATTCGTTTCGGAGCAACTTGCGTTGCACACGAATATTTTAAGTGGGCCAGCCTCCCGTTCATGTGCAAGAAGAGGCGACCTGACTGACAGTTTTCAATTTCTCATCACGCAGTGTATCACGGCCAGAATGCAGCGACAAGTTTGCAACGCGGTAGCGCGGTCTACAGTAAGTGAAATACAGCACTTAGAAGTAATTTACTAAATAGTGTTAGGGATTTTCTTTAGCGCCTTGCGCGAGAAGGCTATCTACCCAGTAGGACTTTTGCACTTCTCCTGGAATTCCCATCATAGCGACTAATCTGTAACAGAGCCAATCTAACGGACGCGATTCGACAAAGGCAGCCTGAGAACCAAGATAATCAGCTTAAGACCGGCGAAACACGATTGCCAAGGGCCGCGCAACTCATCCACCTGAAGCCATTGAAGAGGACGGCCGAATTTGGCATACCGTCATGCGACTTACAACTGCGATCCTATAGCATACAGCCTCTTGACATCTTTTGCGATTTTGCGTTGAGAGCAGCATACTATCTGGGTCTTCCGGCGTATGGTCCAGTGCCTCTGCCACGAATCACTGAGCGCTGGACTGTCCCGAGAAGTCACTTCATCTTTAAGAAGTCTCAAGAGAACTTTGAGCGAAAAACACTCCGACGCATGATTCAGATTAAGGATGGAAATCCAGAAACTGTTCAACTCTGGCTAGCCTACCTGCGCAAATACCAGTACTATGGTGTGGGTATGAAGGCAAACGTCTGGGAGTTTGGAGGCATTAGCGAGTCCAGGAAAGAAACCGAGTTGCAAGACGAACAATTAAAGGCAATTTGGGCACATGTCGGACAAACTAAGGAGTTGGGTACATCCGAAGAGGTAGTCAATTTCGTCGATGAACGCAAACAAGAGAAATTGTTCGATGCTCGTCGTTAGGAATTCCACCGCGGTAGCTGGACTTGCTCCTCGAAGCGGCGGTGAAGAGCCTCTGTAATATTATACCTAAAGATAGCTTGTATATTATTTTAACTTCTGCATATCTTATCCAAATCTCTGGTTTCCCGGTTTGTTTTCTTTGTTGTACTTCGTTCTGTGATCGCCGTGTAATGAAGTGCTAGGGTTTTCCGAACGTGTCTGTTTCTTTCTCCACTGTTGCAAGGCGGCGCTCTCACCCCGCCAAATCAAACTGCAAACGCTCCTTCTCCTGTTAGCAGCCCTTGACAGGATCTTGTAGCCTAAAAGCTATTTTTGGTGCTATAGGCAGTCCCGTGTTTACTTTCACAATCATTAAATATTCATTGAAGCCAAAGTGAAAAGATGGATGACGCGGTTGGAGAAAATGATATCGAACATATTGAACGGGTAGGTCTTGCGACAAGTCTGGTCCTCTGTACAAAGCTGATATGTTGTGTTATTAGCTAATAATTTCATTATACCAACCAAACGCACCTGAAGTGATAGCTGGTATTCAGGCAAAGTTGTCTCAGCTACAAACTTCTCAAGGCGCCTGGCAGTTGGCAGAAGCTCTGTTGAACCGACCTGATGAGAAGGTCAAATTTTTTGGAGCGCTCACCATTATCATTAAGCTTAACAACGAAAGGTAAGTGATAATCATGCTGTATTTTCAGGTTAATTCCTCTATCAATGACTAATCGTTCTACGTAGCGAATCGTTGACAGATAGCCAAGCACTGGAGCTGCTTTCAAAACTCATTCATTGGTACATGTTTACAGTACACCAAAATGGCAGCCCCCTTGTCTGTAGAAAATTGGTATCGGCGCTATCAACCTTTTATTTACAGTTCTCCCGTCTTTGGCCACACTTCTTGAACCACCTTATTGCCTGCTTCGAAACCAAACAAAGCCTGTCTCCGCTTACCGATACTGGCAACTATAACATCTATTTGAGCACGACTGAGAGCACAAGCCTAATCGCAGCAGTTGAAGTCACAACTCATATCTTGGAAGACTTTTTGAGACTGGATCTAGGCTCAGCGTCCAAGTAAGATGAATCCATCACCCAAATGTCTGCACCGAGTGTCTTGTTAACGATTTTCAAGCGCCCATCTTCATGAGAACGTATTAAACAACGCTGCAGATATTGCCGCATTAATTACTACATCTATGGATTTGGAGTCTCGATCCGCACCCACGATCATAGCTGTCATGAAATGTCTGCAGGTATGCATGTATTGCCCTCGTCAGTCAAAGTCAAGCTAACTAATGCCATCTGGATAGGCCTATGTTGTTTTCATACACAGGAACTCTCCACACGACCACGAAGTGGTTCGTAAAATCCGACCAGCATTTTCGAAAGTTATCGAATGCTTAACCAATGACACAACTTTTGAAGCTGCTGTCGAACTGCTTTCTGATTCACTTGCAAATTACTCGTCATTACTCACCACTGAACAATACGGATTAATGAAGGACATACTAGTCAGTCCCTGGGCTTCACGATTTTATGAGACCATTATTGGTGGAAATTTCGAATTTGAAGGCATTCAGTTGGCTATGCTCCTCGTTACTTTGGCTGAAACAAAGATGGAAGGGTTACTTCAGACCACCGATGCTACGAACATCAAAATTTTCACAATCCTGAGTCAATTACTCAGCGCCGAAGGTGTTCCAGCTGTTGATGACAAGATATTCGTCCCTGTTGTCGAATTTTGGTCGGCGTTTGCTGAGATGATTCCGGATTTCCCTGCACCGGAGGCGGTACAGTCAGACTATAAACAATCTTGCACGTCCGTCTTGTTGGATGCATGTGGCCGTGTCTGGGCGAAAACTGCGTATCCTTCCATTGAAGAGTATTCTGAATGGGATTCCAGCGACCGGACAATGTTCAATGAGGCGAGAAAGGATGTTATTGACTTGCTTCAGTCAGTCTACGTCCTCGTAGGGCCGGAGCTGATTGTAACATTCGTGAATGCATGCATTTCAGCGTTGGGAGAGGAAGACTGGCGACGGTTAGAAGCTGCTGCATATTGCTTGGGGGGGCTCTCTGACTGTTGCAAGGATGACGATAGATGTGACAAGTTCCTCAGCCGGGTTTTTGAGTCTAGCCTATTTGCAAAACTCCGAACCAGCTCAAGGATCATCCCTGTCAAAACTAGACAAACTTGTCTCGCTCTTATCGAGCAGTATACAGAATACTTTGAGAGAAATCCAGCGCTCCTTCCACCGGTGTTGGAGCTGCTTTTCGCCGTCTTGGACGACCATTTGGTGGCTTCAACGGCATCTAAGTCAGTCTTGCGGCTTTGCTCATCGTGCAGAAATCATCTTGGGCCACAGTCAAGCGCACTACTTGGCGGTTATCAACAGCTTGCTAGTAGCGGCAACCTTGACTGCACTGTCAAGGAAAAGGTTCTGGGAGCCTTGGCCTGCATTGCCCAAGCTCTTACAAGCTCTATTGCAAGAAATGGAATCTGTAATACACTCTTAGATTTCGTATGTACCGACTTGCTCTCCACTACTACTGTGTCGACCATCCAAGGACGAAACTCTTGTTGCCAAGCTCTTGATGATGAGCAACCAGATCTTCACAGAGCACTAAAAGCGCTCCGTTGTCTTGTCAGTATATCGAAAGGATTCAAGGCTCCTGTGGATGCGCCTGTAGATATCGACTCTACTCCTAACGCCGATGGGACTGATTTCGCCTTAAATCAGTTACAAAAGAAGATTGTCGGGATTATTGTTGATATTCAAGAGAAATTCAATCATACTTCGGAAGTCATAGAACTCATCTGCAGCATATTGCGTTCTGGATTCACTGAAAGTGAACCAGGACCGTTCGTCCTTCCACCGAGCGACGTAGCACACTATCTCGTGAGGCACATCTACACCACACCAAGAATTGGACTGTTGATCAGCACCTCTTGCTCATTCTTGAGCTCGCTCAGAAATTCGCCTCTGGAAGCAGAGCTCTCCGTTCATCTATTACTATGGGTTGCAAGCTTGTTGAAGCAAATGCCAGGTATGTGCTCTCCAAACAGTTACCTCAATCGCTAATAATATCTGACACTGTCGTTTGAAAGACTTAAATTTCGACCCGGAGCTAGTTCAAAATGCTGTCGAATTCTTAACTCGGCTATTCCAACAGCAACCAGGCCTGTTGTTAAACTTACAGCCAACGGAGTCGGCTGAATTTCTGTTCTTAGCCTCACTGCAGGTGCTGGATGGTAAGGAGCCGCTGCCAAGGGCGGCTGCCGCAGAATTTTGGGTACGTTTATCAGACATAGAAAAGTCCATCATACTGAATTAAAACAATAGGCTACTTTTGTAAATTTCCGGACGGTCGAAGAGGAATTGCAGACAACGTTCAACAACACTATGCAGGCTGTTGGCCCCTTGCTGTGCCAAAGTCTTGTGAATAACATGGGAGGTAACGCATCGCGCAGTGAGCTTGATAGGTTAACGGAGCCTTTGAAGAAGCTTGTGTCAAGGCACATCAAGTCCAAAATATGGCTTGGGACAGCCATGAACCATGATTCCTTCCCAAGCAAGAGGGTAACCGAGGAAGAAAAGGCTACCTTTGTTCGCAAAGTAATTGGGTCAGTCAAGTCTCTCTCACGCTATAATGGGCCATATCTAACGCTTTATTCTAGGTTACGCGGCTCGCGAGCCACTAATCAGCTTGTGAGGGAGTTTTGGCTGTCATGCAGAGGCTCACATTTTGCATATGCTTCATGAGATCATAATGTCTCTACTGGATTCTATCTAGTTATACAATAATAATACAATGGCTGATACCACTAATACACTCATCTTAAAACCCGATGGCTGACTTTACAATGTCCATAGTTTCTTGTGCACTTTGACGGGCTCTCTCAGCGCCGTGCTCCTCTACTTTCGCCAAGTAGTTATCTGAGCGCTTCATCAGATCCAAGTACCGATCCCGTACCCCATCCAGACCAGATATAATGGTGTCAGAAACAAACTCTTTAAATACCCGAGGTTGCATATCAGCACACTCGTTTGCTAAGTTGTTGACGTCCCGTCCAGCTGCGTCAAAAATGGAGCATATTTCCAAGAGATTAGAGATACCAGGGCGTTCTTTGGGATCGTATGATATCCCGGGCAAAGAGTCCGTTAAAGCATAAGAGATCTTGGTACGAATTTCCTGTGGTGAATCACTCAGCAGTATACGAGAGCGATCACTCTTGTGAGATTTGGACATCTTTGTCGTAGGTTGGGCCAGTGACATCACTCGCTTTGCCGGCGCTATGCTTGGTCAGAGGGTTGGTACGCACGGCGCACAAGTGGTTGGAGCTTACGGGTGATGGTTTCGGGATGTACGAGATGATCCCCATATGCACTGTTGAAATTCGTTACACATTCTCTGGCAAATTCCAGATGCTGCTTTTGGTCGTCCCCTACAGGAACATGTGTAGCCCTGTAGTAATGAAGAAAGCGTCAACTAAAGAATCCTAAAAGGTTATGACAGATGGCATGTTTACCTGTGAACGAGGATATCAGCTGCCTGTAAGACAGGATAGGAAAACAGTCCCAGCTTCAGATTAGTTCCAACGCTCTTATCTGAAAGACCAGAGACCCCTGATATATTGAGTTTCGTCTGCGTAGATGTGGTATTAGAAAAAAGTCTTTACGTAGAGTTCGTATGAGCAGCTCACGTACCTTCCATTGTGTCATTCTAGAAAGATATCCAACCGACGCGGTGCACGCAAGAATCCACATGAGCTCTGAATGAGCAGGAACCTTGGCACTTGTTAGATGGAGAAGTAATCATAAAATGGGTGAGCCAAGACTCACAGAGGACTGGTAGAACACAGTTGACCTATCTGGGTCAATGCCAACTGCAAGCAATGAGGCTAGAACCTCACGTTTCCGAAGACGCAACTGAACAGGATCTTGTTTTGTAGTGATCGCGTGGAGATCAACCACACAGTACATAAGCTTCGTGCTGCTTGCTTCGTCCCGTTGAAGGTCAACCCATTGTTTCAAGGCCCCGATATAATTGCCAATGTGTGGAACACCAGTAGGTTGGATACCAGAGAAGACGACGCGCGCCGCGAGATGTCGCCCGAAGGCCAATTGACTCATGATCTCGGTTCGCGAGCTTGATGATGGATAGACACGGTGCCATGTATCATGAAGACATGATAAGTCAATTGAGAGAGAGACCTCGTCGCCTCGACGTTCAGGCCAAAATGCCTGGTTTTTTTGGCATGAAAAATACGCTGAAATGGTGTGATTTATTTATTCTAAAGCATTATATTTCACGATGCTGAGATTCAAATTTATTATTTGGGATATTGGATATTGGATATTCAGGTTTTGTAAAACAAATAAACCCGCCGTTTGGATTAGCTGAGAAAAGAAATAGTAGATGTTCATTGTAAAAATCAACATTTGAATTTAAGTAAATTGAAAGCTGAAATAAATTACTGTCTTGCGAACGAAAAGTGAATTTAATTTACAGATTTTCTGTCAAAAGTGAGCGAACTGTCTTTTTGCGCCAATTAGAAACAAGTTGCACAAAATATTCTAATTTGCGAGTGCATTTAATTATTTGATTATTTAATTTTAAACAAAAATACAAGAAAAAAGGACATGTGGGGCTCAACTAAAGACCTGTCGAACTATGTCGAACTAGGACTAGCGCCAGACTATGCCGAACCTATCCGTAGAGCTGAGATGATGTCAAGTCCCCCACGTCAACACTAACAATATGAGGGGCATTGTCGTCTGGGCAGTTGATGTTTCCACGAAGCATACGACATCGATTAGCCTTCTGGAAATCCTTAGGCTATAATCGACTCCCTCATAGTCTCTCCAAATATCCCAACTTTTACTATTCGTCTCGATCTAACTCTACCAATATGGTTGTTAACACTACCGATCGTCTCCAGAGGCTTCGAGCTCTGATGAAGCAAAATGGAGCCGATGTTTACAGTACGTAACACAAACTGACACATTTTGAAGCGTTCCATGAGCTGTAGCCTAACTATTGATCCGAGTTGCTCCTTCTGGCGACGCACATGCCTCCGAATATATTGCTGCATGCGATGGCCGTCGAGAGTATGTGTCTGGCTTTGATGGTTCTGCTGGCATTGCTGTCATTGCTCCCGATGCCGCTGCTCTGTCTACCGACGGTCGATATTTCAACCAGGCTTCTCAACAAATTGACAATAGCTGGACATTGCTTAAGGAAGGTCTGAAGGACGTCCCGACATGGGAAGAGTGGGCTGCCGAAAAGGCCAAGGGTGGAAAGGTTGTCGCTGTTGATCCTACCCTTATCTCTGCAAAGGATGCCAAGACGCTCCAAGCCCTCATCCAGAGCCGTGGTGGTTCTAAGTTGCTCGGCCTTGAACAAAACCTAATTGATGAGGTTTGGGGTTCGGAGCGTCCAGCGCGACCCTCTCAGCCTGTCTTCGTTCACCCGAATGATTACGCTGGCCAGTCGGTGACTGATAAGCTTGTCTCACTCCGAGCTGACTTGGCTAGAGTCAACTCCATGGGTATTTACATTACCATGCTAGATGAGATTGCTTATCTGTTCAACCTTCGCGGCAGTGATATTCCTTTCAACCCTGTCTTTTACTCCTATGCCGTCGTCACGCCTACGTCTGCGGCCCTCTACGTGGAAAAGTCTAAGCTGGACACAGCTGCTCTGGCTCATCTCGCTGAGAGCGGCGTTGAAGTCAAGTCTTACGACGAATTTCTCAGCGATGCCAAGGCTCACTACCAGTCTTCTACTGCAGGCCAGCGTGGTACTGGCAAATTCCACATTACCAGCACAGGATCGTGGGCTCTGCAGCTCGCTCTCGGGGGTGGCAATCTTGTGGAGGAAATCAAGAGCCCTATTACATTCTCTAAATCGGTTAAAAACGAGACTGAGCTGGTTGGCTTCCGTGCATGCCATATTAGAGATGGCGCTGCCATTTCCGAATATTTCGCGTGGCTAGAGGATCAGATCGTCAACCAGAAGGCGACACTAACTGAGGCTGAGGCAGCCGATAAACTCGACGAATGCCGTCGCAGAAGAAACCTTTACAAGGGCCAATCGTTCCCTACAATTTCATCTTCTGGTCCAAAGTAAGTGCCCCTTCTCCACTGACAACCGAATCACACGCCAGTACTAATATCAATAGCGCTGCCGTCATGCACTACCAGCCTGAGCATGGCAAGTGCTCCGTTATTGATCCCTCGAAGATCTATCTCTGTGACTCTGGTGCTCAGTATCTTGATGGTACTACGGACACTACGCGAACGCTTCACTTTGGTACCCCGGCGGAGAAGGAGAAGGAGGCATACACCGCCGCACTGAAGGCGCTCATCTCTCTACACAAGGCCATTTTCCCTCAGGGTGTCAGCGGCTTTGCTCTTGACGTTGTTGCCAGACAGCACCTCTGGGTAAGTTAAATAGTTATACAGCAACCGATCATGTGCTGATTAAATGCTATAGAACAAGGGATGGGACTACCGACATGGTACTGGGCATGGAGTGGGATCGTTCCTCAACGTCCACGAAGGTCCTATGGGCATCGGCGTTCGCCCTCACTATGTTGAAACCCCCCTGGTTGCCGGTAACGTCTTGTCAAACGAACCTGGCTACTACGAGGACGGCTCTTTTGGCATCCGTATTGAGAACATGATGATTGTCAAGCAAGTAGAGACCAAGTACTGCTTTGGCGACCGATCTTACCTTGGCTTTGAGAACCTTACCATGGTTCCTTACAGCCGAAAGCTCATGAACCTGGACGATCTTACCTGCGAGGAAAAGGAATGGTTGAACCAAGCCAACAAGCTGATCTTGCAGAACATTAAGCCCCAGTTTGAGGGTGACGCACTGACTCTGGCGTGGCTAGAGCGCGAGACGCAGCCATACTAGAAAGTGAAAATTAGGCAGCTTGGTCAAAATTAGAACACCCTTCAATGACATGTAATTACATATCTATATACTTAGAGGCGTACAAAGGCCGCCAAAACGAATGTGAGCAAAAATGTTGAGGTGAACCAGGGCTTACCCTGCCATATCTTTACTAGCCTGGATTGTCCAATAAAGGTTCTGTTGATACCGAGAAGGTTGACCACATCGAGACCGAATCGAGAGGCAAGCTGCAAGATATTGTTAATAGACAGGCCAAATTGGCATCCAGCAGCTAGTGGTGCTTACATGAATAGATCCAGCTACCAATCCTCCGAGCAGAACCAGAGAGCGCGAGAACAACGCAAGGACGAGGCCAGTACCGAAACCTAGCATTGGTCAGTTGGGGCATTCGAGGTCGCTGCAATACACTCACCCGCAATGCTACCGCTGGATACTTGTTCGACAAACTCGGGTGAAATTGTGGTTGATGGCGCATGAACCTGGATTCTTGAGCGGGCTTGATTGTCCTTTGGCTGCACTGAGTCGAATCGGATTGGCGTCCTTCGAACAAGCATGGTGCCAGCAAAGAGACAAGGCGCAAGCCCGACGCTCATGGCTCGGAAGGCAGTTCTAAAGCGAAACATGGTGATTTTTTAGACGGAGGTACTAGTTAGAACGGAATGGAGACGAAAAACAATGAGCCTGTTGGTGTTGATTGTTGCCAAACGCGCCAATTGGAAGAGGGTCCAAGTTAGTTTCGTTAGCAAGTAAGCTGGGCGTCAGACGGCGAGCAGCGGAGTGACGTCGACCCTCGGCAGCTCCAACGAAGCGCTGTTGGGGAAAGTTGGTAGTGGAGCTCGGCTTGCACGGGTCTAAGTATAGAGGGCGTACTGCAGATTTACGTTGCGTGTCTACGTGCTGTCCAGCACATAAAAGAAGAGCAACTAAACTCAGAATAGTACCAGCTCTATACCAAGTCCTTTTTTACAAACTCATGGCATTTTCCCATTTGGTGAACCGCCTTCACGTCGGTGTTGCATCTGGTAGGCATTCCAACACGCGTGTTAGTTAATGCTACAGTGCCCCAGTCGCTACCATAGTGGCGCCTCGCACAGTATGCTCCTCCGCCTAGCCCTTGCAAGCATCGCCGCTTTTAGGCCCTGGAGGAGCAAGCCACCATTGTGGCGCCCCGGCAGTGCCCCAGCTATCGCCACGGTATTGAGCGATGTGGCCTTCCATGAAGTAGCCTCCCCCAACGGCATCGACGACATTACTTTTCACAACCTTTAGCAATTCTTTCACCGCTCCTGATATGGACCAAGCCGTCGAGGGCGGGCGATTGCCTCTAGAAACATGGTTTTGGGAAATGCCCGTTTGCACACGCTGGTGGACAGCTGCCACAATCATCACGAGTGTCCTGGTGCAATGCCGCGTGGTATCTGCACTTCAGCTCTATTATAGCTTCAGAGCCGTCTTTTCAAAATCACAGGTGCCGATTTCCCGATATACAGTACATCGTGTCAGCTATACTAATCCGAGGACGCTAGTATTGGCGATTATTGACGACGTTTCTCTACTTCGGACCCCTCTCGGTCGATCTGTTATTCCATGTATATTTCCAGCAACGATACGCGCGCCTCCTCGAAGAGTCTGCTGGCCGTTCGACAGCACACTTCTCATGGTTGTTATTCTATGCCATGGGTAGCCTGATCGCCTTATCACCAATCGTATCCATGCCCTTCTTAGGACATCCTTTGTCGTCGACATTGGTGTATATCTGGTCGCGGAGGAATCCTGACGCCCAATTAAGTTTTCTTGGCTTATTAGTTTTCAGTGCCCCATACCTACCCTGGGTTCTGATGGGCTTTAGTCTCTTCATGCACGGTACCATTCCTCGCGACGAAATGATGGGCGTCGTTATCGGCCATATCTGGTATTTCTTCACTGACGTCTACCCGCCTCTGCACAACGGGCATCGCCCGCTGGATCCGCCAAACTGGTGGCGAAGATTATTTGAGGGGCCAAGACAGGAGACGACTGCCGAAGCGATCGATCCTGTAGAAGAAACTCATTAATATACATCTTGTATACAGCACATTTAGATTAGTGAGAGTGCGTGAGCGCTCGTATACAGCTGCAGTTAGGCATAAATCGAATAGAGGAATAATTAGACTATTATATTCAACCCACTATCTGCCTCACTAGTCCTCCTTTTTGCCACCTGGGCCACGCTGAAGGGCTTCTACCTCAGCCCGTAGCTCTTCCACAGCCTCGGTGATGTCACGCTCGGGGTCCTTGGATATACCCAAAATAGGGTGACCGCCAGTCAAGCTCTCGGTGCTTACTGTTCTGACGAGTTTGACATTGGCTTTTCCTTGGTAGTTTTCGAGCTGCTTAGTCAAAGCCTTTTTACCAGGTGAAGAAAAGAACCCCAACGCAGCCACCGTCCAAACGACAGCGTAAAAATAAACACGCGACCAGGCCAGAATCGAGCCTCTGAAGGTCAAAACCAGAAATGGTGCTGTGACGAAGCAAAAGGTGATCTGAGTCACCACATAGCTGACAAAGTCGTAATACCTCTTGCGCGAGGAAGGTTTACCGGTAACAGGGTCAAGGAAGAACGGGCGGACATGTCGTCGAAAGTCTGTAAATGTGTTAGTTAGTTCTGATTAAGACAAAATTCCCGCAATCGAGAATACACTTACGCTTTGCAGCAGTTTGAACGAGACTAGCCAGCATGAAGGTAAGATAGTAGCCGGGATAGAAGCCATGCCAAAGAGCGCTCGTCACAAACGTAAACATGCTCGCCCGGAACCCAGGTTTCTTTCCACGGGGTGTAACACGAAGATAGATGTAGTTCCTCAACCAATGGTTAGTATTCATGTTCCAACCACCAAGATAGGCCCGCGGGTTCTGAGCGAATTCAACCATAAACGGATCAATGTTCTGAAGGCGGTTCCAGGAGACCTTTCCGGTGACAGGGTCAACTCCGTTATAGCCAAGACCTGCGAGAATGCACGCTCCTTCTGTCAGTGTCCAGACACCATAGTACTTAAGACGTGTTACAACGCCAACCATGTACATGATCCAGACGCGGCGAATAAAGCCGTAGTCCAAGTAGCTATCAGATGTGAGCTCCTCAAAGCTAAAATGCGGCGAAAGAGCCATGAATAGCCCAAGCCAAGCCAAGCCAGCGGCCGCTTTGATCATTGCTGGGGTACCGCTGCGTGGAATCTTGCGCTTCTTGCGAACAGGCGGCTTCTTAGAAGGATCGACGCCGCTGGGAACGTCGAACATGGAGGTATCGATCCATCGTTGGTAGTCGACAAAGTCAAAAGCCGGACCAGCAAAAAGAGATGGGAAGAATAGGATGTAAGCAGTGTAGTCAAGTAAGGCGGGAAGCTCTTTAAGAGATCGGTCGCGTTGTGAATCTGAAAGCTGTTCGGCAGCGACTTGGCCATCTGCAATGTTCCAACAAAAGGAGTTGAGTTTCATTACTAAAACCATCTGGGCGCCAGTAATGTCAACCACGCTGGGGGTGGCGGCAATTTGGCGGTGAATATGGCTGATAGACATGTGTCCCATCAGGAAAACAAATCCAACCCATGGCATGTAGGGGCTAGTCTTTAGGTACTTGGCGATAGCGTACGTGCCACCAGCGCTGATGGCGAGGGTTCGGATGCCGTCCCAGAAGTCAAAAAGACCGACAAGATAGAACGCGGCAGTACTACACAACGTTAGTCGAGGACATGGCGTCGCTCTCGGTCAGATTTACCTGACAATAAAAACATTCTTCAGCCATGGCTTTGAATCAGGTACTCGTTTTAGAAGACCGGCGAGTGGATACGACAACAAGAACGAGAAGATGAGTTTCACTAAAAGAACGAGTCAGATTGTTACCACTAGTTCTGGGGCGTATTATAGACAGCTTTGGCTACCTACACTCGTCAGGGGAAGCTCCGGCCGTGGCGGCTAAAGCTTCGAAAGCTATGAACGGATGTTAGCAATGTAGGCACATCGCATGCTAATCGCAGTAGAGTCAATATCAGAGTCGCTTACGTCTGTTAAGGATTGACATGGTGTAAAATCACCTATTACTGCAAAAAGAGAATTTGGTCTTGGTTGAAATGCGAAAAACAACCTCGAAATATTTTTGTTGAGGCGGCTGCTCCTTTGATGCTAGTAGAGAGCTCTCCGATGGTGTTTGAAGCAGGATCAGACGCGCAGCGCTGGCAGCATGAGGTGCAAGAACAGCAAAACTAGATGTTCTACGTTCCCAAAACACCTCTTACTGTTCGATAATATATAGCATACTGGTCGACAGATATTAAACTGACCAGGTTTGCGGTGAAGGTCCCCAAGCTCACTGTGGAGATCCCTTCTAGGCGCGTAACAGTCAATCACGTGCACCTCCAGCGACTACGAAGCTAACTACATGGATTTCAGAAGCGCCGCACGTGTCGGCATCACCTGCGACCAAGCCATTCACAACTCCAACCCCAAGTGCCTCTTATTGGTAGGTACGGAAATTCCTGCCTATTCTGTTTATCACATGATCCGGACATACGAGTTGATCCTGGGATGGGATGACTTGCGAAAATGTACATATTATTACAGTGCTAGAATCGAAACAAGGGGAATACACTATGTCATGTCCATGGCTGTTTCTTGTGCATCCTCATTTTTTTCTTTTTCATTCGCCGCCGAGGATGCAAAGTTGAGATGCTTCCAGTCTTCTAATTCTTCAGTTACTGAGCGCATTCGATCCCGGATGCTCTCAATGGCGTAGCTACCCAAGAGCAGTCGTAACGGCGGATAGGAGCAGTGAGCCAACTGCCAAACCAGTTCTGCACATTTCACCGCACTGGTAGGCTGCTTGTTCCCGAGCCATTGAACCATCCTTTTTGCATGGAGAGCTGGAGATGTCATATCTGAATATCCTTCGCTTGAAGGTTTAATAAAGAAATGGCCCCATGTAGGTAACGGGCTGTCTTGAGCCCATGTCATGGGTTCATCTCGCCTTACCATACCAGGTTCGATGAGAGTGGCCTTAATGTTAAAAAAATCTGTCTCGTAAAGCATAGCTTCGATGAGGCCTTCCACGGCGTACTTTGTCGCGCAGTATGGTCCGAGGCCTGGTACGCCTAATGCCCCAGACGTCGAGCTGAAAATAAGGTATCTTCCATTGCATTGGCGGCGAAAATACGTCAAGGTTGCGTTTATAATATTCAGTGTTCCCATGAAATTCGTCTCAAATTGGTTCCGCATGTCGTGTTCGTCTTGGTCTTCGCAGGAGCCTATTACGCCGTAACCAGAGCAATTTGCAACGACGTCTAGTCTCCCAAAGGTTTCAATGGTCTGGCGCACAGCCGCTTGTACTGATTCCGCTGATCGTACATCACAAAGCGTTCCAAAGCAGTTTTCGTGGATGTTAGACATTTCCTCTTGGCTGGTCTCAATAACTCGTCCGACGGCGCCAACATGATCTCCGTGAGAGAGGGCGCATTTCATCAAAGATCTCCCCATATGCCCCGTAGCACCGAATATCTGGTGATGTATGTTAGCGCGATGTCAACTTTCTGGTCGCACAGTCGCATTTACTATCCAAACCAATGGGCGATTGGTGCTATTCGGCGCTGGAGGATCGCAGCTCGTCGGCAGTTGAAGCCGTGCTTTGCCTTCTGCATCGTCCACATCCATGTTTTCAAAGTTATTCAAGCTCGCCTTCAGACCTGTAGACGATTAAATTCGAAGATTTATTGTGTTATGGACACAGTCATGACAAAAGAGCACATATGAATCGCATCGGCAAAGATAGACGTCCAATTGCCGTCGTCTGTTACATTCGCGGGGGTTTACGTGTGGGGCCGATGGCTTCCAAACCCCCAGCGCAGGACGTCGGCTGTGATCTGCCGTTTGATCACGGCGGACACTGATATTCTAGAACTAGGGGGAGGCTTATAGGGTATTCAGGATATAAAACTAGCCGGTGTCTAAAAATACTTCATTCTGCTGCTTATAGATATATGTACTTGCAATAATTGTTGTCGGTCTAGGAAGACAGAAACTCCGCGACATAGCCCTGTCGGAAGCCGTTGGAATCGAGCTCAGGGCCGCGGTTCAATGGTGTCCATTTAGGCTCATCTTTAAACAGACGCATAGCGTGAACGTACTATTCGATATGTTAGGAACAAGCCAAGTGGCATGTGAGAAAGGCATCGGGACTTACGTTGGACTCATCGGTCGTGAATCGGTGATAAATTCCCGCAGGCAGGATGATGAGGTCGTCCTTGGCTAGCATGATGCGTACCCAGGTATCACTCTTGCTTCTGACATCAAAATATCCTTGCCCTCCTCGAATGTAGCGGATCTCCTCGTCTTCGTGAAGGTGTTCGTGGAAAAAAGACTTGACCTTTTCTTCGTAGACATCACCCATCTTTTCTGGAGATACGAAAATTTCGTCTCTGTTTTTATATCCTCGGTCCTGTGCCAGCTTGTTGACGTCTTCAAGATCGGGTAAGCAGAAATAGTGTACACCTAGGCTCTGCAATTCTTCGACATTGACGGGTTTACCGGAATCGTGCGCCAATCGCTGGTCGCCCTGTGCAGTACGTTAGGGGGCATTTTACTCATGCGCTGCACTGAACGTACTGGTAAGTCATCGTACATGTATGCCTTCATGTTAATTTCCTATAATAGATTACTGATGGTGATGTTGATCAAAGAAGCTTCTGACGCCAGCTCGCTCAAAGTTTCCCAACTACCCCACCATGTGGCGGAACCGCCGCCGTTTATTTGCCCGCCTGCTTAGTGGCCAGTCAGCCGGTATGTCGTCATTTCGCCGTACTATTGTCCCGAAGTCGAATATTCCCAAGTAAATAAAATATATGCTCATTATCATTATCATGTCATAAATTTCGTGAACAAGTCCACTTTCTCAGTCTTCCCATTATTTCGCACCAAAAATAAACCCAACACAACACCGTCCTTTGCACGCTTACGAGGAAGCCCACGGCTGCTTTACTCCAAGAATAATAAGTGCAATATATGCGCCGGTAATCAAAATGCCGACAACAGCCATTATTCTGTTGAGGCTTCGCCACCATCTTGCTCGGTTATGACAGGCTGTTTGTTGCGCCAGCATGGCAGTTTCATAGGAATGGTAAGCTTTACTATTTGCAAAATATTTGCGTTCGATGCAGTATGGACTTCCAGTCCCATCGCGCGGTGGGAGAGGCAGGCATGCTGCCAGAATCCAGGCTATATAGACGTCAGAATGCCTCTTTCGATGTGAAAAAGAGCCATTGTACTTACCAGGTGGCAAAATAAATCCGCATATAAATAGAGGCACTTGGATGTTCCTCCACCCTGGAGGGAATATTGATGTGAAGATGTCTGCGGGAGCTTCCCAGGTTTTAAAGCCGGATGCTCTCTTATCAGGCTTGAGGTGAGGCGACCAGATACTCGATGTCTGCTTCTTTATGGTGTGTATCCATCCAATTTCAGGATATATATGTTTCTTCTTATCCTTATTCATGCCCGATTTCGTCTTGATGTAGAGAGCTTCTGGGTCGTTTTGGACATCATAGATAGTTTGATCATTGGCAACATCTGACTGTCGGTTGCCAATAGATTCTAAAGACCCCTTATTCAAAAGTTGTCGACTGTTTCCACTCTTATAGTATACCCTTTCGCACTTATTTTAGCAAATTATTCGAAAACTGTTCCTCTATAGGGTCTTACCTTGCCCAACTGGGAAGCGCTTGATTGCGAGATGACTTGTCACTTGAGGAGGGCCGTTGTTCCATGGCAGGCTCACGCGATGTTCCCATTACTTGAGATCGTATTCTACGATCATGTAATGTTGTCAACTCGGTTAAAACATCGGCAGTCTCGTCACATTCATTGTTCTTCTCTGTTGCTTTGTCGTTTCCGTGGACGTGTTGAGCACTATTTCGATGATGTACTGCTGGTGGTACATCTATGCTTTGGGTATCCAGAAGGTAATTGTCGCTTTTGTTGAGTTTACTGTGTTTTATGTCAAGCATGTCTGTGGAAAGAGGTGATAGAGAGCGGGAAAGCCGCTCACTGCCTTCCTCACTCTCTGAAAAGATTGTCGATAGAGGCGCAGACCAAAAATGGCCGAGGAGAGGATCCATTTCCACTCCATCCGGAAATAAAGCGCCACTTGCAAATTCAGACGGATTCCTAGCCGATGCTGTGGTACTCTCGTATATTGAGTCGTTCACATAATTCCGTAGTGTATCTTCCTGAGTTGACTGTTGCGTGGCACGTGTTTCTTCTTTGTAGTTCCGAGTTCGCAGGGGAGCAACGATGAGACTCTCTTTTGAAAATGCCGGTCGAACTCCGTAATTCATCGTATGGTTTTCATCCATTTCTGATGTATATCGTAAAAAGTCCCCCGTCTTGCTGCTTGTAGCACCTTTCCGGTATTGGCTCGCTGACAGAGAAGACCCGTCAAGAGCTGCATCATTGCCGACAAAGGACATACTGCTATTAAGACTCATATCTCCTCTGTATATGTATACATTTGTTGTATCCGAATCTTCTGATCCTGCGTAGGATGACTGTAAAGACGCGGCAGATGGCAGCTTCCGCGGCTGCCCAGGCTGCCTGTTCGGCTTTGCAGATGGCGCAGTTGTTGGCGTTACCGGGTATACTTTTCTTACACCTCCCATGAATTGGTAGTTCCATGGTGATGATGAACTTGTATCTCGAATCCGCAACGGGGTTGGTAAAGCCGGTAACGGCTTAGTCGCTTCGTCATACGTCGGTACCGAGGACGACCCAACCTGTGGCTCGTCCGTACCAAGGTGTACGGAAGAGTCCATACATGGTGATAGAGGACTATCATCTCCTGGTTGTGGTATTACCGAAAACGTTTTATCTGGGTGAACATTAATAAATTTTTTACTTCGGCGTCCAGACGCCGAAGATGATGCTGTCGACGGCCTTCTCGAGCTTGACCGTTTGGTACGCGTTCCACTCGCCAGTGATAGCGAAGATTCAGACCCTATCCGAACGATATTCCGTTGTTCCCAATCAATTGAGCCATTCAAAGATGGTTGTGGTTTTTCCGATGCACTTATAGTGCTACGTCGGCAGTCTTCAGCCCAGTTGGACGATGTGTCCCCGTAGCCATCACTTATACGGGGCGGGCTGTACGGGACTACTCGAATACTGGCCTGATTCGATTCTGACTTGGTTCGCTCTTTGAGTGGTTGTCGCGATACCTTATATGGCATCTTTGATTTCTATAGGATCAGATTATGTATCATCTCCAGTCCGAGAAAGGTTGGGTTGGTAAACCGTGGATTGGCTGTGCTGTTGCAATGGCGTCTTTTGGTTCAGGTAGCTGCGGGCAATTGTATTCGTATCGCAGTGTTAAATACGGTTTTATTAGACATTAGATTGGCGTGGATATAAAGACGCAACTCTATATCCCGGGGAATCCACGACCTAAGTATGCGTGAGAAGTTTGCCGCCACGTAGACGTAGCCCAGGTTTAAGGGGGCCAGCGGTATTCCGGCCATTGGGCAGGTTCCGGGTCTTGTTCCTGGCCGGTACTGGCTTATCCAGTGGCTGCCGATGCATGTTTAATGAGTGTACTTTGTGCCGCTGCATTTTTACGCGCTTGCTGAGGCCAATTGTAATTTCATGGCGCATGGAACATGCATGTGCATGCAGGGCGAGGTGGCTCGCTAATTTTGCGTACAGGCTGAGGTGTTACCCTGCATTAGAGTTGAGCATTCGTGCCAGCGTCTCGCTCATCTGTGGTTGCAAAAGGACATCATCCCAATCGTTTCTAATGTATTTTTTTCTTGTTGATTAATAATTTTTGATATTTTATTTGCGTAGTTTGTTGCCTTTTTCCTCAGCTGGTTGTTGTCTGTGGATAGTACTGAAGAACCCGAGCCACCGCTGTGGCCTCCTGCAGCCACATATTAGCGCCAGGTCTACTGTGGCCCATCCGTCAAACTCGCGTTGTATTCGCGTTGCGCGTAAATTGATCCGCCCCTCAGGTACCAACCAGTCCTGAATTGTGCATGGGGGCGTATCGACCCCAACCAAACAGGCTACGTCGTTTCGTTTAGGGGCTCGCGCCAACATTGACCAAGGTCACCTAGACACCAGACGTCTGCGAGATGGCTACACAGGGGCTAGACCCAAAACACGCGCTGCACGAGTGGCAAGCGCTTAGTCTTCTTGTAAGCTTGACAAAACATGGAACTGTAGCCAGGCGCGTAGTAACCATCACCAGGTCGCATATTGCATACTGTATCGTATCCCAATACACTTGTCTGCGGACACAACGGTGGCGCCGAATAGAACCAGAGATGATCCCGCTGTGATCATCGCCCGAATCAAACTTGTGACATACTCAACCACAGCATGCTCCGTTTTTACGTTGCTCATACTCCTATATATTGACGCCAACTCAAACCCACTGCACTTGCTTGGATACTGGCCCATCGGCGTCAGTGAAACTGCAAGGGCTCTATTACTGAACTCGCTTCTATTTGCTGGCCCTTTATACGAATGTCTCCTCATTGATGGAACTTGGCAGGACTGGGCCAATGGCCTCCAACCTATCCGAGCTGTCCTTTCCGAATGGACCGAATGGAGAAACATTGTAGCAGTTAGTTAAACGCCGTCTTCCTACTCAACATGCCAACTAACCTTAACACAGGGCCCGGTGACTGAGGAGTGCCTTTTTCGATCTGCCGCTGTGCCCTTGCTTATACTGTCCGGCATGAGCATGATGAAAGTTGTCTTTCTCACACCCCTGGTCTTTGGATCTGCTCATCTCATCCACTTCTACGAATCTCGTATCACCAACCCTGATACTCCAATATCAATAGCTATCATCCGAGCGCTAGTGCAGCTGACGTACACAACACTTTTTGGAGCATATGCCACATTCATCTATGTTAGAACAGGCTCGCTCCTAGCTGTTATTGCTGTCCATGCAATGTGCAATGCTATCGGGCTACGATTTACATGGGGGTATGTCCAGCCATATTGGATATCACCAGTTGCTCCCAAGAACGCTACAGTCCTACTCCTCTGGACTGTCCCATACTATGTCTTATTATTCGGGGGACTTATAGCATGGTGGTCCTGTCTGTACTCACTTACATACACAGACATGGCGTTGGTTAAGCTTTGATACTACACCGTACAGAAGATAGAAAGTAGCATAATAAACCATGAATCATATTCCGAATTACTATCTCTAGCGTATATGCCCAAATGTCTAGTAACACCGTATCGAAATTTATATACAATTCTATCCTCAAAATCGGAGATCGACATCCATACCGGGCAGTGAACCGGGCATCATGGGCTCTTCGCTGTCTCTTGCAGGGCGTCGTTGCCGAAGCGAAGCCCATTCAGGCTCGGACGACGCTTCACGTTTGATCGTCTCATCCCTGACTTCCCGCTCGGTTTCTTTACCCTTGGATCTCCCTATGGATCCGCTTCCTTCCGTCATGGTATCATCTGGTCCGCGTGTGTTTTTCTTACGTGGCCAGAGACTGGGCAGCGCAATCTCCTGGAAACGTGGCTCGACAGCTCTCTCATCGAACCAACGGTGCAATCGGGCTTCAACGAGCTGGGCAATTTTAGGGACATCTTGTAGTCGAGATCTGCTTCCCAATAGACTCCGAACGGAAAAGTCAAGCCGATAGTCATCCAAGAAGTTGAAAGTCATCATTGTTGGCGTTGATTGAGAAGGGTTGCTCGGTATGAAGGATATTGAAAGCGTACCACTAAAACGTACCACAGATACTGCAAGAGCCACGGGAAGAACAGCAGAAAGCCGCTTCGGATAATTCAGAAGCAGCTTGGTTTCGACAGCCAGTGTTAGTAGATCACTTAAGTCGACATCCATACGCGCTTGTAATCTTGTTCCGTCCCTTGCTGCAGTGACTGGGTCAAATTTGGCTCCACTGCCGAGGCTGATTCCATCTTCATCAACAGGGATAATCCGACAGTTGCTAAAGATGGGGAAGTCTTCGCCTAGGCTAAGCTCGGTGACGCGAATTTCATCAACGAAGTCTGGCCTAGAGGTGCCATTCAAGGCTTTCGTAAGAGACGTAAGAATGGCATCATCGTGCTGGGCATCGCTGCGGAATTGAGCAATGGTTTGAGCTATTAGAACATTAAACCAGTCTAAGCTTTCTGGCTGATGACTGTCAACATTGTAGTAAGTTTTGCTTAGGATCGAACCAATAGTAAGAGTAGGCGAATTGCGTAAGACAGTTGACTTCTTGCGTCCTAACGATTGACCACGGCGTTGGTTAGGGGACCTAAGGCTGAGGAGTGATTGCTTGTGCGCAAGCGTTCGTGATCGGCGTTCGCTGGCTCGGAGCGATGCTGTGGTATCTGGCGAAGGTGGATCACCGAATATGAAGAATTTAATGAATGCAGCCAGAATAATGACGACTGAAAGTTGGCCAACGATTAAACCTTGAGTGAAGGTGAGGCTATTTATCAGTTAGCCTTATGCGACGGCTCGCGCTGTGTCATACGGTGCACTCACGTTGGCTCGGGCCGCAAAGGGCAAGTTTCAGGATTCATGACGAAACATGAATTTTGTGAAGACTTGAATTAGACGGCCGGGAGCAGCTTCACCGTCGATTGGGCGACGCGACAGATGATCGTCGCGCTGCGCATATATTGCTTCCGCTGACTGATCGTGGCATACGTTGACACCTTTGGAGAAGGATTGTATCGAGTATACAATGCTTTTAGTTCGCTATATGGAAATGGTAATAATTTTATATTATTAAAAGCGCGTTGAGAGGACCCTCGAAGAAACTGGTGGTTGTTGCTGGCAATCATCACCATATATGCATTTGTAGTGAACATGCATGTATCCAAGGTGGGCCCAATTTCAGGCGCGCAACGTACACCTGAACTTATCGAAGTATCCCGTAACCACGTTTCTGCATAGATACTAGTCGGTATTTTATATTCAAAAATATTCAGCAAAGATGGATATATCACAGGCTGTGTCTGGTTACATCTCAAAGATTGTTGCTCCTGCGGGCGACACATCATCTTCTAAAATGAAGGTGTTGTTGTTGGACAAGGATACAGTCTCGATAGTTTCCACAGCCATCAGCCAGTCAACACTCTTAAATCATGAGATTTATCTTATCGACCGCTTAGATAACTCTGCTAGAGAGAAAATGAGACATTTACGTTGTCTATGTCTAGTTCGACCGTCGGCAGAGACAATTCAGCTTCTTATCGACGAGCTAAGGCAACCAAAGTACGGGGAGTATTGCTTATACTTCACCAACGTGGCTAAGAAATCATCTCTGGAACGGCTTGCCGAAGCTGACGATCATGAGATTGTGAAAGTAGTTCAAGAGCATTTTGCAGACTACACGGTCATTAATCCCGATCTTTTCAGTCTTGAGATTACACCACCAAGATGGCGACTCTATTCAAACAACCCCGATGCATGGAACCCTGACTCCTTGCAGAGATGTGCAGATGGGATTATCGCTTGCTTGCTTTCTCTAAAAAAGAAGCCGCTTATACGTTACACTAGGAGCAGCCCCCTCGCAAAAAAGCTGGCTAACGAGGTGAAGCATCAGATGTCGCAAGAATCGCAGCTGTTTGAATTTCGCAAAGTTGACACCCCGCCTATTCTTCTAATTCTGGATCGTCGCGAGGACCCTGTCACGCCTTTGTTGGCTCAGTGGACCTATCAGGCAATGGTCCACCATTTGATTGGCATTCAGAACGGCCGAGTTGATCTCAGCGACGTCCCGGACGTCCGACCAGAACTGAAGGAAATTGTCCTATCCCAAGATCAAGACCCCTTTTTCAAGAAGAATATGTTTCTGAACTTTGGTGATCTTGGCGGCACGATCAAAGAATATGTTGAGCAGTACCAGTCAAAAACCCAAAACAACGCCAATATTGAGTCCATTTCTGATATGAAGAGATTCATTGAGGAGTATCCGGAGTTTCGGAAACTATCGGGCAATGTCAGCAAGCACGTTGCCCTTGTATCAGAGCTTAGTCGCCGAGTAGGTCTTGAAAACCTGCTGGAAGTTAGCGAGCTTGAACAGAGTCTAGCCTGTAATGACAACCATGCTGCTGACTTGAATGTGAGTACTACCTCTTTCATTTGCCGAAGCTTTGCGTACTAACACAGCTGAAAGACTATTCAAAAATTGATACAACTACCCCAAGTATCGGCAAACAGTAAAGTTGGCATTGTCACGCTATATGCGCTCCGCTATCACAAGCAACCTAACAACTCTGTTTCAATGCTCAAAGATCTTCTTATTGCAGCCGGAAATGTCACACCCCGCCAGGCTAGTCTTGTCGATAGCGTTCTGGCATATCATAAAAGCTTGCACATCTCACCAACACAAGGTGGCATATCTGATATATTCGAGTCGGCTGGTATCTTCTCCGCAGCATCGGGTCGATTCAAAGGCTTGAAGGGCGTGGAAAATGTCTACACTCAGCACAGCACGCTGCTAGAAAGCACTTTACAGAGCCTAGTCAAGGGTCGCTTACGAGAACAACAGTACCCTTTTGTCGATGGGGGTGCTACCACCAAGGACAAACCTCAAGATATTATTGTATTTATGGTTGGTGGAGCTACATATGAGGAAGCGAAAACGATTGCTGGTATTAATGCCACCACGCCTGGTGTAAGGGTTGTTCTTGGTGGAACGTCGATCCACAACGCCTCTACATTTTTGGAAGAGGTCGATAATGCAGTATCAGGGTGGTCTATAGGGAACTAATTTTCGTCAAATAATTTATATCCGTATTATATACGTATTTTCAACGACAATGGTCGGACTAACTGATGCTCTGGTCAGTTGAGGTAGAAAGGGTGCCATGTGATTGGTCTTCAGTTTGACGGTTAGGGTGGGTCTTGTCCCTGACGTCTACAACCCTTTTTCTTGCGACGACGTAAATTTTGCTTTGACAACCATCCGCAATAATGAAACGAATATTACCGTGGAGGGGAACGCTCCTAAGAAATAAATGGTCGCGAAGGACATTTGCTACAGTCTCTGACTGCTCAAGGTCAATACAGCCACGCCAGCACCCACACCTCTACTGGGAATACTAACGAACATTTTTATTGCAGACCGTTCGATGTTGTTGTTATCGGAGGCGGGCATGCTGGTGCTGAGGCTTGCGCAGCTGCCGCACGAATAGGCGCAAGAACTGCTCTAGTTACGCCCAAAATTGAGAACCTGGGAACATGTTCATGCAACCCTAGCTTTGGGGGGATCGGCAAAGGCACCATCATTCGAGAGATAGATGCGCTCGACGGGTTGACAGGTCGAATAATAGACAAAGCTGGCGTACAATTCCATATGCTTAATAGCAGGAAAGGACCTGCAGTTTGGGTATGTACCTATGTGGTTCTTTGTCCTACATGCAAACTGACATCGTCTTCAACAGGGCCCTCGTGCGCAGATCGACCGACGCTTGTATCAACAACATATGAGACACGAGCTTGAATCATACCCGAATTTGTCGATCGTCCTTGACAGTGTATCCGACATCGTCATTTCGCACCAGGACAGCCGACCAAAGATATCCGGTGTGCAATTGGAATCTGGTCAGACTATCTCAGCTAATCACGTCATTATTACAACCGGAACCTTTTTGGGAGGAGAAATTCATATTGGACTCCAATGCTATCCTGCTGGCAGGATGGGTGAGGCTGCGACATTTGGTTTGACCAAGTCCTTGCGAGATGCCGGCTTTCAGCTTGGCCGACTCAAGACTGGCACACCTCCGCGACTTGCCAAATCCTCTATCGATTTTGATGTTCTAGAGGAACAACTAGGAGATGAAAGACCGAACCCTTTCAGCTACCTTAATGATGCTGTCACTGTCAAAGAACAACTGACATGTGGAATCACTTATACGAATGAAGCAACACACGATATTGTTCGAGACAATTTAGACAAGACGATACATATACGAGAAACTATTAAAGGACCGAGATATTGTCCATCACTGGAATCTAAGGTCATTAGATTTGCGGAAAAAAATCGACACATAGTTTGGCTCGAGCCGGAAGGCTTTGATAACGATGTTATATACCCCAATGGCTTATCCATGACGATTCCACCAGAAGCACAAGAGCAGGCGTTGCGGTCAATCAAGGGGCTTGAGAGGGTCGAAATGTTACAACCTGGATATGGCGTTGAATACGATTATGTCGACCCTCGCGGGTTGCGATCAACTTTGGAAACCAAAGCTATTGAGGGCTTATATCTCGCTGGCCAGATAAATGGAACAACAGGATATGAAGAAGCTGCTGGTCAAGGCGTTATTGCAGGGATAAATGCCGGAAGAGCAGCGCTTAATCTTGAACCAGCATCTTTGACAAGGTCGGATGGATATATTGGCATCATGGTTGATGATCTCATCACCAAGGGCGTCACAGAACCCTATCGCATGTTTACTTCTCGTAGTGAATTTCGCATGTCGACTCGTGCTGATAATGCGGATTTACGTTTGACTGAGAAGGGCAAATTATGGGGAGCTGTTTCTGATAGGCGATGGGAGGCCTTTACCAATGAGAGGGACCAAATTGCTGCCTTGACTAGAACTCTCAATGCAGTTTCGCTGACGCCCGAGAAATGGGCGGCAAATGGATTCGATCTCAAACGCAACTCTCGTCGTCGCAGCGGCATCGACATCCTACGTTTATCGCACAATGGTGGCGGCGAGCAGATGGACAGGCTGAGCCAGGTAGTTCCTAAAATCTTGGAGTATTCAGAGCGCATCCGACAGAGGGTTGTTATTGAAGCCGCGTATGCCCCTTATATCGAAATGCAAGCTGCCGAGCGCGGCCGATTCATGCACGACGAAAGAATCAAAATTCCTATGGACATTAACTATGACGGTATCGGAGGACTAGCAATATCAGAAAAGGAAGTCTTGAAGGTAGCGCGACCGGAAACATTGGCGCAAGCACGACGTATTGAAGGGGTAACACCTGCTGGAAGTTTAAGACTCCTCGCGCATCTTCGCAGGACTACGACCTCGCCTATGGAGCAATACCAAGATGCCTAACAAGGTCCTCTTTGAATACGCCAGCGATGGATACCAACAAGAAGGGATAGAAGATACGAACAGAACTATTTGAAAATAGATTGTACAATAAGAATTTACATAATACAACCCCAACACTCATGGAGTCTTTGTTTTTAATACCAAATCACAGCAAATAATTACTGCGATTTATCCTTGGTAATGGACTTTGGTACTTGCTTTGGCGGATGCAAAATCTTGACAGCGTCCTTTGTATAAATATAGCTGGCGCCGCTCCAAATGGTCGTAGCTGCGACAATCATTCTAATTCTCCATTAGCATATAGTCACGGAAACGGTACGCTGCAGTGTAAACATACTGAAGAATTGACAAGCTCTGAGACAAGTCTACTGCAACAAGAGGCGCGGCAGTTGTGATGCCCACCAGGGCAAGCTGGAGAAAGGTGTTGTACTTGCTAATCGTGGTAGGGCGGACCTCGGCAGAAGGAAGCGAGAAGTCCCAGTATCGCTTAAAGGTCTTCGGCGCAGGCAGCGATATCCATCTATAGTAAATGGCTGATATACCCAGGCCAACATCTCTTCCCAAGATCACAGTAGCGAGCCAGACTAGTAAAGGACAGGAGAATTAGCAGGAAGTTAAGCCCAAAACCATGGACACAACTTACTTGGCAAGGCACCCTTTACCGCTAGACACACTGTGAGTATCGTCATAAGGGCCTTGTCCGCCATGGGGTCAATGACGGTGCCGACGACTGTCTGCTTATTCCATTTCCGCGCAATCCATCCGTCGAGCAGGTCAGTGATGCCGGCATAGGCTAACAACCCTGTGGCCCAAGCGTGCGAGTCATGCAAAACTAAGTAACCAATTGCAGGAGCAGCAAGTATTCGGCTAAAAGTCAAAATATTTGGGAGAGTATAGATGTCTTCGCGGATTTGGTCTATCTTGGTCGTCTTCGCTGTTGTTATCGGCGGTGGCGGCGTTGTTGTTGAATGCTGTGAGACTGTGGTGTTGGGTGCCGGCTTTTGCGGCGAGGTTTTAGATCTAGCATATCAAGTCCAGTTAGAACTATAACACTTCAAGCTTGTCATCAATACACGCCGGTGTCATACTCTACAAAGCGTCGTTGATGGACGGCATGCCACATCAAGGCATGGTGGGTGCATCTTGGTAATTTGCCGACGGAGAAAGGCTGAGGTTTAATTGTGTTGGATCGCGAGAGCCGCAATATGGTGCTCGGGATAAGAGACATATTGGTATAGGCTAATGTTGAGGAATTGAGCCGACAAACTGGATGTTGCGTCGTTCAAGTCCCCTGTGTCGCGTGGGCCAATTTTTTTTTCGGGGTGCTCGGATTGGCGCATCGACATGGCGTACATGGCCACCCTGGTTGCCGACCAACATCTGAACACACGGCAACCAATACGGTATGCCTCATCCACCATTCTCGAGGAAAATAGATTATAAAATTCATATGGGATACTTTGCACAGTATATAGTGTTTTATACGAGAGACAAAAGATGAGAATATAAAATTAAATAAGGAAAAGAAAACTCCATTTAACCCTAGCCTTGGTATCTTTACATTACGTAGACTCCGTTTTGGAAACAAGAGATGCCGTGAGGCAAGAGTTCTAACAAACAAAAACCCCCAATGAAAAAAGCAACCAGAAAGCAACCCAAAAAGACCCCAGGCAAAGTGTGTACAAGAAGACAGAAAAAGAAGTAGTCCGTGGCTGCGCAGTGTTGCCTGCAACACTGGACCAACCTTACATGCCATTCGCTGAGGTGCTCCAGTAGTTGGGGGTCGTGCCAAAGGCAGCTTGGCTCCCAACAAAGTACTGATCATCAGCGGTAGTCTCGGACGTCTCATAAGGCCACTCAGAAGCTCGAGATGGCTCATGAGTATGGTATTGGCGAGGCTCCATGTTAAACGGAGTCGGGTGTTGCACAAAGGTTCCCATGTGCTGCATTGGTGGAGGTAGTTGCGCTTGTCCCGGCTGCTGTGGCATGTTATGAGGACCAAAGGAGTAAGCTGGGTTAGACCCTGGCCCTTGTAGGCTATTGTGAGCATGGGAAGGATGAAAGCTTGATTCATGTTGCTCATGGTGCTGAGCGTGATGGATAGGATGAGGGAGGACAGGCTGTTGAAGGTGAGGCGCCATCATCGGATGGCTATGCATATCTTGTGAGCCCCGATGACGATGCGCTGCCTGTTCCCTCATCATGTTAAGATGCACAGGATTGGTTCCGGATCCCATGGAGGAGAAGGATGCAAGCATGGACTGCTGGCCTGCATCAAAGGATCCCATCTCCGACTCCTCTACAGGAGCTCTAAAGTTCTGGGACATGATTAATTCTGGTCGAGGGACACAGTCTTCCAGACCTGGGGTCTTGGTGGGGTGGGCGAGTGTTCCCTCCAAAACATCGCGAACATTGTAGTAGCTCACCATATGGTGAGATACACCTCCATGGGTGACGCTGATGGTTTTCTTCACAAGGCCATCTTCTTTGAAAGCATACGAGTCAACGAGGGATCCGATAAGCGCTCGTTCAGCAGCTTGCCTTGCGTTAAGAGAATCCATTTCCATACCGCCCATCATTGGAAGTTGATCCTCTGGCTTCACAATGCCTTGAGGGATCTTCTTGTTCTTCTTGAGAGCCCGCTTCTTCTCCCCCGGAGGAAAAGGCTTATCAAGCTCTCTATAGATGAGGAAGTTGCCAAGAATGCGGCTAGGGCTCCAGGAAACACCATCAGTCCAGCGCTTTATTCCGGAAGAATGCTCCTCGTAAATGAAAATGTTGCCACTCTTGATGAGGTCCTGTCTCTCACGGTCGTGAGGTCGTCTGGCGACATGATCAAGCTTACCGGCAAGACAGGCTTCAAAGAGGACCAGGGCGTCTAGCGTGGTACCTATATAGCCTTTGAACGTTGGCTGCAGCGTCCTGGACTGAGAAGACATGCTGAGAGGAAGTGGTGATGTCTTTTTTGCGTTGCAAGATTGCAAAAGGCAATGTTAACTTTGAGGATTTGCCTCGGAAGCTTGCGGTGAAATGACTTTAAGAGTTCTTGACAAAGAAGACGCTCGAAGACAATGTGTAGATTGGCAATAAGAGGAGGGCTCGTCAAGTACGCGTTGAAGAGTAGCGTGCTTGATACGTTTGAAGAGGGCTGGAGCTGGAGAAAAATAAGAGGAAGAAGAAGGGGACGAGAAACAATGAATGGAGAGGGTTAAAAGATTGAACAATGGTGGCAGTGAAAAGACTGGTGCAAAGATGTAGCAGTCTGTCTGCCTTGGGAGGACCCGCTGAAGTAGAGATACTTTGCTGCAAGGATGAATGTTAAAAGTGCATCTCCTGCGATGCGTGATGAAGAAATCAAAGACAATAAAATGGAGGAAGAAAGTTTGGTGTAAGGTTGAGGTACCAGAAAGTTAAAAGTACAAGAAGAGCGATGGAAGGGGTATTTGATACGATGCGGGAGCGGATGGGAGGGGAGAGGGGACTTGTACTCGATCCGTCTAATGCTTGGGGGGCAGGTACGGTGTCTCCCCGAAACGGAACCAGGTTTTTGTCTGGACTGGTCAAGTAGTCACTCTTGTCGCTTTTCTCTAACTGAAAAAAAGAGGGTCGATCTCAACACGGCTTCTTCCACTTAATCCAACCGTGTTACTTTTTAAGGAATTCAGGTAGGGTGGGAGGCAAGAGAGAGGAGGGGGGGAGGGTGACAGCTAGCTTTCTGCTTTCAACAGCATTTTGTCCCTCCCTTCCCTCTTCTGAGCAAGTGCTCTCTCTTTGCACAGGGTGGGACGCGGGACTGCTAGCCTCCCAGAGTTTGCCGACTGCAGCGGAACCTTTTCTCTGTCACAGGGCTAAACCAAAGCAGGCTGCTGGTGCTACGGCGCAAGGCCAAGCAACAGGAAGAATCCGCGGTGCGGTGCGGCGCAGACAATCGAACTACAGAAACGGCCGTGGGGCTTGCGACGGGAACGGACAAGAATGGGCCGATTCAAGTCCACCAACGACCAAAAAAAAGAGGGTAGCGCAGCCGGTGACGGTAGCAGCCAGGCAGCACCACTAGTGGGCTAGCACGGTAAAGTAGACGAGAGAGTTTAGCTTAGGGTGGCTCGCCGTAGTTTAGTGGTGTGGCCACAGTATAAGTTCGGCAGACGCAGGCGAGGTGTGTGTGCGAATGGGCAATGTGATTGGAGCGGCCAACCCCGCCCTTGTTCGTCTGTTCGTAAAAATGCACAGGCGGAGGTGACCATTGAGCGCCAAACATGGGCCTAGAGCCTCTGTGAGTGGTGGCATTTGGGCTGTGGATATGTTTCAAGTTGTTTGCCAGTCCAAGTCCCATCCAGGCTCCCAACGGTGCACTGCGTCGTCTGGTTAGTTCGCCAGAGTGTGCATTAGCGGACAGCGGCCCTTCTGGGGCTACTGCAGCCGCCCGGGCTGTCAGCACCTGTGAGCCATCGTCCTTTGGGTGGATTATAGAGGGTGGACTACTCTAGACTTGCAGTACGCCCCACCAAGAGGCGGCACTGGTTCCCCGACGTCTTTGAGTGGGCAAACCCGACTTTGGTGGTAGTGGTGTAGTGGTGGTGGTGGTGGTGCTTCTGCTAATGGTATTACAAGTTAGGTACCTACCCGTCCTGTCTGTAGTGGGGTTTCTTGGGGCGATTGGCGTATGCAAGACACACCCGCAGAAACCAGAGCGTTTTGCTTTCTGCTAGAGGGCCTCCCCCCTCCCCCATCCCACCTTTTGGATTAAACTTGCGGCTGCGGCAAAAACATAATAGAAACAAGGTGCTAGCAGCGCCTGTTTACAGCCCCCAATAAAACAAAGGTTTATAGAACAGCAAACACATAAAACATAACGCCTTGGGGACATCCCAAGCACAGCCGGGTGAGAAAACAAGCCCACCGACCTTGCCCCACCACTGTGAAAAGCCCAAGTGTTAGCTGAACGCAGCGGGGGGCCTTGGTGACGGATGCGTGAGAGCCGTGCTAAGCAGCGCCAGAACGGAAGCAGATGGATGGATGGACACACCCGACGGTTGGAGACGCGGCCAGGCAGAGCAGCAGAGGTAGACCTGTGCGACGGCTCCCCCCGAAGAGCGATAAAAATAGGCCCATCTATCCTATCACTATCACATCACCTCGGGAATATGGAGAACCGCCACGCCCATCCTTTACACGCAATCGGTCGAGGTCCGCGATTCAGACGCAGCAGTAAACGCCAACCAGGCTTCGTCAAGAGAGCACAGCTGGGATCCTCTTTAGGCCCGGATCCTGATCAGCCGGGTGACCACCGCTGCTCCACTAACCACTGGTGTGCTATAGCCTAGCGAAGTCGACCTCTCATTCGCTGCCGCAATGTGACTCGTTTGTTTTTTGGTTCTCTTCACGATCACGCTGCTACCACGCTGACCCGCCCGCGGGCTGGGTATCGACGCAGGTACGAGAACAGTGGTTCGCCGGCGCGGTGTATTGGACCGTTCCGGATGCCGCCTTACCATGCTTCTGATAGTGCACAACGGCCAAACAAGAAGAAAAAAAACAAAACCCTTCAGTTGGGGGCTCTTTCTGTCACACACGTCCATCCGAGACATGCCGTCTATTGCCTGCGTTGTGTGCTGATACGTCGCTGTCGCACGATCAAATTCTGGGCGCACTAGTGCCGGGTCTACAACGGAGCCGTACCATGAAGCAAACTCTATTCTCGATTGCGGGAGGACCGAGGGATTTCCAGGAAATAATCGCTATTTTTTAAAAAAGAGAGGGGAACAAAATAAAACTGCTAATCAGCAGAAGGGTGGTCCATCCCCAGCGTACGGAGAAGAAGAATGAAAACCCCCTCACCCATCTGTTGTGCTGCGCAAAGCCATGCGATTCACCAGATCATGCACCACAAGATTGCTGCAGCAGATCGGGCGGCTTCGTCTTCCGTATGCAGGTCATTCATTGCTCAACGCTTGCGACAGTGGCAGCCAGTGGCACACACAAGGCACCAACGCCCACTAAATTCCTGCCTGCGCCCCCTCCAACATACGTTAACCCAGGCTTATCGCTCCCCTCACTTGTGCCCGTTTGGCCCATTCCGGAAGTGGGCGCGCACGGGCCACCCAGGCGGGGCCCTTCCGGCCTAGCTCCACGCCATTCGCCGGCAGCCACCGCAAGCAGCTACGCCAGAGCGTGAATCCCTCTTCTCCCCTCCCGAAATCGAAAACTTTGCTGGGAACCTAGTTGCCACCGTTGTTTCAGGATTGGCCTTGTGGCTAGTCTTTACGCTGGGTGAGTCTTTCTGCTGTGCACGCGGACTTGTCCGATTTTTCCCTGTTTTTTTAAGTGGGCGGGCGCCTTTACTCGTCCTGAACGAAAACCACATAGGGTGGTACAGCCACTGACGTCGCTTGTAAGTACAGTAGCCGGCAGACCATACCAAAGGCTTGTGATGTCCCAGGCTTCAGACTACAGTTCAAAGATGCAGAACATGTTACTCAATGTTCATAGCATAATAGAAAACTCTCGGCCCCTGATAAGGTACCCTTTTATTTGACTCTATGGCCTAAACTTTGTGCCTGGAGATGGATGATCAAGAAGCTTTTCCAAGCTATGAAACTTTATTATGCAATGCTGGAGTGTAAACAATGAACAATGAGATAGTAGCTTTGTTTCTAGGCAAATAATGCCTCGCATGTCACTGTAACCTTCTTTTTCCTTTGGATCACTTGTTTCCTATGACGCGTACTCTTAAGGGCCTTGGAAAAACCAGGGTTGCTCGTTCGCTGCGTATGGCCGTGGAGGTTGTTGCATGGGGACTGGGACTGCCCTTTCAAAGTCCTTTAGATTCACCATGGACGTGTTAGATGTGTCCGTGTTTGCCAATGGCATAACTACCCCACATTCCCAGTTTCGACAGGTTATCTTGGCCTGCTTTGTGGCTTTGTCGGTGACAATCTTGCCCCTATGATCATGGTTAACATCAGCTTCAAAGACTTCTTTATGTATTCCAACATACCACGCGCTTTCAGAAAGATTAGAACTTCCCACATATGCCCATCCTGCATACTTGTCCTCCCTTTTTAAGCTCGTATATCGAACATAGATGACTTTGCTGTGACTCAAGATCCCGGCCCTCGTGTTGATGCAGTCTCTCATGATTCCTTTGGGAAACGTAGAAGCATTCCACCACTTAGATTGAACACATATCGTGCCTCCAGACTATATGGGATATATTTAATAATAGTCAGTACAACGCCGGTTTGCTCAGAACATACCTGTTTGCCTCCCTTACTCTGGGCTACTGTTCCATTTGTTGGGAAGTATACTCTAAATCGCTTCATAATATCATCATTCGCATCTCTTTTACGTGTCTTTTGTCCATCTTTTGTCCCTGTCGTATTAAAATGAACTTATTAATCTCGTCATCTGCTTCTAGGTGAGATAATAGCGTGCTTACCGAGACAGGCGTCGTATATTGTCGAAATGAAGTTGAAGTTCAATGAACCTAATGAGGAGCACTATTTGATGTAAATAAATTAGTTAACTCTCGAATACAGGAAGTAAAACTTACAATGAGGTCTATTTCGACAGGTTCTACCGTCGTCAAACCCAGTGCCGTAATGTTCTTGGCAAGAGAGTTGCACCCTAGCAAAAGCTGTAAACAAACTGTAAATGTGTGTTTTTAATGAGTTTAGTATACCATTGTCGTATAAATTATCTCCCATATAGCTTCCAGGTCTTTGATTTGTTAGTTACAGTCGACAAGGACAAATTAAACATAAACCCGGCGCATACCTGGAGTACACAAATGCAACTTCGGACGTGGCTGCAAAGTCATAATTTTGAAGACTCGATATCATCCTCTCATCGACTCCAGACTCTTCCAGAAACCTACAGAGGTCATTGCTAAACATTGTTGGCACATATGTAGTCTTGTCGGGCAGGCGTGGCAAGTCGACGAGAAACACCATCTGTAGTCATCATAAGTCAACCAGCATCTCACAAGGAATGAGAGTATAGACTTACGTTTTCCATTACACCTGTTTCTCCCCAATCATATGACATTAGGTTGCCAGTCGGTATAGCAATCCGCAAGTGGTTGGGAAACTTCAGAACTTGAAGTTTAGAGTGCATAGCCCCGGGGCCATTCATCTTTGGGAAACAGAATCGTATGTTTGACGGTGTATTTGCTTGCATGGCTGCTTTCTATATGACTTGTTAGTTCTATACTTTATGTTCGCAGCCATGGGGGCGCTTACAGTTTCTTCGTCATTGGCGTATGCCAACAGCATAAGTCTTGTATTCCTAACGTCGACCTTCGTTAGCAGCCACTCTTCATCCCACGTAAATGAAGAAAGAAGCGCGAGCTGTAGATTCTTTTTGTCAAATATTTCTTCTATTTTGACATCGTCTCCTGTGCGTGGGTATCCAAATGCCCATGTGCGTTTCACAACGGGTTGCGGGAACTTCAGTCGTGGTTCATGTCTTGTTTCCGCCACTGCATGGTGTCTCTTTGCGGGGTTCTCTTGTTGAGGTGACTCGGGTTTGCGTTTTTGGATTCTTGCAAGTCGATCTTCTTCCATCTTCCTGCGATCTAGACCACCCAACCCAGGCCGCGCTGGAAGAGCCGATGTGGCTGATGCACTCTGTTTGCACGGCAAGCCTTCGTCGGCCCGAGCTTCCTCCCCGCTCTGTAGCGATAGAGCAATTGCTCGCTTCAGATCTTCATCTTCGTCTTCTGAGCTACTGTCTATTACGATTGGATTTTTGCCCACCATGGCTATTACCTGTGAACTGCTGGTGTTGATGCACGCGTTTGTTCGTGGGTGGAGCAGCGTGCCTGATTGCTAACCTATATCCCAACCCCGTGCACTCCTACTCGACCTGCGACTATGCATTAGTCGCTTAATAAGTGCGATAATGTGTTATAATATAATCTTGCTTTTTGTTTGTACAGTAATTGGTTTATTACGCTATCATTTTCCGTTGGCAAGGGGGTTTGAACTAATTTACGGACAGGACAGATACAAAACACGATGCTCAAATGCGAGCAACCAATGCCAGTGGCTACTGCTAAAGATACAGAGATGTCATGATTTCGATTTAAATACCAAAAAGCAACCTATCTACCTGCCATATCAACCCAACGCCGAGCCAACAGCCCCTGTGCTGTGGCGAAAGTGATATCCGGCCGCTCGTGTGGTAACGCTAGGGTCAAATGCAAGACGAGAGCATTGTACCAATGCAAAAGGTATAAGAAAACAAAGGGAAAAACAAACAATACTAGTCGATGCATATCAAGGGTTATGCGGTATGTACTGTCTTCCTGAACTGGATGGCTCTACCGCAAGATCAAGCTTCAAGATGCGGCGAAGACTGTCCTCCATTGTCTGAATGCTGTCGGACGGATTCGATAGGCCCTGTGGTGCCATATTGGGTACATACGATGTAGGTTGGTAAGATTGATGAGACTGACTGGGATGACTGGGCTGGGGCTGCTGGGGCTGGGAGTTTGCAGGCTTAACAGGCCCGCCAAATAAGTATCTCTTCAAAGCTTCCGAAGCATCATCGGGCTGATCGCGCGTAAAGCTCGATGAATTCTCGAGAGAAGCAGGCCCACGCTCTGTACCAGAACGCATTGTTCGAGCAGCATTAATTCGATCTTGATAAGGTGTTGAGAAGGCAGGCCCAATATCTCGACCAGGCGTTCCATCCAATTCTACTCTGTCTATACCAGAAGAGTACGGCGGCGTTTGTGACATAGTTGACGCATATGCAGAAGCCCCAGATTGGCCAGGTGAAGCGCCCCCGGCACCCATTCGTTCCTTCTCTTGTCGATGGGCGCGGAACATGAAGTCCAACGGGGACTCACGTGCGCCATTGCTTGGATGGGCACTTGTTGTACGGGCATCCGCAGGAGAATCGCGAACAGAGCGACTTGTAGAGAGATCGGCAACGGGTCTAGGAACGGGAGATTCGGCCGAAGATTTAGTGAGAAAGCTAGGAATTGGTAACGCAGAGGGAGCTGGTGATGCATGAAAAGTCGCACCTGCAAATGCAGGCCCAGAGGCAGCCTTCATTGCCGCTGTTTGTTGTGGAGGAGTTGAGTGAGACTGCGGCTCGTCGGGTGAGGTTTGTGCTGCCTTCGGTTTTCCTTTGCCGCGGGTTCGCTGTTTATTTGTACCGGTACCAGGTTGAGTATTTCCAGGAGCTGGAGAACCAGAGCCAGCCTTATTTGGAGTTCTGGGCACTTGGCGAGCCTGCGCCACGTCAAACATTCCAGCGTCATTCTCAGAGGCGTAGCCCTTGGTTTTCGTCGATCGACCGTGGCGTTGGGGTTGCCGTCTCCCTGGGGTGGCCTTTTGGGACTGACCTTGGGGTGTACTCATTTTATCAGTGTCTCTCAGTATTCATATGATAAATATTATTTCAATGATCGCTTGGCAGCATAGCTTTCTGGTGATAGGATTTGGTCGGAAGTTGTTGTGTTGGCGATGTGACTGGGGATCGATCGGCAACGTAGGAAATGCTTTCAAGTAAATATACGTGGTCGCTTGAATCGTTCAAGAACAACAGCAAGGGAGTATGATTTGCAAAATAAAACAAAAGATTTACTGCGTGTTGGTCGAGGAAGTGATGATGATGTGATGCAGTCAAACTGAGGTGGCGGGCTGCCGCCCCGCTACATGCATAGCATTTTAGCAGGCCCGAGCTGTGAGCGTCCCACCCCCACTCGCCCAAGGTATGGAAGCACCTCTAGGCTCCAGCAGCCTTTCACCAGTGCTGTGACAAGAACCTAGACCTACCAACTTCCTCCCCTAGTCTTTGCATTCACAAATAAAAAGTCGACGAGGAGTCAAAGCTGTATAAAAGCCATATATTGTTATTACAAAGCTTGTGTCCCTTCACCAATTCCCAACGAACCGATACCTGCTAGAATACCGATTCTGCCGATAGCGATCAGACGACCAGCAGAGCCAAGGCAACATCAACGTGAAGACCCGTGCAATACTACACGGGTAGATACAATAGGCGGAGATGGCTGACGTAGTCATGAGCGATGCGCCTGCGGGCTCCAGCAAGGCTATTGAGAGCAAGAAAAAGTTTGAAGTCAAGAAGGTTAGCATCACGCATCGAATGTACCCTTATGGCTGCTAACAATCCTAGTGGAATGCTGTTGCCCTATGGGCTTGGGATATCGTGGTCGACAATTGCGCCATTTGCAGAAATCACATTATGGACTTATGTTTGTTAACCTGTTTCCGTCGCCTATGCAGAGACTAATACGATAGCAGGTATCGAGTGCCAAGCGAACCAAGCATCAGCCACGAGCGAAGAGTGTACAGTAGCCTGGGGCATATGCAACGTAAGTATCCAATGCACAATCTATGCGACATATCTAACGCTAAACAAATTTAGCATGCTTTCCACTTCCACTGCATTTCGCGATGGCTGAAGGCCCGATCCGTTTGTCCCCTCGATAACCGAGACTGGGAGTTCCAGAAGTATGGTCGATGAGCAGATAATGAACATATGAATAGAAACGAAACACTGGAATTACTGGCTGGCTGCTTGAAGTATTTAAGGCACGGCGCATCAAGGCAACGGGCTAGACAGGTATCATTAAAAAGGAGCTATGAACTTGTTGGGGCGTAGATGCCTCCCATCATCCCGGACCCAGCTGGTAGCCATTTGACCGGCTTTTGCTTGTAAAAGGGCCACGGCGGTACTGTAATTAGAAATGTCAATGCAGTTCCTCCCAACGCAACGTATAGTGCCAGCTTAATGTCCTGAAGTGTGTATCCGATGTTGAAAGCGACAATCTGTAACGTTAGCATTATTATTGTGAGGATCGTTAGGGTTTGGAGCTGTCGTCTTACTCCCGATAGAGCCAATAAAATAGTCGCTAGGCCTTCTACTCGACGTTGACCCTCGAAGTCCTATAAATGCTGTCAGCGCATGGTAAGCAGGTTTGGCTGCTGGTGCATGTCTTCGTACAATTGCGCCTTCAACAAGGTCCCGAAGCTGATCCAAGATCTCTTCAGCCATTCTTATAATTTATTAATTTTCCAATTATCGAAAACGAAGAAAGGTGAGCCTGCTGCAGCTTCCAGCACTGCGATTTTGCCGTTTGATAGTCTTGATGATGATGCCTCGCACGCCGCGTCTGTTGGAAGGACAGCTATACCGCGTGGGGCCATGATCGTGCACGGACCACGTGCCTCCAATAGCGCCGGTCGGTCGGCGACGAGACCACGCTGCTCGCTGCAATCGGGACGACCGCCGCAAATTTTCAGGCTAAAATTTTACCCTTAAGCGGGCTTTCTTTATGAAAATCAGTCTCGAGTCCGAGGACCCTTTTTACCCTCTCCATCACAGCTTAATTAGCATTTTTGTGCAAACTGCTTGATTTTTTCTCAGTAGAAGACGTTTTCTTCTGCATTCTCTGCTGTTACTCGACTACCCAGCCGCTAAGTCGACCGCCGCTACTCAGCACCGACTGCGACGCTCTCGGTGCTTCTGAAATTGTCTCAGAACGAAGTCGGCAAAATCGCCCAAAACGAACTATCGACTCATACTGTTGGAAGCTCACCAACTTATTCTCTGAAGCCTCCTAACTTTGACCAATAATTTCAATATTCTATCCATAACCTTCAAGTTGGCTCAACTCGCCCCTGTTACCACTTCTCCCCTCCTTCTTGAACCTGGTTGCTGGGTTTATCTTGGAGTAAGCAAGCGACCCCCATAAGGTTCGCCAGCAACAAATTCTACGACGACTTCGCACTCTTCTCTCTCCTACCTTTCGCCGATTCAATACTTTATTCTGGTTCTCGAGAGTCTCTTTTGTCTCTCTAGTTACGGTTTTGTACGTCTCCGACCTTTCGGCGCGCTGAGGTCGCGCCGGAGTTTCAACCGCCAATCTTGGACCCCTCGATACGCTCGCTTTCTATAGCACTGCGTAGAATGTTCTAAGAGCACATCATCTACCAAGAGCCTGGTAGAGCGGATCAAATATACGAGAACGAAAGCATCGGAAGAACAACAAGCTGCCAAGATGTCCGACCACGACAACGTTATGCCTGATACTGGCTTCGAAGCCCCAATCCCCGAACTTGATGATCACCGCCATTCTATCGCAGCAACTCCACGTCTTGAGCGACCCCGCCGCGGTACATTTGACAGCCTTTATGGCGCTCGTCAGATTGAGAACGAACTCCCCTCGCCAATGATTAGGGTACGGGACTTCGAAGAGGCCATTATCGATGAAGACGGCCTTGATCTTCTTACCACTGGCCGCCGACCAACCATCGGATCCGTCAATGAAGGTGGTCGATCATTGTCGCCTCCCAACTCAGTCAAGGCTTTCGCACAAGCTCGTCGCCGAGAGCGTGATATGTCTTTCTCGGACCCCAAGGCAGACCAAGATGAAGCCCAGGCCCGTCCTTTGTCTGTGGCCAGCCGTCGTAGCGGCCGGAGCCGCTCTCGTGGAGATAATGAAACTGCCAGCATTCTTACCCACGAGACTGCCGAAGAAGACGTTTGTTTCCCGGTTGACACACGTCACCACCACCGACATGAACTACGTATCGACTTTGACTACTTGGAGGATTTCATCAACACCGAACGTGCCGCTGAAGAAGCCAAGCGCAAGCAATCCACTGTTGGACAAAGCTTCGAGGACCTCCGTCCCCAGCTGGACAGCAATGCTACTATGCAAGGAGTAACCAGTGATGGTGATATCCTCGATCTACCTTCCAGCGCCTCTATTTCAGAGAAGTTGCCAGAGCCCACGGCTACTGCTGCACCACAGCCCCAACCAGCCTATGATAACAACCGATTCAGTTTCTTCTCCTCAGCTTGGGAATCTACCATTCATGCTGCGGAACTTGGTGATCTCGTTTTGCCAGGTGAAGATCTGCGCGGGCTCTTTGAACTACCTGAAGATGAGCCTGACGGCGTGTGGTGGCTCAACGTCAACCGAACGTCTCGAGATGAAGTCCTGGCTATTTGCAAAGCCTTTGGCGTCCATCCCTTGACGATTGAAGATATTATCACCCAAGAAGCCCGCGAGAAGATTGAACTTTTCCCGTCGTACTATTTTGCTTGTTTCCGTTCATTCAATGTCGTTGACGAGGATGATGGCAAAGAATACGAGCCGTTTAACATTTATGTGCTTGTTTTCCGCCAGGGCACACTTAGCTTCAGCTTTGCACCCAACACTCATGCCTCCCAAGTCCGCAAGAGAATCACTGCCCTCAAGGACTACGTTTCTCTTAGCAGCGACTGGGTTTGCTATGCCTTGATGTAAGTAACCGAGCTCAAAGCATGTTTTGTAGGCCATTTGCTAATATAAACCTACAGCGATAACATTGTCGATAGTTTTGCCCCTGTTATCGGGCAAATTGAGATTGAAGCAGATGCCATCGAGGATGAAGTATTTACACTGAGAGAAGATGACTCAAACACCTTCTTGCGATCGATCGGCCGTGTTCGCAAGAACTGCATGGCTCTGTTGCGTCTGCTTGGTGGCAAGGCTGATGTTCTCCGCGGCTTCACCAAACGCTGCAACGAAAACTACCAAGTCACCCCGCACATGGACATTGGAATGTATCTCGGTGATATCCAGGATCACGTTGTGACCATGGCAAACAACCTTGGCCACTTTGAGAAAATGCTATCCCGTGCACACAGCAACTACCTCGCAACGCTGTCTATCAACAGCATCTCTCAAGGCACCGATACCAACAGAGTTCTCAGCAAAATAACCTTCCTGGCCTCAGTTATTGTGCCTCTCAACTTGGTTAGCGGTCTCTTTGGTATGAACGTGCGCGTCCCTTGGTTCGGTGGTGACGATCTTGTCCCTTTCTTTGGTATTTTGGGTTTCATGGTCTGCCTCTCTTCCGTCATTCTGGGCTGGGCCCGTTACAAGCGATACATCTAGACATCTCTTACCTTGTGTGGACTTTATATTTTATAAATCTCGTAGATATACAACGTTCATGTGAACTTGAACTGTTTTTTGGCACATGTTAGATTTACGCTTTCCTTTCGCGTGACACGAGCTATTAGCACCCTGATTAAATATCGTCTAATGGAACCTATCGAGGTCACAAGAATAGCACATCGCCTAGTACAGTTATCAAAGCACCCACAACCAAGAAAATAACTGCTAAAAAGTTGACGGTTAATGTTGTTTTTTTGTTGCGGACTAGGCCATTGGGCCTAATAGGGTCCCTTTATAAATGTGGCCTATTGATCGGGTCGGCAAATCTTTGTTATATAATTATCTGGACTCCTATCTATCGTCTATTTTTAATATGAGGTGTACTTGTCGCTGGGATCGATCCACTTTTGCCGTTGCCTCAACTTTTTGGTCAACTGCGCTTGACTTGGGTGCATCTATCACCCGACAACATCAACGATGCCGCCGCTTTCAACAGGACCGCGGAACCCAGGTGTTCAGAAAATTGCAAAGGCCGTAGCGCAATGCTCTACTGAGGTTTGATCGACCAATGCGCCAACAACAACGCGCACCCATGCTGACTTCGTCAAAGGCTACTGCGTACGGCGCCTGCATTGTGGCCGATTACAATGCCGTCGAGAAGGACAAATGCCGCAATGAATTTATGAAACTCAAGGACTGCTACCTGGTAAGTTTATTCGGAATACTTTATCATCACTACCGCTGACCTGGCTGCGAAGCGCGTAATGAAACAGGGCCGATGAAGGGGGGGCTCACTGTAGGATTATGTCCAGCGAAAAGCAGCTCACCCATGCTGCGTGTACTTTTAACAAAAACATTAATAAACTAATATTTTCTACTTAAACTATCATTGAGCTTTTTATTGTATTTTATTTTAACCTTACAGCTTGAGCAAGCGCAATGTCCACGTGGCCTGCTGGATTTCCTGCTCCTCCTCAGCAATCACGTCCGCCTCAGCAACACCCTCAGAGACAGGCTCCAGTGAGCGACGAAGAACCTTTTCAAATGCTGCAGATTGGTTCTTCAGAGCATCCTCCAGACCGACGGATTCAGGGTCAGTGAGAACGCGGTACTCCATCTTGATGTCATCAGTGGGCTGGAGGCCAGCCTTCTTGCGCAGCTTTTGCACTCTGTTGATGACCTCTCTGGCAAGACCCTCCTGAGCAAGCTCCTCATGGATCTCGGCATCAAGGATGGTCATCACATCCGAATCGGTGTTGACCTCCAAGTTCTTAGATCCTTCGCTCTCCTTAACGCTGCGGCGGACAACGAGATCACCCTCCTCGAGGCGGATACCGTCAACCATGATGAACTTGTCTTGAACGTAAGCCTTAACCTGATCGCTGGTAACAGATGGCAGAGCCTTCTTGACACGGCCCATATCCTTCTTGAGCTTCTTGCCTAGCACGGGCCAGTCAGCATTGACGCTGTACTGAACACCGTACTTTTCTTCGTCGCTAGACAAGACGAGATCGCGGACATTGAGCTCCTCAGTGATGTAGTTCTCGAGCGACTTGATGTCATCAAGGTACTGGCTGTCGCGATGAAGGACAACGAGAGTCTTGAGTGGCGTCTTCAAGCCAATGCTCTTACGCTCACGGGACACGCGGGCAAGCTCAATGACACGCTGCATGCGAGAGACGCGGCGCTCCACCTCAGGGTCGAAGAGCTCATGGCGGACATCAGGGAACGACAAGAAGTGAACACTGCGGGGATCCTTGCCCTGCTGCTCCTTGGGGATGTGGGGTAGAAGTCGAGTGTAGATGTTGTCAGTAAGGAAAGGAGTGAAGGGGGCCAAGCCTCTGCAGAGAGTGAACAGAACCTCAAACAGAGCGTTGAGAGCGTGCAGAGTATCTTCGACACCGTTCTCACCCTTGAGACGTCTGCGGTTAAAGCGAATGTACCAGTTGGTAGTGTTGTCGATGAGCTCAAGGAGACGGGGCACGACAGTGTATAGGCGATAAGCTAGAAGTTGCAAGTCAGCATTTAGTATTATAAATCAGAAGCATTATGCCTTCTTACCGGCCATTTCTTCGTTGACGAATTGCAAGAGACTCTGGCAACTGGCCAAGATCCAGCGATCCATGACATTGGCGTTGGTGCTCTCCGTGTCAGGGTTCCAAACATAGTCAATGTTCTCAACCTTTTTCAAGAGAGCAACCTGGCCCTCGAAGAACTTGTAACTGTTCCAGAGAGGCAAAAGGACCTTTTGAACAACTTCCTTGACACCCGATTCCTTGAAACGGAGGGGCTCAGCTCTCACTACCGGTGAGTTGATGAGGTAGAGGCGCAGAGCATCAGAACCGTACTTGTCCATGACAATGGTGGGGTCAGGGTAGTTCTTGAGACGCTTGGACATCTTCTTGCCATCCTCTGCGAGGACAATACCGTTGACAACACAGTTCTTGAATGGAGACTGTCCGAACAAGTGAGTACCCAAAACCAGCATGGTGTAGAACCAACCACGGGTCTGGTCAAGACCTTCAGCAATGAAGTCACCAGGGAAAGACTGCTTAAAGACGTCAACATTCTCGAATGGGTAGTGCTTGCTAGCATAAGGCATGCTACCAGACTCGAACCAACAGTCAAAGACCTCGTCGACTCTTCGCAAGACGCCCTTGCCCTTCTGACTGGGGATGGTGATGTGGTCAATCTTGTCACGGTGGATATCAACAAGCTCGCCCTCATAGCCGCTCAGGCGCTTAAGCTCCTCAACACTGCCAACACAAACAATTTCCTCCAAATCATCACTGGCCCAGAGAGGGATGGGAGTTCCCCAGTATCTGTTTCTTCCGACGTTCCAATCTCGCGCGTTGGCAATCCAGCTGGCGAATCGCTTTTCCTTGACAAAGCTAGGAACCCAGTGCGAGTCCTCAATGTTCTTCAACATATCAGGAATGATTTCAGGGATGCGAATGAACCAAGAAGGAACAGCACGGTAGATGAGAGGAGTATCAGATCGGTAGCACATGGGGTACGAGTGTCTAATCTGAGACTCAACGACGACGCGACCAGCATTCTTGAGATGCTTGATAATGTGCTTGTCAGCCTCCTTGACGTGCATGCCAGCGAATTCGGGGATCTTGTCAGTGAAGTGACCAGTGTCGTTGATAGGGTCGGGGGGAGGACGCTTCTCGGAAATGACACCGGCATCCATAGCGACGTTGTAATCGTCCTCACCAAAGGCGGGGGCCTGGTGAACAATACCAACACCGCTATCGGCAGTAACGTACTCAGCGTTGAGGACCTTGAAACCATAGTCCTTGAACTCTTCGTAATAGTGGTTGAAGAGGGGTGTGTACTTCCAGCCGAGCATTTCCTTGCCAGTGACCTTGCCAAGAACCTTGTACTCTGCTTTCTTGGGGTCCTTGTAGAGGGTGCCCAGGAGAGCCTCGAGCAAGATATAGATTTTACCAGTCTTGCCATCCTGGATCTTGATGTATTCGAAATCAGGGTGGGCAGCCAGACCAGTGTGCGAGGGCAAAGTCCAAGGCGTGGTGGTCCAGGCGAGCAGGTTTACTTCGGGGTCGTCGACGAGAGGAAATGAAACAACGATGGCGGGATCGGTAACATCCTGGTAGTTCTGGTTGGCTTCAAAGTTGCTCAAGGCAGTTGTCAAGGCGGTAGAGTAAGGCATCACTCTGTAGCCCTGGTAGACGGAGCCCTTGTCAAAGAGTTGCTTGAAAACCCACCAAAGGGTCTCCATGAACTTGGGGTCCATAGTCTGCACGGCATGTTAGCATTACGGTTTACGCAGAAAATTCCACGCCATTCCACAAACCTTGTAGTCGTTATCAAAGTCGATCCAACGGCCAAAACGCTCAATGGTTTGTCGCCACTCGCTGGCGTATCGCATGACGATGGCGCGGCATTCTTCGTTGTATTTGCCAATACCGAGCTCTTGCACGGCGGCCTTTCCAGAGATGCCGAGTTTCTTGTCAATTTCGTGTTCGATAGGAAGGCCATGGGTATCCCAGCCAAAGCGACGCTCGACATAGAAGCCCTTCATGGCCCAGTATCGGGGAATAACATCTTTAATGACGGAAGCCAAAAGATGGCCGTAGTGGGGAAGGCCAGTAGCGAAGGGGGGACCGTCGAAGAAGGTATATCGGGGCATGTCAGCGGTCAGCTCGAGCTACAGAAGATATTAGAAGATGTTAGAGTATTCATTCCAAGCGGCGGCGTTACCTGGCGGTGGAAGGCGTTGATTTCCTTCCATCTTGCCAGCACGGCTTCCTCTTCCTTGGGAAAACTGATGGACATGGTGCAACCAAGAGGCCGGTTAGTTGAACCAAAAGGAAAATTATTAGGCGCAGTTGGCGATAGCCTCAGGTTGGCTGGATTGGCGCAATTTATAATCTGGCCAGTTACCCAAACTGTTTTGAATGCAAAAGAATTTGCGTGAGTCAATGTGAGAAAAAGATGGAGGGGTTCAGCAAAATCCGACCCCGCTAGTGCGTGACTCTACCGTCGGGGCTTTTGGGGGGACGGATAAAGGAGGGGTGGCAGACTGGCATCAGTCACAGCACCTCCTCCCAGTGCACTGTAGCGACCTCTTTAGCGCACACATAGCTGCGACAACGGAGCGCTTCCTCATGCAAACGGCGCCACCTCAATGCAGGCCATGTACTGTGAACAGCTAGGCAACCTGGATACACAGCTGGCGCATGTTGGGATACAGTGGAAATCTTATTATTATTTTTTTCGTAAACCTTGCTGAACAGCTTTGACCCGGCTATAGGCTACGCTGTGTGCTGCAAACTGTCTGCGTCATACCCCACGTCTTTCGCCCTGCCGCCACTCCAGTATGCCATTGTAAACAAACGCGGGAGGGGCTGCTGTCGCTCAGCCCAACGCCAACAACACAACGGTCTACTCCTCGTATCTTGTCATATACGGTGCTTTAACAGCCCGACAGGATCTATGAGACCTCAGACAATTCCATAATCCTTAAGACAAGAGCATAGCATTTCCAAACGAGACAAAAGAAACAATGTCCTTCTTGTTTGGGCGCGCAAGGTCGCGCGTCGTTGCCGACCTCCCTCGACAGGCACGGGAGAATATTCTCAAGTTAGACGGACCTAATGGGTCGTCAAAGGTATGTGAATAAACCTTTCGACACTAGTCTTACCAGTAGTGTACTGACAGATAATAGGCAGAAGAGCTAGCCCGAGTCCTGACACAAATGAAGGTCCTGCTCCAAGGGACCCAAGGTCGGTGACACATCCTCACTTGTGACCATCTAAAACGGAACATTAGAAAACTAACAACAGCAGATACGGAGAGCTCCCCGGAACAAATATACCAGCTAGTATCTAGCATGATTGAAGAAGACTTCCTCCACCTCCTCGCCGTCAATCTTTACCGCCTACCATTCGAATCGCGCAAGGACGCCCAGATTATCTTTTCCTACGTATTCCGATTCCGCCCCGCATCTGCGGCCCCGAAAAGCGATCCTCTCGCTCTATCATATGTAGTATGCACGCGGCCGCAAGTCCTAGTCGAGCTCTGCAAAGGCTACGACCACAAGGAGAGCGCCACGCCTGCGGGCTCCGTGCTGCGCGAGCTGCTCAAGAACGAAGCTGCTGCCGCTATTATCCTGTACGACGATGGAGACGAGCCCGGATCCAGTTCCAAAGGCCTGAATGCGATTGATAGAGACAGACCACAGACAGGGCGAGGCGTCCTTTGGCGCTTCTTTGACTGGATAGACAAGAGCTCCTTTGAAGTTGCTGCAGACGCATTCACAACCTTTAGAGTAAGCCACGTCTACCCTCCCACCATGTATGCTACCTATGACTAAACACTGAATCTCTATTTAGGAGCTATTAACAAGGCATAAAGACCTGGTGCCGCGCTACCTGGCGACGAATTTCGACCTCTTCTTCGACAAGTACAACAATATCCTAGTCAAATCCAACAGCTATGTCACAAAACGACAGTCTATTAAGCTGCTGGGCGAGATTCTGCTAGACAGATCAAACTACACAGTCATGACGACATATGTGGACAGCGGGGAGCATCTCAAGATTTGCATGAACCTGCTGCGTGACGACCGGAAGATGGTGCAATATGAAGGCTTCCATGTATTCAAGGTCTTTGTCGCGAACCCGCATAAGTCGATCCCCGTGCAGAAGATTCTACTCATGAACCGAGAGAAGCTGCTTACCTTTCTCTCACACTTTCTCGAAGACCGCACCGACGACGAACAGTTTATCGACGAGCGCGAGTTTCTGATTAAACAGATCAGAAGTATGCCACCGAACCCCGTACCGCCTCAACGATAAACATTTGCTTTTCTACAATCATGCATTATTCTGTTGCACATGCAAAATAGCCAAGCGACTCCGTACAATAATATCCTCATCATCATTATCATCAAGCTTTATGTATCCATTATACACATATATATGCATGTATCGTAGTGTATCATGATGTATATTAAAAACAACTATCTGAACCACAAAAATACAACGTTTCCTGAACTCCGGGCCCCAACCTGCGCCGCAATGACAGACAAGTCTACTATCGTTGTCTGGAAAGCAGCACGCTGACACTCTCGCGCGCGTTCTGTGTGCCCCAGACGCTCTCATTTCCGCCACGGCGCCACTCATCGCCGCTCGTAATCTCACCCGAGTTGGCAGTCTCGCCAAGAATAACCTCGAGGTCTCGCTTCTGCGAACTGAGCCAGTTCTTGACAAAGTTTGCGGGGTCCTCGGCCAGCGCCGTCAGGAAGCCGTGCTTGGCCTTGGAAACAGTCACGGCCTGGATTACTCTGGCGAGCTGGTCGTCCATGCCGGTGATCTCCTTGAGCATGTTGGAGTATTCGGGCTTATTGAGAAGAGCCAGCAGCTTTGCGCGGAGGGGGTCTTCGACGGCAACGCGAATGTCGTAAATGGTAGGCTTGGGGTCCTTGTGGAACTCCTCATCGACGCGGACGGTGTACGGAAGGCTGATAGGGGGAAGGGCACGGATGTGCTGCGCGACGTATTCGTTCAGCAGAGGGATGTAACCAACGTCGCCACGGCCGACAATCTAGATTCCCAGTTAGCAAAAGTCTCCCATTGTGGGCTGTGCTCCAGGCTCTAAAACTCACCTGTCGAAGAATGTCATCGCAGCGGAAGTTGCGTTTCTCTTCATCCTCCTGTAATCCAGCGGCTCGAATGTACTCCCAGAGACCCATGACGGCTTCCTGCTGTGTTGCCTCGGTCATATCGACGGCTGCTGCCAGCTCGGGGCTGAGAAGGTAGCGCTCAGGCAGCTCGTGTCTGAAGAGGTTAATGGTAATGTTGGAGTTCTCGTCGCCGCTTCGCTTGAAGGTGAATTCGTCAAACTCGGCGCCGGGAGCCTCAGGCGCGGGCTGACCAGGACGGCCGGCAGCCTCGGGCTTCTTCCACTCGACGGCCTGTTCGGCGCCGTTTCGCGAACGGGATCGATCAAAGTCGACTGTGATGGCCTTGAAGAAGTGTGAAAAGCTTGGCTTCGTGGGAGCAGCAGCAGGTGTGGGCGCTTCGGCTGCTTCGCCCTCGGCGGCTGGGGCAGCTTCGGCGGCCTTCTTCTGGTCCTCCTCGGAGTCCTCCAAGAGCGCACCTTCAATCTTGACGCGGTAGGATGACTCCATGGTAGGATTGAAATCAAAAGCATCTACATTCAAGCCATTTCCCTGCCAGACCTGATCCTCAACAGTGTTTGTAATCCAGATTCGCATCGTCTTGTACATCTAGCACGTAAGTTAGTACTCGCGCTGCCATCGCCACACGCATCGCATCAATTTGCTTACAGCAGTTGGGCGCTGAACGCTCTCAATCACATCCAAACGTTTTCGGGTCATTGTTGTGTCGAGGAGGCGCTCAATGTTGCGCAGCTCTTCGTACTGTTGGGCCATCTCTGGATTGACAATGTCGCCCTCAACGCCATCGGGTATGCTCTTATCGGTCGGTTTGCGGCTTCGGCGTTTGGCCAGCTCGTTGGCCTGGGCTTGCTGCTGTTGCTGCTGTGCAAGTTGAGCCTGTGTAATTTGGGCTTGCTGATGCGCGTTGGCGGTCATCATTGCGCCGTCTAGGGAGCCATTGGTTAGCAATGAACGGCAGCAGGTAGCTTGGTGGGCGTACTCATGTTGCCACGACGTTGATTGGAAGCATGAGGCGACCGCTGAGGCGGCTGCTGCTGCGGCGCATAGGCACGATACTGTCCTTGCATTGTTGCTGGTGTCGATGCCGTTGGCTGGGATGGGTTCAACAATGGCGGTTCTAGATCCACGGTCGCGAACATCCAGCTTTTGGCGCGCTCGTCACGTGGCTCCGCATACGACCCAAGTCAGTCGCTGCTGAGGGGGGACCTTGGTGTAAGTCGATAGTAAAACGAAAATGAATCAAAATAATTTTAAAATACGATGTATTATAGGGAATAATTATTTCAATGGAAAGATGCATTTAAAATTTGAAGCTAATGAATTTATGTACAATGTGGTGCGATTGACCAAAGACTTCTTGTCAGAGGTGCCCCAGGACAGACTGATGATGCTCAGCGCTTGAGCGTCACAAGAACCGTAATTGGCGCTGCCTTTGACATGGTTGCGCTAGCAAGGACACCTGGATTCAGTGGTTCCCTAAAATGCAGAACCCAGGCCGTTCCGGGACTGGCGCTTGCTGAAGATGTTCTTACGACTGGAACCCTCGTCGCCGTCCTTTTTGGTGAGGTGATTGCGTGGTTGACGATCACCCGAGTTCACTCTTCCAGTTGACCTGCCAGCCATGGAGTTAGACGGGCTTGGTACTGGTGATGAAAGATCCGAGAACTCCTTTTCTGATCCACCAAGCAAAATCTCTCTTGACATGGCAATGTCCTTGGCACGGTCAAGAGACTCGACCCATTCATCGGCAGAAGCGGCGCCGCTCTCAGGTGTAACACCCTTGACATCTTCAAACGCGTAGTGATACCCGCCCTGTGCAATATTAGCCATGTGATTATCTTAAGTAGTGGGTCGACAGCACTTACAACATCAACGCACCAAGTTAGTTGGCCCTTGGCATCTGTTTGACTTCTCCATGCGCTATCTGGACCCAATAACGACAACTCTTGCTTGGCTCGCTTTTCATCGCCCCCTGATGGCACTAGTAAAATTCGACCACTCGATGTGACCATTACCAGGCGCTGACGCTTTTTGGTTGTGTTGCCACCAAAGAAACGGGATAGCTTTTTGTGGCCATCCTCGGAACCCTTACCACCTTGAGAGTTAGGCAACGGGCTAGAAATAACCATAAGATCGCCTAGCTTCAGTATACGTTCGTTGTTTCTAGTAAGCACTGGAGACCACTCGAGGTCGAGCTGGGTGGGAGGAGGGAGCTCCGTGATGATACGAGAAGGCCGCGGTGTCCCGTTCAAAGGGGCCGGAGATGGACGCTGGGGGATTGCCGCTGTTGGCGCGTTGGAGGTTGGGAAGCCGTTGAGTTGAATAATATTAGGTTCCTGAGGAGGAGCGACATACGGTCGAAGGCGGGGACCTTTCATCCGCCACAGTCCGCGGTTAATGGCTTGGCCAGCAAAGAATTCGTGATGCTTGATATGATCAATGGTGAGACGTCTAACGGGGTCGAGGACGAGGCAGCGCTCAACCAAGTCGCGTGCGGCTGGCGGGAACCCTACGGGAAACTCGTATTCCAAATTCACAATCTTTTGGAATGTAAGGTATTCGCTGCCAGCCTTGAAGGGTGGGCGTCCGGCGATGAGTTGGTATATAATACAGCCAAAGGCCCATATATCGCTCGCTCGTGATGCACTCTTATGTGTGAGAAGCTCAGGGCTCACGTACTCGGCAGTGCCGACGAATGACGCAGCACGGTCATCGTCACCACCATTTCCAGCTTCTGGAGCTGTAGCTTTATTATCGTTCGGATTTCTCGGGTCGTCAAGCAACTTGGCGGTGCCGAAATCTGTAATTTTAATATGCATGCGGTCGTCTAGAAGAACGTTTTCTGGTTTTAAATCGCGATGGATAACGCCCCGTGAGTGCATGTACTCGATGGAGTCTAAGATCTGTGCACCGTAAAACCTTGCACATTCGACGTCGAAGGTTCCTGTCTTTTTCAAAACTCCCAATAGCTCGCCATTGTTGCAGAGATCGAGAACATAGTACAGAGAGGCCTCATCTTGGAATGTATAGTAAAGTCGAACGATGCCCGGATGCTCAGTGAGTCTGTTGAGTGTGTTCTTTTCGATGTTGACGTATTTAATCTTCTTTTCTTTGATAATGTGTCGCTTCTCCAAGACTTTGATGGCGTATTCCTTTAGCGTTTGTCGATCGGTGGCAAAGTAAACAGTGCTGTAGGACCCCTCGCCGAGAATGCGGCCAAAGGAGAAGTCACGGACGCCCTTTTTGACCTGGCGTACGACTGTACGGCCGTTGGCATCGATCTCACGACGGATGTGTACGGCAGCTCCACGATCCTTCCATTCTTCGGCACTGGGGTGGTGGGACATTGAAGGAGGGCTAGCGCCGGCGTATTCGGGCATTCGTCCATGATGGCTGCTGCTCATGCCAGAAGACTCGGCATGGTTGTAGACAGGAGGGGTATGGTTCTGGGTATACATGACCCTGCTGTCCATCTGCAGCTGATGGGAGCTGGCCGGAGAGACGACTGGGACACCCTCGATGGTGGTAGAGATGCTCGGGGAGGCGGCGGGGATGGATATCGGTGAAGCGTGAGTGTTGTAGTCAGCTGATGTTTGGCTGTTTGTCTGATTAAGGCTGGACGAGAGGCCCTCTATGGACGCGGTCAATGAAGGAGACGCAAAGGTCTCGATGGGGCCAGAGTCGTTGGTTTGGTGTGTTTGTAGATCGCCCGAGGAGGAAGGTTCAAGGACGTCGTCAGGGTTGGCTATGCGGAGCCCACCCAGAGCTTGGGAAAGACTGAGATCGCCGTCCATGGTGTCTACCTAGAGAGCACGAGGCTGCTCTGGAGGGACTGGATAGTGACGATGGTGTCGGTAGGGGCACAAATTTACTAGACGCAGCAGACCCCCATGAGCTATGAACCGGTGTAGTGCTCTGGTGTCTCTGATGGGGGAAGCTCGACGACGTAGTTGACTTTGGCGTACCCTGCTTAGGTAATTTGACAGTGGCCAAGACGGGCTGAGCAAAAGCATATGGGCGGCGGGCTGTATAGTTTGGGTTGGCATTCTACTAGGAAGACGATATTATTCTATAAAAACGCCCTCTTTATCTGAGGCTCTCTACGATGCGTCTACGGGCTGCCATGCTCGACATCTGGAACGGCTCGGTCCAGCGTGTCGTTTCCCTGTCCATTGGTCGGACGGCTAGCTAACGCGCTGTAACTTGAAGCTGGGTGCCCCACTGCCGCGTATTCTTGGGCGAAAAGAGAGTTTTTGGTCAGCGCGGGTCTGGAACCACAATTGAGCTAATGGGGGAAAGACGTGGGTAGCAATGGCATGCGCAGGAAAGGAGTCTGTACACGTCTTGAAAAAAAAAAATGTTAGATATTCTTCCACAAAATACAGAGAGTGTCTCCAACCTGGTGACAAGAAAAGAAAGGAAACGCCTCATTAGCGGTGAAGCGGCTGCCCACAGCCCTCTTTCGCTTTGCCACTATGCGCGTATCCAGCTTCACCCCAATACCTGGCAGCAGAGTGAGCCAGGCTGGCGTGCTGTGCGTAGGGTCTGCCAGCCAGCATACGTAACGGGATAACCCCAGCCCGGGCTGGCAGCGGCCGTAACAGAAGAAGCAAAGGGCTGGCCAGCGCCAGGCAATGCACCCACACCAGTACGACTACCACATGCAAGCCCACACACAAGTCAGCCAGCCAAGCACCACCTGGGGACTTGTAAAGTGTGGGCGTTGTCCAGTGCTACAGCGCTAACGCTAAACCGAAATGCCGCCTGGTGGGCAAAAGGTTAAGCCTCGACTCATATGGCTCGGGGGGCGCCGTGATTGGCCAGATCCGCTCCTGTCCCCGCTTGTGCCCTGCGCCAATCCGCTGCCCAGCGGCGCCCGGCTCTTCCTTCCTTTCTACGCCAATGGGTCCACTTCAGTTGTCCTGCAGACGGTGCTACAGCGCGCAACTCCCGCTACGCTGAGTGCTGAGACCCTCGCCCCAGTCCCTTTCCCTCATCCGTCGCAAGCTGCTTGCAAAAGGTTTCCCGTTCCTTCACATCACCAAAACCACCCCCATCTGCTGGCCGCCTCGATTTTCATAGCACCCGGCCGCAACCAGACAATTTCATCCCCTTACACGCCTTACGCTCTCCATCTTTCATCCTTTTCTCTTCTACCCCCCCTCGTCGATTCGACATATCCCACCTTTTATACTTGGCCATTTACACAAAGCCCATTGTCGCATACGCCTAGCGCACGCGACAACGTCTCCCATTGCCTGCTCGCACTACCGCCATCCACAACGCAGCGACATTTTTCTTGTTTGAATACTTTGGTTTGTATAATTGAGTTGCATTACTAACTACAGAAATATTCACTACCACAAAGCTTCCCCTTGGACCCTGCTTCGCCATGTCGTCGTTCCCCCGTCAATTCTCTGATTCGCCCGTCCTCGCTCTTCCTCCACAGAGTTCGTCAATGGCCATGCCGCACTTCAATCCTCACAATGTACGCCTGCCCATGCCAATGGACAGCGACTCTGCACAACAAGAAAGTCGCCCTACAAGAAAACGATCGCGTGATGCCGCTGCTGAGAACCTGGATCCTGAAGCACCGTCACCGGAGCCCATTGAGTCGCAAGAGGAATGGGTCTACGGTCCCGGCATGGTTCTCATCAAGCCCAGCACGGGCTATGTCGCCGATGCCAGCAGCCAATCCGGCACCTGGAAGGAGGAGAAGGAAGCTGAAGAAGCCAAGATTCGCCAGCAAAAAATCCTCGATGCTGCCGATGTTCGCAACGTCAAGGCGCAGCGCCTCGATCTCAGCGCCGCCAACAACCCATTCACCAATAACGTCGAGGTTCTTGGCCGCCCACTCCCCGGCATGCCTGTTGTATCGCCGCGCGCCAGTCCTGTCATTGACGACTTTACCATGAGTCTGGGCATTGGCTGGCGCCGAATTGGCGAGGACACACACCTCCAGGCGGCGGCCAAGGGCTGGGGCCGCTACATCGCAAACCACTACCCTCTAACCAACGTCAAAGTTGTGCTGGAGAGCAAGGGCCTAGAGTCATATCTTGTCGAGTCCGACCAAGGCTACTTCCTTTTCGCCGAGGACCTTCGTCAGGGTCGCCTCGTCAGCCAAGATGTCGAGGTCGCCATGCGCCATCTGCAGCACACGCCACCGCGCTTCGACGGCCCCAATGCCATTCTGGCTACCGAGATCCCCAGCGGCGTCGCACATAGCGATGACAACGATGTCAGCATGGAATAAGGCATTTCTCGCGTGGCACTTTCACCTTCCTTGTATCTTCCTTTTTATTTTTATCACTTCTTCAGCAAATCACTAGTTCTGCCGATGGGAAATACAGCACCCACGCTCTTTCATGCGGAGGAGGAGCAGGACGCGCAAACAAGACAAAGACAACCGACTGCATGCAGCTGTAGACGGGCGTCAGTCGCAGGGGCAGCAACGCAAATTACAGTACCTCTGGAATTCCTCCCGCTAAAAATATATATATAACTTATAATTAAAACATGAATAAAAACATAATAATTTCTAACAATGAGTCCCATCGTAATACACCCGTATTTAAACTCTCTCCATATTTAATAGTGTTTACTGGAAACTAGCCACGCCCAGGTACAGCGAGCGCTACACCATCCAATTCATCCCTCAGTGGATCCACGTCACCGAAGCCGTCGTCGTCCATCTTGCAACCCTTCCTGCCAAAACAACCACTTCCCCCTAGGCCAGCCAACCCCCAAAATAATGTCTGCCACGCCCGAGCAACTCCTACTGCTCGCTGACGACATCAAGCTCTCGCTGCTCGAGCGCCAGCGGTCGCAGGACCTCGGCCTAGCGCCGTCGTCCGAAGACTCCGTATCCGCCTCGCTCGACCAGCTCCGTCGCGGCATCGAGGCCCTTCAACAAGACAAGTCCCTCGACGCAAGGTAAAATTGCCCAGCTCTGCCACTCCGCTGAAACAAACACTAAAAAAAATCTTCCTTTGCAGCGACGCCGCCGAAACACTACCCCATTTGGAAGCTCTGCTGTCCACTCTTACAACGCAGCACCATGGTTTCGCTTCCGCCTCCCCCGCCGCCGCCTCCTCAAATCCATCCCCGACACCAAGAGCATCCAAGAATGTCCGCTTTAGCGATACCCCCGTGTCGCCGTCAGACGAGCTGTTTGGAAGGTACCGCGACGACCCGGCCAACGAGTCGGAAGGTTACCGCGATGTGGCCGCCCAGATGGACAACCAGCAGGTCTACGACTACCACAACCAGATCATGGAGGAGCAGGACGAACACCTCGACCGTCTGGGCGAGTCCATTGGTCGCCAGCGCGAGCTGAGCATGCAGATTGGCGATGAGCTCGATAGCCATGTCGCCATGCTCGACGAGGTTGACGGCGTCGTGGACAGACACCAGTCTCGCCTTGACCGCGCCAAACGAACTCTCGGGAGTGTGGCAAGAACGGCGGGCGAAAACATGCAAATGACAACCATCATTGCGCTTATTATCATCCTCATTCTTCTCATTGCCGTCCTGAAATAGAGAGACGCTGACACCCTCTTGACAAGGGTTATATTTTTAAATGTGTATACAGGCGTTTAGCGAGGGGCATGGCATATTCCATCAACTGCTTAATTTACTTATTCCATATCATCTATAGATATATTATGCAAACTTTTATTGCTGTTTTTTCAGTCTATTTGAATTGCTACCGCCTACACTTGGTGGAAACTAACAGGCTACGCAAGGCAGCAGCTAGCCCCTACGCTCAATATGCTGCGTGTGCGCCGCGTGGACCATCAACGTATCACGTCTGCTTTCTCGTCCAAACTGCTTTCGCTTCCGAGTAGATCGTTGTGACGATAACCGTGTCCGCGACCATACTTCATCGCCTTTAGTCCCTTGGTCCACAACTCAAAAAACGTCAGCGTCTCGTCGCTTGCTGCCAACAGGATGCAGCCTTCCTTGGCAAGAGAGATTGCCGTTGATCGTCGACTTTCAGGTACTCTAGGATATGGAATGGCATGCACGATGCGGCATGGACGATCCCAGTGCACTGCCGTCACCAGGCGGCAGCTGGGCCAGCCAAAGACCGCTACTCGATACATACGCTGCTGACTGGAAAACCCAAACGTTGCGGCGATTTCCCTACCATTGGGCGACCAAATAAGTGAAGTTACTTGTGCTGCGACAGCAATTGTCGTAATGGTGGCACCAGAGCGCGTGTTGAAGAAGTGAATACATTTGTCGTTGAGTCCCCCGCCCGTGGCCACGACATCATCTGTCCACGGGTGGAAAGCAATGGCTTTAATGGCGGCTAGGTGCCTCCATCGATAAATCCAGAGAGGGTCTGGGCGAGAAGTACTAGGAGAACCAGTGGATTCATCGTGATATTCGCCAGATTGTACGTGGCGAACAACCGTTTCGTTGGACGATTGCCGTTGCCATCTGGACGTTTGACGACAATAGTCTTCTTCGGGATCTCCTAAGTCAAGGGCTGAATCCCTGCCATGGCCTTGAAATTGACGTAGAATATTGTTTGCTTCAAACAGACAGCAGTAGTTGTCATTGCCGCCTGTAGTAAAAAACTTTCCGCTAGAGGACCAGGCGAGACCGCATATTTGCTGATGATGGATCTGGACTTTTGCAATAAGAGAAATAGTTCCTGACCACGTGTCTCTGGTGACCTCCCAGCCCATCGGCCATTCTACAGTGTAATAATATAGCTGCCCGCGGCAGTCACCTATTAGAAGATCCTCCGTCCTGACCGGAGTCCCTGGGTTTACAGGGTTTTTGGACGGCCTCAACGTCGGTGTTGGTCGCCAAGCAAGAGTGCTTATAAACTCGGGATAGTGGAAGGTGAATCTGGGAAACGACTCGTCAGTGGCTTGAAGAAAGAAAGACCCGTCAGACCTGGCGGCTGCCAGGATGCATTTGGAACCAGCTGTGGACGAAAACGCAAGGCATGTTAACTAAACATCTTTAATACCAGTGTTGCTGTGTGAAGTCAATCCAAGAGCCTCAGTCCAAGTATAAATGGTATTGCCGAGCCCGATAGCAAGAGTTCCGCATATAGGAGAGTACGCCACTGTTGAGCAGTAAAAGTCGTCCTTGATCCCACGTCCATCTAGAATTCTGCCACCATGGTTAGAACCACGCTGGGGAAACGGAGCAAAACAAGGTAAGGTTTTATTTACTTTAATGCATTGCGTATCGTTTGAGTTCTAGGATATACTGGAGTTTCTGCTGTTCACCACTTAGCGTTTGGCCGAGGACGACTAACCTGGTCACGTACCTGTGCCGCTTATTTGGCGCTGTTCACGGGGAAACAAGTTAGAAGCCAATGGCCGTGGGATATATGTTAGCGAGGGCTGGCCTAGCTGTATTATTTTGAGCGTCCGATCAATGTTGAGTGCCTCTGCAACACGGCCTTGATATAGATCCATTTGTCTCTGCGTATCAAACACATCTTGCTTGGCTATGGGTGTGGGGTTCTCAACCGAAGATCTCCGTTGACGATCTAGTATGGTGTCATTCCAGCGAAAATTCAACGAGTTCGGATATAAATTTCCAAAATACGATGTATTTCGGAAGAGAGAGCCTCTACCGCCATGACCGCTGAATGGGCAATCCTGGTCCACCACCCACTCTCGGCGCAAAAGTCTTTCCACTGGAGTGAGAGCAGTTGGGAGTTTTGTAGTGCGGAATCTCTCCGCTTGTGCCTCTGATCCATTCTCTAGCGGGATGAATCGATCTGGGGTCAATAATCGTCGGGCAGGCTGCGCCGTTTTGGAGCTCGAGCCTCGTGTTTCAAAACGGGGTCCCGAACCACGACCAGACAAGGACATAGCACGAAGGGCCTGAGAGGAAGTCATCGGCCGGCGAGCTGAACTAGGTGTGGTAGGGGGAGTACTGGGTGCTGGATCTTTGTCTGTTGATGTTTTGGTAGGCAGTAATGTATAAGTTCTCTCAGTATCAGAACCATAGCCAGAGTCTGGTGACTCTGTTCCGAGGATGTTATCCTTTGAACATTTCGATTGCGGAGTGGCCCCGACATCATTATCCACTGATAGCATGCTTTAGCCTTTAACTGGCTTTGACTCAGAGCTAGCTGTCGGCTGCGGTCCGAAGCGGAGTGCAAAGGCCTTACTCGCTATGGTCGTTTTCTTCAGACCTGGCTTATTTGAAGATATGGAATGAATAAGTAGTATCAATACTGATGAATCGGAAGACTTAGGAGACGGCAGAGTGGTGAAGAGGGACGGCGCGTGGCATTGTTGGTGTAATGCAGCTGGCAGCACCTGGCAGGTGCGAAGCGGCAGACAGTTGTCTCTTACAATGGGTGCGCATTCTACATTAGGAATCAATAGGTCACAGGCAAAGGGCGAATATGATGTAAATAATAACAAGTGTAAATTGCATTGCTTTATGTAAAACTGGATCAAATTTATGTACGTTTGAAATCGTCAGGCGGCACATTGGCCGCTGCCCGAATTTGCAGATGCGATATATACAGAGTTGCAAACTCAAAGCGGCACACAAGGCAAAAAGAGCACTTATTTCATGCCGTTGCGCATGTTGTCGTACTTGGAGTCGGGGTAGGCGAGCTGGTTCTGAGCAGTGTCAATGCCACCGAGACGAGAGAAGCTGGTGCCGATGAGAGAGTCGGCGCCCTTCTTGTCGGCAGAGGCTTCCCAGAACATGCTGCCACCGAGACCCTTGTTCTTGACGTAGTCGACCTTGGTCTTGATCATGTCGGGGGTGTCGAAAGAGATGAGCTCCTTGGAAGAGGGGTCATAGCTCCAGCAGCCCTGGGCAGTGGTGTCGCACTGAACGGTAGCGCCGGCCTTGGGGAGAGCCTTGTAGTCCCAGACACCGCTCTCCCAGCTACCCTGGCCAATGCCGTTGTAGGGCTTGCCCATGCCGTCGGTGGCCTCGAAGGAGCGGCCGTAGATGGGCATGCCGAGAACGATCTTGTTAGCGGGAACACCACCAGCAATGTAGGCCTTGATGGCATCATCGGTGTTGAAGGGGGTGGAGGCCATGTTGTTGGGGTTCTTGTAGAGGTTGGCATCGTGGCCGCTGGCGTTGCTCCAAGATCCGGCGTAATCGTAGGCCATGAGGTTGATGTGGTCGAGGGTCTGGCCGAGCTCCTGGAGCTTGAGGACGCTGTAGTGCTCAGGGCCAGCAGGGGCGGCAATGGAGATTTCGAAGTGGTGGCCACCGGCGCTCTTCTGGGAGTAGGCATCGAGCTGGGCGCGGATTTCTTTGATGAGCAGGATCATGTTGTTGGCCTCGGTGGCATCCTTGGGGTACTCCCAGTCGAGATCGATACCGTCCAGACCCCAATCCTTGAGGAACTCGATGGAGGTGCGGGCAAAGTTCTTGCGGTTGGCATCGGTACTGGCAGCAGCAGGGAAGTTGGTGGACCAGGTCCAGCCACCAACGGAGAGCATGACCTTGAGCTGGCGGTTAGCCTGCTTGAGCTTGTAGAGCTGCTTGACGCAGCCGTAGACGTTGGTGCCGACGTCGTTCCAAGCTGTAGGTGTATGTTAGTACGAGAATGTTCACTAATGAGTATGTATACCACGAGGTATGTATATAGAGGTCAATGTTGCTTACAGTCGGTGGGGTAGTGCTTCTCGACATCGGCGTAGGTGTCGCCAGAGTAGACGGTGCCATCCTCCTTGATGTTCATGAAGGAGTAGAGGACGTGGGTGATCTGGTTGGCGGGAAGATCGGCAGGCTGGAAGTTGCGGCCGTAGATGCCCCTAAAGTAACAAGCAGTTAGTACAAGAGCAAAAAGCTAAGGTGTATGGAGGATGTAAGACGAACCAGTTGGTGAAGTAGACGGCATTGACGAAGCCATTGCCGCGCTTCTCAACGCCGGCGGAGTGGACAGGCGAAGCAAGACCAACGGTGACCTGGAGGGCAGCCAGGACGGCGACCGACTTGGAGAGAAGGCCGAACATTGTGAATGTCGAATGGGTGGTGGTGAAGTAGGCAAGCTAGCAGTGCTGTAGGTTGGGGAGAGAGGTATGGACAATGGGGAGACTGGATTGTTCTGTGCCTGACTATGACAAGAAGAGTTTGTGATGTCGAAAGGGGCCGGGAGACTGGCGATTATATATTCCCCACGAGCAGGAGGAGAATGAAGGAACAAGCGCCTGGGTGTGTGCTCTTCCATCTCTTTGACAATGGGACAAGTAATGGCACCACACCCACACGCCCACCCCCCTCCGCCGGTGCCCCATGTAACGAGACCCGAAATCGTAGGTCTTGACCATGTCCGGCGCGTGGGACGGTGGGTGCAAGTTTAGCACGGCGGGCCGACTAGCTACCTACCCCACGGACGGAGGTGGTAGTGGTGGTGGTGGCCCTGCGGTGAGGAACGCCGGGCAGGCTGGTGGTGGTTGTCGCAAAAAGCTTGGGCGCGCGACCCTGTCAGTCCAGCTACGAAAGCAGCGTTGTGGTTTGAGGCAGCCTCTTGGCGCCACCTGGGGGGGTCTCCCCACGGCCCTAACAGCAGGGGTGTAGCCCACCACGCTGCTCGCTGGCTTGTGCCTGCATCGGGCTTTACTGCTAACTTAGCACTTCAACACCGGCTTGGCTCTTTTTGGGGCTGCCACCATTGGAGCGTGGGGCGTATCTGCATGAATTCGCTTTCTTTTCTGACTAGGAAAAAGAGAACAGAGAGAGAAGCAAGTGGCAGATAATTCGTCGATAAAACGAAACGTTGCTCTACCCGCCGGCCATCTTCGGGTCCCTCTAGCGGGCCCTCTGTACCAATAACTGCCTAACTAGCCTGTTTTCCCACTGTACTGTCCCTCTGCTAGGCGGCTATAGCATAGACAGGGGACAGACTAGGCTGCTGAAAGAGGTCGACCAGCACCTAAAACACGCGCTGACAGTGCGCTCAACGGTCCGTTGCTGCTATTTTTCGACTTACAAGGCATACCGGCGCTTGGATATGGTGCACGGAAATACCCTGAGGCTTTTTTTTTTATCACGAGCAGAATAAAAACGTTTCATTGCATGACTGTGAGTCGTCTACCACGCATCAGAAAAAAAATGACTAGAATCAAGAGTCGGGATAATGGTATCATTGGCAAGGCCGGCGCGTAATTGGACGCTTACGGCTCAGGGAATTAGAGTTCAATGCCGCCCCTCCACCAGTAGAGCAGAGAGTCCACAATGGGCAGACGTCTGCTAACAATCCGTGACTCGGATGCCCGCTGATCCTTGATAGCAGTGGAGCTTTGATCAAACGCAAGCGTTAAGAAAAAAATGTTTAATTCTCTTTGCGTCGACATAAAAAACGTTGATGAACGAGAATATTCAGGCTAAAATTACCAAGGGAAAAAAACAGTAGGTTTGTCTGTGCCCATTGCCTCCTTCTTTTCTGAATATAGAACAAGATGTTTGCTTCCCTGTATGTTACTGCTGAGCCACAGAGGCTGTCTGACATTTCAGCTTACCGCTAGGCGCCCTGTGCGGCCAGAGAGGAAAGGAAAATAGGTACTGTAGCATCGGAGACCCGAAACGGCATTGTCCATCAGGCGCATAAAAGCTCTCCATTTTTTGTTTCTGCCTGCTTGCTGGCCCGGCGCATTGGTCAAACTGGGGCCCTGGGCGGCGCAGGATGGGATGGATGTTTCATGGCCACAGCCGAGCGTAGGCGCGTGCGCTGTCGCATAAAATAGCATTGATATTGTGCTCGCGTGTGCTCTTGGTGGCGATATGGGAATACTACCAAAACAAACAAAAAAAAAAATCATCTGATTTTTTTTTGTATAGCATATTAGAGTGCTTATGGTGTGCAACACTCCTACTCCTCCTCCTATCACTTCCCCCCAGCTAAAACGTTCCATCCGTCTATCTGCGCGCCGTGCTAAGAAAGCTGGCTGAAGTTAGCTACCACAGCTTATCACTCGGCGCTTGCTGTGGCTTGCTTGTCCATGGGGGAACACCATCAGCGAGACGCCGATACACTGTGCTGCCAGGCGTTGAGCTTATTTCTTTGCTTGACAAGAACAGCTGACGTTGTACGATGCCGAGCCGCACGAGGGGATGCAGGTCCGCAGATGCACGTGGTTGCAAAAGGAAACCCAGCGGCCAGCTGGCGAATGGCTACAGCTGAATTTCACAGTCTATTGTTGGCGAATACAACGCTCTTGTTTTTCTTTTCCTCCTCTTGGTTCGTCCTGTCTTGGTTCATTGTGCGTTGTCTTTGAACGTGTTCCCGATCATGCCCGTTAGAACTACTATACCAACTGACCTGGGACGGGGACGGGGGGTCACGCCCTGTCTCGCCGCAAGCCATGGCGGGTGCGATCTACGCAGATTGTCTCGGCTGGCATTCTTCTTCATCTCAGGCGCAATGCCTGTCTGCCTGTTGACGACTTTAGCGCATTTCCACTGAGACACGCCTGTGGTCCTCGGCTGATGGACGCCGTCATCTCTGTGTGCCTGTGTTCTTGTCTGCCGAGCCTGTCTGTCCTGCCATGCCGGTGTATGCTGCTTCTAGTTACTATTGCCGCCTTGTCAGGGGCGTCCCTCGTCGCCGTTCACTTCTTAATGGATTTGCAACGTTACGCATCGCCCTACTTAAGCATGCGCCGCCAATCAACGAGCCACTGGGGGACTCTTTTCGTTAGCTGGGCTTGTGCTTGGCTGCGCTGGATTTCCTGGTTGGGCAGGTGGGCAGCGCCAGGGCGCCCCCAAAATGGCCACCCCCCTGTTTCAGACTCTCGCAGCATGTACCAAAGAGGATGATTGTCCGTGTAAAGTGCAGCCAAGCGCTGTAACACTTTGCTCTGTTAGTGCTGTGCAGAAGGAAAAAATGGACGGGCCTGTCCCATCACTGGGTCTGTGCTACGTACCGCAGCATGCCTTTTCTTCGTCTTCCTTCTTTCTTTCTTTGTCTATTTCTTTTTTCTAGAAATGCAACCCGTGACCACGGGCGAGCTATATGTTCCGTCTGCTATTGCAGATAGTATGGGGAAAAGGGAGCACTATCCCTCCCACTACCGACATGATCCGGGGTTCCCTCCGTGGCGAGCGATAAGTTGGGACACACACACATACATACAACCACTATGTATTAGTTACACCCATTTTGGCTGATATCCGGTTGTCATCTTGCCAAGAAGGTAATTTTGCAGCTTCTCGATTTCTCATTGCAGGAAAAAAGAGAAGACGAGGGATATAGCACAGAAACTACAACTCATCCCGTCCGGCCTGTCCTCGGACCTACTCTCCCCCACCGATTCCTATTTGTCTCCATTGGCCGTCTACCACTCATCCACTGGACGCCCTGTCCTTGCTAGCGCTGATGGTGCCGCACCCCCTGGGATTTCCCAAGCTCCATGACATTTCTAGCGCCGGCAGCTTAATTAACTTGACTAAAGCACGCGCTGCGGGGATCCTGGTGTGGGGGAATAATGTGGAGGACGCGCTGTGGTGGGTGCCCAAGTAGCAGCTGCAGCGGTAGCAATCAGCCAGACCGCATAAGCCAGATAGATTGCCTTACCATGCCATCCCCATCTATAATATCAGTAGCTGTTAATGCCTCCCGACGCCCCGGGGGCGAGAGCGGCCCTTGGGGGTTCCTTAGACCGCTGGTAACATCGGCTGGCCCTGGCTAACCCGAGCTCGCCTGTCGCAAGGCTCCATACTGTGACAAAGACGTTCCATAAAATCGCATGGGCAAGTAGATGTCTAAAGTGATTGCAATATCGACGAGAGCTTCCTCTTTTGGGTCACGTTACGAGCTGTTAATATACAACTTCATTAGCATTAGTGATAATGCAGAACACACGCCCCGTACAAACCCTCATGTCCATGGTTGCACATGGTTCGGATTGGCTTCGGGTCAAGGGAATCCAATCTTGCAAAGTGACTTATCCCATTACAAATGTTGCACACACAACTATAGAACAACCTGTATGCCAATACCGGTTGAGGTCAGCCCTGTCAACGTTTCAAATGCAGAGATACAACGTGGCGTCGGCGAAGGAACCGGGCTGCCAATATCGTTCCATTCGGTAGTCAGCTTCGCATAATTCAGCCACTGGTCGATTAGCTCTTATGAACCGTTCCATGGCGAGTGGCTTGTTACGGTAAGGTTTCGGGGCTGGGAGATTGGACGATTAGGCAGTATGCTGGGGGAGCCCGAGCGACTACTTCGCCGACAGTCGATGCCAAGTTGCCCAAATTTGAGTACATTGTGATACACAGTCGATCAGAGGTGCCCATTCCAAGTAGAATACGGTGGAAGCATGTGATTATAGAAGAATAGAGAGCTCAAGAAGCTGTTGCGTGTAACACCTCCCCCCTCAAGGCCACACCGGCATACCATAAGCTCGTCAATACCCAGTACACAGTCATGCAGAAGATGTAAAAGAATCTTTTTCAACAAATTTTAATACGGTGACAAAATTTAATTATTTAAAAAGTTACATTGCATTTTTCCAATAATTTTTCAGGGCCTTATCCTGCAGTGTAGTGGTCGTTTTTAACTGCTGGGGCATTGATGCGGCCATTTGCAAAGCCAAACTGCGAAATAATGTTCGCAGTATCAAAAATAGTCTCTTAATGAAATCGCAATTATAAAATTCTTTTCGTTGAAATGCTGGTGCAAAGTCATCGTATGAAGCGTCGCTGTTTAACGGAAGCCTGATTGGCGGGGCACGGTCAACGTCACGAACAGGCACCCCACCAAAGCTCGACAGCTTCATCCTCAACCTTCGCAAGCATCGGAATTCATGCAACATGGCGAGCGTAAGTTGGCATTCATCAATTTCATAATACTTTTAGTCTACCAACAGATAAACTAACCCTTTGCTAGCACGGAGTGTCGAAATCTGTCCGCGATAAGACGGAGCAGCAGAAGGAGGCTGAAAGAGAAAAGATTCAAAAGTACAGGTCGCTCGAGGATGAGTTTCGCCAACTGGTACTATATAAGCGCTTCCTCTCATATGTTTGATTGTTAACGCCGCTCATAGACATCCCAGGGTGAGTTTGATGATAGCATCTTTCAACTCACCACCAAGCTTCTCCGCATCAACCCAGAATACTACACTGTGTGGAATGCCCGTCGCCGATGTTTATTGTCGGGGAAATCCTCCAAATTTTTATCCAGTCCAAAGCCCACGTCAGAAACAATAGAATCAAAAGACAGTTCTGCCACCAACGCAGATCAACAAGGTGCTACCGCTATGACGATAGACACGGTCAAGTCTGAACTCATGTTCACCGTTCCGCTGCTTATGGAACATCCGAAATGCTACTGGATTTGGAACTATCGTATGTGGATGCTGGACCAAGCCACAAATCTCCTGCCTACATCAATATCCAAGACAGTTTGGGTAGAGGAGCTCGCTCTGATTAGCAAGATGCTTAGCCGTGACGAGCGAAACTACCATGCATGGGCATACCGCCGCTTCGTCGTCTCTCAACTTGAGCTACCGCTCTTTGGCGGCGAAAGTATGGCAGAGAGCGAATTTGAATATACGACAAAACGGTTGCAGTCCAACTTTTCCAACTTTTCGGCTTGGCATAACCGCAGCGAGCTGATTCCCAAGTTGGTGAAGCTGCGCAGCCTCGACACGACAGCACGAAAGGAATTCCTCGACGCCGAGTTTGAATACATCAATGGCGCCATCAACCTCTCACCAGAAGATCAATCATTATGGTACTATCACCAATTCCTCGTCGCCAACATCACAACCACCGACACAGCCACCTCCATTGTGCCTGACCTGTCGACGGCGGACCGTGTCGCAGACATTCAACGCGAAATCGAAGGCATCAAGGATCTTTTGGAAGACTACACCGACGTCAACTGGATATACGTCTCTCTTCTCGAATACTCCCTCGCCATCTGTCGCCTCGAAAAGCAATCACCCAAAGAAAACCTCACAGAACTTCCTCAGTGGCTCGGTAAGATTAAAGAACTCGATCACCTACAAGCCGGACGATGGAACGAACTAGCAGCAGAGCTTCAAATTTCATAAAAACAAATAAATAAAACATAGCAAGTTTCACACTAAAAGTATCTACATGAAGAGAAAAGATTACCTCTTTCGCACTGTATCCCCTTACTGGCAGCTTGCCTTGACGTCGTTGCCCGTCTTTCCAACAAGATCATCAAAGTACTTGAGCAGGGTCTGGACAGGAACCAGCTCCATGACGCCGAGGTCCGGATGGGACGACTTGAGGACCTTGCCGCCAAACAAGACACGCACGTAATACTTTTCCAAGACGGCTACTTCCGTAGGCACAGGGTCAGCGGTTTGTGTACCAGTCGGGATCTCCAAGCACGAACATCCAGAAGCAACTCGAGCGGCGCTATGACACTCTGGAGGTGGGAATGAAGGTAGAGCAATTTCAGCAGACGTGGTGGTGAAGAGCTGTTGGCAGAGCGATGTTGCAGTCTTGGTCGCACGCAGGAACCAGCGCAGGCAGTTGTCACGGTTGCACTTTTCCACAAGAGGCTTCTTCTTGTACAGTTCAAAGACAACCTCGGAGCCCATGCCAGGCCAGACCATGGTGTCAATCTGCAGGATGGACAGCAGGCGAGAAACCGAGCCGTCGTGGGCAACGTTGTGAAAGTACACAATATCACGCTTGCCGGCAATTACGTCTCGGAAATGGCTCGACAGCTCCTTGATCCAAACGCCCAGCGACGCCGCGCTCGCAGCCAGCGACTCTGGGCTGTCTCTGTAAATGTGGCTGTACTCCCAGTGTCCGAGACGGTAAACGGCATCAGCCATCTCCTGGGTGACGCAGGTGGTGCTGTTCTTGCCATCAACAAGCTTGCAAGGCAGAGGCTTGTTATGGCACTGTCTTGCCGACAAGTTATCATAGTAGTGGTCAATCGAGGCGTGGAAGCCGCCGTCATTGGGCGGCACACCAGAAATGTCATCGAGCGTGCTGTAAAGTGGTGCAGCTTTGCTAAGGTGGTCCTTCCAGGCGGCGTTGTCGTTTGACTTGATGCTGTTAAACGCTCGGCTCGCGCTGTTGCAGCTGTACTGAGGCTCCAAGCTGTCGATGCCATCGGCCTGCACCATCAGCGGCACGGAGTGCTTCGTCTTGTACATGGCTCCAGCAACCATACCAGCGACCTGGCTAGTAATAGGATTGTTTGTGACACGGTATCTGACTTCTTCCGCAACGTACCAGTCTCTGCCCGGGATGAAGTGCAGCAAGTCGGCATACACTTCGTACAAATCGAGACCATGCTGGTACGAGTCGTCGAGTCCGCCCAGCGTGATCTGGGGAAACTTGCAGGTACCGATCCAGCCGGATGGAACAAACGGGTTAATCGGCGAGATGTAGCCCTCTGCAAATCCCTTTGCGGCCTGGTGGCCCTCTGGCGACTGGCCATAGTTGTACAGACGCTGGTCGTCGCAGTTCCAGTGATATGACTCTACTGGGAAAGCATTGGATGCATACGGCGTGCGCTTATGGTGGCGATGCATCTACTAAAGGATTAGCCCAAATTAACTCTCTCAAAGCACCACACTTTATCCAATATCACTCACCAATTCCACATACTGCAGCTCATAGTCGCTGTTCACCTTGACGTACTCCTTCTTGCGCACATGCGGCATGTTGCACCAGTTGTAAGTGCCATACCTGTTGTCGGGCGTAGTGGACGAGTTGTAGATGAAGCCATAGGCACCGGATCCGTTAATCACCTTGTCCAGATTGTTAATATTGCTACTTGCAGGCGCATACCACTGCACACCAGCAGCAGAAGCAACAGGAGCAGTTAGTGCAGCGAGGACCACGGCAAAGGTAGCCCCCGCGCTCAAGGGACGGGACTGCTGAGCCATTGCGAACAAGAACAAGACGACTACTTCAATATTCGAAAAATATTGAAAATCAAAAACGAAATCCGCAAGTGAAGTCCGTAGCCTTGCAGTTTATATTTATTCAACCCCCCAACAGGTTGCGGGACAAGCGTTGGAGCTAACGCAGGTTGACGTAGGCACGTGGTGTCCAGATCGCCTGCGACTCGTTGTTTTGGTGCAAGTTAGCGGCTCTCTCCCCCTTCGCAACGACAGCGATATCCACAACCACTATAGAAAGTGGCTTGTAAAAGGAAATTGGCAGATAACGAAGTTATACAAAAGTATATACTCTGCCGTGCTGAGGTGTAATACCCGACGGAAGAGAGGGCGCTATGGTTAGCTCACGGCAATGTTAACCATGTACTTGCCGTTCCGTTCGTCGGATGTCTGTCTGTACGTGGGGGCTGGTTGAGTTGAGATGGATGGGTGCATACAGGCCGCCGTCATATAAATATTCCACCTGCATAGAGTTTTGGTTACAGAGAGGACACAAATACTTGGTACAAATGCCGCTTTACTAGTTGCAATGCGAATCTGGCACGTGTCCATTTAGAGGACAAACTTTATACAGCGAGCTGGCGAATAAGCAATCCTACTGTCCAGTGTAAGCTTTTGCACAAGACAACAAAAAAGGGTGAATATTGGTACGATGCGCTATTACTACTGCATACTATACAAATGTCCATGTGGGACGGTCCCTCCCAGTAGGGTAAGCAAATGGGTATATAAAATCAAAAACACCCTAAAGCACTAAAACAAAAGGCAATTCGTAGGGTTTACACACGTCCTCTTGGCCACCTACGAGGCCTTCCTCTACCACGCCCACTACCACGCCCGCTATCGGTTCGAACCGGAGGTGTAGTACTAATAGAAGGCATAGCTGCCGGAATATCATCGTTGTCGTCGCTAGAATCTCCATCGCTGTTGTCAAAGGGGACAATAGCAAATGCAGGTAGCTTTTTGAACGGGACAACGTCGGCAGCAGGCAGGGAAAGGGGAAGGCATCTCGCCTTCAAGCGGCGTGTCAGCTGCTGCGCTAGGCTGTATCTTCTTTGTAACCGTTGGAGTTGCTCCTCGTCCTCGTCCTCATGTTCCAATACGGAATGAGCGTCCTCGAAGAGCCATCCGCTCTGCCATGGACATGAACTGTGATGCCTTTTTAGCCTCGGGATTGCTTTCAACTGGGGTCCTCGCGGTAGCTCCACGTCCTCGTGGCGGCCGGCCTCTAGCTCTACCATGAAACGGCGGTGTTCGTGTAGGCTTTGGATCCTCAGTAGGAGGGTCCTCAGCAGGAGGGGCTTCCTCCTTTCTCGGCTGTTTCGGTGGTCTTCCGCGACCGCGTTTAGCTGATTGAACGGGAGACGCTGGTTCAGCAGTCTCGGGTGTAGGTGGTCGCTGTTCCTCTTTTGACACCGAGGTATCCTCATCCTCTTTCGGTTGTTTGGGTGGTCTCCCGCGGCGCTTAGCCGACCGTACAAGAGATTTCGGTGTCTTCTTTGCTGAGGCGACAGGCCCAGACTTGGTTTGCTTCTTAGTTGGTGTCTTGGGTGTCTTGGGTGTAGCAATGGTAGCACTCTCGATTGAAGGAACAAGATCTGTCTCTGGCAGTGGTTCAGGGCGCACCTTCGGTTGTACACGCTCCTCAACAACCTCAACCTCCATCTCCTCTACGATATATGAGCGAGTTGGCTTGGTGTGACGCAACACCGGTTGATGTGCTTCAGAGTCGGGTTGTGCTTCTGCTGTTTCGGGGGCTGCAGTGGCCGTCGGAGCTGCTTCAGCGGCCGGTTCTCCCGGCTGCAGTGTCTCATCAAAGAGGGCTGGATCCATGCTGGCCAAAAAGTCAGCTGCTGGCATGGTCTGTGTTTTAGGCTTCTTGTAATGGCTTCTCGGCCCGATGTATTCAGGATCGTCGTTAAGTCGCTTTGCGCGTCTTCTAGCGGCTTGGATCGACTTGCGGAAGTGTTCAGACATTTCTGGCTCATCAATCTTGAGATCATGCGATGATGGCATTTGGTATGGGTCGAACAGGATTCTGTCCAGTGCATCGTCTACGTCGTAATATCCCAGTCCAATGCGCTGTGCAAAGAGTGCCGGGTCTGGATAGTTGTTAAACTCAACTATAGTGACATCGGCACTGTCATTTATAGGAATAGGCTCGCCATTGGCTTCAGGTGCGGTAGGTTCCCATGTCGGGGGTGGTGGAGGTGCGCTGTCCGCATTCGCAATATCGTGATCAACCTGTTCCATCTCTTCAGCGTTGCTGGCTTTGGCATTGCTCGCAGCTTCTTGAAGCCTCTTCATTCGCTTGCTGTCTCTGCTGCGGCTCTCTTCTCCGGCTGCCTTCAGCCAAGTTAGGTTGTGAATGCGGAAATCAATCAACGCTTCAACGCTTCTGTCATCGGCAACCCTTCGAGTATCGTGACCAAGCAAAGTATTCTTCGGTGTATATGGATTTTTAGTGTTTCCTGATCGACGGCAACCACCACAATTACAAATGCCTCGGCATCGAGGGCACTGCCAGTGTTCGTCTTGCATCACTTGCTGCGGCATCATGTCGAATGCGCGGTAGAGGACACCATAACAGTATGCCTCTTCGCACCTTGCTGTCGTACACTTGTGAACCTTGTAGCTGTAGTCTTTGTGGCAACAGACATGACAACGCTGCACCGGGCCCTCTTTCTTGTGGCGCGTTGACTTGCGCTTCTTCCCGTTATCATCTGAATCAGAGAGCAGAACAATTTGGCTTTCTGCATGAATATCCTTGAAAGGGCGTCGCTTCAAAGATTCTTGGCATATTTGGGCCAATGACTTTCGACCAAACCGTTGGCGAGCCACTTCAACAGGGGCAGGAGATTCGTTGATATCAATGAAGCCGTCATTCTTGATGACAATTGCTCGCCATTCCTCATAGCTGTCAATAAGCTCTGGCCACGACCATTGCTCACACCACGATAAATCCGACATGCAGGCGCACGAGCGGCCCATGACATAACACTCCATACAAATATCATATGTATCTTCCACGCCATTAACCAAGTGACGCACACAATGCTTGCATGTTAAGAACCGATTGAAAATGTTGGATCTGCAGTATGAGCAAGTAATGCAGGAGTCAAACGGAAGAAATTCGACATTCATCTCTTTGGTGGCAAATGTTTCGTCCATGAGAATTTCTGTAAACAACATAAACAGCCGGCGAAAGTCTTTGACAAGCTGCTGAGAATGAGAGCTGCGCTTGCTAACGTATTGTCTGCCGCCGCGCGATGACAACTCATCAATACTCCTGAGCTTCTCGGCGTAGCTCTTCAATGTGTAATAAATCAGCGCCTTATTTTTGTACTGCTCATCACGAGCAACCAAACGTGCTTTCGGAAGTGCCTCATGGAGGGCGAGCTCGAGTGTCTCTGCCGTCGTTCTGTTCCATGCAACTTTCATGGTGCGCGTGCCTCTGTTCCATACTTGGTGTGCAGCCAGGGGCGGGATAAGAATAAAGTCTCCTGCCTTTTGTTCCACCACATGTACATCAAAGTTAGCTCTCTTCCAAGCATTAATTTGCGCGAAATGCTTCTCGATCTCAATGTCGTGGCCAAGCATGGAAAGAAAGTACTCGCGAACAACCTCACGATCATTGCTTTCGGTCATGAACCAAATAGAGCTGCCTGCTTTTTCACCATTTGCATCCGTAGAAGCCTCGACCATAATATTCTGTCCCAAGGATGCGCACATTTCCCTATGCGTGGGTGTGTACGTCCCTTCATGCCCTATGTAGCACATGAGGTTCTGAGCGCGCATCTCCTCTGGCAGACTGGACATGAGATCTCCAGCAATAGCAGGAACACTATCTTCGGAGCCCGGCTCATGGGTCGTGTTGTTATCGTTGAGATAAAACAGCGATGGCCGGATAATCTTTTGCAGGTGATCATGCCACTCCTTCGGGCAGTCGATGTCTTTGAGATAGAGTCGCTGCCTTCGCTCATCACGAAAGTTCTTTGTGGTCCATTGATTCGTCAGCCGTTTCATCGACCTCAGATAGTGGCCCATGGTCATTGCTATATCCGCTCCAGCTACTATATCACGTACATTCTCCTGTTTTTTGTCGTACGTCTGTTCCAGCCAGGTAGCGCTGAACAGATCCTTGGGTAGCTTCGCGTCCCATCCTTCAATAATAAGGGGCTTTCCGCCCTGTATGACGTGTATTAATACGAGTTTTTCAAATTTTGATGCTCCGAAATTCTGAATTTGCTCCCATGACACGCGCTGCGCCCACTTGAATCTCGCGGTGCTATCAACTAGACTCTCAAGATCAAGGTCAGGCGGAATTGGGTCAAACTTCGCCTGGGGATGCGCTGCGGCAGGCATGCTGAGGACTTTCGGAGAAGAATACTCCTTCCCATATATTTTCCGGAAAATATTTGGTATTACATGCTTTGGTTGTAAAAGGTCTTACGTGAAGGCGTGTGTCAGTTGGCAACAGTGACCGCGCTAGCACGTGATTGGCTGCAGCATCCGCCAAAGCCGTCTGAACTCCCTACAACAACGCCTGATTCAGCTGCGAATAAATCGAAAAAGCAGAGGGCGGTGATTCGCGTGATATTTTGTGAGGCATCACAAACAACTGGTGCGTAAATTGTATTCCAATTGGCCTACGTTCTACTCCTGTCGTCGAGTTTCATCGTTGGTGCTGTTCGCACTACGAGCAAAAAGTTCTAACCCATACCCTTGCAGTCAATCTCAATGAGGCTTCTTACAGCACATAGGCTGGGCGGCTTATCAGTGTCTTGCCAGCGCTTACCTGTGACCTTTTCATCGTCAACGATTCTGCGCAGACGTAATGCTTTAGTATCTGGGCCCAAGAATGTTGCCCAGCGCGTGGCATTTCACCAGACGCAACGACATCTGTCTGATATCAAAGATGCTGCAGCTTTGACAGCCACCACGGAGCCACCGGTGCCCGTCTATGAACCCCCTAAGACGGGCATCTTATCAGTTCTGCCCAAATCATGGGTACCATATGCTGAGCTCATCCGTCTGGATAAGCCAACAGGGACATACTACCTGTTCTTCCCTTGCATGTTCTCAACACTGATGGCCGCACCAATGGTTGCACCAATGGCATCCATTCCAACGGTAGTTGGAACTACTGCTCTATTCTTCACTGGAGCTCTCATCATGCGTGGTGCCGGTTGCACTATCAACGATTTATGGGACAGGAATTTAGATCCTCACGTGGCCCGTACACGCTTCCGACCTATTGCACGCAAAGCCATCACTCCCTTCCAAGGAGTTGTCTATACAGGAGTCCAGCTGCTTGCAGGATTGGGCATCCTCGTTCAGTTTCCGTTGGATTGTCTCTTCTACGGTATCCCCAGTCTACTCTTTGTAGCCAGCTATCCTTTAGCCAAGCGCATCACATACTATCCCCAGGTTATGCTTGGATTCACATTCTCATGGGGAGCGATCATGGGTTTCCCAGCCCTTGGTATTGATCTTCTCACAAATCAAGCCGCTCTCACAGCTGCCAGTCTCCTCTATACTTCCAACATTGCATGGACAGTTCTTTACGACATGATTTACGCGCACATGGATATCAAGGACGATGCCAAGGCCGGTATCAAGAGCATTGCGCTCAAGCATGATGCACAGACAAAGCAAGTCCTGACAGGATTAGCAGCCGTTCAAGTTGGATTATTGGCAGCTGCTGGAGTTGCGTCGGGTGCTGGCCCTGCATTCTTCCTTATCAGCTGCGGTGGCACAGTAGCTACGTTGGGCGTCATGATCAAGCGTGTCAACTTGAAGAGTGTCAAGGATTGCTGGTGGTGGTTTGTTAATGGTTGCTGGATTACGGGTGGTACTATTAGCATGGGCTTGGGCATTGACTACCTCATCAGGTTATCTGGGGAGGACAACGATGACTACAAGACAGGTAGCTCTGAGGTGGCACAACAGTAAGCCTGGGTAGCTGGAAAGCGTTCTGTAACACTCCTGTAGCATTTTTTGTACAATAGCATAATCACATAACCTAATTTTTCACCGTCGAGCAGGCCGGGTAAATGGTATCGAACAGACGTTGTATGATGTCTATTTCTCAATTGGAAGTCTTTTGATTTTCATTCCCAGATCCGTAATGACAATGCAAGCAAGCCGTTTAGACTCCTCATGCCGTAATATGACGCTGCGCCGCTCCCCGAATTCTTTTGTCGTTCTTTACGAACGGGGCTTCTCCTTCTTCTCCTTCCACAAGGCCAACAAACCGACACCGGAGACCTTGACAACCTTGAAACGAACACCGGGAATATCACCCTTGGCCTTGCCCTTGCGACCGAAACCAGCAATAAGGACCTCGTCGTTCTCGTCGACGAAGTTCAAGCAACCGTCATTGGGGACTGTTAAGAGAAAGCTCAGTTAGCATAACTACACACAGGGTACAGGGAGAAATTGAGCGCCATCGAGGAGAAGCAACGAGCGTGCGCAATTCATTCGATGGCGTCGAGGGGGGATTCGCGTACCGAAAGCAGTAACCTTCTTGCCGTTCTTGATCAACTGAACTCTGACACACTTTCGGATAGCGGAGTTGGGCTGCTTGGCCTCAACACCGACCTTCTCGAGGACGATACCCTTGGCGTGGGAAGAGCCACCGAAAGGAGAGGACTTGAAAGCGGTACCCAGGGCACGCTTCTTGTAGTGAAGGTCAGACCACTTCTGGTCCTTTCTGTTGAAACGCAACTTTCTAGCGGCGTTAAGACCGCGGGGCTTGCCTCCTGCCATTTTTGCTTTAAAGAAACCGTCGTCAGTATTTGGATACGATTATATATATTTGCGTAGTCGAAGGGGTGTGTCGTCGGGAACGTACCGAATTATGTTGGTATCGCGGTTGATGGTTGACTTGACGATGTGACGGACAGCGAAAAGTTGGGACCTGGCTCCTAGGACTAGAATTTCGCCGTAGGGTTATTCGGCCCTAGAATTGTTTGGTGGAGATTTCGCTTCGTGCGATCACGTGCGGAGCGGAAATAGAATCCTCCAGCCCATTTTTGTGTGTCTTTGCAAAGGTCCACTTTTTCTTCGATCAATTGAGTGCTGCTGCCCCACCGAGCTAAAGCCGTCGCTCTCTCGGCCATTCAAACACCACCTTGAGATTCGCGGGTTCGTGTAAGTGGCTCGGGTGCATTGAACAATTTCGATATTTTGCCATTTGGCTCTGTTCCAGCAATGTCGCTTTCGCCGAATCTCAATGTAAAGTCAAAGCAAAGAGATCCGCCACCGTCTTTGTTTCTTCATCCCTCTCCGGGAGCTTCACATGTCTCCTTGCCTGGTATCCTAGCGGCTGGCGCGCCGACATCAGGCGTTGGCGTCAAGAGAGAAAATTCAGTACACAACAGCGTGAAATCAGGGAGGCATGGGTCTGCCAGTGGACCAGATGGCCAAAAAGACTACAGAACACTCAGGACATCAGAGAGCGGCCGCAGCACCGATAGAACCGACGCGCTATGGGCGGAGATGCAGTCCACACTGGAGGAGGTAGAACTCTCTGCTTCAGGTGGAACGCATGTGTTTGGCCCGGAACATGACAAGCGGTTGGCAGAGCTTCGTGCGGCACAGATTGCGCTTGCTCAAGCATGGGCACGAAATGAAATCGATACCTCGGCAGACACTGCTTCCAAGGGCAGGGCCGATGAGAAGGGCTCCGATGATGTAAGGCCGGTAACCAAGACGCAACCAAACGAGACAGCTTCAAAGCTTGCCGATGGTGAGGATGGCTCTAAGGCTGCTGTCAACCCATCAGCAGCGCGAGCTTCCAACGACAATGAGGGCGTGGAGAAGCTGGGACTGAGGTTAGAGGATCAAACTGAAGCCGACATATTGGTGGCCAGGAAGAGAAGAGAAGCCAATGACTTATACTTTGAAAAAGTCAATAATGGTGTACTTGATGTGGTCGACAAGCTGGAGCAGGTAGCCATTGCGATGAGAGCTGTTGAGCAGGAGAGCAAAGACGTTGTCTGGGGAGATAACGCGCCAAAGGCCACAAATTAACCGCCTATTTTGTATATAGAATAACGATACCATGTCATACTAGAAATTATACAATTCATTATAATAATGAAATTTTATTTACCATTATTTCAATGGTATATCCAAAATCTAACCATCTATTCGGATGGTGGCGCTAAGCCCAAAATAGCAGTGACTTCAAGGTGGGTCATCCAGTATGGCATTTATCAAAGTCGCCCTCAGCCTCTCAGGCTTCCACCCTTCATATCAGACAGTTAAGCCCACCGTGGAATACTTCGCCCAGCTACTCTCCTAGATGGAATAACACACATCTTACATCGCCGGAGAGCTGAACACCGCAGCCATGGACGACAAGGGCAAGTCCACGGCGCTCATCCGCAAGCGGCAGGACACTGAGTTGATGCCGCCGCCAATCCAAGCGAAGAAGATTAAGCGGCCGAAGAAAGTGCTAGATGAAGATTCTTATACTGAGGCTCTCTCACAAATCATCGCGCGCGACTTCTTCCCTGGCCTCCTCGAATCGCAGACTCAGCAAGAGTATCTCGATGCTCTTGAATCAAAAGACCAAGCATGGATATCAAGTGCGAGCCAGCGTCTGAAACATGTCATGACGCCGGGCAGAAAGAGACACCCTGCTGCCATGCGCCCGATCGCAAATGCAGATGAGACGCCCATGTCCTTTCGCGGTGACACACCAGCGTCAGTGGCATCTGCCGCCACCACAACACAGGAGCCCCAGCTTAACCTGAACATGAGTCTCTCGAAGTTCCAGGAGACATATACCAGCGAGGACAATGAGAGCTTCTACAGGTTGGTCGACAAGCAGAATCAGAAAAAAGCAGAAAAGTACGAGTGGCTCTGGCGTGGAGGCAACAAAATGCCATCCAAACAAATGCTCGCCCAGAAACAAGTTACAGACAGACTAGCCGCCGAAGGACGCCTTATCGACGACGGATTCAAGCGTGAAAGACTAGCCATCAAGGACGCTGATGAGCGCCCAGCTCGCCCAGATGCATGGAACGCAAACCCAAGAAACGGCCTAATGTTCTCACCCGAACTGGATGAGGGGACTCCAACAGTGGCACAAGCAGCAGAAGATGCCTCTCGCATGGCACCCAAGTCTATCCATTACGCCAATACCCGGATTCCCGAGCCCAATGTCCCCGAAAGACCACCGTCCCCGACCATGTCATCGGTTCGTGACGCCATTGCTGGAAAGCCTCGAAAGACAGACCGCGACTCTAGCATTGTAAGCGGTGGCGAAACCCCCCGTGTTAATGGATACGCATTTGTCGATGATGAGGACGATGAGGAAGATATAACACCTGCTCCGATCATCAACCTCGGCCCTGGTGATGCTTATAATCCGTTCAGGCTTCAAGAGCAGCGCAAGAGAGAGACCATTCATGAGAAGATGGTGGAGAAGATTGCTCGATCTAAAAAGGAGGCTTCAAGAAACGGTGCAACGGGCCGAGTTGCAGAGCTCCAGACTCCGAAATTCCCAAGCAGTCCCAAAGTCTCTGGCAACTTGAGTCCTGCTGGCCAGCGGCTTTGGGGCCAGATCGGCTCGCCCAGACGAATGACACCCGGAAGTTCGTTTGGAGAGCCTACACCAAGACGATCTCGTGGTTCGTTATTGAACCCGATAGGCAAAGGGAAGGGGCCTTCGAAATAGGCGTGTGTAAAGATACTGGTGGTGCATGTGTACAATAGATGGACACTGAGGCGTTGGAGCAATGTATTTTAGAGCATATTATTATGACTAACGAATTTTAATGACATTTTAATACCCATTACTATTTTTGGTCTATTTTATTGTAATCAATTAACATGCTTGTAGTTGAATTAGCCTCGTTGTCAGGCACTAACACCTGGATGTGCGTCACCACCTGCAGCCAAATCTCCAACGCCACTTTTCCAACTGCCGGACGTCCAACCGTCACTTTTTCACAACACCAACTGTATCATCACCAGCACTCAATCCATGCCGTCGCCCTAATTTTGAGGCTATCTAGACCTCATGCGATTCATCGACATCGCAATTGACCTTGCGGCGGTCCTCGGTGCGACCAGGAACGTCGCCGCAAAACATATCGCGCTCCGAAGCAGACAGATCGACGCATACACCCGATCCTCCAAGACTGCCGCCCAAGTCAAAGAATCTGTCGTTGCGACTGCACAACAAGCTCAGAATGATTTCAAATCGGCAGCAGAAGCCGTTAAGGCCAGTGCATCTCCAGAGGTAGCCCGCCAGGAGACCCAGACCCCTCGACCGATCGACAGCGTTACAAAACCAAAGTTTTCCTCGTACGCAGAGGCATCCAAACACTTCAATTCACAAGCAGCCAATGCTAACGATGGTGCTGATCTACCATCTGACGTCAATGTCGACATCTTCCACACTTCACGGGGCAAGATCCTGCGAAAGGGGGATGCTGGACCACGGGCAAGACCAGTCCCTGGAGGCCCAGCCAAGGAGCACCCGTTGCGCAATTGGCCGTATGCCTCACCGCCGCTAGATATTAAGACCCGAATGAGCGATCCCAACCCAGAGACCTTTCAAGCACCGCCTGCCCCCGAGCCGGTGGTCCCGATAGAACCAGTGAAGCCCTCAGAGCCCGTCGCAGCACCTGTTGCCGAGAAGCCCATCGAGTCCAACACCACACCATCCCCCTCTACAGTCAACGAAGCAGTGATTACACCCAAGTCAGCATTTGCACCAGCAGCCACACGAAACCTGAGGGAGTCCAGTGTCCCCTCTAGCCGCATCGGCAGAATATGGAGCTACGGTGGTCTCGCAGCCGGCATGCTTGGAGGTGCTGTCACCGAGAGCGTCAGCCGAGCCTTTGGTGGTGGTGGCGACGGCAGTGTGCTTCTCAGCGGTGCCAACATGGAACGCATGGTAGCCAAGCTGTCTCGAATGCGCGGAGCAGCCCTCAAACTAGGCCAGATGATGAGCTTCCAAGACTCCAAGACGATGCCTGCGCCTCTGCAGCAGGTTCTGCAGCGCGTACAAGACAGCGCCGACTACATGCCAGCATGGCAGCGAGACCGGGTCCTCGTGGCCAACCTCGGCGAAAACTGGCGCGACATCTTTGACGAGTTCGAAGAGACACCCATTGCCGCCGCCTCGATCGGCCAAGTCCACCGAGCGACACTCAAGTCCAACGGCAACCGAGTGGCTGTAAAAATCCAGTTCCCTGGCGTAGCCGACTCTATCAACTCGGATCTCGACAACCTCAGCATCCTTCTCGGCGCAACCAAGCTGCTCCCGCGCGGCCTGTATCTCAACAAGACGATTGACAATGCCCGTCTCGAACTTGGCTGGGAGTGCGACTACACGCGCGAAGCTGAATGCGCAAGACGCTACGGCGAGCTGCTCAAAGGCGAAGAAGACGTCTTTGCCGCACCGGGCATCTACGCCGAAGCATCGGGCAAGCAAGTCATCACCATGGACTTTATGGACGGTATTGGCGTGACCAAGATTGAATCCTTTACGCAGGAGCAGCGCGACTGGATCGGCACGCAGATTCTGCGTCTGTGTCTCCGCGAAATCACCGAGTTCAAGTTTATGCAGACGGACCCCAACTGGACTAACTTCCTGTACAACGCCTCTACAAACAAGCTTGAGCTGCTCGATTTCGGTGCTTCTCGTGAGTACCCAGAAGAATTCATCCGCCAGTATATTCAGCTACTAGCTGCCGCATCCCGCTCCGATAAAGAAGAGGTCAAGCGCCTGTCTGAGTGCCTGGGTTACCTGACCGGGCACGAGAGCAAGATCATGGTGGACGCACACGTTGCATCCGTCATGACGCTCGCAGAGCCCTTCCTAGCCTCTGCACCAGACGTCTACGACTTCAAGGACCAAACCATTACAGAGCGCGTGCGCGATCTTATCCCCGTGATGCTCAACGAGCGCCTCGCACCTCCACCAGAGGAAACATACAGCTTGCACCGCAAACTGAGCGGTGCATTCCTCCTCTGCGCCAAGCTCGGCAGCAAGGTGCCGTGCAAGGAAATGTTTGAAAAGAGCGTCAAGCAGTCTGGATACTTGTAAACACACACCACCCAAAAAGGAAAACAAAATGTACTTTTAGCATAGAATATTTGTAAAACTATAGACAGGCATGAATGGGTATATTCATCTCATCGTAATCTACTCCTCCCTCTCCGTTTAATGTCTATCGCGAACTCTCGTCAAAAAGTCCAGCTCCTTCTTCTCCTTGCCAGCCACCTTCTTGCGCTTACGCTCAATGGCTCTGTCAACCTGTCCCTTGCTCATCTTGTCGAAGCGGTTCGTGAGCAGCTGCTTCTTCTGCTCGCCCTTCTTGAGATAGTACGGTGTCTTTCCCTGTGACACAAGGTCCTTCTCCTTCTTTCTGTGCTCCTTTAGCAACTGCTCCTCTTCGTCCTTGCGCTGGCGGGCCTTCTTCCTGCTCTCCATGGACAACAGTTGGCGCTTGAGATCCTCCTTGATCTGCAGGTTCTTGGTCTTTTTAATCTGTGCTTTGAGATCGGCTATTTCGCTATTGCGATAGTCGTCGAGGAATGAGTATGCTGCACGGGCCTTTGCCTCGTCAACAGTGCCACCGAGACCAGTGTCGAAGCGAGGGTCGCGGGCCTTGCGGCGGTTGTCGTGGACAGCTTCGCGGCGGCGAGACACCGGTTTCTTGGACGATTGTTCTTGGGGTGCATGCTTAGATACTCGCTGGGCTATTTCGGGTCTTGAGATCTTCTTCTCTGGTCTCTCCCATCGCGGGCGTTCCTCGGCGGGCTCGTTGGCAGCAGCTGCTCCAGCGTTCTTGGATTTGCGCCGTGTCGGAGGTAGTGATTCTTGTGCTTTAGCAAGAGCTCCGAAGGATATCGACGACAGGTCAACCTTTGCCGGCTTTTCTTGTGGTTCATCATCTTCCTCGTCACTTTCAGCGGGGGACTCTTCGTCATCATCGTCATCGTCGTAGTCTTGAGGTTGTCCGCGAACGTCCTCCTCTGAAGCCTGGTCGTCGGAGAAGTCGTTTTCAGACTGCTCTTCAAGCTCCCAATCCTCTTGCTTGCGAGGACGGACTCGTCTCTCCAGACCCAGGGCTTGGCTTTTTCGTTTTATCGGCATTGTGAGAATAATGTGGTGTATGTGCTAAGATGGTGTTGAAGGCGGCGGCAATGGCTGCAACTTTTTTGCTTGCCGCCAAGTGGTTATCGATAAGCGCCAAATTTAATCATTGCCAGTTGGCAATGACAAACGACGCTGTGTGACGTAGCCAAATAAAATAAATTAAAAATGCTTTCAAGTATATTTTAGCGAATTCTACATCTTTCAGTCAATTTTGACAATCCCAATTCTCTGATGGCATTGAAGGTTGAAGTACCTCACAGCTATCCATCCATCCTCAAGGTGCGGCTACTTTTCGACTTGCGACTCGCGCCAGATCTACCACCTACAAAAACACTCTCTCCTAATCCGCACAACCCTCACCACCATGCAAATAAACATGATACACTAAATGTATCCCTCTCTCCGCCGCCCAATCACCTCCTCCTCTTCTCGTTGCGCCGCCGCAACCCGTCCATACGCGCGCAACCGCCCCTCCATCGCCGACTACGATCCCCAAAAAGTCTGGCCGCCACGCCTGCGGTCCGCCCAAGAAACACACTACCGCTCGCCGCCGTGGACCAAGCAGAAGCTTCCACGCGACCTCATCGAGAAGATTGACGAGCAGCGCCGCAAGATCCAGGGTGGCATGAAGAAGCGCGTCCCTGGGCTTGAACTCCTCCCCGACATCGCACCCCAGAACGAGATCGACAAGGCCAAACGTGCCCTCAACATGGATACACAGAACAACAAAGCTGTCTCAAATAGAGCCCAGCACCTGCAGAGGCAGCGCGAGGAAACGGCAAAGACCTCGAAAGGCGACAACCGGCCTAGACAGCCGCCAAGCGCCGAGTCGGGTGGTGTGCCTGAGCCGACGGACCAGTATCTCCAGCAGGCATATGGCCCGCCCCGTCCTATCGCTACGCCCAAGAAGATCCTCGTCATTATGGATCTCAATGGAACGCTGTTGTACCGCCCAAACAAGAAGCAGCCGTTTACATTCCAAGAAAGACCGCATGCGAAACGCTTCCTTCGATACTGCATAGACACATTTGCCGTCGCCATATGGTCGTCGGCTCGGCCGATAAACGTGCACAAGATGGTTGAGCGTCTGCTTGCGCCAGATCTGCGCACTCGCTGCGTCGTCATCTGGGGCCGAGACAAGTTTGGGCTGAGTGCCGAAGACTACGATGGCAGGACGCAGTGCTACAAGCGCCTGACCAAGATATGGGCCAACCCGGCCGTCATCGAATCGCACCCTGAGATAGACTACGGCATGACATGGGACCAAACAAACACAATCCTGGTCGATGACTCGAAAGAAAAGGCTAGGAGTGAGCCGTTCAATCTCTTACAGATTCCCGAGTTCTCAGGCGTCATGAATGAGCCAACGGATGTCCTGCCGCAAGTACACGATTACCTCAACACGCTATGTCACCAGTCAGACATCAGTCGATACGTTAGAGAGAGCCCGTTTGTGCTAAATACAAACTACCAAATATACCCCCAGCAACAACAAAACTAGACAACAGGTGATGATGATAGAAATACATACAGGCTGTGACAAATGATGCACAGTTTACATAGCTTACACAATAAAGGATAATAGCACGTATAAGAAACTCAAAAGAAGACATCAGGTTTCATCAATCAAGTGTATGTAATTTTATGTTAAATAACTTTTGTCAACTGGACCATTTTTAACCGTCCTGGTGTTTGCCACCATCCATAAATCATTACGTTCAAGAGCCTTGCGCAACAAGACTAGCCTTGAGCTCGTAAACCGTTTTTGTTTAACCCATCCGCATCAACACATGATCCGTGCAACATTATCATTTTCCTTCATTAATACGCCATTATTGATGATTTATTTGAAGACCTTACCGGCGGCGTGAGCGTACTCCTTGCCGTTGACGGTGACAGGCTTGTCCCAGCCCCACTGGGCCTCAACAAACTCGCGGTCCTCAGGCTTGGAGGCATCGAGCTTGGTGAAAGAGTAGGACTCGTAGTCGGGAGCGACATCGAAGACGGGGAGGTACTCCTCACCACGGATGACGAAAGCACCCTGGATGACGGAGTCGTTGCTCTCGCCGTAGACGGAAGCGCAACCAAAGAGGTACTTGCGAGAGCCCTCAAGACGGGCGTTGAAGCCACCGATGAGGTTGTTGGACATGAAAGTCAGGGTAAGCTCATCGTTGTACTTGTAGTCAACGCGCCAGATGGAGTACTCGGAGGTGGGGACCTTCTCCCAGAAGTACTTCATGGCCTCAGGGGTCTCGTTGTTGGAGTACTGGCGCTTCCACTCATCGAGAGGGAAGGTAGGGCGGCCGAGAGCCTCGCAAGGGTGCTTGGCCTTGGGCTCCTCAGCAGCGGGCTCCTCAGCGGCAGCGGCAGCAGCCTTGGGGGCAGCCTTGGGGGCGGCAGCGGGCTTGGGGGCAGCGGGCTTGACGTTGGTGAGCTTGGGGGTCTCGAGGAACTCAAGCTTCTCAGCGACAGCAGAGAAGATGGGCTGGTTGATGATGAGCTCGAACCAACGGGTGATGTTGGGGTTCTCCTGGCGCCACTCCTTGCCGTAGAAGAACTGGAAGCCACGGGTGATGATGCCAGCGGCGAAGATATCAGCGAGGGTGATGCGCTCGCCAACAAGGAAGGTGGTGTCACGGAGGTAAGCCTCGAGAGCGTTGGTAGACTTCTTGCTGACAGCAGCGGCGGCATCAATGGCCTTCTTGTCGTAGGCAGTGCGGCCAAGAAGGGGGAGGTACTGCTGAGAAAGAGGGTCGATGATCTCGGTGTTGAAGTAGCTCATCCAGCGGAGGATGGAAGCGTAGCTGGTGCAATGTTAGCCTAGATTCTTTTATGATCCATATAGAATAGTATATAGCTTACTCCTGCTTGGTCTTGCCGAGGAGAGTGGTCTTCTCGTTCTGGGAGGTGACTGTTTGAGAGGTTAGCTCGAAGGTTCCATGCCATGTTTGACGCAACAGCGAATTTGACGAAGAAAAAAAATAAAGCAAAAGGCAGGAGAATCAGATGTTAGACTTTATCCACACAGAGAAATAAATTTCAGACAGGGATAACTGTATAAAAAATGCTAGGTCATCACGGAAGCGGTTTGCTCAACGGGGTTGCAGAAGGTGTGGAAGAGGGGCAGAAGCACACAGAAGCTGACAGTTGGAAATCACGTACTGTAGATGGCAATGGCGATAGCCTCGGAGAGCTGGAAGCCGTCCTCGCCAGCGAAGGCGGGGATCTTGCCAAGAGGGCTGGCCTTGAGGTGCTCAGCAGTGCGAGTCTCCTCAAACTCAACCTCGACGATCTTGAGGTCGAGGCCGTTGGCCTTAGCGACCGCCTTGATGGCGGTAGAGCGGGGGTTGTCCTGCGAAGAGAAGAAAAAAAAAGAGTTAGCGGGCAGGCAAATAAACAAGAGGAAGAAAAGAATTCAAGCTTACAGACTTGGTGAAAAGAGTGCCGAAAGCCATTGTGACTGATTTCTCAATTGGTTCCAGAAGCTGGTGATGAGGGGAAACAAGCGTAGAAAAAAAGAAAAGGTGAGGTCGGGGGAGGCAAAATTACTTTTCTATGGCCCGCCCTGGCCTGAGGAAATTTTTAACGTGGGACAAGGTTGAGCCCCGCGCAAGGTGGCTTCCGCAGCAACAGGCTACGGTGGCTCAGGCGCTAACTAGTGCTGCTACCCACCCACTGACTCTGCCCGGGCCTCTTTCAGGGCCCGACAATCTTATCTACACGTGATGGTTTCATTGGCTGCAGCCAGCTTTGCGTGCTGGGCGACGGCTTGCTTAGAATATTTTGCAGCCAAACTACACTCCGTCCCAACGACGTGCGAGCACACGACCACGGAATCCGCCAACGCCGAGTAATTTGGTCGAAAGCGAATCCCAAAATAAAAAATGTCGTCCATCACAAAAAGCCTGAGGCAATTGCGTTGCCAACGGCCCAGCCTGGCCAATCAATTGGCCTCGTCGAGACAGCTGCCCCTGGCCATCCGAACCATCAGCAACACATCGACATCGACATCGACAGCCGATGCAGCGAAAAAGGACGCGCCATCCGGTTCGATGACACCTCTCCAGGCCGCTTTTGCTGCTCACCCAGCCCCCTTCAACAACCAGGTCGCTGTGCGCACCGTTCCCGCGACGCCATCGTACTTTACTCGCCAGCCCGTCTTCAACGACCTGTTTATCCAGCTCAACACCCTCCTCACAAAATACCACCATCTGCCTACGTCTGCCGCCGCCGAGCTGAACCCCGTTCCCTGGCTGAAGCTGCAGGACCTGCGCGAGCGCATGGGCGAGCCCATCAAGTCGTCGCAGTTCTCCAAGGTCATGCGCATCGCCAAGCGCCTGCAGATGATTGACGACTCCCTGCGCCCTGCCGAGGTCAACCTGGTTCTCGGATCGTTCCAGCGCACGATCGATAGCCGTCTCAACAAGGCCAAGGCCGCTTACATTGACAAGTTTGGTCGCGCTGTCGGCACCGGACGCAGAAAGGCCTCCAAGGCCCGCGCCTTTGTTGTCGAAGGTACCGGCGAGATGCTCGTCAACGGAAAGCCTCTGAGCGAGGCCTTTGGCAGAGTGCATGATCGCGAGAGCGCTCTCTGGGCATTGAAGGCCACGGAGCGCCTGGACAAGTACAATGTCTGGGCCTTGGTTGAGGGTGGCGGTACCACAGGTCAAGCCGAGGCCATCACACTGGCCGTGGCCAAGGGACTTCTCGCCCACGAGCCTGCACTGAAGCCTGCTCTGCGTAGCGGTAAGCATTTTCCAACTTCAACCTTAGAACAACGAAAAAGATGTGTACTAACTCTGTATAGCTGGTTGCGTCACCAGAGATCCCAGAGCTGTGGAACGTAAGAAGCACGGCCACGTCAAGGCCCGTAAGAGCCCTACTTGGGTCAAGCGATAAACGGTTGTTACGAATTTCTTGTTGGACAGATCTGTATAACTGTACTATTCGGGGTGTTCGAGGTCACACGACTGCCCCCTTGTATCATATATCCATTTTGCATCTAGTTAATACACAGCGTCTCTTTCGAACGTGCCGCCGGCATTTTCGTCATATCAATCATACTTCTACACACTTTTTTTCTCGGATTGTTGTGAATTTTGTTCGTCCAAAACTATGGCCGGACATTGTAATATAATTCATGTTGATTGATGTGCTAGTAGTTATGCGGTGGCATATCCGAAGTTCATTATCATATACTGTGTCGGTTTCGCAAACAACGCGGCCATCCTGTGACCACCACTCTGTATGTATCCAAATGCTTTTCTTAAAATTGATCTGCACAAAAGAGTTAGCCGACATTTCTCCCGTGAACCCACGCATAATGCCAAGCTTACCTAAAGTCATGCTCATGCTCACATCGGTGTTCTCAACCATCTTTGTAAACTCCTCAAAGCTAATCTTGCCATCGCCGTCCAAGTCCGCCTCCATAATGGTCTTGTCGACAATCTGCTGCAGCTGCTGGTCCTTGAGGTTGTTTCCAACCATCATCTTGAGCACAATGAAGAGCTCGCCATTGCTAATGTAGCCGTCACGGTCAATGTCGTAAACCTTGAATGCAAATCGGAGCTTCTGCTCCTTGTTGCCCTTGCTGCTGAAAGCACTGAGGCCTGATACAAATTCTTGGAAATCGACATCGCCGCCGCCGTCTTCGTCGAAAATGGCAATCATTCTGTTCAAAGTTAGTACGGCTCTAGAGCAGCATCTTTTTTAGTTGGGTGTTCCTACCGAGTAGCCAGGGGATTCGAAGAGATTTGTGGCAAGCTAAGGAATTCATCACGCTCGATGGTACCAGAGTTATCCTACACACAGGGGCGTTAGTTATATGTTGGGCATGCGGGACGAGTTGATTGGGTGAGTCTCCGTACCTTGTCGAGCTTCATGAATCGCTTTCGTAATCTGTCAACTTCTTCTCTGTTGACTATAACCAATTAGTAGTCTTCCTTGTCGTCATGTCTGTCGGTACATACAGTTGGAGCCCTGGACAATGTCGTCCAGGACAGCGCTTGTCGCGTTACCCATTTTGATACAGACCGCCTTGCGTTAATATGTTCGGCAGAGCGAGTATTGGTATATATTGCGGTAAATATATGTCTTCGTATCACTGTATCTCCAAGTCCCGGCCTCGAAAATGCAGTGTTTTGGTTGAAGATGGCGGCTATCGGAAAGGTCACGCACCGTCGTCTGAGGGTTTGTGTTGGGCTTTGAGGTGGTTGGAGGGGTACGAGCTGAGAGCCAATGGCAAGTCCCGCTGATTATGACGAAAGGCGGGCTCCAGCCTGTCTGCTACCCGGTACATATACTTTATGCCGGATTTACTACTTTATTTTGGACATTATAATTCTATATTAAATACTCTGTTTATTTATACATTTCTTTGTACAATTTTTAATTTTTCCATATTTTATATCGTTATTTGGTCTACTTGTGTAGCTGCCACTTCATCCATTGTCCTCCAAAACACACACTTGGGCGGTACACTTCTGTGCCTGGCAGGTAGTGCCCATGCAAGCATGCAACCTAGCAGGCGCGGGTGTTATTCGGTTAAAACAGCCTCCCTGTGGTAGCGCATTCCAGCGCGTTGCCCCGGCTTTAGGTGGTGTTGAGGGCAGTTTTTTAGCGGCTTCAGTAGGTGGATGTGCTGCTTTCAGGGGGCTCATAACAAAAAAAAGGAGCAGAAAAGAGGGGGACGACCGCAGACGGACAAGTGGCGCTAGTGGACTAGGTAACTTTTACGCAAAACCTTGGTGTAAAGTGACCTTAGTCGCTGGCTGCCTACGCGGGTTGCTCGCCATCAAACACTCCCATTTTTCACGCCTGGGGCCAGTGAAAATTTCTCGTGCGGCAAAACAATCCCAACGTCACCTCCCCGACCAGCGCGCATTTTACCATCAAAAGAAGGCCACCACCCGGCCTTTTTTATCGATATTTTTACATACGGCCAAAGTGTATGGCTTGATTTATGATTTGATCGACTTTTTTGGCGGATTTTCCGCGGGCTCTCTGCCGACTTTGATCACCCCTGCACGATGTCGTCCCGCAAGGTCCGAGTCAAGAAGCTCAGCGTCAAGACTGCGCTTCCTGTCCTCAGAGAAGACGAGATCGATGCTACTGAATACGAGGCACTTACAAACGAAAATCAAATCGCGACTGGTGTCGAACACGCCGAAGAAAAGGTAGATATCGCCCTTCCCCTGAACCAAACACTTGATATCACGCGTTTGTTCACGTGACCCACTTTACTTGCATCGCGCGCAGTCGTCGGCCGGAACTATGGCTCCGCCGACGCCGAAATATATGCACCCCGGATTTTCGCATCGGACGCCATGCTAACGCACCACGCCTTTCATAGGAATACCATCTTCAGTCCATTCTGAAAGATGCCGGCACTAGTAACAACCAGGAAATTCCTGTGCCTCCTCCACAGGAGAGCGAGGGCGTAGACTATGAAGGTCTATACCCTACTCCCTTCCATAAACCATACACATACCTTCGCTTTTCGCAGACCGTGGAAGAATGTATCAGCTGCTCATATGATATGAGCACGGAAGACAATGAGTTCCTCAAGGGTTACAATGCGAAGCCTCCTCAAGGAGGTGTTCTCTCCGAAGATGACTTTGAACGCATCATGGAAGTCTTTGAAGAGACGGCAAGCGAGCAGACACCATTTGCCTCTGTGGACAACACCGTTGCCGCATATGACATGATGATGCCTGGCCTTAACCACCTTGGCTCTGCGCAATTGTTGCAGCACGCCAAGGCTATATATGAGTACTGGAGCACCAGCCGCCAGGCGGCCGGTAATAAGCCCTTGCACCCAACCCTCAAGTTTGAGACACACCAAGACACGGACGATACCGATCCGTATGTCTGTTTCCGACGCCGCGAGGCCCGTCAGACAAGAAAGACGAGAGCGCGCGACAACAAGATTGTCGAGACGCTCAAGCGTCTGCGTCGCGAGCTTGAGGATGGTCGTCAACTTGTTCTTATGTCGTACGAGCGTGAGATGCTCAAGCGTGAGCTTTTGCACATGGATCGCGCCGTATTTGAAGAGCGTGCACGCCTCAAGCACATCAAGAACAAGCTTGGCGTCAAGGGTGAAGACGAAGATCTCGTCCACCAAAAGGTAAGCCGATTTTTCCATATTCCCAAGTCGCAACAGCAGCACCATGCTAACATGTCCTTGCAGCCCCAGAAACGTAAAGCTGCCGAGTCTGCCGCCGCCCAGAGAGCGCCTGGCACCCAGCTACGCACGGCTGTCCGTCCTGATGGTCGAGCGCTTGAATCGGATCTTGTTCTGCTTTCTGATCAGCTTGCTGAGAAGGAAAAGGAGCTTCGAAGCGAAATCGAAACCAAGGTCCAGAACCATCGCCGATGGAACCAGAACCACATCGACCTCACCACTTACCCTCTCTCTCCCGTACAGGATCAAGGCATGGAGCTCAAGTTCCGCCCCGCCAAGACCCAATATCTCATGACTCCTCCCGCATCCGTCTCGTCCGACTCTATGGACGTGGACGAGGATGCACCCGAACCAATGCAGCTGGACAAGCCACAACCAGCTGCCGTATTCCAGTTTAGGGCTGGCGGAGCTCCCACGGAGCTTGCACAGCCGAGCCAGCCATCGTTCCGTCGCCGCATCGGCCGCTTGAGCCGCTTGTGGATCGACCGACGAGGCATGGCCACGCAGTCCAAGGCTAGCAGCGCAGAGTACTCTGACCGCTGGAAGTATGACTCTGACGACGAAGATGACGTCGAGCCTCCAGTGTACGAAGTCGACCCATACGACACCAATGCGCTCAAGTTCCGTGCGACGATCCCGCTCAGCTCATATCTCTTCCGAGGACGACAAGCGGTACCGCCGGAGGCCCTGGCTGCTGCAGGCAGATCACTGGCTGCCCCGCCTGGTGCACAGGTACCAACACAACCACCTCAAGCTGCTGCCGCGTCTTAGAAAGCCGGGCAGGTTTGAGGGCTGGTTTGTATGATATTGTACATAGCGAGTTTTTGCTTTTTGATTTTGAGAAATCTCCTCAGAAAGGAAGACGGAAGACGATGTTGTCATTGCTTTGCTGCTCTGCTTTGCATCGGAAGAGAGCGACGACGTTGTAGAAGAAGGGGGATATCCATTGTATAGTAACTGGTAGCAAAGGAGGATCGGGCTTTTTGGCGCGGTGTCGGGAGTTTGGTTTTTGGCATTTTTGGTATTTGTTGGCTCGAAGATTTTATTCTTTGGTGGGAATCCAGTATTTTTTTTTTGCGCAAGAGCCAAAAGCCCCCTCCTCCTTGGAGCCAAGACGTTGAACAAACAGCATGAAATATAAAAAAGAAGATGTCTGGGTTCACCAGATTAGCCTCTGTTCTCTTTGTATGTGCGAAGTGTTGTAGTAATGCTCGGAGGTTCGGAGCCTTGCTGCGGTATATGGGCGGCGAGGCGGAGGCCCGGCCGGTGATGCTGCGTGATGAGGCACATGGAGAGTTTGTTTGTTGTAAGCACCCGACAAACAGCCCGCGAGGCAATATCATGAAGATATCATTCTTTGTAAGGAGAACATGTTTGCCGTGTAAAAGAAGAGAAGAAGAGGAGTGACGGCGGCGCGGGGGAATCGAGAGGCGTTGTTGCTGACACCAAGTAAGCGGCTCAGACATGTACGGCCAGAGCCGACTATGGCTGACTGTTTGCGAGGAGTATCTTTGCAAACATTGTGTCGAAGGCCAATCTAAGCGAATCTTGTAGAGTAGCGTATAAGAACAGAAGCAAAAGAAGAAAAAAGACAAAAAGTAATTTGCGTGGCGAGTAGGGTTTTTGGGTGAGCGCCGTGACAAGACGGTGGGCAAAAAGAAAAAGGCCGGCACGATGCAAGTGGTGGTTGTTGTGGGTCACCTGGTTTGGTCCCCTGCTTTGGCTGGAGAGAGGCTTTCGTTCAACGGGCAGATGGGTGGGCAGCTGGCAAGAAAAATTAGGTAAGCAAAGAGATGAATGAAGGAGAAGTGAACAGATTTGGGGAGAGAGGGAGCGGGGAGAATGTATTTTTAGAAGGAGAGGGGAAAAAGGAAGGGGTAAATATAGAAATTGTATGAATGAAAAGACATGTTGTTGTCTTTCCCTGTGTGAGATGAGGTTGCAGTCATTGGTTGGTTGGTGGGATGGCTTGTGTAAATGGGACGGGTACGGTGTGTGTGTGGTGGGATGGGGAGAAGGGGAGGCTGGAGAGAGATAAGAGGGATGGGAAAAAGAAAAAGAGGATATTTTAGTAGGTTGGAATTGGGGAAATAATTACTATAATTTCTATAGAGTAGAGGGTGGTGGAGGATGAATGTTGGCGGAATGACATCTAGTGTAAGGTGAACTGAGGCTGAACAAATAGACGACAGAGTATTTAATTTTGGAAAAAATGCAATTGAAATTCTGATAAACAGAATAGACAAAAAAGTAGTTGTTGAATTTATAAACATGATATTTAACATTGTTTAAGCATTTTTAGCCGCATTATCTGGCATACGCTGTCTTCGTCCATGTACATACAAGAAGATAAAAAGTGCGGATATACAGACACCACCACCCCAACAACCACCACCTGATCAAGTCGACTTGCTGCAGTACATTTGAATCGACTCAACAGAGCTACCCGTATTAACATTAATACACCGGTTGCGCTCCAAGCTCGCATACGACCTCTCCCCATTCATATCCCGCTCCGTAAAGTAGACCAAGCTGATTGTCTTGCAGTCGCCCGAGCCGTCCGTCGTGATGTAGTGAACGCGCCCGTCAGTATTGGCAACACGGATATTACACCCGTGTGCTGAGAGCTCATAGCTGAACTTTTGGAAGCCCTGCCAGCAGCCATCCTCATACCCGTAGAGGTGGGCAGTGGTGCTTCCCGTGCAGAGAGCCCCTAACGTGCCGTCTGTGTTTTCCGATGTAGGAAGCGCCAGTACAAGCGGCAAAGCAGCAAAGAGAAGATTGGACTTGTACATTTTAGAAAAAAAGAGTATCTAATAAAGGATGTGGGATAGGATACTGATGTGTTGGTCCTGGACGTTCCCCCTCTTTTATACCCTTTGCAAGCCACCAACAGAGATGCCAAGCGCAAAGGTCCCAAGATGGGAGTAATGAAGCCCCAAGGGGCGCTTCTCTTAAAGAGGATTATTGGTTTTAGTAATGCCTATGAGCAAAAAATAGAGGTGTGTGGGATAAAGTTTGAACGCATGGCCGGTTAGCTCTCTCCGCTATTCCAGCCTCGTTGGCTAGTTTGCATCGCTAGCGCGCGCATGTATGCATGCCCTCACGCCCGCTTCATAAAAGTAAAGTTCAACTTTTCTGGAGGACCGAATTTGAAATATTGGATAAACTGTAAATTCAGCTGTTGATTGTCTACAGGGATGGTAGTAAAGAAGGGCTGAGCTGGGGCATTGTACCATTCCCCATGTAAGTAGATGGCGAAGCAGACAGTTGACCACAAGTGTAGAAGAGTGTATTTCAATGGGCATTCAAACCCATATATTTACATTCTTTTTTTTTTTTTGTTTTTTTAATTTTTACTAATTTTTATATTCATTTTTAGTAGTTTGAATTTTGCGAGAATAAATCGAGACTTTTACCACTACTTTATTTAACTCTGATATTGACAGACAACATCGCCATTGCTACCAGAGCACTTGCTCACAATCTTGCCGCCCTGCTGAAGCTCGTAGCTCTCATCACCCTTACCGCTGACTATCCCAGCAGAGCTCTTTGCAACAGCATTGCTGAATGTTACGTTGCCGTAGTTGGCCAAGCTACGGTAACTCTCCACGACCCATTCAGCGCTCTTTTGGCACAGAGGTCCAGGGCCGTCGGTGAAGGTGTGATAAGCACTCTTTCCAGTCGTCAGATTCTCGGTTGTGGTGCTGCCCCCAGTGGTGGAGGACGCATCCACTGTAAGTCGGATGACATCTCCAGGTTTGACGGCGAGGTCATCATACTTGTGGGACAACTGAGGGAACCACTCATACCAAGCAAAGGTGGTTCCATCCGAGTCCGTCGCTACACCGGCCTGCATAAGGGACTCCCAAGAACCGGTACCATCGAGACCGACCCAAAAAGCAGCACCAGAGTGCTTGGTTCCGGAAACAGTTGGAACGGTAGAGGTACCGGTAATGTAGTTGAAGCCTTGTCCGTTCTGAACAATTCCGGACCAGCTGCCTGAAAGAGTGCTCACGGCCCTGTTGGTCAAGCCCACGGGTCGTGATCGAATACTAGCCTGCCTCTCCGAGGCAGCAGGGAGAGCAGCAGCTATAGAAAAGAGCTCTGGAAGAAGGAGAAAATCTTTTATCTTGATGGTGTCTTGATTAGTTTTCTATTTTATACTTGATCTTATGGTACATCAATAAATAAAAGCTAGTTGAAATACAGAAGGTCGTAGCCGCGGTTATCCGTGTTAGATATTGAACTAGACGACTCATGTTACATCGTTGGTGACCATCTATTTCTTGAATAGGTAAACGGTCGCTGCGGTTGCTACTCCGCGAACTTGGGTCCAGGGCACGACCTTCCTAATAGGTACATCTTCACCTTGGCCTGGAGTTGTGGCGACTGTGTAACGCATTACAATACATTGCCCAGGGCGCCAGGGGGGAATCACTCTGTAGATCGCTCTTCGGGTCCGTCTCGTTGCCGCTCCGCCCGTGCCCTGATTGTTATTTCCGCCGCACTCCAACCGCCATGATGGACTCGATGCCTTGTTCAATAAGATTGACTATGAGATCTTAAAAGGGGCGTAAAGCACAGCAGAGAAGTAAATAATAGGCTACTTTAATTATAATAGTAATAGTAGCACATGAGCCTATGCCTCAATCGAAGACACACCCACACCCATCCATTCGCCCGACTGCTGCTGTGCAATCGCCTCTGGATCTCCGGCAGCAACCCTAGCAAGGAATTCATCGATGGCTTGGCGATCAAGACTGCGCTTAAGCTTGTTGTTTTTGGGGCAGATTTTGGGGTCATCACATAACGCGCAGTGGTCATTAAGACAGGCAAGACCCTTCTTGGGCTTCTTACAGACGACAAAATGAGACCAGTGGTAGTTATTCGTCAACGGCACCTGACCGCAAATCATCTAAAAGATGGTTATATAAATAAATACTGATCATACTAATAAAAAGGTGGGAAAACATACCAGGGTACCAGAGTTGCACTCACAATGAGTGACGATGTCCTGCCATTGCTTCTTTGTGCATTTAACGCCTTCCTTGACGCATTTCGCGGCAGCTTGGGAAGCTAATAAAGTAATAAGAAAAATGAGACCTTGCATTTTGGGTTGAATAATGATATAGAATAGAATATACGTGATTAAGCGGGATACTGCTACCAGGAAAGGAATATACAGGATATAGATGAACTTTTATACTTGTGTCGACCACATACTATTTCAACGCTAGAGACCACCACTGCTAATATATAGGCTACAATTTCGATGGGGAGGATTTGTCGGTACCGAAATGCGAGATACAAGTCCGAAAAGGAGGCTTTTTAGGTTGCTATGCCAAGACTACGAAGTATACCAAGTTACCTCGCAAATTCTGGCCATACTAGCTACTAGGAAACTAGGCATTTGTTGACTCGAAAACGAGAAAGACTACTTACAAAGGCTCCGCTCTCCTGGAAGCAAAAGAGGCAAGATTTTAGAAATTTATTTGGGACCCGCGCAAGGGACCGAGGACGGGACCGAGTAATTACCCGACGCTTACAAGTCGCCGAGCTCTTATATAAATTGTCCGGGGGTAAACAATCGTAAGAACTCTATATAGAAACAACGCTACAAAAGTTTATAACGATACTAAATCCACAATATTCCCCAGAAATCCCCTCTAACAATACATCGAAATGGAGTTGACAGGGCCGCCAGTATTGATGTTGATGCATTGGTTGCGCTGCATCGTGACACTAGTCTTGTCGCCATTCTGGTCAAGCCCAGTAAAGTAGTTGAGATGGATAGTGCCGCAGTCGCCAGACCCGTCGGACGTAATGTAGTGAAACTTCCATATGGATTTGCTGTCCGTGGGTTGCAGCCTACTTGCCAGAGCTCGTAGTTGAACGTCTGGTAGCCGGCGCCGCATCCAGCCTCCCAGCCGTAGAGGTGGGCAAACATCGTACCAGTGCAGCCATCTGTAGTTGAGTTGGTACCAGGCAGAGGTGGAACACCTAGCTGTACCACTGGGCTGGCAAGCGTGAGTGACAAGAACGCGAGAGCAGCAAGTTGTCGCATTGCAAGTGGTGTAAGTGGAAGTGTCTTTGATGGTTAGAGGAAATAGGCTTGAAGTAGAGAAAGTGTGTTTACCGTATTAAGAGCAGAATTGTATTCAATTTGGGAGAATATATCCTATTTGTACCTTTGAAACTAGCAGACCAAAGAAAGCTGCGCCCGCTGATGTTTGTCTACTCATGCACTAGTTGGTGTAGACTATGAGGAAGTTGACAGAGCCGAATCCAACCATGATATTTTGAACAGTCCTAAACAGCAGAAACTTCGTACAATACAAAAAATACATATAAAAACAACCTGCTATTAAAAAGAGCAACATGAATTGGAATTATAGACATCTCGACCCAGACTCTGCAGCCAACCATGCTATATACTCAGCCCCAAATCCAACCCTATGCACCTAGACACTCCATCTTGATAGACTCGACAGCCCAGCCCGTGTTAATATTCACGCACTCGCCATGAGCCATGGTCTTTTTCACAAAATCCCCCGTCGCCTCGCGACCCTTGTAGTACCACAAGCCGATGCGGTGGCAATCGCCCGAAAGGTCCGAAGTGATGTAGTGCACGCGATTGTCCGTGTTGGCAACGCGCGACCAACAGCCACTCTCGGAAAGCTCGTAGCTAAACTTTTGGAAGCCGGTCCAGCAGCCGTCCTCGTAGCCGTAGATGTGTGCAAAAGTGTGGCCGCTGCACTGGGCCGCCCTGTTGGAGAGGAGGGTGTTTGACGCTGGCAGCGCGAGGGCAAACGGCAGAAGCAAAAGGGCCGTCAGTGTATGCATGCTCGTTTGTGTAGTGGTTCTTCTTGTTTGTGGTAATGATGAAACTGTAATGATGTGTAGTTGAGTCGTTCCGTCACCAGACCATAACCATGGCTCTGCTGTATATATAACAAAGTTCCCATTAATACACCCTTTTTATTAATAGAAACCTCATACAAAGCCGTACACTACCGCCTGATGTTCTATTGAAGCCCTAAAACAAACTCCTCCTACTGGCTGTCAATAGATGCTACGCCCGCCGTTCTTATACGCCCGCCGCCACACACCGATCTGTTCTCTCCACCACAACCCTTTTCCACACCCAAATAAATATTTCCAAAAATCCTAAACAACCAATCAAACACTCCCAAATCCTATTCAAACCCAAAAACAATCTCCCCATCTTTCACGCCATCACCACCTCTACCACCACTCGCCCGCGGTCCGCCGCCCGCCGCGCTGCCCCTCCGAACCCCGCCACCAAAAAAAACGCCCCGCAGTATTTTCAACGACATCCCACCACCATCATCACCATCACCAATCTCTCTCCCTCCCTCTCCCTCCCATGGGCCTCCCCAAACGCCCTCTATCGCCCTCCTCCTCTTCCTACTCACCACAGCCCCTCACGAAACGCCCAACCATGGACCCCACGAAAACATACATCGCCCTCGGCTGCGAAGGCTCTGCCAACAAGCTCGGCATCGGCATAATCAAGCACACGCCCACCGAGACCCTCGTCCTCTCCAACCTACGCCACACATTCAACTCGCCCCCCGGCACTGGCTTCCTCCCCAAAGACACCGCCATCCACCACCGCACACACTTCGCCCCCCTCGCGCTCGCCGCGCTCCGCGAAGCCGCCCTCTCCCCCGCCGACATCGACTGCATCTGCTTCACCCAAGGGCCTGGGATGGGCGCCCCGCTCACATCCGTCGCCGTGGGCGCCCGCACACTCGCCCTGCTCTGGGACAAGCCGCTCGTCGGCGTGAACCACTGCGTCGGGCACATCGAGATGGGCCGGACCATCACGGGCGCAGATAACCCCGTAGTACTCTACGTCTCGGGCGGCAACTCGCAGGTGATTGCGTACGCGGAGCAGCGGTACCGCATATTCGGCGAGACGCTGGACATTGCTGTAGGTAATTGTCTGGACCGGTTTGCGCGGACACTCGAGATCCCCAATGACCCGGCGCCGGGGTACAACATTGAGCAGCTGGCCAAGAAGGGCAAGAAACTCCTCGATTTGCCGTACACGGTCAAGGGCATGGACTGCTCGTTTTCAGGGATCTTGGCGGCGGCGGACCTGCTGGCTGCGCAGATGAAGGAGGGTAAAGCGGACTTCGACGCGGCCGACCTGTGCTTTACACTACAAGAGACAATGTATGCCATGCTGGTGGAGATTACAGAGCGCGCCATGGCTCATGTTGGCAGTAATCAGGTGCTGATTGTGGGCGGCGTGGGCTGCAACGAGCGCCTACAAGAAATGATGGGCATGATGGCCAAGGAGCGTGGCGGCAGTGTGTTTGCTACAGACGAGAGATTCTGCATCGATAACGGCATCATGATTGCCCATGCGGGCCTGCTGGCTTACAAGACGGGCTACAGGACCGACCTCAAGGATAGTATGTGCACACAGCGGTTTAGAACAGACGAAGTGTTTGTAGAATGGAGGGACTAGACAAAACACAAAACGGTAACGAAGAAAAGACAAGGCATTAGAAAAAGATAGTCTTTATTATGATCAATGTACAAAAAGTTTATCCCATGTATTTTAAACGATGAGTTTCCCTCCTTTCCGAAAATGGACATTTATACAATACAGCGAAATGCTCAGATGGACAACTTAACCCTCGTCCGCAGATGTAGGCTTGTAGATGATTGTTGTGACGTACTTGCTGCGGTATCTGGTTGTGGCAGACACTGCCAAGACGTTGTTCTTGATACTGCTCGTCGCCAGATGGTTGAGGACGGTGTGGTTGGGCATGTTGAGCACACTGTTGTCGTCCTTCATGAGCGTGGCGGCATTGAGAATGGGCTTACTGAGAAAGCCAGGCAGACTGGGCGGCGTCGGGAGCTTCTCAATGGCCCCAATGGCGCTCTGGTAAGCAGGCGAGTCCTCGGCCTGGTCAAAATCCAAAAGATACTGGGGAATGGCTTTTTGGTATGCTTCTGGCGGTAGCACCGCCTTTGTTCGTGGCACCTTAGGCTGCTCAGGCGCTTCTTGCTCGCCAGGCGCCGGCTCGACAACCGGTGCTTGCTTCAGTGCGTCCTCGGGTGACACTTCAATGTAGTTGACCAAGTTGTTGCCAAAGTCGACCGTTGTAGGCAGATCGGGGGATGTCTGCATGATGGAGTCGACAACGAAGCGGATGTGATGGGTTCCGGGGAGAACATGAATCACGCCCGCAAAGTGGCCAGGCTTGCCCTCACTGTACATCTTACTATTAGTCTTGAATCGTTTCTAGCACGTCTTTTGGGTCAACTTACACGGCATGCAGGCGCTGCTTGCGGTTCCACTGGAAAATCGTGCCCGTCACATAGACCTTGTCACCGCCTTGCTTCCACTCAATCGTTGTTGGCACTGTTGGCCGCGATCTGTCCACTCTCAGTTCCTGTGAATCGTCATCCTCCATGGTAGCCGCGCTGACGACGGAGCTCTTCCTTGTGAGTCCATCTGACGAATCGCCCTCGACATCTGGAATATCCACAGGCGCCGTCTCTTCTGGTCCCAAGATAGGTGAGCCCGGCGTATGCACCTCCTCCTCAATGGGCAGAGGCAAGCGCGGCGGGCGAGTAAATGTATCTGTAAGGCTGTTGTTTGCCATGAGATGTGTATCAGCGAATCGCGAGTCGGTGTACATGGCTGCTGCTCTGACCGAAGACGATTCGATAGGCACAGCTACGGGCTTTGAAGGTTCGAGCTCGTCCCGGAACGACTTGGGACGGGCAGGCTCGTCGCGGAGGGATCTCGGCTCGACAGGGATAGGGACCGCCTTGGAGGCCGCGTCGAGGCTGCTGTGCGGGGAGGGGCTGAGGGACGAGACGGCGGTATTGGGGATACTCTTGGGCTTTGACGGGCCTACAGTCGAGCCCTGAGCTTCGGCGAGGGACTGTTCAGGCGGCGCGGCAGAGCGGTGAGTCGTGTGGGCGGGGATGATGTGGCGGGGCTCTTTTCGGTGGCCAGTAGCAGCAGACGAGTCGAACGACGATGGCGAGTTCGGGCGGCCGGGCTTGCTGGCGGACGTTGAAGCGTTGTTGCCCATGATGTAGAAGGAGAAAGAGGAGGTCTAAGAGTGGTGGTGGTGGTGGTGGTGTCAGTCACCCCTCACTTTTTACTTTTGCTCGGCGGTAGCGGCCCGGGTACGCGAGCGAGGCAGGGGGTGTGCTGGGCGGGCAGAAAAAAGTGCGGCTGCAGCGTCTGGATTGCGGTGCCTGACAATTTACGGATCTGCAGCCTATTCGTTGCACAGAGTGTTGCGCGGGGGTGGAGGAGGATGTTTGTGTGTCGGGTTTTCTGCTGTTCCCGTGACGATGTTGGTGATGCCGGTAGTCAGCCGGGGAGAGGGGCAGCTACGGAGACAGAACGAGGCTACGTCCAAAAGAAAACGCAGAGGCAGGCGCTTACTTGCTGGCAATTGATAAGCCGGCTGCCGGGCTGATTATGACGAAGCAGCAGAGATGTCGGGTGGGCTGCAGCGATGATGATGATGACAAGTTTGGAGGAGTTGCGGTAGTTTGGCTTTGCAGAAAGAGCCCGGAGAGGTACGGGCAGGTCTTCTGTGGCGGGGCTAAAAACGTCAGATCTGGGCGTGCAGTGCAGTGCAGCTACAGCATAGAGATAACCAACAAACGAACAAAGAGCGAAGTTGGTAATACGATACAAAAAACAAAAAAGAAAAGAAAAGTTGCAGATTATACGGTACGACTATACAAATGAACAACAAACACATTCTTCACCCATTTGCACAATTCCAATGGCCCGGTTTGCGGAGAAGCCAGGCCACTTTCCCACCCTGTTAACCCAGTACATCCCCCTACACTACTCCCCTGCAGCCACCGAAGTCACCCCATAACTGCCCCCAAGCGATGACACTACCAACCGCCTAGCTCAAGTCTCAGAAGCTTGTGATAATCAACCACTCGTCCTCCGCGCAGCGCCAACACCGCTTCCACTCTCTACACCACACGCGTACAATTCGCCCGCCGTAGGACAAACTGCCCACCATGGCCGACGAGCTCGTTCCGTCACCAGCCATCGAGGCCTTCCGCGCCATCATCTCTTTCCTCCGCTCAATCCCCTACATGCGCATCGCCCGCGCTGCCTCGGTGCCGCTCCAGCTCGCCGCCATCCCGCTAGGCTATCTGCTCGAGGTGCTTCTCGTGATATTTGCGCCCGCAATCTTCATCGTCAAGGCTCTCCTGGGCATGACGCACTGGATATACTCGTTTCTCGCCGGCCTCAAGGTACGTCGCGCCGTTCCGTCCATCTATCCACCACTAACCGTTTCTCTCAACAGCCGCTGTATAGCTTTGTAACCGCTCCCCTCTTCCTCCAATCGCATATAATTTCTAACTAGTTGCAGCTCTCCGCAGCAGCAGGAGTCGGTATCCTCGCCGGCATCATCCTTGGCATCGCGTCAGTCGTCATCACATCGTACCTCGGCATGCAGGACGGCCAAGGGCCCATCAAGGAAGAAGACGCCTTTGAAAAGTCCTATGCTGCCGCCCTGCGACGAAATAGCACGGCGAGCTCGTCGTTTACTGGCGAGAGCTCTAGCGACGCCGAGTGGCAGCAATGGGCCGAGGCCACGGCCACAGCGGCCCTCGCGAGCCCCAGACGCAGGCTCCCGCCGGGACTGCTCTCGCAAACCATTCACGAAGAGGACGACGACGATTCCGAGTACTAACAACACATTATGGTGTTTGTTTATAAGCGAGTATCATTCTTTTTGACACCACTCTTCATTGCATTCTCTTACGCTGCTGCTACTGCCAAGCGTCATACTCTTTTCTTTTCAGCTCTCACTGGAAGCAGGCAAGCGATTCTAGTACATTTTGATTGTTCTCCCCGTCACTGTTATAAATAGCTACGATATGATACCCTCTGTTTTTAATGCAAACTATAATTCCAACTGCTTTCTGCTGCAGTCATGATCAACTCAACGCCTGTACATCTCCCTATCCCTGTCCCGTTGTCTCTCTGCCGGACTTCTGCTCCTACTCCTTGTGCGCCTATCCCGCCTGTCGTCGCGTCGCGGGGGCGGGCGCTCGTCCCGACGCCTGTTTCCATCGTCTTGCCTATAGCTTGGAACATACGAATCGGTGTCTGGGTTGCGCCCACCAGGAGGTCCGCGCCCGCGAGGGCCTCGCTCTCTGTAGTCTCCGCGGTCACCACGGTCACGATCTCCGCCACGGTCCCCGTCACGCTGCCACGCTGGGCGGCGGCGGTCGTCTCGGTACCGGCCGTTGTTCATGGGGTATCTACCGCCGCCGTTATAGCCGTCTCCGCTGTTGAAGCCGGCCGTGGCGCCATTGGCATCTGGGCCAACGCCAACTGTACCGCCCTTTGGCGCGGGAGGCAGTGCGGCCTTGCGGTCCTGGAACTTTCTGCGGTCGAGCTCGTGGCTCTCTTCATATGTTGGGATCTCATGTGGCGCCATGGGTAGAGGCGCCATCTTAAAGTAAGGGTGTTCGAGGGCATCTACGGCATTAATGCGCGTTCGCCAGTCCAGCTTCATCAAGTCCTTTAGTAGTGCGACGGCGCCATTGCCATATCTGTCGTTGTTAGTATCTCAATTGAGTTTGTGTTTGTTGTCGACTTACTGTCTGAACCGGTTCTCCAGGTTGCCTGGTCTGGGACGCGGGTTTAGGTGTTCTCCACCAGGGAGCTTCTTCCAATTGGGCATGTTGGACTCTGAGGGCGATCCCATGAGATCCCAGATGAGATCGAGCTGGTGGCTGTCGCTTTCGCCAGCCAGGATTGGCTTTCCAACGAGCATTTCGCCAAAGACGCAACTATAAACGGTCAGCATCAGTTCTGTTTAGTAGCCGTACAACGGAATACGTACCCAACACCCCATACGTCGATAGCGGGGGTGTACTGTCGCAACTGCAGCAGCAGCTCGGGAGGTCGATACCATCGCGTGACGACAAGACCAGTGTAGTCTCGACGGCCGGAACCGTATGGTTGGCCAGCTTGTGGTACGGGCCCGTCGTAGTGTCGAGCGAGACCGAAATCGGCAATCTGCAGGATGCCCTGGTTATTGATGAGCAAGTTGGCGGCCTTCATGTCGCGGTGGAGGATGTGGTTTTCGTGAAGGTAGCAGAGGCCCTGGAGCAGCTGCTGCATGTAGCACTTGACTTGTGCTTCTCTGAAAGTGACGGAGGGGTTGTCGAGGAGGCCGGAGAGATCGTGGTCCATGTACGGTGTTACCATGTACATGATGGGCTTCTTGCGCTTATCGGCTGCGGAGGGTTAGTTTCTAGTCATGTTAGGGAAGCTTGATTTCGACGTACTGGCTTTGGTGGGGTGTTCGACGGCCATGTCTGTGAGTTGGAGGATATTTCGGTGGTTGAGAAGCTTGAGGAGTCTGATTTCTCGGAGAGCTGTGATGGGGAACTAGACTAGGATTAGTGTCTGAAGTATTTTTGGTGGCAAGGGCCTGCTTACGCCGTCCTTTTCGTGATGCATAATGATTTTCTTGAGCGCGTAGATGGCACCTGTTCGTCGTGATTTGGCGCGATGCACCTCACTGTTTAAAGTTAGCCAGTGTAGCTGGTTCATATGTAATAATTAGTCTTACCCAAAGGTTCCTTCGCCTAGCTTGCCCTGCATCTCGTAGTCGCCGATGCGCGAGCACCCGAGGAAGCTAGATCTGGGTCTGGCGTGGGCGAGCGCAAAGGACTTCGGGGAGGCAGCGCCTGCGCCCTTGGCGTCTGCCGATTCCATGTTTATTAGGCGCTGTGTATATGGTTATGGTATTGTCTAGTCCTGCGGAGGGATGGACGGTCGAGTCGTGGAGCGAGGAGAGCTTTCTATCGGCGCATGGGATTGGATCGCGTCGAGAGCAAACACGTCGGGAGAGGACAGGGGCGAGCGGATGCGGCAATGGTTGTGGCAATAAAAAGGAGGCGGCGTTTAAGCAAGAAGACGACAGAAGCAAAGAAGAAAGAAAAGGAGCCGCCCGTGATGGAAAATGGAGGAGGAACAAGACTGACGAAAAAGAGCAAAAGTGGTGATGCCCACCAAAGTTGTCAAAGTGACGCCTGCTAGGTTTTGGCTGCGGCCACGGCAATGCGGAAGGGTGTTCCGGAGCGGTACGTGGTGGGTACTTTGATGGATGTGCAGTTTGGCGGGGAGGATGATGTACTGTAGATGTACATGGGCAGAGAGGTTGAGGCCGGGTGGTTCCCGGTGTCGGGATGCAGGGTACGCGTGGCTTGATGATTTTTGGGCGACGCAATTGGCTGTAGAAAATAGTTGTAAAATTGTAAAGGGGTTAATTGGGTAGATGAGAATGCTTGTGATTTTTAGCAGCGTGATTTGAGGTGGTTGAGCTTCTAATTTTGCATGCCCTCTGCTGTACGTACCATTGTCTTTTACGTGTCGTCTGAGGCTCTATGCTAGGCGAGTTTTAGAGAGCACCACTAGAGACTGAAACAATTTAAAAGAAAAGTTTGATTAATCACAAGTTTAGGATTGGTATTTATATTTTTAATTGCCCAAATATTGTCTCGTCGTGTTGAATACTCAGTCTTCTTCCACACCGGAGCATCACTTACAGATGCCATGCAGCCAGACATCTGCATATACTGTGATGACGTTTACAGGGCCCAATTCGCGTTCAAATAAAAAGATTTTCAAACACTAATCTCTTACTTCAATACATAAGATCTCTAATTATCTTTTTTTACTATCAAACCAGTGATGCACTCCCTACTACAGCAGCGTATCCCCGCCGTCAGTCGTCCGTCCGCTGCTTCACCACCGCCTCACTTACATCTCCTCCGTCGCCTCACCTCTCTACACAAAATTCCAATTTAAAAAAAGAAGACTCCATAAAATGCATAATAATCTCCATTTAGTTACGACCACTCCAAAATATCTTCTCTATATTCTTACCTTCCCCGTCCTCATTCACTCCCTTACCCCCCACGCCCGCTATACAAAGTCCCCCGATCCCGGAACCCTTCTTTGTTGGGGTAGCCCGGCTGGCCACGGGACTCGCAGAAAAAAAAAACGCTTCCACACCGGCAGCAGTCCGCCGTGCGTCCCCCCAAGATCTCCCGATTTCTTACTAAAAAAGCCCACCCACCACCCTGTTGACCCTCCCCCGACTTCTCCGCGTTCTTTAAATTTTCTCTCGTCATTCCTCCTCTGTCTTTATTGTCCAGCTGCAGCTCGTTCCTGCTGAAGAATGCCCGCCGCATAAAGCCCAGCCAGCCAGCACCGTGACATACACCACCGACTTACACACATCACCACCACCCACAATGACCATGTCCTCCATGCAACTCTCCACGCCGTCCCCCGGCGCCACGGCCCTCCCCGAATCCCGCGTCCTCATCATCGGCACCGGCGGCACCATTTGCATGCAAGAAGGTCCCGATGGCCTACAACCGTCCGGCAACTTTCTCGAGGCGGCCATGGCGCCGAGCCCGTCGTTCAACGACAACTCTGCTCCCCCCAGTACGTTCTATACCACTTCCTCTTCCTCGCAGAAAGTCCAACAGCTAACTTCAACTTGTTCAACGCAGACGCCATCACCCTCCAAGCCTGCAAAGACGGCAAAATGATCCAAATCCCCTCCCTCCGCACCCCTCCCACCGCACACAAGCGCCACATCCGCTACGGCATCGTCGAATTCGACCCGCTGCTCGACTCGTCCTCCATCTCCGCGCTTGACTGGGACGCCATGGCGCTCTGCGTGCAGCAAAACTACGCCCTGTTCGACGGCTTCGTCATCCTCCACGGTACCGACTCGCTCTCCTACACAGCCTCCGCCCTCTCCTTCATGCTCGCCAACCTCGGCAAGCCCGTCATCCTCACGGGCTCCCAGGCGCCCATCTTCTCCCTCCAGTCCGACGCCGTCGACAACCTGCTCGGCTCCCTCATCATCGCCGGCACCTTTGTCATCCCCGAGGTCGGCCTCTTCTTCCACAACAAGCTCTACCGCGGAAACCGCACCACCAAGGTCTCCGCGACGTCCTTTGAGGGCTTCGCCAGTCCCAACTGCGAGCCTCTCGCGCAGGTCAATGGCCTAGGTATCAGCGTTAACTGGAATCTCGCGCTGCGCCCGACAAACATTGCCCGCTTCAAGATCAACACTCGCCTCGACACAACCCACGTCGCATGTCTGCGAGTCTTCCCGGGCATCAAGCCCGAGATGATCGACGCTGTTCTACATCTCCCCGATATCCGCGGCCTCATTCTCGAGACATTCGGCATGGGTAATGTCCCTGGCGGCTCAGACGGCCAGCTGACAAACGTCATCAAGGCCGCTGTTGAGCGCGGCATTGTCGTCGTCAACGTCTCGCAGTGCGTCAACGGCTTCGTGTCGCCCGTCTATGCGCCGGGCACACAGCTTGGGCGCGCCGGCGTTATCTTTGGCCTCGATCTCACCGCCGAAGCTGCCCTTGCCAAGCTCTCTTACCTGCTCTCGCTACCCAACCTTTCTCCGCTGGACATTGCGGCACACTTCCCGCGCTCTCTCCGCGGCGAGCTCACCGAAATCGCACACCCGACCTTCGCCCATCCCACAGCTCCTCTCGACGCCGCGCCATCGAGCTTGACGGCCATTGAATCGGCATTCACCGCTCTCGGCTACGCCATCCAGAACAACCAGATCGAGGTCGTGCGCCACCTGCTGGAAGGCGAGGGCAGACAGCTGCTCCACGTCTCCGACTACGCCGGCAACACCGCCGTCCATCTGGCCGCTGTGTCTGGAAACACTGAAATCATGCGCGATCTCCTGCAGCGCGGAGCCAGTGTCCACGAGCGCAACAGAGCAGACAACTCGCCCTTGTTCCTGGCTACCTTGTCTGGCAAGGATGACTGCGCAAAGCTGCTCAATGCTGCTGGTGCGCACTTGTCCATGGAGGAAATCGAGCGAGGTCCTCTGGCCAAATACCGTACTGAGAACCAGACCAAGGCGGCGTAAAAGCGTTCAACCTACACGGACTTAATGAAGACGCGCAGTATACGTTTACCCAGTTGCTGCGTCTAATATCATGTTTACAATAGAAAAAATGACTGCATAGCGAGTGTGCACTGATGATCACCATCGACGGAACAAACTGGCACATAAAAGTACATCAATCCATCCATTGTTTAATAGAGTAGACTGTAAATACACAGATCTCTTCTTTCTTCTTGGCTAATACAAATCACAATCACATTGACCAGAACAAAAAGTCCATTTGCACATAAACCTGCCTCTTTTAATACCGCTCCCGTGCTACGAACATGTACCACCGAGAATAAGCAAAGTAAAACATAAAGAAACATGACCAGTAACAGCATCAGCAGCAACAACAACAACACAAAATAATGAATAATAATAATAGTAACCACTGACATGCAGCACCCCATAACTCGTCATGTCAGCATCATCATCATATCTCCTTTCACATTGACAGGTAACCTTTCCACCTCCATCTTGTCGGAGGACTTGCTTAACGCAGGAAGAGGTCACCGGTTCCGTTGCGTGCGGGTCGGCTTCTATCCACATGGTCTAGGCCAAGGTAGTCGTCTGTCGAAGCAGCCATGGTCCAAAGCTCATCATCTGCATTTTCGTTAGTTGAAAGTGTGATACTAAGATTAAAATTGAACTTACCATCTTCCAGGTATCGGGGCTTCGTGTAGTTGGCACGGCGGACAACGGCAAACTTAATCTTCTCGAACAGCTTGCCCTTGAGGCCGGTGCGCTTCTCAATACGCTTCTTGGTGTCGACAAACTTCTCGCCCTCAATTAGCATAAACTTGAACGGAACGCCATGTACGCGGTTGACGTCGTTCTGGAAGTGGAAGGCTTGGATGTAGTTGCTCTCGTCCACCGTAAGCTCATCCTCAGGCACACGCTCGGCGTAGATTTGCGTGTACTCATTCAGGTTAAGCACGGGGTGCTCGCGCGCAGGCTCTCTGTAGAATTTGTTGGAGCTCGTCTCATAGACGCGGATTCGGCCTCCTTCAGCTTCGTCAGAGATTTGTGCCTTCTTCACCAGCTCCGATACGAGATCATCAATAGTGCCTGTTCTAGGAACCAAAAGATCAAATTGATCCTGTTACCATTGGTTAGCAAAAGACATTTGCTGTGATTACCAGGAATAGAAAACTTACCTCTTTGGTGATGCCCTCGGTCAGCCAGGTGAGCTTGATGCTCTTCTTGGTGTCCAACTCCGCGAGCGTCATATCCAGTACTTCAAAGAAGAACGAGTCGTTTCTCTGCGTTGAGCTCAATACATTTGTGCTCATGGCATTGAGAATCTGGCGGAGTGTAGGGTTTGTGCCTCGTCGGACAGGGGCCTTGGGGCTTAGTGTGACCGAGTTGACGGTCCAGAGGCGGAGATGTGTGGAGGGGATGTTGAGATGTGCGCCGACCTTTTCAGCTAGCGTATCGTAGTTAATCTTGGAGCTGAGTACAAGATCAAACAGCGGATATTGCTCTTGGTCGCAGCGTGTTGGGTGGGGGAGGAATCGGACTGTTCTTCTGTGTTCTAGGAAATCATAGTATTCGCGGGCATCGACCACCGTCTCGGCAGGACTGAATTCCGGGTCAGTCAGTTGTTCTGTATTCTCAAAATATTGAGTAGAGCAAAACTTACATGTCATCACGCTGCATCTGCTGTGAGGCATTCTCCGCTTCCGGGGCACGCTGGAAGCAAATAATATCACCATCTTGCAGCTCAGCCATCTTTAACGTAAATCTGGGCTTGATGGGTTCAATCATGTTTGGTTTGATTTCCTTTTCACATGTTAGCATCAGCTGTCAATCTACAAAATCAGCTGTACTCACCTCCCACAGCAACAGCGGGCGGCTATTCTCTGACCAACCCATGGCCTTGTGAATCACTGGTGTCAAGTCTTCAACCTTCTTGTCCTTGCCAAGATAAACATGTGTAACGCCGTTGAGAGTTTGGTTTTCAACATCAAAGTACTTGAGGAAGAGGAGAATGTTCTCCTCCTTGGCAGGGTTGCTGGAAGCGTTTTGGTATGATGCCCATACAGCATCGCCATCAGCATTCATCTCTGTGGCAATCTCTACCCAGACGCGGAGGCTTACATCGCGCTGCGCAGCAGAGCGGGCATAGACCTCCTCGACGGTAAGGCGAGTATCCATAATCGGCTGGTCGGGTCTGACAGTCTTGTTCTGGCGGTTCACCATGAGCCACAGTCGGATGCGGCGTGGGTCTTGACCGATATCCGTCGCAATCTGCTTGACAAAGTCGTCGACAACCATGGTTCGTAGAAGGCGGTAGTGGAGAGGCGGGTCCTCATCATTATCTGCGGTGCCGTCAAATTTGCACAGGTCGGTACCACCGTATGATTGGAATGTCTGGTTAGTAACAACCTTGGCTGTCATGTACAGATGAGCTTCACGCTGCTCCTTGCGGCGAGCCTCACGAGCAGCGTTCTCCTCGTCAAAGCGGTTGCGAAGGTGCAGGGGAATATCCTCCATTTCGACAGTGTTGAGGATCTTGTCGACACGGCTCTTGCGGATGTAAACCAACATGTAAGCGTTGTTAGTTCGCATGATCTGACTCTTCTTAGCAGCAGGTCCACGGGCCTGCAAGCTGGCGGGAGGAACATAGGCACCACCATAATTCTCCTCGAGAACCTCGCGCATCGTCGCTCTGGTCACCTTGTCATCGTCGTACTTGTAGAACCAGCCGTCTTTGCTGGGCTTAATAAAGGCGTAGTAGTGGCCAGCATTCTGGTCCCCGCTGTGAACCAAGACACCATGAAGCTGGTATTCCCAAGACTCGGACTTGTCGGCATCATCACTCAGGTAGGCGGCTCCGTCAAAGGCCTCGGGAAACTCGTGTCGGTCGTTGACCTTGGTCATCATGTCTCGCTCAATATCGTACTCGAATCGCATCAGCTGTAGGTGAAGAACGTCGGGGAGGCTGGTGAAAATGGCACCCTTGTTGGCGTCTTGCAGCTTGTGCTCGTCGCCTGCAAAGTACTGGTTCTCGCCGTCCATCTTTTCGACCTGGATATAGTATTCGAAACTGGAGTGCAGGTCCTTGTTGCCGGAGACCTTGAGTTGAATATCTTGAAACTCCTCGACGCGGCTGGATTCGTAGTCTACGTTGATGCAAGAAATATATGTCTTACACTTGCCAATGAAGATGCCAGGAACAACGCCCTCACCCTTGGTGCCCTTTACCTTGTTTTCGAGAATTTCCATGAGTTTTCGGGACAGCTCCTGAACATCTTGTTGCTCAAAAATCTGCCGTGTGTCCCAGCCAAAGGCCTTTGTAAGTTCGTTTGTGCCGACGGCATGCTCCGATGTCTGGAGTTGGTAGAATAGGCGTTGCAGAGCGTATACGGAATTTTGCGTAGTATCTTCATGTTCTGTAGGAATATCATAGACAGCCTGACTAGTTAGCACTATGGTTTGGGGAGTTAGATCGTGGTATATCTTACTTGGCGAAAGATGTTGGTAAAGTACAGCGACTGAAGGAGAGAGTTGAGGTAGCAGGTGGCGCCCTGGTTCTTTAGACCGACAAAGCCAGTCTCCTTCTTAGAGTCGTAGTTGATAAAATTGTGCCAGAGCACGCCCGTTTCGTCCTCGACGAAGCGGAGGTAGGCTGTGATGGTGACGCTTTCGTTTTCACAGAGGGGTCTGCTGCTGCCTTCCCAGGGGACATTGAACATGCGACGGTGCTCGACGAAGCGTGTGAAACCCCAATCTCCTTCTTCCTTTGTGAAGCGGTGGTGCGCAGAGTGATTAACATATAAACTCGGATCGTTGGGGTTGTACAGCACGAGAGCGAACTGAACACAACAGCTCCAGCCCTCAGGGACGGCATCGGCGTCGAAGCCGTGCTCGAGGTACACGGAGCAGTGGTCGGTATTGTTTCCTTGAGGGAAGAGCAATATGCGCCTAGACGATAAAAAGAGTGTTAACCGGGACGAGCGGTTGATCGGTGCTGGAGGGGTTATCGTACCATGGGTAGCCTCCAGCCTCAAAGACGGGACCGTGCTCTTTCTTGGCCAAGCCACGCCAGTTTTCGACGGTCCATGTGTATTGAAAGTCGGAGAGGATCTTGGGTTCGTCTATTAAAGGAGCTAGGACAAGCTCTTTCATAGCCTCATCTGCAAAGAGACATGTTAGCGAGACCTGCTTGACGGTGGCGAAACTGATCGGTAAGGTACATACGATCCGTGGCCAGCGGCTTGTCAGATGCGGGCTCTGATTCAGCCTCCAGATTATCCGGGTTAATAATTGCGACGGGCTCGGCATCAGGACCGTCGACATCATCTAAATATTCGTCGGTGTCGACGACCATCTCGTTGGGAGACGGCATATTGTAGCTCTGCGGCAGAACACGTTAGCAAGCTTGCGCGGGGTTGAAGCTAGCAACAACAGCCTTGCAGGTAGGTGACAACGATGGCGGCGGCTGGGGTAAAAAGGGATTGAATAAAAGCAGCGTATTTATACAGCAAGAGGATGCAAAACGCTCAATGTACGATGCCTCGAGTCCTCCAGTGCGTAACCGACGTTGTGTTTGGCCGTGACTAGGCTACCGGCGGCAGTATCGCGCAACGGCACTGACACGACGGACGAAGCTCGCTAGAGCTGAATGGCAGCCAAGGCGGGGGAGAATAGAGCAAAAGGAAACGGGAAGTAGATGAATGGAGGAAACACAAGGGAATTCCGTGCAGTGAATGCGTCGAGGAGGGCTGTCGACGGGTTGGTTGTGCTTGCTGCAGAGCTTGCTGCAACGGTTGCTATGCAGGCGTGGAGTCGGGACGTGTGCAAAAAAACGAGGCGAGGATTTCTGCGGCGGTGATGACGACGACTGCAAAGGGCAGCAGGACTTACCATGATGAATACCTGACGGCGACGGGGATTGTCGGTGCCGCGGGAGTGCAAATGGGATTCAACAGCTACTTGGTTGCCGGACACTTGGGGGGGAAGCTTGGGCGTGTCCTTTGACCGTTGGTGGGGAGAGAGGAGGGAGCAGCAAGGCGGGCAGCAGAATGTGAGGTTCGAGATGCGGTAGGGCGGTGTTCGTTGGTGGCACGTCACGGCGGGGTGCGGCGAAAAAAAAAAAAACCTAACTGGTGGGTGAGAGCGGGTGGTGGTGCGGGCTGACTCGACTACCTGTGCTGGTGTCTGCGGTGGGCTGGCTGCTGGCTTTTGGCGCTGTAACAGAGCAGAGCAGCTGTAGTGAGTGCGGGTGCAGTGAAGTGAAGTGAAGTGCAGTGAAGTGCAGTGCGTTAGCTGGACGGGGGAGCTGATGCGCTAAGTTGGATAATACGCTGCCTATGTGTGTGCGTGCTAAAGGCGTGGTGGCAAACAGAATACAAGTAAACAACACATATACAACAGCCAAAAAAATCAATCATGGAACAGTCATCTTTTGTAATCTGTGTTTCAATTTTTTTGCAGGCATTAATCTGCTCGTGTGCACTGCCCACCACCGTTGCTTCTCACTCAGCATTTGCTTCAGCGTAAAAATCCAAACGCCCCCCCAGACCTTGGTGCCACGGTACATGGGTCACCAGCAAACTGCCCACGCAACGGTAGTATACTTGGCCATGTACCCCGCTAACAATTTAATGCCTGTTTTGGGAATGACGTCTGTTCGCGAGCGTAAACCCTGCTGTTTGTCCAAAGAGAGGCAAAACCAATCTGACAAGTAGACTACCAATTACACACATAAAAAGAAAAAAAATATTATCTACAGTGTATCCGTTATTTCTTCTTGTCTACAGCAGATGCATCGTCTCATTTGCTCTGTAACTTGACTTCTTCTAACCGCGGCGCAAGGCCTACTTAATGCGGAGAAGATGCACCAAAAAGTACCAGCAGCCGCAGCCGCAGCAACACAGCAGCTAAAGCCCGACGGCCTCTGCGCAGCTCCGGTCAGCTACTAGTTACAGCTACTGCTACCCTCTGCACTTTAAAATATTCTTCAGTGGCGCATTACTCATATAGATGAAAGTAACCTACACAGCAAATCAGCTTCCCATATTTATCCACACCAAAGGCCAGCCAAGCTGTGAGGCGCGTCCGGGGAACGGCAAGCAGCCGCCTGCAAGACTGCGGGGAAGCTGAACGCCGTCAAGTCAAGTGTAACTTCTGTTCAGTGGAGCAGGCCCTCTGTATTTTGCAGCATCCACCCGCTAAGCAATCCCATCGCCAGTGGGTGGTGGGCTCGTCTGTGATCCACGATAGCGTTTCCCGATTCCCACGCTTTGATATCTCTGAGGCCCTGCGCATCTTTTCTTCTACCTTTAAATAAACGCTTAACCCATAATCATAGACATCTTCCTAATATAAATAAACCACAACATACATTTCTATCATTTTTTTCTTTTCGGTCATCCGCACCCCGAGCTGCTGCTGCCTTTTCACATGCAAGCTGCAAGCCCCCCTGTACCAGCGCACCTGATAAGCCCGCTGTACTTGACGCGCCTGCACAATTCCGCAGCGGCTCCAGGTATCTATCGCCCCCCCTTGCGCGCTATCAAAAGCAGAGACATTTGCGACAGCATCGGGCAGCAATGCTACGCTGCGATGAAATAACACATACCTCTCAGCCGTGGGTGGCATACATATTGCGGAGGGGGCCCTCTATTAATTCCCTTATCCTCTCACTATCAGCTTATCCAGAATATTTTGCCTCTTTTTTCATTTCGTTGCTTCACTCATCGCCATCAGCCACACGTCCGCTTGTCTTGTCATCCATCTTGACGCTAGCCCGCGCCGATACCGCTGGAAACAGTGGGGTTCGCTGAATTTCGGAGCTTAAGCTTCCCAGCAAGACTACAGACGCTTGCACATGCGACCTCTCCTCTCTGCGCTTGAATCATCATTTTTGCAATCTACCCTGCCAAACAAACGCTCATCCACACACCCGAGCCGCCGCGCATCTCGATATCCCGCGTACCGCTGCTCAATTATATCGCTGCATCACCAAACTGTCGCCGCTCTCCCCTTTCGCTGCCTTTGCCCGATAAAAGCCCACCGACTCGAAGGCCTGCCCTCGTGCATGGCGACATAACCCACAAACGATGCTTTCTCACACCTTGAGACATGCCAGCCGGCAGTGCCAGCCTCTTGCGAGATCAGTCTCGCCGGCGCAGGTTGCTGCCGTCCGCACAATCACACATTCGACGACATGCCACTCACAACGGCGCCACTACGCTGCCGCCGCCACTGCATCTGCGTCATGGCGGCCCGTCTCTGTTCTCGACGAGTATGTAGTCCATTTGAGACAATAAAAAGCACACACAGCTAACCTCTTACTTCTACTAGCTGGGTTGCTCGTGAAGCACGGCCTATCAGTCTGCGCCAACTCATGGTCTTTGGCCGCTCCCTGACAGAGTCTCGCCTCATCAGCTCAGCAAACTATGTTCGCACCGAGCTGCCCTCCAGGTACACCAACCCTCCTCTATCAGGTCCAAGAATACAGCTAACACAACTTACAGATTGGCGCATCGAATCCGCGACATGCAGCAGCTGCCGTACGTCGTCGTCACGAACCCGCACATCAACGAAGTCTACGACCTATACTACAACGCCTTTGACACATTCCGCAAAATCAAGGAAATCAAAACGATAGAAGACAATGACAAGCTCTGCAGCATCATCTCAAAAACCCTCAAGAGCCACCTCACCGTGATCCCCAAGCTCGCCATGGGCATCCTCGAATGCGGCGGCCTCATGAACCCGCAAGACCTCGACAAATTCATGAACACCATTCTCAAATCCGTACGTTCCGTTCTCTCCCCCCACCCCATCCCTCTCTCCATCTTCCCCCAATCAACCAACCACTAACAACCTTTCTCTCTAGCGCATCTCCCGCCGTGTCATCGCCGAGCAGCACCTCTCCCTCACCGAGACCTACAACTCCCCCAACTTCTCCCCCGGCGCCACGCTCTCCGAATCCGACTTCATCGGCGAAGTCTTCATCAAATGTTCCGCGCGCGACGTCATCTCGCGCTGCGCCCGCGCCATCACCGCCCTCGCCCGCTCCACCAACGGCCCTGACGTGCCCATCCCAGAAATCAAAATCCTCGGCCACCTCGACGCCTCCTTCCCCTACATCCTCTCCCACCTCGAGTACATTGTCGGCGAGCTGCTCCGCAACTCCGTCCAAGCCGTCATCGACCACCAGGCCAAGCAGGCCTCGCCCTCAGAGACCCCGCCCCCCATCGAAATCACCATCTGCGAGGCCCAGGAGCACGTCATCATCCGCATCTCAGACCGCGGCGGAGGCATCCCCCGCGACGAGCTGCCCTACCTCTGGTCCTTCTCCAAGGGCCCGCAATCACAAAACCGCCTCAAGAATCTTGGCCAGGTCCCTCGCATGGCAGCCACAATGCAGGAGCTACATATCGAAGAGGAGCTCGGCCGCGCAGACCTCAAGACACCCTTGTATAACCAGGAGAGCTTCTCGTCGCCGAAAACGCCGCGGACCCAGGAAGGCTCTCTCTCAACATTGACCAGCCGTCCGCCTAACTTGCGTCTGGGCATGGGTCTGCCGTTGAGCAGGGTCTATGCAGAGTACTGGGCCGGCAGCCTCAATCTCCATAGCTTGGAGGGCTACGGCGTCGACGCTTTCCTGCAAATCTCCCGCTTAGGCAACAAGAACGAGCAGCTCACCACAAGAGCTAGCATGGATGCCGTATAAGCAATCATTATAGCTGCTGGGACAACATTCATGCAAACATGACGGAATAATCTGTCAGCTCAAAAAAAGCAAGCACATTAAGCTCTATGGGGCAGCCTTTGCTTTTTCTTCTTTCACATACCCAATTTAACCACATCTGTGTAATTACGATCAAGGAGTTTTTTCTTTTAATTTTCCAGCAGGCGATTGGAGCATCCGAGGGGCGGAGGCTCGTCATCTATTGTTACTGTTTATTGCAAATCATTGTGCCTTTTATATATATCTTTGACAATTTCTTTCGGGGAGCATGTATTAGCGGGTGAAGAGGGGCTTCCATGTTTAAAAAGAGGTCATGTTTTTTTTGGTGCTTTGGGTAACAGCTGAAATAAAATAAAAAAAAGGCTACATTATCACACCTTGCACTGCACTTCCTGTTCGTTAAAGAGTTCCATAACTTTTTGGTTGGCTCGCTTCCCATGATGCCCGTCCATGCCACACTCGCCTCCTACTGTCATCATAAGAGGCGGGGAGCGGGAAATCGTGCATCTCTTTTTGCGTATTCCCCCCAAGTTCATCATTGCCGCATTCCCCCAATCGTGCGACTGAAAAAAAAGCAGTAAACAATGGTAATTACAGCCCACTACGGGCCAAGCAACGCAATTTGACTGGGCTTAACGACGGCCGTGGCTGCGCATAGCACTACCTTGCATGTTGTCGAGTTCGCCCTCAAGCTGCTTGATCTGAGCATGGGTCTGCTCAAGATCCTTGTTGAGACGGTCACGCTCAGCAATGAGCTTCTGCTCCCATTGGCGGAAGCGCTGCTCCTCAATCTTGACCTGCTCGGTGAAGCGCTTGCGAAGAGCCTCCTCTTCCTCCTTGAACTTGGGGTTGTCGAGCTTTCTGGGGCGAGCCTCGCCAAACTTACGGGTCTCCATTTGCTGAGCGCGGTAGGCCTCGTAGTGAAGCTCCTCAGTGGTGTGGATGAGATCGAGCATGTGAGTTCGGATGAGGATGGATCGAATCTTCTTGAAGTCGCAGTGGTCCTCGTTCTCGACCTCAGCAACACCCCAAGAGTATTGGCGACCCTTGACGATACGGCCGTCGCTGGTCTTGACATCCTTCTCAGAGCCAATGACGGCGAAGGGCATGGCGGCCATCAAGCTGCGCGCATGCTGAGCGGCAGCATCGTCATCCTCCTCGACGGGGGGCTGGTAAATCTTGATGTTTTGAGCCTCGATAACGGCGGCAACCTATTTCAAGAGATTGTAAGTATGTCAATTTTGCAACCAACAGTGGCTACTATATCATTATAGCATAGTCGGGGAAAACTTACGCGCTGCTTGAAGCGGGCCAAGTCAGAGGGGCTGAGAGTATCAGCCTTGGCAATGACAGGAATCAAGTTGACGCGGGAGCAGAGTCTCTTCATGACTTCGATATCAAGAGGCTTAAGAGTGTGACCAGTGGGGCGGATGAAATACAAGCAGGCGTGAACGCGGAGATCAATCTTCTCCTGACGCTTAGGCTGCTGCTCCTGAAGCATGTAAGACTCGTGCTGGTCGTCGAGGAACTCGATAATGGGCTGCCAAGAATCGCGGTTGTTGACATAGTCGCCGAAGCCGGGGGTATCAATGACGGTCAGGCGGACTGGGGGAGTGTTAGTCTTGCCAAACTAAACCAAAGAGGCGGTGGGTTGTGTGCTTACCCTTGAAGAACTTCTCCTCGAGCTCGGCCTTGGTGATTTCAATCTCAACGGTCTTGTCGACCTGCTTCTGGTGTCGGCGCTTGTGGTCGGCATAGTTCTTGATGGTGGTGGAGAAGAGGGTGTTGATAAAGGTAGTCTTGCCGAGACCAGATTCACCAGCAACCTATTGAGAGCAGTTGGTTAGCAAGCGTTGAATATATGAGGCGGCTTCGGCCACCGCCCGCGGGGGGTTAGCTAGGGCAGCCATGAGAGCAAAAGCATACCATGATGGTGAAGCCAGCACCACGCTTAGCCACAATCTTGTGACGCTGGTTGGGCAGATTGGCAATGCCAATGGGCGAGGCGCTTTCGGCGGGAGCAGGAGCCATGTCGGGCGAGATGATAAGCGGGAAAATGCAGTAGACGACTAGAAATTGGCGGCACGAAGACTAGAATATCGAGTCGAGTAAAAGAGGATACGGCAGAAGCAGAAGACGGCGAGGCGCAGTCTGCAGCAGAAAGTGATTTGTATGGATGGGATGTGGGAAGGACGGATGAGGATTTGGGAGGAAGGAAGGCGACAGCTGGTCGGTCGAGAAAGTGGTGGAGGTTAGCTTTCTGGACGTGCTCAGGGGAACCACCGCAAAGCAAGCCCCTCTCCCCTGGCCTTTTGGGTGGCCAGCCATCCCCGTCCCAGCTGGCGGGTGGTACGGTAGTGTGTGTGGTGCACGCTATTGGATTTCTGGCCTGTTCCCGACAATGGGGGGACAATACAACCGGGGGAAGAAAGACTATACCATAAAAAAATAGAAATATTATTTGGTATGCAATTGGTTGATTATATATTCATTGATATTTATTTTATAATAAATCTGCCTCTCTATTAAAATAAACCATATAGACCGGCACCTGTTCTTCCCAACGCTTCCCAGGGCTAAAGAGGGGGGAACAGCACGTACAAGGACCCCTCCCCCCTTTCCACCTTCGGCAGACCTTACAGCGCTCTTTCAACGGTGGCCTTTGGGTTTGCTTGCTTTTTTGGGCGGCCAGAGGGGTCAGTGCACCCGCTGCAACGCTCGCTGGCCGGGTCGAGTAGCGGTCGGCAGGATTAACTAATCCGCCGGCCCCTCCAAAAATTTCACACCATGGCTATCGATAAGCTTTTTAGAAATTTGGTCCCGGCCAGCAGCGACAAGCATAACGAGAAAAGCATCATTTTGCTAGTAGATGGATTGGAGGCAACAATGAAGACCGATTTCAGGGTATGTGCAATGTCTTCAGCTTAAGGCTATCTCTAGAACCTTTCCCAGAATATACTAATATTTTCCATTCCTAGTTTTCCAACTTACTGGGTACAGTGTACTGCCAGGGAAACCTGGTGTACAGCCCCGACGGCACCCATCTCTTTTCTCCAGTCGGAAACAGAGTGACTGTGTTTAACCTGGTCGAGTATGTGCATTATTAATATGTTTCAAACCCATTGGTTGGCTAATTGGCATCTCTCTTTAGAAACAAATCGTACACATTGCCCTTTGCGCACCGCAAAAACATTGCCCGAATCGGTCTTACGCCTCGCGGAAATCTTTTGCTGTCCATTGACGAAGACGGCCATGCAATCCTCACAAACGTCCCTCGCAGAATATCATTATACCACTTCTCCTTCAAATCAAAAGTCACAGCACTCGCCTTCTCGCCTTCTGGCCGCTACTTTGCGGTAGGTCTGCGCCGCAGAGTTGAAGTATGGCATGTGCCCTCGACACCCGATACGAACGAGAGCGGCGAGCTAGAGTTTGCTCCCTTTGTCAAGCACCACAGCCATGCCGGTCACTTTGACGACATTCAGAACATCGAGTGGTCCAGCGACTCTCGCTTCTTCCTCACATCGTCCAAGGACTTGACGGCGAGAATATGGAGTGCCAATAACGAGGAGGGCTTCACGCCGACGGTGCTATCCGGCCACAGGTACGGTGTCGTTGGCGCATGGTTCTCGGCAGACCAAGAAAAGATCTATACTGTCAGCAAGGACGGTGCTGTCTTTGATTGGCAGTATGTGAAGCCGATCAACCGCCTTACCGACGACGACATGCAGGACGAAGACGACGACTCCGACATGCGCTGGAGAATTGTCCAGAAGCACTACTTCATGCAGGGCTCGGCCAGGGTCCGATGCGCAGCCTTCCACCCAGAAACTAACTTGCTCGTTGCTGGCTTCTCCAACGGTCTGTTTGGCCTGTACGAGATGCCTGACTTCAACAACATCCACAAGCTCAGCATCTCACAAAACGACATCGACTTTGTCACCATCAACAAGAGTGGCGAGTGGCTTGCATTTGGTGCTTCCAAACTCGGCCAGCTTTTGGTTTGGGAGTGGCAGTCAGAGTCCTACATCCTGAAGCAGCAGGGCCACTTTGACTCGATGAACTCACTGGTGTACTCGCCCGATGGCACCAAGATTATCACAACCGCCGACGACGGCAAGATCAAGGTCTGGGATATTGAGTCTGGATTCTGCATAGTCACATTCACAGAGCACACGAGCGGCGTGACGGCCTGCGAGTTTGCCAAGAAGGGCAACGTTCTCTTCACATCCAGTCTGGACGGCTCGATCCGCGCCTGGGATCTCATCCGCTACCGAAACTTCCGCACCTTTACCGCACCCACCCGCCTCTCATTCTCTTGCATGGCTGTCGACCCCAGTGGCGAAGTCGTTGCCGCCGGCTCCCTCGACTCCTTTGATGTCCACATCTGGTCCGTCCAGACTGGCCAGCTTCTCGACCAGATGGCTGGCCACGAGGGTCCCGTCTCCTCGCTCGCCTTCTCCCCCAATGGCAACGCTCTCATCAGTGGTAGCTGGGACCGCACTGCAAGAATCTGGTCCATTTTCAGCCGTACACAGACCAGCGAGCCTCTCCAGCTGCAGGCGGATGTTCTCGACATTGCCGTTCGCCCCGACTCTCTGCAGCTGGCCATTTCTACGCTTGATGGCCAGTTGACCTTTTGGTCCATGGATGCTGAGCAGGTTGCCGGCCTAGACGGTCGCCGCGATGCATCGGGTGGCCGCAAAATCACCGACAGACGCACGGCAGCCAACGTCTCCGGCACCAAGAGCTTCAACTCTATCCGCTACAGCACTGATGGTAGCTGTCTCTTGGCCGGTGGCAACAGCAAGTACATCTGCCTTTACTCTGTGTCGACCATGGTCCTGCTCAAGAAGTTTACTGTCAGTGTCAACCTGTCGCTCTCTGGCACACAAGAGTTCCTGAATAGCAAGCTTCTTACGGAAGCCGGCACCGCCGCCGATATTGACCACGACTCAGACGCCGAGATTGAAAACGTTGCCGACAGAAGTCTCCCTGGCTCCAAGCGCGGTGACCCCTCTGCTCGCAAGAAGATGCCCGAGGTGCGCGTGTCCGGTATTGCCTTTTCGCCTGCTGGCACTGCATTCTGCGCCGCCTCTACCGAGGGTCTTCTCGTCTACAGCCTCGACACAACTGTTCAGTTCGACCCCTTTGACCTCAACATTGAAATTACCCCCGCCTCCACTCTTGCCGTACTTGAAGACGAAAAGGACTACTTGAAGGCTTTAGTCATGGCTTTCCGCCTCAACGAGGCTGGTCTAATTAAGCGCGTCTTCCAGGCTGTGCCCCCTGCCGACACTGCTCTGGTTGTTGGTGAACTTCCCACCGTCTACGTTGCCCGTTTGCTCCGCTTCGTGGCAGCACAGACGGAAGAGTCGCCGCACATGGAATTCTGTCTGCTCTGGATCAAGGCGCTTATTGACAAGCATGGTGCCTGGCTGACGGCAAACAGAGGCAAGGTTGATGTCGAGCTGCGTGTAGTGTCGCGTGCCGTGTCAAGAATGAAGGATGATATTCGTCGTCTAGCTGATGACAACGTCTACATGGTGGATTACCTTGTAGGACAGGCTGCTACAGATAAGCAACTGACCAAGGGCAATGCTGCGCATAGCATTCTTGACAGTGACAAGATGATGCTCGACGCTGCCAATGGCGAGGCAGATGAGGACGAAGCAGAGGGGGATGACGAGGACGAATGGCTTGGTTTGGAGTAAATTGCGCGGCGTTTGAATTAATTGCATTGTAGTTTATGGGATAAGAGTACAAAAGAGTACTCAAAGCTATTAAAATATATACAAGGAATTTAACCAGTCTCTCTCTTACCAACTCGTCCCAAACAGGGGTCTTGCAAGCTGATATTTTAGTAGAGTGAAGCAGAGGACGAACTGCCCACTGCCAACTTACAGTGTTCCTTCAACTACCATAGTGTCAAATCACATATCACATATCACATAGAAAGCAAAGTATTAGACTCTTTGTGTAAGCATAAGAAAGCATTTCATCATTAATTGTTCGCCTCTATCTTGTATCAAACACCGGTTTTTATCATAGACAATTGCGGCAACGACTTAAAAAGCATCGCGCTTAAGCCTTCTGCTTCTTGGAGCTGGGCTGGCCGTCGAGCTCGTCGTCGTCCTCCATGTCCTCATCCTCGTCGTCGTCCTCAAAGTCAATGTCGCTCATAGCCTCAAGCTCCTGAGCGTCGGTGAAGTAGCGGATAGCAGAGGGCCAGAGGTCCTCAACAATGGCGACGGCAACATCGCTGGCCATGGGGAAGATCTCGTACTCGAACTCGTCGAAGCCGTCCTCCTCCTCATCCTCCTCGTCGTCCTTGACCTCCTTGCCCTCCTTGCGGAGCTTGCGGTTCTGAGCCTCGACAATGGTGGCAGCCTTGTGCTCCTCCTCGGAGATGTTGCGGCCAGTGTAGCCGAAGAAGCAGAAGAAAGAGACGCCGCCAAGGCCCTCCTTCTCCATGATCTCAATGAGCTTCTTCTTGTTCTCGGTCTCGTCAGCGGGAGCAGCCTTGCCCTCCTTCTCCTCAGCAAAGATCTTGTTGGCAAGGTCGAGCATGCCGGTGGTCAAGTCCTTGTCGGCAGACTTCCACTTGATGTTGACGGGCTCGGAGACGAGGCCGGCCCAGCCATCCTTGGCGTTGCGCCACCAGAACTTCTTCTCAATGGTCTTGTCCTCAAAGAACTCGTTCTCGTTGAACTCGAACTTGATGGAGATGCTGCGGGGGTCGCCCTCGGGGAGCTCGAAGCGCTCAACGCTCAGGCTCTTGAGAGAGTTGACAAGGACAGTAGAGTCGGTGGGCTGGATGTACTCGTCAATCTCGGAGGGGGCCTGGGTGAAGACGAGGGGCCAGAAGTTGTCAATCTGGCTGACGAGAGCCTCACGCTTGGCGTAGAGGTCCTTGGTCAGAGCATCCTGCTGGCGGACTGTACAAGGTGGTTTTTGGTTAGCCCGTGTTCTTTTGAGGGGAATAACGCGAGGGCTCTGTGGCGTTTGGAGGGGTAGGTTAGCTTACGCATCTGGAGGTCAATGTCCTCGAAGTCATCCTCCAAGTCGCGGAGCTGAGAGTAAGAGATGGGCGATTCCTCAGACATTGTGATTGTATGTAGTGTTGCTAGAATACAGCGGGTATCAAATAAAAAGAAAAGAAAGATGTATGAGAGAGAAAGTAGGATGTAGGAGGGCGGGGGAGGTGGGATGGCTTATAAGGCGAGCAGAAATTTTCCTACGGCAAGCTTAATAAACACTGAGCTTAGTACCAAACTACGTAGCAAACACAGCTACAAGTACGTACCCCAAAGAAGGAATACCAGGGAAACAGTGGGATAAAACTGGAGAGGGACAGCTCGGCGGTGAATGATTTTTTTTTCGGCCTTTGGTGTTTGGGCTTGTTGGCTGCAAATCTTGCCAAACTTTTTTTTTCTGCCGCTAAAGCTTGATGTCATGGTAGCGGGGTCCAGGCGAAAAAAACCCCTGTAACAAGTGCACTGTACTTTGGGGCGCCACCCAATTTAGTGCACCCGCAATGTAGATTTGCGCAGCGCGGAATCTCCTGGCAGGTACCTTTTCTATTTTTTACAGTGGGCTTTCAGGAGGGGCAGCTCTTGCAGGACCCCTGCTGGAAGCGGAAAACAGAACGTCGCTGTAGAAATGGGCGGGGCTTTGCTGTGAAAAGACCCCTCTTTTGGGTGGCTACAGCCCAATGAGAGGCGCTAGACAGGGGCGGTGGCAGGCACTCACTCACTCCAGTGCTGGCAATGGCAAAGTACCCAATGGCAAAACGCGGCGGGTGCGGGCGGTATTCTACAGCCAACCAGAATCGCCATCGTTCATGAAATATTGCCGTTGCTATCTGCTATCTTAGCCGAGGTGAGCCGCAACTAGAAAGATGGTCAAATTGCTTGTATTCTGGTACAATTTCAGGGACGATAGATAAGTTTGGCGTAGCATTTTATTTTATGCTTATCCCGCCCCAGGCAACTCTAAATTTATATACGCATTTTAACGCTGGCTACTGTAGCTGGCGTTGGGAAACCATATCCCCCTCTGTAGAGTAGAATACCCCCGCTGCCGTGCATTTGCCCACACGGCTGCAGACGATTAGAATTAGATCTCATTTACCTTTTTGGGCCAATTTTCTGGACATAACTGTTAAGGTTAGCAATGTAAATTGTGAAAGTGGTAGCCTGCACTAGTTGGCCGCCACTGCGGTGCCAGTTGGCGGTTGTCGGACTTACAGCTGGCAACCAAACCACCAAGCCCAAACATGGTAACAACAGCACACACAAACTCACACGCAGATCACATACATAAAACACACAACAAGCATCAAACATGGCCTTACCCGCTATTTGATTACCACATAATTGCCAGCCGGAGCCGATTTATAATATAATCTCGCCTGAAATGGTACGCCATCGGACAACTTCCCTATTGGGCTTCAGCGTCCCCATTGCACGGGGGCTGAAATGGCCACCTTCTTTTGCGATGCTCACGCTCGGCTGAGACTTTCTTTGTTCTTTTTTTTTTAGTCTTTTTCTCCTTTGAATATTGTATCTACACACTGAACCGTCATAGCCATGGTCAACATTGAAGAAACAAAACGCCAAAAGAAATGGAGCGCCAAAGTCAAGACTGGCTGCTGGACATGCAAGTACGTGTAGTATGCCCAACGGTCACCAGCAAATAGGAAACCGAGTTAACCAAACCCCAGACAAAGACGAGTCAAATGTGATGAACGGAAGCCATCTTGCGGAAACTGCCAAAAGGTTGGTCGCCAATGCCAGGGATACCCGACAAGAGACACGGCGCAGCCCGAGCGACATGCCCAGCAGTTGCGTGCCCTTGCCCCGGCTCCAGGCTCGACGCAAGTGCCTATACAATATGCTCAGATCAAAGCGATGGAGGATGTCCAGGTTCTATACTCGATTATGCCACAGGTATTGGCTAGTCCAAGCTCATCGAAGAACTCTTGGTCCATGAGATCGAGTATGCGTACCACCACGGCTGTCTACCTGGCGTTTCTTCCTAGCCGTGCTGGTCAAAGCGCTGTGATGGATGCTGCTGTTCGATGTCTGGCGGCAGCAGTTCGTCTGTATTATACCAAGAGTCGACTCGGTGAGAGCGCCGATGAACAGGATCAAGGCTTGATCTTGGGACCCTATAACCACGCGTTGAAATGCCTGCGCCAGGCTCTCAAAGACCCCAAAGAATCCGTGTCGGCGGAAACACTATGTGCTGCTGAGCTCTTATGCTGCTTTGAGGTAATTACATCACACTTTCCATTCCCATGGTATAGTTTCTAACAGATGCATCTCTCTCTTTAGTCATTTTACTCTGACGGAACCGATGAAGCACAGGCTCGCCACTTGATAGGCATCGAAGAAGTAATAAAGCACCGCAAACCCATCAGATTCACATCGGAATTTGATCTCCAGCTCATCCAGAGCCAGTTGGGCTATAGTGTAAGAACAATACGCTCTCGGCCTCTCTACACCCTGCTAACCTTGTCAAACAGGTGTTTAAGGCCTTCTTTACCAGCGCCAGCAGTTTTCTCAACCAAGACGAATGGGTTCCGGTGCTTGAAATGATTGGCTCGCTGGCTCCGCCTCTAAAGCTACTAATGGACTACTTCATATTATCCGCTCCCGTGCTGGAGGTCTTGAAACAGACAACAGACCTGATGAGTAGCAAGGACACATCGTCCGCAGAATCCCTCGAGACACGATCCCGACTGCTTGGGGACTTGACCAAGAGCGCCAACGCTTTTATAAAGTGGTACTGGGATGTGATAGATCTCATATACCAGTACATTGGAGGCGCATCTGTGGAATCTGACAGGCATAACTTGTCGAAGCGGCGGCGAACAGTCTGCCAAGTTTCACAATTCTTTGGTACTTGCCAAACGGTTATTGTAATTGGCAATCGACTCCACGCTGTTCTTGGTGGCGAAGATGCCTACCCTTTGGAGATTGCCACGCAGGAGACGGCTACTAGGCTTGTGTATGCCTATAATCTGGACGGAGATGACATGACCAATCCGACTATATTCGAATTGAGTGTCATGAAGGCTATTATTTCTACTCGAGACGATTGGCACACATACGCTTCCCCCAGACACGGCCAGCAAAGCATTGATGTGTTCCCCAAGGATATATTTTTCCGCTGGCTTACGGCAATGGGTGTCAGTTATCCGCCGCTCACAGAGGCATAGAGGCTCATAATAAAATGCAAATGAAGAAAAGGATCAAAGTACGACCTGTAGTTGTGTTGCATACAGGGTTCTGTCATTGTCAGCACTAGCGAGCGTTTGGCGTTGCTCCCAGTGTTGTGTGGCTGGCGGCCCCATTGACCATACACACTGGCGCGACTCTTTAAAATGCAGCCCTATTCGGCCATTGCGGTAAATATCTAACATAATATTCAAGTGTCGCACTAGTTTGCTTTAATCGGAAGGGTAAGGTACCCAGGCAGCTCGGCCATTTTCCGTTTCGAGATTAAGGCTCTGTAGATTGATCACGTGTGGGCGGTTATTTGGGGTGCATCAAAGACAGCCAGGGCCGGCAATCGTGGACAAGGTTATAGTTTCTCAACCGGCGAAACAATGAGCACCAAGAGGGACTAAAATATTTTTATGAGCTATTATCGGATTGAAAATGGCGCCGATAGAGGACGGCAACAGTAACGCTCCACGGCAAAAGCGATGGGCTACCAAAGTCAAGACGGGTTGTTTAACATGCAGGTACCGAGCAATGAGTCGTTGATCTATGCTTTGAAGGATGCTGACGACTACTAGACGGCGTCGTGTCAAGTGTGATGAGGCAAAGCCCTTCTGTCTCAATTGCACAAAACGCAATCTCCATTGCGCTGGCTATCAGGTATTAGACAAGGGCAAGAATGCGCGAAGCATCGCCGCAGCCACAGCGCCGCTCTGCAAGCAGCGGGTGAAACTACCGAATGAAGAGCTGACAGCATTGAATGATGTTGTTACTTTATTTAACCTAATGCCACATTTCCTATTGTCAGAGGCAAAAGGAGAGCGGGAATTTACGCTTCGAGCGCCGATGCGATACACAACAGCGCTCTATCTTGCCGTATTGCCAAGTCGCGCTGGCCATAACCCTGTCGTGGATACTGCAGTTACTGCTCTATCTGCTGCTGCACGACTCTACTACGATACCACTATAAGAGAAGACATGTCTCTAGAGCAGATTGCAGAACGCGACGACTATGACAGGGTTCTATGCCTCTATAACCGTGCGCTTCACTATCTTCGCGAAGCGCTGAATGACCCCGAAGAATCTGTAAGCTCAGACGCGCTATGTGCAACAGAGCTTCTGTGCTGTTTTGAAGTGAGTTCCCAAGCTTCTGTCTGGTACTTGGGTGTACCTTTTCTTTTGAGAAAGCATTTCTAACAATCAATTTGGTGTAGTCGTTCAACCTCAACAGCCCGCCTGAGATTCAGGTTCAACACTTGATGGGGAGCGCAGAGTTGATACAACACAGAGGTCCTGCACGATTTAGTTCCGGATTTGACTTGATATTGCTGCGGACGCAAATACCGTACTTGGTAAGGAAGGACATGCACACTATACCGGATAGGCTATAGGCTGACTGGTAATCGCCCGCAGATGTTTAGCGCCTTTTACACAAACACGCCGTCGTTTTTAAACCGGCCAGAATGGACAGCGGCATTGAAAACCGTGGCCCGTCTTAGTCCAGATATTGACCGGCACCTGGTGTATTTTATGATTCTAGCGGGCCAGATATTCAGCGTCCTGCTCTCCATCAACGAATATATGAGTCAGATAGATCGCTCGACTCCCGAGGCCATGGAGCAGAGAAAGCAGCTCCTCGACGATATTACCAAGCATGGCAACACTTTTGCCAGTTGGGCGCGAGCGGCACAGATAAAGGTACAGCAGGCGCTGATTGCATTCGAAGCAACTCACAAAGATACACGACACAACCTCTACAGCCAGAGCACGATTGCAACGGCCACCCAGTTCTACGGAGCATCGATCGCCGTGCTTCTCCTTCAGAATAGGCTGCGCATAGCACTGGGCTGTAGCAATGCGCGCGAGCGTGAAGAGGAATCGCAAGACTTGGCGAACAAGTTACGGGAGCGAGTTATGGCGGATGAACGACTCGGGCGAAAGGTACCAACTTTCCAGATTGCCGCGTTCAACGCGGTGCTCGCGTCCAAGGACCAATGGATGCAGTATGCTGACCGTGTTGGGCACATGGACGAGAATCAAGACCGAGCCATTGCCCCAGAGTTGTACTTTACGTGGCTACAGTCGGTTGGAGTTCGAAGCGACATAAGAAGTGTAGTGCAGAAGCTGTCAGTCATGTTGCCCGTCAAGTCGACGAGAGTATATATCCCATGATATGATGACGGTGTCTCCGGGCTGCCGTCAGCCACCGTTGTTGGGACGATGAACTGCGTGCACTCCACCATGCGTTCAAAAAGAATAAAGGCACTGCAGATAAAGACTGCCTTATTGAGCTTCGGTAGCCATTGATTCGGGCGAGGCTCTTCGCGGCGTTACATCCGCCGTTTGCTTCCCCTTTAGGATCAGGCTGAGTGAGCCGCTCTGGAATCAGGCTGAGAGAAGGGTGGGGGCGGCATCGTCATCCTTTATAAAAGGTTCGGCCCTACCCCGTTTGCAAACTTGCTACGAACATCGTTAAACAAAGAAAACACTTCTTTGCCAGTTAATAAAAGTACCCAAGAAGGCGACGAAAATGGCACCGACGATCGAAGCGCTGGACCAGCCTCGCAAGAAGCGATGGGCAGCCAAGGTCAAGACTGGCTGCTTTAGTTGTCGGTACGTACGGATTTGGCTGCTGGACCCCCAATTGCGCTGCCAATACTGACGGACGAGCAGGAGACGCCGTATAAAGTGTGACGAAGGCAAGCCGCAATGCAAGAGCTGTGTGAAACGAGCTTGGGTCTGTGAGTATCCAGCCGGAATGCATAACCCCCAACGGCGTCCGCACATGCTGGCCCCAGCAAATGTGCGCGGTCAGCAGGTGCCAATGCTTGAGGGCGAAGCCAAGTCGATGGTGGGCATATCAAACCTAGTGTACCTTATGCCGCAGATCATTGGTCTTCAAGGAAGCTCGAGCGATACGTCAATGTCGTCCATCATTCGCCTTACAACGACATTGTACCTGACGTTTCTGCCAAACCGTGCTGGTAAACACACGGCGCTGGATTCTGCAGTCCGGTGTCTTGCGTTGGCTGCACAGTCATTCTACTCGAATCGACGACGAACGAGTGCGGGATATGGCGTCGCTGGCCAGGATGCCGGGCTTTTCGAATCTTACAACCAAGCGCTGATGCATCTACAGCAAGCTGTGGCAGATCCTGAAGAAAGCCTTGCTGGCGAAACATTGTGCGCGACGGCGCTTCTAGGCTCTTTTGAGGTTTGTTTAATCACCTGTCTAATACGCTCCGAAGTTTAAGTAGTGGAAGCATGGCTAACAAGTTGAATAATGTAGTCGTTCATCAGCTCAAAGCCATATGCTGACCATATCAGACATCTGCAAGGCGTCGAAGAGATTATCAAGCACCGCCAACCACACCGGTTCATGACGAGAATGGAGCTGCAGCTGCTTCAATGCCATATGGTTTACATTGTACGAAAATCCGACGTTGTGGTAGAGATGTGCCAGTTTTAGAACTAACTGTGACTCAGATTTGCGGAGCCTTCTTTGGCAATCGACCATGCTTCTTAAACCACAAAGAATGGCGGCCGGTAATCATTGCCATTGGGAGACTGTCTCCCGAGCTCAAGATCAACATGGACTTTTTCCTCTACGCCTGCCCAATCTTTGAGCTCGTCTATGAAATCAGCCAGTTTGTCATGGAACGGCCCGTGTCGCCGACTAAACGCGGAATGCTCCTGAAGCGAGTGATTCAAAGCGGCGATGCGTTTAACAAATGGTACCGCCAATTCGATGTCGGGGGCGACAAGCTAGCGGCCATTACCAGCTGCGTGCAGATTGATACGATGCAAAAGATGTGCGAGCGCGGAACCACGTATAACCCGTACCAGAGCATCAGCATCAGCCAGTGCATGATCCTTATACAGAACCGGCTGCGCGTAGCCTTGGGCAGCAATGACGCATACACCATGGAATCCGCATCTCGACTCATGGCAGCGAAGCTGTGCTATGCGGCAGGGCCCGATGGAAAACGCCAAGTGTGGAAGACACCTCTGTCTGGCAACGTTATCCCGGCGATCCTGGCGACAGGAGAGGACTGGGCTGCGCATGCGCTCAAGGTGAATTATCAGCCAGAAGCGCTTGACGCGGACGAGGCTGTGATTGGAAAGGATGCCTTTTGGCGGTGGATGACGGCGATGAATATCGGCAAGGACGCCAACATTCTGGACATGTGGAATGACTATGCGTCTGAGAACTGGGTGGACGAGGAATGAAAGCCAGCAGTGATGTGCGTGTGTGTATATAAGTAGAAAAGCTGTCCGTCTTACAAGGACGGCTGCGCAACAGCAACAGCGTCTACCTGGAAAGGACGTCTATAAATAAAGCCAAATACCCCCTTTGTATTTTCAACAGACGCAATTTATTTTACAAAGACAAATTCCATCCAATTAAATTTTTTATTCACACAATATCTCTCATCACCCCACCGCCCAAATCCCTGGTCGCCACCAACACCAAAAAAGCGAGAGCCAGATTATACCCCGCCTCCCCGCAACTCTAAACCAACATCACCACACCACATCAACTCATAAAAGATGCCGCTGCCGCTTGAAGTCGCTGTATTTTCGTCGCAGGACGCACTCACCGCTCAATCCTCTGGCGCACACCGCATCGAATTCAATGCCCCCGGGTCCTATCCCGACGGCGGACTCACGCCACCACTCGACGAGCTGCGTCTGCTCTCACCACAGCTGCGCATCCCAGCACGCGTCATGATTCGCCCGCGCGGCCCGCCAGCCGACGGATCCATGGACTTTATCTACTCCGAAGCCGAGCTGGAGCTGATGCGAGAGGCAGTGTCGGAGATCAAGGCCGCAGGCGTCATGGACGTGGCGCGGGGCGACGGGTTCGTGTTTGGCGTTCTCAAGAAGCACGAGGACGGCGGGTACGTGGTGGATGAAGAGGTGTGTAAAGCGCTAGTTGATGCCGCGAAGCCTGTGCCGTGTGTGTTTCATCGAGCGTTTGATCCGATTGCTGAAGAGGACGGTGCGTGGGCGAGTGGTTTGGATGCGCTGCTGCGGTGTGGGTTTGAGGGATTGTTGACGGCGGGCGGGACACCGGGGAAGTTCTGTGAGAATTTGGAGAGGCTGGAGGAGCTGGCGAAGCATGTGGATGGAAAGTTGCAGATTGTGGCGGGCGGAGGAGTGAGGCATCATAATGTCGGGGAGCCGCTGGGTGTGTTGGGCGGGTATAAGAAGGGGAGTGTGTGGGTGCATTCGGCGGCGTTGCGGTCGAGTGGTGATGGAGTGGATGAGGAGGAGCTGACGAAGCTGTTGGCGCAAATACAATCATGAGATGGTGAGGAATACCGCAATGGGTTGCAAAGAATGTGAGGGTCACAGAGGCCGAGGGGAGAGAGGAGGAATACACACATGATGGAGAAGGGAAACAGGGAGACAATACAGCATGATAAGAAAGGGGAAAGACACACGCAAACACATTTGGTTCATGGATTTTGATGGTATCAACAACGTGTATTCTTTGAAATTACATTCTCTATGCGGGCTAATATCTACATCGTCATCACTTCGTCTCTGCTTCATCATCTACTGCTACAACTTCAAACAACAACAACAACAACAACAACAACTTTTGCTCGCGCTCTCGCTCATGCTATACACTGGGCAACATTACTTCCACAATATTGTAAGAAAAGAAAAAGAAAAGAAAGTAAGGAAGATTTAGTCCTTCTTGGGCTTGCAAGCAGGCTGCTTGTTCTCGCGAGCAAGACCCAAGCAGCTGGCAATCTTGTAAAAGATGTCGACATTGCCAAAGGTACCGCTGAAAGTCTCCTGACAAGGACCCATGGCATAGATGGGTACATCGGTAAGCGAGTGGACGCCCTGGGCCTCGCTGGTAGGCAGAGTACCGTTGATGACGATGCCGTCAGCACCATCCTGGGGGTTGGCGTAGTACTCGGTGCCGTTGCCGAGCTTGACGGCAGGCAGACGAGGGGCCTTGTGCACCTTGTAGTTCTCGCGGCGGTCGGGCGAGGCGCCAACACCGCCGGCAATGGCGTAGCGAGGCTCCCAGTTGGTGGGGAAGTTGACGCCGGTGCCGTACTCGATGCCGTCAATCTTCTTGGTGTACTGGGACAGGCCGGACTTTTCGTAGACGCCAATGGCGTTGCGCTTCTGGCGCTCGTCTTTGGTCTCGGTGAGGTACTTTGTGTCGGCGGATCCGTAGACACTGTGAGAGTCCAAAAATGTTAGTAAGTTGTGACTTGATTGACAGAAGAAAAGAAAACGTGGAAGGGAAAAGAAGAAGAAAAGACTTACTCGAAGCCGTGGCCATGATCGGCAGTGACGATGATGAGAGTCTCCTCGAGAATACCAAGCTCCTTGAGCTTGGCAACAGTAGCGCGGACAGTATCATCAAGCTCAAGAAGATCGCCAAGAGCGCGGTCGTAGTCGAGCGTGTGCATCTGCTTATCGACAGAGGCAGCCTCAGACATGAGGAAGAAGCCCTTGTCGCCACCGCGCTTGTGAAGGATATCAACAGCCTTGAGAGTCATCTCCTTGAGGCCAGGAAGATCAGTGGCATCGCCCGAGGCACCGGAGGGGTTGTTCTTGAGGTTCTTGAGGTTGTCGGTGTAGACGTTGCGGTCGAGCCAGACGGGCAAGTTGCTCTTGCAGAAGATGCCGAGGGCACGCTTGCTGTTGTCGGCGGCGAGCATGGACGTCTTGTTCATGCTGACGGTGTAGCCCTTTTTGGCAAACTCGGCATAGTAGTCCTTGCCCTGGTACGAGGCCTTGCCGGGGATGAACTGCTCAGCACCGCCGCCAAAGTAGACGTCGGGGCCGTCGTGCTGGGTCCAGGAGTAGTTGGTGAGGCCGTTGAGCGCCTGGTCAATCAGAGGACCGTACTCGGCACGGCGGCGGGTGTGGCCAGTCAGGGCAATGGGGGTAGCATCAGCAATGAAGGCGGTAGAGACGGCGCCCCAAGCACCCTTGGTGACACGGCGGAAGATCTCGACAATGGTCTCGACCTTGGGGTCGTCAAAGGGGTTAGGAGAAGAGTCAGCATGGACACCCATGGCGTTGACAGTGGACTTGTGGCCACTGTACAGAGCAGAGGCAGAGTTGGCAGAGTCGGTGATGTAGCTGTCAATGGAGTGCGTCATCTGGTGACCAACAACAGGGAACTCGTCCATCTTCATGAGCGTCTGGTACTTTCCGTTGATGCTCTTGTGTCCGAGCAGACGCGCAGCGGTGATCATGTTGGTAGTCATGCCGTCGCCAATGAAGAAGATGACGTTGCGCGCCTTGCGCTCCTTCTGCAGAGGACGAACCACCCACTCGGCTGTGGTGGTCTCGGTGCCGTAGTAGCTGAGCTTGACGGTGTACTTGCCGGGCTCGTTGAGGGCAATCTTGCGGTAGATCTTGGAGGCGACATTGACAGTCGACGCCTTCTTGGCGTCCTCGGCAAACAGGTCCTCATACCAGTTGAACGTCCACTTCTCCAGCTCAGGCTCCTTGCTGAGCTTAAACGCCGTCACAATGTCCTGCGCAGCACCGCCCTCCTTGGCAATGGTGACCTTGAACGCCTCGTCGGGCTTGCCGCCGTGCGCGGCCTCGGAGCCGTTGACGGGCGCATGGACCTCGACACGGAGATCGAAGAGCTGGCCTGGAAGGAAGTCGGATTGATCGGGAGGAAGCACGCAGCCGAGCGTAGGGCACGTACCCAGGCGCTGGTAGGTCTGGGCGACGACCGAGGTAGCCAGGAAGGCAATGGATGGGATGACGACGCGCATTGTTTTTCTTCTTGTGTTGTAAAGGAAAGAAAGAAAAAAGAGAGCGACGGGTGACACAAAAAGAAGAAGAAGAAGGGGTGGGTGAGGCAAGGGATCAACCCAACTTATATGTGCATGGGCTGAATTTCGCAGGACTTCTTCAACGGGAGAGGGGCAGCTGGCGTGTCCACCGAGTGGGACGCCTCGAACGGTTCAGGCAACGCAGGCGACTATTTCCAAATTGGAATTGCGTTCCGGGATGCTTGGCGCTGTGGAAGAGACGACGCGCAGAATGAGTCGCGGGTGGGTGTTGGCGCGCAAGCCACCAAATAGACCAACTAACCACAACCTAGAAAAGCGTTCCGTGCATACAAGTAATATACCAGCCGAAAAAGAAGAAGAAGAACTTTTGTTCAGCAGTCTACTTGCACCGGCAGAAATGTTTGTCTATCTGTCCAAATTGCTTCAATCGCTATGTAAGTGAGCGTACAATTCCCCTCCAATTCATTCACTGCCTCCTCTACTCCATGCCCAGTCCAACTCGTCCTCTTGGCCTTCCCACAGCCCGCTCGCTCTCCTCTTAGTTCCACTGCTTCTTGTATTGTCCGTCAATCACTCCGCTCCGCTAAACAACGCAAATGAAAACGTCACCGATTCCCACGTGTTGCTCTTTTCAGCTCGTGGAACAGAACTCTTTTCGCCCCATGTTATTTCGCCTGTTAGCCACGCCAAGCCTAGACCCAACGAAGAGAAAAGAAAGCAGGGCTGTCGGGCGAGAGCGGGCCAGACGTAGAACGGAAAGCCCGCTTACAGTGACAAACAGGAACGAAGCAGCACAGCACCTAACAGTTTACAGCGGGCTTGTCAATAGGCTATAAGCTTAAACCACGTTAGCGAGCTAATTCAGTGGAGCGCTCTGGGGGTGGTGGATCGGCAGGATACCCCGTGGCTCGATGGGCGGCTGTGATTGGGCCGCGGGGCTGAGATTGCCTGAAGAGGCAAGTTTTTTTTACTCTCTCTCTTTGTTCCGTTCCACTAGAGGAGAAAAGGGGTCCTGTCTCTTTTGACAGCGTCTGATTGATAGCGCGTCTGTCAGATGCTAAAGAGATAGACCGACAGTATACTATAACTTTAGAGTGTACGAGCATTTTGAATCACCAGACACATTCCAAGTATACAGCAGTAGTAGTACACCACCACATCCCATCACCCATCTGATAAAAACTTGCCAAGCACACCATCCACATCCACCATCCACCCCTTGATCCGTCACCGAAGCTCGCTCTACCGCCACCCACTCCAAAACGCCATCTCATGCACATCCACTTCTTTATTAGCCCACGTTTTCCTGCTTCTCTTTATCTCTACAGAACTATTTGCTTTGCTTTTCGCCCGCACTGCCTGCCAAAGTCAGCCGCGAGCCGTACCCGCCGGAACCCCGACGTCGAAAAACGTGCATCCTGTCACGCAGCTGTCGCGCAGCTGTCGGCCAGCTGTCAGGCAGTTGCGTGCGTGGGGGGGCGTTTTTGGTCTAGATGCGTTGGTGGCTGGCCGCTACGTTGAAAATATATTGAAATCAATTTCGGGCCAGACCCGACATGCACGAAATTGCAATAGGTAGTAATAATAATGCTAATAAAGATGGACGAATGCATTCACAGCATCACGTGGGCAGCCAGGAACAATCGTAGAAAAAGAAACAAAATGCTGGCTTTACGGTTTATATGCTATGTCTAACAATCGACGATGGTATGTACTCCTACTCGCCCATTTCGCTGGACGCCTCGACGCTGACATTCTTGCTTCCTCCGCGGCTCTGCTTCTCCAGAGACGTCAATCTTCCATCCTCCATTCTCGCCAAAAGATGGCAGCGGCTCAATACCGTGTTGCGGTGCGTCACCACAATGCGCGTGCAGTCGGCAAACGCAGTCTCCATGACCTCGTGCATCGTTGTGTCCGTCTGGTAGTCCATGTTGCTCGTCGCCTCGTCCATGACAATAATCTTGCTGCCCGAGCGCTGGTGATGCACCATGGCGCGTGCAAGACTCATCAACTGGCGCTGGCCGGCCGAGAGTGCCATCTTGGTAATAGACTCGTCCAGTCCGCCTTGGCTCGAGATGTGGTCCCACAGCCCGACCTTGGTCAACACCTCAATAAGCTCCTTGTCTTCTTCTGCTGATGGGGTGGCCGTGCTCATAATCTCTAGCGGCACCACATTGTTGCGGACAGTGCCGGGAATGTCGACGTGGTCCTGCGGCATCGTCGTAATCACCTGGCGCAGCTGCTGGCGGGGGACGTTTCGGATATCTACACCGTCAATGGTCACGCCGCCAGTGTGGTGCAGGAAATGCAGAAGCGTCAGCACAATGGAGCTCTTGCCGCTGCCGGTTCGCCCAACAATGGCCAGCGACTCGCCAGCGGGAACCTTGAGCGACAAGTTCTCAATGGCCAATTTGGCATCGGGCTCTGCGCTATACGACGCAGAAACATTACTGAACTCGACTTCACCCCGGCTCGGCCACGACGAAGGCTGGTCAACTACACCCTCCCCGTCCTCTTCAAGGGGAGTGTTCTCAAGAAAGACCTTGAGACGTGCAACGGCTCCGAGCGAAGTCTCCAAGAGTGTCCAAAAGGTGATGAAAACGTTTAGCTCTTGTTGTAGACTCATGAGAGCAAACATGCCCAATCCCAAGCTGGCCTGCGAGGAGCCTGTTGTCGTCAGGAGCGCCACGCTCAGCAACACGGCAACCATGCCCGCGGATATCATGTTGAGTGCAAATCCCAGCCATCTTTGGATAGAATACATGTAGTAAAAGGACTTTTGCGAGCGATCCAGAGCGGCATAAATGCTCGCAATCGCCGGTCTCTGCCAGCCATAGGCGCGCAAGTGTTCAACACCAGTCGCGGTTTCGCTAATCTTGGCAAAAAGTGGCGTCTTGGCCTCAAGATCGAGAATTCGCATTTGCTTCGACGTTCGCAGATAAAAGTTTTGCAGAACCCACAGCAACCCAAATACAAAGGGAAGCGCGCAAGCCGAGTAGGATGCTCCCGCGCACACATAGGCAAACATCATGAGGGCAAACAAGAGACTACCCCACGCCAAGTACATGCTGTTTGGCATCTTGTACGAAAAGAGGGTCATGTCTTGGCTAAATCGGTTCAGAAGCGAACCGCTCTGTGCTGTAGTAAGAAACGGTAAAGTAGCAGACATGACGCCGTTGAGGAAGAGCCGGTGCAGGTTGTTGGCCATCTTGGGAATGGCCACAATGTGCCAAAAGTAGGAAACGTATGCCATGTTGAGGGTGTCGGCAACAATCATGGCAACCAGCCCGGCCACCAAGACTTTGGACTTGGGGTCTATAGCCAGCCAAATGCGTATCCACAGCTCGTTACTTGTTTGGAAGACTGCAAAACCAACGAGGCCAATACCTACCAGGATGCGCAAGAGCCACGACGTACCCTGCAGCAATAGCTTGTAAAGAGTTTTGTCGCTGGCAAGATTGGTGTCGATATCTATTTCATCAATCTCAGTCTCCTCTTCCACTTTAAGAACTACCTCTTCTTCCTCAAAGTCTTCGTCGGCGTGCTTGCCCTGCGATGCAATGGCCACTGCCTTGACCGCTGCAATGTCTTCTTGGGAGCGGTACGATACTACATTGCCAGCTGTGTCAATCGATAGGACTTGATTGGCCTCTTGTAGCCACTCGACAGAGTGTGTGGCAATCACCACGGTTCTCTTCTGCTGTCTCAAAAGACCATCAGCACCAAGAAGTCGTGTAAACACCAGGCGAGCAGTGCGCCGGTCAAGGGCGCTAAGAATATCATCCAGAATCAGAATTGGTGCACGTGAGTACACGGCACGAGCAAGAGCTACACGCTGTTTCTGTCCACCACTGAGCAGCCCGCCGTTATCATTGCCAGTTCGGGCCTGGTCAGTGATCTTACTGACATCATAGTCAAGGGCACATGCCTTAAGGACATCTTGATACCATGCCGACTCAAACTCATTCTCGCCCAGTACGGCTTGGCGAATAGTGCAGCTTGGGATCCAGGCATTCTGGTGGCAATAGGCCATGTTGTCTGTCGTAATTCGGATACAGCCCCCAGCCAAGGTAATCTCGCCGAGTAGTGCCCGCAGCAATACAGATTTCCCGCAGCCCACAGGCCCAATAATCATGTTCAGCGACCCGGCATCAATGCTAAGGTTCATGGGCTGAAGCAAGTACTCGCCCTCTTCCTTATTGAGGGCGGCAATCGAGACATCTTCCACCGATATCTGCGTCGTTTCAGCTGCTGCTTTTTCCTCTAGCTCAGAGTTCTTTGCAAGAGAAGCCTTTTCATACCGCGCGTCGATGCTATCGCAGAGATATCGGGGATCCTGGCGTTCATCCTCAAGAAGATATGTCTGGATACGATCAAAGTTGGCGAGCGCACCACCAAGAGCGGGCATCTTGACAGTGATGACGAGAATGGGGTCAAGAATGAGCATCGACAGCGATAGATAGGTGTAGACTTCAGTAGGATCGAGGCCATCCTTCCAAACAGTCCAGAATACGCCACCAATGATACCAACAGCTCTGGTCCAAATGTGACCAATGGAATAGTTGATGAAACTGTAGAGCTTATTCCAGCGCCACTTGAGAGATCGCGTAGTCTCCTGCTCTCGAGTCATTTGCATGTATTCGCCAATTGTGCGCTCAAGTCCAATCATTTTAATGCCCTTGATCTGTTGAAGAATAGCGCTCATCTTGGCTACTCGACCTTGAATGCCCTCATTCCAGTAGCCCTGTGATTTAATCACGCGCTTGGTTAACACGATGGAGTAAAGGCTGCTAAAGACCGCAATGATGACTGGCAGAACGAAAGCAGTTCCAATGATACGGTCGATGAAGTACAGGCCAAAGCCCATCTCAGGAAAGGCCGTGATGTAGTCGTAAAGCTGGACAATCAAGTCACAAATTTGTTCGACGTCGGTGCTCATTAAAGTGATTGCTGTAGACTCCTTGGCCTTGGCGAGATCCAAGCAAAAGTTCTTCTTGATGATCTGGGTTGTGAGAATACCGCGGGCGAGAGTAAGCAACTTATTTATGTAGTAGCTATTTAGAGAAACCACAATGCTCCTTAGGACATAGAGCGTAACGTTGGCAAGAACCAGCGCTTTTGGAGTCCAAACTGGCACCTCTTCGCCCAGGGATTGGACCGTGGCGCGTAGGGTAAAGGCAATCGCCCACGTACACGCAATGTTGATCATTCGGGTGAGGAGACCAGCAAGAAAGACCCAGCGGAGAGCGACAGTAGTAGCACTAGCAAGAGCCCATGATGACTTTTTATTTTGACGTTGCCAAATCTCGCCAAATTCGACACTCAGTCGCTCAGAAGAAAAGTCTGGGCCCAACGACTCGAGGTTTTTCATTGTCATTGTGGCGCGCCCACCAGCAAGCATCGTCTTGTTGAGCCAAAAGCACAGAGCTTGGTTCCAGAAGCCACTAATAGCCTCTGGAGAATGCGAATTGTCAACAACCTCTTCGGAACGTGGCTTGGGGAATTCCTGCAGTATAACAATGAGCGCTTTCAAGACTGTCACGGCGACGGACAAACCACCAACAGTGGCCAGGCCATCGCGGAGGAAAAACGACCGCGTCTTGAGAATGTCGACGAAAAAGAAGACGGTAAACATGCCGCTACTAAGAACCGATGAGTGTAGCGAATGGCGGTACTCTAGCATGATCATAAGGAGTAGAGTAAAGGCAGCAATGGCGGACAAGGCTGTCGACGCTTGGTAGGCTGGGCTCGCGCCCCTCGGAGCCAAGCTCCAAACAACAGCCTTTGCGACTTCCAAGCAAGTGAGGGCCACAGCAGAAGCCTAGACATAGGAGTTAGCCAATTTTGTGTTTCGCGCAGCGCATTTGAAGAGATATCGTACCGTCAAGAGCCAGAAGTGAATGGCAATCTTTGCCGTCACTGGGCGCTTTCTGTAATGCAAGATGTGGAAAGGAGCAATGGCGAGAAAGACGACAATAGGGCAAATTGTCATGATAACGCTCTCAAACCAGAGCGAAAAATCAAAGAAGTCGCCATATTCGGGCCCAAAATCGAGATCCTGGGCATAGGTCCCCTGGTAGTTGCGGCGAACGAGATCCATGGTGTCTGTGTTTTGGGGTAAGCAACCCCCCGAGGTCGGCAAGGCGCTGGCTGCTGCGAATGCAAGAGATCGACTAGAGCGCGCAAGATCCGACAGGCAGATCGTCGACCAATGCAAACGCAGTCTCCAGAACAAACTCAAAAAGCGAGATGACAAAGAAGGGAGAAAGAAAGAGAGTGCGTCAGGGGACCCGGACAGCGAAAAGGGAAAAGTAACTGCGGAGAGCCACCATGACATTCGGCTGCCCAGCCTATTCAGTCCGAACAAAAGGCCCTATTCCTTCCTGGATGGAGGAGGACCGCCAACAGAGACAAAGGGCTGGGCCGCTTTGCCCAATCACGCCGCGCGAGATCTCCGCTGCGACCACGGACCATGCTGCATCTGCAGGCTGTGGAGAAGCAAACCTGACCAACTGGTTCTTTTGCTACGGGGCCTGCCCAACACTAGGCGTGGTGGATGTAACTGTAAGAGCGAGCCTCGCGCCAACCAACTTGATGTGATGAAGAGGAGGAGCCTGGTTTCAGCCCACTGTCCGGAAATGCAGCCAGCGAACAATCTCAGCCTTGAGACGAAGCCCGTTTCTTAGTTCTCCACGATTTGATCCGTTTTCGTTTTTCCCAATCTGCCTACGATCACAAGTAAATAAAAAAAATGCAAGGTGAGATGGAGAACGGAAGAGGGGGCACACTAAAGCGCCACCGCACAAGCCCGAAACAGCCGCCACCTGTGCCAGGTGCGCCGGGTGCCAGGACTGGCGGGCGCTAACGACAAGCTACAGGCGGTGGGAGGCGCTACGCCCAGCAGATAGATTAGCGGGGGCGTCGTGCACCACGCACATTTCGGCCGACGCACATCGTGTTGGTGGCTTGTCTTATGGCGTAGCCTCTTTTTGTCGGCGTGGCCATGATCACACACGAAAAACTAGACGAAACGGGTTGGGACGTCCTAGCCAAGGAAATAACAAAGTACTTTGAACAAATAGCAAATCGACACACTCCCCGCTGCCCGCGCTGCAAGGACGCACGCCAATAGCCCGTGCCCCAGGTTTTGGGCGATTCAGTCAGTGGAACCAGCCCGCTGCTGTCTGCCTAGGCTCGGTTCGGGGATGTGTTGCCAAACAGGAAGGTCTAATTAAATTTCGGTCGACTTTGCAAAATCGGGGACCCTCGTCCAGGCGCTCAGGTCGCGTGTGGCCGTCCTCGGCTGAGGCGCCAACTGAACACAGCCCTGGCCGATCAAATTATTACCGCGACTACGGTCTATGTTTATGGATGGATGGATGGATAACACCGCGAATAAATTGAATGGCGAGTGATGGATATAATGCAATTGAATTTACAATGCTATACGCTGACTTCATGCGCCTCCTTTTGTAAGCTAGCTAGCAGTTGTTGGCCAAGCCGCTTTTCTCATTTCCCGCCCCAACTCCAAGTTAAAAATCATAGATAAGCCACCAAACTCCGTATGCAGCTAGACCTCTAGATAATGCAGATGCTAAAACTCCTCCTGTGTAAATGCAATTATGCGGTTCCTGCAATCGCCTCTCCGCCCTTGGGCTCGGAGGTATCCTGTAGCTCGCGCCATGTAGTCTTGTTAATCTTTTCGTCGCCGCCCTCGCTCTTGAAGTGGTATCCGCGAGCTCGGGGTCTCTCGCCAGTACCTTCAGGGAAAGATTTTTCATAGCTGGCCAGGAATTTCTCTTTTGCTTCCTCAAACGCCGCGGGGCCGTGCGCTAGAGTGTCGCGGATACCCTTGAAGAAGGCATCCATGACGGCATGGTTATGCACCTGCAGCAAGTTCCATCCCAGCATCTCTTTTGCGTTGAGGAGATGGTGCATGTAAGACCTATGGTGTTTTGTGCAGGCATAGCAGGTGCAGTGCTCTGACAGTGGTCCCATGCCAACAACGTGCTCTGGTGACCAGATATTGGTGCCCAGTGGTTGCGGCGAGGATGCCTCGGTGGGAGGAAACGTAAACGTCATGGCAACACCGGCGTCTGAGACGACATTGATAAATGGAAGCAGACAAATGTCAATACCAAGTGACACCTGCTTGAGGATTTCCTGAGGCGTCGCGGGCACGTCCATTGACAGCTTGGGTAACGATGTAAGAGCCGGGTAGTTGGTCAGCTCTGGCACCATGTTCAACCCGTAGATGGCCAGACCAGAAATGGAGTCAATAGAATCTGTGGAAAGGCTCTTGAGGTAGCTCCATTGGTATGGGTGCTCAACGGCGAGAACCGGCGCAAAGAGGAAGGATTCCTTGCCCGCCGCCATGGGCTTGGCCTGCAAGTTCTCCATGAGGACTTCTCCCCATTCCTCAGTTCTCTCCGTCATGCGAATGAGCTTTTTCGAGGGCGGCGTTTGGCTAGTGTGCAAAAGGTCTGCCATGGCAATGGCAATGTCGGGCTGCAGCGAGCGGATGGCATCAGCGTACTGCGGGACGCTGATTTTGTCGAAGCCTGTCGATGTGAAAATAGAAAGGATCTTCGAGGTGTTGCCTGCGGGTGTTACGACGGCAGGACATCTTCTAGCGGCGAGAATGGTGAGGAGGTCAGAAGGGAGAGCTGTGAAGCTGTGCAGCCGGCGTTTGGCGGAGTCTGGCGTCTTGTAGATGGGTGGGTTCTTCTTTTCTATGACTGCGTTTCGTTAGCTTCCGGCTCCTCTGATATTATTAGCCTGCACTTACAGTCCTCCAACGCGACATACGCCGCACTAGCTCGAGTATGGCGCTCCATCGTGTCTGGTGTAAGATGGGGTACGGCTCCTCTGCTGGAGATGGCTGTGTAGTTGGGCGTGTCCATGGCCTTGCGACCAGGAAGAGCAAGTTTGCCTATTCTCGCAGCACATCCTTCTGTAGCCGCACTGAGGACGGTGAATACTTTGGTTGATGCTGGCATCTCCGATGAAGCCTGCTGGGCAGAGTCACTCATTTTGGTGAGTCGTGATTCGGCGTTTTGAAGCCTTTTTTTGTTGCACCCAAGTATTCCGTCGGTATCCCAACACAACAAAGAATCAACCACCGCCTCTGCTTATCAATGAATTGAATAGGCGAGAATTGGCTGCGAATAACGAGACGTCGGATATCGGTTGACTTGTCGTGTAAAATTTCAAGACCATCTTGGGCATAGCGCCACACGTCAGTGCCTCGCTATCACGTGACTGTGTATGTCACTGAGCAGGACAGTCGCAGTCCGCCAACACGCATACATTACAGTATTAACCAATATGGAGTATATAATTATTTACTTACCATAGTCATGGCTTACATTTGAACTGCAATTCAAACCCAAACTACGTGTGCTGGCGTTGCCCTCCCTTCGAACTCATGCTGTCAAACAAGGCTGCCGGATAATAGACCAACAAATTGGTGGCGCTGGAATAAAGCACATTTCCAGTGACAAATGGAATCAAACAAATGAATGACTCTACTCTCAACCACCAATTCCCCCACAATACGATTCAATGGCCTTTATAAACTTTCTGTCGGCGTTCCCGTTGCTGCCGCAAACTCTGTATAGGGTAACCCCAAAGTTTACGCTTTTGGCAGAATGTCTTGGCTATTTATAGCACCCCCGTTAGTGAGCGAGACACTGTACCACGTCTTGTTGAACCCGCGAACCCTTGCACGAGTCTGCACCAGGTTCACGCCACCAAAAACAAAAAAATAAATAAATAGAAAAACGACATGCTACACTAAAAGATAAAGCATCACCAACTTCATCCATTGCTTTCACCCGTCTTTCGTATGCAAGGCGCCATTAGTGGGGACCATGCTCCGCTATACTTCGCAGTTGGCAGCGCTATCTGGCCACTAAGACTTCGCCGTTAGCGTGCTGGCCGTTTTCCTTTTTGTCTGGCCGCGCAGCCTTTCTTTTGCGGCGTTTCAACCTCCTCCTCCTTTTTTTCACACACGTACATTCACTCACTCTGTATTTTTATTACACAAGTATATACGGCTGTAATGAAGTCGACTTGAAAAAGACAGCACGGGAATGCTCGACGATGACGAAAGCCAGCCGCTCATGACTGACTCCCATAACACACCAGGCCCGTCGGCCTCCGACGCGGCAAATAAGAACGACATGACTTCCTCATCCTCCGAGACGGGACGCGCAGACGGCACAGAGTCGCCGCTGCGAGAGCCAATCGACACTTCGCTACCAACACCTCGATTTATCCGCGATCAGGACGGCCAAAACCCGCGCTGGAACTGGGTTCCGTATCCCATCCGCCGCACCGGAACCGCCATTGCAACATGGGCTCGCGGACCACAGCCCCCGCGACGATATCGAATTAAGCCGCTGTTCCCAAAGGTCCAGGAATTCCCATTACAACTGGTAGACCGCTTCCTCTCCAACACAAAGCACCGCTGGCTGCTCGTCTTTTTCTACCTGGCCCTCTGGGCCGTCACATTTGCCCTGGTGAAGCGACAGGGAACCATTGCCACGGATATTGCTGGATTCGGACAGCCTAAAGTAATTGGCTGCGGCAGCACATACTGGGCATCAGGAAATAGCTGTGGTCTGGACGGCACCGACTGCCGCCCGTTTGAAAGTGAAGGGTTTGCGTTCCGATGCCCAGCCAACTGCGCGAGCTACAAGGCGCTCAACCCGCGCGCCGTGGGCGACCAGGAAGTCGTCTATGCCCCCTTTATTATTGGCGGCCCAGCCAACGACTCGGCGCTCGATAGGCCCATCTACCGCGGCGACTCGTATCTCTGCGGCGCAGCCATCCACGCAGGCGTCGTGTCTAACCAAGACGGCGGGTGCGGTGTCGTGGGCCTCATTGGCTCCTACAAGGGCTTTGTAGCGTCGAAACGACACGGTATCTCGAGCTTTGGCTTCGACTCGTACTTCCCGCTCGCCTTTGAGTTCAACACAACAGTCAACTGCGACGCCCAGGACACACGGTGGTCGCTACTGGCCGTGTCTACAGTCTGGACCGGCATTCTCGCGCTCTTCACCTCATCTCCTGCGCTCTTCTTCTTCCCGACCTTTATCGGCATCTTTGTCACTACCGGCCTCGCTATGGACCCGCCGCCATTCAGCACGCTCGCCGCTCTCATTTCCGACCAAGTCGGCAAGATCCTCCCCGCGCTCTTCTGCGCATGGGTTATATACGATAAGATGGGCGTCCGGCGCACACTCAAGGGCCTCCGCGCACAAATAGAAAAGACGATCCTTTGGCTCGGCGCATGCTGGGTCGGCGCACTCACGAATTACACACTAGACTTTATCCCTATCCAGCGGCTTAACGGACACGACCTAGACCAGCAACCAGGCGCCAAGGCAGCACTGGCCGTCATTGTTATTATACTATTTGTCATTATCGTTTTCCAAGTCCATTATTTCCAGCGCGAAGGCCGCTTTTTGAAATACATTAAGCTCTACGCCCTTCTTCTGTTTGGCATCATCATCTGTCTCACGCTGCCGAGCCTCAACCTCCGCATCCACCACTACATCCTCGCACTGCTGCTGCTCCCCGGCACCAGTTTACAGACACGCCCGTCGCTGCTCTACCAGGGTCTTCTGGTCGGTCTCTTTATTAACGGCATCTCACGCTGGGGCTTCGACTCCATTCTGCAGACATCCGCAGAGCTCCAGGGCGACGCGCAAAAGGGCAGTCTGCTACCGCTTGTGCATCCGCCGCTCATCAACTGGAACAATGCAACGGTAAACGCAATGTCGAATATTACACTAGAATGGGATCTACCTCCCGCTGATGAAGACTATGACGGCGTGAGTGTATTGATCAACGATGTCGAGCGCTTCCGCGGCTACTTTAACGATGGCAAGGACGCCGCGCAGTCGTTTACATGGGTGCGCAACAGCACACTCAATCTTCCAGAGTACTTTCGTTTCGCCTACATGATGGGCGCATATGCTGGCGATTATACAAAAGCAGCGACGTGGACTGCCGACGGCGCATGGAAGGAAATGCAACCAGGACCATCTAAATAGACGCATCTACATGACTTTTTATTCTTTGTTGCCATTTATTTACGAGCTACAAGACGCATTATTTCATTGTTATTTATTACTAGATAATACAACCTACGTATGTTTCTTCTTTCTCCGATATAAAAAATCTCCCGAGTGTATAAAGTCACCCTCAAGCTATGGTGGGGCAGCACTACATTCAGATCGTAAATCTTCCCACACCCACCATCTTTCGCTCATCATCTTCAACGCTCTTCAATTCAAATCTCACAAAAAATGCCACCTAGAATACCAACAGCTGCCGACTTCTCGTCACTCTCCTCCTCCCTCCCACACACCATCCACTTCCCCTCGCCGCCAGAATCCACCACCGCCATCCTCCTCCTCTTCCACGGCCTCGGCGACTCCCACGCCCCGTTCGCCTCATTCGCTCGCGCTGTCAATCTTCCCGGCGTTCTCGCCATCTCTATCCGTGGTACATCACCACTCCCTGCAGCTTTAGGCGCTGACGGCACCCACTGGGGAGACGATCTTTCGCTGGACAGCACAACGGGCGACATGGATGCGGACCCGGGCTTCAAGAAGGCTACCAAGGCCATCATGGACAAGCTTGTTATCGGCGTCTTGGTAGACAAGTGCGGCTGGGAAGTAGACGATGTCATGTGTTTTGGCTTTGGTCAGGGCGGGTCGCTAGCGCTAGGAATCGCTGCGGATATCGCTGGTACGAGGGTCACGGAGGCATCAAGGCCAAGACAGAATCGATTAAAGGGCGTAGTGTCGATAGGAGGGCCACTACCGCCGTCGATGGTATCGACTATTAGCGGGAGAGAAAAAAGCAAGACGCCAGTATGTCTGGTGCAGGTGGACGATGGCGATGCAGACTATGCAAAGAGGGAGTTTGCGGATGTTAAGAGCGTCAAGTGGAAACGAAGTGAGGTAGATATGCCACGGAACAGGGACGAGATGTTTCCTATTATGAAGTTTTTCGCAGATTGTTTAGCCACGCATTAGAAACCAAAAAGTACAATGCATGATTCTCATTATTCATTACTATATATCTCGACTATGATTATACATTTCGGCAGCCCTGTTGGAGCGTGTCTGCTAGCATATCCCATTTGAGTCCTTCTTGCTCGTTGCTGCTTGCCCGTGCGGCGCTACGGAGCCCATCTGTGATGGATTGTAAATGTGTCTTAAAATCCGCGCGGATAGCCGTCACACTTCCGGTGATGTGACCAGTATCGGTCATTGTCTCGTCCAGCTGGATGGCAAGATCAAGCATGGCTAGCATCTCTACATGGATCGGCTCTAACTTCGGACCAAGACAGGCCTGGCTGGCCGCAAGATGCACACAAGACTCGTGGGTGGACGCCATAGTGTCTACATCCGTGAGCTTGTCGAGGAGCTGCTTGATGCGAAAGGTTGTTGGCGCAAGCACGACTGTGCAGAGGTATGTTTGCAGAGTGTTGCAGAACCAAAGAAGGCTTTGTCGTGCCGAGTAAAAAGCGACAATGGCCTCGCTGGCGTCATCTTTTGTGTCTAGAAGCTTGAGTTTCAGGAGCGAGAAGAGTGCCCGCTTGATTTGGCCAAGGAATGTGAAGATGGAGCGGTATGATGCGATGCTAGTGTCCGAGACGATCATCTGGATAGACCAAGGGAGTCTGTACTCCACTTTGAGATGAGGCAAAGTGTTGCGTACAGATGCCCGAGCTTGTGCGTGCGACAATTGGCGGCCGCGAGCGTCCATGGTGATGGCAAGTCGTGTTGTGTCGAGGGTCTCAGCAAACGCTTCTTGACCAAGGCCTGTTAGCTCGTACGGATCGTGCCACCTAGGCGCATTGTTGTCTATACGCTCGAAAAATCGATCCAAGAAAAAGTTGGAAGCGGCGCCATCCGACATGAAATAGATTTGGTAAAGGGCGTTGAGGGTTGCATAGAGCTCGCACTGGGAGGCTAGCAGATCCTTGAGGACGACCGAGGTGGCGCCATGCTTGCTGTCGATCCATTTCTCAAATGCCAGAGCAAAGAGTTCCGAAAAAGGTGCAAGCTCGAGCTCTGGAGGACACACTGCCTCGTAGTCAAGTGATGGTTCTGGTCTGCGGAGCGTCTCAGCAAATTCAGCATGGCCGAGCAGACGCAGAACAATGACACTTTTACCAGCGTTGCAGATTTTCCTGGCAGGCGTCTCTAAGAAACTAGGCGCATCAAGGGCACCAGTCTCCAGATAGCTAAGGAGATACTTGCTGTGCCAGACATTGCTCGATGCCGTAGCCTTGGAATTCTCGTAGATGAAAAAGTGTTCGTTGCCCGTCAAGAGTTTACCTTGGTCCATCCAGTACCGAATGGGCTGGATGTAGACGCGAAAACAATTTAGAAAGAGTCGGGCCAGAAATTGATACGTCTCGGGGTCACCTGTCATTTGTGCGCTGTTGGCTTCAGCGTACAAGTGCTCGAGGAAGCTGAATTGGGTTGAGCCAGGTGTCTGGGCTTTTGCGATAATGTCCGCGAGGCAGAATGAAGAATCCAGCCACGGCGAGAGTTCGTCTTTGAGCGCCACAAGACTGACGACCTCTTGCTTTTTGGGGGCTGCTAATCGCATTTGCACATCGGAGAGGCGGCTATCAAGCCCGGCAAGCTGGTCGTCTACGGCATCTTGGAAGGCTTGAATATGAGGTGTCGTGTGTGACTGTTCCGCAAACTCGCGAAGCACTTCCAGGTAACCACCACAGGCAGCAAAGCTCTCAATTAGTGATTTGTGTGTCTCCCACGCGACTTGGCCCATTTGGAACGAGGGAAGCGGTGCGCCATTCTCGTCAAACAAGCTCGTCTTTAGGCCCTGCAGCAAAAAGACGACCTCTCGCAGTATTTGGATTTCCGACACTGGTACCTTTCGCAGCTGGCCATCGGCATCTGGAACAGGTCGAGCTTGTCTCCAAGCCTGCGATTGGCGAACAGCCTCTAGTGTTACAGCGCCTGGCGCTTCAATGATAAGTCGTTCTGGCTGTCTGCTAATCTCGTCATCGTCGTCTAGATCCGAGGTAGGCTGGGTATCAGGGACAGATTTGGCGTCCACCATGTCCTCGTCAGAATAATCGCTGTATTCAAACGGTTTCCAGAGGTCTCCATCTTGGTCCCAGCCTTCCTCTTGCGCAATGTCCTCCCATTTGAGAACTAGCGCGGCAGCTCCGCCAGGGTGATGCAGGTTGTTGAGATCGTTCAGATCGGTCTTGAATGTCGGCTGATCAGACAGCTCTAGAAAGAGCTGAAGTATTTCGGGATGCCATTTTTCGGGATTTTGGTTCAAGGCATGGAGTCTGGTCTCGAGAGCATCGGCTAGCTCGTCGCGATGATTGATACGGAAGCGTTCTTGGAGGCCGTTGAGCGCTGTTTCCACGTCAAATTGGTTCGTACGCAAGAAAGTATGCGATTTGAGAGCCTGAAGCGCCGAGTTTATGTTTCGTCGAAACGTTCTAGAGCCATCCTGCCACAGTTTGTTAGCTCCTTGTGAGTTTGTGGTGTAGCTATATATGTATCGTACTTGTCGAGATGTGCCTGTAACGGCTTCAACGAGGCTGGCAGTGAGCTGCTCTAATTCTGCAGCAAATGCCATGGCCAAACACTGCCATGATGCTGCTATCGCCACGCAAAACTTTCTTCAGCTGCAGCAAAACAGGCGTTATGCAGGCGTTGTTGATGTTGATCAAAGGCGGCGTGTGCCATTGGAGGGGCAGCTGCCCGCACAATCGCGTAAAGCCGCTGTCGCGTCAGGGGGGCCCACTTGCATCGGGCCTGTAGAGTGCACTGTAACTTTAAGCCCCTTTCTGCTAAGCTGGTTCCGGCTGGGTTAAAAAGTCACAAGCTGGTCTTTTCCTTATTTTCTACAACGACAACCGCTCTTCGGAGGCACGACAGGCGAATTCATCACACCGCATCGATTTGATTTACCGCAAACAAACAACTTGCTACACTAGCACCTGTCCCGAATTCGTCACACCCTTCCCGGCGCAACCATGGCGATTGCGCGTCCAGTCAGGACGCTAGGCCTGCTGGCTGTCCTCCTGTGGTGCTTCTTCCTCTACCAGATGTTCAAGCCGTCAACGTCGGTATTTACGCCCGGCGCACGATACATGAACTTTGAGAGAGATCCTATGCTGGATCGTAAGTGCTTTTGTCTAAAGAGAAACGATTACCACGGCGCATTGCATTGCTAACCCCACGCCTCCAGCAACCGGCGAACCCGACGGCATTCTCGTGCGAACATCGGAAAAGTACGCCCCTGATGCCGAGGACTCTGACCGAGTAGCTGCGACGCTCTTGGCGCTTGTGCGAAACGAAGAAGTCGACGACATGGTTGCCTCGATGGTCGATCTCGAGCGCACATGGAACCACAAGTTCAACTACCCCTGGACCTTCTTCAACGACAAGCCCTTTTCGGCCGAATTCAAAAAAAAGACACAGGCAGCCACCAATGCCAAGTGCATCTATGGTGTGTAGAACACTTTGTAGTATTCACTGTCTGGAGCTATACTAACAACTCTAACAGAGGTCATCAGCGACGAATTCTGGCAACCCCCCTCATGGATCGACCAAGACAAGTTCGACGCATCGGCCGCCAAGCTCGAGAAGCAGGGTGTGCAATACGCCAAGATGATGTCATACCATCAAATGTGTCGCTGGAACAGCGGCATGTTCTATAAGCAGCCCGCGCTCAAGGACATGCGTTACTACTGGCGCGTCGAGCCCAAGGTGCACTTCTTCTGCGACGTCGACTACGACGTCTTCCGCTACATGCAGGACAACAACAAGACGTACGGCTTCACCATCAACCTGTACGACGACCCCAAGACGCTACCTACGCTGTGGCCCGAGACACAAAAGTTTCTGGCCAAGCACCCCACGTATCTCCACGAGCAGAGCGCGCACAAGTGGGTGACAGACGACATCAAGCGCCCGGAGCACAACCTCGCCGCGCAGGGCTTCTCGACCTGCCACTTCTGGAGCAACTTCGAGGTGGCCGACATGGAGTTCTGGCGCAGCAAGGTCTACGAAGACTACTTTGAACACCTCGACAAGGCTGGCGGCTTCTTCTACGAACGATGGGGCGACGCCCCTGTACACAGTATCGCCCTTGGTCTCTTTGAAGACAAGAGCAAGATCCACTGGTTCCGCGATATCGGGTACCAGCACATCCCCTTCTTCAACTGCCCCAACTCGCCCAAGTGCAAGGGCTGCGTGACCGGCCGCTTGACGGATGGCGAGGCTTTCCTCCATCGCGAGGACTGCCGGCCCAACTGGTTCAAGTACGCTGGCCAGGGTTAAACTGACGACCGTTACAATGTGTTTGAATTAGGCGGCGAACCAAAAACGAAAGGGGCAGTTGGCTATTACTACTCGATACAGGTGCATTTTTGTATTACGGTGTTGGAGGCGTTGCTCTTTTTTCTTTCCTCTGGGTAGCTCATCTGTATTTTTACTCTCCTCTACAGCTAGGCAGTGCTGCAGCAGCAGCTGCCGCGCTGCATCCCCTCTATTTGGGTTGTACATGACGCACGCTACGAATATGATAATTAATTGGATATATATATATTATACCATACAAATACTTCTTGTCTATCTTTGCGTTCGTGACTCTATGTATCAAAGACTGTGACTACTCCAGAAGTACCAGCTACACAAAACTGGTCTCCCCAACCGCCATCTCGCCATGCCATGCAACTCATCACATTATTCCGTATCTTTTCCTTGCCGTCCTTTCCAATCACCTTTTTCTTGCTCTCGTAGCCGGCCGGGCCCCATGGGATAGTAATTGTCGCCGCCAGCTTCCCTGAGAGAACATCCCACGCGAGCACACGACCTTCTCGACCACCCAGCCCAGCAGTCATTTCGTCTCCAACAATAACGTATTTTTCACGCTTTGCAAGGAGGGATTGAACACGCAGCTCTTCGTTGCGCCATGTCGGATCGTCATACGCCTTCAGACAGGTGCCGTTCTTACGGTCCATGAGACGTAGCTTGCTGTCCAGGGTGCCTACCAAGAGTGCATTGCCATCTTTCGTGATATCCAGACTCGTCACGCTTGCACCAATCACGTCTGCGGTACATGTGCCCATGCGGATGTCGTAGCTGCGCACTCGGCCGTCGACACTACCCGTAATGACTTCTGGTCCGCGCACGACAATGCTAGTGATGGCGTCCCGCGCATTATCTAACACTTGGATAGGTTTGACACTGTTGCTCTTGACGTCCCAAATGCGTGCTGTTGTGTCAAAGCTTCCACTGACAATGAGCGAGTCACCGGCGCCGGCAAACGAGACGCAGTTGATTTGGCCCGTGTGGCCGTGGATATTGCCGCCGAAACGCCGTGTCGTTACGCCGGTAGAGACATCCCAGAGAAAGACGGCGCGGTCGCCGCCAGAGGAAACGAAGGATTCATTGCCAGATGACACGGCGATGCTGAGGACCTCGTAGCCGTGCGCAGAGTATGTTTGGATAAGACGACCTTCGAGCACATCGGTACCGTTGTGGGACCGGCTAGATGAGGCTGGCGACGGGTTGTAGAGGCGGATAGAGCGGTCAGAGGAGCCGGCGAGGATATATGTTCCTGGTGACGAGGAATATGCTAGCGCGTGGACAGGGCCATTGGACCCGAGGAGATATGCGGATGGCTTTGTGGGAAATGCCATGTTTGTAGATTTGGGTTCATGACATGGTGGGGTGTTTGATTGACCGGCTTTTGAGGCGCTTTGCGCGGTTTTGTGGCGATGATGGTATGTGACGGATAGTGAAAGTTGGTGATGGAGGCAGAAATGGGCCATGTTGGATGGATCACGTGTGGGGACAACAACGGTAATCCCTCCGCCTGTCACCCGTGCAATTAAGACAAAATAATAGTAGAAATATTTTTGTTGTATAAAAACATTAAACAAATTTACAACTGAGGAACGGGTTGATTTGTTCGTGACTGTCGTCTTTCTCATTCTGTCTATCTACACAATGCGCCAGCTGGCATAAACGTTAAGGTATGTAACTTTTTCCCATTTTTGGGCGGCTTAGAATCGGTTGGGACCAATGTCGGGCTTGTTGCCCAAAATCTCATCAATCTCCTTCTTGATCTCGTCAGTGATCTTGGGCATCAGCTCAAGCGCATCCATAGACTTGTGCACCTGCTCGACCTTGGAGGCACCAGTGATAGCACTGCTAACATTGGGGTTGGAGATGACCCAGGCCAGAGCCAGGGTAGCCAGCTCGGTGTTGAGCTTCTTGGCCACGGGCTCGAGCGACTTGGTCTGCTCAATCCACTTGAGCCAGTTGGGGTCCTTGTCCTTGTAGTTCTGGGCCTGGCGGGCGCTGAAGGGGTCCTTGGCAGTAGCGTATCGCGAGTCGTCGGGGATCTCGCTGTTGTACTTGCCCGTGAGGATGCCCGTCTTGAGGGGGCTGAAGATGGTCAGACCAAGACCGTACTGCGAGTAGAGCATGTGGAACTCCTTCTCGACCTTGTCGCGGGCAAGCAAGTTGTACTGGGGCTGCTCCATGAGGGGACCAACGAGGCCAAGACGGTCAGCGATCTGGTGCGCAATGGCGATCTCGGCGGCGCTCCACTCCGAGGTTCCCCAGTAGAAGGTCTTGCCGGTGTCGATGAGGTAGTTCATGGCGCGGACGGTCTCCTCGATGGGCGTGTCGCGGTCGGGGCGGTGGCAGTAGAGAAGGTCGACATAGTCGAGCTGGAGGCGCTCAAGGGCGGCGTTGGTGCCTTCGACGAGATGCTTGCGCGAGAGACCAGAGTTGTTGACGGGGCGGTCGCCAAAGGCACTGCCCCAGTAGATCTTGGTGGACACGACAATGTCGTTGCGCTTGAAGCCGTACTTCTTGATGGCCTTGCCCATGGAGATCTCGGACTTGCCGTCGGCGTAAACCTCGGCGCAGTCGAAGAAGTTGACGCCGTGGTCGTAGGCGGCCTTGATGCACTCGTTGGCGATGTCATCGCCGACCTGACCTCCGTATGTGACCCTGTATGCGCGAGTCGAGGTTAGAAGGAACAGGAGAGAAATAATTGAAAGGAACGACTTACCATCCACCGAGGGAAATAACAGAGACCTTGAGACCAGAGCGGCCAAGGTTGCGGTAGATCATCTTGGAAGCAGGGTCGGAAGCAGCAGCGGCAGCCATTGTGAAGAAGCGGTGTGGTGTTAAAGGCTAAAGGATGGAATTGGTGTATGTAGGACAACAGTAGAGCAGGTTGCAACAAAAGCAGAGACGGCCAATTTATATAGAACAGGACATCACGGTCGCTTTATAAGCAATGTTCGGCTTTTGTTGGCTCCGTCTACGTAATTACGGTGCCTTGTTCCCCGCTAGTGAGGGGTAGGTGGCTCTCGCTAGCGTGAACAACCCCAACCAACAATCAGCCTCAATCACGCTAGAGATAGTTAATATGAGTATGAGTATGAGTATGAGTATGAATATAAATATGAATATTGTAAAATGTTAAAAGATATTCAAACTATGTTGTTTTCGATGGAATAATCAAGTAATAATATATGTGGTTATAGAGAATATATTAACTTAAAACGTACAAGTAATACTGCGATGAATAATAATTAGCCGACTTATATCGCCCGTTTCAGGCGGGCCCAGTAGCGCAGATCCCCGACTCAAGTACTATTATGCTGTTGTATGGTGGGCTTTGGAATGACGGTTGCACCTTTCCTCTCAAGACATTTTCTCTATGCTCAAGCTAATCATGTCTATGATCCATTACGTCAAACAAGTCTCCTATGGGTGTGGTGATGAACTTGCTCTGCACATCCACTGGAATGGAAACCAGAGCGGCCGCTTTTCTTGACCAAGACCCTGTCCCGGACGCTAGAGGAAACATTATTATGAAAAGCGATACGGATACTTGTTCCCGTGACGATGAGCATATAGTGGATCATGCCCGTGATGATGCCCTCAACGCTATTGATAGAGGTGGGGAGACGACACCCACGAAACAGACCATTCTCCTGATCTCTCCAGTTCAGACCGTTATACACAGGTAAAGGCGTAAGTTTCTGAAACAGTATAATATAATATAATGCAATAAAATTTAAAATATCTTAAAAGATATAGCTAGGTAATAATAAAATATAGAGTATGTTGATTCTCTCGCTAGTAGCCTAGCAGAATCCAGCATACTGGCAGTGTCGGCAGTAACCCCAGTATCCAGCACCGTAGTAGTTTCCCCAAAATGGATCATAGCAGCTGTATGGGCCAACCCATGGATTGGAGAAGTAGTCGCCGCAGCAGTCATACTCCCAGCATCTGCTAAAGCCCATCTCTGCAGTAGCGCCATCCTGGGCACTGGCAGACTTGGTGGTGTCCTCTGCAGGGAGCGCCATAGCAAGGGGCAAGGCCACAGCCAAGTAGTTTTGCAGGAGCATTTTGAAAGTGGTAGTGTTATAGAATTGTTTATAAAATGAAGTTATGGATGTGCTTGTGGGTGATGAAAAGCATTCTGTCAAGGAGATAAACGTGACATTTATACCCATGAGTTCTGCTATCCAACAGGGTATACTTCGCGCAACTTTCTCATGTAAGACAGGATGGATCAGAGTTTACCGTCTTCAACGTCATAGCCGCCGCGGTTGAGTTTCTACCCGTTAAACCCAGAGCTTAATTACCGTTGAGGATGTCACTGAACTCTATCATTTCTCGCGCACAGTAGAAATTAATAAACCTTACACTTCATCATAAACAAGCTTGGGCTAATCTCTTCGATAATTACCAGTGACATAAACCGTTGAAATCAACGGTACAGCTTGGAGCGTTGAGGCATTCATTGAGACAGTGTGTCTTTTGACCATGATCTCGAGGGCACAGCTGTCTCTGTCATCAGCCAATAATACACAGCAAGTATGATTGGAACCAGTGTAGGGTTGATTCACAATCGTCGGTTTAGCTTCCACTAAAAAATGCAATAACCCCGCACTGTTAAACCTGGAAGATGGAGTAGCCATTCCGTGAAGTTAAAAAGTTGGGGAGGTCTGGATTCCAAGGCAGAGCATTCCTGCCGTCGTATTACCGACTTAAACACGGCCCATCGCAAGGTTCTAGCCAATTACTTTGCTCCGATGAGCCGGGTTTATGCTTTGGTCCAAAAAAATTGGGCACCGTCTTAAATTGCCACCCGGAAGACGAGCCGCTTTGAAAATTAGACGCCGTCAGCCAGGACCGGAACGTGCCTCGTTTCCTTTGCCTATCCACTAATGCCACTAGTGGATGAGGTGAAGCTCAAGAAGCTATAATATGGAGACAGACGCAAATACTGACACTCCCATTTGGTCGCAGAGCACACCAAATTAGTCATGTAAAAACAGGATTCAAGCCGTCCGACGCATATGTGCCTGGGTACCTGCTGGAAAATCTCCCATTGGTCCTGTAGGCCTTGCCATCTTTCTGAGGTATGCCTGGAAGAAAACGGGAGTCTTTTTGCCTCGTTGGTTTCGCGTCCGCAGTATCTCATGTGTTTTTCCGCTTGTGTGCCTCTGGAAAATATTTCAATACCCCCATCTGCTGTAGCGAGTCTCGAGTATAAATTGTTTACGCCAATAAAACGCATATGCTTATATGCTCTACACTATTTAAACCTTCAATTCATAAGCATCTATAGGCATTAATACTGTAGCTTTTGCCATGTGTCAAAGCCATCACTGCCTCCACAAACTTTCATATGTTTTATCCAGCGCCCGAACACTGCCCGTGGAATTACAAGACCTTCTCCATGCGCCGGATGCTTTTCAGGCAACAACCTAGAGTGACTCATCCACTCATTAGCAGTATCCATAATAGGTAGAAATATTGTTCTATGCAGTACTGACGCCCATGCTGCAGGTTGTCCTTGTTGCTCGTTTCGCGTTGAATTATACTTCGACATATATGCTAGAGCGTGTAGGTCTGGATTTATGTCCCGCTCAGCTGGACTACCCAGAGCCACAGAAAGCCAGAGCACCATAAATCTCAAGATTGAAAATACTTCCTCGACCGGAAATGACGTGAAAATTGTCCCACGTGCGCATATTTCATCTATGTTTTGTATATGCATGTCGGTACTTGCTAACACGGAGCTCATTTGTTTAGCCTCGTAGATCCTGTACCACTCATAAAATGGATTAAGGGTTTTTAGTTTGTCAAGAAGCCCTCTTTGTTCTTCTCGTCGCTGTATAGCACTGTTTATGAAGTTATCTGCTTCTAAAACAAGCTTAAACACGAAGCCAGTGTATAGCAAACACACAATGGTTACTGCTAGTTCTGTTGAGATTGACGCGATATTGTGAAGAACTTTTTGCCATTTATACTCGATTAAAAAGCAATGCTCGTGGGAATAGAAGGCACTGAATATCTAATATAAGGTTAGCTACTAGTAGAGAAGTGGGAGGGTAGCTTCTAGTAGGCCCTACTATGAACTCAACGTGATAATGCAAGAGGTGTAGCTCCATTCTCGATGTAAACCGTTGTGGCGCGCGATGTTGTATAATTTGTTGTATACCAGATAGATAGCCCCTACGGTAGGTGTTTGACGAAGGATTTATAAAAAACTGTATGATAATGTTAGCCCTAGTATTAAAAAGCCGTAGGCTCTCGAGATTGATGAGGTGCTCACTTCTTGAGAACCAAGTAGAACCATGGCGCATAGAGTCTCAGCAGAGAAAGAGTCTTCTGGATCGTATAAAGCCTTTTGTAACTTCAATACTGCTTGACTGTGTAATGCAAGAGCCTTTCTCCGATCGAGGATATTAATATTTGTACCCTCTGGTATGCTGTGCATCGAATAATACAGAAACACAGATGAGGCAAGGCTATGTATCGCTGAGTCCAACGCTGAGTGATGACCGGCCCGACTTGGTAGAAATGGTAGATAGAGAGCCATACTGTTGCGTACAGTAATTCCCAAGGAGCCTTTAGCCGGAATCTTAGTTTGAAGTTTGAAAACCTCTGGCATGATGTGCAGTAGCGTATGGACGTCTGCGAGCCGTTTCCCTTCAACTTCCGTTAGATATACTTGTTGGTCTTGAATGCGAATTTTAGCAAGCGACTGCTCGAGTTCAAGCTTCGAGAATGCGCATCGCATCCCCACTGCTGCACATCGCTTGCAAGCTGGCCTAGTCTCATCGCATTTCACGCGGCGCCGCCTAGAGACTCTCAGCACACACCTCTTACGTACAGAATTATAAATGCTACTTACCGACACATGAGACAGCCAAGGATCGCCTTTGGACTCCATCTCCTCAAGCGCCGACCTGAAGCTGTTTTGGTAGCCATAGTTACAAACGTGTCAACGCGTGTAACAACTCTTGGAACTGACAATCCCAGTAATCGTGGGTTAGCTCTTTCCGTCTTTAGCATCTGTGACGCTAGCTGTACTCCTACAGAATCATCCTTAAATTGTTCCCTCAAGTGCGCAGGCTGAATTTCAGGTGACTCATGGAATGGTGTTTTATGGCCCCCCGTATCGTTGTATTTGATATCGTTCTGGAGTAGCGATTGTTCCATTGAGTTGCTTTCCTGTTGATCTTGTCGATCGTAGTCTCTTGGAAGCATCATAAATGAAGCATCTATCAAATGATCACCAATATGCTTGCTCCAGGCATCAAATCCATCATAACTCTCTTGATTTAACAAGTGAGTTTCGATATCTTTCGAGGAACAGGCGCAAAACGGGCAGGAAGCTAAAGCTAGCTGCTGAGGTAATACGCTATACTTGCTAATAGTAGCACGAACCGATTCTGTAGTCCTGTCTGAATGGTGGTTCTCTAAGTGATCTTCCAAGCCTATAGATGTTGAGAATCTCTTCAAGGAAGGGCCAGATTGACAAAACCAGCAATACCACTCGGTTTTCATGTGCTTTATTTTCATATGCTGTAACCATGACTCATATGATATACTGTAGGTCGCGGGCATTTTACACGAATCAAAAACACAGAAGTATGGTTCAAGGTCGTGGATCAAATGCTTCTTCCACGATTCGGTGGTTTTAATGTCTGTTGCCGAGCAGCTTATGAAGCAGAATGGACAGGTGAAACGGGTACCGTCGAACTGAAGTTTCGGCATGGGTGGAAGAAGGCTGGCAGAAATATCTCTTGACGTCTCTGACTTCGTATTGTTCAGCTCTTCGCGTTTTATATCTGTGGATGGAGATAAACCTGAAGTATCCGTTGTGGTTTCCAACAGTGATGGGAGCTTCTTCAATGTCAAAGGCTGTTTGGCGCCCAAAATTAATGCTAGAGTGCGCTTGGCAGATGTATACTCGTCAACAGTATCGGTGAGGTGTCTCTTAGGTTGACGACGGCCTAAATCCAACAGCCAAACTCTCCTTGTTGCGATAGACTCCGCAATTCGGTCTCGGAGATGAAGTGATGCTTTCGTAAATATGTTGGAAACTAGTTCAAAAGCTCGCTCTTTAGAAACCATATACATCCTCCGATACTGACTATTTGCAATCAGCTGACCAAGGCGAGCCTGTCTATATTTCGCGTTCTCGAGGTGTAAGATAATATCGAGTTGTCGTAAACTTGTGATTTTGGATTGAATAGAAGTCCAGAAGTGATTCTGGGAAATCGGTATATCTTTCTGGGGGCCCTTGAATAGTCGATATGACGTTGAAGATCGATCCGAAGAACCATCACTTCCACTCTCTATTTTTTGCTCTTCGTTTGTCTTCGAAATCTCCGATTCTAAGAAATCGTATTAGTAAGTTGTATATATAATGTTGAATCTGTGAACTCTTCCTTAGAACTTGCCAAGATTATTTCGGAGACTGAGTAACAAGTTTTGAATCTTCGTGCTAATATCGGGCATGAATCGCAGTTTACTCGTAAGGGAACCACTCGCTTCTCGAAAAACCCCCGATGAATCTATCCAAATATTGAAGCATATCATATTATTTTTTGCTTCTGATCCCAAGCCACAAGGTTCTCCATCTAAGCTGCATAGTGTTTGAAGGCAACTGCTACATTCGTGAGCGACCGTGATGATATCGGCTAGCACAGATTTCTCAACGTGGACGTCTTTACTAGCGTCGCCTACTGTATTTCCTAGATTAAAGTTATCAACGTTAAACTTGGCCATGATTTAATGAAGTTGAGCTTTTGGGAACGAATTTTGCAGTATTACAATGCTTGCTCACACTTCTCAGCTAACCCCGCACGAGCAAGGCGGTAAATAACGAATGACCAAGCATTGGTAGCCTCGCAACCTAAGCCTCCTCACCAAAATCTATGCCTTATGCGGAATCCACACATGTGTCTCCTTGATAACTATTTGCGACGAACGTCGGGCAAAAATGGTTCTACCCTCCAGTTTTCTCAGCTGGCTCAGTCAAGATGCAACGCCAGCACCAAACACAGCGTACTTGCTTAATCTTCTGGTCCATGTTCTACCGACATTTGCTGCTGTAGCAATGCTATCCCAGGATGCTGAATGCCACAACTCGAGTGGTAGAATTGGAGATAATATTTTGAACCGTCGTGAATTTAATCAGGAGTTTCATATCAAAACTGTCGCCCTACATGCAATTCTTACGAACATTGACCTCAATTCAATAAATGCAACTGCCGATTTGGATTCAGCTCTATTACAGGTTCTCGATATTCTGGAAAATTCATTCGTTTCATGGACTGGCAATGCTAAAAAGATAGCTGATGATCTCGGCCTTCAAAGGCAAAAGAATGTCGTATATCCGAAACTCTGTGCTCTACGAGAGCTGCTACCTGACTACAAATCACCTGCTTCATTTAACATCTTAAACTCTCTCACACAAATTACACGCACTTATAGCAATAGTGTCTCAAAGCGTGAAAAGATACTTAACACCTTCGACGGTGCGTTCGCTACAGCTCAATCACTGCTACCCAACATCGAATCCAGGGTGGATTGCCCGTTGTTGTTACTAGACTACCCTGCCAAGGGCCAACACGAGTGTTCTGAAACGCTCTTCACAGTACTGAGGAAGCGTTGGATATGTGAATGCAACAGTTTACTACACCTTGGCCGACCTATGAAGCTCAACCTGACACAGCACCAACGCTTCGAAATGGAAAGAGTAAGCGGGTGTGAAGATGTTGGCAATCAGGCGCAATTCCGCCTTCTATTTCCAACCAGTGCTGGGTCTTTGCGTTGGCAGCACGCAGATATTGCTGTTAAGATGACCGGGTAAGAATTCCATATCTGTATTCTATCTTTGATTCCTAACAAAAAACCGAAACCAGTCCTATCAATACTGAGGTCGAAATTCGTGGGAATCTATGTCGCATAATAGACGAAGCCAAGCCATGCATTATCCCAAAAATGTGTATATTCCAGGAGAAACTTTGGAAAGACCGATATGAACGAGCAGGCGATTCCCTTCTCAAAATACCTAACGGGGAGTTCGAAACCCTGGAGCAATTACTCGAACCAGGTCCTGGAAGAAGCCTCTCACAAATAGCAGCAATCGATATGAAAGAGCGTCTCAGGCTTTCATTTATCTTAGTGACGTCATTCTTTCACATCTTCGGCATCAATCATTTGTGGATGAAAGGACCTCTCACGAGCAATAACATATGTTTCCGGACATGTATACAAGACTTCAGTATCATGAAGCCATATTTGGATGTATTGTTTGTGGAACAGACTCCTAAAAATAACGTCCAAAGATTGGATGATATTCATTGGATTCCTAACCTTCTCGCTTTGGGCATTTTATTGCTTGAAATATGTCGTGGTAGTAGATTGGAGATTTTTCCTGGAGACGATCTATGCTTTACTGCTATGGAAGTGTTTGAAAAGTGGCGTACCGTTAAAGGAAAGTACTGCTCAACTGAAATACCACAGGCTTGCTTTGCAGCTATTCTCGCTTGCATCAACCCAGATGAACTTCGAAGAGGCAATCTACATAAAAATACAACTGGAGACGCCGAAATCCGCAACTATATTTTCAGACGGGTTCTATACCCTCTGGGCGATACGCTCTCCAGCATATACAAGATTTCATTGCATCAACTTCATGAAGATATATCTGAAGCATTTGACTCTAGCGGGCACGGCACTGGCATGCCAGATTCTGGAAAACGCATGGCAGGCAGGATATGGAGACGCAATCTCAAGACCCTCCATAACATTTTCTATCATCGCCGTTTCAAGTCTCATCTACATATTCATCCACGATCGGCATCGGTCAAAATTGCTGTTCTTGACACCGGTTTTCAAGTCAATGAAGCATTGCTAGCAAACCTCATAGACGCAGGGCGCATCGCAAGTGCAGAATGTAAACGGTTTTGTCGCCCAGAGCACGATTTGGAAACCTGGAACATCGATGTAGATGGCCACGGGACATATGTTGGTCAAATAGTTCTCGATGTTGCCCCTACTGCTCAATTATACGTGGCAAAGGTGCTCCAGAGGCGTGAAGATCTTTCTTCTCAAAAGCTGACAACTATCGTTCAACAAAACATCGCTGATGTAAGTGTGATCAGGAGAGTATCTGTGACGCAAAACGATTTGCTAACACCGTCAAGGCAATAATATTTGCAACCGAAACTTGGAATGTCGATATAATCGTTATGAGCTTTGGCTTCGAAAGAAAGGTCCGCGTCATCAGCAATGCTATTAGACATGTACGGAAATCAGAGAAGCCGCCGTTGATATTTGCTGCGACGAGAAATGACGGAGCAAACAAAGGCATCGCGTGGCCAGCATCAGACATGGAAGTTTTTGGTGTTAATTCGACGGATGGCCTGGGCTCACCATCGCCATTCAACCCAGCAGATGAAGGCTCAGATACAATTGTCTATGCGTTTGGCGAGGGTATCAGTGTTGAACCTCCAGCCGGGAATCCAAACCTAGCGGCAAACAAAGAGATCTCGGGGACGTCGTTTGCAACTGCTACAGCTGCTGCTCTTGTAGCAAATCTCCTTGGATTTGTACGTCTTGCGTTGCCCGCATGTTCCCCAGAGGATCGTGAAATCTATTCGAACATACCCAATGACCTAATGGGAATGAGCGACATGTTGAAGGTTATGAAGAAATGTATGATGAGAGAACATCAAAGTGGTCAAAGCAGCTTGTTGCCATGGGACTTTTTAAATACGACCGGAATAGAGGGAAATACCATTTTGAAGAAGATTTACGAAACGATAGAGACATAAATAAGCGAAAGATATTTTACATATCACACAACACACCCCGCCTGAATTTCCATTGGTAAAACACTTTTAAGACTTGCAAGTTTTTCATTCATGTGAGAACAAGATAGTTGAGTTATAGAACCCATTGTTGTTCTGTATACCAATGTACGATAACTTAGAATATATAAGAAAGCGACATCAAGCACTTCTGCATAATATTATTGCATATATAATACTTTTATTAGATAGAATGAAGCATGGATGTATCATAAATGCCAGGTAATTGCGATATGCGACATGAATATTGGTACAAACGTTGCACATTAATCGGAGTATCCAGCGTGACCTTTGAGCTACATATCAGAGCGTCTCTTCACCAAAAGGTACTGGCAGTGCTAAATGTAAATTTATCCGGCAGACTACTTTTGCTGATTTCTGATATTTTCGTTATCATCAAGTGTCTGCAGGCGGATATCGTTTAATTTGGTGATCTTGCGCGCCACCACATCGGGATTGCTCAGATCAACCATAGCCCAAGAACGACTTCGAAACTTGAGAGCCAAGTAAACAAATACGAAAACGATTTGCTAGTCATAGAAGTCAGTATAGACAATAGCAACGTTTAAAGGAACAAAAGCGAGAAGAAAGTAATACATACCAATAAAAAGGTAGAGAGGAACGGCGTTAGATGGAATCCTTTCCACATAAGAGAGCTGTTGGCGACGACAAGAACAAACACGCACCCAGCCAATGCCAAGTACGCCATGATTGGTTGGAATGGGCTGCGATAGGGATAGTCTGGCCCCCATCGATCTACCTGTGCAACATTCTCTTCTTGTAGAGCCTCTTTATGCCTTTCCAAGCTACACACGCGCCATGGTTAGTGAACAGAATCAACTCATCGAAGGGTTTGGGGAACGGTACCAGTGGTAGTATCGGATAAAGGCCAGGCATTCAAAGGCCCATACAATGATGACGGAATTCGTGGCCATGGTACTCAGAATCTCAATAAACTAGTGTCTGTTAGCCTCCGTGCCCACACCAAGTAAAGACATCTGAAACTGACCGTAGAAATGTCGCGCGATTCACCGTCTAGCTGCAGGAATGGCACCCAGCAAAACGACACAGCCGAGAAGATGACGGCGCGCATAGGCACTCTAAACCTATTAGTCTTGCCAAACCAAGCCAAAAAGCGAAACATCAGGGATTGATTCGTCGCTTCATCTAGCCGCGCCGTCAGACCAAACAGCGTGCGAGAAGCAACGTAGAGGTTGGTGCTGGCGCAGCTCATGACGGTGAAGACAAGAAAGACGTTGATGAGTTGGTCCATCATTCCCATATGTGCTTCTTTTGAAATAATCACAAACGCAGAGATTGTAGAGCCCTTGGTTGTGGAATTGCTCAGTGAGCTTTCGGGTTGCTTCGTTCGCCAACTAAGACGTGGTAGGCGGTAGTCGCTTCGTGAGATGTTGAAGGATGCAAGCAGTCCAGCAATGACGTAGGCCGCCGTAATGATGAACGGAATGAAGATGGACGAGAACTTGAGCGTCTGACCGACAACAGGTTCCTGCGTAGACGAGTTGGATAGGTTTGAGTCTGCTCGCTCGGGGCCGTCTCGCTTTACCGTGGGCCATCGGGCTTCGAGGGCGGATGCTGCGACGACTTCGACACCGACATAGGCAAAACTGGCAATCGATATACACATGCTATTCTAGACGTCAGCAAATAAACAACCAAAAGATGTGAAAGGATTATATACATAAATGCATTGCCCCAGCTATTGGCAGCATCAGTATCGTATTCGACCGCGTTCGACCAGTCTTGTACATAGTTGTTAGTATGGCATGCTTCCATTGCTTCCGGTTCTGGGCAGATATCTTACATTGGATACCCTTGGCATGATCCCCTCGCAGATTAACAAGAACCATGATGACAATCACGGCGAGAAGAAACGATAGCTTAATGAAGCTAGTGATAACCTCGAGCCAGCCATAGATCTACAATTCGTTAGTAGGCAAGTAAGCACTTGCATCAATACTAATTTAGCAACGTCTATACTTACAATGACACTGAAGCAGTTGAGTAGTATCAAGAAGAGAGGGATCAGAAAATACAGCACCGTGCCGTCGAATGCTGGGCCTCCCACACCCCAATAGTGCATCTCGGCGGCACAAGTCGCGATGAGGGCCGCAAACGACGCCGCATACGTAAACCTATCCATAGAGTTAGCTTTACCTTCTGCACCAAGAGAACGACCCATTGATACTCACCAGTACAGTAGACCGACAACAATGCCCAGTTCCACATCAACGAACTCGCTGACATAGGCAGATAAGGCACCAGGGATAGGCCAGATGCACAACATCTCTGTAATACACTGCATCACCGCCATTGCCAGAATTCCAGGTAGTAGAAACGCCAGTAGTGTAGACAAGGGGCCTCCAAGCTCCAAGACCTGTCCGCCTCGCCAGTAAAGCCCGGACCCGAGAGTGGCATTTACAGCAATCATCTATTGTAAACAAAATGTCAGCCATGATGCAGCGTCCATTGGTGCTCCGGACATACCGCAATGTGAATCCCACGTAGTTTTCTGTGTAATTCTCTTCCTTTACCGGGCTTAACAAACACTGATTTGCTGTCGTGGTGGACCTCGGCCTTAATGGGTCGAATAACACCTGCACGGCCGGCCATGGCGTCGGCATTGGCTCCATCATCAGGCGTAGGAGGACACTGTACACTCGAACTATCTCTCCCAAGATTCGATCCCGACACACTCGTCTGGGTTAAATGTGAGCCGGCTCTCGATGGCGGCGAAAACCCTGCGCTGACTGTGTCGTCTTCAGTAGGGGGTGTCAGAGCCAGGGCGGGTGGTGGCTCGAGTATGATGGGCGTGTCATTGCTAGGCGGTTGTTGCTGCTCTTCCTGTTGCTGCTCTTGTTCCCCCAACTCGTAATCTTCACGACGTCTTCTATCCGGTGTATACCACCAGTCGGGAACGAAACTGAAATCGAATACAGATTGTCTCGACATTGTCAACCAATTGTCTTAGTTGGGCTCTGCGTCACATGGTTGTCTTGCATCGTACAACACAAGGCGGTGCCTGAGATTTTGTTTCTTTCTTCAACGCAACGGGCCTCCAACTCAGATGCGTGCGCCACGAATTTCCCCAAAGCTGCCACCGACGGACCCCAAAAGAGGACCTGGAGACTAGTTGTTACAGTCGGCGCAATTTTCGGGGAGAGGCTGCAGATTGACTTTCAGCTAATGCCGGTGGCTGACGGGCTGCAAGAGAAGGCTCCCAGGGTCGACGAAGTCTCGTGCGTTTCTGTATAAGTCAGACAACGTTGTAAATCCGACTAGTGTTTCTCACATAGACCAAAACATCATAGTCTTCATTTCAACGCCTTTACTGCATCACAGTTACAAAATTATTCCCTTCGAACGTCGACTGAGGGCTCACGGTCGCTCCCTCTTCATGCATGCGCCTCAAACTCGCCACCGCTGATCGACAAGGCGGCCCGGTCCCATGGCCGCTAGGCTGCCGCCATTTAGCTGAAGTTTCAAAGTTGTGGTAATTAATACAGTGTAAATTCGGTCTTGCGCTGGTTGTAGAGGCGAAATTCTTCGCCAGCCCTTCCACAGACCCTGGTGCAGTGTGCCTGCTAAAGAAAGGTATACTTGTCCCGTGTCATGTCATAAGATCACTAGTATGCCATGGGCAGTGCAACGAGGCGATGGAATCTGTACCACCTTTCCAAAGACGCGCTGTAAAGAGAACTCACCAGTGAAGCGAAATCAGTAACTTGTCTGGTGATGCTTCTAAAGCCGTGGAAAATCCCCAGCATGCCTTCCCCTCAGCCACCAAAGACAGGCGTGTAAGGCAACTTTCTAGCACTCACATGCTTCTACGGCGCTGTGCGACTCTCGATTACACCGAAAACAGCCCTCCTACAGCCTACCTCTTCTCCTCACCCAGAGGTAGGTCTGCGCCTCCACGCTACTGTACATAACCCCTACACAGCCCCTTCGGTCTGCAGTAGTTGCCCGGCTTTGCCCTACGCCTTTAGCTTGACAGACCATATGCCGACATCGAAGAATAGCGGAGTCAATCGAATAATACATTTTCAGCTTCTAGAATGGATCCACTCGTTCAAAATGTGGTGAACAATAGGTATCTCCAACGGGAGCGGCTGCAGATGCTGCTTGAGGAGCTATTTCCGCCCATGATTGAGTTCGAAATTACGGTACGTTTTGTCTGACCACCCACCCACCGGGTTTCCCGAAGTCCCCTATTTACAGTAGAACATGATAGCTTTCCAATGGAATAACCTCCTTCATGGCACCCAGGAAAGTAACAGAGGTAATGTTCTGGTACACCCTCGAGTTCCCCGTGTGATGTTTAGGCTGACTGTGTCTGCCCCGTTTTCAGGCTGAGTTAAGGTATGTGTCTAACTACGACCATTCGTTTCAATAGGCTATGGGTTTTGACAAAAAGTGTTTTGTAGACGAGCTAGAAGTCCACGGCGTCCCACATAACGCGAGCTGGTTGGCTGTGTACTGCGGTTTCGGCTCTGCAGTGTGGTTCTTTTTGTTGAGGGTGTACGCTTGGGTCAAGGTCGGGCGTTATGAATCTTGCTGCGGCTGCAAGGCGTACCCTCGGTCTTTTTCTGCAACACGCGAATCCCGGAGGTCAGGCATATCTGGCTGCATGTATATACTCTTCAGCATTTCTCGCCTATCAAATACAGGCTATTCCGTATCCAGACAAGACTCTCAAGCCTCCACAACATTACTCCATATTCCACTATGACGTCTCTAGATTTGGATAAGTCGTGCGTGGAGGACATGTACCACCCCTTGGTTCTGCTCGATGTGGTTACCGACGGCACCGAACGCCACTGTCGAGAAAGAAAACTCCTCACCCAAGCGGATGTATCTGATTATATCGATGCCCCGAATCATCAAGATTATTCTTGTAGACTCATGTATGTTGTAAATTTACTTGCTCTCTTATTTTCTTTGTGCCATAGCACTCATATCGCCTAGATCAATTTGCCAAGCAAATTCCTGGCACCCATTGGAAATTACCAAGCCAATCCTTCTTTCCCTTTTGAACGGGCATGGATTCAGTCAAAATGTATATGACTTGATTTCATGCTTCTATTTGCGCGATTCTGACTCGGAGGATGCATACTGCGTTCCATTTACTGTATCAAGCAGCTCATCCTGGACAGGTATTCCCCATCATTCATCTCAAAATTATTGAGCTTAGAAGATCATCGAGTTAACGAACTGAATAGAAATCCAGTACTCTATTCGGTATCCAGAGTACAAAGAGCACGCGGGCGAGTGGGCCTTGAGACAAACCGCCGTGTGTCATCGCATCAACACAAGGACGAAACAGAGCATCATCCTACTGATCAGCCCAACGCCGGACTCAAGAGGTCACAATATTTTGTCTCGACACCTCACTCGCTCTGATGTATTCAGCGGCATCAAAGCTTGCTGGATGTCGGCACACCATGCCCTTTTGAACGGATACCTCCCGGCCTGGAGAGGATTCAATGCCTTTCATGAAGAGAAGTTTTTGCCAATAGTATGTTGCCGTCAGGTAAAATAAAAAGCAGAAACCAAAATATAATGCTAACGATTATGTATTTAGAACAATGGCACCTTTGTCTCATACATCGAAACTAAGAGGCTTCCGATTGACTATGGACAGCTCAGCTCCCTGCTCGGCATCCTAGCTCGAGTCACCACCAGCACAACACTTCTTACGGGGGCGACAGAGCTTATGGTGGAAATGAAAAACTTTCTTGCAACACGTAAAGACGTAATAGAAAGTATTACCGTGTCGGAAAGACTCATCAATGCTACAGATAATCTGCGACGGCGATGTGCGGCAGATTTTAGGGTAGCCAACTTTCTGGAGGAGCGCATCAAGTCGTCGTCTACCCTGCTTGCTCAGACGCTGGCTTTTCGAGATCAAGAGATAGCTAAGGAGCAGAACGCCACTATGCTGGAGCTTAACAAGTCGGCCGTCTTTCAGAACGCCAATATGCTGGAGCTCAATAAGTCGGCCGTCTTTATCACAATGCTGTCGCTTGTGTACGCCCCGGCGTCCTTTGTAGCAGTGAGTTTCTGCTGGTCCCTTTCACGAATAGTTCGCAATTTCTAATGCGGAACACAAACAGACTTTTTTCGGTATGAACTTTTTCGCTATGGACCAGGAAAACAGCCGAATTGTTTGTACTTCCATGGTTTGGATATATATACTGAGCACGGGCCTATTGACTGGAATAACAGTCATGTTGTATTTTTGGCTCATCCAGAATGACAAGGTGCTCTCTTGGAAGGGGCGCCTCGAACTACGAGCTAAGGGCAAGTGGCTGGCCCGAAAGATGACTTTAAATAGAAGCGATAGCGCGTCGCAGAGAGTATAAAATAGTTGAAGGACAAGAGAACGATAATATATGTCGCTAATTAAGACGAATGAGGAACCTCGACCTTGTAGACTGTTGCGCGGCTGGCGCCGGTAAACGAAGTAATAAGGACTTTGTCCATATCCTCCATGCTCTCTTTGATAACCGAAACCTCATCTCCCATTATGAGTCCGGGTAGGACACACAACGCTGTAACTGAGAGCTTTGATCGAATTTGCATGCGGATTAGCATCATTTTTCTATCAGATGACTTATATCCTAAAGCCAGCAGCGTTCTATCTTGGCCACTGCAAACCAGTTTAGTAATACGATAGTCAAGAATGTCCCATTCCGATTTATGGGCATTTGAATCCGTTGAAAAAGATTCGATATGCAATTTTTTCGTTCTTGTGACGACCGCACAATTCAACTTGGAGTTCTTCAATAAGCAAAACGTAGAAAAGAATCCAGCTGTAGTGGAAACGTCGAAGCCCTTTGAATTGTGGATATGATCAGAAATTGCTTACAAATTTTCCACTAATTAGTAGCATACTTACTTGAGGATCCATCTTCAAGGTGAAAATATTCGCTACTGGTGGATTGCGCGTCTGGTTGAGTGACACATGGACGACTGGCGCCACAAGGTTACGGCTTCGGAGAGTCAGTCTTTGTTTTACCACAAAATACACGTCTTTTGTGTCTAAAACAGACAGCTCTGAAACTTCGGAGGCAGGCCAGCTAAGGTCAACCTCAACAGGCCGCAGAATTGGTATACGCGGAGGACCGTCGCTGTCGCATCAGGATATTAGTTGTCACAAATATTGAAGACGATCAGGTGGATTTACCTTTCAGGGGGGTTGAGAAATTCAAGAACATCGGGCATCTGCAGATAAACCAATGTTGCATTTCCATTGATAGATGTTCTATTGCGTGCCACAAAAACAAATGTCTGGTTGTTTGGGGATATGGCAACAGCATCCGCGCCGGGGAAGTCGATGGGTAGGCGGGAAAAGCATTGAAGGGCATCACTACTCCAGCGGCCGTCGGGGATATTGAAAATATAGACCTTGACAGAATAGCGGGTTAGCCTCTTGTGGGATATTGGTATCAGGTGCCTGGTACTTACATAACTTCGTCCGACTATCGAAGCAATGAGATAGCGATCTGTTATGCATACATGTTTCAATGTCAGATGCTCCCCGTTTGATCTCGAATGATCATCTGGACACCACGTGCCAGGGTCTCTTAATTGGGCTCCTGGAGTAAACGATAATGAAGCTTCAGTGTATAGCGTGAGTTCACTATCTGTCCAATAGACGAGAAAGCTGCCATCAGGAGCAAAGGCACATCCTTTGAAATCGGATGATGGTAGTGAAGTTGGCCTTGTTTGTTCTACCTTTACGAGGTTGTTTCTTGAACGGCTGTCGTTTTTCAGTTAGCTGATAGCTAGTTTCGACACAAATTTCCATCATTGGGTGACTGGGGCGAACAAACCTCCTAACTCTATCACTGACTCCGTCAAAAAGACGGCTAATTCGTTCAATGGGTTCGGATCGTGGTGGGATATTTCCATGTGGAGCATCCGCAGTTTGAAGTTCTTCTTTAGCTGTTTCTAGATATTTGGCAATATCGCCAGCGCTGCATCTATCACCTATATTCATTAGAAGTACTTTTTCTTCAAGAAATTTGCGCAAAGTGCGTACAACATTTCTCTCTACAGAACTGCGGCGCTGGGCATTGACCTCCAATTGTCTGTGCCAAGAGATGACTTCTGAGTTGATCGTTGGTGAGCTGAACTGCTGGCCAGCAAAAAAGAAACGATCAAAGCGTGCTGCCCTGGGCGGTTTCAAACGAGCATTTTCGTATTTGAGAATAGCATCCTGACCTCCATCCATATATGTGAGAAGAACACTTATGACACAACCCAGAGCCCAAACATCACTTCCAGCCTTCATAGAGGGATTTGTGAATGTGGCCTCTGGGGCGAGGTATGTCCCATCCCCACGGCGGTTTGCGGTTGGTGGTGGAGATGGATTGACTGGCCGCCTGCGCTTGAAAAAGCTGTTGAAGTCCCGTGGCGACGAATCAGTGTTGTTATGGCTCAACGTCTTAATCTTGGACATGCCAAAGTCACTGATCTTCCAGATCCAGCGGTGACCTTCTGGGAATAGTAGAATGTTGGACGGATTCAAGTCCATGTGGTAGCATACCATGGTTTTGCCATCGCGTGTTTCGATTCCAGTATGAAGGTGATTTAGACCTTTGGCAAGCCCGGCGGCAGATTCGAGAAAATCCATTTTAGCAGAAATCTGTTTCGGTGCATTTGGGTGATTGTTCATGTAGCTCAGAAGGTCGAACGAAGCGAGGGGCATGAAAAGACTGTACATAGTTCCGATTTGCAGGAATCCTAAGCTTTGTAAAACATTATCGTGCTTCAGAGGAGACTCAATGATTTGCTTCATGATGTTAAATTCGACTTCTGGCTTAGGTCCCAGATCGCTCTTGTCGTAGTCCTTCCGAGCCATGACTTGAGGAGGCACCCGGCTTGTTCCTTTGCGACTTCTAAAATGGTTTTTGGCCACCTCTATGCGGAAAACCTTGCCAAATGAGCCTTCGCCTTGTATCTCTTCCGAAATGTATGGTAAGCGGCCGTCTTGCAGGTCATAACGATTAGCCTCCCCCTCATAAATGATGACTGGACAGAAGCATGTTTGTTGGTTAGCAAATCTGTCAATATCATTGGTATCTTGGAACAGACGGCGAAGTAGACTTTGAGACAATGGAAGCTGCCCATGTCTTGCTTCAGCGGCGGTCAGAATTTTAGGAACGATAAAATGTCGGACAACGGCTCTCGTAGCCCCTGCAGAACAGGCAGTAAAGATGACAGTTCCAATCAAAGTTGATAGTTTCCTTGTTTCGACACGTTCGATGTATGTGTCAATATCTTCGTCGGCTATCGTAAGAGGGTCATCAGAGTCGAATTCCGCTGACAAGGTCTTGAAGATGCGTCTGAGAAGCGCATGGTTGTTTTTTTGAAATAGACCGCGGATTGTTCCTCTAGGTGCAAATCGACGAGCATCATCATTCTTTCTCTCCAGCTTGGCAGATATGGCCCTATACACATCTGCGCACACTGATGAATAACTATCGGTCGCCATTTTGTAGTGAAAGGTAGAATTGTAACGATAGGCGAGAAGAGTCCCTTGTATAAACACCGGACGGTTGAAGACCAGACGACTTTAATGGTCGCTGCGTGAGGCCGCCTGTAATTGCGGCTGGCTTTAATACCCTTGTCACTCACACTACCAAGACGTCGTTGAGGATGACCTGCAGCCGTGCGCATGGTAGCCAGCCCCTTCCTCACCGAAATAACTCGCTGCCTCGTTCAAAAATCTCTCAATGTAACCTCATATCTGTTGCTTCTACACTGTAGAATAACATATTGTGCTTACCCCGCGTCTCCAACTGTGGAAGTTACAGAATGACCCTCAAGTAGCCACCAACATAGAGTAATCGTTGCAGGCGAGTGCTGCTACGCCCGCCGTACTGCATGAGTGTGCTACACTCGGTGGCACGCCACAACACTCAGCGGGCCAATGTCACAGTATTCGCCGCTTTCTTGGTTGATCGACAATGCTGCCGTCCGCACTGGGCATGGGATGCGACCCACGGCTGATTGTTTGATGCATGCAGAGCGACCTGCATCTGCCGCCTCTCGAGTCAGGTACATGCGATACGTTGTATGTCTTCGGCCTGGATTAGGCAGTAATTTAATGGCGAGAGTAAATTCGATGGTAAAATAACATCAGTGTTGAGAGAAAAAAAGTGTCATGGATGAAAACATTTGTCGGTAGGGAAGTTGACAACAGGGTTGGGGGTTTGAGCCATCAAGCTCTGCGCCAGCTGCCACTTAGGTCCTGCCAGCTGTCACAGCTGCGACAGCCGTGCGCTGGTCAATACGGCGACTCTCGCCTGAGCTCATGTTCCGCGCAACTTTACCGTTGCTTCCTTCATCGCCATTTATTTATATGGACGCCTATAGAAATGGGATCTAATCAGATCGAGAGGCCGTTAGCATTGACAAGGATAAGGTTCCACAGCGGAGGTCCGCGCGTTGCATTCGACTCGATTGGAAGCTCGCATAGGATACGGCAAACATCCGAGTACCACGCAAGCTATTGGTATTAGCAAGCACATCATTCGTCCAATCGTGTTTGTAAATACCGGTTTCGGAAATATAGAATTATGGATCACTCGCTTCTGGGGTCGTGACCATCACGCAGACGTCTCCATCGCGATTCCGCGGATACCGACACTGTCTCTGTGTGGCCGGGAGTCGGCATTTTTGGTCCTTACGATAGGGCGTATTTACACCGGGTTATTAACATGCCATGTTGGTTGCTAATTGCAATCGATTGCGAATAGGAATGTCTATAAAAACCCTGGTCTCGGCTATCTGCCAAGCATTTGCATCTCAACGCCAAACCCAACCTACTGCAACATCTCTCCGACACTTTGCTAAACACGTACAAAATGCCACGCTACGAGCTCGAGTACCCCAAAGATGCCACCAACCTCGTCAAGCGAGACGGCGATAGAGGTAGGCTCTCCCCATGACCTAGGCTAGTCATCCCCACGTGCGACTAACACTACTCGTACAGGCGTCTACTCCTTACGAAGAATCCATGAGCTCGTCAATGCAAGCCATTTCCTTCATGTGTCTTTAAATATTCCCGGTTTACCTTTCCCTGCTTGCCTGCCTATGATTGGACAAATGGGATCCTTTGAGCGGCCAAGCGCGGATCTCGGCGACCCTCTGGATCTCTACATTCACGGCTATGCGACAAGCCGTCTTTTCAGAACAGGGCGTGAAGGTGGCACAGAAGGTGTTCCAGTCTGTGTATCCACTACACATCTTGATGGCCTGGTTCTCTCACTTTCTGCATTTAACTCTAGCTACAACTATCGTTCGGTCGTTCTCTTTGGCCATGCAACCATAGTTGAAGACCCAGAGGAGAAGCTCTTCGCTTTGGAGCTCATCACAAACTCCGTGGTTCCGGGTCGCTGGAAGCAGAGCAGACAGCCCCCGACGAATGCCGAGCTACAAAGCACTGGCGTCCTACGTGTCAGGATTGCGTCTGGTAGCCTCAAGTACCGAACTGGTGGTGTTGAAGATGACAAGCACGATCTAGAAAATGAGGACGAATTAAACAGCATCTGGACTGGAGTAGTACCTGTACATCAGGTGTTTGGAGATGCGTTGCCATCTTCATATAACCGTCTTGAAACGCCCGCCTACATTTCCGAGTACACCAGGGAGTTGACGACCGGCAATGAAACATATGCACAAACCAATGCAAAGGAGATCTAGAAGACTATATGTGGGACGAAGTACACCGAGGAAACATTAAGAATGCATTCTTTCGATTTAATTGAATGAAGAAGCCAATTTTCTACACATTTACCAGACGCTAGTACTTCAATTGCTCAATAATGTCAGGCCGATTCAAAAAGGCGCATCGCTCCTTGAGCTTCTGCACTTTTATCGCATCGCGTTTCTTGCAGCTCGCAGTAGCATATAAACCTTCCACAGGGCCACCAGCGACATAAATTCGCGTCTTGTCGTGTTTGTATGCCGTCTCAAACCCTTCAAAAGTCTTGCGACCAGGTAAACTGAGCTGACCAGTACTAGCAAAACCAGACCAAGAACGAGACGCCTTATCTTGGAGATCATAATCAGATTGCGTGGGATTGAAGGCCAGCCCGCTAGTATTGTATGCGGAGATGTTGCCAAACACGTAACCCAGCTCACTGGTGTGGACGACACCACGGCCAGGTTGACCCCTCGAGTCGAGCATGGGACCAAGCATCGTCTGGTTCCAATCATAAAGGAAGACATCATTTCCTGTGGACGCCATGTGCTGAGCAAAGTACATGGGCTGACAAACCATGAGGATGTCTCGCAAAATCTGGGCTGAGCGGTAAAACTCGGCAGACAGCCCAGCGGCCTTGTTTGCGTGGAAGTCCAACTCGGGGTATAGTGACAACAGATGTTTGACGTTCTCTGGGCTCATGTCGCGCGCGTAGTCTTGCACAGTCTTTTTCGTATCCTTGGATGTTTGCACCCCCGGGTCGATGAATCGAGCGAGATCGTTTTCGCACCAACCCATCATGGTCGTGACTTGGGCATACTTGCTTTGCTTGATAAGCTCTGACGGCGCGTCAGGCAAGAAATCACCATCTACAGATGGCAGCCAAATGTCGCCAAAGTTGGATGTATCGTCATATGTCTCTAGAGAGGAGTTGAAGAGCTGTTGAGTCGTAAGGGAGCGAAGACATTCGATTGACGAGGACGTATGGATGTCGGTAGAACAATTCGCGTGTTGCGCTACCGCAGTCATCGCTTTGAATGTGTAATTTCCAGTGATTCCGGGCTCCAGTGCTTGACTCTGGCAAATCGCCTGGTGAAATGGGAATGGTTTGGAGCCACCGTACGCAAGAAGCTGCATGCCAACGGAAAGGCCTACGAGTCCCAGGTATCAGAAGAGGTGTCTTGGGCATTTCAATAGTATAAGAAGGGATTTCACTTACCGCCAGAGGATTGACCGAAGATGGTCACCTTGTTAGGATCGCCGCCAAACGACGCAATATTGTCGCGAACCCATTCGAGCGCCAACCGTTGGTCTCGCAGACCGGCATTCTCGGATTTTTCGGATTTCAGAAAATCAGACTGCGCGAATCCAAAGACTCCTAGACGGTGGTTTAGTGCCACATGAACAATGGGCAACCCATTGGAAACTGATTCCAGAATCAGCCCGTCTGGAGCAACAACTTGTGCCTGAGTAACGCCTGTCCATAGACCGCCTCCATAGATGTACACCATAACAGGAAGCTTATCCTTCTCTGTTGCCCCTTTTGGTCGAGCAACATTCAGATTCAGACAATTTTCCGACACGGTTACCGGCGCAATGACGGGCGTGCGTGAGCTGACGGACTGAGGACAAGCATCGCCGTAAGAAGTCGCCTGGAAGACGCTGTTGGGGTTCGGCTCAAACGCCCTTGGAGGCTTGAAGCGATTACTACCGCCTGTATCCTTTCCGTATTGAATACCTAGAAATATCTCGACTCCGTTGCGGTCCATGCCGTTGAAGGTGATGCCATTCCCGATGGTGGCTGTAGGCGTGCCGCTGGCTATGGCCGCCAATGCTGCAAAAAGAACAGCGGAATACATTTTGAAATAGAATCGACCAAGTACTACGCAGACAATATGCGTTAAATGTATTTTGTCAACTGTGTTGCAAGGTTGCGAAGTTTAAATGAGGGGATTATATGCACCAACGAGGGGCTCACTCAGCTCGTACCCCAGATTACTCGATTTGGGGTCTTCGTATTACTCGCATTTTTTATTCTTTATTTTCAAGAATGCCAAGAAAATTGATCAACGGAAAGGCGCAAGAATTGTAAATAATTACTTTCCGTTTTTTTTGTATGTTGGTATACGTCAATATTCGCTTCACTGAGGCAAACCCCAATGTTTAACTTTCCACAACAATTGAAATTCATAGCATATCTTAAGCTATTTCCTCATTAATTAACAGCCCGTCCAATTATTGGGCCAACGGGCTTATGAAGCAAGTCTAAGAGCGCGTCCAGAAGAAACTTGGGCAGCACCTCCAGCGTAGCAATATCCAGCAAAGTCGAGTAGACAGTCTCGGTCGAGCATCCCTCTGCGTGCGTTCTACCCTCCATAGTATCAATCAGGTAAGACAATGCCTTTGCCGCAGCAATGATAGCCAAGTCACCATGGTTTGACTTGATGTCGCGATGGTATCGGATGTTGGCGCCATTCGCACAGTACTGCTTCACGAGTGCATCGGTGTCAGGAATAGGGCTGATCTCATCGCCAACCGACTTGTACATGAACAGAGGAATCTTGGGGGTGTAGTGTCCGTGTGCGTTTTCGTTGAGGATCTTAACCGCAACCGGGTTGGTGTACACGAGCTGTCTGTCGTCAAAGTAGCCCACAATATCGACGTTGGCATAGTCATTGTTGTTGGCACCGTAGCACTGTTCTTGAGCCTTGTAGAGATCAGCACGGTGCTCAGGAAGCACATGTTGAGAAACGACGGGGCCAAGCTCCGGGTACTGGTGCGTCAGGCCAAGAACGCCTGCAGGGATAAGTCCGGCGTATCCCTTGCCGTTGACAGTCGTGACGACGTTGGTGATGTTGGGCACAATGCCACCCACAGCGGCGCCAGCAATTTTCAGTTCAGGAGCATAGCTAGGCTGGAGTTCTGCAGCAAAAAGAGAGGCCACGCTGCCACCGGAGTATCCCCACATGGCAATGGTTGGATTGCTGCTGATGCCAGTGATGGTCTCGGAGCTGATAGCTGCGCGGATACCGTCGAGCGTAGCATATCCCGACAAGTGGTTGGCAAGGAAAGAGCCCTTCGGGCCGAGGAAATCGGGGGATATCACCACCCATCCCCGTTCTAGGGCAGCCTCAATAAGCAGCATCTCCTCCTCCGTCACCATGGTTCCCATTTTGGAATCGGCGTGGGCGAATTGGAAAGCATAAGACGGAGCGCAGTTGATGTTGGACGCATCTTCGGCGACTTGGTATGACAATAACTTTGTGTAGTCGGCATTGTGAGGCACAAGAACCGATAGGACCGTAGCTGTGGCGTTGCCAAGACTGTCAGTGGTGCGATAGAGGATCTGGTGGCTGGCCTGGAGGTTGATGGGATCAAAGCCAAATGCAGCAATTGGGCTAGGAGGAGGGCGATGGCGCAGAATGGTACCAGGTTTCACACTCTCGAGGTTATCGGGGACCGCATAGAAGGAATCTTCGCTGGGCAGCGGAGGGGATGCGTGGACAAGTGTGAGGGCGACGGCCAACACGGCGGTAAGATGACGGCCAATGGCAGAAATCATGATGAATTAAATCGCCGTATACAGGGGAGACTAGAAAAATATGCGGCAGCTCTATATGTGGGCAGTAAATAATACAGTTGGAATCTTCATTCACCCATCGCGCCGCTGCTTACACGGGAACTTGGGGCATTATAACACAACGCGGTAAGAAGGGCTCATGTGACTGCAACGTTGACCCGAGCTTTCCGACTAGCATAGAATTGTGCACGGATGGAAATATACCGAGCATTTGGTTGTGATTCGCGCGCAGTTAATTACTGCTTACGTCCACCGCTACTGTAGCCTCGATTGTAGAGTAGACTATTGTCTTTGCGGGGTAATAGCAGCTTACAGCGGAATCTGGGGAGGGTTGTGTAAGTCCCGAGCGCCACCGAGCGGAGATAGCGCCACTATAGTGCTAAACACCAAGTTGAGTAGCGTAATTGTTTTAGTTTTAGCGTGATGCGGGGGAGGCGCGGACCGCGGGATGCTGATGCAAGTCCGCTGGAGGAAAGCCGAAAGCGACGATCAAGCTTAGACCAGGTACGCAATTTTGAGTATTGTTAAATGGTAGTAGCGCATGCAAGACGTGTTCCTTGTTTTCTGTCAGTTCGCGTATAGAAACAAAAATACCAGTGCTTTGTTACCGTGCCGCCTTTTCATCCAAACCGGTAAACCACGGCCAACCCCCGGGCCACCGTTCCATCCACCCACACCACCTTCGCTTATGATGATTGACCTATAACGCATCGGTTTATTCTTTTTGTTTTTCAGCCCGCCGTTCGCACGAGACCACGTCAAACAGGTCGGATGCATCGATGGGCAGTTGTCCCGACGGTCCGATCTGTATGCACGACACACTGGTTCATCGTATTTCTGGATGTCGAGGAAGCGATCGGCAAGCTAATGAACGTATCTGTATAGAGAGCTGACTTGACGCACCCTTCGGCGCTGAAGGCGGTGAATTCGTACAGCAACAGTAGGGATTTTTAAGCCCCAAGAGGAAACTTGGTTTACTGATAGTTGACATTCATCACTATTAATTTCCATTCTGATACCGTATAGATCGAAACTTAATCTGCGCCAGAGACGGTTAGAGCTTTGTGGCTTAGTGTCTGTGCTTGGAAGAATCGCCCGCTTGAGGTGTGATTTTCTTGTTGTCCAAAGTAACACATTGGACCCCTATGATCACTCCATGGTACGAAATCGGATGTCGTCGCTGGTTTGGGCACCTCTATAGTACTAGGGCGAATAATTTCCATTTTCGTTGCCGTCAAGCCACGCATTGCTACTTTATCCAAGCGACCTGGTGGGTGGGTAGAACCGTGGCGGCAGGACATGCTCTTGTACATGCATTTGGATGTTGGTCGCCATATAAGGAAAGCCATGCGTCTTCGATATTATTCACGGCTAATAAGCCATCATCTTCAGGTGTGACTGCATTGAAATCTCCTGCGATAAGCCCGCCACTGCATCCACTTTCGGACAAGGTGTTTGCCAACTGGTGCAGCTTGGACCGAAATTGAACGTGGTTCAAAGAGTCGAGATGGACGTTGATAAGTCTTATATATGTATTAGGTACTTTCTGAGGTATTAAATCCACGAAAAGGCCTTCGCGGCCAAAGATACTAGGCAATCTTTCACGGAAAGCATAGCCAACGCTATAACCTTTGGGTCAGCTGCTCGTATAATGCCGTCCTCATTTGATGCAAAATCAAATCGATTTCTTGCGAGTAGTATGATGTTTGTATAGTTTTTTTCATTTTCCGCTAAAGTAGGCGCCTGTGCATCTGTAACAAGAAAGTGTTGGCGAATTGGTGCGTGCTGTAATAGAAAGGTATAGATATCGGAGCGCACTTCTTGTAAAAGTAGTATGTCTGGAATTTTAGCAGACAAGATGTAGTTCATTAAAACTGTGGTCCGTCGTATGGCAAGAATAGAGGCAAAGTCGATATTCAAGGTAAGCAGAGACAATATGCCGACTTGGGGCACTTTCTGTCGATACGGTACTGCTGGTGGATAAATCGGTATCCATCGGTTCATTTTATGGTGGAAAGCTGAAAGAATACTGTTTCATCTTGTACGCATAGTATATTGACTATGTGTTGGGCTGTGTATCTGAGGTGAACAAATCGGAACATTTGGGAAGCGTGGTTAATGTATAAATGAACTACATTCAGCGTACAGCATACAGGTAACCAAACTTAGTTCTGTTCAAACTTTGTGGCCCAACCAAGACGCTAAAGTCAAATAGTTATCTATCAAAAAATTAATTTACATAATGTATTTTCTCTACCTTGAAATGGAGTCTTAGTTTAACGTTCCTCGGAGTAGAGTATGCATGGAGCCATATTCGTATTGTATACCAGACCCATCTGCTTACGGACAACATCTAGCAACACCATCAATACCACGTAAAAGAAAAGGGGACGAATATAATTCTTATAAATATATCTAATGAATATTACCTATATAAACATTGATAAAAGGTCAGCGTATACGCTCAGCACGATCCCATTTTCGTTGGTTTACTTTATGCAGCCCAAAGAAACAGCTTAACTAAGTATAGTGGGCGACGTCACAGCCTTGTCTACTTCTTTCTCTCACCAACACTTGTCTACGGTCAGCAACTTCAGCACCACAGCGCGATAGACCCACCGAAATAGCTTACATTAATATTCATATTATTACTTGTATATAATAGCTGCAAATACCGCATTCAGTCTGTCTACGATCACCGCGCTGGCACCAGGGCTCATCATTGAGAGTCGCAGCGGGGTCGAGATGCAATCAACGGGCCGCCGTACCAGCAAACCAGGGGCAGGATACTCGAAACCAATCAAACCAGCTCGGCTACGGACCGCATGTACAGAATGCCATTTGGCCAAGGTAAGTGCATCGCGCCGATAGACCATATCTACTTCCTCGCGACGCTAGCTAAGCCCGCTTCTTCCTCATCCAGCTGAAATGCTCCGGCGAATCCGACGGATGTGCCCGATGTGCAAAGCTCGGACTACGCTGCCAGTACGAGATTTCCATGGTTGGTCGAGCGTCGCCAAAGCAGAGACCACCACGGCCAAAGCAGCGCGCCGGCACCGCACGCATTCCGTCCTCCCTATCTTCGACATCGTACACCTGGGCGCAGGGCTTTGCTGATCTGCCTCAGGTGGATGATTCATTCGATTGGGTTAACCAAAGCATGGCAAATGCATTGAATCCCTCCAATCACTCAATAGACGCTAGCGGTACTAACAGCATGCCGCTCTCTCTGTTCCAGCTATCGGCGTCTGTGGCACCTTCTGATGCCGAGTCCATGGCAGTAGGAGGCAGTGCGGCAAATGAAGAGACTGGTTTCAATTTTGGTCATCAAAATTCCAACAGCTATACGAACCAACAGCAACTTGAGTCTCAGAATATAGCCCACGGAAACTTAGTCCTACCATCAGCACCCGCGTCCGAGGACTTGATGCGAGCAGGCTTTCATGTTACAATTGCCGTTCCTGAATATTACCGCGACGAGGCAGCTGTAGCGCCGTATCCACATGCCACGGCGCTCATGAATATGATTGACGAGCTGGAAACGTGTGTCCAGCTCGCGTCTGCGCCAATCGACCAGATCCTCTCCATGAATCGCGGCGTACTGAGTAGATTGCCATCCATCATCGATATGGATGGCTTCAAAGTCTGCCATAGCTGTCCAACACTACTAACAACCGTCATGGATTTAGTGGTGGCACTATACGATATGGTAGTATCAACCATTCACTCCCCCGCCAACACCACTGCAGATATGGAATACATAGAGAGCAGTGGTGGCAATAGTACACTGCCCAGCGGTAATGACGCTTTGGATACTACAGCACCATCTACTACTACTATATTTCCACCCCCTGATTCTAATGGCTCGGGTAGCCAGGCGTTACCAGCATTTTCTTTTGGCTGTCTGGAACTGGAAGCGGAAGAGCAGGCCATGTTTCGCAATCAAATTCTACAACTTGATCTGAACAAATGCGTCAAGGTGATTCAGGCTTGTGCTCAAGTGGCCAAGCGAAAATTCGAATTGGCAACTATTTCGGGAGGTAAAGAGCGCTCACATTCCGGTATGAAAGGAGATTATAGCCACAAGACCCAGGAGCTGCAAAAGCAGTGGTATTCAGATGTTGAGAGGAGGACAAACACGTTACTGGAAGTGTTGCGTGCTTCGGTTGCTGGCACGCGTTTATGATAGCAGACATATTTTAAGCATAAATTTTAATTATTGTAAAAATTCAATCTATATCTTGTATAATCTGCGATATTTTCTCAAATAGAGTAACTGCGTGTTGGCCTGCCGGGTAGCATCCGTCGAACACAACATAACATGACAAGCGCGTAGAATTTGGCTCCTGTAGAAAATTACCCATTTACAGTACGAAAATATTTATAATAATGCTAAAGTCGATATAGTTTTCCCTAGAACTTGGTAGCGCGGGCAAAGAAGAGCTGCATCTTGCCAGATCGCGCCCCAGGAACCTCGGACAATTTATCTGCCAATGCAAACTTGGCATCTCCACAACCAGCTTGCTCGAATAGCCGGAAAATAGTCTCTTTTGTAAAACTATCGTGAGAAATTGTATGAGCGGCAGGGTGATGAGAATGGATCTTGTCGCCGTTTTGGTTATAGCCATGGCTGTGATGGTAATGCTCATGGGAATGTCGAGCACCAGTACCGGCGGGTTCAGCGTCGCGTTTGGCCCAGTCAATAACAAGCAAGACACCGCCTGTGCGAAGTCTCTCAGCGAGCTTTTTGATGGCCAAGTCAATGTCGTCCACGTGGTGTAGCGCCATACAAATGGCCACCACGGCAAAATTGGTGAGCTGTTCGCGGCTCAAGGCTGGCTTGGTGGGCTGCTCATCTTCAAGCAAGAGATTTCCTTGAACAGTCATCATTTGAGACTCGGAAAGACCAAGGTCATTCGCGGTGCCGCGATACTTGGCCAACATGCCCTCGGCGAGATCGACGCCAACGAGCTGGCCAAACTGTTTGTGGAGGGACTATAGAAGACAAATTAGTATCAGATAGCAGCTATATGGGATCACGATGACCTACTCGAGACACGATTCCGTTCCCACAGGCATAGTCCATGAGCTTCCCGGTTGGCTTGCCCGCGGCATCTTTCGTAATCGTTGCACCTATCCAATCGCCGTTGTTTGTCAGGTAGGCTTGAATCTGGGCCTGTAACTTGTGAACCCATTCCTGTGAGTGTACATCGTCGGCCGCTTTGCTGTGGTCTTGCATAAGTAGGTGATTCTGGAGTAGCCACGCGGTTGGCGTACACTTACGTCCAGTACTGTTCGTTCTTTTGCGCAAAAGTGTCTGCCATATTATCTAAATTTTTGACTGCTATACTGTTCAATGAGAATATTCACATATATGGGTAAACTATGGGCTTTAATAGAATAGCCATCAGCAAAACTGCGAGCCCGTGGACCAATGGCATACTAGAGAAATGTATGCGACAAGTCTCCGATGTGCACCTTGAAGATTATCCACACATAAAGACTGCAACATGAGATAGAAAAGTGATAGAAGATGACAAATCGGAATTTTTATGATTTTAATTGCGTCATGTTGCCAAATAAACTTGCTCATTACTGCGTCTGTTGTTGGCCTGTCGCTTGTTAGACGCATCGCCGAGCCTGTCAAAGTGGGGCCGGCACGGCAAGACGCCGATTGGCCAATCGCTCGTCGGGCCGATGAACCTGACACAACGGGTCGATGCACGTATTCAATACGAGTTGTGCACTATAGCAGGGCATATACTATGCAGTGCATAGTGACTTTGCGCGATGCATCTGCTACTATGTTTGCATCTTGCATCCATAATAATCATCTGTTCCTGATTACAAACCATCAGATGCAATTTCAGGGCCATGGAGATGATTTTGTCAGAGCGTCCTAACACGCAACACAAATTATATATACCCGACCAAGGCTGCCAAACACAGCATTGGTTTGATCTACCTAGTAGCCTCATATTACCCAAATCCATCATTATTTTCTATAGGCTCCCCTGAATTATTTTCTATTATTATTAGAGACAAAAGTAGCCCCTCTATCAGCCATCTACACCACACACGAACTCTATATGCGTACATCTCAATCCATCATTCTCACCCAATCTACCCACGCTCACAATGAGCAACACCACCGCTTCTCTCCCCGGACCGACACGGTTCGCACTCACCATGTTCGCACTATTTATGGGCATGTTCACCGCAAACCTCGACTCGACCATTCTCGCCACAGCCAACCCCAAAATCACCGCCGAGTTCCACAGCCTTAGCGACATTGATTGGTACGGCTCCTCAGCGTTCCTCACGTTCGCCGCCTTTCAAACCACATGGGGCAAAATATTTAAGTACTTCCATATCAAATGGGCCCATCTTGCGACTCTCTTCCTCTTTGAGCTCGGCAGCTTGATCTGCGCTGTCGTGCCCAACAGTGTTACTCTGATTGTTGGCCGCTCTATTGCAGGTATTGGCGGCGCTGGTCTCTGCACAGGAACCTTTGTTATCATTGGGTACACTGTCGAGCCGAAGCGGCAGCCTATGTTCATGGGTGTTATGGGTGCGACGTACGCGCTTGCCTCGTTTGTTGGGCCGATTGTTGGTGGTGCGTGCCGAGACTGTTACGTGGCGCTGGTGCTTCTGGATTAACCTGCCCATTGGCGCACTGGCTGCGGCGATTATCCTCGTCGCCCTTCGACTACCTTCTACAACAAAGCCAGCCGTGGCTACTCCATGGGAAATATTTATGCAAATGGATCCTAGTGGCTGCATTCTGATTCTCGCGGCTGTGGTTTGCTACTGACTAGCGCTGCAGTGGGGTGGACTCGAAAAGGCGTGGTCTGATTCTACTGTGATAGGCACACTCGTTGGATTTGTGCTGCTTGCGATTGCATGTGGTGCAAACGAAGTCTGAATGGGCGAACGAGCTGCAATTGTCCCCCGACTGATGAAGAATCATCGCATTACAATCAACCAGCTGGTCGTATTCTTCAACTCTGGCGGCCTGTTTGTCCTCATCTACTACCTCCCCATTTACTTCCAGTCCGTCCGCAACGATACACCTATCCAGTCTGGCGTTTATAATCTTCCCTTCCACATTGGCGGTATATTCTCCATGGCCTCGGGCTTTGTCCTAGGTTCTACTAACCAATGGGTTCCCTATCTCATTGGTAGTGCTGCACTAAGTGCGGTGGGCAGCGGCCTCATCTACACCTTTACTCCGGACACTCTGACTGCTACATGGGCCGGATACCAGATTCTCGCAGGTGCCGCTACTGGATTCCTGTCCCAGCTCCCCATCATGTCCAACACGGCCTGCGTTGATATGACTGAGATGAGCACCATGTCGGCCATGACCCTCTTCTTCCAGATCATCGGGTGCTCCTTTTCTGTCTCGGCAGCACAGTCTATCTTTGGTAACACCCTCCCCAAGCGGCTAGCTGAGACTGCTCCAGAAATTGATAGAACAACGATTCTCTCCGTAGGAGCTTCGCAGCTTCGGAATACATTCTCAGAGCAGCAGCTCCCCGTTGTCATTTTGGCGTACATGGACGCTCTCAAGGGCACATTCGCGCTGGCCACCGCGATGTTCGCAATAAGTGCATTGTTGGCCGTTATGCACAAGTGGGAGGCATTAAGAACCGAAGTTCCAGTAGACATTGCAGCTCCTGAAAAGCACATTGCCGTTGCGTCGGCTTCCATAAGATCCGCTGACGCTGTCTGAGATCAGGTACATTAAGAGGCGCTAGTAGGATGAAGTTCAAAATTGGAGTAAAATTAATGAAAAAACAGTGTGTTATAAGAATACTACAGAAAGAATGATCTTGGATCCGTAACACCTATGTATTAAATTTAAACATTGCGAAGAAATCAGCCTTCGCGACAATGCAACTACACAAGGATCACTATTATTATAGACTGTACACGATGCACTCTTGAGCGTGAGAGTGTAATTATTGGAGATATTTTAGTGTATCAGGGCACAATCAGATTGTTGCTATATAGACAGTATATACGCCATGGCTCGAATCAGCCAATTCAAACAACCGGCCTTTATGGTATCTTTCGTGCTTGAAACAGCGCCCAAGTATAAAAAACAGCTGCAACCGCACCATATGCAGAATTCCCGAGAATCCAGTGTTTTGCAAAATATTTCATCTATGCATGCCAAAACAAAAAAACAAACAAAAAACATTCCGTGCCCATATAATTCCTTGCAGTCATATACAAGCATGTGAAGCAGCGCGACATGCGGTTTTGCGCTTCACACTTAGTACTGTAAAACCCAAATTCTCAACTCCTTGAAAAATAGAAAAGTGCGTATGTAGCCAATTTTGGATAAATAATAACAATAAAATCATAAAGGGACCTTGCCGTCCATGGTATGTACCGTGGGGTGGTACCTGGAGCCTCAGCAGCCATGGTAGACGAGGTCTGTGTCCTTTGGGTAGGTGTTGTCCAAAGGCTCGGAGATGGCCCAGTTATCGACAGGCTCCCCATTCTCAGTTCTGGACTTGTAGATACTGTAGCCGTCGAATGGCGTAGTCGGTTGCGCTCTCTTGCCGTTAATATGGGTGATCTGGCCCAAGCGACGCTCAACGGCGTAACGAGCATCGCGCGCCATATCCCACACGGTACAGAGATTCTCAATGACAGCACGTGCAGATCGCAAAAGTTTGAATAAATCGTCCATCTGCGGCATAGAGCCAGCAGCGGTGAGTACATCAATGGCTTCTGTGCAGGCACGGATGGTAACAAACGGCAACATGCTGTACGAGCTGGGTCGATCGTGGCGGAGGCGCTCATATGCGCGGATCATTTCCATAAGCTCCCACGCATGTTCACGGCATTCGCGAGAGTGTCTGTTTTGTACCATGGTCGGCATTCGGGAGGCACCACTGTGGTAACGATTGATTTTGATAACGGATTGGCTGTACAAAAGGTTGATGGCCAGAACAGCAGTGGCGTTACCGGAAAAGCATGCTGACTCGAGGTTTGTAGAGCTAAAGGTGAGGCGGTTGGATAGACTGTCATGCCAGTCGGATACCATATGGGATAGTCTTCGGAGTAGTTCTTCATCTGTGGCAGGGTCTCTGGGGCGGTTGGCCATTGTATGAACAGTGCCCTGGCATTCAGCCCATATGTAGACAATTCTGACTAGCGTCGATGGGATATCAACAGCGGCATCTGGTGACGATGGGTTGATAGTAGATCGAGCGTCCAAAGCAGGCATCCACCTGTCAGCCTGCTGCTCAAAACTCTGATTATCCATTGGTAGGCAGACGTGAATGTCAGAAGGGTTAAGCGTAAGTGGTCTGCTTGGAAAGACGCCATTAAGACGCTCCAGTATAAATAGGGACCACATAGTACGGCGGCGTGCTTCGCTGTAGCCGCTACGCTTCATTCCCATGGGGAATACATCCAGGTGTGCCTCCGATGATCTGTCCAGCTCCATATCGAGCCCCATGGCAAACGCGTCTTTGATAGCGTGGGTAAGCAGTGCACTCGCTTCCTCGTTGTTGCCCTGCGCCGTAGCATATACCGACATGATGATACGGGACTGAACAAGTTGTAGGCATGTGTATCGCAGTTTTCTCTGTGCAAATAGAGCAACCTGTGCATAGTCTGCAGCGATATCCTTGTTATCGCCTGCAAGAACGACACTCAGGGCAAGCATGCTGTAGAGAAGCGCAAGATCGGCTTCAGACTTTCGGCCAGCGCTTTGAGAAACCCATCGTGTCCACGGGCCTTCAGGGAGCATTCGAAGTAGCATGCAAGAATCAGTATGTGAGAAGAACTGTGTGATGACTCGTTTAATGGCGCCAGGGTCGGTATTGTAAGGGTCGGTGGCCCAAGCGCGGATCAGCACGTCCTCAGGCATATGCGTATCAATCGTTTTGTAAGACAAGAGCGGTGACTTGGAGTGGTTTAACACGTCGGGCATCGGTGATGGTTCGCCTGCTGATGCATAGCCAGTGCTGCCGACACGAAGGCGCTTGAAACTGACATCCGGTGTGGTTTGGAAGTGGTTTGGTGTTGTAGGAGAGCCAACGTTGCTTGTGATTCGAAGCGATTCAACGGCGGCCAGCTTTCGGGAGGTAAGGTCGAGCTCGGCCGGTGCCATACTTGGTGAAGGGTTCTGTCCACCGCGGGGACTATATAAAAGAGTGTGGTTAGCAGCACATTCGTAGATTGATTTGGGGGCAATAAATACCTACGCATTCTTGAAGCGGCAATCTCGGCCAAACTTTTCGCATTGCATGCAGCGCGGGAAGTCGGGATCACATTTGATTTTCTTCTCGCGGCATGTCATGCAGGCAATGGCTAGTCTCTTGCGAGGCTTGCCAGCCTTGGTGACGCCCCAATGAGCATTGACAGCCTCGCCATCGATAATGTTGCGGCAGTGTGTGCCATCGTCGTAAAAGTAGCACAGCCCTTCGCCAGGGACTTCTGCTGCTCTGACGAAGCGAGGAAGAAACTGTGTTCCCGTCCAAATCTTGGGACCGGGAATATCAATCCGAGGTCCGTCACCACTCTTGGGAGATTTGGCTGATTTCGGTGTAAGAGGGAGATTTGATACGCTGGTTACAGACTGACGGCGCTCAAGCTCGGCACTTTCCAGTGGCTTTCCAGGGAACTTGGCTCGCAGCGTCGAGCAGGGGGAATTGGACGCCTCGCGTGACTGGAGCGAGTATTCCGCACTCCGTGAGGCTTCTATAGGAGGAAATCCAGGAGACTGTGGGTTAGAAAGAGACCGTTGACGGTCATGCTCAAGCTGTGCGTCGAAGGCAGTTCGAGGTTGCGTAATAGCTGGCAACTGGGAGGCACTGTTCTCCTCTCGGCGGAAGGACGATGGGTGCACCAGCGGGCCCATGGAGGATGGAGGGCCAAAAATGCTACTTAGCGATGGCAGCTGCTGCCGTTGAGCGGAGCTATCATTGCTTTCCACTCTGCTTAACCTTGGTTCTGGCAGCTTGTCGCCATTGGCAAAGCCGCCGGCGTTGGCCATCGGGAGGGAGACGAGAGGCCGCGGGGCTGAGACAGCGTCTGCGGCGGGAGAAGAGCGACAAGAGAAGTTAGTAGAAGTTGGACTAGCGAGCTCAGGAGGAGTGTCTGAGTAGGAAAGCTGTGGACGGGGCTCCAGGGGCGCAAAAAGACCCATTGGGACTGTGTTTGTGTTGGTGGTGTTAGCTTTGTTGGGCGAAGGCAACCAGTCCCGTGATGCTTGCGCCGGTATGAAAAGCGACCGCTTTCTGGGAAGTAGTGGCTTTTATGCTTCTTTTTTACAGGCTCATTGAAAAAGAGTCTGAGTAATAACACGCAATAACCGCCTTGTTAAGATGCGGTAGTGTTGGTCGTGGTGTTGGTCGTATCACGTAGTATAAGTAAGCGACTTGTGGCGGCGCTGATAGTATGTTGGGTGGGAGAAACGAAGCGCTGCGCAACGGGCGGCTGAGGAATGGAAAGCAATCAAAGTGAATGACTGCTTAGAATGCAGCGTGTGAGGTTTGTAATATAGGGAAAGAAAATTGAAATGGTAGAAAATAAAATATGGAGGGAAAGGGGGCAGATATGAAGAGCGTGCTGGTCGAGGACGAGAAGTTGGGACAGGGCCCTTTTAGAATCGGGGCCAACGTCTGAGGAAAAAAAAAACCGGCTGCGCACTCTGGGAGGAGCAGAAAGCAGTAATGACCGAACGGGTTGCAAAGGAAGGCAAATACGCCGAGCATGGTATGGAGGGTGATGCACTAGTAAAGACCGTTACCAAACTGTCGGGTCGACCTTGAGTCGTTGATTTGCTGAATGGTGTTTTAGCACCTTTTTTTTTTCTGGCTCTGGTTGATAGCGCTACGCCCGGCGGTAGGGTGGGTGCAAAAGCGCCTGAGCAGGTGCCGGACGCCCTGTAAATGCGCTGTAGCGCAGCGCGTCTTTTGGCGGGCCCGGCAAGCACAAGACAGAAGGGGGGTCCGGCGGCAAGGGCCCAAGACAGAAAGGGCCGGGCGCTGTAATTCTGGCACTGCTCCTCCCTGGACGCAGTGAGCTGAGGTGTTTTGCCGCAGCGCTGGGCGGTTTGGGGGCCCTGCACGCTGCGACGCCCATTGTAACATCCGCCGGCGGGCGGGGGCAGAGGGGCTGTCACCCCTAACAGCTCCCCCATCACAGCGACCGCTGACGCACGGCACTGCGCTGCACAGCACTGTACGGGGAGCCCCAGCGACATCCGGCTCAGTCCGCAGTGGTTCCGGCGCCTCGCTGCTCAGTGTTTTCGCTGCTGGAGCTGGACCCCACCGACTCCACCAGACCAGAGGGAGGGGGGAGGGGTGTGCCGGCTGCTAGTAAAAAAAGTCGGCTGTGGTTTATTTCCATTTTTAAAGCGGGCGTGTGTTCCTTCATGTCGTCCAGCCTGGTGCAAAAAAAGCTGGTCGTTTAATTTTAGCGGTGCCCGTATGTGGCATTTAGCCCCCGTTTGTTAGTCGTTATGGCCTTGCTTGCTGCTGTGCTGTGCTTCGTCTCAGTGCGCTTGATCACTGTAGCAGGCGCCGGCGATGCCCTAACGCCCTCGTTGTGCGTGGCCTTGCAGTGTGCCCCCAGCAGCCCCGTTCGCGGCCGTAGTGGCCGTACAGAGTCAAGTTCCAGTGTGGCCTCGGTTGCGCCTCACCAAGGGGCTGGCTATCGAATGTTTCCTCCTGTTGTTGTAAGCGAGATTCTGGTGCCGCTGCTCGTGGAAGACCACGGCTGTGAAGTGGTAGAGTTACAACCGGGGCCAGGATGGCTGTGCGCAGGCGTGCCAGAGGAGGCAACTGTTAACTCCGCCGTTCAGCACAGCGCTGGTCGTAGGTAGCAGCAATGTCACATCACACAATTCCCCTGCTGCCAGCTGCAAAATGCCAGCTGCAAAATGCCAGGTGCAAAGTGCCAGAGCACTGTTGGCCACCCGGCGGCGCGACGTGGGTGCCGGCCGGGGGTCTGCCAGCCTGCCACCCGGCAGCTGGAACATGCAGGTGCTCCATCACCAAAACGCCAAAGTACCCCCCAAGAAAATTCAAACCATCGTTCTCGCCTCGTGGACAACATCCTGCTGGTGGGGCAAACAAACGGTCCAATCTCGAGATGCAATCTCCCACAGTCGGTCAACAACAGATGCAGGCAGCACGATGCCGACAAAGTACGGAGCACAGCGTAGTAGCTTTGCAACACTCTCTGCGAGTCTGGCCAAATCCAGTAGGTGCAGCAATCTCGAGCCGCTCAACTACCAACTGTTACCGGCTGCTTCAGCTCTTGTTATCCTTTCTGGTTTCAGGGACTACAGTGCCCGTGTATAACAATACACAAAAGTAGGCTGCTGCTAGCAAAGTACAGCGCACGATTCGATTCCAAGCATAGGACGAACCCTTCTGAATCCTTGTAAGCAACGACAGACCAAACGCAACAATAAAATCCCGTGCACGCTGAGGTCCAGTACAGCGCTGTACTGAAGCAGATGCTGTGATCCGCGCCTCGCCTGCTGCCGCCCGCACCGCCCCTGCACTACAGGGCCAATAGAGGCGCGCAAGCCAACGTGGTTCACTGCCGTCCGAGTGTGAGAAGGCCCCTTCGCTTTCGCAGTAAGCTGATGGTCAGCGACTGGCCCCAGATCCTTCCCAACTCCACGCCTTACGGGCACAACACCGCAGAAAACGGAGCCACTTTGACATTACGCACAAAGCAGTGGATGTTGTGAACCCGCCCTCATCCACTCAGAACATCTTGGCCGTTGGCCTTGTAGGGGGATTCGGCCAAGTACCGGTTTTTGCCCACGACAACTGGTGTGCTCTGCTTTAGCCCCGGCGAGGACATAACAATCTTCCATATCTGGCCTGCTTTTATGTCGAGGGCATTACACACTCAATGCGAGCCTCGACGCCAACTTGGCGCCGTGCCAACAGATTGGACTTAAAGACAAACGCCACGAAACTGGCGACATCAAACATACCCGTGGTCCGCTTGGCACAACGCGGAACCAACCTAGTACCGCAAGGCCCCGCCAACCGCCTCGCATAAGCCGTCCAGTACCGTGACATCTATAACGCCCATTTTCAAAGACCCATTGCATTTAGAATGGATTTGGCTGTTTGAGCTAGTAGGAGGGGTCCGCGAGAGGCTGTTGTTGCCACTAAATTCAATTCGGTAGGCGTTCCGGTACCCCATTTTACCTATTGATTGCGGCTAGTGCGGTTGCCCGTTCTGTCTCTCAGCTCCATCGTGGATTTTGTACTATCCCATTTTTTTCTTTGCTCTCGCCTCCAGCTGTGGCGGATGAAGCACAGCCCCAAGTTGACTCAAAGGCTAGCATAAATCACGAATGACGGTGCAACATGAAGCAGGTGTAAATGGCGTCTTTCCTCCACCAGCGGCTACGAAGAGTGTGAAAATGCGTGGATGGTGTTTATACTTCTTCACCGTTGTCCGACATAGCACGGTCAGCATGGATCACCATGATCATAGACCATCACATCAGACAGCTCGTCCTACCAATGGGGAGACCAGCTGGCAACCTAGGTGAATACAAGCGATCCGTGTCAAAAGTTCTTCAGGCCCCAGTCACCACTGTCGGCTACTGCCTGGCATGCGGGGCCGTTTCGACACCAGTGACTCGTGGCGCAACCAGGATAGACAACCATCTAGCTGCACTCCATATCGATATCCCTCTCGTGGGCGGGCGCGCACTGCACGTTTCCATTCAAGAAGCCACCTTCTAGAACATTGGACTGATGTACCGATACCTTCGTATTTGGAGCGACTACAACAAGGGAGCGAGCCACTTCTTGCATAACGACAACGTCGCCATAAAATATGCGTCTCTAGTAAGCAGAATTTGATAATGGAAATATCCAGGCTAAGCAGGTACCCGCCGTCCACGGACACCCTAATGGGGGAAGACCTATGGTGTTATTGATGCTACTTGCGGCGCAAACCATCAGGCCGTTCAAAAGCGTCAGCAAAGACAGGAAGAGTACCCTGCCCTCCCGGCTGTCAATTGCCTGATCGAGAATCATCTCCGGCCTAGTCTTGCAGGGGCTAGTGTAGGGTCCATTGGGATCCAGGATTGTTGCTTCCCAGTGCGAGGTTGGCTGCCATGGTACACTAGGTACAAAGCAGGACATGAGTCGGCCGAAATACAGCCCCAACTTTACTTTGCCCAAACAGGTTGTTACAGCGCCCCAGGGTGCGGGCTAGGGGAATCACCCGGGACCTGAGCTCTGTTGTCCTGCTTCGCCTCTAACCGATGTTTTCCCATGACAGAGGCCCTTTGTCGCAATTTCTACTGTCTTAAGGCTGTTTGCATTACCTGTTGACCACAAAGTAGTGGTTGTTTGGATTGCCTGGATCACGCAACAGACGTCAGCTGTCGTTACAGTGATTTGCAGCCTTGTTTCGTGAGCTTTGTAGCTCACGGTCGAGTGCGCTCACACTAATCAAGCTGAACAAAGGACGCGGGACGGCAGCTTCGGTACGATTCAATCTGGCTTATGCAGCTTTAATTCAGCGCCCGTTGGTCTAACTCTGCAACCCCTGCCAGCGGATCTTACCCTCATAAAAGTCGACAGGGGCCTGAAGCCGATAGGCCGCTGAACGACCCAACCAATAGGAATGCTGGCTTAATCTCTGAGGAGGGGCATGTGTGAGGCGAACCTACTGTATGTCGACAGATTTCGACCCCAAATAACATGCGTCTACAAGGTTTGGATTATACTGCATCGGGCATGGCGATCTAATGGATGAGAACAATGTTATCCATCTGCCACTTGTTGCCAAAACTGGCTGACGCCGGCCTGCGACAGCGCAATTCTGATGGTAGCTACAAGCACCAGGAAGTTCAATGCTACCTCCCTGCCAAGACGACTTTGATCCGCAAGCACGAGGTGAGCGGAGCGACGACCTGACAGAACTGAGGACGTTGCCCGGGATGATTTACGCGGCACTATGGATCTACATTGCTGGCGGTACCTTGCAAATGATGTAGAGAACGGTGCAACATGATAATCAGTCCCACCGCGCAGCCCGTCGTCATGCTAGCAAGCTCTATACTGAAGCTACAGTACAACGTGTACGTGGGAGTGCCCCGCAGGATTGAGATGAACAATACCGCTTAAATCCACCATCGGCCAACTGTAATATAGTTGCACTGCCATGGAGGGCACATACATAAACTACAAGGGGTTAATTAATACACAAAACGGCGTACGATGCGACGGTCTTTACGTTGCAGGAAGGTGAACTCGATTCATTTACGCCCTAAACATCTGGAAGCGACGCGACTGGCGGGATAATGGGCGACGGTGGATCAGCGTTCTTGTCCACACCCGCTGTGAGGAGAGTTACTGGACCGTGGATTGCGTGAAAATCTCAAAGACATGGGGCAAATCACACTGGTTCTGAGAGTATTTATCCGACGGACAGCTGAGTCACACATACTACCCAAAGCGATGCTTTTGACTGACTCGGTCCCTCAAATGTCGGGCCATCAACAATACCACGCAGGGTTCTAATTCACAGCACCTAATTGGCCTCAAAACGACCATCGGCTCACTGGCCTGAGCCGCGCTCCAGTGGCAGCGATCACGGGCCGTTATAGCTTGCAGCCGCCGAAGGACAAAGATGGCCTGGCCTGGATTCC